AACCTAACCCTAACCTAACCCTAACCTAACCCTAACCTAACCCTAACCCTAACCCTAACCTAACCTAACCTAACCCTAACCTAACCCTAACCTAACCTAACCTAACCTAACCTAACCTAACCTAACCTAACCTAACCCTAACCTAACCCTAACCTAACCTAACCTAACCCTAACCTAACCTAACCTAACCTAACCTAACCTAACCTAACCTAACCTAACCTAACCCTAAAAATTGCATATTTGTGTAATGGCCATATTTTCTATCGCACCGTGTTTTTTTCAGTATTTTGTATTTACAGCCTTAACCGCTTATCGCGCGATAACTCTGAGATGATATACGGATAGCTGCAGTGCGAGGCTACGACTTTCATATATGTCCCAAAAAGGAAATGCTGACATAATATGGCCGCTTTTCCCAGCTTCTACGGTCACATGACCTGTGGCCTGCTGCTGCAAGCTTCTGCCAGCTTCTGCAGTCATGTGACCTGCTGCTCCAGTGACATGTGACCGGCTTCTCCAGCTTCTGCAGTCACATGACCTGCTGCTGCAGTCATGTGACTGGCTTCTGCAGTCATGTGACTGGCTTCTGCAGTCATGTGACTGGCTGCTGCAGAAGCTTCTACGGACTTATAGGTATAAGTCCCCCTGTAAGAGGGCTAGGAAATGCTGACATAATATGGCCGCTTTTCCAGCTTCCTATGTCACATGACCGGCCTACACCAGCTGGTGCACTGGCCGGTGCACCGGCTTGTGCAGACTTATAGGTATAAGTCCCCCTGTAAGGAAGCTAAGATTTGGCCTTGAGAGATGAATTCTGCGCATAGATTGCGTCTATAATAATATTACTTGTATCTGCATCAACATAATCCGCACACGGATTGTGTCAACACCTCGTACATGCATCATTTCAATTTTCACCAATTGACATTCTCAATTTAATGCATGGCTTCCATCAATTCAATCACTCCATCGACATTGCTCTTACCAGAGTCCATACTCATATTTTATCTTTACTTTGACTCATACACTGAACAAAATCTGCATGCATACTTCACATCAACCTCTTCTCCCATCCTGCATACTCGACCAATTTCATATCTCTGCTTCATCTTACCATATATCTCATCATCATCTCTGCACTTCAACAAAATCTGCATGCGTACTTCGTAACTACTCAACTCCTTTATCCTCTATATCAACCAGGTTAGGCTTTCCCTCCACAGATGCTTGTCCACTTTGCCCTAATCCCTGACAGCTTCCTAACCCTGATTCTAATACATTTTTCTGTATAAATGCAGAGAAAGACAAAGCCATGAGCTCTCAAGTGACAGTCACCCGTAAAAGTCAAATTGAGAGAGCTGAGCCGGTATGATGTCGATAGAGGATAATTAACACCAAGCCCTTGCACGTACGGAGACGAGCGGGACAGCGGTGACAGATGGAAGGCAATGATGTATCTGCAGGAAGTGAAAGAGAAAGTTGTGTGAGAGAAGCACCCTCTGGCCCAATGTAAGGACTCATAAAAACTATTCAAATAGTCTCCATTCATCCTGCCCTGGGAGACAGCAGAACGAGACTGGAACAGTACAAAGCCCACAGAAAAGATCAGAGCGTGAAGGTGGGATGGGAAATATGGCCTGCACAGCTGCCAGCATTGCCAGAGGTTACACCTCTCCTCACTTTCTTTCCAGGCGACCACATGCATGCAGCTTTTATCCAAGAACTTGCCTCAACGAGTACCCTGACCCGTATTCTGCATCCCATGGAGCACTCGTCACCCAACCCTAACGTGTGCCACAACGAAGACATCCTTCACTGCGTATTATCAAGCTGTAGGCGTACTGACATCGTTGCGTCTATTGCTCCAACATGGTCCACAAATTCCGTCACACATATCACATGATGATGCAGTCTTTGTCCTTTCCACCTCTCCCACCCGATAGCTCTCCACTTCCGTTACTGTCACGATGAAGTACGGCACCTGGCCCGCCAGGTTGAGGTATAGGCGAACTTGTTGAAGATTTGAGACGTTGAGCGGCTCGCTTGTCACCCAACTCCGCTGCGCGTTTGTACCACGATATTGCTCTAGGGAAAAGATATCAGTGGACAAGTATGGCGTGATCGCAAACCTAGACGTACTCAGACATGTTGGGTTCTGTGCCGATCCCAACCTCCAGGAAGTATCCGACAGCGTACATTGCTTTGACTAGGCCGGCTTCAGCAGCCTTCTTGGCCCATAAGAATGCTTCCGTATCCGACTGAGGTAAGACGCCTGGTGAACCAACGAGATACCAGGCCGTGAGCGCAAAACACGCATCACGGTGGTTCTGTTGCGCGGCAATGTTCTGAACAAGAGAGAATTAACTGTGCAATTTTGATGGAAAGCACAGGGACGCACATAATAGTGGATGGATAACGCGGGATCCTGCGGGCAACCCATCTTCCCATACTCGTAGCATTCGCCTAGACGATAGGCACTCGGCGCGTAACCGAGCTCAGCCGCTTGAGCAAGCAGTTCCGCTGCATACTCGTAGTCAACAAAGAGAACATTGTCGATACCGCGTTCATGTAAGAGCGCGAGTTCATGGAGGGCATGAGGGAATTCGGCAGTAGCATGTTCCGCTGAGCGCTTTAACCACTTCACACCTTCCTTGGGGCTCTTCGATAGCCCCAGCTCCCCATTCAGTTCTGCAATACCCAATCGATACATTGCGCCGGGATGCAGGGCAGCGGCAGCTTTGCGAAAGAACTGAACGGCCTTGGCAGACTCTCGTCTACAACCCCAACCATTCTCACAACACGTCCCCGCACGATAGGCCGCGTCGGGATGACCGTGTTTAGCAGCGAGAACAAAGAGAGGAAACGCGCGATCGAAGTCTTGTCGATTCTTGTGGGTGCCAATACCATTGGCATAGCAGTCTGCGAGGAAATACTGAGACGGCATATGCCCCCGATCCGCATTACGTTTAAGCAACGCCATGGCTTCCTTTATGAGATCCTCGCGTTTCTGTATAGCCTTCTCAACCTCCATGACGTTGCCCGGTGTAGGTGTAGGTATTGGCATGGTTTTTGAGGCATCAATCAGAAAGACTCCGAATTCGAATTGAAGGTCGGGATCCTGAGTCTTCTTCGCATTGGCACGGTAGAGCTCAAGAGTACGTTCATGAGAGAGAAGGGCCGCTTGGTTTCCCGGACGAAGATGGGAATGGTCGAGAATAGGACCAGGAGGAGGGGAAGGTGCACGTATTGACTGCGATGCAACAGAATGAGATGAGGGTATAAACGGCTGGTCGTGGAAGTTGGATTGTGAGCCGGTGTAGAAGTCGTCACCGTCAGGTGGAGAAGGCGGTTCCGCGCCGTTCATAGGGCCGTCGTAGTCGTATTGCTGGTCTACAGCGGGGCTAAGCGAGGGTCTTGAGCGAGAACGAGAGGGTCGTGAAGGGTATGGAGAGTTGGAGTATTGAGACTGCGGTCGTTGATCCAAGTACTCCCTGGAGTAGCTGGCTGATGGTTGTTGCTCCATGTCCGGGATGAAGGCTGACGACGGTCGAGATGGTTGTGGTGCGTACATATTGCTGTTGACAGACAGCGGAGAATGTCTAGCACGACGTCGAGACACTCGAGCTCACCGTCGTAGTCGAATGAAACAAGCACAGAGGCGCTTGCTCCGCGCTCATTTCCACTTACGGAAACATCCCTCTTTCACGCCGACTCTCACAATGTGCAGCGTCTTTTGAAGAAGAACATTGCATAACTCCGCAAAGCCAGTAACCGGATGGAATACGTATCCGCACTGGTCTACTCAAGTCACTAATGCGTCGTTCGAATACTCTAGGTACCACGCAGCGCATCGGAGCAACTGATGTGAATACAGTTCACACTTCGTCATTCATGCTGTCTAAGGTATGTTCGATGTCCCTGTGATCCCGGAAAATCGAATTGACGACTATCCAGAACACTCATGTGAACGGAAGCCCTGCACTCGCGTCTAGTATAGTTCTGTTCCCAAGATATAGTGCTGCTCCGTTTATTCGGCCTGATCATGCGCATTTCATTCCAAATATGCAATAGCCTACTCTGTACCTGAGTATCACACCGTTAGACTGAGCAGTTGCTTCAAAAGTTGCTCGAGAATACACGGGTAACTTTCAGACTGTATATAGGATGCATACACACCAGCGGATCTCTCTGCTAATCGTGTTCCCTCCCCTCGTACCCGCCATGGACGATATCGGCCTCCCCCATGTCCCTAGTGTCACTTCCGCAATACCAAATCGCATTCACTTGGCTGATGGTACAAGTGTAAATAGCACAGAAGCATCTCAAGTCGAGGGTGATCATCCCACAGATTGGAACGCTCATGCCGCATTCAAACTCGGCTCCTTTTCCATCGACGAATATGGACCTCTGAAGGTTGTTGTTATTGGTGCTGGTTTCAGCGGTATCACTGCTGGTATCAGGTATCAAAGCCATCGCACACCTGCATGCTGTAGTTGACGTTCATTCGTTCAAATTCAGGTTTAGGCAACACATTCAAAACTTGGACCTAACGATCTATGAGAAGAATGCCGGCGTGGGGGGCACGTGGTATAGCAACAGATATCCGTTCGTTCACAAACACATAAAATCTGACTGTACCTAACAAGACTGGTCTGCAGCGGTCTAGCATGCGATATCCCCTCACATTGCGTACGTCTTGAAACACTTTGCGTTATGTTTCCTGACCGTTGACTCCCGTGTATAGTACCAGTTGACGTTCGAGCCGAAGGTTCATTTGTCTCTTTGCAGCTCTAGTTTATCGCTCACAGCTGCCTGGCGTACAGACCGATTGGTCCGCATTTTACGCACCAGGCCCAGAAATCCTCGCATATATGCAGGGCGTTGCCGAAAAGTACAAGCTGATGCCCTATATCAAGCTCGAGCACGAGCTCATACAAGCTCGTTTCGATGAGCCTTCTGGCAAATGGCACCTTCGAATCAGACATCCAACGGGGGCTTACGGCGAATACGAAGAAATAGAAGACACGGCCGACTTGCTATTCTGCGGCACAGGAAGTCTAAGTCGTTGGACGTGGCCGGATATTGAAGGTTTGCATACGTTCAAGGGTCGTTTGTTTCATAGTGCACAATGGGATCAGCAAGATGGCGACAGTTGGCAGGAAAGTGTCAAGGGCTGGCGTGACAAGACGGTCGCTGTAATCGGAGTGGTAAGTGACTGTCTCTCCCCATAAAAATATCAAGGTTTGACCTTGTCATCAGGGTTCGTCGGGCATCCAACTTGTACCGGCTCTTCAACCTCGAGTTGCAAAATTGTTCAATTATGTTCGCGGAAAGACTTGGCTGTCCCCGCCATTCGCAAGTGAGAAGTTGGCGGCATTGGTAAAGGATTCGGCGTCCTCCAATTGTAATTTACCCTTTGCTCCTCTTATCTGTGCTTCGAAGCTGATTCGCTTTAGATATATTTACGGAGGAGGATAAGAAGGCGTTTGGCGATCCAAAGGTCTATAGGGCATTCAGACATGACCTCGAGGATAATCTAAATGTATATGCGACACTTTCTGTTGTCTCCCTACTTCTGACCTGGCTTTCCTCAGTCAACGCACTCGGCGACGCTTCGCGGAAGTGAGATGCAAAACGCCGCTCGAGTGGCGTTCAAGGAGAACATGATCAAGCGACTAGCGAAGAAACCATGGATAGCGGACCATCGTGAGTTGATTTCCCCAAAGGCATGATGTTACAGTATTGCTGAAGACATACACGTACGTTTGTTGTAGTCATTCCGGATTTTGGTGTGGCATGTAGGAGACTTACACCTGGTCCTGGGTATCTCGAAGCCTTGTGTGAAGACAATGTATGTCACCTCAACTTATCTTCTCTTTTCCGTATTGACTTTTGTGCAGGTTGACTTCGTTCCTACGCATATCAAGAGAATAACGGAAGACGGTATCGAATTAGTCGACGGTACTCAACACAAGATTGATATACTCGTTTGTGCTACAGGTGAGAACGTCGCATGTATCTGGATGTAGCATTTTCGACGCTGTGTGTAGGTTACGACACAACTTATCAATCCCCTTTCCCCATGGTCGGACGGAACGGGACCAACCTCAATGACAAGTGGTCGCCCCATCCTATCACTTACCTTTCCGTCTGTGTCGACGAGTTTCCCAATTGGTTCTTCTCTCTTGGACCGAATGCCGGCGTGGGTTCTGGTTCGCTGCTTGCAGTCATCGAGAAGCAAGTTGAATATGCTGTTGAGGTAACCAAGAAGTTGCAGAGGGAACGACTGAAGACAATCGAAGTGAAAGCCGAGGCCGTGCAGGACTACGACGAGTATATTGAGGCGAGCAATTTGGCCTTTTCTACAGCTGAATATACTCAGTGCGTTATATTTACAGCATTACTTCCCGACTGTGAGTGCCACATGAAATTCTGTCATTGTACACTGACACCCCTCTAGTCTGTCTATAGCGAACGTTGCCGTTCTTGGTACAAGATGGGCAAGGAAGAAGGTCGAGTGGCTGGATTGTGGCCGGGTGAGTTCGACCGGCTTTTTAGCATGCCTGGTATATCGACTGTCGCCGTCTGTCGTACAGGTTCATGCCTGCATTCTTTGAGAGCCTTGAGGTACCCTCGTTGGGAAGACTTCAATTATGGTCAGGTTGATAAGGTCAAGAATCGACTCTACTGGCTGGGAGATGGCTCTACACTGAATGAGAAAAGTATGAGCGGCGATCGTGAGTGGGACATTGTCCGATGTAGTTGTTAAGCTAACTCTTGCTTATAGGTGCATGGTATCTTAATGACGAATACCTGGATATCCCACCGAGTAAGTTAAGTTATTTCGGTCATCTAATGAAACCACTGTGTTCTAATGGTGTTTACAGTTCCGCAGGCATGATACAGTAAGCACGGCGAGGATGGCTGTCATCTCCTCAAAATGCAAATTCCATTGTTTTTACTATGCGCGCATTGCCTGTACTACTCGATGATCCGATACAGTAACAATGATGTTTCGAAATCCTGGCTCTGTTACTGTCAAATCGTAGGACATTCAAAACAGGGCCGCTGAGCGGCTGTTAGGAGCGGGGTGATAGAATTACACGATTTCGGGCGATTACTCGCGGACAAGGCGAAGAAATCCAAACACCATCGAAGGATGTTTGTCAGTTTGTCACCCTCGGACGACGGCGGGTGCCAAGACCTGAGGCACTGGCATTTGGGGTCCAGATTGAGGCTCAGGAGCGGGAGCGGGTGTCCGTACCAGCCCACAAGCCTTCCACCAGATACACTTCAGAACCCATACCATCATATTGACGAACCGATGAACGCCAAAGATGAGGTATTGTAAGCTGACGAGTATCCCTGCGATGAAAGACATGACTAGTACGGCAGTCGGCCAAGCCTCCCAAGCGACAGAGAAGAGGAAGGCCATCAAGGCGCACGCCGAGATGAACATGCAGAGAGTCGGTAAGCGACAGGTAAGACAAAAGAAGAAGTACGTTTGGTACACGTCAAGCGCAAGCCTCTGAAGGAAGTACCTGCATTAGATCACGACCACTTGTAGATCATTGGGACATACCTTAAACTTGGCAACGTTTGTGCCACTGTACGCCACAAGGAACCAGGCATCGACAACGATACCTATCCCTGCTGCTATACTACCTATCGCAATCGAACGTTTAGCAATACCATCTATAGTAAACATGGCATCCGACTCGAAACCGAAAACGGCAGCGTTGAGTCTATCAGAAACAGTATCACTATCAGCTCACTGTCACGGCAGCAAAGGTCAACATGAAGAAAGACTAACCCAGCAACGGCAAGCAGCTATGTGATATCTTGATCAATACAATTATTGCAGTACGAAAACACATGTGACTTACCGAAGCACCAACAACATACCATTCCGTCAACAACTTCCCTAAAACCTTTTCAAAATCAGAGTCCGCCGTCGCCTCACATAGCTCTTTATAAGGGGCGAAGCGATCCACAACAGACTCTGCCAATGACAGCGACCCACTCAAACTCATCTGATCAGCGTACTGAGGCAAGACCCTCGGTAAAATCTCGACCATCTCTTCCTTCCATTGTTCTTCGGAGTGAGATGCAACAAACGTAACTTCACTCTCGTCAAGACGTCGTAACGTATCCACAGAAGTATTTTTTTCACCATCATAGATGGTAGGGAAGGAATCTTGTTGGTCAACCGGTGACGGGGGATAACACGACGATTCTGATGAAGAGCATGGCTCTTCATCTGAAGTATTGAGGCAGTAGGGTTTGAGCTTCTGACGTTTCCGCCTGTTTCGAAGGAGACATGATCCTTCTTCATTGACGGGATTTAGTTGCACAGGTGCGGGAGGGTCATGTTCAGGCGAGCCTGAAGGTACAGCGTCTGATCAGAATCACAAGCAATTCGATCGTTGGCGAATCTACCTACCAGGTGGGTCGTCTGACATCATATCTGAGAACACTTCATCTTCATCGTGGGATAATGGTGCAGAATCGACAGCAGTTACCGACGATGATGATGGTAGCGGTGCAGGTGTACGAAGTCGGATAGTAAGCGTGGCGGTATTCAGTTTGCGGGTACCACCAATTGTGGGACTACGCTTCTGAGGTGGAGGACATGTCAAGCGAAGGTCGAGATCTGCAAGAAACGGCATCAACAGCTAGAAGTTGACGCATAGGGACAGAAGCTGTAGAATCATACTCACTCGAGTTAGGTCTATGCTGCCGTCGAAGAATATCTCCAACAGCTACATAGGCGGAGCCAACTAGATTCCGTTTCTTGCGGTTTTTGCTTTGCGACTTGTGAAATACCTTGAAGTCAAGATGACTGGTAATATCAAGGTCCCGTCTAAATGTGACAGATTAAGCACAAGATCTCGTAGACTGTTTGTGGGTTACGTACAGAATGAACGGAGTCTTCAGGTTAGGATTTTGCCCATCACACCCAAGTGTAATCTCGTGTGTATGATGACCGTCGATAGTCAGGGAGACAATTGGTCGCCATGACTTCTCTGGACGAACATAGAGAATGCCCTGGGTGCGGACGACTGAGGGGTAGAAAGCTCAGTATAAATCGTTCCGATACGAAATAGCAAACACGAACTGGTCAAGTACCAAGGTCTGAGTGGGAACGGCATCAGCCGATTAATACGGAAGTAGTTGGTGACGAACTCACTCGGGGGAATGCATGCCTTCCATGATAAGGTGTACAATCGATGACAATTGAATACGGACAGGGTATCAAGGGTAGCAATGGTATCACAACAAGACGAGAAACGACAGATCCAAGTCAGTGGAGAAAGACGATGACAATCCAGACAGATGCCTGAATATATCGTCAAAGAGAGCGTTGGAGGAGTGCTATCATGCAGACAGTATTGAAATATTAAGGCCAATTAGTAGCAGGCTATGCTAGAGGCGCTCATCAGCGTACAGCCAACGGAATAGGCGCCATGGGTTGACCCGGGTCCACAATCACCAAAGAAAGCAACCGTTGTAGTCCTCCTCCTCCACAAAGTACAACACTTTCTTGTTCCTCCCCAACCATGAACAACAATTCAATAAGCATCAAAGCGATTATAGTTCGTGAAACTGGAAGATAAATAGGTTGTTCCACAGCTCTCAAGGTGCGTATCCACTCCCAAACTCCCAACCATCTCTATCGCAGAAACCGTGCTGGCCACAGTCAAAAATGTCTATCGCTTTTCAGCCTGATAGTAATTCTCGGATTGACAGGTTCCGCCGTGGTCGCATACTCTGCCTTGATTCCCTCACAGACGACATCCTAGTTGATCTACTCTTCTCGTACTTGAACGTAGAGGATATTCTTTGCTTGCGCAGGGTAGGAGTGTAAAACCGCAAATATACATGCCGTACATGCTCACGATTTATTAGGTCAGCAAGCTTTACTTTAGACTTACTCATGAACGCGTCATCTGGACAAGGCTTCTCCGACGACTCAATGGACTTCCGATTCCCCCTTTCCCTCCAACCTTTCGCTATTCCCTTCAGAACCTTAGCGCACTTGAGACAGAACGAGTGGTCACACGCGCTGTATCGCTTGACAAACTGTGGCGTATAAACACAAGAGATTTTCGCTTACCCCATGAGGCCTGGAGCTTCAGTGCTCACCATCGCGTGCTTCATATGACACTCCTGCACGGCAGTCAATATCTCGTCGCCTCGGTCTGTGATCGTATGCATCAACGTTTCTACCTCATGGTATTTGCCATGGATCACAAATACGGTGGTGCAGTGCCTCTTGTCAAGACGCCTACCGAAGTGAAGGCCTTTGGTCTTCAAGCAAAATATATGACTGTCCAAGGAACGCAAGGAATAGTCGTAGCCTACCTTACTCGTCGCTTCAGGAATCCAGCTCATGCAAAAATGGGGTACGTACTTGTCTTTAAGTTGATATCGCCGTCTCTGAATCCTTGATCCACCAGCGTTGACATCAACGAATTTAGCGGCGAACACGTGATAGACCCGCCATACCCGCTCCATTACGACTGCGACGCTCTATTCATCACACTCGATTCCCTTGAACTCCTCGCCGACTGCGTGCATCCACCAGGATCCGCTAGATTCATAGAATATGCTTCTTCTCTGCCTCGCCCATTCCGCCGACTTACACGACTCCGCTCAAAAAGTCCACTGGGCCCCATCGTGCTTGAAGAGGTGTACGGCAGCCCTTATGTCGGTGTCGTCAGGCGGCCGAATAGTATCTTATTTAAAGAGCTGAACGGCGGCGCTCTAGCAGTACTAGATTGCAAACTTATTTCAGGTTCAGAAGATTTGGTTCGTAATTGTACCCTTTCTACCGTTTTCATGTAGTGTACTGATAACTCCTACAGGATCATAAAATTCTCAGCATTCGCATCTTGCCCGAGCAAAACGAAGTTCTTGTCGTCCGTCATGTCGCACATCCGCCCGAGCTCTTCTTTCCTCCCTCAACCGTTATTGAACAATATCTTATCCCCATCAACCTCAGCGACGAAAGCATAGTTGAAGAGTTTGCAGCTCGCGATCGTCTTTGGATAAACAACTACCACATTACTGAAGTTCAAATCAGCGATCATTATACTCTTTCGGACTACGATGCCACCGTCAGTTCAGAGTTGTATCACCAAGTCTACAGGGCACGCCCGATTACCGTGTATGCGCAGACGATAATGCCCAAAGGATTGCTCAGGTTCACCTTGTTCCCCAAGAAAGCTCCTCCCCACTGGCTCCCTCCGACCCCTGCGTCATCCCCGATGTCGTCGTTCAGCGGGGGTACCCCGTTATTGAGGGATACCTACATCTACGACCTCCGTCACATGTCTGTCCTTCGTAGGTTGAGGGGGATAAACGATGTAAACTACAAAGTCATCGCAGCTTCATGCCTACCCATCATTCAGATTATCGACGAGAACGATATCACCGCCCATCCAAAAATCTTCCAGATGTATCGCTGGCTTCATCCGGATGCTGACAGACTCGAACCTGCGACGCCTCAAGAGGATGCGGAATATGCTGCCCAGAGGATTCGCACTTTGTCAGACATTGGCATCAATATGAGCAGCATAGAGAGGCTGGCGTGCTATGCCTGGGATGAAACAATCGGGCGGTTGTTGATGGTTCAAAAGGACGGTGCAACTGTCCACGTGGTCGACTTTGCACGAACACGCAGATTAGGTGTGTAGTACTCCATCCCATTACCCGGTCTTGGGCTAACCCTGACTTCATCTTCAGACTTCCGTGAGGAACGAGTGCCCATCGAGATTTTACGAGACCGAGATCCAAATTCGGTACCTTACTATTACGGCGGCACTCAGTTGTTCTCAGACGATCCGAAGATGGCCTATGTCAACTGGAACGACCGAACACTAGAGACAAATAGCTTGTAATTTACTGCGTACATTAATGAAATGTAATACTCAAAGATGTAACTTAGGTCAGGACGGACGGGCGTGCATGTAGTAGTGCTCTGCGAGGATGACAGGAAAGATCGAAGTATACAATATTGCTGAGGCAAGTAAAAAGGAAGAGACAAATGTGAAACGAATGGCAAAGTACTAGACAAAAAGTTACATATCGCCAATGAGAGTGTGAAGAACCCATCTAAGTGGGGATAAAAGACGTGTTAAGGTATACAAGCTCCGGATGATGCAATGCAAATGAAGATCACTGTATCTGGGCACCAGAGGGATACGTTGACGGCGGCGAAGATACATGTAGATCTTTAGCCTTGTCCTTGGTTTTATCTCGATCTTTTCGTCCGAAACCCAGTATCGGCGCAGTGAAGCTCAGCTTCCGCGAAGATCGTTTACGGTTGGTGTTGACAGTGGGGGGATGATCACCGGTACTTGTGCTGCTTCCATCGCCACTATGAGATGACGTATTGAGCGTACTCGACGTCCCATTCGAGGTTGAACTAAAACCAAGCCCGGGGATCATCGCAGAGGAGGAGCTTTGAGGTCGAGCAAGGCGTCGTACTTCGAACGAATGGATGGTTCCGTTCGGTCTACGATCCCGAGGTGATGATGGGATATCGTTTGGTATGGGTGAGGATCTCTGTTGCCCATTAGATGATGTTGGCGAGTTCGGCAGCGGCGGTAACGGAGGTGCGGCTGCAGAGCGAGGTCTGGAGCCAATAGAAGCTCCGGCAGTAGATGGTCGTTGAGGGAGTCTTCGTCTCCCGTTGGACAACTCCGGGGTAGACTTCTTGTGGTCTGGCAGTGAATGAAGGGGTGAAGAATTGAAAGGAACGCTTGGTAACGGCGCTGTGGACGGAGGAGATAGTGCTCGTGGTGAGGAAGGCGTATTCGAGTCGTGGAAACCAACTTCAGAGGCGCGGCGGCCTAGTCGTCCAGCATGCTTCAGCCAATTTGGAGTACTGGAACCATCGTCCTTGTCTTTCCCTAGACTCGGGAAACTACTCGGGGCACCCTTGACTTTTTCATCCCTAACACTCCTCCGCCTGGAAAACCACCCGCTGGGCTTACGCTCAGGCTCCCGTTCCTTTTCCTTCCCATTCGGAAGTTTCAAAGGTGGAGGGGGAGGGGAAGAGGAAGAGGAAGTATCTGTGACGGATGAGGAGGCAGTGGCCCCGGGATTTATCGAAGAAGTCGATGTCGAGGTGGAAGGAGTAGGCAATGGCGGTGGAGGTTCTGATTTCGTGTCGAGTACATGTCTTCGTATCTTCCCTGAGGGCGAGTGTCTGAGGGTATTAAACAGTGTATTGAGGGTACCGGGAGTAGCGGGTGCGGTGGGCGTTGAAGGATTTGACTCTGTCGAGTTAGGGGGAATAGTGACAGACAAATTGGGAGACTGGGTACGGGGTGAAGCGAGCGGTGACGTTGGGGTTACAGGAGTAGCTGGTGCAGGTTCCTTCTCATCCGAATACTTTGGCTGCACCAACCCAGGAGGCAACGCTGGAAGGTTCGCCTCCTCAAGACTTGTACCGACGGATACGGCAATACTCTGTGCGGCCGAAGGTGTATCTCGGGGCGGGTTAGTCGACTGCGGCGCAGCTCCCGGCGGTGGTCTCAGTCCAAGCGCAGTAACGTCTAGATCGGCTGCCTGATAGTATAGGACGTAGGCAGAACCGTTATTGTCGCCGTAGTACTTTACGATGTCGCACTCTTTGATAGCGTCGACGTTTTCATCGTCAAAAAGATACCAAGTCCCGCGTGCCTTAATGATGCTGACGTAGTGTCCGTGGTGAGGACCTCTGAACAAGCCGACAGTAAGTCTTCCATTAGAGCGGGAGCAAAAATAAATAAGCGTGCTTACGTTCCAATGTGTATGACGATAGCAAAGAGCTCATACAGTCGGTCAGGGTTGTCAGCGTCATCGACAGTGTTGAACAGTCGCAACTGGAAGGGAAACGCGACTCGATAGGCCAGCTTGATGTATCGACCTGTATCTTCCTGATACTTGAACCGTTTGAGGTGGAGTGCAAGAACGTTGGGCAGTTTCTTGATCTTCATCCTTATTAAGGAAAGCAACCTATGTTAGCATGTCGCGCGTGAAATATAATTGTACATGCCTCTTTTCAGCCTCCTGGAGGTCACAGCACGAGTCGCAAAAGAATTTGTTCTTCTGACAAAGCATTTCACTCGCCGAAAACTGCCTCAAGCAAGCTGTGACACTCGAGTTCTGTTCAATATCAATGGAGAGGTCCAAAAATGATTCGTCTCTTGACGACACAGTTTCACACGTCAAACATCGAGTCTCACTCGTCAACACGCCTTCGAAGAGACGATGAACAAAGGTAGATGACAAGGTTGGGTGAGAGGTCGAGGCAGAAACTGTACTCGCGGGCGGTGCTGTGACCGAGGAATTTAGGGTTGATATCGACTGGGACACTTGATACGTAAAAGAATAAGAGAGAATCAGCAACCCTGGAACGAGGTAAATTGATATATCAAACGCACGGTCTTCTTTCGATGGATTCGAAGCCGTGGTAAACCCACTCGAGGCAACTACGACACCGTTTCGGCGATCCTCGTCCATCTCTTCTACAATCTTGTTGAGCATGAAGTTGAGGAATTCGTGAGCATCCTGGTGCTGAGCTGGCCGAAAGAAATCGTTCAGCTCTTTGAGTTTGTCGATGAACGCTCGGGGAGCGACAGTACCCTTGTCTGCAGGGTTTCGGCTGATGTGAAGGTAGAGTGATCGAAGGGCGGAGAGTAGTGTGGGAGGGGAAGAGGGTATGGGTATGGGAGTCTGTACACTTGTGCCTGCGTTTGCGTTTGGGCCGGTGGTTGCGGCCTGACTTGAGAGACCGGGATGTGGGCTGTCGGAGATGGAAGCCTTGCGAGCAGTCCTGGGTCGTTGAAAGGTGGGCGGCGGAGGTGGAGGCGATACTGGGGTGGGAACTGGAGGGGGGAGGTCGGGAACGGAAAGGTCGGGGTATTGGAGGACGAAGTCGCGGAAAGGACCACAGAAATAGAGGGCTTGTAGGACAGAATTGGCATAGCTGCGAGACCAAGAGTTAGCAAAGCGCAAGGGGAGGGCGTGGTATAGGACGAGAGAAATGTAGGAACAAGGGAGGATAGTCTCTATATCCCACCTCGCATGCGTTAGACCCAGACAAACAGCAACCAAAGGACTATCGAGAATCTATGATCGACGGCCGACTTGGTTTGTTGTCCAGCGTCTCGGCATGCTCAGGACGAAACAGAGATAGCGTACCAAGTATTGCCAAACTGCATATATTGGGTCAGAACGCCACGGGGTACAAGAGAGAAAGATAACACACGTTCTCGAGCCCAAAATACTTCGCATCCGGGGGAGTGACAACGGGAGGAGAATCGACAGTGAGAGGGACGGGAGTGGTGGTCGGAGATTGGGTACCAGCAAACGGGTTCCATCGTCTCATCGTTTCTCAAGTCTAGGGACCTGAGGACAGTTGGGAGCTGGCCGTCGTCCTCCACGATGAGCAAGCTGAATGAGACGGTGATGAGGGATGGTTTGGGACCGCAGGAGACGGTGTAGAGGACATCCAAGCAGAGAACTCGAGTCCACAGCTCAGACACCTTTCTCGCCGCGCCGCTCGTCCCGCCAGGCACACTCGGGCGGCATTCACTGACACGCTCCCTCTGGAATTCTTTTCATTCATCCATTATGTCTCTAATGCATATTCCACTTTCATAAGAACCCAATACTCTGTCTTTGAATTCTTAACCTCCTCGCTCACAATTAATTCAATGCAGAGGCAGTTCTATTCCTCCAACTTCATCGCGGGGGTCCCTGCGGGCCCCGTGCCTGTGTTCCTGTCCATGCGGTACCGATCCGCCAAGCGTCTCGTGGAAATACACCAACTCCAGTGGATGTATATCGTAATTTACACGCAACACAACTCAGCAGAATACACACCAGCATCGACGCGTTCTCAGGGATACCTAGTACTTGCGAATCACACATCGCATCGGTGAGAAAGAGGACATGCCCAAAATTCTGAAACGCGTTCGCTCTAAGAAGCTTGTACTAGGGAAGCAGTCGAAGTCATACAAATGTGGCTGATACTAGACCACTTCTGGACGCGGTACCAACTTATTCAGTGAACTTTCTTTCCAGGGTTGCGTTCAGTATTGGTCAGATACTATCAGATAACAACCAAGCCGTACTATACACGTACCAATACGGCTAAGACTCTCGGAAGCACAATGAATTCTACAACGACGTCACTCTGCCAACGTTACAGGTCTTCTATGAGCGCGCACTCCGAACTCACCGGGTTTTCTATACGTTTCAAGAATTGTCACAAGTGATAACATCGGAATTCCGAGCGCGTTCGAAAAGTAACTACCATACCTGGATGCGTGGTATTTCGGACGGTATGGAAGTCGCGTTTAAAGGTATGGAGTGCAAGGTCACCAGACAGGTAAGCAGCGGTGCGTAAATGGAGAGCCCATACAAGCTATAACCCTGCTCATTTCGCAGTCGGAACATAGTTTAGGGCGTTGACAGATGACCAACAGATCCGACAAAAGCCCTGCACTGCGTTGTATTAGGAGAATCTACGTTCTAAGGCAGATGACTTCTCACCTCGTTTCCATGCCGGCCACGAAGTGAAAGCCGGTGAATACAGTACAGTCATCAATCAAATGCATTGTCCGTGTAAAGGAGCCAGGGATCCAATGGGTATGCTAACAAGAGTCGAATGAATGGGTCACCTCATTTCGCAATCGCTTTCTGCTCAGCAACGTAGTGCTGTCTCTTTTCCAAGTCTAAACCACTTACATCAATCGAGTTCGGGTGACATGACAAAGGCCCGCTCACCATGCGCCCACATCGCAGCTCCGATTCGATTCGAGATTGTGAAAACGAGCCCAATGAAAGGCAAGCCCTCGAGCAAAGAGGCAGCGAAACCAAACGCTGAACCATCAGTGTAAGGCGTTTGCGAGAATCGGGAAATTCAACAGGCCGTACCTCGGTAGTCCCACTTGCGCTCCTCGATGAACACCGAAATTTGTTCGTCTGTCATGCCTTTGGCTTTAAAGTACTATGTATACGCGCAATAAGCGTCCTTGAAGGCGTGTCTGAATACGTGAATGACGTACTTGTTTGTGCAAATGACGAGCAGTTGTTTGTGCAAATGACGAGCAGTCCCAAGTGCTCGTAAGTAAGCCGAAATGACAATACCGACCACGGGTACGAGGTGTAATGGAGCCAAAGCCACTATCATCCTCTCGTTAGTCTCTTCTCATATAAGTAGATCTGCATCATACAAACGGAATACACTCACATGTAATCAACATCCTTCCTACGAAACTACTTGCAAACACGCTCAGTCCTGAACTCTTCTTCGGCTTGGGCGGTTGGTCCCATTCTTCGACATATGGCTTCCAAAAGTCCGGTCCTTTACCGCGAGAGGCGATAGTTTGATCATACACACGGTCTCGCGCGACACGAATATTACGGGAAAGGAAGAAGGTGAGGATGGCGGTTAGCTGGGAGGAGAGGAAGACGATGGTTGCGACTGAATGAAGGACGGCGTATTAGTGAGATGAGGGAATAAGAGGATACGACGACATTACAAGTGGGTAGGTCGAAAGGGACGTGAATTCCGAAGACTGCGTCTCGAGACAAACCTGTCACTCGAGGAGATCTGTACAAATATTGAGACTACCTTTCAATAAAAGCGCGAAGCACCAGAAAGTAATACGCACTTAATCAAGAACAGTTCAACGAACCACCTCTGCATCTTGAACGTCGTTACGGCCTACCCTCAAATACTCGTTCTCAATAACAGCCTTGCGATATCATTCACTTCCACCATCCAATTGGAACCAACTTACCCAAACCAACCCGAAACCAGCCCCCCTCATGAACCCATGTGAGCACTTCTTCCATGCGGGAACATAGAGAGTCTTGTCGGTGAAGAGTCGGTAAACACCCACGACCACATAGGAAGGCGGGAACTGGAGACGGGTGGTTGCTGGACGAAGGTGGTCGGGCACCTTCTCCATGTATGGCAACGGTGGCTCCGTGCCATAGTCGCCGGGGAGTTGTATTTCAGACATGAATGAGTACTCTGACCGTCAAGGGTCGTGAATAACTTGAATACAAGAATAAAGCTGCGGTTCAAAGTGTTCGGCGCGCGCTTCTCCTCAACTCGATCCTCAGCTCGATCGAAAGTATTCTGCGGTGCAATTCATGAAAAGAGCATTCAAATCTACACTCACGAAATCTCAGCTTGTCGCAGAACAACGAAACTAACGTTCAAAGCTCAAAACAGGAGGCCTTGCAAAAAGTCAATAATCATTCAAGTCGTCTATCATAGCATCCCTGTCCCCAACATCCGCACTCGGGACAACCCGAGGACCCATCTCCATCGCAGTCACCAGCTTCTGTGTCCTCTCCGAGACCGCCCTCTTCATCTCCTTATGAATGACCTGCCCCGCTTCACATGCCAACTTGAAGATATCGCCAAACCGATCGACATGTAATCTCGTCTCCATCGTCACCAGAGTGACCTTTTTCGTTTTCGGCATGACAGCGACAGTGACATGAGGGATGTCGTTTTCTTCTAGCGTTGTGAGGTCGAGCATCGGTGCTGTCGAGTGAACACCTCCTGTTACTGCACAGACGAAGTCGTGTAGAGGGATTCCTGCGCTTATGAGAGCGAGTGTACTAGCGTTGATGCTAGCCTGTAGGAGGCCACCATCTTGTTGCAGGACATGTACGAAGATGTCGATCTCGGAACGAGGGTAAAGAGAAGTCTGGACGACTGGCTCAAACGTCGACTTGATCGTTGAGCCAAGTTCCAATATTCGCCTGAGTAACACAAGAGCATGTGGGTGCTTGTCGGACGGGAAGAGGTTCATAATACTTACTTGTCACCCCTTGACCTTTTTCTTCTCTCTCCAGTACTAAACGGAACGATATTGACCTCCACATTAATCAACGCCCGGTCATGCATCGTCTGTGCGCGGACCTTCGCCTCTCGTGGTCCAAACACTTCTACGAGTACCTCTGTAAGTCCATGAGTGATACTTGCAGAACCATCCGCAGTTCCTCTTTGAGATAAGTCGATTACGATATCTCGAAGTTCATACTGCTTTCGTCCGTCCGAACGGTAGCCGCCGTCGTTCAGAATCTCGACTCGTGAGCTCTATGGTGCGTATGTATCAAGGAGTGTTCAAACGAGTCATAGATGAGTGAGCGTACTACAGACCATGAGGGGACTGTTCAAGCTGGTCGTGCAACAGAGCAAAGCCTGCAGAAACCTGAAACTTGAAAGTAATGTTTAATGTGAGTATGTAGCGCAAATTATATATTATTAATATTTAATTTGTTTAAGAAACATCGCCGGGATAGCTCAGCTGGGAGAGCAACAGACTGAAGAGTGTTTAAATTCTGGAGGTCCCGTGTTCAATCCACGGTCCTGGCATTACTCTTTTCTTCTCCTGCACTTTTATTTCCTTCTTCGACGCCCTCGCTGTCACGAAGTTAATCTCTGCTTGTTGGATTCGCCCAAGTAAGGTCTTAGCTTTGGATGGCGTTACCCACAGAGGTGTGGGAGAGGGTCATTCTCCATGTCAATGATGACTCTCTAGAGGAACGAAGAGTACGCTTCCTGCCTTTCATGGCCAAGAAAAGGACATGTCATCATAATATCTCCTTCTCAGTGCAGGTCGCTCGCTGCATGTGCTCGAACATGTTGTTCTTGGCTCCCCAGGAGTCGTTACTACATGTTTCGCAACGTAAACGTTACGAGCCCCACGAATGATAACGTATGCTTGACCACATTGGTCAAGTCCTTACGTGCTGGTCCTTGGAATGGAATGCTCGTGGAGTCGCTCTCTATATCTGGAACGGGTACACAACGTTCGGATCATATCAGCACTGCGCTCCTGTTACTCTCTTCGCTCCTAAAGAATGTTACCCTTCTCCGCCTGGGATCAGTTGACATGGTCCATCTTCACCCAGATTTCTTTCGCTATCTTGCTCAGTTCAAGTCTATCCGAAGGCTCCAATTCAGTGTACCTGCTCGACCTACGATACAGCATTATGCTCGTTTGGTCCAAGCCTTACCCAAGTTATCGAGTTTATTCCTGACACCTTCATATATCGATCTTAAGCACCGTCCCGCTCGAAGTAAAGCCATCGCCAGACGTCCTATGCATCCCACATTGAGTGCGCTCGAGATTGAGTTGGGCACTCAAGGTAACGATGCCACCGAGATTCATTCTCCATTCTTCCAGTGGATTGTCATGTCCACAACGATTACACATACTCTTACAAATTTTGAATACAATTGTATTCATCATGCGACGGAAGCAGAAATAACTATGCTCAACGATTTCCTTGCCCATTGCGGGGCCCTTAAACGGATAGCGATACATGCGCTTGGCCGATGTATGGGCGATGTTGATGTAGGGGCGCTTCCTATTCAACGTCAGATATGTCGCCTTTCATATTCTTGACCGCCAAGTTAACCGATATCATCAATAGACATCAACCTTGAACACAATGTGAACCTGAACTTTCTGAGTTTCGGTTTCCTCACATTGAGTACCTCTCCATGGTATCACACACTGGTATCGACAATTACCTCGACCCATCTGTCTTCCATTCGAATCATCTTCGAAGAGGACTATATGACACGAGTAGACTGGCAGTCGCCGGAACTGGACAAAACTATCCATAGCCTGATCGTCTCATACCCCCGGCTTCGCATCGAGTCGGAAGTTCACTACGAGCACTCCGAGTTTGTCCTTTGGAATGATCTGCCCCGCCGATGGAAAAATCTGTTGCCAAGCGTATGGAGACTGGACGCGTTTTCCAGTACGTTTAAGCCCTTCTCGGGCTTAGAGAGACATTATCGCGGGTTCGACTGACATCATGATGCCCTTGAAGTTTGGATGGGACCTTCTCCGTCAATGGTATACCATAAATTGCCTATCATTCTTCCAATGCCATCGTATATTATCAAAACCCTTCTTATTCTTCTAGGAACACGCTCTCGAATTACCGAGTGCTGATGTACTTGTTTGGACATGGTTGATTTAATTATTGGAAGTGCTAGCGGAGGTGCCGCATCCTAGTGTACAGTACGTAGCAAGCCGAACTCGAACGACGTCGGTTGCCATTTCTGTTCATGTAGCCGCGTGGTGTATGATCGAGAATGAGATCGCATCCTGACAAGCTTGTCTTGAGCACCTTCTGCCATCGTGGTCTTTCCTTTCTTCTACTACGAGCTCAAATTTACCACCATATACCACTTCTATACTCTTTCGCGCAACTTGCGCCTTTCGCTTTTCAGCATGCCTGGCTTGAATGCGCAAGCGACAAAGCTGGCGGGGTACGAGTTTTACGAGAAGGTGTTAGGTAGCCCCAAGTATATTGTCGCACCTATGGTGGATCAGAGCGAGCTAGTAAGTTATCATGCTGGATCCACCATCTACCTTTCTGACAAAACTAGGCTTGGCGGAGGTTGTCTCGTAGATATGGCGGACAGGTGTGAATTATCATACTTTCCTTCTGGCGTGGGCATACTAACCGGGTAAGTTATCAGCTAGTATATACACCTATGATCAATGCGAAGGTGAGCGAATTTGGAGAGTCGTTAGCCCCCTTTCGTTCGATTGACAATGTCATAGTTATTTTCAGAGAACAATCGCAAAGCGTTTCGAGAACAGCAGTTCAACACCGCCGAGGGTGAGGAAGGCAGCCCAGAAGATCGGCCATTGATCGTTCAGTTCTGCGCCAATGACCCAGAACAACTACTCACCTCGGCTAAGGTTGTTGAGCCATTCTGTGACGCCATCGATATCAACCTAGGCTGTCCGCAGGATATCGCGAGAAGAGGATGTTACGGTTCATTTTTACAGGATGAGTGGGATCTCATTTACAGACTCGGTACGTAACTTGCCTTTCCTGACGTTGCCTTTCCGTCCTCATCCTATGGATAGTAAACACCTTGCACAAGAACCTCTCGGTTCCTGTAACAGCCAAGTTCAGAGTCTTCCCAACTGTTGAAAAGACCGTTGAGTATGCGAAGATGTTGGAGAGTGCTGGTGCTCAGATCCTAACTTGCCATGGCCGAACGCGGGATCAACGTGGACACAACACAGTTCGTCTTTAGTCTCTCCTCGTTATTCTCGTATCATCTGACAATCTTTATCAGGGTCTTGCTGACTGGGAGAAGATCCGTGCAGTCAAGCAAGCCGTCTCAGTTCCCGTCTTCGCCAATGGCAACATCCTCTTCCACTCCGATATCGAACGCTGTCTTGAAGCGACAGGCGCAGACGCAGTCATGTCCGCTGAAGGAAACCTGTATAATCCCGCCGTCTTTGCTCCCTCGTTGGCTTCCATGCCCCCTCCCGTCCTTCCGCCGTCTGACCCGAATACGCCGCACCCAAGGCATTGGCATATTGCTACTGATACGGGATTGCACCCAGCACACACAACTCTTGCGCTGGAGTATCTCTCGATCGTGAAGTCTCTTAAGACCCCAACGTCGAACGGGGCGATAAAAGCACACCTATTCAAACTCTTCCGACCCGCTCTCTCGCGGGAGACAGACTTGAGGGACCGGCTAGGTAAGATGCGCGTTGACAGGGGGAAAGAACGTGAGTGCGTAGAGAAATGGGAAGAGGTTGTGAGGGAACTTGATGCTAGGATGAGGAGGGATGCTATGGATGTGAACGACAAAACCATCGACGAGTTGATCACTATCGACCCTGCAACGGGGTTGAAGATCCTCCCCCATTGGGTCGCACAACCTTACTTCCGTCCACTTCCACCTCCACCTGGAGGCCAAACCTTAAAGAAGAAAGAAATCAAGTCCGAGTCTGCACCAGCAGATTCTCCCATGACAAGTATGTATGACTTCCCGATCGCAAGAGATCATTCTCTTATACAGTTGGATTATAGACGTCAATATGCAATCTGCAGCTACAGAGGAACCTCCTACATCAAGCAAACGCACGACATCGGAACGAAGTCCAGAACCGAATGATGATGCCAGCAAGCGTATAAAGCTCAACACCGATTCGACAGACTCAGGCTAGGGCTCACCTCTCGCTATCATTACATCTTTGCATTGAATACTTAATAACTCCCGTCAGTCTTATACCTGGCTATTGTATCCTTAACACTTCATAGACGTACCTGACTTAATCACATGGACTTCCTGATTCACGGCATCCGTTCTCTCAGACATATATCTTCGTTAAGAACTGTATCCGTCCGTATCTGATAGGTTTTCCTTCTAAACTGCATGACAACAAGGCACTATACATAGTATACATCTGGATCGTATGCTTCTATCAGAAATGTGGAGATACACTACAAACCGCCGCCACCTAGTATGTATTCAATCGCTGAACTAACGTTTCCGCCCGTTGCGAGAAGGGCACGGATATTCTGAGACGCATTTGTGAACCCCATATCTTGCAGTTGCTGTGTGTCAGAGCCTCAATTTAGAAGCCGAAATCAATCGAAAGATACAGAGACACCTACTTGAAGTTGCACCTGGAATCGCTCTTCAGGGGGTCTTGCATCGGCGGGAGGTGCAGGGGCGGGGCCGCCAAAGGCACCAGCACCTAGCTCGCCACCGAGCCCGCCACCGCCAAATGCACCCATCATCTGCTGCATCATCGCAGGGTCCACCGTACCAAAGGGGCTGGGAGCACCACCTCCTGCACCTCCACCGGTGGCTGTTCCAGCTGGAGGAGCGCCGAATCCGAAGAATGGGTTGAATGGGAGTTGGGGTTGAGCGCCCCCGGTTCCAGGACTGGTAGGGGCAGATCCAGGAGACTGTTGACCCTGGGGTTGCTGACCAGTGGACGGGAGACCTGGAGCGGGGAAGCTACTGGCAGCACCTCCACCACCATGCATCGCGCTCGACATTTGGAGCATCATGCGCAGCATCTCAGGGTTAGACCTAAATATACCAAATGTCAGGACTAGCGCTCCGGGTGAGACGAGGATCGTACATCATCTCACGGAAACGTTCACTTTGAAAGACCTCGCGTACTTGAGGGCCCATAGCGGCAAGTTGGGGGTTGGAGGCGATGACTTGGTCGAGGACGGCGGGGTTAGACATAACACTTGACATTTGCTGTAGGAATTGCGGGTTGTTGAGCATGCCTTGGAGCTATAGCAAGCATTGATAAGCACCGCAAGCAGTTAGACCATATAACCTACGCACCATATTGGGATCATTGGGATTCAGACCCATCTCTGCAAACGGATTGAGACCGGCCATAAGTCCATACCCTTGGTGGCCATTGAGTTGCGTGAGGGGATCGTGAGGGTTCTGGCCGGCCTGCATCGTTGGAAGAGGCTGCGGTGTCGAACTTGATGAAGCGCTGGGGCGGGCTGCGCCCTTGACCATATGAATGGTATGGGCTGATTGGATCTTATACACTGATAATACATCTTCGTCCTTGGCGGTGAGTCAGCCACAATTGCTCATATCGGTGTACCCAAGCTCACTTTCAATACACGCCCTACAGCAGTGTCAGTCAATGTCTTCAGGACATAGGATACGAACATACCTGAGTATATCAGTCTCTGCCGGTCCGCAGGCACATCAGATTTCTCAGCGATCGCTTGCTTGAGATCCAAGACTGTCTTGTCGGTGGCTATTGTGATTTGGAGCTTGAGCTCGCTGGGACCTATCGAGTAAGCATTCAGTTAGCCGTATTCAAGTGATTAGAAAGAATTGGATAACCTTTGATATTGATCTGAATTTCGGACTCGGACATGGCGTCACGGCTAGTGGGAGTCGAAAGCAAGGAGTATGTTTATGTCTATTAGGCAACAGCCTCTTCATATTTACTCTTAAAGGCAGTACGGGCGTTTATATCTGAGGACACCTTCAACAACTGAAACTTATCCCGTTCAATGTTTCAAGCAATCTACAACATACAAGGATCAACGCATACAAATATAGATAGGCATAATTTGAATCACAAGGATACTGACAAGCTCTCGTCTCTCAGTCTAGTGCAGCCATGAAGTACAAACAATCGCGCCGTTATACGAATAGACCAAAGACGTCTCTTATCTCAAAATGTAGGAACAAGCCTGACTACGTCTTCCATACTCCAAACGCGCACACTTCCGTCGTCCGATGAAGATACGATTTCCTGGCCGTCAGGTGAGAATATGACCGCTTTCACCTTGTCTTCATGACCCTTGAAGTCTGCCATTATCGTGCCCTTCTTTGCATTCCACACATTCACAGATCCATCAGAGTACCCGCTAGCAATGTAATCTCCATCCGGAGAGTACGCTGCAGATGTGACAGTGGAAGCTACGTTTCGCAGAAGGTTGCGCTGAGTTCCAAGATACGAATCGCACAGGGAAATGGTAGAGTCGTACGACCCTGATAGGACCTCTTGACCATCAGGAGAAAACTGTACTGTCCACACCGGATTCGTGTGCTCCCGAATTGTCACGAGCTCATCACCAGTGGCCGAGTTCCAGATTCGGCTTGTATTGTCCTCCGAACCCGTGACAATACGCCGACCATCTGGAGAGAAGCTCACAGCCCACACGACGTTTTCGTGCCCAGACAAGGACGAGACGAGATGACCAGTTCTCGTATTCCATACCTTCCCTTGATCTTGCGCTGACGTAACAAGTAGAGAGGAATCTGACGAAAAGGCCATACACTGAACCACCGAAGGATGGTCATCCAATGTGTGTATTATGTCGTAGGTGTGTGCATCCCACAGCTTAACCGTGCAGTCAATTGACCCTGTCGCGACTGTAGCACCGTCAGGAGAGTAGGCTAGGCACCAAATGTCACCCTCATGTCCCACCAGCTGTGCAAGATTTTCACCGGTGTACGTGCTCCACACGATAGCGACACCATCTGCAGATCCAGACACGAGTTTAGAGCAATCGGGCGAGAACGCAACGGCTGCCACATTATCAGCATGAGCTTGTAATTTGAGCATCAACGCGCCCGTGTCTATATCCCACACACGAACGACGGCATCCTCGAACCCGGCAGCAACTAGCTTTCCATCGGGGGAAACAGCTGCAGGACATGTGGCGCCAGCTTCGTCGTCGTCGGGCTCAGACAACTTTATATGAGGCCATTCGAATGTGTCACCATCGATCTTTCCAGGAATTATGGCGCTGGCGCGCCACCTACCATCTGCTGTCGGGATTGTAGATTCGTCTTGCTCATAGTCGCTATGTTCGGCACTGGAAGGACCTGGCTGATCCGTAGGTTCAGGAGGAATTGGTTCGTTGTCGTGGCGGTGGGCAGCTAGATTCTGATATTTCCTAACTATCATGTCCTTTACGGAGAATTTACCGACTGTTTTCCACGTCAGCATGCATAGACTACCATTGGTCAAGATCTAACCTTTCTTATCTTCGCCAATATCTAGACTGAGCTCCCGTCGCTTGAGGAATTCATTTACGTCATCCGGCCACGGTACACCCTGTGATGCATATTGACTTCAATGAATTGAATGGGGAATACTAAACTGGGCTCACTTCTAGGATATCATGGACATCGACGTCGCTGGCTATGGCCACATCACATTCAGCAGACTTGCAATATTCAATGATGATCAGAACGAGCACCGACATCAACAAATGTGTGAAACCTCACCTCCAGAATGAAATCCAAAGCTGCATCGATTGGATGATGATTCTAACAGATAGGAGATCCACATATGCCATGTGTAGAATAACAAGAGGCTTACAGATGGTACAGGAGGATATTCCGCTATTTCAATATCGTCATCGTCCCCGCTTGTAGTCTCCACATCATTGTTGGTTGTGACATCGAACCTCTCGTTGTCCGGATCCTCATTGGAATCAGGAAGGTTATGCGGTCCTGCATTTGCTTCCAGCTTGGGTGGGGCAAATATTCGACTCTTAGCTTTGTAGTAATTCAAAAATATGCATTGATCCCGTAGTGGGTTGATCTGGCCCGATTGTAATCGGAATTGCGCTGGACCCCTCCTGGTAACAGATGAAGGATCCGTTGAATCGACTCGAAGCCCTTCGTTTGCATTATCGGCAGCTACGCCGTTGACAATCATGGTCGTTCCCCTCTTCTGGCCAAGACCCAGCACCCAGGATCTCGTCTTCACCCATCCCGATATCATGACAATCTCGTCCTTGTGGACAGCATGTCTCATACCCTGAGCAAGACGATGCCAATTGTCGCGATTTCGAAGCATGTACTCCGGCATTGCATCGTTTGCCATTATGTGTTTTCTGCCTGCTGTCGTCTGCGATACAAGAAAGGCTGCCTTGTCTTTCTGCAATGTAATGGTGATCGGGGGACATTCTACCCCGGTCGGACTATAGAAGATATCAGTCACCGTCTCCAGACATAGAAACCAACGTACCAACCTTCTACTTTTCGATACATCGACCCCAATACTAGTGCAGACTTGTCCCGCCTCCATGTGATTCGACGAGTCAGAAAATAATTGACGCGGAAGTTCTAGAGGTTGGAATGATTGAGGTACTCCGTTCATGTTTCGAGGGTCACTTTCGCCCTTGGTTGCATTGAATAACAAATAAAATTGTCCATCCGACCCAAACCACCCTACGTCTCCAATTTCTATTGCATGTTCCATAGGGAGCTCGGGATACATGCAAGCCATACCATAGTTATAATGAAGGAGTTCCTTGCCAAAGAGACTTGCTGGCTTCATGACCGATCAGATGTCTGTTGCTGAAGTCAAAGCTGCGTTTGAAGATAATACAAATGCGAAGGACGATGCTGTAACTAAATACCCACCGAATGAGGCGATGTCGTAGTTGGCACCGATGTACCTGTATTCATATTACAATATTAGCGTTCGCAAAGGCGTTTGTCGATAAAGAGACGCCGTCTGGGGTTCTTCTGCCAGAATTGCCATTTGTGGATTGAAGGAATCAGCCGGTGCACTGTTGTCGCTACATAGCCTGCCACAGCATCTCACAGCATGCTCTTTAAACTCTAGGTGCTACAGCCATTCGTTACACATAGTACCAGGGTATCCAGTCTTTTTAGTTTTTAAGGCCGTGGACACGAGTACAGTAGTTTCCCCAACTTCCAACAGCATCTCCGCGCTCCGTCAAAAGCAGACACTATGGGAGACACCGTAAGGTTCATTCTCACAACGTAGATACTTTTCAATGACATGCTTTCCCCCCAGGATAATGGATCAGGGAGATCAGCAGGATGGCCAACTATGGTCCGGACTATCAGAGGTGTAGACGAAGCGAAGATCAAGGACTACAAGGAAGATATCGATACACTCCTTGTCTTTGTGAGACGCTTTTATTGCACGATCTTCTGTCGCACTAAGTCAGAATATTGCATAGGCCGGATTATTCTCCGCTATCACTACTGCGTTCCTAATAGAATCGTACAAAGGCCTTCAGGAAGACCCATCGGACGCAACAAATCTTCTGCTATACCAGATGGTGTTTCTACTTCAGAACTCATCTGGGAATGCGCCATCGGTCACAATGCCTGACATGTCGTGTATTCTGACCTCATCGTGCCCATTTGATACCTCTCTTGCTTCCAAACGAGTTAACGTCTTATGGTTTGCCAGCCTCATTCTCAGTCTGGTCACTGCATCGTTTGGCATGCTTGTCAAACAGTGGCTTCGAGAGTTCCTAGCGGGAGAGTACACGTCTCCACAGGCTCGCCTTCGTACTCACTTTTTCCGATACCCGGGTCTCCTCAAATGGAAGGTCTTTGAGTTGGTTGCCCTACTTCCCATTCTCTTACAGCTTTCCTTAGGTCTCTTCCTGGTGGGATTGTGCTTCTTCACAGGAGCGATACATCCAAGCGTTGCGCAAACTAGCCTCATACTAGTTTCGTTCTGGGCTTTCTTGATCCTTATGGCCACTATAGCCCCCGTTTTCTCGCCTCGATGCCCATACAAAACCACCTTTCTCAAGGCACCGATGAAGTATGCTCGGTCGTTCCTGAACAGGCAGTTACCTACCCTTTACGATAGATACTCGATGTCGCACTTCAAATCAGAGGAGATAAGGCAAGATAATCTTACCACGCTGGAGCGTTTTGAAGAGGAATACTTTGCGTTCCATGCGCAATGGCACGAGGACCTCGAGATACTTCTCGCAGTGGATGCAATGCAACTCGATGATGAATTATTAGCTACCACCATTGCAGGATCATTGACGCAGACATCGTCGGATCATGCTCGATTACAAACGGGGACTTCCAGAGAGCAAAACGTCATGTATTTTATAAAGACGCTGATCGAGAACAGGATACAGCAGACTTGTCGCATTGACAAGGTGCGACCTGATTTCTACGGCAAGTTCTCGCTCCAAGCATGGTCCACAATCGTGCGCATCGTCGGGGATATTTTGGCCGGGAAGCTGCGTCAATACAGGAAGCAAGGCTGGCGAAAGGTAACTTGGGAGGGCTGGATGGAGGAGGCCGTCACGCTCTTGCTTTCACGCTCCGAGCATGCTCTACCGCGGCCAGGCCCTGAGGTTTTGGCTCTCGCTTTCGAAGTGGATCCTGCGGGTACAGCAGAGCTCCTTTGCTCACGCGTGCCGCTTCCCGATTGGGCATGGGAACCTGAGAACGCAGAAGCCGTTAAGAATACCGATGTCCTGGCCGATATGTTAATGCGCGAGATGCGCGGCGTCTTCGAGTTGCTACATGGGCAGGCTTTACTCGATGCGTTGTTTCACCTCCTCAGATGTCGATTCCATGATTCGACAAATTCCACTAGTGTTTTGACGTTCTTTTCCTCCCATTCTCCGGGGAGCAGTATTCTTTGCATTCCGTACGGCAACGCTGAACCAGTGGAGCTGCGTATATCGACACAGGGTAGTCTTCGAATGACACTCAGTCTGTTGGTGGAAGAGGTTGATAAGACTATTTGCACCCCTTGTGTGGAGCAACCATCGTGGTTCAAGGAGGCATGCCGGATTATATTTGAATATAGAACGTACTGGACAAATGAGCACACCCAATTGGTAACATCATGGCTGAGCCGGCGGCCCAGCCTCGATTGGTGCTTGCAGATGGCTTTCCCTCTTGATGATATCAGTGCGGCGCTGTCGTGCAGGTTTCGTGATATCCTTCCAGAAATCTATGAAGGCTTGGAACCTAAAGGTGAGATATTCTCATGCAGGTGTCTGCTCACTGGACTGAATATATGATGGCAGATCGCCAAACTATGGTTGAGCGTGTGAAGGAACTACTTCGCGACCATTACACCATTGGAGCAATCTCCGGACAGAACGAAATGGGCATCGATTACTTAGTTTTCTGCCGTTTCCTCTTGGAAACCCTGTGGAAAGAACAGCAGCTTCCAGTGGTTACAGGGGTACAATCAAAAGCACGCGTCTCACTCTCACGGGCATGGTCGAACCTTTGTCCTAGTCTTGCCCATATTCTTCAAGTATTCCTGACAGAGCATTGGGACGACACACGCCAGGATTTGGCAAAACATTGCATTGTTTTGGCCGAGCAGTTCACCAACGTACATACCTCCTCCGGCCCGACCTTCAATTTGACCGACGTGGTTGCTGCGCTCAATCGCAAGTTCGAACTTGTCCGAAAGGCGGCAAATAACTGGAGGGACAAAGTCCCTCAGATGCCGGAGAGCCCTGTCGGAGAGTCGCCTTGAAACGGTTGTCTCCGCGTATCATTTCTATCTATACTGTGCGGCTGACTGGATTATATTTTCTTATATATACCATGCATAACTGGACTCGCCTCGATACCCAGCCTGTTCCGATTTCAGATATCTCTAGTTTTATCCCTTCCTTCTTGCGTTAGTGCATCATACATTTATTATATTACATTCCATCCGTCTTCCTTTTGAATAAATACTTTGCATACGAAATCTAATCCTCGTTTGTCTCAATATCAACTAACTCCCGGCCCTCCTCGACCATCTCAGCCTTTGTACATCTAACGGCTTTAACTACACCAGCAACATCGGCCCTCAATACAGTCTCCGTCTTCATGCTCTCCAATACCACTATCGCCTGCCCCACTTCGACGTTATCGCCCATCTTGACTTTCACCTCCACGACAACGCTAGGCATCGGCGCTTTCAGAGCACCCTTGCCTGAACCTAGAATGTCACCGCCGAGTGAGAGAAGCCATTTGGGCGTTGGGAGAACAAGGGTGATCTTGCGGCCGTTGTGGAAGACATGCAGTCGTTCCATGGTATTCGGGGAAGTTGAAGCTGGGAGACTTGGAGGAGGCGCCTGGGAGACGATTGTCGTATGGAGGGAAACCGAGTTCAATGAGGTAGAAAGTGTGGTCGGAGAAAGAAGACGGCCAGGGACTGAGTTGAACGACGTTGACGACGACCCCGTCTGAACGGTAATATCGTAGGATCCTGGATTTGATGCTCGTACATGAACAGTCATTGGCTCAGCTGATGCATCGTCTTTCTGCAGTTTAATTATACGATCATAGACGTCACCTCCGAAACGCCTCGAAGAAAGCGAAGTCCACGGTGTTGCTACGGGTGCCTGTGGCTGATCACGAAGGACGACGAACAATGCCGCTTGAGCGAGAACTTCGGCGGAAGGTTCAGGGACGCGAGGGAACAACTGGTCAAAATGTTTCTACAGTAAAGATATGTTATTCAGTACGTCCATGAAAGCGGGGAAAAAGAAGACTAACCGGAATGAATCCAGTCTCGAGTTGCCCATCCACAAAGGCATCGTTTCCAGCCAACGTCCTCAAAAACTCGATATTTGTCGAGACACCAACAACCTTGTACTGCTCCAATGCTCTTCTCAACAGTCTGAGCGCCTCAGTTCGATCCCGTCCATGGACAACCAGCTTGGCAATCATGGGATCGTAGAACATACCAATAAGTGCACCTTGTCCAAAACCCTGCTCTAGACGCAATGAGGGTTCGACTGTAGTGATGGTATCAACAATACGAGCTAAGCCCGAGGAGTCATCAGAGGAGGCTGAGAGAGAGGCCAAAGTGATAGCAGACATAACGAGGGGAGGTGCAAAGGTATGCGTTGGCTCAGGCGTTGAAAGATAGAGGAGGGAACCAGAATCGGGAAGGAAGCCGTTTCTTGGGTTCTCGGCGTATATACGTGCCTCAAAGGCGTGTCCAATGAGAGGAATAGCAGACTGAGGGAGCGGCAATGGGTTTCCCGCCGCAACCTAGTCGAAGGAGTGAGAGGACGTCAATGTGTATAAAGGTTATAATTACCTCAAGTTGCCATTCGACAAGATCAAGGCCTGTTATCATTTCTGTCACAGGATGCTCAACCTGTAGACGGGTATTCCTGCAGAAAGCTACAGTGAATCAAAGTGAGACGGGATACAATCCTCGACGTACATCTCCATGAAATAGAACTCATTTGAGTCATTATCAAAAATGAACTCTACAGTGCCCGCACCAACATAATTCACTGCCTGAGCGGCATCGATTGCCTTCCGACTCAGATCCTTCCTCATTTCAGGTGTCAAACCAGGGGCCGGAGCTTCCTCGATGATCTTCTGATTTCTTCTTTGTACTGAACAATCTCGTTCCCAGAGACTTATACACCCGCCGTGGGTATCAGCGAAGATTTGAACCTCGACATGACGCGGATGAACGATATATTTCTCAACGAGAACGTTAGAGCTCCCAAAGGATTTAAGGGCTTCCCGCTGGGCAGAGGTCAAGGCTTCATGAAAGGCTTCAGCGGAGTCAACGGTTCGCATTCCTTTGCCGCCGCCTCCATGGACAGCCTTTATGAGAACAGGAAACCCTGAGTTCTTTTTATCAGTGACAAAAAAAAAGTTGTTGAGGCTGTCTTATAATTACCTATTTGCTTGGCTTCATGAAGTAGATGTTCGGGATCCTGGTTCGTACCATGATATCCTGGGACGACTGGGACACCAGCATCTAAGTAATTATTAAATAAATTAACTAAGATTGATAATGATCGAGATACATACTAGACATTATGGTTTTCGATTCACTGAAAACACAGAAACATGAGCAAACAGACGTCTTCTGTCCGACACTGAAGAAATATACCTCTTGGAGCCCATGCTCACTATCGCACTAGCAGGAGGGCCAATGAATACAAGCCCCTCCTTGGCTAGACGTTCCGCAAACTGAGCGTTCTCGCTCAGGAAGCCATATCCAGGATGTACGGCCTAATGCGTGGCGGCATTTGTGTGGATTCTCTGGACGAAAGTGGACCGAGAACTGACCTGAGTACCACTTCGATGACAGACGTCAATGATTTTGTCCATCCTCAGCTAGGGAGAAAGGATAAGCCCAGAAAGTAGGCAACAATGGAGGTCCAACACTTACGTAGCTGTCAGACGATGGAGCAGGACCGATGCAATACGCTTCGTCCGCCTAGCTTCGTTATTCAGTTCCGAATCCTTAATAAATGAGCATCCAGCTCGATATCAACACACCAACTGGACATGCATGGATGAAGCGTCGACTTCGCTGTATACAGCGACAGTCTTGATACCCAGCTTCTTGGCAGTGCGAATGACCCGGCAGGCAATTTCACCTCTGCAGAAAGCATAGCTAAGACTTACCTCTCATCTTTCGCAAAACAAAAAAACGACATACCGGTTAGCAATGAGTATCTTATCGAAGTGGGGTTTCCTCTGGGTCGTCCTAGATGAAGGGTCTGAACAATCCCGTCAATGCTTGAATGTTTGGATTAAAATATGTGGTACTTACCGGCGACCATTGCAAACGTCCTACCGGTAGATGGAGCGAAGTTCGTAAGTCCCACACGTTTCTTCTGGATGCTTAGCATCGCACCCCGCCCTTTGGAACTCGAATGAACAAGACATGACGCAGAAGCTGCGATACCGGGTTTTGTAAGAGACTTTGAAGCCGCCAGAGGTATATTTCGTGCTGCCGCACGTCTAGCTGTAATGGTATGCATATCGAACGTTTACAACAGGATCGTAACTGCTGGGTATCTGAACAGATCTGAACTTAAGAGAAACCTCGACGCGGGGAAGTCAATGCGGGGTAGACGCCGGTCGGGTCATTACCGCCACTCGATCACATGGCATAAGCCCTAACCCCATGGCACATTGTCTTATGTAAGCTATTATACACGACCCGCAAGTGATGGGCGCTTTATTCATCCTGCCTTCCACCACTCTTGTCGGACTCTGCTCCTTTACTTCTTTCATTCACTCCTTTTACGACACATTATACGATGAGCAACGTACGCATATCTACTACTATTAACTGTATATCGCTAACATTCACCATAGGACATTCCAATGGAGGAAGATGTCCTCAGCGACGTTGTGCCCAGTAACATTGTTTCGCGTCAGGTATGTGCTTGTAGTATCCCTTCGAGACCTTGTCAAACGTAGCTCACTATCTCGTTCAACAGGAGAGTCTGGGTGCCGAGAGCGAATATGTTGACGAAGTGGAGGAGGCAGACGAGTTGCAGAGCGACAATGAAGCTCCAGTGCGTATTTCGCCCACCAGACTTTATCTCGACGCGTTAACACGCGATTTATCCCCTAATAGGCACCAGAATCCCCTTCAAAACTAGCAAAGATAGAGGCCAGCGCTCAGCGCCAACAGAAGAAACAAAAGCGGAAGGCGGAGGAGGGCCAATTGCAAGCCAAGAGGCAAGAGATGGACAAGGCGAAGGTGCGGTGTGTACCTCCGATGAATTGCTGCATGCAACTCACGCATTTACAGATCTCGGACGCTGTGAAACGATATTCATATCTCCTGGGGCAGACAGAACTATTCAAACATTTCGTCGATATCAAGGTGAGTGTGTGACCCAGGATTGCCACCTAGACTTGGAGCAGGCAGCGTGTCCTTTGCCCGGCGTTGAGCGAGAAAGAATCACCGCACAAATGCAGTTCCTCCCCTCCCCCTAGATGATCGATTGCCGTCATCCCCATGGGCACTGTATATCTTCATTAATTGAGGAAGGCAGGGTCCATGCATGCCTCTAATGAGGCACAGCTCTTTCCTCGGCCTGCTGAACTGCACTATGTGCTACGATCAGTCCCCCGCTAAGACTCGCCTTTTGTGGCTCCTGGTGTAATTAGTGAAGCCATGCTGATTCTTACTTACAGAAAGCACGCGATCCCGAGTATGCCGCTATGCTTGATGCACAGCCCAAACCCAAGGGTAGAGGTCGCAAAAAGGCCATGTACGTACGCCACTTGATACGTTTCGTACTCATACTCACAATGATTGCAGTGACAATAGCGCTCGTCATAGGAAATCAGAGAAAGAGGAAGACGAGGAGCTACTCAAAGATGGGGAACTGGCAGCCGAGGGTGATGATCAACCTCCTGTGTTCGAGGACTCGCCGAGTTGTAAGTTGACTCCTTTGCGTACTGCCTGTTCCGAACTAAATTGCGTGTAGTCATCAATGGAACCATGCGTTCATACCAAATCCACGGTTTGAACTGGATGGTGTCTTTACACCATAACGGCCTGAACGGTATCCTCGCTGACGAGATGGTACGCGCAATTGTTTATCCCTCATATCAATGCTAATGTCTTTTATAGGGTCTCGGCAAAACACTCCAAACAATAGCTTTCCTTTCCTACCTGAAGCATTGCCGCCAGATCCGTGGCCCACATCTTATTGTCGTCCCTAAATCCACACTGCAAAATTGGTCTCGTGAATTTGAAAGGTGGACGTCTGATGTCAGCACGGTTCTCCTCACAGGAACAAAAGAAGAGCGCGGGGAAATTATCACGAATCGTTTGATCCCGCAAGACTTCGAAGTCCTCATCACATCCTACGAGATTTGTCTCATCGAGAAGTCCGCTCTCAAGAAGTTCTCATTTGAGTATATCGTGATCGACGAAGCTCACCGTATCAAAAACGTCGATTCCATTCTCTCGCAGATTGTCCGCTCCTTCACAAGTCGTGGTCGGTTACTTATAACCGGTACTCCTCTACAGAACAACATGAAAGAGTTGTTCGCGCTGCTGAACTTTATCTGTCCCGAGATTTTCACCGAGTATGGTGATTTGGAAAGTTTCTTGCATAAGGACGATTCAAGTGCGGACGGTGATGATGAAAAGAGCAAGAAGGTCGTTGAGGCATTACACAAGATCTTGCGGCCATTCTTACTCCGACGAGTAAAGAGCGATGTGGAGAAGGGTCTTCTACCCAGTGCGTTTTATCGTTTACCCTGATCATGAGTATTGCCGCTGATGTCTCAAACAGAGAAAGAGATCAATATCTATGTCGGTCTTACGGAGATGCAACGCAAGTGGTATCGCTCAGTGTTGGAGAAAGACATCGACGCTGTCAACGGTCTGACGGGCAAGAAAGAAGGCAAAACGCGTCTTATGAACATGGTCATGCAGGTAAGTTTCGGCACGTCTTACTTGCTTTCGTATCTAATATATGATTAGCTTCGTAAAGTTACATGTCACCCGTACCTCTTCGACGGCGCTGTGAGTGAGCTGACGTTATCTAATCCGGCACTCTGACTAACCTCGAACAGGAACCTGGACCTCCTTACACCACCGACATGCATTTGATCGAGAACAGTGGCAAAATGGTCATTCTTGACAAGCTCCTCCACTCGATGAAGGCCAAGGGCTCTCGCGCGCTGATCTTCAGCCAAATGAGTCGTATGCTTGATATCCTCGAGGATTATTGTCTCTTCCGTGGTTACAGTACGTACACATCTGTAGCGTCGATCCACTGTGGGTATCCGTCTAACTCGAATTACAGAATACTGCCGTATTGACGGCAGCACCGCGCATGAGGACCGTATCGTGGCTATCGACGAATACAATAAGCCCGACAGTGACAAGTTTATCTTCTTGTTAACGACTCGTGCCGGTGGTCTGGGTATCAACCTCACCTCTGCTGATGTTGTCGTTCTTTATGACAGCGACTGGTACGTCTTTTCTTCTTTTCCATTGACACTAAGGCAGTATCTTGATACACTTGTCTTCCGCTAGGAATCCTCAAGCTGACTTGCAAGCCATGGACCGTGCTCACCGCATCGGTCAGACGAAACAAGTCTATGTTTTCAGGTTCATCACTGAGGGCAGTGTCGAGGAACGTATGCTTGAACGTGCTGCACAGAAGTTGAGGTTGGATCAATTGGTTATCCAGCAAGGCCGAACCCAAGCTAGCAAAGGTATGTATGCGTTTTACCCACTAATCAACAATGAGACGCTAACAAACCACGTCCATGTTCAGCGGCCAATAAGGAGGAGCTCTTAGAGATGATTACCCACGGTGCTGAAACCATTGTGAACTCGAACGAAGAGTAAGTCGTTCTTTCTGTAAAGTATTGCTCTGCAAATTGATTTCATATTTGTAGTCTATTGATTAACGACGACATCGACGCCATCATTCACCGTGGTGAAGAACGCACGAATGAATTGAACAGCAAATATGAAGAGCTCACTTTCGAAGACTTGAGCAACTTCAAGTCGGAGGCATCTGTTCAGCAGTGGGAGGGCGAAGATTTCCGAGGAGTATGTTGTTCTCTCTTCTCACATATCCCCGTTACTGACGCAAGGTGTTAATCACTTGTAGCAACGCAAACAACTGCAGTTCAACCCGTTGTCGCTGTCCAAGCGAGAGCGCAAGCTGAACTACTCGGTAGACAGCTACTTCAAGGAGACCATGCGTGCTGGTCCCTCGAAGACGGAGAAAGCGCCCAAGATGCCTCGCGCCCCGAAACAATTGCAACTGTCAGTGAACATTTTTTAATTGCCGAACGTACTTATACTTACCACTGTTCCACTATTTAGCCAAGATTTCCAGTTCTTTCCCCCACGCCTTGCCGAGCTGCAAGAACGAGAACTTGCAGCGTTCAAGGTAAGTTAGCTCGTTGTTGAAATTCATAAGTCTTTAGCTCATATGTGGCGAACGACAGAATGCGAACGACATTCCTGCAACCTTACGTGAACCCGCGGGTCCTGAGGATACGCCTGAGAAACTCGAGGAAGAGCGAAAAGCTGCACAAGAGCTCATCGACAACGCGGAGCCGTTAACCGAACAGGAGCTTGCTGATAAGGAGCGACTCATCGCTCAGGGATTCGAGGATTGGAGCAGGCGTGACTTCCAGCAATTCGTTCGTGCACTGGAGACATACGGATGGTGAGCCGTCTCCCTATTCTGGCAGTCAAGTCGGGTACTGAATCATTTCTAGGACTGATGACTTTGAGCTCCTGGCGAGCGAGATCCAAGACAAAACGGTCGAGGACGTGGCTCGATACTACCCTGTCTTCAAGAAGAAATGGAAAGAGCTTGCTGAATATCCTCGAATCAAGGCTCGTATCGAAGAAGGCGAAGCTAAGAGGAACAAGCGCTCCAACCTGGAAGCCCTGCTTTCCAAGAAGATCGCCTCTGTTCGGTACCCCATGCAGGAGCTCGAACTCAACTATCCAACGACAAAGGGCAAGGTTTACTCTGAAGAAGAGGACCGATACCTTCTATGTCGCCTGAATTATTACGGCATGCGTGCGGACGATGTATATGAGCGAATCAAGAAGGATATCACGGAGTTCCCCGTCTTCCGATTTGACTGGTTCTTCAAGAGTCGCAGTCCGCAGGAGTTGCAGAGGAGATGTAACACGTTGTTGGGTATGATCGAGAAGGAAGCGGAAGCGAAACAAGCTGAAGAGAAAGCTCGCGCACCGACGAAGAGCAAAGTACGTTGATGTGCTGCATTTCTTGTCTGTTGAATGGATTGACTAACCCTCAATATCAGAAACGTGGGATAGATGATATAGCGAAGTCCGATGCGAAGGACAAGATTTCGCGATCGTCGACTCCTGCGAGTTCAGTTGCTGCCCCAGCAAAGAGACCATACAAAAGAAAGAAGACATAGATGATTCAGAGTTGTGTTACTATTTTCTTTGCATCGTCTTCCATGTATCATAGAATTAGCTTATAGTACAATTAGACTTCATGCTACTTACCTCGACAAGTGCTCCTAAGCTTCAGCATCACACAGGTCCCGGCATTCCAAATTTCCGACGCGCCATTCGTTAAGGACATAGTGAGAAGAGTATCACGTTAGTGGTCGTTCTAGTAAGTCCGGTCGTCAGAGGAATTTTCGACGTCTAATCTTTCTCTCTAGTCTGGACTTCTTTTCATTCGCTGTGGTGTGTAAATTCTTCCCCTTGCTTATTTCTTCGCTTGTTAAATATAAGTCAGGTCTTGCAATAGGTACGGGAAAATCTTTTTGTCCTTAATGTTGCTAATAATCCATCCCACGTCCTCGTTTAAAATCGCTATTAACAGGGGCAGGAACTCTGGGGTATGTAGGGATGCTGTACAGGTCGACTGAAAACATTATTTGTGCAGTTTTGTCTATGGGACTTGGGGGTCTTATCAGTCTGCGTTTGCTGCTGGGGTATGCTTGGACAGCCCCTCGTTTCGCCTGTGCTCCTGAATTATTCTCTCAAGGTCATCGTGAACACCACCGACAATTTTTCACTGCTCGTGGACACACTGATCGCGGGATATTTAATCCACTGCCTGCGTAAAGCCCGAAGAGGTTTTAATCGAAGGTGATTTCATTTGAATAGAAATCTTCTGAATGATTCTCATGGCTTCGGTGCAGAACCGACAAAATTATCTTGTGGCTTATGGCATATTCAATTAATACAGGGTTGATCATAGTGTAAGTTTTAGTCATGATCATCTGGGTTGCGATGCTCACTGAATTCTTGACCACTCTTAGGATCGTGTCTATTTTGGTTATGATCACAGTGAGTCTCTGCCTAGAAGACGTAAATTTTGCATCAACGGGCAACGCTTCCAGTTCACTACAGTCAAAGATAGCTTCCTCTTCTTAGGCTTGAACGTCATAGGTACTGTAGTAAGCGTAAGTCTTCGAAAAGAATCTTGCGCATGTCCTACTATTAAGTATCTGCTAGTTTATGCGAACACACCTCTCGGAAGGTGAAACCCTTGTTTCCACTATTGCGCATTCTCAGACATACTAAACATGATACCTTAACGCAAGGCTAATGCTGAAAGCTCCAGCTTTCCATGTTGATCCTACGTCGATGATCGGTCATGAACTTTCGGCTATAGTGAAGCAGAATCAGGCGGTTAGTGACTCCACTATTGCTTAATGGTGCTCACCCGGGACTCAACTTGCATGTTTGTTCTAGCAGCCTATTGAGATTCTGCGCGAGGTTTCGGAACTGACAGATGCGGTGAGACTCGGTCTCGTCCATTGGATTTAAGCGTGCGATGCTAAGTGCTCTCCGACTCATGGTAGACTCTGTCCGCCCTTGAAATAGGGCGTAGCAAGTCCGCCACCTTGGATGCCCCAGTACTTTAGTGACTTGAGTTGTTCGTCGAGGCTCTCCGGTAATTTTGATGGCTATGTAATATAAATTATCCCGCTTCTTCGTGAGTTAGAAGAAACGACTCGAGAAGGTGGTCGGCGCACTACACGTATCGTTTGTTCTAACATGATATTAATTATCTGTCTAAGTCATAAATCATTCCATTATATCCACCGAGAAAACAGAGACAGATTTGAATGCCTTAATGAGATTGTTGAGTCATGTAAGCTTATAAGTGTATACTTCCGCCGCCGCGATGGACGCGCAGGAACGCACTCGCAGCTAAACGCGTGATGTCACGCGTGACAAGACGCGTACAGTCCTGCCAGATCGGCCGCCCAACTCGCGAATGCTCACCTCGACATGTCTCAGCCAAACGACAACTTACGCCCATTCAAGCGAATCAAACTCGACCATGATATGTCTGCTTCGACATCGTCTATGACGCCCTCTTCTAGTCTTCGCACTGTGCCTCCGCCGGTCTTGCTCGTCTCCTTACCCGGACTTGTGGCGCATCCTCCTAACCATCGTTACTATGTTCTGTCACTCCAAATATCTCTGGATGCCCTCAGGAAATGTCTCTGTCTTTCCGCTCTTTCTCCGGAAATCGAATGTCGCGCTTGGACTGGATTGGCTGAACTCGGGATGAGGGTGATTGCTAGTGGTTTCAGTGAAAGTGAGGACCATCTATGGGCTAAAGGAATTGAGATAGAGGTTTGTCTATTGCCTCTCTATACTTATTTTATGGGTCTTGATCCTCGCATAGGTCGATAAGGCGTTAAGCAAAGGCGTAAGTCCTGCAGTTTCTCTAGTTTCTGCAGATATATGCGTGCGGTGAAGATTACCGCCACTCCTCTTGTCTGCTGTGAACCAAATGTACGCTGACGAGAATTCTTTTTTTAGGCAATTATCGCACAGAAGGTACGAGTTTACGCTACTTCTAATTTCAAGTCGTTTTGACATGATTTGTAGCACCCATCGCTTCGTCCGTTCAAACATCACATAGCTCTCCTTCAAGCTCAGTTTTCGCATTGGCAACACAAAACCAAGTATGCCCGTACTCAAATCCGGAATCTCATATCGTCGTTCTTGCCCACAGACCCTCCGTACATTGTCTATTCTGCTCACCTTGCCGCAGTTTCTCTTTTCACGAGTCCTCAATCGTTGACCTCTTCTTCACCTTCCACTGCTCATATCGGACCAGTACCTCCCGCATCTCCGTCTTCCAGATCAAGTCCTCAAGATATCCATGCCGCGCTATCCGTTACCCAGGATATGGAATCGCACGCTTTCAAACACAAGCATCATCAAGTAGCTTTGCTAGCACAAGTCCTTCGCCTGCGTATCCTTGTGGCAGCTAACATGTGGCCTGACGTTGCCGCAGCGATACAACGGGTCGAAACCGCTCTTGGTCTTTCATACGAGCCTTCATCTACACCAAAGGCTCGTAAACCCTCAGCGGGATCGTCAAAGGACGCACCGAAGCCTGAATCTGAGACGATGTTCATTATGTTTGAAGACCCTTTTGAAGCTGCTATGGTAGTGCATACACTCGTGATGAGCGTCGCATACTTTACCCATGTGGGAACCTCCAATGAAGCTTCTCCAAGACTAACACATCTTCACGCCCTCCTGGATTCAGGCGTGCTGGATTTGTTTCCTGATGGCCTAGTACAGGTTCGCCCTCCGGAGCTGGTCATGTTCAGGACTGACTCGTTGACTTTGTATATGCGCACAGATTCCATTACCTACAGGACCTCCGCTTATAATCCAGTCTACACATCCTCGAATATTGTTCTTGCTTGCATTCCTCATCAGTAGTGCGGCGAAACGTGACGCCGTCGGTCGAAAACCGAAGCGCAAGGTTTTTGCTATGGAAGGGTTGGCCGCTTGTGAGAAGAAAGGCGTCCCTCCACCCCTGCTTCGTAAGTAGCCTCTCTGAGCGAGTTGCTTCTTTCGGATGGATGCTCATGTAATGCCTAGTACCGATATGGTCTACTTTAGGTGATGTGGAAGAGGTCGAACAACGGCTCGCGAGGATCAAGGCAGACCTAATGTGCGAACTTCTAGCGGTAAGCAGCCACAAACGACATTTTGACTTCACCTTACCACGGAGTTCTCAGGTGTCTATCATGCGAAGCGAATTCGTCGAAGCTGAGAATGTACAGTGTTCGTGTTCTAGTGCACCTGACTTTGGTACTGACTGTCGTCAACAGACCCTCGCCCAGCTAATAGCCCATACCCGAAATTACCATATATTCCCACTATTTTCCGCCCGTATCTCTTTGCATCACGCACACCTCGCGCATGCACTTGGGAACAGCGCTCGAGCTCTGCAGTGTTACCAAGTTGCGATGGAGCACTCTGAAGAAGGCGATTTCGTTCATGTCGCGGCCCAGGCCGGGATTATCTCGTTAGACCTCGCTGGGTACTCGAATCAACTTGCAGCGGAATCACGCTCATCGAAAACAGATCGCAAGGGGAAGCAGAGAGAGATATCGATTGAACCATGTGTATCGGTCGTGACTTTCTTGAGGACGTGTAGAGGGAAAGGCGGTACTCTGGATGCTATAGGACATATTCTTGAAGCATGTTTCTCTTCTGAAATGCTCAAAGCCAAGTGAGTGCCCTCAAAATTCTTTGACGTCATGACTCATTCCGCTGTAGACAACACCTGAAGATAGCTCTAAGCTTGGCTTCAAGTTCACAGGACAATCATCTGAGAGCGTTGATCCTTGCTCTGATTGCGTCTCAGTATTTTTACACGGCAAGAGACCATTGTCTGTCGACGCTTCAGACTTGCGAACAACTTGCTGCTGGGCTAGGAGTCCCCCTTCACAAAGGAGACGGTAGCGGAGGGTTTTCGGGAAACGTGCATTTGGCATTGTGGATAGGGAGGCATTTCCTAGGTGAGTTCCGAAGAATTATATACTGTAAAGTTGGTATACTGAAAATGATGCTAGATATACATAAACAATCTGGACAACAAGCGGAGACTCTGCAAAGATCTCTGAATAATGCTAAACTGGAGGAAGCGCTGGATGCATTGAAGGACAGAGGACTTGCGGGTATGCAGAGTTAGTTTGGTAGTGCTGGTTGTGCTATAGTGGACTATTTGTATTGTCAACGAAAGATATGGAAGCACCTGCCCGCTGAGAGGAGATAGCTCGATATGGGCTGGCATCGCGTGGCGCGCGAAGAAGAGATATGCGAGCATTGGAAGATATGTCTTTTGTTGTGGTACTTCGAGGACGTCCGCGGTGTACTCTAGGGGACTCTGGGTGTATAACAGGTGTACGAACTTGTTGTATTCGTTTGTATATTTATTGGCGGGATGGACAGGGTGTGGTCAGTGTACCTGGAGCAGGAGGGCGTCAATGGGGTGCGTGTGAACTGTTTTGTGGACTGCTTTCACCGCTCACTCGCAACGACCATCCTGCCTCCGACGTCGCGAATGAACTAACGGCGTTTAGATGGACGGCTCGCCTTCGTATGTTATTTCCTTTTCCTCAACCCGAGCTCGCTGCTCATTTCCAACAGACACTCTAGAACATCCTCCGTATACTCTCCCTCCATCCAGTCTGCCGCTGCCTCCACCCGACACATGCTTGCAGACATGAACAACCAGAACAGTCCCCTCTCGCCCCCCAACGCTCCTTTCGCATCCAGCAACAGCTACCGCTCTTTATCTCCCAAAAACGACTCCCCCTTGATGATGAGCAACTCTGACAAGCATCTCTCCGCTTCCCTCAGCATCAATTACCTCCCCAGCAAATTCTCTGACAACATCGTCACCAAGCGCAGAAAGGGTGCCAAAGGTTGGGATGGCGTCATTCCCAAGCAGGGCGGTGGTCGCGAGGCCTTCAAGAGCAACGAAGCACGCATGCCTGGTGAGGGTGACGACGACTACGACGGTGTCTCCAGCGGATGGTTTGGCGGCAGAGAGGGCGGCAGGACTCGTCCTCGGCTGCGCTGGAACAGGTTCAAATGGACCCTCGTCGCTGCCAATATCGTGCTCTCCATCTACTCGCTGGCCGGCCTCATCGCCTGCCTCCTTATCTGGTTCAACGTCTGGACCCATGCAGACATCGTCAGGGTCGGTAACCGCACCGAACTCATCATCTCCACCATCGCTGCCTCCCTGGGCATCCTCACCTCCTTGATCGGTTGGTCCGGCATCATGCTCAACAATCGCTCCTTCCTCGCCATCTACTGTTTCCTTCTCTGGATTTGCTTCGCGCTACTCGTCACGCCGGGCTACATTGCGTACAAGAAGAAAACGTTCAACCTCGAGGGCAAGATCAACGCTCAGTGGTCTCGCAGTCTCGGTGCCGAGGGTCGTTTGAGGATTCAGAACCAGCTCAGGTGCTGCGGATACTTTAACCCCTTTGTTGAAGCAACCGCCAGCCAAACATGCTATGCACGGAGTGTCCTGCCTGGATGCAAGGGCCCCTACATCAAGTTTGAGCGCCATGTGTTGCAGACCTGGTACACTGTCATCTTCTCCCTCGTCCCTGCCCATTTGATCATCATGGTCGTCGGCCTGCTCTGCTCGAATCACGTCACGTACAGGTTCGGCAAGGGCATGATGCCCAAGGCGTACCGTCTCAACTTGAACAGTATGGCCGTTATCATGGACAATTATGCAAAGTATGTCACCTTGTTGGTCTTAGTTGATGTATACTGATGATCCATTCTCGCAGCCAATTGGCCGAACAATACGGGAACGACGTCGCTTCAGAAGTCATTGCACGTTCTCGTTCCAATTTGCAACTCGATACCATGCCGACCATGCCCTACCGTGAAGCAACCAGCACTTCGTCCACCTATGGTGGTAGCAAGTACGATACTCTGTCTGCCAGAGCACCGGAAGGCCATTGATCGATTTATCCTCTTCGTACTCGGATCCTCTCTGCAGCGTGAGTCCCCTCTTCATTGACATTCCTCTCCCGTAGAGTTCTGGCCTGATGTGATTCCCTTCCCTAGATGGACCTTGACTACACTAGTCGTTCGTTCGTTAGAGACATTTACATATACCCTTGTATCCTCCGTCTTTCTCCTCGTTTACTCTTCTCATTGGTGGTGTCGAGTACGAGCTGTGAAGGATACGAATGGACACTTTTCTTTTCCTATTGTACGACAGGGACACATCCTACCTAATTCATCCGCGCTCATGCATTGATATGTGACAAACACTTGTTACCTTGTATTTCATGGGATAAACCGTCACCTGGTCAACAGATGTGAGGCTTATATGCCTTTGGCAAAACAATTCAGAAGAGGGTTATGCTACCTATTTCTGAGGATGTTGCTGAAGGGGGCCTGTACTTTGCGAGAAAGGTAAATATTGCGTGGATCCGAACAACAGCGAGATACAAATGTGCATGTGCAGGGTGGTATGATACAGTGGTATGCGAACGAGAGAGAGGACGGCAAGCGTCCAGCCATGAAATTACAAAAGAGATTCAATCGTCAATGAGCAAGCTCTCCGCGTCAAATCTATGTACAGTCTGGATGATATTGGCATCCTTCCTAGAAAACACAAGCTGAAAAAAAAAACAACAACATGTCAGTATACAACATCCTACACCTCAGAACGTTCAAGGCACAATCAAATGACGACGTACCATGTACGGATTGGCAGTGGATCCAGTGGTATCTGCCAACACCTCCTCCTTTGAAACGACAGTAACATCAGAATCATTGTACTTGAACCAAGAATCCGGGTTATCCGGCAAATGGCGCGAATAGAAAAAGTAATGGCCCCATGAGGGAGAGCTGCCACGATGGATGAACACAGAGGTGAGCTCATAGGCCGCATTCGCATCGGTTCGCCAGAGATCTTCGAGCTCCTGTTTCAGCTTCACCGCTTGAGCGCGTTCGACTTCCAATTGGGAGGTGATAAGCTGCGACTCGTCCCGGATGGCGGCAATGAAGTCACTATCCACTTCTGGTGAATTTTCTGACATATACGAGAGTTTTGGCGTGTCCAAGAACTTGGCCACTCCAGCCAAGGACGGCGCGAACGGCGCATACTGGTAAATTATTATGAGTTACTTATCCTCGATTGACAAAGCAGATTGTCGTCCTCACCTTCCCCTGTGTCAGCCTTTGAATGCGATCACGACATGCGTTCAGCTCAGCCTGAACGACCTTCGAACGTGCTTTCTTCTGAGGATCCGCCGTGTCGAGGAAGCGATCCAAGAAAAGTGTTTCGCCAAACTTGACGTACGCTTGAGACTTATACGCTTGTTGAGTGTCACGATCGAATTGAACGCGCTAGAACCACAAATGAACAACTGACTATCTCAAAGTGGTCACAGTGAACGACATACCTGCAATTGGATCTGAAGTACCGGTGGGAGATCAATAAGTGAAACCTCCATGCGCTTCTTGATGCCTTCGAATTCAACGATATCGTCAAAGTATCTGCTCAAACCATCGTAAAGGTCGTATCCCTCTTCTGACACATTCACGTGGAGGTGTGAGAACAAGTCTTCCTTCTCGTGAATGGACGATTGGTGCCTGTGTTCGGCGACTGGTGCCAGATCAGTCAAACGTTGACGCTTCTTGCCATAAAATAGCCTATAATGCAGTATCATCAGTAAAGCTTTAATTCAACATGCCGGTTCTGTTACCGTTTAACGATGCTCGTCTTGTCATTGTCAGACCCTGTTTTGTCCTGGAAGTCCAACAACGCGGTCTCGATCTGGAACATACAGTTGTCCATGCATTCAGACACATCATGCTGCCGACCTATCAAAGCGACGATAATCAATGTTATGATAAGGGATCTTGCGGTGCGGAAGGCTTACCGAACATCATGACTGAATCATTCACTTCACGAGGTTTCCGAGGGGGAAGCGGTGGAGGCTTTGTCGACATGTCTTGCATCTCCACGTCCTGTTCAGTATCAATAGAAACGAGCTTTGATGAACTAGCTTCTGCCGAAGAACTTCCCTGAGGGGAAGAAGGTTTCGACACCATCACGAAGGCGTCCTTATCTGTCTCGCCTTTCGGGCTATCGACATCCATCCGCTGTGGCCCGTCACGGTTGCGTTTGCCCAAGACCGAGTCCGATGGACTAGGTACAGGCGACGGAGGACGCTCGTGGACGCGTAGAGGGGCATCTTCAACCAGAGTTGCGTCCGTGTCATTGGACGAATCGGTGCCTGTCCTCTCATGATCTTCCTCTTCTTCGTCCTGGGACGTCACCAGTGCGAGCTTCGCTAGATCAAGAGTCGGAGTCACCGCTGGCTTGTCGCACCACTCCAAGTTCCAGAAAAGATCCGCGAGCTGATTCACAACTAATGAATTGTTAATGGCGGCAGTAACCTCCAAAGATGGAGCAAAATACGTACACTTCTTTGACCGTACAATTTCCCTCCTGGTCACCATGCGCCCTCCAACTCGGTGGCGTTTCAGGTCGTCATCAGTGAACTTATCGCCCAAGAATTTTGCATCCGCCGGGTTAGAGAAGGGCACAATGGCTTCACGAAGGTCCTTGATAGTGTAGAAGTACTGTCATGCACATAGAATTCATTCACAGGTTCCCGCCCAGTGATGCAAATTACGTACCTGAAGGAGCGAATTCAAGTAACAGGTATTTCCGAGCTGATTTAGGCCACGAGGCATGTTCTGCATAGTGGTATTTGTGACATCGCCAGCTGAATAAATTCATGTAAGGGGTGTTAATACTGTATGCAGCTCGACACTCACGATCTTGCCCAGTTTCTAAGAACGAACGAAGCCGTTGGCTATCAGTGAACTCGGCAATGACAGTAAGGGCTTCGCGCATTTTGTCGCCTTGACTCGGTTGATCCTCAACCTATGGATACAAACCACACATTCAGTATCAAACTCAGTAAAGTTTAGTTGAAGAGAACATACCCGCATCGAATAGACAGTGATCAACATGGTCTCATCCACCTCCTTAGGAACCTCCAAAGTGGCGTAAGCAGCGTCGGGCGACATAGTGTTCTTCTCCCACTTATACGCATTCCTCAACTTCTCGCCACCTCGCACGTCCGAGATGATTTTGAAGCTATCGTTCAAGTCTGTCCTCCGCTCAGCCCCGCCCCCATCCTCTCTCCAACTCCTTTTCAACCCATTCTTCCAGGCGTTCAAGATGAAGTCATCATCAACTTCGTCATCGAGTTCAACACCTAGTTCATTCTCCTTGCCAAATCCAAGGTAATGAGTGGCGAGCTTAATGTCCGACTCTGTAAAACGTCCTCGTGAACGTTCTGCGGCAATAAGGGTTTGGAGCTCCTCAGAGTTCGTTATAGTCGCGGAAAGCCCCCGTTTCTGGAATGTTTCAAAGATCTTGACGAGATGTGTGAAGTATTGAATAGTATGAGGAGGATCACATCGACATTGCGCGAAATAGGCAAAAGTGAGCAAGTCTAACGTGGGATGATCAGTGGAAAGGCAAGAACAGCATCTGAAAGCGCATACCCCACGCATATGTTTCCGCAGTGGTGCCGAGCACTTCCCATGACTCTTGCAATGAGTGGATTTTGACAAGGTCCCCGGCCAAAGGACTGAGAGGGACTAGAGAGAGCGGATCAGAAGCTATAGACGAGATGAAGGAGGGACCCTAATATATGAACGTACTTTGACTCTGATGTGCACCAATTCCGGTGCGAACCATGTCTGCTGCATTTTCCGTAATGACATGCAAGGGAGATGGTTTGTAATCACCATATTGCTCCTCTACAGTCCCTTCAGCCTGAGCGACACCATGTGAACGTACGGCGTGCGTGGCAGACTTACTATCTCGCACTTTGTAAAAGATAGTCAACCACGAACTGATCTCCACCCAGGCTCTGAGCAACTTTGAGCGATTCTTCTTCCCCTCCGGAGTATCAGGCTCAGTATACGGTGGGTGCAGAGCGGCGTCCTCAGTTGAATTCTCGCCTGGCATCGGTCTCACCGCAAAGCCTAACGACTCAAAGACGCACCGGCTGTCAAACAAGATACACGCATGAGCTAGTGGGAACCAGTAGAAAGTCGCTGCAATACCCACATCACATCATTCCAGCCTATTTTGCTTAAGAATTTCGGCCGTGTCACCGGCAAAACACGATTCTCGCCTTTGAAAAGTCGATTTTCGACAATACTAGACCCCAAAGTGGGTGACGAGGAATGCCATTGATTATAAGTACTCGACACAAAGAAATCGAGACGAGAATGTAAACATACGTAAGAACAGTTTCCCATGCCTGCAATGCAGTCGCCCTGGACGTCCGACTTATACTCGGGTTATTCAACTTCTCTTTCGTGAACTCTTCGAGAAACTTGAGTGGAATGACCCCTGGGATGACTTGTGATACGAGGCAATATACTGAGCACTGGCAGCATATATACAAGTCCAGCAGATCGCCTCCAGACCGTGTCGTAAGCTCTTCTTCGGGAGCGGGTACGTTGTCGGTGTTCTCGACTATAGTCATCTTGCGCCTCCGACGTTTGCGAGTCTCATCCTCTTCCCATTCATTCCTTCGAAAAGGAGGATTGAGCGTGCGGGCATCGACAGCACGTTCATAACGGTGGAAATGGTGAGTTTTGTTGGCTTGACCAAACGGTTGTTCACCATCACCTACACAGGAGCTTGTGCGCTTGCGACGAGATTGATCGGGAAGAGGGTGCGTTGGAGTGAAAGAAGAAGCAAAGGGTGGAAGGACGGAGGAGGAGCACCAAAGTATGAGAACCCATCCGTTCTGCTCGTTACTGAAATAGGCGTTAGGATGTGGAATCGCCATGCGGACTTCCTCCATACTCGGAGGCGTAAAGTTTGAAGCATTTGGAGCATTTGGAGGAGGGCTTGAAGATCCATAAGATGGTGAAGCACTACTTCTGGAGGCTTCATTCCTTTGGGCAGGTAGGCTCTTCATTGTAACAGACCAGAGACGATCGGGAGGTGCAGATAAGTGGCACTCGATTCTCGGTGGAAGCATTCCAGGTCCTGGTCTCTTGCTCTGTTCCTGTACAGCTGGATCGCACCAGTTCTCTTCTTCATTATCGTCGCGACCATCAATGTCAACCTTCTTCAAGGAATCAGCCCATCCTGTAAGTAAGTCCGGCCAAGGACCAGGTGCTGGATCACTCCAGTTCACCGATGTCGGTTCTCCCCAGTTAGTTGCGGGAACGAGAGCGGGTATTTGTTCGTCTTCTACAAGTTCAGGCTCGCGATATGAAGGTGCTAACTTTGGCACGGGTGCCTGGTAATTGGTACGAGAAGATCCTGGAGCTGCATTGGTGGATATCGAGGCGGAAGTCCCGTAGAAAGTCGCAGGAGGAACTGTCTTGGGTTCATTGGGGATAGGCAATGGTCTGCGCGCTTTGGAAGGCGTGGAGACTTTGTCAGTTGATGGTTTGGGAGTCGATCTGGGTTCTACAGGCTCTGTAGGTGATCTCTGGCGAGATTCATGAGACATGGTGGTCGGTGGCGGGAGCAAAGAACGGCTTGTTCTGGATGGTTAAAGGGCCCTAAAGCGTATCCGTTAGTTGGACGCTTCAGTACTGCCGCCACTGAGGTGAGATGGTTGTTATACGAGACAAAGTAAAGAGAAGGATGCGACTGCTGAGTGCTGCCAGAGAACGCGTGCCATAAGGTAAGCGCCAGATATAACAGATGTATTACATAGCATTACAACCTGTGCTACGACATTTATAAGCGTGAGAATAAAAACGATACTATCTAGTTACACCATCAATTATGACCGAACGCTACGAATGCGATATCATCGACCTATCCCACATACAAAGAGCAGAATGGATGGATACTCACAAGTCGATTGATTGCCATCGCAATTTCGAACAAGCGTGGCCGCGCTAAGAATCCATCTACTCGTTCATGTCCAACCAGCATATCCAAGCCACTATGATCCATCTGATTCTCCAAGTTGTTCAATAATTCCGCAAGCATGACCGGTTGAATAATGGAAGATGCCAGATACTTGAGTGCAGCAGCTATGGCCCGGGTTTGGCTATCATGCACGAGTTGCTTCGCAGCAGATAAATCCAAATGTATTTGGCCTACGTCGATGGCGGTACGTTTCCGCGCAACCGTCTTGGTATTTGACGAAGGCAACGAAGAGAGATCTAGAGTCCTGCCGTGGACCGCTCCAAATTTGTGCTCTGCAACGTTCATGTAAGGATCCATATACGAATGTCAGCATTATCACGCGAACCTTCGTACCAAGACACTACGGATGGGATCTCTTGAGCTACCTTCCGTGCGGCATCTGTGATGTCATGACATTCGTAGTTCCGCATTTCGAGAACCAAGTCGGCCACATCACAGTAGTCACCTGTGTATAACTCCACTTAATATATTCATAGGTATGGTAGCAGTGAACCGGCATCACTTACCACAACCACCAATGACCAATACAGATGAGACCCCATGATCCTTGAGCAATGCACGAACCTTTAGATCGTAAATATATATGCTGACATCATGATGTTGAATTAAACGCACCTTGAAGATTAGAGGTGTAATAGGATCCGCTGTGATCAATCTTTGCATCCTACGATCTCGTATGAGGAAGTTCGTGGCACATGTGTCCTCGTCAAAGAGGAGGGTATCCGCACCCGTTTCCACAGCCTACCAATAAAACTCAAATTGTTTGTCTCATCCAGTAACGAAAGAGTTCACCTCAATAACGCCAGCAGCCATTGACGTGCTTCCACTGGCATCCTGAGTGGAGAAAGATTTTGTGGATATCCCGCCAGGAAGGGTACTGATGAAGGGAGATATGTCAACGTTCTTGATCGACCGACCATCTTCCCCTTGAACAGAAAGGATTCTGGGCGATGCTACAAGATATTCTCGCCCATCTGAAAATATTAGTATGTACATCATAAGATAAATTCATACTCGCTTACCGCCCGGAATATGATTGTAGCAGCCAACAGCAAGTGCATCGAGCAATGTCGACTTCCCCTACGTAAATGTTTTCTTTCGGCATGCGACCATGGTGATACGACCTGCAAGGCTTACATGAAACCCACCACCTGCGATCATGGTGATTCCAGCAGGAATTACCATGCCCCTGATTTCTTTCCTGCTATTATGCAAGTAGAATATCTGCTCAAGGTGGGGCGGCGATTGCAAGCGAACAACATTGGGACCTGAAAGTGGAAGGTCTGAAGCACCGCTTGCTCGTGGAAGGGTCGCTCCATTTGGAACAAATGCGACTAGCCCTAGGAATGAGGAGCATCAATGACCAGGTAAAACTAACTGGATGCATATGTCATGCCTCGTTGAGAGAGCTCTTCACGAAGATGATGTTGATCGTCGATGCAGTCGACAAATAGTTTCACCTGTCCTTCGGGTTGTGAAGAAGCAAGTATTGCATTGAAGAGCCTTGGAATGTCGTTTTCGAATATTTGTGCAGCCTGATGGCCCAGAATGGTCCTACCTTGTGATATGAAAGGTCAAGCGATAATGTACTACAAAGCGGGCGATATGTGGATGAGATACCTCGAGCAGGAAGCGATATGGTAAACCTGACCTCGAAGCCCTGCTCGCCGATTACGACAGATGACCGTTCGAGAACCTGTTGCCCAGGCTTGTCGATGCTAATGACTCCACGTTTAGCGGTTGACCAGCCCTTACTACCGGAACTATTCCCTTGAGACGAATATGGACGGGAGAGTAGTTCATATAGTCGACGTGTTAGGTAGTCTCGGAGTGCGACTTCTCTTACACCGGAAAGTACTTATAAGCCGAATTCTAATGACTCAGCCTCCAGACTAGGAAAAGACTTACCTTGTCGGATTATCGTAAAGACTCTTATCATAGCCAATCAGATCTTGGGTTGCTCTGAGACGAAATTTGCTAGCTGGAGCAAATGGGTCGCCTTGGATGTGATCAACGACAAGAAGTCCTGATGGATACTGCCATACACCTTCAAAAATCATTCACATGCATTAACTAGAGAGATATGAGAGCAAACAATAATCCTGCCTGCCTTGTAAGTCGTGATACGCTGGATAGCTCTTGCCATCCAGCCGACGAAGCATTTGGGCTAACGCATCAACGTTTCCTAACGCTTCTATATAAACGCATGGTGAGGCAATATGTACAGAATTGACAGTAAATAACGTACCATTTTCAGTCTTCCTCACACGTTTCACACCCCTACCTTCATCCTCCACCGGCCTTCCGTCTCCACCTCTTCCCTTACCCCGACCATAGAGGTTCTTGTAGTATTGTCCTCTGCCACTTCCGCGACCTACATCGTAGGCATGTAACTTACGTTTTATCACAGAGGACACGGCTGCAATCGTTACCTGCCATTGATGACAATGGAACATGCACTAGCTGGTTAGAGTAGATGATAGTTGAAGCAGAAAGTCTGAACTTAAGTGACTGCTAAAATGGGTTGCAGCGCTTGAGAACGGATTTCACCGAACGACACGTCGACCAGATCAGAGAAACTTTGCTGCAAGGGAATATGCATGTCATCACATTCTCTGCCTATTGTACACAATTGACTGCTGTATAATTCGCGCATATACTCCTAGTTTGTCGGAATATCCTCATTATGCAAAGAGCTCGGCATCGCCCTCCAACGACAACGAACTGATGCGCGTCGCACCTCCCTCCTCACGAACACTGTCGCTCGAGCTTCAGCTATCAATTCTATCGTCTGGATGATCACTTACGCTGCGGACGCTTTGACCTCTGCGGTGTCCTTGTTAAAGTTTCGAGGTGACCACGAGATTACGGTGACGATCTGTGGACAATCAGCCTCCTGTCCGTTGCAAGAACAGATGTTAATAACTTACTGGATGCTCCGAGTTCTCTACCGATGCTTGAGGGCTGAATTTCGCCGCATCAGCTTGCCATTTCTTCTGTAACCGGAGCAACGCCTCCTTTAGTCCCTCGTGGTCGACCTCTTTCCCTGCAACGATTCCCTTGGCATCACTCGTGAAGAAGTTGGAGTAATAAGTGCTGAACAGGTCAACGGGACCAGGTCCCATACGTATATGAGCTAACGCTCCTGTTGGTTTGGGGAACGAAATGTGCGGTGCGTTCAGCAGTTTCACGAGTGTGTCCTGGAGCCATTCCGGCGTTCCGGCTGCGTGCGCTGTGGACATTGTGCTATGGCAATAAGCGGAATTTGGAAGGGGGAGTTCAAAAGGGCGATAGAGAGCTGTTTGGTAAGCGTTGGGTGCTATGGCAAGTTGGAACGAGTTGCGGATGGAACACTGGAGAGGTAGCAATGTGCGAGCTAGGTTCATCATGAGCGATCTACTTTTGGATAGATGACGTTGTTTGGTCCAACCCATACACCCTTATATCGATCCAGACTTGGCCTCGATCTAGAGGTGTGTGGCACTGCATATCCTCCAAAGCAGTTGGTTAGGAGTCATAATACTAACTCTTATATCTTCAATATTCTAGGCTCTCAACAATGCTGCTCACGAACAACATATGCACTAGATGGTATTCCTGGCCGATAAATGCAATAATAGCTCCATCTTTACGTTCAGAATGTTCAGCCCGTGTAAGGATAAGGAATCCCCGAGGTTCGCCTTAGGATGCTAGGAAAGGTGAGACGTCATACAGATATCATCCTGCTGCTTGTGGGCATTGCACTAATTCTTGATACATAGTTGTATAGATAGTACATTGTCTTCAGCCAGTACTCTCCTATTACATGTATCTGCCAGATCCCACTTAACGTCGAAGCAGCAGTGTCCAATTCGGCCGGGAGTTTTATCCATTCAAGGGCACCGGAAAGTAATACCTCAACTGTAATGCGTTCCGATCAAACTCAGGGCCTTCATGGCAATGACAAGGTCGGTTGAGTGTCATCGTTGCTCTTGCGCCGTTGCTGTCGGCCTTGTGCTTTGGCATGTTTCTGAAAGAAGTTCGGGAAGGTATCAAGAAGCCATCAGTGAGAATGTACGTCTGAACGTAGTAAGCTTGTAATGACCTTCTGATGGAATGATTTCAGCGTACCGAAGTGTATGCGCTCTTTTGCAAGTGTACACTGTGAATTTAGAATTTCACGATTCCAGGAGTCCCCAGCTATTGGTCGAAGATGCGTACTCTATGTATGGATCGCAGAGGATATTGCTCGGCTGCAAGCGGTCTTTGAGCTGCTGATCCCGCGGCGGGACGATGGTAATGAATTTGATGGCTGTCAAGGATCGTCTGTAAACCCGCACAATACTAGCAAGGACAGGGAAGTCAGAGTCGATGCGTCATCGGCGACCGACGCTATGTATACTGGATCTATATAAGGTGAGGTTTCTTCTCGCTTCCAAGAAAACAACTTGCAAAGCAATGGCAGACTCGGCTCTCTATACGTACATTCTTGCAGCCCTTGTTGCCATCTTGCTCTATAGATGGCGATTCGTCAATGTAAGTATATTTTTCTTTGACCCCATCCGATTTCCATACCTGAAGCCTTTAAGCTTTATGACATTCCTACCATTGGGCCGTCGGTACCTTTCCTGTCTTACATAGGTGCGATTCGCCTATTGAGTCATGCGAAAGACATGTTACAAGAAGGCTATCAGAAGGTAAGGACGACATCACGTTCGTGTCGTTCTCATGATATCGAACGACGTATGACAGCATAAAGGTGGAATATTCAAGATTGCTATGCTGGATCGTTGGCTCGTCGTCGTCAGTGGTCCGAAGTTGGTAGAAGAACTTCGCAAACTCCCTGATGAACAAGTTTCTTTCCTCGAAGCAGCACAGGATGTACGTCTTACAATGCCCTCACTAGTAATAGGCTGCGAGCTGATGGCCTTCTTCGCTTTACAGCTGGTTCAGATGAAGTACACATTCGGGCATGAAGTGCATGACGATCCAATCCACGTTGAAATCATCCGTGCCCACCTGACTCGACACATCGCTAGCATCTTCCCGGATGTCCGAGACGAGATAGTCTCTGCATTCAACGACCATATTCCTGCAACTTCCGATCGTCAGCAAACACATCTTCAATTCTCTTTGTTTGCCCCTCATTCTAACCTGTCCCCTCATCTTAGAATGGATGCCTGTCTCTGTTCTCCCGGTTATGCAGAACATCGTTGCGCGAGTAAGCAATCGGGTCTTTGTTGGGCTGCCAATGTGTAGGGTTTCTCCTTTTTTTTGAACGGTATTGTTTCAAGTTGAACTGAACATCCATTATATAGGTCGACATGAGGAATACCTCAGGCTTGCCATCACACATACCATGACGGTCGCGCGAACAAGGAACTTACTCACCTGGTTCCCGGAACCTCTCAAACCGTAAGGAATATCACAATGTCTAACACCGGCTTTCGTTGATCTGTCTGGTTCGCGACACGATTCTAATTGTGCAGGATTATCGGCTTCTTCGTGAACGAATCGAGGCGTGGCTTGAAGCATGGTAAAGCGTACCTCGGACCCACAATTCAAGATCGCTTGAACAAAATGCGTGACTTCGGAGCCGACTGGTCAGATAAGCCTGTAAGGACGATTTTGCTTAGGGTGAGATAAATGGAGAATGATTTTTTATTCAGGACGATATGCTGCAGTGGACGATCGACCTTGCCACGGACAAGGGAAAAGGCATAGGTCAGATCGTCCAGTATGTTCTCCTCACCAATTTTGCAGCCATTCATACTTCATCAAACGTATGTTCTCTTCGCAGTCTTTCATCGAAGAGACACAATGACGGCATCTTGCACTTTTAGAGCTTCACTCAGGCGTTGTACCACCTCGCCGCTAACCCCGAGTATATCAAACCTCTACGTGAAGAAGTCGACACTGTGATTAAGGAAGAAGGGTGGACCAAAGTCGCGATGCAGAAGCTCAAGAAGCTTGACAGCTTCATGCGCGAGTCTCAACGTATGAACGGCATTAATGGTAGTACGTATCCCTTCATTCTCTTTGTTCGCGTCTTGGAACTAATCTTTTCATCCTGCAGTTTCACTCATGCGTAAGGCCATGAAGGACATCAGATTCTCAAACGGATTATTCATCCCTGCAGGAACTATGATCGTTGCTCCTGCAGTCGCTATGCACATGGATGACGAGAACTATACTAACGCGGATGTCTTCGATCCTTGGAGGTTTTCAGATCTACGCGGCGAGGAAGGCGAAATCACCAAGCATCAGTTCGTCAGTACCTCCGTGGACTATATTGCCTTCGGACATGGGAAGCACGCGTGGTGAGATACTGTCTTCAGGTGTTGGCGCTGTGATGGACCTGATGGGATCTCATTGTAGCCCTGGTCGGTTCTTCGCTGCGAATGAATTGAAGGCGATGCTGGCACACACGGTGATGAACTATGACGTCAAGTTCGAGAATGAAGGGGTTCGCCCTCCCAATGTGTGGTTTGCCACCACGGTATCCCCGGATCCCACTGCGAAGGTTCTTTTTAGGAAACGTCAAGACTGTTTCTAGAATTTGTTACCGAAGGATATTGTGCAGACTCGTATAGGCTATGATACAATGACAGTCGTACAAGCAGGACAGAATGATGATCATCCAAATTCACACATTCGCCCAGGTCAGTTATACGTGTTCTGCAATTAGTGGCAACTCTGCTTTCATACTCGATTGCTTCCGCCGCATGCAACACCTTGGATGTTCTTACCATTTCAAGCGAAGAACATCCGAATCTGTTGCGAGATCTAGGTTCTGTATGAAATCTCTCACGACTTTTAGGCGAAAACCCTGCCAGGTGACTGTAATTCAATGCCTAATTCTCCGAACTGTACTGCTTTGTTGTCTATGAACCAATCACGAAGCTGCCCACACTCGGAATCGTCAAGGCGCCCCCCGTAAGCCTTCTTCTGTCTTCCCCGGCCAACTCAATTCACCTCCCAATTAATCCGACTGCCAAGACGATGTTCAATGCCAAGACAACGTCTGTGACCCGAAGGTATACAACCCGGATAGTGCTCGTCCTCGAGGAAAGCATGTCAAATACAAGCGACAATAGTCATGCCTGCCCGAGTATTTTCCCTCAAGGCAGCCATGCGCCAATAGTGCCTCCGTCTACTGAGTCCAGCCTTGTTGCAATGCGATCTATGGTCACTTATAAAGTGCCCCACTCCCCGCGTTCCTGACTCTGCAAAGCATTCATCGACATCCCCTTTGCCCTTGTTCGCCGATATGAAGTTCGCCGCTGCTACTGCTGCAGTCATCCTATCCAAAATCGCCTCCATCGCGGCACATGGTGGTGTTACCAGCTGGACTATCGGTGGTACGACCTATCCAGGATGGCAACCATACCTTTCAGGTACGTACCAGTGTTCGCTCAATTTATGGGTCCCTCGTTGAGGTTAAACATAGCCGCCGGTCAGGACACCGCTGGTCGTCCTTACTCCAGTTACGACCCTATCTTGAATGCTGTTGCTCCCACCCTTCATTGCAACAATGACGGGTCGAATGGTCCAATCCCTGAGTCACTCACAATTGCCTCTGGACAATCCATCACTGCTCATTGGTATGATATATTCACGCGAACCTAAAAGGTAGTATCTGATCTCCAACATTAGGCCTCAGTGGACGCATGCGCAAGGTCCTGTTACTGTCTACCTTGCATCATGCGGTGCTGCTACTTGCGATAGCGTCAAGAGCAGGTCAGTCTAACAGTAGTTCAGATTGCATAATACCGACCATCGTCTGTAGTGGCCTTCAATGGTTTAAGATTAACGAAGCCGGTCTCCTCAGTGGTACTGTGTATGATGGTACATGGGGAACTGGTAAGGTCATGGACACCTTGGAATGGACTGCGACAATCCCTGCTTCCCTCAAACCCGGTGCATACCTCATTCGTTTCGAGCTTCTCGCTCTTCACCAAGCCAATACGCCTCAATTCTACCCGGAGTTAGTCTATTTCGACTCTTCTAATGTGATTCAATATTGATATGCATGCATTAGGTGTGCAAACCTCATTGTAACCGGGAGTGGCACTGCCTTCCCTTCATCCTCGTTCCTCGCACCTATCCCTGGTGCTTGGGGAGCCAACGACCCTGGTGTCAACATTGACATCTATAGCGAGGCAGCTAAGTCAATGACTTCTTACCCGATCCCTGGCCCTCCTGTCTGGTGTACGTCTACCACGATTGTATCAACATTTATGACATCTAATTTGCGTTCGTCTAGCCGGTGACAACTCTGCACCACCACCGTCGTCGACTGCTGCCCCGCCTGCTACGACCGCGCCCCCTGCTGGCCCTAGTACCACCACCGCTGCTCCTCCCGTAACGACAACTGCTGCAGGTACCGTTGCGAAGTATGGTCAGGTAAGAATGATCTGTAAACCCATCTGACCCTACGGATTTGACAATGAACCTTTCCTAGTGCGGTGGAATTGGTTACACAGGTCCCACTGGTTGTGTTGAGGGCACATCTTGCAACCATGTCAATGACGTGAGTATTTGACTTCCTTCGGAATCAATTATTGATTGATTTCCTATCGATTGTAGTACTACTTCCAATGCCTGTAAATCTTGCCTTCGGAAATGCCACAATTACTATGAATAATCGGCATGTATCTATTTGTAAATATCAGTAGTTCTTTCTACTTTCGAACCTCTTGGTTAAATGCAAGCGACCTGAAAAGCACTCAATAAGGCAATATCTATAGGGCTGCAGCCTAACAATGGTAAACAACCTGCACAGTCACAGCTTCGAAGAACCCACCATGGTTCATTATATTCGTACCATTTCCCTCCCCTCTTCGTGGATTTTCTAATCCTCGACGCTGTGATTATAATCTTACAATTTCACACCTCTGGTTGAAAAGATGGACGTCGACATGCGTTGGCGTCAAGCTCTCGGTTGCTAGATAAGATAAGATCAGACGTCACCACTGATCCACGCCTAGGCCCAATTTCCGCCTTTAACCTGTTTACCTTTCGCCCCATCCAATCCCCCCTCCCCCATTCCTACCCTAAGTCGTGAAATGGTTCAAGTAAAGAACAAAGTCTGTCTCATGTACGTCTATGCATATACTGCATCTGTGGAGGCTGCACATATCACATTGTAATTTCGTAACTATCAGTGTTCACGATGGCTGGGGTATTGCGCCGGAGAAAGGCATGAAAGGTGATGCCATTGATGCTGGAAACACCACAAACATGGATACTATCTCGAAGGAGCACAGCGTCCGAAGTTTGGCTGCTCACGGTCTTGCGGTTGGACTTAGTGACGGACTGATGGGTAACTCTGAAGTCGGGTATGTCTTCACGATCGCTGTCGATCTACGATCATGCTCAAGCTGACTTGTTGATCGCTTAGTCACTTGAACATTGGTGCTGGTCGCATTGTCTGGCAAGACATCGTGAGGATCGACGTATCCATCAAAAAGCGTGTATTCCACAAAAATGAGACTATCCTCGAAAGCTGCAAGCGTGCGAAGGAGGGTACTGGTCGCTTGCACTTCTTGGGTCTCGTCAGTGACATCACCTTCTCCCATGAAGCAACGAATTTCTCATATATCGTTTAGGTATCCGACGGTGGTGTTCATTCACACATAACTCATCTGTACGCTCTCCTGGAAACCGCCAAGGAACAGGGCGTCCCCCATGTCTACATCCACTTCTTTGGTGACGGTCGTGATACCGCACCTCGCTCAGCAGCGGGCTATGCCAAGGATCTCCTTGCTTTCATCGAGAAGGAGAAGTACGGTGAAATTGCCACGGTCGTTGGACGTTACTATGCTATGGACCGTGACAAGCGATGGGAGAGAGTGAAGATCGCGGTTGATGGCCTTGTTCAGGGTGAAGGCGAGGTTGCTGAAGATGTCGTTCAAGCCATTGAAGATAAGTATGAGAACGATGAGACCGATGAGTTCTTGAAACCGATCATTGTGAACGGTGATGAGGGTCGCATCAAAGGTGCTGTAAATGACAGTACACTTTCTCGATGGAGCTCATATATGTATCTCATCCAGACGGTGACACCCTTTTCTTCTTCAATTATCGTTCCGACCGTATGCGTGAGATTGTCAGCGTCTTTGGTCTTCCTGACAAGCCGATGGAGGTTGATGTCCCCAAGGACCTCGTGAGTTACAGGCGTATTTCCTCCTTCTATCTTATCCTGACCGCACGAATGCAGCACATTGCCACCATGTCCCGCTACAATGCCGAGTTCCCATTCCCCGTCGCCTTTCCTCCTCAAGCAATGACCAACGTCCTCGCTGAATGGCTAGCGAAGCAAGGCGTCAAACAGTCTCACATCGCCGAAACAGAGAAGTACGCCCACGTTACCTTTTTTTTCAACGGTGGTGTAGAGAAACAATTCCAAAATGAGGAGCGTCATATGATCCCCTCCCCCAAGGTTGCTACGTACGATAAGAAGCCCTCGATGAGCGTCCAGAGTGTTGCTGATAAGGTCGCCGAAGTTGTGAAGAAGGGGGAGCATGAGTTTGTTATGTGTAACTTCGCCCCTCCAGACATGGTACGCTCTCTATTCGTTATTTGATGCATCTGTACGTGAATGCTGACTTTTGATATCTGACTAGGTCGGTCACACCGGTATTTTTGACGCAGCTGTTGAGGCTATTTCAGCAACTGATGCTGCTGTCGGTACTGTCTACAAGGCCTGCGAAGAAGCTGGCTACCTCCTTCTCATCACTGCCGACCACGGTAACGCTGAGCAGATGATCAACCCCGAGACTGGTGCTCCTCATACCGCCCACACAACTAACAAGGTACCTTTCATCATGGCGGGTGACCCGAAGGTCTACCGCTTCAAGGAGGATAAACCCAAAGAGGACAAGAAGGAGGAGTCCCAGTCTGAGAAGGCTGACGAACTTGAGGAGGAGCAGGGTGCATTATGTGATGTTGCGCCGACTGTACTCGCATTGATGGTATGCTATCCGATTATTTACGTATGTGTTGGTACTTACCGTTAAACTTTACAGGGCCTGCCACAACCTGAGGGTATGTTTGAACCTCAATTTCGATGCTCGGGTCTTCAACTGACCTTTTTGCTTCCAGAAATGACTGGTCGTTCGCTCCTCGAGAAAGCTAAGTAAACAGTGTATACAGTGCGGAATATCAAGCATCGGACCTTTTGTGCACGAAAAAATATACTAGCTAGATGTATTATCCCCGTTGTCATTCACCCACACCGTAGCCAGTACCTTTTAGACAGACAGTCTAGACAAACAGTACTGAAGGCAGTACTCAACTACAAAGAATCTATGTATAGTACTACTCCATGAGGACCAGCTGCCACGGCCTCCGAGCCGAGAAATGGATTACAAAATATCATTGTCGTGAGAGTGTTCCAAGATGCAATGAGAAGCGTACCTCCTCAACAGCATGTAGGTTCATTGCTGGCGGCGGCATTCTAAGAATCGTTCAGATCATTTCCACAGGAAGAGAAGAACTGAGCCACGGGGAGCGGACGTCGCGGTGATCCCACGAATAGGCGAATGTCCTGCTTCAAGCTTCAAAAGCTTCATACATCGTTGAAACAAAAAGTTGCCAGGACCGTGGATTGAACACGGGACCTCCAGAAAACAAGCGCCGCTTCAGTCTGTTGCTCTCCCAGCTGAGCTATCCCGGCTTTTCATATAACATCCTACATTTTTCCTCAGATCTATTGTCACCGACGACCGTCCTGATCCTGAGCGAGTGCCACCTTCAGCGTGAGCGGATGTCCAACACTCCTATCCTGTATAATTGTTTCTCTAGTGTGGCTTATTGTTGTTATCACTCCGCAAACGAGTACCAGCCGTGAACTGCGATAATAGTATCTACATGATACCATTTCAAATCCATGCGTGCCTGCGTTGTTACTTATAGTAGCCCGATGTGGATGCGGCTTCCAGGTTCTTAAACATGCAACGGGAACAGTTCTGGCGCATTGGTGTGTTCCAACGCCAGTTGATACGGAACCAAAAAAAATTCTCGTTCGATGGTGTCAACGACCGGCTATTTTGTGGCTCACGTGCCTAACGCAGAACGGCACCGATAATATTAAATGCACTGTACCAGTCGTATCCATCGTTGCAGAGCGATACATTAAAAGTCACGATAGTATGAAATCTATCGTACGATGTTAGCAAGCATCGCAATGAACAGGCGAGCCTTCCACTCCCCGACTTTCCGCCCCGCAGTGGACTCTCCGTAAACTACGTTGGATGATATAGTAGACCAGATGGTACGACGGTGAGTAGAGCATAAAGAGATCATATCATATATCAGCCAACGCAGCCAACGCAAACTCCCTGGGCACAACGAGGCAGCGTGCCTTCTGGTCAAAATTAACATACAGGGCTGAGTCACCGCAACCACGGAATAAATTGGTATTATCGTGAATGTCGAATCCTAGCAGACACAAATGATAGAGAGCCGCGACGACTCCAGATCTTGGCAGAAACAACAGCGCTGACGGCATTGAACGAATAACAGTGAGGGTAGATGGACTAGGGTTTGCACCCGCACATGACCAGGTATCATTGAGCCCAAGCAACGAGGACCCGGCGCAAGCTCATTGTTCCACGGTGGATCGCCGTTGAATGTTTGGAAATGCGAACCTCAGACTGACGTGTGCCGGCAAAATTCAGAAGATATGTTTTTGGGCCAAACTAAAATATCATTCGAGGTAACGGGGTAGGTGCATTCATAGAGCGGGGATTGGACGGCTATTGACTTCAACTATTGTACAGACCTATTTATAGGACGGGTCGAGACGATGATAACGGAGAGAGAACCACAGAGAATTACAGAAAATCGATGCAAGGAATACCCGTCATCTCAATTATCAATGGCGTTGTCGAGGAGCATGCCAAGGAGCGCATCCGGATCACTAGGGGGGTTCGCTATCTCAACCTTCACGGTTGAGCGCTTCGCATGAGAGTCCTCATCAGCCTTCTTGCTGAGCGTAGGTACGTCGGACTTTCTGTTGAGTTGCAAGACTAAGTTGCGGTACAAGCCGCCTCCTGTGCGTTCACCATAGTCAAGTCGGAAACCGACAGATTTGTCGCGGGTAGTATTGGGGAACGCCCTCGAGCCAGCTTTGGCCGTTCCCAGACCGGCTAACAACTTCGTGTGCGCGGCCTGGGCGATGAAGATAGACAATCATAATTAGTATCAGAGTATACGAAATAGACGAAGGCAACGGCATACCGCATTGTAAAACAGCTTGTATTGTTTCTTGAAAGCATTTCGCCAACCCATTGTAACGGCTGTGAGGAAGTCAGAAGGTGGCAGCAGACATGCCATAAGAATATCCATACTATAACGTGTGTTACAGAACGGTAGAGTAAAGCAAGTGTGAGATAACCTAGAGACGTGTACAAGAAGTTGTGAATGCGACGGCCAGTGGAGAGGAGGTGGGTGGAGAACTCGCCACATTTATAGCAAGAAGAAGCGTCTACTCAACGAATAGACCGCACGGAGAGCCGTAGAGCTGAAGGGCCGTCAGATGCACAAAAGGGCAGGTGGTGCCGTCTCGTTGGGTTCGCAAGGACACGCTGATCTTGGCGAGACCTTTCACCTTCCCGTGGCATTCCCCCATTATCGCAGTGTGCCGGAGCTTGCTTAACACCACCGCCCAGAATGGTGAATATGGTTTACGAGAGTAGTGGGATGGCTCGAAACCTGGGAGGAAGCCATAATCGCCGCAGTTGGCAATTCAATCCTATCGCATCACCTAAGAAAAAAAGGGCATGAAACAGCGACACTGATCCAAAGATTATCTCAAATAGCTTATAGCTACCGAGAACATGGGGCATCGGTCGTCAGGAAGCAATACATGGAAAAGAAGCCCGCATGAAATTACCGTTGGATCGTCGTCAGAGGCTGGATGATCACTCAGCTAGAGAGACGGCACTCACGTCCGCATTTCTTCATTTCGTACAGTAACTCACCAAACGTATTGTAGACCATTGCTTTACGTGAAAACTTCATCGGCACTTCACAGACGTACTAAGTACTCGGTACTCAGTACTGAAGCTTTAAGCTTGAGGCTTTCAAGTCCGAGTCGACCATCGCATATTTGGAGCGACGCAAGTCGCATACGGAGTGTTGTTTCCAGTAGCACTAACGACTGTGTGACGAGAGAAAGTGCGCCATTGGACAGGGACATCTGGCCGATCAGAAGCGGACAATTTCGCCGCGCGTCAGGGCATGGAAGGAGTACGGAAGAAAGATACCAGCTCTCACCCGCGATAACATCAAGATTTGTATGTTCAATTGTCTCCCCCATTTCGACATATGATCCACGGGGCGAGCCCTGACCATTGAGATTCGTTGCAGGGTCTTTATCTGATTCCAAGTACACTAGGCAACGACGAAAACATCGGCCCGTTGTGCAATGCATAGAGATTACCTGATTATCATTCGATAGCCACCCATAATCGTCTAGCGTAGCCTGTAGCGGTAGCTGAAAGACGAAGAAGGACCATTGCGGTCAATTGAGAAGCCATGATGATGATGATCATCATCATCATATAAGCGCGGTGTATGCCCGTTGATTACAAGACTTTCCAAATTAGGCATTGCGGGGCCTTAACCTTGGGAATCTAGGACACTTGTGATCGCTGCACACATGGAACCATGAAGTCCAACGCCTGCTCTGAGGTTCCCCCGCGCATTTTATCCTCCTTGGGATCCCTGCCTGATGTCCCGAGCATTCGCAGCTCTCTCCTCCATCCGCAAGACTACAATGTCTAACATGGACAAGTACGAGTCGTTCTTTCGTTACACTTCCGGTCGTTGGCTCTACAACGAGAAAGAACGTGAGTCTTTGGTTCGCTTTTCGTGCGATAATGCTCTCTCACGCCTCATCAGAGCTCGCGATACGTTACGTTCGTTTCAATGTCGACGCTCTAAAGAAGGTCGCTGCCGAGGCTGTCGGAGCCAGCTATTGCACCGACATCAGGAAGACGCATGAGGGTAAGAACACACCCGCCACACCTCTCTCCGCCCCTCCGCTGACCTTCTTATCAAGGAGCATTCAACAAGATATTCATGCTTCGGTTCGACAACAATGCTGAACTTGTTGCGAAAATCCCGACGCCTCTCGTGTCTCCTCCACACCTCTGCACCGCATCAGAGGTCGCTACAATGGACTACGTCCGGAACGTCATGGGCCTTCCTGTCCCCAAAGTCTTCGGATGGTGCTCTCGAGCCGAAACCACTGACGTTGGTGCTGAGTACATCCTCATGGAGAAGATCGACGGCGTTGTACTTTCGGCTTCATGGACAAAGCTGAAAGGACAAGATGCTGTCGATATGATGGAGCAACTTATATCTTGCGAGCAATCGTTTTCCCGTCACAAATTCTCTCAGATTGGTAGTCTATACTATAAGGAAGATGTTGCGCCTGCGCTTCAAGGCCGCCGACTTTATGCAGATGGCGTGCCCGATAATGAGGCTTCTGACCGCTTTCGCATTGGCCCTCTCGCAATGTGGGAGGTTTGGTGTGGTCGCCGCGTCAACATTACATTGGATCGTGGACCTTGTACGTCATTCAACGGACTCAATCGCTTCATCATTTAACGCCATGTACAGGGCCTGATATTATGTCCTTTTTTTCTGGCATCGTTCGTATTCAGGAGGAATATCTTCGCTTCTTCGCTCGTGCCAGGCCTGCCCCTTTTGATCGTCCTTCAGAAGATGCTTCCCCTTCGTCTTACATACCTTACTTCCATCGGTTTTTGCAAGTGGCACCGACCTTACTTCCCTCTATGGAACTGCAATACCCTGTTCTTTGGCATGAGGACCTTCATCGTTCCAACATTATGATGCAGCCGTCTGGTCTCCCTCCCGTTGCTGCAGTACTCGATTGGCAAACAGTCTCGGCCCTTCCACTTATTCTTCAGGCAGTCTCTGCCGCATATATTGTTTATGACGGGGACCCTCGTATTGAAATCGTCCCTGGCAATGAGAAGCCTCGAATGCCGGCCAATTATGATGAGCTTCCGCCTGACGAGAAGAGGTATCTACGCATCCAGCAGGGTCTCGCACTACGATGGAAGCTCTATCAATCTTTCATGTATCAGAGATGCCCCTCACAATGGGCGGCACTTCATCATCCTTACCGACCCTGGTTGACCTCCTTTATGATCGAACTATTTGCCTCGTGGTTCCATGGTGTCAGCCCTCTGCGCCAGATTCTGGTTGAGATTCAGAGTGAATGGGACTCTATTGCACCTGGCCAACCATTTCCATGTCCCATTGATGAAACTGAACTTAAGCGGCACGAAACGGAATATGAGCGCACCGTTCTATACAAGGAGAACGTGGAGAGTCTGAGGGCAGATTTGGGGAGTGGGTTCGATGGAGAGGTGTCGCACAACCAGTATCTGCAGGTGAAGAAACTGAATGAGAAGATGAAATTTCGATGGAATGAGGAGGAGATGGGCGGTCCATATCCTTTCCAGGATGGAGGCTATTCGTACTGGCTTGATTTTTGACAGGGCGTCTTGCCGCTGCCTCGTATTAAACGATACGTACTCGAGATCCCTTCTCAAGACAATGTCACTATCTCATCGTTTAGCGAATAACAATTGTATTTACCTTTGAATGACATCATCTATCTTCAACGTATAAATCACGGGTAAAAGCCTTCGCGGCGCTAACCTGCCTTCCGTTGAACCCAGAACCAGAATAAAGTGATGCATTGACAACGAAGCAACCGCTGCTGTAAACATATAAATCTGTCTTGTAGAAGCTATTTTGCTGGTCACAAGTCCAAGTAATATGAGTACCTCCCGTCTTGGAAGGGCCAAGGTCCTGCCATCGCTTTAGTATTCCATGCCGACTTAAGTTCTTCGCTACGCCTCATCACTTCGTCAAAGCGTTCATTACTAACCCAACCATCCACGTCAACCCCTAGCTCCTTCCTGAGCTGCTCCACGTTCTCGGAATATATCTCGAATCCACTGCATTCTACAATGTGTCGCTCAATCTCTTCATCGCCTGCTGGATTAGGGAAGGGCACACTTGGTGCAATGTCGTCCCACCACAACTGCAGTTGGATTAAATAATCGCGAAGTTGATGAAGACCATTATACCAGGTACGGGAAAGTTCGAGGATGCCGAGGTGAGTTTGCATTTGATGCGGACGTTCAAGGAGTGTATAGGTCACTGGAACACGCTCTCGAAGGAGACCCTCGTACACACGCTGTCTGACAGCGAGCTCATACTCCCGGTCCAAGTAAGCCCGCTCATCGTCGGGTAAACTATCGTAATTTGGCGGCTTTCTGGGCATCGAAAATTCTTGAGGCAGGGTGATGCGTTCGTCACCCTCAAACAGAAAGGCTTCACAAAGCCTCACTTGTAGGAAAAGAGGCGATAGATGTGAGTACTGCCAATCCAGGATTGCCTTTACGGGATGGTGATCCTTTGGCTGCACTACTAGACTGGTAGCCTCGAGGTCATTCCATAAAACTGGGACCTGTAACTCAACCGGAGGAACAACATGGGGCAGAACGGTCAAGAATCGCTCGATCCATCGAATGTGTATATCAGGCGACTCGTCACGAGGCGCGCGGCGGAGTGCACAACGTTGGCTACGGTTGGCCGCAACCAATCTGAGCCATTCAGATTGCTTTCGACCAAGAGCAGAGAGGAAGGACGGCAGGTTTGGCCCTGAGAATTGCATAAACAACTAGTCGGACATACAAAAACATCGTGAGCTTACATGGACCATGGTCAACGTTGAGAGTATGACGGTCGTGACACCATAGATCCCACCGCATTAAAGGACCGATACAAAAGCGGGGCGACTCAGAGTTACCATCGGTCCCATTGGCATACAACGGACGATCACGAAGCGATAGGTCCACATCATCCTTGTAGAACAAACTGCCGATTTGGGAGAACCGGGTATGGGCAAAGTGGCACTGTGCATCAACAACGTCATTTATCGCGGCTTTCGCTTCATCCGCATTCATCGCCTGCCAACAATCTTGAAGACAAACGCCGTCGATCTTCTCCATGAGGATGTACTCAGCACCAACGTCAGTGGTTTCGGCTCGAGAGCACCATCCGAAGACTTTGGGGACAGGAAGGCCCATGACGTTCCGGACGTAGTCCATTGTAGCGACCTCTGATGCGGTGCAGAGGTGTGGAGGAGACACGAGAGGCGTCGGGATTTTCGCAACAAGTTCAGCATTGTTGTCGAACCGAAGCATGAATATCTTGTTGAATGCTCCTTGATAAGAAGGTCAGCGGAGGGGCGGAGAGAGGTGTGGCGGGTGTGTTCTTACCCTCATGCGTCTTCCTGATGTCGGTGCAATAGCTGGCTCCGACAGCCTCGGCAGCGACCTTCTTTAGAGCGTCGACATTGAAACGAACGTAACGTATCGCGAGCTCTGATGAGGCGTGAGAGAGCATTATCGCACGAAAAGCGAACCAAAGACTCACGTTCTTTCTCGTTGTAGAGCCAACGACCGGAAGTGTAACGAAAGAACGACTCGTACTTGTCCATGTTAGACATTGTAGTCTTGCGGATGGAGGAGAGAGCTGCGAATGCTCGGGACATCAGGCAGGGATCCCAAGGAGGATAAAATGCGCGGGGGAACCTCAGAGCAGGCGTTGGACTTCATGGTTCCATGTGTGCAGCGATCACAAGTGTCCTAGATTCCCAAGGTTAAGGCCCCGCAATGCCTAATTTGGAAAGTCTTGTAATCAACGGGCATACACCGCGCTTATATGATGATGATGATCATCATCATCATGGCTTCTCAATTGACCGCAATGGTCCTTCTTCGTCTTTCAGCTACCGCTACAGGCTACGCTAGACGATTATGGGTGGCTATCGAATGATAATCAGGTAATCTCTATGCATTGCACAACGGGCCGATGTTTTCGTCGTTGCCTAGTGTACTTGGAATCAGATAAAGACCCTGCAACGAATCTCAATGGTCAGGGCTCGCCCCGTGGATCATATGTCGAAATGGGGGAGACAATTGAACATACAAATCTTGATGTTATCGCGGGTGAGAGCTGGTATCTTTCTTCCGTACTCCTTCCATGCCCTGACGCGCGGCGAAATTGTCCGCTTCTGATCGGCCAGATGTCCCTGTCCAATGGCGCACTTTCTCTCGTCACACAGTCGTTAGTGCTACTGGAAACAACACTCCGTATGCGACTTGCGTCGCTCCAAATATGCGATGGTCGACTCGGACTTGAAAGCCTCAAGCTTAAAGCTTCAGTACTGAGTACCGAGTACTTAGTACGTCTGTGAAGTGCCGATGAAGTTTTCACGTAAAGCAATGGTCTACAATACGTTTGGTGAGTTACTGTACGAAATGAAGAAATGCGGACGTGAGTGCCGTCTCTCTAGCTGAGTGATCATCCAGCCTCTGACGACGATCCAACGGTAATTTCATGCGGGCTTCTTTTCCATGTATTGCTTCCTGACGACCGATGCCCCATGTTCTCGGTAGCTATAAGCTATTTGAGATAATCTTTGGATCAGTGTCGCTGTTTCATGCCCTTTTTTTCTTAGGTGATGCGATAGGATTGAATTGCCAACTGCGGCGATTATGGCTTCCTCCCAGGTTTCGAGCCATCCCACTACTCTCGTAAACCATATTCACCATTCTGGGCGGTGGTGTTAAGCAAGCTCCGGCACACTGCGATAATGGGGGAATGCCACGGGAAGGTGAAAGGTCTCGCCAAGATCAGCGTGTCCTTGCGAACCCAACGAGACGGCACCACCTGCCCTTTTGTGCATCTGACGGCCCTTCAGCTCTACGGCTCTCCGTGCGGTCTATTCGTTGAGTAGACGCTTCTTCTTGCTATAAATGTGGCGAGTTCTCCACCCACCTCCTCTCCACTGGCCGTCGCATTCACAACTTCTTGTACACGTCTCTAGGTTATCTCACACTTGCTTTACTCTACCGTTCTGTAACACACGTTATAGTATGGATATTCTTATGGCATGTCTGCTGCCACCTTCTGACTTCCTCACAGCCGTTACAATGGGTTGGCGAAATGCTTTCAAGAAACAATACAAGCTGTTTTACAATGCGGTATGCCGTTGCCTTCGTCTATTTCGTATACTCTGATACTAATTATGATTGTCTATCTTCATCGCCCAGGCCGCGCACACGAAGTTGTTAGCCGGTCTGGGAACGGCCAAAGCTGGCTCGAGGGCGTTCCCCAATACTACCCGCGACAAATCTGTCGGTTTCCGACTTGACTATGGTGAACGCACAGGAGGCGGCTTGTACCGCAACTTAGTCTTGCAACTCAACAGAAAGTCCGACGTACCTACGCTCAGCAAGAAGGCTGATGAGGACTCTCATGCGAAGCGCTCAACCGTGAAGGTTGAGATAGCGAACCCCCCTAGTGATCCGGATGCGCTCCTTGGCATGCTCCTCGACAACGCCATTGATAATTGAGATGACGGGTATTCCTTGCATCGATTTTCTGTAATTCTCTGTGGTTCTCTCTCCGTTATCATCGTCTCGACCCGTCCTATAAATAGGTCTGTACAATAGTTGAAGTCAATAGCCGTCCAATCCCCGCTCTATGAATGCACCTACCCCGTTACCTCGAATGATATTTTAGTTTGGCCCAAAAACATATCTTCTGAATTTTGCCGGCACACGTCAGTCTGAGGTTCGCATTTCCAAACATTCAACGGCGATCCACCGTGGAACAATGAGCTTGCGCCGGGTCCTCGTTGCTTGGGCTCAATGATACCTGGTCATGTGCGGGTGCAAACCCTAGTCCATCTACCCTCACTGTTATTCGTTCAATGCCGTCAGCGCTGTTGTTTCTGCCAAGATCTGGAGTCGTCGCGTCTCTCTATCATTTGTGCCTGCTGGGATTCCGACGTACATCCCATCGAACAAGGATAGCAACAGTCTACACGCATGAAGTGACAGCACATGATCCCATGGCCACAGATAATAATGTTCTCGTTTATCTAGGGAAACATGTCCTTCTTACCAGCATGTACCAACGCAGTCTGCGACAAATCATTTTCTTTTCCTGTACGACCGGCTGGCTGAATCGTTTGCTGACCTCTCCTCGTGTCATTGGGGCGATCGAGCCGACCATTGAACTTTCCGAGTGAACTCCTGCAAACGACATGTACGAATAGTGTGGATATGGTCGTGGCCGTCAGCACTTGTAGTTCTGGTAGCACTCGATGTGGCCCAGGCGAAGTCAGTGTTTCTGTTGTTTATATTATGTGGGCAATAGTGTCCTCTACGATTTCAATCGTTTGAGGGGATTGCGCCACTCATCCCCGGCTTGCTTCCCAGTTTCGAAGGTTCTACTCGAGTAGTCAAGAGCATAGTCTAGCTGAGCAAACGACATATAAATTGCTCAATCTTTCTGTAAGCACGTAACGAGACAAGATGACTCTGATCAGGCTTTTCGCAACGACATCAATCCAGGTACGGATACGAGTTCCAAGTCATACACGCTCTTCTTCCGGACTACATGGGCAACGTCCGCTCCAGCTCCCACAATATTAATGGAAACGCTTTCCACCTATTGCGTATTCTTATGTCAGTATGATCACATATTGTAGAAGCAGAAGTATTCCTTACGCTTCTTGTCTGCTGCCAAGCTTCATTTAGCACCTGAGGACGTTGAAATCTCGAGCCTCCCCCGTTTTTCCACGCAATGAATCACGATACAGTTAGCTCATCAAGCGCACCTAGGCGCAAAGAGCTAACACTTTCCACTGTGGAAGACCGCATGAGGGACGATGAGAACGGTCTTTGAAGGAAGCTAAATGTTGCCGCAGAGCCAAACATACATTGATCCACAGTGACAACCCTGCGAAATGAACGTGTTGGTCCCACATCCTTCAAGGTTGACTTCGAGTCACCGTTACTTGGTAGGTTCCGCCATGCCTCTGTCCACAAATCTTGAAAGGGCCACGAAAGTATCCTTGCAGCTGTGAAGATCGACAGGGAACTGATTTGAAGTGCGGTATACTGATCTCTCAAAGACTTTGAACGGCCAAGGCTTCGCGGTTGTCGTGTATCACGGACCAGATAGAGAATAGAGAATGGACACCCACCGCACGACGCGGCTTAAGGTGTAAGGGTTGTTTGATATGATCATTCTCGATTAGATGGTTCAGATATCTGTCCTTCCTATGCCCTGGGCGTATTGCTTTATCGGAGACCAGATCCTCCTGAGAAGAAATCCGCACTGTGCTGAAGATAACCTATCGTATGACTGAAGTGTCGTCCGATGTTTGCACGAAGGTGGTAATTGTGGTTTGAGGGTCAGAATAGAATTGATTTCGTATTGAATCTGTTTGGCTACAGCTTCGACTAACGCAAAGGTTCTAGAAACAGGTGAAAGGGTCGGGATTGAAAAGAAAACAGATATGGCATCCCATTTATATCAGAGATGATTGGTCTGCGTAACGGATAGCGCAACTAACAATGTCGAGGGTAGTTGAAACTGATGGAATGTGAGATTTTCCACTAAACCTGTATGATATTGAGACATGTTAGCGTGGATTTTTAAAACAACCAAGGAAGATATACGACGCCATATGCCACTAGCTGTCCGTCACTGTCAAGCTCAGCATATATGCGGCGAACTTTAAGACAACTTCTTGGATTCAGCTTTGCCAGGACAAGTACCGCTACAAAGCTTGAAATTGCCGCGGCGGCAAAGACTGAGGAATTTTACTACAGTCCCAATTGGTATACAATGGTAAATAGGGCGTACATGAAAAGACAGTTCGACCGAGTTGTGACGGGCACTTGAAGAAGTTGAACGAATCAAGAGTAAAGCGTCTGACTCAGACGCTCAGAGTTACGTAAGGTAACCTTGATTCCCGAATCCCTAATTTGGTTTTGGACTTTGCAGACCTTCCCCTCAGACCTCCATGAGCCGTTATGGGCGACACCACCATTGAACGTACGGCGAGAAAGTCAAGGGAAGGGGGGAAACTTGACGTTGAAGATGAAGAACAGAGGCAAGCGCGGATGCGTGAGTGGACTCAGGCTATTAGGAGACGGCCGAACACTGATATTTGAAGCAGACAATGTGCTTACGCAACTGGATAGCAAAGCTTCCCGCCAAGCACAGGCCCCTCCCAGGCCTTTTGAGTTTGGCGATAGGAAAACATTCGCTGTAGAGCCTCCGAGTGAACGTATGTCGTGTCTTTATGTTCTTCTAGTACAGTTCACTTGACTATACAGGTACAGTATTATGCCGTCTGCAGTCCTTTCTACCAGAGTTGGCAGCCTCAAATGCTGAGCTTGTCCATCGAGCGAGGGAGGATCCTCGTAGCGTCGATATTGAAAACGTAGAAGATGAGAGCCGATATATAGAAATGGTGAGTCACTTTTCTGCAATGTGTGGAAGCCTGTACACGAACATCGCCAACAGAACCTCGGTCTTGGGGTATTTGAGGATCACAGCAAGACCCATCCACAAACTACAGGTAACTCTACCGGCACACACCCTGGTCTCGATGTAGACATGAGCGATGATGCCCGTACCTCATCACGATCATATGGCTCCACTGACTCAACGTCCGACTCAGACTCTGAGATGTCGGAAGACGACAGTTCGGATTCAGACACATCTTCTGTGGACATTATCTCCGATTTTGCGAGTACTATATCCAGGCCCATCAGACCCCTTCCTAGGAGGACGACTACCCGACCGGCGATTATCGTGCTTGACGATGGAAACTCTAAGGATGAACGCTCGTCTCATACCTCTGAAGAAAGCCAGTGACGATTACTCTATCTCTTGTTACTACTTTTCTTGAAACCACTCAATACATTTCTTGCTAGTCTTCGACTCGGCATTCCAGCCCTGTGGCGCAACTCGTTTCCTGAGATGTGTTGTACGATCATCGAGAATGTGAGTTACTGTATTTAAAATATTCTTAGATGCTACGCTGTCTGCTTGCAACTTGAGCTTGAGGCCTAGTGTTGTCCGGATGACAATGCCCAGATGATACCTTTATCACGCTTAGTCGGGGGGAAAGCGCGTCGGGTCTGGGTCCACACCCAGCATCTCGTAGTCCTTTATTCCCTTTAAACAAGCACAATAATACGTGCATCTGCATCTCTCGTCGAAGCTTGTACAATATAAGACGAACATCTCAGGTACAAAGAACCAATTCAGAGAATTAAGATATTGAATCTCGCGTGATCAGAGGCCCAAGGAACGCCGCGACTCTCTGTAGACGTGTTCAATATATGATCGACACCCATAGCACATTCTATCACTTTCGAAAACAATAAGTATCTTGTAACCTTGCAAAATCGTTCTCCCAGCCACTCCGATACTTCAAAGTACCTCATGTGTTGGGAATGATTAGTTCGTTCTCGGCCCTCGATCCTCCAAGGCACCAAGATCGATTGCATGTCGATCTGCAATTTCCATTTCTCTTCAAGTTAATTTGGACGCCGAGTAAGCATCCGAGTATCCATTGAAGTCGATAGTTTGATATAACGACCAGGATGGGATGCTCGTATTCCACTCTACTTGCTGCGCTATTTCAATGCCTTAGCTCATTGTCTTCTGTATTCGTGTCGTTGTCGTGTTCGTGTGTCTAGACCGGTAGTTCGGCTAGTTACGACCCCCGCATGATGTCAGTGTACATCCACGTGAGATGCAGTTCTCGGCCATCCCGAACGGGTTCCACTTGCACGCTTTCGTACTCTTCTTCCAGCTCTCCTAAGCACTTGACGTTTACTACGTCCTGCCCCCGTCCTCATGGAGGGCGCTGTATATCACGAGGAGCGACGACTGGTGCCCCAGTGGTCGCCAGAGGTATGTCAATAATCTACATTTCGTTGCTGACACTTCAATGTCATTCAACGTGTTTCCATGATAGCTCGTGGCGCTGTCGTACTGCATATCCTGGCTTGGCGCGTATACCAGCACACAGATTATAATTCACGCAAAATACACTCGTCGGACAGCCATAAAATGGCTCTGGACATGTCTTGCTAGTGTTGCATTTGGCTTTAGTGCGATATGGTCCATGCACTTTGGTGAGCTGCAGAATATCCTTTCAACTTATTCGACTTCAACAACCTTCAGAAGGCAGGACGATTTTGCTTTTACCGCCCTCGTCTTTTCCCCTTATTTTATTGGTTCCCATGTCCATTTACTAATATCTTCGTTCCGCAGTGGGTATGCTGGCTTGTCGTTTGGACGTCAAGATCATATTCAACATCCCTCTTACCATTTTTTCCGCACTTATTGCCGTTATCTTCACGTTTGCTGCCCTATCTAGTGCCTACGTTTCGGACTCTATTGAAAGTTCGAAATTTGCCCTTACTCTGGCTCGATGGGGTCAATCCATAAAGACCAAAACATCGAAATGCCTATTCTCAAAGCGACAGCGTGACTTGGAAGCCGATGGGTACATTCCGGTCAGCAGCTCCTCTGACGCGGGTGGTGATGTGGTGCCCAGGATCGACACCGTTAATGATGTCGCTGAACAAGGAGATCGCGATGAAGATGAACACGAAGAGAATATAGGCCATCTTCCCCGTGGACGTTCACCATCGCCTTCGTTCACCATCGAGGCGTTGGAGCATGACAGGATCCAAATGCCTGTTCTCGGGTCACGTTCGACGTCGCCTGTGCTGAATTCTCATTTTCAAGATTGTCCGCGAACTCCGCCTTTGCTCCGGAACTCCATTAGCTTTCCTTATGCTCCTGCTTCTCCGTCACTACATCGTCCACCCCCTCAACCATTGCCTCCTTCAGTCATCAACAATAATCCAAACACGCCGTCTGACTCACTAAGCACAGATGAATCGGGTTCTCATTCGCCGTCAAGATCAAACTCGTCGGACTCTCAGACCGTTTCCTTGTCTGGCACCACAGTTTCAGGAGCAGCATGGAACGAGTCTCTTCATGCTGGCTTGAGTCGAGAAGCCCGCATGCGAATCAAAGCCCAGGCGAGGGATCGACCAATGCCAACATTTGGGTGGCGGTATTGGTTGAAGACACACTATAATACTATCTCATTCTTGGTGATCATCCGAGCAGCTGCATGGGCCCTCGCTATCGTCTTCATGCATTACGCTGGTACGTGTGGTTGTCTCTTCAATGTAATTGAATTTCATTCGTTTCCATAGGAATGTGGTCGATGGTAATTCCAGAAGGCTATATCTCCTGGAACCTAGGCCTAGTCGTGCTTTCATATGCCGTAGCCTTCGCCGTCTGTTTCGTCGCCTGCATCGCCATGGTACATATGGAAGTTCACTTTGGTCGTCAAGTTGCCTTCAGCACCATCGCCGCAGCAGGGTGTTGCTCCATGCATTATACAGGCATGGCTGCAGCGACGTTCCACACCCGCGCTCCTCCTGATCCGGATGCCGGTTATCCTGCGTACCTGCCCTTTGCTATCGTCGGAATCGCGCTTTTCGTTTGTGTGATCTCAAATGTGGTACTGGCTCACGCGGCCATCACGTCTAGGAATAGAATGGCCGAAATGATTCTGACGAGGAGGAGGCTTTGGAGAATAATGGCTGAGAAGGAGGCTGCAGAGCAAGCTAATGAGTTAAAGCAACAATTCATCAGTGTTGCGAGTCATGAGGTCCGTCCAATTTCCATTTGTATTTTTCTCAATGTTGATGGTAAATAGATTCGTACTCCGCTTCACGCTGTCAATGGTTACTGCGAACTCCTCTCAACAACGAAGCTAACTGAAGAACAAGCTCTCTATGTCACGAGTATCCAGCAAGCATGCCATGCTATCAACGTCATTGCAGGAAACGTCCTTGGTGTGTTTTGCTTTGCGCTCTCCTCATAATCTCACTAACCATCTTGCAGATTTCAGCAAAGTATGTCTTTCATATTTTTAATCCCAACTAAGGGTCGCTGACTGACTGGCCAATCCAAAGCTGGACAGGAACAATGTGGAACTTTCTGCGCGTCCTGTTCTTGTTGACTTGAGGACAATGGTCGAGAACCTGGCGCGAATCACGGAGACCAAAGGCATGCAACCTGGGGTTCCTGGCGTCGATGTCATTGTATCCGTGACGGATGACGTACCTCCTTCAGTGTATCTGGACGAGACCTATACATTTCGGGTCAGTGTTCATCTTCTCCAATATGTTTCAAGATCCTGATGTGTTATCCTCCAGATTCTAATGAATGTGAGTTGTATCGTTTATTCATCTAAAAGCGTAGACGCAGAACTCATGCGAAAGCTCCGTATTTAGCTTCTCTCAAATGCTCAGAAGTTCTGCGATTCTGGGTTCATCTGCGTTCAGGTATCGATGGGTGCCAGTGATCAGGTCGTCATCAAAGTCAGTGATACCGGCTGCGGAATACCCAAATCCTTCCGTAGTGCCCTGTTCCAGCCTTTCCGTCAAGCAGATACTTCTCTTACCAGACCTAGACAAGGCACTGGACTCGGCCTAAGCATTGTCAAGCATCTTCTTCAGCGAATGAATGGTACCATCGATGTCGAGTCAGCAGAGGGCGAAGGGACAACCTTCACCATCAAATTACCTATATCGGTACCTAACCAGACTCCTCCAGCCAATATCAAACGATCGCGGCCGAGAAAGAAGATCAAGGTGATATACCGTCATGCAAAGACTGCGAAGCTGTACCTCGAGTTGTTCAATCAGTTCGGTCTCTCCGCTACTCTGGGAGACAGCCAATCATCCTTGTCAGATCTTGTCAAGGACACGGATCTGATCTGGACCGACGTTGAAACTGTACATTCGTCGAAGGGCCTTCGCGATTTCATGACTGCCACGGATTGGCAATCGAATTCGCCCTTATTTCTAGTGCACTCTGACGCGATGGAATTGAAGACTTTGGAGCCTTCACTGTCATCTGCTTATGGCGTTGTTCTCGTCAAACGTCCGATTGTCATACACGGATTGTTAGATGTGTTGGATGATCCAACACCTCACCAAGGGCAACACATCAAGCCGATGTCTGCAAAAGTTCGGTTCGCGCTGCCTAATGACCACAAATCCACTTCGATGGCGCAGGAGAAAGAGAACGGGATCGAGGTGGACCATTTCCCGGTGCCACTTTCTCCTCTTTCGCCGAACATTCCGCATGCAACCGGTGAGCCATCAGGAAAAGGTCGAGTTCTCCTAGTGGAAGATAATCTGGTACAATTCATTATTGCACGAATATTTGTGCGATCATTCATGTCTTGCTGAGTAGGTCAGTCAACATATAGGACGTCAATTCCTCAAGAAACTTGGCTATGAGGTCGTCACAGCCAATGATGGCCAGGATGCCATAGAAAAGGTCAAAACCAGTTCGTTCACGTGCTGCCTGATGGATTGCCAGGTACGTTTGGTCCCAAAGAGACAGGAATACGCGCTTATTTCTCTGTCTTATCCAGATGCCCATATTAGATGGATTCGCCTCTACTGCCAGGATTCGAGAACTAGAAAACAGTGGGACAATCTCTGGCAGATTGCCTATCATCGCTCTCACTGCGAACGTCAGTAGCGATAACGAAGACAAATGTAGAGTATCCGGCATGGATTACTTCCTTGCGAAACCCCTCAAATTACAAGGTATGTTGTTTTACAGTATCTCTTCATTTCGGTGTGGTGCTTAGTCGACTTCAGATCTTCAAACTGCTGTAGAACGATTCTCACGAGATTCATAACAAGATACCCCACCATTATCTCTTTTCGATTTTCCGCCGTGTCACCCGCTCTCTTGTTGCTTCATCTTATAGTCTGTACATTTCACCGCTGCGTATCCTCCATCCTCTATCATCTATCTTCATGTCTCTTGGTTTGTCCTATCTAGCATTGCTGTCCACTTCACGCCTCTCTCTAGCATTCTACATATATGCTTTCTAGTTTCTTGGTTTCTCACTTTCGTTTCTTGTTTGACTCGTCCTGCTTTGTTACCTTATCGTTCGACCCTCTGGAACTTTGGACATCGGAGTGTATATTATGTATGTGTAGATCGTAGCATAAGTACCCTCATCTCACGGAATTGGCATCTCATACTATGTTCTCCCGAGGATACGGAACACTGAGAGTCAATGTTGCCAATGGCAGGAGAACATGATATGCATGGGTATAACTACTACACGTCGAGCCTTTAAACTTTGAAAAAATCAGGGATACTGCACGCCAGCCTCTCGCATCAGATCAGCAACGTCTACATCTGTTGAATCGTAAAGCGTCAAATGCATGTCAAGGGCTGAGTTTGCACTAAGCATATGAACTCACGGTCTTCGGTATGTTGCATACGAGATGCATAAGAGCATTGGTTACCTTCAAGCGATTATCTCAAAAAAAAAGAAAAGAAAAGAAAAGAAGACGTGGGTGAGACGTACCGGGGCCTAAAATGAACTCGCCGCCTAGTTGGGATATATTTCCCTGCTTTCCGATATGCTGCAGATGCTTCAGAGGACCTTGCTATAAATAGTACATCAGTTCGCGCAAATTCCTTTTTGGCTGTTTGGACAAAAGACGAACCAAGATACTGCTGAATGCCCCTCCGAGGTACGATCTATTCGCGACGTAAGCCCTCTTCTGCTGGCCTTCAGGCGTCCGTTCGAGACTCTCAGTGAGCTCGAAAAGGCGGTGCAGTTCGCGTGAGGGATCGGCATATATCTTCCCCTTGTATCCTGTTGTTTCTGAAGGGTGCTGATTGGATGGAAGTGAGTCGGCACAATATGGGTTTCACTCACCGCAATATGCTTTGATTGGTTGGAAGTCACCGCAACCGATGATGACAAGGTCCTTTCCAGCCTGTTCCAGCGATTCTGGCTTGACGGTCGCCAGTTGGGATACATATAGCTGACATGCCAGGGTGAAGACTTGCGTTTATCTACTGAGATATTTTGAGCCTACCTGACATGTCTAGGCCCATATTGTAGTCAGCTTAGTTGGGAATAGCGAGTAATCATAATAGCTTACTCCGCAGAAGAAATGGCCTAAAGCAACACAAAAAAATAAGAGCAGAGAGATCAAGTGAGCCAGACAGGTCCAAACGGCCCGACAGGTACTCAACGTATGAAAACTACGATTGTCTCTCGTTCCTTGAAGAGATCACCGAACTTCACAGCTTTGCCAGTCGAATCGTATATGATTACATCGCTGGCCTTTTCTAAGAGGTCTTGGCGAGGCAGGGCGGATAGGCTCATAGTCAGGTCTAATTCGTCTCCAGAGCGGATGTCCGTTGAACGTGGAGGATGCACCTCAAGAATAACGCGATGGGAACTACGTGACTTTGCTGAGAGCTTCAACCATGTCTTGATCGATCGAACCGCATACAGTTACCAAATTCTTAAGTTAGCTTCTGAGATTTGTATGCTGAACATCCGGCATTGAGACAATCGTAAGTAGCAGACATTGATCTAAGAATTTCTACATGTGAACAATAATATTCTATCTGCCTGATAGAGTCTTCTCTTGCATTGCCGATACTATCTTCGTCACGAGCTCAGCAAGCGCCGCAGTGAAGGCCAAGAGAAAGTGAATTTATACAAAGTCGAGCATACCTCGCGGTTCGTAGAAATAACCTCGAAAGGACGTCCGGAAATTCATCTTCATACAAAAAGATCGTGACGGTCTAAATGATCGGAACCGGTTCCTTGCCAGTTTGTAACTCAAGAGAAGACTCGGACTGCTGTCGCGAAACCAAAGTCAGTCGACTATTACCGCTAGACAATAAACCAAAGCCCACATCTATAATCCGCGAACGTTGGATTCGAATTGGCTTTACACTTGCCGTCCTGATCCTTTGAGATGATGCTACTATCTCGGATAGCCGGCTGATATCGGATTCAGGATCTAGACTTTTAATGACTCTGGCGTGTAACATCTGTCTTGCATTAAGACTAGCCATGCATTAGCTTGGTGAGCACCCCGCGGAAAGAGCTACTCACGTTCCAAACAGCGAGTTCGCATAAACTATAATAGCATGAGGCACAGATGGGACACATTGAAGAAAGTCCTCACGTTTGCAAACAATCAGGTTAAGGCCAAGGAAGATGAAATTCTCTTCAACCGCGATAAACTAAGAATATTTCAATCAGAATATTGTTCTTATACTCAGTTATCAGCTCACCGTAACCATGACGCAAAGGGAAACAATCCTGACATAGCAAAATGCGTGAGACCCTAAAACCAACACCATAGCTCAGGAAACAGTCGAATACTCACATGGTAATCAATCCAGTATTGATGATATATGACATGAGCCATAGAATTACTCTATCGGTCCTATGGTGAACCTGTGAGTAAGCTTGTACAGGTTTTAGGACAAGAGAACTAACCTGGGGTTGAAGCCTTTGCGAGAACTTCGGAGGTAATGGATCAGAAAGCCGGCGATCACCCCATCTTCTAGCAAAGCGAGGCAGTCGGTAACATTCACAATGACCTTTTGAAAGGAAGCAATGAGAAACAACGAAACAACGAAAGAAGACACAAGGCTTCTTTTTGAACATACAACTGTGCTTGTTGTAGAACGATATGATACCCAATCGCTGTGAGTGAAGCTGTATGGTGAAATTTAGGTTTCAATTCCAACAGAAGCCAATATGTGGCGGTCCATACGCAAGAGAACCAACAGCTGTTGCAACCAAAAATCAGCGTGAAGAGGGTATCGGTAGTCATGTAATTGGACATACTGATTCCAAATGCTGATGGATCTCTCGTGAGAAATGAGCGAGAGGCAAAGCATATCCCACATACCACAGCGAACTATATGCAAAGAAGACTACAAAAAAAATAAGATTCGTGCGATGACAATTCTTCAATGTACTCACTATGGTTACCACCAAGGACATGCTTCTCTTGCTCACTACATATAGTCTGTTTAATGATGGCTCATATCAGCACGGCCTTGAGAGGTACGTACATATCCATAAACGATAGATAAAGAATCTGTGAACAACATAACATTTAGCGGGAGCACTTTGAGAACGTAAAGCTCCTACCCTTCGACAAGGACAATTATCAAGTTCTATAACAAGATACATGTCAGTATCGTATTCAGCATTGTCCGAAGAGCTCATCAAACCTCCACGATAACGGCTGTCTATGCCCAGATAACGAATGAAGAGAAAGCAAAGAGGTACAAGAACGACATACGGGTGGGCTCCTGGTGTACACATAGAGTGAGAACCTCTCCTTGGTAAAAACGTACATTCTTACCATGATATCGAGCCAACGACTTCGAGGTTGCCGAACCCAGTAACTGTGAAACGATACAAAATATGGATGACCATCACAGTATGCACTGTTTCCAGAAGGCTTCTTCACCGTCAGGACCCGCAAATTATGACGCCTCGCAGTGTTACGGTACTCACGTAACGCCACCCACCAAGAGCTTTAACCATTTCGGATCCTTACCACAGTTAAGGAAATAGACGTATGACTGCGTCACTCCGATTCCATAGACTCTAGAGATAAGAGACAGCGTCACGACCTTCAAAGAAGAAAACAAGTTATGCACTCACATGAATGTTATACATGACGATATGACATAAGATCCGAGAAGCTCGCCAATGGAGGTGTTGAGTTCTGACATATAGAGGTTGCGTATCGTATCCGCAAGGAAGCTCGGCGACATATAAGTACCTTTCGAGTGCAAGTACAATCCACGCACAGCCAATGTACTTATGGATGATCAGCGGAACTGTCAAAGCTTGTGAAAATAAAATAAAATGACGCTCTCTGCTCGAGCAAACGCTGATTGCATGCCCCAAACACCCCAAACAACACGTACTTAGCTATGGACCGGGTAAACGGCCCTGATAACACCTCCCGCCTTGACAATAGGTTGAAGAGGCCAATAAAGTTGTTTACCGTGTAGCCAAGTATGCTTACCTTCTTACCTTCTCAATCTTTGCAACGTAAGAGGACCCTGCAAGAGTGAATGAACTCGCACAGCCCGACTGAAATCACTCCGAGTCAGGCACCCTAGGATTCGAACCTTAAAGGCATGAAGCGACCGTATTTGTCTTCAGACTGAGCTGAAGGGATCGAATTAGATAGCAACTAAGCAAGATAGCGGTGCAGGAACATGTGTTCATAACGCACATTGTGAAAGTTGCACTGCAACGAATAAACATGAGTCAAATGGAGAGACAGACCTTCACCTAATTGATTCTAGTAGCCGACTCCGCTTCTTAGTCAAGAGAACAGCAATGCGATAACAATGGATACTTATAACGATAGCGGTCTACACAAAATGATCAGATCAAAACATCCCATCTCTTCGGGGTATAGCAACAGGAGGGGGTCGATTCCCTGCAGCGCTCCCAGGTCTGTCTCTTGACCGAGGGGGCGGCGGTGCAGGACTTCCTCTGATCGTTCTCGACGACCCTTTGATACTCTCAGAAGACGGTGTGCCGGGTCGGGTCGAAGTAGCGGAAGGTACACGAGGTATGGGAGACCGGACTCGTGGTGAACTCGGTGCAGGAGAAGTCGAGGCAGGTGAGAGTTGTCCTCCAGTTGTACTCGTGGGTGACATCAAGGAAGTAGGAAGTGGTGGTACAGATGGTGGCGGAGAGCGAGCTCGTGTTGGAATCGGTACAGCAATGTTAGGTGCGGGCGAACGGGAACGAATGGGTGTAGACGCTGGAGTACGGATAGGAGATGGTTGAACTTGGGAGCGAAGGCGGAATGCTGGTGGTCGAGAGGCCTCAGACGGTTTCTCAACCAGTAGGTCTTCGAGTAAGAATCGGAAGTCGAGACCAAACTCTTCCAACAGCTGCGAAAAATTGAGTCAAATTCAACTGGATCTGATGTGACAACGGCAACAACGATACCTTCTTGCTCTGTGCGTGGGTGACCTTGATGGCTTCGTCTACTGTACGAGCATCAACGTCGGGACCAAAGACTTGCTTCCGAAACATCTCAGCGAAGATTTCGATCTGTTGCTTCGCCCATTCAATGAATGCTACCAATTGCATATTAACACAGCTCTCTCTTCCACTTGGAGGTTGACTACTTACAGCTAGCGACTTCGTTCTCCTTGAAACTGGCAAGGAACCAGTCCGCTGTATGCTTGATTCCGGTGAACACCACAATAGCCAAATCAGCAATGTACGTTCCAATAGATCCTTCGAAGGTGATCATCCGGATACATTTGCGCATGACTTCTGTTCGCGCTGAGAGGAAGGTACTTCTTGCTGCTGCTCCAGCGTTCAGGCGAAGAAGGAGAGTGATAAGGTGGACGACAATCGATTTGCGGTTGGCTGCAGATGAAAGGGATTGCAGGAGAGCAGCGGTGAGAGTGGACTTGAGTGGTGTGAGCTTGACTGAAAGGGAAGGTATGATGGACAGTTTCCCTTCGCCTGATAGGCCAATGAACATGGATGTGAAAGGAACTGTGCAAAATACATACCTTCTTCGACAAGCTTTACTGCTTGATCCCACTGACGCAATGCAATAGCAACTGTAAGTTCGTCTGTAAAGTCACCAACCCATCGTGCATCACGTTCAGCCTTCTCCTTCGCACTTGAACCCATATCAGCTTTATCGGCCAAATGAGCTAGGAAGTCCGGCATAGGCGGCACGTCATTGCCTAACACCAGTGAGTGTCGCTGGAAAAAGACGTTAGTTGACTCAAGCAGGGCTCGATACAATAACAAAACATACGTCGCCCACCCATAAACTCTTCCTTCGTTGGTGCTCGCCTTCTCGCTCTTTCTGTCGCTTAGTAGAAAGCTCTTCCGCGATCTGTCGGAATTGAGAAAGGAGACTTTTCTTATCGGCGGCAGTCTCTGTGCGATAAACATGCGTCTCCTTGTTATGTCGAATCTTGAACACATTTATCATAGCTAAGGAAGTGACACAATCAACATTACAAGGGAGGCTGAACCACGATTGCACCTACATGCAGTGTCCTTTGTATCCAACACTAGCATCTCACTTAATGGCCAGCAGCGTTCAGCTATCAATTTCTCACTCTCAGCATTATTCCGTCTCCTCCGTTTTTTCGCAACCAGGGCTGCGTCGTCCAACAGGACAAACCGGACAGAATGATCGACTTTATATGTAGCTGAGTTCAACGCGTAGATTCCATCCATTTCGGTAATAACATGTCGCCCTGGTGTCGTTGGTACGAACTTGTTGGAACCTTCGATTTGACTATGCAGCGTTTGCATCTGGCCGGCATAAAGAACGCGAAGATCGGCGATGGATGATCTTACGTTCCTGCGCCGTTCTATATATGGGGTGAGCTGTGGATATAAACAATAAACACAGGGTAAACACACCTGCAACCGATGCAGAGTCGTCGATATGCAGGAGAGAAGGCATGCCTTTCCATTCGGCAAGGGAATCTTTGAATTCGAGCATCTCGTTCTCAAGGTTACTCACTTCCTTCGATACCAGGACAAATTCAGCATAGCTAGAAACGATGAGTATATGTACTTAGCGATGAGAAGGACATACCTACTTTTTGAAGACATTCCGCTGCAGGTCGAGAGCGACACCGTCCTTGAGGTTTTGTAGAGATGACTGTAGCGATTTGAGTTCTACTTCAGTCGAGTTCGCAAGTTTGGCCTTCAGGACTGTTTCATCATTCCTTAGCACAAATACGAGAGCCAAGGACCAGCGGAAGCGTACAAGCATCTGGGTCAAAGTCATCCTTGTCCAGCATCCTCAAGTCGGTCTCCTTAGGGTCCTCCTTCGGCTGTTCTCTCTCCTTGACAGGATCATCTTGTCCCCTGTAAGCACCTGGACGCACACCAATGGGTAAGGATGGGACAGCAGGTACAGATGCATCAGTAGGAGAGGATATGTCGGCATAACGCATAGACATGCGCTTCTTGATCTTGTCATCGACTCGCGTATTTTTCCTGTTGAGATTGAGATTAGGGTCCTGCTTGGCTAGCTTTCTTCCCTGGCCCTTAGGCCGGGATTCAGATGGTTTTCGGGTACGAAGGGATTGCATATTAGATGCGAGTTACAGAACTTATAGGAAGAGACCAAGACACTAGTGAGGATGTCGATCTGAGTGTCTTCTTGACGTCCAGAAGAAAGTTTCAGAGCATCAGCACAGCTCGATGCTTAACACAAAGTGACCAAATCACAGCCGAAGACCTTAGAGGAGATATTGAGAAAATGACAGCGAAAGTGGTCGTCGTAGTAAGTTAAGTAGTTGACGGATATAAGCGCACATAAACACCTCCATTTCCGGTCATGCAGCATTCTGGTAAATGTTCAATGTTCAAACGTTCGACATTCCTCCCCACCTGTACATATGCTTTGTAGCTCACTATGCTATCGCTCAAATCTGGGAATGCCAGTTCTGTGGACTCCATCACATAGAGGCAGTTCAACGTACTATATATTGACTCTTGAATTGCCTGGAAGTGGTTACGCATGGTCGAGTTTGTGATCGGATGCTATATCAACTCCAAATTCAGAGTGACCCTTCTTCGACGACAGCCATCATTTGCTTCTTCGTTCACAGTCTCATCCCTCGCCGCTGATACCCAGACTAGCACTGCAGATCCAGGTATCGCTGAGGGCGTGCAGGGCGGCTTAGGCTTTGCGGTGGATAGACTGATCACGATGTCGGAAACCTCGCAACCTCCACAGTACCGTCCGTGAGTACACGTTATCTCACTTCTCTACTAGTCAACTTCAATGGTTCCATACCAGGATCGGTATCGTTCTCGCAATAGGCTCCGGAGTCCTCATAGGTGCCTCATTCGTGTTCAAGAAGAAGGGCTTGTTGAGTTCGCAGAAGGGACATACTGCGGGAGAGGGTGTTGCGTATCTGAAGTCGGTGCGTGTCTATGCGTTTCTCACAACCAGTCGATAGACTGAGGGTGAATCTCTTTCTAGCCCATGTGGTGGACAGGCATGACCATAATGATTCTGGGCGAACTATGCAACTTTGCTGCATACGCATTCGTGGAGGCCATCATAGTGGTGAGTTATATATTTGGTCCTTATACGATTCCTTTACCTACTAGGACTATCATGAACAGACCCCCATGGGCGCTCTCTCAGTCGTGATCTCCGCCTTGCTGTCGCATTTCTTCCTCAAGGAGAAGTTATCCCTATTTGGTTGGATATCTTCCATTCAATGTCTACTAGGCGCAGCCATATTAGCTCTGAACGGTCCACAGGAGCAAAGTGTAAACACAATCATCGAGTTCCGCAAATTGTTCGTGACACCGTGGTTCTTGACGTACGGCGGCGTAGTGATTCTAATAGCGGTGTTCCTGGCTTTGCATGCTGCTCCGAAATGGGGAAAGAAGAGTATGCTACCCTGTAAGTGGCGGCATCGTTGCCATGTGTTGCCGGAACTGACGTCTGCTTCAAGACCTGGGTGTGTGTAGTCTCATTGGAGGACTAAGCGTCAGTTGTACGCAGGGTCTGGGAGCATGTATACTTACTAGCATCCGCGGACAAAACCAGGTGAGCCGAGATGCTTATTCGTTGCACTGAATTTAACGCTCACAGGCTGCAGTTCAAAAACTGGTTCATTTACTTCCTACTCTTTTTTGTTATTGTAACTTTATGTATGTCCATCTCTCTCTTTGTCCCTTCACTTTTAAATGTTCCTGCAGTAACGGAAATATATTACTTGAATATTGCTCTTGCAATGTTTAACACTGGTGAGTAGCTCTTTGTCCAGGGACGCCGTTTGTGCTAACCAAGCTAACAGCAATGGGTATGACTTCTATGTGCTTTTGCCGGACTCAAGTTGGTTGATAACTTTGTTCTTCAGTGACGCCGACATATTACGTGACTTGTATGTGCAATCACCACTATCTGGCTCTTTACTTCTGCTTAGCTCCAATGCAGTTACTTTCTGCACCCTCGTTACTTCCGTGGTACGTTACAATTATCTGTTTAGTTCTTTAGACACCTTGAACATGTTCGCGTCCTTGCTTAGATCTTATATCAAGGCCTCAAAGCCAGCGCATCCCAAATCGTCACTATCGTGCTTGCCTTCGCCGTCATTTGCACTGGAATCTTTATCTTGCAAATGTCTAAAGTCGATCCAAGGAAACTCACAAATGTTCGTCTAACGTTATATTATATTTCCACATTGCTGAGTACCTGTGTCTTCCGGCAGGTCGATGAACATACCACCATGCTTTTGGAGGTTGCGAAGCAGGAGGTTGATCCCCTTGCACGGCGGTCTTTGGAGCTCCACCGCACTGCAACGCTTCGTTCACGTCGCTCTCATCAGTCTACCGCAAGGACATCCTCCGTCTCTGCCGTGCGATCAGGAAGTGCGTCTCATCGTAGTACTCTACGAGCCAATCCAAGCATAGCCGTATCGGAGATGGATCACACGGGTAGCGCTGAAGAAGAAGGAGAAGAGGAAGGGGAAGAGGAGGCGATCGACGAACTTGCTGAGACTCGCTATATTGTCGAGAGGACGGAAGAACCAGGTCTTGATTCTCTTCGTGGCGTCGCAGGCGCAATAGGCACTATTATCCGCGCTCGCCGAAGGGCACGAGAACTGTCCGCCAGAAGCGCCACGCGAAGCAGAGCTTCTGAAGAGGGTATTTCTAATGGGATTGCGCTCCGCAGCATCGGTTCTCGAGAAAGTGGCAGTTCTATTCGTCCGACTCGATGGTTGCAAGGCCTGTGGTCTACTCCCCGACAAAGTCACTTCCGTAGCATGAGTGACGTCGCGTCGGAGAAAGATCCAAAGCATCCTGCGTCTATTGACGTCGAGAAGGGAAACACCGTGGAAGTTGAGGTGGTGGGGCCTCCAATGCAGGAGAGCCCCCAATCGTTACCAAGCAACCCTCTAGACGGTCCGACAACAGAGTCTTCAAGACAGCCTCATCCTTCTGCATCCATGCGTACTACGGCCCCTTCACTTAGAAGTGCGGTTTCAGATGGTATAGGCCGGACATCTTCAGTAGTGCACTTCGAAGATACGAGGTCCCTATCAGCGTCGTTTACCCCTGGTGTTCCAGTTGACGCTGAAGGCAGTCGGCGATGACGTGTGTCCACATACTTATCATCTATCGCCATTCTTGTTCCGATTGTTTACAATAGCCTTCGTCACCGTGAGTACTTGCGGAATCTTGTTACGACATCGTTGATGTTATACAATGCTGCTCACGTCGTCTTATCTTTGCCTTTCAGTTTCTCTGTGTTATGATACCTTGATGTCTCAAACGATACCTGTCTTCACCGTTACCCCACATTTATGACCCCTTTGGATATTCACTTTGTTGACCCAGAAACCAGTTTGCATTACCTTATTCAATGACTATTGCGTTGTCTCTACTCTCCAGCCAATCCTTGAACATAGCATCTCTTAGTTCCCGGCCTAAGGCTTCTGCAACTGGCCAGGGCACTGCATTTCCTATTTGTCGATGCATCTTGTTAAGTGACATGAGTATAAGTGGGATGTCACTGAAGAGCAAGACTTACTGTCTTGATGTCATTGTTCTCTGAATGAAATACAAAACTGTCTGGAAAACCCTGTGACCTTGCAAGCTCTCTGACAGTCACTACCCTCTTGCACTTCAGTGCTATCAGAATACTGCCATAAGAAGAAAACAGGCATGAACATACCCATGGATGTAACACCCAGCTCTGCTTAGCTGTGGGCTCAACATTGGTTACTGTGGTATGAAACCATGCATTCTTGTCTAGCCTCCCATAGAGACCTATATGTAATATTGGTACATTGAATATTCACTTAGACATGCACATACATCTGGAGAACTTACCAGGTCTAAAACCATCTCTGGCAACAGCAGAGGAAGGGTTGGCAAATTGCCATTCCCAATCACTCTGAGGAAGTTCTAAAAAAAGAGTAAGAAAGTAAATATAACTTTAATTATTGGCTTACTTCTATAATCTGCCTTGGCTTGGAGAGGAATCTTCACAACTCTATTTGGATTTATAATTAGTATAATGTAAGGGAGGAATTGAAGATAAAGCCTACCTTCTAACAACCTCACTTTTTAAGACTCTAGTAAAATGCTGAATATCATCAGTTGCTTGAGCCCTGCATTTCTCCTGAAAAGAAGTTTGAGGCCTTTTGAAGGTGTATCTAAAATCCTTTCCTGAAATGCCACACTTGGATCTTTCAGGATTACAATCATGAGCAGGAACAGTGAGCTCTAGCCCTGTCTCTGGATGTTGAATTACTCTCCAAGGTCCATCCACTTCTGCATGCTTCCTATAATCTAAATCAGCAATGGAATAGATAAAGCAGATAGTTTAGAAAGGCTTACCAGTCAAATATAGGAAGATCCTCAATTGCATCCTGCACTGTTACATACTTGTAGGGTGCACTTCCATCCACTGTGATCATTGGTCTAAGAGGTAAAATGTCTGGAGGCTTGATCTCCAAGGCATCATGAAGAGGAAACTCATGAGTAGGAGTTGGAAATGCAGGCAGCTGAAGATGATTCTGAGCAGCCACCAGGAAGAATCTAACTCTAGATTGTGGAGTGCTATAATGAGCTGCTTGAAGAAGGGCAATTCTGATTTGATATCTACAATAATTTAGTAAATTAGAAAGAGCTAAATAAAATAAGAGTCTGCTTACCCCATGGCTAGCATAGCTCTAACAACAAATTTGAGACCACCAAGCTCAATTCCTCCAGCTACCTTGTATCTTGTTTCTTGTACAGCATTGAGTTTGTACTTGAGAAAGCCCCTGACATTCTCAAAGTAACAATACTTGGGCTTCATGAAGTCAACCCATGAGAGCAAGTTGAGAATGAGATGACTCTTTTTGTCATTGGCTTTCTGATACATGTTGAGAGCAGAATGAGGTTGACTAGTCAGAGCATAGTCAGAATGAATAAGCATGTAAAACTGTAGACTACATACCAAGGAAAGCCAGCAATGATGCAGTCAATATCTCCAGGCTTTGGAGGTGCAGGTAGAGGTTTTTCATCACCTTTTGTCCTAGGAGGTTCTACCTCTTGCTTCTTGAAACTCTTGTAGGCATATTGCAAAACCTTGTTGGCACATTGATTATACACAACAGTGTCAGGAGAATTCTTTCTAAAAAGCATGGAATTAGTCAACAAATAGATATAAGATGCAGTCATGGCACAAACTGAAGAGTTTTTGCAGCTGAAGGTGAGATCTCCACAGCATGAGTAGTTTTGACTCCAGCAATAGCCTCCATAGCAAAAGAGAAAGCACCAACTCCAGCAAAGATATCCAAAGCTCTCAATGGTCTTCTCCTTTGTGCAGCCATAAACTCCTGCATATCTCTCTCCCACTTCTGATCTTGGGCATAACAGATAGGACATATCAACACTTCATCAACTTCCAGTTTTCTTCCATCCCTCCATTTCTGAATATTCAGATGAGGAAAGGAGTACTGAACATAGAAGTGATAAGGTGAAAGACCAAGAAATGCAGTCAGGGCTGACTTGGAGTAGGAGTTGACATGAAGAACTCTGCACTGCTTGACAATGGAGTCCATAGGAACATCCATCTCTAAATCTGTAAAGAAGAGATGCTGCTGAACTTCAAATATTAGCTTTAACCTCAAATGACAGATAGCATGCAATATTCAAAAGTCTCACCTCATCTCTGATAATATCCTTTGGACACCCCATGACACCAGTGATATCAGCTATCCTTCCCAGAACACGAACAGTGACAAAATGATCATTCAGCCTTCTTGTAGACTTAGCCCACTTGATATCAGTGATCAGACCCACTACAGCTGGAGTAGCTTTCATCCTGCAAGTGTCACACTGTACATCTGGCAAATGACCACCTTCAACACATGGAGTGGGTTCTGACTTGATGAGAATATAATCATGAAGGTGGTAGTGATTTCCTTGGAAGGTAAGGCCATCAGAAATGACTTCAGGATGTCTCTCAGAAAGATGCTGCTGGTGAAGGGCACAGTTAGGGCAGTTGTCTGGAGGATCCATGCTTGAGAGATCCACAGTGGTAAAGCTTGATAGAGAGGTAAAGGAGCCATCCTGATCATTATAGACTAGGCTATTACATCCATCAGAAATTGTTGAGTTTGTGCAATGAATAGAAGAGACACATACTTGCAGAAGAAATGTAATCTGTGGATCTCCTGAGAGGATCTAGACTTGATGTAATTTGTATGAACAACAGCCTTTCCAAGGATATTGGGAATCTCCAGATTGGCGCAGGTGTTGGTAAGAAAGAGTTCTTGAGGATCAGAGATTTCCTGCAACAGTGTCTTCGAAGAGTGCTCAAAGTACTGAACATGGATTTGTTTGTCCCATTTGTTGATAGAGATAATCTTTGCAAGCCTAGTTGACCATGATATCAGGTGAGTATACGACAAACAAGAAAGAATGAGAACAAGTGCGGACCAAAAGAAATCAGCTACAGTATGTGTCTTGTGGATCTGGCTTATGTCGGAAGGCCACTCAGGCGCTGGACGATTCAGAACGACACCAGCGCGTACGAAGATACAATCACCAATCTGCAGTGTAAACAGCGTCAATGATCACGCTCACAAACAAAGAAAAGCGACCACAGCACTATTCAGATGAATAGACATACCGCATATACCTCCCCATTCACGGTAATTCTTCTCCAATACTCATCTGTCAACCTCGCATTTGGTGGGAAATGGATCTTCTTATCAACCTTGTCCTCTTTCCACAGCTGGATAACCCGGTTATGCAATTGCTTCTCCAGCTCCAGTTTCCTATGCGCCGGAATCGGTTTTGGCGCCGGGCCGATCACTTGAAGACGTTCTCGGAATCGTACTGGGTGAGAGGCGAGTTCGTCAATAAGAGGAGTGACATGTGTACGTTCTTGATTTTCAGGTCGGAGGACAGCGATATCGATATTCCCGACACCACGAATGGCACGAAGAGGGTGTCGCGGTGGAGGTGCTCGAGATGTATTGGGTCGACGTTGAATAGGCCTGGAAGGGGACGAAGGGGGCGTGTCCACGTTCCTAAACAGACTGCGTATCATAGGGACCCGATAAATCTCAGGTCGTTCTGGGTCAAGGGAGTCAATCACCCCGCGCAACGAAAAGTCCTCGCTTTCGATGAGTGCAGTGACGTCTTTCTTCTGAGGTACATCCCCAAGGAGTTCGTCATATGCGCCAAGGGACTTCTCGCAGAACTTATGGTAGTCCCAGTCAGGGTTTTCACATGCCGAAGAAACGACGATCTGTGCGATGCGACGAGGGCGGTAGAAATCCGTCCAGACAGATTTGTATTCCCGGCCTGGGTTCTTTAGAATATACCATGCATATTGTGTTTCGATGTAAACAGGTCTATCATAGACTAGAATTAACAACAATAGCAGAAACAATATGAGTACCATGTACTCACTCGTCGAACTGTGTATAATCAAGACTAAATCGGAAGATCGCACTGGTGCGAAGTCGCTGTACTGGAACATCTTCATCGTCTTCCTGACCGGCATCTTCCTCGTTCACGAAGACAGGTGCGACAAGTCCGGCAGCCTGAAATTCCCTATCGACGTCTCCGTTCTCGAGGTCCAACAGAGAGATAAGCTCATTGCCATGCTTAGGGTCGTAAATGACAAAATCGGACAGCAGGCGGATAGGCTTGTTGTTCGATTCCTCAGGTACCGCTTCTGTGTCCTCCCCTATGATAATTAGATCTGCACGCTCCTCATCTTCATCGTCTCGTTCCAAGTATCGCGCTTCTATCAATGAATAATGTCAGGATACGAGCACCCGGTACACATATTCACATTACATACTTGGTTGAACGACCCTAGGTCGTTTCTCGTTCTATCCCAGAATCAATCAACACCAAGTTAATCAACCCCGATGAAAGAAATACTCACTTGCATACCGGCATCCCCCTCGGACTTTCTCTTCAATTGTACTCCATCCGGACCCAAACTGGTCCTCGCACCAGAAACAGTAGTAGTGCTCGACGAAGAGAGTCTAGCCGATCCTGAACCAGAGCCCGAGGCATTAGGCCGTGGTTGAGGTAGAGGTCTACGGCGGGAAGCGTCATAGTCCAATCGAGCAGCCTCTCTCGCCCGATCATTTAGAGAGGTCGTCCCCGGAACGACGTCCTCAGTCGGGAACGAGATATCGAAGGCGGTAGGTCGCCTTGGCCTCGACATATTTTCGAATTGCGAAAGGTAAGAACAATGATGAGAGATCCAAAAGAGATGAAACACCCGATAGTGAAGGATCCGGTAGCGGAAAGCGTGTACTGCACGCTTATGAGAATAGAGTGGCACTTCCACGCGTCAGATTGTAGTAACTTAGCGTTATCATTCAACCACGAGGAACCATGTACATCTAACCCATTCGTATATATTTGGGAATGGTCTGCAATATAACCAGATATGTAAGAACAAGAGGGAATACAAAACTGCTATCGACAACAGCGAAAATGACAGGAGAACACGTCCACACAAGCCTCAGCAGCCATAGCTAGGTAACTACACACGTCGACGGGAAGTCTTGGAGATGCTAATCAAATAGAAATACACATTCTTTGTTTCTTTTGTTTCGCAAAATGAACAGGAGAAGAGATCCAGAAGGGAAGGAAAAGGAAGAAAGGATACAGCGACGACGAGTCTCGTAAGAGCATGAAAATGAGAACGCATTGTGTGTGCGTGCGTGTATCAAAGGTTTTTAAGCATTCTACCCAAGCGCGAACTGGTCTTGTCTGAAATGGTATTAGCGGAAGGGTGGTTGAATATGGTATTTGTCACAATGGTGGCGGAAAGGGATAGAGAGAGATCGTCCGATATCGATATAACCTGGCGCAGACTAACACGATGGGAACGTTGAAATTCAAGAACGGGTCATTGGACGGGAATGAAGCAGGAAGTCGTCAATGGGGATAAGATTAGGATATGGCGATGCAACACCTAAGTCACAGATAATCGTCTAACGGGGACCGGTATCCACAAATGACCAGGGACGATACTGAGACACGAGAAAATCGACGACGAAAGGGTGGGTCAGGTAAAGCCCGAACCGGGAATGGGGGCGACGATGACCACGATAGCATTGACTGTACCGGGGACCTTCATTCTGTCGCTGGAATGGCAGTAGATGCCGCAACGGAAGGTACAACACCGCCGGTGCTGAAGTTGGAGGTATCGTCCGGTCCGGCTAGCGCGCCTTCAGGGATTGCACCTGAGTTCAACCGCGCGTCGCCAACTTGATGGAAGTCTGTAACATAAACGCTCTCGACGATGTTCTTCCGAATGGCACTTGGACAGTACATACCGAGGATCTCGCTGTACATCATCACTTTCCATGTATCCACTGGCAGGTCCGCATCGTTGAAACTCCAATCGAATTTCTCTGCAGCTTCAGGTTCGTCTGTTGGGTCGTGATAGGGCGCGACGTATTCGTGTGCAAGGGACTCGGTCGCGTTTATCCGTTTGCGCGGATCGAACACGAGCATCTTCTCCAATAGATCGATAGCTACGAGAGAACACGTTAGCACAAAAAGGAGGAAACATGGACATAAAGCACGTACCCACTGGATCCCCACAAGTCAACTTCTCGTTGAACGGCACGCGTTCCCGCTTTGGCAGACTCTGCACGAATCGGAGCGTCTGACCGAATGACATGAACATCGGAGCGCACTACATCCTCAGAGGGGAGATACTTACGTTTTCACTAGCAATTGTCTGAATGACGTCTTCCGGCGGGGTGCCCAGAAGCTCGGTGATAATCGAGAATTGATGCACATGGTCCTTTCCGGGGAACAATGGCTTCCCCTCTAGCATCTCCGCAAAGATACATCCCGCACTCCAGATGTCAACCGCGACATCGTATTTCTGCCATGTGAGCATGATCTCGGGTGCACGGTAGTACCGTGTTGAAACATAGCCTGTCATTTGTGGGTCTTGAATTCGCGCGAGGCCAAAATCGCAGATCTTGAGATCGCAATTTTCATTGATAAGGATGTTGCTTGGTTTCTTTATGTGATTGTAAGAAAAGTGCAAAGAGAATGAAAGCTAGTTGTGGACTTACAAGGTCACGATGCACGACGCCCGCCGAGTGAACGTACTTTAGCCCCCGCTGAATTCCCATGTCAGCCACGTCATTCTTGAATGAGAAGAGTGCTACTTACGAGTATCTGATACAGGAAATACTGGATGAATTGCTTCTCGAGTGGCCGTGAAGTCAATAAACGGTGAAGATCGGTACCTAAAAGCTCTGTGACGAAATAGCTAAAGGAACATTAGAGGGATGGTGTGTTCGGGAAGGCAAGTGCACGTACATGTCCTCTAGCGGTGAAATGAATACGTCGCTCAGGCTAATGATCTGCGAGAGAAAGGGCGTCAGCATCAAGAAAAGGATATCACGAGCCTGATCGTGACGCTGTATATCTTTGGTTCATCACTACGTTGCTATGATCGAATGCTACTACACCAGGGTCGGCGAGATTGTACGAGTTCAACGAGTTCTCTTTACTGCCGACATTCAAAAAGGCGCACCCAGATACGCACAGCAATCCTGATAACGGAGTAAAGAACGCCAACTCACATTTTCATGCTGGATGTGCTTTAGCAGCTTCAACTCCCTGTAGGTGCGCTTTGAGAGGACGGGTGTACTGAAGGGTTTCATGATCTTCTTGATCGCGACGGACGAGCCTGTAAGCTGGTCTTTCGCCGAACTATTGGAATACAGGGCATGAGAAAAGATCGTTCTTGAGCTGAAGATGTGTAACTAACCAAACGAGGCCGAAAGCACCTGTTGCAGAGTCAGACAAGCGAACTCGACATAAAATGAACAGTGTACATACCCATTCCGACAGGTTGGAGGTCAACATATCTCGTGGTGACCTGTGTGAATAGGAGGAGAATGTGAGCAAGTAAGTCGTTTTGAAACACGTTACGACTGACCTCAAAGGAGGTCCCAAAGATGCTCAGTTTGACAAAGGACATTTGCCTGAAAAGAGGTGCTGATACTAGTGGAGAGAACGGGAGGTGGGGCTCTATGCAGGGGAAGAGGAGAAAAGAGACAGATGGTAGAGAGGAAGGGCAGGTGGAGCAGCTTTCTGCCACTGCGTTATCCAAGCTGCCACAACCGCTCAGGGCTTTCCTGCGTTCCAGAACGCTTGTCGTCATTGCTTACTTAATCCGCCCTAACCTTAGCAAAACTTATTTGCATCTCAAACGCGGAGCAATGCTACAGCGAATGGGTAAAAGCAAATAATATCTTGTGCCTATGGACAGTCAGGACCTCCGTTCTGTATCTCGCCAAGGCACTCTTGGAAGGGGACGAAACCGAAAATGCTCAAGGTCCTGATCGTCAGACGCCCGTGAGTGCTAGCGCCCGAGGTCGTCATAAACGCGATCGCGTAGCAGAGAAGTTCGAGCTGTTAGCCTTTCACACAGACCAGCTCAATATTGGTCGCAAGATGTCTTTCTTGAGAGCTTCATTCCGTGCCCATGCTGTCGTACGTATATTTCCTGACCCTTTTCTCCATTTCCGTTTCACGTCCTAACTTGGGTTCCTTTGCTTCACCTGCACCTGTCATCAGGTTGCAAATGCACGACGATACTCTACCACTCCAGAGACCAAAAAGGCTTCCAACATTCCTTTGTACCTCGGAGGTGTAGGTGTCGTCGGTTTGGCCGCGTATTTGTACTTGGAGAAAGGTGCACCGGCAGCGGTAAAGAAGGTGCAGGAGAAGAGTCCCCTGGATCCTGACCGATTCGTCAACTTCAAACTCAAAAAAGTCGAGCCTTACAACCACAACACCGCAAAGTACGATTCATGCAATTATAGTCCATGACCTCTATTCATATTTTCCGCTCCAGATACACTTTCGAACTCCCAGCAAATGAAGCCTCCCTTCTCCCTATCACCTCTTGCGTCGTTGTCAAGTCCTCTGCAGATGCACCTGCACCTTTGGTCGATGCCAAAGGCAAACCCATTATCCGACCTTACACTCCTATTTCACCGTCAGACCTGGAAGGAGAGTTGACATTCTTGATTAAGCGGTACGATCAGGGCAAGATGAGCAAACATATTCATGACTTGAAGCCCGGCGAAACGCTAGCTATCAAGGGACCCATTATGAAGTTCCCATACAAGGGTTAGTAAAAGCGTTGGTACCGAATACGTTGACTAAGAAAGGGTCTGTGTAGCAAACGAGTTTGAACAAGTCGGTCTGATTGCTGGTGGAACTGGAATGTATGTTCCGTCCTTAACTTGCCTTTCATCTTCGATTATACTGACTCTGTTACTTACTATCATCTCTAGTACACCCATGTACCAACTCCTCAACCACGCTCTTTCTGATAAATCCAACAAAACCAAGTTTACCCTCGTCTTCGCTAACATGACACCCAAGGACATCCTCTTGAAAGAGGAATTCGATTCACTCAAGAAGAAGTACCCCGATACTTTCAATGTTATCTATATCGTAGACAAGCCGGATAGCGAATGGAAAGGTGCGGCGCCCCTTCCGTTCTATAATTTGTTTCATAGAGTTAAATGCTCGCTTTGCTTCCTAGGACCCACCGGTTACATCAACAAAGATCTCGTCAAGCAACACATCCCACCCTCGTCTCTCGGTCAAAAAGTCAAAGTTTTCGTTTGCGGTCCTCCAGGCCAGGTGAACGCCCTTGCCGGGAATAAGGATGGGATGAAGCAAGGCGAACTTAGTGGTGTCTTGAAAGAGCTGGGCTATACAGAGGATCAGGTAAGTGTTTTTTTTTGCTTTTCGAAACATATGTTGGCTGCGTAAGGCTTCGTGGCGCTGACACTTGTTGCTGTGTTTCCAGGTGTTCAAGTTTTAGATGCGTTAGATCCGATGAGAGGATATAGATCTGTGTGTGCTACGAATATAAATGAATACAATATCTCAAGAATTTACTACACATGACCATCTCCATTTCGATCTCGGCGTATTAGGTGTTATTCGCAGATTTCCAGGCGAGTATTGCATTGCGATGACGTTAAACTCAGATCGCTTGTTGCAGCGGCCTACTCCGGCTGGTGCACACCATGCAGTACCTACTCCGCTTTCCGAATGCTGTTCTCACTCCGCAGACAACCATTGACAGATCATCATTCCACGAATTTCCGCTTGCGATGTCTTCTCATCTTCCTGTTCCCTTCCCCCCAAGTCCTGAAACCTCCCAACTCAAACCCGGGGTTGGGTCACCCTTCTAACAATAGGCTCAGAGACCCGATGACAGGTATCAAGCTGTTCGTTGTTAACGGAACATTATTAGAGGTTCATCGCCTCCAATGCAAATCCTCATTTTTTGCCGAAAACGGCTTACTACGAGGCCCTGCGTTTAGCGAAAGAACCGTGTGGTCATCGCTCCGGAGGTATCGATGGTCGTCTATAGAATCGCAAATGACGCTCAATGTTCGGAAGTATATAAGTAATCAAGTGGGGTCGTGGTGTGAATACTCTCGCAGACCCTCAGTATCGAAGTCAACATGGCGGAGTCGATGCAGGATATCTCTATTGACAATCTTCTTGGGTCCTACGTCATTGTGTCTTGCCTTGCACTGATGTAGGTAAACTGTCCATTGACAATGCATGCTCTAGCGAAATCTCACACCGGCTCTCCCCCATAGAATATATGGAATTGGGGCCGCGCAATCCTATATGTATATGTTAAACTGCGACAAAGATCCGACTTGGCTGAAAGCGTTAGTCTCTACAGTAGCGTGAGTAAGACAACTAAATTCAACATACATTCTCACCATCCCTCATGAGGTTGCAGTCTGCTAGAGGCGGTACATACTGCGTTCGTCATTCATATCACCTACAACTTCACTATCACTGGGTTTGGCAACTTGGAAGTAATTGGGAAGGTAGCTTGGTGAGTCCTAGTAGCCTCAGAAGACCTTACACAGTCCATTGATGAAGTTGCATGCTGTAGGAGCCCACCGGTATGTATCGATTACATTAAAAAACGGACGCCATTAACACGCCGTCTTCGCAAAACGCAGACTGCGGTCATAGTGGAGGTTCGTCGGCCGCGGGTCCGCGGTTCACATACGACTGACCTTCTTACTTTGTCTCCTTATCCAGAATGTGATCGTGGCCCTTGTTCAAGGGTGTGTTTATATATTCACGCATGCTATACGCCATCTCATGATCGATCCCTTCAAAGATTCTTCATAAGCCGGATATGGCTCTGTAAGCACTACTATATCCTATTTGTGAGTACTAAAACGCATGTCCTAAAGTGAGCAGGGAAAACACGGCTATGACGATCGTCTTAGTGAGTCTACTTTACCCAACTTGCCAACCGTAATTGACGACCCTAGTAGGCGTGCCTTCTTACGATTCGTATCGGTAGGTTCTATTTCTCCATGCATTGATCTGTCTATTGTCAACTCAGAACGAATTTCAGGTTTCGGGCTCAGTAAGCCATGAATCGCCTGTTTGGAACTCAAGTTCTTCCTGATTATTTGACAATTTAGCTATTGGATCACTTGCGTATGGATTAGCAATCGTTTCCTACACGGGAAGAACCTCGTTGACGTGTCGCACCATAGGTTCGTTTATCCAACTTGGGAAACGTTTCATAATGCACGCGGAGCGATGGTATGCTACGTCCTGCATCCTTCTTGAAACTACTAGTGATCTGAATTGCACGTAGATCATCTCCAACTTCACTGATTGCCTCGGTGTCGTGGTCGACGGTGCAATTGCTGGTTGTCTAGTGTACTATTTCCACCGCGACTGGAGGACTGGGAGACGTTTCAATGCGCGGTTAGTATTTCTTTTACTATGACTAGAATGATGTGTTGAACCTCTCTGTAGGATCGACTGGGTACTTCGGTGGCTCATGGCGTACGCCATTAATACCGGCGTGATCACCATGTGAGTAATGTTGAAACATGCCGTACGGTTTAATCTGAGTCATGTCATAGGATCATTTCTATTTGTGTCATGGTCACAGTAAGATGGCGCTCACATCTGGCGAACGTACCTTGACCTGACATGATGCAGTTCGTCACTTTAAAGATGAACTTCATTTTCCTTGGCTTGAATGTCCTAGCAAGCAAACGTGCGTCGTCGATCTGCATTGTTTCTGCCCAGCTGCTAATATATCCCCTTATTAGTTTACGCCAATTCGCTACTTGGAACGTACGTCGAAATCACACCAAATCACCTCTAAATGACTGAAATGGGAGTCTCTCTAGCCTAAATGCAAGGCGAATGTTGCATGCCAGGACTCTGCAATGTGGACCCCAATCTATCTCAGGAACTGGCATATCTTCGTTAGCGTTCTCTGACCCAACCAAGACGGTACAGTATAGTGACCTTCGACTATGAGACAAGCTTCGTTTGACTTTGTTCTTCAGAGTGCTACCGAGGTCCTACGTGAGGTTACGTCAGTGGGTGACGTGGTAAGCTCATTTACATTTTTGGCTCCTGTGTTTTGATATTTGATGTATATCTCATAGGAGCAACAGGTCGAACTTCAAGTGCGGGGCAGCCAGACAATCAGCTCCGCCTGAGCATCATTGCTGTCAATGAGCGTCTGAGAACGCTTAGGCTGTACCCACTAGCATGAGGAATCGCCGAGAGTGGAGGTCCCATGGACATATAATGCGCATTGCTTCATTGGTCCTCCAGTATCGATCTTTATATTATCATTGATCGTCAGACTGACTTTGCGAAGCTGTTGTACATAAGCGGACAGATAGGTTGCGGGTGCGAGTGTACCTAGGATTGAAATGTGATGATTGTTCTCTTGAAATGCACATGGTCACTTGAAATCTACCCATTCTTCCACGATTTAACGCGATCACGAGCTTATCGAACAGGTACATGTGGACATCATTCCTCACCTGTCCCAAGCTGACTTTTTTTATAGTCTCAAATTGGGTAGTTCAACATCCGATCTTCAAGGATCTTGAAATTTAGCATGAGCATCAAGGGATTTAGCCCTGCATGAGATCCCCGGATACGTTGAATCAGTATCAACGGATATTCTTTGAAGACCAACCCCGGAAAAGTCGGAGTTCGGCCTCTTCTTAGTTATCCTCACGTCACTAGATATTCCAATATTCTTGACACAGAAACCTCAACTGCAGCCTGGTGGTAGATGGTGAGGTGACTTAGGTTATGACGATTGTCCACTTTGATGCTATCGACGTGCTCACCTCATTTCTTCGGTAGAGATGTAGAGGATCTCAAGTCATTACACGACGTCATTCTCCGGACCCTGGAGGCGTGTGAGTGCAGGTTAGTATTTCATGTTACTCCATCTCCATCGACCCTATCTTGATGCCATGCACAGACGACATACAGCCCAGCGACAGCAATCATTTGTCGTTCTGATCACAGTTGTAGCCATAAAGTATTTAAGAAGATGTCGAGGTGCTGATACTGCATTTCAACGCCTTCAACATGGCAGAATTAGACTCCTCAATCTCCATCGATCATCTTTTAGGTCCCTTTGTGATATGTGCTTGTATCACATTCGTGTAAGTAGGCTGATGCTTTAGGGTGACTGTTCTCACGTCGTCTGCAGGATATTCGGGATTGCCGTTGCCCAGTCCTATGTTTATCTACTCGACTGCGAAAAGGATCCGACATGGTTAAAGCTTTTGGTTGCTTCGGTTACGTGAGTCACATGAGAAATATCCGCCATGCAGCTTCTTACTGATGAGGCAGTATACTGGAGACAGTGCACACAGCCATTGTTATGCAAGTCTTGTATCGCTTCACCGTCACTGGATTCGGGAAACCAGACGTAATTGCATTGGTATCGTGGTAAGCAGCTACATCACTCTCAGCTTTGGCATTGTTTTATTCGCCCACTTCAGGGGACCTCCTGTGCGTTTCTTTCGCTATCATTCGGTGTTACTTATTGTCAGTGTTCCCGTAGGCCGCGATCTATATTGAGGTTCGTAAAATTGTGCTTAGTTCATTCAAGGGCCATACGAAACTAGTGGTCTTGCAGCACGTCATTCTTGCGCTTGTTCAAGGGTACGTTCTGAATATTGACATCTGCATGTTCTGACCTCTTTCTCAGGTTCTTCATTCATCGCTTGTGGATCCGTACGTACTCTCGCCGACACGAATTGATCCCGTTCATTGCTCAATACGCTTGTGACCAGTTAGTGAGAAGAGTATCGTGTTAGTTCTCATTCTAGTAAGTCCGGTCGGCAGAGGAGTTTTTGATATCTGATCTTCGTTGGTAGTCTGGACTCCTTTTCGTTCGCTGTGGTGTGTATATTCCTTCGCTTGCTTATTGCTTCACTTGTTAATATAATCTAGGTCTTGCAATCGGTATGGGAAGGTTTTTCGCCTCCCATTATTGCTGATATATCAACTTTGATCCTCCTACCCCGCTACTAATAGGCGCAGGAACTCTCGGGTATGTGCGGATTTAGTACAGGACAACTGAAGACTCATTCTTCATGTAGTTTTGTCTATGACACTTGGGAGTCGTATCAATCTGCATTTGTTACTGAGGTATACTTGAACAGCTCCGTAGTTTCGCCTCGGCTCATGAATTGTTCTTTCAAGGTCATCGTGAACGTCACGGACAGTTTTTCACTGCTAGTAGATGGACTGACGAGCATCGTATTCGCGTGTGTAAGGGTTGCTGGCAAGTATTCTACTGTGGCCCCAAATGTCAACGAGTGTAGGATCTTCTCTTCTTCATTGTCCACGCCGTGGTCTCATTTCTTACCCCATGCAGTGACTGGCTAGAGGGACATTGTGAGCGGTGTATAAGGCTCAGAACGCAGGACGACGAACAATGAATCGCCTCGTGAATCGCCTTCTGGTTCTTTAGATTGTGAAAGTCTGTCCATGAGATGCTCGATCAGATCACCTACTTTCTCAGTCAGTTTCGTAATCCCACATTGTCCCCTGGCATTGCAAGCTCCAAGTCAATTTACGCTTCGTCACCTGTACCTCATGCTAGTACGAGTATCGATCCCTCCGCTAACATAATACTAAGTAGATGTCGAGACAATCTCATCAAGACATTCAAATTCGTCTGTGTTCGCACGGCGTTTGGATCTGCTATTTCTGTCTCCACCTCAACAGGATCGTGGAATGTCTCATCTCGAACATTGATATCCTTGAAGGGGAGGAAGGTATGGCCTAGCGCCAATGGTTTGGCCATCAGGACAGCGGTGGATCAAACGGGCGCTTCTTCTGTTTCTTAACCATTTTCGCAGCTTTGGCCACAGTTTGGCCAACTATTTCTTCAACCACAACGTCCCGAAGCTGGTTTCTATTCTATCCCGTCGGCAACAAGGACGCCAATAATTTCTTCTCTCCTTTGCAACGCTTTCACAACCTCTCACCTTATGTCCCATACTGACTTCCGTGGAGTTGCAATGCTCGCGGACGACGGCACAGGATCATTACACTCTCAATTGATATCAAGGCCAAAAGTTGTAGTCGACGTATTTCGTCAACTCCACTCTGCTCGGGATCCCGCTCGGTGGAAAGTAGCTGAAGATATTTCAGCCTTCATAATCGGGCACAATGACGACATACCAGGATCTTCTCATGTCTCGCCTACAGCTGCCGAATGGGACTCTTGTACTGAGGCTGGACTTCTGGATCTCTGCTTTTCAATCCTTACTGAGAGTAATGTCTACCAAGACCCACGCATAGTAACGGTAGACGAAGAAGATGGGGTTAGTGTTCATTCAAGACTGATGTCTGATAGTATTTGATTGCTGATTGACGATATTCAGATCTATATAGACCGCGTTCTGCAGTGTCTGTTTACTGGCATGCTACTGTTCTCCAAGTTCAATATGCACAACTGTTCCGCTGCTCGGCGAATCACTCATCGCGTACCCCAGCTTCTTTGCTCGTATTGGCGCAAGCGCGACTGGTTGTTAAATTACGCGCCGAATGGTGAATCTCCTCCGGTAGATCTCACTTACTGTATCCATCTAGTGACACAGTTTTTCGGGCTCTACCAGCTTCAACAGTGAGTTCAAGTACCCTTTTGAATGCATTCTTATATTCTTATGGCTGATGCCTCGGTAGTAATGAGGTCCCGCCGTACGAGCATCATGTCGCCCATCTGTTGATTTATTGTTGGATACGAAGTGAAAGCCATATGCTCAGCGCTGCGGCTCTGGTACTGTTGTCCCAAGCATCTTGCGAACCTAACTTTGTGACAGACACTATGACGGGACAAGAAGAATTTCGGCTTTTCCTGGACAAAGTTCGAAGAGACCTAGTCGATCAATTCTTCGTGAACGATGACCTCTACAATATCCTCGTAATTTATAAATGCATCTACAGTGGAAGGGAACAAGCGGCGGAAGTTTATCCGGACCGCTCACTCTTGGAATGCTTTGGGACAGCCTGCCGCCGCCAAATGTGTATGGGCGTTCGTGACGAATCTATGACACTCAAGGTTCTACAGGCCGGTCTCGACAACATGCACTTTATCCTTCAGTTTCTACAGACGTCTGACGTTGGTATTATTTCACCCATTTACAAGGAGAAATGCTGAATAATTGCTAGATCACTCCATGGTATGACCTACTTGACCCGGCGGATAATCTAGATATCATGCAGGTTATGGCGCACGTTATCGTGCCAGCTGCTGCCCAAGACGATACTGACACACTCAGTAAGGGTTTCTTTTAACCTGCTTTGGTGACTCTGCTGATACCATTTACAGCCATAACAACAAACTTGATGATATGCTTTAAGAATATGATGAAACTTCCGGGTGCGCGCGAGAAAGTACGCGTCGCAGTCCAACGAGTGTGGAAGTCGATCTTTAAAGGGTTACAAGACCTTCCCCGGTCCCCAACGAAGCATCGCACACTCTCTGAATGGCGAATTTTCTGCGCGGCTGTCGGCTTGAAAGAAGGCTCAAGGTATGATTTCGAGCTCGATACCGAACCTATAACTTCAAACGAGAAACGATGCTACTGGCGAAAATGCATCTGTTCGAGACGGGATCCCGAGCACTCCATTCGAGTATGCAAAGGATGTTGGCGCGTTTTCTATTGTAGTTCTCACTGCCAGCGCAGGTACGCTTTCTGGAACCGCGGTCTAGTTATTAGCTCATATGTGACGTTATTTAGCGACTGGCAAAACGGACACCGTGAACGATGCCAACGACTAAGGATACCTTGACAGGAGATCTGTTGGATCTTAGTCCGGGCCTAATATAAAACACGATGTACAGATAGGAAAGATTTTCCGATTCGCAAGCAAATCAAGGAGTTGCATAAATACTTTTCTTCCTGTATACTTTTCTTCCTGTATCCACAATGACATGTCTTTACTTTTTCCCACTCGTGCGCTATCCAGAAACAAGTCCACGTATGTCTAATATTGATGCATCTCACTATATTTATGTGCACCTCGTAACTTTTTTTTTGCATCACAGTTATCCCGCTGTCTTGCAATTCTTTGTGAAGTTCGGCGCTTCCTAAGTAGGAAGCTCACAACGATGTCATTTGAGGCGCCAACGTCGACGTCCTCAGTTTCTTCTGAAAGCCACAAACTCTAATATACATATATACTCACTGGCCAGTGGCCACCAGACCGTTGGCCATATAGCCATATCTATATAAGGTGAAGGCTGTCTACTGTGAGGGTTACGACGCTGCACAATTCGACCACGTCCATTTGCATCTTCCTCATTCTGAATTGTCTTCTTTCACAGTTCAATTATCTCGCGCCCCGGTTTTCTTCAAGGGGAGAGAAAAGTTCAAGAATGGCCCAAGTTATCACGTCTGGTATTCCTCTGTCCGAGGTAGAGAAGCACCATACTCTGGCAAGGCGTCTGGAGGGCGAGACACCTTCGTTCAACAATTTGGTCGAAAATTCGCCTGGTGAAGTGGCAGAAACAATACACAGAATGCACGTGGAGCGCGACAAAAATCGTTTTCTTTTGGCTGCCTCTCTTTCATATTACATGGAATCAGCGTCCATGGGGGAAGCAGACTGGATAGCGTTCCTCGCGTCGGACTTACCCAACACGCTCATGGACATCGCACTGGACGATGGACTCTATCACGAAGTGGAGGAAAGCGAGAGAGCACAGGTATGTTAGGCGCTCAATGAGTTCTTCACTTCGACCGAACCACAGTGGAATGACTGACACTGTTTACCTTTTGAGATGTACTTAGACAACATTCTGTCAGCACTTGCTGTCTGTCTGTTTCAGTTCGACGACAGTACTCAGCAACAGCACGAGGATTGCGCTATATCGCTTGTCCGTAAAGCACCTTCTCTCTTCTCCAAGGTCTGGGATAAGCGTGGCGTCCTCCTTAGTCTTGATCCCTGCGGACCAGAGATAGCCATGTCTATCGAAAATCCTGTGAATATTCTATCTAACTATATGGACATGTACGCATGTCAACAGTAAGTATTCTCCTTCGCCTCCTTATCAACGCAGGATTGATCCGCTCTAGCAAACGGTACCCATCAATCGACGACGGATGCCTGGGTGACCTTCTTGTTCGTTGCTGGATTCTCTGCGAAGATGCCGAACTTGGGGAACAATACTTGGAGTGTCTGTTTTTGATTTTGGATCCTTCCGAAGGCCGGCCCATCGACATGTATCAACTACGGTGTTTCATTTTCCGGACTTTAGGCTCTAGCGAGCATGCAATCTACATTGTGCGAAGGATGCTTGATGTCCTACTCAATGAGGAGGTCAAGAATGAACATCTTTGTAAAGTTCTGACTCTTCTCAGCATTACTCTCGTTCATTGCCCCCCCATCCATGGAGTTCTTAGGAGAGATATGTCGGTCCCCACTCTAATCCAATGTCTTGCGTACGCTAGCCAAAGACAGTTGTGCATGGGCGAGGCATCTCGGAATTATGATACCTTGAATTGAGCTTTAGCAATGTTGCGTGAGTGAATCTGGTCTGGCGTGTCCATTCTATCTGTGCTTATACTTTACCATAGTCGCCTGTTACAAGGAGCCGCAGACGACGAAATTGCGTCCGCCATGAAGTTGATCAATGAATCCCAGCTCATCCCGATGGAGTCTCAGCTATACTTGCAAGCTCTGCGAGATAATGATCAGTCATTTATCCGTGAGTTTTATCAGATTTTGGATCGCAGAGACTGCAATTGAATGTGATTTAGCCGTCCTGGATACTATATTGGACTTCTACAGCACCCTTGGCCAGACCGAAGCCCGAGCTCAGACGAATAGCGCGGAACTGAAAGCCCTTCGATCTCACGTTACCAGAGTACTTGCGCCCACCTTGCAGAAATTACGCGCCCTTCCGTCTTCACTCAGAAGGACTCGGGCGATCAACAAGTGGACAAATCTGGCCAAAGCTCTCGAACTCCGAGAGACCTCGTGGCCGGAGGATATCACGATTGATGACTCCAGTCACTCTCATTCTAGGAGGTGCCATTGGCACGACTGTATGTGTTCTCACACCGATCCTGCACACTCCATTCGTGTCTGCAAGGGCTGCTGGCAGGTGTTTTATTGTAGCCGGCAGTGTCAACGAAGGTACGTTTGTGTGAACTCTGACCGAAGATCCGCTTGCGACAACTTATCGATTACGTCCTGAACAGCGATTGGACAGAGGGCGGGCATAGAATAACATGCCGTCGTTATCATAGTTAGCGCGACGCTCATGTCATACCCATAGGTGTGCCCGCGATTTACCAACGAATGTGGGTTGTATTGTTATTAGTGTACCGATTAGATACATTATTTTAGAGTTATCATTTCAGTGTACGCGCTAGACGTTGTTAGAGCGTTACATGGTGCCCAATTCGAACAAGCTTTGTGATTAGCGCGAATTCTTTTGTTCTAGGCCTCATTCAATGATAATATGTAAATGCTGCCGGAAAGCTCATTACAGTACTGCAAGGTGCGTGCAATTCAACCAGTACTTCATTAAGAATGGCATGCTCACCTTCCGTGCGATTAGCACCGTGGTCATATAATTTTGTGTAATTTGAAGGCAGTCCCGACGAAACTCCAAGAGGTCTATCTTTTGGGCAGTAGTGATGTCTATTACTCCAACCAAAACCCTCACCCTTGATTAAACTGTATATATCGACCTATAATGTCGACGAAGCGTATACTCAAACTCCGCCCTCACCCGCCCATTCCTTAACGAACACTCTATCACCTACTCTTACAATTCCAGTACCGCTGGGCACACCATTGCACCCGAAACATGGTTTGCTCATACGAGCCGGGTCCTTCCCTGCTCTGAACTTCATGAGGACCTTGTAAGGGACTGCGGCGTCTCGTTCTGCAGTCTTCGTGTCAACATTTGGAAGCTGAATAAGACAATGACACGAGCGATGAGCGCGGTATAATAGGCAGGTAATTGATTTACGTACAAGACAACGTGTACATTTCGATACTAGAGTAAATGTCTCGTCAGCGCTCGCAGTAGTGGGATCCGTATTGGGTTTCGGACTGATGACTATAGACCGCCACATATCCTCTGCCCAAGGATATCCGGCACCCTTGAAGACTATGTTAGGGCGGAAACTGAACGAAAAGGAAATAAGTGAAATTTGCCTAACTTCAAACTCACGAAATCACAGACCGTTCGATTTCCACATTGCCGTCCTTCCAACGGTCATTATCCAGCCCACCGATCTTCCCAAATGAATTTTCATCACCTGAAGCGGCAGTTCTAACGGTCTGAGCGACGTCTTGTAGACTTTCTTCACTGGCAAAGAGCAAAGGAAATCCATCCTAAGAAGATTGTATGAAGGTTGTCGCAAAGGAAACAAAGTTCGAACGCAACAAAACAGACCTGGAAGACCGCCGTCGCCTTGAGGTTAGGAAACGCCGCTGTAGATGGACACTCTCTAGGCGTGGGTCCCTTCATCATGAAGAATACTCGACGCCCCATATACTCCGTCAGTATATCGTTAGGAGATGGGTCGGAAGGCAATAAGGGTTGGACGATGTATCCATCCATGAAGTAAACCTTGAATAAGCTGCAGTCACCGATTCTATAGTATAGAAACATGAGCCATTCCGCCTGGTGCGGCATTAAGACTCAAACTAGCTGAGACGACGAACTTACATAGACCATGAATCTAGAATATCTTGGGTAGGGATGATTGGTACAGAGAAGGACACAGGCCCTGATTCCTGAGGCACTTTGACAAGAAGGCGACCGTCATGGGGATCGGATGAGTCGTATTCGAGAGTAGATTCAATTAATACCATCTGCACAACAGGGATAAATGGGTCAGATAATTTCACGGACATGAAGTCGTTACTCACTTTAGGTACTTCACGGGCGGTGACAAGAACATGGGTCTCAGCGTCCATGATGCACCACTTGCGATCATTCTAAAAATGTAATACAATGAGATCTGTGGTCGATGATAAGGACTTACAGGAGTTCAGAATTTTAACAAATATCCTTAGCATCCAACTCCAAAACGGAAGATGCTAACTGCGACCTTAAAACTACAGGGAGCTACGACGCCTACCTCGAGACCTAGTGGGGTGAATCTAGATTCAGTAACAGATAGTCCTCGACAGCTCTGCAGCGTCGAGATACTATGAGCTTCCGCTGCAACATTTCAAACCAGCCACAAGCTTGCCTTAATTGGATGAATCAAAATCTTTGATACGTTGACTTCGCCAAGCGGCATGGGAGTCTCACTTTCGACCTCGCCAATAGAATAACCATTACCGTTGGACAGGACGCCACTGTCTCGGATGGCACTTCCTTTCTCTGCAACTGTTCCGGCGGACTAGAGATGCCGTGCATGAAGTTAAGTTACTCCATCACGCCAGATGTCACATACCCTGTGCCATGCTAGCAAGACCGTTAACAACAAGACGGCCGTTAGAGTCCAGACTGCATGAGGCTCTTCGTAGAAGGAAACCGCCACCAGGCTCATGGTGGTTTAAGGTGGCCCGAGCGTCTATTTCTTCTGTCTTTTGACCTTCATAACTGTGGGCTCGTCAAGGAAACGTAAGTAAGCTCCGCCCTCCTATGGAAGGAAATCGTATCTCTTGCAGTTGCGAAAAGACACAACGTAACACTGGGTACTCAAGCTGCGATCAAACATAATCCGCAGCTCAGCAATTGTCTTTCTGTTTGCACCGTATCTCTCCAAGGGCCTGGATGACTTGGGACGAATCTCGCGAAGTCTCTACATTCAAGTTTTCGCTCTGTTGGAAGTCAGATCAACATAAGTAACAGTCCGCAAAATCGCAAAATAATTCGCATTCTTCTCGCTGCTCTAGCGTAGACGACAATTTGGATCCTTTCATCCCCGTATGCGATCGCCTTGCATATGTCTTTGAATTTCCACACCAATGAATCAGAGAAATGTGCGTCACAGTGTACATTCCCTCCCTGTCCGTTTTCAACCGTGCTCGGCGACTCAGTGCAATTCACACCCTGACGTCTCTGGAGTGGAATCGGGTATTTTGCTCTCGTGTCTAAGTCATCATGTACGGGTACCCTGACAGGTTCAAACATTTCAGACTATTATCTCCCATTAGAGGGCTTTTATAACCACCGCAACACGTCAGTGGACTTGCACTCCATACTGATACTGATAGTTCTGGCATTGCCCCAGTTGTTGATGACATCGCACTTTCATGTTCTAAATATTCTCACCTAGCTACACATATGTCAGAAGATGGCTGTCGTGTTCTGATCATCTGTAGTGTCACGCGAACCGTCGAATTTGTGATGTGTCGTTTTCATTTGCAAAGTCAGACTCTATACTTGCGACCTGTAGTATAATAGACGATATTTCTCTGAGCTTCTTGGACAGCCAGATCGCTTTGCAACACAACTTCAAGGGGTATCGTGGAAAACGAACCATATACAGTTGAGTGCCTAATCATACCTAATGCGGGTGCGAGTGATCCCTTTATAACTTAACTGTAACGGTGGAGTAAAAAAAATCGCATCGGAGGGTGATTGGAGGGTGCTCTAATGTCATGATTACTCGCGCCGAGTCTGAAGGTGCGTTCAACATCGTCAGTTAACCGCAGCATGATAATACCATCGAAGCTGTACCTCTGTATAACGTCCGTTCTTGATGGAAGATAACTCCACCTCATCCGGGGGATGATCTATTGTAGTACTAGGGTCCTGGAAGAATAGGGTCTCCGTTTGAGCGAAGGATTCCATGATGTACGAATTGTTTCCTTGATTGTTGACCATTTCTCGCATGTTCAGCAACAGTCTGCTGCATAGGATAGAGGGCAGAGCGGCGGACCATCTACGTTGCAGACATATCAGCTTCGCAGTAAAGACATAGAACAATGAAGCAAACATACGGCATGATGACGTTGATGTAGCTTGGGTTGCGAGCCCAAATCATTGTGCTGATGAACAGTTCAGCGAACACACTGTCAATGCGACCTCGTAAGTACTCAGGCCGGCTGTGAAAGTGCTTCAGACTAACGCTAAGAAATAAATCAAGCTTTCGAAATGTTGTCAGCCGCCGCCGCCGCCAATGATCACGGAACACAATAAATCACCTATCTTTGGCCATGCGCGATATCAAAGGTATCCTGGGGCGCTGGCTCTTGAATGACCAAGCCTTATGTGCTACCAGAGCAAACAGTACGGGCTCGTAAATGAGTCCCGGTACCCAAAATAAGGCCGACAGGCTCAAGACACCTGAGTAATAGCATCCGGTTGGCGTCGAAACAACTGGGAGGTCTGTATAAAGCAATTTGGTAAGCATTTAAATATGGATGGGCGATATTCACGTACGCGACAGGCGACTGATAGTGATCCCTACAAGTACAGCCATCGTTGCGACTTCCATGGCACATAAAGTCAAGAGCAACACAAGGATCTTGTGACTACGTTCGTACAGCGCATACACCTGCGAATCATATTCAAGTGAAGATTACACTAAGAGAAAATTGCAGGACGCACTCGAAGTTGGAGTACGGCTATATTGAGCGAAACGTGAGTATGAACTCTGGAACGTGAGGATAGAATACTTCATACCCTGAACCGTTAGAGTTGTAAGCAGAGTACTGATCATACCTTCGGTGAGTGTCAAATATTTGATAATACCATAGGTACGCACACAATGTCGTCGCACATGAGATATATCACGCATCTAGATAGAATGTTCAGCATATTCTCTTTTGTAACATTGCTTCCTTACATCTGTGAATGGTCAGAAAGTGCAGCATCTGTGATCTCAACATGCTCACCTTAGAAGACACCACTCCGGATGGTGTTAGTGGAACTATTTTGATAGAGTGAAAGAAAGGATTGAGTATCAGATCTCCAGGTATCCTAACTATGACTGTGACCTACTCGAATCGAAGACAAGGTACGTCAGCGCAAAGAATCGATTCTGAATGTCATATCCTCAGATCGAAGTACTAGAAAAACAAGCGTCTACGGCGTACGAATATATAGAGGCTGAACGCCGGCCAGTTCTTGGCTTGTGTCCAGATGAGATCGACCTAAGAACGCAGATATCAACCACGAAGTCTACTTCGAGGACATGAAAACCCCACCTCCAGATGGAAAGTGATTACTGAACTACGATGCAATTAACGACGGAATCCACCAATGGTTACGAGCTGCTTACTATGGTCATAGAAGAGCAAACCAATAGCTGCAGCTCTCGATCGCTTGCCAATGTCCACTTGTGCGATTCTCGGTAAGCCAAACACTTCGACACAAGGCTGGACGACATACATGCATTGACAGTGGAAAGGGGAAGGGAAGTCCAGACGGTCATCGTGAGTTCATGAACGAAGAGAGTAATACGGCAGAAGAATGAAGTCGCTTCCTAATTGAACCTGACCTATAAGTAGAACAGTGAAGCTTTTGTATCGCGCCGTCAGCGCGTGAAGCCACCGTCTCCTGTGCGTCATTTTCACTGATGCTCGAATGATGATCGACATGCAATCGCTCAAAGGTCAAGGTCATCAGACTTGGCCGTGTATACCAGCCCTACGGATTTGGCGACCCGGGCTAAAGATTGACGGTTTAGATAGAGTTAGGGTCATAGAACATCACTAAGTTGCCTATTTCGTTGGTGCATAGGTTGTAACGATGCCCTCCTGCATCTTTGTTGGCAGACGACTGGGAAGGTATTGCCTCTTCAGAGCGCTTTGAAAACTGCGCTCATACAGGTGTTTATAGAAAGTATGATATCGCAATAGGTTGAGTTCTGACGGCGGCGTTGGATTGAACAAGGCTATGTTCCGTGGAGGGGAAGATAACAACGCCAAACGACAAGTCAAATCAAAAGTTCCCACTGGGACTAAGTGTACGATTACGCACCTGCCACATATCATTTTGCAATCCAAATTCCACACGATTGCATTGCGCCGTAGTTCAAAATGTTTATGCTGAGCCTGTTTACTGATAGCATGATTTGTTGTTTCCACATCCTGGCCAACTCCACATCATACGGGAACCATGGCAGCCATATCACCCACAAGTTGGTGTGATGCATTCCAAATGTATTGACAAAAATATGCATTGATAAATTGAGGTCAGCAACATCGCCATCTACGGCTCTTACCGTGCCGATCTTCTTCAAGCACATCGTTCTCTCTGATGACCTTCAAGAATACGCTCTCGAGCGAAGCACGCTCCACCGCAAACTCGGAAATAGAGTTTGAGGCAGATAAAATGGAGAAGAGTCGTGGAAGAGGCATTTGCGAACCAATGGGTACCTCGAACCGCGTCGCAACGTCGTCAGCCATACGAGATCCGGGTACTTGAGACATGAGCTCCTGGGTTCGCACAACGTCCTCTCGGCTTCTACATGAGAAATGTACTTCATACGTCGCATAACGTGAAGCAAGGTCCTCCGTGCTTCCAATGGCTAATTCAGTCGCAATACGTATTTAGTGCATGTCTAAACGCCATTAAGAAATCATGACCCACCAAGCATTCGCTTTGCTAGTATACCAACTTTTGTGGCAAGCGCTGAAGCTTCTTCCATTGAATCTGGAAAACAAATAAGAAGACTATTGCATTATCTACGAGAGAAGCATACGAGTTGTGATCACGACTGCCTTCCCTACAGCCACATTGCATAGCGTCTTCCACATTTCTCTCTTCATCTTCGCATCGATACCGGTCGAGAATTCGTCGATCAAAACACAAGCAGGATTACCTATGATACCGCTACTGTCAGTTCAAAACCCTCGGTGACTCAGAAAAATAGACTGACCGATTAGGGCGATAGCTAACGATAGTTTTCTTTGATTACCTCCGGATAACTTACTCGCCAATCTATCGGCGTAAATATATAGTGAAGTGGCCTGCATCAAATCCTCGACATTCCGTCGCAACTCTTCACCCCTGTACAGACCCTTCAGACGTCCATAAATAAGGAGGTGTTCCCGGACAGTCAACTGTGTGTCTATGGCAGTAAACTGAGGGCAAACACCGAGAGCAAGTCGGGCAGATCGTGGGTGATGGACGACCGAAATGCTATTGATCAGGACGTCGCCTTGGTCAGGAACAATATCTCCACCTATAGAAACATAAGTACTAACTCGAAGGACATAGTAGAACAGAAAACCACGTACGAATGATGTTGAATGTGGATGTCTTTCCGGCGCCATTCGGACCTAGTAGCGCGAACACAGTGTCTTTACCGACTCCAAAGGTGACGTTGTCGACAACTTTATTATCGCCAAAGGACTTCTCAACACCAAGAACACGGAGAATTTCTGACGACTTCGTTACTGAAATTGCTTCCTTCAACACGTCCTTCGTACTGTCAGAATCGGTCTCGGTTCCCGCTGGGATGTTTGCAGCTGTCTGTATTGCGACTTTTCTACGGGAAAAAATGGAGCCTGAATCAACCCAGACGAGGACGCCGAATAGTATAAACCCGTAAACAAAAAGGTAGAGGATGGGTCCGCCATAACGAGAGATTTGCCCCATAGATGATGACGTTACGGGCTTACTTCCATCGCAAAGAAGCGAAAACAAGTTTACAGAAACGAAGGCTGCGCGTAGCTATGCATGCAACATTAGTATTGTTGTCATCCATATTGTGTTGCGTGCTTACCACGCTGGCCACAGGAGAGAGGATAGATAGCGTGTAATCTGGAATGATAGAGGTCATTCCCATGTTTAGAACACAGATGAAAATGACATACGTATGACTACCAAGTCGCGACCAGCATTGGACGTCTTCGAATACGTCAAGACCAAGAGGTAGGCCGCCAGGTAAAGCTATATAATTGGCGTTATTCAGTCGCTCGGAATTGAAGGTTTCTAGTACTCACTATGAACATGATGATTTGGTATCCAGCAGATGCCGCGAAAGCGGCCAGTGGCGAAGCCACCATGAGTGAAACGCAATATGAGAAGAGTGTTCCAACAATGCCATACAAAACCAAGATGAGCCACTGCGAAGACATATGTCAGGGAAAAAAATCGAAACAACAGAAGAGGAATTCTCACCAAGAAACCAAGACCATGAAATTGATTGGAGGCTCCAGCGACAATAATGACAATGAGAGTAGCAGGTATGATACAGAAGACAGAATCAAACATGATATGTCCTAGCCATAACCCGACGGGGTCTGCCAGGCCATTCGACAGTTGCATGGCTTGTACTGCAGAACGCCGTTCATTCGAGACGTATAGAGAGAAGAAGGCGGGGAATACAGACTAAAGAAGGAGCATGAGTGTCACATTTTCCTGGCATACATTCCACGTACCATAGCTGCGCCAAAGAAAGCGACCCATTTCAAAGCGACCAGAGTGCCAGCACTAATCCCTGGGAAGTTCTGATAATTCGCAGCAATCAAACTGGCATTTCCAGTTGATTGTCCAGAAGAATTCAGTGCTTGGTTGTATAGGACGTTCGAGGCAAGGTTCAGTAATATAAGTCCATTCATTCCGGGAGGTGTAGCCTCCCAAGCGACTAAGGCAGATCCACTCTGGGGGTCGATGGATATCCCTCCAAATGATTGGTCAAGAAATGTTTGCTCTATGGTATTGACAAATGTTGCGTTGTCGGGGATGTTGGCAACGGGAAGGATCGCGGCAGATGGACCGAGGCCCGAAAGGATTCCAGGAGGTGATGTCAATACTTCAAATTGAGAACCAGGAAGCGTGCTTGTCAAAAGCAATGGTGAAGACGGCAGGTACAGTGGGACTGCAGAGACAGACCTGAACGTCGCTGTGCAGCTTTGCGGTCGATCGGAAAGGAAGAACAGAGGTATACAGGACCCTGCAACCGCGACAAGGACCGCAAGGAACGGTGTGAGCCAGCTCCGGCGAGCCACAAGAGCCCGTTTGTGGAAGATGGTGAAGGCCTGACTCAACGGTGATCGCTTGCGACCGTTTGTTAATTTCAGTGGCGGAGAGACTGCAGCAAGAGATGGCGTAGACGCATCGTCCTGCTTCTCCAGATCATCCGATTGGGTGTCATTGTGCATCAAATCTAAGAAGATGTCTTCGATGGATGTCCCTAGCACTGAGTATGAGGCAATGTTGTACGTTCCTCGCTCATCATCTACAAGTTGGAGAACACGCTGCACAACGGCGGGGTCCTTAGCCTTCAGATGGTAGGACACTTGAGTTGGTGATGATGACGAAGTGTAGGTTTGTGGTGCTATCGTCCGAATGCGATCTAGCAGATCGTTAGAAGGATGAACTAATGCCTTCTCGCCGTTGGATACATCGTGGAAGGCAACATCGACGGTATAGCCATGACCAAACTGCGACTTGAGGGAAACAGGAGAGCCATGCGCAACGAGCTTTCCAGGAGCAGCAAGTACTGCGATCGTATCTGCCAATAGATCAGCTTCGTCCAGGAACTACATTCGGGTCAGTATATGCTGCACGATGAATTGAATAAGACTGACGTGTGTCGTAAACACGATTGTTCGTTTGTGCCGTACTGAAGATAACGTCCGCCATATTGACCGCCGAGAAAGAGGGTCCACGCCGGAGGTGCACTAATACAAGATATGAATACCTCAAAAGGAAGACATCGATTAGCGGCTAACCTCATCTACCAAAACAACTGTCGCAGAATACATATCGTGTCAGTCTGAAATTACCCAACACATCTATTTCACTCACTCTTTGAACCACCGATCAGCCCGATCGCAAGCTGTAGTTTTCTTTTCTGTCCACCAGAAAGCGCATCCGCGTTATAATGTATCTTCTTCCCGAGATCACAATCCTTCAAGAGCTGTTCGATATCATCGTCCTCGCCAATACGTTGGTCCGGCGTTTTGATAGCACGCCAAAGCCGCAAAGTTTGATAACATGTTAGTTCGGGAAATAGGACATTCTTTTGAGGCACGATGCCTATGGTGCCTCGAGGAGGGCGGTCAACGTTGCCTTCGAACTTGACTGAACCGCGTGTTCGGCCTAAGAGACCACCAAGAATGGACATTGTGGTAGATTTCCCAGCACTGCAGATATTAGTCGTCATGCAAAAGAAGGAAACTAAGTTTGCATGAAACTTACCCATTGGAGCCCAGGAGTACGTAGATTCCGAACTTGGGTATGTCAAGGCTGAGGTCAGACACTGCAGTGACAACGCCTTTACCTCGGTTAAAGATGGAGGTATCAAAGTCCTTGCCAAGATGGCGAATCGAGACAGCAACGTCAGACGGGATGGGCATTGTGACCTCACTCTGACTCTGCCTTCTTCGTCGCCAGAATTTCCAGCGTGACGTACTTGGGTTTCGTGCATCATACAGACGACGCTCAAGTAGCACAGCAAGGCATGGCCAGAGGAACACATTGATCTGACACACATGTGAGCGGAAGAATGATTAAGAACAAGAAACTCACTATAGCAGCAACGAGAATCGGTAGAATACGTAGGCGATTGTCTGGATCCGGATTCAGTGCATTTGTGGGTATTTGGTGATCCTCAAACCCACAGATCGCACGAATGACAAAGATGTAGAAACCAGGTGGGAATATAATTGAGAATATGAACGCAGCTCCAGTCGAAGCGCGACTGAACACAAGTGCCAGAATCGCAAATACGATCGCCAAGATTGTCGATGTAACCGCAGCTAATTGCGGACTCTTGCCAAACGGAACCGCGATAAAGAAAGACCAGCTTGCGAGTACAAGGCCGAGCAAAAGATGGACTATGAATACGAGCCCGGCGTTGGTACGTGAAAAGATGCGGAAGTGCCAAATGAGTGAGACAATCACCCAGGCGGGAAGGTAGGCGAGGGATATACTGAGATGCCAGGAGAGGATCCGAGCAGAGTCGAGTAGCCCCATTGCCTTCAGGTGGCTTGTTAGAAGATTGGCTCGTTCGCCCATGAAGGAGCCAGGAAGCTGGTAAGCTATTCCGATGTAGCATATGAACAAAGCCAAAACCAGGAGTGTACGAAGACCTCGGATGTAGCCTGGTAAAAATGTCAGCAGAAGGAATCTGAAGAAAAGAACATCCCTTACTCAACCGAATGGCTGTGAATTGCTCATCATTAGTTTCTTGAGTAAAGGGCCATTCTAAGGGCGTTGGCACTTGGTCTCCTGTCCGAAGCTCGATGATAGCTCTGTCAATAGCCCATTGTAACGGCAAGACTCGCAATTCGTAGTCACTTGTATGACGAACTACGTCAATATGGAACAACCCTCCATCTGCGCGTAGGGTGTAGTTGATCGGCCGGGTGTCACTGGTATCTGCTGTAGGAAAGGAGTTGAAAGCAACTGCCGCAAAGCACTCAGAAAACAGGTTGAAGTTCTGCGGGCATGTAGCGGGTATATCGTCTGGCGTGTCGACCTTTCGCACGGCGGAGAGCTGTCGGTCAGAGAAGCCCCTCGTAATATGTGCTATGATGTCGTTCGGCGAAGGCGAAGCAGTCCCGTTAGTACCGTCTGCCCAGACGAGCGATATCGAGCCGTCGAAGACATCCCTGAGTTCTCTCACAGGCACAGCAGTCCCTAAGCCATACTGAATGAATTGTGAGCTGGAACCGAAAGCACACATACGTGACACGCACATTATTTGGTTTATTCAAGAAGATCTGAGCAACTGCAAGGAATATGCCATAAGCAACAGGTAAGATAAAACATCGTAGAATGTTCAGCTAGATACCATAGAACTGAATATTGAGTGATGTTAGCATAGAAAGGTACAACGTCACTACGCACCCAAGGATGTTTCGACAATACGATCCAATTCTTCCAGAACAGCGCCCCAAACTGTCTCCAGAAAAGCCCAACCATGTCGTTGTCGTATGGGGAGGAAAAGAAAGATAAATTTCAGGACTCCATCCTTTCGGTCGGTCTGCGCAGCCCTAGGTACTAGTTGGCATGAGAAAATCCGTCAGGCATCAGTATACTTAGTGCCCAGCCTCATAGGCGCCCCATCCCCTTTCAATTGAATACAGACTCCATCTGATCATGTTCGATTTTTGTTCTTGTCGACTCGCTAGCTTGTCGTCGAAGGCGGGATGAAACTTCGATGAAGTTCAGTGCTAAACAACAAGGTCCATATTTAGCATGGCAGGTTTCGATCTGGCTTGAAACACGGCTATTTTTTGTTTCCAAGCTGTGTGGGTAAGTAGCTGGAGACTGATGACGCCAAGCTGGGTTAATTCCAGGTCTCTGCGCCCATGCCTCACCTATACTTACACGATAACGTCTGCTGGGAAATCATGGTCATCGACGGGCTGTGTCAGGGGAAACTCGGTATAACATTGGCCTCGGTAGGCCTCGGTGCCGCTCAGCTTGCGTCCATAATCGGGGTTGTTGTAACAAGCATCAATGTCCAAGCTGCCAGTATGCCAGAGAAAAGCCTTTTCGCTCATTCTCAGATATCTAGATAATTATGGATTTACGACACTACCGAAGGTGCATTGTTCTCGCTGCGGACGGCATCGACGAAATTGCGTAGCAAGCTCTCTCCGATCTCAACCCTGCTTTGACATCATTTATCCCAACTCCGAACCCATTCCATATTTGTTATGATCACATTCATTTCAGATCTACGGACACACCTTTCCCTCACATTATTCATTTGTAACCATTTATTAAAACCTACCCAAACACACTCATTGATTCATGCTCGAACCTGACCGATACCATAAGTATATACAAACACATTGATACCGCATGTATTTAGATAATAGTTGTATATATACGCCAGATGAACTTCGGATTAACTTCAAGTTTCGAATGGTTTTACACTGCTCATTTCTAGTTTGATTTGAGTTCTATCATAATTTGAAACTTTCCCCTCCGCACTCTCTCGACAGGCATTGCCTCGTCCTCCATCCACTCTTCACCTCACTCTAAGTCCATTGTACTCGACGGCAACCACCTCATTCCTCATCCCACTCTGCTTTACTCTTACTTGCTCAAGACCTCATTCGGAGGGATCTGAATTCCACACTCCTAGTTACTTTTCATATCGCACTCCATTCCTCCACCTGGGTAATCACGCGACTACATCTGTAGATTGCAACCCTTGTATTCCCTTAGTATATAAATCATTACTCTCACCTGGTAGTCCGCTCTTGAAGCAACCAGGAAGTAGGCAGTGCTGCAACCTTCTTGACAGAAGGGCCATTGAAAAATCCTACCAGAATTTATCCTGCTCAGACCTAAACAACTGAGTGTACGGCAGGAGGTTTCAAACCTCGCTGGTATTTCTTGATCCTCTCGCACGTCAAAAGACAACTACCGCGGAGATCAATTTCTCTTTTTGCACCTTCAAAGGCCAAACTATTTTACGTAGTTACTATATCTACCTACCTCATGTGTCCGGATCGGCAATTGGCTGGAACACTTTGAAGGAGTACCTTTACCTCAGATCTATACTCATCTAAGTACCAGAATAGGGTCATGCGCCCAGTACAAGACACTACTGTTCACACATCACATCTTCATTTGAATTCTCTGCACCACTCTATCAATACTACACACGTCGATCTCCACCTCCACTCGTACTGTCGCCACACTCATCCCCTACAAATCCCACATCACCTTCACCGTTATCACCAATGGATTCTACCGGATCTGGAACTGGTAGTCTCGGAGCAAATCCACCAAATCCACCACCGCCACCACCAAGAAATTCAACTCCACCTCCTAGACAACCACCACCAGTACCACCACAGCTCAACACAAAGGCATCTGGAGGGAAACCCTCAGACTTTGATGGAACCAAAGACAAATATCCGTCCTTCAAAAGACGACTGTACTTATGGTTCCGAACACCCAAGAACATCGGTCTCACTGATGAACAGAAGGTCGATATGACTCTTTTGTACATGAAGGGTCCAAAGGTTGATGACTGGGTCAACAATTATTTTGAAAATGAATTTGACATCAGCACGAACAGCTGGAATGTCACTTTCCTTCTGTTAATCAAAGCCCTTGATGAACAATTCCTCGATTCAAATCGAGTTGAACAAGCAGTTATCCAAATGGATAACTTGACCCAAGGCAATAGAATGGTGCAGGAATATTTCCAGAAATTGGAAATGTACATCACGCAGGCAGGCAGAAAAAAGGAAGATAAACACACTATTGACCTCGTTCGACTTAACTGCAATGAGTCCATAGTAGATAGGGCTCTTGACAGAGATATGCGACCAGCCACATATGCACAGTGGAAGGAAGCGATCATTGATATTGATTCCTCGTGAAGGCAGCGGGAAGAAGAGAAGCGATTGAAGAAGATCGGATATCGACCATTCTGATTGAACCAGAACTATGGGCAGAAGTACCCTGCCTATCAGCAGCAGACCCAAGGATCAGGTCAAACCCAGAATCAGAGTCCAAAGAAGGACTATGGAGAAAAGAAGGATGGAACCGGAACAACGTTCACAGGGCGTGGACAGCCCATGGACTTGGATAGAAATTGCCTTAAATGTAAGGCCAAGCAATCAGAGAAGGGCACTTGCAGAAGTGCATGGCATGTCCCCAATCGATCGGGACCTTCCACGAACACTCAACGTGTTCAAAAGAATGAAACAAAATCAGAGTCAAAGATCGAGGAGATCCTCGACTCAGATGATGACGACGATGACAAGATGATTGCCATGGTTCAGCGATGGATGGAGAAGAACCCGGAGAAGGTGAAGAAGCTGAATTTTGGCTTGGGCAAGGCTTAAACATACAAAGTAACTTGCCGGATAAGAACAATAACTCGGATAAACCCCTAGAGGGTTCTATGAAAACATCTTCGATACATGCCTGTAGTACATCGATCGGACAGTCTCCTTTTGTAAATATTTCATCTAACGCAGAGGCGTCTTCTACCAAGAAGCGCAGCAGGGCAGAACCTGTGCTTGATTCCTCTAAACAAAAAACAAAAAAATTTGAAAATAAACTGAGTGCATCGGATAAAAGCATCACAGACATCGGACCACCATTACTCCAAGTCATCAAAGGACTTGGAAGAGGGAAACAAATGGACCTACCAGTTACCATGGTTATACCAGAAACAGAAAAAATCCATGACACAGTAGCGTTAGTTGACACCGGTAGTACCGGATCATGCATAAATTATAATTTCGTCAAAAGGCACGGAATTGAAACCTCTAAATTTGATCAACCGATCCAAGTCTATAATACCGATAACAGCGAGAATTCTCAGGGACCGATCACAGAATATGTCCGACTCACACTTCGAATCGGCGATCACCAAGAGAACATCATGCTTCTAGTTACCGATCTGGAGAAGTCAGACATATTCCTCAGATATAAATGGATCAAATACCATAATCTATCAATAGACTTCAAATTGCAACTTGTTAACTTTAACCGATGCTCACACACATGCATCACTATAAGACAACAAGAGATCGAAGAAGGAGATACCGTATATTTACTCAATACCAATGCTTGGTATAAAGAAAGAGGAGAATATATTCAGCGAATGCGCGTAACAGCCATGGACATAGCAATTGAACAAAGTAAACAAAAAAAGAAAAAGACCTTCGAAGAAATGGTTCCCGAACAGTATCGTGAATTTACAGATGTATTCACTGAGGATACTTTCAACGTCCTTCCAGAAAGGAAACCATGGGACCATGCAATAGAACTGTTACCAGATTCATCACCGTATGTAGGCAAAGTGTATTCCATGACTGTTGAAGAACAAAAAATCCTAGATGGTTTTCTTGAAGAAAACCTAAAGATGGGAAGAATCTGACCATCAAAGTCTCCCTGGGAAGCACCCTTCTTCTTTGTCAAAAAGAAAGATGGCAAATTGTGACTGGTACAGGATTACTGAAAACTCAACGATATGACCAAGAAAAACAAATATCCTTTACCATTAATCTCGGAGCTTATTGATAAGCTCAAAGGTGCTAAATATTTCACAAAACTGGATAATTTGCTGGGGATACAATAATATTTGCATGAAAGAAGGAGATGAAGAGAAAGCCACATTTATCACAAATAGAGGACTATACGAACCAACTGTCATGTTCTTCGGATTGACAAATAGTCCTGCTACGTTCCAGATGATAATGAATGACATTTTTCGTAATCTCATTCTCAAAGGAAAAGTAATCATATATCTTGATGATATACTCATATTTTCCAAATCCCTGGAGGAACATCGCCATATTGTGAAAGAAGTCCTTAAAATATTACGAGAAAATAAGTTAACCTGCAAACCAGAAAAATGCAAGTTTGAAACTCAAGAAACAGAATATCTCGGATATATTATTTCACAAGGAACTGTAAAGATGGATCCTGCCAAAGTCAATGGAGTTATGCAATGGCCAGTATCAAAAGCCAAAAAGGAATTACAATCATTCCTTAGATTCGCTAATTTCTATTGACGATTCATCAAAGACTTTTCCAAAATTGCCACTCCCTTGAATAAATTAACTGGACACGTAGAATGGATCTGGGGTCCAGAACAGCAGGAAGCTTTTGAACTTCTAAAGAAAACTATTACCATTGCACCGGTATTAGGTATTCCGAACAATGAAGATCAGTTCAAAGTTGAATGCGATGCATCTAAATATGCTATTGGAGCAGAACTTGCACAGAAGCAAGATGGACACTGGCGAACCATTGCTTTTCTATCGAAAAGTCTTTCACTGGCTGAAAGAAACTACGAAATCTATGATCGAGAGATGCTAGCCATCATGATCTCATTAGAAGAATGGCATCACTTCTTGACGAGAGCTGCACAAAAATTTGAAATTCATTCTGATCACAAGAACCTTGGCTATTTCAAAAAACCCCAGAAGTTGAATCATCACCAGGCGCGATGGATCCAAGAATTACAACAATATGATTTCAATTTGACCTACAAACCCGGAAACACAATGACGAAGGGAGACCCTTTATCGCAACAGACCCATCATGATATTGGAGATAGTCATAATGAAAACATTACGTTGTTAAAACCAGAATGGTTCTGAGCCAATGAAATCCTCAGATCATTAGCTTTATAGGAGAAAATCATAAAAAACACTGATAAATATGAAAATAATGTATGATTAAAACTATTGACAAAAGATGCCGACTTCAATGAGACCGAGGACGGTCTTATCTGGAGAAGGGGGAAAATTGTTATCCCTTTTGATAAGGAACTTAGAGGAGAAATCATTCATTCACATCACGACTCGATTAGTGCTGGTCACCCTGGACAAGCAAAAACACAAGAACTAATCTATCGATCGTACTGGTGGCCTTTGATCAAAAAAGATGTAAAAACATACATAAAAGGCTGTGAAACTTGTCAAAAAACCAAGATTAACCATCAACCAAAGAATGCTCCGCTACACCCAAATGCAATCCCTGAACACAATTGGGAATATCAATCTGTAGACATGATTACACATTTACCAGAGTCGCAAGGGCATGATGTGATCATAGTAGTTGTGGACATGAAATCAAAAGACTACATTGAAATACCAACCATGGAGCAATTGACGTCAGAAGGATGGGCTAATCTTTACATAAAAAATGTATATTCGCTGTACAGATTACCAAAAAAGATGACATCAGATCGCAGACCACAATTCATATCCAGCTTCATAAAAGATTTATATAAGAAACTAGGAATTCAGGAAAATCCTAGTACGGCATATCATCCACAGACAGATGGACAAATAGAGCGAATCAATCAGGAAATTGAAAACTATCTACGAATCTTTATCAATCATCGACAGACTGATTGGCCAGAATGGTTGCCACTAGCAACATTCGCATATCAAAATAGAGTCCACTCTGCGACTGGATTTTCACCATTTTATATAAATCACGAACGAGAAGCCTACACTGGTGTAGAAACCAAAAAGGAAATTTGTAATGAAACTGCTGAGCAGTTCATAGCATGAATGAAGAAAATCCAAGAAGAAGCATCAGCATCGTTAACGTTAGCACAGGATGTTATGAAAAGACAATACGATAAACATAAAGGTGAAGCCGTAAATTATAAAGATGGAGATTTAGTGTGGCTTAAAGCTACACATATATGCACAAACAGATCAAATCGAAAATTAGATGATAAAAGATATGGATCATTTCTGATTATTAAGAAAATTGGAGCTAGTGCATATAAGCTCAAATTACCAAAATCATGGAAAGGCATACATCCCATATTCAATGAAACTTTATTATTGCCGTATCATGCACCGGAATTCCCAAATCAGAAAACACACAAAAACATTCCAATAATTATTGATATCTTAGAAGACAAAGTTGAATCTGTATTAGACTCCAAGATGGCATGTGGAGGCCTTCAATATCTAATCAAGTGGGCTGGAAAACTATGTTCTGAAAATACATGGGAACCACGTCATAAAATCATCAAAAACATAGACAAAAAGATAATCAACAAATTCCATAAAGATCATCCCGATACGTCAAAAGCACCTACAAGAATATTGCTGAAGGCACAAATTATGAAACAATCATTTCCTAGAGAAGCGTCACAAGAAGAATGGGATTATTGGGATCAGAAAGTACAGAGATGGGTAGAACATCGTAAAAAAGAAAAAGCAATGATATCTGTGGACCCAGATTTGATTAAATTATTCAAAAATCGAAGAAAAGCACAAATCATATCTAATCAGCATTACCCGAATGCCGGCGAGTTATGGATCATCAATGAGCAGACACTCAAACTGACACACGTGGCAATCACATCTGCGCCTACGAAAGTCAAACTCGAATGGCAATACCCCATTCTTTCCTTCTACCAACTCATCGAACCAATATCAATCCTAAGTATGGACTCCCCTATTTTAGAACAATCATTCACTCAACCAATGAAAGCTCTTTGGTAGAAATGGACAAAGACAGAATTATCATCCTTAGCATCTTTGGTGGCATAATCCTATGCACTGTTGGAGTAATACTCTGGGTTGTATGGTATAGAGAACGGGAGAGAGAAAACTCGGAAGAATGGATCATCATGGTATGATTGAACAATTTCATACTCTATCATAATTAATCGTGAGGACACGATTCTAGAGGAGGGGGTAATGTTACAATCACATTCATTTCGGATCTACGGACACACCTTTCCCTCACATTATTCATTTGTAACCATTTATTAAAACCTACCCAAACACACTCATTGATCCATGCTCGAACCTGACCGATACCATAAGTATATACAAACACATTGATACCGCATGTATTTAGATAATAGTTGTATATATACGCCAGATGAACTTCGGATTAACTCCAAGTTTCGAATGGTTTTACACTGCTCATTTCTAGTTTGATTTGAGTTCTATCAATATTACCTTCCTCACAAAGGCCGAAACTCAAGACCTCCGTGGAAGACATACGCCCTCTCAGTTTCTAGAACGATCAAGTCTGAGCTAGGACTCACACCTCCTGTTCTTTCCCCCCGCCATGTTCGTAGTCTGCATTTGGGCAAAAGGGCAACAGATACGAAAGAAGCTTGACCTGCCTCCCAAGGATTTCCATATTACCCTCTCGAAACATGACGTGCATGACGCTGAGAAAGGTATAACAAGTCTCGTTTCAGGAGCATTCCCGGAGAAGCCTTCTCTAGAGCTCCTCGATAACCTCGTATATACCCTACACCTGAAGGAGGACTTCTTCAGTGCCCAGGAATATGCTATCGCATTATGTTTGCAATACCCGCACTCGCCAACAGGATCTATTGGGCTTTGGGATACTGCTCTGAAATTGGGCATGCACAAGCTGTCGATGCTGGCTTTTGCTTGTGCGTTCGCTAGGTTGGAAGACTCAAATGATGATTCCGCAAAGTAATCCTGCGTCCAGCAGACATCATTGTGTGCGAAGGAAACCGAATGGGGTGCCATATATCTGAAAGAGGAAGACGCACAGCTTCCCGAGAGTATCAGACATGTTTTCCTTCAGTCATAGTCAACCGAGCTGCGTCCTGCTATAACAGATCTGAACTTGCTTCCAACGCTTGGCCTGAATCCTCGTGAAGAACAACATACCCCCCGACTCTACTTGAACGGTCGGACCATGGAACATACAGGCTCCCTCGCTTCTTCCGACAGCTAGTCCCTTTTCACGTTGCTCTCGTGCTGACACCGCGCAAGGCTTTTGACATTGACGCACTCTCCTCTCCCCACTTTGGCATTCGGCACGTTCTCACTTGAACGGAGGAGACGCCACTGCCCGAAAAGCGGTTCCAAGGGCATAATATTGGGAACACATTCCTTCCCTTTCCCAACTACAAACCGCCAACCATAGAACAGATGGGCCTAATCATTCGGCTTCTTTGCGATGAAAGAAATCTATGCAATACCGATGGTCGAAAAGCGTGGTTGGCCTGGCAGCACATTGGTCTGTCTCACCTATATGTGTGACTATGAGCGAGAGTTGTGTGCATACCACGCTCAGACTTGTATAGGTAAGCCAACGTTACCTCTCGGAGGCCGTGCTAGGAAGGCGGTGGAACAGATGGAGAGGATGTTTGTGAGACCTTCGTTGAAGGAAGGCTTTCCGCTGCCGTAAGGATTTGTTCCTTCTCTGCCGCGGAGAAATTCGTATCCAGAATCTCCCCTCCCATCGCCCTCTTCAAGTTCCCTCGGACTGAACATTTGCTTAACCTCGGTGCCGTGACCGATGACGATCTAGTCGCAGACCTTTGAAATCTCACCCTGAGTCCAAGCCGTTACCCCGTTGTAATTACTGAGAAGGTGGATGGCGCAAACATAGGTTTCTCTCTATCAGCAGACAGGACTAAACTCATCGTACAGAACCGTTCACACTGCGAGAACTCCGCATTTCAACAACAGTTCAAGAAACTCTATTTGTGGACGGCGGATCACACAGAAGACCTATTCAAAATCCTCGCTCGAGATCCGTTCTTTCCTCAACGTTACGTCCTGTTCGGAGAATGGATAGCCGCAACGCACTCTATTGCATACGAAAGCTTTCCTGACCTCTTCTTTGCTTTTAATTTGTATGATCGAAGCAAAAGGGAGTGGGCGGCTAGGTCGACCCTGACTTCACTTCTGAAAGGGACAACGATCGCGGTGGTTCCAGTCATTCATGCGTTGGAAAATTTAATGCCTACGGAAGCTGAACTGCGGACTTCCGTCCAACGAAAGTCAGCTTTTACGAATGGGCTTCTCGAGGGGGTGTATGTTAAAGTGGAGACAGATGTGAACGTGGCCCGCAGAGGGAAGGTAGTGCGAGGAGACTTCATTGCGGGCAACGAGCGTCGAGCATTGGGCAAAGACTAATACTCGTTTCAATAATGTTGTGCGTTGAATTGGGTTGATCAGTATTTGCCTGGACCGTTCAAGGCTGCTTGCGGCTCTGTGTACGATGAACTCAAGCTCCGTAAGATCTTATCTTATCCGATTCAGTTTCTCCTTCTCGCTGATGATCTCACAAATTCATCGACTGAGGTTCATTCCCAAGTTCTTACTATCCTCTTGTACTCGTCACCCTCGTCTGATCTGTTCCAACAAGATGGCAGCCCCGTCGTACTCGCTTTTCTGTATGGGAAATCCCCTGCTTGATATGCAGGTCATAAATGGCGAAGGACTCCTAAAGAAGTATGATCTGAAGGAAAACGATGCCATCTTGGCTGAGGAGAAGCATCTTCCTCTGTAAGTAACTGTATTGCTATTTCCATTGGTACCAATACATAACGATGCCGCAGCTATGATGAGATCGTGAAGAACCACAAAATTACCTACGTTGCTGGAGGTGCTGCTCAAAATGCTGCGAGAGGAGCTGCTGTATGCGACTTTCCATCTAAGGAATCTCCGATCCACATCTGACAATGCAGCTGCGTAGTATGTCCTTCCGCCACACTCCGTTGTTTACACTGGATGTGTTGGTGACGATGATCTCGCCGAGCAATTGAAGGAGGCAAACAAGCGTGAAGGTCTTGACGAGGTTTACCTTGTTAAGAAGGGTGAGAAGACTGGTGCTTGCGCTGTTATCATCACTGGACACCATCGGTATGCGGTATATACAAGGAGGATCCATTCTGTCTAACCAATTGCTCATTAGATCCCTTGTCACCACTCTCCGTGTCGCTGAAAAATTCGAGAAGTCGCACCTTGCCTCACCTGAAGTTGCACCTCTTGTTGATGCAGCCAAGGTCTTCTACGTCGAGGGTTACTTCCTGACTCACGGTATTGAGTCGGCTTTGGACCTCGGAAAGAAGTCGTCTGAAGCTAGCAAAGTGAGTTCACCTTGTCCCATATGCCCGAACATTCCTGAATACTCTGCAACAGGTCTTCGCGCTCAACCTCTCAGCACCCTTTATTCCTCAATTCTTTGGTCTTCAGATCCAACAAATTTTGCCGTACACTGACATCGTCATTGGGAACGAGGCAGAGGCAGAGGCCTGGGCAAGCGCCACCGGTCAGCCCGACAAGACTGACCTCACGGCGATTGCGAAGGCGATTGCTATCCAACCCAAGTCCAACCCTTCCCGTCCTCGTATCGTCATCATCACTCACGGACCTAAGAGCACCACTCTAGTCTCATCCGCTGCTCTCGGTGACACGAAGGTCTACCCTGTCAATCCGTTAAAGGACGAGGAGATTGTCGACACCAACGGTGCAGGTGACGCCTTCGCAGGTGGTTTCTTGGGTGCGTTCGTCTCTGGCAAGAGCCTCGACGAGTGTGTAGAAGCCGGCCACAAGCTCGGTTCGATGTGTGTCCAACTGGTACGACACTGCTTATTGCTTGCTTGAAACATTTCAATCAATTCTAACCGGGCCTTATCTTGCAGGTTGGCCCTCAATACAAGTGGCCCAAGGTCCAGGTCATTTAAGTGCTTTGACATTTTTCTTCAGCTGTCTATACCCTTGCTCTCAACAGCATTTGCTTCGTATCACTCGCCCATTGTATCGTCTAGTACTTTCAACAGCATCGTGATGTAGAATACTCTTACCTCGTACTTCTTCGGTTCGTTTCGAAGCCCCCTGCTGCTATCTACAGTCAACCTTTCTTCCAGTTGCTTGGGAAACGAGATATCGACTGCTGAGTCCTTTGTCACAGTGTGACTCAATCAGCGGAAAGTACTGTCACGGTGCCTGCCTATTCTGAATTCTCTCAGCCACCGATCTGCCACAGCGGCAGAGCTTCAGCCACACCCGCGACATTTGCCCACTGAAAACGACGTTGTATTTCAATATTGGATCACAGGATATCTGAGGGATAGGTGGAGTAGTTGATATGGTCAAGGCGCATATACCAAAGGCGGTGAGTTGCCCGAGTCCGTACTTGCGAGGTTCAGCCACCCGCATTGTCTCCGAGTGGCTGATGAACATTTTCAGCCACAGGGTGGGAAGGACACAACTACCACTAAGAAGAAGACCTCTTCCAAGAAGAAATCTATTGAAGCAGGGGCATGGCCATGTAAGATGGCTGGATGCTCGAAAGTCTTTGCTCGCGAAGCGGACTTGAAGAGGCATCAGCGCACTACCAAGCTACATACGGCTCCGGGCTTGTAAGTCAAAATATGTATCTCTGTTGGTGTGCTTAATCGTTATGCAATCCCGTTGTCTCTAGTCAATGTCCGCAATGTGACGCAACTTTTACCAGGGTGTGTAAATTGAGGAAGGAGAAAGTCCTACGTTGATTCAGCTTTCTGTATTAGACCGACGCTTTACGACGTCATCAGAAGTCAAGGTGTGGCAGAAATATTGTCCTCGTGTGCAAACGACACTAACTATCCCTACGCTTTCCAGGCATAATGGTGTAGTCATCGAAACCCAAGATGCGAGCCGAAGCAATCAGGAGCCTGCGGAAGGCGAAGCTGGTCCTTCAGGCTCACAAAGTTCTAGTCGCAGTGGTTCGCCTGCTGGTAGTAATGACGATCGTGCAAGCGACGAATCAAACTCCTCTCCCGTTGCCTCAACAAGCAATCTTGCCTCCGGACCATCAAGTTACTATCGCCCGCATACGATGCATATAGGTATGGAGGTCTGTCAAATTCGTTTGAAGTGTTATCTTATGAATGGATAGGTTATCCACCTCGACCACCACCGATGATGATCGACCCTAATTACCCACCACCAGTCGCAATACCTACCTCAGCAGCACGCTTGCAGCATCCTGGTTGGCATCCACCACCAGCTGGTTGGGCATCCGATGGAACACCATTACCGCCAGGACCAGTGTACTCAATGTCTCCGTATTACCCACAACCTTCGCCTTATTACCGTCACCACGTCATGCCCTCGATGCCTCATCCCATGCATCCGAGCATGTATCCCGAGTATGTGACGCACCACTATCCACCTCCGATGCACTCCGGGGGTCCTATGCCTTATGGAATACCTCATCCGCCGCTATCTGCTGTGACTGGTGTTGCTCCTCCACCTCCACAATCTGATGGTGGTTCTAGTACACGGTCTAGTCCATCCCGTACAGACGAGGGCGGGCCAGAAGAAGATACGACGAATCATCCAACATCTGGTGATGCATTTGCGACCTCTCAGTCGAATGGTCTTGTCCAGAAGGATGTCGTAGATGCGACACCTTCCGAGTCTTCTACGGATAACATGAATCAGACAGCTGCCAACATACTAGAAGCAACTGTCAAGGCGTTGCTTCAGAAGGGGGCGGAGCAGGTGTCGAACCCTCCAGCTGATGGTTCTCTACAACGTTTATCTCATCAGGAAGCGACGTCCATGTTGGAAGCGTCAATGAAGACAGCGAAGGGTATTGAACAAGAGCCACAACCGCCAGAACCGGACTCTTCAAATAGTGTCGGTGATGGCGGACTTGGCGACCAGGATGCTGAAGGAGAGGCCGACACTGACACCATTCCGAATGAGGGCGTCAGTGTCAGCATGGCTGCCTTGCCTTTGCAAACGAATGTCATCTGGGCGTCAACCAGTATCAATCCAGAGGCAAATGTTATTCCTACACCCGGTTCGTACGACGATGTTGCTGCATAACCCTTCACTAACCTGGGTATTTCTCTGTAGCCGCGTCATGACAAGCCTTGGCCGTCCGCTTTTACTTTCTGTAGACGTCGACCATGCCACTGGACTTAATAGTAGTACACACAACGCACTCCTCATCGTTCCTTTATAATCTATGTATTCATTTATAATGCTATCAATCTTTATACTTTTGGCCGGCCTTAATAGCAGATATACATGAAAATTGAAAGAAAATTGAAAGCTGATTGGTTATCGCCGGAATAGCTCAGCTGGGAGAGCAACAGACTGAAGCGGCGCTTGAATTCTGGAGGTCCCGTGTTCAATCCACGGTTCTGGCACGATCCTTGCTACAAAACAGGGGTTTTTTTTTCATCCTTACCTATCCTTGCTTGCTGAGAAGAGCTCAGGCGAATGTCGTCTCTATTTTCTCTTCCAAAACTATATGCTACTTGGCCGAGTTACCCTGGTTCCCAGACGGCCAGTCACGGCAACCAGGGCCCATGCCTGTTACTAATAGCTGGCTTCGAGATCAATATGTTTCTACATTCCTCCTCTTTTGCTAACAGTCAGTGGGAAATGTGGTTGTAACAGGTACGAAAGAATTGACAAGAGAATCAAGGTTTGGAAAGAGGAGAATTTGGACGTCATTATTGCACATATATAAACGTTACACTATCTGGGGCCGTATGCTCAATGTGTTCAGATATACTCATCGCTAGTTTTCGCTTCAGCAAACTTGTTCAATGACATAGCAAATACTCCCACAACGCAATGGGATGATATTCACAACCGCAGATGATGCAGCTCGTATGACAACACTGTGCACAATTGTTCCTGTATCTCACAACATCTCCTGTATCCTTCCCGTCTTCCAGCGATAAGTAGGTCGCGGTCACCATCAACCGTGTCTCTGCATTTTAAAGAACGAGAAAACCTCCAGCAAGGACGCCGGCTATTGCACTGAGAGCAGGTACGACCATATTGTATCCCGGTGCCGAAGCGTCATTGGATTCAACGTTCAGGTTTTGAGGCGAGCTAAGAGGGAAATGACATTATAAACGAGAGGAGTAGTAAAATGATAGTAGTGTGCTTACGCTGTCGCTGAGGCGGAGGAATCCGTTGATGTCGACATAGAGGAGCTATCCGACGCACTCGATGAGCTCGATGTAGATGTCGAGGCAGGGGCAGTTGAGGTAGCGGACGAGAGGGATGCACTTGTCGAAGATGCTGACGAAATTAACGATGACGATGACGATGTTGAGCTGGTCGACGCAGACGAAGATCCGGAAGATGAAGAGGCAGGCGTCGATGTCGATGTCGTAACAGGAGCGGTCGTACTTGAGGGAGTGGCGATCGTGAAAGTCATTCCGGCAAATGTCGTCGTTACCGCTCCTGATCCTGTAGCCAAAGTGATGGCTGGACCGTTCATAGAGGTGAGCTGGATCTGGGGGATACCGTTCGAGGCTGCTTGATGGTTCACATTGGAATATTAGACGTGCCACATGTATGGTAATAATTAAGGAAAGTTACTCACTGACGATAGCTGCTCCGACTCCTGGTGGGGCCTGCGAAAGAATGCTATTCATCTGCTGCATTGCTATGACAGTATTCTATCAACAAGCGAAAGGCGAAGTTATTAAATCGGGCCCACCATGAGCTTGCGTCAGTCTTTGGTTGACTGAGGTCAAAAATGCATTTTCAGTTTCTACGACGCGTGGAATAGGCGTGTTTTAGACCTACGAGAGTCCAAGACAGAGTTGACTGGAGAAGACTGTATCAGTACACAACGTATGAGAAGAGAATGCAGTTTCATACAATCATTTGATATGTTATTCAGGAAATCATCCACTGTAGCCTTAACAATGAGTGTTACCCAAATGAAAGGCCTGAGCAGCTCACCAGGGTTGGATCGTCCCACATACGGAAGACCATGAACGAGAGCAACGGGGACGAGACCAGTAGCGAGAAACGCCTTCAACTGCATTTTCTTTCAGTACAAGTCTTCTATCGTCAACGGTAGCCTTCAGAGCTGAAATGGCGTCGAAGGCAAATCGCGGGTCGTGAGTCGTGAGAAAGGATCGTGAATATACAAAGCTTCAGCACCAGGCTGAAGCAGCGTTAGGGGAGAGTTTTGTTGAGGGTGGTACCAGACAAAGAACGACATCTTAGAATATAGACTGGGCTATTTATGTGTCTCCCGGGTGAGTATCATAGCGCATAGCATGATCACTCGAATAGATCATCGGTGGATGTCTCAATCATCCTAGTGATTCCCGTCGACTTGTGATGAGGAATTGGACAACCGGGTGACGGCCAACATGGTAAGGTGTCCAGACAACTGGTCGATGGAAAGGCAGGTGAGAGTGGGGCTAACGTTGTTAGATGAAGAGTTGAGTATTTGAGTTTCAAGTTCTACTCGACGGGGAGCAGCGCAGTGAATTTCAAATTCAGCGCATTACCGCCGATCAATCGATCATAATCGGCGCATCAACCAAAGTTGTTGCTTCACTCAACTTTCAAAGCTTCGAGCTTCAGACCTTGAACGACTCATAGTCGAACTTTGAAACAAGTTACATGCTGTTCGTACGATGGCGCTGCTTGGTCTATGTGATTAACAGCGAATAGTATTTCTTTGCGCAAGTAGAATGTACTAGATTGTACCTGAACAAGAACGAATCCGAAGCAGAGGTTATACTCGTAAAGCTACGTAGTCAGTAACAACGTCCTTGCAGGGAGAATGGTAGATGATTAAAGCCGTATGATTCTACTAAGCAAACAAGAAGTCGATCATGGAAAGGAACGAAAAATAGCAAGCAGTGATTAGATCACAATCCGAGTGGGGTTTCGAACGTAAGGTGAAGGAATGTTCATTGTAGTATAGAATATGTGGGATGATGGACGAGTATGGTGAGAATAAATGGGAATGTAAAGTTCTTTGCCTTATCCAGTAGATGATGATGATGATGATGTTGACGAGAATGTTGATGGTTACAGATCGTACATCGGGTACTTGATGTTGTCGTATGATACAGCGAAAGGCATGAGAGGGTCGTATCGTTTCATATTGAACATATCGATATTGATGTTCTTCGTTCCATCAAATGGAGGACGCTGAATGGGACTAATAAAAACAATAAAAACAATGAGCGACGGCATCAATACCAAGCAAATTACGACATACCGAAATCGAACGGAAGGTCCGGATATCCTTCGTGAACTGCAAATCAACACCTTGACGGGCACATGCGATTTTCACAGCATCTAGCTGCTCGTGGCTCTCAGCTCCGTTCCAAAGATGCATCGTCAACGTCTTCAACGTCTCGGTCTTCTTGATAAACTGAAGAACAGGTTGCAGAGAGACGTCCCCATGAACGCCGAGAGCCAAATGCTCCAAACCCACTGGAAGTGTATTGAAGATCTGACGTGCAGTTTTGGTCTTCTCGACGCGCAACTCGCGAAGCATGAAGCATTCGAGAAGATTGATGATAACTTTGGAAGCGGCTGCGGATGGAATGGAGAGCGATTCGAGAGTGGCGCTATGTTCTCCAAGGAGGTAATCAAGCATCTCGGCCTCAGGCTCCCGCTTGAGATCCAGAACACGAAGAGTGTCCTTGGAGTTGTACGTAAGCCATTCAAGGACATCGACTGAAGGCGGCATTTGAACGTTGATTCGGAGCTCCTGGAGCGCGCATGGGCAGGGCTCAGGTGATGGTGAAGGGAGAGAAGGGGGAGTGCCGCAGATCTCGAGTGACTGGACTGAAGGCCAAATGTCTAGCAGTTGTACTAGTGATGTTGGATTGTCAGACCAATCGCTCAACTGCAACGTCTTGATCCTTGGTCCTGAACGTAAAATGAACAAAGTCGTGGGATCGAAAGACGGAGCGCCGCGTCGCATTCGCTGCTGAGCCGGTGAACCAATGATGTCCAGGCCCGGAGCGCCTTGACCATATACTGCGACGCGCAAAGTGACAAGGTTCGGAGTAAGAGTGACAGCCTGTGCGAAGGCGCGTTCTGTGAGGCATTGGGGATGATTTGGGTCAAGCGTAACGCGCAAGGACGTAACGGCATTGCCGAGCATACATCCTCGAGGAGTTGAGCGGTCGACTGCGCGTTGGAAGGACGTGTAAGCAGGCTCCGTACGAAGAGTGACATCGCTGAAAAGAAGTTGTTGTGCGAGGACAGACCAATCCTTTGAGACCAATGAGCATTGCATTAGCATCTCATGGTCTGGTTCGGTATTATCGGGGGAGTATCCTGCTTGTAGGATGTAGAGGATGAGTTCATTAGGAATGTGAGCGGGCGGTCGTGGCAATGGACGGTCCACAGGTTTGCGAGTAGGTTGCGGTGTCGTAATATCGAACGTCACTTCAATTGGTACGGCCTGAGAAGAAGGAGATCAGTGAGAAGATCAGTGATAAGTACACAATTGAGCGAAGCGTACCCTGGGATGCTTGAAGGGAGGCACGAGCCATCTCCTAAGGAAACCAGGAACAGAGGTCATGGGTCCAAACATCATGGTATACTGCATGGACGGCCCAGCCAGGGAAAGCGGACTGGAAGGGACATCGTAGGACGACGTATATATACGCTTCGCCAGGCAGTGGCTGACACCCATACGGCGAACCGAGCGCCTCGAGAAAAGTTGCTGGCACCCTAGCCGTCCCGCGGAACCAGGTCGGTAGCACAGCCATACATCCTTACACGTCTCCCAAACAATCTGGTTGTCATCCAATTTGGAGGTTTCACTATGAGTCGGTCGGACACTATCAAAGGCGAATTTCTTATTTGGCTCAGTTAACCCTCGTGTCGGCAGACGCCTGACGCCTTGTGGGTGACCGCTTGTCAAAGTCTATTTCTCCCACCCGCTTCTCAGTCCGGCCTCTTCGTCCTATTGGGTTCTATTCGCCGCGCTGTGCGTTTCAGCATTGGCAGGCCCGGCTCACTCCGCCCAGCGTGTTCCGAACAGTCTTTCCCAAGTATTTTCTCTATTGTCTTTTTTTCCCTCACGCCTTTTGTCTTTTGGATTTGTGGCGTCTTGTTGTGAAAGCTGTAGAACGTATGTGGACAGATACCGGCCTCACAATTACCATCTTTTACAAGGTCCGACGCCAACGGGTATGTACCCTTGACATGCGGACCCGGCAACGTTTGCACAGTCCTCCCAATTACAAATGGGTTTCATTTCGCGTCCAGAACGGACGCTATACATCATTGACTCCTTGACGTTTCTTGCCATGAAATCTCAGGGCCTTGCTATCGCCGACTAGCGTTGACTCACACCTAACCGATCCTCAAGTGTTGGAGTCAACTCATCCGTTTTTGACACTGGACAAGCTACCAAAAGGGCGACAAGGCCGGTCGGATATCCTCATCAGAACATAAATACCAATATCGATCGATAACTCTTGGCCGACGCTCGCGTTCGGGGGAGATACTGTATAATCGCGCCACTGAGAACAATAGACTTTCAAGCCTGAGGAGATCCCCTCTCTCACACGGGGGGATCATCTCGGGCTACAATCCGGAATGCATATGGACGCGTTAATGTCAGAAGACAGGAATCGCAGCCTGCACAATACCGGGCGGCTGCATACGTATTCGAAGGCAGGAAGTTTTGACGTTGTGTGTTAATCGCCCAATGGCGTTACCTCATTGGTATGCAGGGCTTCCATTCTTGAAGACATCAGGAAGGTTTGTACTGCCCTGTACTAGTCTGTACTCCAAGACATTCTCAGCTTGTCAATGTCGATGTCGTGTAGAACGAAAGTTGATTGCGAGAACACCTTGTTCGGAATCGTATTCACATGTGTACGAAGTTCTCCTTCTCGATGCTGTCATCCTGAGAATAGTTCTAGTGGGTTTCCTATTGTCCTCCAACAAGCTCCAATAATTGTCGGAGGATCGTTCGGGAGTCTCGGTAAAGAATTTCCATCCTGGACTTTTTGCTCGCTTTGTGGGTCCACACGCCACTCCGGACGCTTAGCCTCGATCTTGTGACTATCAAGATTAGCATCGCATGATACCCTTGTAGCTTATCACGATGAAATCTCCAGGCTGCATATATGCTTGATATATAAGTATGCAGTTCAAGTTCGTCCGAGTCCCCTTCTGGAATGAGAACAATAGGATCCTGCTCGTCTTGTCATCTTGACCATGCCGAACCCGAACCCGACTGAAGAATCGCCATAAGGTGAATGATGTATCAGTTCACCCTTCACGAAGGCTGTTGGGGCATCCTATCCGGCGAAGGGGGAAGCGGTATGTCCCCTCGAATTCCCGGTATTCGGTGCATTTCACGTCACGGAGTGCGCAGTAGTCTTCAACGTCACATCCAGCGGGATCCCATCGACCCCGAAATCAGAAAGAAAAAGAACAAAAAAATCCATTGTCCATCAAGCGCCACGCCCGCCCATCCACGGCGTAGGCGTCTCCTCTATCCTGCCAGCACCAGCCATCTGCGCCCCAATACCCATTGTATCTTCCAACAAATGTTCCCCAAGCATCCTCAATTGTTGTTGTTGCCTCTGAGCTTCCTGCCGCGCCTGAATCTCTAATCTTTGAGCAGGGGGGACGCCGAACAATGTCTCCTCTTCCGTCTCTTCAGCTTGTTGTGCATAGATAGGATCGTCATCGTCGTCAAAGGAATCTTCGAACCCGGCGTTCTCCATACTCTCGATTTCCTCGGCTGAGAGGCCGCGGGCGAAGGGATGGACGGGTGCTTCTCCTAGACCGAGGCCAGCCAAGTCCGCGTCGTCCGCATCTAGAGAGTCGTTACTCTCAAAGGATGAATCGTCGTCGTAAGAAGCGCGCTGAGATGCCAGGATGAAGGCTGCTGAAGGGTTTGCCGTGTCATTCAACTCTTCTGCGTCGAGCGAATCTGAGGAAAAGTCATCATCATCCATCTGGTTGGGCGGTTGTAACTCGTCGTCTTTAAGGTGCATCATGTTGAAATGAGGGTACTCGGGCGTCCTTGGCAAATCCTCAGGCTGGGAATGTGCAGATAGTGTGGGGTGAGAAGCTGATGACGATGAAGCTTGGGATATTTCAGGGTTCCTGATTGTCGTTGCACTAGGATAGGAACTTGTAGAACTGGGGATTACGCTAGCCTGCGGCCTTGCTTGACCATAATCGAACCCAGAACCAACTCTGCGCATTAAACTCTCCAAGCTAGCATCGACGACACTACTGTGGCTCGTCTCCGCAGGTTGAACGTACCGCGAAAGCGAAGGCGGCGTGACCATTGAACTCATACTCGATTCCGTCGTTGTCTGTCCACTTGCTCGTATCTCCGTTGTACCTTTGCCAGTTCCCGCCCGAGTATTAGTTCCAGTTGCAGACCCAGTACCACCAAATACACCTCGTCTCTCAACATCCAATAGCTTGTTCATAATCCTCGCCGCAGCTTCTTTCCTCGGTGTTTGACCCAGCTTAGGCAGACGGGCAAAATCCATCGTAATCGGCGGAGACATGCCAAACCCATCTTCAAATGAGTCGTCGTCATCAGCGGGCTTCGTTCGACGAGGAGTTGCGGGACGCTTGAAGTTCGCCTTCGTGACTGTATTGGTAGTCGAAGGAGGGTGGAATGTGAATCGTTGATTTTTGGCAGGTGACGGTTCAGCTCGGACTGGTGATCGCATGGAGGGATCCTTGAGGTCCACAATACCTTGCCAGTCGGATGGGTTGGCATCTGGCGGAAGGTATGGATTGAGTTTCTTGAGAATCGGGGTCTTCCCTTTCAACTTCAAAGGCGAGATTGAACTGTGGCCAGGTGTGCTGGATGTATCGACTGAACTCGCATTTCGGAGGAGTACATTGTGAAGAAGTGGCTGGGAGGATTCCCTGCCTTTGCCTTTAGATTTCTCTGACTGTTGTTGTAGGAAGGTATCGTCTCCTTGCTGTTGAACTGGTCTTTGGGTTATGTCCGCTTCACTGTCCATTGATTGGTCATCGCGCAGTGACAGTTGAGCAAGCGAAGAAGAGGCGACAGAGACAGCATCGTCTTGTCCTAAACTCTGGATCTCCCGGTCCAGGCGAATTAATGGAGACTCCAATGAAGCACTCCACGAAGGTGTCTCGTCTGACATACGACTGAAACTGTCGTGACCTCTTTGCGATCGTTGTCGCATAGTGGCAGCAGGGGTAGATGAAATTGCCTGACCAGGCATGAATGAAACCTCAGATGATGTACCATCCGGATTGAAAGATCGAGTAGGTTTTGTGGCGCGATCAGATTCTGCCTGAGACGAATCTGGTGCCACAGAGGATCCAGTTTCTGTGTGAGCCTCTTGGTGAAGACTGTAGTCTTCGTAGGTCGGAACACGAATCTGCGCCGCTTGCTCAAAGAACGTAGTCCAAAACTGAAGATATGCATTAATATAAAGAATACAAGAGTACTCTGCTATAAACCTACCTTGGCAGCCTCTCTGACAGGTTCGGTACCAACAGCATACCGCTTTACAGCAGGCAAAATACGATTCGCCATGATCTGTTGTATCTTTGAGAAGTTTGCATCTATATTCTACAAAGACCATGTCAATGTCGCGAGAATTACGTCGGATCAAAGATAGAATACCTGCAATTTGATCGTTATGAGTTGTTCTATCTGCTCTATCTGGTCGTTCACAGGGGCGGTGGAATCCAGACCAGGAATAACGATGTCATTAGGATCGAGCGTTGGTTCCCAGCGTGATGCTTTGGATTCTATGGGTCTTAAAGGAGATGATGCCATGATGGTATATCACAAAACACAGGCGAAGTTGAATGAATGCGTGTATGCCTGTCGAGCAGGCAGTTGTTGACAGTCGAAGCAGAGCGACCAGTACGGTGAAACACGGTGTGACGGTGAAATCGCGTGTGTCACGGGTCTGTCACATACGGAGACACGGTCACATGCTTGTCGCGATCGGGGCTGTGATCACTGATCGGAGCCCCAAGAATGGCAGCTCTGAGAGTCCGCATGCGCACTCGACCAAATAGATACTTCACTCGATCCACTCAACATGCACGCTACACAATCTGCACAGGTATGTGGTACCGCTATGTATTAGCGGTAATATAGCTTACATACATATCCAGAAACAACAAGCACGGAGAGCTGCGCTAGAGCAAGAGATCGCCGAGCTTCAAAAGACACTCGGGTACGCATCGAATGATAGATACATGCACGCTGTTCTAATATATAACAGGGAAGGCGAAAACGCGGATGAGATTGTGACAAGACATATCAAACTTTTGCATCAATACAATGAAGCCAAGGACGCGGCCCAGGTACGTTATACTGCGATACAGTAGCATATATCGACCTGACCGGTGTATGCGTATAGATATTGATAGGAAGAGTGAGTGTATATGCGCATATATGCACAATGTTCTGCCTCATGCTCATGGTGGTTCCTATAGCTCGCCGGCCATCGACAGACAACAATCCGACAGATTCATGAGGACTATGGGTTGTCCGAGTCAGATTGATATTTAGCAAAGTATTTCCTCTCGGGCATGCCACACACATAACGATTAAGGATTCCAGGGTAGAAGGTTTAGCTAGACATGACATAACGCGGCGATTAGTGCATGATATAATGTCATACGGGTATACCAATACGACGGTGTCTATGGTATCGAATAGAATCAATAGAAAAGAAACCAAGAACCAAAAGGGATGAATGCAGTACGTATCATGAAGCTCTATTCGCGGCAGCAGCTGTCCGATCCATCAGTCCCTGTACCCGCCGTCCAAGCTTCTCTCCCTCCATCTTCCTCTCCCAAACCTGGTACGCAGGCGTCTTCTTCCTGGGCAACCAAGTTTTTCCACCGGCCAATTTGTCATTTCCTTCTCTGTTCTTCCTTGTCAAAGAGAGGTCAACAACCTTAGGTGATGAGCTGAACTTGATGACATCGCGATATAGAATCTTGGACTCGGCCGCTAGAGTTCGTAACGAAGGCGGCTTTAGAGGTTCGTCTGTCTCCGAATCGGAGGTATCTGAAGAGCCTGAAGGCACGAGGGCGGGAGTAGGCTCTCGGCTAATAGAATCATAAAGCGGAGGCAATGACTCAATCTCACGGAGGAGATCTTGACCCTTGAGGTATGAGTTCTCCGTTCGGAGGAATCGAACGGTCCCACGAAGTGCATCGATCTGTCATGCATGGTAAGACAAAGATGGAATATACAAATATTGCAGAGACGCACCTGTTCAAGAAGGTAAGATGTTTCCAAGTTGCCCTCAACTTGCACAGCTTCAGGTTCAGGCCGTTGGGTGTTTGGTTCAGAAGCTGGAAACGCAGACGGCCTCAGTTCCACATTCTCGCCAACATCCATAGCGCACCATCGACTCACCTTGCCGTTCGTGACTAGCAGCAGCAGCCTTCAACTTCGCATTCTCCTGCTCAAGCGTATCAAGATCTGCCTGGAACTGCTCCATCGCCTCTTCATAAGCGCGTTCCTGCTTATGCAACTTGGCAAGTTCCGCCTTGTATCCTTCGATCTCATCTGCTCGCTTGTTGAGTTCTTTCATCTTGTGCTCCATCAGCTCAATTTTGACATTCGTTTCCTCGATCTTCTTCTCTTTCTCACGAAGTGTGCGGGCGAGACCAGAGAGCTCATCGGTAAGTTGAGCCACTTTACGTTCTGCTTCGACGTTGATCGCTGTGGCTGCCTTAATTTCATCGACACGCAGGATCCATGGTGCGGTGCCGGTGACTGAAAACAGGATAAGAATGTAGTAATGAAATAGCATGTAATGAAACTTACTCTTTAGCACGTTCTCATGCTCGACTGCAAGCGGTACAAGTTTATTAGCTTCTTGCATGATTTGTCCAAAGAAGTTCATAACAGCCTCCCACGACGCCGCGCCGTCCTTGACGCTTCTGCCCACCGTGGAAGCAGCGATCTGCTTGACGAAGCCGAGGACATTGGCCAGTTGGAATGCAGACTTCGAGCTTCTGACGTCGCTCAGGTGAGGCATCACTTGCTGTGCAAGCTGAAGAGTCACAAAATCGGGAGAATCAGATACAAGAATCTAACGGGGTAGCGCGGGAGCTTACCGAGATACCAAAGTTCACGAGTTCGGGTGCGATGTTGTTTAAAGCTTGAAGTTGGGGTACTAGGAGAGGCTTGAGAGCAGCCGACTCTTGCGTGAGCTCTTCCAACCGCTTCGTAAGTTTCCTACAAATTGATCATCAGTAGATATAAGCACGCCGAACCGCGGTACTACTCACTTCGACAAGACCTTAGCACTGCGACACTGATCAAGAAGTTTCTGAAGCGGGGAGAAGAACTCTTCTTCGGCATCGAGGCCACCCAGATCGACCTCCACATCTTCGTCCTTCATGATAGCAGCAACAGATGTCTTGATCAGCCCCACGGACGCAGCGAACATCTCAAGATCATGGTCGAACGACAACGCGTACCCGAGCTCGCGTTCACCTAAGTCGAAATCGAAGTCGTTGAAGTGGGTCTCGGCAAGATGGTCAAACTGGGCTTGAATCCTTTGATAGACAGATAAGTATGGCATCTTCTACTATGATGAAACTAATAAATGAATGTCACTCACTTTGCAGCATCGCTAACACACTCCAATTCGCGGAACTCCTCCCTACGAAGAAGGTCAACATGCATGTCGATGCGTTTCTCCATCGGGGCAACATCCGGATAAAGCTTGCCGATGCGCAGGAACGATTCTGGGTCGCATCGGCGCAGAATGGCCGCGAAACGCTTGCAAGTCGCTGATAACGTGGATAACCGACCTCGGAGCTGCGCATAGTCTGTTAATCGAAAGTCAAGGGAAAACAATGCCGCAAGTGCTTACTTCGCAAATGCCAACCAAGACATCGGAAACTGGGCCATTGAGCGCGTCGGGGAGGTTGTGCGCGTGGCCGACGAAAGTATTGATGAGATCGACTTTGGATGCCAGGCGCTGGAAGAAAAGGTAGCAACTTGTGGCATCCATGTCGGACTCCACGTATACTTGTGGAAGGTAAGGCTATTACAAAGTCAATTCAGAAACAAAAAGCAAAACTAAAGCGGCAAGGTGAACCCACCTGGATGATATTAAGCAGTTCACGAGCTTCCCGAGCTTCGATACGTTTGACTTCCAAATCGATATTTCGTGCTTGATTCTTCGTGGCAGAGGACTGAAGCCTAAGGTTCAACGACATCATGGCAGCTGTCTGCGATGCGGCGGTGGCAGATTCGTGTTGAGCATTTTGGGTCTCAGCACGAAGGTTATCGAGTTCACTAAGTGAAGGTCAGTCAAATGGCAAGCTGTGACCATGGACGGGTAACTAACGTCTGGAGCTGCATGACGAGCTCTCGGAATTGCAAGATAGTGCCTTCGAAGTCCTGACAAGCGTCTTCAAGTGCTCTGACCTTCTGGGACTGCTCGAAGATGTCCGCATCTTTAGCATCTGTGAAAGTGGATGGTTCAGCCTTAAGCCGGGAACAAGGGCGGAAGGCGAACTTACTGAGGTCTTCTTGCATGACCTTCTCAGTCTCAACATGATTTTCCTCCAGCTCATCGTTGAGTTCCTTGAGTGCCTCAAGGTCCTCAATCGTGATTCGCATCTCCTCAATTTTCTGTAGCGGAATTTTTGAATGAGAGTCAAGTTGTCGGAATGCTTCATACATACCTCGCCTAGCATGAGATTACGCTCCGTGAGCTGAACGAGCATCTCTTCGGCGCCAAGCGCATCGTCCAACTGCATCTTGAGATCTTCAATCTGAACCTCGGCGTTCGTGAGCTTGATCAGAGTGGACTCGTATTGGCCTATTCGCGGAGTGACGAGTAAGCACAACGCGGCAAGATAGTATCAACTGAACGTACCTTGCAGTTCGTCCAGGCCTGTGACATCTTTTTCCATCTCTGTAATCCTCCTACGTTGTTCCTGCTCAGTTTCATGAGAGAGGTCACGCAAACTTCAGATAGAGTCAGTCAACTTCCGAATAGTATAGAGATTGAAATGTACCGAATCAGAGCCTCCTTCAGTCTCTCATTCTGCTTCTCAAGCTGAATATAAGCCAAAGAGCTTGTCACAACGTTTTCGTTACCGCCTTCAGCACCTACATCGATCGTCAGTCACTCAATGCTAATCAAATCGTTCTCGATACGTACCTCCACCTTCTTTCAACACTGCCAGTTCAACTTCTACCATGGCCAGCCTTTCCCTGACCTCCTCCAAGTCTCCTTCTGCAACCTCAGCTCTTTCCTCCGCCATCTCCTTGTCCAACATGGCCATCTCCAATTGTTCCTGAGCATCCACGATCCTTCCGTCCGAAAGCTGGGAAAGCTGTTGCGCATCCGCCAGTTCACGTTTGGTTTCTGTCAGGTCTTTCTGCAGAGAGGCCAATTTGGCTTGGAGCTTGGGCCTTAGAGCGACAAACGTTTCGGCCTCTGTCAGGCGAGTCTCAAGTTCGCGTATGTGTCGTGCATCGTCTCCGCGCTTGGCCTCCAGGACACGTATTTTCGCGCGAAACTCTTGAACTTCAGAGTCATCTTGAATGTGCTAAAGTCGTACATCAGCAGTTGAATTCAACTGATCGTGTAAACTTACAATAGGTGTGTCAGGTCGAATAACAGTGATCTCAGGCGCAGGTTCCAGCTCCGGAGGTGGCGGAGGCGGTGTCGAGACGCGTCGGAGAAGAGAAGGTTGTGAGGGTTGTGCGGAGGTACGAGAGATCGAAGGAGAAGTCAGAATCTTTGGTGAAGGTGGAAACGGCTTGGACTGTTCGGGGTCAAAGTTCCGTTGCTTTGAGACTGTCGGACTCTGAGCTTCGGACTGCAAACTGTTCTGCCGGGAGGCAACTGGCCGACCATGCAACGATAGAGAGGGCGAACGCTTGTTTGGAGAACCAAGCCTTGATGTTCGTGGAGATGAACTTAGATGACCATTCGCTGCGGTTTTGGAAGGGCTTGCTGCACGAGACGAATTCGACCCAGCGGAACGCGCAGATCCTGCCCTGGAAGCTCCAAGACTTGGGGTGCGCTGGTGACCAAGACTCGATCGCGCAAGAATAGGCTAGGACATGTTAAATCAAAAATGTAATGGATAATACGAGGGTACTCACTGGAGGTGCTAATGTTGGTGCGGGTTCTGGTTCATTGGATACGACCCGGACCTGACTCGGTTTCACAAAAATACCATGATTCGGTTTACATGAGAAATATTTGATATCTCGAACAGTACCGTCATTCTTGCCTTCAGCTTCGAAGAGCTCGATGCCAACCCACTTCCCAGGTGAGAAACTTGTTTGGCCGTAAAAGCGAACGATTCCCCGACCAGCAGGTATATCAACCACTGCACCTAAAGTAATTTCGGAGGGAGGCATTGACTATTAGGGCGATCCTACATGGAAGATACACCAGTGAGTGGTGAGGATAGCTTGCGGTAGGCTGACGCGTTTACTAGTCGATCACTACAACGCGGTATATTCACACACTTATAATCAACGTTCCCACGACTTCAGTTACATACAGTAGCTTCAGTTGCATCGGATTATGACTTTGCCTAACCGCACTTACAGCTGCCGTCACCTCTTAACGAGAGCAGTATATCCCCCGCTGAATATGCTCTCCCAATTGCTCTAAGCACTTGCTGTGATTCTGTTAGCGCCGGAGAGGTATCTCCATTACACGCAGGAGAATTTTTAAAAGATCTGTCAGGAAGATGTACTACGGAAAGCATAGGGACCACGGTATGCTCTTTAGTGTTACTTCTGAGCTCATTTTACATTGTCTGCGGCAGCGAGTGAGATATGGCCCGCACGCGGAGGACTACAGAATGGCTCTGATAAAGACTCTTCGGAGACAGAGCGTGACTATCGTTCCCCGTCTCAGTCGGATCCATCCTCTTCTCAATCGAGACAGGGAGGACGAATAAACGGCTTTTCGGACAACGACCTACACGCAGGATCGGTTGTAACTCTCCCTGACGTTAGTCCTATGGAACCCTACTGGTCGGCCAAACGACATCTAACATGCGGCAACCCGACACCTCCACCACCCTGGGCTCCGAGGATGACTCCCTGGCGTGCTTCTCCACAAAAGCTCAAGACCAGCAATGCCGCTCTTGTGCTTTGTCTCAATATTGACGTCGATCCACCAGATGTTGTCAAGACGAGTCCTTGCGCAGTGTTGGAGTGTTGGGTAGACCCCCATTCCATGCCTTCATACAAGGCATTGGAGGTTATTGGGACGAACTTACAGCACCAGTTCGAGGGTTTGAGCCCTAAGATACCTTACAAGCCAATCCTAGATCCTTCCTCTGATGACCTGAAGAATAACTGCGAGAAAGCACGTAAGATGGCGGGGAATGATACTGTGTTATTCTACTACAACGGTCATGGTGTACCCAAGCCTACACCAAGTGGAGAATTATGGTGCTTTAACAGGAACTATACCCAGTACATCCCAGTTTCCATCTCGGACCTACAATCACATCTGAAGACGCCCTGCGTGTACATATGGGACTGTTCAGCTGCGGGTTATCTACTGCAAAACTTCATCACGTTTGCGAAGCGTCGTGATGACGACGCGAATATGCACCACGGCGGCTACCCCGACCATCCATATTCAGACTCCATCCAGTTAGCTGCCTGTGCCGCAGACGAACAGCTGCCATCTTGCCCGGAGCTACCAGCGGATCTGTTCACATCATGTCTCACTTCACCTATCGACATGGCTTTGCGTTATTTCCTTATGAACAATCAGCTACCCGCAAACATCACTGCAGACATGGTGATGCAGCTTCCTGGAGATTTGAAGGACCGTCGTACACCACTAGGGGAGCTCAACTGGATCTTTACTGCGATTACGGATACGATTGCTTGGACGACTTTCAGTCGCGACGTCTTCACGCGTCTGTACAGGTCGGACTTGCTTGTAGCATCGCTATTCCGTAATTTCCTCTTGGCCGAAAGAATCATGAAGGATTACCATTGTACCCCTCATACATATCCGCCTCTGCCAGCCACAAAGACTCATCCTCTCTGGGCCTCTTGGGACCTTGCTGTTGACACCTGCCTTCGTCAGCTTCCAGACCTGCTGAAACATGTCACGCCTTTGACGGGTGTGACTGGTTCACTCACCACAGGACGAAGGCGGTTAGCTGCGCGTGCTGAACAGACGCCGCCCCCTACTCTCGCTCCAGGGGAGAAGCCATACGCGTACGTTCCCAGTAGGTTCTTTACAGACCAACTTACGGCATTCGAGGTTTGGATATCCCGGGGAGGATCTGCTCTTACCAAGCGTGGTCCATTGTCTTTACCACTGAACGGTGATTCACCCATTACGATGGAGGCTACCAGTTTTACACTTGACCCACCTCCGCCTCCACGTCAAGAGAATCAAGACCAGCATCTCGTACCTCGCAAACCGCCAGACCAGCTCCCTATCGTTCTTCAAGTCCTCCTTTCCCAACCTCATCGTCTCCGTGCACTCATACTGCTCTCCCAATTTGTGGATTTGGGTCCTTGGGCTGTACACCTGGCTCTAACGATTGGTATATTCCCATACATTTCGCGATTGCTGCAAGCTACTGGGCAAGACCTTCGTCCAGTCTTAATTTTCATTTGGGCACGTATACTGGCTGTGGATCCGTCATGTCAGGCCGATCTATACAACAATCAAGGATACAAGTATTTTGCAACCGTGTTGTCGACACCAGATGATCCACGGCAGGGTACGATCCCGAACAGTTCGGAGCACAAAGCCATGTGCGCTTTCATCCTGTCTGCTATCGCGCGTGACTACCCGGCTGGTCAAGGCGCATGCTGGCGAGAACGCGTCTTTGATTCGTGTTTCGACAAGTTGGATGAGGGTGATTTCTTGCTTCGGCAGTGGTCAGCACTTTGCATTGCTCAAATTTGGGACGCGAACGATGAGATCAGGGTCTACGGTGTCGACAGAGGTACTCAGGATAAGCTCATTGCCGCGCTCTCTGATGACTCTCCGGAAGTGCGTGCTGCTGCGTTGTACGCGCTTGGCACCTTCCTTGGTGCGTGCGGATCCGCCGATCTTCAGAAGCTTGGTGGCGGTGGTAGTGGGACTATGTACCAACTTGAAGAGCGGATCCACTTCAGGATGGAGGTAGCTGTTGTCACAGGCGCAGCTCTTGCGGTAAGGGATGACGCCAGTCCCATGGTCCGAAAAGAGCTTCTCGTTCTCATAAGCTGTCTAGTCAAGGAATGGCGTGGCTATTTCATTGTGTGCGCTTGGATATACTGGGAGGAAGAACGGCGCCGAGTAGAAGGTCAAGGAAGGATTGATGAAGACATGGCGGCTCAAGCGGTCGCCGAGTGGCTTGACGGCTTTGGCAATGATGATGGTTTCCGAGAGGAGAATCGCGTATTGCTTTCTTCCTTCTTCACCATCTTCTCTACCCTTCTTGAGCTTTCAGTAGACCCATATCAAGAGGTCGCGACGAATGCCCAGACAATTGTTGACTATATTACTGCCCTCCTTCTGGAGTCCCCTTTCTCGAGACTGGATTGCACCACGCTTAACAAGCCTCCTGCATCAACCATCGATGTCAGACCGTATGTCTCCGGCAGATCCCGTACACCGTCCTTACCATCTTCTCAGTCCTCCCTGCAAGCTCCTCCATCTCCCAATCCAGCAGGTCGACCCGGAATACAACGTAGTGACACCATGTCGAGCGCTCTCTCATCCGGTGTGTCAAATACGTTGCGGCGCACTTCCTCGTTTGCCAATGTTCTGAAGAGTCTGGCTGGTGGTATCGCATTCCCGTCAACGGAAGACGGCCGTTCATCGCCTCGACCTACTCACGCAACAACAACTCGAAGTGAGCATCACGAAGCGTCCCGACCGCCGTCTCCTCACCTTAGCTACGCACAATATACTTCACCTTACTCTCGTCCACTAACACCCACTTCACCTCGTCACCTTGCGAAGAACGTTCCTGAGCACCCTCCTCCGCCAATGGATTTCTTGCCGTCGGACGTTATGGAAGCATTGATGGAAGAGGATATGGAACGACTGAGGGCCCGTCGGAGAAGCGGCGCTCACTCCAGAAGACCTCACCATGCTATCGCGGGTGGTGGCATGTCCAGCCCATCTGGAAGCACATTTTCAATGGACTCTGTCAGTAGCAGCGTGATCCTCGGTCTTGGTACAGGCGTGGGTATTCGCGATGTGCTACCGCTGAAAAGTAGGTTCTACGACTGGTGCAGTGAGTACTTCAAAGAGCCTCAGATGAGAGTAAGCGTATCTGTCCTTGATTAGGATCTGTGTTGTGATCTGACCATTCATGTTCAGCAACCTGAAGCCGACGAACCTGGCAGCGTCCAGTACAATTACCAAGTGTGGCGGCAACAGCGTAACGAACATGGTGTTGCTGAGACACATACTCAGGCTGAGGTAGCCGGTACGTTCTGGCTAGTGGTTGCCTACATACATACGTCTCACTCGATTCCGTTTCAGATCGTTATCGCTGGGATAGGCCGGTAGCGACTTTACAAACACATTCGTTCCCAGCTCTTCTAGCCTTCCACGCATTCGACCCCCATCTTGTCGTAACAAACGAAGTAGATGTGATCACGTACGTTCATGTGTGTTCTTTCGGCCATATTTTTATCCTAATGTTTGCTGTAGTGTCTTTGACTGGACGCAGAGGAAGAGAATCTCGCAGTTCTACAATGGTAACGCTCGTGGTACAAGCATCACGTCCTTGCATATTATCAATCAAGACGTAGGAGGGATCATCCTTACGGGAGCTGGTACGTACCTGCGATGCAAGGAATCAATCCATACTTGCTTATGACAAATATCAGCCGACGGAGTAATTCGTTTATTCCGTAACTACGATCCGGACGTAAGTTTTGATCCAGTGCAAATGGTCAGCTCGTTCCGAGGTTTGAGCGAACTTGTGCATATGAAACGAGGTGCTGGTGTCGTTACAAGCTGGAAACAACATGGCGGACATCTCCTTGTTGGTGGGGATTCACATGTTGTGAAGGTTTGGGATGCTCATACGGAGAGTCTGGTAATGGTATGTCCAAATGGGTGTTTCACCTTGAACGCAAGTGGTTAATCAGATATATAGGACTTGGATACTAGCACGGATTCTCCAGTCACGTCTATGGAGTCGGATGAAGGAGCATCAACCAATTTCTTGGCTAGTTTCGCTGACGGCTCCATCAAGATGTACGACAGACGTCTGGATGACGATGAAGCTGTGGTACGGTCATTCGTCCCGCACCGTTCATGGGTACAGAACATCAAATGGCGACCCTTTGCGGGTCAATTTATGTCTGCCAGGTCTGTTAACGTCCCTTTCAAACTGCATATTATGGCGGCTGAGCCTTGTGATTCTACAGCTTGGATGGCGATGTGAGACTCTGGGATATTCGTCAAGAGCGGAGCCCCATTCAGATGTGGGATTTGAGCCCCCAGGGACTATCGGCATTCGATACGCATGACCTTGCCAACGTATTTGCTGCGTACGTATCATGTCTGTCATAAGAGACATGCCATACTTATTGCACTCATTACAGGACAACAACTGTATCACCGTCTAACTGGCGTACTCAACGGACCGTGGTACATTGCATGCAGCCTGACCGGACAAACCCGTTGACTGCTATATCAACTGGGCTTACGATGCCACCTCCTCGAGAGCCTCTTTCGTCCTTCATCCCTCGTACCAGTTCACTTACATTCCATCCGAAGGAAATGGTATATGCTGTGGGATCGTTAGATGGATCAGGTAAGCCGACTCCTGTATGTTAGACCCTGCATGTGCTTACACCTCACATAGTTCGTATTATGGGATGCAAATTGCGTCCATAGAAAGATTGCTCACTTGCTTGCGCTATCTCTAGTCTTTATTTATTTGCTTTCGGTATTGCTCATTTTTCATCCCTTTTACGTACTCATGCTTAGTATCGTTGAAACTTGCTACAGTCGCTCATGTTTGGTTAGATATGCATGTATCAGTCCTCGTACTTACAGTATATACTATGTCCACCATGCTCTCTACTCTCCTACTTGGTGCTCCCTAGAGTTCCATAATGTACGCCTGTTGGAGGCTATTATGCATTGTATTTATAGTCATTCTGCACATTCCAATGTTATGACCAATGAGACCTGCTCTTTATAATCTCAACATTGAAAAGGGGACATTATACAGCGTAATTCTATGCTATACTATGCCAATCTACTGGTTGTAGCATCGTCCTGCGACACACGATCTATGGCGTCCGAGCTCTCTTCATGGTGAACTCCGTCGAAGTTGAGGGGTTTGGGTACTCGTATTAAGAGGGAGAAAAATAAAGATATAGTAAGCAAGACCGCCGTTAGCATGTATATGGCGGAAGGCAACGTCGCGATAGTCTTCATGAAAGTCACGCCATATATTGTGGGACCGAGGAGGGCGATACTGCGCAGAAATCGCGTTAACACCGAACGTGCTCTGATACGAGTCTAAGCCTACAAGGAGCTTACCACAAGGCCTCCACGATACTAAAAGCACCGAACAGTTTCCCCGCTTCAGAACCGCCGCTCTCTGTATAGATTGTGAGAGCCGCACTCTGAATTGCAGGAGAGAACCCGGCACCGAAACAAGTCACCATAGACGCTATGGTGAATGTTAACGGATTGGGGGCGAAGGCGACAAAGATGAAACCTATAATCATGACTACAAGTGAGAACCGAGCTAGACCTAGGTCGAATGATATCGAACGACGTGGGGCGGATTCAGTCTGAGAGGAGTGTGGTGGAGTTTCTGAAAGGGAAGAAGTGGAAGAAGTGGATCGGAGAGGTGTTTCTGGCTGGACTGGTAGCTGAATTGCGGGCTTTGGTCGATTGAAGATATACGTGATACCTAACACAAATACTTTCCAAGGGTGTGGTTGCAGGATGAGCGAAATACGTACCTGGAAGAAGGAGAGAGAGATGTACTGCTTTTGTAACTCCCGTGATAGTCAACCAGTAACCTATCTAATCGTGAAGTGCATAAAGGTAAATGAAAGATCCTCAGTGCCAACCTACACCACTCACCTGCTCTGTAGTCCATTTCCAGACAGCAGCGGTGTATTGTAATTCATATTCAAGTGAACCCTTGATGAGCATACAAGGATGAGTTCACTGATGGTCAACAAGGCGATGAACAACCTACCCAAAGGCAAAGCGAAATCCCAAAGCTGACGGCTATGAAGAGTAAATTCCAGTTACCCTTCAAGTAAGAACTAGTGCCATCTCTGCTCGCTCTAGAAGGCAAGAAGATAGCCAAAGGAGCTACCAAGCTTGATATAGTATGTAGCCACTGGGCAAATGCACCATTGGCCTCCGCACTCGCCTCAGCATGAAGCCGCCTAGACTCCAACATTGTAGCTTTCGCTAACGACTCTGGAACAATGAACCACATCATAAAGGCGAAGACGAGTCGAATGGCGGCTGAGAAGTAGAATATTGATAGTAGGTTCCCTGTACGAGTTGTGAGGAGGCCACCTATGGTTGGTCCAACGGCGCCGCCTAGCCAACTGAAACCCACCATGATGGCGAAGAGACGAGACCTGTCAATGAAAGTGTTACATTGGTATTGCATTATATTCGGAGTGATTCAGGCGAAACTCACCGTTCGTGGGGTTCTGTACAGTCTGCGACATATGCACGAAGAGCTCCTGTTGCACCGCCAGAACCGCCTGCCAGACAGGATTAGAGGAAGGTTTAGCATTACAGATTTATCGAATACGTACCTCCCGAGAGACCTACAATTACAGCACCGACGACGTAAAACCAGTATCCTCCAGGAAGCAGATGAGGGAGTGTAGAAACCAAGAGGAAATGAAAATCGTCGTATACGAAGGATAGGGCCATGATTCCTAATGCAACAATACGGCCGTAGCGATCGGAGAACTGGAGCAAGATGACATAGCTAAGTCATCGTGAAGATAAGAAGCGAAGGTAGAGTACTGCGTACGGAACTCAACCAAGCTGCAGTGAAGCAGCCGAGTACGCCAGACACAGTCGACAGGACCATCTGCAACTTTGCCACTTCAGTTTGTATACCAGGATCGGAGGCACATGGGTCATCTGACTCATGGTGCTAAATGAGCGACAAGGAATCGGACAAAATCGAGCGCACGGGACATGAAGGTTACAACGCCAGGTGCAAACATATGTAAGTTAGATGGCAAGCGATATCCTTGATCGGCTGTGTCATTAGGTTTATGAACCTCGCAGACCAGCTTGGTGTACATTGCGACACGAGGGGCTTGTTCAGCAGCTCCGGTCATAACGACAAAAGGCAGTAGTACCAAGAACCTGTAAGATACAATATTCATCAAAACGACCAGGTTGAATTGGAACGGGTAATTACCACCAAGGAGAAGGCCTCTTCCACCATGCTGATTGGACTTGAGAAATCAAGGGCGGTACAGTTTCACTGTCTGCGGTATGACCAATGTCGTGAGTACGTGGATGGATAAATTCATGAAGAATGTTGTTTGTATCAGGTGCCGATCCTGGACCCTTTGGTAAGGTAAAGCTTCCCGGTGCCTGAAGAAGAGCATCTGTTTCGAGGTATGAATCCCTTGTAGGAGTAGCGTCCGCAGACCTAAGCTCCGACGATTCAGGAGAGGTTTCCGGGGACATGTTCCTAGTCAGAGATGATACTCCCCATGATGCTCGAGCCTATCAAGCATTCGGAGGAGACACATGTAGCAGCTCAAACTTTGCCTCACTGCGATCACAGATGTTGCGATCGATCATCGGGAGTTGCTACGGGCGGCCTTAATTGCTGCCAGCGACACCGTGTTTAGTGCACGGTGTCGACGCCCCTAGCGTCATGTAGTCCCTTCTAGCGATGCGTGGCCGATTTTTAATTCGCTATCTGCGGGTGAGTCCGAATGTATCGATGATCCCTGCGATGCTCATTCATTTCTTGACAAAACTTGACTATACAATCAAAGATAGTGTGCATGTCATGCCGGCCATCTGACTTGCTTTCAACCTTTACGGAGCTTTCTATTACTGTCCATTTGTACAAATACAGGGCCTTGCCACTTGCATTGCACACAGCCTACACGGGGGTGTCTAATTGATCAATACCCGACAAGTTTGGGTTGATCGTGGACTGCCCAGACCGAAAATTCAACTTTCCTTGAGCTCGAGTTACTATCCTTGTCACAGTTTATCAAAGTTGAGAGCATGGACAATTCATGGACCATGCCGCAACCGTTGAGTCTTGCAAGACAAAGGAAACAAAACCGGTCAAATGTGCTGGGTGGCCAGGGCGACAAATTTGCTCCCTTTGTCCCGCCATGTATATAAGGCCACTCGATCCCACTTCTCCCACATACCTCCACCTTCTACCACTCCTGCAGAACATCCAGTACAGATTGCCTCGACCCTTCTATGCTACAAGTATTCTCAAGGTTAGTCAGCACCTTGATCATATTATCTCATGAGCTCATGCTTCAACTTGAGGATGCCTTTCTTGATTTTCCGGCGCAAGACTCAGAAACGCAAACTTAGGAAAAGTGACCGCAAGGCCACGAAGTCCATTAAGGCGTACATAAAGAGGCGTCCATTATTGAAAGACATCTCCTCAGATGGAGAAATACTCACGTTAATAGAGCGTCATATCATGGACGCGGAATCCACGGGCCATGAATTTACGGAAGAGCAAGCCCCAAGAGCTCTCCAATTCACTCAGAAGGTACGTTGAGGCTATCTTACATATCAGAACCCTGAAAACCTATTTCTGTAGCTCCTAAACGATGACCTTTTGTTGGCTGGTTTGACCGGAGCCACTGAGCATCTCGATATAAGGAGAGCGAAGCTCTGTTCCTTGGGCCTTTACCTGTCGCGCATCTGCCTGGATCCACCCAGTTCTCTCTTTTCGGTCACCAGAGTCAAGCAGCAGATCCCTCAGCGTGCTGGCAAGGGATCTGATGTATTCATAAGTACGACATGCCGTCAGAAGGTCGCTGTCAAACGTTTGCGTTATTTTCTCAATCTGCCCGAATCGAAGAGGCCAGAAGCCCAACGTGTAAGAGTTCATTCCCGTTTTCAGTGAAGCGTTGGGCTTCATATTGCCTTGTAGGATTTCTTACGTGAAGCTTTAGTGTGGACGCAATTGCGACATCCAAATATTTTGCGTCTTCAAAGTCTCGACGTAACTACATATCCAAACATGCCTTCCATGATATTTCCGTGGCTCGAGAACGGCAACATTGTTCAGGCTCGGAACCGAATGGGCAGTACACCTGATACGGCACAACTGGACAAATGGGTTCGTTCAATGTTGTTCAACTACATACGTAATCGTAACTGATCGAGTTTCTTGCGTAGCTGCTACAGGTAGCAAGTGGAATGGCATATTTACACGATAAGAAGATCGTACATGGCGACCTGCGTGGTGTAAGATTTTACATGTTGTCACGGTCCCTTCACTCCACTGAAACTCTAAGTACCTTTAGGCCAACGTCTTAATATCCGACGATATGACGGCTCAAGTCACTGACTTCGGATTGATCACATTCGCGAGGGACTGTCGGGATTTCTATCCTTTGAGTAACGCCTACCAGCGTTGGAATTCTCCTGAGCTCATTGACCCGCCGTCAAGTAGTGCTTCAAAGACTGGACGAACACCTGCTAGTGATGTCTTCGCCTTCGCCTTCGTTTGTACAGAGGTACTGTTCCTGACATTCATTCCTTTGTGTCTTTATGCTGAAGTGTAATTCTTAGGTGTACTCAGGGCAGCAACCATTTGGCGAATGCAATCTGCTTCAAGTCCACAGGAAGGTACTAAGCGGTGAGAGACCGGAAATGCCCACTTCTCCTGCGATGTCCAGCAACTTGTGGTCTCTGGTCGAGATGTGCTGGAGCCAAACTGCGGGTGATAGACCGACCATGATTGATGTCGTTGCGAGGATGAAGAAGTTCGCAGCGGCATAATCCAAATGCTTGGTACTTCTAAGCTCACATTGTTCTATGGATTATTTGTTGGACGATATTCAACCATCTCAGCTTCCAAGATGGGTAGGTGATAACGATATGTATGTATGCAACTAGTATCTTTGTATGGTCTGATATGAGAATATGGATATGAGTATTATGAATAAACACTTTGTCTACATGTACAAGTCCGTCTATACAAACTCTAAATCACAGGTGTAAAGTGGAAATTTCTGAAGTAGTCTTCCCGAGCGGTGGTGTAGGGGTAGGGGTATCAGCGTCCTTTCCGGATACACATGCAGGTATCGGTATCCGCATGTCATTCGCGGGTGCCAAAGGCGCCCGCAGAAGTGCAGGGTTCGGCGATATTGAGGCTGTGGGTGGTGTTTTAAGAAGCTCTGGTTCTGTCCCTAACGAGTCTGACGATAGAATCGCAAGCGGAAGCTGTGGCCGAGGATTGGCCTTTGCATCGGCCTCGCTCTCCTTGCGCTTCTCGTTCAAAGCCAACCAATCTGGGTCTTCTAGTTGGTGTTTCGGCCTTCGACCGACCCGTGCTTCGAGGACTTTTACTATCTCCGCAAATTCCTCTCCTCCATTCCATTGGGAGATGAAGTCGGTCATGTCGTCATAACCCTTGGCATGAATGACCTTCTCCTTGATAGTCTTCATCTCTGCTTTGTTGCTGTGTACATGCAAGCCTTTGAACTGAGTCGTGCAGAATTTCGTGAGCGCCCAGTGGTTATCAAGGTATCTGGCCTGCACATAGAGACGTCAGAATAGAGGGAGGGAATAGAAGTGCATGATACTTACAACTCGGATATATGGAGGGTAGAAGGTCTTTTCGAGGTCAACAAGCGGTTCGGGGGCGAAACATGTGGGGTTTGCTTCGGCTGCAGTCGCAATCATAGCAGAGTGGGCACCTACAATGATAGTCAGGGATCTACTAAACGCCGAATTTCTGGAAGCACAGACAACACACCTGTCATCTTTCGTATCCGTTTGGCGTCCTCCCAGCCGACGCAATCGCCGTTCTCAATTATTGCAACACCTTTGCCCAAACCTTGAACGAACTTAACAACTTCGCCTAACCGTTGTACCAGAGCCTTCTCTCGAGCTCTCATGTTCCGCGTTCGACAATGTACAGTAAGAGCATTGATCCCAGTGTTTACAATCCTCTCGACTAACTTGAGGGTATCTTCCTGTGAAGGCAGCAGCCGGATTTTGCAAGAGAGACTGATTTCTGGTGGTAGAGCCGCACGGAGCGCGGAAAGAATAGCACAAAGAAGGTCAGGATTCGTGAGCAATGCAGCACCCATTCCTGAATGTGTCGAAAAAGGTTTAGGACAGCCGCAGTTTAGGTCGATTCCTGAAACATCTTGCATGACTGTTCGCGCAGCTTGAACAGCAAGCTCTGGATCCGCTGATCCCATCTGATATATCAAGTACGGTTTTTCGAGGGGGTGCGTCATGAAGATAGCTCTTGTTTTTCCATTGTACGAGACAACCCCAGTGACAGCTTGAAGAAAGGAAGAGTGAGAATGAGATGGGCGTGAACAACAAATCTCAACGTACGATCGACGGCCCTTTCGGCGTGCAAAATAGCTTTGTCCACAACCTCTGGACCCCATACGAGAGTAGCTCCATGCTTCAGAGCAAATAATCTCGTCGGCACTATGCAAGAGAATAAGGATACAAAGTTATCAGTCTAGTATGTGAGCACGCACATGCGCCAGATCTGACCATAGGTGCAAGCATAACTCCATCTTTATAGTCCTCTGGTGTCAAGGGAGTGAAGTCTAGTCGTGGTCGCTTGAGAAGTCGAGAGGAGGATGGACCAATAATTGGTGAAGGAGAACGAGACCGACGAGACATTTTTGCGAATAAATTTGACAGTCTCGTTGCAACTTTGAAGGTAAAACTGGGGGGCATAAAAGTCGTGACCGTCTTTCGTGAAAGTGCAAACGAAGTAAGATAAAAAGGTGATTGCAATTAAGACAGCTAGAAAGCTATAGAAGCTGTGCAGCTTGCACAGAGTGTGGGACTATTACTATAAGCGTGGGAATGTTCTCGATATGCGTTGTTCCTTCAACTCGGAGATACGCCACTACTGTACCGTGGTACTGTAAGTACAGTAACTTGGTACCTTGTTTCCACCGTTGCTATTAACCATCTCACCCTACCCTAGTGGTACCGGTAGATCTTCAACTGCAGTAGAAAAATGCCTAGATTGCAGTCACGCACTGCAACTCGTCAGATTCAGCGGGCCGCGGGCCTGCTGGTGCGGACTCTTTTCAATGGTTCTGTGCAACTCCGTCAACGATACGGTGGATAACATTCCTTCCTCAATACATGCATGTGGCTCGCTGGACTCGTGAACGACAAGGAATTTATTCACCGTCATGGAGCCATCTGAACCTGATGCCGATGTCTCGCTCGAACCTTCCATAAAACCACCCTTTCTTAAATGTGCGAACCAGGGTCAAGACAGTACATACAATCCTTGTGCCAGACATGCTCACCGCCACTTTACTTTTCTTCGCCATCTATGCTATTGCAACAGTCGGGCAGACACCGACGCTAGGTCTTTCTGACGGCTTTCTCTCGTTCGGGGCTTCACCATTTGCAGTACAGCTCGTAAAAGATTCTCAGACCCTGTATTCTCTGAAAAATGGTGATTTCGACTTCATATCAGGGGACAAAATGACACAGCGTCAATACAACGGCAATGTCCACCTTGGTGACATTTCTTTCCGAGTTCGAAGCGTGGGGTCCTCCGCTTGGATCTCAGGCGACTCATTCTCCTCTCGCAAGCCTGTACTTGCTCTGAATGTCTCTGGATCTACGCTCGCTGCAGCGGACCTTTCGCCCACTCTTACATCGAACTCGCTACTGAACGTCACTCGGCGCTGGGTCTTCCAGAACGGTACTTTCCAACTGCTATTTGACATCACCAATGCACGGTCTAGTGCTGTGGAGATCGGTGCCCTAGGTTCTCCTCTTGAGTTCAACAATGTAAGCGGACGGCAGTGCCTGCTGGAGGCTGCCCATTGATCAATCTTGAAAACTCTAGATCTTCACCGATAGGACTGCGGCTCAGACAAACGAGCTTTGCAGTCTCTTCGATCCGTATATTGGCCAAGACGCCGGCTATGTCCAAGTCACACCTCTTCTGGGAACTTTACCACCTCTGGTAGTCACTCCTGTCAGGAAGTCGCCATTGGAAGGTTGGCGGTTTATTCCCGAGAGCACCGCCAACTCGCCATTTTACCAATCGCAGACCTTCGAGGGCCTTTATGAATGGCAGTTTCACACTTTAGCTTACGCTCAGAACGAGTGGGCTAGTGTCTCTCCTTGGAATTCTCCGACTTCTGCCATTTTGCAACCGGGTCAGAGTAGGACCTACGGCTTGCAGTTCAACGTTGCGCCCTCCATTCGTGGTATTGAGGATGCGCTACGCTCTGCTAATCGTCCTGTTGCGGTGGGAATTCCCGGATATATACTTTTATCTGATCAACAGGGCAAACTCTTCCTGCATTACCACTCAGCAGTCCAGTCGCTCAGTGTCTCGCCTTCTGGCTCACTTTCGTGGGCTACTAACTCAGACGCGAAGACGCCGGATTGGATTGGCTACACAATCACACCACACGCGTGGGGTCGCTCTAGACTTACGATCACTTACGAAGACGGTACTATCCAAACTATACACTTCTACCTCACTAAAACTGGATCCCAAGTTATCGCTGACTTAGGTAACTTTCTCACCACATCACAATGGTTCGACAACTCTTCCGATCCCTTCCATCGCAGTCCTTCTGTGATCAGCTATGATCGCGAAGTTAACAGTGTAGTGAAGGACGATCCTAGGGCTTGGATACCTGGGTTAAGCGATGAAGCTGGTGCCGGATCTTGGTTGGCCGCTACGATGAAACAGTTTGCTCAGCCGAATGCTGCTGAGGTTGCAAAGTTGGAGACATTCGTCAATCGGACCTTGTGGGGCTCGATCCAGAACTCGGATGGTAAGAGGTTTTGTATTCAGATGAAATACTCCAGATGTAATTACAGTACCATTCGCATTGTTGTTCAGGTAGCGTGAAGAAGGTATGGACATCATGCTCCGAAGGTCTCTTCGGCGACCCTGACAGACCGTCATCCTGTAGGCAGTATATTTCTACCAACCCAACCTGGTTCCGCAGTATAGCTACCCGTCCAGTATCAACTGGGGCAACTGGTGGTCCTGGAACCAGGCCGCATCCTACGCCACGGACCGTGCTTATGACTACGTCCACGTCGCGGTCAGTTTCTCTTAATCACTGCTCTCTCCTTACTATCGCTAACAATGTGCTCGCAATAGGCTGCGTACTGGGCACTGTATAGGGTAGCTCGCAACTATCCATCGCTGGCAGAGGCACATAATTGGCAATGGTACATTAACCAAGCAGTGTTGACCATCAAGCGCATGACGGACGGTGGGGTTGGATATGTCAATGATGGACTTATGGATGAGACTGTCTTTCGCGTGCTTTTGGATGATCTGAAGAGGGAAGGTTTGACGGCGAATGTGACTTTGGTCGAATCAAGGATGAAGTCCAGGGCAACCGTATGGGCTGGGGAGCGTTACCCGTACGTATCACTTTCTTACCTTTCTCATGTCGTTAACTTGATGGCATTTGAATAGGTTTGGTTCCGAGATGGCTTGGGACTCTACTGGGCAAGAAGGAGTATATGCTTGGGCGAAGTACTTCAACGACACCACTACTGCCACGAACGTAATCAACTCCATCCTCGCATATCAGCCTACAGTCCCTCACTGGGGATACAACGGGAATGCTAGGCGTTATTGGTAAGCTCATCCATCTGTACATTGTACTCGTTGTCATTGTTACTTTCAACAGGGACAATGTCTATGGTGGAAAGCTCCAACGTATTGAACGCCAACTACACCACTACGGCAGCGGCCTCAATGCTCTCCCCCTTATCTCTCACTTCGAATCCAACCCCACCGACAACTACCTGCTCCGAGTCGGCTTTGGAGGACTTTCAGGTCCCACTAGTAACATCGACCAGGGTGGTTTTGCTTCTGCGTCGTTCCACTCTTTTGCCGATACACTGAAGTGGGATGGGTATTCTGGGGATTACGGTCCCAACTTTGTCGGACACGCGCTTGGAATTGGAACATTCATAATCAATCATCCCGACTTTGGTTGGCAGGCTTTCGGCGGAAACGTCGCCTCAACTAGTCCCACAATCATCGTTCATCCTCGGGATACTCTGCGTCGTCGAGTGCTCATAGCACCGCTGGGCACTCTGTTCGTTTTAGACGCCGGAGCATTCTCTTCCGTCGAGTTCAATCCGACTTCGAAGCGGGTTACATTGACTATTACCGCAGCTCCCGAAGGAGCCTCCGGAGCTGCCAGTGCACCTAAAGGACGGTTGGTCGTAACCCAGACGGCACAGGTTCCTGGTGTTCATTTGTTGAAGCCGAGTGGAAACTTGAGTCAGGATGCGGGAGCTTGGGTTATTCCTTTTTCTGAAGGGCGTGCCACCGTTACATTGTCCTGATCAATCAGCCCAAAGAATCTTTGACTCTTGTCTCTTGGAAGGCTTTTGTGTATTTGTACCAAGTAGTCACACAAACATGATGTTAGAATACAATGCATCACCACGAAGGACTAGGCAAGAGACATAATTAGGGATTCGTTACAAAACACCTCACGCAGTTTCCTCGCCCTTCTCCTTGACATCTCTAACTTCCATAGGCAGCGGCTCTTTGAGTTCTGCCTCGCTATGGTGGTCATGTACATGTTTCTGAGCTGGACGCCAGCCGGCGGAATTCCATGGTTTGACGCCTGATCGGTACATCTCATCGACCTAGAGGTAAAGTATTAGGATGCGATCGAACAATGACAAAAGAAATCGGTACCTCTTCCAAACTAAGACCCTTGGTTTCGGGAATAAAGAGATAGACGTAGACGTATCCGAATACAAGCATGCCAAAGAAGATGAGTAGGATCAGAGGTCCGATGCGTGCTGCAATGCGAGGTGCGAAGAATGAAAGCAGGAAGTTCCAAATCCAATCTGCGTGAGAATCACCGAGTGAGCATATACGCATAATGTCATACAGACAAAATCGCACTTGTAGCACTCCCTAGCGCAATGGCTTTGGGCCTAACTCGCAGCGGGAAACTCTCTCCAAGATAGACCCTAAATCAACGACAAATGTTTCATTCATCGCGAGAAATTGAGGCACAGGGTAAGACTACGTACCAAGGTGTTGGGCCCCAAAACATCGAGTATGAAAACAAATGCAACACAGCAAACGCAATCAAGGTATCCCCTCCTTGTCGGTTCCGAACTGTGAGTTGATCTTGAGGGGTATTTGGTGGAGCGAGGGTAAAATGTCCAACAAGGCCCGCGATGAGGGAGCAGATGGCTTCAAGGATGGAGCCAGTTAAAAGAGACTGGTCATTGGGTTTTTGTCAGTAGAAGATCGCGATAAGGAAGGAGAAAAATAACTATACGTTACGGCGACCCCAAGTCTCTATGAGATATAGGGCTGGGACTGTTCCTACAACGGAGACAGCACCGAGAATCGTCTGAATGACGAATGGCGAGAGTCTGGGCAACGATGTTAGTATGTCCACTGCATCGCAGAAAACATGAACCAAACTCACTCAGTTCCTGCACTCTGGAAGAATGTATCACCGTAGTAGTCTGAACAAGATAGTCGTCAACGACTGTAAGCCACTAGCAGGCATAGACTTACAATAGAAGTTCTGCCCATTTAACTGCTGGATAAATTGTAACATCATCCCATTAAGGGTGCGCTTCCACAACATGTTCCTCGTCGAAAAACATTCGATCCAAGTCGCCTTTCCTCCTTCGTTCTCAGCGCGGATAGCATACTCGAGCTCTTCGATAGTCTCAACAACGAGTAGGTCATCTTCTGGCACGCTATTGAGTTGTGCTATGACAGTACGTGCTTCAGCTTCTTTTCCTTGGCCCAGGAGATGTCGGCTACAAGGACAAGTGTGCATCAGCGTGGCGCCCAAAAGTGAGGATGAAGATAAAGACGTACGGCGATTCGGGAAGGAAGAAGATGCCAGAGAGGAGGATGAGACCCCAGAGCATTTGAAGCCCAACTGGTATACGCCATGATGCAGAGTTGGCGATGGAATGTGTACCGAGGTCAATGATGTAACTTATGAAGATACTAAATAGACATTTGAATAGGGACATACGGACGAACGAAGTATAACTCACCCTATAATGATCTGAAGCTGATACAGTACCAGGAGCATTCCACGCAAGGCCTTCGGAGAAGTTTCTCCATTATACAAAGGCACAATAGCTGTAATGCGAAAACGTGCTTGAGAAGCTGTCAGAATGAATGTCCAACGATACACGTACCTGATAGTGCTCCAACGCCCAATCCAGCAATGAACCGTCCTATTGTGATTTGTACGATGGAGAAAGTGGTTCCGGTTTGGATGGCAGTTCCAATGGTGAAGATCCCAGACCAGATCAAGATCGAACCCTTGCGACCGAATCGATCAGAGGTGAAGGCTTGGCCAAGAGCACCAACGAAAGTGCTACGAGCAACTTCGGTATGGAAGTTAGGAAGAAGATAAATGCACAACTTACCCAGCTGAAAGCAAGGAAGTGATGATGGACTGTCTTGAGCTTGAGAGGAAAGGTTTGCCATCACTTCCTATTTTACCGAACCTTGCGACGAAGTCGTCCATAATGAGACATCCCTGCGTTGGGTCAGTATCGAACATATTAACCTGTCATAACAAAAGCACGAACCGAAATGACACCAATGTCATAACCAAACAGGAAACCTGCAAAACGAAGATACTAGAGAAGACTATATGTCAGTTCGGCTTTCTTTTCTTGGTTTTCGAAGAACACAGCTGACTCACAGTTGGGAATGGGGTTATCTAAACAGAGCTTCGCACCTCCTGTATCATGACCGTACCACTATCAGTGAGCTTCTCGATGATATGTTTTCGAGATAATCTAAACATGGCATACCGAACGCAATGAATATAGCGAGAAGGATCGCCTTCCTGTTTGTCGGAACAGCCATGATGACTGACCGTTACTTAGAAAGCTTGCAATTGGAAGCTCGAAGGGTGGATGAGGAAGTTGAAAACTGGCGAACACGGACCATTGCGAAACTGTATAGACTTTTATTTAAGAAGCGAGTGTGGGGAAACCGGAGCGGTTGAATCATTTCAAACCATAACCGTGAGGAGAAGTGAGGGCATATGACTTGTGCTTCATGAGAACGGTCCGTACACCTTTATTGGCGGTCCGCATGCACTAAGTATTGTTAGCAAGACCCACTCACCTATTGACCGTCGCGCTCGTAGGCATAAAGTGTGAATGTATAGATGGAGACGCCTTCAACGGCATATCACCAGTATTTGATCGCCCTTGATGTCAGATTGCAGAAATTCTCCGATGTGTCGCATGCGTCGTGCACGCCCGAGCAGCGGCAAAGTGAGTACTAAGTCTAAGCTGGGGAACGTACCCGAACAACATCCAGATCCAAGTTGTCACTGGCGGTACCGTGCAGGGAGTCCGTATGACCCAGAAATCTGCCTTTCAATGACAAGAACATGAAATAGATGATGAGATGAAAGCATCCCAAAGGTCTTTTGCACCAGGGACAGAGCAAGTAAAGCAAAGGATAAGAGTTGGATCCTATTAACTCAAAAGTGAATGGTATAGGAAAAAACGGCAGCAGCTTCCAAGAGAACACCTGCAAAAGAAAGAGCTTCCCCTCCTTCATATTGCAGGTGTTCCGTGTGCGGCTGCAGGACGATGTTCCGCCGTAACTCGCCAACAGATGCAGGTCTGGCAAGGATAACACCCTTAGGCATAGCATTAGGAGGTAGTTGTGTTGCAGGAGCCGTCAATCTTTTGTCACTCAGATGTTTTGTTTCGCATGTTGAAGCAAACACGAAGAGGTCGAGAGTACTGTAGGCGATCAAGTACCCATCCGGGTAGACTGGATTTTCTATAAGCAATCTTGCGTCAATATTTAGCGACGCCGGAACATTATAGAACATAGCATCACAGACCAAGGTGGTTTGAGTAATGGCAGAGGTACATATGTCGTGTGGATACTAATATCAACAAAGAGTAAATAGATGGACAGCGTATAGAAACTATAGGAAGGATCGACGAAACGCCCTTCAAGAGCCTTCAAGTGAGCGACGCGTTATTTGGTCTTGTTTGACATTTGTTCCGCTGTCTATCTCGCACTTTTATCGTCATCAACCTCCTTGAGAATTTCCTTTCATCGGGTTTCTGTTCTCTTGGGGCCTACAAGATGCATGGAAAGCTCGATCTTACATGTTGTGGCCTACCCGGATCTCAGTCCCGCTTCTGTCAAAAACCGCTGATTCGTCCATTGCGAATCAATCTGTCGTATGTGAACGAACAATCCGTGAACAATGTAATATAAACTTACGCAACGGTATCGCTCCAATCTAATATTACTACTGCTCGTATCGTGCATGGCTCGTCGTGTCTTCAATGACCTGCATGCAATTCAACCATACCATGTCGTCTCTGCCCATTCTTACTTACTGGCAATGACAGCCTTCCGGGAACTGTGTCGTCTATAAATAGATCTTTCATGGCTATTTCAAACAATGCACTGTGTTGGTAGAGCCTTTATCTAGATGTTCAACCTGTCAATCCCTGGCAAGGCGTTTTAACTGTCGATTGGGAGGTCCACTTCGAAACCAGCTGTACCGCATTATTATCGCCCATGATTGCCGCCAACGCTGATGAACGATGGGTATAAAAGCACGATGGGGAAGTCATTGGTCCTTTCGTACGCTGTGCGTCCTTTCGACTGCTACCCTTTCGTCATCATCTTCTCCTTCGTGCCGTTATTTTTTGAATCTTTGCGTTGATCGCACTCACGTTCCTTCCAATATGCACGTTACAGTTTTGATCTCTTCACTTTTGTTGGCTGCTTCAGTGCAGGCTGCTCCTGTCAGACGAGACTGTGAGTTCCGAATACCAGATAAGAACCGAAAGGGTCAATTGCTAACCAAGCATTTCAAGTGGGAAACGATATCTCGCGAATCATGCAAGACGTCCAGAACGTTGCGAATGATGCGGCTTCAGTAGCTGCGAGTGTAATTGCAGAATTGCCTCCCCCATGTGAGCCATCAAGTGCTTGTTCCCTCATACGGTCCTACCCAAGTACTAACGAATACCAGTGGCCTCACCGGCTTCTTCCTTATTGAACGAAGTGACCGCCGGCGCAGCAGCAGGGTTCGCAGAAGTGACAAGCATCCTAGGCGAAATCGTCACACTACCGCCGCCTACCTCCACTGTCATCGGTTCCCAATTCTCTACGAACAGCTTCCCGACCTCGAGTACCTCGACTGGGCGTTCTTTCCCGTCCGGTCTCCTCGCCGGACCAAACCCGGTTTTGAATGGTTCGCCGACGGTCAATCATCCTCCTTTGTTAAACGGACCAAGACCTGCTGTACTGAACCCGCAGCAGCAGATAGCTTCACCAGAATCGACTTCGGCGGCGTTCGAAATTCCTGGAAGACCACTCCAGGTCGTCAGCCTTGGAAATATATTCACTTCTGTCCCAACGCAATCACCAGCTTTCGCCCTCCCCGGACGACCTCTTCAGGTTGCCGCCTTCAGCTTTGATCCATTGAACTCTCTGAATCTAGGGCCAACGCGAACGGTGGATGGGTCTGTGTCTTCTGCAACAAGGACTTTCACTCCGAGTGACTTGGCAGCTTTATTAAACGAACTGTTGCCTGGAGCTGGATCATCAGGATCAGGGTCTAGCGCATCAGTTAGCGTCTCCTTTGGAGCAACAAGCCCATCTCTCATTTCCAACTCCGGCGCAGCTGCGGTCTTTGGTTCGATTTCGTTGCAATCGGTGCCTGCATCGAGTACACCTGTTTCGAGTCAGCTGTTGTCGAGTTCTGCGACTGCTTCTGGTTCGGCGTCGATTTCAAGCAGCAGCGCTTCAGCTTCGACAAGTACGAGCATTGCTACTCCAGTCATCGGTGGTATCAGTATGACCACTATTCCTGCGCCTGCAGTTACGCTCCCTGGGCAACCGCTCACTTCAATTGCCACCTCTGCGTCTGCAACCGGAAGCGTTTATCCTAACGTTCCATCGAAGCGAGGACGTCAGTGTTCCTGCCTTTGATTTTATTACATATGTGTTGACATTTCTATTCGTTTCTCTAGTTGGTTCCTTGATTGGCATCGTAGGGAGTGAACTCGGCCCTCTGATTCAAGACGCCGATAACTTGGGCAACAAAGTTGCGTCGATCGGGAACAAGCTCATTGCAGCACTACCCAGTGACAGTCAGTATTTCCCTCTTGCGCCCACAGCAGTCTGACTTATTCTTCTGGTTCCAAGTTCAAGCACCCGCCTCTTCCTTCTTTGCTGAGGCTACGTCCGAAGTCGGCAAGGGTTTCAGCTTTGTCACCAGTATCGCTGGACCTATCGTAGCAGCATCGCCTACGTCAACTTCCTCCAGCTCATCTGCCTCAGTGACCTCGAGTTCCAGTTCAGCAACTGTTGCTGCACAAAACGCTGCAGCTCAGCCCACCCAGTGAGTACGTGTTGGAATGAGTCTTATTCAACGCTCATTGGATGGCGTGCCCTTTCAGGAGCTCGTCAGCCTCTCGTTCGTTGTTGCTTAGTGGTCTGACCATATTTGGAAGCTTGATCGTTAGTGTTTGTGTCGCCCTTTGATCTGCGGAGTGTAGTTGGGCTTTCGGAGGGCCAATGAACCTTGTATACGAAGTATCACACCATGACCCTTATGACCTGAGTCTTAGCTGTAGATGTATCGCTTCTTACATGTAGCTCTTAGGAGAGATAATGACATCGTGTAGCAGTTCCTGAGCTTCCCTTCCGAACCACCCCAGAAGCACTCAGTAACTCAATACAAAAAGTTGGAAGAGAATATAGGCATGTGGACTAATTCGTAAAATGACGAGGCCCAGATTGATAAAACCCAAGAATTCTTTCGATTTCTTGAGCATGATGAAAGTTGCATGTCAAACTCAAGCAAAGAGGGAATTACGGCTGGTTCAACGGCAAGCGCCCATGATCCGTAAATGGCAATGGCTTCAGCGGTCTGATGGGTCCGGAAAGCACTGCCAGTGGAAGTGATTCCACACTGAGTTACCGACTCTCAACCACTATCGTCTAAAGCCTCTGCAACTTACTTGGTAGCCCGCGCGAGAAGTCGTTAACGATCAAGGGTTAAATGTATGTTAACTGAATTCTGGATTACAGCTGATATCAATGACTACAAGCAAGCAGGATGCTGATGATGTGTCTTATCGAGGTTCATATGAATTTGCACCATTTCCACAAGTAGCGAAGCGGATTGAGTCTCTCAGAGGTCTGCATTCAATTGTGTTCGGCGTGTGTTGCTGCTCAATGGTTTAATGTAGCGCACTAGAACGATCGTTGCCATGGCTGGTGAAACAGCACCCAATCTACCTTTGGATGCGACGGAGTCGTCCGATGTGCCCTCTCTTCAGGACCTCCTCACCTCCCCAGATTCTTCCATAAACCCAGATGCTATTGCGCAAACTGCTGCTGAAGAATACCTTTCGCATCTTACGACCCTGTCGTTGCCGTCACTAGAAGCCGAGCCTACAACCCTTGCATCCTCGGCTGCTCAACTTACCAACGCTCTAACTACCTTGTGCTATACGTCATATCCAACCTTCCTCTCCCTTCACACAACCACGTCAACACTTTCGTCCTCGCTTACTTCACTCTCCTCTTCTTTGGATTCTTTGCTATCCACACTGCCTACCCTTGAGTCGTCCACTAGAAACTTCGCTCAAGAGACGCGAAAGATCCAAAAGGATCGTCATAAAGCAAGTCTGGTTCTGGAGCATCATGACAAGCTTTATGATGTACTCTCACTTCCCCTCCTGCTAGATTCCTGCGTGCGGAATCATAATTACAACGAGGCACTCTTGCTTGCCAATCATGCCGCTTCCCTCGCAAAGCGATTCCCCACAAACCCACTCGTCATATCTGTGCGGGAAGAATGTGATGCTCGAATGCAAGCCATGTTGGGTCAGTTGTTAGGGATATTACACGAGCAGGCGAAGCTTCCAGCGCTATTCAGGGCTGTTACGTTCTTGCGCAAAATGGAGGTGCTCGATGAAGATGAGCTTGCCTTGGCTTTTCTTACTGGCCGCGGCGTCTACCTTGCGGGAGCATTGAAGACTACGGAGATTGAAAAGAAGGGTATTGATGATACCAGTGACAAAGCCAAGGAATCGTACGCTCGCTACCTCAAGCGCTATATCGACGTTTGGCGTGAAGGTGTATATGATGTGATAACACAATTCGTAACTATCTTCGTCGAACGTGCACCATCTACCTCAAATGACGCCCCGAATCGTCTTCATGCCCTCCTCGCAACCTTCGCAACCCATCATCTCGAAATTCTGTTATCGCTATTGAAGGAGGTTCTTCCACGGGTGTCCGACCCATCCCTGCTCACGTCGTTGTTGACTCAGTTGACGTACTGTGCGAACTCCTTTGCACGAGTGGGCATGGATTTTAAAGGTCTTATTGCACCTATTTTCGTGGATGCGGTGCACCACGCGGTAGCCGAGGAGCTAGACGCTGCATTGGATGTTTGGGGAACTCAATTTGCATCAAATATCGAGACACGGAAACAGAAAGACACTGTGAAGAAGCCGTCCCTATTCCTCGTCGCACAATCCTCACTCCACTCTCTACCGGTACCTACCACAGCCCAACTTCAAGCTTTTTCGTCAATGCCTGCGAACGTACCTCCTCATATCCTGGTCTCATATCCACCTTTAGCTTTGTTTACAAACAACGTTCTTACCGCCTTCAATGGCCTCCGCCTCCTCGCTCCAGTCGAGCTTCTCAATGACTTACTGATCTCTTTGGATCATGTTCTCGCGAAAGCAGGATCCACACTTCTGCATTACTCCAAAGAGAAACTCTGGAGAACCAGTAGGCAGACTGAGGGAGATGGCCAAGAAGTCAAGATCGCAATGATATCTTGTGATATATACTACAGGGTACTCATTCCTTTCCTACGACGTGCGCTGGTGGAAGGTGTTTATGGGGTGGCTGTGGAGAAGATCGACATCGTGGCTGAGGAGTTGTCTAAGACGATAGCAGAATGGCAGTCCTTTGCATCGGCATGATCATAGTTGTATCTTTCAATCCAGCTTGCATTCATTGACACTCCGACCCATGTCAGGCTGAAGATCATTCCTGTCCAAGCTCAGGAACATTCCTTTGATGCCCTCGAACACGATTAACCGGCTGGCTAGTTGAATTCTAGTCTATAGCTTAGGCACTCTGTTCGGGGAGTTCGTATCAGCATCTCCTTGTAGACGACCGCGATCCTCTCTTTTTCAATGCAGGCCCTCAACTGTGCGAGTCCAGGTTACGGTTTCATACGAGCTCTAATGTTGACGAATGGTGTGACTCAAGTGACCGTTAATTCGCAGGATAACTATGATCTGGGACCTCAACGGCGTTAGTGAAACCGTTAGCAAGCTGCTTCTGACAGAACCGGTGCACACGTGCTACCTCCGGTCATAATAGCCACTCCCTCATGCCTAACGTTCTCCAAGTAACACCACGATGAGCGCAAGAAACGTGAGTCCATCCTGTCGAGACATCGTCATTCGGCTGAGTTCACTTACTCGTAGAACCCGAGGGTACGTTGTACGCAGTAATCGATTCCCAGCTTATGTGTTCATCCGTGTTCTAGAAGTCGTCTATAGTCTCCCGATTCAAATCACTCTGGCCGGGGGAAGATCACAGGTCGAGGAGAATTCAAGAGCATAGTTCCAGTTTCAGCTCCCCTCTTACTCGGAAAGATTTGCAGCGTTTGAATCGTCGCGACTTCTCATGGAATGCGCTAAGCAAGGAGATCCAATCCTCGATAAGGGATTGTCTTGCGGGTGTGAATGATGATGCGGCCGTGGTAAGCCTGAGAGGAAGTGATGCTCAGCAGGCTCTGCAACTCATGCAAGCAGTACGTCCATCTTAGCTATTCTCAACCTCTACGTCGATAACTCTTAATCCTTCCAGCTAATTGACAACGACGACTTATGGGCCACATGGATTCAACAGTCACCTCATTTGGACCGAAGAAAACTGCCACGAATAATGATGAGACTCTCCCATCAATCTGGTGAACTCCCGGAATCGCTCTATGTGAGCGTCAAAGACGTAGATCAGGATCCCAAGCGTGGCGGTGGTCATGCTGACATCTATGGCGGTACTTTGCATGGCCATAAAGTGGCACTGAAGCGTTTACGATATTTCTCTAATATGACGCGGGAAGAGACACAGCAAACCAGTAAAGTATGTGTGCTCTCTGATTGCTACCACCCGATCGTACAAAATATTGATCCTCTGGAGATTCAGGACTTTGCTCGTGAATCCTTACTTTGGCTCCAACTCCAACATGAAAACGTAGTTCATCTCCTTGGCATTGACGTCGAACGATTTCCTGGAATGCCATGTATGGTACTTCCTTGGATGGAATCTGGAAACATCAGAAATTATATGGAGAAGAAGACGTTTCCTGTAGTGCAATTGAATCAATGGGTACGTGTGTCGCTGATATGCACAGTTCGGAACCCTAATACGGAATCATGAAGCTGCGCGAAGTGGCAGAAGGTCTAACTTACCTCCACGATGAGCAAGTCGTTCATGGTGATTTGCGAGGCGTAAGTACCCAGGATTTCACATAATATGCGCATTCTGATGCATTGTAGACCAACATATTGATGTCAGAGGACGGTGTTGCTAAGCTCGCGGACTTCGGGCTCTCCGTCTTTGCTGGAGAGCGCAGCAAGAGCTTCCATTCCTTACGAGGGGGATCAGAGCGATGGATGGCACCGGAGTTGCTTGATCCTGAAGCAATGAATTTAATTTCTACCCGACCAACGTTAGCCTCAGATGTATATTCCTTTGGTATCGTTTGTGTCGAAGTGAGCATCAATCTCGATTCTTCTCCTATTATCACTCATACTTCTATTGAGATCTATACTTGCGAGAAACCATTTCATGCTCATACCAACGACAACCACGTCCGCAAGATCGTTGGAGCTGGGGGGAGGCCGGAGAAACCTTCCGATCCCTTGAAGGCAATCATGGACGACGACCTTTTTGACCTTGTGTGCTCTTGCTGGCAGCATCAACCAAGTGATAGACCGCCTATATCTACGGTACTGCAGCAGCTTCGAGATCGAGCTTAGTCACTCGTACGTCCCTTTCCTCTGCGGCTCTGTATCAACCTACCGGGGCTTGGAGTCCGAACACTTCTTCCGCCGCATCAGTTCATGCTTTCCGGACCATATGTTCCATTGTGGGCTCATGCTGTATTAAAGTTTTGCGCTATTTGGGACACCCTTACACAACTGTCCTTGTTCCTCGGATCTCGAATACGCTGTGGGCCTTACCATGAAAGCAAGAACACTCCTGAGTCTAGTACGTAAACAAAGAGGCTGATGTCGATAGCAATGCCTGTCAAAGGAAGTACAGCCTTTCCGTCACTGCACGTGAATTAGGATTGAATACAAATACATCACCTTTTAGGCCTTTACCTGAGAATCGGTGTTATGCATCTGCCTGGCATCCATTGATCGTCCCCACATCAAGGCCGACTCTTCCACTACCTCGTATTTGGATCCTTAGTTGTTTATAAGTCTTCCAGATAGATACCGGTCTCTCCACGGGAAGCAACCGATCTCCTAATGGCTTTGTTCGCTGCTGCGCAGGTTATCTACACTGACCTCGTTCAGCGAAAATTCGGGAACACGATCTATGAAGAAGTGTTAAGGATTGTAGACGACTATGGAGCTCAGAAGTAAGTTCAGTTTTCTCTGACTGTGGCATCGACTGCTTGAATATACTGATTGTGTCATACTAGAGTTGATACCCCTGCACTGTACAGTTAATCTGCAATATCTTCCATGCGGACGAGCCATTTCTCAGCAAGTTCAAGATGTTCCTTCCACTTGGCCACGATTTCGAACTTGTGGAGGACTTCTCTGCAACTCATTGCATTCGTGTCACAGTCGACGATGTCATCACCACTCGCGCTGCATTTGGCCTGATGCATACTCCCACGAAATGATACACGACATATGTCTTAGATGACAAAATCCTTCAGTTGCTACGTACGGCTTTGACTCTTCATGAGCGGAGGGCCGCTCTCACGACACTTCAAGGAGGCGACGCACAACGCGCTCTTCAACTTATGCATCAGGTGAGCACGTTGCAAGACACAGACATGATACTGAACCATATAATCAGCTTTTGAATGACGATCAAGATTGGATACGGACGATGGGCCCTAATACACGCGCACATCGGCGAGAACTTCCGAGGCTGATGGTTCAACTGTCACATTTCTCGGACCAGCTACCCAGGGCTTTGTTCTTACTTGATGTCAAGAAAGTCGGCAAAACGACAGATCGAGGGGGTGGGTCAGCGGATATATATGGCGCTACTTTAAACCATCAAAGAGTTGCTCTGAAACGCCTCCGATGTTTCATGAATACAACACCTCCAGAAAGGCAGAAGTTATCACGGGTGAGATTGACGATTTTATATAGCCGTCACTAGAATAAAACCTTCGCTGCAGGATCTGTCCCGGGAGGCTCTGCTCTGGCGACATCTTCGCCATCCAAATGTTCTACAGTTTCTAGGCGTGGATAATATTAGTTTCACCGGTATGCCATGCATGGTCCTGCCTTGGGTCGAGAGGGGAAACATCTTGCAGCATATCAAAGGCCTTAGACCCCATCCTTCGTCGATGCAACTGAATATATGGGTTCGTGCTCGCGTGTTTTCCGTCAGAATGTATGATGTCCCTGATATTCCCAGCTGAGAGATATAGCAGCAGGAATGACATATCTTCATACTGAAGCCATTATTCATGGAGACTTACGTTGCGTAAGGTTCTCTTCACTTTTTTCTCTGATCCCGTCGGTACTTATTCAGTATACAGAGTAACATTCTGGTCGCAGATAATGGATTGGCGCAACTCACGCATTTCGGCTTGTCCGTGTTCGCTGATGAGAGGAGCCGTAGTCATCATTCACTTAGGGGTGGCGCTGCACGTTGGCTCGCCCCGGAAATTCTAGATCCTTCAATCTTTGAGAGGCAATCTAGTCGTCCAACATACGCGAGTGACGTATATTCCTTTGGATGCCTGTGTGTCGAGGTATGGGAGCATTGATTGTGTTCATGCAAGCGAAAACTGAAGCCTGACTAGTTTACACACGCAAGCGACCGTTTGACGAATTTGGGGACCTTCAGATATTCAATCTGGTCCTCGGCGGTGTACGGCCTTCACGTCCAACGTTGTCGGATGGAACGCCAATGTCAGAATACTTATGGCCTTGGGTTAATGCTTGCTGGTGTCATAACCGCGAAGATCGACCACAAATGGGCGTTGTTTGGACGGTCATGACCGTGGCAGTCGTGTCGAAGCTAGGAAAGCATCCCAATGAATCATTAGTTTTTCCTCCAACTTATTCGGGCAGCGGGTCTATGCCAACTTGATGCGCTATATTATTATTAAGCTGTACCTATTTCGTGAGGAGCACAACTTGAATGTACATCCTTCCTTACTAGTGGCAACACAATGTCTAAGTCTACTCTATAAAGGAAATATCATGCGTCATGCAGTATCTTTTCAGCTCGAACAGGTGTGAGTCTGTTCCATTGTGACTAACGCTACGAGGGCCAAGTTGTCCTCGTCATGACTCCCGAGCGGAGCCTTTCAGCTTCTCTACTATGTAAATACGCCGTAAGCGCGCACAAAGCTTGAAGCGGCTTAAGAGCCAATTGACACGCTTTGATAAATATTGTTCGTTCTATCTTTGCAACTCAAACGGTTCAGCTGGTCTACCGTGCTTTCCTACTTTCCTACGTTTCGACTGGATCATCCTTAGACTCACACTATATGATCCTGACGATACCTTTGGTTATACTCAATATTCAACAGTGCCAAACTGACGCAGTGACAGTAGCTGAAGTTTGACGTCCACTTGCATGTGCGAGTCGGATCACTATGCTGGTCTCCGTGGAATCCGCCGCTCGCTGCGTAGTAGTTGGGTAGAGTAGGGTCTTACTTTCCTGCGGGTATCTTTACTATCGTGCCCTGTATCTCAAATATAAGTTTTTCTCTCAGCATTCCTGAATCCGCGCAGCGAGTGAGTTCTTACGCAAGATGGTCAGGCGAACAGGCGTGTTTCTGTATAACTCTTGATGTCTAGCAGCCGAGAATTCTGGGAAAGTGAACAATATTCGGGACTTTTGCATACACGCGCATACACACGTGCACGTTGTCGGAATCGATACAGCAGATCATCCCGGTCTCCCACCGACATCACCTCTCATCTGTTTGCAAAATGTTCAAGAAAATAGTGAGTGCCTCGATGACTATTATAATAATGTTTAGTATTGAGCTGACCCTGGATCTATAGCCATTGTTCAATAAGAGAAAACCTGGGGACAGGACACCGCAGGCTTCTGACCAGGCCTCAGGTGTGTGTGGCGCAATAAAAGTGTCGCGCGAAATGCTCCCAGATTGAAACTCACTGTTTCCATAGTCACGTCTCAATGGGTTGCGCCAGAGTCCGAGCCCTCGACCGACAAAATCCTTCAACGGAAAATCATTGAGGCGTTGAAAATGCCAAGCTTTACAGGAAGCGAGGTGTTACAAATGAAAGGCGATGAGGCCCAGCGAGCCTTTAGGGTCATGAAGCAGGTATGCTTCCTCTGCGATGTTCTGTGCAGGGACTTACTGTTGTATGCAGCTTGTCGATGATCCCGCATTCTGGAAATCAGCAATACGAAAGCACCCTGATATCGACCGCTGGCTGGTTCCGCCGCTCATGGTTAAACTAGCACAAGAGTCCGGACAATTACCAGATGCCATCCGTGTGGAGGTGGAATCTGCGGAATCTGATTGTATCGCCGATGGTGGCTTTGGTGAGGTTTATCTTGGAAAGTACAAGGGAAGGAAGGTCGCGATTAAACGTCTACGTGTGTATCGGAGCATGTCAGCTGAGGAACGAGCTCAGGTTGCATGGGTGAGTGTTTATGTGCACAGTGATTCCTACTACCGTACATGACATTGTGTATCCTATATAGGACATATCCCGCGAATCTCTCATGCTCCACCATCTTCATCACCCGAGTCTTTTGGAGTTCATTGGAATTGATCTCAGTCATTCTTTACGGCCAGGATTGGTTACACCCTGGATGGATTATGGATCTATCATGAACTATATGGATAATATGCAGATAGACCCTCCAGCTCATCAGAAGGACAAATGGGTATGAACTAACATCATTGTGAAGACAATTATTATACTGATACAATTCTATCATATGCAGCTTCAAGAGATTGCACATGGAGTACAATATCTCCATGAAGCAACTGTAGTGCATGGTGATCTCAAAGGTGTAAGTTATTTCATACTTTATTAAATCATCATAAGCTAATACAAATTAGGCCAATGTTCTTGTAGCAGAGAATGGCCAGATGAAGATATCAGATTTTGGTCTGACTGTCTTTGAAGGAGACTGGAGCAAGGAATTTGGCTCTCAGCATGGAGGCAATGTGCATTGGACAGCACCAGAAAATATGTGGATTCATACAGGACAATATCAGAGACCTACTTATGCCAGTGATATTTATTCATTTGCAATGGTATGCATAGAGGTATGATCTTGATTTTCTCAGAGTCTTATTCAGATTTTGATTATCTCATATTAGGTCTATACAAGAATGAGGCCATTTCAAGCTATCAAGACAAACAATCAGAGAAATCTTGCTGCTTTGATTAATAGTGGCAAAAGACCTAGCATACCTCACCAGATGTCAAAGGAGCTTTCCTCCCATCTAGTCACTTGGTGGCACGGCTCTCCACAACAAAGACCACCAATACAGTACATTGTGGAGTTTTTCAATTATCCTACAAAACTTGCACAAGAGCAGATGAGATTGGAGAGCTCAGCTGTTTTGCCAACAATAACTCAGAAGCAGAATTTTGCCCAGGAGTTAGTGAATCTTCTTTGCAAGATCTTCAACAAGGATGCAGAATTTCTGGCACTGTGTTCAAGGATTCAACCATCAGCACCTTCTATTAGGTATCCAAATTGCCCACTTCATATTATCATTGATGAGTAAGTTGACCTGGATATACCACATATATACTATAACTGATAATTTCATGCTACTCAGAGCAGCCCTTATTGCAGGTCTCTATAAAATCTGCAATGGCAATATGAATCTGGCTGCCCAATTCTCTTATCCTACACTTCAGTTTATTCTAGAACGAGGCCGCACAGTAACAAGCCGTCTCTTGTTTACTGCTTTAGAGAAGATGACCTCTCAATCCACTCTTCCACTTCAAAATCTTGGCTATAATCTGGTACCTAGCTCTCATGATCACACCAAGAGAACTGATGTCTGTATTGCAAAGTTACAGAATGAGATTTGCAATATCTCATCATATGGCATTCTGGTCTTTTTTGCTGGTGGTGAAGAGAGTTGGCTAGATGATTCAAAGTTTGCCAAGTACCTTCATTTTGCTTCTCAGAATGGTTGGCAAGTGGAAGTTTTTGCTTGGAATAACACTATGACTGAAAAAATGGCCTGGTATGATGCTATACCTGGAGCTAATGGTCCCAATTCTAGTTGTATTATCTTTCTGGAGACATTCTACACAAGTTTGTTTTCTTTTTAGCACAATGCATGTACATATATTCTCCCATTGCTGTGAAAGTCCTGTGAACTACTTGTTATTTACAATGTCAGAAAAGTCAGATACTAATCCATGAAATCTCTCTCTGCCTCTCATGGAGGATATGGCCAAATCAACAATATCTGTTCTTGAGTGATCACCTGTGAGATCACTTGATAGCATCTGTACAATCTGCTGCATTGAAGGCCGTTGAGTTGAGTCCAAATGCCAGCAAGCAGTAACCAGTGACCAAAGACCATCAGGCATTGTCTGAGGTCTGGAAGGAATTTGACCATATTGGACCTTCATAACTGCATCCAGATCTATTAATTCTGGGAATGGTACCTCTCCTGTAAAAATCTATAAGAGCATAAGATAATAACAGTATGTTTTTCAGAGAGCAGACTCACTTCAATGCAGAGAGAGCCAAAGGAATACACATCTGCAGGATAGCTGGCTTGCAATGACTCCAGAAATTCTGGGGACATCCATCGCTCAGTCCCACCCCGTGGTCGCATTCCTATTGTCCACTCCTCTCGAAAAGAAAACAGGACAACATCTGCAACTTGAGCAACCCCTTCATGAGATATTAGAATATTACACTACATAATTATGTGAGCTTGCATCAAAACAACATATAGAAGACAATACCCCACGAAGATCTCCATGTGGTACATGCCATTCATGAAGGTACACCATCCCCCGTGCAATGTCAATAAGCTAAACAGGAAGTTCGGTGAGTACAAAGACTAGCAATTTGTGAGATTGTATATCCATTGAATCAGCGTCGAGGCTTCTGGTTTTGTCTCAAGATGTGATATGTACTGTCTGATGTTGCCGTTTTCTAGCCAAGGTTGGATCAGCACCGGTGTATTTGGAAATGACGTATCTATTCCGAACAAAGGAAGTACGTTCGGATGTCGAAACTGTCACCACTTGAGGCATTCAAAGAAAAGACGCTACGAAAGAAGATCGTGTTCTAGGACAATGCGCCAGTATTTATAAGGCACTCACAGCTTTCGTAGCTTCCCATCCCGTTCTATCCGTCTGCCATTGTTGACTTCGTATTCGTCTGACAGCGACCTTTGTACCTGAATAAAGAGCTAGATATATATCTGAGTTTAGTCCTATGCATTCTGGCATATCTGCCAGTATGTGCTGCACAGTAACAAAAAGCGATGACGGCACTTGTTGGGAAGATTTGGAGAGGCGCAGCATGCTGTCATAGATCCGTCGTCGATTCTCCTGAGACGACTCGATGGAAAAGGACCTCCACACGGGGCCGTCGTCAAGAAGCTGAGGTTGGAAGTTCAAAAAAGCTTCCACGCGTGAACAAACTGGCTGCATACCTCTTGCATTAGTTCTAGAGCACGCTGCGCGCCGGGACCTCGTAGTGCGAGGAGTTCCCCATAGTGACCCTCGCCTTGAATATCCTCAGCAAGGAGGCGCAATATATGTGTATGATCATCGACCTGAGTCGATGGGCGAGCGGAGCTCTGCTTGTCAACGTGTTCACTGGACACCATAATAGCACTAGAGACCGGGATTGTCTTGACAGAAATGAGAGCGAAGCCATAAGTGAACGCCTCTTAACACACCTTTGTTGGATTGGCACTCTTCCTCCTCTTTGTGAATCTCTCTCTAACAAAATGCCCCGCCTTTCCCACAAGTTCTGAGGGTTTTCCTGGTCGAGTCAACGTAGGAGCAGTATCACGCCTGCCCATGTCACTAAAGGATTAATGAAAAATGGTGTAATCGGAGGTTATCAAGTATGCCAGTCACGGCTCGACCACGGTATGTGGATGTTTCGGTGCAGGTCAGGAAGACGCCCAGCCACTGCAACGCTTCTGCAACTTGATTGGGATTTATTCCTCTTTGCGATCTGTCAGATCGTAGACTGGATCTACATTTCATTCCTTCTACCCCCACTCTAAACGTTGACTGGGGAAAATACCTATCAAGGGGAACAAAAGCAAATCCTCCGAGTCGGGATCAAACCTGCATCCTAATTACAAGGTACATTCGAAACCTGCGCGCGTGTCTTTCAGCGGCAAAAAAGTCCTTCGAGCCGGGATCGAACCAGCGACCTCAAGATGGATGGTAACCAGTTACAGTCTCGCGCTCTTCCAACTGAGCTATCGAAGGCTTGTATGTTCTTCTAGCAAATCTTACTTATCAGCAAGATAGTCCGAGTTCACGTCTACTGACACGGCGTCGGATAGTGGCCGCCGCCCTACGCAAGCCTCAGATTATCTCTGTCTGACTGTCTACGACAAGCATAATCGACAACCTGAGGCTTAAATAGATCGTGCTCTGCGGTTACGTCAAGTCTTCATCGCTATTGCCTCAATATGGGATGCGTTGTGAGGACGACCACTCAAAGGCGAAGTCCTATAACGGCGCCCTTAGAACTCGTAGGAAAGGCAAGGTATTTTGTTATAGAGAGATTCAGGAAGAGGAAGAAGAGTCCGAACTTGACAAAGGTATGTCGACAAGATGTTCATCGACAGATTCGCTCTCATTGTCAGGAAGTTCCAAGTCTCTAGCGCTATCCCGGTTTCCGGTGAACACGTTGACGAACTCTCAGCTGGTTTATCAAGTCAGGTCGATGATCATACAGATGTGTTGCGCCTCATTGCTGAGGATATTCAAGGCGAGGGTCACTGTCAGGAGCTCGTTGCGCTACGAGGCCTCAGTGCGCAACGTGCTCTAGAGCTAATGCAAGAGGTATGCAGCCAGTTTATTCAGACGTGGAAGCTTTTTTGGACTTCCATCCTTTAGCTTCTCGACGACGGCCCTGTGTGGAGGTCCTTTTCTGTCGGGTCGTCTCTGGAGAATCGACGACGTATCTATGATAGCATGCTGTACCTCTCCAGATGTTCCCAACAAATGCCGTCATCAATCTTTGTTACAGTGCAGCGTATACCGGCGGATATGCCCAAGTGCGGCGGATTGAATTCAGACATCTATCTTGGTGTATATTCCGGGAAAACGGTAGCAGTCAGACGAATACGAAGTCACCAGTGGCAGACAGATAGCGCGGGATGGGAAGCTACGAAAGCCGTGAGTAAATTGCTACTAGCATATCATCTTAGGTCACGACTGTTCTTCATAGCGTCTTTTCTACGAGTGTCTGAAGTGGCGACAGCTTCGACATCCGAACGTACTTCCTTTGTTCGGAATAGATACATCATTTCCAAATACACCGGCGCTGATCCAACCTTGGCTAGAAAACGGCAACATCAGACAGTACATGTCACGTCTTGAGAGAAAACCAGAAGTGTCGGTGCTGATTCAATGGGTATGCACTCTTGTAAACTGTGTCATTCTTTATACTCATTGGACTGCCTGTTCAGCTTATTGACATTGCACGAGGGATGGCGTACCTTCATGAATTGAACATACCACATGGGGATTTACGCGGGGTAGCTGCTTCTGCTTTTCAATCTGACCTTATGCTAACAATATCATATAGAGCAATGTACTAATATCTGATGACAAGGTTGCTCAAGTTGCAGATGTTGTTTTGTTTCCCTTCCGGGAGGAATGGACAATAGGTATCAAACCACAGGATGGAACCAAGCGATGGATGGCTCCAGAGTTTTCAGATTCAATGCCACCAAGTTATTCTGCTGATATATATGCCTTTGGCTCTGTCTCTGTTGAGGTGAGTCTATTTCATGGGGTGTAGAGATAATGGGATCTCATTCTATCTCAGGTGTTCACAGGAGAAGTGCCATTTCCTGAGTCAATGGATCTGTATGCAGGAATGAAAATTCAATATGGCCAGATTCCTGCCAAACCTAATGCAATGCCTGATGGTCTTTGGTTGTTAACCATTGCTTGTTGGCATTTGGATCCAAGTCAGCGGCCTCCAATGCAGCAGATTGTAGAGATGCTATCAAGTAATCTCACAGGTGATTTTCCAAGAGCAGATGTTGTTGCTTTAGCAGGAGCTTCAATGAAGAGCAGAGAAAAGTTTCATGGAATTGTATGTAACTTTCCTATTGTTTCCAATGATCAGTAATGTGTAGATTTGATGTGAAGGTGATATCAACTAATTTGTATTCTGACAACAACAATAGAATATATGTATTACAGGGCATCACAGAGAGAAAATATTGCCATAAAACATCTCCAGAAAAGTAATGCAGCTAGAATTGGAACTATTAGATCCTGGTATAGCATTGTACCATGCTTTCTTTTCAGTGGTGGTGTTGTTCCAGGCAAGAATTTCCACCTGCCAATCCCTTTGAGAAGCAGCAAGAATGCACTGTGCAAATTTCCAGTCATCCATCCAACCCTCTCCACCTCCAGTGAACAGAACTAGAATGCCATATGGTGAGACATCTATTATGTCATTCTGTATTTTGGCAACACAAACATCAGTTCTCATAGCATTTTTGTGAGAGCTAGTCATTAGACTATAGCCCAGAGATTGAAGTGCAAATGCAGAGGGAGAAGTGCTTTTCTCTAGTGCAGTAAACAAGGTGCGACTTGTTACTGTTCGATTTCTTTCTAAAATGAATTGAAAAACAGGATAGGAAAATTGGGCTGCCTGATCCATAGTATCATTGCTGAGTTTATAAAGGCCTGCAAGAAGGGCTTTTCTGATTTATAAAAGCTATACATTAGATACAAATAAAAGATGTAAAGTAATAAACTTACTCATCAATAATAATATGAAGAGGACAATTAGGATATTCAATGATATGTGAAGATAGCTGATGGCTTGAGATGTCCTGAGAATATCTAAGATATTCAGCATCTTTGCTAAAAATCTTGCAGAGAAGTTCCACTAGGTCCCTAGAAAATATTGTCCTCTGAAGCTGGTTTGGTGATATAGTTGAACCCATTGGTAACATAGACTCCTTAGCAAGCTTTGTAGGATGGTGAAAGAATTCCATAACATATTGCATTGATGGTCTTTATTCTGGTGACCCATGCCACCAAGTGACCAAATGAGAGGAAAGTTCTTCTGACATAGATGCAGGTATGCTGGGTCTTTTGCCACCAATGATCAACATTTCAAGAGTTTCACCCTGATTCCATTTGATATCTTGAAATGGAATCTTTCTTGTATAAATCTAGAATGAGACTATTAAAAAATTAATCAAGCTGTAGATGTTAGAGTTTTTACCTCTATGCATACCATTGCAAATGAATAAACATCACTTGCATAGGTAGGCCACTGATGTTGTCCTGCATGAAATGACAAAATTTCTGGTGCCATCCAGCGCACATTTTCACCACACTGAGAACCAAAATTTCTGCTCCAGTTGCCTTCAAAGACAGCCAAACCAAAATCTGATATCTTGAGCTGGCCATTGTCTGCTACAAGAATATTGGTCTGTCATATATTGTGTTTAATTTTTTAGAATCAGAGACTGCTGTAAAATTACTCACAGCCTTGAGATCTCCATGAACAATACTTGACTCATGAAGGTATTGCATTCCCTGTGAAATTTCATACAGCTGTGCATATGGTACAGATGTATTAATATAACAGATAACTTTTTTATAATTTCTATTCATACCCATTTGTTCTTCTGGTGAATTGGCAGATCTAATATTCCCATGTAGCCCATAATGGACCCATGCTTCATCCAAGGTGTAACCAGGCCAGGTCGTACAGGAAAGCTGAGATCAATTCCAAGAAATTCCAAAACACTAGAGTGATGTAGATTGCGAAGCACAAGGGCTTCCCTCGAGAGGTCCTGTTTACAATATATCATGCACTGAAGTATTGTCGCATATGACGGACACTCACCCATGTAAGTCGACCTCGTTCTTCTTCTGACGTTGTCTGATATATTCAGAGACGTTTGACTGCCACCCGCCGTCCTTGGAGCATTCCAATAAAGACTTCACCGAAGCCACCAGCTGCAATATGGTCTGGTTCTACAAAGTCCAGTGTCGCATAGATACTATTAGGTAGTTGGCCAGATTCCCATGCGAGCTTGACCATGAGGGGAGGAAGCAGCCAGCGGTCAACAGCAGGATGCTTCTGTTCAGCCGACTGCCAGAATGTAGGACTGTCGAAAAGCTAAAAACAACGGTCCAGTCTCCACCCGAGAGCTTAGCAGCAGATCCGTACCTGTTGCATAGCGTCGAGAGCTCGTTGGGCCTCACTGCCTCTTAATTGTAACACTTCGCTCCCTGTAAAGTTCGGCATTTTCAAAGCCTCGATGATCTTCCATCGAAGGGCTTTGTGGACCGAGGAGTCAGGTAGAGGCTGTTGAAGCGGCAGTACAGATGCGGTGGGTTGAAGTGCAGGAGGAATTTGCGTGACACTCTGGTTGCGCCACACATCGCCCGAGGTTCGTTCAGAAGCCCATGGAGTGTCATCCCGGTCGTCCTTTTTCTTCTTGAATGGAGTCTGAAGATCCAGAGCCAGCTTAACGTTAAGCACCGGCACAACGAATTTCGGGACACTCACCAATTTCTTGAACATTGCTGCAAGCTGAAGGGAGGCGCAGTCGAAGGGAGACAAAGAGCTCGGACGCTCTACGGCATTGATTCCAACTGGTATCAACATGTGTGTGCATGTGTAGGGAAAAGTTCAGAACTTCCCCAATAATCATTGTTCACCTTCCGGATTTTCTCGGCCACTAAAGCTCAAGAGTTGCATATGCACACACCTATTCACTTAATCATTGTGCATAAGAACTCACTCGATGGGCAGCCTCAGGAGCATCATGTAAGGCAAATAGCTAAGAATCAGATTCGCGATCCAGAACACGATAGCACAGATTCCTAAAGCACACAAGTATGGCCTAGTACCCTACTTCTATACAAGAAATGAACAGACTCCATGAACGGAATTGAGTGGCAGAGTGTCCGACTGGAGAAGCAATTGAGCATACAGGCTGATGTCGAGAAAGATCAGACAGAAAGTCGCAGCGTCAAGTCGTCGAAGTCAGGTGTGTGAGCTTCAACAGAGGTATCATCCTGACGTCCGAAATCAAGGCAAGATATCTGAACGAATGATCATTAGAACTGTTACAGTTGCATTTGTGTCTCGACTCTGGAGGAAACGAGGGATACGTTGTCAGACTTGAAGCTTGTCAAAGCATGCAGCATCGCGCTTATGATAGTGACGCTTAATTGTGGGCGCTACCAAGGCACTACATATGCTTGTCTTTCTGCCAGTGCAAACGTTCAACGTCATTTTTCAAAGATTCAGATATTCAATACAAACAGTCATATGCACACAAGAAGGTATATTTTATCATGCATTGCAACACTGATTTCTTATGTTATTGCAGACAATTGTGACTCAAATACGAAATGAATCCCAGTGGAAAGTCGTTCGAGGTAGATCGAGCCAGATAGAGCTTAAACGAGTCGCATTGGCTTTGGCGCTCACTGAACGAGTCAAAATGAGTAAGAATGGGCGATTCAGGTGCTTATGTGCTTGCTCATCGATGTTGCTCTCTACGACCACCACGGGCAAGCATCCACCTGTTCGATGGCAGACGATAACGCACTCTTGAGGCACGCAACTCTTGGCTGCCATGTGGTTCGCGTTCTAGTTGGCTGGCGCATCTGTGCATCACGTTTAGGTACCCTATAAGGCCTCTGCTCTCTGTAGCTAGCTACTCGTCTATAGGCTGTATGTCAGAATAACATGGCTTTCCAAAGCACTGAAGACAGGCCCAGAGGCTGATATGGAAACACATTTATCTGTGACTGTAGGCTTTTCTGCAAGAGAATGAAGGAGGTCTCTAAGAACACCTACTACATGCACCTGAAGCTATCTCCACCTGGTCAGCTGGAGACTTCTCAGCATGTCGCAAATGAGCCCACCAGGCCTTCTCGTTGGTCATCCGCACTGCGCTTGGTAGAGAGGAGTATTCTTCGCAAGCGCGAATGAGAGCCTGACCCTGTAGATGGGCAAGCTTCGCAGTGTGGTCAGTCGCAGATGGCCAAACATCTGCGAACTGGGGAAGATGACAGTCCACCACCTGATGATATGTGGATATGTACTCGATATTCAACGTATCATCTCCTCGGCTAATTCAGCTGTGTGTTAGGTCGAAAACCTCAATTCAGCTGAGTTCCTCACGGGCGCACAAGCACCTCAGCTGATACCCTATGGCAATCCTTCTGTAAGTGGCCATTGAGAAAGAGTTGGTATAGTATGCTTATCATAGTTTTATGTAGGATTCCCATAGCATCGCTAGCCCTACTAATAGCGGCACATCCGGGTTGGTCGAAGCACAGCCAGTCGCTCACACCCAGACGGCTAGCCTCCAAGTGACTCCAATGGGCCAGACATTATATGACGGCGATTGTGATGCTGAACAACAACCGTCTCATAATGTATCTACCATGGAGTCGACATCGCGTAACCCTCCCGCCTCAGATGACACCATCAATATGCCTGACTATGGGTCGCTTTCAGCCCTACTGCAACCTCCTGCAGACTTGCAAGATGCTGAACCTCAGGAGGCTGCAGCGACAACCAATGTTGAGGTATTCGACGATACCGGTGCTCCTGTGGATCCAAGGATTGCGGAACTCAAGACTGCGCTACAGTTCATTGAGGAACTGCGAGCGGCGTCACTTAAGAACTCGAAACTTGAATCTGCCGCCATCCAGAGGCTACTGGAACCAACAGCCAACCCACATTCACAACGTATGGACCCCCTCGTGCAGTTCTCAATTGACTTATACCTCGCAACGGAGAATGCTTCGGTCCAGACTTATGAGGACATTTGCAAAGCTCATCGTCGCTGTTACCCAGATGGCGGCGAGCTGCTCTCATATAATGCGGTTAAAAACCATATCGCAGATACCACTGGTATCTATCCGATACGTGAGGACATGTGTCCAAACTCGTGCATTGCCTTCACAGGCCCATTCAAAGAGCTTGATAAGTGCCCGCTCTGTAGCACACCTCGCTATGACCAGGCAAAGTTTGCGGCGAGTGGGGGAAAGGAGAAGGTTGGGCGGGCATTCTATACGATGCCAATTGGTCCACAGTTACAGGCACTCTATCGTTCACCGGAGAATGCACAGAATATGCAGTATCGCGCAGAGTATACAAAAGCGATGGAAGAGGTGTTGAAATGTGCACAGGGCATTGAGGACTACGGTGACATCTTCGACGGCTCAGACTACCTCACTGCCGTCGAGAATGGTCACATATCGGAGGATAGTATCCTGCTCATGCTATCAGTTGATGGAGCTCAGCTATATGAGAGTAAGCAATCTGACTGTTGGATCTACATATGGGTTGTTCTCAACCTCTCCCTGGATTTGCGCTACAAGAAGAAATATGTCCTTCCTGGCGGCATCATTCCAGGACCAAATAAGCTGAAGAATCTCGATTCCTTCCTCTTCCCTGGAATTCACCACCTCGCAGCTCTTCAGAAGGATGGGCTTCGTGTATGGGACTCATCACGATGTGCTTGTTTTCTTGCTGATGTATACTTCGCCCTTGGAACAGCTGACGGACCTGGCATGGCATACTTAAATGGACTTGTTGGGCACCATGGCGGACATGGATGTCGCCTTAATTGTGGGATGCGAGGCCGTCATAAACCGGGTGGAACACACTACTTTCCAGCAGCCTTAAAGCCTCACAATTTTACCGTGGCAGGATCAGTTCACGATGATGTTGATCTACGGCTTTCACGAAAACACGACCTTGATCGTTACAGGCAAGACTTACGCCATGTTCTCATGTCGGAGAATGAGAGACAGTACAAGAAGAACCGTTTGGAGACAGGCATCGTAAAACCGTCTTTGTTTTCAGGACTATCTTCTAGGCATATATTGGGTGTGCCAGGATGCTTCGCAATTGATTTGATGCATCTCATCTCCCTGAACTTGCCCGATCTTCTTATCTCATTATGGCGGGGTACATTATACTGTGATGAGACGGACGACAAGGCAACATGGGATTGGGCAGTGCTTCGAGGAGATACCTGGAAATCCCATGGACAAGCTGTTGCTTCAATGACACCGTACCTACCTGGCTCATTTGATCATCCTCCTCGTAATCCCGCAGAGAAGATTTCTTCAGGGTACAAGGCCTGGGAATTTCTCCTCTATGTCTTTGCCCTTGATCCTGCCATTTTTCGAGGGATACTTCCTGACAAGTATTGGCGAAACTTCTGCAAACTTGTTTCAGGTGTCCGCCTGATCCAACAGCAACATATCTCTCGATCGCAACTTCGAGAAGCACATACCACCTTCGTTCAATTTGCAATGGAGTTTGAGCAACTGTATTATCAGCGAAGGGCCGATCAACTTCATTTTGTCCGTCAAAGTATACATTTACTCATCCACATCGCACCAGAGGTTCACCAACTTGGACCACCTGCTCTCTACACTCAATGGACAATGGAAAGGACAATTGGCAATCTCGGCGAAGAAATCAGACAACCATCAAACCCTTTCAGCAACCTCTCTGAACGTGGTCTTCGACGTGCGAGAGTCAATGCACTGAAGGCAATCATTCCGGATTTAGATCCTCCTCAATCACCGCCGACTAACTCGATTAATGTCAGCAGTGGCTATCGACTTCTTCACCCAACTGATACAACCCAATGTTCACTATGAGACTGTGAGGGAGAGGCTCTGAAGAAATACCTCATGTCTCAAGGTGTACAATTTTCTGAATTATGGAAGCCGCTTGCGACACGCTGGGCTCATTTGCAGCTTCCTACTGGTCAAATTTCTCGCTCACATTGGAAGGAGTCATTGAAACCACTGGCGAAACTTCGCATTGCTCGCATGGTCAAGGTGCAGTGCTGTGTTTGATCTGGTTGTTGATCAAAACTGATGCGGCTGTGAAAGCTTGACTTTGAAGGCCAAGAGCAGTTCGCAGAAGTTATATTCTATTTCCATCACCAGGTCAATAATATAGCACAGACATTGGCCCTTGTTTCACTTCTTTCTCTTCCAGACCAGAATTTTCTTAAGGTCTCATATGGGACTTTGATTGTGTGTTCACATTTGGGTGATGATGGACTCATTGTAGTCCCAGTGACTAGTATCAGATCAGTGATAGCACTGCCGCCATTGCCACCTACCACTGAGGAGATTGCGAAAGGACTGACTGAGGCAGATCGCAATCAGTTCTTTGTTTCAGAAAAGCCAGGTTTAGATGTAGTACACTTGGGAGGAGCAGATGAAGCATGTACGTAGAGTAAATCTCGTTATAGTGCTTCTTTTCATACATTTGTTATCAATATGTCGCACAGCCCTGCCTAGTGACTACAAGTTCGAGAATGCTACTTTCAGAAGTAATACCCTCTCAGTCAGATATATAAAATATTTCATTTGGCCCAATGGAAACTTACTGAATGTAAGATAGACTATTCTATCAGATGGCCCTTTGGTGTCGGACTATCTGGGTCAATGCTAGACTCCGGTTCAGTTTCTGAGTCGCTGACTTTTTCTATCCAGACATCGTCGGCATTGGTCTGATTAATTTGTGATGCAACACTCTTGTCCGTAGTACGTTCGAAGTGGGGACGTTTGAATGATGTACGCAACCAAGTATTGGGTGAGTCTTCTTGTGATTCTTGTAGATCTTGTTGAACTGGATTCACAATCATTGCAGTTGACTGAGCTGGAATCTGTCCGTGCAAGGAAGATTCAGAGCCATGGCGAACACTGAAAGAATTCGAAAATTCTGTCTCTGGGACAGAGGGCGATTGTGATTCACAGGCCGTAGTGCTGCGTGGTTGACTGTCATTGATAGAAGCTGCACCATCAACCAAAAATGACTATTTTCAAAGATATTGCATACCCATGAGATGATATATTCGTGGTGAGCAAAGATGATACATACCACAGATGTGCCAGAACAAGCCGGTACAACAAGGATCGCAAATGGGGGAATTGTCGTATGGGAGTCCGAAGAACTTCTCTCATCTTCAAGTGTGATTTGCAGGTTTATATTGATGCTTTGCTTGTTTCCAGGCATCTTGTCGTATGTGAGCACAAAGTCCTTGTGTACCTGCTGTTCTAACTTACCATTCTTGTGTTCTGGACAGTGTGATTGGCTTATGTGATGGTGACTCGAGTGAGAATTTTTTTCTGTTGAGTTTTTCCAACTCGCCATCATCGTCCTATCTGTCAACGATGTCGCGCTTTGGTTCTCCAACCACTCCAGAGATTTCACAATGGACATTCGAATGGGGCACTTCCTTTGAAAGAAGGGAGGGTCAGGATCACTCTGCTGGCATGCAAATACAAACCCCATTGGGCGACCGAGAACCTCGCTTATCAATGAGAGGGCCTTTCCAAGATGGAAGCCCTTTTCTGTCACCAGTCAGTATCTTTTTTAAATGAGGCTCACAGCTGATGTATTCCCAATGTACTAATTCAGGTGGATTACATGCCTGCACGCATTTCTCGCTCACCTGCACCATACACTGCCCATATGCACCACCAAATTGAGCACCTCAAACAGACCGTGGCCCAACTCACAGATGAGAATCAGTCACTTTGGTAAGCTAATCAGTGATACAGTGTGGATCCGTAAGCTTGAAGCACTCACTGCTGTACTAATGCTAGTGATGAAAATGAACGTGCACGCATTGAGCTCAATGCAGTACGGTAAGGCTATCTTAATACAAATTAAGACATACTCTCACCATCGTATCAGCGAGAACTACAGCACGTTGGCGCATGCAGTCACCTTACGACGTGATGCCCCTGCATCAGTCAAAACTGAGCTTTCAACCATGATGGGCATTGCGGAGACTACAGAGCTTCCTGGACTGGCTAACGAGTTGGAGATACCAGAGCTGAATGAAGCACATCATCCCACTATAACCTACTGGTCTGTCGGTGAGTGGAACCAAGCTGAGAAGGCTCGCAAAAGCCTTGGTATGACAGATTCTGGAGATAATAAAGGCAAGCGAGGGGGTTCACGTGCTGCTGAAGGTGAGAACGTCATGATGCCATTCATGCAAGCAAAGGATGGGCGTGTGTTGGATGGATACGAAATTGCTGCCATGCGTAGCTTCGCTCGGGGACAGTGGGAGATGTGGGTCCATGAAGGTAAGGCACCTGCACAGTGGAAGCATGCACCCGGAAATCTTCAAGAGGATTTTTATCGTGTTATGTGCGAGAAGTTTCCCGCATTCAAGTACTGCCAAGATGACTGGAAGTGTAAGAAGCTGGTAACTTACTACTACCCTGACTGGATATCTCACAATGGTAACCATGTCAACAATGCCCCCTCTCCTGCTGCAACTTCTGCTACAACTCCTGCAAGCACTCCCAATGAGGATTCATTATCGCTCAGAAAGCGTCCATCTGACTCACTAGTATTGGCCACTACAACAGAGAACAAGAAAGCGAAAAACGGATTGAAGACCTCTGGAGAATCGAAGGCGGCCATCGTAGATCCCTTGTAAGCATACTGTCTCACAGCTGTCGTCATTGACACCGACAACTGATTGATGAACGCATGCCCAAGGTTGGACCTGTTTGTTGGAGGTGGAGATGGTGACGGCGACAAGAGTGTCAATGGTGATGACTCCGTCCCACCTCCTCTCATCAGTGATGAGGAAATGCGGGGTATATCTGAGCCTACAGCTGTCAGGAGTACGTATACTCTAAGTTCTCTTTCAGTTCAATTGACTCAGATACCACACTAATACAGGCTCCGTTACATCACAAGAGAGTCGCGGACAATCTCCACTGACTCAAGCTACTTGTACATTGCATTTTGTTTTTTTCTCTATTGATGTTTCCTTTGTCTCATCTAATCGCTTTTAGGTGCAGCATTGTCTTCAAGCATTTCAAACGGCGATGCAAACACCTCTACCGTAGAAGCCATTTCCACGGATCCTGCACATGCCCTTACTATGGCTCCCAACAATTTTGTTTTGAATGCAACAGATGTTGGCATGCGGCTCGAAATCAAAGGAGGACCTACTCCAATGTAAGCATCAGTCGCACTTTTGTTCTCTTACTAACCCATTCTCTTCACATATAGGAACCTTTGCAAGGCCCAATGGGGAGAAGAACACCCCAATGGCACGAAAGAGGAGTTCCAGGTGTATTGGAAGCAGCTAGGACCTGCTCAGAAGAAGGTATGTCGATCACTTTGACACCCGGACATATCAGATACTCAGATCGAATTTGCAGGAGTTGACCAAGCTGTCTGCTAAGAAGGTATGTCGTTACCTGCCAATATTTGTGGTCTATCATCTGACTAGGTCTTCTTCACGGCGCAGAAGCGTGAGCTGCAAAAAGTGAACTAGCTAATAATGGCTATTTCAATGTTCTCATAGACTCTATAGGTATACAGAAATGCAGTAGTATATATATTATTAGAGCGTAGCTAAAAAGCCAATTCAAAACGAGGCGCATCGAATCAATATTTCTTCACTCATTTTCACTCAATCCGGCTCGTTGAAGTGATCTAGGGATGTACCAAAATTACGAGCGAAGTGGAGTCAGAGCGAGGCGCCTGATTTACCTCGTTTTCGCTCGTTCTGCCTCGGACGAGATTTCACTGGGAATGAATGCTTGAATGATATTAGACGCTGGTCGTGTTGGAGTTAGAGCATTCCGCTATATACTTACTACCACCCTGGATGTTGGCCATGCTTGCATACATCCATCGATTCTAAGGAATCCTGGCCTGTGTGCGACAGGATCGTTTACATTTGAATCTCCCTAGATCACTATGCATAGCCCTTCGACATCAAGTGCGCCTTGGAGCAGCGTTTCCGACGTCATTGTGGCCTTGCGGAAGCATCGATTCTGAAGTCTAAAAGCGCGTCTTGAAGATAGCCATAATGTGGTGAATTGTACCTCGATATGCATACCATGTTATCCTTCCTACTTCCGGGTTGGCTGCTATCTGGATTCTACATTTTCTGTATCACACTTGTCGTTCTCACCTCGTACATCTTGCATCAACGACTCGCTGGACATTCTCTCGCAATAGGCCGAATATCACTCCCCAAACTCGCTCTCTATGACGTAAAGTATTCTGGCGTTCTCTATGGTGGAACGTATCACTTCACGTTCACCGCCGAATCAATCTCTTTTTGTTTCCACATCCCAACACCCACATTACCCCAATGGTTTACATTCACCTCAGAGGGAATCTTTTACACCTCTGACACGAGTGATATATCCACTGATAACCTCTCGGCCACGTTATGGATCTTCCCTGTCCTCTTTCGACAAACCGCAGGCCCATGGTGTAACGTCCAAATGGACGGGCTGAAACTTCGGGTACAAAATGGAAAATCTACGCCATACTTAATCAAGAGACTCAGAGAGAACTTGGTTGGTGCCATCGTGTGTGGAGAGATCTTTAGGATGGACGACTTTGGGACCAAGGTGTCGTTCATGGGTCTTACTGAGAGTGCTGTCGAGGAAGGCGATGAGATGACCGGCCCCAAGACCAAGGTGCCGGAGGGGGAAACCGTAGACTGCATTGGTTCTCCGGAAGGTAAGCTTCAGGATGGTCCTCCACGGATGGAGAAGAACCTACCTCAGAGTTTCCTTCCGAGCGACGAGGACGAGTTGCGGATCTCTGCTTTCGTCCGAGGATTACACCTTTACAATACCGAAGGCCACGTATACACCTTTGGTTCCGTCGATGCTCAATTCCGGAGGAACTGGACTGCAGATCGAGGGTCTTTCGTAATGATTGCCAAAGAGTGTCGTTGGATAAGAGTTCATTGGCCATATCAAAGAATAAAGGTCATTCCTAGTTGGATGTGAGTAGATCTAGAGTTGTTTAATCGACCGTAGTCCTGACGTGTGTCTTGGCTGCCAGGCAACTTTTATCAGCAGTCGTTCAGTTTCCCCGTGATCTAGTGCACGCTTTGCATTACCCTATGACCGCCGTCAATCTATACGTTACTGAACTCGACATCACCTTCGACGAATTCCGGGTAGGTCACGAACTTCCTGCCTGCATATGTATTCTTACAGACCTCCATCGTAGATTCGCGACGCAGAGTTAGTCACGCAGGCGATGTCCCTTCTGCAAGAGCGGATGCACCTACGTGACATACATTGGCAGGACGTATTGGCTGATGCCCTTGCAGAAGCCATACTAGGAACCTGCACATGAACCCCGAGTGAACACACGAAACATGCGGGACCGGGCTATTTATGTTAAGTATCCATGGACACTCTGCTTCAGATGGACTTTAGGAGGCGGCAGATTGTAGACTCGAGTACATAGGTAGAAATACAACGCAATTGATACACGGAACAATGAACGACATGAAAAGAATGAACAATAAATAAGTAAGAACGAAGTACCCAGTACTTGGAACAGAGCCTATCTCGTCCAGCCAGTGTTCCCGTCGTCCTATCCTGTCATCAAAAGAACGTTCGCGCAGTCGCAAGTGATAAAATCATACAGCATACGTCTTCGATGCCTGGATATTAGTATAGAATCAAGTTGTATCACGACGAATGATACTCACAGCTTCATACCTCAACCTCGACGGCGAAGCTCTCCCCTGTGGAACCTGCCAAGGAGGGATTGGTGATTCATTTCCTCCTCGATCCGCAGCATTAGGATCTGAGAAAGGGTTTCCTGAACCCATCATCGCCGCTCCCACGCCAGCATACCCGGACGAATCGACTTGAGAGGCATTCGACCCGCGGATGGTGGGAGAGGTGTCCATAATGGCACGCGCCCGACTCAGAGCAAATGGATCTGCAAATGGATCGTCACCAAAATCACTCGGCGAACTACCCAGCGTGTATCGATTCCCTTGCGCCCCTTCCATACGCTGTAACGTTAGCCTTTTGGTTTCGACCATCAGTTTCGGACTAATGTTCGTCTGGCTATAGTTGGATGTCTGCGAAGTGGAAGAGAGAGGACCTGCCATCCCATTTCCGTATGTGGCGTTGGGTTCTGCTATGAGAGGGGACGACATGTGATCCCTTTTAGAGGCTTTTCGAGAAGGCATTTGAATCAGTAGTCTTGAACTACGCCAGCGTAATCGAGGCCAGCCGAAGGAACTAGTACGTCCACGATAGTGTCGATAGAAAAAGAGTAGCACAAGTAGTATAATGAAACCACCCAGTCCACCAAATACACCTGCAAGGATAACTGGTGTACTCGTGTGTCCACTATGCGCGATGAAGATAAGACCGGGTACAACTGCAAAAGTTGAGAACAAGCTTACTCGAGGGGAGGTGCATTTGACGCGTTCACACTTGTGCCAGCCGTACTTGTATCCACATGGGAAGTGGTCACAGAAGCGAGTGTTGTTGTCGCATCGGATGGCGTATGGATCGTCCCAAGGGAAGGAGCTGTAGATGGCGTCTGGAACACGGAGCTAGGTGAACGTGTGGGCGACAAGGTGGAGCTGCGACAGAGAATGAATTGTGAAAATACGAGGAATAATGCAGGACATACGGAAACGATAACGACGGAGATGATGCACGCGTCGTCTCAGATGGCGAGAAGGAGCTAGATCGGATTTTACTAGTGGTGTTACCTCATATAAGAAGTTTTCCAACTGACATGGAAAATAACACTTACGATGAAGTAGGCGTCGAAGAAAGCTCGCTGGATCTCGACAGTTTTGCTGTAATTGGACCAATCCTCGAAGAGCTTGATGTGCTACGGTGATCTGAGTCAAATCAGCCGCTACCAATTAATGACGACATGAACTCACGAAGAAAAGGACTGGAGGGAATTGCTAGTAGTCAAAGATCTAGTTCATCTCGAGGTCAATGAACATTAGTAGCCTGGGAGGAAGAAACACTAACGAAGAGCTCGATAACGTTTGGTCAGATCCCGTTGTGATGCTATTGACACTTTATCAACGAACTTCCGAATACGATGACAGACTACGACGGTACCTTGATACGCCAGAAGACGACACTGATGACAACGAGTCCAAAGCCGAAGATGTCGGGGGACCCGAATTCGAAGAGGTCGAACTGCTACTGCTACTTGGTGGGGGCATAGTTACATTCAGGCTTTGCACAGTAAAAGTTGCGTTTTCGGCAGGAGAGGAAGGACCACTTTCCAGAGTAGTCTGTGTAGACGTTCCAGTCAAGGAGTCCACAGATGACAAAGACGTTGATGTCGCAACGACAGGGTTTGGCAAGGGAGTGTAAGTCGGACTGGTAGAAGGGGTCGAGAAAGAGGCGATAGCACCGCTGGCGGACGGGTGAAAAGATATGGAGCCTATATATTCAAGTTGCCATTGAATATAGGACGCAGAATGCGGGCTTGGACGGAGATCACGTACCGGAAGCGGATAGAGGAGTGCTTGACGACGACGCGTTGGACAGAGAAGGTGTTGAGGAGGCGAAAGAAAGGGACTCCGAGGTCGAGGAATTTAGTGGACCCGAGTTAGCCTCATTCTCTCGGCCTTTGAGAGTACGGCCTAAGGAGGGTGCAAGGCGATGAGTCAATGAGGATAATGGAGACTTGATATGCCAAGCTTGTCAACTTTGGCACGATCAAAACGTCGCCATGTCCGAAAAACGCGCGGAGCATGACAGCCTCAATCATAACTCACCAATCCTTCTAACCTTGCGCCAGAAACGCGGATGGATGCTTGAGGGCATATGCCAGGACGAAAGTGACGGTGAAGGTATACAAAAGCCCCAGGCTCTATAACATGAGAGTAGATCATGAGGGAGTTGCGACAGTCAGAGACATCGAGCAATTGATCCGCAACTGCCTCAGAACACCATTTCGAGATGCACCATCAACATTCAACTGAGCCCCAACTCCTGGAAACGAGAGCTAGAGCTCAGTAGACTCGTGATGCTATGCCTGCTGCATCTTAGGTGGGCATTCATTCTAGAATCCAAAAGCAAACCAAGACATAGAAAGCGAGATCAACGCGAATGAAGACCTCTTTGACGATGAGCACGGCCATATAAATGGAAAACCATCAACGGCGTGTACTTTTGATAACTGACCATCCGCAGATCAGCGCCTTTCCGGCAACGCGAATGGCGCTCCCGATCTTGACGAGATCGTATCTGACGTTACGTGCAATGCCTCAGTTACCAAAGCCTGCAATACTTGCACATGCGTCTTCTGTGAAACGTCAATCTTCCACTGACGAAGCAACGACACGGGAAGTGAGGATGATCGCGGTTCTGAATACGACAAAGAAGTACATCTGTCACTGCAGATCAGCAGACACTAATGATAGTACATAGTCACTTATCAAGAAAAAGAACGGCAAACATATGCTTACTGAGATCCCTTTGAGGCCTCTATTTAAGGCCTTCCTTCGAGGCTTGGGCCCTTAGACTTAAGTAGGCAGCCTAGGCATCCTTGAACATATGGTTAGTCTAGTGTTCCTATTGCAATATTGCGTCCTGGCTTTCATATTAGAATGATTCGTGTACTAACGACAAACGAAGAGGACACCAGTGAAGCGTGAACGGTGAGATGCAAGGTGCTGGCAGTCGACCGGCGGGACCGGTCCGGATATCCTCGTGGCGTTCATCTCCAACCGTTCCAGTGCAATATTAACCAAGTCCGATCCTTCTCTTTCCTTCTTCCACTACGCACATATTTATAAGGGTTATATGAATACATCGTACGTCCACATTCTGGTTATCGAAGTTCAACAAAAACGCTATGACTTAGGGGAGCAGTGTTCGGGCGAAATAGGCAGATCCAACAAATGTTACGCGTTTTGCTTTTGCTTCACATTTCTCTGCGACGCATCAAGGGTATACAAGTTGCGTGTATACCCTGCTTACTCTTTGACGGAGTCCGGTCGGCCATATGGCAGAATTGTTTATCCTGGAAGCCTCTCTATTGCGACCTTTGCGGCATTCGCAGCACCAAGTCAGCCCCGCACGGTCGCTTTGAGGGCTTCGAATCTGCTTCTAGCCGTTCTCAAGACGCGGAAACCTACTTTGACCAAAGTCATGAAGCCAACTATCCGGTTGAATTTCCGCGATATGACAATGACCCTGCACACTCTCACCACCGTGTCCAGGTACGTCCTCATCAGGACTGCAATCAGGAATAGGGTGAAACTTGTCTTCTTTGGCTCCAACGAACAACACAACTACCTGACATCTCTACAAATTCTCATTCCCCTCTACATCCACCCGTATACCCTATCTTGTGACCTTCTGCTTTGTTGCCAGACGCTGAATTCATGCCGATACCGAACATGCCGGACACGTTCAGGGACCGTCATTTATCCTGAGGAAGCTCGTTGTAGAAGTCCACCAAACTCCCTACCGACCGGTCGAATCGCGGAAGACACCCCTGGCCGTTGCCAATGACGGAGCACCTGGGGGTCTTCGCAACATATATCAGTCCGTGCTCACGGTGTACTTCTGCATGCACGAAGTCCTCCTTCCGCTTGACTCGGAACCTTTGTCACAAGGCTCTATCTGACCAACTTCCCATGGAGTTCGTGGAATCGTCTCGCTGTCTTACTTTTAGCAAGGGTTTAAGCGAATTCTCACTAGGAGGCCTTTGAATTTGTTTGTTTTGTCCCTGGAGAAGCTGTCAAACTGTATGGCCGCTATTCAATCTAGAGACCGGACATGATGCTATCGCTCGGCGTTTGCCCACTGATTCCCTGTTGTGCATCGTAGTTCAGGGGATCAGGTACGCTCCGAGTTGTGAGCAGAATAGCGTCTAGCTTGACGCTTAGCTTGCCGAATGGGTAGTATTGCATGCATGCAACATTGCGACTACCACTTGATGCCGGTGAAGGCTTTCACAATCCGAACCAGCGGAGATAAGAGCGCGACAATGATCGCTTTACTAGTGGTGTGATTTCGATGTGGATGAAAGGCAAGTGCGATTAGTCCCATTAATCCTAGGGCGATGTCGTCATGTAATCCGGATACTTGGATCAGTCTACTTCCGTTCTTTAGCTCGGTCTGGAGTGTTGTATTCTGGTTCCACAGACGATACTCGGATGTGACCTGTCGCCAATTGATTAGCTCCTTCTAGCTGGTGCTGGCCACACGCCACGGCCAAGTCAAGCGGTTTGGTTTGGAATCCGAACTGCAGTCGACACGTACTGTACCACGAAGTCGCTTGTCGGATGTGAATGATGATTGGATGCTGGAACCTATGGAGCGGCGGCATCCCTGCACAAGCCCCAGCATGTGCCCCGTTTGCCTTTACCGTGAACGATGCCCTACGCCCATGCCCTATTGTCTTCTACATAGAAAAGGGACACGGACTATCGCCCCTGGGGTTGGCTTTGTGCATAGTTAGGCCTTCTTTAGGCCCATGACCTTATGGGCCTGCCAACGACACCCACACCTGCCAAGTACGCCTCCGGAGTGCTCGCACCGGTTTGAATAAACGATACCTCTTGTTTACTTGTGTCATACCTCCGGAGGGAAGCCCTTCTATGTTTTACGAAAACTCCGATATGTTTAACTCGCGCTGTACCTGAGGATACGTCCGAGAGAATTAATTCGCGTAGCGAAAGGGATCCGGACGGTCGGATGATTGCTCTTTGATCGAAAGCACAAGTACTGGGGGATTGGCGGGCAGACCTTTGAACCGACCCTGAGAATACCATTTCTAGCCGTAGACGCCGTGTATCCGCCTAATGCGGATCGTCCATGTTACGTTTGGAATTTTCCAATGGCAAGCTCGCTAGGCTCCTTTTCGCCGTACATGTTAGTCCTGCGAATGTTATATCCGTACTTTTGCTGCTCGTATTGTCGAACGACGAGCTCGTTTTCTCCTCCATAACTTCAATACGGTCCGTGCGTCAGAAAACTCACCGCCCTCGGGGTGCTGCACCGGCGTGAACAGCATAGCTCCGAGAAGCCATACATTCTGCGAAGCGGCTCGGAGACAGACACAATCTGTTGCTTCTCTCGGTATTTAGTTTCTACCTTCTGAATCACCGTTCCTCGAATTGACTGAGTTCTCACACCTTTGCTTTTCGTAAAGAGTAGGACTACCAGACGCCCGACGCCCGTCTTGGTTCATCTCATTACCAACCTTCTATCTCTCGTCCTGGGACTCTCCTGCTGTACACAATGAACAGTCAGTCGGCTCAGTTAGCACCGCCAGGTCGCCGACGCTCCATTTCGGACCCTCTGTCTGCTGCACTTCTGCCTCCGCCGAATGAGTCTCCAGAAGATCGCGAGAAAAGACTCAAAGCGGAAGCAGAGGCCAAGAAACGTAGCGATAACATCGACAGAATGCTGCGCGAAGGGGAGCGCCAGAACCGCAGAAAGAAGGTCGTCAAAGTCCTACTTCTTGGTCAAAGTGAAAGCGGAAAATCCACAACGCTGAAACGTAAGTCAAAACCAGATCTCTGTTGCTATCGGTAAAGATTTCCATCGCGCTGTGTACTCGTCTTCCCAATACCGGACACTTCGGATGGCCTAAATGACCGTTATGATACGTTCTATCTTTATTTGATAGCCACCCCGACCTCTTCGGCCTCCATTGCAATTAGTCCCGCCTGAGAACGAAAGATTTTATCTCCAAAATGTGGATACGGTCTTCCTTCGTTCTTTCGTGAAAGCTTTGCTGCGCTTTGTAAACGTCTTTCCTCTTTATTCTCTCGCTTCTCGACGGTCATATTTCGGCTAACTGAGGTAGCACCTCGTTCTGGGCAATGATCTATGTGTTGCTGAGTTGTCTGGCACTCTCCAGCCCTGGTAGTGTGCAGGACATCAGCGATGCCCTACACTGCCCAACGCTTTTCCGTCCGACTCGCACATTTGTCGTGACTGTCATGATTCAAGTTATATACTGCTTTCCACCTTCCTTTCACCTTTTGTCCTTCTTGATACATCGGCGTCTTCTCAATTCCTGCCTCAATCTCGACTGTGCGACTTGGTGCTGATGCCCACAATCTTGTAGAGTTCCAGTTACTTCACGCGCCCGCTGCCTTCCACGCAGAGAGGATAGCATGGAGATTCGTGATATATCTCAATCTGTTGCAATCCGTCCGCCGGTAAATCTCACGGCTTCACTCGATCTCAACGTGAGCTGAATTCTCTCCTAGGATCCTCGAGGCGATTTCTCCGGAAGCTGATGCGTTGGCAAACGGACTGGATGACCTCGACGAGGATGACACTGGCTCGACGACATCGATCATCATAAGTGCACCTAGCGGGTCCTCGTCGTCCTACGGAACCCAAGTACCCAACTACGAGAGCTACCGTAGACGCCTATCGCCACTAGTCGACTTGGAACTCAGACTAATCCAGCAACTATCCGACCCTGACGATAATGACGGATTTGAGGCTACTCATCTTCCTTGGAGCCATCAACAACAACCATGGAGTCCAGGTGGAGAGATTTCCCCAATGTCGATGAACTTCTACGGCTCTGGACAACCAATACCCAAGATCAATATACCCTCCGGCTCACGCTCCTCACCCGCCTCGCCGACCTCACTCGCTTCGATGTCCAGTCATCAAGAGCTGGCTGTGCCAACAACGTTCAACTGGAAGAAAGCCTTCGCCCTCGGGAAGATCCAGAGTCCAAAGAACGCACATTCCGGCGAATTACAAGGATGGTGGGAGGACCCAGATGATCCTGTACATGTGCTGTATCGATGTGCTCCTGCTATAACCGAGCTTTGGCGAGACCCGAAAGTGAAGCAAAAGCTTGTGGAGAAGAGGCTTCGATTGGAGGAGAGTAGTGGATTGTGAGTATTATCGATTTCTCCTGAACCTTCTGATCGCGTTTCTGCTCTGTATCAAGAATGTTTTCGTTGACGGTGGTTTGTGTGTGTCAGTTATCTAGACGAGATCGATCGGATTACTGCCAAGATGTATTTCCCGACGGACGGTGAGTGCTAAAGTAAGGTTCTTCCATATGGGCCTACTCTAATTCACTATATGACCTGCAGATGATGTATTGAAAGCACGGTTGAAGACGACTGGCGTCGTTGAACATACTTTCAATATGCCCAAGAACAGCGAGTTCCGCGGCGTCGAGTGGAAGATATACGACGTAGGAGGGTCGAGACCTCAGAGACACGCGTGGGCGCCATATTTCGACGATGGTTCGTACTTTCTCTACGAACCTCTCGCTTAAGAGTAATGACAGATTGATCGGGCTCTCAGTCAATGCTATCATTTTCCTTGCTCCGATCAGCGCTTTCGACCAAGTTCTTGCAGAGGTGCGTGATCATGGTCGCAGATTTGGACTGCGCCGTTGAACCTGTGCTGTTACCAGGATTCTTCAGTCAATCGCCTCGAAGACTCCATGCTTCTTTGGAAGTCCGTTGTTTCGAACCGCCTTCTGGAAAATGTCAACATAATTCTATTCCTAAACAAATGTGATTTATTGAAGGTAGCCAACTCTTGTTCATAGTTAAGACCAAAATTGACAGATAGACTTTGCTAGACAAAATTGGAGAGTGGAGTGCGACTATCCCATCACTTACCCGCTTACTCAAATCGTCCCAACGACTACGAATCCGTATCCAAATGTAAGTTGCTCCCTATGAAGATTGTTCGGCTCTTATGTTCACACACGCTGTAGATTTCCGCAACAAGTTTGGTGCCGTTCACCAGTCCTATACCCCAAACAGGGGGAGAGAACTCTACAGCAAGTACCCGTCTTTCTGCTGACAGTTCAATTCGCTGATCTATCATTCTAGTTCACCTGACCTCTGTTACTGACACTCGGCGTACACGAGTGATCATTTATAATGGTGAGCGTCCCGATTTCATTCGTATAGTTGATATCCTTACCCGTTCGCATGCACAGTTCGTGATATGATTCTTACTGGGAACCTGAAGTCGTCATCCTTGATGTGAAGACCTTGTCCGATACACGCCTAAACACACTGTCCGCTATATCTCTCTGGTTGTTCCTTTATGCTTTCGTTCTCTAGTACGTTATAACTCGTCTCTTGTTGATTAATGCTTTGGGATCCTCTTGCTTTCCATGCTCTTCACCATACTGTACTCCTTTACGCTATAAATCCACTTCGACCTGAAGAAAGCTGATGTACTCTTGTTCTTGTTAATCTTGTGATCCGCTTCCCTTCATACTGTAGCCTTGCTTACCTGTATTTGAGGTATCCTGCGGCATTTCTTTCGACTTCCCGTCCCGCACGGAGTTCCGAATGGTGCTGAACTTGAACGATGGCCTTGACAATATTAGTATCTTTGAACCCACCCGCTTTCACGACCAACAAGCACAGCTTGAATATACTATTGACGTTTCAACACTCTCGCTAAGCATCTTAGTAAAGATCGATATATCGGGCCGACACGATCTATTTACCTTACTTTCTATAAGAACTCTAATGCTCTCCTTCAGGTCACGAATTCTTCTCCGACCTTTGCTTGCTACTGCACATCCTAGCTCGCCATCCCACACTACAAAATCAGTTTCATCTCTCCTTCAGACTCGACGCAACATGTCCTCGACCAACACTCACCCTTCGCTTTCTCTCGTTTCTACCTCTAGTAATGTTATTCCTGCTGATGGAGTCATACCTGTGCCCGACTAAACTTTGATTGTGGAATCATAGATGCGCCTGCGGCTGTGGGTCCATACACCCAAGCTATAAAGCTCGGCGACCTCCTGTTCCTGTCAGGCTCGCTTGGAATCGATCCCGCTGTTGGCAAGCTCGTAAGTTCCCGATCACTCTGCCCTGCAATGCATCTTCTGAGATCATATCCACAGGTGGATGGCGGTGTTGAAGCTCAAGCTGAACAGGCACTTAAGAACTTGAAGGCTGTGTTGGAGGCGGGTGGGAGTGAATTGGGCAAAGTCGTTAAGACCACTGTGTGTCATCGTCCTATGTTCATTCTATTTGAATGCAATACTCAAATTATATCATTTCTCCTCCAGGTCTTCTTGGCTTCGATGGATGACTTTGTCCCTGTGAACACAATCTACGCGAAGTTCTTTGGTAACCATAAGCCAGCCCGATCTGCTGTCCAAGTTGCACGCCTCCCTCTGAATGCCTTGTTCGAGATAGAATGTATTGCTAGGTATGTTTCTCGTATGTTGTTTGTGATATTGCTGTTCTAACGTACGTCCGAAGTCTCAAGGACTAGTGTCTTCTTGATTGGCGGTTATAAAACTTAGGGTCAAGATATATCAGCAATGTATATACCACAGTGTACAACACGATTCCGGGTACCATGTACAGGCTGCCTGCAGGTCATGTACTGAAATGCTACAATGAAGTTTCGAATAACATTTGCAACTGTCGCGAGTTCTTCCGATTGTCTGTAACTAACCTTGGGTAGTCTCTAAGACCTAGTATAGGGTTAGGTGTAGTCTGAGAAGTTCCCACGCTCATAATGATCGAAGAACGCGACGCGCGTCCGAAAGCACACACGCCAGCCATTTACTTCCTTCATCTCACTTGTCTTCTACCTCACCAGTTTATTCACAATGTTCTTGACGCGTTCGGAATATGGTTTGTTGTGAAGTTGCACTGAGCCATGGAACCATAGCGTCTGACGAAGTCATCTAGATCGAGGTGTCAACACCTTCTCGCCTGAAGGACGTTTGTTCCAAGGTATGAATACCTGCCGACCTACGTAGTGTCGCTAATTGAGGACGCTCCAAACAGTCGAGTATGCCATCGAAGCTATCAAGGTTTGTAGTTGTTTATGCTGCTCAGATAATCAGGCTTGACTTGACGTTAATATAGCTAGGTTCAACAACAGTCGGTGTCTCCACAACAGAAGGTGTCGTTCTTGGAGTCGAGAAACGTGTACAATCGCCGCTCCTTGAATCATCCTCAATTGAGAAGATCATGGAAATTGACAAGCACCTCGGATGCGCCATGAGCGGACTGATCGCTGATGCGCGTACTATGATCGACCATGCCCGAGTAACATCTCAGAACCACGCGTTCACGTATGACGAGAGGATCAAGGTCGAGAGTGTTACTCAGGCGGTTTGTGATTTAGCTTTGAGGTTCGGTGAGAGTGTTCATGATGAAGAAGCGATGATGAGTCGACCATTTGGTGTCGCTTTGCTCATTGCTGGCGTGGACGAGAAGGGACCTCAACTGTGAGTGCTCTATTCCGCTTACATTGCTTTAATATGTTTACAACATATTTATGCTTTAGGTTCCACACTGATCCCTCAGGAACATTTGTGCGATATGACGCGAAAGCGGTAGGGTCGGGTTCAGAGGCTGCGCAGAGTGAGCTGCAAGACAAGTGGCATAAGGTCCGTTGTTCTGGCGTGTTAATCCACTCCAAACACTTAAAAGTCATGTCTTGTAAAGCAAATGACGCTAAAGGAGGCTAATATCCTAACACTTCGAGTACTGAAACAAGTGATGGAGGAGAAACTGGACCACCACAACGTCCAGCTTGCTCAGGCATGTGTTCCACTTTCAAATTTATTCTGCGAGTTGGTCTGGCTCACTTCGGATGCCTTTAATGCAGGTCACAGCTGATAAAGGTTTCGAGATCCTAGATGAAGTTAGACTAAAGGCTCTCATTGACGACATGTAGTGGACTTCATTAGCTGTACTTCCGATTGTATTCGCACTCGCTCTCCCTATACCAGCTTCATTGCTGTTTGCTGTTTGTGTGACAATCATTCGGTGTTTCGCACCGCGGTCGCAGATCTCACCTTGTATAGCTGATGACGGTACTTGATGATAACAAACGTTTCTTGTCTTCATGCAGCCTACTGCATTCAGCTGCCTGTCATCTTTTCGCTTTATAACATCATGCACGTTGGACTCCAATCCAATCAGTACCCTAGAACGTGTAATCGCTACCCCGGTTGACTCAGCGAATTCCATATAACATAGGATCACTCATACGATGTGGACTGACTCTAGTACTGATCCTTGACTGACCTTTTGCTCGACCTCTGTGATGGCATCTACAATCGAACTCGCACCTGCAGATTTGCAAGAAATCCTTTTATTCTCTGTCACCCTCGCACGATCTGCAGGCGAGCTCATCCTCCAAGGTTCTGAGGCTATTCTGTCTTCGGGGAATGTTGACGAGAAGAAAAACTCTGTCGATCTTGTTACTGAGTACGATGTCAGAGTGGAAGAACTTGTCAAGGGCGAGCTAAGCAAGAAGTATCCTGCCTTCAAGTTGTAGGTGTTTAGTTTGTCTTTGAAAGTCTGTCGGCCTGTGGTGCTCATACATTGGGATCACATTCAGTATAGGAGAGGAATCCTACGCAGCTGGGGCTAGGCCGCCGCTAACCGACGAGCCAACCTTCTGCGTGGACCCCATTGGTCCGTCTTCGAATACTAAAGTGCTGCTTTCATACGTGGATTTGACATGATATGCAACAGATGGAACGACGAACTTCGTTCATGGCTTCCCGCTCGTCTGCATTTCTCTCGGGCTGATCTACAAGAAGTCCCCAGTCTTGGGAGTGATCTATAACCCCTTCCTCGACCAACTGTACACTGGAGTGAAGGGACAGGGAGCATACCTTACCCGACGGAAGGATGCAACACCTGTTAAGCTTCCCCTAGCCAAGCCGAAGCCTCTTGAATCACTTTCAAAAGCTCTTCTTGGTCCGTCTCATCAGGTTCACATGAAGCCACGTAGCTAAGGGACCATGCTTGTAGGAATTGAATGGGGTTCTGATCGTTGTGCTGCTTTGATCAATAAGAAGGGGGAGTCCTTCAAGCGTTTGGCGGGGAACCCTAACGAGGGCGTGCAAGGAGGCAGGATGGCACATTCGTTGCGTTCTCTCGGAAGTGCCGCTCTCAACTACGCCATGGTGGCTCAGGGAGGTTTAGACTTGTATTGGTGAGTGCCATGACGTGTTCTTCGATGCTATGCATCAGTCTTACTGAGATGTTTCATTCAGGGAAATAGGTTGCTGGTACGCCGGATCGACTGACTTCATGTCACGCTAGCTGAGCAAGCCTTATGTTTGTGTCTGTAGGCCCTGGGATATCTGTGCGGGCACGATCATTGCCCAAGAAGCCGGATGCCTTGTTGCCGGCTCTCGAACTTCTCCTCTTGACAACAATATCACAGACACCGTTTTGACAGGAAGGAAGTATATTGTCATTCGCGCAATTGGAGATTCTCAGGTATGCTTTTATGTTCGCTTTGTGGATTTGTGTATCCTATCATTTCTTTTTGTCCGCAGACCGAGAAAGGTGTCGATGCGCAGAAGAGACTCATCCAGGACTTCTATGCTACCGTAGAGGACTTCGAGCCAGTTTGAACGCAACTAATGAGAAGGTGCGCATTTCTCCGATCTTATTTTTTTTGCGTCTGCCTCAACAAGGGACTTGTTTCAGAGTATGTTATTGTACCCAAGGTTAACACTATCAATAAAGTAATGCCACCAGGCAATCTATTTGCTCGAATGAACTAAGTATCTCTAGGCTGCTCATCACGTCTCTTCTGCCACAGTTTCGCGCTTAAAGGGCGCAATCCTTTGATGGCTGCGATCCCGCTAACTATTAAAGCTGTCAGACCGAGTCCATTGCCCCATTCGTTCGTTCTTGTCCCTCCACCGAAGCGTTGTCCCGCCCACAAAGCAACCAAGTCGTAGGCAAGTATGGACCCGAACAAAGGCGTAGACACCGCAGCGGCGATGGGGAACAACCCGTAGGTGAGCGCTTGTACGATAGTCGAGGGGGTAGCGCGATATTGCTATACATACGAGTCAGGTCCACTGCTGATCCATAGACTCGATGACTTACCAAGGCGACACCTCCGTTGTCAATGAAATCAAGGACGCCAATACCAGCGAAGGTATTTGCTACCAAGTTCGTAATATGCAACAACGCTGGGCTCGACCTTGTAACAGGAGGAAGACGAGCTACTGCATATAGCTGGGCGAAGGTGTTGATCGTGACAAAAACCTGGGAAGTGATGAAATCCTCCTGCAGCCAGAAATACAACCATCCCGCTGTGGTTACGTTCGGTCAGCCATGGTCCACGGGGCTCATTCCTGAAGGTCCGAAAGCTTACCAATGCACAAGTTACCCAAGGCGAAGATAGGGACATAGTTCACAGTAGCGTCGATCGCCGCTTGGTCGTCCAACACCTTGTCATCATTTCTAAGCGCAGTCGATTCGCTGGCTGGTCCAGTGGTTAACGGTTTGTAGCCATTCGGCGGTAATAGAAAAAGCTGACGGATCCAATACAGTTGCAGGACTGCTTGGCCGGAGAAGAAAGCTGCTATGAACCAAGGGTTGGGAGAGAAGGCGAAGTGATTCTATATAGGGAACAATATATATCAGCAACACTGGCAACTCGAAATTCTTCAGGAGACGACTCACTGCATCAGCCACTTCCTTCATATTTGGGCTCGTGAGCATCCCGTACGTTTGAGTCGCGAAGTTCACCAGGAAGGAACTAAGGGCCAGGGAACGTGCCTTGGAGATGTCGTTGCCCATTTTGTGGTTAACGCGAAGGTGTGCTTGTGAGAGGGGAGGGGGAAAAGATACCAAACGCGTAAGCAAGCCATTCCTCGACGAGTTTATATATCCAGAAATGCATCCGTGGAGGATGATATCATCCGCCACCTACGATCGTCGCCCACAACGCCGACCGATCGACCGATCCCAAATGAGACTACCGTGTTTGCAAGTTCATCTTCAAAGCTTCAAAGCTTCAAGGTTCGATGATCCAAGCGTCAATTGTGACACATCGTTGGGTATTTTATTGTAAGCTATTGAACTGTTACTACTAATATATTTGAGTTTAATGTTACACTCATATAATCGATGCAGCGAGACATAGCGGCTACATCCACGCAACCAATGCAGCTATGTATAACGGTGACAAAAGAGTGGATGATGGTAGCAGGATTGTGCAGATCTAGGTTGTAAGATGATATCCAATTGTACATGTGCGCCATACGCAGTTTAATGATAACCCAGAGAAAAAAAAGAGATCTCAATAGTAATGCAGAAACGTTCCAGGTAGCAAGTTCACCGAAAAAAAATTAGTAAGTTTCAAAAAATAGAAGCACGAAATAGACGAGAACTGGAAAGAGTCGTATCGTTACGCCTGTGCCTATGGCACGGCTGTCGTGAATAGCAGGAAAGACGGTGATGACGGCCACCACGGAGAGGAATTGGTGAAGTTGAGGTGATGCTTCAGCATCATCTCCAACTAGACTCAAGAAGCGATAGCCGTTTATGGACATCGACCATGGTAGGACGGTCCTCAGGAAGGTGCGCCCAGCAAGTATTGACGATCTTCCACACTGCGTCATCCATCTTCACGCCCTGAGGTGTTGAGGGCTGTTCTGGCCTTTGCTGATTGCAAGTCATGTCAGAAACTTGGCCGTCGGTCGGTTTGCGGAGAGGCTCCTTAGAGGTGTAAACCTGCAACTACAATTAGCGGTCCGCGTTTATACGCGATTGCATCAAAATGGACTACCTCCACGCAAACGCAGGCAAAAGCATACACATCGACTGCAAAAGTGAGACGATTCAGAGCCTGGAGACCGGATGCCGCAGAGTTTAGAATCTCCGGTGCATGTCGACGCGAAGTCGTTTTACTGTGGGTGACGCCAAAGTTATCGCTACCGCCGTCAGAATAGACGGCGAGGCCGAAGTCTGCAACCTGGGCGATACCATTCTCATTGACCAACACATTGTTCTATGGTGTTTCATGAAGCGTTCAGAGAGTGGTGGAAAAAGAAACGTGTATGCACTCACGGGACACAGATCCCCATGCACTATACCCTGGGTGTGAAGGTAAGCAAGACCTCCGGCAATCTGGAGGATCTGCAACCAGAGATGTTGAAGGTGAGAACAGGAATTGACTTGATTACTGATCAATATCTCACCCATCTGTTCATCTGGGATGCAGATGCAGGGGTGCCGTTGTCTTGAAGGTCCCCCATGTGTTTCTTAAGGTTACCGCAGGCAGACCAGGGAGAGACCATACAGGGTCCCTCAGAAAACAGCGTCTCATTGACGCCGAGTAAAGGCACGATGTTAGGATGAGAAAGAAAACGCCATATAAGACATTCTTGCTTAAAATCCTAAACACAACTGTGAGATTCAATACTTCAGAGGCGTGACTGCAGCTAACCTGTGTCGTTTTTTGTCTGACCACATCTTTTACTTCTATCCAAGAGCGTAGGCGCTTGATGGCAACACATCGACCTTTATGAGTGCCTTTGTATATATCTGCGAAACCTCCGTTGAAAACTGGGTTGTTGCGACTTCGACATCCAACGTTGTGCAAAAACAAGGAAGCGGGAAGGACACCCGACTGCTGCGCCAGCTTGGTCATGAGTCGTCGCAAGACTCTTCGGGAGTCCTCGCCGGAGGTAGGCATCTCCTTCATCCAATAATTATCCTCGTCCAGTAGCTATAGAGTGCAGATGAGTTGGCGGTAGGATTTCGTACAACATCACGTGCACCTTTAACATGAGCACTAGCGCTCGGTGGGCATCCCCTCCTCGGAGGGTCACCACAGCATCTTGACGATCCCTCTGAATAAGGGCAACTCGTAGAAGGGATAGAATCTTGTAATCCAGCTTGTAGCTCTTCGCGCCACTGAGGTTTATCAACCCAAATGCAGCGCGGTATGTTGTGTTACCATTAGAGGTGATGCGCAAACAGTGGGTGGAAGCAAAGTCATCCGTAAATTCAAAGGAGTCACCAGCTTTTAGGTGCTCCATGACATAGTTGATGTAAGTGGGGTTGTCATGGAAGGTATTGCAGATAGTTTGAAGGGTGTCAGACAAGTCGTGTCTACCAAAGGTGAGTACATGTACCGTTCCGAGCCACGACAAAGGAACTCACCCGCAATCCTTGTAAAGTCCCACCAATGCTGATAGTATGCGCTCTCCCCCAAGACCGAAAATACGATACATGTAATGAGAACTCAGAGGAAACTTGCCCGCCACATCAAGGTCTTGTTTCAACCGGATGAGAAACGACATGCTGTGGAATCGCAAGTGTCGTGAGGGAGGGAAAGGGATACTCAATTCTCTACGCAAGGAAAGGATACAGACACAGAGAAAGAAAAGAAATAAAATGAAGAAAAATAGACGACTGAGGGGGGTCAGAGGGAGGAAGCTTCAATGTGAAGGTCTGTAAAGAGACGAAGCATTGGGCGCTCCTTGCAGATGCTAATACTTCAATATTGAAAGCCATTATGCAACTTATGTAATTTTCCCATGATCCTATGTTCAGACAGTGGCTGGCTTCTTGTACTAAGTTATAGACTGGGCAACATGTACAAGCAACAAACTAGAGTGGGATGTAGCATGGCCCTGACTTTGGAATATTGTCAAATATACCACTGCGCAGTCAGTACAAAAAGAACAGTCTATGCAAGCTGTTAGTCTATTTCATGCTTGCTTTTAAGCGTTCGATTTTCGTATGATATTAGTTACCCGAAAGCGAACGTTTAAACTGTTACAATCGAAACCCAGCGGTGGTACGTTCTTGAGGTTTTGATGTCTTGATGCATATGTGAAATCTAGGTACTCTTAGAAAATTCAGCTAGCTTGAGCTGACTGACAAGAGAAGAAGCGATGCTGGTGAACAATGTTTATCGACGAACTACCATACATAACCACCTCTGGCGCTAAATCAACTTATACTACGAATACGCTTGCCTTCGGAAAAAGAACAAGCGCTACAGAGCATAAGGGCTCCTCGCACGATTACATCTTGTGTCCGATTGTCGAAATATAGGTACAGCTGCTATCGAATATTATCGAATCAAGTCCTTGATCCACACATAAGAGACATACTAAAGAGACAATCATGGCGAAATAAACATCAGCGAGAACGTGAACGAGTATCTACTGCAATCAACTTCAAACGGTCAACGACTTCAGATATACTGGGTCTTTGACTAGCGGAAGCATGCCAACAGGATTCTAATAATCTCCACAGGGGGTCGCCCATGGGCTGTCCAGATCCATTCGTAGGCCTCTCCGGTCTGTCCCCGCGCAAAACCATCCGCTCAACATGTAAATCGCTATGGCCTGAGAATGGACACTCGCGTGTGTACATCTGCATATAAGAGTCAGAAGGTTTCCGTACGTCCCGTACGACACAACCATACCTCGATGGTGAGACAAGCCAATGAATAGATATCGCTTGCATAAGTAGGACAGTCCTTCTTAGTTGGAGGCGGATACAGCAATTCAGGAGCCACCCAACGTGCGGTCTCAAAGCGGACATATTCGCCACCGTACTTTGCATGGAAGATGGATAACCCGAAATCACTCAGCATGGCCCTTCCGTCATCGGATATCAGGACATTGACCTACAATAGGCGACTATTAGTAAAGCCTGACACACTCTGAACTGCACTTACACCTCTCAGGTCGCCATGTACGATCTTCGATTGATGAAGGTAATCAAGTCCCGACGTGATATCCATCAACTGCAAAGATACAGGCGAAGTCTGTCAACTACAGTGGCCGTAAGAAAAAGAAGGTACGACAGACCCATCCAATTAGTTGAGCTCCGGAAGGCCCATTCTGCATAGACTCCATGTAACGCATGATGTTTCCATTTTCCTGCCAGGGAGAGATGATGGTTGGCAAAGTGTAGGAAATGGTGAAGTCCAAGCCCAAGACCGGGACGATATTAGGATGTCGTAACTGCGACCAAATGAATGCTTCACGCGCCAGTGTCTGAGGTGAGGTGAGGTTAACTAAGCAGCATAGATGGGATTTATACGTACCCTGTTGCAGTTCATATGTCTCGCATCACTTAGGGCTGGAATGTAGCGCAACCTCTTCAGTGCGACTTTCCGCCCGCTGTATCTCGCTGTAAACACGTCTGAGAAATCTCCAACGCGTTGGGGAAGGTCGTTGTCTCTTTTCACCGGTAAGAACAGCGATGGATACTGAGGTTCGAGTTCTTGTTGTAAAATCATCATGGGAGTTAGACTCGGAGGCTGAGGTGCCAGTCCGAGTGCCCGTAGTAAAGTCTTCATGGGAGTTGGAGAGAAAGGTCGTTCGTCCTGGCCACTCTTCTTCAACGAGCACAAGACGCATTTATGCTCATGACAAAGCTTCACGTGTAAAATTAAAAAAACCTTTGTCAAAAATTATTCCAAGTCCGGAAGCACAAAAGCCGTACCTGCTGCAAGACTTTTGGTAGTCGATGCTTTGACCTGTGCGGTTTTGACGTCCGAGAACATCGACGTGCACACCACCCGCCGTCCGATGCAGCTATCTCTTTCAGTCCACCGTCCGCCTTGATATCCGTGAGTGTTGAATCATCGCTAAGATCCACAGGAGTGGATTTGCGAATATTAGATACGCATGGTAGGTAGTTTATACAGCGCATTAGATTGAACATCGTAAAGGATATCCGCTAAGGGCAGGGGAGAGCGATGGTAGTGTGATTGATATCGCAATCTTTGTTTCTCAGGGCTGTGTACAATGGCAGCCGTACAGACGCCGCACAAGAATGGAAGTCCTATAATCGGCGATCTGTGCATCAGAAAGGACCAGAATTCAGGCCAGCTCATTGTCCATGAGACTACTATTAATTTGCGTATGTTCAGCGTGAGGTGCTCTCCGAATCCATAGGTCGCGTCAATGGCAGGACTTACAGGTGAGAAACTTCCGATCCGTAGCGCTACGCAAGAAGAGGCTACGTAAGTACAGTACATTAGCCTCGCACTAGTATCCAAGTCCGACTATAGTTTGTGCTGTATGTGCCATGATGGACGGAAGAAAAGAAGGTGCCCAACCAAAGCCTAATCTCCGAAGTCTTAGGAGCCGCCGTCTAATCTAATGTTGCACAATGATGACATTCAAACTCCGAGTCCAACTCTCTGCACTGCGTCGACTTCAGTACTCTGCGGAACTTGTTCTATGAGAATAGCTTGTATAAAACCCCTCGACCGCTTTCTTGCGACGATTCACGCAAAATACAGCACAACTGGTCACCCCTAAATGGTCTGAAATCCTTTGCAGTACGAATACCATTAAGGTCCGAGTCGGTGGCTCAAAGCTGTCTGGAACTCACATGAACGAAGGCGTGATTCTAGGGCTCCGAATTGCTTGGCTGGAACTTGATTGAACTTATTTCCTCCTCCACAAGTTTAGTGACTCGGAAAGAAATGCAGCGTGTAACACGAGTGAGGTTATTGTCTTGAACTTCGAGACGGCAGGTCTTTTCCCTTGGCTACACGTGTACAAGGTGCGCCATACGGGCGTTTCACTGTGTGAATATAGAAATTACTGACATATTCTTACTACGTTGGCATCGATAGCGCGTAAGCTTAGAATCCCATTCGAGTTGTGACAGATTTCATGTATAATCAGACGCTGCAGTGCGATACCGGGTCATTTTAGGAGTTTCTTGCTCGCTATAAATCATTGAAGGCGGTAGGTTGCAAACTGATCTCGTCTACGTTCTCATTCAAACTCTAGCCCTTTTGACGTTCTCTCCGCATGCCACTTTTGAAACCAGATGTCGGTATGTGAATAATCCCACTCAATGTCATTGAGAGCTTGCAAATAAATACCGCCCTTTGTATAGCGCAAAGTACTGTGGCGCGCGGTATCATCTCCCTTCAAGAGCAAGAAGATTGGCATCGATGGCGAAACTCGCACTGACGATACAGACAAAATTGAGGTGATCATCCGTGAAGCCTTGGAGGCTAGAGATGGGAGGGCTTTAAACTCGCATAACCCCAATGACATATCTAATGATCCGTCCACGGGAGCGACAGAGAATGACAGTGCATTGCTGCAACTCAGAGAGGATAGAGCTCAGTATGCCATTGATTGTATGGATAAGGTACGATCAAGCCTTTTCTTTCACTTGTCTTCCCATTCACTTACTGCTGCAAAGCTTCACGATGACGACGCTTATTGGATAGCATTTACGGAAGGGACTTCCCTCAAGAGCAACAATCGTCGCGACCTGAGGCCACTACTTGTCAAGCTTTGCCAGCGATCCAACAGGTATCCCGCTGCGTTCCAGATTAGGACTACAAACGTCAATCGCACGAAACGCTGCGGAGGGGCATTCTCCGATGTATTCAACGGTTCCATCATGATAGATCGTCGCAAGATGAACGTCGCTTTGAAACGCGTGCGATGGCCAAGCGAGTTAGGCAGGAGGCAACTCGAAAGCCTGCAGAAGGTACTAGACATGGCTTTTGTGACTTTCTGTTGTTCTCGCTGACCACTTTCCCCACAGAAATTCATATTGGAAGCTTTGATCTGGAGTAAACTGCATCACGATAATATCGTCCCTCTTCTGGGCATCGATGAACGTCAGTTTCAGAATTTACCCTGTATTGTCTTACCTTGGTATGAATTCGGGAGTCTCTGCACGTATTGGGAACACTATTCAGGAGAAGTAACCACAAAACGTTCATATTCTTGGGTTTGTATCATTCTGTCTGCCGCCCGACTCTTATTCTGAGTTTTCGACTTTGCGTAGATGTGCGATGTCGCTTCGGGGCTTGCTTATCTTCACGAGGAGGGCGTTATCCATGGAGATGTACGCGGGGTAATTCACTTCATGGTCATGCTCCAGCGTGACGCAACTGTTCTAACACAATATCAAGGATAATATTCTCATACATAATAATGGTCGAGCTCACTTAACGGATTTCGGCTTGGCGGTGTACATGCACGAGAACAGTCACAGCTTTAATTCAAATCGCGCAGGGGCTGTTCGGTTCCTTGCGCCGGAGCAATTGGATCCAGAAGTATATGGATTCACATCTTCTCGGCCCACCGTCAACAGCGATGTCTTCTCATTTGCGTTCACTTGCATTGAGGTATGTTCTCGCTTTAACGAGTTCAGAACTCATTATGACTTTCTACAACTAGGCGTTCACTGGAGAGAAGCCGTTCCCTTCGTTGGACAAGAACACCGCACGTTCACATATTCTAGCAGGCGGCAGGCCAACTCTGCCTCTCTCGCCAGTCTCAAAGGAGCTCATGCGAGAGGACATTTGGCGTTTAGTTTGCGAATGCTGGTTAGAAATTTATCATTCTCAAGGACACGAGCGGCCAAGGATGGTGGACGTGACCTCATCCCTCAGAGAGCTCGTGTAGTGGCGTTGATCTTGATGCTGTACAAATTCTTCCAACTCGGCGCTATATGTCTAGTAACATCACCGTGCGTGTCCACCGTAGAGCCTTCTTTCCTTTCATTCCTATTGAGGTGCACATTGGCATTCTCGCTAGCCGCGGGCGTTCTCTGATAATGTATTGTTCTGAGTATGGGCAACTCATATCAGATTCATCAGATTCTATCCATGACGGACAATGCGCATTTCTACACCGTATATAGCAAGACCGAGTGTTATATCTGGTGCTCACATCCCCAATGTCGTTCGCTTAACGTTCAAACTGATTTGTGAGCGATACGCTGTAGTGGCGTCGGGAAGCCTGTGCCATGTGTGGCTCCGGTACGGCTCCTGCAGCATTATCAGATACAGGAACCTCATCGTGGTTGTCGCGTGTGATGGAAGCATGCACTAACGCTTGTAATGCAAGTGCATATATTAGAGGCTTAGTTCACGTTTTCACCCCGGCAAATCCTGCAGAGAGGACTTCTCTTCTTACCAAACTTCTATCGTGGTATGGACGATTGATCTTTCAGGGTGCATTGGTCGTTGATAATTCTACAGACCGTTAAGCGTTTAGATTATCGAAGGTTCATTGAACTTATACTGCGGAAGCGTGTATCATGAATCTCCTATGTTTATCTGACAGAGCCTCCTTCAAAAATGTTTGGGAACGAAGACAAAACCAAACGCTTAGTTTCGTTGATCCAGGAGATGCTATGCGCTCGACTAAAATTCGACGTCGACCAGCCCATCGACGAAAATCAGTCACAGCTTATGGCCAAGAGGAACGGCGATGCCCAGAAGGCCATGGATCTGATGCAAAAGGTGCGTCTTCATTCGTTCAGAATTTCTGAGAAGATCATTGATGGTACATCCTGTAGCTGTACGATGATGACAAATACTGGGCAGAAGTCATGGTCGATACTCCCAACACTTTCCGCTATCACCTGAGACCCATGATGGTCAAACTAGCACAACGATCCGGCAAGCTACCTCAGTCGCTGTATGTTGTAACCAGGGTCAAGTGGACCTCACCCGCCAAGAACGGTGGCTTCGCAGACATCTACAAAGGCACTCTGGGTTGGCTTCCTGGTGGTAGGGCAGTTGCTATCAAGCGAATACGTTGGGATCCATCTTTGAGTGATGCGACACTGCGACAAACTGAAGAGGTCTGTCCTTGCATAGTTCTGTGGAATTCGAGAGCTGATAGATGGACTGAAGCGTTTCAAATTGGAAATCCTTGTTTGGACAAAGATGCGCCATCCTAACGTCGTCCCTCTACTTGGCATAGCCAAGAATTCCCATTTACTATCTATCGTTCTGGAATGGTATCCAAACGGCAGTCTTGCGAACTATATATCTGACAATGCCGCTGAAATCGACTCAATGCAGCTATATGCTTGGGTACGTGCACCTTGTGAGTCACTCCTCGGCACGTTCTGATACAGCCTTCCTAGATAAAACACGCATCCGAAGGTCTAGCTTACTTACACAGCGAGCGCATTGTGCATGGTGATGTGCAGTGGGTGAGTCTTCACCACGAATCATTCGAAAATAAACTTATAAAGGGATGGGTCAGCCGAACATTCTGTTACATAGTTCTGGAGTCGCTCAGCTGACAGACTTTGGCTTGTCTGTTCTCGCTTATGAACATAGTCACAGTTACAATTCCGCTCGAGATGGAAGAGAGCGATTCCTGGCACCAGAGCAATTAGAGCCTCAGAAGTATGGCTTTTCTTCGTCCCGACCTACGTTCAACAGCGACGTGTTCTCGTTCTCCTTCACGTGCACTCAGGTAAGCCTAAATAATGATATCACTTCAGGCGTGCGAGAGATGACAGCAATTTGTATTTAATTTCAGATATTCTCTGGGACGAAGCCATTTGCGGAGAGCGAGGATCCCAAGAAACTGATACTCGAGGGACAGAGACCAGCTAGGCCCAATAGACTTGGCTCAGATGAACTCATGAAGGATGATCTATGGAATCTGCTTTGCAGCTGCTGGGAGGAAATACGATATGGCGACGGAAGTGCACGACCGGACATGACTGACATCGCAGCGAGAATCCCAAGCAAATAATGCTGTCATAACGTTCAAAGCATGTTTTACATATATCGGATAACAAGTATTGAAATTGAATGACAATTAGTTGTAAATAACGGCGTATATATTGTAGTGCTAAGAAGTACATGGAAGACAGTCGAGTATCTAGATCACGCTGCCGCAAACTTCTTCATCCTCGCAACTACATCAGTCATGGTCGGTCTATCACCCGCAGCTTGGCTCCAACACATCTCGACCATAGAGCACAAGTTGCTGGACATCACAGGCGAAGTAGGCATTTCCGGTCTCTCACCGCTTAGTACCTTCCTGTGGACTTGAAGCAGGTTGCACTCGCCAAAGGGTTGCTGTCCTGAGTACACCTAGAAATTACCCTTCAGCCTAAAGACATAGACGAATGAATATATCAGGCACAGTACCTCTGTGCAAACAAAGGCGAACGCAAAAACATCGCTGGCAACTGTTCGTCCAGTCTTCGAAACGCTGCTTGATGGCGGGTCAATGAGCTCCGGAGAATTCCAACGCTCATAGGCATCACTCCAAGAGTAGAAGTCCCGACAGTGATCCCTCGCGAACGTGATCAATCCGAAGTCAGTGACTTGAGCCCTCATGTCGTCAGATATTAGGATATTGGCCTGAAGATAGAGTCTCAGTGAAGCAGTCATGACAACATATAATATCTTACACCACGCAGGTCCCCATGTACGATTTTCTTGTCATGTAAATATGACATTCCACTTGCGACCTGTAGTAGCTATGCAAGAAAGTCGTTCAGACATAAGTACGTAGTAGAACGACATTGAACAGACCCATTCGTCCAATTGTGCCGTATCGGGCATACTGCCCATTCGGTTCCGAGTCTCAACAATGTTACCTTTCTCGAGCCACGGAAATATCATGGAAGGCATATTTGGATATGTAGTTACGTCGAGACTTTGAAGACGCAGAACATTCGGATGTCGCAATTGTGTCCAGACTAAAGCTTCACGGAAGAAAGCCTACAAGGCAATATTCAGTTCAACTCCTGTCTCGGATCGGGAACTAATTCTTACACGTTGGGCTTTTGGTCTTCTCACATCGGGCAGATTGAGGAAATAGCGCAAACGTTTGACAGCGACTTTTTGACCACGTATCGTACCTACGAACACATCGGATCCTACGCCAGCGCGTTGAGGAAGGTGCCCTCTGACTGTGGTGACTGAAAAGAGAGAACTGGGCGGATCCCTGCATCTGCGTGACAGGTAAAGGCCCAAGGAACAGAGCCTTGTTCTCTTTGTATCAAGATGCTTGGCTCTGGAAAATCGAGCCCATAAGGCGTCGTCGTCTAGGAGCTACACAGATATGTTCGCACGGTTCGGTTTAGTAAAAACAGTCAACGCACCTTCTGCGTGAATTGAAGAGCTCTTGCTGCTTGCTCCTCGGTGAGGTCGAGAGCCGATTCCTTGGTCTTAATATGTTTCACTATCAGCGAAAGGATCTCCAGGTCTTCGGAGATACCTTTCGACGAAGGAACTCCCCTGATATACGCCTCGATGGACTGAATGACCTTCCGGTCACAAACGTCGAGCTTTGCTTTCTCAGTTCGTGGGCCCTCAATCAGAAGTATGAGACCGATAGAGACCGCATTTTGAAAGCTGAAGTACAGCGATTTGATCTGTTCCATGCGATAAGCCATGCTACAAAAGCATAGGGGGTGGTATAAGGGCAAGTTCTGCAGATGGAAAAATGAGGTACTAGCTTACGAAAGAGTCCAACCAGTCTAACTATATAACCTTGTAACAAGTGGATCCTACGCCTCCGACGACAGAAGCACTTCGTAAACGAGGTGGGGCGTAGGGAGTAAGTGGGAAAGCTCACTACGGAACACGAATATCCAGCGCTGGCAGGCAGTGGCAGCTGATGCACGATGTTCCATTATAGCATGTTAAAGTTCCCGTCGCCTACTTATAGCCACCGAACTTAGGTACAGACGCTGATGTGAAATGTTAATGTCCTGCCCATCAACCGCATTCACAAAGACATGACTATTATGGCAAACAATGGACGTTCACCACGACTTCTTCCGAGTCCAATGTGATGCGTCAAAAGCACAGTTTTCGCGTACATACTAGTACTATAGCTGCAATGCACTTATAAGTTATAATGCAGTGGCCGGCGAAGCCGAGGTTGTTATCGGAAGTCAATCGGTTCCCAACCTGCTAGGACTTTAATGGCACATTACGAATAGAGCAACATCCATCAAACCTTACTCATCCATCTGCGCCACTATACGGTACGATTCTCTACTTTGCACCTGCAGGGGAATGAGATACACATGATGAAATCAATGTAATTCAAACACTACTATGAAATTGCTTGAAGGCTCACTGAGGCTGCTTTCTGCTTTCATCATCCTCCGCAAATACGTCTCCAAGCAATCATCTGGGGGCGGCTGTCTGGAGTAGATGATAGGCATTGGACTGCCAAGTCCCACAGCGCGTCAGGCATCTCGACGTTTTCCGGCGTGCGTGGGCGAATGGGAACTATGTTGCCACTGATGACCAAGCTTCTTCTCGCCATTTTGGACATGTAATGGAATGGCGGTGCTCTATTGTATAACTGAAAGTGGCTGAGCTATACAGTCTTCGGGTGTTTGGGTTAACAATATGGCGCACCTCCATGGAGAAGCACCCAAAGGAATAGATGTCGCTCGCACGGGTCGGACGATATGATTTGAAGCGATCTGGGCACAGAACCTCCGGCGGTTGCCAACGTTCATGTTCATAGGCGCGGTCTTCAGTATAGTAGCTATCTTCCTCAGTGCAGTAGTCTGTGAAGTCCGAAAGACTGAAGCCTGACAACTGCGCTCTACCATCCGTCGTCAAGGTCACATTCTCCTGGGGCGTCAGTCAGCTAGAGAACGTAGAGGATATAAATACAGATGCATACACATCGAAGGCTACCATGGACAACTCCTTCGCTATGCAAGTATATAACGGCCTCCGCGATGTCCAGAAGCTGAAAATACAGTCAGATCACTCAACCGCCAGTCGAGGTAATAAACGAACCCATCGGTTCAACTGGGAAACGCTTGGTGATTGTCTCGAATTTGAGATACGTCGGAGGATGGCATTATCGCTTTTGTCGACTAAGGGTGAGATACCGCAGAGCGATCCCGGGAATGAAGTGAGATCGATGTTGGAAAAATGAATAATGTTCGAATGACGGAGATAGCTGCCAAGCAGATACTCGCGAATGTCGCTCTATTGCTTAGAATGTGAGCATGCAGACTGCTACTTGTACTATATATCACTGCACCTTCATAAGTTGAGGCCTGGTGTGATGCGCATGTGGCCTGCGAGACTTATAAACGGCAACGCGCGTGTTATTGAGTGTTCCGTGATATATATCCGTATATCTGCCGCACGTAGCAGGTAACCTTGCGACGTTCGAAAGGGTGCAGATCAATGGGTTGGGGAACTGCTTTGAAGTCTGGGCAAGCTCTATGAAAAGAGATCGAAGTGCCCCACGCTTGGACGGTTTGCCACTCCAATTATCCTCATTCAGCAGCAACTGGATTGCGACTTTCGGTAGGACGAAGGCGAAATATGGTAAACGAATCATACCTTCTCAATTAACTGGAGGGCACGTTGAGCATCGCCTCCTCGCAGTGTCCTGACAGCAACGCGTCGACTCGGGTCACGCAATGCACTGAACACTAAGTTGACGATCTTTCCATCCTCTATATAACTTGAATTTCCCCTGGATAATTTAAACATGAGACCGAAGGCTGCTCGTGCAGTCATACCATCATCTGTGGCGATTAAGATGCAATGGGTTTCCGCAAAGTCTTCCGTTACCTGAATCACAGGAGTGCGGATAATCGTGTTGATTATCAGGATGCAAGAGGGCTGGGTATGGAAGTAGTTGCAGGCAATTTGAGCAAACGTGGCAAGGTCAAAGCTGGAAACATAACACCTAACTATCTCGCGAGAGTTCATAGCACTAATGACATACCTCGCGATCTCAAGCAGAAGTTCATCCCATACGGATCGAAGTCTCGACAGAACTCTACATCCGTATCGTCTCCAGAGGCGGCGTACACATGTCAGTAGCGAAGCAAGCACTATGAGGTACTGAAGGAAGACGGGTGAAGCGAATAGAATCGTTCCAACGCTCCAGGCAATGAGTAGAATCATTGAAGATTAGTTCCAAAAGTGTAAGGGGAAGGGTAACGTTGGCTTGAGTCGCCCTACCAAAATATGGCACTCGCATTTTTCCCACAACGTTGGCCCTTTGAGGACGGAGACTCGAAGCTGCACAGGCCGCACAGTACACCGGTTTACGAGGCTTAGTAGAAAATGTTATGTATTGAATTTCCCCCATCGATCATGATCAACATTGCAATGCAGAACCCATATATGGTAGCTGTTTAATTTTATATGACTAACAACGGGACAGGGGCTGTAGCATATCGCCGTAGCCGTTGAAACGGAAGACGCAATAGCTGGAAAACGATGAGTGTTGTGGGTAGTTCCGATGAGGACGTTAGGAAGAAGCAATCCTTTGCATCGCCGTAGCGACAAAGTCAGCGGTGGGGCGTTCGCTGGCCAAATGACGCCAGCTTAGCTGCACTACATCCCACAGCTCATCACACATACTCTGGTGAGCAGGAGCTGAAGGACAAGGAGGTCTCTCTCCTTTCGTCACTCTCCGACGTGCAGTCATAATCGTCAGCTCCGCGAATGGGGCCTCTTGTGTGTAGAGCTGAAATTGGGTACGTGAATGATAGACGTGTTGGTGATGAGGTTCAGTACTGACCTCGATACAGAGACAGGCAAACGAAAATAGATCGCTTTTATACGTCGGCCGGAACGATGTTAAGCCAAATAATGCGGGATCAAGGAGCTCGGGAGCTTGCCAGAGTTCACTCCCACCGCGTAGAGAGCCTAATGCGTTACTGTGTTCAGATGCAAAGACCGCAAGTCCAAAGTCAGTCAACACAGCATCGCCATGATCAGAGAGTAGTACGTTAGCCTAGATGGAGAAAGTTGAGTATTAAATTGAAGGATAGTTGCAGCAACTTACGCCTCGGAGGTCACCATGGACAATTTCTTCCATATGTAGGTACTTCAGTCCTGTGGCGACGTCCAATAACTGAAAATGTTAGGTTGATAAACCTAGGTACTAATAAGAGAAAGCGTACATGCATACCCATTTGTTCAGTTGACTGACGGTAGGCCGACTTTTAGATGTTGTTAAGAAATTCATTACGCTACCTCGCCTATACCAGGGCATTATCATGACTGGCGCTCCCCATTGCATAGACTTTAACCCGAGCAATCGAATGACATTGCGATGCCGAAGGTGAGACCACAGAATAGCTTCACGCGAAAAGGTCTAACAAAAATGATAAATGACTTTGGCCATGCATATTCAGAAGACAATGCATACCATCTGAACTCTCGTCCTTTCGCTCTTGGTCATGTTCTGGAATATTCGCAATTCCTTCACCGCGACTTTATTGCCATTCAATCTGGCTGAAAATATATTCGCTTGACCACCAGTGCGTTCCATGAATTGGCCCATGCTCTCGACTTCGATAAATAGGGATGGCGGCAACAGACCTGAGCTCTGAGAAAGTCTGACTTGCAGCCTGGGCAGTCTACGTCGATCCAAAGTCGGGTAATAATCGGTTAGACATCGCCATATAGTGTCGTTCTCATAGAGCTGGACGCAAAGATCATTTACGCCACATTCGATTTATCTCAAAAACTGCCGCTTACCTTTTGGATAATTATCATAGCCCTCTGGGCTTGCATTTCTGTCAATTCTCCGAACTTCGGGTCCCCACCTTGCAATCCAACTCTGATTTTAATCAGGGTGGCATAATCCTCATCGACGTCTCCGTAGGGAAGGCGACCTTTCTTGGAGCGCTTTGTGATAGCGGCAGTCACCTTCCGATCCTTCTGTTCCAAGCTCTCCGATACAGAAACGGAAGAAGAGGACGAGAGTCCATGCTTGGGGGGACGAAAGCTATTCGATTTCAGCAGTGATCTACCTGATCGTGCCACCCATCCTACTGCCTTGATGACTATTAGTCCTGATAAAGACATACGAAAGACCGCAGTCGTACCTCCATGGAAGTCTTGCCCACTTTTGAACGATAGCGAACAGCACCTTAGTAGGGCAAAGCAATGAAGTACGAGGCGTAAGGCGGGAGATACCACTGTATAGAAGTCGTGAGGTGCATGACAGCGTTGCCTCGTGGTCAGCGTTAGCTCCTTGCCTTGGGACTGGATTTCCCACGATTTGTCTGTCGGAGGGACTGAAGAATGCGAACAAATAAAATAGGAAGCGATTCTCAAGAAAAACCCGCAGTGTCTTGTATGCTCAGATGCTGACCGAGCTGTGATCAGGAGAAAAAAGTCTGCTCGGAAAGAAGGCGACTGATAAAGGTCTCTTCAAGTTATAGTGACGAGAACAACCAGATAACTGTGATGTTTCGAGTGGCGAGTCAAGAAACAGGAAGCGTAAAAAAGGTCGATGCTGTTACGCCCTGAGGGAGACCAATGCTTGCACCATGAGTAATATTGCCAGTTCCAGTACGTAGTAGTCGCAGACAATCATACGCATATTTTCGGGAGACATCCAAGGACATAGATCAGCATATGTCAGTTGGAGAAGAGATAGCACGTTTTGTTGGAACCTCGATCGTGTGTCGTCGTTGGAACTGTGACGAAATGGCTAGAAATCACAAACAGAGTGAGCACAATGCGTCAAATACGCGCCGCCCTCCAAACCAACCAATACTGCTGTAGCCATAAGACGAACGTCCCGATCAGTAAGGAATATATAAGCTCAGTACCTGCGGTAAAGGAAACTCCAGTCAAAAAGTGTCTCAGGCACTTTTGACAAATGCAAGCACATGCTGAATAGACGCTTCAAGATAGCGCCGCCGAATGTGATGAAGTTGCTCCTTTGCAAGTAAAGAAAAATGGATCATGTGTAACGTCGAGCTAGCATGTAAAGGATTTCAGGTGAAAAGTCATATACTAGGAATGTGAACGCTTACCTTGACGTCGGTGCATTCGAAGGAGTATGTCGATGGCTACCGTTGCGCGACACAGTGCTTATTGGTGATCACCTTTTTCAGACAATTCGGGTACCACCTAATGCTCAAGTTACGTGGAAGTGATATAGGAAATCTGCTGACGTCCTCAGCGAAGACAAACAGTAAGAAGTTGAGCAATTCCCGATGGGTTTGCCTAAAAGTAACAGTGAGCTTTGTCTCAAAAATTTACAGCTGAAATAAGAGTGATGGGTGTCTCATAAATAGCACTTCTTCGTGCGATTCATCCATGCGAGGAGTTGAACCTGAACGTTAAGAATAGGTTCACTTTGATAAGAACATCATTTATTTTCATAGCAAAACGCGATCACGTGCTGATAGATTTCCCACGATTCCGACGCGTCGCGTGTCAAGCCGCAGTTTTTGAAGGCTGACAATACTTGTTTTCCGAACTGGCAGCAGCGTGCGTTCCTAGGACGGTTATAACTCGGCTCCTTCTCTCATCTCTCTTTTCAAACATAACCCACACAGTCTTTCCAGGATGCCTTACTTCGATACCATCCGTGGTTTATTCGTTAACAACTTCACACGCCTTCAGTACGTCCTCGTTTTGCTTACTTGCGCAGTCACATTCGTATGTCTTTGTCAAGTAAACCCATACATTAGTCCTGATTTACCTTGATACAGGCGTACCATCTATGCAGAGCGATACTCCGAGAAAGTGTCTGTCTCCTCTTGGATCCGGCAAAGCATCTGTCTGCTCGCTCTCTTGCCTCTACTTCGGTGAACCACGAAGGAGAAACCCGATGTGCTCAGATACCCGGTGATCCACAACACATGTATATGTGCGAATCACAGAAAATCCCTAGCACTTCTTCGGGTAATACGTCTCCTGCCGTCCAAGATACCGATGATAAAACCACGAACTGGGAGGGGGTGTCGTCTGTGGCTCGTCCTCGTCTCGATATTGCTAGGCTGCGACGGCGTGTAGAAGAGAAAGAGGCACCTAGCGGGCGTACAGCAGTCGAGACAACGCCTAGGACCTCCGCTACTGAGCCCATACCTCGCGCACTGCTCCGCCGGAATGCTTACGCCAACCTGGGCCTCGGACGTCCATCTCGCCCTCTGGTTCCTCAATCACCAATTCGTATTCAGGGGCCGTTTATTCGGCGACCCCTCATTCCCATGGCGCACCAAGCAACTGCTGCTAGTAAGCCTTTGCCACCGCCTCCGAAGGCATCTCCAGATGCGACTCCAATCTACTACCCTGGACTTGGTCTCTGTTACTCATCACGTCCTGTTGTGAAGCCTTCGGTATCTAAACGAGGATCGGCACAACGTCTCGCCAAGCCATTGCTACTGGCCCCTGTCACCACGACTGCGACGGTGGTGTCTTCCCCTGCGACTAGATTAAAGCCTTCTGCGAAGACCTTTGTGCCCGCGACTCCACGCGCCCCGACTGTAGCCCAAAAGTCCGATAGCAAGACAGGCATCTCCAGAGATGAGGATGCCAATCTAGACACCCCCATAACTAAAGGCGCCGTTCTGGGGTCCAGATGCATGATCTCGAAGGCAGGAAAGGAAAATGGTGAGCGATTCAGGCAGCGCGGGAGGAGGGCGAAAGGTCCACGTGCATTGCCAGTAGTCTGAATGCGACGTTGTTATCGTCACTCTCCATACTTCATAATCATACGTGTTTCGTACGTTTTATACCCTGCTATTGAAGTCATCTTGCTTCTGGAAATCTCGTGCCCTATGCTCCGCTGGTAACGAGTTGTTCAGATGAATAAAAACGTTCTGTGGACAGAAGAGTGACGTACCAATATGCATTCGATGTCGACGTCAAACAGAACATTTCAGGGAGATCGGAGATAATTCTCTGCCTCTGAGCGATGTAGAATGTTTTGACCACAGATGAGCAAATAGTGCACAAGGAGATCGCAGAAATCTCTTTCCACCACATGTCAAGACGACGCAACGGATTCCAGACAACCAGACCAGGAGAATGAGGTTGTGTACGAACGAGAAACGTCTTCGCCAGACATTCGTCCCTGTTGTCTCGTCGTTGACAATCACATCCAGCAATGCAAAAGTGAACGTCAGACATAACGCGAGACTGTGCGATGACAAGGTGAGTCCGTGCATTCAGACAACGTTTGAGATTGGTTGGGGTGAGGCGTTCAACTATGTCGTCTGAGTGACGAATACCGTCCACGATGGACATTTCGAGTTGACAACATCCGTAAAGCGCGATTGGGAGGATGTCAGTAAGATCGAGACTGTCCGCTAGGTTTACGAGGGTGATGGCGCATTCAGGTTTCCATGTCTCGTCCAATGAAGGCGAGGGTTTCTTAGGTTCTTCTTCGAGTAACCGTGAGAGAAAGGGGTGGAGGTGTCGTAGACCCATATTTTGTAGATGGTTTGCTTGGTACTTCGTACCCAGCCGAATCAGAGAAACGACGATCTCAAATGGCAGACCCGCATCTGGACTACAAAAGCTGCAGTGTGCAATCGCGATCAATTATGTATGTGAGGACAACAGGCGGGGAAGCTAGTTTGCACACCTGATACCATCATACATAGCAGAGAGAAAGGTGCATAGCTCAGATGGGCGATCCGAGACTCGCATGATAGGGACTCCGTCGATCTCCTCGGACTGAATGTCTAGGTTCGGAATCGTGAACATGTCTTTAAAGACTTGAGAATGTCGTGAGAGGACACTTCGATGGACTCTAAAGCTACAATCTCCGGCGATGAGTATGATATTCCCGTCGTCCATCCAAAGTTGTCCTCTCTTGAAGGTGTCCATTGATGTTTCTTGAGTGAGGTCTAACGTCGAGGACATACCAATGAAGTGAAAGACAGGAACGTTTGGGGATGGACTGTAGTTATAGGCCAGCATATTATACCACGAAGACGACTATTAGCACCAAAGCGGGGCTTGTTAACGCCAATGACATTGAGAACGGTGGGGGTGGTGAGGCCCACCATGACGAGATCGAGGCCACCTATCAATTGAGAAAGATTAGATTCGTGTATTTTCAATGTACTCGGCGGATCCAGTTTCGTGGATGCAGTGTAAAGCCTCGACCTAACCTTCATTCCCACTTACCCGTATTACTATTGGAGGGTGTCAGCATGGAACTCGAATTGAGGCTAGCACGTGTCGATCTGGCGGAATGGAGACTTACCTAGGCAACTATTAGGCTGCAGAGTCAATATTACTTTCCAAGATTTACCGGTCACGCCAAACGCGCATCTCGCACACCATTGCACGAAAGAGAACTGATCTCATGTTCCTCATCAAAATTAGCAGAGAAGCAAGAGCACAACGTGTACACTGTACATTGATTCTAGCTCTGGACCGAGCCAAACCCTTGCTGACAGTTCTGCCTCCCAAGACTCGCACTTCCACTCCTAATGTAACAAATCTTGGCGACCGCACAATCGCCTGTGCAGGGTTTGGTGCGGGCGGAGGTCTTGCCTTGGAACGTGTTGAAGGTCTGCAGACACAATTTAGCCTGGTAAATGGAGGCAAAGAAGACACATTGACATACGGTGACCAGGTCATGGTTAGCTTCCATTTCTATAACGCAATGAATTATCCATCAAATTAGGAATGCCATCAAAGGGGAAAAGTACACACGTTCAGTGACGAGATGCCACCAAGTTGCATTCAGGGGATCATTCAGACCCCATCCGGTGACATTGGCACCGTACGCTGCGCGAGTGCTGTACTCGTACACGTATGTAGGTCCAAATTGGAGTTGGGAATCAAGCGCACCAAAGGCATTGACGTCGCTCTTCCATCTGCCAAAAAAAATTCACAATCGAGCTTTATAGTTTAATGGCGAATAGAGGCGTACGTGTGGGCATCGAGGATTTCAAATGTCTATGCTGACTATCAGTATGAGTTGATAGTGAATAGATGTGACCTTACTGAAGAATCGACCTCATACAACCGGAAACCAGAATTCAAGTTGTTGAGTGGCGTAATAGACGGACCAATCTAGACATATGTACACACAGACTCAGTATCACTTGAACCGGTACACAGAATACAAAAACTCACCCAAGCAACGGATTGAGCAGTCTGAGCATTGATGGTCGTAGCATTGTTAGCGTAGAAGATCTAACAGGGCCAATAAACGTCAGTATCAGAACAATCAAGTGAACACAAGAACACACGGAAAGCTGGTCTTCGTGAGTATGTCCCCAGAAAATACCTAACAGAACAATCATGTTAATAGCGTTCGTACAGATATGGCATATATAAGATGTCCTTACCAGCGATAACATGGGGTGAGAACCGATCAACACTACACACTATGTCAATGAAAGTCGATCGCTCATACAACGAAGAATCATACATTTGATAGACTGCAGTGCCATGCGTCAGCACCAGAAGTCGCGAATATCATAATTGAACTTACACAAGTCAGTAGGGTTCAACAACGGGTTCGTACCGTCCCATCCGCTCAGCACATGTCCGATGATCCAAGCTGTAATCACTTTCAATGAAGGAACCGAGATGGGTTAAACGGACAGGGAAAGAGACGTACCTCGTTCACCTGCATCCTCCGCCTCTTGCAACTCGTCTGTCAAGAACCTTAGCATGCCTGAAGTATCAGGATGGGATAGGTTGATGTAGTTAAAGTAGTTCGCGCGATACCCTAAAAACCCATTAGCCCCCGCATTAGCGCGACCAAAGACGGCCTGCAGGGTCGAGACACTCACACATGTCAGTGTTTAATGAAATAATCCTCAGTCCGTCTTTCCTCTGGACCATGTAAGCAGCGTAATGAGCCCGAGCGAGTTGGACAGCTGACTCTGGGAGCCAGTTCTCATGTTTCCAGAGTGCCGCGACGTGATCATAATTCCTGTACAGCACATTGGCGTTAGAGTGGTAGGGATAAACACAAAAACAATGAACGTACCAGCTGAATTGGTCAGCCAGAGCTCCACCAAGGGTATGGGGCGCATCTTGAGCCCTGAAACGATACGAGCTGAGTGACAGTGAAAGAGAAAGTAAGCAGACGAGAAACGTACTGGTTGTAACTGTCGTGATTTCCCAATGTAGCATACACAGGACCAGAACCAAGTAGTCTCTTGAACAAATCGTAGATAACCGTCTGTTCACGGATTTCAGTCACTGAATACTCTTCTAGCAGAGCACGGAAGTCGCTGTACCTCGGTATACATAACGTAGTCCCTATCCAGAATTATCCTTAGCATCCTACCAACAGGTGTAATCTCACAGAACGTACCTCGAAAGCTGATTATCAGAATCGTGCGATACCAGATCTCCAGTGTACACTGTAAAGTCGAATCCAGAACGTTCTGTACCGGTAAGTACTGGGATGGCCTGAAGCGCGGCAAGTACAAGCGAATACGGCGAATCGCTTGAATGAAGGTATCAGCGTCGCTAGGATTTTCCGGGATGAGGGAAGACATGCCATTGGAACCAGCCAAATCGCGGAGCGGCCAACACAGTTTGGTTAAGACTCTGAGCATTATGGTTATTCTCGCGACAGCAGAGACCGGAGGTACAGTTTGCTTCGGAGCCAGTCGCATAACCTGTAGATCAAAGGTGAGTAATCTGAAGAAAAACCAAGACGAGATTAGGGTCCTACATACGAGGATCAATATGCAGGTCTGAGGCATGCAGGACTTTCAACCTTTTCCCGCTCGGTTTCTTGGGCGCTGGCAAAGGGCTGGGTTTAAGTTTCGCAAACCAACCAGTCAAGTTCAGTGAGGTGGTCGGGGGAAGAGGACAAAGACCTAGAAAGTTCTGACAGAGCATCTGTCATACCCACATGTCCCTTCAATTCGGAATGAAAGAATGCAAAACACCTATATACCTACCTGCCCGTCAAACCCTCCAACGTCCGCATTCGCCACAACCTGGGTAATGACACTCCCCAAAGCAAGCAACCCGAACTCTGTCGCACAATCACTATTGAACTTGAAATGATTGCATAGTGCTACAGCTAGAGCGGGTCCTTGGTCAGGTGCGGCCATGGCGAGGAATTTGCCGACTTCGAGAGCAGCTTGACATTTCGCACACGTGTCAGAACCGAAGATTGGGTTGGACGCGATGGAAAGGACTTGGTCGATTGCATGTGCTAGAAGGAGCGAGGAAGACGCTTTGGGTGGAAGAGGATGTGGGTCCTTGGTATCATTCTAAGAGGAAAGAAGCTTAATCGGTGCGGTACTTGAATGCGGACGATCAACAAACCTTGGGAATGGTATCAGGGTTTGTTAAAGATAAAGAGTATACTTTGTGCTATAGATGATCTAAACCTTGCTTCTTGATATGAATCTTACTGCATGGAACGTACCTCGACTGGATCAGATATGATGGGTTGAACCTGGGCCGAAGTAGCAGTGGGCGAGTTGTAATAATGCGAAAACACCGACGTTGGGAAGGCACCGGGTGCAGTAAACGCAGACGGACCCAGAGCAGTATTTGGCCTAGGATCAGACGCTGCTGAAGCAACTACTCCTGCAAAGGGCACAAGGCCCGTCAGCAGTCTCACCATCAACTTCATAGAGTTGTCGTAAAGAGTGAAGGCCGGAGAGAAGAGGGCTTCGACGAACATCCCACCATCAGAGGTCGTGAGTATTTATCAGGATATGAATATTAATAGCGAAAGCTTCTTGGATTGCTGTCCCTGGTGCTGTCAATCCCGAGACATCAATCGCAGCACTCTGATGAACGTGCGTCGGTTATAGAGCGCGATATTGGAGAGAACAGAAAGGATCACTGTGCACATTATAATCTTCTTATTCCTGGGAGAGAATGGGTGTATTCAGAGATTGGAGGTATAGAATAAAGGAACGCTCGAGCCAAACGTGCGTTATATCAGTCGGAGCACGAAATAGATATATCCCGACAGACGCGACGCGACGCGACACGGTCACGAGAGCGATAGACCCAGGTCTAGACTGTACGGCAATGCGTTGGAGGGAGTAGATATACAGCTTGGGCAGGGGATAGCAAGCGAAACGTCTCTTTCCTCTAGTTTACTGCAATGCCAGACTAGCTTCATCCAACTCAATTGCCCCGACCGAAAGAAACCGGCTAGAAACCAAAAGGATGTGCTCCGTCACACGATTGTATAATCAAGGCATGGCGAACACTATACTACAAGCAACAGATAGGCGCAATGAAGACGAGGAACGGGGTTAATAGGTTAGTAGGTACAACTACAGAATAGCAGAGGGAAGCAGGGAGATAAGAGGATATGTGTATTAGTGTGTGTGAGGGTAAGTGGTCAAGTCTTGATGTCTATATGGGTTAAAGGATGATGGGAGAGGGTTTGGTCGAGCAGCGGACGATGTCGGACGTGTTTTCATCGAATGCGCAGGGGTTATGGTCGATATCGATGGGCGACGATGAATCCCGATGCAATGGGTATTCTTTCGATCGGTATACTTGTATCGCGGCGGTCGCAAGGGTGCGTCGGAAAGCGACGAGGGCGTCGCGCAGGCTGTATGCGGTCCAACTTATACCTCAAGGCTGCCGCTGCGAAGCTGCCGAAGCCGACGCCGCCATCTCGAGTTCTCTCTGCCTGCGTTCCTCTTCCTGCCTCCTCGCCGCAGCAACCTTTATCTTCTCCTCTGCAATTCGCCTCGACTCCGTCCACAACCTCAGCGTATAATCGTGCAACGACCTCGAGTACAATACGAATGGGTTCACCTCCGGCTGCGGATGGTGATATTGTGGGTACTGTTGGTGAGGATGTTGGGCAGTAGACGGATCTGCCAGCATTTTTCTTTTCCTTTGCTCGTGTCGACGTCAGGACCGGGGGGTTGCAGTCGTTGTCGAATAGTATGCGCAGCAGGGTAGGGGCGTACGAAAGCGAGGATAGTGACTCGGGATGTCCGAAGCCTCTAAACAAGGTCACCTGGACGGATCGGGGGAAGAATAATGGTAGAGAAGGCGGAGATATATAGGAAGGTGAGATCCCGATGCTGTATACCTCTTGTCTGAGTTCTGTACGCCTTTATGGCGTGTAACAAAAAGGTATGTAAGCTGTGTGTTTTCGAATCAGGGCTCGGAGGATTCGGCTTAAGGAAGGAATAACGGCTAGATGAGAGCGTTGTTTATTTTTCTAGTTTTGGGATCTAGTATGGTGCCGTATCCTGATCTCGCATCTTCTCCACCGCACCACCCACATTTCTTCATCGATATTTTATCTACCATAAGAGGGAGCGGGGAGCGACAACCCGGTGCTCCGACGACTGATATGATTATGCCTATCACTGCAACCTACAACTCTGATTTACCTTCTGCCCTCTTCTCCGCTTCCGCCGTGTGCGTCCTTGCATGCTTACTCTTTACAAATTCTACGCTTCTCTTCGCCCCCTTCTTTCACCGGTTACAAAGCGAGCATTAAGGGCGACATGCTGCATCCTCTGCGCCGGCTGTTCCAACTCCAATCTCTTCTCTCCCATCCAGCGCTAGGCACCCCACTTTGTTTCCCATACCCCGCCCCGTCTTCGTCCTGCGTTGACTTATGATACGGCCCTTCTGACCATGGAGAACATTGCGGCATTTATCCATATATCTAGCGATCTGGCAACCAGGTCACATTGCTTATGTTGCGGTGGAGTGGCAAGCACAGCAGTTGGAGTTTCCATCATTCCACCAGAAAATCGTTTCATCTCCCGAGCTCGTAACCCTCGTGAACCCTCTTTCAAGTACTGTACCATGACATCGTGATACTTCTATCGTACTCAACACCCTGAACACGGTATTCCGATGACTGCTTGTCTAGTTGTTACTGTCCTCGGGTTCCGAGTTCCCCCACATTTGCGCTTATACGTTTCGGCAAGAACTTATCAGCTGGAACGCGGTGTTTCAGAAGCAAGCTTCAGAGTTCGAGGAAGCACAAGGGAACTCAAACTCTAAATCCTGTTTCCTGGCTGATGGTTGTTGCGATGCGCTAGGAGCGCTCTAAAGGGAATCAAATCGCCGGAAAAGTGTCGATCCTGCGTTAAGTGGCACTCTGGTGGCAACATCGTCCTTATATACCTTCATGACTTTATCATCGTCTGTACTGTAATCTTTCTAGGTGAGTAAATTTCGAATTAATTCTTCGACGAGGGCGTGGTCACACGAACACCCTTTTCCAGAATATTCAAAGAGTAATAGTCAGACCTCAATTCCTCATGGTCGGCAGTACGTACTACGTGCCCTAGCGACGTTCATCACATGCCCAAGCTCCGTGCTTTGATCCTTCTGCTGGACGGAAGTGGTGCAAGGGGTGACTGAATCCCAACGCCACGGTTTTGCATCTCACGCCAGCGGCCTGGCTCCCTGCGCGCGGGGCTGGCGTCGGGTCTGTGTTGGACCGCTCGGATTGAATGGTAACTCTGTATCATACAGAGGTGAGCAATCGGGAATCCATTTATGTGCTTAATGGGCATGAAGTGAAGGAAGTCCATGTATGCCGCTTACGCCCTATACGCAAGCGGAAGGGGCTTGTATTAGAACACTATCAGTATGAATACATCAGAACCAAGGATCCGAGATAAGTACATCGTCAAAACCATGAAAGGAGAGTAAGTAATACCCAAGAAGTGATGCTGAAAGCATCTAAAAGTGAACAGTCCAATAACCAAACACACAAGATCAAAAAAGCATGAAGGTGACATCTATATTGTCATAAATCATGAAGCATTTCGGATTCGACGGGCTTGATCCGAGGATGATCTTCTAGGAAGCAGAACATCCTCCTTTGCGCGAACGTCAAGGGTAACGCGGAGGTTGTGGTATCGCTGAAGGTCATAAGCTTCCGATCGTCCTATTCCACCAACATCATTCGGTAACCAGATCACCGGCGGAGGTGCGAGGAGTTCGGGTGCGTAGAGAATACCAGCCATCTCTTCGGCGTGATCTGCAAACGGAAGCGGTGGAAGATGTGGGGGTGCATCGGGGTGTGTGCGAGCAGCACGTTCTGTGGCAGTGAGATCGTCAAGGGTTTCTGTTTCTATTACGATATGTACGTTAGCTCAACCGCAGCATGTTTCGCTAAATACAGGATTAACTCCACTCACCGAGTGGGACGGGTCCTCGCGACTGTGATGCAGACGGCATGACGGCCAGAGTCAAGGACATCATCTCCAATATCGACGCAAACGATCCTCTTGCCCTTGTAGTCCTCGCGGAGCTTACGAGGCTAGTACTCTCTTCATCATTGTCACGAGACGTGCTGGGTCTTGCGGTACGCATGAAGGTATCAAGTGAGTCCCGTGTGATAGGGCTTAAAGACCTCCGACCAGGCAAACGTGTTCTCCATGTGCAATAAATCTCGACAAAAAGTGCGACAAACAGGGCGACTCCACATAGGATACCGCCTTCTACCCACAATCTTCGAGTGAGTAAAATGAGGCCAAGGATCAAGGGTTGGAAGGCAAGAACAGTGCTGAAACGCTTGAGGAGCCAGATGGATAGCAGACCACCTGTTTGTGAATGCGTACGTCCGTACACGTAGCCGATCAGAAAACGATGCGCTAAGAGAAAAAAAAACCATTTCATCATCGCACAATCATTCACATTTCAACGGAGTACGTACCGATCAGAGTGAGGAACAGAAGAACGACAGCACCAGGGGCTAATAATGGGAATATCAAAGCAAAAGCCGAAGCAAGTAAGACGGCGAGCACGCAACATCCCGTCGCATATGTTGGATCGTACGTCCTAGGATATACAGCTGAAACAGAAGGTAGTTTAGTCACAAACACATGTCTAAACGACCTATAGATGACCTACCTCTGAAGCGTTGGCGAGGAGTGACGGCTTCTCTTTCTGCTCTGACAACTCGCCAAAGTCGGATCGGTTGTAAGAGAAGGAGGGCAGGGAAGATAACGGCTACGTTCATGATGAGCATCAAAGCGAATGCGCTCATATAGATCGCGCCATTTGCAACCGAAGCGGATTCCAATGTCTGCGTGTTGAAGGCGCCCATAGAGAACAGGATTGCACCGATGCTGAATAGCCAAATAGCAGCGATGATGGTGAGGATGTAAAACGTGATTCGAAAGACGACCAATTGAGTTCCAGAGATCGAGACAGAGTGACTCAGTTGCCCTGTGTCTGTTTAATTGTTGTCGATACATGTGAATCATAATCAAGATGGATGTAGACTTACAGTGAACAATCGCTAGTGCCAAAGATATGAAGACAGTTGCACCCACAGCTGCAGCAAGCCCAGTAGCTGCTCCAGCAGCAAGCTCACTCCCCGTAGTCAGTGATTCAAAGAATGGGAAGTAGTGTGCGAAATCTGGCGCAGTGGCAAGGTACAGCCCAGAGACGGCGGTCACTGTGACAAAGACTTTCAGTATGAACCTCGATGCAGCGACATAAGACAACTCACAAGCAGCCCCAAGGAGAATGCCAACAGTGAGAATAATCGTCCAAAAGGCCAACCCCCTCAAGAACCCGCCCTCGTTTTGCAATTCATCCCACCTAATGTCTTCTTTCGCTCGTCCTTCAATAAGCTGAACCCCAGGTATGTGCCGAAGGCCACGTCCAACCATAAGCCATCCTTTGATGCCCATTCCATCTGCAATTTCGTTATACCCGTCTCTTTGAACGTCAGAAATCTCGTTGTTGATAACTTTGAGCTTGGACCGCCAATGGCTGATATCGGAGTATATATGTCCTAGATCGGCGTGATCCAATCCTGAGAGAGGTCGCACAAATGGTTGGCGAGGTTGGAGGCGTAAATGTGGAGGCGTTTGTTCAGTCTCATCAGTGGCGTTCTTATTGCGCAACGGGAATGTTTCTCTTTTCTCCGGAGAGGTAGTCCTAGCTCGAGGTGGTCTCGGTCTCCTTCTTGTCGTACTATACTCTTCCCCATTCTCGAAAGCCTCAGGAGCTTCATGCATGACATCAACCCAGTCTTCATCTCCCTCTTCTTCGATAGTCTCGGTCACTTCAGGATGGTGAAACCACTGTTGTCCAGAGAATTCGTCAAAAGCACCAGTATCCCAAGACGTATACCCATTCGGGGCAAACGGGGCGGGACCTGGTACAGGAGAAGCAGGTACCGACGACGGACCAGGTCCCATTTGGCCGTTCTTCTCTAGAACGACCTGACTTCCCATCGGGAGCCGTCCGAACGCCACCGAGTCCCTTTTGACTTCATGAAATCGACTGCCAACAACACGTTGGTTGAAGGAATCAGTGAGACTTGGGCCTTGGTGCTGTATTGATCCTTCCGCATCAGTAAACTGTCCCCCACTGACACCTTGGACGCCTCGAAGTTTGTAATACTGTGATGGCATGACAAATGAAGTCGGTGGGGGAAGCGAAGATGAACCATAGGCCGGATTTCGACCCCGTTTGCGTCTCCGCTGGGACTGCGATGTAAAGATCAGAAGCTACGCAAGCGAAACAGACTCGGGGGGGAACGTACGGCTGAACCTGCAAGTGGTCGAGGTCGACTGATTTGAGGTTTTGAAGGTGTAGTAGGTCCATCGGGAGGAGGCGGAGGCACAGGAAGGTCTATCATAGACGGATCTGGAGTGGTCAGTTTGAAAGAACTGATATACTTTGTCTCTGCAATCTCGAGGTTTTCCAATATTTCATCTCGCTCTTCAATCAAGAGTGCGAGTTGAGTGGTGTCCCTACGAAGCACACAAGTTCAACCACTTGGCAGTGAAACAGAGGCACGAGCTTACCCAACAGAGAAAAGACTCTGAACGTCAATTTCGAGGTCAACCTTTTCCTCGTTACTCCATTCCGTCTGTCTGCGTCTCCTTGACCTCCCATTGCCATTCCTTCCCTCGCCCGAATCCAAGCTAGAACTAAGCCCGGATTTGACAATAAAATCCTTCAACCTCTTCTCTCCCCATCCAAAGAATCCAGGAGTATACCTCGCAGACAACCAAGCCATTTCTTGCCCTTGACATTTAATATCCACCCAACGTCGACGATGCGCCACCAATCGATTAAACTCGCGCATAATCTTCCATAGAACTGGGATGACTCCAAGAACGATTGCAAGTACGGTGAGGATTATTATACGGATCCGAGCATTGGGTGCATAGTCCTTCCCGTTGACTATTTCGCGAATTACGAAGTTGTTATTGGAGTTGACATTTTCGTTGTCCAAGAGGCGTATTAGACGCAGAAGACTCATGTCTTGAAGAACCGAATAGGCACCGCTAAACCGAGAAGGGTCCGCGGATTCAGCCAAACACGGCGTAGAGACCATGTACAGTGGCAAAAGGCCAGCAAGCGCGAGTATTGTCCATCCGAGTACGACCACGAAACATACCCAGAGTGTTCGTTGGCTAAGAGCTTCGTCTGATGGGAACAACTCTGCGTCCGTGGTTGGAGATCTTCCTGCTTCGGAGACGTCGTCGGGAACAGGAGGAACGAGGGGAACATGAGGGAAGAGGAACGCCCATAGTGAGCGACTAAGAGGCTTTGGGCGGAGGCTATGGCATGTTAGATAGAGGACCGCAACGGCGAAGGGACACTACTCACTTTTGTTGGACGAACCATTCTCGCAAGCCATATATTTCACGGAACCGTGGTCTGATAATTGCGAATAATAGCTACGCCACTTCAGTTTATGGTTTCTGAGCAAGTGAAATGCATAGTTACCCATAAAACGAGTCCAACGGCAGTAGGAATAACGATAGTCGAGAGAAGACCAACGGATAGTGAGTCCACACCATTGCCTATGCAGACAGGGTTAACGCGAAGAGATGATGCGACAGACTGTGACTCTGGAAGCGTGCTTGCAACACGACTAGAGGTGAACGTGGCCTCGCTGAACGACGTGAAGGTCGATGAGGGTCGTGTAATAGTGACAGGCGTGGAAGTGGTAACAAGGAAGGTGGTGTCGACGTTTGAGGAGCCTACATTCAAAGTGGAGCTCTGCGTTGACCTTGAATTTGAAGAGCCAGACATTCCAGCACTACCTTGAGGCTGCCCAGTAGATGAAGTAAGTATCACAGGCGGAGATGTCGTAAGAGATGGTGGGGTGTTCGATACAGAAGAATGAGATGAAATTGATGTAGCGCTGGGAGAACTTGGCGGATACTGTGAACTTGAACTTGAGCTCGAAGCCCACCAAATGTCATTATCAGACTGTCGTTTCGGTCGTTGTTGTGTCAAATGAATGACGGTTGGCGTAGAAAGAGAGGTCATGAACATCCACGGAGGGATGGGGTATCGTATAAGGGACAGGTATAGAGACAAGGAGCGTCGTCAAGCCACTGTGGGCTTTGGGAAGGAGCGATCCCACATGCATCATATTCTTTGAACATGCCTTCTAATTTCGGTTCCTGGATATAAGCAGTACTCTATTCTCACGCTGTCATGTTCCTAGAAATCTCCAAGAAAAGTCAGAGGTGATTTACTGATAGGGAGCAAACGGACGGTCAGCGAGTAAGAGGGAGCAAGTCTGCAGACTTAGCAGATCTGATCGATCACCTTAAGGGGGAAGGGGGAGGATAATAAGATGGGGGCGGAAAGGGTCGAAGTATTTATACGTTTCCCTCTGTTCACAGAGCTTCTTTCTGAGCTTTCTGTCGAGAAAACTGCAGTTATTTCATGCCATGTGCTCTAGATGTCTCCTAGAACGTCATACCGTACGCTGCGATCGAAACAAGTACACGCGCTTGATGAATAAATGCCATATAAGGAGCTGCGCCTTCCTCATTTGGGTGGAAGCCAGTCAATGTGTTTCGCATTCCATAATGGAAGTGAGACTGCGGTCGAGAATCACATGCATGTGAGTGCAATCAAAGAGAAACGGATGTAGAGCAGTATGAGTACAGTGAATAGAATCAAGTCATAAAGGTAACAAGCGAAGGTGGTGGATCTCATGCGGATGGCGCTATGTAAGAATGAAAGTGATGGACGCCTTCCCGTCCACTGTCACACAGATCTTCCTGTAGGGCCAGAGTCAATCCGCCCGAAAGAGCTGATCCTGAATGGTCAATTCCCGACTTCCCAGTGGAAACATCGAGTCTTCTAAGCCAATGGATTAGACATGGGCACTCGATTTTGCATGTTGCAGCGGGCTCACAATGCGACCTAAACTTCGACTACAGTCATGACAACTTCTGCGGGTTGTGCTCCATAATGACTATGTTTCCATCTGCCCTCTGAGTCAACACCGCCCGCTTCTGTAGCCATGGCGGGAGGGAGCCCTCAACGATAGGTGAAGGCGGCCCTTTAGGCTTGTTCGGCCGTGATTTCTCCTCTTGGGGTGATCGTTTTGAGGTTAGGCCGAAACACGACGGGGAGAAATCGTCGTCAAGTACCGACTGTTTGCTGGGTATGCAGCCCATTGCTTGAAGTCGTCTAAATTTAGTGCGATCCGCAATTTCATAAGCTAGAATACAAATAACTCACTAAGGAGCGACGGGGGAGAGGAGGTGAAATATAGAGAAGAAGGGACGGTGAAAGGCGTTGATAAGGTTGAGTGACTGTTCCATCCAAGGTTCCATCTGTCTTATATCGTGTACAACACCGCTAAGTAGGTCCTGGCAGATGAGATAGATGTAAAACCAGCCAATTGCGAGTTACGACTCAGAAATGATGGTGGTGATGGTTGATATATGAGGCGCTGCCCATGGGGACCAGTGATACTATCCTTGACTACAGGGGCTCAGAAGACAAGAGACTCGAATTATAATGAATAGCCATCGCATTTCTAGTAAGAAACCAATCACGTTCAGGATACCTCGAGCGCGCACACGGAAAGGTGCAGGAAGCGCCCAGGGCGACGTGTTATTAGAGTTGGGCGTCTACAGCCCTCACTGTGCTTGCTTAGTTGCATCTCGCGAACCTTCAACGTTCTCCAACGAAGTTACCTTGGTGACTCAACCGACAGAAGGCAGGAAAAGGGTAGTTATGGCCAGTAGTGCCTTCAAGCAGGTATGTCCTGGAACTTCATATAAAGAATGTTACTGACGTATTAGCCAGGCAACCGCTGCTCCGACCACGCTACAACAATCACAGACCAATGCGTTACTTACGCTTTTAAATCTCAATCACCCTATTGAGACACCGGGCTCCACGAGTACGAAAACAGGTGGAAGCTCGCTGAAAGCACCACCAACAGCGGGTCCGCCAGTGTGGAAGGTCCTCGTACTTGACCAACACACTAAGGATGTCCTGGCTACTGTGCTACGTGTTCAAGACCTACGAGACGTCGGAGTTACATTGCATGTGTACGTCCGACTGGGCCTACAACGACACACCATGCTGACTAGATTGCAGACAGTTGCACTCAGCACGACCACCATTACCCGACGTTCCAGCAGTCTACTTCGTGACGCCTACTCTGAACAATATCAAACGAATAGCAGAGGACTTGCAAAAGGGCCTGTATGAATCCTACCACCTGAACTTTGTGGAACCGCTTTCGAGAGCGTTATTGGAGGAGTTGGCGGCGTTGGTTGCAAGAGATGGGTCGGATCCCTCAATTGACCAGGTACGTCTAGAGCTGAAACGCCATCTCGAGGTCAGTATTGAATGTTTGTGCTTTAGGTTCTTGACCAATACCTCTCGTTCATTGCACCTTCACCATCACTCTTCTCACTCATGCCTCCGCCAAACCCTCCTCCAACTGCTGCTCCAACTGCCTCATCGTCTTCTGGGACCACTGCTCCTCAACCACACTCAACATATGCTATCCTCAACTCACCTTCATCAATAGAGCAACAGATAGAAGAAGAGATCGAGCGTGTAGCAAATGGACTATTTAGCGTTGTCGTGACTATGGGTATGCCATCATGTCAATCATTGGACCACTCTAGAGGCTGAAACGTTGCCGTTTGACAGGTCATGTTCCAATAATTCGTGCGCCAAGAGGGAACGCAGCAGAAATGGTCGCGAAGAAATTAGAGACCAAGATTCGAGACGCGATCTTGTCAGCATCGAGGTCTCATGCACCTTCATTATTCGCACAAGACTCGACAGGCTTGTCGAACCTTCAACGACCGCGTACGTTCCCTCACTTTCATTCCTTTCCTTGATTTTCACTCAATATATCGATTACAGTACTCCTCATTCTTGATCGAAACGTTGACCTAGTGCCCATGATGTCCCACGGATGGACATACCAAGCTCTCGCTTCGGACTGCCTAGAAATGAAACTCAACCGCGTCGTAGTTTCACATCCACAGAAGCGTTCTTACGATCTGGACTCGAAAGATTACTTCTGGGCGAAGAACGCTGCTAACCCGTTCCCTCAGGTTGCTGAAGACATCGACGCGGAGCTCAATCGGTATAAACAGGATGCCGCAGAGATCACGAGACGTACGGGGGTCAGCGACGTTAACGATATTTCACAGATGTAAGTGCTGAAATTGATATGCGGCGGAAGAATGCAGAAGCTGATTAAGTGTGTACTTTCTAGGGACTTGTCAGCGAATGCGGCACATTTAAAGACTGCCATTACTCAACTTCCAGAATTAACCGCACGAAAGGCGACCTTGGATACACATATGAATATCGCAACCGCCCTTCTGGAGGAGATCAAGAAACGAGGGTTGGACGAGTTATTCAGTATGGAGGAAGCCATGTCTAAGCAGGTATGTCCACTCCCTGTCTACGACTTCTCTGGATGCTGATAGTTGGTCAGAACGTACAAACGATCCTTGAGACCCTCCGCAACCCGAAACCAGACGTCACACCTACGCCAACAGATAAACTCCGACTTGTACTCGTATTCTACCTCTCAGTACCTGACAACGCGCTTTCAAAAGACGATATCAACGAGCTTGAAAAAGAGTTGAAAGCGGCCGGTGCTGATGTTGCAGCATTCGAATATGTAAGGAAGACTCGGGAGATCTCGAGGATGACTGTGCCTAGCGCCATGGATCGAAGCGTTACGCCTGTACTTGGAGGTACGCCCGGTGGGGAGCTGTTCAAGGGATTCAGTGCGCTCGGGAACAGGGTATGTCTCCTTCGAACCGATATCCCCTGACATGTATACTGACAATACCCTCATAGCTGACTGACCGACTGAAGGACGGCGGCCTCGAGAACCTCATCAGCGGGGTGAAGAACTTCCTCCCGGCCAACAAGCTCCTCCCAGTGACACGTCTCACCGAAGCCTTGATGGACTCCTCCAGCGCATCCAATGCATCCCTGCAAGAAACCGACGACTACATCTTCCTTGACCCTCGTTCCCCACGGACTTCTCATGCCGGACTCGGTATCTCTAATGTCGGAGGACCTGCGGGCGGTGCAGGTAGTGGACGAGCGAGACGGATGGCGTTTAATGAGGGTGTTGTTTTTGTGGTTGGTGGTGCTGGGTATGTTGAGTATGGGAATTTGGAGGAGTGGGCGGGGAAGACGGGTAAGAGGGTCACGTATGGTGGGACGGAGATTGTAGACCCGGGAGGATTTGTGAAGATATTGGAGAGTTTGGGGAAGGTTGGGTCGTAGCTTTAGGGTACCAGTTTGTTATTTCTGGTAGTTAGACTTGGATACCATGGACGTTCATACATGCCTGTAAAGTGAAAGTGGGACCTCACAGGTTGAAATGTGAGCCAAGAAGCACTGGACTGAGTGGTGCTGAAACTAGAATACAGCATTGATACTACATGAATAAGGAAACTCTGTATGTCTAAACTAATCTGCCTCGACTTCGCTGTCTACTTCTTCCTGTCTTTCGACCTGGAGAGGATCTGGACTAATCGAATACTACATGAAATCCATCAATATCATCACAGAATAAGCAATAGTCGTTCACAGTTCACTCACAAGATGTTGATCATGTCAAGCTCCAAACCAATAGACTCCCGGATTGGGTCTGCGGCCATAGCACCGGTACCTACCATACGACCATGTTGCAAGATCTTCTGAGTACTGTATCAAAATATTCAGCAGCGGGCTTCGGATAGATGTCCAGGAATGAGACGTACTCGTAGAGAACGAAGCCACCAAAGACGGCAAGACCACCATAAAGCGAAACAGCCTCGGTGATAGCAAGTCCACGAAGACCAAGGGGAAGAGCCATGGGAGCCAAAGAGCTTAAAGCGACTACAGTTACACCGGCAAGGAGGGGCCCACCCAAGTAGATGTACTTGTCGGTCCTGTAATGACATCATTAGATATCCAACAACTAGCTATTCGAAGGTAGACTCACTTCGCTGTGGCACCGACGTAGGCAAGTGAGCCAACAACACCACAAGTGTAGAGTGCTGCACGAGAGAGAATGGCCGGGCTAACGAAGAAAAGAGGACTGAGAGTGGCAGCTTGACACGCATTAAAGCCCTGAACGAAGCTCCATCAGGATCCTCACCACAAAACCATACACAAGTAGTACGTACTAGCCAGAACGCGTGTTTCAAAAGTTTGTTCTCCGGAGCAGTGTACATCGCACCCATCATAGTCCCAATCGAACCCACAAGACTGATACCCAAGACAGCCCACGGATTGGCTGCCATAATCCTGAAAGCGAGTCCATTCTTGAACATCGTGCGAGCTGCTACGGCTGTCAAGGCGAGTCCTACGCCGGTGTATTGGAAACTTTCGTGGAGATATGACCTTTCGTCTAGTGAAAGTGCATCGCGAGTCTCTCGATTGAAGAAAACATTAACCGCCACTACAGTCCCTGCAACTGTGACCTTAATGACCAAGAAACGTTAGCCAAAGAGTGGCCTTGGATAAATGCAAGCAACGCACAGCTGTAATTGCATAACGCCTCCAGGCCTCGCTTGGAGAAGGACGAGCAACAACGGGAGCAGAGTCTGTAAGTAATGTTCTCGACGACCTAAAGAAAGTCGATGAAAATGGTTTGGACGTCTGTTTGTGCAATGTCGAAAGGACAGAAGACGATGTCCGGAAACTACTGAATGAACGTGCAGACGATGCCAGAGGTTGCCGAAGAGACGAAACTACTGGTAGTCGGAGGGTAAGCAGAATACTGGGTCGAAGTAGAGGAATCATAGTGAAAGAGAGCCAAAGCAAGACGAGAGATAGTGAGTGAGCAGGAGAAAGGTCAAAATACAAAAGCAGGAGAATACGCCACCGCTCGGCAGACTTCATGATCATGTTGCCGGGCATGACATCATACACTACCCTGAGAATGCCGGCCAGCCAGAAATTGAATACATCCGAAGACGATGGCAATAGTATGATTTACAAACAGTTACTACAATATCCCCTTCACATATGGTGACTAGTATACACTACAGCATGAGTAGAAATTACAACAACGAGCGAGGATGGTGACATGGAGTTTGAGGGTGGGTAGGCTACGACGATTTGAGCGCAGGTATACGAGACGCATCGATAATTCCGACTTGGAAGTTCTGGAGGGCAAGTGCCAGACGATCGACATCTCCGTGCTGTTCCCAATCAATTTCGAATATGCCTATTCGATCGCCAGCACTCCATGACCATTTTCGTTCATGAGTCTAAAGCACATAATATGAGTAAACTTGCGAGGAGAATCTTATAAAGGACTGCGAATACAACTAACCTTGACATCGTAAATGTGAACCCAACCATCACCACTACCAGTCGCGAGTAACCGGGCGTCCGCACTCCATGATAGGGTATATATCGACAGTTGGTGATCCCTGAAGACATGTAGACATTCGCCAGTAGCGGTATCCCATAATCGACATGTGGTGTCGAAAGATGCTCTAACAATCATTATCATAAGCTGAGGGCTCAAAGGAAAATATAGATGACCCACGTCGCGAGTAGTGCATGTTCCTCTTCCGGCGTTTTTGGCTGCCACATTACACTACTAACCGTCCCTTCATGCCCTTCTAGAACCTTTGCAGGCATAGCGGGTGCATCGGGTATGAGAAGATCGTGCATCGACCATATACGAGCAGTGTGATCGTCGGAACATGATGCGAGCAGACCTTTGCTGGAGTTAAATTTAATTTGATTCACTTCGCTTGCATGCCCACTGAAACGAATGTTTAGAAGACGAACGGTTAGAAGATCAAGCCACGAAAGGGTTTCGGTTATACGTACATCAATGTCTTGACAGGTACAGCAGACTTTAATCGCAAGACGTGGATTTTACCATCTGCGCCGCAACTTGCGAAAAGATCGTCCGAAATCCAATCGACATCCAAGCAACAGGCTACACACCGATCCGTCAGTAAGGTGACCCATGTAGTTCAAGTATGTCATACCTTCATGATTTTTATACTGCCTATGCAGCTCTTTCGCCGGAATATCCCAGACACAAACCGACCCATCCAGACTAGCCGTCAGAAGCCATCTGCCCGACTTCGAGAACCGCGTAGCAAATATGGGACCCTTCTCCACCAACGAATTCAGCTCTCCGCACCGTTCATTCATTCTTAAACCGAACCAAAAATTCTTAACTTACCTCATGTTGCTCGCGGGAGAAATACAACTCGCTGCTCGGCGTGCATACTTGAAGTGTTGCGTTGTATGAGCCTACAGCCAGTAGTGTGCCTGCTGGGTTCCAGTCCAAGGATGTGATATCGCCCTGTGTGGTTTTCGAAAGATTATCGAGGGCGAGAGGTGGGTCGGAGGTTATAGGGCCGCCGCCTTCTGAAGGATGAAGATTCCAGAGATGCACTATCGTGTCTTTTGAACTAAGGGACACGTGTAAAACGCGAGGAAATATGCATTGATAAAAGAGTTGACATACCCGGTAGCTAATTTATTCGCGTCTACAGGGTTCCAAGCACAGACGAACACCTGTAATTGATCGAGACCCGATTCGCTTGAATATTTGACTTAGCATGATTTGGGACATACCTCGGTTTTGTGACCTTTGAGGAGACTGACAGCATTCAGATCTGTAATCTCTTCCGGCGGACGTGTTCGTGGATGTCGCTGAGCAACGGATAGTGCACCATCAATCGGCATGAGAGGAACAGGAGTGGAAGGTTTGGTTTCTGTCATGTACCAGTAAGACAAGATGCCAGTCAATAGTGTCGTTCGTCTAACGGACGTACGCGGTGCAGTGGAAGTTGTACTGTCAAGGTCCATGCTATCTTCAGTCCTCGCGCGTTTATTTCGTTGACTCTCGTCAACTTCCAGTGCGCCTCCTTTTCGTTTCTCTGTCGTGCCGTTCAGAGAGACAGGGACTGCCTCAGGAGGAATCGGTGGGTTGAAAGTAGCAATTGGTGGTAGATTGGGGTCCAAAGAGCAAGTGTGTTGGTCAAGTAAGGAGAAAGGTGCTTTGCAATTTGAGGTCATAGCGTTCCCTCGCCAATGTGCCTCGACTTCAGTATAGAGCAGAGCCTTGCTAAGAAGGTATACGAGCTCTCCGCGAGCCACATGTTTGTTTATGTGAGGAGAACGATCCAACTGTCCCTCAGCGCGTAGAACAAAGGCACTATGCTGAAACCCTGCATGAAGTACTCGTATGAATCATTTGGCTTTTGGACTTCGATCACAAGTGCTGTACGAACCAGAGTCCTCGAAATACGCGTGTATAAGGCAGTTAACTTCGTCCGCCGTTATGGTTATTGGAGGTTGGGTCATCTTGAAATAGATGCAGGCCTCCCCTGCTTGTATTGTTTAGTAGGGTTCACGAACCTCTGAAGGCAACAGAATTCACAAAGTCGAAGTGGAAGGAACGCAGCCACCGAGCAGCCACCAGATTGTGGCGTGAAACAGTCGGAGCTCTAACGGAGATCGAAACCGCTCTCCGTCCCCGGTCCTCGATCGTCCGCCATGCCGATTCCCCACAATCGACGGCGCCGGCAGCTATGGCTTGCTCAGCTTCACACTATCGGAGAGCGGTAGATGTTTCTCATTCACACCCACCTCCGTCTGTATATCACGAGGGTTGTCTGATACCATGTCTAATGCACAGAACAATGAGTCTGGAGTAGGGGGAAATTCAGGAACTAGCCAATTCAGACGGACAATCCTGGAGTTTCTAGCAGGTCAGTAGATGTTTGTGTTAATAGTAGAGTTGGCACGAACGCTCATGATGCGGATGCAGGCCATACGGCAGACCAAGATGATATGTTTGTCATCGATGCAGATACTGGCAATGGTCAAGTCCGTATATCTGCGACTGATTTGCTTCGCTATCTTACCGCGAGCCAAGCGGACGACGAGGACGATGAGGACGATGATGAATACCACCAGGAAGATGATGACGACGACGACGACGAACTCTTTCGCATTGCCCCCAGAGAACGAGCGCATTATGGGCCGTTGTTTGAGCCCGTCACCGAACCCAAAGAAGAAGGTCTTGCCCTCCTCATGGGTGGAGAGTTTGGACGGGTCGGACATCAGTACAGTTCGAGGGACGGTGATAATAGCTTTGCAAAGACACTTCTCAACAGAGGTAGTCGATTACGCCCTGTCTATCGAGAAGACGTGGCCAGTGTATGTTTCTTCTGTTGGTGGGGTCACAAACGAGATTAAACGATATCATAGGAAATGATACCAAATTCGAATGGTGTTGCTGTCGCACGGTATTCAGCAAACGCTTATGTTGGCCAGTACTCCTCAGGTACAGTCGTTCATGGCTCGCGACGATAGAAGCTAAATATGTTGTTTCCAGATTCTTCATTCTACTACACATGTGTTCGAGGTGATTTTCTTACGTTTATTGTCTAAATTTATGCTCCCTTAATGAAAATATAGATTTCCGCTTGCATATCTATGATACTACCGCTCCGGTTGAGCCTACAGACGATGCTTCCGCACGGAGGTCCCCAGGACACTTGACTACAATGAAGGTTATCAAAGACATCCAAGCTCATGCAGACAATTGGACTATCACGGACTCTCACCTAAGTCCTGATAACCAGAGGTACCCAAAATCTTGTTCATGATTTGTGCATATTTCTCACTTGTACTCCCGAATAGGATGATATACGCCACAGTCGTAAGCACATCTCATGATTTTATGTCTTCTAGCTCACATAGGACAGTCGAACAACGTCTACATGACGTCAACGCTAGACTCATCAACCGAACATAGAGCTATCAACTTCTCAGACAACACGTCAAGGCGGCCTCGACGCTCGTTGCGTTACGATGATGACGATTATTATGGTATCTGGAGTTGCAAGTTCTCTGCAGATGGCAACGAAATCGTAGCAGGCGGTCGATCGCATATTTTCGGTAGGTATGCTCGCAGCGGGAATAGCAACTGCTCTGTGGCTGATCAATTATTCATGTGCTGCTCGCATCAGTGTATGACCTCCTCGAGGATAGGCGGACCGTGAAAATTCCAGCTCATGAGGATGACATTAATAGTTGTTGCTGGGCTGATACTGCTGGAAATGTTCTTGTCAGTGCCTCAGATGATAGTTTCCTCAAAGTCTGGTACGTATACAGATCAGCCAACTTAAATGCCAAGACTGATCTGAAGAGCGTCTCAGGGATCGACGGTCACTAGGTTCTTCTCGAGAACCGTCGGGCGTTTTGATCGGTCATACTGAGGGCATCACGTACGTCTCTGCGAAGGGTGACGGTCGTTACGTTATTTCGAATGGGAAAGATCAAGTATTACGGTTATGGGACTTACGAAGTATGCGAAGTAATCTCGACTATGAACAAGCAAAGAGAACACCTTGTGGGATCCCTCACTTTGATTACAGGTAAATCTACGAATCACTATGAGTGGGGTTATGGACTTTGCTTATTTTATGATCGTACATCCTAGGACACATCGATATCCACGTCCTAGACATAAGGCACATCCTCTTGACTGCTCGGTCATGCAATATACGGGACATGAAGTGCTTCGAACATTGATACGTTGTCACTTTAGTCCTGCTGAAACCACCGGATCTCAGTACATCTACTCGGGCAGTGCCGATGGGCAGATCCATGTAAGTGTTCTATACTCACTTCACTGTTTACCGACTTAATGGCGTGTCAGATATGGTCGCTGGATGGACAAGTGGTACAAACATTGGACCGCTCCTCTACGCAACCCATGATATTTGACCCATCGGGGCCGGAACCAGAACCGACGGCTCATCCACCCAAGAGGATAACCGTTCGTGACGTCAGTTGGCATTCGCAGGTATGCTGTTCTCCCAGTTTCCTCATCTGTAATAATGTATCCTCACAAATCCTTAGCAACCTGTCTTGATGAGTGCTGGATGGCTCAGTGACGGCTGGGATAGTCGCGAAGGGAGTGTCATTGCACGGCACGAGTGGAAAGGTCTGTCAAAGATGCGGTATAATCTTAAGGATTACGTCGAGAAACAGAAGTCTGAACGCTCTGAACGAGCGAACAGGAGAGCCGGCCTGAGAGAGGCGGAGTACTCTATGCCGGGTACTTTCACAGATTCGGATGTTGATTGGGATGATGGTGACGACGATGATATGTAAACGACCACGATTTGGGTTGGATTGTACGGATTGGATTGTGTACCATTAGTGAGTGCTAGATCATGTTGTTCTCGGACCCTTTCCCTTCTGGCTTACATGTTCGAAGTTGAGAATATGTGGACTAAGCTTTGGAATTGAGGCGAACATACTTACTGCTTCGCACCGATCAACAGTTTGACGGTACACATAAACGCTGAGCAGCAGGTTTAGGAGACACTTCCTTGCTTTCCGGCTACATCTAACGATCTTGTTAACAAACCTCCTCCATCCTTCAATGTTTACGCAATTCAGATATACAACAGATATTTCTTTCAACAAGAGGGCTCGAAGTTCAGTGGATGCTCAGATTGACGGTGAACCTGAAGCCCCTATCTTCAATGCGCAAGCTACGGAGCGGGGTAAGCAACCACGACGACATGGGAACGTACACAGACAAGAGGGAAAGTTGCAACATCTGTTGGGTATGCCTACGGATATTCTCTATGAGGTTAGTTACGATGTCTTGTCGTTACTGCTCTGCACTCTACTTTTGATTGAATGCTGTCGACAGATCTTCGCTCACATGGGACCTGGAGAGCTACTGAACCTAGCACGTACGAGTAAGGCGTTACGGGCCCTTCTCATGAAACGCGATGCTGCTCCGTTCTGGGCTGCAGCTCGTCGCACGGTCGAAGGGTTGCCTGATTGCCCGCCCTTCCTGAGTGAACCGGAATACGCTAACTTATGTTTCGACTCTCATTGTCACGTATGTCGCGTTACGTTGATTTTCCTGGCGTAGTTATTGACTGAAGTATGTTAGCGATGTCTTAAACCCAATGTCCGCTCTATTACCTGGGCATGCTTGAAGCGGTATTGCCCTGACTGCAGAAAACAAATGTAAGTCCTTGTAGACGATACGAATTCGCTGTTTTCGTGATACATGGTTGTTCCAGGATTGTCAGGAAAGGCTCGCAATGTCTTTCCGTCCCTCTCCAACCAGGCATGGATGTCACATTACCAGTGCCCACTCACCTCATAAAAGGTCCGTTTTCGCCCTGTTGATGATCTGCTCATCTAATTCATTGCTTAACTTGATACAGAATCTCGCGATTATTCCTCGAGCTGGATTGATGTCCTTGAATTGGAATCGCTCAAAGAGCAATATCTCAACGTACAGCCAGAACAACGCATGGAGTGGCTTTCTCAGCAGGATCGGCGAGTCGCTCAAATTACAGAGGTACACTGCACAATTATATGACAACTGTTTTCTAAACTGATCACCTGATTGCCCAGTTCGCTGATCGTTGTAAGACCTGGTATGCGGATGCTCGTCAAGCACGTTCAGATGATATTCGTGCGAAAGGAACAATTCGTTTGAATGCGTAAGTATCACATGTTGTTTTATGTTCCCGGTTCTGACTATATTCTCTACACAGCGTTATGGACAAGCTTCGAGATATTGGCTGGGGTGACGAACTTGATCGGATACTAGCTTGTGAGGACGAGAACCCGCTAGTCAAGCTCCCCGAAGTTAATAAGCCGACAAAGCTTACTAGTTCAAGTGCGCGCGTTATTGAGGTAGCATATACTTGCCAGACTGATATTTTCGGTAGGCTGGAGCCATATCAAAGATGCCGTGGTGAGATTCATGGAGGAACAACGAGATAAGCGACTTTCTGCGGAGCGCTGTGACATCCTCAAGACTCGCTTTAAGCTTTTCAAAGAGACTTGCTCCTCTTGGAAGTTAGGTGCACTGGCTCCTCCGGTACTCTTTCTCGAGCACACTCCCGAAGTCCGCGCTGTCATCGATGTCCCAAATGCCATTCTGTTGAATGAGAACGACTTCGAGGACATACGCAATTTGATGCCAGATCTTATCCAACGATGGGTGCAAACACGCAAAGCTCTTCTTTCAGATCAGCTCAAAAAGGTTCATTCACTTTCGGAAAATCTCGAGCTGGGCGACCTCGCCATAACGGCATCCTATGTATGCAAGCATTTCGCCTGTTACTCTAGACTGCTCTCATACACAGAGGCATTGAACCATCGTTGCTCTGCGTATAAGAGTAGCTCAAATCAGACTAATGCCGATGATTACGAGGAGGTTCTTTCCGAGTTTGTGAGTTTAGAAGAACTCAGGAGTCTCCCTCACTATCTCGACGTACCACACATCCTTGCACAGCGGGTCATCGAAGCTTGTGGTCAAGATCATCTCCGGGTGACTGCATCGCAAATGGACAAGCTTCCCGTCCGTTTGTCTTGTCCATATGAATGCGCTGGGCCCGATGTGCGCGCTATCATGTCATGGCGAGCTGCGGTCAGTGTCCTTCTAACATTTTTCGATCACGAGCTGAGACTGCACAGATTGTTCATCTTTTTGACCATCTGTGCCGCTTGTCCGCCCCATATCCAGCTCCTTTGTGTCCTGTTTTCTTGATATCTCCAGATGTCAATGAACTTGCCAGCAACATTCCACCTATTGAGAGGTGTTCTGAAGACGATGTAGCCAAATTGACACTCTGTCAGCAATCGTCTGGTGATAAGGAGACACAGAAGACGGCGACAAACTCGTTGTGTTTTTGCGTACACTGTCCGCATGCGACCTGGGCTGGGAATACAAAACAAGAGACGGAGGCACATCTTCGTGATGTGTGAGTGTGCGTGCTTCAACAATCATTTCATCCTACTAATTTCTGCTTCCATTCTTCAGGCATGATATCCACATTCCTTCTCTACACACGGATTACTACTACGATCCTGATTCAAGATGGGTGTCCCGTCCTTTCTACATCATTTCTAATAAAGCCGATATAGCTGGATTACCTCAGCACCTACAGAAAGCATTGGATGATGGAGAGGCCGTTGTCTCTGCCTTTTCCAAGGAGAAAATGTGACTCATGGAGTCCCCGGCATGTCGCTTGAAGTCCCGAAAGTAGGTTCCTGTATAATCTGAACGTATGTGTGTTATGAAGAATGCACTAAACGTATAAAATACCATTACCAACCTATCAACGTCGTATTATAAGTGTAGTGCACTTCGGGTGGCCTCGTACCCAAATACTCCGTGCGAGATACGAGGCCATTAGGTACAATCGTTCTCGGTTTCTTAATTTGGTGTATGGGTCCATTGTGTAGACGCCTATATAAAGGCATCCAACGCTAGTGCTTGTGGCCTGCCAACTATTTGACCATATTCTCTCTGACCTCTGTTCAACTGGTTCAATTTTGACCACCCCATCTGTCGTTACGGATTTATGGCTCCCACAAAGCGCCGCAAGCAGGCAAACGGCGCAGCCGCGCCTGATGCCACCGAATTTACAGGCACTGACCATGCACCGTCGAGGCGACGTAGAAATATACGGGGTCGTCGAGGAGGCTTGCGAAATTTACCCGATATGCCTTTGGATATCCTCTATGAGGTATGATATCTCTCGTCTATGTCATGCTCGATTATTGAAAGTCATGCGGGCAAGCCTGACAGGTGTTTTCCCATCTGAGGCCTGTAGATTTGTTGAATTTGTCTCGAGCAAGCAAGGGTTTTCGCGCTCTTCTCATGAATAAGGGGTCTGCTACGTATTGGAAAGCGAGCCGTCGCAACATTGATGGCTTGCCAGAATGTCCGCCATTCCTCAGTGAACCAGCATTCGCTGACTTGTGTTTCGGGTCTCACTGTCATGTACGTGATCGTTATCGCTCTCTCGCTCCGTGATAACTGGTAAATCATTCCAGGGATGCTGTAAACCCTGCGCGCGCATTCTTCTCTGGGTGTTTCTGAAGAGGTATTGCAGTAATTGCAAGAACGCAAGGTCAGTCTCGACACGCACTCCGTAGATCTGGCTTTGGAACTTAATATCTGTTAGGGTGGTGAAGAAGCGAAGCTTGCCCCCTGACGCTTTCGTCGTTCACATGTCCGTGGGAGTAGAAACCAGCTTGCCAGTCACAATACATGTGATTCGAGGTTCGTCAACAGGAGCATTCTTGGTTTTATGTCATACTCATTTAGCTCCTTGAATAGAGCACAAATGTCAGGTCGAATACGTACACAAGCCAGATGTAGAGTCTCGCACTGAGGAATTTGCTCAGGTGGAACCAGGCAAACAATTTGAGTGGCTCGCTTACCACAAGCAACGTGTTCGCGATACAATGGATGTGCGTCTACCATGAACATATTGTCCCTTCAGTGACCATGTTGATGTTCACTTAGTTTGCTGCACGATGCGAGCAGTGGCAAGAGAATGTGGCTGGAGCGCGTGTGGATGATAACCATGCGAAACAGGTTACGCGATACAATGCGTAAGTGATGGATGCTTCTACAAGGATCTATACTGTAGTGACACAGACGTCAAGCATTATGGCCAAACTTCGAGAGCTGGGTTGGAGCGACGAGCTGGACAAGATGGGCTCGGGATATTCACCTTTAAGGTCCCTCCATGCTGTCAGCAAGGCATCCCTCTTAACTGAACAAGGCATGTTTCATAAGTATACATCGGTCTAAGACTAACATGTTGTGCAGAATGGAAGAAAATCCAGGACGAAGTAATTGAGTTCATGGAAAGGATGAAAGCATCTCGACTAGCCCGAGAATACCGCGAGGTCCTCTTCAGGCGCTTTAACCTGTTTCAAATGGCATTGAATCGGTGGGACTTTGGCATTATGGTGCCTTCATGGCGTTATATTGCTTCGTCTACTCAGGTTCGCTCGATTCTCAATGCGCCAATCAACATAGGCCTCGACCAGAATAATCTCCACCAGTTGCGATGCTTTGTTCCTGATGTAATCAAGCAATGGTTGGTACATCGGAATCAAATGCTGTCAAATTGTGTTAAGCTTTCAATGGCATCACCAGAGGGGCTCAATCCATTGGATCTAGCCATAACAAGTTTCTACTATTGCGATGGTTGGAAGCACCGTGATCGCCCATCACTCTTATCCTTCTGCGATGCCTGCTATCACAAATGCGGGAGTATTCACATGCCTTCCTCTGCTGCCGAGGATGATCACTATGTCGACGTCCTATACGAATATTCCTGGTTGGATGATAACTCTTTTGACGATGCCGATGCATTGGAAATTCCTCTTCTCGTCATTCAATCGGTCATTCAGGCGTGTGGTCAAGATCCGTCCACTGTAGGTACAGTGCAAATGGACCAGCTTTCTGTTCGCCTGGGTTGCCCTTTCGGATGTACCGGTCACTATGTCCGCCTTGTGATGAATTGGCGTGCTGCGGTTCGTTCACTACAAAGTGCTTCATGTCTAATCAACTAAGCGTCAGGGTCTTAGATCGTCCATATTTTCTCCCACCTATTCGGGCAACGGGGACTCCTCCCGGCGTACAGTGGGTCATCCAATTATATCGACCCTCTCAAGCGTGAGATCCCACCTATTCCGTTATGTTCTCAGGAGGACGCTGCGAGGGTTTCACCGTTGGACGCAGTGTCTATGTTGCGAGTCACTCACGAAATGGAAGGCAACATGGTATGGTTCTGTACTCATTGCAAATATTACACGTGGGCATCGTGCACGAAGTATAAGACAGAGATGCACGTGAAACGAGTGTAAGTTAGAAGAGATCCTTTCACCAGTGTCAACTACTCATGTTGGATGTCTTCAGGCATGGTGTCAACAACCCTGCCATCTTCGTTGATATCACCTTTGACCGCGGTTCACCATTGGTTGCTCGTCCGATCTATATTGTTTCGGACAAGATGCCTATGAACGAACTTCCTTCCCATGTTCGCGAAGCACTGGCCGCAAATGAAGCCATCATCGTTTCCTAATGCTATCCGTGCCCGCATCGTAGACAGAGGAATACTGTAGATGAACGTCACATATTGGCTTGAATATACTTTTCACGGAACATGCTGACTTGCCTTTCGAGGGTATACGGTGACACGGATCAAGATCGACTACGATCGCCGGTCCAGATAAAGCTGTGCTTCAGATGTCAGAGTAGTTTCCACTGCGACTTCCACCTTGTTATGCGGCTTCCTGGAATAAACATCAACATGCAGATCACTCCTCTGGATGTCGACTTACGCACCTATGGTTTTCCGCAAGGATACTTTCTAATTAAGAACGTAGCAAGCAACCGTTTTCTTGACGTCGATTCGGATATGGTGGAAGACGGAACGGGGCTCATTCTGTACCCTCAAACAGAAACCTCTTTGGTCGAGGGTATGATCATAATGAATGTTGCCTTCGGACTTTGAATGACAGTAAGTCTCTCAACACAGATATGAGGAAGCCGGAATCTAATAATCAAGTGTGTGATTCACCACAATTCACTTGCGATGTGCTTGAACGGCCGATGATATGTTTTGACAGGTGTTCTTCATAGATACATCGGGTGCGCTATGTTCCCGGTCATCTGGACATTCAATTGATGTTGAAAGTGCGTTAAGATCATTGAGCTTCAGCGCGTTACGGTTATCTTACCAGTCGGTTAGACGAGACGTTGGTTCTTCGCCACCGTCGCCCTATATCACATCCATTTCCAAATGCCTACTCCCATCCGCTTCCACGTTTTGTCTACGAGCCAACCACTGGACGCATCACCATCGTCTTTGCTGCTGATCCTTCGTATCCAACCTCACCCGATCGTGCCGCGGCGCTGAGTTCATGGAAAGACAAGACCTATGTCCTAAGCTCAATTCCAATGCGCAAGCCTCGTACGTTCATCGACGATGCCTCCCAACTGATTACCTCCGCTATCAACATGCCATTCTCTTTATTGAATGGTCGGACGGCGGCAAACGCTACACCAGATGCTGTGTTCAGCAGTGGTGATATTGATCTTAAGGAAGATGAAATACTTGAACAGGAGCGCAGCGAGGAGGGTGAAGTAGATGACTCCCCTGAAAAGATCAGGAGGGTACGTGTGGTAGGATTAACGAAGGCTGACATCGCTGTTATGGGTGACCAGGCGAAGGCTCGGCAGCGATGGGAAGTTATACCCTTGCGAAGTACACGGAACCGTACGTGGCTGTGATTGTATCGTCTCGCTACGCCCGTTCCCCCCATTTCCCTTTAGCTTTAGTCTTCACAGTCTTCAGTGTATTTTTTTACGTCTATTTATCGAAACACGGTACTCCAGGCTCGACCGCTCGACATGAAAACCAGTGAGCTCGAGGGAGCGGAGGGTATGAAAGACAGGGAAAATCTAGGCCAACAGAGTCAGACTGACAATTTGAGTAAAGTACGAGTCTTGGCTGCTGTTGGAACAGCAATGAGTAGCCCCAGTTAGAGCCATCGGTAAGGCTCGGTGTTTATAGATGCAGAAAATCTCGGGAAGTATATTCCAGGAAAAGTCTTAACATTCCGCTTTTGAGATATCGAAATGTATTCCAATTCAATAGGGCTTGTTCTCTCTGAAGCATACATCAATATGTCCATGGTGTTAGGATTCGGAAGCGAAGTGAGATTATATCATTGCCTTACCTAAAGTCTTCCTTACACAGTCTGTAGAATCAGTAAGTATTATGGAAAATGTTGCCAATAAAGATTAGTGGCCAGTCCTTAGGTGCCAAGGCTCTTTTTCTAGCGATAGCTGGCGTTGAGTACGCAAAGCGACGTATCCTTTTCGGGATGATTTCTACCTAAAAAGGCAAAACTACCACTCCAGCGCTTCAGGCATTTCTTTGCCTTACACCGTGACATCCATGGCTTGGCTTCCCTCGAATTTCCAATGCAATTACGAACGCACCAGAGCGATCTTTGACTGCCTCATGCTCAGGAACAAGTCGTCTAGATGTTGTATCAGATGAGAGAGTAAGGAGTCCTCTGGAGAGAAGCGAGCCGATATTGTCACTGGAGCCATGCCGTGCGGAATAACCAAGGTGCAAGCTTCGCATAGGACGATAAAAAATACAAACCACCCAAGAAATTGACCTCGTATTTCGACAGACCAAGATAAAGGGGAATGTGGGGCTATGTTGCCGCCTTTGATGCATTTATCTCAGGGTTATTTCATTCATTCATCATGTCTGACCTCAGAACCGCCCTACTGCGAGCCAAATCAAACTTTGCGGCTTCGCATGAATCCGATCCTCCGACATCCTGCCGCTCACGCGCTGATTGCAGCCACAAGCGGTCAGTCATTCAGCATAGAATTCTCGCGGGTACCTAACCGGATTTCTCACTCTTGTTCAGATGACTCACAAAGCGTCTCGTATGTTTTTCGCGCCTGCGTGTCATTGGTTGCCACGACATGCTATCCTGAGATGCCGGATATATCAGCTGGGCCCGTCTGTAGTAGAAGTTCAACTAGTCTTATTTTGCGCTAGGTGCGGGTGATGTATCAGCTTAAGAAACCTAAAATATACCGCTCATGGACTCAGGACGCGTTGTCGTTTGTCCTTCACATCCGCAGTGCTAGCCAGCCTGAGGATCCATGGCATCCATTAAAAGGTGTGAGTAACTATTCACTGTTGTAGACGAGGTTCATCGCTGACTCGCTAGTTAGACCCGGAGTCCTTGTCGGGATCCTCCAGCCAAGCATATGCGACGACCGAGGTTCTAGAGAAGCATCACGCACAATATCCTGGAGTAAGCAAGAGCAAAGTTTTACGCAAGATCGATATTAGGCTTGTGCCCGTGTTGTGTGCTCTCTATTTACTGGCCTTCTTGGATCGGTGAGCAGAGAATCAGTTCCGAACACGATCGATCTCACTGACCCGTGTTATTCACTATACTCCAGAGTCAATATTGGAAATGCAGCCCTATTCAACCTGAGGCAGGACCTGAAGTTGGGCGGGAATGAGTATAACACTGCTCTCGTCATCTTGTGAGCTGAAGCGACCTATCGCTGGTCTTGGACTATGTTGACATTTATTCCTAGCTTTGTTCCCTATGTATTATTCGAGGTCCCGTCAAATCTACTGCTGAAGCGATTTAAACCACACGTCTGGTGTACGTTTCTATATCGTTCTTTTATCAGGTTATCCTGACGACTTCCTTCCATAGTGCCAGCATGTCTTTTCATGTTCGGCCTCGTAACGGTATTGCAGGGCTTCACCCAGAACTATAGTGGCATTCTTGTAACTAGGTTCTTCCTGGGTAAGACTCAACCATCCATCACATAACCCAAGCTGTGATGATCTGACTATCCTCACTAGGCCTTTTTGAGAGCGGTATGCTCCCAGGATGTTACTACCTCATTTCAATGTAAGCCAGGACCTACATATCATCCAGACCATTACTGACTGAGATTTCAACGTAGGTGGTACAAACGCTCCGAGGCTCAAACGCGCTATACATTCCTGTTCTCATCTTGTTCCTTGGCTGGTGCCTTTGGCGGCCTTCTTGCCAGTGCCATTGGTAAGATGGACGGCATAAGGGGATACCACGGTTGGAGATGGGTTTTCATCCTAGGTACGTATCACAGACGTTCCTGACAAGTCACTTGGCGCGGTTCTGATGTTGAATTATGTGAACAGAGGGCCTGCTGTCCTGCGTTATGTCGATTTCTTTCTATTTCCTTATCTCTGACTTCCCAGAGGAAGCCAAATGGCTCACTGCGGAGGAGAAAGCTTTTGTTCATGCAAGATTGCAAGAGGACGTAGGCGATTCAGGTATCAATGAAAAAATGACGGCCGGTCGTATCTTCCGTGCTCTTAAAAATTGTATGCATTTGCTTCTGCATGTTGTATTTCATCTGGTTGAATATTTCTGCAGACAAAACCGTTCTAGGTGGCTTCATGTACTTTGGATTCATCGTTCCCGCGTATAGCTTCGGTATGTTTCTGCCTCGCAGAGCATCATCGTTCTTACCCTTATTATCACCTTCCATCAGTCTACTTTTCGCCGTCAATTATCCAAACTCTCGGTCACAGCAGTATTCGAACTCAACTTCTTTCCGTCCCACCCTACGCCTGCGCCTTCGTCGTCGGCATGATTGTAGCAGCCCTCTCAGATCACTATGCGCACCGATTCCTCTTTATTATCTTTTCAGCTTGCGTTGCGATAGCAGGGTTCGCAATCCTGTTCGTTGAGCACCATAATTCGAACTTGCAATATGGCGCTTTGTTCTTGGCCGCGACGGGGACGTACTGTGGGATGCCAATCATTTTGTGCTGGTTTAGCATGAATGGTAATGTCCAATCGCTTGAGTATTTGCTTCCAATGTCTTAACTTTTCATGTTGTAGTCCGTGGACATATACACCGTGCAGTCGCAACCGGGTGGCAGATTGGTTTTGGTAACAGTCAGTATACTTTTCTTGATGATCCTGTTGAGTCATCAACGCTTTGGCCTTTTTTTTGTTTAGTCGGTGGTATCATAGCCTCATACGCCTTCCTTGCCAAAGATGCACCAGAATACCGATCGGGGTATAGCATCTGCATATCCTTCGTCTGTCTCTCCGCTCTCGCGAGCTTCCTCTACTTTATTGGCCTGACAGTCGAGAATCGACGGCAGGTCGGTTCTAAAGGCGAAGAAGGCAAAGTCGAGGGTGGCGGGTCCGAGAAGGATGATGTGTTTGTGTATCTCAGGTGATAGAATGGAGCTGTATGGTATACAATGGGACAGTGTCGTCGTGATGAATGTAAAAATACAAGGAGCGTAAAGTATTACTGTACTACTATCGCAGGGTCCATTGAGAAATTGGGCTTGACCGAACATTCGTAATACAATCGGAAAGAAATGAAACAACATAAGGAACTGGACAGACGAACGGGAAGAGGAGGGAGGAATTGGAATGTCATAGGAGTGAAAGCTATTGTGATGACGTAGAGAGAAATTATGGTATCTTGCCTATTAATGGCTAGTAACACAACAGGCACAGAAAAAGTCTTGACGGACCGTATAAGATGACAGTCCAAAGAACATGATAGCGTCGTGAAAGTACAGTCAGAGGGGGAAGGGAAGGGGAAGAATCGGGCCTACGTCCTGATAGACCCATTGGTATGAGGGGCGGTATGCATCGGTGCTGCACCATTAACACTATTCATAGCGTTCATACTGGTGGCACTGCTGACACCGTTCATGCCATTGAACGGCACCACCGCCATCTGTTGGCTATGGGCAGGCGATGGTGCCTCTTCATACATCCTGCATAGAACCAATTCCAACATAGCGACTGAAGCAGGGGTGAAATTGAAAGAACGAGCGGTATGTCGGGCATGTTGAAAGAGCGTCTCCATCCTGTTCCATCTCTCTTGTAAAGAGTCTATGCCTGGTGGAAGTATGTGTTGTTGAGGAACTTGATTTGGATAAGTGGAGGACTGCGATTGAATTTGGGGGATGGAATGAGGAAGTGGTTCGGGAACAGATGTGACAATAGGTGAGGGGACTGGGCCTGAGGCAGATACGGGCACCACTGACCTGGGAGAGGTATGGGTCGACGATGAGGAATGAGATGAGTGCGAACTTGAGGGCAGTTGTGGAGGGATCGGTTGGCGCACATCCACAGAAGACCGTACAAGCATCGATGACGAACCCCCCATGACGTTCATACCAGGTGAAGACGAAGGTGAGGTAGGACTCTGTGACTGTTCGGATTCGACGGCCGGTGGTACTGCAGTGCTTGCGTTCGTAGTCCGAACACGCCTTCGCGGCTGTTGTTCTGCCTGAGCCTTCCTTCCTCGTTTCGTGAAAGGGAAGTTCTCAAGTCCGATTGGATGGGAGTGTTCCGGAATGTCTAGTTGTATTAAATGATGACGACATCGATGCAGAGTCAACTAAAGCAACGGACTGTAAGGAACAAACCACTTACAACAGACACGAATTTCTTCGGCATGCCAATAAGTCTTGTAACTGATCGATGCAGCGCATCCTTGTCCTTCAAGCTACCTTGTACCAGTATTGAGCTCATCCGTCCCCAAAGGTCATACAGATCATTATGCGGGCTGTGCTGACCTTACGACTAGGAACTTTCCTGACTCTGTCCGGATACTTCTTAACATACTTCTTCCTCCCGCTCCTCGAATGTCGTGCGCATACAAGCTTGGTATGGGTTTTGAAACGCGGAGGCTTGGCCCTGCTCGTATGCGTATCGCCTTTGACGAACTCGATCATCTTCTCTTCCTCTTCCTTCTCCTTCCACTCTTGGAAAGCTGACATGGATGGAAAGAGTAGTGTATAACCGTCTTCTACATCTCCGCAACCGTACGGTGCCTTCTCGTTCGAAGCAAGGTCATATTGATATGAACCGTTATGATCCTGTTCGAGCTGGCCGACAGATGCTGCCGATGGAGCCTGAGACAAATGGTCAGACTGAAGTGAACCGGGATCTTGTCCTGGGTGATAGTCTTCGTGGGGTGCTATAGGCACCCTGAAATGTTGAAAACTCATTTAGCGAGTTCAATAAGGTGAATGCAACAGGATAGCGTTCAAACACTTCCAACTCGCGAAATGATGATGCGGATGTAGTCACGCATAACTAGTGTATGTCACAGCGAAGTCACAGTGTCAATTAGAAAGGTCCGTAGCAGTCCAAGCCTTTTGTAATGTAATGTCCGTGGGTGAGCATATTCAAGTAAAGCAGAGGTCAGATGAAGCAAAAAGAGTCTATAGCAATGTCAAAGCACCAAACATAACACCAGCAACTGCCGCCATTGAAGCGTACAATTGATTCCGTGCTATCCGGAAGTCGAGCGAAGCACTTGAACTTCCAGAACTCGAACTTGCGTTCTCATCAATAGGAGTAGCAATGGGCGTCGACGGGTTGTAGTCTACTCCATTAGCAGTAGCAGCGACTTGGAAGACTGAACCACCGCCGAACTCGTAGAACTGTCATAACATTCAGCGCCTCAGTCAATATGTCATTCAATAGAACGGAGAACTCTGATACGCACGTCGACTAGCAAGAAGTTAGGGTTGCGTCCGTGGTCGTTCACACAAGTGTTCACTTGCTCGCCAAGGGATCCGGGACCAGAAGCAGAGTTCGTGACATTGGCTTGTTCCTTGAATGGCGCCGGTAATCCTGGAAATCCGCCGATGAGTTGGTCAAGGAAATGGTTGATGAGGTATAGTTGCGTCTCCGAATCGCCCTTTGTTCGGTTGACTGTACAGTCAAATGATGCAGGGTCCGTAACATCGAATGCGGTTTCCCAAACATTCGTGAATTCTTCAAGACAAAATCAGAATCAACATTTCAACGCTAGCCGGCTGTATTAAGAGCGCACCGTCAATGAGGTATGGTACGCTGTTGAAGTCGGCAGTGGTCGACAGGAAAGTCACAAGACGTTTCCCTGAGTCAATCATAGACCCGAGGGTCGGCCATTCGCCTTGTGTTAGGGTAGCAGTCGCAGGCGCATAGGAGAGGGTATCAACGCCTGCGGCCCTGAACACATCATCATATTGGCTTGGAGGCAAGTTATCGGAATTAACAACCAGTAGAGAGACGACTAAAGCAAGTTAACGTTAGCAGGAGGCTGAGACATGCATTTCACATTCCTTACCTTCATTTGGGTTTGCATCCATGAAAGTCTTGACTGGAATGGAATTAGTCAAACCCGCCCTTCAACACGGGATCAAATCCGCAGTCTTACCTTTGCCAAGGAAATCTTCCAAGGTTCCGCCGTTGTAGAGACCCTACGGACCGCAACCAAAAATCGCAGGTCAGCACAATGTTAATGACCGAGAAACGGACTCTACGGCTACGACGGAATGATGGGAACGTACGCAAGCAGTATGACATAACTGGATGACCCCATTTTGGTTATGTGCCTGCATCTGGAGCATGCGAACACCATCTTGTAGTTGCTGTGTGACTGCGGAGGGGGCGAGGGAGCGAGTTAACGTGAGTGCCAAGCTAGAAGTCATTTTGAGAAGGCGTACTATCGTAGTCCTGGTTCGTGGCCACTAGACAGAACGTATTTGGTGAACTATAGCGTAGAGGAAAGTATGAATGTACTGACGATTATTTATTCCTACAGCGTATGAGTTGTGGGCACCGACAAACTGCATTGAGCACAGTCAAGATCGAAATGCGGCTGTAATAGAATTTCTATGCATACTGTAACGTTTCCGTAGCTCCTGTCACAAAGCTATAACACTCCTGAGTGCTATGAAGGGGAACAATATCTTCAGGACACACACACCTCGGCATGGCCATTGCACACAGCAGCCCGACGTTGGATATAAGGTGTCGCAGACACCAGATGTAAGGTAAGCAGTAAAGAAAGGACGGCCGGCGTCAAGTACTTGGAAAACATGATCGTAACTAGGGAGAAATCAAAGAGGACAAATTAAGAAAGCGATTGAAAGAATGTCGGGGAGGTGGCTGGCAGTAAGTTCGTCGAGAGCAAGTCAAGAAGCCAGGTAAGAGCAAGGAGAGGCTTACACTTGGTCTGCACTGCTCACGGTCGTTAAATAATAGAACACTTTAGGCGCCTGCCTAGCAACGCGAAGACGGCAGCCACTACGGCCGACCGCGCGCATCCTCTTCTCCTTCTTTACCGGTGTCCTGATCTTCTTCATCGTCCGGTTTTATTTCTGGGTTGTCATGGGTGTTGGGAGCACACTGAGCCAGCGTGCTCGGCTTATTTTCTTTTGGGCATTGGAGGAGGTGCGTCGTGGCAAGCTTAAAATACTACTCGACCAGCGCACTCGTGGCTGACGTTTGAGTTGACTTTTGACCGTGACAGACGAATTTCATCGTTACAGGGCTGACAGCCTGTACCATATTGTACACTCGCTCTTCTGCGATCGTGTACTTTGCTCTAGGAGCAGTCGTATGCTCGAGAGTTGTTAAACTCATGAAGAAAGTACTTCGTCAACCAAGACCAGTCAACCCACTTCCTGGACATCAAAAAGGCGATTATGGGTATACTACAACTGTCAATGCTTCAAGCGATCTTATGCTACTGACATGAGGCGTTGTCTAGGATGCCCAGTACGCACTCAGGCGTCATCTCGTACTATGCTGCCTACAGCATCTTGGCCTGCAAATATCTACCTATTCACTCCTCATTACCAGACACTCCCTTAACAAGGGTCCTGGCACTTCTCGTAATTATTCCATGGGCAGCCACTATTGCTATCTCTCGTATATGGCTGGGGCATCATACCTGGCAGCAAGTTACTGTAGGCTGTTCCCTCGGAATCATGTTCACTCCTATATGGTTCTTGTTATGGACGCGCGTAGCTCATGTGTATGGCGAACAGCTAGAGCAAGCCATACTTGGACCGTGACTCTATACCCAAAGTTGTTACCGACATTCCATACCAATCTAGATGAAGTCACGTTATTAATTGTCAAGCTCTGGCTTCATTGCTATTCCTTACTTCAAGACGTAACGATAATTATTGTCCAGACACTGACAACGATTTTCCAAGTCATTCGCCGCTACGTCGCTGAAGCACTCTGAAAACCCAATCTACAGGTATATTTCTCCCTTCATTGTAACCCTCACTTCACCTTGCAATGTAACCTTCCCCGCCTCTCGCTGCAAACATACTGTCAAGTCACCACCCCTTGGGCTAACCTGCTTCGCTTGCATCGTTGCTCCATTGTGTTGATGTTTCGCATCCCAGTACGGTACAGACATCGTATGTGCCGACCCACATACGGGATCTTCTAATAAACCTGCCGCAGGTGCGAACATCCGTGACAGGAATGCAACGTTGGGGTCTTTGGAGGCGGAAGTGATAACATTCACTATGTAGCCTGTCTCAATCTATAAATGATACATGTCGCTAAGATGACATATGCCCGAAATTGTCGAGTTGTACTCACGAATTCGTTATGGTTAATCTTGCAATTCGCCAAGTCGTCATCCGCGTCGATCTCAGCAATCAAATAACGATCCCAAGGAAAGCCGCTCATTCCCTTCCCAACGAAATGCACCTTCGCATCGTCCTTACCCAAACCTTTTCTGACAATAGCCTTCATTTTCTCGGCTTCCTCCTCAGGCAATGCTTCAACAGGTGTGTTAGCGAGAGAGACCTCGATTTTGTCTTCGACCTTTCGCGCGGAAATATTCTGCCCATGCTGGACACCCTGAAAATGGAGTGTCTGAACAGATGGAGGTACGAGTTCTGCAGAGAATATGGCTCCTGCAGCGGCAAGGGATCCGTGTCCGCAAACGGGTGCTTCTGTCGTAGCAGTGAACCAGCGAACATGGAAAGTTCGTTCAGAGGGGGATTCCTGTTCAAATTCCTGCTCATGTTCTGCTCCATCCGCTACCGAATTCGAAGGTGGGAGGATGAATGTGATGATAGGCTGATTGAAGTTTGTGGATATGCTTTGCAGGACTTCAGTCGACAAGTCCTCTTGGAGGAACACAATGGCCGCAGGATTCCCTCCGGAGAAGCTATCTGTGAACGCATTGACTATCATAAAAGGTATGGGCTTGGGGGTTGGGTTGGCCATAATCATGTTCAGGAAAAGGTTTACAAGGGAACGCAATGCCTGAACTGGCTGGGAATATACCACAGTCGCGTTAGGGGGACGAAACGTGCGCGGGTAGCTATCTTTAATATACTCTGACATCTAAACTAGACCCGAGACGTTCTGGCTTGATGTACAGGGGATTGGTGGTGGGCGCGGGAATCCGAAGCATTAATATTACTCAGTTCGTTCAGGTCGAAGAGTCAAGTGCACCACAAGACCAGCACAAGCTTCTGGCAGTGGTATGTGTCCGCGGATAGATGTAACGATTAAGGGTACAACTCTCCAACCAACGACTTGCGTATCTGTTCCCTATCGCTCTCATACCCTTCAACGAGATACCTGACACCTTCAGCAATGACTTCTCTCGTCTTCTCCTTCCCTTCCCAAGCTACTCGGGGACACCATGTAACCAAATGAGCACCGACATGGATCAGGGCGATCTTCGGAATATCACCCTCCCTTATAGGGACTTTCTTGCCGTAAGTCGTCAAGAAAGCAGACAAGGTAGCTGAGGCAGCCGCTTCAGCGTCCGAGTGGAATCGACGTAGGAGGTGCATTTCTGCAGCGAACTGTCCGATTTCGACGCCAGCGACTCCAGCCTTGGCCATCTCCCAGTCCACCACGTATATTCGATTCAAGGTGGAACTATCCGATGAAAGTGAAATGAGGATGTTCCCAGGCCAGAAATCGCCCATAACTACTGACTCCCTCGTCGTCATCATTCGGTCCGTGAGCTCTTTGGAGACTTTCTCAATAATGTTGAGGTCGTCCTGAGAAACGTCGAGCGGTGGATCGGGCAACGCAGGTAACTCATCTTTACCAGAGAGTGTCGAGACTAAACGTCCGTAAGTCGCCCACGAAGATATCTGTCTCCCAGTTTCGTTCTTCGCCAAGAAATCCAACAACTCCTGATCTGCTGTTCCCTCCGTATGGAAAAAAGCAAGGAAATTGCCCAGAGCTTCACCAATGGACCGCGCGAGCTCGATGGATGGTGGTTTCTCGAGCATAAGCTGCTTGAGAGTCAATACGTCCACACCGCAGTCGTCCATGATGATGACATCGGCTTTGTCGTCGAAAAGGTGTATAGCTGGGACTGTTACAAGAGAATCAAGCGGTAGGGATTTTTTGACTCTTGTCAAGACGCCTGCTTCGTACATCTGGATCGATCATTGTTCACAAGTCAGTGCCAGATACGAAATGTTCCGTACCGAAATTGGATTCTTACCTGGCGATCTAGAGGAAATGGTATCCATTCCGCGTTTGGCAGATGCGCTTTTGCATGTTTTAGTACCAGGGAAGTACGACCTTCATGCGGAGTGCGCAAATGAATCCGATAGGTATAGTTGCCAAGACCACCGGCGAGTTTGGTCACCTCGTCGCTGGAAAATGGTGTATTCCCCAGATAGGTGAATACACCCTCAATGGTTGCGAGGTCATATTCCGGTGTGGGCATGTCCGTTTCCAAACTTGCTTCGATAGCAGTAGTAACGGGGTTGAGTTGTCGTTCAAGGATTGAAGTTATATCTTGTGTTATAGTGGACGCCATTTTATAAGCTAGTCATGGGTACGTCCGGTACCGTCTTCAAGAAGGAACAGGTTCGGAACCGGCATGGTACCGTCAGTCTGGAAGGTGACTGGAAGGTTGTCGTACGAAGGCAAGCAGAGACTTATCTCAAAACACTGAATATCTCAAAACACTGAATAAAACCAAGAAAGATCGGCTCGATTCACTACATCGGGCTCATCATGCCGAGCAAAGCTCATGTTGGGATCGATCACTGAACATCCAACCAGAACAGAGAGTACAATGAAATGCAATATGAGAGTACTCGTGCTACATGACATGAGAGGGCGTAAATGTAAACAGATGAACCAGCTGGAGGAATACAACGATTGCTTGATTGGTGAGAGACAGAACAAGGAAAGACAGGCACTCGAGAGAACAGTGTTGACACAACGGAAATAATACTTCTGAGCTCTACCACTTTCCTTACAGCTTGTCGTAGTAGGTGTCGAGAGAAGGGATATCGGGCTTGAGACCCTTGCGAGTACGGATACCCCTGACGAGTTCTTCGATCTTGGAGCCCTTGTCGAGAGGAGCTGCCAGGAACAGACATCAATTTTACATTCTCTACAGCACCGCGAAAGGAGTACTTACATCCATTCATCAACTCCCAATGGTCGAAGACGGATTGAGGGAAGGCTTGACCACCAGTCGCAGCACGAAGCTCACCGTTGAAGCCGAAGGACTCCATGATGGGGAGATAAGCCTTCACGGTGAACATCGGTGTACCAACACGCTGCTCTTCTGAGAAGACCTGTCCACGACGCTTGTTAAGTACAGAGTAGATACCACCGATGGCGTTCTCTGGGCACTGAATCTCGACTGTAATGATACATCAGTGAGAGGACAAGTCATTGCATCAGGAATGAAACATACCGAGGTAGACGGGCTCCTGGATACCAGGGGTGGCGAGCAAGCAGGCGGCGTAGGTGACACGACGGCAAGTGGGGATGATTTGTCCTCCACCACGATGAATAGCATCAGTGTGCAGGGTAACATCGAGGATGTTAACACGGACACCACGCATGTTCTCCTCAGCACAAGGTCCCTCCTTCGTTGCCCACTGGAAGGCAGCAACACACGAATCCTTGATTTCGTTCAAGTACTGCACACCCTTGGTAACATCAACGAGGAGGTTAGGGCCAGTAGTGTCAGGACCAAAACACCAGATCTTCCTGGCATCGGTGACATCCCATCCGAACTCGTCAGCGAGGACACGGGCTCGAATCTTGTAATCGTCGCGGGCGGTGACCTTGCCGCTCTCGATGGCGAGTGAAAGCTCTTCATCGATGGGCTGAGCCTTGGCATAGAGACGATTGTGCTTGTTCTGTGACTTGGAGAGGGCAACGATGGAAGACTCAGCCTTGACAGTCTCACGGTAAGCGACGACAGGGTCGGATTTCTTGAGAGGAACACCAGCATGGTCCTCCTCGAGATCCTGAAATAAAGAAGTTAATGATTGATGGCGGATAGAAGTAAACAGAGCAACTGACCTTCAAGCAGATCTCCAAGTGCAGCTCACCAGCACCAGCGACAATGTGCTCACCGGACTCATTGATCCAAGCCTGAACACAAGGGTCAGACTTGGAGAGACGCTTGAGACCTTCGACGAGCTTGGGCAAATCGGCGGCGTTCTTGACCTCGACAGCGACCTGGACGACGGGGGAGACGGAGAACTTCATGACTCTCATGTTGTGCGCAGTCTCCGAGGTGGTGAGCGTACCGCTCTTGAGCAAGAACTGATCGATACCGACGAGACCGCAAATATTACCAGCAGGACAGTCCTCAATGGGCTCGACATAACGACCCATCATGAGCACGGTACGCTGGACAGACTTGACAAACAAATCGTCCTTCTTACCGGGGACATAGTTGGGACCCTGGATACGGATCTTCGGTCCAGCACGGACGGTACCGGAGAAGACACGACCGAAGGCGTAGAAACGTCCCTTATCGGAGGTAGGCACCATCTTGGAGACGTAGAAAACGAGGGGAGCCTTGGGGTCACAGTCACGAATACCGATGGCGGACTCATCGTCCATAGGACCCTCGTAGAGAGTCTCAACACGGTAGCGTTGAGCGGTTGCCGGGGAGGGGAGGTTGATGACAATCATCTCCAAGAGGGAGTCACCAGCGGGCAAGAACTTGCGCATGATGACCTTGAGAAGAACCTTGCCTTCGAGATCACGTTCATCCTGAGCCAGCTTGATGTCGAGTTTCTCGAGCATGGGGCCAATGGCATCCTTCTTGAAGTTCATAACGGAGTCGAAGATCTTGAAGATTGGGTCGAGGACGAACATATTGAAGGCACGGTCAAGAGGCTTGCCGTCGGCGTCATTACCCTTGGTAGTCCATTTGCGTGTAGCGGGGTTAAAGTAATTGTCACCCCAGAGCTTGGCCATCATCTTCTCCTTGTCAACACCGAATTTCTTGGAGTATCGGCTGGCGAACTGACGGAGGGTGAATGCCCAGCCGTGAAGACCGGAACCGAAAGCGACGGTACCCTTCTCGGGGTAGACCTGGACATCACCAAGAGTCTCGTCGTGGTAGGTAGAAATGATAACGTTCACGTTCTCGATTGTGCGACGGAAGGACTGGAAGAGCGCCTCCTTGTCGACTTGCAATTCGAGGAGAGCACGGTCAACCTTGTTGATAATGACGACGGGCTTGATACGCTCGGTAAGAGCTTGGCGAAGCACAGTCTCGGTCTGGACACAAACACCCTCAACACAGTCGACGACAACGAGGGCACCATCGGTGACACGGAGAGCGGCTGTGACCTCTGAAGAGAAATCGACGTGACCGGGAGAGTCAATCAAGTTGATCAAGAACTCGTTGCCTATGCAAGCGAGAGATAATCAGCATCGGCAATAATTACACAAGGCAAGCGACCAGGTCGGCGATCGTAATCGAGATACTCACCAATAGTCTTTTGCTTAATTGCGCCGACATCCTCCTTGTCGACCTCGAAGTACATGGAGATGGCGGTAGACTTGATAGTAATACCACGCTCCTTTTCGTCCTCCCTTGTGTCCGTAAACCGCATGTCTCCAGCCTTAGCACTGGCGATAATACCGGCCTTGGAGACAAGGGAGTCGGTGAGGGTGGACTTTCCGTGATCGACTGCATACAATAGGTTCAGAAGGTGGATGTATGCGGTCGATAGGAGGATGCGCACCGTGAGCAATGACGGACATGTTACGAATGTTTGTCGGGCGGTCCATAAGCTCCCGAATCTGGCCTGCATTACAGTTAGACATAAGGTCCTCGATATAGAGTACATAATGCAGTAAAGCAATACTTGCCTACGGTGAAGTTACTGCCATGAAAAAAGGATTATTTAGTCCATCGACCTGCAAGGAAATCTTCGAGAGACTTACACCATGGCGACTAGCTTTTACAGTGGTACTGATACAGAAGAAAGGTCTCTGCGACTCAGTGAGAGATCGCAGGTAAAAGTAGGAGGGAAGTGAGAGAGTACAACGAGCACACCGGGGCCGCAAAACTCTTGAGGGGTGAGACGAAAGTTTTTGGTGGACAGTTGCTTATCGATTGAGTTCAGGGCCGGTCCTAAATAACTTGGGTCCCGCACCCACCCTATCCTTCACCCTACTTTCCGCTCGTTCACTCCAGCTCTTGACTCAAAATATCTCTTATCGACTCTCTTTTGTGAATGTTGACAATGTCCGAATAGTCCAGATTTCTCAATGCCAAGAACCTCATGACTCGGTGCAATCACCTTTTGTCTCTACTGACCGTTCTATCCTGATGTGCGCTCAAGCTGGACACATGGTTTCTCTATCAAAATAACTCTGCTGTCGGGACCTGTGAAATAGCTGTTTATGACTTGATATGACTCTTCCTTTTGCACCTTGACATCGGTCCCTAAAGTTATGGCGCACCCGCAACTCTATCCACTTCGAGTCAACCCAAAGACTAGGGAACCATACCTCCAGCTTCCGAGTCCTCACGAAAACATCATAATCACTCCTCCGCGTCTGAGCGATGTTCCAGAAATCGTCAAGAATCTGAACGATTTCTCGGTGTACAAATGGCTCTCGGGGCCGCCTTATCCTTACCTTGACAGTCACGCCGACGAATGGCTAGCTTCACTCAGGAGTGACTGCGATATGCTCTTGGAAGAGCTAGAGCTTGCTGCGAAGAAAGATCCGGAGGCCTCTCCGATCATTGTCGGCGGGTGTCCTGTTAGGACTCTAAGAGAAGTCCGAGCTGACGGAACGGAAGTGTTTTTGGGAGATATTGGTGTGGACCGTTGTGGTTATCCGGATCTAGAGGCTTCGTTTGAAAAGGAGAGGTTAATAGAGAAGAACTCCCAAAGACTCGCTGGTGATCCAGAAATTGCCTGGTGTATTGGCTGTAAGTATGATTGTACTCATTCACCGTATCTTGCTAATAGAGAACGTATAGATTATCTTGCTGCCTCTCATCACGGACGAGGCATCATGACTGCTGCACTTAGAACCCTTATAAGCGAATGGATGATCCCCCGTATGGGTGCACACCTCATTCGAGCAGAAGCCTTCAAGGGTAATGCAGGTAGTCGAAAGGTATTTGAGAAAAATGGGTTCACTTTAGAGAAGATTGTAGACTTTACGAGAACGACACAGAATGGTCAGACGCAGCAGGGCATGTATGTTCTCTTATGGCGTTCGTAGTCTGAAGATGAATCGCTCTATTCTCTGTGACTGCGTACGTCTGCTACTTGCCAGAGCGATCTTTAGCACCATCGGACGGACGTACCCAACAACATTGCAACACTGAATCCTCCCGGGAAAGGTAGCTGGATTAGGCATAAACGCCGATCGCAACATTGAACTACGGCGATTATAATTAGAGTGTATTCACCGCAAGCCCTCAAAACGAACTCAAAGACTTCTCTCCGCCTCCTCACTGCAGTGTGTAACCGCCGGCTCCAACTCTGAATAAGTACGCTTTATAGCTCCATACACCGTCGTCATTTACAGCTCCGGATAATTCTGAGCCGTATGATTGTACCAGTGTTCTCTGACTGGCCCATCTCTCAGATGCAAGATGTGATATACCAGAACAAAGCGGACAAGACACGTAGAATAAAGAAAATGATACTTGGCTTTCTAGGCTTAACATAGGCAGCGGAAGGCTTAGGGCAATCAAGAAAACAACACTCAGATGCACATGCTGAGTATATTTTCCTCGCGGCTCCTACGAAATGAGTGGAAGTCGAATTACAGAGGTCGAGGTCATTAGGGCATATTTCCCAGGTAAGTACGGTTGACATCTTGTATTCACATACGGGATTGTTGTCGAGAATCTTCCACTGATTTCCTACAGTTTACTCTGCATTATTTGCCAGTCTGGGGGTGCACCTTAGAGTCTCTTAGAGTGCCACATTTCATGGAGATCGGTGCGAGATGGCCTCGAGGTTGAGCCAGACCGCGTGGTAGTAGTGAGAGTACTATATCCAGCTAACCGGTTTCGGATTTGCTTGCAAAGGAGCTCTAGAAGCTGGTTGGGGACAAGTCTAATTGATGAAGGTTTCAAAGAATACTTTCTGCCAACATTGATTGTAAGAACAAATCATTTTGGCACTGGTTCACAGAGCACACGGGTGGAGAATTATGTAGACTTCCATAGGATTACTGCGTGTCATAACGACACTTCACCATGACAGCTGCGCTCGGTAGTCTTATTTGCGAGAGGGTGGTTCCCCGACTGGGTGTGCATCAAGTCCGAGCGAAGGCGTTCAAACGTTCGAAGGCAGTGCAGGCAGTCGATCGATAAAAATAGATCCCATCGTCGAATATACCGTCTCAACAGGCCATGTGTAGCAACGAATCAGTATCAATCTTTTGTGATATCATTCTAATGACTTTTAAACACATTCAAAGCTCTTTCAAAGGTCATTTCAATGTTTATTGAATCTGAATACAATTCCTGAAAGGCTTGTGACTTGTGACGTGACGGGAGTAGAAGCCCTGCACAGTTGCGGTGAGTTCACGGCAAGGTTCACCGCCTCAAGCTGTGGGAGGTCCACCACCTCGTTTCCATAAAACTCAAAACGCTTCCCGCTCCTTCACTTCATTTTGTGTATCATACAGTCCTTGACGCACTCGACGCCAGGCGTCCAACTTTCCACTATCTATTATGGGTTGGTTACGACCAGCTACCCCAGGTTTCCTGGTCACGCTCGCAGCAACGATCCTGCTCGCCCTCGTTACCTTCTCTGCGCCGTTTTTGAAGAGTATTTACTTCCTCAAGGCATCGCTAAATCAGGAGAACATCGGTGGAAATATTGTCTTCGGCACATTTGGTTATTGCTTTGAATTGGGCAATGGTACAACATGTTCCAAACCGAGTGTAGGCTATCAGCTGGGTGAGTTCTCTACAGTCCATGCCGCCAGCGTTTGCGTTGAATGGAGACGCTATCGCAGACATCAACGGACTCGTAGGCAACGACTTACCTATCCAAATACCTTCTGTCATCGTCAAATGGATAACATACGCTCTCTTCCTCCATGCCGTCGCACTCATACTTGCCGCCATATCCGCAGCCTTTGGGCTCCTTGCACATGTCCGCGAATTTACAATGACTTGTTGTAGCACTTGCGTTAGCGGATTCGCTGCTGCGGTCGCTATGCTCGCCTTTATCTTCGACATTGCTTTCTTCTTCCTTGCTAAAGCTAGGATTAATGCTATCCCTGGCGGCTCAGCAAGCATTGGCATAGGCCTTTGGTTAACACTTGCTGCATGGATCTGCCTGTTCTTTGCTGGTTGTTTCTATGGCTTTGGCAGGTGTTGCATCAGTAGACGGCCGAGGGATGAGGATAAGAGGAGGAATAAGCCTTCAGTAGAGGATGGATATGCCGAACGGGTCCGGATGGACGCTATCAAGGCTGAGGCAGATCGTAAGGCAAGGCAAGCGAAGGGCGAAGTTGGGTTGCCGGCATTCCAGGAATACGAGCATCAACCTTTGACAAAGGGCGATCCCGAAGAATACGCTGATGATGGACATCAAGTCCTTCCTTACAACGGACAAGCTGGTATTGGTGCTGGCACTGCTGCCTATGCTAGGCAAGGTGCCTCACCACCTGCAAACTCACAGTCCGGTTATGCTCAGGCTCCAGCGGGTACTCGTGCAGTTGATGATTATTACAATAGTCGACCTAACCAAGGAAATAACTCATACCCACCGCAACCACATAGGCAAGCGAGCGGACATACCGTTACTAGCTCTGGATACACCCCTTCGGTATACTCTACTACCCCTGCACCTCCGATACCTACGATTCCCCCACCTGTTTCCACGGCAGCTGTAGGTGCTGCCGCCGGTGCTGGCTATTTGTCTGCAGGTGGTCAGTACGGACACGACCAATACCCGAGCGCTGCATCTGGTGCTGCGTATGGGCACACAGCCGGAGGAACAACCTGTAAGTCCAATTCAGTGGTGTCGCACCCCTTGCAGGCAGGTTCCTCACAATGCTGCTTCTCTTTAATTTTTTTCAGATCACTCCGCAGCGACTCATCAACAATATCCTTCCGCATACTCCGCTTACGCTGACCCATACGGTCAAGCTAACCCAGTCGTCAATACGGAAACGTACAACAGCACAGGGTACATGGGTGGTATGACCAGTCCTCACGCTCAGTCACCTTCCTCCGCGTATCCCGCAAATCCACAGTCACCTCCCCCACAAAACGCATCATATTACACTCCCCAAAGACAGAACACATACCCAGAACGAAGTTACACGCTTGGTGGAGATGGATATGGTTCGAACGTCATTCCTAACCATACACAGGGAGAATACGATCCCTATAGCGCGTACTACCCTCAGCAGACTAGCACGCCACCAATGCCCGCACCTACACCCCCATCGATCAATACAGACGTACAAAGATCCGGAGGAGTAGCGTCGAGCCCTAGAGGTCCTAGACCACCCAGTGGCACTATGACATTGCCGACTGGGATTCCGGAACAACCGCAGTATGAGGATAGTCCACCGATGTATGATGCTGCGACGTCTCAACCGCCTGGTGCGTGGGGAACCAAGCACTGATAATGTCCTTTGGGTCTTTGTTTTTGCTAGTGGACATCATACTCTTGTTTTTTTTTCGCTTTGTTTTTATCTCTATCTGTGAGGACATTCGATTGTAAGCAAAAGACGCACTCCACATATTTACTTGCATTCCACTGTCATTCCTACCACTGTTCGCTTGTAATCTAATGGTTTTGTTGTGGATACCCTCACATCGTTTTCTACCTTCGAGTCATGACCACCTTCACTTTGTCCTTGTCCTTCTGGTCGTCAAGATGTATGATGAATCGCGTTCACGTACGTTCTTTTTTGACTGATATGTTGCTCGTGGCAGTTTACTGTAAATGATTTCTTTGTATAGGACCCATAGACGTTATCACAACTACTATCCGGATTCAGTGATCTTGATCAGTGCAGCCATATGTAAGCATCTCGAATTCGAGCGCTGCGGATCTTGCATGGATATATTTCATTCACGAGAGCCAGCGTGCAGTCCTAGCGTCTTTCAGCTATTCTGTCTGTCTATATTCTGTCTGTCTATTCACACATACATTACTTATCGTCATCAGAACGAGTCATGCGAACCATGAGGGATGCGATGCCTGTCCATCTCCACAGCTTAGGCCGGTTTGTTATATACCGCAGCTCCCAGTTTCCTGGCACTTAACATGTTTCCCTTGCACTTAGTGATATGATGCCGTCTACGCTGCACATTGACGATGAGCAATGGCCGGTATTCGTGTCCGATGCACGGCTGTTCCGGTCGATTTATAGTCCGTCTATTCTGCATTTCTGTTCATTGCAAGGTCTTGATGACGTGGTTTAGTCATGTCATTAGTGTTACTTTGTTATGATTACGGTGCGTAGTGTGCTATTTCTCGTTGTACTAACATGTCAATAATTGCATCGCAGTCCTCACATTTGATCAAGAGATAGAATACTTTTGGAACTTTCAGACACTTGCCTGGCGGCATGTGCTATTTGGTTTGGTTCGTGCTGGCCCACACATTCATGTCATATCTATGGCTAACGGCTACAATTTAGCTACGATATTTTAGGTGGGTCTATCCACACCGTGGCAACCAATGCAATCACTTATCTACATTCCCTTGATAGTCTTGCTAACTTCCTGTAGGTGAACTCAACGGTAGCGGTTTCCTTGTAAAATCTCATGAACCGTCGCACCACAGACTTGCCAATATCAGTGAGACCTCATGTTGATAGCAGGTGATAGTGACTAACTGACTTGCTCAGTTCTCTCCTTTCAAGCGCCTTCTATTCGGGTAAGTACGATAACAGCTCAAACTTGTCATAACGTCCTAAACGCTTACCATATGAAGTTGTGAGCGGCTTTCACTCGTAGGCATGGATGCAGACACCTAGGCTGATGCTGGTCTTCTGTAGATGTTCCACTTGGTATCATCTTTGGGTTGGCGTAGGCTTCGTCACTTCTACTGCTACTCATAGTGGGTTGTTATACTTATTCATGAATTTGACCCCTCACGTCTGATCTGAAGAGCAGTTATTCTCGTCTTGAGGATCTACGCCATGTATGACAGTAATAGACGATTACTCGCTGCACTACTCTCCTTGCTAGTGGCAAAGTCAATCGTCGAACTGACAATACTGTATATCGTTACGACGAAGATGCAGAGTACGTGAAGCCACAAGAAATTGTCTGCGAGGTGCATGCTAATCGTACTGTTTTGAGCAGCGGTTGAATTCCCACCTCCGATCACCGCTGGATGCTTTGCGGTGAATTCTCTGACATACGCGTGGTCGTATTGGTTTTCTCTTTTGACTTTTGAGAGTTCTCTAGGCATTCTTGCCTTGATCAAATGCGTGCAGTGCGCGGGTGACCCGTCGACAACTCCCCAATTGATGATTGTGCTTCTTCGTGATTCCTTCATCTTCTTTGGAGGGATGCTCGCCGTGGCCTTGATAAACTGTACGGTATGGGCATTTGCAAGGGTGCGTTTTCCCGGCTGGCATTCGTTGAAACAAACTGACCTGATTGTCATCAGCCTTCTCTGTTTACTGCCTTTCCTTCGTAAGACCCTGCCACTGTTGCATGCAGTACTGTTTACAAATTTACTGCGATAGATTGACCTTATCCTTGGGCTCAGTGTTGGGATGCCGTATCCTTGTATGTCCCCCTTCGCTTCGAACACCGGCTGTTATATTACTCACCGCATCTCTCTTAGTTCAACATGCAAAGAGTTGCTTATCGGCAGAAGGATGATTTTGAAGTTGACACTATGTCAGATCTGTGTTTTGCCAGGCTGGGCGAAAGCAATGTTGCTAGAGAATGATCTGGCGGGCTACAAGAACCCACTATAGTCTTCAGGGATGAGTTCTTGGGCTTCTAAGCAACCAAAGTACCATTTGTGTTTTCTATTGATCAGAGCTCGTGACAATAAGACATTCCATTCATGAGCGAGCGAAAACGATGGACAGGACAGCAGTTTGCCCGATGAGCTATTGAACAGGCAATGCGGATATATTCTATAGACCGACGATATGGAGAGATACATTAAACCAAATACGACATGGACGTGCTAAACTATCGGAGCTGAATGTAGTCAATGATAACTACGGGGTGTCAGCGATAAGTGCTGAGTTTCCCAACGACAGCGCGACCGTCTTTCAGAGCTAACTTAGCATCGCGGTGAACTTGGCGAGACCTTTTGTTGACTTTGTTTGAGATTATGTAGAAGGGGGCGTTGTGCAGGGAACCATTTCTGATGAGGATCATGTCCGTATCATTTGGTTCGTCAACTCCGTGTCTGAATTTATACGAGTAAGATCTTAAGTGTTCGAAATGGAAAACAGGGATAACAGACCGTGATCGCAAATGATTTTGTAGTTTCCATTTGGCATCTATCCAACACTGTTCGGGGCAGTGGGCGCAAGAATGGAGAACCCAACCATGCTTAAACAACTCTTCTTGAGCGGCGACCTCGAGGTGCGCTATCTGTGCGGCTTCTTCGGGCTTTGCTTCGACAAGCTTTTGCGGTTCGTTTCTCCAGTAATGATGTTTGCAGTACATGTGTTCGACCTAAGTAAGGGGTCCATCCAATCAACAAAAATCGGATATTGATACAGTCGCTGATACACTTGCCGCAGCTCTCCAAGAGAATAGCATTCGGACGTGGTCACCTTCACAGCCGTGGGAGACACAACGAAATCTTGTAGCGGCCTCGTCCATTTCTTCAATAGTAGCCTTCGAGGGATCCATTCCACAAGTGCGTATAGCGTACTCTACCAACTGCATCGGAAACTCCAGGTAATATGCAGACCAAGAGTTCCTGGTTAATGTTGCAGTCACCCGCGTTTCGTAGTCCAATTCAGTGGTCCAATCAGCATCGGCATCATCCCGAGGCATTGGCTTGTTGAAACAGCTGTGGGTGAGTATGTTGGGAAAAGTTGAAAGCCTTTCGAGTCTGCATCCAGGATGATCACATGCAAAAGTAGCAGTTGCAGCCATCTTGAAAATATCAAAATCGTCGGAAACGGCGAAGGTGACATGGCGTCGGAGATGTTCCAGGACACGCTGTTTGATGACATCTTGCCAGCGCAAGACAAGAGCTGGGAGAAGTTCTCCAAGAGGATCGAAACTAGCTACAGTGATAGACACTTCAGCAGGGGATTCAATGATAGCTTGTACCTCGGGGAAAGACGCGAGTTCACGAAGAGAAGGGTAGACTTGACCAAAGTCTCTTCGAAAAACGTCTGAAGCGGCCCCCAAAGCGGAGATCCGGGATTTGAAAAGAGCCTTTCGAGCCATTGCGAGGCGGAGTTTCTTTGTCTCTTGCATGAAGGTAACTACAGCGTCCTTCATATTGGCCCATGCTGTGCGGCATGAGTCATTTTAGATGGTTCAAGTAACGATAATTCGAGTAACGGACCTCGGTCTGTGAGCGGCCTCAATTGCTTCACTTGCTGTAAGGTAGATAGTGGATGCCGTTCCGCTGAAGCCATATGGTCAAGTTCTTCACCCCATCCCATCTCTCGCAAGTTCGCAATAACCCTACGCGTAACGTATTGAATGACCAGAATGTTGTACGAGAAACTACTCACGCTGCCAGCCTGGTCTGCTTGACATGACTTATTTCATCCGAACGAGCTTCCCGACGAGCCTTGTACCATTGGTCGCAAGCGTCTGCCCACTGTTGCCATTGTGAATGCGTGTAGAACATCAAATGTGACGGAACACACCTTTTTCACTTCCTCAAGGGACTCTCGACGTCTGGTGAGCCATTTCGCTTTTTCCTCCTCAGTCTTACATGCCTTGTACTCAGTCTTGGCGGCATCTATGTCAGCTAACTGGTACGACATGCCGGGGATGGAATTCCGGTACGCATGATAGCGATGTTGTTTTATATCTGCGCAGAGTGAGGAATACTAGACAGTCATAGCAGCCGGTAAAGCATCACCTTGTTTTATCTTGTAACCAAGAGCCGGGAGCATTGTTCCAAAGTAGTCCCTTGCTCGATCCACCATAACGCTGTCAGGAGCTGTGAGTAAAAACGTAGCATATTAAGAGGTTACAACATACCCAGCATCTGGATCCTGACACTTCTTGCAGTATCGAACCTGGAAGTACCATAAGACATTGTGAACATTTGGGGCAAAACAATTCTATAATCGTCATTGTTAAGCCCTCAGCATTGTGAAAATCACGATTGCACCTCACATGACAGAATGAGTCGAAACATAGGCTCGCATATTCTGGCTCCGTAAGGAATCTAGGGCAGTCAGGCAAGCCTTCAACGTTCCTTCGTGCGGCCCTCCAGTAAGGAGCAGACTCGCGACTCATTAAAAGGTTACGAAACGGCTTGCTAGTTCTCGTAAGAGTAAGTAAGTCACCGGAAAGCATGTGAGAGAAAATCTACGTAAGTAATTCACGGAGTTCCCGTTAGTCCCAATCAACCCGCGATTCTACCCGAAATATGGGACATACCTCGTCAATGATATCCATCGGCATATTGGGTAGTTCCTGTAGACTTCCTCGTCGACCTCGCACATTTCGACGACGAGGTACTGCGAGTGATGAGGAATCAGAGGGATTGGGGATGTAGAGATCCCCCTCCGCCTCATCATCCGAGTAGCAGTATTTCGAACGTTTCTTGGGTGGCGACTCGTCTATTTGTTCGTTTTGAACTGGATGGCTGCGTTTCGAGCGCGTCACGGGTGCCATTGTGTCGCTGTTGATCACTAGGATACGATATATAGGAGGTTGAGAGTTGTTGAGTCAGGATATAAAATGGATGAAAGAGGTAAAGAACTGAAAGGCCACAGACGTGCGGGCCCATTTAAGTGCAACAAGACATGATCACGTGCAGAATCAACTCCGCGATTTCAAGTTGAGCAGCGACGACGGAACCGGCATGGCCTATATGAAAAAGGATAGCGAGAATGCGCATTTCATGATATACATGATATGCACTATGACAGAAGAGCTAACACCAATTATGAACATACGACTTCCCAACAAAGTGTTGCCGTAATTCAATACCTCCACGGCTTAGACTTGCTTGCGCATGCACCTAGATTCGACCTCCTTGACAATATATAACCGATTCAAGGAAGATGTAGATGCCATATTCGCGTCCCTCGGATCGCCTGCACCGTGCCTGACAACACTGGCACTCAATATTGTGGATGGTCAGTGTCAGACCAAGAGGGAATATGCGATCATACCTGTAAGAGGGAGATGGACGGCCAAGCCGTCTCGGAACCTGGATAATGTAAAGCAAAACCAAATGCTTCAGAAAGCGAGAGATGCAGCGGTTTCAAACAAATCAAGCATGTTATTGTGTCATCGGATTCCCTCTTTGTGATACATTTTGTTACTTAGTCTCAGAGCTCGTCCCTTGCAGGAACCCAAGCCCCGGCACTTCGCTTAGGAGGTTCCTTAGCCATGAGCATGGACAAGAAGTCGTGTACGATGTCTGCAGCTGCAATACCCGTGATCTCCGCTACGGTCAGCAAGAGTTTCAGTGATCTGACTTATCCGGTTGTCTAATGGGTTGCAGAAATAAAAGACGTACCATTATCGTAGGCTGGTGCTACTTCTACTATATCTGCACCACTGTCGGGGGTGAAATGATACGTTAACGAAGCAAGGGGAGTGGACATGACGTACATGAAGTTGAGACCTGCGAGACCTCGGATGATTCGTTTGACTTCACGAGTGGTCCATCCACCCGCTTCGGGAGTACCAGCTAGAGCGGAAACGTCAGTTCGAGAGCTCGGTGTGCGGGCAATTCAGAGACTTACTAGCTGGCGCGAGACCCGGGTCTGTGAAAGAGATCGACCATGAATCTCATGCATTCTAAATTACCGTTGTATACGTACCAATAACATCAATGTCCAAACTAAGATAGATGACATTTAATTTAGCATTAGGATGAGTTTTCTACGGATTGGGCACATACCTTAGATAAACAGGCGTGTTTCCGATGCGTTCACGAATCCGTCGGATGATCTCATTGACACCTAGATCATCAATATCGTCCGCAGATATCAATTGGAACCCGACTTCGTCATCGTTCTTCAAATCTTCGATTCCCTATACACAAACAGGTCACTATCCTCATGTTCATCTCAGATCCCAAGATACGTACAGCAAGTTTGCACCTAATCCCAGCATGTATACTGTGGTTACTCATTAAGCCCTCCTCTTTAGCCAAGTAGAAGAACGTCCCGTGAGTGACGCGGGATTGTTCGGTACTTGTGCCAGGGTAAGCTGCCCATGTGTCTAGGTGGGCGTCGAAGTGGATAACAGAAATGGGGCCGTAAACTTTATGCAGAGATCGAAGGATGGGGAGGACAATTGTGTGGTCACCACCAAGCCTTAAGACAGATTTATGAGAATTCATGGCAGGCTAACGAATATTGACAAATGACTCACGAAACTATACGAGGGTGTTCCTTGCCGTCTAAAGCAAGATGACTGACACGGTTAGAAAGCGGAATGGCAAGGCCTTTCTCGGTCACTGGTCGCGCGAGAAGGGAGGAGTACGCGACCTCCATTTGGTCAACTGCCAGCGCGTTATCGAATGGACTGACCGGGACCTACAACAAATATTCTCCGCTTTCAGCATGGATACTGCGTATTCTATGTCCAAACACTCACGTCGCCGCAATCCAATATTTTCGCACCCAGTGTGTATGGATTGGTTCCCCAAGACATCGTATATCCTCGGCTCTCCTTCTGCCTCCTGCTTCCCGAGCGAATAGCATAAGGACCAAACCTGGCTCCTGGTCTATAAGTCACACCGGTATCGAATGGCATGCCCAATAGGGCAATGTCGAATTGAGCTGATTCATCTTCGAGACATCGAGTATAGGGTAGGTGCGAAAAAGAGAGCGGACCAGAGAATGGCTGGTCAATCTGAGGTCCATATTTGCTCAGCCAAGTTTCTGGATGTGATTTCGAATCATCAAAATTGGGATGAGAGTGAGAGTCATCGCCCGAAAGGAGGACTTGTTCGTGATGATGAGCTGTTACAATGGAGGTAGACAAAAGCACCGCAAGACCCAAGCAAGTCGAAAGCATCTCAACAGCGTCGCGAGAGTAGATACACACTGGAGACAGAATACTTAAGCTTTCGGAGGCCGCTATTCATTCATGTGAGCTTTATATCGCGTACACGGACCGGCATTACCATGAAAGATAAGCAGAATAGATTGGCTTGTGCGGCCTTGGTTATATACACTGATATGAAGAACTGTTTCTCATTGCGATAGGAGGTGGACCAGAAAGATACGAGGTAAGTAAGGGCAGAGTTGTGAACAGTAGCCGAACGACCGCTTGAACAATGAACATCATGATATGACTCAATGCGGAAGTTCCTCTGTCGACTATGATACATTTCAAATGTGGGTTCAGTTGTTTGTAGTATTTGAGTACTTCTTAATCTCTATTACATGGATTGTAAGCATGTACAGTCAACGGGGCAAGGTATTAATTAATACGAGCACTGCGCCAATACAAAAGCAACAGCCACAGTCTATTGCTTCGACGTCATGCCCATAAATAGGCGATCTATACTTGCCTCCTACCGCCATCTAACCTGTATCGATCCTTCACTTTTCCTATGTCCGCTATCTATCTCGCTAAACAGGCGTACTCCGCTTTTGCGGGTGAGAAACCTAGAGTAAGTTATATCGCAAATGTAGCAAACCAATGCGAGAAAGTGTAGTTGATTGTAAAGACGATTGCCTTTAGTCTTCGATCACTGAATGGATAGAGATCTTGACGTCAAGGAATTACGATGAGGAGGCGTACGACGGGTGCGTGGTTTTCATTTTGTAGCCTAGCTCCCATGCTAAATTACGTCGAATACGGCATGCAGTATACCAGAGATCGTCGAATCAATACAAATGCAAGCTACAGGGTGTGTACTCGCCAATCGCCGAATAATCGCCACCTTGCATTTATTGACTGGCTTAATAGTGTTGCTGAGGCAAGTAGGGCCATCAGAAAGAAACTCAAGCATGGTGATACGCATCAACAGTACCGAGCCCTTGTTGTTAGTACATAACCCGCACGTCTTCATAAGGCTTATCTTTACACCCGGAGTAGATCCTCAGGGCACTCGTAGAGAATGGAGGTCCTAAATTCCAAAGTTCGTGTGCTATATATCACTTGACACAGGGGTCTTGCAGCTCATCTACGAACTACATCTAGCTTCATTCGCTGACTCACAACTCCTCGACGCCATCAAATCAATTGCCCACGACCCTACAACTGACCCCAGAGTGAGGAAAAGACTCCTCTCTGTAGTCGCTTCATGGCATGCCCAATTTAAAGATGACCCTTCCATGGCCACCGTGTCTAACCTCTACAGACAATGCAAACCTGCAGACTCATATAATCGACATCGATCAACTGATCCGGTCTTGCAAGCAGCAGGTTTGGATCCGCATGGCGAGTATGAGAGGAGGAAATTGGAAGAGAGAGAACGCGAGAGAGAGAGGAAGGAACGAAAGGAAGAGGAGAAGAGGAAAGCCAAGGAAGCCAAGGAGAAAGCTAGAGCTGGTGCCAGAAGACAGGCTAAAAGCATGAACAAGCGAAAGCCCTTCAACTTTGAGCAGGTCAGTCAGTTATGTTTGCGCCTCACTGCGTTTTGTTGACTTTCACGCCCTAGGAAAGACCTCAGATCCTTACTACGATTGCCAACGCCTCACAGGCGAGCAATAACCTTGTAAACGCTATCACTGTATGTCCTACCGCCATCCTCTTCTTTTTCTGTTCACCCACATGTTTCTATTTCTTAGCTCGTTAACACTGAACACGACAGCCTGCAAGCGAACGAACGTGTTCAAGAGTGTTTGCAGAACGCCAAGGTGGCACGAAAGCAGATCGTGCGCTATGTACAGGTCCGTAATGATGGAAACCATCGTTTGCCAGTCATACTAACGACTGTTGACTGTAGCTGGTGGAGAACGAGGATATGATTGGAACTCTCATTGATACCAACGAGCGCATCATTGCTGCTCTGGATATGTATGACACGGTAATTATGATCCCGAACTTCATCTTCCAATATCCTAATAAGTCTGTCCTTATAGCTCTCGAAGCCGCAAGTAACCGAAAAAGATGTCCAAGATGTCCAAGAAGGACTCGCAGCAGTCAAGATCCACGATTCCGAACTGGGCAAACTTCAAGAGAAACAGCGTGCCGCGGTTCAAAGATCACTTGGCCGAGCTGGTGGTGGCAAGGAACGGGACCGTGCAACGTACGAGGATGATGATGAGTTCATGCAGCCCAGGAGTGCTAGCTCGGAGACATATGTCCATCCGGATTTGCAGGAGTTAAGTTTCGGGAGTTTAGGTGCAGAGCAGAGGTGTGTCTTTCTTCCCGTGGCATATTTATGCTTCTAGCTGACCATGATTTCAGGAACCTACCACCCCCACTCCGCCCCTCTACCCGACGTTCATCCTCTGAAGACGAGGACCAGAATTGGCGACACGGTTCTTTATCTGACTTTAGCGACTATGAATCCTCTGATGAAGACACTCACAACCGCGCTTCAGCATCTGGTTCTGCCCATACATCAACATCTGCGGCTCAAGCGTATGCTAGTAAGCATCAACATGGGAAGCCAAGCACGGGTTCTAGGAGGGATTATGTGAATGTGTCGGATGATGATGAAGTGGATGTGAGGAAGGACCCGAAGAAAGGGTTGTTGAGTCAGGAAGAGGATCCGTTTGCTGATCCGTTTGCCGATTGAGGGCGAGGCGAAGAAGGTTTCGGTGGAATTTAGAGACAAGTATTTAGCATGAGGATGTGTATATTAGTATGGCTCGATATCACTATGCCTCTTCACCTCGAAGGCTGCTAAGCCGTTGTGAAATGCACACGACACTGACATCGGTGAGCAAAGTTCAAATGCAGCAATGAATATAGAATGTCACATTCAACCTACAGCTGCAATATACACTATCGTTTCCTCTCAACCTTCCATTTGTACACTCTCGGCTTCCAAGTCTTCTCATCCACCTTTTTACTTCTCCGCTTGTCACTATCCATATCATCGTCCTCTTCATCCTCATCACCATCTTCTTCAACCTTCTCCACACCTCGCAGTTTGCGAGACGTACCCTTACCCATGAGCAATTTCTGCATCTCCAGCTCACGTTCTGCATATCGGAGTTGTTGGTCTCGTTTTAGTCTGGCGGAAAGTTCTTTGAGGAGATGTGAACAATGTTCCTGCCGATCAAAGTATTGATTGGAGAATGCCCGAAGAAGGATAAGATGAATTGGCTCACTGTAGCTTCCCTCCGTCGTTGTTCCTCCAATGATGCATCCGCAGATACAGACGTCAGCTTCTTAGCAGTCTTCTGTTTCTTCCCCTTGATCTCATGGGTCTTCCAACCTTTGTCTTGTTCTTCTTCAGTCTCGTCTGACGCATTATTCACGATAACGTCTTTCGTTCGTTGTCTTGATACAGAAGCAAGTTCACGGGCTTGGTCTTCAGAGTCGGCGAATATGATATGTTTGGTCGTTGGTCTCGACAGGAACTTTCGTTGTTTCCTAGTCGATGTGGAAGGTCCTGTGATGATACCTGCTTCGCGAAGAATTTCCAACTCGGCGTCATCGAGTCCCTCTTCGGTTTCGTCTTCGTCATTTACGGAGGTAGGTCTGACAAGGTCAGCGAGGGCACTGAGGTGACTCTTAATTTTGTCGATTTTCTACGTGTAATAGAGATGCATGGTTGGCATCGAATATAAAGACGGGCAGCGAAAGTAAATAAGACGCACTTTGAGACCAGCTGTCCGCATTGTACGGATGTAGTTCTCATCCTGAGATTTCAGCACCTTCACGATATCTACCGGCAGAGCTTCATTTCCTCTATCCTGTACATGTACACCTTTCTATATCCACAGCACAACGATTAACCCCAACCTGACATTTCAGCAGGACAAAATACGAAAACATACCTCCGTCTTCTGCCTATTCATAGCAAAATAAAACTCATCCTTATTCCTCTCCGCCGCTTTCTGTCTCAGCCTCTTTATCCTATCCTGTTTAGAGTGGTAGTCCCTAGCACGCAAGACATAGTCTTTGTGCTTTTCTAGGAAGCCCAACTTGGCTCGGTGTGCGAGTTGGGAACGTTCTTTATGGTTCCTCCGGTGGAGAGAGTTTCGTAGTGAGGAAGTCATCTTTGGTTGCTTTCTACGACTTAATTTCGATTCAGTTGACTGTAATAGAGGAAGTCAAGTGGCAAAGGCCAGAAGGTATGGAAAGTTGAAGACGAGCAAAGTATTTTACGAAAAAGGAAGGCAGGATGCTATAGTGAGGGGTGTTCGGGGTCTCTGGTGAGTTAGCAGACGAAATGCCTCAAAAACTTGAGTTGCTTGCTTTTGAATGTCGACCGTGACGGTCGCGTCTTGCGTTCGCCGTGTACTTTCTCGTGCTCCTCATCCCAATTCTGGATGTACGTTCTACTGATTTTTGAGTTTTTCAATGCCTAAACTTTCATAGGGAGCCACATTACACGACGGGCTAAGTCCGAGGTCGCTTCTACCTCTGGAACTAACCTCCCGAAACCACGTCTAAATTACCGCGACATTGCAGATAATGCTGTCTTCAAGTCTCATAATGCCTTCAATCGAAAGGCGTCTCTACCTATTGGGGCGATACAGGCTATCGACAAGCTGTATTCTCACCAGAAACAGTTAACGCTCACACTCAATTCCAAACGGAACGAACGGTCTTTACTCGGGGATCGAATACGTGAAGTCGCAAAAGATGCTGAGGCAAGGAACACTGCTCTCAAAGCAGCCAAAGCTTTGAAGGACCAGATAACTGACTTGGAAGCGAAGTTGGAGGAGATCGACGATGAGTTATTCCGTCTTGCCATCGCGGTGCCAAACGACACACATCCTGAAGTTCCCATCGGTCCTGAATCTGTTGCAACAGTACTCTCGCACCATGGTCCTGAACCTATACCTGCTTCCCCAAGTAGGGATCATGTTGACATTGCTCGTGCTCTAAACCTTGTGGACTTCCAAGCCGGTGCTACAGTCACTGGAACTTCGTGGTATTATCTCATTAATGAGGGCGCCTTACTCGAAATCGCACTTGTCAACTATGCTTTAAGTATCGCTAGCAAATATGGTTTTACACCAGTGACGGTGCCGGACGTCATTCGTGCAGACATTGCACACCGATGTGGGTTCCATCCTCGAGACCAGGAGGCTGATCAAATGTACCGAATCGCCAACATTGGTTCCTCAGATGCACCCGAGCTCGTTCTGGCAGGGACAGCCGAGATTCCTCTCGCGGGGATGTTCGCAAACAAAATCTACAACGACCATGACTTACCCAGGAGAGTTGTCGGCCTGGGTAGGGCCTTTCGTGCAGAGGCTGGGGCACGCGGAGCTGATACCAGGGGATTGTATAGAGTCCACCAGTTTACCAAGTTGGAATTGTTTGCTGTTACTGCTGAAGAGAAGAGTGATGAGATAATGGAGGAGTTCAGAAAGATTCAGGTCGAGATTTTTGAGGGATTGGGTTTCCCATTTAGGTGAGATTTCATTCGCGCATCCGTCGTCCTCAGCACGATTCTCAATCACTTCATACAGAGTCTTAGACATGCCCACTGAGGAACTTGGCGCTTCCGCATACCGCAAGTACGACATGGAGGCGTGGATGCCGGGACGCGGTTCCTGGGGTGAGATTTCCTCCACGTCCAACTGCACAGACTACCAGTCGCGCCGGATGCACATTCGCTATCGAAAACAGGTCGATGACCCTAAGCAACCCACCCAGATTCCGTTCGCTCATACGTTGAATGGCACGGCAGCTGCGGTTCCGAGGTTGATCGTAGCATTGTTGGAGAATGGCGTTCGGTTTGATGAGGGGAACGTTGCGGGTTTGGATTTACCAAAGATCCTGAGGCCTTTCTGGGTTGGTGGGAGTGGGAGGGACATTATCCGTTGGGTCTGAAACCTGAGGTGTTGAGGCGCGTGCGGTATCACCTTGAGATGTGCTCTCATAAAAAGGGCCATCTTCATCTCATTGCAATATAGTCGGTACATTCGTCGTATATTTGCATTGGAAATGACAGTGCAACGCGGGGTTATCACGCGTCATCAAGCTTTTCTATCTCGCTCACTAGGTTCATGTGCTTCGTCGTACCTTCTGACGTCTTCTAAAGTCCGTCGCTTTCGGCCTTGAGTATATGAATATTATGGCACCAGTGACACGCTCACATTCACTGCTCACCTTACTGCGAGTGAAGCGATTGAGCTGAAGGAGGTCAGACAATTGAACGTGCGCCTACTGATCGAAAGATCTCAAGTTGGTTCTAGCGTTCTGACTTGACTCACAGTTAAGGATACTGTAGTTGTCTCCATGCAAGAATAGAAGGGGAAACGGCTCGCTCTCGCTCGATGTTGTCAGACATGATGATTGATGAATAACTAGGATAGCGAATAAAAATACATACAGCAGCAGAACAATGAAAGACGTGAGTCCAAGGAAGCACTATTCAATCACGCCCAAGTGGTCTTCTTTTATAGTACCAATCGCGAACTGCGTGAATTTAGCACAACTCCCAATGCTTATTACGGCGTGAATATACGTACAATTTCTGTGGCATCAACTCGAGTACCAACAATCTTTAGTCTCACCTTCGTGTTCTTTTCGATAATCTGAAACGGAGTGTAGGTGTAAGTGCGAACGAATAGAAAAGAACCATACCTGGTCATCCGACGCAAACGATGGCGGGTTTGAATTTGGATCGAATTTCATATCAGGATGGATCAGCTAGAAAGTCCCTCTCAATTGAGCATTATGATTAGAGGCACAGATAGCTTCACGAACTTGATGTGATACGAACACTGTCAACGGCCCCACGTCTGCGAAGAATCCCATCTATCGCAAAGTCAAACCAAACTGAATGTAAAGAGTCAATCATGGCATACCTTGTTGACATTATTAACAACACCGTCCACGACCTCTCCTTTGAATGGCTTGAACACAATCGCGCGGTACCGAGTAATGAATTCAGCTTGGCCGCTACCACTCAGTACCATCCCCTTCCCAATATCGAGAATCGAGACGACGGCGATGATGTAGCCAAATTGACCAGAGCATGTTCCTTCGACGTCTGCATATAATTTTGATTCCAGGTATTGAAGCATCCGCGGCCCAAAGTATGATGGGTGCAGGAGGATGGTATGCGAGAGTTCTTTCTACATTTCGACAGCGTCAAAGAGGAACATTGAGAGACACAAAGAGCACGTCAGCACTGACAATGAAGAACATTCTCGAGTGAGGAACAGATACGTTGTCGAGTTATGCAGGCGCAATGGACAGAACTTAGAACTCTGTCTTTTAGGAACTTCAGTCTTTAATAAACGACATAATTTTTACGCGTTAAAACTATTCTCAAGGCCGGCTAGCTCAGTTGGTTAGAGCGTGGTGCTAATAACGCCAAGGTCGTCGGTTCGATCCCGACGTTGGCCAGTTAATGGATCGTTTGCGTGATTTTACAGAAATACATTACTTCCCATCGGCTAAACTCAGTTAAGACGATGCGCAAGAAACTTCTTGTCGTTGGTACAGACGCGATGCAGAATGACGAACATCTTGGCAACACACATGTCTTATTGTCTGTCCCCCAGCAGACTGCTCACGTCCCTGGGCGCTGATTGGTCAATTCATCCTGCAGAGCTTAAACCTGTCGTCAGGACAGATACATTGACATGTTGCCCAAATGTCATCCAGTCTGCATGAACTCTGCCTAGATGGCAGACACGCTCACTTTTGCCGTGTAACCCTAACTTCAACGCAAATAGCCAGAGCAAGGCCCGCAAACGCTCTCTACGCTCGACGCTACTAACGAGATGCAGGAGGAGCTCAGGCTACAGTAAAAAGATATTATGATGAATCAGGTTGAGCTTGCTCAATTTATGCCAAGGTTGACCGACATGATGCAGCTCCTCATTTCGCCGAGCTTATTGGATTGCAATATGGGACGTTTGGATGAAGTATACAGTATTAGCACTAGATACATTGAGCAACATCTACTTTCCATAACCACTGTCCCATCTCTCTCCAGAACATTGTTTGCCGTGATGTGTTGAACCAAAATGGAGCAATTGACAAGTGATTGGCATCATCTAGATCGTAAACGTGCCATGTTCCGCGTTCTATTGTATCCTCCTCAGGAGCGATATCGAGATGCCGACAATGAGTGGACCTGAGGATACTCGTAAGGATAGAACTAAGCCAAAAAGTTGAACACCACGAGACTTACTCGCAATCAAGGGGATGCCACTGCGAAAAGACAGGGACTACCCCGTCATTAGCGTGATACGAAGGATTTCGGTCGACATCGTGTATGAATGTCGGTGAAGGCTTCAAGTCTGAAAAATCGAATGACCCCATTGCGTAAGAGGTCGCGTAGAGTCCAGGTGCGTATAACGCATGTCCTGCCGACGGTTTGTGGATGTTACTTTCTTCCGAAGTCTTTACAGTCTACTTGGCGTAAGTGACGAGTACCTATAGGATGACACTAACGACTTACCATATTCGCGGCATAGCTGCGGTAGAATGTTCCCGGGTTGATAGCGCCTTCTTCATTGGCCTCTCGCTCGTCTGAGGCCAGGAAAGTAACATCAAAGGGAGCAGCGTCCCTTCCCTCCGCCCAGTCGCTACGCCAAAGTTGTTGAAGGAACGATATGAAGGACGACTTCTGGAAAGACAAGGATCGAGACTCTGTGTGAAAGTCAAGGATCTTGGGGAGCAACGGCGCCAGATAAGAGCCAATGTGAATGCCTTTGGCCAGTAGATCTCCCAAAGATAACCATCGCACCGCAGGTGCAGTATCTGTTCGTTCGCCGAGCAAGTACACCACTTGCGTGCCACGAAAGGGCGCGGAGACTAAACACGTATCAACATTGTAACTTCGCAACCTCCAACGATGAACATACCTGTTGTGACGGAGAGAAGCATATCGGGGTGATACAAGCCTCCGAAGAAACCAGTAGAAATAAGCCATTGAAGCTTCATGATTGTTGGTCCACCCTGAAAACCACTGTGAGTCTTAGCCAAAAAGAAGAGCAATTTCCTCCTTACTATGGAATGACCAAGGAAATGTAGCGGCGATTCTCTCGACCAACCAGAATAGAGTCCTTCCGCGTGAATCCTGCCGTACCGCGCGTGTCCGTTAGCCCTTGCGTGTTTTTCGCCATAATCCACTATCCATGGTAATTTCAGATATCCATACCAGTAGAAACTTGAAATGCTTACCTGTCCCGCCTTTGAGAGCATAAAATAGTTCACATGCCCGGTCGTGCAACGAGCTTACTGGACCGACACTAGCACATTGTGAGGAACGACATGAAGGGAACAAAAAAGGCCGACCGTCACCTTACAAATATGACGTCTCTGGGTATATCGGTATCCTTGTTTAAGTGTTCCTTGAAGCCTCCCCAGAGAGAAGCATCAGCACGTCCTAGAAAGCCTTCTACAATGACAAGAGGTATACTCTTCGAGGTATATTGTACCATACTGTTTCAGTTTCAAGGTCAATGAGCAACTCTTATCTTCGTGCTCTAGTGTGAGGGGAAAGTAGGGAAGGATAGCATGGTCGTCCAGCGTTCCGATATGTAAGTCGACGGAACCGATGCGGACGCGGCTACTAGGCTGACCCTGCGATCTTCATCCGTAGGTATGATGTCAGGTTGACTCGATCTCATCTGCAATACCTGTTATCATACGATATTAGCACGATGAGCAAAGTCTGCATGTCTCAAAGACCATGGCCATGTAAAGTAGAGTATTCAAAGATCATACTGCGTGTGCCGCTTTATGCATTCCCGGACCCACCAACGATAGCTTCCTATTATGGATGCTCGACACAGCATTCAATCGGAGAGAGAAATGGCAAAACTGGAATAGAAAGGGCTATAGACGGGCGGAGATATCGAGGATCAAAATAATACGAATAAAAACGGTCTAAAGATGAGGGGGATTGACGATGATAGAAAAGATCTTGAATGAGAGGCGAAGAACGAAAGACGTTATCTGATAACAGGTAATTAACACGAAGGGGAATTAAATAAACTACAACATAGGTCAAATGGTTCAAAAACAGCTGCAAGGTAAGCAATAGCAAAGTTGAAAGAAAAAAAGAACTGTTGACACTATCTCACGAATGATGGACTGGCCGCCAAGCTGGCACCAAAGTCTGACTTCCATGGTCCTGATTAGGCGAGTGCCGCACAGCACCTCGATTGACCTGGTTAAACGAACGGTTGAAATTATCATTCCTTCCTTGACCATTCCCTCCGTGTCCACCATATATCTGCCTACGCTGATAAGGCCTACCCTGATGCTGTGATGCAGGGATATAACCAGTATTTGGAGAAGGCGGTGGACGATGCTGTGGAGCGCGACCCAAGGGCGCGGCCGGAGGCGTGGGGACAGCGTACGGAGGTGGCGTTGAGTGAAGGTGTGGTTGAGACTGGCTCAGATGTTGAGCCTGAGGGGTAGATACTGGATAGGGCAAAACAGAAGGGTTAGGTACCCATCTACCGTTCCCAGCAACTGGCGTCCCAATATTAGCCTGACCTGGATGAGTCGGTGAAGGCGCCATCGACGGAGGATGATACATGTAAGGATACATAGGCACTTGTGGATAGGGCTGCCACATAGGCATTGGGTGAGACATAGTAGGGGCAGCGGTGGCTTGCACCTGACTCGGAAGAGTGGGCTGAGGGCTGTCGTCCTGTCTTGTCTGCGCGTTTGGTTGTGATCCCGACATATATTGGTCCAAGGCTTCGGGTTGGTAGACCGGAATGAGAGTACCATGTTCACCTTGAATGAAACCTGTCGCTCGGACGGGAGGTTGGGTACCAGGCTGTGTGGGAGGTCCTTGATGATAACCTTGCTCGCCATTCGGCGGATACGGAATCATCGGCTACATCACACATCAGCCTCGGCGCAATCAAAGAAACCGAACGAGATAACCAGAGCAAACTTACCTTGTACATATTATTAGCTCCCATCCATGCAGCCTGTGCTCCACCCGCTGCAGGACCCTCTCCAGAAGTCTGCTGCGTAGTCGATGGTGGAAAACCCATATACCCAGCCAGGAACGGGAATCCGTACGGATACGAAGGAGGATATGCGGGCATCCACTGTTGCGGGAAGTAACCCATAGGAGGTATAGGATACTGGGCAACGGGACCAACCGTAGTTGGATAAGCCATTGACGAAGGCGTAGTAGAAATTGAAGGGTTCGTATTCGCAGATTGCGTTCTCTGAACTTCGAACTGAGAGTTTCCCTGTATAGATTCGGAGGAACCGGAGGAACGATGCTTCGATTCAGCGACAGGTGAAACCGAACTCATGTAGGTGCCACTGGACTCTGAAGCAACTATGGTCTCCGAAGTGGTAGTGGGCGTAAGGCCAAGCGATCCGTGGGTGCTTTCGCCATACATGTCACTAGACACACCGTGGTACAACCGCGGTGGAGGAGTGAAGTGATGCATACGGCCTCGGCCTCTTGTAAACCTCCATGGACTGCGTTGAGGGTTAGTGTCTCGGAGCTGAACTCGAATTTGACGACCATCGTAGATTCGGTTGTGCTGCGTAATGAATTCGTCAGTCCGTACTCCAAATCGACAAGATCAGAGAAATGCGAACTTCTGCAGCCACAGCGCGACTACTCGCCTCAGCATTCCTAAACTTCACAAATGAGAACGCAGACTTCTTGCTCGCTAGCAAAGCCAACGAGTCAACATCTCCCCAAACATTCACAGCTCAACGAAGAAACTCACGTGGCCGAACAAGCTGAATGTCCTCAATCTCACCATACTGCTCAAATATCCGCCTCAACTTCTCCTCATCCCACGCATGAGGACCATACATCTCAAGCCCACCAACGAATATAGTCAAAGGATCGAGCTCCCTTCCTCCATGATTATTCACAACTCCAAACCCGACATCGTCTTGCGTCCCGTAAACCCCAAAACGACCACCCTTCCGCGGTGTATGGAACTCCTGGACCGGACCACGATAAGATCCATCGTCAACGTGGACTTGGTCGAATCCGGTATGATGAGCACTTTGGGGTGTGCGAGGGAAGGAGGAGGTCGCTGTCCGAGGCGTAATTGGCGTGAGAGAAGAAACTGAGAACTCCGGAGTGGGTGGAACAGCGAGTTCTTGTCCGTCATCAACTTCGATGCGAAGACGACTGGGACTACTTGTCACTACCCCACCATCCTCATCATCTGCATTCGAGCCTTCATGAGGCGGAACTGGAGTAGCAGGTTGGACAGAGAGCGAAGACGAAGGTGAAGGTGAAGTGCTCGGTTCATGGTCCGACCCATCAACCTCCTGTACTTCAGTAGAATCGGCCCAACGCATCCCGTGATCCATCAATCCGGCAAGAGCACGCAAAGGTGGGAAGTCTGTCTCGGACCACTGTGGACTCTGGGCTTGAGCATCAGACGTCGTCATTTGTCCAGACGAAGCCAAAGACGTAGTGGGCTCCTGCAAAAAGGGCGTACTATGAGCAAACGTCCATTTCTCCGGAGATGCCGGTGACAGTCCATCGAGGGACCCAGACCCGCCGGGCATGCGAAGAGGAACAGGTACAGGATGTCCAGCGTAGATCTGCGGTATAGCGGCAGGCACCATTGCGAAACGTTGGTATCCAAGGTGAGGGCTGTAGGAGTGGGAGTGCGTGCGTGCATGTTGAGGAGAGGAATAAGGGGTGAAGTGAGGGCTGGAAGAATGGGTGGGAGTACCAAATACCCCTGCTTCAGATGACGCGTTCGGCATACGATGAGCCCAGGTAATGGTTATATGCACTATTTTGCGCAAAGTCTGGAAACGACAGTAAGACATTTTCAGGGGAAACGGTTTGGGAAGTTCACTTACTGTTAGAGCGGAGACGCAGTCATCCCTGTGCCGCCATTTTACCTCCCAGATACTCTCATCCATACAGGGAGATCGACGAGCGTTATGTGGGTATATGCGGGCTTTTTGAGTAGATCCGTTACCTACGATGACGAGATAAAGGAAGTCTCAATGAGCTGTTAGTGTAATAATCTTGAAAACGTGACACACCATCGGTGCTAGCGGTGAAGAGACCGAAATATTCAAGAGGCCCGAAAGCTTCAGCCATCCGACGGATAGTCTGGAATACATGCTTATTAGCACGAAGCTCTTATGCATGATGCAGAGTACTGACTTCATCATCATATTGAAGTGGTGCGAACAGGATGCCTGCACCGCTGAAGACATCCTCCTTCGGCTTCACACCATCGGCGGTCTCGGGCGGGACAGGAAGAACAAAGTTCGTGGCCAGCTCATCATAAGTCACTCCAATGTACCTATGAACAAGGGGCGCATGTATAAATGATGCACTAAGCCAATGCGGGAAAGAAATGTCGTACCTCTGGCCTTGAGCACGATGGATCCTCATCGCATTATGGACAGGGAGCTCGACTGTTTGACCTTCACGAGGGTCTCCGCTTCCCTCAAACCTTGTTGGAGCTCTGGTTGACAAGGACGTGTATACAGTAAGAACATTGGAAAGAAGGGTGAAGAATAGATGACATACCGATAAGAGATGAGTAGCGTCCTGAACGCGCGGGCAGGCTCGAAACGCAAGTAACGACCAAGGAATGCTCGTGGAGGGTGCTTTTTGAAGGCGTCCAAAAGCTGAGCGGCTGATGGAGCATCCTGTAATGGGATCGCGTCAGTTTCAAATCTACGAGCGCATACAATGACTTAAAAATGGCAGTAATGGAAAATGAAATACAGACTTCGCACTGAATGAAAGCGCACACGCCACCTTTGGCGTCGCGGACAACTTTCACAGTCTGTACTTGCGGGTACCCTGAGAGATGGTCCGAAAGTAAACGACCGAGCTCTATGTGGTCCATATTAGAAGGAAGGCTGAGAGACGGAAATTAGATCAGACAACGATGGCCATTGATCTCGAAGCCATGAAGTGACTGACCTCCCAACAAAGATGCTGGCGTCGTGGGGCATCTTGTCGTTTTTAATAGAATTGTTGGTAGTGCCTTCGAGATGATGTTGAGAAGCGGGGATAGGAATAGGCGATACTGATGTGTTTGTACTTTGGGTGAGAGTGGAAGGAGGAGAGATGGGGGGTGAACGAGTGGGGGAACTGGCCGAGGGTGGGGTAGAATTCCCGAGGGTAGCATAACGAGTGCCCCAAGCACGTAGTGCTGCTGTGTGTTTAGGCGACATAGATGAGAGATCAAAAGTTCGCAAGAAAATGAATAAACAGATAGGCAATGTACGAAAACAACGGGACAACGGGGACAAGGAGAACAATGGTAAGGACGTATATGTGGAGGGGGAACCTGAGGATGGGTGTGATTGGGTTCAAAAGATATATGCGTGATTGGGAAACCGTAGAAACTTCTGAAGGAACTGTGGTGAAGATTGGGGAAGGTGGCTGGAAGAGGTTTAACGGACGGCAAAGCAACAAGCTCGCGTGGCCCTGGGGGCAAGAGCAGCGGGTCAACGGCACACGCGAATCTATGTCCATCCATGTCACTGCAAATCCAGTTATCTTCTTGATCCCCACTCTCTATGTCGGACTTCTACTACTTGTAATCGCACATACCACATTGTTATCTCCATGAACGACATTAAGCTGTACGTGGAATATCTTCTATTCGGCGCTTTGCGTTCAGGTACCTGTCATAACTCCAGTTATTGGCATAGATCTGTATTCGGTCATCTGGTCGATCCGTAAAGTAAGATTTCTAGAGTAGCTGACGTTGAATTTTAGCGGGCTATATTTGCAACCGTTGACACTGTTCCATGTGCTGCTTCACTATTAGTCCTCGATGAAGTGTCTTTGGACATACTGACCGTTCGAGAGAGGCGGATCAGAGTGGCCGACATAAGCAATGCTACCAACCAGAGAGGTGACCAAATAGGGCTATGTTCCCTTCTGATTGACAGACGTGCCACGAAGCTACCAGACGTTGAGAAATGGCTTCTAAGGAGCGCTGGTGACACCTCCAGAGTCTTCAAGCGTCAGTATTGTCACGCAAACGTTGACAGGGTTTGCTGTCGACAACGAGTGTCGAGAGCTTTGAAGCCATGAACAAGCTTGACCTTGCTCTGTTCAACGAGATATAGTTCTATAAACTCCCTCCAATGGCGTGAGCGTAAATTAGGTGCAGAAGCAACCATATGCAATGCAACATAAAATTGTCAGTACCTCGTCTGCGATAGATTGCAAATGTAATTATAGATGCAAGAGATCTCTGAGGGAAGCTTCCTTGTCGGGAATTTCATACATACCTTTCACGAACAAGAGGAGCCCAGAGCAGGGGCATCGCAGCAAGATCCAGATGACGCACTGCCCTAGAGTCAAATTGTGACAGCCGAGGAAGGTTTGAGAAATTCAATACGATATCATTTGCACTGAGCTAGAAGGTTGGCATTTAGAATTCGAAGCCTCGGCGGTCCCGCCATAGTAGCCGTCGCTGCTTTAGCAAGTTATAAGTCCATCCAGTCTGAGCAGCGTCGTCAGCTTCAGCTGCAAACACTTTGGTTCAAGCCTAGCCTTCAGAGATATCGATAGGGAAATGCAGTATAAGTAGGTCCATGCAGGTGGTGCAGACGTCAACTTTGAAACGTAACAGAGAAACCAACCAGATCAAGATGATTTTCAAACTCCGAAAAGCTTTGTGGCGTTTGTCATTTCTGTACTGTAAGCGCCCTAACTCACTCTTGCTTCAGTGCTGCCTGCCCGATATCAAATCTCTGCTCGTGTCTTTTATACTAACGTCCAATTAACTTGTCGACGTTCAACCTTTACGAAAGAAAATGTCTGACGACGAGTACGGCGGCGGCGGTGCGGGCGACGACTATGGTTACGATGCTGGAGGGTGCGCGTTCTATCGCTCAAGACGAACACCATGAGCTGACATATACTTTAGATTCGACGAAGGCTTAGTACATACTTCTTCTCCCTCTCCACACGCGTTCAATTGGAACTCACATACCCCTCTTATGTGAAACCATAGGATGAGAACTATGACCTGCTAGCGTCCGAGATCCCAGGGGAAGAAGCTGCAGTTGAAGGCGGCGAAGTTCAGATCAACGGCTACGAGGGCTTGAACGGTGCCGAACCAGAACAAGATCAAGAAATGGCCAACGGGGAAACTCTACAAGCGCAGGCAGAAGAACAACCGAGTGCGGCAGGTGGAGCAGGACTGACGGGAGAAAGGGAAGCGAATAAAGTTCGGATTACGACACCATATTTGACCAAGTATGAACGGGCGAGAGTGTTGGGGACGCGGGCGTTACAGATTAGGTACGTGTCCTATCGAGAATTGTTTATGGCGCGAAGTTGTTGACGGGATGTCTGTAGTATGAACGCGCCGGTGCTTGTACCATTAGACGGCGAGACGGACGCATTACAAATCGCCATAAAAGAGCTCTCGCAGCGCAAAATCCCACTCATCATCCGAAGATACCTTCCTGATGGAAGTTTCGAGGATTGGAGTGTATCAGAGCTCATCACGGATTAGGCTAGGACTTACCTTGCACTTTCTATCCCAGGTTCCGTGTCTATTCTCCTCATGTATCGGTATCACTTATCATGTGTGGTTTTCTTAGAGGTTGCTTTCGAATACATCTTTGTTTCAAACCAATCTCCGGTGTCAGAGTTTGTGCAATGCAGGTGTACTAATACATACAGCGAATAATGATATGCTACAAGGGGAAGCATCCCCCGTCCGAACTATAGGATATGCAGTGACAAACAAAATCCAGGAGAGTTGTAAAGGAGCTTCAGCTAGCCGCGCTTAAGCTCCCCTTCACACTCGCACTCCTCAGAACCCGCGAGTTCTTCCTAACCTGCAACCGCGTATTCGGCCTCGAACCAAGGTCCAGAACCACTTCTGGTAGTTTCGACGTCCTTGACTTTGGTCTGCCACCACCTCCGACACTCACACTAGTAGCTTTCAAATTAACCTCGCCTAGGTCGAATTCATCACCTCGGTCTTCAGGCAGGGGTACATTACGAGCGTTATTCGTTGAATCGCCAAATAATAATCCTCGGCCTTCAAAGTCGATATTCTCTTTCGCAAGTGAAGGTCTTGCATCGCGTTTCTTGGTAGGCGAATTGTGTTCACAGTCAGTCGAGTAATGGTTCCCACTGAGTCTACGTTTGGATGGCGAGGTGGGTGCTGATAGCGTGGCTGGTCGGGGTCGGGTGCGAGGAAGAGCGGATGGAGAGATTATTGAATGATCCTCGTTAAAGATATCTTTTTTCCGTTTCGCTCCTGCTTCAAGTTTTCCTATAACACGGAAAAGGAGCATTTGGCATATATCCAATGGATACAATAGATGAACGAAAACGTACCCTTGCCCTTAGCCATGCTAATCGTATTCGTGATCTCCTTCACGACCTTCATTTCACCGTCTAGAGTTTTCTGGACTTCCCAATCCATAGGCCTCATCTTCTTCCAGTCTTCCAAAACTTTGTCACACCACTTATCCGTCTCCCCAACGACATGATAATCAATGATTCCATCCCACTCAGTCCCAGGTGGGGTCTTGTTCACGAAAATCACCTTTCCGGCGTGTTGTTTGGCTTTAGACTTTATTGGCGTGGACGATAATGAGGGAGTGGAGAAGGATGAGGGAGCAGAGTCGTGTACGGTTTTAGAAAACTCTTTGACGAGTTTTTTGAAACCGTGGACTTTGAGAGAGGTTCCCATGATGATGAGCATATCGGGTTTTCGTGTGAGGTCAGAGGATTGAATACACCCAATATCGTCACCCAGTGGATGGGGTTCATCGTATAATACGATGGTAGGTCGAAGAGTACCGACTTTGAGTGGTCGAGCTGAACGTGCCACACGAGCTTCTGCTGAGAACAAAACAATACGTGTCGGTCATATGCACAAAAAATCACATTTGAGACGTAAAAACTCACAACGATCCGTGCATTCAGGACAAGGTGGCGGAATACCACTCTCAAACTGTCTCAAATGCTCCTCGGTACAAGGCATTTCTGCCGAACAAAACGTACACCTCACACGATGAATATCACCATGTAACTGCACATTCCTCACATCCTTTATTCTCAACTTCCCCTTGCCCTTCCCATTACTCGGACTCGACCTAGCTTGTTGACTTGAACTTCCAAGAAGACCAGCCTTTTCTTCAAGTCCATCTATATTTTGTGTATACGATCGAAGCAATTTCTGTTTTTGGTCGAGGGTTTTGATAAACCGATGAGTGGACGAGGGCGAAGCGGAGTCGATGGATTGTTTAAGTTGAGAGATGAACGTGTAGAAAACCGCGCTCGAGGTTGAATCGCGGAATAATGACGCGTCAAAAAGGTCTCGCCCTTTCAACACGACGTCTGGGTATTGTTGTTTCACAAGAGAATAGAGACCGTCTGTCGATCGGAAATCCTATGGAAACGCGCATTCAGACGGTTGTTGACGCGTAATATTGTAAAGTAACGTACAGGGATACCACAAGAGCACGAAATACCTGCCCCCGTCACGACAACAATCTTCTTGCATTTTGCCACCGCCAGCGAAAGGCTTGACAGTGTCCTTCGCGTCAATACATCCGACGCGGACTTATTCAAGTCCAGTGTCACAGGAGGCATTTAGAATTATTTAGAGTATGCTGGAAGAGAGATTAAGTGTTAATGAGGTCTCTCCTGGAACCGTGAGGGTGGATGACACTGGGTGGTTAAGTGTTAAGAGGGTGGGGAGCGGCTGACTTTCGCTTACGGCCTAATCAACGCTCGCGTCGCGACGCGTCCACACGTGATCGTATCTCATCTTGTAAACGCGTCGGGGACGCGTCCAAGATGGTGTTCTGTAAGAGAATCTCAGAACGGGTCGTGAAGAGCAAATGTGAAAGAGGGCAAACGCGAAAATAAGTCAAAAAGCATGATAGCCTTCTATTATAAGAAGAACAAAGGGCTGGCGATAACACGCTATGTACACGTCCGTTCCATGATACAAAACAAAGCAGGCAAAAAATGAAAGGAAGGTATGAGTATCCAGTACAACTATGCTAGGCAGTCCAAGTAGCACCAAATGTCCAATGAGCGAGGGGAGTAGTACACAGAAACGTCAATGAATACACACAGCAAACAATCAAGACAGAGATGCAGATGGGATTACAGATGGTACAGCTTCGACTGAGCGAGCTAATAAATGAGGGTATGTAGATATGAGCAGATGATGTGCATGTTGAGTAGATAAGCATGAGGGTATAGGATGGGCATAGGATAGTCGTGACGGGTACAGATGTTGGGACTTCAGGGGCGTTTGCCTGTAAACCAGGACAAGCCAACACTTCCGACCCCACCAATGTAAACTCGGGCGTGTAGACGGCAGACCTTAGGATTGAAGGATTGAAGTCAGTATTTGTTGTCGCGACATAAAGAAGGCATGGACTAACGGTATCAGCAACCTCCGCGCTCTTAAAGTCAATATGAAGATCTCCGTTCGGCGCTCGAGTGATTTGATTCACCTCTCCAAACGTCTAGAATGAGAAGAAATGAGCTTCCACATAATGGTACAGCTTAGGGGCGATTCTCACCTGACACCACCTTAGGAGTGCATCAGTCCGTCGCTTGTCCCCGACAGGAACACCACTAATGATCAACTTTCGCTTCTTTCTCCTCCTCGGACTACCGAGTAATTGAGATACAGGCCCGAGGCCTAGACTGCTCCCGGACTGCACTCTCAATGACTGCGCCACGCGCATAGCACCCTTCTCGTAGCCACTGTCCTTCGCAATAACTTTAGTCGAGTTGGGAGGATCGTTCATATGTGTGGCATCTGCAGGCAACGACCATAATGATGGCGAACCCCTGAAGAGTGAAGCCGGACTATGTGAGCGCAATGAGCCAAAAGTAAACTTCGACGGTGAAGTGCCGAGAGCGTCAGAAGAACTCTGGGCGTACGAAGTGGCAGTGGTAGATACGGAGGCAGAGGAACGGGTGAAAGTGGAGGTGGAGGAAGTACTCGGTCTGGGTGGAGACCCATCATCGGGAGTCGTCTGACCTTCGACTACGGGGTGCATAAAGTGCCCCAGCACAGTAGGCCGTGTCTTGGTCTTGGTCTTGCATGTACTTTGCGGTGTGGCAAAAGAATCCAGTTCTGATGCAGTGACCCGTGATGGGCGTTGAGTGAGGAGAGAAGCAGAAAGGTGGGACTGTCGTTTGCTTGGGGTAAGAGTGTCGTTATTACTTGTCGTGCGGTGATGAAAAATCGAGGCGAGAGAGGAGCTAGCAACCGAGTCAGCGCCAGAGGCCTTGCGTGTATGTGTAAACGTGAGGTCAAATTTCCTGCGAGACGGAGGCGTGGCGAACACATTGCCCGCATTATTTGCTTTGCGGGGTGTGGAAGGTGTGTTTTCCGCAAACCGGAGTACCTGCCAAAACAGGATCAACACTCGATCGGACGCATCACGTGCATAAATAAATCATCCAGAGACACACCTGCGCGTCGCGCTCGTCGTCTTGTTCGGTAATGAGAATTGCGGTTTCAACGCTTGTGTTGTGTCGTCTGGACAAGGACGGAGGATTCAGATGGGGGTAGGCCAGGTAGGGGTGGCAGTTTGAGGAAGGGGCAGGAGGTTCGCTGCTGTCTGGTGTGCCAGGAGGGCTGCCAGGCACGGTTTGCAATACTTGTTGGTGCTGGACCCATCGTTCAATGCGACTCGAACTGCGGCGAAGAGGTCTAGTTGCAAAACGTTGCATTGCTGGTGAGATGTGCTTTTGCTTTCTGTCATTCGAGGGGGAAATATCGAGGGGTTCTAGTGCTACGGGTGGCACGCCTAATAAATACAAGGACCTGGACAACGCGACAATAGAATACCACATACCATCAGTCGTAATGCTAGGATCCCTTTCCTTGACCCTTCTGCTTTCTTTTGTCGGCGTGCTGGGGCCATAAGTGGCTGGTGTCGTAACGATGGGTGTATTCATTTCTGTCGTCCTAGGGTCGTGTCGGTCGTAGGGTGTGGTATCAAACGATTACTGGGGGTATTAGAAGCAACGGGCCATAGCATGTAGCATGTCAGGATTGAAGGCAGAGAAGGTCCAGACGCGATATGGTGGGGAAGAATGCAGGGAGGAATGCAGAGAGAATAAAAAGAGTTAGGAGTGGCGGCAGGTCGCCTTGAAGCTTAAGGAGCCCGAGGAGGGAAGAGTCCAGGGGGACCGGAACGTAACGCAGGACCAGAGACCAACCATGAATGTCAATTTGTAAGGTTGACGTATCCGAAGGGAACGTGGTGTTCGCGGATAGTTCTCATGATGGATCTTGTTGCGTATCTCCTTGCGTATCGCATCGATCCTCCTATCAACGCGTCTCAAACTCTCTCACACGATGCACACCTCTCCCTTAACAGGGTGCGCACAACCACCGCGCGCCCCTTGCACGAGCAGAATGCATGGCAGAAATGTACATAAACCTGCCCCCCGTCGACAACCCGAGATAAACGCATGGCTGGCCAAATCGTTCACATGGTAATCAGCAACCCCGCTAAAAGACTGCAGCGTCCAAACCAAGCATCGCATCCTCTGATATTTCCAAGCAAGCATCACGCCACCAAATCAAGACTCTGTTATTCGAGGCAGGGAAGTTGAAGCAGTATTCATAGCCTGCAGTGTCTCGGATAATGCGGCCGAGTTCAGAAGCTACAGGTTATTCGGAAGAACAAATGATATCCTCGGGTCCTTCGTCGGGACCCACACGTACTTACTGTCGGTGCGCAATCAAAAAGACCTACGGATCATACGCTCAATAAGAGGGACAGTATCAGCCGCGCGACAAAGAGCATGAAAGGCAAATGATAAAACATTCAAGGCAGTCCAAGAGGTTATTGCCAAGTTCTTGGAGGGTGTGATCGTCCGTAGCCTGCAAGCAAGTCAAAGCACAGCTTCGTCAATCCGGCACCTGTTTCCGTTCTTCGTCTGCTGGTGTGCATATATGAAGCAGATATGTACAGAGTATATTGATGCACAGACATTTGGACTGCGGATGAGACCTATATTGAGTCAAGCAGCATATTCATGGCAAGACGAATCACGTACTTTCAAGACAAGTACAAACGATTGCCAAGCTGCTATTGATAAATCTATACCGTGAGTCTAGCTGTATCAAGGTGAGACCAATACAAAAGGACTACGACAGCGGAAACATACTCGGACGTTCTGCTATGAACCCGATGTAGCACCATTCGTCAAAGGATTCTGTAGTGACCGTACGATTTCCTCGACGATCTTTGCAAACAAAGGGGCTGTCGAAGTCTTCTCATAGCGACGTAGGATCCCAAACGATCTTTGTACGATTTCCCCCTCCGATGGTTGAGATTCCTCAACCTCAGCAGCGTCCAGCAAAGTGACAAGCTCGGTATCAACTGGTAAGCTACCTAGGAATTTGAGTCCTTCCCGCCTGGCCATCTCTTCTCCGCCACCTGTGGAAAATACGTTGCTGATTTCGCCGCAACAAGGGCAGACGTATCCGCTCATGTTCTCTATGAGCCCTAAGACAGGGAGGTTTACTGCACGTGTAAAGGACAGGCATTTCATCGCGTCGAGGAGGGCAACAGCTTGCGGTGTGGTAACCACAACGGCAGATAATTTGTCATGAACAGGGGCCATATGCTCCATGAGAGACAAATGTTCGTCAGAGGTCCCTAAATAACAACCAGGAGTTGAGGAGAGGTGGTAAATAGGGACCATATGATCGTTACGCACCTGGAGGAGTGTCGATCACCAAATAATCCAACTCTCCCCACCTAACGTCTCCTAAAAACTGCCTGATCATAGCATTCTTCTTCGGACCCCTCCAAACAACCGAATCCTCCTTCTTCTTCAACAAGAATCCTACACTCATACATGCCAACCTCGCTTCGCTTCCATCAGCATATACAGGTACCCAGCCGTCGCTACTCTGATGTACAGGATGTCCATCTAACCCTAACATACGTGGTATAGACGGTCCTGTGAGGTCTACATCGAGAATACCGACGCGTGTGGTCGGTGAAGATCCGTAGAGCGAAAGTGCGAGTTGGGCAGAGACGGAGGACTTGCCTACTCCGCCTTTTCCTGAGCAGACGATGATGATATGTTTGATATGGCGGAGACGGCGGCCCACCGGGGTGTCTTGAGTTACTGAAGTCATTTTGTGGGTATTAAATAGGGTGTAAAGAGAGTAAGATTGTGAATTTGGGTGAGAGGAAGAGACATGGTGGGCGGAGATGACGACTGAGTGCGATGACAAAGATCGTGTGCTCAATTCGCGATCAAATCAGATCGGCTCAGATTCAACTTCCACTTCACTTTCGGTTATCTTCTCGCTCTTGTCATGAATGGAAAAACAACTAGAATGTATGGTATGCAGATTGAAGGTAATAAGGATACAAATGTTAAGAGTGGAAAGGCAAGGATCGAAAAGACGGCAAAACAGAACTAAAATCATCCTCAGATCTTGAACAAGTCTGGTTTCAAGTTCCTGCACAACAGAATTAGCAGGTAGGGGAAAGCGCGTTGAAGAACTGACGAACATTTTGCATAAGCGAGCCAGAAGCCCGCCAAGTTGGATGAGAGTGCCGACACCTTCCAGAACACGCATGTGCGTGAAGCCAATTTCCTTGATATATTCCAGTTTTGTATACTCTGGAAGCCTATGCCACAAGTACGAGAAATCAGCACGAGTTCTATCAAATCGAGGGGACACTCACTCATCGTACGTCTTCACCACTCGGAAGATCGTGACGACAATATCAACGGCACTATACCCTTGATTCCAGAGATCCGTCAGTTTCTCCATCGCGGCGTCGATATCTCCCTTCAAACATGCTTTGATCATAGCTTGTATGACTACTGGGTGTGGTTGGTCGCAGACTTTGAAAACGTTGTCTGCTGAGACATAGCCGAAACCTGACCAAGTCGACTGAAGGTTGTTGATAGCTTGACGCATATCCCCTTCTGATGTGAATATGAGTGCTGCAAGGCCATCTTCGTTATATTCCACCTTTGAGTCAGTTAGTCATCGGTTGGATAAGTAATAAGCGCAACGAGGGATACCGACCTTCTCCATTTCACAAATCTCGAGCAGTCGTTTGAGGACTTCGGTGTCACTCAGTTTTGAATATCGAAGGATAGCACATCGACTTTGTATCGGTTCAATGATTTTATTTGACATGTTACATGCCAGTGCGAATCGTGTAGTGTTTGAGTAGATCTCCATGGTTCGTCGAAGGGCTTGTTGAGCTCCTGGTGTCATGCTGGTGTCTTTGAGTCAGGAATCCAATCGCTTGATATGGAAGAAGGACGTACCTGTCGGCTTCGTCAAGAATTACAATCTTATGTCGTCCTGGGGGAAGAGTAACTTTCTTTTGTGCGAACTGCTTGATTTTGTTTCGAACAACATCGATACCTCTGTCCCCCATTGGGTTGAGATATAAATATTCAAACGTAGTGAGATACACACCTTTCATCTGACGCGTTCAGTTCCAAGACACCCTCCTTATACGCATCACCCAACAATTGGTGGGCCAGACAGTGTATACTCGTAGTCTTTCCAATACCAGGCATACCCTAACGATATTCAAGGACAGTAAATTTATCGGCAGTTAAATCCAGAATCGTGTAAACGCGTACCGAGATAATAATATGTGGACAATTCCCATCCTTCGCGATGACTTTCAGTCGTTCCACCGTGTCAGTATTGCCCACGACGTCGTCCAGTGTCTCAGGTCGGTATTTCTCCACCCATGGAAGTTCGTAGGCCTGGATTGAGGAGCTGCCGTTAGCACGAGCAGGTGCTTTACCTTTCGAAGTTGACGAGGACATAGCAGTGACCACGGTAAAGAGCAATTAGTTATTAGACGCGTCTGTGGCTGAGGTCTTGAAAAGGTCTTCAAACTTCACTGGCAGACTCAAATTGCAGTTTGGTCTTTTGATCTTACTACTCGTACAGTACAATAGCATTGCGTATTCAGACGTATCGAATTATGCAGGGACATTTAAATTGCAATCGTGATTAAGAATGCGATAGAAACAATTTTGTGATAGAGTGCCAGGCTGACCACGGACGTTGCTCGCAGCACTGGCACATGTAACAATTCGCAGAGCAAGGCTGCTATCGCACATTCATTAGGCAAGAGTCTTCAGCTGCAAGTCTTCCTCTAGTCCACGATAGAACAGACCATCTCGCAGGTCCAGTAAATCCTGTCTCATACCCTCTATAGAGAATCCAGTTGGCCCATACCCTTCATATACGTCCCCAACCCTCTGACTGCCTTCCCAGACGCTATGTGCCCGTGGCTTTCTGATATCGTCATAGGATTTCAATGCCGACTGGGTGGATAATATGAATGTCCATTTGTAAAGCTAACACAAGGCCACTGACCTCGACATCTTGTGCAGAAGGATTAGAGGATGAACGCCCAAGTAGCTTGGCGAGGAGGTAAGCATCCTCCATACCTTGACCAGCCCCTGCTCCAAGGTGCGGTAGCATCGCATGAGCCTAACAAAAAATGAGTCGTCCCAAGGAGTCCTGTGTAACCGAGTGAGACTTACTGCATCTCCCACAAGGGCTACCCGTCCCTTAACGTATGTATCAAGTACGGGATAAACAGCATATAGGAACCACTTCGTCGGGTTATTGATACATCGAAGGAGCTTTATCGTGTCGGAATTAGCTCCGCAGTCCGCAAAGTCGGCGAGCATCCCTTCCGGCGTTACAGGAATGACCCATGGTTCAGTAGGGGAACGTTGAATCTCTCCAAAAGGAATGGAACGATCCGTGACAAAAGCAACGATGTTGAACTATGCCAAAAAGGATTGAGCCAGAAACGCCTGGAAAGCGTAAAACTACATACCAGGTCACTGTCATGAATGGGATCCACAATTAAATGCTGTCGGAGTGAATGTTGTATTTAAGTACGAATGAGCTATGAAACAAGATGCCATTCGAGTACCTTTCCCTTCCAAATAAGACACGTTGGCCTTGTCATGAATGCCGGGTTTACACCAGCGGCTTTTGCATCATCCACAGTAATCAGACCACGATATGCCACAGTGCCAGTAAAGACAACCCTGCCACTTTCATCTTTTGCGAAAAGAAGGCTGCGAACTGTACTTTTGATACCATCCGCGCCAATAATCACGTCGGCTTCTGCAGACGTACCATCTGCGAAGTGCATTATCTGTTGGTTAGAAGAAGGTAGGGGTGTGATCGACTGAAGACGTTTGCCAAAGTGGGTGATCTGAGGGTCAACATGTTTCACGAGCGCATCAAGCAGAGCCGCCCTGAGTAGAGTCCAATGAATCCGACATCATACCATAAGACCTGATCCCGACGCGTAACTCACCGATGGACACCTATTCGATGAAGGCCAACGCCATCGCCTTCTTCCATTGACTGTAAATGTGCCGTAGGCCCATGAGCCTTGTGACCATATGGAAACAGAGCATGATGCGCACATCAAATATCATCTCTTGCCCCTCATCGGCGTACTTGAATGCGAACGCCTTTGACAAAGGAGGCCGTTGATCAAAAGTAGGAAGAACATCATACAATACTCCTAGAGACTGAAGGATACGAATCGCATTCGGAGCTGTAAGAATGATTCGTGATCATTGTAATTAGTCTCAAGGGGACATAAAACGGAATCTCTACCGTACCAAGACCAATCCCAGCTCCTATTTCCGCAAGCTTCTCCTATTGGATGCCAACAATTTGAGCATCTAACAGGACTCATCGCGATAGGCAGGACATACGGTGGCTTCATACAAATGCACACCTACCCCTTCTTTCGTCAATGCGATGGCAGTGATTAGCCCCACTATCCCTCCACCGATAACAGCAACCTGTAGCTTCTTTCTATTCACTGACAAAGAGGACATTTATGATAACCTCAAACAGTGAGTGAAACTACCAGAGGATATAATCGATCTTGTTCAATTGCCGCAAACGGGCATAAACGGTCATGGGAGTGACGCGACGATAAGCATCAGAATATGGTTGGCGCCATGCAACTGACGAACTCCAAAGCTGAGAAAAATGCATTGAGCCCGAGACATCGTATCGGCCAATTGCATGACACGTCCATGATAGGCAATGAGACTGCTTACCTTTTGGCCGGACACAAAACGCGATCTATGCATGATTCTCACAAAGCCATCCAGCTTGAACAGCAATCCGTTGCACCTCGCAGTAAGCTTATGGTCTAGATTGTTATATCGCTGATAATTCAGTTTCAAACGCTTGGACATGACCATATGCTCGCTCGGAGATCGTTTTGTGTCGAAACGTTCATATTCTAGCTTCCCATCAGCCGTTATTGAGCACCTGTACAATTAGCTTCATGTCGAGTTGGAAAGGACATACATCTTACAATATGAAATCCGGCTCGGACATGTGCAATATTTCTCGAATTCTGGAGGAGAACCTGTATGGGGCGATCGCTGCTCAAGAAGAAGTGGCTTGAAAGGCCCTGCCTTTCAAAAAAGGGAAGGGTTACATAGTAATTCGAACCGAAGGAAAAGGAGGGAAAGTGATCAGGATAGGCCCAGTTTTGGACCGCTGTTGCATTGAACTCGGGATGTTCGGGAGTGTGCCCTACGTCAATGAATTCGTCGTCCGATTTTGAAATAGGTCGACAACTGTTGGCAGCAAGTCGAGTGAGAAATATAAGAATCGATCATCCGTTATGAAGCTTGCTTCAAGAGTATATCATACAGAGTTGGCATTATCAACTCCTTCTATCTGAATGTGGGCCATGAGTTAGTGTGAACTGAATTCATGAACATATGAATGCTCACCACTACCATGCTACAATTCATCCTCCCAAACGTTCCATCCAACAACGTGCCCACATCCCTCGACGTGTCCCTCCGCTGCCCCCTTCTTGCCCGAACCCGCAAGACAAAGCACAGGACACAAAGCCTCTTCAACGACAAACTCCTCAGCGGTATGCACATCGACTAAACCCTGTAGTCCTATTTCCTCACTACTCCCATCTCCCGATTCATTATCCTCATCATAGAGTGTAGAGAGGTGGTGATGACGAAAAGCGACGACCCTCATACCACCTTGCCAGCTCCGCAATAAGCGACCACGAATTGCAGAGAGCTGAGCTACCCCTTCTGCCCACCCTCGTTCAAATTGCCCACGTATAGATGAATGCTGCGTGTCTTTGTCCTTCACAGTCTTGTGGTAACCAGGGGCAGTGGTGGCGAAGGTTCGGAGGAGAGGCTGTGGCGGTAGGATCCGAATTTTCTGAGTGGATAAAGCAACAGGAGGACCAGTATGACGAGATGGAAGTCCGGGAAGCGGTTCAGCATCAGGAGGAAGCGACTCGCGAAGCGATATAGTAGCAGTCGCCAACCCTCTTCGCCCTCTCCTTGGTCGCCTTTGAACAGGCACCGGAGGGGCGGCTGGTCCCGCGTCTGCAACTTGGAGTGCATTCATCGAGGCTCGCAAGACGTTGGCTTCTAACCAAACTTTGAGTTTCTTCTCGCGTTCTTTGGCAAGTTTGACCCCGGCCAGTGCCATACTCTTCCCCAGCAGAGCCCACAGATTTTGCCTCTCTTCTTCTGCAAGGTCAGACCTCTGACTGACCACGCTACAACCATCCAATACCAGATGCTTCAACTTGCCAAATCGACCCAAAATGGCTTCGACATCCGATTCGACGACGTTGCATGTCGATAAGTCCAGAAACTCGAGGGCGGGGAAAGAATTTGCTACAGAATATATGAAGCGCGCGACTTGGCGGGAAGGAATACGTAGTCGGAAGTGTTCGAGTTCAGAAGTCAGAGGCGAGTAAGATAATGTCCTGAAGGGGTCGAGTCGGAAGAACACTAGCGGTTGGGCGAACCTGCCTGTAGGTGCGATAGTAGCATCGAGTGCGTCTTGGATAATGCTGAGGGAAGGTAGTGGACATGAACCTTTGGACCAACGCGACAGGGCAAGAAGGGTCGAATCAAAGTATGCGCCTTTGAGGAATTGGTAGTATGTCGCCCGCTGGACGCTACAGAAATCGATGAGTTGATATTGAGACACATATAAGTATGACACACGCACTAGGGCCTAAACCGCAGTGAGAGGAACTGTAAGCCGTGCCATGGCTTCTCAAATATGTCCTCGAGATGCTCGGGTGCAAAGTTCGGTCCAACGAACATCCGGAGTTCCTTGATTCTACCTGAAGAGAGCAAATTCATCAGGTTCACCACAACATCTGCATCAGCCGTCCAAGTCTCCAAAGAGAATGCATCAATATTGGTGATTAGATTCCTATCCTTTCGAAGACGTTGGTAGAGCTGAATGATCTGCTCCGGATGTGTAAGTCGAACGTATTGAAAGACATGGTATTGTGGTATCGGTGAACGAGGGAGAGCGCAGGAGAACGCTAAGGTCGTCGTTTGTAAAAGTGGGAATGAAACATGGCTAAGGATGGCAGAGTAGATTTCTGGAGGGAGGTGTTCAATTAACGACATGCAAAAGAGAAATCAGCAAGTATTCAGGCTTGAAAACAGCCATGACGTAAGCGCCTTTTCCTAAAACAGACGATCAAAACGCCTCTCTGATTGGCTGGTGCGCATTACACCTTCTTTTGCGACATCCTCCATATCAATTTCCAAGTATTTAATCCGCGCACGTAAGTTACTACGTTGAGATAGGCTTGCCATGCTTATAAGAACACATAGTATGTCTCTAGATTCATCATCGTTGTTTCTCATTGGGCTCAATTGCTGCCAGGTCTCTTAGTGACATGAGCAAGTTGCTCTTCTCCTCGATCGAAGTTACGCGGCAGGTATTCTATCGCACACCTTTGACATTTGCCGTAGTGAACTTGAAGCCTATTGTACCTGGTCGTAAGTTCCTTCAATCCCCTCACTTCACCGCATTGAACTGATTCAAACGTGCTCAATGATAAGATGTTCTGGTCGTCCCGACTCGCGTGGTGCAACGATTAGCAGACCTCAAGCCTCCAGAACTATCGGATCTCATAAACACTATTCAACATGTGGGGAAGGTTATCGAACGCGTGTACGGTGCGGATTCTCTAACAATCGCATGTCAGGTACGCATGCTACACTCAGTTATCAGCCTCGTTGAATCCTGAACATCGGTCATTACTATCTTTTGATCAGGATGGGAAAGCAGCGGGACAAACTGTCCCACATGTTCACTTCCACCTTCTGCCTCGTCATCTCCACGGTGACAGGTTCGGCGAACGGAACGATGAGATTTACCCTGCGCTTGAACGTGCTGAGGGCCAAATGCCTGAAGTCTTGATTTCTACCAAACGACGTGAAGAAGGGGAAGGTTTGGTGGAGTGTAGCGAGCCGATAAAAATGGACGCTGATGAAGATAGAGAGCCTCGTTCAATGGAAGAGATGGAGAAAGAAGCGGAGTGGTTAAGAGGATTCTTCGCCGATATCGAGCGTCAAAAGGAGCGAGGGAAAGCGTGAATTGCTACAGCTATGTAAGATAGTGTTTGGATACAAGGTCTGAAGCATAAGACGGACATAGGTATCGTAGAATTCGAACTAGAATCTAGATATACAAAATGTAAGAATACAACGAGATCCACGATCGTGATATTCGGCAATACAAGATATTCATACATAATCCAGGAAAGTCCATGGGTGAAAAGAGAACAAGACAGCGGTAGTATGTGGAAATGTGAAAGATACACAGAGGGTTGTTAAGGCGCCGGATTGGGACCGGCAGAAGTCGAAGGAGCGGGAGCTTGAGCCTCAGCCGCTTTACGTTGTGCAATAACTTCCGGGAACTCATTATCTTCCCAGGTGCTCGGGATAAGTGCCACAGACAAAAGCCAAGTAGCAGTCAACACGACCCCATTTCCTACAATGACATCACCAATAAACATACTCTCGACACATCAAGCATGCAAGGACGCACCTTTGTCGAGCATCTTGATCGTAGCCCAACTCCAGGCAACGAACACACCAATATATGCCAGGTAAGGTATGAGCAACTTCAACATTTTCAGTGCGGGACGCATTTGAAGTGGGACCATTAGGATGGGAACGTGATCGAGAGCCCATTTGAGTGCCGTCGTGATCATAGCAGCTCGTTTTGTACCTTCGATTTTCTTATCGTCGAGAACGGCTAGAACGGGTGGGGGAAGGTATCTTAAAGACGGCGTAAGAAAGACTGATAGGGTAAAAGGTGTGCAGTAGAGCAAACGTACAGACGATAGCCCCACCAATTGACCTGGATAGAGAGTTTGGTGCTCGAGGGTACCCAAACGCGTTTCGCAGATGGGTGCTCGAAATGTAATCGGGATGGTCCTCCTTCAGTTGAAGGTCCTGAAAAGGGCCACATTGCAGCGAATTTGCCTTTCAAGGTCGACGTCTCACCTGGACCCCGGCTTTCTTCAGGCTCTCTCAGGATTTCTGACTTCGCAAGTTCAACTTCAGACGAATCATCAGGAATGAGTGGAGCATAGAGCATCACACTCGAATTGTCTTCGTCCACGATTTCAGGTTGAGCTCCCTCTGCGGCCGATTCCTTGTGTCCTTCAGATGGCTGGGAATGGTCATCTGCTATGTGCCCCGGTAATCTCGCTCTCAACTGGTCTAAGATCGACCATACACTTGGTCGGGTCTTGTCAGCAGAGCCGTTCATAATGGTAGGTGACGAAAGCAAGGCAACTAGCTGAGGGTCTGATACCATAGCCGGCGGAACAGGCTGTTCGTTATTCTGAGTCGTGTCCGTTGATGTGGAGGTTACAGGAGGTGCTGTTGTAGTAGAAGTAGAAGTAGAAGCAGATGTAGATGCGGGTGGAGTATGAAGGGAAGTGCCAAAAAGGGGAGGAAGTGACGAGATCATGGTCTGAATACGTTGGGCAATTGTCAAAGGTTCCGGAGGGGTTTGAACATTGTCGTCTCGTTGAGCATCTGGCGACGTAGGATCTGACCCTGGTAGCCTAGTGCATTCGTCTTTTGGTGTATTCAGCTCGTCATGGTTATAGCATATAATAGCACGAAAGTAAGCACCTGGATGACTCTCCTTTTTGTCATGATCGTCTACCTCCCAATGAGCAGGAGGGAACTCCAACTCCGGAGCCTTACCGTCCTTTCTCATCCCCAACGAATTCGCAAACCGTTCGAAAGGTGTCATGTTGTACGCCTTCGGAGTCTCCGCACCTCCCGGCGTTACAGGAGCTGAAGCTGAAATCGGAGATTCGTTGATGGTAGGTGTTCCGGGTTGAGAGGTGCTTCGAGGAGATTTCGGGGTGAAGTATCCTTTGGTGCTGAGGGACCTGCGGATGCGAGTGAAAACGCCAGGATGCGCTTGAGGGTCAATATTGGACTCTGGTTCGCTGCGCTGGGTAGACATAACAATTAATGAGTTCGAAATACTAGCTGGCTATAGCCAGGGGATTGTAAGTATCGGGTAACTCGTATAAGTATCTGGACCGCCACGACGGCCACCGACGTCACCGAATTGGAGAAGCCTGAACAAGGAACCTTTTAGCGCGCAAACTTTGTGTTCTTCCGATTGATCCTCCCCAGTACACTGCTCTTCCAACATTAGAGACGTAGTCTGCAGTGTCAGTCGCGACAGTAAATTTTAAAGATCATCAGGCCGGCCCTATGTTGCTTTTGGTATGTTATTATCGTCAATAGTTGATAATAATCTCGAGAACCTACTCAGAAGTCCTGCACTGGACCTGTCATCGCTAGTCTTTGTGCCAGGGCATTCAATACACCACGGTACAAGGCGTCCATCTTTCCATGGAGACATACAAAGAGGTTATAGATCGTGTCCTATATTACCTTTGGAAACTTGCGTGACATGTCGATGCTGACTGCCTCGTAGCAATCAGGTGCATGCGTTTATTATCTTTGAATATCAACAACGAGGACCTTTCAGCCAGCTCATTGACTGCTGTCTTGTTTGTCAAGTGGCGGTTTCAGAACTGCAGGTTCTCAAGCTTGGATAAGACTTGAAAAAAGTTAACTCCCTCGCATACCGCTTCCATGTGCGATAATGTCGGCGGCGGTTTTTGGACAATCAAGCTGAAGGCTTAAATCGAATGGACAGATATCAAAGGTGACCGCCATCTCAACGTCTTTATATTCATAAGTATATGTTGAGTGGGTATCATTGAATAACTAACTCTTACACATCCGATAGCATATGACATGAGCCGCTCCTTCGCATCTCGATGGGACTCCATAAATATCGGTGCCCGTCGTCTACAAACATCTCATCCAAGGCATCAAGCTCGCTACACCCTGCCGGAGAAGGTCCATTTTCAGGGTTGAAACTACGAGGAACGGATCCAGGACATTTGTGCCTCGTCGCGTTGCCGAACCCTACAATTCGAAGTTTCCGATTTTTGTCTACGACGCGGTGTTTACGATCAGCGAGGGCGTTGTGCATTATTCCCGCTGCGTGGATCTTAGTCGCTGCACCCATCATTTGACACCTGGCGAAGAGTCAAGGAAAATGTAAGTGACGTGAGCTAAGGTCGGGTTCAAGGAATGAAGAAGGATGGGAAAGGACTGAATGAGATGAGACAAGGACGTACATAAAATCATTCTCCTCAACCAACGTCGAACTGTCACACCACTCGAGTACCAAGCACCCCACTTCCCTGCCTTCCACAACGCCAACGTACATCCCATAGTTCCTTGGCACAACTTTCCCTTGTAAATATCTCAAATCGTTCATATAGAGTTCATGTTCCCTCGCAAGGCGAAGTAATTGATGTTGGCCTCTACCCCACTTCAGAGCCACTTCCTTTGGTACGTCGTCCCCACCCATATCCCTCTTGGAATCCTCACTACAACCCGTATCACCTTCAACACCGACGTTAAGGTGGGGTTTGTGTACGAATGAATGTACAACCTGTTTTGGTCCTCCGTTGCCTAGCCCATAAATTGGATGATCCAAAGTCGCGAATTGTTGCGTTGTTGGCCACCAATGGGGTGGCGGTTGTACTGTGAGATTGGGCGAGTTATTGGAAAAGGAGTAGAGCCGGAAGAGCTCGGTTTCAGGTGTGCCTGGGACGAGGAATCGGAGGACTCGGCCTGGACGGCGGGATGAGGATACAGTTGAGGTGGTCGAGGCGTTCAACATGATTGGAGTGGTTGAAGTGGTCATGTTTCGAGAGATTGGAGGGTTGTGTGGTTGGACCACTATACGAGGCGGGGTTGCGAAAGTGTAAAAACGAAGGCGAGACGTACGGGCTCAGGCATTTGTACATTCACAGAGGTCAAAGAGCTGCTTGGCCTCGCATACAGGTGGCAGGACAAGGGACAGTTAGCCGTACAGACAAAAGGACAAAGGGACGCATCCGGTGGCACTTTTGAGCCACTCTCAGTCAAGGCGCCGAGAGGCGTAGTTTCGACAAGGAAGCAGATCGTTCAAAGGAGGTTTCTCTAACCAAAAGACTGACAAAGTATATTGATAGCGTCGAAGCCAGACCATATGTAATAGCACAGGAGAAGAAAACACGAGTAAAGGAGAGCAGTCGTCAAGTAATGCCAGATCACTGAGTGTAGCAAACACCCCAAGGAGTCGGTTGAACCTCGTTCGGTATAGGTTGAGAATCCTTGATACGTTGGTGCCCATTCGTACGATGTTGATCGTCTTCCTCGGTCCTAGGCCATCCCCTATTGCGAGAGATAACACGTAAAGTATACTCAGGCAAGTCAGAAGTGAAAGCGTCCTCCATTGCATCTAGCTCAGGACATCCAGGAGGCGGAAGTCCATCCAAGTGGTCGCCATTGAATGTTTTGGGTAGCGCCCCAGGACATTCGTGTGTATTTGCCTTTGAGAAGTCCAATATATGTATCTTATTGTTGTTGCCTGCAGCGACGTGCTGGGGGTTGGGGAGGTCGTTGTGAATGATCCCGACTTTGTGGATAGCAGTTATGGCTGTCATGACCTGACGACTAGAGTAGGCAAGAAAAATGTAAGTACGTTGGTCATTGGAAGATCCATTGCAATTGAAATGATTGCGAGTGCAACTTACATGACTTCATGTTCATCAACTGGTTTCTTGCCAGCACACCATTCCAGGACCAGGCACCCAACGTCGTTACCTTCGGCCTTGCCAGTGTAAAGACCAAAGCATCTAGGCACACATACGCCTTGCAGATCTCTGAGGTGGTCCTGGTAGATGTCAAGCTCGTGTTGCAGATTGCGTATCCCAGCAAAACCACGCGCCCACTTGGTAGCCACATGCGTAGGTTGTTCCGTATGTTGAGCAGCCGGGATACGGTTAAAACTTGTGACGGAGCATAGGATGACGCGTTTTTGGGATTTAGAAGACCAACCGAAAAGAAGGTGGTCATCGGCATGGTCGGTGTCTAATCGTAAGAGAGGTTGGACAGCGATAGCGTAATTGGGACTCCCGTTAGAGGCAGTCAGTTCGAAAACTGTGGTTCCAGGACCATCTTGAAATGTGAGCCTAAGAACGCCAGCGAAGTTGGGTTCACACATAATGACGAGAGATATACAGTGAGCAATGAGATGTGGCAATGGGAGAATTAGATATCGTCATTTATAGGTGGACATTTGAAGAAACGTGGTGCCTTTGACCTAGCCAAAGCGTTTAGGGCCAATGCAGGCCAAAGACCTTCCCAGAAGGGGCCCTTGACATTCCGGTTAGAGTAGTTTGCTTTGTACGGCCATCCTTCGGAATAGTATGGTTGTGTTGGATAAAAAAAGTGAAGGTCCGCACTTACTAGGCACATACGATCTACGTCGAGCTAGCCGCCTTAGTTTAGATGATCTCGAATCACCCATAGGCTTAGCTTTCAACCTGAGTGCTCAGGTCAGGAACCATAACACAACTAGAGGCCAGGAACGCATTGCGCAATCTCAGGCTATATGTTTGAGAGGGCACGACCAAGACCGACAAAGACAGAGAGCTGCATGCGACGAGCAGCATGAGGAGAAATGTCGTCGCCACGTGGGGTAGTTAATAGACCCCAATCGATCTAGATTCCCCTCTGATCGGGTCCTTGAGCGAGCGAGCTGAGGTTTTATTTCTCCCCGCCTCCATTCCATGCTAGACAGCACAGGGCGGCGCTGAATGGAACGTTGCTGATATGTCGCGGGGACAACGACCGACAGATGTCGGTTTCGGGATGCGCCGCCTTGTCGCTCGGTATAACCACTTTCCCGAGGAATCGCAAGAAGACCGCCACCTGACGAACACCATGATCAGAAGGCAATTCCAGGCGTAGACTCCAATGTGCAGGATATGCTGAGGCACCTGCTTGATAACGTTTTCGGCCAGCTTAGATACGACGTACCGTATGGTGAGCCTATGTCTTCCTTCAACTTGCATCATCCTGCCTTTGTGCATCAAACAGCACCTTATGGCTGCTTAGAGTTGCAATGTGCACCGGCAGAAGGCGCTAGAGCTGTACAAGCTTTGCTGTAGCCTTTCTCGTAGATCGCCACATGTGCGATAGGCAACCCTATGTTCAGCCTGAATTCAGTCGCAACTAGCAAATGTTCGCGGTTCAATGACCTGAAATCATGATGAGCCAACTCCCCCATTTCATTATTTTGGCTTGGCGTTGCTGCCCATCTGAAGCTTCTCCACCCTCCTCGCTTCTTATCTGGTTAGAAACGGCATGGTAACGTATAATGCAGCTCGTGCAAGATCCCGTGCAGAGATACGCTTACCGTATATAAGATGTTCAAGAAATATCGTCTGCTCTTCGGTCGTGTGGTTTTCTCTGCTCAGTCCTCTCTACTCCTCGATTGAATCGGCGTAGCCATGTTCTCCTCTGCTGTCCGCTCTGCATTGGTTGTCCTTGTGGCTTCTGCCATCGCGGTCTCCGCTACTCCCGGTCTCTCACTCAAGGTCTCTGGCCCTACTGATGTTGAGGGTGTCGACAAGTTCAAGGTCATCGCTACTATCATCAACACTGGTGATGAGACCTTGAAGATCTTGAATGATCCTCTTTCGCCTCTCTCTAACTTGCCCACCGAGACCTTTGCAATCTCGCGCGAGGAGACTGGTGCTACACCCAAGTTCTCTGGCGTGAAGGTAACAGAGCTATTTTGTCTTCCAAATTCCCGCCTCCTCACCACAATTTTACAGGTGAAGTACGTTCCCGAGATTGCCGCCAAGGTCGGCGATGAAAAAGCTTTCACGATCCTCGCTCCTGGCCAGTCCGTGTCTCTTGAGCACGATCGTGAGTCCCTCTTTCCTCTTTCCCCAGCATATTTTTCTCATTGCAGCACTTGTAGTCTCGTCTGCATACAACTTCACTTCGTCGGGAGAGGGCAAGTACACCGTCGAGGCGAACAACCTCTTCCACATTGTGGACCCGGCCACCAACGCTCCAGTAGCCCTTCGCGCTGACGCCGAAGTTCACTCTGCTGCTATCACGGGCACCCTCGCTATCGCCCGTCGCAGCAACACCCGTCTGACCAAACGAGCAACTTTCACCGGTTGCTCATCGTCTCAACAATCCACTCTCAACACGGCAGCTTCTTCTGCCCAAAGCTACGCTGCCAGCTCACTCTCGTGAGTCGTTGCATTTACTTTCGAGTGTAGGAGTGACGTAGCTGACGCATCTGTACGTAGATATCTCCAACAACACACTTCCTCAACTACTCGTTACACAACTTGGTTCGGTACCTACACTGCAGCTCGTCACAGTACCGTGCTCTCGCACTACACGAACTTGAACGGGAACACCTACTCATCGTATCACTACGATTGCACTTGCACTGATTCCGGTGTTTACGCTTATGTCTACCCCGACGAGTACGGCTAATGCCTTCCTACCGTATTCTTGATGCTAATAAGCCATTGGACAATTTAGTTTCGGTCACGTCTACCTCTGCGGTGTTTTCTGGCAAGCTCCCAACACTGGCACCGATTCTAGGGCTGGAACTCTCATTCACGAGGTCCGTATTCTCGCGCTTTCCATCAATCTCGAATTGTTAAAACTGAAATGACAATTGTTATAGAGCTCTCACTTTACTAGCAACGGTGGTACTGATGATATCGTCTACGGCCAAACGGCTGCGAAGAACTTGGCCCAGAGTAATCCTAGCCAGGCTATTATAAACGCTGACAGCCACGAGTACTTCTCCGAGAACAACCCTGCGTTGGCATAAGGAATGTGCCAATACTTGCGAAGGAATTATCAATGTATCGGTATCATGTATGCTATAGCTTTGACGTGATACAAAATATTGTGTTTTCTTGTCGATTTCAATGCATGGCTTGATTGCAAAGAATTATGGTGCAGAAAGATCGATCGGCGTTCGATGCATGATGAGCTCGACAACCATCGAACGCGACGCGTCCACTTTAGCGCTTGCATAAAGCCTCGCGGAATGCAGATGGCCTCTCTTCTTCCCTACAATTACCACCGTGGTTTTGTTTGTGCCTTTTCAGCCTCAAGCAAATTCCATATTCGACTATAAGCTACTCATCTACTGTTTACCTCCCTAGACCGATAGATTCGAACAATGGTTCGAGCATCCACTGCCCAACCTGCTGCACCTTCGCGCACCAACAGTCCCGTTCCCGATGAAATAGACGAGGTATGTATTAGTGACTCTCGGGAATAAATTGCGACTTATGCTGCTGTCGCAGAACCCGTTCTTTGATAACGTTGACGAGTTGCAGCAACATGTAAGCCGACTCTCATTGTGATAGAGACATCCGCACTATCTTGTAAATCATTCTTCCTCGTCTCTTCAAGGGAATTAACATGCAAGATATCCTGAAGCTGAAAGTATGTCGCCGTTTCTAAATTCATTATTCTGGATGCATATATGCATCTATGCGGCCTAGGCTGCAGCAATCAACACTGTCTCGGGTGTGAATATGACAACCAGACGTCAAATGCTTAAGATCAAGGTAATACAGTCTTCAGTTTCTTATGACATCCTTTCTCATGGAATTATCCTCAGGGGATGTCTGAAGCCAAGGTCGAGAAAATCAAGGTATTCTTCAAGCATTTCTCTATCGTCTTCGACGTACTTACCTGGTTGATGTATAGGAAGCCGCCCACAAGATTCTGGTAGGGTATACGCGCGCATACAGCTTCTCACTTCATAACCTTCTTTTCAGGGTTCATCGTTTGCGACCGGGTTGGAAGTTCAAGAGAAGCGCAAGCGAGTGCTTTTCATCAGTACCGGCAGCAAGAATGTGGATACTATTCTCGGAGGTTTGCTAGACGTCTTTGCGTCCATTGCAAGAGCTCACTCATCGTTTCTCTAGGTGGTCTATCCTCACAGTCTATTACGGAAGGTGCGTATATGTATGTGTACATGCCTACAGCAATCTCACGGAACCCGTTGAATACATCCTGCTTTAACTAGTTTATGGCGAATATCGCACTGGCAAGACTCAGATGGCGCATACAATGAGTGTCATCACTCAGTTGCCTGCAGATATGGGCGGAGCAGCTGGAAAGGCGGGTTATATGCACATTTCTATGCATTTCGTGAGGACCGGTCGCTTACAGTCAGATGAATAGGTTGCCTTTATTGATACTGAGGGGACGTTTCGACCCGATCGTATTAGAGCTATTGCCGATCGCTTCGGCGTAAATGGTGATATGGCGTTGGAGAACATACTTTATGGTAAGTGCATAGAGTAGGTATTGCACGCTTGAGATGTGAAACTGACCTGTGTCTCAGCTCGCGCATTCAATAGTGAACATCAGGTACATTTTACTTCGTATGATCGGAGTTATGTGCTCATGAGCATGGAAAGATGGAACTCATCAATGAATGTTCCATGCGTTTTGCCGAAGACAAAGACTTTCGACTGCTGGTGTGTTTCCGGGCTCCTTGAAACGCTTCGTCATATATTCTTATATGGACATTTTCTCAGATTGTGGATAGTATTATGGCTTTGTTTCGTACTGACTTTTCGGGCAGAGGGGAACTCAGTGAGCGACAGCAGAAGGTATGTCAACACTACGCCTAGTATCTGCTGATGCTTTTCTGAAATCGTCCTCTGCAGCTAGCTCAGGTAATCATTTCGCTTGGGTGATGTTGGCTTGCTGACCTCCCACAGATGCTGTCGAAGCTCAGCAAGTTATCTGAAGAATATAACGTATTCTACTAAGGTTCTTCGTGATACTTTGTACTTATACTGAATTATCGTCTTCAGATTGCTATCTTGATCACTAATCAGGTCCAGTGTACGAACGCGATGCATAGCAGCAATCTTCTCTTCTACTGGGCTGACCGTCTTCGTCCTTATAGCCGATCCCGGAGCAACAATGACCTTTGTCGCAGGTGGAGCTCTCAAGCCTATTGGCGGGCATATTCTCTCTCATGCTTCAGCTACACGGATGTTCCTTAGGAAAGGTCTGCCTACCTCCCCTTGGATCTGGACTAGCCTGGGCCTTTTGCTGCTTGTTCACCTTGCCTCCCTGCAATCATATAGGTCGTGCAGAAGAAAGAGTTGCAAAGCTTGTGGATAGTCCTGATCGGCCGGAAAGCGAAGCTTCTTATAAATTGGACGAAGGTGGCTGGGCAGATGTTTGACCCCCGTTCCTATGCTGGATATTGCGACTGTTCCTCTCTGAACTTACGCTTTTGTTGTTGTTGTTTTGCCTTCCCTCTGGAGATGCTCAGATTTCTCAGATCCATACATGTATTTCGACGTCGACGGCGGTCCTCTCTAACAGTATTATAGGCCCTTGTTACATCCATGCATATTGAACGCGACCCGGTACAGGCGATGGGAGATGTTGAGAGTGACGACAGTGCGGGGCGAGCGCCGTCAGTGCCTGGTAAGCACCATCGCCGACTCACCACACTCTACAGGAACCGTCACCCTGCCTCTCGTCCATTCGCTACATAGCTGGTGCGATTTGTATTGGGATCCTCTTAGACTTTTCCTTACGACTCCCGACTCTAGCTTTCAACTTCGTCGCTACGTATCGACTCTTCTCGACGCGCTGAAGACACGTCAACTACCTGCGCTGGCTGCGTGTCATCGCTTGGTGGCCTCGCCGCTGTCTGTTCTCTACTTGATGCTGACAGCTGTTACAATTGTGATACTTGGCCTCTACTGTGTTTGCTTCTCAATAGGTAGTATTCTTCCGGCCCCCTTTGGCCCCTGGTGCATTTTCACGCGTTGAAACGCGTCACTGTGGGCGTTGGCATGATCTTGTGGTGCTTCAGACACCCACCCCCGTTGACATCTCTCCTCCTCTCCAATAGACTCGTATTAACGGCTGCCTACGGGAGACTATCATTACCCCAGTTGTACACAAAAAAAGGCGCTGGGATGTAAGGTTATGCCAATGTCACCGCAAGACAGTGGCACTGACAGTATTTCACTCGTACGCATATCATCCATATGATCAATGTTCAGCGATGCGCCTAAAGGTGATGAATGTTTTCTGTGTTGTCCAAAATTCTTTTGGGAGGAGTTCCCCCTTTGAGATACACTAAGTGATAGTTGTTAGCTTTGTTACCATCAATATGAGTCGGTATTCAATCCGCAACTTACCATATGTTAGCAGACACTGTAACTTGAGAGAACCTCAACTTGACTTGATAAACACCGATAGGTGGTTTCCATGTAGTTGCTTTGGTGCAATTGACAGCGTTATTCGAGGAGTCCCCGGTATGGTCAGGCATGTAGATGGAACGCAACTGAGACTGCGAGTTGAGTAGGTTAACATCCTCGCAGCTGGTCAGAAATAGACAGGTTTGGGGCACCCGTTCCATCAGACCCTCGATGTAAAGTCCCAGTGTTTCCTTGGTGGTGCATTTGTCCAGCCTATCGACCACAATGACAGGGGGAGAACTGAGATCTTGCATTGCTGTTGCAAGAAGCTCGAATAATTCGTCAAGGTCGGGGAGCCCGGTGTGTCGCTCTAATCGTTTCTTTCCAAGAATGTGTGCAATGATGCCAGAACGATCGACGTGGATGAGTTGAACAAGAAGCATTCGAACAAACGTGTCCGCGTTGAGGGATTTCGAATCGTTTGCGTCGCAGTAATGATAAAGGACAAGTTGTCCCGGTTGTTTTGGGGCCTTCGCAAGTTCTTCGATTACGGTGTAACTGGGGAGAAATCAGTTGGACCGGAATACAAATAATCGAAGATTCACATACGTCAAAGCAGTTGTATCATTTCCAGCTAAGGCACGATTCATTAGACGGGATGCGAAAATGATTCTATTGCAAACTTACGCTTGCTGCGAAGACAAAGGACGCCGCCTGCCTCAGACTTGCGCCATGCCGTGAAATCGGGATCCTCGAGGAGCCACGAGTAAGCTCCTGCTTTAACACAACCAGATATGGCCGTGTGCTTCGCAATGTCTCTCGCTTTTGAAAGAATCAATGACTGCTCGTCGTTATAATAACGATGATTTGGAAACTTACTGTCCTGACGATCCGAGAGCGTCTGCATGATCTGTCCAAGCTCATTTCCGATGTGACTAAATTGAAAGTTAGAAACTATCAATTGGTACCAAGTGAGTAAAGCACACCAAGATTGGATCGAGAGTGCAAGAATGAACTGTTCTCTATGACGGGCCAAGCAGGGCAAAAGTTTCTCGACCTTCTTCTTGCCCTTCACCGACCACATCACTTTCTGTTTAAGCATCATCCTCCCATTCATGGCGTTCTGATCGTTCAACCATTTCAACATCTTTGTCAGATCCTCCAGCAGGGTGCGTTGAGCCGTGTTCTCCTTCAGCAACGGAGACAAGGCCTTGAGGCGCTGGATTCCCTGAGGCGACGAATGCTGATCCCGTTGCTCAACGAATGTGATTAGTTCTTGGAGAGTTTCCATGTTAGCTTTGATTTCCTCCACAAAGGCTCGAACAGAGGGTTCCGCATCCTTATAGTCTGAATAACGTTGAGAAATCGCAGGGCCAATTTTGCAGAGCAGTTCGAACAATGCAATCGCGCCGGCGGCTGTCGAAAATCCGTCCATGGATGCAAGAAATACACGTGGGTAGAGGGGAATATGTTCCAAGAGGGTACTGCAATAATGGGAGTAGCAAGAGCGAACGAGTCGGGGGAGGGAAGGGGGCAACAGAATCTGCAGACATCTGACTCTCTCAGCTCGCCGTGGCTGGGTGAGACCCAATTACCAGTGCCTCAACCACCGTGTTTAGAAGCCCTAGTAAACAAAGTAGACTGCTGAAAAGTGGATCATTGCATGCGCAGCATCGTCAATGGCATATTTGGCCGCCATTGACCCAGATCCGTGCCAGCCGGTTAAAGGTAGAAGTCGTTTGCATTGCCTTGAACCCTTCAATAGTACTGTATCTATTAGTAACGTACATTAGGCGATGACAAACAATAAGACAGCACCACCACAGGTAAAGAATCTTGTAGAAGGAGTTGCATGCAGAGTAAGTAGCGGTAAGTATTGCAACGTATTACATGACCCCTGCTAGTATCCTATGATGCGAGAATACTATTATCTTTCTCATCAACTTGGTCAGAGCGAGATAATGGGACAGAAGGCTAAATCATGACTCTTACCCGACGATATTCCTGATGACTTTGGAACACAACATTGGCCATGACGGGAGGATGCACCGAACCCGTGACGATCTGAATCGATCGTACATTACGGGCGCTCTACACTTTTCTTCGTGCCTACCTCACCGTCCTCAATCGTGGAGCATCAGACACACAGACCTGTAGGAGGAGACAAGAGGACGTTTTTCTGCCTGCATGATCTGGAATATCGATGCGTTTACTATAGTCCACCTGAAACGAACTGTGTAGAGCTCTGAAAACAATCAACATGGTCAGGTACCACGTCCACCAAGGTAGCGTACAGCTTCAACGTTCAACGGCTGCCTATCTCATGGGACACCCGCATTTCACCCAAACGGTCTTACTATTTCTTTTCCCTCCCTGTCCACGTTACGTCTCGCTTCCCTCGTTCCATATGGTCCTGCCAGAATGTTCCCCGACCCGTTGTCGGCAAGATAGCAACGTTCGTCCGTGATAGCGCCGTTGAGTCTGATGAGGATAAAATGCCCTGTCCGAGTCTTTGCCTGCTGTCTTCGACTCCTGGTGCATTATTTTGCGATGGGGAGTATGGCTACTCTTGCAAGTCTCGTTGTTGTGCTTGTGGCTTCCGCGAACGTGTTCGGCGCATCTCAAAGCATATTCACGGTGCCAAAGACTTTTCCAAAGTTGCAAGGCTGTCTCACGGAACCTTTAACATATTCGTGCGAGAACACGACGACTATCAAGGACACTTGTTGTTCGCCTACACCCGGGGGCCTTGGTAAGTTCATGCCTCTGACAATGCAGAAACATCTGAACTGATGTAACGTCGAAAGTCTTGCAAACCCAGTTCTGGTCAACCTACACTGGTCTCGAAAGGAAGGGTCAACTGCTACCCAAGGGAAGCTGGACTATTCACGGATTGTGGCCAGACAATTGCGACGGAAGCTTTGAACAATACTGCGACTTGTCAAGGCAGTTTGACCCTGCACCATCCCCTGCAATACTTCCAGATGGTACTGTAGTCCCGGCGCACAAGGGACCCGGTGTTGATACTTTCGTTGCCGAATTCAAACGCCTCGACTTGCTTGACTACAGTACGTTAATTCGATTTTCGTAAGTGTCGCTGATGATGATCGCGTTTCGCAGTGAGCAAATACTGGATCAACCAAGGCGCGCCGAACGCAGACTTCTGGGGTCACGAATTCTCTAAGCACGCGACTTGCACGTCCACCTTCGATGTTGCTTGTTATGGACCAGATTACAAGAAGCACCAGGACGTAGTTGACTTCTTTGATGCCGTCATTCGGGCCTTCAAGATGTACCCAACGTTTGATCTGCTCGCCTCGTTCGTGCTTTCCGGCCTATGCCACCACATAACGATTCACTAATAAAGGGTGATATAGTGCTGGCATTATTCCGTCTAACCGGACCACTTACACCTTGACTCAACTGCAGACTGCTCTCAAGGCTCAAACTGGTTCGATCCCCTTCTTGGGATGTGGGTTCAATGGGACCGTACTTCAAGAAGTTTGGTACTTCCATCATGTCCTTGGTTCTGTAAGTCCTTCGACCCATATGTCTCTGGCAACCTGCTTTAACGCATGTTGCAATCGTAGGAACAATTTGGCCATTTCAAGCCTGTGGACTCAACCACGAATTCGACGAGCTCTCCTACTGCTGGTATCCACTATTACGAGCGCACACATTCGTCGGAACGTGAAGTCCGTCTTCTGCCCTGATGTAGACCGAAATGCCATGTAGAAAACACGTGTATTGATTGCCATAACGAACGTAGTATATTGCACGAGAAGAACATTGAAGGTGTACAGTGTAAGGCGGACTATGAGATGCGTCGCACGATCGTATCTAGCGAGAGAACGGGTGATCTTACTACCTAGCTTTTGCTGCTCTCACTTGTTACCCATGCCTCCCGAGTATCATCTTGAATCCTTCTGGGATAGCCGGTTCAAGGTGGAGGACCATTTTGAATGGTTAGGGGACGGAAGCAACACCATTCTTCCTTTTCTGCGGAAATTTTTGCGCGATAGAAAAGCCGTATACAGAGCTAGCCCTCCACGACTCTTGCACATCGGAGCAGGGACTTCGACACTTTCAGACCAAATACTCGCAGTCTACAAGGAGTTCTACAAAGAAGATACGTTGAAAGATGGAGTGATGGTAAACATTGATTATTCGGAGGTCGCGGTCGAGAGGGGGAAGTTAGGGATACAAGGAGCAAATGATTACACACGATGGAAACGAACGGACCTCTTAAATTGGGATGATGTGCTATCCTTGCGCAGGATGTACGGCTCTGAATCCAACGAGGGAGAGGAACCATTCAGTATAGTGGTAGACAAGAGTACCTCCGATGCAATCTCTTGCAACGACAGCATCACCTTTGACAGCAGCAAAAAGTCTTCCCTCAACCTCCGAGTCGCCAGGACCTTCCTCCTATGCTATCCGAACAAAACGCTGTCATATGGGCCTGTCGATTTGTTGGCTTTGCATCTCGCTGCACTGGTGAAGACAGATGGGATCTGGATTGTACTATCGTATTCCAGACATCGCTTCGACTTCTTGATAACAGAAGAGGGTCCAAAGGAATCAGAGGGGGAGACTAGTGTTGCTCCATGGGCGTATTGGAAGGTAGAGGATATCACTGGAATAGATGCACCGTCAGGATTGAGCAAAGTGGGGGTCTTTGCGCCAGCAGTTCAGCATTATGTATTCGTCCTGCGGAGGACACAGACAGTCTTTATGGTTTAGAAAGCGATATATCATAGAATGGAATGCTTATATCAAAAAGTGGGAGAGCAAGAGCTGGCAAAGGTCGTGGTGGCGTGAGGGTGGCGGAGTGCGGGATTGTCAATGCGACCGCCATGAGCCAGCATGATCTTTTCACATTCAACGACCTACCACAACTTTCAACCTTCTACTTTGCCCTTCCGCTCCTTATATACCATCAGACACAAGTATACCGAGTATAAGAACCACTAAAAGGGTCACAAGGTCAAGCAGGACCTGCTGTCGCGCATCATGTCGACCGAAAGACTACGCGTCTTCACGTTCAACTGCTGGTTCGTCTCGATGATTCCACTCCAATTCCACCGTGAACTTCTCACTCGACTAGCCTTTCAGGGGCTTGAAATATGTTTCACAAAATAGAACAGAACGAATAGCTGCCCTTGCCAGAGCCCTTGCGGAGACGGACTACGATATCATAGCTCTTCAAGAGCTCTGGGTGTTTTCGGACTACGAGCATGTACGGGCATCAGTCTCGAAGCGATTGCCTCATGCCAAGTTCTTCTACAGGTGAGGGCTTTATTATCTAGGTCAATAATAAGCATCTTGTTGATTCCGTGATAGTGGTGCACTTGGATCTGGACTTGTCATCTTCTCTAGGTTTCCTATTGTTGCCGCCACGGTACATCCATATTCTCTGAATGGCTCGCCTATTGATGTAATAGCTGGGGATTGGTTCGTTGGCAAAGCCGCCGCAAGCGTGTTGATTGCCCACCCAACCCTTGGCCAAGTTCAGGTCTTCAATACCCATGTGAGTTAAAGCTGTTATTATGACATTCTGCTATACGCTAATTCATGGTAGCTCTTTGCCAAAGGTGGTGATGAAGGGCCTGATCACCACAAAGCCCATCGCCTTGTGAACGCATGGGAGTTTGCAAAACTCGCGAGACAAGCTGCCGAACTTGGTAGATATGTCATTGCAGCGGGAGACTTCAATAGTGTTCCGACCGCTCCTCCTATGGGCATCATTCGTGACCACGCATCGCTAATCGATGCTTGGACTCAGTCGCATGGACATGTGCGCAATCCTAGTTTGAGCAATATCCCGACTCCTGCCGATGCCATACACATTCACGGAGTCACGGCTGATTCTCCTTTAAACTCGTACTCGGCAGGGAAGACGTTGGAGCCCTACGCGCGATGCTTCCAAGGAAAGCGTTTGGACTATATCTTTCATAGACACCCTACGGTCTCGGCCGGAGATGAGATCCCTTCACTACGCTGTGTAGACTCTAAAGTCACGATGACGGACCCCGTTCCCAGATATTCTTTCTCATTCTCAGACCATTTCGGCCTCGAAGCGACGTTTGAAATATCTCCGGCCGAATCAGTCATCGGTACTGCAAATGATACCTGCGCTGTCCAGAGTTCGGAAGCCGACTTTGCCTTGGCTTCCGTTTCGAATCCACAGCCCAAGCCGGGACGCAATCTTTCGCCGGACCTTATCACCTCTACGCTACAGTCCCTCACGGCCAGATACCGATATGCCCACTCGCAAGCACGCTTCCACCTTATGGTCTTTGCGATATCTCTCTTCCTCCTTCTTTGCCTCATCATAGGTTCTGCATGGCTCCCTCATTCTTGGATCAGTCCCATATTCATGGTTGCTGCTGTTTTCCTGGCGTGGTTGGCGACGACGATGCTTTATGTCGGTTTTGTTTACGGGAAATGGGAGACAAATGCTCTCACGAACATCATAGAAGAACTAGAGATTTACAAAGAAAGCTTGGAGGAGCATGGTAGTGATAGGCGGCGTGGCAGGTCGTAATGAGCATCGTGGATGGTATTCAGTTCGACTTACTTTTATGTGCTGACTGTTCATATTGCTATTTCAACCTTCTTTACGCAGCAGTTTTTTTAATAATTTCTCTTGCATATCCTTCAACCTACTTGAGACCCTCTTTCAATCCATTTTGTTATGCGGCAACTTTAGTCGAGCTCTATTATGCGGAATGCGTTTCTGTTGTTCTGAATGTTTCCGTCAGTTTGAGCAAATTCTCTGGACACTGACGTGATAACTTTTGTAGTTAGATACGGGGCAGTGCCAAGAAACACAAGACAAAGGCGCGTGCCGAGCCTGCACCGGATTCGCCATCTATATAAGGTCTGTACCTTGGCTCTGGGCCCCTTTCTACCCTCCGTCAACTACGCCTATTGAATGGGAAACTCGCCACTCATTGCAGATTCCACCAATAGTCATGCCCGGCCACAACCAAGCCACCTTCCCGTTGCAGACGATGAGGACGAACCTCCTGGTTGTAGTGGTTTACACTCTCGAACAAGTTTCCTCAGTCAAGATGTAGTAAATCAAGATATCAAGTCCGTCTCACCTACCATCGAAGAAGAGGTGGTAGGTGCCGGACTTTCTGAGAAGTCGGAACCGACGCCCCAAAGGGTTGTTGGTAAAGTTCATTGGGCTGATCGTCTCAGAACGCTCTTCCGTCCTGCCCACCCCATTGGTCCCATCCCCGGATATAGAGCGTCAATGAAGGCGGCTGTCATGTACACCCCATTGAACATCTGTCTTTTGTTCATTCCGGTATCATGGGCGTTGCACTACACTGATCAGAATCATACATTGGTGTTCGTCTTCTCCGCACTGGCCATTCTGCCTCTCGCTGCTCTTCTCGGTCTCGGAACGGAGCAAATCGCTCTTCGCACCAGTCAGGCCGTCGGAGGTTTACTTAACGCTACGTTGGGCAACATCGTCGAGATGATTATCGCCGGTATTGCTCTTAAAGAAGTGCGTTGCACTCTATTGGACTGTTTTGTCTAATAGCTTATACCGTTCCATAGTGTGACCTCGCCCTTGTTCAGAGCTCGCTTCTCGGCGGTTTATTGAGTAATTTACTGTTGGTACTCGGCATGGCCTTCATAGGTATGTTTCCCGCCTCGCATGTTATAGGTTTTTCACAGACCCACCACCTTTTCACAGTCGGTGGTTTCCGTTTCCCGCAGCAAGAATTCCAACCAATGGCCGCTCAGCTGAATTCGTCTCTTATGACGGTGTCCGTTATTTCGCTCCTTGTCCCAGCGGCATTTGTAAGTCTTGAATCATATTCTGTATGACATGACGCTCAATGCGATGATAGCACGAGTACCTTGGAGATCGACTTGGAGGAGAGGAAGGCCCGCTGTTACTGCAGCTGAGCAGAGGTAGTGCTATCGTCTTGATATTGATGTGAGCCCATTACGATTTCCCCCTGCCGTTAACATTTCTAACTTGAGCCTGTTAGATACATTGCCTACGTATGTCCTTGATAACGGGCGAGTTACAAGATACTCACAATACCTTCACAGCTTTTCTTCGTGTTTTACTCCCATAATCATCTCTTCATTGATGTGTCGCCTTCCACCTCTAAGCAAAGCTCTGTGCGCTCGTCGATTCACGCCTCGGAAACTGGAACCATTCTTCCTGTCACGGATGTTGACGCTCCTGCACCCATTCATTTCGAGATGGTCAAGGTCAACGTACCCGTTGCTATCGCCATTCTCATTGGTTCTACTGCCCTCGCCTACCTCACCGCAGAGAACCTCGTATCGTCTCTGAACGGTCTGGTCGAACACACTAGCGTGTCGAAAGAATGGATCACGCTCATCGTCATACCGGTTATAAGTAACGCTGCTGAGCACGTTACAGCCGTAGTTGTCGCCCACAAGGGTAAATTCGACTTGGCGATGAACGTCGCTGTAGGCAGCTGTATCCAAATTGCGTTATTTGTCATACCAGTCTTGATCCTCGTCGCATGGGGCTTGGGTAAGCCCTTGACTCTGTTGTTCGACCCCATCGAGACTATCGTAAGCGTTTTTATCATCCTTAGCCCTAAATGTCCCCATTGACATCCTGCAGTGTCTCTTCCTGTCTGTCCTTATCGTTAAATTCTCGATTGAAGATGGAAAGTCGCATTGGATGAGTGGTGTTGCACTCATTGGTGAGTTTCCGGCCATTTTGGGAGGCCGATGCTAACATTTTTATGTACCAGGTGTGTATGTTGTGATAGCATTGTCGTTCTGGAACTATCCCGTAGCGAACACGATCCAGCCCACAGATCTGGTATGCTCCTAAGACATTGCGTAGTTTTTACGAATTACATTTTGGATTCCCATGTACCATATCTGTATATGCTCCTCTTTCTACTGTGTATCATACAAGAGAAACATGACCTGTCCTCCTAGTGCCATTTTGCGGACAAGACCGCGGACAAGTTGCATCATGTATCCTCAACGGTGAGTGGTTCCACACTTGGTATCTTCTGGATCTATCTGTTCATAAGAACATACCATCTCCTCCAACCTAGACCCGACTGAACCTAAGCAGCTCTAAGGGTATGTATGATGTAGCTAGCCTCCTGCTTTGAAGTTCACCCTCGCCATGCGATAGCGTAAGTGGCCAGTTTCTTGGTGAGTCATTCCCGTTGAACGCGATCCTGGACGCCGCGGACACTTGCACACGTAGCGGAAAAGGTCCTGAGACTGAATGAGTCCATTAGGAACTAAATGTATTGAATTACAGCATCCGGCCTTGAGGTAGGTCAGACACACCTAAATGGTGCCTGAAGATCGTCTTCGGTGTGTATGCAGAACTTTCCGGGCGTTCTTGCTGAGCAGTCTCGCGCCGTGCAAGCCTGGTCCAACTAACGCTATTTCTAATGAGCCCCAGTATTGGCTTTGCTCCGATTCAGCGGCGGCCGTGCAGCCCACTCAACTTCCAATGCGAGTGGATATGGCTCTGACAGCCTGTAAGTATTTGTTCTAGAATAGAGCTTTGCAATCGGTTAATCTGGTCAGCTGCCAAGGCGTATCGCTCATTTCTGTGCTCACCATGGTCATGAACTTAGCAAACTCTGCCCCGCAAGGCGTCTCAATTGCAACTATGACTCTTTGCAGTCATCTACGAATAGCTGGGATTCCCCCGTGATCACATCGTGGAGCATCGTGCGCCGTCCACGCCCATTATAATACCACTTTCATGCCATCTGAAGTAACAGGGTCCCAGTTAATAGCGGCAGCCTGTGTGAAGATGTCCTAATGGTGGCGGCCGACGATAACGATATGGCGAAGAAGCGGAAAGTGCGCATTCAAGTTGGATTATCAATCCTTCTCCGAAAGACGATTTTCTTCTGCGGAATTTTACTAGGATCGTACGAAGCTACAAAGCTGCATGGGGTTCTCCTGTACATGTAACTCCATGGATTCACAAAATGCGATGATAAGAGCAGATCGTTTGACGAAAGAGCAAAAGAGTAGTGGCCAACGCCGGGATCGAACCGACGACCTTGGCGTTATTAGCACCACGCTCTAACCAGCTGAGCTAGTCGGCCATTAGATAGCCATCTTAGTTTGCTTAAGGAGTCAATGTTTTCGGAACTCTTCCCCATGTAAGGCAGGCGTAATGGTTTGAACTTTGCACGGAAAGAACTTGCGACAAACAAGTCACTTTCGAAAGCAACGTTGACGTACTATATCAGTATATTGCGTCCGACCCTACCTTCCGGGAGATGACATTCTATGTTTGCAAGGGCGATATCGATGACGGTTCTTTTTTATCTTTCCGTGTCGGTTGCAGGGCTTCCGAGGTAGCGGCGGCCGTGGTAGCTTTCCTGAGACCCAGGTACTCACTCTATTCTCTAAGCTTCTCGATACACGCCTCGGTTTAAAAGCATTCCAATGAAACTCGAGAATTTCCAGTTCGTAGGTCTTATTCATGGACACTTCACGTACTAAGGATTTCCGTGTCGCGATCGTCGGTGGTGGCGTATGCGGCTTGACTTGCGCGATTGCTCTGGCCAAGAAAGGTGTGCCAGTAGATGTATTTGAATCCGCCGTAAGCATCACTATTTAGTATGGATTTACTGTCACTGAATTGATGATTTTGATTGAAGGGGGAGTTCTTAGAAATAGGAGCTGGTGTCGGTCTGGGTAAGACAATATCAACCCTCCTTGCTCTTTATTGCTGATGGCTGATGATTCGATCCACACCTTGAAGGCCCAAATTCTGTTCGCATCTTGCGAGGCCTTGGCGTGTTCGAAGATGTCCTTGCAAAGTCCACCGATCCGGATCTGAATATGAACGCGTTTCGTTTCATCTCCGGATATGAGGGGCATGAAGTGCTTTACGACGTAAGCGTAACAATCCGACTTGTCCCCTTCGTTGTTCATCGCTTACATGCTAAGTTGTAGAATCCGCTTCCGAAAGAAGATTGTGGTATTGGCATCCTCAGGTCAGCGTGCTTCGTGGTTCCAGCGTCCGTCATGCTCTCAATTCAGTCTTTATCTTACGCCCCATCCCCCTTTGTATCCGTAGGTTTGCCTTCCTCAATGCCCTTGTTGGCCATTTCGATAAGAGCAAAGCACATTTTCACAAGCGTTGTACCAACGTCACGCCGTCTGCTCAGAATCCATCCCGACTAGTTCTGGCCTTTGCTGATGGTACAACTTACGAAGCGGACCTCGTTATAGGTGCAGATGGAATCCGCAGTTCCGTTCGTAGTATTGTCACCGGAAGGCCATCGGATGCCAATCTATCATTTAGCAACACCATTGCATACCGTGCCCTCGTGTCATGGGACCAACTTAAGGACAAGGGACTAAAGACAGACCTCACAAAGGGCATGACCTGCTTCGCTGGTAAGGGCAGGGTGAGTCCTGTGTCGCTATACGTCTACATTACATCCTTATCAGATTGTTGCACAGCACATTATTGTCTATCCAATCAATGGCGGAAAAACGGTGAGTCTCTCCGGACTTTCTTTTGAACGCTTCCCCATTTATCGCACTCAGATAAATGTTGTCGCCTTTGTAACAAACATGGATGGTGACATTCCTGTCGGGAACGGCAAACTTCCCCTTGGAGCGCAGTGGGTTTGCGATGCGCCAAAGGACGAATTACTCAGTAAATATGAAGAGTTCGGGAGCGACATTAAGACCCTTCTCAGTTGTGTGCGCAAATCGTCAAAATGGTCTATACATATCGTCTATCCTCCTTTGGAGTCCTACGTGAACGGAAGAATCGCCCTCGTTGGAGACTCGGTACGTTATTCCTGACAGGTGTATCGCCATTCGCTTAATGTAGATATCAGGCCCATGCGATGCGTACACACCTCGGTGCTGGAGCGGGCCAGGGTCTCGAAGATGGCTACGTCCTTTCACATCTTCTTGGACATCCATCGGCGAACGCAAATAATCTCGAGGTTGTTCAGAGCTCTTAGCCGATTTGATGCCAATATCTGACCTTTGGATGCAGCAAGTTTTGCAGGTATACGACGGAGTCAGACGACCACGAGCGCAGGAGATTTGGGAAAGGACGGCCAGAACTGGCGAGATATACGAAGGTCGAGGTCCTTCAGGTTTCAGTCCTGAAGGCTTCACGAAAGACCTAACCTACAACTGGGAATGTGTGTGGCATCACGACCTGGATGGTGATATCCAGGCTGCCGTGAAGCAACTGGAGGAAGCTGGAGTGTTCTGAGGATAGCTTGTTCGTCTCTTCAATGTTCTTCGCGATCTTAAGACCATGTACCTTCCCGTCTCTGATACCCTTTATACTCTGCGATAGAAATAGGATGCGAATCATGACAAGGTTGATACAATATGAAAATTCCATACATGACCATGCAAGCAGCTGTGCAGAATATCGGCCGAGTATAATGCACTTGATATCCACGACGTCGAACGCAGTCATCTCGACGTCTTGATCACGAGCATCTCCTTTCTTGCTCAAATTTAGGCCGTTTGTGCTCACTGGCTGTCCAAAACCCGACGATGCGGAGCTTGTTGTCTGGTCTAACACTGTAATGGCCCGTGGTCTGGACGTCCCCATGTGTGGAGATATATGCATGCGGCTTGCGTACAGCGTCCAGCCCGCACATGCCAGTGCCATGAAAAGCTTCGGCAAATTATGGGAAGACAATTAAACCGCTACGACGTACTTGATAGAGTCAAGGTCGCGCGCAAGAACACATCACTCGATGATGAGACAGGCGAACCCATCGTGGTCGGGACTATGCCATAAGACGTGGGCGCGACGTTCCCTGCAAGATTCTGGACTTTTGACCGTATAGAAGGACTGCCATCCGCAATCCTTTGCAGTATTTTCCTTCCGCCAACCCATCTCATACCAACCTCTATCGGCTTTGATAATAGACTGCTCCCCGTATTTAAGATGTGCTTGATCTTGAGAAAAATGCATATCAGTTTCTCTCTAGACATAGGATCGTCGTTGCCTTGAAGGTCCGGTGTATGGGAGTACTCGATGACCGCAGATGAATCCTCATATCCTTTGATGACAACACCAGGAAGGAGCGAGTAAACAACATTGCCGAAACACCTGAAGAGCGATCGAAGACATGGTAAGACGAATGGATCTCGCACATTTTGTAGTCAAGTTTATTCAAGCGCGATGAGTTGGAGAGTCATCAAATTAGAGCAGCAGCAGCGCTTCTATAGGACTGGATAAACCAGATAGTGAGTAAAACGACTCCTCACCAAAAGTCTCCCATTATAAATTTAGAACTGGCCCCCACGGCAACCCGAGCAAGATAGTATCCGTTGAACGTGCGTAAGCCTCTGCAGGACCCAATGCCCATGGACGAGATGCACAATGTACCAAACGCATGAGTGATAGAGCTGATTTATTCAAGTCACTGTCGTAAAGTAGTGCTTGAAAATACGTATCTATCGTGGTTATCGTTTGTTTAATTGTTGTTTTTGCTTACACTGTTCTAGTGGTAGCACTGGAGTCGAAGTCTGAGAGCACTTTTCTGACGCCGCGATTGAACTTTAGCCGACTGAATGCATCGTTCTTGCATCCTCGTCATCGAATGTACATATATCGGTTCAACTAATAAAATAAGCCACGGCTGTGAGCAACATTGATACTGTAGATCCAAGGTCACCCTTGTGCCGGCGCCTCCGAGTCGGACTCGTCGGGAATATCCAAAGTAGGCAATCCCGACGGTACGCTTTGGTCTCAACAAAGCGGCCAAGTGTCGTCGAAATTACTATCCGCTGTAAGCGATCCATACGCGAGAATCTGTTGCCAACGAATTCATATCTGGCCTCTGACGACGCACTAGCAGCCCTCGCTCAGCGATTCGTAGATCCCTACTAGTGTGTCCTTGGGACCGTACGGTGGCTCTATGTCACCATGGCCAGCACTGACATTTCCATCGTAGAGGATTGCAAAACGACAAGATCGGTCGGTCACAATATAATCGGCCAATGAAGACTTTGGTGGTCTAGCTAGGTGATCTGCTTTTGCTCTATAGGCTTGCCTCTGCTAGTGCGGCGGTACCGGTAGGCAGGTAGTCAATATTCTGTACGTGAGTTTTCCCATTACTGGCTTGTGGAATAGATTCCCTTATTGTTTCATCCACACAAGGTGCATTCATGACGTGCGCGCTTGCTATCTAGGAGATTGTTGTGTGCGCGCGGAAGTGTCTGCATTGAGCCCTATTAAACTCTGGGGATGGTATATGTCACCTTTGTGATGAAACTCCATGGCCCAAACATTTGCCTATTCGGATATGACTCTGTACGTTACTTTTATCTTTAAATTTGAGATACCGTCGTACACAGGACATACCTCAGAAGGTCAACCCATTTTTGTTTGGGCTCAATCTCCAGCAAATTTGACTGGAATGTATTGTTGAAACGTGGAAAAGATTTCAATGGTAATACAAGAGTTATTCTTTGTGAACAGACGATGCCCGTGGTCAATGACTACGCAGACTTAAGGTCATCGTCCCCGTTTGTTTACGTATGCGGGCCGATTGTATTGGCGTGCTTCACGAGGTCTCCGAAGGTGTCCAAACGTGAGTGAATCGAACGTTGATTGGGTTATATCGGTGAGAGAGTTTTTTCTAATTCTGACGCGTTCGCTTGGTCTGAACTTCCAGCGGCATGGTTTTCACACCTTACGACATGACTACTTCCGCAGACAACTTTACCTTCTAGCTCGTACCATATGCTAGAAGTACGGGTAGCTTGATAGGCCGTGGACGGTCGCCGAGACATCAAAGTGCTCGACTTGGTTCGGTTCATGGAGTCTCACCTGCTCGTTCGTGGATCAAGTTTCCGCGGCCTTTTGACAACCGGTGGTTTCCTATTGTATTTCTCGAATCTTTAGAAGACGAGACCAGAAGTCAGATTCCATGCGTCAGCAGCGATCGGCACGCACCTATGCGAAGGTATATAATCCGTTCCTTCTAATGTACCCGACCTCGTCTTCAAGGACGCTATGTACGAAGATATGGCAGACTCTACTGTCTATGTTTACTTCTTTGGCGCTCTTGCTGCCATATACATCTACCGATGGCGCTTTGCCAATGTGAACACACCTCATCCTGTTTTTCCACATTCCAATTGACCACGACTTTCAGCTTTATAGGGTTCCTACAGTTGGCCCTTCTACACCTATTCTATCCTACATAGGTGCTCTTCGCTTGCTAAGCAATGGGAAGGAGTTGTTGCAGGAGGGATACCAGAAGGTGAGATCTCTAGCTCCTTTGTATCTTTTCCTGATGTTAACTATATATCGTAGCATAAGGGTGGTATATTTAAGATCGCTTTGCTGGATCGTTGGCTAGTTGTCGTTAACGGCCCAAAGCTGGTTGAAGAACTCCGAAAACTTTCTGATGAACAAGTGTCCTTCTCTGATGCAGCCGAAGACGTATGTATTGCCCACGCTATTGACTATTCAACCGTACCTTGACCTCGTCTCGTGTTAGACAGTTAATCTAAGCGAAATACACCTTTGGACATGAAACCCAGGATGACCCAATCCATGTCGAGATCATTCGTGCTCACCTTACTCGGCACATCGCCAGCGTGTTCCCGGATTTTCGGGACGAGATCGTTATGGCCTTCAGCGATCTCATTCCTGCGTCTTCAGGTAGTGAATGGTCATATTTTTCTTCGCGCGAGGACCATGCCGATCGTGACTGTATGTTCTCAGATTGGATCCCTATCTCTGTATTTCCTGTCATGCAGAAGATTGTTGCGCGAGTGAGTAATCGTGTCTTTGTCGGTCTTCCCATGTGTGAGTGCCAGACTTGGTTTCACACCTTCGTGCGACATTGAATATATATCATACAGGTCGACACGAAGGATTTCTAAACCTTTCCATCATGCATACAATGGCTGTAGTAAGAACACGGAAATTGCTATCCTGGTTCCCGGAACCTCTCAAACCGTAGGTCACACGATGTTTCCTTGCACGTTCGTTCATATTTGATTCATAGTCCGTGTGTAGGATGGTTGGTTTCTTTGTGAACGAATCTAGGCGCGGCGTCAGACTTGGCAAAACTTTCCTGGGGCCCACAATTCAAGAACGTTTAGACAAGATGCGCGAGTTTGGGGATGACTGGCTAAGCAAGCCTGTAAGTACAAGTGCTTCACAAGATCGGACGTAGGATCTTGATTTCCCGTGAAGGACGATATGCTGCAGTGGACGATTGACCTCGCCACCTCTAAGGGCAAGAGTATAGATTCAATCGTCCAATATATCCTCTTGATCAACTTTGCGGCCATCCACACTTCGTCGAATGTATGTCTTCATCTGTGTGAATGTTTCTCCGTGATACTCAATGATCAAGTAATGCTCACATTTATCAAGACCTTCACTCATGCACTGTACCACCTAGCCGCCAACCCCGAGTATATCCAGCCTCTGCGTGAAGAAGTTGACGCCGTCATCAAGGAAGAGGGATGGACCAAAGCAGCGATGCAGAAGCTTAGGAAGCTCGACAGTTTCATGCGCGAGTCGCAGCGTATGAATGGCATCAGTGGTGGTGCGTATCAGTTCCTACATTCTCCTTCCGTATGGTCATATGTCGGACACATTGATGACCGTTGAATTGTAGTCTCTCTCATGCGTAAAGCTCTCAAAGATGTCACTATGTCGGACGGATCGTTCATCCCTGCTGGGACTATGATTGTTGCTCCTGCCGTCGCAACGCACATGGATGACGAAAACTATACCAACCCGGAGGTCTTTGACCCCTGGAGGTTTTCCAACATGCGTGATGGTGATGGCGAGGGTACTAAACACCAGTTTGTTAGCACCTCTGTGGATTATATCACTTTTGGACATGGCAAGCATGCATGGTAAGCTCATTCGTATTATTTATGAAGCCGTAAAGGAATTAAGGTATTCTGCTTGTAGCCCTGGCAGGTTCTTCGCTGCGAACGAACTGAAGGCGATGCTAGCACATACTGTGATGAATTATGACGTAAAGTTTGAGAAGGAGAGTGTCCGTCCTCCCAACCTGTGGTTCGCCATCACCGTATCTCCGGATCCAAGGGCAAAGGTCCTGTTCAGGAAGCGTCAAGACTGAAAGGTGAGCGTTGGTCGTTCTCCGATAATAAGCAATAAAGCTTACACCACTCATCAGGCCTGCCACAATCGTTAAGTATATGTACAGCATCGTACATGGGTGTGGCCGCAACACGAATATTATAGTATAGGCAGAACTGAAGAACCTAGCTGAACTGCGTCGAGCTGGATATCATTTGTAGGTTCTTCCGAGTTTTCAAATGCAACCTAAAGCACGCTGGTCTTCCATTATCCCACTTTTCTTCATCGCAAATATTAGCAAACTGATTGACACATACAGCACTGAGTTTATACAATTGAGCGGGGGTGATACAACAACACAATTATTAAGACATATTAATATAATCAGTAGTGGTATAACAACATCAGCAGATGAAAGGCCAAAAAGGAATCAGATAGATCAGTCAACACCGCTCTTCCAATCTGCATCCAATACTTGTATACCTCGCCTGCCTAGCCTCCTCTTCCATTCCTTCAGTTCACCTTGAACACCAGCCTCTTGAGCCCTTGATGTCATACCTTTCCTCAACCATCTCACGTCCCTCGCTCTGACAGTAGTCAAGCACGGCAACTTGGGTAAGAGGGACTCGAGAACCCTCAGGAACTCAGTATTCGGTCTCGGAAGTGAGAGGATTTGGAGAGGATGTCGAGGGTAGATAGAACAAATGTAAAGTGTAGGAAGCGGGTTCTCAAGTGAAAGGTGATAGAGCTTCGGACATGTGTGTAGAAGAGTCGTAGGTGAAGGGAACAGCATCGTCGGCCATGACTTGTGAGCATATAGATGAAGCGAGGTAAGCTTCGAGCCGTGAAGATCAATGAAGGCAGGAACGAGAGAAGTCGGGATGGATACGTCGTCGTAGGGCGTGATCGTGAGGTGATGTAGGGAAGGCAGTGGTGAATGCAGCAAAGCAAACATGACTGGCGAAGTATGCATAGATATCAACGCCAACTTCCGTAATCGTAGAAGTACAAGCGGCTTGAAGTCTTCCGGGACCTCCACAGTGGGTGTATGTCCTGAAGCATTTGACAACTGCACAGCTTCGATACCAGATCCCACAATGGTCAGTTCTTCCAGGTTGCGACAACATCGCAGCACCTGCAAGAATGGCTCCACTTCTGATGAAGAACCCGATGAGAGCTTAATTCCCTTTAAAGCTCGTAAATTTTGGTTCCCATCTCGGTTACACAAACTGTCGATTGCCCTTCGACTCAAATTCACAGTAGGGTTCAGCACGAGACACGAGAGAAAAGGGAGTAGAGGAAATAGTTTCGTGAGGAAGGCGTCGATTTGAATGGCTTCGGTCCAGAGTCCGACATGCATGTCTGAGAGGTCGAGGGTTTGAACCCATCGACCTGGAGCTGAGTAGGGTATTCGACGTATCGAGTCCCATTTCTTATCCGCCGCGAGGAGTACGTCTGTGAACCGTTGCAAAGCAAGGGGCTTGACCAAGTGAACGTGGCTGTAATAAAGAGGCAAAGCAACGTCCTATGGAGTGGTCAGTTACTGAATGCCGTAAATGGTCAGACGATCGATGCGACGCACGCTCAGCTTCTTGCACACCAACAATAAACTCAGTTTCCTATTCTCCGACAACAAAGCAGGCTCCTCAGAATCGTAATCAGCGAAGACATAAGCGAGTATTTGAATCCATATTTCGGTAGGTAATGGTTTGAGCGGAACCCGGTGCGAAAGAAGCGGTAGTAATAGGAAAGAGCCGGACGATAATACAAGTGGTCGGGGTCGAAGGAATATTGCATCTTGTTCAGCAGCCGTAATAACGGTGGTGCTCGTCATACTGACAAGAATGCAATCCCTCCCCCGACGATGCTTGCAAGATCGTGGCGGTCGTGAGACAAGATATTCAGCACGAGCGGAAGCAATTTATTATTGGAGTCCGTAGAACTCCGTTACAAAGCCGGCTCTTGGCTTGACTCATGCGGGAACCATGAAGGCGAGTCTATTCATGTGTAAGCTAGAGGCATAGTACGTCGTTCGAGTCGAGAATAGGTGTCAGCTGATGGAAGCGGTATTCTACAGACGTCAAAGTTCATGATGAACGTCCGAACATGAGCATACCATCTCAGGCTACCGTGACAGAACTCATTGCTCTGCAGCCAACGTTGACGTTCGTTGACGTTCGTTCAATACCTCTTCACAAGCGACGTTCTTCGTTTGTATCGGGTCCGTATCATTGAAGAGACCAACTGAACCCAAGAATTTTGTAACTATCCTTTATTTCAGTGAAGGCATATAGAGAATTGGCGCCAACTTGTCGCTTGAACACGATGGAATGTCGTGTGCTCGGCTTTATCTTCCGATTTTATGACCTCATCGGTTCTACAAATTTAAAGTGGCGGCCGGGTAGGAACAAAACGCTGGTGTGCATAACATACCGCGTTCCTGGACGGAGTCCGTGACATGACAGAGAGCTAACTTACTGTAGCACGCAGTACAAGACTCAGGTCGAGGAGCGTACATACCGCTAGAGTTCATCGCGGTACAGCATCACCGAGCAAGGACGGATATACTCGGTTCGTTGAGCCATGGAGGTACACTTGGATAATCTGAATCGGAGGCTGCGCATTGTCGTCTTGGTCCCTTATGCCTAATCGTGCGAGTCGCGGTGAATCAGTGACTGGGCCTGTTCAGACACACTAGCGGTTTCAACGCCTAACCACGGTCCTTCCGGAGTAATGCAGAGGATGCTATATTCCATCCCTCACAAACTTTGATCGTGTGGCACATTCTCTCGTGTAGACACAGCTCCCCGCCTCACCAGGTACGCACGTACCTTACTAGTTGTTGTCGCTCGCAACCTCTCGTTCAAATCAGCATGCAGAAACTGTAGATTCATTGTCCTCCTCTGATCGTGGTCGCAAGCCCTGACCATTCATACTGTCAAGCATGCTGCTTAGCCAGGTACCACCTACTTGCGACACCTCCACGCCCTGATCCTCGCCCATGTCGCCGAGCCTGAGGGATGAGATAAAATCTCGTCCGCTCAACTGTTGAATAAATCGGTTCTGTGTCCCCCAACTTGACAAAATTCGGTTCTAGCTCACCATCGCTGTAGTATCTGAAGACATGAATTGGTCAGTAGGTCTTCCATTTTCTGTGTTGATTTGCGCTCTAATGATATGATCTCGCACAGGATCAGAGCAATTACTCGGCTCATGTGAGTGTCATTTCCTGCTCACGCGGTTGTAACGTTACTCATCAGCAAGGGTACGTTAGTCCCAAAACTTTTGCGCATCCTGAGGAGCCTTCGCCAGCTACCCTGCCTCCAACCCTTCGACTGATCCTCGAGAAACTAGGTTTACGAAAATCTTCGAATGCTATTCTTCAAGCGAAGCCGAACACTGAGGATATCTTGCGACCCGTATACATAGGTTGGCATGATGTCGGAGGGGCTTGGGGTAAAGCCGTGGAAATCTTGCTAGACATACCCAGCACCCCAGGAAATATACCAGACCTGAAGCAGCATTGCGGAGTGATTGTTGGTGACTACTTGTATATATGGGTGCAAACAATTTTCCTTTTCGTCACACACGCTTCGCCAAATGGGAGTGATTATTGTGTACTCATAAGGATGACACTTCGGCTTCCTATTGTGCGGTTTCTGTCTGCATGCTCGAAAGTCGAGCAAACCCAACCTAATTATATTTTATAGATGAACTCAGTGATAACGTAGACGTAGCCAATTTCATGATGGGGGACCGAGAATATCACCCATCTCCTCCACAAACTTCTCATAATCATCCTTGGGTTTCGCGGCAAGTGCAGGCGTGGACTTCGTCTCCCCGCTCGGAGTACCAAATTGACTTTTCAATGCACTCAACAAGTCGGGTCTCGGTGCCTGAGTACTCTCTTCTTCACCCGTCGACGGGGCAAGTGAGGGTGCTGCATTGACTTTTGTCGGGGCTGCGCTTCCAGCACCAGCCTTCTTGCGCTTCAAAGTGGTGGGTACGAAAGCAGTACTTTCCTTCTTGAAATCTCGGAGTTCTGGTTCAGCAGAGACTACGGCAGCACTGGAAATAGGTGCGCGTGGTTTGCTTGGTAATGAGGGATGTAAAGAAGGAGGTGGAGGTACTGCATCACGTGAAGCGCGGTGTGCTTGGTAGGTTTGATGAGGAGTTGACGAAAGTGGGTCTTGCATTGAGCTGACGGATTGGACACCACGCCGAGGGAAGAAACCTGGAGGTGGTGGTGGCATACCACTCGGAGGGAAACCAGGAGGTGGAGGTGGTTGTGGCATGAACTGTGGTGGGAATGGGACACCAAATGAGGGAGGGAAACCAGGAGGAGGTGGAGGTGGTATGCCCGACATGTTAACAGGAAGAGGTGGAGGAGGAAGTGGTACCCCGCTTGGAGGAAAACCAGGAGGCGGGGTTGGTGGTGATACAGCACCCGGCGGCAGTGCGAAACCTGGAGGTACGAAACCTGCGGGGAGTGTAGGTGGTGGAGGTACTGTCGATGGTCCTGGTGTAGGAGGTAAAGAAGGCTCTGAAGCAAAAGATAAGAGAAGGGTATCAAGTTACGCTTGAAGGCACGTACGTTGGGGTAAGCCGTCCTTAGGAGGAGGGGGTCCTTCGGGCATTGGAATATCTTCATCACTACCATCTGACTGATCAGGAGGAGGCCCTTCAGGCATAACAATATCCTCATCATCTGCTTTTGAACCATCGTTAACTTTGACAAACCAAAGCAGAAGAGAGTATTTACCCTGGTCCTCCGCTCCACTATCGATTTCATCAGGTCGTAGTGCTGCAACACGGTCAACAGGTCATCATGAGGACAAACGTCAGTGATACTCACGTCTTTCCATGTAGGGCATTCCAGGAGGTGCAACTCCGTATGGGTTCATCACAGGATCATAGTATATGCTGCGTTCCGGATGACGTGGAAGACCTTTCTTGTTGAACAGGTTGCGGCTCTTGAACTCTGGCTTCTTGCTTTCACCTTCACCCCTATCTTCATCGTGCGCGCGACGAGATTTGAAGACAAGTTTGCGGTGTTCAGGATGCTCAGCGACATATTCCTCCTTTTTCTTATTGATCTTCTCGAGTTCACCTTTCAGCTGTGTGAGTCGAGAGTTGTCTGCCGCAGATCGTTCAGACAATCCTTCAAGCTTCTCGATTTCTTCTTCAACATCTACAAGAAAGTTGGATTAAGACAATAGGACAACCAGAGCTATGGACACTTACCTCGTGTATCCTTCTTTACCAATGAAAAATCGCGAGCCTTAGCCCGTTCAGTCTTGTTCTACTGCAAGGTCATTCCGGTAAGTCATATGTCGAGTAGTTCAGTGAATAGAACTCGCTTTCTTCAGTTCCTTCTTCCTTTGCGCTTTACCTGTCCAACATACTAATCAACACCCTGACTTCAGCTTGGGCAATGATATACTCACGAAACGCGTCCGCTGGATTTGCTGTTTTGCCTTTCGCCATTGAATGTGATGAAAAAAGTAGCCCAGTCCCAAAGTTGTACGCCTAAAGTAAGTAAAGCCGAGATGGATGTTGAATGGATGATTGTTCGTCGTCGGCGGCAGTGAGCTGAAGAGCGATCGCAGGGTTGCCGGTTCGGGAGCATCGCACGTGCGCATCCATTTTGAGTCATCAAGAGGGTCCCTTGCTAGCTTTGGCGGTGGTCGGCTTCCCTCTGCAAGGGAAGGCCATTTTGTCCTCTGGACATTTCCCTCGCCAATATCTCTGATATCCTGCTCGACCTTCTCAACAGCGACATAGATAGCCGGTGTTTTGGACGAACCATTGGACGACACGATTTCGAACGTTCGTACGGTCTGCCCTAGACGTCATGGCTACGCAGGCTCCTGTGCCTCAGTCTACTACTGCCAAACGAGCAGGCAAGATGGCCACTAGCCAGTCGTTGAACCACTTGTTGAACTTCACGCTGCCCCCGAGGCAGACTCATCAGTACCAGAGTCTCCCGAGGCGAAAGAAGACGGCTAATCAGCAGGTGTGGAATAAGGAGCGTGAGTATTTCTATTAGGTTGGCTTTTGGTTGTTCGCTCAACGCTAGTTCCATATGCAGGATTTGTTAATGCGCAGTATCGCTTTGTTATGAACCCAAGCGGAGACTATACTGTTCATTTTGCCGATCCAGACATGTATGTCGTCCAATACTTTGTCTCGGAGCCTTTGTTCTGATGATATATTGCAGCTACTTCCAGTGGCATGATATCCTTCAGGTCATACTTCCACGCATCACGACAGCCACCTCTGCTAGTTCAGGATACCACCATGTTGAAGCAGAGGGTGTTACAACATGCCCGATCTGCTTATCGCCTCCAACTGCCCCTCGGATGACCAAATGCGGTCATGTATGTTCAATGCTATCTCTTCAACGACAGTGCTAACTTCAGGCCAACTAGATATTCTGTTATCCTTGTATTTTACACTACCTCAGCACCTCGGACAAAGCGAAGTGGGTGCGATGCCCAATTTGCTTTGACTCTGTCAATGAGCGTCAACTCAAGTCCGTCAAGTGGTACGACGGACCTCCGTCTGTCGAGGAAGATGACGAGACTGCTGCTGAAGCCTCTTCTTCTGCTAGCGTGGAAAGCGGCTTCGTTGCTACCCCACGCCCTGGTTCTACCTTACGGATGCGACTGATGCAACGGCCTCAGATCACGACCTTGGCTCTCCCTCGATCACCAACCTGGCCATCCGATCTTTTACCACCACACCAGGCTCCTTTCCACTTCCTTCCTGATGTCTATACCTTCGCCAAGTTCATGCTCGCGACACCCTCTTATCTCATAACAGACTTGACAAAGGACTTGGACGATCTGGCTGTCGAACGACGTATGCTGGCTAGCATGAAAGACGATCTTGGAATCTGCTTCGTCGATGCAGCTGACGCCAAGATCCGTCATCAGATAGAGAAGGCTGAAGCGTTGGAGACACCTCAGTTGAAGGAAGCGGTTGAGAATGCCCTTCAGATGCAACAGCAGATCACGAATCGTAGCGTGTATGACCGGAAGAAGAAGGAGCAGCAGCAAACTGCTCCTTTACCTGACGCACCAGAAGCGTTCCTTGCCACTCAGAAGTCAGGTTTCAGCACACCGACTTCGCATCAACCGAGCCCTTCTCCCGTACCACCCCTTTCTACCCACCCTCGGCCCACACCCTCTCCTACATCAGCTCGAAGTCCTAGACAAAGGCGAAACCTCAACCCTCCTCCCCCTTCAACATCTACATACTATTATTACCAAGCAGCATCAGGCATGCCGATCTTCCTGCATCCTCTAGACATCAAGATCCTCTTTTCGCACTTCAACAGCTACGCCTCTTTTCCCGATACTATCACTGTCCGAGTGGAGTCCTACGCAGAATCAACTGTTAACGAAGACCTCCGTAAACGATGCAAGTACTTAGCACATTTACCTGAATGCGCTGACGTGGTCTTCGTCGAGACTGATTTGGAAGGCGTTGTTGGTCAAGAAGGTCTGAAGAATTTCGAACGAGCTTTGACGATGCGTCGAGCTCGGCGGAAGGAGAAAGGCCGGAAAGACGACCGTGCGAAAGCAAGAGCTGAGGAACGGGAGAAGGAGAAATTGGTACATACGTGGAATGAAGCCACAAAACCTCATGTAGACGCATATATTCCACCCCCAATCCCTCGATCACCTTCACCACTCCTCGTTGACGAGTCCCCAGAGACCGGTCAAGACGGAGCGGCTGATCAGGTACCTGCTTCTCAACAAGATTCGCCAGGTGTTTGGGGCGCGAGGAGTTTTGCTTCGGCTGCTCATGCTGCTCAAGGCCGTCCACCTAGCGTGAGGCCTGCTACAGTGAATCGACGTTCGCCGTCGGAGAGGTTTGAGGATGAATATGATTTGGACGTTGCGTTCCACGAATTGGAGCAGCGGACTCATCGGGGTGGGGGTGGGAAGAAGAGGAATAACAGGTTGGTTGTGTTAGGTGGAGGTCCTGGACGACGAAAGTGAGTACACTTCGAAGGCTTTCCTGAGGAAGGGTAGGTGTATGTATGTGGGTGTAGAGATAGCTCTCATCCGAACTTTGAGCGGATGTGGGTATGTTGTGTAGTTCGGCTTTCAATTTCGTTCCTTCATTGTGCGTGTGTGTTTTCTAATAGTCATCAAGTCACATTTGTAGCAACAGTATACAGCAATTATACAATATCTAATGCATTCAGGACTTGACCTTGACTTTGCAACCAGCCTTCTTGCGACTGAGAACGTACGAGTATGCCATCTGTCTTTTGATTTCATGAGCTGTGGATTGGAGATGTTTGAATACCCAACGATGCAACTAACACTATGAAAAGCAAAAAGCGTCTGGGAAAACATTCGGGAAGACAACACAAGGAAAATAATAAGGATAGGGAGAGGTAAAAAGACCATATGTGCGTAGTAGCATTTCTGTCATAAAAGAATGAGAACCTAGTTTACTACGAACATTATGATGATATGGTGACACGTTTGAAAACAAAATCGGGACAGTAGTAGTAAACAGTAATGAACAGAGCATACGTTCATCGTCGATCGTAAAAGGAGTTAGAAAAAGTCCATCCACAGAGGATGTGTGCATGGAGAAGAAAAGAAAGCAGTCCAGTCTTTCAAATAATTTGTAGGTAATTTGATGGCGCAACTGTAAATAAGGGGAACAGTGAGTGGGGGATGATGAGGGACGAGTAAGACATGGGAGAGAGAAGGGGACGTACTTCCAACTGTACCATCAGCCTTCTTAGCTTGCCACCACTTTCCTTGCTTGTCGAGGATTTCCATGATCTCGCCCTTCGCAAATGAAATCTCATTTGGATCATCTTCTGATGCATTATCTACACAACATAAATCAGTTTGTATTTCACAGTGCAAGAACATACAGAGAACTCACATGCATACATCGCTTTCGCTCGGTAAATATACCCGTCAGATCCACCAGCGATGTCCCCAGCTACAGTAGGCGACGCGACTGGACTCGTCTGTCCACCCGCAGGAGTCGGCCCAGGCCCACCACCAGCTCCTACACCAGCTGCACCACTACCCATCAAGGGTGAATTTATACCAGCACTGTTATCGATACCACCTGAGATGGAGCCTGCTCCTCCCCCGCCTCCAGCACCAGTTTGCATATTGTTGATACTGCCCGCCCCGATGCTTCGTGCCTCCATGCTTCGATCAGCTTGCTTAAAGCTTCCAGCGTCACTTCGTATCGGTCCGGTGAAGCTACCACCCAACTTGCTGTCGTAGCCTACTGGGCCCATACCGCTTCCTGGCGGTGCTGAGTAACTTGCATTGTACCCGTTAGCTGCTCCCATGTTGTGTACGGACATTGGTCGTGTCCTGCGACGTCTTGAAGGAGGGGTGAGCCCGCCTGTACCCAGGGAATTGAATACATGTAGCATCAGGGAATCTTCCTCCGAAGTGAAGTAGAGTGTCCAGAGGATATCGACGATGGCTAGGATAAGCCAGCCTGCTGCCATTGCATCGAGGGATGGAACTCCAGTGAAAATGCCGTTGTTAACACCAGTAACAGCGAAGACGATAGCGACAGCGCCGAATACAGAAATTTGAAAGCGGTGCATGGCTATTGAATCGGTCGCAAGCGTGTGCAGAACACCGAGGATGAGGAAGAGTTGTAGGAAGATGGCGAACCATAGTACGCCAACGTCAGACCGATGACCTGTAAATGAAAGAGATTGAGTTGGAGTAGGAAATATATGGTGCGAACTTACCATTTGCAGTTGCTATGGCTTGGCCAATAAAAGCAACAAACCATCCAATCTGATATTATACATCGCCTGAGTGCCGTGCATATGCTCCATTTGATGTTGCACTTACCACAGCAAGAATGGTGGTGAAAAGGAACAAGTAGTGGGTGAGTATCGGTGTAAAGTCAAGGCCTTCGCTTCCTCGAGGCGGCATGATTGAAACAGGCTACAGGGAGTTGTCGTTACAGTTGGGTATCTTACACACACTCCCCAGGTAAGCAGCGAGGATTTTTGAAGCAAGAATAGAGGGCAGCGAGGCGAGGATGTCGCGAACGCTGGAGATGGTGAAGAGAGTGCAAGTTGAACGTGTAGAACGACGTGCGGAGGGCGCTAAAGTGTTGTTGCTCGGGTGACTTGGCCGCTGCCCACGCTACACTGGTCTCGAACTGCGCATATGTCCTCCATTCCATCCAGGGTTCACAGCACGCTTTGGGGTAAATATGGTCCATAACAGATCTTCCACACTTCCTGGGTCTGTTGAACGCAAAGAACATCCAACGGACACAGCAAAGCTGCTGATGCACATGCGATGACAGGTGTCTGCCATCGCAGGGTCCCTCTCCTCCGAGCGAATCGCTGTTGTTGTCATGCTGCATTGCTGCAATCACGCTCGTCGCACACTCAACCACAACGCGTGAATTGTGATCCGCAAATTTCGGTGCCGGACTGACTTGCACGCCCGACCACCTGCACTGAAGTCGACCAGAATATTTTCAGGCAATTCCAAGATAATGATCACAAACAACTCTCAGACAGCAACTGCACAAGCCAACCCCCTATTGGTATCTCTCGAACCAGCGGATCCAGCCCATATGTATTCGTTCATGCCGATAGACGCACTGCATATAGGGGAACGCCCGCCCGAGCCCCTTTGGAACGCGTATGCTGCTGATTGTCTTGCGGGTCGGCCAAGAACATATTACTCTCCTCTCCAATTGGCTATTTCGTTGGCGCCTGTTGTCAGCATCTCTTACACGTCTCGTGAAACCACACGCTCCGTGCCGCCTCTCTTTAAAATCAACCACTTGCTTTCAAACTTTCGCTTTTGTCTTCCGCCACCTCGATTTTGACTGCGCTACTCAATGGCTGCTGTGCTCACGCGAGTACTCAACTCTCAGTACCGACGTCATAATTGAACAGTGCCTCGGACTGCGCTATGCCACAAGTTTGGACACTGGGTCATTGTCCTACCACCACCCCTATGTGCATGTTGTTTCGTTTGGTTCCGTGGAAGGCAGTTTGGGCGGATGGAAGTCTACAACTCCTCTGCTTCGGCCTGAGATATTTGGTGATCGTGCTGGCTAATGCATTGCTGGCATTGGCATGGCTTGTGCTGGTAAGTATGAAGTGCTTCATATGATCAAATGACGTCTTAATCTATTCAAATCGCAGAGCATCGTCTGTTTATTCAATAATTTGTTGCGGGTGGCGATTGAAGTGCCTCCAGAGCTGTCTTCCCCGCGTACGGCATCTCCTAAACATGCGCATCATGAACGCCCTACTCGTCGCAGAGTAAAGCGTCATCCTCCATTCGTTCGAACAAGCGCTTTAAGCAAGTCTCCCGGCAAAGATGTACTACGACTGAGATCACCATCGATTACCAAACATGTCTCTTTTCCCTCTTCAGGTGACGTGCAACCTCACGTAGGGATTTCCCAGTCGTTGGCTTCGACTCCCGTTAGACAGATGATCGGGGACGAGAACCCTCTAGCTGAATCACCGGAGTTGGAGTTGGCCGAAAATGATGCAATGTCGAAATCATCGTCAGCATCGCCTGATTCTCTACCCCCACTTCCCCTTCCGCCAACCGAGGCTGATGTTATGAGTTCCCGATCAGTGTCTCCCGAGGGGCCATCTTTGGGGGAACACAGGATGTCTCGAGTGTTATGTCCAGGTATGTTTGCTACTCCGTATCTTCGTACATTTACTCATCCGTAGTATTCACAGTGCGAGTGTCACACAGGCGACGAACGACAAGCGAGGCCAAGAAGAAAGTCCATGCGCGGCGACGTACGGATCCGTATCAAGCACCTTATTTTTTCCCTACGCCACTGTCGCCTGAAGCTGATGATTATGTTCGCACTGTACGAGCGGAACGTGCAGGGTTCTCGCTTGCAGCACCACCTTCACGCCAGCCATCGCAGACGCGTCCGGACTCTCCGCTGTCCTCCCCACCTGGTTCTGAAGGCCTGGAACTGGTCATGTCCGCGCCAGAGCCTATGACCACACCTCTGTCAGATCTGCAAGGGCAAGCCACTCAAAATGATAATGTACCCAGGGACGACGTCGCCTTGGCGAGGCCCACAAGGGAACGAGAAGCTTCGTCTCCACCCCCGAGGGAAAAGAGGAAACATCATCTGCAGTTGCTCCGGGCATTGTCACACAGTGACAAGCGCGCTTCTACTTCATCCTGGGAGCGTGAATCGCAGAGTGAAGATGGTCATACTTCTGGCGAGGTTTCCCGTACTAAGAGACGGCCTGAAGGCTCATCTAGGCTAAGGCGTATATTGAGGTACATTTGATTTTCTGTGCAATCGAAGTAAATTCTGTTAACTCACGTCTGTTACAGCCGAAGTCAGGATGAGGACACGCTGAAGCAAGCAATCCGCTTTGACCCTCTAGCCGATGTGCGGGAACAGTCTACGAAACAAACCCATAGGCATTCCTGGCATGCAATTCTCCACCCTCACCGCACATCATCTCTCAACTCGCAACCTTCATCCTTGGCACACGAGCCTAATGCTCCGCAACGGATGCCGGCGAACGAGGTGTCGTCCAAGTCTAAACGCAGACCTCCTTGACTACTAAGCCCTACCGCCTTGCTTTCATACCTTGCATCAGTGTCCGCTTAGAATGTCGCATATTTCATCACACAACGCATACATTCAATGTTTATCCCTGCAATATAATTATTTATAATCTTCGTTCCCCGTTTACCTCTTGACCTCCCTTGAAATGCCACCACTCCTTTAGAGCTTCTTACCATGCTGTTTTGCCTACGTGTACGTGCCGTATTATTGTGTAGTCGTAGCTTGGGCTCTAAAGCTCTCCGTAGAGTACATACAGATGTCTATCTAATAGTGTACAATTCAGAACGAGGTACAATGGATCATATCATCTTCCTAACTTTACACCGTACAGGTGAAGCTGTCTGTACACCTAAGTCTGAGATCCTGAAGCGGAGCTGGCGAACGGACACATACATGTGTGCAGATTAGATTAGATGACGGTGAAACAAGGTGAACGAGATTAGATAGTTCGGTTAGATTAGAGTTGGCATCGTCAACGCTCGCCCCAGCCACAATTGCCTTTCACCTCCTTCCTTCCTCTGCTCCTTAGCTATATTTTTCCTTTTCTTCCAGACAATGGAAACTCCGCGGATGGAAAAGGCACCTCCACTATCACCGAGTGCTCAAGTAGATGATGTTGGGCAATTACCGCAAGAACCTCTCACAGGTCCCAGCGTGACCCATCCGCCAGAGGATCAGCCAGGATCGTCTGCCTCGAGGCCCCGTTCTCCGCAACCCAGATATCAGATATCTCAACCTCATCTCACGTCTTCAGGATCTCAACAGCTTATGCTTGACCCTACTCTGGTCGATCATTCGCCAAATCCCGTTTCGAGGCCAAGGACACCGTTGGCAAAGCCTCAGCTGGAGGGCAAACCTTTGTCTTCGCCTAACGGCAGTTTGATTGGCGTGGGTGAGCCCTCCCATCTGTTTGGGCCTGAAGGGTCTCGACCTCCAGGAGAAAGACAGTTGAATGTGACGGACGCGCTGAGCTATCTGGACGCGGTGAAACTGCAGTTTCAGGACAAGCCAGACGTGTATAATCATTTCCTAGATATCATGAAGGATTTCAAAGGCCAACAGTGAGTCTTTGTCTTGTGTCTACTTTCTGTCACCATCATCGGAGATCGACAAAAACATGCACTGCACACATGTTGATTCTCATTGGATTCTTCTCTATTTGAAATGGAACTATAGTCGGACTGACACTTTTCCCTCTTAGGATAGACACACCGGGTGTGATTGAACGTGTTTCTATGCTATTTCAAGGCAACCCAAATCTAATTCAAGGCTTTAACACTTTCCTTCCTCCCGGTTACAAGATAGAACTCTCAACCGATCCCAGGAACCTGAATGGAATCACTGTCACAACACCAGCAGGCGTCGTATCGCAACCCAACCATCTTATGGGTGGACCGATGCGACTGCCGCGAGACTCTGCTCAGCCAGGTCTACTCCCTGCATTCCCTCCACAACCACCATTCGGACCACCACCTGTTCTGCCTGTGGGTGTTGGACAAGGCTCACGCCCAGCGAGCCCTATGATGCATCCTATACCCCATCATATGCCTGGGTATGTAGACGAAACATCACCGTATCTTCCGGGTGAACAAGAAGCGGCGGTGAACTTGAATGGAGGACGGAATTCACCTATGGAGTTTAACCATGCCATCCAGTTCTTGAACAAGATCAAGGTTCGATATGTGGATGAACCGGATACCTACAAACAGTTCTTAGAGATCTTGCAGAACTTTCAGAAGGAACAGAGACCGCTTCTTGATGTGAGTACCCAAATCCCTCCGGGACGTGTTTTTTGACACTTTTGACACCTATGGTATTAATGTTGATGGTTGACTAGCAGTCGCAGGTTTTTCCACAGGTCCAAATGCTGTTCAAGAATGCTCCTGACCTCATGGAGGAGTTTCGAGCATTTCTCCCCGATCTTGGTGACTCACAGGCAACTCTAGGATTCCCAGGGATATTGCCACATGCCATTGCCAGCACGTCCAATTGGCATCAGAACGCGGAGAGCCCGTCTCTTAGTGCTGAAAAGCCCAAAGCTGCGAGCCGTCGGCGGAAACGCATCGCAGAGAAAGAACCAGCGGTGCTGCAGAAGACTGCTGGAGGTAGAGTGTGTACCGATAGCTTGTCCTGATTTGTTATAGGCTATGAATTAATTGGATTGAATTCAGGCTTCCAAGAAAGCAAAGACGAACCATAAGCCTGAACCTGCGTCACCACAGTTCGCTTATGAACACCTTCCTTCACCCCAACCTTCTCACCTTCATGCACACCAAGCAACGCTGTTGTCTCGCCATCAGCAATATACTGCTCACTTGAACGGCACCCATGCACTATCCTTGCCCAACGGGTCTAGCCCACAGGGTGAACTGGCATTCTTCGATCGCGTCAAGAAAACACTTGAGAACGGAGGGACATATGAAGAGTTCCTGAAGTTGCTCAATTTATACGCACGAGACGTCATTGATGTCGACACTCTTATTGAGCGTGCGGATATTTTCTTGGATACAGATCTAATGAGGCAATTCAAGGAGCTTATGGGTTGGGAGGAACGATTTAGTACTATTGAGAATGGTCCTCCTGGAAGTCTCAGGACTTCGGCGCCCGATATGTCTGCTCCACCACCTGATGATGGACTTGGACCTAGCTATCGGAAACTACCTGCGAGCGTAAGTGTTTGATGACGCTTGTTCCTGTTACGCCTTATTCTCGTCTTCATGCTGAATTGATCCATTCACAGGAGGTCCGCCTGGCATGCTCAGGACGCGATGAACTTGCCCGATCAGTCCTAAACGATGAGTGGGTCTCGCACCCCACCTGGGCTTCTGAAGAATCTGGCTTTGTCGCACATCGCAAGAGCAACTTCGAGGAGACTTTGCATAGGTGTGAAGAAGAACGCCATGACTTTCAAGTTCATATTGATGGGCTTTATCGTACCATCGTTGTCCTTGACCCTCTAGACGCGCGCCTCGAGGAGATGTCTCCAGAAGAGCGCTCGTCATTCAGGCTGAAACCAGACTTGGGAGGGTCGTGTAAAGCGATATACTCACGGACGATGCGCCGAATTTATGGGCGCGATGCTGGTATGGAAGTCATGCGCGGTCTGCAAGAGTGCCCCAGTGTCGCCATTCCTGTGGTTCTTTCGAGGTTAAAGCAAAAGTACGAAGAAGTTCTGCGGCTTCGGAGGGAATGGAACCGCACGTGGAAGGAGATCGATTGCAAGAACTTCTACAAGGCCTTGGACCACCAGGGGATCACCTTCAAGCAAAACGACAAGAAGAATATCACGACTAAGTCGTTCGTTCAGGAAATCGACAACGCGAGAAAGGAGCACAAGAAGTTGCGGGACATGAAAGGAGGAACGTTCTATGGAACGTTGGGACCCCATTTGCAATATGACTTCAAGCATACTGACGTTTTGCATGACGCTCTCAAGATGATCTATACTTTCCTGGATCACTCCCACTCGCAGTACAGCCCATCAGAACGGCGGAGCGTCGAGAGGTTCCTCCGAAATTTTGTTCCCGTGCTCTTCACATTCTCGCATCAGGAATTCGACGCCGCCTGTGGACCAACTGAATTCGACCATGAAGATGCCGATAATACAGACCAGCGTGGTGGAAGACGTTCCGTTTCTGGTAGTCGTTCTACCGGCGTCGCCCCAGGCGATCTTCGAAAACGGCTTCTGAAGACTGTTCAAGATAACTCACCGCGCAGGAAAAAGGGCAAGGATTCGCCTCTACGGTCTGCAGACTCTGCTTCGCCCGCGGCACCGAGAAGCCCAGCTGTCATCTCCAAAAACCTGGAGGACCCTGAAAGTACCAATCTCCACTCTAACCCCGAGGATTTCTGGATCCGGGAATTTCTAGGTAGCCCTGAGGAAGGTCGTGTCAGTGCTGGTGAAACACCTGTCTCGAGTCGCCCGTTCTACGCCAACACGACCTTCTATACATTGCTGCGGTTGTTGCAGGTGACGTACATTTTTAACGTGATACTTGATGTGAACATCTTTGAAAGACTGATAGTTGCGGCATCCCGCCTCCTTCATTGAATTGTTTAGCTGTTGTATTCGCGCCTGCAAGTTTGCAAAGAAATCGGCGCGCGGCACGCCAGGGAGAAACATGCGTCTTTGAAGCCGAACCCTATCGCAGTGCAGTTAGGGCTTGAAGACCCTAGTGGTCCAGGTGTGGTTTTGGCACAGGCGATCGAGGCGGTTGGAAACGTTGGTGTCTCGGGCGAAGAGCCGAATGTCCTTTACATGTACCTGTTGGATGCGTGTGAAAAGGTGTTCGAGAACGAGCTGGATCAAGCGACATTCGAGGAACACATGCGTTGGTTCTTTGGCACAAAGGTGATTTAATATTCGCTATGGGTGTGGCTGTATTAACGCTTTCATGGCAATGTTTTCGTACCAGGCGCACCAAGTTTTTACGCTAGACAAAGTCATCACGGCAATCATCAAGCAGGTGGGTGAACGTTGCGCTTCGATATATCAAGATATAGGTATTTACCTTCATACTGACATTCCCCACGGATAGGTTCAGACGATTACGGCAGACAACAAGTGCCAGGAATTATGGGATCTGCTGCAAAAGGCCCGACGCGGAGAAATGGCGACGATCCACGAAATAGTCCGGTATAGACGCGAGGCGGAACGAAACGCGGGGTCAGATGAGCATCTATACAAGGTGGACTGGGTACGTATGGACATCGCCTGGTCATGCAATCTAGGCTGGTAATTGAATGGTCAATGCGTAGGACATGCGCTCGAGAACACTACGGATCCAATTACTCGGTGCTGATGACCCGAGCATCGAGGAGGACAGCTCAAGACTGGGCCGATGGCGACAGTATGTTGGGACGTATGTGACACAGTATCCCACGGAGTTACTACCACAAGGACGTGCGAGTCGCGCTAAGGCGGAGAAGAGTCGTTTATTCTTGAAACGGTGAGTCTATTCTAACTTTCAATGGATAGACAGGAGACCCCCGCAGCAGGAGGTCGTGTGTTTGAGGACTAAACCTTGCTATTTCTGGGTGACCAATCGGAATGGAAGTTCAGGGTGCTGATTGGATTTGGTGCTTCTAGGTCTTTGATCGATGGCGACGGTGCGGACCAGGAGGACGTACAGGAGGCGAGCAGCATGGGGGTGTCTATTAGTCTTTCTACGTATCGACTACAGTATGAGGCGGGGACGGAGGACGTGCTGTGGAGAGTACGACGGTCGGAGGAAGAGGAGCTATTTGCGCGTGCGCAGGCCAGGAGTGCAGAACGAATCCGTTCGCGGTGGCTGAAGTAGCCTAGTATGGGGAATATTATTCTGCGTAGTTAGCGATCTCTGGGTTTGAATTATTTTTGGTAAATGGGATGATGTATATTTATAGATTTCCTAAAGCGGTGTTTTGTTGCTAAAGATATCCACTTATCAGACATGTCGTGACCAGCAATCTCCCTCTGCCCGAACTCTTGCCTCCCTCCCCTCAGTCTTGGCACTCTCCCTCCGTCCTCTTGCTCATCGTCCCAGACGACGTCCTCGCGGTCTGGGTTGCCGTCACGCGTACTGTCAAAGCGTAGGCAGCCACCTTGCAGCCGTTGCTGGCGCACAAGACTTGCTTGGCGCCCCCGCTTCCGCCTCTGAGCGAGCATGGCCAAGCCCAAGCTATTTACTAGACCTCCATCATTAGCCACGAGCAAGACAACATACCAAACAAGCTCGACTAGGAAACAAGCCCCTCGCGGATCGCGGAGAGGAACATACGGCTCGCTTCCAACACCGTCATCAGGCATCCTCGCTTTTCTCGCCACCTTGACAGCGTCTTCATCCACCGCTCAAGGCTATCCCCTCGACTCGCAGCCATTACCTCCAGACTTTTTATGTCCCGGACTCCGCCCTGATCTGCACGCAGAGCCCCCTTTGGCCCCACAAGCCAGCACCAGGAAGCGTCGTGAACGAAGGGACACTTCTGACTACCCCTCTTCAAGCCCACACAAACGGGGCTCGAAACGACCCTTCGTTCCCGACAAGTACACCCAGGGGCCGGACGGGCGTTGGAGGAAGACTGGTAATTGGTCTTTGTATGGATATTGCAATGTAAGAATTCCCCCCTTTTCTATTATACCGCTTGACGTTCATGCTTTCAGACCGATCAGTGCGAAACCAGTCCGGCCGAATACGCTACTATACCCACCGCGGAGAGCGACGGCCAAGCCACGTCAACACCCTCTTCATTACCCTCCGATCCCCCTATAGACGCAGTCATGGAAGCCAACCTACCACCGGGGTGGGCCTCGCGATCATCCGAAGATCAGATCCTCACATATATCATACTTGGTCTATCGCTTCTACTTGCTATCCTCATTTGCATATTCATGGTTGGATGCCTTGCCTGGAGGAAGAAACGAAAATCCCTCACACCGAAGGACATCGAGAAGAAGGCTAGCACTAGCAGTCTACGTCTCGCAGACGACTCAGAAGAGGAGAGTGAGGAGACGAGGCAGGCTAGGAAACAGCAACGATTGTGGGCAAAGGCTAGTGCGAGATGGAAGGCTAATGTTCGAATATCTGCTCGACGGCGGCGTGTCCAGCGGACGATGTCCAGTGCTAGCAGTCAAGCGCAGGCCTCGCGTACCTCTCTGACCTCCATGGTCACTTCCTCCTCCGTCGAAGCTCGCATGCGAAGTATGGTCGATGTTTCCGACTCCGCCTCAGCTCATTCTGTTCGTGAAAATGCCCGCGACACTCAGCAGCAACAAATATCGCCTTCACCAATTGTCGAGCAGTCCGCGCCTCCCCTTGCCTCTCCTTCCTCCCGCCCGCCGTCCTATTTGAGAAATTTTCTCTCCGATCTTTCAGCGCATTCAGACTCAATCGAGCATCTGCACACTTCCGAATCTGTCGGAGAGTCAATAGCTCAGTTGTCAACGTCACACAAGACGCTCGGACTGCAGCAACGACACGACGAAGATCAGCCTGAGGATGATTCTTCCCCTGGCCCTTACGACGTTCCTGCAGATGCAGCACATGTGGCTACTGATGATAAAGGCGTTCTAGAGAGAATGGCTACGTTGGCTAGCGCCCCACCCGTTTCTGGTAACGACAATGGCGAATCATCGGCACCTTCGGTACCTATACTCGAATATGAGTACGAAGATCATCCAGATTTCGGTCCGCCTGGACCATCGTCACATTCTTTATCTATGTCGTCCCTTCAGGCCTCGCCTCCACCAATATTGAACCAACCAGCTCCTTCGTACTCATCTAACCCAGACGACCCATCGACGCAACACCCTCTGTTCCCCTCTCCACCATCGAAGAGCGCGTTGGCAGCACCGACGTTCTATGAATATCCTGCTTCGTTTGAAGAGGATATGCACATGATCATGAGCGCGGAACCAATAGCGGAACCCTCTGCTCCACCGTTCGAGGCTGAGGTGGCTGCGCCTAGTGCTCCGCCTTTGGAGATGGACATGGAGGATAGTGTGGGTGACTTTACTGCGCTTCCATCTGCGCCTCCGATGGTCGACGAGATTGAGGACAATGGAGCTGGTCTTCCTTGCGCTAGTGCACCTGCACTACAAAATGAACATGAGTCGTATAGTGAGGATGCTCGGCCTTCGGATCTTTCATCTTCGATATCCGCTACCCCACCAGTGGCCCCGATGCATACACCTCCCGGTTACATTCCGTAGCGTCGGAATTGGGATATTTTTGGACATCTTTCCACCCGAGTTTTGAGGATGTAGAATGCAAGCGAATTACACTATTGGCGTTGTATATGTATTGGATTGGTAGTGTAATATTTGACACCTATGTCATCGTAATCTTTTGGATTTTTTCTCTCTGCTTTCGTAGATCGACAGATAGTTGATCGATCATATTGGAATATTCGAATCTTGAAGTTGTCCTTTCTCAGCGTCGAGATTGCATTGAAGGTCTTTCAGTGTGCCAATACTGAGTGCAACTCTTTGCAATTGTGGCCTGTTTGGCAAGTTGGGCTTTCACGTTCCGCAAGTATATCCGACGCGTTTAGGTCAATAGTTACTTCCGCTGCTAGCACGAACGCAAAGAACATATGAACTTGTTATGATTTGAGTAACACTACAACTACTCAAAGCAAAAGCTGTTCCCAAACTTCTTCCATTTGCTAAGCCCAAGCACTGGCCAACTGACCAGAGCACGAAGCACAACAAAAAGAAAAAGTAGGAGATCCCCCGACGACACAAGCCAGTACTGCAATAGCAAGGTCATCGCGCCTCCGAGTTGCAAGCAGAGCTCAGAGAACAAGGGCGGCAAAAATTAGATAACCAATAATAGAGGCGGTGCCTCCATAATAGTGGTTAAACTATTAAGAACAGATACTACACTTGATCTAAGCCAAAAGGCCAGAGTGGTAAGGAAACAGGAATGTCCGACGCCGCCTTATATACCTTTCAGACGATGTGCGCACGGACCAGGCGATGAGTATAATTTTAGGCGCCGATACTTGTGGGTCCACCGGTTCCCGCGAAGCTGGCTCAACAGAGTCAACACCGAATGAAACTTTCATCCAAGCCATCGTATTATGCCGACCACAACGTTCCACATATGACGCTGTTTTTACAGGATGTGAGGTAACCTTGCGAACTTCGCTTGGGTTCCAGTGAGATGAGTCACCCTAACTTAGAACGTTCGGATGTTATCGCCACCTCGACTGGATTGGGAATCGGACAGATGATATTTTCGTGAGCAGTTCAGTATAAGTATACAATCTACTAACTATAGATACCTGCTAGAAATGTCGCCACTCTCGCGACGTAACGACGCACATTCAATGTGCTCACGAGACGTGAAGTGGACTCGGAACACGTCGCTGTCGAGCATGATAGGTCGGCGGTTTAAGCGAGGTGAACCCGGTTCTTGGATCCACCCGTGTATCTACCTGAGGGACTGATACTAAGCCGTCCAACTCTGCAGGCGGGACAATATGTCGAACAACCTTGAAGACAGGCGCAGTCACGCTTCTTCGACGATCCTTGATAGTCGAAGTGACATTGACATGCTCATCAACGTGAGATATTGGCTGCCTGTCGGTCGCCGTTACATCTGCTAGCCCTGCGATCGAAACTGCCCTTTTTCTCATTGGTCGCTTACGAGCCGTGGGGATGCCCATCCCAAGGGGAGCTTGAGGTGCGCGGTATTCTTGTCGACCCTGAATAACAATGCCGGCGGAAGTCGAATGATATCGCTTATGCTTTGACGCATGTTCTCTCACTTGACTTTGCATCTTCCCATGTCCTGGCAAAACGGCGTTCCTGAAGATCCCCTGACTAGGTTTAGCAGCGGGGGAAGAAGTGGTGGGGCGATCCTGAGAACCCGTCCTTGCTAGTCCTAATACATATCTCGGTGGTTTTGGAGCCTGCAGCTTCTCTGAAGTTATCTTTGGCAACAGACTCTTCCGGAGCAGGTCGAACATTCGGTTATTCTTCTTCCCATGTGATGTATGAAGGAGCCCTGGGGAGCAAGTGAAGCTTAGAGGAGTCACGCTCTTCTGCTCAGGAACAATCTCGTTATTGGCGTCTCTGAAATCATTCACGAGGTATTCGAAGCGCCATGCTAGCTTTGGCTGCTCCTTTGTGGGTTTCTGCTGAAGACGGGAACGACGTTGTGAAACAGAGGGAGTCAAGTCATACACTTCCGTTCCAGACACGAAGTATACGCCATTGGTTTTCAAAGAAAGGAAAGCTTGTCTGGAAATGCAATCCTTGGGATCGTCGCCAAGGGTCACAATTCGCTTCAGAAGAGGAAGCGAGTCCAAGGCAGAATGATAGTGGAAGGTAAAGGATTGTCGGATAGCTGGCTTGAATTCAGCTATAGCATGGAGCAATGGATCTGGTTCGCCGATGAACATTGTGTGTTCTGACGCAGTGTATCCCATCAACGTCATCGTGGAACGGGTATAATTGCGATCAGGCAGGATGCGATACTCCTGATCGATCCAGAATTCCAGGTCGACATCTTGAAGCCAAGATAGTGCCTGAGGAAGTCGAGAAACTTGCCCAACAAAGGATGCAACGGACCGCAAGCTAGGTGAACTAGAACCTTGAGGCGAGCCAGAACATCTCGCCAGAACAGAAGAGCCATTAGAAGGGGGGTAACGAGAAGGAATATAATCTTGCTTTGACGAGCCGTTAACGGGCCCGGTGATTACCTCTGGATAGCGCAGAAGGTCAGGAGAGTCGTTCGGTGCTATGATCCTTTTGCCCGAACAAGCGTCACCAAACGGGGGAAATGATTCGGGAATTTCTGGAGGGAACCACCGAGCTTTACGTGCAGGTATGGATGCTAGCGTGGTGGCCCAGTCAATGGGTTCCATCGGACGTGGGGGCGAGTTGGTAATTGCTGATATGATACTAGATGATACAGATGATAGTGACCGCAAAGCCGCAAATTTGGACCTAGGAGTCGTGGGTGCACTGCGGGATAGGCCTTCTTTAGACTTCAAGCGCTTGATTGCTTGAGTCCCCGGGGCAGATAAAGAATATGTTGGGGAGGCTGGTAGAGTCCAATCGGAGCCAGAAGGATTCAAAGATGTGTTCCTCCTCTGCATCTCAGGTGCTAGATACGCTGAAACTGTGAATTGTGATAGAACGCTGATGCGGTGTGTGTCGGTCTCTTCGACGGAGGGTTGGGTGAAACATGTTGACATAGACGTCGCATTATCAACGCAGTCAGCAAATGTTAGTGAGAGACTGTGACGCATTCCACCCGACGATAGCATATGTCGTGGTCCAAAAGTTCCACATGTCTCCATGCTGACGCTCGGTAGCATGAGGTTCGATTCCGATAGAGGCCCAGTGGTAACATCCCTAAGGTTAAGGCCAAGGCCAGCCTTGACTCCATCATGCAAAAGAATTGTAATTTCCCCGATGCTGCATAAACTTGTTGAGTCCTCTTCGCTGAGGGACGTGGAAGGGCTTGGTGGTGAGAGAGATTCCAAGGCGTGCAGGGCGTCCCAGTCTGCAGGTCGGCGTAATCCAGGATTGACAAGGTCATCATCTTGAGGCATAGTAAATTAGGGTATTATTATGATAGTTGTACTTGTGTAGTGTAGCGGGTGAAACAAAAAGATTGTGGTGGAGGATAAAGCTCAAGTTCAAATGCGAACTTATAAGGCTGCCTATTTGGTCAGCCTCTAAGCGCCAGCGTTGTGGCGGTAAGCGCTCGGTGACGAGACATCGCTTCTGTTCGGTCGAAGTCCCCTGGACCGTGCTCTGTCGAGGGACTTGGTTCGAACCCTCATCTGCACGCTGCCATGGCATCCAACATACAGACTATTCGTTTCCGAAGGCCAGAAAAGAAGGAACCAACGGTAAAACCCAAGAACAGGCATGGTGGGATATTGCAGGATCAATTACGGAGGTCAGATCACTTCCAAGCTCATTCTGTGTCCTGTGCCAAGGTTATGTACTGATGTGGGCTTTCATTTGTAGGGCGCAACGTGCACCATGGGTCCCGGCATGGTCAACGGCGCTCAGGTTTTTCTTGTTGATGAGGGTGGCAGGCGCCATGTATTCGAATCTGCAGGATTGCGACGAAGGTGAACGTCGGTCTCACCATCGTGAATACTCGTCATCTGAAGATATTATTATCTAGTATTCAACTACTGGGAACCTCTGCACTATCTTGAGAGAGGTTATGGTTTCCAAACCTGGGAAACGTCACCGAAATATTCAATTCGAAGCTGGGCATACATTCTCCTACATTTACTTCCCGTCAAGATTGCTACTCAATTGATAGGCTCCGACAAGGTATTACCCGCACAACCCGTTCACTAGCATTACTGTCTGACCCATATCGCAGAGACCTGCATTCTTCGCTGTCCGTATATTATTGGCTTTCATCTCGTCATTCTGTGAAGCCACGTTCTACCGAGCCGTTGTCGACAAGATTAACTACCGTGTTGGCCGTTACCTATTCTTCATGCTGTTATTCAGTTCCGGAATGTGGTCAGCTTCAACAGGTACGTATCAGCATCACGTTGTTGACACCCTATTGACTCATGCCATCACACAGCCTTTTTGCCCTCCAGTTTCGCAATGTATGCCAATACCATTGCATTCTCGTGGTCAATAGAACCCACAAACAATCGTAACTTCCGGCGTACTTTGCTTTCGACGCTAGCCTTTGCCACAGGTGCTGTTGTCGGATGGCCTTTCGCATTGGCGGTCGCTATCCCCTTCATACTTGAGGAACTTGTTTTGCGTGGAACAGATATCGTTCCCTCTGAGAAACGCGTTTCTTGGCTTTTGGCTAGATACGGGCGTTTGGCCACCTGTGGTGCTGTCGCCGCTCTGCTTTTCGTAAGTTATATCCACCGTCTATAATAATTTGAGTTAATATAGCTCTAATTAGGTTCCCGTGGTTGCATTGGATACCCTGTTCTATGGCAAACTCACGATCGTACCATGGAATATCATCAATTATAATATCTTCCCCGACGCCGCTAAAGGACCCGAACTCTACGGAACCGAACCACCCACATACTACTTCTTCAATCTCCTGTTGAACTTCAATGTCCTCGGTCCCCTCGCGCTCCTTTCTCTACCAGCGCTCGCCATAACGCGACGCGTCGACCGGAAACGTCTCGGAGACAAACCTCCTGCGAGGCAGAGTTCTCCCTATACGTTGGTCGCGTTGAGACTGGCCCCTGTATATGTTTGGTTAGCCATTCTTTCTAAACAGCCACATAAAGAGGAAAGGTTCTTGTATCCGATCTATACGTTGGTTTGCTTCAACGCTGCTGTGACATTGTACTTGGTGAGAGGCTGGCTTGAGGTCGCGTATGTTCGCTTCACGCAGTCGCCTTACAAGGTAAGGAAGTTATCTATCACTCTTCAAAAGTCATACTTCGATAACGGACTTGCATTTAGGCATCTAAGGCGTCCATCTTCAGCAGATTGACACTTTCAGTAGTCACTGCGTCGATGGTCTTCTCTGTCTCACGTACTCTTGCACTTTGGACATACTATCACGCGCCAATGACCATTGCTTTCCGATTTGAAACCGAAGAACTCCCTCGTCTTCTCAATGTGACAGGCTATATTACGCTCCCTCCTTTCAGCGAGACCGCTCCTCACTCTCGGTATGACGATGAAGAAAGCAAACCTCGAATCGACTATGGTCCTATCAAGAATTTCGGTCTGAGGCTTTGCTATGGGAAGGAGTGGCACAGGTTCCCCGGACATTTCCTAGTTCCTGACGGCGTCCGAGTCGATTGGATCAAGAGCGAATTCGACGGAATGTTGCCCGCACATTTCTTGGAGACGAAGTATGAGAGTGGACTGATGGGGCGTGTCAAGGGAACGAGAGCCGTTCCGTCCGGATTGAATGACTTGAACGAAGAAGCACCCGAGTTCTACGTATGTTCTGCCTGTTCTCATACGTCCATGGATCACTTATTTTCACAATTATGTCAGGTTGACGTGTCTTCGTGTGATTATCTCGTCGATTTGGATTTCCCCCTCCACCCTCGGGAATCATTACACGAACCGCGGTATTCCGTGGATGAACAAACCTGGGACCGAGTAACATGTCAAAAGTTCCTAGATGCGAGCCATTCTCCGTTGCTTACTCGTGCATTGTGGATGCCGGGTGCGAGGTGGCAACAGGCAAACGAGTACGGAGAGTATTGCCTGCTTAGACACAAACAGAACGTCGCGAAGAAGGAAAAGGAAAATACTTTACGACTTACCACGTAGGTGTGCAATGAAAGTAACTTATGCCTCACGACTATTGTCATTAGAAGAAGCTCACTCATAATTCAATCATAATTCACAACCATCTCGCGTGGTGGTTTGCCATTGCATGAGAAGCCTCGGGACCATGGTTACAGTACTTGGCGGGGAGAACCCTGGAGAACCATACATTCGCGACACAGCTGACCGATCTGCAGGACGAGAACTATTGAACATGGAAATTACGGACTCCGAATGAGGAAGATTCGACGCCGCACGTGGGTTTGGGGCAGGATCGAGGAGGAAGGCTGCTGTAAAAGGCAAGTATTGTAACTGAACAGGCAGTGGAGTTTCCTCGACACGATGTCTAATATAGAGAGCGCGCCACAAGGGAAGACAGTTTTTCGCCTTCCGACGCGTCGTCGGTCTGCATTCCTCGGCCTCGTAACAGTATTCGTCGGCGCAATGAAATGCGGCCATCGATGGACTCAGGGAGTTCTTCGTCTCAACCACCACCGTCATAAACAGCCCGCCCGTTCCTCCTTCTCATTGACCCTTCCCCCCTCTCCCCTCCCGCTCGTCTTTCCTTACGACCAACGTTCACGCCGAGGATTGCCAACTCGTCTCACTTCCAGACATCATGCCGGACTCCCTGGCAACAGCCCAACACTTCATCTTCGTGTACGTCACGATTGTATCCTTGGTGGGCTAATGACACTGACGCTGTTGCCTAAAGGACGCAAGTACACTTTTGCGGTAAGCACCATCCGTTTTCAGACTGTACTGCTTCTCATGGGCATCTGCGTCGCCTTATTTAGCCATGTGTAAGTTCTCGACTTGTTTGACTTCGTGGCAATCCTGACGATCTCGCCTCAGATGCTGTTGTTGTCTGGGATTGGGCCCTAGGCTTGCCAAGGGAATGGCGTTTTGTCAGTTTAGAGTGCCAACCTGTTTATTGCGCATCCGAGTTGACGTGACTTCCACAGATATGGAAGACGCGTTGGACTCCGGTCAAGATCGCATACCTCTTCTGCCGGTATGTCTGTGCTTCAGAAGCCAGTTTATCCCATACTGAAAGTCGGCGGGCTTCAGTTACTGGGTCCTCGCAACAGTGCCCTATCTCATCTGGGCGTTTTGTCAAGATCACCCCCAATCGACATGCGACAGAATATATAAGGTTGGGAATAGAGTCCGTATTCCTACCTCTGAGTCTTATTAAGATATTCTGTAGATCCCAGTGGCTCTTGCGATGTGGAATCAAGTTGCAGCTGAGACCATCCTACTTATTCGGACGTATGCATTCTTCAATCGCAACATCTATGTTTTGTTCTTCTTGGTATCCGCACTCGCGGGAGTCGTGGCGTACCAGCTATACGTGGACGTTTCGCAAATGCTTGGTATGCGCTCTTCGTTTGAGCATGCAGACGTCAAATCTTACCTTCTTCTCAGTGTTGCCGTTCTTGAAACCGCCATTTGTGGGTTGTTATTGCCATTCATACATGCACAATCATTTTGAAACTTTGCTCTCAGGATATTGGACCTTGTTTGCCGAGGTCGAAACCACATTCAGCACATCTTCTAGGTAAGCTCTGCTGCCTTCTTTGGCGGTGTTAACTCTAAGATATTTTTCTAGGGTTCTTTGTTAGTATTGTATTCTCGTCTTGCTACATAACCTGAGATTTTCACTATAGATTGCTCCGTTGCTCTATGATACCATTGTGACGGTGATGACCGTTGGCAAGGCAATCGCAATCCGTCGCCGTAGCGGCGGCCCAAGTAGTCGCCTGATCCAAACATTCCTCCGCGAAGGTAAGCCACCGTGGTGAGAATAGAAATGATTTTACCAATACAACTCTTCCCCTATTTAGGTGTCTTCTACTACCTATTGATTTCCGTGGCAAACCTGGTACGTATCGTTGCTCCATACCATGGGATTGATTGACCTTCTTTCGATCAGGTCAACGGCATCTTCTACTTACAGTCAGTGAATCGTTACTGACCTGATTCCTAGATATTGACGCACGCTTTGTAGACCTCGACAGGCGATTTCGGCCATCTGCATCCCATTAAGCGTGATGCTTGCCCCGATTCTCGCGTGCCGTCTGATTCTGGATTTGCGTGAACGAGGATCGGAAACCGTGTCCCACTCGACGGGCACTATCGCCTTTACCGCTGGCGTAACCTCTTCAAAGTCATCGCCAGACTCTCCATTCTCTGGTCTCGGCTTTGGCTTGGGCGGCATCCAGAGTCGTCTTGGATCAAGTCACAAGGCATTCGTTCGACAGAATGGCGTCGTATTGAGCACCATGGGGTCGATTCCCGACCACGGTATGGCTAGCGGACTGGAAATGAACGACCTGCAAGCTCTAGATTGTCGAAAGGACGATATTGAGAACGTTTATGGAGAGATAGAGATGGGTGTTGGCAGCGGTGTAAGTGGCATCCGAGTCCAGGTGGAGAAGACTACGATGTGAACTGACAAGGTTTGTGTCAGATCGGAACTCCCTCCACGTCGGCCACTAACACCCCTCGCCAGGATTCAAAATCTCGTCACTCGACTTTCCGCCGTTCATTGTAACCTTTAATATGGAGTAATCCATCATTCTGAACCTCATTAGCATAGTAGAGTTTTATTGCATTCATTCGCATTCCTCAGCGTTCCCCCATCAGGTGTTTTCTTTGGATCCTTCTTGTTGTCGTTTTCGTTTTTGTTATCGATATTGTCCTTGCAATGTTTTACAGTATTAATAGCGTTACCAATGCGTTCGTTCATGTAGTCAGTACAGTGTAGTAGCGCTCCTTTGTACACCAACTTGAGCGTTCTCTCTACACACCGCAAATATGCTTTTATTGCATTAAATTTATTCTTAGATGGTCAAACAGGTTCTGAAAACTCTATATATAACATATCTAAGGAGTTCGTTATATTGTGCTTGTGTACTATTCAACTATGTCTCGCCGACTTCAAACCATCCATTTAGAGCTCCTTTGTACACCGTGACCAGTTGTGACCAGGCTGTGATGACCCCTCAACAGTGTGCTGATGGATAGCGGAAAGTGACAGCGCGCGTGTCACACTTCCACAGGATCTATGCCCTCAAAACCAAGTTGCACTCTCCTGCATTCAACATCTATTCAAATTGCCTATTTACGACATGAGTATATACCTTAGGTTATGAACTTTCTTGTAGGTAGGGATTTCCAGTAGTTTCCTTGGCATGTGCAAATAAACAAATGATTTTCAAGTTGAATCCCGGTGTTCAGCTCTCCAATTTTGCACAAATTGCTGCGCCCTTCAACGAGCTCCTCTCCGATCCACGTAAAACCTTGCATGGGACAACCTTAGATATATACATATATGCTGCAATAGAAATGATGAAGAAGTAGTTATGCATTTGTGTCGTATAAACCGGTGTATAAAGGAACGCTAGTGTACAAAGGAGGGCTACTACACTGTACTAGCGCAGTTTCAAGTTCACGAGGCTTCGCTCCAATTGCCATAAATGGATTGTTTACCAAAGGCTTTGGAACCAAACAACCGCCTTGGTCCGTGCGTATCGCCCGCCCTATATAACCCGCCGCCCGACATTTCTGGTTCCTTACCACTCTGGCCTTTTGGCTTAGATCAAGTGTAGTATCTGTTCTTAATAGTTTAACCACTATTATGGAGGCACTGCCTCTATTATTGGTTATCTAATTTTTGCCGCCCTTGTTCTCTGAGCTCTGCTTGCAACTCGGAGACGCGATGACCTTGCTATTGCAGTGTTGGCTTGTGTTGTCGGGGGATCTCCTACTTTTTCTTTTTGTTGTGCTTCGTGCTCTGGTCAGTTGGCCAGTGTTTGAGCTTAGCAAATGGAAGAAGTTTGGGACTGTTCTGATTGGTTGCTTTGCATTGCATGTTGGATACCAATAACAGCATTTGCAAGCAGAGTGGTCGGTCTCTGAAGGAACACCTTGTCTGCACATCTGCCCTTTGTTGAAATTTATGATATCATGTTCAGCTCATGTTCTTTGCTTTGCAGCTATCGACGATATTGCCCATTATGTATGGAATTCCGCAAGATCTGAGCTTCACCGAGGTCTCTGCATGCTCACCCATCTTCTGGTATCTATGTAGCAATCCAAATGCATCCTCTAATACAACTGCAACAGACACTGCGAGACTTTCAGAAGAACACTTGCCGGGCATAAGCCTCACATACTCCGAGAACACATGTGCCGAGGTTCACGACGAGGCCAATATGGCAACTCTAGAAGTTATTGTGATTCGAGGTTTGAAAGGCAGACGATTACAGTACTAATACAAGACGAGACATAGTGATACACAAAGGAAGCAATAGATTGAGGAATAGCATTACGCGCCGAAACCGTACAAGGTTCTGCCTGATCGCTTCAAGGCGTAGACGACGTCGAGAGCAGTGACGGTTTTCCTAAACGCACGTCGAACACGTTAGTACAGTTAACCGTGGACAGACTAACGTAACGTACCTCTTGGCATGTTCAGTGTAGGTGACGGAGTCACGAATGACGTTTTCAAGGAAGATCTTAAGGACACCACGTGTCTCCTCGTAAATGAGGCCGGAGATACGCTTGACACCACCACGACGGGCGAGACGACGAATAGCCTATACAATGAACGAGCAATCATCAGCATACGAAGATATCATGAACGAGAACAAGTCAAGACATACCGGCTTGGTGATACCTTGGATGTTGTCACGAAGAATCTTACGGTGACGCTTGGCACCGCCCTTTCCGAGTCCCTGTGAGATGACGAAACACCCTCAGCCGTGCTTTCACTACCCCGAACGAACCAGAAACACGTACCTTTCCACCCTTGCCACGTCCAGACATTGTAGTGAGTAGTTAGGTGTCGTTTAAGTTTGAGGAAAGTTGTTGCGAGGTTGCAAGGGAGTTCGACGACTCCGAAACTGAGTTTGGTGGGTGTTGAGGGGTGGTGAGAGAGAAGATAGTGGTGGTTGAAAGAAAAGCTGGCCTGGCGCACTCTGTCGCGTATGTATACACGGACACGTTTGTCTTTGTTTGGCTCTCCACGTGAGGGCAAGTTAGACGCTTGCGGTTTGTTGACAGGACCTCCGGCGCTTAACCTAGTACCCGGCTTCGATCGCGCTAGCTTGGTGGCGCCCACACGATTGTCTCAGGTCCTTGGCACACACTGTGTACTGCAACCTCGAGACTAGCTAGCTACACACGACCCGCTCATTTCTTGCGCTACTCAGCCATACTCTACTATTCACTACAAGGGACTTGATACCTTTCTTACGATGTCTATCACAAAGATCGAATCTCTTTCGCAGCTGAATGAGATCCTTTCCAAGTCAAAGGACAAAGTCTCGGTAAGTATCATCATTAAGATCAAATATTCAACTATCTTAACGGTAAACAGGTCATTGACTTCCATGCCGAATGGTATGGCAACTAATGCAATGCAATGGTTAGCAAGTGCTGAATCACGTCATCCAGGTGTGGACCATGCCACATGATTGCACCTGTATTCGAGGCACTCTCAAAGAAATACACCAACGTAAACTTCTTGAAGTGTGATGTGGATAAGGCGAAGGATGTGGCTGCACACTATGGTGTCACGGCGATGTACGTCTATCTGCGACATATCAAGCGTGGTTGCTCTAATTCCTTCTGTTCTACCTAGGCCTACATTCGTCTTCCTGAAGGGAAGCACAAAGGTTGATCAGGTCCGCGGCGCAGACAGAAAGTCAGTATAACTATAAAATGAATATGATACCTCATACTAACTAACCTTGTACTGCAGTGCTCTTCAAGCTACAGTTGAGAAGTGGGCGGGTTCGTCTACTGGTAGCGTCTTCTCAGGCAAAGGCCATACGCTCGGTGGCTCGTCGTCTTCGTCCACATCTTCGCCTAACGTTGACCTTCGTTCCGCTGCTTCCGGCATCACAAACCTCGACCCTCAAGCGAAGATCCTACTTGGTCTCCTCGGCGCGTATTTTGTGTTTTGGGTCTTGAGCTGAATGTCGAGGCTGCGGGCACGAGAACCTGCATGTTGAGTCTGTATATTTATTTCGAGGTTTGTATCTATATATGTGGACATGTTGATTTTTTTTGGCCTGAGTGCGATAGAATGTTTTGGTTTTACGCATCGAGCCTGATATCATAGCAGTGCAAAGAAAATTCATTGAGTGGCTAGGTCTTATTGATCCCACGTGCTCCCAGGACAAAGGTTGTCGAGTTCATTCCAACTAGTAACCGAAACTTTGCATTTGGTCCATCTCTTCTTTGCTTTCAACTCCAGATCTTTGACCCGCGTGGTGCTAGAACTATAAAGGTCCTTGCGCGTATGTGGCAAATTATCATTCTTCCTCTCATACTCATCCTCACGCGCCGCTCACTTCAATAATCAGAACACGCCTCCACTTTGACTAACCATGCCCACCCAGGCGGTCGATGTCCCTTTCACAAGCGAACTTTTCTACCAACTTTCATCCATCGAGATGTACGGTCAGGAAAAGCCCGTCCTCGTGCTGAGCATAGACGAAGCCTATATGAAAGACTTACGTGCCGACGATCATCCTATCAAGGGCTCCACAGATAACTGCACTATTTACAAGGCCAAACTCCTCGAACGCGATGCGATAATTAATGGTACGGCAAATCCACTAACAGTTGCCGTCAAATGGGCTCGCGGAGACAGTGGTCTTGAACGCCTTAGGTGGGAACACCTCCTATACAGCAACAACCTATCCAACATTCAAGGTTTATTTGTCCCGAAGTGTTATGGTCTCTTCGCATCCCAAAGTGAAGGCGTTACGATCTCATGTCTTGTGCTTGACTGGTGTCAGAAAGCTCCAGGTGCCGATTCTATCATGATGGATTTGACGGAGTACAAGTACGTCACGTCTAGTCATTCCGGCCACAACATTATTGAAGCTAAATTCTTGGTTCAGTGTCAAGGCTTTAGCTGCTGTTCGTTATGTGCACAGCTGTGGTGTTCTTCTTGGCAACATGAGACAAAGTAATTTCATGCTAAGTGCAAATAGCGAGATTCACATAATTAGTTTCTCGCGTGCTGAACACCACACTTGTCTGGGAGAGGGGCATTGTGCACAGTTGCAGCAAGTGGACAGAATATTTCGTCCACGGCCAGGAAAGTGGCAGCCTGACTTTTCGGCTCCATATAGATGACTCGATAAACTGCACTTCTATGTTCTGTATCTAAAATAGAAATGTCTTTCACATGTCTTGTTGTACATTCTTTCGCGTAATGAATATTGATTCTCCAGGACAACGCGTACGAAACGCGTCGATGTCGATCAATCCAGTCACGTGTTTACGCGTCTGCTTTGTTCTGGTTGGCAGAGGCGGCGAGTCTTTACTTTCTACCATAACAACCTCTTGTGATGTCTTTTACATGACCTAACTGACCGTTTACGAAATATTTCACATTTACATTGGAGGTTGTCGCACAAGCCCTCCAATATCCCTAACTCCAAAATGTCGAAGACCAGTGAATCTCGACCACCAGGCCAAGAACCAGTCATCCCAGAAACCGTACTGGACGTGCCGTCGCAGAGATTGTACTATCTTAGTCTCGGGCTACTATGTCAGGTAAGCTCTGTCTCCATAGATGTATCTCTATGGTTCGTTTATATACTGAATATACACAGGCGATCAAAGTATTCGATTTCTTTCAACATCTCTTTCTTGGAGAACCTTCCAATAGCTCCGCCTATACGCGCAAATGGATCCTAGTCGACTCATTATATTGCTCTATACTTGCCGGTCTTCGAATACCACGGCTACGGTACACAAAATCTCTCGTGATCCTACAGATTGTCTCGCTATGCTTGCTGGATTCGTTTCTTTTTGGTAGTATTACCCTGAATCTGGGTATTGGAGGAAGTTGGAAGGTCTCTCCAGGAGTTGGACTTCCAGGTACGTCCGAGCATCGGCTTTCACGCTTTGTCTTCCAATAACTTCACCTTGTTACCGTCTTACAGGGAGGAGTGCTCTTCCATCCACAGGACAAGCCTTCCATTTTACCGACCTTATTCCTAGCTTTGGGCTCAGCGGCCTAATATCATCAGGTGGCAAGGATGGACACTTACTCGGCCAACACACCGTGCGAATGTCACCAATCAGTACTGGCCAGTTGAATCCCTACCTCAATACATACTGCATCGCAAGTCCAGGCCAGAGTGTTCTCATTCCTGTCCTTCTGAACAATACCAACCCTGTCAACATTCGATATACCTTAACGCCTCTTGGTTATGGTGCAGAGTCTACGGATAAAGACAAACCCAAGAATGGCGTTGTAGGGAAGATCGACAGGGTAGAGTTGTCTGCCAAGGACTTGAAGGCTATTGAACAAGCCCGACTGGAGACTTTGCAAGTTGCCAAAGTTGCCTCTGCCGTCAAACGTAATACGGAAGACTACGACGAGTATGATGACGATGAAGAAGAAGAGAAAACCACACCTGACCTTTCGTCTGGCTTCTCGCTTCAGAAGACGCAATCCATGGTACACATCCGACTCAATAAACCTGGCGTTTTGCGCCTTGAACGGGTGATGGACAGTTCCGGTGTCGAAGCTCGACTGGTCTCTTATACCGACCTTACCATCGCACCATGTCCTCGCGCAGAGTTTGCCGGTGATGGTACCTTGGCTTCGGGAGATGACCTTCGATGCGCCCCATCCACCCTTGGAGCTGGAGGCGGCGAAGAGATCCCACTCAAGATCAACGTCTACGGCGTCCCTCCGCTCAGTCTGCGTTGGCTCAAGGAGGTCAATGGAAAGACGGAACCTTTCATGGTCGAAGGTGTCGAAAGCGACGCTCATATACATGCCCATTCACACGATGAAGGAAGGAGGGTGGCGAATGCTGGTCTCAGAGCACCGGAACAGCTTTCCATCCCACTTACAATGACACTGGATGCGCTAGGGACCCATTCATATGTCTTGGAATCGGTGACAGATGCTCTTGGAAACACTGTGGCTGCAGGATCACATGCCCCAGGTGATCCCTCCAAAATTACTCGGTCGACTACTGTCCTTCGTCGACCAGCTGTATCATTCAAGGGATGTGGACCAGGCAACCCCGCACCCCTACTCATTGGTTCTGAGACTTTTTTGACTATATCTGCCAAGGACTCCGACGTGCAGGATGCTCCATGGGACATCACCGTGAAGTATCGCCCAACTGCTACTGAAGAACAGGCGAAGAGCTCCAAGAAGCTCAAACCTTGGACGCAGAAATTCACCACAGAGGATGAGCGAAAGGAGCTGCTCCTACGCACGAGCGCTCCCGGTGAATATATGATTCTTGGCATCAAGGGTCGCTATTGTGAAGGGGACGTTCTGAGTCCTGAGACATGCAAAGTGGTTGAGAAACCTTTACCGACTGCAGAAATCGAGTGGAAGAAGATACACGAGTGGTAAGTCTGTCCGACGTATATTGATTCTCTGATCCTCATTGTCTTCTTCCTTATAGCTCCGGTGACATTGGTGTCTCCGCATCCCTCGTCCTCCATGGTACCCCTCCATTCCAGGTCTACTATAGTATGAAAAAGGACAACGAACCCGCCCGAGACCTTGTCAAGACTTTCGCAACCTCCCGAGGTGATCTCACCATTCAACCCGAGCGTAGTGGCCACTACACTTTCACCTTCCTACAGCTCAGTGATGCAAATTACAAGAAAGTTGCATTGAAAGGACCGAGCATTGATCAAGTTGTACATCCTCCTGCTTCAGCCGACTTTGCTCGTCTGCCAGGACCTGGAGGAAGAGCTAAGAGGAAGATCAGTAGTTGCTCTGGAAATACCGTTGACGTCAACGTTGAACTGCGGGTAGGGTTTTTAAACGCATTTTTCTGTTGTATGCGCTTATGTTTCGGTATAGGGGACTGGTCCTTGGAACCTCGATGTCCAAGTTGTTGGTCCGAAGGGCTCTGATATCGTTCGTGTTGAGAACATCACTACACCTCAGAAGACGATTCAAGTCCCCGTACCTCCTACTATTGACAGAGATGGCGGGTCCTTCGAGATTGATCTTGGTGAGGCTTCCCAATTTCAATGGGTAACCTGCGTGCTAATTCTATACACATTCTAGTGAGCATTGAGGATGCATATGGTTGCAAACGGTCACTCTCAGTCCCCGGTATCACCGTTAACGTTCGGAGAGTCAAGGTAATCATGACGGTGTATCTGATCGAGAGTTGATACTGAGATATTAGTTGTGCAGCCTATCGCTAAATTCTATGGCACGAAGGAGATGCGGCGCACAACAATCTTGGAAGGCGAAAAAGCTCACCTACCCTTACGGCTCACTGGTGACGGCGTAAGTCAAGGTTCAGACACGTAACACGCTGTGTGCTAACCAACTATCTAGCCCTGGAGACTCAAATACAGACTCACTGAACAACCTGACCGTATTCGCACCGCGACCCTATATAATCCCAATGATGAGCTTTTAGTCTCGGAGAAGGGTGTCTACGAGATCATTGAGGTATTGCTCTCATAGGTCGTTCTCTATATTTCGCTCACTATACTTCCTTCAGATTGCGGACTCACAGTGCCCAGGGTCGGTCGTATCAGAAGCTTCAACATACCAAGTGGATTGGGTTCCAAGGCCGGTTGCCAAGTTATCCTCTGAGGTGCAGGCAACGTATGAACCCCACAACGGATCCCACATCTTGCCTGCTATATGTGAAGGCTTGCCTGACCACGTCGATCTCGATTTGACTGGTGAGTATGTCTTGATGTGCGGCTCCCCAGATGCTCATTCTCTTGTAGGTAAACCACCATTCCAGATCATGTACAACATCGCAAAAGACGCCGAGAATGGCGGTACCAAGATTCTCGATCAGCCCACCTTCAGCAGCATCCAACCCCGAACGAGGTTCCAGCTTCGCACTGGAGAAGCAGGCCGAATCTATTACGAAGTCAAGCAAATTGGTGATGCCTCGTACCCACTTGCTAAGAACAAGCAGGCAATTATTCCTCGCTCAGAACGTCTGCTCTTTGAACAGCAGGTCCTTATGCGTCCTTCTGCTCGGTTCAAGACGAACAATAGGATATCATATTGCATGAACGACGCGCTTACACCTCACACACCTCACGATATCAGTAGCGCGGATGGTGTCATCTTATTGGAAGGCACGCCTCCTTTCAGGTTGGCCGTCTCGATCTGGAACCGAGCTGCAAGTGAAACGCACAAGGAGATCCTTGAGCTCAACGATCATGTGTGGAGGTTGAATCTTGCAAACTATACATTCAAATCGATCGGTCCTCATTTAGTTACTATCGAGTCCATTCAAGACGCTTCGCATTGCGCCCAGACTGCCGCCGATCCTAACTTCAAATCTGTATGGATCGACGTTGCAGAGACTGCTGCAATCGTGCCCTTCGACAGACGGGAACATTACTGCGTCGGAGATGTAACTCAGTTCCAGCTCGAGGGAACACCGCCATGGACCATCGGGTATGTTGGAGTGTGTGTTTCCCGGAAGCCGTTTGTATGTTGACTGTTTCCTAGATACCGCGTCAATGGCAAGTCGCATACGCAGGAAGTCAAAACTTCTCCATTTGCTATTGTACAAGAACAGCCTGGCGAATTCGCGATTACCTCGATAGCGCATCAGCACAAGATGTGTAAAACCGCTGTCACGGACTTACGATATACCGTACATCCTCTGCCGGCCGCCCAAGTTGGTCACGGTAAACGTATCATTCAGGATATTCACGAAGGTCTGTATTTCTGGGTATACTAGTCATACGTTTGTCTGACTTTGCTTGCTTATTGCAGGTGACCAAGCCGAGATTGTGTTCACCCTTATTGGAGATCCGCCGTTCACGTTCACATACCAACGTACGGAGCTCGTTACGAAGAAAGGCGCACAGGGCAAGGTTCTGGAGACGCATACTGTATCGGGAGTCACCACAAGGGAGTACTCCATCTTCTCCGCTCTTGAAGGTACGACCTATGATTACGAATTCTCGTGGAATGGATGCTCACTGACTTCCTTTGTAGGCACCTGGACTGTTACTTTCATTTCAGATCGTTACTGCAGGTACCCTCCAGTACAGGACGGTAGTATGGAAAAATCGAGATAGTCATCTCAACATCTAGACAACAGTTTGCACACACCCAGCATAGTTTTCATCGCATAATTTTTGCTCTTGCTTTCGATATCTTGCATGATGAACTCCTCATCTTTGTATTTATATCTTATTTCCCTCACATCAAACCTGACGAACATCGCACATCCCATGTTACATTTGTGATGCATCTTAGAATGTCTGATATATTCTCCATGAAGTCCCTCAAATGTCTATGAAAGGTCCGACAGTCTTCAACCCTAATTATAACGAACCCGCTGGACCTAGACCTGAGCGGAAGAGATATAGAACCACTTGGAAACTGTAAAGATAAGATGGTGAGCAGCTAATAAACAGGCATCATACATCTTCACGTACTAGCAGCATCGACGGGTGCGGGGGGCTTCCTGGAGTCGGGAGGCAAGCTAGCGTAGACGGGGTCGCTCTTGCTAGTGTATCCGGGAGAGTTGGGTATGGTAAGGTTGCGACTGCGATGAGAGAAGTCAGTAAATAGAAATAACAGAGTCGATGAAAGGGACATACATGGAAAGGTCGTAAGAGGGAGTCTTAGCTGGGCTTTCGCCGGTAACCAGACGACGCCAGGCTTCGTGGCATTCATGAATAATTTCAGTAGCGTATTTCTTGTTCTTGGCCTCCCCAGAGAAAGCGAACTGGTTCTCGGGCTTGCCATCGGGGATCTTGTAGATCCTAAACACAATGATCGAGAACTGGAGGAAAAGATGAAGGTCTTGGTTTACTCACCTGAACCACTCATTGGTCGCACGAACCAAACCAGGGAGGTGACGCTCAACATCTTCAATGTCGTTCAACTTGGACGCAAGAGGGTCGTTGACGTCAACGACGAGGACCTTCCAGTCGGTCTCACCCTCGTCGAGGAGAGCCATGATACCGAGGACCTTGACCTGCTTGACCTGACCAACGTAGCCAACCTGCTCACCGATTTCGCAAACATCGAGAGGATCGTTGTCACCCTTAGCTTTGGTCTCAGGGTGGACTTGAACGGGGTCTTCCCAAGTCTACGTGGGTATATGCGCGTCACTCGTTAAAAAAGGAACAGCGAAAAGTCACGCAAACGCACCTGAGGGAAAGCACCGTAGTTCCAGATGTAACCATGGTGAGGGAAGCAGTTGCGAACATAGCGCAGACGACCTTTCTTGATATCCTGCTTGATGGGGTTGAAAGGTTCCTCCTTGGAGATCTCCATCTTAGCGTTGGTCCAACGAGGGATCTCGACGAGCATGTTGAGAATGCCATTATTCTTGTCAGCGAACAAGGGGATATCGTGCCACGACGAGATGACCTGAGGGCTTTGCTCAAGGAAAACGCGGTGCTCTGATCATGTATTGAGTTATGCGGCTCAAAAGGTTGCCATGTCGAACATACCGAGCGTGTTGGGAGCGCCGATGAGACGAGTGGTATACGCTGGAATGGGAGCTTCAATGTCAAGAACGACGACAAGGAGGAAAAACAGACGTACGAGACATGGTGGTGGTAGCAGAGAGATGTCTGATCTGCTGTGATAGCCTGCGCAGAGCAATTTGAGCGGTCATTCACGTTGGTCAACTGCTTTTTATTCGACAAGCACTTCTCGGACCCCCGTTTCTTGTGCCGACGCCAAAACGATTATCGCCCGATTGCCTAGATTATCGTATTCCGTCAATCCGATCTACATCCACAACATAAAACATATCCTTCACTGCAAGCGACATAACATAGCAACATAGTCTATCTGACTCTGCGGTATATACAACGATGGGGAAAAAATACATAAATCTATGCCAATCCAACTTCCTTCAAAATTTCCTCTCCAGCATCTTTTGACCTTGAATTTCTGGATATCCTATGCTTCGAAAACTCCCCGTTGAAATCCAAGCGAAGCAGCAGGCGTTCCACATGTCTTCTTACCTCTTCATCACCTTCCAGGCGTTTACCACGTTTTGGACGAATGAATGTATGGAAACCCGAGGCACTGGCCGTACTCATATTGTATACCATAGATTTCGAAGCATCTGCTGCGGCAGAGAACGGCTGCTGGGTCGTGGAAAGAGCAAGCTGCTCGTAGAAGGATTCTAGGAGCGTATTGAATGACTGTCGCATACGTAAGTCAGTACAATCGCAAACAAAGTGAATGGGCTACTCACCTCATTGATCTCTGCAACTACACCTCGCCGCTCTTCAACCATCTCACCAACCTTGTCATCTGCGGCGAGGCTACCCTCGAAGAGAAGGGCAGGCAGAATATCACCACCCCACCTTTCGACTTGGGCCACGAATTGCTCGCATACTTCCAATATCAGGCGGACGATAGCAGTGAGTGCGTTGTTGGATAGTAGACTTCCAGTCAGAAGTCTTTCGAGGTATGTGGTGTGAATAGTTCGAAGGGTGGAAAAATCCAGATGTGCATTTGAAACACCGGCGGAGGAAGTTGTACTGTGGGACGGAGGTAAGATGGACGACGAATGTGACGTAAGGGGATGTGACGTTGACCCATCTACAGGCGATTGTACCCCAGTGACCTGCCTACTGAGAGGGGGGATGGTTTTTGGAAGTAGTTGTCGTTTCATTCGCATGAACTCGACATCCACCACATCGGTCATCACATAGCCCAGCAGCGTATCCAGAAACCAGCTCATTTCCCTCACTAGACCCCATCCATAACGCAACAACTCTTTTCTAGCATTTAGGTCCTCCACCGTACCGCCTTCCCCAAGACCCGTCCAACGTCTACGAGCACGCTGAGCATTGGATAAACCGGCCCAACAGACATGTATACGCGTATGCGTCTTGCGAAGGGCCGACAAGTACGCAAATAGTGCGGCATAGATTTGCAGGTCTGATGACTGCAGGAAAAGATCCAATGGCCAAGAAACGGTGTAATTGAGGACCAAAGGAGTGCCGAGAAGGAGATCATCAAACGATGTAGGTTCGGTTCCTCCAGCGAGGGAGGTGGAGAGGTCTTTCACAGTGTGGGTATTCGCAAGAGAGGGTAACAAGGGTCGAAGCGGCCCAGATGGAAGGGTGAATCGAAGGCGAGAGAGAGATGCATCACGTTGAGCGGAGGTCCCAAGAGAAGAACGTAGGAGAGCAAGCTGCAAATCTTGTTCACGAATCATGGAACTAGGACCAGAACGTCCAGTTAGTCTTGAAATCTTGAGGCGTTCGAGTTCCCGTATCAGGGAGAGGGCAAACTCGCCATTTCGTAATAGGAAGTAGTTGGCTCTGTTAATCCAGGATCAGCAAGACGTAGGTTTGAGCAAGCTGAAATACTCACAATGAATCAACAGCATCTTCAACATCGTTTTGAGTAAGGACATTCAACCATAGCCATTCGCTCACAGTCACACGAATCTCTGCTATGATCCTGTCAAACTCGTATTGGTCCTGCGGAAGTACGCTATCGAGTAACCTGGTATGTTCAATAGCGACGCTTCGAGGGAACTGTTTCTCCCATTTGGCAGATTTGACCGTAGCAATGGCCCTTCCGACATATGCTATCGAGTTCCTGCTTTGCAATGACACACAACTCGGCATCGCACCTTCCAACAATATGTATTCCTTCGACGCAATAGGATCCGAAGGGTCCAATGATCCATGTATCACGTAGGCTTGTAGTTGTGTTATCCACACACGTTGTACGGCCTCACAAAGGCGGGCATAGATAGTTGAGACACGGTGTACGCCAGTATGCGAACGCGTCAAAAGCGTGTCAATAAGAGGACCGGGCTTCCTATACTTTTCATCTTCAAGTTCTACAACTAGAGACTCCAAAGCCACCAAAGGCGCATCCCATTCTGCAAATATTGCACGAATGGATGCTAAAGGTACGAAAGACCCTGCACCGACTAAGCTGGAATCGCGTCGTAGGACTTTAGCCTCAGTATCAATAACAAGATTTTCGTATTCATCTTTGAGTATAGTGTTCAGTCGGGCACAAAGAGCTGCTATGTAGCGAGAGGGGGATCGAGCAAGAGTCGTGGTCGCAGTCTTGATCTTACGGTACTTGTATGCGATCGCTCCTAGAGATTCGAGGCATTGTTTCTCTCCTGGATGAAGCAAAGGCACAAAAGCAGGATGGACAGCGTGTCCCGAGGGAAAGAGGGAGGAAGAGTGCCCGGCAAGGATGAGAAATATTTCTGCGATCATGTGTGTGGCCTGTTTCGTCAACGTGAATGCAGAAGTCGGGTGCCCATACATCTACTTACCGGCGACTTTTAGTCCTTTCTAATAACTTCTCACGATGGTCTTTCTACTCGTCGATCCCAGAGTCGTACTCGCCGTTATTGTCGACGAGGTGCACGTGTGGCCACTGTGGTATGAAGGAAAAGAGCAAGGCCGTCGGCGATCGCGTTCGGTTTCATAAGTAACTTGTAAAGCGTCACGGCCTCGATCATGAGTTCACCGAACGTTGCTGTACATCTTCACCAGCAACCACATCATAACCCTCTGATGTGTACGCCGTGACACACCCTCTAGACACTTGCCAGCAGAATTTACCACTACTATGGAGGATCTTTCAGACGATGAGCTCAATGTCGTTTTCACGCACGGTGCAGCTCCGGCGGCTGCGGCTGCACGACGAGGATTCAGCTTGGACGACGCCTTCTCGGATACGGACGATAACGAAGTCTCGTTTGACTTCTCGCCTGCTGCTCTTCGTGAGGAGTTGCACAAGAATATATCTCGCGAAAACGATTGGGATATTGAGCACGATGCACAGGGTTTCACTGCTAAGATCGGGTACGCTGTTGACCATGACCCAGATGGGTCTGTCTCGACTTTCGATATAAATGCTTCCATGCACGATGAACCTATCTCCCCACCTACCCAACAGCCACCTTCTCCCGACTCTCAGACCCTCTCGTATCCCTCACAATCGCAGTCTGGTTCCTTGAATGACGTACAACTCGCAAGCGAATTCTCCTCAGTATCCTTGTCCGATCATAATTCCCCCGCCGAGCGTCAGGACGAGCCGGACGAACCAGAGGAGGAGGAGCAACAGCATGCATATCCCGCTGTTCAAATAGAGGTGCACGCCGATGGCCATGCGGAAACCACCGTACAGGAGATCCCACCTCCCGAACCCGAGTCTTACACCGTCGAGGTTCCCGATGCATTGACACAAGATGCACCTACCACTGCCACAATTGCCTCTCAGCTCTATACGCCTCGCTCGACTACGAGTAATGTATCCGAATCTTCCCTTCCAATACCCTCGTCATCGTCCCTTCCTACACCATCTTCTGCCAAGTCCACTACCTCCGTTGCATCTACCTCTTCTTCTCGACACCGACCAACGAAATCGCTAGGTCCTAGTGCCCTGGACAAGGTCGTTAGCAAGACCCGACCGCATTTCTTACCGCCAAAACCACGCACAGAAGACCGCAAGCATTTAGCAGATTGGGAGAAGATGATGAAACAAAGTCGTGCAGCCGGTGAGTCTTTCTGGCGCATTGGCATGTCCTCTTGAATGAGTGTTTATCGGCTCAGCTTGCTCTTTGCTCACTATATGCGCTTGTATTTCATCCTTCTGTCTTCATGCTCCATTTGTAATATGCAGAAGAGAAACGGCGGAAAGCACTCCAGGAACGACGGCTAGCTCGTGAACGTCGAATCGAAGAGTCAATATCAATATGGGAACGCGAAATTGTTCCGGATTGGCGTGTGGTGAATAAGGATCCACATTTACGACGGATATGGTGGCAAGGTATACCCACCAAGCTACGTGCAACCATGTGGCAAAACGCTGTTGGAAACGAACTGGCGTTGAGCAAAGGTATATATGTTCAGCCTTGCTTTTGTTGACTATATGCGCTGACCTTCATATTGTAGACGCCTTCAAGGCATGTCTCGCGCGAGCGAACAGAGCCCTTGCAGCAGGTACTTTTCCTACAACAGTCCTAGGTCTCATAGAAGAAGACATCAAGACGACGCTTCCTTCATTACACCTCTTCGCACCAGAGACGGGTCCTCTTTATCAGGACTTGAAGGATATGCTATGTGCTTGGGTTGTTTCTCGCTCGGATGAGGGACTAGGATATGTCACCGGTGTGGCGAAGATAGCTGCTATGCTGTTGATCAACATGGCACCGGCTCAAGGGTTCCTTGTCATGAGAAACCTGCTCGAACGGCACTGTATGAGGTCATTCTATGGCGGGATGTCATCGAAGAACGATGTGAGCGAATTTTCACGCTCGCGATAATATCGTATACTAATGTATGCGGTTAGGTAGAAGCATACTACAGGTACCTGATAGCGTTCACGGAATAAAGCGCCTTGCTTACCCTCTTTGTAGGATATTTGACACCCTTCTCGCTGACGGAATGCCGAAAAGTTTGTTCGTTTACAATCCCTTCTGACCAGACTCAACTGATATCACCTGCAGTCTACTTTAATTTCAAGCAACATCAAGTCTCACCGTCTGCATACCTTCCCGACTGGCTGCTTCCGCTATTTCTAGATCATCTTCCTTTCGAAGCTTGCGCTCGAGTATGGGACGTGCTCATGCTAGAAGGTGATTCGTTTCTGTACCGAGCTGCTCTTGCTGTTCTCGCCGTCCTTGAGACTCGATTATTTTTCCCCGATCGAAGAGAGCTATTGGAGCTTCTAAAGTAAGCCTCTCTTCACATCACGAACTCACGATCTGACCAAGCATGTCATACCAGAGGTGAGAACAAAGCCGCACTTGAAGTCGCTCGACGAGACGGTCAATCACTAGACGGGGGCAAGTACGAGATATACGGTGTTGATGAAGAGACATTATGGGAGCGCATCGATGCGATGGACGAATGGTGGAAGGCAAGCACATGGACGAGACTTATCCAACGTGAACTTCCAGATTTGTAGCCTATACCTTTCCTTATTGCGTTCGCTGTTCACTTGAGTTACATTAGTAGTATTTATTATCATTGGTATTTTGGAAGCCGTCATCCACAAGGTCTCAGCATACGTTTCTCATGAACCCACAAAAGGTATCGCTCGGGATTCGAACGCATGACGATACTGCTGGTCTTGTTTATGTCTTATCATGTCTTACGGGGGACGACGCGCGGGTTTGGACTATGACCAGGCGCTTGCTACCTTCTGCCAAAACTGGAAAGAGTATATTCGAGTCTTCGTCTGGCTGTTCGGCTGTTCCTATGAAATGCTTTTCGTCCTCTCTTGCTTTTGATATTATTATTTTTTTAAGATCTTAATACAGCAACTTGACGCAGAGGTAGCGCGCGGGGCCTTGTCTCGCGATGCCGCCCTCCGGCAGCGAAGCAAGGGGGGCGGTTTCGCGAGACAGGGCCGGGGATCGATCGAGCAATGCTGCCCTCCCCGCCAGCGAAGCCAGAGGGGGGGCGGCATCGCGAGACACGCTATCCATCTCTTGCCGTTAACCTTGACCATGGCCGCTCTCAATCTCAATCACTGTGCTCTGAAACGTACGTTGGATCTACCCCCATAAGCCGACATGTATGCTGGACCTCCCAATGGTCAAGTCACCAGGGCTGCCCACGCATCTAGGAAACCCCGAGGTCCCTGGATCGAGACCAGGAGTTGCTAAGGAGCCTGACTTGGAACCATTGCAAGCGGGATAAATACTTTTTTTTTAGCATCGATTGCAATCCAGTTGTCAGCATGCCCTTTTCTGTATTTGATGCTCGGAACTACAGTGTAGGTCGGCTCCCTGTCCCCCGACATTGAAACACATACGCTGAACTCAGACTAGAAGAGTTCTGACTGAAAGAAAAAAGATATGGGACTATAGTAAATACTCTAAAGACCTATGAACAGTCAAAATCAGTACCATGAAGCTGCTATTTGTTGAGTGAACGACTGTATTTATTCCCGGCAAATGCATTGGAAAACCCGCTGCATGCATGCATTGTTTGTTAATGTTATATTCAAAAGCAATTGCCTTTTATAGACCATTAGAACCTTGCTACAGTTCGTATTTTCAAAACTTCTCGTAGACTTTTCTTCTTGACGAAAGTTGTTGACTTCTTCCAATGTTTACTTTGCCATCACTCCATTATCCTTGTGGTTTCTGTCATCGGCTGACCGTGACCTGTTTTAGGTTTTGATGAAGTCGAAATTGCCTAGTTCCTTTCTCGACTTGCCTTGCCTTAGCTTTTTGTCAGCCCCCAGATTTGTATCATTCATCATTCCCTTAGGACCAAGTCTATTCTAGTATGTGCTAGGCTACTCCACGTCTTGAAGGCCGAACCGACATCTCCCGCGTTCCCCCCCCTGCAAAAGATCGGTTATATGAGGATATATAAGGCACGCCCTCTGACGGACGAACTCCCGAATACAAGTATCTTCCAAGACACCCACAAGTGCTATATTGTCCCTCTTCTGATTAAATAATCTCCGTCTTTGCAAGTCAAGGCATCGAAAATGATGACCCTCGTCACATCTCGTACTCCAGTTAGCACATAAACTCTCCTTCAAATTCCACTCAGACCTCACGAGCTGCAGTCGCTCCTCCTTTTCAGCAGTATCCAGGCTGTGATGTGGAGTTTTGTTTGGATTCAGTGGCATCGACCAGGGTATGGAATGTTCATTATCTTCTACAATGAGTAAAATCTAACTGTTCCAACATAGTCATATCAATACACCTTTGAAGTCTGCTATACCTGAGCAGTTATACCAAGGCCATCATTAGATGCCTCTGCATTTGTATCACGAGGTTGCCATTGGATGCCGCCGCTTGGCACTGTACAACTGGAGACGACACTAATATTGTATAATAGCTCCAAAAGGACTTGTATCGTTATATCCATTTCTTTTGATCATTGTCCGGAGGATATAAGATCGTGGTTGCCCCCCAATGGTCGCCGCTTTTGGATCATGAGATAGAATCAGTTTCTACCCACGTCCGTTTGATACGCAAGTTTCTTTTCGGATTACGGCCTTCTTTCATGAACGTACGGCGCTTTGGAGAAAGCTCAATTTGGATGTGACAGAGCACTGGGCAAACAAGGTTCCCGTTAGGCTACATTGAATCGAATTTTCCATCTACGCAGTCCACGCGACAAGAGCCTGTTGGAGGTGCATTGTCAGGTCCGATAGCATTCATCGATCCATGCAGAACATCGCGCCAAGGACTTTTCGGAAAAAGTGTTGAGTGCTTCCTCCTTTGTTTCCTATCTTTGAAGGATCGATGTTGTGCAGCCACTTCAGGAATCATCTTCTGTTCCATATGAAGAGCTACCTCAAGAATTGTCACGTTTGAACCACACCACAGCCGCGCCTACATGTCTTGATACTATGAGCTGCCTCGCTCACCATGAGATCCATTATGCTCATATCCCAATCGAGACCATGAAGCGAAAAAAGTGCATTCGAAAATAGAATTTCTCAGCGCTATAAACTGCGACGACCATTAGTGACGAGTGACTTGTTCATCCGAGAAACGATAGGACGACCGAAATCAGGCCACCGGTACTTTATGTTTGTCGCTTCTTGAACGAAACATCAGCAATGGTCGGATACGTCTCTATAAAGACCTCCACGTTCTCAGGTCGAACACCTTCGTTCTCGAACTTCACATCGAACTTCAGAATGACGTGAGCCATCATCGTCTTGATCTTGTGAGTTGCGAAGAACCGACCGGGAGTAACGAACAGTGACTAGTTAATACCGCCAACAAGGATGTATCATGGAATGACGTAGCAAGCATGTTTACCGTGACCGAAAGCGAGATAGTCCGTAGACGTTGTGACATAGTTGTGCTTGGGAGTTTCCTTTACTTCACCCTCGCTTAAATCGAAGAACCGCCACGGGTTAAAGACCTCAGAGTTGGTATACCGTTCATCGTCGTAGTGTACGGCATTGATGGGTGCAGTGATGAATGTATTGGCAGGTACGGTGACGCCGTTAGAGAGGGTTACATCCGTCTTGCGAAGGACGTGAGCTACGACATATGATCGTCAGATTGATAATACTGCTTGATGTGGAATTGGACGCAGCAAAGCCAACGTCATTCATTCTCTGCAATTCCCGCAGGAAGCTGTCCAATTTACGGGCCGCCTTCTCATCCCGTGCAGCTTCACCATGTGGACTTCGATAAGAGGTCAAGAGACTCAGTCACGCATTGGACGATACACCGACCTCTGAGTTATAACATAACAACTCTAAAAGGCAGAGCGTTTAGAGACTGCAGGAAACTAGCAAATAAATAGACTTCCCTGCATGATGGAATCATTTGTATTTTCGATACAAATTCCAAGGTATCCTGAATGGTGGTTTGCAACCATGTCAAACCAGACTCGGGTCCTTGCCCTCTCAGAAAGGAAAACGCACATCGCAACTTTGACAAAGCTCGATTCTCGTGTCTGGGCGCCCAAGATGATCCAATCTGTCTCCGGCGTTCAAACGTCCATTCTGGAATAAATACAATGAATATTGAGGGTTAATAGGGCTTTTCAGATACCAAATATGCACCTGTGATATTCGTATGCACCGCAACATGGTAAAGTCAATATCCCTTCGTGACTGCATAAAAGAAATATCTGACTCGGATGTCACAGTCTATAACTGTCCGTAGACACCCTGGCGGCAGAGTATTGTATTAGGTTTGATCCACAGGCACGGTCGAGGTCAATTCATGGTTGTCAATATAGCGATTCAGCCTAATCCAACTCGCTGCAGCGTCACCAAGTACGTTGTCATAATCATGGCATCGACGGCTCTACCCCAGTTTAGCATGACCAAGTTTGACAAGGAGGGGCTACACGGTGGTTCTTCTCCAACTATTTCAAAGTGACCATCATGAAGGCGAACGAATCAAGATCAGTTGATCGTGAAGATGGACCTCCGGAGTGCGAAGTTTCAAGTCCAACATACCACCGGTTGATGATGAATTGTCATGGTGAAGAGTGGTAGTTCAAATTGAAACCCGGCGGCTTCCATGTATATGTAAGACATGGAGGCATGGTCCTTACATACCTTGTTCTTTTCTTCGACCCATCCTCGTCGCTGCATTTTCCACTTTCTTCGCTCTCTACGCTTTCGACGCCCATTCGAGTGTTCTTGAGACGTCATTATGCAAAGCCGAATCCACGTCGCGAGCCTCGTTATCGCTCTCGCCACACTTGTTTTACCTGTTTTCTCACTTCCACAAGAGCATCGGTGCGTCCGCCGCAATAGTCTCTGGACATGGCTTTAGTACTGTACTGATAGACACTTACAGAGATACTGCTTCATCCATGTAAGCATACGCCCGATTTCGCCCGCCAAATACAGGGAATCACTGAGCTGCGTGGCTATGTAGCGAAGCAGACCTTAGTAAATTATTCCTCGGTCATAGGGCCTTCAAAAGACACCCATAGAATCAGACTTACAAAAGTTGGGCTTGATGGCAGATGGGTCAGTGTATAAATATACTCGTTTTCCGATGTACACCTTACCGGTATACGTCATTTCTTCTCAGCTTTGGGCGCCGATGTGACATGCCTTCTGGCCAAACCTTGCCGTGTTCGGACGTACATTACTTGTGTTGTTATGATTGAGCCGTATCCTTATTACCGTTATATTCTTCTGTAAATCATAATGCGAGTAGCCATGGAAAATGTATTGTGATGTCTGATGCGATACTCCGGAGAGGCTGAGGGCTCGCCTGCTCACGATATACTGCGGAATGCGGTCCGCAATACACGTTTCCGAAGCGCAACACCATTGGCTTGACCAACTGAAACAGGAAGTCTGAGAGTGGCCAGGGAGGCGGCCAACGGGTACTGGATAACAGAACGGATGCTGACCAGAGAAAGAAAATGTTTGCAACGCGACGGATGTGCAGTGCACGAACATCAATCACCATAAATGGACGCGATCGGGGAGTAGGGATTGGCTGGTGTAGCTTATGTAAGTGCGGGCGGTCAAAGCTGACAGCTGCGGAGGACAGCGGCATGTCGGCGAGGAGCAGCTGCGCCTGGCCCAGGACTCAGTTCTCCTCAGCTCTCATCTCCTTATAACCCCCACAGGCTGGGGATTTTCTTGCTTTTACTCTTCCTCCCTCTGTTTCTGCACATCATGAGAGACTCTCTGCCGCTTTCGCTATTAGCTCTGCTTTCCCTGCTCTCGACAACCGTCAATGTTCTCGCTGTGCCTAGTGCTGTCTCGGGACAGTCGATCCCAATAATACGACGTTCAAGAGTCCCTCAGAATGATAAAGATCTTGCTGCCTGGGCTCAGAAGCATAAAGCTTATATTGAAGCCAAGTACGGCTTCTCGAAGCCTACAGAGAAACGAGCAAATGGCTTGAATCTGTGAGGCTTACATTGCTTGTGTGGGAACTCGCGGGGAATTTCTGACTTGACATCTTTTTAGACTTACAGATCTTCAGTTTGACTCGAGGTCAGTGATTCAAATCCTTGCATTTGCATCGTGCTAAACGTGACGTCATTTCAGTTATTTCGGCTCAATAGCGGTAGGAACTCCTCCAACGACTTTCAATGTTATTTTGGATACGGGTTCATCGTGCGTCTACATCGCTCCTTTTCGTGCAGTTGGAAAGCTAATACTCATTGGATAGTGACCTCTGGTTGTCAACTTCCACAAGTGAGAGCACATCCCGTCAAGGCCAAGATAATATACCGCAGTATAATCCCTCATGTAAGAGGCGTGGCTCGCTTTCCCGTCGTTTCATAAATTAATTTCTTCATGCAGCATCTTCATCATTTGAGCAAGTGAACGATACATTTTCCATTCAATACGGCTCCGGTGCAGCGAAGGGTGTCCTCGGAAAGGATACCGTCCAATTCTCCGGTTTCCAAGTTACCGGCCAGACATTTGGTCAGCGTCATTGATCTGGTTATGTGAATAATAAGAACTCATTATTTATTGTACTTCCTCTTAGGTTTGGTAACTCAGACGACAGCACAACTGCTGTCAACTCCACTGTCAGGTCTGATGGGTCTGGCATTCGAGGATATTGCATCGTCAGGTGCTACGCCATTTTGGCAGACACTTGTCAACACCCCCGGAACCCTTGACAGTCCGCTCATGGCATTCCAATTATCACGTTACACCAACGTTACTGATGCTCAACCACTTGAGCCCGGAGGAACGTTCAACATTGGAGCTGTGAATAGCAGTCTCTACACAGGCGACATCGATTACCAAAATACTCCCGATGGTTCACCTGGGTATTGGATATTGGAGTTGACGTGTGAGTTATTTTTGTCCATTTGGTGACGGTGATCAGAAACGAGGACTAAATTGGACGGACGTTTGTTTAGCAATGAGCGTGCAAGGGAACTCAATTTCTCTGCCTTCTGGTGAAGGCGCTTGGGCTGCCATCGATACTGGAACTACAGGCGTTGGCATGCCCGCCGAGATTGTACAGAACATCTTCGCTCAAGTTCCCGGCAGTCAACCTGCCGGTGGGCAGTTCGATGGTTACTACACCTATCGTATGTCACCCCCATTCTTCACCCTCAATTGTACTGTACTAATCATATTGCCGCATCGTTCTCTTTGCTGTTTGTGATCAGCTTGTTCCACCAACATCGATGCCCAAGTCGGATTCGGCAACAGTAGCAACAGATGGACGATCTCCTCTGCGGATTTTGCCTTCCAACAGCTCGAGGATGGTAGTTGTCTTGGTGCCTTCTTTGAGTTGCCATCTAGCTCGGGCACAACGACTCCACCTATTATCATTGGCGATACTTTCCTTGTAAGTCCTCTTCACTCTGTACGGGCTTTGCCCCCCCTCTATGTCAGCGAACTTATCCTTTGACTTCGTATCAGAAAAATGTATACTCGGTATTCCGGGCTAGCAACCCACCATCAGTTGGGTTCGCCACTCTCTCATCAACCGCTGTGTCTTTGAACGGTGCCGATGGACCTGTACCTTTGCCTACTATAGTTTCTTCTCTCTCGGGTGTGAACCCAACTAGTACAGGTGTCTCCGTTGGTACTGGGGGTCAAAATAATGGTGCCTCGTCAACGACGAATGGAGTTCACGTCGCTGGGCTAGCAGTGTCATTACTGACTGCTGTAGCCCCATTGCTGTTGTGGTAGGAATAACAATAAGGCCATAACATACTTCCTTCCACGTCGCGGAGAGTATACTACACTGTTGTAACGTTTCTTCAATCCGTTGTGCTCTCAAACGTGTGTGCTATCCGGACGTTGTCGTTGATGTTGTCTTATTTCTTGTTTATTATCGCCATCTTTCCCCTTTGCATCCTTATTATAGTAGAATATAACGTACTGGGACTTTTGCATCCTTATCATTTCACTTGATGTATATATGTGTATGTTGATTGTAGGTTGTAGCTACTTTGTAATGGATTTACGAGGATGGATCATAAGCCTCATCGTTGCCTTGTAAAATGCGTGTTAGTAGAGATAACATTTTTCGTTCGCCTGAATAACGGGTAAGCTACGACTCGGAGGATGAGCAAAAGCGGAAAATCAGGGACATGGTAATGCTACTCTGTTCTTAACGGTATACCTATGTCAGATCCCCACATTGACCATCTTCACTCAACCCACTCCCAATGAACGGGAGACTCCACGTTCCATTCCTCATGTCTAAGCTGCCTGGACACCTTCACCTTTCTTCCCTCAGCATTAATGACCTTTAATTCAGGTCTCACATGTGGGATATAAGGCGCACCCAAACGTCCGGATGCCTCCAAGCGTGTTTTGACCGACCTATGAATTTTGAGACCTTCTTTCATTTCGCTTCGTGGGATCCTCCTTCCCTGGCCTCTGTTCCATCTAATATGCATATAGTCGAGCGGAATGAGGAAGATGGAGGAAGGAAGGTACTCACAACCACGTATACCCATTATCATCCATCTTGTGAATAATCGCCTTTGCAGTCTTGATTCTCTGCGGGATCCACTCCAAAATATGCCAAGTAGCCCTCGCTTCCAGTTGATCATAAAACGGACTCAAGGCATCCTCCAATTCTTCCCTTGCTTCATAATCCTCCGGCTGTCCAACCAACTCTGATCCATCAGAAGAATCCAAATACGCTAGCGGGCCCGAACCGGGAGGCACTAGAGATATGAGGGTCCGCCTTTCGCTCCAGAAGAGTTGTTTGAGGGTAGTAAGACTATAAGATAAAGACTCTGAAGCAAATTTGACGGCGACGCGAAAGAAGAGGGAGCCACAGCCGTTTCTGTATTTCGGATTCTTCGGTCGAGGGACGTTTCGGGGAGAGTAGACTTTGATTCTGGCTGGGATGTCTCCAAGGATGAGATCGCCATTGTCGTTGGTTGTCACTCGTAGTCCAACTTGTTGGAGTTGAACAGCGTCGAAGAGAATACCGTTGTTGCAACGGAAACATTCGCGGATCATCCAGCGGAGGGGGATACGCGCAAGGCTGTGAGGGGTTCCATTAGGGACGGAGCCACCACCAACGTCTGCGAGACAGATCCACAACTAAGTGGTTGCCTACGGAAGAGTCACCGTAACAACTCACCTGTATGCACTCCGGCGAACCAGACCTCTTTCACATCGGTCTTATCAACTGCGTTCCTACGGTTGATCAAATCTTCGTACGCCTTTGTCAACGTCAATGCTCGTTTAGGTTTCTTGCGATGGAAGAGCATATGTTTCTCGTGTTTGGGCTTTTTCTTCGGGTTGTCGACACAGAATTGGGGTAGAAACTTAACGCGACGTTCATCCAGAGCTAAGGCGTGTCGAAGGTAGCGAATACCGCTGTTCTCGTGGATGAAAGGGAGGTATCGTGGAATCACTCCGACAGATGCGACTGTGTCCCTGTGTGGGTGTAAATCCGGCTATATCATAGTGAAAGATGGGAAGACTTCGTACCAAACCCCGAGAAACTCGATCGTGACGGCACGACAGAACGTCTTCTTGAACATGTGACTGAGCTTTAAACCTTCCTCATCCTCTCTCGCGTACATCTCGTACGCAAATGGGAGTTGTTGGTGGTTGTGTATAGGGAGCAGTCCGACCTGGGAGGGCGTGGTCAGGTTCCTCATAGGAAGAAATGTTGAATGGACGGGTGTATTCTGCCATACCTTGTGTAACATTCCAGCGAGAGCTCGGGCAGTGTATGCACCACGGGAGAACCCAAATATACAAATCTTGTCGCCATGAGTATCTGAACGATGGCATAAAATTCATGAGGCTGGAGGTGAAGGAACAAGTCTTACAGTTCTGCATCAAAAATGCGTATCCATCTGTTTATACCCATAATCAATCATTTTGTTCACCACAACTGACTTCATTACAGACCTTTCACATGACTTGGTAGGTTCCAAGCCAACATCTGATCCAATACCAAGGAAACGCCATTTGTGACCGGCATAGAAAACAGAGGATCAGTGTACGTGCCGATTCCCGACTATTGGGGAAACTACGTCTTGAAATGGATCCACCAGGATGACGGAAAATTAATCTCACCTGATAGTACACGAGCTGTTGCGTGTTATCATCCTTTTTCAACATAGACAGGAACTGCACGACGTTTGAATTCTGGAGATAGACGAATGAAAATCAACTTGAATGATACAGCAACGACGTGCAAGTCGGTCTTACATCTTCATCGAACTGGTCGCCCGTTCCATCGAAACAAAGAACTAGGGTCCGTTGACGCGGTGAGCTTGGAGGTGCAACATGCGCAGCATCTTGTGCTGTAATCCAAGAGCGTTTCTTCTCGCCCCAGTCATGTTCCTGTCCAACGCAAGTTATCTCCGAGTCCCCACTGGCAGCCGATGAAAGTTTAGGTAATTGGACATTGGAGCGATCACCGACGTTGCTGAGGTCAATGGCGCGTTGAAGCGCGCTGTCAATGAGCTGCGGCTCGAATATCTGAGTATACACAGAAGGGCTCGAACTGAGCACAGGAACGTATTGAGACTGCGACATGCCAGTCGAGAGCCTGCCCAATATTGAGGAGGGATTATCGACAACATCAGAGCAGGATAATCGTATTTAAGCCATCGGAGGCGAGATGACATTCGCTGTGCGCGTGAACGCGTTAAGTGGAAATCGATGTTTACAAAGAGGCTTCTGGTTCCATTCGACAGTCATTCTGCCGACGTCCAGAATGCTGCCAACTGTAAATGGCGAAACCTGATATTTATCAGTAATCACTATATCAAAGCGGCGGTACGCCATGAAGATGGCGAAATTTAACCTGTCCTTTAAGCTTCATGAAGCTCAAGTCAAGGCTCAATATTACCGCAAACTGAAGGGAGCGAAGCTGAGAGGGTTGGGAGACGTTGACGCTCATTGACAACCTCTCAAACTACTGATCGATCACGCTATGGACCAGCATCCAACTTTGGAAGGGATTGTATTAAGCCGACCTACACTAAGCTGCGTCCTAACTTAGCAAACGAAGCAAGAAATGGACTAAATAAAGCCAATCATTCTTCTTCCTGGGGAAGTGGATCTCGACAATCATGTCTCACATGTCGAAGGAATAACATATTCCTCTCTACCAGTAGTGGCAGCTTCTCCTCGAACAGAGAAACAAAGTCAAAACCGTGTATCCCCTGCACAATTTCTCCGAGATAAATCTCCACAAAGTTGGGAAGTACGATCCGGTCCAGCCGGAGGAGTGCCTTTTGCAGCCGAGACCAATCCATGGAGACCTCCAATGGGTTCTGCTCCATCGCATGTGTTACACATATCCTGAGAGCGACGATCTCTACAGTGGTAGGAATACCTTCGAGCACTCGAATCAACGACTCGCATTCGGTATGTCCTGGGCTATTCGGTATGGTAAGGTCCTCGGAGAGCGGGGAGATCAGCGGAGCCTGGTAAACGAATGTTTTCAGGTTTTGGCACGCAGATAGGTTAAGTAGTTGCCAAGGCTTCTGCTCGGTTCCTGAGAGCCCTTCCTATCAGTATCGCATTGGCCTACGGTCATACAAATTGAACGTACCTGCGAAAGGAATGGGGTCTTGAAACAATGCCACTGAAGACACCCGAAGATGTTCGAGCTGCCCTCCGCATGCCCGAATAAGAAACCCCAGGGATTCCAGATGAGCCCACCGCGATACGGTAGCTCTCAGAAAGGTCAGTGAATGCGCCGCGATTGTATTCTGTAAAACGAAGAGAAACCCCGAGTAATAAGATGAAACTTTGAGGGACTGTATCTTGATATCCTGGAGCACCTCCGGGGCCAGGGAGGCCAACTCGTCTTGTCGAGCTGCGATATGTCGCGATTCGATCACGTATCCCATCATAGGTGTCTTGCCATTGGATTTTAACGCAGGTTTACAGTCTAGGGTTTCGACTTCTGAAAAGAGGTTAAGGATGTTCACCAGTGCGTGGTTGTAATCTGAGAGTGATGCTTGGTCGAGTCTGATAGTTAAGCTCTTGAGTGAGAACTTCCTCTTGTAAACCAACCATGCCGTCGGGTCCAGAATCCTGACAGGTGTAAGGTTAAGGCACCGAAGGTGTCGAAGGCCACGAAGAAGAAGAACGAGGTGTTTCATCTTCATATTAACAAACCGCAACGTGACGTCTTGTAATGGGAGCTGGAATGTTTGACCTAGAAGACCTTTCAGCACAGTGACAGTTCGCCTTGTGTCGAGGATTGTCTTGGCGGAGCATAAGAGAAACCGACTTCGGTTGAGCCATTGTCGACACACTAGCGTGCAGACCTTTAGAGTTGGTCTGTCTTCACAGAGACAGTCCATGATCTGGTCATGGATTTCGGGAGGGAGATGAGGAGCACCAGGAGCGTTGTTACCTAACGTCATTTACGAATTCCGTACCTGCGGCAAGAGGTGAATGACAAAGTAAAAGATGAAGGGAAAGAACCTTGTGGCGCTGGTAAACAACTCGCAATGGAGAGTCAGTCCCGTGGCGGCCAAAGAACGTCACGAGATGGGCCACAGCAAATATACACACACTAGTGTGTAATAACCTGTATAACGTCCACATATTAACAATTATAACAGCCCAGTAGCCAGCTACAGACCCACACGAATTCAAGGTAGGGCTCGGGGGAAAGTTAATGGATTTGAGATTGGAGCATCAACACACTCTCTACGCGTTTCATAACACTAATGTCATATCGAGAGTGTGTTACATACAGCACGGCCCGCTCCATCAACAGAGGTAAGTTCTTGTAGAGACGAGCCATAGGGAAACTGTCGTCATCAATCGCAATTTCTCCAATATGGATGCTCACAGAGCCCGGAGACAAAATATGGTCCGATCGTAGTAACGCCTCCTGTAACCGATACCAGTCCATGGAGACTGCAATGGGATTCACCTGGAAGGTATGCCAAATGTATATCTCCAGCTGCACTTTTTCAACTGTGCGAGGGAGAGTTTCGAGCATTCGAATCAACGACTCACAGCAAGGCGAACCATCGTTCTCATCTTCTGGGCGAACGAGCGATGGTGCATAGAATAAAGTCTCGAGCTTGCAACAAGATGATAAATTGATCAATTCCCAGGCTTTTTGCTCTTCTTCTACAGAACCCTCTTGTTCAGTATCACAACGTCACGTATGAATTGCAGTGAAACCACGAACCAAGAAAAGGGTCAGGGTCCAGATATAACATTCCCAAGACTATACGAAGATGTTCAAGCCGACCTCCGCAGTTGTTGATGAAGAGACCCAATGCTTCGAGATGAGCCCAACGCCAGATAGTGACAGCCAACATCGTAAGCGTGCGAGCGGTTGGTATATGACGGACGTAGAGAAAGCCACCGTAGTACGACTTCACTTTCTGCGAGTGCACCTTGACGACTTGTGGTACCTCCAGGACTGCGAACTCATCTTCTCGTGTCGCCAGATCTTCCGATTCAGCAAGGCCGCCCGCCATATCCGTCGTCGTGTCGAATCAAAGAGGTGAAGGATATTGACGAGGGCATGGTTAAAGTCCGATAACGAGGTTTGCTAGGGAAGAAGAACGAGCTTATCGAGGGAAAACTTTCTCCTCCACCATGGCCGTTCTCTTGGGTTCTCGATACCAGAATTTCTTAGGCGACGAAGAGAAGGTAAATCATTCAAAAGACGAATGAGTCAATCCATTTTCAGTGGGGCGCCGGGATCAAGATTCTGCAATTCAAGTCTTAATCCTGCTCGGTTGATTCCATCTAGAGTGGTAGGGATCCGTTTACGATCGAGGAATATACGCTGAGAGCACAGGATAAATCGACTTCGGTCGAGCCGTTGTCGACAGACCAGGGCACAGGCCAGGAGAGATCTCTTGTCCCGGTAGAGGTAGTCGATGATCTTGTCGGTGATTTTAGGAATACGACCAGTATAAGGCGTGTCTATTAGAGACCTGAGGGCATAGAATGGTTGAAGTGCCGTGGGTGGCATGCAAAATTTCGATCGCGGCTGCATAGTGTACGAAAGAAAGAGTCATTGGGGAGACGTTTAGAGAGCAAAGTGACGTGTGGACAAGGTGTGGACGAAGAGGTGAGGCCCTTTACTCACCACCAACCGAAAAGGTTCCATAACAACGCAAATGAGACAGAAACCTAGGTTTTGACTGAGTCGTGCATCAGCAAGGACATAACTTAGGAAGACTCACGTACTCACGAACCAGTGGTCCAGGCGTACTTGTACAGCGGGAATAGCATGTTGGCCATCGAATAATGAGATCAATCCAGTAGCAGCTAGTATAGTGACTGTATAAGGGTCAGACAAATAGGCCTCCGTTGAAGGCCAGCAGTCACCGTCGGACAACAAAGCTTTCGGAACAGCGTAAAGGATGGAAGCGCCATCCCGCCATCTGAATCAAAGTCGGCCGTCGGGCAATCGATCGATCAGCGCCTCCACTCACCAAGAGTTTGGACCGAAAGAATCTGTTACATTCTTATTTCCACCATGGCTGCTCAATCGAACATTCCACCACTTGGCAAATACCTTGCATCTACGGGTATGTCTATGATTTCTATGCTCTCCGACTTTTAGACTGATATGCAGGAAGACAAGAAAACACGCGACAAAGCGATAAAGAGTCTCGCTACATTCCTCTCGGACCCTTCAAAAGATGAATTGCCAAAACTCGAGATGGCAAAGTTGTGGAAAGGGATCTTCTATTGTATGTCTCGGGCTGTGGCGTTCTTAGGTGACGATACTGACTTGGTGGTAGGTTTCTGGATGTCAGACAAACCATTGGTGCAACAAGCACTCGCTAGTGAGATTGCTGAAATATTGTTGACTATCTCGAGTACTCCTGCTTCTCTCGGATTCTTGCGTGGGTTCTGGGAGGCTATTGTTAGAGAATGGAGTGGGATAGACAGACTCCGGTACGTCTGCTGCACTCAAACTCTTCCTGCAAATGTTTAATTGAATCACCCTGTCAGCATTGATAAATACTACATGCTCGTCCGACGCTTCGTCAATGCCTCCTTCCGACTCTTAATGCGAGCTGAGTGGGATGAAGCCTTTTGTAAGGAGTATATTTCTATCATGACTGATCGCGGTGGACCGCTATGGTACGTTCCTTCGTAACTCTCTTTCCATCTCTGGTCCTCATCTTGCACCATTATAGTGCTGGTGATAGCCGCGTACCCTCAAGTCTCGCATACCATATTGCCGACATCTACCTCGAAGAATTAAACAAAGCCATCGCGAGGCCACCGATACCATCACCACACCCTGCACCTCTGTGTTCCATTCTCTCACCTTTCTTCACCCTTGCCGCATGCACACCTTCAAACGTCACCTACCGACGAATACAATCCGCTGTCATTGATCCTTTGTTCGACGCTCTGTCGGCTGATTTCGACAAACCAGCAGTGCAAAAATGTACCAAATCATTGACTTCAAGCTATGAGCATATTATTGGGAACTCCTGCGCGATGGACTCGAAAACGGAAGGCATTTTGGACAAGGATGCGCTGAAAAAGGTTCTGTTGAAGCAGCTGTTCAACGTCGCCAGCGAACAGGATACCAGAGATTCGAATAGGCGAAAGTTATATGCTGTGTGGAAAAGTCACATGGACGACAACGAGGGAAATGAGAAGCCCGTAGATGCTAGTTAGGTTGATCTAGGTGAATATATCGTCCCTTCACTAGACCTTACACGTAACAGGATTAATTGCGGTGTGCCACCAGTAAGGACAACTTTCGCTGCATAGAGAAATTTGGCTTACAGTGTAATTCACTCTCAATGGCTGAAGACAATGCTCATCTCCGAGAGAACTCAAATTGCCCTTGCCACTAACAATGTTTTTGAATGAAATGAATTAGTCGATATCGATACATGTGTCCTCCGTGATATGGTACAATTATAAGCAACTTCCTGTAGGTCTTTCTATCATCCCCCCAATACTACGCAGATCGTCTCATGTGTATGCGTGTGTTTGACCAAGATGGCCACGGGGTATAGCAGACTTCAAAGGGGTCTTGATATGACTGTATGGGAAACGGAAACATTAGCATTATACCTCGAGAATATCATTAAGGGCATATGGACATACCCTGGTTCATGCCATTGCCGCCATACGAAACCCCACAATACGACCTGGAGTGTCCCGAAAAGGACAAGGGACTGTACGGCGGGTTAGTCTCACAGGCGAGATAGACAAATATGGAATGCATTGTACTTACTGGAGTACGAGAGACGATGAGGTTCCTCATAATGGGATATGTGGCTCGGAAGTAACTGACTAGTGGATGTCTAGTGTGGGGTAACTGAGACTCGATGGGTGTTTGCGTTTGATGGACCTCCATTCCCCCAAATGGCCCACCTTTTATACACAGGCCACCCCGTCCCATTTCCTCGTCCATGCGGAAAATATCGGTCGGTCATCGAGAGGGTTCGGAGAGTTGACATGGCCAGTAGAGGCCAGAGTGGTCTGACCTTCGGACAGAATGATAATGAATCGCGCCCTAACAGCACGATATTGTAAGACAGACTCGACTGGACATGGCTGGAATGATATCGAGCTCATTTTTCGTTAGCAGACAGTACCAGATAGAATACGGGATGGGTCAAGAACGAGCGAGACGTACTGGACAAATGCCGGCCGCTCTGGACCGACAGTATCACGCGCCTACAACTTGTTCGAGATCGATCGCAAGTTCAACTGAATCTCTTACCCTGACGTCAATGCTAGCGAAACTACCATGACTTCTGAGCTAGAGCTACGCAGATTCAATATGCAATCAAGTTTTATGGGTTGCGGACCAATGGCTGGCACTAGTATATCCCATTGTGCTGGTGACAGGCATCTCTGTTCCTTGTCCTTGCAGCACGGTTGGCTTTATCCACTGCAAAGCTGTACTGTCCATAATGCCTACTCACACCACATATCAGAGCCTCCATGGTCAGTATGAATCGCCTTCGTGTTCATCCCATAGGCTACCTGTACTTTCCTACCTCACACCTCTCATCTCAACTACCACATTTGCTCTCGTCATCCTGGAAGCTTTCTAGCAGCAATATCAAACATATACCAACATTTATACATGGATGCCATCGGAGCAATTCTCAACCTGACATCATTGATAGAGCTAGCATATAAAGTTACCGCCAATCTGTCTAAATACTACTCAGACGTCAAGGAGGCGGAGAACTCGCGTCAACGCTTCACTGAAGAGCTTCGTGCTGTCGTTCAGACATTAGAATCTCTGAAAGACCTTCACGAACGATTGTTGCAGCAATCTTCGACTGAGAACCGGATGCGCTTGGCAGCTTTGGATCCGATTCTGCGAGAGAATTCGGCTCAGACGAGCTTCTACATGAGCCTGAAGGATTTCATGGAGTGGCTGGAGAAGAAAACCGCTACACAGAGTCGCATGGGTCGCCGGGAGAAGTTGAGATGGCCTCTAAAAGGCAAGAAGAAAATCGAGAAGCTTATGCCTTAGCTTCACCGGCACGAAGCACAATTTATGCTCGCGCTAACGATCGCATTCTGGCAAGTCATGTGAACATTTTTTTTTCCGGATATGATTGTTATTTATATGGTATACTTAGGTATACTGGTGCGGATGTCGAGCACACTGTGGACCGGCTTGACAGCAAACTAAATGGAATGCAAGATCGTCTCAGTTACATTGAATTGGCACAAAGCAACATGTTGCCGCTGACTTCATTACACAGATCAGCCGATCAGCGAGAGAATGAAGAATTAATGATAAACGCAAGCTCGCACAAAGAAATATCTGGAATATCCACTAATTTTCCTCAACATGTTCAGATATCCCAGGTTGAGGATCAAAAATGGACCCAATCATTATACTCTTATGATGATCACCACTCTATGCTATCAAGTGAACCTGAAAGGAGGCAAGTGAAGAACTTTCATCATTGATATCAAGAGAGAGACATGAGGTCCAAGTTTATAGACCACGGCAACCGCGATTCAAGTCTGAATACTCCCATCAAAAGGTTGAGGCCTCCGTTCAAGCCAGCGAACATCTGCCGCCGTGCTCACACTCTTCATACTTCTATCTGGACGTGCGACACTGTAGGGTGGAACTGGGCCCATTCCTATTTTTTTTTCCTGGTATCGGTGTGTGGTTGGCCGGGTGGCCTTGCTAGTAGGCTGTGACGCAATGGTTGCACAGCGTCTTTGTATCTGAACATGTTGCAGGTCGGACTCTGTTTGACTCAAGAGCCGTGATACTGAGATTCGAAATAGCAGATATACCCAAGACGCATCGCAGTGAAATGTGTACCTAGAATTACTTATAGACATTATATACCTAGATTTGGATGCAGAATGGGATTGGAATATAAATAAATGCACAGAAATACACAACGTAGCGCAGTCGCAAGTAAATCAATCCTGTCGATGAGCACCAAGAGGAAGGGATGTGTCGATATGCATCATGTAAGTCACATCAGGCACTGTCGTTTTGCAGATTACTGTGAAAGGCAATTGAAAGACATCGTGGGAAAGCGTTGAATATCAGAGGATTACGTCGTTAAGCAACTTACAATCTCCTCGTCTGGTTCCCCGTCATCAAGCTTGCCGCCAGCTTCAGTCGCGGATACATATACGTGATGCAGTGGTACTCGATATTTAAGTATTGAATATCTAGGATCCAGCCTGATGGCTCTCGCAGAATACCTAGTGACGTCAGGTGGTGACTGGTGCCGGTGATTTGCCACCGACGTGTTAAACACTGCCGAAGTGGAAAAGCGACGCAGGGCGGAGTACATGAACCCCACCATGGCTTCTGTATGCAGGCTGCTCTTTCATTCTCGCCATGGACTCTGTTCCAACCTCAATGATTCCCTCAGCAACTGCGAGGTCCCCAGATGAGAGCAAAGAACCCCGCATTACAGAGCCCCATCACAATACATCAGTCGTCGCTAGTACTGTGGAGCCACCTCCTTCGTTTCCTGCAAATGAAACACCTCCTATCAACGCACAGTTGAAGGATCCGGAAGTCAAGGATTTTGGTTGGAATGCTCCGCCGAGCAAGATTACAGTCCCTCTCATGCATGGATTGTCGAACGATGATATCTATGCATTGGTTAGACGATTCAACAAGGTACGCCATGCGTTTGGTCCGTCTGAGTATCCAATAATTGACTCCGCGCAGCAAATCTTCAACGTAAGAGCTATACCTCCTCCGCCTCCTGGAGTGCTGGATCTAGAAATCTCGGAGAATGAGGAATTCTCTCCTGACAAGCTACGTGCTACTCTCGAACGTCTGTATATGACTGTTGTAAGTATCAAGAAAGTCGAAGGAATTAATCTCACGATACTTACGTGTCTTCTAGGTTGTCGGCTTGGCCGCCTTTGCTAAACACGTTGCACGACTACGCTCTTGGAATGAACCGAGACGGACAGCCGTGTTCTGCGCGGTGAGTGCAAAATAGGTTTCTTCGATATATTTGGGCTTATCATGCCGCTTCAGGCGTACTACATCGCTTGGTTGCTCGGTGCCCTCCTTCCTGTTATTCTTCTAACAGTTATCACCCTCGTCGTATACCCGCCGTCCCGCAAGTACCTCTTCCCCTCTGCGCCTCTTTCCCTCATCTCAGGTACAACTGGAAACCTCCAAACTCCCAAAGCCGGTTCCCTAGGCAGTCCAGACTCACTCTCTGGTGCGCCAGAAGCTCACAAAGGCGAAGCCGTTGAACAAGAAGCGCGTCACTTCGTGGCTGGTCTCTCATCTGTGGCAGTCAGTACAGCGGCTGGTAAAGGACCAGGGGAAGATGGAAATGGCAACGCTATCGGAGGTGGAGAAGCTGAATCCGAGGGTAAGGGGGAGAGTCCGACAAGTATCGATGGCGCTGTCCCGGATCCTGTCGGAATGGCCTCAGAGGCGGCAGAGAGTAAGCATCTGGCGAGCGGGGATAATGCGAAAATGGACCCTGCGAAGAAACCTGTTGAGGACGCCATATGGATTAAAGCAAGGCCTGGTATGAGGGCTTTGGAGGAAATCGTTGATGGATGGGAACGATTTCATAAGTGAGTTGACTTTGGTGCCTCTGGATGAATGGGCTTAACGATGTTTTGCGCTCTAGTGCTTTATCACCGACACCGCCGTTCTCGAAGACAGTTCGTCTTCGACTTGCGGCACCTTTGGTCCCTCTTGTTCTCGTGACGTACTTAGTTCCTGCGACTGTCTTCCTTCATATGGCTACGTTCCTCTTTGGGTTCGGTTTATTCGGTCAACCCCTCATCACTCGAGGTGCATATTGGCTCTCTAATGAAGTACCCCACTGGCGGGAGTATCTAGAACTGAGGAGGTAAGCTTCTGCATTGATCTTATACTTTGAAAGACCCTGACGAGCTTATTCCTACAGAACGCTCCTGAAGGGTGTTCCGACGAACGCTCAGCTTACCCTCACCCTCCTCCGAATTGCCGAGCGGAACAAAGCACCCCTGCCACCTCCTCCAACGTCCGCCGACGGACCCACTCCACCCGCTTCAGGAGAAGGCGATCCCTCGGAAGTACAGTTCGACACCTCCAATCACGACGTTGACGCTGATTCTGATCATGAGTCGGAGCATACGGCTACTTCTGCCGAGTACGATCGACTCAGCAGCAATGGGGACTCGCCCACGTTGGCTTCCAGTGGAGGAGGAACTGGGGACAAGGAAAAGAAGGAGAAGAAGAAACCTGGGAGGAAGATCGCCGGGTTTGTTAAGGGTGCTGTGAGAGCTAGTGTGGAAGGGGCATTGGGTGCCGACCATGTCAAAGCTTCCGTTGGATCTGAAGCATCAAAGAAAAGGATCGGCGCTGTATCCGATCCTCCTCTTCCTGTTTCACGCGATGTGGATGCAGACGAAGGTGCAAAGGAACTGAAAGAGTCCCAGGAATCGGAAGTGAAACCTGGGCCTTTAGAGGACGGCGAAGGACCATCAGTTTTCTCGGCACGTTATCATGGCAAGAAAGGGTACATTATCCTCATCGAATCAGCCACTTCACCATGTGTCGTTTTCGTCAGCACGAAACCGTCCAAATCAGTCCTCGCCTCCCTCTCTTCCCTCTCCCAATCCAGCAAGGAAATCGATCCTAAAGACTTACATTCGGAACTCCTCATTGGACTTCCCGATATAACCGAAATGAGGAAAGTCGGTGGGTTCGGTTGGAAAGCGAAGATGGTTGTGGGGTGGGCGCTTGGAAAGGAAGTTGTGGACGGGTTGGAGGTTACGGACAAGGAGGGCAGCAAGTGGGTGTTGACAGCGATAAGAGGACGGGATGAGCTGTTCAATCGGTTGATTGCCATGGGGGAACATAGGTGGGAAAGTTATTAAAGGTGAACTAATCAGATCTATTCTCTTGCTTTCATCTTAGGTGGTGGTGTTGATAATCTTCTTCTTCTAGTAATGAGGTAGATGGGGATGGATCTGGGGATAATACACGGTGCGGTAGTTGTTGCAGTGTATTGACGACGTCTATTTACTGACGATGGAAAACGCAGCTACCATGTATGATCATCGAGAACGCGTCGTTTCAGCCTCCTTTGAGTGTATGGGAACTACTGGCAATAATTAAAATCGGTGTCCGGGAAAGTTCAGTCAGGCACATCACCTTATAGGTCATTGGTTCGTTTTGAGTGTGCCCTCTTGATGGAAGATTGAATAGGTGACGAGATGTGCAGGGTATAAAGACCTTGAATGCTCAAGTTTCTAGGTTCGTGTGCGACAGTCATGCTGCCACTCTATTATAGATCAAGACAGTTTTCGAGGTCTTTGCTTCAATTTCCCTCTCCTGACATGCCGAGATTGTGGGTGCTCTTGCCCTAGACTTCTTGCTACCTTGTCTAGCGTCTCCATCACTGAGTTATTGACCACTGGCGGTCAATGACAAGATAGTATCATTAGTACGCGATTGTGACGTACTCCCCTCAGAATGGCAAGTGAGAAGCATGGTAGCGGGCCTAATGCTGCTTAATGAGACGCAACCCTAATATCCTCATGGTCTTCGTCGTACTGCCGGAGGATTGAGCTCTTCCTCATTTAACCTTCTCTTCACTCACATCGGCTTGGGCTGGAAGAGGTATCTGCGAGTCATGACAACTCTACTACGACGTCGCGCATTGCGCGGTCGTCGTGGGAGCCTCAAAGAGTTCCCGGATATGCCGCTCGATATTCTCTTTGAGGTACGTGGGCGTAGCTTTTGTTGCATAGAGACATCTCACCCATTTGTCAAACAGGTGTTCTCGCATATTGAACCTATGGATCTGCTGAATCTGGCCAGAACGTCCAAACCATTTGGTGAATTATTGTTGCATCGATCGGCGGCCTCGCTCTGGAAGCAGGCTCGACAGAATGTACCTGGTTTGCCTGAATGTCCCCCGTTCATGAGTGAACCGGCATTTATCAATTTGTGTTTTGACTCTCACTGCCATGTAAGTCTGCTTGGGTTGTTTTGGTCTTTCGCTACATCTAATCGGGCGAAAAGAAATGTCTTCGTCCGAATATACAACCCGTGATGTGGGCCTTTCGAGTCAGATATTGTCGTCATTGCAAGTCAGGCATGTACGTGACATGGTTTAGTCGTATGCAGGAAGTCAACATCTAATGGGTCCTTTATTACCAGGATTGTTATGATATCGCAAGTCAGGCAGATCTTAGAAGCAGCATCTCCCTTTCGTGCACGCTACGATGTACGCGAATTACTGATTTCAGGTTTGTCATCTCTCAATTGATACGCCTTTCCTTCGATAACCTACGTCCGATGTACAGAATCCGAGCCATGGCTTCGTGGTCGCCCACTCTTCAAGTTCCACAAGGCAGATGTAGAGACTTTAGTCGAAGCCTGGAAAGGGTCAGGTGCTGAAGTACAAGAAGATATTCATTCTTCACAACTAGCCCTCATAAAGCAAATGCGGGATGTAAGTGTTTGCATCTGATATTCGACATCACATCTCCCAATTTATACTGTACAGAATGCGGATCTCTGCTCCAAGTGGCAGATGGATCGCAAGCTCTCTCGTTCTGCTGAAATAGATGAACTCAAGGACGCGCGTTATTCAGCGTGGGTTGTCATTGCTCGCGTCGAACCATCAGGATCAGCACTCATCTTCAATGATCTAGGATTATTGCTAAATTGAGAGAATTCGGATGGGGTGAGGTGATAGACGATTCACCTTGGAGCGTTTGGTCCAGGCTTCGGGGTGTGCGCGGGGTGAGGGTGCCTAAACAGCTCACAAATCGCTGTAAGTGAGACATATCAGCAAGCATCGTCTGACGTTGACGCCCTCTACCCCTTCGCAGCTTGGCAGGCTATTGAGACTTCAGTGTTGCAAGTCATGGAAGCCTTGAAAAGCGCCAAAAACGCTGTCGGACATATCACAGATTTACCTTCTTTCCCCCAGCCCTCCAACGATATGCATACCCCGGGAAGCGTTCCCACACATATGTCGGTCGTTTTTCAACGTCTCCAGCTGCTTGAAGATTTCATGTGGTCCTTTCGTTCACGTCCAGAATTCGAGTCCTGCTTCCCTGGAACGCGTGAATTCGCTCTGATGCCAGAGGTCCGGAGTATACTCGACAAGCCAGAATATATCGAAGTGTCATATAACACATTCAATATCTTGCGTCCCTCACTGCCTGGCTTGGTGGAACGTTGGAAGGGGAGAAAACTTCAGGTCCTTCAGCAGCTCGTAATAGACGAGGTTGCCACTCTGCCGGATGGAGTCGATGTTCTCAACCTTACAGCGTTACTTTACTATCGATGTTGGTGCTGCTCGGTAGTCATACGCTACCCTGATGTGCTCGCGCATACCTGCAACGCCTGTAAATGTCAAAGCGGGCTCGATTACTCATACGACCTCTATCACCGTGCCCTCGACTCCAAGCCTATGTCTTGGACTCGCGACACAATGCATGTAGAAACAGAGTCTCTACGCCTTGTTCTAGCCACTAACGCACGGAAGACATACACTAGTACCGTCACTGATATGGAGGCACTCAACATCTCGTACCCCTTTCAGTTCGGGACTCCGGCTGCGATCCTTGGAGAAGAGGTATGCTTTCACACACAGTATTTTCTAGGCTGAGTCTTGCTCTCCAGAATGAGGAGCTCGCTGATGCTATCGCTCGTGGATCGCATTCCAATTCTCTCAGCAGTGCAGTTACGTTTCTCTAAGTTGATGTCGATGCGCAACTTTATTCGCAGATGAGGGAAAGATGTTACGAGTCGCATCGGAGGGAGTGATGAATCTGGTGAAAAGACGATGCTGATGGTAGGTGAAGTGAGGGATTACGTTTTGGCGTTACGGATAGCAAGTGTGGGAAGTAGGCGTTGACGGGGGCTCCAGTCGATTGCAATGCAGATGTTCTGAAGGTGATGTGATTCTTCTGCGCTGTGAGATGAAAGCCCATCTTTTTGTTTACTAACCTAATCAGATATAATGGGGTGAGAGATAATTATGTACGTTCGTCGCCGAGGTCCTGTGCGTTTGTTCACTGATAGTCATTGACATACTATTCCTAGTTAGATGCTTATGGTCCCGTTATCCGGTTGCATATGACCCAGCCTTGTATCTTCATGCCGGGGAGAAGATAGAATATACCCTTCGGGACTATGAGAGTCGCGCTTGCATCCGAATGCCATCCGAACGCGTACGGATGTGCAAACTACCTAAACGGACTGGGATGATCAAATGCCGGAGAAGAACGCTGGATGCCCACGGTTGGATCATGAAGTCTTCTGACAGTCTCTGCCTCTGCCGCTCATGAATATTTAAATATTTGCTAAAGGTCAGGTTTCTACAGGTTGTATGATTTCCTCGCCTTCCTTCGGAGGCTCTGAGACTCCGGTACAGAGTACATTCGCTCAGCGCGTCCGTCATTATTTCGCAACTTGCATTCACGATCAAGTCTATATGCTGTGTGTGGCGTTCTCAGAATGGCAGATTGGGAACATGCCAATGGGTTTCCTAGGCAGAACCCTAACATTGCGACGCCTTGCGGTAACCTCTCCTCCCTTGCTTCCGCTCCACCTCTGTCACTTGCTTGTCTGTTGTAACCTGCGTGAAAAATGCCATTACCCTTCCGACGTCGCACATTGCGAGGTCGTCGTGGAAGCCTTCGAGAACTTCCCGATATGCCTCTTGATATTCTTTTCGAGGTGCGTCAGCCATTTTGGTTTCGCCGCAGTTCACATCACTTATACCTCTGTCTAACAGGTATTCTCGCACATGGAACCATTCGATTTGCTCAACCTAACTAGGACTACTAAACCATTCCGTGAGCTACTGTTGCATCGGTCTGCAGCTTCTTTCTGGAAGCAGGCTCGACAGAATGTAGCCAATTTGCCTGAATGCCCCCCATTTATGAGTGAGCCAGCCTTCATCAACTTGTGTTTTGACTCACATTGTCATGTACGTATGCATGCACTGGTTTGATTCTTTGCCACATCTGACGAATGAATAAGAAATGCCTTCGACCGAACATACAAAACGTGATTTGGGCCTTCCGAGCAAGATATTGTCGCCAATGCAAGTCAGAAATGTATGTAACCCGTACTATATACCCATACATGAGCGATGATTGATGGGCGTTTCAATACATAGGACCGTCACGATCCTGCAAGCTAGGCAGATACTGGAAGAAGCATCTCCATTTCATGCGTACCATGATGTACGCGAACTCTTGATCTCAGGTCTGTGGTTCTCATCATCCACCTTTCCATATATTGACAGTACAAATATCTTGGGAAGAGACCTCTGGGCGCGGAACCTTCCACAGCTCGGACCTCCACACCCTAGTTGATATCTGGAAGGGTACAGGGCCTGAGGCTCAGCAAGAGGTTTGTGCTTCACAGTCAGAGCTCGTGAAACAAGTACGCTACGTGCGTCTATCTCCTCCTTTTCGATCAATATCTAGCATCTAAAGCTCCTTGTGCAGCATGCAGAGCTTTGCGCTTGGTGGCAAATGGACAGGAAGAACGTTCGTTCTACAGAACTTGCCGAGCTTAGGGACTCTCGTTATGTGAAGTAGGTGGTCTTTGCTTGGGTAGACAGCCTCTGTTACTCACATGCATACAAATTAGCATTATTGTTAAATTGAGAGAACTAGGCTGGGGTGAACTAATCGACAGTTCAGCATATGCCGTTTACCGGGGGCTTCGGAAAGTCCATGGGGTGAGACAGCCGAAAGCACTGACTAGTCGCTGTAAGTAATGTGACAGGCACCAGCAGGTACCCGCTGACACTCTGTTCTCCCCCGCAGCTTGGCAGACTATTCGGGAGCCAGTTCTACGGGTCATGGAAACGATACAGAGCGCCCGATCAGTTTCCGCACTTTCAGCAGTTCTTCCCAGCCGCCTGCGTACCCTTGGAGATGCCATGCACTCGTTTCGTGCAGACATTGGCCTCTGTTTCCCTGGAATACAAGATTTCGCTCGAATGCCAGAGGTTCGGAGCATTCTAGACGTTCCGGGAGATATCGAACTATCTTATCGTGATTTCGAAGCCTTGCGCCCCAAGCTCTCTGGGCTGGTGGAAAACTGGAGGAGCAAAAAAAGGCAAGAGCTTCGAGATATTCTGATAAAAGAAATAGCCGCTCCGCCAGATGGTCTCAATATCTTCAACCTTGCTGTTACTCTCTGCTATCGATGTCTTCGCTGCTCAGCCAGGCTGATCTATCCTGGTGTTTTGGCACATACATGCAGTTCTTACCGCGATCTGGGCGAGCTCCTTCCTGTCGTTGATTACTATATTTCCGCTCTTGACTCCCAGCCCCTACCTTGGACTCGCGATACGATAAAGGTCGAAACGGACGTTCTTCGTGCCGTCATCACTGCTCGGGGTCGGGACCCATCCACTGCGACCATCGATGACATGGACGGACTCGATGCACTATATCGCATCCAGTATGACACCCCGATAGTGACTTGGAGAGCAGAGGTATGTTTTTATCTACTTCAGCATGGTACAAGCTGACATATAGTCCTTAGGCTTATGGACTTTTGGACAACATTGACCACGGATGCTATATTCGGCCTTCGTCTCCCGACGTGGCAGCCTATGCTGGAATCATACCATCAGAACTTGCCGGTATGCTTCCCATATCCCGACTTCTGACATCGTTTCTGACGGTCAGTCAATTCTCCAGCTTGGTGATCACCAGATAGCTATGCCTGACAAGTAGGATGTGCATGTGCTAAGTTAGTGCCAATGAATGTGTATTCTTAGCATGAACAACAACATGCTCTTTGAGTCTGCTGTCAAGTCCGCCATAATTCCGCCGCGCTCTATAATAATAGTGGATCTAATTATTACCGCTGGTGCTGTCGTCGGGCATGGTTGAAGCACTGCCGCCATGCCGCACCCATTGTGACGGTGCTGCTCGATACTCTACTAATAGTCACGGTACTGCAATCAGTCTACTTTCTATTATATCTAACAACTGAGTGGATTGTCCTATTCAGTCTCAATGTGACTTCGTAGCCTTGTATGGGTAACCACCGCGCTCCCAGACGAACCCCCATATGTCACGTCAGAATGAGCTGTCCAGAAATGTTGTAGTTCGTTCGGCCCTGTGAAGTGCCTGATTCCCGAGCCTTATCGGGCGGAATTGTGCAACCTTCTTCGCTAACCGTGACACCTATTGCAATCTAACAAAACCCCTTTCCGACTAGTATGCTTTCTCGTCGGCAGGGATATTGTCCACCTCGACAATATCTTATTCCTGACTCCTATGAGCTTGACTCTAACTTCAGGCTAATGTCCACGAAATGGCTGATTCAGATCGCAGGTTCGGCGAATGTAGAGCAAATGGTCGTTGTCGTTCAGACCCGTCAATATGTGCACTTTTGCGAAGGTTCTTTTCAGCATGGTTCAGCTTCACCACCATTTGCAACGTCTCACGCAAATTCTCAGCGGCCACAACCTTCTGGTTGCTCTATGATTGGGTTATAAGCATGGGAGATGAGGTGAGCTTCGACTCTTAGGATGTCGAGTGTTCAGTGAGCTCGCAGACTGATACCTAATGTTTTAGATCGAGCTCATATGGACGTGTGTGGGTTATTTATTGTCATCAAACTTCTCATTGAAGAGTACTTGCTAGCTCTGCCAATACTACACCGAAATTTCTGTACTTTATTTCACGGTATTTCGGACTGGTCACACAGTTGTAAGTGTCGATATCTCCAACACGCCCGCTCCATGATTTACTTACGACCATTCGTCAAGTGTCTATGTAACGGATGCTATGCCTCTTTAGTAAGCTTTTATGCTGAGCTTCTCACGTGCCCATGCTGACAGCCAAATATTCGACCGAATGTTCACAACAGCTGTCGCACTCAGCTCATATTTCGCACCTTGTGAGTGTCTGACATGCCTAAACTCAAAGATGAAACCATAAGCATGGTTATAGCACATATTATGTTCTTCACGTAAGTGTTGAGCTTAGCCTGTTAATCAGGATCTATGCCCTATGGAATCAAAGCAAAAAAGGTGAGCCTCGATATTTCTGTGGTGTGAAATTTATTCAATGGACGGGCTACAGTGGCGATAATTTTGGCTAGTGTTTTCGGACGTGAGTAGGAATATCTTCATTCCCCTTCTTTGAGAGTTGACGGTTCCTTTAGTAGTGCAGGCGGTATTCAACCACGTTTTTCTTTCCCATTACTGGACTGATCTATTGATAACAGGCGAATATCGTCATGCTTGTCATCGCTGAGACAGTCATGATAGGCCCCCTTGTACCGTATCCAAGCAATTGGCCCATAAATGGCTGCTTCGTACTCTCTAATCCGAGATTCTTTCGGGCTTGTTGGTATGTGCGGCTTTTGCTCTATCATAAATGATTTACACCTGTCGTAGGATTCCCATTCTTGTATTCGAGAGTAAGTTGCTGCTTCATACATGCACCTTGAATGCTCAGTCTAAGGTCTTATCAGCGCTCCTGTTCGTGATGAACACGATGAAATGCCTTTCGTACAGGCCGCTTTCTCGTACACCTCTAGTCGTTCGCCTGTTCCGTGACGGGACGATATACTATGCCTTGTAAGTTCATCTTGTTAAGTACTTTGTACAACTTGCTAATGACAGTGGTGTAGGATGTGCGGTGAGTTGCCCTCGTGAATTGAGAAACGTCGCTTTGACTTAATTGTTGCAGTCGTATTACTTCTACGCACGTTTTCGCAATATCGCTCGAACTTGTTGTCTAATTTCGTCACCGACACATTCATGACAGCAGTATTCTCGTATGCGGTGAGTTATCTTAGCTTTGGCTCGGTGGAACTGGAAACGATCTTTATATTTGCTGGCAGGGTTCAGCATTGATGCTCAGCATCCGTTCACTTGCCGCGGAGCGTGATCGGCTAACCAATATCATCCCTAATCTTTCGGAAATTACGCCCATCGACCCGGCTGTCTCTGGCATGCCTTCAATGAAACGACCGATACAGGGGAGGCCCTTGTCGCAAAATTGTGTACCTCATGGAGAGCCGGTATCGTCAACGGCGCAGGATACATCCTCACACTGTCATATCGAGGAAACCCGTAGATCCTTTGATATCCACAGCAGCCCCGCTGTTTTACAAGACATCAGCGCAGTCGCCAGGACACGTGATGATCACAACAATGCCTCAGTCGTAGTGGAGATGGGATATTCAAGAGACACAATGAGTCTTGAGTATCCTAAATGGAAAAGCACGTCATGGCTCGACGACTGGAACGTGCAAGGCTAGGCATAACTACAGGTTTTCGTGTGCATATAGGGTTTTTTTGGTTTCGTGCTTCCCGTGACGTTCCTTGCTCTCGTTCGCTCTTCACCTGCTTTCGTTTTGTATATCGATCTCACAGTTGGCTTCGTCTCTGTTGAGTAATTCTGGATGGGGTTAAATTATGTGCAAGAACATGGACACACATACTCCATTTTTTCCATATCCACACGTGGGGTCAGGGTGACAGCAAAGGAAATGAAATATATATATAGCATTTAGCCTGTAGTACCAAGAGAGGGGGAATTTACTCGCATTAAACTTGCTCAGGCCATATCCACCACCAGCCATAGCCATCTCCTTGGCCCCAGGTACCAACCATGCCCCACGGGAGCACCATACCGTCCCAGAGCCACATAGGTCCATCAGGATCAGTATACTTCTTCTTTGCACCAACACGTCCCTCATCAAGCAATACTGTTCCATTTAAATCGAAAGAGCCGACTCTATCAGCTCCTGTCGCCTTGAAAGAGGCCTGATGTGAATTCCATTGGACGGAGTTGAAAGACATATGTACGGGGGGATCGATCCGGAAGGATCCATTGAAGTTATAGCTGTAGTATCCTACCCAGCGCGCATCGTCTTTCATGGCGTTAAGTGGGAAGCCATCTACCTCACGCCATTTTCCGACGGCGATGGGTTTTTGTGAATGACAGGGCACACGGACGCTGAAGATAGAAGTCGGTAGATTGGGATTGAGTAGTAGGTTCACCCAAAGAATAGCTAGAGACATGATGGACCTCGAGAAACGCATCGAGTGTGCCGCAGTGCTGGGTAATTTCAAGCGCCTGAACGTGTGATATTTTGGGTAGGGAGTCTCAAACATGTCGCCGAACAGCGAACGGACAACGCTCAGGTTCTCTAAGGTACGACGGGCCTCAGTTTAATTCGGTAACTTGGGAGTGATAGAAAGACGTACGGGCGGAAAGTAGGGAAACAAGGTGAAATAATGCACGGTGAAGTGGTATCACAGACGCCAGAGACGTGCGATGGATCGAATAGAAAGGATCGGTCTGCACGCTGATTGAGAACTCCGACGGTTGACTTGCCAAGTCGAGCGCACGAAATACAACTGGCCATAACTTCTGAGAATCGCCAGTCATCACTCGTGAACGAGTATTAGGACCTAATATAAAGACGCTTCAATCACATTCAAGAAATGTCGAAGTAGAGGGTACTTACGATGATCATCGAAAGCTAAAGGGGCGAGTTCCATGATATTGATAGTCCAAGACAGAACCTCGTGAGGAGGAGTAAATACCTTGCCAATGCATGCTTCAAGTGTAAGTGTTAAGGCCGGCAAAATATCGTTAATCCCCTTGTTCAGTAGGCGTTGCAAGTTCTCGTGCGCCCAGTCAATTTTCTGCCACATCTGAACTCGACATTCGTACAGGGCGACATCTGAAAGGCTCTCGTTCCATCCGTACACGTCCCACCCACGACTTGCAACGCGCTCTTTGTGGATTGCTGGTGTGTACAAGGCGTTGCGAATAGTGTGGTTTGTCAAAGATAGTGATATGATATCTTTGACAGAAGGAACGTGCAGGGCGAATTGTGAAATGACTTCGCCTGGTAGACTATCGATAGGGAATCTTGGGGTTGAGACTGCAGGGAGGACTCCTGTGTATGGCGAGGGCATCGTCTGCGAGATACTACGAGGGGGTTCGTTCGCAACCATATCGACCTCGCGATGAACATTTGTATCCTCGTACGTGGAGCTATGGACACAGCCCATGCATCAGTGAGATCCTGGTTCAAGCTGTTGAGAGTAACTTAGGAACCATGGGAAGAAACAGCAGCTGAATTTGTGAGCGCTCGTCATATGTTGGCATCTGATGAGGCACACACATCCTTCAAATCGCGTATCAAGTACCAAAAGCCGCACGCTGCAAAGTAGAGCATATTGAAAACTTAAAGAAAGCACAAATGGTTTTTGTTGAGCTAAGGGGTAGAGTGCCTGTCTCTTAAGAAAAGTATAGGCGGGTCGTAAACCACGTCGCTTGCCTGCCTGAGTAGTGCTGAGACCAGAACCGGCATTGTCCGAATGACGTCAAGGAGACTTCCACCCGACAATCGTTGAGAGTAGCAGAACAAGCTCGTCCTGTGCATAATCCATCCAAGATATCAACATGGTCACCACCCGTGGTCAGACAGCAGCGAGCGAAGGCAAACCAGCCTCGACTACAAAACAAGCCAAACCCGCTTCGTCCAAGAAGAAAGCAAGTCCCACTCGCAAGAGACGAACCAAGAAGGCTGTAGAACAGGCGAAAGAGGAAGAGAAACCTGAGCTTGGGAGTAAAAGGGATGTGGAGGAGGTCGAGAAAGAGCCTGAAGTTGCGGGAGGCGAGAAGGAGGTAGAGGAGCCGCCTACAAAGAAGGCGAAAGCAGAGGTGGAACCACAGGAGGCGGCCGAAACTGGGAAGGAGACTGCGGCGGGGGAGGCTGCTGCGAAGGAGGAGGCGGCTGCGACGAGGGAGACCGTTACGGAGGAGGAGGAGGCTGCGAAAGAGGAGGCTACAGCGAAAGAGGTTGCTGCGAAGGAGGAAGAGGTTCCGAAGGAGGAGGTGGCTGCGAAAGAAGAGGACCACCCTGCGAAGCATGCCTTCCAAGAAGGTTAGTTCTTGCTTTGCTAAAGGCACCTTCATACATTGATCGGGAATCCGTAGGCGTTATCGAACGAGGACACATATACTTCTTCTACCGCCCGAAAGTCGAACTCGAGGAGGCCCACTCCATAGACGACGTCCAACGCTTCAATATTCTCCTTGTTCCACGCCCTCCCGAATTCGCTATCGAACCCGTTACTACTGAAACCACAAACGTCGAAGAGGAAGAAGGGCCCATGAAAATTCTACAACCAGGTGCAGACGTCGTACCTGCTGCACAGCCAACTGATGTCAAGAAGAAACCGTTCCGCTTGATTACTGTTGGGAAAAAGAGCTTGCCTGATCCAGAAATAGGTGGAGGTAAAGGCGGTGGCAGGAAGCAGGTGTTTTGGGCAACAATTACGACTGTCGGTGATGATCTTGAGGAGCTTGAAGAGGGTCTGGGAGAACGCGAGTACGAAACGAAGACAAGGGGTGAGTTGGTGCATCGACTGAATACTGGAACGATGAGATTGACGAGTTTGATATAGGACAGAGATATCAGGGCCCTGCTAGACTCGCCGGTCGCGGTGCATACGCCATAGTCAACACCCAAGCTCGCACTCAGTCCACTCGCGAGACGCATCTCGGTTACCACCTCTCCCATCCGGACCCAGAACACTTCGGTGAAGTACAAAGAGTTCTCGGAATCCATGAAGCCTCTTCTTTCGTAGTCCAAGTCAAGAACCCTCTAGCACCAACCATCGGCGCCATTCGAGCAGGGCTACCGTCCTACAGGAAAGTGGAATTCCCGGACAATATAATGAAAGAAGTGTTCGGGTATAATAAAGAGGCGGAACATACGAGGGGCAGGGAGGACTATGGGCTGAGGTTTACTAGTGTCGAAAGGAGAGAGATGTTGGATTATGAAGGTGTTGAATTGTTGTTTATTGCAGCAAGGGAAGGCGAGGAAGGGTTGGAGAGTAGCCTGGGAGAAGGAAGAGGTGAAGGTGAGTATTCATAATATGGGGCAAGCGACGTGGCTGATGTTCCGGTTTTGTGATGATCAGCTTTGACAGAAACGGAACTCAAAGAAGCTCAGGAAGATGTTGAAACTGTTTTGAAGGAGCTTGCCATTGATGCCGAAAAGATTCCCGCTGAGCCACTGAAAGGAGAATGGATCTGAGGAATGTTGAAGGTGAAGCGAGACGAGAAAGAGGACCGGACATGTATCTCTATATTGTATGATTAGTCACTTTGTATCATACGTTATGTATGCAACGTTACTTACTGTACCAATATTCGATCTAAGAATGAGCAAGAACGAGCAAGACAGTCCTGCAGCTGTGTTCTCCAGGTAGCACAGCGCGTACATGCACAGAACATGCAACACCATGTTACCCGAAGAACACGTTACCAGTAGTCGAATGGGGTATACAGTCATAAGTCATCACAGGTCATTACAAGTACAGCAAGCAGTCCGAGATATGTCCATGTTGAATTTCGAGCGAATCAATGAGGAGACTCATCTTCATCCTCGTCGGCGTTGATCCTCAAAACCTTTACCCATTCTCGATAATTGAAGTTCCCCGATCGGTCCGTGAATGGCCCCTTGAGGAATTTGTCGATCTAGAGAACGCATGAATTTGAGACTGTAGCAAAGCAAAGCAGTAACATGCCGAAGGCGAACGTACCTCCGCCGCGTCCATCCTCTCCCCGACATCCCCCAACCACTTCCGGATCTCATCGCATTTCACCAAACCTGTATCATTCTCGTCGAAACATTCAAAAGCAGACAAGAGCTCCTGTTCCGTATCGAAGTCATAGAGATGTTCGCCCATCATGGTGAGGAACATAGGGAACGTAATTCCTCGGTCATTTGACGAGTCTGATTCGAACGAAGGTAGACGGGAGTGGGCAGCACTTCCTCGACGGTCGCCTGGACGGTCTGCAAGAAGGCCATCCATCATATTCTTTGTCGGTGTGATGCCTGTTCACAGTCAACACGTCCGGTTCGGTATATTCATGTAGGGGTAATGGGGGACACTCACCGAGGCTAGTAAATATGTGCTTCAAGTCCTGCTCGTTCACAATCCCGTCTCCATCATGATCAATCAACGAGAACGCCTCTCGGAATTGTTGGATCTGTGGTGGTTGGAATAGAGAGAACACGCCTGAAGGTTCGCGTCTTTGCCTTGATTTCTGGGATTTGAGCTTAGAGGGCGTTGATGTTGGTGTAATGTCGGGTGAAAGGTAGTTTGGATAACGAGACATATTGGGGACCTGGCACAGTAAATGCGAACTTTGAAAAGGGTTGGAACCAGGAGGTTCAATGTGTTCGCACAAAACGCGCAGATAGCTTAGTTCGGAAAAGTCTTGTGCGTTAGCCAATCACAATGTCCCGATCAATCCACGTGCCGACACGATCGCCATTTCCGACAAACGAGAGAAATAATACTAAAGGATCATTACACAAGACAACTTTCAAGGACGATCACATCACGATGAAGCTGCCCTCATCGGTGATCTTTGGTACTCAGAATTTGTGTACGTACGTATGTATGGCCAGCTCAGACTGTATCACATCCTTCCAAGTTGTTACTTGCGTTGACGCGACAGTTTCGCTGTTGATAGTATACCCAAATATTATGTCTTCTGTATGACATGTACCCACTAAGTAGTTCTTTTGAGATGATCCTATATGCTGATGCAGTGGTGTGTGCAAGAGTCACATTCGAAGTACGCAAACTATACTTACTGTATTTGGACAGTAACGAATCCCAGTGCTAGGCGCCTAGCATCACTCTTCTATCCGGCAACGGCAACGGCACTTAGGGTTGTCCCTTTGCAGACCGTGTCGTTTATAGTCCTGATCCTCTGGACATTTAGCTCGTCTTGAACTTCCTTTCTATCTTTCGCGTTTGTTCTGATACTTGGACAAGCAATGGCTCCGCAAGGCAAACGAGCAAGGAAGAGCGATGAAGCAGTCACGGGAGGGCAAGCGGATGTAGAACCTATGCCTCCAGAAAAGAAAAAGAAAACTCGAAGGCGCAACGTCCGGGGTCGTCGAGGGGTGCTGAAAAACCTCCCAGATATGCCACTAGACATCTTATACGAGGTGTGTCTTCAATGGGTTCGTTGGACTTGTGACACTAATCATGCCGCGACCTACGAAATTTAGGTGTTCTCCCATTTGCATCCACAGGACCTACTAAATCTCTCACGCACTACGAAGGCGTTTCGTAGACTTCTGATGGATCGAAACGCGGCGGTGCTTTGGAAAGAAGCTCGTCAGAACATACCGGACCTCCCAGAACCTTTCCCCGGCATGAGCGAACCTGCCTATGCTAGCTTATGTTTTGATGCTCAATGTCATGTATGGTGCATATGACAACGATATCTATCTCGGAACCTAATGTTCACATTCAGGGGTGTTTCAAACCAGGCATCCGCGAAGTCCTTTGGGAAATCCGAGCGCGGTTCTGCAATGAATGCAAGAAATCAAAGTACGTTCGGCGCGTGTATCAAAGGCACGAGCGAATTGCTGAAATCACGCCAGGACTCTGAGCCAAGAAACGCTTATATACCGTCGGGGCGACTATTTCGGCTCGTATCTGCCATGTGCTGTAGTTGAGATATCGGTCACTGGCAGTATGTGATATTCCACGTTACCTCCATTCATGATGCTAATATTACGGCTATCAGAAACAGAACTGTTCTGGGACAAGAAAAGAGTACTTGCTTCTGAGGCTGCGCGAATAAAGGAGGACTATGCAGAAGTGGAAGTAAGCGAGATAGACCAATTTATAAAGGAGAATAGGACACGATGCAATGAGATAGAACAGGTATGCGCCTTTTCTCACGGGACGCGTAAGATCTGAAAACGATTTCGCATCCATAGCATGCAGGCCTATGTCGCAAGTGGTATAACAACAAGAAGCTGAACCGTGCGATAGAACTGGAAGATATAAAAGATGCGCGATACAAGGCGTGAGTTTATTCTATTCATTGAAGTCATCGAATATCAATGTTATTTTTCTTTTAGCATCAAGAACAAACTCAAAGAGCTGGGTTATGAGAAGGATGTGATCTACTGTGAGCAATATTGCATGAGCAAGGAGTCGCTCAAGCAATTATCTGTTGTGCGGCAGAGCAAGCCACTGACGGAACGAAGTAAGTACTGCCAGAATTCTTCGATTCGAATTCGTTTATTTATTCATTGTAGCATGGCAAACCATTCGTCCTACGGTGATCGACTTCCTCACCACCACAGTGACGCCGCTGCGTATCGTCCACGAGTATACCCTCTACTTGAGGCCTCGCGCCGCCATTCTTCGCAAAGCTGTTGAAAAATTCGCACGATTATCCCACGGAGTGTTTCCCCATGTTCGAGACTTTGCTTCTTTGCCAGAAGTTCGAGCTATCTTGGATCCTGCCGACAAAGCAGAGATCAGTGTCGAAAGTTTTGATGCTTTACTCCCCTTACTTCCGGAGCTTGTGACTCGCTGGCGTGAGGATATCACAGGAAAGCTGGAAACTTTCGTTCGCCGGGAACTCTCTTCTGATGAATCAGAGGATGTACCTGATGGTATTCGCGCGCTTGACCTTGCGATTGCGACCATCTTTCGCTGCAGCCATTGCAAGAAACCCATCGTTGGCGCCTACCCTGGCACCGTCAGTCACAGGTGTCGACCTGCATATGTGGCGGCTCTAGTACAAATGACTCGTGGATATGGGCTATGGTCAAAGAAGCAGGATGATCCATTCGATACTGCTATTGAAAGAGCGCTGAAATGGGCAAAGTGGTCACACAGGGACGTGGACCTTCTTAAATCTGATGTCGAGCCGGTCCTTGAAGCCTGTGGACAAAATTCGCTCTCTACTACGGCTCAAGACATGGATGAACTTGACTTCAGGTTTCGCTGCAAGAAGTGCGACAGCTTTCAGGCTCGTGCTATTTTCCGATGGAGAGAAGCTGTGAGCATCTTTCTTTTTGAATTAACTTTGTACTCACCCCAAGTTCCAAGGCACTGCATTCTCGGGATTGTCATGGACATGATGACTCATCGCTTTTCTTCGACATCGAGGACTACATCAAACGTACTTTGGACACTGAGCTTTGGGAGGCAGTCTCGAGCGAGGAAGCAAGGAAGATTGCTCCCCTTGAAAGAGCTGCTTCAGAACGCGTTGCACTGAAACGTCTCAGTAAACCTATTTGGTGCTGCGTGCATTGTGAAATGCATGAATTATCTCGAGGTGGAATGATCACCCATATAGTTGAAACGTAAGATTGGTTACCCACATCGCTCGAGCTAATACTCATTACATCCGTTTCATCTCTTTTAACTTCAGGCATGGCATATCGACACCAAGCGACGATAATTTATTTGCAGATCCTGCGCGGGTTAAAACTAGGATGCCTCCAGTCTACATTGTAGCTGACGAGTACAAGATGCGTGTTCAGTCTCTCAAGCCTTTCGTAAAGCAAGCTCTGAAAGACGGCGAAGCTATGTTCCAAGGTGATGAAATATAGGCTTCTGGAGCTGAATTCTCAGACAGCGCAATCAAACTTTACACCACTTTTCATTAATATAGAATAGCCCAACCTATTGAAATACCGTCGCATTTTGTGCAGTTACAGGAAGATTTAATTCTTGTTAGGAATATATTGTCCAACCTTCGCCTTTGCCTATGCGGGTTATCAGATTGTGAGAAATCGCCATACGACCATTTCGAAAGTCAGGACCAATAATATGCAGTCTACATCTATGTCCTACGTCGTCGATCTTTGCTAACGGTCTCTTTCAGATTGCACTCCAAACGGGTTACATAACCACAATCAGATATTCGGACATTGAACGGGACATTGACACGCGGTTTCCTCTTTGCCTCGCCTTGACCTCTTGTGAACATGGTATCTCTTTAGTTCAAGACCTCCGGCTACTTCAGAGTGGTTGACACAGACTCTACCTTCTTACTGGTGATTCTCACCCAGAGGCTTGCGATTACGAGAGTTGTGGTTCCTCGCGCTGCCAGTGGCGTTTTCAAGAAGCGAAGAAGTAGCCTTGACATCGATCAATCGGGGAACAAGGTTCGATACTCCCAATTCGTAGATTCCTCAGCGATATAATTCTAAATACCATTGTTTCGACATATCAAGATGCATGCACCTAGACGGATTCATGCTCGCAAGGGAAGCCTCCAAGAGCTTCCCAATATGCCGTTGGACATTGTGTTTGAGGGAGGCGCAGACGTGTTTCTTTGATGATTCGCGCATCTTACGCCGCCTTCTATGTCCTATTCAGGTTTTCTTACACTTGCAGCCATTGGATCTACTTAATCTAGCACGAACGAGCAGGCCATTTCGCTCACTGCTGATGCGTCGAAGCGCGGCATCATTCTGGCGAGCTGCACGTCAGAACGTGGAGGGCGATTTCCCGGAATGCCCTAGCTTTATGAGTGAACCGGCATATGCCAATCTTTGCTTCAGCTCTCATTGTCACGTAGGTCAACATGAGTTTTGATCTTACTATGGGTCTCGAAGCCAACGCTGCTGCTAGGGTTGTGTTAAACCGAACGTGCAAACTGTCTACTGGGGCTTTAGAGCTCGGTTTTGCAAGACGTGCAAGCAAACTCGGTAAGTTGTGCCATCGGATGTGGCTTGAGGGGGCTAAGATGTGTAGGCTCTGTCGTGTGAAACACTATGAAGCTGTCTTGATCCTTCCCGGCGGAGGCCGTTACTCATGGCCAATTCCCAGAGTCTCAGGTAAGTTTCCGACAAGGCCTCGCACGCACACATTGAGAATCATTATTGACCGCATTGTTCATATTTTCAAGTTTCGAAAGGCCGATATGTGTATCGCCGTTCCGATATAGAAGCTTTTGAAACTGCCTTGCTGGCCGTTGATGAAAGCAAGAGGAAGAGTGTTTTCCAGGAACAAACTGAATATTGGGAGGCTGTCTCTGAGGTACGCGTATTAATATTACAGAGTGGATCATCGCAGATGTTCAATGCCTCTTAGCATATGGATGAATGCCAACGTTGGGATGAAGCTCTGAAGACTAAACGTTCCGAAGAATTGCAAGACAAACGAGATGATCGTCTTGAAGCGTGAGTGCGTTTTACTTGCCTTTGGGAGGCGCGTTAGCTTCATATCACTCTCTTAAAGAATCCTGGAAAAGCTCCGAGAAGCGGGCTGGGAGGAAGAAATTGAATTCATGGAGAACGTTTATTCCATGGGTTTCCAATCACTCAACCTCATATCAGCTGTGAGACGGCCGGGAGCCTTGACGGAACGCGGTAAGCATTCGATTGTAGCAACATACGGTTTCTGAAACAAATATTCTCAGTCTGGAATAACATGTTGCCGGAAGTGACACAAGCAATGAATGACATGCGTGTTAAACGTGAGGAGCACAGGTTCAACCAACAAGTGGCCAAGCCTCGTATAGAAGCCATGAAACTGGCGATGCTTGCCTTCCGTCAGGAATATGGCCAGATTTTCCCTAGCACTCGTGAATTCGCCTTCTTCCCTGGAGTCAAGGGGCTTCTCAATGCACCAGAAGAAGTCGAGATTACTGTCGAAAGCTTTGGTGTGTTGCGGGCCGAGATTCCCAAGCATCTAACGATCTGGAAGGATAGAGTGGACAATTTGCTTCGAGAATTCATCAAGACCAAGCGAGGGGCTGCTGAAGGAATTGACCCCCTCCGTCTCGCCATTGGCGCGTATTATCGTTGCAAAGAATGTGGCGAAGCGCTTTGGTATCCGAATGTGTTGATCCACGCCTGCTTGTCAAAGTGCTACGACAACCATGACTATAACACTCTCTGCTATGAGTGGAAGGATCAGTACCGATCCATGATTTCCGAGCTCGTGGGCGGAAAGCATTGGGATACTCACCACCTTTGCTTCGATGTCAAGCCAATTTGGAAAGTCATTGAGGCGTTCGAAATGGACCCTAGTCGCGCAACAACGGAGGACATGGACCACTGTCAGGTCAGGCTAACTTGCAACCATAGAATTTGTACTTCGGATGGGGTCTTGGCAGTCATGACATGGCGAGTAGCTGTAAGCAAAAAAGTCTCTATCAGTGGCTTGCTCTTGATCATGATTGGTGTGCTTTTGTAGATGATGCACAACTTCTCCATGCACCTGTCTAACAACCGACCTTCTTACGCCATCTGGAAGATAGTCCACCCTCGTCTTGTTGCAAAGGCGGCAGGGCCCGAAGCAATGCGAGCTATTCTTGATCGCGATGACACTGAGAGGGCGGGTGATGAAGCGTGGGGTTGTATGCGATGCCTAGCCTTCGACGGTCGACATAAAAGGCAACAAGTGTATGAGCACCTGCAAGACGTGTAAGTTCCTGTAGGCTTCGTGGCCATGCGAATGAAGCTAAATCAATACTCTAGCCACGGTGCTGCAACACCAGGTCCTGCGGATGTCTTCTACAACCTGGACTCTACTGACTCGCATCATCCTCATGATACATATCTGATACAACCCAACAGCTCCACTGGTTCAATGGAGATGGACGAGTTTTTTGAAGATGCGCTCGCAAGTGGTGTAGCCGCCTACGACAGTTTAGACGAGGACGAAGATTGATTTTGCGTGGAGGCATTGTCTCCAGCAGATAGTGCCGGCGGTCTGGCATAGAGGTTTGTAGAGGTAGTACCTGGCGGAAACAAATCTTTCAATATCCTTAAATAACTGCACAGTGTTTCGTTCCTCGTTCCTACACTGGGGATCCGTTTCATAGTGCCCTCAATATGTATCTTGTACTATATTCTACCCATATGCACATGCCATACATCGAGATTCTCGGCGTCCAGAGCGCTTTTCTCGCCAAGATGCACTAGGTCGCGGGGAGTATGATGTCTGACACCCGCCCTTTCTCCCCCTGCATGAAGTCGACAAATCTAGACTCACCCCAGGACAGACTGTCATAATGACATTTATATGATAGCGCGTATATATAACTATGATAGTATCAGGCTCCAACTGATCTTGCCTCCAACTTCCGAATCATTCTCTTTCGTTGAAGCATTTCCTGCGACTCGAGGAAGATGTCTAAATCTCCAATCACCTGTCACAGTACGTCTTATGATAATGCATCGTAGGAGTTCATATCGGACGACGACCTAATACGAGTTGCTATGGTCTTGTTGTATGTAGTCCTTGATGCATCACTAGGCAAGCCGGCTGAAGGTGTCGAAGTGACCCTTCAAGTCTTCCATAAACTACCCAACAAGTCCTCCGTATGCGAGCCTCTCGCAGAAAGGTACGATCATACTTTTGTTTTACCTCACGTCATTCTTCAACTTTCCCAATGACGTCCGTCCTTTGTAATTATTGTTGTAGTCGTACAGATGCAGACGGCCGATGCATGCACCTATGGCCTGAAGCAAGCTCGACACAGTCCAAAGAGGACCGATCCAAACTCGAAGCAGGGAAGTGCTACAAAGTGATTTTCCAGACGAAGGAGTATTTCGAACGTACGGGAAGGAAGAGTTTCTATCCATGGGTAGATGTACGTTCTCCGTCCAGTTCTTTCTGAACGAATCTCATAGGTTGATGATATGCTATTCTAACGTTGGTGTGATGTAATGTGTGTAGATCACATTCGAAGTGGAGAACCCAACGGAACATTATCATATCCCGTTATTGATTAGTCCGTATTCCTTCACTACGTACAGAGGGAGTTAGAGTAGCGGAGAAGCGAAGAAGAGGGAAGTACAGGGACGAAGAGTGGGTCGTGTGCTACAGGTGAGAAGGAGAAGGATGATTGCTGATGAGGGAGAAGTAGGCGTGTAATAACATGTGTGGAAATGACGGAAAATGTATGCTGAAATGTAGTATACTGGACAGTGGACACTGTACACATGCGATGCTATGTATGGACATGGGATATCTAACAGCTGAGTTACTATGTAGTATGCGAACTATGAAACAATGGACGCCAGAAACTGTACACGTTAAGTACAAGCAGAGAGGATTATGACACAATGCAAGTGACTGAGAAACAATCGACAGAAAAAAGACGACCCAAATAAGCCAAAAAAATCGATGAGAGACCATGCGAGATAACAGCAAAAGCAAAAGAGGATAGAAACATGCGAAACCGATAGCACATAAATGCAAAGAACTGACGGTGAACTTTTTGAGGACGGAGAACGAGACTGCGAATGGACGACTGTACTGTATGCGCAAACCAAAAGGCCTCTATTCCAAGCTGAGGCCACCGACAGCTTCCCCAGCACCTTCGACTTCCTTTCCCTCACCTTCCCTCCTCGCCCTAATCATCGGCCTCAAAATCGGACTCGAAAGCCCAATCTGAGCTCTCAACGTCGGACTACTCATCGCACTAGCCGACCCCAAACTCAGTGGTCGGCCATTACTCAAGCCAGATCCGCTAGCAGATGAAGAGACGATGGGTGAGGAGGCACCGGAGTTTAGGCCGTTTGGGATGGATATGGGTAAAGGCAGGGGAACGCGGGAAGCGCCATGATTGGGTGTGCGGGGGTTGAAGAGTGAAGGTTGTGATTCGCGCAGGTAGGTAAGGGAGGGCGATACGGCACGACGTTTGTTGGCTGTCGGGTATGGGTCATAACGGTCGTCGACTACAGCAAAAGAGAATTAGTCTCCGAGAGGCGATTAGGGTTTAGATGGAGATGAACGTACATTTTCGTTTATTACTCCGAACTGCGCTCGATGTGGGAGGTGGAGTGTATCGCCAAGAGTTCATGTTGGGGGATCCGTAGGATGAAGACGGCTATAAGACATGAGTTAGAGTCTAGCAGCCAAGCAGACTGAATATATCTAACCATATCAATATCCATCATAGCTGCTCCCCCAGGACTCTCCGCAAAATCATCTCCATTCACACTCTGGGCCGGTGTGATGGGTTTAACGATATTAATCGGTTCACTCGCCGCAAAAGCAAACGGTGCTCCCGTATCACTGGCAGCCGCATGTTTCTCGTACTCGTCGTCTTCCTCATCACTAGGTGTATCCTCTCGGTGAGGTTCCTCGGTATCCACTTCTTCGGGGTAGCGACCTCGGTCTGAAGCTGCACGGGGCGTACGAGGTTGACCGGGAAGGCCAATATCGGAAACGGATGCGACAAGACGCTGGAATTGAGCTTCAGATTTGACTTCATTTTCTTCTGGACGAGATTCAGCGAGGAGAGTTAAGATTCTAGGCATTTTGATCTGCATGATATCCATATTCAGTGTCAATCCCGCACATATCAGAGATTCACCACAAAACTTACCGGGTGCGATAGTCTCCGCAACTTCGCTAGCGGCGGTGGATCACCAGCCCCGTCCATGCTACCTTTGGAAGCACGTCTGTTGCTAGACGGAGGCGTACTGGGACTTCGCGGTCGACTGGTGCCCGTCTTCATACTACTATCACTATCCACACTTAGCGTACTCGTCGACGGATCAGTCAAGGCAGGTGTCGCAGGTCCAGAATCAGCATCAGGAGGACTGTCAGTCCACATCTTGTCCTTATCGCTTTCGCTTTCACTTTGGCTTTGTTCAGTATTCTCCGTTTCAGTTTCGAGGTCCCGGATAGTGGTACTATAACGGCGAGAGAGGGAGAATGTGAAGGACGAAGATGTGAGTGGACTATGTCGGGTTTCTGAGCCTATACGTGCCGGAGCTAGGAGACTTGGTCTCCTGAACCGCAATATGAATGGGGAAGGTTCTTCTCCTGGATTCGTGGGTAGCGATACAGCGGAGGTGGGTGGAGAAGGACCAGATATCGGAAAGGTTACGGGGGGATTGGAGGCAGCAGACGAATGTGAGGGACCAGGTAAGGCGAAATCAGCGGAGGAGGCTGGGAAGGAAGGGCGGTGGGGCGACATGGTGCATGAGTAGTGGATCGAGGAAATGTATAGGGCAGCCTACGGGGCTTCCAATACATATACTCGATGCTGGACGTTCTATTAGAAGTAGGGACGAGATATCCCTGCTCGGATAGAATTCGGGGTCGATCCGGGAACGAAGAAGGCAGGACTAGGAGGGTAGTTTTGAGTATTCCGCAACGCGAGAAAGGATTGGATTGAAATGAAGACCGTATGATGATTTCTCTGTGTTGGGAATGCAAGTTCAGGGAGTTCAAGTGAAGTAGGAGGCGTGCGGGGGAGGAGGCCAGGGAACAGAGCAGCTCTAGTGCACTTGGTGAACGGGGGCGATAACACTTTAAAGTAGGCGGCTGATCGGGCCGACCAATGGAGTTTCAATAGTGTGGAAAGTTGAAGTACCTTTTACTGCAGTCCATAGGTTCGCACGGCACAATGTAAGTATGGAAAGTGAACAGAAAAGAGGATCGACGTTATATTAAAATAGATAATACATGGTAACATTAATAGAGGATGGTCTTTCCGACGGCGGCAGTGGCGCCCACAAGGAGAGCTAGAAACACCCTCAGCGGATAACCTCACATGAAAGCACGAGGAAAACATACAGATCATGGACAACCCTCCAATCAAAGTTCCCTTGAACATGTTGCGCTGTACGGACAATTGATCAGGTTCATCGACCATATGCAAAGAAGTCGAGTAACATTACCTTTGCGGGGTCACCAGTGCTGTATCCAATGGTGTATAGAACACGCGCGGCTACCCAGAGTCCACATGCACTGGCGGCGAAAATAGGCCATTGAGTAGCTACGATCGCGGTGCTAGATCGACGATACATGCATTAGAGCGAGAGATCGAATGAATAGAGAAGCACGTCGACGTACGATCCGAGAATGGTAGGCAGGTTTTCAAGGGTGTTTTGGTGGGCACCTGTGGACAGGAACATAAGGCACCGATTCATGACAGGTAACGAGACTAGAACGTACGTTGGGTGCAGTTGAACTTGTAGGCGTCTTTGTTGGCTTCGGCCTCAGCTTTCTCGGCGTACACTGCAGTTGAGAGGATAAGGTGAGTGTGAAAAGTTGCTTTACACGCAGTATGATGCACGCATACATTGAGGGTAAGGAATTTTAGCGAGCGATCGGGCCTTGGAGACCTTCACCATCTGCCAGAAGTGCAACCAGAAGGTCGACAGGATGGCGGCACCAGCATACTGGTATCTATGAAGATCAACGCATTTAATGAGATACGCGTGTAAAACGCGAAGGGCACATACCCTTGAGGGAGAGTAACGAGGGCAGCAGAAGACATGGTGGAGAAGACACGAGTTGGGAGAGACAGGGGTTGGTTATTTCACTAGTGGGACGCGACAGACTTTATATCAGTGATGAATTCCGAAATCGCGAGGGGTAAACTCAAAAACGTGGCGCGTAGCTTAGGCATACGCTAGCTGGCTACGAATCACAAGCCGGAGTTGACGCGTAGTATTCCGGCAGGTAGGCAACGTACACCAACCGTGTCCACGTCCCATAGGCCACATCCATGACCGTGTAAAGCGCGTAGAAGACATACCTTTCCACTTGATGGTCGATATATGCGGTATAGACCGGCCAAGCCTTACGTTGGGCGGATACAGGAGGGGAGAGAAAGAGGAGGAGGGAGCGTGACTGGTGGCATGGTAGAGACTAGCAGGCGGAAGATATATTCCAGGTAGATCTCTCAGGCCCATTCGACGTCAGCTCTAAGGCTCTCAAAGGCCGCCGCAATCTCAACGGAGATTTCTGCGCGACCTTGCCGGCGTGCGACTTCCAGGCACGTGAACACCCCGATTTGGATGCCGATCGGAAAGCAACTTTTTGCGTGCTGCAGGAACTCTATTTCGCTGCATAGGACTTCTTGCAATTAGCAGCACTTCTGGCAATTAGCTAGGCCATGTCAAAACGAACGGCAACAGAGTTTCAGTCCGCCTCGACGAGCACTGAACATGAACCCAAAAAGATTCCTAGGAATACGAGTGGACCCCAGCCCCAGAGGACTCCAGACGATGAGATGGGCGAATATGAAGACGGATGGGAGGACGAGTATGAGAGCGATGAGGAGGTAGTTGATGGTACTGCTCGAGAGGGCGAGGATGGTGCGTACCATGTTTCATCTCCATAAGATCCATTGCTTCACATTCGTTCTAGACATGGATGTAGACGATCAAGTACTGCCTCCAATCGAGGAATCAGAGGAACAACCACCTGCACCAGATACTTTCATACCTGGAGTACACAAACTCGGCAAAGATGAAATCCTGGAACCAGACGATTCCGTATACGTTATGCGGCATAGCATGAACGTCAACTGGCCTTGTCTTTCCTTTGACATCCTCCGTGATAATCTGGGAGATTTCAGACAACGATTCCCCGCGACAACGTATATCGTCACAGGCTCTCAAGCCGATGTGGCCAAAAACAACGAGATCTCAGTCTACAAAATGAGCTCTCTACAAAAGACTCAAAAAGAGAATGGTGCGTTCTTACATTCGAGATTATCTTCCTTGTGCGAGGCTGTATTGATGAATAGTATTCCGAAACTTTATGCTTTAAAGACTCCGATTCAGATGATGACGATGACGACGACGACACATTAGATGAAGACCCCATTCTCGAATACCGTTCCATCCCCCACCTCGGTGGTGTGAACCGAATTCGTGCCCAACCATTACCCACATCCCAGCCCCTTCCACCAGCCTCACATCCATACTACGTTGCCTCCTGGTCGGAAATAGGCAAAGTGCACATCTGGGATGTCCGACCGCTAATAGAGGCACTCGACGTTCCGGGTTATATACCAGACAAGTCAAGAACACATCAACCCACGTTTACGATCAACTCGCATGGCAGAGCGGAAGGGTTCGCCATGGATTGGGCGTCGTCTGGTGAATCGAACCCCACTGCTCTTCGGCTCCTCACAGGGGATGTTCAAAGCAGGATCTACCTTACCACGACTACTCCCTCAGGATTTAACGCACTCTCCCAGCCTTTCCTCTCGCATACATCCAGTGTTGAAGATCTACAATGGAGTCCTTCTGAAGCGACGGTCTTTGCGTCGTGTTCTGCTGATCAGAGTGTACAAATTTGGGATGTAAGGAGTAAAGGCAGGAAGAGCGTAGCTGGGATTGAAAAGGCGCATGAGAGTGATGTGAATGTGATCAGTTGGAATCGGGGTACGAGTTATTTGTTGTTGAGTGGTGGGGATGAGGGTGGGATCAAGGTTTGGGATCTACGGAACGTCAAGAAAAAAGGGTAAGCAAGCGAAAGGCCCATTTTATTTTATCCATTTTTTTGATTATTATTACTGACATCTTTCAATTTGTCTTGCACGATAGGTCGACTGCAGCAGATCCCGCCCCAGTAGCAGCCTTCAGATGGCATAAAGCTCCCATCACCTCTATTGAATGGCACCCAACCGAAGACTCGATCTTCGCCGCTTCCGGTGCCGACGATCAAGTAACCCTCTGGGATCTTGCAGTTGAACAGGACGATGAAGCGACCGGTGGTATGATGGATGATTCTCCGGTCGATCAAACGCAAAATGTACCCCCGCAGTTGTTGTTCGTACATCAAGGACAGAGGGATGTGAAAGAGGTCCATTGGCACCCTCAGATCCCGGGTGCTGTGATTAGTACGGCGTTGGATGGGTTCAATGTCTTTAAAACTATCTCGGTATAGAACAGGTAGACGCGGCGGACCGCGTGTCTGAATCAGATAGTATTAGTATGGAGTGTTGGTTGTCGGATACGCAGACTCTGTATGGAGATTGGATTAGAATTTCCGGGCCATTGTCTATTGAGAAGAGCTGCTGCGAGATAGTGATGCCATAAATACGATGCGAAACGAATTACGTTTTGTGAATAGGAAAGCGAAGAAGGTAGTCTATGTCAATGCGAGAAAGAGGGAAGAGGATGAAATGATGATGAGTATGCCATTAATATAAGCCGAACGAGTTGTTGCCCTTTGGTGTTCGAATCTAGGATGAGATAGCCTCAGTACGCGCGGTAATCGAATCAGACGGAATGCATATTGTGTACCTTGTTGATATTCTTGTGCAAGATATCTGTCAAGATAGCATACACGTTCCTCAAGTCAAACAGGTTCTGTCGAGCGGTATAGAGTTGCTTCTCGTCATGCTCGATCAAAGACATCTGTAAGCCAAAAAATAGGTCAATGAAATATCCACCCCATTCAAAATAGAAATGACCTACGGTGTAATCTTCAAGGTGAGGGTACTTGAGGATCTTGGAGCAAATCTTGGCACGTTGAAGGACATGCTGTCGGGAGGCATCGCGAAGATTGTATGCGCTCTCTTGGGAGCGGTGCAGCTCGTTGAGAACCTCTGAAGTCGATATATGTCAGTGGTGAGACAGCGAAGGAAGAGAGGACCAATACCTTCTTGAATTTGGACACCGAAATTATCACCACTACAACGAAGCGTAAACAAGTGGCCACAGCGGATGACTGAGACATACGTACTCCTCAATCCTAGAAGTCATCCAAACATGTAAATTCATGTAAATGTTGACGCACGGGAGGGTCGACTCACTTAGGCATCGAGAGGTTCACCCAGAGTTTAACTTTATCCTGTTCATATCAAGAAGCTCGTTAATATCACAAAGTACATATGACGTAAGCGAAGCACTCACACAAAGGTCGGCCAACTGCTCACATTCCTTCTTCACCGTCTCGTGAACTTGCTTCATGTGCTGGTTCGCCACGATCAAGTTTGGGTACAACGCCCTACTCGCGTCATTTCTCAAAGTAATCCCAGAGCCAGGCGCTGCACTGCCATTGTTACCAGAACTTGGCGAGTCGCCGTTCAACTTGCGCTTCTTCGTTTCCGGGCCTTCGGCAGTGGAGAGAGAGGTAGGAGGTGGGTAGACTGTTGCGTCGGTGAACTTGATAGCGTGAGAAGGGTGAAAGATGGAGGAGGGTGAGGATGTTGAGTCGATGAGTTCTTGAAGTTCGCTTAGGAGTATAAGTTCAATTTCGTGCCAACACCTGGCCGTGTGTGCGACTCACATAATCTATATGACGCGCAACGCAGTCGAGTAAGCCAACACTGTTCACAAGGTTAACAACTAAAATGCACTGCGTACTTTGTCGGGGAACGTGCGGAAGAGGATCTCGTCAGCTACTTTAGCAGCATTGTTATGAAAGTCCTATGAAACAGAATACCGAACGTCTAGTCAGCTACTCAACCAACATAATGCTACAGCCCACCTCGAGTTTCTTGGAGGTCTCTTTGTCCATCTTCATTTTGTTCGACATGGTGGTTTGTGAGAAGGGTGTGAGCGTGTCTAAAGGCAAGTTGCTTGACCGAATTTCAACTCCTGCCACAAGACGGCATAAGTAATGACGAATAAGCGCCCCAGAGTGTACCGGACTTGCCTATTTTGGAATGGGCGCTTCCACTCCGCCGGCATTCGTACCCTCTCGCTGTTACGCTCACTGTAACTTGACTGCTTCGCTTACTCATTTATATACCCCCAGGCTCTTCGTGATCTTTGTATACAACTTGACTTCTGATCTGCTTATGCTCACTCTCTCGCGCTAATCACTACTACTGAACTCGAACTTGCTATCTGGAAGCTCTAATTGATTACTCGCTTGCTACTCACGATGTCTACCGGCCAGGTTAGCTCACGCGACGTTGATCTCTGAAGAGCTACTCACTTTTTGAATAGGATGAAACTGAAATCATATCAGGTATCACTGGGTTCTCTCTTTCGCACGTTCTAAGTGGCCTCGATCTACCTTCTGGCCCCGGTCTCTCCAACCAGCTCGGAATTTCTGGTATTCCTTCTCTAAACGAAAGTCAGCTCTTCGAAAGATGGGACGCAGATGTTGTTGGACTGGGGGAAGGAGAAGATTGGGAGGAAGAGGTCAACCGAGAACTGGAGGAAGAGTCAGATGAGGAAAGGACACCAGTCAAGCAGGAGATGGTATCTCCTAAGTACACAGGTCCGAAAGAGAAGAAGAGACGTGTCATTAGGCGGCTCGTTGAACGACCGAAAACCGTTTACGAACGTTTCCCCACTTTCGAGAGGGATAAAGTGTTGAACTTCACCGAGTTGTTTGAGGGGAATACCGTGCATAAATCGCGTGTATCGAAACGACCCTTCCAAGGTATGTTGTCTCTTGTTACAATGAGCTTTTTTGCTTAATAGTTATAGTTGAGATCACGTTTCCCAGGAAGAAAGAGGTCTCGAGAGGGTTCTTGGAAGCTATCGTAGGAGACACGGAGAGGCAAGTGGAGAGTAAGCGTGTAGAACAGGTTGTTGCCGCCGGAAGCGTCGATGAAGACCTACGACATGCTCTCGAGGTACATTATCAATGCTGGTATTATCGAATTGGTACTTACTTTCAATGCTAGGAGCGGGAGAAGACAGGTGTCCCGGTCTCTCTTCCATTACACGACCGCTCCTTTGACCTAGTTCTCCTGTCAAACTGGGAAGACCAGATCATATATGAACCAGAAGAGGAAGAACTTGAAACGCTTGCACCTGTGCCACAAACAGACCTCACCACACCCCTCAACAAAGCGCTTGAGTCGGGTCTCTGGACGCAGAGTATTATATGGAATCCTCGAGCGCCATTCCGAGACTTCACTCAGTTAGAGTTGAACGAGGAAGACCTTACACAGGAGGAACGACCAATACGTACGTGTCCTCGCTCTTTCACTCATAATGATGTTTAGATGTTTATGACTTCAATCCTAGCGGCAGAGGTTGCACGACCAAAGAAACGTCTTAGGACGGATGCTACTCCCAAGGACAGGTTTAACATATCGAATGACCAGTACTACGAGGTGCAAAAGGAGGGTGGCAGGCATCGTGTCAGGCAGACGTTTGGTCAGCTTGTTGTCGAACATGCCTACCCCGCCCAGAAGTTGCAATTGCCATTCGTACGTATCTTGTTGGCTGTTCTACCTGTCTCCTGGATTTCTTATGCCATCTTTCTGCAGTACAAGACCCGTCTTTCGAAACAAGAAGCTCGCTCCTTCCACAGACCCGCCCTTCAATTCCCCTCCAACATCGAGATTCGTTTCAGCAAAGTTCGAACCGCAAAGAAGAAGAAAGACAAGGCGGGTCGCAAGATTGGCAAAGGCGGGAACGTGGGCGAGAGTCTACACAAAACTGGAGATCTGAGTTTGAAGGATACCAGCAATTTCGTGCTCTGGGAGTTCTCGGAAGAACATCCACCAATTATCTCAAACTTTGGAATGGGGAGTATTTTGGTGAATTATTATAGGAAGAAGAATGAAAGAGATGAGTTTATACCCAAGGTAGGCCTCGTTATTCATGGGTGCATTGGGACGTATGTAACAGTATATTTTTAGTCCGATTTGGGCGAGCCCATCGTGATCGAACCTCAGGACGAATCGCCATTCATGAAGTTCGGCTCTGTTCAACCAGGACAGACCATTCCTGCCTTGTACAATAACCTCGTTCGCGCGCCTCTGTTCCGACATAAGCCTTATCCAACCGACTTCCTTGTCATCAAGAGTACCACCAAGAATGACACGAAATATTACATTCGAGAGATCAAGAACTTGTTTGTGGTCGGGCAGACATATCCCGTTACTGAAGTTCCCGGGCCCCATTCAAGAAAAATCACCAATACAATTAAGCATCGACTACAAATCATCGCATTTAAGCTTCTGCAGAAGAGTGTCGAAGAGCGGTTGAAGATCTCGAGGTTGATGAAGTACTTCCCAGATCAGAACGAGTTGCAGATGCGGCAGCGTCTGAAGGTAGGGCACAACAAGTGAGATCGCTTGGCATATACTAATGTATCACTTTAGGAATTCATGGAGTACCACAGGCGGGGTCCTCACCAAGGATTCTGGCGACTGAAGTCAAATTGGCAAATACCATCTGATGCCGACATGTTGAAGATGGTCACCCCTGAACAAGTCGTCCTATCGGAGAGTATGCAGGTTGGACAACGACATCTGCAAGATTCTGGTTACAGCTACAACGGCGAAGTCGCTGAGGATGATGAGGGTAACCTCTCCATCGAGCAACAATTAGCACCCTGGATTACGACCAAGAATTTTCTATTCGCTACCCAGGCCAAGGCTATGTTGCGATTACATGGTGAAGGTGATCCCAGTGGTCGTGGCGAGGCTTTCAGTTTCATTAGGGTGTCCATGAAGGATATCTTCGTGAAAGCCGGTGAAGATTACGAAACGAAGCTCGGTACGCATTGATTGCACATATCCAATTACTCATACCTCATGCTGACCATTATGACTCTTTATTCAGCGGAAGCGGAGAGCCGTCCAAAATCTGCCCACAGGTACAACGTTGCTGAACAGCAGCAGATATACAAATCTGAAATTGAGCGTATCTGGAAAGCTCAGTATGACTCGCTCAGTCGCAAGGATGAGCCCGAGTTGTCGGCGGAAGAGGAGGAAGATAGAAAACCTGACACTTCAATGGCGGGGCCCTCCCGTCGACAATCTGTGGCCTTGGGCTATACTCCAGCGCAATCGTCGCTGGCTATTCGTCATGATACTCCCGGACCTGGGTCACCTGCGTTCAGTCGAGGCTCGTCTCTTGCTCGTGAGGTCAGCATGGGACCTGAGGCGCAGAGGAATCGAGTCCTGAGAATCAAGCGATTCGTTAACGGAGAATGGAAGACCGAAATTGTCCGTGATGCTGCTGTGATCAACGCCTATGTCAAGAGACGACAGGCCATCGAGGAGGAGAACCTTACTGCTGACGCCCTTGCTCCCACTGGTGATGCAGAGAAGGACAGACGAGCGAAGAAGAGGTACGGATGATCGGCTTTGGAACGGGGCCGATGATGGTTTCTCACCGTTTGCTTTTTGTTTAGGCTGGAAGAGGAGATTGCAAGGATGAAGAAGAATCAAGAGCGTCGTCTTCATCGGAAGAATGCCAAGATTGTCAAAGAAGGTGGTACACCTATGCAACTTAATCGCCCGGTTAAGCCAGATACGACCGTGAGTTCTATTAATAACCTACCAATGGACGTGTTTGATTTACGGTGCTCCAGAGACGATGTGGCCATTGTGGGCAGATGGGTCATATGAGTAAGCGTAAATGCCCCGCTGTCATTGACAACACTCTCACCGATGAATTCTTCTCCAGAAACTAACCGCAAATGTCCACGGTGGGCAGAGTTCAACTCGGGCACGCCACCGATGCCCACCGCTGCTGCTGCGAGTCCGTCTGCGACTTCTCCGACCAGCTCATCAACCTTCAACTTTGGCAAAACTTCAGATCCGTTGTATTCTCCTGGAGGTACGCCGGGGCCTTCGGGATTACTGCGACCACCGAATCCTTCAGCTGCTCATGGGCCGTCACCGTTGGCTACCAGTCCTCCAGTGATCGCCATGGAGGAAGACGATAATGACATACCACCATCCTCTAGTTCTGCTCCAAAGCTCAAGCTCACCCTCAAGAAGTCATGACCAGATATTATATCCGCTTTACACTACTGTACATTATAAATACATTTATCCATCTTATCGTCGCTATTTGAAGTCGGGATAATCAATGGCTGTACCAAGTGGTCCTGAGGGTAGAAAAAGTAGATCAGACGTGTCGTGAATGCATCCACGGGGAGTCGAGCTCAGAGCCAGGCCATGTAGAACGCTAAATAATTTCATAATTTCAAATCATTATTTAAGATTGTTGTTCACTTCGAACGCTTGTCGTTGATCAACGTTCAACGACTTGGCACGTACATAGGACTCAACATGCCGCCAAGTCTCCAGAGTGTGTATACACTTGAGCGTTGCAGCGTCTCTCCTCCAGTTGTACAAGAAAGTTGGCAAGTCTTATACTAAATGGGTGTTTCCTCCCGCGAAGCTAGGTGCTCTTCCCATTCAAAAGGATCCCCGAGCGTGTCCGCGTTCTCATGCTCAACTCCACTCTTTCTCCCTCCACAGGTGCGGCTTTCAAGTACCATGTTGAGATGTCCTTCTCCCGTCTCGTTCCGCTTCTCTCCTATGCTGTCAGATCCCTGTGCCAGTCCAATCTGTTGGTTAGGCTGCACCCGAAGTGCCCCGGTCTTGAGGGTTGCTTCTCGCAAGATGACAGGCCTGAAGCTGAAGGCCTGATGTCTGCCTCGTTTCTGTCTACCATTTGTACTAGCGAGATGTGCTCCAAGGAAATTCACGATGTCTCCTAGCTTCAAGATCCTACGCGTCACGAACGCCACGCGAACCGTAGCATGAGGTTCCTATTCCCGCAAGGGTCATGCAGGTTGCTGTTCACTCACGAGTATGTAAGTCTTAATTCGCTTTTCGCTTGGATAATGTCAGTCTCGTCCACATTGCTTCATGTTCACAGGAAGTGGAGTAATTCTGTCGTTATCCGCGTTATCTGGCCATCTAGGCTGTTCGAAGATATTGAGATTGGCATTCACAGTGCGGCTTTAGGCATCCGTCCTTCGGATGTCGTTGTTGCGATCTTGGCATTCGACGAATGTCCATCGTGTAGAACGTTTCCAGGGTTCATTTCATACGTTCTGGCCGGTCTGAAGACCGAGCACGATGCGTCTTTCCAGCCGCTGTCTTCCCTTTTCCAGGCTGAACTTGCCCGTGGTATGCTATCATGCAATGCACTAGAAGACCAATTACAATATCAACTATCACCGCCCCCATATTTCCGACCGTTGATTGGTGCTTCTCCCGAATATTGTGTACTGGGCTGTAGTAGGTTTGTTTCCATCTTTTTTCCATGCCAAGCCTATGCTGCTATTTTTCGCCCTCGTGTTAGGTATAGATGATATTCTTGTCTTGCGAGCAGGGTTCATTTCAATGCAGGTGAGAGTCTACGGTCAGCTGCTGCCGAATGTTCACAATGAGACCGTTGTGCTTGGCTGATGTTCACATACTTCATGCCGAGTTTAGTTGTGCGCATGCAACCTTCCAGTGCATCTGGCGTGTTCTTTGGCATCGGTTGTTTGTTCAGCTGACTATGTGCTTGTCTAGAGGCCTAACTACACGTCCTTCTTCAACGTGGTGGCATCCGCATCTTTACACGCCCTGCTGCCAAGTCTGAAGCTATCCTCTTGTCCACCGATTGCAACAAGCTTCTCTTATTCCTGTAGGTATATTTCTCTCTCACAGCTTCCGAGTTCCGGACGTGGGGATTGCATCTGAAGGTTCGAAATCGCGTCGACGTCTCCGCTTTGCTTGGCCAAACAATCTATCAGCATCGTGTTTCGATGTATGTTTGGTCACTTCTGCCCGCGTGGAATCAAAGAGTGTATTCCTTGATTTTCATTCTTGTTCAGCAAACCGACGGGATATTTTGTTTAACCAGAGGAACCAAGCCGCAAACTCAAGCTCAGGGCCCGAGTGTCGCTAATCAGCGATGTAGAAGCCAGTTTGTAAATCAAGGCTGTTATCTTCTGTCAATCGACCATCGACATTGCTGCCATGCCTATGATATGTGTGAGCACAACCTCACGCCAAGTCTTGCTGACTATTTTCTCTTTGAAGAAGATCCTCGGACGTGCTATTTGGGCATCTGTTATTCATTGCCCTGAACAGCCATTGACTGTCACTTGACATCATGGTATTTCTCGTACCTCAGGTCTGCCATTCTGTGAGTTTCCTGGGCTGGCTTGAAGTCCTTGGCATGCTCTACACCTCTGGCATACGTTCCGTTGTCTCATCAGCAACTTTACGAACATGTAGCTCGTGCCTAACGTCATGTTGCCTGTTGCCGTTCGTTCCGCCACCCAGCTTGGAAACCGACGTTCGAAATGATAGAATGTGCAGGCATCCGCCGATAACTTACCCAGATGTTCCATATGGGTGTTGTATATGCCCTCAATGTTGTGAAACGTTAACTTGTCCTCCGCCGACAAGCGGCCGGCATGTGACTGTTCCAGTTCTCAGTTGCTCCTCAACCATCTTCAGTTCTTTTGTTCGCTATTCAGTGCGCGAATACCACATGTCGGGCATCCAACACATCCGACATTTACTGCATATGCACATTCCTCCCGAGTTAACGGTCGTTCTTCTGTCATTATCGCACGAACGACGATATGCATTCACTTCAGGCTTATCTTTTCGTATTGTATTCGCGCTCGTACCCGCCCTGTTCCTGGACCTCAAGTGTGCTCATTTACTACCAGGGTACATGTGACAACCCTTTAGATGCATGATGCACCTCAAATGTTTCGACATTCTCATCTTCCTTTCGGCGTCTTTGTGTGACTCGTGTGTATCGCTGCCTCGTCTGGGTTGTTTAACGTATGTATGTCCGAGGAGTTTGGGCCGAACTACGCACCATCTTACGAGCAATAAACACTACCTTCGGTCGTACTCTTGCAGTCTGATCTATACCACGTCTTCTCCCGTTCAGTCCCGCGTTGTGAACACTCACTCCGCGAGGCTCGATTCTACATACTGATCCAGCATTGGGGCTATTCAATTACTGTATAGGCACGTTTGCACAACTTGTTCCATTCGTAACGTCTTCTTTCATCGATGTTCCGTTCGTCCCCGTAACGAACATCTCGAGCTCGCGCCCATACATCACTGACTTGTTCTTTCTCCCAAGTCTCAACCACTTCATGTGGGTGTATGCTATCACACATGATCATGCACCCATATACATTATAAAAGTATGTTACCATCTTTCTGGTTCACTCGCACGAAAACATCCTTCTCTCGCTAAGTCAAACATGTTCTCCTTCGTTCCTTCATCTTCCCCGTTAATTTCCGTATTTTTCGTAGGTCATCGTAGGTTCTTCTCCTGTGCCTTAGACGATGTTAACATGCTTCTCACCGTGTATATATCTCATCTAGGTCCCAACCCAATCACTTTGATACAACTCCAGAAAGGACACCTTCCGTCCTTACCCGTATCATCATCCTTCCAACGCCCCCCACGATGATGGAATATTCCTCGCTTCATGCTTCGCATTATAGCAATATGAATTCAATTGATTTCTTTTTTCTTCTTTTTTCAGGCACGCGGGGTGGTTACGAGCTAATGGACGCCTCCGCCGCTACGGGTGCCTTGCCAGATGACTTCTCGCTTCTTTCAATGCACTCTGTTTTTTTTTCTTAAGCGATGTCAAGAGATTCTACGACTCCTCCCGACGATTTCCCGTTTTCGTCGGTATTTGTTATTCTGGTTTTCTGGCAGCTTCGTGCGGCGTGCATATGGAGACAACGGTCGTTAATGATTATAATTTCGGCGTTGATGATTATAACAGTAATCTTTTGAGGATTTGCTGCAGGGACTTTGGACAGGTCATAAGTACTCGGTGCAGTGTGATTCAGGTCATAATGAGACGACTCTGGTCATCGGTATTTCTCATTCTGGTTTTCAGGTTTGCACGTAGTGCATATGGAGACTGATGTGTGTTAATGATGATAGGTGCTTTAGTGCGTTGGTGACTGTAAGAGCGAGTTTTTGGACATTTGCTGAAGTGACTTTGGACAAATTGTATTCGATGCAGTTAGGCTCTGGTACTACAGACCCAACTGTATTTTCTGACCCAGATATGTTTCCAAACTTATCGTGACGTTGACACCCCGACATCGAAGCAATGCGTATGTTCCCATCGAATTCTCTGTATATGTTCCGGCCTGACGCGATATTTGTTGTCAGGTATATCATGTGTGTGTTATGTTATGTATAACCACTATGTCGGGCGCATCATCTGGTTGACGGTTTGGTTCCTAGATATCCCGACTCGCTTCGTTCACAAGTCTCCATAACAGAAGAGGGAGAGTAAAGAAGACCATATGGATTCGTAACAATACGTGGGTTTTCTGTCCTGACTTATAGGTATTGATTGTTACTTTGCGATCTGGAACTGTGCCGTTGAACTGCGACGTGAGAGGCATTGAAGGAGGATGCACAGTGTGGGTGTATATGCGCTCGCAGCCTGTAGTATACGGCATACCGGTGCGTACGACATGAACATGACGATCCCCAAGCCCAACTGACATCTCCCAGACCCAACCCAGACCAGTCCTTAGCTCACTATCCAATATATAGATTCCAAATTCCAACGTCCAAATGAAGTCTTCACGTGCTCATCTCGTTCTCTCCGGTATCTCTTTTCAAAATCCCCATCGCCGCTGAGCTCCAACAGGGGAAGCAAACCGGCCCAAGGCCTTGGAGTAGTATAGAGTATATGTCATAAACACCCGTTCTACAAATATCCAGACGCTTTGCGCTTGGCTAGCTTGGCCGGTTCCAAGCGTTCCAAGGTTGTTTTCCAAGAAGAGCGACAAGGGCCAGACTGGCGGGTCCGAGGCTATGGCAATTTTTTCGAGGGAGATGCCGGGTCAATCGTGAACCGTGTTGGCAGTTTCTGAGATGGGTATCATGGAAAGCTTGTTGACGTTCCGGGTGATGAGGTTGTGTGGGTGGAGTCGAATGAATTGCTTCTCTCAGTGAGAAGCAAAGCGCTGTGCAAGTGATGTCGGACGATGTATTAGAGTCGGACTTTGTCGGGCGTAGGATGCATGGGAGACATTTTTTAATGAGATTACGGATTCACACCCGAGAATCGCCTATTGCAATAAAAGTAACAATCCAGAAAGCGAGGTCAGAGATTCACAGAAGGCGTATTTAGGCTTCGATCTGTGCTAAGATAGGGTATTAGGAGCGTATTAGTGCGGGAATAAGTCGGGGGTGCGAGGTTCGGATGTGCTATAATATTAAAGAAGCAGAAGCTGGAGATCTAGGAGTCGGAAATGCGCAGACTGCAGTTGGCTACGGGGAGGCGCAGAGGAAGGAGTGGTGCATGTATAACGAGGGGACACGTGGATAGGGAAGACTACGAGAATAGAATGCTGCGGAAGGACGGGGTATAAAGGGAGCCAAGCCGGTGAGGGGGAGACGCTGGACAGTGCCAAGCCTCGCCAAGAGAGTTGCAAGCGGATTGCCAAGGAAGGACAGACTTGGCAGATGCGCAGGGCGTGCCAAGGGAGCCAAGAGCCTGGGTGATCGCCTGGACGGAATTCAGATTTATATATTATATTACCATCTCCCTCATGTCTCACCCGCCTCCTCTTCGCAAGCCTCTTCTGCACTCCCGTGAGCTCGTTCCTCTCAGCCTTCTCCAGTATTCCCTCTACCGCAACTCCTATCTGCATATGTCTGCCTCTCCGCCACACGGCCAGTCTTCCTCGCCGCCTTCGCCAAAGCTGCAACAACAGGAACAGGAACAACAGCCGGAATCCTCCTCTGACATTCCTCAGGAGAAACCCCAAGCAAAGTCCGATCCTGCTCCAGGCCATTCCTGCCAGTGGATCGACTGCGACAAGGTCCTCTCCGACCCAGAGTCTCTCTACAACCATCTCTGCAATGACCACATAGGCCGCAAGAGCACTGGCAACCTCTGTCTCACATGCAAATGGAAAGACTGCGGCACGTCCTGCGCTAAGCGCGATCACATCACTTCTCATCTCCGAGGTTTGTTCCTTGTCTGCCTTTCATACTTTCTCCTCTGACGTCGTTCCCCTCTCAGTGCATACACCGCTGAAGCCCCATGTATGCGAGATTTGCAAGAAGCCCTTCAAGCGTCCTCAGGATCTCAAGAAACACGAAAAGATCCACACAGAGGAACACCATGCCCAGCATAGGCATTCCAAAGCCATCACCGTTGTCGACCCCGCGTACTCTAATCGCGTCCATGGGGACCAAATCAGAGCCTCTTCCATTTCTGCGAGAGTGAAACCTTCGTCCTCGCTTTCTTCCGATGAACTACAAGTTCCGATTGCCAGAGCAAAGTCGGGTTCAATCTCGTTATCCGAAGGTTCCTCTGGTACGTACAATTTGTCAGGTGCGTTTCACATGGACGTCTGTGTTCTCATGTCAGTGTCGTAACTGTGCTAGACTTTGGTGTTTTGCCCACTCCCTCTCCCGATATCGCACATTCCCCCATCCGATATTCAGTCCCCGAGCCTCACCACCATGACATCTACAACATTCAGAATCAACTCCCTTCATGGGAAGTCCTCCGATCAGATGGCACGACGGCTACAACAACGCCTGGAGCCGGCGGAGGTGCAAAGAGAAGCTATGATTATAGCGTTGGAGACTTCTTCACCGACGTGAAGAAACGGAGGGTAAACCCCTCTTATGATCCTCGTGCGTAAATTCTCACTGAAATGACCTCCTTTTCGCAATGTTGACTTTTAGATCGTAGATATGGTCGAACGCCTCAACACCATCGCACAGTCTCAATCTTTGAGTAACGCGACAGGACGAAGAGTCACAGTCGGACCTCCTTCGATGAATCAGTCCAATTTCAACCCTCGTTCCGTGTCATTTGATATTCGTTCGCCTGAAGAACTCGCTGCTGTGAACGAATTCCTCATTACACTAGGGCGAGATGTCTCGCAAGCCCCACCAGGAGCTCGACACCCTCAGTCCGTCCAATCTCACCACTCCCCTCACGGCCTTCACAATGGCCATACTCCCCATCCTTCTCATAACCCACACAACATGCACAGTCAACAATCACATGCCGGTCCCCCGCCTCCCCCACCAGGTCTTTCCGCCTCAGCGCAAAACGATTACAATGCAGCTGCTCAATACTTCGACACGGCTGATTTAACTCAGTTAGGATTGACTGGTATGCCAGGAGTCCCCTCCGCTCCTAATGCTCCTGGTCCGGGCTCGGGTGCAGGGTATCATGGAGATGGAATGGGCCTTGGTGGCGGAAACGGGTACGGTGGAGGCGCAAATGATCTTTTGGCAAGCCATATTAACCCATATCCCAGTCGGGCGAGCCATCAAAGTGTCCAACCGGTTCAAAGTGTTCAGTATGGCGGTGGAGGGAACGGGCTCTATCCTGCCCTTCCGACAGAGTCGTATTCGGATTATGAGTTCCCTCCTCAACATTATCATCACCGGTCTTCCAGAATCTCGATGTCGCCTGCTTCGTCTTCTGGCCCGCAATCGTATCACCAACCAGCACCTTCGCATTACCTCAACACTCCTTCCCTTTTGCACGACCCCCATTCATCGTCTTCTGGTGGTATGAACACGATCTCACTAGGCGGATCATCGCCGCTCTCCTCACACTCATCAATGTCAACACCACCCATCGCGACACCACCACACATTCCCTCCCTCCCCGTCCTGCCCGAAAGCGTTGCCAACTTTGATTACTTGCGACCTCGACATGCTCCGCCCACGATTCAGCTCGCTCCTGTTGATCTTGGTGGAAGAACGATGAGGACGATTGTGCCTTTGAAGACCGCACCTGAAAGTGTTGTAAAGAATCGACCGGAGCCTATGGAACCCAGGTTAGATCCTAAGGCTCCTGGGACTTATCCCCATCGAGGTCCTCCGGCGAAGTTGACTCCGGATGTCATATCGGCGTTGTCGTCGTCGAGCTCAAGATTGTCTATGTCGTCTTCCTCAAGACCTTCTACGTCTTCGTCTTCATCTTCCAGACCTTCGAATGAGAGTTCGTCACATGCCGGGTCGTCGTTATACCCTCTACTTACAAGAGGAGATGATGAATACACTTTGGCGCCGTTGAAGAATCGACATCTCTATCGCTCTCCTTCACCTGCGTCGGAGGCTAGTACTAGTACTAGTCAAGCTATGTCGCCAATGAGGGAAACGTCACCTTCGCCGGTGTATGATGAGGATATGCGGAGTGTTAGTTCGGATTCGGATTCGGACGAGAGGGAAAGACGTGTTGAGGAGGACACGGAGATCGACTCTCCTGAGGGGAGTAGTAGGAGTGTTACACCTGAAGCTAGGAAACCTCTCTTGCCTGGGATCAAGGCACTCACAAGTGGCGTCACTCCCTCATCAACATCGTCGCCGTCGTCCAGAGTAGGGTACCCTGATCTCAGTCAACTCGCTCTCTCGACTCCACCTTCGACTTCACCCGTGATGTCTTCTCGTACACCAACCGCCACTTCTTCACCCACCACCAGCGCAAATGGTACCACGGAAGTCGCTGCTGCTTCTGCTTCTGTTACACTGGGTGTTGGTGCTACTGAGGCACAGCGATTAGAACATGCACGGCTGATCAGAGAGTTGTTGGTTCAGATCAATCTGGATTATAGGCAGAAGTTCGGGACACCTCCTTCGCTTGATGGTAGTGATCATCATGAGTCTATGACGCCAAGAGCTGGATCTAGGTCTCCGACTACGGCGGCGGCGGCGGCGACTATTCATGAGAGGACGGGTGGTGGGAGTTTGTATCCGTTGTTGAGTGGGGAGAAGTGGGATGAGGAGGTTAGGAGGGAGAGGGGGGGTTGGTGTGTGGGGAAGGGGACGAGAGATGTTGAGATGCTTGTTGTTTGATGATGTGGAAGATATACACACAATCTACTCTTCGCGATTTTTTTTAGTTTCGCGTTGTCCATTGCTATTATCGTACATACTTATTTTTTTCGAGTTTGAAATCCAATCAGATGTATTCGGCTCTCCCCCTCTCTGTGTCTCTTTTCTCTCTTCGTGGTTAGACGATATTATTCCTTGTTGTAATGCTTGTATTATATGTAGCTTTTTTGCTAGCCCAGGAGATTGAAATGCCTATTCATGTTGCACGATATTCGACCGTTGTTGATGAAAGGGCCTGGAGGACTTCCAACCTGCATGACGTTGTCGAGAGAGATGAATGGAAGGCTAAGCAAACGAGGATACATGGGCGCCCATAATATCAGGACGTTATATTACTACCTGCTCTAAGTTGGTCCTTGGACATTCTAATATCTGAATTCACACCTCATAATTGAACTATCCCGCATCCCTGGTTGATCGCTACTGTTGTTAATGATCCCATTGAAATTATATAGTACGTGAACCCGTCTCAAGGGATCGTCTTGGAGGCAGACTCCTCCAAACGTACATAACTGAAGCGCCCGCATCTTGCTTTCTGCTTTATTTCCATCTTCTCCTTTCCAAGGGCCAGCTTGCATCTCGCCGCATTTACCTTCGAGAATATCAGCAGCAGCCAAGTTGGCGCTTGCGACAACACCACTGTTAACGGTCATCATCAGCCCAAACGCAGCCACACTTGGGCCACAAACCCCTATCTCACTCTCAGACCTGCTATGACACAACATGGAGTCCTTTCGAATATTAATCTTACCTTCCTACCCAGCGAAATCATTTCTGAAATTGCTGAACATCTGCCATCTGTGGAAGACGTTCTATCCCTGTCCTCTGTGAACCACATGCTTCGTGATGCTATATCTACCCCAGTTGTATTCAAACATCGCGTTGCTTTGCATGGTTGGGACGTTGAGCCTTGGGAGGACATATTGGGTAACCCGATCCCCGACAAAGATATGCTGAGGAGATGGCAGAAGATTGATCTAGCACACGAAAGGATGGACGAGCTTATGGAGACGGGCACCCGTATCAACCCTCCGGAATTCAATGCAGATAATCCCATGCCTGCTCTCCCAACGATTATGTGGGCTGTTCATACGCTCGATTTACTGTCTTTGATACTCGAAAATCATTGTAAGCCCTTGGCTTCTTTACTTTGTGCAATGTATGTTTACCTTCTATCACTGATTATGTTAGGTCATATGAATAGTTTGCGTTTATGTAGCGAAGCTCATCGCGGGTTGTGGCCCATGGCAATCGAGATACTCGACTTGGCGAATGACTGGTCCGTGGACGGTAGCCGGGGACGTGCGAATGTCTTCCAGGATCTCTATCGCACACGCTTTCAGACTCTTCACCCAACCCAACATGCACTGTTTAATCTTGTATCAGTGTTGTGCACTCGTATGTCCCTGCAACTTCTCATTATTTGACACATATTCGATGTTCACGTTGACACTTTACAGAGGATACAGCCGTTCTACGCTCTCTATTCGGGAGCGCGTTCTGCAGTATCACTACAATACCCAAATACCACGTCCTCATTGACTTGCGGATGTCTTCCGACGTCACGAACGACAACTACCACCGATTCTCCCCATGTAGCCTCTCTTTTGCAATCCTCTTGCTCCATCTTCGACTTAAGCCGAACTTCAAGCATCTGCTGCCTGGTATCTCAATGCCCGTCCAGCCCGCTATGCATAACTTTCAACTTGGACAGCGGCTTTCCACGTCCGACTTCCCCTTCAATTCGTTGCTACCAGCAGAAACTCGACCACGATGGGTTGGATTTTATAGCTATGCTTGGGACGGGACCCTTATGCTCGACCCTCCCATGCGCATTTCATTCACCTCCGTTGAACAGGAACTCGATCAAGTGATTTTCTTCGCCACAGCAAATGACTCAGTCGGTCCTTTTAATCTCAGTGGGAGTATCTCTTTGAAAAGCGGAAATGTGGAAGCAATGAAGCGATATACCATGGTAGGAGGACCTGTTTGGCCATGGGATGGTACAGTTTTGCCTTGGGGGATGGTAGGGGCTTGGGGCGAGGACCATCAACATGGGTGGTGGTGGATATGGCCTGAGCTTGCTTGAAGTGTTCCTTTTACGAGATCGCCGATGTTCGTCCTGGCTTCGACTTCTGTTTCGACTCGACATTTTATCATAGTTGGATATGATATACTCGCTAACTATCCATTAATGGTTGCAATGAATATAGTGTAGATACTCGACTGCACCAAGTTATGTGTTTTACAGAGCAACTTTCTCATCTTTGCTTTGTTCTCACCGACGTTTGTCACGTCCGATGTCGTTCGCTGAACCTGCGGATCGAGTTGCAAGTTACATATTGTAAGGATTTTGATTTGTAGCCTCTCATCTTCTGACCAGACCGGGCCTTTGGACTCATTTTGGGGTTATATTCGAGGTGCATCTGAATTCAACGAGTATTGAAATGCATTCTGGTAAGCCATACAAGTAGATTTCAGGTCACTGTGCTGCTTCGGTTTCGTATCGCGGACATTGATGTTGTGATCGGGGTTTCCTAGGAATGTACTTCCAGACCTCCCGGAAAACTCTTGAATGGCAGCTCAGCATGGATACTCTTCCACTTGAGATTCCTACAAGTTTACCTCTCAGAAAATCCTGTTTTCTCTTTGCAGTTTTCTGGAAGGTACGATAAATTAGAGTGCGACATGAAATGTCCCCTGGAACATTGCGACATATTCAGGGCATCGACGCGGTCGCAAAAGATCCTGAGTAAACTACTAAACGGTCAATACTCGAATACGGTGAAGGTTGCCGTTAAGATCGTCGCAAGGAACTTCCACGTACGTCCGCCTGACCGGGATTCCGTCACTATTCGAGTAGGTTGCAGCGCGCATTGGCCGGCCCACCCCAGTGGCTGCAGTTTTCACACTTGGTCAAAAGACTGGTATACAATTGTAGATTACGACACTTCAAAATGTCCCTTCACCGTATAACCTTCAAGGTCATCACAGCGTCCCTACCAAATAATTCCGTCCTGGTAGGCTCCATATTCGGCAACTACACCACAGCACAACCCTCAATCAGTTCTACCGTATCCCTGAAGGATTTCACAAACAACTTACTGCCGTAGAGACCAGGTCGTCACCGTACCCTACCCCATCGTTCCCTACAAATGTCGGAGCGACGGTGACGATTATAGTGTTTACTGAGTTTGCTTCGGCAAAGAAGGAACGGATGACTTGGGCTCCGCCTTCGACCATGAGTGAGCGAATACCCAGTGTACGGAGGGTTGTAAGAAGGACTGGAATGGAGATACGTCCTGAGAGACACCAATCAGTCAAACGGTGAATGCATTACTTTATGGTACAACGGGATTACCATTCTCGCCTTTAACCTCGATAACCCGCGCGCCAGCAGCCTCCAATGCTTGTTTTCTGGTTACCCAATCTGAGTTTTCGGAGACCTGACCGATCACCCAAGGCCTTCTGCCTCGTCCTTCCTTGTAGTTCTGTATTAACTTGCAGTCTAACGGTAAACGAAGGCTGGAATCAAGGATAATGGGTCGGGGGAGGTGGTATTTGCTTCCTGATAACGCTGGGAGATGACGTGCTGTATCAAGATGTTTCAGTAAAAATAGCGTACACATAGATTATTTATGCTTACTGTTCAGTTGAGGGTTGTCATTGAGTGCAGTCCCGATGCCAATCATAATCGCATCATGCATCGTCCTCATCCTAACCTTCGTTTCGGTCAATCACTATATCACGTCCTTAGACGAATCGTCGCGTACCAATGAGTCATAACCATACTGTCCTTTCCGCTCAGTGTCAGTTGTTTCCCTCCCACACCAGCGATCTTCGCATCCAGACTTTGCGCAAACGTCAGCGTCACATACGGTTTTGCTGGGTCCGGAGAAGTCGGAGTGGGGATCTTGTATTGGTCGTTAGTATCAGAACGTTTGTCATAGAGAGCTACGGGTGGTCCAGGTGCGAATTGATTGTGGCCGGGAAGGAGGGTGCGGAGGAGGAAGACAGGAGGGAAAAGCTGTTCCATCGTATAAGGTCACCAGCACGAATGTAAAACTACAGCAGCTAGGAGGGTGACGGTGAATATTTCGAATCCTTGGAGGAATAAGATGTCGGAGTCGTTTGTAGTCTAAGAAGTTGTAGCTTTCCAGTTATCTAGAAGTGGATATATATCTCGTTCGAGCTGATCTGCAGCTTCAAAACGGTCGAGATCTGAGAAGCACTCCCTGGACGTGATCGAGGATCGAACCTGAATACTTTCCCAATCAAGCATCCTGGGGTAAACCCATTTTCAGATTTACTTCGGGTGAACGCCGATCGGCGCTCGCCGCCCGGTCCCCCTCAAGTTACCAATTGCAAACTCTCGTGCTTGCTCCATTTCTGTATTGCTGGGGGCAGTGTGATCAGGTCTCTGCTGACTACATTTCGAAACTACTATTTGAAGTCGACGACTCCAATCACCTACTTTCTCACCCGGCATAACTGTAACCACTCGACCAGCCATGATCGCTCCGGCGGTGGTCGACTCAGAAGCGACCAAACGAAAACCTCAAGAGAATGAGCAGGCTCATGAGTCTGATGAGGATGAAATAGAGGAGGAAGTTGCGGATGTCCTTGGGACTGGTGAGTACACAGTTTGCCTCGTGTTTGTTCTATCAGGTCTCGAGAGTGGAGCTTATTAGCTTGCGACCATTCGTCAGTGGGTCCCGACAAGCTGGTATTGGTTCTCATGAAGTCAAATGCGTTTCTGACATTTTCATTTGGTGTGTTGTAGGTGAGGCAAGTAAGAAGAAAAAGAAAAAGAAGAAGTCGAAGAAAAAGAAGCTCACGCAGAGCGATCCTCCCCGGGTTGGTATAACCAAGCTGTTCCCGGATGGGAACTTCCCCGAGGGCGAGTTGCAGGAGTACAAAGACGAGTGCGTACCCCGTATTGTTTATTCCTGACTTTCTTTACTTATCATAATTTTTATCGTGTAGCAATGCCTGGCGCACCACATCCGAAGAGAAGCGTTATATTGAACGAGAAATCCTCAACGACCCCGTGGAAACTTACACTAGCATCCGTCGAGCGGCCGAAGTCCATCGACAAGTCCGACAGTACGCTCGAAAAACTATCAAACCTGGGATGAAGATGATGGAGATTGCAGACCTGATCGAAGACGGTGTCAGGGCGTGTGTGGAGGAGAATGGGTTAGAGAGTGGGGTTGGGTTTCCTACTGGGCTTAGTCTGAATCATTGTGCAGCGCATTATACACCTAATGCTGGGGATACCAAAGGTGAGCCTTGTGTTTTGTGGAAATTGGATGATGTAGGGCATGGCATGCTCACGCTTTCGTCTTTTTATTTTAGTTCTTCAGGATGGTGATGTATTGAAGGTTGACATTGGTGTTCAAGTCAAAGGGCGGATATGTGACTCTGCATTCACTCTCTCGTTTGATCATCGTTATGAAAAGCTGCTCGAGGCCGTCAAAGCCGCTACCAATACCGGTATTAGGGTATGTACACATGAGCCCTTATTCATGGTTATTTTCATTGTGCTTATTGAAATATGGTGCATATAGGAAGCTGGCATTGATGTTCGTCTAGGTGAAATTGCGGGTGCCATCCAGGAGACGATGGAGTCCTACGAGGTCGAGATCGACGGCAAGGTCCTCCCTGGTTTGTCTTATTTCTTGTACTCTTTATCCCACCGTCCAGTCTTATTGACCTGTGCATTTAGTTAAACCAATTGAAAATCTCAGCGGTCACACGATCGGGCTGTATTCAATCCACGGTGGGAAGGTTGGGAAGAGCGTCATGTTGGTCAAGAACGAGGATCAGACGAAAATGGAAGAGGGCGAGTATTTCGCAATTGAGACGTTCGGGTCGACAGGTCGTGGACGAGTTGTTGAAGAGGGTGAGGTCTCGCATTACGCCAAACGGGGTGATGCACCAAAAGTGCCCCTCAGGTGAGCACAGCGTGACCTCGTCTAATATTTGAGATCCGGTTACTGACGCTTCTACTCACATTCATTAGGTTAACGACGGCGAAGTCATTACTCAGGACCATCGACAAGAACTTCGGTACTCTACCATGGTGTCGGAGGTATCTCGATCGGCTTGGAGAGACTAGATATCTCCTAGCGGTAAGTGCCATAAAGTTCCGGCCGTTGTCATAATATATTAATAGGCGCTTTACAGCTGAACAACTTAGTCCAACAAGGTATCGTTCAGGACTATCCGCCGCTGTGCGATGTCCGGGGATCTATGACAGCCCAATTCGTACGTAGTCGCTTTAGACATGTGCCCACAAGCAAATCTGATCGCCCTTTCTAGGAACACACGATCTTGCTGCGCCCGACAGTAAAGGAGGTCGTCAGCAGGGGGGATGACTACTAGTCTCGCTACTTGTACTGATCATGCTGTATTCGTGGACTTTTGTTCAACACGCATTCGCCACTTGGTCCCCCATAACCATTTGCATCCTCAGTTGTACCGTCTCGGCACGCGAAAATGGTGGATGAGTATCCGAGGGGGACATAAAGAAAGGAGTGTGCGTCTGTTCGGACTAACTTCGGAGTTGACCCGGAAGCCAAAAAAGGAAAGCAGAGACGAATTCTTGATTATGTAAGCGATAGGAGCATGTGAAAAATACGTCAGATGGCCGACATCTATGGTGGTTTCTGTCGAGTTCGAGTGCTCTTGTGCACTACATGCATCACTTACCCCTCCTTAACCACAGCTCTCCGTCTTTTGCCCCTTCCCCTCTTCCTGCTATCCCTTTGATTGTCCTCTCCGTTTCTGACAACGACAAAGGCTATTCGCGGTATTAGTACCGGTCTGAGTGCCAACTTGTACCTCGAGTTCTTCATTGCGAATGGCCTGGCCTTTGTCTCTCTTCACCTCTGGCGACCCAGCGGGGGCTCTCTCAGAGCCAGACGATTCGGGAGACCAGTCGGAGAAACGGAGCACATTGGAAGCATCCGTTGCCGCACTACTGCGGCACTATGAGACTCCTGGTGTTTCTCTTCCACCCTCCGCACGTGTTGGAGATCCGAAGCTCAAACAGAAAGAGGGCGTTCCTCTGAAAATTTGGCAGTTCTGGCAGTATGGTGCCTTTGCCGCTATGAAGGGTGAGTTTTATCACCTTCATCAACCTGGCGAGCCTGTGTCGGTCGATGCGACGTCTTAAGAGGAGTGACGTGCCCTTTTGTCTTACTCTTGATTATCCCGTATTTGCGGTATATTGTTTTAAGTCAAAGCAAATACTAAAGATTGGTATTGCTAGTGATTGACATCTCCGGTGCTATACTCTCACATAGCATTCGGGGACCACCAAGGCCATCATGGGGCATTGAGATGACCCTTCTGTCGACTATAATGCGAGATGTCCACCACCATTCTCATCTTGCGGACATTGTAAGTCGAATTGTAGACATCGTCATCATAAGATCCACTTATGGCCCCACCAGACAACAATACGATTACTCATGAGTGTAACGGGGCTCGTTCCAGTTCCGTCTGACGCGTTAGTGACGCCAGTGACCTTCCGTGTGCGCAAACGATGTTTGCGAGGGATCCTTTCCGACTTTGATAGCATGGAGGATGGCACGCGGGAGCTTTCTGGCGAATGGGTCGTTGGGCATCGAACTTGGCAACGATTGCAGCGTGAATGGAAGAGTTCGAAACGCACCAAAGCTGATATGCCTCCTATGCCGAATGATGACAAGAGCAAGACTAAACGACGGGAACGACATCCTCCGAAACGCAAAGAGATGGTTGTTCTTTATTTGCACGGAGGTACGAAAAGTTTGTTTTGCGAGTCAATTATAGATATACCAATTCTATCATTGCTTTCTAGGTGCTTACTATACGTCCAGTGCTGCTACTCACAGGCTTATTACGATACCCCTTGCTAAGGCTCTCGATGCTAGATTGTTCTGTTCGTATATGCGCATACAATCAGGTTCTTTCACTAACCTCCCTCAAATGTAGCTGTCGATTATCGTCTTGCTCCTGAGACTCGTTTCCCAGGTCCATTACACGACGCCGTTTCGGCGTACTTTAGAATGATTGATGACCTGCACATTTCCCCCTCCAATATCATTGTGGTCGGAGATAGCGCCGGTGGAGGACTTTCGCTCGCGCTGATGATGTATCTTCGTGACAATGGGTACCCACTTCCTGGTGGCGCGATTCTCATGTCACCTTGGGTTGGTGAGTGCCTCTTGATGTCTGTTTCTAACGACAAATCACTGACGTCATCATTTCTGTGTGCTTCTTTCCTCGCCTACTTCAACTTTGAAGATCTTACTATGAGCTGCGATTCTTGGGAACTTAACGCTCAATATGATATCGTACCTAAACCTCTGCCGGGCGACCATCTCAATCCCATTGCCTGCTATCTCGGTGAACATATGGAAAAGTATCTTACTCATCCATATGCTAGTCCGTTGTTCGGCGATCTCAAGGGTTTGCCGCCGATGTTGATTCAAGCTGGAGATGCGGAAGTGCTTAGAGATGAGATTACCTTGTTGGCTCATAAGGCAACCTTGGCTGGTGTCGAGGTTCGGCATGAGCTTTACGAGGATGCTGTAAGCATTACACCTGTAGCTCATATTCAACACTGCTGATTCACTTTTTCTTTCTAGGTTCATGTATTCCAGTCAATCCCGTTCCTGGAAACCTCCCGACGAGCTTTCCTTTCAGCTCGAGAATTCGTCCGTGATGTCTTCCCCGGTGCTCAAAGCGACTCTCGCCAAGCTCTCGAAGGTCAAGCGGAAGAAGAGCTCGAGCAGGAGATCAATAACAACAGCGCTAGGGTCGTTAAGGGTGATGGCACGGAATGCAAGACTGCCAGTGAAGACATCTCTGCTGCCCTTGGAGTAACTTCCACGGACGACGAGTCTAGTTCTTCGAAAGGTGCCGACACGCCTGAGGAGGAACCAAGTTGGGTTACACCGTGGAGTTCACCTCAAGTCAGTGACTCGGAGAAGGAAAATATTGTGGTTACTGAGCCGCAAGGAAACGCGCCTCGTACAAATGCCAAGTCTTTCCCTTCTACTCGTCGGAACTCCACCGCTGCAGCTCTGCCACCATCGGCGCCACGTCTGACGCCAACCTCTGTCCGCCGACGAAGGTCAAACTCTCAAATTCTCTTCCCCAAGGACCCTGTATCCTCACGAGCACCAACACGACAATCTTCCCGAGAATTCAGTCATCGCTTGTTCACTCTGAGCATGTCCTCATCCACGGCACCACCTCCACGTCCTTCTATTCGACGTTCACATACTAGTCATCCGGATATCACTTCGCTTTGTCAACAGTGGGCTAACAATGGGCCCGCGAATCAGACTTTGACTTACAAGCCTGAGAATACTGGGTTGCCGAGACGAAAGCATTCGCTTACGCTTTCACACTCGGATGCGTCGTCATCTAACGACGTTGCAACCTCGAGCCCCTGTCTAGCGCAGCAGAAGACGAAGAAATATATCATTTGAGCTGCGCTCGTGTCGAAGTCCCCTTTTCTGTACGGTATTTATGTGGAAACTGAGTTTCTCTAGCATTTTGCAATATTCATTGACGTTCCTCCCATTGCTTGTAATTTCATCTTCTCTTACTTGGGGTTCCTGACTGTTTCTTACTTGACATACAAGTCTTCAAGGACTTTCTTGCATAACCTGTCTCAAATGTAGCAGTTATAGTTCTATAGTGTACATCCTTGCATCATCGTCGTTGTCGTCATACCTGTATTGTAGTAATTGTAAGTAGTATGTCACAAGGAACTCAAATCAATCATATATGATATTGTATAGTCGCAACGTTTCATACAGTTGATCAGTTCGACATGGGATCATTTCATGAACTCAGCGAGGACCTCCGGGGAAGTCAGGAATTCGGTTTTCTCCAGCTGAAAGTCTGTATGAAATAAGAATATCAATGTAGATGAATCATGTAGAAGAACTCGGGGGACCGACCATCTGGAATGACGGTGATGTTGTCTCGCTTCAATTGCATGACGCTCCTTGACTTGGCATCGAATACTGGCCATCCACCTGTGAGCAGATGATTTATGTAAATGAAGCCACAGCCAGGACCTAGCAGTATCACATACCCCCAGGATTCAAGTCATTGACAAAGTTGATGTAAAAGTCCGTGAACTGCTTAGCGAATGTGTCTTCTACTGGGTTGGGTACAGGACCGAAGAGCAAAGGCAACTCAGATGCGTGGAAGACTAGTACAAAGTAATGAGCATTCAGATTCTCTCTCATATTCCGGAAGACAATGTCGACTCACCTCCCAGAGTAGGGTCATTGCCAGGTATAAACTCCCTGAAAGCATACGCGAACAATTTTTGTCCCCGTGTCGCAGCTTTATTGAATAACAGCCTCCTCGGTCCGAGGTACATGTTATCAGTATACCACTGTTCGGCCCTATCGAACAATGAATCCCCAGTGGCAAACGGAGCACCATTCGCAGTTGAGTTTGCAGGGAAGAGTTCATGGATTCGGTTGAACGTGTTAGTGGTTAATTGTGTAGGATCAATCATGAGTCTTCGGATGAAGTCGTCAAAAGCGGCGTCTTCTTGTTCTGGGGGAATGCCTAGGTTGCGGAGCGTTGTGCTGAACGTCGTACCTTCATTCGTCTGTAGTCATTATATTAGAGTGGTTTGAGCAGGAGGTTATTAGAAGGTTGCATGACTGACATTCGTGCCAGCTATAATTGGGACATTCAAAAAGTCACCACTCGCGATCTTCAGAGAAGGCCGGATAGTAACAAAACTACCCGGGGGACCAACGGAAGGTTGCCATAGCTGATGGTTTAAAGTAGCATCGGTCATCGTAGCTGAGATATTGTGTAAAGTCTATAATATATGTCAGATGCAGCCAGAAATGTCCACAGGGAAAGCGCATACATCAAACGGGACTCCTCGCAAGCAGGCTAACGCAGTTGGTCCTTCAGGACATCCAGTCGCCTCCAGTAGGCGGGCGAATGGGAAGCCAGGATCGTCGTAGCGACTTGCAGGTGGCGAGTTCTTACTGCATCATCAGACGTCATATGAAATCATACGTATAAAGTAATGCTGCTACCACTCACAATGGCCCGGTTGCAGAGTCAAGAATGACGCCATGGAAAAGACTCCTTCCCGGAGCAGGAAAGAGGACATGTGCTTCAGCGCTACCAGCACCGGCAGACTAGAGTTGAAGCTCAGAACACAACACACCGATTTCAGCATTGACATAGTTACCTGGCCCCAAATTGTTACCCTGGACGCGTCTCCACCAAAAGCACCAATGTTATCTTGAACGAAGCTGAGGGCCAGACGTTGGTCGTGGAATCCGGCGTTGAGATCTTCGGGAGCGACGTGGCGGCTTGAAAGCTACCCGAACTTGAAATCAGATGTATCAACAAAAGACTACACTTAGTCAACTCACGAAACCGAACGTGTTGACACGATAGTTGCTGTTTACTGAACGTGAACAAGAGATTTGTATGATGGCAGACTAAAACGCACACTGAAACAAACAAGATTGGTTTTCCAATAGAAACGCTTCGTGCGATTATACCTGGATACTAAAAGATGAATGCAGTCAACCTCAACCAAAATATTGGATCCTCACGCGTTGGGTCGTAGGCATGATCGGATGCTGCGCTGGATAATCGATTCAGAAGTCTATCACCCACGGCTCGATGATAATCCACCATACCCATTCATGAAAGCGCCTCCCTAACTCCGTTCAGTTAAGCATTCGGGAATTCGCACGAAATTTAACTCACGTAGAACCAGACTAAGACCGGGAGCTTGGCATTGCTCGCTGTGCCGGCCGGACGCCATACCTAACGGCCCACAGACTGGTTATCAGCCTTCCGTTGGGCCATGTGGAAGTATCACATACGTTTAGCGAAAGACAATCCTCGCTCTGCGGAGCACCTAAGGTATCAGAAGGAACCTGTGGACAAGCATCTCCGAATGTGAACGCATTCTGCACATTGACAGACGGCCTAGTAATGGCGACTGGTGCCTTAAATCGTAACGGACCAATTGGTGGCTGAGCAAATGGTATGCCTAACCATCGATCCGTCCCATTGGAAACAGTCTGACCGCGAAACGTGCCAGAGGTAAGGCGAACTTGGAGCGGGCCTGGTGCTGCTAACACAGCAAAGGCAACGAGCGGCAGGAGAAAGGTGACAAGGCCGAGGTGGAGCATGTTGCAGCCAGCAGTGGTTCACAATGTGTCCACAGCCTCTAGCTATAGAACAGGTCTGTATTTTATACATAGACGACCAATAGAGCGGCAGTGAGTATTCCGAACGCTAGGTCCCATGACACGGAGAAGGTGATGAACGTACTTCTATGTGCCGTTAGGCTCTGGATTGCATAGGCCTACGTGACGATTCATGAGAGAGTAGCCAACTTCATCTAGATGTAAGTCCCGAACTTCAACACATGGAAGATTTATGTTAGTGTATTTGCTTGAGAAAACTATTACTGTCCCGGACATGTGACCGTGACAGGGAACAGTTCGGTGGAGTATTCCGTACAGTAATGATAGTACAATATCATTATGTCAGATCGATTGAACAGACAAGCCGCAGAGTTTATAGTCGTCCTGTCCCCGTGGATTACCTCTGGAATTCGGCTAGGATGCTGGGGGAAGTGAGGAAATCAGTCTTCTGTACCTCAAAGTCTACATACAATGGCAAATGAGTATCTTGAGAAATATACAGGAGATGAATAGCACTGACCATCTGGGATAATGGTGATGTTGTTACGCAGTAACTGCATGACGCTCTTCGACTTGCTGTCAAACACAGGCCATCCACCTAAGAACAGTTCCTTTCTAAGCAAGCTAGGACTTAACGTTCGGAACCATGGTGGACATACCTCCCGGGTTGAGATCGTTAATGAAGTTAATATAGAAATCCGTCATTTGATTAGCGAAAGTGTTTTCCACCGCTGTAGGCACAGGGCCAAACAACAAGGCTAACTCAGAACCATGGAACACTTAGAAGATGTCAGAAATCAACAGTACCATGTAGAGCTGTGTCACAACGTACCTCCCAATGTCGGGCTAGCCCCAGGAAGCTGCTCCCTGAAAGAATACGTGAAGAGCGTCTGTCCCAGGGTCGCAGCCTTGTTAAACAATAACCTTCTTGGTCCTAGGTACATGTTGTCGGTGTACCATGCTTCGGCCCGGTCGAAAAGCGAATCACCAGTTGCGAATGGAGCTCCATTCGCGGATGAATTGGCAGGGTAGAGCTGGTGAATCCGCTTGAGAGTGTCATTGGTAATGGGAGCAGGATCAATCATAAGCTCCCTAATGAAGTTGTCGAACGCCGCGTCTTCCTGGTCAGAAGGAATGTCACGATTGAGTAGGGATTCACTGAATACAGTTCCTTTGTTTAACTGGATGTAGTGCCATGAGGTATTTGAGCGTGATTTCCAATATATAACTAGGACATCTCACATTTGTGCCAGCTAGAATGGGAACTCGTAAGAAATTCCCACTCGCAATCCGCAGAGAAGACCTCTGCGTTACAAAACTGCCTGGAGGGCCCAGTGAAGGTTGCCAGAGTTGACCATTCAGCGTAGCCTCTGTCATACTGACAGAAATGTTCTGCAAAGTCTTCAAAATTCGTAAAGCATTAGCCCACAATGCTGCGCAAATAACGACGACGACTATGTACCTCGAACGGAACTGCTTGTAAGCATGATACCGAGTCCGGTCCGGAGGAGCACCCAGTTGCCTCTAGCAGACGTGCAAATGGAAACCCAGGATCATCGTAGCGACTGGCAGGTGGTGAGTTTTTACTGCGGCCAACGGTCATCCAGGCGTCGTATACATAGAATCCAGAGAATATTTCGATCACTTACAACGGCCCGGTCGAAGAATCAAAAATAGCAGCACGGAAAAGACTCCTTCCAGGAGCTGGGAAGAGTACATGCGTCTCCGCACTACCAGCACCGGCGGACTATACGCAGGTTCAACAATGTGAACCTGTCCGGCGATCGAGTTCCTTACCTGACCCCAGATTGTGACCTTTGATGCATCCCCTCCAAAAGCAGCAAGATTGTCTTGCAAAAACGCCAGAGCCAAACGTTGATCATGGAATCCAGCATTCAGGTCTTGCGGTTCGACATGAGAACTTGAAAGCTGGGCGAAGGTTAGTCACGATGACATGATCGCAAGAAAAATTGTGCTCACGAAGCCGAACGTGTTCACCCTATAATTGCTGTATGATTGAAGTAAACAAGGGCATTCAACGAGAGAAGATGAATACGCACGCTGAGACGAACATGATTGGCTTGCCAATTGCAACACTCCTTTGTATGATCCCTTGATTTTGGTCGGTGAAGGAGGGTGCTCACACAAGAAAAATTCACATACGAGTAGGGTCAGTGGAGTGATCGGACGCCGCGCTTTGCACCGTCAAGTCAGAGCCTGCAGCGAGTAGTACGAAGAGATTTACAGTACCCATTCATGAATGCACCCCCCTATTGTAACGCAAAATAAGGTCGCGCCAACCACAATTACAAAATGCACAGTACTTACATAGAACCAGACCAACACTGGAAGTTTAGCATTAGCCTGAGTACTTGCTGGACGCCATACCTAAGGAACCAGCAAGTAAATATTGGCAAGTCGCACTGTGAAACGTCATTACGTACATTAAGGAAAAGACAGTCTTCGCTTTGAGGTGCGCCCAGAGAATTGGACGGTGTCTGGGGACAAGCATCTCCGAAAATAGAAGCATTCTTCACCGCTGCGGGCGGCCGAGTAATGGCAACTGGTGCTTTGAAGCGTAATGGACCGATAGGCGGTCTAGCGAATGGAATGCCTAGCCAGTTGTCGGTCCCGTTGGGCACCGTCTGTCCCAGGAATGTCCCGGAGGTGAGGTTTACCTGCAGAGGATTAAGTGCCGTGGTTCCGGGGAACACATTGACAGGCAGAAGCAAAATGATTAGAGACAGGAGAGGAAACATCATTGTGTAGGCACTGTCAGCTAACGATTTACCATTGGGTGCGGTGGCTGAGAACGCGAGGTATTATAGTACGCTGCGGCAACCAAAAAGGATCGGTCTCATGACGAATGTGTTTATAGCTCGGCCAGTGCATTGTCCGAAGTTAGCTGGTGTAACATGGGGATGTTCCTGAGGAACCCAGACTTCTAGACGGGAAGCAGTTAAAGGTGCATCACTTGAGAAAGAATCCGTCCAACACGTAATGACGTCCAATTGGAACTCTTGATCGCAGCCCTGCACAGTCGTTTAACCCTCAAACGTGTGAGTAAACTTCACAAAGAATGCTTACAAGATGTTCGTATACAAATTGACAACATGTACTCACTGTGGATCCTATTCGTGTATAAGGTCAAGCGGATATCTGGTTGGTTACCCAGCTATACATGCACAGCCGGCTACTTCGCTGAGATACATGGAATTCGGATAGTCATAGCCTAAGCAACCTCGTTGTAAACAACCGATTCCAATGGCTACTTCTGAAATTCAGCCAAGACCCGCGGTTCAATCAGGAAATTCGTTTGGTCTAGCAAAAAATCTGTGAACACGGCATCACATCAGCTACATCGTACATTGATGCAACCTGACTGACCGTCCGGGATGATCGTGACATTGTCTCGCAATAACTGCAGGACACTCTTAGTCGTGAGATCAAACTCTGGCCAACCTCCTGTAGATGGCTAAGTCTTGATCGCGTTCATTCACAATGAAGGTGCATACCTCCAGGATCCATATCGTTCACGAAATTGATGTAAAAATCAAGCATTTGGTTTGCAAATGCGTTTTCTACGGGATTAGGCACAGGTCCAAATAGTAAAGAGAGTTCGGAACCATGGAAAACTACCACTTGTCAGAGTTGCATGACTATGACTCAACTTGGTTTACTTACCTCCAAGTGAACGTTGATTTCCTGGTATGAACTCTCGGAAGGCGTATGCAAACAGCTTCTGTCCAAGCGACGCAGCCTTGTTGAACAATAATCGCCTTGGCCCATGGAAGTTTTGATTCGTGTACCATGCTTCCGCTCTATCGAAGAGAGAGTCACCGGTAGCAAAGGGTGCTCCATTGGCAGTGGAATTAGCGGGAAACAGCTCATGGATAGTATCCAGGACGTCAGTAGTAATAGGCGCAGGATCAACCATAAGCTTTCTAATGAAGTTGTCGAAAGCAGGATCTTCTTGTTCCGGGGAAATGCTGAGGTTGCGAACCGATTGACTGAACGTAGTACCTTCATTCACCTTGATCAACAACGTCAGATGGTCTGAACTGATCAAGGCTGCAAATGAAGAAAAAAAACAAACATTTGTTCCAGCGAGGATCGGAATGTGCAAAAAGTTACCGCTTGCAATTTGTAGCGAAGGCCGGAGAGTGATGAAGCTACCTGGCGGACCAACGGAAGGCTCCCAAAGTTGACCATTGAGAGCCTCCCCTGTCATGGTCAGGGAGACATTCTGTAGTGCCTGTAAAGTATTGTGAGATGCAGCAAACAATAGAAAGAGGTGAAACACGTGCCTCGAAAGACATGCCCTGTAAACACGAAATGACACCTGGACCAGCAGTACATTGAGTCAGGTTAAGCAAACGTGCGAATGGTAATCCAGGATCGTCGTAGCGGCTGGCAGGTGGACAATTCTTACTGCAGACCAAATTCAATTGGCACATTTATGCAGCCCTGCACCTATCGTAAATGCTCACATGGGCCCAGTCGGAGAATTCAAGATTGCAGCACGAAAAAGACTTCTGGTAGCCGGGAAGACAACATGGGATTCCGAACTCCCCGCGCCAGCCGACTGCGAGAGGATCTAAATATGTTCATGGTAAATATAGAAAGGAATGCATACCTGTCCCCAGATGGTGACCTATGGAAGTGGACCCTGGTGAGTCATGCATGATGTACAACCAGACGCATGAGGTTACACTTACCTTGGAAGGGTCTCCTCCGAACATGGCGATGTTATTTTGGATGAACTCGAAAGCCATTCTCTGATCGTGAAGACCCGCATTGAGGTCCTGAGGCGCGAGGTGTGACGTTGATAGCTGAGCAGAGTCGTTAACGGAGCCATACGGGCGTGTGTTAATGTGACTCACGAAACCAAAAGTATTAAGTCGATAGTTGCTGCCGAGGACGAACTTAGCATGATCCAAAAATACATGGCCAAATCTGACCCACATGGACACAAAGACAATCGGCTTTCCGACAGGTACACTTCTCTGAATAATCCCTGGCGCACCATATGACACCCTTTTTGCATGAATAGAGACATGAAAAGCTTACGAGTCGGATCCCACGAAGGGTCAGATGCAGCGCTAAGTGTGATGACGGGTTTAAGCTTCGGACCGGGGATATATACCGTAGACAACTGACCCTGTCATGAAAGAACCACCCTGCAATTACGTATCTTAAGCCTGAGAGGGAAGATGCGTTGTTTACCCGATACCTACATGAATCCATAACAAGACAGGAAGTTTTGCATCAACGCCAGTTCCCGCAGGACGCCATACCTAGTGTCAAGTAACAGATGAACCCAAACGAGGATAAAGAGTATATCGTAGTACGTACATTCAAGAATAGACAATCCTCCGACGTAGGAGCACCTAAACTCCCAGAGGGTACTTGTGGGCAAGCATTTCCGAACGTGGACGCGTTTCGTACAGTTATAGATGGCCGAGTTATGGCAACTGGTGCCTTAAAACGAAGGTCTCCCAGGGGAGCTTGTGCATAAGGAATACCGAGCCATCTGTCCATACCAGGAGACAACGTCTGGCCTAGGAATGTTCCTGAGGTAAGATGAACTTGGAGATTAGGACTGCCGGACGTCGCGCTAACTGTGACATAAAGCCATAGAACAGAGGAAAAAATGAAATTTAGCATATGAATCATTGCAAGTGCCGGTTTGAGGGTTGAGGGGAAAAGCGATTCAGGACGGGCGCGGAACTATATAGGATGAGTGGTTATTCTTACTCCACGGGAAAGATTGGATGAGATGGTGTGGATGAGGTCAAGAATTCCGTACATGCCGTCTCATGACAATGTGAGAGAATCAGCAAGCATCTTCTGAAGACTCCCTGCCGTACATTCCACGCAGATGACCATTGGGGCCTCCCCACGAGATTTACGGAGCACCTTGAGTTCAGATTCCATTATGCAAGATTTTCAGTTAGCAGGATTGTAGCACAGGGTTTGGGGTGCAGCCAGACTAATGGTGAACGAAAAGGATTGGGACAGTCTGAAGGCATTGGAAGGACCTGCTGGTCGAGCCTGGCGGCCACCAACCACTCGACAAATGCAGCCACCACGTGAGCAAGACGCGTCGCGTCGCGTTCAACGTTTCAACCTCATTTAAAGCAACTTTGCTTCAACGTTCAAACGTTCAAGGTCAAGTTGCACGAAGATTTTCACAATCTTTCGGTACTCGACGCACCTTATTGGTTGAAAATTGCTCTTCAACTCTAACACATTGCCAGACTGAACCTGTCTACTAACATGCCGGCCGACTCGGAAGTCGACTTGCGTGTTCATATCCGGCACTTACTACTCAATTACGCCCTCACACATTTAACGACGGATTATGTTGCTTTCACACAAAATGCTGTCTCAGAGGTGAGCTTCAACATTGTTGCATGGCTAAGTACTTAGATAATTCTACCCACAGCTACTGTCGGAATGTCTTGTTCCTGTGTCTACCGTGGATCCTATGAATCCGATTCTTGAATCGAGTATATATGAGACCCTCTTGAGGATGTACAAACTGGATGGACTGGATGCTTATATGGAGCAGTGGACTACATTGCCTAAAGTTCTTCAACATCTCAAAAGCAATCTGCCACACGAGCGACGGCGTCAAGCCCCCTCCACTCGTTGCTGGGATACTGATCCTGACGGTGAGTTAATGCCATAGTCCAAATGCCTCTGGACCTTCTTAATATTAGCAGATGTTGCTTGGAGAAGTAAACGGCCCATATCTCCCATCCTGACCAAACGCTCAGTACTGGAAACACCGAAGTTAGGTAGAAAGGAGGGCCAAAGCTTTGGTCCTGAATCGCAACGTCAACTACTGAATTCATTCAAGTTTTCCACGGTGGATGTCGTTGAAGCACCTTCTCCGTGCTATTCAGCTCCACAGGATATCTTGTATGCGCATATACCCATGCAATCACTTTCCTATCTTCATCGTCTAATCATCTTAGGGCTACACGTTTCATTCTGGAAGCAGATCTCCGACAGCCCGTGATTGACATGATCAAGTCAAATCCTGCGTCCTCCAAACTTTCCACGTCGGTTGTCCCTAATCGCAAAGTTCAAGACTTCTTACGATCAAGCTCACCATCGCCCGACTTTCCTCGATCTATGTCTCCTCCAATATTCTCACGAGCCCGTGGCCCTGGCGGTACTCTCCACGACACTCGAGAAAATCTTCCGAAACAATTCAGGATGCACACGATGGAAGACCTTGCGGCAGAAAAACTAGTATCCGCGGTAGAGGTAGACGATGGTGGCTTTGACCTCGACAACGCCCATTTGGTTATCGTCAACGGCTGGGGTATGTTACACCTTCCTTGTGAGATTCGGTCAACTGAGTGTTATGTCATCTCTTAGAAGCTGTATACACATCTCCTTCTTCAACGCCATCTTTAGCCTCCAGCAAAAGCGATCAAATTGATGAGCTCTTTCTGGAATCTTCCTCTCCAACTCCAGATATGTTGTATCAGCGAAGGCTATGGACTTCAGCGGTCGGTATGTTGCAATGTCTTGATGATTAGTTTCTCATACCAAATACAAGCGTCAGATGAGCACGAAATCCCTCGAGCCGAGAAGTTCGGGGGTGGGGGTGAGCGGGCGAAGCGACTTGGAGAGAATGAAAGGTTGGTCATGTTTCCGCAGGAGACATTTATCCATTAACACTTCGCACCCAGTCTGTCTACGTTTTTAGCCCCTGCAGGCATTACCCCGGTATCCCAAACCAGAACCCCTATTCAGATAGCTGATGCCCAGATTGTCTCGACATCCAAATCCCAGCCTTCCTCGCCAGACATCACTGACTCCGTGATGAGACAACCATCAGACTTGGAGGAACAAATACCAACAATTCTTGATAGCGAGAGCAGCAATGATATTGCGCAAATACTCGCAGAAATCCATGGCAATGCCAAACTCGAAGATCCTGTGGAATGGATCGTCAATGAGAGGCTTGACGAGAAGGAGAGTCTGCTCATGGACGGTATGCTTCAGCTCGCCGCTGGTTTCGCATGCAGCTGACACGTTATCCAGTCCCGAGGCTTCCACCACCTACGGACCATCCACCTAACGACATGTACTTTCCGAAGACGCTAACAAGTATGGTACATTGCGGAAAACCTAGGAGGGAGGATGCGACTGAAACTACGACTGTGGTGAAGACGGACAATGAAGGTGCATTCTTGAAGAAAGTCAAGGGCCTTCAATCGCTTAACATTGAGCTGAATTGGCGGTATGATACATCTTGCCTTGTGCAAGGTGAAGTTTGACGTGTTATTGATGTATGGGCTTTCAGACCCTTCAATTATGGAACCTCAATCCCAACACACGAAGAGGTCTCTCGAGTACTGGACGACGATATCAAGAGCGATTTCTATGCCAACATTGAAATGAGTCCTGACATAATTGATGCCGAGCTGTCTAGGCTACTCAAAGGTGTGACGATAGTTTATACTAGCGAAGGCTCACAGTTGCACCATGCTACTGTTTCTGTTCGAGAATGGTACCGACACGACGACTCAACCAACAGTCGTGCGCCGCTCAAGAACGATTGCGGCTTCATCCTCACGGGCCAAGAAATGCGACGCCTGAACGGTCGACCCGAGCCTGCGGAATCCTGTGCTGAACCGGACAACTTTGAAAGTGCTCAGGAAAACTTGGATGAACGATCCTCGAAGCGCAGAAGATTGGACGATGTACAGCTTGACCTTGACGATTTGATCTTGAACGCTCCCAATACAGCCAACTCTAACATGAAGCCATCCGAAGATTCTGGTGTATTCTTCGAAGAGCTTGTTGACGATGAGCTGGGCAGCGATGGAATCTTTGGCCAACTATCGACTGACGCTGAAGGCTTTGACGGTCCCCGTGACGATGGAGACCTATTTCCTGACCTCGACCCGATACATACACAAAGCGACTATCCATCACCAGTCTATCGTTCTTCCGCTCGCTATGATTCGCCTTTCGAGGTCTCTGGTGGTTATGAATCTCGTTTCCACATTCCAGACAATATTCGCGATTCTCAAGTGTTCTTGCCGCTTTCCATGGAGTCTACTCAACGTTCTACTGGACCTGCGAATGATGCTACTCAAAAATCGCCAGACTATTTATCTGCGGAACCCATAATTTCCAATCATGTCAAGGAAGACAAGACGCCTGGTGGTGATGATGTAACTCCTGAGACTGCTCAGCCGATACTTGATTATGCGGCCATCCCCTCAATAGCTGCTCCTTCTGTACGACAATATTTGGCAAATTTCCTTCAGTTACGCTCGACGGTCGCGAGGGCTACTGAAGTGTCTTCGCCCGCACGGGACAATACCCCATTAATCCACGACTCAGACGCTAATAACTTTCCACAAATTCAGATCTCCAACGACTGGCACGTTCCAACTGACTTGATAGACAAGAATACACTGCTGCTCCCTACATCCTATCCTATAGCGGCTTATCTTCATACTTACATGGTATCAATGGATACCGTACTCAAACGAGGACTCATACGGCAATTATCCTCGCCTACATGCGCAATTGACTTTGTTGAGCGAGAGTCTCTGGGTGACGTCCATATCATTCTCGACGACAATACAGCCGTTATTTTAGTCCCGCTCCTTTCCTTGCCTTCTCAATGTCAGGAGCTCACGGACACCATCGCACAGGCATCCTGGCGCTATAACCACCTTCTTGTGATTTTTGAGGCATTTCCCCACTCTTGCTATGATAAACGGGGCGAAGAAACTTCTCGAGCCAATCTTGACCCATTCTCACCTCCCGTCGTGAAATCCGTAAACAAGCTAAGACGTGATCTTAATCTAGCCAACGAGATGGGGAACAAACGTAAGGAAACCATGCCCGAGTATGCTTTTGCCTGCACCGTAGACGAAGCTGCCAAGTTCGTTCGATTGTATGGAGACCTAGCAGAAACTCGGGATGAAACAGGCGGCATCATCTGGGATGATCGATCGTGGCTAGAAACAGTCAATGAGGAAGAGGTACGAAGTCTGTTCATGAGCTCGGGGTCTGCTAACGTTCCATAGTCTGAGGAAAACGACATCGCAGGCTTCAATGGAATGAATCACTTCATAGCTGCCATCATCTTGACCCAGACTACGTTCAACGAATTCTTAGACCAGTCGAGTGAAGAACGGATGCAGGGATTCGGTTCGCTGATTGGTATCGAGAGAATGGTGCGTTTCGATAGTGATTCAAAACTTTCCTCTCTGAGTAGTTTGTATAGGATAATTTTAACCGACTACTTGAACGACGCGCGCAGTACATGGAGCTTCCTTCCTCCTCGCCTATCACTACCAGCGTGAGCTCGCTTGGTCTTGGAGTTCCAGTATCGCATGGAAGCTCTTTCAATGCTCTATATCAGGCTGCAGCTACTCATAGCACCCATTATACCGTACCTCTGGCGTGTGATGAGCAGCCTACTCTTTACGGCTCATGATCCCATTGACATGATGACCTTTTGTAATGACGCTCGCTTTTGCGTTGAAACTTCACCTGTACTTCGAAGAACAACCTGAGAAGGTCTTGTACACAGCATTCATGTGAGAAGGGAGAGCGAGTAGGTCGTTCAACACTTAACTTGAATGCCAATTCTGAATCGCGAGTTGTCACGCGTGACAACTCGCGACTTGACGCGCCTCGCGTGTAGGCAATTTCGGCACCATATTCTTCGTTAGCCAAGTCCACACACTATACCATGACATCCCCCGCACCTTCTGAGACACAACCTGAAGAGTCGCTCCCTGAACAACAGACAATATCAGACAACGATGAAGCCGACGTGAATGACGAGACTCAGCAGGAGCAGGAGAGTGATCTGCCTGAGTCGAAGCCGACCAAGAAGAGAAAAGAGGCAAATGGTCAGCCTATCACCAGAGAGCCTGGGAAATCACTTCTACCTTTCTCCAGAGTTCAGAAGATACTCAAGGCAGATAAGGTATATCTGGTCCTTCTTGACATGCTGTATATCACCATTGATGATCGTCCCAGGAGCTCCCAATAGTCGCTCGAGAAGCTACATACCTAATTTCTCTCGCTGCAGAGGAGTTCATCAAGCAGATGGCGGAAGAAATATGCATATCTGCCCAGAGAGGGAGCAGAGTTACGGTCCAATACAGAGACGTCGGTAAGCATACTGCTCTCTCCACACGCTACCTGTCTGATCTCTCGTTCATTATATACAGCTACTGTTGTGCGAAAGGCAGACAAGTTCATGTTCTTGGATGGTCAGCAACCCTATGAACACATTTGACCAGCATATTCACATTTGTCTTTGTAGAAATAATTCCTTGGCATAACCCAGATGCACAAGCGAAACGTAAACCTAAAGCTCTTCAAGAGAAAGACGATAAGGCACGACCGACGACGATGCTGGACACATTCGTCCAGAAAGGTGCTGCAGATGTTGAATCGGGTTCACAAGGACATGACGAAGACATCGTCATGAACGAAGACGGGACGATGTCCGTGGGATAGAGCATTGCAAAGGGTTCTGCTCCCCTTCGCCTTCGTTTATTCCGGGAGAATCATCTAAAGCGAAAACATGATAGTGGACACTGCCTACACCTCAAGCAAGAGTACTTCAAGTTGGCGTTGCAGGAGCTACGGTGCTGAGCGCTGAGCCTCCTCTGAGGTGGTGCCCCGAGGCTGGACGATTCAATGAAGAAGATCCCTCGACGGTCTGACTCGCATAGTATACATCGTACAGACATTATACGTAGAAGATGGATGTAACTACAACCTTTTCAGAAAGCCCTCAGGCATATACTACCGTTTAGTACCAACGGTCGCTCGCTCTTTTCTCAAATGCAGGTGCCTATGTAAGTGATACATCAGTCACCGTGGCCGCGAACATGAAAGACACTCACTTGGCTGTACATTCGTATTCTTGACATACGGCGCGAGCGGATTACCGGAAACGCAGAGCACGCCGCGCACCAAGGCCTGAGCCACAACATCTGCACCTGTTATATGAAGTACGGTGAGCTCGTTAGCAACTAAAACAAAGGGGTAAAGATATGAGTACTTACCGGCGCTGCTAGTATGGATGGTGTCCACAGGGAAGTAACCATTCACTGTGTTGGCACCCAATGCCTGATATTGCTTCAGTGTGTAGGAGAAATGATCGACGTATGCCACACTAGTCTGCTGAGCGACCTGCTGAGCATACGAGACATAGACGGGAGTGCCGCTAGTATCCTTGAACGGGTTGTTCGGTGTTTGAGAAGACACGATAACTTTTGCGCCCTTGGCTTTGAGAGAGTTAATCGCATCTTCCATATACTTGAAATAGGTGTAGACGGTTTGTCCGGTACTCGGGCTGAATGGCGAAGTTAGTACAGAAAACTAGGCCCCGCATTTCGAAAGCGTACTCTTGGCAGGTAGCTGTCAAGCTAGTCCCGGGGCAGACACCCTGTTGAGGGTTACCAGCAGGACCACCGCCCTCATTGTGTCCGAACTCAATGATCACAAGATCGTTGGTCTTAGCGGAGTTAATGATGTTATTGACTAGGGTCCGTAGAATCTTAGCAAGACGTCCTTCCATGAAGGCAAGCACGACGCAAAAACTCACAGTATCCGAGATCGGTGAAGCTGCGAGAGCTCTTTCCGGGAACTGCCTGGTTGTTGATGGGAATGCTCAAATACTTGCCAATCTGTGTACCCCAGCCAGCGTAAGCTGTTCCGGTGTCAGGAGCAGTGGTCGAGTCTCCTGCAAGGTACAACGTGACACCAGCAGGTGCGGAAGTAGGAGCGGGTCCGCCGGTCGTTGAGGGAGGTGGTGGGTTGGCCGTAGTTGGTGGTGGGGCAGCTCCAGGCTGGCACTGGAAAGCGGAATTGGGCATAGTCAGTGCTGTTTCGCAGCAGATATGAGATGCTGAGACGAACCTGAGAATAATAGTCATTGAGTTTCGTACACACTGTGCCCGAAACACAAGTAGTAGCTGCATAGAAAAAAAAATGAACATCTGCTACACGTGAGATCACGAGAGATATACTTCACCTCCTGTCCACCCAATACCGCCACCTACATAATGAAACTGAATAAGTACGCAACGTCAGCGCCTTGGTAGTAGACCATACTTACATTGTCCCCATACTGGCGACTGGGCGTTGACGGTGGCGGCAAGCAATCCAACGAGGACAGCAACAGAGAACATTTTGGGTCACTTCTTCACTCTGGAACGAGGAGGCATAGTTCATATACGGCGCACATTATATAGGACATGAAACCACATGCTCGTTATAACGGAAAAAGAGGATGCGAAGCCGGAAGTTCACTGTCAGATGAAAGTATAGGTCAAGAACACGCCATGCGCCAGGTCCATAGAAGGAGCTACCGAAGAGTGTCCGTCAATGATTGTGAGAAGTTAGAATCATACTCGCAAATGGACTCTTGCCACGACGCACATGCCTTTCTGTTTGCCCTTTGCATAATGTTTCCAGTGTTAAAAAATTCCTGCTCAGTTCCGAATGCCAGAAGGAACACCCTGCGGATAAAGTCAGGGTAATACACCCCCTCGTTGTAACAGTGTGTGCAATACATTCCAAGGTTCAGGTGTAGCTGAAATTTGACATAGCTGTGATGGGCTGTTGAGGAGGAATGGTCACAGGGTGAGTATATCCTCCGGCCCCAGAACCAACCCATAGCATGGATGCCTCCCGAGTGGAGAAGGCGTACGTGTTGGTTGCTTCTTCCCCATAAGTGAAGCATGTCAATGGTCACTCCAAACAACGTTCGACCTAAATCGGCTCACCTGATGCAAGAATTCTTGTCGACACTGATGAACAATCTAGCTCAGACACCGACAACTAAGCGAGAACAAAACCGAAGAAATAGTATAACCACGACAGAATACGAAAACAACATAAAAGTGATACACTCTATACAGGTGGCTTATTGTCCTTTTGTGCTGTGAGGGTGTCATCAGCACGTCTCGAGCAATTGGGTTGTAGAAAGCACACCATACCCATGGTTATCCGGTCACCCAATGACAGTGCAATACCTTGCGTCTTGCTGCGAATGCGAACATGGCCAACGATTGTACCCGCGTCCGTCCTCTCCACACTCAGATTCGCCAAAGCATCCTCACCTGTATCAATTCATTGTTAGAAAACGGATGACAATAACAACCGTAGAATACGTACCGAACAAACTGCGTGCATACATGTTCGCAGACAAGAAGTCACATTCCCCTGAGATGGCACCTTCAGGTGTTAGACATGACATATTCGTAGCTTTCATGACATGTCGGAGATACTCTCTGGGATCGCTGTAGTAGAAGACCTGAGTAACGCACGGGACATAATTCACGAAACTGAACATACGACATAACAGTAGTCACATTCACCCGGTTCTCCCATTCAAACTCTGTCCACATGCTTCGGAACTGAAAAGTTGCCACGGAGCAATTAGAGGAGTCAGAATAAGGTACTGCGATGACATACCTGAGCCTCCGTACAATACGCGGGCTTGATATAGTCCATGATATCGATGTGGATATCATTCAGGATCACACATTGCTCTGACATTCCAGGGCCTTCCCACAGAATGCTTCCGAATATGACGCCGGTTTCCGTCGATGAAACCTAACCAACTGTAAGGGAAAACCATAGCCAACACATTGCTTCAACTCACCTTGATAGTCGCCTTGATGCTCTGGAAACTGTGCGGGGCAATAGTGTATACCGTCGGGCGCTCAACAAGCTTCAAGTCACCCAAAGTGGCAAAGTCTAGACAGAGATTCTGTAGGGTATTCGCTGTTTGGTTGACCAGCAACACATCTGCTCATGATGTCAGGAGGTACGATAACACACTGCACTGAAGCGCAAGACCACGAACCGAGCAGAATATCAAATCCATGGATTTTGACATACGCCTCAGCGTATATCGGATCGGAGAAACCTGATATATGCAAATACACGTCAGTAGGGGTCGAAAAAGGTGCCATCTAAGGATAAACACTAACCGGTAAGCTGAGAGATGCGACTGAGATTCGATATAAAGTCTTCGGTAACATCACCCGCGCCAGTAGCACGGCCAACATCTTCAAGATCCTGGCACAAGTCGATCAGTACATTGTCTAAAAAGGTGTTTTCACTTGACTCACATCGACGAGATCTTCAGCACCCTTCTTCGAGAATTGCCGGAAGGTGAGCAAATCATCGACCTGAACAGCGACCTGCTTAGAAGTCTCCGATTCCTTCTTCTCTGCGGCCTTCTGCTCCTGCGCGTGAATCATCTTCGAATACGCAGCCTTGGTGTCTCTCAAGAAGATCTCGTGTACGATAGGCTTGTCTTCGAGCTCACTCAAAGTCTGGATACAGTTCATAATCCTTTCGCTTGAGTCCTCGTCGATTGGGACCGTAACGAACTTAGACTGGCCGACTCGGATGATCGACACCATGATGAGCATAGCCTACGGTTTCATAAAGTGAATAAGAGTCTGGGAGGAATATAGCTCCAACTCACCTCAGCCTTCAGCGAATTGTCCTTCTTCTTATCCGAAGACAGTTCAGAATGTCTCAACACAAGTTTGGTTAAGGCAGACGATAGAACAGATCCAGTGAAGAAATCTCCGCCGAGGATGAGCGCTAGATACATGTTAGTAAGATGAAGTCGTTTCCATGAGTATCAACAAAATGGCTTACTTCGTAGTGGTGGTTTCGCTGCAGCTTTCACAGCCTCTAATCGAGCAGCTGACGCGCTGGTGAAAGCGGTCTCAGTAGCGTAAGTTCCGTCTGCCAAAACTCTGGGTTTTGAAGGTTCCGCCTTGACCTCATCCTTCTTCTCTTCCTCTTCCGTGCCCGACTCGTCGAGTAACCGTTGTTCTGAAGCTAAAATCGGAATCTCACCCAGCACTTTGCGAACTTGCTGGAAGGTATCTTGAATTTCAGGAACCGACTCTGCGTACTCGCCTAAAATCCAGAGGATGCCTCGATAGACTTTGCCTGACTTGATTTCTCCCAAGGTTTGAATGAGCTTTTCGCAGATTGTCGTCCGTAGCTTGGGAAACTTCTCAACGACCTCGCTATGAATTGAACGTGGTCAGGAACAACTCATATATTCGGTTGAACAATATACGAACCGAACAAATGCGACAACATCAAGGGCAGATGGGTTGTTCGAGTCCCCGAGGAAGTCCATGAGCGCGTGAACCACGGTCGCGGCAATCTCTGAGAATTTGACAGCACAGATATGGATAGACTGAATCAAAAGCTGTCTATATTCCGGTGCCTGCAATGCTGATCAATGACAGTTCGGGAAGTGGAGCGTCATAGAAGTGAGTACCTTCTCAAATTGCTCATCTTGGGTCTTCTGTAGTTGCTTCTTCAAGAATAGTACAACATCCTCGACATTTCGACTTGATGTTAAGCTCAGGACAATGCTAAGCGCCTTCCTTCGAACTTCCAAGTCCGCGCTAAGCAGATAGATGTGTCAATGGGGAACTTGCACATAGTATTAAAGTTTGTTCGTACTGACCTAGAAATGAGCTGCAAGATGTCCATAATCATAGGGTCCAAAACATGACCATGTCGTGAACGGAGAGCATCCAGTCTGTCCAATACAATGATCTTCGCATTGTTGTCCGATTCCTTGGAGACCAAGTTGATATAGCAAGCGGCGGCAGCTAACGACCATTTAGCGCATGTCTCAGGAGCATACCTGAAGAGACAAACCTTTGATGGCAGCAGGATTCTGCGTCAAGGAAGTCAAAGTGGTAGCCGCTTCGTACTTCACAGCATGCGACGAGGCGTTCAGCAACTCAGAAATAAGCAGAATATGCCGAGCCTAAGGTGGAGTGAATGTGTACTCAGTTCATGGCAACGTCATGATCATGCGTACCTTGTGTGCAGTGTCTGTCTTGCAGTCCAGCCGGATAACCTCAATGATACTCATCTGCAACAACTCATCCATGCTTGGTATCTGATCAAACACCTGCATGATGTACTCCACCGCCCTCGGCATGGCACAGTTGGCGAGGAAGACGAAAGCGTTCCGTTTACATGTCGCGTCCGATTCAGCAGCAAGGAAAGTTTGAATGAGTTCAGGAGCGTCGGGAATGAGATGTTCAAACTCGCGGTAGATGGTGTATACAGCGAAAACGGCGTTCTTGCGGACATATGAGTGTCGGTGTTCAAGGCAGGATCGACATGTTGGGATGAGGGGTTCAAGAAGCTCTGCGTCTTTGGAGATCTTCTGGAGGAATCGAAGTGTTGAACCGCGGATGTACTCATTGGGGTGTTGCTAAAGTGGAGTTGTCAAGTGTTATTCAATTTCAGGCTAGCCTTCAGGACGTACCAGGTCGTTACGGACGGCATTTCTTTAGAGAGGTCAGCGACAAATTTAGGTTACACACACTTCTGTACTCACACAACAAGAATCATCTCCTGCCTCAGTTTGCCATTGTCGTCATACTTCGGGCATACCTCCCAATAAAAGTGTAGAAGCTTCTTCAGAGCTTTGTTTCGTGAGGGCATAACATATTGGATGATCGGCATCAGCAGAGTAGGCTATACCATGACTGGCTTAGTGTTTCCCTTCATTTATATACGTATAAGAGAACATACTTGAGGGTTCCCATTGATCGTAGACACTATAATCTTCCGCAACGTGTCAATCTTGACTTCGTCTGAGCCCTTCTGAAGTGCCGACCGCAAATCCTGGGTGGAGGGTATTTCGCCAATGTCATCAGAGATAATCGTCCAACATGAAGCCTCCGACGCCATGATGAAGGTAGAGGGCGCGAAGAATATAAGTGAGAAGTATGACCGTGACCGCCAAGATTCTGGTTCACCGTGTACAGGTCCCCATTACCATATGCGGCGAAGCCACGTGGAGCCTCATTGCAAGTCTCTAATTGGCAGGTCTCAAAGACCGGAATATTTGCATAGAAGGCTAACTCCGTAACAATCCATAGAAAAAAATCCTCATAGTACCATTCAGGTATAGAATACAAGTTTAACATATGGGCAGTCAAATGAGCAGCATATTCGAGATGCTCAAGTCGGGATGCCAAGCGTCGCCCTCTAATAGAAAGTATTATATGGTCAGCACCTACTGGTGGTAACGGGCACTCATGAAGCAACGTACGAGTTGGATGTAGCTGTTACGCTCCTGCGGTGGCAACTGATGAATTTCCTGAGGTGTCATATTGGCTACGCGTGTCAGAAGCGGCTTTAAAACCACGCCATCAGTAAAATCAATAAAAAGGAATGACTGGCATCTAAGGTAGTTCTTACCCGCTGTTCTTCAGGAATTAAAGCTAGTGCTGCTTGCCACGCTGGCGGCGCCGGTTGTTGTGAACCATAGCTAGGAGTTCGTGATGGAGTCGGTGCACCATATTGTGGCTGGGAAAGACCTGGTGGCATTCCACCATACTGATTCTGAGGCGGCATTTGTTGTGAGTACCCTTGCTGGGGATATGCTGGCGCTTGGGAGGGGTAAGTTGGTGTTGCTTGACGTTGGGGTGGTGGAGTGGCCATGTGTGGTGGAACTGAGGAGGGAGGCGGGTAAGGGGGCGTTGCTCCCCGTGTAGTGTGGTTTGTCAGATGAGGAGGTATTGCAGGTGCAACAGGCATCTGAGGGGGTAATGAGATTGAGGTGGCTGGTGTGGGCATAGCTGGTATACTTGGCGCAGAAGGTCCGGCGCTGTATGCTGCCACTGTTCTCTGTTTTATCGACATACGTCAAGACTTTGCGACTTATCAGCTCTATGAGATTTGACACTTACTTGGACGACGTCGACATCAATGGCATCGATGTTGACCATAACGGCCATGAGTGCGTACGCGATCTGAGGTTGCACATTCAGAATCGATCGAGCTTGTTCTGGTGTTGTTTTCTAAACGAAACTCGATATAAATGCACACTCAAACCATTACTCAAACACAGATACCGACTTTCAGTTGCAGCAGCAATTCAAGCAACTGGTTCTCTTGCATTGCTTGCGTAGACATCTTATACGGTTTCTCACTACTCTGGAGCGTGTTCTGAAGTATGAGTATCTTTACAGAGCGTTTACGCCGAAACAAAGTGATTGAAGGTGGAAAGGGAATAACACTGCCAGTAGCGTAGGCGTCTATGATGACTGTAGAGACTAAGCGCCCAATTTGTTGAGTTTGAACGTTTATGGACGTCGACATTACTCATTGCAGTTGATTTTCTTAACTTCGGCGAAACCAAAAAAAAAAAACACGACAAGTAAAGATTGGGCGTCGGGTGATGTTGGACCTCTATTCATCTCAGAGACGATTTACGCAAACGATTGAGGCAGAATAAGTGGCTTCACGACTCATGCAGAACGAAGACTCCAATCACAACAGCTTTCACACTGCTGACACCGCACTCGATTTACGTTCCAAATCCTCTGGCATGCCTACGTGTTTCGTCTCCTGAGACTTCAGTCTTCTAACGTGAGCCATCTTTGAAGTGTCATTTGAGACCTCAGTGCTGGAAAAATTCCCCATTCAGTCTCATATAAATGGTGTTTTTGTGTTCAGGACATCATTCGCAACAGCACATCGCTATGTCATCGCTAATAATAATTTTCCCAAAATGAGTACGTTGTTGACAGTCGTGGATCGCAGGTTCTATCATAGTTCAGGCCGGCCCCATGCATTCGATATTCTGACACCAAAAATGCTTTCATTTAAAGGATTATCAGTGCTATCGGATTCGCAGCTCCAGCCGACTAGCAGAGATGTCATCTGAGCAACTCATTTCCGTTGTAACGGCTCGAGAATTCATCTAGTGCTCCTGTGTAGGAGTAAATTCTAAGATCTTTTTATCCTTACAGTCATCCACGCTCTCCCTAAATTCCTCATGTTCACAAACAGGTTCTCCAACCAACATCCACAATGCATACGGTCAATCAAAACGAACCACATAGTTACAAGATAATGTCCACTCCACGACAAACACGCCCACTAACCCTCGAATCCTTTAGACCCTCTCGCCACACGTTTAGAGAGTGATGGGGACGCAGCCGATGGAGATGAGCCCACCCTAGTGAGTTGTGATAAACAATAGGCCATCCTTGCCATATGGACATAAGGTGTGACTTACAACGGCATTGTTAGAGCAGCAAACGGGGCTGGCGTTGCAGGAGCCACCACCGACACCAATCACGGTGATAGGGCTACAGTTCAAGCCGATCAGGGCGGTAATATCACCGACGACGATACCGAGCAGGCCCGTAATCAGGCCCAAGAGCGATTTGCCCTGCCCAGACTGAGACTAGTTTTCAACCGGGACGTCAGTCACATATATAAGGCGTGCAGGCAAAGGCTCTGCTTACGTCGAGAGTTTGCTGGCAGCACTGGATGGGGCCTGTGTTGCACTGGTCGCGCGCAACGACATTGGCAGGTGTGGCGACCGCAAGAAGAGGGAGGGCGAAGAACAAAAAGAGAGCCACGGCGTAAGCACGAGAGAACATGATGAGCAAGTTTCTAAGAAGTAAGTTGAACGAACTGGTGGGTTGTTCTACTGGGGTTCCTACCTTGACTATCAAGAGGTTTTATACCTTTTTTTCCCGACCTTTGCCAAGAATCAGTGTCAAGAAAGAAAACCTCAAAGGGGAAGTCATCCTGCACTGTGTCATGGCCAAGTGCCTGTATGTAAGCATCCGGAATGCTATACCCTCCGAGAAGCAATCATAGAATGGTCAGATGTGTCAATATATGACAGACCCTAGGTTGTTCTCTTCTTTTTAGTGGGAGTGCTTCACTCCGCAAATGCCTCGAAGCCAAATCTAGGTGCGGATAGTCACTGATCGCCCATCTTTCTCCGTCTTCCCTTTCATCTGCCCGGGTCTCGAGATGCCACTAGCGTGTCGAACTAATGAGATCTCGCCATGGAAGCGTTGTTGAATGAAAACGAATATGCCGGGAAATTAGTCCCCGCTTTTCCACCGTCCTCGGACTCCCATGTCAAACGATATGGTTACCCATGTACTTGGACTGCACTGCTCCAAGCATTCGCCTGTTATCGTGAAAACCACAACGTTGATTTAAGATTATATGCTCGATGTTCAAAGGATTCAAACATACAGGTTCCCCAATTCGGGCGACAAAAGCTGTTTATCTACAGGAGGTATTACAGGCGTGAGGTGGTATCACTGCATCATAATAAATAAGGACCCAGGTGGAAGGCTACGAAGTCTACGGCTCACGCCTTGACGAGGACAGTCAGCTTGCCCTGCTCCTTCAGACCAACAACAGAGTCGCAGCCGCCGATGTGCTTCTGGTCTGAAAAGAATACACGGTTGTCAACTAGTGATGAACAGTCGACAGTGATGGACATACTAATGAAAATGTTGGGAACAGTGCGCTGACCGGTCTTCTGCAGCAAATAATCTTGGATCTCGCTACCGTCGCCCCGCTCGTCCAACCTGAAAAGGCATGACTCGGTAAACGATAAAGGAACATCATGAAAATGAGCTCACTCAAGGATCTCAGTCGTCTCCTCGGGGAACTCGCTCGTAAGGAGAGCCTTTGCGCGTTTGCAATAAGGGCAGTACGACTTGGAGAAGATCGCAATCTTGTTGCTGGCAATAGTGTTCTACAAAGAAAGATGGACAGCCTTCTTAGTACCCCATGCGGCGATAGACGGAATTGGACATTATTACCTCGACGAGATCTTTGGCGGCCATGACTTTGCGCTGGTGAGCAGAAGGGTTGGAGGATGAAGGTGAGGCCACGACGACTAGTTGGGGGAGCTTACTGGAAACGTAGGAGAAACCCAAATAGCGAACGATCTATATAAGTGAGAGAGCATATGAGGCGCGAATGAGGCTCAGCAGTTTTGAACCTATCGGGCGGGCAAACGCTTGGTCAGATCGATTGCATCATCGCCGATGATGACATACTCTCCCGACACCGGTCACATGGTTGCCTCTTTAGGCAATCCTCCGGTGTAGTGCGTCGTCCCCATTTGTCCTTCCAAGTTCGGTGCTGCCGCTCAATATCAATCTCTGTATTCATCTTTCTCAAGCTGACTCTGGCCAGGTACCATGACCGCCGTTGTAAAGTCGATTTGCAATGCTATGGAGCGTATTGCTCCTCTCAAGCTTGCTGAGAAATGGGACAATGTTAGCAATCCTCCTATTCTTGCGCCATGCTTACTGACAAACACATCTGTATTGACCTAGGTCGGACTTCTACTAGGTTGTCTAATACCTGTATTGCTTCCGGCGATTCTGTGAACTCATATCTAAGGTTACAGAGGCCCCGACTCCTCGTGCCAATTCCAGACGCATCCTTCTGACAATCGAGTGAGTAAGAATTCGCCGTCCGAGCCCGACTTGCACAATTACACCCTTCAGTAACTAATCGTCCTCCAGTTTGACTACTGCCGTTGCTGAAGAAGCTTTGAAGAGTCCTACGTCCTTCATTGTCTCATATCATCCGACTATTTTTAAGCCTCTGTCATCCGTAACGCTCGCCAATCCTCTCCAGGCCAGTCTCCTGAAATGCGCGGCAGCCGGTATTTCTGTATATAGTCCGCATACAGCACTTGATTCCGTATGGGGTGGCATTAATGACTGGCTCGCTAACGGAATCTCAAAACCTATGAATGGTGCAGACGCAGAAGACTTTGGGGAGGTCACTATTCTTGGAGAAGAGTTAGAGGATGGCTTTGGCGGTTCGGGTCGTTTGGTCACTTTGCCTAACCCTGTCAGCATGAAAGAAATCGAGTACAGAATCAAATCTCATCTCAAGCTGGAACACAGTAAGCATATGCGTTGCTGCTTTGCCTTGAGGCTCACAAGCAACTGAATGAAACTTTGTGACTTCAGTCCAAGTTGCGTATCCTCCAGGTCAAGATCCTGAGACTCATTCTGTCAGTACCATCGGTATATGTGCTGGGTCTGGAGGTTCTATGCTTCTTGGTACCCCGGCGGATGTCTATTTTACTGGAGAAATGTCTCATCATGAAGTCCTCGCGGCCATTGCAACCGGTCACAACGTTGTTCTCTGTAAGTTTATATCATTTCATTGATGCTAGCGTCTCATCCTCCCGCACCCGTAGGCGGACACACAAACACCGAGCGCGGATACCTTCCGACGCTAGCTGAGAAACTCAAAGCTCAGCTACACGGTACAGCATCTGAAGTGAAGAGTACGGATGGGGAGCTGGCAATGACCTTACTGCTCATGGAGGTTGTTGTGAGCAAGGAAGACAAGCATCCGTTGCAAATCGTTTGAGGGTTGAAGGCAACGCCACTTACAACTTACAAAATCGAGCAGGAGGAATACACCGACGAAAGATAGGATGAGGAGAAAGTAAACTACAAGTCTAGGATTATTATCGGTCGACCTCGCTATGCACATTAGAACAGGTGGTGAGCGAGGAAAGGATAAGGATAAGGACTGCACATACCCGAACACGAGATCCTGGCATGGCATATATTAGTTATCGTAAGCTTCCAAAATAAGCTACATAGACGCACCATAGTACCAATGATAGCGACGACGTCGGCGATGAAATGCTATCAAAGTCAACTAGGTTAGCAAGAAATAGCACGAGAACGGTCAAACATCTTACATCTACAAAGTTAAGTCAGCAATGGATGTCATACTGGATAGAACACAAATGCACTCACGTCTCATCATGAAATCAGCACCAGCCAAGTGAGCGAACCCAGGAGCACGAATCTTGCATCGGTATGGACGATTAGAGCCGTCAGAAACCAAGTAGACACCCATCTCTCCCTTGGGGGCCTCAATAGCAGTATACGTCTCGCCAGGAGGAACAGAGTAGCCCTCGCTGAAAATCTTGAAGTGGTGAATGAGAGATTCCATACTCTCCTTCATCGACGCTCGTGGTGGTGGGGAGATCTTGTAGTCATCAACTTTGTAAGCGCCGGTGGGGATTTTATTCAAGCACTGTACGGAAGGTAGTCAGGACAAAATTCAGAGAGTACAGGAGGAAGGCGATGTACCTGGCTGATGATGCGAAGAGACTCTCGGAGTTCCTGGACACGACAGAGATAACGGTCGTAGCAGTCGCCCTTCTTGCCTACTGGAACGTCAAATTCGACCTACAAGATAGGCCTGAGGTGAGCAGTACCGCAATAACGTCTACAAGGTGCACGTACCTCGTCATACTTATCATATGGGGCGACCTTTCGAATATCCCAAGCTACACCACTTCCTCTCAACATAACACCACTGAAACCCCAATCCAAAGCCTCCTTCGCAGTAACTCTACCAATACCCATCGTTCTGTGTTTCCAAATTCGGTTTCCGGTCACAACTTCCTCGATCTCATCAACACGCGAGCTGAATTGAGTGGACCATTTGAAGATATCGTCCAGGAGACCATGAGGCAAATCGAAGGCAACACCACCAGGACGGACGTATGCAGCATGCATGCGAGCTCCGGAAACACGTTCGTAGAACTCCATGAGCTTTTCACGTTCTTCGAAACCCCACAGGAAGGGGGTGAGGGCACCAACGTCCATTGCATGTGTCAGAACGGCCATGAGATCTGCGAAAAGCAAACATATGTAAAGAGACCGTGTTTGGGGAAAGTAGGGACTTACGGTTTAGGATACGAGTGATTTCTCCGAAGAGGGTACGAATCCATTTGGCGCGTTCTGGGACTTCGATGTTCAGGAGTTTCTCCACGGCAAGCGAGTATACAAGTTCGTTCGTCACTATAATTCATCGTGCAATCAGGAAACTGGAGAGCGTGAAGCTCGGAATTTCACATACTCATGGAGACATAGTCCAATCGGTCGAAGTATGGAAGCGCTTGAGTGTATGTCTTGTATTCAATCAACTTTTCGGTACCTCGATGAAGAAGACCGATATGCTAATGACGTCAATGAATACAGAGGGTTGTCTGCGGTGTAAAGGAGACTTACAGGATCCGCGCGAAGCACCTCCTCACCGTTGAGCTCGAGAATCAATCGGAGCACACCGTGAGCAGCAGGATGCTGGGGACTACAGAAAGTAATTCACACAGCATCAAATTGAATACATCATTAATGCTCACCCGAAGTTGACTGTATAACAGAATAAATAATTGAACAGCAACGCCTCAGGAATTCAAACTAAACATACCAGTGAAGTGCCTCAACTGAGCATCCTTCTTCGTCCCAGTCTCTGCCAAAATCTCAGCAGCCTGCATGCCCTGGAGATCTTCCACCGTATGTGACTCCAACACCCTTTTGGCTCCTCTGCTCAACGTTCCTGCGCTGGGGTCGGACGCTGGTTCGGCTTGCACTAATGACGTGCTTGAGATATTACGTCGGGACAATATAGATGGTGCATTGTAAGATGAGTTTGGTATACGAGAAGCTCGTACGAGCTGACGACGGAGGAGCGTCGAGGCCATCGTCGTCGTCGTGCTCGACGTTGTCGGTAGGTCGGTTACAAACGGAGGAATCTCATTCGATGAGGTCGACCTGACCGCTTATGGAAAGAAATTCTCACGCTTGGCGAACCTTCTATTCACCGCTTCATCCACGAGGGTGCTGCTTGTAACTGAACAACATTGTTCTTTGCACGACAGTTCATGCTGCGAATATCGGATCTTTGGTTATTGTCTTTCGTTGTGCTCTCTTGTTTGACTCCGCACGCCCTTGCGGACGACAAATCATGTACCACCACTGTGGACGGAAAGCATTATGACCTAAACCAGCTCAAGGCGAAGTATGCACACTTTCATCCCATTAGAACACTTGGCGGGTGTTAATAGACGTCAGTTGACTAGTAAAGACTACACATTCAAGTCCTTGGGTGGTCAGCCGTATAGAATCAATGTGTGCGCCCCTGTGGTGTCCGAAATCTGGGCACCCAAAGTGGACAAGCCTGAAGAGATAGCAGCCGTTACACGTCGCCAGCATGGGGATTTTTCTATTGGGTGGGTCTAATACATATGGAACGCTATCATTTTCTCACTGTGGGTAATATAGTGCTGTCAATACTACCTTGACGGTCATTGGTGGACATCCCATGCTGCTTCTGACTGGTGGCAATCTATGTTTGGATGGCAGCGATTTGCGCGCGTCCACAGCCGTTCGCTTTATCTGTGACACTGCGGTATTTGGCGCAGGTGTGAACGCCTTTAAGAAATTTCATATAACTTTTCTGAGCTGAAAATTCTGTAGGCAAGCCTGAGCTCATCGCTCAATTTCCCCCACAGGATGATGCTGCATGCGCTTTCTTCGTTGAATGGCGAACCCATGTCAGTCTAATTCTATCAGGTTTCATATTGCTTGGCAGCTCATGTGCTTTTTGCTTGACATAGGTCGCTTGTCCCACGCACGAAAGAGGTTCTTGGAGCTTTATAGCAATACTAGCAACCATGTACGTAGCCTTGGCTTCTACTCTCACAATGACCATACTAAAGTGTCCCAACAATAGTTTTGGAGTTCTCTTCATGCTCTACATTATTGTTGGGCTCCTATACAATCGATTCGTACTGGACCTACGTGGTTTTGACCAGATACCCAGGTATTCCCTCATATCATTCAGTGATGTCGTGCAGTTCTTCCGGAACTGTATCGACCGCGTCAAGTCTCGTACACCAGACTTTGGCGGTGGCGGCGGAGTGAATGGATCATGGGGTAGATCTGGTTCCGACTATAGAGGATTGGCAGCTTCTGGAGAAGAGGGAGCGTCTATGTTGGGAGGACCTCCTGGCTTTCTGGACGAAGAAGATGAAGGAGAAGAAAACATCCATGGAAGCGACCCTGAGAGCGGTAGACCTCAGGGCGTAGATTCTAATGGAGTGATTCGATTGTAATATAATTCAGATGGATGGATTGACTTTCCTATGCACTGGTCATGCAAACCTTATACGAATTCGTAACGCCCGAAATGAGTGCAGGATTCCTACACCCATATACTGGGCGTGAACCTTGAATGTCACCAGTGCCTTTCGCAAGCGTTATGATGATATGGCGAAGCAACTATCTCGTAAGATCTTCTGCTCAGAAGTCCGTAGCCGCCAGCTAAGTAACTGGGTATCGCAGATTGGCTCATTATTGCATATGCCGGCATCGTCCTCGGATCGGAAGGCAGACGGATATGTTTCTGAGACCATGCCAGATAAACAGGTCTTTGGGGAGGAAAGTAAGAACGTCTTGATAACGTTTTGTGCTTTGTATTTTGCTTGAAGCGCGTCGCCACTTGTCCAATATGACTTCTGCTGACGAGAGAAGTGACAGCTGTCTCGCAAGATTACCTCTCGGGCCCTGAATATGCGTTGTATGAATATCAGAGGATGGATATCGATGTGGTGAGATTGAGCAATCGCTGCCCAGCCTTCGGGTGGATACGTCACGTCCGATTGGTATTGTGCAAGCGGATCGATTGGTGAAGCAAAGATTGGAATTATTGTGTGGGGACGATGTACACAGTGTTTGTGCATCTCCATGGAAAGGTCATTGTGCTACGCAGCAACGGAAGGAGAATAGAGAAGGAGTGCGATGAAACCGGGCAAGCTTATTTCAACAGATTTGTAGCCGAGGGTATAAGCGACAGCTACCGGGTAACATGGGAATAACGTTGATTGTAGGCGTGGGAAGAAGTGAGGGGAAGGGAAGGCAGCTGTGGCGTCGAATATGTTCTTCACCGGGCTCGTCCTTGGACGCAAATCTTCGAGGCGGGTTACCACCACCACCGGGGTCTCCTTCTTCTCTTCACCCATTGTTTCTTTTGTTTCGCATTGTTCTCAATTCCTCTCCATCCTCATTCCTATCCACAGTTTCTTTCTTCTACCCCAACCGACACGACCAACATGGATCCACACCCGCAACAATTTCTTCACGAACACGATCCTCAACCCTACGTGTATCCAATGTACGCTCCAGAAGATGACAGCTCCTATAGCCTCGTGCATCCTCATGCCCAGTATGCTAACGTCGTGCCCGCTCCTCGTGTGTCTCGCCTATTACCTGCATGCTACTTACCGCACCAAATCTGATCCGCCTCCTTTTCATTATGCTTTCTAGGCCATATGTCCAATGAAGAGATGCAGCAAGCGATGCATTACCATAGATCTCTCAACATGATGAACCATCCCTTCCCTCCGCAAGTCCAAGGCGTGTACGGTGAAGCGCCTCATGGCGGCATGCCACTCTCGCATTCCCCTCCCCCACAAAGCCCGACAGGTCTTTATGACCCCATCTCTCCTCCCATCTCCGGTTCCGAGACCTCCGGCGAGGGCCCGTACCAAACCCATTCGAGAAACAGTAGCTCGGCCGGTTCGCCATCGTCTTCCCGCGCAAATTCCCTAGTCCATCGTCAACCTTTACGCTACAACCCAACCCCTTCACCTACCAGCTCTTCCGGTCGCCGTAGCCGCGGACGTTCTCTCTCAGACGACGAAGATTCCATGGTTCCCGGAGCAGCTGAAGCATTCGCGAACACTCGCAAGGAGGCGACCCGAAAGCAGAGAATCGAAGCCGAACAGAGACGGCGCGATGAACTGAGGGAAGGCTATGCGAGACTGAAGGACGTCCTCCCGGTTTCAAACCAAAAAAGTAGCAAGGTCTCACTCCTCGAACGAGGTACGTGATATCAGCGCATTAATTGCTGCTTGACTCACGCGCCCATGTCATTGACACAGCTCGTAATCATATTCAATCTCTCGAGAAGTCTGTCCGAGAGCTGAATGAACGTCTCGCTGAAGTGGAGGCTGAAGTCGGTAGACTCCGCCTGATCAACGAAAAGATTTCACTTGCCGGCGCCCCCGCTACAGGTGTCGTTAACATGGATCGAACCGTGTCTCCACCGCTTGATGCCCCACAGTCCAAGGACACTCAGCTTCCTATGCAAACCCCCAGTCCGGCTGCTTCGGATGGCGACTACTAATCTTCATGCTTTCCTATCAACATTATACGTTGTGCCATGGACACTTCTCCACATCTCTCTTACCTCTTCAAGCAATATTCAGAATATCCTGCATTTCTTTTACCTTTCAATCTCTTGACAAGATTTTCCATTCAGTTCTGTATCCCTCATTCTCATTGCCGTCTTGTCCATTTTCTAGTCGTCTTGGAAGGGTTTGTGGTGTTTCGCGCAGTCGGCATGCTGCGTCGTATGTTGGATGGGAATCCAACTTGGGAATCTTGTGGTACGCCGCTGAAGAATCGCGGTGCCCGGTGCACCGATGTCGTTATACGATAGGATTTCTCACAGCTCGTCATCTTTGACGATTTCACTGGGACCACCGCTCTGCTGCAGCTGGAAGCTGTTCTAGGTTCCACGCAGATCCACGATGCCGGTCGTTCGATCTTCCCCTGTCGCGAGATCGATGATCGAGTGGGGACCAAGCATCTGAGATGCTGTCACGAGTCCTACTGGATCTCACCCCCACTCGCATTTCGTTGCCTCTCGAGGAAACTACGACCCCATTGTTCCCCTGCTTCAGCAAATCGTCAAGAATATCCCCGTTCCATTCCCGTCTGTCTGGACTTTTCCCTCCTTTCGCTCTGCACAAGCCCGCTGCAGCGCAATCACCACCTCTCTCATTCAAGCGACATTTGCTTTTTTCAATCATCCTCTCTCTCTCTTGTATGTATAGAATAAACGACTCCCTATCCATCCCTAGGTTATCACCCTTGATCTCGCTTATCGTCGCTCAACATCCTCTTCCGTTTCCCCCTTTACATCTTTCCGAATACCCCCGAGCAGGCGAAGGCGAGATCGACTCTCACCCCGAAGGACACACCTTATGACTGGCGCACGACTATATGACTTACGAAACTAACGACATTCACCTCAACGATGTTGCTGTGGCGGCCGGAGCGGCGGACATTGCCTTAGTGCAGGACAACCCCCCATAAACTCGGTACATGGTCGAGCTTTTGCATGCCAATCTTGATGAGCGCATGCGAGTACCGTTCCAGTAACGGTCTTTGCTCCCACACTATCGATGCTGGGGGAGTTCTGTGCTTTGGTGGGCTGTTCGTCGAGTCCAGGCCGAGAATGAAGCTTTGGGGGTGTATTAGAGTACCTCGTATACGTAGTTAGTAGCTATTCTCTCCATTAGTCGAACAACGCAAAATCTGCATCCTTCACCATTTCATTCGCACTTGAACTGAACAGTTGCATGTTGAAGCTTGGTAAGTTAAATGAGGTTATCGGTTGCTATTGCATCGTAGTCATCCCTCTTCAATAGACCCGTATTAGCGGCTGCCTGCGGGAGGAGACTAGTCGCACCGCGATATTCATGGACTGTATACAATTTGTGTGGCGTGTCGAACTACCGAATTTAATTGTGATGTTTTTGAGGCTGATCGCCGGTCCCACGAAGGTTCAAGACGTTCGAGTACACCAAGAACATGATCACCTTGATAGAAGAGTTGCGATACCATCCCAGCGATGAAACCGTTCAACAGTGCCTCCCCTTCAGCCGCATGAGGATGCGATCCTCGGAGGAGAGCGAACTTCTTGGTATGATACATCTCCGTCTTTGGAGAAGAAGAAACGAAAGCTACCATGAGTCGAATTATCCGTGAGTGAGGTCTAGCGGAATTGTGAGATGCAACGTTGTGCCTACGAAGGTCATGTATGCGGGAGTGAGAGTGTTTTGCTCTTCGGTGACGGGCGCAGGACGTACCCGGACCGCAAGAATAGGAACATTGGTCCCGAGAAGTGGCATATGTTCACATACTTCTTTTGCATCGTGACACAGTAGACGGGATGCAAACATTGAAAGAGTTTGAAATTCCAACGTCATGACTCGCCCGTAGCCGTTACTGTCCCTGGTCATGACAGTACTTATCACCGTGCAAACAGAATAAGACATCTCGATGAGCAAGTTAAGAGCTTGGGGCCCAGCATTCGGGAATAGTCTGGAGTGAGCCTTGTGTGGAATGATCGACCCAAAATGGCTTCGAAGGCTTTGCCGAGACTCCACCGAAATTAACGTTGGATAGAATTCTGCATGCAGGAATGTGTGAATCAGAATGGGCAAGCAGCCTAAAATGAAAGAAGCCTCTCGTTCTCTCTGCAGCGTGTTCACCAAAGAGCCAATCAGAAATGTCCAGTACCCGGGGGTTTGGTAGAATACATTAGATGCTTGATAGCAGAAGGTTCAGACACAGAGTACGGTGCACGTTTTACCTAGTGAAGGAGGACTTCCGTTTAGGACTTGAAGCATTGCTAGCGGAGGGCGCAACGTGTTTAAGAGGCCCAGAAAGCTTGCCTCCCAAGCTGAATGGGAAAAATCCTCGTGAGTGGCAAGGCAACTGCCGTAGCGTTTTGTTCGTTACACCGAAGTGTTTGTAATCCTTTGTTCTGATTCTGCTGTAGTACCAAATTTGATTCTGCTGTGGAAAAAAAACCGCAAACGGAATTGCGACGGTCCCGTCACTGGTGAAGAAATCATATGCCTGAGCGCATAAAATAGAACGAGGGTGCCAGGAAGCAGCTTCCTGCAAATGAGCCTGAGAGATCGATGCTTGTCGGCATTCGGTGAAGAGGCACCGAGAAAGACGAGCTAAACCCGCAAATAATGTTGCAGAAGCCGTTTGAGGTAAGAGTGTGCCTTCACCGATTGCTGTGCACCTATGATCCACCTCACACGGATGCATCGACTACTACTTGCAGAAAGAACGCTGTAAAATTCCGCTTCAAAGCTACGACGATATGAAAAGGGCTCTCCGCCGGCTTCGAGACCCCAGGGGCCAGCGTCATCAAGAAGATCGATGGAGAACCCAACGGACATCGGAACTATATCTAAGTTGTGATACGGATCAGCGAACTTGTCGGATTACGGTCAGGTACCCATTATGAACGACCTACGCCAAGGGGCTACGGTCGTGTATCTTGATAAGTCGAACTATGTAGGTCGAGCCTTCGCCAAAAAAAATTATAAGCATTAGAAAAGAGGGTTGCATACTGCTGGAGCCGATATCGTACCGTGAATTGTGGTGTCGACGGGATTCCCCAATCCCGGAGTCCCGCTTTTGCGTCCCACATCTCAAGATGAGTCTAGACTGCGGTTTAAGCTGGCTTTGGACTTGCTTGAAGATGCATATGGTAAGGCGACTCGCAAAATATGGATATAACGAAATGCCTATCAATGTCCTGATTGTTCCAAAGATGTCAAATGATTGAAATTTTTTAACTTATGGAACGCACCGTTTTAGGTTCTATGTCAGACTGACTTCCTTCTAGAGACATTTCGTTCTTCAATGGCGAAAGTTGAATCATGATATAACAATGACGCCGACAGATCGGTAGTCGGTGGTGATTATGTTCTGTAGGCCTAGATTCGCGTATCACTGTATACAACTTCTCGGTGAGTCGACTGCAACAACATTGAACGAAGTTGAGGGACGCCAATGAGGTCGAAAGTTCTAAAGATGCCTCTCAACTTCGACGATGATGACTCTAGTGTATTGTATACTCACCGTGCCAGAGATTGACTCAATGTCTCCATCTGAATAGGTTGCTATTGCATAGGTGATGACCATGACCAATGGGAAACAAAACACTGCCATACAGTCTTGTCTCTCAGATCAACCATTGTGTCTCCAAATTGAAGAGTCTCGTTTTGAACGAGCTTCTTGTTGAGACATGGAGGGGTTGCCAGGACCAACTGCCAGAATGCAGAAATCATAGATTTATACAAAGCATATCCTTCCAAGCAGGAATGGAGGACAGGGAGACCTAGACTCGACCTGGAGTGACAGCGGCTTGGAAACGATCGAGGAACATGCCAAAAGAGGAAATCTGAAGTTCGTTCTTCTGAAGGATGTCGAACGTGTGACCCGGACGCTATAGGCGGGTTGTGGGGGTCTGAGGTCTCTCCATTGTCCCCGCCGCCGTCGACGTTAGGTCTGCGTCCGCCCTTCCTTACGGTCCTTCATTTTGCTGTGATATATACCCTCGATCGTGCAACCCGTTCTCTATCTCGTAACAAAAGGGAAACCTCAAGAACGAAAGATTACTGCACAATCTATCTAAAGTCACGAATCAAGAAAGCAATACTTAGGACACGTTTGTTTGAGATCCCTTCACGATGTGGTATGTGACCTACCCTTTCATTTTTCTCTTGTATTGTGCAAATCTACTCTCCAGGTGCGATAACTGTCTACTATTGCTCCCTCTGGTATGGGACCATTTCGCCCCCATGTATGACGTCTGAAACTGATGTTTCTCGCCACTGTCAAGCGCGCCGGCGCGATTGCATGGGCTGTAATTATAGCTGTGAGTATGAGACCTTAGTAGGAAAGTACTCACAGTCATTCATTACTCCTTCAGCTATACAGCATCGCAGGTGGTATATTCCTTCTCAAATGGGGTCAATACCTATACTTCTTCTATCCTGAATGGTAGGTTTGTTCATATTCGCCTCAAAGCTTCACATCTCATCGGTGAGATTAATTACAGGTTGATCTATGGTGGTATTGGAATGGGTGTCGGAGCTACTGCAGTAATTACCATTTTGGCTCTGTCAAATGTAAGTCTTCCGTCACTGAACTGCCAACCATGTCGAGATTCACCGCAATCTTACGGTCTGGTATGTTATATCCCCATAGCGGTCGTACGTCTGGACACGAGTAACCAAGTTCCTATGGCCGTTCATCATCGTCATTTCTGCGGTCCGAGCCATCCTGATGATCGTCCAACTCCAACGTGGGTGAGTGCCCATTTTCGATATTTGATTACATTTGTAGCTTCATGCCACCTTGAAGCGGTAATCCTTCTCCTTCGTGGCGTTTGATCATACCATACATCCCCAACTATTGCCTGGGTGATCTGCTGCAATTCAGACCTTCCCTTGTCCTCGGTGTCAATTTATGTCTTGGGCTTTCTACCTCCGCTAAAATTTTGTTATGGTTTCATCCGCCCATACGGTTCTGCTGTGGGACCTGCATCCCTCCGTTCCTTTCGGTCGAGTGAATCCACGCATTGTGGCGATATGTCCAGTAGTTTGCGAACTTTGTTCCACCAATTTGCTATGTTCTAATCATGCTCCCTGTGATATCTCTCTGCACCATGCGGCGCGGTGAACGCCACGAGCTTCTCCTTTCCCCACTCATCCGAGGAATTCCCTCTTCATACCCACCCGAGGATGATGGCTCACGCACTTCACCAATAGGAAAGACAAGATTCAATGGGAATGTGACAACGGAGGACAGCTGTGGACTGAATCAGCTGCCGCGGGCTACGGTGCAAATTCTTCTTTCCCAGGTGGCTTTTGCACAACAGGCTTCTCGAGTCTCAACGCGGCGTTCATCGTTTCACTGCTGGTCGACCTTGGCTTCCAGGTCAGTTCACTTACCTTTCTTCGCTGTCATCACTTTTCATTACTGTTTCTTCGCACCTTGCATATTTATTTTCTTTCAATATCGCTATTAATGTCACATGGTTGGGTTTTTCCCTCCGTCCATCACCTGATGGCACCTGACTTGAACTTCTTCATCGCTCCGTCCATTTCTCGTCTATCTAAGAGACGAATCTGTTCGGACGCTATTAGGCTTTCATCCCTGCGGCTCGCGGATCAAAATGCTCAGCAGCGTCATGTTCTTCCTGCATTCTCCCAATCCGTACAACATCCCGACCTTGTGCTCACCAATTTTCTTCACCTTTGACAGATGTACATGTACTTCATGGTATGGCGATTCCAAAAACGACTGGAACATTACCAGAACATGAAAGGTCCCTTCTATGGCGGTGAGTAATGCTCCAGTCCCTTGAATTCTTCCCGTGCATTCCGACTGTTCCCCCTTCGCAAAATCACTTACCATGCCTCGAAACATCGCACTCATAACCTTTCACCTCCACACCATCTCACACTTCATTCATTCATATACGCTCATTCCTTCGAGCCGGCCCCTTCTCCGGGTTTCATTTGATGGGGATGGGCCGCATTGCTGGCGTACACGAGGCTTGTTTTTCTTGCAATGTGGACGCTAACACCAAAATCTGCTTGTGATTACTCAGGTTATTACAATGCTTAATCTCGCCGCGTCAAGAATCATCCATGAGCCACTTTCTCCTCGATCTTGATGCAGCGATTGTAGTTCCGCGACGGGGACCTTGGCTAGTTTTGTCTTTCATGTTGTCTTCGGGTTCCTACTGTGTTCCGATGCGCCCCGCTGTCTTTCTCTGTTCCGACTTACGATATGACCCAGGATAGTTTCCATTTTCCCCATTTGACACTCTCGACTTCTGTCTCTTTCTGTCTCTACTACCTCTTTTGACGACCCTCACGTTTACGACTTGTTTACGACCTACTGCTTACGACCCTCCTAACGACATGACCCTGTGCTTTTGTTATTTGTTACTTATTGCTGAATGATATCTCTTTGCTACTCTGTACTCCACTGTTTTGCTCTGGATCTCGTTTCGTGGCCCACTCATGATGACATCCTATCCCTCGACTGGCCCTGTGGCCCCCCACGACTCCCGTCCGATCGCCACTGATTGCAAATTCCCGTCCTGAAAGCCTCGGTCTCGAATCTACTCATGAAGGTCTTGTGGTCTTCAAACGTATGCATTCAGCTTGGACTTCCTGTCCGTCTGACCATAGTCAAGTTGCCTCGCCTCAACTGACCGTGACGGAGTTGGACCCATATGTATGCGCGCTAGCGTTCTGAGCAAAGTTCCAAACGCTCGCGGAAGCATTTCTTTCACCTCTTACGCGTCAGTCTGTCCAAGCGACTACATTGTACGTTAAGCCATCTATCGCGCCTCGCCAAAGGAGAAATTACGTTCACTGTTTGGTTGAGCTCATGAGCGTCCTGCAGGGTCCTGAGATTGTAGTACCAGTGGACAAGTCAAGTGACGCGGAGTTCGTGTGGCGGACAACAAGGAAACTACCGTGTGGTGAGAAAGGATCTGTACAGCTTGGGTTCTTTCTATTCAATCCGGAGTTGTTTTTGGAAAGGGCGTTCCCTGAGAACGCTGGGAATAAAGTCTTAGTGAGCCCTTTGAGCTCAGATCACAGCCGCATTATCCACTATCTTTCTCGGGATACGTACGTATACTACGTAGTAAGGAAATTTGGGTATACCATACATACACATCGATAGAAACGTTGCACAGTTCCAATCCATCTACTACGCGTGATAAATGAAAGGATGCCAGTCAATTCCAATACTCAATGATTCTGGTTCTAAGTCAAGAATCAAAGTCGATTGAATACAGTCGTTAGGCGGTAGGATTCCAGCATATTCCAGTATTCCCAGAAACAAACAACCATAGACCACAATTGCGAAATGAACTTGTTTGCTCCATGGCTTTGACGGGATAAGCCTCGGGGAAAGCTCCGAACCGAGATGAACACCATTTTTCCCCCGCTTGCCTTGCTAATTGTAATAAGTATACCGTCTCCCTTGTCGACGTATCCATGTCTCCCCGTACTACCCGACTCTCGCACTAGCACCGACTCTCAGGTCTCTAGGGAAGTTGGAAAGTCTAAGTGGGAGCTGGGAACGCTGGTCTGACGGAAGAAGACGGATGGAGGGAAGGAGGGAAGGCCAGAAGAGGAAAAGAAAGCCGGTCAGAAGACCAGGAAATTCGAACGCTAACCTTGACGCCACGAAGGGGAAGCGAAGGAGTGTGAAGTCAGAGGCTTAGGGACGTGCAGGCGGGTGATTCAGAATGGCCGGATCCGGATGTGAGAATTGGTGTATCCTTCCTCCTGGACGCCTGGACATTCTAGATCGTCAGGTCTGCGAAAGCCCTGGCAGGTCAAATGGAGCTAGGTACTGTCATGATACGAAGAGCGAAATGAAATCTTTCAAGCTGGGATTGTGTTCCGACTAATGAAGGTGAATATGATCGGGCTATCCTTTCTTTGCGTGAGAGACTCAGAACACTGGCACACCGGAAAGAAAGCAGGGTCTTCCCTTTGGGATACTGAAGAAACGAAAGGTAGAAAGGGATATGTAACACATGAAAAGCACCCGGGGTCTCAGAACTCCAAGGTGCAGTGAGGGGTACAGAACTCCAGAGACCTCGGAATGAGCGAGGGAATGAGCAAATGACGAGAAGGGATGGAAGCAAGGTCAGGAAAGAGGGGATATGAAAGGCATTAACGCGAGGCTGGGCAACGCAAATACAAAACAGGATGAAATGAAAACTGCACGGTCGTGTGTGGAAAGCGGATTAGTCCATTGGAGCCTGAAGGGAAGGAACATGAGGCTGTCTTTCCACTCTCCGCCGAGTCAATTTTCTCTTGTGCAGATACATCAAGAAACAAACAGACCATAAAGTGTCGCAAATTGAAGCAAAGCGAAGTGAAATGAGGCGAAGCAAAGATGCCGGGACATGCTTGACAATGAGAGCTGGTGATTTCGCCACCGCGCGTTTGACGATGAGGCGAGGGAAGATGAATTATTTTGTTACATACCCTTCCTCGCCACAGGGGTAGCGCGTGGGGCGTCCTAGGAATCCGATGTGTAAATCAACCTGTAAAGCTGTACTGAAGGGAAAGAAAATATGCCCTGGAGGGTCGGAATTGCTTGGTAAAGGAGATGTGCCCGGATGACCAGGTGAAGTCGCCCAAGAAGGAATAGCGAGCGGTAGATGGTAAGTAATGATAGGCAACTTGCGAAACCAACTGCAGTCTATGAGATGGGACAAGTCCTGGGAACCCGTCACCATATATCGGTCGGACCCGCGTGAATGAGTTTCATAGTCATCGGTGGACCAGGACCGGAATTCCTTCCTTGAGCAATGAGAGATTACGGATACCTTGGAGAGGACTTTGGATGCTGGGTGAGAGAAAATGCGAGAAAAGTTTAGGCCTTTGAGTTATCTTGGTTTGATGGACAGACGTTAAAATGGCAAGTTTAAGACGTAAAATAAGGTGCGCGCGGGCGTGTCTATGATGTTATTGTATTTGTCGGTTACCAGAATCAGTGGATACGATACGTGAACTCGGAGATCCAGACAGATACACCGTACGAAAATGGTGCAATTCCTGTGCATTTCAAGGGTAGTAAGCAGACCAAGTGACAAGTACAGTGAGATCGCAGTCAATAGTAGGCCAAGCTGAAACAAAGACTGGAGAAGCCCCCTTGCATCGGAAGAAGGCCAGGGCAGTGGGGGCGAGTGATAGGCTTCATTCACGTCATGACAGGATGACTAGGAGGATACTGTTGTGGCACGCGCGTCCGGAGAAAAGGAGGCTAGGGTGCCCGAAGAGTACGACCCAAAAGGGAAGAACGAGGAAATGAAGATGATTGAAGAGACGTTCTGTGGAAAACGGAGGAGGAAAGGTGTGAAAGGGGAACAGAAGAGGCAGTCGAGGACGAACACGAGGCATCAGCCATCACCGGACTCTTTGAGCGATCTTCCTCTCCTCCAGCCTGGATTCTCTCAGCGTTTCTCCCAGACGCGTAATTTCCCCGTACGTATATCTACCGTCCATGCGCCGTCTTCTCTTTCCCAACCCTTCCCTCCTCCGCCCACCCGCTTCCGTTCCCCGCCCTCTCCCAGGCGGTCCTATTGTCCATTGTATTGCTTAGCGTTCGCTAGCAACCCCCGCTCACCGTTGCTTTTATCGTGCGTTGACTACCTTATATACGTATCCGAACAACTCTCGTTTAACCTACAATTGTCTTTGTTGTAGCCACACAGGCTTTTATACTTCCATCTCATTTATTAGCAGACACCCTCGACCGAACGACTATCTGTGATACTTGCTCCCTCTTCCACCTCCCTTACTCTCTGCTTAGCCCTCGTCCTGCATAATCATCTCACCGCAATGGAGACCGCCCATATGGAGAACGTCCTCGACCACGCCCGTCCTGCTGGCTTTATGGAGTCCGCTCCTAGCGGGTTCTACGGCCTCAACACTCTGGATTACCTTTCGTATCCTCACTCACCCTTTGGTGTTGACATGGGTCGTAAGTCTCCCCAACTTCACACCGTATATGCGCTCTTATCTGAAATGTATTCGTACTCTAGTCCCACAGACATCCTCTCCCCGTCTTGGCTTCAACTCGCTCAACCTTTCTACAGGTATGAGCGAATACACCTACGGTCCTAGCACCACGTTTTCCAACAGCCCCGGTCCTCGGCCCTTCACTCCTACCGGCATCTACCCAGGTGCTCTCTCTAACCTCAGCACCGGCGACCTCTCCTCCGCCGATAGCGTCGCCTCAGGTAGGAGTCGTCGAGGCAGCGGTGCTCACTCGCCCGGTCCCGCCGTCCCACCCGGATCTCTGGCCTCTGTGCCAAGGTCTCATCGCTTCAACCCCATCGCCGCTCCCGTCACTCGCTCATCGACGAGACAGCAGAAGAAACGTGCCAAGGGTGGTTCGGACGAATTCGACAGCGACAACGACGAAGAATACAATGCCATGATCCCCGCTGCGAACAATGAGCAGCGCCGGGAGGAGATTCGTCGTCAACGCATCGAGTCCGAGCAAAGGAGACGTGACGAACTTCGGGATGGTTACCGCCGACTTAAGGAAGCTCTTCCGGTTTCGAACCAGAAGTCAAGCAAGGTTTCCTTGTTGGATCGTGGTAAGTTGTCCCATTCGCGTTCTTGCTTACTTTGCGGATCACTCATATTTTTTTTTTCAACAGCTACCACCCACATCAGGTGTCTTGAGATGACTCAACAACAACTGCAGACGAGACTGGCTCAGGCCGAGGCAGAGACCGCCCGGCTTAGGCAGTAAGTACCCTTTTCCTTTACACATAGCCACCTTAAACTCGTGCTGATAAATCGCATCATTTCGTAGTGTCAACGAGGCTCTCATGCTCGGCACAGCTGAACAGCGTCACGCCGCAGCTGCCTCTGCTGTCATGGCCGCCCAACAAGGCCCTGCTTTCTAAAGCGTCTTCTCCGTCGGGGAAGGCCTTTAGGTCGACAAAAAGCTCGTGCACGCCGGACGCCTGTTGAAGAGCATTCATTAAAAAAACTACAACTATTGTTATCATGATGGACTTACGTTATTGCTGCCACGACCACATTTCACGACTCGAGATGGAACCCTCACTTAATCGCCTGCCTGGATAGCAGGATGCTTTGCATCTTCACATTACAATGGACTTTAGCACACATACATCTCACATCACGCACCCTGTTTATTCTGTTTATACGTTCTTCACGACGACACACTTTTATCCATCCACACTTACCGACGATCTCCCTCACCATCTGATCCGCCTCTTTCACGTTCACATTCACGTTCAACGACTTTTTTCTTGGTTCTCAATTTTCCCTCACGTTTCCCCTTCTATTCTCCTCACCTCGCCTCTCGTCGGAGGGAGAATCGGATGGTCTCGTTGGGCTCGCTGCGTCTGCGATCGCACGTCCATTGTCTATCGTCGTCAACGTGCACTTTCACGAAGAACCCGCATATACCGAGGACAACCAACCTACGCGGCCGAGCCGCACCCCAAGGTTCAAACCGCTCGACGCATAGCTCGTCGACGATCCGAACCGTCCAGCAGAGAAACCACACCCTCTGACTTCCGCCATCATTCCCACCAAACGTCTTCCCACTCATTGGAACGACAAGTTGGCTGCTTTCACCTCTGATTTCATCGAGCCGACCGAGCACTTCGAGGACTTCTTCTAGAACTGTCCGGGATCAGGGACGACACCTGACGCAAGACCGCGAGAACTGTGAAGCCGAGGTTTGAGTGTGCAGTTGGGTAATCGTGGAGGTGGCACTTGGCTTGAGGACGACTTAACTGACGTACTCGCCTTCCATCTTCCGACCCTTCCGGTACCTCCCTCGTGATACTTCCTTCTCGTCGGCGCCTTCTTGCCCACCACTCCTTTCATACTTCTCGTCTGGCCATTGATGGCTCAGCGAAACCCGGTGTCGACAATTCTTCCCCATCCCCGCCTGCTTTCTGGAACCCTCAGCCGCTTCGTTTGTCCGCTCCCGTTTGGATCAAGTGCCAACATAGTCCCGCCTACTCGCTTCGATGTCAAGCTTGAGGCGTGTACGATATCATTTCGTACCCTCGCTTTTCGTCATGGAGCGCGCCGATACACTGGCGATCGTTCTCCGAGTTATACGTTTTTGGTGGTCTGGTTGTTTTCCTCCGGTTTGCATCATTTTCGTCCCGCACGCTCAGATATTGACACGACTACGACACGATCGACCTACCGTTCTCACCCATCATCTCTATGCCACACCTCTATGCCAAATTTCCTTACTTCCTCGTTTCGGATTCGCGTACGCGATCCTACCCTCGATATTCCTTCCTCCCGCCTTCATCCTTGCCCTGGCTAAACCTGGCTTCAATACTCCCGACGAGTGTTCTTCGCGAGGTTTTATTTTCCACTTCTGACTCCTGACCGCTGTTGTACTATTGTTCTGTATTTCTACCCTCGCGAAGGGGTCAACAGCTGCGTTCCATCGTCTTCGACGACGATGCGCTGTTCGGGTGCAGGTAGCTTTTCCGGGGATTTACTCAAGATAAAGAAGACAAGGCTACAGGAAGGTGTTTTCGGGGCCCAGTCCTCAAGGATTCCATCAACGACGCCTTCCCTGTCCGATATTGTTCATTCTTACGAAGTTAGACTTCCATCTTTCCCACCTCTTTCATTCTTCAGTCTCTCGGCCCAACTCTGCACCTCGCGTCCCTGCCTGCCGAAGGAGAGTAAGTTCTGTTCTGACCGTGGTTGTGGTGTATGCCGCTGCTCGGATGTGAAGGAAATGCCAGACGTGAGCTGTTGTGCTTGTAGAAACCCTTTGGTTCAAAACCTCCCAGAACCGCGCGTGCGTGGCTAGTTCCATGCCCCAACCCTGGAAGTGTTGCGGCCTTTGGTGCTTTCTCGCCTTCAGCTTGTATTTGTGCGTTTCTTTTCGTGTCCTTGTGGTGGTGTGTGCTCTAGTTGCGCGTTGGGATGGGACTTGTTTGACTTGTGGTTGGGTTGTGGCTTTCGCTTGAGCGAGCGAGTTGGTGTGCAGGGATACGTTGGATGTTGGACGGTTTTCCCAGTTCAGATGGATGTCTTTCCCTCCCACTTCGTTCTTGTTGGATGCCGTTTGATGGATACCTTACCCCCTTATGCTAAACACCATATGCCCAGGATACGTCTCTCTTTCTCCCTTTCTTCACTGCTCAAGTTCAGTGTCGTGCTACCCCTCATCGTCGTCCGCGCTGTCGACCTTCGCTGTGCTCTTACTGTATTGTTGTTGTTCCATTTTTTTTTCTTTACTTTTCACTTGGTTTTTCATGTTGTGTTATACGTTCATCGTCACTCACCACACGCACGCATTGCACTTCTACTTCACGTTGCCTAGTGGTTCGGATCTGGACCCTTCTGGTACATACTATTCACATTACCTTTCTACACGGTTTGCACGGAGGATGCTATTGTCCGTTGGTTTACAGGCTTACTAGTCGTTCATTCGGTTGCTTTGCTGTAGACACCCGTTTCAATGGCACGCGTTTTCCTGCATGTTTTTGTGTTGAGGCCTCTTCGATGAGTGAGTAAATTGAGTCGTGGTATGTGTGAGGCTTTTCACTGCTTCGTTGATCGCCTTAGTCACCGCTGTCCAAGGAACTTGGGAAGATAAAACATGAGGTGGAGGTGCGGCTCGTGTCTAGGCTTGTCAATGGCAAAACAAGGTTCAGAACTCAGACGTTGAATGAGGTTAAATGAAGATGTAAGGTTTTCATGTGCTATTTGCGACGACTTTGCTTGTACACCCGACGTCGACGTTTCGACGACGGGAAGCTCTCTAGTGAATAAGGAATACCGTTGTAGCACTACCAACTATAACTCGTCGGAGCTAATACTGGTGCTTATCGATGCGATAAGGGATCTTCGTCATTGGTGGAGAGTCTCAATTCGATCGCCGGCGGAATAAAAAGTTGAAACGTACAAATCATAACAAAATCGAAGCCAAGGAAATACCTTTCTTACAGCCTCTACATCGACATAACAAGAACATAATACCAAGATGAGCGACAAAACTACTATTCATCGTCAACTCAGAATCAAGACTGGGACAGCGAAACGGTTCGTATGATCCTAATCTGGAATGGTGGAAAGCTATGACGTCGAATGCTAAACTGTTCCACTAATGTACGTATCACTATGTAGGCTCTTCAAGGAACACTTGTCGTATCAGAAAGAGGAAGAGCAATTGAAACGCAAATTGGACAAGTTCATCGCTGATGGTGCGGAAGACTGGGATATCAAGAACACCGTACGTCGCCCTACAATATTGATTCATTTTTCCAACTCGTGAACGTATTCCTGATGTCTCGTATAGAGGAATATGATGGAGGAATCCAATAAGCTGGTCAAGGACACTTCAAAACGTCTTGGTGGTGCTGTCCAGGACTTGAGAGAGCTTCTCGTAAGTTGCATTCTTCTCTCACAACCGTCGTATAGGTGAATTGATGTGATCTCGATTGTCTCAGGTCGGCACGGAGAAGGACCCAGAGTTAGCTTCAGATGAAGAGGTGCTGAAAGCAAAGGAGGTGCTAGAAGAAGTCAGCGTATAGGCTCCAATCCAACTGAACCCGACTGTACCTGTATATACCACGATACCCGCGTCTTATTCATTTAACCCTCAGACTGAGTTGACAGTAGCTCAGTTCTTTCGCGTTCTTTCGCGTCTTTCAACCTTGTAAGCGCATTCAAGATACCTTTCCATGCATCTCTTTCAATACGGTCTTCTTGTAGACCTCGATTGCCTTTTTCTGTGGGACCACTTGGGTTTGAAGGAAGGCCCACACCGAGGGGAGGAGGTATGAAGTTGGGCGGTGGGGCATTGATTGCTGAGGGAGCGATACGGGACTGTCGGATGTGTGCGAGGGATGAACGAATAGCAATATGGATAGACTAGAAGTTGTAACCCGATAAGTTAGAAGTAAAACATTTGAATTGTGGACTGACACATACATCTAGTCGTTCGAAGAACTCGCTCGCTTCCAATACGAATTGCTCGGACCTCTCACCTCCTTGTGGCAACCCATCTTCCGGTTCATCCGTTTGAGGCAAAGTTAGCAGCGATATCGACGAAGCTGCTAAGGATAACAATCGTCCTATGTCCTGCAATAATACAATTCTTAGCAATAGCACTATGGATTGAAGTGCGAATAGTTAGTCACCTTCTCGACTTCTCCGAGAGCGTATATTTGCCTAGCGGTACGACTTGACATCCATATTGGGTCGATCTCGGTGGGGTCTGGTTGTTCAGGGGACTGCCTAGTCTGCGGTTCTGGCATGGTTGGCATATACGTTGAGTGGATGAATTGGAATGAGAGATAATAGATCGAGGACGTGTGTCCTGTCACACAAATGAAACCTCTGTATCCGGAACGATCGGTCCGATCATAGAATTATTTTTGAAGGTCTCTGTTCAATTGAACTTGGCACGACCGTCGACCGTCCTCTAGAGCGTACTTATTCGAAAGAATCGAAACCGCCTGCCCCCGAGAAAACGATATCCATCCCATCAATCGGACAAGTTTGCATTGAAGTGCATAACTCGCACCGTGTGCATACCCTTGTGCGCCTCAGATCTGCACCGACAGAAAACCTTTTCCAGAATTGTATTTCCTTCAAATTTGGTATGGCTCATACATGTGATGGGCACTCCTCCGGACCTCCCAAGAACACCTCGAGGAATGACTATTATGTCCATGGAGATGATACTGTATATGGGATCTAGTCCAACAGTGCTTGAGTCGTGTGCCGTCGGAAAGGCCAACAACGCGTCAAATTGTTCGGGATCTGAAGACAACGTTCAAAGAAAAGAAAGCATTTTTATACATTATGTGCTAATTCGCTTTCAGTCAAGGGCTTGCTAATTGACTGGACTGCTGGAATCCTAGCATTGCGTCTTCTGGTCGAGTCATTTCTTTCCACATCCTGCTCGGGCTTTGCTGCCACTCTATCCAGGCTGTGTACTCTTCCGTGACGACGCTACAATGCTATTTTGTCGCTAGGCAGGCCTGGGTGCCCCTCGTTATGCTGCCTTTAATTTGTATGGTCGTTCCAACCCCTAAGACAAAATCCACAAGAGCGGGACTGCTAATTTGTGTGGTTTGTCTGGATTATGACGATGGTGGGGCTTCTACAGTAATAACCACAACTTTGACCCTATCTGTGGGTGAGCAACGTATGACCACGGCATGGAACAAGGGCCACGTGCGCAGCCCTTGAACATATATAAAGTACGGAGCTGTTCTCTCACTCACACCTGGCCTCCGTTTCATTCTATTTGTATCAGCGACCATTACTCTGGTCATCGCTTACATCCGGATATCAATGTCAAAATTTCAACATCGCCATCGCACGGTTCAGGACACCCGCGATGATAATGTATTTCGACGCCGCGAGCTTTGGTGCTGGTTTACCTCCGTGGTTTCTGAATTACGGCTTCCTGCACACCTGTTTATCGAGCTCAGCGGAGTGGATGATAAGTCTCAAAACGAGACTGGAAACTGGAGCTCTCGCGTCTTCAAATCTAATTACGCAGGCCAAGTCGTAGTCGGTAAACGAATTCGAGCATTTCCCTTCTTAGCTACTTCGCCAACCAAGTTCAGGGTGAGTTCTTGGACTTTTTTTCCTTCTTCAGAGATTTTGCATTGACTTCTCTCAGCGTTTCTTGACCCAGTACCAGAAATGGAGGGCTTTAGAGCATCCTAACGTATTTCCAATGTTGGGCTTGGACCTCACTGATCCTGTTTACCCCATTTTGGTCATGCCATGTTCCATTAACATCAGGCAGTTTGTCGCTAGGCGGTGGCCTTCTTCGTACCCAGAAGCTGCGGTATTGGATAAATGGGTAATGGTCACTTTTTTTTCTTCTGACACTGTTTCGTTCTGATCTCTGGTTAGCTTTTAGGTGTTTGTTCTGGACTCCGTTATCTACATGAAAACTCCATACATCACCAGCGTCTTTGTGGGGTGCGTTGAACCTTCAACATGATTTTAACGTTCTTACGTTTTCAGTGTTGACCTTGCAAATCCAGAACAACATCATGATGAGCGACAAAGGGGTTCCTCAGCTCACCGACTTTGATTTCGATAGCTTTCGTAATGTCAAGTTGTTTCCGCAATTCAGAGCACTGGACAATTATAACCGCTGGAGGGCGCCAGAGCTGCTCAGACTCCACCTCGGCCTCGATAAGTCGCAACTCAGTACGAGCGCAAAAAGCGATGTATATTCATTTGCATGTGTATGTGTCGAGGTCCGTATCAATTCAAAGCTACTCGCTGCATTGCACGCTCACCGAATTCTGTGAAGTTATACACCAACGACATCCCATTTCCTTCTTCTACCAATCAAGAGGTGTGGCAATACGTTACTCATGAGGGTCGTCGTCCGAATCATTCGACTGTTGCTACTTTCTGCGTGCAAATGGCGCCAGCCATGTGGGACCTAGTCAACATATGCCTGGACTTTACGCCAACGAAGCGGCCGACTAGCTCTGAGCTACATAAACGCTTGGAAAGGATTATCCAGGATTACACCGTTGTCAACATCGTCACAAGGGACAAGACTTCAGCGTCACGATCTTGTTTACAACACGAGTCCTCTGATACGCCTGGAACGTTGGATATCGCGGGTCGACCATCATGTGGACAAAGCTTACACTCGACTACAGCCAATATCTCAGCGTCTAAGGCCAGCACTTGCCCTTGTACCAGGAGCTGTTCCTGCGGTCCAAATACATTATCACCAATGGATTCCTTTGTCTGGCCTCAGCCTCCAGATAGACCTCACTCTCGTTAAAATTCTTGCCTTATTGTGTTCATTGGTACAGATTCTCGTCCATAACATGTCGATGGAGTCTCCTATTTCTTGTGTAGCTTATGATACATTTTATGTCTGCCTTTCTGCCTTCTCTGGTCTTATCTGTCTATATGCATCGTCTCCTGGGTTCAATGGCATCCCGATCTGAATAGGTTAGCTCTGTGTCAGTTCAGGTAAGTAGTACGCCTCTTCGACATCATCTAGGGCATACAAAGCTGAGTACTTCACCGTCGAGAAGTCCTTGAGCCACTTTTATCTACAACGGGGTATGTCTAGAACGCATTTGCCGTAATGAAATATCTGAATAGACTTTCGCAATGAACTAAATTGGTCGTGTTTTGACCTTGGGCCCATTAATTTGCTGCCGTGAGAAAGCGGGCCATGGTCGTTCTCTGGAGAGCATAGATGTGCCCGCCACTAATTGCGATGTACCCTCTCATCCGAGCAAACACCATTATTACCATGCATCTCCCTCAGATATTCAGTTCGCTGTTCAAGTTCAACAGAACTGAAGTTCCTATACATGATGATTGAAAGACCAGTGGTGCGTAACCCGGATTCTGTCATGCCTTCAAAGGATTGACCTCGCACTTATGACCATCATTCCAGCGAAAATAATCAAACTAAAGAAATACAGCATCGTACCTTATTCTATTGGGCCATGATCTGACATTTACACAGCGTCCTTCAAGTCGCAGTCAGGCGTCTCCGCTTTTTTGGAGAGGGCACGATGCGGAGCCTCGGAGGCGTGCAGGTGAGTTTGCAGAATTCCGCATTATCTGAGGCGCGGTCAACTGCTTCCATGATACAGGTCATCATGAATCAATTCATGTTTGGCAAGACCTCTCAGCATATCTGAATATGCTTCCTCTCAAAGGGTGGGATGCTACTCCCTGTGGCGTAGTATATCCACTCGGGATTAATATCAGACGCGACCCCTCACAAAATGATGCCTCACGAATAGGTCCTAACTGTTTACGCTGCTAATTTCCCCAGCTCCTTGAAATTATTACGGGGCTACGCCATCTCCATGAGTTTGATATTGTTCGCGCTGAAAATATAGCGTACGGGTTTAGATTATCCGGGAACGAGACTCCCCTCGACCTGTGAATCACGAGCTCTATCTATCTACATTGATGACGTGTCCACTCGAGACCCTTGGGAACGTAAGCAATGGTATGTTCCGGAACTCCTGATAATACCCATTTACACTACGGGAACTGATATTTATGCTCTTGGCTGTGACTGTACTGCTGTTTGTGGTTACACGTCCTACAGACGTCATTGGCCAGCCCTAGCTGACGCAGTATCTTTTTTTCCGCGTTGTAGCTTCATACGGACAAAGACCCTTTCCTGTCACTCGATGATTATAGTTCCCGAAATGGAATGGAACATGGCGCTCGCCCGGGAAGACCTCTGCTCAATGCTAGCATCGACGGTGCTATAGCTATGCAAGATGATTTCTGGAACCTGGTTCAGCAATGTCTGGCTCGCAAACGGGAGAATAGGCCGAAGACGAAGAAAGTCATCCATCAATTTACGTCCATTACTCAAGGGGAGCTGTCTGCCTAAGAACGAAGGGTTCACCGATCTGCCTGGTGTTTTAAGTTGGAACTTCAACTTGATAACCTGATATCATGTTTTTTCTCGTGCTCTCATTCTTCCCGTCTTGCTTGCCGCTGCTGGACTCGGTTATGGCTACGCATGGATGGCTGCTCTTGTATTTGACTTTTCTTCTGGACTGCACTCGCGGTTCCTGGGCGTGCTCGCATGTTTCTTTCAGCTATCTTCTACTCTGGCTTGTAACTCTTTGGCTCAAAATGAATCCATCATGCTTTGCCCCGGCTACTATTTCGATAAAGAGGCTGTCTAACGCTCTATACATGATGAAGGCACTGTAAGTCTACTAGTGCTAGAAATGGCTTCATCAGACATTGGCAGTCCTTTTTGGGTCATGTCACCTTTTCGAGGTGGTTGCTACGCTGTTTATGGTAGAACTGTCTCCAACCACAACCCTTACACTTGTAGAATGTCCAGAAATGGATGTGGCGAAACTGCACAGCTCCATAATGCAATAGGGCTGGCCATAAAAGTAGCCTCAGAAGCCCACGTCCAAACCATCACCTCTACACTCTTTCACCCCCACCTCCTACACTGTTGCCAGTGATCCATTTGAGACCTAGGATGCCCTTTTCACATTCGAGCCAACTTCCTCCTTTTAACAATGCATCAGGTGCGACGTTGGACAACTCTCACTACAGTTCGCCCTTCTGTGATTTGCAACTATTTGTGGTCTTACTGAATCATTGGAACAGGCATTACATGTGATGTCAGTCACGAGTTGCGAGAACAACTACTACAGTGCATCAGCACTATCGTCCATTGTGGCGTAAGCGCGATGTCCGCCAGCCCGTGCTATGGGGCTTTACTTGCTCATTCAGAGGAAAGTCTAAATCTTATACATGAAGTATGTCTTCAATATCCTTACTACGGAACTCTGATAAAAATCTCTCTAGCTGACCTACAATTACTCATCTGCGGAACGCTTCATTGGCGGAATATCTTGGAGCGAATGGTTTGGACTAAGGATACTCCAGGGAGGCATCTGCGCAACCGCCGGGCGTGACCCATTTCCATTGTCTGTCTTTATTGTTCCTGCGGGCTTATGTATCTCTCAAGTCTCCTCGGCGAGATGTTCTGTCATCTTCTCTGGCATTTTCAACAGTCACGTAGTTTGTGTCAAACGACTCCGGTCAGTTGGAACTCTCAACGTAACCAACACCCAAACTCTGTATCAAGTGCGTCAGGTTTTCTTTTCCCTTGTCACCCAAGTTAACTTGAAAGTTCTTCGTGTTACTTAGATGATAACAGATCGCGTGGCGAAATGGCAGAAACTCAGCCATGTCAATGTGCTACGAATCATGGGATTAGACATAAACAGTCAACCTACTTCTCCTAGGCTGGTAATGTCGTGGTTGGAGAACATCGAGATACTCATATATAGGATGAATCCTAAGCCCACAATCCTCCAGCTGAATAAATGGGTTCGTCCCCTGCTCTTCACATTTTCGACCTTATCTTATCTTATTGACAGCTACTGGGCATTGCCTCCGGTCTGTTATATCTCCATGATTCGGGAGTCGTACATGGAGCACTTCGTGCGGTGAGTACACTAAGGTGCCACCTTTATGGTTTAAAGGTACTGACAGTGTTCATACATAGTCAAATGTTCTGATGGGGCCGGATGGGACCCCTCAACTATCCGACTATGACATGTTTGATTGGGTGGAAGACGAGTCTGCTGTCGGACATTGGCCATTCCGTGCTCGTCAGCGATGGTGGGCACCTGAAGTTTGTGCATACGGGCCAGGTGTAGGATCATCGTGTTTAGCCGATGTGTTCTCGTTCGGTTGTGTTTGTATAGAAGTGACGCATCTTCCCCATGAGCAGCGGATACCATGCTAATCATATTTCTTCCACCAGCTATACACCAATAATATACCATTTCCGAACCTCTCGGACTTCGAGATCAAGGCGCGTATTCAAGAAGGTCAACTCGTGTTTAGGAAACCGACCCCCCAGGAATGCATTACTCCCTTCACTGACAGTCTCTGGATAGTTATACAGCGTTGTTTTGCATCTGCACCATATACTAGGGTCACCCCTCGGCAGCTTGTTCTAATCCTAACAAAGATGGTGGATCGTCAAGACAAATATCCGAAGCTCTACCCGAATGGCCTCGAGCGTCGCGAGAATTCGGACAGAGGGCAACTCCACAACCATGTACTCTAGTCAGCCATCTATTCTGACCAATAGTGCACGAATCTCTGGAAACACTTGATATGTCCTTTTCTCATAACGACCTCTTGTCTCTAGTTGGCTCAGTGGATCGAGTGCCGGTACCTCTGGCCTGAGATTTGATACTTCAGTACCTAGGCTACGGAAGTGGATGCAGAGAGACCGATGAAATGCAGTAATTCCGAACGGTATGCGTTGCCTTGTTTGTCCGCTTCTTCCTTCGCAGTCTGTCCTCCCTAAGTTATAGACTCCGAACCTGTGTTCTTACTTCATAGAACGTACATGTATCCATCCTGTGTGCTACTTAACTGCGACGACGAGTTGTTTCCAATTGTGCAGTCTGTTCATCGCTTAAAATCCGCCCTTAGATTCCAAAAGAATACTCCTCGGTTGTTTAATATGAATGTTTCTGGACTAAAACCTGGTTGTGCAACGGTGACTTGTGTTCACCCTTACTCATGATGCATGAGCAGGCAGCCGGACGCTCGCACTCCCATTTCCGATAAAGAAGCAGGAAGCTATCATCAGGCACATACTACGAAAGCTACTACAACAAGTAATCCCTTCACCACTGATACGGTAATGATAGAGTGGAGACAGTGAAGCATTCTTTCCTTCGGACCCAATACGTTCATGTTCATTCAATTCGTCTTCCAGGCACCATCTAAACGTTCACTCCCTCTTGAGCGGCAGATGCTCCAACCCGTAAGCAGCAGCAGCCGGCAGCTCTCCGTTGAACTTCACGCCGCCCTTACGGACACAGAAGGTCTTATCGAGGGAGACGACGAAACCAGGCAAGCAACGATGAACGACACAAGACCCGACACTGCAAGAAACATCTGCGACGCCGGGGATAGAGGTGCAATCAATACCACGGGGAGTACCGAGAGTAAGCGGGATAGCACATCCGCCACCTGAAGGTTGCGGAGAGAAAAGCCGTTGATCAGATATTTGAAGATGTAAATTAAAAGAAGCGAAGGACAAAGCGGACTTACAGCTCTCAAGATCCCTCTGGGTGTCAATACATTCCCAGGCCTGAGAGGCCGGGAGTCCAGACCAACCGTAGATACCACACGCAGTCAAGCCCCGGTCGCAGGAAGCGGAACGCTTCTGAATCTCGAGCTCTCTCTTGGGATGACCACTTGGGCAAGCCTTGAAAACGCCGCAAACGCCATTGCAGACCACTTTGGGCGGGAGGCAGACACAGTCGGTTGGCTTTTTGGCGGGAGAAGGAGTGAAACCATCCTTGCATTGGAAGCCGCAATGGTCGCTGGAGGAATTGACCAATCAGCGCTCAGAAATCTGCTTCGTGGACATCGATCCAATTGTGATTACCTTGCGGAGCAAACAGAAAAGGAATGGTCGGGGAAGGTGCACTTGCTGCCCTTGGATGCCTTGTTCACCTAGTGGAGTAGAAGTCATCGTCAATATCGGTGTTGACGGTAAACGGGGATATATTTACCATGTCAGTAATTTGCGCTGTGGCTTGAACGACCCCGACTATATCGACAAGGGCGATGACCAAAGCATTGGTGTGAAGAAGGTCAGGAATGCCGGACAAGCACAAGCAAATGTCTGCAAATGATCATTAGAATATTGAACAGGATGATAGCGAGACGCGTACTCAAAATGCCGATGGTGATGGGCGGAAGTCCCAACAGGCCAGGAATGGTCAACCCAGCGCTGACCTCCGCACAAACATCAGAGGTGGTACGCTTGGCAGGTTGTAAGGCGCGAGCCGTAACCTGCGAAACGAGAGCACCAAAAGCAAAGAGCAAAGGGAAAGAGAAGCGCATCTCGAATTGTGGCGTATGCAAGGAGTGGGCCTAACGAAAGCACGGGGAACGTTGGTGGTATGAAGCAGTCAATTTATAGTCCAGAGGGAAATGGCATGATCATTCAGGGGAACATATCAAGATTCCATTCCTGGTCAAAGACATGTCTCAGGTGTTTTTTTCCGATCCAATATACCGAGTTATGACTGGCTCGGTCTAGAGGCGGAGAAGACAGATGTCTGCCAGGCGTGCGCTTGGAATCAATTGACGGTGACGATAGTCGGCAAAGATGACAGCAAAAAATCTTGAGCATCATTGTGGATTGGCCCAGCACGGTCCAGGTAGAGAAGGGGAGCAGTCATGCTGGCATGTAGGTCACAGAATTACAGCCAATCAGGATTGATCCAATGAGGAGGGGTGCAAATGAATCCAGCAACATAATTACCATGGATGGTTGATTTGTCCTCCAGAAGAATATGGCTCGTGTGGCAGCAGTAGCAACGAGGTTATGCAAGTCACTACGGCAGAACGGCAGGGGGGACAATGCGGAAAGATGAGGACCTGATAGATTGCCATCGGCAGGCTCAGTTTGAGGGGCTGAGGCGCACAAGGATTGAGAAGATATTATCCCTGTAGAAAATCTTCCATGATAGATGGCTTATTGACGTTTGACCTGGGAGGTGGCGTCCATGCACTCGGAGTATGCTTCACTGATCACTGCGATCGACAACGCATGCAATAGGCTATAGGAAGCGTGTAATCACTCCATTGAATCGTAAAAGGAGGACGTACGATATGAATACGACATTGTTAATGAACACCTGCGAGTCACTGATAAGTACTATACGACGAACAAGAAGACGCAGAAGCCCCATCACGGACGCCACAACGCCGTTCAGCGAAAGCGCTGGACCGGTTTGGAAGGTCATACCAAGAGCATGCTCACCATCCCGGTCACTAAGTTCATTGATACGTCTACAGCCTCTACAGTCCATAATGTACACATTTACGACACATCGTATTTCATTGAGCTTAATCAGAGTCTTTACGGTGATGTTTCTTGTGCTTTCCATGTCGACCTTCATCGTCAGAGTCTGAATCCAATTTGAGTTTCTCGGCACCGAAAGTTTCACCGCGTTCACCGTATCCTCCCCCGAATCCGCCTCTGCGTCCATGATCTTCGTTTCCGTATCCAGACTGAACATCAGAGCCTCCCGCGTCATCTCTGCCACGATGACGGCCCTGGTGAGGCTCAGACGACCCGTACTCGGAGCTGCGAGCGGTTCCTCCATATCCTCCTCCATAGCCAGAGGACCCGTATGCTCCTCGGCCAGAGCTCTCATCGCCATACCCCTGCTGTCGGCGGCCTTCACCATAGGTTGAAGTCTCCTCCGGTCGACCATAACCCGAAGAGCCATACGTTTGACCGCTGACGCTGCCACGCTCGCGTTCCTGCCCGCCGTAACCAGAAGAGTCATCACGGTTGTAAGAGACGCTAGGCGCGCTTTCCCTCTGTCTATCCTCTTGACCAAACCCAGAGTTACTATACGGGTCCTGTGTGCGATGCCTACCTGAACCGTACTCGTCGTCACCGCCCGAGCGAGCGAACTCGGATGTAGTCGATCCATAGCCACCAGATAGCTGAGAGGGGGCATCGTATCCACCCTCTTCACGACGGCGAGAGCCGTAGGTATCGCTGGAACCATGGGTGCTACCACCATAACCACCACTGGAGCCGTAAGAATCACCACGGGTCTCGCTTTCTTCATAATGCTTGCGTCCATGGTGATGTTCTTCTGTTGCATCTGAGCCGGAGTAACGCTCAGTCCTGCCGGCTCCATAACCTCCGGAGCTATAGCCTTCGGTTCCGGCTCTTCCCTGGGTTTCAGAAGGCCTATAGCCGGCAGGAGTACCATAATTTGCGATTACTGGAGTGTCCTCGACTCTGATTCTATCGCCTGAGCCATAACCCTCGGTCCCTCCAGAGCCATAGCTAGGTTCTTGTCTGCGAGAGGAACGTCCGTCGTCCCTACGAGACCCATAGCCGCCAGAGTCGCCATATGATTGAGAAGGCTGTCGGCCATAAGAGGACTCTTGACTTTGTCCGTACCCACCGCCTGATCCTTAAATGAACGTCAATCAAAGTATTCAGTCAAGTCATCGGAAACGGCGATAGTACGCGCATATAACTGACCACTATTATACTCCGCCTGGGAAGATCCCTGGCCTCCTGAGGTATTGTAGCCCTGTCCTGACGATCCATATGAACCTTGACCTTGGATCTGCGAACCTCCATAACTTTGGTTTACAGAGGTACGATAGCCGCCTTGAGTGCTAGTGAGGCCGCCTCCATAGACTTGATCAGATTGAGTCAAGTCATCGTCAGAGCCTTGGCGTTTGTTCTGCCCCTCTCTCACGCTTTCCTAAAATACGACAAAAGGAATCAAGCTCAGCATGTGCTCCTTCAGATGTCGGGTGCTATCAACGCCATGTCTTTCATGATAATGGGTTGCATGATGTGACAAGCGCAAAAAAAAACAGCAGGGTCGATGAGGGCATGACTGACCTTGGTAAGAGCCTGCAGAGTTCGTTCAGCCTCCTCTGGACCGAGCGCACCGATCCACTTCTCCATCTCTTCGAACATTTGTTGTTGGATGCGAGACTGGCCGGTGGCATGATATGGGTGATGGAAGGCTTCCAAGATCTAGATGAGTCCCGCTGAGGTCGCAGGAGTACAGAAAGTCGGTCGTTAAAGCTTACCTGGTCGATGACTTGGTTGGGGTCAACATTATCGTCAAACCATGACTGATTTAACACACAATCAGCGATTCGTATGTCATCAGTAGCAAGCAAGCAAGCGTACCTCAACAAGGAGTTGGACGGAATACTGGACCACTGCCTGCGCGATTTTCCCAGCAGGCTCATTCAGAATTAAAGCGAAGTGATCCTAACAGACCGGAACGCACTCAGCACGGGCGTAGAGGGCATAAAGACGGAAACAGACTTACCTTCGACAACAGACTGTGTGACGGGTCGGAAGCATTAGGATTGTTGAAGACCTAATCGAAATAAATGTCAGTCAGTGCTTCCTTTCATTTTAGACATGCGGCGCATCTTCTTCGTACCTCAAACTGGTCATCGGAGTCGATGACCGCTTTACTTCCCTCGCCAAGCACGGTGGTGACTTGTTGTAGAAGAGGCTAGCAAGGAACGGGTGAGAAAAGTGTAAGCATGGTAGGTGAACGGTAAAACTGACAGTCAGGTACGGAGCTAAGATGGTATAGACATCTACATGGTATGGTCAGTATTGGGGTTTAGAGGGTGTCCATCCCACAGCGCGGGTGCAGTCTACTAACATGCGTTCAGAGCATTGGTCAAGGCATCAATCAGATCTTCCAGGCCAGGAATCATCTCGATTTTCTAGAAACGACGTCAGAGATGGTCGACTGCATGCACTGTGCTGAGTTCACACCTTCAAAACCTGCCTGTAAACGTCGTCTCTCCATTTCAGGAGGTTCAGTAGCTGTTCCTGCACTTCGGGAGGAGCGATGTTATCAGGGTTGAATTCGTACGCCTTAGATTGGGCCTTCATCTGGTCAGCTTCATTCATCTTGGAATCCTCATCGCCTTCGCCGCCAATAGGAAGCTTGTGTAGAATGTCTTTGAGGTTGCTGAAGGAGCTATCGTCGCCTTGCGAAGCCTACAGAACACATGAGCGCATTAGACCCTAAAGGCAGTGGTAAGGTACTCACGGCGTTCATGCGTTTGGACAGATCGACTACGCTAGCTTGACTCAAATGGCTAGGGAAATTATGTCTCAAAATGGGACCAAGTATTCAGGAGACAGGGGCTTACTCGGTTGCTTCGCCCATCAATGAATGGATGAAGTCCGCACTGCCGAATGTTCCAGTCACTAAGGGAGGCGCGGGTCCATTGGGTGTATCAACAATTACTTCAGTTGATAAAAGATCAGCCCTCTCCAGAATGGATACTAGCAGAGTAGATGCCCCACCGTTATCGCCAACATGGCAAAAAACATCTTCATGGCCCATCTTCCTAAGTGCAATCTCACACCAGTTACTATGTGCGAGGAGATCCTCAAGGGTATGAAGACCTGAACCCAGCAGACGGTACGCCTCCCAGAGATCTGCGCCCTCTTGACCACGGGCACGGCGGCCATGGTCGATACAAGCCTCAAGTGTACGTCTAATGTGTGCGGTGGAGGTATCCCAGCCTCGGTTCTCGGTAGCCATGTAATTCTAGATATGCAGATTTAAGACTCCCAAAAAAGGCTGAAACATCATGTAGCTTACCTTCATTCCAGTGTTTGGATCAATCTCCAGCTCTTCTGGATTGACGGGAGGTCGAAGCCTGGGGTGGATTTGACGGGCATCGCCCTCCTTCTCAGCATATCCTCTAAAAGAAAGTATTAGATGTCGCGATAATGTGCCGTAATTCATTCGACGAACTTCGGATTGTCTATGTGTTCAACCGGGAGATATACACCAAGGCGATCTGCGGTTATCTGGTACTCATCCGTCGCGTAACCGAAGGTCTACACAGATATGTGAGTTCCATGGGCATTCACGTACGAGCACAAACTAACCAAGAAGCCTAACACGCCTACGATAAGGACAAGGGTATCTGCAGTAAGTTTGGAAAGCCCTGCGATATCCATCGCCTGAAACCAATGTTTAACATCCAGCTAATGAACACATTGGCAGACTATACCTGCGAATAGTCTCTTAACCAGTTGCCCTAAGTAATTTTGAGATTGAAGCATAAAAATATTAGACCGAACACACTTACAAAGTAGACTTTCTTCACATCTTCCTTAGAGAACTTAGCCCCGCCAGATGCGGCGCTGATCATCGACTGCGCAAAACCAAGAAGTCCTCCCCCACCCGCTGCATGCCCGGCTGTCTTCGCGAGCTCGCTTAGAATGCCCTCGATGTCTCCATGACGGAATGCTTTGCCTAGGGAACCCAACAATTCATAAGTTTCACGGAGTCTGGAGCGATTGCAATGGTGCTCACCGTTCAGGTACGCGAAGTCAGGAATATCTCCTGCACCAAATGCATATGTTTCAGTGGGAAGGAGAACGACCAGAACTGTAAGTATCAGTAGGGTAGTCGTGAAGTTGTTCATGGTGGTACGTTGCTAAGTTGTCAAGGGCCCAAACGCGGTAGTTATATGGAACACAAAAGGATTGGAAGTAGGGTCCATCTTGATAGTGATGTCACCATAGAAAGTTCTTGGCATGGCTCCATGTGAAATTTCGACGATCAAGGCGTAGCAACGAGAGGGTGAATTATGAGCAACTTGAACATGCTCATCTTACTATAGCACTACAATACCCCACAGAATACAATGCATCGACTAAGGATGCCCAAAGAAATAGAAAAGCACCGCACAGAATCTCATCCCATCCTCACCTTCTTATTCGGCTGAGGAGTCCCCTTTTCTCCACCCTTCCTCTTCGTACTCACAGTCGTACGCACCGAGGAAAGCATATCCTTGCACTTGTCCCTCACGGCATACGAAATCCTGCCCACGTCAGAATCTGGCCCATTGAAGCGGATAGCGTTATCGATCATCAAATCCAGATCCGCCTCGAATGCCTCCACTGAATCGTACTTGTCGACCTCCAGTTTCTGCTTGATAGTGCTGAGGTCTCGTGCGTCTCTGCGAGGGATGATGTCAAAGTACATCGGGATGCCCAATTTCACAGGATCAACGGGCTCTCGGAACACCCAGGCACTAAAAAGACGGTCAAAGATCAGACATAAGCAGACGCGGAGCTACGACGAGTAAATCTTACACAGGGTCAGTGAGAAGCTTGTTTACTATTCCCAGGAGACTTCGCTTCTCGTTGTATGCAAGTTTCTTCTCTGTCGCTTTCGCCCATTCCTTCTTAAATGCTCGTTCGACAGCATCCGCGCAGTTGACTGGGTAGGTCGTGGGTGGATTGAACTGCCGACAGTTGGCAAAGACCAACTCAACATCCTTGGCAAATTCCTCCATCGTAAGGTATTTGTGCTCATTGAGTTTTGCGGACATAGTACCGAAGTCCATCGGATGCTTGATTTCATCGTAGTACCTATGGCATGGTTAGCCTCAGTCAAACATTGGAAAAACAGGTTGACATACGTTGGACAACCATCGCGTACTGGGTCCACAGGTTGGAGGAAAATGCCAGCATCGGGAAGTCTGGTGATCGCCCTCAAGACTTCCTTGCACTTCTTCTCGTTGATAGGCGTCTGCTGAGGAGACCTCGTTCTTGCCGGGGTGGAGATTCCAGGAGTCGAGACAGCCTTCTCCTTGCCCTTCCTCGAGACTTCTGCAGTAGCTGCAGTCGAAGGTGCCTTCACTGCTTTCTCCTTGCCATTGCGACCAGCTATACCATTCTTGACAGGTGCAGGCGCCACTGGCTTTTCAATCGATGGACCAGCCACAGCAGACGGCGCAGAGATTGGCGGAGTAACAGAGGTAGACTTGCTCTTCTTAGCAGGTGCCGCGAGAGCCAACAACTCTTCTTCCTCTGACTCAGGTTCTTCTGGGGTTAATGGTTTCTTGCGCTTGCCAATAATAAGTTTCGGCCCCGTCTGACGCTCTTTCGCCTTCTCCTCCTTTACACGTTCCTCCCTCTCTCGCACCTTTTCACGTTCACGCTCTCGCTCCCGCGCTCTCTCTCTTTCGCGATCACGTTTCTCCTCTTTCTCCTTGTTCTTGGCCTGTTCAATCGCAATGACTTCCTCCAAGAGGTCTGCAGACCCGTCGTCCTCAACATAAGGAACAACACTTGAGGGCTCTTCCGCCGGAGGCAGGTTGTATGGTTCGGGCGGCGGGACTTCTGTATGTTTAGGCTCCTTTGCCCTTCGGACTCTGGGTTTAGGCGTTGGCTTCGAAGTCTCGGTTATTGGAGTTCCGTTTGGTGGAGCAGAAGGGGTAGAACCAACCCTGAGCTTAATCGTTGGACGGGTAGATGTAGATGGGGTAGGAGTAGCTCTCGTAGGGGTTTCAGGCGCAGCAGGCGGCGCGATCTTGACAACAGGTGTAGGAGGGACAGACGGTCTGGCCGGTAACGGAACCGCCCGTGTATGAGCCTTGTCGGCAGCTTCCAAAGTCTTGTTGATACGAGTCCATTCTAGAGAGTTGTAAGTAAGAGAGGACTGTTACACTGTTAGAGAGTAACGAACGTTTATCAAAGAATGCCTCCAGAGCGACAGCTTCACCGTGGGCGTAACTTCCGGCTGCATTATACGTCTTCGCATTCGAGATCATCAAGCGGAAGTCAGCTTCGAAATCGAATCGGTCCTTGTACTTGCCCGATTCGAGCTTGGCGTTCACCGTGCTGAGATCCATAGGATTCTTGATGACGTCGAAGTAGCTGGGTTGAATTTATGAGCCTACTGTACCCATTTCGTTGGAGTCAAAGAACACTCACTTGGGAGCCCTATCCCGAACGGGATCAACAGGCTGCAAGAAAATAGCTGCACGTTTGTGAGTTTGAAGCTTTTTGAGGGCACTCTGACAAGCCCTCAGATCGTACACGCTCATGCCACCAGACTGCGCCTTGGGCACATGCTTGGGCTGAGGCTTGCCTGGCTTCTCCAACACTTTCTTTGGAGGTCTAGGTACGGGAAAGACGACGGCCTTTCTCGGTTCTGCTGATGGAGTCGGAGTACTTGGCGCACGCGTAACGTGTGCATGGACTCCATTGACGGGGAGCTTGAGTTTACTGGGCACGGTGAAGGGGGGGACAGGACCCTTGGCAGGAGCGGCGGTAGGCTTGAGCAACTTCTGGGTTTTGAGAGGTACTTTGAGAGTTGGTAATGGGGGAGCTGCCTCGACGACAGGAGTGGGTGGTAGGTGTATCGTGACCTTTGGAGGGACTTCTTCGGCACCACGAATGAGCAAGTCGGCCAGCTTGAGTAAGCACCAACGAACTTCGAAGTCGGCCTCAGGAGACCTAATTAAAACCATTAGGTCACTTCTCAAAAAAGCATGAAAAATGGCTCACAAAGCGATAGGAATGAGGAACTCTCGAACAGCTTCATTCTTTCCGGCCTCGCGGTCCTTCCGCAGTGCCTTGATAAGAATATCGATGTCGCTTTTCCTGCTCTCCTTTGCCTTCTCTTGTCCATTGCCGTCTTCCTCAATGAGGACCGTCTCGGAATCCTTCGCAGAAGACTTGAGCTCGCCCATGGTGACCAGTAGGGCAAGACTTTGACACGCATTTCGAGCAACATGCCGTCGAATGACGCGCGAGGAATCATTGGCCATGACAGAGAGGAAATATTGCATAATCTTGGGCGCATACCACTTGCTTAGGAAAAGAGCATCGAATGCGGCCATGCGTACTTGAGTGTAGTTGCCCTCACTAAATTGTACATTAAGCAACAATAATGAACGGTCGACAATATTATCACGCACCGAGTCAAGGGTAAAAATATTCGTGGTTCGTGGGGTATCAGATTGGCCATGCTGAGGGTGAGATGAAACTGAACATATAACGAATTAGTAAGGAAATAATGTGATAGGCTTATTGAAATCATACCTCAAGTGTAGCAATAGTGACTACGTTGTGAAAAGAAGGTATAAGTCTGTCCATACTCCTGTACCTATCAATTTCTGTCAAAGCCTGCTTCAACAAGTCACGATCAGTCTGATCTATGACTGGGGTTGTATCGGCATTGACAAACTCGCCGCGTTCAGGAGGGACAGCGGAGACAGTGGCGCACGTAAGAGCCGAAATGACGGTGCAGATATAAAGAGCATCGGAATACTAGGCACTATTAGTATGGGACACTCAATAAAACGTAAAGGAACTTACAGGATTCGAAGTATTGTCATTATAGCGCAGTTGGTCGATGAGGAACTGTCGGACGATCGGTGGTGTCTTGCCATTCTCGAACCGAACTTGGGAAACAGCTCTAACGAGGCTCTGCAGTAGTTCAGGCAGCATTAATACGAGAAGGCGTTGGGGACAAGAGCAAGCTTACCTTGCGAACAAAATATTCCGCGAAGTCGCTGAAGTCATTAGGCCGAGGGACGTACGAATGATTGAAAAGGTCTTGATTAGGGTCTTCCGGCTCGTAACAGTACCGAAGGAAGAGCTTGAACAAATGAAATAGACCTAGCCAATCCAAACGTTGAATCGCGCACTGAAGAGAACGTTAGGATCATGGCGTTCGGAAAGAATACAGTGAGACTCACTGTAACCAGGGCCATTGCTGCCTCACACCGGATCCGATAGAAATAGTTTGTGACCAGAACTGTCTTCGTGAATGTGCTTGAGATGATTGGGTTCGGGGTCTTAGAGAGCACAGAAATGGCCTGTAAATGACCGTATTAACACTCTTGATCCATGGAATTCGACGAACGACAGTTACATACCTCGTATTGCGCAACCACATCCCGATCCCTCTGCAATTGAGACACCCACATATAATCCTTCTGGTCGAATGCAATGGCGGCAATCCATTCCAAATCAGCGTCGATTCTGATCCATTCATACGTCTGACCGGACATATTCTGTTCATCTTCCTCTGTCCAGTCTGCCACTTTCCAATTCTCACGCTCTTGCTCCTTCTCCCAAATCTCCAAGCCAAAGCCCATGTCGATCATGTTCATGGCCTCTACTGCGTCAGCATCACCCTCCGCGGCGGCTTGAGCGGCTTGCTGACGCGCAAGGTATCGTTTGGTATTTCGACGGACACGTTTGTACTTCGTATTGAATGGGACTTCATAGCGTTTGTACGGATTTCGAATGTCAAGAACGTGCTCGTAGGGTGTACCGTCTGCTTCGTGAATTCGGATTGTCATTTGACCCTAGATTGAGAGAAGTTAAGCGTTTAATTACTAGATTACTAGCACCTTAGCTGTTTACCTCGAAGAACGGAACGGGCTTCATCAGTGTCTTCGAGATCTCGTTATTCTCGTGAACTTGATAAGCTGGAGATTCCTGCCTCATCGAGATCTCCACGGCCATCTTCTTTCGATTGAACGAGGCGGAGAACCCAAATCTCGGGCACCCACTTCCGTAGATCCACTGCTCTGCAAACGATCTAGGATCAATCCCACTGACCTTCCGACACATACGCAAAAAATTGTGCGTCGACAAACCCTTCCCTTCATAATGTTCCGCTGACAGGACAGCCAGGAAAATCTTGGGAAGAATACGGATGAGGGAAACCGAAGTACCGGACTTGCACAACCGGCGATCGAGTATGTGTAAAACCAAAGGAGCCTTGAGGTTCACGAAAGGCAGAAGGTTGGCATCTGGTGGATCTGGCGTATGTGGTTGGCATATAGGAGGCATACTACCGTTGTCCATCTCTAGCACACGCTCCATATCCTTCTTCAGTCGATATCGATACTCGTTGTTCCCAAACACCTTGCGCATGAACTGACCGGTGACGTACAGCGACAGTCCATTGATTAGCCAAGTATCCGGCCAATACTTCTGGTACATGTCGATGCCAATCCATTGACATGCGAGCGCATGACTCAACGAATGGCGGGTTTCATACACCTGATCAATGGTGTCGTCGCCGTGCAATAGATCAGCCGTGATGACAGACAGAGAAGCACTGTCGAAGCGTTGCGAAGGCATCTCATCCACGAAAACCAGTTTGAAGGAATCGAAGGGGAAAGCACCAGTATACGCCCGAGAGTAGAAGCTCATGGCCGAGCGTAGGGTAGAGACTGAGTTTGCAAGCATGGACTCATGGCCCGGAAGACAGAACGCAGTGATTCCCACCTGGATTGCAGTCTCTTCGTCACCGGGTACGGGGTATACGTGGAAGGGACCTGCAGCGAAAGCGACATGTTGCACCGAAGTAGCCTGCGGTAACGAGAACTGGAATATTGTCTTTGCGGAGTTATGGGGATGTGCGATCTGGCATAACCATTAGCGACGGCACATTCTGACGCCACAGAAACCTCTACATACCTGTTCCTCGAATCTCCCACTACATACCACAACTGTTGGATACTCAACATCCGGCTGTTCATCCTCGTCGCTGGAAACAGGGTCATGCTGTTCGAGTGAACGAGGAACGATGAACTCGAAATCCCACGGGCATTTCTCCCACAGATAGTCAACACAGGGAACCCAACACCTGGCTGAATCAGGTGCAGCCGGGGTAGTAAATACGTGAGGTATACGCTGCAACCATGTTACAGCATGATGCTCAAGGAAGAGGCGTCTCACTTACGAATGGATATGTGTCGCTTGGGAGCACAAATTGGACGCCATCGGACGACTTGCGGAGACTGTACACGATATGCACAGTCATTGCAACGTATTTAGTAGTGTAATCTTTCTCCTTTGAACTCAAGGTTGGCCCAGCGGTCTGTGGCTCAGGGGTGGCAGCTTCACGTTGTCAGTACGTGATCAACCATTCATGAGGCGATATGCAAAATACCTGCACTGGTAAGATCCTGGACAGGCCATTGCGCCTGCCGAATAGTGACTTCTGGGGGGATTGCAATAGAGAGTTCTCCTTCCTCATCTTCCGCCAACGCTGAGTAGATCTTTCGTTTAAGTTCCGGGTGGTTGTGGCAATCTTGAGGATTGGATATGCTGAGGTGGGATAATGCATCATGGTGCACAAATTCGGCTCGATGCGTGTCAACGGTGACGGAATGGATATCTAGAAGGGGCGTGAGGGGCTGGGAGAGGAAGGATTGCCAGTCAAATCGAGCATAGACTTACGGCATTGACGAGAGTTTAAATGAATAGTTCTTAAGTCTTTGGTGGTAGGATAAAGCGTAATATCTGTGTAGCCCTAGGAAACGATGCCCACATAAGCAACCGTTGTCCCTGTCCAGAGGGTATGTGCATACCCAGATGCTGCCAGAGAAGTCAATCTCTAGAACGACCTTTTGATGACCAGTATATACGACAGAGCGTGTCAGTATACATCAGCATCGAAAAGTAATGGAAAACACGTATATTGTGAAGCCACGACGTGCATGAATAATCTCAGTGTTTGTCGGTTGTTTCGACCTCTCCATTGTCAACGCGAGCAACGCCGAGAGATATATCCGAGGGCACAATTAGAGAGGCAGTACGAGTAGTGAGCACGAAGTTAGCAAGTGAGTAGAGAGCGAGAGGGAAGAAAGGTTAGTGTCGTGGTCGCCGTGCTCGATGACCGCTGCGAGGAACGCTGCTCAACTCTGCGTTCGCCCCGTGCTATTACGTAATCCTGAACAATGTTGCCCAATCGGGGAATACTTCCGTACTTCAATTTTATGCTTGCCTTCCTCCCCTCACTCGCTAGTTTCATAGGTCTTCACGATGCCTCCTAAATCAATATTCAGACAGCCAGGAGCAAAACACTTCCAACTTGTGCACCGATCGCAGAGGGACCCTCTCATCCACGATCTCGAGGCCAGTAAACATGTGTTGAAGGAATTCGAGCGAGGCAACGCGAAGAAGGTGTGATGAATATCATGAGCTCATCTCGATCACCTTGAAGGCTAAATAGAAGTGGTGTAGGGCAAATCAAGGGCTGACCTTGAGAGCTCAATCTCTCCTGCAGAGCTCGCAGTCCGCCCTAACGTAGGCGAAGCAGCTGGCTATGGCATTTACTACGATGATACAGAATACGATTACCTGCAACATCTTAAACCTGTTGGCGCACAGGAAGATGGTGTTGAAAGCATGCTTATTGAGGCCCCGACAAAGTCAAAAGGCAAAGGAAAGGCGAAAGACCCAGTCACTCTGATCGACCTCCCTGCAGAAGCTTTGCCCTCGACCTCGGAGGTACCTAGAAATTATGAGTCGCAAGAAGCTGTCCCTTCATCAATAGCTGGCTTTCAGCCTGACATGGATCCTCATCTGCGTCAAGCTCTGGAAGCATTGGAGGACGATGCGTTTGTGGATGATGACCTTGAGGACGATTTCTTTGGTGAACTCGTGGCCAACGGAGAACGTGGAGCTGACGAGCCGCTTGAGTTCGAGTTTCAAGAAGAAGGAATATCAAAGGATGCCGCAGAAGTTAGAGCATTACCATCAGAAGACTCGGATGAGGAGGCAAATTGGGAAGCCAGGTTCGCGAAATTCAAGAAGGCGCAAAAACAAGCGGGTCCTCCTACTGACGGCTCGGATTTGGACCTTTACTCCGAGGGTGGGGACACCATCGGAGACCTACCACAGGTGTCTGTCATTGGTGGTAAGACAAGGCGGAAAGGTGCTTCGGACGCTTCAGGTTACAGCATGAGCAGTTCGTCGATGTTCAGAAACGAAGGTCTGACTTTGATCGACGAACGATTTGAGCAGGTACTTTCTATCTCCAGTTGCATAGGCTATACCCTTCTGTTAATCTCTATACTAGATTCAAAAAGAATACGATTCAGACGAGGACGGAGACGAAAGGGACGAAGGTCTCTCGGACATGGCCTCTGCACCAGAACTTATAACCTCTCGAGAAGACTTCGACGCGATGATGAACGAGTTCCTCGACAATTACGAAATCCTCGGAGGCAAGATGCGTCCTGTCCTGGCCGGCGACACTGCAGCAGAGAAATTGGATACGGTTCGCAAAGCACTCGGTGAAGTGAAGATTTATCAAGAGGAGAGTGATGAAGAGGATGACGATAACATTCTGATGCCGCTGGATGTGGATGACAAGAAGGACAGGTGGGACTGCGAAACCATTTTGAGTGCGTGTTGAAATTGTTTCGTCTCCATCATAGCTTGTGCTGACGCGGCATGTCCACAACAGCGACATATAGCAATCTGGAAAATCATCCACGATTGATTCGTGCTCGCGAAGAGAGAGCAGTACCAAAGATTCGATTGGATCGCAAGACAGGCCTTCCTTTCGTCGAGGATGAGCCTATTCACCGGAGATCCATGCAGAAGAAGCCAGTCATCTCGGACGATGAGGATGAAGATTCATCATGTAAGTATCTCTCATACCCTACCGCGGACGGTCTCCTCTGATATCTTCGAAAGCACCATGCACGACAATCACTCGACCGAAGAACGAAGCAAAAGAGGAAAAGAAAATGCGCAAACAGGCAGTCAAAGCCGATCGCCAACTCCGACGAGCAGACAAGAAAGCTACGAAGGAGCAATTCTCTTCCGAAGTGAAGAACCAGATCAGAACGCTCTCTAGCAAGGAGAAGAATAAGCTGCGAAAACTCTAGACGTTAAAGAGATAGCAATATCGGTCTGTTACATTAGAGACTGTCTAGACTATTGTTACATCCAGAGGACTGTTGTACAGGTGGTATCATTAGGTGCTTGGGGTATCTCCAAGCATGGGAGGCAATATAGTACAACTGCACAGAAAGTGTTCGATGATGAGTGATCCAAGGTGCCAAAAAATAATTGCGAGCGAGTGCGAATAACCATCTATGAAAGAAATCACTGGGGAGAAAAGGATGCACGGGGTTACCAGTCGGGCCAGAGGTCGAGTAAAACATTGCCCTCTTCTTCAGGTGCATCGTGTTGTTTCATCCATCTATCAGGAACCTGTAGCGAGACCGTCAATGACAGCATGTACTTGCAATGACATTGCACATACAATGGGGAAGTAGCGCTCCATGGCACTTAAAAATCGCTGCCTGTACTGCTTAGGGCCTATGATCGTAGGTTCGCCTTTGTTGGCACCACCTAAGAATGCGGAGTCTTTAACCCAACTCTCCAGCTTCTTGTCCCATGTATATGTCCTGATGTAATCTGAAACGGGAATGAGCTTGGTATGCTCACAGAAACGATCCGACCAGTGACGTACCAACAATGCCAACGACCAATTCATTCTTTTCACTATCCACACCAACGACTAGGGAGTAGTCCATGACATTGAGTTCTTCCAAGAACCGACTGTCATTATAGAGTGCGCCGCGAAGAATGCGCTTTGAATGCTCTCGAAGGTAGAAGGGCGCTAGATGGGCAGCTATGCGAACAATTATCAGACAGAGTATATTGAGAGCAACACTGAAGCTTACTTTGCACGAGATTCTCGTCCAAAAGAACCTCATTTAGCCTCCCAGTCGATTGGACATGTCGATTTCGTGTTGAGCCCTTCAAGTCATAGATCTGGATTGCGTCAGATTAAATCAACTGAACAGGGGGCAAATACAAGAATATCAAGTACCTTGGAGAATGTTCGGTCATAGAAAAGGTTCTCCATGACCAGCAAGTTCATCTGGGTCAGCTTGGTCTTACTGCTCTTGTCCTTGTGAGTCTTCCTGAAGGTGATCTTGAAGCAACCAAAGATCTTGGCCAAAAGAGTAGGACGCTTATACATTGACATCAACCCCCAAATTCAACGTTCAATAGTTCCATACTTACGTTAGCAGAGACGGCAGATGACATGTAGTCGAAGTATGACGGGGCGAAGGTCTCCATGGCTTGAAGCTCTGCTTTCGAGAGTTCCTTCGCGATGAATCGGTCATCTGTGCCATTGGTGAGTTCAATATTCATCCAGCATAGTCACTTTACGAACCCAGCGTCTTCAAGAAGGCCGAACCTGACTTTCCACCACTCGCATCCCACTTGATACATCGCGCAAGGGACTCAACCATGCTGCGCTCACAGTCGTAGGTTCGGCGTAACGCATCGAACTGCTCCGGATAGAGCACTGTACAACTGATGGTAAGACCTCCACTCTCGAATGCTGACATATGACCCTATTAGTATCATTATTAGGTACACAGAAGGAGCTCACTCACAAATTGCCCACGGAAGCTTTGACGAGGGCACGCGTAACTCTTCCGTAGGGTCCGCACCATCATTCGAATCAACGTTGACAACACCCCATGTAGATGTAGATTCTGCTACTGATCTATCATCAGGCATGAACGCTTCGCCACCCTCTGTAATCTTTGCCTCCCTTGCCAGACGTTTCTCTGCACGAGATTTGGCCAGCAAGTCGCGGTATTGTGGGGAACTGTGAAATCGTGAGCACTTCTCCAAGCCAACTTCAGTAGTGCTTACTTCAATGCTAAGGCAATAATAGAAGTAGGTTCGTCCGTGCGCACGACCATGGAAGAGTCGCGGAAGATATGTTCCGGATCTGCCATAATATCGTCCTGTTCATGGCGAGGAGGTTGATTAGGCCAGAAGCCAGAGAGCGCCTTGAGTAGACTAGAACTCCGTTCGTTGCCCGAGGGTCCTATGTCAATCTCTGGAGGTGGTGAGATAGATGATGTTATACCCTCGATCGGTGCCATGGCTGGTGAAGCTGGTACCGAGGGTGGCGCAGATGACGGGATTACTGCTTCTGCTGGCGTTGGCGGCTGAAGGCGTGAAATATCTTTGGTTTCCGGAGGTGTTGCACTCTCCTGCTGCAGTGCTGGATGAGAAACCGTATCTTTCACATCGACCTTTGTTTCACCGTTTGGCACATGCTCAGAGGAAGCCGATGTACGTTCTGGACTTGCTTGCTTAGGTGGTTGCGAGGCTTCTTCCTCATCACCTCCCTCATCGTCTGCCTCGCTAGAATCTGAGCCTTCCGAATCCTCTTCGTCATTGATAGCGTCCTTGATGCTTTCCAGGATCTCGACTTTAGCACGTGCCGTGGCAACCGGTCGTGCTCGTCTTCCACGAATCACGGAGTACCGACGACTGGCCCGTTCATTGTCCTTGTTAATCCGCTCGAAGTGTTTCGTAATATTAGAAACTTTGTTGGCAGTGCCTCCAGAACTCCTCTTAACAGTGGCTTTGTTTCCTGGAACACTAGCATTGCCTGGATAGCTCTGACGTATATTCTTTGTTCGCTCTCTGCCTACCGCGCGCTGAGGCTGCTGTAACCGGTGCACTTTGGGTACGAAGGGGCCCGCCGGCTGAGTTTTTCCGCTTGGTGGAGAATGGCGACCCGTTCTGGGTGTTGATTCGGTTCGCCCAAACGAGGGTCGCTTGTCAGGCGAACTTCGGCGTGAAGGAGGATGCGACTCAACAGAGGAGGCACCAACGGGACAGGGAATACGACTACCAGTCCCATATGCTCCCCAACGCCTCGTGGGAGGATGGACGATGTACCGGGGAGCAATGTTGGCGGCGTAGCTCTGCTCGAAGTCGGACACGGATGATCTCTTGCTGAGTGTCTGTCTTGGATTCTTTTGCCGGTTCCGTGGTTTTCCTGAAACGGTCTGAGTACTTTCCTGTTCGCTCTCTGATACAGGGACACCTGGAGCTAATGCTGTCTTAGTCAACTCCTCGACTCCGCGAGCGGGGATGAAATCTTGGTATTTCTTCACCATCTCTGCGACGCTCGGATATTGCGCAGGGCGACGCAACCTCGAAGCAGGTTTCAGAGTCTGTTCGAGATCGCCTTCTTGAACATCTGTTAGTTGACCAGACGGCACAGCCGTACTTGTTTGCGCCTGATACAATAACGCAAAATCTTAGCAGTCTATCTGAGACCATTGAGCAACAACATACCTCTTCTTCTTCTGGTGTATCTTTCGTTATGTCGGTGATCGTACCACGAGGAGCACCAATGGTTGAGTCACTCTCTGGGTCTGACTTGGAAGAGGTATCTTCAGGAACTTTGGGACGCGGAGGCGGTGGCCTGTTAAGGATTATGTTCGGATCAACACCAAGTGCGATGTCCAACACATGGGCAAGATACTGTTCGCTCTCTGAAGCTTCAGCGTCGGACGCAGACGAGGTAGAGGTGAACGAGTCGCCCGTCACTCTCCTCATTACAATCCCATGATCATCCACCTCTGTGATGCTGGTCGAAGAAACGTGTTGATCGTAAACGGAGTCGTACTTCCTCGGCCATATCGAGCGCACCGATCCAAATGCAGAAGGCTTTCGAGAGTTCTTGTCAAGCTGCTTGGGCTTTGGTAATCTGTCGAAGTCCTGCTGCCAAGCAACAATCATATCTTGCCGTTGAGCTCGCACTTGATTAAGAGCTAAGGTTTCCGTGTGCGATGTGCTTTGATAAATCCGGTTGATGGTCACCCCAAGTTCCACTATCTCGCGCTGAGCTCTCTGGATCAAGGAGTTGATGAGGAAAGTCAACTTTTTGTCCGCCTCTTCATCGCCTGTCGCTGCGTCGATAGAGATTAGCTTGAGGTCGTCTATGAGTGCCGCATACCACGTCTGGTTCCTCTTGTGCAGTTGGAAGAAGTCGTCGTTCTTGATGTGAAGTTGGCTTTCAGGCTTGACGCGAATTTTCATGGGTGGATATACAATCTCGTGCATGACAATGGGATCCGCTTGAAAACGCACCGTCATACCCTTTACAGCGAAGAACCGAATGTGGTGTTTATAGATGTTATGTTCGCAACCCGCGCCTGGGACCAATTGGACGTCTGCGGGATAGAAGTGCAATTCGAGGAACTTCGCGAATGAGTATCTTTGCATCTCCTCCGAAATAGGGATGAATGGTGTGGCATTTCCGCAGATACGACATGCACTCCAGGTAACGATAGTGTCCGGAGAGGTCATGAGATGAGCGTTATCGGTGATCTGACCGTCCCACTGCTCGACAGCGACGAATAATCTAGTCTCGTTATGTACGAAAACCTTGCAATGTCGAGCAATGGGTTGACCACATCCTTTCCCATCACAGATGGCCCTTGGATCCAGGAATTGGCGCAAGGTATCCATAACGGACTTTTCGATGAATTGGCCAAGCGTACAATCGTTCTCGCCATAGAATGTGATATATCGGAGCCGTGGAGGGAAACAGGCACGATGTAGGCCGAACTCCTCGATGGGCAAAGTGAACTCCCAAAGGCTGATGCACTGGTACTTTTCGACGTCAAAATCATCTCCATTCTTCCTCAGGTACCACTCCCAGATACGCCGTTGTTCTGTGTGAAGCCATTTAATATAATCCAGACGGCTCTGAAGCCGGATATCCTTGTCTTGAGTAACCTCGATTGGAACCTCAGGTGGCGGGCGTGGACTTCGAGGGTAGGGGGATGCAACAACAGTTCCATCCAGCACTTGGGAGCAAATCGGTTGAGGAACATCGAAGTAACTCGGTGGATCCTGATTGGTCGAAGTACCACCCGGAGTGGGAGTCGCAGGTGGCTCGACCATAGGCAGGGACTCAATCTGGGCTGCAACGTCTTCATTCGTCTCGGCTTGGATCAAAGGAGCAGGAGTCTGCACCTCCTCTTCGGACTGACTCTCGGCTTTCTCCCCGCGGCGAACGAGATCGTCCTCGTACTCCTGCTTCGCTCGCTTCAATTCATCATCCAATTCCTTCATGCGCCTGATGGGATATGGAGGGGGGAACCGGAGAGTAGCCGAGACAGAAATGAAAGTCTTCTCATAAGGCTCGATTGACTCACGGATACGGTGAGATAACCGCAGCTGCTCTGCATCCTCGTCAGGCAAGTCGTCAATGGCCGTATAAGACTGAGACTTCTCCGCAAAGATGTCCTTCGCTTCGGCGCTTGGAGAGTCCGCAAGCTGCGTAACAGATGTAGTAGATGATGGGATGTCTTTGTTGGTCTTCTCATGTTCGGACAAGTCTGAAGAATCTACTAGCGCCGGGGTAGCTGACTTGGAAAGACTGGGTAGGGAAATGACGAGATCTTTCCATAAATGTGTCTCCAAACGAAGATTACGAACGGTGAATGCCAGAAAGCGAGTGACTTTCTTGATGCGCTTCAGCACGTTCAAATCCCCGCCTCTGAGAACGATCGTGCAACCCATTTCCCTATTGCATCCTTCGAACCGCATATAGGTCTTCCTTCGCCCAGGGATAAGTGGATGATCAAATGTCTGTACACGCACTCGAGCACAGCGACCAAGATGTGGTTCCATGGCCAACTTGTCTATCGAATTGAGAATATCACCTTGTGTCATCCTAGCAACACATTGGATAGCGGACCGCTTCACGGACCTGGCCACGACTATTTTGCGGGCAGTGAGAGCTTCGAGTGCTATCCTCGACACTGGTTTCTCGACCAAGACGATAGTAGGGCGCAGAGCGGCAATACGACTAGCAAGATTGCCAAGGTACTCCTTCTCCTGCAACAGTAGCTGCTGAAAATGCATATACTGCCCTTCGATGCGATGGAACTCCAGTGGAAAGGTAACGAGCATGACCCGAGGATTGCCGACAGCTCGATCCATTTTCTTGTGCGCGATGTTCTTTGTGATAACCGCACCATCAACGTATTCTGAATCAGAAGGAGATCCTCCGGGAATCTTTTTGATCTTGACATAGCGTCTGACATCCATATCTGCACCTTGTCGGTTAGGATGAGCAGTGAAAGTTAATTCTCGTGCGATGCGAAGAGCGAGTTTAAGCAGTATCTCCTCCCACTCTTTAACATTTGGAATGTTCTGTGAAGTGAGTAGCTGCCGGAGCATGATGCGTAGATGGAACATGGATATTGTGTTAAGTTCCTGAGCATAACTGAACATAATAGTTAATTCCAAGGAAATCAGATGATGCACCGTAGGAAGGCTTACGCAGTGCTCTCTCGCCTTACACGCCAGCCAGGTTCACCGAAATTATCCAGTCGACTTTGAACACGGCTTCGAGAGCCACCAGCCCCGTCAAAGTCAGCATAAGAGTTATACCTCGACCTTGGCATCCCAGGTGTTTCAGAGTCAAAGGCCTGTTCTGACGAGCTAAGGGGAAACGCAATGGTGCTTTGCCCCTCCGTCTCGACAGGAACGGTAAGAGGGAACTCTACTGGTGTCTTGGAGCCGTTTGCTGGCGAATGATCGTGTCTGAACCGGTCAGCCAAGGAAACAGGGTCGTCGTCCGAAATGGCACGACGAAACGGTACAGGGAAACCGTATTGACTGTCAGGTCCATTGTCGGCTGGAGTCAGCGGTCTGGATACAAAGCCACTCTCGTCAGAACCGGAATAAGGTCGTCTCATTTCTGCGATAGAGAAAAGGCTGTAGGAATCACTCTGTCCAAACAATTGGGATGCTGCAAATGGTGATTGTGGAAGGTGGGTTCGGGTCAGTGGTCGAGGCTCAGACCCAAATTGATGTGCAGCGAAAGGGGAGGTGACGCTGGAGATGATGGATCGACGGTCATCTTCGCCATCCTCATCATCAGGGTCAAGCATCTTGGATTTGCAAAGATTACAGACTCGTATCCTTCCATCTTGGCCATAACGTGTTCCCGGGATGATCATCGAAGCACATCTAGAGCAGAACACTTGACCTTCCAGAACATAAATACGAATCATAATACTGGCAAACGTATGAATAGCTTACCACATATCCTGCAATGATGTTTTCGCCGCCACGCTGTGAACACCGACTTGCACATGTAACATTCATTGCATAATGCATCGTCCATCCAGTACTCGCGGGACAAACCTATACCCGGAATTCAGCCCTAAAATACAGTAACTGAGTCATTCTCACTTACCCTCACCATGTAGTCGACGGATTGCTTTCGATGCAGAAGCAGACCGATGAATACTAACACTGGCGGTGGTCCGAATACTACGGGCATCGTCCTGGATAGGAAAGCCTGGTATGGCTGTGCCATAACTGCCGTCTGGATTGTCAGGCGAATAGAACAATCCATTTTTTGAGGGTGTGCGTTCGAAATCGGTGTAAGTAAGCTCCTTCCCGCTCACAGGTGTTAGTGAGACCAAGGGAGGGGCAGGATTGACGGAGTTCAGTCTCAAAGACGTTGGGCGTTCACCATTAGATTTATTAGAACTGCCGGACACAGATGTTTGTAAAGACGGTCGTCTCGGCTCAGAAGCATACGCAGTATTGGGCGCCTGCGGAGCACTATGTTGAGGAAGGTTGCTTGATACCGTTGAAGACAACGGTGCTGCAAGAGAGTTCTTCACCCTAGAGAACAGAGAGGCTACTAGGGCATATGATGACTGATCATTCTCATCTTCTTCGGCAAATGGGTTGAAGGATGTCAGGCTAGTTACATCGTCCAACTTGGTGCTGCTACGCGACCTTGAAGAAGACGAACTCGTGAACGGTGGCGGATTTGGAGAGGCAGTTTGTGGAGCCTCCATGAGCTGGATGCAAGGTCGTCAAAGGTCGTGATAAATGTCGTACATGGAAGATAATGGACAGTTGAAGAAGTATGTCGTCAAGCTTTGGTTTGCCCTTTCACCCAAATCGGTGACAAAACATACCTTAAAGCAGTATCCGAGGGCTCCGGCGTCTATGCTCGTCTATGACACAGCAATAAAGTTGGATCTCGAATCTACCGAATATGTAAAGATGGATGTTAGTTGGAACTCAATCCTGATAACAAAACAGAGAAAAAAAAATAGCATTCAACGTCGACACAAAGTGATAGAAGTTGAAATGAGATATTGGCAGTGAAAGAGTGGACTAAGGCTTGCCAGTAGTGTTGAGTGAACTGAACGCCCCCGCGCACCGCTTGACAAGCTCTTCCTGAGGCATGAGCGCTAAGCGCCACGCGTATCTGGGTCACTGTATTTGGACTGCAGCCGCCACTTTCTTGGTACTTGCTTTCGACGGTCATATCGCAGACTAGAAGCTCGTCTTAGGAGCATATATTGTAGGTTTATAGTATAGCAATTATAACCTCTGAAGATACTGAAACAAATAGATAATCATCAGATCTACTGAGCCACTTTCACCTCTAGTGCGCTCACCAGAATGGACGAAGATGATGCCGAGTACATGCAAGGAAGTGACGATGAGGTATGCTGCATATGAGTCTAGGAGTTTATCGTCTGGCTCACAACAGGATAGGACTACGGTTTCGACTACTCGGACGACGACGACGATGCCAACCAGGCCGGCAGCGCGGATGTCGAGAATATGTACTATACTGCGAAATGTACGTTTGAGCTTGATTTTGGTGACAGGATAGTATCTCAGGATCGCAACAGCAAAGAAAGAGGACAACCCAGAACAAGCCGTAAAGGAATTCCGCGCGATAGTGGACCAAGAGGAGGAGAAAGGAGACTGGTGTGTTGTACGATTCCACAATCAATAACATATCTGAATTTCATTGGTTAACAGGGGATTCAAAGCTCTGAAGCAAATGACGAAGCTCCTCTTCCTAACTCTTCATAGGCCTACCGAGGCACTCCAGACGTATATTGAACTATTATCGTACACAAAGTCAGCTGTAACACGAAACTACTCCGAGAAGACTATCAATGGCATCCTAGACTATGTCGGTGGCGGTAAATCTGGTCCCGTAGATGTCAATACTCTGGAGAGATTCTATCAGGCGACGAAATCTGCGCTTCAAGAGGCGAAGAACGAGGTTAGAAACATCATCTCGTGATGTGGAGTATGCTTTATATTCATGATGTTGTAGAGGCTATCGGTCAAGACTAATCTCAAGCTAGCGAAGCTATGGCTTGATCGCAAGGAGTATGGCAGACTATCAAAGGTCCGTCTCGCCCTCGCAAGCGATAATATGCCTTGAAACTGATGAGATATGCAATAGCTCATCCGCGATTTGCATGCATCAACCGTCGGCGCAGATGGTGAAGATGTTGCCCAGAAAGGTACTCAGCTTCTTGAGATATACGCTCTCGAAATCCAGATGTACAACGAGACCAAGAACTATAAGAAGCTAAAGGCGAGTACAGATCATAGTACTCCTAGTTTCGAATCTCAGTATCTCATTCCCTCTGCAGGAAATCTACAACGCCTCTAACTCTGTCAGGTCCGCAATTCCTCACCCTCGAATCATGGGTGTCATCAAAGAATGTGGCGGCAAGATGTGGATGGGCGAACGTTAGTAGTATCTCTGATTCAGGTGATCAGGATAATTCATAAATAGATTCACAGGCCAATGGCGGCGAGCAGGCGAAGATTTCTTCGAATCTTTCCGCAACTATGATGAGGCAGGCTCACCTCAACGAATACAAGTTCTTAAGTACCTCGTTCTCGCCAACATGCTGACAGGAAGCGAAGTCAATCCTTTCGACAGTCAAGAGACAAAGCCGTGAGTCGTCTGTTCATAACATTGTTTATAACGTTATTTCCATACGATGTATATGTGCAAAATCCAGATACAAGAATGACCCTCAGATCAAGGCTATGACAGACCTTGTAGACGCATATCAACGTCGTGAAGTTCATGTGGCGGAGAAGATTTTGCGGGGTGTGTGTGTCGTGCTATCGGATACAACGTTAACTGACATCCTCTCAGACAACCGGGCAACAATCATGGACGACCCGTTCATCCGATCTTACATTGGCGATCTTCTACGAAGTCTCCGGACGCAATACCTTATTGACCTCATAAGGCCATATACACGACTTGAACTGACATTCCTGGCTAAGGTACGCCACCCGATATCGTGTTACATGGTGACGATGTTCACGCTAGCTCCTTCAGCAACTGAATGTTGAGAGAGACGAAGTGGAAGAGCTGTTGATCGGCTTGATCCTGGAAGGCAAGGTAGAGGGACGCATCGACCAAGTTGCCATGCGGCTAGAACTCGACCGCAAGTAAGTTGTTGTCTTGTAAACCGACTTCTAAAGTCTAATCAGACCCTTTCCCTTTGCAGACAAGTCTTGGAGAAGAAGCGGTACAATGCGTTGGAGAAGTGGACGGTCGCGCTAGAATCCGTTCATGCAGCGGTCGTAGGAAAGAGTCCAATGAGTGGAGGACGTAGTGGCGGCGGAGATGTACCTTACGGATATCCTCCTGAAGCCTTTGGTAGTCTAAGAGACTTTGGAAGATATGATGTTTACTAGGTGATTTGGAGTCGATTCTTTCTATAGTTGTGTCTCTCGTTGTATCAATGCTCATCCCGCATGTCTGTCTTATTGCAATTGTTCACTAGTGTTCTCTCCATGCATTAGAAAATTAGATGTATACGAGATGGCAAAGATGAAAGCAAAGATGGGGCCCATATACACAACAGTTTTCCTGTGAACATGCCCATTGGGAGAGATGGAGGGAGACGAGGCCGATACCTAAAGGATAGGCTTCAAGAGATTATTTAGACCAACGAAAACTACGAGGCTTACCTCAGCTGCTGGATCGCAGTGTTGGCTGGTAGTCGTAATTCCAGCCACCGGTGGGAGGTGTATCCGTCGGTGGCCGCAACTCCCTAGGGAATAATCCGCGTATCCTGGAATCGAATGCCCTCCTCTCCGACTTCTTCAATGACTTCCAGATCTCGGTCTCTGCTGGACTCCTCGCCCTAGGATCCTCCCCCTTGTTAGCCTCCTCATATAGTCTCGGGCTCAGCTCGCGAAGCTTCTCCATCGCATTCCACATGCACTGGAACTTCTTCTCTGCCTCTGCTTGCCTCCGCCTTCGTGCATGTCGCTGGTGCAAGAACCAAGCTCGCTCAATCGTTTCGTGCGCCTGAACAGAGGGTATGGCGCGTTGTAGCCTGCGACCTACGTCGGGCAACCATGTGCCAGTTGGCGAAGCGCGGTTACGGATATTGGTGGGATAGAGTACGCGACGAATGAGATCTTTTCTCGGGTCGGAGGTGTTGATTTCCTGGCCACCTGCATGACGAACAGGAGTCTGGCCAACACGGAATGGTAGACGTGTTTTACGCAAAGAAAGGAATGTGGAGGCCATGGTCGCAGTACTTGAACGTACAACACTGGACAATCAAGCGAGGTGGGTTTTTCCCAAATAAGTTTTGAAACTCAGCGGCCGGGCCGCCGCTTCAGCACACCCTCTCACCAACCTCACCAATGCCTTCTCCAACGAAATCGCTCAAATGGCCACAGTGCGCTGTTTCTTGTGACATTATGCTGGTGAGTATTTACCTGGCCGCTATCCTCTTCCCAGGCTTCCCTTTTGCAAAATTTCAACCGTCTCAATCAGTAGCTAGCAGGGCGACCAATGGTCATGGGAGGATTTCGGGTGATGCCCTTTCAGAACTTCAACGCGACCCAGTTATTCTTCGGAAAGCAGCTCCGGATCCGAAGTGTCACAAATATTCCTGCCTCTCATCTCAGATGCAATAGTCAAGGCATCTCCACGTCGCTGTCACATTGTGAATGTAAATACCACGGTACACTGTACTGCGCAGGCGCGTTCACATCTCGGTGAGCATTGAGCTTGTCGGCGGAACAAACTCATCACAATTTAGGTGACTATAAAGACAGACAGTTCCGCCGTCATGATACGACTTCAGAGAGGTACTTTTCCCGACTATTTGGTACGCATCGTTTCGTTCAGGGAAGATCTGTCTTTCTTCCCGCTCGCTGTTAAGGCATGGTCTCTCCTAGACCAATCGACGGTGCTTCACGCCAACTGACGCGCAAAGCGTATGGTGTTTACTTCGAACAAGCGCGCTATACCAGATATCATGGAGAAACAGGGAGCCTTTCTCCTAGGAATTCATTTCCGCCGAATTCGGTTGATGGTCCCCTCTTCTTTGGCGTCCAAACCGACCCTGTTCCTCCACGCTGGATTGCGCGATCACCATCGGACCTATATGTGCTCCTGACATAGAACCTGCTCGTTGTTGATCTGATACAGTTCCAATTCTTCCCCTGGATACCAAGTATTACTGTCAGCACTCAGGTGTGCCCTGAAAGGTCGATTACGGACAGCCGGGCTGCCATTCGGATCGGCCTCAATAACGGACTTTAGTGATACTAGAGTTGGGTAACGTCAATCCCCAATCTTTGACATATGACTTCTGACCAAGCCGCTCTGCCTCATGGCCGGAACCTTCTCAACCCCCCACACAATCAGAACTACGCACTGGCGTTCTATCTATCCGACCGAAGTCGAAACGTAGGCTTTTACCTCCGAACCTCTGCCTGCCCTTTACCCACGCGTCATGCCCTCCTGAGAGCTCTCACATGCTGTCTGGAACCTTCCACTCCGAGGCATTGCGGCGACTACCATCTCACGCTACTTAATTTCCTGGACGTGCGCATTCTCTCTAAATCTTTTGTCGGGCTGGGGTGATTTTGCTTTAATCAAGTGCACCATGGCGCAAGTTCCTCCGATCAGTCTCCCACTGGCATGACTTGAGTCAATCCTTTCCTGGACCAGTCGTTTTCTCTGTGCATGGTGCCACTTGTTTCCTACCTCACATGTCAGATGCAGTTCCCAACGTAGCGGAGAAGATGTCAGTTTTACGGCATGGTGCTGCCATTCGACCCTTTACACGTTCCTGAGCTGTCCACCGTGTCGGTGACTAGCGGCTTGTCCGATTCTTGCGTCCAACATGGATACACTTATCGGAGTTGCAGGGAATGCATACGACTCCATTTAAAGTATCTTTACGCCCAGCGGTTTACGGGATGTGTTCGATGCATGGGGAAGTCTTCTATGAATGGGAATAAATTGCTGCCGGGATATCTGTATTTGAATACCATGAAGGCCTCGTGCTAAATGTAATGTACATCTTCGATAATATTCGTGCATCTAAGAAGCTCCGGAGGGCTACAGTTAGATGTCGTCGTGTCGAGACCATTTCCTCGCTTTCAAGGACGCCGACTAACCGGAGCTCGGAGAACGCCGAAAGCCATTGTGGCGTAAAGCGCCCAAGAAAGTTGATTGCATTTCCGCTTCAGTGCAGTGTACACCAGCACCCATGTCTCTGCTCAACGTAGCCCTGCGATGTGGACAATGTCGCGGTCCTTTGGGAATATTCGTATGTTTCGATGACATTATTTTCACTAAATAAACTCAGTTCAGCCATAGAATCCTTTGGCTCGTTCATTTCATACCGGGCAGATTCTTCTGGCTCGTCAAACCAAGAAAGTTGCTACTCCGTCGAAGAAGATGTTAGCAGCGAAGGCTAGGAGGAAATCTAAGACGAAGAAGAGTATATATGACTCTGAAAAGATGACTTTGGCGGATGCCGTCTCAGTCTTACGCGTGTGTAACATAGGACATTATCCGTGTGTTATCAGGCTGACACTTCGTACAGGCTGTGGAGGTCGCATCACCGAACTCTACCTACGAGCTGGTTGTTAAGACTGATATGAAGAAGGGCACCGCTATTCCAAGAGGTCGTATGTCATTACCTAGGGAACCTAAAGCCATGTCCAAAGACCGTATCCTTGTTTTCGCCGAGGGTCGACATCTGGAAGAAGCAAAGAAGGCTGGTGCGGACATCGTGGGTGGTCCTGAGCTTTGCGATGGTGTGAGTATTCCTATCTAGCCCGATGCCACGATGCCAACAGAACTTTGTTGCAGATAATTGCAGGTCGGCATCGGGCCACCGTGTTCCTCTGTATACCCAGTTTACTCCGTGCAATCACGCCAAAGCTTGGACGTTACCTCGGTCCTAAGGGTTTGATGCCCTCAGAGCGCCGAGGGACTGTGACCGATGATGTCGCGACCTACATTCGTCGTCTCAAAGGCAGTAGTGAATGGAGGGGTGACAAATCCGGAGTTATTCGCACACCAATTGCCAAAGTATGTGCTCGGTGTCTTAACATGTCCTCTTCTCACAGCGGCTTTTTTAGCTACACTACCCAGTGGATGATGTGGTTAAAAACGTCCGATACTTCATGAACGTTGTCAAGCGCGCCACCGGAAACTTACAAGATGGTAAAGAGAAAGGCAAGAAAGAGAACGCCAACAAGCCATGTAAGAATTTGAATTTGACTGCTCCTTCGGCGCTCACCAATGTTGTCACAGCGACTGCTATTACGAAGGTCATCCTGAGCTCCGCCCAAGGCCCCGGCATACAGATATCCGATGCATAAGTATACAGAGTGGAGGTAGTGCTATAGCTACATAATCTACAATTCATCATAATCCAGAAGCGGGAAGAGTCAGAGTGGCCGGCATATCTCAGTCGCCGTAGTAAGCGTCTTTGGATTTTCGATCTTCTTTTTGCAATCTCCTTCGTTCATGTCTCGCGTCTTCCAACGCTCTTATGTCTCTTTTCGGTTGTCGCAGATCCTTGTTTCCCCTCTTGCCTATGTCAGCACCCTTGAGCGGTATGCCGTCTTGACGCTTGCCACCCTGAGGCACATAGCGCTCTTGTGGGCGGTTCTTGGGCTCATGAGGGAATATATCTCCCCAACTCGACTTGCGAGCATCGTAGAACGGTTGTTTACCTTGTGACCGAGGGATGGTCATCCGCATGATCTTACCTGATGGTGAGGGGAACAGCGAAGTTAGGTGGAGTGTCAGATCATTGACAGGATTGATCGTACCTTCGTGGGTGCACCCGTCCATAATGATGTGACCGCTCTTCTTAAGTGGAGGGAATACTAGACGAGGCCAACTATACGCCTCTGCTCTAAGGGCCGCAGTAATCTCTTCATTTGCAGGGGTCGGAATGTCGCCTGAATCAGCGCCAACAATCGATGCTTCTTGGATCGAGTGGGGCTGTTCTCCATCAGGGTTCAACTCAGAGATGGGCGCTTGGACGCGGCTAGGCTTCTCAAGTTCTCGTCGCCCGACCTCACCAATTCGTCCAACCTTGGTGTGTACGCGAGTCGGTCTGACGCCTCGTCGAATGACAACATACGAGTATCCCGTATCCTCATGGCCGATGCCAGAATGTTTGGTCTTTCGCACAAAGTCGGGTCTTTGGAGCCTCTGTGAGAAGCCGCAGATCAGCTTGCTAGATCCAGCTTGGTATAAAGGACAGGCGCCATCATGTGGACACTAGAGAACACACATGTCAACGATGTTCAAATTCCGACAATTTTAGATAACACTGCACCGGAGCGACGACGTGAGAGCCCTTCAGAACCAAATCTGACAGAGTAGGATCATCTAGCTGTTGTCGGCCTTTGCGAAGCAAAAATTCTCGCGCCTCGGAAATGGCCTCGAACCCAGCCTTGGAGCTATGGTCTATTAGAACCTACGAGAAATGATGAGCAAATGGGGAAAGAAATTGAGGGCATCGAACGAGCACTCACAATGATATCTGCACCACTCTCCCAAATCTCCTTCAACAGTGTTTTCCGTGCCACCGGAGACGGTAAAGTCGAAAGCAAGAATGCTGACAGGGCGAGGATTTCACCATTCTCAGATCTTACTATCGGCTCACTTCCCTGGAAGGAGCGTTTCCACGTAACGTTGGTGTCGCCCGTATTGATATCTATGGACAACATTATCAGTCGGGAAAGTATAATGATAGATGACAAATGTCGGACTACCTTTCAGCAATCGCTTCCCAATGTTGACCAACCCATCACGTTTATCAATTCCCAGGTAAGATAGGACGGCGGATTGCGATAATTGCGTTTCCACCAACGTTTCCGAGGAACTGAAACTTGATGATTTCTGGAACGAGTGTGTGGACGCCCTTGAGCCATGACATGTCAGCGATGCATCTGATAGACAAATAGCGCCATGGATAGAGAATAAACAAACCAAAGTCCACTTCCGGTGCCTGAACCCCAATCAATAACATGGTTGACTTTCCACTCCGAACCCAGCCTTTGCTTGATATGATCAATCACTGAGCACAACACGGAATAATGCGCCGGCAGAGCGACCGAAGCGAAGGCAGTACCGTCACGCTCTGCCTGCAGATAGGCCTGACGGCGCGACTTGTATTTCTTGTCAAATGAAACGTTCCACTCAGCAGATTCGCCATTTTCATCCAGGAACAGCCTTTCCGCGTCAGCGTGTAGCATAGGCTTGTCAGATTCTACGAGCGACAAATTATCAACTGCATTCAACCAAATGATTTATTAGGCATGAGACGAACCAGATATTAACCGGTTAATGGTCTGCTGGAGCTCAAATGGTATGACCACTGCACCAATACGCTGACTACCAAATAGTGCAGCAGGCGATTTCCGGCGATCCTTTTCATCCCGATCTTCCATAGAATCAAGGTCCTCGGACGTCAAATAATCCGTATCAGGGACATGCTCGACTGGTATGACTTCAAGTTCCCGGGGAGAGTTTGAACCGGAAGTACTGGCAGGGCCGTGGCGCGCTCGGTGCTTTAACACCGATAAATCTACATCGTTCAAAAGGGCTTGGAAAGAAGGGTCCAGTTCCACGGGTGAATTGGGTTGGTGTGAAGATGAGGCACTCGATGAAGACGACAAATTGCACACATGTACATGTCGGGAAAGTATACGCGCGGACCGAGTGGAGAAAGGACGGAGCATGACAGCCAGAACACTTTTGTAGCGCTTGATCCAACAACCTGGATGTGTTCTTGAGACTAGGAAAGAATGAGATGACGAAAGAGCTGCAGAGCTGCAGAGAACGGCCGGCAAGAGGCGTACATTTGGCAAGCGCTGAACAATATATTTCGATCACTTTGGGCGCTTTTATCCTAGCAGCAGCCACTCTCGTCACATCCATTATTCTCGAGTTCAAATTCTGGGTTAGCCACGCATTTGCTCGTAAGAGTTATTACGACAACATGGATCAGAAGACTGGAAAAGCGGGGGTGGAACGAGAATTGGAGTCAGTCTCCGAAAGACCGACAAAGCGTCCGCGAGTGGAAGATCAGAACGGGCCTGTGGATGCAAGTGCAGGAGAAAGCACTCCGTCGCAAAATACGCAGCTACAGATCGATACATTGGAGGACGACTGGAATGAGGACGAAGAGATAGAGGGCGTTCCGGAGCCTGCACGAGCTTCTGACCTATACCTAGATACTGTAAGTAGCTTTCTTTGCCTGGCGCGTATCGAATTAATGTTCGACGGAAATAGATAAACAGGGCAGTCCTTGACTTCGACTTCGAGAAAGTCTGCTCTGTCTCGTTGTCCAACATCAACATATACGGCTGTTTGGTCTGTGGTAAATACTTCCAGGGCCGCGGACGAAAGTCGTATGCATATGCGCACTCGATACATGACGATCACCATGTGTTTATCAACCTAGAAACTACAAAGGTACGCCAGACCTCCTTCTCTCATCAACTTGCAGCCTATCCATGACATTCATGCAGGTGTTTGTATTGCCGGATGGATATCCTGTGTCAGATCCGTCACTCGAAGACATCGCGTTTGTACTCGCGCCGACATTTACCAAATCATCTATCGCCCATCTCTCTACTCCCGCTCATCTGACGAAGCCTTCGTATGACTTGTCATCGAAACCTTACATTCCTGGGTATATCGGTTTGAACAATATCAAGCGAAATGACTACATGAATGTTGTAATCCACTCTTTGCTTCACGTTGCACCACTTCGGGACCACCTACTGTTATCCAACTATCGTGGCAAAGAGTCGGAGTTACTAAAGCGCTTCGCCGGTTTGGCAAAGAAAGTGTGGAACCCTAGATTATTCAAGAGCCAAGTCAGTCCACACGAGTTTTTGCAAGAGGTTGGCCGAGCGAGTGGAGGGAAATTCAGCCTAGAAAGGCAAGGCGATCCGGTGGAATTTCTTGGATGGCTGTTGAATCGTCTACATAAAGATATGGGCGGCACAAAGAAGAAAAATTCTAGTATGCCAACAATCTTCGTAGATCAATTGGAGCTAACCGGACGTGTGTCAGGTGTTATCTTCTCCACATTCCAGGGCGAGGTGCGAATGGAAACCCAACAAGTCGTCGTGCGCTCCACTGTCTATGGTGACGAGAAGCCGCGGTTTGACATCGATCGTGGTATGTCTGTTGGAAGAGTCGTCGCGTCTGGTGAATCGCTGACCGCACTCTTAGAGATAAAGTCTACAACATCTCCGTTCCTTTTTTTGGCCGTTGACCTCCCTCCGCCGCCTCTGTTCCAAGATGCCGTAGAGAAGAATATCATTCCACAAGTCAGCATCCAGTCTGTTCTGGCGAAGTATGACGGGAAAACAACACAAGTGAGACTGTTTATCATCTCAAACACTCCCGTCCTCTGATGTTGATATAAAATCAGGAATCAGCGGGGCAGCTTCGCCGATTCAAGTGCCAGCGGCTGCCACCATATATCATTTTGCACTTCAAGCGCTTTACCAAAAATATATTCGTGGAGGAGAAAAATCCGACAATTGTTAATTTCCCTCTGAGAGGGCTTGACTTCAGTGATTGTAAGCGGACTGCGAATTGCTTTCATTCCCCCATTTCTGATCCGATGGATGCGCGTCAATGTAGATTTAGATGCACCTCAATCCCATCCACCCGCAGTGTACGATCTCATCGCCAACGTCACTCACGAGTCAGCAACAGGAACGACACGGGATAAGGACAGTATAATTTGGAAAGTCCACGTACGAGCTGGAGCAGGCGGCGGAGACAATGAAAAATGGTTCCAGATTCAAGATCTTATTGTCGAGGAGATTCGGAAAGAAATGATCTTTCTCGGGGAGACTGTGTTACAGGTGAGTGACGTGTTCGGAGAAGTGTCTGACGGGAAGACTTGCTGACAATATGTAATACAGATATGGGAACGTAGGGCAGACGCGCCTTCGACTCGAAGTCGGATGGCGGAGCACGATTCCAGATGGCTGTAGATACATGAGAATTGCGTATTATTATCATTTTCGTATCCCGATTTTAAAATGTTGAAGGGGGAGCAACCTCTGCATGTTCTGCGTCGTCGAGAAATAGCAGGACTGTCGCCGTAGTTTGACCAACCGACCTCCGCATACTGTGAACAAACTAAATCGAACCAACGGAGTCTTCAATAACAATTACTTCTAAGACGCTAGAGGCTTTGCAGATGATCAGGTAGCGTCTGACTTGTCCACGGGAGTTGACTGTGACTGTTGAACGTCTGTATTCGGCTGCTCTGGCCTGTTAATCCAAGTCAGTTGTGTCACCGACGACCGTTATGGATTTAGCATGAGGCGATATCATCTTAAAGCCACCGGTTGTACCCACCGTTGTTGTCGTTGCTGGCTACTCTGCTCTAAAAGCGGCTTGAAAATATACACGCCTGACAGGACGCCTAGATATGGGGTAACGTTAACCATCTAGTCTTTGCGTAGGTGAGCCACCTCACCTGTGACGCCTGCCACGATATATGGAACCGCACGGCGAAGCTGTGACATGATTGGGCGGTTGATTTGAAGTTCTAGCTTGAAGTTCTAGCTTGAAGTGACGTGAGCACCCCTCGTGCCTAATCTCTAGTCGTTGGCCAGACTTCAAGAATTATACCTCCTTACCAGAAAGTGATTTAATCCGATGCATGACCGTAACGGAGCGGAACGCAGTCAAGAAGAACCCATATTTGTTACATAAGCATAATCCGAGTCTGGCAACAATGCCAAAAGGATCATATGGCGGCGATATCACAGTACAGATTCAAGTCTGAAATACATTGCATATTACGTTGAGACGGATGTTCAAGATATCCTACAAGCACACTAGGATCATTCGGAAGCCAATTACGCTCCCCCCGAGATTCAAAAAAAGATGGGGTTAAGTCGCAACTAGCGACCCTGTCTCACGGCCTGTAGAGCTTGGTGTGCAGCTGCCTCTTTCGCGACTGCCTTGTGCTTATCGGTGTATTGGCCTTTGGGCACACCATTGACTAGCTCACACCAAGTCAATAGTTTAGCATCACTTAGACTTGGGTACTCACCCTTGCAAGTCATAACCCAAAGGCCTCTGACACGCTCTTCTCCCCAATCGACAATGTCGTTGTTGTTGAGGCCCTGGAGGTCTGCAATAAAACGTTCAAGTAGCTTCCGACATACATGACGGGGTGTGTGACTCGCAATTATTTAACTGGACTGTGTAGGCTAGTATCGAAAGGTGAGTAGGTTGAAGATCTCTGGATGTTTGGCTGACTCACGTTGGTCAGACATAAGGGGCGATTCAGTATCTTGGTAACTGGTGCGTTGCAATGTCTGAGAAGGTGAGGATAAGCAATGGAGAGGAGAGGCTGAGTTGTTGGGGAGTTTTGGCGCAACTCATCGTGAATTTATACCAGAAGCACCGGTCGCCAACTAGGCGCAACGGCAAACATAGTGACTACCTGTAAAACGGTTTTCCGGTGGGGGTTTCTTTTTTTGTTTGGTCTTAGGAATATACCTGACTGGCGGATCTTTGTTACACCAATCTTGGGTAATTGGTATCCAGATAATCTCCCGATAGTTCCTGGTGGTGAGAGCTGTCTCCGGTGCACGAAGGAGAGAATGGGCCTGCCGAGATCCGGAATGGTCTTGTGCGTCGCTGAGCAGAGGGAGTATAACGTTTCCCATGGCTCGTTGCAACGAAAGTTGTATTTCTTGTCGCGTATTGATAAGGAAATATGTTGCCTCGAACTTGGTTTAGTTAGCCTTTTGGAGACGGAGTGCAAGTTTGTGTTCCCGTTGGGGCTCGGAAACGTCATCAAGATGGTGCATAAGTAATTCGTCATCACCTGCAAAGCTGATTGTCGTGAGAAGACAACAAAGCGCACGATCCGATCGGTCACATAAAGCTCGAGGTCGGATAACACAGATGAATTTCGAGGCACAGTCAAGACAATTCAGATGTCAAGACGGGGACAAGGTGCGGAGCCCCAAATCGAATTTAGCACATGGGATCCCCCAGAAAAATGTTGATTCACCGATAGATCAAGGCAAAAAGAACTCCGGGAGCCTCAAACACTGATGGACACGTGTATTCGCGGATGAGCTTGAGGTCTATGACCAACAACCGGTGTGCCACATATTGTTTTGTTGAGCGGCGCAAGATAGTTGCGTTGGAGAAAAGGAGGGCAACAAAAGACGGCCTTGGCACGCGCCCTCGAGTTTGAATGATAAACCAACGGGGCTGAGATCTACGGGGGTATGTCAATCTCCCGTGATATAGTTCATGATGACAGATGCTAGTCAAAATGCAAATTTGGCGCGGTGGTAAATGAAAACCTTGAGAATCGACACAGATTCTAGTGCATACCACGGAGAAGTTTCCCCCCGAAGACATCAGTAGCATGTGTAGATGGTATCCACTCAACTCTATCTCCGAATTTGTTTAAACAATTAGGAGAGCTCTCTGGATCCGTGGGTGTATGTTGTGATCTCGCACCGGCATCCGATTGTGCTACGTCTGGTGAAAACCCGACATCATCGAGGTCTGGGGATAAAGCGACAAAATTACGGGCGCTCGTTGCAATCCCTTTTGTGCCAACGAAGATCGATAGCGCGTCGTGCTGATGACGAAGGACTAAGTCTTGCCTGGTTCCTAGCGTCACCGCTCAATCCTGAAAAGAAAACAAAAGAGCCAAAGATACACACTATCGGCGCTGAAGCTTTACAACGATATGCCCGAGGTTAGACACCCAGACCACATGGCGACCAACACAAGTGTTAATAAGAATTGGAGTGGTGGCCGCCCGCACCCCTGCAGCTCAACCCCCCAAGTCCCGAATAAGCAAATATAACCCATGAGCCATGATCAGGAACATGACAAAAGCGCTTACGGCTTGACTGCGTTGACAGTGCGCTGTCCTTTGAAAGACAAGGGTGCCGTCGAGACTACGAAGTGGAGTCTAGTCGCAGCAAGGCACGTTTGAAGCAATAAACTCGATAAGCAGAAAGCGCACAGATGGCGCAAAGATAATTTACAAAACAAGCCAAATCGGTCATGGGAACACCAACTGAAGTTCAGTCAAGCCGAATGAACAGGAAAAACAATCTCGCCGCCAGGGAACCAAAAAAGGGTGAAGAAAAGGAAAGACCAGCATCTGGAAACGTCAAACAAGGGTGCGGGCGGTCGATCAGGCCCCGGAGGGACGAAGGGTCTGCAGTGCAGCCTTGGCTGCAGCATCTTTGGCCAGCGCTTTCGTCGCACCAGTGCCAACTCCGAGCACTTGATCATGCACTGGAGAGGGTTAGAAGGACGGGGAACCGGATCGAAACAGTAGAAGACGAACTCTTGTACGTCACGGTCCATTCCGGAGAGTGGGACGGCCCAGAAGAGACCTCCTGACAGACGAGCAGTTGGAGTTCGTTCTGGGACTGAAGGTCTTACGCAGCGTTCAGTAAATAGCGAAATACGAAGACCGGTTGAATAACTACAATTGTTCAACGCAACAGTTCCGTCTGCAATGCATAAAATGGTCAATGAGAGTAACGGCGGCGACTGATACAATGTACGTACCGTTACTTGGCATTTCTGGACTGTGGTCATGATCCACTTCTCAGTGGGTTTATAAAGAGACAGCAGGAAGCCCGCAACCCACCATGGACACTCTCCCATTCAGCTTGCTGCATGTCGAGAAGCCACATCTAATGTTCTCTTCATCCACCAAAGGATGTGGGTAATCGTCGAAGTTCTAGAGGAGTTGCAACGGCGCGTCATTCCGATCGAGGGTGAGAGTGAATTTTCAATTCATACCAGTCCGCGGCGGGGAACATAACAAACATCAACCAGCCGACATATTCGCTCTTTGACGAAACAGTGAGAGATGACATGGCTCACTGTCCGGCAGTAAGTGCTGCCACGCGTTCCAGTATGTTGCTAGGCGTGAGTGAATGAAGCCATGCCGCAAGGCAATAGACCGTCGGGACTGTATGTCGGAAGTGGCACAAAATACGCGGCGATAAATGATCCCTGGACAGGCTATTTCGGTTCAGACGGCCGAGTCAATTGCCCGAATGAGCTTGCAACTGATCGAGTGATGTTCCTTGTCGATCCAACTTAAGCATAAGCACAAGTGTGTAGCGCAGAATGTGAACCCCTGAAGATTGGTTGGTCGTTGCAAAGCTTGCGCAACATCGTGATTTGCCACAGTAAACGCCAACGACTACGGATGTGGAGTCCGAGGTTTCCTCGCAGGTCGTATAAAACTGCCATAAAGGTGCAGGACATTCTCCCGCGAAGCAAGACGCAGGTCTTCCATGCCCTATGCATGGAAGTAGCGTGGGGTCAGAAGGACAGGCCTTCAGGATGAGAGAAATTATGTAGCCGACTTGCCGTTGCCTGCAAGCAAACTTGAGAGCCATCAGCAAAGAAAGGACGTAAGTGGTAGCCGAGGCCTTCATAGTTTTTTGAAGGCATCAAGCCAATGCGGGGAAGGTGAATGGAGAGAGACAAACGTCTCGTTTAGGCAAACAAGAATCACAACGGCGATCGCCGGGCGTTGTGGCGTTTGCTTTGGATGGTTCTCCTGATAAATCTAGACTCAGAATGCTCCCGCGATGCTCAAAACGGCGACGATCAAGATCTGCATTAAAGCGTACATAATACATTAAAGAGGCATGTCAGAATGAGGAGAACGTCATGCATAATAAGGCTACAGAGGGGGATGATCGTATGAATGTCCAATGTGTGAGATGATGGAAGAAGTGGTTGAAACACAAAGCAGAGTCTGTTCATCTGATTAGATGTCAGTGTCGAATGCAACATACGTGAAAGCGCTACAATATTGACCTAAATGCCCAAATGACGTGAAAGGGCGGTATAGGCTCGATATGCAGCCTCCTCCTTTGCTTCATTGCAAGTCTGGCCCATACCACGACCATATTCTATCTGTTGTACTACACGGATGTTAGCAACGGAACGTTCAGGCGATAGAGAAAAGGCCGCACTGAGGGCTCTGGCTTCCCACAGGCCTTGGTGCTGTGATCCATGTTGCTGCTGGACCCACTGAAGCGCTTGGACTCCATAAGATCTCTGGAGTAAGTTGTTCAGTTGGCGCCTCCAGTCTAAGCGAATGTATTAATACGACCGTTAGAGCCCATCCAAGGGCAGCGCGAGGATCATTGACTCACGATCAGTCATTGTGAAGACGAATATAAGTGTAATATAGAACACAGATTGAGCTTGTGGGTATTGAAGCGAATGCTCGAAGGTGTGCTTTGAATTGATGAATGCCATAGGTAGAACCATCGCTCTTAAGTATCACTGAGCATACTGAGATGATCCTAAGTCCCGAGCATCCTAGGAGCATAAGACTTGGAACTATGAGGCGTAACTCTGTATCAGAGCCTGTTCTCCGCGATATCCAGAATGCAACCTAGGAAAGCATCGCAAAATCTTACGAAACGGAAGACAGTCCTTGGAAAATTTTCATGACGAGTCACCGAGCGTGGCGATTGTTAGCGACTGAGAGGCTGAGGAGAATACCCAATCCAGCTCGTGCGTCATAGGATATGGATGGACGGATCTGTTATTGACGAAGCTTCTTTGTGGCGTTGGCCTTGAGGACCGCTGTTGAGGAGATGTCTACCATACCAGGACGCGGATATGAGTCTTCATGACTCAGGATGGCTATAGTGGGCCTAGGAAAGGGAGCCTACCGTCCGGGCTGACGGGAACGCTAGCCGATGTCCATTGAATCGATGAGATAGCTCAGCGACACATAGTCTGCAGCGCCGCAGAGTTCGGATCCCAAGTGAAGTAGTGCCATAACACATCACAGGAGTCCAGGGAACTGTAACCTCAAAATCATGACCATCGATGGGGGAACACACATGAATCTCCAGAATCAGACACCAGATGTTTCAGCTACGTCTGACGGCGCAGCTGTAGGTCCTCGAGGGAGCGCTTCAATGGAGTGAGGTGATGGTCGGTTATGGCCTACCTCCTGCGAGTCGATGGACGGTCGCAACAATGACAACACGCGCTCCGACAAGTATATTTGTGTCGGAGGTCGAGTGAAGAGAGCGGAGCCAGCAGCGACCGATAATTGTCAGATCATAAATGAGTTTTCGATAGCCGCCAGTTCGAGCGTTCACGACATGGCCAGCAGAGCGTGTATTTGGGCATTGTATTTGAACGGTTCTAAAAGCCGAACCAGAATCTGTCGGATTAATAGCCGAAGGCGATCGTAAACGGTGTAAGAAGCATCGTAGTCTTGCCAACAGCCGATATGTTTCTGGCACGTATTGAACATGATCGTTCAAGAAGTTCAAAGCGTAATCGAGTTCCTAGGATCACAGCTCTGTGCGGTTAGATGGTAAAAGGAATGAGTCTATTTCGCTGGGACGCTCGGAATTTGAAGATGTTGTCGCTGAGAAATATATGACTTATCCTTCCTGTACGAGCGTATACAAAGAAGATCTGTTGGAGAACATAGTCTGGCGCTGTTCAGTGACCTCGAGGCTGTAAGTTGATCAGGCGCACCTATCCGAGCTTGCTTTGATAGCATCACCCCAAAGAGGCAGGTCTTTAAGAACAATCAGTTTGACAGTTGCGGTGTTACTAACGTCCGAGCAGCTGCTGACGGAGAAAAGCTCAGGCTATCAACCACTTACTATTAGGATATTCACCGGACCAGGATCTACGTGAACACAGCATGCACATATTTCGCGGTGTGGCGTGGATGGCGTATAATCCATTGCGAGCATAACAATGTTGCATTCGCCAATACTGGTGACGGTCGCCGCGGTGTGAATTTCTCCAGGGCAGTCGGAAATGTCAAGATGGCAGTCTTCCATTTCATTACTGGAAATTGGCCGAATACTCCAGTCATCCGTAACAGTCCGGCTGTCCTGCGAATACGCCATGATTAGTTAGTAGTCCACTGACCACTGTGGCAGAAAATATCAGCGAGAAAAATGTTGGACTTCGTAACCTGTGAGCACTGCAAGGAAGCACAGACGCCTTCGGTGCAAAATGTATAGGTATGACATACTAACAAGCAGACATGTCAATGGACATTTTACGACGGGCGCAAATGGTTACAGGCACCTGTCTACGTCATGCCCGAGCTGCACCATATTTGAGTACTCTATCTGAGAAGTACGCGGAAGAAGAGGACTTCGCACACTTGCTCCGGCATTGAAGCACAGCAACGGAGGTTCGTAAAAAAAATGCCTATTCAACCAAGAAATCAAACCAGAACCGACCAACTCCGCAAGTCGGCAACGCACTGATACAGAACAGCCCCAGTAATGCTGGGAACAATTAGCTGTTGAGGTCGAACGTCTGTCAAGCTGGCAGTGGAGGGTTGGTTGCGACGCTTGTGGCGGCGTGATTGTTTGCCCGGAGCGCACGGCCTGCTGAGATTGAAATATGCCGGACCTGAAGCGTGATGGCGGAGACCGTCTCGCCGGGGACGGAGGGGACCGCATTCGCTGGTGGAAATCATCAGCGGTGCCCTGGAGGTGACAGTGACAATCAGTCCATCCTCTCTCCTCCTCCCACCATCGTCCTCGCTGTCCTGGGCAGCCTCCTCCACCCCTTCACGCCCGTCGTGCTCGTCCCTGGCGCACATTTCCTCACTGTCCACCAACGTCGATAGTTCAGGGCTTACCGGTTGCATTCTCACGCACTTGCTTCCATCAATTTGGACTTCCTTTCCTCTTAACCTTCCTTTACCTCGTCTTACTACAGTCAGTTTGTTGCTGCGGAAAGCAGGAGATTTCTAAGCTTACAATCCCTTTCTTAGCCAACTCTCTCGACAGTCATCCCGTCTGTCAGTGTTTTTATTGCCCTTTTAGACGACACGAAAACATGTCGCAAGCACCACAAGGAGATATTCAAGAGCGCATCGCCGCCGCGAGACGAGAGGCGGAGAGCTTGAAGGAGCGGATTCGTGCGAAGAGGGAATCATCTGCTGATACCAGTTGTATGTGCTGCCTGCCTCACAATTGTGTTTCCACGTCTAGCTTACGCTGAATTCCAATCCCTCGTTTTCAGTGCGAGCAATGGCTGCAGAGGTTGATTCTCTTCCTCGGATTGTCATGCGACCTCGTCGAGCACTCCGAGGTCACTTGGCGAAAATCTACGCCATGCACTGGGCAACTGACCGTAGACACCTTGTTTCAGCTTCGCAGGATGGAAAACTGATCGTTTGGGACGCTTACACTACGAACAAGGTTCACGCGATTCCACTCCGATCCAGCTGGGTGATGACATGTGCCTACTCACCATCGGGCAATTATGTCGCTTGCGGTGGTCTGGATAATATTTGTTCTGTGTACAACCTCCATTCAAAAGAGGGCATGAACGTCAAGGGTGCTCGCGAGCTGAGCGCACATTCTGGTTATCTCAGCTGCTGCCGCTTCATAAACGATAGACAAATCGTCACCAGCTCCGGTGACATGACTTGCATGCTATGGGATATCGAAGCTGGTGTACGAGTAGTGGAATTCAGTGACCACACTGGTGATGTGATGAGGTAAGCACCCATTCGTGCTTTGACACCTGCAGTCCACTGAACGGTCATGATTAGTTTGTCGCTTGGGCCAAACCAGAACGTTTTCGTCTCTGGCGCTTGCGATGCTACTGCTAAGCTTTGGGATATCCGAAGTGGAAAGGCGACGCAAACCTTCACCGGTCATGAGTCGGATATCAACGCCGTCTCGTAAGCATCTCGTTTTCTAAGCAGGTTGTGAAGATTTATCATCCAATTTTCCAGTTTCTTCCCTAACGGCGACGCGTTCGCGACTGGTTCTGATGACGCGTCCTGCCGTCTATTTGATATCCGGGCTGACCGCGAACTGAATTCCTTCACACATGATAATATCCTTTGTGGTATCACCTCTGTTGCCTTTTCAATTTCAGGTCGTGTCCTCTTTGGTGGTTACGACGATTGGACGTGCAATGTATGGGATACCCTCAAGGGTGAACGTGTTGGTGTTCTTACTGGTCACGAGAACCGTGTCAGTTGCTTGGGTGTCAGTGCAGATGGAATGGCGCTCTGCACTGGTAGCTGGGATAGCACTCTCAGGGTGAGTTTCACTGTAACGGTTTCAGGTCAAATGGGCTGATGAACGACTTTTCGTAGGTCTGGGCATGATCCTGATACTTATAGATATCCCGCTATGTTACCATAATACCCTTCATCATTCATTCCCTCTACGCGCTGTCCCCCTCTCTCCGCTTTCTTTGACCTAGGGTATATCATGTTGCCGTCCTCCTTTTTTTCGGACGCGTTTCTAGTCAGTCCTTACAAGCATCCACTTGTTTACTCGTTTATGTCTCCTTTCTCGTCCTCTCAAGTTATGGTCGGAGGCGGCTCCTTTCTCTTTCTCGGTGGTGTTTATATTTCTCGTCTTCTTACCTCTCTTTCACGTTTCACGTCTCTGCTCGCTATTCTGCTTCTTGATATCAACGTAACTCGTAGCTAGGAGATCCATAACCTATGTTTATACAGTAGCGGCTCGAAATGCATTCTTGGATTGTCTTATTCTCGGTACGTTTTATGCGATTCCCAAGTGGACGCTTGTTCCACTTGCGATCATGACGAGGACAAGCAACGTGGATGTGATGAGTACAGTACTACTCACACGCGCTTGTTCGGCCTACTTACACTGCTGCGGTATCAGTGTCTCTCATTCCATCTACTTTGCTATTCTCTCTTAATTCACAACCATTCGCGGGTCGTCAGGGATATAGGAAACTTAGGACATCCCACGAAGTGTTCCTGGAGGACATCTAGTCAATATGTCGGAAGATGATCGTGCAGCAAAAGCAGCCCGAGCGCGTGCATTGGTGCGTCAACAGCTTGCATTCTGTCAACATACTTGTACTAATATCACACGTGTACGATTCATGTAGTTGAAGAAAAGACAACAACAGAAAGTTGGTGGTGCTTCTCCAGCTACGGATCGAAGTGTTGCTTCACCGAGTCCTCCGCCGTCTCGATCCTTCACACCGGCACCAGTTGAAGTTCACTCACCTGTACATACAGCGGATAGTAGTACAAACGGACGAAATTTAGGAGACCTGTAGGTACATGCCTTACCCTACATTGCTTAACGTTTGGTTCCGACGATATTTCGCAGCTTCTCTAAAGATGCTAATGGCAACGGCACAGCAGAGTCACATTGGCTATCATCGTTGGACCGCGTAGATGGTCCTTCACTGCCTACTCCTGCAACGTCACAACCGCCGCCCTCGGTAACGTCGCCATTGGCAGCCTCACAGACTCCACCAACGAGTCCTCCAGCTGCCCCAACCTCAAGCTCATATGAGCGAGACTTAGTACAACAACAGGCGAGGAAGATATCTTCGCTAGAGGCGGAGAAGAGATCTCTTTCCAAGTCTTTGGATCAGCACAAAATTGCGGACTCGAGTCAGTATCATTGCACAATATTGTGGATATGTCAGAATATCATCCGGCTAACGATGAGATGTAGAACTTCAGGATACATTGAAACAGTTGGAAGATGAACGAGCGAGGAGTGAAGGAATGCGAAGCCTTGTGGCGCGTGAACATGCAGAACTGCTTCAGCTCCAGCGGGACTATTCAGCACAAAGCAGCACAATTACCACGCTGAATGCAGAGAAATCCAAGGTTTCCGACCAATTCAAAACTCTTCAAGCCCAGGTGTCACGTATGTGCTCGTCTCAGTTCTATGGTGCAATGGAGCAAATCTTAACTTGGTGTATGCTATCAATAGAGTTGGAACAGTTGGCTACTCTGTACCAACGGGCGCAAGCTCAAAGCGAACAGTTGCAAGCGGCGAATACGCAAATCCAATCGGAGCTTTCTAAAGCATCACAGCAAGCACGGGATCAGCATTCGCAAATTTCTTCCCTGGAATCTGAGAAAGCCTCCTTGATTGCCAAAGTTCGACGCCTTGAGTCTGCCGAGTCCAGTGTGTATACAGTGTATGCCCTTTGACTAATCTTCTGATGACGAGGCATTTCACAGAGGCTCAGGAACTTGACCGGACTTTGCAAGAAGAACGGACTACTTCTCAGCAACTACAAGACCGCGTGCAGGAGCTCGAACAAGCCCTAGACGAAGTCAACAACCGTGTTGAGCAACAACAGCAAACCATCTCCCTGATTGTCTCCGAGAAGACTTCCCTTACTGCATCGCTCGAACGACTGCAGGATGCAGATACCCGTATGTATCATGTCTTTTCGCGCACGTTTGCATCATAATTATACTTTCATAGAACTCCAAGAGACAGCGAATCAACTGGAGAAGGAACGGACCAGGGCTGCAGATTTGCAAACCACTGTCCGTCGCCTCGAAGAGGAAGAACGCGATTGGACCCACAAGTTCGAAGAGCTCGCGACACGGGAGAAGGGGCTTGCAAGCAAATGTCACGATCAGGTACGATAACTGGTCTTCTTTATACCGGCCATTGATTTATGAAGTCTGCCGGCTGTACAGGAGCGGGAAATACAACTACTGACTGCTTCGTCAGATGATATCCGTGCTGAATCCGAACAGTTGCAACGTCGGATTCGTGAACTCGAAGAGCAGATCGAGAGCGACGACCGGGCGGAGCGTTTAGAAGCTACATTGCAACACACGCAAGACCGTGCGGCCGAGTTGGAATTGCAAGTGTCCAAACTTAAACAGGTCCAGTAATTATTAATTGAAGAAGTCATTCATTTGGCTGATGGTAGAAATTACCTCTAACTTAGGCTCAATCTTCCCTCAAGTCTGACCATGACGAACTAGAAAAGCAATTGCAAGTACAGAAACAGAACGAAGCAGATCTGGAAGGTCGACATGCTGAAACCATGAAGTTGCATGAGGATGCTCAACAACGATTATCTTCTCTTACGTCTGAGAGGGATCAGCTCCTGCATGGCAAGACCGATTTGCAACGGCAGATTGAAGACAGCCGAATTTCCCTTACTGAACTGCAGCAAAAGTTAGCTTCTACAGTCACAGAGCTTAACACAAGTGTCCGTACGTTACAGCAAACCCAGGCTGAACTACGGAATGCCAACAGACGCGCGGAGGAGGCGGAGAAAATCCAGAAGGATCTCCAGGCGGAGGGTATTGGGCTTATGCGCTCATTGGATGAGATGCGTCCCAAGATCGTCGAGCTCACCGACACGAAATTGGATCTCGGCGAGAAAGCTGAGTCATTGGAGAAGGGTCTCAAAGCTCGCGATGCCGTTATTGCTCAGCTGGAGGCTTCCTTGGACGAAGTTCGGGAGCAGAAGGCAGAGGCGGACAAACAGCAACAACATACTTCCGCTGCTTTAGAACGAGAACGTACATCTTCACATGAGAACTCAAGCGAGCTCCAGAAGGCATACGAGGAGCTTCAAGAGGAACTCAAGGCTGCTCGTACGAACCTCGAAAAATTCGATGGGGAACGCTTAGCGTACCGTGAAGCGTCCAATCGTCATGCAGAAGAATACGACCGTCTCACCTCTTCCCTCCAATCTCACTCGGAGCAACTAACCGTGCTGAGGACTGAGGTAGAAGAACGTACTCATGCACGGGAGGAAGCAGAAGATTTCCTGGAGAGGGCTCGCTCGGATATGGAGTCCTTGAGGGCGGAGCTAGCCGCGAAGGACGAGGAGATCGAACGTCTGAAGGAACAAGTCATTTCTCCTTCTTCACCAATGCCCTCAAACGGCCCACGTAATGCTTCTTCGAGCTCTCTGAATCAAGAGATGCTGAGCGCACTCAAGCAACAGCATGCCCTTGAGCTGTCGACTGCGCAATCTCAAATTCGTGCACTGGAGACAAGCGTGTTCCAAGCTGAGGCCAAGTATCACGCACTGCAACGACAACAGTCATTCATGGAGGAACAACTGGCCAGTTTCCAGCGTTCATCTTCCAGAGCGTCTCAACGGCCTGGTCTTCCAGTACGTACGAGCAGTCGTGGTGTACCGCTGGAGCATTCGGACGATCTCCGTCGTGCTTCATTCAGTTCACACCGAGTCGGCCAGACTGCTCAGCATCTCGCAGTCACCCCCGCCATCGACGGGCTCTCACCCGAAACTCGGCACAAGCGGAAAGTCAGCTTAAGCATGCTGAAGGCGCGGATTGACAGTGAAGTAGGCGCGAAAGTCCAGGCAAACTCGAGAACTTCATCGCCATCTCAGAAGCCTGTCAGTTTACCGTCTATCGTTGAGCCGCCCTCACAGCCTGGCAGTCCGCCACTAGAGTCTCAGCTGCCTCGGCGGGTACATACTCATTTTCTTGATGAGGCGCATGTGTTCTGGTGTAGCTCGTGTCATGGCGACCTTGTGGTTCTCTAGCACTCTTCTCTGTATTCTAGGTTCTCTCTATTTCGGAATGCGTTATGGAAATGCATGTTAATGTGGATGTCTCCTGGATGGAACTATGGTGTACAGTACTATTACAATGTAAGAGAGCGTGAAGAAAGAAGCAACCCATCGCTTGCGTCCAGCACAACGATAAAACCCACAGATATTACGAAAGCTCTAGAGTGTTATAAATGTGCCCTATTGTCCTAAAGGACAGTACATAAAACAAAGATTGAGGGATATGAGGAAAGGCAACAGTGCCGCCTAGATGAAGGTGTTGCGTTTCACCTTAAGCTTTCGTAGTTTCATCAGCAAGTCCTAAAGAAAAAAGAAAAAAGAAAAAGTGTTAGATACACCGTGGAAGGGCAAGAACAAGAGGACATACTTGGACTTCGTCAGGTTCCAAATTTCCTCGGCCACTTTCTTCTTCCAAGCCTTTCTCAATACTCTCAAGGATCTCGCTCATGAGCTCACGATAATCTACCCCAAAGAATTGCGTGAGCTTAGCAGCCCTCCGACGCCGAGCTTGGAAGTCTGAGATTTCGGGAGATGGTGTAGGTGTTATGGACATCAAACTAAACTCTGAACTGATGGACGTCATAGAGGTTCGAGAAGGAAGAGAGCGACGACGTTCCGCCTTGATTGAGGGCGAAGTGACAGGATTAGGACCATCCTGACGAGAAAACGTCTGCAGAGGTTGAGAAGAGGTGCTGCCATGAAGGTAATCATGTAGGTCTACAAGTGACTCCTTGTCATCCTGTAAAGCAATCAAACTTGTCAGTTGAGTTGCAACGTCGGTAAATGTTATTCTCAACTAACCCTGTCAATGATATCATTCAGAGAGTTGAGTGAATGACGATAGTGCAAATAGACGTCGGACAAAGCATGCGCAATAGGCGTATCCTCGAAGGCGGGCGTGGAAATAAGCGGTGTCGCTGAATCTGCTGTACCCGGTCGACGGCTCTTCTTCGCTTTGCTCTTGTTATAAGATGAGTTATTCAAATTACGCAAAGCAGAAGTGATAGGGCTCTGAGGTGGTGTCACCTGTCTCGAGGAAGACGCCGGCGCTGCTGGGGGTGAAGGAACATTTGCTGCAGTTGGCGAGGCTGTATGGGGACGGGTGTGATATAGGGTCTGAGGAGGAGCGACGCCGAACATCTAGGGTGCGCAGGGAAGGTGGATAAGAATGTCAGTTCATCAGATGCGGTGGCGCACATACCTGCTGCATCTTGACAGCCCGTCTGACGTTGATGGCCTTCTCCCTATCATTGAGATCTTCTCTTAGTCGATCAATGTCGTCTGACCATATCGCAGGGAATTCCGCAGCAGAAGAGCTCCTCCTGCGTCTCATCTTGGTCTTGCGCGTATCCATGTCGGGCTTAGTTGCTGGAGGATTTATAGCAGAGACAGACGCTACTGGAGGACGAGGTACGGCAGTGTCAATCTGGGCGAGAACCAGGTCTTGGGGAACGCGTGAGCCAAGGAAGCGGTGAAGCTTGGCTAACTTTTCGCGTTTGCGACGACGGTCCTCCTCGAGTTGTTCCTCTGGCGAGAGAAGTGAAGGAGTTGAAGGCGAGAAAGCAGTATATGTTCTATTCGCTTTCGGCGTCTCAACGGTGATGATCGACGAGGCTCCATCGTGCACGACTTCTTCATCTGACAGGTCCATGAACGACGTCGGAGACCCGGTACGCGGAGGTGATCCAATCCCTGAACGAGCAGCGCGCCGGCCGACGTCCGCCGACACGCGCCCTGCATGCTCGCTGTCTCTGTCGCTGTTCGCAACGCCTTCCTCAGATCCGACGTGGATACGATCCGTGCTGTCTCGGACATCGCCCGTGTAGGCATGTTCTACCTCCTCGGTGAAGGAGAACTCGCGAGGGCTCAACGGACTAGAGTGCCGCCTACTGCCGAATGAGAGATACAGTGTACCTTCCTGTGGGGGCCAGTTTGCCTGCTTTGACAATCCAATTCCCGTTGATGCCACAGATTCACCAGACACTGAAACAGCCCCTCGTTGATGAAGGTGCTTCTTCTTTGCCATGACGTGCGACCCAAATGCACCCGTCGGGGACAGGAAGCTACCCGAGGAGTTCGCTTCATACGAGTTTTGAGAAAACGCCATCGGTCCGGGTGTCTGTCCAAACACCTGCGTTAGCTTCTGCGTCTTACGCACAAGCTCTGCGCGCTCCTTGGGCTTCAAGATGTTGGTCGTCGGCGGCAGGTCCTTCCTCGTCCGTGCGGCGTTTGGAGGGATCTCAAGCGGTGCCGGGCGATGAGAGGACGGTTGCACAGACTGTGAACGTCTGAAGGAGGGCTTCGGGGAGGTAGGAATCGGAGGCTTGCTGGCCGGCAGAGGAGAGGTATGAGACTTGACTTTCGTAACATCGTGAGTTTGCATATTGTGCGGTGCAGAGTAATTAGAGGCAAAACTAGTAAAGTAGGGATCATTCATTGAATCATGAAGTGGATCATACTCTGGGGAACGAGGGGAGGTTGGCGAGGCCATGTCGATAAAGGAATCACGATCGCCGCTCATGGAGGACCTGCCTTGAAAATGTGTTGAAGAGGAGTGATAGTAATGATTGTCGTTGATAGAATGTGTGTAGGAGGACGAGCCGGGGTATATGGTGCTCGAGATTGAAATCCGTCCTTCCGAGGGCGTAGATGGTGGTTCGTGACTAGATTCAGACGTGGCCCGAGTACTGGCGTATTCGCTCGACCTCCTCCTCGTCGACATGGCGGCGGACTGGATTCCAGCAGAATCAATTTGTTGCTGCCGATGTGACAGCGGTCGTGACGCCCCTGACGGCCTCTCGGTCACAGATCGGCCTGTCGCCGTCGCGACGGCAGAGGCGCCCACTGATCGGACTCGGGTCTCGTCCCGTCGCGACTCGGACGACGCTTTACACACGGTACAATGTCAAATGTCTGGCTTCCAGCTGGACAGAAAATATCATAACGCACTACGGTCAGATGAGCTCGTGGACACCAGTTGTGTCGGGCTGTCCACCTGTTGCATCTCGGGATATTTATGTGATATATTGTTGCTTGGTCGGTAGGTAGAACTCGCGGGGGTCGCGGGTGTAGAATCAGAACGCTTTAATGGGTTCAAACGACCTCTGCCAAGGATTTTCTCAACCTTGGAAAACGAAGCGAAATAGCGGTGATGTTTTTTGAATCCAGCTGCAGGCGCAGTGGAAGGTGGTGGAAGTACTTCAGGTGAGGGAGGTAAGCTCGCCACACTTTTGTCGTTGGTTGTATGCGAAGAATCGCTAGAATGAGAAAGGGAAGGAGCAGGGCTGGAAGGAACAGTGGCGGGTTGTGAATAGGATAGAATGTCAGGGTCCGAATAACTTGTGCGATGATGGAGAAAGCTAGACGTGATAAAAGGATTCCAAGACGATGGTCCGGCAGACATCTCCCTGAAGGCGTTAGCTGAAATCGCCGGAAGAGGCTGTTTCGGTGTTGTTGATGGCAGTTTGGGAAGCCTATTATTTGCTCGAGGAGGAGGCGGCAGACCCGCACTAAAGCTTCCGGATAATGGAGAAGCCAAAGCTTCTTCTTCTTCCAATTGGTCCATGAGTGCTTGGAAGTTCACAATGTTCCGTCCGCGCTGGTCAGTAGTAGGGTCGTGATTGTCGTGAAGTGGAGAAGTCGCTTCTCCGTTCGTAGTGTGCATCATCGTCATGTCTGACTGCTCGCGTGTATAGGCTGTGCTGAGACTGTAACAAAGCTTAGAGATTTTACGACTTCCTCCCAACGTGCGGGGGGGGGGGGGGGGGGGGGGAAGAAAGAGCCTATGTAAGTGAGATGTGGTTAAGCCGACTAGGAAGATAAAAAAGAGACAGGTTGAATAGCATCGCATCCAATTACAATAGAAGTAATATGAAACCTTACTCGTCGGGACACAGCTCTAACGATTCGTCCTCTCAACTACTGTCCTAGCGTGGGCGCACTTGCGTGATCGTTGTCAGTAAAATGCAGGTGATGAGGACACAGCTCGATATAAGCAAACAGTTTCAATCCAGCAACCGACGCGGAGTAATCGAAACAGGCCCGATCATGAAGGAGGAAGCAAGTGAGACTCCTTCAGCACAGGGCGAAGGAGGAGGGAGATGTGAGGGAAAGCTTCAGTATATAGCTTTGCGTAACAACGGAGAGGCGCGCCGCGCCCAGCGGAAAATGATGGGATTTCATTTTTCTCATCCTCGAGGCCCGCTGTTGCTCACCGTCATCGTTCGGCCTCCATAGGAATCTTCTTTTCTGGCTTACAGACTCACCAATACGGTGCAGGATATCCTATTCCAGTGCAGAGAAGAAAGGCGACTAGGCGTTTGAGCGTGCCAAGCTTGGCACTTCCATGCCTCGCGTAACCAAGTCAATTATGTTCGATTACTCGATTGCTTCGCGGGATCAATTCCGATCCCTTTTTACCGACTATGGACATTTATTTAGTTCCGCCGTTCCAACTTGAAGCTGCAGAGCGTTTAACAATCGATCTCAATCGTACACATCCGTCGTTTGGAAATGCAAGCATGAAGCAGGACACGGTAATAGCACTTTGAGCTGCTTTATGTAAAACTAAATTAACACTAGGTTGATAGCAACGGGGACCGTTCCAGCAGAGCACTCGAATTCGTATCGATGAGATCGCAATAATGACAGCTTGACTGTAGCCGAAGCAGCGTGTTTAAGCCACCATATGATAGATGAACTATGGTATCCCACAATGATATCGTGACCGTGATGGACATTCAAAGCAAACTATGGACATGAAGAACCGCGATGTATGTAAATAACGAGAAATGAATGACGACCTGCAAATGATAGAAGTACACTATGCGACAAAAGAGTCAACCGGAACTAAGTTATCAAGAATGAAAGTGGAATGCAATGTTATGCAGATGCTTGTACTCTCCTAGGAGGTAATGCCGGTGGCTTCGGCGAGACATTCGCACCGGCCTCCACGGTAGAAAGAGCAGGCGTGGAAGCAGACGCAGTGGGAGTAGAACCAGGAATAAACGTGGAGGCTGCTGTCGAAACGCCATCAATACTGGAAGACACTACATGATCCGTAGCCTCTTCACGACGGCCGGGAGATGGAGGAATACTACTACTCGTCATCGGACCAATCGATTCTCGCTTGTTCCTGTCCTTCGACACAATTGACTGCAGCGCCGCTGATGCAGGCGATGTCCCTGGTTCCGATTCCACTGCACGAGATGATTCAGCTTTGGTCTGAAGAGCATGGGCAGTATTCGACCGAGGTGGTAAGGGAGGTGGAATTGGCCGTGGTGCTACTTCTGGTTGAGAGGAAGGACCAGATGACGTCGAAGGCGCAGGTAGAGCGTCTTGATCATTTCCTGCAAAACCTGTTTGAACCTGAGGCGGCGACTGTGGTCCTTGCTGTCCAGGTGCAGTGTTATTCTTCCACAGACGGTAGACGCTTTGAATGGCTGGTGCCTTCTTCGGTTCACTCGGAACGGGTGGTGGTGCATACCCCATGGACATCACCTCACCGCGGTGACTTGCGTGGATACCAGGGATTGTCATGGTTTTCGGTTGGGGAGGCCGTGTGTGTATCGGGATATCAGATGGATGCTCAACTTCGTCAGGCAAACTGCCGGTTGTGCCTGAGTCCCCTTCGGGGCGTGTATTAGAAAGACGAGAAGTCGTCCTGGGCCGAGGAGAGATAGGTAGTGAAGTATCTGCATGCACATCCTCAACAGGAGGTCGCGGTGATGTTGAGGGTGACAGTGATGCGCCACTGAGGTACGTAGGGGAAGGGGACCTGTGACCATCTGACGATACGCCGCTGCTACCCGGCCTAGACCTCGTATGTACTCCTTGCAAAGTAGCTTCAGAATCTGATGGTCCAAAATGGTCTCCATGGGTTCTTTCCCTTTCCTTCCGCTGCTCCACAGCTGCCCGAACTTCCGCGTAACTAGGCCTATGTTTCTGTGCTCCAGGTTCATCTGCATGTCGATGTTCTGCCTCTTGTCCTTCGTCACCTGATGAAGTGATGGTCGGCGCATTGTCTTTCTTAAGTCCACCCCAGTTGACACCCCATTTGCGCATTGCCTCTTTGGCAGTATTGCTAATAGCCTGCTTGTCACGAGACTTGAGCGTTTGAAAGAAAGTTGAACTGCCCAGGGGTCCCTCTTTCTTCGGGGCAGAACCTGAAGGGCTCCTAGAATGAAATGCGGACAGCAAAGAGTCTGAATTCATGTGTGTAGAAGCGTCCTCCACGGAGGAAGGTTCTGAGGCGGCACCATGTGTGGATGATGACTGTGACCGTCGCGAAGAAGTACGTCGAATAGGAATTGGCTTGAGTTGGCTAATGCTTTCGCCCTCTTGATTATGCGGCTGAGAAGCAGAGGGTCCTGCGCCGTTCCTATCATGCAGTGAAGGAGTCCGATGAGTGTTGTCTACACCGTTCTGCCTGCCTCGAGAATGTGGTTCTTCATAAGTATCGCTGAAAGGATCGTCGCTACTGGGTTCCCGCACAGCAGTCAACCATGACCGTCGCTTCGTGGATGTCGAAGACGACGAAGACGAAGAGTTCTTCATCGCTATGCCGGTAGCATTAAAGGTCACAGGACGTGGAAGAGATGCAGGTTCCACGATCTTCAGCGATTCCGATTGCGCTTCCTCTGCTGAGTGTGAACGATGGAGAGGCAGTTTCGGCTCAGGACTAGGAGATCGCAGAGGTGTTGTTGATTCGGTCAACGGTTCAGACGCAGGTACACGTTCTTCCTCATGTGGCTCAGGAAACAGCGATGGCGCCTTCTCAGAACGAGATGCCTCCGCATATATGCCCCCACGACGAGAATATTGTAAGCTCTCGAAGAACGCGATGTCGTCCATATTTGGCAGGACTACGGACTCTTGGATCTGCATAAGTTCTATAAGCTGTGATACGTGGTGCAACGGAAAAGATTTGTTACTCACCACTTCCTTTAGCCGAGACTCGATTGTACTGAGGATCATGCTCCAAGTGATCTGTCGATCACTCACAACAGGTTCCACGTCGAGAACCATTCTCGGCATTGTCGTGAACGCGTACCAGAGACGATTACTCGGAGGGCGCTTCACCTTGACCAATAGGTTCCCTTCCAACTCGCGCAGAACTGCAGCAAGCACAAGCTTGACAGCGTAAGTCTTGAACCTTGCACCCAAATTAATGGTAGCAATAGCCTCCACCGTTATCCGAATTTCGCCTTTGTAGTGCAGGTGTACCTCCATTGATGCATCCCCCTCCTTCGTCAATTCTTTCAGCATAGGTTTACTGAGAGTCGGCGCCTTGTCCCCTACGGATACTTCGCGTACTACGATATGCGTTAGGAATCCAGGTCGTTTAATCTTTGATAGTTTCTTCATCAAACGTCCTATGATGTACGACTCCAGGGTCTGTGTGCGATAGAAACTAAAGAACAACCGTCCAAGGATGGCATTGAGCCACCGCATTGGAATCACATCAGGCTGTTCATCTAGGGTGTTCACTAGATGATTCATATCCGCAGGTTGGAAGACAGGCGAAAGAGGGGCTAAAGTGGGAATGTTAGCTGGATGGTCCGACGCGTGTACCAACGTATGATACCAATCCTCCATCTCAACGTTTGACCGAACGAAGATGAACCATGGCGTCGAGATTTCGAGGGCTTGTTCCCGAGCTTCCTCGCGTTCCGCCTCAAGTTCTTCTAGCCTAACCCGTTCCTTCGCCTTGTGTTTCTCGCTCCCAGATTCGTCAACAGTAAGTTCTTCGTCCTCAGTAAACTTCATCTCCCTCGTGACACTTGGCATCTCGTTATCCGGAGGCGGAATCTTGGGCTTCAGACAGATAGCATTCCGCTTGGCGAAGAGTTCACCGTCCGGGAGACCTTCAGGGTATATGACAACGTCATGTCCACCAAGTTCAATAGCGGCTTCGCATTCCGTCATAGTTTCATCCTCGTAGAGATAGAGTATCTTGCCCTTGAGCACCACATACCACATACCCTTTGGTCTCGAACGTTTCGGATCTTTCGACCTTGCGTCCAAGAATCCACGTACAAGTCCAACGTAAGATGCATCTGTCGGAACCTCCTCGAAGGTCCTACGAACAGTAAGCCAGCCCTTGCGTGGCTTCGGTAAATCGTTCGTATCTGGAGTGGCGTTCGAAGTGAGAGGTGTGCCTTGTGACGACTGATCCTCCTCCTGCGACTGTCTTTCTAGCTCCCCTCTTCTGGCTTTGGAGACATCGAGATCACCAATTGGGACAGCAGTGTAGAGGGTGTAGAAAATGATCCCTAGAATCACAAGTGGTATGAGAGTGATACCTCCAAGAACATATGCGTATATTAAAGCTTTGAAGCACATATACGGTTGCGAAAGTCGTCAAGGGGGAAAGAACGGCGAAGATGATGGTGGCGAGTGGATGAGTGTCGGCCTTGAGCCAACCTGGTGTATGTTAGGTGAAAGAGACTGGATTGGGGTTCATGACAAGCAGACGGTTTCCTCCATGATCGGCGCGTAGAGGAGTTCTACCACGTGTATCTCGGGCGCTACCCCATGTTCCCGTTCAAGCGACTTCGATTTCATTATTTCTTCAATTGAAGCTCGCTTCGGTACATCTCGAAAGGGGTTTGGAACTACAACTCTGGATCACATTTGTTCCGACTATGCAAGGACGAGTCCCCGTTTCTAAGGGGGGAATATTTGTAAATGGTTGAATAATATTTGCCAATGTTACCAACCTGTACCGTAGCGACTCGGCGTTGGATGTGAGTACATACACGAGCATGCAAAAACGTACAATACATGATACAAATATCTACATATAAGAATATATGGTGGACCGCAACAAATGAAAGTTGAACAACCGGCAATGAACCCAACTTCAATGCAGCCAACAAACCGCATCGCCAGCTTTAAGGCCTTTTAAAAGCCTGACGCTGAGAGGTTGTTCTCCGGGTATTTGATGCGTGCCGAGGCCTTGCATCCCAACACCCCTTCCGTCTCCTAGCCAGGAGAGGTCTCGAGAACATACCCTTTTGCATCTGCTCTTCTGGGGTTGGGAGCAACGCTTTCCAATGTCCATTCACGAAACTCCAGTGCTCGACAAACGGCAATGGTTTGGCCATCAGTGGTGGAAACACGTCGTTGACAGCTGGGTGCATAGGTACTGAAAGCCGATTACCAAATGCCGCGTCTTGGTATGGCACCCAACACGAGCGGTCCTGTTCTTGGGTGGAACATGGAGTGATCACAATTGTAGGCAACTCAGGATTGAGACTGCGTATTGTGAATGGTTCGTTGGGATCCTGTCAATAGTTTTAAGTAACGTTCGGGCAAGCCGTTCATACTGGTGGCGCGCAGCACTTCCTCATTGATGTACTTACCCACTGCAGCTCCTCATGACGGAACATCTCAAAGATGTCGCCTGCCTCATGTTGTTGCGACCTTGTAGTCCGTACGCTCATTGAACAGTCCTGCCATTCACGTCAGAAAGGACTCGGTCACTTCGGCAGTAGCCGTACCTCGTCATTGGCTTGTAATTCAGTAGCATAGGCTGCTTCCAGTTCAGAAAAAAGCTGAACGAGATGTTCTACATCATCATGCAGAGTCTTCCGTACAGCGGTGCAGAGGGGTGAAACAGTCCGCGCGCAAGTATGTGCGACCTGCGCCCAATGAATGGCTGGTATGGAGTCTCGGATACCATCAACATTAAAGTACTGTAAACGCACATGAGTATATAGAAGGTTTAGCGGAATCATTGTAAAGATCTCACGATTATAGGTTCTGTCTGTTTGATGCTATAACTAGCTGTCGAACCTGAGCTTCCGGAGTCCAATGCATTCCTCAAGAACGACAACATGAGGGGCTCTCCAAACTTCCTTTAGTTAGGCTAAAAAGGGTATGAAATAGTTCATACAGGCCAGCAAAGGCGGATTGGAAGCGGTTGAACCACGGTGAGCATGAAAGGGAGAGAAGAGTTCGCCTTCGTCCAAGACGGCAACGACCCCAATAATCCCCTCCCGAATGACTCCGGCTCTGAAATTAGCCGGGGCCGAGTGATCGAGATCGTGGGGTTAATGTGGGGTACGATCTCTTCAAGTTAGCTAGCAGTATTAGGTAGTATTTCTTTCCCATTTACTTCCGCGACATGCCCAAAGACCAGAAACGTGTTGAAATTGCAAGAAAGTACAGAACGAGTGTGCCACGTAATATACATGCAGGTATGAGGAAAGATGAATTGCAGATAAGTTAGATGAAATGCATGCATGAATGAGGGAATGGCCTAGGCCTCGAGTCAGGTGAGAAATGACGAATAGGCAAGAAGAGCGAGATAAAATATTCGCGCATGGTGAACGTAAGGACGACCAAACGACCGAAATGATGATGGGAAGGAAGTAATAGCTATGCTGAGCAAGCTGCGAGCTTGACTGAATCCGACACCGGCTGGAACAGGAGAGAGCTGGAATCTAGCGTCCCGCATCCCTTCCCTGACGCCGACCCAAGCCAACCACAGTAATCACTATCTTCCGCCATATCGCCACTCTCAGAAAAGCAGTCCCCGTGATCATCTTCGTATTCCCCGTCTTCTTCGGTTAGGTCATCAACTTCCTCTTCCTCCATAACAATATCCAACCGGCGGTGGTGGGCGGAGTCAGATTGACAGGGTGTGTTATTTGGGTTCTTCGGCGTGATGTATTGGTCCAAGTCGATAGTTGGATCGCACTGCCATCGAGGTATGTATGGCCGATGCGGACGCGGAGCATGAAGCATGGGTGCTGGTTGGACGGAAGGAAGTGGCGGTAATGAATGAGTTTCTGAGAATGCACCTAGTGCATTCTGAGAAGCCGGCTGCTGTAGTGTCTGGACGAACCTCTGCGCCTCTGCTGGATCTTTTTCATACAAAGAAAGATACTGATGGAGCTCATCCAGGGACGCCATTTGCGACCAAGAAAAAGTTGCCACCTCAGGTGATAGCATTCCCAAGGAGCCTGACAACTGCGAATTGTTCTGATCAGTGCTACAATGGAAGTTGTTGTAGCCATCGCTGAACCCTGTATACGGATCATATGCAGGGATCTGTTGGAAGTTCGAACCACAAGCATCAGGTTGGACCTGATATGATTCAGGAAGATATGCAGGGTCCGGGAAAGATGACGAGCAGCTTGAAGAGCCTCGAGACAGTGATGGAGGCACTTGTGGCGAGAACGAGTAGTAGCTGGACGTCGATGGAGAGTTCTGAGGTACGCCGTCCCATGATTCAAAGTCATTCGTCGTTAGGTCTAAGGGCCATTGCGTCATCATATTGGAAGACGACGCCGAAGTAGGTGAAGCAAAATGTCCAGCATACTCAGAGCTGGACATTGTGCAAGATTGAACTTCGGTGTGCCACTGCGAATCTGTGACTGAGGAGGTAGAGTACGAAGGCGCCGTCATAGGTACGCCCATCGTAGGCACGTACTGTGTGTAAGTTTCATTGTAGAATGGAGGGTAGGTTTGTGTCATCTTCGTGGAGGGATGAGGGGATGCAGTTTGGCGGCGAAGGTTGAAAGACGAAGGTTGATTCGAACCCTCGGTATAAATACCATCATAATTGACGGATTGGCGACGGCGAATGGCCTCGTTGCGAATGTGGGCCCTATTCGTGGCCAAAGCAATTGAAACCGCGGATCCAGATGCACTGCGTCCTTGAGAATCCAGATATCGCCTGCCGAACGCGCAGTGTGGATAACCCTTCCGATCGCAGGTAAAGTTGAGCGCCTGTGGATATATCAGGTGAGATCAGCCCATTGTAGATGGAGTTTGGATGACCGGTGGCACAGTTGGAAGGGTTCACAATAGGTTTACACAAAGGAAGTGCTATCGAAGGGTTGGTAACCTTCATCCGAACAAGTCCGCGACTGTGCGACGGATGCACAAGAAGCGACATAAAAGGGGATGATGGGTCGGAGATGATTCAGAAGAAACAAACACGCACGGTAAACTCGTGGCCACGAGACCACTTCCGCCCTTTGTTCTCATCTCTCAGGCCAGCGTAAGGAACATCGATATAACCTTCCTCATGTCCTACTGGCCCTTCCGATGTGAATCTTGATGCTTCTAGCGACACGCTGCGTTTTGTGCGCTTTGTCGGTGGCTCATTCTTTGTGGCTAGAGCAATGGTATCAAATTGTGAACGTGTTCGCTTGGTGGGAGTGGCAAGCCAAGTACAAGTCATGGCGGGCCTTCTGAGATATTTGGGGAGTCATTTGGCAGAAGGTACGCGGTGATATAAGTCAAAGCCCTGAGCTGCGGCGTCAAACGATTAGTTGACATGATTCAGATGAACACTGCAGTGACACGGGACGCTGTTCATCGCTGTTACAGTCGATGCTAATCGTGGATGCGAATTGTTTGAGCCCCACCCTGAGTGAATCAATTTGTGGCAACGCCGAGTCGCAGTGACAGACGGGAATCTTCCATCCGGCGCCGTATTAGTGTGCATGCCACTCACGGATATGTTACACAATAGATAGTTGATCACCATCACCCTGGACATCACGATATCGCACTATTGTAGGCATGGTGCCTGCAAATGGGAGATTGTCCGGCCTGCATACCGAAACCCGTACAGTCCCTATTGTATCATAGAATGGAAGCAGCAATGAAGCGATGTATAATTGACTTCTTCGTTTCAACTTAGTGTTCGCAACTCGCAAGAATTAGGACAAAAGCTGCTGTTCTTCAGGTACGTCGTCAAAGTAACTACGTTCATTCTGGTTTGTGGAGCGCAACCAGCGACTACGTAAGTTGTCAGTTCTGCGGATTGATGAACATATGTAATGACAGAAAGTGGGACGCACCGATGGAGTATCCAAGGTATACAATTTTGAAATCAGACCGGTGAAAACACCTTCATTGAAATAGATCAGTTGTTGGACATGTTCATTCATCGTACCCTTGTTCGAGGAGAATTCCCAGATGGCCCGCATTTTTTGAAGAGCCTCTTGCATGGGCTGACAAAGAGGAAGAATATCTCGAATTGGATCAGCCCGGTGCCAGCAAGCTTCAAAGGCAATCTTCAGAAAGTCTAATGCAGTATGTCAGGATTTCTGTGCTCGGAACAATAGATGCATGACCAACTGACAAAAATGGAATTCGTCATCTTCAGGATAACTCTCGGCTGCCTTCAGGTACCATTCCGCTGCCGCCGAGTAGTATCGCATAGCAGTTTCCGGATCCGTTCCACGGCATGCGTGAGCTCTTTCCATGTTTACGAAGCCTAGGGTACTTCAAGGCTGTCTGTCACCATGCTAATTAAAAGAGGTAACGTAACTTACGAATATGCTTCTGCTCTCGGGTAGACAACAAAGGAGTAGTAGAAACCCCTGTCTTGGACATACTCTTCGTTGCCACGAGGCCAGTTGTCACTGACCTCCTTGACCATCGCGAGAGCCAGAGCTTCTGCCCTGTCGAGAGTATACACGCTACCGTCTCCATGGTCCTTTACGCCCTGTGAATCGGATTCAATGAAAAGAAAAACAGTATAACGACGACATTGGAAATGTCTGAAGCGAACAGTCAAGACTCACCATAAGATATGCACTCAGATAATACCTACGAACGCCTCTCACGAAAGTGTTCTCAAAGATTGCGCCCCGATCATCCCTCGAGACGTCTCTCCACTTCGTTTGCCCCCATTCTAGTAACGTCAGAGCGCTGCCATAGAATTGTGTCGCCACTCGGGCATTACGGCGAGCTCCTTCCTCGAGGAAAGCCCGCATGAACCAGGACCTACACATGCGACTTAGATCAATCACTAGGTAACCGGAAATGTATGACACGTACCTCACAGTGATCGCCAGAGCTTTGCGAGCTGTGTCCCAGCCCTTCTCTCGTAGGGTATTCTCCGCCTGGCGCTTGGCATGTTCCACACCGCCATCTACCCAGGCTCCACTTTGTGTAATCTCAAATGCAACTATGGAAAAAGAGAGTGAGAAACCTTCCAGCGCCACCTTGCTGAAAATCACATTCACGTTGGTTCCTATATTGATCTAACCAATTCGCACCATCCATATGGAACACCCTACGGTCTCGCAAGATACCATTAGTGATATCAGCCAGGGCCTATAGGAATGAGCGTGACTGCCTCAGAGGGTCAGAGTATGGCACCCTACCCCATAATGTCCATATGCGGATCTATTTGGAAGAAGTCGAAGCGCTTTCATTGCTTGCACACCTTCATTAAACTCCTACATAAATCGAAGAATGAGCAAGATGTTATCCTGGACAGGAGTTCTTCCGACCCTGTATGCTGGAACAATAACCCAAGCCTGAAGAAAAGTTCATCATGGGGAACACTGACATGAGGAATAATACGTCAGTAACTCACGCTCGAGTCGGCAGTCTGAGTTCTCTCCAGCTCAGGCATGAGGGCCATTGCCCTATTCCACGGCATTTTGCTGGGATCATTCATGCTAACAAGGTGCGGGTTGGATGACTCGCCGGAGACCTGTCGTGCGTGAGCATCTTCAGCAGCTTTCAGACCTTCTTCGAATTGTTGCTTGAAATGTGCATCTGTAGGTGACAACTGAGAAACTGAGATTACAGGAAGTGTCTCCAACGCTCGCTTCCAGGCCTTGATACTTTGATCATATTGCCACAACGCCTGTTACAGGATTAACATCCAAAGCGCCTTCAAGCGACCTCCACTGACATGCGTGGCCTTCGCAAGACGAGCCCAAGCTTTTGTATAGCTTGGGTCAATCACCACAGCCTTCAACCATTCGTACATCAGTAATCTAGTCATTGTTGGATCGAATCACTTGCCTGGCGGGCATCACAAGCTGCATCGAGATAACTGATAGCATAGTGGTCATTGACCTCTAAATCCTATGAGATCCAACGAGCCGAAGCTCACTTTTTCATGGATAGATGGCTCGCCGAACGGTTTGCGTACAAGATGGCGTTACCCTGGTCAAGTTGAATGGCTTCCGTATACTTGAGGATTGCATCCTCCAGATGTCCTTGAGTATGGAAAGCGTTCCCTTCAGCCTTCAGTTTCTCCACACTGGTTTTAGTGTCGTCTAGATTTGACATGGTGATTGGAATGAAAGTCTCAGCTTCAGGAGAGACTGAAAGCTCGTCAGAGCTGATATTGCGCCTTCCAGCAGCGTACAAGGGGGTCGGGCCCTTCAGCTTATGATCGTGGGTGATCGGAGGATCATATTTCAAGTGCTGTGAACTGAGCCGGCCCACCTCACGTAACGTGTGAATCGCACCTGCAATGTTCAAAGCAAGCAAAACGAGGGTACGTCGTCGCTCATTATATGCGCGGAGAAATACAAACGATAAAGATCCTGCGATGTATTCATGCCATCCTCAATGTTGGAGCACGACGGAAATTTACCTTCAAGCTTTGACTTTGCATCTTAGAGAGGTCACCCGGACGCCCACAGAAGACGAAGGATTGATTATGATCCTGGAAATAGAACTACTAGACAATATGCTCCTAAACAAACAACACTTGCCCCTTGCGTTTGAAGCCAGCGGCCCGTGGATACAACCAATGAGTGAGAACGAAAGGGAGAGAGAGGTGTTAAACCATTCCATCAATATTGCTGCTCTTGCACAAAGAAGAGGATAATCCTAGACTATCCTCCAAAATAGTACGCCTGTACACCGCGAACGAACCGAACTTACAATGACTATCCACCACCTCATCCAGATGTATCCTAATCAACTGTTAAACGAACACCTCGAACATAGCCCTGCATACGTCCGAAGTGGTACACCTCGCGAGGGTGTTTACTCTGCAACGACCAACCCGCTCATAGCCCTCGTTACATCTCCAATTCCATGGGTGGAGGGACCATTGATTACACGAGGTGGAAGTCCGGGGTGTCGGATGCCTAGCGCAGCGCCCACCATTCTCTTGCCTGGGTCACCAATACGAGGCGCACCGTGCTCTGGCTGCGCAGCGAGGACCGCGGGATCAGAAGCAGTTGGGTCAACACCAAGAGAGGACGAAATAAGGGAGTTGAGTGTGGGATGAGAAGGAATGTCAGGGAGTGTAGGTGAAGGCTGATCGCGGTCGCGAGGGGATATACGCTGATTAGGTTCAGTGATACTGGCGTTTCCGTTTACGACGGGACTAGCAGCAGCGCTGCTGTCGCGGTTGTTCCGGAACGACGTGCTGACAGAGATGCCTCGACCATGAGATACGGAATTGCGAACATTGTGTCCACGACCATTACTGCTATGTTGTCGTGCATTCACCGTCTGAATGACGGACTGGGCATCAGGTCCATCATAAGGTTTGATAATCGCAGTTTGCGTCGAGTTGGGAGATGAGAAGACGGTGGGCGGGAAGGCCAGCGTTTGGAGGTAAGCCCGTTTTGCTGTCGAGAGCAGAGATGTCATCATTCAGCCATGTCGCAGATACATCAAAGAGTGAAAAAGGCGTGGTCGGAGGCATGCGCTCGGCTAATTGGTAAATGGCTCCCCCGCGGACGATGGAGAAAATTGCGCGAAGGATAAGGATACTCACCAACGGTAGCATCGTTGAAGACAATCAACAAGCTAGTATCATCTATCCACTTGATCTTGAAACCTCCATTCACGTTCTCCCACTCCGAGAAAGCAGTTTGGATGTCTCTGGTTTTGAGCTCCTTCGGGAAGCCGGTCAGGGAAAGAATGCGAGTGACGCATGCAGAGAGTTGGGAAAGGGCTGCAGCCATGGTATCGTAAAGGTTGAAAGAAAGCTTTGAAGTGCGGGATTCGGGTGGAATGCACGAGCCTCCTGGGGCAAGCGTATGAGGGTTGTCAGGGGTGAAGTTAAATGGGCAAGTATATGTAACAGAGGGGAGGGCCGGGCTTTATGACAAGGAAGAAAAGCGAGTGTTGGTGTTGTACAGCAGGGAAAGGATATATACGTTAGACACTAGAGTTGCAAAGCGCAAGTGGAAGACCGAAATCAAGTCGCTGGCGGTGGCTAAGGCGCCTCGCGTAATCCATCCCCTTCCAGTCCGCGCACGCCTGCCCTAAACTTCACTCCCCGTCCTAATTTGGAAAATCAGGTTCGCGAAGAACATCCACGAAGCAACCGGAATTGCGTCTAATTTGCGCATGAAATATCTGCAGTAGTCTATCTTGTCCATCAATTTGATCTAGCACGAATGTCTACCGCTTGTGTTCGGAGTACGAACAACTTCAGCTTCAGGAGTTGAGACCTGAGCAGAGTTCCTCAAGGCCACATTGGCTGTATAACCATGGATGCTGTGTGGCGGGTATCTGCCGCTGTTCTGCGACAGCAATAAATCACTACAATACCACTGAGATATTGCTTCTTGTATGTATACATAAGTCTGCGTCTACATGAACAGGTGGCAGGTGTTGAGTATTTCAGCATGCATACGAAATCATTACTTGTGACGAAGACATAAATGTTTTTCTGCCGAAATATAATCCTTTTTGAACAAGGTGAACTTGACTTTAGGCACTAGGCTTTAATGATGTTTGCTTGTATCCGTCGAAATGCTTCTTCAGTACAGCTTGTTGGAGTCGATCCACGTGACCTTCCATAAAAGGAATAGAGGAGCTTGCCGATTATGGTCATAGACGCCCTTACCTCTCAAGAGCCAGCTTATGGCTTACGCTTGAGCCCTCACCAGTCAACGTCCCCAAGAACGCATATGGTTCGATGTATGTATCGTGTTTCCGTATAATAAAACTAATTGTCTCCGTTCTGATTCCTTTTGGGTACATTCAGTCGCCATGTATTACGACATGGAGAACGATCTCATCAGGGCCTGGCAACTCCTTCTGGACCTCAGCGATCTGAATGCTCACAATCAGAAGGTTGCGGCGGGTTTGAATAATATTGCTGCAGGATTGAAGGTGCGTCAGAGATTCTGTTGGATGTCATATCATGATTATAATATTAATTCAAGTGAGTTTGTGTAGACAAAGGCTGAGGAAGTTTCGAGTGGCTTCACGCTACGGAGGATCAATACAGATATTTCCAAAGGTACGTCTTACCCTTCCGTGTGTGTGACATCTTGTTGAACACCTACAGAGGTCTTCGAGTCTGAACTGGAACGTACCAACGCGCAAATCATTATTGAGAACCATACCCTGCTTCACGAGAACCGCCAGCTCAGTTCCCTTCTAAGGGAATACGAACAAACTATGGATACCATAATGTCACGATTCCGAAGTCACGCCGTATGTTCTTTACACCCTCTCTTCTGCATAGGTCGATGACGCATCAGATATCTTAATACAGCACGCTGCGCACCAACACGAAGTCACGTTGACACGGCACTACGAAAATCTCCTTCTGGCACGTGAAACATCATCTGTACAAGCGGACCTCAGATCGAATGCGTCAATATCCAGTTCTTTACAACGGCTTGCTCAGAACCTCCGAAATCTCATGCGTTCCATGGCTGGAGAAGACCCCGAATCATCCTCCTCACATCAAGCACAAACACTGCAGCAACCATCGCTTCAAGTACCTGACCCTCAAAAAGATTGTTCACCATCAACATACCCACCACATCCATACCCTGAAACCCAAGCACATACAGATCAACCCACCCCCTCGGACATCAGAGCTTCTTCATCTTCTGATGGACTCACGCAAGAAGACGAATCCCTACTCTCCCTTCTTTCCTCTCAATCTGACTGGGCGCTCGAACGTGAAGCTGAAATCGCGCGTCTCGAAGCCGAGAATGAGCACCTCCGCAGTCTACTTGGTATCAATCAAGCCCACGCAGAGGAACGAGGATGGACACTGACAGAAGCCTACGAACTCGATACCATCTCTCGATACGAACCTATACCAAAGACTTCCAAAGATCAAGGTGACGGTACGACTTCGCGGGATAGTAACGGAGGGAGTCAGAGGTCAGACAGCCCTGGATTGAGCATGATGTCGAATATGAATATGGGGCCGAGGGAACAACCACCATTGAGGTCTCCGTTTGATGGATTGGAAGATGACGATCCTCCGGCGCCAGTACCTGTGCGACTTGGTTCTCGCCTGAGGATACCTCCCTTCGTTCAACATCTCTTGGACCCCCAGGTCCAAGTGTCGATCTCACCCAATGCGACGTCTACTACAGGAAACCTAATTCACACCGCACTGGGCGTATCCTCCCAGGGAAATGGGAACGGTGGAGACTCATCTTTGCCTGGCGGGCGAGGATCTCAAGGAAGGCGAACGGCGATGTTCGGCGGTGGCAACATTGCGAACCGTGGACGAGGTTCAGCGTTGCAGTTTCAGAGGGAGTATGCTGAGATGGAGGCGGGCATGCCGCAGAGAGGGCCTCCTCCACCTCCGTTCACGGAAAGGAGTTGGCAAGCTCAAGCTGGACTTGATCTGAGTTGAGCGTCACCTAATGTTGGGATGAAGCGAGCAAGGAAGTTGTATTTTATCGTATTATTACTGTTTTATCTCGTCGCAGGTCTTCAATATCTATCCTTTACTCCCGGAAATCGCATAATACTTTATTCAAGACTATTGCCTCAGGCTATAGAAATGTTGGACGCTGACCTCAATTCTTATAGGGGACCGTGATAGGCCGCTCTAAATCCTGATTATGCTCCTTCGCCATAACAGTATCAGTATGTACCTCATTCCCGTACCATCACTTTTGCCTGCTGGTTTCTAATGACAATACCAGACATCCCACTCATCTGCATGTACACTCGAAGCAAGCGGATTCGGATACATGTTTGCTCCTCTCTCCTCTCTAATCGAGCGAAACGTCAGACAAGGTACCCTCATTCACTCGCCCTCCTGGCTTTATGGTTCCATTCTCGTTTTTCTTCCTCGGATATTAACAGACGCTATCGTGGGTCTCCACTTGCAGACTGCTAAAGTTTGAGGTCAATGTCCCAATGACTGAACTTAGCCATTGCACGGAAGACGCTAAACCCAGTCCGAATAGAGCATATGAACAGTGGACGCTTCCAAACTTCTGCAAACTTTGTGCTTACCTCCACCTTCGGGGTTTAGAGTAGGGCAGACCCTTACCAGGCAGCCTCGGTTTCTGTTGCCGCTTTCTATTTCAGAACCCTTTAGTTTAGCATCATCTCTCTGATTTTGCACGTCATTCATACCTAAGAGCCACGGGTCCTCCGTTGATTCTCAGGCACAAATCCTCGTCGTGCAAGCTTTTGCGGGTCGGCATGCAGCGTGGTATGCTCTCCATTCATTAAGGTGAGTAGTTGTTTGCGTCTTTATCTTGGAACGCCTGATGCGATTTCTCATCTATGATCTTGCATTCGTTATTCAGGTGTTAAACCTCAGGAATCAAGGGTCATTAGGAACTCAATTCCATGGTCGCAGTAGGTTCCGCCTAAGTTCTATTACGAAAACAATATTGAAGCTTGACTACGATCTTCGCGCCCCTGTATTGCTCTTCGCTGGGGCGCTATCCGAGTCGCTGGCACTCAGTTGGTCGATATAGGTACGCTTAAGGCGTTCACAAACACGCCTGTAGTCGGTAAAGTTATTCTTTGGGAAGCCTGGGTTATTTGCTTTTATATGGTGACAGCGGTACCCGTCTTCGGCGCTTACTCCTGGTTCATGGTGGGGACCCGACAAGTTGTTCGAACATCATGTGGACCTTTCTTTCATCAGAGTATCCGGTTTCATGTCCTAAGCTTGAAGCGCTTCTCGAATGTGTGAGTTTATCCTTGTCGACATTGCTGAATTACACTGATCACTTCTCCTTGAGAGATCAGCGTGCTTTAGTCACGTTGGATGGATCGTCAGAACCCCGGTACTCAACTTTCTTGTTATTGGGAATGGTTAATATTCCCCGTTCGCATTGAATTGTCGAGTCCAGCTCAGGCAGAAGAAGCCAATCTACACCGTCCATGTGACAGAACGGTGTACTCACCGTGGAGTTCATTGAACTTTCCTTCTACCGCCAAGGACTAAGTTCAAGGGCACATACGCGGGCCAGCGACTAGACAAGCGTTCCATACATCCTCTCTACAGTTCTGACCGCTCAATCGGACGTCGATGCGCGTGATAAGGGTCGATGAATAAAGTCCGGTTTCTTCTTTCAGCTGTGGACACTGCTGAACTTTCCATCACATAGGACGACTAGATTCGTCATCGCGTTATTCGCTTGATTCCAATATCATGGTGGTAAATGTAGACTCCTCCGGACAGGCCTTAATTTACGTGGATTCGCAGGAGCTTAGCACCGTGAACGGGAAGGCAACCCCACAGTCGGTGGTAAGTTCAGCCCCCGAATCCTTTTTATCCACTGTTCTAGTTAATTACTTGCTAAGCTTGTTCGGGTTGAAGCACCGAGTCCACCTCTCACGCAATAACAAAGTTGTACACCTATATTGGGTTGCGGTCCAAGCCCATTCTTTCACGATGTCAGAACCATATGCATTGTGTTTGTCCAAACGTCTCCAACCTCACATCCGCCCTTGACCCACATCATCCGAACGGCAGAAGGTGAACGAAATAGTGGCTTATTGACCAAGCGTACAGGACCAAAGGAATAGGTTTTCATTTCTTCCCCTCCAACGTCAAACTCTACTGCCTCATGTAGCCTTCTTGAATGGTCCCAACCATATGCATCTCGGAGCATGCTCAACCCTTGACGCCATCGTGTGATGGGAGAAGGCATGCTGGTGGTGTAAAAGAAGGCCTACATGGCTGTCAGGCATCCTCAGACTGAACAAAGATTCGGTCTACCCTCACTCGCGCTTTTCTTCTCTTCCTTCAGAGACTATTATCATGACACAACCCCTGCCTCGCCAATTCAATATCCAGTCCTTTGCAGACCCTGGCGCATTTGCAGGCGAGCGGCGCATTTTAACGTCCGAGGGAGTTCAACTCCAGGAGCCATCGGCATCTGGTGGCCCACATGATCACGGTTTGGGTATACCCATCGATTTAATACCCGGCCCACATGCCATCGGCATTGTTGTATGCAGAAATTCCTCACATCTCCTCTCAGACCTAACTCTGACAATGGTCCTCTCTTTTCAGTGGCGCGCGATTGAGGAAATAGGGACTAGGGACCGTTATCAATTGCTAGCTCAAGGTCTTAGGTTACCTCCAGGTTGGGATCCCACCAAGCCTGCTGGTGGACTTCGGGGAGACCAACTCAAGCTTGCCGTCTTTAGCTTCCCCGGACAGAACCCGGGTGAAACGTGGATTGTCCAGCAGCAAGTCTTTGAAGGCAGTCCAGAGGGTCTTTATTCGTATGTACTCTACTACATTCAGCTTCGAGATTTCGCTTCACCATTATATTGGTCGCTAATATCGATTATTGCGTAGTTGCGTAGGATCTTGACACATGATGGTGAACAAGCATGGACTTACGAAGGAGCCGAGCCTGGCCAACAGGTTTGTGGTAGACTTGCAATTTAAATAAGCTCATGTATAATGATGCTATTGTTGCATCCCAGATCCAGGTCCGCAAAGTGGACACTACGAAGCCCTTGCCAAGAAACCAATTATGGGTCATCGGAGAGGTTCTTCTTCAAGCTGCTGAGTAGAGACGGAACCATGGCCATTACCAATTCCAATTCATGCCAGTGGGGTGGACAGACTCATGATAAGGCTTTCGTCTGTTCGGGATTCTTTACGTTTGCCAAGATTTGAAATTGTACCGCTATGATCTGCACGAACTTGTATAGTACTATGGGCCTCCGACCATTCTGTCAACAATTCGAGTTCCAAGTCTTCACCGAAGTACATGAAAGTACTGTATTCTCAGATGGCGTACATCATGATCAAAAAGAAAGACTCGGCGTCACCTCGTCCCGTTCAGAGAATCATGATTGCTCTACATGTCAGAAAAACAAGCTCACATTTAACTCAGTTCTCACTCGTTCCAGAATTGATAACAGGGCTTGCTACTACGCGAGAGAGAACGCTATCCCGAAGAGCAAACCCGGAAGAATTACGTATAGAACTGAAGGGCGAACGAGCCAAACCGTCAAGATTTATCATTATAGAACCACTGATAGTAGTAGGACCACCGGACTCAAATACACGACTTCTATCATAGATGCACGTCAAACGGTCCTTCACAAGGAAATGCCCACTCGAGATAGACTGATTGACACTCTTTCTGGCCGTGAAGCTGAAATAATGCGCCGCACGCTCATTGACTGGTCAGGAAGGTACATTGGTTAGACCAGGCTGCACGGCAATGTAGGTTGTTTTTCAAACAACCCTGAGGGAGACCTAAACATTTCATATCAACTTTCACTAGCAGTACACTAGGAGCTCGGAAGAGTAAATGAAGCTTGCCACATCGTAGACACATCGATCGGTTGTTCAGAATATGCAGACAAATGGGACTTGTGATTTCCTACGAGCTTGATAGTCATCTTATGTGAATCCAATTATTGAAGGAGCGGGACCGAAGAAAGGAACTTTCGCACCTGATACCTCTTCATAAGTACTACCGATACGTGACCAGAACTCACTGGAAACGAAACTACGAGCAAAGCAATATAATATATACTGTAATTCGACGAGCAAAAACGGAAAGCAAGTAGACTATGTACTCAACTCAACATGAGGAGGGGGTATTACCAATTACCGTGAGGTATGATCAAGCCAACGCAGCATTCGAACATACTACCTAAAAAGAACAAGAACGGAGAGAAAGAGGTGGGGGGGAAGTCGTGAAGAAAGGGATGGAGGAGGTAAGATACCCATGTAACGGTACTATAGAACAACTACAACAAAACGTGAACGTCCACGCACAACTATACAACAACAGAAAACAGAAAACAGAAAGCATCCTAGTAGTGCACTGATCCGCCGCCACCAAAAAGCAGCAAGTCGGAGTAGCAGTAGCAGTAGCAGTAGCAACCGCCTAAAACCCAGGAGCAAATAAGTAAAAGAAAAAGGGGGGATGAGAGGGTAGTAGTAGTTAGTTGTACAAATGAAGGAAAGAGGATGGCAATGGGGAGGGGGATGACAAGAAGAAGAAAAAAGCGATATGCGACATAGTAAAAAGCAACTCGAAAGCAACAAGAGGAGAAAAAAAAACACCATCTACCATCTACCATCTACCATCTAACAGACGGCCACACAACCAATCAACGCACACAAACTTCACACCCCAACCCACTCCTCCCAATCCCATCCCAAGCAACGCCCACAACTTTCTCCCTAACCTCCATAACACCCCCATTCCCCGCAATCAACCCAACCACATGTCCATCTTCCAAATAATTATCAGCACCCACACCCATACACCGATTCTGCAACGCCCGCATTCTCAGGAGTAATGGGTTGGCAATGGGTCTTAGTCGTGATGTGAGTGTTTGAGGTGGGTACGGGGAACGGAAGGGGGACCTTGGGATCGGTGGGGGTTGAGGGAACCTTAGTGGGTATGAGGGGGAGGAAGGGGAGGTGGGTGGGGAAAGTGTGTGGAGAGGAAGAAAAGGTCGAGTGGGGTTCGATTCTGGAGAGTTGAGATCGGCGGAGGTGAAGATTTGAAGGTCACAGGGAGAGACTCGATAACCACGCGGTTTCAAATCCATCTTCTTCGCACTCGCACCCATATTTGCACTAACTCCCCGGCCTCTCTCCCTAGCACGTCCCCTCCTATCCCAAACCGTCCCCTCACTTCCATAAACGGTTCTTCCCAGTCTATCACGTTCCCTAGAATAGCTCCTCTCAGCCGACGAGGACAAACTGGATCCACGTCCATACAAATCCGACCCAGTAGAAAACATAGTCGCCCTAACATACGCTTTCTGGAACTGAGACGCCATATCGATGAACCGAGTGAATCTTCTCGTCATCTTCCACACTAGACCCTCACCTTCTCTCTCACCTTCAGTAGGAGTTGGAGAAAGTCGGAGACTTGTCAGTGATGATGTCGTGGTAATAGGACGAACGAGTGCACGACCGCGAGAGGGGACGGAAACGGAAGAAAACGGTGTACGAGAGGAAGAGGAGGTGAGAGGAACAGAGAGTGGGTGTGGATCCTCGGGAGCGAGGGGTATAAGTTTAGACTGTGAGCATGTATGTAGGGTATGATGATGTATGATCTCGGCCTCCTTCGACGAGGGTATAACAGATATGGACACGGGTATAACCGATCCAGCAGTGGTAGAGGTTGTAGAGGGTAACGCATCGGACGTCGAGGAGGAGAGAGAAGACGAAGATGTGAGGGAAGGCGTGAGGATACTCGAGAAGGATGAGAACCACGAGTTTGAGCGGGTGGATATGGTTCGCGTAGACGATGAGGTTGAAGTAGCGGAGGTAGACGGACCAGACGATGACACCAGAGTGGAAGCCATAGAGGAGAGTGATTGCGAGCAAGCAGGACATCCTTGGGTTCTCCGTCTGATAAGGGAAGAACCTACCCTAGGTCTACCATCTGCCCGTTCCTGCCACTGACTGACATCCCTCTTCAATAACTCGTCGAACAGGTGAACTTGGGCTACAGTCCTGCGTTGGATCCTTAACCTGCGCACGCTACTTGTACTTGCTGTATCATCTTCATCTTCGTTGTCCTCCGGGAATAGAGGTCCGTGCATGCGAGTGACAACAGTGGAGAAAGGGATGTTCTGGGCACTGAGCGCAGAGAGTTCCTTGAACGCACGATGAGGTGAGCTCAATGGGGACTTGTTCTTGGGTGGGGAAGAAGCCAAAGAGGAAGGAGGAGAATGTCGGGAAGTACTGAGAGTGTGTACAGGCGGCATCAACGTGTACTCAAAGGTAGGCATTGGCAGTGAAGGAGAGTTGAGAACAACAGACCGAGAGGAGGAGGCGGGCAAGGAACCGTAAGAGAGCCTTGAGCGTTGGTTAGAGCAAGTAGATACCTTGAGTTGACGAGTATATCTGGCCAAGATATCACACTCCCTATCGGAATCCCTCTCCCTAGCCTCCCGTTCCCTCCCACGGGCTTCTATTTCAAGCTTGCGCCTCTCTCTCAACTCGTCTTCTTTCCGTCTTGCCAGTTTGGTCTTCTGCTCGCGTAAACACCGCACGCTGTTCTCCCAGATCTTCTCGCAAATGCGGAGACGAGCTTCGCGTTGTGCGCGACGTCGACGTTCGTTCTCGCGTCGGACGCCCTCCTGGTAGCGTTTCTCGTCCTCTGGAGAGAGCTTGAGACCACCGGGCGGGACAAAAACGGTAGAAAAGTCGGCATCCTTGACCTGAGCTATACGTGGGTCGTCGTCAGAGGTGACTTCAATACCACGAAGTTTGAGAAGAAGGATCTTGGCGAGGTGCATATTGTCCAACGCGTAGGCGTCCTGCATCTGGTCTTGCAACGTCCGCGGTGGCAAAGGTGACGAGTCGTAATAGTCACGGTCGGAATACGCGTACACAGAATCCGGAGGAGTAAGTGGGCCAGAAGGCGTGGCCTCAGGCGAGACGGAGAGAGTGCTAGACGAGTTTGTACGCAGCATGAAACTATCGGTCGGAGACGGTGGGAGAGAGGGCGTTGGAGAGCGAGATGGGGAGTGGCAGGCGAGGTGAGGATATGTAAAAGGTGGGGAAGGAGAGGCAGTTGCAGGCGGTAACATTAAGCGGGAACTGGAAGGCACGGGGATGGGCTCGGGGGACGGCGGTTGTTGCCACATGGCAGAGGCAAAAACAGAGACGGATGAATGGTATTGCTGGCCACGATCTGTGTCGGGGCGTCGACGGGGAGTGCGTGAACGTGAGCTTACTGGGATGACAAAGTCAGCGTGAATGGATGGTGTGACGAGCGGGGTATGCAGCTGCTTGCGAGTAAAGGCAGCGGGAGAGATATCGCGAGAACGGCCTCTGGAATCCATGTTGACATTGGGGGTCACTAGACATTGATGTCAGACTTTGCAGCGAGAGAGAGAGATTAGATGGACGTACCAGGTGAAGGAGAGTAGAACGGAAGCTGAATGGGGAAAGGGGGTGACGAAATGGCAGCCGGGGGTGTTTATAGCATCTGCGATAAGAGAGAGGGTGGGAATCGCTGGGGAACAGTCCAGTGCACGAGGATCTTTCGCTCCTGGCCTCGAGGCGACACGCTGCCACCAACCGAGATCTGAACAAGATCCCCATCCCTGTCTTTCTGCTCACACCGGCAGGAGTTGCAGCAGAACATTCCTCTCTCCTCCTTCCGTCCCTGTCATTCCTCTCCCCGGACTATCACCGGCCGGCCATATACCATAAACGGCCCTCCTCTAATGACAACGATATTCCTCTCTGCTTGCAGGCTGCACTCGCCCATCACCCGCCCACAGTCCATGTTGCAGCGCGTATCTAACACCCGCACTGATCGCTGCATTCCATCCTGCGGCGTGTTCCCAGAGCCTTCCCAACTCTCTCCAATATCTCCCATTGCGTCTCCATTCAAGCATCCTTACCCCTCTCTTTCTTCCATTCAATTCTCACACTAGCATCATTCCTTCAATAGGGTCTCACGTCTTATTATCCAACAAGCCTCTTCTCGTTTGTCCTCCGATTCATCTTTGTCTGACCCGAGTAACGCCCCGTACAGTACTGTTTCTAATCCTATAGCCTCTTGTCTCGTGTTAGTCGGTTATCAAGCGGCCTTTATCTTCACTGCCTTCTACGCCACTCTGTATATTCCAGCAAAGAATGTGCTCAAATTTGAAACATTGATAGTCTTCCTGCGTACTAGGGCGTTTCAATACCGACATACGCTATCTCTTCAGACACACGCACTCTCGTCATATCCGCTCAATTTGCTCCTCACTTGTCCTTTCATTTGTCCAACACGCCCAACAAAGCATCCATTGTATTCCCATTCCGCCCAATCACAAATCCCTCTTTATCGCTCCCTAGCTGCCATCATCATCATCATCCCACTCATCGTACCTTAACAACCGCACTCACCGCTGCTTCATCTTGGGACTCCCCCAGTCCAATCTAGCCTTACAAAACCCAAAACTTTATGGATATACCCGGCTTGTGAAGCTTTGAAGCTTTGAAACCTACACACCATCCCGGTAAACCTCCGCCTGAGCTCTCCGAATTCGTACGTCCGTTCCTGATCATCGACTGTATGGATCCCGTCCTACCCGCTTCCCCCGCTGCCTATCTATCTATATATCCAATTCTCCTTCCCTTCTTCCCTCGTCTTCGTGTTCGCATGCTTACATTAACATTCTCGTATTCTCACTTCTAATGCATCCATTCCAACTCCACTCCAACTACATACTTAATCATCCGTATGCGCGTTGACTGATTATAGTGTCTTTCTAATCCCGGGTCAGGATCTTGATTTTTGATTCCAATTTCCCCGAGATGAACACACACAAACAGACACGGATACATTCCGCGTTTTTCGCGGGACGATCTTCTCACAAGTGCTGCCTTGCAACGAAGCTCCGTTATCATTCATCTCAAATTCCACTCTCCGCTTTCCACCTCTAAAGCATAAGGCTTAGTCTTAGTCTTATGCGGGAAGTGAGGGATGGGAGATGGGAAGACATAAAGAGGCAAGCGGCGGGACAGTGGAACCCTACACCGTGGATATCCGGTACCAAAAGCTTAAAGGCCCCAATTGAACCTATCGGGCGAAAACCGTTTATCCCACCATGGGATTTGTGGCTGATGCATACATAGATCTGCGGTTTTCCTCTTTCTGTTACAGCACTAACTAACTTGGCTATGTGGCTGTAGCTATAGGCTAGAAGACTGGATGACCGGGATGACTGGGACGAGAAGAATTCATCGTTACGAAAGTGTAGGGCTAGAAGCCGTGGAGGCCCTTTCGTTCGGTTGCTCAATTGGACTATTGGACTATAGGCTACTACTGTAGCACTTACGACGCAAGATAAGTAAGTAATTTCATAGGACGATAATATCCGAGGAGGCCAATACAAATCCAAGAGTTACGCGTCCGGGCCCTCCCTCCTCCCGACGACGACAGTTCGAAATCAACATCAAAGATTTTGATTCGATTTGATCTTACTGTAAGCTGACATCTGGCGCATTAGATGGATGGATGACAGCTAGCATCGTCGTTATCAAAACCTTTCACGGTTCCGTTCATTACATGGACGCCTCGGCGCCGCTCAACCTCCAATAGTCCTCTCTCCTTTCGCGCTCCTGCCCTTCGGATCCGTTTCACACCCAGGTGCCACTGCTTCCATCTTCTCTCTTCCCGCCTTCCGGTTCGAACTTCGTAGCCTTCTCGTATTCTCGTATTCTTTCGCCCTCAGGGCCGCCGTTGTAATACCATCTTTGGGCTTGTCTTCTCATGCCTTAGGCCTCTGATTGGCAAATTCAAAAAGCTCGGGAGCGCGCAAGGTTGGAACAAACTTTTGACAAGAACAAGATGGATGGATGGATGGATGGTTATCGCTTGCTGGGAAATGAAACCTAGCCGTTCTTACTTCCTGGCCAGAGTATCTTTCTCTGTTCGTATGCTACCACTTATCAAATTCAAGGCATCCAGGCATTCATACGTTCTCTCCTGTTTGAACTAGAATTCAGCATATTCAAGGGGGCGTCGATACTCCAATTTGGACCTAGAACTCAGGACTGGAACTGGAATTTGGGACGATGACGTGCTCAGCAGGTCGAGATGCTTTTCTTACCAAAGACAACAGCTGCAGACAAGGACAACAGACGGAACAGTATACTACGTATACCCTCTCACCAGCAGTCTGTGAACGCCTTCAAATTCGGCGTCAAGAGCTTATAACAGGCAGCGCTCGCGTCCAACTTAGGGTTCGTGTTATCTTGGGTTATCATGACTTCTTCACCGGGTCTTGTTCTTCTCTGTTGAAAAACCTTAACTCTGAAGTGACCCTGCAGTTAACCGCCTCAGTGCCTCACAGTGATTCTTTTACCATGCTGCGTTGAAACGTTGACTAGGACTGATCTATGTTGGCTGTGTCTGGGTTGCCTGGTGTTCGTGTTTTAGCTGTCTAATATGTCAAGTTTTCAAGCTTCATCATACAACGTGCGCATGCCTATTGGCATGCACGCCGTCCATGTTTCGATGGTCAGCTCTATCTATCTATATCAACGTTGGCGGCCTGTGCCAGTTCAATAACATCCAGGGCCTTATCTAATATCGCAATCTTGCGTTCGATACTCGTCGATGCATGTCTGTTCATCTCTGGAATCGCTCTGGAATCAAAGAACCCAAAGGAAGCAAGATAATCATGACCTGTTTGGGAGCATCGGGACGAAACTGTGGGCTTTCGGCCTCCTATGGCGAGTCGGGCTGCGCCTACATTCTGCTTATTGCGAGCTACATATCTACTGGTCTTCGGGAGCTCAAGGCTGGCCTTTTGGAGATTGGATGGCGTTTGTACGAGGGGCTATAGTCTATTGATATCTTCATATCGTCGAAGGACGCGCCGAAACAATATAATCGTCAATGCTTTCCGGGACCGGTAGTTGTTCTAGTACTAACGAATGGTGAGTTCCGTTGTGGGTCTGGATATATACTGGACTCTGCTTAGATGGACTCCCGAACGTTCGTTCTAGGTGAGAATGTACCTTGAACATTGTTGGTATAAGCATGACGATGTTTTTTGTTTATTGGTTCCTTTCGCATATAACATCTCCGCATATATGGATGCGTTTGTTCTCTCTTGGACCTCGACTTATGCAGAAAACGTGTGTTCCTTTGTGATACACTATGTGCCTCGTTTCTCAAGTCTTACATTTGCGAGGACTGAGTACTGATGACTGAACTTTCCAGTAGCAAGGATTTGACGTTCATATCGATGATCAGTCGCGTCAATATCCTGTGTTCTCTGCACGATCAAAGCAAGTCTTTCCCGGTGTTATGTGCCGTCGAGAGCTTGTTCAGGTTGTCCGGAAGCTTTGCCTATCAAGAATTCTCTATCCTAGGAATCACGTACACCGAAGGAACTAGTTGAACATGGCTGTACAGATAAGAAGCTTGTGCATATGCTTACGAAATCAACTTGCATTATCTCTGCACCCAATGCAACATGTCATCTGGGAGATATACCCAGTGTTACAGAATCAATCCTAGGGCGAAGTCAGTCCAAGCCCATCTACTATCCTGAGCCTTGAGGTTCAGCTCTTTCCTTCAAAGGCAACGCCCCATTCGGTTTCTCTCAGGTTACATGACACCTACACGTGTAAACCTTCTCGTTCTATCGAAACAGCAGCACCCCGTGTAATCGCTTTCCACCCGTCTCTGCACATCCACCATCTCATCTCTTGCAACATCATCTAGCATGCTCGTTCATCAACATGAGGCAAGATATGTATGATACGCAATGCACGACGCGCTTCGGACGACATCGAGGTCGGATGAACTGTTGAACGGGTCCTTCGAGGACTGCATGAGACCGATATAGTCATCCTTACCCAACAGACCACCAGGCGCAAATTTGATCCCAAGGTACATACGATCCAATTCAATAGGATCTGAACCGCTTGTGATGCTTAGTGTCTATGACGTATGAATATTTACATCTACGTATGCGCTTTCAGGTGGTCTCGAGACTCGCAATTCGTATCCTGTTGAGTTGATTGGGAAGGGCATTGATTGCACCCGATACCGGAGCGAGCATCTCATTGAACAAGTTATCTATTACTCGTTCATGGGATAATCATCATCTCCGAAGCTGCCCCGGACTAGGCATGTTGCGCCATTGCGATTATCGAAGACTCGTTGGGGTTGTAGTTGAACAGGACGCTTCAGATCGGTACGTAATCGGCCTATCCTTCTCCTTTCGGAGCTTACAACCGAAGTTCATGACATCGGCTTTATAGACGAATACGTACGAGTTTGTACGCATCAGCAGTTCGTCCTTGTTAGCACTTTGCAGGACGAATAGCAAACGAATACGTCATGTCCCATCGGTCGTGTTGCATTGTGTATGGAGCTTCAAAGATTGGTTGCTCGCCTATTTGCTCTTCACAAAAATCGTCTCTCATCTGATGATGCATTCGTCAGTGGCGTCCACTCTGGACCTTCTTTTGCACGATGCGCAGTGACCCAGTTCGAGTCTGCAGTCATGTGAGTGTCTCCTCCAACTGAAGAGGTATTCAATCTCTCACACTCAAGTCGCTTGGCTTGTCAAAAAATTATCACGTCCAACCCTTCCCGCGATACTGCCAAACACGTTGTGCAAAAGGATATTTCTGTCCGAGATTGGTGAGGCTCGACTCCATGACCGACTGAATACTGAACGTCGAATAGAAGCGCTTCGATCATGCATAGGTGGTCTCGAACGCTTCTCCGAAGTCCAAGGCTTCATTTGACCTCTGTGGCGCCCCACATACCTCTCACAATCTGGTCATCTGGTTCACTAAACGGGTCTCGATGACACCGTCATCGTCCTTGCTCACCTTGCTCCGCGTCTAGTATGGTGCTTTGGAGTATGGTTTCCTTACACTGCTGTCACCAAGCGACGGCGGTGAACTACAATCTGTACCCCCGATCTGAAGTGTTTGCTTCCCACCTGTCTTCGCAGATAGGGTACCGATAAATGTGAAAGAGGACGATTCTTGGTTTGCGCCTTCTTGCAATACGATCTCAGTCGAAAGTTACGCAGCAACCCCTTACGACGACCAGCGTTTCAGAAAGGAAGATCAATCACGTTGATTCTCAACCCTCACCAGCATCGCCGGTACGTTGGTTCAGCATTGGCATCCTGAAGATCATCTGGATTTTGATGACTAGCTTCCTCGACTCGGACATAGCACGAGTTCTGACTAGTCAACAATAATCCCGTCTTGTGCCCGGTGCCCTTAAACACAAAAACAGGGCCTGAAGTCGGAATATAGGAAGTCGAGACAATGCGTGGTGGGGAGAAAGGTGAGGGCTTACAGTGGTTATCGGATAGAGCGCAATCGAGGAGCAAGAGAAGAAAGCCTAAATTCCGCCAAGGCGGAGCCGTGAACCTTGAACGGACGCTGTATGCAGTCTCGATAGAGTATATGGCGCTATTTACAAGGTCAATTTATCAAAAAAAGACCAGAACACCAGACAAGTTGAGCGAACAATACAAAGGGGAGACATCACAAAGGAAGGGGAAAGCCCGTATCATACAACTAGAGAAAGGTGGATAGCGATGGGAATAAGGTGCTGGCGTCGGGTATGGATTAGGCGACACGCCTCCATTAGAAGCGAATACACTACGAATTCGGAGAAAGGCGTTGTCAAGTTAATGTAGAAAAGCGCACTCGTACAGACCATCAGTGTCTAGTAAGAGTCAGTTTTTTTTTCACTCGTATGCCGCCATGGCGTTGTCGACGGTCTTGACAGCGCGGAGGCTCATAGAAAAGCTAGCAGCGCGTCGAATAGTGGGATCGAATGGTTCTGCCAGAAGCATCATTTCATCGTTGAAACCGTCTACAATCGGGTTTCTAGCCTCCGTAAGCGTAGGCGAATTGACAAGAGAGGACGGTGGGGCAGTCGGTATTTGATCCATCAGCTCCGAGATTTTAGCTAGACTTGTGGCTGCGATAGAGCAAGGAGAACCGACATCGTTGCGCGTGTTTTGCCTCGTGCGAAGTACAGGACTCTCCAAAATGTCGCTTATCTCAAGAGAAATTCCAGAGGAGTCGCCTGCGCTTGTGTTTTGCGATGTGTTCCATAACCAGTTAATCGAAGAGTTGGCATTGGAAGGAGTAGAGAACACAGAAGACGATACGGTAGGAGTAAGGGGCGCAGAAGCGGTAGCAGCGAATTGCTGAATTTGCGAGTTGTGAAGAAGCCAGTTGCTGTATTCGAGATTGGGAGTAGAAGGCTTGCCTTGAGGAGTTTGTAGAGATTCAGACGCGCAGCGATGCAGGGTTTGGTATGTAACAGGTCGGGCAATGGATCCAGAGTAAAGAGTAGATGGGGGAATTACCGATGTAGACACAGGCAAACCGGTAGGCGTGGCCGGGACGGGAACAGGAACAGGGTTCATGCGTTGATTTGAGTGAACTTGATGACCGGAGTCACGTTGATCAGGAAGGATTCGATCGTAGTACGTGCTGACTTGCTGGGTCATGTAAGCACGATAGGTTCCAACAGACTCTTGAACTCCATGGGCAGGTCCGACGGCTTCAGACAGGTATTGGTAACAAGCTTCACGTTGTATTTTCGGAAGCGACTGTTCCTGGGTCACGGGAAGGAAAGGATTCAGGTTCTCGTCGAAGTAGTGCTCATGTTGCAGGAAGGGAAGACTATTGTTTGACTCATAGTGGAAGCGCCGGCCTTGATTTTGATTTTCGGCCACCCAGTGAGTGGTACGATCTAGGTGCGAAGGGGCAGACCAGTTGTGGACACGACGTCCAGAAGGTTCCAAATCCTCGGTATAAAGAGGCTTGCTACCTTGCGCCTGGATGCTGGTGTGCAGCGCAGGATCTGAAGGTGACTCAAAGAAGCAATGAATTGGAAATGGTAAGAGATGCATCCCGCTATAGTCGTAGTGCAAAGGTGGGTTTGAAGCCGAGAGATCCGAGGGCGTGCACGATGCGACAGGCGTGGACACGGGTGTAGAAGACGTACTGTCTGAAAAACCAGAGGCAACCTCCACCTGCGCGCCATCTGGTACAGATCTTAGCTTCTTCTACAAAATCACGCATACAACCGTGTTCAACGTCAGAATACAGCTTGCATGCACGCATATATACATGCATTACCTGGAAACGAGGTCTCAAAGAACGAGTCTCCTCCTGTTCAATGTGCATGACTGCAGATCTCTTCTCTGATTTGCTCGAGACCCTCAAGCCTTTTGTATGATACCAATCGTATATATGTCTTCGATCAACCATATAACGCTTCTGGACTGCCTGGCGGGCAGCAAAGGAAGGCATTTCAGTACACCCAGGCTTGATCAAGGATTCCAGTTCCGCGACGAGTTCTGGTCCGAGACGGTGAGCAAGACTTGCTGGATTGACGCGTCGGCGTAAAGGTGCGACTGGAATCACATCCGATGGCGGTTCATATAGAAGAGACGAAGAGACTGCGGAGGCAGACCTGCTAGTTCTCGGTGCTTGAGGGGGGTTCTTCTCTGAGTCCCTGGCATCCGAACGAGAACGCTTGCGATCCGTAGGACGATCTTTAACTTCTACTTGGGTATTTTTCGTCATATTGGCAAGATCTAATCAACTAAAAGGTTCAGTAAAACAAAGGAGAGCGACAATTAGACACAGTTCAACAAGACGTGGTCAAGAGCTGGAGTAAAGTTCGTAACGAATTGCGCGTATAGACCTGGTGGTCGGAGTCTGCCGGGGACCTCTGACACCCTCAGCCAAATATCTATATCTCAGAACATCTGAGCTTCCAAGGAAACCCACAAGACCACTGACCAGGGTTCGAGTACAAGATTAGGATTGAATCGTGGTAGAATAGCAATATAGTACCAGCACCAACGTGTCCATTTAGGGCGCATGTATAGCCTCTAGATAGAGTAGCATTCGGTCACCACGTCCGTTTGACCACTCGCTCTGTCAAGACCTCCAATGCTGTCTTAGCATCGCTGTCTGGTAACGGTCCTAGGACCTCTTTTGCCTTGTCTGCATGTGCCCGAGCAAGGTCGCGAGTACGGTCCACGCCAGATGACCGTCGTACAAGATCTCGAGCCTAGACGCAAAGAAACATGAAATCATGGCAGACGGAATGGAATAAATCGACACATACAAGCTCGACATCCCCTTCCTGTTTGAACTTCCGCTCTATGAGGGGACCCATCTCGGGATGTTCCTCCCAAGCGAAGAGAGCAGGACCCGTTGCAAGACCGAGACGAAGGTCTGCACCTCCAGGCTTGCCTAAGGTACTCTCGCCAGCCTCATAATCCAATATATCATCCACAAGCTGCGTCAAACCATGTTTAATTGATGACCGAGTTACGCTATTTTGGGGATCATACCTGGAAAGCAATACCGAGGTTGCGGCCATAGGCATATGCAATCTCCTTCCAGATTTCACCCTCTTTGCATCCACCAAGCACTACTGCTGCCCGGGCACCTTTCGCCATCAGACTAGCCGTCTTCAGGTACGTCTTTTGCAGGTAAATGTTCCAATTTTCTCTCCCCACGCTCGGTGTCTGTGCACTATCGAGGCCGAGTTCCTCGCCATGAACAGCCTTCAATTGCAGGATCTCCCCTTCGACTAGGTTTGCGATCACGCTAGCTATGAGTTCGACCACTTCGCTTTCTCCCAGTCTTGAGAGAGCGGCGGAAGTTCGTCCAAGCAGGAAATCGCCGGCGAGTACTGTAAGTTTGTTTCCAAATGCTGCAGGCGCGGAAGGTGCGCCGCGCCGTAACGGAGACTTGTCAATGACATCGTCATGCAACAAGGACGCGACATGAATCATTTCGACAATCTGTGCCAGACGTATTTGGGTCGGAAGGAAAGCAGGTAGCGACGCCAGTGTTGGATTAGGGTCCGTGACGAATGGGGGTGGTATTGGCGGTTCATGTATTGGACGAGGATTCTGCAGAGGAAATGTCGAGGTGAAAGACGCGGTATGATCTGACATATTGGGGTTCCAGTCATTCAACACGTCTGGACGCGTCAATGGGCTATCCAATTCTTCAGCACGTCCTCCAGCACCTTCGCATTCCGCTGCCCATTTCTTCGCGTGCCATCCACGTCCCAGCCCATTCGTAGCTTGCGAGAATAGGAGTACCAGGAGTGGTCGTAATTGTTTTGATGGATGCAAAAAGTAGTACTGCGCAATCTCCGTAAGTGAAGGATGTGATGAGCCTAGGAGGGTCAGGAGAGTTTCTCGTAGGGTATCCAACTGCGGGGCAAGCATAGTATACGGATCCGGACGCGGTCGTGGAGATTTTACTGCAGACAGGGCGGGTTTGCTATGAACAGACGAACATGACACATTCTGTGACTGTGCCGCTGCTCTGACAGGCTGTGTTTTTGCTTGAGTTGCTAACACACTGTAGCAATTACGATGACAATGAGTTCGCGTGACCGCACCAGTGGAAGGAATTCGTGCAACTGAAGCAGTTGGGGTGGTGTCTTGCCGAAGTGCACGCACTCTGGCGACAGACCATCGTCGCATGACCAGCAAGGACGTTTCTAGTCGTCGAACAAACGTCCAAGAAACGAAGCAGAGAGGGAGGAGGACGGCCGTCCAGGAGAGAGTGGTCAGGAGAGGTTCCGTAAGTAGCGAGCCCGGACTGGTCAAAATCTTGACGTCGTTCCCTTCAACGCTACGCATTTTCCCGCCCTCCGGTCAGGCAACGTAAACTCCCAAAACGTTCTCTCACAAAGGTCTGCGCAGCTTACTGATATTACTTTCGATGAGCTAGCTATATACCAGAACAAATGTTGTATAAAACTATAACTACAATGACCTGGACTGTTCGGTAGGGTTCACAATACATTCAACCTCGCATCATCCTCGATGGTACGAGGTGACAGGTATGCCTCGCAAACCGCTGCTTTGTTTCTGATTCTGTGTTTCTCACATGAATGTAAGGGGTATCATGCCGGAGAGCAAGTTTCAACGGTGCTGCCGTTCTGGACGAAGAATTGGCGATGTAGGTGCGACTGCGAGCTTGGCTCGAAGTTTCGACACAGGCTCCTCCATATAGTCAATAAGCTCTTGTGCCTGAAGATAGACTGACATTAGCACTAGTGCAATTGCGATACACATAACAACGGGCTAACTTTCGCTGTAAGCTCTGACCATGGGACAGTCTTTTCGGAATTCAAAGCCAGGAGAAGCAGAGGCTCTTCCTTTCGCTCTTTAGCGGGATCTTGCTGACTCGGAGGGGGAACCTTATCGACCGACGTGACAAGGACGCGTCCAAGCTAGGCATACAGCGTAGAAAACTCAGCCAAGCAAGGACTTCCTGAGACAAATTAGAATACCTCACTGTCAACCGTCCCAAAACCCTGCTCTTTAGTCTCCTGCCATACTTCACTACCCAAACCTACGAGCACTCGGACTTCATCTTTAGATCTTGGGGGGTCCGATATGAAGGACACGAGTTGACCGGTCGTTGTGAAGAGAGCTGCTGTATGGAGAGACGAAGGTGAAAGAATCTGCGAGAGGACAGTTCGGAGGTTGGGCAGATCGAGCATAGTGAGGATTGGATGTTATTTCTCCGGATAAAAATACGTTGCAAGGAGTTCTAGTACGATGCCTTCACGTATTGTATTCGGTAGAAGAAGAGTTATGGTATGGTCTTTCACCTTGATGGTAGCGGTCAACCCATTAGGACGACCAGCGCTTACTTCAAGGTGCAACTTATGCCGTTTTGAGAATGTCCAGGAAGATGATCTTGGACTTGTTCCATCAAGTACTCTACACAAAGCGCTGGGCAGCAATATAACTCTCAGACGCTTTTTTCGCTCGTAACTAGAGATTCCCTATGGTTAAAACCACGTTCTTGCACGAGGTGACCCATTATCACTTGCCGCTAGATCGACTATAGACAGAGCTGGCTTTTGTTTGGTTTGCCTTCCCACACATTCCCGACGGTAAGATTGGACAGGACGAGTTCCAACACTGCTTATGTGTTCGGGCACACGAACCTCGAGAGATATCAAGATGCTGATTATTTTCCTTCACAAGCGATCTCATCGCGTTATACTTCTTAGCTGTATCAACTGGTCGTTCCCGTGAGTGTTATGGCTCCGAGATTTCATAAGACTATCTTTATTCATCATGCTGCTTTGAAGGCTATACTACTCATGATGGAATTCGCACTCTATGTGTTTCTTTCTGATGCGTTGATCACATTTCAGGCATCCGCATCTTCGGTCATCCTGACTATCCCTTGAGTTCAAGATATAATGAACTCCATTGATCATGAGAAGGCGTGGAAAGGGCTCGGATCGACATTATTTCATTGTCTTCTTGTCTTCGATCCTGCGCCTCCTGTTGGCATTGACAGATAGTTGATGCACATCCCGAGCATCTCGAGATGGTGCCCACGCTATCCGCAGTTACTATGCTCTTGACACATTCTGCATTGCACATGTGAGATGTACTTCCGTTGTAACAAGATCAGAATACTTTGACGCGGTAGTATATAACCATACTCTTTGCGTTTGATACTCATCATTCACTTTTTTCTCTTCATTTTTTCCTTCACTCTTTTTCAAGGTACTGAGTAGTGAGTACTTCATTCCTCCGCTTCCTGACCGGATACTCATCCATGTCTTCCCCTTAGCCTCCCACCTTCCTTCTTTCCCCATTTGTGATTATTCTTCATTTCCTACCCTACTTCAACACCCTTCACCTTTCTTCACTTTTCGCCTATAATGCGTTTCTTTATTGCCGTAATTGTTGGCCTCATTCTTTTTGCAAGGTCCTCAGGCGCAGCTCCTGTCCCGTGAGTGCTCTATACCTACCTTATATCCGACTTTTACTCAATACCAGATTTGATAGCAAAAAGGGTAACCTCGGAGTCGACACTCCCAGCTCTCCTAGGTGAGTATCTCTTAAATTTTCCAGACAAAGCCTAGGTATCGATCTCCACAATTTGTGCAGTGGTGCACTTGGGATGGCCGGTATCGTAGCCTCACTAGAAGATGCAGCGGGTTTGAATATGGGTGCAGCGTCAGTAGTCCGCTCACCACTCGGTATTAAACTTAACCACCTTTGTGACTGTAGGAAACGTGATCCTCGTATCGTTTTCACTCCCGACATGGAGCTTCCCGAGTTTGCATCGGACGACACAGGCGCGGTAATGGCTGGAGCTGCTCCTTAAGATGTTGCCCCTCCTTGCCGGCGGCATTTCATCATGCCTGCAAAAGTTTAACCGACGCCGAGTCTGATCCCCCAGCATCAGTCCTGGAACGCTGCCTTGTTTCCTTGATGGGACACTTATCCACGGTGAAAGGCTTTGCATGACTCTAGATCGTTTGGAGGCGATCAGAATGAACAATGAACACTCCAGAGCTCTTTTGTACGATCAAAATGTAGTTACATGGAACTATCAAACATGCCCAACCAAATAGGGCACTTTCCCTTGTGGAATGTTCGTAGGACGACTTCTAGTCATTGACATGCATTTCTTCACCTAGTACAGACGTTCAACCTTCAACACTATTCTCTATCTAAGCCCTATGACTAGGCAATTCATTAACAGCTCTTTGCAGATCATGAGTCTGTGATCCAAGAACAAGCACCAGTATCCTGCGGATAGGCTTAATGGCGTTTGCCGGCAGCTTTACTAGGTTTATGATTCAGGACCAAGGTAGTCTTCCCAAGCGCGACTTTCAGCAATGAAACTATAGCATCATAAAATTTCAATAATATTATGAACAATACTTTACCACAGACATGAAGAGAAAAGCGTAGTAAAAAGCCGTCATATTGCATGATGTCAAGTGGGGTTCATGCAAGAGAATGAGACACGAAAACACAACGGAGTAAGATGCTTGGCAAGCTATTGAGGACGTTTCTGGGACTAATAGTATGTTAGACAATCAATGCCAACTCAGCTAACTATAAACGTACCAAGTATGCCATCAATTGCTGATAGCTTTGACTGCTTGGTGGCATAGAAGCAACACCTGGCACATGAGGTGGAGGCATGTTATACGGAGGTGCTTGGGTTGTTGGAGGCGGCGTTGACTGCTGCGACTGTGACTGCGCTGTTTGTTGCAGCATAGCTAGAATGTTGGGTGGTAAGCCAGCCAACGAAGGTGTCCCCGGAGCGGGACCTCCAGGCTGTGAACCAGAACTTGAAGACTGCTGCATTGGCTGTGGCGGATATGGAGGCATGGCAGAAGGTGCTGAGGGCGGAGCCGGATATGACGGCTGCATATGAGGAGGGTAGTATGCGCCCTGAGCTGATTGCGGCGGCATAGAAGGGACCGCTGGCGGGGGCGCAGCAGGCTGAGTGGGAAGCACTCCACCAGCCTGCGGTTGCTTCAATGCGGCCAGGAGCTGGACAATGCTGTGTCAGATTGACTCTGCAAGGAGACGAAGGTGGAACGTACCTGTTGTACTTGTTTTGCTTGCTCCAGTCGTTCATCAGGAGGCTGGATAACTGATCAACACCAGAACACTAAGAATGAACATTTGATACTCACGGGAACAGCGGCTGGCGGTGGAGGATATGAGCCTGGAGGTGGCGGCGCACCTCCATAGGGAGCGGGACCGCCGACTGGACCAGCTGGAGGTGCAGGATAAGGCCCTGGTGCACCGGCACGTCCATCAAAGCGAGTATCGTATCCACGGGCGTCACGTCCGAAGTCGTCATATTCTCGTCCACCTCGATGACTATCGCGAGGGAAATCTCGACGGTCCCCCCAGCTATCGCCACCCCATCCACGGCCGCGACCGCGACCTCCTCGACCACCACGAGGTTTGTAATCCCAGTCACGACCGCCGTATGCACCCCGATCGTCGCGACTGCAGTACAGTCAGTAATTACAATAACCACACATATAGCCAGACTGTGAACTGACCGAGGTGAACCTGCTCCTCCACGAGGGCCCTCAGGTTCGGCAGCGAGAACAATCTCCATCACGCCATCCTGAAGGCCTTGGTGGCGTAGTCTGTCGTACGCCTCATCGGCCGCCTGAAGATTGGTAAGTCCATCGTATAAAGTACATAACAACGCCAACTTACTCTGGTATCAAAGAACTCGACAAACCGTTGGCTGTGAAGTAAATAACGTTGGGCGACATCCAATGAAGTGGTCATAAAAATAACATACTCAGTCCGATCTCCTGAGGGCCTGACAGATTTCACATCACCGAATTGTTGGAATTTGCGTCGAACCTCATTGTCGTCGATAGGTTGATTGGATGTGGAGTTCTTCAGAGTAACCAATAATGTACCTTGCAGCTGCTAACGTGGATTTAACGGAATGTGTCCAGCATAATGAAGCTGTTTCACATACCTGACTTCTCTCCTTGTCGCCTCCATTGCGATCATCTCGAGGGAGAGAATAATGGACATCGATCTATACATGACGTCTTTCAGCGCCAATACGACGGCCTACGAATTCGGACCTACCGGTCGGCCGCTGATCTCTGAACCCTGCAGTCTTTCCCTTGCTCTTTCAGCTGCTCGAAGATCATACTGTATGTGTGGTGTTCATTGAGTACACAATCATCCGGCATTGGCTTCGCGGTATACTCACGTAAGTAACGAAAACCATTCCCCGGTTTGCGATCAGGTCGAAGAAGGTCTTGATTTCGCCATGTTCTTCGAAAAGGCGACGTACATCACTACTATCTGTTTCATACTGTATAAAGCATGTGTTAGCTTACTGGACGACTCAATGGTGGGAAACGATAAGTCGCCATGGTTGCCCGAAGACGCTGACGACTTACGGTTTCTCAAATTTCATGAACTCGACTCGCCTTAATGTTGCGAATGAACAGGGTACGACATGGGCGTTCGCGTTGTATTCTCTCCTCAATGATAGAATCGTGGACTTTATCATCCCTCTCACGTCTTGGAGCGCCGCCACGTTTGAAACCACCACGCTGTCCATATCCACCTTGACCGTAACCTTGGCTTGAGCCGTCTGATGAAAAGAATTGCAATCATGTGAGCGGGGTCATGTCATGGCATTATAGAATACCGAGGAGAGCGGCCAAAATGCAGCAGTCACAACCAGCCATGCACGAACAACGTGTAAATATTGCCCGTAACTGAAATCCATCCCCTTTGCATGATATAACGAAGTAGCCCGAACAGTTTCCAGCAACAAAGGTCGGCGAACACCAGCGAGGACATACGCGCCGGTCGAGCTCACACTGACATGCTCGCTCATTGACAACTCCAGGCTTAGCAACCGACGCTCAGATTGAGAAGTTTGACGCGAACTCTCGGTTGTGCCTCAAGTCTGAACCCTGCCTTTCATGCTCTCATATCGCAACGTAACTTTCAAGCGCACCTTCATAACTCCCGTAATTCTGATCATATGCACCAGAGGCGTCTGTTGTAGAGCCATACTGACCAGGCATTCCAGCATTGTAACTGCCATTTTGATAGTAGGTGTCTTGTGCGCCTGAGTCGTAGCTAGTGTAACCTCCCATGTCGCCCTGGGGCGGGCCTTGATCATATGCTAAGCTTCCGTCGTAGCCTCCATAGCTGGGTGTACCCCCGCGACCACCACGATAGCCACCTCTCCCCCGAGAAGGGCCTCCCCTATCTGAGAAGCGATGTGATCTGTCAGGACCAAAGCCCCCTTGCCCGGGGCCACCTCTGCGACTGTGATCGTATCCCCCGCCATAGGGATGGTGACGATTCATGTTTACGTGGACGCTTCCAAGTGCTTTTTCAGTTGAGGTAACCGCTCAGTGATTGACGTGTTCTGGCGACGAAGATGTTTTGCACGATACGCAAGAATGTCGACAATTCTAGTCTTTTACAGTTGAAAGCTCAACTCAGGCAATACAGAAGCTGAGGGAACCCAGATAGCGAAAACGCAGAGATGGTGGTTGGCGTTGAGAGTCAAGATGAGGATCAATTTTCGCATGTCCAGCTCACTCAGATCAGAGCGTGGGAACATATCACGTGCCCCTCTCTGCCCAAGCTGCGCTGCCCGCACGAGGCTCTCCACATCGAGGCCGTCCTGCTCACCACCATGTCGAAACAGTTCCAGTTCAAACTTGTGCTCTTAGGTTAGTATGTTGTTGATGTCTGGATGCAGTGCGCTGAATCCTAGCTTTCAGGAGAGTCCGCGGTGGGCAAGTCAAGGTATGAATCAATCTCGTTTCAGACAAGCCAGTGCAGTCAGACGTCGTCCTACTAGCTTGGTCTTGCGCTTTGTGAAGGATCAGTTCGATGACTACAGGGAGAGTACAATTGGAGGTGCATCATTCTATGCATAGATAATGTATTCAGCTGCTTATCAGGACTGCAGCTGCCTTCCTGACGCAGACAGTTACTCTCGATGATGGAACGTCCGTAAAGTTCGAAATTTGGTGCGCTTGATGTCTGTTTGTTATATGTATAAACCTCACCAGAGACAGGGATACCGCCGGTCAAGAACGATATAAGGTGAGTCTCCCAAGCCACATCACGGATCCCTCATTGACCATGTCCCACAGTCATTGGTGCGAATCATCGTACGCCGTGAATTATTCTCCAATTCATATTCTTTTCCAGGCTCCTATGTACTATCGCAATGCAAACTGCGCCGTAGTTGTGTACGACATCACCCAAACCGCATCACTGGAGAAGGCGAAATCATGGATACGAGAACTGCAACGTCAAGCCGACCCCTCCATTGTAATTGCACTTTGTGGCAACAAGGCAGATCTTGCTGCCCGACGTCAAGTCACTCAGGAAGAAGCACAGAAGTACGCAGAAGAGGAAGGTCTTATGTGGGGGGAGACTTCTGCTAAGACCGGTGAAGGTGTTGCGGATATCTTTACCGCTATCGGTGAGTCCCGGATGTCGATATCACGATCCTATTCTGATTATTGGATCACAGCGAAGAAACTCCCTTTGACTGCACCGCCATCTGCCAGAGCTGGAGGGGCGAGAGCTGGTCCTGCCAAGACAGGGGTCGATCTCAACAAGCAAGCGAACACTCAGGGCGGACAGAACGAGCCATGCAATTGCTGAGCGACGTTCCTCCGTTCTCATTCCCTCTACACTCTCCAGTGCACCTTCTTTCTCCTCTGGCATTCCCCTTCATGGCATTCTTTCGCATTTTTATGGCTTTCTCGGCACACCTTGTAGTCTATTCTAGTCGTTATTCTGTTCACTTGGACTTTCCTTCTTATCACCACCTCACATACGGAGCGAACTATTCACGGCGTTGTTCGGAAATGTTCAACGTTTCAACGTCTAGTTGTGATTCTGAATGTGTGATTACAATTATCTAACGGATACAGTTGAAGGATAGAAATACAGCAAGATGATCCCTTTCCTTTCCCTCGCCAGCGATGAAAGGCATCCAAATCCCAAACCGGTTTGTGTGTAGATATCTCATAAATCCCAAGACGAGCTTAGATCAAAATCCAGCCATTTCCAAGCCCTTTCGAATATCTGCGCATTCGATTTCAGACTGTTGGACCTCCTGGCTTTTACTCCAAAACGCATCCGTGTCGATCTCTTCTGCCTGTGTGAGATTCGACTCAATAAAAACCATAGTCGCCGGGACCTCCACGAAAGGATACTGTTTCCCCTGATGTTGAAGCATAGCACTGACAACATCGGACCATTTCTGCCTCTTTACAAAGTTAACGAGAGTCGTGCTATTGTTGGCAGTGATGAAAGTGTTGTCAAGGTGTTGGTCGTTGATATGTATGATGTCCGTCAAGTACATGCCCACGAAAGGGACGCATGCCCCGTCGACGGCTTGTTGGAGGATTCGGTATGCAGAGAAGTTCCCCGATGGATCGTTGCATTTGGTGAGCGAGTCTAGATGCGAAGCTCGCCCAACGTAGGCCCACGTCAAGCTCAACCTTGTGATGACAACACTGGAAAGTGCGGTCACAATTGCACTGAGAGAAGCGAAATTGTTCATGGTACGGCATTTCTATTACAAATCAGGTTTTGTCAGAGATTCGCTTATGTCAAATTGGAGTACACACACATACCTCGGCAACCTTTACCCAAAAGTCGACCACATCCGCTCGTTTAGTCACCTTCTCGGTCTCCAAAATAGATGACTTGACCCATGCAGCTACACGATCGTGTGTGGCACAGAAACTTGCTAGACTACTAGCATCACCTTGGCGGGATTGTTTCTTCACGTAGTCAAAACAGTCCTTGGGTTGTATCCTAGAATAGAGCCTATGGTCATACAAGCAGAGATGCTCAGCCACGGCTGATGGATCCATCTTGAACAGGTCACCCTTCGGAGACTTGCTTTTCTTCCCCTTCTTTGTGGGAGAGACAGCGGACTTCGGTGATGAGGGAATGTCAAAGGTCTAAGATGCAACTAGCGGTTATTACAATAAATATAGACTCCGGTAAATATGCTCACCTTGCGCTCCAATACACTCATCACCTGCTTAGCAAGTACTCTATTTGGAGCGGGTTCCACAATTCCTGACAAGAATTCCTGCAGCCGTCTCGCTACTGGCGGATCGTCCTGGACCAACCTGTGGTGTTCCATCCAGACGGCAAAGACGCCTAACACTCGCTTTTGCGTTGGTAATAACTTCTTCGTTCTCCACAGGTCGAGCTCTGCATCAGAGAGGCCTAGAGGTGTCTTCATATCGTATCGTTTGAGAAGTAGGTCGAGCACTTCATCCGGAGTAGCAAATGTTTTGAATGTCATTAGGAAAGCGTGTCGAAACTGAGGTCCTTGCTCAGGCTCTATAATTGATCCCTTCTCTTAACGCCATAATATATGTCAATGAAGAATATGGACTTACTGAGAGGCTCCGAGGTCAATCGCTCTACCAGTGCTGCCACTGTGCCAGCAGTGACACTTCCGTCGAACTCCAGCTTTAACTCATCAGAACCAGAGTCTGACCGAAGAAACCATGGAACAGCATCATGCGTCGCCCATGCGTCATACAAGGCCTGTGCCTCGTCTTCTCCGGTAATCTGTTTAACCTTATCCAACCTCGGTGTATGTGAACGTGCCATGCGATTGGGAGAATATGCCTCAATAGACCCCGCAACCACCGGACTGCTCGCAAGAAAGTCTACTTCGTCAACGTTGCTCGACTCAAACAAAGTTGAGAGCCGGCTAAGAGAATTGCTATCGTCAATAAGGACCGGCCTTCTTCTCCGGAGATTGCGGTTTAGCACAATCGAAGTGTTACTGGGCTCTGAGCGAGCTTTGACCGGCGAATGTCCAGTTGAAGGTAAAGGCGTCGACATGGAACGTATCGGACGTTTATGTATCGGTAGCTTTGACTTGATGGGTGGTTTCGGCATCGGCGTTACAGGTGAGGGTGGGTATGGAACAGGTTTCGTATGGACTTCAATGGTTTGACCAAGATCATCCTCTGGCTCCGCAGTTAAGATGCTGTCCGAATCCCTGTCCAGAATCAATGGGCTGAACACTGGCGATATCACATCTGAAGGGAATCCGCCGCCAGGGCTGAGATCATTTCTTGTGACAAACACTGGTGAAGGCTGGGTACATCAGTCAAGACGCCAGCGCCCCGAACAAATGAAGCAAACCTTGTGTTCGCCGACAGGCATCCAGTCGAAGGCTCGCATAGCATCCCCAGGCGAAACATATTCGTACTCTGTACCAAGAGCCCCGGTTGTGTATGCTCGTTCGGTAATGTCTTGTACTCGAACATCCTCCTTGGCAACAGTCTTTCGACGCAAACGCTCTGCTGTTTGCTCGGAAATGGGTTCCACATAAGCGCTGGGTATCCAACCTACGGTGTGATCATTCTCTCGAAGAGCAGCCCACCAGCCCTGTAGAGGGTAATCGAGCGTGATCGAGGCGATCAGTGTATATACAAACATGCAGATAACTTCGAGCGCACCGAGTCCTCCTGCTTCACTATGTCTAGCACCTCGTTCTTCTTGAACGATAGCTGGTCTACGTCCCCCGCCTTGAAATCATATAGGCAAAGCACATGGAAGATCCCCGCGCTTGAAGGAGTATCAAACGAGGTTGCGATGCTAGCACGAGCTGAGGAGACACTTGAAGTCGGTGAAGCTTCGTAGTCGTCGCGATAAGAACATGATGAGTCTATAGAAAGACGGGGCAGCTGCTTCCTCGCCATCTCCACGGTTCGGATGCCAGTACCCATGCCTCGAGATAGCGATGCGGTCAAATTGGTAGCAGATCGAGAGTTACAACAGGATCAGACAAGGCGCGAAGGAGAAGGGAGATAAGGAGAGAAGAGAACAGGTATTTGTACGCCCTTATGTTACCAATTAGGGCACATAGTGTCCACTGCAGGTCTGAGAACGGCCCTTGTTGCTGTGAGCGTTCATGTCAAGATCTTGCCCGGCCCCGCTATAGCGACCGCATCAACCTGATCATCAGCCTCTCCTTGACTGGTGAGGCCGATAGAAACGCCAAAACAAGTCAGAATGGTAATTAAAGCTGGTAAAACCAAAGTGAGTTGAAATACAAGGTGGTTTTGGGCACAGAACTAGAGACGGAAGGAGATTCACGGAGACACGAAAATCCATCACAAGCCACAATAACGGATTGCCACAGTAAATTATGTTGCGTGTCGCAGTTGACAAGACATATGTATTTGGTTTCTGTCTGATATACTGCGTGTCCAGCCACAGCAGGCTCAAGGTTCAGGATGAAGCCTACAATTGTGACATGTCGGAGTCATATGCTGTGCAACATAGTATGAGAGCAGCAGAGCCCAGAATAGCGATGCAGAAAGTTGCGGCAATCAGACATAAAACAAGATGAGCATTACAGTAATGCGAGTTCACGCCGATGGTCGACAAGGGGCTTAATATGTTGGATCCTGGAGTGTGTTCCGACTCAAAGTCGGGTTCATTTTTATGCTTCCCGAAAGGGAAATTTGAAGTACCGGCAGCCCGGATCACGATCGGTGCACAGCCGAGATTACGATCTGTACAACTACGTAGAAGTCCAAACCCATGTATGTACTGAACACATTCATCTACAAAACGCGTCGAGATATCATCCTACGAAATGGTTCCATGGAATGCAGCTAAAGCGAAGGTAATTGCTCATATTGAGGTGTTGTCCGACGTGAACTTATGGCGCGCATGGTCTTTAGGTTCAACTTCGGTGCTTTCCATTCATAAGTCCTGGTCAGTGCTGATACTCATCGCTCGACCATAGATTAGGCGTCCAACGCTTGCGTACTCTACAGGAGAAGAAAGGTGCACAGGCTAAGGCCTCCAGGCGCGACATCGCTTCGCTACTCGAGAAAGGTCGGCTTGAAACCGCAAGAATCAAGGTAGAGAACAGTATGTGCACATCCGGCCGATACAGTCTCATATTGACCAATGTCGCGATCGTCACGTTTGACCATATGATAGTAATCAACGAAGACATCTATGTTGAACTATTGGAATTACTCGAGCTCTACTGTGAGCTTCTCATCGCTCGATTTGGTCTCCTAGACCAGCCGTAAGCCCTCGATCCTTCAGCTGACTCGTGCATTGCACTGACAGAAAGCATAATATAGAACACGAGAGCCGGACCCCGGAGTCGCAGAAGGCGTATACGCGATTATATACGCAGCACCTCGGACAGAGCTGAAAGGTAGACCCGTTTATCCGGCATACAATCTCCAATAACGGCACGTCAACTGACCATTCCTTTGCTCAGAACTCCATGTACTCCGCGACCTCCTCATGCATAAGTTTGGCCGTGAATTCTCTGCAGCGGTAATGGAAAATCGGGATGGGTGCGTTAGTGAACGTGTACGGCAAATTATTTCCTCATTCTCCCCTTCATCACCGTCGCTAATTTTATCCTTTACCCTTTCCTCCGTCTACCCCACATTTGTCTCGGCTCGTTATCACCCCCGTCTTTCACTGGGCCTATGCCGTCATTATGGTCATGTTCATAGATCACCAGGAAACTGACTGTCCTCATGCCATCTTCCGAATTGGTCGACGCGTATCTCTCTGAGATAGCCAAAGGCTATGGAATCGACTGGACTCCGCGCGTTCCAGAACCACCCAAATACGAAGTTGACGAACTGCAGGATGATGACGATGGAGAGGGAGGCGTGAAGGTAAGTCTGACCTATCTCCTCAACCCTTTCGCTTCCCCCCAACCCCTCATTGAAAACTTGACAATCTTTTCTTTGTTACGAAAACAGGAGCCTGAGAAGAAGTCCTTAGAAACCAGCGTACCAGTCAAAGCGGATGTCATCTCTGCAGAGGCGCGCAGTGCTGGGATTCGAACGCCCAAGCTGCCAGATGTGCCGCCAACAGTTGAATCGTCTAGGCCTTCTTCTGCCGCTGCGGGTGCCACGATTGCGTCAGATGCAAAAGCTTCCAAGTCTCAGCCTTCGCCACCCGAGGACGACTTTGAAGCATTGGCGAAACGATTTGAGGCGTTGAAGAGACGATAGCGAATGGGAAGTGGGGATTAAGACGATGATGGGGATGTATGACCTACCTGAGTTGTTCGTTGTATTATAAGTATGTCGTTTCTTCGTTCAAACTCGTGTATCCTGACCTCACATGTTCTCCGATCTTAGTGTATTGTAGGAGAAACAATTCGAAGAATGTATCATTACCATTATCTCTTCCTCAACAGACAACAACAGGCCCGCTGGGACGTTGGGTGATCATCCGCTTTACGAGCACTCCCTACTGATTCTATTCGCCTCACATTCTCGCCACTCCAATGGCCAAAGCAAATCTAGTCAGATATGTTGACATGCGAAGTTGCAGCAACCCGAGGGTGTGAGAACACTCTCCACGCTTAGCTCAACACACACATGGGCGGGCGACCTCGGCTCGTCAGCACGTCGCTAGAATGCCTTACCCCCACCTTCCAATGCTCACACGCCCGCCGTGTCGCGTAAAAGAATCTAAGTTTGTTGACAATTAATGAATTGCTCGAGGCGCATCCATTGACTGATTCGCCTATGATCTGCTGCCCAGGTCCTTGGATGCTCTTGCAGGGTCGATTGTGCGTATACGTATCAGTTTCTGGTAAGAAGTTCATAGATACGATTATATTCAAATTGCAACGGCGGCCACTTGTCCAAAGCCTCACCCTCACTCTTGGAGTTATGAAGGCACCGTGATCAAAGACAGAAATGACATTTCCCGAACTTACGCCAAATCAACCGGCGGCGCACGGTGCTGCATGGGCATACTACGATACCACGATTTCCTCGGAGTATGCTCTTAATTATAACATGCAACGCTGACCAATGCGATTGGCCCAATAGTTCTCGCAGTTCTCGCCCGTGAGGACCTAACTATGGACGAACGAGTAAGCAATGTCCGTCCATAATTACGAAGAATCACCTGCCTCTAGTCTGCCCATTAGAAGCCAATCAGCCACGAGCCAATAGGTACATCTCGGACTTCTTCAGTAGACTCCGCCGTGAGGGTGAGGCTTGCAAAATAAGGTGTGGGACACACGGACCCTGAAGAAGCACTGTGGCGAATCAGAGCGAATCACAACGACCATACAGTGTGCAGCGTGTTTCTGTTCCTTATTGGAACATCTCTTTCTGATGTCTTCTATGTCTTCTATAATCGACTATGTCTGCATCTGTGTGGTCTTGGGATCCCAAGACCTTATTGCCGATTGGCAGACCTCACGCGGAGCGGTCAAAATACTTACCACACACCATGTACTTCTTCGTCCAAGAAGAAACTATTTTGCATATTTCTGGTATAGTGTGATACACGAGGTGTAGATACAGAGGTTACTATAGGATTTGCAGACACCTAGAGCAAAATATGGCAGAGGGTTCAGCCATTGGACGATCTAGACCGACGAAATGGTCATTAAGACGTACAACCCGGAGAGCTACGGCTATAGAGTAAGTCGGAAAGCCTAGGGAAGGACGTGTACGTTTGACTACTGAAAGAAGAAGGGAACATCTAGTTAAGTATCCGAAAACATTGCAATAGATTCGTCTGCGACTGGCCATACCGACACGTTCTGGCGAAGATAATAGTGGATGGGCTGTCACCATAGAGTCCGTACACGACATAAGCACGCTCCCAAGGTCATCGCCAGCAAAAAATGAGGGGGCGTCAGCGAAATAGGCAATTAAACAGAGTGCGAAACTCGCGCAAGTATGTGGGCGGGACGCTTGTATATATCCCCTGGCCGATTGTAATGGCACAAGGCATACGTAGAATGATAGGCACGGCACGAGGGACCGTCCTGAAGATGAATGTTTAACCTGAGGCTCTTGTCGGTCGAGGCGTGTCAGCGGCGGACTTTGCTCCTTCATATATATGGCCGGCGGTAGGGAACAGTTGCAACACGTCCTATAAAAACGCGGCGACGATCGCGTCGTCGCCAGAAGGAGCAAATACGAGAGTATTGGTCACGGTCGGGGCCGATATGTGTCAGTGGAATGCCTGTAAGATTGAAGGACGGGTGCAGGCAGATCTTCAATAGATCCGACAATGCGCGTTGCAAGATTGAGTTCCAGGTTGCCATTGGACCTGAACCTCGCCGGCGGAGACAACTCGAAATGCGCCACCATGGGAAAGATCGTGACATAACATACGATCCAGAGGCGACAGTAGGACCAAGTCCGGAAGAACATGAGCCAATGGGTGCAAGGTATGCCCGGAATGCACCACCATGACGCAAAGATATAGGGCATGAATGCACACAAGAATGAAGCATTGAAAAAGGGAGTACGTACTTTCGGAGACGATAGATGAGCCGCCGACGAAAAAGTAGCGATCATCGGTGCCGTTACGAGGGGAAACGATCTGATGTCTGAATGAGTATTTGGAGGTACTGTATATGGTTAAGAATAAGCCAGCTCCTGCGTAGAAGACGACGACGAGGACATGCGTACGTCGCGAGCCATGAAGTGCATTGCACTTCCGATACAATTATGGAAAACGGCAGCTGTACAATTCATGCATAAGCAAACGATACAAGGAGTGGCCGGGAAGTCGCCATGAAGTGAGATGTGATACGCACGAGGGTCGTTCACAAGGTTGAAAAGCAACGATCTTTTGATTGCAATGATCGACCCCCCTCCAGAGGTGGGAGTCCCAGGATGTGAACGATATCTGGATGAGGGTATGGCATTACCTTTCTCGTTAGTAAATACGTATTGGGCTGAAGGTATAGAAGGCTATTTCTCGCGAAGATGCACATGTTGGAGAGTGCCAAGCATTGACTCCGAGAAAACCGGTATAACGGGGTCGGCGGAACGAGTAGAATCGATACATGTCTTGGGTGTCCTCCCCGGTCGTGTGGGATCAAAAGATACGGTTCAGGAGTATCAGGGTGCATTGTGTCCTTGCAGCCCCTTTAATACGAAGGAAAGATACATCTGGCCGGCGATGATATATGTGACCGCCTATGGGTAAAGTTGCCCAATTGGGCATATGCACGTGGCGGGAATGGGATTTGTGGTTCTCCGCCGGCAAGGAGGAGTGAAGAGACAGGAATTCATTACGCACGACCAGGACCCGAGGCAGGCTATATAACTCCTCCTTCCGCTTTCCCGTAAGTCCCATCTCCTCACCCATGCTGTCTTCCTGTTGTGGCATCATGCTTGCTCAGTCCATGCGCGACACGTTAGACGATAACAGTGATACTTGCTCGATAATGTCGGGCTCGACTTTATCACGCTTTCCACCAAGCAATGCAAGCTCTGCTACCTCAGACTGGGAGATGCGGACACCTTCACCAGAGCCTTCGGTCTATTCAATGACTACTTCGATGCGAGAAGCTGCTTATCGTGAACTGCACGGTCGCAATGTCAATAGCTACTCTGACGTCTACTCCTTGCCAGCCGACGACCAAGAGCTGCAGCGACTAGGTCAGTAGACCATTGTCTTTCCGGCCTGCCGGTCGGTCTTAAGTCCTGCACAGACCATCAACATGAGATGTTCAAGGCGACCATGGGAAAATACCCTCCCCCGCTACCTGTTATCCTCGCCGAGCAACCTGGCATCCAGAAGTTGGCCGTCGATCTAGGCTGTGGCAGTGGGAGCTGGTGTGTTACTTCACGTCATTATGTATCTCATCTTTGTTGACATCAACAGGATCCTGGATGTTGCTCGCGACTTCCCGCATTGCAGCTGCGTCGCCATAGATTTGGTGCCAATGCAGAACCTGTGAGTACATCGACTTCTCCGGCAGATTATTCTCACACACTCTTCGTAACTTCTTCAGGGATATGCCACCCAACTGCAGGTACGTGAGACAGGGTACAACAATCGCAGCACACTGATTCTTCTCCCGTTGGCATGTTCCAGGAGCGAAGTTGACGACATCAATCTCGGCTTAGATCACTATCTCTCGACTTTTGACGTTGTCCATGCACGTCTCATTTGCACGGGAGTAAGTCTCTCTTAACCTCACTTTTGGCGTGCTCCCTTCGCGTTGTCGGATTTGAACTTTTATCCCGCCGCTCTTATGAACCCGGATCTGATCTATGATCTCCGTGCCTGATCTACCTTTCTTCCTACTTTTATTTTCTCCATCTCAGATTAAAGATTATGCTGGGCTTGTCAACCACATGGCGCTAGCGCTCCGCCCTGGAGGACTCCTCGACCTAACAGAGTACAACTTCATTATTCATGACGCAAACAGAAAACCTATCGTCATCACCGACGACGATGTACTCAACATGCGGGGACCATGGTTACCTCGATGGATGAAACTTGCGCAGCGCGCGATTCGACACCGAGGTGGAGAAGTTGATGCTGCGGACCATCTCTATATGTGGGTTTCCCACCATGGTGCATTCCAGGATGTCGTCCATAGACAGTTCTGGTACCAAGCGTCTCCTTGGAACCGCCACAACGACGCGGAATCTCGTCGACAGAATGAGATCGCGACGACCATGAGGGAAGATATGCTGGTGCGTATCTCACGGATTCGTATCAGCACTACGCGTTGAGTATCCCTATCTTATTCTCTAGGAATTCTTGAAGTCAGGTCGACCACTGCTTCTAGGAGCAGGCATTCCCGAGGATATCGTGAACATCATTGAAGAGCGCGCTCGCGCTGAGCTGAATGAGGCAAGAACGCCGTTGTACATCCTGATCGAAAACATTTACGCCATCCGACGCAATAATTAGACTAGACTTGCGTTTGTTCTTTTCTTTTTTTTTTCCAACTGCTTGGCTCTGAGGTTTGTGTTACTCTTTCTGGTCCCATTTATATGATGCGATACCCTCCCAAGTCCAAAGATCTTTGTATGATAGCCGTTTTTTCTAGGGAAAAATGTAAATATACTTGACTCGTTGATGCTGTTTATACCAAGCTTACTATGGTGCCGAATATCCGTTTAAAGATGGAACCACCTCGCTATGCCCGACGAACTCCACCTTAACTTCGAAGCAAAGCACTTCCCATATTGGGGATGCTCGGTGATTGCCATTCCCATTCCACAGCTCCTATTGGTTGCAAGATCCCCAGTACTTCAAGAAGCCGACGAATTGTGAGGTGCTCTGTATGCCTGTTCTCCCATGTCTTCCTCGAATCCTCCTCTCCATTTCATATAGGTATGAAATAGACTCAAACTCCCACATCCAGACAATCAGGGAACAAACGAATACCTTATTGCTGCCTCGTCCCACTTCGCCTCCGTGGTCCCGTTCGCTCATCGACAACTTCGCTCTTTCGTCGTCTGATATCCTGTCATTCTCGTGAACCCAGAGCCTCATCCTCTAGAGTACTCTGGAAGCGGAGCCGACGTAGAGGGACTTGGAGAAGACCAGTGGAGTCTGCCGATTCTCTGAGCTACTAGCTCGGTTACACGATCTAGGTCTAGATGGAGTCAGGAAGGCCGAGTAGGCATCGGAACTTGTGTGTTTGGCTGTGTAGCAGGTAATGGATTGCTGCTTGTCGATGAATCCGTTTGATTCGGAACATTCACGCTCGCGGGTGTTATTGCCTCAATTCGATGCCCGTTGCCTCCGTTGCCGGTGTTGGTGTCGATGCTGGCTGTGAGAGTCGTGTTGCTGCTCATATGCACATTGGCTGCAACAACGTCCAGGATGTATGGAGAAATATCTCCGAAAGTACTCTCTGCGTCTTCGCTGAGTTGTCGGTGGGATCTCCGGAAGAAGAGGAACAGGAGGAATAAAACAATAATGACCACAGCTAGGACTGGGCCGACTGTTAACCCTATATCCAGTTCTGGTTTGGACGCAAGGGTTAGGTCCGCAGAGACACTGTCAAAAGATGCATCTATGACCCGTCCGACGCGAGTTTCAATGAATAGTAACTTACAGTGTGGTGCTTTCAGTTATGTTGACTTTGCAAAACTTCGCATATGACAAGGCCAATGGGGCAGCGCTCGCATCGGAGAGCAGGAATTGATACTGTGCAGCGGGATCCAGATCACCGCGGTAACATAGCAGAGAGTCACTGATGAACCAATGCGTGCTTGCGTTGTATGTTTCCTGTAAACCCGAACCAAGCTTATCGCTGGTCAATGCCTGTATATCAATCCGAGTGTGAAGAGAAACGTCAGGAGGGAAAAGATGAGACATACAGCTGTATACAAGCCATGGCCACAACTTCTACTACCATTCACAGATATGCCGACGCTGCTGGTGAAATTTATTGACACGGATGCGCCTTGAGTGGACGTCTCGTGGAATGCCGCAGGTCTCGCTGTAATTGGGATTCGAAAGTCGTTGTTAATCTGCCAGCCTGGACTATACGTGAATGTAGTGTCATCAGTATTTTGATATGGCGAGCCTATTCTGAATGGATTTAAGTTAAACACTCGTTAATACAGGCGGGAAAAAGGCTTTACCCTGATGGAGTGGTATCCGATACAATTGCTCGATCAAAACTTAGTTGTTGATCAGTCGCCGGAGATAATGTCAGATTCACTCGATGATTTTGATGCTCGAGACCGTCATGCGCAACTAAGACGTCGTCCAAAGCTGACAGATGCGATGTAGCCTAACTTGTCGTCCAAGGTTACCTGATATGAGCTATTTGAGGTACCGAACAGATATATCGCAGTGCCTTCCCCCTCACCATGAGTCCATAGACGTCATCTAGAAGACATATTACTGCTCACCGACGAAATTTAGAACCATACTCGCACCGGAGGCACTGCTCGTGTGTAGCGAACTCCCAATAGAGGGCTGCCCGCATTGAGAATCATGAGTGCCATCTGATCCAGAACCAGCAAAGAATTGCTGCCATCCTGCATTTACAGGCCCATCTCCTGAAACATTTGAATCGCTTGATCAGCATGTCGGAACGAAGAACAACATGATCGATGGACCATACCATACAGCGTATAACATGGAGCTAGTATCTTTGATGGCAGAGTTGTAAGTGACAGACATGTCCGCAACAAGACCGAGATGTACGCGAACGAGTCGTTCGAGAACGTCGCTTCATATATGAATGTTGCATCGAAACTTTGAGGATGTATCTCATCTGAAACGACCGCGTGCTATGACCGTTGAGGGAAGGTTTCGGGTGAGACACAAACTACATAACCGACGGTTGATGCTAAAATGTCGCTGCAAGATTGGTGCATATACTTGCTAGCAATGATGTCATCATGTGAAAAAGCTCTGCTGTGCACAATCAGTATGAATGGCAGTTATCATTGACCCACCTCTTACCAGATAATTGAATCAGGAAGTGCAGTGTACCGAGGTGACTCCGTGACGGCGAGCACCTGGGTGCCTCGAAAGTGCACCTTCAAATTTCACACGTTATTCATCAAGAAGCAGCATTGATCCAACCGTAGTTGATGCACCTATTCTGAACTTCATTAGGGACGAAAAGATGTCATAAAGACATCTCAATAAGCAAGCTGAGCGATGACAGGTCCTCTGAAGTCCTCTGAAGTAAGCACAGCTCAGTGGTGCACAAAGCTCTTGCACGTGTGCATAAGCACGGTTGGCTCCAGTGATCAGTAGAGGACTGGTCGGTGCGATACGAAGAAGACTTTGTTCTCCCGCCGCCAGGATTGCAACGAAGTGACGCTTCCACTAGTCGAATTTAATTCGGATGATGATCGTAGATATTTGCCCGCCATGGACAGAGCAAGGTATAATAGCCACTATCAAAGTGATCTTCTATATGGTCATCGTTCACCACTTTGGATACCGTGGTGGAGGAACGGAAAGAGTAGGAGGAGGCAGTGGGTGTGAGTCCGGCGGTCGGTCGATACGTTGCGCGATGAGCTCTATGATCCGGTTCACGTCCACCGGTGGTGAAGACATTGATGGTAAAGGGCAATCAGCCAGATTTGAACGGGTTGGTGGGGTCAGGTCCTCCTCACGAGAAGGCCTGGGTTCATCGGGCTGGGGATCTTCTGGTGCGTGGCGATCTTCGCCTATCGCGTTCGCATCGATAAAATGCTTTTGGTGAGCTTGTCTTCCTGAAGCTGTCATGCCGGCGAATCCGGAGGGTTGTCTCATTCCATCGCCGGGCACTTGAGTTGTTGGAAATGGCACAACGCCGCCCAGAGATATCCGATGGCGAGACCGACATTTTCGTCGCCTCAGCCACAGAAAAACGGAGAGCAGAATGATCACAGCAACTGCGACTACGGGACCAACGATGATACCGATACATAAACTGCCTTTAGAACGCATATGAGTGCTCGTAGGTACACTGCTGTTAACCACCATTAAGTGCCCGAAATGCTCTTGAAAGTGAACCACGTACGCAGCAGTATCATTGCCAAGTTGATATAGTGTGACATAATTCAAAGTAAATTTGAGATCGTCCAGATTTGTGATCTGCAACTGGTACTGCCTCATTGGGTCCAGACCAGCTTGGTAGAACTTCAAAGTATCACCTATGACCCAAAACGTGCTGGCGTTATACTCATAGTTGTATTCGTAACCGTCATTGAAGTCACTCAGTTTCTAACCAGGCTGTCAGCCTTCGTATTTGAGGACTAGTGAGATATTACAAACCACAGAGTACCTTCCATGACCGCAATTTCTGGAGCCGTTTAGAGAGATGGCCATACATTCGGTGAAGTTTATGGAAACAGATGATCCGGACGACAAGGTGTAATGAAATGGTTGTGGGTTGTCTCTTGTTGGCACATTTCTGTCGGTGGTATTCTGCCAACTCCCGGCGTAGCTAAGCACCGTGGTATTGCTATTGTCAATAACCGTTGGGCTTGGAGCGCCTGTTCTACCAGCGATAATCAGCTTTATATGAACAAGTGACGAGAGCTGGGCTCACCCCTTCGGCGGAGCGTCTGTAATCATTGCTCCATCAAAATGTAATTGCCGACCCTCCGAGGCTAACACGGTCAGATTGAGAGAATGTTTGACACGTGGAAGGTTCTCTTGGAAAAACAGTAGATCGGAAGATGGGGGAACGTGGGTCGTTGGGTCACTATCCAAGCTGACCTGATATGTGTTGTTAGAACTGCCGTACACATAGACAGCCGTTCCTTGGCAGGGTCACACAATTATCCACACACAAGAGATAAAGTAAACTCACCCACAAAGTCGAGCGCCATGCTCGCGCCATTATATGCCGTATAGTGTTTTGATTCTCCGATACCAGCATCCCCACATGCTGGATGAAGACCATCGCCAGATGCAGAGAAATACTGTTGCCAGCCACTGGTTAGATTGCCATCGCCTACCCATCGTAATCGAACTGTGAGAAGTACTCTTGCGGGACGGTGAAACAAACGGACCATAGGGTGTGAAGCTCAGAATAGAACTGGTGTCTGAAATGGTGAAGTTGTAAGGGGTACCCATAACTACGCAGCAGAAAGCGCAGGGATAATGCCACTCCTCTGGATTATAACCGATGTGCATGAGAAAACTGCCCGCTAAATAGCCGCGCACTATAGAGAACCATGAAATCAGGTTAAATCTATGGTGTGACCGTCAAATAGACAGCATTCTGCCAAAGCATATTCAGTGTTTCAGTAATTGCGGTCAGCACTCCCAATGATACAGCATCACTGGCGATTGCACAGCAGAAAAAGTATCAAGCTCGACCGTCGCACTGTCAAGAACGACCACATCACCATTCTAACTTGAATCCATTGATCGGAAAGTTCGCTGCGAGTGAGAATGCGAAAAGTCAAATCCTGGGATCTTCAGATCGCATTCATGGCGTTGCTCAGGCTTGGCTCAGGCTGAGCGAAAGCTTCAACTTGCCTTGTCAGAAAAAAGACGCACAAGCGATCCGTCAACAACATTACACAACGCAGATAAGATTAGACTTCCTTTCTTGCCTCCGACCTTCATCTCCTTCAATGCATCCTCTTGACAAAGATGCTCTAATAGATGTTATCATAGACCCGAGACCTGAAAATGCTGAGAACATTTTGTCGGAAATTGGTCTCGCTTCGTTACCGTCTCGCGAGCAAGTGCACGCGGAGATAGAAACTGAACTTCTCCTACCGAAGTCAAGTCTACCGTCACACTGGCTACCAACGTATCAAATGTACGACATGGAAAGACTCCAGATTGCTGAATCTGAATCATTGATTGTAGACATTGGGAACACGATCTGTCAATACCGTCACTGATAACATTCGAGCCTTCACCTCCGCCGACTACTCTTGGGTTCGTCAGGTCAGGATTGCATGGCCGTGTCACTGGTTACACCGAGGTATGCACTTTAGGACATCGTCCCTGGGAAACATCTAAATATGTGACAGATATCCAATCCGAAATTGAGGACAGGTCTCACTTCAACCTCTCTTGAGCGCGCACCTGGACCCAGTGACAACTTCGTGAGAGGTAAATCAGGATATGTACCTTTTTGGCCTGGAGGAATGGAAGATGTCTCCAAGGAGTCCGCCGCCGTTCTCGATTTAAGTGAAGCCTCTGAGGGTTTGAAGTCAATACCTCCTGGCTTCAGCCGAGGTCTGCGCCTTCCTGGCGATGAATTAGAGGACAGCATTTTGTCAACACTCAAGCTTCCCTCAACAAAGCAACAGGGTTATATTGTGGTATGCTTTTACACACTTTATATTATCTGTTCTTCGCTTGAGCTGATTGACAGAATGGTGAGGCTGAGATTGCAGATGAGGGGATCGAACCAGAGGTCCCACTCACTGTCGAGGACGCCACATTTGATATCGACAGTTTACTACCGACAACAGTGTGTAAATTCGCATGTCGCTTGGTTCTGCCATTGATTCTATGATTTTAAGACTGCGCGTTTGAATCCCATAGCCTCTGCTCAACGTCCTTTCCGAAAAACAAATATCCAAAAGCGTGACTGGGTCCATGTGGTGGATATCAATAAACCAATGACAAATTTCCATGAACTAGTGCCTGAAATGGCTCACAAGGTTGGTCATCCGACCTCAATTGACTGTGCTGCAAGCTTACGGTATTGCTTAGTACCCGTTCGAACTAGATACCTTCCAAAAGGAGGCTGTGTATCACTTGGAAATGGGAGATTCCGTGTTTGTTGCAGCTCATACATCCGCAGGCAAGACTGTAGTGGCAGAATATGCGATCGCGCTGGCTGCGAAACATATGACTCGGTGATTATCATTCGTCTGTATCTTCCTCTTCACTGCTCACTCGGTGAACTTATAGCGCCATCTATACATCTCCGATTAAGGCGCTGTCCAACCAAAAGTATCGCGACTTCAAGCAGACGTTTAGTTCTGCTTCGGTTGGTATCTTGACCGGCGATGTGCAGATTAATCCCGAGGCAAACTGTTTGATAATGACTACAGAAATCCTGAGAAGTATGCTCTATAAGGGCGCTGATCTCATTCGAGACGTGGAATTCGTGATCTTCGACGAGGTTCACTATGTGAATGATGCAGAGGCGAGTGATATGTTATGCGCTTACCTGTCAAATTCTCATTTTCATCTGACACCTACAGCGAGGAGTGGTCTGGGAAGAAGTCATTATCATGCTTCCCGACCACGTAAACATCATCCTGCTATCTGCGACGGTACCGAATACCAAAGAGTTCGCCGATTGGGTTGGGTATGTTTTTCGCCAAAGTTTCTAGATCCGGTGTTAACACAGTCCTGCAGCCGAACGAAGAAAAAGGACATATATGTTATTTCGACGGCTAAGCGCCCGGTACCTCTGGAGCACTATTTGTATGCCGGACGTGACTTGCACAAGGTCGTGGATGCAAATAGACAATTTCTCTCAAAAGGGTATGTGACATAGATGTGCCTTTCATTGATGGCTAGTTCAACTATGTCCCTAGCTACAAGGAGGCAGGAGAGGCACTGCGTCGGAAACAAGACAAGGAACGGGAAGCTGCGGGTCTTCCACCTGTGCAAAAATTGGGTGCGCGCGCAGCTGCGCCTCAACGAGGTGGGCAACGAGGAGGCCCGCCGGGTCGTGGGGGTCAGTCAGGGCGCGGAGGTGGCAGGGGTGGTGTGCCTTCCCGAGGGTCAGCTCCCACAGGGCGTGGCGGTTCGTCAAGGACATTTCATCAACCCGACAAGAATCTCTATGTTCATCTTCTCGGGCATCTTCGCAAGAAGGCATTGTTACCTGTGGTCGTCTTTACCTTCTCAAAGAAACGCTGTGAAGAAAATGCAGGCACATTGACTAATGCGGATTTGTGTACCTCGGTGGAGAAGAGCGAGATTCATGTTGCCATTGAGAAAGCACTGTCTCGCCTCAAAGGTAGTTGATATTTTCCTTTGCCAAGATTGGAATTGATCCAAGTCCATGCTAGATGCCGATAGACGACTACCGCAGATTCGCCGCATGCGAGACCTCCTATCTCGTGGTATTGGGGTCCATCATGGTGGCTTACTACCGATTGTTAAGGAGGTGCATCTAAAGTACATTGCTGAGAGTCTTTTCTCACGCATTCTACATAGGTGGTGGAGATCCTATTTGCCCGAGGACTCGTCAAGATTCTGTTCGCTACTGAGACATTTGCCATGGTATGTCAAAGTTAGTATTCTAATTTCGAAATGGCCATTGACACACTTCCAGGGAGTGAATATGCCTGCAAAATCTGTTGTATTCTCGCATATCCGAAAACATGATGGACGTGGCTTCCGGGACATTCTTCCTGGAGAATACACGCAGATGGCCGGACGCGCTGGGAGACGTGGTCTGGATCCGACAGGAACAGTCATCATTGTCGCCAGTGATGACCTCCCGGAGGTGGGTTTTCTTGCATCTAACAGGTACGATGGTTGACTCATGCATCGCACGTAGCAAACCACACTTCATAACATAATCCTCGGTACTCCGTCAAAGTTACAGTCACAATTCCGCTTAACATACAACATGATTCTGAACCTACTGCGTGTGGAGGCTTTGCGAGTCGAAGAGATGATCAAACGCAGCTTTTCTGAAAATGCATCTCAGCGGCTACTACCTGATCAACAAAAGAAGGTGATTGAGGTATGTCTGCCGTCACATCTCCCGTAAATGTGCGATTGGCCAATGAATTTACATATGTCAGGGAGAGAATATACTTGCGACACTGCCTAAACTGGAATGTGACATTTGCGCACCTGACATCGACCAATTCTATGATGATGAGTATGAGATCGTGGAACACAACAGTCGACTCATTACTCTAGCCTCCAATCATCCTCAAGGGGTCAAGCTCCTCTCACCTGGAAGAGTGATTATTCTTAGAGATGGGGTGAGTACAATGCACTTCGGATTGTAATACAGTTCTGATACCAGGCATTCAGCATTTCAAATGGAATATCGGCGTTCTCCTCAAACAGTCTGTATTTGCTTCCAGTCAAATCGGTGGCCGGGATAAGGTCAAACTGTATGATGTCCTTGCACTGGTTACACGAGAAACCAAAAGCGGAAAGCACGGTCAGTCGCAATTCTTATATTCCATTAATCATGGTTCTCACAAAATTGTTAGATGTCGACGGACAGGCCGTGCCTCCCCGGTGGCCTGCTCGACCTTCCGACATAGATGGTACTGGCGATGTGTATGATCTGCGCAGCGTTTCCACGAACAGCATTGCGATGGTGACTACCCGCAGCCTGAAGGTAATCTACCTTCTGCTATCTGTGATGGACTGTCAAATGTTCTGACCGAATTCACAGCTGGATATCAATATGATCGTACACGGCCATCGCATATCCCATATGAACAAGGCTATCCGGATGCTTCGGGAAATCTTACAGGAATGGAAGACCGCTGGCGACAGAATACCGGAGGTTGATTGGAGCAGTCGCATGCGTTCTTTGGAATTCCAAGAGACTCTCCGCGCTAGAAACGAGTTGGTATCAAGATTGCCACGTTATGCATGCATACTTTGTAGCGACTTCGAACGACACGTAAGTCGCTTGCTCAAATGCTCCAGGCTTATTCGCACTCTGACCGTATCTACTTTTTTAAATCAGTATGCAATGCTTAACGGCGAAAAGGTCCTGCGAGCGAATGTCGCCCAACTGAAGTTGGCCATCTCGGATCAGAATCTAGAGTTGATCCCGGACTACGAGCAGCGGATCGAGGTTCTCAAGGAGCTCAAGTTCATTGATGACAATTCGACTGTACTTCTGAAGGGTCGGGTTGCTTGCGAAGTATGCATCACTGCTCTAATTGGGACCATTGAAGAGCTTTGCAACTCACCTCACTGGTTTTCTAGATAAATTCTGCGAATGAACTTGTCCTCACCGAGCTTATTCTGGAGAACACCTTGGCAGCCTACGAACCCGAGGAGGTAGTCGCACTCTTGTCGTGCTTCGTTTTCCAGGAGAAGACAGATGTGGAACCCGTCATACCCCCAAAGCTTCAGGAAGGCCGAGATGCCATTACGGCTATCGCCTCACGCGTCGAGCGTGTCCAGGAGCAAAACAAAGTCCCGATCGAAGAGTTCCGTGCTCTGAAATTCGGGCTAGTGGAGGTAGTGTATGAGTGGGCGAAGGGCATGGTGAGCATGATATGACCTACTGAGACCGTTTAATTGTTCGTTAATGATTGCAAAACAGCCATTCGAACAAATTACCGACCTCACTGATGTTGCAGAAGGTACCATCGTCCGAGTAATCACCCGCTTGGATGAAACATGTCGAGAGGTCAGAGACGCAGCCCGTGTCATTGGCGATGCCGAGCTGTTCAAGAAAATGGAAGAGGCCCAAATCAAGATTAAGCGAGACAGTACGTCGTTTACCTTCATTTCGGGCTGTTTCGCTCGCGCCGAACTGACATCGGCTTCCAGTTGTGTTCGCAGCAAGTCTGTATTTCTAGACATGGATTCACATATGCACATCTGCTGTGTCATCGCAGCAACATTGTCACCTGTAGCTCAAGAACATGTAATAATTGCACAGATCACACGGCGGAACGCAAGGATTTTATCCTCATGAGCCCAAGATTATATATGTACGAAACCAATACAGATGAGCAGTAAGCTGGGAAAAATAGGAAGAACCTCAACATGAACCTCCTTCGTCTGCTTTTGCCTAAGAACCTCGCGATTACTTCCGCTTCTTGACAGGGGTATCGGCCTTCTCACCACCTGCGGGGGCCACGGGAGCAGTCTCGGTCTTTTGCTTGTCGTCGGGAGTAGGAGCATCAGTCTTCTTTGTGGACTGTACAGCAGTATAGTCAGCGTTGTGAATGTGCATAAGAGTAGAAGAGACTAACCTTGGTAACAGGAGCCTGTTGTCCGCCAACGAGGCCAAAGAGGGCACCAATCATACCGAAGAAAGTGACAACAGCAAGAGCAAGGCCAGCACCGGTCTCGGGCTGAGTCTTGAAAGCGGTGATGGGATCAACCTTAGCGGCGTCAACGAACTTGAAGACTCGGCCGCGGATAAAGGCAACAGGGTCATCCTTGAAGGAAACTTCCTCCTCACCCTCCTCCTCGTCAACCTTGTTGGCAACCTTGTTAGCAGCCTCCTCGAGGGGACGCTTAACGTGGAAGGTCTCGTCAGCGAGCTTCTTCGCGTCCTCAACAGAGTGACCAATGTAGATGTTGTCGAAAAGGATGTCCTCAGTCATAGTCCAGAGCTCGATGCCAACACCGCCCTAAGAGTAATTACGTGAGTCAGAAGCAGAGTTTAGTGGGGAAAATGGAAAATGAACATACAATGGGCTTGAGGCTCTTGACGGGAGTGAGGTCCTGGAAGAACTCAGGGTTGGGGATCTTACGGGGAGCCCACTCGCCCTTGTATGCGGGGTTGTCAATCAGAGGAGCATACCACTTGCCCTTGTAAGCAGGATTGGGCTTGAATGGGCTACAGAAATGATATGTCAGACCAGAGTAAAACATTTGTTATTGTGTGAGACTGTACCGTTTCCACTCGCCACATCCAGGAGCCTCGTCACACTTGGGGTTGCGGATAGTGGGTGCGATCCAATCACCGTCTTCCTCGTCATCCCACTCTTCGGGCTTCTCAGCGTCGGGGTCAGGAATGAATTCAGGCTCGTCATCGAGCCAGCCTTCGGGTTTAACGGCCTCCTCATCGGGGATCTCGTAGGGTGCATCCTCGTCCCAGTCCTCAGGCTAAACCAACGTATGAGTACAGAACATTAATGAAGTTAGAACGACTACAAACCTTCTTGGCGTCAGGGTCAGCAATCTTCTTCTGGTCAACCCAGTCCTCAGGCTTCTTGTCATCGGGATCATCGATCTCTTTGGGGGGATTAACAGAAGGGGCGAAATCCTCAAGCAGGTTACCGAGGTTGTGGCTCTCGCCGTTGAACAGAACATCGTAAGTGTTATTAGGGCTATCAACAAGGCGTACGTCAGTTCGGAAAACAAGGATACCGTGGGAAAGACAAGTATACGCACTGAAGAACGAGAGTATACAAGTTAGTGAGCTTCTCAATGGAAGGTCTGGGTGGTTGCTTAAGGTGCTTCTCCTCAAACTCGCCAGTGACTGGGTTCTTGTGACGGAAGATGAAGTGAATCTAGAGATAACACTATGTCAGAATGATCATATGAACATTGCACGGACAAGTGAGACACACCTTTGTTCCGGGGCAAGTCAAGTCGGGACCAAACATGATGGTCCAAGGAGTCTTGTCAGAAAACTCCTTACCTGCGGTCTGGAAACCATCTTCAAGCAACTTAAGGTAGCCACCACCGCAGTTGCCGCCCTTCTGGTACTGGACCTCATATTGGACAACTAAAGGCTTGTCACCAAAGTCGATGGTTTTCTCGAAAGGAGCAGAGATGGCATGGTGAGCAGCCTTGGTCTTTGCGACCAGACCCTTCTTGCCCTCGATGACGGGGGTGATGGGTTCTTCGACTTCCCACTTGCCAACATAACTGAAGGTCTCGCCACCGACGGGGGTCTTCTTGGTGGCTTCTGAAGGTGTCCACCGGTCTGACCAGTCGTCAGTGAACTGTTCAAGGAAGGGGGCCTTGATCTCAGTTGGCTAGAGGGTATGTGCTGTCAGTATAATGCACACGCCAAACGCCGGGTGCGCTCGCCACAACTGACCTTGAAGACGGGTTTGGGATCCTCTGTCGCCGCAACGCTGGTAGCAGCGACGACGAGCAGAGCAGAGAGCGCTACTCTTCGCATTGTGTACGAAGGACCGTGACGAGGATAAAAAGATAGAGAAATGAAGGGAAGAGAGATGTAAGAGCTTGAGAGAGCTGCTTGCAGTAGCCGCCAGCTAATAATCCCGGCTCATTCGTCTCTGCCACGTAGCCTTTCCATACCCTTCCACCTTCCCACGGTCTCAGACACGACACTTAGCACAAGCGAACTTCTCTCGCATGGCCATCGCTCATGGGACTTCGGAAAAAATACACTTATTCACAGCACTAAGTACATACAAAAATAACATCCACTCTACCCAAGCAAATCCGCATGTCCCGACGCAGATAACGCAAGCTGCAACCATAAAGTCAATTTCCCTGATACTTGCATCATATTCAGATGAAAGTGTGCTTACCACAAACTCGTCATCGAGATATTTCGACACTGCGATCTGGTCGCCCAGACCCTTGCGGCGTCGAGTTTTAAGCACCAAGTCTCTAGCAAGTGCTTGTCCTGAAGCAGGCTCTAGTGGTCGCAGCTTGATACTCGTGTCGGTAGGGTCACCTAGAAACAAGCGTCATTAGCATCCGGTACTTATTCATTTTGGCAAAACACAATCGAAGCCTACCAGGCACTATCGACCAATGATCAAACACTTGCAAACAGAACGCTTGCCCTTGCGTTGCGGTCCGCAGGTCAGTCTCGAACCCGTTTGCGTCAATAACCGGGATGAGGGCTTTAACCGTATATAACGGCGAACCAGCTTTTGGTATATCCTGCGTAACGTGCCCTCGGCGCCGTGCCAGTACGGTGTATACCGCCGAAATGCAGTCTGCTGGTGCTTGAACCTCGACGAAGTAGACGGGCTCCATCAATCGAGGGGTAGCCTGTCCGATGTACATCCGTTAGACGTTTGATGGTACTTGATGCAAGTCAGGACATGCTCACCATCAGGAAGGAAGAATAGCAAACACGACGTGCTGTTGGGACAATTTGTCCTCCTCCACGGAAGATTGGTTCTTGTGCCAAGCTTGCGTCGAGTAGTCGGAACTTCACGTTGCGCATGGCTAGAAACGATATTCAGCCTTGGGTATAGTCAAGGTGACAAAGACAACTAACGTTCATCACACAGTGGTCCTTCACGTGCACCCCACTGGAATCCTTGTTTGATGTGCTCCTTCACTGTCCCAAGCAACTTTTTGTCAACCTGGACGAGATAAAATCAATCAACACCGATGCGTCATCGACAATATCAGACGGGCAAACCTGTGAAGGTAAGGTATCATCGAGCAAGATATTTGGTCCATTCTCATCAGGACCAAATGCCCAGATGGAACGAGAGGCAAGCAAATCCCATTGGTACTTCTCCTGGAAGAATGTACCTCGCTCTTTTGGCGACATGCGCATCGTCACACGCCCGTTCTCAAGATCCTCCGCGATACCTCTCTCGAGAGGCTCGGCAATCATGGTGAGCTTGTTCCTGGCAACATCAAAAAATCAGCACAGATGAAGAGTAGGGGAAGAAAAGGGAAGAAACTGACTTCTTATTCGGTGTATCTGCATAACACTTCAATGCACTCGTCTCCAACACCGTCTCACAGAACTTCGTCACCGGATCAGACACCTTAATCTCAATCTCCGCAAATAATCTCCTCAAATCGTGCATCACACAATCCAAATAGAGCTCCCCGGTCCCAATCACGACATGTTCACCACTTTCCTCCACCTTGGTCGATACCAACGGATAGGACTTGTTGATACTCCTCAGACCTGCCAGCATCTTGGGCAACTCTGACGGAGCTATAGGCTCGATAGCGATTTTGAGTACAGATTGCGTCATGTGTCGAACGGGACGGAAAATGTAGAGGTCTTCTTGCATTTCGTCATCTACTATGGTGGCGCTCTTAGAGATGGAGGCGTCCACACCGCCAAGAAGGACGAGGTTGCCCGCGGGGACTTCTTGAGCTGGGATGTTGTATCGAGCTTCGCTAATCCAGACATCGTCAACAATCGCTTTGGCCATGTCCTCTTCGTCCTCAGGCGAGTAGCCTTCACCAAGGACTCTGACTTCCATACCCTTCTTCACGGTACCGCTGAATACACGACCGAATGCTCTGAATGATTGCGCGTCCGTTGTATGATACAGTTTGCTGATGTGGACCATCACTGGCGCATCGGGGTCGCAAGCTTTCATGGCTTCGGCATGTTCGGACGACATGGGACCGGTGTATATTTGTTCAATCTACGCTCATTAGTGAGCAAGAAAGATGGTGATGAGTGTGGATACATACCTTCGTAGCTGCGCCTTCAATTGGAGAGGGTATATGCTCCACAATCATGTCCACCAAACCAACCGATGGCCCAAAGAATTGAGCTAAGACAGCCTTTAACAGCGGCCTTACATCCATCTTGTACATCACTGGCTTTAACTTGATTCCAAGACCTTGAAGAGTATCCTTTAACGATTCGGTCTCCTCACTCAGAACCTGTGTGTACAGCTTATACAATGGGTCCAGCACGAAATGCACGAAAGATCGAGGTGTTCCGGGGTCAGCGGGTTTTCGGGTGAATTTGCGAGTCTCCGAGTTGAAGTAGATGTCGCCCCAGAGTCGATCTGCAAATGCGGAGACGTCGAGGTTTCCATAGGTATCGGCGTACATCTGAGCGAAGGATCGGAGAGTGAAGCACCATGACATGTCCGTACTTGCGAACGCGACGTTACCCTTTTCTGGGCTGACACGAAGAGCAGGATCAGGGTTGATGTTGCTGATGATCACATTGACTTCCTCGATGGTGTGTTTGATTTTATAGTATGCATCTGCGGGCTTGATACGCAACTCCAAAATGAGCCTGTCGATCTTGTTCACTACCAAGGTGATCTTAACGTTCTCTTGAAGTGCGTGTCGAATGATATGTTCGGTGCCGACCATGACACCTTCTACCACATCCACGACAAGGATGACACCATCAACTAAACGAATGGAAGAGGCGACTTCGTCAAAAAAGTTGACGTGTCCTGGCGTGTCGATGAGATGAATGAGGTGCGACTTTCCGGCACTATTGGAGAGGACGAGGGACATGGGTGAGGATTTGATTGAAATTTCGCGTTCGCGAGAGAGAATGTGGGTGTCGGTGTATCGCGTCTAGAATGAACAACTATTCACTGAATGAGTACAATCTGTAAGTCTGTAATACGAACCTCGTGATCTGAGTCCCAGATAAGTTTATGCGTCTCGAAAACCAGCATGTCCATGAGAGCAGTTTTCCCGTGATGCAGGTGTCCTACAACTGCAACGTTTCGCACAAATTCGGGGAAAGCAGTCATGTTAAGCAAGAAACTAGGTAAACCGATTAGTTTAAAGACAGATTTACGATATGCTGTGACTCACGCTTTGTCAAACCGCGTTTCTGGCATATCCTTCTCCTCTACCGTCCACCTTCGAACTTTCACGGGTGCGATGACAGGTTCAGTGAGCGGTTGCGCGTCCTCTTCCTGAACCAAAGTTTCGACATCCTCGCCATATACCTCCGACGCCGACGGATAGTATTTCTTGTCCTCATGTAATACAACCGCGTTCTGTATGGGTTCTAGTCCAAAACACGTTGAATGTTTTTCAAGCGCGGAGAGCCACAAACGAACATACCTTCAATTTCCATTAACGCAGTAGTCTCCTCTACTTCCATCGGTTCTTCCTCGTAGCCCTCCAATGGTGCAGCCTGTGGCTGCTGTCCTTGTCGGTAGACATCCTCTTCAATGTGTTCCTCTTCCTCTGATTCGAGCTCTGCACCAATGTAGTTTCCGAACTCGTCATAATCTTCGAAGGACGCCATACCAGAAAGTTAAAAATGCGTCAGACACCACCAGTTAGTAAAGTACAGAATAGCCCAAGATGGAGACCAGGGAATGTTAGACAGAGGGGAACGAGTTTCAAAGCTTACACCCAGAGCAGAATGGAGGTCGAGCGTGGATTTTGATTAGGAATATTATTGTCTCTTACAAAGGTCTTACCTAAGCCGATAAGTCCTAGCGATCGATCTATTCGAGCGTTTGTGATGTCAATAGGGAATCATCTGCGTTCAGCTTTGACTACGAGAATCGTTTGACTTAAGAAATGTCCACCCTCTCAGATGATACACTTAGAAAGGTAACTTCTCTCTTCTTACTCCTCGGGATTCCATGACTTAATCATGGTTCTATCACCTCACAAGATCCTTGTGCAGATTCAGCAGACTGCTGTTCAGTCACAACGAAACTTGAATCTCTCGCGGACACAGATCCAAGCCAAAGAACGTGAACGCCGGATTCTGCAGCTCACCATCGAGGAAATAAACTCTTTGGATGACAACGTTAACCTCTACAAAGGCGTTGGCAAAATGTGCGTCCTTTATGACGCCGTTGTTGTATGGACGAATTGATCGGGAGTATACAGGTTCATCAATGTCCCACGACCAGAATTACAGAAAGGATTGAAGGAAGAGGAGAAGGAACTCAGTGACGATGTCTCTACGCTTCAGAAGAAAGTAAGAGGTTCTCCTGCTAACCCCATTATGTTTGTGTTTTAACTCGACTATTAGGCCAAGTATCTTGAGAAACAGTTCAATGATGCGCAAGGCCAGCTTCGCGATATTGTATGTCCACAATTTTGGCATCGCTCGTGCTAATACTGACTGCGTATGATGCCCGTCACAGTTCCAACATGGGCCCAAACAATAGTTAAACGGATCGATACCCACTTTCCCGATGTATCCACTAGTTGACCCTACCATAGTGTTCATTATAGTTCAACCACGAATCTTCATCAACCGCAGGTGCAATGCGACTCCTGATACCGATCGAAGCTTGTTTTCCTTCCTCTTTCTCCAACGAGCACGAGCATTTATCATAGGACTCATACGGCTTATCCTCGAATCGGAAGTCCAGTGAATCTACGTGCAGACAAGAATGATGTTCTCTCGCACAACACATCCTTTGCATCTAGGAAAATCCCGATTGCAACACTGACTCTACGACAAACAACGAGCGTCATTATCAACATTAACAAGAACCCTAACTACTTCAAGTACGAAAAGAGCGAGCCGTAAGGCGCGTAAGGACATAAGTAAATAGTAAACATGTGCGTAAAGAATCACGAGGAAAGTGAGAATATGATAGCGAAGTTGAAAATATTCCTGAGCAGCGTGACATTTCTATGAGAATATATGGATGAATGTCTAACTAACGTGGTATGATGTAGGCTACAATTGATGTTGCTTGCGATTCCTGAGTGCGGATAGACGGAGAACGATGCGATACAAATGGACGTGAGCGACAGCGGCTGCTTTACCGCTTAGCATAACGCAATAGACGAGATGCAACTGGAAGAGAACAAGTCAGAATTCTGGATGACACTCAGAGATAGGGTGAAAACTCACTAATAGTCGCAATGACATTGAAAACTGTAAGAAAGCTGCAGTTAGACACTATTACAGTGCAGAGACCAGCCACTGAACACGCACTGAAGTAGCAGAACAATATCCATGTATCTCTCCATCGGTTCTCATACTGGATGTTCAGTGGCGTAAAGAACTCATCTCCAACCTTATACTGGCAGTATCGGCAAGCGGCGGTATCTTCCCCATTGTCCAAGTATCCGCCATAGGCAGTGACGAAGTCGTTCGCCCACTGAGCACAAGTTTGACCGGACGGAGGGTCGAATCTGGTGAACTCCTCAGGTTTGCACGTAATGACAAGACCATGCAGCTCAGTGGACACCATGGCGCTCAGCGTCCTCGTGTAAGGAACGAGCTGATACAACCAGACACGCCAGAATTTGGCCATGGTTGGGAACGGAATGGTGACACCGCAGAATGTAGTCAGGATCAAACCGATGAAAGGATTGAACAATGCGGCGGTCTGGACGTTGGGCGAGATGGCACCGATCAACTGACCAAGAGTGACTAGAAAAGGCAATGAGACGACAATACGACACGTTAAGCCAGACATGAATACATACCACCGAAGAGCTCGACGAAGATGATGACAAGCAATTGCAATCCGTTGCCAGCGGTACCGGCAGCGCCCTTTCCGAAGCCAATCGGCCAGACCATGAGAACCCAGTAGACAACAGCGCAAAGGATGGAGTACGGAATCTCGCCGACCAATTGACCGATAGCGAACACATAAGGGGAATAGATGCGACTCGATGATTCACGAATGAAAACTCTCCTGTTGAAGATCCACAAGGGTTCAATCTGGGACATAACGATCATAGGCAGAACAGATACCCAGAAACTGGACGGGTCCACGTTAGCGACGACTGCTCGAGGGACTGAGAAAGAGTCGCCACTCACATTGCGAATACACGGTACTGGAGATCCCGAGTACCATTGCCTAATTGCAGGAAGGACAGAGAGACGAAGAGCGAGATGAACGCATGCACGAACAGACGAGTGAAGACGTATGCCGGGGAACGCCACAAAGCACGATTGTTGCGCAGCACGACCTCCTTGAGTTGAAGCCAGAAAGGAGCAGCGTCTGCATGTCATTAAAGGCGTTAATAGAGCGTAATTTCAGTAGTGCATGATGACTTACAGAACGTGGTCTTCTTATTCTCGACGGGACGAGCCAAGGCGTCACTCTTGATACGGTCGATCTCCTCCCTCATAGCTTGGTACTCAGGGGAATCGAGCCAAACATCCTTCCAGTCACGGTCACCAATGCGAGGTGAGAGTCCAGCACCTATGGCGTCAAGCATAAACTACCAGCAGAGAGTCAGGCCATCAGTCGGACGATGATCGACAAGCTGAGGCATACCTCGGCAGGGTTGACATTGGGCGGGCAAACAGCGCCATAGCGTGTGAAGTATTCACGGAGAATTTGAGAGTCATCACCGATGTCACCAAAGTAGACCGTTTCACCACCTCGCTCGAGCAATAACAGACGGTCGAAACTCTCGAATAGGAGCGAAGAAGGCTGATGAATCGTGCAAAGGATAGCTTGACCCTTGCTAGCCAATTTCCTGAGGAAACGAACCAAGTTCCAAGCACTTTGACCATCAAGACCAGATGTAGGCCTATCACGCACCAATTAGCGACCAAGATATTCAAATGCCAAGGCGAATACTTACTCATCCAAGAACAGGAGTAGTTCAGGCTTACTAGCTAACTCCACACCGATAGTCAGGCGCTTGCGAGCCTCAACCCCAAGGGTCATGACCATGGCGTCAGCGAGGTCCTGTAATTCAAGCAGTTCAATCATCTCCTCGACGTAAGCGTCTTTCTCATCATCAGAAACCTCTTTAGGTTGACGGAGATGAGCGGAGAACCGCATGGCTTCTCGCACGGTCGCAGACCCTTCATGGACATCCATCTGTTCGGCTGCATGTCAAGAAGACCATCAGTGAAAGGATTCGAGGACGCGAGGACATGGACATACCATAAGCAGTTCCACGAGCAAAGTCGGAGGTAAGAAGCCGGCCGTCAACGAGGATGTCACCAGTGACAATACCAATGTTTTTCCTCTGGGCGAGAACATCGAGGCAAGTCGTTTTACCAGCACCAGAGGCACCCATGAGAGCGGTGAGCGTGCCAGGCTTAACATACCCGAAGACGTCATGAAGCAAGCGTCGTTGGCCACCGGGAACTGGGACGGTGTAGTTCACACGTTCCCAAGTGAATGTCTTGCGGTGGACCTTTTCGTCACTGGAGCAGTGGTAAGGACTGTGCGCGAATGAACTGGGGCATCAAGTACATACCTCTCATATTTTTCTTCTGCACCCTCTTTGTCCGTTTGAGTGATGATGTCCGACTTGCCACGGAGCGCTTTTCGCTCCCGAAGAGCAGCATTCCGCTTCTTAGTATCCGCATTCTCCTTAGCATAGATGAGGACAGAACCACCGCCACCGTATTGCTATTTCACTCAGTCAGCAAACTGTCAAGCATAGATTTGCACGTCAATATGAAACACCTACTGGATAGTACTCAATCAGCAAGACCTGAGTGATCTGGAATACGATGAAGAAGCCGATGAGGACCAAGAAGTTGCGACGCCACAAATCCGAGACGTTCAAACCGAAACCACTTTGCAGATAATTGCGGCCTGAGACGGTAGTCTCACCACCGATCGAACCAGGAAGAGTACAAACTTGGTTGGGACCAAGGTTATCACTGCAATGACAATTAAAACACACATTTTGAGTGATTTGAGATGATTCGTGACGTACGGATACTTCGTAACTCCGGGACCGTTACGTGGGACAATGTATTGGCCATCGCACGTTAGATCGATTCGCATGAACTCGTTCTCAACACAGCCGGAGAAAGCTAAGACCCCAAAACGTTCAGCGGTTATGCGGATCACCGATTCAGCGGGGTATGCTTACCATATGACATAGGGTTGATGTAGAACTGTCAATGGTAGCACTGGTTAGTACAGGTAGTGCGCCGCAGCGAAAGCATTTACTCACAATCCAGAACAACCATCGCTTCATCTGGAAGACAGGAATCATATACCCAGCGTATTGTATCATGTTGGGGATGAAGAACGTTGCGAGACGGAATGCAAAGTCGAAATTCGTGCACATTAATCCGAAGGTCCTGAAGAAGCCTTGCATGGTCAAGAACGCCATGTAAATCTATACGCAAAGCGTTTCATCAGTATCATGGATCATGTTATCCAGCCGAGTAAGACATGATACGTACGAAGAGGTGGTAAGTAAAGAATCCACCGGCATTACGAGCGAGCCTTGACATGAAGTAGATTATGATATTGTATAATAATATCCGAACAGCGGAGAACGGGATGTCGGCGACTGTGTTGGCAATTGCGACGGCGGCTGGTCTATAGAACCTATAGCTGATTTGTTTCTTCAGGATAGGTCGGCCTAGCATTTGGGCGGGAAGCTATATGTTACACAAAAAATAAGAACTTCATGTGACATGCACGCAGTGGCGAAAAGTGCATACCTCTCCGAATGTATCGAGTGCACAGGACAACATGGCGACGAATATGACGGAACCTCTTGTGAACGCACCCGCTGCCGTGAGTGGTTGATTCAAGTACGCTGCGCCAATGACGATAGCAAGGATCTACGACTAGCCTGTCAGTATTGTGAGTGGCTAAAGGGGAACAGCTTAGCTTACCGTGGATAAACCAAAACTAGTGTAAAGCTGGAAACGATCCTGGAGCCTCATAACGAATTGACGAATGACAAGAGCTTTGACCTGGCCCAAGAAACCGACAGTATAAGGGCTCTTCTTCGACACACCCCGCTTCTTATCGGCGAGGACAGCAGCGCGGAAGGTTTCCTGGTCATGCTTCTCAGACTCCTGCGCACGCTTGTACTTGAGCAATTGGTCCTGCATAGTCCTATACAACGGGGACGAGAGCCAAACAGCTTCCAAAGCCTCGGGACTGGTGGGCACGTCCCGAGCAGAGCGACCGGGGGCAAACTGACGTTCGTTAGGGTCAGTACATCCTGTCAAGTAGTCGGCAGTGCTCTGACGGGGAAGGGGCTTGAAGCCAAGTGACTCGAAGTAGGCACGAGCCTCCGATGGCGGACCGAAGTAGACTTGACGACCTTGGTCGAGAACCATCACCTTGTCGAAGAGTTCATAGATACCCTCACCAGCTTGGTAGCTGGATACGAAGTCAGTCTCCGGCGCGAAAACAACTACTGACAGTAAGACCTACAGAGTGGCGAAAGTTGTTTGGCCGAGGATATCAGTCATGGCCCGCATGGACTTGATGAAGTCCAAAGCGGTACTAGCGTCCAAACCACGAGTCGAGTTATCAAAGCACAGGACGTGCGCGCGAGAGGCCATCATTTCCCCAATACTGACTCGCTTGCGCTCGCCACCGGAGACTCCACGAACGAACTCGTCACCAACATAGGTGTTGACGGTGTGGGAGATATTCAGCATTTTGAGGAGCATCGTCTTGACGCTCTCCATGAACTCGCGACGAGCGATACCGGGGAGACGGCCATTGGGTCCGGGAGATTTTGTTGACAGCGCGAAGTCCAGAGTCTGACCGACAGTAAGAGTCGGAATGTGAATATCATCTATGATAAAAGTATATCAGAGTGAGGCATGGAGCGGCTGCACCATCACAACACTAACCCTCCTGGTTGTAGAGTACTTCGCCCTTGTAGTACTTGGCCATTTCCTTCGCGTCGATGCCTGCATAGCGAACATCGCCGATGACGCGCGCGTAGTCACCACGTTCATTAGCAACAGTCTTCAGGAATGTTGTGCAACCAGCACCAGGGCAACCAAGGACGAGGCACATTTCTCCAGGTTTTACGAGACCATCAGAAGGATGGAGAATGGTACGGGTAGGGACGTTGTTTTTATTGGACGGGAGGAGCGGAGAGATGAAATTCCATAACAGCATGAAGGGGGTGATCCAGAAGTAAAGGGCGGCCTCTGCATATGACAATCAGCGTAAGGCAAACACAAAAGGAGAAGCCAGCATGACATACGTCCGAAGGTCTCGACGTAGATCTAAGGCGAATAAATTAGTTACCTTGAGCCTATCCAACTGAGGGTGCTAACTCACTTTGAAGTCAGCGCCACCGACAACGTCAACCTGCAGCTTCTCCCAAGTGACACCAACACGCTTGTGGTTGATTCCCGCTTGCTGGTTGGCGTCATTGGTAGATGATAGGTACTCGCGAAGATCAAAGGCCTCCTCGACCGCACCCTTCTCAATGTCCTTGCCGACATATGACGAGGCAGAGGAACGCTCGGTCTTGGAACGATCCTCAGGCTGACCAGAGACAGAACGGCGTGAAAGGGCTCGAGATAATTCATTGAAAGTGCGTTCCGCCTGTTGAACATTTACATGATGGTTCTGTGGGTCGACGTCGTTGTTCCCGACGTCGTAGAGCGTGTGCTCATCGCCAGGCGTATCTGTCATGACGGGTGGGACAGGAAAGCGCAGAAAGCGGAATGAAACACCCTTGAGTTAACAGGAATGCCTTTATATACATTTGAACAAGCTGCTAATCGCGCTGAAGGCATGATATGGGGTGAGATTTCTGCGAAAAACCGCCCGAGCGTTTGTAATAGATCGTGCTTAGCAAGATTCAGTTTGTCGAGGAATGCCCGCCCTATCGGGAAATTCTGACTCGTCCGAGACCCTCGCAGGTTCCATCTTTCCGGTACATTCTAACATAGATGAAGATACTTCTCGATGCGAGAGACTTGCTGTGGTGTGCAAGCATTTCTTTGGCCAAAATCGCTTTTCTTGAGCAACGTTTTCGGTTGTTTGAGTAAAGTGGGCAATGCGATTTCGCGGAGAGGACCCCGGACAGTGAAGATCAAGATCGATCTTCGGTCCATAACTTTGGTTTCGCTTGTGCTCTAGCCAATTGAATTGCACCGCTTCTCACACGCCCTCAGGAAGTATATTCGCTGACTTTCCAGGCATAACAATATTCCTCTACGTTCGTTCGTATTTTCTCCAACACTGCGCCCAGAATTCGATCACAATGTAGAAGGACGAGACTACGTATGGAATAAACTTGATGTTTCAGATCACCCCGCTATCTGAGAGCCGTAAGCAGGAATGTGCATATTCGGGCCTAGGCATAAGCAAGTTTCACGCCATCATACATTCACTATCGTTCTTTGAACCCATGTTGCTATACAGGTGATACCGGAAAATGTCACTTGGACATACAGTAAGTGAGTGCTGTAATTGGACGGGTATTCTTTGTATTCGGAGACCTTCTACAGCATGTACCACTTTGCATGTTAACCAATACTGAAAGCTAAATCAAATGGCGTATCAAAGAAGGCATGCTTCTACGCTCAAGCTGACTATTCGCCCAAAGACAACCCGACGTATCGGTTTCCCGCTTCAATCCATCTCACTCATGTCCTAGACTATTCCCATTAAGACTCACGACCGGGCATAATGATTATCTAGAAGTGACGTCACCTCCTTTGGCGGCTCCGCGACGAGCAATTGACTAGGGTTGGAGGGGCTAGGCAAACTCGGTAACGAAATAGGAACTGCTGTTGGAACATGGCACTGCGTTGGCTGTGAATACCTCAACCGCCGAGTATTGAGGATGTGAGTCGTTTTCATACAATGAGTCACGAGCACGACGTTGACTCAAGCCTCGTGTATAGAATGAATCAATCGATTTGCAGGATCTTGCCACGATAACCCCCAAGCACCTACATTTCTCAAATTCCTACGGATCTAAGAGGGAATACTGGTTCATACTCCCCGGTTCATGAGAAGTCAATAATTCACACTGGGGCGATTTACAGGTCTCCAAGGTGAGTCATGCTTCTAGGCTTCGGTACCGCATGCGGGGGCCGAGCTTGCGTGGTCTTCCCCTCTTCTTGCCACGACGTTCTTACAAAGCAGATATTGCTAGCTTCTGTGCTCACGGCGATCGAGTCTACAGCCTGCCTCCTAACCCTCGGTGATGTGAGATCAAGGGTTGTAACATCAGTAAAAATTATGGCCAAGGTTATCGACATCCTTTAGGCGGCGTCGATTTGTTCGTGCGTGGCTCCGTCGCGATCCAGGTCAATGGCACGGTTGAAGTTCACCAGCACCTTTGTGTGATGGACGTCGCAATGCCGGGCATCGTGCTTACCTATCCTTTCGGGCGTTTGCCGAACCTCATCCTTCGTTCAGAGCAAACCTATAGTTCACAAGGCCAATAGTGTCTTCGAGGTCCTGTCCAGCAGGTAATCAGGCCCCCTATACTCCCGTCCGGTTCCTTGTGAAATGGTCGCTTGCGAATTCTAGAATTCGGAACCGTGACAAGAGTCAGACACACTCCAACCGTTCTCCTCAACTCTATTCCCGCGTCCAAACTCCATACACGCTGCCTACATGCTCTACTAAGCTGTGCTTCATCGTTCCTGGGTTCTCTTGAGGTCAATCGGCAATAATTGTCCGGGCTTTCTGTACGATATGACCAGGATTTCCGATACCGCAGGACGAAACTTCTCCGACAGGATTACTCGCGCCAATGGTAACCTAGCCCTCTAGAGGTTCTACATCCATTCATTCCGTTGCCACAGGACGAAGGTTCTCCATTAGGATGACCCACCCTCGCATCCACCCACCTTCTCTATGGTCCCATTTGACTTTGACTTTTCACCGAAGTAGGCCACACTCATGTAGAGTAGAAAAGATAAAATTGCGTCTTATCTTCTACTGTATGTGTTTTATCCCGATTCGGAGTTCAAGTAGCGTCTGGTGCGCGCTCGTCTCCTCACTCAGCTCACATTCGCCTGCACACTCATCCAGCTACGAGGTAGTACCCACAACCCTCAAGTCCGGCTCCTGCCCGTGCAAGACCTGACAACGTTCCATATAGCTCCCTTCTTTCTCCACTAAATCGCGACAGACAACCACGTTTACAGGAATCATCAGCTAAATCAATTCCCGCCAGTATAGCTGACAATAAACGGACCATTGCCGCAAGTCCTTCTTCATCGTTCTCATAACCTCCAAGGCAATGGTCAGATTTTAGTCCCGGACGGATGGGTCAAAATTATTACTGAATGAACCGCAGTCGAAATTCAGCCAGTGGACAGTCTCTCGTCTAATTATTCAGACTGGCTATAGGAAGTGGCCTGATGTGATTGCGGACAGGCGCTACTAGACTTTGAGGATGCCGGCGACTTTCACGAGGACATTCACAGGCATTTACGTGTGAGGCCATGTTGCAGGCAACAGATAGAGCCGTGGTCGAGGGATATACATATCATTTTGTGACACTACCATGACCCCAAATGTCTAAATGTCAGCTAGTTCATTCACTTTGTGAGAACGCCTGAAAATTTCTCTGGAGTGCGAATGTAAAGAGGAAAAGAGCGCAACGGCGAACTGAAGTTGATTCTCTGACGACGACAGTGGGAACTCCCTGTCGGAACACAATATGGCTCTCGTGGAAGCTGGCAATAAAATGTCACGAGCTCCAAGCGCGATTTGGTCCACAAGTGGCAACTGCTTTAGAGGACTGCAGGTGGCACCCCTGACGCAAGTCGACAGCCACTCTTCATGTATTTTTTTCTTTTTGAATCCAAGCATTATATCCCGTGTAGCGAAGTACACTATGTAGTCAGCCTTGATCTGAGAGGTTGATTAATAGTAGCTATACATAGAGCCCACTGGTCGGCATTGCCAGGCATTTTGTTGAGTCGTGTACTTACGTATGTTATTCGGTGAATAAATTTCATGCAAAATTCAGATGGCAGGTGGGCAGAGCAATATTCCACTATATAATGGGAGACTGTTCATTCCACTACAGGCTTACAATCAAATCAAATCCACGGACTTCGCATGTCACTGGTAGACTGTGTAGCGAGGTACCGGGGTCCTGACCGATGTTGTGCCATTCAGTGAATTCGGACTTGCCGAACCATATGGAGCGTGGGAGAACTCGATCACTAAGAGGCGCATCGATCGACCGAGCAAACAATTCCAACCTACTACCAGATGTCCAGTAACTTGATCAAAGTACACCAAGTTCCTTGATTACAGTACCTTCTGGATGAAATCCAGGGAAACGATTGTGGAGTGAGCAGTCCGTGTCAACTTTCCTGAATTGGTGTCATTGCCATATGCCTTTGGTAACGGCCCTTTTGCCGGGGCCTTAATGAGAGCGGACGTATTTAAAAGAACTGGGATGTGTGTGAATGCTGTATTACAGCACATTTCACTCCCATTCAGCTCGTTGTTGTATCATATCCCCTATCAGCCATGTCTGCCAGAACAAGCAAGCTTTTCGAACCTATTCAAGTTGGCGATCTCAAGCTCAATCACCGAGTTGTTCTGGCTCCTCTCCTTCGTCTTCGTGCGAACGATAAACATGTTACCATCAGCGAACTCTCATCGGTATACTATAGCCAGCGGGCCAGTGTTCCCGGGTCTCTGTTGATCTCTGAAGCTACGTTGATTCATCCAAGAGCTGGCGGCTTCTCCAATGTTGCAGCATTGGAGACGGAAGAGCAATTGGCGGCATGGAAGAAGGTGAGATAGTCAGCTTGGTTTTAGACGGCACATTTAGAATCTAACATGTGACTTCGACTTTCTCAAGGTTACATATGCCGTTCATGAAAAGAAATCATATATTTTCTCGCAGTTGTGGGCACCGGGGCGAGCAGCAAATCCGGACATTCTAGAGAGTGAAGGCTTTCCATATGTGGCCGCCTCAGATATTCCACTCGGCAATAAGCCAAAACCTCGTCCACTCACCTCTGCCGGTATGTACCTTCTCCTCTTTCCATTTTTGCATATGAAATTCTCATTATCATTCATTTTTAGAAATCAGGGAATATGTTCAGTTCTTTGCCACAGCCGCAGCGAATGCAGTCGACAGGGCTGGTTTCGACGGTGTTGAAATCCATGGCGCGAATGGATATTTGATTGATCAATTCCTACAAGATGTGAGCAACAACCGAACAGACGAGTATGGTGGTTCGATAGAAAATCGAGTACGCTTTGCTCTGGAAGTTATAGATGCTGTCGTGAAAGCCGTTGGGCAGAAGAAAGTTGGTATTCGGCTCAGTTCTTGGGGAACATACGGAGGTAACGTTGCATGCAACCCACCGCAGACATAAAACCGACATTCTATTTTACATCTAGACATGAGAATGAAGGACCCAATCCCGACGTTCAAATACTATGTCAGTCGTATAAAGGAACTCTATCCAGAACTCGCCTATATTCACGTGGTCGAACCACGAGTGAGCAGTAACACTGATCGCGAAGCTGAAAAGGGCGAGGTATGTCAGGCAGATCCTCGTTGTTCTGAAAAATCGAGAAGTTGATTACCTATACAGTCCAATGATTTCCTGCGGGAAATCTGGAGGCCTTGGCCGTTCATTAGTGCTGGTGGATACAACCGTGACGTTGCATTGGAAGCCGCTAACAGGACCGGCGACCTCATCGCCTTCGGACGATACTATATCTCCAACGTGGGTGCCTTTTTCTTTGATTCCTCTGGTGGTGTGTTATCTAGGTTCTTGTATTCTGCCTTCGTTCACAGCCCGATCTACCTCTACGACTGAAGGCAAACGTACCTCTTACGCCTTACGATCGATCCCTGTTCTACAAAAAGGAAAGCCCTATAGGTTATATAGACTACACGTTTGGCGTTGGCGTTGATGAAGAATTAAATAAATGGGGACTTCGACACCACTAAGTAGTCGAGAGGCGTAGTGTCCTACCAGTACACAGAATAGGAATACTCACTTACCATAGATATTTGTAAACGAAATGTTTGGAGTGAATATGTAGCTTACACTGCGCGGAAGGATTTATACTCAGTTCTGTATTGTAAAATCTCAAACTAATAACCTTAGACAACGTGTCTTGAGCCTATGGTATGAATGGCCCTCGCAGGCGGTCCTTTCAAATTGGTCCATGCAGCCGGTCGGCAAGCCCCGCCGGACGAAGTAAACGATACTCGATCACTGTTACGACTCCGTGGCGCTGGTGTCTATCTGCCCTCTGGAGTCTGGAGTTTACAGCTACCTTCACCATTACATCCTCTACGGATCAAGATGCACATACTACTCAGTCTTCTCCTTGTCTTCGGACTTGATATCGTCGACGCTCATGGTGGCCATGGAGAAGGACCGGCAGCGGGGGAGACTATTCAGCAGTATGCGCAAAGACACGTACGCTAGTAATTATTGTGTTGAGGCTCCGTTGACTGACAGAATTATGTGCTTTAGATGTCGTCCGAGCATCATATGTGAGATACTTGTGACATTTCGATGAAAAGCTGTGCCAAGGAACTGAAATTCTATGTTCAGCGACGCATTCGATGTCGGCAGTTTCTTCGCACTCCACGACCTAAACCGGTGAGTAGATAGCAGCTAAAATATTTCTCAACTCAAGATTTTATAAATAAAGAGATGGCGTCTGGGACCGTGAAGAGATTGAGGCCGTGTATGGTGTGCACCATGTCTACTCTCAAAAGAAGTCTAAGGTGCGTTGAGTGTTACTTGCATGAAGTACGTTCAGGCTAATATACTTTTATAGGACGAAATTGAACACCAGAAGAAGGCCGACCACATTGTCAACACCGTTCTCGCTGCACTCGACAAGGATGGAAATGGCAAGATTACGCTGGAAGAGCTGAAGGCGGTTGGCCTTGATGGCTTGCCCAACTTCGAGTCCTTGGGTGCTGAGGGACACCATTACGACATCGAGAGCGGTACGACAATTTCTTTCGATTCGGTTTTCTGCTAATTGATTCATTGCGTTGCAGAGTTCTTCCTCCATCACGAAGGTGAAGAATTACACTGCTTTCTATCGCTTAACTCCGGTTGACACTCCCTCAGAGCAGTTCCACGGTACACCAGAGACCCAGACAGATGAATCATACAACCATCCCGAGGATCTTGAGCACTTCGCCCATCATGAATCAATTGAGCGCGTGGAAGCCGAGCGTGAAGCCAAGTTCCAAGGCATTACTGTCGATGAAGCTCTAGCTCAACACGAACCACACGAGCACGACGAGCCTAAGGCTCCCGCTCAGCACCCTGCCGACGGTGAACAGCAAGTTATTCAGCATCCTCATGATGACCAACATGTCGGCGAGAGTCCCGTCGTGGAGCCGCCAACGCCAAAATTCACGAGGACGTCTCCCGTTGACCCTGTTGAGAAGTTGCAGAAGGCTGCGAAGGCTGCCAGTGGAAATGCTGAAGAGTGGGGTTCTGGTGATGGTGGATACAAGCCACCTAAGAATCCTTCGGATCGTATGAGGAAGAATTTGCCCTACAAGGTACCGTCTCCACCACCTGTATTCCAACTAAATTGAACGCTAACATTCAGGGCCGTCGACAGTATAAGTTCCGTCGAACTTGGGGCGACTTCTGATCTATTTGCTTCATCCCTCATTTGGCTGCTTGGGGTCTTATATATATTGACGTTATTACCAGTCTCGTCTGTAAACCTCTCATTGGATCTCTTATACCTTGGTTACCCACGATGCGTACCGCCCGCTCCGTCTTATCAATAATTATTTCCAGTCCAAAAGCTCAAAGTGGTATGCGCTCTAGCAATGAAGCTACAAGCAAAGATCAAAGATTATATAAGAAGAAGGTTACCATATGTTCCGCATCCAGAATAAGACTCTTATGACGAAGATCATCATCGACCGTCGAACATGTCCTCCAACAACGTCTGCTCCACGGCATCCCAATCCACGTTGCCTCCACTCTGGTATACACTCTCGTAAGATGCAATGCTTGCATGTGAGAAGAAATGCACGAGATCACGAATGCTGTCGATCTGACGGACCGATTGCAACATCGGCCGTCGACTCGGTCGATTTTCAACAAGAGGTGTTGGAGCTGGTATTTGATCGACAGCCTTAGAATCCTGCTTGGATGGTGCGAAAAGAACTTCAGCCATTGACCAAGCAGAACTAAAATTAGGTACCTCTGCAGCTGGGAGGTCTCCTACAACTTCAGCCAATCGATCCAATAAGGCTGCCGGTGACCAATCGTCAGGGCGGTAGATAGCGTCAACGGTGTCTGTGATGAATATCCATTGGTGTCTAACATGACTATCAGCTATGTATCCAGGTCAATGTAGTCTCAATTCCTTACATTTGGAACTCTTCGGTCTGGAGGACCAATAGCAAATCAAGCAATTTCGAGGCGGAGAGGATGAGGGCAAGATCCTCTGACCCGTCTGCTGGCAGTGTTACCAGGATTTGTTCGAAGAGGCGATACTGTGAAGATCATGAGCGAACAGTCAAGACACGAACAAGAACTGACAAACCATTTCAGTAAGGACGACTGGCCAGAAACTTGACAAATTATGTGGAGATAGGCGACAGAGAAGCACTCGAACGCAGAGATACACTTCACTCTGAACAATGGGAGCGGAGACATTCCGAAGTGTATCTACTAGCTTCTCCTGAATAGATGGTAGTTGCGTCAGGAAATGGTTCTTATCGCCAGTCAGTATTACGTAGGATAGTCTACGCAGATTGAGCGATCGAAGTAACATCTCATATTCCCGATTGGTGAAGATATTGGCAGAAGGTGCGGTGGTGATTCTCCCTGTGAGCAATCTGTCAGTATGGCACTCCAAAGCATAACAAGACCCGTACCTAGAAGTTCCGTGAAAGCCGTCTTATCGGTATCAAAAAGCATTTTGACCATGGGTCGCCATTTCCGACCAGCCTGGGGTGTTGAATTGAAGCAGCGGTTGTCGTTCAGCACATCCACGACCGGGCCACGCCAGGCCTTTATCGCTACTGCGAGTCTTGTCATCTCTCGCAAGATGGAAAGTACATGATCGTCGACATCCAGAGGTCTACCATCCAAGTTAGGAATAGCAGGCAGGCTGACGGAAGGTTGGACTAACCTTGACCGCCCTCTCATTGCAGGTGTGATGATACCATATGTTATGCTACTACACGCTGTCAAGATTTTGTCACCGTCAACCAGGAACTTGCGCAGGTTTGGTATAACATCTGAGGCAATGTAGACGTTGATCTGTACGATTTCAGTCCCTTGCAAATGAATGTAAAGGTAATGAGGTGCATACCCGGTCCAGGGGGTCCAGCGTCTCGGACTTTAGTGTATCTGATAAAGAGGTGGTACTTGCGTTCATCTTCTCCTCAAGTTTGGCATCTATGACACATTAATCAGATGTACCCACCATGACATACCCGACCTACATACCTCTGGGTACGGGGGAATCCCGCCCGTTGACAAGAGCGCTGCGTCGAATCCAGCTAGTATCGGACGCACGACCAAGGAGCAAACAAATGTCCAGGAGTTTAATGTAAGTCTCCTGCAAGACAGAGGCATCATTCAAGTCTACCTTAATGACTGAATGAAAAAAACAAACCTGTAGCTCCTTACGAATACGTTTGTCTTCGACAAGGGTCGTCTGTGTGACTTTATCCGCAAGAACTGTAAAGCACCTGTAGCAAGACATTAGTCACTTGCCTCGGACATCATATCGTATTACACGTACTGAAGGGTAGAAAACACTTGTGGCTTGTACTCTCGAAAAGAAAGGGATACATCTTTAGCAAGCTGAATGAAACGGACCCAGACCTGTGCTGCCAAGGGTCCCTCAAGGCGTCGGAAATATTCTTCTAGGAAGTCAAACAGAGTCAAGTCCGACCTGAAGAAACTGGTATTAGTGAGGCACTACAAGAGGTCATATTTATACGGACAATTGAGAGTTTGCAAGCTGCCGTCTCGTTCTTTCTTGTGGTGCCTGCACGCGGATTGTAATGCTCTCGCACAACATGTGCACGACATTGTGAGCACTCGAAGTCAACACATCAACCAATTCAAACGTGGCAGCTTCATCCTCCGGCTTGGATATCTGCGAGCTGTATGAGAACTTTGACAAAGTCTCGAGATAGACTGCACGCACCGAAGGGATCTCACTCCAACAAACCACAATAGACTCGAGGACTCCCGAAGAATGCACGCGGAACAGGTGCTCCAAGACTCGTCTGCACCGTGTCCGAGTTCGCCCATAAATCAAAGACAGGGACTCTGATTCTGACGTCCAGTATTGGCCTTTGGTAACAACAAGGGTTGTCCATATCGAATACAGCACGCGAACTGCGTCGTGAAGGGTGCGATAATCAGATGATTTAACCTGTGTGAGCATGAGCCATACAGTTTGTTATCATTCCTGATCTAGCGTACCGTGCCTTGGTCGTCAGCAGCGCCGACTGTAGCATCGGACCCAAATACGTTTGATACATATCCCAACAGCCCACTTGACTCATGCTTCTCTGCCAATGAGGTATCATCTTCATCCTGAGTGGAAGTAGATATGTGGGATGAACTCAGAAGTACCAGGCGCTCAAGCGCATTTAAGAGCATCAAGAAATCTGCATCCGTCGTGGAAGAGATAATGTCGTCAACGGCACCTCCGGATGAGGCTTGCAGTACATCAGCCAACGCAGAGCGAAGCAGCTTGCAGACGCAATCATTTAGTGGGAAAATCGCATTGTGCAAGACGTTTTGAAACTGCGGAACAGTTGACAGAACAAAGTCCAACCAGTGTTGTAAGCCGGAACGATTGGAGGATGCTGAAAGACCATCAATCAAGGTCTGCACGAGCAAAGAGTTGATATTGTACGCGGATACTGCAGACGAGGGAGATATTTCCGGGCTGCGATCGACTGCCAATGTCTTGTCGGGTTTGCTGCCTGCAGCGAGTGAACTCAAAGCAGTGATAATGGAGTGCAAAAGATGCAGGAGCTTATTTTGCAGGTCCAGCCTGTGAGTATGAACAGAGAAATAGAGTTTGCTGACGACGGTGGACTCGATAGTCTGCAAGGTGATCGCGTCGACTTCGCCACGTACAACGAGTGCCTGAAGCAAATCCAGAGAAGTAGACTGAATAACGATGTTGAGAGGATGTAACGTCAGAGATAGTCCTGGTTTGGGCTCGGACTGCAGAAACCTGAGATCAAAATTGACGTCAAAGAAACGATGGAATATTTGGATTTGAACACACCGAAGCAGCAAGTGAATCATGATGTCCATATATGAAGAATCAGGAAAATTGCCAGCTGTTAGTGTACGGTTAGCTTCTTTCTCGGAGCTTTGCAGTACATGGAACTACCTATTTGCAGCCTTTCAATCAAATCAACGTTGCCAGAACGTGAAAGAGCGGTACCCCTAGCAGTCTTGCTGAATCCTTGCCCTCCAAACTTGACGATGGACAACGAAGTTTCTAGAAGATGAGCGATATATCGTTGGTCGAAAGGTCGTTCATAATAGAATCCTTGAATTTGCCGGCCGTTGAACTCTTCAATCATATTTGACCGCCGTACCGAAGGATCATGTAGTTCAGAAAGAAGAGGCTCTAGAACTCTGGAACTCGGGGTTTGTAAGAAGAAGTGGACGAACAGAAAGTACTTACCTAGGATATGACTTAAGGCTACATCTCATCCATGTTTCACCAACCCGACGTATGTTCGGGTTGTCGCTCTTCAAAGTATCTAGAACCAGCATCATTGGTACCCGAAGTCGGAATCCCGGCATCAACGAATCATCTATGCAAAAGGTTAGAAAATAGCGGATAGAGAGAGCGGGTGTTCTAGCACCTGTCAATCTCCACAGAACACCAAAAGCCTCGCATGCTTCTTGGACCTCCTCAGATTTCCGCGGCAAAGAGATAGACTCCGCAATGAGAGACTCTAAGTGAGAGGATTTCGTGGACTTTTCAAGTTGCCAAATCAACGATACCGCCCGCGCGTGGAATGCAGCGTATGGAGGTCGAAGATACTTCAATAGCTATACATTACATCATCAGCTCATCCAGGAACGTAAACAACCTTTAAGCGTTTGAACTTACAGGATTGATCATTGCAGCCATGGTTATTCTATTGTCAATAGAGTATGTCGGTTCCAAACCTTCGTTTTGTTGCAAATGAGTGATAGAGGTGATCCCACAGTCGATGACCGAAAACGCTGCCGTCTGCCTTGATCAGTCGTGAAACCAGTTGTACCACTCTGCTAATACATACCTTGGATTGTACACAGTCAAGAATCGCAGACAACCATTCTTCCGGTTGCCAGGAAATAGGTAATGACGTTCCTCGGATTTGTTGCACGCGATCAACAATGGCGTTCAATAATCCCAACGAGTCGATGAGCGATTGCCGATTTCCAGACATATCTTTAGGTGGCCCAGAAAGACCTTTCGCTACGGTAATGGTCAGGGAAGTCGCGTCCAGAAATGCTGAAGCGAGTGGTGAGGTCAGTTCAGACTGTCTAACAAGCGGTGCTGCGTCAAGACCGAAGAAAGTGGACGCAAAGGCATATGGCCCCTGAATCAAGGACTCCGCCTGAGCATCGCGGCTTATTTGTGGACGTTGTTTCAATGCGGAGGCAGGAATGAGCTTGAGCATTTGCAACAGCAACCGCAAAGTTGCATGTGTTGCCGGAGAAGGTATTCTGGCAGAATCCTCCAAAGTTAATTGCTGTGGAGCTTGTGCGTCAGTAAAGAATGTTCTATGAGCATATTGGAACCTTACATCTACAGCTTCCAACAAAGCAGTGAATACAATCGGTAGATGAATAGTCTCGATTTCCTCATCATGTTTGTGGTAGCTTGACAAGATATGATACACCATATTAATACCCTGTGTGATAATCGAGTCAGATGCAACGCGAGGTATAGGGCGTCTTCTTACATCGCATGACGAAGTATTGGATGTAACATCAGTCATGATTGTCTTCAACAACTGCTTCCATAATGCGTGCGGTTCAACCGCTTCATACAAAGTACTCGCAGTCATAGTCATCTATAATGAGATCGATGTCAGGACCGGTTTTTAAAGAATGTCACGTTGTATTTACCTCTTCTGTGATATCGGCATCAGAATCAATCATAATCCTGATAGCCTTGAAGGCGTCGAGTACAAGGACTTCGGTCAGAGCTGAGCCGATTTCCCATTTGTCCAGCAACGAAATGAAGATCTTGAAAGGCCGGGACTGTGAGTAGTCTGCTGATGGATGGAACATCTCATCCTTGTGAGAGTCAGCATAGAAACGTTGATGAATGTGCATGTGAACTGACTCGTAATGTCGAAGCCAACAAATCCAAGGCGTGCGTTTTGAGGTAAGCAACCTGTTGTTGACTGTGCTCGTCTGGGCCAAGCAACCATGAGTAAATTCTCCGATTCAGAGACAAATCACGTCGCAGGACCACGCTTGTCGCCGCACGCATCAGTATGTTTTGGTCTTCTGTGGATGCCTTCTTGATAGCAATGCTGTCAATGCGAAGGGACTGCAACAGGAGGTCCAGAGCGGATCTTCGCACGAGCAAATCGTCATCCTCGAGCGCAGCAGCAAATGCTCTAATCATCAGGCCAATATCTCGACCAACAATCGCTGTGATGTCTGACATTCTCCACATGAGTTCAGACTACTGGAGAGCATATGAAATTATATCGTCACACCTTCATTAGCGTGGAGGCGCGGTAACTGTCTTGACAGAAAATTGAGAGAAGTGCCACGAGCCGAGGGTGACGTTAGCATGATGAGCCACATGTTCTGGAGGAAGAAGGATGGGGCAACAGTCCCTGATAGGCGATCAAGCAAACCTAGGACCTTCTCGAAGAATTCGCCAGTCTCTTCTTCCAGTCCTGGGAGTAATGCGAGAATGAATGACTTCATGATGGGACGAAGACCAGCCTGAAGAGGAAGATAATGGGTATCGAATAGGTTCAGCAGAGTTGGCTGCATGAAAATGTTCATCAGCCAGATGCAACGACGAATGGACTGCGCACGTACCTTCACAGATGTCGCAGCGTATTCGAAGAATGGGAAGAGACCGGATGACCATAATGCCAGGTCGCGTTGCAGACCTTCTGACTACGAAGAAGATTAGCATTAAAAGCGGATGGCAAATGATAAGGACACGTACTCCAAGTACGGCCAATACATGTGCATACACGTCTAATGCACGCTGGTGTACTCCGGTAGGCAACGCTGGATTAAGGCATTGCGACAGTCGCTTTGCAACAATAAGTTTTCTTGGTATCTCTTTGAACTGCATATAGGCTTGGAAGGTCTGACGGCATTCAAATTTAGCCTAAACGATTCACATAACAGAACGTCATCGCTACCTTCAGTAGTTGCTTCAGGAACGATATGAAGTCTGCCCATTCCTGAACATTGTCAAATGAATTTAAGCACTTGTCGACCTGTTGGGTGTACTTCTTGAATTTCGGGTCGGAGGCATAGGATGGCGGGATATTCGTCGTAACTGTAGAGCATTCAACATTTAACCCCCTATGAACATAAGTCAGGGTAAGTCCATCCGCGTACCATATTCCCTCGCTTTTGAAACCGCCTGTCCTGAACTACTCGCAGACATATCTTGACTGGCAGAACTAAGGTGTCCTGCAACCAAAAGCAGCTCCCACTTCAGGGAGGATGGAAAGAATGATATAATGTAGGCGCCCATGCGCTTGCGCTGTCTGGGCAGAACTTGGGCAGTGTACACTGTACACGTGTGATCAGAAATTGAAGTTCATCTTCAGTAACTTATTCAGTTCGTCATTTAGATATTACAGCAGATATGGCCCTGATTCTACGCAGAATAAATACAACATCGAGAGCAAATGACTACAATTACAGCGAAGGATGGATGTCGCGAAAAGCAATCCGCAAAAGGTAAGCAATGGGACTGAAAGCTGACAAATGGTGTAAAAACCTACAACAATCAAGAGGTACCTGCGGGTGAAGGAGCAGCGGGTGTGTCAGGTTTTGACTCTGGCACAGGAAGAATCTGCCCTATGTTGCGTTTCTTGGTTGGAAGTGCAGCAGAGATGGAGTCTGCTGGCGCAGTCGAAGCAGCTCGAGATGAGAAACCGGTCACTGAGCCCCCAGCATCAGCCTTCGGTGCTCTTGCCCGTGGCGTAGTTTTCCCTGATGCCGCTCCAGATATCGATGGTCCAGAAAGTTTGGGAAGTATGAGACTTGGTGGCCCTGCCATCTCCGCTGCTCCATGCGTAGCAGTTTGCGAAGCAGAAGCAAATTCAGATTCCTTATCTCCTAGCCATGACTTGACGAACCATCGACCACCCGCAATACCTCGAATTTCGCGGTTTGCTTGTCGCCAACGACGTACTGGTTTACCGCTTTTGTCTAGAGGGATTACAGGTGCGAAACCAGAACCGATCTTCGGTGGAGGTTGCACTGGAAATGGTTTCGATGGTAGAGGGTAAACGGGAATTGGAACATTCTCAATGTCCAAGTTGATATCGGTGAGCGCAGGAGGTGGTATTATTGGCTGAGGTGGTATTTCGGGCTCCGGGCTGTGTTCATCATGCGGCATTGGTGAAGAGGCTGCCGTCCCTGCATATGCTGAGGTGTATGATTTATAAGGCTGAATGGTCACAATGTGGTGTGGAACATACCTTCACTAACACTTTCCACCTCATCGCGGAGCAAAGACGGAAGAGCTTTTGCCCCTCTAAGTAGTGAGAAGTAAATTCGACGTCCAGTCCTTAGATGCGAGAGATCATACCTTCCGCCACCCCTCTTTCGCCCTCCACGTCCTTGGCCTCTAGTAGCGCCGCCTCGCTTTTTGGCAGCCGCAGGAGGGGCTGAGATACTAGTAACTGAGCCACTGGCACTTATTGAATCAGAAGGAGGAACCGTAACGGTCGCGCCTGTTCGAATGAGCCTCAACAACATATACACGGGATATCAAGGTAGAAAGCTCACCTGCTTTCGCTCCCCTCTTCCTGCCACCACCTCTTCCCCTACCAACTCCGCGTTTAAAAGGAGAGCCACGGGCACTAGGTGTAACGGAGATCGCAGGTGAAGGTGTCACTTTGATTTCCTGCTCTTCATCATCGTCAATAAGCTGGTCTTCCTCCTCATCTTCGTCTTCCTCGTCTTCATCTTCGCTTTCGGGCTGAGGAGCCTGGGTGCGAGTTGCGCTCGGCCCTGCACCTTTAGCATCTCCCACCAGGAGCTTCACACGAAACTTTGATGTACGGGTAGGGGCTGGTTCTGGCGAATCTTCGCGCAGTGTAGAAATTTGGGGGGCGTCCATTTCGACGTCCTTAGTCATGGCGGGAGCAAAAGAGCGAGAAGAACCTTGACCTCCTGTGGCTGCGTCCGAGTTGGGATCGTATGACACCCAAGGAGAAGCGCGGAACATTTCTTCACCGTCTACGCTGGAGGGGTGTGGTTCATACTCAAGAGCTGGTTGCTGCAAAGTTCATGCTAAGTATATGGCACGGATGATAAAGAAGTTTCATGATTTTGGAAGATTACGAGCGCTGGCACGTTTGGGAGACATTCTTTTTGTTCAGAATGGCAATTTTGCGCCTACACTATTTACACGATCATCGTATATGCTACATGTATATGGATTCCGCCACAAGCTGAATAAAACATCTGAGGACTATATGCACAAGCAGTACTAGCGGACCTCCTTGATCGAATCTTCCTAGTCGACGCCATGATTCGTTCGTCGGGTCTGTTACTGGAAGACATACAGATGGCGAACATACCATTAGGCTGAGTTGTCAAGAACATGGCAGACAAATGACTCGAGCAGACCATGGAAATTACGTTGTATCCAAGGTATGTTTTGCATGCTGAAATGCGTGAAGAACAGGGACCAAAATGCAGAAACCCTGAAGGCAGCCGGAAACTGCCGGAGCGCTTCCGCCAGCAACTCTGTCTAAACGACGGTGCAACAAAACGAATCTTCAGTCACCACTTCGGTGAGTACTTTCAGGAACCAGTCTTTGAGATCTGGAATAAGCAGGAACATGCGTTGATGAAGTTTTAGTCAGGTCTGTAGCCCGTGTCTTTCTGCCGTCGGACACCCCCTCCCACAATGGCCTCCTCAACGGTGAATGTACGCTCTCTAACTTCATGCCTTCATGGTCTACGAGGTTAATCATGTCACTGCTGTATCCAGGTGGTTCGCTATACCGCCCTCCTTTCCGGTGTCTTCTACGGCATTGCACACCGCCGATCACTCCAGAAGGCTCACGATGAGGAGAAGTTGCACCATGCTGTTCACGAGCGAGAGCACTTGATCCAGCAGGCTAAGGAGGCATGGAAGCAGAAGCAGGAGGCTCCAAAAGACAGCAGTGAGTATTTTATATGCGTGCCTCTCTTAAGCGGCGGAGAGCTTTTGTAACTGAATACATTCTTCCTACAGTTGTCACAGACCCAGAAGACCCACGCTTCGACATAGAGAAGCTTATCTCGAAATGGGAGAAGGAGTACTCATGATATGTAGATCTGTCTCGCCTGACAGAGTTCAGCCTTTCGTAATTTAGACTAAGGAGGGTTATGCCAACTCCGTATATCAGTCATTCCGCTTCACCTCCGTCAGAGGTTCATAGAGAATATCCGTGAACTGTTGTTCAATGTCCAACATATATGTGCGTATCACATTTGAAGCGTAGAGTACACGTTCCTGCAGGCAGCTATTCTGTATTCGACTTGGACATAAAGTTACGCGTGACGGATGATCGCGCGCCCGAACGCGACTGAAGCTTTGGCCACTTTACCTTTGACTCTCATCATCTCTGCACCGGCTATTTTATTGGACGTTAACTTCCCAGTCCAGCCCTTACTCTTTCATTCACACCTGAAGTCCCAATATCGTGAAATAAACCCTGTTGATCAGAATGCGACCTATAGCACCCGAAGAGGAGGATGACCTTGCTGCTGAGGAGGAGAACAAGCTCATCAATGAGGTATGCTAATATCCCATGCTCTACGGAATCGTGTGTCTTAGGATTTCTATTACAACGCGTAGGAATACAAAATATGGTGAGCAAGGCCTTCCATAGCCTTATGCGCTGGAACTGAAGCTATCGTCCAATGATAGGAAGAAAAACGCGCCTTACCTCTACGATGTTGTTATCACACATGCTCTGGACTGGCCAAGTTTGACTTGCCAATGGTTTCCAGACAAAGAATCGTGCGTGTCCTTGGTATATCATCACACAATACCTCGCTCATCCTCTGCAGACCACCCAACAAACCCTACACTGTCCACCGCCTTCTGCTCGGCACCCACACCTCCGGACAAGCCCAAGACTACCTCCAAATAGCAACAGTACAACTTCCAAAACGCGACGACGGCCCCTCTGCAGACAAACTTGATCGAGCGGACTATGACGATGAACGTGGGGAACTCGGTGGCCACACCATTCCCACTCAGCCTCGCATTCAGATCACACAAAAGATCAACCATGAAGGGGAAGTCAACCGAGCGCGTTACATGCCCCAGAATCCCGATTTAATTGCTACGAAGGCTGTTTCTGGCGAAGTCCTCATCTTCGATCGGACAAAGCATTCGAATACTCCAGATAGGGATGGCGTATGTAGACCAAATATCCGACTAGTAGGACAGACCAAGGAAGGGTGAGTCTACAAAGTGACTGCGCAGGTGATATTAGCTGAGTGATATGTCAGGTTTGGCTTGTCGTGGAACCCTGTCAAGCAAGGACATATTCTCGGAGCGTCGGAAGACATGACGGTATGCCATTGGTGAGGGTGCAGTAACGTACTGGGAAGACACTGCTCTAAATTTCGAATCTCAGGGATATTTCATCGTATACCAAGGCCAAGACATCAATAGAACCCACGACTGTCTTCCGAGGGCACACGTCCGTTGTCGGGGTACGTAGCATCTCTGCATACCTGATCGCGTATTAAATCTGAGGTGGCCCTAGGATGTCGACTGGCACCCTAGACACGAAAATGTGCTTGCCAGCGTCGGAGATGATAAGATGCTCATGATGTATGTCCGTCTCCGTGCTTTCTATTGGTGTTTGGAAGCTAATTGGACTCTCATAGCTGGGATACTCGAGCTCCTGCTGAGCCAACGTCTCGAATTCAAGCACATGATAGAGAAATCCTCGCTGTTGCCTACAGCCCTGCTGTAGACCACCTATTACTCACCGGTAGTGCAGACAAGGTTAGTGATCTATTTCAGCTTCCATCATGCAAATCATAACCGTTGATATCCCATAGACCATTATCCTTCACGATATCCGTAGTCCACACAAGCGTCTACACGTATTTGAGGGCCATGAAGACGAGGTTCTTCATGTCGCATGGTCGCCACACAACCCTACTGTCTTCGCTTCTGCTTCTAGTGACAGAAGAATCAACATTTGGGATTTGTCACAGATCGGTGTAGAGCAGACTCCGGATGATCAGGAAGATGGGCCTCCGGAGCTGTTGTTTGTTCACGGAGGTAAGTTATGTCCATGCTTTGCGTACAATGGTTTCATTGATGCTATCTGTATCAGGTCACACTGCTCGGCCAACGGACTTCTGCTGGGCGCCAGGAAAGGGTGAAGACTGGACAGCTTCAAGCACCTCCGAAGACAATATTGTGATGATCTGGCAACCCACAATGCGAATCTGGGCTGGAGACGAAGTCAAGATCGACGAGAAAGAACTGGAGCCTGAACCAATGCAAGGCATCGAAGTCACAGGCCCTGCGGAGGAGCCCGATGTGGAGTTGATATCCGAAGCAGCTGGTTTCGTTTTGACTGGAACTATTGTGCCAAACGCACCGGAGCAACAAGAGAAGACATTGGAAGAACCACCTGAGGAGATCGTTGGATGATCTTTGTATTCCTGCTGTGTTATATGTTTATGTTCAGTTTCTGAATGATGCATATGTTTCTTGAGCAAACCGAGAAATAATGATATGAGGAATAGCTGTTATACAATGAAAATGTACCAAAAGTGTCCACGTCCCAAGAAAAAGTCTAATCCAATGGCAATCGCCATAGGTACAGCAATCGTTGCCGATACCAATATACTAAAACCCTGCTATCGTCACAGGAAGATGATTCTCAACAGTTCAAACAGTACTGTTGGCACATAATATGAATGAACATGATAGGTACACTGCAGACGAGATGTGTGACATAACATACCTCCTCCGACAACCACGAAAAGAATAGCACCCAAAGCCCATAGGCTAATAGGACTTCGCTTTGCGAGCCTCTCCTGACGAGACGGCTTCACCGGGTTCTTGCCCGCACGAGCCTTATTGGCGAACTGGGCGTTTCGTTGACGAAGTTCGAATTCTGTGGGCTATGAATGACATAGGCGTTATTCGACTTGCATCAGGCAGAGAAAGCGAAGGTCCGAACCATTTTGTGGATTGTATGAGTTAAGGGTAAAGGAGTGACTGGAAGTGCTTATATGCAGTGGTGGTTTGTGGAAGAGACGTGTCAGGAGTTACAAGGTTCCACGTCGCAGACGGATAGTACCTTGTGACTGCTAACGACCATCATCGCTTTTTCTATCTCGGCGAAAACTCATTTCACAGACTACGCCGTGCCTCATTTGGGGTCCACACTCGGGAACGATGGCAAAAGGAAGGAAGACGTCTCTAAAGGCTGCCCTATCATCACAACAATCGAGATTGAAGAAAAAACAAGACGCTGCTCATGCCGCTCAGCACGCAGAGCAACAGGGCAAACATGCAAAAGTCGCACAAGCGAAGGGGAAGGGAAAGGCTGTTCCTAGGGCTCCTACAATACCATTCACTGCTACCGACAGAATTCTCCTCATTGGAGAAGGGAACTTCTCATTTGCTCGAGCTTTGACCGTAGAGCCCCCGGCTGCTCTGGAATACTTGCCTGCCAGAAATATCACTGCAACTGCATACGATTCCGAAGACGACTGCTATGCAAAGTATCCCGATGCACATGCCATTGTGACCGTTCTGCGGCAGAAAGGGGCAGAAGTGATTTTTGGAGTGGACGCAACTAAGCTAGAGAAGTACCCTGCCCTTCGAGGGCGAAATTTTGACAAAATTGTTTGGAACTTCCCTCATGCTGGTGAGTATCTCTGATATACCTCGAATAAGTTTGTTATTGAACGAGTCAGTTCTTTGATTGACTGCTTTATAGGCAAAGGTATCACCGATCAGGATAGAAATATTCTGTCAAACCAGTTGCTACTACTGGGGTTCCTACGCTCCGCCGCAAGCTTCTTGACTACGGGACCTGTTCCAGTTGTCGTTAAGAAAAAGAAGCCGAAGAGCGGCGAGTCGGAAGATGAAGGCCAGGATAGTGCATCGGAGGCTGGTACTTCAAATTCTGTCGCACCGAGGGGATCTATCCTCATCACTTTACGAAACGTCACACCTTACACATTATGGTCCGTTTTTGAATTCATCTTTATTTCGACGACAAGACTGACGCTCTATGTAGGGATTTGCCCAAGCTTGCTAAAAGCCCGCCACCTCCGAAACAAGCAAATGAGCCTCCGAATCCTCGATACATCCAGCTAAGATCCTTCGTATTCGATCGGAAGGTATGGAAGGGGTATGAACATCGAATGACTAAAGGTGAACGAGTGCATGGTCAAGGAACCACAGGGGTAGGTGGTGAAGATCGCATGTGGCAATTCTGTTTGAAAGACTAGCACCCTGTATCTTCACTGCACTCCTGTTTGTGAGTGTTGTATATGCATTGAGGTCGTACTTTGCCCCTGGTCAGATATGTCAGGAGCCTTAAAATCTAAGAGCTTTGCGGAGCTGCAGGGAGAGAGAGTATTGTCCGTGATATGTACAAGCCAATGAAAGCTTTCGGATATGTTGTTCAAACGAGTGATCGTAACCGATCACTACCCCGCGGGGTCGAAGGGACTTGGCATGAATGGAATCTTGCTAGTGGGGATCTGAGAACACCGCAGCAGCGTTCGCAACGGCGCATGCAACAGACAAACGTAGTCCTTGGACTTGCCTCGTAGCATTGCGATACCTCCTATTCAAGCGCGATATTTCTTTGCACGTACACCACTTTCTAAAAGCATCCGCTACACTCGGTATAACCGCCCATATTCTCAGCTGTTCCGGAACAGGTTAGCCGGCGGGGCACTCACGTTCGCATTCAAGTGGATGATATAGACCGTACCACTAGTCGCCCGACATGCATCTCCTCTCCATTACATTCACACCCCAACACTATGCTCTACCTACCACCACCGATTGGAAGACTCGCGGACTATAGCCCGCCACCTCACTCAGACGACATTCAGGTCGTCTTCCCTCGTGAACATGTCATGATATTAGCTTTTAATAGGCCAAAGTCTCTCAATGCTATGACGCCTACTATGACTGAGGACATCAAGAGGATCTTGGACTGGTTTGATGAGGAACCGAGTCTCTGGTCAGTCCACATCCATAGTCTTATTATAATTGACGACAGCTTAGGCTGCGCATTGTAGGGTTGTCATTCTCACTGGACAGGGACGTTTATTCTGTGCGGGTGCAGACCTTGTTGCGTTCGTGAACCCCAACGATTCTAAAATAGCGTCTGTGCTAATTATATACGTCTACTCTAGTTGGAACCAACGCGCTAGCACTGGGCAGGCAGACAGCGAAGAGGAGCTACTTAAAGGTGTTGATGGTTTCGGTTCTATCTCACGTCGATCATCTTCGCCGAAACCTATAATCGCTGCTGTCAATGGCAGCGCGTACGGAGGAGGCGTGGAGATGGTGCTCAACTGTGATATTGTCATTGCCAGCGAGGAAGCTGTCTTCGCATTGCCCGAAGTCAAAAGGGGTGTTACTGCTCTACAAGGGGGTTAGTCATAGTCACCAGCTCTTGATTGCCTTTGGGTGTTTATGATCAACGGTAGGAATGCCGAGACTTGCAAGAATAGCAGGACATCAGGTACAATTGAGACAGACCGTGATATGCAAAGCGTGACTGATTATTGGATGTCCAGCTTGCTTCGGAGATGCTTCTGCTGGGTCGCACAATTTCAGCGCAAGAAGCGGCAACCCGGTTCGGCTTGTGCGTATTCCCATCTTTCACCCGGTTTTGCTCGGTTGACATCACATTCTGCCAGCGTGAACAAAGTGGTACCCAAGAACCAAGTCCTCGCAACGGCACTCGAGTGGGCAAGAGAGATTAACCAGAATTCCCCCGACTCCGTTCAAAGCACTAAACGAGCTCTGATACTAGCAAATCAGAAAGCAAGTCTCGAAGATGCTGTTGCTGCGCATGTAACATCCAAGGAAAGCCGGCGAGCGCAGAGTGGTGAGAACATGAAGGTCAGATGCTTGAGCTTTGTTCTTGTCGAGCCATGAGGCTGATCGGTTATGGGCTATGTACGGCCCGTTACTATGTTTATAGGAGGGTTTGACTGCTTTTGTGGAGGTGAGAATCGTTGCCGGTTATTTTGAGGGCGAATGAAACTGATATGACGTGATAAAGAGACGGAAGCCTATTTGGAAGAATCCTGCGAAGTTGTAGGTGAAGTAAGAATTGATTTGGATCATGTACATCAGTTTGGATCCCTTTTGAACTTTTTTGCATTGTTGCTGTATGGATTTACTCGCTGGAATGAATCATCTTTTATACCCTTTGTGAACTGAAGTGCCCCCGTCGGCTTGAACTTGGCTTCCTGAAGGAGGGTCTACGAACGATCTTCACCCACGTGGCAGCGCTTAATCATAACATTGCTTTAGCGCTCAATTCAGCGCAGCAACAAGTTTCTGCTCGAACGAAATGAGCATGGGCGAGAGCTCTACCAGTGGCTCGCCCTCATCTCAATCTACACCTTCTGATGCTTCCATATTCAAGAAATGGAGTCGGACATTTTCGCTGGTGACAGGAATCGGCGTATCTGAAGAGGAACGGTTGGGCGAGCTGCAAAAATTCCATGGACGTACATGTGAGAAGTGGAAGAAGGAACTGATGCATTACAGTCAGTATTAGTGGGTTGACATCCTTTTTGTCTTATCGTTGACTGTGCTAGACCTATTTGCTTGACAGGTCCTTCCGTCGTTTTCATGCTCAAACACCTTAAGCATTCCGGATGCCCTGTTTCACCCGAACATATCGTCTGTGTACCCTGTGACTTTGCGCGTTCGGGCGGATTCAGTCCACAAGCTGGCGCCATTATAGTCTGCCAAGGCAAATTTTTCAATAAACGTCATATGGAAGACACGTTGGTACACGAGCTCATTCACATGTATGACCATTGCAAGTTCAAGGTTGACTGGAACGACCTGAGGCATCACGCATGCAGTGAGGTATGTTGTCAAATTGCCTTCAGTTGCACATGGTCATGGCATTAATATTTGGCTGCCTAGATTCGCGCGAACAGCCTTAGCGGTGACTGTAGATATATGCGTGAATTGCGAAGAGGGTTTCCGTCTTTTGCCAAACAGCATCAGGCAAGTGCCAGATGTCCGAGCACGTCTTGTGGCGCTTCGCAATTGCGAATGCTTGCTAATGATATGTTTTCCTTATAGGCCTGTGTCCGACGTCGCGCTGTGCTGTCTGTGCGTGCCAACCCTGCATGTCCGGATGAAGCCACGGCCGAACGAGCTGTGAATGAAGTATGGGAAAGCTGCTTCAATGATACTAGACCGTTTGATGAGGTATGTTCACGTTCTCCGTAAATATGAATGTGCTGACCTGGCTTGAATGATAGATCTATTAGACTAGAATGTAATACATGCATGGCTAGAGTAGAACATGATAATTTATTTCACTTGCTTCTTTTCTTGATGGGAACATGTGCCATGAGAGCGTTCTCATGGCGGTTCACAACGTTCACCTGCAAGACGGTAGCTGTGAGCTTCTAAGACTGAACGTTCCGGACTGAAATAAACTAATCTGCCGGTCAACCCCGAGAACATTCTCGGAATAGCGTGGGAGCGCAGCTATACATAAGACGGGTGGCTAGGTTCGCATTCGCGGTCTCGCTGCACCTCGTCTCTCCTAACGACACCAAGCTATCCTCTTTCCCTCTCACTCCTTGTCAGGCTCTCAGGATGTTTGCCCTTGTCAGGTTCGTATCGTCTTTGCGTTAACATAAACATACAATTGAAACGGCCCTACAGCACGCTCGCGGTCCTCGTCCCATTCGTCTCAGCCTTCACGTTCTCTACTCCCACTGACTGGCATAGCAGTTCTCAAGTTGTCGCCAACTGGACAACACTGTCTACCGACCCGACTTCTTTCTCCCTTGAGTTGAACAACCCTGACTTGTTCCATCAAGCTCTTGCTCTTGGGAACAATGTCGACACGAGCTCGGGGACCTTATCTTTCGCCTTGGGTGTCGTCCCTGCAAGGTAAGCAGCCCTATCTATTTCCTCCTAATAATTCAGCTCACTCTTTTTTTTTTGTTAGCTCCGGATATACTCTCCAGGCAGTGAACGTGACGTGCGTACACAACCATCAACTGTCAGATGATTTTTCACTGAAGTTTTCTGCGATTCTTCACCTGTAGGAATATCAACCAGATTTTTGCTGAATCCGCTCCTTTCTCTATCTTGGACCCTATTTCTACTTCGTCATCTGCCTCTTCAACATCCTCGGGCCTATCAAGCGCTTCTTCCGGCACTGGCTCTACTCGCACCGTCCCGTATGTCACCTTTCATCGTAGTAATTATTTCCAACCTGATCTCTGATGTCGTGTTTTAGTGCCGCGACCACCTCTTCCACTCCTTTCGGTGTCACTGTCTCCAACAGTGCGTCTTCCGGCGCTCAGACTACTGGAAGTTCTGTATCAGGTTCAGGCACCTCTGCTGGTACCTCGCCCTCTCCGACCTCTTTCAATGGCAACGGTGCACTCCCACAGTTGAACTTCAACATGGCCACTTGGGCCGTTGTTGGTCTCACTACCGTCTTCGGATGCATGACCGTCCTCTAAGGGGTGGGAATGTGACATCAGGTAGCGATTGGACGGAGTTGAAAACGTCTTTTCTTGCAAAACGCATGCTGTCACGGACATGTCGGATGTTGTCTTTGTTTCTTTTGCACAAATGATTGTCTTCTCTTAAGCACTTTTTAGTCTCACCCTTTTCTCATGGACATTCACGGACTTGCACATGAACTTGTTTTCTTACGATCTTTACCTACATCTTCTCGCAGAATAGTCTGTCTCTGCTAGTATTTTGTCCGGACCGTTCGATAGTCGCATATACCTCGCAGACTGCGTTCTTCGTTTGACCGGAATGTACCACTGTTCCAATACTTCATTGGCGTGCAACGGGCCAAATCATAGGATATGAAATGTTCCTACTAATACATCTAATGGTGCAGGTGGTGCATGTTGGAGCTCTACCGGCTGAGTAAATACAATGAATGTGAGAGTTGGAGGAATGGCTTTCGAGACAAACTACGTGATATATAGTGAGGGTGAGCGCAGCTCAATGCTTGTCCCAATCAATGGAGAAACCTTCCGGAGGTAGGTATAGATCAAGAACGGGTGTATCGAGGTCAAGAAAACGAACGGCCCTAGCCGAAGAAGGCCTGTGTTCTTCCTCGTCTTCATCCTTGCTCTTATGCAGGTACTTGCGAAAGTCTTCGTCAGAGCCCTGTATAGTGTCGTGTTGGACAGCAGTCACGGAATGGTCGCCGCTTTCCGACATTGGACTATCACCAACATCATCGCTGCGAGGAATCTGACTATAAATCAGGAGACGATCTTTGGGGGGAGGTGGAGGTGGGAGGGACGTCGACCGACGATCGCTTGGGGTGGCGATCAGGAATGACTCTGTGAGTCTTTGAGCGTTGTCCGCTAATGCGATAGGTGCGTCTGTTTGAGGATCATCATCGCGAGGTCTCCAGAACATCCAAAGCCGCATACAGTCCTGAAAATAAACCATCAGCATAAAGTTTGGCTATAAAATGTGATGTTACTCACCGCCGTTGTGCCAAAGATGAGAAACGTCCCTAGAGGCACTGCAAACACCCCACACCCGTCATTAATAGGTTGGTAATGGGTCAAAGACGATGGTACTCACTCAGAGCCTCGTACACGATCGGTAGGATGTGCGTCGCAACGGATTTGAAATAAAAGTCGATTCCACATAGGCTAGATCGCATGCATCCAACATGATTCAGATTAAAACCTTGCGGCAACACTCGCGAAACACTAATATGACCTACATTATGTAGTTCAATTGCAAGATGGTGAACCCTGCAACCCGAAACGCCTGAGAACGTCTAAACCTGTTTTTGCGGGCATCGGCAGTTCCTTCAAATTCTTTAGCCTGATTTTTAACGTCTTTCCAACTTTTGCGGAGCCGGGAGATGGTGAGTACTAGATATGATGTCAAAACACCTTGTCAGTACTAAGCGAAGTATGCGGTACGTCGAGACTGACTTTCAAGTGCGACAGTGACGACAACGACAACCACAGAGAAGAACTCGACGCCATGAGTACTAGGAATTGCGATGTTAATCATGACCAACATCAAAACGACAGGACATACAGTGCAGCATAATCAACGGTGCAGTACAATTGGCTGGACTTGTGTTTCACCTTCTTGAGATTACTACCACCAAGCTGTCCCACATAGTTAGCCGTAAAGCTGATAGAACCCCCAAAGAGCTATGCTCACTGCTGCAGTAATAGTCGAAAACACAAGGAACGTGATGTAAGGCAACGCCACCAACTGTAAAGCAGTGATCAGTGCGCTGTATCAGGTCAGATCCCACCGCATGATACTGACTAAAGGTACTCGCAACTGGCGCAGTGTTATAAACCTCAATATGACGACTCCAGTTCCTTGAAGAAATTCAATGACTAATGCTAACGAAGCGATAACAAACCTAATGGAAATATGAGCAAGAAAAATAAGCGTCAGCCATCGAGACGGCCTCACATTGGGTCTGTTCCATGCTTCAGAATCGCCTGTGTGAAACACAACCCAATGGGCGGGTGTGGATTCATGATCTCCTGGCCAAAGTAACTGACGAGGTCCAATTAGCTACACACAAATGTCTCTGACGAATCGAAGAACTCACAGCATGGCCGGGGGTATACTACACAAAATAGTCACTACAAGGAGGTTGATCAACGAAGCATTCCGCCTGCGAACTCGGTTGGAGAAGAGCAGCGTTCCAATAAGCAGGAGCAGTAGAACGTCCCCAAGGGTCACGAAGATGAAGCAAACGTTGATGAGAGTCACCGGATCCGGTCCTAGTAGAGGATACATGGTCTTGGCGGCCTGCGTCTCATGTCGAGTAAACAACCATGTCCGCAGCAGATCCATGTCCAGCAGGAGACTGCAGAGACAAATGGATGACTAGACCAGCCAGGTTGAATGGGAGGCGAACACGAAGGAGGAAAATCCACAACTTAGGATGAGACCCTGAGATGGCATAAAACCGCCACAAGCAAATGAAGGCGCATGAATCTGTCTGGTGACGGCTTGGAACTTCTGAGCTCATCATATGGATGCGAAGTCAAAAGCCTAGAAACGAGGATGGCAGATTGTTGACCTTAGGCGTTCATCGCCAGACTGCCACAACGGAACAAGGCCAAAAACCGGTATGCGTCGGTGCCCTTTCCGCGGGAGGCTTACTCGCCGAGTATGAGGGAAGTCAGAGCTATCCGCGGTAGGGTCCGAGGCAATGGCGTATCAAAAGAGTTTCCACAACGGCTGTGTACTCTGTCAACGTTGTTGGACAGTGCATCAGATTTTGTTCCACCAGTAAGAGCATCGTTGCCAATATTGTGAGAAGTATGAGATGCACTAAAGCAGCATTTTCCCGGAGGTGCAGCTTGAGATCTTTCCAAGTATAGGGAGAGTAGTAAATTATTTGGAAAATGCAGCTTGAAGAGGATGAAACCTTGGAAGTTTGTTGAAGGTCAAGTGTACGGATGATAAGTATCCTCGAGGTGAAGTATTATGCGTGCGAACTATTTTCCTAACATGGCTACCCAATGTGGAGGTTCGAACTGGCAAAGCAATTGTTGTTCTCTTGCTGCCTTGAGCATACCAACACCACTCCTTGTCGGTATCTAGGCCTTCAGTGTCGTCCGAGACATTCCGAGACACAACGGGCCTGTTAGTCTCTCGTTTTTACTTCACACCGGTCTCTACGTGGCCTCTTCATAGCTTGAGGGACGATATCGCTTTGTGGGTCTGTGGTTACCACGGTATACCAAGTAACTCACCTTTTGAATTCGTAGTATAGACTCATGTCAAGCTCATAGGCAGCAGCGAAACGAAGCCTACTTGCAAACTACGTTATATGACCGTTATGCCGGACACGACCATGACGGACGACTCGTCGTTGCTCTCGCCCAATGTTACGGGGCCGGGTCCGACGTGGGGACCTCCACGCGCTCCTCTACCACCTCACCGTTTAGCAAAGCTCGCAAATGCACTTGGTGTCTCCACTCCAGTACCTATTACTCACTCTTATAGTCTACCTCCATTTTCGCCTCCGTCGCAACCTAATTCATCTACATCATCATCATTTCCGGACCACTTTCGCCGTTCCCCCACACCTTCTATGGCCTCTGGCAGCACTCATACTCCCACAGCCTCTACTTCCAAGTATTTGCTTCACGTCATTCCCCCACAACATCTGCCTCATGATATCTCGGACGAGTTTGAACTCACGCCGTTTCCAGCTACCGCGTCAGGATACCACGGTCAATTCCGTCGCGGTATCATGGTTCCTGTTTATCCTACTTTACAGTCTCAGCTCAGCGCTATTGCTCGAGAATATGCTCTTCCGAGCACTCTTGGCATGGTTCTTTACCTTATTACAAACTCATCGTTACCTTCATCTGATGTAGCGGTTTCTGAAGAACCTGGTCCCCGAATATCGGAGGAGATTTGGAAGCATATATGGACCCGAGTGCTCAGAGTCGAGCAGAACGATGGCTTGACTCCAGGACCAAGGCCTTTAGGCCTAGGCTTCAACACTGCAGGCCGTTCTTCCCCAAGCCTCATGCAGGAGGTGGCAGCAAGTGCTTCACTGCGATCTTTGATATCCCCCAAACGATTTGATACCTCACAGCCTTCATCTACATCCTATCCAACACCGTCGCCATCAACACCTTCAAATTCCGCCTACTCATCCCAATCCGACCTTGATACTCCGGAATCCGCTTCCTCTGTGTCTCTCTCAGGAGATGGAGGTGTAAATGCAATCCCACTTCCTGGTCTTACTTCGCCTTCTTTGATTCCGATTCTTGCTAAGGTCGAGTTCGACATCGATCGTAAGAAGGCCGGATGGTACGAACCTTGGGTACGAAGTCGTAAAGTCAATCATGCGAAGCGAGCGGAAAGTCGGCTAGGCATGCGAAGTAGGATGGACACTGTATCAGATGCTGGTGAAGCAGATGAACCAGGTACGAAGAAGGCGCCGATTGATCTCGAGCTGGTGGGAAGGCTGCAAACGGGCAGTCCTGTTCCGAGTTTCCTTTTAACCACAGAGGGATCCGCGAAGGGAGCCAGTAGCGAAATCGAGGAAGATGAGGAGAACGTTGACCTGAGTTCTGGGTACCAGCAGCTCTCAGAATCTCCTGTTCACGTTGAATTGGAGCATTCTGACAGCGAGCACGAGGAGGCCGAGGCCGAGGAGGTGGAAGATATGGTTCAAGTGAACAGACATGGTGATCCTTTAGCTGATGTCTTTGGGACAGATGAAGAGGCTTGGGCTGACTTGCATGCAGGATCAGAATCACGAGGGATATCCAAGCGGCAAAGTAATTCTCACATTGTCGAGCTTGCTTTGGATGGTGCTGCGCTTTCTGCTATGAACGACCTGGAAGCGGATGATGAGGCAGACAAGTGGTCGGAGACGGGTGAAGTCACGGAACTGCTAAACACCCTCAATAGGCCTACGCTCTCTGTGTCGATACCGTCTTCCCCGCCCAACAATGGCCAATCTTCGACGAGCGATACTGCAACAACTGCTGCCACGATTAAACGGCATATACCTCCGCCTCTGAACTTAGCCGCTTCGGTTCCTTCTACGGATGAATTGGCTGTTCCTGCTCTAACTAGCCCAATGCCAGGTAGTAGTGGAAGCGTTCACTTGGCGTATTTGAACGACCAGCCATCACCACTGGAGTCCACATATAGCCAACCTGAACATTCTGACAATGACGATTTTGATGAGGAGGTAATGAAAGTGCGAAGTCCTCTGGAGGAGAAACGAGGTGGTGCTGTCTTTGATGACCTGAATCTTGGACTCGACCCTTCCATGACAGATGACGGTTCAGAGGTATATTTAATTGTTTCCTTGACGTTCATTGCTACGATACATAGATCCTGATTTCGTGGTATTTTCAGTTTGATGATAGCGACCCCAATGATCGGCGAAAGAGTCAGTACATTATGGCCGCGCAGCTTGACGAAATAGAGAAGGTGGAACCATCTCTCAATAAAATCTAGATTTACGCTGACGTATCTGATCTTCACAGACTTTGGCCCAGTTCTCACCACGTCAACTGAAGCCAGAGATTCTCGATGAGTCTCCTCGACCAAGTTCGGTTCGGAGCACCGGCTCTCCTCGTAGTAACGGAGGCCCGCCGCGATCTCCTCCCCAGTATGTACTGTGATGATGACCCATAGATGGGCTCTGACAATGGTTGTTGGATACGTACAGGAGCTTGAGTGCGCCTGGAGAGACCCCATCTTGGCCGGCTGTCCCTTTCTCTGCTCTGAATGGTAACGGAGGTGATGATCCTGATCGACCTCCTTCACCTCCTCGGTTTGCTTTCAATGGCATATCTACAGAGCCTCCGAAGTCTTTCCAGCCAAAGCGTCCATCAGGAGGTATCATGTCCGATGAGAGTTTGGCACGTAAGCGTGAACTCGAGGAAGAGCGTGGACTCTATCCGCCTTTGGCTGCTCCTAATCTCTTCCTTCGAGACCGGACTGATTCAGAGTCGCCTATCATTCCCTTGTCACCAGACCCATTCGGACGATTCCCCTCGCAGGCCGAAAGTGTATACATGGAGGAAGAACAGCGGAAATCGCAGATCTTCCAGGAAGATACAGCGGCGCAGTCTCATGATCCCATCATCAGTCCACCAGACCGCTCGTCGTCATTAACTCTAGCTCAAGCTAGGGAAAGCGGTGACCGATCAGCTGCGCACACACCGTCTAGCAGGTTCTCTTTTGATTCCGTCACGTCAGAAGACGCTACCAAATCTCAGCAACAGCAGAAGTCTGCTCCGCTCATGAGCGTGAAGAGTATTCGACGACTTTGGAGAAGAAGCGACAAGCAGGCGTCTATATCCGGTAATTCGACTTACACTATACCAGAGTCTGGTCGGACATCACCTAACGTTCCTCAATCGAATGGACAACCTATGAACGGCCGAACACGCTCCAAGTCTTTCTCGAAGCAAATGCTACCACCGCCAGCGCCCGTTAATTCCTCAGGCAACCTTCCTGTTCCGCCAATGATCCAAGCTATGCGTGAAACTCCGTATCGAGGCATACAACTTGATGGTGATTCACGATATCCTCTAATTCCAATTCATTCTCACCCAGTACCTCCTGCGGGTATGGCTCGTCAACCATCTCCGCCTCCTGAAAGGCCGCCGTCCATGGCCAAACAACGACCACCGTCGGTGTCTCCGCAACCTCCCTCAGAGTCGAACAGGAACAGCGGTGTTCGCAAGTCCATACTCAAGTCTTGGAAATCCGCATCGGGCAGTCTCTCTGTCTCCAAGGGTAGCTCTAAACCTACGTCATCGACAACAACGCCACGATCGAGTACGGAACAAGCTCCAGAGGGTCGTCGAAGGAGACCGAGTGTATTAGAGTTGGCAACCAACATGAGGAATTCTGTGACTAATGGATTCTCGGATATCCCACCGAGCCCTGCGCTACCGGATCAGTACGCTCCCCTTCCCAATTCCCGTGCTTCTAGTCGCCAGTCTCAGATGACGCTTAATGGCATTATTAACGGTGCTCCTGCAGAGAAACGTCCTGAGTCTGTCACACGTCGAGGCCCCAGCGTGTCGTCAACTTCCACCACGGCTTCATCTTCACGAATACGCTCACCGCTGAACGCAGGCATAGGCACTTCGCCACCTCGAAATGGCGTTGGTTCCCGACTTTCTGATGCCTCGTGGGAAGAACGACCAAGTTTCGATGTTTCTCAGTTCGAGATCGTCTCTCCTCCAAAATCGCACTTCCTGGAATCAACCTTATCATATCCCTATCATGGGCTGGATCACTCAATGACATCTCAAGAGTCATGAGGAGCGATGATCTTTTAAATTTTCATCGTTTTCGTACCTACTTGCTGGCCGATTTAGTTTTTCTTCAATCTCTCTGTCCATAAGCTCCATTTGTCCATTCTGAATCTTGCTTTCGGTGTGCTTATTTTACACTTACCTGTTCTTACGCTTTCATATTTTTTTCGTTTTCCATTTATTCGTCGTTTTTCTCTATCTCACATCTCTCAGGGTACGCACAGCAGCAATTATGCATTCTTCAGCCTATGCTTCGTTAGTAAAATCCAACTTATGGTACATGCGATCTGGCTTCGCTTGTAATACAAGAAACTGCGGTGCTAAGCGACTGACGTCGCGCTCACCCTGACGGAAATGTTTCCCCTGCGTGACTTTTAGAATGAGTGCTCTGTTGAGTCTTTGCCAATTGCAGAGGTGCTCGACGATCCAGCGGATACCGTGGTGAGGATGCGGTCGATGTAGTTGGCACCGCTCCTGCGAATGCTGATGAGCAATCATCGCTATACTTTTCAAGCCCATCGGACTTACCACTTCTGATGAGTCAGGACGTCACAGCCGATTTCCTTCTCCTTGCGCTGGACAAGTTCGACATAGGCAAGCATGCCGTCAGTTTTATATCGAGCAGCGAGTTCAGCTAAGCGTAATGAACGTTAGAGATACGGAAAATATCGAATCAGCTAATTACTCACCCGTCGCAGTCGCATCCACATGAAGACCAGCCAATGAGATCAGCTGTAGGACAAATCTAATCCTCCGTCAGCTACTTGCAATATTCTCAGGTGATGCATAGTTGACTTACCCTTCCTTTGCAAGATCCCAGACGAAGCTCTTCAAATCCGAATCTACGAATCAAATCTTGGCATCACTTGCGTCTTCCAGCCATTTATAAACAGAAGTCGTACCTGAGAAACCCTGGGCAGACCAGTTGAAGCTCGGGCTCAGGTTATACACGAACCATCTATGAGGATAATTCGTCACCGTGGTGCAGACACATAGGAGGGGAGCTCACTCACTTCCCGGGGTATTTATCTCTAATCTTGCGAGAGAAGTACCGAGCTTGAGCCAGATCGGGCGTTTTTGTCTCCAGCCAGATAAGGTCAGCATAAGGAGCGAAGGCAAGTTCACGCTTGATAGCAGCCTAGTGAGGTGGCTTGTGAGTGACCAGTAGCGCAAACAAGGTAAGAAATTGAAGTTACCTCGACACCACCGGTGTAGTGATAGTAACCTTCACGAGTCTTCGGAACTATATAGTTGATGTTAGATATGTTGTCAGAAAGACGAAAGCTAAGATACTGACGTTCCCATGACCAAAAGACAGGTTCACCAAGAATGTCCTTTGCGACGCTGCGAGCATCCGAGTTAGATTTGCCTTCGACTGCATTCAGGTATTCCTTGTATGCGGTTTCCTTATCAGCAATCGAGGACTTGTCGACAGCAACCTTGACAGCTAGAGATTGGGGATTGTAAGCAAGAAAAATCAACCCAGAATGGAACAACAGGCCAAACCTTCATTGAAAGTGCACATAGGGTGAGCGGCCAACCATTCCTTCTCGATTGTATCAATTTCAGGTCCAGTCTTGCCATCCATCTCTGCCTCAGAGATAACCTCAGCCAGTGGTTTACCAGGTTTCGTTACGCCCTTGATAAATTCGTGGTCCAAAACATCGACAGTAGAGGAGAGCAATTTGGCAGACTCGGCATCAGTACGTGCAATCAAGAGCATAGAGGATTTGAGCAGATCGAGTTGGAACCGGGCGGCGATGAGGCGGGAGACGTGGGCCGAAGCTGGGACGAGAACCTTTCCTGCGAGGTGTCCACACTATTGCGTACATCAGCAGCATGAGAGGTGTTTAGGCGGCACGGGTAAAGATGATGCTGACCTTCTTACCACCAACCAGTTGATCTTCCAGGTGAATAGCTGCTGCTCCCTACAAAATAGTTAGTAAACCGCATAAACTATAGCGTCTAGAGAACAACGCACAGATTCAGCAAACAATTTAGCCAGTTTCATGACAGTTGACAGTCCGCCGTGTCTAAGACGCGTCTGAGAAGTCAGTTCATACTGGATTGGATAGTATATAGTCACTCGTGCGTTAGGAGAACACGATACTCACCCCATGTCGGCGTCAGCAATAATCGGGCGAAGGTAGTCAATATACGGCATCTTCGCCCGAGCTTCAGCAGTTGCAGAGATACGTTCATCATAGTGTTTCTTGTCGTGTAGTTGTTGAGCTCGGAAGATACGGTGGACTTGATTTGGGACCGTAGTGTACGGGTAATCTCTGAGAATATCGATATCAACTCGCATCCACATGATATTTTAAGGTATAACAACGCCTACCCGATATCCGGGCCAACTTCGTTGTTGCAGGTGGTCAACAGGCTCGAGCAAGCCCAACCACTTATATAGACCACCTCCTGATGGGGGGCCATTTGTGTCATTTGAACAGGGTCAATCGCACCCATGGTATGCACAGGCTTTCCTTCCTTGCCTGCTTTATCAAATAAAGCATACAGCTTGTCCGCAAGCAAGGTCGACGGAAGTGGTAGCACTGGCAGTGACCCTTGCTTCGAAGCAACGGAAGCGGCAGAGTATGGCCTCTTCAGACCTGCGAAACGAGGCAGGTCGAAGAAAGCCTGCATTTCGTCCACACGATCGTTGAACGTGTCATCTTCCTGTTTAATAGTGGGCGGCTGGAGAGGTAGTGCAGGTATGGTTGTAATGTTAGTGGAGTTGCTCATTGCCCGAACAGTGTGGTAGGACACGGGAAGGCGCAGGTTTGGCCGCACACCACGTAGGAATGAGGACATCCTGTCGTCGCCGTTGAAAAAGGTGGACGACAAGGCAGCTTATAAGTCGAGTTGGATGTCCGGAACTGGAGAGTAGCCATGATGTTCGGAATGCTCTCGCAAGTCGGCTCTCACCTCCCGACGATCACATGCATCATCTCGATCATGTTTTCTGCCTCCTCTTTCACACTCACTCAGCTCACTTCAAGTTGATAAGTCTTGGTCTTTGCAACTAGCTCATGACAGGACGAGAAAGTGGCTCTGATAAATATGGGTTTTCCTGCTCCGCTTGGGTGATAGTAGAAGTAAACCAAGGCTATAGAGACAAGGGCGTTCTTTCTGATGTTGCAAGCCAACGGAAGGATTTTGGATCATACATTGTATCGCAACCTTACTCGAGTATTGCCATTTTTCATGTATGTCAACAACAAAACAAAGATCCAACTACATAACCCACTGGTGTGGGTATACGTGCGTATTAACTTGCACTCTTGCTCATCCGGTTTTCATTTCGCAAACACCCCTGTCCTTCTTGCTCAATGACCAAGTCGAGCTGTCTCAATTTCTAGTGCGCCGCCTTCATCTAGGATATCTACTTCTCAGCCTTCAACATCCCACTCTAGCTGGTGGTGGTAATCTTGTCATCCCATCTACCTCCCTCAAGACAAGGCTATATGCACATCTGCGTGGACGTGTGCACTACTAAACAACTAGGGTCCATGCATTCTCTGGCGAAGCTCTCGATGTTATTGTCATCTTTGATCTGGTTACTAGGCTCCTTTAAGCCATTTACAGTCTCATTTATGCTGAAGTGGTTGACGGTCTGCTTTTTTTTCTCCCACTGTATCATGTTCGACGCAATGCATACGAGATGAGTATAATAAATGATGTCACCTTTTGTGTAATAATCTGACTATCCCCGCGAGTCTCACGTCTTGCAATACTAGGCCCGTTAAAACAAGATCACATACTGCGGCTGACAATCAAAACACTGTCTGGAGGATTGCGGTTCAAGCTCTCTAACGCCGCCGGTGTAACGATCCCGCTCATTGTCCATTCAGCAAACTATGCTGCGGATCGTCAACATCCAACACATCGTTCCTTGCATGAAAGACAACTTCGACAATGATTCCTGTGATTCCAACAAGATCTTTAGGGACAGTTTCGTGAATTTGGACCGTGACTGCTTCAGGGTTGGAGTGAGCACCGTTTTATTCCACGATCACCTATATTCATCCAACTTTCGGTTGATATCCCAAAGACGTGTGCTCCTTTCGATGCAAGCTTGATGGGCCAATGGCTTCTTGTCTTCGATTTGTTATCTTCTTGAGTCTGAGTAACGGCATTTTCATTCTGCTCATGGTTGTACGACCACGTTGAGAAGCAGAAAGCGCTCTACATCAGGTTTCTCTCTAATCCACAGCCAGAGACGCGATTCTGACGAATGTCACTAATCGATCCTTCAAAAATGTTGCACTTTTTGTGTTCTACAGGACCTTCCAAATTAGGATATATGTCAAAAGACGTTATACGACTTTGATACCACTCGCGAAGTACTGGCATCCAAAAGTTGTTGAAGTTCACTTATGTCGCGCTGCCCTAGCGGTGTACGGTGCTTTGATGAACTATGTGGAGGGCCATCAACAGAAATGATAGTTTCATGTAATATGACACGAAATTGAACCATGTTTGCAGACACCAATGAGCGTATTTGAGGCGGATCACCGACACTGCTCGGCGACACGGCGGCCGCCTTCCCGTATGAACACGCTCCACTGTCCCTTCTACAAGATAAGGCGGCGCGGAAACCCTCACTACCGTTCCTGCATTTCTACATGGTGGGTATGCATCTAAACCTCTGTTTTCAAATTGATTGTCAGGTTCGTCATTCAGCGATGCTGACTCAGATGTCCCGAACCTTGATCTGGAAGTGAAATCTTCCCTCCACTTATCCTATTTTTATGTAACTTACTCAGCTATAATGGGGTTAAACAGGTATCAGCTCCAAACTCAGGCATCATACCTTTCAACTGACCGTTCCTAATCGCAGGCAGCTCAATCCAAAATTCAAATACTCCCAAGTACGTACTTCAAGGTAGAGCGTTTGGTGGAGACAAGGTGATCAGCTGAGTGATCTGAGTCCGAATCCTTATAGTATTTTTGGTTTTTGGAGCTTGTCAGAGTCTCCCCTGGATGAGCTTAATGGATGTGCGCTAATATTCCTAGTGAAAGTAGGAAGGTCATCAAGAATGCAGACAGCGCATAAAAGCACTGGCTTGCAAAACTGAGGCAGTAGCCGGACATGAGACGCTGCATTGCGGCTTCTTATTCCCGCAAGTAAGCAGCAGATCGAATCTATCAGTGATACGCATGGGGAACTCCGTGAGTCATCGCATTGTTGTGTCACTCATTCTTGGAGGGCGAGAGGCATTCTTATGCCTATTATTACGGCCAAAATGAGGTGGTCACTGCACCTCTTGTACTACTATGGCAGAATTATGGGTATAATTTGATAAGTTGAATTGAAGTGCGGAATAGCGGGACAACAAGAAATGTCGAACATGACCATCATGTTCCTAGCGGTCATGCACGAAGTTCTTGACATGAGGTGAGTGAGTATCGGCGTACATAAATAAAACTATGCTTTAACAAGTCGTTACTTAGCATGAGCACCAACGTGCATTCTATATTTGTGGAATGAATTCAGACTCGGATATCGCTCGTTGTCAGTGGGGACCAATGAGAGACGATACTGCGACGTCTATGGGTGCGTCTTCAGAATTCTACGGGTTTGCTTTCACCCGCTATAGCCCTGCTGACCCATTTTCATCGCTTAGAATTTCATTCCATGCGGCTGTACAACGAACTTAGTACATACCTGCAGCCATTACTCTGAATCACCAGGTATACATTCAGGTCACGAATAATTTGTTCGCCGCTTCTTACGACGACGCCCATGTTCTTTGCTGTCATGGTACGTTCGATAACCTCAATGCTAACCATAAAATGAACTGTTTGGTATCCACGCCCAGTCAGTGAGACCTCAGCCACGTTCCATTACAAGGTAAGATTAGCCTGTCTGATTTGTGGGCAAGCTCGACCAGAGACGCCATTCAAAGGTATAAAAACTGAGGTGTCTGAAGTAGAGCCTCAGCAGCACACCAGTGTAAGCTACACCAGAACTCGAAATCGCCATTGTATGACTTCCACTCTCCCTTGCTATTGTCCATGACTAACCACCCCTTCTGTATACTTCAGATGCAATTCAACCTCTTCAACACCATTTGCACTGCCGTGCTCGCCGCTAATTATGTTACGGCGACAGCAGCTTCGTCTCTTTTTGCAAGGCAAGACACTTGCACTGTCCCGACGGGTTGTTGCACGGCTTTCTCCCTTTCGGGCACATTTCTTGGCATTCCCCTTCCGACCGTCCCATTTGGAGATACCTGCGCTCTACCTGGAGGTCCAGGTGGCGTCTGCACTCCAGGAACTACGACTACTGCATCTACTGGAACCATCACAGTCAACAGCATCATTGGGGTGAGATCTTTTGTCCTCACTAAAGTTTCGAGGCTAACCTCACTTTGTCTCATCAGTCTTGTGTCTGAACAATCTACCTCGTCTACAAATAGGGTGGATATACAATGATATTGGTTGTATTGTGAATAAGTCAGCGTCTGTAACTGGATTTCAAGTAGGGTATGGAGGGTGCCTCCCTTGTACTGTTAGCCTAGTGATCGAAACGATGCAGAGTGTATGACCGTTATGCTTCTGAGGTTGAGCAGTGAGCATTAGTTTTACTTGGCCACCTACTGTAAGCCCGAATCTTTTCATGGACACAATAAAAATCACGTAGTGGTTCATTTATATACTCTCCCGGCATCTGATGAGTGCCAAAACAGCACGTATGGACGATTGACCAATTACAACCAATATAAAGAGACTGTACATAGCGCATGTACACGCTAGACTGACGCCGTGTACCACTTCAACGTGACTTCTTAGGAGCGGGCAGAGTGCAGCAACGCTGGTCGACTGTCCATCTAGCTTTCCTAGTAACCACGAACTAGACAGAATCTCGGATAAAAGGATGGATGCGTGGATCCAACGGGTCTCAGTAGTAGGTGCGCTAGCGGGACAGAATCGTTAGCTGGATGTATTGTGCAATTGTATGTGGTACTCACGATCCGAAACAAAAATGGACCTGCTGAATGATCATAATTGCCCAGATGATCTTGAGTAGATTTGGATTGTTCTTATAGCCCTTACTAGCCAATAGCGAGAAGGTCGTGTGCACCCACAAGTCGGCGAAGAAAATGATGATCTCCGCTACGAAGGTTAGGCTTGAGGAATTGAAGAGGTCAGCACCAAGCCGATTCGAGTCATGAGGAGTAATCTTCACGTCTAGACATGTAGGTTCATTATTCAATTTCATGAATTATACGAGGGACACAAGTTAGGATGAACTCACCTTCACAGTGGGAAGGCCACTCAAGTACGAAATGGCTTGCGCTCATGGCCACAATGACAAGCATGTTCTTCGGCGTTGCAGGAACTTTAGCAACCGCTCTGCAAAAAGAATGCCTCGCGTAAGCTGGTGAGCAGAAGTCCGACGAAGATGCAAACAGGGGACGGGGAAAATTACCGAGAATCGTCATTCCTATTAGTGAACGACAGTAAGAGTATTCATTGCTGTACGGGAAACAACCACGTCTGGCAAGTCCTTGGTCAAAGTTCTCAATCCCAATGAATTGCAGTAAGGAAAAGCCGCGTCAGGAAGTGCTCCAGCAAGAGCCAAAACAATTAGAGGGACTCTCGGAGCGGAAGGCTTAGCAATTAAGCCTATGCGGTGTCACGTTAGTTACATGTGCATGGACCTAGCGAATAAATGAACCCGAAGCGTAATGTGCAATCTACGTTGTTCAGATGTACAAGCGTCAGACGGCGAAACAAGCTGGGGAAGAAGACAACGGAGGGAAATGTATGAGAGATGGGTGGCACGGAGCCATTTTGTTGATTCTTGTGCTAGGATAGAGGAGTGTGGAGGCCCACAAACATCATGGGTGACGGGCAGAAGTGGTGTGATGTAACGCACAGGCTCATATACTGACTGTCACGCGCGACCGATCGCGTTTAGAGACGCGTCGTGGGCAGACATACAGTTTCCAGTGACATATTCAGCGATAGGCGGAGTGAGCGTAGCAGCTCAAGGAGCTCGTGTAGCTCGTGCAGGAAATTACTGTCTTGGTCCAGGTCTCTGAGCCCCGGTGCACGTAGGACAAACAGCTCCAAGTCTTGCCAAACCATGCTGAACGGGTTGTTTGTCACTGCAAACCCAGAATACTCATCAACAAACGCAAGGGACGCCCACGGCTTCAAGAAATATTCAGCGACCATGACGTCGCTCACTTCCAAGCTAAATAGCTGCAAAGACGCGAAGCTAGCGTAAAAATTCTGATCAACTCAAGTCTGGAGGAAAGGATTAACTCCAGTCCACGAAGGGGGGTTCCCTGGAGAGGACATTAAGGTGTAGCTCTTGCAAGGGCCCCACATTCGCGGCCAAGATTGACAATGATGACTCGAATGAGCGCCATACGCTGGTTTCGCTGCTCGTGAACGTCAAGCGATTCAAGCACGGGAGCTTCAGGATCGATATGAATTGCCGCCAACCCTGGCACTGCATCCTGATATCAAGCACTTGTAGGGCCGGAACGAGGATCTCGTCATACTCGATACCGAGGCTAAGATACGGGAAGACGCCGTCAAGGGCTAAATACTCTAGCTTCGGAGATGCACCGAGGAGCTCTTGGAATGTGTGATGAGGAGGGTGTCCTTGAAGTTGAGGTAAGTGGCATAGAGTCAGAGAGCGTAGTCTGGAAAGGAGAGGTGAACGAAGATTGAACGCTCTACCTCGTAATGTTAGGGATGTCAATTGCGCAAAACCATCCTGAAAGACTTCCGGTAGTTGGCCGATCGTATGCTGAGGGGCATCAACATATAGCTCGAAATGCTTCGAGCGAGGTGCACACGTTCTTCGTAGACGAGATATGATTGTGGATAATGTCGGTGCGTCAGGGACACGTATAATCAACGTATACCAGCGTTCCGACTGTTCAACCATGCATTGAAGTGCGTGCACCAAATTGGCACCTCTTGCTCTTACGTTTAGGTATATAGAGAGGGGGTAATGCCGGGACTTTTCGAAGTGAAGCTGGGGCAAATTCAAGTTCGACCGTCTATAGATAGGCACATAACACCACACAGAGGGGGTATGATGGATAATGTGACTCCACCTGAATGAAACTTGTGACGAAAACCAGACAGATGAAGGCTCATCATTATGCAGCATATTTAGTCCTGCATACTCAAAGATGAGGGACAAAAGTTCATCTGGCAAGTGATCGACGGCTGTTGAAAGTGGAATAGTTAATGGCTGAATGGTAGAAAAACCCTGATCCTTACACATGGTAGCGTCATTGAATCCGGGCAGAGCTGAACTCATTCACTTCCGAGATTTCCAAAAATAAGACAAGAAAGGTAGAGAAACAAGTTTGCGATCGCTGGATACAGTCGAGAGGCTGGTAGCAGCAGGCGCTTACGAGTCTCGTGTATAAGTATTAGTAGTTTGCTCAAAATAGAAATTGACCAAGAACCTCGAAAGCAACTGTATAAGTTTGAGTGAGCGTGCACACGTCAGGAATGTTATGGGTTTGTATATATGACTTCGTATGTGAATAATGGTTAAGATGTCTGTGAAGAAAACTATTCATCCTGCAACGTGTCTACTGGATCATTCATGCCAGTAGGCAATCGTTCCCAGCCCGTTGCTTGCACAGTACTGTAAGGTGGAGGCGGGGGTAACGGTCTCTCACCCCGAGCTGCCAGTGCTGCCAAACGATCGCGAGTAGTGATGATATTCCTCTCTTCTTCCCTACCTTGCCCATCTTCCTCACGTCCAAGCCCTTCGAAGATATACCCTTGTTTAACATCGAACGGGAGCCCAAACGACGTCCGCATTGAGCCTAGAAACTCGATAAGTCCGTCCAAGGATGGTTCGTCTGTGTCATCATCAAAAGGTGCGCGAACGACCAAGAGCTCCAACTTCGGCCACAACATCTCAAAGTATATCCCTTCCCAATCCAGCACTGCATTGCCCTCAGTCCCATACTCAGCCCAAACCTGGAGGAAATATCGAATATGGGAATCATCAAATGCATCCAGGATGAAGACGCGAAGTTCTGGAAAGGCTCGAAATAACAATGAGTCCACCCAGCTATGCTCCTTGAACGCTTCACTTGAAGTGATAGCGACATGGAACTCCTGCAGGCCTGAGAATTTCGCCGCTAGGACAGGGAGGACTAAGTCAAGAGCCATCCACGCAGGTTCCCAGTTACTCGAATATTTGAGTTTACGAAGGTTTGGCGCCGTGATGATGTCAAAGATTCCATCGATGGACTCGTAGTGAGGTGGGATTGTGAGTTCCAGAGACACCAAAGATAACAGTTCGATCTGAATGCACTCTGTATCAAGTTGAATGTCAGGAAGGACTCCGTCAAGGGTCAGGTGCGTCAACTCTGGAGATGCAAGGAGCATCTCGCTGAAGGCTTGATAAGATGGCAAGGTCAACCCAGAAGGCCGCCGAGTCAGGATGAGGGAAGTCAATCCTCTCATTAGACCGGAGCCGAAGCCGAATGTGCTTCCTTCCAGCCTGACATGGGACAGTGCTGGAGGACGATCCATGAATATATCCGGTAATTGACGTACGTTCGCATTCACATATACCTCGAGCCGCTTCAGGCATGGCGCATTGACGGCGATGCGCAATTGGGCAAAAGTGACGAATAGGGCGAGTGGAGTATCTGCACGTATGGAAAGGGAATATAATCTGTTGGAATGCTCCTTCAGAAGATCGAGAGCATCGATGTTTCGATTATCTCTCGCATGTAAATAGAACTCGAGCTCCTCCCCGCCAGCTTTCTCCAGGCAGAACCTGGGCACTGTAAGATTAAGTGGATCGACGATCGAAATGCTACGCCATACAGAGGGCGTCATGTGTGTGACATTCCTCCATCTCCGACAAACATGCGAGGCAAGGATGGTAAACGGCAAACGAGAGTTTTGCAGCGTGATTCTACTACCGAACTCGAATATAGTGACGAGAATTTTGTCGGGGAGGATATTGATGTCGACGGTGTCGAGTGACTCGAAGAAGACGTAATCATCATCATCTGAACCTGAGAGAACGTTGAACATGGAGCATACATTGTTAGAAAGGTATGAACCAACCTACTCACCTAAAGACATGCTAGCCGTCTTAGAAGAAGCAATATCTTGAGACTCGGGGTCCTTTCACTGACTGATAGTGACTTTGAACTTTCAAGGGAATATCTCGCTGTCAGAAAGAGGCTGTACGGATTATATGACGCCCACTTCCTAACATCAGAGCTTGCGTTCAAGTTCGGAAACTTACTTTTATGCTATGTTTGATTCTCATGTCCTATGGCGACTATAGGATATGAGAGTTATGGCTACGCCGCGAGCAGTTATGTAGGCCTGAGCTATTTGGATTGCGTTGTGGGTGGAACATGACTGATGACCCAGTGCGCCTACAAAATTCGATTTCGAAGATCACGACCTGTCATGTGGCTATCAAGTGTGGAATCAATATTCCGCTGAAAATTACAATGCATCAGCGAGGAAGTGAGCCCGATGAGAACGGACAATGAGCCTACTATAAGTCACTCATGCAGGTGAAGGGCGTTGATCACTGTGATCTGTGTTCCGACATCACAGTCAAAGTCAAACCATGTATGTGAGCACAGCCTTGACTTACCAAGTTCATGCATCGGCCTATCATGCATCAGGGCCAGATGGATGCATGTTTCCTGACACGACATTGACACATTGAATGAATGCGGCCAGACAAAGACAAGTACAGATGCACAGCTTCATTCATTCATAAAAATACTGCAGTAAAGAAATTACAGTGATATACTGAGCGACAATATGGACAGTTGAACGCTCTAAGTGTCTCCGGGACGCTGTGTAGGGTCGGAGGAAACGTAAGTAAAACAACCGAAGGCATGGAAAGACAAGAACCGACGAGTCAACGGCTCAAAGGCGCAGAGCAAGACTACAGCGAATCAGTAACACATAACCCTCTCACACACAGGAGAAGCAAAGGACGGGAATGACACAATGAGCACTGCGAGCAAGGAGGAAATGTACGATGGCAGACGGGAAAAGTGGTATAGCAACACAGGCAGAAAAGAAAAGATGACGATGGTACGAGAGCGGGAATGGGTACAATAAAATAACGATAAGAAGCGTGACGAGACACAGGCAGGTTAGAAGTCGTACAACTTGAAGCTCGAAGCACGAAGCGCGGGAAGCGGCGGCGAGAAGCGGTGTGCTATATGTAGGATCATGAAAGATTATTCGACGAGGATAAGGTCCGGAATGGCTTGTATGCGGATAGAAGAATATATAGCGCAAAGACTCAGCAAGCTTGATATTATTGCAATCTACACGCGATGATCACGGAGAAATCAGTAAAACGTTCACATCCTAGAAACGGAATGTGAAATAATGTGACTCACTGATACTGTAACATTAACGGACCAAGTTGTGGTGGAAACTGAGAAGTAGAAGAGCATCTTCGACTCGAACGCCAGTCTGGAACTTCGCAGTCGCTTTTTCCATTTCAGCGTAAGTGAGAGCATCCACGCTGAGTGAAATTTCGCGAGGGGAAGGATGATGGACGATCTCGCGTTTAGACTCGTGAGGCACAGTTCGAGCATAAGGAGGTAAAGGAGACGCCTCGGAAGGAGGAGTAACGGCTTCTTGGTAATCCTCCTCACTGCCCATATCGGAATGTGACCGAGATAAAGGCGCGTGTGAGTACATCTTGTGATGCTTCTCCTCCAACTCGAGTTTAATCTTGAGCGCATTCGGTTCCGGGTAACGCTGGCTCTGGACGTCGTCCATTAGTACGTCACCGTCCTCTTGGGAAGTTGGAGACTCTGACGAGGCAGAGGTCGAGGGGAACGGAGAGCCGGCTCTAGACGCATCCCTGGAGTGGATAGTATGTGCTCCAACACTAATGTCATCCAGATCGTCAAACTCGTCGCCATCCTCGGGATTCCGCTGTGAACGTTTCCTAGCGGTCTGACGCGCATTACGGAACCAGTTGGTGACTTTAGAAGGATCCATGTTAATTTCAAGCGCAAGTGCACCACGCTCCTCAATGGAAGGTGTAGGCGTGCGATGAAATAGTTTCTTCAAGGCCTCAAGCTGATAAGGATCGGGCCGGGTCCTCCGTGACCGCCCGCTAGTCACCGAAATCGCACGCTCATTGAGTGGTAGTCGATACGGTGAAACACGCGGGGAAGCAGACCGGCTGTCATAAGCTACAGAGACAGGAGCTGTACTTGTAGCACGTCTGGAACGTGGAGGATTGGCGAGAGGTGGAAGGGAAGGATGTCCGGTCGCAGGTGGAACATTCACAGCAAGTGAGGGATGTACCGTACTCGAGGACGGTGGGAAAGGGGAGTAAGTTCGGGAGCTTGATGCAGAGTGGTCCAATTCCGTAGACTTGACAACCTCATTCAGAGCGTCTTCGTCCTCTTTGCGCTTCTTGGCAATACTGCGCTGATTCTGGAACCAATTGGTCACGCTTTGGTAGCGCCTGTAAAAGCGTATCAGTCAGAACACCATATGGATCATTACTCCATGTGTTGATCATGAATGTACTCACATGCCAATGCGCTGGCCGAGTGCCTCTCTCTGAGGCTTTGTCGGATGGGAAGTGTGGTCATAATACGCTTTGAGTTGCTCAGTTTGCGCTTGCGTGGGACGCGAACGCCCCTTGCGAGGAATTGACTGATCTGATTCAATGGCATGTCTATGCTGAGGGTTCCCAGCAAAGAAGGCAGTCTGACGTTGGCGGTGCTCGGACGTAAAGGGTATCCTTGACAGATCTCTATCAGAGAAGTGAGACGATTGGTCATCTTCTGAGAGCTCGTCAAAATCTTGCGGCACTGGAGGCGCAGCTGGCGAAGAAACTGATGCGATTAAAGCAGATATAGGTGGCAGCTCGTATTGAGTAGCCGGAAGCTGCGATGCTTTGGTACTTCGCTTCTTGGACGAAGCCCGTTTGTTTTGGAACCAAGCGTTCACAGTTTTGACCTCCCTATTGAAAGAACAACATAAATAAGCGCTCAATATCATGTAAAAGAAAATGCCTCGTAAGCATAGGGGCAGTACTCACATCCCAAGACGTTCGGCCAAAGAAGTACGAGCCTGGAGAGGAGGATGGTCATTTTGCTCGTAGAGCTCGTTGAGGGCGGCGAGTTGAAAAGCAGAGTGCCGGTGACGGGGTTTCTTTGGTTTGTCTTTCTGGTCCGTGACTTGCTCAGGATGCTTTTCACTCGATGGCGGTGGAGATTGAGACCAGTCGTCGAAGGGAACCATGGGGGATGGAGGGAGAGGACGAAGAGGACAGGGGGTTGGCAGGCGTAGTAAGCTGACAGCAGTAAAGCTCGGAGCAGAAATTTCAGCTTGTCTATAAGTACAATACTCTGTAGCAGGCCTAAAATGGACACTGATTATCTCACGCGTCGACGGCTACTAATTTGCATCACTCCGGCCTGTCCCTCGGCGCGCTTGGACAAAATAAACACTGCATCCGTACGCCTCCTTCATGATCTTTCAAAGCATCTTTGCCGAAGCTTTCCTCGTTCGATACAGTGCATAAAATGTCAGTATGCGCCATCCCAGAAGCCTGCCGTCCATAGGCAAGCTAAGCAGGGTTGCTATGTTCCCAGTTGCTCCGGGCCAGAACACATATGGTAACGCGGTGCCTGTGAACTCATAAATGACACCCGCACACGAGATTATCGAATATCCGACATTGTCCTTGTACAGACCTCGTTATCATTTATGGGCGTCTAATTACTTTAAGCCACTCCAAGGATGTCCATTTGACGGCGGTTTTAGATCGCAACAATATACATTGCTCTTGTCTAACCGGCCTGATTACAACGCTCTTCCCTGCACAAGCACATCTTGCCGTTGCTTCTGGCCATGGTCAACTGCTATGCCGCCCCTTGATTGTTGCAGTTTTGAACATATGCCACTCAGATCGGCATCGGAATTCATAGGGTCTTATGTACTGCTTTTCGGTAATGTAGCTTACATACCCACCACTTACGTTTGGTGGCTATGCAACCGGGTCACCACTGATTGAGTCCATGCATTCAAACATCTTGATTATGACGAGCGCCCCCACATCATGCATATCGCCGAATGTGAACTCAATCCATGCTCAGGAGTCGATCCAAGTATGTGTACAGCCGAACGCAGTAAGCCTCTGCGGCTAGCGTTCTACCGGAGAGTCTCAGCTGGACGTATGACAACATTCCCCGGAACCCCCATGCTCGGCCGAGAACACACGGAAGCCTGCAACGGAGCACAAACGGAAGCCATACAGCGAGCATGACATCCTTTGTATCACGACAAACAAAGTATTAGTAGATCCGTACTTCTACATAAATGCAATACACGGCATATAAAATCTCAAGTTTAATAAATACTGTGTACAACGGTATACTTGATCTCAGAGTCCACCAGGTGGCTCACAAATGCAAGAAGATCATGGCCAAAGGGCTATATTAGGTTGTCTTAGCTATGAAGCGTCTGCTTCTCCAATGTTCTTGATCCAAGCCCCTATAGCGCCACTGTACATGGAGCTTAGCATGAATGATAAGCACGCAAGAGGAATGCAGGAAGAACGTACAGGAATCCCTCATGGCGAAGGAACAGCGCCCGTTTAGTTCCTTTACTCCAAAACCTAATAGCGTAGGACAATGTGCTGATGGTTGCCGCGTGACCTTACAAGGGACCAAGAGGATCAGCACCAACTCGTAGAAGGCTCAAGATAGTGGCGTATAGACGCTATTGACCCACCTCTGATGAAGCATCCTCCAAAGTAAATCCGGTCTAGATTGTACTTTTCGGCGTTCATGTAGCTATGGAAGGACTTTATTGAGCGAACCATCAATGAGTTCAATAAGACAAACATACGCTATCTGTCCAATGTTGTTTGAGACAGCATATAGGAGACTTTTGCTAATGTCTTCCGCAGAGAAGTTGACTTTCTTGCCATCCTTTTTGAATACCTTGCCGAACGAACTGGCGATCGTCGTCGACTTCAGGCCTAGACGGCCATAATCTTGACCATAGATATCTCCTACGAGCATGTCTACGGTGGCATTATCGCCCTTTTCTGATAATGCGAGCATCTCTGCGGTAACGTCAGTACAGATCGTCGCACGACTGTTCAAGGGACTCACCGTCAAAATTCGTAGCCGGTGTGAGGAGAGTAAGTAGGCCCCAAAGTGTACCACCACCTAGACTCGTGCCGCTGACACGCTCAAACGAACCGTCCTCATCCACCTTGATAATTGAGACACCAGAGCCGATATTGACCAGGAGACAAGGAAGCTGCGGTGTTGGGTGTGATTCAAAAGAGACGGCGTATTTCGGTGGATCGGGACTTGGTCGCTCGAAGACACCATTGACACCGTTAAGCACTGGCTTGCCATGAGAGACCTTATCAATGAGCTCGTCGGAAAAGTAATACACTTCGTCCGGAATGAGGGAGAGGAACTTGAGACCTTCGATTAGGCATTCCATTTCATCCTCCCTATGGACTGGGACATGAAGCTCGTTGGTAAACCGCTCATAGAACCTATGAGCACCTCCACCGGTAGCCATAATCTTCACGCTTTTGCGCATCTCATCGATGGTAACATGATTGAATTGTGCTGAGCGTTCAATGAGTGTTTCAATGAACTCGATGCATTCATCGATGTGTTCCGTTTCGAAGCGTTCGAAGTTAAGGGATCCGCCGGGAAGATGTTGGACAGACACTCGACGTAAGAGAGAATCTTGGAATGTCGTATCGCTCAGTGATGGAGGCCTGTTAATGACATGTCCGTTGGTGCCGTTCTGATCCAGCACGGCTGGTGTCAGGGCTCCGTTAACATTTCGAGCATGGTTTGACGGGGATGAAGAAGAGATCGGCATGTCATGCGATTCAGGAGATAGCGATGTCGGTGTCGAAACATGGCTAAGGCTAACCGTACTCGGCGACCCTCTTGTTGCAGTTATTGAAGGAGACCGTGGATGGTCTGGCGAGCGAGTGAAATATACGACTTTGGCTAACGAGCCTCCGATCTATGAAAAACCATCATTTCAAGTGATCGTTCCAGAATGGCGTGCTTGAATAACTCACATCCACTGCAATATGCGACACCGGTTCGACATAATTTGGAAGGTATATCCCTCTACTGTCTCTGGTCTACAAACATCGGCGTTATTAGGATCCGCACTCGCCATACCCTGGTGCTAGTATTGCGGACCGACCTCGGGAGACTCTTCCTCCAGGATCAACGCTCCCCTTGTATCAACTTGAATAGCTTTCGCCGAGGGTAAAGAAGGTATCGACATCATAAGAACAAAACTTGCGGGGGGTATGTTATGCGTAGAGATAGTGAGATAATAAGATAGTTGACAGCTAGTTCGGAGGGTTCATAAATGCGAGAATATCGACAAGATGGAGAAGCACAGCAGGTAATGCGGCTGCCACCATTCGATTATGCAGGAGTTGGGAAAGTGGTACGAGTGCACCAAGCCGCTCGCCGTGCTTTGTTGGGGAGCGTTCGGTGATCGTTTCAGACACTGTTGTGGCCTGTCAGCACTAGGACCGAATGAGTGAGCACTCCGATCGTAAAACTCAATTTCTTCTGACACAAAGTCCCTGGCTTAGGCCCAAGCTTAGGCCTCTAGCTTTGTGCGGTCGCCGTCTCATCCGGGCTCCGTCGGGATGCCTTTCCCATCGTGTAAAAAAATTCCGAAAGCCAAATACATACGAAAAATAACATGTAGGAGTATAAAAAGGAACTATGGTGCGCCAAAAGCCAATCAAAGTGCAGCAAATTGTGAGGAACACCGTGTTCCGCCACAAGGAATCTTGCCGCACCTGGACCGTTCTGTAACCCGTATACGACAGCTACCACCTATACTATAGCAGCAATAACCAGGTTCGCGGCTTCTTGCTTCTCTGTGCGCACGCTCAACTCTAGTGTCACCCCTTGTGCCTTGGAATATGTCATACGACACCGTACGAGAGCTTTTCCACCTCCACCGGCGACCAATCCAGACAATTGCAGCGTGTGTATCGATGTTGATTGAGGCTCTTCGCTCCCACCAAGAGCTTGCATATTGAGGATTTCAATGATGGAGTCACACGCAGCTAGATATAACGGCATGTAAGCATGGAAACACATGAGAAGCAACTATTCAGGAGATTTCATACCTTTCAGTGATTCCATAGCCGGTAGTGCGAACGTCTCTGTGACGGTAACACCTCCCCTCAGTCTATCCCATTCAGACGAGAACGTGACATATGTAGGAAGGATGTAGTCGGCCGCAGAAAGTTCCAAGTCTTCCAACGAGTATTCGTCTTCGTAACCCTCTTCTTCTGGTTCTCCTGTCGAAGGGTCGACTTCCTTACTAACGAATTTGAGAATACACTGGAAGGAAGCGGTTTGGTATGCTGTTGACTCGTCTCGAGTGAACGACACATAGCCAATTCCCGGCGAGTTTGCCCCAAGGCTTGCTATAGGCATAGTGAAGTCGTCCGAGAGACCAGAGTCGGTTTGTGGTTCCATGATGACGGCGACATTCTCCAAGACAGTATCGGCGATAGTATTTGATACGTTGAACTACGACGCGAATTGAAATAAGACCCTGATAAAAAGCAGAGCATAGAAGTCAAGCTTACCTGGAAAACAATATGTTCCTCGAAGAGATGTTTGACACACGATACTTGGTATTCCGTCTCGCTCTCGGTGAGCTGTGTGGCCTTCGTACTGCTGTAAAGCACCTGTCCGTACGAAGTAAACTCGGGGATCTCGGCAAGCTGCTGGGCGTATTGAGACTGTGTCTCTGCCGCAGAAGGTGGTGGAGGTGTCGCCGCTTTCGAGGAGCTAGGCACACCGATGGTCTCCAAGGTACTCGGGCCTGTCCGAAAAACGGGTGTCAAAATGTGAAAGTGGAAAAAAAATTCAAATATCACATACGTGCGACTTCCTTAGCGGCTTGCTCTCTGCTGACCTTTGGTATTGAGGAGGCGTCGAAGGGCTTCTCCCCAGCGTCTGGGTCACTGAGGTATGATACAAGCTTCGACTCCAAAGCAGACAGGGAGTAGACGGATTCTAGAAGATCATTAGTAGCCTGAGTGGAGGACATATGACTGTAATACTCACCTTCTTTGACGTAAGTCATTGCCAACTGTTGCTCCTCATACAGTTTGAGGTACATAGCTGCTCGGTCACGAACCTCGTCATCGACGTCATCCAAGCAACTGCGAAAGAAAGTTTATAAATGAGCAAAACTTCTAAGTTTCCTGACTATGCTCACCGGTTCAATAAGACGTTGACGCTCTTGCTCAACTTCGCCTCTCCGGCATTCAGCCCGAACTTCGCTAGACTCGAGACCGCAGCTGCACGGACGGTAGCATTCTCGAGGACCACACGGTTGTAGATGTACCGGATATACTTCGTAGGTTGCGGCGATTTCGGTCCCTCCAGGCCAAGCAAGTGGAGAATCCGAACAGACAATTTGGTGAACTCGCAATCCTCGATGAATTCGCAAAGATGTGATAGAGCTTGTTCTTTGCAATCGCCAATAAACTTGATCATGTCGAAGATAGCTTCCACAATAGCGCGCTTGAAATCGTAACCGCCTTCATCACGGAGGACACCAGAAAGGAAGGACAACATCGACGCATGTTTGGCCGGGAACTTGAGGCAAAGAGAACGAATCGCGTCGACGATGATGACCTTGAACTCGTCACTGATCTCACTCATGAAGCCAGAGATTTGTTTCATGAGTCGGTCCACGGAAGCCTCATTGCCAGTCTAGATGAAAAAATATGTCGTTAGTAAAGGGACAGTGAGGAGACACCGCATATATGCAGATATACCTTGAGCAGCGTAGTGATCGCGTAAGTCGCGACACTACGGTTCTGATCCGAAATAAGGTTCTCCAAGTCAACATTGCAGGTAGCGACGCTGGCAGGGTGTGTCAGGGCGAGAGCCGCGAGGGTGCGGGTGGCGGCAAAGCGCAGAGAAGACTTCGGCGATGAGAGGAACAGTTGTAGAACTTCAGAAACGGTAGTCAGACACGTCCAAGCGAAGAATGAATAAATGCGCCCTACCAGCAATAGGTTTAGTGAGTTGGGCAGCGGTAACACCTTTAATTTCACAAATGACGCGTGCCGCTTCGAGGTTCACCATGTCACTCTTATGCCGGAGCCAGCCCTCGATGAGTTCCAAGATTTGGCGCTGCATGCTGATCCAGAGATGTTAACGACAGAAATATATGAACGAAACGCAAAACCGTACTTTGGGTCCTCCTCCATGATCTTCGCCGCATAACGAATAAGCATGCATAAAGCGAGAGGGTTTTTCAAGACAGTGCCTGCACCAGTCTTTCCACCTCCCAGCTGCTGAATCATCTTCGTGACGGCCATTCGGTCTTGTTGTCGGATGAGGTAGAGCAGACCCAGTGCATGATATTGTGTGATATAGCTAGTCGATGGGATGGGCTGGTAACCAGAGGTTGTGTTCGACGAGGAGCTCCCCCAACCAAGATATGAGCTGCCACCAGACGAGTTGAAGAACGAAGATGAGGATTTGCCCTGTACGGCTTCTTGCGCTTCGTTCACCCATCGTTTCACAACGTCCTTTGCTGCTGGGAACAAGTGATACGCAGAGACGAGAGCAGCAGATGAAATCGAAGTGTTCTTGTCGACAATGGCAGCTTTAAAGAAACGTTCAACACCTTGTGCCATCGAAGGCTATATCTGCATTTGAGACCGAGGAATAATAATACAATCCGTTGAAATACGCACGTCGATGATTCGGCACAATGCACGGATGGCGTTGGGCCGGTAGATGACCTCAGAGTTGGGCTGCATATCCTTCATGATACTGCTAGTGACCATGATAACGTCTTCCGCTGTGGTGGCAAGTTCCTTGATCGCGAGGTAGACCATTTGCCGCAGGGCACTCTACCATCCTAGGTCAAAGCAAGATCAAATACGGCGTGTAAAGGTCCACTCACATCCTTGTGTTGGAACAACTTCGTAGTACCAAAGAACAGCGTCGTAGCCTCCTGCGTGCTGAAAGTCTCGCCGACATAGAGAAGGTATACGATCCGAGTAAGAAGTGCTCGACATTTCCGTGGGCTTATGGGAGATTCATTGAAGACTCGGGCCTCTTGAATAACGGTTGTCTTGTTATTGTAATAGGTGCTGAGGCCGCTCTCTTCGTCCTTTTTGGTTGCCAGAGACATTGTGTGCGGGAGTATAGCGCGATGTTGCCTTCGACGTGGACCATCTCGTATGAAGCGCAGTGCCAAATCAAGCATCTTTTCCCAGCACGTGGACGGTCTTCAAGTCGCGTTTCGTTAGGTTTCGCTTTGCGATTATTGAATCTCGGTTATAAAAGCTAGACAACTAGTATTGGATTCAGCTTGAAGAGGAGGACGTAATATACGCAGAGGCTGCATGCAACTAGGTTTATCCCAAACGTGTTGCCAATGCGAACGCTGCTAATGCGTGCTTATGCGGTCCGCTTTAGAAGATAGAGCTTCGAATCGATGAAGCCAAGCACATACTCAGATAACAAGCTTAGCTATACACAAACTTTCTGACAAAAAATAACCCGTTCTCAAGATGTAGGGCCTCATACGCCAATATTGAAGACACGACAAATGCATTTCTTGGGGGGATAAACTAATGGTTACACAGTAATCCGTCTTCCAATTCTGAGCACCAGCACAACTATCCTTGACGCCCTCTCTTGCCCGCTCGCCCTCGATGTTGACCATTAAAAGTCGCCAAAGAGGTGGAGGGAAAGAGGAACACATATACACATCAACCTAGTAGCAAAATGACGAGAAACGGAGAAATGGAACTACACTAAGGAGCGTGTTTATAGAGGAAACGATCAAACAATGAGGGAGTCAGGCGTCGATGTATACATATAGTAAAACATCGTGGGAGTGGATGGTGAATGTAAGGGGAGACGAGAGAGAATTAGAACTTCATGAGAAGAATCATGTACGGCGCGAGGGGGCAAACACATATACGACGATAAAGGACGAGGCGGTCCTCACATCTCCAGACCATCGTCGGAAACAACGGACAAGAAGATGCAAGGACGTGAAGAGAAAAAGCGTCCGTACGCAATAAAAATACAAAACCTTGCTGCGATTGAGTGCGGCCGGAGAGGCTCATCCGAGGAGCGTCTAGGAGTACCGATATGAGACGATCCCAGAGGTGGCGAATATGATGAGCACGAGGATGACGAGGAAATCGATTACTGCGAAGCAGGTACGATATGAGGCAAAGCGAAAGCACCTCCAAGGCAGCGAGTTCCGGACCTGCTGCTCCTGACCGACTCCTACGGAAAACCTTGCAACGTTGCGACCTCTTCCGGACCAATAGCATAAACCGACGCGCAACGCATATTCCACACGACCACAAGCAACGACCACCGGACCGAGCAAACTCTCTTCACCTTCCCTCCGCCCCCAGTGCTCGGTCGTACTCCGGACGTGCTACCAACGTGACGATCTTGACATAATTCACAGTAGTAGCCATTTACCAGATGTCACCCTCGCGACCACGAGCCATGCGCTGCTGACCAACGGCACCAGGCATGCCAGCCTGTTGCTGCTGCTGGCGAGTGTGGGAACGCAGGCTACAGGGCATGAGGTCAGAAACTACGAGGGTACGAATGAACACAGCTGTTACCTACACTCTATCACCAACGCGATGCTCGTCATCCTCTTGAACGACCTTGCGTCTGCCTCCGGGGGCCTTGGCGCTACTACCTGCGCCGCTGTCCTCAGTGGTAGCACGCTGGACACTCCAGTCGAACACGTAGTCGTACTGGTAGCCCTCACGAACGAAGAGGTCACGGAAGAGCTTGCGGAGGTAAGAGTAGTCAGGCTTGTCATCAAAGCGCAGAGCACGGGTGTAGTTTAGGAAGATGCTGAACTCGTGGGGGAAGCCACGGCAGAGGAGGTCAGATGGAGTGGTCATCTTCTTCTCCATGATCCGATCATACTTCTGCTTCTTGGTGGCAGCCTTCAGACCCTGCCAGGGCAACGATCCCCGGAGGAAATACATGAGGACATAAGCGAGAGACTCGAGATCATCGCGACGAGCTTGTTCAACACCCAAGTGAGTGTTGATGGAGGTGTAACGAGCCGTGCCCGTCAAGTTCTTGTTCTCTCTGTAAGGGATATGGAGGTGGGTCTTCGGGTCCCTGTACTTCTTGGCAAGACCAAAATCGATGACATTCACTTGGTTGCCGCGCTTGCCAATGCCCATGAGGAAGTTGTCAGGCTTGATATCACGGTGGATGAAGTTGCGAGAGTGAATGTACTCGATACGGGAGATCTGGCCGTGCCGTGACGTCAGAGTGAAATGAAGGGAGACAATGAAGCAAGACCTACCAATTGGTCGGCCAAGAGAAGGACAGTCTTGAGGCTGAACTTCCTGTTGCAAAAGTTGAACAAATCCTCAAGAGAAGGACCGAGAAGATCGATGACCATCGCATTGTAGTCGCATTCAGTACCGAACCATCGGACGAATGGGACGCCGACGCCACCAGCGAGGGTCTTGTAGACCTTGGACTCGTATTCGAGTTGGGGGTGCTTAGCCTTGACAGATTCGAGCTTGATAGCGACTTCTTCACCGGAGATCAAGTTGATTCCGAGGTAGATGTCACCTGTGGCGCAAAGCGTTAGCTGACGGGCGACTTGCATAATACTACATACGCACCGAAAGAACCGGAACCAATCTTCTTGCCCAGTCTGTACTTTCCACCAACCCTCAAGTCCAACTTATGTGCAGCATCGGCCATCTGTGTATATTGAGGTTGAGATTGACGGGTGTATACGTTTCTGTTGGTGCAAAAGAGTCAATATAAGCTCCGTTGATGTGAGAAGAGCAAAGAGAAGAGAGAAAATTCGGAGAGGTGGTGGTAGGAGAATAAGAAGGTAGGTGGGGCGAGGATGGCTTTAGCTGATCGGCGCCTGGGAACCACGGCACAGCTCCCAGCGCAGCAACAAATCCCATAGACAGACCGCCCAATAGCTCCTCCAGACGACAAAAGGTCGACAACAAGAGTCATCTTTACGTCTGACAAGGGCACAATGCCGTGAAGGGAGTCATGAAGTATGGCAACCACGAGGCACAACCGTAGGGCGAAATCAGCGATATAATCGATGGGGACAACACTCACCAATGGGAATAGAAAGAGGAGAGAAGAGAAAACCAGGAAGAGAAGAGATTTAGAGAGTAAAAGGAGGTAGTGAAGCAGGAGGTATAAGAACAAGGGTAGGTGGCGACAAAGGGGAGTGCGCTGGAAGAGGAGGCTGAGCGTGGGAACGGGATTTAGGCGTGCTTTCGGAGTTCCAAACCCACATAAGGCCCGTATTATGTATCGACTCGGAGCCTCTTCAGGCTTCGAGTTCCACCCAGTGCTTGCCTCACCATACATCGGCCAATTGTTGCAGTGCCTCCGTCTTGTTCTCCTTTTGCTCGGTCTTTCGTGTAGCCTTGCCCGCAGACAGTCTGGAGACCATTACAGTATCGGCCTTGGTGGAATCTCCGCATTGTTTTCCAGCTTCCATTTCCACCAGCGTCTTCAACCGTGTTCTGATCAGTCACTTTACTCTTGGTCGCCCACTTTATCTTGCTATCACTGACATCGGCTGGAACGCCAGCCCTTATTCGTAGCGTTTACCAGGTCACGGACTCCCAAGCCTTCCCGCTCAGACGCTTCTGCGTTGCAACGAGATTTGTCAGGACCTTTCTGCACGTTCCATTGACCTGCTGTCAGCTCCACGTTCGCATTTCATGCCCACTCCGGCCGAGTTTCCACCGAGACTGATGCTCAAGTGGAGAATTAGCTCTCCACGGACCTTGCTCTGCGTACTTCTCACTTCGTTAGACCTCCGAGAAGATGTTCTCACTGCTATTCTGGGTCCCCTCTGCATTTGCAATACTTCTCTATCTACTGCTTCCGTGATCTTCTGGTTTCAGGCCGTGGATCGGGCGAAATCATCTGCGTTCTCGAGTCCCTAGAGTGTGAAAATGTTTGGTGTCTATACTGCGAGTAGGCGAGCATATGTCAAAGCCAGTGACACGGCGTTTGTGGATGCTATGGACTTTGCTAATGCGACGACTCCCCTTCGGGCTCTGAGAAGGTCCCCGATAGGGTCGATGTGGATTTGTTTAATCATCCGTTCCTTGTTGCATATGGCGCCTCTCTTTACTTCCGTGCAATATCATCACCGTCTCCACGTGTACTTCAAATGCGTGTTGGTTGTGTCAAATGCCACTCAGTGGCGTGCCTGTGCTGCCATAAAATATCATTTACAGTACGTTTAAGCCACCTCCCTCTAAATACGCAGCGTACAATTAATAAATCATTACGAACAGCTAATTAAACAAGATATATTGTATCGTGAGGACGGCCAAAGGAAAATATCAACGGTCGAAGTGCACTCACTCAGGAGACATGGCTACACGATTGCAAATGGCATAGAGAAACGCCAATCCAGCACCGTGTGGAAGAGATGGTAGAATACCTGTTCACCTTCCTTCCAGAAGCTGGGAGATGGCTACCGTCAGAAATTTACATCAACAGCATGAGAAAGGTACTACTTTGCTTCGATCTTGAACCTCATGTTCTTACTGTTTTTCTCTCAGTGAGCATGCTTGAACGAGATAAAATCAGTGCAACAACTCACGCTCCAACGGGTTTCCCTTTCTTGTTCAATGGGCGGAATTCCTGCTCCGCGAAGAACTTGACCGGTTTGATCTCGGTGCCATGATCTACTACCTTCTTCTTCCACTTCACAGGAGGGAACATGTCGATTTCCCCCAAGGTGTATCTGGTACGGTCCTCTTTGGATCGTAATTCTTCTACGAACAACTAACGCCGTGTCCAATGTCAGGGCGAGGACCAGATAGAACCTCGTTTACTCACCTCCACCCTGAAGCCAAACATCATGAACATGGTCACAGGAATACTGGGGAACCCGAGTTCCCTCTCTTCCTGACTCTCTGGCGACGCATCCACAAGGATGAAAGCGAACGACTTGGTTGGAAGAGGCATGTTGGCCGGTCTTACATGGCGCATGATATCGTAGTTCTCGCAATGCTCGGTATCTATGATAGTGTTGGTGTACTGATCCATGAAGTAATCACAGAGCTGAGGGTTAAACCCGCCGAAAGAACCAAGGTGAAAGAGATTCATGTCTGGCGGTAGTACGAGCAACAACTAACATGATAGAAATGTGTGTTAGTCCTTGTAGGATACAAGGGCTTATAGGACCTACATCGAACGCAAAGACATAGCAGGATGTATCAAAGTCGCGTTTGGATGGTGGAGCAATTCCCCACCGTTTGAAATATTCGACGGTCGCCTTGAATGCGAACGCATGGAACCTCTTCGAGACATGCAGCAGCCGAGCAAGTTCAGGTACAGAGAGATAAAAGGGAATCTGTTTGATAAGCTCTGCCGGGAGTACGTGGAAGATGGAAGGAAGCATCTTCAGCTGAGAGAGAGTGCCGAAAGTACGAGGAGAAACGAAGACTCAAGCAGATCTCCCTCTCTGAAACTGTATTATATGCTGAGAATTGGTACTTCTGAGTATGATCAGCTACATCCATGGCAGAGTTGAAGTCAAGGTAGAGTTTGATTGATCCAGAGAACACTCAGACTGACAAGTCCTATGTACAGTATGGCAGAAGCACCATCGTACACATAATGACATGGCAGGCGGCGTCGCACGATTGTCGATAGAAGTAACGAGAGCACCATCAGCAAGATATTGATGGGCCATCGAGCGATACTGATAGACAATATGAAATACATGTGCAACATTGACAGGAAGGAACATACAAGGCATATGCATTGTCGAAGGTTAGAAATTAGAGGACCATCCATTCAGACTCCAAGCGAAATGACACACTTGGTACATTGTTGACCATTTTCACTGAACGTTTCAACAGATAGAGGCCTATAAAGGCTCATAGAGCTCGAGGTAGATGAGCAAAAGATAAAGTTTGTACTTAGTTGACGGTTCAATATTGAACATGAAAGTTGCCGGATATGGGGAAAAAACTCCGAGTGATCGAAGCGTCGCTCTCGCAGGAGGGCTGCAACAAGAATATTAGGCTTTCTTCCTTCTGCCATCTCTGCCTCCGGGCATCCTCCCTTCGTTCTCTCCGTTGTGCAACTCGCTTGCTCTCTATACCACTCCCTTTGAGTAGCGGGCACTTATCATTCGTTTCTTAAAGCACTCTCCTTGCTTGCTACCGATCACCAGCTTGTCGCGTAGCTCCCATGGCATATCGCCAGCAACCCCACGATCTTTACTACAACGGTCAACACCCCTCCCCATATCCCGACAACACTGGTGTTGTTCCCGACCTCCCCCCTGCCCCACAATATAATCAAGATTATCACAATCCAAACGATTACCCACAGCAGCACTATGCTCAACACGGGGACTTTGATCAATCATCTAACTGGGATGCAAAGTCCTATCAGAGCAGCTACGCTGGCTCGCATGTTCACCTTAACCCCCAATATGACATGAGCCCGGTGAATGTTCCTCCAGTCCCCACCATGCCATACCAGCCCAATTACCCGCCCGTGCAACAGCGGCCAGGCGTATACAGAGAACAGAGTACCGGCTACTCTGTTGCGCGCGAGAAGTTTCTGAAGCGGAGGTCCGTTCGACAGGTCGAACTGCAGCAGGGTAATCTCGTGCTGGACATGCCAGTTCCGTCACACATTATTCCCAAGGGAATTGAGACGAAGGAGGAGATGACTACCTTGCGATACACTGCCGCTACTTGTGATCCTGATGACTTTATGCGCTCGAAGTATACCCTGAGGCCCTACCTCTATGGACGTCAGACTGAGCTGTTCATCGTGATGACTATGTATAATGAGGATGAGGTCCTCTTCACCCGAACCATGAATGCGTGCGTTGGTTATAGCCTTTTCTTTTATTACTGAAAATGCTTAAGCCCTGTACAGCGTCCTTAAGAACGTCGCCCATCTTTGCGGTCGTACTCGATCAAAAACATGGGGTCCCGAAGGCTGGAAGAAGGTCGTTGTATGCGTGGTTTCGGACGGCCGCAGCAAGATCAATAAGAGAACCCTGCAAGTCCTCACATTGGTACAACATGATCCACGCACGGCTTGAACTGACCTCAACGCTGATATTTATGATTAGATGGGTTGTTACCAAGATGGCGTCGCTAAGGACTCGATTGCAGGGAAAGACGTGACCGCTCATATCTTCGAGTGCGTGTTCCGTCGTCCAATGACACGGGCTTATTTGCTGATGAGAACCACAGGTATACATCACATGTAATGGTCACCGATAAGGGCGAAGTCTCCCAAGGCGCATGTCCGGTTCAGATTATCTTTTGCTTGAAAGAACAGAATAAGAAGAAGCTGAACAGTCATCGGTGGTTTTTCAATGCGTTCGGTCCTCTGATCAGACCGAATGGTATGTAATTTGTGGCAGTACTCACAGTTATCCAGAACTAATGCGACAATGTTAGTCTGTATCCTGCTTGACGTCGGCACCAAGCCTACCGGAACTTCCATTTACGAACTTTGGAAGTGTTTCGACAAACATTCTAACGTCGGCGGTGCTTGCGGAGAGTAAGTTTCGGAAGTATGATGTTCGTTCATTCATTCCTCAACCAGTTTCTTCCTCTTCAGAATATGCGTGGATACTGGCAGAGGATGCTCTCTTCTTTTGACCAGTCCTCTCGCGGCCTCTCAGAACTTCGAGGTAAAGGTTTCGTACAGCTAGACAGGTGCAGTCCTTATAGTGAATCATTTGCAGTACAAGATGTCGAACATCCTTGACAAGCCACTTGAGGTAAGTTTATCAGCTTCTTTACCCAAGAATAGCTCATCGACCAAACTTCGACAGAGCGTCTTCGGGTACATCAGCGTGCTTCCCGGTGCTTTCAGCGCATACCGCTACAAGGCACTCCTTAACGGACCAGATGGCAAGGGACCACTCGCGTCGTACTTTAAGGGCGAGACTATGCATGGCGGAAGTAGTTCTGCTGGTTTATTCGGTAGAACAATTTACTCGAAATGTTCAGGTTCTGAATTGATCATTAATATTTATGTTTCACAGAGCGGAACATGTACCTGGCAGAGGATCGTATTCTCTGCTTCGAGATCGTGACCAAGAAACGAGAAGCTTGGGTGTATGTATTATGCGCTACTACGGAAACCATCGTTCTATTAACTTCTTTCTTTAGCCTGAGATATGTGAAAAGTGCGAAGGCTTCCACAGATGTTCCCACTACCGTACGTCTCACGCATCCCACACTTCCATCTCTTTCTTATCTCCGTTCTCTCACACAGGTTGCAGAATTCATTTCACAACGTCGTCGCTGGCTCAACGGATCTTTGTTCGCTTCTATCCATGCCACAGTGTTCTTCTTCCGCATTTGGACGTCAGGTCAAAACTTCTTTAGAAAGATCATACTGCAATTGGAGTTCATTTACAACGCGGTTCAGTTACTGTTTACCTGGATTTCATTGGCGAATTTCTACCTGGCGTTCTTCTTCGTAAGTACTTCCCGAATATTTCACCCTTGAATGAACAAAGCTGAAGAGTCGGTATAGTTGGTCTCGTCAGCAACTGCGACGCCTACTACCGATGCGTTCAATTTCTTGAGGGCGGGTGCTGGTGCTGCGGTATTTGAGGTCATCTTGAAGGTACATTTTGTGCTCTTGCCCTTTGGGAATGTTTTCTCACGAGTTACTTCTTCTAGCTCTACATTGGTGTCCTGTTCGTCGTTCTTGTGTGTTCGTTGGGTAATCGTCCACAGGGTTCAAAGTGGACGTATTCAATCTCGATAATCCTCTTTGGTATATGCAACATCATCACACTCTGGTGTGCTGCATGGACCGTCTACCTTGCCGTTCCGCATACAGTTGCAGGTTGGGAAGACTTCCCTCAGTAAGTGTCTTGCTCGATTGCGTCCTTCCTTGTGGGATCAAAAATGTACTGATGGTTCGGTTTAGCCTCATTTCGACCAACAAGACGTTCCGCGATATTGTCATTTCCGTTGCTGGTACCTATGGACTCTACCTCATTGGCTCGCTATTGCACTTGGAGCCGTGGCACATGTTCACCTCGTTCATCCAGTACATGTTCTTATTGCCGAGTTGTAAGTTGTATTGTCGATTCAATCCGGCACATAGTCTAACATTATAACATTACAGACGTGAATATTCTGAGTATGTCTGTCTGTAACGATACGGCCGTGAGCTATATTGATATTTATGCCAGTGATGTACGCAATGTGCAACCTTCACGATGTCACCTGGTATGCACTGTTATCGGCTGTCATTGAGTGTGCATTGACGGGAGCGTCTGTAGGGGTACCAAGGGCGACAACGGCGCAGCCAAAGACCTAGGAGGCGCCAAGAAGGTCAAAGATTCGGAAGGCCACGAAAGGCTTGAAGTCGAAGTGCCTACCGCTCGAGAAGACGTCGATCAACTATGGAACGCTTCTCGTGCTGCTCTTGCTATCAAGCCTCCTGAAGAGAAAGAACATCGTGATGCCGCTACTAAACAGGCCGACCATGACCGAAACAGCAGGACGAACGTCGTCTTGGCTTGGACCGGTACAAATATGTTTGTATTACTTGCTTCTAGTGGTTGGGTGTATGATTAACTGTTTGATAGGATCTTGATCTTGATTTTTACGTCTACTTGGTTCAACGACTGGGTGAAGCAACATGTCGAGGTTACCCAAGACAGTACATTCAATCCTTACCTGACCTTCCTTTTCTATGCTATGTACGTCCATTCCATGCTATCTCTTGCATCACACTAATATTGCACATTGCAGGGCCGGCCTCTCAGCCGTTCGTTTCATCGGATCTACTTTCTACTTACTCCTCCGGCTTTGTGGTCTGGGTTAATTTAGGTGACCGTTGTATCATCCACTCTTTTGTGTCCGTGTGTCGCTGGTTCGATTATCTCCTTTCATTGGGAATCGCAGAAACTACTATGAATAATTCTATTCGATGTACACCTCCAGATACCCCTCGCTTTTCGAAGTTTAAATGTATTATACTTCTACGTACGATGCGCTCTTCCGGTAGATACAATTTTTTGCTTATTTTCGAATAGCCCTTGTCTGGTCCAAATGAGTAATCTTCACGTGTAACAGACGCGTCGCGCAGCCAGACGCCTGGCAGAGTCGGCGCACGTTCTCGAACGCTCCTTTCACGCTGCCTAAGTCGTTCTCAAGGACCACTCTCGACGACTGATTTACGTATGACATCTTGATCAGGGGCTGAAGACGGAGATAGTAATCGCTGTCGGAGATCCATAAAGATGGAGACTGCTCTCGAGACTGATCTGGTCGATCCAACTTCGCTTCAACCAAGTCCGGAGCTCATGGCGAGCGATGAGAGACATCCGCTCATTTTGTTACTGTCGGCATTCTTCTGGGTATTTCGTACGTGACATTTGTGTTTAGTGTCGTATTCTATTGACGTTAATGGTCGTAGTGTGGCTGCTGTCATGGGCGAAGGCTCTTGTAGCTTTTGCTACCATCTCCATACCCAAGTTCATATACGCTGTGCTCTCATATTCCATGACCTTGACGGTAGGTTTCAATCGCTGCATCTCGAATCGCTGCTAAATACAATTACCATAGCTCAACTTCTGGTCCTTCGCCATCATTTTCGTACTCTCATTGGTTGCTTTGAATTACTTCATTCGATGGCGATACCTGGACAAATACAAAGACTTGAAAGAACCACCGCTACTTAAAGCGGATGCGCAAGAACTACATCCAGATGTCAATACACCGGAGCCTGTTCCTGTGTTCCACAATTACTTGGATGAATTTCTTCAAGCCGTGCGGGTATTTGGTTTCTTGGAGAAACCTGTATGCCGACCCACTTCCCCATGTATGACATGTGCAACCTAACGTTACATTAATATCAGGTCTTCCACGAATTAGCTAGACATCTACAAACGAGGCGGCTAGTTGCGGGAGATACCCTTTCGCTCGACGAAGACAAGAGTTTTTACTGCGTCGTTGATGGAACGGTTCAGTTGTACGCGCAGACAGGGCTACCCCCGAATGAAGGCCGCAGAGGTACCTGGGACGAAGAAGATATGAATGGGTATCAGCTGCTGAATGAAGTTGGGACGGGTGGAACTCTGTCAAGCTTATTCACCATATTGAGTCTTTTCACAGAAAATGTCAAGATTAGCTGGCAAGATGAAGAGCTTACAGATGAGGGCCTATCTCAGGCAGCTCAGTCAACTCATACCTCAGTTCCAAAGAAGGCTCCCGTGCGTAATCGACCAAGACGATCCGATTCCGATGTTTCCCAGTTGAGCTTGGACTTGAATTCCCAGAGCCCTTCACACTCTCGTAGTCGTGGTGCTTCCGTCTCTTCCTCAGGATCAACAGTACACGCTTCAGATGTCATGTCTCCTCCACCTCGAACAGCCTCTGTCGGACCAAATGTCTCCACTTCGTCTTCTGGACGGTCACGAGGCAGAAGGAGACATGCGGGAGAGACCAACCAACCACGCCACTATGGCGTTGTTGCCCGAGCTGCGGAGGACAGTACTTTGGCCGTCATTCCTGCGGAGGCATTCCGAAGATTAACGAAGAAGTTCCCAAAGGCTACTGCCCATATTGTTCAAGGTAATCTCGACTGGGTCGAGTTCACTATGTGATGACGCTGACTGTTTTCTAGTGATTCTCACGCGCTTTTCCCGTGTAACATTCAATGCAGCTCATAAATACTTGGGGTTGACTACTGAGGTCCTTCGCACCGAAAAGGCCATCAACGATATTGCATGTCATCCTTTACCCCCCTCATTCTACGCGGGCGGCGGCTTGAAACATTTGCGTCAACGTTTCGACGGTGTGGCTCCTGTTAGTGATCCAGAGTCTAGCAGTGACTACTTCACATTGCCTTCACCTTCTATGAATTCTTCTACAACCACACTGAACGTTGTTGGGTCCCAAGCCGACACTATTACTCGACTAGTTGATAGTCCGCTGCCTTACAGGACTCCGACGCCACATACAGGCCCCATCTCCCATCAACAGGTACAGGCTGGTGATTTGCACTCCACCGCTCATCCTAGTGAGATCTTCCATCCACTTGGACGTACGCTAAGTTCTATCCACACTCCCAAGAATGCGCGACGCGATAGTGAATTGAAAGATTCGGATCACGATGGCGCACATTGGCTTATGAACGATGAATTCGACCTCAGAGATGAAGTCATGTCTTGCATAGCAAAGTCGATCGGGTTGTTGCAGCCTCCTCTCAGCGGCGAAGAGTCGGTTGAAGCTTCACCTGCGTTTCCTGCAAGTGACGCAAGTCGCTCAAAAAGCGGCATGTTCAAGTCTTCTTTCGGTTCATTGTCTATGCTCGAATATGGTGATGATGCCTCGAGCATGACTGGGTCCACTTCTTCAACAATGAACGATGGGTATATGAGTGGGCTTGACAATGAAGTCGAAATACTCTTTTTCCCCGCTGGATCAACCCTTGCCAAGGCCGGCGAAACAAATACAGGTATGAATTCCTCGATTGTTGCTGTCCAGACATAATGATCAACGGTACGCTAGGCCTTTTCTACGTGATCGATGGTTTCTTGGATATCCTGCTTCCCGCTGAGAAAAGTGCCCCTCAGAGCACCAAATCCAAGGTCAACCGCCAAGCACACATTGCTACAGAGACCTACGGTGCCAGATCTTCTGCGCATAGTCAATCTCCCCCACTCACATTCGCAGAGCGCCCCTCAAATCGGCCACCAAAGGACGAATCTAAGCCTCTATTTACTGTCAAGACCGGCGGAATTGCAGGATATCTCTGTGAGCTAATTATTTCGTCGCCCTTTAAATAGGCGTTGTACTCATTTTCCCAGCTTCACTATGCAATACCGCCTCTTACGTTGATATCAAGGCAAAGACAGATACTTACGTGGGTTTCCTCCCGTCGCATGCGTTGGAGCGACTACTGGAAAAGCGGCCCATTGTTCTTTTGACTCTTGCCAAGCGTCTTATATCCCTTCTCTCACCTCTCATTTTGCACATTGACGGGTCCTTGGACTGGGTGCAAGTGAATGCTGGTCAGGTTCTGTGGAGACCGGACGATGTCAGCGACAGCTTCTACATTGTCATCAACGGTCGACTTCGAGCTATAAATGAGAAGGAGGCTGGTGGAATCACCATTGAAGCTGAGTACGGTCAGGGTGATACCGTTGGTGAACTCGACGTAATCACAAGTTCACCGAGGAGCAATACTCTTCACGCTATTCGTGATACTGAACTCATTCGGATGCCCCAAACTTTGTTCAATGCCATTTCTTCAAGGTGTGTCCGTTCTAATAGGTTGTTGTACGTTCGCTCAACAACTCATCTTCTACAGAAACCCACAGACCACTGCCCAGTATGTATTTTAAGTTGCCTTGAAGTCAATGTGACTCCTGACTGAAGCTGTTCTGACAGATTGCTGAGAATGATAGCTTCGCGTGTGAAGGACGAGGCCAAGTCATCAGTGCGAGGCGTACTTTCGGAAGTGTCCCGCAGCAATATCAACTTGAAGACAGTTGCGATCCTACCAGCTACTCGGAACATTCCTGTAGATGCTTTCGCTCGAAAACTTCATGCGGCCTTGGAAAGTATCGGCGCTCCAACGTCATATCTCAATCAATCTTCTGTAGCGAATCATCTTGGAAGGCACGCATTTACTCGGATGGGTAAACTCAAGGCTGCGGGGTGGCTTGCCGAGCAAGAACAGAAGTATCGCATTGTCTTGTATGTTGCGGATTCCACTGTCAACAGCTCCTGGACCCAAACGTGCATTCGACAGGTGAGCAGACTCCTTTTTACCATCCCGATATGATAATCAAATCCCTCAAAGGCGGACTGCGTCATGGTCATTGGCATGGCGGACGACCCTACCATCGGTGAATACGAACGGCTTCTCTTGTCAATGAAAACAACGGCGAGGAAAGAGCTTGTCCTACTTCATCCGGATCGTTCGGTTGTTCCAGGCTCTACACGTGAATGGCTGAAGGTGCGCCATCTATGTTGAGGAGATTCTCAGAATACTAACAGTATGTCTTCTAGAACCGGTCATGGGTGCATCAACACATACATGTCGAGTTGCCTGTGCGTCCTATTTCGTATACTTCAGTATGAAATACTAATACCGAGTAAAGGGCTTGATGGTCCCTGTTCCAAGAGCACCCCAGACCCAGGATCCTGCTGCTGTCGCTGCGCTGAAGAATCTCAAGGACAGGGTGCAAAGTGGTATTCAGCGATATCGTGGCGGTCCGACGGATGTCCGTCCTCAGCGTGGACCTCACACGAATGACTTCGCGCGTCTGGCTCGAAGGATATGCGGCAAGTCTATTGGTCTGGTCCTTGGCGGGGGCGGCGCCCGTGGACTCTCGCATCTGGTACGTTTGTGCAGGTAGCGACATTGAGTTAGAACTAAATCGTTTCAGGGTGTGATTCGAGCATTGGAAGAACATAGCATTCCGATTGATCATGTAGGAGGTGAGCCCTTGCAGTCTTCACACACGTTAACATAATTCCTACATGAGCAATAGGCACTAGCATCGGCGCTTTCATTGGTGGCTTGTATGCACGGGAAGGTGATCTTTTATCTGCTGTCGGTCGTACGAAGCAATTCAGCGGTCGTATGGGCAATATATGGAGAACTCTTTCGGACGTCACATACCCTATAGTTGCTTATACAACAGTGAGTATGTTTGATATTCATGGAGCATGTTAATTCTCACCCTCTCCTAGGGTCATGAGTTCAATAGATCGATTTACAAGGTTCGTCAAAAACGAGGCATGGCAGTGTTCGAAGATTCATTGCGTCCTGTTCCTAGGCTTTCTATGACCTCCACATAGAGGACATGTGGCTGCCGTATTTCTGCAATTCGACTAACATCAATACCTCGACTATGGAAATCCATGAGACAGGATATGCTTGGAGATTTATTCGTATGTACTTCTGCTCCATTGATCCCTCATCGGGCTAACTTCAGAATTGATACCCAGGTGCATCAATGACACTGGTTGGTTTGCTACCGCCTCTCTGCGATAATGGCAACATGCTTGTCGACGGTGGATATAGTAAGGATCTCCTATCGTTGCGCCAATCCGAATACTAACATTGACATCGTGACAGTTGATAATCTTCCTGTCCGTAGCCTTGTAGGCTTTGTCTGATTCATCAGCTGACGTTTCTCACAGGTATCTGCCATGATGTCGATGGGTGCAAGTGCTGTGATAGCATCGGATGTCGGCTCTGTAAGATTTATTGATTGAATGCCTGTAGGAACATGGCTGACGAAGTCTAGATTGACGACAACTCTCCACGTAACTTTGGTGATTCGGTGTCCGGATGGTGGCTCTTGGTTAATCGTTGGAATCCGTTCTCGAATGCTCGAAGTATTCCTGCTATCACTGAGCTCCAGAGTCGGCTTGCATAGTCAGTTCTCATTGCCACCGAGTGCCGCTGTTTGGGTCTGACCTTCCTTTTTAGCGTGTCCAGCGTGACGACTTTAGAAGAAGCAAAGGTTGCCCCGGATTGCTTATACATGCAGGTACCTGTGCATGAAGTGAGTTAGGTCACATCCGCACACCGTATTGCCTATTGACCTCTTCCCTCAGTACGGTACTCTTCAATTCGGCAAGTTTGAAGAGATTCAGAACAAGGGATACATTGCGGCACTAGATTTTCTGCATAAGTTCCAGGAGGATGGACGGCTGCCTTCTGCATTCATTGGTGATAAAAGGGTCGTCCTGCCCTCCAAAACGAGGGGGAGAAGCGCACGTCGTAATTCTATCTAAGTATATTGTTGTATTATCACTAATCGGACCGATACCATTGAACCTCTACGTCAAAGGTCCTGACCTGACAGTCCTTTCAGAACCGTCCCAGTCTATCCACCCTTCGCCGTCTCTTCCACTGTATAAGGTTTTGCTAACTCATGTTCTATCACGTTGGTGCGTCCTTCTGTTATCGAGGCCTGGTCGTACTTGCTTTGGATAATGCATCTTTGATACTGGTGACGGCTTCCCTCCAGATGTTTACGAATTTCGTGGAGGTCTATAAAGATACGGTATGTGTAGTCGTCTTCATGCGAGAAACCTCCTACGTGCTTAGACTATATAAACACCATTGTATCTGTATCATGTCATTCAGTGAGCGGGTTGGAACGCATAGCTTCAGAGCACCTTCCGCCGTATGGGGTTATCTTGCTCAGGTTAACGAGTGGAGTCGCGGTCAAATGACCTGGAAGACGTTTTTTGTGGGTGGCGAGGTCCATATGCCTGTTTACAGGGCCGTACCTGTTTGTAAGTTGATCTCGTAACAACAACGTACTCTGAACCCAACGGATTTTCATGTTGCTAGGGAACGGCGAGGAGCTTCATGAGTATGCCCGTGATGGTCCTACTAAGAAAGCTGCAATGGAGGCAGCTGCGACAGCTGTTGCTTTGAGCGGCCATTGTGTAAGTTAAATGACCATATTGTGTCTCTGCTACTGTGCCTCTGGCTCACAAAACATTGCAGTGAAATCATCTTGATGGACGGTGCTACTGTACTATATGTTATTTTATTGAACTCACTCCGACTCTCCGGTGAGTTGCGTAACATGTCTCACTGGCTGCTTGAGATGTTCTCACTGACGTCGAACGTAGATCATGTAAAGGTTATAAATTCCCGGCCTAGCGTTCAACGCAACGGAAATGGGCAGACACAGGTTATATGTGTTGCAAATCTGCAACTGTATGTACAAAAAGTGAATAGAAGTTGCCAAATCCGAACCACAATCCACCGATCGTCACCTGACTTGCTCAGCGTTTGGGTTTTGTTCACTCGTCGTTATGATCAAACTACGTGTGAGGCACCGACCAGAGTAGCAATATCTTGGGGCGCAGCAAAATGTTCCTGAATATTGCGGACACTGAGTCATTCGTTGAGATGCCTCATGATCTCTTCGCCGACGATGGCTTGACTGCGTAGCAGGCCTGAACTTCTCCGCTATTTGAGTTACGTCTTGTATTACGGCAGCGGTCACTCCTTGGTTGGTCAAAGTTTCTCGATCATCCGCTGTATTTGAATGATGGGTGAAGTAACCTCGCAGCAACTTTGTGCTTCTTTCACGCCGTATTGGGCAGATCGTCATCAATGCGCTTCGCACTATTCCCACAGGCTCCGAGTTGTTTTTGCATTGCTACTGTGCACCGTATGAAGCTGTGAGCTATACTCGACATATAAAACCTCCACTGAAACTTGCAAGGCTGACAGCTTGACTCTGTAAGCCTACCCTTCATTATTCATATGTCCTTTACTTCTCACCAAGGTCAATACGTCTTCATGCCCCCTACCCCAGTGAAGGGGTACCTTGCTCAGATCAATAACTGGGCCAAGAGCCCAATGCTTCATTGGAGCATTGAGAAAATAGGTGGAACTCAGCATGCCCCCATATTCTCTGCAACTCCAATATGTAAGTATTTCTTGAATTCTATTCTCTGTTATCTATGCTCTGATTGTCCTGTAATTTCATTTTATAGATAACAATGAGTATTTGGTCATGTATGCATGTACAGGATCATCAAGAAAGAAAGCAAAACAGAAATCTGAGGAAGCCATGCTTGAGGATGGTCAGCCTATTAGATGGACTCTCAGATGGCAAATAGAGGAATTGGAGAATGGAAATTCCCATCCCATATACTGTGCAATCCCTATAGGTAAGCACTATTTGAGCACTGACATTCAATGCTTTTTTTGAAGAATGTGTTTAGTCAATGGAGATATTCTCATGGATTATGCCAATGAGGGACACTCAAAGAAGGCTGCTCAGGAGGCTGCAGCTAAAGCTATGGCCTTAAGTGGTCACTGTGTGAGTGTACCATCCAGGATACCCTGTGATGTTCACTAAATATTGTTTCTCTATTCTCCATGACTTAGTGAATGAAGACCCTATTAGGGTCTTACCTTTTCCATCCACCACCCCACTTATGTAACTCTGTATGATTTCTTTCAATGCAGGTTTGATTTGTAAATGTGCCATATCCTTGAATTGCAGAAGAAAAACATAGCCTTATAGACCACACATGCCCTTGAGTAGAAGTGTAATTATCAAATTGAGCAGCCTGAGTAAAGGAAGCTCATTACACTTTCCAGCCATGTTACAATAATTTCACAACTTATATATATACACAGTGACTATCATACATACTGCTTGATTTCACTTGAGCTTCAAGAGGTTTATTGCCATGTATTGTATGTAAGGTAAGCATAACAGTGATGGATCTGCTATCAACAATCTCAAGGCACAGTGCCGCAATGCTACCAACAGATATTGTGTTCTTTCTCATATGCGTAGTCATGTGGACCCACATATAACATATATAGTATCTGCGGACCGGCACTCCAAACAACATGCCTGGTTCATGCACCGTTCGCCGGACTGCAACCAGCAAATGACCATAAACTCGAAATGTTACGAACTTGAACACAATTCGCCGTACGGTCCGTCGGCAGTAGGTGCGTCGCACACTTAAAGCTCATTATCGATCTTCCACATCATCGTTTTCCAGTCCGCAGCGTTATCGCAGCAGATCCTAGGAAACAGTCTGCCGTTGTAGGGGAGCTGATGCCTGTCCTTTCGCTTTCGGTGCTTCCGTGAACCTTCTCTGCAGCAGTCATGGCATCCAGGTGATTCTAACGGAAAGATGTCGGCCCACGCCAGGCTGCAAAGTCAAAACTGAGACGCGCAGATATATAAGGCGCGATCCTGGACGGGATATCACTTATCAGACCCTTGAGATACCCCCAACCTGAGCGATACGGCTAGTTGAACAATGAGTTTCAAAGACCGGAAGGGTACATTTTCTTTTGACGAAGCTACGGCCGGAAGAGGCATCCTCCCGCAATTGAATGAATGGGCCAACGGTCCAATGGTTCAATTTCAGGTGGAGCGCATTGGGGGACAAGATCACGTTCCGGATTTCAAGGCAACGCCAATCTGTAGGTTGACCCCTTCTTCACGTAGATCTTCATTGATGACATAGAACAGACAATGGAGAAGTATTGGAAGATTGTATTTGTGTCGGCCCATCTAAGAAGAAGGCAATCGAGAGGGCAGAGGCTGCAGTTATTGAAACTGGTCGACAAACGAGGGCCACATTGACATGGAAGGTCGTACGCACCGGGGGAGAAGCACACAGGCCATCATTCACCGCCTACCCCATCTGTAAGTCAGCTTCGGGATATTGACCATTAGAACATCGCCCTGAACAGCCTCAGGGAACGACGAACACCTGACCGAATACACGGGCATCGCCAATTCTAAAAAGGAGGCGATGGAGGATGCCGCCGCTGCCATGGCCGCTAGCGGACATTGCGTACGTCTCCCGTCAATGTACCTGCAGCCATACTGAATATTTTTTCTCATCTAGTGAGATGAACTTGAGCCGTTCTACTCTTGTCATCTGCGAAATCTGGACCGTTTGGAAGTAAGTAGTCAAGCGATGGTAGTCCCGATACGAAATGTAGTTGCAGTCGTTGCATCTATACACCTGGAATAATGGTCGATGTTTTGCATGAGTGATTCAAATCAGTAAGAGGAAAAGTGAACGCCACGCGTCGCAGTCATGTTCTACCGTTTGATCGAAAATGATCGGCTGAATTGATGGCGACATATGTCCGCCCTGCGAGAGCGTTAGTGAACCATGGCGGCTGCTCCTTCCACCTCGACCTCAACTCTAGACGACAGTGCTTCAAGGCCCAGCCAGGATGGTGAACAACTCTTGGACGTATCCGTGCTCAAGGATATCGCTAGGAAAGACCTTGTTGACGCTCTAAATTCAGTGAGCCGACTTTGGATTTGAGTCGCGTCAGTTCCAATGTAACGATGAAGTTGGGTTAGGTGAATGGTGCAAAGACACTCGTCTTGGACCCTTCGTTAGCAGGGCCATTGAGCTTGGTTACGGAAGTGACTTTACTCAAGGTACGTGTCCATTCGTATGCGGGTTGGTTCCAGTACTGAATGTGCAGCCGACGCAATATAGCATCATGGTGTGGACAAGATGTTCTGGCTAGAACCCGGTCCTCTGTCGGCGACTTCGCCGAACATTATCTATCTTTGCAGGCCTATGATTAAGTGGATAAAGATTATTGCAGGTACGTTTCCTCGTCATCCGAAGTAATACAGTATGTCTCATCGGTTTCAGACCAGATTAAGCGACACGCAAGGGAGGGTCAAAGCTACACATATACTCTGCTTCTGGTACCTCGTATTTCCACTCTTGTCAAGAGAATACTAGAGGAGGAAGGTGTCCTGGGCGATGTAACCGTCTCTGCGTATAACTTGCAGTTTATACCCATTGCAGAGGACGTTATATCGTTAGAGAATGATAATGCCTTCAAGGAATTGTGGGTGGTGCGTAATTCAACATCGTTCTCTGTAGTTGTGGCATCGTAACCCATTCGTACAGGACGGAGACGAAACTGTGATCTTCGACTCTGCTCAAGCACTCATCACGTTGGAGAAACTTTTCGGTCTCTTCCCTCGAATAGTAGGCAAAGGCGATTACGCTGCTGTACGTTTTGCTTCCCTGATTTCCCTAACGCATTAGTCTTTACTCCGATCCCGTTTCTCAGCGACTTGCAACATTATTGACACGACATACATCGACGAGCATATCAGACAATTCGTCGAACAACTTGTTAGGTCAAGCTTCCGAGAAGTTTGACTCTCTAATTATACTTGATCGCCGAGTGGATATGATCACTCCGCTTCTTACTCAATTGACATATGAAGGCCTGATTGACGAACTCGTCGGAATCAAGAACTGTGAGTGTCTCATCTTACGCCTCAAACTTCCTAGGTATTTGACATTCTATAATCCCTAGCCCACGTTGAAGTTCCCGCCTCTCTGCTCGCAACGCCTGCCGCTCCTAATGCAACACCTTCAGGGAGTGGACCTCCAACCGACCCTACGACCTCGACTGCTCCCGCCTCTTCGTTGATGAAAGAGAAAAAGAAGAAATATCACTTGACATCCACCATTGACCCACTTTTTGCTGAGCTGCGAGATCTCAATTTCTCGTCTGTAGGTAAGAAGTTGAACCAGGTGGCGAGACGACTGGATGAGGATTACAAGGTAAGTAACTGTTCAGTTCTTGGATGATTTGGGATTGAATGACGAATGTATTGGGAATGTAGGGTAGACATCAGGCGAAGACCGTTGCACAGTTGAGGGACTTCGTGGGTAAACTGGGTGGACTTCAGACTGAGCATCAGTCATTGCGGCTTCGTGAGCTTTCCTAGGAACGCGACTAGTCATCTACTCATTCTTCGCCTCAGATACCGGTCTTTCTGAGATGATCGTTCCCATGACACGGACAGAAGAGTTCAACAAGTCGCTTGAGATCCAACAAAGTGAGTCTCGCAGCATTGTTAAAACGCGTTTTGACTTATTTATGCGCATCCTTTTCGATAGACCTCTTAGCATCGTACGATGTAAACCGCCAAATTTCCGCCATCGAGGACCTCATAAACCAGGGTGCCGATATGCAAACCATCTTGCGACTGTTATGCCTGGCAAGCATCATCACCGGAGGTATAAAAACAAAGACCCTCGACATCATCAAGCGTGAGATTCTTCAGGTAAGTTTTGTTGCAGTGACGGCCTCTTCGTTGCTGAAAATGATACAGTCATACGGATACAACTACCTCCCCCTCCTGCTATCACTTTCATCGCCACCCTTATCGGCCCTTGTCCCTAACCCACTGCCAGCATCGACGCCACCCTCCATCGTCACTGCCTCCAAATATCCCTACACATCGCTTCGGAAGTCTTTACGGCTTCTCATTGAGGATCCAGACCCCATGGAAGAACTCGAGAACGACATATCCTACGTCTACAGCGGATATGCGCCTATCAGCGTCCGATTAATCCAATGTGTAGCTCAGAAGGGTGGGGTGTTGAGCAATCCAGCTGGTGACAAGGACAAGAAGATCAACATCCCTGCCGATACTGAAACAAGCGGTGGTGCAAAGGGTAAGGGGGTAGCTGACGCCAAAGTACGGGCACATCCCATCGTGGGGTGGAAGGGCTTTGAGGATGTCGTGGCGAGTATTCCGGGAGAGACTGTGGATATTGTGCAGAAGATTCCGGGCAGCTCGGAGAGTCATGTTCCTGCCGTGTCAAACCTCCGTAAGCTTATACGCCACTCATGCCATTATTCGTTCCTGAGAAAATGTTCGTTTCAGTGCTACCAGGAGAACAGTCTTCCACCACCTCAGTATTTTTCCTTGGTGGTTGTACATACACGGAGGTCGCTGCTTTGCGATGGGTGGGAAGGCAGAACAAGGGTAAGTCTCTACCGGTATTTATGTGGTAAATTTCTGACCGTCGTCCAGGTCGTAAGTTCCTGATTGCCACGACAGGCATAATCAGTGGTTCTAGTATGATCGACAGCATTGCAGGAATCGGTGGAACGACATCCGGTTCAAGGGACGCCGGGTTGTGAGCAGGAGCTTCCCATGAACCAGAGCGTAGGATCGTTATGTCATTGTTGATGTTCGTTCCTTGAAGCAAATATACCTCATTTTTGTCCTACTCCCAAAAGTTGCTGAACGCACTTGCACTGTAAAGGGATTGAACCCACGGTGGAGAGGTACCTGGCTATGGTCTAGAACGCGGATGCTTAGTTCGACGCAACGCACGCGACGCGTTGTTTGGGAGTATTTGTGCGGATATCTGCGCACGGTTCATGCAGGACCCCGAGAGGAGCGCTGATTGTTTTCTGTTATCTTCTCGCCAACGACCCTCGTTTCTCGCAACGATCATAGACATGGGTGCTATCCTTTCTAGGGCTGCATTCATCACTTGCAGCGGTTAGTGCTAGGTTTCAAAGCATGTCCATTTTGTGGATAGGTGGCGCATTTGCAGAGGTCATATGGGCCTCAAACCTTCGGACGGACCCACTTGGCACCTGGAATCGCAGGCTGTTTTCATCGACATCTTCTAGATAGCTCTAATTACTTCTTCTTTCACTAGCTTCTAGCCAGGCTGCAGATATCTGTGCGTTTCTGTTTTCTGCTGCCGTTTCAAATACGCAGGGAATTTGCGCAGTTGGCCATCGCCAAAAGCTATGGGAGGGGTCCACGGGGTCTTGGGTAACGACACGCGATCTAATGGGATCGAAGCGCGATCCTCATTGGGCTAAACCGGGCAGTTGCATCTCGTATAAGGACCCCTCAAGCCTGAATTTATGCGTCACCCTCTCTTCTCCCCTACCGCCATCTCCGCCCCGCTCTAATCTGCCCCCGCAATAAACAAAAATCTTGGTTGGTCGTTTCTGGGCTTGCTTTGATGGTAGAAATGCTAATCACACGTTCCGCCCCCTCTCAGAGTACTAGACATGGTCACTACAACGAAAACCGCGTCTGACGCGCCTAAGAAGACTAAAGCTAGTGCGTATACCTTATCATCGCGGTGTGCACAGCTACTGAAATTATTTCCTCCACCACGTAGAGAGAGGCGGCGGAAAGAAGAAGCTTACAGAGTTCAATAAGTTCATGCAGACTGAAATGGCAAGGCTCAAGGAGCAAGACCCTAACATGGCTCATAAAGAACGGTATGTACTTGACAGCTGGTGGCGTGTCGTTATCCGTGACCTGGTCCCTCACTTCAGGTTCAAACTCGTCGTCGACAACTGGAACAAGAAGAAGGAGAAAGACAACGCGACACGTTAAACACCCATGTCTCTCGCTCATGCGCGACCGCCTCCACTTCCCCGACAGTGCTTCTGTTTACTATCTGCGGCAACCTCCGACATATTCCCGGTTTTTCTCAATGTTACAATCCGTTCCTGGCTAATTTGTTTCGTTCCTCGTGCTCTTGCTGTCGTCACTACCGTTCTTCGAACACTTTCGGTTTTCGATATCGTTATCCCGGGTTATACGCTACTTCTTCTGTGCACGCGTGCTGTACAACTGTTGCTGTATTGTAATACACAGATTCATTCGATTCGTTAGTTCTATACAATTCATGTGTTACCCTGTCCTAGCGATACCAGAGAAATGCGTGACATACAAGTACAGAATATACAACTAATGTCTACAACAAATAGAGTCAGTGGATACAATGGATTCTTGAAGTGATATACAGAACCAAAAAAAAAAAAATCAAAAATATATCCTACATAATTGTACAACCATCTCGGTCGCCATTCATATCCAGAAGAGTTGGGGTGTTTGGTCCAGATGACCTACGCCCACTAGGAGACCACCACCGCGCCCGCCCAGAGGACGACAGGGCATCTGATGATGCACTGCCGTTGCGTGAACTGTTCATCCCACGTTTTGACCCAGGCTTGCGTTTCTTCCGGGCTGCTTGAACGGCATCCACCGTCTGCCACGAATAGAACGTCTTAACAACAACCTTATTCTCATCGCATTCATCCTGTCCTACGTTCAACCCTTCTTCGTCTCTTCCGTCGAGATATGCCAGCTCCCCTGCATGCCATGACCTCCAACCCAATCGAGGACGAGTGCGCTCCGTGAGCTCCTTGACTGCGTACTCGCCAATCCCACGACAGTCGACGGCGACAATCCGAGCGTCTGCAATCTTGCGGCTTTGTGCGAGCTCGACAAATTCCCTTAACACGAGTCCGGACATACGAGTGTTGTCTGCTTCCAGAATACGGAGATGTGTACAATTCCGAACAAGTTCCATGAGGGCCTCATTGTTGATATTGGCATAGGAAATTATAAGTTGCTCCAGGGCATGTCCAGGTTCGGGCGGCGGAGAGGGGCGAGAGGATAAAGATAAAGGGGGTGAAGAAGAGGACACTTGCACCTGACTAGGCGTAACGGCCAACAATAAATCATCCGAAATCTCGGTTGCATCTTCCAAGTCGATTCTGCGAATAAATGGTGTCGTATTCAAAAGACGAATCAATCCATCATCACGAAGCTCGGGACCAATACTGGCGAGCTCCAGGAACTCGAGCTTCGGGACCGCATGAGCAAGGTGGGAACAAGCGTGGTCTGTGAGGAGAATACAAGATGAGAGGTTCAAATGACGCAAATGGGTTACACGTCTCCAATAGCGAGAGGTGTAATCGGAGGGATCACGACCTGCTTCACGAGACGTCAGCTGGACGCATTGTAAATGAGCTGAGTCCGCCTCTGTGCATGCAACAAAGGCATCAATCGCAGAGTTGTGCAAATCACGAGCGCCGCTCAGGTCCAAGACCTCCAGTAAGGGAGCTGCTCGTCCTAAGGCAGCCATCATGGCATCCGTAACTCGCTTCAGACCTGCAAGTCTGAGTTCCTTCAAGTGCATGTGCTCGCCACGTCTGACCGCAGCGGACGCTACAGAAAGAACACCTTCTCCTGTCATGTTCGGACATCTGCTCATGTTCAATGAAACAAGGTGTGGACAATAAATGGCGAGGACGTCGCATGTCGTATTCGTGACAGCCGTAAGACCTTTCAAGCAGAGCTTCTGCAAGAAAGGCGATCGTAAGAGGATATTATGGAGAGAACGGGTCGTCAAATGTGAACAACCCTGTAAGTTGATCGTCGTCAGCTGGGTGTGAGGGTTTATACCCAGAGTGGGAGGAGAGCCACAAAGCTGCTCCGTAAGTTCCAAAAGTGTGGAAGGGAGAAGGTCGGCATGTCCGCTGAGATCGAGGTCCTTGATGAATCCTCCCGCTATACGGGAGATACGAGACAAAGAGGTGGAAGAAAGATTGGGGAATGAACGAAGATCAAGCTTCGCCCATAGCTGACCATCAAAGACGAGGATCTGCCAGGATCTGCACACCTGCAAGAGAACGACAAAGTCGTCATTACCTTGTAATTAAGTGAGAACAATTGGTTCACTAACCCTGCTCATCTTGAACAGTTCTCGTAGACCTTTCTCTCTGCCTGTCCACCTGTTCCTGGATGACCCAGCCTTGATTGCAGTCCATTTGCCATTCGTGAGACGTTTCTCATGTTCAGCTTCATGAAGTTGCACCAACGTTCTGAACACCTGCAACTTGAGCTCACGCGGGAGCCAATGGTCAAAATAGCAAGGGGTAATGATAGGCGGCGGCGCGAAGATATCCGCCGGAGCGAGTGGTACTATGTCGAAGACTGAAGGGGGAAGAGGAAGAGGGGAGGAGTAACTTCGGCCTTTCGTTCGAAGAGGGTAGGGATCATTAGGTCGTGGTGAACGTGGTACTGTGTGCAGAGTGCCCCAGACAGCGTCCGTTTCGACGACGGGGGATGCAAGAGGTGTGCGAGGTCTGGGATCCTTTGTCCAACGCAAAAATCCGCCTCTCTGTTCTAACATCTGTGAATTCGCGAGTATGACCTCTGTGGTAGTATCATGATCAATATCGGGTGAGGTAGAAAGAGGACTAGATGGTGGACTGGCTGTGTCACGTTTCTTGAGCAAGAGCTTGCGTGCTAAGTTGCTTGGAGTCTTCGTACCTCCAAGTTTCAGTTTGACTTTGGAAATTGAGACATTGGAGAGAGACCGACGTGATCGCGTGGATAGGTTGGAAAGTGAATGAGCCCGCAGGAGACTACAATGTGGGACTTCTACTTGTACAGGTGAACTAGGTGGGCTCCCCAGAACACCGGTATCAGATGATGAAATGGCCGAAGATGGCTCTGGCTCTGCGGCCCCGGAATAATTCGAACCATATGAGGAAGAACCTGTAATGGACGGCCATTCGGGGCTTCCATAGCTGAACTCGGTGGGTGTAAATGAAAGAGGCGGTATGCTTGGAGGGAGTTCACGAGCTTTGCCTTTGCTAGAGCTACTACTCATGGGTTCATCATTATCGTCGAGTTCGACAATCTCGGAGTGAAAATCCTCCATCTGTGGTGTATAGAAACTGAGTGCAAGGGCGGGGTCAACCACCCTGCTTGAAGACCCGGCAGATCCAAAGGACATTGCGAACAAATCGAGCTCGTTGTCGAGCACAGCTCTGGTAATGATAGGCATTGGTTCAGATGGATGTGAAATACCTTTGCCTTTCGGGTCTGGAATGGCCACCTCCTGCATAGAGCCAGAGGATGGGTGGTCCTGGTAGTAGTCAGACATACGGTTCGGGTCGGGGTGAAGAGCAGTTATATGATCCCGACACGAGGATACGGAGTCGATCCGAGACTCCCTTGAGGTATCCTTGAGGAGAGAGACGACCTTAAGCGGTTCATATGCATCAAATGGGAAAAGTCCTTCATCGTTATCGATGTCGTGCGTGAAGCTCATGGTGAGAGGAAGCGAATCTAAGAAATGAGGGACCACAAGCGAGATATGATAAGAGATACAGTAAGAGCGGTAGATGCTGGTGAGTGGGTAATAACAGAAGGTCGCAAAGGTCGACTTATGGACGCTATGGGGTTTGAAAGGTCATGGTCAGGAGTAAAGACCATGGAGTGCTGTAGAGGACCTCGAATGGCCGAGTCAAGCAAGCTTTGTCCTGCTGCTCATGCTTGCTCCCGAGAGTCAGTTCCGTTATATTCCCTAATTTCCCACACTTAGATTCTGCTTGCAGCATCCTAATGCCTCGGCTAATCCAACTAACATTGGTTCTAACCCCGTGTTCAATTTGACAATTACAGTATAGAATGCGTCATATATACGTCGAGTTGCCCCCTATTTTTAGTGAGTTCACTTTCTACCTAATGTATTATTATACGAAGCTCCGGGTGTTCCAAAATGCACCAGGCCCTATAGCCAAGAGAGTTCGTCATTGCGGAAGCTAGTCCAACTCTTCCCGCAATACACCGTCACCGTCAGTTTCGAGAACGATTCCTCGTAGTCGAAGACCTCCTTCTCAGAGTTATTCTTATACATATCCCAGCAGACTTCTCAGCCTAGAAGCCTGCCGAGGGGAGCACAACTCTGAAGGCGGAGAATACACGTTCAGTGGAATTAACGTGAAATTTTACTTCCTTGACGGCATTGAAGATCTGAAGCCAGAGGATGTGGTCTCATCTTATGCAATATTACTAGCTAGCTGATGAAGAGCATTTAGTATTCCAGCAAGTTATAACAGGATCTCACAATGCAGGGGAGCGATTATAAGTGTGGAATGTTACGGCCTCGACACGCTGACACGCATCTCCAAGGTCTAAAACATGAAAAGTACTGTCTACCTGCATCGCATGCATATACAGAACACGAAACAAGGAACCATCGGCGCTTAGGGCTTATGCCCTTCAAATTCACACTCAAATTCGAACTAACGCTCGGTAACAGAGTCTTTGAGGAGAGGAAAATCAACGCCGCGGAATCAAGAAATCGTAGTGCCGAAGATTATACGCCGTGAGGATCTCGAGAAGATATGTTCAGGGCCAGGTTCAGAGGAAGGCGTAAGATACCTGGGTGCAGCTCCTTGCCACGGCGTTTTCCAGTGGCGACAAGGGAGTGATATAGGATGATCCTCAGGGAACAAGGGAAATAGCTTAGGGTTGCTCTGATTATGCCTGCTGAGTGAGGCCGTTGTATTATTGGAGGTAAAGTAAAGGCGACATCCTCTGTGGCGCTCCTGGGGAAGGGAGTAGCGAGCTTGCACAATAACGAAATATGTACCTTGTCTAGTGCTCGACATTGCAACCTCATTCGCAGTGGTGTGTCTACGCCGCAGACTCTGTCCAAGAGCGGTCAGGAACAACCAAACTACACGCCCGAAGGTTCGTTTATACATGAAGTGTGAACGGCCAAAGGACGAGTCGCCAGTAATTGAACTTCGGCAAGGATGTAGTGTTTCGCACGGGCGCATGTTCATTGCATTTGGCAGTTGTCTGTCGGCCGGCCAAAGCAGACATTCCTAGAAAGAAAGAAAAGGAGACGTCACAACACTAACGCAATAGACATACAATGTAGCTATTCCACATGTTCCAGAACTAAACAGTGCATGTTTAAGCTGCAGATGTCGTACGTTTCGCCTTTTTACGAGCTTTCTTCGCAGCGTGCTTGTCTCGCTTTGTCTGAGGTTGACTCGTCGAGTCCGATACGGATGTCGGTGTGCTGCGGCTAGATTGTGTCTCATCGTTCTGCTTGGCATTGACAGAATTACCGTGAGGTTGAGATGTATTTGCTTGGTCGGGCTCTTTCGGGTCATCCCCATACCCTACAATAAGACGACCACAATCAGGGGCAAGGCGGGAACATGAGAAACTAGATACTTACCTGCAAACGGATCCATCGGTGGCCTCCGACGTTTTTGTCCGGTATTTTCTTGCGTCATGTTCTCCTTAGCTGCTTTTTCCTTTCCTTTCCCTTTTCTCGATGACGCTATTTCTGGCGAGTCGTTGTCCATCTTCGCGTCCTCGTCATTTCCAAAGACTTCAAGGTCATCTTCTTCCTCGCTTCCCAGCTCTTTCAACTCTTTCTCGTACTCTGCACGCGCGATCATTTTACTTGTGACCCTCACAGGAATTTGTTCATTTCCCTCGTCGTCGAAGCGAATATGGGAAGGACCAGCTTCTTGGTCGCCTGGAGGACGCATAGCTTTGAACTGTGAAATAGCATGCTTGATAAACCTGTTCGCAGCCGCTTTATCTAGAGCATTGCGCCCTGGAAGACATAGTATAAGACACAGTGTTCAGAGATGACTATAGTAAAACGTACTCTTATCTGGGTCTTCCGCATTCTTGATCTTGTCGAAGTATTGTCGTATCCGATCCTGGATTTTCACTATAAGCACATCATCTACACACAGAACTGCAAGATATCATACTAATTCAGTGATGACAGGATGCGTCTTTGGGTCAATCCCGCACGTTTTCAAATAAACTGGCGTGCATAGTCTCATCAGAACTTCTGACAAGCCAAGAGAAGGAAGTACCTACTGAAGACAAGGTCATAGACTAGATAGGGTATAGCAACCTGCAGCTTCGCTTGTTGGATGGTTTCCAGGCCTACAAGCGTTTCGGGAAGTGATTGAGCAAGTAGAGGTTCTAACTTGGCTTCCAACTCGTCTAGCGACCCACTGAGAGCCGCAACTCTTGCCCGAATCTTGTTGGGATTCTCTGTCATGTCAACGGTCTTGTATTCCTCTTCTATAATGGCAGTCGTAAAACGAGAGGCTTTATGGGAAAACCACGAAATGTGGGAAACGGCTGGAAGAGGGTGGACGGGAAAAGATTGCTCAGGCTGCAAGAGAGGAGGATCGACTTGAACGCGATCGAGATCTTGCCTGAACAACCGCCGGGAACAACAACAGTGAACAACAACGCTCTTGCAATGGTACGTCCACCATCATCCCTACTGTACTTCAAGAACTCACTTATCCTCGTCCGTGCAGTCCTCGGAGCTTAGATATACAGCAAATACTCAGTTGGAGCATTGTAAGTAGCATTTAACTGTTGCGTCGACCTGACTAAAACTTGCAATGATAGTGCATGCTCGTTATACTGGAACTGGTTAGCATTTTGTTTGCTTTCGTAATACTTCTTCTCTGATGTTTATTACAGGACATGCCGATTTGACAAAATAGTGAGAGCTCTTCAGCCAGGCTATGTGCAAGATACTTCACTGACGGGTTATGCAGCGAATGGTTGACTCATCAGCATCGTGATACGCTTGCCTCCATTGTAGGCCATCCGCCTTTAATTTCGTATCTTGCTATTGCAGACGGTGAGGCGATTGGAAGGGTTAAGTTTGAGATGACAGAGGTACGTGTAAAGTCTTGTTGTGCAGTACTCATGCTAATTGCCTATCTCTAGCGCATGCTCCAACCATGCGGCCCTCCCCCTCCTAAGGACGAGTGATCAAAGAGCTATGAGACACTCACCCATTCAGTGCTCGGCCTTAGCTTCCTTGGTCCGATTATCCTACTAAGTGGCGTGGTTCCTCAGATTTAGATATGACGAAGACGATGGTGCACCTATCGTACTCAGTAGCTGTGTTAGTGAGTTTGAGCCTCTTGCAATTTTTGTATTGTCCTCCAGTTACGTAATCACTACAGTAGGAATGTGATATCAGGAAAATGAACTTTGGGAACGTGGTGGCCACCATTGTGGGGACAAAGAATGCCTATAGCTAAAGTGATCAATTTGACCTGTGGTACACACCAAGATGCGAACGTCCACATTGAGTCTATCATTTCGTTTCTGGACGTGCGGCCGGCTGACCATAGTACGGATGACCTTGGTCAAGATCGTAATACTGACAGCCCTAGTTCGATTTCCATCTTTCCGCTCTCTGCTCTGAGGAGTCTTTCTTTGTGTGGCACGGACAAAAGGGTCCCTTTTTCACTTGATCTCGCTTACTCCTGATTTGATATCTGTTCGCTTTTCTCTTTGTATCTTTTGGGCCATGGACAGATCTTTCCCGCCTAGATATCCCGTGCTCGTTTCCTCTTCGTCACTCGATGCCCTCATATACGCCTCTCTTCCGCAAGATCTTGCCATACACAATCACACTTGCACATGCACCTCTCCTAGCAGTCCTTCGCAACTCTCGCCACCTAATCCTCCTTGTCCTAATATGGGACTCAAAGACACTATTTTCTCTCGGCTAGACAGCTCGACGCCTCCCCCAGTACCTCCAAAGGATTGGACGCCGCCTGGTAGCCCTTCGCGCTCTGCAAACATTTCAGCACACACCTCGCCTCGCAACTCTCCTGGTACCACGAGGCGCAAAACTTCGAAACGAAAACCTAAACGCTCTCTCGGTCTTGGACTGCTCGACTTCAGTATCCCTGGAGCAACAGCAACGAACTCTGATGAATTCCTATCGCCTTCTCTCTCTGTGTCATCTTTGCCACTCGCCACACCCCCCTTGGGCACGCCTGACCTCTTACCTGATCTTCCAGCGCCGCTACCTCGGCATCCCGACTTACTCGATGAATCCGAGGATGATGACGGCGATACACGGAGCTGGTATGATATGAACTGTGTAGTTCGACGAGGAGGCACTATTCCGCATCATCCATTCCGACAAGACTTTGTCCCATATATGCAAGCATACTCCGAAGCCGCGTTCGCAAAGTGGGTGAATTTGATTCGCATATTTGGATGATTATCCATCGCAATTTTTTTTGTAGTGACGAGGCCACGTTCGAGTTGTTGAAGAAAGTCTCGCCACCCGGGTCACCGACCTTCTGGGACTATGGCTCGAGACCTCCGGCTACGGTTCTTGATCTGGGCTCTGGGAAGGGATACTGGGCTGTGGATGCTGCTACAACTTGGAAGTTTGCCGGCACGAAAGTCACAGCATTCGATCTTATCGACCTTGGACGCCCTTTACGTGAGCAACTCGACCCCGAAATAGCTGAGAACATGTACTGGGTGCGGGGAAACTTGTGAGTAGCTTGTCTTCATAGCTTCCTTTATTCACGTCTTTATTCTGTCCCCTTCAGTTTATTGCGCAAACTCCCGTTCAAGGACAACTCTTTCGAACTCGTACGCATGGCCAACCTTCATCTGGCTGTTCCACATCATGCTTGGTACCCTCTGATTCAAGAAGTGCATCGCGTCCTTAAACCAGGTGGCCGCATAGAACTTATTGACGATCAGCTGTTCTTCCCAAAGATACAGTACCCCTTTGATTGGATTGATGATCCTCGAAAGGCTAGTCGTCGGAACGCAAGAGTCATGGAAGATCCTTTACAGCTCAATTTCCTGCCAGGCTCTACTCGTGTCCCATCTGATCTCTTGTCCTCAGCCTCATCGAAACCGGTTCCCGCTCCTGTGGCTGAATTCAGGGAGTCTGTCGACAACGCTAAGTATCTCGAAGCCCAATTCGAACGCATGCTCGTAGAAAAATACGGCATATATCCTCGTCCCCACAAAGTCATCTCTGAAATCTTCGACTCTGTCTTTGGCTCTACCAACTACCACAGGTTACTAGACATGCAAGTCGCTGTTCCTGTTGCTCCGGAAGAGCCCGCCGAAAAGCCCACTGGCAGGCGTAGCACTGACGATGATAGGTCAAGAATCCTCGGTTTAGGCATCACGATCGAGTGGGACAAGAAGGATCGGCCTGCTCTTCAGCGGGCAACGTCTTCACGCACTAACATCCCGAGAATCCCGCGACCTCAAGGCATGAGTTCAAAAGCTGAGAGGGTCTTGGTTGGCAACCGGAGCATGGACTACAGGAAGCTCCCACCCTATCAGGCTGAAGGCATCATTATTCTGCCATCAACTTTCATCCCTTGCCAGCCGGATGTTCTTGAAATGCATGCTTGTCGGCACATGAATACCCTTCTGGCATGCAGCTATGCTCTCAGATCATTCCTGTTGGAGGAAGCTCGTAAGTTGAATGAAGCTCATAAGACACATGTGTCTTTCGACGAGTCGATGTTCGATGATACCTTCAAGGACATGATGTCGGACTATGAAAGGCGAGTTTTGCACTTCACTACACCTATGTTCCGTGTAAGCTGAGTTTCTTGATGTACAGTTTCAAACGCCGACGTATGAACTGGCCTCGAGACCTTCCTGGTGTCATGTTCGAGGAAGACGAACCAGTCGAGTCTTCGTTCAATATTCCCTTCCTTGGATCGCCATTATTCAGCAAGGATAGCGGTTCGTCACGTCCGAATTTCTTCGGTCGGCATCGTGCACATTCCATGAGCGGCGAGCCTTTGTTCAAGAGGGTGGAAGGTCAAGCTGACGATGTTATCGTGCGAACTTTCCGGGTATTCTCCGCTAGGAAGCCTGTCCATGCCAAGGGTGCGAATGTCTGATGCTCTGCTCTGTCATATTTCTCTTCCATTCCCCTATCCGTATTGTTTTACAGAGACAATCACGCACTCTCTTTATTATATTTAATATTTCATCTTCGCTACTATTTAGACCAGCACGTTCCCTCTGCTCATTCATTCTTCTATTTATTACCTGCTTGACGACACTACACGACATTTCTTCATTTCCGCTTCATAGAAGCCATAAACATGTACCTATTTGCTTACAACCTATCCACGCAATCATAAATTATTCACCAATCTTTTGCGCATTCAAATATATGGTCATTTACTGTACAGTATCTTTTCTAAAAGTACACAAAAGCTATATTGCTTATGACAGAGAAGTTCCAGGCGTTCCGGGAGGGAAATGTAACAAAAGAAATACGATGGATGATGAATTTCAATTTCTCGAACCCGATCTCTCCTCCAACGTCGAATGGAGCATCGACAAATCAAAAACCGTGACACCTCTCTTCTTGAGATCGTCGTCAATGTTTTTTCGCTCCTTTGGCATAGCTGGCAACATATCAAGTTTCTTCATCGAATCAATGCCGCATTTCTTAAATGCGTCGAGATGATGGTCCAAGGGAGAGGGCAAGCCTGCGAGGAAGGCATGCAGGGCGGGATCGCCAGCAGGCGCGGGGGCTGCTTGAGACTCAACATGGCATGACCCGGAAGCAAAAGAGTTGGATCCTTGATTCATGTTGACAGCGGCAGGGTGCGACGGTGTCGCGTATGAAGGCTGCTGTATCTGCCCATTTGTTGCTGCAGCAGAATCCGTTTCATTGCGGAATTGATATGATTTGTGGGAAGAATATGGATCTAAAGGGATGCGTTAGATCGGTAACTGGTATCACCGGACGTAAATTCCTACCTGATCTACGGGGTCTACCCCTCTTTTTTCTCTGCGAGTTAGACTGCGAAGTGGGGCTCCCTGGTCGATATAGACCGCCATCATCATTGCCGACAGGAGAGCGATCGGGTTGCAACGGCCTTTGACGGAGGGGATTACATGGGCAACTTTTCTCAATGTGGCCCTATGGAACAGGCATTCCATGTCAGACATAGGGAAAAATGGACCTATCCTAGACCTACGATGAGCGTCTGGCTGGTCTTCAGACTGCTGGCTACACAGAGAGGGCACTGAAACCGACCGTCTGCGCCGCGATAAACAGTGAAGTCTCTACCGTCAGGCAATTGAACATGTGCAGTTGGGCAGTGAACCTCATCCAGATGACGCTGCAGATAACGCGGCTCTTTGACTTGTTCCCCGCAAGTCTCACAGGCTACAGGACCAGATGTCATTTCGTGCTGTTATCTACAGACCCTGATTGTGAGCAGCGTACACAATGGGAACGAGAAGAAGACATACGAGATGCAGGGGACAACTGGGAGAAGATGAACCGCGACAACGTCAATCAACAAACCCTCTCAGGATGCGAGAGCAGATGGAATGCGACCATATTTCTAGCCAGCTTATAAGGCACCGACCCATTTCGCGGAGCAAAGCAAATAGGGGTTTATTTGTGCGTTGTGACTGTACATGACTTCATGCGTACCTGTGCTCCAACCGTCCCGCATACCATACCATGCCATGCCATACCATATCCATGCTACGGGTCCCACATACCCTAGCCTGTATCGGTGCAAACTTTCGATTACACACGCATTCGGTTGAGCCAGATCTCGGCGGAAGACTCTAGAAAGCCATCTCGGTGTGGAGATTAACACACGTCCCTTGCTCCTTAGTGTTTTCAAAAGTTCTGTGTTTGGGAACAAGTTTCATGAAATATACCGTATATGGTTGAATTTGAATTTCGGATCAAGCTATCGACGATGTCAATCCGAGTGGGCGGAATAGGGAGATAACCAATGTATGATGCTGATACACTCCTTAGATGCAGTATATGGTATGCCTTTGGCAACGAGCGCAAGAAGGAACATGCAGGTTGCGTGCCAAGGAACTTGAGCGAGCGCCAAGTACATGTTGTCAACTTCACTCATCCTCTGAGTCACACAGACTCGAGCTGAGCTTCTCATTGTCACGATGGATTGAATCATCTGTTCCATAATCTCCTGTATCCAGCTGTCTTTCTGTTGCTTGCCAGTCCATCGGGTGTTGACTAGAACAAACTCACCCTGATACAAATTGCGATGATGCAACTCGAGGCGCTAGACGATATGGTTCTCAACTGAGTCGTCTCATAGCATACGCTCATGTCTGCAAACGTTACTTCTACGTCTCCTTCCGACTGGAAATACGTCTCCGAAGGGGGATCTTCCATTGTGTTCTCGTATGTAGGAGCACCAAGTCCAGATTTCGATGGAACCGCGCTCAGACTCCGTAAGGTTGCTCACTATCCAATCTCTCCAGAGACAATTGTATCAGAGGACATCGAAGAGCAAGAGGATCCAACCATCCTATTCCAATGTCAGGTAATTCAACGACTGATACCTTCTGAGTATCTTCCTCGACTGGAATCGGTGGATGTGGAAGGTCCTTGGTTGGAGGAACTCGCTCGATTAGCTGAGGAGCACAGGCCGTTAGAGCGTAGAGCCAAGGATAAGATCGATGTGAGGAGACGGAAGGCTGTTCTTGCAAATGACCTGGTCGGAGGGTCGGGTTGGGCTGTAGAGATCAAGGTATGCACTCATCGAGGTGATCATGCGTAGTCTTTTGAAACGTCATTGTATAGCCTAAGTGGGGGTTCCTCCCTAATCCAACCCACCTTTCTCCATCAACCAAAGTTACTAAGTCGCAGACATGCCGATTCTGCATGCATAGTCATTTGAAAACTACAGAGGGCGAGGATGCATCGCTTGGTTATTGTCCGTTGGACCTATACTCTGGCGAGGAGAAAAGGGTACGAAAGGCTCTGGATGTCTTGTGGGATGCTTGGGTTGGTAGTTCAGGCGGCGTCAACAATTTCAAAATATTCGTGGAGGGCCATATGCTGCGACCAACGACGTTTGTATGTCAATGGTTTATCTCAGAAATATCTGTCTGAACCATCTAACGTGTTTTCTCAGCCTTCTTCACTTGGCCCTATTGCTCACCAAGTTTTCTCTGCTAACGCTGCTGAACCTTCACTGGACACGCTTCGCGATCAAGTAATTTCTCCACTGTTACCACTTCTCCTCGAGACCCCTGTTCTGCGCATCCTTTCCACCCATCAACGTAATCTCGACGCGCTCGATATCGAAGGACTCTCTTCATTGTGGAGCGAGACTCACAAACCTGCTGGCTCATTGGAGGCGGCTCCAGTTCCACCTCTAGGCAAAGGCCTCTCACAACCAACGATTGAAGAATTAGAGAATTTCGTTGATGTCTATCTGGAGAAGCACGCCAGTATGGACCATAACCATCCTGACACCGCGGACCTCCGTTATTACTGTATCGCGTACCTCCTTTCTGCAACCTTCAAAGACTGCTCGATTATTCTCCGCTTACATCCTGCCGTGGGCAATACTCCGGCAAGAAGTTCGATCACTGTGATCGACTTGGATGTCAAGAGCATTGATAGGCTGCCTACGTGGGAGAAATTGGATCAGAAGGTTGTGAAAGCGTATGCTGGAGTCTCGCAGCCTACTCGTTGTTACGATAGGTGGGCCCCGGCTAGGCTATGAAGGAGCTTGACACTTATGGCTGCTCGTTCTTGCCGATCGCAAATTATGTGACTGTCGCCTCCGCCGCACGCAATATACAAACATGTACATATATTATTGTAGTTCATAGCGGTGGGGTAGGAAGGATGCCTATTGATCATACAACTGGAGAGAGAGACATATATATTGACATACGAGATACTAAGGATATCATAGCAGCATAGAAGAAGGCATATAAGGACGTGACGTAACATAATCCGATCAGTCATGAGTGGCTATCTGCATCTTGGAGACCTCTGTATTCATCCTCCTTCAGCTTAGGTTTTCCAGTTTTGCGAACCATAATTGCACCTACTTCACTATAGCAAACCAAGACACCTCGCAGCGGCAACCACCAGATTTTTGGTGTAAAATATCCCATGTAGCTCCTGGTAGTGTTTTTCAAGACCCTTAGTCTTCAGCCGATCATACAATACTGGATCAGGCAGAATTGCAGAATTGAGGACGAAGCTATCACCAGCTGGATCGGCCTCGGCAGCCTGAGGCTTGTCCACGATAGGAGTGGCGGATGGAGGTTTCGCAGCCGCAGAATTGGAGGAATCGACACTAGCAGCATCAGCGCCCTTTGGGTTCGAATTCCTGGCCTCGGATTCTTTGACAGCGGGATCGGGAGGAGGGACCTGACCTGGGGATTCAGAAATGACGTCTGACGTAGCCTGAGAAGTGGTCTCATCCAGCGCCACGGAAGGAGAAAGTGTGGCTGGTCTCGGCCTGGGATCATGAGTCGCATCATAGTCGTATGTGCGTGAATTCAGCAAATCATCAACAGCAGCAGGGCCTTCGGGGTGAGCTGGCGCGGAATCTTGCGCGAGAGACTGCGAAGACTTCGGCCACCCATATATCTCTTGCGAAGACGGTCCAGTCAATCGAGACAATCCCCCGAAGTCAGGATCTTTATCCGACCCTCCGTCCAATTCTTCGATGAAAAAGAAGAGGGATACACGAGCGGGGTCATCGCTGTTTATTTCTTCCTGTTCTCCATCAGGACTAGGAAGGAAGAGTGGGCTGGATTCCTCCGGTTTGGCCGTACTCGAATTGCGTCTCTTGGTCTTCACCGAAGTGCCTTGTTCCCTCTGTTTCGCACTACAATCCACGACCAACTTCGCATCCGAATCAGGACGTCCTGCCCCCGACTCTTTCAAAGGCTTCCGAGGAGGACGTCCAAATGGAAACGAGCGATAAGCAACCTGGGTTCGCACAGAAGCACGGTAGGGAGGAGAGTTCTCGTCGGCAAATTTGGGTCGTTTGGCTCTCGGCGTCCCAGTAACTGATCGAACGGTAGTCTGCTTTCCCTCCCTTACAGGAGTTTTGACCGTGCTTTCAACCGAAGAAGTGGACTCTTTTCGACGACGTTTCTTTGAGACGGACTTGATTGACTTAGTTTGTTTTCTAGAGTTGACATAGGATATTTGTTTGTCTTGAAGAATATACAGCGGTGAGGCCCGATGGGAACAGGAAGCGGAGGGACTGAAAGGACTTACTACTAGGCATGTCGTTCACAATGGATGGGTGTCGCGACGTAAGGGTATTGCTTGGACGTTGAGAGGTATGAAGTGGTTTGGGTATGAAAGAGAAAGAACCAGTGGCCTAGCTGCCACTCATATAAGACACGCGCAGTGATTGGATCTGAATCTAGAAGTAGAAAACTAAACCATAGGCTAGGTGTGAAGAACTCAACATAGGAGTGCCTACCATATTTGGGGTTAATACAACCGCTTGCTTCAAGAACCGCGACTCAGTCATTGCCTCGTGTACCTGAGTGCGACCAATATATAGGCATAAAGTTAGTGAGGGTGATGTTTTCAGAGCTGCATGTGCCGATCTGAGTTCAGATAAACCATGTGTATTATCCGCGCAAAGACCCAGGTTTCAGTCGCACTCGGGATAGCATTCGTCTCTCAGAGAGAAGTTTCAGTAGTGAGGATATCATATATTAGGATCTGCAGGGCTGTAGAGGGCGGCGAAACAAAGTTATCGAGACCGTCGAGGTGGTGGTGCAAAAGCAAGACGCGAAATTGCCAGCTGGCGGCAGTTGCCGGACCGGGATACGCCTGGATATGCACTTGAGGGAGGTGCAAAACAGGCCCGTGCACCACAAAGCCATCTCTGCCAATTCCCTCTCCACCCTACACTCCCCGTACGCCGTCCCTGGCGTCCTACCTTCCTCCAAAACCACCATTTCGCCACCCCGACCCACCCCAGACGACGACCATGGCTCCCCGAACTCATCCACCAGAACCCTCGTCCTCTACCCAGACTGCACACAACCTTGCCGTCCTCACAGAGTACACCCACACGCTCGACTCGCTCCCCCTTGACCTTTCACGAAACTATGGTGACCTCCGAGAACTCGATGCAGTCCTTTCATCTTCCATGTCGATCCTCACTCACAAAGTTGTCCAACTCACCGAGATGATTGAGTCCCGCGCTGCAACAAAGGACGAGCGGTTGTGGTTGCTCGCCGAGATTGCTGATGAGGCTCGAAAACTCAAACCAGGAGCTGACGACAAGATTCGCGTCGCTTCTCAATCCGCAGACGCAGTCAAAGCGCATAAAGCGCATATGTCGACTTTGCTCGACCATATGCCGGACACTGAGTTCGGGAAAATGGCGGGCACGTTGGACAGAAAGACAGTTTTCCCTCACGTCTCACAGAGATCCTTCGTTTCATTCAATAACTCTGGTGAAGGCAGTCGACGAGCAAGACGAGGTGGCGCAGGTCATTTGCTCGCGAACAACGTTGATGCGACGCCGCACAAACGGAAACGGGCGGTAGGACGGGATGAGGATGGAGAACTGGCTGTTGTAAAGAGTCCAAGAAAAGAAAGAGTTGTTGATGGCCATCGACCTCGAAACAATGGCAGGTCGAGAAAGTACGTTCAATATATGCGTCAATGCTGTCCTCCGCTCAAACGCGTTGAAAATCTAGACCGGAACGTGCAGCTTCACCAGCGGAATCTCTCCTCTCTGTAGCCTCACATATTCCCAATGGCCCTTCCACAGCACAACAACACCTCGGCGCGTCACAAGCTCGACAGACAACCACCGGTCGTGCAGCTAGTACCGTGTCCGCGATTAAGCGCTTAAAGACACAGCAAGCGCACGCCCCAGATCCAAATCAACATGTAGAAGCCAACGGTCACCGAAATGACCTTATAAATGCACCACCACCTTCTTCATCGGCCGGCCATCCTTCTCTACCCACGCCATACGCCAATGGTACTCAGAGCAAGAACGAAGTTATCAATGGAAGGGCAGTTAGCAATGGGCTGACGGAATGGGCAACTGGACAACTGGAAGGCCCAGGAATGCCAGTGGCTCGTAACTTCACACCTGCTGCTGCCAGCGCCATACAAGACGAGCATGAATCACTCGCTGGTGGTCAAGATGGCGATGCAGACGGCGACGACCAGACACTGTATTGCTTCTGTCAGGGCGTCAGCTACGGTGCTATGATTGCATGCGAAGATCCTGGGTGTGAAAGGGAATGGGTGAGTACTGCATTGACGTGCCTCACTTTTATATCACTGAATTATTGTTCCCTCAGTTTCATCTTGGATGCGTCGGGCTTAAAGAGGCACCGGACGGTGATTGGATTTGCGACTCGTGTCGAAGTAAACGTACTGCAAAACGTTCAGGGAGAGGTGGTAAAAGACGAGCAGGCGGTGGTCGTGGTGGGCGTAACACTTCTGCATGACATATTCACTGACTTTGTATTATCCTCGTGCGTTACTTCCTTTCTTTTCGTTTGCTTTCGACCTGGGCTGATTGAAAATTCAGTATCGTGTATCCTTATGTCAGGTTATCGTTATCGTAGCTCACTTAATGTCAGGTTGCTATAAAATCGCTTTATTCTTCCGATTCAGATGGTTCAGTGTGACTGCGGTTGAACCTCACGGAGGACGGAGTCAACAATTGCTCTGACCTCTCTCACTTTCTCCTCTTTTGTTTTCCAGATTCCCCATTCGCCTTCACCCCCGACGCCCATACCCATGCCGTTTCGTCTATATCGCATTTCCGTCGGCACCCAATTTCCGGCACTAAGATGGATCTCTCTCAACCCAATAGGCAACAGTTCTTTCAAGAGCGGACAGACGGTCGTCGGGTTTATACCGGACCCAGGTAGGATTGTGAGGGGTATCTCTCGTTCCCTGTTCAAGGTGGATGCATGCTGTAACAGCCCTCGGATGGCAAGGCTAGCTTCTGGAGCTGTCTTTTGATGCCCACTAAACATTTGGTTGAAGAAGGTCATGAATATGCGCGAGTTTGTTGAACTTGCCTCGTCAAGATTCCCGTTATTCCCGGTATAGATGCTATCTGTTCAAGTGACTTTGGGGATATGTAGTTTCCTTCGTCGTCACAGATGGTATCCCGCGTCATGTCAAATGCCCTATGAAAGCAGACTGTCCTCTATCGGCCTGTTGGTCAGCTTATCGGGTGAGGTTATCTCTTACCTTCTAAGGGCAGGCCTTCATTGACGAGTCTGTCTACCTTGCTTCAGTTTATTTCCTGCTGTTAATTGGCACATTCAATGACCTGGTGGTGTGAGGAACATCTATGTCCCCATCTGCTGTTAGTACACCGAGCACAACACCATGAGCATCAGCTGCCTTGAAAACGCGTATGTCTTCGATCATGACGTCCAGCTCGTGCTCGGTATACAAGAAGTCTCCAGTGCGAGAACGGATCATTATCTTATCGTCGCCAGAACATTAGGTGGTCGGAATAAAGAAAAGTTCGTCATGCGTGTGAGCAGGTTGTATGATGGAATTCTCTGCATCAGTACTAAAGTTATGGTACTGACCATGATGGGTACGCTAGGCACTGCTCTTTGGACTGCCGTGAATAGACCAAGACTGGGCGTAGTCCCGCCTCCCAGGCCGATATTGGCGCATAGCTCGAGTCGGTTGGCTCCTCCGTTTACAGCTCTGTATGAGTAAAAGCGACGATGAGCAGACAAGGGTGAGGTGATGGTGACAGAGGTGGCGGGAGTCAGAGGGCCGGTACGAACGCGATAGCGGACTCCACAGAGTCAATGCAAACTTCAATGATGAAAGGCTTGGATGATGACATGGGATGATTGGGATCGACCGCGAGGCAGGAGTGTTCCGATGGTAGAAAAGCGTTGTGTGGGCAAGAAATGTTAGGCTGGGTGAAGTTATGTAATGATTAGCAGGAAGAATAGGTTAACGCACCTCGAGGTGGTCTTTACAAGGAAAGGTGTTGAACCCGCGAGCAATGGATATCAGTGTATAAATTGTTTCCGTTCGATCGATAGATCTGAGCGCTGCAGTCCAGTGCCCATCTCGGGTATGGACAGTGTACACCCGGCATCTGAGTTCTGTTCCATTACGAAGCCCTGGCACGATCCCCTATACCTATCACTCCCCTGGATTACATACTCCTCTGGTCTGCCTTCTCCTTTCTTGTCTTAGCCACCGCTTCCAAGTCCGCTCCCCTTGCACTCTATATAACCCCCTCCTCCACTCCGTTCCGTCGACTCTTGTCCCTCTCTCTTTCTCCCGCCGACGACCATGAGTCAACTGTCCACAGCTCAGGACCCTCAAAATACGATCTGGTGGTCTAATGGCATCTTCTTCGTCTCTGTACATTTAGCTGCCCTCGTTGGCGTGTATTATCATCCTTGGTATTCTGTCCACCGCGCCAGTCTCTTTCTCTGTTTCCTCCTCTGGCAGTCTGCATGTTTTGGGTACGTCATAGTCGTTGTCGTACACGCCTTGGACGCGTCGTGCTCATGTCCCGTTTGCTTCCCTCCGCAGTATAACTATTGGATATCATCGGATGTATTCTCATAGAGCGTTCCGCGCGTCGTTGCCTGTTCGTGTTGTGCTTGCATTCTTAGGAGCTAGCGCTTTTCAGGGTTCTATCAAGGTGCGTAGACGTCCGAAATATGTTAGTAGCACGCTTTGACACGTCTTGTCCCCAGTGGTGGTATGTACGTCTCCTTGACTTTGACTGTGGAGTGTAGCTCAGCGAACCGTTTGTTTCAGGTGTCTCCGACATAGGTTGCATCACGTATGCCAAGCTTCTTTCACCTCATACTGCCCATGAAATACTGACTTCCATTTGCTCAGCGTTTCACCGATGACCCAGTTCACGACCCGTGCGTTTCTAGACTTGGTCTCGTACGCTTGGCTTCTGTTGACAAATTGTGTTAGATACTGCGCGACGCGTGGATTACTATGGTCGCACATGGGTTGGATCTTCTTCAAGCCAAAGTATGAAAGGATGGGTCTTATTGATCGCGACGACCTTGACAATGATCCTGGTATGTACAGTACAAGTTCGCACACGCGGGCGTCCCGTACTGACTTTGTGCCTTAGTTGTTTGGATTCAACATGAGTACTACGGTGCGCAGTCTTTTTGAGACGTGCATATAGGGATGTTGAACTTACTTTTTCACAGTCCCTTTCGCGATTGCCACAGGTCTCCTGTTCCCAGTCGCTCTGGGAATGATATGGGGCGACCCCTTGGGTTCATTCATCTACGCTAGTCTAGTTACAAGGATCATGAGTATGTGGCAGCCTTCATTTTGCGTCTTTTTTTGACAGTTTACGTGATTTCCAGTATGGCATTGCACATTCCTGATCAATTCGTACGTTCTAGCACGTCAACGTCTCCAGCAGGAAATTGACATTCCTCGTTCCTAGTCTTGCCCATTGGGATGGTATTCAGCCATATTCCGACGAGAACACATCTAGAACCAACCTGGTGACTAGATTTTGTGTACGCGTATGTACCGCATATACTGACTGATCGGCCGCAGATTCTGGCACTCTTGACATGTGGCGAAGGCAATCACAATTTTGTGAGTTTTCGAATACTTCCATAGACTACGACGGGTTACTCACATCACTTTCAGCACGTATGATCTACATTTGCTTCTCTAGCCATATGTTCCTGTCACTCACCCTTCACACAGCATGCGTTCCCACATGACTTCCGGTCTGGACCTGATATGTCCGATTGGGATCCTACCAAATGGATCATTCTTGCTCTTCACAAGTTCGGACTTGTAACTGGACTACGCACAGCTCGTGATGCGGATGTCATGGACGCTATTGTGTATATGCATTCCAAGGGACAGCATCTCCCGCCGCCGAAGTATGATGTGTATAGCAGCGATGATCAAGAAAGCATTCGGTCATTGTATGAGAACTGGGATGAGGCGAAGTTGCATGAGTATGTGCAAGCGAAGAAGGGAAGGTGTGTTATTGTGGTGAAGGGCTATATCGTGGACGTTACTGGATACTTGGGCGAGCATGTAAGTGATTCTACTTGCACGTTTGTGGTACATTTCCGACTTGGGGTTTGTTTGCAGCCCGGCGGTGCAGCCATACTTCGGAAATACTCGGTCAAGCCCCAGGCAAAGACTGAAGCTGGTGAACCTGACGAGACGTGGAAGAAAGCGACATGGGCCTTCGAAGGAGGGCTTAACAAACACACTAGAGCTGCGAAGAGGCACATGCGCGAATTGGTTGTGGCTAGGTTGCATTCCAACTAGACGGGACTCTCTGCACTATATCGGATCACGAAATGCATGAAATTATGTTAAAGAACGATTGGTATCACTATGGGCTTTCAAACTGGCTTTTCTTGTTGTAGAATTCATTGTACATACAACCTTTGCAATAGTAGCTGTAAATATTCAAGCTGTACAACGACTTGCATAGGATGGCAAACAGCACTAGACGGCACTGAGAACGACGCGTCTCACGCGACTCGCGAGCAATGCTCCTCACGTGACAGATTTCCTAAAATGGTAAGCTACTTGGTGAGCGCGTTGAGTGGGCCGGGAGGAAGGCAAATGTCGCAAGGTGTCGCTGTCATTCCTAGCAAACAAACAACCAGACCACCGCAGTATTATACCCCGCTCCGGCTTCACTCAAGTCACGATGTTGAAGAGAGAGGCCAGTATGTTCGCAGCGCAGGGAGTGGATGTCGATGCCCCGCGCGCCAAGCGACACAAACCGGCCAGTGCGACAGTGGCCACCAGTGCAAGTCCTCCAAGGAAAGGCAAGGGACACCAACAGAGTCAAGATGCGACTGCAGTGGATGGCGAGGGTGTGAAGAAAGAAGAGGGTGAAAGCGAGGATAGGGACGCGGTGAAAGAGAAGGGAATGAGGTTGTGGCAAACCGTGAAGGACGCGGTGAACAAGGAGTGCGTGACAATTGGTCTCTCACTTTGCAGCTCTTTGGTGACGCTCCGACTTCCTCTCTGACCTCAAACGCTCATTGCTACTCTCTCCATCCTCTCTTTTGCGCTCAATATTTGTCTTTGAATAATGGCAGAAACCGCGTACTTTCAAACGACTTTCTGCGACTTCCGTCTAAACGACAGTATCCGGATTATTACCAGCAGATCAAGGCTCCTATATCCCTCGACGAGATTAAGCAGAAACTCGAAACCAAGGCCTATAGTTCCTTCGATGAGGTCAAACAGGACCTCGAACGATGCTTTCGCAATGCGAAACGATACAACATGAAGGATTCGCAGATCTGGAAGGACGCAAAGCAATTACATGTATGCCACTTTTGCTTCAACGTCTTTTCTTATACTCACCTTGTCAAACAATCTAGAAACTCGTGCTCAAAGAGGCTGCTAGTCTCTCTGGCATAGAACCGCCTGCCGCCGACGCAGAGGATGCAGAAGACCAACCCACTGATCAACCCGGTGCATCGTCGGACGTCGAGGAAATCGGCGACAAGAAGAAGAAACATCCCAATATGAATCGACTTTTGAAGACTCGTTTGGAGAAGCTCGTCAATTTTACTGACAAACAGTATGTGATTGAGCCTCCTGACTGATCTTTTCGCTGATGTCTGCCCAGGGGTCGATCGCGGTCAACAGAATTCATGGAGTTGCCGAATAAGAAGAAATGGCCGATATATTACAAGACTATCAAGAAACCGCAGTGTCTGGAGAATATCTTCGTCAGTATATGCAGCCCTTTCCTCTGCTGGGATACTTTCTTATTGTATGCATGTCATAGAAAAAGTTGAAGCGGAAGGAATACCCCACCGCTGTCGACTTCGCGAATGATGTTGAACTCGTGTTCTCCAATGCACTCGAGTTCAACCAAGAGCATAGTGAAGTATGGGAGGATGCTCTTGCATTACGAGTACGTCCCTCAACACCCCCCGCCTTCCCCGCGATTATCTGACCACATTCTCCCGCAGGATTACTTTCGCCAACTAATGTCGGACCTCCCGCAACCATTTACCATCCCAGCTTATGCCTCACCCGACCACTCAACCAAGATCAAGCTCAAGATGCATCCCGCCTCCCAACCCGCCGCAGGTCCGTCCGCGATTCCGATAGCAAACACCACCACACCAGGCACCCTCCTCCTGCGCGTTCCAGGACAAAGCTCAACATCTGCTACACCTACACCAAAGGTGTTGACGAAAGCTGCACCGTCACCGAAACCTGCAACCCCCGCCCTTCCGGCACACACACCTCCGGCTATTGCTGGCGCTCCATCCATTGGAGGACTCCAACCGGCGAAGTTTGTTCAACCTAGTTATTATCCTGGCTATCAAAAACAGCCTACTCTTTCTGTGATGGCTACTTCATTACCGAACACGAACAACATCCACCGCTATGTCAAACCAGCGGTTCAACCTCAGGCAACCAGCTTGAAACCGCTTCATCTTCAGACCCAAATTTCCCTGGCACCTGCACCTGCACCTACCCCGGCACCTCCGCCCGCTATTGCACCGGCTGTGCATCTTGCTACCGTCACATCCGTTCGAACTCCAACACCGACCGTAACTGGTAACCAACGACCTCTGCGCTCTGTCTCATTGCAATTCAAACCGTCAAGTCGGCGGATAGAACTGAGTCACAAAGATCGTGTACGGATATGGGCTCTCAGACTCGCTCATGGTGATACGAGTGTTTACATCAGTGACGTCAAATTCCTGATGGATCAGGAAGAAGAGGAAGAAGGTAGTGAGGATGAGGAACAGCGTAAAGACCACGATGTAGAGATGGTAGTTGAGGAAGAAGAGGAAGAGGAAGAAGAGGAACCTGAGAAGCCTGTGAAGCGTGCAAGGGGACGTCCGAGGAAGAAGAAGCGTGGTAAGGGTGTTGAAGATGTGAAGGGGAAGGGTAAAGTCGTACCTACCTCGAAGGGCCATGAGGAACTGCAGGTGAAGTTGAATGGTGTTGTAGTGAAGGGAAGGGTTGGGTCGGGGAGGAAGTCTGCTTGGACTGTGGATTTGCATGCTGGTACTAACCTGGTAGAGGTGGGTGAGAAAGGTAGTGCGATGTGGAAGGTGTATCTTGAGAGACCGCTGTCTGCGTAAGGATCCGCTATTACGTCCTCCATCGTTACTCGCCCAATGTATTATTGCTTTCGGTTGTCTCGCTTTCTAGTATATTATGGCATAGTCTGCTTTCCCCTTGGGATTACACAATTGCCACGTCGCTGTTTGTACATTGATGTATTATGTATTGCATATCCAAATGCTTGCAAACTACATGTACCATGTTTAAGTTAATGTCCAAACGAATGTCCGACCGTATGGATTACGAGGTAAGCTCGCCAACCTTCTCGTCCGCTATCCTACTCACAAGCGGGACATCTTCGTCCTCTTCCTCGCTTTCGCTTTCGCTTGGCGGCTCGGGAACATACAGATGATACCTCCCTGGCTCCTCCGTCCTCTCCTCAATAAACTGTCGAAGCATCTGCTCCCGATCTATCGCTTTGACCTCGTACCCTTCAGAGCCTCGTCGAACCAGCTGCCTCGCTGGCGCCAGCACCTCATCTTCGTCCTCAGAAGATGATTCAACTGCATAATTGTCGTCGTCATCTTCTTCTTCACCTGGTGGAACATAGTCGGAGTGGTATGGCGGTACGTTCGCAACAGTACCATTGGGTTTGGGCTTGTTCCGCCGTTGTCGGATGCTGGACGGTTGTAAAGCGGGATTGAGGGAACCATTCTCATACGTCCATGGACTTTCGGGAAGTTTGAAGACGTAGTTGGGGTCTGCGTCGGGGTAGACGTAGGCATTTGGGTCTTTGGGCGGCCAGGACTCGTCGTCAGATGCTGTGAAGGAAGATTCAGTTGGTATATGACACGGCATGTGAGAAGGAAAAAGATGAGAAACTATGATGAGCTTAGTTGGTAAAGTTCAGTAAGAAGAGAAACTAGGACTTACAAGAAGTGGCTTAATGGTAAAATGCAGTACTCTGGACCGCCATTTGAATAGCAGATTATGGCTCGTCGAAATGATCGGCTCGAGCGTACATATCTCCGGGTCCTTCACTCCCAGACTTATAGAGTTCAATCCACTCACTATGTCCCTCAGCTAATGGGTATTTCAATCCTGTCCCTGGTGGTACTGTTGGCCAGCACCAAAACAAAGGATTCTTGCCAAGAATGGACTCGATATTGCGACGGACACCTAGATTCTACAAAGAATGGTAAGCGACAGACCGAAATTGGCATATAGTAGTACGAACATATGGAAATTTGACCTATGAAAAGTGGTTAAGGCGGCTCGAAATGAACGAGAATGATCTGACGCACCTCCCGAATTTTGCCTCTACGTAGGAGAGTGGCTGCTTTGTCCTTCTCCCATCCTTCTATAGTAGTGGTATTTCCCATAAGGGAGTAGAAGTGGTATATGCTGTGCCTTTGATCAGTACTGCATTGGTAATGAAGTAGTCACGGAGCGCGATACCTGAAACCTCCAACGGCCAAAAGCACTGGTATACAGGTAGCATAATTTAAGATGATAAATATAAGTTCTTCCGCAGAAGGTTCGTCCTGAATGGGGATATTGGGGTAATAAGCATGACGCGTATGGAACAGGTATTGGATCGTACCCAGAAAAGACCGCTTGTGTAATAAAGCACGCGTCTCGTCACCATTGCAAAGTGATAAATGCACGCCAAAACCACATAGAATAGAAAACGAATGAAGTGTCCGTAGTTGAAATGACCGACGCAGTTGTTAACCCATGGACAGTGATGGTCTGAAGTCGCCCCATTAGTAGACTGAAGTATTATATGGGTCTGGTCACCTACCCATCCTCAGAACACAGCTAGGATAATAAATGTAAGGATGTGGCACATTCTGACGCGACTCACACCTACCGTTTACACTGCCTGCAATGGTGGGCACGGGGAGGTTTGTAGCTTTCACAAGTTCGACAGTACCTCGGGCCCTTCGTCAATTTCTTCACTTCGATGCCATCCATGTCCCGAGCATCTGGTTGCTTTAGATAAGGGCATCACGCGTTAGAGTGCAATAACCAAGGCGGTATGTAGGTGACATACCCATGCCTTGGGTACTCGACCCGGATCCGTCACTGCACACAAGTAGTAGTTCCAGAGAAGCATACCAACAAGTGCACTGTGCAAAGACGGATTCAACTTCATAAGACATCGAGAAAGAATGGAATGAAGTTACTTGAACGGTAATAGTAAAGCAAGTAGCTCTACTGAGAGCTCACGGCCATACCAGGGCCATATGATGAATATCTGCGGGGAATACGCGATGAAGCATATTAGACATGTCGTGAATCCAACGAAAAGTCGCCCAGTCAGACGACCCATTCGGATTCCAAGCAGGAACGTGAGCCTGACAAGGGTGGCGAGTGGTATAGGCAAGGGTATAAGTTTGAGACGTGCATTGCGCAGTGCTACGGCACGATCGGCGTCTGTGACACGGCTAGTCTTGCACTTTCACGATCATGCTCAGCAGGTCATCGACGACGGCGTATAGCTGTCGAAGGCAGCTCGGACATACTGCAAGAGCTGCGTGTAGTCTGCAGTCACGGGCGAGCTCAACAAGTGCAGGAACGGCACCAAGTGGAGAGGCTACCCAGACCCCCATAAAGCGTTCAATCCCATTAGCCCAGAGGTTCGGAAATCTCATTATTCGTATGTATTCATTCTTCTCAAGTTCTGCCGTCACATTCATGAGTTTTTCTTTAGCTGATACGAGGACGGACCGTCGCGGTCCACGGGCTGCTGCACGACAAGCTGCGGCATTAAATGACAAGCCGTTAGTTGATACTTTAGCGGCTAGGCTGGCACGCCGACAACCTGGGAAGGCTGGGGAAGCCTTGCTTGCTCAAGTCACGCAAACTCAAAGCCATTTAGGAGGACAGCAAAAGAAGCAAACACCTCAGTGGAAGGGCGCGAAATTCAGTCAGGGCACTCAGAGGGCCGGAGGTAATCAGATGGACTACAAAGCTCCTCAACCTCGAGGTAATTTTGATGGAAGGAGGAAAGACAACCAAAGGTCAGGTTCAGAGGATCGGAGACCTCGCAGAAACAAACCCGAGCGGGTTCCAGAGGAGCCAGAGATGAATACTGCTCTCACGGCTGAAAACTTTGCAATCCACAGTTCCACGGACCTCGACTCCCTCTTCGGCTCCTCTACACCCACCTCCTTCGTACCCGCTCCCCGTAAGTCCTCGAAGAAGAAGGCCGTTGCAAAATCCACAGAGGACACCGCCGTTCGCGTATCTGCTTTCCGCTTGCAGCATGTGTTGGAACGTGTAGCTGGCGATTATTCGCGCTATCATCCTCAAGACATCGTTCGCATTAGAGGCGACTCGGTGCAGACCCTTGGACCTGTCGGCCTTGCCAAACAAATTATAAGTCGCAAAGCGGAGGTTGGACTGAAGTCGAAGGAGACTGCAATCGGTGTGGTTTCGAAACTGGCCGGGAAGGTTGTTGCCGACACTCAAGTTGCTGCGCAGGCTTGAGGTTTAGAGGTATATACTCTATGAGTCAAGTGCGGGATTATATCCCATATAATACGCATACATACTCGAATACCATAAAACTACATTACTGGTTCGCCCGAAATTAAACTGTACGAAGGTAAGGGAAGCTATAAACATTACGATCATAAATAAAGATAGTATCTGGGATTACTCCAGAGTCGCGATGGAAGGGACCAGCTCCTCCTCCTTGAACTCCATGGCGTCCTGCTCCCCAAATATTGAGGGCGGTCCATAGCCATTCAAACCGACGCTACTCCGGTCGTCCACGCTCTCGCTATGACGACTCTCCACGGATGACGAAATCCACTCTGGCATCTGGTAATCCCTCACCTCCTCGATTTCTGGCGGTACACGGATTCCGAAGGCAGTGATATGCCTTTGGGTCTTCCTGGCCGAGGGTGCGGTAGCATTTCTCAAAGCAGAGACAAGCAAAGCACATGTGGTTCGCTCTGTTTTACCAGCAGCACCGGCATAGGAAACGTGTTGTTTCGGCGCAGACGTTGTCGGAGACACTGCACGCTGGCTTGCAGAACTACCAGCTCGTGGTAGTTTACGCGATGGGGCTGGGGCAGATACAATCTGACCGGAATCCTGCAAGTGACGTTTCTTCTTCGATAGGAATTTCCCATCTTTTGAACGGAATACTGTCCGGCTCTTGACAGCTGACACAGGGGAGAAAGGGGGAGGCACAGTCAATGGATGAGGAAACACCTTGCCTCCTCCTCGATGTGGCGGGCCTTGGAAGGGCAACAGTGGCTTGGCTAGTTTTCCCGGCGGGGGTGCGAGTACCTCAGGCTTGCGTGGCGGGAACTTGATTCGCAACTTCAGTTGTTTGGATCGCTGCCTTTCTCTCTCTTCGAAATCAACTTCTGACTCGCCCTCACTGTCCTGTCTGGTGTAGACTATGGGCGACGGTGGTTTCGGTGGTTCCGGCTCCTCTTCGCTCTCCTCTTCTTCTTCGGAGGCAGGTGGTGACGGTTCTGGTACAGTCTCCGGCTCTAGAGAGATGGTGGGGGCCGTACTCTCGCGTTTGGCCAATCGTTCTTTCCTATCAATCCACTTCCTGTCAGGCGGAAGGAGGACACGGTACCGGTCTTCAAGAGTCATGGCCACGTCCAACATCTCCTTCCTCCGTCGTTCCCCTTCGTTATACGCAGCCGCTCCGTTGATATGAGCACCTGGTAGGTCGGATAGGCCGGGATCCGTATCATGGACATCGAGATCGACAGGCCCGGTGGTATCAGAGAAGGCTGAAGCCGGCAGTGCAAGGAATGCAGAGGTATCCATTGCTCGCAACTGTTCTATCCGCTCCTTTAGCTTGTACTGTTCATGCTTCAACTTCTCCTTCTCTCGTAGTCTTTGTCGTTTCTCGAAGGTCTCGTATTTTCGATGCCGTTTCTCGTATGCTGCGTCCGAGGTATCTACGGACTCCTAAGTAGCAAATGATCGGGGTTGGTCATAGAATACACCCGAGGGAACTTAGCACGTACCTCCTCACCGCCCCTTGGTCGAAAACGACCTCCAACGGACGCATCCTCGGGCAATTGAGAGTACTCCGGAGTCTGAATAGTTTGCAGCTCCCTATACGCCTTCTGCACTTCCGGACGGTCAAAATATCGACCATAAGCATGCTGGTTGAGTTCGAATTCGAACGAAGTATTATCCTCGGCTGGAGGCACCAAAGCCGAGTTTGTTGTAAGGAGGAATTGAGTGTGAGCCGGAATGAGGGGTTCGTTTTCTACTATATAACATCATATATTGAGTATGAGATATACACGTGGATACGGTACACGACATACATCGTCTCCTTCGTGTCTCCAATATCATTATATCCACGTCACAATTCCCCACACCCACACCTGACCCACCTCTCCTCGAACGTGAAGGGAGGATTCTTTTCGGACGAGTTTGTGCATTCGCGTTTACGGTACCCGCACTTGGTGTAGATGCTGATGACACTGGTGCTAAAGCATTTGTGTCTGAAGTGGGCATGTCCGGGATTGCGGGACGTTTGCCAACTGCTTTCGCAGACGGCGGTAACACGGTTGTGACCGAGGATGTTGAGTCATGCATTTTTGGTATCTATAGGGGTCAACTCTTTTGAGAGATAAGTTACAGGCCGGAAAGGAGTTCGGGCTCAATACAGAGAAGGAGAAGACGCGAGCTCGCTGTGGCCGGCAGTGAGCAAGGACTGAAACACGGTGACCGACGTCGGTTCGAAAACCTACTAGAAGGGTTTGCCTTTTTTGGATAGCGTCGATTGAGCTTCGCCACGTGGGACCAAGTATGGGTTTGAAGTTTACTTTTACTTCTGCGCACATGGCGGATACCATCCTCGTCGAGATATCGCTTCTCAATATATTAATGATTACGGATATACTAGAGCAGCAAGCAAATACATTAGATATAATTTACGTCTGGTCCTGGTCATGCCTTGAATCATTTGATTGTGTCCAATCACCACCAGAGCCATTTGTGGGCACGCCATAATCTGACCCATAGGCACTATATCCATAGTTTTCACCACCCATCCCTTGTTGGGGGAACGTTCCAAAGTTCAGTCCAAAAGCCGATGCAAACCGTGGGTTAATATGCGGTTGTACAAACGGCTGTTGGTACCCAAAATCAAAACTCGGCTGCTGCTGTGGAGTTGGAGGATACTCCCAGCCATTTTGAGCACCTGCCATACCTTGTGAGCTGGCTGCCATGGCATATATCGTCCCATCGGTATATTGTCCTGTAGCTCGCGCAATAGCAAGCGAGGTAGGAGACAACGGGCGAGGGATCTCAGCGGGCTTATCTTCTGAGAAACTCCCTTGCCGCTGCATACCGTCACCGGAGACACGATTATCGCGACCCCTTCCACGCCCGCGACCTCTTCCACCACGGTCGCGTTGATGACCACGACCTCTGCCTCTGCCGCGGTCGTTGTGACGACTCGGCCCTGCAGGATCACGCACCGGACCTTGGCCTCTGCCTCGACGTCGAACGTTGTCGCCCATATGTCCATCAGACATAAACTCAACAGCATCATTTTGTCCCCTCTTCGATGTGGAGGGTAACTTTTCCTTTTCCTCTGGTACACCATACGAGTCCGAGTAGGGATCATCGTATGGTATAGGACTAGGTCGAGAAGGTCCCGCGCCGAAATCCATGTCATTATAACTTTGGTCATACGGGCTGGCCGAATATAGGTCTTCTGCCATATCCTGGTCTCGAAGTTGAGACGGCGTTGGAGTGGTATGTCTTGATAGACTCCCTGACCGACCAGCTCTTCTACAATGTGAAGTGAAAGGTCAGCTTCTTCTCACGAAGGGAAACATATCACAAACTTCTGTTGAAGAGCACGCTTATGTGCTTGCTCTTCCTCATCGTCGGAAAACTCCATTTCGTCGTCTCCCGGCTCTTCGTCATAAGCATTGCTTGCGTCACTGCCTTTGAAGTGCTTGATTTGATTCAAAAAGACAAAGTTACTCCGTGCTGCAACGTGGAACACCTCCCGGCCAACATGAACCTTCTCTGGATCCAATGGGAACTTCTGGTTGAACTTGACTTGGTATAAAGGTTGATGTGTCGGACCAAATGTCTCGTATATCTAACCAAAGGGTAAGCATGTCATTGTGGGAGGAATAATTCTGTTACCTACGTAACCAAGAACTTTTCTGTCACCAAAGACAAGCAAAGTATCGGAGTCAAGAGCCCTTTCGGACGCCCTGTTGGCAATATGTGACGCGGAGCCCATGACAATTACCACGCGGTCAACAATATTGAAGACTTCGCCGACCTTCTCCAGAACTTCAGAAGAGTCCACTTCCTCTATGTCTGGGACGACAATGTCGGCCTCCGGAACCTCGTTCTTGGTACGAAGCGGATTATCAGAGCTGACGGTAGGTCCAGAGTCTTCATCTTCATCGAAATCTGGCAAGTCTGGCTTAACGTTTGTCCTAGCAGCGGGAATATCAGAGTCAGAATCAGAGTCCGAGTCTGAGGAATCTTCTTCCGTGCTAGCAGAGTCGGAAGGCGTAGGTCTAAAAATGAACAGTCAGCATATGTGTATTCAAAGTGATTTGCACATCATACATACATAGGAGGGGATTCGTCCTCTTCCTCATCAGGTCCACCGAGAATGTTAGCCTCTACCTCCCTCTCGCTATCAATATCACTATCGCTGGAATTGATATCTTCATCGAAAACGACCGAGGTTGGCTGTGGACTTGCGCTTTTCTGGACGGGAGGTATTGAGATCTCTCCAATGATCTCATGAATGAGTTGGAGATCCTGAGGGACAGATGAGGGTATCTTGAAAGAGTCCATCCGAGACTCGTCTGTCAATTAATGGAGAATAAGTCAAGCGAGAATGATGAAGGACGCTAAGAGATCGAGGAGCTGAATTTCGATGACTATTATGGGCGCCTATAAAACTTTTGATCGACCTTCTGACCATGTTCAAATTCTGCTTGCAACAAAAAGCTGCTTTCCGCTCTGCCAGCCTACGCCGCTACTCTACCCAGCCAACAGGGAAGACACCTATCAAGCTCGTTGCAGAACTTCGCAAGCTCACTGAAGTTTCACTTGCCAAAGCTCGTGAAGCCCTTGCCGCGTCAAACAACGACGTTCGGGCCGCTTTGCAATGGCTTGAGAAGGACGCCTCAGTCTCTGGTGCCAAGAAGGCTGCGAAGTTGCAGGGAAGAGATGCGAGAGAAGGACTGATTGGAACGTCCGTTCTCTCGAGGGGCACTGGGGTTGGAGAGGGTCCTGTGCGGGGAGGTGTGAGAGGTGCTATGGTGGAACTCAATTGCGAGACGGATTTCGTGGCAAGAAACGAGCTCTTTGGAAAGCTCTTGGCGGATATCTCACATACGGCAGCATTCATATCGGAGAATACGTCGAAACATTCGGACCTGTCGGATGCCTTTGAACCACTTTCCATTGAACTCCTCCAAGACGCGCCTCTATTGTCTTCCGACGCTTCTGAGCCATTACGCCCGGCCAAGCAGACTGTAGCAGAGGCCCTGCAGGAGTTAGTTGGCAAGGTCGGCGAGAAAATATATCTGCGCAGAGCGTTGACAGCTGTCATTCCTTCAGAGAGGATACTTGCTGGTACAGCGTACCACTTGTCCTCATACTCGCATGGTGCCATCCGCCTTGCCAGTCAAGGTCGCATCAGTGCGCTTTTATTGACAAGCTCTACGGGACCCAGCCAGAAGTTGAACCAATTGCTCTCCTCTCCCGATTTTTCGAAGGAACTTTTCGCTATTGAGGACGCTCTCGCCAGACAGGTGGTTGGTTTCCCCACCTTGTCAATCAAACCTTCTTCTTGGTGCGGCTCAGATGATCAACTTGCCGCAGCTCTTCTTGCTCAGCCATTCATGATGTACTCTCCATCAAACGGCGCCTCTGTCGCTGAATTCTTGCAACAATGGGCGAAAACACACAAATTAACTATTGCGGGTCCTTCACTGGCGGTTATCCCAACTGCTGTTGCCAAGTGGACAGTTGGGGAGAGCGACAATGCCGCTGTTGTGTCGGTGCTTTCGAAAGAGCCAGGTGAACAACTACTTCCGAGTGTATGATATCATGTGCGTAATCTAGAGGGCGCCACGCGCTCGTAGACAATGATGAGTGAGTGTTTCCGATACCCACAGTGAAATACTGGCTAATATGTCATCGTTCCAGACTCATAGACGCGGCTTGTCAAGGACATCCCAAATGTATTGTTTACTAGCTCAGTAATATCTACTCTCCTCCATCATCGGGTCTATGCATTATCTAATTACTGCCAATAAATTGCAACCCCACTCCTATCTCCCAATAGCCTGTTGAGTGCCCCTGTCTTATTTGCTATATCTGCCTTTTACAGGGTGCGTATGTTTTGCCATGAGATGGTCTCTGGACGGTTCTATGACGCATCGGTAATTGTCGGCGAATTCTCGTCGGGTATTTTCTGCACGGCAACTGCACGGTATCTTGAACGACACCACTACGCCATTCACTACGTCGGCTCGGCCGTAAACGGACAAACTCCCGAAATAGCCTTCTTACTCCAGGGCCAGAATTTGCAACACATGCTGACCACAGGAATGATCGCATGCAGCGAATTCCGAACCCGGCGGCAGCGCTGTGCCCGTACAAAAAGTCGATGACGGCGATACGCCGAACATTCCTTACCCGCTTTCCTCTGTCAACCCCTCTTCTTCGATGGTCTCCTTCACATCGGCCAACATGCCTGTAAATGAGACCATCGAAGCGCTTTGGGCGATGAATTTCTGGGGCCCTGTTACTGCTACACTTGACTGGTGTGAAGTGAGTTCCCCCTCTGAAGGTAAAGTGACCTAAGAATCACGTGTTTGCCCCCAATCAATTCAGGCGAACTACCAGTTCTCGAAGTATATCGCAGAGACTGCCAACACCTGGTCTAACATAGTTACGGTTGGATTGGCATTATATGGGGCTCGACAGGTTCAGGAGGCCAAATTGCCTCTTCGCTATGTGGCGGGTTACACGGTACGTTAAGTTACACAGTGATGTGCATTGGTGGAGCGATCAACGAGTTTTACAGGGGTTTGCGCTCATCGGGCTTGGCAGTATGATATTTCATGCTACTTTACTGTATAGTGCACAACTTGCCGACGAGTTACCAATGATCTATGTCGCGACATATTGCTCCGCAATACTCTTCGACACGGAACCCGGCTGGGGTGCGGACAATGTGCGAACCTTATTCTTGGTATCAGCATACTTCTTGTTTAACATTCTCTTCACATGGAGCTAGTAAGTGGTGGTTTCGTCCATGATATGCCAGTGCCTAATTCACATCCATGTATATAGTTCGGTTTTCCGAAACCCCGTTTACCACCAGGTCTTCTTCGCCATCGTCATGTTCACCAATGCGTTTCGCACTGCGTATCTCCTCAAGTTTTCCGAAGTTGGCTCTCGGATTCCTGAAGCAAAGAAGGTCTCGATTGCTCGTGTATTCAGCTCAGGAGCAGCCATATTCTTTTTTGGCTTCTTCGTCTGGAACCTGGACAACATTTTCTGCAGTACAATTACGCATTGGAAACATGCCATTGGATGGCCCGCTGCGTTTCTTTTGGAAGGTCATTCGTGGTGGCATGTATTTACCGTAAGTCCATTTGTTTCCCGTAACTCACCCACATTGACATGCATCATCACGCTATAGGCCACTGGAACTTACTTGATGATTGTGGGAAATACTTGTAAGTCACGTCGAAACTGGCTTGTCTTGTCATACGCTTACTTCTGTCTAGATCTGTACGCATGCAGCTTCGGTTAATAAATTTCATACTAACCGTGATATTGACAGCACCCTGTGTATCAAGGACGATCACTCCAAGTATGCGCTTGAGTATCGCCTTGGTCTTCCCAAACTTGTACGACCCAAAGCCAAGAGCTCATAGCGTCCTCAAGTCTTCTTGCAACGATGACACGACGATAATCATTTATGCACCTTTACGCTCCCAAGTTCGCATCAATGTAGATCCACTAGATCAGGTTGTAGTCCTAGAAATATCATCAAAGTTTTAACACCCTCGCACATGATATTTTTTACTTGCAGCGCAGGCTTTAGAGTGCATTACTACTCCCCAAGGTACTCCCACAAGCAAGTCGCGCCACACAAACGGTGAATTCAAATAGAGCAGAATTCCGTTTTCGGCATTCCGACCGAAATCCATGTTCAGCAGGTTCCGCTGTTCACATGTACTTACGTCGTTCCGACGCCCAACCGAGTCAATTAGAACTCTATTGCCGGCAGGGACAAGGACATGGTCATGGGGACAACACATATAAGGCCGCGTTGTACGTTCACGATCTGCCACTCACACGCCCGCTTGTACGCTTCGCAACCATCCACAAAATGCCTTCAGTTACTCGGTTGGGCACTATGGCTATCCCATCCTGAACCAGAGTACGCATTGGTCTTTGCTCCTTTCACATCCTCAAGGTGGCGCAACTGCGTACCAAGTGGTGGGATCACCACAAACATATGAGTTCAGACAGCCCGCTGTGGTAGAGCCACGCAAAGCGACAACGTTTATGGGGAAAGTGGACGTCGGGACAATCGACTCATCAATGCAAGCGCACTTGGAGGGTGTGCTTAAGGAGATCCCGATCGTAAGAGGGAACGAGAGATGGAATTGTCAGACATGGGTGATCGAAGGTTTGAAAGCTTTGCGAGAGAAGGGGTTCGAGGTGGATGTGCCTAGTCAAGAAGAGTTGGCGAAGAGATTGGGGAAAGCGAAGAAATTCGGCTGAAGGTGAGTAGTGAAGTATGAGGGAGAGTGATTCCAGGATCAGATGGCCAAAATTGAACAGGCAACAAAAGTCATGATGGACACACCGGTATCGTGTTATTCGGGAGATTGCACTCGTTTGGCAGACCACGACGACAGATGAGGTTGCAGAATTTGCATCCGAAGGGCGCTCCGCATTGCATTAGGAGCTGAGGTCGGATCAAGGACATCTGCAGTGTTGGGTATATGATATAAAGCCGTAGTGGGTACGGGGTGGTCATTTATTGTGGGGATGCTATGAATGTAGGCCGCCTAGAATGGCACCGTAATGCCACAAGCGACATCAGCTGATTAGACGACGTTATCAGCTACTACTCTCGCTTTTACTTGGATCATTGATCAGACTCACCGTCACCAAAAGGCTTATGGGAAGCTCAGTGTGAGGAAGCCAGCTGTGCAAACGACAATGTTCATGAGCAATCCCAAATGTCTCTATCTTTGGAAGTTTATTCTAACCAAGAGAATCAGCAAGAAACAGTTCGATCAAGGGCGGTGGGTTGAAGAGTATGCCACAATTTTACATATTCTATTTTTTATTATTGAAATCCTTGAAAAGACTCTGTAGCTCAGTGGTAGAGCGTACGATTGCAATGGGGAACAAGAGTTCTCTTGGCAACAATCGTGATGTCCCGTGTTCGAACCACGGCAGGGTCTCTTTTTTATCTCCATCCAATAAATGACTCTTTTTCGCTGACGCAAGTGCGGGCGCTAGTGCAACCTTTGACTGTTATGCTGAAACCACCATCGACTCTGCTCCGTCGGACCCTTCGTTCACGACGCTTACATGACATTGCATCCAAAGATGCAGCTTCGTCGGTGCAGATAACGACGTTGCCCAATAGAATACGCGTTGCTACAGAGTCGACTCCGGGGTATTTCTCATCTGTGGGTCTCTATGTAGATGCAGGCTCGCGGTATGAATCGCCTTCCACGTCTGGCGTAAGCCATTTTCTAGATAGGATGGCCTTCAAAGTATGTAACTAATACTGTGGCATACGTGTTCGCACTAAATAATATTGGACTCCAGACAACGAAGACTCGGTCTGATCTTGAGATGGCTCAATCCATGGACAAACTTGGTGGACAGATCCTCTGCTCATCCTCTCGAGAAACCATTATGTATCAGTCGTCCCATTTTCACAGGGGCACGCCGCTTGCTTTGGATCTCATTTCCGATACTGTTCAAAATCCAGCCTTTCTTCAGGAGGAAATAGAAGCTCAAAGGGATGCTGCGCGCTACGAAATTCGCGAGGTCATGTCCAAGCCCGAGATGTACCTTCCTGAGGTATTACACGAAGTCGCCTATGATAACAAGACCCTTGGAAACCCCTTACTATGTCCCGAGGATCGAATAGACCTCATGGACGAGCCCACCATGCGTGGATTCATGAGAGATTGGTATCTCCCTGAACGTATGGTGCTCGCGGGAGCAGGTATGCAGCATGAAGAACTAGTGGAATTGGCAGACAAGCACTTCTCGTCTATCAAGTACGCCCCAGCGCCATCGCCACAACCCTCGGCGCCACGGTCTAATGGTTCCACACCTTCTCAATTCCATTTTGCTTCATCAGCTTCTTCGCCGTCACTATATAAAACTTTGACCCGAGCGGCATCTTACTTGTATCCCAACTCTCCTATTGCTCAAGATCCCGTCCCCCTAGTCACGCCTAATATACCCCTGCGTGCAACCTACACTGGAGGTCATAAGTTCCTTCGTAATGCTACCTCGGAGTTTAATCACCTCTATCTTGCTTTCGAGGGTGTTGGGATCCACGACGACGACGTCTATACTTTGGCCACTATACAAGTATTATTAGGCGGCGGAGGAAGTTTCTCAGCTGGTACGTATCGTGGTTCTTATCTTCTTACGTCGTTAACTAATGGTTCACTGGTTGCAGGTGGTCCTGGAAAGGGCATGTACTCCCGATTATATACTCACATTCTCAACCATTACCCTCAAGTCGATCATTGTGCTTCATTCCATCACATCTATACCGATAGCTCGCTCTTCGGTCTTTACGCCAGCTTCGTACCTGCCGCTGGCCGAAACCAAGGCAATACCCCGGCACAAATAATGCCTCACTTAGTACACCAACTATCGTTACTGTTATACTCTCCGATACCCAAGACGGAGCTGGAGCGTGCGAAGAACCAACTCAAGTCAAGTTTGGTGATGGCGCTTGAGAGTAGGGCGGTCGAAGTGGAGGACTTGGGTCGACAAGTACGATCTTCATTTGTCTTAATCCGTATATATTGCTTATTTGCTCTTTCACTCAGATTCTTGTCCACAATCGTAAAATACCTGTATCGGAGATGTGTGACAGGATAGATGAGGTTGACCATAAGGCTGTTGCTCGAGTCTCAGCCCGTATCTTCGGCCCTGGGTCGAAGAAGGCAACTGTAGTTTGCATGGGGAGACAGGATGTTGGTGATTGGAGTGGTATGCTGAAGAAGTACGGTGTTGGAGGAGCATAACGTATCTTGACCATATCATATGTCTGTCGCTTTCCGGCTATGTACACGCTACACTATCAGTACAGTAATTTATGCTTCATGCAAGCAGTGCGTCTGGTGAGTAAGAATTAGAGCAATATGTGACTATGGGGACCTAAGGGTACAGTTGCGGAGTTCGTGGAATTCAGCGGATCCTCGTAAACCTTGAATCCTTTCGTGTGACAAGGTAAATCATGGACGCTTCGTCAGGATCCTTCCCCCAAGCTCCTTTCTGGGATGGAATCACATTGGTGATCTACGGGAAAAGTCTGTATCTGACCGCCATTCAAGTGTTGAGATAATGGCCACATACCATGAACCTCTGACCGGGAGAAAAGCTCCCAGCTGCAGCACCCTCACTAACGTGAAGTTCGAGGACATTCCATACAGTAATTTGAGCAGTGCGGACAGCAGGCCGTCTGAACGACTGAGCATCGTGAACCTGGATAACTCGGAAGTTGCGAACTTGTCGAGGAGGGCAGACCGCCTGTAACACATATAAGTAAGTGTTTCCGGACATTGGAAAATATAGCGTGGTACGAACATTGAGTTCTTGGTCTATCGACTCAAAGAACCGCTCTCTATCCTTATCGACCTTTTGCTGCAGGGCTTGAGCGAGCCAACCTGCTTCTATGGGATTGAGGCTCTTGAAGATCTCATTTGCATTCGGAGCGTCCTCCAATTCAACGATAAGATCCTCTATATGGTCTGGTGGCGACTCTTATCCCAGATTCCAAGTCTCAGAATTGGTTCTCGGCGAGGAGGTTAAGGAGCATACCTTCAAGTGCAGGACGGAATTTCGGAGCTGCCTGTCGTTGTAGGCGTTCAGCGTAGGCTTCCCATCTTTGAACATCCTTTTCAAAGTCATTGCGCAACTTGCCCGCTTCCACCTCACGTCGAGCCTACCAAAGATGGGTCAACATACGGTTGTCACTCGTGAGGTTATGCAACCTACCCTCCACTTCTCGTATGCTACGTGTTCCTCCTTCTCATTCCAGGGTCCTAACGAATGTTTTTGACCGTCCTCATCCTCGATAGTTTCTAGGAAGGCAATAGGATATGACTGTTTTTGATTCAGACTGGGTCTTCGATACATAAATGAATAAGCACTGACCTTCTCAACCACAACATCTATGACGGCAACTAGTCCGCCATCTGATGTCAGGCTTCGTAACGAAGAAACAAAAGGCGTTTTCTGGAAGCCTAATTTAGCATGCCATGGTGCAAGAGACGAGGAGTTGCCATAGATCTTCAACATAATTGAATCATATGTTTCTAGAATCTCAGCAGGATCTTTGCGGTCTGTCTCGAGCTACATTGACGATCAAGTTATTTGAGAGGGATTCATAGGATTCATACACCGAACAGAACTCACACGACATCCAGTGACAGCTATCTTTCCGCCAATTCGAACTATCCCTTTATGAATGGCACGTGCCAGAGGTGCGTCAATCTGGGCTCTCAGGCGATACCAGCCGTCAGTGATTTCAAGCTCAGGGATGCCGCCTTCAGTCGAGAGCTGTATGATATTGGAAACACAGAGAACCATAGGGCAGGATGCGGGTGCGTCTTGAGTTGTAATAAGGCGTAGCGCAGGACGGGAAGTCCCGTTAAGCTCTCGGTTGTACCTGCAACGTGTGTTTTAAGACGAGGTTCAAAAATGGTGAAATGTTTTAGTGTCAGGATCCGTACCTATGCCGTAGTTGACGCATGACTTCTCGCCAACACCATCGTTTCCGACTAACGTCGTGTTCTCGATCGGGTTCCAAGGCAGCCATGCCTGCAAGTTTCCAGAGGATGAGAATCCAGTGGTTGTCCACCCACTCTTGCGTGGCCAATGTGCATCCAGACTCCTGGAGTTCCTTGTATGCAGCCGCAGATCCCAGCGTAACTTGTGTAAGAGGGATTTGGGAAGATGTGATGGGAAACGGAGAAGCAGTGTGGAATGAATAGTAAAGAGCAGTGGATGGGTTGATTTGCAAGAGTTCCGCTGTGTTTCTGGGAGCAGAAGTCAGTAATTGAGTTCACCCGTACGACTTCGGATACTTACAATCCCTTTGTTTCCAGTTCGTCGATAGTATAGGAATGAGGAATGAGGCCAGATGAAGCAAGAGTCAGTTTATCAGTATCTTTCGCTGATGGAATTAATACGTTAAATAGCGCAAACGATCTTGGCTATGATACACACCTGTAGCGCACACGTCCTTACTCTTCCCTTTGTCAATCGGGTTGCCACCGAAGCCAACGAGTTTCACAGGTGAACGCGCATTCTGCGAACTCAAACCGCTAGTTTGTGTGGCTCGTTGCTGTTCCAACAAAAATCTGCCCGGTTCACCAGGTCTCATACCCGGCTTGAACGGTGTAGTAAACGGCTTCCTCCCCGGTGTAGAGTTGGTGCCGGGTCGCTTTGCAGACATACCGAGTGCCCGTTTCTGAGGCGAGCCTGTACCTGGGCGTAAAGGTGTAGAAGGCATCTCGGGCGTACTGAAAGTAGAATTTGTAAAAGCAGCCAAGGTGGAAGAGACGGGTTTAAATGAAGGTGTACGGCTAGGATTGAGGGGAGAGGCAACGACTGGGATGGACTTTGAGGGGTTGGCGAGCGGCGGACGAGTGGCAAGCGGCGAACTAGGATTGGGTGGTACAAGAAGTGGCGACTTGAAGGGTTTCTTGCTATTGCGAATGCCTATACTTCCCGGGGTACCGAAAGCTAGTGGTTTCCCGAAGTCAGGGCCTGCAGGACTGGGGCTCAGGGGTGTACTTCTCGGGAAGTTATCATCCATTGAACCAAGGATCATTCTGTCATGCTGACCCAGCTGTATCGACGGGAGGTTTTCCTCTCCTTCAGCAGTGTGCATACATTCCTGGTCAATCTCTTTCTCCCAACGACTCATCATCTCTGTGGCTTTCTCTAATGCGGCCTTAGAAGGAGCTACCCATGTACTTGAACTTGCTGCAGAAGGATCCAGAAGAGTCCTTCCAGTGGTGAAGCCTAAAAATCCGGATCCATTGGGTATGCTGTCTCGTAAGGATAATTCAGGCTTGTCGTCGAACGGCGAGTTTGCATCTGAAGGTGTCCTGGATGGCGCTATACCTCGGGCCAACGTAGTATTACCAGCGATCTTTAATTCTTTAGCGGACTGGAACCCAGTAGCAGTAGGAGGTACAGTGCTACGCTGGAACCATCCCACGTCGTCTTCAGCGGATCGCAAGGCACTGGCGCTCGTGAAGTTTACAGCTTCAGCTGAAACGTCAGTCGATTGGAACCAGGCAGCAAGATCCTGCTCGGGTGGTGGATCGGGGTAGGAGGATGGGTAGTTACCCGCTGGCTTATTGTATGCAATGTCAAGAGCTGATGCGAAACCAAAGCCAGTAGTCTTCGTCACTGGATTTGAAATGCCCGACGGTGTGGCGTTCCGCATAGCGCTATGCTCTGTTCTGAGGGCGGAAGTAAATCCACTGACACGCTTTCTACTAGGTGATGTCGGTGAACTCTTGCTGGTGAATGGATTACCTGGTGAACTCGCCGGCATGAAACCGTTCATTTTGTTAGGAGAAAGACCCTGATGTTTAGAAAGCGATCGAGGTGAGTTGGGTGGAGAGTTAATTGGAGATGTGCGAGAGCTCGAGTGACTATATGCGTGATCACTGCCTGAGGGCTTGCGATTCTCTTTCCTATCAGCAGGTAGAGACGGTGATGGTGATTGAGATCGTTCTAAGCTACATTAGTCATGCACAGTCAATTTAACTGTATACACACCTTCTGAGCTCTGATCACCCTCGTCATCTCCGACAACAGATTTCAATCCCAATGCAAGCGCGATGGCTTCGTCCCTCTTTCGACGATCGTAACTCGTATTAGCTTGGGACATCTTCAAAGGGGAGGTCCCATCCAAGGACTGTGTACGTTGTCTTTCAAAGTCATCAAAAGCAGCTACTTCGTCCTGGCTAAGAGAGACTTGCTCATCGTACGTCGGTGAAGATAGTCGCTGTCTTTTCCTGCGATGCCTGGGTGTTCCTGGATATAATAGATCTGTTAGAGCTGGTAATATTTATAAAATATCAAAGACCACTGCCCAACGACGACATTTGTGCGATTCAGCCTGTCTGTGGGCGTGAGGGTGTATGAAAGATTCAGAGAAGCTCAATAAAGGCGCGCTCCTGCAACACAGCGACGCGCCTACTCGTTCCCATCACGTGTAGCGTGTCTGTCACGTGCTGCATTCTTCGGTTCGAGCCTGTTTCTGGGCAGATTGTTGGACATTGGTTGACGTCTCGCTTGGATCATTCAAACTCGTCCTGCTGCTACCATCGTCGAGTTGTGGCCACTTTCGAAATGGATGGAACTTTATAGTGTTTTATGTGCAATGTCCGTGCCCGGGAAAGGATGACAGGGAAACTCTCCACACCAATGATTTACTAACAAAGTGGCTGATGCTAATCTCTTTATGCTTTGACCCTCAAAGTTCCCCATATAATTCCTCCCTTCCTGCGTTGCAAAGACCCTCCACCCAGCCTTGGTGAGTTCACGGTTCTTTTTCATTGAGTTGACACGAGGTGTCCATTCATGACAAACGAATACTTTTAGTGTCGCTTGGCGAAGGCATTGTGATCAGCATAACTTCCATCGCATGTAAGGCGACCTGGAATCAAAGTCTGCATTCGTCTTCGTCTTGACCTTTGCCCATATGAGTGACACGTCCATGTCAGAACCTTGGTTTACTTCCAGCTCTGTCTCCGGCTGCTTACCTTCGCTTTTCAGTACTTCTGAGCCTCAGACCCCGAATGGTTCAGACAGGCCGACGCGACCTTCTTCTCGTAATCCCTCCACAAAATCAGAAGGAGGTCCCTCTCAAGATAGGCGGGCTCTTCCGCTCGCAACAGGTAGTAATACATCCTCTGCATCAGGTTCTTCTTCCATCGCCCAGTCCCAACCTCAGCAGCGTAGCCACGACCGACAAACTATTCGTACGTCCAATGACAGCAGCAATCTAGCTTTCCGACAACGTTTTCCCCTTCTCTTTCGGCAACCTAGGCCAATCCACTTTTCCCAACATTCGTCTCCGAGCATTCCCAACTCGCATTTCTATTGTAATGACTTCTTATTGGGTGCTGGAATGGTGCTCATACAACCATCTACGGACAAAGTCGTTTTGGTGTACGAGAGTCTACGGGAACACTGGTTTCTCCCCAAGGGAAGGAAAGACGTTGGAGAAACTTTGGAACATGCTGCATTACGAGAAGCATATGAGGAGGTACGTGTCCTTCTTCGAGATCGTGATGTGAATGACATTCAGTGATACACGCAGACCGGATATCGTGCAGAATTCCTCCCGTTGTATTCTCCAACGAATCAACCCTCAAGTCCTGACGCGTCATATTCATATTTCAACACGGAGCCAATTTATGTCAGCTCGCTCACCTGGAAAGCACGTCGAGTTCCAAGAAATGGACCTGGAGATCTAGGCGGAGAGTACTTCACGTTCTGGTACGTTGGTCAGATAGCCGATGACGCGGTAAGTACTGTAGTATGCATGTGTTTCCTGTTGAAGATGTGACGGCGTTCTTCAAGGTGCGAGAGGAAAATACAGGCATGCCGGATGAACAGCATTACGTTTCACACCTGCTGGATTGGAAGGACGCTCTAGCTTTGTTAGCAGACTATCCACTCGAACGGAAAGTGATGTCAATGGCTCGGCGGCTGTGGTATCAAACATTGCACATCGAGAGGCAGCTTGCTGAACAGGAAAGTCAACGCGTAGTCGACGACCAGTCTGACAGTGCTGCGCAGACGGATTGACAGTGCGTACACATGGGAGAAATCCTATATTTCTGTGTCTCCCAATGAAGTTTCCACCATACAATCCAGTCTTAGGATCATGATCGCATATTTCGTCCCATTATATACAGGCGACTCCTATTGAAAGCCACATACATTGCACACTAGATAGACGTTAATTTATTGTTAGAGTACCACATTTATGCCATGAGAACTACACTTGTAAGATGTGTTGCACGCGACTAGAAGCTGGAAAACAGGACTTTCCGTTTGTAGCGATCGAGGTTCTGTGTCCAAGGCGGAAGACTTTGTTTGCTGTTGTAAAAGTGGCACTCTCAATAGCTCTGCCGCTTACTGCCCTTTCCCCTCAAAGGCTGCTTTTCACTTGTCACTGACAATAATACCACCAATCACACGTTGTATTTTTGAAAGCCTTTGACCCTGGAGCGGAGACGCAAGCCTTTTCCTTAGGCGAACCTACGGTTTGAGAACCCGACTTTCTGCATTCGACACTTGTTCTCAATCCTAGCTAAACCATTCGCCTCCTTAATCTATTCTGTTGCGGTGTACCTAGTACTAAGGCCCCCGTCTCTCGGTCATCATCGCGCACTTCTCAGGAAACGGCTGCAAGCATGAATGGAGCCGCACCGCAGACTGCCACCGCCAGACACGCCAAACCTCCACCGACTGGGCCTACTCCTCCAGCTCCTATAGTTGCACCTCCTGCACCTCCGAATAATCATGCACACCCGCATCCCCATACACATCCGCCCGCCGGGAACCGTCAAGCGAATGGTCCGACGAACGGCACACATCCACCTCCGTCACATAACCAGCAACAGAAGGCTGGCAAGAAGAAGAATCCTGATCCGCCTGTGGACCCTTCACAGATGTATGAGACGTTAAAGAATAAGATTGCGGCACTGGAGGAGGATGCGGTACACGAGGAAGAGGAGGAGAGGCGGTTCAGTGCGTCCACAAATGTTATAATGTATTTCACGCTCGGTCTCTTAGGTTGATCAACGTATAGCTGAAGAAGCCCAGAACTCTGTGGCCGGGATGGGGGATAACGCGGTACATTCGAAGTATATTGAACTGGTGAGTCACTTGCTATGCTGCCGTGAAGTCATCGGCTTAAACTAACACTGTTGTAGTTTGCAGAGTTCAAACGCCTGGAACGAGATCATGCAAAAGAGAAGCAGAAATTGGTGAAGGACAAAGATGCAGGTATGTGATCCTTCTTGTCATCCCCGTCTCCGTTATATCCCTGAGATCCCATTCGTCCAAAGCGAAAGGTCAGTTAACCAAAGCAAACCAGACAAAGACCAAGATGGAGAACCTAGCGAGGGAATTGCAGAAGGTATATTTCATGAAATCGTCCTGCTGCAATCTCTTGCTAACATCTAGCCAGGATAACAAAAGACTACGGGTGGGTATCACTGCTTGAAGCACCATGCTAGGATATTTATACCAGCGATAGGAGGACAGCAAACGCCTGACACATTGTGTTGAAGAAGCACAAGATGAGGTCAGTGAAATAGAGTTTGAAGCTTTCCTTTGTTGATGATGAAACCTAATCCTGATGTCTTACAGATCCTGCAAATGAAGAATGACATGGCCAAGCGTGCAGAACGAGCCAAGATACAAGATGCGAAGTATCGTGAGATGCCCGATATAGTCGTGAAGGTCGTCTGCAAGTACCGTGCGGAGTTGTTCTTCAAGATCTCTCGGAAGACTAAACTGTCGCGACTATTCAATGCTTGGACGGAACGTATGGAGTCTGGTATCACCTCTGCTACCAAGAAGATCGATGCGAAGTCTCCCACATCCAGTACTACTGGAGCACCACAAGTGAACGGGACCGCGAAGTCTGATGCAGGCAGTGTAGCATCATCGGGGCCAACGAGCAAGAGTTCAGTGCAGTTCTTGTTTACGCATGGAGGACGGACATTGGAAGCGGAGCAGACACCAGAGGATGCGGGCATGGAGGACGGGGACGAGATTCTGGCGGTGGAGCTAATGGATCTCACGGAGGGTCCGGGAACAGAGACCATCGTGCGTAGGCTTACTGATGCCAGTTCATTTTCTTCGGAGGGTCTCATGGAATTGCAGGATGAATCTCGTCGCCAGATCATTCGCAAGAACTGGGCAGACAACCCCCGAGAGTATGTCGTCATTCAATTTCAGTGCTTGTGTCACTTACCCATTCATCTGTATAGGGCATGCAGGGCTGTTGAGGAGATTTTCGAGGGAGTGTAAGTGTCATCTCACGCCAAATGTTGCATTAATGTACTCAATGTCCAATACAGGGTACGCGAACGTCTAAAAGACGTGCTTCGACAGTATGAACTTCGAGAGCGACATTTTGAATGTGTCATTCGCTCGAAGGAACTCGAGGTCCTCCTTTCGCGTGCGCGAGCTGCTGAGCAGAAACAGCTAGCAGAAGGGGAGAAAACCCGAGCAGAGAAGGCGGAGGATGAGGTTGGTTGCATCGAGCCCATGCCTAGTTTCGTCATGCTCACTGTCTACCGCAGAATCAACAGCTTCGGAAGGAGTTGGAGGATGCTCAGAATGGCCAAACAATGCTCATCGATAAATTGATAGCATGTTGTAAAGAGGTGAACCGTCTCCAAGGCTTTGACGTGTTTGCAGATACTGATTCTAGTTTGCAGCCAAACGCTGAGCGGACACAACGACTGTTCGCCTCGTTACGAGAGGAGCTGGAGAGACGAGGTACAAAGTTGGCTGATGGGCCTGTTGGTGGTTAGCACTCATCCTGTTTACCATGTATCGGAATGTCGCATCGCATGAAAGGACGAATTCTCTGTCCAGATCTCTGAATGGTGGGATCTCTCGAGTATGCGTTGGGAACATCCTGATATAAGGTATTTGCAGTCCGCAGAGGTAGTACGAAAGTGTCCAGGCTGTAAGAAAAACGAGACGCACGATCTCTACTACGACGAATCTATGGTATACAGAAGAGGACTGTCTATGCGATTTGTGAATGAGTCCGGGAAGGCGGTCTAAACCAGGTACATGCAATCTTTGATTCAACTTCTTAGACAAGAGCATCAAGCTCCTCTACACTCTCCACCAAACCAGACCTCGTGAAAGTCTTGCCCTTGACAGACTCAAGACCCTCGCCAGCGTAGCTAACCAATGGGGAGACCTCGATCTCAACGCCATCCGCAACCTTTGCACCGGCGTTCTCGAGGAATCGTCTCTGCTGAGCAAGAAGATCGCGACGACTGGTCTCAGGATCGTCCGAACCGGTACCGGGTGCATTCTTGAGCGGGCTGAACTCCTCGTTACGAGCGACTTCAAGGACGGCAAAGCGCTTTGTGAAGGGGAATACATCGAACACGAACATCTCGAGTTTCATGCCATTTGGCTTACTTGGCTTGACAAGTTCGCCACTGGACATGTCAACATGAGGAATCTTCTTGCGAGCAATGTGGAACGCAAATTCCTCCTCGAAAGATTCAACTTCGTTGAGGAACTCGGTGGTGTAGAAGTGGTTCACAATGTTAGCAGCACGGAACGCCAGTTCACCAGTCTTGGGGTCTCTTCTCTCCGCCTGTTCCTGCGAAATCTCGGAATACTCCACAACGCTAAACTTGTCCCCTCGACGAACGACGACGCCGACTGACTCAGTAGGGTATGCTTTGGGGACAACCTTAGCAGCGCAATCAGCTTGTTTGGAAATGCAGTATCCCAGGAAGACTGGGTCTGCGATCTTCACGAGACAGTTATCGACACAGTAGCTGTGAATGAAGCGGATATTCCTGGCGGCCAAGTCCGTGAGGACCGTGTGAGATTTGTCGTCTGGAGAAAGGGGACGACGCAATGCGGCGTAGAGGCCACCGTTGCCGTCTGGTGCGACGGCCACCTTCGAAGGTGCTTCAAGAATGACTTTGCCCTCCATGGTGAGACAAGGCAGAGTACCTACATTGACGATATTTAGTGAACAAATTCAATGTATCAGAAGATTGAGCGCATACCTTGTTCGAAGAAAATGACATTCTTGGGATCAAGTCCAAAGAACGAGTTCTTCTTGAAGAACGCTTCGGTCGAGGGTCTCGTGGGTCCGCTAGTCATAACATACCAGGGAATAATCACAGAACCGAGGTTTTTGCCGTTCTCCTGCGCGGCAATGATTTGCAAACGTGCAATTCGCTCTGCTTGAATTTGGAACAGAGATTTGTGCGATGGCAGCCCGATATCATAACAGCCTTTGGGCGCAGAGCTTCCCAACCTCGTTCCCTGCCCGCCCGCCATGAGAAGAACGCCAACTTCTCCTCGTGCAACAGCTTGCAGACCAACGGCCCGCCATTCCCTCTCCTTTGCCTGATCACCGATGACAGAGTCTGCAGCGTGTTCAGGGAGAGGTTCAATGGCTTCCTTGCCTGTATTCTCGGTAGCTTCCGTCTCAGACGAAATCGCCTTGCCGTATATACGGTTGACGCGTTCAATATCGAGTTCTTCGAGTTGAGAGCGCAGGGAGGCGCGTTCGGACTCGGAGAGTTGAGGCAAGAAGTGGAGGAGGTGACCTTGACCTGCTGCTTCGTAACGTTGACGAATATTATCGAACGACATGGCGATGGATATCGTAGAAACGAAAGATATTAAAGTGACTGTTTGGCAGAGAGAGGCAAAAAGAAAGTGGTGTCAAGATCGTGCGTTGTTCGATGGTTATATGCGTATGGCAGGTCGCTTCACTACTGTACTCATTGCATAGGGTATTCGGAAACAGCCGATCATGGATGTGCAGTACAGCTTTTGCGCAGCTCGACGCTGCTTTCTGCACCGAACGTGCATCATCCATAGCGACTACTTTTCACTCGCATATCGCCCTGCACGTTTCATCGTCAAAATACACTCATTTGGAAGATGAACGATCACGAACATCATCATGTTGCTCCCATTGCGTTTAATCTTGACTGTGCATACATTGCCTGGCTGACTGCCACTGCGATACGACATTTTTTGGGAACTTACCTCTGGCTCGTGTATTCAGGTTGTATAGGATGATGGATTAAATGTGAAGAATACACGCCTTGCTTGGACAATGGCTCGTCGGTCTTGAACGTTCATACCAAGCTTGAGTGCACAAATACGTGCCGTCCAGACACCGTGTGGTTTACTCCTTTAACGATATGCGGAGTCGCTGGCATTCATGGCCCGGATGTTTGATCACAGTCAAGAAACAAATGGTGAGTGCCGTCTTGGAACATGTATTTATCGCTGACATATCCCGGCCATGCTTATCAGATCACACTCGCCATGTTGCGATGACCTTTGCTAGGACCATTGTTGCTCGGTGGAATTCTTAACTTCCACAACTGAATGCCAGGGCCGATGATAACTTTCTGAGATAAGCCTTGTGCTCCCTGTGGGACATTGGGTCCTGTTGGAACTTCTATCGCCGTCCTAGACGCCTCTTTGCACTTTTTATGGGAAACGGTCGGTCGACAAGCTCGTTGTATAACTTGTATTTAACAGATCTACATGTCAGCATCGTTGTATGACCTCAGTTTGGGATTACAACAAATTGACCCGAGGGGGCACTAGGCTGTGATTGGCTGGCTCAAGGCTACCCGATCACCTGCCATCGTGGACTTAGCCGAGTTCAAGGTCTGGTGAACAATATTGTTTCCTTCGCCAGATTTTCGACTTTGCATAAACTTCCGATAGCAGAGCTGCAACCGTGTGGCTTCTAGGTACCGTAGCATGAGCCAAAGCCATCCAAAGTATCACCAGGTCATAATAATCAAGTAACTCTTTCCCCGTTGTCTATTCAACACGCGGCTTCATGCCCTGGATTGACGGATACCCCGCAAGGACCCCGCTTTCCCCGGATTGTGGGGTGAACGCTCGAATGTTTTTCCTGATGTTCTCGGACCTTGACTGCAGTCTCATCGCTCTACAGCGCGACGCCCGTCTACCACGTGAAGACGCGCACCATGGCTCCATGTCGCTTGTTTCCGCGGCCTACGGCAGACGCGTGGGCTTCCATGCTTCTTCGTTCGCCATCGTTGGCGGCGTTTTGACTAAATCTTCTAAATTTATCTATTTCCTTGACCTCGGAGCCATATAAGATGGCCCGCCTCTGCTTCTCGCCTCTCGTTCCCCCGGATTCCAACCTCCACCACCATGGCCTTCTCCTTCGGACGTGTCGCTGCTCTCTCCCTCCTCGCCCTTGGCCTCCTCGCTCAGGCCGCGCCCGCCGACAATCCTATCAGTCCAGGGTTTCCCATCGGCTCACAGAAGGTTCGCGGTGTCAACCTGGGTGGATGGCTCGTACTTGAGGTAAGAACACTTGCTTCAAAGCGTGTTCTATCCTGATCGAGGGTTGTCTGTATCAAATAGCCTTGGATCACGCCAAGTCTCTTCGACAATACCGGCAACCCCGACATCATCGACGAGTGGACCTTCGGTCAACTTCAGGATCGCGGCACCGCGACCGCCAAGCTCACCAACCACTGGAACACCTGGGTTACTGAGTCTGACTTTGCTCAGATCGCCGCTGCTGGGTACGTCACGTGGCCGTGACACTTTTCATTTCCGCATGCGTTCTTACCGAGGTTTCTCCGTTCATTTGGACAGGCTGAACCATGTCCGCATTCCAATCGGGTTTTGGGCATTCGACGTTTCAGGGGGCGAGCCTTACATCCAAGGTCAGCTGGCTTACCTCCAGAAGGCCATCACTTGGGCGAGAAACCATGGCATCAAAGTCATTGTTGACTTGCATGGTGCACCCGGCAGTCAAAACGGGTACGTTCCTTCGACCAGAATGAAAAGCATCACGAATTCAGTACCTGCATCATGTTAGCTTCGACAACTCGGGCCACAAAGTGTCATTTCCTCAATGGCAATCTTCCCAATCGAATATTGACCGTACTAACGCCATCATCAAGAAACTCGCTTCCATGTTCGCTGACCAGAGCGATGTTGTGACTATGATCGCGCCTCTCAACGAGTAAGGCGTCCATTTCGTCCTTCTGTTCGGTGCCGTACTGACACCTGTCATAGGCCTGCAGGATTCGATGGATCTGACATTTTAAACGCGGTTCGTCAATACTGGTATGACTCCTATGGTAATATTCGGTGGGTATTATCAGGCTTTATGCAAGTAACATCAGTCTAACCATCCTGCAGGTTCCCTTACGGAAGTTCTCGTCAAAGTAATACTATTGTTCTGCTGCACGATGCCTTCCAACCACTCAGGTAAGTGTATTACTGTAGCTTTTTAACCATGTCATGGGCGTTGACCCGTTTTTAGCTACTGGAATGGTTTCCAGACTGCTCCCAATTGGCAAGGTGTAGCTATGGACACCCACATCTATCAGATGTTCTCTCAAGCTGTACGCCTGAGTTTTGACTATTCACATTGACATTCACGGATACTCTGTCATGTTCATAGGAGGTGTCCAGGACAAACCAACAACACATCTCCTCTGCGTGTTCTCATGCATCTGACTTGTCCTCTTTCGATCTTTGGACTATTGTCGGTGAATGGACACCCGCCGCTACCGATTGCGCCAAGTACTTGAACGGGCGTGGTGTTGGTGCGAGATATGATGGCACCTTCGCCGGCTCAACTCGTGTTGGCAGCTGCACAGGGATCACGGGCAAGTCGTCGTCCTTCAGCGCCAGCTACAAGACCTTCTTGAGGCAGTACTGGGAAGCTCAGGTACATACATGTCTAGTCTTAGGTTACCCCTCATAATTTGTCTGACCTCTTACCGCGATAGACAATAACCTACGAAAAGGGCGCAGGTTGGATTCAGTGGACATGGAAGACTGAACAAGCAGACGATTGGTCATACCAGGCTGGTTTGGCTGGTGGATGGATCCCTCAAAACCCTACTGATCGACAATACCCCAACATTTGCGGGTAAACTATACCACATGATATTCCGGTGTCGTGATGATACCCCACAGTACTACTTCGTAACCGGTGCACACCCACCACCACTCTCCTTACATTACTTACACACTATTTTTATGTGACTGTCATTGTACCATACCCTGATACTTTTTTCTATTTACTGAACAGAATTCGAGTTCTACGTGTGGTTGCGTTGGTGGCGAAAATCCCACATATGGCATCCGAATGGAAGGTTTTGCATAACAAGCGCAAATTATAAAGCATTCGATTGACCCGCCTGTTGTTGAGGCTGGTCCTGTCTACCTTAGTAGAAGTAGGGGTCATCTACCGGCGTACACTTTCGTTTGCTCTTGCTGCTATGTAGAGACTCAGAGAGGCTTTAATAATTTCCAGTAGCTTGGACAGTTTGACTTTCAAGTCCTTTGACCGATCACCCCACGTGCTTTGATCGCGTCGCGTCGCGTATTTGACTGGGCCTCGCTATATGCGAGTCTTTGTTCTGCCTGCTCACCCACCATTAGATTTATCTAATAGCGAAGCGGACGCCAGCATCCGAGTACCTCTACTATGCCCTATCGACGCACCAACTTGCGTGGTCGGAGAGGAAGTCTTCAGGAACTTCCTCATATGCCGCTTGACATCGTCTTCGAGGTGATTACGCATTTCTCCCTTGTTGAAACGTGTCTTTAGTGAACCCTCTATTTATGTTAGGTGTTTTCATACATGCAACCAATGGATTTGCTCAACTTGGCTAGGACCAATCGTCCTTTTCGTGACTTACTCATGAGTCGCACCTCTGCACAGTTTTGGAAGGCGGCTCGTCGCAATGTGGATGGGCTACCTGACTGCCCGCCGGACCTCAATGAACCTGCTTATGCTAACTTATGTTTTGACGCGCATTGCCATGTGAGTTTTTGAATGGTTCGACGCGTCGTTTTACTGAGATGATGGCGAAGAATTGCATGAAGACTAATATACAGAACGTAATTTGGGAGTTTAGAACACGCTATTGCAGTGATTGCAGGAAATTCATGTGAGTGGGCTCTAAGGTTCCTGTTTGGTGCCCATAAGTCTGAGTTTCCGTTGTGGTGCAGGACCGCACCTCAATATTCGCTAATAGAAAACAATCTTGACGATCCATTCGATCCACTACACATCGTCGTGAATCTCAATATCAACCCAAGTACGTAAACCAGATCCTTTGCGTTATTTCATCAGCCAGCAACTTAAGAGGCCTACAGAGGACGAGGATGATCCTGTAAACCGAAGAGTGCACTCAGTTGATATCGATTCCTTTTATGAAGAGTTTGATCGTTTGCCGTCTGACCAAAAGGGCGCGCTAATTCAGAGAGAAGATGCCGAAAATGAGCAGATCGTACAGGCAAGTGATTTAAACTATGTGGAGCTGGAGCTGTCACGATTTACGGCTCCAAATCGTTCTCCCAGCACGCAAACTTGTGTTACGCTTGGACAGAGCAATGGAAGGCGTCTCGTGCTCAGGAAAAGGAGGATGCTAAGAATAAACGCGTCGTTGCGTAAGTGACTTCAGTTATCTCATTTTATTTATCATGAAATAACATGCCATGTAGCATCATAAACAAGCTCATTGAGCTTGGATACACGGAGGAGCTCACATATATGTCCGACCCTGCTATCTTTGAAGAAAATCCTTTGCTCGGTCTTTCCGCAGTTCGTCGTCCGGGGCCCCTTACCGAAAGAAGTGTGTTATTCCCGAGTCATTCAACGGTTTATGTCCTTGCCACTGACTCTTAAATGATAGGTTGGCAAAGCATTCGCAAGACCGTCATCGAGCTCATGGACTTCTACCGGGGACAACTCGAAGTCCATGAAGCGGGTGAATACTACAGACATCGCGTCGAGGCGGTCTATAATGCACTTGCACAATTCTGGACAGAGTATCGCCTGATATGCCCAAAGCTTCGTGATTTCGTCTCCACTACGCAAGGACGAAAGATGGTAGAGGCCGAGCACATAGCGATCACCGTCGAAGGCTTGCGTCCTCACCTCCCTGCTATAGTTGACGAATGGAAGGAAGATCTCGTGCTTCAATTGAACCAGCTCATCAGAGAGCAGTGGTCTTCTCTGCCCCAATACGTGAATTTGACGACTTTGGCAGTCTGCTCATACTTCTACTGTATGCCCTGCTATAGCAAGCGCCCTATACCGTTTCCCCAAGTGCTGGTGCATGAATGCCTATCATCCCGACCGCCAAACCTGGATGAGCCCGATGAAGACTTGTACGAAGCGGGTATGGACAAGATGCTCTCATACACTAAATGGACTCCTCGGTGTCTCAAGTCATGCGTTGGGCATCTGCATGACATTATCTCTGCATGTGGGCAAGAAAGTACGAAAGTCACACCCGAAGAAATGGACCGGCTGGATATTAGATTGTTCTGTCAAAAGTGTTCCAGTATGGAACCGAACGTCCGGAAAGTGTTCAGTTGGCGAGAAGCTGTGAGTGTGGATCTCCTTGCCGTTCCCTGTGTATAGACGGTTCGAATTTCTAGGTATCTCATGTACTTTTGGATCATCATGGATGTGATACGTCCAGTGAGTTCTGGGGCCGGATGCCTGCTCGACACGCCTCTCTAGTTCTCAGGCTTGAAGCAAGGATGAATGCGCGCCTGGCCGAGGTGCTGGAACAAGAACCCTACTGGTATTGCAGCCATTGTCCTGCGTTCAAAAAGATCGGTAGCGCAGAGATGGCTCTCCAGCACGTGGAAGAGGAGTACGTACTGTTTACTTTCCTTGAACATGACGACAAACCGCTTCTTATTTTCAGGCACAACATTCGTGATGCGTCCGAGGACAATATTTTCTGTAGCCCAGATGTAAAGATAACGCACAGTCATCCCATTTTCCTGGTCTCGGATGCAGTTCGGCATCGCCGAGGGCTTGGGTGGGAAGTTGTGAGTGCGTTAGAGCGAAAGGAAGCCGCGATTATTGACTTTGCTTGAGAATATTCCTATGATGTTGCTAGGGTAGACATAGTATACGCTTTCCATCCTATTCATATCGTATGGTAGGCAACAGTTCGTAATCGTCTGGCGCGATGTACTATGTATGTTCTCCCATCGTGCATTGTCTTGAGATGGAATCGAACCATCGTTATGTAAGAGATTGACTCGTCGTGGGCGGCGAGCCTAGTTCCTGGCCAAGCTTCATGTCTCCAAAGTTCAACCTAGACTTAAACGACTGACCGTCTGGAATCCGGAGGAGCTGGTATCCTTCGCCAAGAAACATCTGTCCCTACCTGGCCGCCATGAAGATTCTGGTCTTGATACTTGGTTTTCTTGTCTCCCAAAGTCTTGCTTCTCCAACTTTCAATGGACGTGACTTACCTGATATTTTCGATTCACTTGAGGCGAAGAATCCAGCACAGAGTCCACAGGCAGAACATAAGGCAGAACAATCTAGCGGGACGGCGCATACATCAGTAACACAGACATCTAGCGGGACACATACGAGCGCGAGCGTACTTGGATTATTGGAACATCTCAGCTCAGGATCTTCTTCTGGAAAAGAAACGTCTACTCATACTTCAGCTGCCTCAATACCTACTGCCACAAGTCCAACCACGTATTCGATCATCGGAACAATACCACCAATGCCTTCATACACTCCCAAATCAGCAACTACCGATCAGACTGCTACCGTTCCTCAACAAACTCAGAGCAGCACGCCCCCGTCTCCCTCCTCAACTTCCTCGTTTGGAACGTCCAAAGAATGGAAGATCATAGGCGTAGCGGTCATTGCCTTCAGCAGCGTCGCAGCCATCCTCCTCTTGGCAGTCTTCTTCGACCAGTGGACACGTTTCGTGAAGGACCTGTTCTGGAAAGGCAAACGAAGAGACGATTCTGAGGAATTGGTTCCGGATTGGAAAAAGGCGAGTTGGGATGTAAGGTTGGGAAGTGATAGACATCGGTATCCTAGTTTTGCCAGTCTCCCTTCAGAGACCTTGATGCAGGGACTCGGATTTGCATCCCCCGGCAATTCTTCTGGGGAGGTCAAGAAGGATGGGGCACTTGGTAGATCTGCTAGTACAAAGTCACAGAGGGAGTGGGTACGCGAAAAGGCAAAGGATTTCCCAGCCAGTTATCCATTGAATCCACAACCCTATCACCCATCCACTATGAAGGTCATTGCCGACCAATACGTTTCACCTAAGCTGCCTACAGCTACACGAAGTACACCGCGTTCACATCGATTATTGGCGGCGACAAGGACGAGCCATATTGACCACCCCAAGTCGCCTGGCATGGCGAGTATATATGGAGGTATTGCTTCCTAAAAGAATGTTCGGAGGAGTATGGATATATTGGACAACATGTGGTTTTGTATTTCTAGCCCACGTTCGTTTGTATTGTCAGGGTAAGATGCTTTGTATGGTAGGGTTGGAATTTAATGGCTCTTGTCAGTCTTTGCACCTGGCAGCCGTGCTTTGTCTTCTGGGGGAGCAGGGATAGTTTCTTCTAGTCGGTTTGAGAGATAAATCCCACCCAGTGCAACAGCAGTAATCGCGAGGGAAATCTTCAGTCGTGTCTTCGCTGGAAGGACTGAAAGACTGTAAGTAGATGTGCATTCAGATGTACGGCTTTACAGCTACCTGCATATGACTCCCAAAGAGATCTTTGACGGATAGGTTTAGCTGCTGTAGACGAGAGTGGACCTTTCGGATTTGAAGCCATGATGGGGAAAGAAAGAAAGCTGTGATCGCTCAAAGCGCCCATTTCAATCTGGCTCTTCTGACTCCCACCGCAACGACCGGCTTGCGGTACATTGACAATGTTCACAGGTCTGGTATGCCTCCATACCTTACGCTCAATGTAAGACTCACCATTATCTGTTGCGTAGATCGAACACCTTGGCACTGTTTCGTCTATCCAGCGTGATGCCGGTGGATGTACACTAACTATATCCAATGCTGCACCCATCTTGGATGATTGCCATGTTGGCGACTCTATTGCTGTTAATGGCGCGTGCTTGACTGTGACTGCCTTTAATAAAGAGGAGAATGGAGGCTGGTTTCAAGTCTGGTTAGCCAATGAAACTCTCGATCGGACTGACTTAGGTGAGTGCTTTACTGTAGCAAACTTATCGAGTTCCTGCATTTAGCTTCAGTTTCGTCTGTCTGTCCCATGTTTGCGTTCACGGAACTAATGTACGTGCCCAGGTGAGCGTAAAGAAGGGGACCAAGTGAACCTTGAACGTGCTATGGGTGCACACGTCCGGTTTGGAGGTCATTTCGTACAGGCAAGGCTTCTAATTGTTGAATGGCATTTAACAATGTCATTGATCGATTGCGTATCCTTAGGGCCATGTAGATGCAACGGCAACTTTGATATCCAAAGAACCAGATGGCGAATCTCTGCGGCTCTTGTTTCAATTTCCCGAACCGACACCCTCAAGGCCCTCTCTTTTGCCCTACCTCATTCCGAAAGGATACGTTGCTATTGACGGGACGTCCCTTACTCTCACTTCTGTGAATGATAGTGATCGGACGTTCGGCATTATGCTCATCACACATACACAAGAGAAAATCACGCTTGCAAGGAAGCCCATAGGCGCAAAAGTAAATATTGAAGCGGATATGGTAGGCAAGTTTGTGGAGAAGAGCGTTGCAGCTGCATTGAGTGGTGGAGGTGGAGGGGGCATAAGAAGTTTGGTCGAGAAGGTCGTTGAAGATGTTCTCATCAAGAAGGGTATCGTGAAACAGTGAAAATGTATTGGTGCATGTATGTAGTCCATAATGAAAAACTCTCATAGTAATACGACAACGGCAGGTGGAGGTGATTAGATCACTCTTGGATATGTTTAAAAAAGAGGTAGAACCATATATAGAACCCCGGGAATATCCGAGATCCCTTTACGGCGGTATGGCCTTTGGTTTGGCGATCGGCTACATATGTTGCCTTCAAGTAACTCACTGCATTCATACACAGGCTCTTGACTCTCCTTCGTCGACTCACCGACAACAGGAGGGTGCGACATTTACTCACAGACACATGTAATGGATGCACAGATCAGGGCAAAGGTAAATAGTCCTTTAACTCCGTGGTAAACACGGTGCTCAGTGAACGCGACAGGTTACGTCGAGGCTGGATTATTCTGGCAGGTCGCGTCCAGGATCTCCCGCGAAGGGTATTTCGTTGTCACCACCTCCAATAATCAGAGCCAAGGCAAAGGTCAACAGTAGTGCAAACATCGCAGCTCGGAAGCCTGGTGCAATATCTGCACCGGGTTCGGTTGCTAAAGTCAATGTGGGCTCCTCACTTCCGCGCTCACCGTCACCATTCAAACCCGCGCATACGCGACCTGCGACGAACTCTCCGTCTGTTTCAACCTTCAAGACTAAGGTATCAGCGGCTTCACGCCCACATAGCGTTATATCGGGTCATTCACCCGATTCACGACCACGAGCTCTCACAAGTACCACTAATGGAAGTCTGTCTCCACCAACCGGACCTACACGAATGCGGCGAGGTAGCGTATCTTCAACGCTCACTGCTCCACCTATCACGCGCAGTCATCTTTCTTCACCATCCGCTTCCAAGTTTCCCGTGCCATCCCCGAATGACGACTCCAATGGAGGAAGTAACGTGCGGGTGAGGTCCAAGGTATCAAGGTTAGCAGACCATGTACCTGGTTTACCTGCCTCGCTTCCGTCATCTCCTTCTCTACTCGCACACCGGACGTCACGTCCGATCTCCACATCCAACATCAAATTTACACCTGCTCTAATAACATCTAACATGACTGCGACCGCTTCAAGCCCTTCATCACCCACTTCTGCGCATTATCGATTCTCGAGTACACGCGAAGTGCATAGTCCGAGGCATGCTAATATATTCCAGGCATTTACTTCTAATGACGACCACACTGTGTCTTATACTTCGAATAAGTCAACCGATGCCAAGGTCGACCCTGTTTCAATTCCTCTGCCCCCGCAGTCGCCACCAGCATCCTCTGTGTCATTTTCATCTCGCTCATCCGCGTCGAAGTCATCTGTATCATATGGAAGTGAGGTTCGCAACTCCGAGGGAAGTAGTAGCACAGCGCCTGTACCTCATTCAAAGGTGAATGGCAAGAGCAATGGACATGCCCACGATCGATTAGCGGCTTCGCCACCAATCCGATCTAATATGAACGGTTTGGGCATACGATTGGAAGTCTCCACGTCGGAGGGCGGTAGCGACCTGTCACCAAGCATGGATAGCTTCGACAGTGACAGTGCACATGGAAAAGATGGTTCATACGAACCTGACTTCGATGATGAGCCAGACACAGATCGGCAGAGAAAACGGGAGGCCAAATCCATTCGGAAGGTATGCAGATAGCTATCGGTTTTATTGCGTTAACTCTTAGACACACCTGTCATCCGGTGTAGATTGCAGACCTGGAAATCACCAACCGTTCCCTTCTCGCTATCAACTCATCCCTTGAAGCTACCAAGCATCGGCAAGCCAAGGAGATACGCGACCTTCGTCGCAAACTACGAGAATCTCGGCTTATTTTGCCTCCATCCGCATATAAAGCGGTAACCTCATCTATAGTAGAGGACGACACTGTGGAAACCGAGGAAGCAGAAGAGGAAGACGAGGAAGAGCAGGCGGTAATTGAAGGGAAGACAGATGAAACGTATCGGCGGGTCCGATCACTTTTGGAAGGGCTTATAGAGCAGGGGAGAAGAGCCCTGGAGACAACGCCCGATGATTTAGCAGCTAGCGGGAAGGGCGGCGCCAAAGTGTTGCATGAAGTGGAAGCAAGAACATGGCGTGGAGACGATCCTGAAACCCATTCTATCATATCACGCGACGATGTGGATGACCAGACGCATCTCGACGTGGATCATGCATCGCTAACATCAAGACCGCTCAGTCCGTCACGAATAGCCGTACCGGATGATGACGACGGGCTTGGCAGTGAGGACGAAGTGGAAGCAACGTTACTGGAACCTGACACGGATGATATACCTTCTGCACCTATACCCCCGATCACGGTTACGCACCCATAGAACTATGATACAGGATACGACAATTTTAGGGAGGAGAACAAGGAACTCAGGAAGAGGAGGCAATAATTCTTCATGTTCATTCACACACCACATCTCGTTGCATTTGTTTGACTCTTTACATCATTATGCTCACGACTCCGGAAGCGGTGGCATCCTCAATATGTTATACCTCACTGTACATCACAGACTCTGATACAGTATATACATACCCATGCAATATTTTTTCCACTCATATACCTCAGGATCACAATGGGAATTATCCCTCGGCTTGCCGCTATCATGGAGAGCGACGCAGGGTTGCCGCATACGTTCATGCTTGAAGCCCTGATAGAAATCATTCGCCGCCGTTGCCTTATTTGGTCCTGCGAGGTCGCATTTGGAAACACAGTTTCCAAAAGTGATTAATGAGAAACCTCCACTTCCTAAGCCCGTTCCAAATGAGCCATATGCGCTCCTAGAACAAGGTATAATATTCTTCTATTCCACGTGAGATAGTCCAACTATGCATATACACATTTGGGAAGCATCCAGGAGACATTGTAGTAGGTTATTCATTTTCAGCTAGCTTTTGCGCCCGTCTCGCCAACTGGAGGAAGATATCAGTAAGTCTTGACACATGACAAATGGAAATGTGCGTACCGCAGCCGCGAGGTCCAATTGTCCACCGACAGCAGGCTTTGGAGCGCCTCCCACTTTCGTTGGTGGCTTCGCAACGCCTGGCCTAGGGGCCGTCGGTACATGTGGCTTGCCCGGTGCTCTCGGGGCCCCCGGCTTACTTGCAACGGGAGGTGAAGGTTTGGGTTTAGAAGCAACAGGTGGCGGAGGAGGTTTGCCCGCCAAAGAGCTGCTTGGTCTTGAACTCGCAGGCGTATGATCTTGGGTGGCCGCGTGGAGTTTCTTCCATGGCGCGGCAGAACCATTGGACGGCGCCATCCCCGGAAAGACTGCCATAGGCATCGCAGAAGGGTCGGCAGCCACTGATTTGGGGACAATCCTGGCCGCGGCTGGTGCGTGTGGTGCTGCAGGGACCGAGCGAGGGGCAGCGGGCGGTGGCGGAGGAGGTGGCGGAGGAGCGGCAGCGGCCTTGGGTTTATGGGGTACTAGCTCCAGATAGTTGCTTGGAGCCCACCCTTCGACGCCACTCTTCTTCACTAGCCACCAACCATTGTCATCCTTCTCGACAAGCTCAACGATATCATCTTTCTTCAGCGTCATCTCACCCTCCTGCCCATCGAACGCAAACTTGGCCTTGTATCGTTCAACATCAGGTTCTTCCGGGGGAGGAGGTGGCGGTGGAGGAGCGACCGTTCGACCTGGAGGCGGTGGTGGAGCACGGGGTGCAGCTGATGACACGGAAGTCCTTGCTGCCGCAGGTTTGACCGGTTGGGCTATCGAAGATCTGCCAGGTAACGGCTGAGCGGCCGGCTTCGGTCTAGCTCTCGAAGCCGCGGGTTTCTGGTACTGGTGGTCAAAGGAGAAAGGGCACACATTGAACGAATAACTCACGTCAGAAGGACCACCCTTGCGTAGCAGTTTGCCTTGAGTGATAGGCCTGACGACACCCTCCTTTCGCTTTGCAGGAGGTCGCGAAAGACTACTTGGGGGCTCGCCAGAAGGAACATGAACTGCGTGACTCTTATAGTGCCCTTCTTTCGACGCGGTTTCGTCCTTGAGGAACTTGACGGTTTGCTTCTTCTCCTTCTTCTTTGTATATTCCACGCTTTATGATAGTGAGAGACGAAAAGAAGCGGGAAACAGGTATTCACTTACATAGGACCTATAAGCACGTTGATGCTCGCACGTGTCACTTGCAGAAGGTGAGTGACAAGCTCTGTCTTGAAGACGCAATTGATGAATGGATCGCCCTCTTCAGTAGGCCCAAGGTTCAAAGCCTGTTAGGGAATGAGGACCGTGAGTTGCCAAATACTTGATAGGAAAACACCTACCAGCCAGTCATCTTGTAAATTGGACAATGAAACGCTCTTGATACCGCTCAGAGATATCTTCCGCTCTGCTGCAAAGATTGTCTGCCCATCCTTTGCATGGGCGATAACAATAAAGAGCGCCTTCTGAGTCTGCAAGAAGATGTGTTTTGTTACTGTCAAGTTGGATGCAAGGTCCATAAAAGCAAAACATACTACGACGAGGTAACGTGGACTTGGTTTACTCGCCCGACCGAGTTTCGAGACAAGAACTTGAATCCTTGAGCTGAAAGTCACTTGCTCGGCTTTCAAATGCGGCATGAGTCATTGTATTTTTATCGGAGGATTTCGTCACTCACAGATTCCACATGCAGAAGACAGTTCCTCGCCAAGTGCACTCTTGCCATTGATATCGAGGTAATCACCCATAAAGCGACGGTAACTGACCAAGCTGAACCGTCGTCGTTCCTTCCTGCCTGCAAGGACCTGGTGGCCATAGTCACGAATCTTGGCGTATTCAAGACCTTCCTTGTTGTTCTTCCAGAACCGTTGAATACGGCGAGCACATTCATGTTTGTACCTCATGTAGTTACGCCAAGCACGTTGAATTCGACCAGCCATGTTGTGCCAGTATTTATCTCGCATAGTTTCCAAAGCGAACAGCTGTATAAGGACTAAGCATCGCATTTAACAGTCAGATTATTACGGAACGTACGGTTTCTGGATTCTTGATGAAAGCCTTCGTGGTGCCCATTTGCCATTCATCCTTAGATATGCCAGTGTCGGTCAGGATCTTCTCACATCCTGACTTGGTATCTCCTTGCCATGTATATTCTCCCGCGTAGGACGTGGAGGGAGAAAGCAAATAGAATCGTTCAACCATCTTCTCAAAGGTATTTCGGTACGCGAAACCCGCACGTCGAACACGAATGTTCTCTTGAAGACCCAGGTACTTGATCTGATGCAGGACCGCCTTCGTATCGTACTCTGTAGCACTTCGGTTCTGGTTCGGCTTGATGGTGCGAATGTATGAGGGCTGAGCTTTCATGAGGTTCTCCACCAGGGCTTGAGCAGATGCCTACAAACTGTTTCAGCTGGCAAGCGACAGGTCGAATGCACACCACTTGCCTTGATTTTGTCACCAGCGGTTGGTGGCCTCTTCTTACTGTTCGGGTCTGGACGATCGGGGAACAGCCCTTGCAGGAACTGATTGGAGCTTGTGCCGATCAAATCCAGAAGATCTTTAGCGAGAATGTCCTTGTTCTTGTCCGTCATGCCAGAAACATTGTACATGACATCACCAGCATAGTGCCTTACGAGGAATTGAGTACCACGAGACTCAAAATGTGGGTTCGACGATAGGGAGGACATCCGCTGAATGAAACTGTTATCGGCTGCGGTCGGGTCAGCATGAGCCGTAGCACATGCATCGTTCAATGCGGCGAAGATGCCTGGAGGACGACGTTCCTCGATCAGGTCACATACAATCTTGTTGTTGAAGTACTTGATTGGATTCCACTTGATCTGTTCGCGGACATACTCCTCCTGCTCAGTCTTCAATGTGAGCTCAATGAAGATCTGCTGCAACTTCTCGTTGACATAATTGATACAAAGTTGTTCGAAGGAATTGTCCTGCAAAGTGTCGCTTAGATTCTGACGTGATAAACGACGGCATAGAACAGCGCACCTCAAAGATTTCGAAGCCGAAGATATCCTGAAATGAAATGAGGTCAGAGATATCTCACAAAAACAGTATCACGCACGAGAATGCCAATCAGCTGGGCAGTCGCAGACCGGGGCTTCATCGACACGTTGATCTTAGAGACAATCCACTCGAACAAGTTATTGTAGATCGCCTTCGCCAATGCGTCTCGGATGGAGCTAGCTTGTGAGGGATTCTGAGGGACGTCATATATTGATCCACGCCTCCCACCTCGTTGCGTCTCCATGATGCGTATTGTGAGCGCTTTCTGAACGAGGGCAGGCTCGACCTCCATGAGGTATCCCACGAAGTCCGTGACACTCGTATCCGAAATCTGTGAGTTCCCACTATCGTCCTCGACGAATTGGACGTTTCCGACCCAGAGAACTGCAGCAAGCATGCGGAATATTTCACTCTGTTCGTAGTCAGTAAGACCGATGACTTGCATGGCTTTCTGAAACATGTGTACCATGAGCAAATGAAGAGATCTCAACTGAACCCATCACTCACGATCGTCTCATTGAAATCTTGACTATCGTCGATACCAGATACCTCGAGACAGTTGCTCACGCTTGTGTAAGCATAGGCATCGGGGGTCTGGATGCCGTAGGCCTCTAAAAGGATGTCAACAAACGTCAGTGTAATAATTGCATAAATGAATACCTCGCATTTCTTGAGGAGCGGCCTTCGTGAACTGATAGAAAATATGGAAATTACGCTCATTTTCCACCTGCCCTACCACTCGGCCTTTCTCCAACAGATAGTTCGTAATCTGAGCACCGATCGGTTCCCCCTGCTGGTTAAACATGATCTCCAGGTATTTACCCTGTAGAACGATTGTTGGTTAATGCTCAATACAAGTGCCGTATGAGACCCTTACATGTCGACTAGAGTTGTTGTTCCGTAGGGTTTTGGCACAACCGAAACTCTCAAGGAGAGGATTTGTAGCGAGTACCATGTCCTTGATTTCTTGGATACTGCTGTCCTGCCCACCAGAGACCGCAGCGATGTACTGCATAATCCGCTTTGCAGCTTCTGTCTTGCCTGCACCAGATTCGCCAGAGATTATAACGCACTGGTTCTCGTGATACGCGTTCATGTTGTAGTACGCCGACTCTGCGATACTGAAAACGTGAGGAGGGACCTCCAGCCGATTCTTGCCCTTGTATCGTTGGAGAACGTCCTCGGTATAGATGCCCAAGTCTATCAAATGCATTCAATATGGTGGCATTATGGGCGTGTTGGTTGCAACTCACCTCGGAATGGATTCACAGATATCAACACGCCACCAATCCAAGTGTAGATGTCTCCATTGAGCCACCGCTTCTGCAGATTCTCATTGACACTTTCATTTGTGATCGTGGTCAACAAGGTCATATCGGTCACTCCGACCGACTTCTTCTTGAAACCTTCCTTCCAATCAGCCTGTTGATATTGTTGAGGGATCAGATGCTTTGGACAATCAATAACAGTATATATACGTACCTTTGCCACCTTGGAAGCACCTGCTCCGCCTTTCTTCGGCGTAGCTGCCACCTTCTTTCCTGCTTTCTTAGACACCGCCTGCCCAAACGGAGGTTGGAGATATAGTAAGACATAGGCTTCGACTCTACTGACCATGATTGTTCAAAGACAAAACAAACTTCTCCTTCCCACTAGTTATCGTATCCCAGGTGTAAAGACTGCAGGTTGCAGTGTGTAGAATGAATGGTTGCGGCGCGGTTCAAGGCCGTAACAATGCGGTCGTGGTTGTTTCTATAATCTAGAGGCCGTGATGTGGCAAGATGGATTTGGTACTGGTATTAGAGAGATCCTAGTGTGCCAGAACCAAGATCGGATGGATGCGTTAGTGGAAGGTCGTGGTAGAGGTCAAAGCTGAGATATGACGCTTGGGCAATACGCGATACCGTCCAAGCCTTACGGTATGACATGGGACAAGCACAGGCGCGTACTGGCATCATGATACTAAACCCTCTCGACAACGGACACCGAATGTCAAATGAGACATTATTATACAGGGTTATACTTCTATATTCATTTTACAACCATTAAGCTATACGAACATTCGCCACTGTTGTGAGTATATGCAAATTTCGAATATTTCTTACTGCCGTCCAATCCATCATCCCCCTAGTCTAAATTTGTCAAGCTGTTATGGACACACCGCACTCCATCATGCACTTCAGAGCCTCGGCAGCTGATCTGAGCACAGGTGCACTGCGGTCCGCAGAGTTATCCTTGAACACACGCGCCAAGGCTTGTACCAAACCCAGCCGCTGCGCTTCCAAAGCCAGCTCTTTTCGCGCAGCCGAATCTTCCACTCCCACAACAAAGTTTCGTATACAGACAACTCCTCGATGAACAAGTCCTGGATCACCTTGAGTAGGACTTCTGATTTCTTCCACAACATCCTCGTTGCCCGATTCATCTGGCAGTGGCACGATAGTAGGGTCTACAAGTTGCGCGAAAATTGGCAATACGTGATGTCGTTCGGTCTGCAATTCCAAAAGGGACTGGCATGCTTCTGGAGCTGCAGTCAAAGTCGCCAAGGCTCCGGACGCAGCGAGCCGTGTTGGTAAGTCATCGAGATCGCAAAGCGCGACCAAGACTTGTAGCTTAGACTTTGCACTCGCGTTCCTCTCCCCTCCATACCTGTTGAACACCTCTTCACTACCAGCGACGATATTACATATAAGCTCCGTGGAAGCCCTGCGGATGAGCGTGTGATTCTCCAGCATGAGAAGCTCCACTTTGTTCATTAATCCTTCTGCCTTGGCTATCCGATCAGCAGCTTCAGGACTTGAGGACGACAGATTGGTAAGCGCCATGATTGCCTCAAATTGTTGCAGAAGATTGGATGTCGGATGCACCAGCATGAGAGCGAACGGACGGATCGCGTCGTACAGAGCACCCTCGTTGGGACCAAAGACCTGCACTGGTGAGGCGGTGATGGCAAGTTTAGCCAGCGCTTGTATCGGCTCGAGGTCTAAAGTATGCAAGGGTGATAAATTGTGCGGTTGCGTAGAGCTGGTAGGCGAAGGGAGCACTCCATGTATGATGGTCATTAAAGCCTTTGCTCCCCCCGACTGCAGAACTTTGCCTCGGTTCTCCTTGTCCTCCACTAGACTAAGGAGAGCCTTCCCAACAAGCAACCGTACTGCGCGACTGTCCGTCGCTTTGACCGCTGCCGATAATGCACCCAGAACTCCAGCTTCGATCAACCGTCGCCCTCGCTCCTGAACATGTTCCTCATCTTCCAGTTTACTGACTTCAGGATCCTCTTCAGGTTGGCCTTTCCCAGGTACTTTAGCCATGCGTCTCAACTTCGCAATTTGAGCTTCTTCTTGGGATAGCTTGGGTCTATAGGCGCATAGATTTGAGATGATTAGGACAGTGCCATATATGGGTGACATCCCTGCCTCCGGTGTGTCGGTAGATGCGGAAGGCTTATGGGGTATTAGACTGAACAGACGTGAAAGAAATGTGACATCAGATGAGAGCTGCTCCTTGAATTTCGGATCTACGCTCAGATATGCAAGTCCCTCGACAGCATCCGATAATGAGCTGATATTCAGGCCCTCAACGACGAGTCCCTTCATGAGTTTCATGAGTTCGTCGCTACTGCTCGACGATGATGGGCCTTCCGACCCGCCGATCTCAGAGGCATCTGATTCCGACCCTCGAGAAAGCTTTATGAGTGCGACAGCCGCCGCGGCTCGCGTCGCAGCATCTGCATTTTGACGGGACTTCGACTCCAACCATTCGATATATTGGGGAGGGACGGCGACACGACATGTCTTATGTCCCACCGCCTGACCCAGTAGTTGAGCAAGGGCAATTGAAATATCTGAAGACTTGGGAAAGAGATCCGCGCCATCGAAGACGGATTCTATGGCTCCATCTTGGGTAAAGATGGCTGAGGCGGCCTGCCAGTCAACTTGGAACAACGCAGTCAAGAAGGTAAGGCCAGAGATGACATTCTGTTCATCTGTTTCTGCTAGTCTGGATATAATAGCAGGGCCTAGTGCTCGAGCAATAGCATCTGTGGCCTCGTCAGGCTTCCCCGAGGTCTCGCGAAGACGCTGACAAAAGGCAGAGACGCCTATATATGCTTTGGATCGGATAGTAAGAGGTTGAGAAGGAAGAAATGCAGTAACGAGGAGATTGAGCTCGTCCTGAAGGAGGGTATTCCATGATTTTTCCTGAGATTTCTTAAGGATAGTGTCCAAGTCAACCTCAAGGTCGGTCGACAACATGGTTATATGCTGTTCCCACGTGGCGGCGTTTGGTAGGATTTGAATCTCGATCGGAGCGTCAAACTGTCCTCTACGAACGCTTTTCGAGAGGAAGCCGTTGAAAAACTCTCACAATCTTCGAGTGCCTTCAGGACGTAGAAAGCGATATGGATGCCGGCGAGGGGTCCTCAAAGAACGCTACAGAACCTGTTAGGACGATACAGTCCGGAGATACCATTTTGCTTAGAATTCCAAGTGGGGACGTGCGAACTTTAAAGTTGGAAAAAGGAGGGTGAGTAATGGGTTATCTTCTGAGTACTGCACACGACATTTAGTATGACTATCTCTATAGAACTATAAATCTTGGAAAATTCGGATCCTTCTACTCCAACGAGCTCATTGGCCAACCATTTGGCTTGACATATGATATTTCCGACAAAAAGCTCGAAGTTATTCCTCCGCGTACCTTCCAGGAAGTAGGTAGGAGATAATCCGTTGGTAATTGTACACATCTGACAGGTACTGCAGAGGAAACGGATGCGACAAACGAATTGATTGTCGATGGACAGGTTCAGCCTCTATCACTAGAAGAAATCGAAGCGTTGAAGAAGTCAGGTGTCCCTGCCTCGGTGCGTAGTCCTCGCGGTCCAAAGCGTACTGGATCATTGAATACCTTCTACACATAGGAAATCATTCAGAGGCAAATAGACCAGCATAAGAACTTCCAGCTCAAGACCGAATACAGCAAGGAGAAATACAAGAAACGAAAGGAGGCAAAGTATGTACCATATCCCCCGGTGTCTGGCTTATGGCTCATTGGTTTATCCCCTTGACAGATACTCGAAATCGTTTAGTACGATCAAACCAACGTTGTTTAATGTCTGTGACTACTGGTTCAAGAAAGACCAGAGTAGACTGCGCGACATCCGTCCAGATACGCTATCTCAAATCCTGAACATGGCAAATATTCGGCCCGGAGGAAGGTATCTAGCGGTTGATGATGCATCTGGTATTGTCGTCGCAGGTTTGCTCGAACGTCTGGGAGGTCAGCATCCGAGATGATTGCCCATTATCAACCCCAACTCAAATTATCCCACATAGGTCAAGGCCGTTTGATCACCATTTGCGACGTGGAGTCACCGCCAGCATACCCTGTGCTCACCCAAATGAACTTCAGCAAAGAGGTCATTTCGATCATGTCGTCTCTAAATTGGGCCACGGCAGATGAAGAATACACCCCAGGTACATATGAACAGTCTGACGGTCATTCGCTCAGCTTTCTGACACGTATGTATGTAGTATTAACAATGGCAGATGCTAATGCTGACACTCCAAAATCGGAATCGCAACGATCTCGCGTGAACAAGCGAAAGAGCATGGCTAGCGCTCTGACACAAACGAGGGAAGAACTCTTTGCTGGGGAATTCGATGGGTTCGTATAGTTTCCTTATCGAGCTTCGTTCTATCTCTCATACGACCTGTGCCCGTAGCCTGATTGTTGCAAGTCAATACGACCCATTCTCGATACTTGAGAAGCTAATGCCATACCTCGCTGGATCCGCGTCGATAGTAGTACATAGTCCCTACGTTCAAGTGAGTGTTATCACACATCTTTGTGTGACGGATCAAACATCAGGATTGTCTCTCATTTCTTCAAATTTGTTCACACAGATTGTTTCGGACTTGCAAGCAAAACTGAGAGATATCCCCACATATCTCGCACCAGCGATATCTGAAGCCTGGCTACGGCAGTATCAGGTATGCCATTCTTTAGTGTCATAGTGCCCATGTTGATGTAAATGTTCTGTAGATTCTGCCTGGTCGCACTCACCCTCTTATGAACGCCTCAGGCTCAGGAGGATTCATTCTGCATACCATCAAGGTGTACGTGTTGGCAATATCTTCCCGCTGTATGTCACTGATTGTGTATGGCTTCATCAGTTACGATGATCCATCAGCGTCCTCGGTTAACACACACCGACGTGCAAAGAAGGCTCGTTCAGAGCAGCTAGTGTCGCGACTATCTAGTACAGCTCCTGAACAGACGCCTGGGCAACGTGAGCCAGCAATAGATATTGCAGCGCAATCGGCAGCCATTCAGATGGAGGTTGATCCAAGTAATACCCCCAGCTAAGGCTCAGCATTCATGTAGTAGTATCTTTGGTGTCCTGGTGCAGCAAAACTTGCTGAAATGCATTGCTCCGGTCATAAATGTAGTATCGTGGGGTAAGTTAAATAGTAGAATGATGAAGTACTGGTAAGGGGTATCGTCGTCGTAAAAATGTCGTAAGCAGGTCATGACGTTGCCTCAGGGAACAGTGCAAGGAACACCTGGATGAGCGTGAGTTAAGGAATTCACGTGAGTGTTGAGTAATTTGAGTAACATACCTCGTCAACTATAGTATAGATCAAATGTTGGTTAAGCCGTCGATTCTGTAGGACAGCGAATATCCGTCGTGCACCACGACGGGCATTAGATCGTCCAATCATATTGGCAGCAAGGTCTACAAAGAGGATGAGCCAAGCCAAAACCAGGGAGAACGTTACTACTCACCAGGAATCAGAGCTGAAAGTTTGCGATTGGCATCATCGCGCGTTCGGAGGCGTTCTTCTGCAGTGCGAGGCACATTGGAAGACACAAGTTGACCGCCAGGCCACAAGCTGTCTCGGAAAAGTTGTATGTAGGACATGAGATGCGGCTCGTCGGTGAAAACTTTCACAGTCTCCCTCAATTTTCTAGGTTACAATTCAGTACCTTTTATAGCAAGCAGTTGCAGTGATACATACCGCTCGATGGTTTCGCCAAACACTTGTTGGAGAATGATAACAATAGCCTGCCGACGGAGCCAGTTATTTGTCTTGTCCAACTCAAACACAGCCAGAATCAAGTCACAGATGGGCGATGAGAAGGTCGACGTGCTAGTTTCACCATCGATGGGTTTCAAATCGCCAGGCAATTGCAACAAACTATCTTCCGAAGTTGTCTTCCCTGACGCTCGTAGTGCTTGAGCAACGAGGTCTTCGTCATGTACACCGGAACCCACAATCCCCGCCAACTCCGCAGCTTGAGTTGTTAGCCTTTGGATTATGACATCCAACATGGATTGTCCAAAGAACATATCGTCTATGCTTTCAGCCAGAGATTGATAGACGGACCGCACGAGTGCCTTTCCTGGGAATGCGGATGTTGTGCCCTTAGCAGCGGAGGCGGCCGCATTGAAGGGCGAATCCCTCGATAGGAAGGTACGGAGTTCCTCACTTTCGCATACGGCCGGAATGGCAATGAGACTCTGTTACAGAGATGTGAGCGATCTGGTTACTAACAATAATAGCTACATACCTGAAGATATTTCTCCAGTGCTACGCGACGCGAATCGACGAAGCTCGCGTTGAGAGATGTAACAAGACGCTTTCCCGGAAAATCCAGACTCCGTACAAGAGCGTACTTTTCCCGGAGTTTGTTATGCATATTGAAGAACTCGTTATATCGACGTGCGATTACCCATCCGGTGGCGAAGCTCCCATCAGGTGCGAGTTGCTGGACTTCGATCAGGTATCGCACGACAGACTTCCCATCCTCTTCCGCTGTCGTCGAGTTCACAATGGATATCTTCGTTCGATCCGATACTAAACGGTTGGCTGATTCTTGTTGTTCATATTGAGTCTTCTGGAACCTTAGCTCACGTATCTCCCGAGTCAAGGAAGACTTGGACTTGCGCAGCAATCGTAACTCTTGCTCGTCGCCAGTAAGCTCAGCCTTCTTAATGAGAGTATCCAGCATATGGTCCTGTGATTGTAAGCTGTCAAGCTTGTCCGAGAGACGTGCGATCTCGTAAGAGAGCTGTAGATCACCCGGACCAGCCAGTTGGTAGGAACTATGTGCTCCGCCTTGAGTCTCATGTATTTCTCGTTCATCTTCGGATCCGCCCTCTTCGACATCACCGCGCACAGATGGCAACGTCGTCGATGCTGAAATGTCATCTCGTAGACTACGAGCGTGTGAATCGGTATCTTGATTGTCCAAGGCAATAATGTCTGTAAGGGCTGCATGAATGGCTTCCATCCGTTGAGATTGGGCCTTCATTGCGGGGTCATTTGGATCATCAAATAGAGGAGCACGAGATGACGAAGAAGCATTGTCAGCAGCGGGCGACATGAGTAACTCTAAGTTGGAAGGGGATGCACGGGAAGGAGGCGAACTGACAACGCCTGGGCCTTGTATGTCGGACTTGGTTGACAGTTCGCGTTTGTGTGATGGGAAGCTGAGGATAGGGAATGACTCTGAGCGGTGTGCAAAGGGTCTCGTATCAAATGGGTGTGCTGAAGACAAACGTGACGACGCTTCACGTGCGTGGTCCCAACTTTCCGTACTCGCCCTGCGAGGATGTAGATCGACATCCCTAACGACGCGGAACCATAACTCGGAGCGTTTGAAGTCCTCGAAATCACTCTCCATATCCTTCTCCACATGTCTCTGGGCCAGCATGACACTGCGGCGTACCCTGCGTTCCGCGGCAAGCGTAGGAGAATTATTATCCTGTCCAAAAGACTTTATGACGTTGACATGCTTTTGCGGAACCGCTGATAAAGCTGGGTCAGGAGTGGTACCAGAAAAGTACAATTCATTCATCATTGAAATGTCTTCCTTCAGAGTAGCGGCCAATGAAGGATCCGTAAGGGCATCGTCATCGTCTCCGGAGCTGTCCGAATCAACTGATTCGAGAGGATTTTTAAAGCTCTCAACGGTAAGCCAGAATTGTACGAGCAACGAGCGATTGCGCCTGTCCATGAACTCCATGAAATATGACAGAGAACTCGGATTGGTAAGGATATCGCGTAAAGTCAAGCGCGTGGAAGCAGTAGGTTCACTGTAAGATGGCGAGGAAAGCTGAATGGCCTGTGAGTTAGAACTCTAGAGAAGACGAGATTAAGGCGTACAGCATCTTCCTCGCCGCCTAGGATAACAATACGCTTCTCCACCTTACGCTTGGCCGTATACAAACGGTCAAGGAATGCAACAATGTCTTCCGTCTTCTCTCCGTTGATCCAGTCTTCGTTCTCATGACTAGCTACCATCAAGCCTCAGAAGCAACTCTCAAAACATCGTATACACTGAGATGCTAACCAAGTAGTGTCCTGGTTCGGCGAATTTCGCCCATGATGTCATTCTTCAGACGGCGAGCATCGAGTAAAGAAGAACATCGATTGATGCTGCGTAGGAAAGATTCGAATTGACGAGGATCGGTACGAATTGTTATGGTATTGTCTGTGCTCGTTGGCACTGCCACACCCACAACGCGAGATTGAGGAAGGGGTATTTGTGCCTCCAGGACATTTCGCACTTTAGATATGAGCCGTCTATGTTCTAAATGAGTGTCTGCACATATGAGAGCTCGTGTTTGACCTACTGTTGACGGATTGCAGCACCAGCCTAAGTTACATACCATTAGTGAGGCATCGACTCTACGCTCGGGAAGAAACATACCACTTGATCGATAGACTTATTCCAAAAGTCGGGATCGGACAACATATCCATTACAGGATACAGGACAGAACTCGCCATAATCTCGCGCACCACAATCTTTAGAGCTTTGCTTCCAGCTTCTTTCTCGGGAAGAATATGCGGCAACGCCTTGTCAATAAGTTCTCGCAGATGCGCCTCCTCAGTCTGTTTCGTGAAGGTAGAGGACAGGTTGTCCACAGCTGAATGTAACTTCCCTCCTCCTCTACTTGCATACCGGCTAGCGAGTAGGAGGTCTAATTCCTCAGACTGAGTCAGCCGACGTTCCAAACCAGCACCTCGTAAAGCCATCTCGGACTGTCGGAATTGTTCTATGTGAGCCGTCACCTTGGGCAGGATACGTTTCACGATGAGCGCTGGAAGATCCAAACTTTCAATGCGGGATATGAGTCGCTGGAGCGAGCTATGTATGGTAACCGAAACAGCCGTAGGAAACGAAGGAGAGCTGGAAATCTCCTTGTACCAGGTCAGTACGAAATCCCTAACGATCATGATAAGAATGTCATTCAGTGCGGCAGAGATGACTGGAGAAGCTGGAAGGAGTGGCGATAGCGACTGTGGTGACTTGTGAGACCATTGTGATCGAGTGAGGACCGCCTGCCATGCTGCGGGAGTAGAGAATGCCAAAGGCCGGGCAGCGGTACGAAGAGTATTCGGTGTTGGAGGCCTAGTAGAGTCTAAAAAGTATCCGAGAGCAACGTTTAGCAAGAGGAAAGCGAGAACAAGAAGTAGCAGAAATAACGGAAACAGTAGCACGAGAATGACTGGTGAAGAGAGTGTATGTAGGACACCTGGTAGTACAAAGCCAATAGCAATCAGGAGCAATATGCCCTGCCTGCTCAAGCTAAGCAGCATATTCAGAAAGAAAGGATTTGTGGGGGGCTATCATGAAGGGCGGGTCCAAGGGATGGTGGTCTAAAAGCTGAAAGACGAACTCAATGATCGAGTTTGTGAACGGACTGAATCAATTATGGAAACCTTTTCCCGGCACGGGCATCGACGCGTCGCGCGTCTGCGCGACGTCTGCCCATTCAAGCCATATTGACGAAGACGACCAAAAAATGTACAATAATGTAAAAATCCTATTGAACTACGTTCCGTCCCCGCGTCGAAGCCTGTTGAACTTCGGCAACATATCCTTCAGATAATCAGCGTGTTTCTTTCGTAGGTCAGCCTCTTGGACCTTCCCTCTGCCACTCCACGTACGTCTCTCTCCAGCAGGCCCATAGATAACGGTGTATTCGTCTAGAATTTCGTCTTCGGTCGGTACAACAAGGCATCCGGCACCAATGACACAGTAAGATGATATCCTGACAGTGTGGTGGACGCGAGCGCGAGTTGAGATGGTGTTGAAGTTGCCGACGGTTGGCGATTCGACACCTAGTCTCGATGTTTAACGGCTGACTTTATCGTATCTGAGACGTACTCACGACAACCTATCTCAAAGAGGTTGTCATCGCCTATGCGCATGACTTCCTTTCGCCTGAAAACATCTCATGAACATGATTCGGCAATGATACCTCCAACATACCGATTTACAATGATTGCGCCTTCTTCAATAATGCATCCTGTCCCAATCACAATGGGTCCAGCAATGGCAAATATAGTCGCCTTAGGATGAACGATAGTTCCTACGCACATTCTGGTGGGGGAGATTATAAAACGCGAACTTAAGAGACCAACCTGCACCGATCGTGATGTCTCCCTTCAGCTCAACGTCTTGACATACAATGGCCTTCGAATGTATAGTGAATTTGTCGCGTCTGACTTCGGCAATGGTCAATCGCTACTGGTATTGAATAGCAAAGGGAGGACACTAACATCGGAGCCATTTTCAGATTTCGTAAGAATGGAATGAAATGTGGGACTCGGAGGTCAAATCAGTCCGCAGGCATAGGAAGCCTGGAGTTTCCAAGTTTGTTGCCGAGAATAAGGACCCTACCTATGACGGGCCTGGCCGGACAATATTATGAATTTACTGAAGGTGTGGAAATGTGGTTTGGGGTCGTGAGAAGTTGTGTCAGTGCGTACAAATTGAGGGAACTTTTGAATTTAGGGCGTCTATCAAATTTTTGGCGGGCGTCACAGTCGGCAGGCTACTTGCCGAGCGGAAGTCAATCTTGCATTGCCTTATCTGGCTGTCTCACCTCAGTAAACAAAGGCTCATGGCGTGCACAATCACAGTCTCAGCGAGGCTTAAACAGGTCTGCAAGCACTCGCAGAATAACACCTCTCTGCTTTCAGCTGCATGGTCTATTTTGGGAAATGTTTTATGCCGGCCGAGAGGAACTGAGATAGCTTGCCAGGTGCCTAGGAACAGCCGAAATAGGAAGGATGGCTGCCTAAAGCCGTAAATTTGGTATATGGTTTGATGATAATATTACAGCTAAATGCAGAACAATAGGCCCCTCTTCAATTTTTTCTGCACCTGTCGCTTAGTACGCGAATGTAGCCAGTTTGCATCCGCAGTTGTGACCCACTGTGACCACGCCTATTCGCTCCTGTGCAGTATGTATGTAGTCTGTCATAAAATATATGCACTATAGTAGTATGTCTACAAAAAGCCTGAGCTGCAGTGGTACTGCACTCTCTTGGCAACACTACCTAGAGTCTTCACTGATGATGTCACAGTGATTGGTGAATTGCATGGCTGAGATACAGAGAGTAGATAGTGAGATATGGTACTTATAGCTGCTTGAATATTATTGAAAATACAAGGCGGTCCCTTATAAGTGGGAACACGAATAACCTGCAGTATGCTTTCATGAGTCACTCAATGGGAATGCATGCCAATATTGATGTATCAGTGAATGATTTTGTATGAGTGCCCATGGTCAAGAATCATACTAACAGTAATTTCCCAGGATATAATGATGCATCCTTGATAGTTTTGACATAAAAGAGAGGGGGAACAGGGTGTAATGTTGTCGATTGGATAGCGAGTGACAAGGGAGTGACATCGAACTACAATTGTTCTCTGGCATCTACACAATCAGCTCTCTGCAGCTGCATTCGCCTACAAAGCGACAGGTGCAAAAAAAATTGAGAAGGGGCCTATCATTCTACATTTAGCTGTAATTTCTAATGTTATCACTAAGACCTCATGTATGATGGGCCTGGCTGGACAATATTATGAATTTGGTGAGGGTGCAGAAATGTGGTTTGGGGCCATGAGAAATCATGTCAGTGCATACAAATTGAAGGAACTTTTGAATTTAGGGCATCTATGAACTTTTTGGTGGGCGTCACGGTCGGCAGGCTTCTTGCCGAGTGGAAGTCAACCTTGCATTGCCTTATCTGGCCATCTCACCCCATAAACAGAGGCTCATGACATTGAAGTACACAACCCGAGGCTCATCGGGGCTCAAACAGGTCTGCAGGCAGTCGTAGAATAACAGCTCTCTACTTTCAGCTGCACTGTCTATTTTTGGAAATGTTTTATGCCGGCTGAGAGGAACCGAGATAGCTTGCCAGGCGCCTAGGGACAGCCGAAATAGGAAGGATGGGCTGCCTAGCGAGCTGTAAAATTGGTATATGGTTTGACCATAATGCTACGCTTCCAAGCTCATGTAGTCTAGCTGTAAGAATGGACCATCCAGTGTCAATCTTTATGGCTGAGGTTGAGCCTCCCGGTTCAGTCCCTCTTTATAGCATTATTTTTTCTTATTTTCATACCCTCTTGGCATGACGCCCGTAAGGCGCCTAATGAATGTTCAAACATTGCAGACCAATTTGTACACGCTGTGGCGTTTTCTCACGACTTCACACAAAATTCAAATGCTACCTCAATTTCAAAGTTTTGTCCGGTACGGTCCCTCATAAAATGTCGGTCCCAGCTTCATCCTTGGGCTTTCGCTCAAAATGTTCCACAGAGCATCCCAACACTTCACCATTTTGTTCTGGGCAGTTCTGTGTTATACAGTCACGCAGCGTGGTATGTCTCTGTACTCGCATCGTAATATCCAGCTTGACGTTACGCTGCTTTCAAAATTGGGCATTGCTTCTAGCTCTCGTCCTCAGGGGACATGAAACGGGTTGGATCTGTACAAATTTCGATTCGTTTTGTCCCGCAACACAGTGCGCTTTCGAGTCGTTCCTTGTGTAAACACCCAACATTACCGTCCGTCCGCAGTTGATGGCGTTAATAGAATTGGCGCCATCATAAACGATAGCTATCGGAGTTTCGTTGTGCTCACTTCGAAAGCAGCCTTCTAGAGAAACTCAAGATGACATGGAAGCACCCAAGGAACCACAGCAAAGTCCAAATGGCGTAGTGACATGTTTTAGCATTCAGCAAAGTTCTTTTTGGCCGTTCTGCTGCACTGGTCCTCAAGACATTGCCGCACATAACTAGTATTATCTCTTTCAGGCAGTGTAGACAAAGGTTCGACTTTCGTGCATCAGGATATCTTCGTCTGACAACAATAAGTATCGTGACATGTTGCCATGCATGATTGACAGATTCGAGTAGACGGGTGCGTTACGTCCAGTCCATCTGCCTACACGGCCTTGATCTACTGAATAGCATATGCAATGCCGTTCTTGATGATATTAGAATTCATGAACATTCGGGAATTCAGCATTGTCCGATGCTGTTGTATATGAGGGTTCTGCATCCCCCTCAGATCTTGCATCTTCCAAGAAACAACAGGCCTTGTAATGTCGGACGCTAATATTACATATAACTCCCTTCCGAACCCACTCGCTCCTGCAGCTTGGTTGTCTCCCAATCTTGCTCTTCAATACGAGGTGGCAAAGGGCGTCTTTTGGATTGTACTAGGAGTAGGGGTTGTTTCCTTCCGCATTGCAATAGGATCTGATATCCTTCTACTTTAGGCATGGACGTGGGACTTGTTAACGGCTGTGGGTGATGACATCCAAATGTTTCGAAACAGCAAGCTTGAAGCTGCGTTCAACTATGCCGTCTATGTCTTGTCTCGGTGAGTGTGATTAATCGTGTGATTACGATACTTTATTGAATAAATGAGACATGCAGCATCTTTACTTTCGGCTTCATCCTGGGGTCTCTCATATTTGAGTGTGGGCGTGAGTCCTTCACCCATGAGCAGTGAACTTAGTGACAGTGGTACTGACTAAACCATAGTGACCGCCCACCAAGACTGTCTTGTCCCTTTTAATGTTCTTGCTTGGTTCGGGACCTGCGCGATTCCCTCCAATTCCCTCCTCTTCTTCCTTCGGGTGCGGGGCGTATTTTTTCACGACCGCTGGATCGTTGCCGGCTTTTTCGTCCTTTGGCTCTCCACTCTGTCTGCCCTGGTGGAACCTTTCGGATTCAAGACAGGTCATATAGGTCCAACACCATACTGCCTCATTGCCGATGTCGCCAAATTCACTTCGGCTGGTTATATCGCTGTCGCGATATTCGATACTTCGGTGTTCGTGGGCATCTCTCTCCGAATGCTGTCGAACAGCATAGAACAGACGTGGCGAGGACGTTTCAAAATGTTTTTCAGCGGCCGGTGTACGGGAAAGGTTTCGAGAGCCCTGCTCCAGACCGGACAATTGTATTACTTGTAATTACACTCTTTTGCATGTTTACAAAGTAACTGACATTCCGATTCCACCAGGGTTACAGTCTGGGTGAATCTCGTTTTGACGGTAATCCTCCTGATGTCATTGATTTCCCCAACGTCCGAAGCTATGTTCACCGTGCCCAATATCGCCTTACAAAATGTAATGGCATGCAGGGTATTTCGGCTCTTGAAGCTCGGCTACATCCAGAAAGATGCTACTATTCGGGAAGACGCTCCGTTAGCCTTACCCGGTGGGAGAATTCTTACTTTTGGTCGAACCCCATGCCTTATCTCGACAATCCCAAATACACAAGAAAACACTTTGGGACCTGTCGGAGATGAGGCCGAGGAAATGGGGTCGACTGTAACCAATCACGACTCCCAGCCCGAAACACCCTTGAATTCGCATACTCAAGGAGTTTCAAATGTTCGACAAGTCAAGGAGAAGAGGGATCCTGTTGATATGGTTTAGTCCTTAGTCAGTCAGCTATGTATGTTTCTGTTTCTTCCTGGAGTCCCAGCTATTTTGCTCACGGCATCTATTCGACCTTCACAACATTATATGTAGACGAAACATGAATTAGGAGGGGCAAATGGACAGTATGGACATCGAATTTTTCTCTTCCATATGTAGTGCTCGACCTATCGCCCAGTAGCAGAATTTCAGTTTCTAGACAGTCGCGAGGGAGTTCCTCAAGCTAATTGTATATGCTCAGTTTGAGTCTAGCCCAAGTCTTATGTACATGTACCACTTAAATGGAACTTGAATCTAACAGAACATTAGGTTGGTATACAGTTAGTCTAGGTCACAATGATATTCCCAAGAAAACCAAAATTAAGAATCGTCACCATCCCGTAGTTTCTTATACAGGTTGATGATAATGTCATTAGCAGTCAGCGTAATGATCCTAAAGCAAAGAATGCGTCAGATGATTTTTGGCGTTGCAACAATCCAAGACGCACGTGTGAGGGGCGATACGCAAAAAATGAGCGGTAGAGCCTGAAAATACAATGTTGAGATGCTATAAGATATTCACAAGACCTAGATTTGCACCTTTGTACCATCCAGTGACTCCTTCAGCTTTGGCTGTCTTCCAGAGACAATCTATGGGATTCTTGTACAAAACACCGACATGTTTGCCGTTCGGCAGAACTCTTGTAGGTTGGTTATACATCCGAGTTAATGTCTGGAAACAAGAGATGTGAGTTATGGACCGACTGATAGCTTTATGACATACGGTATCAGCAGGTTGCATCATTATGAGCTGGAATATAATGTTAGATTGCGCAGGTCGGATAGCTTTGGTGGATTTACATACGACACAGACACCAGAAACTGAGCTACTTGCGAGATAGGTCCAGATGCTGTTTGGGGAAGATATACCATGATCTATTAGTTGATTCTTAGTCCAGTTGTACGTCGGCAGTTGAACCTACGTAAGCTAGCGTCAATAACTCGTCTCAAAGGAAACGAATCACTACATTACATACCGACGACCCCATGGACGTTCGTAATACAGCAGCATCAACACCACGCACGAGGCCACGCCATCCTTGCTGCCGGAAGATTGTGGATAACGCGTCCCATGAATGTTTGTAATAATGTTGTGCGCCCACGGGTAATGCAGGGGAGAACGCCTGCGGACGCTCAACGACGTTAGGGTATGCGGAAACGGGTTTATGAAATACGCACCTGTATTCGTGCCTTGACCATAAAAAGCGGGTTTCCAAGAATCGCTGGAGAGAAATCAGCCACCACATGTAACGAGAGAGACTGTATTGAGCGAACCGCCGATGGCTCCACTTGCAGCGCCTGCCATTAGGGAGGTAACAGGCACGTGGGTCGAGGGATTTACCCCAAACGCGCGATTTAGAGCGTGTCGGAAAGGCTCATAAAAGCCTATGGAGCGCGTCAGCATAACTTATATTGCCAGAGACAATGTACAAACATACCCAGACGGGATCCATTTAGCAATACCTACATGGGGTCGTCAGAAACATAGTGGCACGCGGTATGAGGAAAGTATGCCTTACTTGGTAACAATACTTAGAGAATAGCTTTATTGAGTAATGAAGCGTTCAACAACATGATTCTCACTTACAGCCGGTCCTAGGCCTCTCTGGACGCCTCTCAAGCCTTCATGCCGCCATGTCTTGATGAACACGTCAAATACGTTCTTGTACACCTTTTCACCACCACTCTTCGCAAGTTCACCTTGCAACTGAAGACGCGTCTTAGCGACGTCAGCAGGGTTTGAGAACGTCACCTGTATAAAAGATGTCGATGAGCTTCAAGACGCGTACGATTGTCCTCACATCCGTTCAACGAACCGCCACGCATGCTGCGATGCCACCGAGAATAAAGCCTTCCGCTGTATTCAATGGACGGCTCTTCCCCTCCGTCGAAGACATCGAACAGCAGCAGTTCTAGGTGACAAAAAGACGAACAAGATGACCAGCGACTTCGGCCGAAATGCTTGTCTTTAACTTTCCTCTTTATACGGTACGATATAAACACGCGACTGCCGGCGGCTTCATAAGCGCTCAAATATTGCTTCAATGCTCCTCATTCACCCGACTTCGCACCATGACTGTTCAACTCTTATTGAAGCTCCAACCATCCCGCTCTACAGCCCTTTGCATAATTCCGTGAAAGTCGCGGATTTTTTTCTTCTGTTTGGCCAGCTTTGATCACGCCAAATAGCGTGACCTATATTATACACAGTGACACCGTATAACGAACGCATCCCAGTTGGCAGTGGCGGCGCGCGACTCGCTCAACCGTGACTCCTTCAAATTCGATCCCTGAGACGGTGTGCAGCTTGCAGCCTCAAGAATATCGCTCTATGTACTCTCGTTGTATAACCTGTAGAGCGACGGGGGCACTACGAAGTTCTAGCTTAATGCATCTGTCACTCTGTAATCTATGTAGCTCCGAAGGCCGAGATTCCACCTTCGACAAATTCACCTCGAGCTACGTCGGTACCATGTTTTCGCGTAGGAATGATAAGAACCATCCCTTCGTGACTGAGCCCTCAAAGATATCTGGTGCAATAATCCCTTTGCTTGTGAGAGTTAGAAGGACAGAATTACAAATACCCTGGAGAAAGGTGCTTGTTCGACACAGGGTGTTCTGAGCGGTGACCAGTCCATTCACCGCTGCAGTGTCTGGTTGTCGTCGCGGTGAAGTGTAAGCAACTTGGTGAGCTTCCGAGTCTGTATTGCTTTGCTCACTTAGGTATGTTACAATGAAGTCACGCTGTTTGTATAGAACAAACTCGGTCAAACAGAGAGAGAAAAATGGCGACTTTCACGGAATTATGCAAAGGGCTGTAAGGCCTCTACTGCCTCTTTAACTTTCTCCCTGGGTAAAAGAATATAGTCGGTATTCCTACAAGCTAATCAACAGCGAATTCTTGACACTGGCCACTTGCTCACCATGTCGAGACAGCGAAGACTGGCACACTGGCCGTCTTCAGAGGTGCCGTGAAATTTGCCATGACACCGGTCACCCCTGGAGAGCAGTTTTCTTTCAAAACTTAGTCCTTGGTACATACACTATAGGCGTACCGAAGTCCATTGGACCTGCTATCTTGATGCATCGCCAAGTTGCCTCTGTGTCGTCTTGTTGAGCTTCTCCTACAATGGAAACCTCCTCATCTGTCCTGGTTATTGATACGAAATGCCCAGTTTGGTTTCTCAATTCCTCCAAAAATGAGTCAGGAATGTCCTCATGAGGCTGCAACTGCTTCACGTAGAAAGGCTTTTCAAGAAGACTAAGCCGGAAGGAGGCATGGTCGGATGGTGGAGGCATGTTAAGAAGGATAGCGCTCCCTCGCTAGCATTTCGTACGTATATACCTCAATCAATTTCTTGCATATGAGTCCCATAGATACGTGATTATAACTCATTGCAACAGTATCCCTACAGTTTTCCTGCAATGTCCCTCTGGGTATCATATGACAGCTGTCCGTGATGTTTTCCAAATGTTCAGCGCTCAGCTTGCAACGATAGAGAGCGTGTAGTCCGCAGCATGACTGCTACCGGTGAATACCGTTTCCTGGTCTGTGCCACTTGGTGTCCCGTCACTTGTAAATGCAGTAGAGCCTGAAAATACCAAGAGTAGCTTTCCGCCAGAGGATACCTACAGTCGAAAGGGTAAGGATACCCAGTCAGTCAACCATGATTGTAGTGTTTTGTCCATATGCGACTCACGGCTGAGAAAGTAGAAGCAGTGACACCGCTGCCGCAAGTTAACTGACCACTAGAAACGCCACAGTTTCCTTTAGAAGTTGACATAGTAAAGCTGGACGCAGACCCCGATAAAGTGTAAGTTGCCAGAGTCTGAACAGACCAAGTACCCGCGGTTAGGAGACCCCCAGTGGTGCTCGCCACAAGCTGTGCTTTGGAGGGAAGAGAACCGCCCTGCAGCTCTCAGTTAGCAGGAAATCGTTCATTCATAGTGTAGAGGGACATACTGTAGGCGTGGAACCACCACTCTGTGACAAAGGTCAGTGAGCATCGTCATAGAGTAAATTCAGGTACCGACAGTAGTAGTACTAGTAGGGGAGCCGGACTTAGGAGGGTACTTAAGACCGGTCGATGCACACGACCCCTTCTTTGGAGCATCTACCAAAGCAGTCAGAGCAACTAAGAGTGCGGCTTGACAAAAGCAACTGACCAATAGGCACAAATGTACCATCAATAACGGAACCCTTCACATGGAAGTACCAACTGATCTGGTTGATAGCACCCCCGCTGCAATCTAAAGCAGGGGTGAAACCGGATGCACTTTTGAGAGCCGACGTGATTTCAGCAAGGGTAAACGTCTTGCTAGTCGACGGCGTAATGCCGGCTTGAGCAAGCCAGTCATACGTGGGCAGGGTCTTGAACAGCTTCACAACGGTGTTGAAGAAGGCAACTGCCTAGAGAAACGCATACATCCAGTCCAAGCTGGAAAAATAGGACCAGATAGCTTACCTCTGCACCTCGAGGGCTACCACTTGGCACACAAGACACCTCCAACGTGCTATATGCCATGAATTAGGTGTGTCCTTCAAGAATAGAAGGAATATTTGTACCTGTAGCAAGTGCCGTGCGTACTCCATTCGTGCTGAGTACTCGAATTATCAGCAGCACGATCTCCTGAAATGACACTGTTGACAGGAACACACCTCCCAGAACTGCTCATTCTGTCCATTGATATCGACCCAATGCTTAAAAAAATGCATACGTATAAGTACTTTTGCACTGCCACTATACATAGGAATAGGTTTACCGTTTGCATGAACGACAATGTGTCACTCGCGCCTTGAGAAGTGAGCAACTGAGATGCGAAAGTCGTTGGTTACAGTAGAATCAGAAGGCATGGGCAGGGCTTACATTGGCAATGCCGGTATAGGCTCGGGAAGAGTCGCAATTCTGCTCGAAAGTGCCATCACAACTAAGAGTGGCATAAAGGTCAGTGTTCGCGCATATATGCGGCCATATGTCACGTACTTGTCAGGCCATAAACCTGAAATAAACTTGGTTCAGTGATCCTCAAAGACGGTGCGTGCATTGATGCTCACCATGAATTGTCCAACTATTGGTAGGCCCAGTCGAGGGGTTTGTGTCCCAGAACTTTGTGGAAAACTTTAGCTGGCTATGTTGCAATCAAAGTACAGCGCATATACCTGGGTTTGAAGCAAGAGACCCTACATTGGTAGTAGGACACATGAGTGATGTCACTTGAGAGAAAGACAGTGGGCAACAACGTACGCCGGGGGCTTCAAAGCAACACGAACCTGCTGCTGAACTTGAACAAGAGACGGAACTGCTGGCGGAACATCCGGAACTGACTCGCTTGAAGAGATCCAAAGGCCCGACTGGGGTAGTCAGAGGAGTGGCGATAGCAGCCCCGCCGAGGGCGATGACCAAAGCGACGCTGAGCATGTTCGCGAATAGTACAAGCTAACCGTAGCGGTACGTAGATGATCGATGAAGTCCTAGTCAAAGAGGTTACCCGAGCCCAGAGAAACAAGGAATAGAGGGTCTGCCCTACGTACTTCCATGGTACATATATATAGGGCGAAGCGATGAATGGGTTACCCTATCGTCACGCCGCTGCAGAAGCTTATCATAAGAGCCCAGTGTGCTTCATTCTGCATGCTCAGTGATCGACCGAACGGAACCATGCGACGCCGCCCCATATCTGGAAAGGCACGTAGAAGCCCTTCCGCTGGGTCGCAATATCATTTTGCTTTCTTTAATCTCTGCTGTGCCTTGTGGAGATCTTTAGAGCGAGTCGCCACCGCAAGTTCTTGGCTCCGTGTGCCAGAGGCCATGAGTGTCAAGAAGAGACGCATGAGCAGCTGCAACGGCCGTCAATCAGCCGAAGAGAGTTTGCGGCTCCGAATACATTTGCATGCAGGCACCTACATGCGGAGAACGTTCACGAGGATACCAAATGCTCAACGTGCCTGCACGATTTTCTGACAGGCACCTCACGTTGGTACGAGTTTTGGAAGCTGACCAGCTCATTGGATGGATGTACGGTGAACGTTCGTGTTGGGTTGGGGCCAGGCGCCCTTCCAATTCGATCTGTGCCCAGTTGGTTAATTGAAAGCTTACACAGTGAAAACGCTCTACCGGGAAGCATTCAGATCCGCTAAAAAAAAGTTTAACAGACGTCAGTTGGACGTACGTCCACCATCTGGGTCTATGTGAAATCTTCACATATGAATAGACCTAAGCAAAAATGGATCCGGCCCAACCGCATAAAGCAAAACTTTGTAGTAAATATTCATAGATGTAGCATATGGTCAGAGCTTCCCCTCTCACCGACGCGAGAAAGCTCGCGGAGCAGTCGGCTGTTGCTGACCGGTCGACTTAATGAGCTGGTTCAAGTACCGTATTCTCTTCCTCCACCCATCTCCGTATACGAACCCGATGAGCCCGCTTATGAAATCCCTATAAGTCCATAGCTCGGTAGTCAGTGAAATCCGAAGTGTCGCTCCGAGGATAAGAAACGCACCAGCTCTGAGTGACTGAAGGCACCGGGTAATCGATGACTCGTGGGATAGTAGTCTGAATGAGCCACGGCCACCGGTCAGTGACAATTACCTTGGGGCTTGTCAGTGCTCGAAGACCCTCTGGACCGCCTGTGATCGTCAAAAGTAAACGCCTTGAGCTCATGTGACAGTTGAACTGAACCGCGCACCGAATCTACCGTAACCGCTCATTTTGGTGCCACCGAACGGAAGATCTTGACTGTAAGGAAAGAGCTGTGAGTTTTATCGCAATTAGTGCCATTGAGCAATACCTACTTTAACTGAAAGGAGATACCAATCAGCGTCGTTTATTCAAAGCAAGAAGAACCTTCTACTCACGTAGTACACAGCGAAATCGTTTATGGACACCATCCCACACTGCAATTGTTGTGCTATCTTGACGCACTGCTCCTGGTCGGGTCCAAAGACGCTTGCGCCCAAGCCGTATCGCGTTCCATTCGCGATGTCAATAGCCTCCTCGATAGTATCATACTTCAGAATGAGTGCGACAGGAGCGAACACTTCCGATCAGAGGTTAGATTCTCGCAAACAATGTAATCACGAGAATGAACCACTCACGTTCGAATTGAGCGATTTCAGACTGGGGATCGACGTTCCCGACAACCGTGGGTTCGAAGTACGCACCATCCAAAAAAGTGTGTTTGTGCGGACTACCACCCTGTTCGACTATAGCACCGTGGTTTTGAGCAGTTTCCAGAACCCTAACAATGTGTTGGAACCTGTTCGAGGAGAGCATAGAACCGCAATCCACTGTGGGTATAACTCCGTCTGTAGGCTTGAGAAGAGCCGACCCGAGACGGATCTCAGCGGCACGCTGAGTGAACATTTGCAAGACCTGCTCGTATTGAGAGGAATGCACAATGATGCGCTCGATACCTATGCAATTCTGACCCGCATTTTGGCTGTGTGGTCGCTCCGTCATGATTAAATATCGAATGAAACGCTAGACAGACTCACAATACACCTCGCATAAGGATGCTAGAATACTTCTCGATATCTGTAGATGGCAGCAAAATGGCCGGATCCTTTCCGCCTAGCTCCAAAGTTACTGGAGTAAGGTGGGTGGTTGCAGCTTGAACAACCTAAGAAATAGCATGTAGATTCATCCGGCGTCATGTTGAAAATGCATACCTTGCGCCCCACATCTTCTGAACCAATGAAGGTAATGTGCCGAATAGTTGGAGAAGTCGTGAGTGCTTCAGCATTATCCGGATAGCAGCAGACAAGCTGGCAAAGTTGTCGTTAGCATGTTCTTGGGCAAGCCATCATGCAAAGGGTGGAAGCACCTGAACAAGTTCCTTGTCGTATCCACAAACGTCAAGACAGGTCCGGATAGCTTCAACAAACCATAGGGTAGACCAAACGACATGTTCGGAGCACTTGAGAACAACTCCATTACCAGCGAAAATTGAGGCCATAATTGGGGACCAGGCATTATGAAGTGCTATGAAACTCCCCGTGAAACTCGTATTGACAGGCCAATTCAAAAGATGACAAACGATAGTTCCACGAGACAATAGCCGCGACAACACCCAACGGTTCAAAGTGAACTTCAGCGGACTTGTAGAAAGTCAGGAAGTTATTGCTTCTTGATTCAGGCTTGAGATACCGCTCTCCATGATTGATCAACCAATCTGCCTTTGAGCAGGTAACGATAATCTCGCCAAGCGCGGCATCCAATACTGCAAACGGTCTCAGCAAGCGATCACAAACCAACATAGAAGATACTGACGGGTCTTTCCAGTATCCCGAGCCGCAACCCTAGCACACGTTTCCTGGTTATCTACAAGCCACTTGTTGAGACTCCTGATAACACGCCTGCGTTCCGAGAAAGTCGTTTGTCGCCATGATAGTTGTGCTATCCTAGCCTGTTCAATCTTGGATTGTATGTCTGCACCATCATCCGCAATAAACGTTCCAAGATGCAAGGATGTAGCTGGATCGAAACTAGTAATATATCCATGGCCTTCTGCAGGTATCTCAGGCAACAACTTGGGATCTCGCAGGTGTGAGTCCAAGCCAGGATCTTCTATCTTCGTGGATTCAAAATCGTTTCCGATAGCCTGAACAGCCTTTATCAGCTATTTTTTGACACAGTCATGGAAGAAAGCCGTACCTCCGGGGCACGGATTTTGAAGGGTATTGCTCTGTTGCGCACAGAGTGGTATCGGGTATAGACGAGCCATATGCCGAGAGCAAAGGAGATGAGAAGAGGGAATGTGAAGCTCATGCCTTCGTCGTCGTAGTCATAATCGTAATCCTGGTCATAGTCCATGGCTGCGATGAACGGGATTAAAACCCGTGGAAAGCAAGAATGGATGAGGCTGAGGCATGTTCAAGCATGGTTCGTGTTGATGTACGCGTTGTGTGTACTTGTTTGTTCTCCTGCCGCTTTAGGCGCTAGTGTGGCTGGATGTCATCATTGAATTCAGCCAGAAACCACCACGATCAGTAAGCAGCACGACGCCCACACACCGAGTCATGTCGACTAGAGAACCTTTGTGGTATTGTCATGAGGTGTGTATCTTTCTTATCTGTAAAATATTCACTCTGAGTACCGAATATACACAGTGCCATGCAGAGATGCGGCCATTGATGGTCAGTTCAGCTCCATATTTCAGGGCTCGGTTGAGTCACCTTGCTACAGGTCCCCGATCCACATTGCGCCTCATGTAACGGAACTTTCGTAGAGAAGGTATGTTAAGCCGTCCCTACGATGGTTCGCTACTGATTAGTTCCTGTCTAGCTGGAGAACCCAGCAGATGATCCGCGAGCGTATCGCGGCGGTGGCATGGGAGATGAGGATATGTTTGGCCCCGCGGACTTTATATGTGCGTGCAGGGATACTTCTTTTGCTCGTATACTGATCATATTCGTACAGTTGGACTCTCAAGTCTCCTAAATGCCGGTGGCGTCCCCCCATCGCAGAATCGATCAGGTCCATCTGCTGGTGCAGGTCAGGTATGCTCGTTGGTTTACTCTGATCTACGTATGCTGACGCATACTAGGGACAGACGTTAGGAGGCAGTGGAGGGAACGCTACGCGAAGTTCAGGCGGAAATGGCGGAGGCTTCACAATACGTATAGACAGGACAGGCAATGGTCCAGCACGCACCGTTATTACCGGTGGTGCTCCAAGAAGTGATAACAACGGTGGTAACGGCGCAGCTCGAATACCTCTACTTTCAGAGTACGCCACGTCCCACTCGCAAACTGTTTTGCATACTAACCACACCTAGGTTCATTCAGAGAGCCCCTCAAGGGGGTCAAGGGGGACCCGATCATGAGACCATCAACGGTCCTCTGATGTTTCAATATCTCCTAGCGATGCTCTCGCAAGGTCGGAATGGTGGGACGCCCGGCGTTCTGCCTGGGATGTTCCCTCCTGGTGCGGAAGGTGGGAGATGGGGCGATTATGTCTTCAACCAAGAAGGTATTGTTTCTGTTTCCCCGGTGGCGCATGAACCGAACATTGACACGAACATATTGCTCCCAGCATTGGATCAAATCATCACTCAGCTCATGGAAAATTCCCAGAGTCATCCTGTTCCCGCAACTGAGGAAATCATGCAGAAGCTGCCAAGGGAGGTATTGACGGAAGAATGTACGATGGTCTTTTTCTGCTCTGATACCATACCTGGAGCTGACAATGATGTACATCAGCACCACTACTAGAGAGGGATTGTGCAGTCTGTAAGGACCAGTTCCAACTGAACACAGATGATCCTGCCGAACAGGTTGTCGTAACCCTCCCCTGCTCACATCCATTCCACGAACCATGCATCATACCATGGTTGAAATCCAGCGGTACATGTCCTGTCTGCAGGTGACTGAAAGCGTTCCTTAACAGGCCTTCGCCGTCCATTCTGAACTTCATTTGTCATTAGATACGAGCTTGTGCCGCAGCCTCAACATGGTTCTAACAATAACCCGGGTGGATCGAACGTCAATGACTCTCAGGGTCCTGATAATCCATCCGGGGGCAGCAACAACAGTCAGAACCAAAACCAAAACAACAATCCGGGTGTATTCGCCAACTTGTTCAACCTCGTGAGTGGTTACAGCAATAACAACGGCCACAGCAGCAACACCGGTCAGAATAACAACGCACAACATTCAAGTTCTGGCAGTTCGCAATCAAGGCGTGGTATCCCCGGAAGTTGGGAAGAGGATGTGGACTAGTCTTGGGCGGTGCATTGATCTTGGCATTGTTGTATTCTGATGTATTTTATATCATCTGTATCTCTTTAGGACTCCCGCTCTCGCTACTATAGACTCTTTTTATTCGCGCGTTTCTTCATACCCTCATCGAACACAAGCAGAAGTGTATGATCGCATTCTGCCATAAGGTCCCTATATTTTTACAGGGTGTGATACTGTCTAGCCAATTTCTCAAGAGAGTCCCCAAACCCACAAAAGATCAAGAACCAGGAATGTACTTCACGCTACATATTTAGTTGGTCGTTGCGCGAGTAAAGGGAGTGTTTGCCAGGCCGACACGTTGGTTTGCGGTGTCGAACACAGCGTAGAACCGCTCAAGCCAGGTGAAGCCGTTAATGAAGTCAAAGCCTTGCCCTGAAGGAGAACCAATATCTGCAACGATGAGGAAAATGCCATTGGGATCTCCACCGATAGCCGTGTTCAAGGCTCTCTGGAAAATGAAAAGATGTTCATCAGGAGCATGCCGAGAAGAAGCAAACAATGCAGACATACCGGCCAGATCTGTGCGTTCGCAGTGAATTCGTAGTCAACATTGTTGATCGTGAAGAACAAGCTCTTCAGGTTTGCAAATTGCGCAGGGCTGATCTTGAGCAAAGTGGTGGCAGCATCAAATACACCGCCAGTGGCTTGTTGGTAGCGCTGGAAAGCATCTGGGAAAAAAAGATGAAATGTCATTGTCCTGTCACGTTAATGATGCGTTATAGAAATACGGACCAGTCGCAATCAAGGTGAGGGTAGTGCCGGTGTCGACAATGCCTGCGGTTTGAGATAAGATAGAGGTAGTACCAAGTCGAATGGCCTGGTCGATACCCCAGAAGCGCGAAGCAGGAGATTTCCTGGTGATAGGTCTGCGGATAAAAGATGTCAGCAAAATATGGCTAACGGACAGAGGAAGACAGCGTACGCAAAATTGATGGAGCCGACGAATTTATTGGAGTCCGTGCCACCGAAAGTAAGCTCTCCATTGGTGACCGACAGCTGTGTGGTTGGCTCGAATGAAATCGAGACCAAATTTTGGCTGATGACAGCTTGGGAGAAGAGGTTGTCGGTAACTAGACAATATCAGTAAGCCCAAGTTTTCCAAGAAGTTCATCCTGCACTGGTACTTACCCGTTGGAATCAGAGTCGTTGTATCCGGACTTAGGGTTCCTGTGCAAATATATCTGAGTCGCTATGACCAGCAATGTAAATCTGAGTTCACATACCGAGTGTCAGGTCGTTAGGACCGAGGCTAGGCAGAGACATTCAGTCAGGCGAAATTCGACAATAACGAAATGAATCAGACTAACCCCAGAATACCGTCAACATCATCAAAACCAGTCTGACTTGTTGCAACTCCAATTGACTGACCAAAGACAGTCAAGGTGGATCCCAAAGAGATCTTGTCGTTGAATTCAGTCCCTATGATATTGGTTAGGTAAGGCGTTTTCGAAGAGCACTAGTTCGTACCTTGCATATCTCCGGATCCATAGATGACAGACTTTTTAGATACACGCTGTCAGGGCATGACACTCGGAGATACATCGCGAAAAGGCGTACCACACGGTCACGAGATTGGATACTCGTACTTGTCTGGATGTAGGGTTTACTTGCGCCGACCCAAGTGTTCGAACTGCCGGTGTCGACCAAAACGGTATCTGAGGTCGAATGAATATCTGGGAAGCAATCCGAACGAAAATAACTGAATCTCACAGGCAGTGGGCGGATTGCCGATGTTGAGCTGTGAGTGTAAAGTTAGGTCTAACTTCAGAACGAACAATATTCTAATGGTGCACCTACCGTCACAGTATAATCTACGGCCTGGTTCGTAGCAGGAATACTTCCGACGATGGGGGCGTTGTCAAAAGGCCCCTTTGCAGTAGCACGAGCCTTCAGTACTTTTGCGCGAGCCTGGTCTCGCTGAAGCAATCCAACTTCACGAATATTGGTGGAGTTGATGCGCTTCGCAGCTTGGAGGGTGATAGTCCCGCCCGTAACACGGCGAAGGAGGGTCTCATCTCGCTCAAAAAGAGGGGTGCCAACCACCGCAAGGGCCAGCACGATGGTTGTAAGGAGAGACGATACAGGGAACATACTGTAGGCTAAAGGAAGGGTAAGGCAGGTGTGCCACTGAATGACTTTAGGAAGGTCCTCGCTTGGTATTTATGTTGAGGAACGTGTGGACATCAAGAGTCCGATGTCCGATATTTTTGACTCCTGTGGGACACATCATGGCAGGAACCTAGGGTATGGCTTTCAATAAGAACGAACGGTCAGAACTTCTGAGCGCGTACCTTGAACACAGAAGGTCTTGCCAACCATAATGGGCATTCGAGATTCGACATTACATGGCATGTCACCCACGGGAATGTCATTTGACCCGACCCATTCCGCGAAGAGAATACAACGACTTGCGCAACTTTCCAAGTTCCTGTGAACTCGCTTTCATCACACAATGACGATTTGCAACGAAAGTAGAAATAGATCGTCAGTTTGTAATGAATGACTACCTGTGGTTCCAGTCGAGAGCACCAGAGATTACCCATCTCCAAAGCCGAAACCTCGCAAGCCGAAGGAACTGGACACAGAAGATCAATCATAGAAGTCCCAGATGTACCTGTCAAGAGGTTAGTGGTGGTTGGCAGATGAACTTAGCTTTTAACCCATCCATCACCGCTGTCAATCAAAGTGTGTGCGTGACTTGCTGAACGCATGGTTGGCACAGAGCCTGAGAAAGTGCACCGGAAATGCTTGACCAAGTCAATTCATCAGACGGTCGTGAAGGTATCCTTGTGCGAGAACATCAAACTTGTCAGCGCTGGCATTTGGAATATCTGCAAAATGGAAATTGTAGTGAATGGTTGTAGGAGGTACCGGAACGAACAAAAGGCAATTCACTTCCCGAAAGCCTCCGACATGTACGTGAGTGTCGAAGGCGACAAATGCATACGAACAAACGTATCATGGCGCCACAGACACACGCTCAGTGTCGCTCTCCCAGTAAAAGGTGAATGTGAAATATCAGCAACGATGATGCGACTGAACTCAGTAGTCCTGTACAGGATGTCTCGTCATCTCGCATGCCAAACCTGACGATCTGAATCAATTGGACCTTACTACATACTCAGTGCTGAACAGGAAGACAACGACACTCAACTTGAGTAATCACTGACGTGCTTCTAAAAGCTGAAACTTCCCTGTGGACATTTCATGCTTTATTGGCGTCTGCGTTTGAGTGGCAATTGTATAGCCCATTCAAGAAGAAACGATTCAGTAAACATTGCAGAAGTGCAGCCAAGCAGAATACATAGAAAATACAACACTCGTGTTCGTCACAGCAATTCAAAGATACAGAAGTTGCACAACCGCTGAAACACCTCATTGGATTCCACATCATGGCCATCGGCCCCTCAGTTCGTGGTTGCATGAGTGAAAGAAGTGGTGGCAAGGCCAACGCGGCGGTTGGCGGTATCGAAGACGGAGTAGAAGCGCTCGAGGAAGGTCAAACCGTTGATGAAGTCGAGACCTTCACCCGAATTAGAACCAAGGTCCGCGACAATCAGATACACGCTGTTGGTGTTTCCGCCAATAGCAGTATTGAGAGAACGCTGCCGATGGATGCATTCAGCCTCAGAATATTCCCTGCATGAACTAAATATACGTACAGGCCAGGCCTGAGCATTGGCAGTAAGCTCGAAGGTTGCACCATTGACGGTGAAGAACAAGCTTTGAAGATTGGCGAACTGTGCCGGCGTAAGACGGAGCAAACCGGTGTTGTTATCGAGGACCGCTCCAGTCGCAGTTTGGTACCGTCGGAGTGCGTCTAAACTTGTCTGTTAGTATCTGTCGTCATGTTTAAGGATGTGGGTACAAACCGGAAGCGATCAAAGTGAGAGTGGTACCAGTATCAACGATACCGGCGGTGCTGCTCAGGATAGAGGTAGATGCACCATAGCGGATGGTCTGGTCGATACCCCAGAACTCAGAAGCGGGGGATGTGCGCGTAATTGGACTGCATATTTGGGTGAGTTTATGAGAGGCTAGGGTATAATATGCAACTTGTCACTCACGCGAAGGAGATAGAACCAGTGAACTTCGAAGAATCGGTACCACCGAAGGTTAACTCGCCATTTGTAGACGAGAGGGACGTCGTTGGCTCGAACGATACAGCCACCAAGTTCTGAGTGATTACACCTTGAGAGAACAGGTTGTCGGTGACTAGAACAAAATTTGGTCAGGGATGGAACAAGAATGACTATTGGGGCACATACCGGTAGGGACCGTGCTGCTAGTATCAGGTGAAAGGGTGCCGGTGGTCAGATCAACAGGACCAATACTACAATCAAAGGTTAGTATAGATCAGGCAAATAAATGCAGTCCGAATTACCCAAGGATACCATCGACGCCATTGAAACCCTGTGATCGGGAGGCAACACCGATAGATTGACGTTGGATTGTCAGACTACTACCAAGCGACACCGTGTCGGTGAACTCCGTTCCAGAGAAAGACCCTGAGCCGTATGTTACAGACTGAGATGGACGGTGAGTACTAGTTCGCAAAGTTCACCTGAGCACTTACAACACGGTCATTTGTTTGGGTGGAAGTACCAGTGCGAACGTATACCTTGCCAGCACCAACCCAGGTATTCGAGCTACCCGTGTCGACCAAGAGGGAATCTGGACATATGTTAGGCAGGCACAGAAACAGGGAACATGGTACCCACAAGTGGTAGCTGGTGACCCAACGGCAACCTGAAGGCGTGGGTGAATAATCAGACGGTGAATCGTTTGGAATGAGGGAAATCAACAAACATTGACTACATAGTCAACAGCCTGGTTGGTCGCAGGGGTAGAGATAACCGCATCCTCGTTCAACTTTCCGCTGATCTTGGCTTCAGCCAACTGGCGAAGTCCTTTCACGCGAGCCTGGTCACGCTCAAGCAGGGAAGCGGAGCCAGTGAAATTGAAACGCTTCGCGGCGGAGAGCGTGATAGGTGTGTCGCGAACCTGAACCAATGGGTTCGCGGCTACCGCAATAGCGAGGGTGAGGGTCGCGATGATGGAGGAGCCGGGGAACATAGTGAGGAAGTGCGAGCTGATTCTGGGTGAGCTGGTCACTGAAGCACTATGAACTCACTGCAACTCCTTTTATAATGCGGAGAAGCATGGAAAGTTGGCAGATTAAAAATAGACCCCTGATGCCCATTGCTTCTCAGATGGCGACTAAGCTCACAACAGGTGGCACCGCTGGTGCAGCGTGGGCAGCTTCGTCACGCTTCATTTACGAAGACGAATTCAAAGAAGCAAGCGGTTTGACAGGGGAGGTGTACTATCAAGTTCCGCTGGTTGCTGTGTGGAAATAATACCGATCCCCTCTCACTCTAGGATGCCCTCTTGCCATTTTCGGAAGTACAATAGAGCGTTTCATTGGCTACTGCAGCAATTCCCGATGGTTCGCCTTCGATTTGGGACACAAAGAAGTCTGTAGTTTGGGTTGGAGCAGATCTTGTTATCGCATGCACCTGATGAGAGAACCAGATGCCGCGGCAACTAGTACTGTTTTCCCATCTCACAAAATCGAGATCATGAGGAAATTCTAGACGATGCAGACTGAGAGAATCAACTTACCTGCCTCTTGTGCGATTCTGATCTAACGCACGTACAGAATGACATGATCGTCACCTTCCATGCGCACAATACATCTGAGTCAAAGGCCGGTCTGGTTTTAGAGTCAGAAAGCAAAACGAAAACATTCCTACCCCACTGCAAAATCTTCAATAACCTGGAACTGGGGATATGATGATGCATGACGAAAATTGAGTAGGCTGCACGGTGAGTGACAAGCTATATCGTACACGCGCGATGATCAGCTGCATCCTTCGTAAGACTGCTCACTGAGAATTGAAGTTGTGGATCGCAACAAGAAGTCCTCAGAGACAGCGTGCTTCATGAGTCTTGCGCCATACGAGGTTGACGTGCGATGAGACCAGTGAAGCTGTCGGTCACGAAGACTTCGACACCGGATAGACATGCAACTTACCAATACTGTTCCGCAGAGCAGGCGCAAGCTGTAAGCGATCCCATCTCTGTGATTCCATAAGAATTCATTGCCTAACGTTTGCAGATCGCAAAGGCACATGCACCATAAAGAGCTAGATAGTTTGACCCGAGCTCTTGAGATCCCTTCGCAGGTGATAGGGACCATGTGCAAAGCCTGGGACTAGAACTTGGAGCATCCTGCTGCATGAGCAAAAATAGCACAGGGATCCTAATAATCTAAAGAAAGAATAGCCTGAGGTATGCATGCGGTCGTGTGCAATGAGAATGGCGAAGATCCTAATGTAAAAAGTCAATCCATGTGGACATGCATGTTGTAGAGGACAACCAGTATTTGAGCAAAGGAACTCCGAATTCATCGTGTTTCGGTCTTCCGGACATCAGGTGTTCCCCATTAAGAAGTCATCGCCGGCACCGGCATGGTGAACCGATGAGAGGCATTCGGCTGCTCGACATCGAGTGCAGCAGCGACGATGACCATGGTCTGCCGCCATGTGTGGAGCGACGGAAAAGCTATATGTAGCTGGAGACCCAGGGATGTTCAGCAATGCCCGCCGGACTCTTAGCTACCTCTCAGTTTCGGATAGTAACTCTGCGATATATATCGTCAACGTCAACCCGTGCAATGCCTTCCAACAACCAGGAAGCCAAAAATGCTACAGGATTGACCCCTGCTGAAACTCAGTCCCTGAAGGAGCGAAAGCCTGAGGCCCACGAAGAGGCTATCCTGAGTGGTATTAAACAGGTTTTCCACACCTTCATGTTGTGACTATATGCTATACTGACATATCATTAGCTGTACACTTCAAGTCCTTCGGAGGTATGATATCATGTTAAGCCCATGTGCTGGACCATTTGATAATTTTTGTGCTGTACCGCTTCAGAATGCATACAGCATATATGCCAAGACCGCTACATTCCACGACCCTATTGGGATCGCCGAAGGCGTAGAGTCTATCAAAGCACAGTTCAATGGTTTAGCCAAGGTGAGGACAAAACGTCAGTTCGATGAGCGTATTATTGTTTGGCTTACGAGAATGTTCAGTTGTTTCCACGCGCGGATCTTCCCCGGTTCCGCCTCCTCGAGAACCCAGCTTCGGTTCCCAAGAGTACGATCCTCATCGACCAGGATGTTGCTTACTTCCGGGACCCTAAGGCTGCTTCTCCCACCAAGGTGGGTATACACGGTGCTTACCATCGAGCGTGCCATTTGGCTAATATGCGTCATCATTCAGACCGTCAATTCGCTCCTTACTGTGGAAACGAATGATTCCCACCAAGTCATTCGTCACACAGAGGAATGGGACCACAAGCGCGAGACTGATCGTAGCGATGGTTTCTTTGGCATGCTTAATGAGAACAGGAAGAAACTCACGGCTGGAATCACGTCGATGTTTGTCAGTTCAGATCCGGGAAAGAACTGATGGTCGTGATTGTTAATTGTGACAGATGTATGACGCATCATGGTATAATACAGAACCATGTGCAGACGAGCCAGAATAGATTGAATGCGCATGAGCAGTCAATTTTGAATCAGAATCCGAACCAGCCTTTTGCCGTTTGCTTAGCTGCGAGGGTTTTCGACTACATTCGTTCATCAGTGAACGTCCCGAATACGAAGCCATGTGAGAACATACCTGGACCAACATCTTTCTGCTGCCTTGTTCCAACGAGTCGAAGGACTCCTGTAATTGGCCAAGCATCTCACTAAAATGAGCATCAGTATAGAAGTTAGTATATATTCACTTCGCAAGGACTTGACGAGTCGACGTACCCTCTCTCGGACAAGGCAGAACCGAGTCGATTGTACAGATCATTGGCAGCCGTAGAAGCAGAATTTGCGATCTCGCGGGCATTGATAGTTCCGATCGAAGATGCACCGACAGAGGTCCCCGCACTCAATGGGAATTCTTGAGCATGAGGTTTAGATCGTTCAAAATGCTGAGGCATAGGTCTATCGGGTCCAGCCACTATTAAATCATGCAGACGGTGTCAGTAAATTAGTACTTCCCTGCAATACAGCATGGGCAGTGCGGGAACTCACACAAGGTATCAATTTGTTCTCCCGTCATCGCTTGACTGGTGATGGATCCAATCCAGGAGCTCAACAGCGATGTTGGCCCAACTGACACCGGTTGTGGTTGTGGCGGTACGACGCGGGTTTCGTCTGCGAAAAGGACATCGGGTGTAGCATATGGTTCTGAACGTCGAATATCGAAAAGTGTTCCATAGTTGGCCAAACGAATAAGACCGGATGGGTTATGTCGGACCCATTCGATGTAGTCTCCTGTCCCGTCCGCCGACAACGGTCTGTCATCAGAGGTTAGCGGGAACCCACCGACTGCGGAGAGTTATGAACGTACTCTGTGGACGATTGCTCCATCTGCACCGTATGCAGATGTTCCAAGAAGGGCAATGAATATACCACAGCTTGCCTTCGGTCCGTGTACGCGACCAATACCGTTGCAGCTGCATGGTTGTGGTCAATTTGACATTCGCACAACGCACAGAAAATAGAAACTGACAGTTCTTATGCACCACCTCCACTTGTTCCACCTTTCCAATTTTACTCCCCCATTCAGCCCTGCCTAATTTCTCACCGGTGATGTCTGCGGTACATCGCACGCCTCTTGCTCCAGCATTAATCCAGATACCCCGTTTGACCTGAGATGGATCAGAGGGTGGCGCCAAAGCTGTGGCGAGCGCATGACGGCTAGCCTTCATTCCGTTACCCTTGGCATCGATGACGAAGGAACCACCAGGAAGGGGATGAGAAGCTGCATCAGTTTTCTCCGGGTTCTCTTTGACAGACCAGGAGCCTGTGGATGAACGAGTGATGGTATGTATGTTCGTGGTACCCGATGAACGAATTATTAGGAGAAGTATCCGTGGGGTTGGGTCTGCGGTATAACTGTGAGATTCCATACACACCTAGAATGGGGGAAGGTACCTGAAGCTGTTCCGGTCACAGTCCATGTCAAGGAAACGACTGGGTCTTCCTCACGTCTATGACGAAGTGATTGCTTCCCCGCCCGAGTGCCAGACATATCGCGAAGAATGATAGTTGGACCACGCATGTCAACGACGAATAGTGAGCCATCCGCATACGAAGCCGCAAGGAAACCAATGTCAGATAGACCAACGGCAGCAACTGCGCCCCTGCCAGCCATGAGCATGAATATTGGGTGAAATTTATCACCGGGTTGAGGGTGTAAATGTTGCAATGATACCAGCTCCTTGTCTTCTGACATAGTCGCTATACCTGTTGGTGTCTCTCCGTGAGCCAGACGATAGAGTGCAATTTCGCCGGTTTGAAGGATGATGCCACATTCCCGCGACTCGGAGGCAAATTGCACGGACTGAATACGAGCTTCTTCGAGGAACTTGGGAGTTGCGCGAGTAGCGACAGCCGGGTCCGCCAGTATTGTAGTCAGGTTGATGGTCAGAGCGGGAAGCGGATTCGGGAATGCGTTTGTCAGAGGAGAAGTATCAGAACTGAGCAATAACCTGGCGGTGAGGTCTTGGAAACGAATGGTCAAGTTGCGGTGATAGGTTATAAGAATGCGATTTGGTTGGAGCTGAGAATGGCGTGAGATACGAGGTCCGCGTTAAATCACAGAAATCCAAGATACCTTCAGAAGTTTCATTTCTCCCTGGATATCTTCTACCCATGCTACCCCGCCTCGTAAATGCAGCGATTGGTCCAAAAAATCGCGAGCATCCACTAATATTTCATAAACGCTCTTCTCGAGCGCATACAACGTACCCCCAAGTATACTATTAGGTCCATTCCAAAGAGAGGCGGGCAATTGTAACTGTCTCGGATCGTCATCTAACTTCATTGAGGCCAGAGCAGATGCTAGTTCCTGCGATAAAAGATCTTCGCCATCATCTGCCGCTTCTGCGTCCTTCACCGTCGCGGTTGCAACAGCCTGAGGCTCTGGAGATGGCATAGGTATACACGATGGAGGTGGAAATTGATGAGCCTCTGTAGCTCTTATGTCTCCGACGTGGTCATATAGAATCAAAATTGCAGTCGGGTCAAAGGTACCAGAGAAGTGAGGATTGTTTTTCGGAAGTAAGAGAAAATCCTGAGGAACGCCTTTGGTATAATACGTATAGGCATCTTTGGGCTCCAAAGATTCTTGCATGGCAGTCCTGATCTGTTGAGGAAGACCGGCTTGCGGGTCGGGAGGGGTGACATCGGAAGGGTTGAAGGCAGGAAATAAGATGACAGTGATACCAGGAGCCTCATCACCGCGCAGACCCCCGAGCACGGTCAGGGTTGTGTCGCCACCACGCGGATCCGAAGAATTAGAGAATCCACTCCAGGCGAGCTTGAATATCGGTTCTCGCTCCTCTGGAATAAGTTTCTCCTTCGATGAGAGAATTTCGTCCAATTTTGTCGCATCAACAAGGTTTACGTCAATGTCATCCAAGGTCCGTACGATTAACGGCTTGTCTTCATCCTCAACAGCCCAGAATGCGATGGAACCATCGGCATGGCCTACAGCAAAGAAATGACCTGCGGGATGCACAGCCAGAGCAGTAACCGATGGTCGTCGATGTGTCATCAGATCCTAGTGATGAAATGAGCATACACCTCATCCTGGTAAAAACCCGTTCTACGTACCAAGCTAGTATAGCCCAAGCCACCAGGTGCACCGGGTGGTAGCAACATTTCATATGCATGCTGCATGCTTCGTTGGGTCTGTTTTGCGTGAAATGAATCATATGTTCTTATATTTGATACTATGGAACTTACGAGATCGGACAGGACAACGCCACCTATTGATTCTTGTCATGAACTGAAATGGATGGAGAATGTAATGACTCACCTCCATACGCGATGAACAACAAATTCAAATCGCGAGGATGTATCACCACTTCAATTGGTACCTGTCTATGGCATGGTCTCAACGTCTATTCAGATATCCAATTGAATACTGTCTTACGACCCAGGTTCCATCGAATAAGGCATTCCGCTAGCAGATATCTTCTCATACATAGCCCAAAGATTGATGATGGTGTATGGCGAGTGCCAGGAACACAGTAGATCGTATGTCTTCACTTCTCCATTGGAAAGGGCAACAAACGCCTATAGATGACTGATCAGACCGTTCCGAATGAACGGACCGACATTAGCATTACGCACATGTGTGTGAGAGGGGGACAAAGCTACGGCACTAAAAACACGATGGCTAGTCAGAATGATAAAGGCGATATAGTACAATGTCGCGCTACTTCACGGATTGACGATAGTTGGTGATTTTCTGTAATCTTGGTTTGTTGGAAGCAGTCAGATCCCAGATATGGAGACGTTGTTGATCGTCTAGTTCCCTGTAAGACTGGGTATGCGTGACAAGAATACTTTCTCTAACCTACGCAAAGGAGCCTCAGTGTCGACGATGAGAACTGCAGTAGCTTTATCCTCGAATGGTTGGATATCTCAAGGCGAGCCTCCACTCCTGGCGAGCCATAAATATGGATCAAGCCACTAGCCGTACCTATAATCTATAAATAAGCTAAATCAGAACAGTGCAGTCACAAAATGAGCATACCGATGGCAAGAAGTCCCGATACTGGTTCGTAAGCGAACGTGGAGACATCCAAGTAGTGATTAAGTCTCCTCAAGATGCCGGCCTGCCAATCTTGTTCATCGTTAAGTTCAGCAGAAAGGTCATTGAAGGTCTTGTTGTCATGTCTGGCGAACATTTAGTCCTTCGCCTTTATTACGCGTAGATCGACACAGTTGGACCGTTGAGAATGAGCTGGTCGAAGTTCAACTAGGTATCATGGAGGTATCATAACATCATCCAGTAGCATTCAGTGCTCCAACTCGAAACTGCGGGCCAAGAGTTCTCAGATAGGACTGGGCGCCTTTACTTCCTCTTAGCGAAATATTTAGAATGCTATTCCTCCTTGCTTGTGAACATGTAAAAAGTCACAGAAATAGCCGTTAGATTATTTATACAGCATCAGAATGTTTCGTAGTCCGATCCGTGACCATAGTACATTCATAAAGTAGAGCACTGAAATAGTGAGCGGATAGGGCTACCACTATTGTAGTGCTTAGTAGTAGGAGCTAGCTCCACACTCAGGGAGGATGACCTTGACTAACGGATTATTTGCAGCTCCGAAGTATACGAGATACTCATCATCTATCATTGAAGAATCACGTCACACAACTATTTTATGTCTCTAGCCCAGACCGTTCATAATCCATCGGTACGTCCTTTCTCTCCAACCAAGTCGCATCCTCTCCGCCAAGATCCACCCCTTTCCCACAATCCAGCCGCCTTCTCACCGGAAGCTCTTTCAACTCCACCGCTTTCCCCTTCTCACCTACGCCTCTCACCACAACATAATGCTCCCCATGCCATCCAATGAAGTCTAATGAAGGCAGACCGACGGCAATACTTCGAGCGCTGGACATCCAGAGTTCCGTTTGTGTCAAGAAGTCTTTTTCGGAGAGCAGGTTCGGTTGAGGTCTAGATGTTTTTTGGCCATGAAGGTGGAGAATGCTGAGAGAAGGAAATATGCGAAAGCCTGGGGCATATTCATGCTATCGTGGATTTAGCATGTGTAGTGAACGGTTTAGAGGTAGGACTTACGAGAGGTTTGTCAGAAACCATGACAGTGAGATGAACGGCGACCATTTCTTTCGGTATGTTCTTTAATAAAGCCTTCAGCGCCGCATTGGTGAGGTTCGCGATCCGTACTCTGAGCACTCGCAAACTCTTGAGATCGGGTAACACGCTCGACACCAACTCCCAAGGACAATTCCCGAGGTCGAGTCGTCTCAATTTCGATCGACCTCTAAGAAACTGGGTGACACTCTGGAAGAGGCCGAGATCGTCATCGTGGCCTACGGTAACGAACCTGAATGCCTCAAGATGAGGCAAGAAAGTGTGCTTCCCGTCGATGATATGGTCGCTTCCAAAGACGACGCTTGCTGAAGTCGGCTCTTCGAATGTTCCATGAAGCGTGAGACTCTGTAGACTGTGCGCATGTGCGATTCTTGCCAACACGACATGCGATATTCTTGTGTCAACTAGATCCAGATGTGTGAGGCTGCGAATAGTGACCGACTGAAAAGCGCCGTCCCAAGAATGATCACGTTGTAGGTACGCTCCCAGGGTAAGGTGTCGAAGAGTACGTTCATTCTGATCCAAAACCATACGAACTTCGCCCATGTCCGCCATGCCATCATCGTCTTCTGCTCGAAGAGTGAACTTGCGAAGGTTACCAAACTTGCTTACACCAATAGCATCAAAATGCCAACCAATGGCACCAAGTGAATGCAGGTGAGGATGACTGGCATGAATGGCTTTCACCATATCTGCGCGTAATTCCGGGTATCCAATCCACTCGAATTCCTGAAGGCTTTTGAAAAAGGGAAGGGCATTACGGAAGATACCTACGATAGATAGTTTCCAGACTGGACGGATAGAAGTGTGCAGGAATAACATACGGATCATGAGATCGAGCATATCACCTTCCTCGTACGCCCAATGCAGTCGAAGGATTCTGATACGGCTCGCAAACACCGGGTCAGCCTTGACTCTATCGAATATGTCAAGGCCTCGATTCAGGTTCTCTCGGACATTGTCTTGGTCTTCACCAAAGTAGAGGTCGAGAGTGTGAAATATAATTCGTACGGCAATATTCCTGTAGAGGACCTTCAGTCGGTGGTCACACCGTTGTCCCTTCTGCCTACCTGTGAAAGGCCGAGACAAAGAACCAGGTGCGAAGATGATATCGGGGAATGAATCGCGCTATTCGTTCCCATATTTCGGGTGGAGCACGTTGTGAAGCAGGTTCGCACTGGAAATGAATCTGCAACACCTGATTGGATACCAAAGAACTAAACCAATTTGAATGACTGTTTGCTTACCATGTTCTCTCCTCGAAGATAGACCTGTAGTTCACGATTGGAAGGGTCCAGCTTCGCAACCGCTTGAAAGTCTGAACGACAACATCAGTACGAACTTTGGACCGAAAGACAAACCGTACCTTGCTGGGCCTTCGCAAGAAGTCGTTCACCGGCAGACTTCCTCGCATTGCCTCGTGCAAGTAAGGCCCTGGCTACATCCTCATTTCCAAGGCCTGGTGTACGCAAGTAGACGTCGAGATATTTCTCGACCTCCTCGCCATACCTGCAAGACGCAATCAGTCCTCTCCATGACAGATGACACTCTCACACCCACTGTCCGGCCTGTATCAACGACAGAGCATTTTCCAGCAAGAAGTTTGCTTTTCTGACTTGCGATAAAGATTCAATCGCACCGAAAAGTGTGGTGGTCAACTCGTCCTGGCTAGTCGGCGGAGCCATGGGTGTCGAACGGCGAGACATGTCGGTAACCCATGGATCCAAGACGACGACAAAGTACGCTAGACGGCGTGTAAGGCTTCTTCTCGCAGTTGGTAGTCACTATCCAATCCGCTGGGTCCTCTCAGCAATCGCCGAGCGGCGGCCGAAGTGAAAGGGGGAAATGTTTTCCCACATGTAATACTTATGCTCGTGTGCATTTCATTTGTCCTCGATCCCCACTCGCCTAATCTCTATGTACCGGAGATGCGAAAGTAAGTAGGTATGTATAGTGCTCTTGTTGAAGAATTAGTTTACGATAGCGACGTCTGTTATGTCTCGTGAATGCCAAACCAGCCGCGGCAAGAGTGCACAGTCAGACGACGAAGAAAGGGTAGAATCCACTTCTACTGAAGCTTCAGAATTGTTCGCTAATTAACTAAGAGAGACAGAAACTATAATTGGTGGTTGGTTCTCGCTGTGCAATAAAGAGGAGGTCATGGGCGGCAATGCAGAAGACCGCCTTCGGAGAGGCAGCTGACCACCGCTAAGAGAGACAGAAACGTTTGGTAAATAGGTTCTCGTTCTGTCTTTAGCTGCAAGTCTTCCAAGGTTTTCTGCTCCTCCGCCGCAGGGCAGTGCCGGAAGCTTCGTCGCTTTGTTAAAAATGTACCTAGCTGCAATACCACATATTGAAGTGATCCTAGCAACCTCGAAACTGATGACGGCAGCCGTGCTTGTTTTATCCCGTGTGGCTGCCCCAACACTCTGGAAAAGCGTATTCTTCTGAGAAGCCTTCATGGAGCCAACAATATTATTGTTGATTTCTTTTATTATCCGGTTGTTGAGTTCACCACTGGCAAAAGTGACCATCTGAGTCTCTGAGGTGATCTTGCTTAGACAGCTGGCACGCTGGTTTCATCATGAGTCGAAGAATTCGATGAATCACTGTGCCACGAATCTCTTTTACCCGCGGCAGCATCCAAAGCGTCCAGTAGGTCCTCGACAATGTATTCCGGAATATGATGCTGCAGATAACGCAGGATATTCATCGACCAGGTCGGAGTCCGAGGAGCCCAAATCACCGCCCTGCCTGCTTGCAAATAATTGTGGATGACAGCAGCGAATTTAGATTGTAAAGACATGAAAGATTCCGCGTTAGACAAGATGTCGGATACTGGGACTTGGTCGATGAAGGAGAAAATGATCATACACAGTTTGACAGGGTCCAGGGATTCATCCGGGGGCAGCGGGTGGGCGGAGAACACAGATTCGCCGTCGGCTTCAGCGTCGGAATCTGGACTTTCCTCCACCAAGTTTCGATCTAGGAGATAATGAGTGACTGCTAGGATGTTGGGGAGGACTATGGCATTCGCATGTGAGCTAATTCATAGGCCAATAGAAAAATTTGATGTTACGCACAGTCCGTGCAAGGTACCTGAGGAGAAGGATTGTACGACGGATGCTTGCAAAGAGCATCTATGACACCTCGAGCAGTGATGACATCGAGACCAAGCAACCGGCCAAAAACCTCCCTCACATTCTCCTGTTCCATGAACAAGAAGTCCGCCGCTACGACAAAGAACACCGCTTCCGCAATCTCAGCTGACCACTCTGAAGCCTTGAATTCTCCATGAAATGAAAGGATACGGTCAACTTCCTTGTTGATTAGGTCTACCACAGTACGTTGCAGGCATAAAGTTCCGGCTCTCGTCATCTGGCCCATCGTGCTCCAGTGTAGCGGCAAATCCTCCAAGGTCTCGAGGGAAAGATCACAACGATAAGAGACAATCTGTCGGATACAAGGAAGAGCGTCCGTCAACTCGACGCTCATCAAACATTCTCTAACTGGCTCCAAGAAGCCGTCATCCAGGAAAAGTGCGTCCGCTGAAGCCAAGCATGGCATATCAAAAGCAGTGTCACCGCGAACCTCTTTCTCTTCGGGAGGAGGGCTGACATCTACATGATAGACGACCGAGGCACCATACCACTTCGAAATGCAAGTAGCGAATGTAGCCAACGTCAAACGTACGCAACGTCCGGAACTAGATATGTTCTTGCCAAGTGAATTGCGCGGTAGATGGAGGGTGCGCAGGACAAATCGAAGGGGTTGGAAGATGCGAATCGGACCGTACAAGATACAATTTAGAGCCACGAATAACGTGGGTCGTATTCTTTGCAGCATACCTTTCAAGATACGGCTTTTGTAAGGACACTGCGAAGAGAAAACAGATGCAAATGCTGTAGTGACGAAGATAGCCGCCCAAAATAATATGAGAGCGGTGACCGTCCATCCTATGACGGGGTTGAGGATCCTGAGGAACTCGCTTAGTCCGACGAAAAACAATACGAGGGCGAGCTGCACCAATAGCGGAAGCATAGCGGCAAGCTCGAATACACGCCATCGTACCAGTCCTTCATAACGGAACTGGCGGATGCGTATATGGGCTCGGGGGGACAAGCTATCATCCGACATGTATTCATGTAACCACTGCTTGACGAGAATGCCTAATGAGGCCGTGACGAGACTGCAGGTCAAACTAGAGAACCAAAAAGCGTTGATGCGAACCATCGAGGCGGAAGCCTGGAACATGGGCTGAGGGTACACGACTGTAGTGGAATTGATGAATGACGATGTCACAGCGAAGCTGGCGAGTTGCTGTGATATTTGGAGAAGAAGGCGGGCAGAGACATCGCTCGAGTCTTCTTGCAGTTTTTGGTATGACTCTATCACAAATGCGGTCAGGACTGCTGAGAACAGACCGGCCTATGACACGCAGACGACATCAATAACCGAGTGAATATATAGATACAGAGCAACACCCACAAATACGAGAAGAGTGTCTATATCTTCCTTCACGACCTTGATCTTATTATCATCATAATCGTGTAAAACTTTCGACACTTTTGACCAGCCCTCACGGCTGTTTGGGCAAGTCTCAGGAACAGCTGGGGCTCCCCGTCTATCAATCATGTCAGGCTACATGACATAAATACGTTCAAGTATGCAGTTTATCGGAACAAAGGTCCTAAACTACCTACATCGAGATCCTGATGTTGAAGTGTCAGGCGACGTGAAAGTAGATCCTTCCCATCGGGACTGTAATCCGGTCCATTTGTCAAGGGAGGACTAGGAGAACCTCGTTTGAGGTTCTCCATGAAGGTCTCTTGGAGACGCTCAGCCGAACCACCGAAGTTCCGAGACAATCGTCTACGTTTGCCCATGTTCTTCGGTCTGATTAAAGTTCGATCTGGAGAACTACCGGTCGACGCTGGCGAGCCAAGTTCCTCGGGCTGCAAACACCAGCAGATCTAAATCAAGAGAATTGGCTCGAAATGATATTATCTTACCACAACATGTCCATGACTTGACATCTGCTGCGTGCCCAATACAATAACAGATGCCGGAGAGTCAGAAACCAGCTAGAGTTGCTGAAAGAGTCAAACAGATTTGAAGCAGAAGTCAAATGTCGGGAAGGAAAACTGACAAGGATCACCGCCGCCACAGGACTTAAGAGTGCGTCTCGCGTCTAGTGCTTGGCTGTGTGGCAAGCTCTGATCGCCATTCCGGACCGTGGTTGCAGGCAACAATTCGCTGATGAATGAACGCACGATGAACAGCCTCATCGATAGCAGAGAATCCCAAGTTGATTGAGGTGCGCGCCATTGTAAGATTTGAGACATTGACAATGCATCACACTCCGAGTCCGTAGGGAAAACGGGTGGTCAGTTCAAGGCATGTGATCGTAGAGGAGCTTCAGAGTTCGAATGTGTCGACGTTGAAACATTGACGCTTCAGGGGATGTAACTAGTCATGCGCGATGAGAATAATTGGAAAAGCACTCGTCAGAAATCTGATCCTGCCACTGTTACACGTTCTTCTAGCACGCGTTTATTTGGCTCTGTTTACCAAAGGCTTTATCCCTAAGTGAACATTAAGTGCTATCGAAGGCTGTAGGTTGTACTTACTGTAGTATATGGCATTTATTTGAACACTTGTTTCTGCACACGGGCACTGACCTATACAATTGTCAGCCTGCCTTGGATTTCTGATACGATGGGTGACAACATTTGTCCTGGTGAGCATTAAGTGTGTTGACATTCATCTGAGGTAGTGCTTGCGAGTGCCAGTGGCACAAAGTACCAAAATGGGACCATGGTTGGAAAATCGAGATGTTCTGCATTATTGACGTTCGAAGTATACAGGTATCGGAACACTAGGAATGAAAGGAGTCGATAATGTTAAACATATCAAATGCGTAGAAATACATATGCGTGTAGATACGATCAGTCCGAGATTGAAGGAAACTGAGAATCGGAAAGAAATCAATCAATCACCGACTTGGTCCTCCATGACTCTGCGGTCTTTCGAATACCGGTTGAGACAGCATTGTTGCTGACCTCGGGGCCTGACCTCCCCGCATCTTCCCCAGCCATCCGCCTCGTTTCATCGCTTTATCTGCCGGGTCCCCATGCTTATGGCCTCTCGGACTATTCGTGACGTCGGCTATGATCGGTGCCCCAGTAGTTGCTCTTCGTGGTGAAAGTTGATTTGGATGAGGGCGAGTAGCGCTATTTCGGATAGGCGTGAAGCCCGTTCGAACGCTATGTAACGCTCTGCGAATTCGCGGAGTAAATGCATCTGGATCCTGGCTAGGTACACTGTCACTGGTGAAGACTTGAGGAGGGAGACCCTCACCGTCCTCGAAGTCATCAGGCGCTCGCCGTTTCTTTCCCGCCGACATCATTGAAGATGAAGAGGATGACATAGGCATTGATGGAGGTGGCGAATTTGAAGACGGTGGTATGGATGGTAAACGTTTTGATTCCGGCGTCCGCGCTCTGAACACAGGTGGGGGTGGAACCCTATGCTCTGGTGTTTTGGGTCTTGCAAGAACAGATGGCCCAGACAACGTTCTCGAACGTGAACTGCTGGGCGTTGGGTACGCCTGAGGCGCGACGATTGCAGGGGCTCGAGAAGTGGAAGTTAAGGCTTGTGGTTGATTTTTTGCAGGTACCGGTGCAAGTGGGTTGATCTCTGTTGCTGCTGCTAATTTGGCTTGAAGATTAGCGACCTTTCTGCCGAGGGAATCGATCTTGTTATTAAGCTTCTTTTTCTCCTTGATGAGTCTATAGCACGGTGTGAAATCAGTCTTATACTACAGGGACGAAATCAGGACGTGACTCACTCGATGAATCGATCATCGTTCTCCTCGATTTCGAGACACTTAGCTCGCAGTAGCTGCTCCATCTCTTCGTTCTTCTCCCGAAGGTCAGCGATGGTCTCTTGTAACGACGCGTTCCCTCGCAAGGATTCGACTTCTCGTCGAAGGCTAGCTATGGTCTGCTCATCCTGGGCTATCTCGAACGAGAGCTTGATTTCCGTAGCCTTGGCTGCTTGTTCGGATTGTTGGAAGCTCGATTGCACAAGATTGAGCTTCTCTGCCAGAGCCGCGATCTCTTGTTCACTGCAACGAAAATACACACTCAGTGGCTAGCCATAAGTGGAACTATGATTACTCACCGTTCCTTGATCTGACTATCTTGATGCCGCTGCATGGACAAAGAACGCTGAACTTGAGCTTCGAGGTCTGTCATTTGCTCCAGCAGTTGTTGCTTCTCGTCCTTCAACTGTCCCAAGAGGCAATCCGTCTCTTGCAGTTGAGTGGTCAAGCTGTCGAGGTCCTGGCTTAGTTCCCGTTGGGCCTGTTCAGCTTGTTCACTTCGGATCAAAGCCTGAGAGTGTTGCTGTCGGAGGCGATCGTACTCATCGACTTGGGCCTTCAACTGTTCCCTAACTTGCTCAACTTCGTTTGTCAGTTGTGCTAGTCGGCCGTCGCCGTCGGCCTTGATGCTAGTAAGCTCCTGCAATACTGCCTCGTGGCGGGACTTGAGCTCCTCGAGTGTATGTAACGTTGCCTCTCGCTCGCTCGATGCAGATGTCAGACGCGTCTCCAATGCAGCGTGCTGGTCGCGAAGGCCTGTCAACTCAGCCTCCAGAGCAGTCTTGACCTGCGACCATTCAGAAGCCTCCGTCTGTAGTCGCTCGATGGTAGACTGACGGGCGGCCTCGAGCTCTGTTTGCCCCTTTGATGCAGCTTCCAATTCTTCGGTAGTCCGGGCAAGGCGAGTGCGCAGATCCTCCACTTCAGTGTCGTATCGCGCACGAAATTGTGAGAGCTGGAATTCGGTGTCTCGGAGCTTCTGAGCAGTCTGGCTGTTGTCGTCCCGTAGGTTTTCACGTTCATCAGAAACAGAGTCGAGATCCGCACAAGCCAGTCGCAGTCGCTCTTCTAAGTCGTTCACTTGCTCATTATACTCGGCTCGGAGGTTCTTTAGATCGCTCTCGGCCTGAACGGTGGCGTTCAGTCTCGCGATGGTTTCCTTCAACTGTCGCTCGATTTCGTCCTTATCACGAGATGCTTCATTGAGGGCCACTTGATGTAATGTCTCAAGATCAACCTGCTGTTGTTTGGCATCTTCGAGATTCGCGTGAACGAGAGCCAGCTCGTCACGAAGCCGTTTTGTCTCTTCTTCATGGGAGTTGCGAAGTTTTGCAAGATCCTCACGGAGGGATTTCTCGACAAGCTCTCGTTCTGATCCGGTGGAAGCGTGCAGATGGAGCTCCTCCTTAGTGCGTTTGAGCTCTTCCTCGGCATCTGAATGGTGGCGAGTCAAATCCTCGTTTGCCTCATGCAAGGACTGACACTCGTCCTCCAGCTGTGCAATTCGTGCTTCAAATCGGGAACGGTCTTCTGATGTTCGCTCGATGTTCTGGATTTGCCATGAGCCGTATTCTTCCTTTCGGGCAAATAGCTCGTCAACCTTCGCTCTGAGATCTTGTCGTAGCTGTTCCAGTTCCTTTTGCAATGATGCATTCTCGTTTCTGAGCTCGTCGAAGCGTGATGTGGTTTCGCGAGAGTTGATGTGAGCTGTCTGCAAGGACTCCCTTGCAGCTCGCGACTCGGCGAGTGCTGCATCTCGCTCAGCTTCGAGAGATTGTAATGCATGAGTCTTCTCTTCCACAAGCTGCTGCGTACTTCGATGAGCCTCCTGGAGTTGCTGTATCTGTGCGAAAACCTGGTCTTTTGATTGATCAACCTCGAGGAGACGGGCCCGTAGCTGGCACTCTGCTTCAGCATGCTGGGACAATGAGGCAAGTGTCGCATGAGATGAGTTTCTGCGCGTGGAGACGCCCCGCAAGATGATTTCCACGAGGGACTGTATTTCGACATCCCTCTGGCCGTCGATCTGGGTGATTTTGTCCTCCATCACTTCCATGCTCTCCTCTAATCCTTCACATCTCTTCAAAGCCCGATCCCTTTCCTCCCTGGTGGTCTCGCAATCCTCCACCATCGCAGCTTTCTCCGTCTCTGCGACCTCGAGCTCAGCAGTCATCTCAGCCAGGCGATCTTCCTGAAGCTTTAGATTCGTCTCCAGACGCTTAATGTCATGCTGATGAACACCAATTTGTTCCGTTCGCCGCATGACTCGCGCTTCGAGGTCCATGATTTGTTTGCGAAGAGCACGAGTAGCCTCGGATGAGGACATAGCGGACAGCTGATGGGATTGGAGCTCTGTATATCGACTCTCCGCCTCTTCCAGCTCCCGGTGAGCAGTCCCGAGATCTTGCTCGAGGTGTGTAATCCGGAGAGAATGTGAGTCACGTATGGACTCTGCATCTGCAAGGGTACGGGAAACGTCCACGAGTTCCGCCTCTGTTCGTGCCAAAGCATTTCCCATCTCCTCGTGAGCTCTTCTCTCCCTCTCGGTATCTTGTTCCAATACTGCGATACGTGCAGTAAGATCTCGCACCTGAGTCTTAGTTGCAGAGAGCTGTTCCTCGGATGCATCAAGCTGTCCCTGGAGTTGGACATTACCATGTTGTAGTGTGTGGATAGTGGTATCTCTAGACCTCAAGAGTTCCTGAACGTGGTCAAGCTGTTGCTGCGTAGCATCTAGACACTGTAACACGGAGGCGAGCTGAAGCTTCTGAGTGTCGGATTCGAACTGCAGATGTTGAACAACCAGGGCAGATACTAGTACAGCTTGTTCGGACTTGGCGTAGGCGTGCATCGATACGGTAGGTATATGATCGTGCACTGCTGTCCTCTGCGATTCCTCCAGGGTCGCAGCACGAGATTGCGCTTCTTGCAGCTGCTTCTCGAGACTCTCCACTTTAAAGGCAGTCTCCAGCTTGTGGAAGTCGTAGTCTCTTTGTAGAGCGTCCCTTTCTCCTCTCAGCCTTGTCGTAAGGCGTTGTGCTTGCGCGATGGACGCGTTCAGCTCCTCTGCGTCTGAGGAGTTTGTTTAGTATTATGCCGTGCGAACTGGGCCCTATAAGATTCACCTGCATCGCGTGATCCGTCGATATCCATGTTGGCTACAATTATCCAGAGACCAGTACTTCAGAAATATGTTGTAAAATAGGGTATCCAGGTGCAGTCCTCTCGGTAAAATAAACGAAGCAAGGTAGGGTGGCCAAAGGCCAGTCTGTGTTGTCTGCGAAGAAATTCAAACATGCGTACCGAACGACGGAGCGGCCGGACAATGGACAAATATGCATAAACAACACGCTTACACGTGACCGCGTGACTACGCGTCGCTAGTTCGAGTCTGTTTGAGTTTGCTTCTTGGACATCGTTTATCCTCATCGTTCGTACATATTTAACGTATTTAACAACTTGTCTAGCATACAACCCTAGATTGATTCCAGCAGACTCACAGCCTCCTCTGCGGAACCCCACGAAGCCTGGTATCCCGTACCTCTGCAGGATGACGACGTCAGTTGACATGAAAATGAAATAAGCACGCATGTATGTGACATACCCAAAGCCATATGCGTGGATAATAGGCAGCTCTCTTTCCTCCGAAATGGTTCCCTTTACCCCATGCATGAGATCGCTGACGAACGGCAATCTCACTTTCTGTAGTTCAATGCGAGGACCACCCTCTCGCGCCGGTCGCAAGCCAACGTTATGGCTGATGATACGTGACTTATCACTCTTCAAAGCAGGCAGGAACTCTACAGCACGGTCCCATATTTCGCGGGCTGTTTCGAAGTTGACTGAAGTGTCCCAGTTGTTCTTCTGGTAGGTGCCTCCGATAATAACGTGCCCTTGGGATGGACGAGGAATAATGTAGGTGGCTTTCCCGTCAGGATTCTCACCAGTACCTATACACTCAGTCTGCATTTAGGTCGCTCGATCGGGTTAAGTTCAAAACTTACCTATCGGTAGTGCAACGCACTCCTTCACTGCAGGTGCTTCAACCAGAATCGTCTGTCCTCGGATCGGATAAACGAGTTTATCCTCAACTCCGATGAGGGATCGGGCCCCTACAAAAGAACATACGTCAGGTCTGTTGTCTCTGGACAGGCGACAGGATCACGTACCCAGGCCTGTAGCATTGAAAATGATCCCCTCAGGACCCGCGATGTCGGCTGCTTCCCCGATCGTGTGTATCTGTCTCTTAACAAATACCACACCCCGGTTCAGAAGCTCATTCTTCAGCCATGGAAGATACTTGATAGGATTCACAGTGATGGTCGAGAACTTTACGCCACCAGTGAAGCCCGATGGCAGTTCCTCGGGCGAGAGGACCCGGAACTGGTCAAAGCCTATAAACGCTGCACAGCCTCTTCGACTATATAAAATATAACACTCACGTCACGGACAAGCGCTTTGAACCACACATTCTCAAGGCCTTGTGCCTCGGGGAAGTAGATGGTGTAAGGTACGTTCTGGGTGTTTAATGAACATAGATTCAGGGACACGATTGGACGACAGGATGCCATACGTAAGTCAAGCCCGTATGCTCCATGTCCCAAAAAGTGTTACTATGGATCAATTAGCATTACCTAACTCAACACGCGAAATTGTTCCTACATACAAGGTCTCCAGTTCCCGCCGAAAAGTCTTGTGGTCTGGCATCTCCACAGAGAACGGTGACCAATTTGCTCCCTTCAGCTTTAAGGTCAGCAAACTACAAACTATACTAAGAGAAATAGCACTCACAGCCCATGGACTAGAGAATGCTTGTGAGGTCAAGTCTTCAGGCGTATCGCGAGCGACGATAGTAACCCTGTATTTATCGGGGAAACGCGTTGTGACAACCTGAGCTATAGTGAGTCCAATGACCCCGGACCCGATAATGACGATATGCTTCTTGTCTTGAGTGTTAGACATCGTGTTTGTGGCCTGCAGCTCTACTCAAGTCTAGCAGATGGTTTATATGCAGTAAAGACGGAATGGGAACGGATTGCCGCATTGGTGACTCGATGATAAGTCGCATGATCGAGAGGTCGATCACCGCCGATCACTTGACGAGCCTTCACAGTCCACAACTACTGTTAGCTAAGCAAGTCACAGTACTTCAGGCCTCAGTTAGCAGGTGAAATGCGACATCTCCTTGTGTCTGGTTCAGCACGCTGCTATGCTTCTTGCAGTCTTGCGCCTGCCTCTTTGCATTACTTTCGGCTTATCGGCTGGTTTCCACCCTCCGGCCCTCAATCGCATGTTGGCATCTTCAACCGTCCAGGCAGAATCGAGGCTCCTTATCATGTGGTCTACAGAAGCCCTGGCAGACTACGAGACGTTCCTTAACTCATCCAAAGGGTTTCTCATCCGCGTGTATGAGTCGGATATGTAGTCCATGCACTGAGTCACTCTCCCTTGGGTTCTTCAAAGGAATGCTACACTCTATCAAGAACCCTGGCCATGGGATAGCTCAACTTCTTCGACTTCTCCCCTACGAGCAGTGATATTACCGGATAAACTGGCTTCTCCTCGTTTCAAGTCTCTCGACAGGGCTTATTTGCAAGTTCTACAGCTTGCACCTCAATGAATGAACTTGGCTCTGTTTATCGTGTTTCTCGAATGAATGCCCTGCGACATTCATCCCTTGCAACGTGGATACCATGCTCAACTCTTGCCCTTTACCATAAGAACCTTTCATGCTTAGGATCCGCATTCATTGCTGCAAGCACTTCTCCTCCACCTCTCTCCTCTTCCAATCTGGCATTGGTCGTAACTCCCAGCCCCTGACATGGTTTCCGAGATCAAGTTCACGTCCTTCGGGATCCCATATCTCGTTGAATTTGCCAACGTCAAGTTCCGCGCCGCCTTGAAGCGTAGGTCTGCTCACCTGAGACCTAGTCGGAGCCGCTCCTCCTCCAGTAGCGCGAGTAGTGGCAGCAGCAATAGCAGCGGCTACGTCAGCGTTGAAGCTTCGCTAGCTACTGCGTCCTCCGAAACTCTCGTATACTCGGACGAGCGTGATGGCGAAGGGTTATACATCCAGTTCGCTTCACGTCAAACGGACGCACCACGACCATTGTCAGAGACGCGCCTCGCTCGCTTGAAGCATCGAATCGCGAACGCGGTCCTTGCGGCCGGAATGGACACCCCTGTGGCATCGGATGTGTCTGATCCTATGGGTCAAGTCATCCACCGACTGTCACAGAGATTCGAGAAGCAATCTCATCACTCTCCGAGCTCGTTCTATCGTGGGACGTATGGTCAAGTTATCGGTGCTCTCCAGTCGGCCGGTCTGACTATCACTCCTTGCAAAGCCTCCGGACTTGAAGATGGTCAGTGCTTCCATTCGTTCGGCCATAAATTTTTTAATCGACCGAGGATTGTTTTGCAGCTCAAAGACTCGGTTCTCTCTTCGTTGCGAATCATACGGAATTAGGCACCGTTGAGCTGACGAAGCTAACACTGTGGGCTTGATGTCCTCCCTAGTGTGAGTAAGTGAGTTCTAACTTAGTCAAAAAAGCAGGTATGCTGATGCAGACTTCCGGCACCTGTCACACCGGTAGTGCACCATTCAAACCTGCGATTTGCATTTGTCTTGATACAGGCCAAGTCCAGCACTCTATTTATGGAGGAGAGCAATAAAGACTTTTCGGGTTGTGGAGTTATTGCGGTTGGCATATCTTTATCGTATTCTTATCCGGTTCACCATATCATCGCAAGGCCAATGATAGCATAGGTGTTCCTGACGTGAAGTCTTATATAGAGCTATATGTATAAATACAACATTCGTGTACATTACATGGACAGATCCTTGGAAACCAATCTCAGCGTGCAATTATCTTCCTTCTCCCAAATGACAAAGACAACATTATCCATGCCTGCATATCGCTTCAATCCCACAACGTTGCAGCTAACACTGGAAGAGATTCCAGTTCCCAAACCGAGGGCAGACGAAGTCCTAGTAAAGGTGCTCGCTGCGGGCATATGTCACTCCGACGTTTCTGCCTTATACCATCGAGATGCGATCAACCTAGAAGCTCTCACAAGCGATTCCTTCACGATGGGACATGAGGGTGCTGGGGTTGTCGCAGAGTTAGGCAGCGCAGTCGCGGAGAAGTATCCGAAGATCACTACAGGCATGTACGTCGCGGTGTACTGTCGTAGTAACTGCCATACATGCCGCGAGTGCCTACAAGGGAAGGAGAATCTGTGCCAGATGCAACCATTGCACGGCTTGGGGTCAGACGGAATGTGGGCATCGTACATCGCAGTATCCGCATCTTCTGTTTTCCCCGTGGCAAAATCGATTCCTCCAGAGGTCGCAGCGGTGGCCACCGACGCCGTGCTTACCTCGTATCATGCACTAAAGACCCTCGGAAACGTGCAAGCGGGTCAGACAGTCCTGATAATAGGTTGCGGGGGACTTGGACAGAACGCCGTGCAGATTGCAAAGAATTGCCTCGGTGCAGGCGTAATCATTGTCACTGATCTGAAGGAACAGAGTTTGCAGCTGGGGAGAGACACAGGTGCCGACCATGCAGTGCATCCGGACGGACTCCGGCAGCTTCTGCAGGATCTCAATGTCACCCTCGATATCGTCTTCGACTTTGTTGGCAATCAGGACACTTTTGAAATGGCCGCGGCCGTTGTATCAGGGGGTGGAAAGATTGTGCAAGTCGGGATTGGCGCCGAGTTCATACAGGTTCCAGTGCTGCTCACGGCAATGAAGGAAATTGAACTGCTGACGTGCTTTTGGGGAAAGAAGTCAGAAATGGTAGAGGTCTTAGACGCCATTGCAGAAGGGAAGATCAGGCCGAACGTGGAGATTCGTCCATTTGAGGAATGTCACCAGGTGTTAGAGGAACTGAGAGACGGGAAGCTCGGGGGACGAGTCGCACTACGATTGTATTAGAACGATGGGCGGGGTAGCACGAGTATTTTGAGCAATTCTCCACATACCGAACCCGAGAACAGTGTTGGCGCAGAGTAGTGAAAGTCGCACATCCATTGCGGATCAAGATGATGAGCGTCCAAATAATTGCCGAGTCTAGCGGGTCCCCACTTTGCTGCAAGCTTAATGTCCCTTTGTACTAAGAAACATCCTTCTTGTGTTGCGTTCTATGCATATCTTCTGGCACCGTTAAGTATAATGGTCAGTATTTCAGGGAGACCTATATTCCGGTGTATCAGGCCACAACCATCCAAATTTGACATCGATGGTGCGCCGAGCCTACGGAGGTCATCACTGTGATGAACGCATGCGTCTCTTGATCCCATAGGGCCTAGATATCTGCACTCTATCGGCTCATGAGAACATCTGTCTTACGTGGAAGATCACAGATGTCAAATGGTCTTTAGATGATCACAGATAGATCACATATAAGTGAGCTATCAGTCGTATGAACTCGACGTCAAATCCCCGACCCACACGCATCTGCTCATTCCTATCATGTCGAGTACGGACCAAACCATGTTTGCATACCGATTCAACACCAAGACGCAGAATCTTTCGCGGGAGGAAATACCTATACCTAAACCGCGCTCAGATGAGGTTCTTGTCAAGGTCACCGCGTCGGGAGTATGCCACTCAGACGTCTCGGCGTTGTATCACCCAGAAACTGTCCAATTGCAAGTACACACCGGTGGAGATACCTTGACGATGGGGCATGAAGCTGCCGGGACTATTACAGAGTTGGGAAGTGAGGTGGAAGAGAAGTATCCTGAATTAGCAGTGGGCACTCAAATCGCCATGCTGGGTCCAAATCCTTGTAATGAAGATTCGTGCGAGATGTGCCTCGCAAACAAGGGTAACCTATGCGGAGCAAGGGGATGGTATGGTCTGAGCATTGACGGAGCATGGGCAGGCTACGTTGCCTTACGAGCGTCGTCCGTAGTCCCCATCCCACCAAACACGCAAATCCTTCCCGAGGTAGTAGCAGTCGCTACTGATGCCGCTCTTACAACATATCACGCCCTGAAGACCATTGGCAATGTCCAAGCAGGACAGACGGTTGTGATCTTGGGATGTGGAGGGTTGGGACAGAACGCCGTCCAGATCGCAAAGCATTGCTTGGGCGCTGGCTGCGTTATCGCATGCGATCTGCGTGAACAGAGCCTGGAAGTGGCCAAGGAGGGGGGAGCCGATCATACAACCTATCCTAACAACATCGAAAACCTTGTACGACGCCTCAATCTTTCTGTCGATATCGTCCTTGATTGCGTTGGTATACCGAGCACTACTGAAACGGCGGCCAACATTGTCAAACGAGGTGGAAGGATTGTTTCGGTTGGTGTCGGAGCCAAAACCCTCCAGGTGCCTTTAGTCATTGCAATAGGGAAGGAGATCCAGATACTGCCGTGCGTATGGGGAACGAAATCAGAACTAGCGGAAGTATTAGAAGCCATCGCACAAGGCAAGATTAAACCGCAATTGGAGACTAGACCGTTCGAGGATTGTTTCAAGGTTCTGGAAGAACTGCGGGATGGTAAACTCAAGTCTCGTGTAGTATTAATACCGTGAATGAGCGTTTATGAACCGTCTTGATAACGCTATTGTACATGTACTTACAGTATGTATGCACCTCATCTTCTCTGAAGCCCCAAGTTGTGAGTCAAGAACGTCAACGACAACTGAACTTGGATCACGATAGCGGCTTATCAAGTACGTGATAATGCGTCAGCGTCAATGCAGAAACGGCCACTATCTGAACTTGGAACTAATTCCTTCAAGTGCCTGACCTCTATGACTTAAATATCGTGTCCTCACATGAAGCATGCAGGCCTAGGGAAGCATCGAAGCATTGTGCATCATGTTCAACCTACTTGGGCTCTGCGTTTATCTCATCAAATGTTCCGCAAAGTCGTCTCTGACAACCAAACGTTCATTCTTCATTAGTGTTGTTTGTCTCCATACCGACAAACGCTGTGAACGGTAACTACTCAGAGTGTATAATCGCGAATGACTCAATCAATGATCCGTTGAGTGACTCTCCTGCACTATTTGCATCCTTGCATTTACAAGAGTATCAAAGCACTGGCCTCTGGGAAGTTCGACTAAGATTATCACTCACTGGCACTATGATGCCTCATGACTTGGGTATGTCGCGTTTTGTCCTCATGAGTAAAGCGGATCTAATGAGAAGAGCATATACATAGGACAGTATACCTTTTCGCCCTGGTCTTGAACGTATCTATGATCTGACATGTACATTGGAGGCATCTGTCAATCTTTCGAAGCTGATTGTTTTATGTGAGCGCTCTCATATCTTCGTCCTGTTTCCGCTCCTCATTTGTAACGTACTTGCACATGGAATCACAACCCATGGCCAACGAAATTGTGACCAGGCGCATATTCCCGAGGTTATGGTACTTTTCCCGCTGCCGCCCGCTAGATCGTCTAAATCTTATTTTCTCTGTTGTCATTTTTACAACCTGTAGACCATCACATTCAGTGTGCCATGCCTTCTACAGTGCAAAACGCACCCGAGTCATCGTCTGTGAACGCTGAAAGAGTTTACAACACCACCGCGCAGATCGTTGATGACACTAACAGCGGCATCGCTTACACTACCGGCTGGAGCCAGACATTCACCGGATTGTCGGACTTCAACAGTAGCTACCATGTTGTGCAGAAAGTTGGAGAAGAGGCAACCTTTGTGTTCAATGGTAAACACTATCTCTTCTATCTGGTATTCATTGGTTAATGACAATTCTTTTTACAGGCACCGGAATTGAGGTTTACGGTTTTCCAGAATCTCTTATGAATGGAATAGCTATCGAGCTCCCTCCCGACATACTGTACAACATCGATGGAGGTGCTTCAGCCATTTATCATCTCAACTCTTCTGCGCAAATCAAAGGCTCTCCCTTCTCAGTTCTCACCTATGTCTCGCCTCCTCTAACCCAAGGAGAACATACACTGACTATCAGTTGTCTAAATACAACGAAATCCTATTTTGGTCTCAACTATCTTGTGTATACCCCTGGAAACATGACATCGAGCGGAGGCACACAAGTAATAACCGTCAGCGCATTAGTAGCCCCAACCGCCATCTCTTCCAATGGCAATGGTGTATCGAAGAGTGCAATAGCTGGAGGGACAATTGGTGGTGTCGCCTTGGTTGCCTTGTTAGTCCTCGCGACGGTGTTCTGCTACAAACGATACCGTGAACCCAAGCAGTTTGAATTTGTGCAGCCATACGAGCGCAATTATAGTAAGTCATTCCTTCACTTACCCTCATGGACTGTAGATAGGTCTAATCGAAGGTAGCTCGTCACCGCTCCATGCCATCTTTACCCGCCGTCTATCCATTCAGCGCTGCTACAGTGATAGAGACGCCGAGGGCCAAAGGCGCCCCCCCGCCCGGTTACCTATCCCATTCTTCCTAACCCTACCGTCGACGCTTCTACATCATCCTTCCCAAGTGAGCGCGCAGTGTCTCCTGCCGCATTGGCAAGATTAACCTCTGCACTATCTCCCGAGCGGCGCCGTGACATTGCGGACAATCAATCCATTGTTTCCGATGCTGCCCCTCCGTCATATAGGTCGGTTTCACACTGTTTGCTTCTGTGACCTTGCTCACGAATAGATTTGCTTTTTAGGAGTGCTGTTTAACTGCGGCCTGGTTCTTTTCAGCTGACTTTCACTTCTGAGATATCTTTCTAATTTGTAGGTCAGGCGCCTCGTAGCGGAGCACTGTTCTTCGAGTAAGATTAGTAGAGGCTATTCGTGGTAAGTAATAGGATTGACTTTGAACCAGGTCATTTTATGGGGCTTCGCCCCAGGGACAGATGGAGCTTGAGCTGGCCTTCGGCCAGGGACCGCTTCGCGGTCAACATTCGCAAAGCGAATGTCACTGCGTAGTTGCACTTTGGGGCAAAATTGAAGCAAGGCTAGGCTAAAATGTCGGCAAAATATCTAAGTACTCTTTAACTAGAGAGTCGGGAACAGTTATAACCCCTTATGATCTATTTTATATTTTTCCGACATTACAATCATTTCAGAATAGGGAACAGTAAATACTGGAAATATATTTGAAGCAGGTCTATGTGTATTCTAATTTAGTAGCAACACAGTGTATGCTGAAGAACATATGTGCTCAGACATTCTGAGCATAGCAAACAGGTGGTGCCCAACTTGGTGTTAGTATCTCACGCAATGCTCGTCTCCCAAGCGCTGACAAAAGCGCCACTATCCCACGGGGTGCTCGCGCACGCTCCCAAAGCGCCCACTCTCTCACGGGGTGCTCACTGTCCCACGGGGTGCTCACTCACGGTTTCGTGAATTGGGCGTCTACTTCCGCCCACCAGAGCCCCAGAGGAGGTGATGTCCAGTGTCGATGTCGCAAGCTCCATCAATGACATATGTATTACAATCTCATCTGTGAAGTCAATTAAGATAATGTGGCCACATCGTCCTCGACCAAATGCGATGTGTCGTTCCACTAGATACTCTTCCTATGACTGCACTGGTTGCAGTTTGTCAGGCGAACTCTGTGTTGATTACATAGACATCCGGGCCGTAGACTACAAGAGTACACTGCTCCTTATGTGGAAGGGGGTTTGCCATTTATGGGAACACCACCTTCCTTGTTATTCAGAGATCTGACGATCCGACCCCTTTCACCACCTGCTTTGACAATGAGAGACAGGTACACTTCGATGTCGAGAGGGCTATAAAAGTACAGCTCTATTATCTGGGGAAAAGGTCATGCGTTGAATATTGTCTTTTGGACCGTCACGAAGTCCCAGTCAAGTGATGTAGTGGAGTCTTGAAGCTTGAAGCTTGAGGTTCATATGATACAGCTGTGTTACTAAGCTGTGTTAGGGGTTGACAGACGGTCCGCTTGAGTTGAGTCAATGTTGATTAGTGCTCTCGGCCATTGACATCTATGCACCACTCAGACAAAGACAAATTGACTGGCTTACAGAGGGAAGGACCAAGATCTCCCTCGGCATCGATGCTTCCAATGGGTAATTCATTCTCCGCTGCTGCATTCCTCGCGTCGAACGTGTGCACGGCCACCATTCTCTTTCTTGTGCTCAACCGTCATGCACGCCAATGGTAGCGCCGCCGGCGAGCAAGCCACTCCAGTCATGGGTGGTTTGGATAGAAAACAACTCAAGCTATCTCACTTACCCTCCAGACGGGATCTCAAGGTCCCTTATCCGAGGACGCCCTCCTCAGTAAGTTCACGCCCGTTGAAAATAAACCCGCCGGCTAAGTTGACGCGCATATACCCACTCAGATCGATCCTAACAACCCGCCATGGCCAGCGTTCCGTGGTTACCACACTTACTCCTTCGCCAACGCGACTATGGGTCACCGGTTGCCCACTATCCTCGGGAAAGCCATCGAAGACGTCATTGAAACCCTTAACGGCCTGTCTGACGAAGAGGAAATCCATGATCTGGTGAGTTGCATCCAGAGGATGGATACCTTGAAGAACGAGTTGCACCAGCACGCCAAGTTGCGGCCTATCATCGACGATGGCGAGGCGGATGTGGCTTTGTGGAATAAGGAGATCACAAAGTATTTCGCAGGTAGGCGCATATACCCAGTATTCTGGATGAATAGAAGGTTGAACGTGACTTGTAGACAAGGACTTCATGAACGCGCCATGGCTCTTCGCAGAGGCGTACAAATACAGACGCCTCCGCGAGTGTTTCACCGTCAGCAAATTCTGGGGTGACTATGATGTCTTTTTCAGACAAAAAGTGAGTAAATGAACCGCATCTAACCACACTCTTGACTCACAAATGCATCCATGTAGTGTGATACATTCTCGCGTTCGAGTGACGCCGTCTTCGAACTGTCCACGCGTTTTGCAGAGCCATTCCAGCACAAGAAACACCTATCCGATAACGAAAAGCTCGACGCAGAGCGTCTCATGTTCATGGAGTTAACGCAGGGTGAGTTTCATTCATGCGATCCAATGCGACGACGAAGTACGACTGACGGTGGTCCGCGATAGTCTGTCTTTGGGGCAACTCCACCGACCTCTCGCTCCTCATCAACATGACTGAGGAGCAAATCAAGGCCTTACAGTCAACTGGAGGGGAAGCACTTGCCGAGACTGAGAAGAACATTCTTGCGAACCACATCCCCAAATTGTGGGAAGTCGTTCGAGACCTAAAGGGCAAACCTAGCGCAAGGATTGACTTCATTTTGGATAATGCTGGGTTCGAGTTGTATTGTGATTGCGTCTATGGTGCGTGTCAACCGCCAAAATCGTGGGAATGTGAGAAAATAATTATATCTTATGGTAGCCGACTTCCTGATGCAAAACGGGTACGCTGAACAAGTCCGCTTCCATGGTAAACGTTATCCGTGGTTCGTCTCCGACGTCACCAAGAAGGATTGGAGCTGGTTGTTGAATAGCATGGTGTATGGGCACTTATTCCCAATGGCAACCGACCAAGAGAAGGAGACCTTAAAACGACTGGGCTTGAGGTGGAAAGTGAGTCTCCGTACACACGTACGCCTTTTCATCCTAACAATGGTATTGCAGCAATACGAGAACGAGGGCAAGTGGGTGTATGAGCAACACCCTTTCTGGTGTACCGGATACACCTTCTGGGATTTGCACAAGGAAGCACCGGATCTGTTCCTGCATTTATCCAAGTCAGACCTAGTTGTCTTCAAGGGTGACTTGAACCATCGTAAGGTAAGCCAGGGAAACTACTGTAGCCTCCATCGAGTAAGCTGATTCAAGCTCGTTTGTATAGCTGACGTACGATTGTGCTGCTCCCTATGCAACGCCTTTCGATGTTGCCATAGGCCCTATGGCTTCAGCTAGTGGAGCGCCCAAAGTGTGCAGCTTGCGCACCATCAAGAGTGATGTTGTCATCGGTCTTGGTAAGGATGGAGATACTCTTGGTGAGAAGTTGGATAAAGAAGAGGATGGGTGGAAGATTAGCGGAAAATATGTAAGCGTCCTCTCCGGTCTGCTTGAGCGCGGAAACTGATAATTGCTGTAGGCGATTGTGCTCCTCTCAGAAGGACGCCCTGGAGAACCGGTTACATTCACCTAATGCATGGCATATTTGGATTCGTTTGGATATCGTCTGGAGAGATGGACAGTCGATCGAAAATATACCCGAATCATAGAAGCGTCACTTGCATGCAGACCAAGTTTCTTTAGACAACACACGAAGAGTCTAGAGCTATTGTACAATCAGTCGTAGGACATTCAGCGGTAATAGCTAGAATGACTAATCGTAGACGCACCTTAATATATCGACTGTCGTAGCGAAGAAAGGGAGAGAGCTGTAGAAAAGAAAGACTTACATCTCTGTACGTGGAGAATTGTGAGGCATTCTGCAAAGACGATGGCTGACCTGCAACCCAGAGATCTGAAAAGACGATGAGCAGGAGATGTATAATGTTGATGAGGCAAGAAGTAGACGCATGACATGTTCATGCTCCGATGGCAATTGCTGTATCGACATCCATAACATCCACCACCTCCTCTTCGTCCAGGTCTTCATCCACTCCAAACATACCATCATCCATCTCTCCCAGTAGGTAGTCCACCACGTAACTCTCCTGTACGAGCTTCTCCATTCTCGCGAGATGACGCTCAGTATATGGCACCAACGCCTCAATCAACTCTCGTAAAGCCGTAGCGCCACCCTTGTCTCCAGCTTTCCCGGTCGTCACAACCATCTCATCATTGGTGAGTACGGATAAAGTGTTATCTTGAGTGAAAGCGTTCATGATATCTTCTGCTGCACGCAGCTTCACAACAGCGTGTAGAACGCGTTGGGCAACTGGGCTAGTCTTGGCTTTGGCGTTCCAGTCTCGGACATAACGGAGGAGGCGAGCAAGGTCTGCACCGGGCAACGTACGCAGGACTTCATCGACAGCTGGATGACCAGTGATAGAGGTCGGGGAGAACGACTCGGATGAAGGCAGGTTCTTGAAGAGCGTATGGAGACGACCAGGCTGTTCCATTGCTAGTGCTAATAATATGGCATTCCGGTAGTCGTTCAGAGCAAGGTAATTCATGAAATCTTGCTCTCTGAAGCACAAACAGTCGATATGAGTGCGTGTGGCGGGGAAGCATCAAATCGACTCACTTCAGAACTGTCTCTGCTCTCTTTGACTCCTTTTCATGTTCCTGCTCCTCGGTGCAGTCCTCCCAGAAGGTGACTACCGAGTCCGCTGCTCCAGAGACTATGGTACGTTCGTCAGAGCTGACTGCCAACGCCCATACCTAAGAAAGAAACATAGCATATGAGCGAACTGACTGACAACGGGTTTCTGGAGGATCATTGACCTTATCTTCATGGTTATCCATAGTTGTAACGCATGTTTCCTCTCGGACGTTCCACAACTTGACCAGACCATCGCTCGCTGCACTTACGAGTTGCATGCCAGCGTTAATGAAGTCTACTCTAAGCACCGAGTTCGTGTGTCCCTCAAACGTTTTGATGCAGGTAAAGTCATCGAGACTCCAGAGCTTCACACTCTTGTCTCCACTGCCAGTAGCCAAAACACGTTCGGCCTTTCCGAAACGGACGCTCCAAACCCCTCGTTTGTGACCTTTGCAGGTACCCAATAGTTTAATTTCCCCTCGCACTGTCTGAGAGGAATCATTGCCAGAACCATGGTATTCGATTTCCCAGATCTTGGCGGTCTTGTCTTGAGACCCCGAGACGAGCAACCTGTCGTTCGGTGCGACGTCTAAAGAGTTGATGTCCTTATCGTGCGCTTTGTGTGTCGCTAGACTTTTTACTTTCATGGATTGACCATCTAGGTCAGTCGCCGATATCGGGACCGACGACAGATCCCACATTTTGATAGTACGGTCTTGACTTCCGGTAAACATGAAGCGCATGGATTGGTTATCTTCCATTGCACGTCTAGACATCGCAACGGCACCTACACTTTCTGCGTGGCCCTCACAGACTGCCACGCATTTCCACTCAGGGACAGAAGGAGCGGAAAGGTCGTTCTGCAGGGACACCGCAGCATGTGAGGGAGCCCAAATACGAGCTGAGCGATCTTTGCTACCGCTAGCAAGGACACGACCTTGTGCGCCGTGATCTAGACACAAGACGATCTCAGAATGTCCTGAAAGTAGGCGAGCATCAAGTGATTTTGCGGAGTAGACTCGGATAAGGGAGGAATTCGTGGCAAGAGCGACATGCGTGTCTACGAGTTTCGACGTAGATGGTCCAGATTGGGCTTGTGGCGGAAGGAAAGGTGAGAGAAAGGTAGCATCGACTATTTCATCGTTGTATCCAATCAACTGACGTGTCAGCGAGCGAGCGATCAGCGAATGGAAGAGAATATTTTGATCTGCGTGAACAGATATGACGGTAGACGTAGAGGGAACATGGCTGTAGCGATGACTGTGAGTAGAGATGGACGCGAAGAAGTTATCATACACACATGATATCGACGATCTGTCGTTGTTCTTCCTGATCATCTGACACAACATCCTGTTCCTGACCGAGAGTGTACAAGACAGTACCCGCACGAGCATCCCAGACTTTGATCACGCCCTTCTCCCCGCCGGTATATATATGCAATTTGGCAGCACCAGAACTTGTTCCGTTCAGACCATCATCTTGAGGAAGTAAGCCCACAGCTTCAACACGTTCCAAGACAGGGAGAGTCTTCACGAGAACAGGTGCAGCATCCTTTTCTTTGCCCTTCCCTTTGCTGTTTTTAGATTTTCCATCTTGGTTTGGTTTCGGGGAGATGTCCCAGATCAGAACAACTGAGTCTCGACCACCGCTGACCAGCCATTTTCCATCTCGAGTGACGTCCAGTCCTCGAGGGACAGAAACATGACCCTCAAGAACGGCCTCTGGCTTAGCAGAAGCGCCAGAGCGAGCAGCGGCAGCTGACAAGTCAAAGATACGAATGCGAGTATCCACAGATGCCGTTATGAGCTGCATCTTCTGTTCCCGTCCAAGGAAAGATGGATCGAAAGGATAGTTGAAGGCAAGGGCGCTGACAACACCGCCATGGCCTTTAAAGACGTGTGTGACATATCCACGTTGTATGTCCCACACCTTCGCGACTCCATCCGCTGAGCCTGAGGCGAGGTATGTCGACGTGGGGTCGGTTTTACAGACATGCACAGGGGCATCGTGTGCTCGGGCAATGACACGGACTGGATGTATCGGCTTTTGAAGAGGGATTAGGGAAGTTGGAAGTTCGTAAATCCTAAGCGAGAGTGATGAGGTGAAAAGAAGAAGATGTGTTGATGCCGGAGAAATGCATAGAGATGTAATGGACTCGGTATCCTGTAACAAGATCAGCGTAGAAACAAGGAATGAATGATTGTAACACGCACTCCAATGAATCGGCATATCTCGTTACCCTCTTCAACGTTTGTAAGGATGGCTTCTTCCCCCACGCAGGTTACAAGTCTGCGGCCATCTGGGGTCGCTGCTACAGGTCCTCCAGTATAAAGCGGTGAGATGACCCTCGCCTTTTTGAAGCTAGTACATAGTCAGTGTAAGGTATCAAATGAAACGTAACATTACGGACGCAGTTTTGAGCTTGGGTCTTACGGGAGCGGACATTGAGATGGATTAAACCAATGAAGCCCTGCAGCGGGCAACTTTTTTTGAGGTGCTTGTGCATGTTGTGCGACACCTTTAGCGCTCGGTCTAAATTGGGAACAATAATGTCTAGTGAGGAAACGCCTAACCAGCTCACACAACTACCACTCGCTCCGACGTTTCTCCCAACGATCTCAACATATCTTACTAACTCTTGAACTCTTGATTTGCATGGGCTGCCTACATCTCTTACGCACTTTCTCGAGCAGTACAAGTGGGCATGTGGCACTGTCTCCTTGGCCTAGGACTTTCAACACTGTTCCGCAGAGCTTCAGAATACGCGCCAAATAGTTCCATTATTGGGATACTGCTCTGGAATAGTCTTGTTAATACACTAATATAAACTCAGAACACTTGGAAAGGAATCAGGCGCGACCTCCGATTCGGTATCTTGCCTGTACGTCGGGAAGGGAGAGGCCATGGGATGTCGCAAGTAGGGAAGGGATAGGATCCGAATCGGGGCGAGGCGTGAAAGAATGCCCATCAGAGTGAGTTCTTTTTCACCTCTGTCCTCTATTGAACTTCACCTGAACCGTCGGTGGTGCCGTAGCACGAAATGTGAGCAGGCGCCGCTGCTCAAAAGTCTCCGAAAATCGCTTGAATAACGTGTTGTACTGTTGTACACAGGAACGAAATGTCGAGGTTACAATGCTGATGCTGGAAAGGTCATGGGATGCTGCAAACAATATGACAGACGCACATCTCTGGAGAGGCGGTCAAATGAATCGGAATCCGGATGTCGAAGATATGTCGAATATGAAGGTCAAATCAGGGAATGGGTACGGTTATCGCTGCTTGGGTGCGCGAGTGAACGGCAATGACTGCAGGGTACGCAGAGTATCTTCTGCTTCTTGCCTCCGGCGCGATTCTTCGTCTGCGGCCATCTCAGCCTCTACTCTCCTCCGCTTCTCATCCTCTAGGCGACTCTCTGCGACTCGCAGAGCGGCTTTGATCTTCGCAGATTCCGATTTCACGTCCTTGAGCTGTTCGGTCATCTGGTATGAAATGGAAAGAGCCTCGTTCGACTGTCGCTTCAGCACCTCCATCTCCATGGAAAGTCGTTTCACTATTGAATGTGGGGACTCGTAGTCGAGTTGGTGCTGATGAGATAGATACGTGTGACTAGCAAATGCGCCATGAAGCATGGCTTTAGGAGCTTGGTATGGGGTCAATTCCGCCAAGGTCAAGGAACTCGAACTTGCGGCCATGTTCATTCGCGGGTCGTACTTGAAGGGATCCTTATGAGATTCAATGCGGCGGATCTCGCCCTCATAGTCATCCTTATGGATGACCTTATTGCGACGATAGCTATCCTCTATTTCCTGCTCATCGTCGCTGTCAGCAGGACTATCGTCGGGCAACATGTTGTCGTCGTCCTCGTCATCAACATCATAATCGTTTCGGACGGCAGGCGTGCTGAACGAATGTGCGTCGACCGGACGTAGCCTAGCAAGGGGCGGCGCATATCCATATGGTGAGGACCGAGCCTCTCTTGATCTGCGATGTCTCTCGCGTCTTCTTTCCACTGTAATGGGTTCAGGGGGTGGGGCTTCTTTGCGTACCCCTCTCTTCCGCGGGCGTTTCGTCCCAGGAGGTGCTTCGAGGTTGACCGTCCAATACGAACCAAAGCCAGGCTCTGTGGCAGGCCGGGGTTCTCTTTCAAACAATCTGTTCAAAGACAGATGGTGCCGAACGGATTGCTGGATGTAGCGGGATACCAAAGAATATTAAGCTAAATGTGCTTGGGCCACAAAGAACGCATTGCTTACCTTCCACGCCGGCCCCGCAGACAGGTAATATGGGTACTTCCTCTCCATCGCTGCGTATATCTCACGAATCGTCAACTTTTTCTTCGGACTCCCCAGTATGGCACACCTCAGAATAACAGGCAACGTATGTTGTGGCCTGCCAGTCGTATCCGGTAGGCAGTCGAGGGTGTCGGGACAGTGTTCGTGTGGCTCATGTGGCCGAATAGTAATACTGCTTTGATAGTATGACTCTGACGACTTTTTTGGAGGTGTTGGCTCTTCCGGAGAGGGGGATAGACTTCTTGGAGACTCGACAATAACATCATGTCTTTCATGAGTGGATAATAATCAGAAAAATGGCCAGAAAAATCAGAGTTAGTAGGGAAAACGAGCCTACACACCTGTCGTGTTCGTCCTGTTCCTCATCTCGATTTAAGATAACATTAAGACTCGACATCTACCCAAAAGAACAGGACATTCAGGCGGGGGCGGGGGAGGTGTCGATAAGGAAATCCTTTGGCCCTGGCGTTGTCCCTGTGGGTCCACACCCCCCAAACGCCCACGTTCCGACCGGCTCCGGGGCGCGGTAACAATCTCAGACTCCGACCCATTGTCCTCCACAATCAACAACATGCACTTACAATGCTCCCGCTATCTCTTTCCGTCAGGGGCATGAACCTTCAACGTTCAACTTTGGACCCTAAACGTTAAAGTTGAATCCGCCAGCGTCCCGAAGGACAGCTCTAGTCCAATCGATTTTCTCTTCACCGGTTTCCTCTGTTACTTCGTTTGATTACCAGCAGTTTCGTACATCCCTTACTTTCTCACAGAACTGACGAAGGAAAAACATTCTGAGACATGTTTATCAGATGCAATGATAGCACGAGATGGGACAAGATCGAGATACATCCAGAACCAATATATAATACAATACGCAAGATGTAGAAGAAGAGTAGACAAGCAAAACCCGCAATCACTTCAAAGGACTGTACGGTAAGGGCTGCAAGATATATGCATCCATGAACTTCGAGAAGTGGGCCGTCTACAATACCAGTATCAGTCAATGCAGAAAATGATGCGTGAATGCGGAACCCAAGTACCTTTGCAACAGTCTCGGCCCAGCCATCCAACTGCCATGCTTTCTCACGAGTTTCCTTCCGAGCTTTCAGATCCCTTCGGATAAAGTTAAGCCGAAGCTCACAAGAAGTCTAAATGAGACACTAACGGATATTGCCAAAGGTGGTATACTTGGTGCAATCGACCAACTTGTGAGAACCATGCACCTACAGGTTCAACAAACTTCCGCCTCGCCTCAATACCCCTCCGCCTGCAAACGCGACGAGCTAAGACCTAACGGGATGCCAGAAGTGCACTTGCGCTCACCATGTTTGCTCCCATTCCAGTAATGTTCCAGGCTTGAGCTGATAGCATCGCAGCTCGAAAATACCACCTTCGGTATGAGGAGGTGCCGTAGGAAAGAACGCGAACTCCTGCGAGAGTTGCAGCGATCGTGAGTTTAGATAAGGCGCCATCTTCTTGTACGCATTGTAGTACTGCAGAGAATAAATCAGTTTCAACACAATGACCAAGCAGATTGTCCTACTTCGGAAGTGCGAATCTTGGCAGTCGTTTTGTCATATCCAGAGTAATTCTCGTACTCGAGAATATGGACTGCATACGCTATAATCAGGAAGCTTTCAACAAATAACGTCATGGAGGACATACAGAAAGTATCTTGCTCTCCGACGACTGTTTCCCAACTGCCAGTTAGCTTCACGTGAAGCTCAGGATCATCCTTAATAGACGCATAGTAGCCTTCACTGCATGGGACACCATTCAATCGCGTTAAAGTAGCATACTTCACCACGGAATACATACGCTGCTTTCTTGTACTCATCCACCGCGCTAGGTTTCACTCGATGAACTGAAGGAGGCATTAGCACGCGTCATGCGTCCAACAGCTTGAATGACACGATTGTGAAGAACTCACTCTCAAAGCCATGGATATACTTTCCCCGCGCGACCACTCTGGAATGCTGCTGAACCTGGACGTCGCCCTCCTCCTTAGCTTCTGGGGAGCCATGGAGTATCGACTGTCATTTGCATCCGCACCATGTAACACAATGAAAGACCAAGTTGAGGTCGAATTTAGCACGACGAAGCTATTCGTTCCTTGCTGCACTGTTGGCCTCACCTGAACAGATATGGCCCGTCTGGCTTCATTGAATACCAGGCCTGCTGTTGACTTCTTTATAACGGTTGAAGCACTGAGACGAGCGAGCATGTTGGTAGATCGAAATGAACGAAACGTGTTAGAAAGAGCGAAAATAGCGAAAACAAGTTCACAAAAACGGACGACAGCAAAGTTCAATAGATTCTGAGGTGGTTGGTGTAGCCTTGGATGATGGAGGCAACACACAACAGTGCCAGTGGGCCGCTCAATAACCGCCCTGGACACTTGGCGTATGACGTAAGCGGGGTACCGGACGGGATCCGGGCCTGCACTGGGCAAACACAATTTCCCTCCTTCTGCCACCATGGGGCCAGTCAATGGCAAATGCGGGGTATACTTTACGAGCTTTATATCTGTTACGCTTGCCTTTATAGCTGCGTTATGGTTTAGAAGGGTGGCTAGTAGGTTCCAATCTACTTCTCGAGTTATAACGTCTCAAAGCGATCTCAGGGAATGAGCTTCCTGTTATGTATGACTTTGACCGCAAAGTTTTGCCATACCACCCAGTCGCTTCGGGATATGTGAATACTCATCGACACCCTGATACGACCGCTGTTATTCTGAATTGGTCTCGCTTCCCAAACGTCCGGTCAATTTCCTCATCACTATGTGGACCATGGCTAGATACAGTGATCTCAGAAGTACTCATCTGGAATAACAGTCCAAGGAAACTTTCATACGAAGTAGGCAGCTTCAACGCTCCTCTGCCATCAGATACTATACATAAAGGCAATTGTTAGGATTTCGAAGGCACTGAATGCGAGCGAAGTCAATTGCGAATCTATAATTCTCCTACCAATGTCTACTTTCAGGCCCGTTTTATGGCTTGTGCTGAAGCCACTACACCATACTGCTTTATACAGGTGAGCTTTCACATATATCTCGTAGAGCGGTATGACCAATTCGGCAGGACGACGATTACCTTGTTTCTTCCAGCGTGATGCACAGTCTGGCTAGCCGAATTGCCTCGTTCAATCACCCCCACACAATTCATCTTTCACCCTCTCATGAGCACCTGTCCACCTCTCTACGTGAGATCCATGTCCCCGGGAGGGAGGGTAGCTACTACCATCCCTCAATTCATACCTCATTCGCTTGGCTGGGATATGGAACTATCCTCGCTCGCTCAGAAGCGTTAGATTTTCTTGATCTCATGCATCATCTCAATGCGTCAGACGAGGAAATGAAGATGGCGGACAATTACTACACTATCCTCAGCAACCGAGTCCCGGAAGTTTGGTTCTATCAGGACATCGAACTGGGCGGCGGCGAGCCATTCACCGTTGGCTCCGAAGGACATGAACGAAATAATAAACATATAGTTAGTCCTCTCTTTCCCTAATATCATATATTGACTGGTACTGCGTAGCTCCGCGCTGCTGAATATTTGACAAGCATTGTTGAGTCGATAGCTTCGCAGAGTATTTCGAAGCTTCCATACGTCTTCCTCGGTAACCGTGACATGTCAGATCCGATCTTTCGAGCTGCATGCCGGCAGATATCTTGCGTTCTCGAGACTAACATTCCCTTACTCCCAAACGGCACGACACACTCTGCACAAGATGCACGCGAGATATTATCCGTTGAGAAACGTAACCTCGAAATACTAGGACCTAACGCGCAGAAGTCGTACATTGACCATCCCTTGTCCATGGCCGTGGATGGGGATTTCGGCACATATTTTCATAGTATCAGAGGTGCGTGTTCAGAACTTCACGTCTGAGTATCGTAATGACACGGTCCTTGATCCTTTTCTCAGGTGCACGTGTCGGAGATACAATCACTCTGGACTTCTTTGCGGAAGTTAGAGCACCAGAACGGCGCCATCTAGAGATGGCATGGCTAGTTGACACCCACACTGTACAAATTCTTCGCCAGAGTGAATTTAGCTCATCTTTAGACGGTGTTAATTGGGTGAGATCGCTCTCGTACAATTTATTTCGCATTTTGATTCAATTTCCCGTAGCATACGGAGGCATCCAAGCCAACCTGCCGTCTCGTGAACGTTTATACAACCATAGCGCAATTCACAGACGAAGACGTCTTTGAGTGCAGCGTACGTTTCTACAATGTTACAGAGGTCTCTACGCGACAGACAGGCTGCCGATTATTCCGCACGACATTTACGGGGTCTGGCCGGGCGGGAAATACTTTGAGGTGGAAGATTTACGAACTTTGGATACGCCACGAGATAGCTGACCCATTAAAGGATTAAGCACTGTTATTATTCCTGTATACTGAGCCAACAGACAGCATCCTCAACATCTGAATGTAATATTTTTGTCGAAATATGCTCTGACACATTTTGCCTCAGCAAGAGTCGATCCCACGTTCTTGGGGCAAAAGTTCTGTGCCTGCGCGAGCACCTCCATGGGCGTCTGTTCATGTTGATCGTGACTTCGATCATCACCGTGGGGCACCGTAGCTGATTGGCTTTAAAACAACGAGTTTGTTGTCAAAGCCATCATGTCCAGTACTGCCTTGGAATCGTCCCTGACTACTCGGAAAGACTACAAACCAGTTTCAGAAACATGGTGACCAAGAATTTCGGCATGAATACCTTCGTCCGATCTTCTCGTGGGCTGAGGACACTGCCTACAGCGATGCAGGCACAAGCCGTTGAGGCAGTCCGACAGCAAGCTAAAGTTCGTGTTACAACTCTTTTCTTGCGGGGAAGCGAAGTAACTCAATCTTCATCTGGTAGGATCGGATTAGCCAAATAGATACAGAGCGTCCTGTTTCACCATTCTTGATTGACACCTTTGCCCGCCGGCACGATTATCTTCGAATATCGTTGACCGAGAGATGTAATCTGAGATGTAAGAAACATTTGATCGTCTATTTGCCTCATATGCAAGCTTCTCAAACTCTATCAGGTTTCTACTGCATGCCGAGCGAGGGCGTCGAATTGTCTCCGAATGAGAACATCCTGACGGATGAGGAAGTCATTCGACTAGCTACATTGTTCGTCAGAAACGGCGTGACAAAAATACGTCTGACTGGGGGCGAGCCCACTGTTCGGAAGAATATCGTTGACATCGTAGGTATGAATCCGCTCTCCACAAAGTTTGCTTGATGCCCTACTGTGGTGTTGACGGCTCTTTTAGGTCGATTGAATGAGCTACGGCAACTCGGTCTACGATCCATTGGCATGACCACGAACGGCATAGCTCTCCGTCGTCGACTTCCTTCATTGGTAGCGAATGGATTGACTCATCTAAACATCAGGTTGGTTACATCGCAATATTACAGATCCCGCAAACTCATAATACATTCAGCATTGATACCCTTGATCCATTCAAATTCGAGATAATGACCCGCAGACCAGGTCATGAGGCCGTTCTGCGCTCAATTGAGATGGCATTATCAATACCGGAGTTGCACTCGTTGAAACTGAATATCGTTGTCGTCAAGGGTCTGAACGATACTGAGGTTCTTGATTTCATTGATATGACTAGAGACAAAAGGCTTTCAGTGCGCTTCATCGAGTTTATGCCATTTACAGGTTGATTCATTTTAGCATCGAAGTGTCTGGGTCGGACTGACATAAACTTCTGACTTAGGTAACAAATGGGACAAAGCGAAAATGGTACCGTCGTCGGAGTTGCTCTCACGGATAGCATCTCGACATCCTAAGGTCACTAGGGCTTCGGATGCACTCAATGATACAGCCCGAAACTACTTCATCCCGGGCTACAATGGGAGTTTCGGATTCATCAGCAGCATGTCCGATCATTTTTGTGGCTCATGCAATCGACTGCGATTGACTGCAGATGGACAAATCAAGGTGCGGATGAATCACGAACATACTGAGTTGTTTCATTCATGCCAAGGTTGCCATAGGTCTGCCTTTTTGATGCGAAAGAGATATCTCTTCGGGATCAGATGAGGCAAGGTGCAAGCGACGAGGAGCTTTTACAGACTGTTGGATATGCTGTACGGGGAAAGAATGAGAAGCATGCTGGGATGGAAGATATCGACGTAGTGACAAATCGCCCCATGATATTGATTGGCGGTTGAGTCTCTTTGTATTTCTGCCTCTGTTCTTTGCGGCACGGGACTCTAAATCTCATCACTTTGTGTTTCTAGGTGCTTCGATGAAGTCACTCAACAAGAAGAAACGTTCATCCCTATCATATCTGAATTCTCGCCCACATCAGCCGCATCGGAACACTACGACGGGACCACGTCCTTTTTCAACATGTTCTACAGCTAGATCAGACGCCACTCGTGACCGTCTTACACATATTGACGACACAGGCCGGCCAGCAATGGTGAATGTTTCGACAAAGGAAGTTACCAAGCGCACTGCGACAGCTTTGGGAAGGATTTACATACCAAAGAGCGCGTACGACCTTGTCACCTCCGCAGAGGCACTGCCCGATACCTCGGACACGAACGTCACCAAGACTGCCACGCAAAAGGCGGTAGACAAAGCTCGGTCGAAGGGGAATGTGCTCACTGTAGCACAATTGGCGGCAATCATGGGTTGTAAACGGACATCCGATCTCATTCCTCTCTGTCATCCCCTGCCACTATCGCATATCTCCGTCAGTCTCTCATTAGACGGTCCTCGGTCCGTAGAGCGATCGCGTGGCCTGGAAGAGTTCACGACGTCCGGACCTGACGTTAGGCACGCCTCCGAACTGAATGACCGGCCTCCATTCAGTATCGTGTGTCAAGCAACAGTCTCATGCGAGGGAAAGACAGGCGTTGAAATGGAAGCTTTGACGGCTGTTTCCGTCGGTCTCTTGACCGTGTGGGATATGCTTAAGGCTATAGCTGGGCGAGAGATGGTAATAGGAGATATTGTCGTACAACGGAAGGAGGGAGGAAAGAGCGAGGACTTCGTTCGTAACTGATTATGAAGATTATTGTACATCGAAGTGTGTACTAAGCTCATTGTTACAAATCTTGGTACGCTTCTGAGACTAGCGTGATGCTACTATCAACAGAATCATGCTAAGATAAGTATTAATGTCCAATAGGTTAGGATGTGTTTTAAATAGAAAAGTCGATTAGTGAGGATGGGGATAGGTCACCAATGTCCTCTTTTTGTTCCGCAGATCCCAAGTTCCAAAGAGTCTTCGACACCGACGGGCTTGTCTTTTCCGCAAAGACCTACAAATCCGACCCGATCATACACCTTTTGTGCGCTATTTTCGTGTCCGACATACAGCACAACATTGTCCTTCCCGCATTCAAACAACAGCCTACGATCACGTATCAGAGCGCAGTCGTGCGGAGATGTGGTTTCAGAAACAACATACCTCGCCGTTACATCCCTGACCAACAGTTCAGCGCAGCCTCTCCTCCGCCAACGGGGAGTGGTGTAGACTTTTGTGATGGCTGACACTCGATGAGTGTTTCTCGTCACCGCGCAGATAGTGGAGATGTCCCCCTGAGCGTCATAGACCCAGATTTGTCGTTTTAATATAAGCTCGCGGGCTTCGATCATCGCCCTGTCGAGCGTTAGGGGAAAGAAGATCTATACATCAGACATGAATCGATGTCAGCGAATGTAGATCAAAGTGGGGATACGTTCTGAGTACATACCGTATCATCGGCAAATTCCTTGCATAATTGGGCGACCTGACTCAAGTCCGCCAGTGTAGCTCGCCTGAGCCTGTGCCCTTCCGGCAGCGAAGCTTTCGATTGCTTGAATGTATCCACGTTGCAGTACGAGAAATACGCCGCGTAGAACGGCTCGGGTTCGATGGCGTATCCGGTCATACTGGACCACTGCCTGGAGAACGTCTTGACGAGAGGTGTGAAGCCGAATACTGAGAATACACGTTCTGGAGAAACGCAATGTTCCAGGTGTTGGGTGATACAAGTCATCCTCGGTTCTGACCACGCAGACGAAGCAGCTTTGTCTGTATGAGGCGTCCACAAGAAAATAGGATATTCTCCTAATGTCCAGTCGACACATGAGAGAACAACCTCAAGTCTCAGCGGAGACGAAGGGGTAGGACGGCCCCATAAGGTGAGCCAAAATGCGGAAGAGGTTTTATGTGGGGTCGTTGAATATTCATCCGCACATGCCAACATGTCTTCGACGTCGGCATCGCAGATGAACTGAAAGCCTGCCATAGCGGCTTCCGTGGTAACCCTTTTAAGTGCATGAGCAAGTACGATGTTGGCAGATGCCTCATGTCGTCGAAGAGTGGGGTATGCTGCAGCGAGGAACTCGCTAGGGGAGTCATGCTGAATGACAACGAAGTCGGACGAGAGGAAAGAGGATGCGTTGAGGCCAGGCATGGTGAATGGCTATTGAGAATTGTGAAAATAGGTCTGTTTAGTGGTGGGATGCCTCTTACTTATACGTGCAAGAAGCTAGGAGGCTCAAACGAAGGGGCAGGAAAGGACTGGCTTTGTAGGACCAAGAGTATGAGCTATATAGTGAGTTAAGTTGGACAGAACAGCCATCGTGACTTACGAATACATGTGCGCCAGAGAAATATCCAACTAGAGAGTGGACGGGCATAGCTTATGGTCAAGGGTATGTCCTGCATTGGGCGATAGAGGATCGGAGTTCACCTAAGAGACATAGAAAACGTCTTGGTTGTCAGCTCACCGCAACTCGGTCGTAAGCAATCCGGAGCGCAGGAGTTAGACGCACTGAGTCCCTCGAATAACCATCCCCATACTGAACGACAAAGCAATCGAGCGTCTCCGATCCAAACCATCGGACTGCTAGGAACCACGGACATCATAGTTGTGCTACGGTTGATCGAGCCGGGAAATTTTCGTGCTTTCTAGACGAAAGCAAGTTCCCGAAGGCGGTTCGCAGATGACTTCGGCGATAGAATAAGACCACGATGACGACGTTGTTAAACTGGAACGCTATGTCCATTCTCGAGACAGTTTAGGTAAAGGACAGCTGTGTGAAACACGAGAGTGCAGCAGGCGACGTCGTCTTCCTTTCCCGAGACCTAGAATGTCAAAGCTGTGCAGTCAGAATGAGTGTCGTTGGATGGAAAGATTTCATGAGATTCACCTGTCTCTGGCTTTAGCATATTGCCGACCTATGGAAATGCAAGCAAGTAACCAAGTTGAATGGTCCGATCCACCACGTGCACCATATTGCCAGTTCTGTAGTACCTTCTACGAGGCAGTTTTCAGTCGTAAGGCGGCAAGAAGGACGAACCGGACTCAATGAATGGTATACGGATACCTTCAGTGCCCTGTGTGAAACGTGCAGGCCATGGACAATAATGCGAGTGGACTGATGCGCTTGGACCGGCGCCTCATGTGAACCGCCCAGGGGAAATCCTTGAGTGACATTACCACAGACAGAACCTTTGACTCGACTCTCGTTTAGACATAGTGCCTTGCGATCCGAATAGATAGAGACGATTAGGAAAATGTAGGTAGTGAGATAACCCGAGTACTGCAACAAGTTGACAGACGCACCTAATCTAGTACGAGCGTCTGAATGAACGCCTAACGCGCTTCGGGGTAATTTCTGCACCATAAAGCATCCGTTTCAGACTTTCAGTTCTTCAGCTCATTGCAGACTCGCCGCATCATCTCCGACGAACACGATGCTCCAGGATGGACGGCGTACAACCAGTGCCGCCCTTGTAATCCGTCGCGGCAGACGTTCGGTCTTTGTTGATGTTATGTCAAACTTCAAGTTCATCAAGTGTGACGGTCAGACGTGAATGACAAGTCAACAAAAGGAGGCACCTGCTCATGCCTGCTTGGTTGATTACAAGGTAGAAATGAAATCAGAACCCTGACCGGGCAGAACCTATAGCTGATTCTACGACCTGCATCATTCCTAATACTTTCTCCTCATTCAGCCGTCTTCCAACAAGTTGCAGGCAAACCGGTGCGTTATCGTATATCGCAGGGTCCCATTGATCCAGAATGATCTTCTCCGTATCATTGCGAGCCTGGGAAGGAAGCTTGATATCAGAGGAGATATCCAGAGGTCGGTAGTCCTGTGCGTAGAATCGATCGACAGGGAATACGGCGCCTGGAAAATCCATGAGGTTCCAATATGAAGTGTAGCCCCACCAACTAGTTGAGTCATGTGGGGGTGCTAGAGTTGGAGCCACAGGGCTCAACACTGCGTCCACCTGTCGACCGGTGCTCGTACGAGCCTCCGTCGCATTCCAATGTGCAGTAATCTTTGCTCTGAAAGCCTCCCGAGCTAGATTGATCTTGAAGATCTCCGCAACCGTGAACGGGTTGCCACCGTTCGGGACCTGGGACAATATCCATTCGGTTAGAGGGACGGGAGGGTCATGTTTGAGGACCTCTCTGTACTCTTCGCCTCCATCGAGAAAATAAAGTTTTGTCTGGCAGGCGCACCTATTAGTGGTCGGTTTGAGCGCGCAATCTTATAAACAAATACTCACCAATAAGTCCCAAGATTCTTGGTGATCAACAGATTCCCAGACTATCACTTCATGGCCGGCCCGAATCAAAGCGTCCTTAGTACGCTTCAACGCGTCGAGGACGGGAGGATGTGGTTTAACAACTCCATCATCCCAAAGGATTGCAATGGATAGTCTCTTTGGTATTCCTTGACCATCAACGACTTCCTGTTTCCAGGGTATTTCAATCAAAGGAGGCTCTATCAACCACGGTTGATACTGTAGCATGACGCGACAGAACAATGCTAAGTCTCTTGCAGACGTAGCTATGGGGCCGAGCGCCCCAATGATTGCATCCATACCATCATGCGAACCCATCAGGCCTGCGTGTGGCATACGCGCAACAGATCCCTTGAGTCCATAAAGACCGCAGTGGGCCGCGGGAATACGCTACATAATGGGATGCAACTTAGTGGGACGCAATCGATCTATTTTCGAGATGGCAACCTACGATCGAGCCCCCAATATCTGTTCCAATACCCATTGGGCTTCCGTGCAGAGCTATCAACGCACTTTCACCTCCACTACTTCCGCCGGGAGTGAGACCTATTCACAAGTGATGTGAGCAGCAGCCTAATTCCAAAAACCCCGGTGACGTACTCCGATTAAAAGGATTGCTCGTTCTTCCATAGATGTTATTGTTAGTTTCAAGAGCCTATAGGGCGTCAGCCTGAATCAAATAACAACACCCCAGAACTCTTACCAATAGAGTCTGGGGATTGGCTGTTTTGACATAAAGAACAGCCCCGGCTTTCTTCAGGATATCAACGGCCACAGCGTCCTTCGACGCCACAGTCTTATATGCCCAAGCTATGTATCCTGTAGCAGTATCATGACCCTTGACCATGATGTGGTCCTTGATAGAAATGGGTAATCCATGTAAAGGGCCCACGACTTCACCGGTCTCCTCTAGATGCTTATCCAACTCCGCTGCCCGCTTGAGGCCCTCGCCAAAGAATACCTCCGTCAGGCAATTGGTGAGGTCCTGCGCGATCGTTGCAACATGACAGAAGGCCCAGAGGACTTCAATAGATGTATACCGGCGATCACGGATTGCTTCAACCAGACCGGTGGCATCTAAATGGACGATTTCGTACTCGCGTGCAGTTAAGTGTGAAATGGGTATCTTCGAGATGTCCTTGATCGACTCTGGCGTCACTTCCTGTAGGTGCCAATCGGGCCACTGATCCAACAGGGCCTTCCGATCTGCAACCTTGCGATCTGATATGTTCTTCCAAAGAGCTGGTTGTGAACATTCCGTCATTATCGCAGGGGGGGGTGTAAGGGTGCTTGGAACGATTCCGTCTGGCATTCCAAACACAGAGACTGCGAAGAGAGGGACTTGTCAGATCGGATGGATAAGAGCAATGCGGGCAGTGTACTGCTACTTATGCAGGACAGAGGATTGGAATTCTCGAATTTTTGGACGGCGCTGATTCAGATTCAACTCCTCTATCAGTATCATCTAGCGCTGTTTTTGTGACTTAGGACACTTCGCTCGTTAAGCAATTGGATGGCCTTGAGGTCATGAGTACATTGGCACTTCTTAAGAGCCGTGTAGTACTGACGGAGACAGTTGAAGCCGTTCGAAGTATTCGTTTGAAAGGCGCCCCGCAGAGTCTATTGCAACGATGGCGACTAGATGTAGAGGCGCCAGATTGTGAATGCAGTGCTCAAGTTTCGTGGAAGCCTTTCAAATATCTATGGTAGCACATAGCATTTGACGTCAAATGGTCACGAAAGTACCACATGCTTGCTATGCCTTTGTGGTGAGAAGTGAAGCAAGACCATGCTGGATCTCTCCATCTACAAGTCTCGCTCCCTGCAAGGACGGGATGTGTATCAGCGCTTCGAAACTTCCATGCAGGACGCGACGTATCACTCACATCATCCACCCTGATAACTGTAGGGATAGATCCGACGTTGAACGGAGGTCCTCTGAAAGGACTGGAAGGCAATTTCCATCTCATAGAAACATGGTCAGGACATGAAGTGAACGTCAGATAGGTAAATGGCGTACTCTGGCTTCTGACCTACATACACGATCAAAGCCGAGGGGGCATCAGAAGGTTCAAACGTTCGCTGGATAAAATCCTCGACAGCGACACAGTCCTACGATAGTTGCGACCTGCCGTAAGTTTTTCTGATATCGCTCCTAGGTCAGTAATAGGAGAAGCATACGTACCGGGCACCAAAGTCTTCCAGTTTCATCACGGGAGGAGAAGAACACAAGGAACTTTTCCGGGACATCTTTGACCGACTCAACGTCAGCGGGGTCTTGGGTGGCGCGCAATGGCATAGTGGAAGTACTAGCGAGAAAGGCAGCTGCAGAATTGCGGCGCAAATATCTCAGTTCCGACCTTGTATACAGAGGACGCGGCGTCTGTGATCTTCTAGTAACTTTACGACAATCTTGCGACGAATCACACCACGGATTCACAATCGGAGGCGAGGAGATATGTTGGCAACACTTTCTGGTTGTCAATTGCACAAGTACCCCGAATGAGGTAGTACAGTACAAGTACGTGATGTGTGGAAGTAGTCCGAGTCAATAAAAAAGATGGCTGCAATGAAGCAAAAAAAAAAAAAAAAAAGGAATAAGATGACTACAAAACTCCACATTGGCTCATTAGTCGCACCAAAAATACATCGTGAAAAGTCTACATGAAAGGTCGAATTGCGTGCAACGCTTATACCACTATGAACGGTCCATGCATGAAAACAAATCGGCAGCATCGTGATAAACTACCCCTCGTTAGTGTGGTAGGGGAGCTGAAGGCACTGAGAAAAAGCTTCGCGTTGTTTACGCCTTGTAGCCATAGCCACCAGACTGTTGCTGACTAGAGCCGTATTGCTGGTTGTAGTTGCCATTCGAGTTGGAGGCAGCGGTTGCCATGGGTTGAGCATACCATGACGTCGACGAACCATAGACAACGTAGCTGGAAGAGGGCATCGACGCATAGGTGTTCATGTTGTTGCTGTTTCCAGGCGTCAAATTCCAAGAGCTCTTGCACTATAATCAACGCAATTCAGTCAGCTCGCTAGTGCAGAACGACTTCATACATCACGTACCTGGCTCAAGCAAGTGGCGAGAGCAGTGTTGTCAGCAGTAACAGTGGCAGTCTGGGTCTGAGTTGCCGTCTGTGTCTGAGTCTGGGTAGCAGTCGCAGTGGAAAGGTAAGTCTGCGTCTTGAGGACAGTGTGATCCTGAACCATGGTAGATGTGATAGTGTTCTCAACAGTCTTAGTCTAGAATTTGAAACAATTCCGTTAAGTTCGGAACCGAACCGAAGAACATGACATCACGTACCTTATCGATCACATTCGTGCTGACCCAGATCGAGGTGAAGGTAGTGGGCTGAACGACGGTACTGATTTGAGTGACAGTCATGAAGTCGGTCATGACCTGAGTCTTGGTGGCAGTCTGAACGATAGTCATCTTGTCAGTGAGAGTGGCCGTCTGAGTCCTCTCAACCGTCTTCGTCTGCACATACATGAGTAAGAAGACGCAAACAAATGTAAGAGAAATAGACTGAACATACGTTGTCAATGATCTCAGTGCTGACCCAAACCTTAGTGGAAGTCGTGGGCTGGACGACGGTGCTCAAGTAGGTCTGTGTGACAAAGTTGGTCTGAGTCTCCTTAACAGTAGCAGTTGCGGTGTCGGTTTCGGTCGCGGTCTTGGTGTAGACGTTGACTTGAGTGCGGGTCTCAGTCGCAGTGAGAGTGTGCTCTTGGGTCTTGGTACGATCAATAATCTCAGTAGAAACCCACACACGAGTGGTGGGAACGAGGGCGGTAGAAGTCTGCACCAAAGTCTTGGTCACGGACATTATGTCTGTCATGACCTTGGTCACTGTGTTGGTCTGAGTGATGGTAGTGGGCACAGTCTTCGTCTAAGCAGGTATCACATCAGACGAGTACACATCCGTGAGGGAGAATGCTATGAGCTTACCATGGTGTCCGTCATCGTTTTGGTCACGGTCATTGTGTCTGTCATGGTCTTGACCTCGGTCTTGGTAACCGTTGATGCCATGCAGTTCTGGTTGTAGCCACTACAATGCGATCGAGGTAATTAATTCAAAAACCAATGCCATACTCAATTGCAAAACATACCTATTTTGGTAGCAGCCCTGGGTTGACATCTATGATCGACCGACCGATCAGTGACAGAAAACGCCAAATAATAATTTTACAAACCCAAGACATCTGCTGGCAGGAACCATCGCTGCCCTTCTGGTATCCATAACCGCAATCCATGCTCTTGTAACCACCGCCCATGAAAGATTCATAAGGCATCGGGGGAGGGGGCGAGTACGCTGGTGGAGCCGTATACATTGCAGGCGGTGCTGAGCTCGCTTGATAAGGAGCAGCAGAAGAGGAAGCAGCCATCATTGAGGAAGTCATCACTGAGGGCGCTGCAGATGACATTGCAGCTTCAGAAGCCATGGGTGCAGCCGACATCGCCGACGCCATCGACGCGGGGACCATGGAAATGCCATTGACTTGAATTTGAGCAGAAGCGACGCTCGCGAGAGTAAGACCGAAAAGAATGAACTTCATGTTGAACTTGAAAGAGTGATAAAGCCGAAAAGGATGTTTGGTGCGTTAAACGAGGAAAGCGAAGGTATAGGATAAACGAAAGGAAGCGGTCTACGCTGAGCAGGGGCACTGTCTAGCAGTCAAGAGATTGTGGGTGCGGTAAGCTTGACAAAAGCAAGCACTCTGTGAGGAAGTCTGTTAGTCTGAGGCATTTTAGCGAGGCAGTCGAGACCACCGACCGCAAAACGAAAGAACGGGCGGAGAAAGAGACCGCAAAGGAAAACGAAGAGGAAAGGAGAGGGATGTGCAGTGGGCTGGGGGGGTCTGGCCTTATGAGGGAATGGCGTCCGGAGAATTGATCTGTTCCTCACGACACTATCCATCATCAACAAGATCGCGTCTCCTTAGAGACATCCCCTCATTGGCTGCTTCTCATCATCTCCTCCTATTCGCCAGTGCAAAATCGCCGGCGAGGCAATGTCTCCCGTGACATAAGCAAATAATTTTCTCTGCCCCAAGCAAACCCAGTATATTTCACCCATCCAGAGCATAATAGATAATAATATTCCATCCGTACGCTACAAAGAACCCCCAGATTACTATGACCGACGCCCAAAATCTCCATGAACATCCAGAAGGATCTTGAGGGCATTTCGGGCATGTATCTTCGACATATCTTCTGGTTGCGAGGTGAGTGCCGTTTCCACTTCCCTGGGCTTGTCCTGGAATGGGTACTGCCGGCACGCATCGAACCCGAGACCTTTCATCAGTAACGAAGCGGGCAACACATAGACTCTTTTTACTCACAGGCAAGAACTATAAACGCTCGGTAAGCACATGCGTTCATTCGCACGAAGGTAACCAATTTCGAAAACTCACCTTGTGTAGGTATTCATACGCGACCAGCGTGAAGCCAAACTGCGGGCTGCTTCGAACAATACGAGCAGGGCCTCCCTTGAAAAAAGCTCTAAAACCTTCCTCCCGATCTGGTGACGTATGAAATGGCATTATATGTCACCCTTCAAGAAGCACATCCCAAGACATATTCAATTTTGACTCACAGATCTTCGCAAATGCATCTCCCATGCCTTTATAGTGAGTCTGTCCAGTTCTCGCTTCGGTTTGTAGACGAGTTTTGACAACATCTGGTTGCAGGGGGATAGAACAACAATGAGTACGAGATACCCGCAACGCATATCAAATCATTCCGCTCACCTGCCGGTGTCGTGAAGTAGGCGGCAGGCATACCACTAGCACGTTGCGAAAGTGGACATCAGCAACTTGACCAATCAAAACGTTGACATGATCCATCACGTACGCTATGGCAGCAGCTGCCAGGGTCTCAAGGAATGATAGCTGCTTTCCATTATACCCTTCATTGAAGATGTCTCTCTTGAGATGCCAATATGCCGGAAAATAGATGGCTGAGAAGGGGATATCGCGCAACAGACAGGCACTTGCACCCTTGTAAAGACCGAAGAGACCCAATTGGCGAACGATGTGAACGGCGCCTTTAGGAACAGCTCCCTCGAGCTTCGCTGCCTCACCCTGCATCTGCAATCGAATTTTCCTGTTCCGATCCAATGAAAATATATCAGCCGGATATCATATGGGCCAAGAGAACACAACGTTCGTACACAATTTCAAGCGGATTGGTGAAGATCTATCAAAAATGATTGTCTCAGCTGTCCAACTGTCCGCTAAGCAGCTGCATGTGGGTACGCACCACTTGGCATCCTCCCGCTGTACCGCCTGCAACTAATTCCCAGGACAACTTAATTCGACCTGTTTCGGGATCCATCGTTCGAGAACGCACAAAATCGTTAACAGTTAATTTGATGGCCTTCTCAGGAGCGACACCCTGTACGATGACATCACAATATCAGGGAATCATGATATAGAAGCAAAATCATAATAGCTTACGATAAGTTGAGGTCCAAGTCCTCGGTAGAAACCAATGAAGCCTTCATTACGGAAGACCTTGCGGATGCAGTCAAAGCTATTCTTGTACAATAGCTGGCCAACAACTGTACTCCTTTGGTTTTGCATACGGGTCTGCAAATGAAATTATAGACATCTTGATCCTAAATCTGCGTTGAACATTACCTTGACTGTTGAACCTGATTAGTATCAATCATAAGGTAGGAGAGATTGACAGCCTACCAAGATCAATAGGGTAAACGATCGTGGCTCCAAATGCGCCAGCAGCACCTAAATGGACATAAGCGGTGTCAACTATCATCTCGAAACCGCAATACATACCTCCGAGACAGAAGTTATATGCTGAATGTGCGATGTGATGCAATATTGAGACAGACGTAGATGTCTTCTCAGCGATCTGCTCCGCAGGTGCTTGCCATCGAGGATCGAGGAGTTGGGCAAAGTCGATTAAGGCGAGTCGCTGCGATGGACTGCCACGGCCAGCAAAGTGGAAAATGATGGATGCTTCCATCGGCGTGAAAAGAGAGTATCGGGTACTGGAGACACAGTGGTTTATGAAGTCCGATTGATCTATACGTCCATCTTTTGACTTGGCAGTGGCTTCCCGAATAATTCTACACGGTATTCAGTGCTCAATTCTTTGCCAACTCACACGTGAACCTAGAACCTACCGTTCCACCATGTCCATTTCTATTATAGAAGTTAGGCATATTCATTGGGATAAACCTGAGGCAACTGACCTCGGATCACGTTGTGGAAGGCAATAACCTCAGAGTATGATATCCGACCTCCAGGTGTCAAGGTACATAGCGTTGGTAGCCTGTCAATAACTGCTTGTGAAAGTTTGTGTCCTGCAAGTTCCTAGACCAATGTTAGTAAATACAAAATTACTCAATGAGTAAGACCTACCAAAATGATCCGCTTGAACTGGTCTGGCTTAATGAAACCATCCTGATCCGAGTCAAAGTATTTGAAAGCCTGACGAAGACGTTCGCCTTGTAGGCCCTTCATTAGCTGCGTGAATTCATTATCTGCAGGGGCAATTTCAGTTACATGGTCAAAGGTGACTGTAACACGCAATACGTACAACCCAAAACGTGTGTTCCTTTCTTCTTTCCAAGGTACAACTTGATCCAGTCGCTGAAGCCAAAGTAAATCGCGCATTCTGAATCGCATTGAAGTTACGCACCAGTCGAAATCAAAAGGAATGGCATCGGGCCCAATGTTTGCTTTGAAGACGTTCTTGAACTCGTCATGAGTAATAGTACCTGAATCATCTCTGAGAAAAGCAAGTAACAATTGTGATGTCATCCGTCAGGACCCTAACAACAGAACATGCAAGACGGAGTTAAGACCCACACGTCGAAATATTGGAAGGCTATCCAGTAGTCTGCATCTGGTCTTTTCAAGATAGTCTCGAACACAACAAAGTCATCCCATGAGACCAGCCCTCGTTTGGATGAATCCGCAACGCGAAATAAGGTCGCGAACTGAGAGCGACCTATTTTGGTCAAGTCACCCTTGGGCGCGATCGCATTGACGAATTGGTCTGTGTTCAGATATCTACGTGAGACACAGATATATTAGGCATGATATAAACAACATTGCTAGGGAGAGCGACATACTTTTCGCCATTCACAACTGTCTGAGCGTTCGAGTCAAACAGTCGCCTCCATCGTCTCAACTCGTTCTCCGGAACGGACATTGCACTCTTTACCGTCTTGATGGCAGAAGCCGCACGCGAAACGGTCGTTCCTTCATCGGAGTCGCAATGTACGCTCGAGAAAATAGGTGGAAACCGAAGGGGAAACATCGTGACGCTCTCTAGAGTCTAACGTCTAAGTCTATGCCAGAGTAGCAGTCCGAGAGTAGAGTCTCAGACTGTGACGCAAGGCAGAATTAACGGGTATAGCAAGGGTATAGTCGTCTAGATAGAGACTCTACGAAAAGAGGGAGTAGAGTAAGTCTATAGAAGAAAAGAAACGTAGGTTGGGTCGCTGCCCAGAGCAAGCGTGTGTGGTGACTGGTCTTACACTGTCCTGCTGGACCGCTCTGACGTTTTCCTCCGAAGCGCTCAATTGCGGGTTTAAAGCCGCTGACTAAGCTCCGACTCTTTCCTCCAAATTGAAAACAATTCTCTATCCGAGAAAGATACAGCAAGAAATAACGCTATGAAGCGAGGACCACTTCAGGCGACAGTCTAAAGCTAACACAAAACATCTCTTTGTTTGGCGCTACCGACCGGACGTGGTGGAAGGATGCCTTCTCATCTAATGGAGCGCCCAACTTCTCTTCGACTCTCTGTAAACGCAGGACTGTGTAAGAAAAGGGACCATCGACAAGCTAGAGGAGATGCATACCTGACGAATATCGGCGGCAGCCTTGTCTTCTTCAAACTCCTTCGTGAAGCAATAACAGTGCACCATGGGAAGCGAGGCTTTGTCATAGACTCCGCTCAAATCCCGCTTGCCAACGTTTTCCGGCGAAAGCAATCCTCGGAACGCGTCGAGGAACGTGATCGCAGAGTCAGGCAAATTCATTACATATTGTGTTATGCGACGACGTGGTGGGGCCCGGTTTTCGGGTGATGACGGCTTGGGCACATTGGTTCCTCGAGCATGTCTCTGTACCTTGGCCTCTTTCTTTCGTTCAGACTGGCTTTTGGGTGGTATATAGGACGGGAAAGGTCTATCATAAGCAAGTGAAACAGATTTTCGAATGAACACTCGACCATCTTCGTTGAAAGCTCTTGCATAACGTGACACCTTATTGAAGCGGTCAACTTCACCGTCTTTGAATCTATATGACGCAAAGTGACCTTACCTTGTTTCCTTCAATATTGCGTTGCAGATACTTGAAGGACTCTGGATTCAGATCGTTCGCGAGGACCGCACTCCCTCGCTTAGATGCTGGTATCGCAAATGGACCAACACCAGCAAACACGTCGGCAACGACATCGTTTGGTGTGAAGAGATTCACCAGACGTTCATGCTCGGTACCAAGACGGGAGTTCCAATACACTTTGCTAAAGTCGAAGACGAATTTACATCCTTGTTCATGCTATGAAGGAGGCCAGTAAGTCATGTTTGGCGACGGTACTGAGTAGAGGCTAAGCTCACATGAGTGACTTCGTAGTTTGGCTCGCCAGCGAGCAATTCCATGGGGAATACGCGGAACTGATTCCCAATATTTTCAGTCTTGTTGACCACGGTTTTGATAGTGGGTATTTTCTATAGAAAAGCTAAGCATCAATACCTCTTTTTGAAATGCAAATGCGTACATCTAAAATTAGTTGACCAATAATATGCTTGTAAGGTAGGTATTCCTTGTTGAGGTTTATGTGGGCAATATGTCCGCAACCTGCATATCCTCGAGGAGCTTCCGCTATGAGTTCCTCAGGCAGAATTGCATCGAGTATCTCCTCTGAAGAAAGGATGAATTTATATTGGAGTCCGTGTGTTAGGAGCGCGTACCTACTGACCAATAGTCGTAGTCGAGGTCCACCGTATGTTTTACAAGCTCTGCCGATTCTGACCTAAGAAACTCCTGGGTTTCTGGCGACAGTTCACCTTGCTTGCACAACACATGAGTCATTCGTCATATTATAATACACGGCAACGCGACATACTTTCACTTGAGACTCTCAGCACAATGATGCGCTGACCATCCGGTGCATGGAGTACTTTTGTGACTTTTGGCAAGTCAAGTACGTGACTGCAATCTCATTTCATTCTGTTACGATGAATGATAGTACATGTAAATGGCACACCTTCGTAACGGCTCTGACTTCATGATGTTATGGACCTTCTCTGGTGTAACCTTTACGCCAAGGACAGGGATAGATTTCTTAAACAAGTCTTTATCCAAACGATCCTTCATGCCTCGATGAATCGGAGGAGAAACATCCAAGTTGCCTCGGCGCGACATGATTCTAGCTCGTGAGTGCTGGAGCCTTGTAAATATAGGTATTGGCTTTATCTGTGGTAAAGAACTGTGGAAAGAACGAGAGAACAAAGCTAGCATGCGCGCCCAGTGTGGAGAAATAAGGTGAAATGAAAAGGTAACAGACTAACAATTGATTCAAGAAAATGACGATCGACGGGAGATAAGATCATCCTTTCCCCGCAACCCCTCGACCTTTCCCTTCAACGACGACCTGGCCTGATCTCTCCCTGTTCTACTTCCCCATTCGAGAAAGCTTGTAACGAACATTTATTTTCTACAGTGCATTTTTAGAAGACTATCCACTTCGATGTGTGGACATCTAGACCCAGTCTCCCCGACATCACTAGCACCTCTATCCGTCCTAGAGCATGTCACCGATGTTCACTGTCATCCAACAGACTCTCGTATCTCTGAAGAAGACGCAAACTCTCTTCCGATCCGTATATGTGCTATGGGGACAAGAGCCAGCGATCAGAGTCTCGTACGTGATTTAGCTAAGGCCAATCCAGACAAAGTGACACCTTGCTTTGGTCGGTAAGCTTTCACATATAGACCGTCTACTATGCGATGAACGTTTCACTCAATACTATCGTATATCAGGCTACCATCCATGGTTTGCTCACTGGATAGCCATTGAACCCGCTACATCCAAAGAAGAACACTACAGATCTCTCTTTCTAGGCGGTTCACCAAAACCAGAGAGTATTGATGCGCTCGACAAGCTACTGACTTGTCTTCCGGAACCAATATCCCTTCAGTCAGTTCTCTCCGAGGTCCGCCAAAATCTTATCGACTTCCCGAATGCCATGTTAGGGGAAGTAGGAATCGATCGTGCAGCTCGTATCCCTTTCATGCCCCCCTCTCCACCTCCGTACGTTGAAGACGATGGCAAACGAGAGCTTTCACCGTTCACGATTCCCCAATCACATCAAATGGCTATCTTTGAGGCTCAACTTGAATTAGCCGTCGACCTGAAGCGGAATGTAAGCGTGCATAGTGTGAAGAGCCAACAAGCTACAGGAGAACTGTTGGCTAGGATGAAGACAAAACATGGGAGCGCCTGGAATGCTATTAGCATCGATTTGCACAGTTGCGGATTCAGCGCACAATCATGGCTGGAGATCGAGGTACGCAATAATGACTTAACGCTGCCTCTGTTGATCGAAACTAACATGACATCCTCGTACAGAAGAAGCATGCTAATGTCTATCTATCCCTCTCCACGGTGATCAATTCTCGTTCGCCCGCTCATCGAGATCTCATAGCCGCATGCGCGCCTCATCGCATCCTCGCTGAAAGCGATTACCATGCCATTCGCTACCTGCCTCAGCAAACTTGGGATATGGTACGCACCATTGCCGAAGTCAAGAAATGGAGGATAGAAGACGAATGGACATACACCGATCAGGACACTAATGTGGAACAATGGGGTGTGGTGAAGCGGCTAGAAGAGAATTGGAAGCGGTTCCAGATTGCGGATCACATTCCAGTGAAGAGGAAACGAGACCGACGGCAACTGGAGTTGGATACTGACGAGAGCGACTCAGAGTTCTGAAGAAGTACATATGAAAGGTGGTATACTATAAAGCCCTAAGAGTCCGTGCGTATAAGAATATGTGAAGTGCCCCACAGATACACAACAAAGCTAGAATATGTATGTGAGAAGTAGAATGAGACACAGTCCGATAATAACACCAATGATGATCGAGTCCCTTCGCCGTCGGGATTTGATCATGGATACCAGGTTGTTGATTCCAGGCATGGAATCTACCGACGACATCAGCGAGACGAATGGGGACAACGCAATGAGGGACCTACTCAGTACTCCAGCCATCCGAGAATTGATACCAGAAATCGTTGACCTCTGACGACCGAACTCTGCTCGAGTCTCATACGCTTGGCTGAGTACGGGGCGTACCATCAGCAAACATGTTAAGAATGAATAGAGCACAGGTCACATACGCAAGCATATCATCCGTCATTTGATGAGAGTTATCGATATGCCCTCTTTCCGAGAGTAATGCATCGGCCGCTGATGACTTATACGCACTAAACCAATGTCTGGTGAGCCAACAAGGAACAGGATAAGAACAGACAAGAAACACACTCAATGTCATTCCGTACACCGCTTAGAAGATTCGCCTGGTCGAGTGCATGTTGTACATTCGTCTGCATAATAAGTGCATTCAGCGTCCCGAGAGGCCGACCATCTTCCCATATGACGTACCTTCGTCCTCCGAAGTTCTCGTACATAATCCTGATACACATCTCTATGTCGCTGAACAGCACGAAGCATAGACTGCGACGGTGGCTGGTCTGGATCACTGGAAAGTCCGGACAATTGGTCATTTATCTCTCCTAGCTTGCAAACTATATATGAGCTTATTAGAGGATACAAGCAGCATTCAATTCCGACGCTACCTTCTGCAAGAGCTCGTCTACTTCTGCTTCAATATCCTTCCAACGTTCTCCTGACCCGCTAGCCTCAATGTCGTCTTGATTCCGAGTGATTGTTGATGCAAGACGAGAATATGCGGTCAGCTTAGAGTCGAATAGGGATTCCAAGGTCCGGCATTGCCTATGCAATGAGTCGTAGTTCGACATGGTAGCTGCAGCAAGACTTGTAGGCGAGACAACAGCGATAAAAATGTAAGAAAGCTAGCTGGAGAAGGCCGAATGTACTTGAAAGCGTGAAGACACAATGGAGACACGAATGAAGGCTCAAGCGCTCAGCATTAAACTGCGTCGGGCACAGCCGAACCTCCCAGAATAGGCGCTCGGAGGCAGGTTGTCGAACGCCTCTTCACTTACAGTAACATTAGAATCTCAGAACACACATATGTGGATTAGCCCAATTCTTGTCCAAATGTTTACATTGGACCACATAAAGTATTGTACACGTTATTTCAGGTGATCGATGCAGGGAATATCAAATAGTACCTAAACCGAAAACGAAAGTCATTGGGAAACCGTGAGAACAAGCAGGAAGAGTACAAGTATTGGATGGGAAAGACATTGTCCAGAAACATGACACAGAAACCCTTATCCATTCTAATCTTCTTCTGAGGATGTATCGTAGAGCACCACGTACTCGATGTCATGGTCAACAGTCACCGGCACCTCCGCAGGGGTCGGCAGGATGCGAGAACGGCTATCGTGGTAGATTGCTTCATCTTCATCATCTGAGGGTGACGAGGGAGCATCTAGCAACGAGACAGAGGAATCGAAAGAGCCATCATCTGAAGGGGGGCTGGAAGGCGTTGTGAACGAAGTAGCAGCAGCCGAAGGACCAGCAGAGTTGAAGACAGGCTCGACATGAAGAACGTGAGGCATGATCACGGAGGATGCGGCCAGAGATTCTTCTCCTGAAGACTCATTGGTGGCATTCATCTCAGCAACGGTGATGCTAAAAAGCCAAGTCTGAGTAAAAGCTCAACATTCACAAACGATTCGACTCACTCCACCCAAACACTATGACCGAAGACATTGCCTTCTCCATCACTCAGACGCCAGTAGCTAACATATTTTCCTGGTACATCAGGAGCCTACGGATGACATGAGTGCCAGGGCATCGAGCACAGGATGGTGTTGCTTACCTTCATCTCACCACCAGTGATCTCGATTTCCTCGCCAGGCTGGACAACCCCAACCTTGAACTTGGATGCAGCCTCGGGATACGGAGCCATTCGGTCACCAGCAACATAAACCATCTCAGTATTCTCTGACCAAGCTCCTTGGCCATCATTCTTCATACGCCATGTTTTGACGAACTCAGCACCAGGAGGGAAGAACTGACCATCCGGAATGTTAACATCAGCGACGTGAGTTGCCACCAAAGCTGGGGGAGAAGGAACACGTGTGACCATGTTTCTGAATAGTCCTCGTAATTCATGTCTCATTTGCGTCTCATTGGCAGTGGCAGAAGAGACTTGTGGCGGCTTGGACAAAAGAGATTCTCCACCGATAGGAGAGTCCTCCGCGGTGACAAATTCTCGCTCAGTGGACGATGCCTCCTCAGCCTTTGGCTCTTCGGCATTGATACCACCGGGCATTCCAGATGAAGCCGTGACGCTGGTAGGCAGAGTTGTCGGTTGCAGAAGATGCGAGAACATGGAGGTGAGCTCGGGCCAAAGTTCGAGCCACTCTCGAGTGTTGACGGGTCCCAGACGAGGAAGTGAACTTTCAGACTCGTCGCGCGACTTGGGCATCTCAGACGGAGTTGCTGCGCCACCAAGCACAGGATCAACTGCATTGGAAGGGGGAGGGGGAGGAGTGCTATCACTGAGGTCTACCAAGTGACCTTCCGCCGGTAAGTTTGATTGTGCAACTAATTCTGGGGATGAAGGAGCAGTTGGCACGAAAGCTCGTTCTACGGGATGAGTGTAGACGGGATAACGGTAACCACCGGATTCATACACACCAGGACCGACGCCGCCTTTAGACTCATCTGAACCTGCCAAAGTGCGCTGCTCAAGGCTAGGAAGAGTCTCGGGTGCTTGAGGTGCGACCGGAGGTACATCCTCCTGCCTTGAATTTGAATGCTGGGGCCAACTTTCAAACTCAAGATCGCTGATAGCAGGAGGTGACCAGATAGCAGGGATAAGATCAGGAATGCGAGGTGCTGGAAGCGTCCGACTCTCGTAACTGAGTGCCGGAGAGTCAACGCGAGATGTATCTACACCTAGAGGAGGGGAAGGTGTCTCATATGATCGACTGAACTGGGGGCTTAGAGGCTCAACCGTGACGGGCGAGAACGTCCTATGAAATGTGGGATAAGCCATGGCACGAGGTGACGAACTACGACCCCGGAATTCATTGAGACGATAGTTGAAATGATCCTGGGGGTGGCACAGATCACGCGTCGGACTTGGAGAAGCGCGACGTTGTTCATCAAACTGATCGCCTTCGATTCCAGGTGTTTGACTACGAATAGAGTAGACGTTTGAACTAGTAGTCGGATAAGGCGGACTTATAACAATTGGCTGTGGCGACGGCGTATCGTACCGTTCGTCGACGCTGCGTGAATCCCGAGTTGACGGGGAAGGAATCCGGACGGTGTGAGGATAGGATGGACGCCACAACCTCCAAGTCTTGCTCGCGTGTGGCTCCTCCTGGTACCTACGGGAAACATAGCTAGACTGGTGCGACAGGAGTGGAGATGGGCTCCTGGAATGTCGCACAGACTCGTCTGCCACTTCTTCATTGTCAGTTTCCACAGTAGCGTAGCGGTGTTGAACAACAGGAAGATGTAATTGAGGCACGACTGTTCCGGGTGTCTTCATCTTTAGTAACGGATGTGACTCATCATGTACAGGGATAGGTAAAGCCTCGCAATTCTGGCACAAGTCATAGTTGTCGCACGCGAGATGCATGCACTTGTACCTAGTTCCTTGGATAGGCAAGCCGCAGACGTTGCAGGCAGCCGGATGAGTAACATGTACTCTAAGCCCATTGCGCATCTATGAATAAAAGTTGAGAACAAGGAGTGGACGATGAATGAGGACATGACATACCATAAGCTGTTCATTCGAGTCTTTGATCTTCACGAAGCCATGGTTTGGGTGTTGTTCAGGAGTAATCCTACATGGACGGTCAGTGCATGAGAACGGTGAAAAAGGACAAGCGAGTACATACGTGAAACAAGACCCGCATGTATCGTAGTCAGGGCAAATAAGGCATTTCTAGAGCGAGGATAAGCAAAGCCTCATAAGCTAGTAACGAGACTACTGACGTAGCGATCCCCTCGGATTCTAGAATCACACAAGTTGCAAGTCGCACTATGAACGACAGGCTCCGGCTGGGAAAAGCCGTTAACTTCTTCCGAAGATGGAACGTTAACTGTTGCAGGCGGGCGGGCGGGAAGAGATGGATCGCGTTCACCATCCCCGCTAAACACGGTATGGACGAAGACATGACCAGGCTCGCTGATCTCGAAGAACTCATGACTAGGATCATGCGCCACCCTACCGCCAAAACCAACGCAGGATTCACACAAGTCAAAGTCGGGGCAGTCCAGACACTTGTGGCGGACTCCGATGACTTGGCAGTTGCATTGATCGCAGACGATACCTGCATGAATCACTGGCTCGACAGAATTCCTAGGTAACTCTCCAGCACCAATGTGAGTGTTAGAAATAGCTCCTTGTGTAGCACGAGGGACAGTAGCCGCTGTGGACGACTTCGATATCTTCGCGAAGTTATACGCGTTGAAGTCACCGGGGACGGTGATGGGATAGAATGAATGATTCAAGTTGTGCCGTCCCACCTTCTCGGGTTTAGAAATGCAAGCAGTGCAGAAGTCAATATCTGTAAGGAACATTAAGAAACGTTACATTCGTCATGGATAAAGTGCACTCACTGTCACAGTCAAGGCATTTGTGGCGTAACCCCGAAATACCTCTCTGGCAGCCATCGCAACTGACGTTAGAATGTTCCAGCTTGCTATTCTCCTGCTCGGCCTTCAAGCCACGATACATACTGAGATCATTTGGAATAGAAATTGGCCAGAATGAATGCGTCGACTCATGAAGGCCACGCATGTATGGATCACCAATACAGTCTCGACAGAAATCAAAGTCTATCGGAAAAGAATTAGTACCAAGCCAGAGCGATGTCGTATGGATTGGTTACCTTGACACTCCAGGCATTTGAAACGAACGCCTTGAATATTGATGTGTCCGCAGCCGTTGCAATACACCCCTTCATGAGTCAACAGCACTGGTTTCGCGGCTTCCCCAGTATGAAGAACCCGTTTGGCATCTGCGTATCCATTGATTCCGTCAAGATGATGAGGAGTAGTGACAGGCCAGAAGGAATGTCCAGTATCGTGACGAACACGAGCCGAAGGTGATGCGATGCACTTCTGGCACAAGTCGTAATCGTCGCATTGAACACACTTGTAGCGGACACCCTCAAAGTTGGAGGTCTCACAACCATCACAGGTAACGTGATAATGGTGAACTACAGGCGGAGACTTCTGAAGCCTTCGTTCATGTTTCGTTGCATAGAATGAAGCTTTGTTGTCGGGCTCTGGAATAGGCCAGAACGTGTGCGTCAGATCATGATGTTTGCGAGCTTCTGGGTCAGCTACGCATGAACGGCAGAGATCGTAATCTGCGAAGATGTTAAATCACGGACCAGAGAGAAACAATTCAGGCAACTGACTGGGACAATCAAGGCACTTGAACCTCACGCCTTCGAGTGGCTTCGTCTTGCATACATCGCATCTGACTCCAGCATGAATGACCGTCGGGTTGACGACGGGGAAACCAGTCCAGTTGTCGGAAGCTGTTGAATTACCAGGGACGAAGGGATTATTTCGGCACACTGGTGGAGCGGGAATGAATTGCGCAGGGGTCATCGGTATGTATGGGTTTGACGAGAACGGAGGGGCTGGGGGAGGCGGTATACCCCACGAAGGAGGAGGCGTCCACGCCCCTCTATTGAATGATGTTAGACCAGGTGTCATTCCTGCATTAAACGTCTCAAAAGGGGGACGGTACACAGGCTCTTGCTGCGTGGTCGGTTCTCGTGCCTTCGGCTTCGAGTTCTTCACCACTTCATTCAAGTCATCACGCATCTCAAGGACCACCCCTTTAAGGTCTGCAAACTCTTGCTTGATTGATCCAATCAGCTCATCTTTCAAAGCATTATTGGTTGAAGCCAAAACGTCCGCAGTAAGCGTAGAGGACGCGTCAGTGGACTGCGGCGGCTGAGCTTGAGTTGGCCCCTGGAGCGCCATCAAGGGGTTGCCTTCGTGATGAGAAGCGGCATGATCTCTGCTCGGCGAGTTCATCTCGATGTCAGGGTCGTAGGACGTACGCCATATCCCATTGGGTGTCTGCATGGTAGAGTACAGGATCGGAGGTGGAGGTGTGGGAAGCTGGGGTCCCCAGATGGACGACCACGGCTTGGAAGGAACCTTGCCACTCAACGAACTTGATGAGCTTTCGGACGCGAATCCATTGAAGAGTGGCGGAGGAGGAATGTTCCATCGATCCCATGCTTTGGAATTGCTCGGGCCAATGTTTGTCTCAAAAGGTGCATTGTTGTTTGCGTCGGTTTGACCATCTGTCCTGCGTAGATCGCAAGAATCACGTTGTCGTGGCACTGCTGAGAGAAAGCGAGTATGAGAAGGTGGTCCACCGGCAGTCTGAACCATATTTCTGTACAAAGGTCTTGCATATCTGAAGCTGGAAGCTTCATCGTGATCGACTTCATCATTGTCGGTGTTCTCTTCGGACTCTTTGAACGACACCTTTGGTACGGAAGGAAGCGGCCTGGTGGCACGTTCGGAGTTCTCCTGCTCAACCAAAAGCGGAGATGCCTCCAGACACGACGATGACGACTCAGGGAATGGAGCAAAACGAGCGGTAGAACCACGTAAGCGCGCAACCATGTTTCTACGAGCGTCCCTCCTTCGAGCCTCATTATCGAGTAGAGACTCGTCGGCGATAACGGTGGACGAGTTCTCTGACGCAGTAGCGCTGGTTGCGCCACTTGCTGCGGACGCTGTGTCATTGACGACGGTGTTCTCAACGATCGCATCTTCAGTTGAAACGTTGGTAGGGACTTTGTGCGGCGTCTCATCAAAGACCGAGAACTTCAGGACGGGATCAGGGAACGAACGTCCCTGATACGGGGCAATGTGGTTCTCGTACTCTTCTGCAGAGTGAGCCTCTTTGCCAATTAGGATACGCTGCGGGCCATTCTTCGAATCTGGCGAGAACAGCAACCTGGATAGGTAGTATTGCTTATGAATAGGAAAAACTCTGTATAGCTATAGGAGGTCATTGTGTTAGGAGCGTGTGAGGCAGTGAGGAGGATATGAAGGACATACCTGATGGTACAACTGCTGATAAGAAGGAAAGGAAGGAGAAGAAAAGCAAAATTTACGAGTTTCGCCACGATACGTGGCTTTGACGGAGAACATGGTGAGCCCACTGCAGTGCTTCTGGGGTGGAAGGAAAGTGAGTCGCTTGGACCGGCTCCCGCTGACGACTACTACTTATACGCACCGGTTTTGGACACCACGGTCACGCGCATATTAGGGTTTAGCCGCCCGTAAAGAGCTCCCCTCCGAGTCGACATTAATTATGTCGGCGACGATGAGCACCGATACAGAACCCTATGAACTTCTGACCTCAACCAGATACGACCTACAACTCTTAGGACTGGAATGGAACACCGTCGCGAACGATGATACTCCTTCTGCGTATATGCTCCTGCCCTATCACATAGATCGGCTCCGTGATGCTGCAAAACAGCATGGATGGACGAATTGTCTAGATGGTCTCACTGAGGACGCTCTGCAGGAGGCCTGTGACGCTGCTGTAGAAGCCGCATCTGAAGAACATCCGGGAAAACCATTTAGAGTATGTCAACATCTCTCGCCGATCACACAAGTTGTTGAAGCTATTGGGTTTTCAAAGGTACGAGTAACTCTATCTCGTGCCGGTCGTCTTTCTGCGACAGCTTTTCCTGTTGAACCGCTACCTACATCGGATCCACTTGAGCCAAGCAGTGTTCCCGAACACGTTTTCCGTCTGGATACTGAACCAACAGAACCATCCTTGTACACATCCACCAAAACCACACGGCGTGGGCATTATGATGCTGCCCGAGCTCGCACCAATCTACCGCTTTTAACCACTCCTGCGGGACGATATTCGGACGTAATTTTACACACTCCAGCAGGCGAGCTTTCTGAAACTTCTATACGGAATCTCGCAATCCGGAGAGATGGCCAGTGGTTGACTCCCAATGCAAAGAGCTCAGGATGCTTATCAGGAGTCATGCGACGCTTGTTATTGGAACAAGGAAAGTGGATCGAAGCGGCGGAAGGGCAGTTGCGCAAAGACGACCTTGTCGATGGTGAGATCGTGATGACCGCTAACGGAGTTGAAGGCTGTCGTTTGGGCACCGTCGTGCTGCATTCACGCTGATAGTCAATATTTATAAATATTCAAAAGTCCATATACCCAACAAATCGCCTATGAATAAAGAAGAAATGTCCAATCTCATACCATGTTGGAGGCATCCGATGAACCCGAGCCAAAGATACCAGAAAGAGAAACATACTCGCGCAACCTCTCGATCACACCTTTCTCCTCATAAGCAATGTGATCGTGAGTAATTGCGCCTTCTCTTATGTTAACTTCAGGAATTAGGTGATTAGTGCCTACGAGAACGCGCCCTTCGTTTTCCTGACTCGCTATTCTCTCTTCCGGATCCATGGGAACAACATTTGCTGGATATTGCGTGACGATCATCAGCGGATTGGTCAAAAGTAGGTCTATCCATATAACTCACCTGCTATGGGTGCCTTCGCAAACTCGACCACAGTCACTATGGAACTACCCTCCGGCGAAATACACAACCTCCCAATCGTATCGTCCCAAGCCATAGCCTTCCACTTCTTATCACCAAACTGGAAAGGTATATCCAAGTACCCGTAAATCTGCCCTGCCGGCAGATTATGGTTTTTCGGTAAGTCACACTCATCGTCCACGATTCTGAAAGCTTTGTAGATAGGCGGTGCATCCGAGATATCATCGGGCGGACTGCTGAATAGAACAGAGCGTCGACATCCCGGGAGGATGCGAAACTGGGCATCTCCTTTGGACACAAAGGACATGATCTTGGACATCGAGTTCAAGTTGTACTCGCAGTATTCCTGTACCTGACCATTGGGTAGCGTTCGCTGAGCGGTCTCTGGCCAGATGACCAGCCGCATGAATCCATCCAACTTTCGAATTAGGTCACCGACCATAACTTCTTCGTTGACTGTGCGTCCGTATATACATATTGGACGTCGGGAGAATGCGTTCATGAGCCCGGGCTGGATCGATTCATCAGTTTGGACTAGGCATAAAGGGTCCGTGATCCAGGCTGCCGAGAAACCATACCCAGCGATAGCTTTATAACTGGTGTGTTTGAGGACGTCGCCTAAGCGAATCGCCAGCTCTCCCGAAGGAAGGAATTCGGGGATGTCATAAAGTTCTATGACAAAGACATCCTTTCCTGGGACGACGATTCGACGGACAACCAATATCTCATGCTGCTCAGGAAGGATGCGCAATGCCAGAATTCGGTGTTCCTGCGATCGAATAGTCAATTATCTTTTGCATCGAGGAAACCTGTCACTTACGAATTGTACGAGCCCTGCATATTTCATACACTCCAGTTTAACTTCCACATGACTCATAGAGATCACCTTGAACTGAATAGTGTTTGGCTGTACGACCAGCACAAGGTAAGGCTTGCCATACACTTCGGCTACATCGGATATGCCCAACTGACCGCGTGAGCGTATTTTGCAGGGCATACGAAAGGGTGACTCTTGGGACAGTGCAAAATTGCTCCACTCCTGTGTCCCAGGTTCATTGTGACTGAGCCCCTCAACAGAGGCCAAAGATACATGGAGGACACCGCACTCGTATATCAGAGGGACTTCAGGATCGATGTCGTGATCTTCACTATATGCCGAAATGTTGAGCCTGTTCAAATTGACGTCATTTGCTGACATTCATTGAAGGTTGGATGAGAGATACGAACCTAGGGTACCTAGCCTTGTCTTTTTTATTCTTATAATCGCGGCACACGTAGGAGATGAGTATTCCATGCTGCCCATTGACAGGGACATACTTCGCCTGAATGCGAAAAGCCTTCGACGGCAGACGCCCAGTATCTGCAAGCGGTATGACGCCTCTTGCATGATCCATTACCAGAAGCATTATGGAGTATCTGTCGAATTGACGGATTGACGCCACAAGGTATCTGCCTCCGGGTAGAATAGTCATATTAAGGATCTCTCTTGCCAAGTTGAAGCCTCGGATGTACAAGTTGAATGAGTCCGGGTTCTGGTCTCTCCACAGATTCTCGAGTGATAATGATCGCGTGACAAGACGTTCTAGTTCCAAAGGCGTAAGTCCGTTGAGCGAGTATCTAGAATTCGCAGGCAACGGGTGCAGAGGACAAGTCATAGTTCTGAGCAGTCGGATCCAGAGAGATTTTTCTAATGTAGCATTATAGAGTATTCGCGAGACCTGGAAGTGCAACAATTTGAGCATCATCCGAGTCAAAAGTCTCAATGTAGAACTTACTTGACGGAGGCGCAATATATCGTATACATTCAGATGAGGAAACAACCCATTGACAAGGACATCGTGTGGCAAAGCTTCAAGACTTCCCCGACGAAATACGCCACTCTCATCGAAGTACTTTAGGATGAGATGGTCCGCAAGAGGGATTAGGGACATTCCGGTGGAAGAGTTCTAGATATTGGAAGTACGGACGAGTAGGCAGACGTGAGCAGCCTTGCCTCCAGAATACTTGAGGTGGAGAGGGCGAAGAAGAGTTTACAGCGACTCAGTTTGAACATCACCACCTCTTTATAGAGGACACTCGAAGTAAGTACTTGAGCATCAGTAGTAGAGAGATACCTTGTTCACGCCTGGAGACAACTAACTTTTGTAGAAGTTATGAAGAAACACAAACAAGACACAAAGTTCAACAGCTACCGATTCGGGAACTTGTAGAATCACGATAAGCGCTCTCCATCTTGTTTTTCTTTGCAACCATCAACATCTGAACTTCACTCTTGGCGAAGATGTCATGCCACTATGAGGCGCAGGAATCGTTCGCTGCTTATGGCTGACCTCTTGGGAGCTACTCTAATGCGATTCACAAGTCCCGAAGATTAGCTTTTGCACAAGGTCACAATGATCGTAGGCCAAGAGCTGCTGTACTGACGTCACGGTTAAACTTGAACTTGGGTGATTTTCGCGGCATGGTCAATGCTGCAGGGTGCTGCAGTAAGGTACTCAAGGCCGCCATGTCCTCAAAACATTGTGCGTAGAGCTCGTGGATTCGAAACAGGAATTGGCTTTACTTATGTTTCATTGACATTACTTTTGACAGCCTTTGACCTCCGTTTGACCTACACGATGACCACTCCTTGAGCATGTTCCTAAATCTTGGGTTCTTCGCTTAGCATATTGGACATGTTCCGCCGGACTTGTCAGGTCTTTGTGCTCGCACTATAAAGTCTTCCCCGCATTTGTGGTCTTTATCCCCTCAAGTCATTGCACCACTTCCCGATCTCGGGTCCTTTCTAATTTCCAAACTCACCACTACTTGCCACTCAGTCATGTCTCGAAACCGCGTCTTACAAGTCGAGTTTAGATCCGACACGGTCCACCGGCTGACCGACATTTCCGCTAGTAAAGAGCCAGACCTGCTAGCTGTCTTCCCGTTCCCCAGAAAGCTAGAAATCTCTGATACAATAGGGTGTATGATGCCTACCGTTAGCCGAGCTAGGCTAAGCCTACTCAACCCCCCTCAGAACAAACCAAACAAAGATCCAATACTTGTTGCCTTGATGTGGGCTCGCGGACCAGATAAACACGATGCTCTTCTCAAAAAATGGTGCATATATAAAAAGAAACTGGCCGACCTTCAAGGGGACGTTATACCGATTTGTCATGGCTTGTTCACAGCTCTATATGGCGACGTGCGGATCTCATGTTTAGTTCTTGAATGGTGTATACCGTTTTTGACTATCTACGATGATGGACTTAGGTACGCTAAATATAGACTATCGTGCGGCGCACCTAGTTATGCTGACTATTGACTATTAGCCAGACGAGGCTAGAGGCCGTTCGCAAGTTGCATGCCAGAGGTATTTGTCATGGTGCGCTGCAGGATCGCCGTAATTTCAGAGTAGGGAGTGACGGAAAGATTCGCATTATCGGTTTTGGCAAAGCTACTGAGCACAAGTGCCCTAACGCTATCCCATCAAAGTCAGTCGATAGGATAGGAAGGATTTGCCAAGAGTTAGACGAGTTCGAAAGCTCCTACTACATGCCGGGCACGATATGTGATTTCACTGGCTTCTGTGAATCACGTTGTTCTTCTTATCCTCATGTATAGATCCCTATTTTAATTTCAACGTAGTGGCCACATAGGTAATTCCAAGGGCGTCGGAGTGTCGGGTCAACCATCGACTGAGTGTGACTGACAGACTTTGTTACAACAGTTAGCCTGTGGCATCGTGCCTTTGTCATGAGGCAAGGGCCACTGTTTCGGACTTGGCCGGATGTCGGGTCATATATTTCCTTTGTCTCGCCGCCTGGATTTCTCAAATGTCTCATCAACGCAAGGCGTCTTCAATTTAACTACCTGTCTCTAGATCCCTCAATACCACTCCGCCAAGATCTCAAGCTGCCGACTCTCTTCGACTCTACTGACAGTCAAAACACCATGTCACCATCATCAAAACACCAACGTCTCCGAATTGTCTTCACGAAGTCCATGGAATACGCGTTCGAGAGTATCGACCCACCTCTTTACAACGAACTCCCTGGCTTGGTGGCCACCATACGAGATCCCGAAGCTTGTGACTTTTACGACTCAGAACATCCCATTTTCGGAGAAGTCACCAACGCATGTGTCTTCAACGCTCATCTCATCTTGATGTCTTCTCGTCCGTACTATCTAGGCGAGGTGGCGTTCAAATGGGCTCGAGGGGACGAAGGCCACAAACGACTCGTATCAGAGTATGAGATGTACAAGCATCTCGCAGATCTTCAAGGCAGAGTTGTACCTATATGTCATGGTTTATTCCGTTCGATGGTGTGGTTGAATAACGGTGAAAGAATCAAGCTTTCTTGTTTAGTCCTTGAGGGTTGCCTCGATCTTGATATTGAGGACCATCAACATCTCATGTACGTCGTCCAATCAAATTTACTGAATCGCATTATTGACTTGACGTTCCTTCCATGTAGGGATGCCAAGTTGCTAGCCATACACAGATTGCACACTAAAGGTGTCATACATGGTGATCTCGCGAACCCTCGTAACTTCATGATGTCAAATGACGGTTCACAGATTCGCATCATTAGCTTTCAAAAGGCCACACTGCACGAATGCACAGAAGCGTCTTCTACCTCATCCACTTCATCCACAAACGAAGGAACTCGGTGTGAGGAAATAGCAGCATTCAGTAAAATGCATCAACATGTTCAAGTCTGCTGTGAAATATAGAACCTTATAGAGAAATACAATAAAACTGGTGATGACTTCGTGTGTAAAGGCATACATGCAAGTAACAGTAAAATAACAAGTTGTACAGCAGGGTAGGTGATAGAGATGCGTGCAACGACATTGAAAGCAGGTACAGTAGCGCGTGGCAGGTCAGTCGACGATCGACCGAGTAAAGGGAAAGGTTCGGTAGGGATGCATGATGAATAAGATGAGACAGTTAGGAATGAGGGTGTGGGAGAGAGATGAGAATTATCATGAAGGACGTGAGTTGTCGGATGTCTAATGATGGAAAATAAGAGATTGGGTGTGGATGCGGGGACTAGAAGTAGATGTAAAAAGAAAAATGCAGGCAGAAGAAATGCAAGGACGTCAAATGAAGTGAAATAAAATGCAATGGGGAGGGTCGATGGTGAACGGGATACGAGTTACAGTTGATAATTTGAGACCGAGAGATGCATTAAAAAAGGGGGGGGAGGACGTGCAGAATTGATTAAAACATAATCTGGAACAGAACCAATGAAATGAGTGGGTATATGTATCGTTCGTCGTTTGTCGTTCATGAGTCATAAAACCTTTGTAGCTTGCGAGTCCAAAGGCCGTGTTTCTTTTTCATCTACGCAAAAAAGCAGAATTCCCTTGCGCACGATCACACTTCTGTGCGATCCTCACCGCACTCTCCAAAGCGCGTTCGACGAGTGCTCTCGAGGGGCTCGAGACAGGAGTATGTTGCAACAGATCTACAAACCCAAACCAATTATCAGCATCATCAACTTTCTCTTCAACAAACACAGAGAAAAGAGACATACCGCGATACTGCAACACATATCTCATAATCCTCTGAGTAGGCTGAATAGCCAACTCCCTCACACTCGCCTTCTTCTCCCCTTCCCTCCCCTTCCCCTTCTTCAACATCTTCTTCTCCCTAACCTTCTCCTTCTCCCTCTCCCTCTTCTCAGTCGACAACAACCCACTAGGCAAACTGACACTAGACCCAAGAAAACTCTTCCGTCTCAACGCAGCCGTAAAGCTTCTAGTCAAAGAGACCGAACCATTCTGACCCTGCTGCTGCTGTCCTTTTGTATTTGTGTTGATATTGATATTGGTGTTGATAGTGGTAAGAGGCATCATCCTAGGCGAAGACGAGGAAGAGAACGAGAATCCACTGTCCGACCCAGACCTCACAGCAATCGGTCCAGCCAAAGCAGGACTCGATGAAGCAGTTGACCTTTTTGGTGGTGACGTCGAAAGACCAAACGGAAGTCCCGTACCTAAAGCAGCAGTGAACAATCCAGAGCCATGAGAAAAGCTCTTCGTCATCACCGGAGGGATGGACATCGGCTCGTCTCTAGTAGAGCGGGAGGAAGAGGGGGGGAAGTCCATGTCGGACATGGGTCTGTGTTTCCTTGAAGTCTGTAAAGTAAGAGCGGTCATCGAGAGGGAGGGCGTCCCGTTCTTACTCCTTTCATGAGCAGCCAGAACTGACATACTCCCTCTACGGCTAGTAGCAGAAGGGGGCCCACTTTTCAACAACTTCTTCCCGGTATCCTTCCCCTCCTCCCTATCAACGAACAATTCACCCACAACGCCACACCATCCTACAAACGCACTCTCCAACTCCTCTTCACATCCTAACCAGGCAGCACTAACGCCCCACGCGCTAGGATCATCTTCCACCCTAGCTAAGAATGCTTGACTTGCGTTGAGTAAAGCTGGGAGATAAGAAAGTACGAGGGCGGGAACGCGAGAATGTTGAGATGTAGGTGAAATATCTCCTGAGAGGAGAGTACGGAGATGAGATTGATAAGTCCGTTCGGTGAGGACGAGTTCACGACAGCAGAGGAGTGCGCGTCGGGCGATTTTCCAGTCAGAGTCGTCAGAAGAATCATCAAAGTCGTCTTCTTCTTCATCGGAAAGAGGTTCCTCCTCTTCAGATTCGTCTCCATCAGAGAGGTGGTCAAGGTTGTCATCTTGATGAACACCGACATGAAACTTCCCACTCCTCACCCTCGTCGGGGACGCCCCGTTAACAGAAGGTCCGCCATAAACGAAATCACATCCACTGCCCCGTCGATTCTTCTTCTCGATCACTATCACCTTCCCCTCCACAGTCCCCTGTTCGCCATGACCACCAGTGCCTCCACTCTCAGACGAAGAGACATGAGTGTTAGAAAGCGATACTTTCTTCTTGACTCTTCCCCTCCCATTCAGAGCCGCCGCGCTTTCCTTTCTCAACCTCTCCAACTCCTGCACAAGGACCTCATCCGAAACATCCGTCATAGCCAACGTCCATCTCCTCATACTCGCCACAGGATCGGCTTCTTTTGTGGGGGACTCGGAAACGTCATGTGTTTGAGAGTGAGCTCTTGAATTCTGAGCAAAGTCTCGATGTTGAACTTGACTCGGATGGGAATGGGGCCGAGAATACGAATGAGAACGAGCACGTGGAAGGGGGAATGAACGTTGAGTACGAGAATAGATACTCGGATACGGATCCTGATTCAAGAACGAAATCGAACTGGACCTCGAAGGCGGACTCTTCGTCCCATGTCCTATCTCAGACATTCCTCTTCTCCTGCCTCCACTTCCAACTCCCATATCGACACTTGCCTTGGAAGTCTGCCCATGCCCGTCATCACTTTTAACCTCAAGCCTTGAATCGTACGGGTAGGGATCATACTGATAGATAGGTTCCAAAGCAACATCGACCCATTCTGGCGAACCTTCATATGTGCTTAGTCGCGCAGTCAATGCAGCAAGTGCACTACTTGACAGCGCGGAAGTCGTTCCGGTGAATGCAAGATCGGAAAGAGCGCGTGAGGTTCGGTCGATATGAGAGTTAGAGGAGATAGTGGAGCTTCTTCGGCGAGTGTTGCTTGTAGGAATTTGAGGACAAGTGGGAGACGTGGGTAGAGAAGGTGAGGAGGTGTAAGTGTCTGGCATCTAAAGGAATGAAGAAACGAGTGGGCAGGGCAATAAGATGAGTTTTAAGGCAAGCAACGGAAAAGAATCTCGACGAGAACCCGAACCTTTTCGCCTTCTGGCACAGACCACATTGATGACCTCAACCCCGCGTTCTGTATTCCCAATCCCATGGCCATCTCTCCCAGTTCAGTCACGTACATTTGTTCCTCTGCGTCCGCCTTATGTGAACTCCCAACATTCTTCCCCTTCCCTTTAGCCCCCTTATTCTTGTCCCTATGGCTAAACCCAATCTTGAGCCCGAGTATGCTCCTCTTCCTCCCTACATTCTCATCGACCCCTCCAAACCCATCGACTGCATAAGCATGTCCATTCTCGATCGACCTAGCCTCTTTTGCACTCCTTGCAGGTGGCGGTAAACTCCCCCCTGCAAACTTGCCCGATGACGGCGACTGCGATTGTAACGGTGGTGGTGAGAATGGTCTCCGTTTCGTCAATTTCCGAGGGGAGTGCGGAGATCGGCTGGATTGTGGTGGCTGAGAGATACTAGGGGTATTTGCAGGTGATTGATAGGAAAGGAAGGGGGCTTCAGGAGATGGTATAGGAGAGGAATAGGCATATGCGTCAGGAGCAGCGCAAGGTGATCCATTAGTTTCATGTCCGGAGGGATACGCCGAATACGTCGGGGTAATGTGAGAGCTCTGAGAGTGGGAATAATGCAAATATTTGTGTGCGCCGTCTGAGGTCGTAGAAGGACTCGTGGGTGCAGTGGAAGCGTACAAAGACGCGGAGAATGTCGAGTCTTCGGCACTCCCACTCCGGCTTGCACAGCTCGCGCTGGTGCTTTCACTAGCATATTGAGGGCTAGTCGGTCTCCTAGTCAGCGAAGGAGAAGAGGTTTGAGCAAAATACTGTGCGGTTTCACTACTGGTGCCCGGGAACGCGGGAGGTGGGGATCGGCCGTTAAAGGTGGCGGGAGGAGAATGCGTCAAGTCAATGAGCGTGTCTTTGGAGAAGGGACTCTGGGGTCTGGAAGTCAAGGAGATGGACATATTTCTAGAGGGGTTCTCAGAGGGAGGTCGATACCCCGATGGTGGGGGTTTCCTGAGTTTATTGCGGGGCGGGCGGATGGGGGCTTGATGTTGTGGCATGGGAGCACCATGTTCATTTGCTGATAACACTGATGAAGGGAAGTGGGAAGGATAAGTCATCATGGCATCCGAATAGCGACGATCAACATCAGACGCCAATTCTGCGCCGGCGAATAAAGGTGTTCGATGTCCAGCATTTATACTCGACATACGTAAAGAAGGGACTTCGTGCCCTATGTGATTTTCGTCGTGATGGTATGGTCGACGTGTGGAAACAGACTTCCCTGTTCGGGGAGGAAAGAAAGCCGAAGAGAATGAAGGACGGTGTCCGTGGCCAGGTTCAGAAGCAGAATAATGATAAGTGCTGTTGAAGTGGTGTGTGTCCTGTGAAGAAGCACTAAGGACTGACATGGGGCGCTCCCGACTAGCGAACATGTGCGGCAACGAGGGCGGAGAGGCTGCCTTGGTGGAACAACCGTCTACGAGCTCCTCGGATAAGCCTGTTTCGTAGGAATGGACTGCAGCTGTCTGTGAGTACTTGAGCCAGCTGCAGAAGCTCGATACGCACGTGCGTGTGGGGCAACCTGAGATTCGCGAATCATACTTTGGTGGTCATTTAAAGACGATGACGAGGAATGCTCAGGAAAAGGCCCATCAAGGGCCATGTCCCTGACCAGTTCGACCTTTTCCTGCGCCCGCATTTGTTCCCCTTCTTTGATCTCCCATGCAGATAGGGGCAGCTCCACAGTGTACGTCCCCACTCCAAGCGGCGACTTTTTCTCTGGCGGCGTACTGAGCTGCACGACGTCGGCGACAGCGAGGGAGGCCATGAGAGAGGGGTCCGCTCGACTGCCCAGTAGACTCAGAGCAATTTGGGAAACAGTTTGCAACAGTTTGCATGCTGGTTCATGTACGACTCGTTCCTGACGTCAAGCTAAATGTTCTAGACACTAAATTAGAGCTTTAATTCAGTTATTAATCCTCGGCTATCTCAGATCTTTCACGGTCACGCACGCCAAACGCGATCGGGACGCTTGTCTGCCGTGCGCCAAGAGTGTGCGCCCCATCTGCCGTTGACCAACGTTAACTCTAATGCTCACTACGTTTGACTGACCCAGCCTCGTGCATCCTACCATGCGGAACCGGTACGCAGCGCAACAGTATCTGCCACATCTTCTCCACTCCAAGCCCACACTTTCGTGTAAGTACTATGTATCTGCAAGCCGCGACGTACTGTACGTGGCTAACCTTGAGGGAGCATCGTGTACGAGCGTGTACAACGGCAAGATGAATGCTACGTATATATATACTTTATCGTCTTATCAACTCACGCCATCAGAGGAGCATCAGAACTTTATTCTTGCCATTCAGTTCGTGCCGTTCAAGCGAAACAGAGACAGCACGTCATCGAGTCGAGGCAATTCAGATATGTACAACTAGCTCTAGCTATCTTTTACCTCGCAATTGAAATACCTGCATGCATATCCCCGTATCCCCATATCTTACACGGCCTGATACTAGCTAGGCCTAGAGGCTCGGACTTTCCACAAACCGGACCCAGGGCCCCGTAAACCCGATTACTTGTCATCTGCTATGAGCCTATGACGACTATGTAAAAACCCGCTCTGAACTTCCTCCGCCAAAGCAGCATAGGCACCATCGAGGTACTACAGTTTCCCTTGTGCATCGCTGCAGTTTGGATCTTAGTCCTGTTTACTCCATCTTGGTCAAATGACTTTCCGAGCCTCGGGCTTAGAGATAAGTCAGAGAAGAAAGACCCGGAGTGGTCAAAACACCGGAAGAAGGTGCCATGCCATAGCATGCCATGTCCCTTCTTCAATTCACCCGGGCCTGCTTCACGTCGGTAATCTATCAAGTTGAGACAAGGCGAATAGTTTTAGCAAGTTTGGGCTGGTAACTAGCTTAACTTGAAGTAAGTATCTAATAAGGTCGGCCCGCCTTTCAGGTGCTTCGGTGATCTGAGACACAGTGATATCTGAAGCTGAGCACCAATGAGGGACTCTGAGTCAAGTGTATTAAAAATGTGTAAGTATTTCAACAGCAAGGAGTGTGTCAGTAATAGCAAAGAACGAATGTGTCAGTAATGATTGTGGGATATTCAGTCAAGCAGAAGATGGCAAAGTAAAACACTATCCGTCACAACAACTCAGCAATAGAATAGACCAAGATCGCCTCGTTTGATTCCACATCATGGCAGTCGATCCCTCAGTTCGTGGTTGCATGAGTGAAAGAAGTGGTGGCAAGGCCAACGCGGCGGTTGGCGGTATCGAAGACGGAGTAAAAGCGCTCGAGGAAGGTCAAACCGTTGACGAAGTCGAGACCTTCACCCGAATTGGTACCAAGGTCTCCAACAATAAGATATATGCTGTCGGAATCTCCGCCAATGGCAGTATTGAGAGAACGCTGCCGATAGATGCATTCAGCCTCAGAATATTCCCTGCATGGACTAAATATACGTACAGGCCACGCCTGAGCATTGGCAGTAAGCTCGAAAGTTGCACCATTGACGGTGAAGAACAAGCTTTGAAGATTGGCGAACTGTGCGGGCGTAAGACGGAGCAAACCGGTGGCGTCATCATCGAGGACCGCTCCAGTCGCGATTTGGTACCGTTCGAATCCGTCTGAAATTGTCCGTGAGTATCTGTCGTCATGTTTAACTTAGATGTAGGTGCGAACCAGAAGCGAGCAAAGTGAGAGTGGTACCAGTATCAACGATACCGGTGCTGCTGCTCAGGATATATTCAGATTCACCATAGAGGATGGTCTGGTCGATACCCCAGAAGTCAGAAGCGGGGAATGTGTTGGTGATTGGACTGCATATTTGGGTGAGTTTATGAGAGGCTAGAGTATAATATGCAACTTGTCACTCACGCGAAGGAGATAGAACCAGTGAACTTCGAAGAATCGGTACCACCGAAGGTTAACTCGCCATTTGTAGACGAGAGGGATGTCGTTGGCTCGAACGATACAGCCACCAAGTTCGAAGTGATTACACCTTGAGAGAACAGGTTGTCGGTGACTAGAACAAAATTTGGTCAGGGATGGAACAAGAATGACTATTGGGGCACATACCGGTAGGGACCGTGCTGCTAGTATCAGGTGAAAGGGTGCCGGTGGTCAGATCAACAGGACCAATACTACAATCAAAGGTTAGTATAGATCAGGCAAATAAATGCAGTCCGAATTACCCAAGGATACCATCGACGCCATTGAAACCCTGTGATCGGGAGGCAACACCGATAGATTGACGTTGGATTGTCAGACTACTACCAAGCGACACCGTGTCGGTGAACTCCGTTCCAGAGAAAGACCCTGAGCCGTATGTTACAGACTGAGATGGACGGTGAGTACTAGTTCGCAAAGTTCACCTGAGCACTTACAACACGGTCATTTGTTTGGGTGGAAGTACCAGTGCGAACGTATACCTTGCCAGCACCAACCCAGGTATTCGAGCTACCGGTGTCGACCAAGAGCTCGTCTACACATATGTTAGGCAAGCAAAGAAACAGGGAACAATGTACCCACAGGTGGTAGCTGGTGACCCAACGTCAACCTGAAGGCGTCGGTGAATAATCAGATAATGAATCGCTTGAAATGAGGGAAATCAACATACATTGACTACATAGCCAACAGCCTGGTTAGTCGCAGGGGTAGAGATAACCGCATCTTCGTTCAACTTCCCGCTGGTCTTGGCTTGAGCCAACCGCCGAAGTCCCTTCACGCGAGCCTGGTCGCGCTCCAACAGGGAAGCGGAGCCAGTGAAGTTGAAACGCTTTGCGATTGAGAGGGTGATGGGTGTGTCGCGAACCTGAATCAATGGACCCGCTGCTGCTGCAATAGCAAGAGTGAGGGTCGCGATGAGGGAGGAGCCCGGAAACATGACGAAGAGGTGCTGGAGAGAAAGTGCTGGATCTGGATGAGCGGGTCACTGAAGAGCTCACCGCAGATCCTTTTATATTGTGGAAGGGAAGCATGTAATGTTGAGTAATGACATAGACCCCGGATCTCATTGCTACTCGGATGGTGGCAAAGCTTATAGCAGGCGATGCCGCTGTTGCACCGTAGTTATCGCTGTCATGTCTCGTTTGCGGAGACGAACAGAAAGAAGCAAGCGATCAGACACCGAGGATGTGTACTCGCGTCCCGTTGGAGCCATTTGGGCAGTTCGTCGTCGATTCAGAGAAAAATGTGTCTAGGGAAAAATGGAGACGATCTTGTTACCGTGTGCGGCTGATAAAAGAACGAGACGCCACCTCAACGACTGTCCCCACCTCAAAAAGATGAGTTCGATGAGACTCCGTAGGATGCAAAGAACCACTTGCCTGTGTCCTGTACGATTTTGATCGACGCGTGGCATACAGCATGACATGATCGTCGCTTCCATGTGCAACGTATCGACGGTTCGACCGGAATCCTGAGAGAGCAATTAAAAAATGATCTTGCCCTATTGCATAATTAATCAGTATTAGGATCCTCCAACCGGTACTTTTTGTCCTAGAATGACTATTCATTCACATCGCTGGTCACAAAGGATGGTGAATGAGGGTGCCATATTGTGCCATAGCAAAGATGAGCACTACCTACCACTTTTGGCGGCCCTTCAGGTCTTTCCTTGGCTGTCACAAATCATCGACCCCACTGATTAGTGAATTGGTTCATCATGTATCACGGGCGGTGAATGAACGGCCATTCCAGGACAGTATCATGGGCACCTGGTGATGCATGTCAAGCTAATTCATGTAGAATTGTTTGTCGTGCTCCATTGAAGGCATGAAGTGTACCAAGAAGCATGAAGCGGCATAGCTCCTCAGCGATAGCGTGCTTCATCATTCCTGCATGCTACAAAGTTGACGGACGGGTCACTGGGCGTGACTGTCGTCATGATTTAGAGACCAAATAGGCAAACAGCTTGCCAATACCGTTCCGCGCCGACGGGAGCGTCGTCGTGAAGTTCGGAACCGTGGACCCAAGGAAAGCAAGCGGCGACAATTTCATATGGGCTGGCTAGCTGTAAACGATGTGTCTGTCCCACTATGCACAAACTCCCTAGAAGTTCGTTACGCAGCCCAGACGTTTGCAGATCGTGGAGACCGAGCAATTGAGATCCCTTCTCAAGTGGGCCTAGGACTGCAACTTGGATCAACCATTGGCCTGCAATAGCACGAGGATCCTGCAAAGCCCAAGAAAGAGCGACTCGAGGGATGCTTGAGGATGTGAGCAACGACAATGATGAAATCACAGTGCAAAATTATTTGCCGTGGAAGTCTGCCGTCGCAACACACCGGAAAAATCCAGATGTCCTAATGACGATTGAACGATCTAAGCTAGGACATATGTAGTTCAGCCCTCAGCAACGAAACATTAGAAAATCCACGTCAGGCGATCTGTCTTGAACAGCCACCCAAACGCGAATGTCCTCTCGAAGAGCTTTCTCATCACAACGTCAAGATAAAATGCATCGGAAGATTGCGTATCGTTAGGTCGGGGACTGAGGCTTCTCCGTCAATGCAGCCCTAATTAGCAAATCTGCCATGATCCTTCCAGCATGGGGTAGTTTTCCCTCCGCGATCTCGTCCATCTTGTCCTTAAGAGCTTGAGAGTCTCGAATTGTAATCCAATGTTTTACGACAGCTACGACTTCCATGGTCTTGACCTCCTCGTGTCTATTTCCAAATTTCATTAATACAAGTCGAGCTACAAAACCTGGGTGGGCACTGACTTGGCGGTGAATGGGGTAAAGAGTTCTTTCAAGATGGTCTTCTCGGTCAACACGTTCTCTAAATGTCTTAGAGCGAGCTGTTTAAGAGGGTCTACATCGAGCTAGACATTTCAAGAGGGACTTAGTACCTACAATGAAGAATCAGGATGCAATCACTCACTTTGCTGGCTATGTATAATATCGATTTGCATGAGCATGGTGCAGGTCGTCGAGGATGGCTAGTCCTATGCATATCAATTGAACGTCTCCGTGCCCGAGCGCCGCCATTCTTCATGGGCGCAAATACGATATGGCCGGTATATAACCAGAATAAGAAAGCCTCCCAACTGAAACCAGAAGGCCGATTAATCCGAGTCTCCGAGAGGAAGGCGAAAATAACGACACGCACGTATCAGCTGCAGCACCCGTGATTGTCACATTCTCTTCACGCACTTCTTGCGGAGGTGATAATATTTCACTATCATCTGGTACGGGAGCTACATTCGTACTCGCGTCATCATCCTGAACAGCGAAATCATTCCGCAAAGAACATAGCAGTAAGTCGTATCATATAACACCCTGAACTAATGAAAGATGCAAATTGGGTTACCATTTGGCTCTTGGATGCTGAACCAGTTGCTGCAAGAGCAATGTCGTTTCCCACGTCTTCATGAACATCTTTGTCCTCGGAGCGCTCTTCGAAATCACTGTCCTCAGCAAAACCTTCGGGTGACAGGACCGGTCGTCTATGTTTGTTCGTCCCGTCTTCAACCAGAGCTAAACCCGTTGTCTCGACTAAAGAAAGTGAGACCAATGTTCAGTGATGTGACAACAAGGTATCATGAGGATACATTACTCACGCTTGTAAACATCGATACCATTTGCCTCGAGTATATCTAGTGAGGAATACAATGTCCGAGGACGACAGAGGCGACCCGTTTGTGTTTTCCCCGAATATACCTTGTACGTCACTTCACGCTTGGGCTTTTTTTCAGTTACATGGTCATAGACGACATCGAAGCTCGGCTTGTGGGCCTTTCGAGGAGTAAGATTGCAGGTGATTTTGGCCTCCAACAATATCGCGTTTTCGTGGCGCATGGTCTCATGTTTGTCATAATCATCTTGTGCAATAAAATTTCTCCACCCGCGAGTATCATGAATATACCGCTGATGATTGAGATGCCTCTCCTGGTATCGAGTCGTCCTAGCCAGAGACCAAGCAGACAGTTCGAGCCTCACTGGCAGTCTTATATTGCCAGGTTGAGGTTTCAAGAACACGGAAATCGTCCCCTTCCCAGTGGCTTTGTCACAAGAGGAAAACACGTCTAGATAATAGCCCGGATAAAAGTAGGCCGTTGGTTTGGACGGCGTTGGATGTGTTAGAAGATCTTCCACCCCGTTGATTCGAAAGCTGACGGTCATGGACATCTTTTGTTCGACGAAAGGAAATCTTTCGAGTTCCGCCATGTCGAGGGTACGCGTATGCTGGATGGACTGATGCAAAGTGGACGTCAAGGCGCGTCAAGGCAAAAGAGAATGAAAGTTCAAGTTGACCGCATCGAATGCAGTCACATGCAGTCATGGCATACAATGCACTGCCACTGGCAGGGTAACTTAAATCGCTCAAGTTCGCTCTCATTGAATCCACCCTGATTAATTAAGTTGATAGCTTTGGAAATCCACCATTATCAGACCCGGCAATCAGGTATAGCGTTGACGTAGAATGCCATAACTGAAGTCTGGAAACTGGCGATGCTTCTGGCAAAGGGTGCCAGTTTGTAAAAAGAGCTGAGGGACAAACAAATGGCCATCTGCGTAAAGAGAGGGGACTAGCTGGGCTAGCTAAGCGGATGCTAAGATGGGACTCTAATGAGAGAGGTTATGATTCTTCCTGTATGAGGCACTTTCCCTACTAGAATTTATATATGCTGTCCTTGAGTCCTTGAAAGGCACGTATGTTTGTGTGGTGCTCGCTTATAAACTATAGTTCTACCGATTCCCTTTGTTGTCATTGTTGAATGATATCCCTGCTTCTTCGGTAGTTAATAATGTCAACGATACCAGGGCATACTGTGCAGCAAATCGACTCAATTATCACAGTCTCTTCCAATATGCATGCTTCTATGAATGGCAAGGCAAGGATCCAGAGGGGTTCGACTTTCAACTATATCACATTGTTAGAAGATAGCTAAACGGATCTAGAACAGCAGAGCAATGATGATTTCGACTTCTCTGACTTGACCTTTTTGACAACTGTTTGCCTTCAAGTTTCCGCGTCGGCCTCACTTGTCAGTGGTGAAAACTATCTTTCCAGTGCATAACCAAATTGGGAGGTTTTCAACCTGGATAAATACTCAGTGACATATTCGCATACGTGAGACTGGTACTCACGTTGCAGCGGTACGTCCAACAACTACCACCGCCGGTGTATCCAAGGGAGAAAGCGTTGCAGGTCCTTAGACAAGGCTGTCTCCGATGACATGTCGAGCGACCTTACAGAAGTATTCACATAGATATGTGTATGGATGAGGTTCACCGTGGATACCTTGAACATTAGCGGTAGCCATGGACAAATCTTCAGCGCCGAGCAATATTTCTCGATTGGAGTGACCCACTTTGCTTTCTACACTTAATCAATGCGCCTGAAATAGTTCTGAAGTCCTCCAGCGCACCGATATTGAATAGCACGGGTGAGCATGCTCCTCTACGGATGATGTAAAGTTTGGATTGGAATGGCGTCGCGGACAGAGTGCCATAGGTACCACAAAGTATTCCGCTAATTTACATAGAAAGGCTCAAGACGTGAATAACCGGATTTCTAGTCTGACTTGGAGCTTCAGCTTAGGAAAATCTTCCAATTAATACTCGTAGAAGGTCACTTACATACAACGTACAATCAACGGGAATTCAAATTGAAGAAAGCAGGGAGGCTGCGCCAAAGTTCCCTTCTCTTCTTCTCCGCCATAGTTGAGATATCTGAGAGACAAGTAGGACAAGGCAACTCGGTAAACAAGCTGTCCAATTTCATACAATCATTCAGAACATCCAGAGGGTCATCCATGGATATTGGTGCGTTCTCTTGAAAATATTTCCAACAATCACTCCTCGCCTTTGAACAGCCTTTGGTGAGCCTTGGACAGCGTGAGCCGAAGACATCCGTTCCAATAGCACGAGTGTATGCGGCGAGCAGTTTCTGACCATGCACAAGACGCATAAGATCCCTCTTATCCAAAAGGTGCCATCTCGCAGTTCTTGCTCCGAACCGCAGATGCTTCCCCTCTCCCGATGGATTAGCCCTATAGGTATCCCAATCGGCATCGGTGTTCAACAGCGCAAGGTCGTAGAATGCTGCCGGAAGGATGCTAGGAATGTTATAGTCAGAAGCAATGCGTATGGCAGACGCGGGTTCCGGGAGTCGGTCATCGAGGAACAGGCCATTCACTTTGCCCGACGCTTGTTGAGCGTGCTCCGATCGTGCCATGATTGTCTCTGAACGACGCGCATCCCATTGTGCCAGGGTCTGGGGCCAATCGGCTTCCAGATTCTCGACGATGCGTCCCCTGAGAGTGTCACACTCGTACTTTATGGAGAGCTTCAAAGCACCCTCCACGAGAACGGGCGTATTAGGGTTAAACCGCTTGTATGCGGCTCCGCTACCGAAAGGGTAAGGTTAACTCAGAGAATGGATGGACTGGTTAGACTTACAGAGGATCGTACAATACACCTAAAAAGCTAGCCACATCTTCAGCTGTATCAGGCGTCTGCACATGAACGACTCCATCATACGACTCTTTCGCTTCGTCCGTCTCTCCCTCCCTCAACGGAGGGATCGCAAACATGTCATTGAAAACGGGCGAATATCGCGCCAAAATCGCCTTATGCACTCGGAAGTAGTGTCGAACCTCGTCATTCTTCGTCAAAGCAGAGAAGACGATGTTTCCATCCTCAAAATAGAGCGATGGATGGTGTTGGTCTAGATACAGCGACATGAAAGCTCTCAGAGAGCTGGAAAGGCGTTGTTAGGTATCAAGACATACAGCCTCGTCGGATCATCAGTTACAAGGCCAGAAGAGATATAAACTCCAGAGATAGCGTCGACCTGAAGTCAGCCGACCTTTATTTCGTTGCGGATGAATGTCAGGAACGTCACTAAACGCCCACATTGCAGTGCATTCGCCGGTTGTTCGCCGGCCCGGGAATACAGAACCGCTGTTGTAGTATTTACCGTCTGGCAAGATGGATCCATGGGTTAGATCTGGAGACCTTGAACAGTTTCCAATCGATCGCATACTATGTCTCATCATACACCGCCAAGGTTTTCGATCCCCCAAATTACAATTCTGATATGCAGGAGCATGATGACTTTAACTTCAGGTTCTTTGCCAGCCTTGACTGTGCACGGCGAACAACTGTGATTCCTACATAAGTGGCAATGCTTCAAACCTCACCGGCAGCATTATCTCCAACCATGCCTACGTCACCCAGCACGACTGCAAGTACCACTACTAGTGCTATTCAGACTGTAGTAGGTTCTCGCGTGTGCGACGATTTCAAAGGTACTTTACTATGCCAATACTTTTGTTGAGTATGGACAGATCTGTTATATGCTTGGTCGCCCTACTTCGCGAGGGTAGTTGACCATTTCTATGCAGTGCGGCAGAACTAGGGGGACGAGGTCCATAACTTGTGCAGGTATGTTGGCACCCACTTTGTGCAATATATCTTCACAAACACTTCTACCGGCCAGGTTCACTTGCACAAAGTACAGCGATCGTAAGTACAGTCAGTTTCTTTCAATCACCACTAATTTGAGCCGCTCAGATTTATGCACAGTGCACTCCTTCAAGTTGATGATCTTCGTCTGTATCATTTCGGTATCGTGCTGTGTACCAGCGAGTGTTTTTTTACATTATGAGATCTGTCGTTAATTGCTTTATACCAGCGGAAATGCGTTGGCGTCGCGTGCCTCCCGCCAAACCATGTTGACAATATCCGTGCTTCATCCAGCTCCGCCGTTTTATACCATTTTGCATACACCCTCCACTTGATGTTGAAGAGGTATATTGCTTCAATGTCTAGCACTTATCTCACTCGCGTTCATTGTTAATCTTATGGCTTCCTCGTAACTTCCAGTGATCAGTATCAACACGTCTACGTCCTCGTTCTCGGCGTATGGACTGTCATTAGTTGCATTAGTCCCGTAAATAATGGTACGATCTTCTATGTTTCGCAGAAACCCCTTTTGATAATTGTATCGTAGCAGCCCGTATATGCCTCAAGAACGAGTACAGACATGTATTCATATCCCGGAAATTCGGTCTGAAGCATGGATTCATCCCTCTCGATGTTTCTCCGGGACATCACGGATATGAGGGTTTGATCGCATTTCGACTTTGGTATTCTCTCCGATGACGTTCATACGTACTAGGCGGCATTCATAATCGCACTATTCATACATATTTGGTGTCAACGTTGTACTACGCTGTGGGGCAGTCAGCTAGTCTTACGTACAGTACTACGAGAGAATGGTAACACCATTCAAATATCAGCGATTCCCCGCGATACAAAACGCGCCATAAGAACAAGAACACAATTGACAGGTTTAAGAAGCAAGGGCCGGACGGTACCTTCACGCCCCAGTATCAGGCTTCTCTTGAAAAGATGTGTTGCTCAAAGAGCTCGAACGTAGGGCTTGCCGCGGTGAATTGCTCGCGAATCATACTAGCCTTTGCTTCGCTTCGTGGTATGATTTCACATGGAAAGGGCGGCGGAACGGCGACCAAACCCTGCAAAAGGTCGACGTCAGAAAGTCCTCAGGTTTGGAGAAGGAATGAACTTACGCCGGTGAAGCTATTTAGGTCAATGGAAACGGGCTCCCCTGTGATCTCATCCTTCCCGGGTAATAAGTTGAAGGCCCACAAAAGGTTCATGGTATTCAGGAACTTGAGACACTACTTCAGAAGCGAGATTCCTTACACTGAATATAGGGAAAACCTACAATGGAATTCGAAGCTAAGTTCGATCCTGGACAAATTCGCTAGAGGACGCCGCCGCAATTAGTGCACAAAAATCAGGGATGCAGTTAGCATACTCGACCACCGCCAAACCCAAGGTCATTCCGAAGTCCTGTTGTGTCGACTCCAGGTTTATTACCAAGCTCTGATCGCATGTACCGTTCAGGATCGAAAACCTCTGGGTTGTCGAAATAATCCAGATGGTGATATATAGCCCCTGAACAAAAATAAAGGAATGACAATGGCATGCGTGTATGGTGTGTTACTCACAGACATTCATGAAGATCGTTGCACCCTTCGGAATCAGGAACTCGCCGACCTAAGCCCATCTATAAGTTCATATACCAAATATTGCAGGTTAAGTTGCCACCAACTCGTTCATCTGCAGTTGTGACGTGAGGCATTGCAGTTGGCGTTACAGGGCGAAAACGATGAACCTGTTGCATGCTTCAATATTAAACTTGTGCATAATAGCACTTACGAATCATCCATACCTCCTTAATGATTGCCTGCAAATAAGGTAGTTTCTCAATGTCATTCAATTCGGGGGACTTATCGAGACCGACGATTTCGTCGATCTCCTGCTGAGCTCGCCTCTGGATGTCGGGATGTGTGAGCATGCATGCCACAAACCATCGTAAGAAAACTGCGGTTGTATCGGCGCCAGCTATGAGCAGTATGCCCCCAAGATACCTTGTCATTTGATCAATTTCGCCCCAAACTATTAACAATACTGACACTTACGCCATCTTCCTATAATCAAGGCCGTAATAGCTTTGATGGTCCAGAACATATTCTAAGAAACAGCCATTCCGTCTGTCACGTTTGATGCGATCGACACAGTGGTCAAGTATACCAAAGAAAAGCTTCTCCTCTTTGGCCCGAAGTTCTTTGGTCTCTGTCTTCCACGGCGCGAACCTCGAAGGAATATACTTCAAGGGTGGGAAGAGATCGACAGGCGGAGAGCCACCAGGCCTCAGGAGGTATTCCACGCGACGTATCAAATGATCGAAATCTTCAACAATGGTGCCTTCAAATTGGGGAGAGCGTATGCCGGCTACAACAGAGAGGATTACAGACGCAGAGTATCTGTAAATGTGAGTGTAAAGCCCCTGCTCAAGAAATCGACATTGAGATTTGAAGACAAAACGATCAATGGAGATTCACCTCGGGACGCTCCAGCAGGTCATACATCAATTGGCTAGCTTCGGCATGTTGGATGGGCAAGTGCTTCATACATGCTTCGCGACTCAGAATGTCATGCGCTGCTCGACGCAATGCCTTCCATGTAGGACCTGCAAGACATCCGTACAATAACATAGTCCACATTCGACAATAGTATACTGACCATATCGAGCAAGAACCAGATCTTCATTGTCGTCATACAATAGCTCGAGTATGTGAAGCGACGGGCGATCTGACGTGGTTGCACTGCGCAAATCAATGCATTCACGGACTAGGCTTGGACTGGATAGAACAATAACAGTCCGAGGGCCAAGCTTGGCCTGATAGAAATCAGGAATGGCAAATTTCAAGGAGAAGGCTGTAACATAGATTCACCGAAACGATATCTCCGTAGAGTTTAGCCCATTCGGTGAATCTATCATAGTCACAGTAAATCATCGGTCTAAGTTAGAGCAACAAGTTCGGCTCACTTAGCATGAGCGAAGGCAGTGGGGAATTGATGAAGATTGCCAATCAGAGGCAGAGTCGGAGGTCCAGGTGGAAGGCCACGTTCTCGACTACCAATACGACCGAGACGACGGATAAGCCAAGCACAGAGGACCACCGTCAAGCCTAGAACGACTGCAGGCGACATTGTAGCGAATGTGTGGACACGGACCAGGGAAGTGATCTGTCGTGCAGATAAATCTCTTCCTACACCTTTATAGATCAGTTCCTTCGAACCCCAGTGTACGCATAAAGGAACATTCTCAATCCATCCTAAGGGACAGGCGTGCGAAGCATTCGATAGTGTATCACCAGATAGCGCGTTTGAAAGAAAGGTAAAATAGTGAACAGAAATGGTACGACGGTGATTGAACTACCAAGATTAACTGAGTAGTGTTTCACAATGATTTGACAGTGTGAAGCTGCCCGAGTCCGAAGGCCACGGGTAAGCTCTCTATTCAAACTTTTATCTAATGCATAGTTAGTAGTTCACTTGTCGGGAAAAGAACGTAGGAACTCGGAGGAACGCGGCGACATCAGCATGGTTAGGAAACCTGTCACTCAAGCACTCGGGTAGACGCCGTATCTTCAAGGTACCTAATAAGTAATAGCGATTGCAGCCCGTACCAAAAGATGCAGAAATCAAATTCTAGATCTGTTTCCCAATGTTCCCGAGGCTCCAGAGGCGATGCTGAGTCCCTCATAGTATGACACTGGTAGACAGATCTGGGATTTTGAGTATCTTGCCACGCAGGCCGGTAATCCTTGGAAGGTCATCACCTCCGTCCGAATCGTCATACGCCCCAATGGCCGCTGTCGGCGGACACAGTAGTGGCGGAAAGCACAATGGTACGTCTACTAGGAAGAACTTAGAAATTGGATATTAGGCAGAATACTTACCATGTATTCAGGGTCAAGCTGCAGGCAAAATTTGAATGCAAGAGATCATGTACGTTGTACATACGAGCATAGGCCTAAGCCTCAGACGATATGTCGCCTCCCTGGATACTCTCATCTTCAAAGACATATCCGCACTTGGTATATAAGCACTCCGATATATCAAGCTTTCTACGGCTTCGAGAATCTCCACCAAAGCAACTTGAGCACCCAAACTCTAGGCAACCAAACGAAGATCTTGAACAACGTCGAAGCCCCTCCAAGCGTCAAGTACCTAGGTGGGTTCTTCCTGACAGTCTCCTTCGCAACCCTCCTCGCGAATTCGTCCGTATTCATACTCGAAGCAGCATTTTGGCTGACGTTTAGACGCCGCATGATCTGTGGGATGTAGTCGCGGTAGAGGGTATTCTCTGGGATCTTCAGAAGGGGGTGTGCGTTGACGGAAATGTTGGATATCACAGCACCGGGTGCGACGAGGGTGACGTTGATGCCCAGGGGTTGACATTCCATCCACAAGGTATCGGTGATCATATGCATAGCAGCCTTTGTGGCGGAGTATATACCAGCCCAAGGGGTCGGGCTAAGCAATAGAATATCTTGGATATTACTGTCAAAGCGGTATACGAAATAAGGACGTACAACTCGGCGGCAATAGAACCAATGTTCACGATGGTTCCGCTCTTTCGTTGTGCCATGTAAGGTGCAACGGCTTTAGAAACCGTCAGGACCGAAAATGTATTGATCTCGAACGCTCTTCTAGCTTCGTCGATTGTGAGGTCGAGCATAGCACCTAGAGACAGCAATATTTTGAATAAGAGTTATTCGAGGCGATAACATCCCCAAAGGCTAAGGCTTGACGCACCAGGAGCAGCCGAACCAGCATTGTTGACCAAAATATCAATCCTGCCCTCGCGATCGATGATAGTCTTGACGACATCATGAACGTTCTCATCGCTGAGAACGTCCAGCTTCAGGGCACGGATCTTACTAGGGTCTCTGAACCCCTCCATAGCCTCTGGTCTGCGAGCGGTGGCATATACAACGCATCCTTGGGCAGCATACGCCTCACACCTTAGGCACGTGTCTCCTTAGTCGTGAATGGCGAATACGCAGACACGAGCTTCGTCACTTACAGTGAGAATCCGATTCCACCTTTGGAACAACCAGTAACGAGCACGATCTTCTGGGTAGACATGTTTGCTCACTATGAAAGGTGATGCCTGAAACAACGTGAATCGAGTTTCTCAATGCGTCCGAGAGTCGATTGTCGTAGCGGTCAGCGAAGGGCTGGGAGGTATGGTTACCTACCGGCGGGCGACTGCCATGAAATAGTATAATGGAAGCCTCGGGCGATGACGCGTGTGTAGCCGAGGCGTGGTATCCTCGGACGGCTTTACCATGCTGTAGTGATGCGTGAGTACAGGTAGACTCTCACATGGAAGTTCGCCGAACAGATGGGGTTTCCGCGCTTCCAAAATTAACTGTCTGTCCTCCTAATTTTGAGTTACAGCAGAGTATTCAGCATTCAGGAATGTAGAATGGGGACGGCTGGTTAACGGGTTCCAGAAAATGTTTGGAGAAGTCCAGCCGAAGAACATTGAGCCAATCATAAGTTCGGGCGGGAGTACAAGACTTTCTTTTTTAATGACTACGGTCTAATATTAGGTTGACGGAAGCGGGAGAAGGCCGAGGCAAGACGACGTACCTCAAACCCAATCACCCCAAAAAAGACATCACCTTCATTACAATCAGTCAACTAAGTTCATAAGGAGAAGGGTATAACAGAAAACACCATGCATGCACTTAAGGCTTGGAGAACACCCTCCAGAAAAACCTCAACGCCCAAGTCCTCGGCAACCACTGCAAGAATTGGAACAGCCTACTTCTCCCTCCAAGCGTCAAATACCTCGGCGGCTTGTTCCTGACAGTCTTCTTCACAACCTGCCTTGCAAACTCCTCTGAAGGCATACTCCCAGGACCCTGGCTCGAACTGATACGGCGCATGATCTGAGAGATATAGGCAGGATACAACGAATCCTCGGGGAGTTTGAAGATGGCTTGTTGATTTGCTGTGATGTTGGATTTGACAGCGCCGGGGACTACAAGTGTCACGTTGATACCGAGGGGTTTGCATTCCATCCAGAGGGTATCAGAGATCATGTGCGTTGCGGCTTTGGTTGCGGAGTACATGCCATTCCAGGGTGTGGGACTATGAAAAGATGAAGTTTGACTCAATATATGTATGCATGAAAATGGCCGGGGGTAGGTGAGGAACGTACATTTCACCGACTACGGAACCAATGTTTACAATAGTTCCACTTTTGCGTTGAGCCATATGAGGCGCAACGGCTTTAGCCAGCCTCAACACGGAGAACGTGTTGGTCTCGAACGCGCGTCGAGCATCGTCAATGCTCTGGTCAAGCATAGCACCTACAGAGCATCGTATGTGAACATGATACAGTAAATACATGCAGCCAAAAAAAAAAGCAACATACCAGCAGCCATGGCACCGGCATTGTTCACCAAAATATCAACCCTGCCTTCTTTGTCAACAATCGTTTTCACGACTTCCTGAACATTCGCGTCATCCAAGACGTCCAGCTTCAGGGTATGAATGTTAGGATGCGTGAACCCGGCCATGGATTCTATTCTGCGCGCGGTTGCGTAGACGATGCATCCTTGCGCTGCATAAGCTTCACATCTACACCTCTTGTCAGTTGCTCAGAACAGCGTGTGAAGGTAAGATAGATGTACACACAGTGCATATCCAATGCCGCCCTTCGAGCAACCAGTTACAAGTACGACTTTCGACATGGCAGGCTGCCAAACCGAGTCTAAGGCGTCGTGGGACAGATACTTGCAAGTAGGAACTTCATTTGAGTTGACATCTCCCGGGACTTATAAGGCCGAACGCCTAGACAAGCGTGTGATGGCCCCCAATCGCTCAGGAAACCTGGGGAACTGTTATGATCGTAGGAGGACCAAATGGAGCCGGACGAAAGTGATATGCCGGTGAACCTGAATGAGTTGCCTGAATGAGTGCACGGCGGCTTGGGTCAAGTATCTCAATGTCGGAGTCGAAACCACTCCCGGAAAACGTCGCCGTTAACATTTAACGTTTATGTTCGGCTACATACCGAAACTCAGCCAAGACGATCACGGTGACGTCTGGCCAAGAACGTCCTCCGGTAACTTGATTCACTGAACGAGAAGTAATACACAACATCGAAAAGGCATGCATGCTTACTGCTATATATCGGCCCAAAGTCCGTAGTTTTATACACATTATATATACTAGTAGTACAGAGATATCCACAGCGAATGAACATGAAATGGAAGGCACCCTAAGAACGAGAACTCAAGAACAGATAGAAGGAACAATGGACCGAAAACCTCATATAAGACATCCTTCACCAATAGAAAAATGAACTTGATCTCCTTCCGCGAGCGTGAGGCGAACAGGCAAGCGGGGGTCGATACGAACAGGTGCGCTTGAGCCGACGAAGAAGTCGCCGCGGGTGAAGTTGCGCGTGATAGCAGCGGTCTCCTCTTCTGTGAGGGGACGTGGTCGTTTCGTGGGACGGATCGTGTTGTTGACGGGATTACCAAAACTGTTGCTATAGTCGTAGTATTGTGGATGCTGGAGTGGATGCATCGGCGGAGGGTATGGCATCGCAGGGACAGCAAAGGTCGGTTGCGCTGGAGAGCGTATCAACATACGCGAAACAAAGCAGGGAGAGATTGAAGACATACGAGGGGGTTGGTTGACAGAGTTGTCGGCCTCGGGATCTGGATATGCGCAGGTGTTACCGAGCCCACGCTTCAAGCAACTCTGGATCAGTACGTCAGCGGGGGCAGGGGTAAAGCTGGGTGGATATATGCATACTTGACATGGTAGAACATCGCTGCATCTTGTTTTTCCAGCATGACAAGCGGTACAGGCTCGGCGTACGGAAGGGGCCTTGGCTATCAGGCCGGAAGACATACGGTAAATGGCAGTAAAAGAGAATAAAAGCCGGGAGACTCACGCTTGCGAGAGGAGCCCTCCTGGCCGCCTGCTGAACCATTCTGCTGCTGCTGGAGGTCGTTTGCGAGGTGGAGTTGTTGGGTGTCGATGGACGGAGGGCCACCGTCCTGTGCCGGGGTGTTGCCCTCGTTGAGTGCCGACATGGAGGTGATGGGCGGATGGTGCGGTGGAGGTCCGACCATGGCTCGGGCCAGAAATATATATCGCTCGCCAGCTCGGGGCATCCTTTCGCTCTTCTCCCACCGGGTCGTCCGTCTTCTTCTATTTGCCCCTGTTTGCTCCCACTGAAGCTTGCTGAACGCGCCCGCCGGCCCTCGGTCCCGGCCCTGCATCCCGTCCGTACCTGCCGGTCACCCCGAATTGGGACCCGACGCCCCTTTCTCGGCAGGCGATAACCGGCTTAGCCCCGTCGCTGCCGACGATCGTCGTTAACTCTGCAGATGTTGCTCTGAAGCTGTTGCTCTGAACCATGGGCGACCCTCTCCAGCCTCCAGTGCCCTTTGACGACTTTACTTTCTCTTTCGATCCTGCTCTCCACAACCTCTTCCCGTCTCCTCCGCCCTTGCCATCTTCAGCAGATCTCTTCTCACCCTCAGAAACAACTGACTTGCTCGGCTTTCTCGAGAACTTCAGTTGGGATGTCGAAGCAGAAACACAGGATCGTCCACAGTCCGGTACCCCACAAGTAGCACCATCAAATTCATCAAACAATGCACAACCATCGACTTCGAGCAATCAAAGTCCAATGAACGTTCCCAACAGTCCGCAGCTAGCAGTAGTAGCGTCCTCAGGAGGAACCCCATCTGTCAGTGAAACATCACCCACACCTCCACCCGCACAACCTATATCTTCCGCTCAACGACCTAAACCACTCCTTTCAACACCTCAGAAACGACTTAATCATATCATGTCCGAGCAGAAACGCCGTAACGCCATTCGCGATGGATACGTCCAGCTCACTACACTACTTGCTCCCGCTGGGGCGCCTCCAGGAACAGGTATGCCCACACGCGGTCGTCCTAAAGGCAGCAGTAGTAGGAATGGTGGCAGAGGCGACGGGAAAGGGGGTGTTGCTTTCAAGGGCAAGAGTGGGATTCTCTTTAGGGCGGTGGAATATGTGAAATGGCTTGAAGAAAGCAGGGATGCGTTGCTTGCTGAAGTCGCAAAGGTGGAAACAGCTGCAGGGATCCATCGCTCATGATATTGGTGGTGGTGGACAGGATCCTGTTGATGCTTTTGATTCCGTCTTGCTCTGCCACAATACCCTTGCTTGCTTGCTTTCGATCACCCATCATCGCTCATTCCTCACTCCCACCCTTCTTACCCGCATACACCCAGCACTTGCATTCGCATTTAATTTATGGTCTCTTTATAGCCCTCTCATTCCATTGTATCATTACCTTGCATCCGATATCCAAGGAAATTGTAATACACTGTAACCATGCACTGGAATACCTTCACCAACGCTCCTCCAGCATATCAGGCTGTCCCTACCCAGTACTTCCTTCCTCCTAAACCCACAGTCCCTCCAAGACCCGACGAATGGCCTATACCCACCCTGAGACTCCGCGTAGACGATCTCAATCATCCAGGAGCCCAGCTTTTCTTCCAACATATCAACCCTAATGAGGCTCTGCGCAAAGCTGTTATGGCTTCATTCACTTGGTTGTATACCCTAGAGACCGTTCCTCGGAAGTGAGTAGTCATAAAATACTCTCACTGTTCATTTCTTTAACGTAACGTCTCATGTATGTTAGTGTCGAGGTGATACAGCTCGTTTTGCGCTCTATGCCGGGTGTGGCGCATACAACGGGCACAGATATATACAAGGAGATCCACTTCTCACTAGACCACATCGTGAACTGTTCGGATAGAGCCAAGGACGAAATCGAAGGTGTCATCACGCACGAGGTTGTTCATTGTTTTCAACACAACGGACAAGGACAAGCTCCCTCTGGTTTCATTGAAGGTGTCGCAGGTCGGTCCCTCTTTTTGACCCCAGGATGCCTACATGATGAATTGGACTCATGTACAGTATATTTGATATCCTTTTTCCTAGATTGGGTCCGTCTGCGTGCCGGCAAAGCCCCACCTCACTGGAAAATGCGACCCGCGGAAAAATGGGATGCAGGCTACGATTGTACTGCGTACTTCCTCGATTGGCTCGAGGGGAAATACGGGTTTGGTATTGTGAGGACTCTGAATCTCACTATGCGAGATCGGGCGTATGAGGATTATATCTTCAAGGAACACACGGGGAAGAAGGTTGGGAAACTGTGGAAGAGGTATTGTGAGCATTTGCAGGGGCCCGGGGATGTAGTTGGGAGGCCTGAGGTGCCGGGGAATAAGCCCGTAGAGGAGAAAACGGAAGAACAGCATACCTGATGCGTAGTCGAGGAGATTTTGTGACATGACTAGTTATACCCATTTCTATTTGATTATTGTATACACCATGCTGTGACCAAAGGAAGAGAAGCATCGAACAAAGCAGATAGACAGAAAAATATACACTACTGCTACATCAAGTGAGTTACATTACACTAGGATAGTGGTCAATTGATAGCAAGCTACAAAGGAGACGAGAGAGAAGATGACAATTGTCAACTCGAGTCAAGTGAATAGGATGTGAGTGATGAATCCCAAGAGCAAATAACGAAAAGACCAGCCAATGCGAACGAGTGCAGGATAAGTATGTACCCCCAATCGCTATCCCCAGTCTTGTCCTAATTCTCTTGCTAAGAAATCGTCATCGTCATCAATAACACCGTCAGTTTCCTCTTCCTCTTCCTCCTCTTCGCCACCTTCCTCTTCACCACATTCGTCTATAGCGTCATCACGAGGTGTCGTTACCTTGCTACTGGTTTTCCTATCCTCGTCGGTAGGTCCATCCACAGTAAGATCCCCTGCTGAAAACGTCTCTTTCAGTCTTGACGCCCCAGACCTCTCCGCCGCCACTTTCTTACGTTTAGCCAGAGGTGATCGCAAGACGTCAGAGCGTAATCCCCCATCCGAAGGTGTAATGCTCCGTAATCGTTTCCTGGTCCTCCTTGGCGTCGACGTTGTACTGCTACGAACATGCGCCACAGAACCGTCAGCAACCTGGCTTCACGCTTGAGAACTTGAGACGTACCTGACAACACTATTCGACTCATCCGTCATACTCTCATCATCACTCCCATTCGCACTTCTAATCCCACTCCGCTCACTCATCCCCTCATCATCGCTCTCATTCATCGCAGCCTCAACCTCATTATTGATATCCTCCCAATCAACCTCATCCAACGCCAATCCTTCTTTATCAGGCCCCGCCCGCCCATCTTCATCCCAATCGTCAGCATCCGGTTCAGGGTCAGAAGATATTTGATGAGCATCTGGAGGTGAGTATGGACTTGCGGGGCCTGCTGTCACGTTGATGGGTTCGGGGTCCATGAGATAAGGCGTCTCGTCTTGTCGGCGCCAGAATGCTATTGAGTCCGTAAACCAGGCGAGCCAGACGATTTTGATGCCGCCTTGTCTGCGCGCTGCGTCCACTTTCACTGTGCCTCGCTGAAGAGATATAAGATATTAATCAGTACACAATGAAAAAGATGTATAGCAGCGACAAGTTGCTGACCTTTGCGGCGACGACGTGTGTTATTCGCTTATTCAACTCGGTATAGCACGTCGCTCCGAAAGCCTCGGCTGTCCTCCAAATCTCGGTCGATTCAGGACGAGTGTCAAGAGGGATGACACTGGAGAACAGTATGTGAACACCTTGGAAGGTTCTCATACGCATTTGAGGGATGATCGTCTACATAAAGACAAAGGAAAAAGTCAGCGAACAATGATCGAATATCATCAATATGAGACGAGGATCAGAAACTGACTCTAACGTCATATGGCACATGACCATGTTCTTTACGCTTCGTGTGCTTCTGCGAGGTTTTCCGCTCTTCCTCCCGAGCATCGTACGATTCATAGAATTGCCTATGGACTTCTTCGAGGATCTGAAGTGAATAGTATCGTCAATGCATCGTACCTTGCAGTGCCTGAGATGTTTATTTACCTCTTGCACGCGAGTAAGTTCCGTGTCATCATTTTTCAACAAGGCCTTCCTGACAACCTTCTCCTTCTTCGGACTCGGACCCGCGGTCGCCGCCGCCGCCGGCAAATTCGAATCTTCACCGTTTACAGGAGGATGAGAACCATTCCCATTGATACCCAGGCCAGAGGGAGGTGAGGTGGCTGCTGCAGCTTCTTCCAGTAAAGCCTCCTGTTTTTTGGCTAATGGCCGCTCTTCCACCTGAGCGTCGAGTGCTTGGTGGTTCCGAATGAGAATTTCACTCTTTCGAATTGCGTCTTCCTCGTCTTCCTGTTCCGAGGGTGTGTTGATAGCGACGACAACGTTCTCTGAGGTCGAGATGACGTCGGTCTCGACATCCTCTGCGACTTCGGGGCTTTCAGCATCTTCTGGTGATATGGGCGCCGGCGGACTGGGAGATATGGGTTCAGGTGGCGATAGCATGGGCGTTAGAGGTTCAAGTTTGGGTAGGAAAGCCGAGTTAATATCACCAATTCCAACGAAGAAGTCGTCTGCATCATATTATCAGGAATGGCAGTGAGACCAACAACACTAAGGAACACGCACAGGGTATAACCTTGACAAGGTTCGGACTCCACTCCCAGACATCGGCTCGATCGTCGATGATAACTACCATAGACTGATCAGACGGAAAGAGTCTCTGCAGACTCTTCTGAGTAAGACCTTTACGGCATGCAAGTCAGAATGGCAAAATGAAATGAAGGCACGTCATACGTACTGCCACTTTCGTCTCGACTTAGAATCCGGCCACCAAAGATTTTGCCTTCTGGGTCAATTGCAGTGCAAACCTCTTCGGCATATGCGCGGGTACCCATCGTATAGACGTGCATCTCGTATTTGGCCGCCATCTTAGTCAGAAACTCCTGCCAACCTGGACTATATCAAAGATTAGACAGAATTGAGGAAGTTGAGACCATTGTACTCACCGGGGCTTGATGTAATACATGCAGCCATCCTGTTCGACGCATTTATCCTTCCCCCTTCTTCGCAGACCTCGAGGGTCGGCTTGGCCGAGGGCCTCAGGGCCTAGCCTGAACTTCTTCACGTCCTTGAGAGCTTCCCAGTTTGGATTCACCTCGTCTTCCTCATCCGATATGGTCCCATCAGACGAAGCATCTCCGTTTTGTGTTGACTCAGCAGATTTCTTCACCTGGCGTGCCTCCCAAGCTTCACCCTCAGAGATCCACTCGCCAACCGTAGGGTCAACTGTGGCGTGAACTATAGTTTGATCGAGATCAACGATGAGGGAAAGCTTCCGTGATTTCAGGAGATACTGGGCCGTCTCTCGTTCGATCCGCTGTGCTTCTTCTAGTGACACGGTAGGACCATTGGCTAAATGTGTCATCTGTATGGACGCTCGTGAAGCGTCGGAGAAGCCAGTGTAATCATAACTAGATAGTAGCACAAGGACATCAGGACGAGCTACGACGCGTAAAAAGAGTGACATACATTGTCATATCCTTGCCGCATTGACAGCAAAGCCCCGCCATTTGAATATCATGCTTGCACGGCTCGCTAACGAGGACGGCAGGCACCTCATGTGCCTTCCGACGGGATATGTGATCACCAGGTTGGAAGTTCCATTTGTCAAGTGTGCCCTCGATGGTGGAGTCCCACGTTCCATAACGGACTTCAGGCAGTGAGTTGGGTGAGAGATGTGTAAATGAGTAGCTCAACAGGCGGGTTCCGCGTTGAATCTTGTCGGCGGGCTGGGCAGCATGGGCAACGATGGTAATGGGATAGGGGAGGTTGAGAGGGAGATGGAGGTTTGTAGGGGTAGGATCTGACATTCGCGCTTGGAGATGATCGCGGTCACTTAAGTTGAGCTCGTCTTCAGAACCGTCTCTGCTTCCGCTTGCCACAGGCGCCCGTCGGCCCGCACCCTGCTGCAAAGTACAATGAAGCACATTCCTATTCACAATCAATGGACACAGTAAACGACATATGAAAATACAAAGTTCAGCCTGTCTAACACATCTATGAAATAATAGAATATTAGCAATGGTCAATGGCAGGCGCTGCTGCGGCAGCTGCTCAAAATCAAAATGAGTCCGGCGTCCATCTCTCGTCGAGTTTTGGGATATCTTCAGCAATTCGAACTTCAAAGGACTCCAACGAATCGAGACTAATGCGAAAGCGCTTCGGGCTTTATCAAATGTAGCCTGTCATCAAACATCCTTGCCAAACATGATCTTGAGGTTTTCAATGCTATCAGTGTTCTTTTCGCCTTTGCCCCCATGGAAGGCCTCTTGCACGATGGCAGTCTTTCTCTTCTGAATCTGTAGAATGCGGCCCTCGATGGTATCGGAGACCTGAAATATCACGTATGTGTTTCGGATGACCTTCAACTATAGAAAGAACTGACTCACAATGAAATGCGTCACGTATACTGTATGCTCCTGTCCAATGCGATGAACTCGATCGATAGCTGAGGGGAAGACATGTCAAAAAAAATTGACGTGCTGCTGTGGGTTCATTGGCTCACCCTGATTTTCGGTTGCAGCATTCCACCAACAATCCATCTAGACAAAAGTCTTTATGTCAGCTGTTCGGTTTAGTGAAAATAAGGAATTCTTACCATGAATACATGATTGGCATTCGTCAGCTACCCAGAGCAATTAGCACGAAATTATTGATGAATGGACGAACACCTACATTCAAGCCAACACCTCCAGCTTTCAAGCTCACTATGAGCACCTTCGCTTCCCGCGACGACGACCTGAACTCAGATATGGCCGCACTGCGTTTCTTCACATCCATCGAGCCGTCAAACCGATACCACGCGAGACGTTCTCGTTCTAACACTGTTCGTATCAGATCCAGGAAAGACGTGAACTGAGAGAAGACGACGGCGCGGAAGCAAGGATCTTGATCTCGCAAACGTCCTGGGTACATTAGTATTGGATCTCCTTAGGATGGTACAATATACTTACTAAGATGTTGCACCAGCGCGTCAAGCTTGGTTGACGAACGGAAGTCGTTCCGTCGTAAGGTCACAGTCTGTGTGGAACCTGTCTCTCCATCTTCCGTCTTCGGCTTCGTACGAACGACTTCGAGCAGGTCTGACTCCTATAGCGGACACACGTCAGCATTGTTGTCAGCTTGTCAACCACCCTTGTTTAGACGTACCTTGACCGGACGAATGGAACACGTTGGACAACGTCCTTCCTCGCCCTTCTCTTCACAGCACTCTAAGAAAGCGACGATGCAATCCTTGCAACTACAAGCAGTACATTAGTAAGCATGGCTGGAATGAAGATATTGTAACTATGAGAACCGACCATTGATGCATGCATTGCGGAATGACCATCGGCGAATCCATCACGTCAAGACATATCGGACATTCTGCTCTGTCTTCTTGACCGAGGCTTGCCAGAACATCCTCAGCAAAGCTACTGCCGTTGTTATTGCCTTCTTCGCTGGTGAACTTCTTGATCAGCTCATCGACATCGATAGGCTCCTCCTTGGAGGATCCAGTCTTCTTATCCTCCGTGGCAGAAAGAACGAGGTTAGGATGAAGGACAGCACGACGTAGCCTAGTCAAATGGTAGATGAATGCGAGTGACATTAATTAGAAGGCACCTGACACTGACCTCATGAGCATAGCCAGGATATGGGTATAGTTCTTGCTAACGAGACCTCTCTCGCTCAATCTGTCGAAATTTCTCTTCGCATCTTTGTAAAGTGAATCATAAATCTTGCGCTCCGAAGGTGAGAATTCTAAATTCTCCACGATAATCTGAGAAAGAGGATGATATCAGCTCGATGCTTGTAATGAAATGAGGGATTTCATTCCTACCTCTTTTGGCGGCAACTCGACAATCCTCTTTCCATCGCTATCTCGCATGGTTTTCTCCCGCCGAAGAAGTACACTTTCGAGGATGATTTGTACCACCTCGATAGCTTTCGGATCCCGAGCGAGGAAGGGAAGAGTGATGAACCTGTTACATGATGCTTTAGTAAGTTTCATTCGTTGAGCAGGAGTGACGTACGATCGGAAGAATGTGAAGTTTGACCAGGGCTCGAACTTCAGGAATTTCCTAATGTCACAAGGGTCAACGAATACAAGAGACAAGGCAACCGTGAATTCACGCTCACAATAACGAGTACAGGTCCTCCAGGCGATTGACAATTGGTGTACCTAGACGGCACGTGAGGATAGAAGGGGGCGCATGCACGACTGGGACTTACCGGTGACTGCCCATCGACGCCTTGCACGAAGTGCATATACCGCTTTTGCCGTTTTACTTTGACGCGACTTGCAATGATGAGCTGTTCGTTTGACGACGTCAATGCTCGAAGGATGCTTCAGGGAAAACATAATACCGAACCTTCGTCAAGCACAACACCTGTCTCGTAGAACAGTTAGACCGACTCAAACCTGATGCAGAAAAGTATGACTCACGCAACCATTCAACTGTGGGGGCATAATTAGATAACTTGCTCAACGTTTGAGATAAACTATTTACTTACTCTCAAACACGGGCGATGATCCCTTTTCGCTCTTCGCATGCTCACTCGCAAGCGTCCCATAACTCGTAATCACCACGTCAACCGCATCATCCCCTTCCACAGCAGCATCCAAATCCAACCGTCCCTGCCCATGCCAAACAAGCACCTTCAGTGTACCATCCTTACTCGACCGGTGCAGTTCTTCTGACCATTGGTTGAGCAAAGAAGTAGGTGCTACGATCAAAGTAACCGAAGGCCCTTTGGTAGACGAGGGACGAGAGGAATTAGATGCAACGCGAAAGGCGCTGTTTAGTTTGAGTTGACGAGGCTTGAGTGAGGGTTTGGATGGAAGGGGTTCTTCAGGATCCCGTGCGGTTTGGATAAGGGCACTCAACATGATGGTTTTGCCCATTCCCACTACGAGCCAGATAAGTTGAAAAGGTAGAGCAAAGTGCAGTGAAAGGTGTGTACATACTCTCTATTCATTTGTCGCAGTCAATCAATCAAAGTCAAACACGCATTCAGAATAATAGTGAGGGATTTACCGTCACTACACTATCGTCAGCATGGACGGCGTCGCGGACGAAAGACAACACGTACGCAAGGATTCCGCCTTTGAATCCCCTCTCGGCTCTCGGGAATTCGAGACTAAGTTCCCCCGAGAACTCATTGAAGTAGAATGGCTTCTCGTCAGCTGTCAGGTCAATTATGCCGTCCGTAGGTTCGAGTGGAATAACATATCTAGCAATGCAAACTATTCACAAATGCTGGTGTGTCACGCGAATGGCCACTCACTCTTTCCACAGTGGATGCATGGACATGGCTTCGCGCGCAGAGACTTCGCCAAGTTCTTGCGAATGCATCCATCTAACATCAACCTCAGCGAAGTAGACACGACATCGATGCATTTAAGACTCACAGTAATGCCTGCTTTTGATATGGTCGGAGTGTTAGTGAGAAAGTCTCTGCGGGTTCCATTTCACCCATCGTCTTGTCGTTCTCTTGTGCCCTTCACAAAGTCAGCAAGAAAGAACAAACATACTCAAGGAGAATTAGAATTCACTTCTTGTAAATGAGGTTCAGCTCGTTCTCTGACAAATCCTCTCCGTCGACTTCGACTTCGATCTCTTCGCCATCCCCGACGATTTCAGTCTTGACGACTTTCTTTCCTTTATTCGCTCTCGATGGCTGGGTTAATAGGGACAGGTCCTCTGTATCCAGTTGGCCGTTCCGATGTTTAGTGGAAGTTGCGCCCCTTCTCGGCTTGAGATTGAGAATGTCGAAGAGCTTCAGCAAAGCACCTTTGCGCTCACGAAGCATTTGCTCTGCCCCTGTCTCTTGACCTTCGTTAAACATTGTTTTAGGTATTTCCTCCTTTGGTTTCTCTAGTGAGCGAAAAGCGGATTCCTTCATGTATACGCGTAGGTTGACTATGATGTCGGTGCCGGAACGCATGTTGTCTGGGCAGTCAATGACCGTGCTTCCACGGAAGTCAACAATGTCTGGGATGCGTAGGTCAGAGTGATGAGTGATTTGCTTTGAGAAGTCTAAACCAACCAAGATCAAGCAGTTTAGATACCCAAGATGCGATGTCCTGAGGAAGTCGGCCAAATTCTGACAGAGAACAAATGAGAATACCATAAAGTAATGCTTTGCCCATGCTCACCGAATCCAGCCTTCTTAGTCAATCGCACAACGGTATTTTCTAACTTCTTGGTCGATTTCGCCGGTTGAGGCTTGAGCATAGTTGCTATGGACAGTTGCTTTTTGCCGCCTTTTGTCTTATTATCCTTGACTTTTGCCTTCCTATCATCTTCTTTCGAAGACAAAGACCGTCTTCCGTCTCGGACGACCCTGATTTCATCGCCAGACTTGATATAGCCTTTGCCACGAACAGTACTCCACGCGTTGCCAACAAGGAAAGAACCGAGATATGCCGACTTGGATTCCTTGGAGTCTACTGCACTATCTGGAGATAGCTTTCGTTTCTTCGCCGGTGGTCCCTCTGTCCCCAACGCAGGAGAGGAACGCGATGATGGTACTCGCGAATTTCCGGGAAGTTTGGATGAGCTAGAGACACTAGATGCACGGCCGTCGACGGTTTCTTTGGTCTTGATATCTACTTCCATAGGAATCTCCTCATTGTTTGCGATCGAGTTCTCAGCCTGAATAGGTGGCTCATCGTCCTCGCTATCCGCGAAAAAGAGCCCGGGACCGCTGTCAGATGAATACGCGCTGGGTTCAGGCGACGAAGTACGGGGTAGTGCCTGCACACCCTCATCATCCGAGTCCGGAAAGAAAAGAGGTTTGACCTGGTCTTCAACCATGTCAAGTCAGTAAAGTCAGTAGCAACCTACTGCTTACTAGACGCGTCCAATGATTCAATGAGCGCTCCAGCCACCGACGCGTACGTGGTCCAAACAGGGCAAAATAAAACACACTGATTCGGTAATCGGCTAGGGTCTATTTCAGCAAAGTCGCTGAACCTGGAGTAGACTTTACTCTTGCTACTCTAGTACAACCAAAATGCAGCGCGGACTACCCATGGTACGTTTAGTTTCCGTTTGGATAGTATGAGACACTGAAGAATTTTACAGCAACCTACAGTTGTCCTCCTAAAGGAGGGCACCGACACCTCTCAAGGCAAACCGCAACTGCTATCCAACATCTCCGCATGTCTCGCGATCGCAGAGACGCTTGCCAGCACCCTTGGACCGCGAGGAATGGACAAGTTGATTATCAACGAACGCGGTGAAGCTCAGATCACCAATGATGGCGCGACGATCCTCAAGCTTTTGGATATTGTTCACCCTGCTGCTCGTACACTTGTTGACATCGCCCGAGCGCAGGATGCCGAGGTTGGAGATGGCACAACGAGTGTGGTTTTGCTTGCGGCACAGATGCTGAAGGAGGTTCGAGGATATATTGAGGAGGGCGTTAGCCCCCACATTATTATGAAGGGTTTCCGCAAGGCTGCTCAGTTGGTACGCTACAGTGATGCATGCATTCGAACGATTCCGTTAACCTTGGCTTATGCAGGCTCTCGAGCGTATCGAAGAGATTCAGATTACCGTGGACAAGTCAAATGCTGAGTACGTGTATTCCCCTTCCTAGGAAAACATTATCCCTTGACCAGTGTTTCTTAGACAATTCCGAGAACTACTCATGAAATGTGCTTCGACTTCAATGTCTTCCAAATTAATCCATTCAGAGAAGCCTTTCTTCTCCAACATGGTTGTCAATGCTGTCATGTGTCTCGATCAGGAAGATCTTGACGAAAACCTTATTGGTGTCAAGAAAATCCCTGGTGGTGGAATGCAAGATTCTCAGCTCATCCGCGGTGTTGCGTTCAAGAAGACTTTCACGTACGCAGGTGCTGAGCAGCAGCCAAAAGCTTTCAAGGACCCTCTCATCCTCAGTTTGAATGTCGAGCTCGAGTTAAAGGCCGAGAAGGATAATGCGGAAGTACGAGTGGAACATGTCGCAGACTATCAGGCGATCGTGGACGCTGAGTGGGAGATTATCTTCCGCAAACTGCAGGCCATTGAGAAGACCGGTGCTAAGGTGGTGCTCAGTAAGCTCCCGATCGGTGATTTGGCCACCCAGTGGTTTGCAGACAGGGATATCTTCTGCGCTGGTCGTGTCCCTAGCGGTGATTTGCAGAGGGTTGTCCAAGCTGTCGGCGGCTCCATTCAATCTACCTGCTCCGACATCAGGCGAGAACATCTCGGCACATGTGGAAGGTTCGAGGAGAGGCAGATTGGCGGCGAGCGATACAACGTATTTGAGGAATGCCCAAAAGCCAGGACGTGCACATTGCTCTTGCGTGGCGGTGCTGAGCAATTCATCGAGGAGGTTGAACGCAGTCTTCACGATGCCATCATGGTCGTGAAGCGGGCTGTGAAGAACGGCGACGTTGTTGCAGGCGGAGGAGCGATCGAGGTACGAGATCTGCTTCCTTTCTTCTCGTCCCTGTCTGATTCTGACAAACACACGCGTCATGATTCGCGTAGATGGATCTTTCTGCACACATTCGCAAACACGCTCTTTCCATCCCTGGCAAACTCCAGCTCGTTATGATTGCGTTTGCCAAGTCTCTCGAGATCATTCCGCGACAAATCTGCGATAACGCTGGAATAGACTCTACCGACATTTTGAACAAGTTGCGTATGAAGCACGCCAACGGAGCCCGGTGGTTCGGCGTAGATGTTGACGGACCGGAAGGCGTCCGGGATAACATGGATGCCTTTGTTTGGGAGCCTAGCTTGGTGAAAGTCAACGCTATCTCTAGCGCCACTGAAGCGGCGTGCCTTATCCTTAGCGTCGACGAGACCGTCCGCAATCCTCAGAGTGAACAGGTACGCTAATTCCTCATCCTCTAAAAAATGTTGCAATGCTCACGGAAACAATCGCTCCTTCATCTTAGCAAAACGCCGGGCCCAGGGCACCTCCCGGTACCGCTGCGCGGGCTATGAGAGGACGGGGACGAGGTTTACCACGGCGGTGATGGTTTGATGGTTGTACATGGCTGAACCGTAGAGTACCGTTTATTTCGAATGAAAGAAGTAGCTAATGCGAATTATTTACTTTGCAAGGCTTGATCGTGATCACGTGTGATCGGCACGTAGATGTTCGCGCTCAATCTGCTATAACGCCATCCTCTGGGTGAACACGCAATAGTCGCCATTGTTTGCGACTCCAAGCGTGGAGGTTATGAATTATTTTTGCATCTCTTGGAAGGTGGATATACCGTTCCGATGATCTTTCAGGTCACTATCTAGTCTTTCGTCACCAGTATAAGAAGCTCGCCATGAGAATCGAGTAAGATCGAAGGACCAGCTACCTGCACCTCCCCCGTCGTTCAGACAGAACTCGGTCTCTTTGTGTTCTTGCTTCTTTTAGGACGCACTGATGTCTACCGTTCTCACGCGCATAGATCCTCAAGGGCGCACTGCCTTGGACGACGTTGATCTCGACCAGAAGGACCTGAAGGATTTCAGTCCCGCTTCCAGCACTGCAGACATCCCTGCTTTAGGCGCTCCCGTTGAGTACAAACGGTCATTATTCTCTTGGGGAGACAAGAAGGATCTCGACGCGATAGCAACGCAACCTTCGGTTTTTGACGATCCCCTCACGCTTGAGGCATACCGTCCTCCCAAGGAGTACGAAAATTCTCACCGCTTCGACCCAAATGCGCGATGGACATGGCGAGAAGAAGCGGTAAGCTTCTTCACAATGCGACTAACCGTACCGTACTTAAGTATCCACCTCATAGCGTATCGTCCGCAAAATAGACTGGCGTATCATGATTTGGGCCTTTATCATGTTCTTCAGCTTGGATTTAGACCGTTCCAACATCTCGCAAGCCAATACCGATGACTTCCTGGAGGATTTGAATCTCACCACTAACGACTTCAACTTGGGGAACACTCTCTTTAAGGTACGTCTTTTTCTTGATGGCATTACTTTTCAGCTAAATTGCTTTATGCAGCTGTGCTTCTTGTCCGCTGAGCTTCCGTCTCAACTTGTCTCCAAAAGGGTCGGTCCAGACATCTGGATTCCCAGTCAGGTAACTATTCATAGCTTTCGTGCTGCTGCACTATACTTATCAGCTGTTAGATGGTTCTGTGGAGTTTCGTTTCCGCTGGTCAATTCTGGCTAAAAGGCAGAGGTTCCTTCTTGGCCACAAGGTACAGCTTGTTCTTCTAGCACGATGACACGACATATTGATGTCGTGCATAGATGTTTGCTAGGATTCATGCAAGGTGGATTCATACCCGACGTCATCTTATACTTGTCCTATTTCTATACCAAGAACGAATGTGAGTTTATGTCTGAGCTGAGCCTACAGTTGTATACTTAGTGATTGGAAATAGTGCCCATTCGGCTTGCGTATTTCTGGATATCCAACTACATGTCAGACATCGTTGGTGCCTTCATGGCAACTGGTATTCTTCGTCTACGAGGGGTTGGAGGCCACGCTGGCTGGAGGTATCTGTTCCTCATAGAAGGCGTTCTGACACTGGTGGTTGGCCTGCTGTCGTTCGTTCTAATGCCGCCTGGTCCAACTCAAACGAAGGCTTGGTATCGACCCAAGGGGTGGTTTACTGAGCGGTGCGCTCCATGCTTTTGATTACCTCCTTCGGAGTCCTGACGAAGGTGTATCACAGGGAAGAGACCATTATGGTCAACAGGGTTCTGCGTGACGACCCCTCCAAATCCGATATGCACAATCGTGAAGGTTTGCAAATCAAGAAAATATGGCAGGTTATTCGGGACTGGAGGATATGGCCCATTTACATCCTCGGTCTCGTTCACATGAGTACGTTCGTCGTCGATTACACTCAACCCCTCATGAATCTAATCTTTCACCAGTTCCCGTCAGCCCTCCACAGACCTATCTGACATTGTCCCTTCGAAATCTCGGATTCGATACCACGATGGCCAACTTGCTCAGTATACCCTCCACCGTACTGGGTATCATCACCCTCCTCATTTTCTGCTACCTTAGCGAGGTTATCGACAGCCGTGTCGGAACATCCGTTCTGCTTCAATTCTGGGCTTTGCCACTGCTCATTGCCCTGTACACATTCACTGAGGACACGTCACAATGGGTTTACTTCGCTGTGGTGACACTCGTTACCGGTTTCCCATACATACACCCAGTGCAGGTCGCTTGGGCTTCCACAAACTCGTACAGCGTTGGCACGAGAACTGTCTCTGCGTCGCTCTACAACATGTTCGTCCAGACTGGTGGTATCATCTCCTCGAACATCTACCGCAAAGACGATAAGCCACTATGTGCGTCCCCCGAATAATGTTTCGAATGACTTCAACTGACTTGCAATGCTTAGACAAACGCGGCAATCGTATTTTGATTGGGATTTGCGTTGCAAATATCTTCATCTACTTCCTCACGTGGGTGTTCTACCGCACACTTAACCAGCGGAGGGAGAGAATCTGGAACGCTATGACGCCGAAGGTACGAACTCATTCACTTCGTCAGTTGGAACTAAGCTAACACATCTCCGTCCCTCAGGAACGCCAAGAATACTTAGACACCACGAAGGACACAGGGAATCAGCGATTGAACTTTAGGTTCTCTTACTAATGAATAGACACGGCCGTAATGATCCCTCCTTACTAGCTAAGGCTCGCAAATTGTATCTGTACCTATCTGCATTTTTTTTTAAATTGGAAAACGCATTCCTACATCGAGACTTGCGAGATCTGGTCGATTGTGCAAGACGACCATACCGTATTCGTCTTCACCATCGCAATTCAACTTCATTTCGTCATACGATCGAGTCATAAAATCACGTCTAGACTTTGGGATGACATGCACGCTAAGATGGGTAGGACACGAGGGCGTTGGACGACAGGCGCAAATACAAGCTCTTCGTTGTCCAGAGTTTCAGCAAATATGTCATATTGATAATTCCCGAAAAGCACGAAAGCCAAACTCGATTATGCAGTGTAGAAATAACATCCGACAGGTAATGCAGTTTAGACCTCAGCGTCAGCATCTGTAGTCTTAACCTCCTGCGCCTTCGGCTCTCTCCTCTTTGCCTTGATCCTCGACCTGCGCTCGCTCTCCTTTATCCTCCGCACACGGTCATTAACGTCAAGGAATCGACCTCCAACATCAACGAACTTCATAGTCGGTCGATTCTCCCGAATGACAAGTTTGACCTTATCAATGACTAGAGTACTTGGTCGAAGACCAAGGAGCTCGGGATCGTTCTTCTGTTCCTCTGACATCTGCCTGTGCTTCTGTGCATAGGCACGAGCGGCATCAAGGGCTTCGGCAACAATAGCGTCCTACACAGTGTATATAAGAGCCGTGGAAATTAGGCGTAGTGAGATTATTAGACATACCTTGCCTTCCGCCACAGGTTCCCAGAACATACGTTGATAGCGGTCACGCGCAGAGTCACTACCTTCAGCTTCGAGCTGTAGGTCGGCCGCGGTGGTGTCCTCTCCAAGTTCGTCGGCACCTCGTGTCAAACTGCGTCTCGTCTGACGATCTTGAGCGACGCCAAGAATTTCTTCCATACCAACCTGGAAGCCGGTCTGCAATTGTTTGCCCTGACAACGAAAAATTTAGGACATTGTGAAATAATATAAACGACCAATAAATGGTCAGATGGGGTTGAAAACAATTGAACCTGATTCTGGGCGATGTAAGGCACCACAGAAGTCTTTCAATTCGCGAATGAAGTAATGCCTCATCACAGCTGTAGATTGAACGCCCTGCAACTCACCTCCTATTATCAACGACGACATCAATGCGATGAGGTTAGTATACTCTATTGATGACACGAGAGGAAATACTATGTACCTGTGGAAGTTAGGTCAGTATGGAATTCAAACAACACAGAAGGATGCGAGGGTGTGAAGGTTCAGAAAGCCATGCATGCATAAATAGTTCTAATCATGTTTAAGTCATAAAGACTAATCGATTTACGTTCATCATAAAAATGGGATGGTGAAAACAAAATTAGAATATGAGACACGAACCTTCTTCCAGTGTTCCTCAAGACCTTTCAATCTCAGGATAGCGTCGACACGTTTGATACTCAGACCGAACCGCTCAGCAAGTGCCCTAACCGAGTTTCCCTCGGGGTTCGCCATATACTGAGTATAGATGAGCGACCGAAGCTCGTCAGACGCAGGCGTCGGAGGTTTAAAGCTTGGATTCAGTGGAAACGGCTGAACAACAGTCAGCAATGCGACCCCATTTAACAATCTACGAGACGGACTCAACTACTTGGCCACCGAGCCAATTGCGTGGTCTGTGAGGTTCCTTGAACTGCTTGCCGGTGGTGTTGAGCCACTGCTCGTAAGGAGGGTCACGAGAAGACCGCTTCTCGTCATCTTCTTGAGGCTCCTCGCGACCATTGAGAAGTTCATCGGCGTTTTCAGGCACGTCCTCGCCTTCAAAGATGTCTGCGCCCTCAAACGAAGGCTCGACAACAATCTCAGCTTTGCATGCTTGGGTGTAAGTAAGATGTCGCCGACTATGGCGAATGATTGAACATGAGGTAGAGGCCCTGGGGAACAGGGACAGGTTGCGCAGAAGAGCAAACATTACAGCAAAACGCTTTCGAAAAATTTGAAGCAATTTCTCTGATAGATCACGTGTGGATTTAGGGCAGGTTGGCCGATCCATGCCGCTGAGAGTGTCTGCAACAGTGTGTTTCCCAAAACGATCATGCTTGAATCGATCATTTCACTTCCACCGTCACTGCTCAATATTCTGGGTGCCTTTGCGTCACTCACGCCTACAAAATATATTGTCTTTCCGCAAGATCTTACATTTGCCGAAATTCATAACTTTCTCCTGAAATTTATCTTACTCAACTCGCACTTCCAGCAGTACCCGCCAGCTTCGCAATATCAGACATCATTCTGGAAATCGGCCGTTGAACATGTGGAAGCCATAACAGATTCTGAGGCATGCATGTTACGCATATTTCACTGAAATTTGGTGATGACTGATATTTCTTTGACTTTGAAGAACGATGAAATTGACTCACAAATATACGATCACTATGTGGACCTCATGTCTATGACATCGTACATCTATATGAATTTGCTTTTCTGGACGTGAACTGACTTATGAAGAACGCAGACCGTTGGCTCGGCCCCTCCTTCACCATCGTATGTGACATACTTCTGGACGACATCTGATGGCGTCAGCCATAGTGCCACCTTGCTGGAATCTCGTACAACAATCGAAGGTGGGACCACTGGTCTGAAGACATGGCCGGCTAGTCTCACCTTGGCGAACTATCTGATTACACATTCTGGTATGATTGCGACAATTTTTTTGACACTTTATCTCATTTTCCGACTGTTTTAGACGTAATCCAGAATAAACGCATCTTGGAGCTCGGATGCGGCATTGGTCTTTTGGGTGTCATTGCAGCGACATTACAAATTCCCGCTTCACCAGAAAAGCCACAGGACGCACAATCCGCCATCTGCCTTACGGATGTTCGAATCGATGTACTTGAACGATGTCAAAGTAACCTCGATCTGCCATGCAGTAAGTTACCTCTATTCTTGGAACTTTAGAAATCACTCATACCCTGATAGATGGGTCCTCACGCCACCCCAATATATCCACTCGGCTTCTAGATTGGAGCGACGCCCTAAATCCGTCAGGTCAAAATGAGCTCCAGCAGGTACTCACGGCAATGAGCCCTGACCTGATCCTGGGAGCAGACGTGGTTCGTTGCGTGGTAGTGTTCTCCCTCAGGTGATCCACTAATATGTATTTGCATAGGTCTTCGATCCAGCGGCCATCCCATCCCTTGTAGCCACCTTATCTATGACATTAAAGCTACCCACGTCAGGGCCCCAAAGCCGGGAAGCTTTAATTGCCTTGACTATTCGTAATCCTGATACTATAGCACTATTCTTAGATTCTGCTCGTATGTCTGTTCTCCGAACTCAATGAACGTCGCCTAACTATTACCGTATGTAGGTCGACAATTGCATGTTGAAGAGCTCGACGTTGCTGATAACAAAAGCGCCTTCTTCGGGATCCCACAAGCAAACAAATCTCACAATGTTAAGATATATCGTCTATGCTACGTGCGATAGTGACTATAATAATGTCATCCCCATGCAAGGATGGCGCCTCCATTAATAATACACTGAGATCCTATGCGCTCCTATTGAATATGACAAAGCGAAGTACGCTATATAATCCCGCCCCGCAACGATGGTATGTACGTTGGGTAACTAAGGGTATCACGGATATAGCACCACCACGTTAAATACTACTGACACTGGTGCTACTGTCCGCCTTGACCGTGCCACAGAAGCGGCAGGTCCAAAACTGGTGAGGATTCCCCTTCTCGCCACAAGTCTGGCAAACCCAACCGGGGGTAGGCTTAGGAGTTTGAGGGCGGATCAGCAAACAAACGGCACACTCCACCGCGAACGCTTCGTTTATTAGAGTGCACCTTGGACAAGTCCAGGGCTCCGCCGGGGGTATAGGCGAATGTGAATGCTTGATAGGACCAAGAGCTACATCTGGAGAAGGGGGAGGAGTAATCAGCTTCTTAGAGGAACGTGGTGGCGGAGCTCGAGAACGGGAACGATTCGAACTTCGCATTGGTGTGGCAAAAGCCTGCGGCCTACGTCCCTCTGTAGGCTGACTTATCGTAATCTGAGATGGTTGAGGTGGCTTAGTCGGTATTGGCATCTTGATAACTTCAACTTCTGTGTCCGAATCCCCGGTAAGGTCGATGACTTTGTCCTCGATGCTCTCCCTTGCTGCTTTGTCGGCTTCACGTTGAGCTTCTTCCCCTGAACCACATGCTTTCTCGTCACGAGCTCGTCGTTCCGCAGCCTATATCGAGCACGTCAGTATGATCAACTCTACGTTTACAGTCAGTAATACTGATACGAACCTCTGCAGCGAGTTCCCTGGGAGACTTTCCTCCATTCGTGATACCGCCGCCAAGTCGTCGGGGGCCGCCTAGGACCTGACTTACCTTTCTTCTCTTCTCCGCAGCCTCGAGCGCTTTGGCGCGGGCTAAGTGAGGAAGTAAGTCGTGAGAGACGTTCTGGCCTAGGCGTTGACCCTTTGAGAAGAACCCTTCGCCGGAATAGCCTGAGCGTTTGAGGACTTCGTATTCTTCTTCAAGACCTGCTAAGTATTTGTAGAACTGCTGATCATGGGGACCGTGCACATTATGCGTTAACTAAATGATAAGTGAGTATTATGATGAGCGGTTTCAGCTGGGAGAGTCATATTTACCTCATGCAGCAGGGTATGGACAAGATCCTCCTCGTCGTAGAACGTATCTGGTGCCCACGCTGGCCTGAGACGTATCAGGATCTTTTGTCCAGAATTCATGTCTAATGAACCATGTGAGTACATCAGGATTCTACCTTCGAAGCGAATCAATGATGTCACTTACTCAGACCTACACGTATACGAGTTAGTACCGTAGTTATTTCTCCTCTTTGCGAGCAAAGGCTCACCTAGTAGATTTGGGCTCTCTGGAAAGAACTCTGCCAATACTGGAAGCACCCAACCATGCTTCCGCATGATAGGCTTCACGAGTGAAGCAAGCCGTTGGAGAAGCGGAAGCGCTTCATCAGCTTTGGGTCGATCCTTCAGATGTGTGAAGGATTTGACAAAGGTATCTAGCATGGATAGAAGAGAAAATGATAAGAGGAAAAGCTATGTGGTTGTACGCGAGAGAAAGAGTGAATGGAACATGTCCATACAAGTCCTGCATGCCCTAAGAACACACAGCCCAGCCTCGCGGTAGCTCTGAATCAGCTGCCTACTTCGAGTTAGGTAGGACGCGTCATGCTGACAAAGCGGGCCCGGCCGTTCGGGTTGCAAAATTTGTAAATGGCAGGTGAGTAAGAACGTTTCTGTCGATTCTGAGTCCTATGGGAATTCAAAGATAAATGTCATTGCTGCTAGGAGCGACAGATATGTGAAGCAAGAGAAATTTTCTCCGCAGTCCTCTATTATGGTACGTGACCAAGTAGGTATACGTATGTGAAGTCCTAAATGCTACGAGGTCGTCAATTCTTCAGATTGGAACGGTAGGAAATCGCTGAAGAAGTGGACCCGATGAGCGATGTCGTTTCGTTAGCTTGGCGTCTTTCAGAAATAGTGGATGAGCCATGCATATCATCGCCCCCGCTTGTATCTTCTACTTTACCATTAGAGGTGGACTTCGTTTCAACGAATCTACCGATCATCTCGACCAGTGGTCGCCGTTGCTCCGCGGTATCGAAGACTTTGGAATGGTCCAGATCTGGATAGTAAAGGATCTCCAGATTGTCCGTCGCCCAACGGAACTCTGGATCCTTGTCCGCCTCTCCAGTCAAGTATCGCCAGACTTCAATCGAGTCGACAATCTGATCCCGTCCGCTCAACACCACACCCACTCGTCTATCTTTCAACTCCTCCTTCCAAAGGACGTTTTCAATCCAGAAGAAATGCCGCGATAAGCACCGTGCAATATCGGGATCGCGGCTTGCGAAGTACCATAGCTGCCATTCGTTTGCAGTTTTTGGTTCTCGATAGAGGAAGTTGAATGCGACCGACGGAAGGTGGAGTAGAAATGTTATAGGATCTATGAACAGCGAGGCTGCGATACGCTTCTGCAATTTGGCGTCCTTAAACATATGGGCTGCAGTGATCGTACCATATGAATGACTCGCAACCACCACGTTCGGGAGTTCATGATAATCCAGTATCTTGGTAATAGCGTCTAACATAGCAAAGCGATCGAGAGGCGGTGGTGACATGCGCATACTGATAGGGAGGTTCTCGATAGCAATGATGCCAACCTCTGGGTCTTCCTTCACGATTTCCAAAAGGAATGGCACGTAAGTCCACAGCCCAATCTACATAATACAATAAGTCATACATATATTCCCTAGGGTAAAAGGGGAAGTAACTTACACCAATGCCGTGCAGAAGGAGAATAGGATGTTTGGTCTTCGAGCGATGTGGACGGTACCAATAGGAGAGACGATCAGTCGGAGCCTTCCTAGCCCAATGAGCCAACACATGTGGAGGGAAGTGGAAATGCCAATCGTGTTGCAGGTATGGTATAAATCCGTTGCACGCAAGAAGAATGGTTGTGTATGTATCTACAATGGAGATGATCTATGGCGTCGTGAGTAATATCAAATCATGCAAGAAGAGAACGACTTACAAGATACCAAATGAAAGGTCTATGTAGCGATACGACGGGGTCCATGGAAACTTTCATGCATCCTACGGATTCATTCCAGCCTGTCTTGAATTTGTGACCCATGAGCTTTTCCATCGCTTGAATATACTGCTCAATCTCATCTTCCCATTCCTCGCGACCGTTGCGATCACTGGAAAACAAGGCCCATAGGAGCCATTCGGCGATGTTGTCTCTGAATATTTCATGAGGCGGGGAAGCGAAAAACCAGCCTGCAGCTTGGTCTGTATCACGAACTCGGGCAAAGCACCTCGAAAAAAGCGCCTTGCGTTCTTCCTCGGATAGGCGGGGAGGATGAACTGCAGCCTGTCAGGGTGCATATTAATATTAGCATTGGTCGCTATGTCTCCGGAAGATGACTTTAAAGGCATGCTTCGTATTACGCCGGTCATGACTAGTCATCGTGAGGTTATCGTACCTTCTGCAAATACCAACTCCTCGGCAAGTACACAAGCAGGTAGAAGGCTGCCTCCACGAAGGCATAGGCAGCTATCCACGGAGATAGAATCCATGTATTAGTATACAAGCATGCAATGAGGTACAAGATGCTCAGAGGAGCGATAAGACGAAGCCCGGTGATACATATTCGAATGAATATGTATTCTGGGACAGAGTGCCCAATCATGAGTAGCTTCCGACGGAAAAGAAGACCGCTAGGAGTGTCTCAACGTCGAATTCCAAACTGCACTGTGTCAGAGTCGTGGTGATGGATGCGGTAAAAGGTATGGAGAAGACTGTTCTTCACTCTCCACCGACTGCATGCCCATGATATTCCTGCAAAGTCGTGGGGTGGTCACAATATGCGTCCGGCGCCGCCTCATATCGGCCCAGAACCACCATATGGGCCCGGATTTAGATCTCCGACGCCGAGGCAGTGGGCATGCCGCAAGCTTCCCGGCCTCCTCTTTCCACACCGTCACACGCGTCGACGACCGCAAGCGAGCACAATGGCGAAAAAGAAGAATAAGCAAGTGCGTTTACTACTACTTAATCACCTCTTGGAAATGAGCTCACCTTGTCTTTTAGATTATCAGGCCATGGTGTTGGTACTGTGAGCGAGAATTTGAAGATGAGAAGGGTGAGCATTGACTATGGCTTCATACAAGGGCGCCGATATTGACAACAAGTGTCCAGTGTTAATGCAGCATCAGAAGGCAAAGCACTTCAAGTGCAATATGTGTCCTAGGCGTCTCAACACTGCTGGAGGTCTCGCAGTTCACATCCAACAAGTACATAAACTGGAACCTGAAAAGTACGTCTTTGTTCTGGTCATATGTTCTTTTACTTACCTGCCCTTTAGTCTTCCCCGCATAGAAAATGCATTGCCAGGCCGTGATGGCTACGAAGTTGAAATCTTTGGAATGGAAGGAATCCCAGCCCCAGATGTAGCTGATTATAAACGTCGTAAGGAGATCGAGTTAGGTCTTAACCCCGGAACCATAACACAGCCTCAGGCCAAGCGACCCAAGATTGACAATCGTCCTCTCTCTGAAGAGGAACTGCGGGCTCAACTTGCAGCCCACAAGGCTTTGATGGGTGCAGCGGAGTCGCATGCTGCACCTACTGCAGAGGCCAGTTCTGGCACTGTGTATGGTGCTCCACAAGCTTATGCCGCTCCGCCAGTTCCTGCAGCAATCTCTCCGCCTGCAATGTCCCCTCATGGAATGCCTCCGATGATGCCAGGTGCGCCTCCTCCGTTTATTCCAGGTGCGATGCCTCCACCGGGCGCTTTCGGTGCGCCTCCGTTCATGCCAGGAATGCCACATCCAGGGTAAGTCTGTTGCAAACATTGTTGGATAAATTGCTCAGCGTATATTCTTGCTTGCAGACCGGGTTATCCACCCATGCCTCCGTTTGCAGGTTCTCCTCCACCTGGTATGCACTTACCACCTCCACCTTTCCCTCCCGGCGTACGCCCTCCTTTCCCCCCTCCTCCAAGTTTCGTCCCAGGCATGGCGCCAGGATTCACGCCTCCTCCTCCCTCGGCAGGCCCTGGCATGATGCGACCTCCCCTAGGTGTGCCACCATCCGCATCCGTGTCTCCTCCACCTCCACCCGCAGGCTTCCTTGGCGGTATTCCTCCGACGATTATGACTCCTCCTCCCAGACCAGCTAACGTGGGTGCTCCTGCTGAGCTGAAGATGCAGAACCCTGCTTTGGCGCAGACGAATCCTGCTTTCAAGAAGGCGACTGATTTGAAGTGGAGTGATCCCAACTTCTCTCCCGTGAGTCACATCGACGTCGATGCTTCTATGTTTTGCTGACAACATTTGCAGGATGAGAGGCGGGCGAACCACCCGAAGTATTACTACCCGAAGGACGTTACGAATCAGCAACTTCCCCGGTCTCAATTCAGCGCCCATGGAACTCAGGGACAAGATGGCCCCCCTACTGTTTCACCTGGGGATGAGCCCCGAGGCAAGAAACGGGCTAGAGCCGAGGACTTTTTATAGCTGGATTAATAAAGGTTTTGTGGGTTTCTTTCCCCGCTTATCTCAATGTATGCAAAGCAGGTTGCCATCTCGTGGTAATGGTGTCGACATTGGGGCGAAGGATCGAGGAATGAGATACAGGGATCATCAGTCCGTCCCATCCATGCCTCCTGTTTTCGTCTTTCAGGTTCATCGTGCTCATCATTCCCTTCTCACATGCGATGTCAGGGCGGTCTGGTTGTCTATCATTGACTTGGTGCGGGAACGTTTCCTTTGTTACCTCTTTTTTTTTTCACCCTTCTCGTGTATCGTTGCTTCCCCGTTGTTTCCGCTACGTGTATAGTTGTATACGGTCAGTGCCTCTTTACTTTACTACAAGCTTATACAGAATAGACAACAAGGTTGGTGACTCGCGCGGTGGTTTACCTACTCATCTAAGTATAGTGCCGAATGAGTTGGATCTGTCAATGTCGCGGTATCATTGTCTCAAGCCGTTGTTACTTGATGTCTTTGTGCGAATGTCGGTTCAACCCTTTTTGATGACTTGACTTCGGACTGACTGTGCACAACGTGCATGAGATAGGCATCGCACCCGCTTCATTATGAAGGCATTCATCTCCTTGTATCGTTCCAACGCGGGCTTATTCAACGATGCGGATGTCGACGTGAGTGTCCGGTACTCTATTGCATTTAGACTGTTATACATTGGATATTATGTTTGATCTCGACGTCTATTCTGCTTCGTTCTGCAAACCAAGCCATGTATTCATCTTCTTCCAAATATCCTCCTGCTCGCCCCTCCATTCTTCTCTCTTGTCCCTTACACAATCTTCACAAAGGCCATGTGCTTTCCAATCTAGATCGATAATAGTCTGTAATGTCTCGATCGGTTTACACAACCCATTGTTTTCCAATGCGGGTTGGATAACCAATGGCATCCATGTTTCCGCAAACACATCTGTACATGCCATGTGATGTGCTGTTGCAACAGTGAATAGTACGGGCGTGAAATGTGCTAAGAGATCATCCAGGAGGTTCTTGGATTTCCGTATCAGCTCTGGCGAAAGACGAGCGATGGTGTCTGACGGTGGAGTAGTCGACACTGTTGATGCATCGTTTGCCGACGTTGCTGTCTGATTACTGTCGGGATCATCATCATCGAGGTGAAGATGTGTTGCAACCCTGTAGTATAGCGCCTTTTGTATCTGTTGGGGGATCCTCTTTAGGCTCAAACACAAACACTCAATCAAGATCCACATACTGGGAAGACATCGTATTGTACAGCCAGACTGAGGGCATCGTCAGGTGCGTCAGGATACTGCACCAGATCCTCTAATCTCTTGGGAAATATATCGAGGAGCTTTCGACGTGCCAGGGCACTGATTGATGAGAAGTCAAGTTCAGACGAGGCTCGAAGGACTGAGGCAACTCGTGTGAATGAGGGGTCCGAAGCCAGGGGTCTTTATAAATAAATTGTGTTCATATGCATATAACCTGCCTGCAGCTGTCCGATCTCACAGATGCGGGATGCGGGAATGCGACGCACATGTCGTGATAAAGGTGCTCTAGAAGTGCTTCAAAATCATTACCGGTGACACCCACGTCGTTCGGGATGACTACGTAGGGTGTCTCATGGTTGTTCTTGTGTGTTCGAGACAATGCAGAGAATCGAGGAGAGAGTCGATCGAGCAGTCCACCGTGTACTTTGTAGGCATTCTCATCGACCTGCACAATCAATGTCCCATCGTTAAGCCAGTATTTCTGACTTTTAGCCGGTGAATTTTGCGATGGTTGCAGGACGCCAAGGAGTCTGTCGTCGTTGTGCATGATGGCGTCGAGTAGAAAGGGTCTGATGGCAAAAGACGATCAGCGCGTAACCTTGATTTGATTTTGTGAAATGAGTGTATCACCAAAACAAGCAACGAGGGCTGCGGTACTCTGCCACTACTTTCCACCAACATGGCCACTCAGCATCCTTGCTTTCCACCCCCATGTCCAAGGGCGGTATATACCCCTTCCTTGGTGTCTCCCACCCATTTGACCCGGACTATAGCTTTGTAACTTCCCCCGTTTTCTCTCCTTTTGTTCTCGCTATACTCCGCCTCACCATTGCATCCTACGCTCTCTTCGTCGTTCTTTTTGCTATCATCTGGGACTCGGTAAGACTCAAAAATGCCGACTCGTATGTTATTTCCTTCCCTGTTTGTTGATCTGTTTTTCATACGCAGCCTGTCTGATATTAGGTACTTCTCCTTCTTCACGGAGCTCTCATACATAGGCCTACTTGCGTATTTCTGGGCTGCAGGGGTGCAGACCCTGGTGTATTCCGTCCGAGGCCGTTACCTGCTACAGAAATGGCCTCGACCGTTGCAGTTCCTGCACACGCTGCTGTACTCTACCATCACGACCTTCCGTCAGTTTCATATTATCGTTCCCCCGACCCACGGGCCCATTGACATGCTTCCTCAGCGATTCTTGTTACCATTGCGTATTGGACACTCCTCTCTTCCTCGAGCAGCTTTGCTACTCGCTTCCGTTGTACGTCGCTGTGCTGCTTTCTATGGAAGAGATAGCTAACAAGCGTTCGTCGTGCTCGGTACTCGGGTTACAGCCTGGCAAAACATATCCATCCATGCCATGAATTCTGGAATGGCCCTGTTCGAGATCTTTTGCACTCATGGAGGCCCGTTACCTTGGATACACCTCCTCTTTGCCGAGATTTTCCTGGCATGCTACCTCGGCGTGGTCTATATCACTCGCGCAACGCAAGGATTCTATAGTACGTCCTGTATCATACCAACGGGGTGTGATGTCATGCTAAAGACAAATGCCTCATAGCCTACGATTTCTTGGACCCTCATTTACAGCATGCAAAGCTCGCTGCATACATCGTCGGCATAGCTGTCGCGCAGATAATCATCTTCACTGTCGTCCATCTCTTGATCAGACTGCGCGAACAGCTCTCGAGACGTCTCTATGTGCCCTCCACGCCGGAGGCTATTGACGAGTGGGAGGAGGTTGATCGACCGAGCTCGCGCGCCGTATGATACACATTTGGGCTGATTGGGCTGGATTTGGACTATTGATCTGGAGGCTTGCGATGCCTGGACCCCTTCTTGTTTGAACTTGGATGGGACTTTCATCTTGGATACCTACCTATACCTGTACTCTGGAATCTAATAGTGTCACAAAATATCATGGGTTCAGCGGCTATATCATGAGAGCAAGTTCATTAAGAGACATGAGGTATATGTTTATAGCTTCTATGAAGCGGAAATGAAGAAACATGGACGAGTGTCGTGTAGTGTCGTCAAGCAGGTAATAAATATAAGAGTGAATGAGCAGGGGGGAAGGAACGTGTTGGTCTAGATGGTAGCGAAGAGGAAATATAGAATATAGTAAAGAGATTGTGTGGTTGTCTCAGTAAAATAATACGGGCGGGGAAAAGGAAGAGAAATATAAAACAGCGGGGCACCAGATATTGGGATGCAAGTTTCCTAGCGGGGGAAGTCCGCACGATAACATAACTGTGGTCGGTGCAGATGCAATGCAGGTCGGCTGGACCTTTCACCCTCTTGAACGAAGGCTTGCCACTCATGGATTGTGCACGACGGCGACCGAAGAAATTCGGACATGAGGAACCTCTATCCTTGCTGAATAGTGGCGATCCAAGGAAGGGAATATTGAACGAAGACTCGACTAGTTCGTGTTCCTCGAACATGACATCGAGAATATCTTGAGGCCAGTTCGTACGTAGGCAGTTGAAACTATACACAAAAAAAACTCAGCTTACACGGAACATATGTAATGTGACTGCAATATTCAAATGATAGGCCCCTCATCAGAAATTACACCCAGGTCGGTTAGAGTCGCTACTATCAGGGTCGCCTGGCTAACGAAGAGCCTAGAGGCAGACGAGGGCGGCATGATTGCCCAGCAGTGCTTTCCTCCCTCGGCATAGGACCAGTAGCCCACGACATCAGTGTTGCATCAGCAGGTGCTGAGCCTGATTTTTTCGCGGGGGTCCATCGTTTTGAATGTGGCGGGAAAATGCAAAACTCACCATTCATAGTCCCATATCATATCCTTAAACGGATTATCGAACTCCCACTCATTAGAAGGCATATCTGTCTTATGAGCTTCCTCCAACAGGAATAGTGCCAGAAGGGCATTCATGTGTCGATAAGCATAAGTACATTTTAAGGACGTCTAGCTGGAAAGGCATAAAGGTTGAAGGCAGGATAACGATGCCTCCGCTTGATGGGGGCGGAAGAGTCCTATAGTCCATACGCCGGTTACCGACTAAGATTCTCTCAGCTTTTTAGCTCATGCCTTGAGGTCGCGGAATCCTCAGGATGTTAGTACGCGAAGATGTTGCCGCTGAAGAGCAGGTCCATCTTTCTTCTCCCATTCGATCGTAATGCCTAGAGCAGAGATTCTTGACCTGTTGTCGTCAGCACTACTAGTGCTGACGAAGATAGGTCAAGATGTCAATGGACTTTTCGGCGGGCTCTTCCGGAGTAACGGGAACAGCGACTTGCATATCTGGAGCCAAAACCAGAGTCGAGGATTTCAGAGATGACCTTACGAGGACAGGGATATATGCCATATTCCTCTATAAGCAGCCTGAGGGCGCCCACACAGGACACAAAATGCTTCTGTGATTGGTACAGAATCTACAGATACAATGCAGAGTGACGAATATTTTGGCACTGGCATGACTTACTGTTTGTACAGACATCTGATGGATGCTTACGTTTCTGGACGCTCATTGGTCAACTCACCCTGCAGAGTTTAAACCTGTCGTCGGATATGTTGACACGGTGCCAAAATGTCGTCCTGTCTGCATGCAGACTCTTCCTAGAAGGCAGACACGGCGTGCCACGCATCCAAGATACTATACTTAGTTGACAGCATACTACTTGGCGCTCTGGATCAAGTTCCTTGGTATGTGACTGCCTGTTCTTCGATCGTAAGTTCAGCACAATCCCATTGCCAAACTCATGCCGTACATCTAATAAATCTATCAGCCCTCCAATTGCGTATTTCTCAGTATATGCAAGCTCCTTCCAGTGGAATTGGCATTGTCACGGCTGATGGCCTGGTTCCAAACTCATCCGTACATACTGTATATGGAAATTGTTGAAGGTCACCAGCCCCAAACACAAAAACTTTGGAAAAGGTCAAGACAAGGGAATGTCCAGATCTCATTGCCCAAATGGCTTTCTAGGACTTTCTGTTAAGATCTGATTTACTTGAATACAAGTGTAATGGAGGATCTTTATCGATACAGTAGGTTGTCCAAGCGTAACAGTGAGTGCGACTGAGCACAGGTCTGAAGTGTTGTTTATGGTCATAACGCATAGACTCCTATTTGCTTTGCTCCGAGAAATAAATCGGTGCCTTACAAGCTAGAAATACGGCCGCGTTGCTTCCGCTCCCGCATCCCTCGGTGAGGGGCTTTCTTAACGTCGCCGCGGTTTATTTTCTCCTAGTGACCCGTTACGTTCTGTATGTCGTCTTTCTACTCCCTTATGTACTCTGATCATAACCAGGGTCTTCAGACGTACCAGCCCAACATGTCATCTGGACCTGTAGCCTGCGATAAATGCGGGGATAAAGTTAAAGACGAGAAATATCTGCAACGCCATGAAGATGAGGTTCATTGTTCAACTGCAGTTGTTCTACTGCCGGATGGCACACACCTCATTGTTCCTCGTGGCGCCAACAGGCGTTTTCAATGCCCTCTCTGTTCCATCACTCTGAAGACCGGCCGGACGCTCAACGTAGGTCTAGAATAGGGTTTTCCCTTTTATTTAATGCAGCTGGCTTACTTGTTCAACAGGGCCACATTGAGAAAAGTTGCTCAGGCGTTACCCACAGTCAAAGGCCCCTGAATCCTGCGCGTTCTCCTGGCAGCGAGGATGATGGTGATGGTCTATACCTACCGGGGGTCCGCAACTCACAGCCAAAGTCGCACAGGAAGAAAAAGAGTAGAAACCGTACATCAGGTAGGAACCCGTGACTGGTCACATCAGTCAGCGATTTATGCATGTCTTTAGATACATATCCTTCCGACAAACCGCATCAGTACCACAATCAAACCGATTCTGCGGCAGCAACAAATGACCAAGTACATCAGCCTTCATTGCGCCCCGCCGCTGTCGAGCTAAATCAAGGCTCGAAGCTTTTTGCTTCCGGGTCTCGCCACGTTGAGCCTCAAACTCAAGCGGCCCCGTTGTCTGCTGTCGATCCCGTCCTGCGTGCCTTCCTGGCGGCCTTGCGCTGTCCGTTGGGACATCATATCGACGCATTTCTCGGATGTGGTATTGATTCAATGATGAAACTGGATATGTTGCCAGCTATGCCAGACGAGCGTAAAATCATCGACGAGGAGCTCAAGAAGGAAGGTGTTACGGTGTTTGAATTGTCAATGCGGAGAAATTGAAATCTATTATTATCTATACCATTCTATTCCATTGCCCTCCCCCTTCCCCTAAACACCAATTACCTCCGTATCATGACGAGCAACGTGCTTTCTGCGTAATTATGAATTTTGCGTAATTATGAAGACGACACTCTAAATCACCATCTGGATATGCAAAAGGCTATTGATTAATGAGGACAGGTTGTAATTCGCGAATATGATCTACGTCACGCATTATTCTTCACCGCTCGTAATGAATCTATTTCCCCTTTTTCGAACCAATCACCAGGAATACAGACAATTCACGCCAGGGCAAGAATCACAATGGGCAATTGCTCGCAACAGTTTAGAGTCACATTCAAGGATGAAACGGAAGTCAACTTCAAGGACCACATTGGTCGACGCCAGAAACGAGGATGCGGCACTATCGAGGAAGGTAGGCCTGCGAAGGTGCCTGCTGTCCAGCGACGGTGCTGGAAAGGCAGAATCAAGGGTCTATGTATATCATGATCATCAAAATTTCCTACGGGCCCATACAAACGCGCCTCGGTCGAAATGGCGAAATCATCCAGAAGGTATGGAGTTGCAAGTTAGGCTTCCATCGAAGCCTCATTTGATTATCTAAACAGCAACATATATGGTCTCAACCGTCAGGGAGGCATTGAGAAGATTTGGAATAACTGCGGTGAGAAGTTCATTAATATCACTAGTCATTTCACAATGAACGTACACTGCGGAACCCAAGAGCAGACAGTACTGGTACGTCGTAATGCCAAAAGATGGCTCTCATGCATATGCTTCATTGTCCCGAAGAATGTCACACTGCGCGGGCAGCTATGAGTCTTCTAGAAACGACCCTCCGAAGGCTGATGTTGTTAAGACTAGTGACATGTCTAGCCGAAACGAACCACGAATGGGTATTCAGCTTCATCCTGTCATACATCCCTTATAGCATTTGCGTGTAGGCAGCTACCCCTCCGGTCGTTCAGAGCACCGCTGACATCAACAGACTGTAAGGACTGTTACAAGGAATAGTCAAATTCACATTGGTGCAGTGGAATGACATATTCGCACCAACCACCTCTGCAGAGGCTATCATTCGGCTGGGAGCTCTAATATGTATTAATATGTCGATATGATTACTGTTTTCAAATGCACGAGGAGGTACCGCTTCACCAAATTGATTCATACTCGTTAATGGGGAGGAATAGCCAGCAACTGCTCAGAGGCTGAAGTCTGTGTATACATCGAGTACAGCAAAGAGGACAGAAAGCTGCGGAGAGAGAGCAAAGAGAGAAGTATCCTGGGATAGGAACGAAAGAGTTTATTGTGGCAGAGACGCCGCAGGGTGGCAGTACCTGTGACCTCTCTCACTCCCTCCGCCTTCTGGACGGCTTCCTCCCACTCCTTTCCTTTTATTTATCCCCAGACGTTCCTTGCTTTGGCCACCTCTCACTGTCTGCCTTTATGGACTCACCGTCCTTGATTGTCATTCCGCCAACTCCGATTCGAGACCACCTTCCACGCACCCCGCATCCGTCACCGACGCCAACCTCTAAATCATCTATACCCGAGTTAACACCATCCACCACCGACAGAGAGAGAAGCTCCTCTGAAACCACGATTGTTACCATCTACTCGATGTATGAAGAAGAGGAGGACGACATTCGCAGCTGGCCTGCATCTGAGGAGGTCGCCGTTGTAGGACACCGACATAAATCATCGAAGGATGTGAACCTTGTTGCTGTGGCTCGTATACCTGACTACCGTCATGATTCATACTTACGACCGGGCTCAAATGGAAGATTCATTGGCGTTACCGATGAGGACAGTGCCTTCTACGATGCCACGTACGGAACGTCCAACACACGGCTGAGTGTCGTTGACAAGCTCGAACTCATGCGGCATTCCGTAGCCTCGGATGCTTCAGTGCAACTTGCATATACTGATAGTCGCCCATCATCCAGTTATGTCCGCAGCTCGACCCTCACAAGCGCCTCGGGAGCACCAGAACACAATGCTCAGCGCAGCAATGCTCTTTCTCAACGCTCGTCGTCTTTCCAGAACAGCAGACCCAATAGTGGATACGACGCCCTGGACACTCATGCAGGAAGACGTAGCCATACTCTGTCTCCAGATCCTCACGCACACAACTCGCCAATAAGCAGATCATCAAGCAGACCAACTTCTTATTGCCAATCTCCTGCATCTTCGCACAGGGACTACAGTACACCGAATGGGCGGGCATCTCTCACCGGCTCTTCCTCTTCGTCTGCATCGAAGTCCCTCCTGACATCCCCATCTTCTCCTCCCGATCAATCGCCGTCAGCTTCACCACCTACCCTGCCTCCCTCTAATTTACCATCACCATCAAATCCTCTGTCTGGACGTCCTGGCTCCAGTCTTTTGCATGTACCTGTTTCTCCTATAACCCCATCGTCTCCGCAAGACCACAGTTCCAATTCGTCTGGCAATTCATCAATTGGACCGTCAGAGGGTGAAGACCCAGATGCATTCCATGTGCGGAGTACCTATGCACAACTAGATCAGCAGGGCGTGAAGGGTGATGGTTATGTTGAAGGTGTGGAGCGAACACGTGCACGAGTAGGAGGTAGTCGGGCGAGTGAGCTGAGAGCTTTAGAGGCACTCGCTGATGAGAATGAAAAGACTCGTGATCTGACAGCTAAAGAGATTGAGACATTGGCAAACCTTGACCGGTAGGAGAGCCTTGAACTGTGTTTTAAAAGTCCTTGCTAACTACTCTCGTCACTTGCAGTTATGGTTTCTTTGTCACAATCTCTCATGATCGACTCATTCTGCTGCCGTCGTCTCCGTTTCTCAAGCCGTTGTCTCGCGTTACACATACTGTCCCAGGATGTACGCCCACTGCTACATCTATAGCCAAATTACCACCTGCGCAGCCTCTTGTCAAGGAGACAGCAAGGATAGCGAAATGGAATTGGATGCTCCAAGTATCATCACGTGACGAAGGTGGAAACATCGACGAGTGGGGAATCAAGCCTTCAAAACTGCGCAAGTTGAGAGCACGGACATTCAAAGGGATTCCGGACTGTTGGCGAAGTGCAGCATGGGAAGTGCTCATGAATCGTTATTCAAGAGCGGGCAAGCAGCAACTCATGCAACTTGCTTCACGATATCGGGCGTCACTGGATCAGCCTTCAACGTACGATGTGCAAATTGACCTAGACGTGCCTAGGACTATCACTGGGCATATCATGTTCCGTACTCGATACGGTCAAGGGTGAGCCGACCGTAGTTCGTGAACCTTTCAGTTGACCAATAAAGACTTTCTTCAGTCAACGGTCGCTCTTTCATGTGCTTCACTCCCTTTCTCTTCACTGCGAAGAATGCGGGTATTGCCAAGGAATGGGACCCATTGCCGCGACACTACTATGTTATTTCTCACCCGAGAAGGCATATGCCAGTCTTGTTCGATTACACGACTCCTACGCCATGCATAGTATCTTCAGTCCAGGGTTCCCTGGCCTTCTTGAAGCGATATACGTGCAAGAACGGATAACGGAGCAAATGATGCCTGCGGTGTATGCCGCATTCAAGAAACATATGATTTCGACGACGTCTTACGCTACGAAATGGTACATTACTCTATTCGCCAACTCGGTACCCTTCCAAACACAGCTCAGGTTGTGGGATGCATTCCTGCTGGAAGGTCCGGATATTTTTGTCATTGTGGCCGTTGCTGTTGTATGGGTCTACAGAGGTGGGTTTTGTATGTTTTACTGTCAAATGACATTGCTCATCGAGTTTCTTACTTTCAGACCATATTACATCGGATTCGGCAAACTTTGAAAGTGTCTTATCCTTGCTATCATCGTTCTTCGTTCCTGAAGATGAAAACGCGCTCCTATCGTGGATAAAGAAGGTAGTTTCAGACAAGAAGCTGCGTTCGAGTATGCAGCAATGGAGACAAGATTGGACTCGACTCGTCTCAAGCGGTCAACATACGCAAGCGCTGCTATGATACCGCTTTCTTCACTTCACTCTCGGGGATTGTTTTTTTCGTTGGTTTTCTGCTGTCCTATAGTCGTTTCTTCTCATCCATTCTCCTCCTCTCAATCATGGCATGGTATCCTATTAGATTGCATTTTTTTTCAATCGCTGCTAATCGTGGTCTTCATTCACACATATTCCTCATTCCTCTCTTGTGCATTTGTGCATCTTGTAGTAGCTGGCATCTCAATTCTCACACGCAATATTCGTCGTCAACAGTCAGTCGATTATCCCTTGTAGTGTGATTCTGCGAACGCCTTCCAAGCCTTGGTCCTCGCCAGGAATTTCAACGGGTACGCTGGGATTTCATACCGGAATTCCAGTATCTCGTCCTCGTGAACCATCGTTACACGGATATTGGCTTTCTTGGACTTCCGCGCTTTGCCATTCTTAGAGGATCGTTTGAACCCAGAAAGGTAAGACCGCTGATGGGTTGGTACAAGGCACTCCATTTTGGGACATGCCCTTGTATTTTACAATCGTCAAAGCAGGACTCCTGCTTCTGTCATGATGGTTTGTCTAGAGTATAAGTATCCGTGGGGATGGCCATCGAGGGGCATCAGGCCTTCGTCCAACAGACAGCCTTAACAACTCCTCATCGGAAGACACCCACTATTCTCAACGCATCGTCATTCACTTGACGAATCTCGCTCCGACAACTCACTCCGTCTTCCTCAGCCCACCCTAATTCGCTCTCAGCAGCACCGTCGTTCATTTGGACGATAATTTACGCCACTCTTAGTGCTTACGTTCGCTCGTAAAGCTCACAAGCTCCCACTCGATCTCTATCATCAGCATGACCTCTTACTACTCGCCACCCTCATCACCCGTATCTGGCTTCTTCCCCACTGGCCCGTCATCACCTCATGCATTCTCATCCTTTCACCAATCACCACGCGACGGTCATGCCATGTATGCCGCTCTAGGCCAGGCATGCAATCCAACGAATCGCTCGGGATCTCAATCCAAGCGTCAGAGCAGTGGGAATCCGTTCAAAAAGCTTGTATCGAGGAAGTGATATCTCGATGATATGATTGGGGATGACGACTGTTACAAGCTGAGGGCAGCGCTTGATGCGCAATGAACGAGACTAGTTGGAGCGAGGCTGTGGAACTTGGAGTTCACACTGGAGGAGATAACATATAGACCAACGCGTTTCTGGGATTACTGGCATAGAGGAATTTGGACCGCAACGACAAACACTATCATTCATGCATTCACTTTATTCATCATTTGATACATACTCCACTTCGTTCACCTTGCACTCCGTGCCCATATCTATCACCACTGTATCCATAGTTTTCCGTTGTTACCTTTGGCTTATCATTGGCCACATCTCTATTGTATTTTTTGAACCGATCAAATTGCTTGCACTACTTATGTTTTCCAATTGAGCTTTGAAGTCGGCGGATGAGATTTATCATCAAGCATACATCCGATGAACTTCATGGCCACACGGTGATCATAGTCACTTTCCTAAAGAAGAACGACACAGGGTGATCGAAGAGTTCGTAAAAGGCATGCAGGTCGCACGAGTGCTATTCGGAGGTAGCGAGGCAACAGCTGCCAGTGAATGATGCTTTGTCCTTCCAAACAGCACGTCCAACTCATGCATGGTCCTATTCTTTCATCTTCACTCTCACGTCGGTCATCTTAGGAATTCCTAGACATTTGTGTGGCCTACGGATGCCATCCAAACCGCTCAAACAAATCTTTGTTTCAGGCAGGCCTGACACGTCCAGCTACCAGACATTAACCCCGCGTACCCCGCATTCACGCTCTGGACGAGCAGAAGAAGGATTCACCGAGGTTGAGCTTGATCAACTCCACGACGATGACCAGCATGAATACCTATCATACCGGCAGCAACAGTCTGAGCCTCTTCTAGCATCTTCAACTGGCTCTGCATTTGGCGCCCCTGCCTACCGCAGCCGTGGTGACGATGAAGGGTCAAAGAAACAATGGTTCAAGCCGCTTCCAACTGTGAAGGGTGCACTGAAAAATGGACCCCTACTGATAGGATCACTACTTGCCCTTTTACTTTTCGCGCTTGTGCTGCTCTCTGTAAAGCGTCCGGATACGCTGGATAGAGTGGTCGGCTATAATGCTCCCGTAGAAGAGGTTGTGGAGGCAGTGTCTCCTCCTGCTCCGTCGCCATCTATTGTGGAGACCGTACCGCCCCCAGGTCATCTCATATCTTATGAGAATTACACCACGTTCCCACTCACTGGTACGCAATACCGCGACGAGTGTGACAAGCTCATGAGTGGATTCATGCACCACACTGGAACTTATTGGTCCGCTCCCAAACATGGCGTCATGGATGTTATTCATCATGACGACGTTACGGACTATCAACTTCCGGAGCACGAACCTACCAGAGTTTGCAGCAAGACCATCACTTATCAGCTCGATGGTCATGTCGGACTGCTGGCTGATCTGTCTCTTATGGCTCAGGTAGCTGGGTTGGCGCGAGAGGTATGTTTTACGCTTGCCAACATGATGACGTTGCTTCAAACGGATGACCTCAGTTCCATGCATACAGCAAAATCGGACGTTCTTCGTAGACGATACGTACTGGAATCGTGGAAAGTACGTTGATCATTTTGCAGGCCCAAGAATGTAGTCTGACTTCCTGATAGATGGATAGACCATTTTCAGGATGTTCGCGCACGGCAACCTGGTCCAGAAGACGGTTGTCGGGGACCTCCCCCAGAAGGTTTGTTCATCAGCACGCCGTCTCTATGAATGGTATTGAATTTCTGTGTCTTGTTCGTAGAATTGGTCGCGTGTCCTCGTCAAGCAAGGTGAGCCTCTTCGACTTATATTTGTCTGATGTGATACTGACACAGGTATCCAGGCATTGGGTGAGTATTCCAGATGTCTCATTTGGAGTCTTTGCCAATAAGTCTCTAGGTCATCAATTCTAGGACGGCCAAATTTCATCTCGGCCACCCTTTCTTGGAAGAGTACCAAGATCCGTATGTCGTCTCACTGATGTTGTTCCGCAATCATGCTTAATTGTTGTAGGTATGGTCATGAGTTAAACAGGATGAAACCGATTCTTGAGCGAGCTCGGGAATCTTTCCAGAAAACGATCCGTCCAAATGCCCACAACGCCGCATTGATTCGTGCTGCTCGGTTAGAGATAGCTTCTGTTCTTTCGCTCCCAGAGCATGAGCGTCCATTAGACGAAGACCCAGTCAACGCAGACCCGGAGACCATTCTGACGAGACACCACCCCGATCCGTACCTCGCAGTCCATATTCGACAGGGGGACAAGATGGCTTCCAATTTCCCACATCGCGGTTCACACATCCCAATAGATGACTTTGTCTCTGCAGTACACGAGACTTGGTCAAGATTATTCGACAACAAGTTGACGTCATCAGACTCGACGCATTTCCCATCCGCTCCTATAGCATACATTGCTTCCGATTCACCGACTGCAGTGGATGAAATCATGAACGCCTTCCCATCATCAGCTGCAATGTTCTCCTTGCAGACCAGTACGAACTCTGACTTACGTTCGCTGGCGCCGCAGCATGAATATGTTCAAAAGGAGTTTAATGAGGAGTCGGAAGAAGAGAGGATCAGGCTTACGAGAGGTATGATCGTTGACTTTGCGCTACTCAGCGGCTTTTGGACTTGGGAAGGAGAGGTTGTACCAGGTGCTACTATCTGCACATTGACGTACGTGCCTGCACGATCTATCCATCATTCGCAGTACTAACTTCCGTGCAGCTCGAGCATATGCAAGAGTATTGCCATTGGACTCGGCTTTGATCGTGCTTTTGGTTTCGGTGACGGAGGAAACCATTACATGGGAGACGTTGATGATGAACACAAACGTTGGGTAGAGTTGGATAATAAGGGACGGGTTAGCCCGGAGTGGGCAGCTTTTGATCTTTTCTAGATTACGTATATATTCGCTTTGCTGTCATTTGCTTTCTCCTGCATACGTTTTTGCGTTTTGGTCATGGACATGATGTATACTATTACAATACGAGGATAGACTGAAGTTGTGGTCACATGGGGAGCTGAACCGCTATGTGAGCAGCACTACCAAGCTAACCAAGATGAGACATGAATCAACGTAGAGTAATTCTGGCAGCAGCGTCGATCTTCCGTTCTTACACCCATTGACAACAATTGCAGTAGACCCAAACCTGAATGCACGGTGCACAGTTTACCACATAATTCCGACAGTCTGAGGCAACTCTCCCCTTCCCATCCACTTGTCATCATGCAAACCTAATCCTCTCGATACCTGACCCGCAATCGCTGGAGTCTGTCCCTTCAGCTCGTAAGAATACGTCCCCGTAACCTTGACAGGGGCTATAATCCGGGATCCGAGGATGCCAACGTTGTCAAAGAACGCAAGGATGGCGGCGTATGTTGTCGTCGCGGGTCCATTAATCGCAGGATACGTGGACTGAGCACGGCCAGCCTTTACATGCGTCATGAATGGTGCATCAAAAAGGGAACCACGCCCCGGATCGAGGGTGATAGGACTAATGATGGGATCGCCGAATGTAAAATCGCTCTGTCCTGGAAAGACGACCACGATGAGAGTGCCGTCAGGTTTGCGAGCCAGCGCCACAAGATCGAGGTAGTCGTTGACGTTAACGTCGGCGAGGAACCATGTCAAGTAATCTTTCGCGAAGAATGCCGACCAAGTGATCAGGAATGATTGGGAATGGACGATTTGTGGGTTGATATTCCCAGTGGAAAAATCGCGAGTGGGGTTGATCATGTCAATGCGCATGTACTCCGGCGAGGAGTAACCAAACTCAGAACCATAGAACACACGGATGATACGGCTACCGCCATCGTCTGTTCCAAATTTGCCGGAGAGAAGGACTTGAGCGGGAAAATTGATGTTCTCCTCGACCATGTTCTGCTTCTGGGTGGCGTAATTCTGAGACCAAGAAGAGAAATACCACTTCGTATTCTTCGCCTTCTGGTCAAAGCCGTAGCCTATGAAGGTGAGGCATGGGTCGTTAGTTTCAATCTGGTATGAAAGCATGAAGCTTGTAAAAAATCATCAGCACTCTAGTATGCGAGAGAAAGGAGTTCGTGCTTACTTGAGGGGAGATATTTCCCACTTCAAATTCTTCTTGGCCGGCGGAGTATTCATGTCCGATTTGATAACCCACAGCTCTATCTTCGATGCCCCACGTGGACCATTTGTCCAATATTTCAACATACCCGTATCCGCCGTGTTGCTGCTGAAATTACCGTATACCGTGTCACCTTCGGTCCAATAACTGTTTCCGTCGTCAACTATAGAGGTCCAGACATCCTCGACTGTGACGGTTTCCGTTTGGTCGTCTTTCGAAATCCTTAGCCCGACATGACGAGCAGAAATGGTACTAGAATTCGGAGGGGTATGGCGACCGACGAGAGAGTAGATGTCATTTTGTACATAGGTGGCCGTGACCCAGACCATGGAGCCGACAATATGGGGAACAGAAACTTGAGACTGAGAACCCATGTTCCAGTACAGCCCATAGTCGCTAGCATCGACAGCGCCATACCGGTTGACATACATATTCTCGTCGTCCGCCTCCCGAAGATGCCAAACGGTGGTGTGGGAAAGGAAAGACATAGTGTAAGGATACATGTTGTTGTTTTCCACTGAGGACGTAATTTGGTTCAAAAGCCTCTGCCATTCGAGAAATGACGGTTTGGAAGAGATACTGCTAGTCTTCGCAGCATCCTGACGGTCGTCAACGCTGGATCGGAACTGAAGGATGCTGGGATTTGAGGCATCCCATTGGAACAGAGGGACGAAGTTCGAAGGGCCAAAGAGATCAGAAAGGATTGGGACCTGTTCAGTCATATCGATGAATTTCCGACGCCATACAACAAAGGGATGAACATACGAGCTTCAGCGCCTTATAGTCTGCCACCTTGGGAATCGTCCCTGTTTGCTTCGTATTCCAGACTTCCAATAATCCGGATTGTGCAGCCTTCAGCGCCTGTAAGAAGTTCCGCGCTGATTTTCCGGACCACAGCTGCTTGTCCCCATAGGCAGCCCAGGAGTCGCCCTCTTGGTTAGAAACCCAAAGGCCGTTTGAGCAGTCTTCGTCATGCATCTTCTGCGCGCAACGATCTGCTGGATAGACATCGACATTTGGTTGCTTGGGGTCCGCTGGGCCATTGCCGAAATATGTCCAGTGAAGTATCCTACGCGGCGCTCGCAGATGGCCCGTAGAAAAGAGATCGGTCAAGAAATGCTGAGCGAATGCTTCCAAGAAGTACGCCTTCTTCAGTTCACCGTATGCATCATTACTTTGAGCATCGTGCGCTTTCTTTGCCTGGCGAAGAGCAGCAGTATGAACAGCGCAATAAGCCTTGATCGCATCCTGTATTCCACTAAGCAAACCAAATCAAAGCTTGGATGAATAGATACTCACTACCCCAAAATGGTCCCAGTTCATCAGGGCAATCCATACGTATCCGAGATTGGTGCATTTAGCATACTTGGTGTCATATTTATCAGCCACAGATTTATAAACCTAGCGAGATAATTAATGTCATTGACAGTAGCATGGGGGTTGGTTGGGTGGGTTTGGGTTGAAGGCAACGTACCTGTGCAGGGTCTTGACCGGATGCAAGGCCATCGAGGACTTCCTTCTCCTGGTCCGCCATAGCTTTCAGTATACAAGCAAGATATCCTCCGTCGTCATTCAATAAAGTATTCACGATCTTCATGGCGAGATCGATGCTGTGTTCCGGATTCGTATCCCAAGAGTCGCTGATTTGCTCGACGTCCCCCGTACCGAGCTTCCAGTTGGCATAGAAGTCTCCTGCTAAGGCAACGACGAGACCATACGAAAGAGACTGAGATCCAATTGCAAAGTTGAATTCTACCCCAGGTATGTTTCCGGAGTCGTAGTATAGCGTTACTTTATTCCCGATAGCTTCCTGTATGAATGCGCAGATTCAGCAAGCTCCGTAAAAGACTGGCTTAAGACTCACATGCTCTCCTGACTCGAAGAACACTACTGTGTCTTTAGATTTATCGTGCGTAGACTCTGAAGCTGAGGATGTGCACATTTCGACAGAACGAAATGGGTTTGCAGGAGCGCAAAGGCGAACACTATCGATATAAATGCTCTAACTTGAACTTGGAGATAATGCTTCACCGAATGCGGTGTGATCAGGATAGAACACCACGGCTTCCATTGCACGTCGAACTGAGGCGATGGTCACCTGTACGTGCATACGACATGGTCAATGGTATAAACTTTCACGTTCACACTCGTGAAGTCTTGGTTCCTGAAATGACCTATTCGTTGATATCATCTGGTATTGCCTGGAGCAAAGCATGTAGGGAAGTGACCCTGAACGTGAGCGTTTGCATTAGTGCAGCGTTGACAGCCGGAGCATTGAACTCGCAGAGGCTCTGAACTACGTCAGTCAGCCACTGCTTTCCGCTTAGGCTTGATTGGTGTACGAGGTTGAAGGATCACCGGTTCCCGAGCGATGTTGATCCCAAGTTCGATCTCTTGGACATTCTACGTCTGTCTCTTCTTCAGTGGAGCATTGGAAGACCCTTCACGCTGTCAGAACACCTGCATATTCCAGGCTATGGCTAGCCTGGCGCTCCCAGATGTGTGAACAAGGCACCCCGTAGCACAGGATCTATCATCATATGAGCAACGGAACCATTAGGTAGCGGTACATAGTGAATGGAACTCCCTTTGCGCAATCACGTCTAGAATGGACACCATCGTACGTAGAGAGAACGTGCGTACGACTCACTTTCAATGTACTCGAATGGCAACGATTCGATAAACAAAAAGGAGCTCATGTTATGTTACCTGAAGCAGAGAAGAATGATACTTAGCTTCTGAGGCTTTGCTACGGTCTTACACGTCAGGAAAGCGCTCTATTATTATCGGACGGCAAATGCCGTTTGAAAGTAGTTTCTCCGTTTATGGTCGACGTTACAGTCTTGAGTTCGGATGGATATCCTGAAGTACAATGCGAGGCTTCGGAGGGTTGCGTTTCTATCTACGTCGCCTGTGAGAGACTACACTAACGTTATCACCTCGGGTCTAGGGATTCACCGGGTCTTCAAATGACTGTCTGCACAGATTGAAGCTTCATGTGAACCGTTACGGTAGTTAGCATTTCTCAATGACATGCCGCGACTACCTGAATGGTGGACGGTGGACCTTGATGTTGCTGGGGAGATAAATGATCTGGTGGATACTTAATGTGATGGTACGTAGTGGTTCTCGGCATCAAGCAAGAGATATTGTACCAGGATTGGAACTGATATCGATTTTGTGTTTGACAGAGACCTACCATGAAGAATGCTCCAGTAATTTCCGTGAGAGGTGCTGTAATGGAGAATGAACGTGTTGTCCTAACTGCACCAGCTGATATTCCAAGATATCGTTCCATGCATCGGGATTATTATCCTCACCCTTGGACGGTTTGAAAATTGGAATAAACACACGCCTGCACGGGTCCAAAGTCTCCGGACGATGGTTAAATACTGGCTTGCTGGCCTCTCATCCACATCCTTCAAACTTGAACACAATGCCTGACTTCTCCTGCAATATCACTATCGAGAACAAACTTAACGTCGACTTGGCTTTCCTAAGCAAAGGAAACGATCATGGCGACTGGGTTACAAACCCGCCCTCGATTATCAGTGCAAACAGTACCGCGAAGTTTGGGACGAAAGACGAATGGGGTAAGTCTTATTTGAGCGGTTGATTATGTGTACCAAACATATTCCAATCAACAGGTCCTTATGGCTCTGATGGCTGGGTCAAATATCGAGTTGGGCTCAACGACGTCAAGGACGACTCTGATAAACCCGTCCTCTACATATCTTTCAATTGTCCGACTGGCAACAATGACAATGAATTCTACATGTCGGTTGATACTGCAGCAAGTATCTTCAGTTTCACCAACACGGATTTTCCGAAGAGGGATCATCCGCTCAATGGTGAGTATTCATAACAGGCTTGATCGACCGTTTGTGAAGAAGACCTTTTTTTTGTAGTCACCGGAACTGTCAACTTTGACACCAACGTCAAGACAACAACTGTGATCACTTCCGTGAAGATACCTAGTCCGAAACTTAACGTGTACAACTCCAATAACGAGTTATACAAGTCCAACAACATGGAGGTCTGGAATAACAGCAACCCCTCTTCGTTCGAAGACGATACTACCGCCAACGTTCCTGGGTCATACCGACCTGTGTCTTTCGATCTTAGGCAGGACAACTATCTCAACGCCATCGTAGATATCGATAATGCACTTGTCGGCGTTCCTTTCTATTTATCTGGCAAACTTGGAACAGACGAGAACGTTGTCTTCAATTCTGATCCTCAATTTTTCAAGTCCACCGGTTCTCGCACCATTTCGATGAAGGTCAAACCGGACTGGTCTACGACAGACTTCCCTTGGGCACTTGTTGGCACCGTAGTGTGGAGACTCGAGATTAGTCCGACGAAGCAAATCTGCCAGCTCAATAGCTCTCGTCTAGAATTCTACGCACTTACCCCAACCCTGCCGAACTTCTTCGCCAACAAAATCAAGGTCGGCGTCCTTCGTGCCATAGTCTTGCCTGCTCGATCGAGTGGTGAGACCGACTGGGTTACGTATTGTATCAAGGCCGCGTTCGGCAAGTACGGTTTCTCGTATTACGACGGAAAGAAAGCCTTCGCCGAAACCTCGAGCGGTGGTAATTTCCAGTTGAGGAGATGGACGAGCTTGATCAATACCGGGACCTATGTCAATTGCTGGGACCAAGCCGGTATTGTTCAGATTGAAATTGGTCTAGGGCTCAACAGTTCCACTCAGTGGAAGTATATGGAGCCTTACGGCTATTTGGTGAAGACGCAGTTGATTGGCATTGGAGAATGTAACAATCCGTTCTGCAAGCGCGACGGCACGCCTGCCGTTATTGGCAATAACGATTCCAAACGCACCCAATTCGGTTCTCACACATTCATCACTGTCTCCTCGAAATCCAACAACGTCGGCGATGCCACTGTCGGTCCACACCTTGCTTCCGAGACACTCCCACAATATGTGGATGCGAGCATTCAGAAGACATCGGACACTACGCTTTACAGCACCACCGGTACTCAGCCAGGCACCGCTGCTAACGCCGGCGATCGACACGGAATCACCTCCATTGACGAATTCGATAGCTCCAGTGGCAGTGCAAGCGCTTCTAGCGCTGCTTTGGCGGTCATGTCTAAAGCAGCCACCACAGGAGTTGGAAGTCCCATTTCGTTCACCAACCTCGACATCGGTCGGATTCATGAGCTATTCTCTCAGAAGATCCACAGGGGAGGTGACGTTCTTTATCACGCACACGATATAAGCCCTACTGGTAGTCACATCGCTTGGGTCTTCGCCACTGAGGGTGGTCCAACCACCGTCGACATTGTTATACGTGATTCTAACGAGGGTGCCAAGAACTACCTTGCTCACCATCTCAACGGATACTCCCAGCCAGTGGATGACATTTTCAAACCCGCCCCCGCTGACATCGCCAAAGGCGATGTTTGTTTTGTTTCAATTACTCACAAGCAATCGGAGATGATATGGATTCGAGGCAACGTGTTTGCGAGCGTTGCCGGTCCAGCAGACATACATACTCTCAACGATAACATCCTGGAGGGAATTGATAAGGTCTTTGTTGCCGGGACGAAGTTGCCTTCAGGTGGGGGAGAATTGATTCAGCAACGACCCACGATCCATGGCATCAATATTCGGAAGAAGGTCAAAGTCGGCCAGGAATTCAGTGCTTACGCTTCCGTAAGACTATTTCCTCTTTTTCGTATGCAACCTCTGACGTGTCCATTTGTCAGGTCTCGAACTCTAATCGCTCCAGGGTATTCAACGGGGCTAACGATATTGTTGTCTTCCTCTCCCAAGACGACAAGACCCACACTTATCGATTCCGAGCGGAAATTCCGGGAACAGAGAAGTTGCTGTTCGCTTTTGCGCATTCGATCACTGGGGTAGTCGTCACGAAGGAAGTGCAGGTGGAGGTGGTTGAGGAATAAGCATTGCAGACTGATTGATATCTCTCGTCGATACTTGTACTTTTAGGCCTTGGTCCATATGCAGATGTCCGAATGTATTTTAGTGTACGCCGCAGAATCCGATCTATGTTGTATAGGAATTTACAGGATTTCTGTTGCTGCTTTGAAGTCATTGGTGCCGTATCCGAATTTCAATCTATCTCCAGATGTCTATTTCGCGAGCATTCCGATAAACCTATAAGAAAGCTTACACCCGCAAGCTAATTGTATTATCTGCACAGGATGGCCATGATACTAAAAGCTGAGATGAATAGAGAGACGGATCACTCTATGAATTGTTCTATAAAGTTAGCGAAGGTAACACGAGGAGGCAATGGCAGTCCCTGATTACCCTCCTCAATTTCCACTTCATGCGCATCCTCTTCAACATTGACAATCGCAGCAGCCTTGAACCTGATATTCATCGCCGATGAACTCGCGTTCCTGATCGTCTGTGCATCTTTCTCTAGGATGCTCCTGCAGTAGTTAAGAGTCAGCTTTCTGATGGGAGAAGTCGCGCTCGATATCGAATTCCTGGATTGTACGAGTCTTGCCAGGTATTCTGCAGACACAAAGTCGCAATGAACAAACTTGAGACGCCAGAGTTGAGGGCAGAGGATTTTCTTCCCAGCAACTTCTTCGGCGGGATGTACGCGGGTGAGTGCTCTTAAAGCGGGTGCACCGACGAAAGTTCGTTGGAGATGAAGTTCGCGCAGGTTGTTTAAATGTTGCAAGACGGCAAGTAAATGTCGATCAGGAAAGAGTGTGTCGGAGATATGTAGCTCACGTATTTCTGGGCAACGCATGATGAACGCTTCGAACGCTTCACCCATACCCGCGAAAAGTTCATATGTCTTTGCTCCTTCCTCGATTTCGACTCTCCATTCTGACTCGCCGAAGCCCGACAATGAGAGACGAGAAAGTCTAGGAGCATCTATGTCTCGCAATAGGTAAGCCAGATCACTCGTCCCCATGTTGAGCAACGACAACGTTGTCAGGTTCGGGAGTGATATACGCATATTGGGCGGTGTATCAGAACAGAAGGGTGAGATCGAGTGAATGTGCAGAACGGTGAGATTCTTGCACAGCAGAGGCAAGCACATGATTCCCTGGTGGTCGGGCGCGACTTGCTGGATGTCGAGATATGTTAGTTGTTGTGGAATCGGCGTAGGATTGGCCGGAACGGGAAGACCACAGCCTCGAACTGTAATAGCATGTAATTCGCGGCAGGCGGAGAAGAGAGTCCAAAAGTCCGGCAGCCCAAAGTCTTCACCTTCGGGCAATAGAATAACCAACCGCCTGGATCGTACAAAATGGAGACTGATACGACGCAAACGAAAAAGGTGACTTGAAAAAAGTACGAGTATTGATGATGTAAAAATCGAGGAATCCGAGTTGATTTCCAGTTCAACGACTCGGTCAAGGTGAGACATTATGTGGGGTAGGAGGTTAGCCATTTTGTCATAGAGACCTGGAGCTAGGACCTCCACATGGATACGTAAGAACAGCGGCACGCCAGCCGACCTTTGGAGCCATCGTGCCAGTGGGCGTTGCTTCTCCCTGGGTGATGCAGCCCTATCAAGGTCATCTTCCTCTATGCACCACTCCTCGGGAACCTTGGCAACCTCGGGCTTAAAGGTGAGGGAGACCTTGGCCCATGCTTGCGGGCACGAGAGAATCACGCGCCTCCAGTGTTTGCAGACGGCTGAAGCCATCCAGGCTCCGTCTTCATCGATAAATGACCATCTGAGGAGAATGTCGGCGAGAAGCTCTTCAGGTAGTCGTTCATTTATGAGAGAGGTCATCGTCTTAATGATTGAACAAGTAGGATTGAACAGATATGAGTATTCATTCAGTACCAAACCCAGCCAGACTAATAGACGCACCTACGCCTAGATACTGAGAAGTGAGCTTAGAAGAACGTGAAGGGTGCCGGTGAGACCGTGAGGTGCGCTTGGAATTGAATTGAAAACAAGTAACGAATGTGACAGGTCGCGTTGGACACTCGTGACTGCGTGACTGCTACCCTCCAGCTTGACACTGGCCCCGTTTTCATCCTTGCATGTTTAGGCAGCTATAGTCCTGAGAACAAATCACACTACGTTCCCATACAGCTGAAGGTCATACACAGTAATCCTGCCAAAGAAATCTGAACTCTCCTGGAATACTAGTCTCAATCTTTGAATACCGTCTTTGACGCGTTCCTCATTGGAAAACTCGAATGTCTGCATTCGGTTTACATCCTCCGGGTATATACTTGTCCATGGCTCCCACTCTACCTTGCCACCATCCGCGCTCTTGCTGGGCACCTCTACCGAACACCGGGTGCCAACAAATCCACCTTGAAAAGTGATCGAGATGCGTTTCGGGACAACTGGCTTGTCAAACGAGATCTGGATATACTGCGGTGTTCCCTAGCGTCTTTCGTCAGGTACAATTCACCTGCATCATACTGCGGGTCTTCGTACCTGTTGGGATGTCCAGCATGTCTCGGGACTTCCATCTGTGAGGAATTTCTTGCCCACACTCTTATCGAGCGTGGAGCTGACTCTGGTGAATACTGGTGAGCATTCGGTCTCCTTCTATTCAATTTTCACCAACTTTATCGTGGCATCCACGGAGAGCAAGGACTGTAACTCGGTTGACATTGCTTATTGAAGTGCAATATCTGGAGTCGATTCTTGTAGTGGTTACAGTCGAGGTCACTGGCGGGCGCTTGACCAAACGTCATCGATCAGTTAAAGCTAGTTGTCGCTCTCTTAGACCTTTCTCCCCAACCATCACCAAGTTGTGCATTCTGGAATGCTAAAAGCACCCGGAAAGCGGGCCCCTCATATATCACGCTTTATTCGACTCATATCTCTCGTTGCTACCCGTTCCTCCACAATGTCGGCAAGTTCAGAGGAAAGAAAAATACCACTGTGGCTGGAGCATTGCCAGAGTTCGCCTACGCACCTCTCCACTGTTTTTGAGACTCTTGCTTCTCGAGAGCATGTTCGAGAAAATGCACGAGCAGCCTCACGACACCAATCTCATCCTTCGCGCACCCATCGCCTGGTGCATTTGCCCTCCACGCTTACAAAAGATCCCGAGAACGTGAACCACTATTCTGTGTCGATCGCTTGGCATCCAAAGTACAAGGACTATAATCGGTACTCAGATGTGGAACCATACGATCGTACTCGCGTCGTTGTTGGACATGGAGGGGCTGAACCATCCGGCAGGTATCTGAACGCTAGCTGGGTGCGGGAGTTATCAGGCGGCAAGTGGTGGATCGCGACCCAAGCACCATTGCCACATACAACACACGCCTATCTCAGCGTTCTCCTTCAACCGATATCGCGACCGCCGCCTGAACTGCACCCTACGTTGTCTGATCACGCGGGTACCAAAACGTGTCGCATTCGTACTGTCGTGCAGCTTACACAGAACTTCGAAAAGGGGATGCGAAAGGCGCATGTCTACTTCCCACCTATTGTCGGAGAGTCGTGGATAATCGAAGCAGAGAAGGGATGCACTGCCCCGAGTGTGAAGGTCGCCCTTCTTAAAGTCAGGAATATTGACGAAGCTCACTGCGTAGAGAGCTTTGTTTCTATTCAACCAGTGTCAGCTACACATCAGGACGAAGGGGAGCTCGTCGTATTCAGGCATTTGCTTTATGGCTCGTGGCCGGACCATGGCGTACCCAAGCATGAAGATCGAGACGCACTGCTCAACTTTGTGTATCTCGTCGATTCTGTCAACCGTGACCTATCCGATCAACCTACAGAGATACCAGAGCATCTCGACCCAGACCCACCAATCATGGTGAACTGTTCTGCTGGGATTGGTCGAACGGGTTCGTTCATCGCCATCTCTTCCCTTCTTCGCACGTACGGATTTCTTCCGCCACCCGCTTCACTACTACATGACTCATCAACTGGACTGCCATCTCTACTTCCTTCACCCTTAGGGCCGCTCTCTGATGAGATCGCGGATGACCTAGTCGCGCAAGAGATTGATGCCTTACGAGAGCAAAGACCTGGTATGGTCCAAAGGCCTGACCAAGTCACACTTATATACGACTTACTTATCACGGCGTTCATTGATGCTATTGCTGGAGAGAAAGCTCAACGACAGTCTTCAAAAGGCACACATTGATGTATTGCTTATCTGCGATGTTGAGCGAGTCCTTTGAATACTATTGGCTTGTGGTTGTGGGCTGGTGCAATATTTAGTTGAGGTTTTTGCTCATTAAGCACGCCATGTCCGAATTTGAAGAATATGTACAGTACATACGCTCGGCTAGCATCGGCTACGCTGAACGACCTCTTCTCTGGCTTTGCGCACATGCCCCACCATCGCCCTCCCGCTTTCCGTGTGTCTGAGAATATGTGACCGTAAACGAAATGTATCACCTCAAAAATATCCTGGTTTTGCGCACAGTTGCTATAGATGATGCAATTCGCTGCCACCAGGTTATTTAAATCGTCCTCGGCTTGTAGACATATCGCTTTAAGTCTGGCTCATTCAACGTTGAGCACAACGGCTTTCGCAGCGCGTTCACGCATTTCCCAACTCGTTTCGCACTTCTCCAGCACAACGAGGAGGAGGATGTCTTTTCCGAGTACCATTGAGGCGTTGAGCTTTTCCAGGACAGGAGGAGTGGAGGTCATGGAGAAGATCACTGTTCCCTTCCCCAAACAGAGTCCCGACAGCATCGTCATAAAGGTGTGCAACATGAATTGCTGCCTGCCTTCTTATATATATTCATTCCAATATATCATTCAGGTCAACTGGGGAGGCGTGAACACTATTGATACGTACTACCGGTCAGTGTAGCCTGCTAATATTGTACAAATTAGTAGCTCATCTTCTCCCACAGCAAGGGGTTGTATCCTGTAAAGGAGTTCCCGGTGTTATCAGGCGTTGAAGCCTCTGGAACCGTCGTGGCGCTCCCTACAGACGATTCGGTCCTGAATGATCCTCGCTACAAGGAGCGCAACCTCAAGATTGGGAGTAGAGTCTCGGTGGTGCGTATGGAAGCGTATCGTCCGAATTGATGATCTCTGAACTCAGTTGTATTCGCAGTATTCCTTGGGTTCTCATGCGCAGTATACTTCTGTTATATGGCACAAGGTCTTCCCTTTACCCGACTCCATTTCCCTCGAGCTTGCCGCCGCCGCCACGCTACAGGGCCTAACTGCCATCACACAAATGACCGAAGCATACAACGTTCAGAAAGGAGACATCATTCTCATCCATACTGTAGCCGGAGGCCTCGGTCTCTTGTTCACGCAATACGCGAAGTCCAGGGGAGCGACTGTCATTGGTACCACTTCGTCGAAGGAGAAAGCAGAACTCGCAAAATCTTTTGGTGCTGATCATGTTATACTCTACCCTGTGGAGAATACCGTCGAGCGAGTTCTGGAAATCACAAACGGTGAGGGTGTACACGCCGTCTATGACGGTGTAGGGAAGGATACGTGAGTTCCTCATAAATGCTTGTCATCACTAACATCTTATTCCTTCCTTAGGTTCATGGACAACTTCAAGCTGGTGAGACGAAAGGGCACTCTTATCAACGTTGGCAACGCCTCTGGACCGGTAGAACCAATCCCACCGTTGAAGTTGGCTGGCAAGAACCTAAAGCTTGTCCGACCTAGGTAAGCCGCATACATACACTTTCATCACCCATGCTGAACCTCCCTTCCAGCATGGCCAACTACATTGTGACACCGGAGGAGTCACAGTACTACACTCAACAACTGTTCCAAGAGCTTGAGAGTGGACGTCTCAAAGTCAAGATCGACGGCGTTTATCCGTTCTCCACAGAGGGTGTTCGGCAAGCGCAAACAGATCTAACGACTCGCGGAGGGAAGGTTGCTGGCAAGTTGCTTATCAAGATCGCTGACGAGTGAAGGAAATGCCCGTGACTACATATTCAAATTCCGAAGCGCGTGTACGATCGGGGGGGGGGGGGGGGGGGGGGCCATGCTGCATTGTTCAATGTACAGTTGCAAGTGTGGATTCTAAATATACGAAGAAGCAGCAAATATCACAACTGACGACGGATATGGTCATAATAACTAGCGTCTCCGTTCATTGCTTTGAACAATCAAACTTACTGCGCAGGCAGATCTAAAGGGAGCCGGGTATTGAGTTTCTCTCTTGAAGCTGAACGACTTGGCATGTGACGCCTAATGAAGAGTGGGAGTGCAGGTGCTTATTACGTCTTGGAATTCGTTAAGTCTAAGGCAGCTTCTCACGACTCTGGTTGTCGACTCCCCTCAAGCTCTTCTTTTTCATCGATATCTCATTGCTCAGGTATCCCTGTTGCTCCTGGTGAAATGTGAGACGACTCATACCTTCACTGTCAACTTTTTGGAATTTAGTCTTACCTTCCTTTACAGGCCCAAAGCCTCGAAAGTGTCATCGAACTATTGCTGTGGGGATTACCACGCATGTCTCAATCATCACCGTAGCGAGGTTCACCAACAGCAGACAACTCTGAGCTATCCTGATTTTGAGCCGGATTTTACTGTCACTGTTCGGCGAGATCGTGTTACCAAACAATTTCATTGCTTGAGATGCGTGGCAGCTTACAAGGATCCAAGAAGTTTACGAGTGTGTTCATCCTACAGTTATTTCCAACTACATTAGAAACATTGCTGATTTTGATTTCATCTTATCAGAGGCATGCTCGGAAGAGTTGTTTAGGTTACTCGTCGCATTTAACTGAGGAGGATACCAATGATGTTGACATTCGGGCTTCACCGTATAGTGGGCCGATTTTGAGATCTCATGAACCCCCGCAGTTCGTGGTCAATTTGTTTGACCCCGCCGGAAGTCTGCTGATAGTTGACCGTATCCAGACCCAAAATCCCAAATGTAACACGTACACAAAGGGCTCAAATCCGATATTATCATAGCCGAGGCCTGTGGGGCCCCATAGAAATCGTCAATTACGTGGGATGCGAAGAGAGAGGTTATGTATACGCGGTCAGGAATGATTATGGCGACAACCTCGCCAATGATCCCCTGTACCTGGAGGGGAAAGTAGGAGATATTGTCAATGTCGATGAAACAAAAATACTTGCATTTCCGAAAGTTGAATCGACGGGAGTGGAAGTCAGAAGTAAGCATGAAAACAATGACGACGTGCGTTTCAGGAGGGCAGAGTCAGAAGAGGAAGTCGAGAGTTTGTGTAAGCCCTCATATCGACGTTCCCAATTACTCATTACATACACATCTCTAGGTCTAGAGACGGTTCTTAATCAGACACCAAGCCACAAGATCGCTCGCTCACGCACCACATCGTCTCTTTCATCCCTTACCGATTTCGAGGAGGAAATTTCGCCCGAGGAGCTGGATGTTGAGCAAGAAGCTGTGAGTTTTTGGACTAACGCTTCTGTTCATTTGGGTTTTGACTTGTTTGATAGCAAACCTCAGACCAAACTCCTATGACGTTGCAGGCGAAGCGAGAGAGGCTCTCTCCGTCGCCTCAGCCCATCATGTCCGGAAGTTCATCCTCGACATTCAATGAGCCAGCCCACGTTCCCAACCCTCCACGGCAGCCTCAGCCTTCCCCACCTAGTCTAACTACGCAGTCTGAGCCAGAAGTGCAAGTATGCCCTGTTGCTGCCTTCCTTCAGAGTGTAAAACCTCTTCAGCCTGCCCTGTTGCCCATTCTTCATGAATTTGGAGTTGTCAATGGTGAAACGCTAGACGCTTTGGCGGCAATGCCAAATCTGTGGGCTGAGGCTGGTGACGAACTCAAGCGGTTGGGCATGAAATCTTTTGAATGGCTTTTAATCAAGAATGCTTTGGAAAAGAGAGCTTCATGTTGAAGCCCGGGTTTGACCTTGCTTTGTATGGTCTCAGCTTTGACACCATACATCACGTATATATCTGTTGAATCTAGAATATCCGAGCCTCAGCCGTGTGTACAGTATAACGGACTTGTATTGTTTACCTAGAATATCCGAGCCTACAGTACAGTCAGATGCTAGGTCTACTATGCTGGCGGGAAAACTACTCACCTCAGCCGTGTGTACAGTATAACGGACTGAGGTGCATCTACGGGGGGAACGCGTATTATAAGACGTGTAGCACGTGATCGTGCTTCTTCGGCTGTTCGCGATGAACGCTCAACAATATCGAGGTTGTGTTTCCTCTTACTTCGTACTGTCAGGATTGCATCTTTGCCTTAAAACTCTGGTCTTTCCCATGTACTGTACCTACACATTCCGAAGTGCTCTGTGTCTTTGTTTCAGTGTTTTTGTTCGTCATGAAGAAACGACAATACATGTGCGCCCACAACTTGCCTAATCCAGCCAATTGCACGCGATGGAAGCGAGGTAATAATAGTGTTGGTACTGTATATGGACCGAAGTTGAGTGTATGCGACCTGCCGTCATGACCCGTCTTCTGCTTCCCATGAGGTTCTCCTCTTCAGCCATCTCCCTCGAGGAAAATGCGAGGAACTTATTAGCGAACTGCCTCCATCTAAGCGTCCGATGGCTTTGATATGTGACTATACCGTCGAGGATGGCTTTAAGTGAGCCTTCTTTCAGCTCTCGACGGTCTTGTATCATGGATCATCATTCCTTTAGAATGGTTTTGCGTAGTCCGGACGATCTTAAGAGGCCAAAGCGCATGGACGATGTCTCCAATCCGCCTTTCACTGCTGGCATTCGTACAAATGCAACCCGCGCTGCATATGATCGGCTCAAACGCTTGAGAGCCTTCAATGCCTCTTTTCGTATTCGTATACCTGCACGCAAGAATGTGGCCCGTCATGGGACTACCTCTGTAGTACTGTCATCCCGATCTGCGTCAGTACTTCAAGTCCCTTCTGCTGACGTCTCAACAGTAAGGCGACGGGCAAGCTCTGCACTGCGATCTGTATTCAAAACATCCTCATATGGGACTGTGTCCGCTACATGGACGGAGAGAACTTCGTTCAATAACAGGTCTCAAGGTGCACTAGTCAAGGTCTCTTTGAGGAATGCAACACAACCATGTGCACGCAAGGCCGAGCGACATCATGGAGCCTTTGGATGTCGTGTTCCTGTGGAAGTTGCTGCAATAAAAGACTTTGAGCTTCCAGCATGGATCGTATCCTCAGTGACACGGAGCCGTCGACGGAAGCGTGTAGAATTATCGCTGAGAAGGATAGCGAATCGAACTTCGATCAGCTCGTCGAATGTTGATATCGACACGAGTGACAATTCGGCAGCTCATGCACCACCATCAGAGGGCACACGATTACCTGCTTCGCCGGTGGGTAATCAAGAGGGAGAATGTGAGGCAAAGCTGCTTCCTGACGTGTCATTTTCGGAGGGCTCGGATGACGAAATTGAAGCCAATGCCGTAGAACTTGAACTCGCCTCGCAGGATGTCAGTGATATGGTAGACGAGTCTCAGACAGTTATCAGGCAACCCAATCAAGAATGCGAATCAGGTGAATATCTTTACCACTGTCCTCACTCCTGGATTTGACATGCTAGCTAACACCGCATTCAATATAAACTTTCCAGTCGCATATTCTTCTTTTGAAGATTCACAATCTCCGGGATCTTCCATTGATAACTTTTCTGGCCCTGCACCATCCATTGCCAGTCGTTCGCCTGACGCAGAGAGGTCGTCATCCCGTCAGCCACGGTTGGATGATTTGCCCAAGTCATCAGGTTCTCCAGACCCTCAGAGAGACTTCTCTCCGTTACATTTGTCTCTCGCGGAGTATGAACGCACTTTGTCCCCCGATATACTCAATGATTCTCTTGTGCTCGCTGGCGCAAATATTGGAAGACCGCCTGCAACCAGTGTCACTATACATCCCTATGGTCCTTCTCCGATAGATCAAGCATTTGCACTCGCTTTCGAAAGTGCGCTAACGTCAAGTGGCTATGCAGTCAATCCCAGCGGTTCACATGTTGAAGGCCCTCCGTTACCACTACCGACCGTAATCCATGAATTATCTCCGAACATGTTCAGCTTGGAGCATGCTCCAAATGTAACTTTTGGCCGTTCGACTGTTGTTACCCACGATACTCTTGCAGATCGATCCGTAGGATCGTCGAATACTGTTGCTCGAAGTCCAACGTCTGTCATTCCTACCACTACCTATTCAATACCCGCTCGCGAAGCAGATCAGCCGACACCTTCACCTTCCCGGTCGCTGTGTGACACACGTTCCCCAGCAACCCCGTCTACGGCACCTCTTGATGCATTCCTCACTAACCTGAGCGAGCCACTCCCACACCTCTTAGGTGTATTCGAGAGTATGGGCTTCAAGAGTGATCATCGCATCGATGTGCTCTCCCTAACACCAGACATCTGGCCTATGGTTGCTGCCGAAATCCAGGCAAAGAGTAACCTATCGGATTGGTCTCTTGTGAAGGAGGGATTGGAAGCGCGTGCGAAAAGGCTAGGGAAAGCACCACAATCGATCTGGACCTAAGCCGGGAGACTGATTAAGACAACTCTTGCAAGACGAACATGGGAAGAGCCCTTATGTACTGCTATGACTTCTCGTTAACGGACAAAGGACTAGAAAGATACGAAGGATGCTAATTGTAAATATTCCACTTTGCATTTATAAAGGCCGTTGTAAAGTAAGTCAGGAGCTATCACTTTCACCCTCATCTCCCCAAGTTGCCATCAGTTGAGTTTCTTTATTTACATGCGTCTAGATTCGCGAAGCATGATATCTTGTTCTATTACTTATATGAAGTGGCGCGTTTCGGGCATGCAACCTGATGCGATACTGTTGTGATTTCTCGATGTTTCGAAGTGCATGCTTCACCTTACATCAATCCTCTCGCTATCGCCTCACCAACTACTCAGTGCGGCTTTAGGTGAGTCTGTAGTGCAATTCTCATGCACATACACTAAGTACTGCCAGTGTAGAACTTGCATCTAAAACATCGCTTTCATCTAGGATGATGCTGCGTCATCCAGAAGCAGCTTGGCTTAACTTGCAACTCCCTATTGGTCAGAGAAGCGTTGGAGAAATGTGCAAGAAATCTGGCGAATACACAGTGGATTCAGCTCTAAGAACGCCGTTGGCTGCGAGAAATCTGGCTGTAGTTTCTTGTTGTACAAACGCATTTTGCACATTGGTGTGACAAGTCATTTCCTCGCCGTCTTATGCAGTGTGCCAACAATAATTACTCTTAGACATACCAATATGATAAGAGCTGCATGTGTGTGTTATATACGAAAGCGAAGAATGAATGGGATATAGGATGTTACAGTATTGTATTTAAGTGGGTATATGTATAGTAGAGATGTAGGGTATATGAAATACAAACAACCGAATCGTCAAGTCGCAAGCCATGTTGTCCCGCACATCACCTCTCACGCCCTGTCGGTCGAACTGGAAGGAGCGGCGTTGGAGGATCCGTGGGTAGAGGCGTAAGGCGCAGTGCTGTTGTAAGCCGTTGAAGATGAAGGTTCATGCGCATCGGCACTGGGGGTACCTGAGGAAGGAGTGTTGGGGGGATTGGGCGGAAGAGGAGGAGATATAGGGTTGGCACCTGCTGGGACTGAACGGCCTCCGGAAATACCTATTGGCAAAGGAAGGCCTCCGAGGACACCTGTTGGCAAGGGAAGGCTTCCGAGGACACCTGATGGCAAAGGAAGGCCTCCAAGAACACCTGTCGGCAAAGGAAGGCTTCCGAGGATACCTGTCGGCAAAGGGGGGCTTGAGGGAGGTCCATCTGGCGCTGTAGGTTCTGCGGCTTCTGCAGCGTATGACGACGCCGGGTAGTCGGCATGATGAGAGTAGTGAGGGACATCGGACGAGCTTGGATTTGCAGATTCCGTGGACGATGTAGATGTCGTGGCCTCACGGTCGTTCAATGCGAAAGCAGCGCGAGCATTAGCTGGGGCGCCAGCTCCCGGAAGAGGTAGCGGGAGGGGAAGCGGAAGCGGGAGACTGCCTGCCACCTTGCTGACTGCCTGTTTGATCGCTGAGAGCTGGTCGGCATTGAGAGAAGAGGACTTTGCAGTCGCAGCACCCTTGGGTGCGAGACCGAGAGCATCGAGGACACCCAGGACGATCGGTTCAACCGCGGGTCCAACAATTGGAATCGACTTAATCGTAGCATCAATGTCAATTCCTCGGCGTTCCGCTGAGAAAAATAAATGTTAGGAATGTTAAGGACATGTATCATAATGCGTGGGGAAGAGTTACCGGATGGACCTCCTAGGTCACCTGCAGCGAGGATCGGGTCAGCGATGGACGTAAGAGCGCTGGCACCAAAGTCGCCGCTACCGTCGGCCGGAGCAGCCAACACCGACAGCGAGCCAGAACTGGCAAGCGTTGCGAGGATAAGGGAGGAGTTGGATGAAAGTTTCATAATGTGTGGTAGTAATGTGGATTAGAAGGGCAAAGACAGCAAATAGACAACGAGATGGTAGTGGTAGGGGGGAGAGAGGTGGGGATTGGAGAAGCGGGAGGCGGCGGGCTTTTATGAAAGTCGGACGTGCTTCTTTTCGGAGACTGCCTCGAGAGGTTGACTGCGACTTTGCTGCCAGCCGTCACGCCTGGACTCATTCCCATCCCGCCGGGTCTTTCCATATACCACCATTGAGAACACGCCTTCGAAGCTACAACACAATATTAAGTTCGAACTTACATCCGAAGAAACTAGCGATGTGGCTTGCAGAGTGAACGACGTCGGCAAACGCGTTGAGAAGGAACCGAACCTCCACTGCGACGCGTCGAGTCGCGTTGCGTCACGCGTTCGCGGCTTCCTCGTTGGCGCCGTGGAACGAATTGCATTTTCAGACCAAGCCTCGAAATTCGACTCACGTTTGCTCTCCACTCGCTCTCCCTCTCCCTGATCCAAATTACACACTTGTGCACAGTTTATCAGTACGGTACATAGCTATCGTACGATGTCGCTCCATTGTTCTACTCATTAAGTTTGGCTGATCCCACGGATGTTTTTCAGGACTCGCCTATCTTCATGATGGCACGCTTCTGGAAGCTCCTTCTTATGACAAGTCATATGCAAGCTGTCTGCGTCGACCTGTGCTATATCTAGTTGCACATCTCGACCTCTTGAGATGCAACTCGGGGTGTGAGACGCCGAATCCCTCAAACAAGCACGATCACGAACGGTGATAGTAAGTAGCGCCTGGGTATTGCAATCATGTCGAACCCTCCGTTCAGGCATCTTTCCGAGTATGTTCTCTTTCTAGGGATGTCTATAGGACTGCTCAAGCTTTAACACCTTACAGTGAACAGATCGCTGAGATCACACCAGGTCCCGGGGCCTGCCCATGCTGCAACAAGAATTATACCACATTGAGGCCACACTACAAAAATCTACACAATCTCCAAACAACTATAGTCTTCCATGGAGACGTTTCTGAACGAACCATCTATAGAGACGCGTTTACTGGCAAGTTTCATTGTCCACGATGTGGCTCGACCCGTAGATCCACCAGCACCATTCGGAGTCACACTTTAACGTGTACCATGGCTCGACCCATGACTATTTATGTCCCTTCGAATCAGCCTTACGCACCAATCGCAGCTGGCTCCCCACGTCCTGCACCACGTAGGTATGTGTTGATTGGTTGCTTGTATGCATTTGCCATTCTGAATGGCGGGCTCCACGATTTGAACAGTGTTGTACAACACGATCAAGTGTACCAACCCCTTCAACAACTTCCGGAAACAGATCTATCTCGCTTTGTGCCTTTACCGGTTATTCAATCATATATTCCTCCTCCGCCCACCAGTAAAGTCGACCCTTTTACACATCGGGAAGTTATTGATCTGACTGGTGAGGATGACGACGAAGGGAATGCAGGAATACCTCCGAAGCCTATTTCTTCGTCATCTGCACCAGTGCTCATACCTGCTCGTGATGGGCGGCCCTCGTATGAACTGGAATCGCTTGATGGTCTTGAACTAGTATACCCTGACTCAGATGAACTTGATGAAGACGATAGTCGCCATGCGCACCCTTCCTCAGCGACGATGGCTTCTGGTTTGACCCGGGACAGCCCTTCATCTGCAAAACCGCCTATTCCTCTACAGAAACCACCCCGGATGAGCCCATTCGTCTCTCGCGATAGCGTCTATGCTACATCCGAACATTCCTCAATCTCAAGCAATGACCCCCCGCACATGGCTCACCTCGGACCGCCAACAGCTGAGAGCTCACTTCCGAAGTCCACACTTGCACCCATCTCCATTACTAGCAAATTTCGCTTTTCTTGGGCACAACGGCTATGTCTCGACAATGCATTGTCCCTATTCGGTCTCTACGATACTAATGACATGGATATCTTGTGTTCCTTGGATCCTAGTGATGAGTGGATCAGCCTTAGGAATTTTCTCCTGAAGAATGGTCAGCTTCAGGTCCCGACCGTCTTATGGATGACTCTCCGCAAAGCGATGTTAGCTCGTCGAATGGGTGTCCTTTCCCGATCCCTCGCCTCTGTCGACCCACCTCTTACTTCCTGGCAACAGTCACACAACAGCGACGGATCACGCCCATCTGCGTTAGAAACCTTCTCACAAACACTTCGGAACCCCTTGGGAAAGTACTCTGAGGTACTAGTGAAATGCGGGATTGAGAGTGCTGAAGCCTTGGATATGATCAGTACATCGTGCGATGATTGGGATATATTGAGACAAGAGCTCATCGGTCATGGGATGTCGGAGTTTGGTTGGCTATTGGTGAAGGATGGGCTCAAGAGGTGGTCTAATCGCACTTCGAAGACGACCACAAAGCACACTTGACGCACTGGTTATGATCTCTGTCACTCTTGTATATTATTGTATTCTTGCGAGCTTGGGGTGTCATATTGGATATCTCTATTGGTAAAATCCTCTAGGGCTCTCACTGTATCCTTCCAATCATTATACTTAGAACACTTATGTGCCGACTTGATTACCTTCCACGACACTCAACTGGCAACCAGAGTACCATCAAGGGCCCACATCTTTCATGAACGATCCCACGATAAAACCACATCCGAGGAGATACAACATCTACAACGCAATCGCCTGGGTTAATCGTACGCCATAAGCAGACAAACTAGTGTAATCGCAATTGTAATCGCATACATTGGGTATCAGGCGGGTCATCGTGCATTCATTCCAAAGTAACAAAATGCACACGGCAGCACTTCTTTGAACCGCATGCCATGTGGGATTCAGTGAGAACATATGTCACTCATCCCGCTCTTCCACGACCTCTGTACTCCATCTCATAGTCAACATCGTCCCAGTTGCGTCTACGACGCCATTGCTGTTGTGGCGTGCTCCCTGACTGCGCACTGAGGACAAGAGAGTCCCAAAGGTCAGACAGAAACTCGCGAAGAGACCTGCCCATGCACGAGGATAAGATACACCATCCTAACGCCGCAAACCTGAGAAAAAAGGGGTAAGGTTAACGAAACATGGAGTTGCAGGAGGATTGGAACACACTATTTACAGAAGCAATGATAGGATGACGAAAAGAGGGAACAGATCCCTAACCGCGTTGTTCTCCATTCGAACCCCAAAATAGAGTTGTTCCGTGTTGGGACTCCCTTGAGAACGACCTCACAGCTGACACAAAGATCTCGTCAATCACAACGTTTGAGCGAGTCTAACGACAAAGTGGTTGAGATTGGAAGGGAGTTCAGGGCCTTATACGGGGTATGAGAGAACCACTATCTTATCAGATATACCAGGCCCGTGAGATCGATCTGGCCCGCCGGCTTTAAGCGCAGACGGGCACCAAAGCGTTGGGTCTATCTGCGCCTACAGAGTCGCTTTGACTGGCTGTTCAAAATAGCATCGACAATGAGAGAACCACAGCGAAGAGATGCATTGAAAGAGTGAGATGTAGTCCCAAGCCCTGCAAAGGCTTGGCACTGTGGCTACGGCCGAATGATGAGGTGATAACTGGAGAATTTGAGTCTCCGCCAGGACCTGCTAGGCGCAGGGAAGCACAGTTTGCACCCCCCAACTCTGTTGCTTGACTCCCCACCTTGTTTCTGTGCGACATCGCAGGGTATCGTCCAGCGTCGGTGGCAGTATTCTCAGAGGTGAGGGAAAAGATCAGCCGTTGTACTTACTGAGATTTGAACTGAGATGGAGCCAACACAGCGGAAGCAGACCCAAAACAAAGGAACTGGTTCCTCGAGGTATGGTTACCACTCCCTCGGCTCCTTCATACAAATCTCTCACTCCAGTACTTTATTGATGCGCCTCCTCCTACATACATTAGTTCTCAGGCTATTAATTTCTTAAACTCATGGTCATCGTTGAAGAAACGGAAGACCATACCTTGGCATCGCGCTCAACACCTTGCAACACGATGTCGTCGTCTGGAGTGAGTTGAAACTCACTCGCCATGTGCTCCACGTTCTAACTCCTTCACAGAAAACCGATGCAACGGTACATGTCCACAATGTTACTCAGACAGACATCGAGCGAGCAACAGCCTATTCGCCCACTACACTGTCTGCCGAAGCCCCTGACCCCTTCAGTTTACGAAATGGAGTGAAGACTGAAGATGAATTGTCCCAGCTACGCCAACGTCGGAAGAACCTAGAAAATTTCCACCGCAGACAGAACAATGTGAGTCCCGATCGACACCGTCAGCAGGTATATCTTATTGATGAGAACGTATTACAGCTCATATCATACGTCCTGACACCTATGGATGAACATACGGAGCAAGCCAAAGTAGAAACAGAGGCTTCCCGACTACCTGTTCGTGTTTCAACCCAACCGGCTGCTTGAATTGCCAGCTAAACCATTCGCGTTCTTTAGGTCAAAATTGCTGTATGGACCAGTCTTATTGCTAATTTTGCTTTGTGTGTTCTACAACGTAGGAGTTTGGTTTATGATGCAGAAATATAGCTGACAACTTGCAGTCTACGCGGCCGTCTCATCATTGTCTCTCTCTTTGCTTGCTACCGGCATCGATTCCGTGTTCGATATTGGAAGCAATATTCTGTTATTTTGGCTGCACAAAAAGGCCTCCCGTCTTGACTTGAAGAAATGGCCTGTCGGCGGATCACGTCTCGAAACTATTGGAAATATTGTCTATGGTACGTCACACGTTCACTCAACTATCGTACTGACTCTGAACGCGATTGAACCGCTAGGCTTTCTGTACGTATCCACTATTTGACTAAAGGCCCCGGACTTAAATTTGTTCGTTTGAAGCATGGGCTCCGTCAACCTCGTCGTCATAGTCGAGTCTGCGAGGACCCTCATCACGCGCGAGAGCGACGAGGATGTGAATGCACTACATGTCCCCTCTCTGATAGTCGTCGGAGCCGCTCTCGGCAAGTTCTATTACACCCCAATGCTCGCTTCTTAACTTGACACAAATTTAGGTGTCAAACTTTTGTTGTTCTTGTACTCTTACACTCTGCGAAAACATTCCAGTCAAGTCCAAGTGCTTTGGGAAGACCACCGAAACGACTTGTTTATCAATGGCTTCGGTGAGTTCAAGATCAACGGCGGGAGCATGAATTGTCCTAACGCCCGTCCAGGTCTTCTCATGTCTGCAGGTGGTAGCAAAATACGATGGTGTACGTCTTGAACTCTTGATTATCTTTCGTGTGGGATCTTAACGTTATTGGACAGACCTGGATCCGATGGGAGCAATCATTGTAAGTCTTTTGAATCTAGTCTCTCTCAAGTTCGAAAATATCCTTACATATCATGCTGCGAAGATCGCCCTGGGAGTCATCCTTTCTTGGACACGAACTGTTTACAAACAGTTCGAACTCCTCGCTGGAAAGTCTGCGCCGCACGAGTTCTTGCAACTCATCATATACAACGCTACAACATTCAGCAACGAGATCGGCGGTGTTGACACCGTTCGAGCGTACCATGTCAGTGTTTTATAGCTCTTCCACTTGCATGCATATATTGATGATATTTTTTACGATAGAGTGGACCCGTATGCGTATTCCCCGATTTTTGATTACGGATATTCAACCTTTCATTCTTAGGATTACTTCGTCGAAGTGGACATCGTCATGGATGCCAGCACGCCGTTGTGGAAAGCTCACGACATCAGTCAACAGCTACAGGACAAGATCGAGGTTCTCCCCAACGTCGACAGAGCCTTCGTTCATGTTGATCACGAAACGACTCATGTTCCCGTACGTTACTCCTTTATGAAGGGTTGTTCATTGCTCATTGCTCACGACATGATTTCGTGGATTGATGAAACAGGAACATCGAAAGTACATCTAATCAATGCTATAACGAGGAATGAAGAACGAAAACAACCGCGAGACCTTTCATGCAACATTCAAGTTCTGCTGCCTTTCAAACTATCTTATACGAAGAGTTACTATAAGCATAGTATACCCTAGTCACGCCATCTACCATCACAATATGTAAAACGTATCGCGCAGTGCAGTTTACGACCTGACGATATATCTTTCAATCTTCCAATTTCCATTGACGTATCCGTTCGATCCCTTGGTCATATTCCGTAAGAAGATCAAGGCTAGGCGAGGTTTGCAACTTTGGGTATTGCGGTAAGGGGTACATGGGTCCTCCGGCATAAATGTTTGGGGCAGCAGTAGACGCAGCACAGTTACGGATACGCGGTTCGGACTTCGCCCATCCCTCAATGCTGTGAACGATATGCCTAGTGAGCTGCATCTGCCATGCGTGACAAGAAGAGATACACACCACTTTCGTATTTTGGAGTGCCAGATGGTGAAGTGAGACGCGATGACATCCTGGATTGAAGTAATTGAAGTTTGGAAATAACTGCATATGACAGAAGACCACGTTGCACTTACAGCCCACATGCCGTTTCCATGTTCGTCCTTGAGCCATTCCACAATTGCCCATCGTGTGGTATGAAACGTGATGTCCTTGTTGTATGCAATGCTCCGAGGATCACTTGCATTAGCCTGCCCAAAACCAGGTCTGCAATAGAAGACGATCAATGAAAGGAAACTTGACTCATATGGAGAAACCGAACGTACTCGTTGAAGAAAGGTAACTCGATGAGAATCATGCTTTGAATGGATACTAGAACTTGCAATAATGTGGACTTTGGCGACCACATCTCTTCCGGTCTTAACAAAACATCAGTAAGCCCATGCTCAATTGCAAACAATATTGCGTGACACTTGCCGACCTGCCCATGTCCCCAGCAAAGACAAGCACACCTTGCCACAGTTATAAAGGTTGGGGTTAAAACGTACCCTTCCGCCTCCAGTTGTACACAGATTCATCTTTGGCGGCGAATGCGGATACTCGAGTGGAATGAAGCAATCGAACTCGAACAGGCCACCTGCGTAAGGTGTCCCTTCTGGACCTGCAATCATGACCTTTCTAAAACAAAGTAAACGCGAATGAGGAACAAGTTCGTCAATCAGATGATGCTGGAACATACATTGCATCGTTTCGAACTTCATGCGGTCGCACCCAAATCCCGGTAGGTAGACTGGTGGCCATGACGGCTAGTTCTTTGATCAAGTGTAGACGGTTCTTGGGGTTTCTAGTAGCATTAGCGGTCTGCTGGAGTTCTCTCGCGTAGTGGAAACCAGGGAAGCTTGGACTGTTCGGCAGCGAGACATACTTGAATGCTAGATGTTCACAGGCCTTGGCGTATTTGCGCTCTAGCTCAATCATAGGGTCGATACCTTTGCCCTTGCGATCTGAGGATGACATACGCTCATTGTGGAGAGTTGATGGATCTTTGCCCATTACTTTCATGGCGCGTTCGATACCGTCGCGTGCAGTTATGATGTCTCCACAAAGCGAGGTTGCTTTGACCATAGTTTCAGTGTCTTCGCCTTCGGCATGGTCACCGTCCTCAAGCATACGAGATGCGCCTGTGAGGAAGGTTTCGGATTGCTTTGTGAGTTTCTGAAAATGCGAGTAGAGTGGCGGCGTCTTGATTAGACGTCCATCAGACCTCTCCCAGACGATGTCGCCGTCCTGCCACATCCATTCTTCGAGCCCGCAGCTTTTCTTCATCTCGAATCTAGTATTAACAAGAGCCTAGAAATAATCATGTTTTAACGAGACTACGATTCCGTCTGAGAAGAAACAGACCTGCAGAGTCAACTCGTAATCAGCCATTCGCCTCAACAATGCAAGCATGCTTTGGTACAGATCACTACGAGCTATCCAGTCGGTCACAGAATCGTTGCGCAGCAGTCTGCCAAGAAGGTCAGGTAGTTGCGACAGGGATATCAGCGCCGCTATGGACGGATGGGGAAGTATGTCATATTCTTTCTCAGAATCCGAGTACGGCGACGGAAGGAAGAAGGTCACAGTTGACAGTGCTCGCACAAGCAATTCGTCCCAATGTGCTGCCAATGCGTCTGTATTATTGCGGGAAGTTAGGCTGCTGGAAGACTTTCCACGACCCTTACGGCCGCTGTCATAATTATAGCCACGGGAGCCCATTGAGTATCCAGTGCCTCCGGGGCCAACAGTTCCCGAGGATTTCTTTCGCTTTGCTGTTGCTTCCTTCGCGCGTGCTTCTGCAGTAGCTTGTTCGCCGAGATACAGACGATCAAAGCCACCGAGGGCTTCGAAAAGCGCAACGGCGCGAATTTCCGCACAACAAGTTATGGCAGGGCAATGAGAGTCCTTTTCTTTTCCTTTCCCTTTGCAAGAAGGTGAACAGGAGATAGCAGAGAAGCAGCCACGACAATGATTTGTTTTACACGATGTGCACACGGCATGCAGGAGAAAAAGTAAACTGGGCGGCGGAACTTGGGGTGAATATGTCACCTGTACGGAGTAAGGGTTAAGTTCAATACATCGAGGTGTTCTATAGAGATGTGGAGGTCGTCGAAAGACGTACGTGTCCGCGAGGAGACTCGACGTCTTTACCGCATTTTGTACATTGTCTAATCCGCACAAAGACCTCTCGATGTTGCTCCAGTTCTACATCTGCAGAATCTACAGCATCTTCTGGAGGACCCTGTGAAGCACGTCCAGATGGACTTGCGCTGGTTATTCCGATTGAGGAACCTGACTTTACTTGGTCTTGCAGTGAACTGGGGGAAGCAGTTGGTACATCCAAGACTATAATGTCGTCATCTTGTTCATTCCATTCGCTCGCCAGACGTCTTGCCAGAGCCTCATCGCTTTCGTATGAATCGTCGACCGAAATAACGTCTCGCCTTGATGATCCAGAACCTTCCCCATTGCTTGAGTCGTTCCATTGCTGGTGTAGCTGTCTCGCAAGCTGTTCACTCTGCTCTTGCTCTTGTATGCGAGCTAGTATTGAATCCAGTGGCTCTTCTTCCTCGTCTGCTGCTTGATGGACGCGCTTAGCAGCCTTCTCAGGACCTGTGCAATCCGAAAGACGTCTCTTCCGCGTCATGCTCGAATAATAGTTGCGGAATTTGTCTACAAAAGTGAATCGTGTAGTCTACGCAGAGTATATGGAGCACAAAGCGAAGTAAAGAGTGTATTAGGGTCCCAGAGGATGGGAGTCAGTAGACAAGGAGGCGGCTGGATGGACGACGGAAATGGCAAACAAGGGCAACTAGCGGCTGACTCTCGACGCTGCGACGGGGGTTGGTCAGATAACTCTGGTAGCGGTCATTTATCCTATACTTTTCTTCTCTTGCGTTGCTATCTGCTTGCTTTCTCTTTCTTTCTTCTTGCGGTAGCGACTTCCTTTCGCAGTGGTAAGTTGAACTACGGATCAGATTTCCACCGATCTTCTCAACGGCTGCATCCCATTGACAGTATTCACGAACTCTTCACGATCATAACACCATTATTGAACGAGCTTAGACCACGTCCATGGTGAGCAGATAAAGGACAGGGATTGGAGATCCCACTCAACGCATCACACAGGAATCTCACCACCAAGATCCAGAGGAGCTCTACGTGAAGCAGGACAGAATCGGTATGTGCATGGAAGCTACGATCTTATGGTAACACAATTCATCATCATATACAGGGAAGGGGTCCTTTGGAGAGGTGTACAAAGGGTGCGTAGGATTCGAGCAGACGCGAAATCAATGCGTATGCTAGACGTTCGCTGATCATCTAAACTCGTACCCTGCAGCTACGACAAGAGAACTCAAAAGACTGTTGCTATCAAAATCATCGATCTGGAGAGCGCAGAAGACGAAATTGAGGATATCCAACAAGAGATTCAAATCCTTTCGCAACTTGACTCCCCTCATGTCACGAAATACCATGGATCCTTCCTCAAAGGGTCCCATCTTTGGATTGTTATGGAGTACATTGCAATCTCTCCCTGTACGGATCGCCTGATAAACTAACCTGTTTCTAGGTACTGTTCGGGGGGTTCATGCTCTGATTTAGTATGTTCTTCCGCTGGTGCGCGCAGGATCACATTCTGACCGGCGATGTTAGATGAAACCTGGCGTATTCCGAGAAGAATATATTGCTATCATCGTCAGGGAGTTACTCAGAGGTCTTGAATATCTTCACTCTGAAGGGAAACTACACCGGGACATCAAAGGTGCGTTATTTATTTATGTCCTTGCGCAGCCTTCGTTATTGTTGTTCGTTATCAGCGGCCAACATTCTTCTATCCGCTAATGGGGATGTGAAATTGGCGGATTTCGGTGTATCCGGTCAGTTGTCTGGAACTCTGTCCGCGAAGAAGAACACGTTCGTTGGTACACCCTACTGGATGTCGCCGGAAGTCATCAAGCAGAGTGGTTATGACCACAAGGCTGACATATGGAGTCTTGGGATCACCGCGATTGAACTCGCGAAGGGTGAACCGCCGTACGCAGAGTTACATCCTATGAAGGCAGGTGCAGGTTATCAAGCTCCGTGTAAGGAATGCTAATACATATTCGAATGCAGGTCCTATTCCTCATCCCGAAGAACCCACCACCTACTTTGGAGGGGCCTTTCTCCAAGGCCTTTCGTGACTTTGTCGCATACTGCTTGCAGCGTGACCCCCGCGACGTACGTCAGCTATGTTCGTATCGTACGATCCTTGCTGAGATTGCGCCCGTATCCAGCGCCCGTCGGCGAAAGATCTTCTAAAGCATAAGTTTGTTAGAATGGCAAAGAAGACCAACTATCTGACAGAGCTCATTGAGCGACATGAGCGGTGGAAGGCTGAAGGCGGAGAGAAGGTGGAAGAAGAAGAAAGACAGCAAGTTGAGGACCTGTATGTAATTCAATTGGATCTATACCGCCGCTCAATGTTCTTTTTAATCTTCATACTTGCATCAGCGCTGCGGCAGATCCAGAGGACCTTTGGGACTTCGGCACAGTGCGCCATGCCGCTACCGTTGGTCGCACTCAACACAACCCTGTGCAAGTCTCTGGACCTCCACTGACATGGGAGAATAACGGTACCAATCGGTCTGGGAATTCCTCTAGCTCAGGGTCAGGATATTCGCGAAAGGACATCTCTGTTTCCAGCTCCATCACTGCTAAAGGAGAACTTCCCCCTCTTCCTCCGTCTGCCCCTGCGACACCGAAGAAGTTCGATCAGCAAGCCACGATAAGGCACGGTGCTGTTGGCTTGTCCAGGGAACCATCAGACGAGTATGACGACGACTATGAAGATCAAATTGCTGATCTAAGAGGCCAGCATGGCCCAGGTGACGATGAGTTGCCGGACACTACTATGCTAGATTCAGTGGTACTTCCCGCGATTGCCTCAGTATGTTCTCCATCTTTCCGGTGTCTAGCGGAACTAATTGGATCGTGCCAGTTATTTCCTCGTGTTGCCACCCAAGAGGCTCGTGTGGCTCTCAGCGCTCTCCAACGTGCATTCACTGATGCTGAACGCATCATTCCCGGTGTGACCTTGGAGCTTATCAATGAGATCGTTGACTCTGTAGAACACGTTGAAGACGACCGGTGATTCTTTTTGTTCCCTCTCTCCAATGCTTGGCTATATTGCCTTTATATACCATCTTGACGATTACCTCTCTGGTCCGGACTTACCATCACTATCTTTGCCTTGATTCCCACTCCAGTCACTACTTGTACCTCTAGCGTCCTGTGCGCCCTCCAAAGCTGATGTAGCATGTATCACCATATCTTTCTGTCTTGTTCTTTTCATAGCAGTTCATTCCCTATCGTTGCATATACCATACGGCTATCGAAATAATACCAGTAGTAACGAGACTGATAGAATTGTGTCATTAGGTAGCAATGTCACTTGTAACGGTCCGTTTCTTCTTTCCGCCGCTCGAGACTGCTTTCGTCTTCTTCTTTGCCCTGGTAACCTTTATTGGAGGCGGTGTACCTGTCCTTGAGATCTCGTCTTCAACTTCGTAAGGCGGAAAACTTGATAGTGGTGTCGATGTGGCGACACCATTCCCAAACGATGGTGATGATTCCCTCGCTATCGGTGGACTCGGTGTAGCACCTTCAGGCATCTCTCCAACCTTATCAATGACAAATGTCTGCCGGCTTCCTCCTGGGCTCGGGTTCTTGAGACTCAGAAGACGAGAGTCTGGCGCTGCTACGTAAAACGTAAGCTTTAGTCACGAACCCACTAAGCATAACCAATATCCTACTATACCTTGTGACAAGGGAGGAAGGTCATCCAATCTGACTATGGGTATTGAGTCAACGTCTGGCGGTATGGCCCTGGGAGGCCGATCATCAACGAGATAGAACGGATCGTCCTTCAACCTTTCCATACGTTCGGCTTTCAACTTGGGAAATGAAATGAGAAGGACAAACCCGGCCATCATGGAGTAGTTGGACTTACTCTTTCCCGAGCAACCCTCTCTTCCTCTGTTTCAGCCTCAGGCGCCGATTGTACAATATCCCCGGACGAGGGGTAATCTCTTCTCTTCTTAGTCTTCACTTTAGCTCCACCGGTCTCTTTCCGCTTGCCCTTCTTGACCTTTTTGACAGTCGGTCCTTTTTCATCCCCGCCTTCAGCGTTCAGTGCGCCAAGTTCATCCCGAGGAGGAGGAACGATCCATGCATCGAGGTCCAAGCCTTCTGGCACCGGCACCAGAGCTTGAGCGTTCGTTGCCACTGTATTAAGTTCATACGTGCTTGACAGCGGACGGATGAGATATAGGCTCTTGGGGAATCGCGGCTCCGAGATTACGTCTTGGAAGGAATCCGCTGCGACGTCATCGAAGGGATAACTGCTATTGACGTGAGGGCGGAAGGCCGTCAGGTCTGCACGCACGAAGGTGAACAATTGGAGCATATTGGCTGCCTGTCAAACAAGAACACGTTAGCCATCACAAAGGGTATGCCTGTGGGACACGCACTCTCTCCTGGACTTCAATGTCTTGATTCGACACAAAGTCGCTAATGCGATCGATAATGGTGTCTACCATTTGCCTCACTTTTGGGAGATCGTCGTTGTCCCATCTATCAGCTAATTCCGCGGTCCAGACGCCAAATATCTTGAGAGCTGCTTGCAAATACACTGCGATAGTCTCGGGATCTAAATTCAGTACCCGAGATTGAAGCAGATAGGTTAGCAATTTGTGCGGCTCAACAAGCTCTCTGGTGTCACGTTTAACAAACTGGCCTCGTGCGTGAATAAGGGAGAACGCACCCGCAGTACTCTCCACATATCCATGCTGCTGCCCAAAGCACTTCGGAACAGCTCCCTGGTTCTCCGGCATTGTTAAGGAAAGAGTCGTCGCAGAGTAACTTGACCATAAGGGAAACAGCAAACCTCCGTGCGCCTCTGACACGGGCGGTGACGTCGACCAGCTGATCGCGTATCTGTGCTCCGATGTCCACTGAGGCAACGTAAGCCAGGTCAACGAGGACCGAGAGATACCACTCAAAATCCACAACGTTCTCGTATGTATTCTGGGAGCATAGAGATAATATTCGTTGTGACAGGGTCAGGCGATAAGCCGGACTCTGAGAGGGTGAAACAATTGATTTGGAGGTAATTTGGGTGCCGTGTTGTGCCAATGATTGAACTGCGGATGGTAAGGTACTTGACTCATTCTTGACCAAGTGGGAAAGCAGCTGCTGCACAATGGGTTGCAGATTGTGACTATTCGCCTGCAACGAAATCTTTTCAGCCTCGTTCAATGGGTAATTCCGAGGCACATACCATGGTAGTTACCAAATCAAGTGCCCTCATGCGGATGCTGATATCCTGGTCGTCGACGCTGGCAAGTATCATGTCCTGGTATTCCGCGACGAGATGAGGGTGTGAAGGCACTATCCTAACCATCGCCATCAAGGCAATATACTTCACTAAAGGGCAGAGTCTTATTTAATCTCGATAGCCATTTTCGAAGAAGGGACATACAATTCTGGTCCTCATCCTCCAAGAATGTCGCCAGTTTAGTAACACACGTCCGGGCAAGAGAGTTACCGGCAAGGCCTTGAAGCATGCCTCCAATGATACAAGTCCTCACGCACTCGTACAAAAGTGAGATAGCTGGCGTAGTCGAAATTAGCTCCGTGATTGGTGGCTGGAGCTTTTTCACCAGTCGAGGCTCATTAGGAGTAAGGTATCCAAACTGCCACCGTGTCAGTATGAGAGTCACAAACGCATTGGCCAAGCTCACCAGCTTCACAATCTTGATCAACATCCAATTGTTGGAAGACGTGGTGAGGAGATGGAATAATTGAGGTGCAAGGGGAAGATAGTCATGCGCATTGTGCCTCGCAAGTTCGCACAGTACATTAATGGTGGTGGCAACCACACCTATGAGAATTATTACTCCACTTGCCAACATCAAAATGGTTTAGACGTACCAGGATCAGGGTCTTCCAATCGTTCCCTCACTCTGCCCATCGCATGACCAATGACTTCAGGATACTTGGTGAACACCTTGTACAGCGCGGCTACAGCACGTTTGCGTATTTGTGGTCGTGAATGACTCAGTAGCTTGATTACATCTGGCGCAAGGTCTCGCGCCAAGTCGGGAGTAACAATATGAGAGAATCCGTTCAGTGATACGGCAACGTCATCAGGTTTTGATGTAAAGTCCTATTCTCACTGTTTGGTTTACAGCACAGGACATTTCCCAACAAGATCGAGCGCACCTTCTTCAGTAGATTCGTGGTCAGCATGAGGACATCCGTGTCCTCGTTGAATGATTGCGTTGCAGCCAAGTACCCGACACTTTTCAGGTGACTTTTGCTTGATGACATGACCTCAACGACATTAAAAGATGCCCAACTCATATCATAGCCCAACATATCTAGCTAAGGCCAGTAAGTCAACAACGTCGGAACAACTGCAACATGGTACGATACGAACGTATGTCAACTTCAGCACTGCTGCTGCCTTCAGCTCCATATCTTTACTCCTAACTTCATTTCGTATTTCGTCCAGTGCTTGAGCAATGAATTTCGCTTCATCTTGTTTATTGGCTCGTAGACCTCGGATGAGATCTTGTAAGGTGCGTTCCCACATTAGTATTGAATTACTGCGAGTAACCCGCCGGTATACCAAACGAATTATCCAAAACCTGATCAAAGGGTATCCAGTTTAGAGAATGGCAAGGACGTAGAGACTGGCAAGGATAAACTCAGGCTGATGCAGCTTCCACACGAGCAGTAAGGATGACCGGCTCTACCGGTCCGCCTCCCCGTTCAATATTGGAAGACTACAGTATTGGAAGCACTTCGCCCGTCACCGTATCTGTTGTTACTTCCCTGTTGCTGAGACTCGGTGTTGAAGCTGGTTGCCCTCAGATAGTCTGCTTTTGTTATATCTGTCGATGTTTAATTGCCGACAGGACGTTGTGTGAGTGGTTTACTTTACGGTGATGTCTAGTTTCCGGCAACTTCAAGCAAACCAGTTCGGAACAAAAGCATGGGGCAAGGGGTTTTTCCACCATCGTTGTAGAAGATTTGCAGGTGCAGGAGGCATATGCGTTCTGTGTTCTAGCACGAGGCTGGCTTCAAAGCGGCGTGGAATGCAGAGTGTGCCGCTGTTTTTCCTCTGTCGCCATACGTGATGATCGTCGCTTCGGTATATTTCGGATATTTGTGTTGTAAAATATTCATAGCCGCTGTCCAGGTACTTCAGACGTCCATATGTCTAATTGTACACCGTCTTAACCAGTTTTTCCATCCCCTCAGTAGATGGTGCGGTCTCCTATTGTCTGGCACGTTCCACACGCCCCTTCTTTTCAAATGTATAGTACCCCCTGAAGCGCAGAAGATAACACGTATCTATTTCACTCGGGATGCAAGCCGTGAGGCATGGCTTCACAGGGTTTCCCTGCGTCGTGTCGCGCGGATTTCAATCTGGCTTTTGCGGCACATCGCGTCCCACGATTGAGGGACCTACCCAACTCATTAATCCCAATCTTATTTCCTCTTTAGGATTGTTATGGGAATGACCTGGAACGACCCGTCGGCGACTATATCGCTCTCCTGGCGTCGAAACAATCAACGGATGTGGAACCTTGCAGCCCTGGTCTCGAGTCATATGGTCTCATCAGCTACACCAGTTAATGGTGGGTTTGTTTATCAGCTTGTGGAAGGGAAATGTCGCTCCGGAACCCTCAACGCCGTGGACTTAGGTCGATTATACCGAGAATAAGGTTGATGTTGACAGGCCTGTAGGTCCTTCGTTCCTGACGCTCGTTTCATCATCTGTTTGCACACTGGTTCCGATGCCGCTATTGCAGCTGAAACTTCTCCGGCGTACGGATGCGAAATGGTCACTAAGAACTTTATGCGATATGAGCCTCCCTGTGATGGATTGCCGACAGGGACTATCTTAGACTCCCAAGATGGTTAGCCTGTCGCGTACACCGCACTCGCGACCCACTGGTGGGATAAATAGCCAACAGCCACGCCCTATGGGAATTCCAACTCGAAGGACGTAAAATCTCTCTCGCCCACAATGCCTGGTCTCACTACTGCACCACGCTTCCCTCAAAACATCCCCACCCACCCTTTGCTCATCGTGAACTATGCCTTAGTCAAGTCTGGTGATCGAGGTGAAGTGGAGAAGCTATGGAAGGCCGCAACTGAGTTGGGATTCTGGTAGTACGTACGAGAGAGCACCAACGAAGCCCCTGAAATTCAAATGATTCACAGCCTATCGAATCACGGCATCGATGAAGTTGATGACATGTTCGACGTATATGCCGACGCATTGGATTTGCCATTAGAAGAAAAGATGCAATACGAACAGGGTGATAGTGGAAATTCATATGGGTGGGTTTCTTTCCTTAGACTCAAATTTCCACACCGTTCATCACGTTTCATTCTCAGCTATAAGGCTCGTGGCAAGATTGTCACAGACAAGAACGGAACCTTAGATACAAGCGAGTTCCTCAACGTGGCTCAGGACGATGCGCTTTCATACCCACGGATCACTTACCGCTCATATCCTCCCACAATCAATGAGCACATGGGCGATGTGATTGTACCCTTCGTTCAGAATTCTTTGGCAGTATGCACTACGATCTTGTCTATCTTCGAACAAAAACTCGGTCTTCCCAAGGGTGAACTTCTGAAAAGACACTCACCGACCGAGCTCAACGGTGGTGAGGCACGATGTGTCAAGACACCTCCCAATGCAGACAGAGCAGGTATCGGAGCTCACACCGATTTTGGCAGCTTGGTCAGTATGACATTCTTCCGCAATAAATTCGCGTTGGTGACACATCATTCCAGTCCATGGTCCATAATCGCCTAGGAGGGCTCCAGGTGATGCCTCCAAATTCGGATAGATGGTACTACATCAAGGTAAGCTATGATTTGTTGGTGATGCCCCCGATCTCCGGACTGACAATGCCTCCTAGCCACTTCCTCGACATGCTGTCTGTAACGTTGGGGATACACTGGCTCTCTTCAGTGGCGGGATTCTCCGCTCCAATGTTCATCGTGTAATGTGAGTACGTGCCAAAGATATTTATCGTCTCGACACTCAAGCTAGGCATCATCCCTGTAGGCCACCTCCGGGTGAACAGGCTAAATACACAAGATACTCCATCGCGTATTTTAGTCGTCCCGGGAATCGCATCGTCCTTCGTGCGCTTTCCAACGAGAGTAAGATTATTGCGAGGGCGGCACTGCGGGCTCCCGCCTGTGAATACGAACCTGGCACAACCGCTGGTGAATGGACGGCACGTAGGATTCGTAACTTGCGACTCAAGAGCCGTGAAGTATGTGTCCGTTTTATATGACTACCCAAGGGAATCACTGACTTTCATCAGGGATGGATTGCCAGCCAAGGAACAGAACATGACGGCGTAAAGGAGCGTACTACTGTCTGAGGTTCTTATACTCTCCAGACGATTATCGGTATTATCGGAACTGTTCAGTAGTGGGTAACATTAAGATGTTCGCTATTTATCGCAGGCTATCCTGCCATGATGTTGCATCATGCGATTTTCTGTATCATAGCTCTTACATTATCTGTATCATATGTTTGGTTGACTTCGTTCTGATTCGTTATAAATTTTGACTTTACTGCACTACGCTACTCCAGTCAGCCGAGGCTCGAGGGGATGATCGAGTGTGATTTTTGATGTGCCTGCTTACGTCACATTATACTGAACGTCGCTTAGCCGATGGTACAGTACATTATCCTGTACTGCGACGTCCAAGTTATTCAATTACTCTCGAGTCAACCTAACTTTCACAACGAGGATTGTAACATCATGTCTACCCTTACGACCAAAGAGTGGGTATCTTGCCATGACCAGTGGTTTGAGGCACTCATGAGTTTCACGTAGCATTGAAATTGCTACGCGTGCAGCAGACCAGTTTCAAAGGCTGTACTACGCGACATATGACTCTTCGACGCGTGTAGACGATCTACCAAAGTTCTATCGCGCATCCTCTGCCGTTGTATGGAATGGCACGCCGTACCAAGGATCTGACGGTGTGCGTGACTTGCTCAGTAGAATGCCCATAACAAGACATGAAGTGCAATCGTTTGACTGTCACCCCATTCCTGGTCAGTTTCACTTTTCATAAGCAACAACGAACACACTCAATGTATCTTTAGGAAGCCAACCACCTTCACTCCTCGTAACAGTGTCTGGAACTGTTATTCACGGACGTGGCCCGCAAGGAAATCCGGCCAGTACGTCCAGCAAATCGGTGGATGGTCAACCTCGCGTATTCTCCCAGACGTTCATGTTGGTTCCCGACTCGAGTGCTGCCAAAACTACTGCAGGAGAAGTGGCGAAGTACTACATTACAGCGGACGCACTACGGTTTGTTGGCTAGTGAGTACTGTCTTACACCTTCCCTTCCGACCTTGCTTAAAACTTATGTGAAAGGGATTACCGTGGAATCCGGTTACTATGCCTTCAGGTCTTTCATGCAGGGCATTCAACAATATACATGCGCAGCACATGATCATCGACATTATACTCGCAAAATGCAATTTCTGCATCAAGATGCGAATCGTCTCGGGTCAACGTCTCACTGAAAGGGCTCGCCAGGTTACAGTACATGCCGAGATGATTAATAGAGAGGATGAAGTGTATGTACAAGCAGTATGGTGGTGTGGTAATAATGATACAAAATGAATACGAAGGGCAAATAGTGATGGTATCAACCAAATGTTTGACTCTGCAAGAAAAATCGTAAGCATCTCGGAAAAGAATGAGAGAAAGGTAGACATACCGAACGAGCACTTCTCTTGACTTTCGACAAACGCCATTCGTCGGGTTTCTCGTACTTGTTGTATAGAGGTTCTATCTTTTCTTGCTTCTTCCGCTTACTGATCTTGTTCACATCCGCAACCTTGAAGTACTGGGGGGCTACTTCCACCAACCACTTCGGCTCAATAGCCGTGACGTTGTGGCAATACTCGCGAGTGGTTAATATCAATTCGTGATAAATGAGCCACTCAGGGTTGCGGTTGAATAGCGCGGATGATGGATGGATATACACCGGTGTGCCTTCCACAAGGGTCTTGTAACCTTCCTGTGGATCTTTCTTTGCCGCATTCCTGAAAAAGCCAGAGCAGATTGCTCGGCGGACTCGGTTGTAGTCTTTGCCCGCTGACAAGATGTCATGCTTGTATCTGTCACAAAAAAAGTTCAGTCATCTGCTGTCCGCCACATACATGGAGATGACATACCTGTCCATGATACCTAACAATTGCTTCCGGACATCCTGTGCTCGTCTCATACTCCGGGCCTGAATAAAGTTCTCGTAGCACCAGGGATTCGAGAAGTTGCTTGCCTTCCATCCGTTGTATACAGTCAGCAACGTCAGATGGTCACCCTCTGGCTGATGGAATTTAGCTTTCTTGGAGTCGGCCTGACCCTGTTTCTCCTTCGGCCGGTAAAAGACGCTCTGCACGGACAGCATAGCTACAATGGATAGGATTTCCTCAGAACACCCAAGCTCCACGGAAGCAATCAACATCTTGGCTAATGGAGGCTCCATGGGGAAGTCTGCCATCTTTCGCCCCAAACGAGTGAGGAGACCTTCGTCATCCAACGCGGAAAGAGCGTATAGCGACTCCAATGCCGTAAGCATAGTCTGTGCGGGTGGCGGATCCATGAAATCGAAGCTAAGAAGGTCGTTGATACCCATCGCTTTCAACATCAAAATAGTGTGCGAGAGGTTGGTCCTCTGGATATCTGGTATCGAGTTTGGCAACATCTCGTTACGGAACGCAGCTTCGGTGTATAGACGATAGCACTTTCCGGGACCGGTACGACCAGCACGTCCTGCCCGTTGTCTCGCCTGCGCCTGTGAGATAGGCATGACCACGAGCGAGTCCATACCCAATCTCGGATCATACGCATTCTGCTTCGAGAAGCCAGGGTCAATGACATAGTAGATACCCGGAATGGTAAGTGAAGTCTCAGCAACGTTCGTTGCTACGACTACTTTACGGGCACCGGGAGGTGTAGGCTCGAAAACCCTTGATTGGACTTCGGAAGGCAAGGCGGAGTAGATAGGAAGGATCATGAGTTCAGGGACCTTGGGACCAAGGGCCTTCATACGCTCGTACAAGATCTCGCAGGAAGTATCGATCTCTTCTTGGCCAGTCAAGAAAAGAAGAACATCACCAGGAGGCTCCGACAAGTGGATTTGCATGACAGTGATGAGGGAAGCGTCGAGATAGTCAGTTTCTGGCTCCTTGGTATAGAGAATCTCGACAGGGTATGTTCGACCAGGAATAGTGAAGATAGGACAGCCAAAGAAGTACTTTGAGAACTTCTCAGCATCCAGAGTTGCGGAAGTGACGATGAGTTTAAGGTCGGGTCTACGTTTACAGGCCTTTTTCATCAGCCCAAAGAGCACGTCGGTAGCAATAGTCCGCTCGTGCGCCTCGTCAAGCATAATGACAGAGTACTGAGTCAAGTCAGGGTCGATGAGACTCTCTCGCTGAAGCATACCATCTGTCATGTACTTGATACGAGTCTCTGGACTTGTGCAGTCCTCGAAACGGATTGTGTAACCGACCTCTTGACCAAGACGACAGCCAACTTCCTCTGCTACACGCTTTGCCACCGACATGGCAGCGACACGACGAGGTTGCGTGCAGCCGATTTTCCCCCTGTCAGCGTAACCGTCTTCGGCGAGGTATTGCGTCATCTGAGTGGTCTTGCCAGAGCCAGTGTCGCCAACGACAATGAGTATTTGATGCTAAAGGTGGAAAACATGAGTATAACGTGGATGTATATATCAAAAATGCCAACGTACCGCTCGAATAGCTTCCAGAAGCTGATCACGAAGCTTGTAAATCGGCAAATTCTTCCGTTGGTCTTGTATGCTCATAGATGTAATCTCTCCGAAGGTGGTAGCTTTATTGAAAGTAGCCTCTTTCCACTTCGGCTGTTCCCCAGCTTTCTGGCCCCTCAGGTTTCCGCGCAGGTCCTGGGCGAAAATCTTGTCGCTCTCCTTCGACATAGGATCCAACCAGGGGGCGCTGAAGTCCCGGGCCTCAGAATCAGCTTGCTCGTTAACCTCTTGTTGTCGCATTTCTCTTCTCTCCTTGGCGAGGGATGCGCCCGCGAGAGCAGCTCGATTGAGCGAGCCATCGGGTGCCTTGACAATCTTGACAGGACTGAGGTCAAGCGTCTTCTTTGTTTGTCCAGCTAGGAATGGCGGCTCCTCTTCACGGATCTCAACGTCGAGTTCCTCCTCCACTTCCGCACGAGCCATCGGGTTGTTGAAATCTTCGTCAAGGTCAGGATACTCGGATGCGTCGATGATGCCTGAAGAGATCAACTGCTTAATCTCCCATCGCTCTGGCGAAGTCAACCGTTTGGCAGACCGTACAGGTTCGTGCGCAATTGCCTTAGAATTGAGAGGAATGGCATTAGCGCCACGAGCGGCTCGCTGTTGTTCCTCCTCTGCGAGTTCTGCTTCAGACTTGATGCGTAAATGAGGAGTGAGGTCACGCTCAGTGACCTGATCCACATCCTTCATCGACAGGCCTACGCGATTGCCGGCGACGCTCATGACCTTGACCTTCACAGACTGACCACGGCTGAGCAAATCAGCAGCGGAGTTGGCTCGTGCACCTTGTTGGATATTAGAGACATGCACCATACCTGAATAGTGGTCAGCATCCTGTAAAATGAATACAGTTTGGAGGCACTACATACCTTCAACACGACCGGCAACGCCCTCAAGTTGCACAAATGCACCGAACTCCTTCAAACCAGCCACCTTGCCATTGTAAATTTTGTATAGCACCGGGCGATCATCCACTGAAGGTCGGCCGGCTCTCCCCCTGTAATCGTTTCTTTTGTCTCCATATCCCCGACCACGAACCGGGCTGGGACTCCTACGCCGAGGGGAACGAGAGCGTGATCTTCGCAATCGTTTGCTTTCTCGGTCATCCTCTGTTGGCCGGATGCGAGTCTTCGTTGCAGCACCTTCAAACTCTGACATCATGTCATCCACCTCCTTCATAAGCACATCCTTCGAGATGATGGGCTGCCAGCCTTGATCTTTCAGAGCAAGACCGGGGAACATCCGTCTCTTCTTGTCCGTCTGATCTAAATCATTCCCTGGAGCGATATTCTCATCCTGCATGGTAGTGAACCGCTTCTTGTGTTTAGGATGTAAGCTGAGGATGAGACGGTCGACTGTCTCTATGAATGAGTCAGGGAAGTTGGCTCCGACATCCTGCAGCTTCTGTTTGAACTCCGGACGGCTTTTGGATTCGTCATGGAGAGCGATTACGAACTCTGCTAGTGTTTTGTCGTTCAATCCAGTGTGGTTAATGATTTCTTGGGTGATCCTGGCAACAAGAGAGAGGAATTCGAGGTTGTAGAGGTCGGTATCCGACATGTCGAGAGTCAAGAGATGGGCGTCTAATTGATGAATAAGCGCATGCTCTTAAGGCAGTTACCAGTTTTGGCGTTTGACCCATTACAGTCACTTCCCATTCCTTTTCATATCCTCTATCTCTATGCCCCCCAGAAAGGGTATCGTCAAGTCTGGCAATGCTGGAAACTCCTCAAAACCTGTTAGCACGCCTACGGATGTGACCAAGAGCGAAGAAAAACCACTGTTTCCTTCTGGGTTCAAGTATCCACTCAGCTTGCTTCATGAAAGGTTCGTTCGACATGTCCCCGGATACGGCCACTAGCTCAGAATACTTTTCAGATGCCAGGCGAATGGCTGGGATAAACCTTCGGTGGATACCGTGAGTTGCGTTTTGTGGTGTCTTTACGACACGCTCGCATGTATGATTAGCGGAAATGTGGCAATGCATATTCTTTCTCAGTCACTTTGAGTCGAACGAGCAAGAAGACGTCCGAGAAAGAAACAGTTCGTTTGCATCCAGATCCACCATACACCCGACCAACTGCTATTGAAGCTCGACATTGGGGTGCTACGTATGCCTTGTACCGTGTGAGTTAGACTAAACCGCTACTGCACCTGGCATACTGATTCTTGGGTAGTTTTGTAATTCCATCCAGCTAAATCGGGTGCTACCCCCTGGTCCTCGAGAGTACTGGAATGAACTTGCTGAAGAAAAGAAGAAAGCACCTGACCACCAGATGTGGATGTATGAAGCCGATCCATTTGCGGCTCGCAAAATGGTAGACGAACGTCAAGCGAAGGCGGCAGCGAAACGAGAGGAAGCTCGAAAGCCTGTTGGGGAACGCAGCGACCGACCCAGCACAACTTCTGAGTTTACCTATGCACCTGAAGTGAAGATGGCGACTCCTCTGCGCGACTCAGTTGAACAGTCAATCAAAAAGGTGTGTATTTGACGTGTCTTTATTCAGCTCGAACTTATTTGGTTTGTTGAAAGGCTGTGGCTATGTATCCTGAGGCTCAAGAATCTATGCCTTTAATTCTTGCTCCAGAAGATGTCCCTGCCGTACAGAAGCAGCTTACGCAAGTGGGCTTTACGCCGATCCAGGCTCGGAATGCGACTACAGCGTTGTCTCAAGCATCTGCGCTCACGTCGAATCTCCTTGCGAATCAGACACCATTACAAGCATGCATTGAGTATCTCATTCTTCATATTCCCGAGTGCGACTTGCCGAAACGTTTCCTGCCGGACGTAAACTCGTCGAATCCTTTCGTCACCTCTGCTCATTCTGGGACAGAGGACCTCAAGCTTCGGTGGCTCCAGGAAAAGGCTGTCAAGGAATGTGGCTGGCCAATTCAAGTGATTAAAGAATGCGTATCAAGCAACAAAGTCTCTGACAACTGGCCTCTTCTGGTCAAATTGCTCAACAAGAGGTTACTCGGTGAAGATATTAGCGGCGTTAGCGATCCGTTCAAATACGATGAGGAGCTTGAAGAACTGGATCAATACGAGCTTGAAGCGTTGGAAATCCAGATCAGTGCAAACAACGAATTGATCGTTCCATCTCCAATGGTACCCATGAAGTTGGTCGTTTTTCTTGATGAGAAACGTCTTGTGCCGGCTGTTGGGGATCCTCCGCCTATGTACATCTCTTCCACTGCGGTGGCTGCATATGTCCGACTGCATATATTGTCCAAGCTTCTATCGACCTTTAAGGAAGGAACCTTCGCTGATTCTGGGGAGAGCTTTGTAATGGCGGCGATTCGTCATATCGAGGAAGAATGGGCCCGGATTGAGGATCACGGACCGCCAGATATGTCTACTGTCTTGCAACATCTGTTACCTCAGGAAACCGGCATCATTTCTATCGACGACTCTGAGAAGGGCGCTGCTGCGATTTCGAATGCGGGATCTGTTAGGAAACGACGACCATGTAAATTACGGGATGACCGTTCGGACGCTCGTGTCAAGGAGGACTTCGAGGCTCTTCGTAAAACTGAGAAGTATGCCCAGATGTTGTCCGGCAGGAAGCGTTTGCCTGCATTCCAAGCTCAAGCGCACTTTTTGGGATTACTGGCAAAGAATCAATGCGTGGTCGTAGTCGGAGAGACTGGTGAGTGGTGGTCAGGTTCTTGTTTTTCAGGCTGTTCACAATTTTTCTACGAGTAAGGCTGCGGAAAGACTACGCAACGTGGGTATACCACTGACCTTTTTATATTGAGTCTGTGCTAAAGAACTTCTATCAGTACCACAGTTCATCTTAGATTCCATGGTATTGAACGAGCAGGGCTCGCGCGCATCCATCATCGTTACCCAACCTCGTAGGCTATCCGCCCTTGGTGTCGCTGCTCGTGTGTCCTCTGAACGGCTGGACGACGGCTCTGTGGGTTACGCTATTCGCGGTGAAAGCAAACAGAGCAACAAGACGAAGCTGCTCTTCTGCACCACTGGTGTTGTTCTAAGACGGCTTGCCTCTGGTGACAAGCTGCAAGATGTAACACACGTTGTTGTCGATGAGGTGCGTAGATTCACGCATCGGTCCCTACTCTCGCGTACCAATGTTCAACCTGTCCCGAACAGGTTCATGAACGCTCGGTTGATGGTGACCTCTTGCTCCTTCAACTGAAGGAGTTAATGAAACAACACAAGAATCTCAAAGTCATTTTGATGTCTGCTACCATCAACCACGAGATCTTCATCAAGTACTTCAATAATGCACCCCTCCTCACTATCCCGGGCTTCGCGCATCCAGTTTCAGACTTGTAAGCGGGTTGAATTTGGTTGGTTGTGAATGGCGTGCTTAATTCCATGCAGATATTTGGAGGACGTCCTGCCTCGCATTTGCTATAGGCCAACTTCCGGAAAAGGTGGCAAGAGGATATCAGAAAATGAGAAGGAAAAGGATCGATCACGCTACTCAGGATTGAGATTAGATGACGACTGTATCGCCGCTCTTCAAACCATTACCAGATCCGATAGAATAGATTACGAGGTAAGATTCCTTTCGCCGCACCTCTCTCTCTGCTCATTTTCTTTTAGCTTGTCGCGGCAGTTGTCGAACATATAGTCTCGACAGCGGAGAAAATAGGAGGAATCCTCATTTTTCTTCCCGGTGTACAGGAAATTCGTCAATGCATGGAAAGCCTTAGAAAAAATAGACAAGCGAAAATCCTACCTCTACACGCCAACTTGTCCAACGAAGAACAGCGGGCTGTGTTTGCTTCAACACCGAATTGGAAGATAGTGTGTGCTACGAACGTGGCCGAGGTGAGAACAACATGTTTTGTGTGCAGGTTTATCTTTGTTTTAATGACGAAGATATGGATAGACTTCCATCACCATTGACGATATCATTTACGTGGTGGACTGTGGCAAAGTCAAAGAAACGCAGTTTGATCCAGAATCTGGACTTACCAAGCTTGTTGAGCAATGGGTCACTCGAGCGGCAGCCAAACAACGACGGGGTCGAGCGGGTCGTACCCAATCTGGATTCTGTTACAAAATGTATACGCGAAAGCAAGAAGAACATTTTGGCGCGTTCCCAATTCCTGAAATCAAACGGGTGCCTTTGGAGAGCGTGTCGCTCACGGTGAAAATCCTGCATAAGGACGTGAAGGTATAGGTTTCAGACTCCGTGGTGGAGTTTGCTCTGACATACTCTCAGGCGTTCCTCAACCGTGCATTGGATCCTCCTGACATGGCTGCGATGGACCATGCATTGGCAGTCCTGCAGCAGCTTGGTGCTGTGGATCAATCCGACGAAGTCACGCCGTTGGGTGAACACCTCGTATGTATTACTTACCTTATCTTGTGACAAACATTCATGATTTCTGTAGGCCACTTTGCCGTTGGATCTCAGACTTGGAAAGGTAGATTCTACTTCTGCCATACTGGACTCATATTGAACGCTGATATTCTCACGTCAGATGTTAATCCTGGCTACGATTTTCCAATGCCTAAACCCTATTCTGACGGTTGCCGCTTGTGTTTCGTCAAAACCGTTATTCTTGAGCCCCCACGACAAGAGAGTGGAAGCGAGTAGGTATGTGTTCTGGTTTTTCTATGATGGACAAGCGTTGACGTTCTCTCGTCCGCGCTAGGGCTCGTGAGCGATTCACCACGGCAAACAGCGATCTTTTAACGGACGCCAACGCATACGCCGAATGTCTTCGTCTTCGCAACGAAGGTGCCTCGCAAGGTGCCATTCGCTCCTTCTGTGAAGAGGTGCGTGCTCAGAAATAATGGAGATGGCCTCGACATAACTTTTCTTCCACAGAACTTCATTTCGGCTTCCACCGTTCGCGACATCACTTCGTTGCGTAATGATCTGTTCTCCGCCCTGTCGTCGTTGGACTTCGTTCCACCTTCAAGTACACCCACGTCTGACAGTCTTAACGTCAACAGTGACAACACCAATCTCGTAAAAGCTGTCATCCTTGGAGGTCTCTGGCCTCGTGTAGCCCGTGTACATCTTCCTAAGTCAGCGATCAAGTTCGACAAGGTACAGGCTGGAACGGTACAGCGGGAGAACACAGCCAAGCAATTCAAGTTTTACGACATCAGCAGATCTGGGGAAAGAGTATTTTTACACCCTGCTTCCATTCTGTTCGGGTCATCCATATGGAAGTCACCCTTTGTGGCGTACTTCCAGAAGCAGATGACTACGAAGATTTTCCTGAGGGATGCCACTGAAGTACAGCCCATTGAATTGAGTTCTGGGGGATCATCATGACAAGCTGACTCACTGAACAGGTTCCCATGTACGCACTTCTGTTGTTTGGAGGGCCTGTATCGGTGAATCACATCGGCGGAGGTCTTACTGTCGGCACTGGTGACGGCTTCATCAAGCTGAAGGCATGGCCACGGATCGGTGTTCTTGTAAATCACCTGCGGTACGTCTTCGAAATTATCTATGTGATGAAGTGCGTCAGGTTCACATGTATCGTGCAGACGACTCCTTGATGTTCAACTGGCGCGATGTGTTGAAGACAGTACGACTCTTACGTCGGGATCCGATAACCCTGTTACACAAGCCATGCTGGCGTTGCTCACGAACGACGGTTTGAGTCATAATTAATGAGGCTCCGTTGGTTGCAAGAATTAAAAATCGACTTTTCATTGATTCTCTCACCAAACCAGAGAGAATCAACAAAAATATGGCGAGATCCTTGTAGCAAGCGGGGCCCAAAACCACATTCACAGTACTTAGCAGACTTATTGTTTAGAAATTCATGATGGATTTACAGTGCGTTACACGTGCAAGAAAGTGTGCCTACAACAACGAACTATGAGTGGATATTCTACGAGAAACAAGCATGTACAAATGCGAAGTAAGTATCCTTGGTGTGAGTGGGGTATGCTATGAATGCGAGTATCAAGAAGCTACTATGTATACGATAAGTTATGAAGATCCAGACCCAGATAACACATTGCGTTCCTTCCAATAAATATGCCACGCCATCTGCTTAAACTATGGCACTATCACTAGCAAGTCGTCGATGTCCCATACTCTTTGCGCGCGATAAATGCCGGGTCTGCTGAATTGAGAGACCCAGAGCATTGGTAGGTGTCGCTGGGACAGGCGTACTCGCAGTCTCATCCTCCGGCTCCTTCATCTCCAAAACAGTCTCATCTAGAGAGGTTCGTCGTAACGGAGTCCCAGGATTCGTCGACTTTCTTCGGACTGGAGAAGCTACCTCTCCCGTTGGCATACGAGCAAAGTACGGAGCTCCATACGGCTGTGTACGTGGGGTGGGGCCAGCAGTTTTAGGGGTCTTCCGACTGTTGGGAGTGAGCGGTATGAAGGAGGAAGAGAATGCGCGTCGATGCGATGGAGTTGCACTGGAAGCGGTGGCAGTTTTCGAAGAGCCTTCTCCACGAGGGGTACGGGAGGAAAGCTTAGGCGATGGGATGGAGGCATCGATGGTGAGGTTGAGACTCAAGATAGATGTGAAACGCTTCTTGCGAGACGACGTTGTTGATGGGAGAGACGTTTCGGAGTTTGCCTCTGGAGAGCCTGTTGGCGACATCGAACCTTGTGAACTCTGGGAGGCATGCGTGGAACTCCGTAACAAGGTTGGCTTCTCCATGGAAGCGAATTCAGCAGCTGAACGACCCCTAAGCATAATTTATGAACATAATTAATGACAAGCACTTACACATAATAGCAGTCGCTGAGGACCTCTTAGGCCGGAATTTAAAAGGGTTAGAGAACCCCGATCTGGGGCTCCCAGCCTTGGGTGGGGAAAGCTGATTGAGCCTGTCGAGATCAGCTTCCAATTCCTTCAACCGCCGGGGCGGTGAAGACATTGGAGACATGCTTAACGGTGAAGATGTACATGAAGAGCCTGCAACAAGGGCACTCTCCTTGCCCTTCTTGCTCTTCATCTTGAACATCTTGATGTTGGGAATCATGGAAGTCAAGGAAGACCTCCGGCTTTGCGAAATCAACCCTTTGGAATCCGAAAAGGACATCTCATCAGCTAATGTGCTGCTTAACGACGCCGGCGAATCGCTGCCATCACCGCTCTCAATCTGCGACAGATCGGGTCTGAATTTCCGTGCGGACGAATTGGAGGCAAGTGTCGCAGAGCTTTCGGAAGCTGACGATGCCTGGTAGATGGAGAATTCAGCTGGTGATGACCATCTCTTGTGATGCGCATTAGGACGAGAATTCGAGGATTTGGAGGAAGGGGATTCGGGGAAGGTGACATGGTGGTGAACATTCTGTCCTGCCACAAGGATGGAAGTTGGCAGTGCACTTTCTGATGCAGAGTCGCTATTTCTGGGAGGCGACAACGGAGGCAACTTGTGCTTTGTAGACGGAAAGAGCAATCCAACACAGTACGAAAGGATACTCTATAATACCGAATAAGTGTATGCCATTAGAGTCGAAAACAATATGAGGCGGAACTCACCAGAGCGAACCACACAGAACCTAGCAATCCTACAACCAATGGAAGTAGTGGATTTCTCGTAACAATTCGTTGCAACTTTTCGTTCATGATCGTAAAGGCGTAAATCGGGTGTGAGGAGGACGAAGAGAGCTGCAACAGCAAAAAGCTCTTATTTATCGTTGAGCGGGAGGCGTTGGGCGCGGATCGTAAGGTATCCGTCAGCCGCATATACTGGCTCGAAACCGACGTCAATAATGAAGAGGAGCGGAACGAGCTTCGGACAGAGGACAATAACCGTCCTTTTTATCAGCACGAGCAATAATGAGCCACCTCTAACGGAAAGACGCCGTAACGGGAAGAGCGGCTCAAACGTGTTTCGAGTGCGGAAAGGAGAGGGTGTGGGGCAAAGAGTCACGGACGTCGAGGGGATTGACCAGCAAGATAAAGAGAGAATTATGGACGAAATGGAGGTCAAAAAGAACGACAAAAGAACAAAAGCGCACCACCAGGGTGAGGGAGGGAAATCAGACCACCTTCACCCAGCGTCTGCCCTGACTTCCATCTCTCGGCCCTGCACCGCTCTACATGACCCCGAGCATATCCATCTGCAGATGATCAAGGGTCTACCTGTGTTCTAGCCAACAACGCGAGAAAATGCCATGATAACGCGTTGCACACATCGTACATGAGAGTCTGCAAGCAGCCTCCTACACACCTGCTGCAGACTGATCATTACCGCAGTCTCGAGATCTAATCTTATCGTACCACAATACCAATCAGTCTTCGACGAGCTCAGTCAGAAACATCGTTTCATGCATGTTTCATGCTCTTTCTTTGCACGTAATCTCTATAGCAGTCCGAGGGGCGTACCCATTTGACCGAACGTTCCCCGGACAATCCGCCTCGGCCTGAACTGGAACATCTTTTGTATATCATCCGACCAGGCTCGGTGACGTTGCTTCTTCAATTTGACAGCACATATGGCCAGCATAAAATCCGCAATGCTCTCCTAGGACAGGTATACATATTTGGTACAAAGAGACAGGACAACACTGCTGCCAAAGTGATTCGACAGAAAAATCCGCCTAACTTGAGGCCTCTTCAATCGAAGCATTCACAGGATCTTGCGTTGGCTTGGGCATCGGGTACTAGACGTCATACCGAATTAGCCCCATGGAAACGCCTCCGCATGAGAACGTACAGATCGCAACTTGAACTTGTTTGACTTGTCCATACGGATCATGTTATTGAATTGCCTTCCGAGAACCATTGCATCAGCAATACTCAAAATTACACTTATCTAGGAAACTAACTGGATGATAGCCTTTTCATCGAGTGGCACGACACTCGTACCAAACATTGCCGACCGGATCTCCATAGTAGGTTTTGTTGACATATAGGCAAGCATTGCTTCACAAACAGGTCGACCATGGATAGACACGCCCATATCGCCCTCTTCGTTGACGAAATAGATGATGACGAATGGATCTCTGCCACCAGACTGGATGTATCTTGCCCTCTTTTCCATTTCGAACCTCCGGACCAAGGGTGGAGCTTCCTCAAGAGGTATACGGTCAATTGCTTGGCATGTCAATAACACTTGAACGTCTTCTGGCGGACCGTCTCCGTTGATCAAGCCATTCATGTAACCTTGCAAATCGGCTGGAGAGTTGCCGCACGTTACCCGAATGACATACTTCTCGGCTAAAGAAGAGTCGCGGAGAAGTCCCAGCTGCAGAACGGAATGCAAGAGAATGTTATCCATAAGGGCTTCATTGGCACCAACGCGTGCGGCAAGCTTGAGGGTGACATCCCGATATTGACCTACATCGCCACCTTCGGAAGGCACGACACAGTCCAGCTTGTGTCTTTTCCTTCAAAAAGGGGAGAAATCAGCTGGAACAGACTCATACGTTGAGTCACGGGCTACGTACCAGTCGGATTTCTGACACTGTAGTCCATTGGATAGCGTTAGAGTACCCACCTGAGTAGAACAATATCTAGCAATCTTACACTGGGCGTATGAGCAACTCATAGTAAGTAATTTGCATCATGTAGCTTTTCTCGTATAACATACTCGACCACAAGCTTTCATTTGATCAGCTCTCTTCTCCTCTCCACATCCCGAGCACACATACTCAAGATGTTTAATGTTCTGCTTGATCTCTTTTCGCGATGGCGTTGACGCATCAAATGCCGCGTCACCAGCAGGATCGACGACAGTGAGGAACGGGACGCGACGACGGGGCTCCTCAGGTGCAGTCAGTCGTTGATCTTCTACGTTCGCGGCTGCCATTATGCTGGTGGATATTTACGAAGGATTAGAAGTAGCCTGAAATATTTACGAGTGGAGAATAGAAGAAAGAACAGAACGATCACGTGTATATTGATCGTGAACCCTAGCGATCGATCGATCGTGCTATGCGTCGACAGGAGTTCGAAAGCCAGGTGTGTTTAGTAGGGAACGACGACCTGCATCAACGTCTTTTGGTGGAAATGAGTTGCATTTAGCCTTTTCAATTCGAATATCTCTCACAAAGGGTCCGCATCGGTGCTAACCGGTAGGAACGCTTGAGAGCCTCTTCCGGCGAACTTGGCCCTATAGTTTGTTTGTGGTCTTCTATAAAGTCCGAAGCACCTGTGCCAGAGGCCCAGAGATCACCAAAAAATAGTATTACACAGAGCCTCCAGATCTGGCATCACGATGACTTCAAGTGCTGTGCAGGCCCGGGGTTGACGACTCGGATAGTCTCAGACTCGCGCTCCATCTCAGCCTGGACCTCCCCTAAGGACGGCCACTATTGAATAGATTCCAGAGATATTCTGGTCGTCCAATGACGCATTTGTGATTTCATCAAAATCGTGACCGCAACGGTCCTTGGTGATGATTAGATATGTAAGCTTGAGCTTGGACAACAATAGTTCAAAGCCACCTCCGTCATATCCGTCATACCGGACGCAATTCCAAGCTGAGCCTGCATATCCACGCAACAGATACCTAACGGTCATTAGACGGATTGACGTAGCTCAAATTTGAATGTAGATAATGAATTGACAGAAAGGAGACTGACCGCGAGAGCGGTTTTAGACTGCTCTAGACAGAACTTGAATTTGACGGTCTTACTATGCCCATGCGCTCGGCGAGGACAATCAACAGGCACGAAGTTAAGCGTGGAAATAACCCCTGCTGCGGAATAATGCAACCTTGGGAGAGTAAGGACACGAGGCAGGACTGAAAGGTTCTTTGCATCCACGGATTTGAATTCAATAGAATTGAACGCAGAACGAAGGTAAAACTCAATTCACAAACGCCAGCTGAGTGGACAGGAAATTTCGCCCTTGTAAATGTGTCATTTTCGCTTCAATCATACAAAACAGACTAGGAAGGTTTGAAAGTCATAGAAAACGCTATCTAAAAAGTTCGGACAGGAAAGAAAACGACCCGTTCATCAAAAGAGAACTACGCGAGGCAGAGCAATCGTTCTAATTTAAGGGAGAAGGGGAAAAATTGTTCAGCCAATAAAGACAGCTATACGCTTGCAATGTGACCGGGCAAGCGTCGGTCCCTCCACCCACGATGGATGTTAGAATCTAGGTTTGTGGGGCTGTACTATTCAAAGCAGATGCGTCTCACTGCGACCGCACGCAAGTCTTGCCGTTGCTGGTCCGATTGTATCCGGGCTGGCAAGAGTCAACACGGCAGCTACCTGTCATGCAAGACACTCCAACAGCTCCAGGGATAGTGGTACAATCGTGGCTGCAGCGATGAGAACTAATCAGCAAGAGTGGTAGAAAAATAGGACGATGAGGGACATACGTCTGATTGACAGTGCCACAACCCCCACAGGAGTTCAAATCCGACTCCGTGTCCACGCACTCGAACCCCTCCTGAATCCACCCGGTAAGTGAGGTTGGGCGGGAATGGGAAGTCAGGGGGCAGACAGTCAAGCTGAAGGGACAGAGCTCATCGGAGATATCCTCGTCAACAAGACGGAGCTGGTCCCTTTTAACAAGGGTGTAGCTGTCCGAAGTGGTTCGGGACTCCCGCTTGGATGGGCTGGGTCGGGGAGCACCATGAGTTTTTGAAGGTCTGGCTTTGCCATCGTGAGTTTTGGAGGGTTTGGCTCCGCCATCATGAGTTTTGGAAGGTTTGGCGTAAGGAGTGTGGAACGCCTTTGAGGGGCGTGCCGCATGAGCTCCGTAGAACCCGGTTGGCTTTGACCACCGTTTCGTGTAGACCTTGGATGGTGTCGGGAAATGAGGCCCATGGACCTTGGACGGTCCCGGAAAACGATGACCATACGTTTTCGAGGGAAACGCTTTCGACGGATACGGCTTCGAAGGCCTTGGAGCTTTGGCGTGCCTGTTGTTGGGCAAAGCGGAGGCTCCACCCAACAGGCAGAGCACGACCAAGCTCAATGCCGAATAAAGGAGAAGTCGCATGGTGTGAGAGGATGGCACCGGGAGGGAGCAATGCCAATGAAGGGTGGGAGCTGGATGGAAGGAGAGGGGAGAAACAAGAGTGAGGCAACCAGTATAAGAATAGAGTGCCAACCCAAGGATACGCGGAGATCGAGGAGAGATGACCGTTCAGGAGGTTGCGTGAACCGGGGGATTGGACACGCTTCTCGAGGAGGGGACGTCACTCAGAATCTAGCCATTTCTGAGAAAGCTAAGACTATTTGAAGGCTCTCGGCAGTGCGAGTCGGCATGGTCATTTGCAGCGATTTCGACGGTATGCAAATAGGGACATTGTCCTCCGCCTTCCAACCCCTGCAGGCCTCGACTGTCGGAAGGTTCTTTTGGTTACTCCGCCCTTCGCTGCGATGCAACCGACTGGGGAGAAAACACATGTCGATTATTCGTACAATTGTGTACTCCTCCCGTACGTCGGATGTACGCAGCCAGCCGAAAGAGGGGATGCCTCCAAAATTATCCGTAAGACGATGACATCAGTTTGTCAATCTGAAGGACGGCTTACCTTGTTCGGAAATGCAGTCGTTATAACTTTGCCTCGACCTCCGGACTGTGAGAATTCCTGCGAAGTTCGAACTCCTATCCTGGAATGCAATCGAAAACATAAGCATAGGAGGCGGCTAGATTGACAAGTGGAACTGAAACTAGGGTGCCAGGAGCATGTTAATTCAGTTTCCAGCGAGTTTGCATGCAGTCGTAGCGATGTACGGTGTCCGACCAATCAACTCAAGCGAGTAACGGAAGATCAGACAGGAGTACAATGAATATGCATTCGATGGGATTGCGTATGTGAAAGTAGATAGCATGAAAGTCCAGCAGTGTCGAAGCTGAAGGCCACCGTGAGTACAAGGACCTATAGTGTCGGAAAATAACCACCGTATCTTGTCGTAGATTAACCTGTCGACTGAGACATGTTACTGGGCGGAAATATGAATAACGAACTTGGACTCTGAACAACCGAGTAGCGGCACTGTGAAGATGGGGATGCATGAGACCCACAGCTCACAGTTACGGTCGCCACAAGCCGAATCAGATTTGTCTCCGGAGCATCTGCAGAACACACCACGGATATGGTTCATGGTTCGATACGTCAGCATCCTCGGGCAACGAATGTATTCCATATCATCAAGGATAGGAAAATACGCCAGTCACGAGTCGATATGTTTCTTCACGAGGCATTCAAGGCTTCAGAGGAAAGAGGGCATACATCTTGCATCCGAAAAAGCGGATAGGACAAGTGGAGACCGGCCTCATCAGGCAGTAGGCTGTTGTTGTCCGTGGAAACAAGAAGAAGAGGAAGAGAATCAGAAGCGGACTCGCTCGACGAAGTAACCGCCCACGGGGCACCCTAATGTGGGTTTCGCACGTGACCGATACGCGATACGCGTCGATCGCATTCGCGGGAAACGCGTTTGCACCGCTTTATTTTGGTTCACCTTCAGCGCCAGCCGCTTCACGTTGTTGAACCCGCCTCTATCGCCCTTCAACCACATTCATGACTGTCCCATTGGACCCGACGTTGGAAGAAGAAGACGACGACGAGTATGAGCAGTTCTATGACCCATTAGACATCGAGGACATCCTTAACACGTCAGAACACCCTATTCCGCCGGGACCGCCAGACCATCCTGACTCACAAGAAGACACTCCTGCCCCAGTTCTCGAACACTCACAGGCGATATCTGACAGTAACAGTAACGATGAATATGACAAGTATGACTTTAGCGAGTTCACGGCGGAAGATTTTGCCAGCATCGACGCCGCCGTGCTTTCTGCTTTTGAAATCATTCCGACTCCCGCAGACGCAGTTCCGTCAGCGAATACAAATGGAACAAATGCGGAGGCTGGCCCAAGTAGTAACGGGCCGCATTGGGACATTTTCGGAGGTCCTGCTGTTGCCATTAGCATAGAGGAGTCCGCTGACTCTTCTGGCATTGTGAAGGAACCTGATCTTCCACCTGTAATCGAGAAGCCTATTGCCGCAGAGCCCAAATCTGAACCTTGGAAGCGGAAAGGCCCCTCTCCTTATGATCGTTTTAGGAGTTACAGAGGCTTTTTAGCTGTAACCGATTTAGTTAGTCCATCATGGTGAGCACGTTGTTTCGTTCGAAAAAGTTGACGTGCAGACCACCTCACAGGTGTGAAGTGCAGTATGACTACGCGCTACGGCAGAAACGACACTTGAAGCTGCAAGATAGACCTACGTCATTTAAGACCGCTGATGGAAAGTTGATTTCTGTTGACAAGAATGTTGCCGCCGTGAATAATACGGCTGCACAACGCGGCAGGGTAACTTTGCTTACTTTCTGTTTGCGCCCCGTACTCACACTGTATCCATGTTGCTATTGGTAGTCGGTGCATAAAGTCCTCGAACGCGAAATACATCCGGAACCTGTAGCTGTGGACCTGGTCACAGGGGAGGATCGATGGGGTCTGCGGTACGTCCTTGCCCTTTTCTAGAAACTAGAGAGATTCCTCAGTCGAGCTCTTTCTAGGTTGGTGAACATGATCACATCATTACAGACTTTGTTGGACGGCGGTCGCTGTGTAGGTTCAAGTCTCTTCTGTCGCTTCGACACCTAACATCATTTACAGCGAGAAATGCCTGTCTTCGGGATCTTAAACGGCCAAATTATAACTGGTATCATAGTAAGACCCCCGAATATAAGTACATCTCATCGAACTAAGTACAATTCATTAGGATGAGATTGAACGTAAACCTATTTCCCCTCCCGAGCCTCTCTCTCCCCGATCCCGAAACAAACGTAGCACACCCAGTACGCCTACGAAAGGCAAACTCAAGAAGAGCCGTCTCTCCCCCTCATTTCCTGAACAACCATCTATAACCTCATTCTTCCCCTCCACTCCCAAACGTTCTGCTGACTACCCTATAGACGAAGATTTTGCAGGACCATCTTCAGAGGCAATGAGTTCACTTCCACGTCCACCTCCTCAGTTCCGGCTACATATTTCGGATACGAAGACTCGCCGACATCATTCAGTCCCTCCGATAGAGGATACATTGACAGCGAGGCTGCAGCTCATGTTCTACCATCGTCTTCTATCACGACTGCTACTCCCGCCATCACAATCAGCGGATTCGCTTGACTTCCAAACGCTATGGTTGCTTCTACAGCTCAATCACCGTCGAAAGTTCTCGCCTAATTTCAGGAAACAATTAGGCCTAGGCGCAGATACCGCCGCCAACTCTAACTTTCTTGGAACGGCCGAAGGTGGACTTTCGACTGCCACTTGCTTGGACGACCTCACGAGGATATGGCGGAACACTGTCGAGACATTGAGTCTCGGCGGCGTCGACGACATGTTGACAATAGTTTACCGCACCCAGCCAGTTGTGCAACGCAAGAAACGAAAAGGAAAGTCGACAAAGCGAAAACCGGGAACAGTTTCAAAGGATGAGGAAGAGAATATCATCCGTGCTGTCATCGACAGTCTGAAGGATGGGCCTTCTCTTGACGATCCTGAACTCGCTGAAGCCATCAGTGAGAGTTGGCGAAAAATAAGTACGGACGTGGACGTGAACAGAGGAGTTGTTCCTCTGGACGATGCTGAAGTCATCGAGGCAGAAGCTTCAAGGGCTTGTGCCGAGACAGCCAATCAAGCTGACCAAGGTGCACAACTTGCGTGGGCGATCCAGCAGTCCCTCCTTGCACACGTCCGAGAACGTCCTGAACTCAAACAATCTATCATGCCCCTTTCACGAAGCTCCTCTCCTTCTCCTTCTCCGCCCACGAGTAAAGATGGTGAAACCGAAGGAGTGCAGACGGAGCCTGAAGGTAGCGATTCGGATATCGACGTGGATCAACAAATAGCTTCGACTGTCATTGGGACAAAGAAGTTTAGGATGGATGATAGGATGTTGAATGGGTACTTGGGGAGTGTATTGGACTGGTGGCATGGGAGACGGCCACCGAAGGGTGTAGATCTTGAGTTGACTAGAAGGTGTCTGTGAGTGTCGTACATTCCTAAGTTTTGTGTTGGCCTCTTGTCTTATCCGGTCTCTTTATGCAGGTGGTGTGAGTATCAAGAAGGCTGCGAGTGGCGGGAGAAGAAGGCCACTGAAGCGCGGGAAAAGATTCGCAGTCAGTTGATTTGACAGTCATGAGGTGGTTTACTGGATATTGTTCGGTCGTTTATTTGCTCTCCTCATGGATGTATCATTCTACGTAGAGTAGTATTAGGCAACTCAACTTAGGAGAAGGGCGCGTGACATTCAAGCTTTCAAGCTTCCAACCCTTTCCGTTGCACGCGGCTTTTAATTAAGAGGTTAGTGGGATGGTACCAACGCGATCGATACCGATCGGCAACCATCTCGAGATCCTGACAACACAGTCCAGCACGTGGTCATTGTTATTATTACTGGGCTTTGGCAAGTTTGGCCCAGGCTCGCAAAAGTCTCTTCCGTTGGATACCAGTCGTACTGTATGTACTGTAGTTCCCCAATAACTCAGAAAAAAATAAAAGATGTTCGCAGTGCAGAAGATGAGGAAATGACAGAACGTAGTCCTACCTTAACTGGTCATCACAGTTTGATCATGTCTACATAGCAAAGCGTGCCGGCTCCACGATTTCCTACCTCTCAACCAACTCTACTACGCATGCAGCATTGGCCCTCGGATGGTAACAACGTTCACCCTCGCATAGTCCTTGTCGTTCCACCTCTTCGTTGAAGAAACAACACGCTCCGACCCCTAAGCAAACTCAAACCTCTCCTTTCTACTCACTCCTTTAACCTTTCCTAATCCGCCACCATGTGGAAAGATCATCTACATTTCTCCCTTCTCGGAGAACACGTCTTGTTTCCCGGCCTTCATCTTGAAACACCCCGGCACTTCCTAGTTGCTTCAATCCTGGCATTTGTTCTGTGTCTATCCGAGAGGTACTTCTAGCTTGATTGGGCGACGGTACAAGATAGAACTCAATCCACCTTACCTGTGATCAGAGCTTTGACCTATGCTATCACCAAGCAATGGAATCCATTTGTTTGGACACGACGTACACGTCTACGAAAGGCACTGTGGAAAACATGCCTGTATTGGATCGTCACGCTTGACAGATTGTGAGGACGTTACGTTGGCATCTGACATTTTCTGTCAGTTAACAAATTTCGAATGATTTCACAGGATGTACATGTTGTTGGCAATGACTTTCAATGTCGGGTTAGTCATATTCGAGTGCTTTTGATCATACGAAGTGTGTATTGACCGTTATTATAAAGATTGATCATGGTCGCTGTATGTCAATGAATGCCGCGTTACGTCAGTCTGTATGTACCTGACAATATAACTTTCCGTTTTTCGCAGGTCACCGCCTTGTCAATAGGACAATTTGTCATTGAATATCTTGAAGAATCTCAGAACGAGCAGCGGTATCGACGAGAGTGAGTTTTCCAGACAGCCCACTTTTTATCCTGCGTGCTCACTTGCTCCCTTGTCACCCTAGCTCTGAAAACGTCAAAGAGCCACTGCTCGAATCACCTACCGTGTACGAGCCACCCGTAGCTCTCCACTCATATCCCTCCTATCGTTCCCTTCCATCACCAACATACACTCGATCCTCGCCACTATCCCTCTCACCCGTCTCCTTGAACACACACCAAGTATTCCCCAACCCTGACCTACACTCAATTCCATCTCTTCCACCACCGTCAAGTTCCAACCTTGACTCTTCTATCTCTGGAGCCTCCGGAGCAGTTATCGGCCGACCACGTTCGAAGTCGAAACCAACGAGCATCTTCATCCACCCGACAGAATCCAATCTTGCTAGAGCGGACGCCGCAGCCCAACAAATGGGTTTGCAAGGTGATACTGAGCTTGTGAAGGCGTCCCTATACCCGGCTGAAGAGGAGGCTGCTTGGGAAATTGGAAAGGGGAAGGATGTTGCGAGGCAGCTGATGGGTTTGAGGAAAAATACACTATAAGTCGTTTGTCGTAATGTGCAGAACTGGATGCTGAGTTTAAATATGTGTATTCGTTTGTATAATCGTAGAGACATGGAAGCCGGCCTTCTTCAATCAGTCAATCAACTTGTTCGCTCATTGTTACAATGGTCGTGAATCGTGATCGTCATGAATATTAAATTAAATGCAACCGTATTCCATGCAAGAGATATATGTATCGAAATGGTGGTATCTAGTAAATTTGCACAATTGAAAAGTATCCAGACCCGCAACGAAACCAAATCGCCCAGCATCCCTATCAAAACTACCGTCCTCTCCCTGACAAACTCCCCCTCTTCGGTCCCGCACCCTTGCCCACACCAATCTCCCCCGACTCTTCAACAGCACGTTGCCACCGGTCAATCAACTTCGACACGCCCTGATAAGGTTTCTCAGGAGAAGGCGATCGAGGCTCTTCTGGCGGCGTCACGACCTTCCTAGTAGGAGAAGCCGGTACAGGCTCTTGAGATGTAATCCCCGGAGACGGCCTGCTAATCTGTAATGGTGACGCGCCTCTTGGGAGTCCGTTGACAGCGGCCGCATGTATATCAGGATTCTTCATGAAGCTTGAACTGGCAGATCCACGCGTAGGCAGGCCACTTAGACTAGGAGCAGGGGACGCCCTGCCTCTTGATAATACGTCCTTCTGCGAAGGAACCGGAATAGCAGCAGGGGTGATGGCTTGACCGTGATCGGAATCATCAGGTACAGCCAAACTAGCTTTCGACAGCACAGGCGAACTTGTCGGTGACAACCTTGGGAACCTCGAAGCGGCACTAGCAGGTGAAGATAGCCCGGTATCGGTGCTAGTGGCACCCCCTGTCGATCCTCCTACTCCGGTGGAAGCTACCTTAACGCTAAGTCCAGCTGGTTTCGCAGCAGGTGCAGGAGGTCCCGGTCCTGGTCTTCCGCCGATCGCTTCATACCGCTGAACCATATCTGAAATCGAAGACCTCCGTGCAGACCTCCTTGAACGTGCATCTGGGGCGGGCGGTGACAGTGTTTGCTGCTGCGCGGAAACGGAGGAAGACAGAGAGCCTCGTGTGGGCGCATTGGCTTTGCTTTCCAGCGGGGCGCTCCTTGGGCTTACGATCATTGACTGTGGACGAGCACGACCTGATGACGCTGTTGGAATCGGAGCTGGGAGAGCGCGAGCATTAGGCGTAGGCTTGGTAGATGGTGCTCTGCGATGTTGTTGGCTTGAAGGAGGTCTAGGCGGCATGAAGCGACTTGTCGTCGTTGCAAGAGGAGATTCGTCAGAAGTAGCTGTAGATATCAATGGCTGAGGAGACGAAGAACGTGGTTTACTTGTAGAAGATGGCATGATAATCATACTCCTCTTGTCAGGCGATGTGGATCGTGGAACCTTGGCATCTTTGTCAACACCACCTCCCCAAAGGTCGACCAGGTCATGCACGGAACTTTGTCTGCCTTTGCTTCTCCGTCGTCGAGCAGGTTCTTCTTTAAGCGGCGTAGTGGTGATGTGGCCCTTTCGCACTTCATCATGCTCTTTGACCTTCTGTCGAATGCCGCCTTTCGGTACGAAGCCATTGAGATCCTCAGGACCATCGTCGGAAGATGAAGAAGTGGAACCGCGTTTAGCAGGGGAAGGAGGCCTAGAAGTCGACTCTATAGGACTCCAATTACTAGTTAGACCACTAGGAGAAGAGCCAGCACTGCTGCGTTGAGCTGCGTTTGTATCCACACGAGGCAGTTGCAAGCTACGGTCAGAAGGTTGCGTCCCAGTCCCAGTCCGAGTAACAAAAGCTTTCGTTGATTTCGTAGAAGCGGCGCGCGACCTATTCTTCTCTCGTCCCTTCTGATGTTCCAGCTCTTTCACACGGTCGCGTTCGCGTTCATGTTCACGATGTCGCTGGCGTTCGCGCTCCTTCGCCCTCTCTTGCTCCTTCATACGTTCCTTCTCGCGTTGCTGCTCAATCTGTTTCTCTAAATCCTGACTAGTAGGCCAGTCTTGAGAACCAGTGACGGCTTCAAGCGGTTTCTGTATCATGACAGGACTCTTCTCAATGAAAGAGGCGCGTTTACTTGGACTCTCCCTCAACACAGGCTGAGATTTACTCGAAGCTTCATCATCCGAAGCGCCGGTAAGCCAATCGCGCGATTCCTGACGTGGACTGGCGGAAGGTCTAGGAGGAAGAGCAGGCGGGGACAATTGAGCCGAAGTTGAAATGAGGGTCGCTTCAGGCGGAGGCGCACGTTGAGTGGGTTTTATCGAGATAGAACTGCGGTGTCTCCTCGTCAACTGAGGTCTCGACGGCGAAGTCGGCACATCTCTGCCACCCGAAAGATAGTCGCCCTGTGAATAATTGGCTGTCGGTTGCCTGGAACTAGCCATACGAGACTCCCGCATAGCCGCGCCAGTGACTTGTTGAGACTTCACTCCGTTAAACCTATTACTGCTAGTGGCCGGAGTTGTACCAGCGGTAGTACCGTTTATGCCTGGTAGGTTTCCAGTACGAAGGCCACCTCCCGGACCTCGTGAAAGCGGCCTCGCAGGTAAGTGCTTCTCGCCTATGCGCTCCGTTGAAGATGGTTGTGAGGGTACGTGTATTGATTTCTCCTTGCCATGCGGGGTGACCAATGGCGATGTAAATTCCCGGTCAAGATCCTCTAACGAGGGGAAACGCTCTTCCACTGACATCTCCCCGAAACTCCGCGATGAGCTCGCAGATAGATTACCATGTGGCTTCCAGGCCTCAACTTGAGGCGAGGCGGAGCGGGCGGGTTTGGAAGAAGCAGAGGGCATGGGAGAATGCGAGCTTGGAGGGCGATACGTGGTATTACTTGTGCCAATTCCTAGAACTTGACCAGTGGATGGCGCATTGAGATAATTGCTCGCAGATCTGCCTGACCTGTTTGAAGCATCAGAACTTGCTGGCGCACCTAGAGTGGCAACGCCAGTTCGAACACGACGCGCTTCACCAAGAGTTGGCGGAGGCGGCGGAGAAGTAAGTCCAAGACCTTCAAAAGCATCCTTAGACTGCGGATGAGGAGATGGGGCTGGCTTTGACGGAGACGGGGTGGGTCGAGGAATGGACGTTGGCTGCGTTTGAGGATGGCTTTGGTTCTGAGACTGGGGGATCTTCGGTGATGGAGGGGGCAAAGGAGACTTTGCAGGTTGAAATGAATCCCCAAATCCTCTCCCAAATGAGGCAAAATCGTTATCGAAACCTTTGGCTTTCTCCTCGGATTTCCCATCTCTCTGATCCCGATCTTTCTCCCGTCCACTGAGTCCCCAAGCATCATGATTGCTTGCGTTCAAGTTCGCACCACCACCGAAAGTCGCCATACCAGACTTGTGCCCTCGGACACCGTGCCATGCCCGATCACCATCTGTGCCAAACTTCATATGGGTACCGAGAGGTGCTACGTTCCTCTCCTTTCTAGGACTAGATGGAGGCGTTGATATGACAGCGGACGCAGGCCTCCCACGACGCATAGGAGCAATTGCATCAAGCACCTTTTCCCTAGCTTCTACACCCGCGTTCCTGGCGGGCGATAGAGATGGTTGACGTGATTTATAAAATACTAAATCGTCAAGCGGATTGGTTCTTGGAGATGGAGGTGACATAACGTTTGGAGAAAGTGCCTGAAGAGGCCCAGGAGCAAGAGCACGCGGAGAGAGAGGCGGTTGCTTGGACGGTAGCTGGTAGGAACAGCGCGATTTGGTACCACGCAATGTATGGACGTGATTGAGAACCTCAAATACGCTTGGACGCTGCGTACCATGCTCCCGAAGCATGGAGGCTGCAGAAATAGTGGCTCAGCATGTGACGTTGTATCAATATTGGGATGCTCACCAATTAAGGAGTTCATCTGTTGGGAATACACAGGATATGGCGGGATCTTATACTGAACATTCAAAATCGCCAGAGGACCATGTTCTTCGAAAGGAGTTGTGTAATAGCACAACTTGTACAACAGGACGCCCAAAGCCCATACGTCGCTCTTCTCGTCGATCGGTCTCCTGAGATACACATCCACCATTTCTGGAGCTCGGTATTGAAGCGTCGTATGGCGGTTCAAGTCAGCTTCAAGCATGCGAATCTCCTGGGTGTTGCTAGGAACCTTTTGCACTGGTGTAGCACTACCAAAATCGCAGAGCTTGAAAGAGGTTTCCGAGGCCTGCAGTATGTTCTCGACTTTCAAATCTCTGTGCAGAAGCGGAGGTTTCAGAGCGTGCATAGCAGCCAAACCTTCACACACGTCGACGAAAATTGTTAGGATCTCCTGCTCGGTAAGCCGTTCGCGAAGACGACGATTCATCATGTCAATGATGCCGCCACCAGGACAGAACTCCATTAAGATGAAGACTTCGTATGTTCCGTTCGCCATCCGATGCCAAGCTGCATCTATGAGGCAGACAATATTGGGATGGCCTTTGAGTATCCTCTAGTATGGTTATACAATCAAACAAGACAGGAAGATGTCTTCACATTGCCACGTACCATTATGTCCACTTCTTTCTTTACTTCTGCAAGCATAGCCTCATTGGGAACTGCTATTCGCTTGAGGACATGATGTGTCGTGTTAAGTACAGGTGTGGCCGTCCTAACAAGATAAACATGGGCGAATCCACCTAGGATTTTGATGGTTTGGACATCAATATGATCGACGATGTAAGTTGCTACGTACCTTGGCTGAGGTAGCGTTCGATCTGGACAGTGTATTTGTTGACGGTAATGGCCTGGCCAGGCATCAGGGTGCCCTTGTTGGCCTGCACAAATGGTTGGTGGTAGGCCTGAGCCTGAGCCATGGCCGTAGAGTAGAAGAAAGTGCAACTGAGCGTGCGCCCAGCTGCAAGCAGTGTTGTTTTAGCGTTGTCCTATTGCTGTTTGAGCGCTAATCTAACCTGTCGCGTCTTGTCACGCTGTCACGACGATGTAACATATGTCACAGTGTCCCGTGACTGATCCCAGAGATTCAGACATGACGTCTCGCTTAGGGCAAGTTCGTTCACTGGAATAGCTATCAAATACTACATCCTGTTTCCTCTAGACTACAGTCATGTCCGACGCACTCAAGTCTGCAGTCGCTCACCTTCATACCCCGCAGCTTAATGAGGTCCCTTTCTCTCGCCCACAGACTCCGCACCACGGTCTTCAAATAGGCTTCTGTGGTCTGGGAGCAATGGGCTACTTCATGGCTAGGAACCTAGCTAGGCATCCAACTGCTCATATTTCATCACCTGTGTTAGTTTGGAATCGCACAAAGGCCAAATCAGAGCAGCTGGTTAAGGAACTCGGCGAAAGCAAGGTTCAAATCGCTGCAGATCCTGAGGAAGTTGCACGAGAATGTGACATCGTCTTCACAAACTTGGCAAGCGACGAGGTGGTCAAAGACGTATTTCTGAAGTTTGAGAAGGCTCTCAAGGTAGGCGATGGCTATGCCTAATATCTGATCTGCATTTAATTGCTGGATCTCTCGAAGTCTGTTATGTCTTTCAAGCCCAAGATCTTCGTTGAGACAAGTACGGTCTTTCCCGCATTAGCAGGTACTTCATAGCAGTATAGGCCCTTCCTACATCTCTCTGATACTATGCGTAGGCGAGCTTGATAACCTCATCTCGTCAACGGGCCATGCTCGCCTGGTAATGGCGCCTGTATTCGGCCCACCTCCTGCAGCAGACACCGCCCAACTCATCATCGTGATGGCTGGGGACTATCGTTCGAAAAAGGAGATCGCACACATTTTGGTCCCTGCCGTTGGTCGTAAGATTATCGACCTGGGTGGTAACCTGGAGAAAGGTCGGTGCATCGCTGACATGCTGAGATGTACTTGTAACCTATTTCATGACGCTTCTCAGCACCTACATTCAAGCTCATTGGCAATTCTTTCATCCTCGGCACTCTTGAGATTCTGGCAGAGACTCTGACCCTCGGAGAGAAGTCCGGAATACCTGCAAACCAGGTCTATGGGCTAATTAAAGACATCATGCCTGCGCCTCCGTAAGCCTTAACTCTACTTTGCGTCACTAAATGACTGAGAAATGACTTACAGCGTTATTAACTATGGCGAGAAGATGGTGAACGACCTTTTCGACGGTTCAAACGGCTTTGCCATCGACGGTGGTATCAAAGATTCCATGCACATTCGTCGTCTCACCACTGATTTGGATTCCCCAATGCCCGCTCTTGTGCGTCTTTCTCAAAAGAATTGTATGAATCGCGATTTCCTAATATCTCAATTTTCAGGATTCGGCGCACCAACATCTTTTGACTGCCCGTGCTCTCCATGCTGCAAAGAAGGCGCGTGGTCACTCAGTGTTTGAGACCCTTGATTGGAGTTCGCTTGTGGCTGGTGCTCGTGTTGCCGCTGGGTTAGACGGTTTCGATAGTGGGAAGGTGAGCAGTTGACCTACCGCTGTGAATTACTCTCGGGTGGTCTCACACCTGACATTCGCAGCACTCCAAAGTTGTCCCTGAAGACTAAGCGTTGTTCCTGGTGAAGAACGTTACTAGAGCCAGAATCGTTTCATTCCTCTTTTGTGCTTTTACCTGTTGTATACTAGGCGTTTAGAGACAGAGGCTGGACCGGAAGAAATTAATGCATGTGTAAGACTTTACCCGCAAAGCTGCAGTAGCACGTCCTGTTGCACAAGGTTTCCTCGACTGTAGTTTCCTTCGATCAATTCTTTAAGATCATGAAGAATGGGTACCAATTATTTGTTATTTATTTTCCCTCTACTTTCCTTACGTAACTTAGAGTTGTAAGCTTCAATGGTTCAGAGCGCCCAGAAACTAGTCTTGTCTTCTTCGTTCATTGTCTGCCCTGGTCTGTCCACTCGTTTCTGGTTTGGGGTTTTAGTTGCTTTGCGTGATGGAGATGTCAGTATTACTCTATAATTTCATACATTTATGCTGAACATCTCATAGGGATGACGATGATCTATTCCTCTACGGCGAGTCTAAGCCTGTGGCTGAAGTTGAGAGGCCAGCTGAGGTCCTTACTACTGGTGAGAATTGGATAACTCCTCCAGATAATGCTTGTATCATTACTCAATTGCATCAATGCTCATGCATCCTCCCCCCGAACCCATGTGATATCTAGTACCACAGCCGTAAGTCGGTGTTATGCTGCAGAGGTATGTCACGCCTGACGGCTAGGATGTCATATAGAATATCAGTCGAACAAACACAAGCACTGTCTACATCCAATGGCGTCGTAGCGAATCTTGAACAGAAGGCTGAGGAAGAAGTGAAACAAGAGGACCAACCGGCAGATGTGACTGCACCAAACGGAGAGGGCACACCTGAAGATGAAAATGACGAGGAAGCGGAAGGTGAGGGAGAAGGTGAGGGGGAGGAAGAAGAGGAGGAGAGTGAAGATGTATGTGTATTATTGCTCATTTTGCTGTGTTCTCACTTTTTATGTAGGATATCGAAATTATCATGGAACCTGCTGCGCGGTCGCTCGACTTCAGGTGTGTGGCGTTCGTGCATTCCTTTTATGACATGTCTAAATCATGAGCTACTAGGCAACAAAGGCCTCAACCCGGACGAACAGCTAGTGGGCAATTCACCACTCCAACACGACCTCAAGCACAACAGCCCCCACAACCTTCGTTAACTACCGAATATACACCTCGAGAACGAGGTACCCTCACCAAGCTTCCCTCCACGTCGCAACCCCCCAGCACGATTACAACCCCTGCACCTCCTCTTTCCGGTGCTCCCGGAACTCCCTCTCAAGCCGACCAAAAACCGTCTGCAGAAGCCGCATCTGCAATACCACTAGATTTAGGTCCAGATACGTCCACCCTTCCTGTTGCTACTGCACCGCCTTCACATCCTAGCATCGACGCAAATGTTCCTGGCATCTTCGACGGTCGCTCTATACTTGAGATTGACCTGAGTGCACTCGCTGAGAAGCCTTGGAGAAGACCAGGTGCTGATCTTAGTGATTGGTTCAATTATGGTTTTGACGAGCTTTCTTGGGAGGCATACTGCTATCGACGACGGGAGATTGGTGAAGTCGCGTCTGTGCTCAAGACCAATGTTCTGGTACGTTCTCTATTGTTTAGACACTGTTGGTACAGTTCTGACTTGCTTCTTCCAATCATAGAACTTCGCAGGCATGCCTGAAGATCAGCTAACAGCGTTGCCTCCTGAAATTCGTACCATGGTCATGGCTGGTGCAACTGCTATGATGAACCAAGCAGGTCCAAACGGCATGATTCCACCGGGTGCCAGCATGAATATGAACGGAAGCGCAATGATGAGTATGATGGACATGAATCCCATGATGAACCCTATGATGCACGATATGGGTGTCGTTGGAATGAGTGGCGAGATGGGACCTATGGGACCTGGGATGCCCATGGGTGGGCCCGGGGGCGGACCGGGACAAGGCATGGGAGGAGTTATGCCGCAAGGACCAACATCCGGTATGGGTGGAGGTGTTGGCGGACTTAGTGGGGGAGTGGGTATTGGTCCCGGCTGTGCACCTCAGGCAGGGGGCGCAGAGCAAATGGGTATGGGCGATGGTTTCGGTGCACCAGGTCAAGGAGGCATGATGGGCATGGGCATGGGTGGTGAGTTCCCGATGCAGGTGCGTGACATGTTGATGTGGTCTGGGACACTCGGACACATGTAAATTCCATGAATTTTCATACGGGTCTCAATTTTATAGGATACGAATATGGGTCAGCAGATGTTTCACCAGCAACAGCAGCAGCAACAACAACTACAGCAACAGCCAATGGAGCAACGTAGCGCGACGCCTACTCAGCCTTCTGCAGCAATCCAGAGTCGTGGTGCTGCACCGACGGCTCCATTTAGAGGGAGGGGTATGCCACCAACAATGCCTTCACGTGCTCGTGGTGGCTTCGCGGCTCGTGGTCGTCGTAAGTGTTTGAATATTGTTTATCAGGATTGGGAAGTGTAAGCTGAGTGCATTGAAGCTCTGCCAGTTCGTCCATCATCACCATTACCACCGAACGTGCCTACAGGCCCTCGCAATAAAAACAAATACAAGGACATTGACGGAAGCGCCCCAGCCGTTGAAGGCCTGGATTACGGCGGTGGAGGTGGAAAGGAGAGCAGGACTCCACCTGATTACGATGACCGAAGCAGTCGGTTGGTAGTTTCATCTACCTTACACGTCCCAATGTTAATGTTTTTCATCGATTACGCAGGAAGCGAAGAGGCTCGCCTGGGATGGACGACAGCAGGAGCTCCAAGCGACGATAGTGTTCGGCATTACATCCATGTATCGGTTTGCTCACATTGTACCTTCTTGTTAATTCCTGTTATGTTCTGCACCGCTCTGCATATTTACTGGCATATTCAGCTTCAGGATTCCGCCAAATTATGAATGAGTAGTTTATACCGAAGGTAACACCACCAGTTGTAAAGTGTAAGACTATGAGTATCTATCGAGTCTATGAACTGGGTGGAGATGCATCCTGCGACTGCGCATCCTCGAGACTCTTCTTCAGACCCTCCAATGTCCTTGCCAACTTTCCCCCGCTCGCCTCACTAAGTACCATCGCTAATTGCGTTGCGGGTGCACTGAGTAATCCTACCACCTGTGCACGAAGCGTGTCGAGATTAGGTAGTTTCGCGACGTCTTGAACTCCCTCCGCCTTGAATACTCTCCCTTCAATCAACGCTCCCACTACTTTGAGGTCCGGTATAGGATCAGGCTTAAACCGTCTGACACCCCGACCTGGGACGAACGTCTTCTCGAGCTCTTTCTTCTCAAGCTCAATTTGCTCCGGTGTCTTGGGCTTACGCGGTGGTACTGCACGCGACATGGTCTTGAGGACAGCTTGGAGCTGAGGTGGATTAAGCTCGGGAAGCGTCAGAATAGCGAGTCCACCTTCAACCATGTCGGCAATTTGTTTTGCGATTGCAGTGTCCTTGGGTGCCTGATCTCGCAGCACAACACCAAATATTGAGCTCTTCAAGAACATCAACTTTGGTAATTGCGGCGACGGGGGTGTTGTCGAAATAGGTGCGGGTGTTGGGGAAGCAAATGAGGGCGTAGGTGTGACATGGCGAGAAGCCGCAGCCGCAATTTCGCGTCGGAGGGCAATAAGGCGAGGAATTGAGAAGTCTGAGTGTTGGAGGAGGATAATAGGAGAAGACGCGCTTTGTTGAAAGATACGGGAGTAGTGGTTATAGATGAATGTTTTCTTCTCGCCATACCTGCGAGGGCCTTTTATCCTCGGATAGACCAAGGGAGGGTCAACGGACATGTATGACCTGGTCCATATATGAATTGCGGTCGGTGGTGAGACGCGTCCCACTCGTGCCAACATCCTATAGCCCTCCTCGTGCTAGATGAATATGAAGACAGCGGTGGCTGCTGCGAAGGACAAGCCAGGAGTTTTGAATTATTTTCCCATAAGTGTCCGCTTATGGTCGCCGATCCGATCGTTCAAAATTTTGGTTTTCCTCGCCGTTGTCTCTACACGTCTCTCGATCTCTTTCTTGTGGTCTCTCTCCTTTCAGACTCTGCTTTCTGTGGGCTTCAGCATTATTAGAACTCAGCTTGTGTTTCTTAGATATTCTCTCAAATGGGCAAGTCACAGAAAAAGAAGCAAATGCGACGGCATAATCCAATGCGAGTCCCAGACTCGCATATTCCTCATGGATTAGCTTCGGCATCCGCGTCGTCGTCAAAAACGGAGGCCATTCTGCCTATTATTCAAAAGGTGACTCCATCCGATGGTGGAATATATGTTCCAGGCTCTTATTAGGTTGACTGATGCTTCCAGATGCAAAGCGTCGATCCTGCTGAGCGCAAATGGGCTTGCGTTGCCGTTTCCAACCTCATTCAAAATGATCCCTCTACTAGGCGACTCTTGCAGGGAAAGAATATAGTCGGCGCATTGATTACTCGCCTCTCGGATAGCGAGGAAGAAGTTCTGATTGAAGCTACGGGTGCTTTGCGGTGAGAGGTCTCGTATGTGGGTATCTACGTCCAGGTTAGTTATTATAACCCCATAGGAACCTGTGTATCGATGGCGGCTACGATATCTGTGCCGAGATGTACAATAAGAATATCCTTGTTCCTCTCAAAACATTCGTGCCAAAGGTCTGGCGTGACTTCTAAGTACTGCACCACCTTCCATTCAATTCCTTCGCTGTCCTAGATCTCAAACACCTTGTCTCAATTCCTTGAGTCACCAAAAAATGCGCGTGAAAATGCACAGAAGCTCGTGTACGAGTTCGCGGATAATATTATTACCATCCTCTGGTGCCTTTCGTGAGTATACCACTGCCCTCCGGGTTTCGAAGTACTTCTGATGCTTCTGCGCTAGGGAAACCTCGAATAAGGCTCTCAATGCAGTCAACCAAATCTCATTAGTTTCATTTCTCATGTCTTTCCTGGCTTCACGCGAGAAGCTCCCTCTATCGACTGTAACATCAGCCGGTGAGATACTACACTTTTGTCATTTATTATAGACACTGATTCCAGAGCATCTTAGCTCAATGTCTGTACATTCTCACCGATGACAATCCTCCTGCCATCGATGAATTGAAGAGCAATGAAACATATATTCTATGTTTACTCTCTATCGTGCAAGCAGACAACTCCTTGAACAGAAAAGGCAAAGACGTCTCGGATGAGCGAATTGTTACGTTACGAGTTCTATGCAGTGGTAAGCGAAGATTGGCTTCCGTGAGATTGTCGACTTACGGAGTTGTTAGGCGTGTTACGACATGTTATTCCAATCCGGCCGTCGTCCATTGCTGCCACCCTCGACATTGATCGAGACGTTGTAATACCTACGTTGCAGCCAGTCTTGTCTTCGATATCTTTGGCCGAAACAAGTCAATGCGTCCAGGAATTGATAGCGCAAGAGGATTCGTTTCCTCCGCTAGAGAAGATGACGCTTAAGCACACGCCCAAATCCGATCACAAGTCCCCCACAGAGTTGCAATTAGAGAGACTAGAGAACAGACTCAGGACCGTCCAAATTTCCCTGGAGATCCTGACTAGTGTCTGCGCAACGCTTCCTGAGCCCGAACCTGAACTCGACGGCAATGCACATGACGATGGCCCTGAAGGTAGTACAAATTTGTAAGATACGATTGAAGTAAAAGCTGATACATTACAGATGAGGACATGGAAGACCAAGAAGACAATGGTGAGACTGAAAACGACAAGATATCGTCATCAGAAAATACCAAGTCCACGTCAACGGCGTACCTGCCCACCCTCGTGGACCCGTTGCTTCCTTTGATACAACCAACGCCACTATCGTTTCCTCCTTTGACCGGAGGTGTTTCTGTTCACCCACCCACAACATCGGCACTGAGTGGCATTCACATCTGCGCAATGGAATGCCTTAACAATATATTTTGGTCACTCGCTGCGCCGGCATTAACCCAAACTCAACAGCGGTCAACAGCTCTTGACACGGACAGTGGCGTGAAGGTTTGGGACTCTGTTTGGAATTCGCTCTATGTTGTTGGAACGGAGTTTAGCGGTTTGGGACAAGAACGGCGCCGTGAGTTATGGTATCTTAGTGTGGGTGTTCTGTGGGCCATAGGGTTGGTCTGGAAGGGGTTATTGGTAGGTGTTCAGATCCCGGTGTGTGATTCTGGCTGCGATTGACACCATGATCGGCCTGCAATCCTAGGTCCCCAATGAAGAGCAGATCCGCATCTTAATTCAGTTATATGAGTCAACTTCCGACCCGGTGGTGAAGGTGAAGGTTATTGGGACGCTGGAATGCCTGGCTCATCACCCTCAATCTGTTGACGCGAATCAAGTACGTAAAACTTAATTCATGCACGGTGGATTCGGAGGGCTCAATCGGCTGGCTTACTGATCCTAGGTTGTGTCAAATTTCCTCTTATCACTCATTCCAGGATCCATTCAGTCAACGGTGACACCCGTGGAACCCCTGCTTCAAGCAGTCTCGGCGATGATTGACTTATATTCGGACGAGACGATGCCATACGACATAAACTTCCGGCAAGGAAATTATGCCGATGCTTTGGCGGCAAGCATCGAACCAGTTCGAAAAGTAGTTCGCGGCATCGATCGAAAGCGAGAGCGAGAGCTAAGGCGACGAGGAGAGGAAGTGAGGGATAACTTGGTTGCATTTGTCGGGTACAGAAGGGCGCTATTGCTGTGATTCATCTCCACCTTTCGTCGGCCGGCTTCTTGTCACGACTCAGCTGCAGAACGTGGTGCAGGTCCGCGATTTGCACATACCTCAGTTCTCACTATTGATTATTGTTCTGGCTTCAGGTGAATATATTATAGTCTCCTATCTGCGATGGCTCGGTATAGATCCATAAGCGGACAACTTAGTGAGACGACATGCCGGCATTCGAGTCTAGATTGCGGAAGTAATCCTCAGTAAGTCCTAAGTTTCACGTAAGTGTTATAGACAGTCAAGCTATGTCCGATATGATGGGCTTACATGTTGTTTATTGGATCAGTACCCTGGTTAAGGTAATGAATGTAAGAATAAAGCAAATAAATCATTCCAGAACTGCCGGCGACAGTTGTGATTCGCCATGGGAAGTTGATGGTGATATCCTAGACCTCTTAGTTGATGCAAACCTGTTTCTCTTCTCCCGCAAAAATAAAAAAAGAATAGAGCGGGTACTTGCATAGAATGACGTGAAGCCTGGTGGGCGGATGATATGGGGTGCGTTGTGAACGAGATGAAATACCAGGCCGGTGATGACCCGTTGTTTGGGATGTTGAGATTGTGGCTGAATTATTAGAAGTCCGGAACCCAACTCTTGCATTTTTACAGCACTATCATGGAATTAAGTCGGTGAATACGCGAAACAACCCCCCAGTCGAGGAAAAGATGATAGGTTGGAATTTGGAAATGTGTCCAGTAGATTCTGCCAGTACTCACGGTCTTGATTCAAGGACGCGAAAAAGATTAAGCCAAAAACAACGAATGGTACGTACAAGAAGATATTTGAGTGTAATGCCGTGGTTTACTTGCCCTGCAAGGCCCCACCAGCCTACTAAAGCAGCTTGCAAGAACGAAACCCTCTCCCTGACGAGCGCTTGACAAACCTACTTGCTATTTCCGGAAGACTCCCATCACGTGGAGGAACACGACGCGTCAGAAATTCCCACGGTTTATGCGCGTCGTGGGTTGGGAGTTGGCCTTACAAGCGATAACCACATTCTTTTCCCTGACGGCCACTACGCATACCCCTCAACACTTCAAAAGTCTGCAGTGTATGTACATCTTTACCTACTTGAGCTTGGCTAACACGCTGCCATATACACGTATTATTAGTATATCAATGGACCTCAGTTTGCGTCATCTCCCGGATCTTTCAGATGCAACTGGGGCGTCTGACTTCTCTGAGGCATCCTTTCAGATACCAGTTGCCGACAGTTTATCTTCAGATTTACTGCTTGCAGACGATAGTACAGACTTCTTCAAGGGAATCGACGAGACTTTGGCTACACCCGCTGTAGCACCTCCAATCCGCAGGCAACGCGCCCTAAGACTCAATGAACTGACCCCGAAATCTAAAGCTTCTCGCCCAGTACGCTCCAAGTCTCGTCCGGTGATACCCTCCCCCTTGAAGCGGGTAGTAGCTCAAGACCTGACTATTGCCCTGGATGAAGCCCTCTCGCCGCTCAAATCCAATGAACCTTCCTTTACCATTCCACACATCAGTGCGGGTGTGGATGGATTACTTTTGTCGATAGATGCCGATCTTTTGAAGTCGAATGGGGCCGACGTCACGATAACAGACGGTCTTGCTTCGTCGACAGCGCAAGACATGCTAACATTGAGTCAGCTGTCACCAGTGTCCAGGCCTTTACCGCGGTCGCCTTTGCATTCTCCGCTAGTGGTTCCTGTATCCTTTCCTTTTTACGATCAAGCAAATATACCCAGTCTCGCCGAGGCCTCAGATCCGACAGGAGTCTCCGAGTCTGTCAACAGTCTCACCCAAGAACCCGCTGCGCTGCAACCCCCGAGCCCTGGACCAAATTTCGAGACAAGATGCATGTCACCACTCTGTCCCGAGCAAGGCCCTAGTGCTTTCGTTGGATCACTAGGCAATGGCGAATCTTCAGCCCCGCAACGAGCAAAGCAGAACCCGCCGCCATCAGGGCGAGGCATGGTGAGCAATGAACTCAAAGTTAAGCCGAAACGTGTAGGTCCTTCCAGCCGATTCCATTTACAAGGCTTGCCTTAACTGTCCCTTGTCTCATTCTAGACCGTGATCGAAGGTGGGATTTCCAAGCGCGGTACCGCGAAACTGCCACCATCGATGGCCAGCCGAAAGCTCTCGAAAGCTGATGGGAAATCAAATCCACCGACTCAGTCTCTTGGCGTGAGGAAGGACACGCTCTCCTCGGTCAAGGAAGGGCAAGCTAGTGGTCGGTCAACCGCCACGCGCGCGAATGTCAAGCCTACTATCCGTGATAGTCCTGAACCTGGCAACTTGGCCGCTGCTCTCCTATCATACGGATTAAAAAGTGAGATAACATCGAACGGAAAAGCACAGTACGTAGCTTAATGACCAATCGCATTCTTTTCTAAGTTTGATTTTTGCGTTTCATCTTCTCTAGATTCCGTGTGCCTGTCACAAAGACATCTTCAGGACAGGTACACCAATATGTTCCCACTCACGTCAAAGACGAGTCGTGCTTAGAGCGGACGCAGCAAGATTGTCTACATGATGTCCCCGAGCAAACCTCAGAAATAGAAGACAAACCTGAATTCCGCAGTCCGAACTCCGCTGAACAACACTCGGAAACACGAGGTGTATCGCCTGTTACAATGTCCATACCTTCAGGGTCTACTGCGGAACCAATGTCCGAGGTCAGTAACGATCAGGTAGATTCATGGCGTCAGGAGTCTGTGCCTTCCGAGATCGCCCACGTTTCTCCCGAAGATGGTCTTGGTCCAACCTCAAGGACGGTCCCTACTTCCCCAATGTGTGCATCCCTCAAACGCTCGGCATCAGCTGAGCCAGCGTTGGATGAGAGCCAGCGGAAGAAAGCCAAGACGGACGCCTCCTCAACAGCTCTTACGCCAGCCTCATACAAACCTATCTCGAAACTGAATGCAAGAACCACGAGGCTTGGAGCAAAGAAGAAGACGCTCCAGGCTTCGAGGGTGAATAATGGGGCGCGGGGGCCTTGTCGCTCTACAAGTGACATGAAGGCCTCTTCACTATGCACTAGCCACGACGCTACGAAGACTTCGGACAAGCCTCAGTCAAGCCAAACGTTCATATCCATGAGATCAAGATCGCAGTCTTTGCATGCCACTCAAGCGAAATTAATTGACAAGCCTCGACAGTTGACGGTGTCCAGCAGCCGTTCGATCCACGATCCAGCAGGTCCAAATGTAGCTTCTACCAGTGCATCAGGTCGATCAGGGGACCTGCAATGTGTTTCATATGAAGGCAAGGAACGTGGGCAGGCTGAGTCTCACGGGACGCTCTATTCATTGGGTTCCAGTGACAGTGGCCTCATGCAGGGTCCCAGACACACGCCACATGAATCCGAGAAATCGGTGAGTTGAACTTTGATTCTTACATACTATTGACTATCCTTAAATCATATGGTCTGTCTCTTGACTTCCTGTAATCCACCGTTCAACTTCTGCAGCGTGCCTCTTATACATCATTTACTCAATCGTATCCATTTTCTAGAATGATTCTCTGTCTTCCAGCAAAATCACCAAGCCAATTGAGTTTCATTTCCATTCGGATGCACGGATAGAAGCTCGTAAGGCCGAACTTGAAGAGAGGGCCAGGAGTTCACAGAAACGTTCTGTCAGAACAGACGGCCGCCTTCCAATCCCTGACTTCAAAGCCATGCATGCCGCTCAAGAAGCGAAACTAGCAGCTAGGCGGGAGCAAATCGTGCCTGTCGTTCCAGTGCCCATCGACTTGTACACCGATATTCGTGCGCAAGAACGGGAGAAGTTTGAGACCGCGCGGCGTGCGAGGGAACGAGAGGCGGAACTTCAAGCTGAAGAAAGAAGGCGACTCCAAGTGTTGGAAGAAGAGAAAGAGATTAGGGAACTAAGGAAACGTGCCATACCCAAGGCGAATGAAGTCCCTGAGTGGTATGCAAATGCGCCAAAGCGCTCCAAGGAAAGTAGAATGGGGGCTTCGATTGCGAAGTGACCATGATCGAAAAGCAGGGGTATGTGTTATGGCATCTGAGCGTCAAAGATGTGTTGATTCATTTGTACGTTACTGATCTTGACTTGCATCTTCCTTCTAATATTACTTTGTTTGTCCTGACGCTCTCGCCCACTAGCGTGTCCGCCTTGACACCGAGATCCATCTGTCGATTGAGTCTTCTGTCAGGACATGACAGACCTCAGATGCTTCACTGCGAGCAGTCGACCGATCACCTCATTTCTCCTGATACAATGGATTTCCGGACAACGGGGATGATGGATATTTGCTGACGAGCCTCCCTAAGCCTCCTCCCAGCTGTTTATGCTCGTGTGATCTCAGCGTTAGGGTTATACCCGCCTTTCAATGTTCACTCGATCAAGATGGCGGTACATCTCCGGCCATAGTGGAAGCCTTCAACGCGTGATTTGGATGCTCATTGGCGAGCAAATACGCTGGAAGACCTGTGACCACCTCACGTAAACCTCATGTGTTGAAACCAGGACACGGTGTACCGGTATGATTATCGTAACTTCTTTCGATGGTCTAACTTCTTCTATCCGTGTACAACCTCGCACTGCGCAGCGATAGGTCGCCAAGAGTGTCAAGCTGTTTATGTCCGTTGGACGACTGTATCGAACTATTTTGCAGGTTCTGATTTCTTACCTGAGCGCTGTCGATGAAACAATGGTGCCGATATTTGTATTGGCATAACTCAGTGCGTCACAGCTGAGCTAAACTGGATCGAGACTTATCGTTGAGGTGAGGGGCAAACTAGGACGAACTAACCCAAGAGAAGGTTATGCTTCCCACTCCGACTGGGATGATGATATCCCCATCATCCCGTGAAGAAACGACCCTCGATCCAAGACAGCGAGCTTCTGTCACGCCGGGCGGCATCCTGTCAGACTCGAATGAATGGAGTCGGCGAGAAAAGCGGAGAGGACAACCAATCATACACGACCTTTCATTTTACCTGTGGCGAAAGAAATATTCAAAAAGGAGGGTCCGGCGATGGGAATAGATGAGAACACAATCTTTTCAAGAAAGGAAGGTCAGTAGGATCATCACACGTTACGCACGATTGTCACTGAAGCTGAGGCAGCCTGTGTTCACTACAGGGACAATCTTTGCATGTCAGTACCTTTGCTCACTTGTTACTTTGCCGTTCCTTGATGGCAGGCAATACTTGGGGGGAAAGTGCATTTTACCTAATCTCAGACTACTTCTACCCTCGGGTTAGGAAATGAAGATAACTCCAGTTCCTTGTTCATGGGATCATAACCTTCAAACATCCTTCTTTGTCTTTCCGTGGATTCAAGCCGATGAGAAAAATCTTAGTGAATGATTCACTATCGACGTCAAGAGCATCAAACACAGCCTGAGTGCTTGCAACGATCGCTCCGAAAACCCTACATGACTGTAAAGCCGCTCGCGACAGCAGGAAACATCGTGGCTTCACGGCTTCTGTGAAGATATTCGGTCCTATGACCTTACCGATACAGTCGCTTCTATTCGGAGTGCCGGTGCTGGCTTGCGTATTGAGTGCATTTTGTACCTGCGCAAATACTAAATTTGAAAGACAACCCTCCAGGCAGCTCTCGAGTATGCCTGTTTCTCATCTCGGGCATTGTGATGTGCAAGCAACTGCGCTTGCAGTTCTTCTCGCCCATCCTCGGTAGATCATAGCTGGTGTGGATGCAACCCCGGCAGGGGTAGATGAGATATGCTGATCGAGCTGATACACGGGACGGTCCAACATAGGTGTGTTATTTTCGGAGACAAAATGGATGGTATTGTTGGGGCAACATGCAGGGCTGTGATATGTGTTTGCGGATGACATTAGACAGATACCCAGGATACCTAGCTTGGCGAGAGCAACGGTCGCAAATAAAGCTGCCTATCGCAGTTACGTTAGTGGGGGATCGAAATCGGGAGGAAGGCCGTGAAATTGCAGACCAACCATGTATGGAGGAACCGGAGTGTTGGACCCATCCTTCCATCAGCGGAGTACTACATATTTGAAACAGGCGCCTAACGCTCTGACCGCAATACCGTCCTCATTCACCAACGCTAGTCTCTTATGGAATCAATCTTGTGAGCCGATGGCTTGCCGAGCGGTGAACGCATCTATAAAAGCCCCCAATGGTTCCTTGACAGAATCTCAGCATTCCCTTGCAAGCAAGTTTTCTTCAAATACACCCTTGGTGATCGACAATCCCCTTTCGATCGCAGTCATCATGCATACTTCACAACCCATCCTCGTTGAATCCCATTCGAACGCGACCATTCGTGTCTCCTCATCAATAACCACCTCCAACCATAATCACCAACGAGCGGATAACTCTTCATCGTCCGTAAACCACAACGCACCTCAGTGCTGTCACTGTGGTTGGAGGGGAGCTCACGCCCCAACGTGCCCGTTCAAATAATCGTTGTATCCCTGGTCTTATTTATTCATTGTGAGTTTTCTACAAAGCTTGGACTTCACCGCTTTGAACTGGCATCCTTCCTCTAGTCTTGCTGTCTCACTACTCGTCGCTGTTGTCATTCGCATTTCATTCTTGCAACATTTTGTATCACCGCCGCATACCTCACGCAGAGCATCGGCTCATAATCAGTTTCATTCACATCCTTGCGCGTTCGAGCGTTGTACGAGAATAATTGGATAGGAAGGGAAGGAGGCTGTCCAGTTGAGGATGGAGCGCAATTGAAGACGCGTCATAATTATTGTCATTGTACATACCCCACCTCCCCGCTGTATTGCACTGATACCTCGCAATTGTTTTCGTGCGATTTCATTCCGGAACTTGAGACTCGCTTGAGACGGATGTTGCGAGTATCGGAGGCAACACGCGATATTCTTTCCGTCCTCCGAAGTACCTGGCAGCCGAATAATCTTATCTGCCGCAATCAGGTACACCCCAGGTATGACGTTGTGGGACCTTTTACCCCGCATTGGGCTTTATGATCTTCGCCTCTGCTCTCGCTTGTAACCTTTCCATCCGAAGTTCAAGAGCATCGTGTCAGACTCATTTCCAATGCGGCCCTCAAAGAATCTGCCAGTCGCGTAGGATGCTTGGCTTGCATCACCTGAACTGCAAAGAGCTGCGGGCTCAATACCCCATGATACAAGCATCAAAGGGTCGTCAAGCATAACAAGAAACAATGATAAAACCTGATAAAGCGCTCGTTTTCGGACACCGAAGACCATTTCATCCCGTGGACATCTCTCCGTTACACTGCTTCGGGGTACGTTGGTTCGGAAGTACGCACCGTAGTCCGACGCAAAATACATCCTTGTGCAAAATCGATTCCAGAAAGAAATTCTGCATGTACATCATCAGCTATCAGCTGATGACACATTGTATTAAGCTCTCTCAGGCGACACGCGTGCATGAATGGGGACATCGTGATGCTTACAGTTACAGTTCGACATGGACCGTTGAGCACTCCGTCAAATGGGAGCACTATCCGCCCATCGATAATCCGTCGCTATCGATGGACCTGTCGCTTAAGCTCAGAAACATGGTGTTTCGAGTGCAACAATTGACCGTATGTACCTGCTCCGGCGGCCCCGGTGATCATATGAGACAAAGTCAAATCTATCACCATGAACCTGGTTTCGCGCTGTCGAGGAGTACCTCTTCGCCGCTCAAGAAGGTTGAAGCGTGTCTTCAAAGTTCACATCCACATCGGTGGTATGACCCTGAGAAGTGCGAAACAGAGAGAATCCAAGTCTGCAGCTGACCAGTCAGCAGTACATGTCGGAAAAGACCTGCACGACATGCGATATGACACCAGCCGAGTGGGGCAAAAGATCTTACCAACACAGTTAGCCTGAGAAAAGTTGACGCGGTAGAAGGAACTATCCAAAGGGCGTAGGTTCGTCCCCAGGCATATCCAGTCTGTCAGGAGAGCCTAGGGATGATCAGTGAGAAATCACCGAAGCTGAAGAAGATAGCAGACATGCTTCCTTTCTCCTTGGAACAGAACATTTAGAAGCTACTGGAAAGCAGTGACCACACTTACGATCGTCACTCAGTACCTCCGTTGCACGGGACATGCCCTGATATTACCTATTGGGATATGCCGTACAGTCGAAGATGCACGTCAGAAGTCAGAAGGTTGAGTAGAAAGGCTGAGTTATTGAATGACGATCATCCATCCCTGGATTCATGTTGTAAAATACTGCTTCTATATGCCATCCAGGGATCAAATCTTCCCGTGAGAGTTTTCGCTGTGCGTGTGTATTTCCAGCGAGGCCGAGGTCTGTATTCCTCATATGCGTTGACGAGCAGCCACGTATGTAGGTCCGTCGTGGACGCATACCGATAGCAGAGCCGATGTACAAACCCACGGCGTCCCGAACCGATGGTTTTTAGAAAGTTGTGAGGATGTGAATATGGGGCTTGAAGAATATGGAAGATCATCCGTCGTGGGTGAACGAACCTCACTACATACCGCCCTGACTGAACCGACGTGTTCAAAATCCTTCCTGTCACATCGCAAAAAATATAGTTTAGAATCCTGCAGCACGACATATCAATAGCACAAAAGGTTCTTGATCGTTACCACCGTAGAACTCCAAGTATTGATGGATGAGATTCGTAAGTCTCCAGGAGGAGTAACTTTAGACCTGCGGAGATACAATCTTTTCTTCCAAAACCCTGACCCAAGGAACTGGTCTTTCACCGGTCTCCGGCGAGTACATAAAAGCGTAGTAGATCGCAGCCGGATGGTGTGGTTCACTGAATTCAGGTGTGTGGCGATCATTCATATACGGGCGGTGTAATTGGTGGGGATTGTTCGCGGGTTCATATCCCACAATTTCAGGGTGTAGCGGAAGGACGATGTATTTTTTTTGGCCATGAATTATATCAGGTGAATTTAGTGTCCGCGCTACTCTGGGACGCCACCATCAGGACTAGCATAACGACAATATAAGTTAGGATTTACACCTACCGCCACCCAATTCAGGTCATGTTGAATAGATATACTGTATTCGTTTAGTAGAATGGAGATGAGCGGACATAGAAGTAGAGCGCACCGTCGTTAAGAAGTTGATGTCAGAGATAACAAAGAGGCGTCAGAGCGCACAACCATTATTTCGATGTGGTTCTTTGAGAAGGCGGAATCATGAAATGCCAAACTGGTGTGTACATCTCGCTGATCCCGAAGGATTTGCAAGAATGGAAAGTAATGGGGATGGCTAAGTTCATCGTGATACTACCGGCGCGGCACGAGGGTCTTGCAATTGAATTTTCGTTGGACAGCCGTTTAGAATGGGGCAAATGTTGAAGTGACGTCAGGCACTAAGCAGTCAAGATCAGGGCCAAGAATTCCGGTAACGCGAAATGAATGCATGGTTTCTGTCTTCTAGTATTCCCCGTGGATTCTTAGTGATACGATTTCAAGGATAGACACCCTGCCTGTTTCCTATCTGACCTATAGAGGTGATCGGGTACGTCAGCGTACACTTACGCCGACGTATCCCCCGAGTGGTGGAACGCATGAGAACGTTATGTTTGTTTGACTTGAGCGTCGCCGTCAGAATTGGCAGTATCAAGAACCAGTTATGGTGCCGCCACGGGCCGTCTAGAGATGCGAAAGTTTGTGGCGCGGGCTTCCATGCAACCTGTACTCGGAAATCAAGAAGTAGCGATGAGCATATTTTGTTTAGAATGGCGTGACGCAGTCAAGGACCAGGTATAACACTATTCGTGGGTTCAAGTGTAACTGGGAGATTCATAAGTGCTGAAGATGACTCAACAGTAATTGAGTTTCGGAAACGAGATAGTACTACCGATCGGTTTTGGACAACATGTGGGCGCGCTCTAAGAACAGACGGACAGCTACAACATAGAATATGCATATCGTCAGTATCTTGGGACCAATGGGGTTGAAGAGTATCCACTGGCATTCTCACCGCTGCAGGAGATCTGACGCCCCCTGTTTTCCATCTCGAAGTCAGTTGGGCGGACGCTGTCCATAACATACCAAAGAACGCCGCACTGTGGAGAGTAACGTGTGTGAGTGCGTGCGTCACAGTAGTATGTGTGTCGTGCTATACGTACTTTAAGGATGGCTACTTTTTCTCGGGGTCTTGAAATACATATTGGATTATCTATCGAACCTGCGGATTGGATGCAAACACGAACCATTCAAAGATTTGAGCGCCTTCGAGGAGGGCAATCTTGTAGATTATACAGTGAGGGCAAACCAAATGGAATCTCCTTAGGTTTCAAACCACGGAACCAAAAAAACATTGCAAAGAGCGGGCAGATTGGAAAACATATAAAGCCAAGCTTGGTAGTAGTACAAAATGAGGGCAAAGATAACATCGAGACTCAGTCAATTTTGACCGTGCCGTCAATGATATAGAGTACACCGTTAAGAGCCTGTAAAGAAGGTGAATAATGAGCTTCCGCGTCTACAGAGTAGAAAGAATGGTTCACGACCTCCTTCATGGCAATAATATGAACGTCATCGTTGACTACAAATCCGGCCCAATCCGGCGTAGCCGTAGCGTCAAGTTGTTTGAAGGTGACAGACTTTCCCTCAAGAAGTGTATCATAGCTCCTGGACTCCAACGTAGTGAGGAGCTCCTAACGTCGCACGTAATTAGCAAACGACGTAAAAGGGGGGGTTAAAGTACTAACCGGTATGATGTGAGCAGACACCCACCGTTCTACATTCTTCTTGGACAAAGCATCAAATTCCTCCTCAGAAATAATCACGCCCGTGTCTGAAGGTTCAGGATCCTGGTGACTATAGCGAAATCCTCTAGTTCAGAGTTATATACATGGCATGACGCAATCTCAAAGCGCACGGTTTTCTCGCGAGCGCCATCACGGCCTTGTTGGTCGGTACGAGGACTGTGCTCTTGGCATCGACATTTCCGAAGAGTTCGTTCAACTCAACTTCCCTGGCATAGGAGTAGAAGATTGACACGGAAGGCTCAATGGTCAACAGGTCAGCCAAGGTGGGCTTTGAGCTAGTAGCAGGTGTATATGTTTCGGACATATCCTGCAGCGGGTTCGTTAAGGGCACCTGTTCCTCTGACGCAGCAAGTGATAGGATTGGCCAGAGAAGAGACAAGAAGAATAGTCGCATTACGAACAGTCGCGCTCGTGGTTTCACGCAAGAGAGTTGCTGCGAGTCTCGAATTGCACGCTTTGGGCTACTCGGCAATTACCGACCGCGTGCCCTATAAATAGACGCGCCAAACAACTTTTCTCTTTCTCGCATCCTGGGTTCCTTACATTCGGTCTACTCTATAGTGGCATCTCTATTGATTTCATTGCTCAAAGTGCTACCTAATACTAATATTATTACAGGCAGGTCTGAGCTGTTCGGATACCCAAAGTTTGCCAGTCTATGCTTGGGCAAGCTTGCATGGGCATTCTGTCTTCTTCCTTTCAGGCTCATCAAGATGGACTCTCTGTAGTTTCCTTGTCATGTTTGGCATATTGTGACCCGTAAGTTTCCAGCTGCAGATTGTTTTTTTTTGGGATGACACAACCTCGTATAACTCAGCTCACTTCGATGCCCAAAGGGCAAGAGGAGAAGAACGCGATATCTCTCTGATTCCTACCTGGTGTCTATGTGGTTCCATATGCTCACATGTTCTTCGCCTCATCAGGATAATATTTGCCTTAACAAAATGCCTAAACATTCAAGTCTCTTTGATGATTTCTGTATATGTCGATGTCGATGTCGTATATCACGTCCCTTTTGCACACGCCATGTATTCCTCCGATACATGTTCACATGAGTTAGTTGTAGATTCTCTGCGTGAGCGGGGTCGATCTCATAATCATATTCATTGTGTATGCTTTGTGTACGCATCTGAGAGTGAGCGTGATGCTGCCAAGCAAAATAATGCCTCCTCTTTCCTGACGCAAATGATCGCCGTCACCTTGCCTTGCGTTTGAACACCTCTTGGCGTATTCTTTCACTCTGAAGTGTGCTCGTTCCATGATTCAAGCATTCAAGCTCAAGTCTCAAGAGTTGCGATCATTCCGGCGTGGCCAAGCCGACCAAATGCTTCTGTAGCGCGTTTGGAAATTGGCGGGAATGTACATGTGGCAAGTAGGTTGCAGGTCGGGAGACACTGTGACTTTGAACTGAGCTTACTTATCTCAACCTTTCGTTGGGTGTGCAGTCTGAATCTTTCTTGCTTCTGCGTGAGTCCTTGTCTGTGCCTTCCTATTCAACCGCACCGCTACACGTCATCTCCACTACGTTGATGTCGGATTTCAACTTGGTTGACCCTCGCGGATGGGAGTACGACTTGCAATCGGTGTGTGTCCTTGTGTCGGCCTTGACTTGATGAGACTGAGACGGATTTAAAGGTGTATACGGCTTATTTGGGTCATTTCCAATTGCATGGAATACCCTGGTGATTGTTGTGCCGTATGATGCTTTCACAATATGTCTAATAACCTCACAGGTATGAACGGTCTTGGGGCGTATTCTTCGAGTCCTTCGAAGAGTTTCTCACTTTTTCATGGCCTGTGATAACTATTACCGATTGTTGGACCGGGAAGGCACACATTGTCACTCGCATGACTTCAATTGGTGCATTCCTGAAGATGATCAAAACGAGGTATGCACCGCAACGTATTCTTAGTGGTTATTTTGACCGAGAATGAGGATTGCGTAGATTCGGCGATACCCTGACAATGGTGGATAACATCCTACGTGTCCAGCCATTCGAAACATCTCAACGTCACATGCGCACCATCTCGGATTATGCCTCTTACAAGAAACTGCACTCCACTTTGCCAGCTGCAGTTCTTGCCGCATTGAAAGCGCGTGTTCGCAGTGGAGAACCTAAGGCTATTCGTGAGATCTGGGATTCAAAAGATAAAACGTTTCTTGCCGTTAGCTTCGAAAGTTCGGAGCGCAATCCTTCCACATGTTTGGAGTGGGGCTTCGCTGCTGCGCGCTGCAGCTATTTAGATGCGTGAGTTACTCCACCCTACTATCTGCCTCACGTACGATTCCGCCGCTCAGCGTCCACTCATTCCAGCGTCGGCGTATGGCCACCTGACCCCGAGGCAAACTATAGGTTCGTGGCCGATATGCTTGTAGCATGACCGTGAGCCGGTGACGGTTCAACTTGTAGGAGAGGTCATTACATCGTGACTGAATATGCGGATAAAGTTCACAACAAGCACCGGCCGAACTTCCCTTGGGCGGTAGGAGTACCTTTCAGACTTCACGTCACATGTTACCTGACCTCCGCAATTCATTAGTATTCTGTGAGGCTGTTTTTTGCTGCCGAATCGGTGCCTGATCCACTGATACTCCATACCAGTTTGGAGATAGTCAACAGATCCCCAAGTCAAAGCTTTCGCAGGTTATTCAAGCTGTTATCAGGTTCTTATCGATATCCTGCGTCTTTGGCTCTTGGATTGATCTCCTCCACAGTGGCATGATCAGTCCGGATTCCGAGACGTTGCCCAACAGTCTTGTCATTTTGATCCATGAAGCCACTGGGGATCTTCGACGATTGGAGGAAATGAAAATTAGTCAGTACCATTTTACGTTTATGCAAGTTCCGCCGTTGACATCTCATACTTGCCCCACTCAGAGCTCCCACACAACGTTCTGATATTGGACACTGCTGCATATGAACGGAAACTGTTCGCGTCTGGTCAGCGTGGTCCTATGAAGGATCCCAATGGCAATCCCCACACGCAAGAATCAGTCCTCTCGCTAACCAACATGCTCCAGTCACAGGGTGTCGACGTCCAATGTATCATGCAAAATGCCGGCAACCATGCTTTCATGTGTCTCCTCGGGTTTCAATTGCTGATCGATCAGGAAAATACCAAAATACCGATCATTCGAGGAGGAAACGCCATTCCTGCCATGATGAGAAGTGGCAGTAGAAGCTCCGGGGGAATACTCACGCCTACCATCGCTTTCAGCCCTTCATTGCCTATACCAATGATGACCCCCTACGGTATAATGCCCGCCTCGTCTCCAATGATTTTCCCTGGATTGTCACCCGATTTATTCATGGACCGGGACAGTAATTCGTCAAGTCGGAGGGGTTCAGGGAACTTTCCGAATATCCCGACGGGGGACTACACGAGGAGGGCCAGTACATTGTCACCCATAGCTCAGTTCCCTTCGAGAAAGGATTCGGACGGCGATCAAGACGTTACAGCGAGGATAAACGGCTTGAGAATAGCTTCAGCCTAAGGTCGTTCGCTGGCTGTTTTTGGACTTAGTTATTACTATTGTGTACTCATTCTTCTGAATTCGGACTGGTTAATGGACAACTCGAACTCTTGGCATCTTAGATTTACCTATCACATTCTTCACATTTCTTGCAGCCCTTCTTAAATTCCCTTATGCGATACGCACATGATCCACAGAACTGAATGTATATGCATGGCTGGCAATAGGGAGGGTACAACACAATTCAAACAACGGAGTAACTGTCAACGGTAATGCTGGCATCTTCCGAGAATACGACCTCTTCACCGTTGTCGACTCGCGTGACTGAAGCTATGCGTACCCCGGCCATGCTTCCCTGTCCCACGAAAGAAACCTTGACAGGGAAGAACGCGCCAGGGTCATCTCCACCCACTGAAAACTCCAGAGTGCCGGACCGAGACTCTGCATCTACCTGACCAACGATCCAGTCGATGGAATGACTATGAGAGTTTAGGGTCCATTCCCCAGCATGGCCCGGAGTGACGGTCGGGTAAGAGCCCGCGCTGCATGAGAACAATCATGACCGTGTGCATGGAAGCCTTGTTGTGAGATGGGATGAACTTACGGTAACGGGATTGAGATGACCACGTCGTGAAGTGTGAGAGCCTCGTTCTCGAGTTCATATTCAATGTTCACGTCGCACGTCCCGTCGTTCGAGGGTGTCGGCCAGCAATTGACTGAGAACAAACATTATCAGCAATGTATCAGGCCAAGCCAACGGTAAGGACACACTTGACAGTGGGACGTAAGTTTCATCTTTCCCGGAATATCTCCATTTCAATACTGCAAGCGGCTGACCGACAGGGAAGCTACGTGACGGGTCCTTCAAGGCGATCACACGTTCCTTGTTAGCTGCGAACTTGTTCACATTAGGGTGTTGTTTGAATTGCAATTCCGGTCCAAAAGCAGTAGGAGGGTCGGCCAGAACCAGCTTCACGCGAGACAAAGATGCATCGGTGATTTGGAGGTTCAAATCTCCTTTCAGTTCCATGGTGTTGAGACCTCCTTCGCGAACAAGTTCGAGATCCACGGTCTCCCGTACAACAGCGTGTACACTACCATACCAGCGCTAAAAGTCAACACTTCACATCCGACGGTGCAAGAAGGTTTCACGAACCTTTCTGGTGTAACTGTGGGTAAACTTCCGCGCTCATCCTTTTGAACGAAGGGCTCAGGTGTAGTAGCAGCCGGTGTTGTCGGAACAGACATATCTTCTGAGAGCAGAACTTCACTACCGAGCGCATCCAATAGTTCGGATTGCTTAGACTTTTTGGCTCCAAGCTTCATGCCACCACTCTTGAACGCAGGAGCGCGTAGCGATGAAGGTGCAGGTGAAGAAGTGCGGACGGGAGTGGAGGGTGCATCGAACCGTTGAGGGACTGGTGAATAGCCTGAAACTCCTCCCCCGAGGTAGCCGCCACCAGAAGGGCCGCCTGCTGCAGTCCGCCTCTGTTGCTCTCGACGTTGCATCTCGAGCTGCTTGGCCCTTCGTTTGAGTTCCTCCTTGGCTTCAGCCTCCTTGTTCTGATGTCGAATGGTCATAGATAAAGACACTGAATGATCGAAGACATTGGACACTCACCCTTGCTATAATTTCCTGGATCTTCTCCTCATGACTCTCCATCTCCAGCACATTGCGGACCTGCATAAGATTCAGGGGTTCCCTATACCCCAAACTCACAATCTCGTCAAACGCTTCCAACAATTCAAAAGAATTCTTCAAGATCTCCCTCTGGTCAGCACTCCTGCACATGTCCGAGACGACGCGCGCGAATAAGTGGAGTGTTTCTATGTCTTGCAAAATATTCGACGCCTTGTTTGTAATAAGAATAATATAGAGGTCTTCCAGTGGCTGGTACACATAGCGGACGTCGGAAGTCTCGACTGAGGTATGTTGTGTGTTGGCGGGAATCACTTTCGAAAACGATGCCAAGAGGGATTCAATGCGTGCTCGGCTCATGTCACGAAACTGACGAGAAATGATAGCTGGAGAGATTTATATTGGCTTTATAAACAGTATAAGTATACTGTGGCCATTTACCTTTGCCAGCCTTGGTACATATTGATGCTGCGAGGACGACCTGATCGTGAACTGGATTTATTTGTCTTTCTTTTTACCATATCGCATTCTGCTTACCATGATACGAAATAATTCAGCAGCAACCGTTTATGATGACTAAACCCCACAAAGCCAAACGAAAAGGCCAATGTTACAGTAGAGAAGCGAAGGATAGTGATATGTGGAATCAAGTCGCGGTGTAGGCTCGCGACGTGTCGCCTATTGAGCGCTGACCCTAACCCAATACCAACTCAAAAAGGTGGTACATACTACATTGGCAATGGCAAATATTGCAAAGCTGCAGCATTGCTCTAGCGAAATACATCATTTCTGTTGTCTTATAATACACATGGTCCCGCACACTCTACGCAAACACTAAGTTAGAATGGCGACCTGCCGTTCTTGTCAAGCGCAGGTCGACCCCATGTAGCCTAAAGCTTCGGGTAAACAACAAGTAATATCCATGATGAGTTGCCTGAATACACTCACAACAGGTGAAGGCTTGTTGTCAAGAATTTTCTCGATCTTTTCCAGCACCTCTTCCGTCAACTTGGGAATCACGTCAAGAGCCTTCAAGTTATCGATGACCTGCTCGGGTTTGGTGGCACCAAGGATGACAGTGCTCGTCCCTGGTTGTTTCGCGACCCAGGCAAGAGCGAGATGAGTGACAGAGCAGCCGAGTTCTATGATATGAATCAGAAGGACATCAGAATTCGGAGAACATTACGCAATTAACAAGAAGAAGAGCAACCCACCCTTCTCAGCGAACTCAGTGAGCTGCTTGACTTTCTCGATTTTCTTCAGGCCCTCATCCTTGGTAAGGATGTCAAGGGTATCCTTGAAGAAGTCTTTGTTTGTAGCGAAGCGGGAATCTGGTGGAATGCCGTTGTTGTACTGCGCCCGCCATTAACCACAAATCCGCCGAAGCTAAAGAATCGAGTTTATCCATACCTTGCCCGTAAGAAGACCGCTGGCAAGCGCTGACCAGACTGTTGTGCCTAGATCATACTTCTTGTACAAGGGACTGAATGACAGATGAATTGCCATGAGAGTTGATTTAGCGCAAGAATCGAGATTACGACATACGCATATTCTTTCTCGGGCCGTTCACGATGCAGCATACTGAAAGCAAAAGGTCGCCATTTAAATGAGCAAAATAAAAGCAACCGAAAGCTAGGACGTACTGGTGCTGGCATTGTTCTGCAATGGGAGCAATAAGACCGAGCTTGTCGGCGACATCTGACATCATGTTGTGTCAAAGATGTTAATCCACGGAATATCTTTCAAACGTACGATGTGCTTCTTCAATCTCGTAAGCGGACCACTCGGAAGTAGCCCAGTAGAAAGCCTAGACAAGTATTATTCTTAGTATCTCAATCTTGAATTAGTATCGCGAAATCCCACTCACCCAGCCTTTCTCGATTACGTAGTTGAAGGCACGGACAACTTCTTCCATTGGGACTACATGGGAATGTGAGCACATATAGACCCCCAAAGCGCAGGATCATCGACTTACCGGTATTGTCGGGACGGTGTGCAAAGATAATATCAACATAATCGAGCTGGAGGCGTTCAAGAGCTTCTTTCGCCCCCTCGATGATGCTAGAATGCATGGTTAATGGAAACCAAACAAGAAGTCAATGATCACTGCATACTGCTTGCGAGACAGGCCGATGTCATTGGGAGAGCCATGAGGTCCCCAGAACAGCTTGGTGGAGATAATCAGGTCTGTCCTCCTCCAGCCCAGCTCCTTGATCACACGTCCCCTGTGAACAGGGTATTCAGTATTTCCAGAGAAGCAGAAGCTCTAAAAGGGATCCGTACATCTCAACTTCGCATTCACCCTTAGCGTAGCCTTCAGCGGTATCAAACCTAGATGGACATTTGGTTAGGAAATCATTCACACCACAGGCATGTAGTTTGTAATACATGTTGATACCGTTTTCGAAAGCTGTCTTCATGATTTCCTAGGCACAAGCATGATTCTTCAGATACATTGTCAAGTTTCAGGCACCAAAGCAAACCTTCACAGGATCGCCCTTGACAGTTGCACCGACGGTAAGCCCTAATAGATTGTTGGCATCGAAATTTCTACAGCCGATCTATGAACGCATACGCACATCCACCGAATGAGAAGACAGGCACACGGAGACCACTGGATCCCAGTCTGCGGAAGATCATATTCTTTGGATCATACTTGACTGGTTGTGTCGACATGTTGTGCAAAGAGACGAGAGTACGATGCGAGGACGATAGGTGGGAAGAGTGCGGCAGGAACCCAGGATATGGCGCAAATGCTGCCCTTTTATTATAACTTTGGTAGACGGCCCGTTGCATCATAGCTCTCTGGGTGCCCGGAATGCCATGGAAAAGCCATTTTAATCTACTTGCTAAGTCAGCGAAGACCTGGATGACCAATGGAGGGACGACTGAGAAAAGCCGCCATAAGGATTTTCAGAGGTTCGCATGAGAGCGGGCTGATTGCATGAACGTATACGCGGATCAGTAATTGCTTGAATCGACCCATGAAGAAAGGACGCGTAGTATCCACCGCGGCACAGACTGCGCTCGAGTCAGATTTTGATTATGGCTTTTGTCACCATAACCGCATTCGCCGCGCCTTCTATCGTAGTAAGCGACAAAGTTGACCTGCCATAGGCTGGCTAGTAGAGTCTATCTTCGACAGCACGGAATGGTGAGAAATCCTGAAGAGCTAGCGCCCAGTAATCTCCAGCAGTAGCGTTGCTCAGTCTAAGTTTAGAACATGGCACGAACGACGAATATATTTGGTGGAATATGTCTGAGGGCCCGGAAGTCCCATTCCAACGCTGGAGCGTCCTGTAGATGTTCCTGGTTGTTGCGCAAGGTGTGGATCGAAGGACCGAACGACGTAACCTGCCTAACCTGGACTTGCACTGATCTTACCTACGGTCCGATCACTCATGACTGCAGCGAAAATATGTCCAACCTGAAGCACTCGTTCTAACTCTCTACCTGGGTGTCTCTCCAGACCTGAACTTGATCACCGATAGACCATCTATTGCACAGAACTATGGCTCGAGCTCAAAAACCAAAGCAGTCCAGAAGGCCCCAGGCGAAATCGCTAAAGCAAAACAATCTGCGTGGGTTTGCTAAACGACAATCCCTCAAGTCGCAGAGGTCATCAAAATATAGCGAGTCATCAGATGTCTACGAATATCAGCCCGAGAACGTCCGCAGATCTAAAGTAAAGTTGCAGCTCGAGAAGGATGAGCTTGATGGAGCTCGCAGGGACATTAGTGGAAGCGAGGATGAAGACGACGGTCCGAAGAGAAATGGTCTTCGACCTCGACTAGTCGGTGAAAATGACGACGAAGGTGGGCTTGGCTCTGATGAGGACGAAGAGATTGATAGCGACGAAGCGTTTGACGAGAGCGATGAAGAACGCTTCGCGGGCTTCAACTTCTCAACCAAAGTATGTACCTCCCTTCGTTGTGTGCTGATCAGTCCTTAATCACTGTCGCCTCGATCTCTCTCTATAGACAAAATCCGTGGCTAAACGGAAACCTCAGAAGAGGAGCCTTCAATCTCGTACAGTCCCTTTGATTGACCTGAATGAAGATGAAGTTGAGCTTGAGGAAGCCCCTTCAGAAAACGCTTCTGCTTCAGAAGGCGAAGACTCTGCGGCAGATGATGAGGAAGAGGGGGATCCGGAAGACTTCATCGACGTTTTGGATATGATCGATGGGAAGGGGCCTGCAGAGAGTGCCGACGAAGGGGAGCATACCCAGAAAGAGGAACGACCCTCGGCTTCGAAGGCTCGTGTAGAGGGAGACGATGTCCCACACTTAGAAGATGAGGACGAGGACATGCATGACGAGGAGGATGAGGGGATCTCATCAGATGAATCGGAAGAGGATGAGTCTCATATTTCTCCAATGGACGATGCCATTTCAGCTTCAGGTGATGAAGACGACGACGTCGGCACTTCGTTACACGATTTGCAAAGTTTCATTACGAATCTTGACGCAGGACAGAAGCGCAAAGCGCCCGACGATGAAGCTGCACCTACCACAGAGACTGGCGAAGCTCGAAGACAAAAGAGAAGAATGTTGAAGGAGCGAACGGAGGCTGGAGAGGAGAACGAGTTTGCTCCACATAGAGGTTTGTGTGGCCCGGAATTAACTCCTTGTACATCGGTTGAATTGGATACCTACTACAGGTGCAACGAAGCTGAACTTGGATGATCTTCTCAACCCACTTGCTTCGTCGTCCTCAAATCTTCTTTCTTTGAAGAAATCTGCCAAGATCCTGACCTCGATTTCCGCGAAGAATCAAACACTGTCTGCACCACTTCCTCAACGCACTCAAGAACGTCTTGATCGAGAAGCAGCATATCAGCAGACGAAGGAGGAGGTCGATAAATGGAGTGCAACAATGAAAAAAATCAAGGAGGTATGCGATTGTGTGACTTTCGATAACATTAATATTCATGTATTTGATTGCAGGCCGAGCACCTCAGCTTCCCGTTGCAAGCTCAGCCTGCGGGTAGGACTTCGAACCTTGAACTAGCCGCCAAATTCAAGGTATTTCTTTTCAAATTTGATCTGTCTATATCCTGATTAACTCGTATTCTCTTAGCCTACTACGGAACTCGAGAGTGCTGTCGACCGCCTCTTGAAATCTGCAAAAATGCGAGAAGAGGATATTGCTCAAACTGAATCTCTCAAAATGAATCATCTCTCTGTAGAAGAAGTCTCTGCTCGACGCGCGGAACTGGCCAAAATGCGAGAACTCATGTTCCGTGCTGAGGCGAAGGCCAAACGCGTTGCTAAAATCAAGAGCAAGACTTACAGGAGGATCAAGAAGAAGGAGAAGGCTAAGATTGCTGCGAAGTTGGGTGAAGGTAGCGACGATGAGGATATGAACGAGGAAACGAGGATGAAACACGAAGTTGAGCGGGCTAGAGAGAGGGCGACGTTGAAGCACAAGAATACAGGCAAATGGGCCAAGGCTATGAGGGCACGCGGAGATTTGGATGAAGATCAGCGCAGAGATATTTCGGAGATGCTGAGCAGAGGGGAGAAGCTCAGACGGCGCATACAAGGGATTGGAAGCGGAGATGAGAGCGAAGAGGGCGAGGATGACACTGAGGATGATGAGGAGGGCGCAGCCGACCGCATCAAGGCCAGCGCATTCGAGGAACTCGCTCAGCTTGATAAGGGTAGCGAAGGCGAGGAGGACTCTGGGAGAAAAGGCAAAAGTATCTTCGAGATGAAGTTCATGAAGGATGCTATAGCTCGAGACCAGCAACGAGCGAAGCAAATGGCCGATGACTTCGTTAGGGAGATGGGCGAATCAAATCATGAGGACGATGAGGACGATGAACTAACAGGCGGCCGCATCGAAGAGTCCAGTGGTGCAACCATTGAACGAGTCGGTGGCCGAGTCACTTATCGTCCTGGCGCACAGGTGAGTTCATCCCTTACGATGTTGATCCACTAAACACTGATAATCCATAGCAATCACAGCTTCGCACAGTAAACTCCTTAGCCTCTGACACTTCAAGCATTACCTTGAGGTCCAATGACTTGCCGTCAGATGTTGCTCGATCCGTCACCCCTTCCGCAACGTCTCCAATTCCTGAAAAGCTCGGGATTGCGACTGAGGCACCAAATCCTTGGCTTGCACCTCGCCAAGATCCTGCCAAAGCTGTTCCCAAGAAGCACGAAATTGCTGTCAGCAAGGATAGCGCATCTGTTGAAAAGTCCAAAAACAAGCTGCGCAAGAAAGCCCAAAAGCATGAAGAGGAGCAGAGCAAGGCGAGGAACGACGCAGCCGTGGATATTTCTATGTCGAATGTCATGACTCTTGGGGACAACAGCTCAGCGGGGCCTTCTAAGCCGAAGACCCGATCGCAGAGTGGTAACCAACGTGACGATGGTGACGACGACTCAGACGTTCATAGCGAGGTCGAGGAACAGGAACGGCTTCTTGATAGAAAGGGCAAAGGCAAAGCTAACGGTGTCAAGGCATTCGAACAACGAGACCTGGTTGCTCGTGCTTTCGCCGGTGATAACGTTGTCCGCGACTTTGCAGAGGCCAAGCGACGAGAGATGCAGGAAGATGCACCCAAGGAGGTCGATACGACCTTACCTGGATGGGTTCGTTATCCGTCCATAATTCTCTGGTGTACATAAATAAGTTCATGCATGTTCGCTTACAGGGCTCATGGGGTGGCACGGGAACCAGAAAAGCACAGCCAAAGCCGCATCTCATCAAGAAGGTCGCTGGTGTGGATCCTACTACTCGAGCGGATTACAAGAAAGCACATGTCATCATCTCTGAGAAAAGAGACAAGAAGGCGGCGAAGTACATGGTCAAGGATCTTCCTTATCCATATACCAGCAAAGCGCAGTTCGAGCGCAGCATGGATATACCTATAGGCACAGAGTGGAATACCCGAGTGGGCTTCCAAAGGGGTACCCTCCCCAAAATTGTTACGAAGGTACGTCTCTATTGTATCTTCTGGACGCCTTGGCTCACACGTTCTTCAGCCTGGCACTGTCATCAATCCCCTGGAAAAGCTCCTCTAGGCGTATCTCTTGCTTCATCGCATTATTTTGTATCCTTCGTCAATCGTCATTTAGATCGCAATTGCATTATGCTTCCATATAGTCCATGAATTGATATTATATCCAGTCCATTACATACTACGCGACGCTTCAGAGCTCCTGCCCCATAGCTAGACTAACAATGGCATAGACATTCGCCGCCGCAACGAGCACAAATATCGCGTAGCCCACAGCTGCGACAAACCTGTTGTTGGCAAAGTTTACGGTTTCTCCGCTAGCGTCCTCAACGTCCACTCCGCGTGACTCATCCGAGTGATCCTGAAGTTGTTCCTGAGTGTTCTGTGGGTGTTCTGAGAGTTGAATAGGAGATGACTTCGCAATCATGATTGAACTTGAGGACGTTAACCATATGAGAGGAAACACTATAAAAGGGAGAACGATTGACAATGCCACTTGCGAGGCGACGAGAAGTGTGTCGACGCCAGAACGACCGACAGAAACGGCAACGATCATGGAAGGGATTAGGCCTAGACAACGGGTTATCAATCGACGAAGAATGGGCTAATGAAACGGATAAGTGAAGGACACATGAAGAACTGCTAGTCAAACATACCGATATTCTCCAACGTAGAAAGCCTTCAGATACTATTTGGCCAGCCATTGTAGCGATGATAGAAGAACTTTGACCAGATGCGAGAAGCGCGAGGGCAAACAGCGTTGCAGCAGCTAAATGAAGATGCCATTATTATAGTGTGCCAACGCGATACTCAAAATGAAACTCACGTTTGCCTACAATGTCTCTCAGGAGGTCATATGCATCGAAAAGACTTGCTGGTCCACCAGACCCTTTGCCAGACCCATAAAAGAACACCGCACTTGCCAGAATGAGGATCCTACAAGAATATGAGATTCAGAGAACGCTCGGCATGTTATTGAACTCACATGGCGTTGATGGCGACGGCGAAGCCGAGCAGGCTGACTACGATATCGACCATGCCATGGTATATGTGTGCCCGCACGATGGCAAGAGGCCGATTTTCGTGTTCAGCATGAGTCGTAGGATTATTAGCAAACTCCTCAACGGGGACAATGCGGAAAGCCGTCAAGAATGCGACTTTGAAATGTTGAAAGCCCGATTGTAATCTTGATCTTCTGAACGTTGCGAGACTAGCGGAAGTGAAGCCGGACTGAGATGAAGTTGCGGAAGACACGGAGAACACAGGCTTAGTCAGTTCAGTAGAAGACGTTATTCGGTCTTGGGTAGCTAATGCTGAGCCGAGGAACAAGCTATGGGGCATCACCGTGGCACCGATAATTCCAATGGCTAACGTCAAATCCAGGGTCAGCAACGTAAAAGAGGGAAGTACATCGAGTGCGTACATGTGTACAATGCGCCCGATTTGAAGATTGAATTGGAAGGTACAAAACCGTAGAAGGCCTGGCCCCAGTGCACGCCTACTTTCGATATAATTATGGCCATGCATACGAGCACTGTGAGGACCTGCAGTATTTCGTGTGAGAAGACCGCGAGACAGTTGCTGTTGTTATGATTCACACGCACCAATGCAGCTATGAGTAATTCAAACAGCCGAACAGGCCGTCCACCCAGGGGATTGCCAAGTGCAAGGAGCAACAGGACGTCTGATGCTGTGAGAAGGACACCAGCCCATAAAGGCAGTCGTGGGAACAACAGACAGAGTGCTATGGCAGAGCCTAGCAACTCGGCCAGGTCGGTGCTGATAATTGCAATCTCTGAGAGAGCATACAAAGGATAAAGCAGCAACCAGCGATACAATCGTGGGCGTTTCGGACGATTGTAGAGGAGAAGACGACAATGTGATGCTAGATCTGAGCGGGCTGTCAGTTGAGATGGGGGATAACAACGTTCAGAAGTATATCTCACCGAGGCCTGTCACACACCCGAGGCGTGAGGCAAGGACCTACACAGACCACTGATCAGTTGAGCGCCATTACATGATGAATGACTGCAATAGTACCTGTAGAAAGGCAGCGAATAATCCTGCAAGGAGAACAATGAAAAGTAGTTTATACCCAAACTGAGAACCAGCTTGTAGATCCACGCCCCAATTGCCACTGACCAAGGTCGACTTAAGCGACGACGTCTCAATCGAAAAATCAGGATAAAAAATAAAACTCACGGGTCAAAATATGCTACAGCACATACGATACCAACTCCAGTATGTTTCACGATGTGGTTCACCACGACGCGACTTGTAGACCGGATTCGAGAGCGGGCGGTAGCTCCAGAGGGTTGTTGGGCATTAGGGACGACGGCCAAACGGTCTGTTGGCAGGCCACACATTGTGGGGGATGATGAAGCGCAGAGAGGGGGCCATGAAGGTAGAGGTCGAACCCAAGACAGTGGACGGTGGTGAAACGACGGTACGGTACAGTGGTACAGCGTCTTGGGTCAATCCTACTCTCCAAACAAGGCAGCCCGTCCGTCCTTCCACCTTCTCCGAATTATCCCGCACATTCCATATACCATCCAGACAGTCCACTCATCGATATGAGCAACAGAGAGCTCTGGTTGTGCACGATGCCCTGAGGCACAACTTACGTGCCTCGGGGACGATAGTGATGCAATGGCACAGCGCTACACTTAGCTATCGTCGGAGAAATAGCTTAACGATGGATCTTGCATTAAATAACACTCTCTTCTTAACAAAGCTATGATACAAATGACATGTGTAGTATATGATGCTCAATGATGCGTAGGGAAGGCAATGAACGATGATAGATTATCGACATAGGAGCCTGTAAGGTTGGATCCAATATGTCGGTATGCCAAGAATAGGCCAGAAGTGGGAATGCGCCCATGACTGTGCTAAGTACGAGTAGTGTCAACTAGCGGATCCGTAGACAATCACGCAACATTTTTCCTGCGATAACAACCAGCAGATAATATGCGTTTGTCCAACTGTGCTGATCAGAAGTACGGGGAGAGCGGATGACGATTAAGAGCATATGAGCGAGTCACAAGCAATGCAAGGTCACCTGCATCAAGATGGAAAGGGAATGGAAAGCGAACCTTGCTTCGCTGCCACATATGTTCTAAGGCGGAGGATGACGTCCTGAGAGGATAAAAAAAGAAACTACGAGTCCAAGACGACTTGTTGAGATGGTCTGGTGCAAGGTTCAGCGGGACGGCTTCCGCAACTTCATCGCTTGTGGACAGTAGACGAGCGAAGCGGCGCCATTTGCTCGTTCGTTTCTCTTGCGGTGCAGCGTGTAGACCCAGACCAAGGGTATTAGGACTTCCACCAGGAACGCCGAGGAAATCCAGCATTGCTCTATTCCGGGCGTTGCTTTCTGCAGGCTTGACATAGGGTTCTGTCAAGTGTTGTCTCTTTCCGCCATCACTTGCACGATACCACACCTTGCAAGCAAGCCATTGTTGATCACATTCGGCACATCGTAATCCGCTCTCGAACGCAGAAAGACCACAGTATTCGCATATGGGAAGGACCGGGGCGGTAAAAGTGGCGAGACCAGATGGAATTTGAGAAGAAAACGTCATGGAAGACGCGGAGACAAACTTCGAGACGGTGATAGGCGTTCGCGGCACGAATACAGGAGATGATGGCTCATTCGGTGTCGGACAAGTTACTACAAGAGATGGTACTAGCAAACGAGGGTGTTCGGATGTAGTGTCCATGGATTCAATGTCTCGAAGGGAGGCGTTTGGGCCAGCAAGGCTATCTTCATGACAGTACAAGAGCGGAAGATTCCTGGCGTCTAGAGTTTCCGAATGATCAGCCAAAGCGGCGTCAGATGCAGAGGTTTCTAGGTCATCCATCTGGTGAGGGGCAGTCTGTTGGCCGAATACGGCGAACGAGTGGAAGGATGTACGGAAAGCCATATGATCCAAATATCCGGTGACATCAGGAATACGTGACGCACAGGGAGAATCATGTAATGGAGACTGCAGGTGCTCAATATCGGTCGTCTCGGGTAACTCATGGAATTCGAGTTGACTTACTGGTTCCTCTAAGATTAACATTTGCCTTTCTGACTCATTGCAAAGCGAAATGGTGGAGGCAAATTCCTCCGCCGAGCAGGTAGTCGACTCGTTGGTCAAAATCCTTGAACGTATACTGTGCTTGTTAACAGACCTGTTCTAAATTTATATGTTTAGCACCAATGAAAGGCACAACAGATATATCATTCACATACTTTCATGCGTCGTAAAGAGTTCGGACTTCGGCCTGAGGACGACTCTACTGCTTCTAAGTTGGGGGTCACGGACTGGACTGCAGGTGCATGAGTGGCATAGTCTGTGAATGACCCTAAGGAACTGTTGATATGGTGGGTTTGTGTTGAAGTTGAGTTAGCGAAGGGCTCGGTGCGGGCTTGAAACTTTATTGGGCGTCGAGGGAGATCGTCGAGTTCCTAGGTTAATAGTTAATGCAGCACACCATCAACTGCTCTGGCGATGGCATACTGGGCGAGGCTTGATGAAGGGGGTGAGGAGCTCTAGAGATCCGCGAACCGACTGAAAGCTATCCCGTACTATTGTTACAAGAAGCATACTGATATTGTAGTGCACCAGAACATGGGTTGTCCACGCTTTAACAGATGACCAGAAGTTGCCCTAAAAACTAGCAGAGGAATATTCACGAAAATACAGTCGGTCCGTAGGTCGTTGCTGAGAACTTGAGAGGACTAGTTCCGGAGTTCAACGCTCGGGATGCAGAGGGCGGAGAACATGAAGTTCTGTCGTTCCGCGATCGGCGTTTATTCGATTCTGCTATTTGTTGCTATTTGGCTGTAGTTCAACCAGGCATCTCCGAGCTCTCTGTCGGAAACATCCAACGTTTCAATTTGTGCATTGTAGGAGGTGTAAGTAGTTGTACCATGTTCCAGTTTTTGATCGATTTTGACGATTTCCTGAAACACTATCACTGTTTTTTTAGGCCACACAGTTGCTACTACATAAGTATTCTTGTCCACCCTCGGCTCTTATGGCAAGACATATCAATGACCTTTTCGATCCAGTTGGTGATCACAGTACTCCTAATTCTGTGTCTTCCTGAGGCATCGTCTTTTTAGGATACATTTGAGACGATAGCCGAGAGTCCTGCGGCATACGTTACGCGTGCATTCTATCGCAATGATCATTCAAAGGCACGAATAGTGGCTATCAAGAGCGCATCCACATTGCCTGAGTACTCAAAGGAACCTCATGATATCGTCAAAGAATTAAAAATCCTATCCTTGACCTCCAGTTTTAATGTAAGCTGTCAAGAGAACTCTGAGTATCTCGGTTGTCAGTGGTTCATTTGTTTAGATTGTTGAAGTGTTGGGTCATACGTACGACCCAGCTATTCATTCCCTGCACTACTGGATGCCTTGGATTCCATATTCATTGGCTGAAGTACTGGATTCTCCTTTGTTCTCTCCCTATCCTCTTCCGACTCGTCCGGAAGACGAATCCGCACAAAATTCGAAGGTCGCAGAGTTCATATTACTGGCAAAATCCCTGATTTTTCAGTTGATCTCAGCAGTGGCTTACCTTCACGACCCATCGCTTGGAATCGCTCACAGAGACATCAAGCCTCGAAATGCTCTCTTGACTCCTGAAGGATGTCTCAAATTGATCGATTTTGGGGTGGCCTGGCATGAAGCAACATGTTCTTCTGCTGATGTTTTGTGGCCCGAAATTCCTGATAGGTTGTACTTTGACGTATGCACTGGGTCTGTATCATACGGAATGTACGTGTCAGATCGAACTGATAACCTGCGCTGAATAGGTCACACCGAGCGCCTGAGTTATTGTTCGGTGCTACAACGTATGATCCTCTTGCAGTTGACCTCTGGAGTGTCGGTACGACGTTCGCGGAGTTCTTCACTTCTCTCCGACTTGTTCGCAATTCCGATGAAGATGATGACGATTTTAACGACCATGAAGATATAGACGGTGGACCCAGGAAGCCTTTCATTATTCCTTCTTCCATAGCGCAGGACAGGACGCCTCCTGGTTCTTACTGGTCGCGAGAGCCGTTGTTTGATTCAAGCAGAGGATCGATTGGACTTGCGTGGAGTATTTTCCAAATCCGAGGCACACCCACGGAGCAGACGTGGCCAGTGAGTAGCCGTTTCCATTCTGGGCATGATGGTCAGCTCATATCCACAGTCATTCAAAACATTGCCAGACGCGCAGAAAATAGATTTTCAATCAGTCCCAGGTGTGGATCTTGCTACGCGTCTGCCAAATCTTCCACCGGGAAGTCATGCTGAATCCAGCCTGTCGCATTTCCCTACACGAACACCAGCTCCTTCACCATTGGATCTCCTTCAAGGTTTCCTCGTATACCCTCCTGAAAGACGGCTGAAAGCGGCTGAAGCATTGCATCACCCGTGGTTCTTGGAAGGCATACTTGTCCTTCCTGAAGGATATCCAGTCGACTTTGGTCATGGTAAAGTTGTTCCTACGATACAATATGGACTGCAGGAGTTGCTTCGAAAATATGTCCCTCATTGACCATTACTGATAGTACAGTATTATTCAAGTAGATTACAACGAGATATTCTGAACAAAGAAAGAGACAGTAATCATACAGATTCCACGCCTGTCCGAGTGCCATTAATGGGAATAGTATGCAGAGCTCGATTATCGATGGAAATGCCTGTACATGATCATCAATCAGTACAGTTAAAACGGAAAGACAGGAAGGCTTACTTCGTGTTGCATTGGATGTCTTGTAGATACCAATCAGTCTATGACTCAATTCGAACATATCGTTTCTGTAGAAGCATGAGCGAGCCGGATTTCTTCAAGAGAGTCAAAAGACAAACCTCAATGAGATGATGATGAATTGTGCGTTCTTTGTGCGATCCTTGATATAGTTCGCCACGATAGACACGTTACGGAAATCCAAAGCGGCATCGATCTCATCCATGAAATAGAGCGGAGTCGGCTGTCAATATACATGAGTTCAAGTTCGAGTTTCAATGTGCAGCCAAAAAAATCATACCTTATAGACGTGAAGAGCAAAGACTAACGCGAGAGAGCTGAGTGTCTGAATGACCATTGTCAATGAAGATTATCTGGCATCCTCAATAACACGCACCTTCTCTCCGCCAGACAAATTGGAGATATTTCGCCAACTCTTCTTAGGAGGCATGACACTGAAAATGATACCTTCAGAGAAAGGGTCCATGCTGTCGACGAGCTCCAATTCAGCATTCCCACCCAAGGTAATCATCTGTAAAATGGACAGTCAGACATCGCGTTAGTTAGCCAGGATTCTCAAATGCACCTGATACATTTCCTTCAACTTCAATGAAATTGTATGGAAGCCCTCCAAGAATTCATTCAGACGACGCTTCATGAGATCGTCTTGCTTCTGTTTTTGAGCATCGCGCTGCAGGGTGACCTCGTCGAGGTCGTGGGCACGTCGCAGGAATTCTTCCTCACGCTTCTTGTAATCCTTGAGGACGCCAAGGTTGGGCTTAGCGTTCTTGAGCCTTTCTAAAAAGGGCTAAGTACCAATCCGATTGAAGTGAAGAACAATGTTCTCACCATCCAACAATTCGGCATCGGCAACCATCTCTCGCTTCTTGAAGACAGCTAGCTCCTCTGCGGTGTACATGTGCAGCTCGTGAGAGGAAGAGCGCTTGGGACGGCCTTCCCGCTCGTGAGACTCGTCGTCTGTAGCCTTTTCATTATTAAGGGAGCCTTCGCCTTCGTCGTCGTCATCCTCACTACAGAATAAGAATGAGCATATAGGGCGAATATATCGACATGAAACGCACTCAATATCTTCTAGCCTAAGCTTGTCGTGCTCTCTTTGATAATGGTCTAATGCTTTCGCATTTTCGGCTGCTTCCTTCTCGACATCAGCAAGGGATTGTTTGAGTTCCATCTGAAGTGCACATTAGCGTGATCGCCCAGCATAGCTGTAGAAGAACGAACCTCTTTCTGTCGGAATGCCTGTATCTCTTCAGTCTTAGCATCAAGTTCTCCTTTTAGATTCTCTAGGTCATCCTTGGAGTTTTCTGCCGCCGTCTGGGCCGCCTCGACCTGTGAACGGATCTCTTCTACATAGGCCGCGCACTCCTCGTATTGTTGATTGAGCTTCTGCAGTTCGGCATTAAGCTCTTTCATACTCGCAGTGTTGGTTTCGATCGTATTCGCCAGTTTTTCCGAGTCCTTCTCCGCTTTTGCCTTCGCGACTTCAGCCTTGGTGATGTCGTCGTTGGCTAAACCGATGTGCAGCTTGATGCCGTCGACTTTGGACTTCTGAGTTAACATTCGAGACCCGCCGACCTCCATGATTTTCTTTTCTAAGGCCTTGACGTCTTCTTGGATAGCAGCTGTTCGCTCCTGCAATTTTTCGAGCTCCTCAGTAGCAGTGGCGATCTCATCTTCCAGTGCAGCGATACGTGCTAAATCACCAGCGTCGGGCTTATTTTGACTCCTTTAACGGAAAATGTCATTATAACACGATATTAGCCTGTAGCATCGCGAATACTCACTTTAGGTCACGCACACGCTTCTCCGCTTCTGCGATCCGCTTTGAACCAGTTCGCAAATCCAAATTGACCTTCTCAACCGCGACGTCAATTTGAGGCGACGCCTTCGCGAGAGCATCGAGCTCTCCCTCCAACTCGCGCAGTTGATGCAATGCGTCTTCGAGTTGTCGAGAAGCATCCTCGCTTTCGCGCTCATATTGACGCAAGACATCGGGCGAAACAGCGTCAGCTTGTAGTTTTGAGCTCATGAGACCTCTTGCTACGTGGTTACCGCCTCCCGACATCGCACCAGAGGCCTCAATGAGTTGACCCGCAAGCGTGACTACACGCCATCTGCGAGCTCCAAAAGCAATGCGGTTAGCTTGGTCCAGATCTTTGGCTACCAAAGTGTTGCCAACTGCTTTGTAGAATGCGGGGGCAAGTCGAGGGTCCTTGGGCTTGATAAGATCGAACAATCGAGGGACGTTCTCCGGTGTCTGTATTCTGTCGAGTCCGCGAGACGAAAGCTTTTCCAAAACGAGGAAGGAGGCACGACCAACATTCTGCTTGCGGAGATATTCTATGCAGGCTTGACCTTGCTCGACTGTGTCCACGACAAGATTGTTGAGTGCACCACAGGCAGTGGAGACAGCGACGTCGTATTCATCAGGAATGGTACCCAAGCTACCCAGACGACCCTAGATATTGTTTCAGCAACGTTTCATACTAGGAGAAACACTGATCATACTCACATGGAAGCCTGAAATACGGCCAGCATTTTTCAAGCGAGTTAAGCTATCGAGAACTTTGTTCTGAGAGGTGCTCGCAGCTTGCGATGCCTTGGCTTCGTCGACCCGCTGGCGAGATGAGGATGCTTTGCTGCGCAGTTCTTGAACCTGACCTTGGAGTTCCTGGATACAATCGTCAACGTTTAATAGAGACTAGATGTACACTGTTCAGCCTACCTTGAATTTACGGTCAGCGGCCTTGACCTCCTTCACAGTTTCGCCCTTCCGAGCCTGAAGGTCTTCCAGTTCCGCTGACTAAGATCAGATGAGATGGGATATATTCCTGAATGTGAAAAGATGGTAACTTGCCTTGGTTTCATAGTCAGACTGGAGCTGTTGAAGATCGGCCTTTGCCTCCTCATACGCAGCCTTGACTGCGTCTGCTTTCTTGGCAAGCATATCCCGCTCACTTGTGGCAACATCGATCTCAGCCTGTTTGGCATTGATCTTCGCCGTCCACGGCTGTAGCTCCTTCTGCTTGACCTCGATCTGGTCGTGGAAGACTTGGGTCTTGTCTGTGATAAACGTCAGATATCAAGATCATATCAAAAGTCAAAGGTGTATCAAGCACATACCCTTTAGACTATCACGAATATCCTCTAGGATTTGTTCCTCTCTAGCAAGATTTCCCTCAAGTTCTTCCGCCTTGGTTTTCCCCTTCTCAATCTTCGTAGCATTATCCTCGATAGCACGAAGTGCCTCAGCATGGGTGCGTTCATCCTGCATAGCAACTGAGCGTCCACTCCCAACATTCAGGGCTAAACCTTACCTCCTGGAGTAACTTCTTCAGCTTTTTCGACTTAGTGTTGGCGTGCTTCCGGCGTTCTTCTAAGCTGACTTGCTCCTTCTCGTGAGCGGTAAGGTCCTTCACAGCCTCTGCGGCTGCTGCTTTGACTTCCTATGAAAAAGTCAGAAAGCAACATATGATGTTTCTCATAAATGCTCACCTCGTACGCAGCGCCACGTTCTTTGTAATGCTTCTCAAGCATCTCCAAATGCGTAATGTCATCCTGGTTACGCCCAGTCTCTGCGGCCAGCTCGCGTTTGATCTCCTCCTATTAATTTATGAGGACAGTAGATCAGCAGCGGAGATAACGTGGAACTCACAATGCTTTCATTAAATTTTTCCTCGTTTACGAGACATCTCCACAAATACCATTGCCATAACCGGGAGAGCGCCCTGACGTGTTCATTCTGCAACCTCAGATAGTCTTCTGCCTCTCGCTTTTGTTCTTCGAGAGCGTTGCGCTCGCGCTCTACAATCTTGAGCCTATTCATCTTCTCGATGCGTTCCTCGTTGAGGCGTTCTACTTCTTGAATGGCTTCCTCGATGGGCCCCTTGTACTTGGATGTTCCGATGATGTCTTCCAGATACTCGAGTAGACCGTCCTCATGTTCCGACGGGGCTTTAGGCTTCATCTGAGCAATGGATTCGACTTCACCCTGTACATGCCGCATATCAATTCACTACAATTCGCCACTAGATGAAAGTAACAGACCTGAAGAATGAGGAAACGATTATGATCTAAATCGATACCTCTGCCCTTGAGCAGCTTTTGTACTTCGCTGTAATTACTCTGATGACCATTGATCGTATATCGGCTAGAGTTGTTCTTGTAGGCCGTACGAGCCACAACTAATGTCGAGTCGGGAACCACAGAAAACGCGTCGGGCCCAGGCTACAAAGAACATATGAGAGGATATGAAAAGCGGAATTATATTACTTGCCTCGTCGATGATCTCACGGAAATGCACCTCGACACTGCACTCATCCAGATCCGGATATCGAGCAGAATTATGGATAAGCTCAGAGAGTTTTCCTTGTCTCATCTTTGAGGCTCGGTACCCAAAGACGAAGAGCAATGCATCAATTGTGTTTGATTTGCCCGAACCATTTGGGCCAACAATTGCTGAGAATGACTACATAAATCCGATCCTCAATATGACGCCATGAAACAAAACTAACAAGAACGGCTTTACCTTATGGAATGGGCCGATTTCTTGCCGACCAGCGTAACTCTTGAAGTTGACAAGTGCCATCTTGTGGATGACCAATCGAGGTTTGGGACCCTGAGGTTCCTCTGGAATAGCGGGTTGCGTGGTTAGCTTTGGGGAAGGCGGCCTGATGTCATCCAAAAGCGAATGTTCCTCCTCGTATGGCTCGGCCGTCTGTAATGCTGCAGCATCTTCTTTCTCCTCGTTCACCGAAGTCACCTCTTGTGCACTATCCTCATCATCTGGTACTGGCGCAGCGGGAACGATAGCGGAATTTGCCTGTAGTGGTGATTGCGGATCCTGCGATTCTTCACGTTTGAGGGGGTCGGAGGAGCGTCCGCTCGGTTGGGCGGAGGGCGGCTGAGACACAGGTGTTGCTGAGCGGCGAACACCTTGGGCAGCCTTACCCCGAGGCCTTCGCGTAGGTTTCAAAGGAGCAGAAATTTCCTCCACCGAAGAATCGTCTGAGATTTCGATAATCTCATGCTTTACTGGAATTTCCTCCACTTCCGAACTTTCTTCTTTCTTTGCCTTTCCCCTGGTGGCACGACCTGAGGTACGTGCCGAAGGTTTGGTGGTAGCCGAAGAGAGTCTTGAGTGAGTATTTCGAACTGTGGGCTTAACGTCCTCCTCCTCGGCCACAAGTTCTTTCTTAACAACAGAACTTCGACCTCCACGAGAGACGGGTTGTTTGCGAGCAGGAACTTTGCGTGTGACTGGTTTAATATCCTCTTCCACCTCGTATTCGTCGTCGTCTCCAAGAGACGGACGCGTTTTCTTCATTGGTGGAGGAGAGCCTTCTTCGTCTTCTTCTATATCGGATTCTGGGACATCTTCAAGAGACGAGCGTGCTCGACCTTTTGCCTTAGCGGTAGATGATGCAGTCCTTGAGGGTGGCTTTCGGGTTCTGGATGGTGGTTTGGTGTTGACATGATCGGTTAGAACTTCTTCTTCCGCGGGTTGCCCGCGCTTCCTCTTGCTAGGAATGGGTTTCTCGACTGGTGGCGGTTGGACAGATGCGGAGCGAGTAGAGCGACGCGGAGGCATGTTCGTAGTTCGTCGCAGGACCCAATGGTCCTTAAGTAACAAACAATACTCCTGTTGTGGCAAACGAGTCAGTAGCATTGGGGCAAGCTGCTGCTCGAACTCGTCCACAACGCGTCTAGTCACGTGCGGCGCGTCAGGATATCGGCTCTTACCGATGTGACCAATGCGGAAGGTGACATTGATTGTTAATGACAATTTTTTGGTCTGAGGGTATCAAGGGGTATCACTACTGTAATGTATGCAGCTATACGGGAAAATGAAACATGTTATAATGCCAGGACACTACCGTCATTACAGATTGCTCCATCCCCCATCTATCCCTTCGGTAATTCGCCACCCGGCAACCCCCAACCATGAGCGAATCCTCTCTTCATCAGCAGCTGGGGCATTGTCGTCCAGTACGGTCATATCACCCTTCCCCCACAACGATAGGATAGACCACCCAATAATAAGCATCCCAGGGGGTCGCTGTTCACCAACGCTCTCCAATCCAGCAGCAATGTCCCGCAGTGTAGAATAAATAACTCGCTGGTCAGGCATCGATGCACGCTCAATGAGGGCTATCGGGGTGTTTGCGGGATATGCAAGGCCGCTTCTCGCAGATGTCTCGGTGTCAGACTGTAGCGCTATTAATACCTGAGGCAACCTTGCAACCCCCATCAACATAACCAGTGTGCGGCTCCTCTGGTATCCCGGTAGCTTGACTTCTTTTCCTTGTCGTCCAACTCCTGTACAGACAATGAATGACTCCGCGGCCCCGCGTTGCGTTACCGGGATACCAGCGAAGGTAGGACCAGCGAGGGCGGAGGTCACGCCAGGAACAACAATTGGCTCGTAACCGTGAGCCCTAAAATATAACACCTCTTCTCCCGCTCGACCGTAAACTGTTGGGTCGCCTTGCTTTAACTGAATACACTGTGAGCAAGCTAAAATCGCTCTGCGGACGGCAGAACTTACTCTGACAACTGTAAGGCCTCGATTAGCCGCTTCGACTGCAGCTTCCATGAGCTCCATCTGGGCACCGTCAGCGTTGCCTGGGAACTTGCGCGCGATGCGAACTTCCACATGCTTTGGAATCAAGCCAAGTACAGCTGCAGGTACTAATTTATCGGACAGAACGAGTTCAGCATGGCGAGTGAGTGCTGCATGTGTGGCGAGGGTGAGCAATGACGGATGTCCTGGACCAGAGCCAACCAAGAAGATTCTTCCTGGTGGCGCAACTGCAGAGAGGGGTAATGCATGCAGCGAAGCCGCTTCACTGTCCCCGGGTTGACTGTGAGGTGATGAGTGGGTGGTGTCTTGCCCGTCTGGACGAACAGCAGGTAAACGCCCTTGACCATCTAATATGTCAGCCAACTCTTGCTCTGTCATTTCAGCAAGCCGCGGGATAGGCCAGTATTCGCTAACTTGCGCAACCCATTTCATACGTCGTCGTGCGGCGTCTGTAGAGGATTCTTGCACAGCCCGCTGAGGGACGGGCGTATTGGGAGTTGGCTCCGCATCTTCCTCGACCACGGTCAGTTCAGGTGTGTCCTCTTCTGATATTACATCTGCCCTTGCTAATTTCCTCAACTTCCCTATTTTCAAAGCAGCACGACCTACATCCTTGTGCAATTTTGATACGATCTCCCTGCGAACCCGACCAGCCAAGCGACAACCCTGCCCGTTCGTCGTAACTCCAATTTGTAAGGGACTGGGTGTGTCCGAGCTGTCGTCATGAAACCTATGCATGGATGTAAAGGAGAAATCGCAGAGCTCCGGACGATCGATGACATTGACTGGAATATTACGGTCTCTACAAACGCGAGCGATCCTCTGTGCAGAATCCTTGCTTCTTCTCTGGGAAATGTCAGCTCCAAGAATAGTGTCTGTTACGCATACCAGCGCGATACCAGCAGTACCCGCCAGATATACATTTAGCAATTCCGCGTCGTGATTGGAGGAAGTTGATGGTGGGCCAGGAAGGGAACCCCAGTCAACAACGGTCAGTTGTCCGTTCTGTGCCCTCCATTTCAATTCGTCGCATGCCGCATGTATCCCACCTCTAGCAATAACAACCACCGACGAATCTGCGTCCAAAGCGGCGAAAGCGCGCGATGCAGCTAAAGCATTTGAGCCAATGATGAGGACAGTTCTTCGATGAAGACGGAAAGAGAGTATCAGGGAAGCCCCTCCAGCGGGTGTCGGATATCCCACCATTCGAAGAAGTAGGAAGTGGAAAAGATGTTTTCTACAAAGTTCTGCATGTGAGTGAGTCTTACAAAACTTCCCATTGGCGCGTTTCGCGATGATGAGCAAGAGAAAGGTTTTGAATGAAAGCCGGGCCGTTCACCCGCTCCAGATCCGGTCAGGAAAGTTGCTTATGTAATCGACCATGAGCAACTTGCAGCCCACCACCTTGCACGCCGTCCATGCAATTGGTGGACAACGATACCGTATGTGCTGAGCTCTATCTCGAAGTATCTGATCTCACGGCGTCGTTTCTAGTTCTTCAAACAGTTGGCTGCTCTGTTTGAAGCCACCAAAAACACCGGATCGATATGGCTAACTCATAAACGATGTGCGTTCATTTGACCAATACATAGCCAAGCATAAGTAATTCTTATTCTTATATGAGCAGTGACATACGATGGCGAGGATGCGAGGATGGCCACAGACGATGCAGCGGAATATCCTTGTCTTGTTCGTGCTACTAATGGCAAGGAGATAAAGATTTCAACTCGGGTGGGTGTACCTTAATTGTGTTGCGTACATGGTCATTGACTGATGTGATGATGGCTTTTCGATTCGAAGGTTGAGCCGGGAGGGCTTGATCAATTTCATTCGAAGTATGGTACGCTGCTGAAGACCTCTATGACGTCCCTCCGCAAGCGTGACAAGAAACGCGAAAAACAGAGAGCGGAGGAGGCTGCCCACCGAAGGCGACGTCTCGCTGAAGACATCCTTGTTGAAGGCTCGAAGCGGGGAAGTGGTCGGCGGAAGCGACAGCGTCGCATCAAGCAGGCTTTGAAGCAAGAGGAGTCTCGCAAGAGAATGCAGGAGCGTGAGGATGCCAGGGCGAAGGGCAAATCGACCTAGCGGCCTCTGCGGTATGGAGTTCTACGTAGCACTCATTATATTAGATATTAGTGTATCTATGTTTCTGACAATGCATGAGGATTTTTGTTCAACGCTCATTTGCATTTCTGCTTGAATTTGCCATAAATAACGCTGCGCCATCTTTGGGCGCTTCCGTGAACGCCTCGAGGGATGTTCTCTCCGCATCTTTGCACTCGACCTCGAGGTTCCCCTATCTTTCTCAGCCTCTCTGCTCCTTAGCGGTGTGGTTCTATGCTATGGTCGCTCAGTCTATTGTCCCTATCGAACCCAGCGTATTCGAGGACGACGATGAAGGCTGGCAGGACATGCCGGTAGTCCGAGAGTCTGATGAGTTCGCTAATGGGCTTGACGAAGAAGACCAGAAGAAATACCATTACGTCCCTTCAGCAAAGAAAGTCTCGTCCACAGGTGCTAGTAATGCCACGGGAAATTTGCTGGATATCGATTTCCGCGGGAACGAATGGCGGTCAAAGGTGGATCAGAACGAGAGTGAATATACCCGACTGCGGGTGAACGAGGAAGACGAATCAGACGAGGTGCACCTACGGACGAGGTACCTTTTTGACGAAGATAAAGCAATGACACCGCTTAGTCAAATGCAAACCACGAAGGATCTCTTGACCGAGGCTCAGCGAATAGCGTATGTGGGTCTATGCGCACTCACGGCTAAGGAAATGGCGGACAAGATGAGAGCTGTCAACCAGAAGGAGCTCAAGCAGGCCATCAAGAGCCTGGAACTATGGTCATTGAAAATCATGGGTCGGTTGTATTATCATATGGAGCTTGCCACTGAAGGTGAACATTGCATTTTCCCGTTGTGTAGGTTGTTTAGCAAGCTGAACGACGTTGATAGAGCAGAAGATGATCGAAAGTTTGGCTACCCACGGAATTGAAGCCAAGGATCTTGTACCACCGTTGATGACGACGCATACGGTGGCAAATCCAGAGTACGATCCTGTCGAGGCCCGCAAACAAGCTGAGCAGGAGGCCAAGAAGGAAGACCTTGAGGCCGCCGATCGTCTTGCCCGCTTAGAAGAAGACTCATTCGATATATCTGAAGGCCCTGATAGGGTCGTTTCCACTTCTCCCAGCTTGCCCAACACCTCGACTGACGGTGTCAAGCCCGTGCAAACTACAGCAAAGGTATTTGAAGATACGTCAGCCGCGGCGCTGCCTGGAGTCAGCACTCATCTCTCTGCGGCCGATGAGAAAGTCACCTTAGATATTCGATGGACGGTTCTTTGCGATCTCTTCCTCACTCTGATCGCAGATAGCGTCTATGACGCACGGTCGAGGGTATTGCTTGAAAACGTTGCATTGAAGTTGGGCTTAGGCTGGCTTGATGTAGTGAAGTTTGAGCGTCGTGTTACAGAGGCCCTTGAGATTCAAGAGGAAGTTGAAAAGATGGAGCAGAAAGAGGCTATTGAAGATGTGAGGAAAGCGTCCAAGAAGAAACGTTACATGATGTTGGGACTCGCAACATTAGGTCAGTTATTAAACCTGTCAAATTATCGATATGTCATTGAATTGCAATTCTTAGGCGGTGGTCTAGTCATCGGTCTTTCGGCTGGTTTGCTAGCTCCTGTCATCGGAGCGGGGCTGGGTGCTGCCTTCACAACTATTGGTATAACAGGGACGACTGGCTTCCTCGCTGGCGCTGGTGGTGCTGCCGTCATTACTACGGGTGGTGTTCTCACTGGTTCCGGGATTGCTGCGCGAGGCATGGCACGTCGGACGCAGTTCGTTCGCACCTTCGATATCCTTCCATTGCACAACAACAAGAGAGTAAATTGTATTCTGACAGTGTCCGGGTGTGTATGCATCATCTCTGTACTGTGCAATTGATGCCAATATCCCATGTAACAGATTCATGAATGGCCAACTTGATGACGTCCGTCTGCCATTCAGCGTTTTAGATCCTGTTATTGGCGACGTATTCAGTGTCTTATGGGAGCCAGAAATGATTCGAGAAACTGGAGGTGCCCTGAAGATTCTCACAGGCGAAGTTCTCTCACAAATCGGGCAGACGGTACTGCAAGCTACCGTCATGACTGCTTTGATGAGTGCATTACAATGGCCTATCAGTACGTTCGTTTGCTTCCGTAGAAATCCCACTGAGTCTCATTTCCTCGATTTAGTTCTTACCAAGCTCGGATATTTAATTGACAACCCGTGGAACAATGCATTAGATCGTGCCAAGGCAGCTGGTAGCGTGCTTGCTGATATACTCATACATCGTCATCTTGGTGTTCGTCCCATAACACTGATAGGTTTTTCACTTGGTGCACGTGTGATATTCTATGCTTTGCTCGAGCTCGCGAAGCAGAAGGCGTATGGAACAGTGCAGGATGTCTTTCTGCTCGGAACCACTGTAACAGCCCCCACCCGAACCTGGATTGCTGCTCGCAGCGTCGTGTCGGGGCGATTCGTGAATGGTTACGCGAGAAATGATTGGGTACTGAACTATCTCTTCCGTGCTACCAGCGGCGGCTTGAATACCGTTGCTGGCCTTCGACCAGTTGAGAACGTGCCAGGGCTGGAGAATGTCGACGTTACCGACAAGATCTCCGGGCACATGAGCTATCGCACCTTCATGCCCCTCATCCTTGATCAGCTCGGTTTTCCTGTCTCCGCCGACTACTTTGATGAGCCTGAGGTATGTAATTCCTATGTAGTCCCACGGTCAATGCCTGAATGCTCCCATCATGCAGGAACCGGATTTCGAAGGCGACCGAATTGTGGTCCGCGAAGGGGAGGAACTTCAGAAGAAGAGCTGGTTTTCTCGAAAGAAGAAACCAGCTCCAGCTCCCTCAACGCCAAAGATATCCCGCCCCCCTTCTTCCGCGACATTTGGCCACCACCGGAAGACCTCTTCAAGCACGGCAGCCGACGACGACGATCTCCCTCCTCGGGAAATTCCCACAATATCCACTCCTCTCTCACCCGAACAGATTCCGATACCTGCTACGCCTGTGATGGATGATGGTGACGTAGGGTCGCCGTCCAACATTCCATTGCGTGCTGGCTTTGACTTCTCAGCCATTAAGGAGGTCCTTGGTAAGGCAGACCTGACTCCAGCAGAATTACAGGTGCCTGCACCGAACAAGTTCAACGCTCCGTATATTCCTCCCCCCACTCACCGTTCAGAATCCGCTCCGCCACCCGGTCCTGGATTGCCTGTTGCCACACCCAGGGTTCAATCTTCTTTCGATCTGCCTAGTACCAATGACCATCTGGGGCCTGTCGCCAGCGCACACACTAATACACATGATGACCTCACATCCTCTTTGTCGCGTTCACTTTCACTCACTGATTTACGGGACGAAACGGAGAACGACATGACATCACTAGGCAGCAAGACGCCTACAAGTTCTGCCTATACTCAAACCGCACCCTCCGTATGGCCTGAAGAATTGACACCATCATATGGCAGTGCATCGTTTAGTAGTTTCCATGATCGATCACCACCTTATGGCACAGGCATTTCTATGCGTTCGGGGGATGCTTTTCCCTTTGGTTCAGAGCAGGCTGCTCAATCATCCGACGGGCTATATAGCTCTCCGCTGTTGTCAGGAAATCCATTTGCACCCCCAGATACAGCCGCCCTCTCTTTCGGTGGAGTAGATGGCTCAATATCTTTGTCCCCCTCTCCCAAAGTGGAACGCGACCCTTGGGATATCGCACCACCGATGTTTGGCAGCGGAAGCAAGAAGTCCGCCAGTACACTCAACCTAAACCCTTGGCAAAGTTGATTATAATCATCCACCCACATCTGACCTTCACTTGTCCCATCCACATTCTCCACGCCACTCTTTCCTGCATATGATCCGGAACCATCTTATATTTTTGTCTTACACAATGCATCTACTTAGCATCGATCAGCATATGTTGCAACTTTTGGCAACTTCACTTTGTATCCTAGACAGACCGTGCGAGGTCATCGATAATATCTCCCTTCTTTGGGTTTGGACCTTTCCTACTTCCGTAGAGTCAATCACGATTCATCTATCAAACCCAATCAAGCGGCGTGCAAGATGAGCTTTATAGGTGAGTGGAGTCGCAGTCACCAGACATCCTGATAAACATGACAGGATGTGTCCGTCATTTCTGCCTACATAGGCTGCAGTCATGACTTCGAGCGCAACAGGAGGAGCTTATAATAGGGCTTCCAACAATGCGCATGATTGTAAACCATAGCGGGCAACTCAGGAGAGTTAGGTGATAATTCGGCGTTCGGGTCGTTATCTGCAGACATCTATAGAACACCTTTGGAATCATGCCAGGACTGGCACGTGTTCTCACTGAGATGCTGTGCAAATGTCATGCAGCCATTACAGCAGGGCATGAACCTTGTACGTGCTCAATGCTCATGGCATTTGTTGACCGGACAATAAGCAAGCTGTGGAGCGGGAAAGGCTTTTGGCCACTTGCCCCCGTTCGGAAACGGTGGCAATGACCGGAGCACATCGAATATCAGGGAAATAAAACGTGTTTGTGGCTATCCGAGGCACGCAGCTAAATGGGCCCAATCAAGTGAAACCGTACCCAAGCTCCAGTAGCCACACATCACAGTGCAAAAGGCATATAAGCGGCAAGGCCTGCGCCATCGACCACTTACCTTCGCTTCGTGTCCCTTCAGCCACTACAACTGTACGCGTTTCTTGCTGAACGCACCAGCGCATACCTTGTCGTGACGGATCCGACATGTCTCCGCAACCTCGCCCAATTCTGAAACGCGATTCATCCTTTTATAAGCAAATAAGCATCCCGCTTCCATTCGCAGCTTGCGGATCCATCTTCTCCCCCCACGTTCATTTCCCTCCGACTCCGGGTCTCAGTGAGACACATCCGGCGCATTCTCCGCAGACGTATGATCGCGCCCCGATCGTCGTTTCTCCCAATGCGTGCCTGCTTCCCGAACGTCATGACCGGAGAGTGTACTCACCTACGATTGAGGTCGAGATTGAAAGGCCACAGCGAGGTCGCCCCCGATCCCGTACATCGAAACACGCGAGCGTGAAAGGCAGTTACTTTCACCCGCGGGCGTACGAGGCATGCGAACCTGAGCCACCAAGCGACTCGGTACCTGTCTGCCCGCCACCGCTTGTCCACGACTCATCTTCTCCTTCCGATGAAGACATGGTCAGCACACCGCCTGACCATCGTATATCATGGTTTGAATCCGATGGCAGGTTACCTCTCTTGACGGATGTATATGCCTCTCCCGTTTCGCCGCAAGGCTCTGACCACGGACCCGACCTTTATACTGTGGCCTACGGAGTGGAGAAGAGGCAGCGGCCAAATTTGGGGCGTATGGGTAATTCCCTGTCTGCAAAGGCGGCAAAGGGATTCTGTGCACAATTGGATGAAGGATGTCTGGGTGGGTTCTAGTAGCTGCGAGGGACTTTGATGTGATGGTTCTCGATGCCGTCTTTGGCCATCCCGGATCCCTCTTCCGCTGGTGATAATTATACCCATTTTACATACATACCAAGAGTTCATGTGATGGAACAGGCGCAGGTCGCCTGGTTTCGAATGTGCTGGATAACTATAACATTCGAACCCCTTTGTCGGAATCCACTTCACTGTAGATGGAGCGCATGCCAGCGACTTCTTGTGAGCTTCCAAAGCTCCCAAATACAAGATTTCCTCTGCAGGAGGCATTGCTGCTTAGTGCGAAGGTTTGATATCAATCTCAATGCAGTCTCTGTGTTTCGAAGAACCGAGGTGGAAATGATGCTGAAAATCAACATCGAGACTCTGAGAGCGGTGCTTGACCGATCCGATCACGATCTTGCGTTCAAACTTCAAAGCATTGCGGCTCTGGGAATGATGCATGTACTACAGACTCATCAGTTTTCATGCATGCCTGTAGGTTGCGTAAATGTTTCGTATCCTGCGCAGCGAGGTGTACATTTAAGGGCATGAGACCTCATGAGACTCTACAATGGGGTCCGTCCCTTCAGGCTTCATGCGTCCATGTGATTGACACTCAAGTTATTGAGAGATCAAGAGGATGTTCGTTCGTGGCATTCTGAATACGACGTGAAGTTCGAGAACAGAGGAATTCGGCCTGCGAAATTGGAGGTCTTCTTGCGGACTTATATCTAGCTTCTGGTGTCAAAGTCTCGTTGAGGGAACGGCCATCTTAAAGTGCGACTGGCGTGATCTCAGTCGTACATCAATTCGCAACCGAATGAGAGAGATCTGAAGTGAGAAAGATAGACTGTTGTGGCCGTCGCACTAGCTATGTATACCTTGAATGTGAATGGAAGTTTGCATTATTCTTCTTTCCTCTACTATAACTGATGATACGGGCGTCTGAAGTATAAAATCAGAACGGATGCACAGCCACGTCTCCACTATCGACGCTTCAATTCAACCTTAGTTTTTTGCTCTTCACCAGAATTATTGATCGAAGCTTTGCTGCAATAGAACACTGATGTTCCTCTCTATTTGACGCAGGATGCAGTAAGTGAACCTGATCAGCGTGACTGTCCGTCTGTACACTCAAACCCAAATTATTAATGGGAGTCGTGTGCCACTAACCAGCTTAATCATGACACGAGGTAACATCCCACCACGTCAGCGTGATACTTATCATGATAATCTAGTCACGGAAAGCATGGGAGCATTGTGAAGGAGCAGCTTGATCTTCTCTTCGAGATATTGACAGCGTCAACCTTTGTAATCTGCCACCGAATAGGACGAGCGTGTGAAGCACACTCTGCATTGAGGAAACAGGTGAGTTCACTCAATTTACAGTGAAGCTTGCACAATTGTTTAACCAGATCCTCATGACGTTCTTGAAGCAATTGATCCACTGAAGTAATGGCTCCTGTTCACTTTAGGTTCTACCGAAGTCAACTTGAAGCGTGTGGTAGCCGCGTGCCGTCGCCCTCGGGCATCTTTCATGCGAAGTGCTGATCGAAGTCCAGCATCGAGTTCCTGATTGGAAGGCTGCCCGTCATTCAAGCTTCAAGTCTGTAAATTGCTGCGCTACTAGAGATTCCCGGTACCGGTTATCGCCTCAATTGTTCGGTTGCATCGTCGTAAAATGGGGCAAAGAGAGATCATCTCTTGGTGGAGGCTTCATCAACTGGATGTACTTGTTCAAGGATGCCCCCTCGGCGTGATATAATATTAATTCCGCGGCATCACACTGGCACACACAATTGGATCCACGCCAACGATGCTTCTCGTTGACTTTGGAGCAATTTGTTGCAAGAAGTTGGCGCCGGGGCTCGCTGTTCGATTTCTACCCGAAGTGGTATGTTCTCCGTGGCAGGTGATGACATAAGAAGCGCCATCTCTTCCCGATGAGGCAAGCATTGAACCCGAATAGGCAGTTCAACATATGATAATGTGCTGCCCATAGCGTTCGTCACGATTGACAGGCAACCAACCCCGCAAGATGATATATAAACTCGTCCCCCGCCCTGGCCTTCTTTATCCCCTTCCCCCATTATCGTCAACAACATTCCCTCCATGGAGTCCTCTGCCCCCGCCCATCAGCCCTTCAACCCCTTCTTTGACAACGTACCCTCCTCGCGACAAATGTCGTCCTCTATCTGGGCCCCTCAGCCTCAGCTGACAGACACGGCGTGGTCGAGGGCCATCGATTCTATCAACCGAGTCGATCCTGCTGCCCATGCCCAAACTCGACCTGAACCTAGTCGTGCGGTTTCCTATCCAACGCCCAGGAACGGGGAGGATGTGTTCGGTCCTCTGGCTTCCGGAGGACATGCTCACAAAAAGGATGTGGGCGCCATTGGAGATGGGCGAAAGAAGAGTAATCCCGACTTTGATCACATGGTGAAGGGTTTCTGTCAGAAAATGTACAAAGTCGCATCACTAATTTCGGACTCATGTAGCATGTCGAACAGCTGCTTCGGACCTTGAATCTCAATTCCCCTGCCCCTCTCACCATTCCTCCTCTTACCAACGACTATCTGTCGTCTGCATCGCCAGACCTTTCCCCCGTTTCCACAACCTCCGCCCTTTTGACTCCTACCGATCTTTCACCTGCCAAGTCCTTCAGCCAGAAGATGGGGTCATCGTACGATTTTGGCCCCGTGTACCAGACACAATCTAACGGTCTCATGTTCGAGACAGGCATTGCCAATCGTTACCATGATATCGTGAACGCTAGCGATAATGGAGCCTTTAATCTCCCTTCTCGTGAACAATTCCTCCCTGATCCCAGCCAGTACGCTGCCTACGAGGCATTCCCTGAGCAGTCGTCTAACATTCGACCTTTTTCTGCTCTTCCTCCCGTGCCTGCTCACAACCATGCAGAGTCTGGGTCCTTGGGTCCCTTCTCATGGAACGGTCAGCGCTCGCGTTCCTCCTCTGAGTGGTTGAAGCCAGAGGTCAGAGGGAGCCAAGGCTTTCCTACTGTCGACAGCGACCTGCCCTTCCGCTCGTTCCAAGGAAATCAGACCCACGGAAATCCACCTGCTCATGAGGTAATATGCCCTCGTATACCTTGATATATGCGCCTCTATGTCCTGACTAACAAGTCATTTCGCTAGCCTATCAACTTTTTGTCTCTGCTTCATCCTTCCTCTACCCCGCCTTACCACCTCTTCGTGTCGCGCATCATCAAGTCATCTGATCAACAGGCCTCCATATTCTTACAGCAGAAGCTTAAAGTTGCTGATCAAGAAGAGCGAGCAAAGATCGTGGATGCTATCTGCGCTCGTGGGTTTGAGATGATGGCTCACCGGTTTGTTATGTTCAGTGCGTTTCGGAGAGCTGTTTACTGACGATCTTGGCTAGCTTCGGGAACTGGGCTGTTCAACGCTGCCTCGAGGCTTCTGCAAGCGTGGAGGAGAGACGTCAAATTGTTGCTTGCATGAGGTATGTGAATTGTTACTCCAATGCATCGCTCGCTATATGCCCGCGCTTCGTTTGGAACTGCTTTTCTTATGTCTGTGTTTTCTTTGCTTTTACTAGGGGTCGTGTTGTCGATCTTGCTACCAACTGTTATGGCTGCCACGTTCTACAGAAGGCTCTGGACTGCGAAGAAGACATTCGTCTCTTAATCGTCTCCGAACTTCTTCTTGGCGATCCCGCCCAAACTTTAGTCAACAAGCACGCGTCACATGTATGGAGCAAGGTGAGAGACACACTGTTTATTGGACGAACAGTAACTGACGGCATCCTAGATCATGGAGCTGACATGGACGCTACCGGCGCCGCCGATTTTCGCGTAGTGAGTGGCCTATTCGGATATCCTCCCTGGCTCAGCGTTGAATAGGTTTCTGTAGCGTGAACAAGTCTCTGAAGGGCAAATGGGCCTCTCTTGCCTGTCACGAGACTGGCTCTTTGGTTGTTCAGGTATGACCTTACTTCGTCTACGTCTTCGTGGCAGCTCATGGAGCCATCGGTTCAGCATGCTTTTGAAAATCTTGAGGAAGCCGCAAAGGATGGCATTGTCAACGAGTTACTGAACCAAGGACCCAACGTTTTTGGTGAGGTAGCAAAGAGTCAATGGGGATCCTACTGCGTACAGCACAGTGAGTTGCCCTCATTGCGTGTTGTCAATGGTGACAATGACCTGGTAACTGTGTAGTTCTTGAACATGGCTCCGCTGATCACCGCGAGATGGCGCTCGATCACATCATCTCTGGGTTGCTGGAGTATGCAACGAACGAGCAAGGTGCGAAGTCCATCACGAAAGCCCTCAAGGAAGGCGGGCAAGACACTTTGAACCGGATTATCAAGCGCATGTGCGAGCCGGCAAAGGGGTAAGCCGCTTCCCTTCTATCATGTGGAACTCTATTGACCTAGTTGTAGGGCTCGTCGCGCGACAATAGTTGATCTCGCACTTTCGGTCACGGGTAGCCAGCTGATCGCAAGCGTTCTACCAAATGTATGCGCACTTTCAAAAGTCATTACGCATTACTCACACTTGTACCAGGCGGACAAGGACCAACGTGCCTTACTATATGATTCCATTCGGGGCCATATTGTGACACTTCGTGGATGTAAGACGGGCTCTAAAGTGATCTGGCTTTTGTATGTCACCGACCGTCTCACTCAGACGCGGAGCTAACAATCTCTTTCTCTTTGTAGCGATAGAATGGTTCGTTCCTTGCTCAAACGCCCTTGCTCATCGACTAACCCTTACTACAGCGCGCATACTACGGCTATTGAATAATCTGCACCTGCTCCCGAGTACCATACAATTTTGCAGGCATATCTTAACGGCATATCTTTTCGCGTTCAATGCATATCAACAAGACTCATTTTACAACAATGGAACGGCACAGAAAACACATTTATTTATTCAGCAAGCACTATCGCCCTCAAAGTCTCCATCTTCCGTGGCATATTCCGCATCGATTATCCCCTCCTTCTCTGCAACGGCACGCACGGTTTCCCTTTTCTAATCGTGTAACACCTTTCATTCGTTTCGACGGACTCCTTTCAAACAGATTGCATAGCGTCCTTCCGTATTGTCGCTCACGAACACTCCTTTTGCTTCTTATTCAATCCATTTCTCTCTGTACCCATGATTTATTAGTATTTGAACCGAACCTCCGCTTCGCTTATTGCATTTCAATTTCGAAACATTTTCGTCTACATCTCTTTCGTTTAAGCAGGGCTCCTTGATGTTTGAGTACTCCATGTGCTTAACTTCGTTTGCAATTGCGCCTGCGCTTCTCACTCTTTGCCCCAGTAGTACAATCTATAGCTGTCGTCTCACCCTGTATATCGAATATACCGCCCCAAAGGACAGTGTGCATACGTGTATTACTAGTACCTGACCAATTCTTTCCTGTTCGTACTTTTACCGCTCAATACGACAAGATATAACATTTTGGATAGGAAGATACGAACATAATGCTCCAGTCCTATACAATACGGTATGCATGAGAACAGACACTTCACCACTGCTCAATCAACCCACTTCGGTTCGACCTTCCACTGGGGCCTCGGTACGTACTTGCCGCCAAGCAATTTCTCCTCAGCCTCCATCCGAATCTTGACACTACGATGCACGAAGAATTCACCCCGCTTTTGAATACGACTAGGAATCTTGCGCGGTTGACCAAGATTGAGTCTATGAAGATATCCGAGTCAGCGATGGGTTCAGAATGGGTAAATATCGCACATACCCCCAGTTAGAGACCCAATCGTTATTGTCCCTTTGCTTCTTAAACCTCATCGGCAACAGCTCCAAGATCCACCATGCCGGGGCGAGAGAAAGCTGGTCATAGATGGGAGATAAGGCATCATATACGTCTTCTTCTTCCTCAGTCAAGTTGAGATCTGACGCAGCGATATTTGCGTACCCCACGGAAGTTGACTTTGCAACCGTCGGATCATCCACAAGGGTTTTGACAGTGTATGAAGAGTCTGCAGTGGACTCTCTGCCGTGTTCATGGGGAGCGTTTGGGACATGAAGGTGAGGTGGAAGTGAATTAGCGTAGATGGTTTCAGGCCGATCCAGAACTGTTGGAAAGAGCGTGTTTGGGTCGAGACCGACTGTGCGCAAGAGAGAAGCATGGAAACGGATGCCGATGTTTGTGCGGAAACATTCACGAATCATCCAGCGTAGAGGAATTCGAGCGAGGTTGTGGCGGGTGTCGTTGGAGACGGAGCCACCGCCGACATCTGAAGAAACAGACATCAATAAAACGACGACACAACAGAATATCGATAATGTACGCACCACAATGACAGCCGGCGAACCAAACTTCTTTCACGTCGGTCTGCTCGATATGACCATCACGCTCCGAGAACTCTCGTTCGAACTTTCGCCTTGAATTTCCGGGTCGTTTATGAACCCCATTCTTTCCATGTTTACCAGATGAGGTACCTGAAGAGGAACCGTCGATCCCGGTGGCTAGAGTCGTTGGAATGCCATCGGACTTGGGCATGTCTCCGGGATGAGTTCCTAGTTGTGCTTCAGCCTTGGTAGGCCGATTGAAAAGGTTAGCCTTGAACTTGGCTCGATGTTCGTCAAGCGACACGGCGTGTCGGAACGTTCTAACTGAGGTGTTGGAGGTAGTGAAAGGTAGGGTTCGTGGGATCAGCCCGACGGACGTCACAGTGTCCCTGAAACGAACAAGGTGGGATGAGCGTGATGCGAGAGTATGATGATAGAGTACTGACCATACACCGATGAACTCCACATCGACGTCAACAGAGAACGCTTTCTTGAACGCGGTGCTTTGTTCCCAGCCAAGCTGATCCGTTCGAGTAAACATCTTATAGGCAAAGGGTACCTGTTGATGATTACAAGGGGGGAGAAGTCCCACCTGGAAGTGAAACAAAGGTGTCAAACTATGAATACGTTGGGTTGAGGTATTGGCAAGGGTCATACCTTGTGAATCATACCGGCAAGAGCACGAGCGGTATATGCACCACGAGAGAACCCAAAGAGACAGATCTTGTCTCCAATCTCGTCTATCAACATATATGAGCTCAGTATAATCTCGACAAGAAGAGAAAAGATTGAGCATACAATTCTGCATGAGGAACTCATATCCGTCTAGTTCTCGTAAGTATGAAACCTTCACTGAGACGTCTCAAAACATACCCATCACGTGCGCGTCGAGATTCCAGGCAACCATTTCGTCCAGAGTTTTGGATATCTTTGCCATGCCTGGGGTCGCAATTTGTGGAGTAGTATAAGTTCCAATTCCGGCCTATCAACGTATGCGTCAGCAATATTTATCAAAGATTTATGATGAAAGCACAAACTTGATAGTAGACCAACTGTTGGCGTCGGTCATCTTTCTTCAACATGGAGAAAAATAGAACTACATTCGAATTCTATTGGAAGGCACTGTTAAGCACGTGCACTAAGGTATCTAAGAAGCACCTTACGTCGGCATCGAACTGGTCACCGGTTCCATCGAAACAGAGGACGAGCGTGCGATGAGGATGCTCAGACGGAATGATATCGCTTGCTAAGTTGTATCCTGTGTTGCTTATCCCCGGGGTGGTGAGCGGCGTATCAATTCCTCCAGAGGAACTGCTTGCGGTCGTATCGACGGAGGACGAGGGGGAGATTACAAGCTCTGGCATTGCAGGAGGAGATAGCTGGGAGATGATAGTGAGATGCGAGTCCCATCCTGAGTTCTTGAGTTAAGTAGTTTGCCAGAACGAAGCTCGGTACGTGTCAGCTGGAGGATCCTGTGCCCAATAATGATCGGGCATTGTACATAGCGCGCTCGGACTCAGGGTGCGCGATGGGTTAACATGCGGCAAGCCGTCCAAGATGGCATGGAAGTTGTCGCGCTTGACGAGAAGGAGCTCAGCCAAGTTCCTCACTTGCCATACCCGCACTGTGCGCGCCAAATTGTCTGACGTCCGCAATGTTCTTCGCCTGATTGACTAGTGAAAACTCCCAACACCCATTAGAAATTGACGTCAAGAAGTTAGCCTAGCACTAGAATAGCGGATGAACAACCGACCCATCCGATGATATAAGACAATACGGCGGACTGTTGGCTTGGGCGGTAACCGGTAATATCGGTGGGTCGGTTTGAACGACAGATAATGCCGTTTCTGAGCGAACTTACTCCAAATTGGGAACAAATAAGACCAAATAGCTCGTTTGGGGTGACCAGCATGAAGTCGGGGCTGAGGCTGCGGGGTCGTCGACCTCGTGGAGTGCGTCTTTCTCTGTAACCATGAAGACACCAGGCTTGTTGTCATTTCTCGCCCTTCCTGTGGTATGGGCTATCCCCACCAGTGAACTCAACGCGTTCTTGAGTAGTCTAGACGACTATACGGAAGTGACCAACGCTGCTTCAAGCAATCTCTTTGGCGGAGTAGCCAACGGTATCGGATATGTCTTGGACCACGCACAGGAAGTTCTACATGATCATCTGCATCAAGGGCAAGATACATTGGAGAAATGGGTGCACGAAGGGAAACAGTTCGTGAAGCAGAACGGCCTTACATGTAAATAGCGCGTTCGGTGACCCATGTCATGACACTCACGGCATGATGACGCGTAGATGAACTTGTCACAAATCCTGCGTTCCAGGACTATCAACTCCGTGTCACTGACCCCGACTTATGCGATCCGACAGTCAAGCAGCATTCAGGGTATCTCGATGTCACCGATGGGAAGCATCTTTTCTTTTGGTACGCTGTTCTGCATGTCCCACCTTCTCTCCAACCTGAAGTGGTAATTGCCAGGTTCTTTGAGTCTCGTACCTCTCCAGAGAAGGCACCACTGACCCTCTGGCTTAACGGCGGTCCTGGGTGTAGCTCCATTACTGGTCTCCTCTTCGAGAATGGTCCCTGCAGAGTAACGAACGGGGGCAAGAGCACGAAACCATTCGAGCATTCCTGGAACAACTACTCCAATATCATCTTCTTAGACCAACCTGTTGACGTCGGCTACTCGTACTCCACTGATGGATCAACTGTCAACACTTCTCCGGTGGCTGCTGAGGACGTTTATGCTTTCATCGAGTTGTTCTTGGCTAGGTATCCCGAATACGCCGATATGCCTTTCCATATTGCTGCCGAGAGTTATGGAGGAATCTACGCTCCGAACATCGGGTCGGTGATCCACCTGAAGAACAAGGAACTAACGTTGCGTCCTGCACCTGGAGTCAAGCACGTCAACTTAGCTTCTATCATCTTAGCTAATGGGCAGACGGATCCATATGTTCAGCTAGCTTCTGTGCCAGACTATGTCTGTGACGGACCGTATCCGTTGTTCGACGACCCAGAGGGTGCTCAGTGCACGGCTCTTCGTAGCAAAGTGCCAACATGCCAAAGACTCATTCAAGGCTGTTACAACTACAATTCCAGGCTCACATGTGTTCCCGCGATAGTCTACTGCTATAGTCAGTTAATGGGACCTGTACAGCGTATGCAACGCTATTCATTTGCTCTGCGCTCCACGTACTAACCTGTTGTGCACAATAGAAACTGGCGTCAATCCGTATGATGTCCGTAAGAAATGGTATGTTGTTACACCAAACCTCGGTGAGAGGCAGGCACCGTTTGACTAAGTTTTCGACAGCGATCGCTCTAAAGACGGTTCGCTTTGTTACAAAGAGATGGCATGGGTCGAGACCTGGATGAATGATGCAGCGACCAAGAAGGCGCTTGGAGTACCTGCTGAGCGCACGTTCCAAACTTGTAATACGGACGTAAACCAAGCATTCTTCAGCCAGGGCGACGGGGTTAAGAATGCTGCAGCTCTACTGCCGCCATTGGTAAATGATGGCGTTCGTTTGTTAGTCTACGCCGGCAACGCAGGTAAATTCTTCATCTTTTGCACAAGAATAGAACAATCCGGAAGCTGATTAATTGATTGTTTAGATGCTATGTGCAACTATGTCGTGAGTGTTTTGTCTCGTCCCATTTGAGATAACCTTTTTGTCTGACGGCGAGGGCAGGGCAACGAACGATGGATGGAGAAACTCGAACACAATTTCCATGCGGAATTTGCAAAGTCGAGACCTGTTCCGTGGGTAACTTTGGAAGGTGGTATCATCGCCGGTGAAGTCCGCAGTGTTGGTGGTAATGGCTTTTCTGCGGGTAATGTTACCTTCGCACAAGTATACGAAGCTGGGTGAGTCATCGTTATAACTGTATCTTGTTGCTTCACAGGTTTAATATGCTCCTGTCAGCCATATGGTCCCATTCGACCAACCTGAGGCAGCCTCTGTAAGCAAGACTCATTATATTTTGACATGCATTTGACTGAATCGATTGGTCACCAGGATTTGTTCAACCGATGGATTCTGGATGTTCCCTTGATTCTCAACGCAACTGAGATAGCCTCTACTATGACAGTGCCTTTTGGTGGACTGGTATAACTACACAATCCTCTGCTATTAACTTTAAGCTTGCTTGCAGTGTAATCCGCCGCTCATGTTCCGATATGTAGGCCATGATGACCCTTGTTCACATAGATACCACATAACACACACATATCCCTATCCTCGTGTATTTTATCATCAAGGACACTGCCCATTTTGTATCTCACTCCATTCTCGGAGCTTTCGGATGCCAGTGCATTTTGCACAATGTCACCGGATATCCTGAAGTCTATTTCGACTTCAGGCTTGCTCCCTGCGCGAGTGCTATTTCATCGTGTTTCGTGTCCGTATGGTTTCCTGCTGCGCGCCGGCTGTCAGATGTTTTGGACTTTGTTTTCTTGTTTCTATGATTGTTTGCTGATCTTTATAATCTTCTTCTTGATTGACACTGTGATTGACTTCATAACGTCTTCGTCCACGCAGCTTTCAGATCCTCTCCTGAAGATCATGGGGATGCCCGTCATGAATCAAGATTGCATCTGCTTACTACACGCGTGGCGCAACAACAAGGCGATGAGTGTGTTCAACACCGATTCCCTTGCAAATTCTTTCAAGTTTCCCAATACTAACGGTATTGCTCTCCAGATATAGTGGCACTAGACCAGTTCCCACAGGAGACACTCTTGGATTGGAAGTCAGGATGGCGCCCATGCGTTCGCGCCACCGTTCGGGGAGCGAGCGCTGCTAGCCATGATCATCATTAACTGGAAGGGAAGTTTCCTTTCTGGTACCCCTCCCAGGGCTCATGAGAAAGGGATGTGTCAATGTTATTTACTGTACGCGGACACTTCACTCCCTTGCGCATTGTTTGGGACAGGAGAACACAGGTCGTCTGAGTGTATCGTCTCCATCTCTGGAGGCCCTGCAGATGGCTCAGAGACGAAAGTGAAATAATCTCGCTGATCATCGCATCCATAGACTGTATTCGAGCTCTCACGTCAAGTACAAAAGGAATCTCATACTGGCGAATGTACGTAACGCCACAAGTCAGATACATGTAGGTTGACAGGGATTGACGACTTCTAGCAAACCGAGTGAATATATTCCTTCGTGTATCTGGCTTAGCTCCGTGTGTTGACGGGCTTCTTCGGGTTGACATACGTGAGTCTGTCCTAAGTTTATGTCGCTTCTCCCTACCCCATGATTGCCTGAACTTTATATAATGTTTTCAGTTCTCGATTCTGCCCAGATGTACCAGAAGCTTTGAGCTTCCGTAGCTTCGATATGTATAGCCCGCTCAGAGTTTGCCATCCGGCTCCCGTCGGATATCTCGCAGACTCACTACATGCGTTCATATCTGGCTTCCAAGTTCTTGATATCTTATCGATAGCGCGCAATTCTGTCACTGTCATCAAAAAGGTATTCGACATGCGATTCTTGCGCGTTTGAAGCTTGCAACAGTCTGTCTCTTAACACGCTAGAAGCTGAAGGTGCCTTTGTCACCAATCCTTGCAGCGTCATCTGATACTCTGGTGGGCACCGTGGAGCTTTGTCTAGCCGCTGGTGGCTAAAGCTCAAGGCTTCCTGCGCTTTTGAATCGGAACGCTACCAGGAATATACGCGGGGTCACCGCACCTGCTAATTCTGTAGCGCCCTTTGTACATACATCGGTGTTGCACTAGTGTACCACTTCCTAGGGTTCCTTCATCATTCGGATGCTATTGTCCTGGTCGTCTCGGAGGCTTTGAAGACTGATCCTCGTGGCTTGTGCTGATACGCGAGCACCTAGGCATACAATCGAACAGATATGTTGAAGGTTTGCTGTGTATATGACATAGTTCCATAGCTGTAAATTGAGGCAGTGAATAAATTTCAACTTACCTAGTCACTGCCTCGAGCCTTCGTTATTGACTTACATCGTTCTCTTGTACTCTAAACTCTAATTAACGGTACCGAGAATATATATTTCATTAGCATCCAATTACGAGAACCCACTTACGGATCTCAATCTTGTAGAAACTTGTAAACTGTTCAACAAATGATAGCGCAGTTCTCTTTGGCGGCATTAGTAGAAATGTTTTACACACGTCACAAGTATATGCATTACATTCGATCCATCGTCAGTGTGGTGGCACCATCATCGAACATCATGTTCATCCAAAGACTACAGATGATGAGAACAAGTCATCTTTAAGTTACGATACATGGTTGCCATGCAGGCAGTCTCGCACATTTTGTAAGCCCGATGTTCAGGTCACTGAGGCCGACTAGAACGGCGCCGTTCATGAAACATTGATGACGGTGATATGAGCCGAGGTCAAAGCGTACTGGCGATTCGGAGCACTGGAATCTGCGGTCGTAGAATAGTTCCGTCTTTTTGCCCTGGCTATTGCTCACTTGGGATAGTCCCGGAAAGAGTTGACAGGTGGAGGTTTCCAGACTCTCGAACCGTTGGGGCCGGCGATACTTGGAGAGTCCTATTAGTTCGTTCTGCAAAATTGGATGCACTAAATCGAGTTGGGTGAACCGCCTAGGATGGCTGTTCTAAGCGCAAGAAAGAGAGATCTTGCCAATGCTAGTAATGCCTGTGCTTGGATTTGTTCTTAGCAGCTTGCCATCTGAGGCACAATTGTGATCGGCATGAACGCCTTCCGAGATCTCGTTTCTGTTGGCGCCAATTCCCTTCCCAGAACCCTCCATCCTTCGCACATCTACCTATATAAACCGTCAAACCTCCCCGCCATGTATATTCGTTATATCTTCCCCTTCCCCAATACATTTATTTCTTCCCTGCCAACCTTCCGTCCGCCATGACCGATTCCAAGATTGTCGTATGTACACCTGACGTTCTTAACACTCCTTGCTGTAATCATAACAACCTTAACACCACAGGCACTCGCAGACGCTATCTTCCTCTCTTTACGGCCCCTCCCTACCGCGAATGATGGCCGGTACGATGCGCAGGTGAAGCCCCCGACCGAATATATGGACCCGGATGGCAACCACTCTGAACTCTACAAAGTGGCTGAGTATGTTCACGATCGTATCCAGAAGGGTCCCTTAATCGATGATCCAATGCTTTTGGTCAGTCTCGACAAGCTCTTATGCTAGCGTTGCAGCTGCTCACTTTTTTTCGATCTTAGCCAAAACTCCTACAGGCTGCTAGGAATAAGGACGCATTTGATGATCGAAGCCGTCTGGTATGTTTATCTCGTACTTCTTTTGTGGCTCATAGCTTATTGACCTTGCGCCATCCTCAGTTTAATGAGGCGTTGTATTTCCTCAGCCGATTACCTCAAGAATCTAAGATCTCGAAGCAGCTGAATGAGATCGTGATTGGCGCACTGTATAACACCGTACCCCACCCCCCGGCTGCCTTCATTGGCACAAACTCTAACGGCACGAGTCCACTGTGGCAAAATATCTCACCGCCGTCAGCTGAAGATGCTCAAAGTCTGAGGTCGTTATATGCTTCTCGAAGTGCGGATGGAAGTGGAAATAGTCCTCTGACGCCGGGACTGGGTCAAGCTGGAACGCCTTATGCAAGAAGCGTACAAAATAAACATCCATTACCTCCTCACCTCTTTCCCGACACCGGACTTGTTTTTGATGCACTCCTCAAAGCACGAGATGTAGGCGACGTCTTTCGTTTTCTGTACATATGCTAATATTCATGGTAGTTCAAACCTCATCCTGGAGGAAATTCTTCGCTCACCTTCGCGTATGCGTCCCTGGTCACTCACCAGTTATTCCGCACGGATCCTCGGGACATGTCGAAGAATAACACGTCTTCTTATCTCGACCTTTCTGTCCTATATGGGATTAACCAGCAGCAGCAGGACCTTGTTCGTGACAAGGAACACGGTCGTGGACTTCTTTACCCAGATGCCTTCGCAGAGGACAGACTTGTCCTTGTTCCTCCGGCAGCATCGGCTTTGCTGGTAATGTTCAGCCGGAACCATAACGTGAGTTGTTATTGAGGGCGTTCGTGTTGGTTGGTTCCTGACAATATTTGGATTCAGTATATTGCCGACATGCTACTGAAGATCAACGAAAGAGGGCGTTGGACTAATCCTCCGCCGGAGGACCCGACAAAGCGAGCCGTTCAGGATGAAGAGATCTTCCAAACCGCACGGCTAGTTAAGTACGTGAACTATCTTCCTGAAGTTACATGTGCCCATTGTGACCTTTTTACACATGTAGTTGCGGACATTACATGTCCACAATCTTCGGCGATTATGTGGCTGGATTTTTAGGTACGGGGCGTGAAGGTAATAGTTGGGTTCTCCAGCCATTCGATGTGAGTACACATCCGCGGAGTATACAGGATTTTGTTTCTAATAGTGACCATCAGCCTATCAAGACGTCTCAGGGCGTCGTTGAACGCGGAGAGGGCAACCACTGTTCGGTTGAGTTCAATCTCCTGTACCGCGTATGTTGCCAAGTAATAATCTCCCATGCTATCTGACTCATTGAATTTCAAACAGTGGCATGCAACAACGGCCAAAGAGGATATCAAGTGGACTGAAGACTTGTTTAAGAGAACCTTCGGTGACAAACCGGCGTCTCAGCTCACGCTTGAGGATTTTGGTCCCGGTGTTACCAAGGTCTGGTCTACGGAAGTTGACCCGAACCCTAGGACACGAACCTTCGCTGGGTGAGTTCACCTTCACGGTTGTAACGTGTTCGATCAATCATATTCATGCTTTCTTCAGTCTTAAGCGTGGTTCTGATGGCAAGTTCAGCGATGACGATCTCGCGCGCGTGTTACAAGATGCAACGGACAAACCAGCCGGGGCCTACCGTGCTCGTGGTACTCCAGAAGTACTTCGCCTCATAGAGATCATGGGTATGGAGCAGGCCCGCAAGTGGGGTGTTTGCAGCATGAATGAGTTCCGAAAGTTCCTTGGGTTGAAGCCCTTCGCCAACTTCAAGGAATGGAACAGCGACGAAGTGATCGCAGTAGGTGGCCGCGTTTCTTCCATGCAAAACACTCTATTGATCACGATCATTAGCGCACTGCGGAACAGTTGTATGGTCACATTGATAATCTGGAGTTATATCCCGGACTTCAGGCAGAAGAGATCATTCCTCTCGGACGTGGCTCTGGTCTCTGCTGTGGCTATACCATGACTCGCGCTATCCTTGGCGATGCGATTGCCCTTGTTCGTGGTAAGTAGTGGTTGTGAATTTGTCATGCACATCCTCACTGACATTGATTTCAGGCGATCGTTTCTACACGACGGATTATACCCGTGAGTTCTAGCGTTGAACTGCATTGACTAACAATCAATTAACATGTTTATTCCTTGCAGCGACAAATCTGACCGCGTGGGGCTACCAGGACTGTGCTCGGGATCCCAACAACGGTGCATTCGGAGCAGCGTTGCCCAAACTCCTACTTCGTCATCTTCCTCGTCACTATACGTCCAACAGTGTTTATGGCCTCTTCCCATTCTTCACCCCGGAGACGTCTCACCAGACGTTAACCAAATTGAAGGTTGTAGAGAAGTACACCTTTAAAAGGACTCTGCCACAGCCGATCCCCAAAACAGTCAACACGATGGTTGGCCTTCGACATGTCTTCAGTAAGCCCGACATCTATAAGACTACCTATGGTGAGGATATGCGCAACTTGACCAATGGCTTCGGCTTCATGTTGGTCTTCGATGATGGAGCCAAGTATGTTCCACTTGCGTCCTACTACCAACGTCAAGCTGATATGCCTTTCCAGACACAATTGGTACCGTAAAGAAGTCATTCGGGCATTGTTCCCAGATCATGACACTTGCAATGGCTACGTTGCTTGGTACAAGGCGAAGACCCAGGAGCTGCTCCAGGAGTATTCATACAAAATCGACGGTGTGCCTGGAACACGCGTCGATATCGTACGAAATGTTATCAACCTCGTCGCTGTCCACTGGGCTTCCGGTTGGCTCGTGGGCGCCCCTTTGAAAACGAGGCAGCATCCAATAGGTCTCTTCACCGAGCAGGAGATGTATGACGTCCTCATGCTTCTCTGTACTTGTGTCTTTATCAACGTCCTTCCCGAACACGGATTCTTCCTCCGATCACAGGCTAAAGTGATCGGTGACAAGATCAACGGCCTCATTGAGAGCAGCATCGAAGCCGCTGCACCTCAAACAACTGTACGTTCTTTTGCATACTAATGACTACAGAAAAGGCTCACGATCGATCTCAGACCCGTTTGTCTCATTTCGTAAACAAGATCACCAGTTATATATGGGCCGAAGAAGAGAAGCTTTGCTATCCTTTCCTCAGACGGCTGGCTGCCATCGGTATTGAGCGGAAGGAGATGGTCTCGCAAGTCATTGGTTTGGCAGTCGGATCTTCTGTCAACTATGCTCAATGTACGACCCTCTTCATGCCTTCGCGAACCATTTTCATCTCACGTCATTCCTTGCAGCTATCGCACAAGTCGTAGACTTCTATCTTGACGATGAGCGGGCTGCAGAACGAGCTGAGATTGTCAAGCTCGTGAAGCGAAACAACCCAGAAGCAACAGAACTTATTCATGGGTACATCAGAGAGGGACAAAGTATGCCTTTTTGCAAATCAACTAAAATTTCGATTTTCTGACTCACTTGACTCATTTTAGGACTGGCTCCTCAGTTCCCTGGCTTGTTGCGGGTGGCTGTAAAGCCCGATCAAGTTCCTCTTGGTGCCGGGTTACCGCCTCTTGCTGTCCAGCCCGGAGATATCATATTCTCGAGTTATTTCAACGCCCAGCGCAATGTACGCTCTTGTTTCAGTTTTCTCTGATGCAATTGTTAACAATGTTGATTTACTAGCCAACGGACTTCCCCGATCCTCTCAAAGTCAACCCTCGACGCCCCAAAGACGTTTACCAGAATCAAGGCTCCGGTTTCCATGTCTGCCCCGGAGTTGACTTCACACTAATGGTATGCACTTGTCATATTCTCCTCCACAACAGTTTTCTCAAGTTTCTCGCTTGTTAGACTGCAACAGAGATCATGAAGATCATCTTCAGCTTACCCAACCTTCGTCGTGCCCCCGGCGCGGCAGGGCGCATGGCGAGCTTCATGACCCAACAGATTGCTGGTACCGATAACCGAATGTATCTTGATAACACCAGCAAGGAGACACCTTGGCCAGGGTCTCTAACGGTTGTAGTAAGTCCGACTGAATGCATATCTCTTCTTGGCCCCTTCTGACTCCGCTTTGTCTGATAGTACGACGCATAATGGCTACTTGCGGAGGGTATTTATTCTACCCTATTTAACATAATGTTGTAATATACTATTTTGTTGTAACGACATGTGAACGATGTTGTTTCTCTTGGTTCGGTGTGTATTGCTCCCAATAATAATGAGATATCGACGTCATTAGCTCGACCTCCGCATGATTGGTTGTACCACAACGCCCACATTGTTCAGTACTGCATCAATACCTGATTGTATCATCATGAACTTGGCCACCGTTTTCCATTGCCTTCAATAAAAATCAGGTTTAAGACATGACCGGATCGCGAACGCGGGATCCAAGGACTACGCGTCCATATATTCGGCGTCCAGGCGCCTCTGAAATATGCTGGCTGATTCAGCCAAACAAATACATACCCGCCGGAGGCCTTGTGTAACTGCCTCCTCTCTCTACTTACCGCCTGCCAACGCGTTTCTGGCTTCTATAAAAAATCCAAATGTCCCCAGCTAATGCGAATGGCGGGCCTTCTAGGCAGTTGAGTGGAGACAAGCCTGCTAATGGAGAGGTGAAGCAGAGGAAACGCCCAGGCCGAGTGCCAGTCTCATGCGCAGAATGCAGAAGGTACGCTGTGCTACGTAACATACTCGCGCTTTCTGAATGTTCTGAATGTCCTTGAAGGCTTAAGCTACGATGCGACCGTAAAGTGAGATACATGAAATCGTGATGTGACTGTCTAGTGAACTAGATTTTACCTTAAATTTAGGTGCCGTGCGAGACGTGTGTAAAGAGGGGATGCTCTGCCATCTGCCCTGAAGGTTCGTTTCATCGTCTATCTGTGGCGGATATCCCTCCGACCTTCCTACAGGGTCCCTTACTACTGGCAAGGGCAACCGGCAAGTGTACTTCAGTTGTGTAACGCATTCAGATACTCAATCATATATTCTTGCAGCCTTGCTCTGGCTGACGCAGATGAGCTTCATAAGAAAGTCGAGCGACTTCGCAATCGTGTAACGACTCTTGAGGATGCTTTAAGAAAGCTGCAAGCGGCAGTTTCTGATGATCCACATCCACTCCTCCAAGAAGGTGCCGCTGATCCTAAGGATGATACCATGCGGCAAGCTGCTGCATGTGGACCGTCACTGTCTCCTGAAGACGAGGAATTCCTGGATGCATTCGGTACAGGAGTTCCTGCTTGTAATGGTATTTTTTCTTGTTGACCAGTGAGTAGGTACTCTCACTCTTGGCCTACGTGGGGAATCCCGGTTCTTTGGGCAAACTTCACGATCAGAGGTATGCTGTATCACTCGCGCCGTTGTTGGGTACGAATACTAATCGAGGGTATACTGACAGTATCTCATACACGTATGTCGTTTGCTTTTATATCAACAAAATGGCGATACCCACAGATATATAGGCACCTGAATACGTTCCCCCTTGTGATCCTTCAACTTTCGTTCACCTTACGCCGGAGTTAGTCAACGTCGCAACTGGATCCTTAGAAATGCTTTGTAGCGACCCTGAGATCAAGAAGCAAGTGTTAAGCAGGCTCCCCTCCCTGTCACGCGCTTGTCGGTTATGTGATTTATTCGTTGAATATGGCGACTATCTGTACGTTATTTATTTGCCTGCATGAGCTCGTCCGCTGAACCCTAGTGGAAGGTGGTGCTCACTCCCACGCAATCAGTTATTCGACGAAATATTGGGAGTAATATACCGCGGCACTCCGTAAGCCTTGTCTATTGTTTCAGCGATTCTTCCCAACCCTGACTTTGGTTAGTGCCTCTGAATGCAATGACCTTCTATCAACCCATGCTGTCTCACTACTGTTCATGGTCTTCGCCTTGGCGAGCTTGTTTGACCAGAGTCTTCCACCGTACTCAACTGAAGCCCAAGAATATTATCTTCTGGCACGAGCGGCTCTGCGGTTTGCCCCACCCATCCAAGACACGACCCTCTGGTCTATTCAGGCTCTGGTATGCCATTGAATTCCATCCAGTCAAGACCATTCTAAGCCTATTCTAAGGTGTACATGGCTCTTTTCATGGAGTACTGCGACTGTCGTCCAGACCATTCCACATCCCACAAAGCTTGGATCCATACAGGATTTGCTGTCAAGCTTGGTCATGGGGTTTGTTGTTTTCTCATTCTTCTATTGCAATTTAAGTGCTAATCACGGTGATGAGCAGATTGGACTACGTATGATGGCCTTAACTATAGTTCTGCGCCAGCGGCTGACCTATTTACAACAGATGTAAACAGCGCAAGGTGGAAATTGGATGAGGAGGCCACTCAGAGGCGTAGCAACGTTTTTTGGCAATTGTTCCTGACAGATACTTGGATTGTAAGCACACTCATCGTTTGTTGAGCACGATTTTCACGTGTATGCCATGCAGAGTTTCGGATTCGGCAGACCGCCCTCGATATCGTTGTCATATGTGGATTGCACTATGCCGAAGGACACTGAAGAATACATCAACTCTGAGGGGCACAAAGAATGGAGCTGTACGTGTCTACATTCCTCCTCTCTAGGCCAACGTTGAAACAGTGTGTGTAGTCCACTCATGGACATGGCAGTACTCGAAAGTACTACACACGGTCATGTCCACGGCATTTGGATGCAAGATACCACCATATTCCACTGTAATTGACTTGGATCGTAAGGTCCGAGACTTCCCAATTCCCTGGCGCATGCGAGTGAAGTGTGGACTGCCTGAAGAGATAAATGTATCCCCTGCCCTGCGCATACAGCGATGGCTTGTCATGTCCTGTAAAGAATCAAGTACGTGTCTAACCAACTCTTCGTTTACGAACCACATTTTAACGCATCGGTTTCCGCTTGATTAGCCCTGCTCAACCTTCATCGTCCATACTTTGCACAAGCTTTGAATGAGCAGCCGCAGGATCTTCTACGACATCGATATGGGCCTTCAGTGATGGCTATATATCGCTCTGGTTGGAGACTGATTGAGGGTCTAAAAGAAACGTGGAAAAAGGTGCCGGACGTCCTATCCAGAATGAGCCTTCCTTGGTCTCAATCGCTCTCTGGCGCCGTAAGTGCATTTGAAACTACCGTCACTCGTAGAGACGATATTCATACTACTTCAGATTGTGATGTGCCTACTTGTTACCCGTGCGCCGACATCTACTTTGGCTCAGGCGTCACTGCAGGAGCTTGATAGAGTCTGTGAGTTATTTGAGCAAGCTGTCGATAGTAAAATTGCAGCAAACAACGTGGTATGTTCAAGATTATCATGGTCTTTCCGCGCCGCTCATCCTTCTGCACAGACAATAATCCAGAAGCTTCGTCGACAAGCTCATGAGGCAATGGAGAAGGCTGAATCCCAAGATAAATCCAACCCGGCTTTCAATGAATTGAATCAGTTTGGCGGAAAGACGCATGTGCTGACGGCGGAGTACGATGTTCACTTCAACGACGTTAGGACGTCGGCAAATGGCTCCATCTCCGCACCTGTCTTGGATGTCAATGCAACCATTGGAACGATCTCCGCTGACGCCATTCACCCCACGATTGTGCAGGATCTGCGAAGTTTCGATGGTATGAACCTCGACTTCCCGTCCTTGCTGGGCACCATGGCTCTTGGTTTACCGCAAAGTTTGGACCAACAACAACCACAGCAGCAGCAACAGCAATTACCGCCGCAGCCTCAAGAAATGCAGCCACAGAATGTGCAATTCAATCATTCAGTTTTCGATGGACAGTATGTGCGATCGTTCCCAGATGTCTATCTCGGGGAGGATCTCTTTAGCGCAGCTACACCGTCGTCATTTTCTACTGCCGGTACGTCCCCTGATGCTGCGAACATGGGTCCACCCCCAGTTCTGGACGCGACTTGGCAGTCCTTCGTGGAACAGCTTGGTTTTTAGGACAGCCTTGGACTTGTTTTCTTTTGCCTCTCTGCTGTATTATACTCCTTTGCTCCCCCATACATGTCACTGCTACATTGTATCGAAGTATCAGAGTTCGTTCGCTGTTATATACGGATGTATTGTAATGTTGGGTTCGTCGTTGGTAATTTCGAATTTGATTGTTGGGCACGTGCGATGCGCCGATGACGGGACGCATTGAAATTGCTTTCTCGAAAAGTTGTTCAAGGCCAGCTCGCTATCTTCTTCTCCCTGATCCCGTCTTTTCACTCGGGTCTCTTTGTACTTTTCTTTCTTGTAATCTAGAGCAGACCACTAGATCTGCTCAGCTGCGAGCAAAATTATGGGTTACATTTCGCCAGATGGGCTCGCTAATCTCAAAAAGTATGCGTACAAGGGTGTCGATAAGTCAGTTGTTATGAAGCTTGTGACTTTTTCAGTTCTCTGATTTGTCTGTAGGTCTTTGCTCTCTCGATATGTTCTCAACCCTTTCTGGACATGGCTGGTAACACTGTGGCCAACGTGGGTCGCTCCCAACGTGGTCAGTGCTTCCTACGCATTATGAAGGCATCTCCCAAAAGTTCATTGTCATTGCTGCTACAGATCACGCTGTCAGGGCTCTGCATGGTCCTTTTGAACTTTGCTATGTTGATATACTATGATCCTGAATATCTGTCTGAGAAAGGGGGAGCAGACGGGCCGCCGCATTGGGTATACTTCACGTACGTTCTCAAGAAGTTCTTTGCAGATTCTTACTTCTGACTGTGAAATGCAGTTGGGCAGCAGGTCTTTTTATATATCAGAGTTTTGACGCTATAGATGGGTATGCATCTGTTTTGTTCTCACGCGAGGGAGCACTAAAGGCACTCTAGAAAACAAGCAAGAAGAACAGGGATGGCAGGTCCTTTGGGGGAAATGTTCGATCACGGTAAGTGTCGTTATTCTTTTTGAGTATGCTGTCAATGCTAACCACCAGTTGTAGGTTGCGATGCATTGAACACTACAGTATGGGTTCATTACTTCGATTAAAGTGTACACTCAATCAATACTGCATCTACAGCTCGAGGTGATTTTGACCGGTCGAGCACTGAATTTATCAAGATCCTGGTGGACGGTGGCATCCCAATCAGCCGCTTTAGCCAACTTCTATCTCACAACATGGGAAGAATACCACACCGGTAAGAATATTCTGTATTGCAACATAGTATATGTTGTCCTGACGTCGGACTCATCTTTCAAGGTCAATTATATCTTGCTGTTTTCTCTGGTCCGGTGGAAGGCATCTTGTTAATCGTTGGCCTTTACGTTGTATCTGGCATTCTTGGTATGTTGACACACACAATTGTAGGGCCTGTGCTGATTGCAAGTTCAGGTCCGACGTTTTGGGATACCCCTGCATTGACATTCACTGGCCTTGAAAAGATACCCTTTATTACAAAATACGTCCCAAATAAAGGTCTCAACGAGTTTATTATGGCTTTCGGAGCCGTTGTTCTGGCATTCAATATCATCACGAGGTAGGAGTAGGTTATATTCCGACGACACCCTTACTCATTCAATTCTGATAGCTATATCAATGTGTACAAAGCGAAGATCGCTAGTGGTGACAAAGCGTTCCAGCCACTCTGGCATCTGTTACCCTTCCCTCTTACGGTGGCCATTCAAGTGGCTTGGCTTAGCTCTCCGTCATTCTCTCGGTCCTTCATCCTCAATTCGCCCTTATTCGTCCCCCTCCTCTGTTCCTGGGGCCTGCAGTTTGCCCATCAGGTCGGACGTATGATTCTAGCCCATGTCACCAAGCAGCCTTTCCCATGGTGGGATTGGATGTGGATGTGGAGCCTGATCGGTGCTGTCGATGCCAACATGCCACGGTTACTTAACAGGCGAGAGAAGTATCTTCGTTGCACAGAAATGTCTTTTTTCTTACGCTATAAACTATGTCTAGGGCTCCCTTCATTCAGCACTCTCCTGAGAACGTGAAGATTTTCATTTTTGCAACACTTGCTATCTCTTTGGTGTCCTACGTGAGGTTTTGCGCTTTGGTCATCAACGACATCACGAACTATTTGGGAATCGCTTGCTTTACCGTCCGTAAGAAGGATGAAAGCGGTGCATGGAAGAAGGCTCAGATCGTAGACAAGGCTAATGTAGGTAAAAGGCAATGAAGTGCGCTAACAAGTCGAGGCGAGTTGAACTCATGACAATTACGAAATGCGAATACCTGCGAATACCTAGATATATTGTCATCTAACATACCTTACTTACGATTTCCGTAGACACTAGAAAAGTGAATACACGTAGAAACGCGCTTGATTACCTTTCTGCATTTTGTTCATTTTTATTGACTTTGATGATCGAGTACGATAAGATTAGATCTTCTGGTCGCCGAGTCAGACGTGACAGGAAAATCTTGAGAGGAACTCTGCTTTTATCTTGGATGCCTTTACAGGCGGTGCGTTCATTGTATTCCCTTCATCGATTACCACTACGACGTCTTTCATCTGCATTCTATACCACTGGCCCTCTTCCAAGAAAAATGGCTACCCTAGAGTCTCTGAACCAGGAGATCGCGGCGCAAAGTGCTCACCTGGTCGAGCTTCGCAAACAACAAGCTGAAGGGTCGATCATGGACGAGGCAAAGAAGAAACTGGGAGAACTGAAGAAATCACTAGCTCTTCTACAGGGTGCTGGAGGATCGAGGGATGCTTCGAAGAAAAAGGAGCGATTGCTGCTGAAGACAGCCAAGGTTGGTTGTTCCGTTGCTCATGAGTGGCAATAGCTCAAGCTCATGCTAGATTCCTTGTGTTGTCCTAGGGGACGCGGGATTATGGACCCGGCGAGATGTTCTGTCGTGAACACGTCGAGCGCATTGTTAAAGAATGCTTCACCACATATGGAGGCAGCTGTCTAGATACCCCGGTTTTCGAACGCAAGGATATTCTCGCTGGAAAGTACGGAGAGGATGCCAAGTTGATCTTCGACCTCAAAGACCAGGGAGGTGAAGAGTTGGCTTTGCGATACGACCATACTGTTCCTTTGGCGCGATACCTCGCTATGAATGGTGCTATAACAACCCAACACAAGCTATGGCAAGTTGGAAAAGTCTACCGCAGAGACAATCCAGTGATGTCGAAGGGTCGTATGCGAGAGTTCTCTCAGGCTGTACGTCTTTCCAGTATCGATGATCGCGCTTTCCTTGACATTCCTGTAGGATTTTGATATCTCGGGAGTATGGGACCCCATGCTTCCTGACGCTGAGCTAATTAGCCTGCTATGTACCATTCTCACTCGGCTAGAGGTTGGCGACTTCACTGTCAAGGTCAGTCACCCTTCGTATGAAAAGAATCGAGGTGCTCAAGAACTGCTGTAGGTCAACCACCGAAAACTTCTAGACGGTATCTTCGAAGTCTGTGGGGTACCTTCCGACAAAATTCGTACAATCTCCTCAGCCGTTGACAAGCTTGACAAAGTTAGTGTAGTATCTGTGACAGCATTTTCTTATATCTCACCTCGTTTGAACAGCTTCCATGGGCAGATGTCAAGAAAGAGATGACTGAAGAGAAGGGACTGGATCCTGTAGTAGCCGATAAGATCGGCGAGTATGTGAAGCACAAGGGTGAGTATTCCTCACGATGAATGTAGGCTGTAATTGAACATGTATCTCTTCATGCAGGCGGCCCTGAGCTTCTTGAGCTACTGAAGGCAGATTCAGCCCTCCTCGCGAATGCCAGCGCCAAGCTAGGTATCGATGAAATGGAGCTACTCTTCAAATATCTCGACGCGTACAAAGTCATGAACAAGGTGTGTACGATCGAATTTTGGCCGCGATCTTTGCTAACTGATTCAATAGATCTCATTCGATATGTCCTTGGCCCGTGGTTTGGACTACTACACGGGTATTATATACGAAGCAATCACAGAAGCCTCCGCGCCGCCAGGTTTCGAGGCTGCGAACGCCTTTGCATCGTCCTCCACCATTGCTACATCTTCAGCACAGACTCACGCACCTACACCACCCAAGAAGAAGTCCAAGAAGCCCGCGGCTGAGGGTGAGGAAGAAGAGGTCGATGAATCACAAGTTGGTGTCGGTTCTATCGCAGCTGGTGGCAGATACGACAACCTAGTCGGCCTCTTTACCTCAGCTGCGGCTGCTGAGGGCAAGAAGGCTCCCCAGCTTCCTTGCGTCGGTGTCAGTATCGGGATGGATCGAATCTTTGCGATCGTCTGGCCAAAGTGGGTTGAACGGGGTATGAGGAGTAAAGAGACCATGGCGTATGTCATGGCAGCTGGAGATGGGCTAATAGCGGAACGTATCCGACTCGTACAGGAGTTGCGTGAAGCTGGTATTAAGGTCTGTTACGCTCACTTCTGGTCAACACAGGCAATTGACGTTGTTTTCGTTCCTTAGAGTGACTACCTCTTTAAAAAGAAGCCCAAACTCCCAGCCCAGTTCGCATCAGGGGAGCGAGATGAAGCGCCTTTCGCTATTATCCTTGGTGGCGACGAGTTGAAGGAAGGTCTTGTTACTGTCAAGGAACAGAAGTGGGAATTTGTGAACGGAGAGAAGAGGAAGATTCAGTCTTCTGATCAAGGCACGAAAGTCAAACGAGCCGAGTTGATTGACTGGTTGAAGAACACAACTGCGTTCAAGGAGTGGCACAACGGGAAGCTTATAGATGTATGATCACTGTATATAACCCCATCCACTGCATTGTATAGATCTTCCTGAAGCTGCTCCATATTATTTCCCATTCCTCGATATCACAAACTGTAGAAGTGAATGCTGATCCAAAATTGAGTGTAGTATACAAGTCCCGCGACGTCTTTGTACGTCTTGTATCCGATTCTTCTAGATTACTGAACAAGGCACACATAGTAACTTAATCTTCATCCGATCCTGACCCAGAGCCGGGCTCTCCTTCGGAATCTGTTATGAGAGGGTAAAGAAAGTATCTACCCCGAAAAGGGTGGTAACGTACCACTGGCAACGTCTTCCAAAGAAACACTCGCTTGTGCCTGTGCCTTCCTAATCGACTGAAGGATCTCTACATCTGATGGAGACAGTAGGTCCATAACAGTTTCACCGTTCTTATCCTTTATCCTATAAGTGTAACGCTCAGTACAAGTTGTCAATACACCAACAGGACACAGAACATACTGCGTGTCTGCGCCAGCCTCCAACAGGCTTTCTATAATGTGTTTCCTCAGCTCGGGATCCTTGAGTTGGAGGGCTAGATGGAGAGGAGTAGCGCCTTCTAGACGGTTTATAGGATCGACATCGCATTCCTCGTGTGATAGGATATGTTCCAACACCTCAACACTACCATGTGATGCTCTGCATTACAATGTCAATCTAGGAAAGCTTATGCTGACGCTGCAGTATAACAGCACACGCACGCATAGTGAAGTGCTGTCAATCAAGAAACATATGAGATCGGGAAGGATTGGTACATCATTCGATGAGTACACACCAGTGTTCCCTAGGCTAACAACACCGTCAATCTCAAGCAAAGGAAAATCCTTGTAGAGCCACTTACCCGTCCGTGTAGTTGATATCAAAATCGCCGTCTTCGAATATCTCGAGCAGTAGATCCTCATTATCCTCCCGAGCAGCTGCCAGAAGGCGTTCATCTATAGATGCATTGGATCTCTGAGCAAGTTCGCAATCTGAACGTAGAGGCTTGAATGCTGGAACCTACTATTGCTTGCACCAGTGGTTGATTCTGAATCGGCCATGTTCGTAGGGATAAGAGTTCTCAATTAACCCGTGTAAGTAAGCAGAAGGTGCGGTGACTTGTAATACAAGTTGTATGCGTTTCCAATGTGTTTCCGTTTCGTACTGCGGCCCGGATATGCCGTGATCAGGATGACGCTCGTGCGGCGTCAACGATTTGAGTTTGTACGTTGAAATGTGAACAAAGTTCAAGCAAAGCAAACCCAAGACATACCATACGACGCCATGCAACGTAATTGAACAAGCACTAGGGGCTACTCAAATAAAAGCTCTGAATGTGCAGTTGTCACTTGGGTAACATAATAATTCGCGAAGATGGCACACGACATTAGACATTAGAGACTTCAGAAGGATATTCAGTTTCGATTGAATCAAACGTCCACAAATATGATAGTGCGATTGGTGTGTAGCCATTTTGTGTAGAGAAACATTACATGCAGCAGGTGTAGACTCTGGGTAACAGCCATCTACGAATGCAGTGAAATATCTTTGTGCTTCCTGAACGAGCAGAGGAAATCAATGGAATTCAGCTAAACAGGAGATCATGTCGCCTACATCTATACAAGGCGTCCGACTTCCTATTTTATGACGTGTACAATTCCTCCCGTGTGCTGATGCCTGGATTGAAGAACGTTCAACATGGTGTTGGCACTTGGAACGTCAACATAAGTGCTACTCACCGAGCTCCTCACGAACACCCTTGAGCTCGTCAAGGTATTGCTGATACTGCGTCTTGTTCTCGACCTTCTCCTTGATACCCTCAAAGATCCTGACCGCGGTAGCGTAGTCGTTCACGCGACGGGCAGCGCGGAGAGCGGCCTCAACGACTGAGGGAGCGGGAACAAGATCATGCGCGAAGCAGTTGTTAAGTCCTCGCTGAACCTCGAAGAGGTCCTCAGCGGATTTGAAGAAAGTAACGTAGCGCTCGGTGAAGGACTCGAAAGTCTCCTGTGCGTGTGCGTTGGAGGAATGGCGGACGAGAATGGGAGACACCCTCATAACGGTGGGCCGCGCACGAAGGACGGTGGTGAGCATCTGGGTGCGCATGATGACGTTGAGGTTGTACTCGTTGTACTCGACGAGATGTACGAGGAAGAGGGAAGAAAAGACAACTGACGAATGGGCTCACTGCTGTTGCGTACATCAACCGAACCGGTTCATTCCGGGCCAGTTTCGCCTCGCCGTTGCCTCGCAATATTCCAGGCAATGATACGAACTTCCAGAACTACGATGTCCACACAACTTTCATTAGGCACAATCGTACAGACATCCTTCAGCATGAATTAATTTTCTGAAGGACAAATGACAGCGTAAAGCTACGTTAAAATCGGCCTCGGGTGGCCAGGCGTATGTCGGTGTGTTTGGTGTTGTTTGTGTGGAATCGCATATATGAGGCATCGGTGGAGAGTTGGCGCGCTGACTGATCCCCACAAAACGTCTCATCTTCAAATCCGACCACCAAGCCTTTTCAACAATGGATGACGGTACGTCTTCAGCATCACCGGCGACGGCGGCGGCGGCTCGACGAGAATAACGAGGAGAAGCTTGCTTTATCCACTTGTGGCTCTTTTCAGCCCACTCAGTATACTTCTGGCAACAGCTGTGTTTTCTCAGCCTTCAGCCCACATTCGACCTCTTCGCCGGCCAGCATCTCTTTATTCTGTCGTCTGTTGGCTGAAGGCCTATAACCGACTAGACAGTAATGGACGCGAAGACCGTCCTTTCAGAGTCGGAAACCTCGATTTCTTTCAGCGTTTTGCGCCTCATTTCCTCTTCGGTGGCTTCCACCCGTCTTTTGGCCCTCGACGTCCAGTCTCCAGCTCTTACTCGTCTTACTCTCCGCCATTTCTCGACATGACACACCCTAACATTTTCCATCGATTCACTCCTTCGTCTTTCTTCAGCCTGGCAATCTCAAGATATGGGCCCTACCAACGGTAGTGCTGGCATTAGCATTCCCACTCATGAAGCTGGATTGAGTAATGGAGGTCATGGCGGACCTGATGAACAAAACTGGACCAATGGCGGACGCTCACCTGGCAGGGCGCCAGGAGGCGAACCCCCTAAGCGTTCCAGCCGAAGCCGCAGTCCCGTTGCGAGAGAGGGAGGGTATGTCTCTTGTAGATTTATTTTCGGAAGATGTGCTGACTCCTGATCTGTAGGCGCGGCGATGGTAACAACAACCCTGGGAATAACTTGCATGTCTCTAGTTTGAGTAAGAGTGTTGATACTCGTGACCTTGAACAAGCGTTTGCCAAAGTTGGCCGAGTATGTCTAGATCATCATTTATGATAGTACCTTGAATTGACCCCGTCTCATCCGATAGGTTAAGAAAGCTCAGGTTATGTATGATCCTCATTCGCGTGAGTCACGCGGATTTGGATTCGTTACGATGGAGACTGGAGAGGAGGCAGAAGCTGCCATTACTGCACTTAATGGTACTGACCTTAACGGTAAGAATATGACAGTCGAGAAGGTGCGTCGCATGTGACGTTGGGCATTGCGAACTGAACTCATGTTGTCACCGACTGCAGGCTCGGCGAGGACGCGCTAGAACGCCAACTCCTGGACGATACTATGGTCCTCCTAAGCGCGGCGATAGTAAGTCGCGTTGTGCATTGACGCGATTAGTCTCCCTTACATGTTTGTTTTGTCAGATGAGCGTCCTTACGATCCTCGACCTTACGACAGCCGCTACTCTCGAGGATATGGTGGACCCGTTGATGAGCCGCGAAGCCGTCGACCTCGCTACGATGACGATTACCGCGGTGGACGGGACTATGACCGCTATCGAGGAGATTACGACAGAGGGTACGACAGAAGCTATGACCGTAGGGGATATGACGATAGACGGTACTGAGTACAAAGCCATGATTACACTGGACATACTTGCCGGTCTTCCGTCATTCGTGTGCAGCAAGTCGCCGACGCTTCGCCTCTTGGGATGTACCAATATGTAGCTGTTCGGGTCCTTGGGTCTCTTCTCGTATTATTGTCCTTCAGTCGTGTGTTTATTGCTATTTTTTTTTGTGAATCCAATAATCAATTGTTCGTACTCTTGTGTGATGCCTATCTTGAGACAGCGTTTCCTGCACTTCCTATGCCCATTTCGACAACATAACTCTCTCTTCCTATCCGCCTCATCTCCTCCATCAACTCGCCTACCTTCTCGAACTCAACCCATCGTCGCCTTATTTCGATATTCTGAAGCGTCTCTAGACCAGGAATAGGCTCTACGAATCTGACCCTCAAGGCTAGCCATTGCATTGCTTTGATGTTTGCTACAAATTCTTCCACCTGCGTTTTATCACCTTCACAGTAGATTATTCCAGGATAACCAACTTTTGCAAAGCCAGTGATCGACAGTTGAGATGACCAGTTCTGTAGGTTTCGACGCTTGGTTGGAGAGATGAGGTGATGAGATGTGAGGAGGGCGTGATACCGTAAACTGGTAGGCCGCCCAGAGGCTTGCGACTTCTCTGAAGCTTGCTCTGGTAGGACCAGATTGGAGCATACTTCTTCATGAAGGCGAGGAAGAAGGTACACTGATATCAACTCGTACAGTGGATATCTTAACCACATGAATAACGATGTTAGCGGTCCCCTGGTGACGAGGAAGACGATGAACGCACTCACTATCACTGAGCTGAGAAGCGCATTCGGCCATGATTTGTTGCCATCGCTCCTGGTCATACCGGGAGATCTGGTCTCCTCTAACAGAAACCATCAAGCTCAAGTCTTTTGACATGTCCTGACTCGCTTTGGGGCCATTATAGTCACTAGGAATATCCACCTCGAAATGGATGGGGGAACCTTCCACAGTCAGACGAAATCGAGGTGACTGTAAGGTAAGAGTATTGCATGGTAAATCTGGATACGATTCCAGAAGTGTATTCCAGGTTTCCGTGTCTGTCTCCGAAAGAGTGAAAGTAATTTGTTCTCCTTGCATTAGAGAACACTTTAGGAGGTTCAGTTCCTCTAACTGACGCTCCAAACGAGTGGAGTCAAGGGGGAGAGACATTGATGCACTCCGTGGTGGATCCTCTGTGACCACAACCGCCTAGGTATTTTTCTGAGCAGAATTCAAGTCACGCAAGATTACATACTTAGCTTCCGACCTGAGGCCTGAGCAGGAGGTGGTGGTAGCACTAAGCGCGCAATCGAGTCGTTCAATCACTGACACCATTTGATCGAGACAGATATAGTTGAACTCTTAATAGCACATGGAGAGAACAATCTGAGGAGCGTCCATCATGCGTATAATAGCTATGAGAAAACGTGGAACTGGCCTGTCCTTGGAGTGCAACCACCATGGTTGCCATGAAGTTGTTGGCTGTCGTTGTGCCTACACAAGTTCTGGCCGCAGCAGCGTTTACGATACAAATTCCTGCGAGTTCCTTCGAACAACAGCATGTGTTATCACCCAGCTTCGAAGGTAGCTCAAAGGTTGATCTAGGATCTTCACGTAAGTAGGTACTCATTCTTCGGACTCAATCTTGTTTTTCTGACCCTAAAGCATATTGTCCAGATGAAATGATCGAGCATCCATCCTTCCCGAGCTACCAATTGAGGGTCATCGTGACCGAACCTACCCTCTGTGATGCTTCTGTTGAGCAACATGCAGGTTTCCTCGATATTTCCGATACGCGGCACCTTTTCTTCTGGTATGGACATCTGAACTACCAGCTGTGTTGTGCGTGTTCTGATAGAGACAAACTGTAGGTTCTTCGAAGCTAGAAACGATCCTGCGAATGCGCCTCTTCTGCTCTGGCTCAATGGTGGTCCAGGCTGTAGCTCCATCAATGCTGGTCTCCTGTTCGAGAATGGACCTTGCAGGATCGCCGAAGGGGGCAATGGCACTATCGTCAATCCTCATTCTTGGAACGAAGTCGCCAATGTGATCTACCTGGACGAACCCATAGGTACAGGCTTCTCGTACGCGGACGATGACTCCAAGGTCGACACCTTGGCGGACTTGGCTGTGGACGTCTATGTGTTCACTCAAGTGTTCTTGAAGAGATTTCCTCAGTATTCTAACTTACCATTCCACCTCGCTGCTGAGAGTTGGGGTGGTCATTACGGACCTACCATAAGCAACTTCATTCACCAAGAGAATAAGAAGCTCGTTTACGCACCTAGGAAGGGCGTTGTGAAGATCAATCTTGCTTCTTTAATCCTCGCCAACGGCCTTACCGAACCCGCATCGCAATTCGAGTCAATCCCAGATTATGCATGTGGAGGAGCTCCTTATCCCTTCCTCGATCCGAAGGGTTCTGGTTGCGCACAGATAAAGTTCAATAAACCCATATGCCTCGAAATGATAGAATCGTGCTACAAATTCAATACAAAGGCTACATGCACACCTGCGACTTTTCAATGCTGGTCGACTATGATGGTTCCATTGGATAGTAAGAATTATTTCACTGATATGAACACTTCATACCTCTGATACTGATTAACAGCCACTGGGAAAAATGCGTACGATATTCGGAAACCATGTTTACCTAATACCAAGATGTGTTATGAGGAACTGGATTGGGCCACTTTGTGGATGAACGAGCCCGAGGTGAAAAAGTCGTTAGGGGTTGATGCCAATCGGACGTTCACCAATTGCAACATGGACGTGAATCAGAGATTCTATGTGCAAGGACAGGCAATGCACAATAGCGCGGCCTTACTACCAGAGCTTATCAACAACGGTGTACGGCTTCTCGTGTATGCAGGCAATGCAGGTGAGTTCCCATTCGCTTGGATCGGTCTTTTCATTGTCGTCATTATGGTTTGTCAGATGCCGTCTGCAATTACATGGTCAGTAGCTATCCGTTCCTGTAATGGGGATTCTTTCAACCATTACTCATACAGGGCGTCGAATTATGGATGAGCCGTCTGGAACACAACTTTCACAAGGAGTTTGCTAGCACGCCATCAGTCCCGTGGAGAACAAGGGAGTCGAATTATGTCGCAGGTGAGGTCCGTAGTGCTGGAGCTGCCGAAGGGGCTGGGAATGTGACATTCGTGCAAATCTATGATGCAGGGTATGTCCTCGAAATCCTCAATTCGTCATCTCCTTCCCTGAGCTTCTTGTCGCCGATCAGACATATGGCGCCTCATGACCAGCCCGAAGCTACCCTGGTGAGTTCATATACTGCCTCCGAGCTTGCAATACAAATGCACTTACGTACTATCTCTTTAGGATATGATAACCCGCTGGATTCACAACGTTCCGTGGTCGGAGGCTATTTAGCGGGGAATGTCAAAGTCCCTTTGGTTTCATTACTCCCGTCTGCGGAACAATTATTCCAGTCTATGTCGATCTAGCGAATTTGGAATACAAGAGCGTTTTATCCACATTCATGCGTGCCTCTAACCCGGAGTTCCAAAATGCTCTATCCCTGTTTTAGGATAGTTGATCGGCGTTCTCTTATTCAGACAAAAGAGAATCAAGTTGCAAATCATGGCGTAGAAGGGCGTTAGGAGAACTTGTTCAAGGCTTTCAAGGCTCCTGCACGTTGAGTTTCATATGAGTACCATACGATGCCGGCGGGATAAGTTTCTGTTCGAAGTTTCCTGATACATCGAGCCTATCGCCCGGTACGCAGAACCACCATTATCGTGTCAAGACCGACGACACCGTTAGCATGTCAAGCCACCGATGGTAGTCATGCTTGCACAGAGTAGACATGGATTCCCAAACATATGGATACAGTAGTGTGACGAAAACTGAGAACGGGAACAGTTTAAACTCCAGCCGTCACTATTGGGATGTCGTCATGACTAACCAATTGCTGCGATGCTGGAGAGTTCCAGACGTCCTAATTGTTCGGGAAACAACACCTTGTGTACGAAGGCACACGACAAACCCGTGCAGTGCCGCAGCAGATCCAGTGAATCGGGGATAATGGGAATCGGAATGCTCAGTGTACCTACCTATTCACGGTGTTTCCACGAGACATCATCCTGAAACATGATGTAATGCAGAAAGAACAGTTCTATAGCGGAGTTTCTGCATTGGTAACTAATTGATATTGGGGGAACATGAGCACTGTAGAACACAAAATAGGATACGGAACAAACGAAACGAGGGGACAAAGATGTATGCCCCGAAACTATGAGCGCAGGCGGAAAGTGGCATCAGAAAGATGGTACCTGCACTCTACTCTACTGGGACGGTGCAACTCCGTAGTCCTGTTATCCACCCAACATCATGACGACGGCGAGCGGCGGGGCGCACGAAGTGCATCACTATTCCATGACCGTAACAGATACAACACGTAAGAAAGGTGTGCTGTGCCTTGACTTGGTACATGGATGAACAGAACTTAAACCAAAAGGGTGGCAGGCGCACCGAAGGTAAATTGACTGCGATGTTGTTGTAACATCACGCTGTTAGACAGTAGGCGCATGTGGCGCACATCAGTTGGTAGAGGTGGTATTTGATTATAACAAGACAGCATCCGATCATGCAGAACAATAATATTGGAAGAGTTCACGAGTACGAATCGTAGGAACAAGGAGAAGACGACCGAATTGACGAAAATCCTTGAGCGGTTATTTCCCACGTGGTTGGTGTAGCGCTCACGGTGTAAGAACGAAAATGGCAACTTGGAATTGAAAGTGATCGCAGTTTCGAAAACTTCATTTTTTTTTGGCAGCGCACCTATGTCTATGACACGTTACGCAATTACGAAGGTGACCCCATTTATTGAATCATTCTTTCCAATGTCCATGTCAGGGCTGGCGATCATGTGAACATCTCTGCATGTGAAGACCTATTGACATATCGTGTCTGTACGGTGGAACCGATCAACATTCCCGATGGTTGACAGTGAGTCAGCTCATAAAAATATAACAAATACTCACCCGGGCTAGGGTGTCTGTCCATCTCGTTTGTACACTCTCCCACCTTTCATCACGAAGACAATGCTTCCCTTATCCACGGCGCGCTCAAAATCCTGCGTAAGATCCCCGTCTGTCGCAATAATGTCAGCAGCGAAGCCCTGCTTGACAGCTCCGAACGGTACTTCGTTATCTCCCACTACCCTGGCATCTTCGCGTAATTCATGTATTTTCGCTAGCCTTTCCTTCCCTTTCTGGCCTTCCCATCTCATGCTACGAATACATTCCCAGCCGCCCAGGGTCCCCCATCTCAGAACTGTCTTCCAGTCAGCTCCGAGGTGAACCATCAACTTCATCTCCAATGAGTTGTCCCCATGAGCGAACGTGCCCGTATCTCCGCCGCACGCAATCTTGACATTCAGGTCTGATGCTTTGATCGCTCGCGTGAACGTGGAGGCGGCTTGCTTCCACATAGGAGTATCCTTTCCTAAAGTGTAATAGACAGAAAGGGTGGGTATCCACACCGTCGGCTGACGAATACCGGTGTCTCTTGCGACATAGTCATCAGGCGAGCGCCGGAAAAAAGAAGACTCGCCAACGCTGTGACCGTGTTCTACGGAATCGACTTGATAAGAACTATCTGGACTTATCAGTCCTTCCCAGGACGACTTGCCATCAGTATGAGCAGCCACTTTCACACCGAGTTTATGCGCTGTCTGAACAATAGCATGAAGCTCGTCGGTGTTAAAAGTATCGAGAGACTCCGACGCCGTCTGTGGCGAGACTTGAGTCATCTCTGCTCGAAAGCGATAGTCTATGATAGAAGGTTAGCGAGGAGACTCCCAGAGCCAACGAATAAATATTACCCGCATATAGCTATACCAATACGGAATGAATCATACTTCAACAGAGAGGCAGACATGGCATTTTTACCTTGATCCAATCCGCACCGGCCCCTACTTGTCTCCGGACGACCTTGATACATTCGTCAACGCCATCAGCAGCCTCCGCACCGGTTTTGCCTTCTACGCCTGCGCGATTTGGGTATAGTCGATTTCTGGGACCTGTGAAATTTGTAATGTTATATCATGCCTCAAGACGAATTGAGAAACCACACAACCGTAGCTGCCCGTAGTCACTATCGCACGATTTGCACAGAAGTATCTTGGGCCAGGTATCAAGGGATTCGGACCGGATACGCATTTGCGGAAAAGAACGTCGGCATCCCCAGCACCCTCCGTTCCTAAGTCTCTACAAATCGACACGGGTGAGAATGAACTAGAAGAAGTGAGATGACACAATATTATGTTGACAAATACATACCGTACTGCGGTGTATCCCGCCATGAGTGTTTCGCGAGCATGCACTGTTGCTCGGATTGTGCGCTCGACAAGACTCTCTCTGGTGTTCTGATCTTCCCAACTCGTTTCTGAATACGGGTGAAGGAAGACTGAACGGCATCGACCGATCAACACGCGTTGAAAAGCGGGTAGAAAGCTATAGACAGAGAATGCACTCACAATGAACATGGCAATCAACGAACCCAGGTAAGACAGTCTTGGAGCGTAAATCGATGTTCCTCGCATCCGAGAAGTCAACGCTAGCATCAACTTCACCAGGACTGTAAGGCTGAACGTCCAGAATCAAACCTGACTTTGCAGACACGGAAATAACTCTATGTTTAATAAGCTCGCACTTCTCGGAATCGAAGAGAGTGCCAGCGTATATCTTGGTATGCATGGCATCACCACATTTCGAAGCTTCGTCCCCGCTGGAGATCTGCATGATTCAAAGATCTAGGGGGCAAAAGAAAAAAGACAAGTGATGTCCGTCCCGAGGGTACTTATGAAACAAGTGAACTAGAGAAGATAGCAAAGACGACGTCAATTACTTCGTCATGGACTTAAGCGGCTGTGAAAAGACGAACCCGTGGACAGTGAATACTGCCAATACACCGACCGACATCCGGATCCGTTATATATCTGTTCCCGTGTTCACGAAGATTTGTAGATTATCGGGATTCCCACTTTGTTGATCTGTGCATTGTGTAGGTGGCAGTGTGATATGACATATAGATGGGAGCAAGCGGAAGAGGTTTAGATGGCGTGCCACCTTGCGTGTGGGTGCATGTTCAAGAGAACATTCGCGGGATCATATTGATCACATTCATTAGATAAGATTGAAGTAAGTTTTAACAATGAAGTGGAGTAGAGTGGAGTAGAGAGAAGCACAATGTAATTCGTTCATGCAAGAGTGGAAAGTATGAGACGTAGATTATATAATACAAAGGCAAAGGCAGACCAGGTATATATCGAGCAGAGCTACATGAGGATGAGGATGAATACAGCATTCTAGCGAAGATCGTTCCGTGGACATCCAATGACAAGGTCCCAACGTATAAGCTATATGGATATCAATCGTAAATCACATATGTATACACCGATGTAGGGCAAAAAAAGGATAGATAAACAGGATAACACATACTCTGAATACTTTTCATGTCGCCCAAAGGAAACGCACACAGGTTTACACTCGCACGATGATCAAAGGCGGTACCTCTTCAGTTGGCGTTTTCGGGTTGAACAGGGGTGACGACCTTGCTGAGGACGAACGGTCCCTCCAGTGGAATGACAGTGACATCATCGCTCCAAGCTCTCCAAGAACCGACAAGGTTCTTATCACCAGTAACATACCCGCGGAAGATCCAGACGTTGCGACCTGGGGTATTCATTTCATAACGGACGATAGCGACAAGTCCGTCCCAACGGCGAATACGACCATAGAAGCGGTGGTGGAACCACGCCATACCATGATGAGGAAGAGTCTAGTAATGGAGGAACGGTTTAGTAAAACGTCCGGGGAAACAGACAACGATGAGAAAAACCTACCTCGCCAGTGACGATGATGTCTTGAATCCCATTACAGGTATTCTCGACGTAGTCCGTTGAGTCAGTGTCAGCGTCAGAGTCGACTGATTCATCCTCAGATCCCGACTCCGAGTCGAACTCTGCATCGAAGACATCCTCAACGTCTTCGCCCAACGCCGTTGTTGCCTGCTCGCGATGCTCATTGACTTCCTCAGTGGAGTCGGAGCTGTGCCCATCGTGCTCGACGCCAGGTTGCATTAGACCGCCAGTGGGGTTAGCGAACTCGTCGATCTCAGGGACCGTAGATCGGAAAGTCCTCGTCCAGCGTAAAGCCTCGCCCTGGTGTAAGTGCAGCCTCTGAGGACGCTCGATGACCGTCTGCGTATCTACCTGTGTTCGTTGCTCGAGGTGCTGCCTGCGAATCTCTTCAAACCGCCGGTGTTGTTCCTCGTGACGAAGACGATCAGCAATACGTCTCCTGGTTTCCTGCTCCTGGAATTCAGCGTGAGCCTTGCACTGGGTACAAGTATCCGGGTTATGAGAATTCCGCCTGCCCTCGACGTAACTTTCATAGCGAGAGATGTGACCTTCCAAGTCCTGGCAGGTCACCATACCACTTTCCCGGCTCTCGTAGAGGGTCTGACGAGGGAACCAGGCATTGCACAGACCTTCGTCGACCCCATTGCCAGCGCCACCCGAGTTTGCAGGATACTCTGGGTTGATGCAGTGGTGCTCACGAAGGTTCATGAAGATGGGGATAAAGCTGAGGTTGGGGTTCATGGCGGAGAAGGACTCGGGAAAGGTTTGGGACTGGACAAGGCGGAAATAACCATCGATATCAGGAATCTAGCAGATAATTTGACGTTAGACTTGATGTAAATACGCTTTTTAGATGTATTAAGTACTCACAATTGCACGACCTTGCCAAAGACCGCTGAGGGATCCATACGTATAGACGACTCCCTTCAGCTCATTGTAGTTCCAAGGATCCCAGCAGTAGCTCCAGCGTTGCCAATCGTTGTCCCACCTGGCACTGGTAGCCTTGAGACCCTTGCGCCAGGTGCCGTCGTCCTCAAGTTCGCCTTGCTCCTCGTTCAATTCTGCGCGCCAGTCCCAAGAGCCTGTATCAACGAACTTGGCACTCTTGTGCGTGTTCAGCTCCTGATAATCCACGACGGTGGGAGTGCCCTCGGGGAGACCCATAGCGTTGGCTTCATCACGGTTCTCAGGAATTCCGGCAGGGGCCGTGATCTCAACGGTCTCCATACACGTGAAGTAGAGAAGCTTCGCAGCTTGAGTGATGAGCGGCGCCTGGATTTTGAGCTTGATGCCATAGTGCCTAAAACGCTCGACGAGCATTTCGGGTTGGCGGTAGAGAGGGTAGTAGCCATGGGGAGTCATGAGCTGATAAGGGAACTCGCCATTGAACTTTTCCGAGAGAGGGAGGACGTAGTGGTTGTCGGGCGCATGGCTGGAGGGATAGCGCAGGGCAGTGATGACGTACGGACGGATGAGACGCTTCACCTCTTCACGCTCATCGGGAGATAGGCCGGCCAGCGTCTCTGAGGCACGCGAAGAAATGAACGGGAGATCGAGGAGAAAGAGGTTAGGACAGACATAAGTTAATCAATTAAAATGAAAGAAGCATGGGATACTCACCTTCGTTGAACACAAACCACATCAACCAAAGCGCGAGCGCGTTGACCGTCGTCTCGCCCGGCCAGCCATTGGTGAGATGCCTGTCCTCCCACAACCTTTCCCTCACGAACCTATACACAAAATTTGACAGCCCAGCCCACTTGAGTTGACAGGCATTACGTCCATCGTTCTCACTCATCATGAAGAACGCCTGCCAAAAGACATGCACAATGCCTTCCACATGGATATCTCCACGACGAATGACTTGGAGCGCATAACAATATTGCTTCAATTGTTGTGCGACATTGGACGATTGAATAGCACGAGGACCAAAGCGGCGAAGAGGTGCACGGTGATCGAACTTGAAGCGAAAGACGTTGGCGTAGAGATGCCTGGCATTGTCGAAGCACAGGTTCTGGTAGATGGAGCGGCATGTCAAGAGGAACGGTAGTAGCTGGAACGGGGGACCGAGGGGATCGAGCTCGACGAGCTCGAGAGCAATGGCAGTGAGGATATCCTGGGGAGCAGAACAGAGCATCGAAGTTTGAATGACGGGAGGGAGGGACATGGTGGGAAGAAAAGGTGTAGAGAGTGTGTGAGTAAGGGAAGGATGTGGGAAGCAGGGAGGGGTTATATATGCACAGAGGGTGGAGAGGGGGAGAAAGGGAGTAGGAGGACTTGCGGGTACTTATCACGCATTGAGAGTGTTCTGTCGGTAGAAGGGGCGTCTGATTTGCTAACGCGGAGAAGGGGCGGACGGAGTACATAGCGGAGCAGCCAACTCAGCAAGAGCAGGGGGTTTACTCGCAAGCAACGTACCCTGCTTCATTCGTACACAGCGGGGCGGTACAAGCGTTCTCGGCTCTCGTTAACCTCCAATATCTCTCCGGCGTCCTTTACGCAACTTGCCAGACGAAATGATCAGCGATCTTCCCCGACCTTCTCCCAGCCTTGCAGCATTCCAATACTGCATGACGCTGAAGTGCAGGGTCGCAGGTCGTTTGTTCGGAAAGCAGCTTGCCTGACGCTGTAAGCATATGTGGATTTCAAAACATTCTTTTCATGCCCTGGTAGGTGGTTGCCGGCGTACGTTACTTTTGAATCTCAAAATCTATGATCGGGCTTGAAGTCCAGATCGGGTAATGTTTTCCCATGCTCTGGATCTGTAGACGTTCTGCCAAGAGCTCTGTGCACAACGTTGGCGACGGCAACCACCTCTCTTCACCCCCACACCATCGCGGGAGAATATTCGCCTCACTTTCCACACGTATCGCTTTCTATTGTGTTCAAATCCTCGTCTGCGCATTTTCTACCTGTTCTATCCACATTGCTCATGCCATCATCCCTGCTCGTTCTTGGTCTCTTTACTCACCTCTTTCGTTTATTCATAGCCACGATGCCGTACATTCTTCCTGTGCTTTCTAATTTCCGATGTCCCACCGCTCGTCGTCTCTCATGCGCCCTCCTCTTCACCCCCACTTCAATCTTGCCTACTCTCCTTATTGGTGTCCGCCTACGTGGTCCAGGGCCACATGTTCTGCCCTCTAGCCTCCGCTCGCATCCAATACCCAGCCCGTCTTCCTTCACACCCACGCCTGCCACGCTTCCCTCGATCTCGCTCCCTCCTGCTCTTTTCATCCGCCGCTTCAGGACTCAATTATGGCATTCTGCATCTTTGTTCGGCACTTTCCTCCGTTGCCGTGCAGATTCAAACCGCGCATCTATTGCTTTGTGTGAACCCGAAGCTTGTTACCAACCCATTGTTCTATACAGAGGGCCTCTGTGAACATCCCCCTCTCGCCTACTGCAAATGGTGTCGTCATTGTCACATGTATCAGTACGTGCCTGCCATCATACTTATGCACTTTGATTCATGTTCCAGGTTTGGCTTCGCATAAATCTCCTGCAATTCCCAAAAAGCTGCTTTTGGCATCCCGCCGGTTCAATGTTAATACTCATTGACGTTCATTGCACACGTCTTCGCGTCATCGCCACTGAAAATCCAATCCTCTTATCGTTCGTCTGTTCGCAGTCTTATCCACATCTGACAGTGTAAATCAAATCGAATGCACCAAGATGGTAGTACCGCACACCAGCATCATCCAAATCCGCCAGATGCAAGTTCGCCGTTCCGTGCAGGGTCTGGGCTCAAATCCTTACATCAGGATCTTGGAGACATATTTCGAACCCCGTCTATCGCATCCGCCACTGGTGTTGTGCCAAAGGAGCCACCGCCCATTTATGACCGTGAGGCGGAAACGGTTTGTAGCTTCCATCAGAGTCTATTCTAAGTTGGTGCACTCCGACGTTCGTTTCTAGCAAGGTATACGCTGTATGTGCATACGGACAGCTTTCTCATCGTCTAGCTCGTCTCCGCCTCAGCGACATCAGATTCGTTGCCCTCCGTCGCCCTGTTGCTTCGGGAACCAGGAACCTCCGATCATCCAACGGTATGTCTTGACTTGTGAGTGAACCGCAGTAGTTTCTGTTTGTTCTTTGCTTTCCTTATTCCCACTAAGTAGCAATTCATTCGTTGTGACTCATCGGCAAGTGAATCCCATAACAGATACTCTACGAGTGCAGCAGATCTCACTGCGGTTGGTCGCAGTTTGCTCTTTCCATAGCTCAGTCTCACTGCTCTCTTTGTAGATCATCGCCACAACCAATACATCTGTTATGTCATTTTCCATTAAATGTCCGCTATCAATGACATACTGCACCTGTATTCAAACCTTGTCGTTTCCAGATCTGCTTGTTTTCTTTAGTCATGTCATCCTAGGGTTCCTATCATTCTATGTTTGTCTTTCAGGTTTCCGCAGAACATGTCCTATGTCAAGGATCCTCCGGTTTGTTACGTTCTTGTGTCAAAGAGGCAAAGCATATGTTCTTCTACAAGCGCTGCGCGCCCCGCTATGAATCTTATTCTTTCAGGAGTAAGACGACCCATGCATCTCTGTACAAGTTCCGACTCCGCTCCCCTGGCCTCAAATTCGGAATGCTCCTGCTAGCTAGGCTACACCGTCTTCGCTTAAGTTCGCTTGGTCTATTATCGCCGTTTCTATTAAACACTCGTCCGTCACGCACCCTTGCTTCGGTCCTGACAATCCCTCTATCCTCATTCAATTCGATTCTCAACCGTGAGTTTCCTTTTCTGAAGAATTCTCAATTGCTCTGCCATCACTTCTGATTGGTCGCCCTGTCCCTTTTACGTATGCACTCGTAGTCGCGGGAACGAGGCCTATGTGGCGCGCGTTGGGACTGCTCTAGCATCCTGCGTTTGTTACCGGATCCTTTCTGTGCCTGCCGGCGTCCAAGTGACCCGTCTCTTCCCTGCAATGTGACGAACAGGATAAGCCGAATATCCTGGAAGTCTGTGGTTTGCTGCCGCGCATCTCGAGTAACATCACTGATCGTACAAAGTTCAATTTGGCGCTTTCCATTGACTAAACCTCCTGACGGCTGCTGGTTTCTCATACCACCATGACGCGTCCCTTAACTCCCTTCAACCTCCCCACACTGAACCTCGATCTCTCCAGTCTTGGCCTGCATGGTCTCGTAGATCTCGAGCACAATTCTCCGTCATGTTCGCAAGATTGATCTCGCTTGTGCTGCTCAGATGTGGTGGCCCCAAATCGAATCTTCTCTACGGTCATCAAAACGATGTGGGAGACTGTAATACTTAGTATACTTCTCGACCTTCGCGAGAGATCTAGCTCTCCACGCACGTTTATCCACTCTTAGGTCACGCCGGTATGGTCGGGAACCGCGTTGTGAAAGTACGTGTTATTTAGGGCGGCATTGTATAGGTCTCTCGGCTCATGATGATTCCGGTGCCATAGAACGGTGTCTGTGGAGCGATGTGGGATCGGTCGCCTGTTGTTTAGGTATCATAGCAAAAAGAAAACAGTCGAGAACTTCGAAGGCCACGTAGGGAACAAAGTGGCACTGCTCGACGATGCTGCGCAGTGGGGAAAGAACGTGCATCGACTAGCTTCTGCGCTTTGTGGCCCTGCCTTCTTCGCTTGTCAGGGCTTTCAGGGCAGACGAGGAGGGCGAGTGTCTTTTGACATAGCTCTATCTCCTTTAGTGCGAAGCCTAACGGATCCTGCTCACTAGGTGCCTTGGTGCATGGACGGAACTGTCATTCGGTCTAGGCGAGAATGCATGGAATTTCTCAACCGAATACCATGCTCATTGTGCTTTGTGGCACTGATCCGCTTACGGGTGCAATCGTCGTGTAGGCTCGAATTTCGTTCTAGTTTTTCGGTCCGATTTGCTTACCTGTGGGCATATTACAGGGATCTGCATTGCGGTTTTATCGGAGTGGAGAAAAGGTGCATGTAACGAGCTACGCGGTGCCTATTTACGCCCTTGTTGGTAAACATGAGTGCTCGTTAACCTTTCAAACTACCTATTGAGGGACAAAAGTATTTGTCTTTACTTGCAAGCCTACGGGTATGTCACCACGCTTTCTTTCCCATGCGTTTTCTCTTACGCAGCAGTGGTGATGTCGAGCATTTCGTTAGGATCCTTGGTTCGTCATACCTCGGTTGTCTGATTGTTCCATGTTGACATTCCAGGAAATTGTTGGAACCATTCGCCGCAGTATCTCGTAACCTAATCAAACTCAAAACTGGCTTCCTCTCTTTCAACATCTTGAACCTCAAAATGCCGACGCCACAGGGTCCACCTTGGTTCCAACGAACTTCTGAAGTTCCCTTGAACAGACGAGGAAGTAACTATATGCGGGCTCAATGCCCCAAGGTATACTTTTCGCTCTTCTACCATGCTTGTCATTACATACCTTTGCCGGCGGATAGCTCTTCTGAAGGTTGCGCAATTCTACGCGCCAAACGTCCTCATGTGGGTTTACGTAGTGCAATGATCGGTAAGTCTTATCTTATCTCGAAGAAGTACTCTAAGAGCGTCAACAGGGATCCTCTTTCTGGGTGAGCAATTCAGTTGTCTCGCCATGCCCTGGCCTTCTCAATGCCTATCACTGACGTTCTTGGTATGCTAGCTGAAAACTCTGTTGCGTGATTTTAGTTCCGACCGATGCACGTAATGCAGTGACAGTTCGTAGAACAGTGTGTCATTTCCGTGCTCTATTTGTCGCCGAATGCAGGTGTATTTGTGTGCCCGGATAATATCACAAACCTACGGTCATCGTCGGCCTGTTGTGTTCGAACGTGCAGCATATATGCCCAGCGCCACTTTCTTCACACCCTGTTCCGTTCGTGCTTGACGTTTCAGCATTCGGAATGCACACTGGACAATCCTCGCGTGGCTTTTATAGGGCATCTTTGAAATCCAGAAGCCCTATGCCGCAATCGCGCCGCGAATTGTATGGTTCGATATACGTTATACGGTTCGTGGCCGTTCACGCCGATCTTCGCAGTATGATACGGGCGTAAAGGCTACCTTTCAACGTCATGGAATATCAGTGGGTATACCAAGGGATTGACGATCGACTACCAAAACAGATACCAGATTGTAGTTCGCCGGAAAACGGGCACGGTTCTAAAATTAGATTCGTAATTCGCTACGGTTATTATTACAGTTGGTCTTATTCCTGATTTTCTCGTCTCATTCTGTTCCAGCTCGTGTCTGGTGCTCATGTAATCTGATTGACCTTCTTTTCTAGAACGAGCCTTGTTATGGCCCCAAGTCCGAGCCTCCCGTTACACTCATGTGTGACCCGAGTGAAGGATGTATATTGAAATACTGTTACTCTCGCCTTCGGTCTACACTCATGGCCAGAAATGAGACGGAAAAGAACTCATGGGCATTCATTTTCACGACGTAAATCATGTATAAGGTCACCTTTACCTCGCTGTAAGAGTGACAAACGGTATTTCAAAATCGAGCAATAACGGACGTCTTCCGCACGTATGTCTTGAGTTGCCTGATTCGCGTGCTTCTCATCTCCGTCGAGGCGAGTAATGATCGGTACGTCTCGTTTCATTTCGTGAAATGAAGGTTTAACGGTGAGGTTATCACTCAGGGGGATGCCACGCTCGCTGTCAGCTCGTTGCGGCATAACTTCGACTCCCCCGGACAGAAAGGAATTCAAGTTCCGCCACGATTGCAGCATCTTCAGAAGCATCAGTCGTGCGTGACTTTTCTGGTGTGATGCGATGATTACTCTGATTGACGAAATGAGGTATTAGATTTAGAGTGGACCTTATCGAACGCTCGCCTATGAGCAGCGGAGTTGGAGTGCTCTGCCACGGTTGTTCCCATTCTCTTTGGCTTGTCAGCTGTTGGGTACTGAAACCATGCTGCAACACTGGGCTTTACCTACACTCGTATGGTATCTTATACCATCGACCCATGTCCGTCGGTATCGCAAAGAAGAGTTGGTCACTCCGTTTCGTCTTACTGATCCCGTGGAACTATCACTCGTCCTAGATACTCAAGGTTATGTCGAACGCCGTGCCAAGATGGTCTTGCTATCAAACAACGCCGCAACCAGACCGCACATATCTTCTGTGCCGTGATAGGATCAAGTCTCTGCGTGGAAAGTGATCTAGCCTACTTTCATAGGGCTTCCAAAACCCTTAACGGGTGTTACAGCTGAATGTTTTCCGCTGTCACAGGGACAAGGACAAGGTTGGCTCAGCCGCTGTAATTTCTCACCGCACAATGCCGTCATTGATTTTCTCATACGTTCATCGCTTTAGCTGTGTGTGGCATCTCTTAGGTGCAAGACCTGTCAGCGACTTCTGTCAGAAGCTACCTACTAGCGAGAGCTTCTCTTTCAATCATTTCGTCGCGTCCCGCAAGCACTGTGTAATGTGTGCAATATATCACAACCAAATGCAATACAGACGTCGACTTCGGTTCCGTGATTCAGGTCCAGATTAACAAGTATTAATTAATGGCCGGCTGAACTGTGTCTGATGCCTAAAAACGCTTTCGTACTCGCATCTCCGCCGAGTACAGTGTCGCCTTGTCGTTGACATATAGGCCATTCGCGCAATACTTACGGACCTTTGGCGAATCACGAATCGGGACCGTTTGTGGTTGTCTCCTCGCACCGCAGACATCCTATTGGACGAAGTAATTTGACCTGGGAACCTACGCTGTAAAGTAGGTCTTCGTATCAGGCGTTGTTCCTGACGAGACAGTGATAATTTTAAAGCGAACTCAAATCTTCTTCTGTCCTTGAAATATGCCATTGCGGGACACTCCGTCGAGCCGACACAATAAAGCGACTTGTACAGTATCCGGGTTCCGTGCGTCTAGTAGGCAATCTGCCTAGAAAGTGTAAGCTCCTCGAGCGATGGGCTAGGCGAAGCAGGACTTGTTGCAACCTTCTTTTGCTGGAGGTTCACAGGATGTCCTCAATTGTGGAAAGGTCTCGTGAGTTCGGTATCAGTCGTCGAATGATCTCAACATGTTCCACTGATCATCCATCCTCCATATCTGGCGAAAGAAGCGTAACCCCATGGCTGTGAACTGACGCCGTATACATGTCACAATCCTTCACCGAACTGCAAGCGCATTGTGCAGTATCTCTTGTAATCTGCCTTCAGTAGGCCTTTATTTCACGGGTAATCTTGGCCAAGACTAACGGCGTGGTTTCTTGACAGGCTACTGTACCTGCTCATATGCTCCTTTCCCGCTGTTCCATCGGATGCATGGTTCCAGAACATAGACTGTTGACAGGTTTCGAGATTCAATTAACTTGCCGCAGAAGTCTCCCCACACTCGGGTCCCCTAACGTACAACTTTGATGAGGAAGAGTGCCGACAAGAGTGCGGATATTGACAGCCGCAGCGTCAAATCCCAACATGCGAGTAACGTACCCCAGTGTGTTGTGTGGCCTTTCTCCAGAATAAACCATTCCCAGTCTCATATCTAGATAAGGCCCAGCAAGCATGTGCCCCTCGCTCATGTGAAACTTCTAGCAAGTCTTTGGTGACGGTAAGCTGCCGCTCTTTATTTATTATCGTGCGGGTCAACGAAAGCATTCCTTTGGGAGACAGTACGGCTTGGCGTTACACACATACCAGCCCCGGTGATGCAGGGGCTTACTGAAGGCATAGCCAGGAGCACACGATGTCCGATGCCTTAGGTGTTGAGACGGTAGGAATGGATCTCGTAGCAGGTTAATGCTTCGGGAATGCCGTCACTTCTTGAACACGAGCAGCAAAAACCTTCAATACACGTGCTGGCCACTCCACTTCACGAATTCGCACGCTGTTCTTCAAGATGAAGTTCGCGAGATCGTGCAGATTGCTAGCCTTTAGCAATGAAGGTGCTTATCATTATTAAACTGTGCTTGTTGTCAATGAGTTGGAGGCTAAAGGCTCTCTACGCCCACTTCATACCCTAAGAAGCATTGTCTACTCATCGTTTGATAATAATGAACCTTGTTTGCCTCGATTATACCATGTGACCCGCCCATTAACTGCCTCATTGCAAATGCTCATCATGGACGTCCATGAGGAGTGGCGTTTTCATTGAAGGGTCCCTAGATAATTTATCCGCAACTGACTATCCTGTTCTCCAGGAGGGGTAATTTCCACTACCTGCCGCGGTAGAACTTACGCCGATTGAACACTGTACCCGTGTGTGGGTGTTGGTCGTAGGATGAGATGATCGGGTGGGTTCGCCTGTGTTACTTCGGAATTCAATTGGACTCGCAGTTCTTCTGACTTCTTCAGGGGTAGTTTGAAAGGCAGGGCAAGTAGGATTGGGCCGGAAATTTCTTGGGTAATGGGTCGCGAAAATAAGATTGAGAAGGCCTGGCTTGGAACAGCATGCCGTAAGATAAGGGCCAAGTTCGCGAAGAGAATGGCTGAAGACGGGACAAAACAGTGGTGGCGGCTACATGTATTCGATGGTTGATATTGCGAGCAGTGTACAAGATGCGTTGGTATTCCTATAGTACAGTACCTGAGGTATTCAAAACAAGGATATCGTGTCAATGAGCGAGACGATAGAAAATTCAACCGCTTAATCCATAGTAGTCATAACGTGTTTCCGCAACTCCTCAAACTTCGTGCCTTCGGCTTCGGCCTTCTTGATGTTCTGCAAGAGCTTCTCTTCTCGCATCTGCAATCGTTCTTCCATGCCGATTATCAGGAGCCGAACTTTCTCAACTTGTGCCATTGCTGCTTCAGGACTTGCAGGGTCGAGCTGACTGTCATCTGGGGCAGCAGGACGTTTGGTTGGAATGGAATAATCGACGGAGAGACGCGAACCAACGGCTGTATGTTCATGTGAAGAGGTCATGTTGGGAAGGTCCAGGTTGATCTATCAATAGAAGGTCAACGACGAAGAAAGCTAGAGGCATCTGTCAACTACGTACCCGCCAATTTGGTCCTGCTAGATGCTCTAGTTGTCTCTCATATTTTTGTAGCTGGGTGTTCATGCTATGAAATATAAATATCCCTGTACATCAAGATGATCAGGAGAACATACCGATTCATGTCAGACATGCATTTGATATTCTCCTTCTGTGTACCCTGCAGTAGGATTTCATTGCTCTTATTCTCCTTCCTCAGGGCTTGGTATTCCTCCATCAGAACGGTATACTTGGATTTCCCCTGTCACTATCGGTCAGCAATCGGGGGAATTCGAAAGCAGTAAATATTGACCAACTTCATCCCTCTCTCGGATAGCCTCTTCTTTCAGACGTTTCTCCTGAAGATACAGTGCCTTCCAATCGGTCTCCCCAGAATCCTCTGGCGTCTCTGTCAGAACACCAAGGTCGTCGGCGACTACTGTGGGGGCTGCACGGGATGTATGATTTCGAAGACTTTGTGATCGTCTCATCATTGTGGACTACGGAATGTCTGAAAGTGAAGAGTGAAGGATCGGCAACAGAACGCGAACTGCACTAAGACCGTGTCAACCGCGTGGTGCACGTGACCTTTCGGTTTGCTTGAAGGTCCACTTGAGGTGATATTGTTGCTTCAAACAATCAAACGATGGAATACAATTGTGACGATTTGGAGGAGGTGTCTCTTGGGTGTCTCAATGTAATGTTGGACTCGAATGTTTTAGCCGGTTGCGGGGTTGGCACTGACCAAATAAGGACAATCATGCCGGATGTGATTTGCCGCGTGGTCGATCACTAGCGCCCGGTAATTGGGCCTTGGTGAGACTGCACCCTGACTAGCACCGTCACCTTGCCCGCTTCAACTCCCAACATACCCTTATTCTCCACCATATCCTGCGGCCAATATGGCTGATATACCTAACACATTCCCTGCTTCCAAGCTAGGGGAGTACACCGTTATCCAAGACATTGCTGAAGGTACCTTTGGAAAGGTCAAGAGTACGTCGCCTACTCCTTGTCCTCGTTTCGGCAACCCTGACATGATATCAATAGTGGCGGTCCATACAGTGACAGGACACAAGGTCGCGATGAAGTTTATCTCCAAACAAGTGATCAACGCGACGAAGACGAAGTCGAGGGTGCAGCGAGAGGTGGAGTACATGCGGACACTTAGGCATGCTCATATCATCAAGCTGTACGTCGTAATACTTCTTCGTATCCAGTCTCTCCGGCTCATGAATGATTTCCAATAGATATGAGGTGATATCAACTCCTACAGACATAATCATCGTCCTCGAATTCGCCGGGGGTGAACTGTTCAATTACATCGTCGCTAACGGCCGAATGCCCGAGGCTCAAGCTCGCCGGTTTTTCCAGCAATTGATATCTGGCATAGAGTACAGTCACCGGCTGAAGATCGTTCACCGTGATCTTAAGCCAGAGAATGTGCTCCTAGATGATGACCTCAATGTCAAGATTGCCGACTTCGGCCTGTCTAACAAGATTGCAGACGGCGACTTTCTGAAGACCAGTTGCGGAAGCCCTAACTATGCTGCGCCCGAGGTCATTCGTGGTGGACTATACACTGGTCCAGAGATTGACGTCTGGAGTTGCGGAGTTATCCTATATGTAATGCTCTGCGGTCGCTTACCGTTCGAGGATGACGACGTGCAAACGCTCTTTACTAAGATCAGCCGTATGTATTTCACTATACTTTTCAGTGGTGCTCAAATATTCATGCATGAATAGAGGGAGTATACCATATGCCTGGGTATCTTTCACCGGACGCACGCAACCTGATCAACGGCATGCTCGCTGTCGACCCCGTGAAGCGTATCACGATTCCAGAAATCCTCAAGCACCCCTTCTTCACAACCGACCTTCCGCGATACCTTCAGCCGCTCCCGCCACCTCCAGGGCCCATACTCGGTCCATTATCCACTCTCGTTACTCCTCCTAAGACTCTCGATTTCGAGATTATTGAAGGGCTCGGACGAATTGAAGATGAGGTCGTGGAAGACCTTGCATCTCGAATGGAAGGTGTTGACAAGCAGGAGATATGGGACTGCTTACGCAGAGATGACGGACCCCAGGGCAACGCCGTGAAAGTCGCGTACATGTTACTTCGAGATAAACGTCGGCTCGGTCATGACTGTAAGTCGAGCTAACGCATCTGAACCCTGCCCTTTACTGACATCTACTAGTGGCTGAGTTCATGGAACAAGAGCGTGACGCCGAATTGGCAGTCATGGATGTAAGTGTCTCTAAAATATCTCTAGTTATGCTGATCATTGAATTCGTCTTCTGAAGCCACGAAATCCCCTTTCACCAAACGCTATGTCTCCTGGTGGTGGTGGAGACTTAGAGGAGAACCCTTTCGAATCGGAGTTCGTCGACTATGACGACGATGAGGACGATCTAGATGATGGACTCGACTTCTCTACCCCTCAGAACGAGACTGAGAACAGTAATTTCGCAGTTCTCAATTCGTCGCTCCCAGAGCAACTCCCCGAACAGCATCACCTACAAGCATACGCCAACGGTAAGCGGTGGGCACTTAAAGACAAGAAGCAACATCGTACGAAATGGCATTTCGGCATTCGAAGCAGATCACCGCCTATGGAAGTCATGCTTGAGATTTATAGAACGCTGAAGGCGTTAGGGATGGAATGGAAGGAGAAGAAGGACTTGGGCGGTTTGGGTGGAATCGCGGCAGCCCGAGATAGGGGAAGAGGTGGCGAGCGCGCACGGATTGACAGAGCACGAGAATATGATGGAGGTGGGTATGTTGACCTCAGGGCAGCAGCATCAATATACTTCATCGAAACACGTGCTCGAGTTCAGGACGTGGTGGTGAGTACTTGTTCAAGTTTGTGTAAATTCACTTCGTGACACTTCATGACTAGGTTCTTATGAATCTTCAACTATACATGGTCGACTCTATCAACTACCTCGTCGACTTCCACCACAAGAAGACTTACAAGGCTGCTCCTGATCCCGACGCAGGGCGGTTCGCCATGGCCCATCCTGATTTCTCCCTGGATACGATCTCGGAATCAAGCAAGTCAATGAAAGACGTTAACATGCGAGAAGATGAGGTCATTTCTCCTTTCGTCTTCATGGATGTTGCTTGTCGATTGATTCTCGAACTAGCGGGGGGAGCCTCCGAGTGAGCCTGGTTTGCAATGTTATATCGATCTGTATTCGTGATCGCCTGTCCGTGTCTTGCTTATGCTGTCTGTTGTATCGTTGATGCTGTTTGTTTGCTCTGTAGTTTGTACGCGGATGTCTGTATTGTAGCTAGCAACTCTCTGTCTCTCTGTTTACCTTCATATATTAACAACTGAAGTACCCCTCTGCCACGATCGCTGTTCCCACCAACCGATATCATATAACAACCATATTGTATATGTTACACCGATTCTAATGCACCCTGTCATCCTGGTTGCGTGTAATTGCAAAAGCTTTCATTTCACTATGTCATACAGCTATGTATGAAGTTCAAATATCCATTATTCATATGTACATGTGAGGTGAGCGGGGCAACTGCTTGCAAATCTGTATGAAACACCGGCTCTGCTCTCTTCGCTGAAAAAACGATGCGAGCGTGACGTGAGTCGAGCACTAAGATATCCAGCATCGATATCCGCCCTATAATGGCACAGACCAGCCGTGAAGAGTGTAGAGCTAAGGTCTGCAATTTGACGTGAGGTGCGTTGGAAGAAAAATAAGATGGACAACCTGCTTTTATAGGTCCATGGTGCCACCACGTGGCAGTCCCACGCCTAGATATCCTTTTTTGCATGGTAACTAACCTGAAAGGACGCGTTCATATGTACTTCAAGCACTTATCAGCTTTCTGGTCTTTCAAGCTCAAGTGCATGTCTGATTTGCCCTTTCCTCACAGAGTTCTCCACGAGCTGCATGTGCTGCATGCCGGTTTTCTTAGACATGCGGCTCTTTGGCCAATGGCGTCTCTCACAGATATCGGCATCCACTGAGCTTATCGCGTCATTGAAACAAGACAGCAGATGTTGCTCTCTCAAAGTTCATTAATACATTTGTTCCGTTTCTTTTGAACACAAACGTCCGAACGTTTGCTTGTCCACGACCGAGTGTTCGGACAGCCCGATCTGTCACTGCAACCTCTGCCCCTTGATCTCTCTGCTTCCCACGGAGCACTGACTATGTCTTTACTCCGATCACATAGCGTGGAGGAGAAAGGAAAGAAATCACGTTTCTCTTTTCTCCGTAGGCTATCTGCAGCTTCGGCTTCAGGTTCGAAGGGCTTAATTCCACCTGACGCATCATCACTTTCCCCAGTCGATTCTGGGTATTCGTCTTCACAGGCCGATACACGCGAGCAAAATGGTAGCAGAGTCTCATCTGAACGTAGTCGTCCAACAGCCATATCCTACCCTCCCTACGAAGGTCTACGGCGCAATTGCTCGCCTGCCAACCGCTTGTCTACGAACATCACAATACCCTCTCCTCCATTATACCAAGTACCAGAACATACGTTACCTATCTTGCGACGGAATTCTCATCAGGATGGTCTTCCGACATATTCTAGTTCTGCACAAATATCAGGTCCGGTCGTCCTTCAATTTGTGCGATGTTCACCTTTTGCAATGGTGGTCACCGAAGATCTCGGAGGCGTATCGCACCCTGAAACGGGTACGAAATATCATATTAGCGTTGGCGTAAATATCTGGATGCCGAACTGTACTGTCACCACAATCCGTAGAGGGCCTACGGAGGATGGTCGTCTGGTCGCCCAGTTAGAGTAAGCTCTAGGTTTGTTTCTTCCCGAGTCTGACTTTGTGATTGACCATTCGTAGGCTGGGGATCATGGCTGGTCCCGCTACGGTGACAATGGCCGGTCAATGCAGACCATTGAGTTCTATCATGCATCGGAAAAGTTCATCGAGCAGGTCAGCAGGCATTCTTTCCTCCTGTATGATACCTACATGACTGACCTATTTCGCTAGTTCGCGAACATATGATCTTTTAGATGGCCGCTCGCTGAAATGGAAGTTGCACAGCGATGCATGGCGGGTATGTGCTTCTTACGCGCTAGACCTGCACCCAATGTTGAGGTCTTCGTTTCACCTAACTTTTGGCGTCTCTAGGCGTACATCAACTCTCAGGAAATAGCCTCATTTGATCCAACGCCACCTAGGAAACTTATATTGTTGCCGACAGCGCATCGGTTCACAGATCACATCATAGTTTGCCTGGTCATCCTCATGCGCGAACACCTGACTCCTAAAACTGGTTTAGTGGGAGACGCATCTCAGTTATTCAATTATTCGCCATACTTTCACACAGGAGACGATTAAATGAATAAGCATCTTACCATTTTGACCATCCATCTTTCAAGGTGACCCTTAATAGTGGTACCTCCACAATGATCGTTGGATACCCGTAAAACTGATGCATATCAGTATCGTCATGAACGCAGCACCTCGCTTGGAGAACGAAAGAGGTAAGTCGGTGATTTTTCTTCATCAAATTGTCATTATTACGGTTAGACTCTGGCTGCTGTGAAAGACCGGCTGAGACCACCAAGTTTGTGGAGGCTGCTTACACAGCCAAGTTGGATGATCCTCGCCTCTGAATAAGCTTCGAAACATCAACATCAGTGTTTGAAACAACGGGCAGGAAGAAACGACGTACCTCCATACTTCAACATGATACAAAACTTTCCTTATCCCACTTGTACCATGAGGATAACTTTCGTGCCTATAACTCATTCACCCTCTTGATCTCCTTCCACATTCACTCATAATGACAGCCTGGACCTCGCTTCCCCTATCCACAGTCAATGCACGTAAGTCTTGATTCTTATATGACATCTTAGTAGCTTGTCTTAACGAGCAGCATACCAGTGGACATTGGTAAACGATCGAGAGCTGCAGCTATTGGATTGCTTTTCTACGATCATCGTAAGTACATCTGAATCGGAGTCCGATCACTTGTTGACAATGCTCTGCAGTGGTCACCTTAGATCTGGAGGTAGGCTCCAGGGCTATCAAGTAGCCTTCAGTGCTGACAGCGACTTTTGCAGGTCAACCTTATTTGGACACAAGCCAAGAACTGGCCGGCTTTCCTCCTCTTTGTGTTTGTACGTTGCATCCTTCTGTTTACAATATTGAGTGTCTGAAGGTAGAGTCAGAATCGATTTTTTGCATTAACCTACCTTGTCTTCGATTCAAGTGTGTCATGTTCGCATTGTGTCTGTTCGGAGAGCTTGACACTCAATCGTTGGTTTTAATTTGCGCTGGAGTAGTTCCGCTGACACCATCCGGAGTTGTGTCTTCCAGAGTGAGTCCGATTGCGATAAAAAATAATACGCATACTGACCTTTCATAGATGTACAGAAACAATCTTTACAATTGGGAACTTGCTGAACGACTGATATGTAGATGTGTGATATATCTCATGTGCGATGACATCGTGTATGTACCGTTTCTTGAGAAGTTCTCAAGTGTTACTAACTCATGATCTATCCAGCACTCTGCTGACAACCCTGACTGTCCAAGGTATGTATTGTCCGACGGCTTGAAGCTTTGATACTTATATTGGCTCAATCTAGCCGTGTTACAACTTCGGGTTGGTCATGCAGCACCTGCCTCACTGCCTGAATTCTTACTAATGCCTTTCGAAGGTGTATGCACTGTATGAACGCAGTCGCAAGATACTTATACTGCTATTGACTCTATGTGCTATGGAAGTCGCAACGATGGCTGTACTCGTAGCGATCACTATTAGCCGCCTTTCCCGTGAGCAGGAATTACCCTTTAGTATGATTACGGGCTGACCAATGCACTATTTGTAGACCTGCCAGTTGTCTCGACTCCAACGGGGTGCTATTACTCAGGCGTATTGAGCTTCTCTGCCCTGTTTTGGATACCGGGACTTATCTATGAACCTATACTGTTTGCGCTTGTAGCATATAAGGCTTGGTCATTCAAGAAACAGGGTCCTCAGATACCTTTGATATCTCGAATAGCGAGGGATAGGTGAGTTGTATCTCGCGGGAATTGACGATAGATGTTAACGATTGTTGAGGACAGTTTGCTATATTTTGTAGCGTTGGTTGAAATCCCCCCAAGATTGTCGGAGCATTACTTACAAAACCATATTGACAGCGTTTTCGCCGAGTTACTGATAGGCACTGTCATCTGGGCTCGCTATCCAACATACATTAATGTCATCATGCCGTATGTTTCCTTACTTTCCACCTTGCTCTACTTTCGTGGCGCCGACCCGCTTACTACGTATCAGGTGGTCGGCTGCTTTGCCTTCTATATTATGCAGTAGATTGCTGCTGAATATGCGAGAAATGGTCTATGATCAGGGAAATCGGTCGTACATCATGGAATCATTCACTCAAGTACAGACAATCCCCTTCGAAAACCCTGATATCACACTAGACTATACTCCAGACGAGATGGAGTTGTCTTCATCTAGGCTCCCAAGGTGGGCTTCGAACTACTTTATCATGCTGCGGTGGATTAACATCGTGTAAAGGGCCACATAGACCAATCATGATGCTCTAACTGTCCTCCGGTGTGATTATGAAGTGTCGCCCACAGGGCGCTCCACTTTCAGCGAAGTATAGCTCGCTCAGTCTTTCGCAATCGCATTGCAGAATGTTCGGACTGCTCAAGGCCCAAAGTTTCGGCAGAGACTCAAAGGAACATCATTTATTGAGCGTGTAACTACACCTTACGTTACGAATGGAAAAAATGCTCAGAGGCTAGGACGTCACAGAAGATATCGCATAATACAACAGATGATCAAGACATAACAGTACTTACTTTGACATGTGTCAACAATAGTCTATTGAATAGGGCCAGAAGGCTCGATGTCGACGACCATTGGCGTGGCGGTCATGAAAGTTCTCCCAGAACCTTTTAAAAAAAGCCAAGCGACATGGCGTTAAAGACTAGCGAAAAGTTTAGTCTATGGAAACTTCAGAATGAACTTTGTGCGATTGGTGGCGCTCACGTACGGCTCACCCTGTTCGTCATGTTCATACAAAGGAGGCAGGGATATGCCGCTTCCTAACAGCACAAGGGCGGAAACACAACTGTTGAACCCTATCACACTGTCGTACATCGAGCGATAAACTGGAGGCGAGTGAGCGGTTTCAACTTCAGACTTGCAAGTAGTTTACTCACATAGACCATAAAAAGCAGCGAACTGCACCCCGCATCACTATGGCTCTCAGCGCAGAGAGTTATTGAGGTGGAGGTGCTTCGACAACTGGTGACGAATAATAATAATAATATATTTGTAGAAGATCAAGTATCAGAAAGGACCGCGCCACAAAGAGGAACGGATCCGTCTTCAAGCCAGCCTTCTGCACGGCCCACAGACAGCGTGAATATGACCTAGGATGACATTCTGAGCAACGACTATGGCAAAACATCCGCAGATCGACGTGGAACGTAACAGAGCCCTTGTCAATGCTGATCTCTGTGAGTATGTCACAGAAACGACTAAACGGGACTTTACGGAGGTTCGTAAGAATATGCGGCCAAATGTCTGTCTAGAACCCAACGTGCGGTCAGGATTTATACTCGGTGTGGGAAGTACAATGGGGGTACCTTAATAAAGGCGTGTCAGCAAATTTTCAGGCTCTCGGACACACACCTCTTTGTCAGTCTCATTGGAACATCTAGTCAGAGATATCAGGCAGACTTGACTTCTTGGAAGCCCTTGATACCTGTACACTCGTGAAGAGATTTCTAAAAAGAGTAAAAATTTGCTATTTCATGCTTAAAGTAGGGCGAGAAGGCATACATGAAATAAAAGGTACTCAAAGGTGACCTTAGACGCGTGGTGATCTGCACGTCCAATCACATGGAGTGTGTGAGCGTGAATGGAAGAGTGTAAACTGGTACATCCGCAGACGGAAAAAGAGCTTGGAGCTACACCAAGTCGAGAATCCGACAGCCTGACTGCTCGAAGGTCTTGGACTATCCGATGTAAAAAGCTGCATCGGCGGAGACACTCGACTACGGTTTGTGGGACTTGGGCTTAGCCAAAGGTGTAGTCTGGATGCCTCGAGAGCGTTACACTCACGTCATGCAGTGAGAATTCAGTACCTCCTGATGATGGCTACAGCATACATCATTAGTATATACGTAGATACGAAATTGCACATACCTCTGCATCTCGGCCTACACTTACGTGAAGAGTGCCAGTGGTGTCCATGTACAACGCCTCAAGCCCCGGCGCAACGAGGCCACAAGAGAAAACTTGACCAGACAACAGGAAATTGAGAAGTATCTGCTGGAGACCCGGCACCATTGATAGATGGTGGAGTGAGAGTTTGTTGTGTGCAGTTGATATCGTATTCTTCGATAAGTGGTGTATGAAATTGTGATGACATGCGATGGTTGACGTGAGAGAGACTTGGCGCTGAGAAACGAAACCTGCGTCTTCCATGAACGAGAGAATGATAGCATACTTGACGCAAGGGTGGTTCACAGAAGTTGATTCTTGATCATGACACCTTTGAGTCTTTAGCAACAAAACTTCGCGAAGGATAGACGCATCGACGCTAGTCTTGCGACAGGCCGTCGTCAATTAGACACCAGCCGCCAACGATCCTACAACCTGTCGAAAGTCGAGCCGCACCTAATCCCAACGCAGCAGGTAAGACAAGAGTGAGGAAAAGGGAGTTGTTACAGTAAATGTCAGGACGACGTAATGATGTCAAGAGAAGCATGAAGTCATTGCTGTTGTCGAACACAACTTGTTTTCATAAATTGAACGCAAACGAATAGAAAATAGATCTGGAGGAAGAACATTACCCTGCACTGAAGGTAAGCTAGATTGTTAATGGGAACGATATAGAAGGCCTGGATATTACTTACCCACTAAGTGTTCGAGACACCTCAAATTGGTACGCACATGATATGCAGGTCCCGTGGCACGTTACCATCATTGCGACCGCCCAAATTCTAACAAAGAATCTGAGTTTCCTAGGACAACATAGGTTAGAAACCTCGCACATCCGTACAGAGTCATTCGGCAACATAAAAATCTCGGCGAGAATGCCATTCATGCCCGTATGCGACAAATAATACCTACCTTCGGATTGCGTCCGATCGCGTCTTGAGTACTGGAAATGTCAACATTGTGTAAGAAACACCAAATTACCAGAACTTGCTTGTCATTGGTTGACAAGTTTGTTCCCTAGAACCTTGAGAATGCGAAGGATCGGCTTGCATGAGAGATAAGGCAGGCCGAAATGCAACCTCAATCAGAACAAACCTTTGATATAGGTATCTCAGGGACAGGCGGAACATAAGGCGATGTCGTGGACCCGCCATTGTGCTTCTGTCCTTCAAATGTTCCGCTATTGGAGGTTAATCCGAGGCTAGAACACGAAAATAAGTCAGGCAAGTTTTGGTCAACGATCCACAGATATATCAGCGCACTCCAGGTGGAAAGACATCCGGATACCCAGCCGAACAAGCGCACCCCGTCCTCCCCTTATTGCGGACACAGTAGTCGGCGCAAACCCTAGATAGGGCAGGTGTACCGATCTCCCGACCTCCCTATGCTCCCTATGCTCGAGCCGAAAGCGATGTGTGTGCGTCCACATATTCTTGGGTATCATGTGAATGGGAAGGGGGGGAAATGCCGGTATCCTTGATGAGTATCCAGGGCAGTGAAGGAGGGGAGAGCTTCGCGGACCCGAGAGAAAGGAGAGTGCGGGGTGGTTGATAGTGTAAAGAGACCGACGATCATCCTTATCTGGTGTGACGACGATAACACGGGGAATTGGGAAACAGACTAGATTTGTTTGCGTGTCTTGGTTGGTGTCATGTTCTTTGAGAACACCGTGTTTCTAGGGGGTACGTCTTTGCTGGTTGGTGAGTCGAGGGTAGTAAATTGCTCGGAGCCGCGAGTATAAGCGTGGTACTTGCACATTGTACCCTGTAAAAGTTAGAAATATTAACTCAAACACGTTTACCCAGCTTCATTCTTCAGAATCAAGCTCACCGGCAACATCCACGGCACATCCGCATTTCTCTCGTCCCTATCCCAGTATCAAGTCTCTAATTAGCCGGTACCTATAAACATCTCGTTGACAGCCACCAGTGGGTCAAAACACAAGCCATGAGGCAAGATCTAGAGTTCAAGAAATAAACTAAGAACACTCACGGGGTTATGAGATTTTGACCGAATGAGGTGATCAATGCTAGATATCAAGCTAATCTGTACGATCGCGGGTTTCAATTGATACACAAACACGTTGGTGTAACGATGCGGGGTGCGGGGTGAGAGGAAGATTTTTCCACGCTTGTGATTATCTTGTGGGTGTAGTCTAAAGCTTGAACATGAACGTGTTGATTAATCCTGAGATTTTGTCCAGAGATGTGTGATACATACACCTTATGATGCAAAAACAACTGAGAAATGACTCGGACTGTCGAATGAGCGCGATAACAATAGACAGATAGAACCGTCGGTGACATCGACTCGAATTGAAGTAGAAGCAATGCTCACCCCCACACTCAGTCCGCGCAATCAAATAGCGGCCCCCGAACTCGATTCGGGTGACCTGAGGAATGGACTCATATCAACAAGAGGATAAGGATGAGAAGTCAAAGTCGCGTACATTATACATACTGGCCATCGTGGTCAATACTCAGAAACAAAGGATGCATGGCCCGAAACGCCAACTGAAGGAGATTTGCCACATTGGGTGGATCATCGGTTCTATGGTCAGGAACAGAGGTGACAGGCCATCAAAACAGAACGATGCACTAAAGATTGGGTGATCATTAGTCTGGATGAGCAAAACAGAAGTTGATAATAACACGAATTATTGAGGAAAGGGTATACTTCTCATCAGCGAGCTAGTTGAAGACACTTAGCGACGATCGCGCCCTCTTCTCAACAACAAAAAAACAACAGTTACAACAACACCCCCTTTTCCCAAATTCTAAAAGTACCTGCACGCCGTGGATTGCTTCTCTTCTGTTACGTCCTGGAGATCAGCGAAGAGAGATGTCGTTGGTGGTTATCTTTGACTGGAATCGACTTTCGGTACGACCAGCCGGATGCCGACGTTCCTACTGTGACAAGTAGCATCAGTATTAAGTATAGCGCAACACAAAAGCTTCATTCTCGGGTGAAGAACATGATCTTTCTGGTTGAGAATGAGAACAACGAGAAGAACTCACAGAATAAAAGAACACTGAAAAAATTCCACGTAACTTCACCAGCAGATGCTAGAAGAAAAGTATTCTATACTTTTCTTCTTCGGCTGTATCAGCCCGGTACACGCTTCGACATCTTGATGAACAAGTTCAAAGTTTCTCATGAAGAGATGCAAGAACCAACTACTAGAACCACCGTAGGTACTAGAAAACCATTGTTGTCAAGGTCTGCTTGCTTATCTGTGCCCAGGAAGGGATACGTCTCAAGTCATGATTGGTCCAAACTAGACTAAACGTAAACGAGGACTAAGATATGATCTGTGAGATATGTCAACGCACTGGAATGTGTTACGAAACAATAAGGGGACATGGACTCACTTCTTGAACTATGAGATCTGCTCGAACTCAAGAAGATGGGGTAATTAAGAAGGCTACGTCGCAATCAATCAAACAATCTGGAGAAAGCAGAACGACTGTCGTCCTCCAGCCTTGTAGCAACCATCATATCAACCTGCCAAGGGTCTGCTCAAACTTCGAACCCAAAAGACGCAATAACGTCGAACCACGAAAGAAGATCACGCCATGAACCCCCACGACTGACACCGTCGCAATGGGTGCAGCGGTTTTGCCTTGCTCACCTTTTTTTCTTTCGCGATTCAGTCGAGCTTACAACCGCCTGCCACTGCAGGGAGGGTCAGGGAACGATCGAAATAAACGCTCAAATCATTTCAGGGTACCAAATGACTTGTTTTGGAAGAGACATTACCAGAAATGGCAAGTCAGGGACTTCAATCTATCTCCCTTGATCGAGCTTGAGCATTGCTTGCCGCCTCGGGCTCGAGATAAACCCAGAACGAATCCAGAGCAGAAAAAAATGTCCACACACCGATCAAGTACACGGGCATTATATATTTAGGACTAGTTACTGCGATAACAAGGGTATCTCGTCGCTGATATGATGCCCGAGTCCAACTTTTATCACACTTTTTTTTGTTGAATGTTTTTAATTATCGCGACCTCAAACATGAGATAACCCGAGACAATAATCATGAGCGACAATCAGCGACGCCGCCGCCGACGCGTCATGCTCGAAGTCTCCGGCAGTCGTCGATCGACATCATTTGTATATCGATCGAGCGCGAGCGCGTCCCGGACCGACGCCGATCGACGTTACATACAACGCTTGGCTTTCAAGTTCCCAAACCTGTTACGATTGTACTACTTACTGTACAGACTTACGCCGCCCCGGGCCCATTGACATTCGACATCTTTGTGGCAGGTTAGACGCGTTATGAAGGCACCGACCCATTGTTTATTTTTACTAACAGCCCTTGCGCCCTCGTAGGACGGAATTCGAATGGGCCTTTACCATGTCATTATGTGTGTCATTTTCCCTTCCTGATCGAGAGCTTTTCATTATGCGTAAAAGCGCTGCGGGGGTAATTCGAATACGCACATTTGTAATACGATTATAGGCCCTAATGGATGTTGAAAAGATGCTATCTGGGCTTCGCTGCACAGTGCCGCCGGCGGACCTGGAGGGTACACATTACTGGTTGTCCGTCGTTCGGGTTGGATGAACAACGTACAGCGGCAGTACTGTACTGCAAGGAAATAAACGTCGTACGAGCAAACTGCGAGGGTTGAAGTAATCAAATGGCATTTTTGCTTGATAGGTACAGGGCATTTCAATATACGGGACTAGTAAACTGATCAAGCAAACAAGTAGATATACCCGTGCCGCATTGTTTGGGATATAACGGCGTATCTTTGAGACGAGAGAGGGAAAATCGAATACCGGCTGCGTCGGAGTAGATATAGAGACGAGAACAGCGGTGAGAGAGCCAGAGTGAAGAACACGATGCAGGCCAGGTGGAGTGGGAAAGTGACCAGCAAAAGTAGGTGTATAGAGTGATTGTTGATGAAGTGTTTTGAGTTTGGAGAAGAAGACAGCAGTGGGAAAGGTTAGACCGAAAGAGAGAAATAAGGGCAGGCCAAGGATAGAGCGAATGGCTTATGCGAAAGTGAGCTGGCAAGGAGCCGCGACGGCAAGATCTAAGAAGGTTGGGACCTGCTGAGAGTCTAGAAAGAGACTGAAGGGCGTTCGGAAATCGGAGAACAAGAGCGAAGCTAGGTAGAGATTCAGATTGGGGAGGAGGGATAGAGATTACATGGTATGGCGTGACCATATGGGCGCGCGCCAGAGAATGTATTGGGATTGAGAATAGGTGGGATTCGAAGAGGACGAAGAGGATGAGATGACCGAGGTGCCGAAGTTCGATGGAAAGATCTTGGGGGCAGCTGGGGACTGAATTGAAGGAAGGGAGATAGGAGCGGTCGAGTGATGGGAGATATGATGTGGAGTGGAGGGGAGAGGAAAGAGAGGTCGACAGGGCTAGAGGTTAGCGTGAGTGATGGGATTGAACGCAGAAAAGGGAGCGCAGTCGGAGGGCTGGTCCGGGGCAAGAGATGAGTTGAGAGGCGGACGAGAGAGAGGGTCGTTGGCAAGGGAAGGAGAGAGCAGGGAATGCTGACATGGAGTTTTTATGAGAGCAGGACGTAAAGGCGGCGGGAAAGGGCGCCTGTGAGGCGGGGGTGACATCATGTGCGAGTGTGGAGTGGACCGTATCTGGACCGCGCTCAGGGATGGAATCGACAAAATAACTCACAAACTATCCCACACTTTTGCGGCGCGCGTCTTCGGAGGAGTCTTGTACTGATCTCCTCCAGCCCCCTCTGTTACTCTCCTTCATATAGCCTTCCATCTAATCGTCCCCTGCCACGAGCTTCACGACACGACATGCCCTACGCTATTCCCTCCCCTCCCTCCTCCTCATCGTCCCTCGCTCCCTCCTCATCATCCGCGCGACCCACTCATCGACGCACCCGCTCCTCATTCACCGACGAACGTGGTCCTGGCGCATTCGTCTCTCTTGGATCCCTGCCCCGCCGTCACTCCCCCAAAAGGGCTCTTTTTCATCTCAATGTCGACGAAGACTCACCTCCAGAACATGACACCCCTCTTCCCCCTCCAGAAGCCCCCAACGGCAACGGCAGCCTCTATCGCGTATCGTCTCTCAAGAACTCCAGGGAGAATGGCAGGTTCTCTCCCTCTATTCCTCCCCCCAACCACATCGACCTCTCCCAGTTCGACGCTTCCTCGGATTCTGTTCCATTCCCGACTCAGTCCCCTCCCCATTCCCCCTCCTCTCAACAGCCCCCAAGCCCCTTTGCATCCCGTGGCTCCTCTTCTTCTAGCTCCTCCTCTTCCCTCCCACGCACACCTTCGACCCCCATCATTCTTTCAAGCGGCAAGCCCCTCAAATCTTCCCTGAAATCTTCCTCTTCCTCTCCTAGCGTCGCAGGCGATTTTGCCCATCGCACAAAGCACTTGCGCGCTCAATCCGCTCCGAGCACTCCGAGTGCACACAAGAATGTTCATTTTGCTGGAGAGGATGACAATGACTCTAGCTTGGTCAGCGTCCGCGTCTTCAACCGCAGCGGCAAGCCTGCCAGCTTGAGCAAACCCCCTGGCGACGACACTGAGACTGAGACCGAGGCGGAGAATGGTCCTTCTTCCGCACCCAGCTCCTACCCATTTCCCTCCTTCGCCGACTCCTCTCCTTTGTCTCAATCTATTCTCCACGAGATTAATCAGTCACCTGCCGCGACCTCTCCTGTTCCCCAGCCCAACCCCTCACTGTCCGACAACGTCTTCCTCGAAACGATCACTCTTCCACGAACTCGTCCACCGACGCTCCGTGGAACCGTCCTCGTTCGCAACTTGGCTTTCGAAAAAACCGTTGCTGTTCGCTTTACCTTGGATGATTGGGTCACTACCAGTGAGGTTCTCTGCAAGCATGTCGTCAGCCTTCCCGGCTTGCCACCTCCTTTCCCAAAAGAGAAGAAGCCTGATGTCGATAATGCGAGTAAGATCGTGAATGATGTTGTGGACGAGGAGGAAGAACCCAAGAGGCCTGCATGGGATCGCTTTAGGTGCGTTGCCATCTGTCGTCTTGGGTTATTTCAAACTAATCCCCTTCCATCCATAGCTTCACCATCCGTCTTGAAGATTACGAGCTTAAGCTCTCCGAGCGTACCCTCTGGCTCGTCGTCCGCTACTATGTTCCTTCATCATACGTCGGACCTGGCGGAGAATGGTGGGACAACAATGAGGCAAAGAACTATCGCGTCGGTTTCCGCAGAGCTTCCATCTCTCCCCTCACCACAACTACAAGCAATATTCCCGCTTCGCTCACCATGCCAAACGTGGTCTCGATCGCTGGCTCAATGGGTATAGGCAAGCCGGGCAGAGGCACTGCTAGCGGCGTTCCTGGAAGGATGATGGGTGCGAGGGAGGACATCCAGGGCTTCGCTCAGCAGAGAACGTTCAGCGCGCCCGGTTCGTTGAGGTATACGCCCATGACGGGTACTCTGGCGGGTGTTCCTATTCTCACTGTCCCTTCTCCTCCTTCGACCTCTGCACCTGCACCTGCTCCGCCAGTCACAACTGTAGCAACGGCAGAAGGAGCCCCTTCACTCGTCCGATCTATGAGCTCTCCTTATCCTCCTTCGAGTCCTCCCCAAGCGGTTGGGGGTTATGGGTCTGCGATGGCCCCAAACTCGGACAAAGGGATGATGCCTAGCCCGACGAGCCCTATTGCGGCGGAGAGGGCGAGCTCGTACATAAGGCGACGGTTGAGTTTGTCGAATTATGTTGCGCCGACCTCGCCGACTTCACCTCATGTTTGCACGTCCACGAGTACAACGACCACCGAGAGTGTGGAGGGTGACGAGAAAGCAAAGGAGGGTGGGGAGACGGGGAAGGACATGGGTGACAGTAGTTTGGTGACTCCTCCAACCACACCACCTGGTAGCACCAAGGCGCGAAGTACTTCTCTTCCTGAAGTCTCCACTGCTTTGATCCCCAAGACCGCTCCCGTGGACATACCTACGCATACCTCTTTCCCTTCGACTACGACCACGACTACGACTACCACGACTATCATTGGCGGCATGCCCGCAACTGTACCCATCCAATGGCCCACATCCACAGCGGATTTTCCTCCTGAACTTGAGACTCCTTTTTCACCTACGTCGACATCTTCTCCGGATTTTGGAAGCTTTGGGGCTGGGCTGATGAGTCCACCTAGGAGTCGGGAGAATAGCGAGGATGGGAGTGGGGAAGGCGGAAGGTCTTCGCCCCAACCTCAATCACAGACTCAAAGTGAAGGTCAACAGCCGGGATTAGGGCTAACTTTATCGGCCGGCCAGGACGAGGGAATGGTCTACCCGGGGTCGAGTGCCATGGGTGGGATGAATGATTCTTCGTACGCTGCATTCGTGAGGCAATGGTGCTTTGCGCAGAGTACACCTCCCACTCCCGGTGTACATTCTCATTCGCCTTCTTCTGGGTCTCCGCCAAGCTCCTCCTCTCCAACACCGTCTGTTGGTTCACCAAGGCATGACGCGCGGGAGGGTGATTCCAGAGGAAATGCCGTTGGGTGGGTGAGGTCGAGTAGTCCGAGTGCGGTAGAGCGTAACCATGCTGTTACGACGTATAATGGGAATGGGAGGAGGGGAGGTGGGCCTATGTTTTGGGAAGGTATGAATGCACCGGGTTCGGGTTCGAATGCGTCCCTCCCTGGTGTGGGTAATATCAACATGGGTGCGGGGTATGGTTTCCCGGGCTTCCCTTTTGGCGTCCCTGGCGTTGGGGGGAGGAACGGACGTGGACATCAGGCGGATGTGGGCATGGTTGGCGGTGAGTGTTGAACCATACCCCCACTTCTTTGCTCTTCCGCTTTGTTCTTTTGGTGGTCGAAGAGGAAAGAGGGAGAGAGAGAGGACACACAAAAAAGTCCGGTTGTCGGTAGGCGGTATTGCACTTGGGTTTTGACGTGGTTTGCCTTTTTTGTGCGGCTATGTCGGGCTTGAGTGGAGTATTCATCCTATTCGGCTTCTGTTGGACGTTTTGCTTTGTTGGATTTGGGAGTAGCTGAGTTGAGATGAGTTGTTGCTTCATTCTATAATGGCTGGATCCGAATACCATACCATGCGATCTTCTCCATATTTTCTTGCATCTGTTTTACTTCATATCGCTCTTGCGTATCTTCTGCATTGTTTTTCTTTACTGCATCTTCTTTTGCTCGTCTTGTTCTTGCTCAACTTTATATGACATCATCTTCATCTCATCTTGGGTTTGCGACATTGTTTTGATTGGTTTTGTTTTTGCGGTTTTTTTTCGGTCCTGTGGGATTTGTAGCTCGTATGCGGTGAAAATTCAACGACGTACGCTTTCGATCATCAAGCCCCCTTCCCTCGTCCAAGAACCCGAGACCCAAGATCCTCAACGCTTCTCAATCGGGACTCTCAACTTCACCAACGACCACTTTGATTTATGCACGTACCACTTATACCCTTCATCAACACACACACGCACTTGAAAGCTCTGGATGGCGGACAACGTAGCCAGGCCAGCCCACTCGAAGCAAGGCAAAAGCAAAGCACAGCGTAAAAGCGTGAAGCAAGAGAGGCTTTTCCCCGCATTGATTTTCTTCTATCTACATATAACGCTAAATCACAATCCCCCTCCGCCCTCACGAGCTTATTCCTCGCTTCCAAGGTCAGATCACGCCCGTCTAATTCCTTGCCATAGCCCTGCCGAACACGCCAAAGTACCTCAATCCCGGGTTGTCGATTCACACTTTCCAAACAATGCCTTGACTTCCCTTACTTGCCCAACAATTTCCCTCTTTTTCCCCACACTTTGCAAGGTTTGGGACAGGTTGGGCGTATCTTTTACGTTGGTTGGATGTGCAAGATCCGGGGGAGGTGGTCAGGTGTTGTTGGGGTTTTTGTTGGTGAGTGGGCGGTGAGTTGATTGATGGATGGATGGACGAATGGGCTTCGTGGGAGACGGAGCGCTTGAAGCGATTGCCTTTTTCTGGTGTGAGGTGGAGGTTTCAAGCGAAGATTCGACGCTTGTGGCTTTCAGGGTTCAGGCTTCAAGATTGCAACTTGGAAGTATACCTTTGCATACCGAGTCCTCATTCCTCGTGTTCTCTACCCTCCGTGTTGCCCTGTGGTCCTCGACTCCCCGTTGTCCTCGACTGCCCGATATTCTCGACTCAGCGTTGTTCTCGACTCCCCGTTGTTCTTGATCGACTAACTCCGACAGCTGCTTTTCCCTTTTCTATGACGACCCATCACGCGGATGTTTAAAGTGCAACACGCCTCCGGTGTCATTTCTGTCCATCATTCACATCATGCTTTCCATCTCTCGCTCGTCGTCCGGCTTCAAAAGACTTCAACCTCGAGTAATCTCTCTTTTATCTCTTCATATCTACGCCCACTCGCCTTGACCATATGACCTCAGTCAAGCATATCTCACTGGGGTCTCTCTGCGACATGGGTTGTATCATAGCTCAAACTTTAGGATGCAGCAAAACTACATCCTCGGTCATTCACGTGTTTTCAATAATTCCTTCGATCTCTCTCAACCTCTCTCATCTCAGCTCATCTCATCGTTGTCGTCTTTTCTTGGGCTCAATGGTTGATTTTTCACGCATCACACACAACAAACATCGCATGATTGGTTCTCTATACACGCTTTGGAATTATTCTTGCATATATCGCTGTCATTTCAATTACTCATTTCATCCACTTGCTCACTCCATCATCCCCGTCATCATCTTCATTCGCAGATCGTCTGTAGATTATACCCAGTTCTTGTCTCCTTCACCAACGCACGCACGCATTTATTTTTACGCCATCCGTTCTCCCACGTCAAACTTATCCATCATTTTTCATTCTTATCTCTCTGCTTTCCGTCCCTTGTATATCCTCATTTATCTCGACTCTCACCTTATCTGTACACCCTTAGATGTTGTTTCCTGGCTTATCTTCTCTCTCATTCCGCTCTATCTCCCCCGTCTTGTTGTTGTACTCACATGTATCCTCTGCTTCATTTATTTATATACATATCAGGCTACATTGTTGACTAGCAACCGTGTGCATGCGTGTTGGAAAATGAACATTACGACTTCTAGATTGTTGAGTTGTAAATGTGGAGCTAGAGAACTCCTTGGGAGAGGACCCCAAAAGAATGAACTGTCTTCCTTGGTGGGTCTGAACGAGACCAAATGGACGCGACTTGCAACCATGTTTCCACAGGTTGCGAACGGCGAATTCGAACAGGGAACATCTTGTGTATTCCTGTCATCACTATCGCGTAGTTATACCACCTAGGCCTCAGGTCGACAGGGAAGAAGATCACGAAGACGGGACGTAGACGACCATCACATATCCTGAATTACAGTGAACTATGTAGATCTGGGAAGGCCTGGTGTCCTCGGTGGCCTCCTTAACCTTCTGGTGAGAGTGCAAGCACTTATCTCCGCCGGCGAATTCATGGCAAATTGACCCAGTCCGTTTGGTGTTTTGGATGTCGGTGCTATCGGGTACGGTGAAGACCATCAGCACAGACAAACCTAGATAGTCTTTGCAGCCATTTGTAGTTCTTGGAATAGAGTTCTCCGTTATCGACGACGAGACGGAGAAAGACGGTGAAACCAACAGCCCGTCCCCCCCTATCCTGTTCGACGACCAATCAGCAATGACATGTGCACAGTGGCCTCTGGAATGTTGTGTTTGAAGGATCCTGTATCGAACTTCCAAGGACCAAAGAGACCAAGTAAACCCAACCAACCCTAGATTTCTACACAGATTTATGATAGATCCGGAGGACCTCCACAGTGGCATTTATCCTTTCCTGTGAGCCTTTGTGGCAAAATGGAGCCCTTTAGAGTACCCCCTCAAGTTAAATGCCGCTTTAGGGAAAGCCCAAACTGTAATGCAATTAAACTGAATTATAACACAGCCTCTGCGGGGGAGTCGCAAACACGATCGAGGGTATCGATCGAAGACATAGGAGCTCATAGGCTAGTCCCGAACTAAATAATAGGAGGTTCAGTTATTTGGATGAGTCTCGCCTCGGTTCCGCAGCCTGGGTCCGAGGGGCACGAGAATCATGACAGTAAGTATGACATAACTACTTTCTTGGGTGTTGGTTATAGTTATAGACAGAGATGCGATCGGATGGAGCTAGACAGACACCCTTGACGAAAATGACTCTAGAGGGTGTTAAAATCACTTGGCGAACAAAAGTATGTATAGTCGAGCTTTGTATAGTACTCACTAGTCCTCTTAGTGTATTTTGGTCCGAATTTCCGATATCTAGAGTTTCGACTTAATGAAAGGCGTTTTGAAGTCTCGGCGAGCATCGACATGGATTCACACCATCGAGTCCAACTTAAAAGTTGAAACACCGTAGGCGCTATCGGTCTCTCCTGAGTTCTGCTACACCGGATATAGGGCGACAAGATACGAAATGAGCTGTATGTTCAAATTTTAAAACTAGCAAAGCGGAACCGACTGGAAACGCGGCCACGTGACGGACGCGTCCCATAAATTGGTATGGTACGCGTCTTGGCCATCCTCATGCCTTCAACGTGGATGCCACTCCTTGAATCCATTTCTTCTACTTCATCATGGTGCAGCCACAAATTATTAATGCCGTGAATTCTCATTGACTAAACTGTGGCATCAGGTATCCAATTCTACTACTTCAAGGAACCTTTCAGCGTCGCACCCAAGAAAACGAGTGAAATGGGAGGTGTGGGTCAACAATCGGCGTCTCGATAATAAGAACATGCTGAGCCGACGAAACCAATTAGATGAGGAAGGGTCTGGAGATGTCAAACGTGAGCGTTGATGTGAACCTGACAGGACAGGTATTCTAATGAAATCGAAATAGCCAAAGTAGAGTCCGAGCATGAGACAGAGACTCGTGCTTTCCCGGGATCCCCTGCAACGGGTACAAGCTTGAATATGGGTAACGAGAAAGAACAGAAGCATTCGACCATCAAACCAGAACCGACCGATGAACCCATTCCTCCTGAGCCATCAGAAAGTTCCGGCCCAGAGCTATTGATAGGGGAAGAGCTGAGCCAGGAAGAATTCAATATGAGGCAGATTCAGGCGAGCTATTATAACGTAGGTGCATTTGGACGACTACTTCACTGGGCTCACGACTGTTTTTCCTTCCAGCCACATGCCAAGGTCAAGAAGGACAGTCAACTAGACTTCACCACAGTGCTCGACCGCTTGAAACTCATAGGAACGGATGTATATCACATCGAACTGCCAGATGAGGACAAATTCTTTACTTTCAATCGATTACACATCACAACATTGTTTGGAGGCAACTTCGTCTCTACATTCCCGAAGATTGATGCAGAACGTGTTAACTCACACGGAATCGATAACTTTGCATTCCTAAACCTCGATTTCAACCCTCACGCGCCGATGCTTCCAGGTGCGCCGGGCCTTTGTTTCGTTTCCAGACGAGCAGGCTTCCGAAAATGGGATAGCTATCTGAGGCTTTTCATTCCTTTCAAGGGGGATCATAAATGGTGTTATATGGGAAACTATATGTTCTTGCCTGGGCCATCTTTGTCAATTGAAGAATATGCAATGCAGCGGCCACAGTGTGAATATCCCTTGCACTCTTGCCTTGTTTATACTCATAATTAAAATAGGTTAAAAGAACTTGGGCCAAAAATGTCATCGAGAGAGGTTGGGGGGCCGAACTGCTTGCTCGGGTGTATCTACGCCGTACACTTGGCAGGGAGCCAACCCAACAAGAGGTGAAGGCTGCGAGTACTTCCAAAGAGCGCCGAAGGATTAAGACGCTCGTTACCGTTGAACAAGTAATGAATGCATACTTCAAAGGTGAAGAGATACGAAAACGGGACGTTATTCTATTCCCAACTTTGCGAAGCTCAATCATAAATTTGTAGGAGCTTGGAGTCTACTGCATGAAATGTGTAGGTTACGACTATGAGTGGCAAGCATTCCTCCGTCAGACCTATCCGGTGTTCCTGAAAAACGCGGAAGCGACGCAAGCCAAGAAACGTAGGAAACCCCAGATTGAAGTTTCTGACTCGGAGCAGACTCTATTGGAAGTTTCTGTGCCTCGAAAAAGGAAACAAATGTCACCAGCAAGTCCTCCGCCACAGAACCATAATTATCAAGCGTCGAAGCCTGTTTCGTACGACTTGGATGATTTATCTGATCTGACAGAACTGCCCGACACCGACGAAGAAGAGGAGTCGGTTGAACAACTACTCTTCGGCATCAGGGCTGATGGCCATGGCCATGGGGGCGGCGATGCAGAGCTACGGGCCCCCCGGCCGTCAGGGGGTAGCCCAGCTAGCATTGTCCTTGACTAGGTTGTTCTGACTACGCACGAATGCATTATGGACTACATCTATGAATATGTTTTATGGCCCCTCGGCAGGCACCATGCCCTGCCATAGACCTTCCTGCTTATGAAGATGACACCCTTACATTTTGATTAATGTTAGGGCAAGATGAATAGTGCGGATTCAGACTAGTGATGAGTTAGGTACATTCAAAATTACACGTCGAGGAAGGTAGTATTAATGTGCTCGCAAATCCCATAACAGTAGAGCTGCACCGCAGCGCGAATTGACTTATTATGCATCTTGAAGTGTCGCCAGTTCAGATTCTTCCTCGGCTTCGAATGTAGAGGATGGATTGCGGAATGGTATCGTTTGATTTCCAGCGAAGGATTCGATGATGTACGATCCGTTCATTTGGCGGGATACTATTTCGCGCATATTCAACAGTAGCCTGCTCCCTAGTATAGAGGGAAGGGCGGCAGACCACCTTATGACGGTTTTTTTGTTAGCTTTTGAAGTGGGTGGATATTTTATACTGAAACTCACGGCATGACCATATTGATATAGGTGGGAGCGCGGGCCCATATAAGTGTGCTGATCAGTAGTAACGCAAACACGCTACAGAAGGATCGTGAACAAGCTTAGGGATGGTGGAAGGATTCACCTACATGACGAAGTAGAAAAGGCTATATGATTATATCAGTACATTTGGCTTTGTGCAGGATATTGTAAAATAAATGTCACTACCTGTCTCTAGCCATTCGAGTGACCAGCGGAATGCGAGGGCCTTTATTCCCTTTAGTCAATGGCCAGGCTTTGTATGCCACCATCAGGAAAAGAATGGGTTCGTAAACGAGTCCTGGAACCCAGAATAATGCTGAGAATTTGAGGATACCGTGATAGTAACAGCCAGTATCCGTTGAGGCGATGAGAATATCTTTTATGTCGCTGAAAATCAGTGTGGTGGCCCAATGCAAGGGCATATACACATACGATCCAAGTGCTTGATAGTCACGCCGACGAGGGTCGCCATTGCAGCCAGCTCAAGAAGGCAAACCGTGAGGAGGAAAACCAGAATCTTGCGACTCCGTTCGTACAAAGCGTACACCTGTTAATAATAAGCATGGAATTGTTCATATGCGACGGGTTAGAAACCTCACTCGGAGCATAAGGATGGCTATTACGCAAGAAGATACAAGTGAATGACTGTATTGAAAAGTGAAGATCTATTGCTGACCTTGGACCGTCAGTGTCGTTAGCAACGTCCTGCGGTGCAAAATATCAAGCACAGACGTAGACGGATTAGAGATAAACTTACACAAGATCGTCGCACATTAAGTAGATGACGCAGCTGTAAAAAAGATACCATGTAGAACATATCCGATCTGAGAAGTATCGTACGCTTACACCTTAATATGCAGTCAGTTTCTCTCACAAAGACAGAAAGAGTAGAGTAGTGGAGATCCATACATGAGAGCTATTAGTACCAGCTTTGGTCAGAGGTACTGGGCAGAAATAACTTCGTGAACAGAGTTTCTGTGTGAGGGCGAGCAGAAAGACGTACTGCTATCGAAAATAAGGAAAAAGAATGCAAAGAAACGATTCTGTTCTCCGTCAAATAAGCAGACAATATGTCACAGACCAGTTCCAGCACCCACAAAGATGAATAGGTAGAAAGCAGGACGTTTCTTGCTCTGGCTCCAGACCAAGGAGATCTGCAAGAAGAACGCGTTGACGCGGTGAGGATTGTAATGACACAAGTTGACGAGCCTCCAAGTCCAAAGTAATCACTGTGTCACAATCGTTAGTGTGTTTACGATGACTTCAAGCCCCACTGACTATGGTCATAGAAAAGCAGGCCCATGGCGGCCCCTCGGGAACGTTTCCCCATGTCAACTACGTGCGTCAGACACAATCAATTAGAACACGGACATAATAAACAATGGACCTACGAGCATTGATTGCCACCAACGGTATAGGCCCACTCGCTTCCCGTGTCATGGCTGCTCGAGGGAGTGTGGCAAGAACAGAAGGAGCATATAAGAATGCCAGTGATTGCACTGGGGGGGTTTCGTGCCAATGTCCACCAGACGCCTCTCTGACAGTTCCGAGTCCGGAATCTGGGACAGCAAGACGTACCACGTCGGGTGACCTCGCCCGAACGTTCACCTACGTAGCGCGGAAACACGTAAGTATCGGACGGAGACAGATGTGGTCGATTGGAAACGCTATCTTATAGCGCTGTGTATAAGTGGACTAGCATCAGAATTTGAGTTCAGAAAGGCTACCATGGGGTTGCCATGTATTTATATGAACAATGCGGAGGCGCAGCCTCCCTCAGCCCAGGAATTGCGTTTACATCTTCCGCGCGTTGTGGCATATACCCATCTGACATTCCACTCTGCCTAGCCTACTCGATCGATCATTCATTGAATTGATAGTTGATGATCTGACAAGGGTCGCTTCATTGCCAACAGTTGACTGAGAGTTGAGAATTGAATACTCAACATTGAGGCATTACGCATTACTCCAAGCGATAGGGATATTACAGGACACTATGTAGAGAAAGAAGGTGTTTGCAAAACGAAAGATTGGAGCTGCGAGAGTCCATCAAATATGAGATAATGTCTGAACGACCAAGTCCGTGCTGATAATAGTCTGTGTGATGAAGTGAACCCGACACTCGCCCAGAAAGAGCGAGCCAAATTACATATGCAAAGGGCCTCTAGAGATGAGCGGCGATACCTAGCACGCCGATGAGAGCACCCACGGCACCAAATATGATAGCAGGCAGGACACCGCTGGGGAGAGATTTAAGGGCACCGCTTCCATTGAAGGGAACGTAGGGGTTGCTTGATTGAGAGGCTTGGGCACTGTCGGCACCGGTTCCGCCGCCAGTGAGGTTCGCGCCGTTCGGCTAGAAGTCCGTCAGCAAAAGTCACAAGGTCATCATGAGAACAATTTGAATTCAAACTTACTCCGATGGGTCTGGAGTTGTCTGAAAAGGCGCATGTAGAGGCCGTGCAGATACACTCCCCTGCGATGGGATCCCAGAATGGCGTGGAACAGTTTGCAGGGACTGTGGCGCCGCCAGACTGTCAGTCTAGAAGATGACACACAAGAGATTGAATCAAACTTACGGCGGATACGAGCCTGTTGTCCGTCAGGGACTTGCTGAGACGGGTTCGGGTTGCTAGGAGTGGGCGCTTCCTGGGGGCATCCATACTATGGGCAGATCAATAACCACAGAAACTTTGCGCACGGAGAGTACATACGCAAGTGTAGAATGGGAAATCTGGGAAAGCGCAGTGAGAAAGCAGGCCCTCTTCGTTCTGTGGGATACCATTGCAGATCTTCTTGGAAGAATCGACTTGAGGTGTGGAACACTTGAGTGACTGCACTTGATCCAACTGAGAGATGGGAACAGGATGTTGCACCCAGTCCAGCAATTGTTCACTGGAGACAATCCACACTATGAGGCGTCAATGGTAAGCAAGAGCGTATCAGAAAACGGTGAGTATATACCATTCTGTTGGTTTTGAGCCCAGTCCAGGAATTGATTAATCATGTTGATAGTAGAATTGAGGGGAGGAACGCCGGGGTAGTTTGGCTAAGAAAGAAGACAAGTTCAACTCAGTCAATAAGTCAGACACAGAAACGATATCAAGTAGAACATACCGCTGTGTGGATAGGATGGGTATATAAGCCGAAAGGTTGACTACATGGAGAATTAGCCTGAAGCCAGAAAGTTGAAGATATTTCGTACCGTTTGTTGTTATAGTGGTCCGTGAACGTGCTCTTCATGTACTCCAATGTAGCAGAATCATTAACTGCGTTCTCGCCGTTTGCGTTGTCGCTGGATATACAACCTTCAGCGTCAATGCGAAGTCAGGCGGGATAAACTCGGCACATACAGCCAAGGGTCCATCAGATGCACCCCTTCGGGTCCTCTTTTGTCGAAGAGAGCGTACATTGGAATTTCCCAGAGACCAGGAAGTTTAGGCTCGCCCTTGCATATTCCCTCAACAGCTAGACAGTCATTTGCCATTCCATTGTCGAGGGAGTACGGCCAAAACGCATCCGTGTTTGAGTCGGTGACTGGAATCGAGGCAGATGCGGAGGAGTCATAGGTGAAGCCTGCATCCTTAATCCGCTTCAAAGTATTTACACTGTAGGCCAAATAAGGAGCACGGAAGCCTTTGATAGACGACATGGGAATGCCAGCCAGAGCGTTGAGAGCGATAAGATTGCCGTTGATTTCGTCGACCGGAGGATCGCCCACGTGGGTCATACTGAATGCGAGAATCGACAAACTCAGTCTACTGATATGCTGGAGAGGGAAGTCGAAACATACGTGTGGTCAGCAATCTCATTGCCAGCAACATACCAGTCCGTGACTAGAGTATAATTCGTGTAGTTAAGCGACGTGTAGTAGGTCATCTTGATTGAACAGCCGTTCGGATTCTTGCGGCGAGCCAAGAACTGGTTGACAGAGTCGAGGGTATACGACTGGACGGCATCATCTGCTGTGTACACGATAAATTGTGGGACGTCCTCCTACAGGCAGGATGAGAGCTCGGCAAAATCACTACGTATAAAATATGAAAACGAACCGGCTTCAAACCTCCAGGGGGGTCTGTACTGGCACAGTTACAATCGGGAAGTTTGCATTTGCTGGAGTCACATGAGTAGCCCGCTGCTTCCGGAGAGGAGGTAGGCCCAGAGATACTACCATCCTGAGCCAAAGCAATGCCCAGTAGTGGGACGATTGCAAGGAGAAGGCGAGGCAACATCGTCTTCAACCCAAGTCAACTTCAAACGTGAAAAGTCGTTTCCTGAGCTGTGAGTAGGAGAAAATCCGTCTCTGGTTGACTGCAAGCAAACCAGCCAACAATGGGGAAGGAGAGAAGAGGAAAGAACGGCAGGGAACAGCAACGACAGAACAGCCGGAGAGTTGGTCAGATGGAAGAGGCGAGGTGCCCGGCTGGTCGAGACGGACGGCCTCCAGACGCCGCAAAAAACGCGCGCTCATCTTCTTGTTTTCTAACCATCATCTATCCCATCCCCATGTATTGTATTGCAGAAAATATCCAAGGACGTTACAAGTAATGGGCACTTATACGCACCCCCAAGATATGCAATTCCTTGTGAACTTCTACGAAGTTCGCGTATCACAGTTAAGGAAGCGTTGAATTGATGTCCTTGGAATTACAGTTTGTGAAGGATCTACACGTTGACCCAACGATTTCCGCTCCTTGGGAGTTCCATTTCCTTTCGATTGGTCACTTTACATATTTCGAGGCTATCTGACCTGTTACTCTCACGTCCTGCTTCGCGCTACTAATATACTGCAGTCCTTCATGTCTCCATGTTGACAACTTATATCCAAGCGTCCACGACTCCACGCCAACAGGATGCTTTCCCGGTCCGTTTCGGTCCGTGCTCTCAAGATACGGTCAGACGACACTGATGTATCGAGAGTCTAGTTTGAATCTGCTCCCTAGGTTTCGACATGTACAGCGAAGCTATGTCACGTATTCGTGCATCTATCTATCGATGTGGGTCTACATACGCAGAGCATGGTGGCCATGGACGACTCCAAATTCTGACTTGATGAGTTCTCGACGCTCAACGTCGAGCAATGACTTTAGCCATGAGACCAGGTCAGCTGGGTCTTTACTGGAGATCTTAAAGTGCTTCCAACTACCCGGTGACCGTCATTCGGACCATTTGCTACGTAGCAGCGATAATATTTATACTTTTCTCCTCTTGAACGACAGTATTGACTGGTCGAGCAATGGTCTCTCCTCTAGTGTTGCTCATTTCCGTCGTGGCAGCTATTCAAACCCATGCGTGGACTGTGTTTGTTGTTCCTCATACAGCGGGACAAGATGACGCACCTGCTCTTATGAATGCGCTCGCAGTTGGAAATATCTCCACTAATGGAACAATACTTTTCTCGAAGGGTGTAACTTATAACATCCTCACGCCCATCAAGTTCCCTGTTTTGAATAATGTTGAGATAAGGATCGAAGGTAATCTCACATACTCGGACGATATCGTGGCAATACAAGGTGAACTTGGTTTGCACATCGGCCAAACCTTGCCCGCACTTGCTGACTGTCTGAATGATTCTATCAGATATTGTCGGGTCCTCGGTAGGTCTAGCTCCTTTCGAATGTATTCCTTCTGCTTTCTTTGACTCGCTTTACACAGAACTTTCCAGGAGCATGGTATTTTAATATTTTATTTCCACAAATAGATCTCCATATGACCCCGATAGGTTCACCTTTACCGGCGGCCACAATGTCACCCTTCGAGGCTCCACCGATCCCAAATGGGGCTGGGTAGATGGTCATGGTCAAGCCGTATGCATCACGTTACGTCCAACAACTTCTTATTGACGATGAGAACAGTGGTGGGACGCGAATCAGCAGGTGAATCGACCGCACGGGTGGGCTTTCAGCAAAATTAGCAACGGCGTCATTCGTGACATGAAGTTATGGAAGGTACTATTCCCGGACACCCGTTTAGCGTTCAAATATCGTAATCACCATTTGTCTAGCCAATTGCATGGAACTTTGCTACCAGTGGTTCTTCAAATGTACATGCTTTCAACAACAAGATCATCGCGGTGTCGAATACTGATGTACGTATGGTCTGCTCTGTCATAAAAGTCTCAAGCTCACAATGAGTTTCAGTCATTCCCCTTCAATACGTATGGAATCTCTCTTTTTGTACTACTTCATCTGAATAATGTCTTTCCAGTGATGGTATTTATGTTGCCTTTATCTTTGGTCTTCCGGGCTCACAAGGCAATCAATCTCAGGATTTTCCGCCGGTGGTACGGACTTACTTTTTGAGGGGAATCATATTGAAAACGGGGATGACTGTCTGACGGTCGGCAATGGTGCTAAAAATATCATTTTCCGGTATTTTGCTTCTCGAATTGTTCTGTTGAGTGTGTGTTGAGAATGACGCAGTGCTCAGTAATAGCTATTGCGAAGGCGGTCACGGCCTTTCCATCGGCTCTTTAGGGAACGGAGGTCAAGTAGCCGATGTTCAGAACGTGCTGTAAGCAGATTCTGTTACATGAGTCGGCCTCGAGTCAAGCTGATATGCATGCCTGTCAGAATCGAGAATGTTTTCATGGTAACGTTACGTTATTATCTTCTCCATACATTTGAACTAAGATCGACTCGACAAGAAAAATACCCTGTACGGTGCAAGGTTCAAGAGTTGGACAGGCGGAAATGGGCTGGCTCGCAAGTAGGTCCAACGAAATAAAACCTCCACGGCAATGCTAAGTTCCAGCATTTTCTGAAGCATCACTTGGAAAGACATTGCATTCCAAAATGTCCCATTCCCTGTGAGTCTTATATCAATATGTTTGTCGGAATGCTCAATAGTCCCGTAACAATAGATATATATCACTCAGAAGTGAGCCATTCATTTAGTTTTTTCTCTCCTTGTACTGAAGTCCAGACAACAGCTACTGGGACCAAGGGGTTAGATGTTACTGCATTTCATACTTCGCCTCTTGACTCAATTACAATACTTCACAGGTTGGGCCAAGGCCAAATACCACCGGCACTAATAACACACATATCCAAGACTTCCTCTTTCAGAACTTCGTCGGAATCATTGAGGAGTATATGATTTTTTATCCACGACTAATCCCCATACTAAGATAATCGATTGGGATTCTCAGCAAGCCTTACATTGAGGGATCTTGTGTCAGCGATCCTTGTTGGTATGCTGTCCCAGGTGCTACGGGTAAAGAAGTTGCCATTCTCGACCTGTATCCGGACACCGGTATGCCATTTTTCTTACCTATTGATATTTTCTTCCCTCACAGCGGCCCAGCTACGAACGTTGTAGCAAAGGACATCTTTCCTGTCACAGAGACTGGCGCAAAGGTTGCTGTTATGTGCAATCCTTCAACGGTATGTGATGGTTTATGCATGCTCTTATTTACACCATTCTTACATGGACGTAGGTTTCAAACGATGTAGGCTTCCGATGTTGGAATGGACCTTTCGTCCGTACCATAGCAGGCTTGTAGCAAAACCCTTGTACAATGTTGTTGGGTCATTTCGTCTGTGATCTTGGATTACCGTCGTGATATCGTCAAACTTCTACACAATAAATGCTATGCCCAAGCTCGAAGCACTTCTTCTACTACGTCGAACGTGTCACCTTTAGTACCCCAGCTTTGCCCTTTAGTGCCACGCCACTTCTGCACCTGCCACGTCTGTCCAATAGCAAGCAACTGCCGCGAGATATAGGTGGCATCATATGGTTGGCCGCTCTGCTTTATGCCTGCCAGGTAATCCACAAACAACTTCCAACGCTGAGAATAGTACTCCCCGACAAGACCTGCCCACTGTTTTGTTGCATAGTCATTGATTTCCCCATTAGGTCCCCAGAGAGTGAGCTGGTTGCGTGCGTTGTATTCAAGATAGGCGGCGTATGACGTGTTTGCGCGAGGACCGTTGCCTGCCCACTGACGAGCATCAGCGATCCAAGTGCTCAGCAGAAAGTTTTCGTTTGTGTATAACAACCTGTCCAGATCTCCCAAAAGACGTACAAGGTTTGATCCAGTAGACATGATATGCTCATGAGAGCTAGTGGAGTTGTTGTATACCGTGATAAGATGTCGGTAAAGGTCAACGAAACTGTTTGCAAGGAGCTGGCGAGTGATATCCACAATATCGTATCTGTATTCGGGGACGTTACGAAGGGTGGACGAAACGTCAGATGCCTGAAGGAGTAATTTCAACGCAGGGAGGATGGTTGTATTTGTTGTATACGGAATCAATGTCGGGTGATGTCCTGGAAAAGTGAGGTCATTGAAGTTATATCCCTGGTACAGCAAGCGCACTGACCTGTCCGGTTTACCAAGCCTGTCAGGGCTGGACTAAGTTCCAAAATACTCTTGATAGTCGCTTGGGAATTCGGGTCTTTGTTGTTATAGACCGTCGTGCTCAGAATTTGCCACGATTTCTGAGCCGCAGCAGGGAGTGGCTGGACAGGATAACGTCGAGAGACCCATTGAGCGACATAATCAGATACTTTAAGAGGCGTCGATGACCATGCCTGGTCCAATAAGATGTCATACACGATCTCATTACCTTCCTGACCCTCCATCGTCAATCCTACACCTTTCATCGAGCTTCCAGGAGCTTGCAAAGCAGTGATTGGGCCATTGGTGAGTTCCTCAAGGTTTCCCTCCATTCCCATATTCCCACCATAGTCATGGAGCTCGCACCATACCCATTGTTTTCCAAAGTAGCTATTCGTGCGATTCCATTGGGGCTGAGCTTCTGAATAAAGATCGAGGACGATCATCGTATCGTTTCCTTCGACTCCTCCAAGGTACGCCTCAACACGGTCGTTCGTCCAGAACGTAGAACTGCTGAAGAACAACCATCCCTGCATCAGCCAGACAGCTTCAGGGTCCGCCGCCCTCAGGCTGGAAAAGGTGTTGGATGAGACGTTTCGCAAGTAGGAAATATCACCACTGAACGGATCGTTCTCGTTGTATTGATCAAGAGTGTAAACGTGTGAGACGTTGCCGTACGCAGCCTGCTGTTTAAGGATGAACGACTTTTGCAGCTCTGCAAAGAGAGGATCGAATGGTTCCAGGAAAGACACGTCGGTCAGGTTACTCTCGAAACCCGACCATTGTCCACCAGTGACTATCGATGCGTTAGGATAGTGAGTAGCCAAGGCGCGAGGTACGAAGCCAGTGAATGACGGGAGAACTGGAGTCATGCCTAACTCGACCATACGTTGAATGATCTGCTTTCCAAGAACAAACTGATCTTCCACCCATTGCGTTGGTAGATTTCCGCCCCAACTTCCCTGGATGTTACCAAATCTATTCCATGGTAGGAAGTTTGGTCCTGCAAGAAAACTTGCAATCTCCGTGTCCGATAGTCCTGTGTCATGGAATACCTCAGATAGAATGTGTTCGTAGCCAATCCATGCTAAAGGGAGGTTTACGCCTCTCAATGCCAGCCAATCCAAGAGCAGTGACCATTTCTCGAACGTCCAAAAGGCGGTAGTATACCCGAACGTAACGGTATTGAAATGGTACCTAATCTCTACCACAGCATCGCCGGTGACGGGCTTGCCGACAGGTGGAAGGTTGGAAGGTAACTCGTGCAATCGAGAACCAGTCCACCAAATGTCGACTCCACCAAAGTCAGTTAGATACCTATGATGTAATCCTTTTAGTCAGGTCCCGTGCAATGAAGGAAGATGTACTGACACATATAGGCCGCGAGAGCAAGCACTGATGGACGTGCAAGAGATGGTGACAGCACCTCGTTTACCAACGGTATCGCCTACTATGTATTTGTCTCCTTTCTCGGGCAACGCTTCGAAAGTAAAATCCTTGGCATGCTGGGGAAGCCTGCGCTGGACTAGGGAATGTAGACCTCGAAAGTCAAGTGCATCAATACTTTGAATGCAGGCGAAAACGGCGAAGAAAACAACACCCAAGATGTTCATGATTGGGCTAAGAGCGTCCAGCTGCGACATATCAACGTCACATCGTACTTATAACTGCTAGGAGCGGGTATTTGATAGCTTGCTTCGGGATGCGTCTGCATGACATGCGGTTCTGATGCGAGCCGTAAGGAATGAACGTGCGAGCTGTCTCGTCAATGCCTTGTCAAGTGGCAGGGTGTATGTAATACCTGCAGCCCGTGATCAAGTCAGCCTCTCGTATACTGCACATTTAGCTATTCAACCCTTAAGCTTCAAGTTGACATTTGAAGTGCAGTCGGTGGTACGTAAGTGCATGAGAATATCATCGTGGTCGGAAAGCAGAGTCCAGCGCCACTTGATCTACGTACTCGGTCGGTACTATGATGGCGCCTGCACTGTCAAATACAATGTGAACATCACGTTCGTGGTTGCTGTGCCCAATTTTGAAGCACTTCGTCTACAACTTCAAAAGTGCCGCCTTTCGTACCCAAGGTCTCTCCGGTAATATTACCCCATCTCTGCGTCTGCCAGGTTCGACCAATCGAAAGCAGCCTCGACGAGATATCTGTGGCGTTGTATTCCTGACCGTTCTGCTTGAGACTGGTCAGATAATCCACAAACAGTGTCCAGCGCTGGGAATAGTATTCTCCGACGAGACCTGCCCACTGCTTCGACGCATAGTCGTCAATCTCCCCATTCGGTCCCCAAAGCGTGATCTGGTTCCGCGCGTTGTATTCAAGATAGGCAGCATAAGAAGCATTCGTCTCAGGACCGGCCCCTGCCCATTGACGAGCATCAGCGATCCAAGTGCTCAGCAGGAAGTTCTCGTTTGTGTACAACAGCCTGTCCAGATCGCCCAGGAGATGTAGAAGTTGTTCGCCAGCGGATGTGACGGCTTCACGAGAAGTTGCCGACGAATTGTAGACAGTAATGAGGTCCTGGTAGAGATCGTTGAATCGATTTGCAAGAAACTGGCGACAGAGGCCCACTACATCATATCTGAATTCGGGTATATTTCGGAGAGAAGGTGCAGCATCGGACGCCTGGAGGAGTAGCTTTAACGCTGGCAGGATGGTGATATTTGTAGAATATCGGACCACAGTTGGAAGTAGTACTGAAAATGTCGACATACTGAGTTTACTATAATGGCAACGTAAACATCATGAGGGAACTGACCTGTCCGGTTGATCAGCCCTGTGAGGGCTGGAGTGAGCTCCAAGATACTCTTAGTTGTTAGTTGTGATGTAGGGTCTGTGTTGTTGTAGACTGTCGTGCTCAGAATGTACCACGCCTTCTGAGCTGCTGAAGGAAGTGGATGGACTGTGTATCGCCGAGTGACCCATCTAGTGACATAGTCATTGATCACGAGGGGCTTGGGGGACCACGCCTGGTCTAAGACAATATCGTAGACAATCTCATTGCCCTCTTGACCCTCCATCGTCAGTCCAATACCTTTCATAGAACTTCCCGGAGATTGAAGTGCAGCAATTGGGTCTTTTGTAAGTCCCTCAAGATTGCCCTCCATTCCCATAGTCCCACCAAAATCGTGAAGCTCGCACCATATCCATTGTTTTCCAGAATAATTATTCGTGCGATTCCACTGGGGCGCTGCTTCTGAATACAGGTCAAGGATGATCATCGTGTCATTTCCCTCAACTCCTCCGAGGTATGCATCGATACGGTCATTTGTCCAGAAAGCGGAGCTGACGAAGAATAGCCATCCCTGCATCAGCCAAACAGCGTCCGGATCCGCCTCTCGAAGGCTCGAAAAGGTATTGGATGAGACGTTTCGCAAGTAGGAAATATCGCCACTGAACGGATCGTTTTCGTTGTATTGATCAAGAGTGTAAATATGTGAAAGGTTGCCGTATGCAGCCTTTTGTTTGAGGATAAAGGACTTCTGCAGTTGGGCAAACAGGGGATCGAACGGTTCCAGGAAGGAAACATTCGTTAAGCTAGGCTCGAAACCCGACCATTGTCCGCCGGTGACTATCGATGCGTTAGGATAGTGAGTAGCCAAGGCGCGAGGTACGAAGCCAGTGAACGAAGGGAGAATCGGGATCATACCCAGTTCGACCATGCGTTGTATGATTTGTTTTCCAAGGGCAAATTGATCATTTACCCATTGCGTTGGTAGATTTCCGCCCCAACTTCCCTGGATATTACCAAATCTGTTCCATGGCAAGAAAGCTGGTCCTGAGAGGAAGGCAGCAATTTCTGAATCGGATAGTCCTGCGTCACGGAATACTTCAGATAGAATGTGTTCGTAGCCAACCCATGCTAGAGGCAGATTCACGCCTCTTAACGCAAGCCAGTCTAAGAGTAGCGACCACTTGTCCAACGCCCAGAAGGCTGTAGTGTAGCCGAATGTAACAGTGTTGAAGTGGTACCTAAATGGCACCACGGCCTCACCAGTGATGGGTTCTCCTACATGTGGCAGGTGAGAAGGTAACTCGTGCAATCGAGAACCAGTCCACCAGATATCAACGCCGCCAAACTTGGTCAGGTAACTACGGTATAATCTTTCATTCAACACCATAGTTTGAACAATATATATGACACACGTACGTGTATAAACCACGAGCGCACGCACTGATGGACGTGCAAGAAACGGTAACAGCACCCTTTCTATCGCCAGTGTCATTTATAATATACCTGTCCCCTGTCCCAGGCAACGCTGTGAATGTGAAATCCTCGGCATGCTGAGGCAGTCTGCGCTGAACTAGGGAATCAAGACCTCTAAAATCAAATGTGCTATTAGCTTGCACACAGGCGGAAAAGAGGAAAAAAGCAACGGCCAACATGTTCGTACCCAAAAATGTGGAGTGTTCGCCCAGTTCACTATGATATCCCTTTTATAACTGTGGGGAGCGGTCATCTGGTCGTAATTGAAAAACGCAGCTTGATGGTGTGTCATATATGCCCCATATGCATGTGTCTCTTAAACTTTGGATCTGGAAGAGGAGCGCAAGATGGCAGGAATTTCCGGTGCGAATTGCCTCGTCTTGTAGCTAAGCATGGAGCGAGAGGTCGCATGATATTCTGCAGCATCCTACATCCTATGATCAAGTGCCTACTGGATGGTTTGTTCAAGTACTATTTGCATAGTGGTGGTCTAGTTCTAAAAGGCGTGGGGTGTCAAGGAAAGCGCTTCCGGCCCTCGATCGCCGGGCCCTAGTCACTTGGTTCACGCTGGTTCACCCAAACTGGACAGATAACTTCCTCAAGACGTTACCCAGACACATGTCATAACCCTGTAGACTTGAACGGTTTTAATGAATTCCCGGATGGCAAGACGGAGAGCACCCCAGAGGAACACTCAAGATCACGCCACCACGAATGAGGCTCTCCTTACACCCTGGTTGGACAATCTTGGGACTACAGAGTACGAGAGCAAGGAACAGCGGTATGGACATTACTAGGAATTCATGTTTACGATACTCATGTCTTCAGGTTACATGATGAAATTGTGGCGTTCGTCACGTATGTTACTCCGACGCCTTCTGAGCGAGCTGCTCGGGAGCTTGTGGTAGCAACAGTACGGGAAATAATCCGCAGGCGGTTTCCTCGCTCGGAGGTCTCAATAATCGGAAGTGTAGCTCATGACTTATATCTTCCTAATGGGTGCGCCTCAATACTGGACATAATATTGCCTTCCTCGAATGGATTCCTTACAGGGATATCGATCTTGTGGTTTTTACACCGCAGGTATACGACGACAAATTTAAGACGAAAGCACTGTTCCAACTGGCATCCATGCTGAAGAATGCCCATGTCACTTTCAAGACTCAAGTTGCCGTCGGCGCGCGAGTACCGGTTCTCAGTTTCCAGACGGTTCCTTCCCTAGGTATGTAAAGCGACCATGCAGAGCGTGTTATAGACTCTCAGAAAGCCTTTTTCAGGGTCTTTTCAGATCGACATAAGTCTGAACGCTGATGACGGGTTGAGGGCCACTCCAATCATCAAGGGCTATCTGACCAGGATGCCAACATTACGACCTCTGATCTTGGTTGTGAAAACATTCATGTCCATGCGCGGCCTGAATTCCCCTGCAAGCGGCGGATTAGGCAGCTACGCTATAATCTGCATGATGATATGTTTTGTCCAGGTAATTCCTTTCTTCGCACCAGTGTGATTGAAACTTCTTCACTGACATGAATGATTAGCTCAATCCGAAGGGGAGACCTCCATCATTTTATGAGGAGCCAATGGCTTCTGAGTCACTAGGATACCTGTTGTTTGACTTCTTCCAGTTCTATGCTTTTGAATTCTCTTACCAAACTCTCTACATCTCAACTGCACTTGGTAAGGTCCTTCCGAAGGATGCTGTCGATTGGTTAGGGAAGTCAAGACCAGACGCTTTATGCATCGAATGTCTCGTAAATCCTGGTATGTAAATTCTCTCCGGAGAGTTGCTCTAATCAACATTTCATCCAGGAAGAGACATCGGAAAGTCCGCAAACAGGATTACCCAGATTCGTGCCGCGCTTCAAGAAGGATACACTTCCCTGAAAAATTACCCGTTCTCTCTCACTCGCTGCAATGTTCTTGGTTCCATTCTTGGTCTCAGTGAACAGGTACATGAACTGGACAATTAGCAGCTGGTTACGTTGGCTGACAAAGTCCTATAGATAGTAGCTCATCGACACCATATCGAAGAAATCGTCAGCTCCGGACGCCTGGAGAGAGAACAGCGATCTATCCCATTGCCGCCAGTCTGGTCAGCTCCCAGCTCGTATCGTGGACGAGGATCGCGAGCCCCATACGCGCCACATCCCAATCGTTCTTATCAGAATGAACCATACGCTCGTCCACAGAGACCTCGAAGATGACAACTAATGCCACTCTTTTGACCTGGAACTATTTGCATTATGCCGCTGCTTGGACAATTGTCCCTTCATGTTATATACCAGCACACTCTTGATACCCCGGAACATGTAATAATAGCGACTGTGAATAGCATCAATCGGGTTCTCATCCTGCACAACATGGTTAGCATATTTCAGTCCCCCAGCCGTAAAACCACATCCTTAATATCTCCCATGAAACCGTTTGCCCCGATTTTCTGTGCCGGAGCAGCGAAAGACATGTTTCCAAGTGCCATGAAGTCTCCCCAAATGTCCATCAGGGTTGTCCAATAGCGTCTGTCCTCAGTATTGCCGTCAATTATTGCATAAGTGTATTCTCTGGTTGCGTGGATAGCAATCGTTGTGTACTTATGTTGGGGCAGGGTATAGCCCAATGAGTATAACTGTCCAGTTGCTTCGAAGGTCAGGTTAGAAACGTGCAGTGTCGAGTCGAGACCAGCAAAAAGTACACCTTCATCAGGTGAATGCGAGGAAGGCGTGACGCTGAACGTCAGCGTATATGGAGGACCGACAGATGAAACCGAGGTGGTAGAAGGTAGATGGGGTGCGGGGAAGCTATAGATGATGTTACCCTGGGTGGGGGCAACTACGCGGTTGAGATTCTGTCCTGGTGCCGCAGCGTTCAGTATGGGATATACTGCGTCAAACTGATCTCTGGTGAGTCCAGTCTCTCGGACTTCGGATCCTGCCCATGTCTTCTCTGCGAACACGGCCAGACTCCGCGAGAGTTGATAGTATATCTCCAATTTTGTTGTAGCATTATTTCCCCAATCATTCCATAACGCCATGATGGACCCCCGTAGTTTGGGGTTGGCAACATTGGTGTTGTTCGAGGGATCGCTGGCTGAGAAGATGTTAGGAGCCCAACCCTTGCCACCTGGGGCGCCATTCCAGATGAGGTCCTGGCTAAGCTCTTGAGGGAATTGACCACCTTCCGACGTCTTTCCATCCAGGTAGAGGAAAGTTTGTTCAGAGTTGATGACTTCGTAACCAGACTCCATCAACCTGACAGGGATGTCGTCCCCAGGAAAATTCCAATGTTGAATAGTGATATTCTTGGAGACGGAGAGCATTCGGCTGGGCTCGTTGGTACCCCAGATACGTATGGACTTGCCTGACTTCGCCTGGATATAGTCAGACATTCCGTTGACGAATGAAATATAATCATTCGCGAGAGACGCGTCATATTCGTCTGCACCGATCGACACTTCGGAGGATTGGAACCAAGGTAGAAATTCGTCCCAAATCGACCTGATAGTCGGGATGGTTTCGGGAAAGGAGAGATTCAGGTGGTCTGGTTGACCATTCTCCATTAACTGCGGTTTCCACTGGTTGATGACCAGGGAATGCCCTGGTGTGTCAATTTCGGGCACGATAGTGACCCCACGGCGAGCGCAATTGGTTTGAAGCGCGAGGAAGTCGGTTTGTGTCCAACTTTCGTTCTTTCTAGGCACTAAACTAGACAACGCAGAGCCTCCTGGCGGTCGAAACCTGAAGGCAGCGTATAGGTTTTTCCAACCCTCATTTCCATCTCCATATAAGAAAGCTGGATTCCAGAGGTTATCGGAGGCATGAAGATGAAGCTCGTTAATCTTGAAAAACGAAGCATAGGTACATAATTCAGCTGGACAGACACGAGTGAGACAAATAATATCAATGCACGTAATTGACATACATAGGAAACTTGTATCAAACCAATGCCGTCCGGCGTCGAGCATGAAGCCACGCACCTCCCAGCCAGGAGAGTCAACTATCCGTCCAGAAGGGAAAGTGATCTGCTTCGAATCATTTGCGACGGCAGCTTGCTGCACGAGAGTCCGGGTACCCCACCATGCCCCAATCGGTGCAGTGGCCGAGATTGTCACTGTGTGTTGGACGATGTCAATTTGGTAACCCTCATTTGTGGTCTTGCCATTGAAGAGGGTGAAGTTAAGCTTAGGGTTAATCGTGATGAAAATGACTGGGTTGGACTTCGTACCCTCCGCGTGAGGGGCGACCTGAACGGGAGGAATGTGAGTGTATGCAGTCACACTTATGAGGTCCTGTCGGAACGTTTCGGCGAAGTCGAATGCAGTTGGCGATCCTATCAAACCATTATGTGCATCAACCAGAACTCTGACATTTGGAGATAGTGGGAATGCAGCCCCCTTGCCAGGAGTGAAAGCAGCAAAAGTTGGTATCTGAGGGAGGAAAGCGCTAGACGATGATGCAGGAAGGATAGCAACAATAAGAATGAGCCACCCCGTAAGGCGCGAAATGTTGCCCATGGACTCCTCCTAGCCTAGAGCTTACGGCTGTGACTCGCGGCGGACAGCATTACAAAAAGCAAAGCGAATAGTTCATATATGCAACAGGCCAATGTCTTCTTGAAGATATGACCACACGGTCCAACTCGTCAGCAGAGAGGGACCACGCAAATACATGACGAGAATACTGGCATGTGATGTTCGTGTCTGATCTGCAGGAAGATAACACATTGCGATTTCGGACGTCGGACACGGACCTGCGAACTCTATATTTTCCTTGCAGAAGCACCAGTATTCACGTAGATGCAATAGACTCACCCTTACTCAACAGCTAGCACGTATCTTGACCATTCAAAGATGCGTATCATGGGGAGAGGCATACATTCTGCACATGCATCCATACAAATGAAGCTCACATGAGATAACCGACATAAAAAGGTGGCGACGGTGGCTAAAGCATTTACTCCTCTTCCTCCTCTTCGCCCTCCTCCTTCTTCTGGGCCTGAGCGGCACGCTTGCGCTTGACACGACCAGGGCGGCCTCCACCGTACGGCGAAGTGAGCGCAAAGTCGATGTGCTTTTGGGAATCGAGGCGGACAACAAACGATGGTACGTTAACAATTTGCTTGCCAACGCTGCCGGAGAAAGAGCAATCAGAATGAAAAGTAAGATATGTAATGATAGGACATACCGGATGTGTCTTTGCCTGATCAGGACACGAGCGTGATGAATGCTCTTTGCCAGTCCGCTCTTGAAGACCTGGGTCTGGAGACGACGCTCCAAGAAATCCTCAATCTTGAGGGACAGCACATAATCGAGACGCATGCGAGACTCGTCGAGCACACCGATACGGACGAGTCGTCGAATAAGAGCGTTACCCTCGAAAAGTCGCTTGGGATCCTTGTCATCGAGCTTGAGAAGTTCACGAGCGGCACGACGAATCTTGGACAGGATGAGACCAATACGCCAGATCTCGCGCTTGTTGCGCAGACCGTACTCGCCGGCGAGCTTTCGAACAAAAGATGTGTTCAGAGTTGGACTTGAGCAGGGAAGTTCGCGCATCAACGCACCTTTAGCTCGGCATCGAGACGGGCGGATTCAAAAGGCCGACGGGGGACCTTGTAACTGTATCATCGTTAGATGACAATGGGGCACGGCTTTCAGTCAGCACGGTGCATCCCTCCACTAAGTGGATCTTGAAGAAAAGGACAGCTTACGTCTTGGAATGGTTCCGCGGGGCCCTGCAAAGACAGAGTGAACTCAGGAATTATAGTCTCTGGCACCATGAACATTACCTAGGCATTTTTCTTGAGGATGGCGATAAACGAGCCTAGCGCGAGCCTTTGCGATTGTCACTCTGGCTATCCGCCAAAACGAACGCAAACAAGCGAGCGCCAAACGCAACTGTACAGTACCAATTCTCAGCCACCCGGGATTAGCCGAACTTCTTCCTTACAGCCTACCGTCCTCGACACCCGCACCGACGCCGACACTGTTAGTATTGCCCTGCTCGCTGTTTCGCTCGACCACCAACTCACCTTGACCTTTTGTAGTCCTCAAGATGCCTCACTCCTTCGGTTACCGGGCGCGCACGCGCGACATGTTCAAGCGGGGGTTCAAGGGTGCGAACTTGCGCCTTTTAACTCGATTCGACTGGATATTGAATACTTTCTATCCTTCCAGAACATGGCCCCATTAAACTGTCAACCTACCTCGTCCCCTACCGTGTAGGCGACATCGTTGACATCAAGGCCAATGCTGCCCAGCAAAAGGGTATGCCCCACAAGTTCTACCATGGGTAAGTACACGATATGCAAGAGTGTCCAAGATTTGTTTCCAACCTTTCATCAGCCGCACCGGTATCATCTACAACGTCACTCCAAACGCTGTGGGTATCATCATCAACAAGGTTGTCGGCAACCGTTACATGGAGAAGCGGGTCAACATCCGCGTTGAGCACATCAGGCACTCGAAGTGCAGACAGGAGTTCCTTGACCGTGTCAAGAGGAATCACGATGCGCATGCTGCGGCGAGGGCGAAGGGCGGTAAGTATTGCCATATTCATGTCCTACCTTCATCTCATAAATTATCCACAGAGCGCGTCCAGCTCAAGCGTGTCCCAGTCCTTCCTCGTGAATCGCGCAAAGTCTCGACAGAGGGCAATGCACCACAGACCATCGTTCCTGTTCCTTATGAGACCACCATCTAAAATGCACCGCGTTTATCCCACTACCGTTTTCGAGGGTTATGTTCTGTTATCCTTTTTCTATGCTCATGCGCAATACGATCATAATATGATGCATGGTTGTATCATTACAGGACCTGACCTGTGTGACGTGATTAGTATTCTTCAGAACAGCAACTCGTGCTTTCGATCGCAACTTGTCTGAGTACCCTCATTGAGTCTGGTCACCGTATTGGGGCATCATGGGCGCCTATAATAACATAAGTCATGGTCGCTCGGACGCTCGTGGTGCTTGTTCGTTAGACTTGCATTCTCTCGATCCTTAGTGTTATTTGAAGTGCTTTAAGAGTTTCTTCAAGATGCCTTCACGACGACGACACCGATCAGATTCACAAGAGCGTTCTGAATCTCGCAGTCGCAGTCGCTCTCGACACCGTTCTCGCTCACGTTCGCCCGGACAGATTCGTCTTCCATACGATGCTTCGCCTATCTCAGAATCAGATTACTTCCTGAAGAGCGATGAATTTAGGGTGTGGCTTAGGGATGAGAAACACAAAGTACGTGTTTTGGACTGGGGGCTTGTACTTGCATTTACACGTACTCATCTCCAGTTCTGAAGTATCTGGATGAACTGACGAGCGAAAGATCGCGCAAGTACGTCATTTCTATTGCTTCTTTGCTCACCCTTGATACTCATCGTATAATGAAGGTACTTTCACAAATTCGTCAAGGTATGTTACTTATGTCTCCACTACCTTGATCAAGTGATGAACCTTGGACAGGCGTGGAACGGCGGAAAGCTCTCCAGTGAATATACAGGCGAAATGATTTGTGTTATATTTCACTGACATTTCCTTGCAGGATCCCTATATTCAGGTGTCGATGCTCAGTCCGCCAGTAGTCAAACTGCCTACAGATGGTCTTTCGCATCAAAAGCCTCGAAAGCCGACAGTGAGGCACTACGTGCCGCTCGTGAGGATGTTGACACCTCCACGTATAAGAGATCATCTCGTTCTAGCACAGGACCTTCTATAAATGGTCCACGAAGGATGCAAGGTCCTACTCTTCCTTCCCAATCCGACTTGACTCTTGCTCGCGAGACCACTGAGGAGCAGCGAAAGGCAGAACGTGACTACAGTCACAAACGCGAGCGGAAGGAAGCCAAGGAAAAGCTGGAAGAAGTCGTTGGTCCGAAGGCGGTCGGAAAGGAAGCACTGCTTGAGAAAAAGCGAGCGAAACGGGAGGCCGATCGGTCCTTCAGAGAGAAAGGGGATGATGATTTCGAAGCAGATGAGTCCACACTGATGGGAGGTGGCGACAGCTTTCAAGAGCAGTACGTTCTTTTCTGCGCTTCCTATTTATATATCCACCGATGCTAACTTTGTCCTTACAGGCTTGCTCGCCGAGAAGCAGCTCGCCGGCGCCGCGAAGAGAAGAAATTTGGTGGCAAGGATGAGAAAGTTTCCGCTGCCCGTGAGCGAGCTGAGGTTATTCGTCAAAAAGACGAGCAAACAATGACCATGTTCATGCAAATGGCAAAGGAAAAGTTCGGTTAATATTCAAACTTCCACACAGATGTTCCGTATGTCTTTAGTCTCGTAGCTATAGGAGCCAATGTGTTTTGAATATATCATACTGCATAAATACAAGTCGATGCCCCGTAATGTATTCGAAGACTTCACATCCATGCTCTGTCCTCGACGTCCAAGAGCTCGGACTAAACGTAGCAATGACAATATCAATCAATAGATGAAGTGCAGGCCGCGTGAATGACACTGACCTGAATACCTGGCTGACGGACACTAGTGTGATGGTATCGCGAGCTGATACCGGAGAAGAATCGACTCGATGGTCGAGAGTTTTTTGTCGTGGATTTGTTGGGGATGCTCCATGCACGATCCTCTTCATCGAGCATCTGTAAGAAAGATGATTTGTTCTAGTTACATTCACGAGGAATGGCTGGACTTACCTCGGCGTCAATCATATCAGCATCACTGGCTATGTGCGTTGACCGTCGTCGAGCGCTGGATGTCTGGGCACGCCTCAGTTTCCCTCGACACCAAGCAGTATTGTCTTCTTCCAAAAGATGTTCTGGTCGCTCATCCTCCTGCAGGTGGGTAATATTGACTTCAGGATTTTGTAAGGTACGGAATATTACCCACTGTTTGAAGGGGAGACTGCGAGTAGCAGTTGTCGAAGCCGAAATCGACCTAAAGGAGGTTCTACGTCAGTCTCGTTTAATTATTTAAATTATGTAGCATCGGGTAGCGTACCAGAGTACTGCATTCCGAATCTGTAGCTGAAAGCGTTATCGCTGACCCTGTTCGACTGTGATACCTCTAGGCATGTTGACTGTTAGGAACATAAATTCAAATGGGCCACAACCGGGATGACGTACAGGCTTGAATGTCGACCTCAGCTTCGACTGCACGCCGCTCTTCAGTAACCGAAGTTGGTCCTTATCGTTGATGGGTTTGAAGGACTTCAAGCACATGAGCGATGGCTATGGGGACATGTATACAAAGGTGAGCTCACCATGGCAGGCAGGCGGTTGTCTTTCGGATAATAGTGAGGTACAGACTCGGCTAGTCTGGGAGACAATGTAAGGCCAGTCCTCCGAATCCGTACTCATATAAAGACTCGAGGATGATCAGACGGGCCGGTGCCTTGCAGATGGTCATCGAAGTTCAGACCTAGCATTCATGGCAACTGGCCGAGGCGAACAAAGATATGTCGCAATGCGATATCCTTCGTGTCACAGGAAGCAGATGGGTTGGTATCTTGCATACATTCTTCAGCCAAAAATAGCCTTCTAAGGCGCGGCAAACCGTCCCGCGTCGAAGTCGTTTCACCGGATCTGAGGGAGAAACTTGGGACATTCTCGTGAGGATCTCGCCAAAAGTGTTTTCAATAAATAAACCGACGGCAGCGAAGCGATGTTTAACCTTATCCATTGGCCTGGTACGGAGAAACCTGTCATTGAATGTGCCCATGACAAGGGAAAGGTTTGGACTGAACGCCCCTGTGACCGAGATAATGGGCTCAACATTCAAAGACCAGGGCGGAGGAACAAGAGTGCCCTAATGAATAGACATGCCGAAGGAACTTCCGTCCATGACGCAGAGTAAACCTGACCTACGGGTGTGAGATAGAAAAGCCCTATAAAGGCGACAACAAGGTTAGACATCGTTGTGACGTCCCCATCATCATGGCACCATGCATCATATCCTGTAACACTTCCGTTCAGCATCTGCGACGTAGAGCACAAGGCCCATGCCAGCAAAGCATGCTTGCGCCGATGCGGGAGAATGGACTTCACCTGAGTATTCCATCCCACTCCCGCCCTCGGATCCCTTGCTACTTCGGAGATCTTGGCAGTGGATTCGTCTTGTCGGCCGCGGAGAATTCATGGATTAAGCAAGCTTCGTCCAGGGCTATCTGCGCACTAGTGGGAACAAGTAAGTGCAAATGTGGCCCTGCCTAGACCAACTGTCGAATCTTGAAGCTCCTACCTCCGAACTACCCGTGGGGATGATAGCTTGCGAAGGCTGCCTAGACACTTACACCAGTGTTATCTTCTAATCTTGGACTTGCTATTCATGTAATAGCATTCCATATTGACTCGCACAAGAAATACACAGAATATAGATGAATGCTGCCAAGAGTCGACGTCGGGAATCAGATAAGAGTGTGTCTCCCACCAATTCAAAAGGCAAACGCACCAAACTACAATACATAGAGAGCCGGTCTCCGCCAGCCGTAAGACTCTCAGTTCACGTCCATAACATCTTCAGCTTCTCCACCGATTTCCTCGAACACTAAAGTCCCTTGTTGTTCTTTTAGCCATTGCACACTGCGCTTCTCATCCATGAAGTACGCATACGCTCTGCGCAGGTCTTCGACGTCTACCTGCTCTGACTTGCGCTTGCGAGCCAGTGTCTGCGCAGTAGAAATAAGATTGAGTGCGTAACGAAGAGTCGTTTGCATCCCCATTGAGGTCAGCACTTGGAGCGCTGCAGCAGTAAGAGTGACATCTTCTTCCTCGCATCTGCAAGCGGAATGGATGAGGATCAACGGAAGTAGATGTACTGTATTGCTTACCGGATTTTGATGATTTCCTGGACATCGTCTTCCGTATAGGGCTTCGTGCTGACAATGAGTACTCGGTCAAGCAAATCTACCGGCAAACCATGCGGGCTGCGGAACTTCGTTCCTCGTATCCTGGCCATGCCACGATTGGATGCCATGATGACCAATGGCGCAAGTTCATTTTCCAATGCACGATTCAGGAAGGAGAAACATTCAATGTCCAGCATGTGTACTTCGTCGATGAAGAGCACCTGTGAGGCGAGTGAATTCGTCAGATGTCCTGAATCGACATGCGGATGTGCGAACGAAATACTTACGCCTGGAATTATTTCTGCTTTCCCTTCCTCTCGCCATTCAGCCACTTTAGTGTTGATCTGATTCCTTAGCTCGGGCTTTATTTCACCAGTGTCACCTGCGAAGAGAGCCAGGAACCCCTGTGTCCTACTGTTGATGACATCGATCTCATGCAATGACACTGTGTGAACAACCTCTTTGCGCTTCTGAATTTCTCCTTCAGGACATTGCACGAATTTTGTCTGAGAGCCAGTCAATACGCAGCGCAATACAATACGTGATGTCATACTTACGTCTGCACCCATTGCATCGTAATCCCTCGACCGAGCGAACGATCGACCAAGCTTGGACACCTTGCCAGAGGTCTTGTCAATGGAAATCACGTCTCCCGCGGTGACTTTTTCCTTCGCCAACGCGTCGATCATCTTAGTGCCCAAGTCATAGATAGTTTCCATGTCGGTCGTTTTGATAGTGAGTTTGCCAGTTTTTGTGGCCTGTAAGGAGAGAAGTCAACAACAGGAACATGTTCCATAGAGAATAATACTTACACCTGTGAGACTTCGGTCAATTTGCAACTCGACTACTTCACCCTCAATGAGCTCTGTCTCCTCTTTAATGCGAACACCGATACTCCTCCTGAATGCCTGAGTAAGGGCTTCCGTTTTGGACATCGACAGGGAGAAGACCTCGCTCGCGGCAATCATAGTGAAAGGAACGTCAGGACCAAGCGTTTGTGCCATACCTGTGGTTGAAGCGTACGTCAACACATAGGGCTTTTGGATTAAAGTATCAAGAACACAGCGTACCTAATGCAATGGCTGTCTTTCCAGTAGAGGGAGGTCCTGCAAAGAGCATGGCACGACCTGCGATACGTCCCTCCTGTACCATTTTCAGAATCATGCCTGCGGCTTTACGTGCCTTGCCCTGTCCAACCATACCCTGAGCATTTGCGCGAGGCTCAAGTCTGTCATCCAAGCCAAGACCACGGATATGTGAATGCGCCCCTACGTCAATGGTTCAGGACTGCACGTACGAACCAAAGAGGAGTCTGTGAGCATACCTATCCGTTCCATTTTTGTGATATCGCGCAGTTCAGAGGTTCCTGTGGATATTTGTGTAGCCTAAGCATGTTACGAACGTAAAATTTGAGATGTGAGTGCATGTAAGGAATATTTACGATTTCGTTTACATACCATGACTGCGACTTGGAGTGGTTAAGAGAAACGCGTCTTGGAACAAACAGGCGCTCATGCACTCACAGACAACTTTGAGCAAGGAAGCGACAGCACAAACGCCTCCCTCGACTTGCTCCCATGTTCGCTGGACGATGCGGGGCTAACCTGCTTCGTTCACGGTTTTCTTCTGTCGCCGCAACTTCTGCTGTATCTTCTACGTCGAACATCATCCGCCCATGTGCTGTAACACGAAAATACGCGACCGAGGCATCCACTCAACGTCCTAATGAGGTGACAGCCGCACTCTCTAGGACTGAAACACTTTTCAAAACATACAAGCCCATAACACCTGGTATTCGACACCTTAAACGACCTCTTAACCTCCATTTATATCCTGGCCGACCACTCCGACAACTCACTGTAGCTCTCCGCAGGACAGGTGGTCGAAACAATCATGGTCACATCACTATTCGTTCTCGCGGAGGAGGGCATAAACAGCGTATTCGATTAGTAGACTTCATGCGTACAGAGCCTGGCCCGCACGATGTCGTTCGTGTCGAGTATGACCCGGGGCGTTCTGCACATATCGCTCTGACTAAGAATCGGGACCCAACCGCCACCGGTAGAAGACTATACAGTTACATCCTGGCGCCGGAGGGTCTGAGGGCAGGAGATGTTGTCCATAGTTACAGACAGGGTGTTCCGGACGGATTAGTCCCGGGTTTCAAGGACTCGAAGGAACTCAGAGGAAAGGCTTTCGAAGCCTCTTCTGACGGAGATGATGCCTCAGCCACAACCTCCCTTGCACTCGGAATGCTGCGTACCATCACAATTCAGAATGGCAATGTCCTTCCTTTGCGACTCATTCCCACCGGCACTATCGTTCACAATATTGCGCTTGACCCCGAAGGTCGTGCAATCCTCGTTCGCTCAGCCGGCACTTTTGCCCAAGTCATTACCCACGAAGAAGCAGGCCGGTACACTCAAATTCGCTTGCAGAGCGGCGAAGTGCGGAAAGTGTTGCAGGACTGTGTTGCCACCATTGGCAAGGTCAGTAACCCTCTGTGGAAGAGCCGAAACTTGGGTAAGGCTGGTAGGAGCCGCTGGCTTGGTAAAAGGCCCCATGTCCGTGGTATGGCTATGAACAGGTCCGTGCTACTTCGGAGTCCCAGTTACCTGGTAGCTCTGATTGACATTTGACTTCAGATGCGACCATCCCCACGGAGGCGGTCGTGGGAAATCAAAGGGTAATAAGCAGCCGCGATCTGTTTGGGGTTGGTTGACCAAGGGCAAGCGCACGCGAAAACCGGGTCCGAAGGGACCCAAGAACAGCAATAAGATGGTTGTGCGCGAGAGGCCAAGAGGAAAGGAGAAGAAGGCTGGTCTCAAATAGAACTTACGTTCTGCCTCGCCCAGATATCTATAGTGGTATCTAACAAGAGGCTCAGTTGATGAGATTACAGTAGTCTCCAGTATACATAATCACTCTCTACATGATGCCTTATTATCAGATTACTTGCGTTGATATGAGCCACCAAACAAACCTCGCACACTCAATCACTTGTCTCATCTTCTTCATTCTCTTCCTCGTCATCCTCCTTCAGTGTCTTTGGCTCCTTGTCCGCCTCTCTGCCTCCAACAGCATCCCTCCATGTTGTCAATTCCTCCCCAACGGTATCTTTCGCTTGTGTAATTGATTGACGTAGGGCGTCATAATACTGTGGTATGCTGCTCCCGTCCGCCAAGGGAAATTTATGGGTTTTCGAAGTTGAAAGGCCACTAGGCACAACGTCCGACGGAGGATGCAATTCGTAGGATACAACAACACTTCGAGACATGTCGACGTTGGATATGAACTTGGTGTAGCCTGTGAAACGACTAGATCTGTAAAGTCCAATACAGTCCAAATCGGGGTTATTTACTGTTGTTGTCCAAAGGCCTCCAGACGTTCGGCTGTCTCCGATAGACTTTTTCTGTCCTGCTCGAAATCTTTGGCACGTTGTCATTCTTGTCCTGTTTTGCCATCTACTTTGCCTCTGTCAATATGCCCGTCCTTAGACAATAACAATCGGAGCCCTGCTGCTCTCGATTGTGCTGACCTCCCATAGACTCATAGAACATTAGACATTTAGACCTAGAGGATACCCTGCAATTGTTCATCGTTTTATTGGACGCTGTTCCCCACTTGGACCTAGTTATACTTTCGTTGCTCAGTGATTTTCCATTTCTAGAATCTAGGTCATGGCATACTCTGCCAACCGTTACACGAAGCCTGTCCCACCGACCTCAAACCTGCCGCCCCTTGCACGGCTGTCTTCTTCTTCGCTTTCGCAAATCAAGAACGCACTCCACAATCTGCGCACGCTGTACTTCTCTTCACATATATCCACAACACCTCCTATTCCCCTCCGTGCTCTCCCTAAACATCTCATCCATGACACAACCGTCCCTGACTCCGGTTATGCATCTGCTGAAGAAGACGAGGATGATGGCATGACCGACTTTGAACCATCTAGGTCTTCCGAAGGGAACGATGATGACGAGGACATTGCCATCCTTCGTGCGGACACGTTTGAACGCGAATTCGCTGTTCGTTGGTTGACGGGCTTTACCGCACGTTCGGACACATGGGTGTACAGCCCGGACGTCATTGACGAAATGGAAGAAAGCGCTCGTGCCGAGGTCGTTGACGAAGCGGCATCTCTTCTAGCTTTGTTTGCCGGGGGAGATGAGGAAGAGGCTTTAACACGCACCTTCATCTTTCCTCTTCGAACAGGAAAACACGTCGAAGTCGAACTCAATGATGCACCGCTTTTGAGCGAGGATCATACTTCCGTTGGACTGCAGAGCTGGGCTAGCTCTATCCTCCTTGCAGAACGTCTATGTGCCGATTCCGCCGCTTTTGATCTTTCAGTAGACGGCAAATGTGGAGGGAGGATACTTGAACTTGGAGCCGGCACCGGGCTTTTAAGCATCGCTATTACGAAACTTCAACGTATTTGCCATGAACCGGCAAATGACGCAAACAGCATCATCGTCGCCACGGATTACCATCCTTCAGTCCTTGCGAACCTCAAGGCAAATGTGTCCCACAACTTCCCTTCTTCACCTGTGCCTCCGATCCAAGTCCTGCCATTGGACTGGCAGTATCCAGTATACGACGCACCTTTTGACAAAGTCTTCGATGTTATCATAGCGGCGGATGTAATATACCATCCCGAGCATGCGCAGTGGATCAGGAACTGTGCTTCCCGACTACTCCGGCGTCCTTCGCCTGACCGAGAGGGAGGTGTCTTCTGGCTTATCATCCCCGTACGGTCTACGGGCCGTCACGAAGGCATGGGAGCTACAGTTGATGCTGTCTTCCCCTCCCTCTCTGACTGCAAACCCTCAGACGAGATGGAGTTGGCGATCTTCCAGAAGGATACCATTGGGCGATTGGGTGGGGTAGGTCGAGCAGACGAAAGCGCATACTTGTTATTCAAGATTGGTTGGGTTTCATAAGGGTAAACGGCATAGACATGTTTTATGACATCATGAAAGCGCTCTTAGGACGCTACCTAGAACACAGTAGATACATATTGGCGACCAGAAACTAGCTATGTGTTGCTAGTACTGTAGTTATACACAGAACTAATAATTATGCGCTATTTTACACATCTAAATAACCTGCAAAGTCTCAAGAAAGAGATAAAAGAGATGAACGTTGAAATCAATGCCAAGTCCCTCCACTAAGCCCGCACAGCACTAGCGCTGCTTTCACCGTTTCCTCATCATGCGCGCCGCCCTTGGTGCCTTCAATATCCATTTTGTCTGTATCCTCTTCCTCGTTTCCTTCCTGGTCCACACTCTCTGAAATGCGACCGTTTTGCGACCCCAATGTGGAGACAATGATCTGACTGCTGCTAGGAGTGATGGCTTCGTGAGCTTCTGCCTCGTCCTCGGTATCTCCGTCGAAGTCCAACACTATATCATCGGCCGGGTTTTCATCCTCTCGTCCTCCAAATCTGAAAGCTCTCGCCAGCTGCGTCTCGTCCGTCCCAGACATCTGCACGTCTACTTCATCGTCTCTGTTTTTGCCATTCAGCCTAGCGGCAGCACATGCCCATTCCAAGGTCTTCTTTGATTTGCTCTTGTGTCCATAGTCCAGATAGGCTAGGTCAAGGCCACTGTCCTGTTTCGGGCTTTCTGGACTCATTGGGCTTGAAGGCATCTTCTCCCATAGTTGTCGAATTCGTGACGGGGTGTGGGGTTTGAAGGTACTCGAAGAATTGGAAAGGTCTGGATGAGATAAAGTACGTGCTCGTGTAGGAGTTTGTGGCTGCCAAGGTAATTGAGGGCGTTCAGTGCGTGAAGCGATGGAGTCCAGAGACGGTGTGCGCCCCTCAGCCAAGCGGGGACGATGAAGGTCATGCACGCTTCTGACAGAGCCCGTGGAACTGGCAGATGGTGACTTGCGAGAAAGGCGCGCTTGCGATTTCGTACGACGGAGCCGAGAGGTACTTGGATTAGAAGTGGCGTTTGGAGCAGTTTCATTTAAATTAGTGGCATTGCCCAAAGCAACTTTTCGTTCCGTCTGACGTTTGTTTTGGAACCAGACAGTAACAGAGCGAAGCTCCCTACAAATAGATAAAGAAAGTTAGCAACACGAAGACAGTCTTAAGCAACGACATACAGTCCGGCATTACTAGCTAGAATCTCGCGTTGTTCACGTGTTGGATGTGAGCAGGTATGGAACAAATCCTCGAGCATCACTAGCTGAGCTCCAGTAAAACGTTTCCGCGTACGTTTGCCACCGCCATCAGAAGCAACAGAGTTGGAGAAAGTACAGTGGCTGTAATCGTCAATGGAATTCTCTGATGAGATACTCGAAGCGGAAGAGGTGCGAATCAGTGGAGGGTATACTGCGGCGAACATTGTTTGAAACGAGAATGGGAAAGAAGGTAATATGAAGACCTAGGGAGGCGAGAGGAGAAGAGGGCAGACATGCCTCCCCGGATATTTATGCGAAGCCACAAGCGCGAACAACCAACGCGTAGGAACGCGTCGCGTTGATCACACATTCAACGCGACACGCGTAAACGCGCCTTACACGTGCTCCGACATGACTTTGTTGATTGCTTCTCTTGATGGCATAAACGCCCCGCTAGCACATTGCAAAGGAATCAGAGCTCATAAGCTACACTGTAATCGAAACATGCGCACTGTAATCAACGGGGGAAACCTTATAATCTTGTGGACAAGTATTCAGAAATGAGCGGCTAAATGAAAGTACTGCCAGAATGCCAACTCAGGATGGTACCGATGCAAGACATAATTTCAAACGTAGGCGTACGAATCATCATGCCAACACATGAGTAATATGCAGAAAACCTGTCAGACTGAGGCCAACTAACAAAGAGCAAAGTTGAGGGAATGTGCGTTCCTGCTATGCCTTCGAAAGTTGGCGTCTAACGACAACATGAATTTTGCAGAAAGATTGGAGGATTGTGAGTGCAAACGACATGGGGCCCATGGAAGATAGACGTATTGTGCATTATATACTCGCAAAGATTGGTTTCAATCACCCCTGGTTGCCCAGAAAGTGTCCACCCATGGGAGGAAAGACGAATCTATGGGCGCTTACGTGAGCGGGTGGACAGAGAGGACACGCTGGAAATACGACAGGAGAGTTCGTTGAAAGTGGCCCAGTTGCCGTGGGAAAGCGGACCTTCAACGCTTGGACCATCGTCTTTCCGGGTCCCTTCGCCCCCACTTCCCTCCCCCCTTTTCTCTCTCAACGCCCATCTTCCAACTCCGTCACTACAGCCTTTCCGTCCATCCGTTGCTTACAACTCACAACAACTCTACCAATCTCTTTCTATCGTTATGGCTCGTACTAAGGTGTGTTTCTTTGTTTATTTCAGTGAAGATTGATCGCTCACTACGCCCTCGACGCCCGCAGCAAACCGCTCGCAAGTCCACTGGAGGTAGGTCCCGCGAGAAAGATGGTAGCATGTGTATTCAAATACTCACATTCTCTTCCTTCAGGAAAGGCTCCTCGTAAGCAGCTCGCTACCAAGGCTGCCCGTAAGACGGCCACTGCTGTACGTTATCTTCTTGCTCACCGTCGCCGCTGAGTCATACTAACATTGCCGTTCTAGGCCGCCACTGGTGGTGTGAAGAAGCCCCATCGTTTCCGTCCCGGAACCGTTGCCCTTCGTGAAATCCGAAGGTACCAGAAGTCCACTGAGCTGCTCATCCGCAAGCTCCCCTTCCAACGTCTCGTTCGTGAGATTGCTCAAGATTTCAAGGTAAGTTTTCGCCGGTACCGAAAGCTGATTAGTCATTCTAATGACTCTTTGACTCCTTAGACCGATCTGCGATTCCAGTCCTCCGCCGTCATGGCCCTTCAAGAAGCCGCTGAAGCTTACCTTGTCTCCCTCTTCGAAGACACCAACTTGGCTGCCATTCACGCTAAGCGTGTTACCATCCAACCCAAGGACTTGGTGAGTCATTTCGGTTATATATCATATGTTTTGTGCTGACTACTTGTAACAGGCCCTTGCTCGTCGTCTTCGTGGCGAGAGGTCTTAAGCGGCCTTTTATGACTTACCGTTGGCTGCTCTGGTGGTGATATCGACATGTCTACCTTTCATTTATTCGCTCGTCTTTCACCTCTCTCGATTCTGTACTGTATAGTGTAAATTTCTAGCCTGCCTATGTTTCATCATGTCACGCAATAGACAAGCTATATATGATTGGACTTTATAATCAGCTATGTTGCCACCTTGGGATGCATAATTTGCTGAAGTGAAGGTGGGACTGCAAGTACAATGACATGCGCAACGAAGTAATGCTGTCAGTCTTTTATGCCCATCTGGAGGGCAGTGGTAGGACGTCTGACTGTACGGAACTGTAACCACTGGGTACTGCACTGTACAAGCTGATAACTCAGAGTCGGGGGAAACGGGAGAGCAGAAGTGCATGTCATAACGTGCATGTCAATATGGAATACATGAGATAGACCCTCCCCCGAGTCTCCTCTATAAGCATGCAAACATGGTCCTCCAACACAACGCGAAATGCTCGCACAACCACTACTTCAGCTTCTTCTTACTGCAAATATGAAACATATCTCATCAATAGATGTTACTGAAACAAACGAAGACGGAACTCACGGGCGGAGCTGCGAAGAGTGGCCGCATCCACGCTTCCTGCAGTTGGTGGCACGGGGTGGGAGACGAGCGTAGCATTTACGGCAGATTTGCTTGTCGCAGTTGTATTTTGAGGCGAGCACCTTCAGCGAGGGCTCAATGATGCCTCCACGGAGACTGAGAAAATCGCAGGCATAAGCAACGGTTCGGATTACCGGCATAGGTCCAACGTAGACTCACCGGAGGACCAAGTGAAGAGTGGACTCCTTCTGGATGTTATAGTCGGAAAGCGTGCGGCCATCCTCGAGCTGCTTGCCGGCGAAGATGAGTCGTTGTTGGTCAGGGGGAATACTACATGCGGAATTCGATCTATTCAATGCTTCATTCATCTACAAGAAGTGCAAACGCACCCCTCCTTGTCTTGAATCTTGGCCTTCACATTGTCGATGGTGTCGGAAGACTCCACCTCTAGGGTGATCGTCTTCCCCGTAAGGGTCTTGACGAAGATCTGCATCTTGAAGGGGGAGGGTGAGCGGGCTGTCTTCTGGCGCGACCGAGAGCCTACTTACTGTTGTTGGCGATGAATGCGAGCCTGGGAAAAGACTGTATAGTTCAGAGCCCGTGTGGCTGCATTCAGGGCAGGCTTCGAGGGTGTGCTTATGTAAGCGTCGCATGACACTGTCCGCCTGCCACGGTTCAGCGGGTGATCTCGGATAATGGGCGGAAGTGAACCGGACCAGTGCAGTAGCCTGTATTTTGTTCGCAGACTGTGTTCGTTGTTATCTTGAACTTTCACAATAATAGCTGGCAGTTTGGACGTCAAACTTTGCGTCAAGCACCAATGACGAATAAACAACGTCTACAACCAGTCCTAGACTCGGCTTTCCGCTCCCCAACCAGGAGTTATCTGGAGCGGCGATAATCAGCGTGGGAATTCAAATTGGAGGGTACAAGTGCCTTTCCATCTCCAACTTTGCTACAGTCTCCGTTAAGCTCATCTAACACTCGTACCATGTCTATCTCTAAGATCCACGCTCGTCAGGTATCAACCTTGTGTACACAACCTCATATTCCTTGTTAATTAACTGTGCGAATAACAGATCTTCGACTCCCGCGGTAACCCCACCGTCGAAGTCGACCTTTACACCGAAAAGGGTACGCGACGCGCTCGCATATATCGACCATACTAAACGCGATTGATATCCTTGCGTAGGTCGCTTCCGTGCTTCCGTCCCCTCTGGTGCCTCCACTGGCGTTCACGAGGCCGTCGAGCTCCGAGATGGCGACAAGAACAACTACGTTGGAAAGGGTGCGCATACACCCCAAAGAAATTGATTGTATGCGCTCATATGAGTTGTGTTTCCCCCCTGTCAGGTGTTAGCAAAGCCGTCGCCAACGTGAACGACGTCATCGCTCCCGCACTGATCAAGTCCGGCCTCAAGGTTACTGCCCAGAAGGACATTGACGACTTCCTCATTAAGCTCGATGGTACTCCTAACAAAGGCAAGCTTGGCGCCAACGCCATTCTTGGTGTTTCTCTTGCTGTTGCATATGCCGGTGCTGCTGAGAAGGGTGTCCCCCTCTATAAGCACATCGCTGATCTTGCTGGTATCAAACCTCCTTTCGTCCTACCCACCCCCGCTTTCAATGTCATCAACGGTGGTTCCCATGCTGGTAACAAGTTGGCTTTCCAGGAGTTCATGCTTCTCCCCACTGGCGCTACCAGCTTCACCGAGGCGATGAAATTCGGAACGGAAACGTACCACACCCTGAAGAAGGTCATCAGCGCCAAATATGGTATCGATGGTAAGAATCGCACCATATTCGCTATACCTACGAAGCACGTTGCTAATCTACCGTAGCCGTCAACGTGGGTGACGAGGGAGGCTTCGCTCCGAACGTGTCTGGTGCCGAAGAATCGCTTGAGCTTCTGACTGAGGCTATTAAGAAAGCCGGCTACGAGGGCAAGATCAAGATTGCCCTCGATGTTGCTTCTTCCGAGTTCTACAAGGACGGCAAGTATGACCTTGACTTCAAGAACCCCAACTCCGACCCTACCAAGTGGATCTCTGGCAAGGAGCTTGCGGATTTGTACTTGGGTTACATCAAGAAGTACCCTATCATCTCTATTGAGGACCCCTTTGATCAGGATGACTGGGAGGCGTGGACTCACTTCACCAGCCAGAGCAGCATCCAGATCGTCGGTGATGACCTTACCGTGACCAACCCTCTTCGCATCAAGACCGCCATCGAGAAGAAGGCTTGTAACGGCCTCTTGTTGAAGGTCTTGCTGACACGTCCGCTGTTACTTGTATCCGGGTGCTCATCAATGTTTAATAGGTCAACCAGATTGGAACGATCTCTGAATCGATTCAAGCGTAAGTCCATCCGAGAAGTTTCCGTTTTCGCATAAGCTGACACTTGGATGAATATGTAGTGCTCAGCTCTCGCAGTCTGATGGTTGGGGTGTTATGATCTCTCACCGTAGCGGCGAGACCGAGAACACTGTTATCGCCGATGTCGCCGTTGGTCTCGGTGTCGGTCAGATCAAGACTGGTGCTCCTGCCCGATCTGAGCGTGTGGCCAAGTACAACGAGCTTCTCCGCATTGAGTGCGTCCGTTTGCATTATCGCTACGTACACTGTTAGTTGACGTTCTTGACAGGGAGGAACTTGCTGGAAAATCCACCTATGCGGGCGACAAGGGTCTTTCCAAGGGTCTCGAGGCCCCCGCTTTGTTGAAGAAGTAAAAAGGTCACGCACACGATAGCGTGGGGACGGACGTTGCTGTAATCTGATAAGAAGGAATGAAATAGACTGTATTTTTGTTGTTCTGATAGTATATGAAATGATGCTCCCATTGTAGGAATAAATAGTGTGGAACCGAAGGTGTATTGTGTAGAATCCTGGTGTGACTTGGTTTATGTGGCACATTCGCGTCTGAACCAATGATAGCGCGGATCCGGGCGATGCATGTGCGTACCGCTATGGTCGCACGCGCGCGAACATTGGAGGATATTCGGAATGCAGTTGTACATCTGGGGTAATACCTATAGAATGTACTACGCAGGTGCTACGCTTGAGTGGAGGAGAGCTAACCAAATAACGCGTAAACAAGGCGTCATGTCGCAGATCGCTACATTTGGGCTTTCCCGACGCGTCGCAGGAGCGCCCGGGATATTCCTTCACAGCCAGGGTGACTTATCTTCCCCAGGAACTAGTCGCCTTTTCCGTCCGAACACTGTCCTATCCTGTGAGACCACAGCACCAGTCCTAACGCCCGCGATAGGCATTTAAGTCCACATCAGTCTTCCTTCGCATTCGACTACTGCCACCACCGCACTAGTCACCTTGACTCCAGCATCCGCACTTGACTCAGCCTCTTCGTTATATAACCCCTTAGTCTACTATGCCTTTCTTCACTACCAGCATCACCAGCCGTGCCACTCATACCCCCTCCGTCATAGATACCATGAGCAAGGCTACCAAGCCTGAGCATAATACCAACTCGGAGACCACGTCTCCTTCCACACCGGAACCCCGCGTTCTCAATGCAGTCCGAGAATTCGAGCACGGTCGACAGCGCGCTAAGAAGTCGGCCCACACAGCGAGCTGGCGTGAGGAGAAAGCGAGGAAACGTCAGGTTAAGACTCAGAGGGCGCAGACTCTATTCGAGCCTCCGGCCGCACACCGCCAGAAGGGCGGACACGTCAAGGTTCAGGGCATTGACCGAGACGAGAGAGACCTTGATGGGTCCGACTCAGACGAGGCGTTTGATGTCGAGTTCATCGAGACGCCGAAATGGAGGGAGCAGAAGCTGGAAGTCGACCTTACCAATCTCATCCGACCCACGAAGGCACGTCGCTCGAAGGGTATGTTCATCACCTTTGAATGTTACGGCGCCCAGTTTAACCAAGAGCTGCTCGGTGTAGCGGGCGACTTCGAGGTGATCCCAAGCGTCCGATCAGTCCTTGTGCTTGACGATCGGGACTTTGCTATGGTGGAGGATGACGAACCATGGGAGTACCTCAGCGCTGGCGACGACGACTCGGAACGCAAGCCAGCAATACCGTCATATGCGGAGGTCGCAGCCAACTCCCGCTGAAGCCCCGCTATGACGGCCAATCACGATCGATCATCCGCCTCACGCATACTCATAATTCAGTTATCGTTATTTGTATAGATTGCATCACATGGAAGAAGTTGTACTTTTAACCTTGATACCAGAGACGTTTAGGAAGATATATAGGATAACACTAGAAGTCAAAGCTAATCGTTTAATAGTGTACTAACAGATAGCACGTTTATCAGAACACTCACCACAAAGTACAGTTCTATGTAGTTCGTGTTCTTGCCTTATGCCCATATGCCAATGACGTATGCCCATGCTATGATAACAGTGTTAGTCGCTAAGTACTCACTCAAATTCGCGTAAGTTTCGGCCCTGCTTTAGTAGTCGAAGCGCCAGAGATAATGAAGTATATCTATGTTCTGACCAAAAGAGCATAATGTACAGAGACCACGACATCGTGGAGTAAATCAAGCGGAGGTATAGCTTGCTCATGAGAATCCCGTCCGGATGGAGGGGTGGAATATGGGGAACGGATGTGCCTAGATGAATCAATTTCAGCGATGCCAGTGATGATCATAGCCGGTAGCCTGACCTCTGTGTTGAAGACATACTCTGGAAGAGGGTGTCAATGTCAAAAAAGTTACGCAAAGTATGGGCGATGGGGCGGAAGAACGCACGTGATAGCGGTAGCACATTCGCATCCTCGAATAGTAGATATAGATACTTCAAGGTTTCACTCTGAAAGTAGACGGTTAGCGAATGAGGCTGCAGAAGTGGTCAGGATCAACTCACCATGAAGAAAGTTTCCATCTTGTCTTCGTGTCTTACAGGGACCTCATCAACGTTGACAACGCTGGCATATCCGCCAGATTCTATGCGGCAGTACTTTTGGATACTTTCGAATATTGCCCAACCATAATCGCGGTATAGCCTATTCCCCGTTAGTCGGAAAGCGATGAATAGCGACTCGACTGTTTCCGGTCTACCAAGGGAGTGAATATGAATTAGATAAATTACCTCTTCTGAGAGGACGAGCGCACCGAAGGATATAACGAGCGTCGTACGGTGGAAATTCACCAGGTCTAGTTCATGGCGAATTAGTCGGTAGCTGGGTACTTAAGTCTGTATTTAGGCACATACCGTGCACCTTTGATATACCAATCTTGCGCCGCTCCAGAACCGTCTATACCATCGTTAGGAATTCTGAAGTGAACGATCTCAGGAGAAAGGCCACTGTAAATTCGTAACCCACACCCAGTAAGCCAGAACTCCGAAGGCTATTGGATTAGAATGCACCTACGTGGCAGTATCATGTGTCCTCATACATGTCTCAATGAGTTCGACGCCAGCCAACCAATCTCGTTTCCCCTGCTCCGTCAGCTCATCGGCTCTTGGTGGTACAGATACCTTTCCGGTGGCGGAGCCTGTTGTGATTGCGCCTAGCATTAGGGAACCCCCGAAGAAACAAACCAGGTGGTCTTGCTTCGGCGTAAGTCGCCATGAACTGGAAGCCAACGGCGTATTCGGTTAGTTGAATGTTTAGGAGCGATGGAAGAGTCTCATACGTACATTTCGCCACCCATGCTGCGTTCCGGTATCAGTTCTGAAGTATAAGTGAGACCAGCCTTCTGGCTCTTTTGAACAAGATGTGTCAGTACGCCGTTCATGGCGTCATCATACATCTGAAAACCGTGTCAGCAGAATTTCAGACAAGGGACAAGCATGACTTACAACGCGGTACACTGGTTCGCTGAGATTCTTTTTTGTTTCAGGAAACCCAACCCACGTCAGCGAAGACGGTCATGAAGAGAGCTGTTTGACGCACAGTCTGAATATATTGCTTGCTAGGACGACATTAGTGTCAAGAAGGTATTCCAATCAAATATGGACGTACAGAAGATATTCATAGTATGAATCACCACGCGATCCTAAACGAATAGCAGATAGGACGAATCGTCCATCTTCTGGGCTTTACGGTCACTCGTTACTATTCTGCAGTAAGCCCACTTGCAAGAAACTTACTTCATGAATATGGACGCCAAGCCAGTAGTAAGATGCGACCCTTTGATTACTTCCATAACCTGGATTTCCAGTCCAGTCATGGATCTATGCAGTCGCAGAACAAACATACCTTCTCAGCTTTCTCCCAGTAGATTTCTTCATCAGTCAACAAACTCAGATACTTGAACTCCAGCTGTAATGTCGCAGCCTCCGCCGTACTAACAAATCCACGATTATCCACATCCGAGATACCTTTCCGTTGAGCAAGGTTGACCATAGATAATGGGAGTCCGGACGGAGTATCAAATACTGGAAGGATACGGTCCGCTAGGTCTTTGGCTTTCTCGAGATAGAGAGGATCATTGCCGGAAAGGTGATAGGCTGAAAGGAGGCCTCCGAGAACTCGGATGGTGGTCTACAGCACGAAAGGACATACAAATAACTTCAGCAGGGTACATGCAAAAAAAGAAGCCAACACACATACCTCAAACGTATTGAACTTCCCTTCCCGGTCAAAAGACAACTCCGTAGCGATCCATTCCCTCGCCCTCTGAGCCTCTTCATCCAAATGCATCATGAACATCGTGTCAATAGAGTCAACCACAGTGTATCCTATTCCTCCTGATTCACTAAGGTTGGATCCTTTGTGGCTGATTGGGTGGTATTCATCGTCGCCCATAGCGTCCCTCTCTGATCATGTCAGTCTATATTGTATGTGTTCGGAAGAATCTAACGAAGATGCGCTTACCATACGCCAACCAAGCATGCTATATCTGTGTTATTAGATTGAGCCGAAAAATGAGAGAAAGAGACGTACTTTGAAAGCTTCAACGGTAGCCTCTCTTTTCGGTACATCCGCTGAAAAGTCGACAGCACTGACACCCCTCGACGGTGGTACTGGTTCCCAGACTGGCTGTGGAGTAAAATAAGGGCTAATGAGTCTCCATGCAACCTTTGGACTCTATGTGTGCACATGGACGACGGTGAGCAGTCGATCAAGTTAAATGAGGGACGCATACTTACATACAACGCTAAAAATCCTATAGTAAACATAGCTATGAACAACAAAATCGAAGACTTTATTGAACTAATCTCCTGATTGCGTAGACAATAACAACATTAGAATTACATCTAAGCACGCTTAATGTTTATACACCAATTATTGAAGCACATACCGGATACTTGGTAGCAGGCGTGCCAGACGTCTTCTTTGCCTTTGCATCTTTCTTCCTCTGACGGAGGCCGTCTCCCGACATGACTGCAGAGCTACAAGCCTAGCAGTTGTACAGGTAACAAGTTGATACGTGTCCAAGAAACAGGGTAGCGGACAGATTGAGGATACAGCAGTGTAACTCGTGTCAGCTCGATCGCGTCGATCGCAAGTTGCCGGCGCGTACATATACACCTCCAGGCTCGGCATAGACATTCAGCACTCGATATTCACTGTCAAGCACGACGACTACGTGTACATTGAAAGCATATGATGGGAATACTGCTACATGGTAGGTATGTACAAAATGACCATAATGATACGCATACAGTTTTTCCATATCCATACAATCCGTACAGTCTGGCGATACAATCCATCCATAATTCCATAATTGCTCGATCTGAAGCTGAGCGAGTATTTAAGACAATTAAGCCCACTTCTTGATATCTTCCTCAGAAGGACCGGTGGGGTCGTCGGAAGCAGCAAGGTTACATTGGTGGAAAGCGCGCACTTGGTCCTCCTTGAAGACACCTACGACAGTGTGGAGGACACCTCGGTTGTGGAATACAACCAGGTCCTTTTCGTCCCTACGTGCGTGAAAGAGTTTAAGTCACAAATTATGGAACAAAATATACTGGAAGTACCAGTCATGGGGGTATACCAGCTACGTGCATTCAAGCGTCAACTAAGGAAGAACGGGGGAAATAGTCATGACTTACGTTCGGTGCAATTGCTGGCCGTTGCATCTTGTAAAGAAGATCCCGAACTGTTTGCAAGTCCTTGATATCGGCACCATCAGGGTATAGCTCATTACCAGTTCGCTTCACGTCCGCCGGTAAAGGATCAACAATGAGCTCTGATACACCACAAGGGTGTACTTGGAAATGAAGCGCTCCAGTGACAGGGTTCTTCCAAAGCTGGCGTGAGGAAGATCAGACATGGTCCTCAGTAGAGCTTAAAACATCGACTCACTAGTGGGAGTGTCTTGACTTTCGACTCTTCCCAAGGCGGCAGCTCCTCGTAAGACATCTCCAGTCCCTCTGTCTCGATTCCGAGACCGGTAGACTTGGCATGTGCTGGAGCCATCCAGACATATGGATGGGGAGCATACCTGACCTTCGAACGAACGGCAAGACTCTTGAACTCAGGCGGCAGGATGTCAAACATCGTCCGACCGGACACGAAAGCCGTGGTCCCCAATGGAACCTCAAGTTCATCTCCGGTACCGTCATCGTATCGACAGATCTGTCTGTCGCCCTTCGGTACATTTAAGCCGTAGAGGGTGGTCACCTTCGGCGGAGAGAGGTCATACAAAGCCGCATCGATATGCCACCGATAAAAGCGCGTTACACCCTTCGCTTCGTCCTCATCGGAGACTCGGGTTTTGTGAAACGTCTTATGATGAGGATGTTTGAGTTTAGCCTCGGCGAGACCTTCGTGGTTGTATACCGTGCCGTTACCAATGAGTTGAACCTGGGGCACTCGAGGAATGGTCTTGAGATCGGGATGAAGAATGGATTTCTTCGTCTCTCCTGTCTTGTTGTTCCCGTGTCCATAGTTCTCCGATGTAGGATCAAAAGCCTGAAAATTAATGAATTTATCAGATGAAACAAATCGGGTGCTATTGGATAGAAGGCGTCGCACCTTAGTGAGAGCATACTGCTGTTCGGGCGTAAGGTCTGCGTTCCTGAAGAGTAGCACGTCATGCTAAACGGCGATGGGATATATTTACCAAGCAGTTTACCAAGCGGTTAGGAAGGGGTATGGACCGATGAACCGACCTTATAAAGCAGCTCCTGTATCTCATTGAATTGCTCCGCGGTAAGCGAGCCAGGGCTAAGACCTTTAACTTCTCTACCGAAGTCTGCGAATTTAGAAGCATCTGCAGAAGCTGGGAGAGGAAGCGGGGTGAGTTCAATAGCCATGATGTTCGTAGTGTGAGAGTTGTCTGGGGATGAAGTGGAGTCAAGGCGCGCTGAAGAGGAAAGTCAGCATGAGGCTCGGAGGGCCGGGATGAGATAAGTGGGAGGGCTATCGGGCGTTGTTATCTGTTCTCATGCGAGCTGGACCGTAACGGGTCAGACGATAGGTGTTTCTGGAGGCAAGCAAGAGATAGGCTGATATGTTCGATTCGAAAAGACGGTTGGAAATGCGTCGGCATAGATTGGATTCATTCATTGAAGTTGGAATAGGTCACGGGTGCAGGATTCATGATATCATAAGCGCCGTCTGGTATCTTTGACTAGAACCAAGTATTGAATATAATTTAACTCTCTTCTCAATTGTCTATATGTTTGGATGCATTACAGCAACTTTGCTTCTGCAATACATTTTATAAATATAACATCCAATCACGCCGGACATTCTCATGTACAATCTGAGCAATCTCACGATCAACTTGAGGATTGCCAGACACCTAGGTCATGTCTGGTTTTATTTTATTTTAATGAGAGTGACCTATCTCAAGTCGTAAAGGAAACTGTACCATGCAACCTAAACCCAGCAACAGAGGCAGCTACATTTGCTGTATCCGAGAGGTCGTACTGAATGGGGCACTTGTTGATAGAATCCAAACACGAAGTCATACACTTCTCCATGCACGGTATGCGGGACTCGTCACAGTTAATGTCCAATTATCTGTTGCCCGGATGTATTGTTCAGAGAATGTGCCGCCGGCCCCCGGATTGTCAGAACCCTGTTTGATGACATGAAATATAACGTCTGTTGTAAAATTGAAAAGTTGATTCAGTGGTAGGGTTACTAGCGGGAAATCTATCCGTCTGTGTATTGGTATCATCCGCTTTGTGGTATGAAAAGAGACGTACAAACGCACCAAGATACTGTTAAGCCATTGCTGGAAAGCCACAGAAGCAGGCTCCTCAATGGACTTCCTGCTATACCTGAACCAACAAAGTGTCAATGCACACTGTGAACGCGTCCTGGAAGACATACTTTAATGGGATACAATGATTAAAAGCGGGGAAGCGCCGAAGATCTGGGGTGTCGACGGCAATGATTGAAGTGGAGAGGGTGCATAGCAGAAGCTCGCACCAGTCGCAACGCAAATGGCCATGTCCCCAAAACGGTGAGTTCTCCTTTCTCTCACTCCCGTGAGCTGGCCTTACTCCATGTACAGAGCCATGAGCGGCATATACTCTCGGTACAAGCGCATGTCTGCTGGCTACGATCTACCTCTTCCCAGCCCGGCAGATCCGCGTGCTCACCAGTTGCTTGGCTCGGCCTGGTTTTCCCGCCGATACGCTAAACGATACGCCGCTGTGTTTGCTTTACTCTTGCTCTGCACCTTTCTCAGATTCTGGGTACCACGCGAAGTTGAAAGAGAACCTCTACGAGGCTTGGTCCTCGATGATGCTCTGCCACCGTTATATGAAGAATATCATGAAGAGGAGCTACAGCTACCGCAGCACGATCCTGAATTACCATTCCCCGAAGGTCGCGAAGGCAGGTATGTAAACATTGCGAATCACATCTACGGTTCGTACTCTGTCGCACTTGCTATGAGCTTTTTCCTTAATTTCTATCTCCGCAGGACTTGGATGGGGAAATGCCTTGCAGGAAGTCCTGTTGGATTCATACCTTGCATACAGGGCAGGGAGAGCGTGAGTCTTCACACACACCATCTTGTGATCTCAACCAACTCTTCCCAGATATGTATTTGATAACTATACCTGGAGTCGAGACATGGACCCACCGCCATATTCCGAATACAACGGGAAGCTCATTCCGTCACGAGTACCTCTACGAGCAATGATTACCGGTGCGTCTAATTCTTTCCTGCTATCACCGTACTCTTTAACTCTGCTATCTTACAGGACCAACGGCCGGTGGTCCGTATCCAGATGGCGACCGTGCACCCCGATCCGTCGGCGTCGATTATTTCAGGGAAGTTTGCAAGCATCCACAGATCATCTCTTCGGAAGAGATCAATGCTGACCTTGGCCGTGAACCTACGGCGAAGATGGTGCTAAACAAATGGGTTGAAACGTTGAATGCAATAGAGAACCGATGCGTGGAGGTTGATCGCTTCTCGGAACAGGTATTCGGATACTGGTAAGCTTCCACCTTACTCATGTTTCTGAAGCAAGTCGTTCAATGACTGAATCTTATTCCTATAGGACATTTGGTAGCGCACAACGGCTACTGGACATCTGGCCAGAATACTCCAAATCCCCCATTATTCAAAACTTCCGATGGTCCCCTCTCGTGCAAGATGCCTTCGATGTCAATTACCGTCTCTTCACTTCGCCATCCACTTTAGGATCATTCTTCTCGCCTTTCCGGGCGTCTAAAGTGAAGACCGATCCATACACACCCATCCAAGGATTGCTAGTTCTACACGTTCGGCGAGGTGACTACGAAGATCACTGTAACCACCTAGCCAACTGGTCGGCTCGATACAGCGGATTCAATGATTTCCCCGAGTTCGTGGACAAGTTCACTCCTCCACCAGGTGGTGGAGCCGGAAACACGACAGCTGAAAATAGGGCGATATACATACGGCATTGTTTCCCATCAATAGAGCAAATCGTTAAACGGATAGAAGAGATTCGGAAGTCGAAGGCGGGCAAAGGTCTGAAGAACGTTTATGTGATGACGAATGGCGCAAGACCTTGGGTGGCTGATCTGAAGGAAGCGTTGAAGAAGACGGGTCATTGGAGTAAAGTCGCGACGAGCCGAGATCTCCAGTTGACTCCAGAACAGAAGTATATATCTCAAGCGATTGACATGCTTATTGGTCATAGGGCCCAAGTCATTATTGGCAATGGCGTAAGTCCTGCCGTCATTTTCATTTTGCAGTAGAATGAGAACTGACTATTTGTCGTTTTGTTCAATTGGCTAGTTCTCGAGTATGACGTCGAACATCGTCATGCTCCGGATGGCGAGGCAGGATCTCAACCCGGATAGTAACCGGTTTTGGTGACGAGGGAGAGAACGTCATTGAATTCGACACATGCATACCCCTATGCCATCTACCACATACCCCTCCTTTTTGTATTACGCGTTGCATCCTCATATGGTGGCTGGGACACAACCATCGACTGAGGTCGATGTAGCCTTTTTGAAAGTAAAAGTATGGAAGATTTGAACGCGTTACTGAACACTCTTCTTGATATTGATAAATAGATGTTCTCTGCTTTTTAGTTGCTTTCGATACTTAGTTATTAATAAACAGTTAGTAGTTTCATTCACCGCATAGCACAGTCCTTTTTCTTTCTTTCGTAATACAGGCATTATTTGCGCTTTCGACTCGCAAGTCCTTGGTTTGATTATCTTACAGGGCGTGAACAAAAGGCAAAACAAGATAAGATGAGAGAAAAATGCTTGTGAATTAGAATGAAAATGCTAACGATAGAAAGCAAATACATCATGATTGCGTGTGCGAGTGCAAGAAATGCGAGAGAGGGTAAAGAAATTCGTGAAGATGTCATAAACTCCAATGCAACCCAGATGACTGACGACAAGGGTCCAACAAAACATCCCTTCTCACCTCTTTCCTTCATCCAATCAGTATGGAACCACGTATAACCACCGACCGACCAACCCAGCCCGTTCAATCCGTGTTCCGCCGGCGATATCGTGTCTTATAACCGGCCTTGTTGCGACAAGGCAGTCCAGTGATAACTTAAATCGCCGACTGGCACTGTAACACGGACAAAGCGAGGCTCCATCCCCGAGGAACGAACGTGCAGATGCGTGTCTCCGTGAAAGCAAGGCAAATAGTTCGGTTGTTGTAACTCTTGAAGGTGGTGTATCGGAGGATGAGGATGAGACTGTATTGGTTGTTGTATCGGAGGCTGATGTGAATGTGAATGTGAATGTGCATGCGAATGTATTGGCGGAGGCGCTTCTTGAATTTCAGGTACTGATGGTGGAGGTACATGATGTACGAACTTCGTAGTCATCATCACTTCAGGTTCGGGTGTAGGTCTCGATGGGCCAACTGAAGCCCGAGGGGAAGGTGAACTCGAGGATGAGGGCATGGGCATGGGATTAGTTGTTAACGGGGACGGGAGAAGGACACCCATGCTTGAGCTAGAGGCGGAAGGTGGGTCATGCGTGTGGTTTACACGTTCAAGAGGACCTGGTTTACTATCCCAACTGATGATGTTCTGGGTATCTGAAGCTGGTCTGTGACTTCGTTGGTGTTGAAGAAGATTGTCACGTCGAGTGAACCGCTTTCCGCAGGTAGGATCTTCACACTTGAACGCTACAAAACGGTTGGCAAAATCACATTTTTCGATTAATCAAACCTTATAAAGTCTTGGGGAGGGTTGGAGAGAAGGGTCCTTACGTTTCTCATCCATGTGTATGGATCGTACGTGTCGACGGAGATGCTCTGCGCGAGAGAATACCTTGCCGCAGCCATCCATTGAACATGTGAATGACCTGCGTTTGCCCGGTTCCAATACTGCTTGCTTGGTAGGTACGTGCCTTCCCCTTGCCTTCTTAGTCAAAGGTTCATTAGCAGGAACCCCCAAACCATTGGAAGTCTCGAACCCAGCCGGATGTGCATGGGTGTATTGCGCGTCCCGGACTTCTATCGGGGTAGGGCGAGAGGAATGGGACACCGATTCGTCCGGAGTACTGCGGGAGGAGCTAGACTCTCCTGGAGTTGTCGGAGGTGATGCCATCTTCACAATGCTGGCAATAGCGCTGGGGTTATGTTGACGGAAGGAAGGTTGATAACATGACACTTGTGGCGCTACGGCTTGTGCTGGAAGCCGTATCTCAGTTCGGAATCAGCTTAATGAAGAAGAAGAAAGGAAGCTCACCGGAATGGAACGTATAGAAAAAATGAGTGAGAACTACTGGCGATGGACCTAGGATGGTTGTGGACTTCGAAGCAAAGATGTAACTACAGCAAGCGGTGTGAACGGAAAGAATTCGGAAGACTTGTAAGGGCACCTCACCGTGTAGGGATCCTCGTGTGGTCGTCGTGTTTGCGGAAGGAAAGGTAACGACGAGGAAGATCAGGACAATTGAGAGCCTGGTCAAGTCAGTGCTTAAACTGCAAGTCTCCGTTGCGAGTTTCTGTCGCTGCAGTCTCTCTCCTAGTATAAGCGCCGAGGAAGGCCTGACGTTCGAGCGCTAATAAGTCTAAAGGATAGAGACTCTGATTGGCCCGGTTCCCATCAATAGTGCTAGCCGATCATCAATGCAAACTCCAGACAAAGAAAGTATGAAGAAAGCAAGTAAAGACCAGTTCCTAGTTGCTCATCCTCTAACCGCGCTATGTCCGTGACGTCGCACACTTTCAAGCCGAGAGGTACACATACTAAGGACTCTTGACGGATAAGAAGTCTGGGCCTTTCCCACTACTAGCTGCTTGGATCGTTCGGATGTACCTCTTTGGTGTGGTTGAAACGCTTGTGTGGCATTTGCCCCCGATTAATACTAATCACTATTCAATCCTGTCTAGACGCCGGCTCTACATGGGTCCTAGAGCATCATGACCGGAACCCCGCCCTCTGCGAAGCGGGCCTACGGGCCACGGTCAAAGCATCTTTGTACACTCGTTTGTACTTTGCTCACATGGGGCGGCGGCTGTTTCTCGAACGCCGCTCTGAATTTCTGGAACCATCCGCTATAGTCCGCTATACGCACTCTATGCCCTTGCAATGCAGTTAATCATGGAATGAAGCCATATGCTCCGGATTCTGTGAGCTTCTTTCATGCTAATTTGCCGGCATATGAAAACCTTCCAATCATCAGCCCCGCAACGTTGGTTCCGCGAATTTGGCAACTACTAAAGGCAAAGTTGGGCAATAGTCCTGTGTTGAACTTTCAAGCATACTATCTTTGTCTTTACCCTGAAACCCACTAATAGTTTTGGCCAGCATTCTCCTTAAAGGTCGGCCATTCAAGCGGCGAGAGTGCAAATTCATCGATCCGCATGATGCTATCTCATCGTTCCGTCTGTATTTCTTCCGGTTTACATTGCCCCGGAAATCCCAAGCCATCGATTCGCCTCTGGCTTTGAGTACCTGCTCAGTCGTCAAACAAGCGAGCCAGACAACAAAATTTGACATACAGAGAACTCGTCCTGTGCAATGCATGATACCATCCGCATCCTTATCGTAAGCATAACCCTTCCTTGCTCAACTGATTCTCGCAGTTACGATGTGCCAATGATTGCACAGCCGTCCGGAATCACCATTATCGAGTACACCGTGAAAGACGTCAGGTTGGTCGTCATCAGGATGTCCATTCCCCTAGTTGGTCATCCGAATTGGTCTGACAAACCCTTAATCTTGTCCGTAGGCCGGTTCTAAAAGGTACACCAAGCCCTACACCTCCTACTCTCCATTTTATCGTCGATCTAATGGTTTATGCTGCAGTAGATTTTTCTTGCCGGCAGAGAATGGAATGTCCCACTTCTATCAGAGCTGGTCGGCGAGCATCTCCAACCGGAGCTCCCTATGTAGTATGTATAGCCCTACGAGAGTTCTTGCCTGCAGACTGCACCTGCGACAGGGAGTCCCAATCGGATAATATTTCCCGCCTTATCAGAAGAAATCGAGGAGGACGCCTTCTACCGACTACACCACCATTTTCCGAGGGTCGCTTACGACTTCTCCGTCAGTTTGCATGCATCGAGGGACAACCTGGACGAGTTTCTCAAGTCCAGGCCATAAAGTCCATTGCTGATATCGGTCCGATTTGAGGGTTTGAATCTACATCGGTCGTTTGACAATAACTTGTAACAACTCGTGACATGAGAGTGCAGCGCTTCTGCGCCAGAACCTCTCATACAGTCGCAATGGGCACCACTTTATGAAGGTACCCGGGCGGGATTTGAGTGCTGGAAGAACCAGAGTATTTACTGAAGAAGACAGTGACAAATGAAAGAACAGATGGAGGCTTGGACATTTTGAGACATTGAACCAGAATGGAAGCTGTGACATGTTCCGTGGAGAAAGGCGTTTCGTAGCCTGCAGGCCGGAAAGTCGATCGAGGTGGGCCCGGTCGTGACGCACAGGAAGACAAAGATGGCATAGCGTTGGACAAGCGCTCTTGGATTCTCCATATGAGATTACTGAGATGCCCAATCCGTACTAGCCCCAGCCGGCTTGGGACGGCAGCCCATGGGTCAGATGAACTTCGATCGACGAAATTGGTGCTGCTGTGGTGGTGGAGATTGCGCAGATCGAGGATTGGTAGCAGCGTGGCAGATGGAGCCGTGGTGAACGGTAATCTGTAAATCCAGTTCATCGAGGAAGCCACGATGCAGGACACGAGCTTACAGGCCGTCCAGACATGCCTACTGGTGGTGGATGATTGTGGATGGTGGAGTACGGTCAGCAGAAGGCGGTCAGCAGGCAGTCGACCCAGAAAGGCAACCTGAATGCGATAATCGGAGTGTTAATCTTGGCCTCCCCAAACCAACCACTGGTCAAGAGACCCTTCGCCTATTCGGTGCTGGACGCTAGCGTTGAAATTGAACTTCGAGAAAATGCATGACCTCAGCCCTACCCAGGCGAGACGGGTTGAAAGTTCCCCGAGATGTCTCAAACGGTGCTTCCAACCTGGGGTGCCTTCGATTGGAAGAGGGTGTGGTTCTGCATGCCAGTGCCAGCCTATTTGAACCCGCCGCTTCCGCACCTTCAAGCTCAAGCTCTCATCGTGTGGCCGTTCTCTGACTGACTTCTTGTTTCCAGTCAACGCACATTCCTTCCGCTTCCTACCATCCTCTTCAGGACGTGGTTTGTTTTACAACCCTCGTTTCGCCTCTCTAACCCGCCCAAGCGTACAGGACTGCGAACGTTTCAAAAATTTGCAGTCAGCCAATCCGAGCCTGCAGAGGTTGCTGTGCATGTGCTCCGCCGCGATCGCTCCCGTCCGTCAGCCGTTCTTTCACTTTCAGCCCAAAGAGCCCAGATCAGCCGCCGGACAATCGACCAGACCAGGTCTGAACAGGTCCGTCGGTTTCCTTTCCAGAGACGTTTCCACTCCTTTGGCTCAGCCAAAATACCTATAAACTTGATTTGATTCAAAATCACGGGCGGGCCAAACATAGTGACACCCTGCTCATTCTCCCCTTCCGCTATATCCGTCTTCCGTCACCTTCATCTTCTTCCGCTCACTCCTCTTCTTCTTATACTCATCTAGCACACTGCTTCCATCGTCTCCGATGCATTCAACGTTGTTCGTCTTGCCGCAACACGCCCCTTTTAACCAACGCAATTATCCTTATTCAAACGATATTTATCAGCCACCCATGACCTCTCCTCCCTCCTCGTATCTTCGTTCCTCAGCGAGCCGTTCCTCTGCGCAGCAGGGATATGCCCCGTATCATCCGCCTTATGGCTCCAGCCAGGAAGACGACTTGCTACTGGCTGGTACTCCCTCATCTACCGGCTCAATATCTTCTGTCGCGACCGACCGCTCACAGGAACAGCTGCAAGGCTACAATATGCGCCCGGAATACGATCCCTCACCAGCACCGAGCCAGTCGTATAACGGTATGGATCTGTATCCGAGGTCGCAGAAGTGGGCTACAGAGCTGCACGGTCTGAGTCATGATTACAGTCAGCCAGGTGCTTACGATTCACAATCGGCCGCCATGGGCCTCGCTGCCTCCATGCTTCCGCATTCGCAGACCTCACCGTCGGAGAGACAGGCTTTCCCTATCTCAACACCCATGGCCTCATTGCCGAATTTTGACGCTAGTGCAACAGAGTCGTTCCTTGGTGGATTCAATACATTACCAGGTCACAACTCCGTTCCAGGTTATCGTCCATTCTCTAATGCTGAACGAGTAGGGGCTCCATCGTCAACCTCGTTTGGCTTCCACCATCCCTTCTCGCCGCAACCGTCTGAGCGGCAGGAGTTCATCCATCAAATTGCTGTAGAGCACCCACCAACGTTCCAAATTCCTCCGTCCGCTAACTCAGACCAGCGACAGTCCCCGAAGTTGGAGTACCCATCCTCTTCGACTTCTCCGCCTCGAGGCTTTTTAGATATGGCTGGGGTGTCTCCGTCTCCGACTATATCTCCGAAACTCCTCATGACACCATTGCTGCCTTCTCCGGACTCAACAGATCCTCTCGCTACTATCGGCCCTACCTCTAATGACGTAGGAAGTCCCGGTTCTTCTGTTGACGGTGACTTTGAGTTTGACCATGAGAGCGCAAGCTTAGAGGCGTCGCCCAAATCGCGCGCTCGGCGAAATGGTCATGTGGCTGCTAATGGACCAGCGAGGAAGAGACAGAGGAAGGCTAGCTTCACGAGCTCTTCAGGGGACAGCGATAAGCGTCGCTCAGGCGGTAGCGAGAGTGGTGAATCGGAGTATGAGAAGGACGATGACGACGATGATGAGGAAGAGGAATACTTTGCCCGTCGTACACGAAGACGGTCATCTAGGAAGTCGGTTAATGGAGTTGACGACTTGTCTTCATTAACGAGTCCTCGCCGCATCCCTATTCCTGTGCCTGTTCCAAATCTTACCAAGAAGAGTCGTGGCCGAAGGGTTCCTACGGAACCCACTATTGTTGCTCGAGATGGCATGGTAAAAGTGTGTTCACTCATGTATATGCGCCTACGATCCATGTCTGACTGTTCAGTTCATGCAGAATTCGCGGACTTACATGTGTACCGTCCCTGAATGTGGCAAATGCTTTGCTCGAGGCGAGCATCTCAAAAGGCATGTCCGCAGCATCCACACGAACGAGAAGCGTAAGTCATTGAAAATCCATGCGACTGCAAACGTGCTAATATGATCGTTTCCTTCAGCTCATAAGTGCCCTTACCCTGGCTGCGGAAAGGACTTCAGCAGACATGATAATCTGGGCCAACACATGCGTGTCCACAAAGGATACAAACCCAAAGTCAATTAGATCGCGGTGGCCAATCTCCACCGTGCAGGGCAATCAACTCTTAAGATTATTTTATGTATTGTTTCCCGGGCTTTGGGCATTTCTCTTTCTCTCTCTCTCTCTCAGTGACTCTTCATAACTTCCAAGGTTTATTTACTCAACAAGTTCTATGTTTCAATAGCTTTCTCCCCCCTGGAATCGCAACTGTATCGATAACTTGGGATAGCATTTGGACTCTGTATTTGCAAGTGTATCATCATTGTCTAGCTAATGTATCTACGCAGAGTTCTGTACAATACCTATGTTGACTATCAAAGATTTCAAGTGTGGATCCAATTTATCTACTTGATCCGGCGAGGACAGATAGCGTCGGGGCAGTGTCCTTGGGTGGGCTAGGGTTCATTCCGGTGTGCCACTGGTATAACGGAGACGCATTCGAATGGAACCAGCCACCGCCATGCGATGCCCGCTTTTCGGAAACGACTAATTTGTTGAGTGCGTTCCGGAAGCACTCCCGCTCCCGAGGAATGTGCGGCTAAGACATACAAAGCCTGTAACTGGCGCAGTACAACTCATGACCATCGATTACCTTGTTTCAATGAATACCCCTGAATGGCGCCCGACGCCCTCAACTTATCCCGAAAGAAATCGCTGGCAGCATATCTTGCATTATCTTGCACCCTAAAATCCAAAGCTTGTTTTTGGCGACGCTATCTCGGAGCAAAGTGCCCTCAAATAGTACCTTGTGACGCAGCGATTCTCAGTGGCAACGCGTTAGACCACACGAATCCTAACGGCTGTCATCCGGTGATAGGTTTCGTAAGGTCCACCGATCGAAATCGAATCCAAGCATCGACGCCAAGTGCGTGCTAGGTTGACGAAGTCAGATTTTGTCGGGGTCGGCTTCTAGTGCGATAACCGGCTTGTCAGTCAACAAATGAGATAGCAATAGCCTCATCATGATACCAAATTTGTAAGTTCCGCAGCCAAGTCTCGCTATTTCAACTTGCCCGTCTTGGTGAGGAACTGCGGGAGTCATTTGAATATTTCACTACTGTGGCATATGATTACAAGGATGTCCATGTGGGAGTCTAGGCTGGGGATGATGTCAGTTAGAATGAACTAAGTGGTGGAGTTCTTAAAATCTTACCCCAACAAAAATGACTTGAAAATGACGAGACATTGCAGAAGAAATGGATGATACAGCAGCAACACTCAGCGGGAAAGGCGAGGAGATGTGGACAGTGGTACACAGCAAGACTCAATCCAACTATGCCTCATCGGTCATAATAGCGAAGAACTCTTGTTCGTTGATCTCCCCATCCTGATCAAGATCGAACTCATCAATCATGGCTTGTCTAATGCGTTAAAAGCGTTAGCCGAATTCCAGAAGGTGAATATATCTGATAAATCCGTACAGTTCATCGTCTTCTAGACGGTCGCCAATTTCCTTCGCCACGCGGCGCAGGTTCTTCAAGCTGATTTTGCCTGTGTTGTCATCATCGAATAGTTGGAAAGCCCGACGGATCTCTTCCTGAGGATCCCTCGCGAGTATTCGTTCGCTCACTGGGGGAACAAACCGGGATGTCTCATCAGAAGAGGCGAGTGAGGTGGACAACACAATACTCACTGATTTTGGCGAAGTCTTCGAAACCTATGAGGCCATGCCCTGACTTATCATGGTCCCGAAGGATCTTCAGCACCTCAGCTTTCTTCAGGTCGAAACCTAGTGCCCGCATTGCCACCTTGAGTTCGTGGTAGTCGATTGTGCCGTCTTTGTCCGTATCGAAAAGCTCGAAAGCCTCCTTGATTTCCTGTTTTTGCTCGTCCGACAGCTCTGGACGAGAATGGTGTCTCCTCTTGTTCTTCTGTGCAGCAGTCTGGCCGTACATGATGTGTTTGGTAAATGTCACGAAGAGTAGATGTTGAAGAAACGCGTGGCAGCTGGTAGAGACGACGCGACGCGCTGTCTCTCGCGTTATGGGCACGCATCAACGCGTCCACACGTGAGATGTTTGTAAGCGCCTTCTCAGAGAACTTCGAAAGACAGTCTGCGACTAGTTTGGCTCGATTTTTATACCACGTAACTAGGAGTACAGTTCAAAGATCGATATATCGCAAATATGTAATTACCTCCTCCCCAGCAATTCACTCAATTTCCCGACTGCGAGGCCGTGCATGAAGGAACTCCCCAGGTCATTGGCGGAGTGACCGCTATTAATCCCCGACTTCCCAAGCACAAGTGATAACCGCTTTGACTTCCCTTCCCCAATCACATTGGGGCGTGCGGTGACTAAGGGTGTCTGGATGCCGACTGCGGGAAGAGAGAAACGCTTATGCCTTCGTGCGGTGTCTTCTTTACGAGGGCTCGACGGGAGACTCGTGTTCCTTGAAGAGAAATTGGTATCAGCCGCCTCGTTGCTAACATCCTCCTCCCGTTCGTCTAAAACGAATGAAGCCCCATCAAATCCCCTGCTGAAACGAGATGTACTAGGGCTCCCGCTGATGGGCCATATACCACCCTCTTGTGCATTCTCATTGAAATCTTCCAGAATCTGAACATAGCTGCGGGGGCGTGAAGGAAGAGGCTTGATCCTAGAAGGAGGTGGTCTGTGCAAATCCTCGGAGGAATCCCCTTGGCTTCGTGTTGGCGACGGTTCGTGTAGACGGGAGAACGGTCGCCTGGGATTTTCTAACGGAATGGACATGAGTGCTGAGGGAGTGCTCTCGGATAGAAGCAAAGAGGGCATAGACCGCAAGCCGGACAGTGTGAGATGGGATATTGTTGCCGAGCTTTCCGCAGGTATCGGTGAGGGGTCTAGAACGGGAAAGACCGTGTCATAACACGCGTCACAAGCTCTCGCAGCTTTGTGCGAATGCTTGGAACTTGGATCGAATATGAAGAAGGTCTAGGTAAAATAGGAAATGTAGGTCAAGACTGAATATAACGTCATAACGCGTAGCAAGCTCACCTTTCCAGAACACCCAGCGCATACGCACCGGCCGCAGAGCCTGCAATGATGCCGTCTTCGTCGCCAACCAAACGTCCTCCCGCAACGCATGCAGCTATCAGTTTTCCCATCTGGAATCCAGATGGCAGGCACAAAATGTTCCACTCTCCCTCGTTTCGGCTGCATTTCTTCAAGTTCAGGTGAATATGGTAGAGCTTGTAACGTTCGGCGGAGATGTTGAGTAGATGAAGACGACGTGAGGGTGGAATCTGGATGCATCGTGTTCAAAGCCACCAGCAATGAGGCCTTGGCCTTCCGAATGCTGTTGATCCATTCATCTCTTTCATCCTCATTGGCTGCATAAAGGTTATTAGAATAGAGCCGATCAAAAGGTTACGAGAACACGCACAAGCATATAAAGCAAAAGATCTCTGAGGGCTCAATATCTCCAGTCTTCTTTCATCACCTGGTTCCCTCGAGGTTGCCACCACCACTTCTAGGTCTACGAGTTCCAGATGCCCCTTGTAGATCCACCGATCTTCCGTTCCGCTGCTAGCATGTCGTGTCTTTTTCTTGGAAGTACTACTCAACCTCAATTTGAGCCTTGATTCTTTACGCCTCATGTCCTTGAGCTGCGGAACGTCTGCGTCACTTTTGCTCCGTGTTCGGACCATAGATGGACGGATAGGCGAATGCGATCCTTCGGTAGTGAGAGGAATCTCCCATCTGGCTGAAAAACCCGCTTCATCCACCTTATCCGCGCTCGCGAACCAGACGATACAATCTGAGAACAATAAGAACTCGCGTTCCTTCGGTTTAGAGCCTTCTAGCTGAAGAAGGGGTGTCCGCTTGAGCAATTCGCGTCCTGGAGTGACCAACTGGAAGGGAAGATTTGAAGTACTACGCTGCAGAGCTAGTAGCGAGAGAGTCTGGGCGTGAGTATGTAGTGATGTATTCAACGACACAGTGACTAAGGAAAATGAAAGGCGTTAGCTCTCGGTGTACTTCGAAGGGAACGAATGTCATCGCACTCTTGGATACGAGGTTGTACACAGAGTTCAAAGCTGCATAATCAGAGGCGTCATGATCTGTGCAGCTCATTAGGTCCTTCAACAAGAGCAGATACCGTGGACATCTCTGTACGATCGTAAGTAACCAATCCCGTAACTTTAGCTTGCCACATCGAGGGTCAGCCTCCTGTCGCGCAATGAACTCAGCAAAAGCATGGTTGTTTGAGAACAAGGATGAGTACGATGAAAGAATGTCCGGGAATGAGGTGATGAAGGGAGTGTACAATGAAAGATATGGAAAGTGCGAAAGCAAGACTGGCGAAAGTGGCGGGGGACCATTAACCGAAGATGATGCTTGAAGATGATTCGTGAGCGACGAGAGGAAAGAACGGTGAAGATTCCAGATATCTATAAAATTAGAGAAGACGGAGGTGAGTTCTGCGCGGTCCAAAAGCGGCTCTGGGGTATCCAAGGAAGCAATTATTGGTGTCAGGAAATGCTGAAAGCGGGGTAAGTCGACCAGAAGGATATATTGTAGGAGCAAGAACCTCACGGAGTAAATCAGTTCCAAACCATCCACATAACTCTTTTCTGTTTCGAAAAACTCCTCAGTGACCTTCCGTCGTTTAGCTTCGGCCTGCTCGTCTAATATTTTGACTTCTCGTCGCCTGCTCTGTCGTCTTGCACCATCCAGAACCGAATGACAATGAGAGGGACCTCTTGCTGGGTCTCGCATAGCAGACGGCACTGCTGGCGGTGATAACGGTCTCTCCTCAGCCAAGGAATCGAAAGAGACCGTACTAACTACCGACTGGCGGTGCAAAAGACTGGGGGCGCTCGGTAAAGAAATCCGTCGAAATGGAGGATGCTGGGCAGGCTGAAAACGAGTGTCAAGGATCTGTGGTGGAAAGGCTGAGAGCCGGGTATCAGCTGTCGGGAAATCCACCATGGAAGGTGGATGTAGGGTATCTGGAGAAGACCTGAGGTTAGCTTTGAGGTGCTCCGCTGTGCAATGGAGGCTGACCTTGCGCCATGTGTGCCAGCCCCTCCTCCTATCGCAGGCGATAGTCCGGATTAATAGTGATGGTGGTGAGGCGAGACGGTTATGTTTCGTATTTGACCAGTGGAGAGGACATGACCGTCATGCAGCCCATAACGGGACGGCCGAGCACAACAGCCGGCAGATCAAACTTCGACAAGATCGAAGAGCCAGTCATCTCCATGACAAGAGCAGGATCAAAATACAGCGCTAGTAGAAACCAGCCGGTGCTTAGGACAAAGTTGCACTGGTAGATGTTGGTGAGAGAGAGAGAGCTAGTCTTAGAGTCAAGGAATGACTATATCCGGTTCCAAGCCATCATATAAAAATTGACGTCAAGTCGTATGCTCTCGGAGCAATGGAGCATGCAGGGTAGCTAACCTCCACATCGCGATAGAATCGACCCTATATCCATTACTCTAATGCAAATTATAAGTAATACATCTACACCACGAGCTCTCCTTCAACACTTTCTGGCTCGAGGCCCAAACGTTGCAGGACGTTCTCGTAGCGGTCACGATCTATCCGCTTGAGATACTTCAAAATTTTAGCCCGCTGATGCACCAGTCGTCGAAGATTGCGACGACTCGCAACGTCTTTCTTCATCCTTGACAAGTGATCCCACAATTTCCGGATAGTATATGTGACAAGAGCGGCTAGGGTTAATGGTAAAGTCAATATGAAGCAAAGGTCATTTCACACAGGCTACGCACCTTGAACTTCTGGTCGTCCAGTATCATTAGGCTTTCCTGGCTCCGAAAACGCAGCAACGATTCGTTGCCGGTTTGCAAAGGCGATACCTCCTGCATTGGCGTTCCGCAAGTCAAGCAACGTAGCCAATGTACTGGCTTTATGAAGTTCTTGAGCTTCGGCCTTCACTGCTTCTTCCTGCATCTTGTAAACAGGAGCCCGTTCGGTCTTGAATTCCGCACTAAGTGTCGGCAACGTCTCGAAAAGCATTTCCTTCTCCGTCGCTCCTACGCCAAAGTTGAGAATTTCGGGTAGCAGAAGCTGACCTGAAGGATCTACTGTCGGTTTTGGGGCGGACGAGATTTGTTCCTCGCTTATGAGGACCTTCGCCAGGTCACAGTTCGACCACTTTGCATCATCTCCCGGCCTACTGCCTAGCACAACGTGTGGACGATTGAGCTCTTCGAGTCTTTGCTTCTCGATACGTCGTTCGGCGATCTTTTTCTCCGCAACGACCTGCTTACGCCTCCGTGCCGAAGTTGCCTGAAGAGCGGCGGACGTATGAAGACAAGCAGTAAGCGGAGCCGCAGATGTTGACGCGACAATGCGTGAACCTGTAAGTTATGACCAGTTAAGTATGTCACAGAGATAACCTGTAATGCACCAAGGAATACTCACATTGTGAGAAACGCGATCTCAACATCTCCCTCTGGTTGTGGTTCCTGCTGGTCTACTGGTGAGCAGAATATCATTTCGGTCACTGCCGGGGCGACGTGATCGTGAGACCTGCCCTAACGCCGAACGAGTATAAAATCCTCTTGCCAGCACTTCTCTCTTGTTTCTTCAGAGAGATATGCCACGCTGCGCGATGTCAGTTTTCTCAACCGTCGATGACAGTGCCAGTGACTCGTTTGTCCTGTTCTCTCGAGATTATGGCTTTGCCAAAAGCAGGATAGGAAGTGTCGTAATCGAGTTCTCCATATTGCGGCATGTCGACAACTCCCTGTGACATCCTCCCATGTACATATTTTACATACTTTACGAATGCTTCTTATCCTTCCGAACACTCGAACGGAGAACGGATTTTGCGTAACCAAGTTGTGACAGTAGAGAAGCTAGCATCAACGGTGTCGGAATCCGATTTCACTTCACGGAGGAATCATACTTGTGTATCGTCCCATCCTTCAAAACCTCTAAGCAGATGTTTCCTTTTCCAAAGCACATGTAGAGCGAGACTAATTGCCGCAGATACACTAGCAGTACATGGACGGTCATGTCATCTAACAGAAAACCGGAGGAAAACTGTGCAGGTTGAAGAATGAATGGACTCAGGCTACGTAGATTTTCTTGGCTTTCTGCGCGAATCGCTACCGCCACCCTTGCCCTTCTGCAGAGCCTTTAGCAGCGCAGCCTTTTGACGGTTCTTGCCTTTGACATTGGCGCTCGAGTAGAAGTTCGTCACTTTGCGCTAAAATATAAGGAAAGACAAAGTTAATGAGTGCAGTCGCAATCGCAGACGTCAGAACAACGGACCTTGTTGGTCTTCATTCGAGTCTCTTTTCCCCGGGGGACAGCATTTGAATCTGAGTCTATCACTGAAGCTTCGCCTATGTCTATTGAGGTCAGAATTATAGCAATTAAAAAAAGATCAGGATAAACGAACCTTGGTTTGTTTCGGCGTCATCGTCAAGCTTGCTTAATGATGGCGCATCGCCCTTGAAGACATCGTTCCAAGCAAGTTCTTCTTGTTCCTCAACCACTTCCTCTGCATCCCCGCTCTCAGACTCCTCCTCATCTTCTTGGTCGCTTCCAACACCCTCCTCATCCTTCTCGTCAAGAGGTCGGATATCATCACCCACAAAAGTATTCTTCTGCATGATGGAACCGAAGTTTTGCTTGACACCGAGGGTCCTCTTCTCATCTCCCTCGATGGCCTTCGCCTTACCCTTATCCTTTGCACTTTCGATCCTTGCCTTCTTCGCCTCGGCCTCATTGAGATTCTCCGGTCGTTCAGGAGGAGGGGCAAAGAACGGTATCCGTCCTCTGACCCAATCACTGAGGACGATTTTGGCAACGGCCTCCAGATCGGGCTCACCACCCTTGAGTAGACGTCCTTTCATCCTGGCTAGTTTGTCCAAGAAGGTCTCGGGATCCCAACCCTTCGTAACATCATCAGGGTCAGGGAGAGGGACCCCGTATGTACGCGAGAGGTAGATAGCCTTTACACGCTCCATGAGCACAGGGATGTGCTCTGACGGTGTTGCAAGTGCCTCAACACGAACGACTCCCTTGAGCACGGTGTTCGTATGTGAGTCCTTGGCGGATGTAGGGACAATACCAGGACAATCAATGAGGTATATCCGTTTCGTGAGGGTGATATATTGCCAGACCTATTCATGGTCGGGATGAGCATTGACTTTATAAATGATTGGTTGCAGAACAGACCTTGGTCTCTCCAGGAACTGGAGCCACTGTGCAGACTTTGCTGCTTTTGAGGGTATTGATGACACTGCTTTTACCAACGTTCGGATATCCAACGAGACCAACGGAGATCTGCTTTTTATCGGAATGCAGTTGGGAGAACTGTCGGAGGAGTTGGATCAATGAGCCTTTGCCGAATGAATGATTCGGGGAGGCGTGGAATGCTATGGTGGGGTATCGTGGGGTGAGGTGTTGGATATATCGGGCCTATGCAACAACTCTTTAGATTTTGAATAAGGAAAACGAAGACCGATACACTTACAGTAACCCAGTTCGGAACCAAATCACACTTGTTAACGACCAGTACAACCTGTTTATGCGCCTTCTCCTTCCTTATATATTCCAAGACTGACTCGCAAAGTGTTCCTAATGGATCCCTCGCGTCGAGGACATGAAGAATAACATCCGATGAATCAATGACTTTGTAAAGCTCGCCATAAATTCGTCGTGAAGTTCCCTTAGCGTAGATCGGTTCTATGATATCCGCATGGCTCCGGAAGTCGCCCAATGAAGCTGATGTGCCGGGCTCTGAGAGGAAGCTGAGTAAAGGGATAAGGGCAATGCTGAAAAATACTTACCTCCGTCTCTCTCAACAACCTCATCCGCCGCAGCCTCCGCCTGATGGGCTGCCGCAGCACCCAGTTCACTCAGTTCCTCAAAGGTCCCGACATTCAATCGAGGCTTCTTTCGCTGCGCTTTCGGACCAAAGGTGTCTTGAAACGGTTCGGTCTCGACAATATGAGAACGCTATCCCGAACATCAGCCATGAGTAAGGACTAGACAGAAGGTCAAATCCTCCCACTTTTCGCAAATTCGGATTAGCCGCATCATCCAAGAGTGCCATAGGCAGCTTGTTGCGTCTGAGCAAGACAGAGTACGGGTCATGCTGCTTGCCGGCGAGGCTGGTGCGGAAGTGATCCAGTGCCTTTTGTGTGATGACTCTGGTATTTCCTGCACATGCACCGTGAGGTTACGCTACGTCTGATGAAATCCAGGTAAACGTACCGAACCACCTGCGATCAGGTTGTACGCGACCAGGCAGTGTCTCATCTTCTCCCTTCTGAAAAGCAGCGGCTTGTATAATCTTTCCATCTTTATCTCTCACAGCTTTTCCGCCGTTAAGCATCTTCAGTCGTCCAATTTGCTTTGCATTGCGGTAGAAGTTCTCGCCCTTCACTTTCTTGAGAGATACATCTGAAGAGGACGACCGAGTTTTGGTGTTCGACGAAGTTTTCTTGGTAGCCGTCATAGTTGTTTCCAAGGGGAGAGGGGAATGCTACACAAAGTTGATGGAGAATATAAGCTCCAGTGACAACTAGAGCGACGAAAGCACGGTGGATGGTGGATGGCGAAAAGTCGCAGTGATCGAAGAGCGTTTATCGTAGTGCGATCCCACAAATGGTAAGTCAAGTTGATAAAGAATTCACGGATAATAGTTCTACTATTTCCGATTCTACGGGGTACAATACAAAGTTCACAATGTCGTAATCACTATAGAACACAAGCTTCTGCTGTCTTAAGCATTATGGGAGTGCTTGAGCTCAACCTGGGGACTACCCATAGAGCCTGCGGCCACCTTACGAGCCGCCAGGAACTCCTTGGCCAATTTCTGTTGAATAGAATGTTCGTCAGCAGCAGCAGCAGAGTGAGCTAAACTAAATTATATTACGTCGCTTTCCTCTGGCTCGATCTGCTCTGCGATCTTGTTGAGCTGAGCGTTCTCCTCCTCATCGGAGTGTTCCATGAAGAGGGTAACCGCACGACTGAGGGTCTGGTCGAAGGTCGACTCGGAGGGATCGACAACCTTGGCATCTCCGAGGAGCTTATTGATCTCATGATGGTCCTCTATAGAAGAACGCTCAGCAAACGAGACCATGTACGAGTAAAAGAACTTCTAACCGATGTCTTGCTCGGCAGCATCGCTCATGCCAAATTCTTTGAAGCGCTTGTACACGGAAGCCTCTCTACATTTATCGCGTGAATAACATTTAACATGCGAAGGGAAGTGCAACCTACTCGGCGTTACCGTGAATCATTATCTCTTGGATGAGGGTATAAGCAATCTTCGTCTTCAGTGCTAAGTCCGAAGCCGACTTGTAGCTACATTAACGAGTGGATGAGTATGCAACATATATGAGGGAAATGAGGAGAGGAAAGTCTCACCGACTGAAAAGATCACGGACATTGTTGTGGTCAATGATGATCTCGTTAGTGATGTCGAAGAGAGACATAGTTATAAGTGAGACAGTTAAATGAAACGAATGTGGGAGAGGAAAATGAGGATGAAGGGTCGGAAAGAGTTGAGAGGGTTTATATGGCCCTCGAGAGTCATTCTTTCCAAGGTGATCAAGATTCAGGACACAAGGTCTGAAGACGGGTTAACCAATGAGGGGACGAGAATTTGTGAGTAGTGTAATGAAGAGATGTTGGGGAACCGGTGGGATGGCACAAATTGGTGTGTTTCGGGGTTCGTACCCATTGGGCGATTGTCCGTAACCCACCCCACCAGCCCACGCCCGGCGCACGTTTGTTCCAAGACCATCATCCAGTGTCCTAGAGGGGCATAGTATCAGAATGATAGGTAATAAATAGCCGTTGATAGAGATTTTGTGCATGAATGGAGCGTACTTGGTTGGACTCGGAACAGTTCATTTTGGGTGCACTGGCCCGCATCGAAGCTGCGAACCGCTACCCCTTCCAAATCGAGTCGAAGCCGATATCAGACGCTAGCGACTTCTTGCTTCCAAAAGAGGAAAGTTGCTTGGTTTTGTTTGCAAACTGTACAGTCGATCTCAGCCACCAGACAGATCTCATCCTCAACGTCGTAGGCAACAACACGCAAGACCTTCAAGATGTCCTCCGACCTCCAGTGGCTCCTTCTCCGCGTTAGTACGTTTCTCTACGCTCCTAGGAACAGCCTGGTACTAACATCATCGCCTTTGCAGAACAACAATGCCTTCATCGTGAAGCGCGTTGAAGAGGGTCCTATCTTCTCCAAGGAGCCTGTAATTATTGCATTCACATCGCGGGTATCTGCAAACGATGCTGATGTATGTACGGCTTGTAGGGAAATCTCACCAACCTCCACTCCTTCAAATACTCGGGTCTTGCTAACTCCAAGGTATGCCGAGATCTTAATTATGCAACTGGTGTTTTCCTAATGTATGAGTTGTGCAATAGACCATCGACGTCCAGCAGACTCCTTCTGGTATCCAAATTGCGACCGCGAAGAAGGGTGCTTCTCCTCACGCAGTGAGCCCCGCAAAGGTTATCACCACAATCCGTAACCGATCAGGACCCCGCCGTGCTGCTGGTGTCGCTGCTAAGCTCGCCAAGCGCGGCTACCGACCTGACCTCCGACAGGTGAGTGTTCTGAAGTCTGTCTCATTTTGTATTGTTCCCGTGCTGGAACACGAATGGATGTCTTCGTTGGCCTTGCGGACTTCCAATCCAAATTCCTCAACACATATAACGCACCATCTAGAGCCCGCTGGACGCCGCAAGGCATTATGAAAGTTGGGTGTGGACATGACGTGCAAGATTACATGGTCCGGAGTGGAGACCGATCAAATCTTCCGCGGATACTCGCCATGTCGCTATCGGGTCCCGTTTGATGCACCTCGCGGTTTGCCTGACTCTTTGGCGATAACATCCGTTCATTTTCTCTTTACCACCATTCCTGTTGGTTTTGAGCGAATGCTAACCATATTCAATCCTTTCTAGGCTGCTATTGCCCGTGTTTCTGCCCTTGCCGCCACCCAAAAGGAGAAGAAACCTTCACCACCAAAGAAGCTTCGGGGGAAGAAGGCTCTCGCTATTGCTGCTGCTCTCGATTAGGTATTCATTGTATTGGGATCGTCATGTATTTTCTTTCGCTCTCGCATCTAGCATTACTGCCCCACATGTCGTTATGCCCGCCTCACGGAGAATATATGCGCTCCAGGTTCCACATTCTCAGTCGTCCGGTCAGGCTCTGCACGAAACTGGTCGACAAAAAGATGATGTTACATTGGTTCCTAATGATACAAGCAGGATATATTATACAATGTGGTTCTCCTTCAGTCATCAATGGTATGGTCAGCATTACGACTCGCGCGGCAAAATGTCCTCAAACAACAAATCCCTTGCCGGCGGGCTGGTCGATCCTACCTCCACGAGCATCCTTCCCTATTGCAGTGTCCTTTTTCGGCGCCCTCCTGTATAAACTCTCCTGCATCCTCCTTTCGTATTCCAAGGCGCCATGGCCTTGTTTCCGCTCTTTCCTAGGGACTTCCTCATGATCATCATAGTGGTGCTGCTCATGAGGTTGTTGCTCCCCAGGACCAGCAGGACGAGGATAGTCTGTGCGCTCCTGCTCGTGAGTGGGAAGAGTAGGTGAGATCTGTTCGCTAAGATGGAAGTCACGCGATGAGCATGGCTTGCATATCTCATTGTAAATAGAAACATACGTTGCGGGGTGTTGCTTAGGTCGTGAATTCACCGACAGACGTCGGCCTCCAACTTTCACTGCAGGCACCAGTGAGCTTTTGAGCTTTTCCAAGGAGGCCCCCGTCACTTACTAGCAGGAGGATGTTGTGCTATTGTTGCCATGGTTAGGTGAATAATGTGGGTACAATGGTTGTTATGATGGACAGGAAACAAGTGTCCTGCACATATATTTCGCTGGATTTAGGTCCGTGCGCAGAATCCGGAGGTCACCAGGCCATTCTGGTGGAGTCGATCACCGCGTAATACCCGATCGACTCGACGGGTCCAGATGCGGCAATGATAGTGTACTAAAGGACTTGTCGTACAGTAGAACATGTTTAACGTTCAATGTTCGAATTCAACGTCGGAACCGCAGTATCTAGCGTATAGCATCCGGGGATACAGAACGAAATGGGTTCATCCGCCCAAGGTACCTACTGCAAGGCGTGTAGTTTATTTTAAAATAGCATTCTGAGCGGGCTGCCCGTTTCCAAGGAGCAAACAGCTTCCTCCGTATCGGCCTTGCAACTAGAATTATACGGGCCTATTTGAGGAAAGACGATCCCCCAGCTACAAAGCCTCCAGTCATTTGGGTTAGGGTATCGCCGGTACATCTGTGAGAGCTGATGTAAGGTCATTGAGTTCACCGGGGTCAGGCATAATATACAGTACATACCACTACTCACTACTCCATGGTCCGACAAGTAAAGGGAAGAAGTTGAATGAGTTAGCATTAGTTGCCAAGAGTCGACATAAATGATACGCGACAAAACGCTGAGGGTGACAAGAAGTCCATAAGTATGGCCCACGTTTCTATTCATATTTCTTCCCGCTTCCTGCTCCCTCCGTATACTCCAGTCTTGCTTCAGCGGCGATTCGCGCAATGAATTTGTTCACGAAAGGCGCCGCCACCAAAGTGGCGCAAAGGACGACCGGAACAAGAAATAGAACTATGGGGATCACTGATTTGGGAAGAACACCAAAGTATAATGGTTCCAACAAGAGGATGAATGGAATAGGCTTAACGTCTTCCTTTTGCCGAGAAGGTGCACGTAACCCTGTGTCTACCGCACGAATTCGTGCATGCTGGCGACGGGTAGCAGTGATGCTTGAAGTCCGCCCTCTGGGAATTTGTGTCTTCTTGTGCTTAGAGAGGATCGCTCGCGTCTCATTTGGGGGATGTGTTGTTATCAGGAAGTCTGCGGGTGACTATGGATCGACATCAGTTTTCAACGCACTTCAAAGCCATTTGTGAATATTTCGCACCGACGCAGGCCATGACAAACGCAGAGTAAATTTTGAGAACCTGTCCCATACTTTACTATCCAGATCCAAGGTCACCCATAATTCATGCGGACAGGGTGACCCGAAGCCCGAGTCGGAGCACACGTCGTCCAGCGTAGAGCTCAACGGTGCTGGATTGATACTGAAAGATCTTTGGGGGACACTGGAGTTCAGTTGAAGCCTGTGCAGAGGCCGATAATCAATTCCGAAATCCTGCGCCGCAAGTTCAGGACATACCACTGTTCTGCGACACCTGCGATCACATCATCAGTATAGTATCGTGCTGCAAAGTTCACAATTTCTGTGTTCGCAGTAACCAGGCAAACAAGATAAAGCCATAGTATGATCAACTTCATGAACAGACCTGTAGATGGTTCAGGAAGTTGCGCCAGCTGCAAGGCGCTTCTACGTACTGTATGATCGACCTGATCGGTACTCTTTCTGGTCATGGTACAGTAATTCAGGCAATTGAGAATCCTCAACGAGAGTGTTTCGAGCACTGATGGACAACTATCGATACTACAACAAGGCAGGTATCCTATATCAGCTATCGTCGCTACAACCCGATAACCCATTGAACCTAGGTATCTATGCTACGGTATCCAGGTCAAACAAATGTACCGCACCAATCCACGCAAGCATAATCTCCACCCTTGGCCCGTGTAGAGGGATATTGATACTCAACGGCTTCTTCTTACCATTCGCAGTCGCTTTCTCCAGAGAAGATTTCTCCACCTTCTTCTGGCGCTGTCTGGCTGCAATGGGGCCGAGAAGCATGCGAGCGCAATCCAAAGACTCGACGAGGTTGTCTCGTTCACGACTTCTAACATCCGCAACTATTGCTGCAGCGCGCACTGGAAGGTGAATAAGCATGGTAGGACTGGGAAGAGTGTCGTCAACAGAAGTTGTGGAGGGCGTATCCGTTGCCGGGGTTTCATGGTAAGCTTGACTTGAGCTAGACCCGTTGACGCCTGTGAAACTTGCGGTGGCAATAGACGAGTACTCCGACAGCGATGTGTCTATAGTGAGATCTGATGATGATGAAGCCGCGGATGTAGCAATAGGTGACAACATTGACCGATCTATACCCTTCCCATTGGGAGACCTCGATGACACAATGATGGAAGGCGTTAACTCTTCGTCACTGTCTTCAGATAGAGAATGAGCTTGTATGCCGTTCTTCCATCCGCCTGCAAGGCGCTCGAGTACCTCGATAAATTCTGCTTGAGACATAGAGCGAGGAGGAAGGAAGACGGGGTACCCTTCTAGCCCATCTACGAGCTGTGCAGTGCGATAGAATGTGGGGATAAGAGAAGCGAAGTCGCCTAGCATCAGTTGGCAGAGCAAAACGCTGAAATGTGACTCGACCAAGAGTGGATGATAAGTAGTGAACATTACAGGGATGTCAGGAAGAGGGGGCAGGGCATGCTGGCCATTCTGGCGCAAATTCTCGCACAGGTGGTATGCAAGTTCAGCCTTCTGCGCCAAGTCCCTATCCTGGCCGTCCTCGGAGCCTTCAAGTGTGTCGAAGTAAGTCAAGAACTTCTCGTGGTCGCGCAAAGCCTTCTTGAGAAGACCTGTGATCTGGTCTCTGAATACGCTGCTTGCCAACCCTTCTCTGTATGCTTTGAGTTTATCTCCGTCCCTGCTACCAAGAGGGCCGTCCGGATTGCCGATCTCGACTCCACCGTACTTTCCATTTTCAATGTAACAGAGTCGAAGTTCCGATCCCTCCACGGATGGCGTTTTGCGGACACCTTCTAACTTGAGGATAGCCTCCTCGATGAGATGAACTGCGTGCTGCAGATAGGCCGCACCACGAAGGAACACGCACTGCGGCTCGATGGGCTCAGGAGCATCTGGAAGGACGGACGGGTGGAGTAACAGTGGTTCTCCGTCCGGCCCATCTATACTGGGCGAGTGAGCTATGGCAGGAGCACTCGTACCATTCGGCGGGGCTTGACCGTTGCTTTTTGATCCGCCAGCTTTCCCCTTCCTTTTCTTCGTGCCTTTGCCATGCGGTTCTCCTGAGGTACCATTCGTATGATGCGAGGATCGAGCTTTACGAATGGCGCGAGATTCTCGTAAGACATAGGTGAAGTCTTTGACAGCCAGTGCATAGTCGTCCCGGAAACAGTGGACGATACCGCGAGTACGATAAAACTCCAAGCGATGGGGTTGTATAGCTATTAGATGATCAAGTTGCTGAGTAGTTGTGGATTCGGCCAACTGCCTATACGACCTGAGCACGTCAAAATCGCCTGAAGCACTGGAGCGCCGAAATCACCTACCGTGAAGGAATCTTTTCGTGGAAGAATTGAACATATTTTGCATCGACGTCATTAGGATCTGAACAACGCGTGTCTTTAAGCAATGTTGCTACTCTGAAGATATGCAGTTCATACATACCAACTTTAAGGACCCGGTCCGCAATGTCATCAAAGACGCTTCCACCCTGCATGACCATAACGCTTGATGCGATCTCATCAGCCTTGTAGGCGGCGGCCAACTTCTGCACCGCGAGAACTCTTAGTTTGTGTATACGCGTAGGCGACATTGAGATCTGACGCCCGCCATTACCGTCGTTCATGCCGTTTATTCCTAGAACATGTGCAGCACCCCATGGATCACGACTAAAGCTCGAACCTCCGCGTAATGAACCAAGGGCTGCGGCGGACAACCCTGACGATGCACGCACGGACAATTCTGAAGCTTCGTCTATCAGACGACGAATATAAGTTACTGAACGGAAGACCCCGGGATCAATAGGAGGAGGAGTCGCTTTCCCGGGTTTGGGTGTAGGTAAAGGCGGTGGTGGTGGGAGGCTCGTAAACATGCTGCGAGGAGAGTCTGGAGAGGAATGGTCGCTAACGCTGGCAAAACCACGACTTCGATGTGCCTGAGGAGGATCCCTGAAAGATGAATTTGCTGCAGAGACTCGTGTGTCGGATATAGTTAAAGTAGCAGGATCTAAGTTCAAAATTAGGAGCGATTCAAGAAGTTCCAATGGTAGTTGTAGCCATGGTCCCTGTTACATGGCAAACAATTCAAAAATTGAATATGCTATCCGGTATGTTATTCTGAAAGAACGACACCATAAACGTACATGATAAGAGCTAATATACCGCCAATGCTTGTTTCTGCTGATACAGAGTATTGGAGGACGGTCCTCATCTACATTGTCTGAAACCTTTGGGGTATCGTTCGCTTTCATCGACTTCTTCGCTTTCTTCTTTTTCTTCTTCTTTTGAGTGTTCAGTTGATTATCCAGTCCTGAAACTTCTTCAGGTGCATTGAGTTCTGGCTTGACTTGAGTGAAAACAGGGGTTGCGGATGTTGGAAGGGTGGCTTCCATAGTACTGCCATTTCCTATAGGTCGTTCGTTCGTTCGTGAGGGCATGTCTAAGGCAGACGAAGAAGCGATTGTCATTTGGTCTGTAATATAGCGGGAGCATGAAGCAGTGTTCGAAGTACTCGCGTTTGCTTGTCAAAGTACTGATGTATTTGGACCCGTGGGAATATTGACCTTTCGGTAATTTCACCCTGATATCACACGAAGCAGCACATGTACAGAGTTTGTACTCATACAGAGAGCCTTTAACGACTGTCTTCGGGAAATCACCGCGTTCAACGGCACCGTTCAAGTCGTCTTGGATGTTCCCCGTCAATGAATACGGAAATGCACACAGTTCTACTAACACAGTTCTACAGATCCTCGGCTTCGTCACTGTCCACCTCGGGCCTCACGATCTGTTTCCGAATCTCAGGATCGTCCTCGCTAGGGGTCTTGACCAGACCCTTTGAACAGCATTGACATACAAGTACTGAGGATACACTCTGATCATACATGTCCACAGTTCTTCAGGCTGTGGTACGGGTTACGAAATCGGTGAGCACTTTTGCACTTTTACCGCCCCGTCTCCTTACCTAACTGTGCTCTTCGTATTCCTCAGTTCTTCCCTAGTCATAGTACTACTCAACTTGTATGTGCTATATGCCTCCTTGTATCTACCGAGAGGATTCGGTTCATGTCTCCGAGTAATCTGTACGTGCAGCACTCTCCAAACTTTGAATCGATTGACATACATCGTCATATCCACCTGGATCTTATTGGGATTTTAAATATCTCTGTGATACGATGCACGCTTTCCAGGCCGAAACCAGTACCCGCAATTTTGCTTTGTTGGGTCATCCAACCATGTTTTGAAATCTTCTGCAGTCATGTTTAAGTACCTCTCATTGACCAGCGCAATAACGTCTTCCATAGATTTGATCACAGCTAAGGTCAAATCTACGAGCAGAGTTGGGAAACTTGCCGGCCTTGTAAGTTACATCGGTGTGCCGCAGAAGCTTCCTTTTGACAGGAGATCCACTCCGGTCCGTCGTTAGCATGCCAATCTGACGTGTCTTCAGTTGAAGTTCAACTTTACTGCTACATTATTCGGGCGAACATAACTACGGAGCTTTGGGGGGTAGCATGAGGTATCAATATCCTGCATGTAGATGTCGATACATGCACTACGGAAGGGAGATAGACGATCATAAAGGATTCGTGAAGGCAATAAGCTCCAAGGGGCATCAACAAGGAGAACGGAGACAACTAAATATCGATGGCATTACTAGTACGGTTCGACGAAAGAAAGTGCAACTAAGTCCGATGGAGATGAGGGAAACAAATGAAAGCGGAAAACAGTCTCTGTTTGAAAGATGTAGTATGCTTATGAAACTAGTGAGGTCCTATCCTCAGTACCCGTAACCTGGTTGTGGTGGCGCAGCACCTGGTGGAAGATTACCGAATGGCGAAGACGACGACCGCGAGTAACGGTTCTGCGGCGGAGCCTGCGACGTTGGTCTCTTATTCGGTTGACGCGAGACTCGTCGGACGCCTTCAGGTCCTGGAACGGGTCCGTTGTCAGCGAGACTGATTCCGCGTGCTCTGCTGTGTGATGAGGAAACAGCAGACGCAGCAGGCACGTCTGGCAGCTCATCGGGCTCTGTGGAGAAGGGTATTGGCGATTGGTCGTACCCAGCCATCTGTGGTTGTGAGTAGCCATAAGGATTTTGAGTTTCGCCAGGGTATTGAGACAGAGTAGCTTGACGAAGAACGCCAGCATGTTGGCCTGCAGTGCGTGACACTCGATCTTGGAACGGTGAAGATTGCGGCGTATATCTTCCGCCAACGGGAGGCGAATCATACTCATCGGAATGTGAATCCTGCCCAGGACTTGGAACGAGGCGCTGCTGGGAATCTGAAATGTAACCATCTTCACTGGAGCGCGATAAGACCGTCGTGGATGCAGACGCAGTGGTTGACGTCGGCAGGCCAGGCGTGCGGTTGACAGCCAAAGGCGCGGGCAGCATGAGCAACTGGTTGCTATCATGACGTTGACGCTGCCCGCCACTAGCGTATGACGAATCGTACGTGCTCCCATCAAACTGTTGTTGAGGCTGGTGGTAGTTGTCGGAACTAGATATCATGGAGTAACGATTGCTTTCAGCTCTGGAAGAACAAAGGTCAGCTAACTAGCGAAAGAGAAAACGAGAATTGGTCGTACCGTTTGGGAGAATTTGACCTCGGGGAGTAAGTCGTGGAGTCCCTTGACTGAGTTCCACTCTTCCACCGACGCTCACGTTCAAACTCTGCCCACCGCTTCATCACAATATGCGATGAATCGAATTCTCCCTCCTTGTCTCCATGATTATCTTCAGCCTTGGCACCCGCAATTTGACGTGTCTGACCCCAAGAGAAATCGTCGAAATGCCAGAAAGCATATGCTGGAAGAATACCGTTCCAAATCGGTAACGAAAGGAGGTACACAAGCATCCAGCCCACATACGCGATTTTGCGGGATGTGATGACGATGAGGAAACCAGGTAAACCAAGAACGATCGCCAAGAGAACAAGCGGAATAGTAGTGTTCGTACCGCCAGGAATAATGGAGATAATGATGAGGTATAAGGTGAACGAGATGGCAGCGGGAAGAACGAGGGTTCCAGCTAATTCCATACCTACGACGAACTGCATAGAGAAGCAGAAAGTGCCGCAGAGATCGCGTACCAGTAACAGTTCAGCAAGATTGTGAATCGTGGAATTGATCCAGCGACGACGTTGAGATAAGAGAACGCCGAACGTATCAGGGACAACAGTCTTACACACTGCCTGCGGGCAGAAGACGTTCTTGCGCTTAGGGAAAGTCTTGAGCATGAGGGTCGTAAGGTATCGATCTTCACCGAGGAGTAATAGGTTCTTCTTGTGGAGAGTATCAACCACATTTTCCGAGTAATGCTCAACAATGTCGGGATTAGCCAGGACGGGTACCCAATAGCCAGAATCACCCTTGGGAGCCTTGATTCGATACATGCTGAAGCAACCGGGTAAGCAAGTAACGCCACCGAACATCGACTCGAACGCCTTGGTCATGTGGTGAGAGATGTAGTACTCGAAGACTACGCAAGCGTCAGACTACCTATGCATCAACTATACAATGATGAAAACTTACCTTGAATCATAGTGACCCACGTCTCGGCCTTGTTCGCAATCTTCGTTTCACCGCAAAGACCCATGATTTCGTAGTCGTGAACCATACACGCACACATCCTACTCAGCGAATCAGGGAAAACCTTGGTATCCGCATCGACACACAACACCAGCTCGTAACGATCAGGGCTGATGCCAGTGACGCGCCAGATGGAGTTGAAGAATTCGTATTCGAAGGTTGTCATGCGCTCGTCGAACATCACCTTCTGGAGGAAGGCCATAAGAACGATCTGACTGTCACGCTTGCCACGGTTACCGGGTTTCGCGTCGCTCGCTTCCAGAGGGTTACCGCACTTTGCAACCAGCACAATGGGGACTCTTTGTTGCTTTGATTTCTCTACAGTCGCATCATCGTAGTCGTAGAACCCAGCATACACTTTCGCCATGTTGTGCCGCTTGTGTCCATCGGCAATGGCAACGTAAGAATGGGGCTCAACTTCACTTGGCGATATGATGAATTCTTTCATCATGGTCAAGCAAATCTCCGGGGTGGTCAAAGTATTCCCTGCACCCTTCACCATCCCATCGGCAATGATCAATAGGAGCTTGTGGCTGTTGGGGTAATCTGTCGTGGCAAGAGAATCAAGGGTAGTCCGCAGACCCTCAACTGACTCCGAATATGCCGTCACGAGGCAAATGGTGTGTGCGAGAGGATAGCCGAATGGTTCAAAGTCAGGAGGCGGCTGTGGAACGACATTATGAAGCGGAAAGGGACAGGTGTTGTCCACGAACGTGCCGCGCTGAGAGTCACCCAATGACGTCGAACTTCTCGATGAACGGAATGCAGGTGTATCTGGCGGCGTGAGCTTGGAGAGGCTCTTCCGGCTGGATGCTCCATAGATACTGGAGTTACCACCCTTCTTGTAAGGCATTGGCTCCAACATGCCGTATGCGGTCGAAGGTCTACCGCCTACTCCCTTCATCATGTTATCTGAAGGAGTGAAACGGGAGTGGCTAGGTAAGAAGCTCTTCTTGAAGGTCTTGGGCAGTCCATTCTTGTGAACGTTAGGACGATACTGGCTCGGGGCAGGTCGATAGATATCATCCGTCCAGTTTTCGATCTCGGCTGCGCGTTGCATACGTTGGTTGTAGGTCTCGTGCTTGAAATTACCGAGCTTCCATGAGAAGAACCACGCGAACATCACGGCCATAAGGAATCGGATGCCAACAACACCAATGATGAAGACCAGCGAGACGTATAAAACGACCTGTGATGCAACGCATCCAATGCTGTTGGTGTCGATAAAGCCAACAGTGACGACGTCCTGCAAACAGTGACCGAGTGGACGCTCGTTGTTACGCAGCAGGTACATGGTCAGATCTTTGCCGTTGAAGGTACCATTTGCATGCATCAGATCGTTGAAGAGGGGAGGGAAATTCACTTCGGCCTTGCTCAGCCACTGAAGTAGGTTGAGGTCCAAGACAGTACTATAGAATATAGTATGAGACTGTAAGACATATGAATATCCAGCACAAGAAACTCACGATTCGAATACGGCCAGGTTCCGATTGGGGTTACGTACATCATCCCAGGTGTAATACACCTGACCGAGCGGATGCATGGATGCAAGTTGCTGGCGCGCCTTCGACGACGTATGGCATGTTGTCGAAGCGTCGTAGTTGGTAAAATTGGCAGGTGAAGTACCGAATTGGTTGTAGATGTTGCATGGAAAATACCAATCGACGTTGCCATGATCACCAGAAATTGACGAATTCGCAGCCTTTACGATGAAGTTCTTGCAGTTCTGGTTCACGTTTTGGAACATGAACGAGATGTCCATGCCACCAGCGTTCCATCCACCCTCGAAGAGGGGATTGCTTTGACCATTGAAGTCTCCTACAGCCGGGTGCTTGAAGTTGGAGAAATCGTAGTCGTAACCGTGGATTATCACAGATGCGTTCTCAATTTGACCAGAATGGTAACGGTTAGGTGGAGTACCGCAAACCGTCTCCGTAAAACCGAAGGTAAGGAAACCGACTCCGGCCATGAGTGCGAGAATGATGCTCAGTAACCCCATCTTCTCTCGCCATGCCCTCTGCTGCTCAGGCGTCCGAATACCTGATTGTTGTCAGTAACTCAAATACTACCTATACATAGAAGAAGCTTACCACAGGCCCTCAAGAGAAATGGTGGCACGAAACATGTCAGAAGGTAGCAATAGATGAACCAGCCATTCTTTGGACCCGGGCCAATGTTGTTAAAGCAGCCTCTGGATTTAGGTTTGGGCTCTATTGTTGAAGATACTGTCTTCTTGCGACGCAACGTGCCGCGTTTGAAAAGCGCCAGACCAGATTCGTGTACGTCTTCTTCCCTACCGAGAAGCGACCGTCCTCGCCTCAGATCTGCTTGTTGCGGAATATTGCCAGTCTCTAGCAGAAAAACAGAATATATTTGAGATAATGACACGTAATGCTTGGTTGTAAAAGGAAGCGAATACCTGACGGCATAAAACCGGTACCTCCTTCATTCTGCAGTTGAGCAGCATGGTTGCGGTAATGCCACTGTCGATGATTTGGATCTATCCTTTCGCGGTCAGGCCTGACCAAACTCTTCTTCCGTCCCACCCTCTCATCAGAAAAACCTCCTGCCTCTGCGTAAGACGGGTCGTGGGGTGGCGGGGATGTCGGCTGATAGGCTGAGTACTGTCGTGGGCGAAATTGATCTAATGGAGCCTGTCTGTCGCCACGTTCTGTGTTCTGAAAGGATATACCCCTCGCGTTGTCTGGCGGTGAAGGATAAGGTGGACTAAAAGGAGAGTCAACTGGAATCTGGTATGATGGCGGAGCCTGCGCCTGAGGCGGGCGAGCTGAACGGGGCGGTCGTTGACCGCGAGCGTCCATGTTCAGAGGATGAGGGTCAAGAGAGTGGTGGTCAACGCATAGACCAACGCGGGAGTTGGAGCAGGTTGTCAGGAAGGGCGATGGGAGGAGAAGGTGAGGATGTCTGGCAAGGCGCGTGGGTTTGTGGCGTCGGAGATTACAATGGTTCTACGGCTCGGGCTCTAACGGTTTATTATGCGGACTACAACCGCCTTGCAACAACCCTTTCAAAGATTACGACGAATTTGTATTCAACTATAAATGGTTCGCGCCTGTCGACGTCACGCAAAAATTGGAATTTAGCTCTACTTTTCCTCGCTGGCAGTAAGACGTTGGTCGTTGCTACGAAGTTGCATACCAGTGCAGGGCTATCTACGTTAGTGTCAGTATTTGAGCTTGGGCTTGACCGTTGGAACTGCGGATAAGATAGACTGCCTGCGTGCCCGGGCAACAGTCTGTGCTATTTCAGGAGCTCCAGCGCGGGAAATTCTGCCCACCATGTGAGAAACCTACCGAACAACAGGAGAAACACCACTCCTGAGTAGTCATAGATGCGAGTTACACCTTTTAAGACAGATCCGGCTTGGCTGTCAGAATGAGTGGCTGGACAGGTAGGGGACACTGGAAGCAATGGCAATGATCATGAAACTCGTACAACATATCTACTTCCCGAAACTCTACACCAGCGGTGAGGCAGTCACAAATGGTAGCAAAGTCAAACAGACCACTTTCTCTTTCTTCCAGAGGAAAGTGCGATAGCCAGCTCCACACTCAACCTAGCAGCCCGTATCTCCATCAGCCACAGCCTGAGATGAGACGCAACTCGGGCATGAGGCCGAGAGTTAGATGGCATGACCACCGCAGAGACAGATGCAGTACGTCGAGCAAAACGCCTGTATTCTATAACCAATTACAAGGGTTTGGCAGAAAGCTGGGTGAGGAGAATGCCATAACGCCTTTTGATCGTTACTCGGTGCCGTGAAAACTTGTCGTCGGGGGAAAAACGAGCTACAAAGCAGAAATAAACGTTAATGTCGACTGTCAGCCTGGAGAATGGAACAGTTCCAGCGAAACGCACCAGGGTGGGCGGATTTGGTGATTTTACCACTGTCGGTAATTTTCTGTGCTTAGGTCAGTAACTTACGGGAGAACAATCAGTGTTGTAACTCACTTTCAACGTGTACACCCTGTTCCCATTCTCGTCCAACGTATACATGAGATGCATGGTGGTGGAGGTGGTGTTGTTGAACGAGGTTGCCTGCAGATCAAGCCGAGTCGAGACCTTCAATTTTGGAAGTCGGCGCTCACGCGCACGTGGGACCTTCACGGTCATGTCCTCCGATCATCAAGCGCCTTGGACCGATCCCGATCCGGCTGAGTAAGTTCGCGTTTGAGCATTGGTCTTCCATGTTCCGTTTCAATCCGTTTGTCGAATACTTTGACGACCATCTCAAACTCTGTTCTTGACTGTCATCTAAAGTATTTGAACCTCCATGGCAAAAACGCATAAAATTATCGCTCAACCTGCACCTGGAACTCGGATAGCGCCAGTCCGAAATTACACCGATGAGCAGATGCAGAAGATTCATGACTTGGGCGAGGTGAATGCGTGCCTCGGGAAACTTGAAGGTATGGTTGGAATGCTGAAATGATTCATCTAAACAGTATGCACGGAGTATTGCATTGCCCCAAACGGATCCCTATTATGAATGGGAGAGTCGTTGGTTAGACAAACCAGATACTCTACCCCGTTACATGCGAGCTGCGAAATGGGACTTTGAAGACGCAAAGAAACGTATCAAGGCGACGATGGAGTGGCGTCGTGAGTTCAAACCGGATCTCATTCCCCCAGACGAGGTAAGCTTGCTTCCCATGCTGTCTCAATGCCGTCAGCTGATTAACCGTGCCGCAGGTGAAGATCGAGGACGAAGGCGGTAAAATGTAGCATGCCTATGCCGCAATACTTCGACTTCTAACAGACCGTTTGCATGCAGCATTATCAATGGATTTGACAAGGATGGACGCCCGATTATCCACATGAATCCTGGCCGCCAAAATACTGAGACAAGTCCCCGCCAGCTTCGACATCTCGTATGGTGCTTGTAAGTGTTAACGCCTATCCTATCAGATGCATCTGTATATGACATTTGATATGCAGAGAACGTGCCAAGGATCTTATGCCCCCAGGTCAGGAATCCTTAGTGATCCTAATCGACTACAAGACCACAACGTTGCGAACGAATCCGTCTATTTCAACAGCTCGGAAGGTTAATTGCGTTTGTTCGGTTGAATAATTAAGTACTCACCTTCAAGAACATAGGTGCTCCATATTCTGCAACAACATTATCCGGAGACGCTGGGCCGTGGCCTGGTTGTCAATCTTCCTATGCTGCTCAATTTCTTCTACAAGGGTATCTCACCGTTCTTGGATCCGGTCACTCGAGACAAAGTATGTGGACTTCTCCCAGTGATCTCCCGAGTGGTTTCGTAACGAACATGACAGATTAGGTTTAACCCTGATCTATTGGACTTGATTCCGAAGGAGCAACTTGTTAGCGATCTAGGCGGAGACCACGACTTTGAATTCCACCACGAGTCGTATTGGCAACAAGTCCTTGAGTACGTCGAAGGTTAACTGTTGATGTCTGTAAGATTCATCGGTTGGTACGCAGAATCTGCAACATAGCACCAGATGGAACGCGGGCCCAAGTGCAAAGTAAGCATGCTCATAAGTGTCTCATGACGGCCGAAGACATTAGACAAATTAATACAGCGACGACAGTATCGATGAGCAAGGTCTCGCAAGAATCTCTATTAGAAGGAATACCGGAGTCAGTGTGTTTCATCAGTCTATGAATTGACAACAGTGAACTGACACCAGAGAGGGTTGTAGCGACCAACGAGATAAACAATTGACATCACGAGAGGCAATCGCTGTTGTGGCATAAGTGCTGCGTGGAATTTGCTATGCCATGACTTCTTGGAATCCTTGTCTGTAGCGTAGGTAATGACTCGTTATATAGATCGACGTTAATCCTTAGATATACCGAAAATGAATGAAACATGCAGATAAGGAAGTAGACGGCTCCTAACCGTTACTGCCACCAATGTGGCAGTCCGAAGTCCCAACTTCTTGGCAAATTGACGTACAGAACGGAAAAACGTGCAGGTCATGAGCGCAGCGCCCTTGTGAACGAAGTCAAGAAGGATTCTATTAAGCTCTGGCCATCATTGTGCAATGTGGTGCAACCGTTAGGCATTGAAGTGTATGCACATTGAGAGAGGCCATCGTAGAGATACATGTACAGTACACTAGAGAGCGAGAGAGCGGAGGCATATATAGGAGTGGCGCGGGAGGGCATGGCCGTTGCGAGGGCGCCGAGTATTTGGCAGTGTTGTGAGAGTGGCTGCCAGTGAGGCTAGCGGAGGTTCTTTGCGTCAGAGCGATCAGCAGAGAAGCTCTCAATTGAAATCCCAGTGGGAGGTTGGTCGTCGTTCTCCTGCAGGTTTCCTCCTCCCTTCATGGCTTTGCTCGGCCTCTTCCACAAGCGGGAAAAGAACAAGTCCTCCCGTTCCACCACTCCTTCCAGGTCCAACGCCTCCGACCTCGATCCTACAGAGGCAGAATACGTCCTTCCCAGCTCTTCAGCGACACCTGCCCTCCCTAATGGTTTATATAACAGCCCGCTCGCTGCTACAGCCTCCTCGAGCAAGCTTAAGCTTGGCTTCGGTCGCAAAAAGTCCTCTGCCCTAGTTCAGCTGGATGAAACGCGGTTACACCCACCGCTTCTGAGCTCACCTAGTGTCATGTCTGAACCAGATATGGACCAAATGCGTCCTCCTCCAGCAAAATCCGCTCTTTTCTCTGTTTATGCTGATTCACCAGGTGCGCATTCTACCAGATCGTTACCAACCAATCCGTTCCATTCGCGTACCGACTCGCGAGACATAGCCGGTGTTCATGCGCAGAATACTTCTGAACCACCGAACTCCGGAAAGAAACACCCCGCCAAATCTGGCAACAAAGGTGGTGGTTTTTTTCATTGGGGTCGCGATCGCAGCAAGTCAAGACCCCCTGCTCCTCCACTCGAGCTCACTGTCAACCTCCCCGCCGAATCCTTCAATCTCAAGTCGTTTCGTCACATCGGGTCCGACGCTCCACTTGCTGAGCTCCCACGACTACCTTCTTCACTCTCAAGCCCATTCAACACACCTCCTCTTCGACCGAGGGTCAACAGCGTTGCCTCGGATACTTCACAGCGTATTTCGGTTGCCGCTTTCCGTGAGATGGCGGCGCGACGAGCCAACTCCCCTTCACCTGCTTTGCGTCCACCATCAACAGCTGACCTCTCACGAATCAGCACATCGTCACCAACACCAGGTCGACGGTCAGTTCTGGATGCAAGGCCGTCGTCCGCGCGTGCTTCGACTGCCCTTGCACTGTCCAGTGACAGCACATCCACAGAATCTGAATCTGAGGAATCCTCGTCTGAGGACTCTGGAGGGTCTGCGACTTTACGTCCCAAGCGCAGTCGAACAATCACTCAACGATCTGCCTCTAAGGCTACCTCTGAGCTTGGCCACCGTGCACAAACATCTACAGTAACTCCGACGCGCACCACTCAATCAAATCTGGGGCATGACGAGGGCAATTCCAGGTCTCAGCCACCATCTGCTTCGAGGCCTCCGCGTGCGGGCAGCATATACGGGAGAACGCGAGCGTCAGCTTCCACATCTGCTCTCCATCCAAACGCTGCTGCAAGGCGGGCCTCATTACGGGCTGCGCCCAAGGTTCCCATACCAGGTGATGCATCCGGTAATCTGTTTGTGGAATTGAGAATTGACGTTTCACCTCAGGTTCTTCGCGCCCTACTGCCGCGCAGAGCACAACTGACAGTTCAGATTCGGACTCGGACGATTCGGATGACGCCCCTTTGGCACAACTCGTGGGTCCGAGACGTCCTGGAAGTTCTGCTTCCAGCGCGACGTCTGGCTCTCGTCCCCGTATGCCAGCCAAACCACTCATTGACCTGAGCGGAGTGAATCCTCCTGTTTTGCCGCCCTTACCTTCTTTCGATCAACGGCCACCGTCTTTATCAGACAAATCGCCGTCTACGACTTCGGAAAAGCCTAGTCTCTCTGATCGGCTTGCGCGCGTCGCTCAGACAGCGGCAACTAAATCGAAGGAGGACTTGTCTCGCGTCTCGCCGGTGGAGAGACGCTCCTTGGATTATCTGAATTTACCAGATCATGGCAAGAAGGAGGATGAGAAGCCAGCCAAGAAGCTACTGCCACATCCTAGTCGAAGTCAAACCGCTCCAACGGACGGTCTGGAACCTTTGCCGACTCCTGGCACGAAACCAAAACCTAATGGCCGTTCATTATCCTCACCGAATGCTGTTCCTGTTGACCTCACAGATACGAAACCAATAGTACCTACGCCGATACGCGAACGATCTCCTCCGCCCGCCTTCAGTGTCACCTCACGGCCTACTTCTCAAGTGTCTATGTCTTCGAATCCTCGGCTGTCTGGCTCAATGTCTCCTGCCCAGTCCGCTCCAACTATTCGAGCCGTTGCTCCCTCGTCATCGTCGTCTCCCACGAACCGATCCCCTGTACTATCTTCGTCCCCTTCGGCAAGTCCTTCGAACCCTCCGCTCAGATCGCCTCCACCTCGCACGTCTTCCCGAGTCATTAGCTCAACTTTGATTCCGAATAGTGGCAAGCCGCCCGTGAAAGGCTTTACTGGAGGTGGCCTTCTTGCTGGTGTTGTCTCGAGCTCTGACGATGTAAGCCCGGGCGCACCAAGTGGCGTTTCCAGACCCAGAAATGTGAGACAGCGATCCTCAACAATGGTCGACTCTGCTTCCTCACCATCTGCATACACTCGTTCATCAATTAACTTGAATACCCTGATACCCTCTCCGAGCAGCGGCTTAGGTCCTCCAAAACCATTCGCTGACAATGCTATCCGTGGTAATAGCCCAGCAAGTTCTACTGGAGATTCTAGCAGCGGTCGAACGCCCTTGACTCCTGCTGATGGCAGTGAGGTTGGGTATGGAAGGAAGAGTAGGGCATGGGAGTCCGGCGAAAGTCCAGTGAGCAGTAATGCGAACTCTGCTGTAGAGCCCTACAAGAAAGGTCACAGGAAGAGTTTGAGTCTCACATTTGAGCTACCTGAGAAAGACCGGGGACGGCCGATGGGACGGGAAAAAGTACAGCAAGAAAGCCCGGAGACTGGAGAGGAGCGTCGACGGGAGCGTAGGAGAAGCGAAGCGAAGGCAGCCGTTGAGGTCAGTGATTGTTGTCGAGAAAATAGGACAGATACGAGAACTAATGTCTTTCGTTCTCACAGTTTGGCAATTTGGTCAATGGTCGTGGGCCCCTCCCGGACGATGAAGACGAGGATGTCCCTCTTAATAACATGGGACCCCGTATGAGCATGATGAATCCCATGATGAGTTTCACGCCTCCTACGCCTAACATGGCATGGCGACCTCCTACAATGATGGGTGGTATGCCTGGTATGCCTGGTATGCCTCCTGGCATGATGTTCCCTGGCCCTGCACCAAATGCGGATCCTGCTTTCCTCGCTGCGCATCAGCAAGCCATGTTGGTGGCGAAGCAAGCATACCAGTATGCTGTTGCACAACAAGCCATGGCACAGGCCAACGAGGAATGGGAACGTGGATCAACCGCTACCAGTGCGTTCGGAGGAGGTGGAGGCTATGGAGGTATGGGAATGGGAATGAACCCTATGGGTATGTTCCCAAATCCCTATGGTATGCCTGGATGGACGGGATCTATGATGTTCCCGAATACGGCGCAGACCATGTACGCTGGCAGTGTCGCAGGTAGTGACATCGGTGGGAATGGAGGTTGGGGCTCGAGAAGTGTCTATGGTGGACCAGGAGACCGGTCTTCTCAGATTCTCAGAGGTGGGAATGCAGGGTTCAGCGACAGTCGGTCTGAAGCATTTGGACCTATCAGCTCGCCGACGCAGCCCTTGCGGCCTGCTCCCAGACCCCGGACGAAGACCGCGCCCTCCGAGGGACCGTTACCCGCTCAACACGCCCGTTCGCGTCCTGCGCCGCCACCTTCCAGTTGGAGGAGTGGTGGAGGACAGAGGGGGTTGTAGGCTTTTCATTGCTTTCTCTCATCTCATGTTTTGATCTGTCTAAGCTATGTCACTCTACAATTTGCATACGCATCCATTAATCTCGCATTCACATCATTCTCTTCACGCATTATGTTTTGTTCATGCACTTTGGTGTTTCATGGATTATCTATATTTTGTTGCTATTTTTTTTTCAAGGTCTCATACGTTCTTTATCCCATACCCTCGCATCTTTCATATTGTGCATACTCGCTCTTTAACCTCATTCACCTCAATAGAAGCATGTGTTTCTTGCTATTTGCATGCTTTGGGTCTTATCGTACGACCCGTCTTCATGTGTTCTAAACTTTCTTCAAAATGAGACCTCACTCACATCACATATAATACCCTCTTATCGACGGTCTGCGGTGAGCAGTACGCCATCTTTCATACGACTTCACATTTCTGACGAAGCGGTGGCAGGCATATACTCATGCCCACAATAAGTAACCGGCGCCAGACGCGCGGCGCGTCGCGTCACGTGACTCACATCGATTTGAGGAGGAGACAACCGACTGTCTATGGAACAGACGGCACTACAACTGTATATACAATGTATTAGATATCTATTCTAGCTATCTATGTATTTAAAAACTCGTATGTCCACCATGAGCAGCCAAGACAGCCTCAACTCTGTCTGGCATCTGATTGATGTGCTTGTTCACATCTTCTATAGGTAATTCATCCCACACATGACGGACAGCAGCTTGAAGCTGTTCTTGGGTATTCGGAGGATGCCTGAGATTACGCAGAGCAGATTTGACCTCATGCCAAACACGTTCAATGGGATTGAGATCTGGGGAATTGGGGGGATGGAAGAGAAGTGGTATCTCATGATCAGTGAACCATCGTTGGGTTGATTTGCTGGTGTGGCATGGAGCATTGTCCTGTTGGAAGGTAATGGGACCCCTCTGTAGCTTCATCTCTTTATACCAATCCAAAAAAACCCCATCCAACACCTGTTCCCGATATCTAGCAGTGTTCATACCCCCACCTCTCCCTCCTGGGTATTCCAACACAATCAATGGCCCCTTGCACCCCTGAATAATGCAAGCCCAGACCATAACATGGATGGAGGACTGCTTGAAGGTTGGTACTAGGCATTCCTCTCGCAAGACTTCATCAGGACGGCGTGTAATGTAGATTCGGCCTCGATCATCTCCCAAGTAAATATAGCACTCATCGGAGAATGCAACTTCTTGCCAATCCTGGCTTGTAAAGCTCTTGTATTTCTGTGCCCAATGCATGCGAGCCTTCTTCTGCTTCTTAGTAAGGAATGGCACTTGACGAGCAATCCGACGACCATATCCTCGTTCCTTGAGAATGCTCCGAACAGTGCCCTCACTGATCTTCGGGTCTACCTGGTTTCCAATCTCTGCAAATGTCACCCTCCGCTCTTTCACTGCCCTCCTCACCACCAGAGCCTTCATGCGATCCGTGACTTTGTGTGGACAACCAGAACGGGGGCGATTGTGTGTGGTGCCAGTTTTGATGTACTTGTGCCAGATGTCTGATGCTGTCTGGCGTGGGATGCCTGTAAGCCGTGCCGCTTCAGTGATGCTCATGCCGGCTTGGATGGCTCCAACTAGCCGGTTCTTCTTAGGAGAATCATGTTGAGAGCGAGAAGATTTAGTAATGAGCATAACAAGCACATGTGTTATAGGTGGATGCTGGAGTACGGACTAAACAAAACTACATCCGTACGCGACGCGACGCGCTGGGCGTCTAAACGCCGGTTACTTATTATGGGTGCGAGTACATCTTTGTACATGTGTAGGACCTATTCATATACTTCTCACACATATGTCGGAACGTGCACGTACCGTAAAGTTTTCCCTAGCGGAGGCTATCTGCGCGGCGCGGAAGTATCGACAACACGATGGGTACATCCATTCATCCTGAAGGTGCCAAGTTACGCCGCAATAGGTTCGACGGATTTCGCGCTGGAGAAGCGACGATGGTATATTCTGGACTATAGGGACCTTAGAGTGATATCACAGGGCCCACATAATCCACCTATCGTCTCTTTTATGATTGCAATACGGCCGCTATACACGTCATTTGAATCCTCAATGATAACCACAGGCCTGCTATCGGACGCATGCGAGCTGTGAATGGTAAAGGATGTCAGGTTAAATGAGTTTCTGTTCAACCACGGTGCCAACATGTCGTTTCGATTGCTGCTTTGTTCAGTATGAGGATGTACTGTCATTACGTCCAATGAAAATTTCCAGATTGGGGTATGTTTTGTTGTCTGAGTCATCATGGCTACGCGGTGGTTGCTTCTGCAACTGTGGTCGGTATCCCAGCTCATAATTTTCGTACCTTGTTCGCTGTGAAGTTGCTTGTGGACGCCATCCTCATCGCCAAACGATCCCATCGAACTGTCGATCTGAACGGAACGTCTGTCGTTCGGCTACACAGCCTCGAGGCGGTCTTCTCAATCGCCCACACAAGCTTCGGCAGCAATATTCCAACTCGTGGCTTGCACGCCCCACCAAACTTGCCCAGCGTTCTCTAATTTTCCTACATTTCAACCGAGTCCTTTGCTACCCCCCTTCATACACCCGTTTACGCATTTACTTGCGCCATCTATCCCGCCGTCGCTAGTCCGACCTGCCACCCTATTCGGATGCTCAGTGTTCTTCGCACCGCCGCACCAGCGCAGCAACCGCTCACAGAACCCTCACCGAAAGCCAAGTTCAAAACTGTACTTGGTCTCGGTGCAAACACGAAGGAAAACGATACTGCTGCGGTTCAACGTCCTTCGGCTCTAGGTAGAACGCACCCTTCGCTGTCTCGACGCAGTGTCGACACCATCACAGACTGGCAGGTGAAACAGAAGAAAAGCAAGGCCGATCGCCCTAGTACACCAGACATTGCTTTCTTTGAACAAGACGTTGTCACCGTCAGCAAGCCGAACGACGTTCCGGACAACGAGATGAAGAATGGTGTCGCTCCCCGAGCAGTTCCTCAGCGTAGACCGTTTAGAGTTGATGGTCAAGACGGCCATTGGACTATCTCGGTTGCGGAAACGCCACATGATGCTAGCTCTTACAGTCTCTACGTTAAGAGTGAGTCTCATTTACTGTCTTCATTCCTCTGGATACCCCTTTCTGCGGACGTATGCTGTGGCTAGATCCGGTATTCTCTTAATATGTAATCGCTAGACGTTCTTCGTCTGGATTGACCTCGCCATGAACACCATGAACTCATGTCATCCATTCGATTTTCTAGCCCCTACACACAATTTGACTCTCACTCGCACGGCCTTGGAGATCATAGAAATGAATGGCAAGCTGCGGGACTCTCATCCAAGCGTCAAGCTCCCTGCCCTTCCCATCGACGCCTCGAGTGTTCCAACGCCGCCTCCAAAACGCAAATCCGCGTTTCTCAACACTCTTTCTCGTTTGGCCTCGCCGTCGAGCAAAGCCGCTTCTCGTCAGGCTTCGTCAAGCAAACCTTCGCCGGCATCGAGCAGCCAGGGGCCAGCGAATGGTACTGCATCGTCTGGCACTACTCCCATCGCATCGCCAGCTCAAGAGATCAATGATCCTTTTACTTCCTTTCCGGACGGACGACCAATTGGAAGCTCCGCAGAGCCCGGACTTCCCCCCAGTAACTCGACAATAACCCGCCTTGCTGCGTATCTCACTCACATAGCAAACGACGCTACTTTGCGCCAGAGCCGAACATGGAAGCGGTTCGTCAGAGTACGTACAGACGACCTGCAAAGTGTTCGAGCGGAGAGGGCCATTAAGCGTGTTCGTTCCGATCTCGCTGCTCATTCGTCAAGTAGTTCACCAGATGTGCCTCGTTCCATGGCACAGGTCATGAATGAGGACGCGGAGCGGGCAACAGCGGTGAACTCTGAGACAGCACAAGACCAAGAATTACCATCTGAGTCTACTGTGGCATCTTCCGCAAATTCTATCAACGGTGAGCGCGCCAGCGTTCTACAGGATTCACAGGATGTCAAGGAAGAGGAAGATTTGGCAACGGAACGCGTCGAAGTCAATAACGAAGTGGTTCAAAGCCAAGCTCAACCCGCTGAGTCCAAACCTTCGTCCCCGATCGTACGCAATGGCCAAGTGGCCAACACTTTGACCAATGGTGTGGCCGATCTTGAAGAGGACACAAATGAACCGTCTACACCTGTTGCAGACGACGCTTCTGTATTGCACGCAAACCGTATACCCCGATCCCAGTCTGCGGATCCTATGTCCCGCGGTTCTCGTATCATCTACTCCCCATCTTCGGGGATGTCTTCACCGCTTCGCGACGGTACCTCATCCCAGACGTCAGCGACGGGCGATGACTCATCGATCTCTACCACCGGTCGTCGCTCAACCAGGAAGAAACGTAGCAAGTCCACTGATCCGAAGAAATCTAAACGGAAAGTTGTGATCGACGACTTCGAAATGATGCGGGTGCTCGGCAAAGGATGTGCAGGAAAGGTTCTACTCGTCAGGCACAAACCGACACAGGATGTTTTCGCGTTGAAAGCGATTACCAAACGGCATGTGCTCGCGCACCAAGAACTGCAGCACACGTTGACTGAACAAGCTGTCCTGAAGAGAATGGCGGCAGAGGGTACTGATCCATTTGTGGTGAAGTTGTGGTGGAGTTTCCATGACAAAGAGAACCTCTTCCTGGTAATGGTAAGAACAACTGTCTTCGCTCTATTCCTCCACCCATTAACTTGTCATCTTCTGCTTAGGACTTCCATCCCGGTGGTGACCTTGCTACTCAACTAGCTCGTTGGGGTCGACTCGGTCGAGATCGCGCTCGTTTCTATGCGGCTGAAATTGTTGAAGGCGTTGAGGGACTTCATGCCGCCGGCGTCATCTATCGAGATCTCAAACCAGAGAATATCTTGATTGGCGCAGATGGCCACATCGTCCTCACTGATTTCGGTCTATCAAAAGAGTTCCCGCGAAGAACTGCTGCTTTCACTGCTCCGCCGACACCATCTGGTTCAGGTCATCGAAGTGATTACCTGGATGGTTCACCAGTTGCAGCTTCTGCTCCCTGGATGAGGGAGGGTTGGACAGGTGCAAATGATATGACCAGTACCTTCTGCGGCACTGCCGAGTACCTAGCGCCAGAGGTCATCCAAGGTCTGCCTTACAGCTACGAAGTTGACTGGTGGAGTTTCGGCACCATGCTCTATGAGATGCTCACCGGAATTGTATGTATTTGTTCAACATCGCTTCTGCTGGACAACGCTCATCGCTTTTGTTCGTAGACACCATTCTGGGCGAACAACCATTCCGACATGTACTACCGTGTACTACAGGATGAGTTGCAGTTCCCAGAGGACAGGACCATGGACCAGGATACTAAGAGTCTCATTCGAGGAGTGCGTTTCGGAATCCATGCTCGTATCTGACTGAATGCTGACAACTTCACAGCTTCTGCAACGTAACCCTGCGCTCAGAATGAAAGAACCGCGGATCAAGAAACACCCTTACTTCTCTATGATGTACGTTCATCGTTCTATTTATAATGAATGGTGCTTAACACTTTCATCCGCAGAGACTGGTCTCATGTATACTATAAACGCTACATACGTAAGTCTCGTTATCAACTGGAACATGCCCAATAGCTCACGCCGCTCATACAGCCCCATATATCCCACCAATCGATCCATCTAACGCAAGCGATACCCAGAATTTCGACGATACCTTCCTTGATATGGAACCCGTAATCAAGGATGAACACGAAAATGATCAAACTGATACAGATGGAGATCGTCAAACGGATGCGGAACGTACCGATGGAGAGGACTCAGTGGCTACCCCGTCACAGTCTCGCAGTCCATCTGTCCACCCTATTCAGGATGACAGTGTCGATGTCTTTGATGGGTACTCATTCAAGGGCCGACATTCAATTATTTTGGATGGTGACGATGAGGATGGCGAAGCGGACGATTCTGAACGTGAGGAGGACGAGGAAGCATCACTAGCTGCTCCCAGTCTAGACAATCTATTGCCACAAGAGCCAGTCACGGAAGACGAAATTCCCCCCGTCTCTGATATCACCACGGTTGAGGAGGTCCCTGAACCGAAGACACCTGAGGCCCGACCGACTGTCCTTCCTGATACAGACGAATTGAGTGTCCCAGAAGTCACAACCCCTGTTGACCACAGGCCTCAAGTCGTCGAACCCCAAGCTGTTGAGGAAGTCACAACCACCACTGCTGAGCCATCCTCACCTGTGGTTGAGGCTACACCCGCCACCGAGGCACCTGCGGAAATACAGATCGCTCCCGCTGAGCCCAAGCCGCATGTTGAGTCGGTTAAAGTTGCTATTCCTCGTCCTCCACCTCGACACCCACGCAGCCGAAGAGAGAAATCTGGCATTCCTGCGTTGGACCGCAACCTCTCGGATGCCATTGATGAAGATGGCGTCATCACCGAGCGAGAGGAAGAGGATGATTGGGACTTTGTGGAAGCTGGTGTCGACGAGGAGCGAAATGGTGCGAAGGGAACAAGTTTGTTTGCCCGAGGGGTTGTGGATCGATATCGTCTTGCTGTGTTCCGCAAGAGCACGCCTCGACGATCGGGAGGACGCAACGTTTCTGGGATATCAGGTTTATCTCTAGATTCAGAATACACGGAGCCGTCAGATTCTCCGACGCCTTCAGACAAACGTAGAGGGAGGACGCCAGGACTCACGTTCCGCAGACACCCGAAACAATTCCTGCGACCAAAGTCTCCGCCTCCGTCGTCACGTTCAAAATCGCTTATGCACTCGACGTCGGCGACGTTGACGACCTCCACGTCCTCGAGCGCAGGTGTCCTTACGCCGTCACAATCTGGTACGACGTCCGACATGTCGCCATCACTCAAGTCGAAGGAGTCGGCGATCTCTATGGGTACTCCCAGTGAATCGTCAGATGCCTCAGTGAACGGAGACCTTAGAAACGGTGGAGATACGATCAAGGCGACGCCTGTGATACCAGAAGAAGAGAAGCAGAAGAGTAAAGGATTGAAGAAGTACAAGGAGGGCGCTGAGAAGGTTCTTTCAATCTTCCAGTCACCCCGCTGATACCACCCCCACCGGATGGGATATTCACTTATTTTGTTGTCTCGTTGAATGCATCGCACAATCTCATCATTTACAGTGACCATTGACTTCTGGTTTTCGCTCTCATTCGTTAATTCACTCATGCAATATATGGCTAGAACAGGACTTATCGATCGTTATTCTATCGACTCACTCTCCTTGCTCGGATTATTTGCTTTCTTGGTATCCAGTGTTTTTCTAACAGTTAATCGTCATCTACAAATAGCAACAAGTCGTCATTCTATAGATTGCTCTTTAATGGGTTGGTACTCGAACTAAAGCGTGAACTTGCGACCAGGTGGTGCTGTGTGATGTCAAGCTGTTCCCGCCGGTTCGGAAGGAGTTTCATATCTAGACTAAGACTAATTAGCCGAGGCTGACTGTCTAATGAGAAGCCTGGACCTGTAGAAACACTAATGGCGACTACGAAGCTTCGAAGGCTGCAATGGTTTGGAGGATAACGCTGAGGCAGTGTCGGGGAAATGCATCCAGTCGGCGCCGAGTGAATATTGTGTGTGTACAAGCGTTTGGCACTGGCAGTGGTTGTTTTCAACCTGCCATCTGTCCTTCTCGCTGTCTTGGACGTTGCCAACGGCAGCCAGCAACATCCACGCGACGCCTTCATACTATTTAGTGATGCTCATAATCGCGCATGATCATTGAGCACCAGAATCTTGAAGTTGAAGTGATCGCTTGAGCTGCCCCACACCGATCTTATTCTTTTCCCCGGTTCGCCTGTCCTTTACATATCTTGGAAATAGATCTGGAACATGGCACCCAATTTCCTATCCAAGTTTGTCAAGAGCAGCTCCCCTTCAGGTTCTGACCACCATAGGTCTCGCACCAGCTCGTCCTCGCGTTCTTCCTTTAACATCGCTTCAAAACCCACCATTGCTCTATCTCCGGCACCCCCTGGCAATAAGCCAGCATCCGCGCCGTCCGGCTACGATAGCTCCGATTCGTCTAATCCTAATGTCACTGTCGTTCCACCATCACCCCACACCAGCGACCTTTCCTTTGGAGACCAGCAGAGCAATAAGTCGGCTGTGAAGATCGACGCTGCAGCCAACGGCAGCCTGTCTTCCTCGACGACACGTCGTGTTCACTCATTGTCAGTTGGAAACCAATCACCGTCCTCACCCGCAACTAGTCCAGAGGAAGATCCAATGACACCGACTCCCTGGTCCAGACCAGCTGCGCCTGACCGCTCCACTACGGTACGGCCGTTGTCGCAGTCGAATTCGGCGGGTGACCTCCGCTCTCTAGGCCAGCAAGGCTCACCTTTACGTGCAAGTACTGTTGCACCCGCTGGACATTTGGAGGAACCGACACCACGTAAAAGGACAATTTCGCAGAAGTCAAGCCGCAGTGCACTCAGAGTCAAGATAGACAATAATGCATCATCTACTACAACAAATGACCAGGCTGCTACCATTGCGGCTCCTATCACGACCTCACCATCGGAGTTAACTTCAGGTGCTGAAACTGCATCGATCATTGTCGATTCTCCTACTCATATCAACACGGACTTTGGCCCTATCAAACCTATTGCTCCGAGTGCAACGATGCCTAGCGTCACCAGTTCCTCTTTGCTCGTCCCAGACAATTCGGACTCTGTTTCCGTGTACTCCGTCGGAGGCACGAAGAAGCGTCGCCCATGGCATCGTTCTTCAGCGAAGGAGAAGGAAAGGGAAGCTTCAATGCCTTCGCTTTCTACGTCATCCACGTTCTCTACCAGTACATCACCAAAATCCAAGCGCAAGGCAAGTGCTGCAAACGGTCTTGCCTCAGCACTCGCAGCGTCCGGTCTTGCCATGGCAAATCCGGGTGCAATCATGCAGCCAATGCCCATTTCTGAGAACAGTACCACTTCCACCGCTCGAGCTACACGGTCTAATTCCATGGCGAGCGGTACTGTGTCGCCTGGTCATAGTGTCACCTCTGCATCACATAGGCGACGGACGTCTAATGACACACCAAAGACTCCTCCACCCCACTCCTCACGGTCGCGCCAGACGTCGATCAGTTACGCAACCAGCGACATTTCTGATAGAGCATCTTTCTACTCTGGTGATGAGGGAGAGGACATGGGCTCTGGCTCAGAGGGGGAGGACCTGGACGATTTGGATTTAGATGCAGATGATATACCCGTCACGGGCTTTGCGGTTGCTAGTGCTAGACGCAACCAAGAATTCCATGAGATGTTCAGCAATATTCCCGAGGGTGACTACTTAATCGAAGGTACGATGGACGCATGTAAGACTTGGGGGAAGGAATACTGAAGTCTTACCTTCGTGTTTTTATGTACAGATTATGGCTGCGCGTTGCAACGTGAGATCCTCATTCAGGGGAGGCTGTACATATCCGAGAACCATGTATGCTTCCACGCCAACATCTTCGGCTGGGTCACCGATGTGAGTAGTGCATATATTTGCTGACTACTAGGAACGCCATACTGATTGGATTACTCAAGCTTTGCATACCCATGCACGAGGTTATACAGCTCGAAAAACGCATGACGGCGTTTGTCATTCCCAACGCAATTCAAATAATAACTCGAACTGCGAAATACACGTTCACGTCGTTTCTTTCTCGAGATACCACTTTTGATGTTATGTATAACGTTTGGAGATTAGCCCGACCAGAAGGGGATTCTACGTCCGTCCTCGTTGCCCCATCGGGACTGAATGGTGATGCAATCAGGGAGTCTGTGGGAGACATGAATGGCGCCGTTCTTAATGGCAAGAAGGGCAACGAGGTTCTAGTGGCCGCAAGGATGAACAAGTTTACCCAGTGTGCTTGTGGTAGGGCTGGTCAACATTTTAGTGAAATCGCGATGGAGAGTATACTCCCAGGCACACCGGAGAAGATATACAATCTCATGTTCACCAGCGGGTTTATAAAGGAGTTCATGCGAAGCGATCAGAAGCTCCTTGGTATGTCTGTAGCATTACCGTCTCACACGCTATTGCTGATCTTATTGTTTAGACATCCAGATATCTGATTGGACGCCTCTGCCTGATAATCCAGTGTTGCTGTTTCGCAATATGTCCTACATTAAACCGCTGACCGCAAGCATTGGTCCAAAACAAACCAAGTGTGAAATTCATGACGAGATGGTTCATTGCGATTTTGAGGACTATGTCGTGATGATGGCCACGACGAGGACGCCGGATGTTCCAAGCGGAGGCGTCTTCTCTGTGAAGACGAGGACATGTCTCACCTGGGCGAGTAGCATCTCAACAAAGGTCGTTGTATCCACCCAGGTAGAATGGACAGGACGGAGTTTCATCAAGGGTCAGTACAACAGCTCATTGCATACTTACCAATACTAATTAAAAAACAGGTATCATTGAGAAATCTTGCATCGATGGACAGAAGACGTACCATGCTGATCTTGAAAGAGCCATGCGGGATTACATACACCAACACCAATCCGAATTCATCCCCGAAGGCATCGACGTCGCCGTGGTAGAAGAGGCTGAAGCGCAAGCTGAAGCCCCCAAGACGCCTCTTATTGGAGAGCGACTACCACTCAGTGAGGAAGCCCGCTTGCGCGAACAAGAACGAAACTTGCGGGGATTACAGTGGGCGTACGATACGTTCGAGGGCGCTTTCAAAGTTGCGCAACAATCAACAGAAGGTGCTTTGGAACTCATCCGAGACGCTTGGGATCAATCTACGACGAGCACCATTCTTTATTTCGTCATTGTCATCCTGGTCATCAGCAATATCTGGACATTGGCTATGATGGGCAAGCGTGAAGAGGTGGGGAGGCGCAAGGAGCTGAAACGGACTGAAGAAAGAGAACAATGGGTTCAAGGGATCGTTACTGCCCTTTGGGATGAGCTGAATGGGAACAAGATACCAGTGGCGGGGGGTTCGCCTATCGTGCGATCCAGTACTGCGACGGGCTGGCGAGAGGAGATAGCAGAACTCACGTTGGCGCTGGATATCGTTGAAGATAGAGTCAACAGGCTGAGACAGAGTATATCCAACATTGAATCATAGAACGGACTGATGTTTATTACTTCCAGTATTGGGTTCTTCTTGGGCGGATATGTGTACTTTCATTCCTTCACTCATCCTGTGTATGATATGCTAGTAATCGTTTTACATCGTTGAATACATTCTTCTTGGATACCGCTGACCAAAGGTATATACTGCGAGACATTCATCCGATCCTTCCAAAAGTCTCGATCAGTTCTGTCCCTCCTCATCCGCGCTGTTCCAATGAAAAGACGCGATATGCAGAGGATGGCATGGCCATCGTTTCCGCAAACTGCTTGGTGAAAGCAGTTGAACCGCAACTGTCGGCTTTGATGCTACAAAGCGTCTTGAACGCAACCGCAAATGCAAACCTGTCCTTCAGACTGTAAGCGTACGATGCCTTGAGAACCTCGACTTGTCGTAGATGGCTCAGTAATACAACACCCTCGGGAGGCTTTCTGAAGCTGTCCACAAGGCAGTCTAGTCCTTTGTTTCTTGAGTTCTTCTTGTTCCTACCCTTCCCCTTCTTCGGGGTCGCAATTTGCTTCTGCCGATTATTGTCGCCCCACACGGATGACCACTGCTCGCGAAGTCTCTGCACCTGCTGCTCAATGGATGAAAGCTCTTGGCGAATGGCAGAATGCTCGTTGCGAGCCTCGCACGCGCTTCGCCATGGTCGCAGGAGATCTGGGTCGGCAGTACGACGACAGTCCTCTGACAAGTGATCGAAGGCTTGCAGGCATTCAGTCTGAACTTTTTCACCTTCCGCAAGCAATTCGTCAAGGACGAAAGGTTCCTTCAATCGTCGTGGCAGATGACGTAGACTGTCTCCCACTTTCTCTTCTTTGTCGAGAGACATGCATTGTGGAAGCATGCGGTTGAAGTCTTTGCAATCCTTGCTGTAGACGTCCTTTTGTATAATTAAGCCTGATTTCCGTGAATCGAGAACAAGGTTGAATCTATGACGTGTAAAATCAGTATCAAAACCGCTATTCCCTTGCGACGGACATACATGTGTGCCAAACGCACTGTGCAGTCGGCTCCATAGCCAAATGCATATGCGGCGTTGTCATGGAATTTGGAATACATTCCAACCTTGCTGTTGATATAACCTGAAAGCAATTGATCCTGAAGGTAAGACTGGGCCTCATCCGCCGACAAATGTTGGATTTCGCGTGACAGCCCAGAGACCTGGAGTGTACCATCTTGTGGGAGGAAATTTTCGCGCTGCAGATCAGGCGGTAGGATGTTGTTGACGGAGGGGGGTTGAAAACTCTGCACAAGTTGCTGGTTATAGATACAGACAGCAGTATCTAAAAACAGTTAGTAGTGAACAAAATCATGAAAGAATCCATGTTTCATACCTCCATCATAATCTACGATGTGATGTCAGCCATATGATATAACAATCACAACTCAACAGACTCACCTCCTCCCGCTAGAAGACTTGCGAGGGAACATTTGCCTTTGACAGGCAAAATGATCACATCTACATAGTCTGCAAGTTTTGGATGGGATATTGCTTTTGCCTGGCAAAATACAGCTGTTAAGTATTAGTGTTCTCAATTGGATATGAGATCAGAGCAACCTTCTGGATGTCTGAAGGGAGCCTGCACGGATTTCTGTATAACTAAAGATGCATCACGTCTTAGTTGATAGTGACATATATGTATTGAGACTATACTCACCAATACCTCTCCAAACAGCTGATTGGGGTCAAAATTCATTGTAGCATCCTTCAACCCCTTTGAAGACTTGAAATGAATCTCTCCTTCTTTGAGAACACCGTGAGGATCTGTAGAATGCTCCTTCATCAGTTCTGTCCTAACCTAGGTTGGGACAAACACAGTACCAGGAATGATCAATGCCTCAGCAGATTCCGGCACCACTATGCGGAACTCCTTCAAGAACGATTTGAGCACTTGCTTCAAAATCTGCCTGATTTTGTCAAGAAGAAATCCGCAATCAGATGGTGTGAAACCCGCTTGAAGTAATTCCAAAGCACTCTCGTAGAGACTGTCTGGCGGCGCAAGAGATAAATCACCCTCCGGTGTCTCCTTCTCTGTCTCTTCCTCCGGATCCTCTAAGTCTTCAATGAGAAGATCCTGATCAGACGGCAAATCGAGAAATTGGCGTGATAGACCAAGAACGCGAGCCAATCCTGCTGCATGTCGCTGAAGCCTGACTGTTGTCATATTACCACTCTTGTAAATCATGTACCACAGCAACACCATGGCGTTTTCTCCTTTCCAATTGGTGAAAGGCTCTACCAGCTCATTCAAACTGTCTTCCATAAGCTTGCTGAATATTTCAGTGGGTACATGGTTATGTGACATGTTCATGATTGGATACCGGGATAGTCTAGATGGTGCTGAGACTCTTGAAGGTTGTACCAGGTCGAAAATTAGATGTGCAGGATGGAGTTTCGAGAGATGTTTAACATCCCATTGTGCCGTAAGCCTGACCTTGACTTGAGACGGGCGAATCCAGATTTTTGGCGGATCTCGAGGGTCACGCTCAGTGGGGTGGATCGTCCAGAGACCCTTGGATCCAAGGATACGACCTTGGACGGCACATGGTATCTGAGAGTATCCAAGATTCTTCGCAATGCATACAAGCGCCGATGCATTCATGTAACCACAGCCGTCAGTGAAGATCTCGTCGCCGATTTCTAAAGGCAAAATGAGACTGGGAGGATATTGTGCGGGTAGAGGGGGAGAACACGCACTCTCATCCTCTTGGTGGAAGATGTTGCTAGGTTCGAACTTCAATGCCGGAATTGATGTCGACAAACCCAAGTCAAACCGAGCCACCCATTTGCTCGCAGCCTGATCCATGACATTAAGCTCACCAGGATGTCTGAGAATAGTGAATTTACCTGTTTTCCATTCAGCTCTAAAGGATTATGCCAGCCGATAAACGATTGTAAAGAACACCGTCGTTGATCGCCTTGTTCGAATGGCCGTCGTCCATGGTAATCTTCGTCGGTCTCCATCAAGTAAGCACCATTATCCTTCACGCAGAACGGAAGGAAAACCCGCCCGCACAAGATGAACTTTTGCCTCAGGACCTCATTTGCTCGTTCATAAAAAGCCGGCAGCTTCAAGGATATCATCCGACGAGACCCAAGGAACCGCGCAAACCGACTCGATTTGCGCATCTCCATGGGTTGCACCTGAACCTGCAGTTCCTTGTCCGAAGTCTTCATAAGCTCGACCGTTTGTTGAATCCTTCCGCCATACCAACGCTTGGCACCATGCCAATCGTCATCTGGCTCTTCAAGTCCCTGAAGACCAAGCCCACGGTGCTGATTTTCTTCAAGAGCCTTCTGTTCGCGGTCAAGTTCCAGCCTGAGTGAAGTACAGCGTGAGTGCTAGCAGTCTAAATAATGGAGCAAAAGGTAATAAACCATAGCTTTTGCTCGTGTGCAGGAGCTCCTGTGAATTGCTTCCCGAGGATGATAGCGGGAACTTCACAAGCTTTGGTGTTATCTCCTTGCAATTGTCGGATCTTATCCAGAGTAACCTCTTTCCACGTCCATCGACGATTCGACACTCCACGAGCGATCTCGTACTGCACGCCCCAGGCTAGCTTATGCCGATCCATTTGACTCTGTACCAAATCGTCGTGAGCAATGACGTAAGTCCCGAGCTGACTGGGCCGGGAAGTGCTAGGATCATTGAAAGGAGACTCAGGGTCGTGGATAGGCCCGGGGTAGCTTGTGGACTTCGATTGGATAATGTCCCTAGATGGACGTAGTCCTTCCTGGTTGGGTGCCGTATTCGACCTGGGAGTGAAATAAGACATCGACTACGAATGCACAAGTTTCTCGCTCACCTGAGCAGCGGTACATTTGGAGGACTATTGAGAGCCTGCATCCGCAATGAAGTTGAGGTTCTGTTCATGAAGATAAGTGTAAAATAGTGTTGACATTCGTTAATCGTTGTACCCGTTGTTAGTCTGCACAGAGATTCTCTGCAACTTCGGAGTAAGACCAGTACTTCCGGAAGGCGGGGACTCTAGGCCATCCAGTGGACGTTTGCGTGCAGCGCTTGGTACGTAGAACCTTGTGCAAATGCGTCTTGGTCTTTGGAAAGAAACGTCGGTGATGAGATCCTCGTCATCACTTACAATATCTACATTGAGACCATCAGTAAAGCTGAGGAGCATGAGATAGACATGCGGATCCTACACGATTCGACTGGATGACGGTCAGTCAGATCCTTATATTTTAGAAGAATAATCCATATGACTGACGTTCAAAATCCTCATCACTGTCATCGCTGTTCGAAACTTTTGACCACCCCTAAATCCAAGGCATGCTCAGAGAAAAATAACCTTCAAACGTCGACAAATACATACAGACGACGTTTCCGTATCAGTAGGTGAGGGCGTCTGACCTGGGCGACTTGACGGGATCCTTGGAGCTGAACTTGCGGTCCTGCGAGGGTAAGGCTGCACAGGACGGTCTAAATGATACTTTAGCTAGAGGACAGCCAACAGACAGACGATGACTGACTGGCATCCACCCTTTCTTGGCGGATACGAGTAGATGTTGTTGAAGAAGCAGAACTTATAGTAGAGGTACTAGACATCGAATCTAATCGCGACGCGAAACGTCAGTCCCAACGCCTCGATGAACCCTTATCCTACTTACTGGTGCGGGAGACAGCAATTGTGTTCATACCGTTATAAGTATGATTCCTCGTCGATGTGGATGACATCTTCAGATAATCATATATGCAGCCAGAATTCAAAAGAACGCGACTTCTCTGTGAGCAGAGACGTAGTAGCAAAGCGCTGTGTTCGGTTGGATGTTATTCAAGAGCTTTTGTATACAAACAAGGGTATAGGAGATACGAAAGGTACGTGAGAATTCGAATCAAGAGCCCTCTTTTAACTGCGCGGGGCACAACGGGGCTAAGGGCTGCCAGAAGACAGCCATACAAGGTTGCCTTAATCCAGGGGCCAAAGCTTCCACCCAAGAAAACGCGATCGAAGTGATCGAATTGGTCCAGAAATGGAAGGTCGTCAACTTCAACTGAAAGTAATGTTGATCAAATGTCGCGTTTCCACACAACGGATGACAGTTTGTCCGAACAAACACAATGTACATGTCCATCACAGATGTAAAGGAGAGAAACATTACAAGTAAATCCGCTAGATGAATGCATGTGTGTGAAGATAAGCAAATCCAGTCAAATGATGAATCCAAGATATCGTAGGTATGTAATGAAGTAAATAATTAATGAGGTACCACCAGTCCAAGACCCAGTCACAGGAAGATCCAAATAGAGCAGAGTAGATCATTGAGACTTCTTGAAGTCCTGCAACACACACAGGCGGTGAGACACCGCAGATACTCAAGAACACGTGGACATACCTTTTTGACCTCCTTCTTGACCATACGCTGCACGTACCGCTTCTTCAGGTAGTGAGCCATCCTCTGCAGGTCTTGCCACATGAAGATGGTGATCACAACGACCATCACCGGGGCGGCAATGTACCAGAAGCTAGGGGTAATGGGGTAAGCGAGCGAGGCATGTTTGGTCGAAGAAGTGACTTACAGGGCGTCGGAGTTCTCTCGTACTGACCACATGGCTTCGAAGTTCATACCCTAGACAGCAGGTGAATATGTCAATCAGCCCCTCACGACCATGGCAGACGTACGAAATATCCAGTAAGAAGTGTCAGAGGCAGGAAAATGATAGTCGCGAGGGTCAACCGTCGCCTGACACAACATGAGTTGATGACTACGAATGGAGCATAGTGACAACTTACATGACTTCGTTCATCTCATATGAAGACATCTGGAACATTCGATCAACAGAGTGAATGGTCGGCAAAAGAGCATGTACCCACATTGAAGGTGTAGTTGATTAAGTTCTCACTGATGCCAGCGAACATATCCAGGCTTGTCAGGATATACTCCATATGATCGTAAACGTCGGCTAAGTAGATCTTGGATTTGTGGCTCATGTATCCTTCGATCTTGACCGTTGGGTCAATTCTCTCGCTCAGTGCGGCAACACGGTCTATATCATATCGTCGAAGACCATAGATCACCGTCTTGATTGGCTCGAGCGTCCGTTTGTGCAGGATGAGGTCGCCCTGAAGGATATGAACTGATCCACAAGGATCAGTCAACAACCGTTCATGAGAGAAAACGTCATCTAGAACTTACGTCGTCGAACGCTAGTCATCGTTGGCTTGACCAAGACATTGTGTTCAAGGGACAAGATCTTGCTCTGGTACTCTTCCACGACTTCGAGGGCCTGGTCGACAACTGAAAGCGGATATAGAACGATCAGCTATACATGATTCGTCCTTGCAGATGGAATCCTGACCAAGATCGATCAGACTCTCCACCAGGAGCGATGGGTCGGCCGTCGTTCGCAAACCAGTATCCCGCTGGCGCAAACGTCCTGTGATTGGACTCGTGAAGTTAAGTCTGTTGTCTTGGTGAATAGTGATGACCGTGCCTTGAAACCAGACGTAGTATTAGCCAGAGAGTGTAGACAGAGGCAGCCTACTTACCGTCTCGGAAGAGAAAGATACACATGGGCGCAATCTTCACGTTGACTCGTTCGTCTCCCTTGAGTGCTCGAATCAATTTCACGTTCCTAACATCTTTCCGAGCCTAATGAATGCAGAGAAAGATTTTAATATTGCCCTCATGATCGTGAGGGATCGCACGTTCCTACCTTCTTATCCAATTGCGAAGTATCCAATCTTGGTGACCGCGGCATCCTGTCCTCAACGTCGACCGGGTTGCCCAGCTGCCGTTTTACAGTGTTGCGTAATGTACCGCCTCGCTTAGTTGAGAATTTTGAGCCACTTGCACTACCATACTCGGTTTTCTCATCCTCGCCATCTTTTCCATCGTACTCAATATCAACTTCTTCGACCTCCATGGGCTCGGGGGAACTCGAGCGGGGGAGATCGGTGACTGAAGTGTTCGGCGTAGAACCTGTAGAGCCATCTTTCTCATTGGAAAGAGAATGACGGAGTAAGCGGAGGAAAAGGTGTTTGTTGTAGTAGTCGACCTTAGATCGGGCATGCCCTCGTTGGTGTAGAACGTCCTCCAGCGCAAGCGGGTGAATATCTGCATGGCTGTTAGCAACCCTTACGTCTCGCGTTCGCACAAGGAGGACGAGGTACCATATTTTATGGCGATTGCACTGATGACATCCCAACTAATGCCCCCAATGTTGATCCATCGAACCTTCACCCACGGTTCCCTGGCACTGGCTCTTGGATCTGCCATGAGCTTGATGAACTCAGCATTGGACATCCTACCAAAGCTACTTCTCACGGCCGAGTAATCCGCAATTTCAATCAAACAATGTTGTCGGATATGTCCGTAAGTAAGGTTTGCCGACGAACGACGAGGATCGATACCTGGCTCAGCACCAATACCATGGCGAGATATGATAGCGGACGTCTTGCGCATGGCCATGACCTTCCTGACCGAGCTTCGGAATCGTTCTCCAGGCGTCACAAGGGAAGGGCGTATGGGTGCAGCGTCTTGCGTGGAAGTCCTGCCATTAGGTGAGCGCGACCGTGCAAATGAATTTCTTATGAGTGATTTGGGGGATCGAGGAGATTTGGGTTGAGAAGGCAGAAGAGATGGTGCAGACAGCGTATCTTCGAGGGTTTCAAGGGTAGGCCTGCCATGCCTCGCTGGCTGCCCAGCAGCTGGAGTGCCTAGAAAAGCCGCTGGTGCGTGGTCAGAGGTGGGTGAAGTAGGTGAAAACCCGAGCTCGTCCTCCAAGTCTGGAGTAAGAGATCGTCCGTCAGAATCACTGAAGCTGTTCTCGCGAGGCATGGCTGGCCCCAATGAACTTCACGAGAGATACGGATAACCAGAAAGGTAGGAAGGTGGTGGTTGAGAAGAGAAATTGAATATTACTATCCCAAACATCATGGAAGCTGTCCATCATAGAATCAGCGCCCTTGGTCGACAACGAGGAGCAAGCTCTGCAATCTATTCTAGACATACTATAAATAGCAGTCGGCATTCACCGTACTACCGCTCTATAAGTTAACTCTGACGCAACTCACTCCTGAATTGCACTCCTTGCACATAACATTCACGACTACGAAATGGCTGCTCAACCCCGCTGGTTCCAAGCTCTTAACGATGCTCTCAGTCTCCCGGAGAACAAGGGCAAAATTGGTCTGTACCTAAACGCTGTCATGTTTTGACTGTGCCTGAATTGCAGTGTGCATCAGTGTATCAACTAGCGACAACCGACTTGCACAACATCCCGCGCGTCCGCTCCCTCCAGCATCGCGACTTTCTCATTCCGAAAGGACTACCTTCTGTGCCCATTATTTTAACCACCACTGATATACGCACGCCGAAGGTTCCCCAGCTCCTATCCACCCCCACTGTCGAAGTCGTTTGGTGGTTGGACGGTACTCAAGAGCAGTTTAGGATTACCGGTAAAGCCACCGTGATTCCCTCACGCGAACATCCTTTGCATCGCACGATCGACATTCCTCATGACAGCGCCCTCGCTGTTTTGAATTCAGAGGGAGAGGAGTCCTCACCGGGCAAGTACGATTGGGAGAAGAAACGCAGAGAGGTCTTCGATTCCATGAACTCCCTCAGGCCCGTCTGGGCTCGGCCTCCTCCTGGCACTGTCTTAGAATCCTATGACGATGCAAAGGCGTGGCCCGTTACCCTTCCTAAACTTGCAGAGGCCGAGACCGAAGAAGACAAGAAGAATCTGGAGATCGCCATAAGCAACTTCGCGCTCCTGTTGATTGAACCAACTGTGGTGGATTGGGTGCAGCTTGGAGTTAAGCCCGATCGGAGAACCAAGTTCACGAAAGAGGGGCAAGAATGGACGGAGCAAATTCTAGTGCCATGAATTTGAATGGAAAGCGAAACAAGGACTCTCGGTGTATGCATAACTGTACTTGTAGCGTCGACAGATGTATCATTCTGTCGATTACTTTCGGACTTGTTGTAATTTTAGTTGAACTCAATCTGAAATTGTTTACGGAAGAGCCCATCCATCCCAACCGGACCACCAACGATCAAAGCATGGTGAAGAGCAGGAGTCGGAAATGAACGCAGGACACATGCTGAATATCGGATAGACCCCTGAAGCTGGAGACAAGGCACATAGAATACAGATAAAAATACACGCTTACAATACACACCAAGTGTCCAATTTCATTTGTACAACACTTTCATCTCTGAGTTCACGCTTCTTCAGGAGCAGCTCTTGCCTTCTTATTCAGAACTTCACTGTTTTCCTCAACCTCGCCATAGTCACCAGAAATATCCTCTTTTTCATCATCCCGAGATCTTTTCTTTCCTGTCTGAGCTGATTGGGCAGATTCTGAGGCAGTAGGACCAGAAGTGCCGTTCGCAGGTTCATACTCCTCGTCCTCGTCTTCTTCATTTTCATCCTCCTCTTCTTCACCGCCCTGTAGAGAACATCATCAGTCCGAAGTCCCATGAATGAATTGAAGGTGATGACAACACTCACAGAACCGCTGAGCAAGAGGGCAGTCAAACTTGTAGTTCCTTCGGCAGTCTATAACACATGTCAGGAATTAGTGAAGTGGCACAAGGATGGTTGTAAAATGTGAACTCACCACCGGTTCTTCTTCCTCATCCTCATCTTCCTCATACTCTTCCTCTTCCTCCTCACCTTGTTCTTCGCCACCAGCAACTTCCCCTTCTTCTTCCTGTCATATGACATCGTGTCCAATTAAGACGCATATATGCATGTAAAATATTGTAAACCAACCTCAATATCATCATATACATCGCTCTCCTCACCCTCCTCGCCCTGCACTTCCTCACCCTGGAGGTTCTCGACTGGCGGTTCAGCTGGTGCTTGTTTGGCCATTATATTTGAAATTTTGGAGCCTGTGAATGGCAATAAGTTCAACCTGAAACTGAACAGACTGAATATGAACGAAAACAATACAAACGTTTGAGCGGGTTTCAACTGACGTTGGCTGGTGACGTGTACAACGAGGGAAAGCTATGTCGTGGGTAGATGAACTCTCCGGATACAACTTGAACGTTTGCCCATGCGGGTGTCCGATTGGTTCCACTTCGAACTGCGTCACTCGAACAGGAGCTTCTCCGGCTTGCCTTCATATGGCAGGCGACGAATTCAATTTGTTCATGCAGCTGTAGGGAAGGACATGATGGGATGGTGCATCGAACAACCTACTACTTATTATTCTAGGGGATCAGAAGGGCTAATTTTATTATATTGCTACAAACATCACAGACGAAGTACAAAGAGGGTGTGCAATATGCCAGAAACTACGCGATACACTGTGACACAAGAGAAGACATCTAAGTAATATAGCGAATCAACGAGTTTGAATACACTTCTTATTGTGGAAACGCGAGTCGTGGTTGACATGCAAAAGACTTCTATGCAATGATGCGGATAAGTTGCAGAGTTAACGTTCATTAGGATTCACGCAACCATCGTAGGATTTCTCTGAGGCCTTCGCCACCAGTAAGGAGTGCCTGTCCGTGTCGACCATAGCGATCGAACCACAGACACTTTCGAATGCCGTGTGATGTGAGATAATGTTTGACACGCTATCCAAGGTCAACACTGAGTACACTTTCGCCGAAGAGGGTTTGATCATAACGCTTACCTCGGCATCGACAACGCCATCCTTCCCGCCGAGGAAAAACTTCGTCTTGGAAGGATCATATACATTAGGTATCTCTTGTATCCATAACGAGTTTGCGTTCCAGTCAAAGTGACGTTGAAGGAAGTTGGCTACTCCTAATCCCATTCCAACAAAGTACTTCATGAGGAGCTCGAGACTCTGCATATAAGCGAGTACGTCATTGGATGCGGCACTCACAAGGACTATCCAAAGAAAACGAACCGTCACGGCATGTCTGTAGATAAAGTTATAGCAAAGGTCTACATTTCACGAACGATGCATGAACACTGGTTCAGTAAACCTGTCAGTTGGTGAGCTTACCTCCTTCCCAAGAGCAGAACGTCACGGGGTCGATAAAGCAAGAATGCTGATCATCTCGGGGTACGCCTTCAACATCCAAGCGTGCGTGAAAGAACCACTGAAAGCAGCGTTCGTTTCATCGCTATGTGCGACTTTGAATGCACGCACCTCGAGTGACTTATCACAGTAACGCCACTTGGCCGGTGAACTTCCCTCTCTTGTTTCTCGGGCTTTCCCCCGTTCTCTGCCGTGGCTTGCTCTACCCAACCAAGCTGGCGCAACAAGCCCGCGAGACAGTCAGCAGACTCGTGCCTGTTCATGGGCTTCAGGAAACGACGGTTGAATATGTCCTGACTGGCGTGAGGGTGCAGGAGTATCAAGACAGGATGGTCGGAGACTGCTCCCAGCAGGTGCGAGAGGAATAGATGATACCGTAGAAGTCCAAGGCCGAGTCCGCGGATGAAGGCAATTGGGCGAGGGCCTGTTTCTGGGGACCACGAATGGGACATATGGAGAATATACCTAGCGTGAGATTAGAATGAGTTTCTCGCAAAGGGACTGTGCAAAAATGGCATAAACTCACTCTAACCCTTTATAACTACCGGTCTTAGTGTTCCACTTCACTTGTAAACATCGGCGAATGATGTGATTGGTAATCGCCACAAAGGCATACCACACCAGAGGTCTCCAAGCAACGTTGACTGGATCAAAAGTGAGAAGCAGAGCGCTGCTGTGTGGGTTTGAACCTTCTGGAATAGCAACTCCAGCACGTTTCTCCACCAACGACAGCGCATCTTGTAGAATGGTTTTCTCAGCGTCTGGAAGTGACTCCAAAGAAGTAAAAGGCCGGTTGTATATGTACCAATAGAGCCACGAATACATTTCATGCCTACGGATTGAAGACCAAGGAACTTTGCCAAACCTGAATAAGAGACTCTGATTAAGACCGCGTACGTGCGAGGTTGTACAACCGAGGACATACCATGTGCGCATACAGTTACGAAAATCTACTGCACGAGGATCGTCGAACTCCAGAGTTACGATATCCTCTGTGGGACTGCTTGGCCTTTCACCGTCTTCCTCGTCTGAGGCTTCCCTTGGTAACGACGCTAAGCCAGCCTGAAGGGAGCGTTTGAAAGCGCACTGCAACTCGGTGAGACTGCCATGACCATAGGAAGAGGGACCTGATATAGGACGTGCAAGACTATATAGGTATGTATCAGGTAAACGCTAAAGACGACCTAAATAGAGAACTGCTAGAATGAAACAGGGAGATATGAGGGCATATGACTCACCTCACAGAAAGCCACGCGAACAGCAGTCTACCATACCAGGCAAACGTCTAGATTGAACCACAACGAAGGCCCAGGAGATAGGGACAACAGACCAGACAGGGAGTACGGCGGCCAGAAGGATAAAGTAACAGGACAGGATCTTGCGGCGAGGAAGGCAGAAGAGTTCAGCGATGTCTTTAGTGCCAGTGAGTCCTGGCTCAGAGTCCATTGTCTAGCGAAAAGGAGATAAAGAGAGGAGTCCTCTCGAGCAAGCGGGAAAGCGCTGCTCTGAAAGCAGTAGATGACGGACGAGGAGGCCAGTAATTAGTCTCCCACAGGCAGTGTAGACAGAGGTTCAACCTTCGTACCTCAGGATATCTCTGTCCAGTAAGTAGTCTAGACAGCAGGACCGGGTGTGTAAATTAGCAGTTCTCAACGATGTCGCGTCGTAGGCTCAGTTTCAGCCACTATAAAGGAAGACCGTCGTTCAAACGTTCAACTTCCATACTTCTATAGTGGCTGAAACTGAGTCCAGGCGACTACATTCATGGGCTACAACTGTAATCACTGTTCGAAAGATAGCCTAGTGGCTCCTCCTCAGAGCATCGCACTACTTACCATTATGACTTTGGGGGTGGGGGAGTGAGAAAGTAATTTGCATAAGACACCGATCGAACTCGAATGATTCTCATGACATATGACAGTACTCTCGACCACACCGTACAGCAATACGCAAACATTGGAAGTCGACAGCAGAACTGACACAAACCTTCATTGATTTTAACGAGCCAAGGTAAGACTAACCGTAGCTGAAAGTAATCAGAAGCCCAGACATAAGTCATTTAACGCCAGAAATCAGGATGATGCGCTTTACACTCTAAGCATACAACACCAATAAGAAAACGTAATACAGTACACAACGTATATGAAAAACATATCACTTCCTGGCGAAGGTAATCTGTTAAAGAGATAACCATGAGTGTCGTTCGCGGCCGAGCAAACAACCAAGACATACCTTGATCTTGTTCTCTCCATCCAGCTTGTAATTGTGTAACGCGTCCTTCGCTACAGTTGCACTTGCCTCGTCCATATATTCCACGAAGGCAATATCCTTCTTCGTTGGGATAAGACGAACTTCGTACAAGTTCGGATATCTAGGATAGTTTTACCACTCAATATTGGAGAACGTGAAGAGTAAGGCTAAAGGGACTGGTTACGCACTGTGAGAAGAGAGCCATGAGTTGGTCTTTGCTGACATTTTCTGGCAGGTTTTGCAGGAACAGAATCTTGTTCGGTGGGAGGTATTCGTCCGGCATCTGGACAGCGGGTCGTTTTGATACTGGCACCGCGCCGCCATCGACTACCATACAGTAAGAATTTGAATGAAGGCAGAAAATAAGCGTGTACATACTCTCTGCTGCTAGCCTCTTCGCTCGGAACTTCGCTTTGAGTGGGTTAGTATATCTCGTAGCTTCTGTATATAGCAATGTCAGTTCATAAGTGCAAAGGTCTCTCGAAAGTAGAAGATCGATATACGTACTCTTGTGTTCTAGACGTCGCGCCTTGTGTGTGTCATAAGTCGTGGGGTCAAGCTTCTTCACAACAGCATCTGAGCGTGATCGTGCAAACGAGATTTGCTTCACGATTACAAATGTGAGACCATGCACGTAGAATAAACAAAAACAACCACGCACCATAGGTTTTGAGTACAACGGGAACCCTCTAACCTCCTTCAACGCCTTCTTTGCAACATCAGCCGACTCAAACGAGACAAATGCCTGTCCCCTCATCCGCAGGTTATCGTGTGCCACAACGTCCAGCACCTCTCCATAAGTTTTGAAAAGACCGCGTAAGCTTTGCTTCAGCACTGGAAGCTTAATCTTTTCATTGAGATTCTGAATGTAGAGCGTTTCCGTGGCATGTTCTGGTTCTGCTGGAGGTACTGGTGCTGGTGGAACGGCGCCTTGAACTGGGACCGGTGCAACGATGGGGGCATCCGGCATAGGTACGTCGCGCGAGATTGGAGGCGCTGCTGTATCGGCCATATGTGAAGGTGAGGGAATATGTAGTAAAGAAATTCGAGTTCGAGGATGGTCTGGAGAACTTGGAGCGCAGGAACTTGCCTCGATCGGCATCAGCCGTCGGCTTAGATATGGCAGCTCGCTTAGCGCTGGATCGCGTCTAGACTTCATCACATTGTCATGCATTGCTCATCCCCACAGCGGTGCAGGAGCTCTTTCAGTAACGACCCCCAAACGACCCCAAGTTGACCCAATTCCCTCGGTTTGAATACATTCTCCACCTTAATGGGACGGTGGACACAATATGACGAAGTGCGCACTCTTTGACTTGGACAGCTCAGCTACTGACATTTGACTAGGATGACTACCGCTTGCCTGAAGGCATGAAGCGAGTCGGTTACGATGCAGACACTGGAAGGTACTACTACCGTGATGGAGCCGGAAGTCTATGGGAGGGTGCTGAAGGTGCTCAGTATGGAGAGTTGAAGCAAGGTACGTACATGCTTTCTGCATTTGGCGTATCGGGCAATATTCAGACGTGGCTGTAGTCTCCGATACCACAACAGTCGACATAACAAGCGACGACGATCTTGAAGCCGCCCCTACTCGGGCAGATGGTTACCAACCGCTAGCGTCAGACGTTAGTCCACACCGTTTCTGTCCATCGTTATGCTTTGTTCATCCGTCCTTTTAGCAGGACATGGATCCTCGTCGAGCAGTCAATAACACTCATGCGTATCGCACGCTGTTCCCATTCTTTCTGATTATTTTGGTCGTCCTGCTGCTGGTTTTGCGCCTCGTGTCGCACCCTTCGCAGTCGGATGAGCCTGACATAGTCCTTTGTACCGGTAAGGCACGTCCATACCGAGTCAAGAAAGGAGATACATGTTGGGATATTGCGAAGCGAGAAGGGTGCACTCTAGAGGAGTTGCAGAACGTCAATCAAGATCTGGAGTGCAAACGCCTTACTCCCTCCCAGATTATCTGCTTGCCGGAGGCGAAGACAGCTTGATTGGCACTATGTATTATTTGCTCTTGTATAGTAGATTTGGACTTGGATATTATTTACGATACCCTGGGCTCGTGAAAACGCACTATGAGCGGTTACGGGACGGTGTCTAGAGTTGTTCTTGAAGAGTTACTGTATCGGGATGTTAGGTAGCCGTCCGGATGACGTCAAGCGGCGTGTACCAAGTTGAAGTTGCGCGGATTCGGAAGCTTTTGAAACGCATCGCAGCAACCGCAGCTCCCTTCCGTCATCGACCCATATAATCAATTCGAACTCGTCCACTTTTCCTCACGCCACTTTGCTTTTCACGTTTACGATCGTCTGTCCACGACTCTTACGACAAACCTTGTTGTTCTACCAATTCCGCCCTCATCATGTCTCGTTTTGAACGTCATATTCGCAGGGGCCATCCTAGTATGTCTCCTACAGTTCAACCTGGGGGAAACAACACTGACAGCTACACTGGGTTCCAGTCGTGTTTGGCTTGATTATTCTCTTCAGCATTATTGAAGTATGTCGCGTCCTTCCTCACTTACCTCTTACGCTCGAGCTAAACGAACTGTGTAGCTTTCGATCTCCGCATGGCTAGTGTCTCGTTTCAATGCGCATCACAACTATCCATCCACAGGCGTCCGAGATAGAACTCGTTTTCTGCTGTTCACGTCGATATGGACAATCGTCTTCTCAGTACCCTTCATGTTCTTCTTCTGGCGTTCTAGTAGCTCTGGAGAAGAGTCCGTTCTAACGAGTGTGGGTGCTCACGGCGTATTGTACGTCCCTATAGCTTAATCTTCGCTGTCAAACTCATTGTAGCGATGCTTCACTTCTTTACAGTCTCTTCATAACTTGGGTATTCTGGACGGCAGGCGCAGCAGCAATCACTGCGGGCTTGAATGGTGGTCTTGATTGCTCGTACGTCTTTCATGTCAGCACACATATTATATGCATCTTACAATCCTTATTAGTCGAGATGATATATCGTATTGCGGTCAACAAAATGCTCTTGAAGCTTTCGCTTGGATCACATGGTGAGGTCTCAGATGGTTCCTCTATTTTGTCTCTGTTGACGCGTCATTATAGGATCCTGGTGACCTTCGCCTTATTCATTGCTATCTGGAGAGGGATCTCTGCCTCTCGTCGCGGCGATGGCATGCGTGGCTCTCTTGTTTAGGCTGGACTCGTGCCCAATTTACATGTTTTTTTATTATTCTTCGTATTATAATCCCGTGTTTGTTTATAACTTCGGACTCTACGGACTGTCTTGTTTGTTGTGCTATACTTTTTTCAATATCGAGTAGTGCTAGCTAATGATACATTGACCTCAGTGTACTTGGTCTTATTTACTGCTCTCCATTTGGATCATATTCATACTGTCCATAAAGCGGCTTCCATTGCTTTCCCTTGGCCTTTCCCCTCACTTCTTCCTTCTTCCAATCAACACCGGCAGAACCTTCCTCAATGGCCTGCTCAGCGACAGCAATCGCCACCTCAAGGTTTACCGCAGGCGAGTCCCCGAAGTCGGGAAGCAGCGCATCATCAGGGTCCTTGAGGGCGGGCGAAAGTTCTGCTAACCTTTGGGTGCCTGCTACAATCATTGAATCAGTAAGTGCGCGGGATCGAGAAATCATCGCGCCGAAGCCGAGGCCAGGGTATATTAATGCATCTAATCAAGTACAACGACTCAGTAAAGGATTTCGTTGATCAAGAACATACGATACGAACTATTGCATTCGCCGACACTGAAATAACATTCGTCAGAAAATAGTCTCCAGCATGTGGAATGGCTATTGAGGCTTACATGTACTCTTTCCCATTTGGCTGCTTGATTGGAGGGAACGGGCTACCTGTGGCGATCAACGCCTTGCCATTCGTCCAGTCATTCGCATCTTGAGGTTTGACCTCATGCAATCTACTTGGGTTCGAAAGCGGCAAAATTATCGGTCTATCGGTGCCCTTGGCCATTTCACGAATGATTTCCTCGGTGAACGCGCCAGCATGCGTCGAGCACCCAATCAACACAGTGGGCTTCACCTTCTTCACGACTTCTAACAAGCCCACCTCACCTTTCTCGTTCGTAGGCACGCCTTCCCATTCCTGGTCAGGCCGGGTGAACTCGCGAACAGCGTCTCGAATCTTCTCTGCACCGAGTGACTCTTTGATCAAACCGAATTTGTCTAGAAGGTAGAACCTCTTGTTGGCTTCTTCAATAGAAAGATTGTTCGTGGTGGCGACACCGTCACGAAGTTGGCGAGCGATACCGAGCCCTGCTGAACCTGCGCCATAGATAACAAATCTTTGGTCCGCGAGTTTCGATTTGGTGACGCCGAGAGCGGACATCACGCAGGCTAAGGTGACCGCGCCTGTTCCTTGTACATCATCGTTAAAACAAGCATGTTGGTCTCGATATTTGTCAAGGAGCCTGTACGCGTTTGTGACACCAAAGTCTTCGAAATGCAAGAGTGAGTGAGGCGTGTACTTGCGCACTAGCTGCACAAACCTAGCGCATATATGAGCACTGTTAGCTGTAATGAGACGCGCGCCCGACTTACTTGTCAATGAATTGATCATACTCTTCGCCTCGGATCCGTTTGTGAGGCCACCCCTAATCCATGTCAACGGATGTCTCTGAAGCGTAGGCAATTGTGTTATAAACATACTACATATAAAGGGTCGTTGAGGAGATCTTCGTTGTCTGTGCCGACGTCAAGAGTGACACTGAGCGTTTTGGATGGGTCCATGCCAGCGAGTAATCTGACACACGAAATAAGGCATCGTGTACCGAGTGTAGAACAAAATATATTACTCACGTATAGATGGCCGATTTCGCGGTAGCAATCTGAGGCTCTTGTTAGCATCTATTGCGTAGCCCTGTTCAACGTACTACCTACCCCAATGCCCTATGATGCATGGATATGCATATAGTCAGAGTAGAGAAAAGACACTGTAAGTGGAAATAAACTGTTACCCCGACGCCTTGGTCACCAATCCCTAAGATTGCTTCTGCATCCGAGCAAACTACCAGGTCGATGTCTCGACCCTTCACTTGCTCCAAAAAATCCTCTTCCATAGAGTCAAAGTCGGGAAACGTCATGTATAGTCCCTCACTCCTTCGAAAGAGATGGGAGTAGTTAGCAATGGCCTCGGCCTAAGGTGAAATCCTTAGAAGCAATGTTTGAAATGTAGCCAGGATTTCCGTACCTCAGTGGGGGTGTATATGATTGGAATCAACTCCCTCAAGTGGCTACCGATCAGGCTGTAGTACAACACCCAATTCTGTTCCCTCATGCTCTGAAGAAACGTGTTCTTCCTGAGGTCATGTTTGTGGGACTCTAACTGAGCGTACGCCCTGGCGATTTGCTCGTCCAAGGTGTTAACGCGGTAAGGTAGCCGACCTGTAAGGCCGAACACTTTACGTTCTTCATTGGTGAACGCAGTACCTTTGTTCCATCGAGGATCGGTGAGGAGAGCGCTACCTCGCAGTGCTACACGAAATACAGGTTCCGTTTGCGACATAGTGGGGGACGATGTAGCGAAAGAGCCAGAGGAAGCCCAGTTTGCTCTCAGGCATGTATCAATCATTCATTCTTTTGATTGATCAAAATCTACGCACGCGGTCGAGGAGCTTATAGAAACGCGTTACTGTCACGAACGCGTGTGGTGACCGTTACGCGTCATCAGCATGAATTTCGAGTGGCGTCGATCTGCACTTTCTTTCTCTTTCAACCATGGCTTCCGAAATTGCTCAGTGTCTTACTGCTACCCTTTCTGCTGACCCAACCACTCGTATTACTGCTGAACTCAAACTTAATGAACTCACTGCGCGTCCTGGTAAATTAGCACCTTTATTCATGTTCCTTTATTCGACCTCATACATACCGACGCGTGAACAGAAGCGGGCCTTACCCTGTCACAACTCCTCCTCGCTCAGGATGTCGACATTTCCCTGCGTCAGATGAGTATTAAGCTGCTTGATCGAGTTTATGCGGTGACTTGATGACTTCGTCCAGCACTCTGCGGGCATTCTCCTGAGGAGGTATATCAGGGAGAGATGGTCACCATTCTTCGTACAATTCAAAGGCAATGCCACACAAGTAGAAGTGAGGGATTTCTATCTTTCATCTACATTGCATCTTACACGTCTCCTATCGCGGTTGCGATTTTGCTAGGTTAAAATCCAGATTCGTCAAGCCATCTTCCAAGGTCTTTCGGATCCCAGTCGCAAAATTCGATCAATATGTGTAAGTTTTGAATGACTCCACTAGGCACACTGTAGCATCGTATTCAAACTCAGGCTTTGCCAGGCTCAAATACTCTCTAGCATCGCGAATTCTGACTGGCCAGACGAATATCCTGAACTGCTTACATTGCTGATTGGCTTGCTCTCTTCTGACTCCCCCGATGCCGTCCATGGTGCCATGCAAGTGCTCGTCGAATTCGTCAGCGCAGATCTTTCAGAAGACCAAATTCTACCTGTTCTGCGTGAACTGCTGCCCGTATTGCTGAGTATCCTCGGTGCACAAGATGTCTGTTGATGCGCTGCATTGTTTCTGGATACTTTCACTGATGATATGTTCTCTAGCGTCACTCGGCGCTGACTCGTGCACGCACGATTGTCGTTTTCAGACAGTGCGTCGAAGCTCTGTACATGGTCAAAGATCAACATCCACAAGCCGTTAAAGAAGCGACGGCTTCAATCCTCCCTGTGTGGCTTGATGCATTCATTGTTCTTCTCAATATCGATCCTCGCCGGGACGTAGAAAACACTCCGAACTGGGATGGTCTCTCAATACGCATGGAAGTGTTCAAGGTACCTGCTCATATATCGATGTTTAAATGGTTATGCTAAGATGGTCTGCAGACCCTTGACATCTGCTTAACATCCTTCCCTCGTACAGTAACTCCCTACGTACACGATGTGTTGAATGCTTCCCTTCAGCATCTTCATGCTCTGCAATCCGCTTTCTCCCACTACTATCTTACTGCGTCCTCGCCGGTTCCTCAAAATTCAGAAGGCGGGACCATCGATCTTACTAACCTGACATGCACGATCTTTGACTTCGTGACACGCGCTGCTCGGGGTAGCCGAGCAAGAGAATGGTTCAGTGATGTTAACCTAGCCGCCCTAGTTCGTGCCGTGTTCGATTGGGTGCAGATGAGCAACGAAGATGTGAGCACTTTCCGTATTCATAGATCGATGTACGTTTCTGACGTTCATGGTACTTGGCCTGTGTAATAGGAGGAGCAATGGGCGAACGACCCGAATGCATTTGTAGCGCAGGATTCCGATGAGACTCTCCAATATAGCACTCGGGTGGCTGGTTTTGATCTCCTTTCAGTCAGTAGTAGCTTGCAACACGTTGTCTTTTTTGTGCTGATCGCAGTTATAGGTTCTGATCGAGCATTCTCCGGCAGTGACGGTTTCTGCAATGAATGCGGTTACTCGACAAATTGTACAAGAATCTAGTAACAACCGAGCAGCTAGGCATGACGATTGGTGAGTTTCATGGCCCGTAACTCTCGCGCATTGTCTGATGCACATTTGGTTCAGGTGGCGACCGCTTGAGGCTGCTCTGGCTGCTCTTGGCGCTACTGCAGAGAGTGTGCTTGACTGCGTTGAAGACGAACTAGACTCCGGGCGGCCGAAGCCTATCGACATCGAGTTCTTACTTCGAAGCGTTGTCCCTGCCTTGCTGGCACTTTCTGGTTAGGCGAACAGACCGAATATTTCTCGAAACAATACTGATTGCCTCGTTTTCAGAGCGTCCGTTCCTGCAGGGGCGTGCATTCGTATTCGCCAGTCAATATACGAAGCTATTGCCTGAGGAGTTAGCAGGACAATATCTCGATGCGTCTGTGCAAGTTCTAGAGGCACCCGAAGCAGGCGTTCCTGTAAAGGTGTCTGCCATCAGGGCTATCCAAAAGTAAGTTTCCACCTTTATGTTCGCTAGACAGTTGATTCACTTGCGATCTCAGTTTCTATCAGCATATCACTGCTTCCAACAAGCAAGCACTCGCACCTCGCGTTGTACAAGATCTCCAACCATTCGTCACGCAGACTTCGGAGGACACGTTGTCCCTAGTTCTCGAAACGCTCTCTTTCGTTCTTTTAGTTAACGACGGCGCATGGATAACGCCCGAGATTGCCTCTTCTCTCCTAGTTTCTCTCATGGAAGTTTGGACGAAGTTCAATAAAGGTGAATCATACCCATTACTTTGAATATGTAGCTCCTAATCACATTCTTCAGACCCACTCTTTGTCTCTCTCCTCGGCGAAATCTTTGGTGCGCTGTCTGGATCACCGGCGCCTGGAGCATATGAGATAGTCTTGAAACAAGCAATCCCGGTGTTGTGCAACGCAATCCTCACTGCTAGCAGTGATAATGCTTGGCTTGCTGAGTCTGCTCTGGATTTGCTTGATAGCATCATTGGAGCCAGGGGAGATCGAGATCTAGGTGATAACCTCTTCGCTACAATTGCTCCTGCTTTGTTCTACGCCCTTGCTACAAATGAAGACAGGGATGTGATCCAGGTTTGTCAGCTTTTTGCCGTTTCCACGTATCACTCATTGACTGTTTCTCGTAGAGTGGTATCGCACTTCTTACGCTCCTCATTCGAAGGGCATTCAACCAGTTACTTGCCTGGTCGGATCCTCAGACTGGCAAGAGTGGCCTCGAACACGTCCTCGCAGTGATAGCTAAGCAGCTCCAGGGCGAGGATGAATCTGGCGGTCTCTTCATTGGTGACCTTATCATTCATCTTTTGAGGGTAGCTGGTGAAGCTGTGGTGCCTGTCTTGCCCGAGTTGCTTCAGGCTACGGCGAAAAGGATGCAGACTGCCAAGACAGCTACCTTTGTTCAGGTTTGTACATTCATTCAGTAAAGGACCATGTGAGGAACTGACCATTTACGCTGTAGAGTCTCATTATTCCTTTCGCCTATTTAATTCATAATGATCAGCGGGATACTGTCCTTACCCTTCTAGAGTCAACCGACATTGACGGTCGCTCCGCTCTCGACGTCGTCATCAACACTTGGTGCGAGAACGCCGAAACCATGCAAGGATTCTGGGCCTCTCGGATCAGCACCCTAGCGCTTTGCTCCTTGTATGCTTCAGAGCGGCCCAGCTTGCAACAATTGGTGGTTAAGGGTGATATCATTGTGAAGGAGGAAACAAGGGATGGTGCGCAAGCTCGTTCATATCCCGTTCCGGTAATGATTTACTTTTTTTGCCAGTTATCATGACCCGTTCTAGGACCAAGCAAAGTACGCCACCTAAACATGGTAGATTACCACGCATTGCTAATTCGTGTATCTGACATGCTTATTTTACTCAGTCCCAACCGAGTGGACCAGGATCCCCTTCCCTGCGAAGGCACTCAAACTCATCATTCATGAGTTGACATCTGGCGGTGAATCTGCATCAATGGGGCTAGGGGACATTGAACCCTCTGACCTGGCCACTGACGATGGGGTAAGTTATCCTCTTTCTCTGGTGGCTCGAAGCTGATCATTCATGGTACGAAGGACGAGACTTGGGAGGATGAGGGCCATTTATGCCCGGGCATGGACAAGGACGAGATGGCTTTCTTGTCCGAGTTGCTGGGTCCTCGCGGCGCCGCTTTTGACAACGAGGAAGGCTTTGACGACATCGATGACGATGACCTGAAGGCAGATCCCATCTCTCAAATTGACTTGGATGTGAGCTGATGGTGTAGATGCCATTGTCAACTCTGAATACTGACGGTTTATATTTTTTGTAGGCTCATATAAGGACGTTCTTGCGCGAATGCGCATCTCGCAACGTCAATAACTTCTCTGCATTAGTCGATATACTTAGTCCGGACGAGACGTTGGTTGTGCAGAAAGTCGTTTCTGAACAGTAGGCGAGCAGATCTCTTTTCCTCATTGTCAAAATCACCGGTTGTTTGCCCTGTATGTACGAGTGCGGATAAGTAGACATTACGATATAATAACTGGATCCCTTAAACATGGATGTGAATGATGAATGATATATCTAAAACTACATAGGATGTCAATGGACAATGTGCAAATTAAAATCCTTCCTTGCCTAAATCCCACTCCCTCACACTACCCCGTTTCTTGTACTCTATAGCCATGATGTCGATCCCCTCACTGCCAGCTTTCTCAGTTTTCTTCTTCACGCTCTTCTCTTTAGTGATCCCCAGTCTCTCTAGCCGCTTCCTCTCTTCTTTATCCTCACGTTTCAATCGAATAAGTTCTAGCATCGCATCCCACCCCGCGAAGTCATCGTCGGTAATCAGCCCTGTCTTGGGCACATTTACTCGGGTAGAAAGCGCCGCGACGTCAAGACGAGGATCATAAGTGGGTGAAAAGTATTTGTCCATCTTGGATGGGGGATTCGCTATTGGCGGAAGCGGCGGTGGAGATGCAGATGGCGAACGAGGACGTTTACGAGATTGCGGAGAAAGTGAACGTGAACGCCGACGCTTGTGCTTACGACGTGGAGGCGGGGAAGGACTACGAGAGATGGAGCGTGTAGGTGGAACGGGGTTAAGTCGCGAGTCTGGTGAACGCGCCGATGAAGACGCGACGGGGAAAGGTCCAACTTCAGGAGATGAAGCTCGCACAGGAGATTGGCTGCGTGTTTGGGTACGACCTCTGGAGGGTATCTCTGTTGCCAAAGGTTGTTCAGCGGCTGGCGATTGCCTTTCGGACTTCAGCCGAAGCCTATCACGAAGCAACTGTTCTCTGGACACGGTGTCGAGAGCATCCTGAGTAGCAGCTGGCGTGCCTTGACGTGAAGGAGGATGTATCTTGGACTGCGAAGGTTCTTGAAGAGATCCTTCTGTCTTGTCGTGTGACTTCGAACGTCTATCGTCTTTCGTGCGATGGTGGTGTCTTCTGGACCTACGCTCCGAGTGTCGCAATTTATCATCGGGCGAACGTGAACGATGACGAGGACTCCTACTTCTGTCGTGCTTTGAATGTCTGCTATCATGTCGTTCTTCTGACCTGGACCTAGAACGATGACTGTGCCGATGTCGGTGGCTATGTCTCCTCTCCAACCGCTCGCTGTCCCTCTTGCGCCGTTCTCTATCCCTGGCGTAGTCACTTTCATCTTCCTCTACATCTTCTTCTCGCCTCTCCCAACTTCGTTCCCGTCTCTTACCCTTGTCATCCCTCTTGCCGCCCGTCCTCCAGTTGTCGATAGTGCGAGAACTACGACCCATGAGTCTCCTCAGCCGTTCAGCTTCGACAGCTTCCTCGGCCCGAGCTCTTCGTTCTCTCTTCTCTTGTTCTCGTCTTTCCATGCGGACCTCCTCTGCGGCCAGCGCCTGCGCTCGTAGGATAGTCTTATTATGGTCATCGGTGCTCCGGATGATGGAGGTTAAGAATCGTTTGTTAGGCCTTGGCGCACTAGACTCTGCCCTGGGCAAATGAGTTGAGTATGCGCGAAGAGCTACAATGTTTGTCATATGAGACTTACCCGCCGTTTGTAGGTAGATAAGCTCGAATGCCATCTGTGCCATATCGTTCGGCATTCTGTTTCGCCTCTTTCAGAATTAGTTCGGCGATGTGACGGTCTAAATCATCGTCCGTAACATTGTTCGAGACAGAGCTGCCCATAGAGGCACGAACAAGGTTGGATACAACGGACGAGAGGGAAGTGTTGGACATGGTTGCCCTCGAGAACAACCCAAGTTGCCCGCCACTCATAGTCATGGGCGGCTGTGCGTTTGGCGCTAGTCTCAGTTTGGAAGGTCTTGTAGTTCGTCATCTACAACAAACCAGCAGTGCCGGTTGGCCAAAGCATGCCTCTTCATGTGCAATTTCACCTTTGGAAACTTTTATCCTCAAGACTAGTCACTAACCAATCATTACTTTCGCGATAAGATGCAACATATTACTAGCTATTCTATAATTAGCTACACGCTCCAAGTCGCACCTACATAGTTGACATCATAACTCCTGGATCTTAATCAACGTCGTACATATAGTCCGATTACACTCCCAAATTCAACTTTTTTCACCCTTCTACTAAGACTGTTGTATACCACGACGCGAATCAAAAGTCTTACGTATAATGTCCAACCCCTCTAGTACCCTGGTCTCATACAAGGGGAACGGACCGCAGCTTCTCCAACAACTTATGAACGGAAGTGCTTATGTTCACATCTCCACAGAAATATCGGTGTACTACGTCGCTTGTACAGAGGACTGAGTCGTATGTCCTAGAGTATTTGACGGGATCTCTGCACACATCGCTAGTGCTGCTGGTTTCGATGCCATATACCTTGCGGGATCCGGCGCGTCGGATTCTGTCATCGGCGAACTCGACCTCAGCGTTATAACTGCAAAGGAACTAGCAGACACTGCCAGGATGATTGTGAACATCGACGACAAACCTGTCGTCGCAGATGCCGATACTGATTTCGGCGGGCCATTGAACGTCGCAAGAACGACTGCCTTTTATGAACCGGCCGGCATGGTAACCTAGGCCCTACGCGCGCGTTCTAAAATTAATAACTATCTTGTGTAGCGTGTAGGCTCGAAGGCATCGTTGGAATTCGACATCAAAATTGCAGATAGGACGAAGAAGGATGTCAACGCGAAGAAGTACGAAGGTTTGAAGTCTCATGACCTCTTCTGATGTGCATATACCCACACACTTTGGCATCCTGGACTGGAGAACATTCGTATAACATATAGTCAGTTAACGAGTTCGATGGTTCACCTCACCTGTCCTGTACGGCTGTCCTCTGTAATCTTACTGATCGTTGGGACTTGCACCATGAGGCACAACCTGCCTATTCATGAGATCATCCACTTGTCCTATGGTACACTTGATATCCTTTGAGTTCTGCTACATAACAATCCATGATCTTCCATACTATCAAGCCGTTCGCAGAATAATATGGACGCCGCTGTCAGTGCTGATTATATCGCTGAATTGACCGACTGGAAGAGAGAAGGCGGCATCTTCAAATGCCTTCTGCATTTGACCCTGAAAGGTACATGTTCAGTATTGTGACAAACAAAGAGATATATACGACGTATGTAACGTACAGGTTTGAAAACGCCAAGGTCTCCTCCATTCGCATGAGAGGAACAATCCGAGTGTTTCGTCGCAAGCTCAATAAACTTCTCCTTGGAGCCACCTATTTCTGCCTGGTACCCCCGGAGAATCTCGATAGCCTCCTCCTTCGTTCGAGTGATATTTGCCTACGCGAACATATATCCCACTGAGCAAGGTAGACGAGCACGCCGCAACTTAGGCGCACATACCTCTTTCCAACTGCTGGGTCGTCGGCTGTCCCGGTGCTTTACAAGCAAGTGGCTTGCACGAACTTGAGACGGCCTCGGTTCACCCCGGAGGTGTTGAGCCGCACCGGGAAGGGCGTCGACCTCCGCTTGGGAAAGCTCAGGAGGTGCGTCCCAGGTGGATTGCTTGGTCTCGGTGTTGAAGAAATACGGGATGCCCCTAGAGCTAGACATGCGGACTTCATATGGAGGAGCCTGTCTGTGTGTCAGCGATACTTTTAACTTTAAATGAAGATATGAAAGCTTACCATTGTCGCGAACTTGGAAAGGTGGCGGGAACAAGTTGAGTTTCTACTACACACAGGCGCCCATAGTGTCAGGCGTCTAAGTATGTCGATGTCAAGCAATGTCAAGCAGCCCGGCGGCACGTCGATAACAACACCGGACTTTCAACAGACTTTCTCTGCCTTACTTCAACGTGTTGCACAAGCAAGTTTCCTGGATAGAACAATCTACCAATTTATGACGCATAGCTGTCGTAGTGATACTTATCATTGCTGCTAAGAGTGATGTTTTGTCACGAGGATTATGAGGAATTTGGGACTTCCCCGCCAGCATCTCTTCATGCGTATGCACGGTCCTTCGTTGTGCAAGAGTCTCATCCGTCAATTGACTTCATGAGTTCCTCATGGGCCCCGTGTTATCCTCACGTTCACATCTGTCCCGTGGATGATGCTGCACCTCCCGTTCATTGATGAGCATCCTCAGGTAAGTACGGCATCCCTCAACGTTTGTCGAATGTACTCCGTCCTTACTTCTCAGTTCAGACAGTCTGATTGTATTTGATCATAAGATCTAGTCGTGCGAAAACCCCCTCTACACCTCTTGTTAGCACGTGCGTCCTTTACATGTGTTCCGTTTCTGAGGCAATGTGGTCGTCGTGATAGAAGATACATTCATGGCCGTCGCCGTTTCCCAGTGTATGATGTCGTGGAACATATAACAGCGCATGCATGAATGCGAAGTGGACGTGAGCCAGTCATCGATGCATTCTCCAACGTTTGCACGCGTGATTTTGTTCGGGTTGCTTAGCAAAGCTTTGTCTGCTAATGGAGCCTCGACCAACTTGACAGCTCTGGTCAACCTCTTTATAGGCACTGCATCCGGCGCAAATGGCGGTAGCGGAGGCAATGCGTTCCCTGGTGCCGCCGTTCCTCATGCGATGGCAAAGGTATGGACCAGCTATGTTCTCAGAGTTTCTTGACTAAACTTCTTGATTTGCGTATGAAGGTTGGAATCGATGTTGATACGTCACCCCGTCAGGCAGGATATATTTCGGACAATTCTTCTATCACTGGTGAGCTGCTGTATGTTTGAGAGCAGGAACCCATATACTGATATTTCGCAGGGATATCTTTGATGCACGATGAAGGCACGGGAGGGAACACCAACGGGGGATATGGAATCTTTCCGCTCTTTCCTCTCACGAATTGTTCGTTCACGTCGTGTCCTGTCGGGATCGACGCTCGCAAGGCTAAACGTACGGCAGGCGCGGACGGTTCGTGTACCGTGCATTCCTGTGCGATAATTAAATAACTTGGCTTATAACCAGCCGCGACTCCTGGATATTTCACTACAACCTTCGTAAACGGTTTGAAACTTGAGGCGACTTCGACCAGACGCGCAGGATTGCTTCGCTTTACCTTCCCGAATCCTATGGTTGAAATGCATGTTGTAGTGGATCTTACCCATGATCTTCAACGGTCCTTTGAGGGTGGTAGCATCAATTTAATCCGCTCCCGTGGCTCAGTCGCCCTTCAAGGAACATTCTTACAGGTTGGTTCGAATAGAACTCACGTTAAATCATGAGGTGATTCACGAACCCTTTGCTCATAGAGCTATGGAACGGACAACTACACTGTCTTCGCTTGCTACGATTTCCTACCTCCTACGACCGCCAACAATCAGACCCTCGTTGCTGCTGGAACGTTTCAGTCTTCACCCTCCTCTTCTACCAATATTAGTATCAGCCCTGACCAAAGTTCACTCACATTCCCATTCACTTCAAGCCCTTCTTCCGTTCAGGCTGGTGTTCTGCTGTCTTTCAACTCGTCAACTGGGGTCGTCTTAACTCGTTTTGGTGTCTCCTTCATAAGCAGCGAGCAGGCCTGTGCGAACGCCCAAGAAGAGGTCCCTGATTGGGATTGGGACCTCGTTCAGTCTGCATCCAGAGCCAAATGGGAAGACGTTTTGGAAAGGGTATCAATTGATGTGGAGAAGGAGAATCCAACCGTAGTGGAGTTACTCTACTCCTCCGTAAGTTGACTCCATGACTACGGGTCCTTCCATTCACATAAAATTGATTACAGCTATATCGTGCTTCACTTGTCCCAGCAAACCTGACTTCAGAGAATCCGTACTGGGGGTCCGAAAGTCCATTCTACGATGCGCTTTTCTGGTATGACGGTGCCACTCAAACAAAGGGGGAACAATTAACATGTATTTTATAGTTCGTGGGACACATTCCGTACCGTCCACCCTCTGCTGTCTTTGACGTCACCGCGAGAATGGGCGGAAATCGTCAACGCCTATATTGATGGGTGGAGAAATACTGGTATGTGCGATGCCATGCTACTCATTGAAAGTACGGGTCCCTGAAATACATTCTGTCATGGTAGGATACATTCCTGAGTGTCGTGCTAATACCAAAGCGTGCGTTGCTGATCCCATATACAAGCAAAACATCTTCTCACGCAGGGAGTTACCATGAAACAGAGGTTATGTTCAAGGCGGTAGTGATGGAATGCCCATATTGGGTGATTTTGCAGTGAAATACGGAGCGAGAGCTGGAGAATTGGGCGTTTCCACCGACGATCTATATCAAGCTCTCGTGGACACTGCTGAGAATACCGTGAGTAATGCGAGGTAATGATTGACTATACATGGTATGACTTTTGAAAACAGCCACCGGATTGGTATAGAGGTGAGGAAAAACAGAGAGAATCTCTACCGAGGTCGGGCTCATTGAGTTTGGTATAGTGGGAAGACAAAACACGGCCTGGAAGCAATTCAACTATATACCCACCGCGTGGGTAGATCCATCGGGTGCTACTGGTCTGCCTACTCGTGAGGCGTCCCGAACGCTGGAAGTAAGGATGTCGCTTTGTGTTGCTTCTCCACACACGACTGATGTGAAGGATGAAGTATGCCCTGGGTGATTTTGCTGTCCGCCAAGCTGCCCTGACACTGGGTAAAGGAGCCGCAGATATCCAATTATACGGTAATAGATCTCTTGGATTCAAGAACGTCTGGGATCAGAACGTCACAAGTGATGGTTTCACCGGATTTTCCCAGAGACGCTTTGAAGTGAGTGTTAATGTTATTATGGGGTTATATGTACTCTCCAACGAGCGAGTATCAGAATGGCACGTTCGCATTTAGTCCTCCCGATGCTTGCTCCCCTGTAGATCCCACTCCACATTCTTGCGCACGCGGTACGGATAATAATGTTGGCTTCTACGAATGTACGTGCTATGACTTGAACACGATGCATGAGGTAGTACTGAGGCATAATAGCTTCTTCTTGGGAAATGAGTTTCTTTGCACCCCATTCGATGTCCACGATTGTGAATCTCATGGGAGGTGCTAGCACATTCGTCAGCCGTCTGTGCGTCTTCGCTTGCTGATCCAGTTGCGATTCCACTGACCCCTATCAAAGTGATCATTACTTCTCGAAGGGTTACTTCCAAGCCGGCAATGAACCATCCTTCGCGATTCCCTGGGCATATAATTACGTTGGAAGGCCCGATCTGAGTGCACTTCGGGTTAGAAATGTTGTGTTTCAAAACTTTGGGACCGGAATCAATGGAGTGTGTTCTCTCACGTTGCTATTCGTTTGCAGTCTTACTGATCCCGTTGCGTCAAAGATACCGGGGAACGATGACAGTGGTGCAATGGCTGCGCTTCTGACATTCCATATTTTGGGTCTCTACCCCGTGCCCGCCACGCGTCAACTCTTGATAGGATCCCCTCTCGTTTCATCCTATACGTTGTACAACAATCTTTTCCAGACTACAACAAATATCACCGTACAAGGGTTCGACAATGCATCCCTCTCGGCTTCACCTCCCATGTCTCGATTGTTCGTCAAGTCGATCACTATTAACGGAGAACCCAGCGAGAGTCTCTGTTGGATCTCCTTCGATGTGATCACGGGTGGTGGGAATATTATCATTGAAGTAGACGACGATCCGGTATCGGCGTCGCAGAGAATGTGTGGCAATAGTGCCAGTGCGCTTCCGGATTCGTTGGAATCGGGCGGGTTCGCGTAGTCGGTCTGTGTGGATGTCTGAAATCTAACCGATGATAGTATATGTAAGCCACATCCTCCTTATCCACTTTATATAAATGCTAAGGACTCTGTCATGTAATCAGTAATGCTTTGACTTGCGAAGCTTGCAGGAGTCATTGTATGTTTTCTACAACAAGTACGGGCATTTGCTGCAATGTCCTGTCTTGAGACACGGCAGTACTTGGACAGTGTATTCTCATCAGTTGAACTGCCTGAGAATTCTGTTGGGATTGAGCGTTGGAGGGCATCCCTATCAGAGGTCATTTGACTCTTCGTGCCAATTGAGTGGCGTCCGACCAGAGAAGCTTTCATCCGTGTGATTTATTCTCCCTATGGCGTCTCCTCGCACTATGTAAGTGTAAGTGCTCCAACCCTGTTATCTCAATCTCTGCCGTCGCATAGTTCTTCAACCCCCAAGTGCATACGCCATGGCGTTCGGCATACTCAGTAAGTACATATATCCATCTAGTCCTGATACACAGATGTGTTCTAATTGCCTTAGACGACAAGCATTTGACCAATGTCCCCGGAACCGGGCTACTTTCTGACCTTGGTATAGTGCATGGAGCACAAATGACAATCACTGAAGCGACCCATCTCAAACATGGGACGGGTCGGGATGCCCATATAATATTAATACCCCAACCTTCCGATGACCCTCGTGACCCGTATGCCGTGTTTCTTGTCAGCGTCTGCCGTACATGCAACTCACTACAACTTCAGGCTAAATTGGCCTCGCTGGAGAAAGGAGGCTTTGTTCTGGACCCTGTAAGTCAAGTTCTGGTCTCGTGCTCACCGCTTACCATGATGCCCTTGTTTTATAGAGCTTTTGCCGCTAGTTTGGACGGCGCCTTGTCCCCTCTAGCCAGTGCTGGATATGTGCTTCTATCGCAGCAATTTAGAGTGTCTGTCGACGAAGTTACATCTTCGTTTGGTGCAATTCTCCTGGGTCTTGGCTGCTTTATGTCAGTTTCCATTTGTCTGCTGGCTTCGCTAGTGTCACTGAGACTTTGTCTCTAGGTTGTTTCAGGGAGCTTTGGCGGCGAAGTTTGGTCATCGCATAGTATACTTGGGTTCGGTGTCCTTGGTGAGTATTGCATTTGATGAAAGTTTCCAGGCGTTTATGTCCGATAGATGTTTATCTCTTGTATCTGGTGTGCCGCCAGCCCTAATCTGGCATCAATTCGGGCCTCCAGGGTGTTCCAAGGGTTTGGAATGTCAGCTTTACAAAGGTAGTCTACATATTTCGTCCGATTCAGGATCTTATTTATGCTTGCGTATCTAGCTTGACAGCGACAACTATCGAACAGATCTTCTTGTGAGCCCAATACCATACTTCCACCTACCTGATCCTGACTTCGAGAACAGTGTGCATGAGCGCGGAATACGGACTGTTATCTGGAGTTTTGCTATCCTTGCAGGCATTACGCTGTACGCCCTGAACACTATGTTCTTGAGATATATCTGCTCATTGTATCACAGTGGCCCGCTAATATGCAGCTATGTTGTCGAAAACATCTCATGGCAAATGGGGTTCTGGCTGGTTAGCATTCCTTTGGGTATTGGTGTGATTCTAGTCTTATTCTTCATGCCCGAGGTCCGTGACAACGGTGCCCCTTCTTCTTTACTGGGATATTGATGATATACAACAGACTACCTATCAGCGCGCACAGGGACTTGAACAGAGCAACACAACCAGTGCTGACGAGAAGCAGACGTCGAAGGATTCTACGGTCGAGATACTGAGTCTTGAGCAACAGAGTCTTTCTCCACCGCGATGGACGTCTCAACTTAAGATATATAACGGGACATTCTCTGACGAGAATTTATTCAAGATTTTCCTCAGACCCTTTCCCTTCTTGTTGTCGCCAGTGGTATGTCTACCGATTTTCTTGTAAATGAGTGACAAACCGACAAAACGCCTCGTTCTCAGACCGTTTTTCTTTTTCTGGTACACGGAATGCAAACTGTTTGGCTCAGTAAGCTCTTTTCATACACGCTGGTGGCATCTTTTCTCACTTTATCATATGTAGGCCTGGTACCACTCTGTTCCTCCACCATATTCACCTTGGAATACGGTTTCACTGCTTCACAGATCGTTCGTTAGCGATTTCGATGACCAATCATTCTGTCACTAATGTCTTCAGTAGGGTTTGACAAATTTAGGAGGACTTGTCGGAATCCTACTAGGGATGATGGTTAGCGGACCCCTCATTGATCATGGCGTCGTGTGGATGTCAAAGCGTAACGGAGGCGTGTACGAGCCTGAATTCAGGCTCCTTTTCATGTCCAGCATGTTGTTTGGTTTATTCGGGTATGTTGGATGGGCAGGTAAGCTTTGGCGCTATCCCACAGTGTCTTCGAGCTCATTCAGTTGTCAAGTCGGCAATGACCATCATATGCCGTGGATTGGTGCTGTGGCATGCATTGCGTTAGTATCGCATTTCCTCATGTCCTAATGTTCAGCTTACTTTATTTATTTTATTTGCAGGATGCTCAACTTCAGCATGATTATATCTGGCTCTGCCGCAGTGACATATTTACTTGACACCCATGGTCCCAACGCCCTTCATTGCCTCACTATCAGCAACTTCTCAAAAAATATGGTTTTATACGGGACCACCTTTTTTGCAAACGGCATGGTGTTGAACCGAGGGGTAAGAACGTCTCTGCTAATTCTAGGTGGATGCCATGGTTTCTGTTGGTTGTTCTCGATTCCAATGTACATCTTCGGGAAGCGGGTTAGGTCATATGTAAGTGTCATTTTACCATTAATCATAAGCAAGTGCCACTGAATACGTTTCGTGTAGATTGCGAGGAATCCCAAGCTATTTGCGGCGCGTGGCACCTGAGCACATCCTGTAGATGGTTTCAATTGGCAACAGCATACTGTATTAGTAGCAGTACGTATAGCTTTCGTTTGTACCATATCGAATGGTAGACGAGGCCATTGATTGTTTTGACTATGCACGATTTGCTTAGCCTTCACAACCTCGGCCTATCCGTATAAGGGTAGTATCTGCTCGCTTCATCGAAGCTTTGATTGTGGAGGTGGAACTGCTACATCAAACACTCGTTGACGTCGGAGGACACCAACGGTAATGCCTACGCAGCCCGATGAGGCGTTGGGTCCTTCGTAACCCCCCAACCTCGTTTTTTTTTCCTCGACAAGTAGCGATTCTTGAAAGAGGTATGTGTATGTAGAATAGGATCCTACAATGACATATGCCGGAGTACTACAGCAGAGGAATGTATCAAGGTTCAGCAAAGAATATGAGCTTGTCGCCAGCCTGGACGGTGGTGCCTTCCCTCACGCCTTTCGCGAAACCAGCAACCTTCAAGCCAATGTGATCTTCCCCTGCGGTTAAGTTTATTTCAGTCTTCATCGCCTCGAGTATTACTAAAGCCTCGTCGGAAGACATGACAATATCGCCAATCGCCACTCTAATCTTCCAGACTGTGCCCGAAAGAGAGGCGGTCATGAAGTATGGCGTCTCTTCAGAGAGATCTAGTAGTAGTGGAGATCACTTTCAATTCAACCTTATGGTCATAATTGAGGGTCTCCACACACCTCTTATACGGTCATCAGGATCATCGTGTCTGTGTGTACTTTCCTGCCATTCCTTTAACAGGATGTTTTCACTTGTGAAGGTTGAGCGTTTCCTAAGTAAAAGCCACGTAAAGATACTGCTAAGATTACTCACCGGGCTTCTTGAAGTGCCACGGCTTCCGCTTGACGTCTTTTGAATGCATCTATCTCGCCTTCTATTCCCGAAATAAAACCCAGATAATCCTTCATTGAGAGAACAACAGGCTCAATCTGAAAGACATCAACTGCAAGAAGACACAACTGCCGTTCGGAGTTCCCTTACCTTGAAAGCGTAACGTCCGCTATCAAATAGTTTTTCTACCTTTCAGAGTAACATTAGTGATTCCATGATTACATCAAGTTGATTGCGCAAACCTCGACATAGTCGTCTTCAGAAACGGGCTCGAAAACAACCTGATTGAATAGTTGCAATAAGGATCTAGTCAACTCTTTGACAGGCCTTCGACTTGCCTGATCAAAGGGGTCTAACAGCCATGGCCGGTCGACAGCGAAGTCTGGTCCCTTCCCCCATGGTTGCCACGCAGGTAAAGTGCGCCCAAATAGCTGATAACCACCGGGAGACTCGACCGGATAAATGGCTGCGACAAGTCCGGCAATGCCGACCGCTCCCTGAAAGACGACGTGAGCACAAACAAAACGGAAGGTCCACATAAATGGCTCACGCGAGGTGTGTAAGTTCGCGAGGGGTTCATTTTCTGCCCAACAAGACGACAGCGGGGATCAATCTGCAGATAAGACATGAGTATCTTCAGTCGTTGGGAAAGGGCGGTGTACAAACCGGGACGAGGAAAGGGCATGCAAGATAGAAGCCGACACCGAACACCAGCTGAAAGAATTATACTAAATATAGATATGCCTTTTTATAGATGGTCATTTGAACGTACCCATGATGAAGATACTAACGACTGCAAGGCATCTTTCGTACCTCCTTCGATACCGTTGTTCGCAGCTAGATACTCAATATTACTTGGAAGGTAGACGGCTTTATCACGAGTGGAGCTCATGTAGCGTTGCAGAGTATCTCTGTTCCATCTGTCGTCCAATGCAATCGGGAATGTCAGTCTGCGTCCTGGAAATTGCATATCTTCAATTGAGTCCGGAAGCGTTTCCTCCGCGCGGATGAGCATTGTGAGGACTTCGCCTTGATTAATTTGTACGGGGTCAAAATGTACCTAAGTGAAGTGGACTTAAAGGCGTTATCATGTACTTGAACATGCGCAGGCTTACCATGGTTGAGCGAATGCACGGTGCAAATTCCTTGATCCCATTGATCTTAAATTGACGTGCGGAAGTTTCGAGCGCATGAATGCGCGCGCGGACAGAGAAATCGAGAGTCATCTCTCCATATTCTACCAGTACCGCGGAGTCGCCAGCCTAAATCGAAAAGCGCGACGTCAGCATCTGTTGATGGACACGTTCTTCGTGCTCACCTGCCTGAATACGACCTTTGGCTTCAACGAAGTTGCAGGAATAACATGCAGTTTTGGCTCATGCGAAGTATGGTTCGAGGGGATGACATCCATAAGGTTGAATGGCACAACATTGGACCTGGACAATGCTGCTAGTATTGTCTTTAGCCATCTATCAACACGTTCTTGCAGATTCATTGCATCTTGGTAAGTAATTCGTGCAAACCGCAGATGGTCTCCAGGTCTGAGTTGGCCAAGTTTCCACCTATGCATACGTCAATCAACTGCTTGGGAACTGTTGAGATTAGTCTTACTGGTCAGCGCTAGCGATTGTGGATATGCACAGGTATCCGCCCATACTTGGGCCTTCATTAGTGAGAATTACAGGTGTGTCACCATTCAGATTAACGGTGCCTCGAGCGTAACCGTTGTCTAGGATGTTGGACGGGTGTGAGCCACCTTCTCCACCGTTAGATCGTGCCCACTGTAGCACAGGAGTATCGGATGCATCCTGATTGACTGGCTCGAGTCGAATACCCATTCGATTACTGGAGATACTAACTCTCCACCTTGCCGTGTAAAACGCCTCAATTCCGGCCTCCGTAATGAATTCGGTATCATCTTGCGGTCCGGGTAACGAGTATAAGATCCAGTTAGGTGGATAACTTGGTATGAGACTGCGTGGCAAAGGAAGGGATTCGTTTCCATCATCATTAAATGGCATGATTTGAAGCATGTCACCTCCTTGTAATGCCCTTCCCTGTAAGATAAGTGTCATTTTATAATTGATAAAGGCACAAAACCTCTACTCACTTGATAACCTCCGCCACCCATAGAAGTTGACTTGGAACCGAGATAGGAAGGGATTCCAGGAAATCCGCCACCGATTGCAAGGTATGCTCTGAGTCCGCCGCCTGAAGTCGATCCATCGGAATGCATGCATCCAATAACAAGTTTTGCCCCCGGCCCCACGACGAGACGTGTCCACGTAGGCACGATCTGCCCATCAATCTGCACAATTGCATTGGCACCAGTCACCGCAACGACCGCTCGGACATGAAAAAGTGCACTAAACAAAAGGCCGCTTGAGCGACCGGCGTTCTTAGGCGGAATTACGAGCTCAAGGCCCTCGCATTGAACGGAGTTCTTGACAAGCAAATTGGCCACTTGGAATGCCAATGGGTCCATCGGGCCGCTAGGTGGAATTCCTAATCCTATATCCCTGTTTGGGAGTGATTGAACGGTGGTATGAATCCCCGGTGAGAGAACAGTCATAGCACTACAAGCCAAAATGAGAAACAGAGCAGCAAAAATGTAAATGAATGTACTCAGGGGTGTACTGAACCGCCCCCTCATCTATCCATTTTGTTGTCGCTTTCCCGCTAATGAAAAGGGACTCCTTGAGTACTTGGGCCAGGAACGGTATGTTATTTGGTGGCCCTTGGATGAGGATTTGATGCCCAGAAGTTGAAACTGGCTGCCTTGAATGAAGGTTAGAAGAGAGCTGCTTGATTGCCTCGGCCCGTGACGTGTTTTTGACGATGATTTTGGCAATAAGGGGATCATAGAAGGGCGTGACGACCATCCCCGTTGAAACCTTTTCTTATGGTAAGCAAAGCGTGTACATATGGCCTGCTGTCATGCTCACCCATGTGTCGATTCGAAGGTTCTCGTTTGTCTCAGGAAATTTGACGTATTGAAGAATGCCAGGACTCGGAGAAAATTTATTTGCGGGATTCTCGGAGTAAACCCGCACCTCTATTGCATGCGAATTTGGTCGTGGCACTTCGAACTTCTTCTGGTCAAGTTGACTTGACGGTAAACCACGAGGGAACTCGGGAGAAGATTCAGCTTCACCCTCATAGATTCCCTGGAGGATCATCAGCTCCACGAGATCTAGTCCGGGATGAAGCATCTCTGTTACGCCATGTTCAACCTAGAGAATTGCGATATTAGCAAAGAAGGCTTCCGTCTGGTCGGGGTGGGTCACCTGCAAACGAGTATTCATTTCAAGGAAGTAAAATTCTCCCGTGGCGTCATCCACGAGGAATTCCACAGTGCCTTCAAGATAACCGTAAGCTTTATATTGAGTTTTTTTGTTCAATCAGCTTACCAGCGGACTTGTAGTTGACTAATTCGCCAAGACGAACAGCGGCGGCACAGATTTTGCTTCTTAAGTCTAATATGCAATCTATATGTCACACCTCCCCACAGCATGCAATGGTATCATACCTTGCCGGCTTACAAGGTAAGGACTTGGAGCCTCCTCGATGATCTTCTGGTGTCGCCTTTGGACGCTGCATTCGCGTTCGCCCATGTGTATGACATGGTTACAGCCATTGCCAAATATCTTGCAAGCACACGCGCTTTGTGAACTATAGCATAAAAGGTTGATCTGAATGTACCGTACCTGTACTTCAATGTGTCGAGATGTATGGAAAAACTTTTCTATGAAGACTCCTTCGTTATGGAAGAGACTCTTAAGTGCACGGGTGAACAACGTAAAGCATCACATAGGGCAATCACTGACCTTCGCTCGTTGAATAGTCGCGTCAAATGTTGTGCGCAAGTCATTCTCAGTTCCGCAGAAGACGAGACCGATTCCTCCGCCACCCGCAGTAGCTTTCAGCATAACGGGAAATCCAACCTTTTTTGCAACCTCCTGCGCGTCATGCAAACCTTCAACAAGTCCGTTCGAGCCGGGAACGACGGGAACGCCAGCCTGAATTGCAAGATCTCGTGCAAGATGCTTCAGTCCCATGTCCTCGATTGTCTGTGCACGCGGACCGAGTAAAGTTATGCCATGCCGATCCAAAAGGCGTGCGAAGCCTGCGTTCTCCGAGAGAAACCCATATCCTGGGTGCACGAGCGTGACATTTCGGTCTACACATATTTTTACAATCGCATCCGCAGCAAGATATGCTTTCGCATCAGACGTTTGATTACTCTCTGGTGGGGAATTGTTGTCTAAAGACGACTTTGAATGTATAAGAACAGCTTCGTCAGCCAGCGAAACATGCGGTGATGTCGCGTCGACCTGCGTATACACAGCGACAGACCGTAGTCCAAGACGCTTTGTAGTACGAAGGATGCGAACTGCGATCTCGCCTCTGTTAAGGACTAAGAGCTTGTGTCGTTCCAGGGAAGGCGAATAAGCCATGGTGGTTGGTCAAAGGTTGTGCGAGACAAAGATGTCCTGAGACAAGGTTATTTACGCCATCTCAGGGTCTTAAATTGTGGCTCCAAGCCGTCATGGCTTGATACCTGAAATGCGCATAGTAGAGTAGATAAGAACGAAGCTCAAAATGGAACAGATCGGTCGGAACCTTACATCCGGGGTCATAAGACTACGCCAAGCGACGTTTAGTTTATCTGCACATTGGGCCAAACAGCTGACGCAAATATAGGTCATCTGTAAGACCAGAACTCGATAGCATTACATCCGTCAATTTATCTGAAACGCGGCTAGAGTCCCTTTCACTAAAAGGCAAGTTTCTTGTTGCTTGCATCAACAAGACGTTTAACGGTCTTCGCGATTTCGACAGAGCCCTATGAGAAATAGTGAGTGCGGAAAGTCGTATACTTAAGAGAAGAACGAACGCACGGGAGAGTCAGAGTGTACGCAAATACTGACGTCCTGGACGCCAACGCCTATGGGTAGAGTACCCGTCTTCGTAGTAACGAGGCCTTTTGACAAGATTCTCTCAACCTACACCATCCGGCAACAATTTGAGTTCGAGCTTACTAAGCGAAAAAAATATTGCGTACGCGGGTCTCGACTTCGCTCACGCTGATCGGATCATGCTTCCTGTGAAAGAAATCGGTTCTGTTAGTTCACAAGGAAAAGCCATGTAGAGTAAGCTTTCTCACTTTGTTATGAGAAGCTTTCCTTCAGGACTGTAATCCAAATCTGCAAACCATTCTGGGAATGAATGAGCAAAGAAGATCTTACAACAGGTAAATACTACAGGTGAACATACCGGCGACGAATTTGACTCCCAGTTCTTCACATGCCGTTTGGTGGCAAGTCCCTGCGAGACCCATGAAAGCGATGTCGAACATCTTCGCAACGCCAACAGCGGCACGTGCTAACTCCATAGATCTCGCGAGCTGTCCGTAAACGGCGCCATGTGGTTTAAGCTGATAAGGATAATGAGCATGAGTAAAATAGACAGTTCGAGAAACCCTACATGGTTCATTTTGAGACCATGCTGGTGCAAGAATCCCGATAGGGCTCCGACTTGATATACGAAACAAGCCGCGAGCTCATCCTCCACTAAAATTAACACATTACGACATACAGAGCAGCATGCCACACATACAGGTTCCATGGCCATCTCTCTCCGACCAAACCCTTGTCGGTCTGGGAGACTTGGATGTGCACCAACTTGTACGCCATTCTCCTTGGCGAGCAGGACAGTCTTATCCATGACCATGAAATCACTGAAAGAGAGTTGATTTCAATGGCATACATAGTACCAAGAGTGACAACCAACCTTGCATGGAATCCGCAAGCAACATTTGCAAGGTGTATAGTTTTCATAAGAGATTCATCATCACCCTTCCAAAGGTATGATCAAAATGGAGGCGGAACCCATCATTTATATTGAATTTACTATGGAGTACAGGGAATAGCCCTAAGTTCAGCGTGTTAGTTTTGTAAGACCAATGGAACTTGACATATGCAGACGCACCTCGCCCATGTCGCAGTTCACAGTCGCACGGAGGACCATCGCTGCTGACAATTGAAGAGACAATATGGTTCAGAGTCAAGTTCTCTGTGTGACGTTTCCGCATGTCTCCAATATTGGAGTTTCTAGTTTAGCGATTTTCAGCAGCGACCCCTATAGATAACATGTTTAGACTTGCATCCATGCCGTTCGGGGGACCGATGATCCTTCCAAGCTTTCTGGGCATATTGTTCCCTTGAAAGTGAGGGTCACCAGGTACTAACTAGAATCATCCGGCGCTTGCGGGTTAACGTATCGATCAACCCGTGGGCGCTTCTTGGGAGAGGGAAGTTTAAACTTTCTCGACTTCCAGGAAAGCCCAGAGCCTGTACTGCACTTACTACGTATGGAGCATCTTTTGTTCCCGAAGTTGTGCGAAGTTACTTGAATATCTTTACGTTCACAGCGATTCGAACATAACTGCTTCACAGCTGAGCAAGAACGTCCACCGGGGACAGACAGGGAGAAGATTTTGTGTGTGATGTTCATTTTTATAGCCTATGGCTCGAGAGGTCAACAGCGGCCGAAAGGATAATGATAGAAGATGGCAAGAATAACTTGAGGAATGCGTGTTGGAATTTTGCGCAAGAATGGCGGAAGGGTAGCGGGGATGATGGTTGTCATTAACATCGCGAACATAGCTTCGGGACTTGACGTTCAGGGAAGGACGGTGATCACGATGAGGTCAAGTTTTCTTATTGTGATCCTTGTGGAAGGATTATACTGGATGAGCAACTCAGGGTTCGTTTCATGGGGTTGAAGGATTCGTAGAAACAATGAACCTGACTGATAGAACATCAACGTTGACAACTTAGAATTTGACCCACTAAGACCTACCATAGTCTGGCGCGATTGTCCAGTAGTGCATTGCCGCTCGATTTGTCGGAGTGCAGTGGAATTAAATGAATCCGGGTGGCGTGGATTCTTACTTGTCAAGATTACTTCTGACATGACGTGTTGGCGTTCAATACGCGATTAAGAACCTATTCAGGCAGTGGCATTTTTCTATTCCTGATCAACGGACGACTTTCACCAATCATTCTTAGGCCGGATCTCTACAAACAAAAGGGAAACCACGAGCGCCGCTGGGAAGACACGGGGAACATCGATGAACAAGAGGTCAGATGCAGTTGTACGAAACATATCAGAGACCAGCGGGACGCGTACCGTTCTTGGCCTTTTTTTGCGGTTCGCATCATTCGAAATAACACTAACATACCCCGGACTGTCACGGAGTAGGTCGAGAGTGCCAGCTGAACGGGGGTCAACGAAGTTGTCATCGAAGCGAGTCCTCGAACACTTCTGAATCAGCTCGGGTTGCAACGAGTAGAGGCGGTAAACGCGAAGCTTCAAGTTTCAGTTGTTTCCGTCAGGCAGCGACAACCACGGTCAAGTGATCGAACTGAGTCCTTTGATCGTACGTAGCCGCTCGTGGAATACGACTTGGTACGAAACCTGTGGTTTTACATACACCTGTTCTTGCATATGCGACCATTAATCATGACATGTGAGAAGAACTGAATCAGAACTTCTATCTGTGCAAATTGTCCAAAGTGCTCATTAGTTGACCCATACTCGGCTCCCGACGGTAGAGAACAAGAAATACATTCCATCGAGCCTTGGAAAGAAAGACGCTCACATTGAGGGTATGGGTAGGAAACGAAGAGCGAATGACAGGGGTGGAGGGTCTCCCGGCATTGTGAATGTGTTCTGCGACTGTATAGCACTCAGTCGGAATACTCCTAAGCTATGTCAAGATGGACTCACTAACAACACACACCACGGGAACTAGAGGAAGTCAATAGAGCAACTACACTCCCTGCTCTTTTCTATCTGGCTTGGCTTCTCTCGAGCTTGATTCGGAATCATGAGCTTCCGCTAATGATTTCATCTCAGCCGACTCCAGGCTGTCAAGAAGCGCGTCGAGATGGTCAAGAACCCCTTCAAGCCGACTCTCCACACCTTGCGCTACTCCGTTCGCTGTTTCGATCTGACGCAGCAATTCTGCGATGTCTGTGTCGTTGATTGGATCGGCAGAGCGGTCAAGCATGGCAGCCAGGAGAGTTACATCTTCTGCGAATGTGGAGGTTATCACATGCGTTTCAGAAGTACCATTCGTTACAGGAGTGTCCTGAGAAGACATGGCGGGTGGTTCAAGGAGATGTTGGGCGTCGGGAGGAGAGTTTTGGATGAGTTCAAAGCGATCGAATCCGTTGATCCGGACCCCAGACACCGGCGCTAGAACAACCTCGAGGAGGCAGACGCGCAAGGCTGTCACACAGCCTGCAGCCACCAAACCACTACGGCGCAGACTCTCAGTCGCTTTTCTAGCACTTCTGTAGCCTATCTTTACTCTATCATAAACCATTCTCGCCCATAATGAAGAGGTTATTTGGTCGCGATAAACCCAAGCTTACCAAGCCTTCTGCCGCTTCCGACGTTTATGCAGAGGTGCGGCCTTGTATCACTCGTACATGAACTTTGCTGAAGATTACACCTTGCCAGGACAGCCATTACTCTACTGATAACCAGTATTATGCGCAAACTCCTCATGGCCCCGATCGTGGACAGATCCACTCGCAAGAACGTTCGCGTGTCATTGTCCGTTCTTCGTCTGATGAACCCTGGGATGTGGTCTCGTCTCAGGACGGTGCGTTGCATGCCAAATTCAGAAAGTCAGCCCTTGATTTGACACTTCTATTGCATAGGCTCCCCTGTGCCAGCAGCGTTTGTTCCGCGTGCGATCTCTCCGTTCGGAACTGTTTCCATAAGTTCAACGACATCCACGAATCCCCAAGACCGCGATCGTGACCTACAAACGCCACGCAAGAAATCGTCCGGTAATATCAATGCTGTCGCTGCTGTTGGTATACTACGTGCACTTGATCCTCACTTAGACGTCCACCCACAACCCAGGGATCACTTGGACGACACTGTTAACATTAAACCAATAGAGAAGAAGGAGAAGAAGGGCTTCTGGGAGCGTGCTAGTGGGAGAGATAAAGACAAGGATAAGTCGCGTACTAAAGAGAAGGAGAGGCGAGAAGAGGAGGGTCAGGCAGAGCTGACGAGAATGATCGGTATGCCTTCCAATCGAATGATTGACTTTATTATCGTGAAAATGGCCTAACTTGATCCCTTCATTGAAAGGCTATCTGACCGCTACCGCTTCGGAAGATTGGTCCCTTGTCCTTGAAGTCTCCGAAAGAGCATCTACCAGTGAGGCGGCAGCTAAGGACACGGCCAAGGCGCTACGGCGGGAATTCAAGTGAGTCTCGGCATATGTACGGCGTGCTATGTGAATAAGATGTTCATCCGCCCATTTCTATAGATATGCTGAACCACCAGCTCAACTATCCGCCGCTAGGGTTCGTCCATAGTTTATGGTCTATCAACTTACGCTTACGTATCCAACAGCTTTGGGCGATATTGCTTCGCAACGCCTCTGGGACGTTCATAAATCAATGCGCTTCCCGGAAATTCTTAGATACTCTCGAGGAGGTCATACAATCCCCACATACATCGCCGGTCGTCCGTGAACGATTACTCCAGGTTTTAGCAGCGGCGGCATACGCTAGTGGTTCTGGTTCAAGTATGTTCAGTCTCTTTTTCTGGCGACATGGATAATTCTGATTATCAACCTTTGCAGAACCTGGTCGTGCAGAAAAGGATCCATTCCGTCATCTATGGCGTAAACTGAAGGCACCTTCGCAGCCTGATGAGGTGAGTTTATTATTTTGTTATTCACGGGTCTCAAACTCATTTTTGTTTGTAGGGCATTCCGTTTGATGCTGATGAATCTATGCTCAATCCTCCTGTCACGCCTATTCCCCCGCGTGAATCATCACCCATACCGCCGCATCAGAGACCTCCATCTGTAGGTCCTCACTCATGCGTTGAATGTCAATTTACCTTAATTTACCTCGTCAGAATACCAAACACAAAACGTCCTCTCCGCGCATCATTCCTCCAGAGGAAGACATGCGTAGGTTGTTCCAAGAGTGCAAGGTTGGCAAGGGAAATGCATCACTATTGTCTGAAGCTCTAGCATACGCGAAACCCGAGGATCTCAAACATAAGTCCGTTATAAAGGTAAAAACATCAGTCTGTCAAAGGAATACTCGTATTGTTGCTTATCATAATTGCGTGCAGGAGTTTTATGCAAGATGTCGAGCGTCACAAGAATTGATTTACGCACAAATACCATGGGCCTCAGCGAATGCCGAACGATCTCGTCAAGCTGCTGGCAGAGAGTCACCTGTGGTCAGGCGCAAGAACTCTGCTGGTACTCCACGCTCAAATGTCCTTTCCATCGTTGGTGAACCAGAAGATGCCCCCGGGCTCACAGTAGAAGAACAGCTTCTGGCAGCTCTTCTAAACGCCAACGAAGAACTGACCGAGGCGTTAAGACTGTACGATGATCTCGAACGCGTCAAGATCGAGAGAGAAGCTGAAAGGCGGAGCAAGAAAGAAACTAGAATGGACCCTAGAGTATGTAATGATGATGCCCATTCATCGATGTCCATAGCTGATAATGTGCATATAGCAGAGACCTCCGATAGATCATTCCGACAGCTCCGCTTCTTTGGCTCGGCCTCGATCAAATTATGGCCACAATGGGCACATATCTTCTCCCAGTTCGTCGCCGTCGCCTTCGCCACCTCCTTCCGTCGTGGTCACGCCGATTATTCCTTCGCATACCCATCCACTTCCTCCTATACCGCACCACAATCCAGCTAGCAGCCAATTGGGCTCCCAAACGCTTGCACCTCCTCCACCAGCCCCTCATGGACCACGTCTTCCTTCCCATTACACCAGCAGCCGCTCACGGAGTCCGTCACCAGATCGACTTGCTACACCTTCACCCCAGCAAATGGAATATTCAGACTCGAATAAGTCGCAGATTGGGTCCAGCAACATCGGGCAGGCGGATGATTCGTCCTTCTCTGAATTAGAGTTTGACTTCAATCCCCAACAACCCAGCGCAAAGGCCTTGGGTAAGCGTAGACAGCTTGAACCTAGTGACGTAGACAGTAAGCATTGAGACCATTCGAAGTCTGTGATGTTTAACTAACATGACTTCGCAGATCCCTTCGATCCTGATGATATGTTCTACGACCATGGCCCTGATTCGAGGCAATCCGATAGCTTCAGTGACTCTGACTCCGACGACGCTTATTCAGGATCTAAACGTCCACACATTCATTACGTCTATGACGCGGCTGCTGAACGCACAAAGCAACGCATAAAGGAGAGTCGTTTGGCCGCCGCGGCGTTGGATGGGCTTACTATTTGAGTCCTTCTACTTACATACTATCGGATTCTGTACAGCACTCTATTTCTCACTTAGGACGGAGGTTTATCCGCTGTTTCGTTATACATGATTACTTTGTTGTACTTTAGATACTGAACATGGATTTCGGATTGTCGATTACAGTAGTTACACGTTCTTCGCAACACTCGCTCCCGATTTGGATAAGCCTCCGCGAAAAATATATCTGCTTATATAAGCGCAATCACACAAAGACTGACCGCATTCTGACTTCCACAACCCATACCGGTCCATACTGTACTTCTGAACACACTCACTCAAGCTTCTCCCCATCAATGCAGGCGATAGAACGAAGCCTGAAGAACCTCATTGCATCATTACCACCACAACCAATACCAAAGGAAGTTATTGATGCTTTGGTTTCCGAAGCTCTGAGCGAAGTGGAGGGGCGGAAGACCACTCCGGAGAACAGACGAATACAATGGGAGTATGCTCTCAGAAATGAGGTCTTCATACTTGCCGTATGTACGACCCTTATCTTATGCAGTTGACGTACTCACCAAGTCTAGTAGGAAAAGGAGGGAGCAGCATTAAAAGACCCTCATACTGCTTACTATGACGAACTCCGAGACATCCTCGATATCGTCCTTTCATTCACGGAACACGATGCCTGTGAACACATATTCCCCTTCAACATGCTCTATGACTTACTGGAGACGCAAACCATTGCCTCTTGTTCACATATATTCTCCTGGATTGAAGAACGTGCTGACCGTCTCACTGAGGGTATGGTTCCCCAGAAAGGGAAGGCCCTCGTTCTGCTACGTACCCTCAATGATCTTCTGCGGAGACTATCCAAGATGGGCTCGACTACGAAGTTTTGCGGTAGGATCCTGACGTTCCTGAGCAGGGTATTCCCTTTGGGTGAACGGAGTGGCGTAAACCTACGGGGAGAGTATGGGCCTGCTTGGGAAGGGCCTGGAGTGGAGAGATGGGAGAAATCTGAAATCTCGAAAGCTGAGCAAGCGAAGGAGGAGGATTCAGATAAGATGCAGGTTGATGAGCCTAAAGTTGAGATCGACTCAGCTACAGCATCGAAGGAGGAACCTAAGGACGGTACGTCGGTCAAATGTTCAGAATTCCATGACAGCCACTGACACTCAGACCAGACTTCTATCGTGTGTTTTGGTCATTGCAGTCTCCGTTCTCTCGACCGCCTATGTTCGCCGAACCTCACATACTTCCCAAATTCAAAGAGGCCGTCAATAGAGTACTCCCAGTAATTAAAGAGGCAACAGCCAAAGAACGTGCACTGATGGGTAGCAAGACTGTTTCCGGTGCATCCCTAAAGCGCAAGCGTGAATCAGAAGCCATTGGCGATCCTAATACCCAAGATTATTTCTTTGCGAAGTATCTCACAAGTCCGGAGCTGCTTGATCTGGAGGTACGGTATTATACTTGTGCTGCACGTTGAACATATTACTCATACTATGATATGCGAATAGGTCGCGGATACTCATTTTCGACGACAGTTCCTCTTACAACTCCTCATATTGCTCCAACACCTCCTTACTTTTACCAAGTCTGCTAAGGCTGAATGGTTGTCACAGCGAAATCGTTCATTACAGATTGATTTTACATTGGAGCCGGACGACGCTCAGTGGGTAGAAGACACAATCAAGCGAGCAAGCGAAGAGCTGCGTCAAACAACACCAAATGGCAGGCTGTTTGCAGAGACAATACAGGTTATACTGGAGCGAGAGAAGAATTGGATCAAGTGGAAGAATGAGCTTTGTTACCCCTTCGAGCGTGAAGCGTGGTCATCTGAAGTTGAGGTGGAAGACGAACAGGGGAGGAAGGTCAAGAGGAAGATCGGCTTGGAAGAGGCGACTGCAGATACTCGGAAGAAGATTCGAGAGGAACCGCCTGCATGGGAACATCGGTATGGGTCTGCACCACTTACCGAAATATGGGATATGGGCTATAGGGATCTGTATGATTTGCAACATCCATTCCAGTATGTTATTTGTGCTATATGCCCTCTTACACGACTTACACCTTCTTTTAAGGGCTGGTGATATCAAGGACTTTGTGAAAAAGGTGAAGCAGGAAGAGGCTAAGATCGAGATGAGGAAGAAGCAGCTCGCCAGGGCTGCTGAACGAATAGCGCAAGCTCGAGCAAAAGCCGCCGCCTCCGCCGTTCAAAACCAGGAGACGGCTGAGAATCCTCCACGTACAGTAACGCCACCTCCTTCTGCATCCAGAACATTGCCTACGCCATCAACTCCTTTGCAACATCCTCTGCCTGCTAAACCTGGCACGGCTGCGAGTAAACCACCTCCGCAAGACAATGCCGTTGCTACGCCTACACCTACACCTGCTCCAGCGCCCGCTGCCCCCGAACCTGTACATGAGCCCTCATACGAAAATGATGAACTTATTCTGCAGTACGAAGAGGTATGTGACGGCAGCAACCTATTGATACTTACATTCTTGCTGATTCCGCTTGCGATGTAGAATAAAATGCGCTGGGCGTGGCTGGCATTGCGAACCACGCGGGATCTCTACCTTCTGCATTTCGCCAAGATTGGTACTGGTGACATCATGCTTCTCTCGCAGGAAATAGACAAGGAGGTGAAGGAGACAAAAGAGCGCGAAGAGAAAGCGTCCCGTGGCGAATCGACTGCGTCGGCCAATCAGGACGACCGAGGGACGAGTCCGGGCATGGTCGTAACTGCGAGCCTCAACAGTGTCTCGGCGGAGGCTGGCAAAACAAGTGAGGATGGCCAGGCAGCAGTCGCTTCAGAGCAGGCCAATGGGCGAGACAGCGAAGGTGACGTGAAGATGGAGGCGTAGGACCTGGTTATTGCCTCGCCTGCATCCTTCGGTCTCATTATTGGTGTACAGTTTGCTGCACTAAGTTTCGTGGTGGTTCTCTGTATTCTAGCTTACCAATGTCATTGTTATACGGGCGGTCTATACCCTCGTGAATATGAATACTCGGGGTTGAGGCCCGTCGTTAGGTTCTGGGAGTGAAAGCGATGGGTATACGTGGGGCTCGCAGCATCCTCGGCTGTTCGAGTGTAAGTTTACGGGGGCAAGAAACGGTCCGACGATGAGTGTATTTCCTGAAAGCTGGTTGTTGCTCCCAGTGTGCAGGCGGACCGGGGACAGCCACAGAGTTTTCAGAGCTAGTAGATCTGAGATTCGTCAATATTATACCGATCAGATAAAAAGCAGAAAGTTCAACCCAACCGGTTGTATTCCTTCGCGGCTTTCCAGCTTTCTTCCTCTCCTCCACACTTCAATATCCCTAATGGCCATCACAGACGAACCTCTCAGGGTGTGTATCTCCTTTCCCGTCCCTGATTTCCACTCAAATATCCGTAGCGTGTCCTAGTCACCGGAGGAGCGGGTTACATTGGTTTGTAGCGCCTTCCAATTATAATGCCGAATGCAGGCTTTCTCACTGGCAATTGACCGTTCCAGGTTCACACGTCATTTACTGTTTACAAGAGACCCGTCGGTACAAGGTCATCTCGGTCGACAACAACCACAACTCGCATCCCAAGTCTTTGCAACGTGTAGCTCAACTCGCTCGTGACGCTCTTCCCCAAGATGCTTCAGAGAAAGACAAGGACAGCGCAGAAATTGAAGCCGTAACTTGTGACCTGACCAAGAAGGACGAGATTCGAGGAGTGTTCGAAAAGTATGGCAAAGGTGGTATCTGGGGTGTCATTCACATTGCGGTGAGTATATGAGCTAGCATGTGCAACGACGAACATTTTTATTAATGATCGTTTTCGTCAGGCATACAAAGCTGTTGGTGAATCCACCGAGGTTCCTTTGACCTACTATGAAAACAACGTATCCGCCACTGTCTACCTGCTACAAGTCATGTCTGAATATGACTGCCCTCGACTTGTATATTCCTCAAGCGCGACTGTGTATGGAACACCTCCGACCATCCCCATTCCCGAATCGACGCGTCTCCAAGCCGACAGTCCATACGGCAAGACTAAAGTCATGTCAGAAACCATAATTCAAGATCTTTGTGCTGGTCAGTTGCTGCGCACGAGCAGGCCGGCTATTCAACTAATTCCTTGTTTGTATAGCTGAACCACAAAGGTGGCGAGCACTATCACTCAGATATTTCAAGTGAGTTTATTCATTACTTTTTGTTTGGTGTCTTTGACAATGTGCTCCGCAGCCCCGCAGGCGCACACCCATCTGGTTTGATTGGTGAAGATCCCCGAGGGCGACCAGGCAACTTGCTTCCCTTGCTTGCGCATATGGCCGTTGGACGAGTCAAGGATGACAAGCTCAGCGTATTCGGTAACGATTATCCGACGCCGTAAGTTGACTCATTGATATCAAGACACTGTGGACTGTAACCAAACATACACAGTGACGGTACATGTGTGCGAGACTACCTGCACGTTATGGACCTGGCGAAGGGACATCTACTTGCGCTTGATGCCTTGTCACCGTCATCCAATGTCTTCGACAACTGCCCTACCGAGGCGCGATTCAAGGCTTACAACCTCGGAAAGGGCAAGGGCATGAGTGTGCTCCAGATTGTCGAGGCCATGCGGAAAGCGACTGGCTTCGACTACAAGTATGTGATAATCGGCCGACGGTATGTGATGATTTTACAAGCATTGAAAGCATTTTTGTTCTGATAGCACATATCGCAGACGGGGTGATGTACCCGACTTGACGGCTGATCCTACATTGGCGGAGAAAGAACTTGGATTCAAGGCGACACACGACCTTGAGACGATGTGTCGTGATCTTTGGAACTGGCAGACCAAAAACCCTGATGGATACGATACTCCCGAGACCTCAAAGGTTAACTCAGCTTAAGTTACCGAATACAGGAGTCGATGTTCGCTTTTTTTGTGCGGAGATAGCACAAAGTACATTTGACAGATACCCTCAGATACAAACGTAGTAGACTTGTTTTGATACTCTATAGTTGACTTCTGTATTTTTCGATCGAGACGATAACACAGTAACTCATACCCTCATTGCCTGCTCATGGCCGGCCAAGAGCAATAGCATAGAGCATGAGAAATCGAGATACATTCTAATAACTACAATTCGATTACAAGCGTTCGATATCAAGATGATGCATACAAAGTCGCAAAAAAAAAGGCTTGAAAGTGGAAGGATATAAGCTAGCTGATATGGTCGGGGAACTCTTCGTCATCGGACAAAGCTCCAATTATTTCTTCTCCTGTATCTACTGCGGGTGTGACGCTCTTTTTCTTCACCTGTTCGGCGGGAACACCCTGCTCTTCATTGAGTATTTCCAAACGAACGGGCGTAGGTGCGCGAATTTCCGGGGTAGGGCCAGAGAAGTCTTTGCCCGTCATGCGGGATAGCGTTGCAATATCTTATACAAATCAACATCGGGTTCGCCAAGAAAAACAAAATCCAACATACCATATGGTCTACGATTAGTGAGACAATAAGTTATTCTTGCAGGATTTTTTCGATCCTCCGCTTTGAACTTATTCTTGCAGGCTTTGCGATCACGGCCAGGCAGAACATACGAGATCAATTCGTAGTTCTCGCCGAACTGCGAAAGAGCCTGTGATGAATAAGTCAGTAAATGTTGGCATGTAAGAACATACAATAACATGAACCGAACTTACGTCGAAGAAGAGTTCGGTCTCTTCAGCACTCCATCGCGAGCCACGTACTTTCTTGCTGTATGTAGCAGAGTTGACGAATTTCGTGGTGTCAGACTCTTCAACGTGAGTATATCCAGACATGTCCTCCGCCTCCTCAATGCGATCAACAAAGAGCGATTCCTCGTCAACGATCATCTCGCCATTCGGTCCAATTCGAACTTGGGCGCTGAAACGAGTCGTTGTCATGGTTTGCGAATAGTCAAAACCGTCACCCTTATGGATCCCAAGATCCTCAATAATGTTCGACGGTCCAGCTTCAGCGTTGACATCTAAAACAGGAGTAGCCTCCAACGTTTTGTCAGGTGGTGTAGAGCCTTCCTTTAACCGCGCCTCCTCTTCCTCCTCCAGATCTCTTCCATACTTCTTCGCTTCCATTATAGCTTTCATGCGAGCTCTCTTTGCCCTATTTGCGGAACGCCAAGTAGCATGATTACTCACGATTTGAGCTGCCTTACTACTGATGCGCCCCGTGCCTAGGTCATCGCATAGAGCACCCATGGTCACCGCTGTAGGGTCAAGCTCTTCTCCAGGATCTGCCGTTGAATCAAAAGGCGGTGGTGAAGGTGCTTTAGATCTGCGTGTGCGGCGACGTCGTCTTGGCGTAGCTGAGTCGGCCTCTCCCTCAGAACCAGAACCCGCTTCTTCTGTTTGAAACTCTGAGGTGCCTCTGCTTGTCCGTCTCCGTTTGGTAAGCCTTTTCTCCCCCGGGGTGGCAGCTTCACTGCTGTCCGCTTCTTCCTGTGTAACATTCTCGTCATTGACAACACGTTTTGTACGCGTACGGCGAGGTCTGGCAGGCTCTCCAGTACTATTGCCATTTTCGGCTGAGGGCATTCGGGGCTTTCTTACTTGAGATTTGTGAGTGGCAGGTGCGGCCTGAGAAGGTTCTCCGTTAAGTCCACTTGTTGACGGACCAGTAATAGGAGCAGGTTCTACGGCGTGCTGAGTCTGAGCCTGGTCTACATGTCGAAGTGCAGCAACCACTGCCTCCAATAGAGCTGGATCAATTTGAGCATTTTCAATGTTTGTCGAAGCGGTCTCAATTTGTAGTGCAGACGTGGTAGTCGATGCATAGGACTGCGGGACAGTGGTTGCAGAAGATGTTTGTCTGCTGCTAGAGGGGACAGCAATTGGTCTTGCAGTTGGAACAGTGATGGGTATGGGAGCAGCGACATTTCTACTAGACTCGGCATTACCTGAGATGGTCGGGGGTGCATGAGAATGTTTGGTGGGCTGTATGACAGGAACTGAGCCAGATGATATTATGGGAGGCGGTCGTGGTACATTCAAAGAACGTTGGGGTGAGGCAAGTGGGACGGCGGGTGGTCTAGATGACTCTCGAGTAGGTACTGCGATACTTTGGGACGGTTGAGATCCTTGTAAATTGGTAGCTTCTGCATTTGAAGATTCTCTATTGTTCTTGGCCGAGCCGGTCTGAGTTGAATGTCGGGATGGAATGATCGAAGGAGGCCCCATAGGCTGAGCGACAGACACGGATGAAGTCGCCGCTTCAGGAGGTTGAGCATTTCCCACTGTGGAGCCATGGCGAGGTTCGGGAGCAGGAGTGACTGAGGTTTGGCGAGATTCTGTCCCCTGCCGTGCGCGAGGCTTGGCAATGGGACGAAAGATGGTACTCCCCTTCTCTGGTGGATAATTGAATTCAGAGTGTATAAGTACTAGAACGACGGAGAGACGTACGAACTCGCGAAGACATTGTTGTTAGCTAAACAAAGTGCGACCGGTTAGTATGGTAAACAAATAGACTTTTCGAATACGTACTCAAGAGGATCCAGCTGCATTCACTGCTGCTAAACGTCGAGAGTGAAGGGAAGTCAGGGCGCTTCAAGGCACGATCGACCGTCGGGAGATGCCGACATAATGCGCCCCTCTAATTTGGCTGAGCAAGTTCTTGGCAAAGTTCACTTGCATATCTTGCCTCTTCCAAACTCAACGTCAACCCTAACACTTACCTCTTTCTAGGTTTCGTAATACTAACATTACACGCAAATATTGTGCTTTTGGATTAGAGAATCACGCAGGTGACCAGCATCGCACTATGTCGCGTACTATCCCATTGCCAATGGGCCCTCATCCAGGTTGGGAGTTGGAGGAATCAAATCCAGAAGACTCTCCCTTGCACTCAGTGGCAGAGAGGTACATACGGTGTAATGCACCAGTTTAACCACATCTCATACCTTCCGCAGCTCAGTTATAGCATATGCTCTGAAGCAATGTGAAACAATATCTCGATCTCTAGTAATCTTTCATAACTAACAGTGACTCTCGATAGCACGAGAAAGGTGGCTTACCTCAACCTTCCCGAGGTTCTCTGTCAAGACACGAGGCGGCAAACAAGGCGCTATCTTACCCCCACCTCATACTATCAAGCCCCATGGCAGGTTTGACCTCGTCGTTGGTCCACATGTCTTCTCGAATACCGAAATATTCGAAGTTCATTACCTACCTCAACAAGCAAGCACGTCTCCTTCTACTGCTTCAGGTCAAATTACACGCCCATCAGGAACATCAAATACTGCATCATTGTCTAATCCAATTCCAGCTCCTGTCATGTCGACGCTACCAGCTGATGCTTTTGTTACACCGGAATTGATTAGTCAAGTGAACTCTGCAGCCGCTTCGAATCCGGTCTTATCAAACCTGCTACACGAAGTTGCTGTTGGACGTGCGACTCAGGACCAACTGAAAACGCTGGGACTCCTCATTCAGACACTCAAGGACAGTGGAGCACCTCAACAGACCTCCACAGCGCCCGCCGCAGGTTCATCATCTACTCCTGCACAACCTTCACAAATTCCAACTGCGTCGCGAGATTTTGACATTGTACTAGAATTCCATGAGAAGCCTTCCGACCGATGGATACTGCCTCGTGGTCCTGTCAGCATCCAACCCGTTCGTGGGCACCGAGGAGATGATCTGATAGTGAATGCTGTTCTGCCGTTCACGCAGACTACAACCTCCAATGACGATGTCAATACCAAAGCCAAAGTGCCTGAGATTGTCGCTTTCCGATTCGCAAGCGTATCATTCACTGTACATGATCTAATGATGAGGTGGATGGGAGGACCGGAGAAAATGGCGGAGCATGTAGGTAAATTAAACGAAGTGGTATGTTACTCTCTAGTTTATTGCCTACAAATTATTGAATCCGAGACAGGCTTCGAAATGGCCGAAACGCCAATTCCTGCAACACCAACTCCCCAATGGGTATCTTCTGGACCAACTTAAAGCGGTGAGCTGTTATGTACAGTTGAGAAGCTTCCCTCAAATCTAATTTCTCTTGTTTAGGCTGTTGCACCTCCATATGTCATGAAGTCAATCAAACCTACCCATGGTGATACTCACAGAAGCAAGCGTCGTGCTACCCGCAAAACTACAAATATTCCGCCGACACCAACACCACAAATACCAATCTCAGCACCAGCACCAATACCGACACCTGCGCCAGAACAAACATTACCCGTCCTTCAGCAGGAAGCACCGTCAGCATCTGTTGATATGCCTCCCCCGCCCAAACGGAAGAAGTCCAATAATGCAAAACCACAAAGCTCTACGACGCCTACGCAAATCGCCTGCCATTCATGTGGTCAAACAGATGTTCCTCTAATGATGGGTGGTCGTAAGTACCTAAGTGCATATGGGCTACAGTATATTCCAAGTCTCATAGTTTTGACTTTAGGTTATTGTCGTCCATGTATAGTTGCTGGTAAGGCGGTCGCCGATATACCATCCGCGACTCCGGCGCGGGCTGTAGAGCGACCGCCGCCCATCAAGGCAGTGAGTCGACGACCGTCAACGATGTCCGCGCCCACCCTGGTCGCGCATTCTCCATTGGCTACCAATCAACCCGTTGTATTTGCCCCAGTCCAGACACCACAGAATATAGGAGAAGAGCAAAAGCCAAAGAATACATAGTACCTATCATATTGAGAGCTAATATATGGAATAGAAGTGTTATAAAGATATGACAATGATGTTATAATGATACATTGCAGGGTTTCCGGGTGACAGCGAGTGGAGAGCGATGTAATCGACGCAAGGGGGAAAAATAAGAGAAGAACGTCCCTAAGAGAAAAGTTTGACAGTCCATCCAAGCCACCAAACGACAACACAAAAGAGAGCAACGACAATGCAGATTTCAACGAGCACCGCCATCCATTGTATGATGAGCCCAATGCCGAACAGAGGGATGAACATCCATCGAAACCCGGTGTGGGCGATCCAAGGTAGGTTGTAATTCAGGGTGGATGACCAAGCTGCACGTATTTGAAGCAGGGTCACCAGTACCGCAGCAGCAGAAAAGAGGAGGAGCCCGATGCAATGCCGAAAGGAACGCCTGGGAAATGACTTGATAGGGTATCGCTTCGCCTCGCCAGTGAATTCGTTGCGATACCATGGAATGATCAAGAAATCCTGGACGTCGTCTCCAATCACCTTCCCATAATTCCGCCAGAAGGGAGTGACGGTATCCAAAAGGAGTGTCATCGCATCGAGTCCAATATTCCACAATTGTTGGTAGTGGTTCCGGTAACTCTCCTCGAGCGCGACAAGTTGAGACATCTAAAAGAGAACAATGAGTATACTGAAAAAATACCCACGCCCAGTGACATACCTCGGGATAGACAAGAGACGTATGACCAAGTGTCTCGTTATACTCCCGTTTGACGGTTCCATGGACAACCTTCACCCGTGTCAGTGCTTCAGCAACGGTTTCTGCCTCGCGAACAATCCGTTGCCGCTGCAATTCGAGCTGGTCAAGGGACTGTGTCAGAGAAGCGATTGTATCCTCGAAGAAGCTCTTGGATGGGTTCTGGATGCCCTGCTCCGAGGTGCGCGTTACGAAATCTCGGAGAATTTCCCGTTGTCGAAGTATACGACCATGTATGTCTTCAACGGCTCTCCAGCTCTTGAAGCGCTTGGTACTGCTGACCACAGAAGAAGGATCATGGCTAAATGCATCCAACACGTCCTGAGGTATCTGAACGTATGGAACACCAAGTAAGGTAGCAAGCGACTTCTGAACGTTCTCGTACTCCCTAACGTTGGCACCGACACGCTGCAAAATTTGACGAGTACGGTAGTTCTGAAGCACAGTGTCTTCGAGCAACCTAACGCAAGAAATTGAGCTCTCGTACGGCGGCAAATAATACAGGAAAGCTTACTGGCTCTTGCGTTCATACTCTTTGCGCTCTTGCTCCTCGTTAGCTTGCTGTTGCTGTTTCTCTTTCTCACGTTCGAAAACTTGATGGGGAGATGGCAACGAAACTCGCTTCCGATTACGGTGGAGCGTTGGGCGCGTAGGTTCAGACGTCGTACCAGCGGAGTCTCCCTGCTGAGGAGACGAGTGAACAGAATATATCTGCTGCTTAGCTGTCAATGGACCCTCCCCAGCACTGGACACGCCAACGTCTCCAGCCTCGGACAGCTCCGCAGACAGAGCCCTCCTATCTTCGTCTGTACCAGGGTCACTATGCAACTGAATAATCCTCCTACGAGGGGTCTTCCGAGGACTATGTGATCTATAACCCTCTTCCTCTTGGCTCTGTTCAGACATGGAATTCCGCGCTGAGGACAAGCCATCATCGCTACCTGGGTAAGGTTTTCGTCTAATACGGTGCGCCAGTTCACGAAAATGCAAGCGACTGTTGTTGGGCGAGCGGTTTTGAGTCCAGTGACCGTAGAAGATACTACTGTTGATCGAACCCCGAGGAGAACTTGTGGAATCCATCCGACGTTTGGCACGGTCGACGCTGACCCTGTGTTCCTCCCCAATGGACTCGCGACCGGAATCAACCTGAGGTTCAAAGGAAATCTGACCACCATCAGGTGGTGTTTTTCGTCTAGACAACGAAGGTTCAAGCGAACGACGTGGAGGAGTATATGACCATGATCCGCTGGAAGGCGATTTGTTCTCTGAATGGCCGACTGAGTTGGATGTGGGTGATGCAAGGTTCTCAACTATACTATCTTCGGGTATTGTTTCCATCGTGTCTGGGCGGGTTTTGGATCGCACATATTCTTCGATGATAAGAGCTGTAAGATGCCAAGGAAAGCGTGAGGTGGTTTCACGACCGTGTTTCTCTAGTAGGTGCTTCAGCCACGTCAAAGGTTCAGACTTGTCCAATGCGGCTTGCACTACTGCATCTTGTTTACTATACCAACGGGCTACGGAAAGCAGATCGGGAGGTGTCGCGGAGCGTGTAGAGGGTAATAGTGCAGCATATCGTCTCTGGAGTTGATCACGAGTAATCTCAGCTTTGCGTAGTGTATGTTGTTTAGCTTTCGCCCGTATACGAGCGAGTTTGTCTGTCATAAAGGCGTGTAAAACAATCATCCTGAAGTAAAATAGGACTTGTCTTACCCGCATATAACGTATCCTGCTTTTCTATAATCGTTCGATTCGGTAAAGGAGTTCTATCTTTAGGCTTGCGCTTAATAGATATACTCCACCGTTTATCTAACTTCTCCTCTTCTGAACTGAATCCTGCCCAATCCAATGTAGCGCCACCATTGGATGAGGCAGGAACAGGATGTAACGGCACGGTACCTACGGATGGACTGAAATCCACCTCTGACTCAATGGTGAGGCCCACCGGGGGAGGCACAATGGGAGGTGGAATGGGATATATGGAACGTAATGGTGATGAATGAGGGGAGATGGAGGAACCAGTTAGGCCGTCGGAAATAGAAGACCCATCCCTCAGAGATGTGTTGTTTTGCATTGCTCGAACGCGGGCCTCCCGCCGTGCTTTCAGTCTCAGAGCACGCTGTACGTCTTCTACAATTCTAGGATCTAGTGTTTTACTTCAGACATGAGGGTGTACGTTGGAGGAACGGTGTACGTGCCTTCATGAGCTAAGGGGATAGAATGAGTAAAATCAGCGTATCATTAAGCAAACGACATACCTAGATCATACTCGTCCGAAAATGACGTCGCAGATGTGACATGGCTGCTCTTGTCAGAGAAGTCCGTCCGCATCCTATCCTTCCTCGACGGCTTCCTAGTAGTAGTTGTAACCTTGCGAGATGTATCACCTACTTGCTCTGAAATCCTTCTCGCGCGAGAGGGACCAGGCGCTGGCAGACCAGCATCGACGGATTTCACCCGTGGGCGAATGTCCAAAGAGCGACCCTGTGAGCTATTGCCATCATTGTGAGTGGTTCTTCTCGGCAAGGGAGGATGTCCAAGACCCAAAGCAGACATCCCGGCTGCACTGTCTGAACGCACAGAACCAAATTTGCCATAATCACGGTCCTGAGGAAAGTGAATACGAGAGCTCTTGGGAACAGTGCTTGCTGCTGGCGGGGTGACGGAATTGTTGTATGATTGACCAGCTGAAGATGAGGGACCTGCCTCCGCCATGTAAATACGACCGCAAGGTGCAGCCGAGCGTGTTAGAGAGAAGGTATCACAGCGAAGGGTATCACAAAACAGTGACCGCAGCTGCCACGCGCTGAGGAGGTATGTTCCTAAATCATAAATGGGCGCTTGTAGCTCAATGCGGAGACTGTTTGAGTGTGTTTGTAGTTCTAGCCACACCTATATCGACCACTGCGCAATGGTGAGGAGAACTTCGGTCCCTCGATCCACCATGGCATCCTCGCCCGACCATGGCCGACGCGAAGATTTAGAGGCTGGGGAGGTCGATATTCTGCTTGAGGAGAGTGCATCGACAACACCAGTGTACGCAGTCTCGATTTGACACGTCCTTGCCGACTCATAGACTCTGATATTGATAGTCATACTGTAGACCTACTCGTTCAATCTATTCTATGACCCGAGATGAAATAACAAAAGGAATCGCGAATAGATTCGTACACTCGAGGACATATATTGTCCTATACCTTGTCATGGCTGCGCTATCTGTGACGACAGTCGTTCTAAGCTTGGTCAATGGCTGCCCAACACTTGCTTTCTACATCCTCGAGTTTATCATCAATGGCGCGATGATTCTTGAAGTCTCAATACGTTTTGTTGCATTTGGCCGAGTGCGTATTGAAATATTGAGGTAGTATTTCACGCTTACGTGTCCCTATACAACTACAGCAATTTTGGAAGTCACCATTCAATATCCTCGATCTCATCCTGACGGTATTCTGCGCCGTTACATTACTTGTTATTCTGTTCGCTGGTTGTGGTAATACGAGTAAGGAAGAAGAGCTGCTAGACACCTTACTCCTAGTCGCTCGTAACGTGCTTCAGTTTGGCAGGTTGGCGGCAGTCATGCGACAGTAAGTGCAAACCTTCAGGATTCAACATTCTGTTACTGATTTCCGGATATGATTCATAGATCTGGGCAGTCAATATTTTCAAGACCGAAACCAATAGACCTTTCAGCTCCTCGAAGACGAACATATAATCTCGACATTGACATGGAGGGCGAAGAAGAAGCCGATGAACTTGGGCGACCTCTCATGCATGATCAAATTGTCTTCGACGCTGCTGAAGAGCAAAGGAGAGCCCGGGCACCCATGTCGGATATGCCGCGAGCCGCTCAGGCTATCCAAGAACGAGACACGGAAGACGTTTGGGCTGAGTTGGGATGATACGGTTTGGAATATTTTATTCGTTGACCGTCTAGACTACGTTATGGTCTTCTATTCTATTCGCTTTGACTGAAACGTTCATCCATTCATGGTAGTGATTGTCGCTGGTAAGCATTCATAGCTGGATGTAATGAATGGAACTACTACTCAACTCGGGTTCTGCAGAGTGCTTTACCAGTACAGCTTGAATATTGTCCCGCGCCCGCCCCTTCATGTCATCCTCTTCATGAATGGAATCATGCTGTGGACCTAAAGAGTTATACACTCATTTAAGTTATTTCATATTTCCGTGGTGACCGTGGTCTCCATTTTCAAGATTCATTGAAACAACATTGAAAGTCATTGAACTGAGGTAAGTAAGTACCCGGCCGTTTATATGCCGACCAATATTCAGACATGAGGCGGAAGGATACCCTTTACGTTTTTGCTTCAAGCATCGGTACCGGGAGGTATCCAGGCAACATTGGCGCGTTCTCTGGTCCGATATCGATGACGCCTTAGAAGTTAGCGAAGCAGGTTCATTCGAGTCTGGGTGTACCTGGAAGTGTCTCACGGCGACATTCTTCGCGAACAGTCGTCTCACGCTCATCGGGATATTGTACTGATGTTGTCGTTGCCCAGTGATATCGCTGACTCCCGATGAAGTAAACCCCGTTTGCTTTTCGACAAATGCACCTTCAGGGCGCAGCTATCGTGGCCTGTAAACAACGTATGGTCGTTGTGAGGTGCAAAACTTGAGCCTACTGAGTAAGTGACCTATGACTCCTGGTATTCGGATTAAGCACTCGTGGAAAAGTTCAAAGAAGGATATGCGGTGGGGATATATAGCACAAGATCAAGATCTCAGCCGATCACTGATAGAGCCATGGAGGCGGAGGTAAGACTGCTGCTGAGCGGTGACAGGGCGAGGGGTTTTGGCTGGATTGCTGGAAGTTCTGTGACTTGGGACTGTGCACTGTGGTACGCGGCGTAGAATTTGACTGCAAGAGATTGAACCTCAACGTGAACGGAGGAGGAGCGGAGGGTGAAAAGCAGCCTGATTTGGCGGTAGGATCAGACGGTTCCGCGTAACCAAGAGTGGAAGCGCTTAAGAAATGGCTGCGAAAGATCGCAAAGAGGAAAGTTAGAGCTTGTCGCCCTCCGGGTTACTGAATTTTGCTCTGCTGTCACCACACTCATTACCTCTGCTCTATCGCGTTCATGTCGTGCTGTTTCGCTTGCTGTTAACCCACTAATTGCGCCCTGACGCGCCTTGTATACTCACAACCACATGCACTCTCGTTACATCCCTGTATTCACATCACTGATCCGACCCAGAGCTTACATCCCATCAATTCGCTCACAACTCGACGCTCCTTCCCTCTTCACATACCCCCAATGTCGTTGGCACCACCGGGCCAGAACAAATCGTGGTGGTCGCGTTCAAAGTCCAGAGACCCTCCATCCTTGCGCTTAAAACGCTCGAATTCGAACTTGGGTGAGAAGGCTGCTGCAAGTGGTCCGTCCAAGCCTAAGGAGTCTAGATTTAACACGCTCGTTGCTTCTGCCATGGGCAAGAAGAAGAAACAACTTCCCATCCAAGACCCTCCCCCACCCGCACCGCCTATGCGTCCTCCAAGACCACCCTCGTTAGAGCGGCCACCACCTACTCAGTCAATACCAGAATATCCCCCACCACAACTCCGGTACCAACGACCCCCGCGAGTTGACATACGACCTACCATTCGTAGGTACCACGATGCCGATGAGTATTCCGACCCTCATACCATCTCGGAACCACGGACACCTTCCGATCATCCGAGGGATAGGTCATCCTACCAGAACTCTGTCATGACGCTGTCTGACCCAGACCCATTCGCGTCGGGAGGTATATTCTCTCCTCTAATACAGGATCCTAACAGGTTATCAGTCTACTCCGATGCTTCATACCATGATGCCGTGTCAAAACGCAGTGATCCGCTGTTCAATAACCGCATATCGTATGGGTCATCCTCCTCCAACTCTCATAGCTTACGGTCCGAGGGACAGATGTCCAGAGGCCAATTTTCACCTCAGTTGTCACCTCCATTGCCTACTGGAGGGCGGCAGCAGGCGCTGAGGTACAGCATACAAGAATTTGCTTTGAGTTTTGATCGAGCTGACAGCTGTCACACAGGATTGCTACCGACGGTACCATAGAGCATCAACGACATAGAAGGCAATCGTCTATTGGACTTGATGAGGCACCCCTTCCTCTACCTCAGAACCGAACAGTGACTCGCTCACGAAGCGCACTGCATTCCGGATCAGTATCCTCCAATTCCACAGTTACACCCACTGAGAGAGGTAGAACGAAAGAGTATTTACCTTCAGGGAGCAGTATGGCGTTCCCTCAACCACCGTCGCTACGCGCAAGAGGTATGACAGTTGGAAGTCTTCTTGACCGTCCGAATACATCTTCCGGGCTCATGAACTTCACCACGGGTGGGAATGCATCTACTAGCAATGTATCATCGCTTCGCCGCAAAGCATCAGAGAACTTTCTCTTACAACAGTCTCCAGTCTCTCCTTCACCAACTACACCTCATTCGGCTATGTCATTCCCTCGCTCCCGAGCCTCTTCTAATGCCACTAATGTCCATTCACCCACTTCTTCACGCCCTGTCGTCCTCATACGCAAGGCGTCTGCTCCTCGTATGATAGTCCCGCCCCCAAGCGCTGCACCTCCCATCAGCGACCTACCATCACCACCACCTCACTCCCCAGGTGTGGGTCCTACTGGACCCGAAAATTTCTTTGATCCACTCGACGACTCACCTGGTTCATTGGAGTTTCAAGATCGAAGGTTGTCGAGTTCGTCAAGTCTGAGTTTCGCGTCTGGCGGTGGAATGGGCACGAACGATGTTGGAGATGCTATACAACAGCTTATGCGGGACTCTTTTGGCCACCGCGACCGCAAACATGGCAAGGGGTCCGGTATCTCTACTACAATTGGGAACTCAAATCCCGGCTCCAGGGGGTCGACGATGCGTCCAAATAGTCTGAAGAAGGCCGCCTCGCAACAAAACCTTTTCGACAAACGGCAATCCTTGACCAGTCTTGCGGATTCCCTGCTGTCAGATTCAGTTGGGCATGATAGTTATGACGGAGGCAAGTCTGGCACCAGCACACCTGGGACCAAAACGCCTAAGAAACAACGCTCATTTCATCACCCCCGCTTCCCTCCCTTATCATCATTGCGACACCCATCTTCCTCCTCACCGTCACCACCCATAGAAACACGCAAGGATACACCACTACAACCGCGTCGCAGGCTGTTTTCTGGCTCCAGTCTCCGACGTTATAGCTCTTCTCAGCCTCAGCCTCCAGGTAGCTCATCAGCGTCTGTAGAAGATGATATGCGCTCTCTTCTGAGTGTGGAGAGCATATCGAATGTCCCCAAGAAAGACCATTCCAAACATATCATCATGTCGTTCTCGAGCTTCGGTAACCAGATGTCTCTCGTGACAGAGAGTGCGTGTCTTTCTCCGACGTGGGATGAAGACATGATTATCGAAACCGCTAGCAAGAGAGATTCTCAGAGCGATTATGCACCACAGCACATTATGTCTCCAGATGCGATGCTGGAATTAGAGCAACAGATTGAGGCGGACGCTGCTCAACGGGAACGAGAGAAGCTGGATGCGGCGAGCGGGCAGAAACCCACGCCGAAACTACCGCTGGACGCGAAGGATTTGGGTCTACCTTCTCCTAGCAGGAGACCCAAAGAGTCTAGGTCTAGAGTGGTTTCAGGGACGTCGGATGTATCAACCCTGACTGGCAAGAGTTATGCAACTGCGTCGGAAGGGTATCATGCTGGTCCCTCTACTCTTTCAAGAACTCCAACCATCCAGCGGGACGTTGATCAAAGCACCTGGATGGACGATGAAGATGAGTATTCTTCTTTACTAGTCCGAAGTACTTCCATGTTCGGAAAGACTACGCCCAAGCCACCACTGGCCATTCGCCCGGCCACTGCTCAGCCGTTATCATCTCCACCGACAACCCCAACTACTATCACTGCATCTCCTGAGAGGCCTATAACTGTTCTTCCGCCTCCTCCTCGCCCTCGTGCCAGGGTGTCCCATGAGGAGCAGAGTGAGCAGGAGCCGGAATCACTATCCAAACGTGCCAGCGTCACACCCATTCACCCATTGTCTCCCCCACCACGTCGTAAGACCTCAAGGACAATGATACTAGCCGATGATTCTGACCATCGATCCCAACATTCCACGCGTCCTCCGAGTGCTTTCGAGACGCAGAAGATAATGCATCGCAGATCGCTCATGAAAAAGCCCTCGTTCTTGGAGATATCCGACGAGGATGACGATGAAGATGACGGTTCCGGGACTTATTCCGGCAGGGACGGTACGACGCTGGGTTCTGTTTCTCCCATTATGGAGAGCAGTTTCCTTGACCTCGATAGAGGCAACTCTTTCGACAGTGTTCGAAGTGACGACAACTTTCATGTATTTTAGGTCTTGCTGTTTTTTTTTGGGGGGGCGGTGCTTCATTCCTTTTATTCACACCCTGCACATTGTTCTGCGTTGCTCTCTTTTTTATTGCTATTATAGTGGTAGGGTTCTATACCCGTATTCCTTCATCAGTACCTATTGACCTAATTCTTCCCAGCTTGGATGATCTAGTTAGTTTTCTCATTCCTATCCTTCTTGTTTTACATCGTCAAGATACTTACTATTGGCAGACTTGCTGTATAAATGGGCTTTCCTGGCACTTTATGATCACCATTCAATGAACAATCTGAATTGAGAAGCAAAAGGAAGGTTATATATGAAATATCCGTAGACTATTAGACCCATTCGACGAGTAGAAATTGACGAGTAGAGAACGTGTATACCCTCCGAAGGGGACTGAGGGTATGAGTGTAAAGGGAAAGAAGAAGAAAAGAGAAGACGGAAAAATCAGTCGGTTTCGTCGGTGTGGTAACCTGCACGACGCATTGCTCCGAGACGATGTCGTGCAGCACCCAAGTCCTTCTCCAACTTCAAGATCTCGACCTGCTGTTCCATCTCTCTCTTCTTGAACTCCATAGTAGCCATGCTCTTGTAGTCGACTTCTTCCTCTTGAGACTGCTTGGCAGATATCGCCTTCACCTGCTTGACTAAAGCTTTGCAGGCCTCGGTGACAGCCTTGGCAGCGAGCTCCAAATGCTCTTGAGTCTTCGACATCAAGTTCGCCTTGACACGAGAAGCTGCAACAAGCTGAGCAGTCGCAGCCGCGACCTCGTTGGATGCAACAATAAGCTGCTCCAAAGAATGTGTACCAGACAAAACTCCGTCGGCGCATTCGATGAGCAGGTTGGTAGCAAAGGCAACAGCGCGAGCAGCGGAAATGAGACCCTCTGTCCAACGGTTGTTCTTTTTGTAGAACTGCTGGGACGTGCTCGAACCTTTCCCTTGAGCCACAATCTCTTGCTGGGACTCGGTAGCAGCCTGAATAAGGCGAGCGATAGCGCTCGTGATTGCGAGTGCAGCCGCCAAGATTGAATCGTGGACTTGCAGATCGACAGCGCTGTATCGTGAGGAATCGCGGGGACGAGACATGAGCTGCTGCAGACGCTCGGTCGCAGCTGCAATCGCCTTCGCTGCACCCAGCATCTCTTGCTCGACTAAATCTCCAATGTCACCATTCGCCTTAGCCAAAGCGCCTGCCTTGCCACCCTTCGGCACGAGTTTGTCGACGGTCTCCGACAACTTGGTCAGCGCGTTGCGCACTTCGACGTTGTTACGCATGGCAACCTCTTTCTTCTGACTAGTCTCCGGAATTAGATCAAGCTTGTAAGATTGCAGGTTGAGGAAAACTCGAAGACCGACGTCTCCAGCGGTCTTTGCAACTGCGACGAGCTTGTCTGCTTCTTCGTCACTCACAAGCCGAGTGATGCCTTTGGTATTGATCAAGACATCGGAGAGTGACTGCGCCAGCTCATTTGCGGCCTTGATGACGTCGACGTGGTCGCCACCAATGTCACCGCTCAAGTACAAGTTGAAAACTGTAGCAAACTCCACAGCGTTGTTGATCGCCTTCTCTATCATCGATAAGGTATATTCTGGAGTGGAATTGAGGTTGCCGGCTTGCGCAGGTGACTCCAGTTCATAGATCGATTCGTCGACCTTCTGAACACAAGCCTGGAGGATCGAGTCTGTGGAAAGGAAATAAATGAACATGTAAGTGTTTCAATGTGTCGTATATACGAACCGATAATAGCATTAAGTTTCTTCCTGTTGTCAAGAATCAAGTTGTCGATCTGTGCATTCACGGCTTCCTCGGCAATGCCTTGGGTCTGGTTTCGATTAATTAAAGTTCGTAAGGATGAAAGCTGTATCATACCTGTTGTGCATCAGACAGCTGCTGAATGGTCGTATCCATTCCCTCCTGAAGGATAGCAATCTCTTGATCCTTCTCGTCCTGAACACGTTCAATCTCGTGACTAGCATTGTCCAACTTGCCCAAAAGATCGTCAATTTGAATTTGCTTGGCCTATTCAATCAAGATGAGTACTGCGGACAGTTTGTGCAAATGTCAAGACATACTCGAAGGGAGTCTTCCAACTCGGAGAGTTGCCTGTTATACTTCGAGAGCACATTGGACACCTCTGAGCTCTTTGAGCGAGAAGCGTCCTCTGCGCGTTCGTTAGCGAAGTTAAGCTCTCGACGGATGCGATCCAACTCGTCTTTCTGGCTAGCCTTCTGGCGGTCGAGGTCAAATCTTGCTCGATCGCGCTCACGAATCATATCTGCAAGCTCCAAATTCTTCGCCTTCAAGTCCCGCTCCATTCGTTCCATGCGATCAATGGCCTCCTGAGCCGAGTTCGCCTTTAACTGCATTTGCTTGAACTTCGCGAGCATGTCGAGATGTTCTGTCCGCAACTGGCTGTAAAGCTTGGCAAGGGCTTCATACTTATTACGCCAAAGTGTGACCTGGTCTTGTAGCTGCTTAATCAAGTCGTCCTTCGACATCATCTGTGCATTGACGTTGGCAGTCACAGTGCTGAGTTCGCCTTCTAGCGCCTTGACTCTCTGATGCCAAAGATTCAATAGTTGGTTCAAAGAATGTGGCAAATCATCGTACCCTGTCATATTGCTCTAGCATCATTTGATCTCGCTCGTATTGACCACGCATAGCCAGAAGCTCTCGTTCAAGTTCATGCATCTGCTGAGCAGCTTGATTGTTATATTGCATTAGTTGTTGTTGCATTAGTTGTTCTTGGGCCTGGCGTTCTCGTTCAGCTTGCTCCGCCTGCCTCTGCTCAAATTCGCGACGTTGCTGGTCTGCGAGATCGTGTAGTCGTTGTTCTTCAGCTTGACGAGCGGCCAGCAAAGCGGCTTGCTGATCTTCGTATTCCTTCAACATGCGAGCTTGTTCGCTGATAGCGGCAGCATCTGGCGTTGGTGCTACAGGTGGTGGGGTCTTAATTGCGGCAGCAGCAGTGGCTGGACGAGCAGGAAGATCAGGCGCAGAGCCACTATCGAGGAGATTGGGTGGATCCTAGAACCCATTCAGAGGGCATGCCGACAGGAATCTTGGAATACTCACCTGGCCAAGCTTTGGCACATTGATCAGACTAGTAAGATATTTCAGGTTGGAGCACTCGTAGTAGAACTTTCGCAGCGCGTAGTGCTGTGCGCTGAACCGTTGGCGAAGTGGTTCCAAAGCTTCGTGGTCATCAGTTCCTACGTTACCCGAGTCGTTGTCAGAAATGCTCTGAGAGCAAAAGGAATATCACAAACTTCTGTGCATGGCCCGAAGCATGCTAGTGATGAAACGATAAATTCCCCAGCTTTCCTTGACCAAAGGGACAAGTGCAGATATCCGACATTCATTGTTTGCTGAATGACGGAAATGGGCGAAAATCATCTTCTGGAATGAATCGATCTGGTCTTGTAAGCCCATGAGATCCGAAATGGTCTCATAGCTACGAAAGTGTAAGCCAACGAGCGACGAGTTACCTCGTGTAACGTACCCTTCATTGGGATCATCAATTCCTTTCAGTGTAACATATTCCTCATACTCAAACAACCCATTGAACTCAGGCCTCAGCCGATGGAAGCGAAGCTTTGCGAGGATGAATTGCACATATGTCCTGATTAGTGGACCGTAACCTAACAGGCGGTAATGAAGTAATAAGCCATGACAGCAAACGGCGAGACATACCTCGCGCACTATCAGTAGAAACGGCTCTAGCGCAAGTCTCGAGCCATCCCGTCTGACCATGAGCCTCCTTGATAGTCTGAAAAGGAAGCGTGAGGTGAAGATGATGGCGAGTTATACTGTACTTTGGACGTACCACCGGATGGCCTTCCTGCAGCACCTTGTGAACTACAATGAGTGCTTTGAATGTCTGTACTTCATCGGACAATATAGGTTGCACTCGGAGTCCAGTCCAGAACGATATTGATGAATGGTAATCCCATGTATAGACAATACATTCTGAATATTGATGAGCAACGATATATAGCGGTAAGCGTGAATTAGAAACGCACTCCGAACATGCTTCTGCTTAGGTGCAGTCTCCTCTGGATTTGTTGCTTTCTTGATATTCACGACCAGTTCAGCTTCGGCCTTGTCCTTGTCGACTGGCCTTGTCGGGTAATGCACTTCGTCGCCATCTATGTCATACGTCTGTCGAGTCCGCTGACCAGAGAACCTGACGTATATTGAATGGATACTTGCACGCTCAACATATCATAATATCGAGCACTTACATGGCTCAAGCAAAGCAAATGGGGAAGGATGGGTATGGAGGTAATCAGGAACTTGCAACGCTAGCCGATTCTGCAAGTACTATTATTGTAGCGCAGTCGGGCGCTCCACGTCTGCCTGCGGGGCAAAGCGCACTTCGAATTTTGTTGTGCTTGATCACCTCGTTTCAACCAGCTCATTCATACCTCGAGTGGTTCTCTTACGGACCCGCTCAGGCCATGTCTTCAGTATTTCGGAGAGCCTTTTCAAATCGCTTTTTATGGAACTCATTCCGCCACGATCTGCGACCACGGCAACACCCCCAGTCCTTGCTTCGCAGACATGAATCTACTGCATCTGCCTCCGGCAGTACTCAGTACAAAGCAAAAAAGTATTCATTGCTTAGCCCTACTATGATCATCTTGGGCTTCGTCCCAATATTTACTTTTGCATTGGGCACATGGCAAGTCGAACGTCTCAAATGGAAGGTGAACTTGATCGACGATTTGGAGGAGAAACTACAACGGGACCCCTTGACATTGCCAAGACATATCAAGTGCGAGATTGTCTTCTCCCCGCAGTTCACTTGGGTCTTGACGCCTCCTTTGTATTAAGTCTATCTGTCCTGCCCGAGTTTGCATTCAGGAAAGTCCTTTTGAAGGGCAGGCTCGACTACTCCCATGCCATGCTTGTAGGACCTCGAGTACGAGACGGAACCCATGGCTTCCATCTCGTCGTTCCGCTCGTACGCACCGATGGCTCGACTGTATTAGTTGACCGTGGCTTTGTCTCCCAAGAAGTTGGCGAGTCTGGACATTGGGCAAAAGAAGATGGAGAAATCTATGTTCAAGGGCTGTTACGGACGACCCAAGTTCGCAACAAGTTTACTCCTGATAATCACCCAGAGAAAGGCTTGTGGCACTGGGCCGACGTTCCTGCGATGGCTGAGTATGCTGGTGGTGAAAGTGCAAATGTGCAACCAGTTTACGTGGAGGAGATCTTCGGTGTGTGGTTCGATCAAATTCTCGATCATGTCGCTCAATCTTTTCAGAGGGACACGCCGGTGACGCATCCACCCGCCTATCGCAGGGTATTCCCATAGGCAGACCCGCGACCGTTGACGTCCGCAACTCTCACGCCTCATACGTTGTCACTTGGTAGGTGATTTTTTTGCTGTCAAACCGAGCAAGACACTGAACTCTAACAGGTACTCACTATCGGCCTTAACGACTGTTATGTTTATCCGTCTTTTGCTGAGACAACGTCGAGCTAGGGCTCGTTTGCCACGGTAAGCTGGCGGGCGCGTGTCAAGGACGGATGTTTCATTCCTATGATTTCCAGGTAGTGTCTCCTCTATATCGCTTCTACTGTTTATAGGCGCAGTTCCACAGCTCAGAGGCAAATAATACAGAAATTTAAATCGGCGCACTCGATTGAAAGTCACGAGAAGTGCTGCAAATGGCGCGGCATTCCACCAGGCAGGCATGGCGATCCCGAGTGGCTCTTATGAGCCATGCTGTGCGACCACACTGGCGATGATAATCGGCGATTGCAAACATCGGCAAGAGTGACTTTCCACCTTTCAGATGGTTTTGCCATGCATGATTGTGACCGAATCCCACGCCTTTTTTAGCCGTCCATTGTTCCTATCCGTTAACCACACTGACTAAATTGGTAAGTGGTGCGCCGGCCCAAGCTTAAACAAAGGCATATAAGTATAGTTCCCTTGCCACCTTTCGCAGTCTTCTGAAGTCCTTCACGACTCAATCCTCCACCATCTTGCACCTACATCATGACATTCTATCACCAAACGCGTAGTCCTTCTCCCCTCTCAGGGCGGTCTAGGAAGCCCTGTGGCACAGAACGGTCCTCCGCGTCTGCCCCGAAACCTCGAGGAGGCGCATCTGGCTTGATCAAGAAACTGTTCACACTCAACCTTGCGCGCAAGGTTGATCCTCCGGAGACCTCGAGGTACAACCCAAGACCTTATCCACAGGCTGAGAGCTCCAGCTGCGCGTCGGGCCAATATGAGAGAGGTGAATCCCGATGCGCGTCATATCTTTTCGTGTAAACTCACTTTGCCTCAGATACACTCGTACAACGCGTTTCCGAGGCTTTACTGTCCATGAAACGTCATGCTCGGGCAGACTCTGTGTCGTCAATCTCGAGCTACTCTTCAAGTGGCACGCCTGGCATGGACTTCGATTCGGCATCTGGAACATCAACGCCTCTTAGCAGTGGTGTCTGTACGCCTGTCACGCCTGGTTCCTTCCAAGGCTCTCCAGCATCTAGGAAGTTCAAAAGGGAGAGAAGAGCCAGCCATGGTTCTAACTACTCTGACGATTCGGGAATTGGTGAGTATTCGTACACGTCCACACATTCAGATGACTCATTTGACTGTACTTCACCAGTGATAGACGGCCACAACACAAGGCATCTAATCTTCAAAGAGCCTACGCAGCCGTACATTGAGAGACCCGTTGCGCGTGTTGAACCAGTTCGAGAGCCTTTGGCTCTCATTGATATCTCTTGCCAGCCCTATCGTAGGCCCCTCAAACGCCCCGCTCGCTCAAAGGCTTCTGTCTTGCGTGCCGCGTTGTGTCAACCTCCCGCATCCACACCACGACCGATGTTTAAGGCATCCCCACCAGCCTCTGTGTCTCCACCACTATTCAAGTTACCGCCATTACCGCGATACAACCCATACGTTCGACCTCGAGCAGAATCACTATCCTCCGCCGTTTGTCACAAACCTGATCAAGTACAAAACTCGCCGAAGTATCCTTCTTCGGGCAGTTCGACAAAGCTGTCTCGACGTAACTCTACGCTGTCGGGCTTGTGGACACATAGGAAGAAGCCAGAAATGGCACGGACTCGGTCTGACCTCTTCTTTCTGTAGCCTCTGTGCTACATTGATGTTGATGGTGTCTTTTTGAAGTTTCACCATTAGGACTAAATTTTATTAGTTCGGTTGATTGCCTTTGTTCAGACTATTCCATTCGTGTTGCTCGCTGTAGATTATATTCTTCGTACTCGATTTCTTGTTACCTACTCACTGAAACCCTCGCTCAGGCTGTAATCTATCCATGTTTTGTGAGGCCAACGGAGTACAAACAGTCAGATACGAATCTTTCACAAATGCATGCGGCAATGCCTTATTTCTATTGAACAGCTAGACGTTCTCGCCTTCCGAAATTCTCATCGTAGTGGTGATCAATAACTCGAAGTTCTATTCAATCGCTGGCATGGTCTCTTCTCGCGCTCAATCCTCTGAGATGAGCTCAGTCACAATGGTTCCGAATACTCAGCCCTCTGCGTAACGCATAACACAAATTTCTTGATAACGCGTTCAAATTTATGAGGGTGCGTAATCATCCAGTCTCTGAGCCGAATCTGCCCTAAGTGAGCACAACTTGGAGACTTTCCTAATTTGGAACAAGCGCTTTACTAATGTAAACATACCCAAATAAGTACACTGGTAAGACTCTCAAGTGCACTTCCGTCTGCTGGAACCACCATCGTCTTCCTTTCTTCACTTCTTCGTCCTCTAAACAAAACAGGTCAATTCTCATAACATAAGAAAGACTTATCAACATGGGTGGCGGAGACTTGAACATGAAGAAGTCCTGGCACCCGCTCCTGTTAAAGAATCAGGAGCGGGTCTGGCTCGAAGAGAAGAAAGCTGTAAGTAGTATTGATAATCATTGGCCTTGACACGAATGCTGACCTATTTTATGTCATATAGCTTGAGGAAAAGAAGAAGCTAGACCAGCTGCGTAAAGAGAAGGAAGAGGAGAGGCAGCTACAAGAGCTTCAGCGACTGCAAGAAGAGCAGACGGGCAAGAAGCGACAAGAGAAGCTGGATTGGATGTATGCTACACCCGCAACGGGTAGCAGTCAGAACCAGAATGATCTTGAGGACTACCTGTTGGGAAAGAAGAGAGTGGATAAGATTCTAGTTGGAGACGAGCACGAAAAGGTACGTGGTTTAGCCTCTCACACAAGTCGATTGGCCAGCTGACTCATCACTTCCCCCGTTAGATTGGTGCTGCACACAAGAACTTCATCGCAACTCAGTATGCCAACACAGTCCGTGATACAGCCGCTAAAATACGCGAAGATCCTCTACTTGCGATCAAGCAACAGGAACAGGCTGCGTATGAGGCGCTCATGTCCAATCCTCTTCGACTTCGTGAGCTTCAGCAGAAGAATGGGATCAAACCCAAGAAAGATAAAAAGGACAAAAGAGAGAAGAAAGAGAAGAAGCACAGAAAGGACAGACATCACGATCGCTCTGCTTCACCTCACCACTACGATAGTTACCGTACAGAATCCCACGACAGGAAATCACACAGACGAAGGTCCCCAAGCCCATATAGTCGACGTTCGCCCTCTCCCCCGACTCGCTCCCTCACAGATTCACGCAGGCGTGATGAAGACTTCGACTATCATTCGAGCAGGAGAGGACGTAGCCGTAGCAGGTCCCCTTATCATCCTCGGCGTGACGAGCCACGACGGAGCAGCAGAGTTGATGACCGTGTACGCACATGGCCGAGGTCGGACGAATCAGATGATGCTGGACGCAACCACAAATACCCATTTGAGACTCGTGAGGACGAACGACGTACTCGATACCCGTCTCCTGATAGGAAAAGGAGACACAATAGTCCAAGTCCAGACCACTATAATTCGCATCAAACGAAACGTTCGCGAGCTAGCCCACCTCCCCCTCGACATGACTCAAGTAATGGCACTTCTTCAGGGCCAAGCGCTGAGGAAAGGGCGGCTCGACTGGCTGCCATGACCTCTGATGCCACCTTTGTTACGGTGGAACGGCGTGAGCGTCTCACAACCTTGTTAGCGCAGGAGAAGGCAGAGATGGAAGCGGAGGAACGTGCTAGGGCAAGGTCGAAGGGCATGGGTGGCTTCTTGAGTCACGAACAGAAGAAAGTCTTCGGTGGCGGTGGTGGGCTGGAGGAGAGGATTAGACGAGGGCGAGGTCAGATGCGTGTTGATGCTGATTAGGTCTCTTTCACTGTTGTATCACTATCTCTTTCATCCTTTGTGTAATATTAAGGACCATTATGGATCATTGCGCATTAGAAAACGAAGAGAGCAAATGAGAACAAGATTAAGCAAGAAGATTATAGCGTGATAGATATAAGGACCGCATTGTCTATTTCAGAGACTAGTTTGGCTATGAAGAAAAGGCAATTCTCGGTTGTACTCCTCCGTGGGTGTAACAACCTCCGAACATTCTGAGGATCCAGCAGTCGAAGAGGGTGTTGACCGCGACAGCGGTGGCGTGAGCGATAGCTCGTCGAGTGAGAGGAGATTCTGTGGCTTCCTTGGTGCGTCATTCGGGACGAGATGCGCACGTGTAGGCATGGCACTAGTGACCTTGCTAGCGGCAGCAGCGAGCTCCTTGATTGGGATCTGAATTGAGAAGCTGCTCGCAGTGTCGGTCCTTATCTACGATATCCAAATGGTTGGCGACAACAAACTTGAGCGATACAATCTTGTATGAAACGTACCGTTGGGTGCTCTCCAACTTCAAGCTTTTTCAGCATCGACACAGATGACAGTGTCGGCCTACCCCAATAAAGATCTTCGAAGTCCTTCCTGTCTGACTCCCCTTTGATCTGAGCGACTCTGGGATAGACGGCCCCTGCCTGTAGCCAGCGTATGATTATGTACTAGATGTGTTCAAATAGATGGATTGCATACCTTTCTGGAGCGATCGACAGGTGGCACAGCGAGTTTGGAATCGAATTGGATACGCGTCATGACAAATACGTGTTTTTCGCTCGACTGACGTGAGTGTAGAAAGTCAAAGTATTGTGGGTGAAGAATGCGAAGCGCATGGTAAGTGTATCCCGTCTGCATGTCAGCCGAAGCTCCAATCATCGTGCGCACGCGCCATTGTCGCGACCGATTTCGTTGCAAACAGGACTGAGCAAGCTTGGAAAGGGATCATCGCAACAGAATGGTATTTCAACGAAACCGTCTAAGAACTCGCCAAATCAATCACAAACGACTCGACGCAGATGAGCAGCCCTGACTCTGAGTATCAGTACATCTACTCAGTCTGTCGTTGCTCAAGCTGAGCCGTACGAGAAACGGTCACCCTCTGTCTCTGTCTTGCGAACGCAAATTCCTGTGGAATGCGTTAAGGGTAATATGAAACAAATGAATGACAACCTACGATAACCATATGTTCCAAAGACCATGTCCTGCGGTGTTCCTCTGTAATCGATGCCCCCATGCCAGCGACCACGAAACCCAGAGCGACCACACTCGACCTATCCTCGAGCACGTCAACGAGGGACTGCTATCACAGTGAATGTCAAAGCGGCAGTCATTGAAAGAACTGGATACTATATACAAGGAGATAGAGTCGTCCTTGGGAAGGAAATTCGTGCTCCTGCAGACATCTCTGTTAAGGCATTATGTGAGCAGGAAGATCTGGATATTCGCATACCATAACGATCTCAGTATGTGAGTTCCGAGCTCTCCGTACACTGAGGCGAGGATAAGGATGATAGCGGAGGGAGTGAAGAGATCTATAGGACGGGAGACGGAGGGCAGAATGTTGCCTCGACGACATCGGGAATGCGTCTGAGTGCAGGCGGGTCTAGCACCGTCTTCTCATTTGTATCTTATTGAAGCGCCAAAAACTATGCAGATAGGCCACACGTTATGGTCCAATTAGTTGCCTAAGGTCGGTCGTTGGCCTTACGGCAAACCTGCGGGCGGAACTTTCGCTCGATGGCGATCACATATATGCCAGTATCTTTATCTTCAGTTGTTGTTTTGGGGCATCTTGAGGAGCTTCACGAAATTTGAGAACTTTCAGCCTTATTGTCACGTAGTTTCCTGCCAGTAGCGCGTCCTGAAACTTGCAAAGTACTACCATTGAGCGCCAACCGCGCTAAATCCTGGACCAACAAATTGCACGTGACCATAAGTCGAAATCGAAGACTCGAAACTGAAGATAACTCGACCAGCAACGCGCACCACGTCAACAGAAGCATGGATGAAGACAGTCTCTATGATCCTGAATTGCTAATAATTTGTGAGTTAATATACCTGTGCTTCGTTCATTAATGGGCTTGCCCCGGACGCTCTTACCAATCCGCCAGCACTAATTTGCAACAACTCGACATAGAACTGTCATCATCTACAAATATTGGGGGGATAAAATTCCGTATGGATGTGAGGGGATATCTGAAACATACTTATCAACACCTTTGAACAGTGTTGGGTCATAGTTATCCGGTAGTGCAACTGACAAGGTTGCGGATACAATGCATTGTCACCTGTCAGAATTGTTAGTCATGGATGCTGGTTTGTAGAGCACAAGTCTAAGCTCCTGAGCTGGGCAGACTATAATGTGAAGAGTCTTGGAAAGCCTGTATTTTTCAGAGCATAGTATATCAGCATATACAGCAACTTCTGCACTGACCAACAAACAGACTAGGGAACAGGAGTCACATTGACATTGATCTGCACAATTGGCAGGATGTGCAGCAATGTGACCTAGCCTATGAAGGACAATGCCATTGTGTCTCCTGAACCCTGGCATAACATTGTATGACCTGTATGAGACATGGCAAAGAGCTGTGATCATGACGGGAAGCAACCAGAGAGTTGCGAAAACATACAAAGGGGAATGACACACAGATATAAATCATACTCCAATCCTACATTCATTACAACAGGTCCCTTCTGCAACAAAGCAGAGGACAAAGGCCCGCGGAACTCGCTGTCTAGCAGTTCCATGGGGACCACTCGCACTGACATTTGACGACCGGGAACTAGATTTCGACCCCTCGGAGTACTCGGATAGCCATCATATAACTTTTTACCAATCAGAAACCGATTTGGCAGTATTTTCAAAGTGGAATGGGAGAGGGGGAAATGGTGGATCGCTCCTCGGAGGTCGAGCAATCCGAGCTCATCGAACCTATAAGTAGGCGCGCATTCCATTTCGGGAGGGGTTTAAGTCCTTAGGCCTAAGTCCCTCTCCTTCGCGAGACATACGGCCGTATGGTTTCTAGAGAAAATGTGCGTCTAAGAACTGTTAGAAAGCCTTTGAATCAGAGAAACAAATATTCGAGAATGGACTCGGATTCGGTTTCTCGGTTTCTCGGTTTCTCGGTTTCTCGGTGTGTCGATTTCCCGAGAAGGTTTGTCGATTCTCGGTTTGTCGATTCTCGATTTCTCGGATCGTCGGATTCAGATTCAGATTCGGATATGACCAGGATTACTGATGATACCGATGTATAGGGCAATAGGCCAATACATGAACGTGTCTACGACATACTATGTACTCTTTATATTGAACAAGCCCGTCATGGCGGTGTGACCGCGCTCGGATTCGATCGACAAGAAGGCCTTGACGCAGGTTAGAGAGCAGGACATTCGGGCGGGATTGGGAGTTTGCTACGCCTCGTGTACTTTCCGTCACTGTTACTGCAAGAGGATATGGTAAATTGAGGATTGTGTATCTGACACTGGCCAGAAAGCTTGCAAAGCCTGCCAACCGAGATACGAGCGGTACGAACTGTAGGTATGAACGAAGGTAAGTATGCCGAATGAATGCGGCTAGTAGTATCGCTACATACCTTTTTGAAATCGTCTATGTTTCATACTATACTCGGGTGCAGTTTACGGATTCCAAGCCGTAGCCCGGTGAGGAACCCGACATCAGAATCCGAGCAGTACTGTAGGTCAGTCGTGTATAAGGAAGGGTTCGGTACGTGATCGTGGTCCCTGTTTGAATGAAAAATGATTCGTTGCTGACTGCTTTCTAGTCGTGATAGTAACTTTTGCTACGGCGAGGTGAACGGGACAGTATCCATTGACTCCTCGCCTGACTGCCACTGAGGTCTTGGTTCCGAGTCAGCGACAACTGAATCAAACATTCTGAGAGGAATACTATTTCTGCATAACACTAATTAAAAAGCTCGTTCTACTATTTTACAGTACATCGCACGACTCGCGATAGGTATCAAGACGAAGTACTGGTAAAACGAAACTCGGGATAGTCCGAAGCACACCAGTAAAGTCTAAAGTCTATACGTATCACATAAACCCCCCCACCGTAATATATAGAGCCATACATAGATGTGAAATCCTGAGTAACCTCCGCAACGTGGACGGACAAACTCCAGAAAGATTTCGGATTGTCGAGATTCGGATGTAACTAGCGCCCATGATGCGAAGGTCCAGGACCTCCATATTGCCCATAGCCCATTCTCGGACTCGATGTAGAGGATGAACCTTGCAAGAACTCGGATGAAAGTTGATCATTATCAAACGTGAATGGTCCCTGCGGAGCATGCATACTGCTCATTTGCGGCGGCTGAGGGCTCGGTTGGGAGTATCGCGCACTGGCAGGTCCATAGGACATATACTGCTGTCCACCCATCACAGACGGAGGCCACCATTCATATCCGGGGTAATACGAAGTGGAAGGTTGAACTCCCGGAAGCGGTATACCAAGGGTGTGCGCCATCATACGAGCGCCTTCGTCATCGCGTTGCTCAGCTTGCGCTGAGTATGACGGATGCCGCATTGTTTGGGGATCTCCGAACACTGAGCGTTGAAGTAACTCGGATGTCCTTTCTTCGCTGAGGGCTTGATCGATATCGCGTTTTGGTCGCTCGCTTTGATTGATATCCGAACTGGCCAGGATTGGGTCAAGGTAGACTTTGGCACCTTGTAGCAGTCGTCGAATTTGGATCGCGCACGGCCATGTTTCCTGTTCAGGCACACATTGTTAGTTTTTGCGGTCTAAACGTGATCCGAGACTGACCTCCATAGCGCGAGCAGCATCGATGCATTGAATGAGGCCGACAGACGCCTGAGTATTCCCGGGGCGAAGGTTCACTGCGAAACAAACATCAGTTCTCGTCGAGCATCCGAAACTCGACAAGCTCACGCGTCACAACGTGCATAATTCTTCAAAGCAAAATAGGCGAGTCAAAACGATAAATAGGCAAATGAGAACGGGAGACCACGTACCCGGCGCTTTGGAGGTATACCGACAACAATGGTGGACACCGACTTAGCCCATACTTATGGTTATACATCGTAACTGCATCGCGACATGTCAATGTGAATCGTGTGTCAGGCAAAAGTAGAGAGATACGCACCCATTGAGGAAATATGTGCAGCCGCGCCTTGACATTTATCGAAAGCCTTGAGCGCCAGTGGATCTCCGGCTCGGTGAGAATCCGAGAATGCATCCCGACTAGTTTTTTGGAAAGTAAGTGAGCGTATTCCACTCAATAATATCCAACTCACTCGTCCCAGCTTGGAATGCTACACTTTAGGTCAGTTTCATCACAACGCGAAAAAAATGATGCGAGTACTCACAAAGCCCGATGCAGCAGCAACAGAGCAGACTGATACTCAATGTGCAAAGCCAAGATATGGGGCAAAGGTGTCACACGTTTGCTAGTCTCGCAATACGCCAAATGTTCAGGTAACTGGAACAGCCATTGATGCAGCCTAGTTTCAAGTTTATCTAATGAGGACCTCCTCAGGTTTTCACCACCGGTCTGCTTCACCGGATAGATTTCAGCCATGATTTGACTGATGATAAACGCTGTGTTGAATGAAGTCAATGAGCCGGACTGCAAAGCGGAAAAGCAAAATTCACATAATTTGGCCTGCTCACGGAAGCAGCTCACAACCTTGGCTGGTTCAGGGGTGTAATCGTAGCCTAACACGTCTGGAGGATAGGGAATCCATTTCTCTTCTTCCTCCATGTAGTCAAGTTCAGGAAAAGCGACACTGAAGTCTCCGTCGCGGAAGTTGACAGGACGTCCTATCGAAATTGTTTCGTACACTAATTCATACGAGACAAGAGGTGTGTTTACTCACCCAACCAAACAGCTGAAAGTCTAAAACAAACGTGAGCGAGAAGGCCTATGAACATAAATCGAATGGAGCGTACTTATCCGCAATACAACATGACCACCAAATCTGCTTCCTGGCTTGTCTGTCCTCGACGGAAAATAAGTAGTTGCCCTTCGCATCCTTCCAGTGATCCGCGTCATGGTTCATTCCGAGGTCAATGGCCTGGACAATGCGACATCAGTATACTCAAACCGAACGTTAACCCGTCAGAGTGCCTACCATACGACATGCCATACCTGCGAGACACGAAGGTAAGCTTCAATCAGCACAAGGCAAAACCAGTGAATGCGAACCGATGAAAAGCCATCCCTGCTCCATTGACCCGATACCAAACTCCCTGATGCCCATAAGTAGCAGAGCTTGGCAAGTTGACGGTCGGCTATGTTGATAGACCTCATCTGAAGCGAGCTGTAAGTTCACCCTCCGTCTCTCAAAAGCAACACTCACTCAAAACCTTTCGTGCCTCGGCTGCATAATGATGTCCCGCCTTGGATATTCTTCCCTCTCTAGAACCCGATTCAGGCAATGTCATGTCATATCTGGCCGCGAATGCAAACATTGCGAGAAGCAGAAGCTTCGAGACACCTTGAATGGAATTGCCCTGAACGAAGGGATCAGCACCAAGCAATTGTCCTTCCCCTGCCATATCAGCGCTGCATTGCCAGACCACAATGTAAGTACGATAAAGAGTGTGTAAAGTACTTCAATCACTGACTTATATTTACTGCTTGGACTGATCAATATTTGTCAGATATATCGAAGAGAGATAACTTACTGTGCATCGTAAATTGATAGGAACTGCTTTTTGTGGATAACCGGGAAGAACACGTGCACATAAGTGAAGTAGAGGAGGATGAGATGGTCTTGAATGTAAACTTCGGGTAAGATGATATGGTCTTCAGACACGGCTGATTTCGCAGAGGAACTAGTCGAAGAACCGGCTCTCGAAAATTTCCTAAGCGTAAAAATAAGGGAAAGGTCGTCAAGTAGATGAGGAGGCATTAGTGACACGTACCAAATTCCATTTTCATTCGTATGCGAGTCGTCATTACGATCACTCTTGGCGAGCAAATGAAGGCCGGCAGATTTGTCGTGATAACGAATCTACGACAAATGATTAGGACTTATAACTGTAACTGATATGGAAAGACATACATCTTGATTCTCGTTGACCGACAGATGCCCGAGCGCATCGACAGCGTGCTGAAGATCCTCAGGATATATGGCTGAATAAAGTAAGTAAATGCGTGAAGTGTAAGTACGTAAATCCAAGCTTACTGCCTCTGGGATGTACTTCGTGGCGATGTTGCATTTCATAATCATGCCCAGGCGGAGGTTCACCCATCCGGAGCCGTTGTCTCGGAGGTGCCCCTCCGGTGGAACTAAGGGTAGAATCTACCATTGGTGGAGATAGAGAAGAACGATACGGAGACGGCACTTCAGAGGTAGACTGTCCCTGTACAAGCAGCTGGTACAACTGATTTTGCCACTCTGGTGTTGGCACAGCTTGTGCATGTTCTAGGCACATGTTATTGGTGCACTGAATACATATGCGTTTGAAGACGACCAACCTTGCGTTGAAACGATTTCACGCGTTAAACGCGATTGTCTTCTTGAACGGCGGTCATCACCGACCGATCTTTGAGCAGCATCTGACCCCATGATAGCATCGTAGAATCCTTCACGGGTCGTGGTACCTTGTTGTCTGGATCGTCCCGTGGGTCCCTGTCTCCTTACAATTCAATAGGTGCGAAAAGAACGGAAGTGATCATCTGTGCTCACATAGGGGCCCGCCTCGACTCTGTCAAGAACGTCGCGTGCAAATGCATCTTGTCGAAGGTCGTTGATTATGCCTTGTGCTCGGGGACTGGCCATGATAGTGCCAAGTATGCATTCTACTTGATGCCACCGTTGCTCGATAGCGTGAATGTAGCCTTTTGGAGGACCACGCTTGAAGCTTGGCCCTTGGTATGTACAATCTGGATGTGCGAGTAGGTCAACATGAATGCTACCAGCGATAGGAACTGCGTACCGGTGCCTGCTACGAGGCAATTTCTACATCTTTCGCCGTCTGTGGGCTCACATTTGCTCTTGATTTTGCGACACCTATCGCAGGCTATGTATATACACGGGTTTAAAAGAAACCTAGCGCCAGAATCCATCAATCATACCTCTACTGCCCCGCTTTGTCTTTGAAGACGAAGCAGGGTCGCCGTCATCGTCAGAAGGGAATGAACCTCGTGTATCTGCGTAGCCGGGGTCCATGGGGGGAGTGGAAAGATAGTATGGGAGAGAGGTCTGGTTCGAGGATGAGGAATACATTTGTGGTTGTGGTCAGTTGAGTATGCGGGTATATCAAGCTGCTCGACTTTTGAGTCAACAGCCATGACATCAGTGGATCCAACTGGAATAATGCTCTGGGTGGTGGGGCTATCACCTGAACTTCTGTATACTGTCACATATGTACAGAATCCATGGCAGACTCCGACAGGACCGAGTCACTTTCCCACAGAAGAAGGTAGACACACTGTATATACACTGTCAACCAAGCCGTCAACGTACACAACCCCGACTACGCCTTCACCGTACCTCTGCATGATATTGACAGTAACCTCTCCGGCATTGTGTTGTGGCGGATGGTGAAAATCAAGGCGCTCATTTCTTTAAAAACATACGTGGGAGCTGATGTCATTTGAACCCTATGTAAACGCGGTACGCGGCGCGCGACGCGTACTTTCTACGCGGACCTAGTGACGCTTTGACGCCTTCACGGACCTCAGTCTCCTTTGAGATCTCGACGCTCCTATATTATGCCATGACTAGTGATGCGCCTCTCAGTTTCAACCGTAAGTAGCCATGCCTTTTCCGTTTTGGTGCTCGTTTGACTTCTCATTTCACAGAGGCCGTGAGAGGAATCTCGGAGTTCAGTCAGTAGCAGTGCAAGTACCGGCTTTGGACCTCTTACTGACACTGCGTAGTCGAAGTTGCAATTCATAACATCTTGTATGTACGTCAAGTATACCCCGCCGATGTCTTCATTCGTCGCAAGAAATACAATCTGCCGGTGTTTCAGTCCCGCCATCCTGGTCTGAATGACTACATATCAGGGGCCGTCAAAGCTGTTTCCGATGAACTTGCTGTTGTATGCATCAACCGGTGTCTCCGTCCTTTCTCGATTCGACTCATTCATTGTCTAGGGTAATGTGGATAAAGTCATTATGGTTATCAAGAACAAAGAAGAAGTCCCGCTTGAGCGATACATCTTTGCAATTCAGAATATGATTCAAGTAGAGCACTTCAACAAGGAAACGAGGTTACCCTTTACAGTCTACCCTTCACAAGTTCGTCTACTGACATGAACAATCAATCCAGTGTCGAAGAAGCAATGACGGCATCTACGCTCGGGCATTACTTCCGTTCTTTCCTCGTGAAGCTCTCTATGATTGAGTCCGAGCTCGGTCAATACCCACTTCCCGGTACGTTTAGACCTTGCGTACTAAGCTGCCATCTTGCTCATCAGATGACAGATGATCTTTCATTCGCGATTATTCTAGAGTTGAAGGACGATAAGGCACCGACCGTGCCTCAGGGAAAGGTAACAATTCTAGCTCGCTCTATACCGACTGTACCTTCTAAATGACGTCTCTAGGATCCTCCTCCGTGGGTACCGGCATCGACTCAGCACACTACTGCGGGTGCGTCAGAAGGTGCGGAGCTACATATGCTCCGTGCAGTCGATACTGGGATCATCAGCGTAAGTCGCAAACTGCGCATTACCACCTAGTGCATCTTAACATGTTACCTGTACAGCTTTCGTTAGCAGTGCAAGAGTCTGAACAGAAATTGGAATTAGAGAAACAGAAAAACTCCAAAGGAAAGCAGAAGGCGACTTGACAGTCACCCCTGCATCTATATATACAATTCATATTTAAAGGTATTCGGGCATGCTGTAGTCAAGACATGTGAAGTTGAAGCGATAACCACCCGAAAATCCAAAGTCACTTCATTGCACTACAAGTACACCACTAGCAGAATGTATTAAACTATTAGACGTCCACACGTATACGCTGAATGATAGGTATTATCCTGTCCCACTCGTCCATCGCCTATGACACGAAACAAACATGAGAAAACAATCTTTTAGATCCCGAACAAGAGAAATGACTAACCGCCTTGTAGAACTCCATCTGGCCATCCGCGAGATTCCCAAGCATCTCCTTCATCTCCGCTTCCTTCGCATACTGGAAAACAGTCTGCTCTCGTAGAGTCTCATCGGAAAATGCGTCTGACGTTTCATGAGCCGTTTGAACCGCATCTTGAAGCTACACCAACGACCACGTATGTTAGCAAACTGCGTAAAGAAAAAAGTATACGAGATGACTAACCTCCTTGATCTTCGCATCCAACTTCCGCATCTTCTCAACACGACTCCTATCATCATCTGCTCCCCTCAGAGCATCAACCCTGTCCTTAAGATATGAACTTAAGCCAAGTCCAGTGCTCCCAGCATGTCCGCTGATGACAGCAGCTAACCGATCGCGTTCTGATGTGACTCCTGATAGGTAGTCTGAGAGCTCCTCAAAGTCCATCTGCTTCTGGTCACGGAGTTTCAGGACCGCGCGGTTCGCGTGAGAATATTGCAGAAGGGAATGTAAGTGTATGAGGAAGGGGTCTGTAGTCGTTTGTGTCTGTAAACGTATTAATATGCACGAAGACTTGATTCAACGATGACCAGCGTACCGTATGTCGCAGGAGGGCTGAAAATTCCAGTAGCGTGTTCGAGAAATGATTCAGAGGATCAGTGATCCCCGACTCCAAAAAGCCAAGGCCTTGAACAGCAACGGCCATATCATGATAGTCGCCAGTAAGATCTTCACCCGGTTCCAGCGTACCATCTCATTCAGCCTGAGAAGACCAAATCTGCATGTTATTTCCAATTACACTCACCGTTTGTACGATTACGAATTCGACTCCAGAGTCGTTCAGTCAACACGATGCCTTCTTCGAACTTGTCTACGCCCTCACGCATCGCGAGAAACCGTTCATCGGGCTTACGGACGCGTGAGAATGCATTTAGGAGGGTGTCGGAGATGCTGTCAATGACGCCGGTGGTGTGTTCGGGTCCTGGAGGGTGGGCGACATGTTGGTGCATCGTGACATGCTGAGAGTCCTCTGAGATAGGGGAGAGGTTTGGAGAGAAAAAGACTTACCCATTCTGTGGACTCAAAAAAGGCGCGGAGTAGAGTACTCCGTTGTAGGGTTGGATGGCGGGATAGTCGTTGTAGGAACCGATGGAGACTGAGGTGCAAAATTGAAAGGTTAATGATGACTTCGGGCAAGACTAAACTTACTCAGCACGGCGTCGCTCCATGAACTCGGGGCTGAACCTGTCACCTGTAACATATTCTGAATAGCACAACGCCTTAGCAACGCTACATGAAAGAACGGCAGCATATACAAACCCAATCTGTGTTTGTCCGGTAGAGGTGGCACTACACATGCTGGAAAGTCCTTCGAAAGGTGGTTACGCAGGAATACAAAGTCCTGGAACCGTCTACGCGCTGACGGATTGGGGGTAGAGAAGATCGGAAGGTTGGTCTGAAAGTTCACATGAGTGTACTCTACATTGATTGAGTAGACACACAGCATACCTTGGCAGAAACCAAATACGAGACATATGCGTCCTTCGTATCTGCCAATTCCTTAACGGGGTCTTTCACACTTGTTATGAGATAACCCTCCCACTTGGGGTCATGCGGTCCATGCCCAGGCTCGCTCTCTGCAGTGCTTTGTCTGAAGCCTGGTCCTGTAGGTGCAGAGGGACCGGCATCATATGTTGGTGCAGAAGGTGACTCCCAAGTAACGCTGTCGAACACATCGTCGTCCTCTCCGAGCATTGAGCGATGTGATGAAGTATGTGGGGTATCAACAGTGAGCTACGCAAGCAGCGTAGACAAACCAATATAAGTTATAACTTGAGAGGGTGCTTTGAAGGGCACCAAGCGTCGTGTCTAGTCGGTGAACGGATAGGGCAGTTGGTTGGTCTGCGCAGATGACAAGCAAGTGGCAGAACCCAAGGAGAGCTTGGCTGAGCGTCTCTTTTACATTCGTCACTTGAACGCAGCAACACAGCTCAGCGCTCCCAAAAGCATTGCTTGCTCATCGTCCACCACGATGGTGGATCGTTTTTGGTCGTTTCTCGTCTTCGGCTCGTTATGGCTCGCTTTGATAGCACCCTTGGTCTCTGCTTATGAGGTCCCCGTCTCGGACGCGGACTACGATCGTCAAGTATGCTCGGGAATGTGGGCGGGAAAGACAACCTTTATCAATGGTATGGCGTACTGCTGCAACGTCAATAGACATATGATGCTCAGTGTACATTAGTTACCTTTGATAGTACCTCCCAAGGCCAACTGGCCATAGTAATATACGAATGGAGTGATGCACCGTACCTTGGGAAAGTTACTTCGTATGTCAACGATTACTTACCGGTGAGCAACCAGTTGGGTGTGCTTCTGACTGTTAATAACATGCATGAGCATAGCAGAAGACATATGTGTGCACGTCGGACGCTGTCAAAGGCGGGTTCTGCGACACCTCACAGCTTGGCCGATTTATCCTCGACTTACCATCTGAAAAGTCAATAAACGACACAAGCTTTTGGTCTGCTAGAGTAGCGTTCTCTGACAACGATAACTCCACTTCAAACGCGGTTGAACTTGAACCATCGGATGAGTCTTCCAGCGGCCTTTGGAACAACCCGGCAGGAAACCCTCATCCACCAGACGAGAACGATGAATTCACATCACCTTGGAAGCCTCGTGGATTTACCATCGAGCATTACGCCCGGCAGGATAGTCAGCCACTGAACCCGAGCCCTTCTGGTATCCTTATCTACAGGGAGCCCATCCAATACAATGTACGAAAGACAGGATATTATTGCATTGGTGAGTTGCGTACGACTTTGAATGTGTATATATGCTAAGCTATGCACTGCATAGCAATTGTTCCAGTCACTGTGCTTTCCAATTCCAACACCGAACGCCAAGAATCGACAGATGTACCATATCATCCAACATATTCTGGCACGGTGCTTTTCCAGAACAAGTTCCATGGCAAACTATCAGCGGCCGACTATCCGAAAGTGAACGTACGTATTTGTCTTTGCTTTCGCTTCACTACTTGCTTACCGGTCGTCAGTTCTATTTCGCGATGTTTATTGTATATGCTGTCCTGGGAGTAGCGTGGGGCTGGTTATGTTACCAGAACCTCCAGGATCTACTACCGATTCAGGTATGTAGGCTCCAATGACATGATCCTTGCATTGTATACTCAGTCTCAACTTTTATCATTAGTACTATATATCAAGTTTACTTGCATTCCTGATAGTGGAAATGATTGCCAGCTGGGGTAAGGGATTCATTACCTCCTATTCTTCTGAGTGCTCAACGGCACCCTGCAGCTTACTATCGCTATCTTAACGCACATGGGAAGGGTACTACTTCAACAGTATTCTTGATAGTCGGTTCGTCCTTCCAATAATTTCCCTTGCACATCATCTCAATTCGGCTCGATCAGTCGCTATTCTTGATGCTGGACGCAACGCACTTTCCTTCTTCCTTCTCTTGGTCGTCTCATTAGGTCTTAGTGTCGTGCGTGAATCCCTAGGCAGAACGATGCTCAAATGTCAGATCCTCGCAGTGGCGCACTTTATTTTTGGAGGTATGTGGATACAAAGCTTGATGTGGGTAGTCACACTGATTGCATCAAAGTTCTATATGCTGTCGGAATCGTTGAATTGGAATTGGAGTCAACCTCGGCTTTCGTGCTTCTCGTATTCGTGATCCCGCTTGCGTTCACCCTGAGCGGTTTCCTTTTGTGGATCCTGTATTCTCTGAATGGTATGTCATACGTGCTCCTGGGCAGTCCCACGTTGATATCAACTCTTTTATTTGAATAGCCACCATCCACCAACTTGCTGCAAGAAAACAGAGATATAAACTGCGCATGTTCACATGGCTGTACCGCATCCTACTCTTGACAGTCCTTGTCATTGCCGCCTTCTTTGTCGTATCTTCGATGACGTTCTCAGGACGTTTTGCTGAAGGTGAGGCCACAAAAGGCCGTTCTCATCCCAAGTTTATCATATTACCTTTCATATTCTAGACTATGGCGCCAAATCCTGGAAAGTTCAGTGGTGGCTACTTGATGGTTGGCTAGCACTCCTTTACCTCGTGGACTTTATCGCAATCGCTTATTTGTGGAGGCCATCACCGAACAACAGAAGATATGTTTTTATCCTTCTCTTCTTATCTTTGTCTGTACTTACCTCGTTGGTGTCCACGCTTGCCATGTTCGACGAGATTGCGCAAGACGAAGAGGACGCTGAAGACTACGACATGGAGGCATTGGAACGTCGTACTGCAGCCATGCGTGACGATGACGACGATGGGTCAACACTCGTCGGAATCCGAGGCCCGGGCTCTATGGCTGCGGAGGAGATCGTGTTCGAGATTGGAGATGACGGCCATGATGGTAGTGATGATGAAGACCTGTCTAGCGCGAAAAAGAGGCGTGCAAACGTCACACAGCATGAGGGAGATGAACATGAGCGAGAAGGGCTCATCGGGGATCGATGATTGTATCTTGTGTTCCGTCTACATTCTTACTATTCTTACTGTGCGTGGCGGACTATATTCAGTGGAAATATGTAGAATACAATACATGCATAACATCAAACTAATCAATGCAACAATAGCGTAAGGAAACATCCTAGTCCCGTATACGACCCGTGGAAGTGGTATACAATCGTGCAGCGATGTTCATACTTTGCAATTCCTGTTACAACATTAGAATCTGGCGTGTCAGCACCAGAGGTACAAGTAGGACTTACCTGGAAAAGGAGCTTTGCGGCATAAGGAATATACAATTGTGAACATGCCGTCTTGTTCTTGCAGGAGCGGCATTCGAACGTTTGTTTTTTCTATAAGCGAATCGTTAGCATTAGTCATTCACACGGGGGTGCATAACGACTTACAAGGTTCGCAATTGCGGTCAGGCCACAGCTGTTGAGAAACACAGGTCAGCATGCTTCTCAAGAAGTTGTATGAAATATACGCACATGTCGCAAACATGCAACCTATAGGCATCACTAGCCTCAAACAGACGCTCTTTCAAGAACGCTGCGACACCATGCGAAATCATACAATCACGTTCCATCTCTCCGAAACGAAGACCACCATCACGACTACGACCCTCTACTGGCTGACGCGTCAGGATCTGGACAGGACCTCTTGCACGCGAGTGGATCTTGTCATCCACCATGTGCTTTAGCCGTTGGTAGTAGGTGGGACCAAGGTAGACCTGGGCCTGGAGCTTCCTACCAGTGTGCCCGTGGTACATGACTTCGAGACCACGAGATTGGTATCCCTTCTGTCTGAGGAATTTCGATACTGACTCTACTGTGAGCTCAGTGAATGGCGTGGCGTCACCCTCGTTTCCAATCAACGTCGCAAGTTTCGACAATAGACATTCGACCAAGTGTCCGATTGTCATACGAGATGGGATGGCGTGAGGATTGATGACGATATCGGGTGTAATACCTTCCGCAGTGAATGGCATGTCTTCCTGGCGGTAAGTGATACCAATAGTACCCTTCTGACCGTGACGCGAAGCGAACTTGTCTCCAATTTGTGGTATACGAGTCGACCGGACACGAATCTTAACGAACTTCTGGCCTTCAGCGTTCGTTGTGATGAGCACTTGATCAATGATGCCGCTTTCCGTGCTCTTCAGTGGTGTAGAGACATCGCGACGGGTGTGTGTCCTGGTTCTCTGGCCGAGCTCTTCGCTGTCCGGCGGAATGGGAGCGGTCTTGCCGATGATGATATCTTCACCGCTTACGTTGGTTCCAGGCGCAATAAGGCCATCATCTTCTAGCTTGTCATATGTGCCATGTTTCATGCGAAGAGTAGTATCGCGCGTGGGCTTCTCGAACTCTTCCAATTGCTGGATACCGCTTTTCTTCTCCAGATCCATATAACTCCTGTAGTACATACTTCGGAAGAGACCTCGGTCAATCGAACTCTGATTCATGATGACGGAATCTTCCTGGTTGTAGCCACTATAACAGAGAATAGCAACGATGGCGTTTTGACCAGCTGGCAGTTCTCGGAATTTGAGGTACTCCATGGAGCGAGTAGTAGCTAATGGTTTCTGCGGGTAATAGAGAATGTTCGCCATGGTATCCATTCGGACGAGGAAGTTCGTTAGGTAAATACCCATGGCTTGTTTACCCATGGCAGATTGGTATGTATTACGCGGGGACTGAAGATGCATGAATATTTGAGCAAAAGTCAGGTAATCTTGATACTCACCTGGTTGTGATCGGGGAAAGGAATGATACTAGCGCAGACACCGAGAATCATACTAGGATGGATCTCACAGTGAGTCCAAGTATGAATATTCTTCGTCGCCTTCAGCCTCTTTGCAGGGTCGAATTCAACTTCCTCCTCGTGAGAATCAATGCCTGCCGATTGCAACCTCGAGGCTTCCAGGTCATCCGGAGTCATGCAGATCATGACAGTTTCTTCTTCTTCGGCATCCAGCAGCTCGACCAAGCCTCGCTTGACTATGTCGTCCCAGAAGAATGGAACGCCCATATCATCCTTCTTGTCTGCGATCCAGCGAATATGTTTCTTCTTAAGCAATAACTGTTGATCTTCGACGATGAAAAGCGGTCGGCAGACCCGCCCAGCATCAGTGTAAAGACGAAGCTCCCGTTCGCGAATATCTCGCACGACAGAAACCTCGGGACTAATATCGTCCTTTCGTCGAAGCTTCTTGATCGTCTTGACGAGATTGGCCGGGTCGCGATGCACACCCATCCAAACTCCATTCACGAACACCTTGGTGCAAGGGGTGGCTGAGTGTGCATTCTCTTCTAACGACTCCAAACCCCATTCCTCCAAGAACTCGATGACAGGTCCGGAGAATGAACCGACGGATATACATGACATCAGAGAAAGGTTCTTCACGAGACCACAAGCTTGACCTTCGGGTGTCTCTGCTGGACAAACCATGCCCCAATGAGTGTTATGCAACTGACGGGGTTTGGCGATCTTGCCCTCACGACCGAGAGGAGTATTGCACCGACGCAAATGGGATAACGTGGAGGCGTAGGTATAACGGTTAAGCACTTGTGAGACTCCGGCCTTAGACGCCATGGACTTCTTCTGGTCACCCCAGTTACCCGTCGCCAGAGAGTACTTCAGACCATTGGTGATAGTATTATGCTTGACGGCCAAGGACAAATTGAACTCCTTGTGTGACTCAACACACTATAAGTAAGTAATGTCAGTAAGCATTTTCTAAAAGCATTCGAAATTCTTACCTTTTGCAGGTAGCGATAGACATCTTTTGTCAACTTGCGGAACAACATGCGGAAAAGATTCGCCAATAGTGGGCCGGCCAAATCGAGACGCTTCTTTCCAAAGTGATCACGATCATCCAACTCTCGCCTTTCCAAAGCGGCAAGGAGAAGACGATGAATCATGTAACCGAAGAAATAGGCCTTTTTCGATTCAGAACCCTCGGCCATAGAGATATGTGGTAACATCTCCTTTTGCAGAATCTCCTGCGCATACCGAAGACGTCTTTCCCTGTTCAGACCAGTAGTCGTACCACGGTTGCCAATGAAGTCCAAAGCGATCTATGGACCGTGTCAATGTGTACGGTGCATACAAGATGAAACTCACACACCTCCCGATCCTGGATAACGAAACCGTCGTCTATGCACGGCTTAAGCATCTCCAACATTTGATTATCCTGCATATCATAGCAAATGTGCTCTAGGATATCACGATCGGATATGACACCCAAAGCACGGAAGACCACCCAAATCGGAATGTCGACTTTGATATAAGGAATGGTAGCTTTCATGACGTTTCCGAGCTAAGCGGGCGTCAGACAGGAAAAAGGCTCCCTTAGTAATACTACTCACTGATCGCTCCTGGTTGCGATGATAGAGCTTCACTTGGAACTGGCTGATGGTCTTGCCACCCTTTTCGACGGCACTACGGATCTCGGCAAGGAAACTAATTGGTGACGGTTGTGCTTTCGCGAAGACATATACATGATTGGTCGCCATACGCTCTTGAGCAATGAGCACCTTTTCAGAGCCGTTAATGATGAAGTATCCTCCAGAATCAAAAGGACATTCATTCAAATCGTAGAGCTCGTCGTCATTGAGATCATGTAGGATGCAGAATGTCGAACGGAGCATGATTGGAACCTGTATTACAAAGAAAGTCAAGGAAGGTGCGCAACCCGCCTAGGACTCAAAACATACCTTGCCAATCCACACTTTGCGGGTATCCTCCGGTGTCTCTTCATGCTCCTGCTCCCAAATCATGTCTCCTGTGAGACTGTCCGGATCCTCTCGGCCCACCATTACCCTCTTCTTCATCTCGATGTACAACGGAGCTGAATAGGTCAAATTCCGTAGTCGTGCCTCTTGAGGGAAGACCGGTACCACAGAGCCGTCCGATTCAGTTACGGTTGGGCGCGACAGGTAGATTTGTCCAAATTTAATCTCATAACGTCGGGTTACATCTGATTCATGCCCCGTATGTTGATCGGCTTGGTCCAGGATGAGGTCCGCGTTCTCATCGACGAGCTCTTGCATAGTGTTCTGAACAAATTCATCGAAGGAGTCCAACTGCTGTCGGACAAGACCTTTGGCATCGAAGAAGGCAGTAATCACGGTCCAACAATCCTCCTGCGAGATCTCTTCATACTCCTCCTCGTCTTCCATGTCATAGCCATCATCATATTGTGAGTATTGGGTAGGATCAAAGTCGGCGGCTATACAAAGAAAAATGTGCCGTTCAGATGCGTCAGCACGTCAAATGGACCATCCAATACGAACCTGAGCTCATTATGATAGAAGGGGTGATTGCAAGTTCTTGAAAGCAGGTAAATCAGACAAAGAGCACAAGATTCAGGTACAGAGAATTGTTGGCAGCAGCAACCAGAGCTTTTACTTGGACTGAGGGTCAGCCAGACAAGCAGGAGCGAAAGAAGGAAAGTCGGTGATGAGGCGACAAGAGAGAGCCTGGGAGAAGGCTCACTTTTGCTGACAAAGTTGAAGACCAAATGCAATTTGTTTGTCCGTGTTGTGCGACAGCCTGCAGACACTTGCCTTTTCTGTCGCTATCCAGCTGTCCATGAGGCTAAGCTTCTGTTTTTCTCTTCAAGATGTGCATATCCGGAGCTTATTATCCTATGACTCTAGTCTACAACGCTAGCTATAACATCAAATTACTCTGGAATGGCGTTCAGCAAAGTATTGATCTTGGCCATGGCACTGCTTGCATATGAACTCTGGCCGACCATCAGTTTGGACCATAAAATTTGGAATAGTCAATGCAGCACATACCCCGAATAACACAGTATGATTCAAATAGTGGTAGAGCTCGTAAAGTTCACCGCGCAACTCATATTGGTCTTCGGGCTCTGACTTGGGAAGGTATTTATGATACGTTATGAAGAACGATTTCGGAATTCCGCCGAACATTCTGCCGATGGCTAGACTAGGAAGAGGTGAGTCATTGGGCACCATATTCACGTCTATAATCTTACTCTGCCTCGTTGTGCCCGAAATAGGAAGATGGGTCGAAAATTACAGGTTCGCCTGTCTTCCTGTCTGTTCCAATGTTTCCACTCTATGGGCAAGATGAGTTGCCTTGCATCGCAAATTCTTTTGCAACTTCCGACATACCCATAGATCACCATGTAAGAGTACAGGCTGAATAACCAATTTCCCCAGAAGGGTTGGAATTATTCTATTACAGCTTAGCCAACAGATTCCTTGGGCAGGCCAGAGCTCACCTCTTGCGAACTAATTCCCCCTTTGAACACAGCTCTACGTATCTCCTCTTTCCCTTGAGCTGGTCTAGTAACCCGCCTATCAATGCGGAATAACACTCCTCCCAGGTTGGATACCACCCATTCGCCTGTCTTGTCCGCCCGCAATATGTAGGCACATGGAATCCGAAGCCCTCCGTACTTTTGTATTCATGAAGCTCCGTCGCTAATCTCTTTCCCAGTGTCTTAGCTGCTGCATCTGTAAGAGACCCGATGTCCCGGTACTCTGCTACGAAGTATGGTTTTCCAACATCCAATGGAGCATCCGCATTGCTTTCACCGATGATACCACAATCGACCAGTCTAGGAACGAGCCCAGGTGCTGCGAAATGCATCGCTTTCAGAGATTCTGCTTCTCCTATGTACTGCTCGACCTCGTCATGTGACCCGATCTTTGTGTAATAACTCTTGCCAGAAGATGACTTGACTCTCGGCTGCCCCGAACCATATGAGAGAGTTGCACCTGGCTGGTCTTTCTTGATTGCAAGTGCGATTGCACGAGGAACTTGTTTCGCAACAGACATACTAAAGAAGTTGAAGTGTTGGTGATAATTTGATGTTCAAGAGCGATAAGCAAGTGGAGTTCCATTATTGACCCATTCCTCCCTTTCCTATAGCTAGGCCTATGATCGGTTTGTGGAGACGAGAACAATCTGAGGAAAGACGCTTACGCGACTACGATGTGTCATCACTGTCTCCTGACTTACTCCCCAAGGCCTCGGGCCTCGGGTTTCTGTCTGAACTCTCGAGCGACAAGCCTATCTCCAAGGTATCGGTGAATGTCGGCGACCGTAGGACCTGTTTGACCTTTCGGTCTCACCGAGAAATACATCTAACCTCCATGACTTCATCAATAGTCATTAGGCGATGGCCGTATGAGAACTGCTTTTTCTAGGAGTTGCTTCATTTTGATAGCATCATCCTTCGCGTTGCAGTGGGGCTCTTCAGCGTGACTCTTACAGATGTCGAAATTTGGCCTTGGTCTTCTGTCTTTAAGGATCAGATTAGGTATCGACTGTCATCAGGGCTTCTCCGGCGGAACACCGATGATATAAATACCCCTGAAGTTGAGCGTTGGAGGGATCACCTAGCACTATCTAACTGTTCTGCGACGTTCCTGTCTACCAACAATCTGACGCATCCGAAACATGTCCAATATCAATAAAGGTGTTCCTGACGCGGATCAATACTATTCGCTCAATGATCCAGCCATAGGTACTGTACTGCCAGTGGTATGGTTGCTTATATGCATGTATTGCTGAAAACGCGTTGTTGACACATGGAAATAGGACGCGTATCCTCAGAATGCGCGAGTTCCCAAGCTTTTCGAGCCTCTCACCATCCGTGGTGTAAACTTCAAGAATCGGATTTTTGTAGTCAGTATCACCTACTTATACTCACGGAACTTGATGGCTTACCTACCAAGCGTAGTCGCCTATGTGTCAGTATAGCTCAGACAATGGGCATGCCACTGACTGGCATTTAATTCACATTGGCGTATGTATATAGCTTGCTCGAATTCCCGTTTCTTTCATTGATAGACATTCAGGCTTTCGCTACCCGCGGCGCGGGAGCCATTTGTTTAGAAGCCACCTCTGTCGTTCGTGAAGGACGAATTTCCCCTCAGGACGCTGTATGTCGCGACAATTATAAACCGTTAAACTGATGTTGGATTGACGTTCGTCCATGAAGGGATTGTGGACAGACAGTCAGATTGCACCTTTGCAACGTATCGTCAAGTTCGCGCACGCACACCAGGCAACAATTGGCATTCAACTTTGTCATGCCGGCCGGAAGTCCTCTACCATTGCACAATGGGTACATGCAGATCTTGCCAAAACGAAGAAATCTAACACTTGGGTTGCCGAGAAAGAAGACGGCGGTTGGCCTGACAAAGGTCTCGCTGTTTTCTTGTCATTGGATAAATTATTATTAATGTTGCAATCCAGTGTACGGACCCACCGACATTCTATATGGCGAGGATTATCCTAAGCCTAACCCGATGTCTGAGGAGGACATGACATACGTCGAAGATGCTTTCGTGAAAGCTATAGAGCGCTGCAAGATCATTGGATGTGAGTACAAGTCCGATTGGGAATGAAAAGATGTCATTAATTTTGCATACCAAGTCGACTTTATAGAGATACATGCAGCGCACGGATACCTCTTGCACAACTTTTTGTCACCTTTATCCAATAACCGAGCTGATAAGTATGGTGGCTCGTTTGAGAACCGCGTACGCTGGCCGCTGCGGGTCCTCCAACTTTGTCGCAAAGCCTGGGAAAAGCCTTTGTTCGTTCGCATTAGCGCAATTGAATGGGCAGAAGGGCCAGAAAGGGGTCCAGATGGTGAATGGGAACAATGGGGCATTGAGCAGAGCAACCTCCTCGTTGGAGAGTTGGAGAAGATGGGCATCGACCTTGTGGATGTTAGCACCGGCGGAAACTGGGCGAAACAGAAGATTCCCGTGGGTCCTGGATACCAGGTATGCGGTCACGGTGTCAGTAGTGGAGATGACACTGATGTGTCTTTAGGTTCCTTTTGCAGAGGCTGTCAAGAAAGCATACCCTAATATACTTGTGGGAGCGGTGGGCTTGATTACAGGCTACCGCGAGGCTGAATCGTACCTCCAAGATGGAAAGGCAGACGTCGTCTTCCTTGCACGCGAGTTCATTCGTAACCCCAATTTTGTCTTGAACGCTGCTCAGGAACTTGGTGTTGCGATCAAGCCTGCTAACCAATACGAACGAGGATGGACGAGGATGGCGGTTCCAAAGAAGCTCCAGTAATTCGTGTATGTTTGCTATATGTGATGATATCCCCATTAGAACGATATTGTACATACGTAGAAGCAGGCGTAAGTCCTGTTGTTCGGAAATGAATACTTGAGTTTGTATCACTACAAAGGTTGTTATGATGACTCGGAAGAGCTTACTACGTCCATGACGTCAACCAATCAGCACTTCTGAATCTTGCTTGCAATTGGTACCAAATACAACGAGGACCTTCTAGCCGGTTCTGCCCACTAGCCTTTCTGCCTCTTACCACACTATGCTAAATTCATAGTTCTATTTTCAACATATTCGATGGCACTCCGATGGTCTTCCCTCCCTCCAGGTCTGAAGCAATCCGTATTCGCTCGTTTGAGCCAACCTACCAACCGGAATGCATCTACCTGGACCCGAAACTCTCGCTTAACGTCCCATTTCTTCACTCGAGGACCCGCACCTACTCCTAGGTTTGGAAGACGACTCTTATGGGCGATCCCGGTTCTAGGAGGCGTCGGGCTGTTCCTTTCACCAAGACGGCAGGCGATCGGCCTTCCTGCAGTTTTTGCATCACCTACACTTATACCATGTCCTAGTCCACCGCAAGATGAACAGATAGATGCTACGATTCTTTCCCCGGATGAAGGAGATGACCGCTCGATTCTCTCGCGAATTGGATCAGTGTTCATTGATAGGATATGGGAACCCATCCTTACGGCTCGAAGGTTCATTTACCTCTTCTTCGTGTTTGTTCCAGTTCTTCTTTCGGCACCGATGCTATTAGTTGGTAGTCCGGAGGAGAGACTGCAGGGTGATAGATGGGGTGCGGTGTGGTGGTATAATTTTCTGACGACGCAAATGCAACGTGCAGGACCAACTTTTGTCAAAGTATGCCAGTCCTCCATAATAGTATCCCTCAAATATTGACACATGGCTGTTCTAGTTGGCTCAGTGGGCTGCTTCTCGCGCAGATCTATTCCCCGCTTTGCTCTGTCAACGTATGGGTACCCTACACTCTAGTGGCATACCCCACCCACTCCGTCATACACAGCGCGTTATTGAGCGCATATTCCAAAGATCTTTTAATGATATTTTTGAGGAATTTGACGAGGTGCCAATGGGATGCGGTGCAATAGCGCAGGTGAGTATCATCCGCTTTGTCAAGTTTTGCTGGTTTTCATCAAGCTTCAGGTGTACAGGGCGACGTTGAAACAAGACCTTATACCTCCTTCACATCTGGAGCCTAAACGGCAACCGATGGGTTCCATCACTCCAAGTATCTTGCAGCTTCCTGTCCCAAGTGCTCCAACAGCAGCAGTCGCTGTCAAGGTTTTGCATCCTAAAGTCGAGAAACTCATCGCACGCGACCTAAAACTAATGTCTTTCTTCGCGAAGGCGTTATCCATCTTACCAGGAATTGAGTGGCTCTCTCTTCCAGAAGAAGTAGAAGTCTTTGGGACCATGATGCACGAGCAGCTGGATTTGCGCATTGAGGCAGATAATTTGGTCCAGTTCGAGAAGAATTTCCATGGAAGAAATCTTCCCGTAACTTTCCCTCGGCCATTGAAGATGTGGAGTACTCGGGACCTCCTAGTGGAGGAGTACGAGAACGCTCTTTCACTGGAGACTTTCATGCGGAATGGAGGAGGGCCCTATAACGACGTCCTCGCCGAAGTAGGATTAGACTCGTTCCTGGTATGTAGATCTTCGGCCTCCTTGAATGATTCTTCTTATTGAGGAACCACAGAACATGTTGCTTCTGGACAACTTCGTCCACTCCGATCTTCACCCTGGGAACATCATGATCAAATTCACCAGGCCTGTCTCGACCAGCCTGCTCCTCCAAAACGTGTGGATATTACTCAAGAACAAGTACCTCCCAGGACACAACTCCACTCAGACACCTCCTAATCCACAAAGCGATCCTGATTCCGATTCAATCGTGGAGCACCTGCGTACCTTGAAGCACGATCCGAAAGCATGGTGCGAAACGCTGCACTCTGTCAAAGATCAAGGGTACCTTCCCGAAATTGTCTTTATTGATGCTGGACTTGTCACCACTCTTGATGCCGAGGATCGACGGAACTTTTTGGACCTCTTTCGTGCGGTTGCGGAGTTTGACGGATATCGTGCGGGGCAACTCATGGTGGAGCGATGTCGCACGCCAGAATTTGCCATCGACACGGAGACATTTGCGCTCAAGATGCAACATATTGTGCTCAATGTGAAACGGAAGACGTTTTCACTTGGGCAAATTAAGATATCTGATATTCTAAATGACGTCCTGAAGGCCGTCCGGCAGCATCATGTCAAGATGGAAGCGAACTTTGTGAATACTGTGATCTCAATATTACTGCTAGAGGGTATTGGCCGGCAACTGGATCCTAACTTGGACCTGTTCAAGAGCGCTTTGCCTATTTTAAGGCAACTTGGACGTCAGATGTCAACACAGGAGACAATTTCCCGAATGCCTTCTGGCAATATTGGAGCTTTCTTGAAGGTACGTGATCATATTAGTGGTCTCATGTGAACCATTCGATTAAATGGTTGCTTTCCAGGTCTGGGTGTATATGGAAGCTAGAGAGCTTGCTTCATCAGCACTTATAGACGCGGATGAGCTTGTTAAATATGACTGGTGAGAAATTTGGTGTCAGCTCCGGGGCTCTTTCCAGTACTAACTAGCCACTTTCTAGGTTGACTCCAGCGATATAGAATTCCTTCACAGCTTGTATTCTACGCATCTTCTAGTTGTACATTATTGCAATACTCGTTTTACGCACCCCAGAGACACCATTGCCGTGGGAAGTTTCCAGAAGGATTTCCGAGGCCGTCGCGTCTATCAATCCTGGCCTTTATGGTGTTCACGGGTGAGAACGCCTTGCCATCACTCTGTCAAGAATGACGATTCCCGTTGGTGACTGTTCACGTGTTGCGCTCAACCTGAGACTGCGAGAGGAAAGCTTTTCACTCAGTTAATGTTTGGGGGGCTGAGCACGGCACTCCGTGCGCACTTGCAGGGGTGCATGACGGACTTGCAACGGTCGAGGCGGCGGGACCTCGTGCGATTGGCCAGCTGTTAGGTTCAAATAAGCGCCTGTGCGCTGTGTACGTAATGGATAGGCGCCTAGTAAGGAGTATTGAGACTCGCCTGGTCACTCCCTGGTTCATTCGCAACGAACGCGTCCTCGTCTTCCCCCTCTTTCTCCCTCGTTGCGCTTCTGCGCTCCATGGCCACTCCTTTTGCGTTCGTGACGCTTGTCTCTTCAGATTCATATCTTCCAGGCGCATTGGCCTTGGTAGCAGCTCTCAAGGAGTTACACCCCAAGCCTCCTGTGCCCCCAGAAGTTGACTTTCAGACAGTATGTCTCGTCACGCCGGAGATGGTGGATGTGTCTTCCATCAGGCTCTTGCGCAAGGCTTTTGACCTGGTCGTTGGCGTTGAAGTCATCGAGCAGCGGGACGTCAAGGGGTTGCAGTTACTCGGTGAGTAAATCATGTTCGAATTGTTCGGATTTCGTGATACGCGCGCCCAACGCGATGGCGTACTATTGTTAACCACTCTGTGGTAATATGAACACCCGCGGGCACGTCGTCGTTGCTGGCAGGCACATAGCCCCAACGAACTGCATGTATGCGGTCATAGCAAAAATTTCTCCATATCTTCCTCTTCAGTCGTAATCTTATCTAATACTGACTACCCTTTCCACCTCCTTTAGGTCGACTTGACCTTAATAGTGTCCTCACGAAACTACACATATTCCGATTAACGCAATACTCTAAAATAATCTTCCTTGATGCGGACGTCCTTCCAATCCGTCCTCTCTCGCACCTCTTCAATCTACCTTATGAATTCGCCGCCGTCCCGGATGTAGGGTGGCCGGACATCTTCAACTCGGGTGTACTCGTGCTCTCTCCTGGGGAAGACAAGTTCAACGAACTGAGGGAATTGCTGAAATCCAGGGGTAGTTGGGATGGCGGTGATCAAGGTTTATTGAATGAATGGCGAGGCCATAATTGGCACCGACTGAGCTTCACCTATAACACGACACCAACTGCGGCTTACACGTGAGTTCTCCCGTGCTCTTGATCCGGATACGTATCTGAAAGTTCACCGATAGCTATGCTCCTGCCTATGAGCGCTTTGGGTCCAAGATTTCCGCAATCCATTTCATTGGACCAAATAAGCCATGGAAATCACTTCCGTTCCGTGCCCCAGGAACGAAAAGCACGGAGAAACCCAGTCTGGGTGCTCAACAGACGTATGACTACTCCACGCTTTTGGACCGTTGGTACGAAGTATATGACCGGAATTATCGGACTACGACACCGACTGCGCAACAAGCATTCGAGATTCAGCGGTATGCATCTGCATGGGACAAAGGATCCACGTTCGGTGCTGAGATACCAACGATCACTGGTGTACCTCCAGTAGGGGCTACGATGGGTTTGGATGAACTGAAGCGGATTACTACGGAGGGCATCAGCAGCCTTTCGCTTCCGGCTCCTGGCAAACCCGCCGAAGGAGAATACCGATCCCTACCTTTGGACGGAAGAGTGGATCTTATGCAACCGAAGTATGAACCTGGACCCGAACCCGAGTATGTTCAACACGGTGCAGTTGATACGTCCCCACGACAAGCACCTCCCATGACCACTGAGGTACCATTGCGGTTGGAGACGCTTCCTACACCAGGCCCGAACGAAGTTCCACCGGCGCCATATCACTATGGTCATTCGTTGCCTCCAACTGAGATGCCTACACCATACTATGGTCCTTCAGGTCAACAGCCTCATCCTGAGCAGTTCGAGGGTGGTCCTGGCTCTGGGCAGCCTTCGGCAATCATTCCTCCTGGTGATCAGCAGGGTCAATACTTCCCTCCAGCCGAGTCACACGAGCAACCTACAATTTCGCAAGGCCCGCAAGGTCATGACCATCCTCATATTCAATATCGCCCTCCTGTTGAAGAGACTCAGCACCATCCAGTCCAGCACCATGACATTCGTCAAGCTCCAATCCAACTGACACGAGGTAGCAGAGAAGGGTCTCCGACACAACCACGCTCTGGACGCGGATCCCCAGTTCCTCCTATACAGCAGCAGCCTCAAACCCAGTACCAAAGTCCGCAGTATTATCCTCAGCAGCAACCCCGTTCACCATCCCCTCCTAGGGTCCCATGGAACCCTGCAATTGAGCCGCCTCCACGAGATGTTCCCCTTGTTTCTTCATTTCCCGCTGATACCTACTTTCCCAATATCTGGGATCAGCCTCCGAGTCAGCAGCACGATGCGACGTTCCAATCCTTCCCTCTGCACCCATCCACACCTCATGTCAACAAGACTGATGCATTCTTTCACGCACCTCCATCCGTGATCCCTGAACAACTCGTTCGAGAGGGACAGTACGCGAATGTTTTGGGATCTCCCACTTCACCTGAGAGACCAGGTGGATTGACTCAGGTACCTACTCCAGATCGCAACAAGGTGAAGACTATATTCCCTTGGGAAGAAAAGCCACGCCACTTTCCTCGTCGTGTCTTCCCTGCGGCAGAAGCTCCCCCTCGTACCGCCAAGTTCATTGAGGAAGAGAAGCCGAAACCTTCCCCGCCTAAGAGTGCTACTGAGCGTCCTCATTTGTCCATTCATACGCCTTCTCCCGCTACTGGTTTACCACCCAGCTTGACTTTCGCGAATGCATGGGATACAGTTCCTAGTATCCAGCGTTATGCATCTAAGTTGGTTCGTCCTCACATCTTCCAGATGCAGCAGTTCCAGCCTCCCCAGCCTCCTGAGAATGGATGGCGCAAGTTGGACAAGGAGAGACAACGTACCTTCCAAGAGCGTCAGGACGCAAGCAGCATGGACGGTGATGACGAGGATGAAGGCGAAGATGAGGGTGATAGCGAACTTAGCGACGACGAAAAGCAGAAACATCGGTCTAGGGTGTCCAGCCCCTCTTTTGTGCCGGCGCAGAGTAAAAGCAACAAACAATACAAGATGCAAGGAGTGCAGACTATTACCCCAAAGATGAAGAGCAAGGCTGTTCAAGTCACAATCCTTCGAGATGATGGAACTCGCGCTCGAACAGAGTCCTTATCCAGCACGAAGACTACCCGTAGCATTGGCACTGCCCCCGCTGCTGCGAAGAGAGAACGGCATCCATCGTCTTCCCCGGTTTTGTTGCCTTCAGCAGTTTTGCGCGAAGCAAGGACAGAGTACCGTGGCGAGCAAATGTCTGGCACGCCTTTGGTGGACACGAGTCTTCGAGCATCCATGCCGTTCCCGTCCATGGAGACCCCTACCGGGTTGAGGTCACCCCAGACCTTGGGTTCGCCCCGCACGTACTCCCCGCCCAACATCGGTTCACCCGCCAAGTCACCTTCTCCACCCAAGTCTGGATCTCCTCGTCAATCTCTTGCAAAACCGTCAGGCTCTCGGCGTACTTCAACTTCGACACCTCCCACATCCACTTCCCCACAACCTATTCTTTCACCACCACAGGCACTGCGACCCGCGCCATCTCCTCGTAGGGTCTCAACATCCACACCGCCCTTAAAAACTGAGTCTCCTGTCACTGGTACCGCGGTACCCCGAGGCCCCCAAGCTACACCACCACCCCAACGAGCTCTACCCAAGCTATCTTCACCATTCTCGCCTCAGCTTGCGCGATCTATCTCGATGGAAACTGCGGCGACGCTCTCTCCCGCCACCTCTGCCTCGTTAGCCACTCCCGAAGGCACTCCTGTGACACCTAGCCGTACAGGAGGTCGCGTCTTCGACCCTGCACGCGGTGTCGATGTTTTCAAGCGTGGCTCTGAAGAAGTGTTGGCACGCTTCCTGCGTATGGGCTCATTCGAAGAAGAGGAATCCCAAAGACGCCAACATGTACAATAGGTGTTGTACTTGGGTGTATAATGTTTTATTCATTCTCGAATTGTTGTTGTGTAATCAGTCTTTTTTGTGTTCTTTTATGTCCCGTCACAGATTCTACTCTCTTGTCCGTCATCTTTCTACCCATCCTCAACGTGATCCCCTCTCACCTCCAATACCTGTCTCCACAGCATTCGGATACCCTTCCTACCGCATTCACTCCCCCTCATCGTTGCCTTTCAATTTGTTTGTCTCGTTTTTGTTTATTCCTCTGTTATTCTCCTGGAAATGGATCGAAATCATGTCTCAAATAGCACCGAAAACATAGCGACGTCAGTCTTTCAATCTCCTACTGGAACTCTAACGTCGGTGAACGTGTACACTTAGAGCATTATAAATTACTCGCACAAGTCCTCACTCAGAACATGAGCGTTGTTTGACATTCAAAGTTTCTCTGATCAGCGTGGCCCAAATCTCTCGGGAGCCATGAGAAAGTGGGGCCTGCCAATCAGATTGCATTATTCTTGGTATATACACTTTGTATTTGGGACGAGTTGCAGACTGGCAAGCATCATGCCCAACGTCCCATCCTAGTATGTCTGGTACATGCCTGACATGAACAATTTTAGTCTAACGTACACTTTACACTACAGCATGACTCGCCATTTGCAGGTAGAGGATGACGCGCAGAAGATACTCGATGAAGCTCCCGCTGAGGCTCTCGAAGTGAGCCCAATGTATCCGTTAAACCTCATTGCACGAGTCTCATGTCCGAGACGCACCTAAGCCTGCCTCCGCCAGACTCGCAGATGCGACAACGGGAGGTCCGACAACGGCAGGCGCAACAACTGGAGGTGCAACGACTACAACCGGAGGCGCAACAACTGGAGGGGCAGCAACTACAACTGGGGGCGCGACAACTGGAGGGGCATCGACTTCAACAGGAGGGGCAACAACGGGAGGGGCGACAACAGGGGGTGCGACAACAGGGGGAGCGATAACTGCCCCTACTCAAACAGAACTTGCACGATCACGATGATCAGCGCTTTCAGTACCTGCCTGGTCCGAAGATCCAAGTGTGAGTAATCTAAGAATAGAAAGGCATAGATTTCAGGCTGCCATACATCACGAAGAAATATTGAGAATACACCTGTACTTGCTAGTATAACCTTCATCAATCCAGATTCTTAAGTTATCTCGTCTCCGGTTGTCCAGGCTTGTCAGGCGAGCGATCAGGTTGTAAGACAAACGAACGGCAAAATGTGGATAATTCAGTGGCTATAGTATGCGGCTTACCTGTTCAGTGGTGGTTTGTGGCTTCAACATTCATAGACGAGCATATCAAGAAATAGGATTGGGATGCAACGCAATTGCAATCGAAGGAGGTACGCGACGTGTCTGTGGCTGCAACACACGTTTCGACGTCTAAAGTTCTTTCGCTCGGATATTATCCTGGCATATGTAACCCTTCAGAGCAGCAACGCGACCCAAGTTAGTATAAGGTCAGGTAAGAACGGGTTCATGTCGGATATACTCAACTATTCAATGTTCACGACGCGTCGCGTATTGGGAGTGCGTCAATGGGTATACAATTAATACATGCGGACAAAATATATGTAGCGCCGAATAGGAATGACGTCAGCGTTGAATTTGAGCAGGGTAGACACTGTGACGTCGGTGCACCACAGAGTACAACTTGGAGTACAATATTGACAGATGAACGGTCCTCCACAGGTATATAAACCGCTCGTTCAATGGCCATGTCCTCCATTCCACTTCAATCCATAACCACAACACTTACTTTCCATATCCATCATGTCCAACGCTGTCCCCGCTCAGTATGTCTCATACGCTATTCCCTCGAAAATTGTGTTCTAATGTTCGGTTTGCATTGCAGGAGCGACATTCGTTACGAGACCAGCGCTGCTTGGGCCGAGGCCGAGGCTTCCAACACTGAAATTGCCCACCAAGTTGATGACAATGCCCAGAAGCTACACAATGCTGCTGAAGACGCTGCTCTTAAGGCTCAAGTGACTCCGATATATCGCCTAGATTCTTCATCGCAAATGTCTCACAATGTTTTCACAGCATAAATCGCCTGCTGCTGCAGTTGACCACTTGGAACGCGGATTGAGCGACACCACCGACGCTGCCGCCGCCGAAGGCGCATCCAATGTTCAAAGTTACGCCGCGCAAGCCAAGGGCCTCGCAAACTCGGCTGTGAATACTGCTCAGGTAGGTTCAATATGTATTTTCTCTTGTATCCACAATACTCATAGACACATCAGTCCTACCTCCCATCCAATTTCACCAGCACCGCCGGTGCCGCCGCCACTACCACGAAAGAATACCTCGTCGCGGCTCAGAATGCAGCCGCACCAGTGGCCTCCAATGCCTATAATACAGGTCTGGCGGCTCTCCAGACCGCGACAACAACCGCGGCTCCGTATGTCCAGAGTGCGACTGAAACCGTCTCTCGTACACTTAGCGGCACGGCGGCTGCGTCTACCCAAGCAGAAGCACCATCATCTGCATCAGTACCTGCTGGCGGTGTTCCTCCGAAGACTGCGCCTCTCGAGTCCGGACAACACGTTGTCAACTCACCGTATCCTCAGACGACGACTGGACAGTCTACGAAGGTTGGAGAGCTATAGACGAGACCGCCTTCCAGTAGAACGCGGAGAATTACCGTAAATATACCTGTATTTGTATTAATATGATGATGATAATACCTCGAGGTCCAGTTCGCCATAACAAAGTTGATGAAGTATTTTTCAGCTCTGCGCTGTATAGCACTCTCCGTCACTTCCAACCTGCAAATATCGGATACTAATTCCAATCGTTCTAGCGTTGAAAGCACATGTCCGGGTAATACACTGCATGATCTTTCAACTTCCTTATTCTTCCAAATGTACATGAGTTGGAGAAGATCATCTGCATTGAATGAGAAGTTCGGACAGTGAATCTTCGTTGAGCAACGAATGTACTAGGTTGCGCACATAATTCAATCATAAATTGAAACTGGAAGGAATGTGAAAGGGCAGGGAAGCATGTGTCCGCAATCTCCGAAGAGTCACATTCACAAAGATGGAGTGCGTAACAAACTTCCGCCGGTATCGTTTAAAAGTCACTCGTACAACATGTATTCATCCAGAATACAGAAAATAGCCCCCACATCAATCAGACCCGGGTCTCCACACACACATTCACAAGATAATGATCTCTAATGTTCAGGTGAGTCCTGACATCCACTGAAATTTACCTGCGATTACCTTGCCCTATTGGCTGCAGCGCAACCAGGATGTTGCTAGTGTAGTTAATCAGCCGCTGAAGAAGCCTTCGCATTTCAACATTTTTAGGGGAACCCCAGGGCCACACAAGTAACTTGGCTGTGAACGCCACTCAGGTATGTCTGATTTGTGGCTTGTCCCGTATACACTATTTGAGAGCCAAACAAATGCTTTGTTGCGGCGTACTAGAATGCGGCCTTGCCAGAAGCCGCCGATACGTTGCGCGCAGCGCTAGCGATTGTCGAGGATGTAAAGAAGAGTGGGGGCATCCCAAGCTCAAAGTGCGTCTGATGCTGCCTCTCTCACACTTGGCTGCACCACAAGTGGATGCGTGGTTATTGGAGGCGCGACGACTGGGTGAGTGACTACGGGAGGGGCAACAGCGGGAGGTGCGATAACTGGAGGTGCGATAACGGTGGTGTGCCCTTGTTCGAAGCTGCACAATTCATGAAAGGTGCAGGGGCATAGATTGAATTGGTCTGCCGTAATTCATAAAGAACTTTCGTGGCCATATCTGTAGTTGTATCAACATATCGCCACATAATGCTACGCTAAAAAATCTCTCACCTCTCATATATGGGAATTGACGAAGACATGAACATTTGCTAACGGTCAAGTCAGTATTCCCGTTTCCTGCTCTTCCTGTAACGGTCCCATTCCTCGCCAACCAAGTTTTCCATAATAGGATCAGGGTCACCTTGAACAGAATTCTCCCATCTCAAGTTCCCTATCACTCGGTCGACGTCGAGTTTGCCGTCACGAAGCTTGCGGAGGAACTTCCACCTCCATGCCGTATACGACTCTCCATCACTCGCTGAACCCATTGGATACCAGTCCAATTGTTCTAGTGTTGGACACATTCGGGCAATACATCGCATAACCCTGGCAACCCTCGGCTCGTTACGCGTTTCCCAGATTCGCATGAGCCGGGCCAGGTCCTCTGCATCGGATGAGAAGTCCAAATCAAGTTTCGCTTGCACTCGGTCAACGAGCGCATTCGCCTCCTCGAGGTCGTCCATACAAGGGTCGTTTCGAAACATGTCTAAGTCCGTATAAAATCTGGAAGAAGACCATCGTTCGGTAGGGGGGATGACGTAGTCGTAGAAAGGCCTGATGCCTGGTGCGGCTAGAAAGGGTTCAATTTCTGGTTCTGTCATCCCCCATTCGAAGACGTCTTCATTTACTGCGAAGCATATAGCTAGTTCGCGTAGGTTCTTCCACTTTTCGAGTCGGGAACCAATCAATACCTAAATACAAGCAAGTTTGAGCCGTTGAATCTGAGGGATCGAAGTAGAACTAAGCCGTACCATGTACGGCACAAAGTCATCTGGAGGCACGAATGTCCTGGACATAACGCGCAATGTCTCTACCGCAGGGAACTTGTCCGCCAATAGGAAGAAATCATGGAAATGCGCAAACGTCGTTCCGGAGAGCTGCAAATAGCTTTGGTCTGTTAGCTGCAACGAGAGTTGCGTCGCCTTGTATCGAGGTACGACCGAACCCTCACGTCTTCGCCACTCTGTTGCTTCGGGAGTCAATGATACCCGTTTGAATGCAAAGGAATCAGTGGTGAAGCGAGTGCCGGGGATATCATCAGGGAAAGTAAACAATCGGACTTCGGTGTGTGTTTGTGAAGGTTCGTCCAGGAATCTCTTCTTCCCTTCTCCAGTTAGGTAGTAGCGTCGAACGTCACCGGCATCTTGCCAAGTCGTCAAGTCATCTGGTGCTCTCCAGGTGCCAGTCCCCTCGATAAGTTTGATGATCCCCTCCAAGCGGAGGTCGACCTCATCATTGAATGTGACGTTGACTTCCAGTAACGTAGAATGACACTGTATGAAGTCGTAAACGGAGCGAGGGGTTGTTTCCGTGTTCTGCAAATTGAAAACACGCAAGTTGGGAAAAGTACACCGAATCCAGCGTTTGTCAGGCCAGTCTGCACCGGGAAAATTCATGATGTGCAGAGTGGTTATAGAGGGGTGACATCGTATTCGAGCTCCGAACACTGTATTGATCGCGAAGGGACAGTTGGCCTGTTTATGAACGATTTTGAGACGAAGGGTTTCTAGTTGCGGGTTAAACCGAAGCTCGGGGAATGGCCAATGAGTAGGCCATACAAGAGCTAGGTTTTTGAGTTGACTACATGAAGAAAGTTTCGCCATTATGACGCTTTCGGGGATTCGGTTAAGACATTCGAAGGAATGGAGGTATGGAAAGGGACATCGAAAACCCCTATGCAACGACGCGGGAGGTTTATCGCTGAGAAATAGGAGTTCGCTGCCTATGTATATAGACCTGTATAATGTCACTCAGTCTGCGCCCAGTGTGTATAATAACAACTTTACTGAAAATTGAAGGCGTACCGAACATGTAGAGCTATGTCACTCGTTGGAAATCTGCTGTGAGAGGCAAATTTGTGATATTTCTCGGAAGATGAGAAGTGTAGATGTCGGTAGAGATGAGGAGCGCAAAAGGCTCGAAGGCGACGGTTCACTTGAGAGAGGGCATAAATGGCACGAAACTTTCTTGGTAGATGTCGTTGTTCTCCGATATATTCCACAATCAAGAGCAGTAGTTCGTTCGGGAGGTCATGAAGAGTTTTGTGAAGAGAGAAGGAGTACATATCCAGACAGAGAGTCACCAAGAAATAGAAGTCGTTGCTAATTACTAACCGATCGCGATTTCTGGACCGAAATGAAACTTCGAACGCGAACCGTCACATTTGTGACATCTCGCGTTAATGACTGAAATGCAACGCGTCAACGCGTTGCTGAGATCGCCATTCCGAGAAAAGCGCAAGAAGCAAAATTAAAACTGAAGTATATATAAGGACATGCATGGCGCTACGATTGCTGAATTTCAAACATCGTCGAATGAATATCTACACCGCAAGACTGGTTGTCTGTCTCAATATCGAGGGGGTTTCCTATTTCGCATGAGCTGTGAGTAGGCGAGCTCCTCCCCCACCAGCACCTCAGGCAGCGAACTACCCGCATCATGACAACATCCTTGCCAGCTGAGCCTTCCTGATACCAAACGTATGGTAGATATTTGCTCCTTTCCACCATTCTGAATAGAGTTGTTATGTCTGAAGATCCTCCATAACCAGCGCATGCCCAATTCCCGCGACCGTAAATCAGTAAACGACAGGGGATACCCCTCTTGACTGTTTCCAAGTTTGGAAGTTTTCCCCAAGATGGCGTATTATCCTGGCCATTTTCTTCTCGTGAACGAACTCCCAAAGGCGCATGACAATGTTAGAATCCTTGCTGTCGATGATACTCTCATCTAGAGCGTCACATATTTTGGCTCGCATGTCGTCCGTGGCAATATAAGGCATATCATCCAAAGACCAAAGAAACCCATCTTCAACTGGTGGCAAGATGCCGCCAATGTCATAGCTTATATCATCATCATGTATCCCGTCATCATGAAATGACCAGTGAGGTGGCACGATACAAGCAAATGACAGTGTTTGCAAACAATGCCATGAACGAAGAATTGGGCCCAGGAATCCCTGAAGGCAATGATGAACTTCTTGCAATAATAGAAAAGTTACACATACCATAGTCATAAAGAAATTATCTTCAAGCGGAAATATTGTTGAGACTATGCAGAAGTCACGAATGACAGGAAGATGCGCCGCGACTGTGGAGGAAACCACGCTAGAAAAACATCTTCCTCTCCTCATGCCCATCGAACACTTCGTCACCAAGCTGGTCAATAGCTAGGGCAGTGGCTACGAAGCTAGGCGAGTCTGCAGCTGAAGATGGAGAGGAAAGCCCACTGGGAGTCGGGGTGCGGGTAAACGCGAATGAGTGAAACCGGAAAGGTTCGTTCGATGCTCCTGAACCGGGACTGTCGAGCTGAAAGTGCGTGGTAGCCCCATAGGTACTTCGAGAAGTTGCTTTCATCGGCTTCTCTTAAACGCCCTGACCTTCTACCAATTTCATCAAACCACTGAACGACAGCGAAGCCGATGCTTTGAAACCAATATTGACTTCCCGCAGAGTGGAGTGCCGGTGAACAAAGTCGTACATCTTTGCAGGTGTAGGGAGATTTCCTTTCAACCTAAAAACACTCAACCTCGGGAACTCAATAAGTCGATACCAACTTGTGAACCAAGAATATCCTTTTTGAAGAGACACTTGGTGTTTATCCCGGTAGCGCCACGAGGAAGGCTGAAGCTGGGGATTCGAAGCGAGGAACCACTTCTTGAATTGCGGTTTCCTTAATACAAAGCGTGGTTACAGATGAAAGAGACTGGCCCTTGTTGACGGAAGGGGTAGCACCGGGAAGAAGGAAGAAGCCGCAGTACGATACGCAAGCGCAATGTATGCAGCTCCGGAAAGGACGAAAGATCTGGGAACGGATACGATACAGACCAGTCAACACAGAGAGTGGTTAGATGTCTGGGAAGAGATAGAACATGGTAGTGGTCCTGCCACAATACACCGCACGTGATCTCGAACTTCTGCAGACGGGGGGAAAACAGATAGACCTCCAAGATCCGCAAGCTGCCTATAGTACTTTCTGCCTATGCCAAAAGCATTCTCAATGCGTATGGACCTGACGGAGGAAACATGGAGGTCAGGTAGGTAACAGCTATGCAACACTCAACTGGAATTCGTACCGTACAAACTGTAAAACAAAATACTGCAAGGAGCGTAGTAAGTGTCGAGGATCTCTTATTTTGAGATGTCGGTATGTCCATGGTAGAGTGACAGCACGCAGACGACGGTTGACTCGAGAGAGGACGTAGGACACCCGGTTCCTCGTAGGAAAGAAATCTTGCTTTCCGAAGGTGTTTAAGACTTCGCAGACTTCGCCAATTAGTTCTGGAGGAAGATTTGAAAGCGAGGCTCGACCTGACTCTGACGAGCGCAGTGCCATGTGTATGCCTGATGCGCTAGAAGGGTTGGTTTACAACTTAAACTTTGGCAACTGGGCCAACAGCCTGAGGGGCCAGCGACGCCGACACTCGTCTGCGAAATCGATCGAGATCTAGTGATCGACAGGTGGCAAGGGCCGAGATTTAGTGGGTGATGGTGGTGTTCCAAGTGAGTGTAGCCAGTTACCGACCAGTTACCTCCATCCGAAGACATCGATATGGTCTGTACCCTTCAGATGAATATTGCAAGTATCAACTCACGAAACATGTACGTGGCTTCTAGGATAACTTCATCAGCCTCGCCAAACAAGGAATGCAAGCCTACGCAGAGCATTCCAACCGTATGTCTGAGTATTCGCTCAGTTTCTCTGAGATCTGAAGATCAGTCTTTTTTATTAGCTGATCTCACCAAGACTGGTGGTCAAGAATATAATTCTCCCCACCATTCACAACAAGGCAACAACAGCGGAAATCGTCCCAACAGTGCGTTCTTGATGCCATTAACTGATTACACAGTATACACAATGCTCACGTCTATCTATAGTCGATGACGATGAGGTTGTCAATACTGCTTCTCGTGAGGGCTCCGGAGACAGTTCGTTGTTCTCCCAAGCTCTCGGATTCCTCAAGCAGAACAAGGTCGGTTGGTTACATTTCGAGTAACGCCTTGCTAATGGTATCATTTCTTAGGGTGAACACGAGCAGCCGGTCGATGAGGATCGTGTCGTTAATGCTCATCGTCAGGCCTATGAGAAAGGAGACGCTTCAGGTCTCTCCGCCGGTTCTCTTGGTAGCGCCGCAGCTCTCCAGGTATATATCTCGATAGTCACCATGAATTCATTTCTCGGCTCATCCCCTTCTTCACAGGTTTTGAAGCAGTTTACCTCGGGCAATAAGTCCTCCAGCAGCGGGGGAGGCAGTCAAACTCAACTGATCAGCCTCGCTATGGCTGAAGCCACCAAACTGTTTGACAAGTCTGGTGGCACTGCTTCAGGAAACAAGCAGGATGCTGTCAACGGGGCTGCTATGACAGTCATGAAACTCTTGGTCCAATCCAAGTTCAGCAGCACCACTGGTGGCAGCAACAGCGGCGGATTGGGTGGATTGGCGGGCTTGGTAAGATCCGACTTTGATCAATCATTTAGTTCGGTTGCTCATGCTCCATTACGCAGGCTAATAAGTTCCTCTGAGTGATGATACCGCGGGGTAGTGCAAGAGAAATATTAGCAATTGTATAGTATTTTACATTGGACCATCTGTGCTGTGACGTTGTGTACGTGTTTGGATTCATAGTGTTTTTTGTACGGCGAGGACAATACATTGGGGCGCTGCTTCCACGTGCATCTACTTTGAGGGCTTTGTGAAAGTGCGAGGTTGTATCACCATCGGGAAGCATTCGCACGGAGTGGTGTGACAGTGTACGGAAGAAAGGATTTGACACAAAGCATGTCGTAGGGTGCCATCATGTGCATTGCTGCGCATCCAAGGAGTGAGGAAATGAATGACAGTGTGGAATGGAAGCCTGCCTGGAGCCACCACACCGAATACGGAATTCCAGACCGAGGAGGAACGAGTTGAACTCACCGCAATACCATGAGCTCCTCCTCTCCTCCCACATCAGTCCCAGACTCGCCATACAGTTGAAAAAGGCCACCCTCCAAGACCATGAGGAAAGAATAGTTGTCCTTGAGGCGTGGAGTGACTTGAACAATGTGGCGTGCATGTGTCAAAATTCGGAAGAGGATGAGAAGCTTAGTTTGGTTTAAGGCGTACACAGCTGTCGTGCCTCTGGATTGGCACATTCATGAGACCCACAGAGAACGACGTGATGGGCAGTAAGATCCGTTGAACAACGCGGAGGCAGCCAAGGGCAACGTAAGCCAATAAAGCATGCGGGCAAGTGCATGTAGTAGCAAGATTAAAATTCAACATGAACGCAGGTTATATTTGCACGCAAATTGATGTTGCGTTGGTGTTGCCAAGGACTGCCACTATCTTGGTGGTGGGAAAAGTCAGGACGGAGTCAAACAAAGGGAGAGTCGGAGTAAACGAAGGCATGTTGCCAATTAATATTTTAATGTTGGTGCAGGTAGGCGAGTGTGTTGCTGGCGGTCGTTTCCTGCCGACGTGCTGGGAGTCTGGGACTATCCTCCGAATACGTGAACGATCGGTGATTACGTTCGACCCTTCCGTACCAGTTCGTGGCCACATCCAACGGCTCGAGCTTTACCCGCTTCTTGGGCACTTGGTGGCGACATTGCCTCCATTCTGCGCTGGCCTGTCTTGGGGAAACACAGTGGAGAACTGCCCACTAGGACGAACGTATTTGCTCGGAACTAACGGTCCCTTTAGGCTGTACATCGGCTTACCCACTCTTCTAACTACCTGTGTTCTGCAGCCATTTACAACAGGCCAACAGATAGCGCAGCTGGCTGGAATATCGGAAACCATGCCTAGACAATGGCACGCTGACACGGTATTAATGTATTGTCAGCTGTCCTCGATTTTCTGAAACGCAGGATTAGGAATGCAATATGCATGGCCACGCACCGACACAGATACTACTTCTTCTGAAGTGCACTTTGTGAAAGAAACAATTAGAGCATCCGACAGCTCCCTGCTCCGTTGTCGTCGTCGCCTGTCCATGGCAGCCTATTTGATACAAACCTTAGGTGAGTGTTTCGTCGGTTTGAAGACAATACCCGCGTAGCAAATGGCAGTCATTGCCCACATATTTGCATAGCATAGGCGTTATTAGTCTTTACAACTTAGACTGCAGCACTCCGTATTTTCATCCAGGCATTAGCTGTCTCTGGCTAATTTCCTGGACGAGATTACGGTAAGGCTCCACTTGGAACCCAGTAGCCATAAAAGGTGACGTACGAGGTTGTGCCGCAATTGCAAACCATTGCCTGTGTACGCATGCCACAGGCTAATACATCAAGGGCTCTAGGTCATTTTAAACCTAATATCATGTAGCAAGATTAATAGGGTCCAAACCGAAATTTCAGTATCGTGTGGTCGACACCCCATCCCAGTTCACAAACGTAGGACTGTCGGCGTTGTCCGTAAGCATTTCGCGGGTTCTTCATCCAAAGACTGCGATTGTCCGTCAAGATACAGCAGTGATTGGAGAATCTGACTGTGACTATTCATACTATTTCAACTCACCGCTCACACGATCTCGGTCAGAAGAACAGAGACAACACCTCTGGCATTCGGAATCTTGCTTTTGGCCTCAACCCCGCCGTTCAAGAGATAGATGCCGTTTTGATATCTCGGCGATTCCCAAAGACTTGGCTTCTCTGCCCCGACCTCTCCGTATCCGCTACTCGGTGGGTTGCACGAGGTGCAAGACATCGCGGCGTGTCAAATGACTGAGATACAAGACGACATAGCTACCACTGTGGACGCGTTTCTAGTCGCCGCTGGGCTCGGAGAACCTCCTTTAGGCGCGTCTTCAAGTCGCGACGATCCACTGGACTTGGTTTATTACGTCCAAGAAGGCGACGGCCTGGCTCCTCGCCCTTCTTTGGATGTATAACGAGTCACCCTCTCTCATTTTTAAGCCCCATCTTCCACGTCTCTTCTCTCTGTTGTCGTATTGCTCTCGTCGCTCTCTCGCTCTCTATCGCTTTCCTCGCATTCGCACTCAAGAAAATCGATTACCACAATGTCCGCCACAATCTCTACGCTACAAATATCTCCCAACAACAATCTATCTGTACCCATCAAGGCGTCGGATTTACGTTTACCTTCCTACCACTGCTCTTACTTGAACAGATTCCATCCATATGCGAGAGCCAGCCCTCGACCCCAAGACTTAATGGTTAGCCTTTTGCCTTAGCATGACGCACTACACTTCAGCTTATCTCTGGCCACGATACAGAAGACCGTAGACCGGCCCTTTGCCGATTACCAGGACGGCAGGCCGAGTTTCGCTTTGGTATTTCACTATTCTCTTTCACCCAACTCAGCCATTAACCTATTGCCTCAGTCCGTAGTCAGTGAAGAAGACGAGAACGCTGTTAACGCGTTTGCGGAAGTTCCTATTGCTCCCGAAGTGCAATTGGTCATTGCCGCTACTCGTCCAGGCCCTCTCAAGGGTATCAGATTATTAGAAGCTGTCATCGTATGTAGTTTCCATGTTCCTCGCCCGATGAACTGTCACACTCATGCGCCAACCTGTCCTAGGATTTCGCTCTCATGATGAGACGTAGGCTTAGGTCGAACGCCAAAGACAGCTTCCAATGAATGACGCAGGACAATGGATCGAAGCATCGGAATCATCCCACACCCAACATTTCTGTTCGACGTGCACCGCTCATGTATTCATATGTAGTTTCCTAGTGTTTCGAAGATGCCGGCAGTTGTCATCGCATCCTACTACACCCTCACTGGTGCACCATTGTGTTACAATCTAGGATCGTACTATTCTCAGGATGCATCGATGTCGATGTCCCGTGCCCATTGTTCCTTCAGATCGCTGGATCAGACCCGGCGAAAATTTCAGAGACTGTGAGAGCGCGAGAGCGTCGAAGCGATGTTTGTGTTCGAAATTCGAAACCCGAAGTACAAAGTACAGCAAACAAATTGAGGGAGACCAAAAAAAGGTGCTCTTCAAATAGAGCTATACAACAGAGAAAAGCGAAAAATATGAAACATAAAGTACTGAATAAATTACGAGAGCCCTCAAGGGATTAAGTACAACGAAGCAATATAATGGAGGCGAATGAGAGGCTACTAAAAGATACAAACGATATTCCATGCAACTATCTACAAAAGATTATGGCGAGTGCAACATATGGTAGGTTTTTGCTGGTCTGTACAACTGCGGGTATAGAATGTGAGTGGTATATAGAGCATAATGACGAATCGAAACTCGTATCACCTGCAAAGAGGTTGCAAGTCAGTGAGATGTTGTGAAATCAGTCAGAATAAGCGTACGCAGTGATTGCTAAGAACTGAGGCGCGAAACCAGTCGCACCTCTAAAGCGGTTGAGCCATGGATAAGGATTCCGGTCGCAAACATGGAGTGGGTAGGTGATGTGAAAGGTTGACGAAGCCTTTTGCTTTGAGGGAGTTTGCGGCAATGCGTCATCCTCTCCGTAGACGTTCCAGTCGATATATTCACTAAAAGTTGAATCGACCTCAGGATTGCAGTCGAAGATGTTTGGATCTGCGTGGGTCTGAGCAAGAGGCTCCCTAAAGTCTGGCGCATCCAAATTGGATGACGAAATACATGATGATGTGGCATCAGCTGGCGTCGGAAGGGATGGCGTCATTGGGGGAGTAGAGGAAGCAGCGGATGAACCTCCTGAGAAGGACGGGGATGAAGCAAACGATCTGAGAAGATCGTCTGGGACGAGTGTTCCATCCAAGGGGAGCGGAAGCTGAGAATTCGGGGGTAGGTCAGCGGACTGTGACTGCAGAGGGGACATCACAAGTTTTCTAGCATAGGTATCGGATGCATGTATGTCGATGGCTGGGACAAATAATTCCTCCTCCAGTGATTCCATATGCTCCATGGATGATACGAGAGGAATGGGCGTCGTAGCCGATTCCGTGGAAGAGTGGACCATAGCGTGGATAAATTCTTCTACATAGACATGAGAAAACAAGAACATTGAGAAAAAGGCGGTAGGCTTACTCATCTCGGGTGTGGCATTCTCATAAGCTGAAGCATCCGAAGTCCTGGCTTGCATAATGACAGGATCAGAGGAGTCGGGATGGGAAACTATTTCAGCAACTGGCGCCACAGAGAAACCTGCGATCCATTCTGGAGTCAAACACTCCACGTCTAAAGCCATGCTTCTTGGAAGAGGGTCGGACACAGCCTGTAAGCGGGGTCGAACTGGCAATCCGCGGGTGCGCTTGACTGGAGGTTGGACACCGGCATCTGAAAGACGTCGCTTTCTTGAGCGAATACCTGTGGCTTCGGGCACAAACGATGGCATGTCTGAGACAGTCTTAGACTCAGATGAGCATGGAGGGGACGATACTCCAGGCACATCTGCTAATGATAGAGTATCGGGAGTACATCCAGGGAGGATATCAGCCGTAATATGGTTCCTAATTACAGCTGTGAGTAAATGGTAAGACCGTGCGCAGTTTTCAGCGCACCTTACTTGCCACTCTGGCTGATCTACCACACCGTTGGACTTGCACAAAGGGGGCGTTGAGTTCGTACCGCCAAGGACGGGAGTGTTCGCCAGTTCGCTTCGTTCCGGTGAAGACTCTCGACATGATTCCAGTGCTGGCGTCATTGAGGATCGTCGAGAACTAGGATTCGAACTGTGCGACAGCTGGGCCTCACCATCATTGTTAAAGTACAGGCACGATGCCCTGCCTTGCAAAGACAAAAATTCGACTTGCACCTCCATGGAAGGCGACCGATTGAGATGTTCTTCAATTAACACCTGCGTCGCCGCCTCGATGGCTAGTGGACGAGACCCCTGGAAGTACGTAATGCAAATATCCACCCAGCCGATGGAACGACGAACTTCCTTGAACCATTTACTGATGTCACGCACGGACATGTCCGTGCGTGCAGCCAGTGCCTTTTTTACGTGGAGGGGCGGATATGGGTTATGGAGATTGTCCATGAGCCAACTGTAGGCTGGTTCAACGTACGGTGGAGGTGAAACAGAGCTCAGGGGAGAAAGCGCCGATGAGTTACGGTGGCTCATCTGCGAAGGCTCCTGAGCGCACGCCTCATCGAGGGTGAATTGTCGTAGAGCACACTGGGCTTCAGACAACAGGGATATTGTGATACAATCAGAGTTATGGTTTAAAGCCGATATAGACTCTACTAGCGTTGAGATCTGGGAAGCGGTGGAGTATGCATAATGGGAGATCTCGTTGTCGTGAGGAGTGGCCTGAACGAGTTGGGGAAGTTCAGCTCCGAGCACTTCCCACAATTTTTCAAAAACAAGCAAGGCGTCCTCCCCTTTAGAAAGAGCGTCAAGTAGTTGAGACGGTGCATTGAGCAGTCGTTGTTGGAGAGCTATAGTTCCAGACATGGTGAAGGCCCTGAAGGGTCGCTGGGGCGAACGGGTAGAACGAATCAGTTTGACCCATCATGTATTATGTATGGAATATATGTATGCGATTTGACAAGCGCCACCTTTAGTCCCAGCGTGGGATGCACTTTGACCTCTATGGTATTACAATGGGCCCGGCTACTGCTCGGCTGCGGCAAGGAACATCAGGCGACATCACCATCGCGGCCACTCGGGTTATGCGTGTTTGGCCATGAAGGTGTATAATCAAGTTGCTGATTTCCCACGCGTTCTTTATTTAAGTAGTACCGTCCTCAATATGGAGGAGCCTTTGACCCCGAACTACCCGCGAACTGGATACTCAGCGCTCAGTACTCAGCTTCCACATTTTCCTCCCTTTCTTGCTTCATGTTTCATAAAGGGAAAAATATGGAGCACATTCTATCGATCAGCCGAACTGCTCACAACTTCATACACCGGATCAATGCCCTCGTTCCTCGCTCGACTTCTTGGTTCCGACCCCAAAACAGCGAAAAAAGGCTGGAGGTGGATGTCCGTCTCTCAGTACCCTACCCGCGACCCATCTCGGCGGCCCTTGTTTCCGTGGGGGTTCGACCCTCACTGGCTGAGCAGGCATCCCGGGCCTATCTTGCTACTGCGTTGCAACTGAAGCGCGCATATGAGGAACGAATCAGGGCAGTATCTCGCGTTTGGCTGCAAACAAATTTCTACGAATCTCCGACAACTGCTCAAGAGAACCTAACATCTGTGAAGACTACCTTCGTAGCGCACTATCAGCGGACTTTGAGCAGCATGGTGCAGGAAACAATAATGTTGGCTCGAGAGCGACTAGCTCTAGCGTCGGCACATCATTTATCAGACAAAGTTGAAGCCCAGAAAGGCAAACGTTCGGCATTCAACCAGGTCGGTGTTTAGTTTGATCGTACCCGATCATTTTTGATTCTGATGCCGAGGAATAGGACGCGGTACCCGTGTTGGAGGAAGTTTACTTCAGGAAAGCATATCCAACGCGCGAGGAGAGAGAGGAGCTTGCCGCGAGATTCTGTATGCAACCACAACAGATCAAAGTTTGGGTATGTCCTGGTGCGACCTTTGTAGGATGTTTCTGAACTTGCATGAAGTTTCAAAACAGGAGGGCTCGCTCTAAGCGAAGTGGGCACGAAACACGGAGGACTCCGGAGTTCGTGGGGTATGTGAAACAACATTTCTCAAACATCCCTTCTACATTCCTTTCAGACATGGAGCGTCTGATAAGCAAAGATATCCATCACCCTCAACGTATCGAATCGGTCAGTATCTCTGATGGTGCGCTCGTACAATTAGTGACGGAGTGTTCAAGCAGGTGAACCGATCACAAGTTGTTTTACCCAAGTCGTCAACTCAGTTTCGCGAAATCGTGACCTCTGAAGCACCCAAGTATGCTTTCCCCTCCAAATACCAACGCGCACTTGTGAGCGAGGATCGCGTAGCGTTTGAAGACGGGTTGATGCATTTTGAGATCCCCTGGATTCGGTCGGTCGGTTCATTTCGCCCCGAGGATCGCCCTGTCTCGGATATCTCGGACCTCACGTATGCTTTTTCCAAACTAAGCTTAGGCAGTGAGCGCACGGAGGATACAAATCGCTCTCAGCCACCCTTCAATGCCGCATTCATCCCGACAGCGTCGTCCGCACGGACTCGGCCTGTTAAATCTCATGCGGCTCCTCCTATCGTTTCGTGGGACACTGTCAAGCCTAAAACCTATTTGTCGGGGTATGACGCCGAGAAACGGCATGTATCATCGACACCAATGCGCCGGCTATCCGCACGGTCGAGTCTTCGAGAAGTCTATTCTCATCATCTGTCACGTTCCACTCCATCCTCTCAACTTTACCCTCAATCCTCTCAACCTTACCCTCAATCAAGACCATCACATCGACTACATGCTTCGCTTTCCAAACGTGCCCCACAGACTTCACCATCGCATTCCCCGCCTTCGCGCTCTTCTTCGCTGACGTCCGTCAATTCGGATGGCTGGTCATCGTCTGGAGCGGGTTCCCCCGCATTGGTGACCCCATCAACTCCCACGTTTGATCTCCCAGATTACTCCACATCGGAAAAGAAACAGAAGAAACACAAGCGATACTCTCCCTATTCATCCATGGATTATTCTTTACGGGAGAAGTCGGCTTGTGCTCCTCGGACGTTTCAATTCCGCACAACAATTGCAGCGTTCTGATATTCACCTTGTCCTGTTGATATGTTGCTTTCGTCTTCGCTTCGCTTTCACCTGGCTTTGCTTTAATTTTATTGTGTATTTATTCTTTACTGACCTCGTGCAGCTTTTGGATCGGTTTCGTAGTGTAGTAATAATCGCAGAATATCGAGAGCTACGCTCTCACCGACACTATGGATGCACACGATCGAACGGAGTTCCTCAACAAGCGACATCTCAAGTTGATCTCAAGCCTACAATGAAGCCGTAACTCTATTTATCAACGTCAATGCCTCGCTGAATTTGAGACCTCATCCTCGATCTTCCAACGTCCAACTTCAGCCATAGCCTCTGCATCTCCACTAGCCATTGCAGGCGCATTCAACAGTGCACTGACCATCTTCCAAGGATCCTTCGCACCACCATGTCTCAATACTTCACTTTTGAACCTCTCTCCCGTATCCCTGTTCAAAGGATCATGTGAGAAGATATTGCGCCACACTCGCGAGGCGATGGCACGGTCAAAGAGATAAGAGTAATAGGTGGCGCCGTATCCGAACAGATGCCCGAATTGTGTTTGCCACGAGGTCCCCGGTACGTATGGAATTAATCCTCGTGTCTCATAGAGTCTGGCCAAGGCTGCAGTGGAGTCGAAGTCCTCATGCATTACAGCAGGTGAGTGATATATCTGGTCGAGAGCAGCTAGAAGGATCTGGGTATGGGTATCGATAGAGCGACAAGGATCCTCGTGATGATTCGCTGCTTGTCGAATTGGGTTACCGTTTATGTCAAAGAGTGACAAGACTGTCGGTGAGTTCAGGAAATGTTCCATAAGGATGGAAGGTAGTTCGACGAAGTCTGTTGCGCAACGGGTACCTGAGACGTTCTGGTACTCGGTCCTACCAATCATTGCTTTAGATTGCAAATGTGTCAGACACGGTTGGGCGAAGAACAAGGCCAGTGTCACTCACAATGCATCGCATGGCCCATCTCGTGAAACAGAGTTAAAACCTCATGCCAAGCGAGGATGGTAGGTCCACTCCGCGGCGACGGTCTTGTGAATTCACAAACGAGGACAACAACTGGAGGTTGGTACATGCCTTCTTGACCAGGTATTCGGGCTCTATGGGCCGAGTCAAAGGACCTTGCGATCTCGACAGCGTGTCTATCACCGTCGTTTCTAATGAAAGCATTGTCTCCTGCCTCGTCGTCATCGTCCGTTCGTCGTGAACAACGAACAGTGTAATGTGCCGCGCCACTCGGCTTGCCTCTCCGTGCAAAGAGGTCAGCATATATCCAACCCAACGTGCCGTCTTTCTCGTCGACTACCTCGAGCTTCCGGACATCACTATGCCATACCTCTCCTGATGCAACATCAGATAGCCGTAATGTCACACCGTACAGATTGCGGAACAGCCGTGAGAGACCCATAAAGACAGTCCCTAGCGTCAGTGGAGGAAGCGACACCGGCGGTGCCGGAGGTTCTGGAGGACAATAGTAGTCCCTATCCCAAGCTTGTATTGTAGGAAATGGTGGCGTATTTAGGTGAGCCTGTTTGCGCAGACTGAGCGCACGGAGCGCTCTCCGAGCGTATGGTCGAGTGTGATCCATCAGCGCGTCCAGGAAGTAACGCACATTTTCTGAAAATGACAGCGTGTAAGTGAAATGTGACGTGTCAAACTGCACTACAACGTACCTGGGGACTTTGCCATCTTGTCTGCGAGGGCCATATGTGCAAAACTGTCTTTGCCGACAAGTCGTGCAAGGTCCCCACGAGCACGAAGCAGGCGTTCCAGCGTATGTACTTGTTCCTCCGAACTTGAGTTGGCTGCCATGTATAGTTTCCTCCGGGGCTCCTCTTCCGGAGCGGAGGTCATGATCATTTGAGCTTGTAGGGATCCTGGATAGACCAAGAGATCGCGCTGCGTAGCCGTAGCTTGCAGCCGCAGTCGAGTCCCCATTCCCGTATCCTTTAACCCCCGTAATTCTGAAGGTCTGATTCGAGCGGGCGGACGTGCTTTCGATGCTTCCATGAGGAACTCACGACCTATAGAAAGAATTTCGGATGAGAGAGAGACAAATCGGTCCCGCTGAGACGGCGGTAGGTTGACGCCAGATTTCTCAAAGTCTCTCCAAAAGATGAGGGCCGTTTCGCGAGCCTCTGTACTGAGAGATTTGACGACGTCAGGATCGGACAAGACAATACGAAGTACCTAAAAGCAACGTATGATCGACATTGAGGACGATTGTGATGCATACCATATATGCGTACTTCGTAGAGTCCAACATGAGTATTCAATACATTCATGAACTGGCATAATTGGTCGTAAACCGACTCGGCATGTTGCACCCACGAAGCATCAGGATGTGTGTTTCGTATGAGCTCTGCCAAGTCTATGACACCGCAAAGCATGTCACTGAGTCTGTCAAGATTCTTGACGACCTTGTACAGCTCCTCTCTAGACTCGCCCGCTCTCACTATCCGCTCCGTTAGGATCTCTGCCCGACGTTGTGTCGCTTCAGCTAGAACTTTGAACTCCCGTGGAGAAGTCAGCAAACGATGCCGGAAAAGACCTGTTGGTGAGAGCGGAGAGGAAGGATAAGAAGAATAAGGCTTGTCCAGGTCATCAATTATGGCTGCATCATCAGCAGATGCAGGTACAGGAACATTTGACAAAGAGGTGGATGTCGCAAGATGAGTTGCAGCTTCACGCTTAGCGTATAAGCACCCTCGGAATCGAAATGGTGGCTTGACGGCCTTCCTCAGTACATCCTTGGTAGTTTTTGCGAGCATGGACTCTGACGAGTAGTCAGGGAAACCTGCTGAGTAAAGCAGGAAGAGGTAAAGGACGAGAGAGAGACGTTCTTGTAAGGGTGCGAATCACAACGCTGACATTCCTCAACAAAATTTCCCGCGTTCTCGATCAAAGAAATTGATGGCGTCTAGTATACTTTCAAGTTTCAGCATCTTCGACATACACAATGGACCACCCTCGACTGCTCGAGACCCTCCATTGTACTTACTTTTAAATAATTGTCATGCCCCACAGAAACATGTGGCTAAGTCTGCCCCACAGAAGCCAACGAATTACGTGATTCATTCTATAGTTCGTCACGATGACACGCCTTGATAGAATTATTGGCAATCAAATACAATAGCTCGTAGTTGCAAACAGGAAGGAATGTGAGATATGCTGGTACGATGCGATGCGATGATGTGAAAAGCAAGAGGAAGATAAAAGGTATGTCAAGAGATAAGCAAAACCAGAAACTCTAGATCATGATTCGTCCATGCTTGAGGTCGGTGACAGACTTCCTTCTAAACTCTTTTCGTATGGATCTCCATTCGTCGATGGTGGATTGTCCGTGTCTTCTGTCATCTGCTCCGCACCACTATGGTAGCCATTTGAGTGAGAAGGTCCTGTTCCGTTCGATGATCGTGAAGGCATCGCCTGGGGTACAGGTTGCGATGGAGGATTGATCGGCTCAACAGCATAAAACCAGAACTTGCTCTTCTTCTTGCCTGCAACCGCCTCAACTATGGTCTCCGTTGGCTTGATCGCAGCAGCACCGTTGATCTTGATTTTTAAACTGCTGCTATTACTCTGTTGAGACGCGTCTACAGAAGTTGCGCTGACGATGCTGTCCACCGTGCGTGCCCTTTTCGGGGGAGGCGGGCCGTCCAGTTGCATGTCGGAGGGAGCTCCTAGTCGAGTAGAACGACGTTCTCCTCGCCATTCGCTCCACTCCTGGTCGTCTCCTGCATCGCCATTTGGCCTAGATCGCGTCGAACGACGCCTACCGGTGGCAGTTCGTCGACTGCCGGAAGGCTCGTCCGTTCGGAAATTGAGAAAATCGTCATCATCAAATTCATCCTGCTCTTCATACTCCTCCTGAACATACTCGTCATTGTCCTCCTATAGCCAGAAAAATCAGCAACTCATATGAACGCTTAAGAATATAATCACCTCTGAATCTGGACCATTCATGTAGGCATAGTCGGGTCGGGTAGTGCGGCGTCGTGTCCTCGTCTCACGGAGGTCTGCTTGCGCGATAAGCAACTGCCGTTGCTCTATCTTCTTTTTTGCCCGTTGTATTCGCTAGAAATTACGTGGGTAAGCATCGATATGGCCGATCTAAGACTATAATGTGCACGATTCCCATGCGAGACCTGTACGCCACATTCAATGAACAAGGAATGACACCCACCGCAATCTCAGCATCTATGGCAGGTAACCGGTCTTCTAAAGCCTGGATAAGTGCCAGATGGGCTGCGTCCAACTTTGACCAGCGTGCACCAGGCGTATATTCTCCAGGCGAGCTATCCTTGACTTTGTCAATGATGGCGAGATATTCGTCCCTGGTTGAAGATATGGTTTGGAATGTCGCGGTCATCTTCCATGGGTTCGTAGATATGTATACACGCGGTGAATCTACATACATAGACAAATCAGTCAGTCACACGCGTTCAACAACATATTTCGTAACGAGAGGCCGCAATGTGCCGGAAGAATTGTCGGAAACTCCGTTGCGTAATGCAAATACACGCAAATACACGAAATCGAGGAGGAGAGTGCACGGACCATCGATAACCCAATAACGTTTCCGCTCCTTGTCCTGGCCTAGAGGTATGAGTTGAAGGTTCTCCATACTGTGAGGGTCGTTTGGAGGAGGGGGCGCAGACGTGGTTTCATGCTTCTTGTGTTTGTTGTGAATAACGCCCCATGCGCGGTCGATGAGAGCCTTGACCTCCGCACTATGACAAAGCTGCAATTCGACCAGTTGACGAAGTATTCTGAGCTGAAGTGTATGCGATTACGATCAGTGAGCAGAAAACGCGGCGACAAAAGCGGCGTGCACACCTTGAGGTCCCAGTCCGCACTCCAAAACCCATTTGGAAGACTATGAAATGGATCCTCGTTCATTTTCAATTCATCGTTCCAGAATACAGTTCTTTCAGAAGACTTGAAGTACTCCTGGAGCAAAGAGGCGACAGTAGAGGATATCACGTCCGAACTAGAGAATAAACACGTCGCAAAATGACTCAGATTATGCACGAGGTCTAGCTGAGGACATACGTACCTCAAGTTACGCGTTTGTGGCCGTAGATTCAACACAAAACGTGCAAGGATCTGTGTTATCACAGGGTGCGCCTCCGGGAAAAGCAACGCCTCCTCAAAACTGAACCAGTTTCAAACAACATGAGCATATCATAGCAAGCAGAAACCGAGACGATGCTCACTCCATAGGTGTTTCCAACCCCTCCACTTTATTTCGCAATTGCGTGAATTTGCAGATGAAGCCATATACGAAAAGGGACTCCCAGCGGTCTCTGGGATGTGCGGCATTGGATGGAGGGCATATGTGGCCCTTCTTTTCAGACGATGCAACGATAGGAGCAGTCTTCATGGTGTGGCAAGAGAAAGTGACATGAAAGAAAAGAGGAAGGCAGGTGGTGGGTCACAGTTCATATCACACCAGGCGACATACTTGTTCCGTCACAATGTGTGTACAAATAGTAATAGGCAAACACTAATTATATTTAGGCAAGTTACCGCTTACTGGACCCCGTTCACGTCTGAGATGACAATAATCAAACCGGAAGTTTCTGGGAGGGGCTTCGACCCAATTCCGCACCACAGGAATGAGGCGAACAACATGGTATTGCCAGTAGATACGAAATACAACGAGATAGCAAATGGAGTAACAAGGAGCACCATCTGTGGCATTATCCAGGCCCAACCTATTCGGATTATAATAAGAATGCGACGCGCCATTGACAAATTATAACGACATACCTTCGGAATATCATGGTGCTCGCTGAGTAGCTCAAGCTTCGTATTAAACTCATTCACCCTGTCTTTGTGCGTCTTAGTAGCAAGTTTGGCAACTTTCGCAGCCAGCTGAATGATCATAATGAGTTGAGACCAAGAACTGAGATGATGAGTAACGGCACATACCCGCTTCCTCTGTGTCTCCTCAAATCGCCTCTCAGCCGCAGTTTTCTTATCACTACTGCTGGTCGCCGCCGGAGATGCTCGACTACTACCGGATGATGATACTGCCTTCGCCTCTTCCTCCCTCATAATAGCCTCCAGCTCCTTCAGCCGTTGTGCCTCGGCATCGACGTCCTTCTCTATAGATTTAGACTTCGATTTCTTCTTCCTATATAATCATCAGGACAATGTTACTGCGTTAGAACATCATAACTCACTTCTTCACTATCCCGCCGTCAACGACTCCCCCCTTTAGTTTAAGGGAGCCACCAGGGCGAAAGTCATATTCTGACATTAAGCCTCTCAAGGAGGTGGTTGCGGATGAAGAGTGTTGTGACGCGAATGTGACGCGTGCATGACTTTGCGCCCAATCGCAGTCACGCCACCATTTACGGCTTAGCACGAAGCCTGCTCTGACAGTTGTAGCCTGTAGGCGCGACTCTCGGCTTCACCAAATCGTCCTTGGGTCACTTTCACGCCCTCTCTCTCTTCTGAGCAAGCCAAAATAGCCTGAGGATCCTAACGAGATGGCTGTCCTCACGTCTGCACCCCTACAATTTGTCGCGTCAATACCGCCCGTCACTCGTGCTTTCACTGCAGCTACCGTCTTCTTCTCCATATTGTACTATTGGCTGTATTGGACCACAGGGGATGCCCTTCCATACCTCGTGCTCGTTCCCGGATCGAGTATTTTCTACCCATGGACGTTTGTTACGTCTGCGCTCATAGAGACTACTATATTTGAGGTGAGTGACATTAAAGCGGATATTGGCTTGGGTTTGGGTGACGAACAGTTTTTCAGCTTCTGTTTACTCTGCTGGTCATTCCAGCATCGCTGAAGTATCTGGAGAGATTATGGGGAGCAGTGGAAACCCTGAAATTTATCGTCGTCACTGTTGGTGTTTCCAACATCATCGCGTTTGGATTGAACTGGCTGGAATACGTGGTACTGAAGAATCCAGTGTTTCTGTGAGTATACCTCCCTTCACACTATGGTCGTTATTTAAACATCTACGACAGTTACGAACAACGATATCATGGCCAAATGGCGCTTCAGATTGGAGTCCTTGTTGCCTTCACGCAAATTATTCCGGAGCACCAAGTTCAGCTTTTAGGCGTAATTAAAGCTCGCGTCAAAGTAAGCAATGAGTATTATGATATCGATAGTCGTTAACGAATCGGTACTTGTAACAGTCTATCCCTATGGCATACGTCACGTTCTCTACCGTGATGTGCATTATAGGTTTCCAATGTCCTTACATAGTTATCCAGTTCGGATGGCTTGTATCATACATTTGGCTTCGCTTCTACAAGAAGAACTCTGAAACACTTGGTGGTGGTCCTGCATATGGCGATAGAAGCGAAACATTCGCTTTCGTGAGCTGGTTTCCGCCATTCATCCAGTACGTTTACACGTTGCGTTCTCAGAATTTACGTCGCTCATACTGTAACTTAGCACGCCCATCACCTTGCTTGCGAATACCGCACATTCTCTTGCCTCGAAGTTCCATTTAATTCCCTCCATTGGTCCTGACGTTGAATCCGGTGGTTATACCCAACTTCCTGGGGGTGCCCGTGCAGAGGCAGAAAGGCGAAGGTACGATTATCATGCTTCCATGATAGAAATCTTCATACTAAATCATGCTGCAGAGCTATGGCTCTCAAGGCTTTAGATCAAAGGCTTGCCGGCGGTGCAACATCACCTACACCGCGATCGGCAACAGTGCCTGCCGGCCCCAGTGCATCACGCCCGCCACCTGCAACAAATGGCGAAATTCCTCAGTCGAAGTCCCCTTCACCCGAAGCTGACATTGGGGACGCTGGTGCACAAGGTGGTCGATAGTGTGGATTTAGTAACGTACTGCTAGCAGGTGGCTTGGTTATGACTTTCCTAATGTCCTTACGCACGATGTGCATTATTGTAGAAAATCTGCTTCCCGCTTATTAGTTCGATTCCCTAGCATGTAGTCTCTGCCCTTGTCATTCACGAATACCTACAATTTAAATACCTTCCAAAATGGGCGCTTCATTACCACGTGGATATGACGCTGAAATTCTCGGGCTATGGCCGCTTGATATTGTGTGGTTGAACGAATGCAACGTCGAGCATGGCTCGCAGACCCTCTGTTGTATCTTTATCATCTGTAAACTCGTCTGGGAGTCTGCCGAAACTTGGTCAACTACCTTCCTTATCCCAATCGTTCTCACAATCATCGAGAGCTTCTGCCAACTCCTCGAGGTGGCTGTCATCTAGAACCGCGTCTGGAAATGGCAAGGTGGGAACCAATATACAACAAGATGAACATGCTGCCAATCCGGATGAACTCTTTGTCAAACACACTGTGGCCGAGGTAAAAGGAATCCAGCAAAAGCTGAGGTATGCGGGCTTAAAACGACTCATTTATTGAATATTAATGTTAGTATTTAGACATGATGCGGATGCAAAGCAACAAGAGCTGCGGGTCATGGTTGGGTACGTACCATAATAACTCACATGTCATAATCTCAATTGTAGCCTGAAAGCGCAGGGAACGGTACCGGGATCTCCTTCAGGCATCCACGTCAATAATAGCCCTCGCTCGATCATCGGACAATGTCCTCCACGCCCTGGAAGATATGCGAAGCATAACCTCTGCAGTCGGTACTACTGCCGCTTTGCCTCGTATTGCACCTTCCGTAGGTCAAGAAGGTCAGTCGAGTTATCCAGGAATTTCGTAACATGTAGGATTGACATTTTGGCGAAGACGCACATCTTCAAGTTCTTCAAGCTTTGTCTGCACATATGAAACTATTACTTGACACTCCAGAACACCTGTGGCGACTTATGGAGCGAAAATTATATCTACACGCAGCATGGTTGTTCTTGCTTTGTCGCGTAGTACACCGTGCATTGTTACGAGATGATGCCGATGACGACACCGGTTGGAATGTGTATGGTCTTAATATCGCAGTAAGTGTTGTTCGTAGAATGCATATTTCGACGCATTTTGCTGAAAATTCACCCCAGGAACAATTTCCCCTTGTGCAACGACAATGGGACGTTGTTTCTCAATTCCGCACTCAAATCACCCATAAAGCAACCCTGTCGTTGAGAGAAAACACGCCATCGCCTGCGGTATGTCTTCCGTTGGATTTAAGCACATAAGGTCCTAACTTCTTCGTAGGCCGTTGGTGCTTCACTACTTTCTCTCCATCTCATAGAATCTCGACCCCTACCCGAGACCCTAACAATATTGCTCATGCAAAGGACGCGGGCCCTCACACCACTGCTTACACGACCTCGTGATAATGTCCCTAATGGTACTGCAGGACCTTCGCGCACCCCGCGTGTGCGGAAGGCGATTGTACGAAATACCCGGTCGAAAGCAGAAGCTGCTCTTGATGTTGTAGCGCACACCCTGGGTGCTGCCAGACAACTCTTCATTGGGACGTCGGAACGACCACCTCTATTGATGGAAGCATTGGATTATATTCAGACCGATCCAGCGCCGCCAACCAGCGAGCTTCCCATGGAACTCAAGCTTACCACCCAGCTCTTGTTGACCTCTTTGCCTTCGTCGAGTCATTTCATGCTGCTACCTCCGAACATCAAATCCTATCGACCATACATTGATAGCAATGTAGCGTCCTCGCTGTCAAAGGAACCACTGAATGACAAACTTCAAGAGTGGTTCATCAAAGCCACAGAGGATATCAAGCTGTCCATGGGCAAATGGTTATCTGAGCTTCATAGTGTAACGGAGGTCTGGAAGTTGAGAACAGGACTCTTCCGCTGGATGAGTACAGCAGATGGGCTCGAAACTGGCGAGACTGCGGTGCTCATGAACCTTTCGGACGAGGCATGCCTCCACCAAGCCGCCACCATCTGGAGAGATGTTCTAGAATCTGCCAATACAGAGTTCCGTGCCCATCTGTCAAGTGCATTGACGGCGTTGAAAAACACGGAATCCAATAGTCTTTTTGGTAAGTCCTTCAATCAATATTTGTGAGCAAGAAGATCGCTGATTTAACACATTGTCAAGATGCATCACCCGTGCAATATCTTTTCCAGGCCCCATCTTTGACGCCCTCCAGTCAAATTGGTTTCAAGTCGTCTCTCACAGATGAAGCTTTCGAAAGATACCGAAGTGCCTTGAAACAGCGCATTTCTTTTCGGACCCCGTTATTAGATGACGTTCTAGCGACGGTCGAGCGCAGCGCCGAGACCCTACGGAATGACTTGAAAATCGTCGTTGACGATGAGGCTAATCATGGGTAGGCACTGTTTTGTCCTTGCATAGTCAAAGAAATAATATCATCACAACAGGCATCTATCATCCAAGATGCTCGAAATGTTTCGATCAGATGTAGCAGCATTCTGCGACGATATTACCAATGCTCTTGAACAAACTGCGCAGTGTTGCTCTGGGCACACAGGTACGGCATTTTCAGCTAGTGAGAGTGCCATTCTCACTAACGAAGAAGCCTTAGAGTCACATGCCAGAGAACTTTTGTTCATTAGCAGGGCAGCGTTAGAGTTGGGGTCCGAGCCGCGTTTTGCGCACAGTCTGGGATGTGAGGCACAAATCATATCAGGTGAGTTGTTCGAATAGTTCGATATTACAATCAACTAACTTGTAACAGAACTTCAGATCAAGTTGCGCGCTCTGCACGAGCAGTTGATTGCCCACTGGAGGCGAGATACTGTTGCAGACGTCGTTCGTGAGCATTGGCACAAGACAAGCAGCGCTCCTCATGGGAAAATTGTGCAAGAACGTGAGTCATCTGATTGCATGACGGTGCTCTAACTGACTGCTTGTACTAGACATTGATTCAAGCCACCCGCGACCATCTTCCGCCCTTCTCGCCGCGCTTCTGTCACTCTCTAAATCTGTACAGCAAATTGGTACTCCGTTGGATCCCAGTCAACGAGCGCGAAATGGCAAGATGCTGCTCGTTGATTTCGTTAGTGCCACATTGGATACGTTGCCTAGCTTACAGCCGCAAGATTCTAGGCGTTATCTACAGCTGTTCTGGGACATGACGTTCTTGCGGTCCATGTTGACTCTTTGGAGTGGCAACAAACTTGAAGTAGGTGATCGGCTCCATGCGACGATTGCGGACGTGCGTCAAAAGGTACTCCCTCTCCCCCTTAAACCTTTGTCAGCTATTGCTCATCGGAAAATTACATTTCCAGCTACCAACCGAAGCCGCGTCAGACAAGGTTGAGCATACTATGAGTGAACTTTTGTCTCGACTTCAAATAGCCCTCTCAGCCCTGCTTCCGCCTGTGCCACCATCTCATCAGGTCGTTACTGCGCCTGCGAAGGGTTCGACTCCTTCGAGCATCTTGAGACCAGGGTCAGGTGCGATAGAGTCACAATACCAACCAGCTGTAGATCTCGTGAAACCCCCTCCTCGATTCGGTTTGCTATTAGTAGGAAGCTCAGCATCACGGTAATATACCCACGTTCGCCCGTCTCGCCTGCGGAGCTAGTCAATGGATCTTCTTTTTACCCCTCAAACCTTCCACTAAGTATGAGGAAAACCAATAGTATGCCGGTGAGGCACTGAAAGTATAGCAACTTACATCATAGTCCGTTCTGCAGTTCCTGTACATGTTGCCAACTGTCAATGTCTGTATCATGGAAGGCGAGTGCCCCCACGACGATCTTCCAATTTTGTGTACGGCGCGTAACCTAACACGAGGGGTGTTCGCCGAGGTAGGTGAAATGTAAATACATCTCAGCAAGTTTGTCAGACTCACCGTCAGTCTAACTTAGATATAGCATAGGGGGAATAGATATGGCAGCCTTCATCTTCAATTCAACGCCAACAGCTCCTCTATCCTTGTAAACTTACGTTGCGATCGTTCAAATGTCTTCAAGGACTGGATTCCAAAGTCGCTCGCTGGCTTCTGCAAACCAAAGTCCTGACATGCGATATCTCACTCCAGCATACCTTACCCTTCATATCATCGGTGGGCACGTCGGGCTTCCGTTGCTGGTTGCAACGCTGCTATTCTCCAAGCGTGTCCATCGTCCACCCGCAGTTATCAACCTTCTCGTTACCTGGATAGTTTTCTCTGTGTCCTACTGTTTATTGTAGGTTTTTCTCCCTCTCGGAATAGAATCTCACTCAATGACCGTAGGTTGTACACAGGACCTTTGTATAGCAGACATCCTTCATTCGCGTTATGTCTTGCACAAGCAGCCTTCATCCATGCAACCCCACCTATGTATGTCAAGACAACGCTCCCTGCCCTTGCCCTGCCTACCACTCACCCGTCCTGGGAATTTCTAGGTCTGTTCTTGCCGTGTTTGCCGTCGTACTTCAGGTGAGTATGTCCCTCGTATACAGTACGAGCTGTGTCGCCACAATGCGTTACGATAGGTCTGGCACCTTTTTCAACCTCCCTGGCATCCATGGTGGAGTTTCGTTGGACGAATTCCGCCACGTCTAAGGTTTCTATTGGTAGGTCGCGGTGTTTCCTTGGCTGTATGAAGCAATATATGAATGTATAATGTCTAGATTATTGCCCCTCCGTATGTTGCTTTCGTGGCCATCTCTCTCGCCACGATATTCGTGAGTCTCTTCCGCTGACCGTGGTTCAGAAGTTATAACACCTTACCCCGCGTGTTTAATATAGATTGGCCTAAACAACCGTCCGGCTGTCACATCTAGCCTTGGTATCTACTGCACAATCGATCTTGAAGTCTTGTAAGAGGCTCGCGCCCTTCGCTCTCTGTTGCATGCTGATCTAGTCTACCTCCGCAGTTTTGCGATACCACTTTTCTGTGCAGTCTTCATGATTCTGATCCTACTCTTCAATGGTGCGCTCTCTATGCCCATTACTTTGTATTTGACGGCACGACTCACACGTCTGTCGCTCCAGTCGGAACAATCGTACAGCACTACTGGCGGCGCCGACAAGTAAGTCAGTTGCAAATAACCCATCATACTCCCTCAATCAATGTATGGCTGCGAGTATGTGATGATCTCCACAGTTCATTGCGATCTGCCGTCTGATTGCCTCTGGGCAGGTCCTAATCTTCAACTTGTACTCTGTCGCCACCCTTGGGTATGTTCTCTATTCAGTTGTATCATATCTGCCGTACTAAGTTCCTGCAGTGCATGTCTATTGTTCCTCATCAGTGCTTCCGATCCTCTCCCATACATGATTCAGGCTGGTTGTAAGTTTGCTCTATCTTAATGCTTACCGGTTTGGACTTACGCATAAGCAGTGCCCCTTGTCGCCGTGCTGATCTTCGGGTCCCAAAAGGTGAGTTTGTTGGCAGCCCATGAGACCGTTTATTCAGCACATAAGCTCAGGATATATTCCGTGCCTGGCGCTTTTGGGGAAGGACCCAGAGTTCCGCAAACGTGCATCACCTTCAAGCTACTGAGAGCTCTGACGGTGGATGGTCTCCACATGCAGAGGCAAACCAACTGTCTTCCGTCGACGCGGTTATTGACATTTCTCGTGGACGGACGGGCGACATTGTCCGATTTTCGGTTGAAATGCGGAGTGTCACAGGTGTGCTAGAATCGCATCAGACTAAGCCTGTGGTGTAGGAATGATAGTCATTCTCCGAGCAATGACCGAATGTTGCAATGTCTCCTTGTCTGCTCGCGCACAGCCCAAGCAACCTAACAAAGAATTTCATAATCATGATGTTGATTACTTGCTCTTTCTCGGGAGTCGGAACTCTCATGTAATGACAGGTATGGTGTAAATCGTTCCCATGCGGCAGTCCTATCCATACCTGCCCATCACAAAGCTGTCCCAAGCGAGCGTAATCTCAACGCCCATCTTGTCCTACGGGGAAGGTTTCACACGAGGTCAAGAAATATCTGAGTGGGGCGGAATATCAGTGGCATGCTATCTTGGTATGGCCCGTCGGCAATACAGTGATGACGGGCATTGGCTTTACTGACCTATATTACTTGGCTAGACACCTTGAGATTAGATTCTGTTCAACTCTGGCAGCTTGACATTTTTCCCTTTCTTAAGGGCTTTGAGTCTTTACTGGACACCCTGGATTTTGTTCCCCCAATGATTGCATGGCTTCTCAGGACAGGAGCGGTTCAAATGACAAACTTCCGGACCTAAGTTATCTTTCCACTTTATTCTTCACTCTCCATATCGCCTCTGGACATGTCGGATTGCCGCTGCTGGTCATCATATTGACTACATCAAAACGGATTCGTCGACCGCCCTCAGTAATCAATCTTTGCATTACATGGATTGTGTTCTCCGTTTCGCATTGTCTGTTGTGAGTGCTTAGCATTTCGAGAACTGTTCAACTCAATGACTGTGATGACTGTATCATCTACAGGTTTTATGGGGGGTACCATGGACATTACGATCCGCCTTTCGCATTGTGCCTTGTACAGGCAGCTATGATTCATGGTGCTCCTCCCATGTACGTTTCACGTCATTCCACCCCTTTTCTTGTTCTCAGACTGTGAAGCAGGTGCGTCATCGGGGTCTTTATCCTCGTTCTCCATGTCTGGTACCTACTCCAGCCACCGTGGCATCCGTTCCTTATTTGCTATACCAATAATGTATCACCTTTCGTGAGACTTGCTTTAGTGAGTATCAAGTTCAGGATTTGTGTTCGTTCCCCGCGCCCCTTCTAATTCGTCCGGTGTAGGTCGTGCTGCCACCATACCTGGTTTTTATATCAATATGTATTGGTGTCGTCCTGGTGAGGTCATTGTGGGCCCTCTGTCATGCGTCCAGACTGAGCAGTTCCTTCAGACTGGACTATATCGACCCTCCTCTGTCGTGTCATCACTTGGGTTGTATTGCACTATTGTTGATATGGACTCTGTGTGAGACCTAACGGTGTTTCTACTCCCCTTGTCATCCTGATTGAATAAGTAAAGTTTTTCCGTTCCAGTATTTTGCGCCGTTTTTATGGTCCTGATTTTGATCTTGAATCGTGAGTTCTTCCATGATGGTCTTTGAGAGTTCCTCAATGGTGACATGGAACATTATCTTCGATAGTCGGAACGCTCGTACAGTACTGCTGGAGGTGGTATGCGCTTATGAAGGTGAATCCGTTATTCAGTAGGTCGACGTCTTTGAACATCTGGTTACGGGTAAGTTCTCTGTCCTGTCTTACGGCACTCTCAGATTCTGATTTCACGAAATGCTAGGTCTTCATCTTCAGCTTATACTCATTCGCTACCCTTGGGTATGTCGTTTCCTGTGTCGGAGATATATGGTAACGTTTACCTATAGAATGCAATGCAGCGCGTGCCTGACTCTCATATTTGACAAACGTAGTCCAGTCTCATATGTGGTCCAAGCCGGTCGTAAGTAGTTCAATTGTAAGATGGATTATGAATACCCCACTCATTAGAACTTGTAGTACCACCTGTCGCACTCCTTATCTTCGGCTCTCAGAAGGTACCTCTAGTTCACACTTCTGAGCATCGAATCATAACTGACACTGCGAGCTAGGACATGTGGCATGCAGCATGTTTCTGGAGGACTGAGAGTGCGGAGAGGAAGATGTCTGACGGAGGTTGGTCGGCCCCAGTTGATACAATCTCAACGTCAACCGTTGGAATAGAGTCCTCTATTGTTTGAGGTAGTGCAATAGAGTGAGCAATAAAATCGACAACTGCCGGCTGAACAATGTTGAGATCGAGCAGCGCATTACATGGATGAGAACATGAACATGAAAAGAACGGTATGATTTCCGATAAATAGCCTGCCATACAATACAAGAATGAGGGAATCGTGTGTCTATGCGCCGCCACTGCAACGGGACGTATGTCAGATACCTCACTGAAGAGATTGAGGGATACATACACGAGGATATTGTTTCTATACGATTCGCAGTCAGTACTTCAAGAAAACAAGTCATAAGTATTGCAGCTCACATAGGGATATGAATGAGCTTGACGAAATAGCCAAGGAATCCCATGACAGCGAAGCCAACTGCGACAGCCTTTGAGATTTGGACAAACTCTGGGTTGCAACATTTGAATGAGACTAAATTAACATTTCCACGAAGCAAAGCGTACCCTTCTGTGAAGGCTTTGTGCAACGGTTCAAGAACTGTGTTCGTATGCGTCAGAACACGATCGAGCTTCTATTAGTATAGCTCATACCTGCTGTCCATCGTGGATGAACTCCTGAGGAATCTCGATAAATTCCTTGAGTTTCTCGGACATGGTTGTGGTGGTTGTGGTGAAGAGACGTCTTGGCGTGTAGCTAGCTGCTGGCCGTCGTGAATGAGCGTCTATTGACACGTTAGGTATTCAGAGCGCTTAGCAAACCACATCCGGCGGCTACGGCAATATTTCGCAAAAGCTTCTCGTTGTGAACGTCCATTTCTCCCTCTAGTACATTGACAAGTCGGCCCTCTTTTGTGGCTTGGGAAGCTGCCTCGAGAGTGGAGGAGTCCTGTGATTATTAGAAGTTGACGAACAAAGCCGATATGTATGTTGCTTGACGTGTTCTGGAAGTCGCTGAAACCTCAATGACCTGCTGCCATACAGATCACGTATGCATGTCCTTTAAGAGGATTATCTCTGATGTTGGACACATTGGTTGGGAATCCTTTGCACCTGCTAGCCGAAGTTCGCTCGTGCGATCCATACCGCTGCAATGCATTGTCACATCTAGACTTATAACCAAAACCCGAAGACTGCTTTCGGTGCAGGCAGGGTTCTTGCCCGACGCCCATCAGAATTCGGACACAGCGGAAAGAGGCCGCATGGGTACCCTCAAGCTTCAAAATGCGCTGTCTTCCCATAATAATACCCGTGTTCGTCGAGCTGTTCTAGAGCTTTTCCGCGATTCGACGGGTTCTCAAGCGGTATCCTCTTCGAAGGATCTGGGCATCTCAAAGGCGGTCATCATGTCCACCGTGGATGTCTTATCCTCTTCCGGTCGTTCGGGGGATTTATCTATCGTAGAGGGTATTATGCAACACATGCAGGATCACTGGCGGTTGCCGGTAGACCAAGAGGTCCATGATACCATCCTCCGAAACCTTGTCAAGCACGGGAAAGCTCGTTCTACCCTTCACTGGCTATCCGACATGAGGAAAAAGCCTGGCCACTGTCTACCCACCCTTGACCAATGGCACCTTTTCCTCGAAAAATGTTGGAAAGAGGATGAAGTCAGACTAGCTCGCCGCGCCGTCTTTTCAATGCGTCGATCGGGTTGTCCTCCCTCGGAGTCCACCTTCAAACTTCTCCTCACGATTATGTTCGACTCCAAGTCTGGCCCTCCTCGACCCGATGCGCTCAAGGATATTATCTGGAAGATGCGGGACGAAGGAATACCATTCACTGAAGCACTATACAATATGGCCGTATCTAAGTACCGCGATTCTGGAGCTCTAACATCGTTAGCACGTGTGGAAGAGTTGTACCAGGAGATGTTGCAGAGACGTGAGGAGATGACGAAGGTGGAAGCGCCCACGGATGCACAATATACTCGACAAGAGGAAATTCTTACTGATATCCTCAGTGAACCTAACGGAAAGGATCGTGCTTTGAAGCTCCTCGCCGAGTACCAGAAGCGGGGCTTCATACCCTCCACCTCTACGCTCACCGCTCTGGGACGTTCGTTGTCGTCCGTGGCCGAACTAAGGTTTTGGGAGCGGCGATTGGATGTAAAGGCAAACATAGCGACTTGGGGTGCCCTCATACAAAATATGGCGCCGAAGAATATATACAACGCTATCGAAGCTTACAGAACCGCGTTACACGATGGTCACCCACCCAGCTTGCATATGCTCAGTCCCCTCATTAGTGCATTTAGCAGACGAACCTTCGGTAAACCCTCCAGAGAGTCAATCGATACAGCTCTCAAATTTCACCGTGACTATGTTACTGCACGCACTAATAATGATCTCGGCGCGGACAAGACGTTGCCTAACAACACGAGCGAGCTAACCACGTATAATATCCTTTTCCGAATGCTCTCTTCCTCCTCAATGACTTCGAAGTACTTCCCAATAGCGGTGTCTCTTTTGGAGGAGATGCACAAACGGGGCGTTGCGGTGGATGGCGCGACAACTACCTCTACCCTCATTCTTCTAATGCGAAATAGCACGAATTATGCGAACGCCTTCGACGTGTACAAGAAAGCTTTGAAGGACAAGGACGGACGTACCAGATTCGGACCCAGACAATTTGCTGCCATTTTGGACACTTTTTGCAAGCTACCCTTCCAAGAAGGTCTCACGCCCGTGCCTCTTTATTTCGAGATCGTCGAAGACATGCGGAACGCAGGCTTTTATATGACTTCAGATATCTATACCATCATCATTAGCCACCTGGCGCGTTATGTGGTAACCGTCCCTCCCGCAGACAGGGATACTCGGTACAAGGTTGCATCGGTTATCCGACGTTTGCATGACATGATCACCCTAGATGCATCATTGGTGCCCGACGTAGCTCTATGGAACTCGCTCATGGACGCCTATCAACGAGCAGGTTGCTTCCGAGATGCGTATCAGTTATGGAACACCTTGTTCATCTCTCGCAAGTTTGATCAGGCGAGCATAAGCATCATCATGGATGCATGCGCATATGCCGGGGCTGTTCGGACGGCTACAGACATCTACACCAGGTTACACGAATCCAACTACAAGCTAAACCGGCGCAACTGGATTAACTGGCTGGAGTGCTTGTGTCGCTTAGACAAACTCGGAGACGCGCTGAAATTGGTATGTCTGGAGATGGGGAAGGATGACAGAAGCATTCCACCAGACGAAGGGATCGTTAGGCTTCTGCTTCGTTTCGCTATACGGGAGAATCGTGAGGGAGAGGTACGGACGAAGATTAAATCATATTTGCCGGATCTCTGGGAGTCGCTACCTGCAGATATCCGCAACTTCTGAAACATGTAGATTCTCTAAAATGCACTCAATCTATTCGGGATTGTTACAGGATTACTTATAATACAGAGTCTATGTCGAATTTACAAAAATGAAGCGGGAGTAAGTTAGATATCTATGGGACAGGAACGATGCACGCAAGACGGTTGAACGTGGAAGCTAAGGTGAATTGTCTGTTGAACATGAATCATGATTTCACGCGGAGGCGGTTTCCTCTACGGAAGGGCAGTCGCACTATGAAATAAACTGTAAGTTAGTAGATAAGACAATCGAAAAGACAGCATTACTTACAATGAGGTTGATGTCACCGTATGCTATTATGACAATGAGTCAGTCACTGTGTATGAAGCTTTCAAGATACATACCGTCGTCAATTCTAGCAACGGTTGGCCAGAATTTCTTTTCCTTGAGCCAAAGGGCGGGATATACTGCCTTTTCACGAGAGTAAGGTCTACAATTCCACACGTCATTAACTGATCGTCAGCTATAGAGAAGCTGAAATACTCACTTGTTCCACTCTGCCTGAGTCAGGACAGCAATAGGGTGAGGAGCGTTCTTGAGAACATTGTTATCTTTGGGCTGCTTGCCGGAGATAATCTCGTCGGCTTCCTTTCGTATTTGGATCATAGCGTCGCAGAATCTGGAACGAGTATGAGGCGGATATAACCTAAGTTCCGGCAAACGAGGGTCATTACCTGTCGATCTCATGCAGAGATTCGGACTCAGTGGGTTCGATCAGCATGCAAGTTGAGATTGGCCAAGAGCAGGTAGGTGGGTGGAAACCATAGTCCTATAGTTGCTCATCAGTATGCTTCGATTTCAAACCTGACCTGCAGCTGTTGCTTACCTGGAGACGCTTAGCGAAGTCCGTGACCTTCAGACCGGCTGCCTTATCAAATTCCGCAAGATCAATCAACAACTCGTGAGCAACACGTCCGTTGGCATTCTTGTAACGCAGACTGTAGTAGTCCTTGAGACGATGAGCCATGTAGTTCGCGTTCAGAAGAGCAGCCTTCGTTGATTCAGACAAGCCGTTTCCGCCGAGCATCTTGATGTAAGCCCAGGAGATCAGGAGAATAGAAGCACTACCGAACTGAGCAGCAGCGACAGCCGAGATCGCCTTGTCACCGCCAGTGGGAATGACAGGGTGACCGGGAAGAAATGGAGCCAGATGTTCCGCAGCGCAAATAGGTCTAAAGTGCGGATTAGCATGGGGTGTCGGTTCTTGAAATGAGATTCTTACCCAACGCCAGGACCTCCACCTCCATGAGGACTGAGAGAATTGACGAATCAACAAAATGATAAGAGAAGAATATGGATATCCACTCACATGGCGAAAGTCTTGTGCAAGTTCATGTGGCAGACATCTCCGCCACACGTGGCAGGGTTCGTCAAACCGATTTGCGCATTGAGGTTGGCACCTTGATATCGATCGGATGTAAGCCGTCCGTCCACCGCAATTAAACTGAACGGAACTTACCGTCCAAATATACTTGACCACCGTTGTCATGTATGATCTTGCAAGCCTGTGGTAGTCCGGTCAACGAGGGCACACATTCCGTGAGAGAGGCTAGCTTACATCCGCTACACCATCTTCGAAGACACCGAATGTCGATGGATACGTGATCTGAGAAGACGATCAAACAATGATAAATGCAGTAAAGACGATTTCCCGTACCATAAATGCAGCTAAGTTATCCTTGTACTTCTCAGCCTTCGTCTTGAGATCTTCTAGGTCTAAGCTACCATCAGGAAGCGACTTGACGGGAATCACTTTCAGGCCAGCCATGTGAGCAGACTACAAACCCCCATCAATGTCACTCGAAAGTTGTTGGAAATGCAAAGAGTTACTCACGGCAGGGTTCGTTCCATGTGCACTGACGGGAATAAGACAGATATCACGGTGACCTTCGCCTCGGGACTCATGGTAAGCACGGATGACAGACAAACCCGCATACTCTCCAGCAGCACCAGAGTTCGGTTGCAGTGAGCAAGCGTGGAAACCAGTGATCTTGCAAAGATCCGCCTCGAGTTCCTGTGATATCATTGGTAAAGATCGACGTTGCATTATCAAAGCGACACAGCACAAACCTTGATGATTTCAAGATATCCCTCGACTTGATCAGCGGGAGCAAAAGGATGTACCGAACCAAACTCAGGCCATGTGAGAGGAATCATGCTACTCGTGCTGTTCAACTTCATCGTACAACTGCCGAGAGGGATCATCGAGTGAACGAGTCCCAAATCCTTTGATTGCAGGTGGTAGATGTATCGAAGCATCTCAGTCTCTGAATGATGAGTGTTGAAGACGGGGTGCGGTAGGAACTGAGAAGCGCGTTGCAGTGGCAACGGAACGGCCAAAGATTCGACGGGAGTCAAGTCCGAGACGACGGTAATAGGGGAAGAACCGGTGGCCGAGGTGAACACATTGATGAGAGCGACGACATCTTCTGGGCTGACACTTTCATCCAAAGTAACACCCACATGCTTGTTGTCAATCCTACGCAAGTTGATACCAGAAGCGGCGGCGGTGGCATGAATGGCTTCAGCATCCTTCGCAGCACCGGAGACGTCGATCGTCAGGGTATCGAAGAATTGCTTGTTGACAATAACATATCCACGTTGTTCGAGGGCCGACTTGAGAACCTGGGTGAGAGAGTGGACCTTACCAGCGATGCGGCGCAGCCCAACAGGACCGTGATAGACTGCATACATGGCAGCCATGTTCGCCAGAAGAGCCTGACTCGTACAGATGTTACTGGTAGCCTTCTCACGACGGATATGCTGTTCACGAGCTAAAAGAATGACATAAGGGACGAAAATATGAACGTTACATCGAAAGTAACCTACTTTGGAGAGCTAGCCTGTAAGCAGGCTTGCCAAGAGCATCCCGACTTCTGCCAATCAGCCTACCAGGCATCTTCCGCTTGAGTTTGTCAGAGCAAGCAAAGAATGCACCATGAGGACCACCATAACCAGCAGGAACACCGAATCGACCAGAGTTTCCAACAACGACGTCGGCGCCCCATTCACCCGGCGGCTTAAGCAAGGTCAGCGCCAGCAGATCGGTGGCGCAAATGACAAGGCCGCGGGAAGCATGCGTCAAGTTGGCGAGGTTGGTATAGTCCGCGATATCGCCGTTTACGTCTGGGTACTGAACGAGAACGCCGAACAGGTCGGCGAAGGCAGACTCGTCCTTGAGTTCTGAAAGCGCGTCGCCGATAACCAATTCAATACCGAAACCCTTTGCTCTTGTCTGAAGTACAGCAATCGTCTGAGGCAAGACACCTTTGTCCACGAAGAACTTGTGCTTCTTTTGTCCAGCCGAAACGAACGCCAGAACCATTGCTTCCGCGGCAGCGGTGGCTTCGTCCAACAGAGACGCGTTCGCAATATCCATGGCGGTCAAAGACATGATCATCGTCTGGTAGTTGATCAAAGACTCCAGACGACCTGCGAGACGGTCAGTCCGACATTATGGAGACAAGGCAGGAGAGCGTACCCTGAGAGATCTCAGGTTGGTACGGGGTATATGGGGTATACCAGGCCGGACTTTCCATGACCTACGGCAAGTCAATGCTCTGAACATATCACCAGAAGTCTGGTGGGTATTAGCTCACGTTTCGCAAGACCACCGGAGGTACTACGGCATTGTGGTAGCCCATACCGATGTAGCTTTTGTAGCTTTTATTCAGTTGGGCGAGCTCTCGAGCGCGTTTCTGCAACTCAGACTCAGACAGGGCGGGTATGCTCTGGTTGGAGATGCTCGACGACGCAACCCTGATCTTGTCTGGTACGGTGTCTGTGACGAAGGCCTCCATGGTGTCATAACCAAGCTGCGACAGCATATAAGAGAGTTCATTGTCATCAGGGCCAATATGTCTGTTAGCAAACGTGTCTAGACGAGAAAACAAAGACGAAGGTTTCTTCTGTGTCGCAAGACCTCTAACGAAGAGTCGGGTTAATACAGGGGCATGTCGACCGAACTTTAGTATGTTGGCAGGCGCGGAGACACAGCGGGTAGCCATAGCCCGGCTGGTCTGTAAGATGAAGAAAGGGATTGTAGGAAGAACATCGTCTGGGGCGAAAAAATATGATCTGGTATTCACCGAGCCATTCACCGAGTAAGACCAAGCTTATCGCCTCCTACGTCGAACACCAACTTTTACATACTCCTCACGAGCCCGCCAATAATCATGCCGTGGGAATATGACTGTTTTGATGGCTCGCCCGATATGGATACTCTTCAAGTTCATCTCGCTTGCTCTCCGTCTTTCCTCAAGCTAGAAAGCATCTATCCTCGATAAAATCACTACCCAGACGAAGCAGAGACATCGTATTATGCTTCTATTCAACCTTGTAGCTAGAAAATGTAGTCTATCAAGGCGGGAAGTACAATTCCAATTTATGGAGAGTAACCGAGCCAGCCTAGACTTCCGTGAAAAAACTTTTTCACCCAGTACTCGGAACTCCTCTATGTTCCGTCAGCGTGGGAATCCCGCCTGCTCCTAATCAAGGTCCCCGACGACCAAAGAAGGCATTGCTTTACTGTAAAGGTTAAAGCTTTAAAGCGTGAAACCTAACCGCTCGACGTCATCGATAATCCACACCGAACGTCACAAGTTTTATGCAGAGCAGATTATTTACAATATTATGTGCAAGGTACAGAAACCTCTTATCTTCAACACTTCATCTATCTCAGATTCCTCCGTTGTTGCCAGCAAAGTTGGTGATACTTAGGCGATATCGTTGTTCTAGAGAACGATAAGCAGATATACTGAACAAGGTTGAACGAAGATCATCATCATGTACCACCTGTGAATGATACCCACGCCAAGCCGGGGAATCTCAAGACGAGCACAACATCCTTCAAGACGCGCAACAGCAGGAAGACCGAGATGTATCGTCCGGGATCGTCCGACTCGTGGCGACCAGCAGTAGACATGATTTCCAGTTCCGAACTGCGAACATGATAGCGTTTCTGTTGGCATAATCGAAGTATGAGGTGCTTGAGTTTGCCTCTAGGGTAGAACCAGAATATCTGCAAGCTCCTTGAGATGCATTCCGGGCGTCAGGCCCATTAGAGTTGACATCACGTAGTTCCATCCAGGCCAGCATCTACCATCTCCGTGATCCACTCCATGAGGGTCTCATCTCGTATCCGGACGCCTTCCAGGAGGTGCCTGACTCCAGTGAAGGCCTTTCTTCCCCGTCGTTCCCCTCGTTTCTCGCTGTCAGACGCTCCGTTCGTCAACTCTTCATCCTCTCCTGTATCCTCAATAATACCGGGGAATCCGAAATGATCGTCGTCCGCTCGTGGTGCTGCCTCAGCTGACGCAAAAGCTACGCGAAACAGGACTCGAATACAGAGTAACGCGGTGAGGGCGTTCGAGGGAGGATCCACAGAGGGTTGTTTGTACGTGATGGTAGCATCGCGGACGGGAGGTACAGGCCGACTTGTAGGGTTCGATATTGGATTCGGAAAGCCTTCTGAGGGTAGAGTGATCCTGTCTTGTTGTCCAGGTTGCAACGGGGCTGGTTGAGAGCTTGGCAAATGCGTTAGGACGTGTCCGCGCAAGTGACTCTTCGGAAGAGGGGGATGAGTGCACGAGGACCAGGTACATGGTAGTTCCGGATCCGGATGCGCATCAATATGTGCGGCCAAGACATGTTCGTATAGCTCGCCAGCAGAGGCGAACGTCTCCGTTGTACATTCAGAACGGTCCCAACGACATTTGAATTTATCTGCGTCTGACCGCACTTTACGGCGTTCAACACCGCGTACAATGAATCTCTGCGGTGGGCCGGGAAGGACCATGGCATGAGCTTGATCGAACACTGCATTAACGTTTTTGATGACATCCGAGGCCGCGAGAACCGGGTAACGTTCTTTGTGAAAGTAGAATGCTTCCCGGTATGCATTCCAAACTTCGACCTGTGTCAGCTCGCCATCAGGTCGCGCATCGAACATTATTTTCATCCTAGTCGAGAAAACATTAGCTCGAATGAACAGTAAATATGTTAGGGCACTCGCCATTCATAACAGCGCTGTGGCTCAGGTATTGGCAAAAGTCTCTCCAGTTCTTCCTGACTTAGCTCGTAATCTTTGCTGGTTTCAGCGACAGCCGGGGCGGTATGTACAGGACCAGCAATGTTGATGGAGATGGTCTCCTCGACTTGCTCAGATAACATTATAATGACGAGCAGTTTCAAGGTGGAGGCAAGTTCAGGGTGGAGCAAGAATGCTTTTGTCATAGGCGGATGCGACAAGTGTGTATAAAGATAGTTCAAACATGTTTCCACTAGCAGTTTATCCGATAATAAGGGAAGATACCTGATGGCTGCAGAGAGTGCGGGAGTGTCGGGTGTCAAATGCGCAATGTTTGCTGGGTTCGCCATTTGAAGCATTAGGGTGCGAAGTGAAGAGATGATCAGGCTGCGGTCGGATGCTGTTGCTGCAAGTGTTTGTAAAGGCGGTACGGGGTTCGCGAGAAGGGGTGAATCCGGCGGAGGGAGAACGAGAGTCCCCGATATTTGTTGCAGCAGCTCCACGATATAGGTCAAGAATTCCGTATTAGCATCGGAGTCGGGCTTCATTCTGTGCAGGGCCAGAAGAATAAGAGAACGTGTCCGAGGATGGGTGGCAAGTTCTACTGCATTTGCGTCATTTACGGCCGAGTTCTTGAGGATGAACATCGCTTCTAGTGCATGCCGCCTATGTTTTTCTAACGTCTTCGGCAATGCGAACAACGACGCCTTCTTTGCACACTCCTCTGCACCAGTGCCCACGAACCAGTCCGGCCATACGAAAAGAGCATCCGTGAGTCCCGGGATTGCAGCTAAAACGAATTGCTCGTTATTACATAGTCGGCATAACCGATCCAAAGCCCATGAGATTTCGCTGTCGATCCCTGACCGAAGGGACAGAAGCATCCTATTGCTTGGTACATTCTCGGTGTACCACCCTATGCAAAGTACTCCTCAGCTAACAGAGTAAGATTGAATCGGGACAAAGGCTCACTTTCATAGTCGTCCGTAATGGTTGGCCGATGCTGTGCAGCGTAGGCTTGAGATTGCTGGTAAGATTGTTGGTAAGATGTGGTCGGGGCAGTAGCCTGCCGGCCAATGTTCGTCTGAAAGACGGATGTCATTTTGTCCGAATTGAGAGGAAAGAAACAGAAACCGCCTCGCATGAACGCGTCGCGTCAAGCGCTTATGTAAGCGCCTGCTTTGACCAATGAGCGCCTACCGTGATCAAAGACATAAGGATCACTTTTCAAAGGAATCCTATTCAGCTACGCACGGCGCACGAAGTTAGATAGAAGGATACGAGGGAATCAGTCTATTGTACAGATATTTATCACAAGTACAACAACAAGGTCCATATCTATTGTCCGAAAAAAAAGTCCAAATAACCCATATTGGTATCCTGGTGAGTCATTGCCTATCTACCCGAGGAACTCTTCCATGCATCCAATAAGTTCGGCCCAGAAACTATCAACCACATCACCTGCAAAACCATTCTCATCGTAACCTAAACTGACCCATAGCTTCCCAGCGAAGGTATAACCGAACAACAGCATGGCCCCATGACGTTGTCGGGACCCGGTAGTCAAAGTGTGCATTCGAATGGATGGAAAGTTGGCATGCTTGTATATCCCGTCCAAGTTACCAAGTAGCGATAGACCCAGAAGAGCGGTCGACGATGATTCAGCACGCGCAGGAAGGACGGGCTCAAGAGGCGGCGATGAGGTGGAAGGGGGACATGGAGGTGTCCATGTTCCTTTCTCCTTCTCATCATCTTCTTTCCCCCAGCGCCTCGCCCGTTTGCCCCTCTCTCTCGCCATTTCGTGAGTTCTGGAAACAACCAGGGGGTGTTTGGCGGCCACAGTGCTCTGTTCCTTCGCTTGCCGTGCACGATGCCAAAAGATCGCCTCCACCTTGTCCCCATCCTGAGGGAGGAAATTCGGGAGGATCACGTTGAAATATCCGATAGCGAGGAACCAGTAGGAGTCCCAGGGCGAAGGCTGCTTTACAGTGAAATACGGTCGCAGGTTCAAAGCCGAATACATCATGATGGGGAGTTCTTTCCGCCCACCACCCATTCGCGCCCAAGCGACATTGCAGACTGCAAATAGTGCTGCCGATATTGAAACGCCATTCGATTTACATTTCTTGAGCATTGCTTTGGTGCGGTCTGTAGGGAATGACACAGTGGGAACGACAGTGTGACGCTCTGGGTGCTTGCGGCGCGGGAAAACTTGCCCGCCTACGAGCTCCTCTTGGGACATCAAGAAGTCTACACGGGCCGCCGCCCGACGTATCCTGGTCCACTTGACGGGCATATTCTCCTCTAAAGATCTCGGCAGAATTGAAGTCTGGCATAGATTAAATGTTAGAACGCGGAGAAGAAATGCCGAATAGTGGAGCTTACATCGTGAGCAGGACTACCCCAACGCATCTCCCATTCGTCGACCAGTTGGAGCTTCAGCTCAGAGTCTGATTTCTCACTTCCGAGCAAGCCGAAGAAATCATTTGCAAAGGCATGGAGAGCCATTCCGTCGCCCAAGAAGTGCATTGCACAAATAAGAATATCATGTTGCTTGTCTTCGGGGCGTTCGACGGCAGGTTGCAAATCAGTTGCTAACTCCTCGGCAGAAGTAGGCGTGAGAGGTGGTGTCGGGATGGAATGAGACGATGGAGAAGAGACGATGAGATACGACAGCCGCGAATTCGAGAGTGTTCGGGGACCATTCAAGTACGAATCAATCAGAACTGCGAGCCAAAGTCATCAATGAAGGGAACTCTCTCCAAAGCAACTGCACGTACCATCCTTGGAATGATCTCTGTATTCCAGGTTTGAGTTCGCGTCGGCAAGAGCATCGTCAACATTTGTTGGTGCGGAATATCTTTGTGTCGATCAGCATGAATGGAAGATGTCAAGGATGTGGCGCTTAGGCGCTTACACGAATCGAACATCATCATAGTCGTGCATCTCGACGGTTGCTGCGAGCAACGGGTGTCTGAGGCGCAGTATAGCCCATACTGTTGCAACTCGAGAACGCCTGACGAATTGCTCAGCAGCACGGAATCCCAAATGAAGATACCTTCAGAGGACAAGACAGACCATTGTAAGGATGATATTCGTGAGGATACTATGAAGCGCACGCACATATCATTCACTCCGGACTGACGGGAAGGCAGGAAATAAGATAGCTCGGTATCCCCCATCTTGCGTTCATATCGCAGTTGAGGGTTCGAGAGCTTGCTGAGAACGTCGGGGAGATGACAGAACAAGCGAGGTGACTGTTCATCGTCGCTAAGGGGAGGAGTAGGAGGAAGAGGTCGTTCTAATTTAATGGACGCCATCTTGGCAGACAGGACCAAGACACAGAGTGGGTAGGTAAAAGCAAGGGTGCCATGGGCCTTGACTTCATGTCACTGAATAAAAGAAAGAGTACAAGGTACCCACCACACGATCAACACAAGCTACCCACCGCTGTCTCAGTTCATTTCGGAGCGTTCGGCAAGGGGCGAATACAACGGACAGTTGACGGACGGCCGCACATGAACCGAAGAATCACTGCATGAAGTCGTACTAGTCATGTATCATGGACCGCGTCTCGACAGATTCGAAGAACCTGATCGAGCAGGGAGCTATTTCAGAACTAATCCCACGGACAGTCAACGCCGCAGGTGGGAATAAAGGGATTCAGGAGAAGAAAGGATCGGTGGGCTATCGGTAATTTCGCCGCATTGAAGGGCACCAGACAACGTGCAGGCCCGTGACATACGTCAGGGTCTGATATCTTGGCTTGCGTTGATTTAACCTACAGCTAACACTCGCGGGGCTTGAGTTGAGATGGGTCTACCTATATACTGAGAGCGTTAGAAAGTGCCTTCACCCTAAGGTCCCTGCAAGTCCTAGGAATTCCGATCGAGAAGAAACAGGGCGGATGGAGTGAAACGAGCAGAAACCTAAGTTGGATCACTTACTTCTTCAGGTGTTAAACGAGCTGCGTCAAAATCTGTCTAAGAAAAGACACAGGAGTGCCGGCCGTGACATCGGGTCCGGCTCTCGAATAGACGTCCGACTCCAAGTGAGGTTTGGGGGGACCGCGGGGAAGTGAATCATTAGGTGCAAGCGATACGCCTATGTGACATTCTCTCTAGAGTACCTGGCGAAGGTACAGTGGCGTTACGCTGACATGGCACCAGAATTCGGAGCCAGTATGACAGGATCATAATGGCTGACAATGCTGGACGGTGTGAGGTTCACCGTACGTGAGTGACGCCTCGGGTACGAGTAACCCTCTTCCCCAACAGACATACAGTCAGCTGCTTCCAGTGAGATAGCGTGCACTGACAAAAATCAATCAGAACACATGTACACGCTGCAAAGGGTATTCTGGGCCTCCCTGGACATTGCAGAAGTCAAAACGGTGAAAGTAGTCGGTAAGAAGGGATGGACTCGAAGAGCGCTGGCATTGTGACAGCGGCGCTAAAAGCCTAGCAATTCCCACCAAGAAACTCAGGCTGCACACAATCGAGTCGTATGTCCTGCATGTCCAATTGTACCATTGAAGGATCATCCGCCGTATTGCTTACGTCGCAACAGATCTCTCTACCCACACAACATGTCCGTAGCATATGGTCCCAAGTAATCTACACAAGATCCCGAGTGTCCGTTCAAAGTCCCTTGTCATTCAACGAAGTGATTTCATCAACGTCAGGACATACGGCGCACGTATGTCTAACCAGTCTGATGAGGCGTATTAACGTCGATTGGTCGTAGATTGGTATGTGTCAAGAAGAGATCAAGTCCCCCGAGTCGTCCGCAAATGCTTTCAATCCCTCTCACTAACACGCTTTTCATCCGCCTCCCACATGATTGTCGTCTCTTCGATATCTTTAACTCTATTGGCCTCGATATCCGTTGGTTTGGTCCTAGGCACACTTGGCCGGGCCTGCGCGGTTTCAACGGATTTAACCCAGGTGTAGTACATTGTTCCCAGGAGAATTACCAGAATAGACAGACCGCGATTCCTAGGGGAAAAAGATAGTCAACTCGTAGAGTTCCGAAATCCGAAATGAAGAGATGAACAAGAAGAAGCGGCGTCATGATTCGACGTCAAAGCGTAACAGCCAATCATGCGGACTTGAGTTGAAAAGTTTACTCACAGGGTGAGAAGATCATTGAAGAGCCATACACCGAGGAGAGTCTGGAGCACTGAACGAGCTGCCTGGATATGGGAAAGAAGCACGGAGAGAAGGACAAAAAATGTGCTATTAGAATAATGCCGACATTATGGACAGAAGGATCCTTGCTCACGCTGGAGAACATATGGGTGATAGGACTGGTGACCTTGATGCTGAGCAAGCCGGCCACGCAAAGCAGGAATCCGAAAACGCCGGTAATGAAGCTGCCCCATGCGAACACGTTTCCGTTCCAAGACGGAGTGCGAATGAGCTCGAGCAACCTTAGATGTTCACCCTGGATGAGTATGAATGGTGCCAGGAAAAGCGAAGACCCAAGATTTTGCCAATAAGCCAGCTGAATGGTGGAACTGTGAACATGCGGCAATGAACTCTTAATCAACACCGCGTGAACTGCGATGAAAAGTGACGAGACCACTCCATAGAATATGGAGATACCGCTGGGGGCCGAGGCCATTTGTCGGACATTTTCCAAAGACTCAGGCGCCACACCCACGAGAAATCCAAAAGTGACGACGATGGCCGCCAGGATGACGCGAATAGATGGCAGGCTACTGGTGCTGGCTGAGGACACGAAAATGGTAAGAGGTAAAACCAGTCCTCGGGCGATCTAGGATGATGATTGAGAAAACGGCGTTGAATTGCAGTGAAGTCTTCGTACCTGGAAGAACGAGGCTTCCACTCCACGCAAGCAAAGAATGTTGAATACCAACCCAATCACGTTGACCAACGTGACAAGCATCAGCTTCTTGGCAGTCTTTAACTCGAGCTGAGGTATTTCAATCTTTGGAGTGATGAAAGCCCCTGCATGCAATAAGACCACAGCCAGGATGAGCTGAATCAAGAGGAAGAGTAGAGGCAGATCAGGCGACGAGTTGAGAACTGCCTTGTTACTATCCACCAGGGTCTGAACTTCAGTATTATCCTTGCTTGAACGTAGGAGAACTTACACGAAGACCATCTGTACAGGGCGTCAGTGCCATCTGGGTGTGCGGGACGTTGTTATGTACTAACCACAAGTGCTGCACCCATGTAAAAGGCAACGACGCCAGCGACCTTCAAAGACTGCTTCACATCGTCCTTGCTTTGGTGATCCATGATACAGTCTACAGTCGTGTAAGAGAGAGGATGTAAGCAACGAAGGGAGGGATCAGAGCTCTCGGAAGACAGTGCTCGTCGAAAAGATCGACATTAAAAGATCAGGGGAATCTATCAGAAGCGCGTTCGTTCGAGGTGGTAAAACGGACATGAGGAAAGGGGCCGCCCGCAGTGACGTTCAGAACTCACAAATGCCGAGAAACGGCGAAGGAAGTAATTCAATCAGACAGCCCGATTCACAACGCGAGTTCGGAATTCCAGCCCACAGAAGATACGGACCGAGATCCCTAGAGTTGCGGAAGTAGTGGCAGGGTGGGGGAAATGGCCATTAGTGCAATCGACATCGATATCAGGTGGTGTGCATCGATGAAGAGTGCAATGACAGTTCGACGGTGGTACTTAACAACTATCCTTGCAACTATCAATCGCACACCGTTTGGTTTTGGATGGACAATGTTCTGTCAATGCTGTTTCCAAGCGTTTAGATTACGTTCGAACAGGAACGCAGCTGGACTAAGTGGAGGTTGGACTATCGATAGTGGGCTGACTTGAATAGATATTGGTGGCGTTTACAACGCCTCGAGGCGAGACGGAGGCTGCAAGGAGGCTGAAGCGAGGAGTGACGGAGAGTCACAGCCGTGCTAACATGGCAATTAAAGCGTTATGTTTCTGTCACAAGCATGGCCGAAGGTGGTCACAGCCTCGATCAGCGATCATGGAACTGGCGGCTTGTGAAACAGCGCCTTGCAAGTGAACGCTGCTTGCGCGGTGGAAATTTCAATATTAGTGTCTATCATGGCAGTTTTTGACATCCCGGACACTCTATCTATCGCGTCGTTACGAGCTAAGTACGAACTTATTCTTTTCCTTTCCCCTCACCATCGCCCGCGACGATGAAGGGTCCAGCAGTTGACCTCCCTGGTCATGCTCGCTCTGAGTCGATCGTGCCCTTGCTCCCGTTTGCTGAGCATTCGCGCCCTTCCACTCCCTCTTCGGCGACCTTTCCTGCGAAGCAAAGCTATCGACAGCCTGTCGTTGATGTTCAACGTCGGCGACTCGTGTTTCTTGCGGGGGCGATCCTGTCCGTCGTGTCCGTCGTGGCGCTCGCTATGCTCACCGTAGGCCGTTCATCCTCAGGTTCGACCTATGTCGTCTCCGACCTTGAGGCACCGGCCGTTCCAACGTCATCCACCAGCGACATACCGCTCTATGACAATGAGTCATCGCCCGTTCAATCTGCTCCCACAGCAGGGTCCTCCGAGGCAACCCATGAGATTGTAGACGAGGAACTACCGTCTCACTCGCCGTACTTGCTTGGTTTTCCGACAGACAGTTTCAGAGATAACCTCAGAAATGATACCAAGTACATCACTTCGTGGATTTCAGCTGGATGGAGTGTGTTCTCTTCTCGCTATCATATACACACGAAATGTACTGATTCACGGGCCTTTCTTTGCAGATAACGACGTCATGACCTACGCTAATCTGATTTACCTCGGCCAGATTGCTGACCGTGTTCCCATCATTGGGATGTTCACTCCTTCTCACATTGGCGGTGATGCGCCGCCCATCTCCTTCGGCGAAGTGTTCAACGTCTCTCGTTTCATCAAAGATTCAGGCACACCTATAGTAGAATGGGATGAAGTGAAAAATCCAGAAAGCGAAATCCTCGATGATATCGGCTGTTGGAATATATGGGAAGCTGTACAATACTACGAACACTATCCTAGAGGAAGCGTCGTTCCAGATTTGGTTGGACTTGGTCTGTGTGCACTTTGAAAGCTTATCGCAGCCTTCTAACCCGATGCTCCATTACTTTTAGATATTTCTTACACGCGTGCACCCGATTGGCTCAAAATGATTCCTAATTTTGAACATAACAAGTGCAGCACGTTTTGGAATCTGGCTCGTTTGGCTTATCCAGAAGACCGTAATCAGAGTTTAGGCAATACACTTCCTTCTCCTCAACATGAAGTTATTCTTGAACCGGATGAACATCTGCTTTGCTATGACTACTTGTACTATGCTTGTGCAGCGCAGGTACGATAATATTTCAATTGCTAATGTTCTTGACTCATAGACAGTACTTCAGGAATTTGAATTCGAGCATGACTATGCCCCAGCTTGGAAATATGTTGCTAAACACTTCCGTTGGTCTGATCGAGTTGAAGACGTTACAGCACTCTATTTGAAGCGCGTCTTTGGTCTGTCTGAAGATGATCCAGTACCTCCGGTACGTCATGATTTCACCGAAACATCATTTCGGCGTTTTCATGTCCTATCTTTTGCTACAGTACATTACTATTCACGTTCGTCACGGTGATTTTGGTGGCTGGTGCTGGGAAGCCGAGCAACCTGAAGATTGCTTCGCTCCGCTACCTGTCATTGCCCGCCGCGTCAGGCGAGTGTCAATGATGCTCCAAGCAATTCATTCATGAAGTTTAACTCTATTATTTCCCATATATAGGGAAGTTCAAGCTGAAATTCGCGAGCGGAAGGGTATTGACATCCCGATGTCAAGAGTCATTATGACTAGTGACGAAAAGGACGAAGGGTGGTGGAACGAGGTCAAATCCTATGGCTGGGTACAGATGGACCATACCGAACAGAATACTGTTGAAAATTACGGACGATGGTACGTCATTGATCACCTACAACCCTTTTAAGCTCAGGCACATTCTGATACTCGTGTATCGTTTTGCGTTCTCCAAGGTATCCTGTCATTCTGGATGCTGCGATCCAATCCAATGGACTCGGCTTCGTAGGTACCGACCGCTCTACCTTCTCCGTCTTATCCAAGCGTCGAGTGCAAGATTGGCACGATGGCGCGACGCGCATGGTTAAATGGGGCAAGAAGGACGCCGATGCGCATCGTAAACGCATGCTGATGGAAATCCCTGAATGATCCCTCTTTTTGGTCGATGCTGGTGTATTCTTGACATATCTACGGACTGCTCTGCCCGAGTTGAATAATCCCATGGACTTTGTTCGTACTATAGCATTATCTATTCATTAACCTTCTTAGACTGAACCTAGACCTACCTCCTCCGTATGTTCATATCTTGCTCTACCAGTGCTGTATATACCACATGCTGTATCATACCTACCTTGTTGTCGCACTCGTTGGAATTACATTCATTTCGTTCTTGCAACCCCACATATTAACGTTTACCCGGTTGCTTGTCCCACATACGATGATGCAATGCATATAGTTAGCTGGGCGCCAGATCCTTTTGAAGCTCTTCAATCTCGACTCCGAACATGACAATACCAACCTTTCCTGTAGAAATCTACTCAGAAATCCTAAAGCACATTCCAACCACAGATGATTCAGGGGTAAAGCTGCTTCTAGCGTTCCTTCAAAGTAACTCTCGTCTCCGAGCTGCAGCCCTCGCTCCCGAAGTATGGGAACCACACTATCACGCTCGGTACGTACATAGTGTGGAGGAGAGAGAACGGCAGCGTAGAGACGCTGCAGGGAACAACTGGAGACAACTTTACATACAGAGAAGAACTCTCGACCGCAAGGCCCTGCAGTCACTTGATGAAATTCGTAAGGATCGCAGAGATAGACATAACAAGGTTGCGACTATCACCGACTTCTCTTTCGACATCTGGGATGCGATTAGACAGGAGTCAAGGATTCCTATTCCCCTTTGTTTCCGAGGGTCATATGGTGAACAGGATGAAAGTGCCGTTCCTCCGGATGCGTTGCCTCGACAATTTTGGGCGAATACGATCCTTGGTGTCATTGCAAGACGTCAGGCTGTTGGTATCTGGGGACGTACGTTTTCTGAACAGGGGGACGTTCCGTTTGAGGAGGCTTTGGCTAGTCTTTCTTCGGTGTATTCTGTATCTGTCAAAGAGGTACGGATCTCTACATATGATGAGATATATTTTCTTAAGGATGTCGCAGATCACTGTAATGCTAGATGATATATTCGAACATTGTAAACAGGAGCTACAGAAACTGGCAGTCTGCTTGGACCCCAATGATTCTGCCTATGACCTTTGGGAGCTTTGTATTCAGATTCGCTCAGTTCTTCGTGACATGGGCTTCAGAGTTGCAAATAGTAAGTTCTGTGATTCAGTCCTCAGGCAGACTGGGTATGCTTATAGTATTTTGTTACAGGTCATCGGTTCAGTCGGTTGTTTTCTCAATTCCCGCACTCCTTCCTGTTGCCAGGGCACAGAGACACAATCCCCATGTCCCTCATATACGTCTTCGTGTCGATATGCACGCGACTTGGTATCAACGCTTCTCCTGTTAACTTCCCTGGATCCGTCCTGGCGCATGTCGCTTCCTCGGACGGGAACATACTATTCGACATGTGCTCCGCACGGCGCCCATTGAGAACTTCCAATACAGCAGACTTGCAGTCTTTTGTACGCAGCCAAGTTGGCGGCGCAACCGTGACGGTTCTTAACGAGGAATCAACTGGTCCTGCAGACTCTGCCACGATGCTCTCACGGGCATTCAATAACATAATGAGTTTCATCCGATTCGAGAGAATGCACGACGAAGATCCTGCTTCTTTGGAGAGACGCGAAAAATCATTCTACCTCATCACGCTTTGTCGATTATTATTCATTCAGAATCAGTTCGATGGGCTACTCCCTTCGCCTCCGCACACGATGCCTTTGGATGATCGTGCCGTGATCTTGGATGTGCTCGCTCCCCTGCTTCCCGAGCACATACGCAGCCCTCTGCAGGATGCTTGTGAGGAACGTCTTCGAGATGCAGCGGTCAAATCAACCAAAGTGTATTCTCGAAAGGATGTTGGCAAAGTGGATTACTTTGTTGGACTGTGCTTCCGACATACTGAATTCCAGTATACCGGTTGTATATTCGGATGGGATGTGAGTGAATACCAATATAACGATGCGTTTAGTCCTAATTTGTCAGGCGACTTGCAATGCTTCGGAGGAGTGGATACGAGAGATGAAAGTGGACCGCCTCAAACACGGCCGCGACCAACCTTTCTACGTTGCATATGCCGACGACGCACATAGCCGATGTGGGTGTTCATATCCTCTTCGTATGGAGGAACTCCCAATGACACGTAGTTTACGCTTCCCACAGACGTTGCACAGGAGAACATCATTCCTGTAGTGCCTTCTGAAGCTGATTTGCGCCGACTGTATCTCTCTCGCTCTGCATTCGGACGTAATTTTACTGGGCTTGCTGATGATGGTCTAGCGCATCCGGGACGATTGTCTATGTCTGATGAGATGAGAGCTGTATATCCAGACGATGATGATTTTGGTAGGAAGTGGGTACAGGAAAACCGTAATTGGGAGTGGTACGTACTTACACGATGACGCACACCACTTTGATAGAATACTGATTATCATAGTGTACAAGTCAGAATCAGGAGAAATTCAAGTCACTGACGACATAGACTGCACATACACGGATCGAACCTATGCTTTACCTTGCACCGTGATCGCTGTCGACTGTGCTTGCGGTGGACGTCCCCTAGTACGCTTTCTCCGTCCACGTTTACTTTTACGATGATGGCGATTCCTGAAGCCATGCTCCTTGAAGGCGCGTATGACTGATATCAACGAGGGTACGACAACGATGAGGGCTAAGATCTGTGAAGGCAGAAGATGTAACTTCTGCCTGTTTCTGGCATAGCAAAGAGCACGCACCTGGCCAAATCCCCATTCCTTATCGGAACTATCAACCGCGGGATTGTGCCTTAGGAGCAATTCGGTCGAAATGATGAAATATGTGAATACGATGACCTGGAAGATAGTAATGCCAAGCAACATGGGATCCAAGTTAGACGACCAGCCACGTCGTCTATGGCGTGTCCTGCGTGTGCCACTCTTCTCAGAACGGGGAAAGACTGGACTGGGTTGAGGAGAGTGAGAGTTGTCTGAGAGGTCAGACACATCAATGTCGTCCGTAGTTCCTCGCAGCTCCACGTCATTCTGTTTAGAAGAATCAGGACAATGGTCCACAGTGATCATAGGATTGGAAGGTCTATGTTTGTTATGACGACGATAGTACGAGAGGATCTCGTGCGCTGTAATGAGCAGATATCCGCCCGTGAGGATGGAGGTGACAATCAATCCCAATTTCCTGCCTGAGCCAAGAGCTGGAAAGTCGACAGCGAAGAAGGCCACGTATTTGACAAATGGTGCACAGTGGTCTTGATTGAATGCCTGAGGGTTTGACCTATACGAATAGATGCACGATGCTAAGCGAGAATGGTGCTGGTCATCCACATTCAGCTTACCAGGTGTAGAACGTCAGAGCCATCGAGAAGAACATCTGTAGCATAGCTCCAATCTTAACACTGTTTTCTGGCTCCACCTTCTTGCTTCGTCCGTCAGGTTCTTGTTCATGGTTCGTTCGATGTCGTGAATATGAAGCTAGTGCAAGGAAGGAACCAAAATTGGCTAGCCTGGATCATACATATAAGCTCAAATTCCTCAATAAAAGGGAAAGACAACATTACCACACCAGATTGGACACTTGGAGAGCTTGGAAGAACGATAGCAGTCCCGAACGGGCTTGAATGATAGCAGCGACTGTCAAGCCGAAACTTGTAGAGGTGAAAGTCCATAGAGCGCCGGGTGCATCCTCCCAAGAGCGATCGACCAGTAACACTAAATAACGGTCAGCATAATATCACTAGAAGTTCGTTCATATGGTGCACCTAGGCAAAAGTTCTGCAGATAGAAGCTGAGTCTAACGCCGATCCCACTAATATCCGGGTTCACTGTTTGACCCTTGCAGTCAAGCTGTTGTTCCATGGATCATGAATCGAGCTGACCGATCCACCGAGCAACTGCTACGACTCGAGGAGTTTCGGACGGATATTTGGAAGGCACAAGGACGTGAGCGCCATCGCTCTTGACAATGAGGCAGGAGGCGGTGATAGACAGAAAGGTGCAAACCAAGTTGCCATATACGGATACTGCATGATCGACACTCGAATCGTCGATTGCTTTTTGCTTCCGTTCTTTCTTCAGCTTCAGTCGTGACAACACACCCAGAATTGCTGAAAACTGTGAGATCATGTCCGCAGTCCGTCTGTTCTCTGCGGGTTCAAATGCCCGAGGACAACTGGCAACAGGTGACTGCGAAGATGTCCATACGTTTACAGCATGCTCTTTCATAGATTGTCCTCCCGGAGATTTACCATCCGATACCCGGAAAGTCTTGCAGATTTATTGCGGTGCCAACCATACTATTGCGCTACTGGAACGTGTCAATAAGTCTGGCGATGTTACCAGAGAACTGTGGGGATGCGGAGACGGGTCCAAAGGGCAATTGGGCCCGCTTCATGAACTTATCAACGGTTCCACATCTCAATTCAGACCTCTTCATCTACAGTTTCCACCGGGTAACTATACTCTGAAGTTGATCGCCGCTGGGTGGGAAACTTCCTATGTCGTATTGTCAAGCCCTCAACAGCACGATGTCTTGGTGTCCTTTGGAGCTGATGTCTTCGGAGACCTCGGTACCGGACAGAGGAAAGACAAGGCACCAGGCCAAGCGCACGTCGTGGAGTTTGACTTGATCGACTGCGTCGAAACCAGCCAACCTTATACACTTAGCATAGATTCTCTGGCTGCCAGCACCAATCACGTCGTGGCTGTGGTGAACGTAACTCAAGCCAAGTCAGTTCACAGCATCGTGTTTGGTTGGGGAGCTTCAAGGCCTGGGCAGTTAGGTAACACTGTTAAAGGGGGGCGCCCTGTACCCTTTTTCACCATTCCTCACAAGGTGTTCCAGGCATCGGAAAACACGAGAATTACTGCTGCTGCTGTCGGTGCTCAGCACACTGTACTGCTGAAATCATCCTCACACGTCTTGGGCGTTGGTTCGAACCGAAAGGGCCAGCTTACAGGCATCCAGGACTTGCATGACGTTACCGCCATCGAATGCACGTGGAATGGCACGTACGCCATTGTATTTCGTAACGAGCAGGCCCTCGTATTAGCCACTGGCGACAACAACAAAGGTCAGCTAGGATTCCATCAGTCTACCACGGCGGACGTTGCAACCCAGTCATTTCCCAGGCCCATCCAGTTCCCTTTCAGTTCACAAACACACAAGCTACAGAAGTTGGCATGTGGCAGCGAGCACGTTTTATGCTTGCTCTCCGTGAAAGGTTCCGAAGAAAGCTCTAGTCTCCGATCTGAAGTCTGGGGCTGGGGTTGGAACGAACATGGAAACTTAGGACTTGACCATACTTCTGATATCCACAACCCCACCAAAATCTGGCCAATATCAGATGAGCAGGCAAATTTACAAGTAGCGGACGTCTGGGCAGGCTGTGGGACCAGCTGGATTCTCTGTGCTGGTTGAGAATCTGGTTTATATACCAATTCCTATTGTTAGGCTGTACAGTAGGTATCGCATCGCCATCCAAAATGACCCACTAATCACATAATACACAGAGAAAACTGCGGCGTCAAGGTCCCAAATAGCGATACAGAAATGTGTGCAAGTGATCCGCTTGGATGGCCTTGCAGGGTACATCGAGGGGAGACATCCTATCGCGCTGTGGGAAAAGCTAGATTGCAGAACGCTGGAACGAGAGAAGGAGCGAAGCACCAAGTACTACGTCGGCGGAGAAACGAGCACGCAGTTCGGGAGGAATTCGGATATCCCTACGCGCAGATGCGATCGAGGTCTTGACAGGGAGGTCGTCATCCGTAGTTACGATGTCAACTTCATCGTCGGTCGTATCTCCTCCAAAGGAGCTGGCCCTCTGGCTATCGATATCGATGAGACCTCGTTTCTCATTGCGGTCGCAGGTCCAGTCTGGTGTTTGGATCTTCATCCCTCCTAGACTCCGTGTTTCGCTTGTGGATAGGTTGTTGAATTCATGGACAGACCCGGTCATGGGCTGTACATGGTTCCATGCCTTTCGAGCCACATCATGAGAGACTTCGAATGTTTCAATATGTACGGCCGGTGTTTTCGTCTGGTTGTTGGTCGCGAGTGGCACAGAAGCAAGCGGTCGCCGTGGAATCAGGTTTGCCTCACGATGAGTCGGTTGCACGGGCCTGGCCTTCGTTTCCGTATCAGAAGCTTTCTTAGCCAGTTGACGTCGATTCTGGAACCATACTGTCACGGTTCTCGCGTCCCTAAACACATTACGATGAGGACCACCAGAACGCATATACAGAACGAGAAACCTACATTCCGACTTCGTCTCCTAGGGCCTCTTTCTCTTGGCGTGTTGGATGTGTCGCATATTGGTATAGCGCTTCCAGGCGTTCAAGCTGGTGGTCGGTCATACGGTGACGGGTTTTCTTTCTGCTCGGTTGTGGGGTATCGTCTTGATATACTTGAAAGGACGCCTCGGCACGGGGTCGCTTTGTCGTGACGGTGGAGATATCATGAAGAGCACTCTCTTCGGCGGCGTAGCGGGATCGCGTTGAGCGTGGTTGGGGTCGCATGTTGAAGACGGTTGTTTGCCTAACGAGTGTGCGGATTCAAGAAAAGAGGAGAGATTATACTACTATACTATCGTTTAAAGGACGTTATATGTTTCCCGCCGTGCTTGAAACCGTCGGCAGCGCAGCTTGAGGTTGGAAACCAACTTGGTGGCTGACGACGAAGGGCGTGCTCCTGCAAATGGTTCACTTCAACATTGGACGGAGTACAAAACGTGGCACCGTGACCGGTCCAAATCCAAATCCACCGCGTCGCATCTTGCATCTTGCTTCGAGTTCGACCCCGCTTCTGTCAGGTTCTATCCAGGCGGAATGAATGTGAATTTCACCGCCATGCCTACAATACAGACTAATGGCACAACATCAAGAGTCCTTGAATACAAGCAAAGTCATTGCAGCTTCCACCTGTTCCGCAGGTAGAGGAGAATTATTCTCCTTGCTCCTCAACCTCCCATAATGCCGCGTAGGCGTAACGAGAACGGACGGTAGTTCGACACTGGTGTTGGGCGTGATTGCTTCATCCAAGTCAACGTCAGTATCATGCCCGTCGTCCAGAACCATCTCCTCCATTTTCACTATCGTGGACGTATGCGTTGCTCGGGGCGGGTCATAGTCAGTGACGGGAACGTCAAAGTCATCGTCGGAATCGTGTTCCATCATCCCTTCCGCCCTCGCTTTGGCACAAGCCCACTCTAATGACCGTAAAGTCTTAGACCCGGAGGGCAGCTTGGACAAGCGAGCACTCTCTGCCCCGGGGGACGAAGGAGGAGCTTGAGGCGATGAAGGAATATGGTCCCAAATGTCCGTGGCTGGTGGTATTTGATCGGTATATGCCCGGTTTGCCTTTGGAGTCAGAGGCGATCGTGATACTCGTGAAGATAAGTCGCGGCGTTCGCGAGAGGCTGCGATGCGATCTAAGGAGAGGGAAGTGGCGATCTTAGAGCCGGAAGGCTTCTTATTCCTACGAGTACTTGTTGAAGCATTTTCCGGCTTCCACGCCAGTGCTTGCTTCTTCGCACTCCTACGCCTGTTCTGGTACCAAACGTTGACTGATTTCAACTCCCTAGTTATGCGAAGTCATTAGTATGCATTTGGATGTAGTATCATGTATCACTTACAAGCCAAGCTCTGCGGCAATGGCCCCACGCTCCTCCTTTGAGGGATGGCTCTTAGCCTCAAACAACGCCTGAAGGGCGGCGATCTGTTCAGGCAACAGCCGTCGTCGCGTGAACGGGATTTCCGAATTGGATGACCTTGTTGACGAACTTGAAGCCTTCGGCATGGGAGAGGTTGTTCAAGCCACGGTTACGCTGCCCCCTGAAGTAGGACTTGCAGCGATATATTGTAGAATGACTTGATGAATTGAACGCAGGGTGCGCGGCTCCAACCCTCGCTAACATACACGACGCGTACACATGCATAAACAACGCGTCCCACGTGCCACGTGGATCGCGGGAACGATCTTGTTCTGAATTGAATACCTTGAATTGAATGACAATTCTCAAAAGTGGACCACCCCTCTTCGATGGGACCATACAACTTCATCAAAATAGTATACATTGACCAATTCTTCTACAACCCCCAAATGGGCGTGAATCCAGGCGTATCTCTACACACCAGCGGACGGACAGAAGTTGGTAAATGACTGGAAATCTCTTCAAGGATCGTCATCTCCTCCGGTACACGATACCCATAAACTTGAAGAATAAACAAATGGTCAGCCAAGGTCTCAATCTCGATCAGGTCAGATGGGAGGGGTATCGAATGTATGACTGGCGTGTATACTTTAGAGAATCGGAGTCCAGCTGAAGACCTTTCTGAGAGCAGCGTCTTGATAAGAGTTGAATCGACCGACTGGAAGTGGAGATACCGTAGCTTGGGACATACTACTGGGAAATGAGATAGGTCGGCGTTTGGGATGGTATAGATTCCGTCTCTCTCGGCCATCGCATTATCGTCCTCTGGGTTCGGTTGTCCTAGGTCTCGGGGATCCGCAGAGAGAGCAAAGAGAAACAAGACAGGAACATGTCCGATTTTCAGAAGTTCGAGTTCTGGCATATGTTGAAAGAATTTGATTATGATTGCGAGTGTTCTCCTCCCTTCGACTTCCTCAATCCTGATCATATACAGGGATAACAGTCTTATTTTCAGGAAGCGTCTAGTAAGAAGCCGAAGTAGAGGTGTGCAGTCACCACCGAATAAGTTGTGGAGGTCCAAAGACATGACATTCGGAGCATCGATGAGCGATACTAAGAACAGGGCATAGTCCACGTCGATAAAATCTCCAATAACCAGTTCGCGTAATGAATTGATACGAATAGGATCATGAGAGCCTCCATTACCGTCTTGATGAGGACCTGCAGCCACCAAAGAAAGCTTGTACAGATTAGGACTGCCCTGGATCATGTGCTTGAATTGTACGACTGATGGTCCAATGAAGAGGTTGGTTCGTCGAAGATCGAGAGAAGTCAGATTTGTCATTGGTAAACGAGTCAAGTCAGGGACTAAACCATCGATTGTAAGGGACGTCAGCCTCGGGGCCACTTCATTGATGAGTCTGAAGGGATTCTGGATCTCATGTGGCTGCCATCCTTCATGAAGTACGCCAGTGCGGTGAAGCTCGAAATGTTCTAAGGACACCGGGACAACTCCTGCTTCATGGAACTTGCGGACTACCAAGATGGCAACGTCCCAACGATATATGACGCCTACAAAGCTTCGTAGTGTTCTAAGCTTCTTCATCATAGCGTCCAGTACAAGGGTCGCCTGTTCCGTCGTGAGCTTTGTTGGGTCTTGCACATCATATGGATGCCTCTCCCTATCTCCAATCCGGATATCAAGGGGAGCATCCCCGGCACGCTCTAGAAACGTTAACGAGCATTCGTACGGAGGAAGGTCTTGGAACCAAATGCTACTCCAGAGGATCTTGTTGTTGAGTGCCACTTCTCGCCAATGGTGACAGACCCAAGTCAAGAGCATGCGATGGTAGTTGTATGTCTGAGGCCTAACAGAGTCCTGAATGACAAATCGAAAAATGAGATTCAGGATCTCGACCGGAAGGTGGTTGATGGGAAACAACGCCCAAGAGAGAACCTTCAAACTGAAACGTAGGACAGCAAGGTCTTTCTCGAGTTCGGAGTCTTCTTGCGGAGCGATAGATAGTTTCCTCCGTTCGAGGACATGAACGAGCTGCTTCCACTCCTGTGCTCGCATACAGGAAGCAGACCAGTCGATAGGACGTTGCGATGAGGTTGATGGGAGGCTCTGGAGGTGAGCCTTGAGTAACTCCTCAGAGTCCCAGAGTCGGTAGGGAAGAGCCACGCCGAGCTGGCCAGCCTGCTCCTTCTTGAGGAGTTGGAGTGGGCTAGGTTGATACGCGCTGAGATGCATTCTGTTGAATTGAAGTCAGATGTGTAGCAACGTAAGCCTACATAGAAGTAACATACACTGTGTGGACACGTTTTGCAAGTAAATCGAGAGGCCGAGAGTGGGCAGTTTGGCTATATAAGTACACTTGGAGGAAGGTGAATAGGAGGGTTGGAAGTCCTAGGAACCTTGTATTATTGCCGGATCGCCTAGGTCAATCGTCGAGCTTGAGTGTACTAGAGATGAGATATGCGTAGACAGGCTGGCTTAGGCCTGAGGACTGTTATGGGGCTGATGACAGATTCAAGAGTTACAAGACGCACCCTTTGCGACACAACTAATAGTTCAGCATGCAAGGGGTGAGGCAACCGCCTATATCTACAGGACTGTTGGAAGAAAAGATTTAGTGCCACAAGGGATGAAACCGCATGTGCCGCTAACGTCCGTGACCAAAGAAGCGACCCAATGGAGAAGGATGACTATGAGACACCTTCATAACAATGGGGGGCATAAAGGTGCATAATGGGTTCACGACAATGGCTAAGGAAGATATCAATAAATCAATGATGCTACACGTCGAAGTTCGACGTCGACCTTGCGCATTACACGTCATTCTTCATTGTGTTGAATGGTCATACAACCCGGCCACTGAGCTGAAACAGTTGGGAACAGCCTTTAGATAGAGGGATATTGCGTAGCTAGGCCCTCCTTCGCAAGACGTGGCCCTATGAAAGGCTATCCAGACGTATTATCGAAAAAGACCGGTGGTAGAATGAGGTCAAGTTGCAGGCATGCTCTTTTCAAGATGGGCGGACCGGTGATCCTTTCATAGTGGCGTTCAGACATTCCTCTGAACGATTCAACCTCTTTCATAGTTCCTCCTACCATAGTACTAACAGAAGCTTTATATACATGAGCCTTTCCAGCGTTAGGGAACTATAACGCGATAGAGATGAGCACATCTCTGGACATCTTGCTTGTTGCAACATGCTGGACGCACGTCCTCCTAGCACCATACACCAAAGTGGAGGAAAGCTTCAACCTCCATGCTACCCATGACGTGTTAACGTATGGGATAGGTGCCGACGCACTCCAATATGTATGTGTTCAACAAAAACCTAACAACATTCGTCTTTGGATCGACTCACCAAAAATACGCAGTATGATCATTTCATCTTCCCTGGCGCAGTCCCAAGGACTTTCATTGGAAGCGTCTTACTGGCTTGGATATCGACGCCAGCAATTTATGTCGCCAAGTATTACGGCTCGATACAGTCAAAGACTGATCTTCAAATAGTTGGTATGCTAAAGGTCGCTGTGCATTCATTTCTCATTTGTTCACTGAATGCTATAGCTCGTCTGGTACTGGCGACACTCAACGCAGTAGCAGTCTGCTTAATCAGGCGCGCCACTGCACGCCGCTATGGTGGACCCGCTGGTGTACTGTATACCTTTTTCACATGTAGTCAATTCCATCTGCCATTTTGGGTGGGGAGGACTCTACCGAACATGTTTGCACTGTTGCCCGGTACGCTCGTTTTGTTCATTCTGACGTCTGTTGATTGAGATGATAATGTTAACGGGCAGTGAATATTGCATCCTACTTGCTGTTGAACAGAGCTCCTAATTCTCAACGGTTCCCTTCCCGCGATGTGAACCGTGCCATAGGTTTACTCGTGTCTACTGCAGTCATTTTCCGATCAGAAATTGCGTTGCTTCTTGCCCCGGTGTTGCTTCAATCGTGGCTATCTGGTGCCACTAATCTCCGGAATATCTTCAAAGTCGGTTTGTTATCCGGATTGAGCTCTATTGGTAGGAATGCTCTACAGCGAATACGTCTTGTGATATTAAAGATTGTTACCATTAGTCTTGACAGTGCTAGTGGATTCCTATTTCTGGCAGAAATGGCCTCTCTGGCCAGAGTTACATGGAGTATATTTCAACGTCGTTGAGGGTAAAAGTGCAGAATGGGGTGTACGTCGCGTTAATTGCGTTTGTGCCCAATGCGTCATCTCATTTTACGCACAGATCTCACCATTCCACACATATTTCAGCTCTTTCCTTCCCAAATTGCTATTGTCCAGCTTTCCTCTTGCCCTTGTCGGCCTACTCATCGACTCCCGTATCCGTTCCTTGCTCTTTCCTCCAATTGCCTTCATAGCGGCACTTAGTGCATTAGGTCATAAAGAGTGGCGCTTCATAGTCTATGTCGTACCGCTGTTCAACGTTGCCGCGGCAAGAGCAGCTACGTGGTTGTAAGTTTCCGTTAAGAAAGTGTGACAATGATTCTTGACTGATGAGCGTGTAGAATATCCCGCAGGAAAGGTTCTCTTTTCGGGCGATTGTGCTTTCTTGCGGTGGCCGGCCTTTTGGTTTGCAACTTCTTGGTCACATACATGTTGACGGTTACGTCGATAGCCAACTATCCAGGCGGAGAGGCTCTTACGAGATTCAATGAACTGTACGCTGAACGCGAGAACGGTTCGATCATTCCCTTTTCACCTGATCGGATACTGTTTCTAACTTCGTATTCACAGTTCATGTCCATATATCCAATCTGGCCGCACAAACAGGTGTTTCTCTATTCCTTCAAACTCATGCACCACCATATCCCTCTCAAATCGGCATCAAACCTCCTCCTAAGAGCTATAACTGGGTCTACAACAAGACCGAGAACCTCACTCCGCAGGATATCACTAATGGACGCCACTTCACACATGCCATTGTAGAAGTCGGCCCTGATGTGTCGACGTTCTCCATGCGAGAGTGGGATGTTGTGGACACGATTCAAGCATTTGAGCGATGGATACCCAATATGGAGTTATTGAATGGAGGAAAAGTCTGGGAACCGTTCCGGATGGTCAAGAAGGATAAACTGGTCATCTTGGAGCGGAAATAGACATAGTCGATGAATGATGCACGATGCTTCGCGATTTGAATGTATCTATTATTGCAGTGGATATCCAGTAAAATACATTATGCTCTTGAACGAGATTCCGGTTTATGCAACCGACAAGAGTTAGGCGGTAGGCCGAATTTCCTCCTTCTTAGCCCTTGTACCAAAAATGCCAGCCCCCACCCTGACTATGTCGCTTCCAGCTTTCAAAGCAGCTTCGAAGTCGCTGGACATGCCCATACTCAGTAGCAATTTACCATCAGCTCCCCACCTCTCCGCAGGAAGGTCCTTGAGAACCTCCTGGAGAGCATCCCTCGTCGCCACTAGTGTCTCGAAGTCGAGATTTGGCTTCTCAGCAGATGCAAGTGACTCTGTTAGGGACCCGATGGTCATGAGACCTTGCAGGTGGCAACGAGGACATTCAGAAATGATGTGCCGTGCAAGCTTTGCCAGCTCGGATTCTGATGGGGAGGTTGTACAAGAGGACAGCGGAGGAAGACCAGACTTGTTATCCTCGCCTGAGGTGTTCACTTGAATAAGGATGTTGAGTGGTGTCGGGCGTTCCGGTAAAACATATTTGTTCAGAGCGGTCGCGGCTTTAATCGATGTTACAGTCTGGATGGCGTAGAGGTTTGGGATCGCTGAGGAGTCGGATAAGTCGGTGTTCTTCTATTAATATATACGGAGCAGACGGACGTACATGCAAGGGTTTTCGCCTTGTTGGATTGCAGAGTCCCGATGAAATGCCATCGGATATCCTGAGGTAACTGAAGTCGAGAAGATACTCAAAGCTTTATACCGAAGCTCAGTGGAAAGACTTAGGACATACCTGTGCCGCTTTGTCGACCAGTTCTTGTACATAGTTCTCTCCGAAGTCTATTTGACCATCTTCGAAACATGCCAGTACATCTGATGCTGGCTTGTATTTCGAGACAGCCACGAGAGTTGATTGTCGTGATTGCGCCGCTCTTTGTACCTTCGCACGAATTTCTGCTAGGGATTCATGAAGTTCTGCAAATCGTTCCGGAGAGGCTCGAGTGAGAGGTGCTGTCGTAGACGAAGCCATCTTGAGATGAGCAAGTAGGCGAGGTGACAGTCGCATTTGCCCGATCCAGATCTACGATTTCGAACAAATTGGCCTTGACGTCAACTTAAAACCGTACTGTACGAGTAGGCAAGCTAGGCAAGCTTCACTCAATTAATCCACAAGTCAAAACGACCAAACTTCGATGGGTCTGTTCATCTTGCTCTCATTTCAGGTGTAGTACGTTATCAGAAAGTAGCCAATTCGTTTACAGCTCAGGGTACCATTTTGCGCTCCCCGAACCCACAACGCTCGAACCTCGTAGGCGACCATGACTACGATATCAGATCTACATGTGATTTCAACGTTGATAAGTGTGGTACTGAGCTTTTATACATCACAGTAGGCCTTTTTTCTCGCACAATGGCACATAGAGCTAATCGCCTACGTTTTCCTTGAAGTACTTCCATTCCCAGTCGAGGCCAACACTGATAAGACTGATTCTCATAATATCTTGTTCACACAGAATTCGTCTTCAATGTCTGGACCAGAGCGTATCGCATCGCATATGCGCACATTGCTTCAGGAGCTCTCATCTCCTGTCCTGGATAGACAGCTATCTCTGCTTTTCCCCGGAGACATGCGCTCCTGGATAGCACAGCAAAGAAGCTATGCGTTCGAATGCACCCGTCTCCTCAATCACCTCCACAACACCACTGCACCTGTATACCGGCTGCCGACGGAAGCATTGGTCAATATCTTCGCTATCGCCATCACTCTACCTGGCAGCTACACGAGAGAACTGGTTCTATTGACGCATGTCTGCCATTGGTGGCGGGATGTTGCGTTAGGCGCATCGACGTTATGGACACGAATCGACCCTACATGCTATTGCCGTCTATTTTTGGAGAGGTCTGGAAACGCACCTTTATCGCTCGATTGGTACCAAGAAGATATTTTCTCACGCGTTGTGACTACAATCCAACCTCACATCCTCCGATTTACATCCATCAAACTTACATGTAGGATGAAGGCTTTGAAGACATTTTTGGGCCTTTTAGAGCGCTATCCGCCTCCGATGTTACAAGCGGTATATCTCACTTGCTGTGGGGGCTATCAGATTCCCGAAGAGCCGTCAATCGCCTTCCCAACGCACGGCGGGAGCCTGGGCTTTTCCCTGGCATCGCTCACACTCATTGGGCTTTTCATTTGTTGGGAATCCCCTATATACGACAAGCTAAAGCACCTGCACCTCATAGCAGAGAGTGCCATACAACCCGTTCCATCCATGAATGTCTTACTAGATGTATTGGAACGTTCTCCTGACCTTGTCACCTTCAGGATGCTGTGGCGTGGTCCGTCTCTTGCGACCCTGGCTACAACCTATCTTGAGCCTCGGCATACTGTGGAACTTGCACGTTGTAGGAGCATTGAGTTGCAGTTTCCAGGCATAGCTGATGTGGCGCATCTCCTTGCGCATTTACGCCTGCCAGAATTCACCCATATAACAATATCACACATAAATTCCACACCAATCCGTGATGAGCTCCTGAATATCTTGCCTCGAAACCCGGATCTCAAGCCTTCGAATGCTGTGACTCAGCTGCAGTTAAGATGTGCTAACTCGGACGATGTTTACAATGTCTCCGCGAGCGGAAACGGAGACCATACTGGCTCAGTGCGCATTACGGTCTGGAATGTCAGCTATTCTGTTGAACACCTCCTGAATGCAGCCTCTATCTTTGCGTCGAGTCCCATCGAGCACTTTTCATACGAAGGATCCATTGATGCCATTGAAGCAAAGTATTGGCGAACCACCTTTGCTCATCTTCCTCAACTCAAAACGTTGGAGGTGGGAAATTGTTCGCCAAAACAGTGGGATGCATGGAGACGGAGCTTCAGCTATAAACCCGACGCCAATCACGTTTTGGACGCCCTCCTGCACTCTGTCGACTACGACTCTCTGCTCCTCCCCGCACTCAAAGAACTGGTGCTTAGAGGATGTCTCCTCTCGGATGACAGCGTAGATTATTTAAACAAGGTCTTAAGCAAACGTCAACTTGCGCGAATTCCCATTTCGCACCTACGTCTTCTTGATTGCCAGGATAAGAGCACCTCATTACGGTCGATTCTGTCGGAGGATGCTTCCGTTAGCGGTTGCCAGATCATTATACTGGGCTTGGAGAATTAATTATACACAGGCAGCTCGAAGATAATTAATGGCCGTGTAGAACACACCGTACCATCATTTGTCGACACAAAATATGAGCAGTTCTGCGAACTCGTGCGACGCATGTCATGTAACACCCCAGAGCACCTAGTATACAACATTGAAGAACTGCTTCTATGCACACCCCCATAGATACGTGTTAATGATAGATTGGCATTTACGCGAAGATGTCCATGCGGGGGTCGAGATCAACAGGATCGTTGAGCTATTGCAAGAGTAAATTAGCGTGGGGTTAACAAAGTACGAGCAGAGTAAGACTTACACGTAGGTTGATGTTGAGGGCACTGATTGCCTTGATCTCATCCTCGGAAAGAGAGAATGAAGTGACCTGCAAGTTGCTAACCAAACGCTCGTGATTGTTACTCTTGGGGACAACAGCGAGACCGCGTTGGACGGCCCATCGGAGGAGGATTTGAGCAGGAGCTACAAAAAGATCAAAGTCAACAGTTTGCATCAGAACCCTGCCCTATACCACTCACTCTTGTTGTTCTTTGACGCGATCTGAGCGATCGAGTCGTGCTCCAACAAACTCGAAGCGCCCTTATGCGCGCCGAGCTCAACGTAGCTCTGAGGACCAAAAGAAGAATACCCAGTGACAGCGATGCCGTGAATAGCCGCGAGCTTCACAAGGGCTTCTTGAGTGAGGTAAGGGTGAATCTCAACCTGGAGCACCTGAGGCTCAATGCGAGCATAACGGAGGACATCCAAGAGAAGGGATCCCTGGGTGTTACTGCGAAGTAAAGAAAAAGCAGAATCCTCGTATCAACCTCGGAGATCCGTATGAGAGCGAATGGCTTGGACTAACCTCAAACCGATGTTCTTGGCCAATCCCTCATCGACAAGTTCTTCCATAGCAGTCCAAGTCTCCTGAAGGGGAACCTTGGCTATTGCGAGTTGATTAGGAAATGATACTGGGGAGATTGATTCGGATGTAACTTGCCGAGGTGGACTTTGCCATCGTCTCCCCACCATTCGGGTGGGTAACGGTGGGATGGGTCAACGTACTCGAGAGAGATGGGAAAATGAACGAGGAAAAGGTCAAAGTAGTCGATGCCCCAGAGCTGGAGCTGATGCTTCGCCAGTGCCTTGGCCTGATTAAAATTATTAGCACAGGGTTCACAATACACTTCACAAGACTTACATGGTCATGAGCGTGGAAAGTATTCCAGAGCTAAGGATTTCGTCAATATGGCAAATCGTGCTCGAAATCCATTCAATACTACACACCTTGGAAGTTACGACTAAAAGACGACGGAGTTATCAGCGTGGGCAACTCCATAGAGAAGTAGACCGAACTTACAGACATCCTCTCGTTTGACGATACCGTCCGCAATGGCGCGACGGAGACCCTCACCAGCCTCCTTCTCATTTCCGTAGTCACCAGCACCATCGAGAAGACGGTATCCCGCCTTGATCGCGTTGTAGACGGTCTGATCGAGAAGGTCAGACTTGACAATTTCCCGGGAGATGGGTAATACTTACATCGGCGCAAGTAGCTTTGGTCACCTACATAAGCAGGTGCTTAGTACATGAACAGAAGAAATTTTTCATAGATGTACCTTCCAGAGACCGAAGCTGAAGGCGAAGTGGTAATAATATGAGATGAGGCATGGAAGGTAACACTGCCTTGTCTACAATACTCACCCAACAACGGGCATCTAACAGTGTAGATGTAAGGGTCAGTTCACTATAGAATCATAGCTTTCTAAAATGCATACCTTGTCGCCGGTACGCTTGAGAGTGATGGTCGTCTCAGACATGGTCACGGTAGAAGCTGTATGAGGGAAGGTGGGGAGCGTCGAAAGTTCCTCAAGACCCGACTTTTATACTACATTCAGAAATGCGGGCCGAGAAGGTATGGGGACCCACATGATGTGCCTTGGGGAATAAGAATTGTAAAACTCCCCGGACGCTGGCAGGTTTGGTCCGAGGTTGGACCAGAGGAAGGAACGCAGATACGATCGATAGCGTGAATATTCCTACCGTTGCTCAGAATAACACATAACATTCATAAAGTCCCCACGACCAGCCTTCTTATAGTTTCCAAACATCTTGAATGTCCCGAGAATTGAGATATACAGTAACTGTCCAGGTAAGTTTGAAGGTACTGATTCAATAGAGTGCTCAATCTGGCCAAGCAGACAGATCGCGATCGACGACAAAAATCCACGTTCCCATGTTAGACGCCCGACGCGACTTGCTTGTAAAAGTGAAATCGGCATTCCTCCGCACAACTCGTCGACATCAATGGACTCGTACTGTATCTTCTCGCCATAATCCTAATATTCTTAGAGGGCATTCCTTGTGGCGGGCCAGGGGCGAACACAACGTGCGTGATGTTACACTCTGAATTATTTACTGTTGGTCCTCATGACGTTGTAGTCCAAAATACCACTTCAAAGGTTGCTTCACAAGCAGCCATACGATACCCAGCATGCGAATACATGTCATGGGCATGGGCTCAGTAGGCACCCTGGTCGCCTTTCATCTAAAGCGCACTCTTCCGGCCAGAGCTCCAGTGACTCTCATGCACAAAACCTCCCAACGCGCTATTGCAGCGCAAGTAGCCCAAGGAAAGATCAGGGTGGAAAATAACGGTGTTGCCATAACTACTATTGGCTTTGACCACGACATCTGGGATCGCGAAAATGACCCAACATGGACTTCGCCTCCACCCCAGCAACCACGGAATCCTGGCAAATATAAACTATCCGAGGAGGATGATGAGGAGGAATCACCCCCCAGCAAACCATTGTCGGAGGGAGCTCGTGGTCGTTCACCCATTACTTCCCTTGTCGTCACCACCAAAGCATTCTCCGTTGCGCCGTCTCTTCGCGCACTGCTCCCACGTCTAAGTGCTTCCAGTACCATCGTCTTATTACAGAACGGGATGGGTCTTTACGAAGAACTTTGCACAGAAGTATTTCCGAACCCGCATAATCGACCTCATATCGTTGTCGCGGTCAATAACCATGGCACCTGGCTGAAGGAATACATGCATGTCGTCCACGCTGGCATCGGTAACATGAAACTCGCCATCATGCCAGATGGACTTGGTCGAGATTTCGAAGCATCTTACCGTAAAGCAGGGAATCATCGGACAGCCAAGTTAAACTTGGACGACATCTTCACCTCAAGTGAAGAAGATACCGAAGGAGGCCGATATTATTCGCTCCGTTATACGATGCAAGCATTTCTGGGGGCCGAAGGTCTGCATGCGTCATGGTTACCTCTGTACGACGTTCAACTGGCCAAACTTCGCAAGCTTGTTGTCAACTGTGTTATCAATCCCCTCACCGCTCTCCTCGGATGTCGAAACGGCGAAATATTCGAACATCCCTCAGGCCATAATCTCTGTCACCAAATCTGCAAAGAAGCTTCAGCAGCATTCCATGCTCAATGGCGAAGTGAACAAGAAGCTGCTGTCGCAGCGGGGAAAGAAAGTGATTCTCGATTTCCTGACATATTGACCACCGAAGCGTTGCATGCGGAAGTCGAGCGTATCGTGAAGATGACCAGGATGAACCTTTCGTCCATGTTGTGCGACGTTAGGATGGCCAGGCAAACGGAGCTCAAATATCTGAACGGGTATTTACTCGGTCTTGGCCAGAAGTACAACGTCAGTATGCCTACAAACCGGACACTCATTTCGCTCATGGGGCTACGGAGCCAGATACCACTTCGAGGCTTGTTATAGCATCACGCATGCCACTACGCCTGGAATGACGCTCGGTCCTTCAAAGCTTCATTCTCATTTCCAACGAGCCCATGCCATACCTTCCTGTCACCGTCATCTTGACAGAAGTCCTCATTATCAGTGGACTGCGACTATCGGCTTATGCGCCGTCCAAGGAGTCCGACGGGAATTGATGGTACATGGCGGTCACTAGGACAAGAGGAAAGCAGGAAAGAGTAATGAAATTGGTAGGGCGAGAGCAATGCGAATGCGAATGGAGCGCTACATGCAAAGAGGTTGACGAGATCTATCGATACATCTACCCGGAAAGAAAGACATGCTAATTTAATCCAAGGATTTCTTTCTCTTTTGGCCTGTCCGTGCGGCTGATGACGGTGTAGCCGAAGGATCCGACGTTTTTATCGAAGCCGCAGGTGTGGACAGTTGGGGTTTTGTGGTGCCGTTGTGCTTTGGTAGGGGTTTGGCTGGTGTCGCGTGCGGGGTTACACCATTGGTGGTAGGTCGATGAACGCCATTCGTTTGAGGGATGCCGTTGGGTATAGAAGTAGATCCCGATGTAGCTAGAGATACGTTGACGTTAGTGCGAAGGTATAACACACGACGGTCTGGACGTACAAATGGCATGATTCATAAATAGCTCGACCATCGCAACCATTTCCCCACCATCTACTACCCGTTCGAGCCTATTACCAACTAATATAGGTCCATCTTCACCTTCTGCGTCCATCTCAACATCTTCCGCATGTTGTTCCTCATCCTCAACACCAGCAGACTCGTCTGCTGGACGTAGAGTGAGGAAGTCTTCCATAAGAGGGTCGAATAAGGTATCCAACGGTGGCATGAGGTAGGCAGGGGCGTCGAAAATCTTCTCCACTTCTTTGCCCTTCCATGTAGCAGGGGTTTGGATTATCGGTGCAGATGGAGGAGTGACGTCGCTGAATGCAGAAGCACCGAAGATGTCCTGGAATAGGGTACGCTTGGCGGCAGGCGATGTCCCTTTGAGGCCTCTACCAACAGAACCCTGCTCTTCAGGTAACTTGACATCGTCGCCTAGAAGAACGACACTCCATGCATCGGTGATTGCAACAAATGCCAATGACGATGCGCTTCCGGGTGCGGTCCAGCTCGCAGGGCAGGGAACGACGCTCAGAAGACGGAAAGGCAAAGAACGGATTTGAGATGGGATAGCGGAACGAGGAGTGAACATCACGACTCTTGTCGAAACGAGCGTGGAAGAGGATTCGCTCTGTTGTTCAAATATAATGAAGGTATCTTGAACTGGATGTGTGACGAGGCCTGTGATCGCCATGGTGCTCCGATAATGCCATTTCACTGTACAGACGACCAACCATCAATCATTTCAGTTAGAGATAAAAGCATGACAGAAACTCACCAGTCTGCGAAACAAGGTCCCACAATACTAGATCTCGGTGACCTGAAACAGCTAGGTATCGACTTCCACGACCAACGAAACTAGCCGATGTAACAACAGTACATTCGGGACTAGTCAACGTCCGAATCAAAACAGTGCTCTCGGGATCATAAAGCGCAACATGGGGACCCAAAGATACAGCCAATATGGACCCGTCCGAAGACCAAGTCGCGTGAGAGGGAATGTCAGAGCGGAATCGAAGAGTAGCTCGAGTAACCCAATACTCTGTATCGCGCGCTTAGTTTCATTATGCATGGAGGTGCAAAAAAGACAGACCTTCCACCTCTCCGTGCTTGTTCTTTACCGAACGCACTCGCCACAGCTTGATGTTCCCATCTTCGCCAGTGGTAGCTAATTGTAGACCACCTATGCTGGACCCTGGACGAAATGCTACCGAAGTAACTTTCTTGAGTCCATGAGGTCGGTCGATACGAGTGTTCAATGACCAGAACCCAGTACCGCGTTCCCAAGACCAAATCTTGAGATAGATCTCCCCTTTGGACACGTCGTCGCTTTCACGAGCATCCAATGTTGCCATCCATTTCCCCGACTCAGAAATGACTGCGCGTTCTACGCGGGATGGTTCCAACGCCTTCTCGTCGCGACGTGAAACTCGATTGGAAGGCGAGACCTCAAGCTCTGAAAGGAGTTTTGAACTCGAGGGCGCATATGTCTGCAGGGATGATGGATGAGAGGACGGCAGTATCAAAGTTGATGTTTGGGGGTGAATCGCTAGTGGTATAGCAGTAGATGATGACGGTCGGGTATGACTGATTGCTGGGTCTGCACAATTGATAAGTCATTTTATTACTAAGATGTGCAGAAAATAAAACTAACCAAGTTTGATGCGAGCAACCGTCCGTGAAATGCGCAAGGTACCTGAGCGAACAAATACGAACGACGCATCTGCCAGGCCAAGCAGATATTCTTCCTCTGCATCTTTTGGTCTCGAGACAGCAATGTTCGCAATCGGAGCGCCTACGCGAGGCACGAACTCCTTCTTTCCAGAGTGTAGCTGCCAGATGACAAGTACAGCTTCTTCTCCGCCACTAAGCAAGTATGCGCCGTTTGCGGTGAACGCAATAGAAGAAACAGTGTGTGCATGCCAGTGCAAAGTCGTAGTCGGTGCCTTCTTTCGAACGCCAGAAGCCAAGGTAGTAATATCCTCATTGAGACAGTACCATAGTCTGATGACACCTTTGGCGTCGCCAGTAGCGAAGTACTCTTCGGTAGGATGGAAGGCCAGACAAGTCAGCGTCTCGTCCGAGACAAACTTCGTGAAGCCAGCTTTAAGATCGGCGGTCCGTGCTACATACGCCTTGTGACCTCCAATAGCCACGAGCCACGAGCCACTGGGCGAAAATGAGAGACCGGCTGGCTTTCTTGTCTTGCCAACTATGAATAAATCCGATGGTTTCTGGATAGATGAATTCATGGTAGCATTGGTGGGGGTCAAGGTAACCCTCAGTACGGCGCAATTATCTTCCGCCGTGGGGTTTCCTATGAAGAGGAATATTAGACACCAAAGAAACAATGAAAATACTAAAGGACGTCTTGTACCTTTGCTGTTGATCTTTTTGGTTGATCGGCTAGCCGCAACAAACACCTGATCCTTAAATTTTTCATGTAAAGCAAGTTGGAATATAGGTTGCGCCAGGTCGAATACGCGCAGTTGAGTAGCATCCAAGAAATCCCAGATTCTGATCAAGCCGCCCGCCGAGCCCGTAAATAGTTGGAATGGATTGTGTGGGCTCAAAGCCATGCAAGTAAGAGAATTGCCAGCCCCAAGATTAGGTTCGGCAGTTTCCCCTGATTCCGCAGGTGTAAGAGTAGAAACAACAAGCCCAGTGGCGACTGAATAGATCTTGACGGATGGACCAGAAGCAGAGAAGAAATAACTTCAACAATTTAAGTATACACATGGCGAATGTAAGAACACAAGACACACCTTCCGTCTTTTGTAAAAAGCAGGGGCACCCTACTGGCAGACGACTCTGTCAATGACCGCCAAGTCCATGCTAAATCGTCGGTTGCTTTCGAGGATCCTGCAACAGGTCCTTCATCGACATTGTCGTTCCGGGCGTGCTTTCTCTTCTTGCCTTTCTTCGGGCTTTCTGATACTGGAGGGTTCTGCAAGCCGTGAGGGACTGCGCTCTTGGCTTTCGACGCTGCCATTGCTGGAGTAGAGTCGACTGCCATTGGCATGGCTGCGATGAACGATGAACGAAGGTTTACACCAAAAAAATATCCACGTGCTCGAAGAGGTATAGATTTCGAGCGCCCGCTTTTATCGGAAGAGAAATATCAGTTACATACCAGTAAATATTGCTTACAATTACCCGATACAGTAGCTTATAAGCACGGAAACAATAGCTTACAACGACGCTGGTAAAGTGTTATAACCTCTTCGGACGCCCATTAAAGAAAATTTTCAGGAGACTGTCATAACCTGCGTCGTTTCCATTCGTAATGAGAAGAAATACATGTGGTAGGGCTACGATGAGAGAAAAGCGGGGAGGTACACAAAACAGGGGGTATCATATGGGAGATAGCGTCCTTGCTTCAAACCCTCGAGAGATCGATCCGTTGAACAAACCCAGAGCCAGCATAAAGCACAACACAGTGACAGGAACTACTGAGAGAATCAAGAGAAAGACGATACTTATGACAATATGGTACACATGGATACAGACAAATATACATCACCAAATTTGTGGCGCAGGTGGTAAGAAATCGTTGGGTAACAGGAAAGCATCAATGCCGTTTTGCGAGAAAGAGGCTCCCCCCAGGGTCTGGTCGGAAAGCCAAACAGGAAGCTGCTCGTTTGAGGTCGCCTCAAAACCACGCCAAATATGATCGGCGTTTGACTGGTATTGATTGTATGGGTGAGGTGCACCCATCTGCTGCTGTTGCTGCGGCTGCACATGACGTGCCATCGCAGAATCCGGATGTGCAGCGAAGTGCGTGTCATAAACAGGTGACATGGGCTGCTGGCTCATCCCTTGACTCATCTGCGATTCAGATGAGTATCTGAGGGGATGATGTGCATCGCGCGTAGCCTTGGGCGAACGGGAAGCAGAACTCGCCTTGCGCTTCTTGAAACGTTTGAGCATAAGTTGCAACGTCAAGGCATATCGCCTCCCAGGCACTGATGTTGACCAACAAATAAGTAAATTTCACACCTTTTTAATCCACCGAGTACCAACCTTCTGAGAGCAAGGCAGCCAAACGTTCAACAAGATTGCGAATGTCATTCATGTCGCATTGGTCAGGGCTATCGCAGGCGTAAGCGCAATCATACCTCAACAGAGAAGAAAGCACTTACAACAACCGACACAGCCTAAGCAAGAATGAAGCAGAGAAAGTGGCGGTAGCGTGGGTATAGTGTACAGCTAGAAGATGATGTAAGATCGACATTCTGTACAGAGCTCTGTTCTCTTACCATATTTCATGCCTTCCCTGTATGCGGGTGAATTAACAGTTATATCTAGGATCTGGCGTCCAATCTGGATAGACCTGAGTGCAAGCTCCCGCTGAGCAGGTGGCATATTTTGGACGTCCTCTGGCCCATCAATGCCCCGTAGAGCGGTAGCATTATGGTATAGCTCGGCATGAAGGTGTTGGATTTGAAGACTTTGCCGGTAGAACGCTAACAAGGCTCGTAATTGCGGTTCAATAACTTGACATGTTAAACAACACTCACCAGCATCCTCATACTTCTGGGAGAACGCTTGATCCCAAGTAGCGTACCAATTACGGAACTCGACATCGGCCTCATGAAGTACGTTGAACGTCTGGTCGTTTACAGGCTGATCAAAGGACGGCGACAAGTTATTGGTAACCCGTTCGCGGATCGCCATTAACTCGACGGTCGACACCAAGCGCATATCATCTTCGATGGAAAGTGGATGTTGTAAAAACATGCGGCAATGCCAGATTGACTCGTCATCTTTGAGAATAGCTGGACGTCCAGTCCCATAGGACATTCTATAGCTATGTAAGTTCGTGCTCCTATGAATGGTCAATGCACGTACTGATGCTCGAATAGGTAAAGGCAGAACCACGTCCTCGCAGAGATCACGAGTTCACGATCCTTCAGAGATGTCCCGACCTTATTCTGCTGCATTCTCTTCAAGAGCTCCGGCCACGCCTTGTGCATTGCTGTAAACAGGAATTGAGTGCACAGATATCAAGATCATCGGAAATAAAACATACATATTTCCATTGCCATTCTCACAGCATGACCACCACTCAGCCAGCCATTATCAGACCAGCCTGATACCAAAACTAAGAATAGTCAGATGCCAAATAGCGTCATCCAATAAGCAGGAAAGGCTCACTCATTGCCTGTACAGCTTCCTGCCTCGTGACCGGGGAGAACAAAGTCGCGCAAGATATAGCTTGCACTTCTTCCTGGCATTTTAGGAAAGTATCGCTCGGTTTTCCTATAGATATGTCAACACTGTGATCGTCTTTGATACCAAACAAACTCACCCCCGCCGTCCCGGACCTGGGCTGCCACCATACATATGCAGTCTACTGCAAAAGGCGAACGTTCATGCAACGCTTCGTATGTGTCCACGCTCGCGTCGAAAACCGGAAGAAAAGTGGAACAGCCATGATAGAATCTGCGAGGAACCCGAGTGAATACAGCGGATATAGACCGCGCGGATCACACATACATTCTGAACAACTCCCGAGCTTCAGCTTCCGGGATGATCTTCTTGGTAACAACTACACGAACGTGTCAGATGAGAACCCAGGCACTGAAGTCTAAAGACAAACCATCTGGAAATAGCGTTATGCGAGGAGTCTTATGTATGACTTTCCTCCTCTTAGCAGGGCGCGGCTGGCGTGGATCAGGAGATGATGTACGAGCCCGACTTGGTGCTTCGCTCTCCCCTCCGTTTTCCTACGAAGACGGAATTTCAGAATGACATGCATGAACTCAAAAGAAAACTGCGGCACCTGAGCGGCCCGTTCGATAGCAACATCTGCAAGACCTCGTAGCACTTCCCACGGAGCCACAAGACCCGAAGCAGGCAGCTCCCCATCATCCTCTTCTGCATCTGTAGAATCCGCGCTGGTGACATTTGAAGATGTCGGAGCCGCTCTTTTAGCATTAGAGACGCTAGGATGATATCGGACAGACGAGACGTTCGTAGGATGGGTGCGAGGCGGAGGCATGCTGTCCAAAGCAGAGAACGGCGGTAGGGTCGTTGCATGCATGGCGCTCTGACCCTGGGCGTTGTAGTGACTTCCAGATTGGTGCATTTCATTGGGTCCCATTGGTCGTTGGCCTGTAGCGCTCAACGGAGGACTTCTGAAGTTGGTAGCATGACGAGAAGGTGGATTCATGTTGCCTACTTGGCCATGGGAAGGTGTCATTGCCGAGGCGGTTGCAGGGGAAGGTTGATTAGCATGAGTGGTATCGACCATAAGCTGAGGTGGATGAGGACCTGCGGATGGCGTGGATATACTGGGAGATGAATGAGAATGCATGCTAGGTGATTGGTGAGCAAAAGCCGGAGGGTAAGCAGAAGGGGAGCGCTGGGGAAACTGAGCGTTGCCGCGTAAATGAGCAACAATTTCAAGCAAAGTGCCCTGGATAGCATTTTGTGTCTGTCGAATGTCCGCAACATGGGATTCGAGACTTCGTATCCGTCTAAAAAGGAGTAAGCAAGAGCACTGCATACAAGGACAATGTAGACGCACTCTAGCCCAGCTTCTCCAGTCAAGCTGGCCTCTCTAGTAGGCTTCTCAAAAAGACACTCGAGACCATTGTGCCTGCACCGTTTGCATGGTGGGTTCTCTGCACCCTCACATCTCATCTTCTGCTTCCTACATGCATTCTATGCATCGGAAGGGCGGTCAACACCCGGTCTAATTGGGTCTCAGCTGAAAGCTACTTACGCATGCACCTGGAGAAACATTCAATCATCCGATGTACATGATAAGGACGCGTTTGCGCTTACGAGGTACTCTGTTTAATGTTCTTACGGCAGGTTTGGATTCGGACTTCGGCGTGACCTTCGAGTCATTGCCATCGAGATCTTCTTGTTTCTTGACGTTCCCGCTTCCGCCAGCATTGTTGTCCATGATGCTGAAGAGACTTCGGGGAAAGGAGAGAGGAAACGGACGGCCCTGCGAGGGCCAGGGCTGAGGGAATGCCCCAAGGAGATGATGGAAGCAAAGTTGGACAACGAGGACAGAAATGGGCACTCAGTCGACTCGGAGATTCGATAGACGAGGACCAGCGGCAAACACCGGTTTATCCTACATACTCCTTCTCAGGCGCGCGCGTACAAGCTTGCAGCATCCAATCAACTCTGTGTATTCTCTCGCGTATCCGATACATCCAGACAATATCATAACCCACTCTGTCTGAACCTGCAGACCTACATGCAATATATGTACATCCTAAGCAATTCAAGCAAACGCAACCTCATCGATCTTTGCAAACATCACAGGATTTTGATGGAAGTAGAGAAGCGCGTCGACTGCCTCTGCGTCCGCCAAAGGAGACGGAGGCCCTTTGGGGAACGAGTCCACATGTGAAAGCGAGGCATGCGTGGCCGGAGGCGTGAGGACAAGTATGCTATCAGTGCAACTAGATGGCGACGATGGTACGTCCCGGCTGGGTAAGCCCAGATGGTCATAGCCCAATCCGTCCTGCGAAGCGTTCTTCATAGCATCTTTCCCCGCGAGATGGCGCTGGGTTCTGAACCAACGTTCTATCTTATCCACTGGGCTGCGGGGCGTCAATGAGATAAAGCAATAATAGAAAGCAGTCTACCAATACTCACAAGCCATCTAACGCTACAGACAACTCTTTCATCTTCTCTGGAGATGGAGAATCATTGACGCGAAAGACGTCTAATAGAGTTTCCTTCTGGCTCATTGTCATTCTTTGACGCGGAGACGGAGCAGCCTCGGGCAAGCTCCTGCGAGCAGTAGCGCGTTGGGGCCGAGTGGATGTAGATGCGTTACGAGGCATACTGAGAAGATGAAAAACGTCGCAAACAACAGCTTGAGTGTAAGGTTCCTGCAGATGCTAAGGGAACAGCATGTCTTATATGCGTCCTCTCGAAGCCACTGGCTCTTTGACCACAGTTCGACACTACTTTGCTAGACAAAGAAACAAAGAGCTCCTTGAGCCACCTGATAAGCACCGCCATGAAGAGCAGAGAATTTGAAAGAAAGGATTCATTCAAGTAGCGTGCTAATACTTCCGAGATGTGGTGGCCGCAAGATCTGAGCGTGGAAACACGCCGATTCCGAGTGTAGTGGCGAGCAAAGCATGTAGGGCTAATCAATCAGATAGACTTGGTCCAATGTCCGCGATATAGTTGCCGAGAACACTCAAATGGGTGTCTCTGTGCACGTTTACAGTATGTCCGTTGAACGAAGAAACCTTCGAGGAGAACATGGAGGACAAAAACAGGAGGGTCTGTCGGTGAAGCGCGCGCAGCAACTCGCAGTCGTGTGCCGATCCTGGCGGTATCACTCTTTCCTATAGCAACTCACCAGTGCAGTGTCGTAAGTACGTGGCAGAGCATCCCCAGCACAGTACAAAAGATCAATCTTGTCCTATTCACCCTCCAGAACCAGTGACGAGCAATCATGTTTATGTCCATTGTCTCGCATTTGTTGAGGTACGTTGCTTGTCTTTCCACTAGGTCTGCGAGGTGTAACGCATACACGGTTGCGTAGCGCTTGGTTCGCATTCCTCTTACCGTGCTTTGGAACGTGGAAAGCCCTCTCTCATCGTCCTCTTTCGGAGCCGGAGATTGAACGATGGGGAATGTACTGGACTGTCATTGGTGCATTCGTGACGCTCGAGTACGTTGCTGAGTGGCTCGTGAGCTGGTATGTGCCGTGTTTTGCCTCTAGCTACCCCCGTTCGAGTGATTCATGGGCTTCGTCATATCAGGTTCCCATTCTACTGGGAAGCTAAGACTCTCTTACTCCTATTCCTTGCGCTTCCTCAAACACAGGTAGGTATTGCTCAGGGGTCTTCATAAATCTTGTTCTTAATATCATCAAATCTACAGGGCTCAACCTGGGTATACCAAACCTACCTCCACCCGTTCTTTTCCAAAAATGAAGAGGAGATTCAAGCCGGCATCGTTTCCGCTCAATCCAACGCCCTCACGTTCCTGCAGACCAGCTTCGGCAAACTTTATGACGCCGTGATGCGCATCATAACCAAGACACCTCCAGCTCAAGCTCCCCCTTCCCCAGGCGCACCCGCTCAACCTCCTGCCGCTAGTCCTTTCGCATTCGCGAAGGGTCTTTGGGACACATATGGTCCTGCCGCCGTTGGAGCAGTACAACGCTACACGCAATCAGCCCAGCCCGCTCAGGCTGCTTCTGCGCCCTCTCAAGCACCCCAGACGTCGGCCACGACCACTGGTTATGATGCGGCACCTGCACGCAGCCAACCTGGGACCCCAGCTCAATCACCTCCTGCCACGGACGGCGCTCCCGCCTTCCCAGAGCCAAAACTATACTAAATTTTGGATGGACAAACGGTACAAAGGAAATGTAGAATCTAAGTTGCATCCGCACTCTCAAGGACTCATAATCTATTTGGTACATCCGAACAATGCTTCCAGTAGTTTCTTCGGTACCACGTTTCATTCTTGTGCTCTTATAACCGTTACATTTATCTTGAGGGTCCATCGAGCGATCTCACATTCTTGCCTGGAGATCCAAATAATGGTATATATCCTACGTCGCACAGGGGTATATCTCTCTACGCTGAAACTCGATGCCGCTTGAAAGCAGCCTCAACATCAGCAGCAGTATACTCCAACGTAAGCCCAGACGATTGGTAACACTGCCCGATTCGCTTTGAGAAGAGTTCTGTGATTCTCAGCAACTCTTCCTCGCAAGCCTTCCAGACCCCAACCATAACACTGCCTGCAGCGATACCGAGTGAGGTTTCCTCCGTTGTGGTCTTCTCGGATGCTTCCGTGAAGTGTTTTTCAACACGTTTGAATAGTGCATCGATGTGTTTCCGAATATCTTTCGCCGTGTACTCCTTGACAACTTTCTTGAGGGCTGACTTGGAATAAGTGCTATTGGCGGAGACCTCGCTAGGCGCTGTCGTCTTCAAAAGCCGTTCTACTCCTTCGAAGTAATCCTAACATTGCAATGAGTAAATATCGGCGGTTGTATATATCAAATGAACGTACGATAATTTTTGCGAACGGTCGACGTAGGACAATCTTGACGTACGCGCTAAGGTTTTCGTCATAAATGGACTCAGCCCTCTTGGAGAAAGTGGATACGGTGCCAATGTCTAGCTGTGACATATCGGCGACGAAGTGATGCATATTCTCTACAAGGCTAGTGTCAGCAGATGGCGGGTAAAATAACATTCTAAACTTACCGATAAGCATAACATGGTAGTTGAGTTGACCCTTATCCTCTCCCTCGCCTTCCAATTTCGCCATGTGCTTAAGTGAATCGAACATGCTCTGCACAATCTTGTCATAGGACTGATCTACATGTTGCCTAATCTCCAGTGTATCCGCGCCAATGAGTTGATTCTCAATTCGCCCAATGTATGTAGGGAAGTACTTGATGAACGGGGCGACACCCCCACGCTTCTTGCTGTTGAGTTTCGTTTCCTCAATAGACTTGATATGTTCGTTCTGTAGGTACCATGACGTCAGCACTCATCGACGTGGTCGAAAATTGATACTTACGACACGACGATCGAACAGGCCATTCAGCCGAGTATGTTGCTTCTCAAGTACATTCGTGAAAAATGTGTTTCCACGTTCTTCAGCATCTGCCAAAAATCGCTCAAGGCAAACAATGATGCCGATGATTTCCCTGAGTAGAATAATTCAGCGTGCATATGTGAATGATATATCAATGAACATACATCATATCCTTGCCCAATGCGTTGTCTAGCCAGACTTTGAGCTCTGCAGGCAGAAATCCGAAAATCAGATCCAGGGCTCCCCGTACTAGCTTCATCGTAGCTGAGCTGAGTCCGGCTGACCGAGCAGCTTGCCGACGGAAATAATTCTCCAAACCCATGTAATCAGCAAACGTCAGAGAGGCGTTGTTGATTTGCAAGAAGTCAGCAATGAAGTCCTCTTCACGATATACCATAGGGGCAACTTGTTCGAGGATCAAACCAAAGGCCTACGTCCACATGTTAGGACGAATCGCGATATCACACCGCAACACTCACTTCTGAAGCACGCATGTTGCCGTCTGACCGATCCTTTCTTTCTCTTCGGGCTTCCAAGGGTGAACGTACGATGGTTCCAGCACGTCGCATGCCTGCTGCAGCCCTCTGCGTACTAGTAGTCGGCGAGGTCACGCCAAAGCCTACAAACGTCTATCGGTGAATAATATTTTGATATATGCAAGAGTAACACAGACATACCATCGTCCTCCTCGGCACCCTTCTTTACAAGGTCGCTGCAAGCTGCGAAGTATGCCTTCATTTGCGCCTTATGCAACTCACTCGACGCAGTGAAATAGGCCTGTCCAAAATATATTAAAATTTCATATCAGTGAGAAAGAATGAACGTACAGCGCAGATCTTTGCATATATTGACTCGTCCAACTCTTTTAAATACAGCATCAAGCCGGAGTAGCGACCCAAGATCTTCTCAAGTTCCAGGTGGTCTTGAAGAGATGGCCTTCCTCGAGTGGACTTGATCACACCGTTCGACTCACCAAGGAGTAACTTAGACTATAACGGACGATGTTGAGATTAGCGACCATGCCACATCGATTTCGAAACATACCCGCGCAGTGAACGATATCGATAGGAAATCGTACAAACGTTTGCAGAATTGAGCGTTATGGGTTCGGTACTCCTCCAAACGCTCCATGGTCGCAGCCATATCTAAGGTAGGTATTAGAGACGAATGACTTTTCGCCTAGGATCTACTTACCTTGATCTCTACCGGCTTGAAGGGCCTTGTACAACTGGGTCGCGGCTTCCTCCATCCTCGTTATACCCGGTTGCTGTTCCAGCGACTCTTGTGTGAGCGTCAGAAGGGCTTCGCGATCGACTTGTACAGTTTGCTGTCATAGCAAAGCTCAATAGCAGGAGATAAACCTATATTTCAGCGGACATACCAGTAACTGCTCTAGTTCTCCAAGCAACGCACGCTGATTCTGCGTTTGTACTTGCAAACCGCGTCTTTGCGATTGGATGAATGCAATGTCATCGCTTACGGCCTGGAAAGAAGGATATGAATATTCAGTGGTCAGTAGAATGACAGACTTCGTATACATACGTTGAGGTGGATCTTGTATGATGCGACAATACTATCCATCGTATCAAGTTCGGATATCGCATCGTCCAGATATTTCAGCACAATGTTGACACGATCATCAGACTCTATGAAGGAGTGTATGTTCGCCTGATCATTCGCACTTTATCAGTTAATGTACCTAAAAGGTCGAACTAATACATACCTTCTCCAGAGCCATTAGTTCGTCAATCAGTCTTGCCTCAATCTGGTCGCCGGTGCCCCTGACCGCTTTGCCTACTAACACATCATCGCTAGTCCACTCATAACCTTCCAACATTTCCTCAACGCTCGTGAGAGTTGCTTGAACGCTTTCCGTCTCTACCTCACCACCTTGGTCTCCATCTGCATCGTTGTCTAACTGCAACATAAGATCTCCTGACAGCAAGCGATCCAGTGTTGCTTGATTTTGGGGGTCATAGAACGAGACACGAGCATTCTGCTCTCGCCTTGGCTGTGCTGAGGAAGACTCTGCGTAAGGTGCGGTGCTTGGTTTTCGAGAGCGAGATGACGGTGCAGGTGATGCCGCGCGTGCTTTCGGTGTCTCAAGGCCATGGGATGGGTAGGCAGATAGAGGGGAAGGCGCGAATTGGGAGGATGCATTAGCGACGGAAGGAATATCTAGGATGGGAGTTCCATTTAATTTTGACTTGGAGGGAAGGGCGGTGACAGAAGAGGCAGTTCCTATCGAAGTCACAGAAGAAATCGATGGTCGAGCAGACGCTGGACTACCAGGCATGAGAATCGAAGGTATTTGAGAGGAATTCGTTGCAGCAGAAGATCGCATTGTCGATGAAGCGTTAGAGGGCCTCCGACCCTGTCTCGGTCGAAGGGAACTAGAGACGGGAGGCTGGGATTGGGACGCAGGTGTAGTCGGACGATTCCGAGACGGGGTAACAGGTCGTTCAGAAGAAGGCACCGAACGAGGAGTATCAGTCGACTCCGACATTGCTGGAGGCGAAGGTGCTCGGCGTGTTCGAGAGGCTACCTTAGGAGTAGGGGGTGCCGCAATTGAGGAAGGTGCAGGAGACGCTGAGCGCGCGGAGAAGCCGCTCTCCCTGTTATTTGACACAGAAGAGTCATTCGCATAAGGTCTTCGAGGTGCAGGTTGGAGAGGGATTCCATTTGGAGGTGTAGGCGCCCTTTCCATTCGTATGCCATTAGTGAATGGTTGGGATGGAGGAGCTCTTGATGCTGATATAAGAGTATCCGTTAATTACCTTCAATTTCTACAACAACGCTTCATGTCATTCTGAGGAACACTCACATGATGGCGCGTCTGGGTCCCTCATACCAAATATCTGCAACGAAATAGAGTTTCCCGTAATGGTGCGGAACGAGCGGATTAGCGAGACCAAGAATTCGGCCTGATCGCCTGGGTTCTCTGTTTGCCATCTGTATGTTCTCGCCAGCGTTATATTGAAAGCCAACGGCTGGCATTCGTTGTACATTGAGTATACATAGTAGCCATGGCATTAACGGGTACATATAACGTACATTCATCACTTCAACACCTCTAAGTTCTTGTAGTCTCCAAGTCTTGCCGACCGAGAAAGACCCGTTCGCGTTGAGCTTGGACTTATGAATGAAACCAGACCCATTACTAGCCTCTAAAGCATGATCTGCTTTACTCTCCTGTCCAGGAAACATTTGTCGTACGCACGTGAAAGTAGAATAAATCTAGGCTTCCGTCCGCCTTCTTGTGGTACAGCCTCCTCCCAAATCTTGATGTGGTTAACGTATGTTTCTTCGAGTCCACCAGCGGCATTGCGTTTTGAGAACACGGAGGAGATAATTCGTTGCCGTGTGTCCTTGTCAGTCATCATGCCTAGTGCGTCAAGAACATCGACCAAAGCCGGTGCGGTAGTGGTAACAGTTAAGGCCTACGGTGGCGATGTCCTCACAGCACGTAGTAGCAGTGTTATGGCTTATTGTCTAGAAGCTTCGGTCTTTATACTAAAAGAGGAATCCCGCCGGCATTTAAATGGATGATGAAAATAAGTTATTGCAAAGTGAATGAACCTAATTCCGAACAAGTTCTAAAGCTCTAAAGGCTCATAACCGTCATTGACTGTGTCCCTCTTCCGCCAAAACTTCCACTGGAGCCAGCCAGGATGCCCCCCATTATGTCCGCTCTTCTGAACTTCACCATTTCGCAAGATGACATACTCCCTTCCACGCCACACGATTGTGTTGCCCCAAATAGCCACCAACCAGATAGGAAGAGTCAGACATTCCCTGAGCATCCAAGCCACCACGAAACTCCACCAAACCCGGCCTGATGGCAGGGGATGTCCAGCTAGTGAAGTGTACACGTCGAGGTCTACGAACAACCACGCGGAGAAGTGTAGAGGAAGAAATATCCAGGGAGGAAGTCCAACGAGGTACTTCAACGCAATGGATGTCAATATCCCAACTAGCACCGACTCCGTGAGAGGCTCCATTAGCGTAGCGACCAGGACCATGTGCTTTCGTACCCTGATCCAGCGGACACGTCTCCAGATGTAGTCAGAGAAGGACATATTCCCAACTGCATTGCGAGCGACATCGCATGAGACGTCGTGCCTTAGATCCAGTTCATGCCATAAGGCGCTGGCAATCATATTGTCTTCAGCTAAGAATCGGCCGAACGCCGCGAGTCCTCTTTCACTAGGGGAGCCTGCGACATTGACCGTATGAGGCTTCAGAGAGCCGTCAACGCGTTCGAGATCAGACCTGCGGTAAAGATTTGATTTTCCTACTACACAGGAATCCACGGCGACAGCATTGATGGCGAGATACATCTTCGCATGGTTTGTGTTGAGAAACGCTTCCTCAATGCGTGCACCAAGACTGGGTTCCGTCATGAAAGCGAACGGTACATGGTGGACCAATGCGATCCGTCGTCTCCCCGAAGGCGATGCAGTGGGAGGTGGACCTAGGGCATCTACAGATCGCGCTAGTGTACCAGGATCGACCGAGATGTTGGAATCGATAACCCATAGAATATCGTATGCAGCTTCGCGATAGGCCCGCGTCAGATTGTTGACTTTGGGATTGACTCCGACGTTCTCCTCTCCTATACTAAGGTTATTATATGACAGAAGGAGCATATAGGGCAACCATACCGATGATGATATGGGCATTCACAGCAGGATGCTTTGCAATTAGCTCTCGCACTATGGGCAACGCCTGGTCTTGGTCATCCCCAACGCAGAGGAATATTTCATACTTGGCATATTCCTGGCAAAAAGTGGACTCCAGATTCTCGTATAAATTTACGTCGAGACCTTTTAAAGGTCTGATGATGGAAACCCCAGGTACTGATGAAGCAGGAGCTGATGCGAGGGGTGAACGTGGGCGGAGCCTGTACCGCTTGCGACTTGAATTACACATGTAGGTCAAAACATATCTTTCCCAAAGTCAATCATATTGTGCACTCACGCATTGAAGCAACCTAGCAGCCCAAGAAACCAGAGCACACCATACCATACCAGGCAAGCAATGGCTAGGACGAGTTTGAGTGTGCTTGTCTGCTGGCCGTTCCCCTCCGTGCTCGTAAGAGGATCCGTCATGATATTGGCATTGTCGAGCTCGTAGAGTATGGCGTGTAGCTGAGCTTGGTAGAGGTGTGATCACTGGGTCGCTCGCTCGAGATGATCAAAGGAAGAAAACGGAATATGGCATGGCTCACGTTACCTCAGCAAGGCGCGTAAACAACGCGTAAACACAGAACGCGACCGAGATTGTTTCCTGCCAACAACCACCATCGTTTTGACTATTACACCTGAAAAAATATCTTCTCCTCTCTCTTTTTCAAATGTCGTCTTGGAAGACTTCATTCCAGAGGGGCGTCTCCTCGTTTCGAGGTGGGCAACTTCAGGACGCATTGCAACATTTCTCACAAGTATGTCTGAAACATCTTACACGGAAAACTAAACCGATGAGACTATGTTCAGGCCGTGCAACAAGGGTGCAATGATCCGAACGTTTATGACTCTCGTGCAGCAGTGCACGAAAAACTTGGAAACACGAAGGAGGCTCTGTTGGACTCGAAGAAAGTCATTGACTTGTCTCCTCAACGATGGCAGGTGTGTTAGCCTGCATTTCACTACTAGCCCCCTTCTCATCGAAGAACAGGGATATTTTAGAGCTGCTCGTCTTTTCCTGAACCTTCGCAAGTTTGACAGGGCGAAAGCCATGGCAGCCATGGCACTGGAACGTGTGAAACCCGATGATTCGAAACGGCTTGCAGAGCTGAAGGCATTACAAGAGAAAATCGAAAGCGCTTTGCAAGCTTTCGTAGAACATCAGACACGACAAGCATCGAAGCATTTCTATCATTTTGGAAAGCTTCCGGTGGAGATTGCAATGATGATCTTCTCCATAACACTGCAGGACGTTCCTGCCAAGGTCGTGTATCTAGCACAGGTCTGCAAAGACTGGCGGGACACAATTCTGAATATGCCATCGCTCTGGAGAAACCTCATTTTGACCAACCGAAACCCAATGCGAAAGGCTAAAGTTTGGAAGTCACGCTGCGAAGGAAGACTGGCACGGCTTCATCTACAAGGCAGTGCTGTCCACTTAGCTTTGGATATTCTTCAGGATATCGATTGGGATCATCTAAGAGGTCTAACCTTGGAAGATGTCGACCTCGACGTGATCCGAGAGAAACTACTATCACCCAATCCCACTATTTTTCGTGATCTGGAGTCCTTGAGTGTGGAAGGAGCGACCCGTAGTCCCACCAACATTGACTGGCTCTGGCAACATTCCGAGATGCGACTTCAAAACCTCACTGTTAGGTCCCATCGAATATCCTGGCCTACTATGTCAATTAATACGTCCTGTCTACGTTCATTGTTATTTGATGGCCCTATCTACCTTGGCGATGATATCTCTTTATTATTCTTACTGCAGTCTAATCCATGTCTGGAATCCGTCGACCTCACAACCTGGATACCGACGCTTTTCCTTCCCGATGAGGATGAAGTACCGGACGTCCCCTCTTCCGTTGAAATGCCACGGCTGAATACGATTTCGATCCGCGGCGACGGCTTCCCAGTAGCCGCTTTCTGCTCCAAGTTAATCATGCCTAACCTTCAGAAGCTCTCCCTTTCTCGCTGTCGAGAACCTCTCGACCTGGTCTTCAGGGTATTCTCGTCGTCTCGAGTCGTACAGTCATTGACCGAACTCCGAATCCAACGGTGTGTCGTGGCATTACAGAATATCATTGATATTTTGAAGCTCGCTACGAACTTGGAGCTCCTTGAGCTGATTGCTATCGGGGGCGCTAATATGCGTATGGTTGCGGAAGCATTGGCCGAGCCGCAGGGAGAGAGGGAGCAGAAAGAGGGCAAGGACACTCAAGGAGGACTTCTTTGTCCTTCCTTGAAGCACCTGAATCTTTCAGAAGCGCCAGATCTTCAGGCGGGTCCTTTGGTTCGTCTTATCAAAGCTCGAAATACGGATGCAGATGGGGAATCTGAATCCGAACGTCAAGTCGCAAGAATACACACACTCATCCTTGATGCTTGCCCACTACTGGACGGGGATATACTGCCATGGATCCGGAGTAAAGTTCCGCACGTGAGCTGCGTATACATGTCGAAGAAAGAGGCAAGCTGGAAGAGATAAAAAAGCACGGTGACGAGCAGGAAGCAGTTTGTACCGTATTGTCAAATGGCTATCTACGAGCTCTGAGCATACGCTAACCAGTCTTATTGTAGGATATGAACATTAACGTCAAGAAATAGGTTATGCTGTAGAGTATCTATTTTATTCGCATCTCACTTGTTGGCTGTGGTGCTGCTTTCTTCCCCTGGCAACTAGACTTATGCTCCGCCCAATGACTCTTTTGGCACTCCGAATCGCAGTACCTAGAAGACCATTAGACAGACTGCATCTGACGCCTGAAGGAAGATTGCAAATTCATACCTTGTCGTACCACATTGTCCACATTTCTTCAATACAGCACTAGTTCGCTCGCACCAAGTGCAGCGCATCGGAGTCAGCTGTTCCTTGGACATTTCCGCGGACCACCACCTATATTGACCTGGCTTAGCCCGGCGATCCTCATCCTCGAAGTTCGATAACCATGTGTCCAGATGGCGGGCACTTTCATCGTGGTCCGCGAAAGTGAGATCACTCTCTTGGCTTTCAGCCACGAACCCATTCGTGATCTCCAACGTATCTTTCCACTCTTGAAGAGCGTCAGACATGTTGTCAAGGATTTGCTTTCTCGTGTCCTTGACTAGGCTGGGCATACCAAGAGGAATGCCCAGGTAGTCCATGAACTTGTTGTTGATCTCGGATTTCTTGGATACCTCCTAACAACATAATGAGTCGGAGGACCGTATAAGTGGTACGTCGTGAGTTACACACCTGCATTTCGGGCCCATCAATGGCGCATTCTGGACCTCTCACCAGCAGAGTGACAATGATATGTATGCTCAAATCTCCTTGCATAAACATTGAATCAGGTGGCAGAATCCGAATCAGCTCACAGGAATCTTCATGTGCACTGATGAGCATGGCAAGAAAATTAGCCCGCTGATCCCACGAACATGCAGCCGTACTGATGTGAAGCGCAGAGTTGATTGCATATCGCAGTAGGGAGGTACGAATCCAAAGCGGGATGTCAGGACACTTCAGCCCTTTCTTCGACACACGCAGTGTGTCCAAGTGATCTACGTTGTGCTGTTGTGAGGCGACGGCATAGTAGAAGAACGGAATGCTCGGGACTCGAGAAATCGCGTTACGGGCGACCTGGAGAGCCTTTTTTCCACCGTCTTTTTCGCAGTGTGTTGACTTCCATTCCAATGCATCGGCCAAATCCAGATCGCTCGGATGTTCGCTAGCAGCACGTAAGGCCACAATACACTCCGGTGCACATTTGTTCCAGTCTGAACAGCATGCGCAGCTTCTGAGTCTAGCGCAGCCCGTACAAGCTTTTTGTGGCACGGAAAACTGGTTGGTCATAATCTGCGCACCGAGAGCTCGACCAAGAGCGAGAGGGTCAGGCTTGAGCGTATTTTGGGAATGCAAGGCGACGTAGTCTCGCATACATAGTTTGATGCCCAGTGCTTCGGTCCTTTCTTGTCCAAACTCGCCAAGTATTGCCGAAAGATCTGAGGGATAGTCACACTTCTTGAGGTTGCCTACTATGGCGAAGGTTGCAATGTATTTGCAGGTGACGGGGGAAGACATGCGCCATATTCCCCTTAGGGCTTGCATGCGCCGGTTAAGATCGTGACTCCGCAGCATAGCGACGCAAAGTAGCAAGTAGGATCGGTTGTTTTTGCATTCAGATAGTACGTTTGAAGACGAGCCGCCGAAGAAGGCCATTGCGTGGTCAAACAACCAACTGGTCAATGCAGGTTGGCGAAGTGTTTCAAGAATGTTTTCGACAAGAGGTGATAGTTCGATACGAACGCTTGGTGATTGAAGTACGCTGGGTGAATGTGCCAAAATTCCTAATACAAGAGATGGAACCATCGGATCATCGACGTGTGCCTTCCAGAGACTGATGAGTTTGCCCACGTAACGCCGAAATTCGAGCGCGAATCGTTTTCCAAAGTGAAAAGTTATCACGTTCAGAAAACGCAGGGCCAAACCAAGAGTTTCTGAATTCTCGGTCAGGGTCATCACCCGCTCCAGCAGACCTAACATTCATTCCATGAGTATGCCATCAGAAGAAAGAATTAGCGGTGAGTATAGCTCACCTGCATCAATCAGGCGATCTTGCAGGATGGAATCGACTGTGCACATCTTTGTCCATACAGCAACAACACCGCCCATGATCTTAAAGTTTCGGTTTTGTCTGCCGTATTTGAAGGCCTGGTTTAGACGAGAGTCGTAGGCCTCAAGGTCAGCGTGAACGTCTTTCAGTCCGTTTCGTGTAGTTAAGTCTGGAAGCATTGAGATTATTACCAAATCAAACACGGCGTATCAAATAAAGCTCACCAGGAAAATTAAGTATTGCACACATCTGGTTGGCAACTTCAACCCAATCATCCGAAACACTCCATTCGTCTCCGAAGATATTGGTTAATGAATTCGCAGCAGGCCTAGCTTTACGCTTCCGGTGACGAGAAGCCATAACCGTAGGTCTGCCCCTCATGTTTACTGAATTAGTCTGATATTGACTCCAAGATGTAGACATAGTTTGGGAAGTACCTGAAGCAGATACGTTACACGCCCGAAGACTAATAGGTACGTACGGATGAAGCGGACATGATTCCTAGACCCTGAGAAGGCGGTTGGTTGTGAAGAGCAAAGGAGCGACTCGGACGCGATTAGGAAGCATCACCAAAGGAGGGAAAGGAAATGCGATTTCTCGAAATGTAGACCGTCAGCACGTGCACGAACGCAAACGCGATCGAGTGATCGATCCCGATCGGATACCAATCACCAGTCAACTACGCGTTGAGCTCTTCCAAACCAAAGACCTCGACCGTGTTCTTCCATGCCTTCTCAGTCACTTTCTCAAACGGTACGCCCTCATTGAGCTTATGCACCACCCAAGCAACGCCTCCGATAGCCGTGGGTTCATTGCGTCCTTTTACTGGCTTTCCATACATGAAAGACTCTGGCTTCGTCGCAGGCGGAAAGTATAGTGAATTAAGCGAAGGGGGGAGGGAGTTCAAATGGGCCTTCGATGCATGTGTGGAAGTAAGCGAGCACCATGGAGCGTCTGAGAACATATCGCCTATGTAAGAAAGTGGATGCGCGGGCAATCAAGCGACGTACCTGTTTCGAACATGATCTTCTCAGGTCGAATGGCTCGAACGGCAGCGAGATTTTCCGTGGTCTTCATTGAGCAGCCATTGACTCTGATATATCTTGAGTACTTCATAGATAAAACTACATAGTAACAAGGCATACCCTATGTGAAAGCCCATATCCATCTAGGGATCATTAATTGTGTTGCATGATTCACATCGTGGAGACAGACTCACAAGTTCAATCGCTTCCTCTGGTGGTCCGGTGAAACTATGTACGACTCCACCTTTCCCTCCTACTGCCTTTCCTCCGTCCTCACCAAAGCCTTCCTCTCTAAGGATCTTCACGAAGTCCGCATGCGCTGCGCGAGAATGAAGAAAAAGTGGCAAGTGATACTTTTTGGCTAGTGAGAGCTGAGAACCTGTGCAGAGGTATCAGCCTTTTGAAGACTGAGCGAAACAAGAAGACATACGGAAATGTGTACGCTGGGTCTCGGGGGACGCGAAATGAGTCCGATCGTAGTCTAGAGGGAGCCTGATGGACATGATTGTTATGAGGACAAGGCAGAAAATATCACCTACCGAGACCGCATTCGCCGACGGCTACAGCTCTTCCTTTCCCGCTGAGATTCTGCTCTATCACCTTGTCTAGTTCTTGAAGGTAGCCTTCTGGCCCACTTTTAAACTGATCAAATTGCTTCGATCGCGTTGGATGGCATCCTACAGTCGCGTAAAAATTGTGCTGCTTTGCAAGCTCCAGAGATTCTTTTGATTCATGTAGGCTACCTCCGGTAATGATCATAGATCGGACTCCGGCTGCCTTGCAACGTTCCAACATGGCTTCAAGGTCATCTATAGCAGACTTTCGTAGGATCTCTTTGTCTGTGAGTGATGAAGCAACTACTCACCATCGTGTTTCTGCCTGCCATGATGGAATCCCCGAAAGACGGGATCGGTGAGGTTGACTAATGAGAATCAGCCTACAAGTTCGATCGCAAAGCCAAGACCCATGTACTTACCGGCGATGTCTGTGTCATGAGCATTGATTCCTTTAACTACTGCAGGCCATGACGCACACCCAAGATTGCGCACCGATGAACCTGAACTGCCTAGGATCCACTGCTGTGACTGTCGGTCTTGATGCTACTGTTACTGGCATGGTGTTAATTCCTTGTCTTCTTGACACCTGGTACGATCTAAAAAGGTTTTCCCGGGTGAAAATGAGATCTCGAAAACAAGTGTTTTGAACTCTTTGGAGGAGAGAGTAGATCTGCATAAAACGGCCAGTCAACAGCCTTCAACAGCTGCAAAGCGATCGGTGGGGTTGGCGCCCATTGTCGCTTGGCTTCAGTCCCTTTTGAATGACTGTTTCAACTGGGTTTCGACTTTTCTCTTGACCAAGTCTCTACGACAGTCAAACATACTCTGCTACAGACACCGTCAACATGAAATTCAGCGATAGAGGAATAATCACATGAGCGTAAGATCGGCCAAGCTTCACTTTTGACCCGTTGAAGCGACCCGTATTTGAGGCCCATGATCTCATGTTCCGACCCCGCCTTCTTAATCCCCCGGGCGATAATACCTTGTAACCCACAACTTTTCCCCCACATTTCACTCTTGTCTTTCTCAAAGCCTTATCATGGAGCGCGTCAGACAGCTTGTTTCTCATTTGACTCCTGGATCCTCGACAGGCCTGGCTGCATTGGAGCGAAAGAACCCGGACGATGTGGTCATTACAATGGCTATACGTTCCCCACTTTGCAAAGCGGGGAAGGGTGGATTCAAAGATACCAGGTATGCTACATTCGAAAGCACCTACTATGGAGCTATGCTTATCGTTGGCTGCAGGTCTGACGAGCTGATGACTGAGATATTCAAGGTTTGTTATAACCTTGTCCATCGTAATGCAAACTCAAATTGCGCTTTTCTTCTGCCTCTTAGCATGCCATCGCACGTTCTACAGTAGACCCCGGTCTCGTGGGTGATATTACTGTGGGCACCGTATTGACACCCAGTGCACCTTATGAGGCCCGTGCCGCCGCCCTTGCTGCAGGCTTCCCTGACCATGTTCCAGTGCAAACTATCAACCGTTTCTGTTCATCTGGCTTGATGGCTGTCACCGACATCGCCAACAAAATCCGAGCAGGCCAGATCGCCATTGGACTTGCAGTCGGCGTTGAGAGCATGTCTCAACAGTATGTGCATATACTCTACTGACGCGCCGAGTATTGAATTGGTCCATTTGTGTAGCTCAGATGCCAATGCTAGGGAATTCAGTGAGGAAATCAAGGCCCATCCCGTCGCTCGTGATTGCGCCATGCCTATGGGCTGGACATCTGAGAACGTGGCTGCCGATTTTGACATCTCTCGTGCTGAAATGGACGAGTTTGCTGCACTGTCATACCAGCGCGCCGAGCATGCGGAGAAATCTGGAGTGTTCGCTCGTGAGATCGTACCGTTCACCGTTTTTGTGAAGGATCCTGAGACGGGAAAGCGCACGACAAAACTGGTGATCAAGGACGATGGTATCCGGTACGGCACGACCAAGGAAGGATTGACCAAGATTCGCCCCGCGTTCCCGCAATGGGGACGAGGGCAGACCACTGGTGGAAATGCTTCGCAAGTTACTGATGGTGCAGCTGCTGTCATGCTCATGCGGAGAAGCAAGGCAGAGGAACTTGGGGTAAAGATTCTGGGAAAACATGTAACAACGGCAGTCGCTGGCCTTGCTCCGCGCATCATGGGTATCGGACCAGCGTATGCCATTCCGATGGTTCTGGAAATGGTCGGAATCACAAAAGATGACGTTGATTTGTTTGAGGTCAGTGTTTAGGAGAGGCGAACAGTAAGGGCTGCTAACGCTTTATCTTTAGGTAAACGAAGCGTTTGCGTCACAATACGTGTACTGTGTCAAGCAACTTGGTCTCGATGTGGAGAAGGTGAACGTGAATGGAGGTGCTATTGCCTTCGGTCATCCACTAGATAAGTATACGGTCATATTCTTCCGTTCCAGTGCACTGATCCGTCCCGGCCTCTCTACGATGTACAGGTGCCCGCCAGATTGCGACAGGGTTTAATGAACTTCATCGGAGGAAAGGCAAGGTATGCACGTTGTTCATTCATGAGCGGTTCCAATGCTCAGGTTCTCCCATGGATAGGTTCTGGTGACTTCGATGTGTATTGGTACTGGAATGGGTGCTGCTGCAGTGTTTGTACGGGAGACTTGAGCTTGTATACTCTGTTTTGTGTTTCCTGGGTGTATAGTGGCTTTCATAAGAATATCAAGTGCCCAAGATATCTATCTTTTCGTCTTCTCTTCCATACCTAAGCCAGGAGGAGAACGCCAAAAATACAACCGCCGTGAGTGCCGGTGCCAAGAATAGGTATGATTGAGTGGCAACGAGCACGAGAGTCTGGGAAAGCGCCTGGGGCTGCAAGAGTCGACAGCGGTCCAAACGTTGTCCTCAACCTCAACCTCCCCAGGCTCGCCGTCGCCGTGGCCGCAACTTTTCTGGCTGTACACACCATTTACCTTTTCGCATAGCTCCCCCTTCATCACTCACTGCCAGTCTCTCGTTAAGCAACATTTCCCTCTTCTCCGGGGCCCAGGAGCTATGTCCTCTAACCCTAACTACCATAACGCCAATAATACTCCTTACGGTTCTGGCGATCCATACTACAACGAGTCCTCGGGATACATTACTCCAATGCCTATGAAGAAACGTACCAGCAACTGGGTCAAGTTTGGTATCCCGGTGGCCATTGTTGTCATCGTGGCTGCTGTACTTGGCGGTGTCCTTGGAAGCCGTGCATCGAAGAACAGTAATTCAAGCAGCTCTTCATCGGCGTCCGACACTTCCCCCTCTGGCGAAGCAGCTGCGAGCAGCGCCGCCTCTGTCAAGAACTCTATCGGTGTTTTCCCCACTGCTACCGACAGTTTATACCTTCTTCCTATTTACCCTTCAACCGTATGTCGTTACTGTGCTGGTAGTTTGGTTTCATTTCTCATGTCTTGAACCACGTTAGACAAATACTGCCGCCTTTACTTCCCCCACCTTTCACCCTTCTAACAACGAAGCGCTCGCATGGCCGAAAGACCCCTTCCAACCATCCAGCCCCAGCAGGACAAGCGTTCGTCCCGACCGACCCCGTCTTGTTGCGCCTTCTTACAAATGGCAAACACTCCCGACTCTTATTCAAACCGACCCTTACCTCAAGCAATGGAACGATACCATCTTTGGCAATGCTACTCAGTATTATTCTCTCCCGCCAGAAAAGTATTTCATGGATGGCGGTAGCGGTATTCTCGATAACGCTCGTGAAATCAAGATGCGTATTAAAGCGTTCGCTTACGTTTACCGCATGACGAACGACACCAAATGGGTTGACCGTACTTGGCAGGAGTTACAGGTTCGTCTCTAATGTTGCGTTTCTGGACCACCAGTATTCACGGCTGCTGTTCAGAATGCTGTCAGCGACAGCTTCGGCCCTAACGATAACACCAAATGGAATCCAGGGCATTTCCTCGATACCGCAGAGCTCTCAGCTGCCTTTGCTATCGCCTACGACTGGCTTCATGATGTATGGCAAGATGACCAGAGGTCCCAGATCAGGGCAAACCTCATCCAGTATGGTCTCAGCCAGGGTCTTGCCGCTTTCACCAACAGTGACAACAAGTTCAATGGTTGGTGGACGAATAACACACAAGGCAACTGGAACTGTGTCTGCAACGGTGGACTCACGCTCGGTTCCCTTGCCATCCTTGGTGATGATGATTCTGGTCTCGCGGAGCAGCTCCTTGGCCTAACCGTCGACAATGCCCTGCAGAACTGTGCTCAGGCTGTCACCACCGATGGTTCATGGACAGAAACTGCCAACTACTGGTACTTCGGTACCACCGGGCACGCTGAGATGTCGGCAGCGCTCCTGACCGCTACCGGTTCTGACTACGGTTTGCTCGACAGCAACAAAAACTTCCAGTTGACTGGTCTTTACCATATGTACGTGACGGGCTTCGGCTCTCTTTTCGCGTATGGTGACCACGGTCCGGGAAAGTTCTCCACCACCGCGAATTCCATGTTCCTCTACGGTGATCATTACAACCACCCCGAGTACGTCCTCTTCCAGCGTGATCAGCACGACGCCCCCGAGCCGTGGAGTATGTTCTGGTACAACCCGACGGTCTCGGGTGCATTCTGGGACAACATGCCCCTCGATCACTTCTTCGATGATGGTCTTACACAGTGGGCGGCCATGAGGAGCAGTTGGACGGACTCGAACGGGTTGTACGCCGCTATCAAGTCTGGCAAGTTGACCGGACATCAGAACCATAATGATCTCGATGCTGGTGATTGGGTGATGGATGCTCTCGGTACGCGTTGGGCTGGTGACCTTGGTTCGGGAGACTACTTGTCTGAGGGCTACTTCAATGGTGACACTCAAGATGCCGATCGTTGGTTGTACTACCGCAAGCGTACGGAGGGGCAGAACTGCATTTTGGTCAACAAGCAAAACCAACTTCTCACTGCGGCGCCTACCGTCAAGGCTGAAACTGACAAGACTGCACAAGGTTCAAGCACAGTCTTCGATGTACCCAGTGGCTCGACTGCATACTGGACCACTGATCTCGCTTCTGTCTATGATTCGTGAGTGCGATTTTCTGCAGATGATGTGTAAATATCTAATTTCGTGTCTAGCTCCGCCGTATCCTCTCACAAGCGTGGTTTGCGTATGATCAACGACCGCAAGCAGGTTTTGCTACAGGACGATATCACTGCTACGCAGCCCATCATGTGGCGTATGCACACGAACGCGACCGTGTCTGTCGATCAGAGCGGGACATCTGCGACGTTGACAATCGGAGACAAGACGTTGCAGATGCAGATATTGAACCCAACCAGTGACATGAAGATCTCGACGGGCCCAGCTTCCCGTTTCTCTGATGACCCACCCCTGCCTCAGAATCAAAGTGATCAGGAGAATCCAGGAGTGACAGTTGTCATGATCAATATGGATGCAGGAACGAAGAGCTTGCAGGTGTTGTTCAACCCTCAGTGGCCAGGAATGTCGTCGAGCGATTTCAAGACCCCACCGAGCGTCCCTGTCGATTCGTGGTCGTTGACGAGCCACAATTAGATGGACTGGATTTCTTTTTGACACTTTGACAGACGATTAATCTGTGATGGACAGTTTGGTGACAGTTTGGCATGTTCGAATTAGTTTAGTATTGCTCTACGAGAAGTCATTGTTCTTTTGCATTGAATGGTGTGAGGCTTGAGAGCATTGTGTTACGTGAATGAAGACAATACCTGCCTAGTGGGAAGCCGCTTAGGGGAGGGGACAAATGCAGGCAGTGAGGCTGACGCCGGGTGGTGTTGACGGTCGCCTTGGTTTCGGGTGAACGTGCTGTCTGTCGCCCACGAGCGATATCTCGTTCGGCCCTTTCCTCCAACATCTTCATCCACTCTCAGCAGTGGGAGACGTCCGCTCATTTGTCCTTCACTCTTTTCCCTTCCCGGTCCTATCCTAAACAAAAACCCTTATACAATCCGTCTCAGAAGGCCCAGTGAGTTTTCTCCCCGCTTTTTGTCTTTCAAGACGCGTCTTGTTGCACTCCATTCCTTTCCTTCCCTTGTGGCTGGTCCTTCTGTACTGCTGGCTTCGGTCATCAACGTTCTCTCATTCGTGCACGGTCCTTGACGGACCCACTTCTGCCAGGCTAACACACATTTCGTCAGTCAGGAATCCCCCTTCCACCCCTTCCGCAACGAGCATTTTTCGATATCCACCATGTTCGTGCTCAAACCCAGAAGGATCGCTCTTACGCTCTTTTGCTCCCTCGCGGTCCTCCTTGCCCTCACCTCAGTTGCCGAGGCAAACTCCCTTAACGCTCCTCAGGCCAGAGATCATGTTGTGCTCAATCGTATGATGAAGAAACGTGCCTTCCCCTTCCTTGTCGATCCAGCCCCTGACCCTCCCAGTGATGATCCTACACCTACGAGTACAGGAAGTACCGTGTCTCCCACTGTCAGCAGTGTTTCGTCGACTGTAACATCCTCTGTTGAGTCCTCATCAGTGTCTGAAACCTCTTCGTCTGTTTCTGCATCATCTGTGAGTGTAATTATGCTGTGGGTAGATTCCGGTGCTAATTTGACGTGTTTGTAAAGGTTTCATCGGCGGCGGCCTCTAGCACGGCTTCAAGTGTCAGTAGCAGCGCGTCCAGCAGTAGCGTATCCGAGTCTTCGTCTGTCGCTACCACCTCTTCGTCGGTTGAGACGACTTCTTCTGCATCTCCCACTCCTACCCCTACCCCCACTGAGGCAGCTGTGACATCCCCGCCTGCTGAAACCCCCGCCACGACAGATTCTTTCCGTCCCGTTTCTCGAGTTACCTCGACTGTCACCGACGCAGCTCCCAGTGAAACCAGTGCTGCCGCTCAAGCTGCCGCCGCCGCCGCCTCGTCGTCCAAGGTTACAAAGACCACTTTGATTGTCATTGTCTCTATTGCGGGTTCCATCGGTGCTATCGCGATTGGCTGGACTATCATTCGTAAAGTGAAGTTCAAGCCCTCCGCCGGATTCGAGGACCGCATGCAACCTATCGACTGGCAGCCTACCAACGGCCCCGATGATAGGGATGATGTCCCAGGCGTTCACCGTAACGCTTCTGCCCGTTCTCACGGTTCCTTCCAATCCGCCGGTCACAGTGAAGAGAACTTTGCTGGCCGCGGTATGGGACCAGGATATGGTGGCAACGGTTCTGATCATGGTCACGGTAGCTCTGCACTCCAACCAATTCCTGACCACGACTTCACTGCTGGTCCCAGTATGGCACCTGTTGGCGGATATGCTGACTTGGCTCGCGGTACCACCCCTGCTCCTCAGATGGGTGAACTTACTCGTGGTCCTAGTGTCACTCGTGGCTACGACGCATACGGTGTACCGCTCCACCACCAAGGCGCATACGACTACAATGCATCTGCCGGTGTTCGGTACTGATCTCTTTTTCCAATATTGAGGAAGTGCGTTGAGGTGGCGGGAGAATGGCGCTTGGATGGTCTGCGCTGGGAGTGGATGTGATTTCGAGCCGTCATTTGCCCGATACCAGCTGTATGCGTAACGAAACAGGAACGATTGAGACAGTATTGATCCAGATACCACGCTTTTATATTCTTCTATCCCGGCCTCACTTTCGTTGATATTCGAGCTGGACAGCGATAGTGGACTGGTGTTCGTAATACCTTTTTTCCTACTGACTGTCCACCTTTCTTGTGCTTAGTCTCTTCTTAAATCATCGACCTTTTTTCAATAATTACGAGTCGTCGTTCGTCATTTATTGGAAGCTTGTTCATCCTTCCAATCGCTGGTCGTTTCATTTCCCTCCTGTTATCCCCTGTATGTGTTCTTGTCACTTATATGAGAGCTTTTGTTTTCGATATGTTTCTCGCAAGCGAGACTTTATTATGATTGTTACACATTTTTGTGTCTGCATTCCGATGACGTTCGGGTCCGAACTACATGGAGCGCCTATTTTAATTGGCGCTGGCGAGGCTATGAGAACGCCTCAACGTGGCCTGCCTTTCCTTTGAAAAAACAACCACGAAGGTTTGCCCATGAGTTCTGTCGACCTTCGTGTCCTCGTATTCTGATGGTGAAGCCGCAAGTAAAGGGCTTTAACATGCAACCTGAGATGTCTTGGTTCACTCCGAAGTCAGGTATGTCTTCAACAACGTCGTGCTGCGCAGTGCTGGGAACGCTCACTGACAAGGGCATAACTCTTCAGATGGCACGTGGTCCTCTGGATTCAATACTTCCTCCACTACTACTTTGAAGTCCTCCCAGCCTTCCAGTCTGAAATCTCCACAAAGTCCAGGTCCTAGTTTGAAACGTTCCCGTTCGCCGACGAGGACGATGGAGCTAGCTCCCTTGCCTGCGTTGAGTGGCGACATCATCCTCGAAGTGTTTACCCATAGATCGCTGCGCTTTCCCGGTGCTCCCAACTCTCAGGAGTTCGAATATGGCAACGATCGATTGGCAATCATTGGCGAGAAGGCATTGGAGATGGCCTTAACTGATGCATTATACAGACAACGTCCTATCTTGAAAGCCCATGATATTGAAGTGCGTATCCATACCAGCCCTATCGGACCTTGGACCTTTGATCTTTACGTATCTGTGTAGTCCCGACGACAGGAACTTCTTTCTCATCATGTTTTAGAGGGGTGGGTAGCCGGCTACAGGCTTCGCGACAAGTTGCGATGCACCCCAGATGCTTTTGCCACGCTCAACGACCCTACTGTGCGCATTATTTAGCAACCCATATCGCAGCTCGATACACTGAATGTTCTTTCCCCTCACAGGAAACTAAGCATCTCTTTTGTTCTTACGTGGGTGGGGTGTACGCACAGAATGGAATGTCGACAGTGCAGAACTGGATTGGCACTTTAGTTGACCCTGAATATGAAGGGGCGTCTCGCGACACTGATATGGACCAACCCTTTAGTTTCAAGAAGGTCAAGACGGAACAATTCAGTGCACCGCCGGAGCCCGCCTTTAATATGCCGCAGCCTCCCCCTCCGCCTCCTCCAATGAATCCGCCACCTCCCCTCCCCAATCCGCTGTCTCCCGCACAGCCTCAGGCAGCATTTCTGCCCCTCTTCAACCAAACGGCCACCCAGCGCCGTTTGGTCGTAGAGTATCCTGCTTCGTTTTCTGGGCCTGCTCATGCAGGTAGATGGACTGTTAAGTGTGTTGGTAAGTCGCGACATATTGCATATTCTTTTCACTGCCTAATTCTTCCTTAGTCAACGGAATGGAGAAAGGGATGGGCTCAGGACCCAGCAAGCAGCTTGCTAAGGAAGAGGCTGCCAGGCAGGCGTACTTTGCGATGGGTTGGGCTCCCCGTAAGTCCCCCAAAATTGATTACTATTGTTAACGGCTCCACTTACTCGTGTGCAGGTGGCGCATGAATATACTGTATGAGCGCACCAGCGTGTCTTTTCGCGAATAGTTGTACCGTTGTAATCTACTAGCAAAGTGCGAAACGTAGCCGACGCTGCTCACAGCAGCGAGCTACGTTACAACGCCTCAGGATCATTATGGAACATACACATTCTATCATGATTTTGCTGCTGGATTACAACGGTCCAAGTGTTTGACTTGCGATCGAAGCAAAGTCAAACTTGGCAGCACTTCCCGGGGATGTGAGTTGATGCGCGCACTGACCGGTCGACTCCCTTCATGTGTCGACTTTGAGTTTGCTTCGATTGTCGTGGTCGAAGCGATAATCCACTCCGGTGAGCTTATACATTGCCTTCATCGCTAACGGGGTCGATCGATGCCAACTTGAGAATCCTTGAGTGTGTCGCTATGATGAATTTGTGCCCACTTGGTTCCCCTTATACGTTTCTTTTATGAATGTGATCGGTTAGTGGTTGTTGAGTTTTCTTAGTGTTGCTTCCTGCTGCGTATGACGTCTAGAAAATATGCCAAAAGAAAATTCATATATACAGATGTTGTATTATACCTTTGCAGTCGTGACATGTATGCAATATGCTTATGTTTGTCTCCCAAAGTTTGTCGACCCTTCTAGACCTACAGTGCGCCGGTGGATTGGTGTCATTGGGGAGAGAGAGATAGATTACCGGGCGGGGGTGGGGGGGGGGGAACATGGGGTTCCGCCGTCCGGTACCATGCTATACATGCAAGGCTCAAGCTGGGAAATCGACATACTAACAAGTCTCTCAAGGGAACCCTACCTCCGAAGAAGACAATCTGTGGAAACATAGATAAGCAGCAGGGGCTATTGACGTAGACCTTAAACATTTCATAGGTGAGTGCACCACCAGCGTTCCATTTTACGGACTAAATCAAAGTGAATCTGTGTAGCTTTAAGTTAGAGTCACGTACGAATTTGCGTACGAAGAAACATTTGTATACTAGAGGCCGGAAGCGAGCCTAAGAGTCATATATGCATCGCCGAGGAAGACTTAGATCCTGTGCGGAGTCAGGCGGTCCATGGCCAAACACCATTGCAACATGGACAGAACTTGGGAAGGGCCACGAACCGCTTATGTTATATGATTAGCCGATGCGATATGTATGACCACACCAAGATACCACTGAACGCATCGGAAACGATGTTCATGACTCATCATGAGTTTCGCTGCCTGTTTGACATACGTAGCTGTCCATATTTGCATACTCCTATACTTGTACGAGACGTGACCATGAGGCCATTGGAAAATCGGGATAACGGTATTTCTTTGGTGACAATTGCTTATGCTTATGAGGCCTTGCGAAAGCCTTCGGCCAATGCAAATGGAGTTCCGGTCAATGGAAAGCCTCGGATTGCTGACCAAAGTATGTTGTTGAATGGCCGATACTGTACATATGGCGACGGGTCGCAAATAGACCAATGGATTCCTGTAGAGCGACAAAGTTATTTGACCTGTTTCACTATAAAAAATACGAGGCGGGCTGTTCATGGCAGTACTGTAAGAATGAATTAGATATAGAGAAAGAGTCAAAGCATTGGCCATTAAAGGGCTCGGTGAAGAGGGGGACGGGAAGGAAGGTGTGACCATTTGCCCACAATGGGAGCTTACTCATCCTGGCTTGTCAATTACACACTGCCTAACTCAGCTCAGTTTACACAAGAACCTCCTTCCAACCTGTCTCCTCAACGGCCACCATCTCCTCCTTCTTCAACGCTCTGTCCAACGTATTACAATTGGATACATTGGCGTAGCGTCTTCCGCCCGTCGCCACTATGCAATCTGCACAACAGCTGGCTCCTCCACCTCCGAATTTGCATAACCAGTCCAACCCGATAGATCTCACTCTGGACGAGGACGAGGATGACTCCTATGTCAATGAGAGAGCCTGCAAACGAACTTGTCCTCTTGGTCGTTCATTTAATGCAATAAATACAGCATGTCCCGATGCTGCGCCGAACCAATATTCCCCGCCGTACCACTCTGGCTTGTCACCTGCTATGTCTTCTTCCTCTTTACAAGCGGAAGGACGAGTGCCTCCGGGATCATCTTATAATTACGCTGATACACAGAGCCCAACGAATTCTTTACAACAGCCCCTTCAACCACCCATTCAACCGCCAAATGTGTCTATTCCGCTCTTGAAGTCGCCATTCCCCTCATTCCCGGGCTTCCCTGTACCCCCTCTGTCTGTCTCTTCTTCCCGTCCCGTTGCACCAGCGTCATATTACGAGACAAGCGCGCCCACACAGTCCCAACCATATGCTACATCGTCCACCCCTGGCCCGTCGAGCAATGCACAAGCTCGACAAGTTATTGACCTCACAAACTCCCCTTCTCCACCTCCGTACCCACAACAGCCGATTCAAGGGACTTCTATCGCTGACCTTTCTCCGAGCACTCCCGTTTGTATTGGACAATTGACAGCGACCGCACTGGTCTTGTATCCTATACCCTACCTGTGCCAGCAGCCAGCCGGGGTTCCGGACCCAGAATGGGCCCGCGTCCGATTGGCATTTGAGAATAGAAATGGCGGGCAACCAACTATTCATATCAAAGCCCCTACCACAGTTTTGCCCAATGGACAGCAGGTGCCTGGAGAAAACTTTGCTGTTGTAGAACAGAAAGTTGCGTCATCCTTAGGTGGTCTGATGTCCAAGGGACATATACGGCTAGATGCCAAAGTTCGCAGAGACAGACCCAATGTGCGTATTAGACTTCCATTTGCACGAAGCTTAATTAACCCGCAGCTTTGCAGTTGCCTATCCTGCCGTTACAGATGCTAGTCTTTACCCCCAAGGCAAATATACCCGCAGTTTCCTCCTTTTTTCAGCAGAATGGTTTGCTGTTAGATCACCCGACCTTGCCTTCAGATATACAGAGATTGTCTGCACCTGATCAGTATTACTTTAACCCACACAACCCGCCTCCTGGTGGGTTCGCTCGTGCTTCCGCAGGTCTAGGTAGACCAGGTTATACAGGTGTAGGAGCAGGTACCATGGGTCGATGGAATCCGCAAGTTGCTGGCAAGAGCGTAGAGATACAGAGAAGTCAGGTCGAGGAGTTGTTCAAGAGCCTCAAAGATGGGGACGAGCTGGAGGAAACGGAGCCTCGTAAGTTCCTGGGCTTCCATGCAAGACATCCTGCTTCAGCTGACCCCATCTCCACTCCATAGCACCCGAGGTTGCAACTCCTCTATACCCTCATCAAAAGAAAGCCTTGACGTTCCTCCTCGAGCGTGAGCGCGAAAGACCTGGACCCGATGGGACCTTCTCAACACTGTGGCAAAAGCGTCAGAATGCCCACGGACAGCTTTCATGGTATCACATTGTCACTCAAAGAGAAGTCTTTGAAGAACCCCAAGAGGCCAAAGGTGCAATACTAGCCGATGATGTGCGTGAATGTATTTTTTCTATTTTTGAGGTTGATCGTTAAATATTTATACTTCAATGTTTTTGCTCCAGATGGGACTGGGGAAAACTATTTCTTGTGTAGCGCTCATAGCTGCCACCATGAACTCTGCACAGCAGTTTGCCAGCTCTCCGTTACAGCTACCTCCGCCGCCACAGGAAGCTGTACCCGATGAACCTCCTCTAACGGCAGATCATTTCGCTGGGACCGTATGGGGCACGCCTCAACTAGCGCCACAGCCTACTTCAGCCAAGGCGAAAGCTAAGCAAGCTCGTGAAAACGATAAAGCGTATGCTGAATATACTCGGGCATGTCGGCTGAAGGCGAAGAGTCGGGCAACGCTCATAATTTGTCCATTGTCCACTGTTGTCAATTGGGAAGACCAATTCCGAGAACATTGGCAGGGACAGGTTACTGTAGTTGGTGGCGGTGGAGGTACCAGTTGCGGACAGACTTTCACGCCCACTGCAGCTTCGATACCGTCCACTCCTCAGCCGCTGATTGCAAATTCCTCTTGGGCATCTTCAACCTCTTTACCTCATTCCTCTCAGATCTTAAAGGCTGTAGATGAGAAACTGGAGTCCGCCGCCCGGGGGAACGAAGGAACTCCGCTACGCGTCTACGTATACCATGGTAATGCGCGACGCCCGGATCCTGCATTCCTCGCAGATTTTGATGCTGTCATTACCACCTATGCTACTCTTGCCACTGAGTATTCGAAACAGTGCCGGAGCGCCACGACTGCTGACGATGACGATGATGACGGAGGTAGCAGCGATGGGTTTGCGGAAGTTGATGAACGAGGTAATGCTATCGTCAAGCTGAGGCCGAAGAAGAATGGCGTCAAGAAACGAAAGAAGAGTGCAGCTGGTTCTTCTGGTGTCGAATGCACCAGCGCGTTGCAAAGTGTATACTGGTTCAGGGTCGTCCTAGATGAAGCACAGTACGTGGAAGACAGTTTACTATGCTAGCACTCATGCATTAACTAACTCATAATAGTTCGATCAAGGAGATCAGCACCGTTGCTTGCAGGGCGTGTTGCGATCTTGTCGCAGACCGTCGCCTCTGTCTGACTGGAACGCCTGTCCAAAACAAGCTTGACGACGTGTATGCTCTTATCAAATTTCTTCGTCTAAGTCCCTTCGACGACAAGAGCGTTTGGACCGAGTTCATCGGTACCCCTGTCAAGTATGGACAACCTCTTGGAGTTGCTCGTCTTCAGACCATCATGAAGTGCATCACCCTTCGGAGAACCAAAGAGTCTAAAGCAGAAAATGGCCAGAGGATCTTGTCCTTACCTCCTCGTCGTGACGAACTCAGGTATCTCAAGTTCGACGAACAGGAGCAAGCTATATACGACCAGTTCTTCACGGAATCGAAGGCCGAGTTCAACGAGTTATCCAACAAGAACGAGGTCATGAAGAACTACGTCGGCATCCTGCAGAAGATTCTCCGCCTTCGACAAATTTGCGACCACTTCGAGCTCGTTATGAACAAAGGCCTTGGGCTGGTCGGCGATACCCCGTCTCCGGGATCTATGAGCTACGAAGAGCTCGCTTCCGCCGTGGCCAACGAAGGTATCAATCCAACCAGAGCGGCTGCCATATTTGCGATACTGCGGGAGGCAGGCACAGCCCAATGTGTTGAGTGCGGTTATGAACATGGTATTTCTGGAGATAACAACGGGGACGGATGTCCTTTGGCGGACACTCCATCGAGTCAAACTAAACGAGGGAGAAAAGTCAAAGCCTCTGCCTCCAGCTCCCGTACATCCACCCGACCGAATAGCCCCGTTCCTGCCAGTCCGATTCTTACAAGATGTCAACATCTCTTCTGTGTTGCTTGTTTCCGATCATCGTGCTTTCCTGGCTGGCCGCATGTACCCTGCGACACACGCCGTTGTTGCTCTGTCTGTCAGACAGCCCTTTCTCCCACCGATGCTGTGGAGATTACTCCTGAGCTTCTGGCAGAAAATAATGGGAAGAAGAAACCTGGTAAACGAGAGAAACGTCAAAAGCTTACGTCGTACGAGAACCTCCAATTGTCTACGAAGATCAAAGCTCTGCTTGGAGACTTGATCTATTTTTCTCGAGCAAACCCTCATTCGGCCAATTATGATCCTGAATCACAAGAGGTCCAAATGGTCGATGAGGAGGGCAACCAACTTGATGATGGAGTGGTGAAAACTGTCGTGTTGTGAGTTTCCGTATTATCCTTGGCTCATCTTGCATGATCTGACCTTTTTCTCTTTGGCAGTTCGCAATGGACATCTATGTTGGATAAGTAAGTGTTGCTCGATGTATGTTCCGTGGACTTCAGTTGACATCGCTGTACGATAGGATCGAGGATGCCTTGGACGCAGTAGGAATCCGTTATGACCGTCTCGACGGGACAATGAAACGTGACGATCGCACTCGAGCAATGGATGCCCTGAAGTATGATCCTGGATGCGAGGTTCTTCTGGTCAGTTTGAAGGCTGGAGGTGTCGGCCTCAATTTGACGGCTGCTCAACGTGTATATTTGATGGACCCTTATTGGTATGTCCTCATTTATTACTTCGTTGTTTTTCTTTTGCTCATAGGTTCATCAAGGAATCCTGCTGTGGAGAACCAGGCTGTAGATCGTATCGTATGTTATCTTCGTATTTCAATAGTTTGATTCAGTTGCTTATCATTGCATATAGCATCGTCTTGGACAAAAGCGTCCAGTCACCACCATCAAGTTGATCATCGAGAATTCCATAGAAGCCCGCCTGCTCGAAGTACAGAAGAAGAAGACGGAGTTGGCTAATATGACCTTGGGTCAAAACTTGACCAAAGCCGAAATGCATCAACGCCGTTTGGAAGAGCTCAACAAGTTGTTCAGCGGCTAATATGTTTTCCTTTTTCTTTGTTTGTCTTCCCTGCTGTCCGTCGTATCTTATGCAATATCATATCATTGTTCTTTGTATAGAATAGCTTATCTCACCGTTGTATTCTTGGAGTCGCTTCGCTGTCGTCGTTTTTACATCATCACACTTGTATCATTCGCATTGGCAATCTAATATACCTAGAGACATCTTGTGTTAGAACGCGAAGAATGCAGCATTTTTGCGACGACCAAGGGTGTAAACAACAATCTGTGCGATGAGAAGGCCAACGGTTACGCCGATGGCCACCTGAATCATACGGACTCCCAGGGAAAATCCACTGGAATATTCCTGGGTAGAACTCGAGGTTGCTTGGATGAGACCACCACCATTACCTAAGGCAGACTGCAATTTCTGTCAGCAAATCGTGTCCTAGAAGATTAACAGAGGGAACACCGACCGGAACGAGGAACAGGACACCCGTGACCATTGACGTGAAAGCGGTGCCACCAATGACTCGAGAATACACATTTCCGCATAGACCGATGACAAGGGCACCAAATGAAGAGACAATATCTCCGCGATCCGAGAGAAGCTGATTGGCTCCTCTGTTGGCGGCATACGCCATACAAGAAAATAGCACCATGATTGGAAGTTGTACGCTTCGCCAGTCTTGTAAATTGGCCAACGAGGAGCAAGTTGAATAAACTGGGACGAGGATGAAGAGTGACCACCATGGCAAGGGCAATCTCCACCAAGGCCAGGAAGGATTCCTGAAGCAACCTAAGGGAAAGGGAATCAGAAAAGTAGTCGTAGTGAAGTGGGCAGGCGTGGTACCTTTGATTATATGACTTCCAGATCCGTGAACATCCAAAAATGAGAAGCTGCCCCTCCAAGGTACCATATTGATGTCCGGTGTCTCATTAAAAGCAAGAACTGATCCATGAGCGTTCTCCGATTCCTCCAAAGCTATGAGAGCCATGTTTCGGACTGCGTGTTTATTGATTGCCAGATACAACTCGGATCCAATCGTGAGACCGAATCCCTAGGGAAGTATTAGAAGTATTAGACACGCATATAGTCTGTGATAGCGAGAGAAGCGACTCACTAGGAAGAGTGTATAGATAATCGCATAGACCATCCTCACAGAGCCGCATACGATGTTCTTGGAGGTCAGTTCCAGCGCGCTAATCACTGAAGAAAATATCAGGGAACCACATAATGTCTCGGAAGATAGGGATAGACTCACAAACAGTGAACCCTGGAAGAATGAGCACCACTCCAGCCGAAGATATAGCGCTAAAGCAGAAGAGGTTGGCACGAAGACTACCCAAGGCACGGGCAAGGAAGGACACAATGATGGAAACCGAAATCCTATCGCAACAATGTGAGTTAAAGACTCATGGAAAGTTCGAGATTGAACTGACTCGTAAACGTTAGCATAGATGGAACTGCGTGATGCTGCACGCAAACCGAGGTATTGAAGGGTTGAGGCACTGGCACCACTAATGAACATATCGACGATGGCGCCACCGAAGGCAGTCGAGCAAATGATAGATGCACAGATGAAGGCAAAGACGCAGCGGAGCCAGATCGGATAGATAGGCCGTGCCTTCATCACAGCTCGCAGACGACGTGTAGCCGTTGTAACCGGGACTTTGCCGCGAAGTACATCGCGGTACAGAAGATGAATCTTGTGCAGTGCAGTGAGAGAAACACGTCCGCCAGCGCGTATAAACTTGGTGCGATAGAGACGGGTTTCAGAATCGAGGAAGGTTACGATGATCAGGTTGGGCAGATGCACGAAACCAATTTCGAGGTTCAACATCTCAGCTGAATTGGCGAGTTGAGATTCGATCCTATGTGATGGTGCGCCGAAACAGAGGAGCACTTTGGCAAAGGTCATGATGAACTCGATTCTGGTCTTGAATTCTGCAAATAAAAAGTCAACACAATCTAAGAATGCCTAACAATCTAGAGAAATTTCAACCTGTAGAATCTGGCTCAACTCGACGTCCTCTTTTACGCATTCGTTTGACCTTTACTCGGTAGCTAAGCTTTTTGCCAGGATCAGGGCTTGCTCCGCCACTGCTGTCACCAGGCTTTTCGAATGAAGCAGAGCTTCGCCGACGACCACTTTCCAGATCACTGGAAGCACGACGAACTAGCGTGGATGTGGTGCTATCCATGGACGGGCGGTGGTTATCTTCCTTTCCATCCTCCGAGCCAAAGTATGAGTCACGCGAGACATCAGAGCGGGCAGATTCTGCGCCAGTGGTCCAGTCGGATCCCCGGCGAAACAGAGGCATGATTAGAAAATATTGATCTCAAAAAAAGACCGCTTATGAGCGTAATAGAGTGTGAAATTAGAAGAAGAGACAATGAAAAGGAAACAGAGGGTCGAGTTTTGAGGGAGATCGAAGGCTGACCAGCCAGTTGGAATTTGAATGCCCCCCTTAGCTGGGCTGACGATTGGAATCCAGACCATTGGCATGGTGCAAGATAAGGATACCTTGTATATCCAGCCGTTCTATGCAGCAGTGACCATGGGAGGAGTTGCCAGTGATTGTTCTGGCATGTTTAGCCCATCACATATCGTAACTCATGTCTCGCTCTGTGAATCCTACTGTATAGTCTGAAAAGAGTCATGCAATCATGCATGGTTGTTCATCAAGCTGGTGATAAGATTGGAGTCAACAATGATATTTGGTAAAAATAAAATAAAAAAGGATCTGACTTGGAGTTTGAGGGGAAAGTACACATGCACCCACAAGAGGAATAATTGCCGTTTTTGGCTGTCTGTTACTTGAATAGACGGAAGTGAGGAGGATTTAACCTGCACTACACAAAAGAAAATGGTACATTGACCAAGCGAAGAGAGTAGTGTGATCGTACATCCATCTATAATGCATACAACGTAATAGTCATACAAGTCGTACAGAAATAACAGTGCAAACAGTGCGAATGTAGCGTCCTTGAACAAGTCAAAATGGTATCTCGATGTCGGACGACAATATGGTCGCCTTGGGTTAAAATCGTGAGGGGTATACACGGCACGTGGTCATGACAAATCCTTCATACCAACAAGTAATCGTAATGAGCGACTGGGAGTCTGGAAATCTGCTTCTGTAGCACATTTCCGCGCTTCCATGATAGCTCTGCGCATACGTTCCTCTTCTACTAATTCCCCCTTGCTAAGAGGGTCTCTGCGAGGGTATTGCCATCCATATTTCGTTGCAGAGTGCCACAACGAGATACGGACATGCATATCACTAAACAACACGTCAGGACTTTGCAAACGAATACGTGGTCAGATGCCGAACTTACCCTTTGTATCTCTCCACCAGGGAATCAAACTTCTGTCTGTTGACACTTTGCTCATCGTCATTTTCCCATCCATATCCTCTCAAACGGTCCTTATTATCCTTCATCTGCTCCATCAGCTCCTCCCACATCGCCTCCTTCACAGCCAACACGGAACCAACCGCTCGATATAATTGCATCGACAACGCATGCTCCTCTAGTGAGGTCAACTCATCGATTGGGAATAGGTTTAACACTGTGTCGTCCCCTATTCGTGTACTCATCTCTGGCGAACTGAACGCTACAGAACGTCTCTGTGCCGAAACCGGAGGCTTAGGCAAGACCGGTCCAGTAGGTGGGTCGGCAAGCGTGCTACCCGTTGACGTAGATGATGACCGGTTTCGACCGTAATCCGTTGATGGAAGTACCTCTTCCAGCGAAAAGGGCTGAACATCCGTTGTGCTTGCATCAATGATAGATACAGGTGATCGCTCCGATGATGGCGGACTCTGCAATGAGTCTAGTTCAAAGTCTGGAAGGTATAGGGTTGTAGTATCTGACAGGTCACTAGAGACCGTCGAGGGACTGCCGAGTTCGTTCGGGAGTGGTGGAAGAGGGGCTAGAGGCGGCATGGGGAAGTTCAGAACAGGCGGCATGAGCACATGTCTGAAAATAGCAGAAAAATACCCGGGAAGTACAGCTATTTCAATTTAGATATACTTTTCGGAGACGAACACGCGAAAGGACTCACAACTGGGCGTTCTGTTGAGAAAACGATTCTCAAATACTGACATGAAGAGGAACTCAAGCAACGCATGATCGTGTGAATGCGCTGTTGATACTGTAGGTATCGGTAGAAGTGAACGCTGGGTGCCGTCGGGGAAATGCGCGGATGGTCGCTTTACTTGAGCATGAAGCGGTGCTGTAAACCACCGCGGAACGGTGGGGAAAATCGCATCTGCAAGACTATTAGCCGCTGCATCTAAAACACATGTCCGTGAAAAATCACCCTCTTCTATCTGCTCAATGGCGCCGCCTGGTCGTAGAACCCGGTTGATCTCCTATATCGGCGTTCAGATACCAACCCGGACACGTAGCGCAAATACGTACTTCATAAACAGAAGGCCACTATACAGAAGGTTGTTCAGCATGGGTACATTGCATAAAGTATCGTCAAGCGTGACCTTGGACTCTGGAACAGCAAACGCCAGACCTTGAATGTGAACATAATCGAATTCGTCGTCGTCGAATGGCAGCTTTTGCCGCAACCTACAATTTATGAGTAACGGTCAAACGTGAGGAATAAACGAACGTACAAATTGCCGTGCACCCATTCTATCCGTGAAGGAAGGTCTGGATCGAATTCCTTGAATAAGGACAACGGTAGCTGAACATTCACTAGATCATATCCAACCTGATGTTACCGTTCAGTGAGTGGTTGCTTACAACATATGCGACTCGGAGGGACTTACAAAGCTGCAATCCGGCCAGAATTTTGCTGCTTCAATGATCCAATCACCAAGCTAGACAACCAAATATTAAGACGCTGGGAGGGTCATGAAGGAATGTTGCCGTACGCCAGTGCCAAGGTCTAAGCAACGCTTGGGTGTGTTCCCCTTGAAGTCAATGAAACTGACGGTCTGTTTTGCTTTGAACATCAAGAGGTGGTCCATGCACTGACTGAGTAACGCCGTGTTATGCATCTGACAGGAAAGCCATCCTTGCAAGAGACGTACATGTCGAACACATCTCGATCATACGACAGAGGGTACGGCGCCTTGTCTCTCCCGTACGCATGGAGTCTTGAGCCATTCCGAATAATAAATTGATTTTCTTTCTTGGCAGATTTCTTTCCTGTGGCATCGGGTAATGTTGTATGAGTACCAGTTGAGTTATAGCTCTGCCTGATAGGAGGGGAAGAAGTACTTGGAGCAGCCATGGGAGTTGGAGGTGGGTGGCTGGAAGAGAGAGATCGTTAGAGGGGCATAAGGGAAATATCAGTCGATCCGCTCGGAAAAGAGCCGCGATGATGATGGAAGGATTGAAAGAGGTGAGAACGGGAAGAATGCAGCTCGTGGGTACATCATTCCTTGTATCATTCGGCTTGCTACATTTCTCCTTCGGGCGATCCTTCCTTCTGTCATATACGGCGCTCACTCTAGACGCCCATAATTCCCTAGTATAAATCCTTTTCATCTTCGTGCTTCTTCATCCAAGTCTATCTCACCCTCGATCTTCCTCTCTTTAGTCTCTTCTCACCATGCCTCGTAAGGTAGCATTCTCTGCGAAACAAAAGAAAGCCCAGCTCCGGCTAAAGCGTGCCGTAAAACGGGGCGACATTTCCCCTCCGCCTAAACAAGATCGACGTCGCAAGACAAGAAAAGGTCCTTCAAATTCTGCTCATGATGTTGATGCCGTGGAATCCGTGCGACGGTTGCAATCTGCTTTTGTAAAGCTCCCGCGGGAGTTTCTTGAGCGAACGAAAGTCCTGGCTGCTACCTTGCCCCTCGAACGTCCTATCTCATCGGAGGTTGCGCTCCTGCATGATCCTGCTATTGCTGCCGCTCATCCTAGCATTGCGAGCGGGTTGGAACCGGATCAGCTCTTGACTTGTCCTGTGAGACCGAAATGGCGATACGATATGACGAAAGCAATGGTGGAAAAGAACGAGGAAGTCATATTCACAAAGTGGCTTGATCGGACGGATGAGGCCGTCAACAAGTGGTGCAATGCCCAGGAAGATCAAGCGACCCCGAGCACAGACGAGCAGCTCGAAAATAAACAGCCAGTTATGCCCCATGCTCCTACCTCATTTGAGAGGAACATCGAAGTATGGAGACAATTGTACGTCCATCGTAGTCCAATAAGAACATACTCTCCAGCTATTCCTATAGATGGCGGGTCACAGAAATCTCTCAGATCCTGCTGATCCTGCTGGACGCTCGTTGTCCATTATTACATTATCCGCCCTCTCTTTCGGCGTATCTTTCCAATCCATACCTTGCCAGACGCACCCGTACGATCCTCGTCCTGACCAAGGTCGATATCGTAGGGCCAGTCAGGGCTGAAGCTTGGACACGTTTTCTCAAACAAAAGTATCCGAATTTACGTATTGTCCAAGTGGAATCGTACATTGAGAAGAGTGCCGGCGAAGGGTCGGGTCAGAGAAAACACTATGAACCTCATCTTCCTTCCACATTCCGCCAGACACTGGTAGAAGCACTCAAGGAAACACATGCGGAGTTTCTAGAGCCTCCTGTGCGCCTGAAAGACTTTCCTGAAAAACTTGCGAAGTGGAAACCCTCGGTGAAGCGTAATATCGATTGGGATGCCGTGCTGCATGCTAGAGGTGGACAAGTCGGCACTGTGGTAGGAGGGGCCACTGCACCTCGTCCAACAGACCTTCCTCCACAAGGTATTCCAGAGAATAGCGATGAAGAAGACGAACAGCGTGAAGCAGAACCTGAGCCTGAAGTGTTCACTATTGGGCTCATTGGTTTGTCCTTAGTCTAAGTCTCTTGAAAGATCGCTTGACAGTTCAATGATTATCAGGTCAACCCAATGTTGGCAAGTCGTCCTTGCTGAACGCCCTGTTTGGCATCACGAAAGTGAAAGCATCCCGAACGCCGGGCAAGGTACATATCCCTCGGTGCAACTGAGATGATCACGCACTCAATTTTCTTTTGTAGACGAAACACTTCCAGACACTGTTCTGGACTCCCGAAGTTCGATTAGTCGATTGCCCCGGTTTAGTCATGCCGAATCTAGTACCAATGGAAAGCCAGGTCAGTATTTACAAATCATGAATTGCCATCACATGCATCAACACTTACACTGTGATAGGTCTTCAGCGGTATTTTCCCAATCTCCCGTGTCTCTGCAGTTCCACTGTGTATCTATCACGCAGCCCAACTTCTTCCACTAGAACGCATATATGGCCTGCAGCATCCGTCCCTGCTACCTAAACCAGAAGAGGACAAACGAACCTGGAGGGAACCACGTGCAGGCGCGATGAAGGAACAGAAAGAGTTGAAATGGACTGCAATGGATATTCTGACCGCTTACGCGTTGAAGAAAGGTTGGATGACTGCTAGGACTGGCTGGCCTGATGTACATCGGGCGGGCAACGCCAGTAAGTACTTATCATCAGGTTCCAAGAGAAAGCAAAGATTGACCTGAATATAGTGCTGCGTGCCGTAGCCGAAGGCAAGATTCACTGGGGTTTTTGGCCACTGGATACTGAACTATCAACTGTTGAGGAACATCATGGTGTTGGCAACGGCATATGGATACCGACTTCTGAACACCACGATTTTGACTGGGATTTTGACAGCGACGCTGGTCACGACGACCGAGATGTTGATGATGTTTCCGACGAGGAAGAGGAGGGATCAACAGATGTCAGTGCGGATGAAACTAGCGAAGACGAAAGCCCGACGGCGACGGTATCAGCAACGGCGGGACGATTTAAGGCGTTGTTGCTGGATGATAGAGACGAAGAAGTAGATGATGATGAAACATGAGAATCCCAAGATGAGTAAAGATGTAGGATACAAATATGCAGCTATCTACTGTAATGTGTAGGGTATTGGTAACTCTAGCATACACACAAGAAATATAGGTATAGGGAAGATTTCCATTCTAACGTCAATCACTCAAAACCATAACGTCAGGAGGCTTCGCGAGTGCTTCCCGTTTCTTTTGCTTGTGATAAATTTTGCTCAGATCATGAACCAGATCCGTATTCGCTGCGTCCTGTCTCAATCGTACAATCTCTTGCTTGGTTCTACAAAGTTCCATGTAAGATGATTGGAGGATCACATATCAACTGAACAGTCTTACGTTGCAGCATTACCTAGCTGAATTACCGGACATCGTTTGATCTCTGCATGAGGACGTCCACCACATATTGTGCATCTCGGAACTCCGTTCTGCTTGACCTTCTTCGACGGTGAGTCAACAGGACGAGGTGATAGTGGTCGTTTCGAACTCGAAGGCCCAGCGACAGCGTTGTTAACGGCAGCCGGTGCAGGAGCTATAGGTTTGGGTATAGGTACAGGTGCGGGGTATGGTGTCGTTGACGTTGACGGCTTAGGTGCAAGATGGCCTGTGGCTTTCTTCTTCGGTTTTGGTAGCGGCCGAGTTGTTGTAGAGCGTGAAGCAGCTTGCATGGACGTCTGAACGTTTTGCATAAAGGAAGATGGGACCCTCGCAGTGGTATCTGGCTCAGGGCGTCGGAAAGGTTGAGGGTATTTCGAGACGTCGACAATATGAAGAGGTTGGCCATAAATAAGGTGGATCTTGCCGAGCTTGTACAGCGTCTCATCGATGATAGCTATTGCGGCACGCTGCAAAGCAGTTCAGCTATGACTAGAGTCAGGCTTAAAAGGGTCACCTACGCGTTCTTCGATCGTCTCATCGCCAGCATGGCTTAGAAGTATTCGTCTGTATTCGGCGAGGTTCTCAGGACTTTCGGTCATGTAACAACCGTCTTGGCCGTGAACAGTACCGCATAGCCCACAAAGTTCAGGCATCGGCGACGGACGGCTCAGAATTGGTGTGAGAGGAGGTGCAAGCTCCCGATCATGACTTCGCTGCTTCTGGCGCTTGGCGGATGAGAGGTCAGGAAGTTCAGGCAAGAACGGCTCGTCCGCCGCAGAACCGGGTTGTGATTCAGTGTCGGACGCTGCAAGAGAGGGAGCATGGAAATCCGAGTCATCCGAGGCTGTGGCCTTGCCTTTGCCCTTCTTTTTGCTTTTCTTATGTTCTTTCGTTGGTGTATCTCCTAGATCAGCAAGAGTCTAGGTTGATCGTTAGTCGACATGCAGCATGAGCAACGGGAGTCTTACTTGAGGGAAGACAGCGGCGGCTTTTCGTCGCACACCACGACCTGTAGCTTCTTGCTCTTGTGCTTGAAGGCGCTCAGCTGCGATACGTTCCAGTGTCTGTGCCCAGGAATCCACCTGCTCAGCTTGTACCGCGGTTTCATCGGACATCTCCTCGAGAGAATCCTTGTCCGCGGACCAAACCTTCGCGAAAGAGAACAACGCTTCCTTATTACTGGATTGATCGACTTCGTTCCCCTCCTTCTCTGTCTTGTCAATGAGGTTGTCAATGTCATGTTCAGAGTCTATTCCATATTCAGCAACCGGGAATGCTGTTATAGCTGTACTAGACAACTTACAATGGATCTCTTTAGAAGCCTGAGCTTCGCCGTTTTCGAAGAGAGTTTGAGCACCGAATAGGAGGATCGATTGTACATCCTCTTTGTCGTCATCATCCATCTTTTGTACAATGAGATGATCCAAAACTAATTTCTTCTTGCCCGTTTGCATGATACGCTCTGTCTTGACATCAGCAAATAATCTGAAGGGTGAAAAGTGTGTACTAATTCACCTTCTGCAGAGTCCTTGACCATGAGTTTGAACACAAGACATGTCTTCTTCTGTCCGTACCGATGAGCCCGAGCAATTGCCTGAAATTCATTTCAGTCACTTGATCAACGCATTGAGAGCACGCTACACACTTGTAAATCCTGAAAAATCGGTGAGTTAAAGGTACTAAGACAACACACACAACCACGTACCTGGTGAGGATTGAAGTCCGGATCGAAGATAATGACAGTGTCGGCACTCCACAAGTTAATACCCACTCCCCCAGCCCGAGTTGTTAGCAAGTAGATGAACACGTCAGAGTCTGGCTTGTTGAATTCATCCATGCCTTTCTGACGGTCCACCTGCTTCGTGCTTCCGTCCTGCAAGAAAAGGGTTACTATGCTCAGATCCTTTTTCACTGTTAATGAACATACCAGGCGGAGGTATTTCATTCCTTCCCCGATCAGGAAGTCCTCAATGATGGTCAAGGCAATGGCGAACTACGCATCATATGTGTCAGTGTTGAGAAATGGCATATCAAACAGCACCAACCTGGCTGAATAACAAGACCCTATGTCCTCGGGCCTTGAGTTTAGGTAGGAGGGTCCTCAAAATCCGCAACTTCGCACTCGCATCAATGAGCTTCTCGTGAGCCTCCTGAGGCGAAAGGCCCTTGGGCTCGATATCCTGAGAGACCAAGTACGGATGCTGCAAACATCTGAAGCAAAGAACGTAAGGTGTTGCCGTGTCAGATAGATGTTAATCACTTACTTCCGCAGTTGCATCAAAATATTGTTCATGTTTGTCTTTTGTGCGGCTGCGTTGACTTTGGGGCCGGAAGCCATCGACAGTGTCTTCAAGAGATTGATGTTCTGACCTAAAGCCCCGACAATTAGTCTAGGCGAGAGAGGAAAAGCCATGAAGCTTACTTAGGATGGATCTGTAGACCTCTCTTTGCAGAGGAGCCATGCTGATGGGCACAATCACTTCGTTCTGCAAACCCATGTTGGTACGCTGACTGAGATCATGCAGGTACTCTTACCTTTGGCGGTAACTCTAGGACCTCAGACTTGATGCGCCTCAAGAAGTACGGTCTCAACCTATTATGAAGTTCCTTGATGCTTTCATCCGTAAGCACTTCATGCTCCTTTGCCAGATTTTCCAAATCATTCCACTCTTCAGGATTGAGAAAGTTCATCAGATTGAACAGTTCACGGATATTGTTGTTCAACGGGGTCTGATGTGTTGCAATTAGCATCATCAATCTGCGGTAAAAAGAGCACATACACCAGTGAGTATGACACGATGGATGGTTTTTAGTTCTTTCAGCTTCCGGAAAATAAGGCTGGAATCACTCTTGACTGTCCCAAACTGTATATTAGCAACTACGTACGAGAAGGAGTTATAATTACTCACGTCTTTGACCCTCGTCGACAACCAGAACTTCCCAACGTGGATTCTGTCTGAACACCGGACCAAACTCCTTGCCATTGATCGTCTCATAGGTTGTAACCAGGACGTGATACATCGCACTAGTAGTGCCCTTGCTAACTTCAGTATGCCATAACTCGTATTTCTTGATGATCTCGCGTGCTTTTGCATCACCATAGAAGGGACAAACCCTGAGATGAGGGGCCCACCGTTCGAACTCACGTACCCAGTTCGTGATAGTGGAATTGGGTACGACAACTAAAGCGGGGAATGCTTTTTGGAGTTCCATGATGACACCGATGAACGTGACAACTTGCACAGTCTTGCCCTACATTTACGCCATTATCTTAGCATGCTTGACAAGTGATACCGATGAAAGTTACTCACCAAGCCCATCTCGTCGGCCAAAATACAATGCTGCAAATTCCACCAATTATTGCATAGCCAGTTTACGCCGTCCACTTGGAATGGCATGAGACTGAGTTGAGGACTCTGACCTAGTTGAGGCATTGAGTTTGTAGTAAACGCGTGCTTGGACCTGAATCCGTCCTTCGGCCGGTTGTCGAACACCTGCACTTCTTTAGCAGTACGTATGGGCACCTCCACAGATCGCGCAGTGATAAAACGATGAAATGCGTCCTGAAAAGCTATATACCCTGGAATACCGTCCTTCGGTGGAGAATCCCAGGTCGCTGTTTGCGCACTTTGAGCAACAAGAAAACAAAAAGATCAGAGATTGCCTACCGTCTTCGTATCCAAGATCATCCCACTTGATAAATGCCCAGACGACAAGACCAATGTGATTCTCATCGAGCTTGCATTTCTTATGTCGCTCCCACTCTTCTACCGTTTCAGTCAGGTCAGCACTTGGCTGTTCCCCGTCCCTAAATGCAGCATCGTATTCTTGTGCAATGCGCTCTTGCTCTTCGTCCGGCTCTTCTCCATCGGCCTGATTCACCTTTCTCCCAAATGCTTTATTTTTCCGAAGCCGTTTCTCAGGATACCAAAGCAAGATGTCAAGAACACGATCAACGGTCTTCCACGCAGGTCGAATGCGCCGTTCCGCATCTGGAAGGGCGTCAGACGGAGCTGACGGTTGTACGGTAGGAGTTCCATTGGTCTGATCCTCGTCTTGTGCCTCGAAGGCCGGTAACGAGTCTCCGTCCGCAGCTCGGTCAACCACTTCCTCCGTAGCAGGTTCCGGTAGAAGCTCGACATGCGAGCCACCAGTGAGGAAATTCCTCAACTTGGACGGATGAGTCGCCACGAGCCACATGTGAGGTACCCATTGTGTGCGTCGATAACTCCTGCTCACCCACTTTACCAGATATTCTCGTGGTAAAGGAGACTTGTAGTTGGGGGGTTCGCCAGCGGGTCTGGATGGTTCCACAGCATTTTCCGGGAAAGGTCTCCAAGCAAGAATGTGTTCCACATTGTAGACGTACGATACACAATCTGCACATTGCCATTGCGTGGTACGTTGGTAATAGTCCGCCAACTCAGCGGGGCTATATTCCTCATCAGGGTCGGGCTGAGGCAGATGTTCATAATGAGCCATCCGCTTGCAGGTGATGCATCGGAAGAGAAGTGTTTCTGGCTCTTTCGGGAGTGGTATGCCGTCGACGTCCATGGTCTTGGAGTCTGATGCGCCTTCAGCTGCTCCATCTACCATTTCCACATTCTCAAGGGCGGCGCCGTTGAGTTTTGGAGCAACTGATGTCGCAGTCGCGTCGTCGAGACGACGAAGGGAATCTGGTTCAAGCGCAACCTGTTTGCACGCCATACATACGCCGCCCTTCATACAAGATCCACAAATGAACTCCGTCGTGGAATCTGGATCCAAGCCGTCACGTTTTTTAGGTTCGGGGTCATCATCTGGTAGTTGGTCCGAAGGATCCTTCCCTTCTTGACGGGTTCGCCAGGCGGCGCGGTCTCGTTCCAAAGTAGCCTTCAAAATCTCGTCGCGCTGAGTTTTAGCCAGACAACCCCAATGAGCGGCAACAGGACATTTCAGACTGGAAAGCATCGGAGTGTTCAATATGACACCGCATTGAATTTTGCTAGAAAGTGCATACCATTGGACCCATCCGCCCAATCCGGCAAGCTTCTCTTCATCGTTTTCATCGTCGTCTTCATTGCGTTTCTTCTTGCCCTTCTTTTTCCTCAAAGCAGCCAGTAATATATGCGTTGGTTGCCTATGACACTTCTCACAGAAACTTCTATGAGCGCGGAGGGCTTTGGCGTCTTCGTCAGAATCATAGTCGAGATCTGCCACTGGGCGAACACGACCATAGGCTGGACGTGAAGCTTTCGGCCGAGCCTTTTTGACCTTAGCGGTCTTCGCTTTTGTTGTAGGAGCGTAAGCATCGGACTCTTCGTCAGAGTCCTCCACGTAGTATGCGTCTTCTAGGTTATCCCTAACGCTCTTCCTACTGCGAGTCGATCTTCTTGTTGGTCCAATCAAAAGTTCGTCAGAGTCCTCCTCTTCTGAAAGGAACACTTGTCGCGATCTTGTCTTCCTTGGACTGAATGGTAAAGGAGCAGAGGTCTGTTTACTAGCTCTTGTGGGCATCCGTCTGGTTCTCCGTTTTGCAACAGTAGAGGATTCACTGTCTTGGGAGAAATCACTCTCATCTAGTTCCGTCAAGGGACCTTCGAAATCTATGCTCTTACTACGAGAACCGCGCTTCCTGTTGCCACCAAGTTTCAAGATCATGGTAACACGGGAGGCAGGGTGAACGTAGTGTGCCGAAGGATCGAATGGAGGAAGGGAGCGTCTGGCTTTCTTGCGTTCTATTATATAAATCCCGATGAGCATGTAGTTCGACAACATGTTAGAGTCTGACTTATCAACATACCATAGGCAGCGAGAAGCTCTGGCTGCTCTCTCCTCAGCCAGCGTGCTGGAAACTATACAGCAAAGTTAACCACATGTATGCAGACATGTACCATGACACTCACCTTGTGTGCAACGCCGTCAGATAGCCGTGCATAGTAATATAATTCGTCATCCTCTTCATATTCTCCGACAACTTCGTCGATATCATTCCGAAAGGTATCTTCTGGAGCCAAACCGAGATCCGCATATTCTGTCTTTTGCTCAGTCGGCAGCTGTGGCGCGTCGATAAAGAGTCGCCGGTCAGGCCTTTTCACAGGTGGAATACGGATTGTGGCAGACGACTCAGATGCCATAGTGCTGGGTTCTGGGGAAGTAGGAGGTCCTGGTGCATCACTACCCGGCGGGATGTCGACCCTGGTCGGGGTCGAGGGCATCCGCTCGCCTTGCGACATTGTGCAGTGAAGAATAAATAAGGCAGAGTGCACTTAATATTTGCAGCCCTCCGACGCGTGTAGGACGCGTCCAAGCAGTTGAGCGCCTACTTGCACTGGGCGCCACGTTAAAAAGGGTCATTGAAGTTATGTACAGTCAAAAAAGCGCATGAAACTCGAAAGGCGGTCAGTGTGCATCGTAGAGTAAAGAGTGATTATAGAATGATCATGCAGGAGTACAATATCGAAGTATACGTAAATGATAGAATAACGAGGCAAGAAAGAATCAAAATAACTGAGCCTCCTTTAACCAAGCAGAACACTGCTCCGCCAGAGGTTCACCGTGGTCTATTCATAAGAGTCATTTCTTCTGCATACAGCGCCATAAGCAATGCACTCACTAATACAGAACGCATGCGGAATATCACGATGTCCATGGACAATTTTCACGTTGCCCTGATGTTCACTGAAAATTCCTAATAAAAGTTCCTTCTGATCGCCCACCCAATCATCATCTTCTGCAAAGTAAATGTGTATGCGATCGCTGTGTGTCCTTAGAAGGTGGGTATCTGCCTCTTTGATCGTCTTCATCTCCTCGTCAGCCATTGTAAGAGAAGCATAAACTGCAGACGGTGACTGCAACAGACTCCGAAGGACCAGCACTTGAGGAAGAGGCCAATGTTGGTATAGGTAGGACACAACGCGCAAAGGAAGGATACCGGCAACGACAGAAAGATGAGATATCACTCTTGGCAGAGGTGAACAAAACAGCCACTAAGCATGCCATAAGTTGGGAGGTTACAGCAGCACGAGGAAACTCACCGATAAATTGCGACCATTTGGAGTTCGCGCAATGTGTGTAACAGTGGGAAATAGTAAGAACACAGAATCAATTGCTTCCGGACGAGCCTTCAAAGCCTGCAGTTCATGAGTACATACTGTCATGGAGCAGGTGAGCATGTACACAGTAGCTACCTGTAGAAGCAACCAAGATCCAACGCTGTGTCCCACCATTACAAGCTTTTGATACGTAACTTTTGCGCTGTCTATCAATTCAATGATGCTCTCGACTTGTGCAGTAAGACCAACAGAAGACCGGTCTTTGTATGCTTCATTGTGATCAAGAAAAGGCGTATGCCCCATATGAGCGCGAGCTAGGATGGGAAGCCGACCTTCCGACTTCTCGTGAATGGTATCCAGAAAGGGTGTATAAAAGTCAACGAGCCCTGGGTTGCCTGACTACTAGTCTATGTTGAGGTCGCAAGTGAGCTATAAGAATCCTAAGACGGCATCACCTGGAATGAAGATAAAGAGCACAGAGGTGCTCGCACTGGAAGAGGACCACCAAAGAACATGGGATGACAGGGATGATCTGTTATGTTTGAAGACAGCATTTAGGTATCTTGATTCGCTCGACTGCTGACCAGGGAGCTTCCTTTCCCATGGAATGAGGAAATCTGGCAGAATACGAACGTCCCGCGTCGAGGTCATTGTAGCCAAGCAATCAGCTGGTATAAAGACTGAGAGCAAGTGAAAGCTTGGAAGTTGAAGCGCCTCCTCCTTGAGGAGGAGCGGAGGTGGCGGACCGGATGCATTGCTGCTTGTTACAGTAACAGTGAACTAAAGAGGCTCGGCTCTTCATCGTTGTCCACAACGACCTAATGTCTCGGGTGCCGCCATTACCATCCAACCGATACCCGTCTAATGCCTCGTATGACTCTAGCCAATCCGGATCTCCTTCTATCAGACCTTTGCAGATAAGCCGACCTTCAAGTCGTCCAACCACACCAGGGAGTAATAGTATTCCTTTGCCTGGATCGTCTCGAGGATCATCATCGAATCCAAATGGACCGTCACGACCACAACGGTCCGGACTTAGGAGCAGACACGTTTCTGAGTACTCAAATTCGGATTCAGTTTCGTTTGATGGGTCCTCCAATCGCGACTCGAGAGATCGAGCCGACAGTCTAGGCACTACCATCCGCACTAACTTCTCGGTTCCTCAAGGTACACGTAATAATGTCGCGGGTCCCTCAAAGTCTTCGCCCAGTAATGGTCGTCCCAGACCTTCTCGTGCACCAATTTCTCCCACCTCTCCTGGCACTGAGCCCGAGATGTCACCAACATCTATCGCTGCTATTGCCGCTTTCCAAAGGGCTGGTCGTATGCGGGGGATGACATTAGAGGATGAGGAGTACGAACGAGAGAAGGAGAAGGAGATAGCCATTCAGAAGGACAGACAGAAACGAATCAGAGACAAAGTTCCTGGTAGACGAACTACTGGAAAGCATAGACCGGGAGATATTGACGGTACGCTGTCGTTCACCTTTACTGAGTGCTACTAGTATGCAGACCGTAACATGCGACACTAGCTGTGCTCGATGAGATCAAGGATGAATGGGAAATAGTGACGGATCCCGACGTGAGTCTTATAACGATGTCTAGTGAGATGTTTATTGAAGTTAGTAGTTCAACCCAGTCGATCTGGCTCTGCAACTTCTCGATGAATCCTCCCTTGGAAAGGATATAGATTCGTTTCGGAGAACAAAAGATATGCTATCAAAGGCTCTAAAGGGCTCCGTTGACAGTATGTCGTTCACGGTTGTCTTTTCTCTGTCCTGGAACCTATTTATCTAATAGAATGCCTTCTGCATCTCAGAACACTACGAGGCATTCGCTGCTGCACTTCCTCACCATGCATCCCTATTGAGCCATCTCGGTGTTACCTCGAAATCCATATCAGAAGCAAGAACCGCGTTGCAAGAATCAAAGGAGGCTCTCAGTAACAAGCGCACAGATTTAGTGCAACTCTGGTCACGAAACCAAACGGTAGAAGAGATGTTACGCATTCTCGACCAGATGTAAGTATAAGATCTGCATCATCCGCCGGCCATTCTTTGATTCATTTTTTCTAGTGACCACCTGAGAACAGTACCCGACGTGCTTGAGAGTCTTATATCTGAGAAGCGGCTCCTGCAAGCTGCTGCGTTACTTGTAAGGAGTTTGAAACTCATTAACAAACAAGACATGCTTGATATAGGTGCTCTTGCCGATCTACGAAGTTATCTCAGTAGTCAAGAGACTGTACGTGTTCTTCCATGCCATACGAGTTATTCTTACCAATCCTCTATCAAAGGCCCTCCGAGAAATTCTCGTCGATGAACTTCATAGCCATCTATATCTTCGGTCGTTCTGGTGCGACTCACGCTGGGCGGAATACACACCAAATCAGCAATCACGTAAGTCATTGCATACGTTTGCAAATGTTTAACCTGATGCAATCGACGGCCGCAGTACCACTTGTTGGTTTTGAACAGGAACCCAACAGTATTGAATCTGTCGATATGCAAGCATCATACGACTCGTCCCCTACGACAGCCACACCCAGGCGCAGCCGCTTAGACAAATATTTGGATGATCTCAATCTGCGTCCCAACGACCCACCATACGATTTGGACGAAGCTAGTTTCCGCAATAGCACTACGGGTGCTACTCTTTCTACGTCATCCTCGACACCCTTTGGGTTACCCAGCCTGTCCTCGTATAATTCACTGTCTCCAATCCTAGCGTCAGATCAAAACCCCGAAGCTGATTCATTTACCTACATCGAGACACTCTTGGAATCACTGGCTATCTTGGGGAAACTGGGCAGCGCGCTGGATATCGTAGCTCAAAAGTTGCCTCAAGAGATATACTCTCTAGTGGACTCCACAATCGAGGAAGTTGCTGAGCGGGCCGAGTATGGTAAAAGAGGCTCTGTGGTAACATCCATGTTATCCGGACCATTGGCAGGCCGGCTTGAAGATGTGTTCCTATTGGCCTCATTGGGAACACCGGGAGCCCTGGGATCCGGGGTGATCAGCGTTGCAGCAGGATCTTCTGTATCAAGTGCAAACTCGCTTCGTCTCGCTTCCTTGGAGGCATCTAGCAAACCGATCGATCAGGAAATCATGAAAGATCTCTTCTGGACATTATACTCCAAACTCGCTGCTGTTCTGCAAGGACTCCGCGTTGTTTATGAAGTTGCTAACCGCATTGGATCTGTATGTGTTACCCAAATGAAGTTATATCACATGGCTCATTTACCTAACAGCGGCGCGACTTTAAAGACTCATCAGGAGCAAAACCTGGTTCTCTCTTTCCCCTGGCCGAAATATGGATGCCGGTACAGGCTGAGGTATGATTTTCATGTTCTAAAGCTCTGACAGACATGAATGTATGTTTCTTAGGTGAGGACTTTGTTGAATGATTACATCACGGACGAGGAACAAGGTTCTGTCTCTGGTCGGAATCCGATATCTTCCATCAACGAGGTCCTGCGCGAAGGACGATATATTCGTGACAAAACGAAAGTACGTGAGCTTCATTCGCTCTGCCTGAGTGTTTATTTATTATCTCTATAGGCGGCCTTCCGCTTCGCTGATACTGATCTGAAACTCGCTTCAAAGGTACTTCGGGAACACGAGAATGAACTGACACAAGCGTTGAAGGACACAGTGCCTGGGTTGGTTCAAGGGTCAACAGACAGCACTGTTCAGGCCACGCTCTCCGCTCTCGGCACAGATGATCGAATGTTAGGGGTGGGGCAACATCATCGGCTCCTTGTGCACCCCGATGCATTTCACGTCAGTATACTCTTCCAGCCCACTCTGGCGTTTATGGAACGTATTTCGGACGTTCTACCGTCGGGTCACGAAGCCAGTCGTGCCACCACGGTGGTATTGGACGAATTCGTTGCTAAAGTATACCTTCCACAACTCGAGGACAAGGTGTCACTTCTCTTCCATCAAGCTGTGACTGGTAGGCGATAACGTTGTTTTACACATTTGTCTCACAACTGACACCTTCCAGGGCCCGATGCCTTCCAACCGGACCCTGCATCCATGAGACTTTCGAACCAACCCTTGATCAAGGTCAGTCGCCACCCAATATGCCGCCTTCATACTCTAACATTCTATTCTACAGGCGAGCGTGCAGCTCATGGCTTTGATCAACTCACTCTGTGCTATGCTCAGAAAGATGCCATTCCATCGCGAGAACTATTCGCGTTTGGTACTTACTGTGATTGTTCAGTTTTACCAACGATGTAGCGATAGATTCCAGGATTTGGTGTCGCTTAAAGATCCTGAGGACCCTGAAGCTGCACCACGAGTAGCTCTTTCAGCTCAGTGGGCGCAGAGGTCCGAACTTGTCCCCATCCTTTCTGAGCTGCAAAAGCAGATTAACGACGGGTCATCTCCGGCGAAACTGCAACATCTCTCGCAACAAGAGACTAATTTGGAGGCAAACCTTTTAGGCGATAGGTTGTTGGGTCGAGAAGAGCTGATTGCTTCAACTCGGGATCTTGGTGCATTGGCTAGCCTACATCACAGTGTTGTGAGTCGCCCGTTTAGGATGATACCTATTTGGTTCTAATCGAATACTCTTCGTAGACTTGGTTCGCTGCCGAACTCAATGCTCTGAAGTCCGCCCCAGAAACCGCCTTGTCACCCACCACGCCTATGCGATTGGAGCCTGTCAGTGCAGTAACGCCATTCACTCCTTACCGACCCAGTCTTTTCCCGGTGCAGCCAGATGAACAATTGAAGTTGCCGTTATCCGCCGCGATGGCTATGTATGTTGTTCATTCTCTCAAACGTACGGAAGATTGAGCTTCTTTCCACAGGCGTTTTCAGGCACTGCATAAGACGTATGAACAGCTCTCCGAGGTTATTCTTCATACGATTCGGGTGGATATTCGTTGTAGGGTTATACACCATCTGGATCTTGCGGTCCGCCAAGTGAGTCGTAGGATGATCCTCACCTTCTCTCTATATTAATCGGCATACAGGGCAACTACTGCATAGACGTAGAAGCGTTAGAGCCCGATCCGTACATCACTGACCTCAACGCCGAGCTCAGCAAGTGTGACGACTTTGCGTCAACCACGCTACCAGAGGCCGACCGACAGTGCGTATCTGCTCTTATTGCGTATTGCAGTTCAATGATAGTTTCCTTAGATTCGTCTTCGAGGGAATTGGACATCTCATGGAACAGCTCCTGATAACCAATGCAAGATATATTAGAACCGCAAATGACTTGGGAGTTCGGAAGATGATGCGGAATATCCTCGCCCTACGGCAGAACATCAAGACGATCACAGACGCGAGCCAGTCCAATGCGTTCGAACGTGTGAAACGTTATTATTCGCTATTTATCTTATCACCGCAGGTAAGTGCATTGTGTAACCACCCGAGCAGAAACCTGATGAAATACCGTAGGATCTGTTGGACGTCATTCGTCAGAAACAGGAGTTCAGTTTCGATGAGTATAAAACTCTGCTCGACCTACAATGCGGGGTGGATCCGACTGCTGGAGAATATGCTGGAGCGCAGGCAGTCGATCGTAACTATAATATGTATCTCATCGAGCTGCATGGGCTAGAGCTTGAAAATTCTGCGGACGACGAATAACTGGAAAATAATCCGCTTCATAGTTTCCACGGTCAGACCTCCATTATTTATTACCCTTCAGATTTTTGCTTGTCTATATCTTGTAATGCTGTGTTCTTTTTGCCTTTCGGGCTCTTCTTTTCGCTTTCGGCAAGTTCATACCATGCCACATCCGCTGCACTAGCTGTTGGATAGTGAGAGACACTATTTCGCCTATCGGATAGCAAGGCGCCAGCTGAACGAGTCACAAAGAAACGACCGGACTTCTTCTCGGCGGCATTGGATTGCGTCTTCATGGATGGTTTGTGAGTGACGATGGGCAGGCGTGATAACAACTGCTGGAAACGACGCCGCAGGAATCTCCGCGGAAGAGTCGTGTGTGTTGGAAGAGCCAACTCGCCTGACGGCGTATTCGGTGATTCTGATGCCGACTGCCTGCCTCGAAGCGTAGGGGTGGGGTGTTTCCAAGGATCGCCTGAAATAGCTTTGACTTCTTCGAGTAAACCTGTTGCCTCCAAGCCTGTACCTCGGATATGACTCGTGGTGGCGGATTCCTCACCGGATGCTGTTAGGTCAGACAGAGCCGAGATCTGTAACGGAGGTAGTATCTTCGCAGTCTCCTCCTTAAAGAATCGTTTGTGAATGTTTACTTCACGCCTTTTTGAAAATGGTCCTAGGAGCTTAGCCTGTTCCGAATTCGGGTCTGCACGTTCCGGTAACGAAGGCGGCACTTGTAACGACTTTGGCGTGAGAGCTTTGGCGGTTCGAGAGATTGAACTTGTGAGCAATGCTGCCAACTCTGGGGTATATGATGGTGGGCGAGATTTCTCCACAGCGGGAATTATCCGCTCAGGAAGTGGAGCTGTAGGGTCGACCATCAAAGGCTGTCGAAGCATAATGAGGTGATGCAACCGTCAGAAAGAAGCCTGACCATACATCTAAAAGTTCCCATTTCATTTTCCCCTTGCGACCGTAGGCAATGTCGAGCATTCGGTTCCAACTGGTAGGGCATGCATTATTGGCGTTTTCAAGCATACGTAAGGTCTACTGTGATTTCAGCTAGTGATTCCATTTTGCTGAGAACAAAAAATACCTGCTTCGCTCTTTTGAGCTTCCTGTTCTGTAGTCCTCGGTGTGTTGGCGCAGTTTCTATCGCCTGGACATCATCCCCGACCTTTATTCGGAAGAATTGTCTGGAGAAGGTGGGGTTCAATTTGGGACAGAATCCACGTGACAAAACTAACCGAAGATATTCAGTAGGAAGACGATTGATTTGCCGTTCAAATGAGCGTTGGAGATTGTCAATGACAACCTTTGGCACATTTCTAATGCTCATTGTGATATAAAGTACTGGAAGAGAATGTGTAAGTGAGTGTAAGAAGCAAAGACGCGCGCGACAAACTGGGACGATCGCGACGCGATCACATGCAACGTTACATCACCAGATCACTGTTCTTCCCCCAGAATTTGCCAGAGTCCCTGTGCATAACAACCAGGCGTATTTCAAACTGTGACACGTACACTCTCGCCCTGTCTGAAGTATATCCCACTGCTTCTGGATGAATGCAGTTCTGCACTATGTGAGCTAGCATTTACTACCCCGAAGGTAACCAGATGCTCGTCCTTCGTTTGGTTATCAATTTCCGCCGTGAATGCCAACTCAGGTCCTCGATGCGCCATTCCAATATTCCGACTTGGACGTCCCCGTTTCAAAGAGAAGCCAGATCCTCATCATCCATGTGACAGGAATAGCTCGTTTTATCCGGTGACGATTACATGCTGCCTCTTCGAGGTTGAGCGAACGTTTTCCGTGGATTCACCGCAGGTCACCGTCCTAGCGGTAGCAACGCGCTTTTCACTGCTACGGTCTTTTTATAAAGGATGGTGTTCTCTATGATCATTGGGAAGCAACCATCCTATCGTTTGCTCTCTTCGCCAAAATGCTGAAATATGCGACTGTCATTCTGGCTACTGTTTCCGCTGTCCTTGCACAGCAAACCGTCAGTGTTCATTCTTCATTTCTTTTGTGAAGTGATCTTTAAATACTTTCTTGGCGTCCTTGGTGATTAGGAATGGGGACAATGTGGCGGTATTGGCTGGAGTACGCAGGATTTTTCTTCTCACTCGCTACCTATATTAACTATTTACATCAAGCGGGACCGACTTCCTGTGTATCGGGGGCTGCCTGCACTAAACTTAACGACTGTGAGTAGTGACCTACATTGATAGTGAAGCTCAGCGAGACACTGTCGCCATAGATTATTCTCAATGTATTCCTGGTGCTGCCGCTCCATCGACAACTGTTACCTCTACCGCGTCGGGACCAACTGCGACGGCCCCTGCTGGCGCTCTACCTCCTCTTGGTGGTGTGAATACTGCAGGATATGATTTTAGTGTTGTGCGTAATCTTGCCTAAGTGGAACCTTGGATTTGTATCTTATTATTCTCTCGTGTAGGCGACTGATGGATCATTCAACGGCACCGGTGTCAATCCTCCCGTGGCACAGTACACTCACTTCGCCAGTGAGGGCGCAAATCTCTTCAGAATCCGTACGTCATGGAAATATATCTTTGACGAATAGCTCATATTCACAATGTTGATGCTTAGCGTTCGGTATGTCAAACGATCATCTGTCTTAGTTCACAATTGTTAAATGCAAGGATAGCATGGCAACTGATGAGCCCTCAACTTGGAGGAAATATTGACCAGAGCTTCTTCTCTCGCTATGATGCCACTGTCCAATCCGCATTGTCGTCAGGGTCTAACGTGTTCGTTATCGTTGACCTGGTGAGTGCATATGACGCTCTGAAATCGTTTATATCTCCAACGGTCATCTCCCAGCACAACTACGCTCGTTGGAACAATGGTATCATTGCTCAAGGGGGTCCCACCAATGAGCAGTTCGCCAGCATCTGGACGCAGCTTGCCGCGAAGTACGGCTCCAATGAAAGGATCATCCTTGGTATGTGAATGAAACGTCTTCAAGAACTGAATCTCACCCTTACAAGGTATCATGAATGAGCCTCATGATATTCCCTCTGTCGCCACCTGGGTCGATACCGTTCAACAGACTGTTAATGCGGTCCGGGCTGCTGGTTCCCAAAACTATTTGCTTCTTCCTGGTAGTAGCTGGGCTTCCGCCCAGGCATTCCCAACTGAAGCCGGACCCCTGCTTGTCAAGGTTACCGACCCTCTTGGCGGAACCAGCAAGCTCATCTTTGATGGCAAGTCAGCCCATGGACTCTATTGACCTTAACACTGACATGGCACAATAGTTCATAAGTATCTTGACAGCGATAACAGTGGTACCCATGCCGACTGTGTTACGGTACGTAATTTTACGATGTATACATTTGAAAAGGCTCTCACTATTTGTATTAGGACAATGTTCCTGTTCTCACCGACCTCGTGAACTTCTTGCAAGCTAACGGTAACAGGCAAGCTATTCTCAGTGAAACCGGTGGAGGCAACACTGCCAGCTGTGAATCAATGTCAATACAATGTCTTCTTTGTAATCTGAACATTTCTGATGCGCTTTCTATTATTAGGCTTGGTTCCGAACTCGCATTTGTAAAGAACAGCTATCCTACCCTTGCCGGATTCTCCGTGTATGTTTCATCCATTCATTTAGGAACATCTATTGACAATTGCTACAGCTGGGCTGCTGGCGCTTTTGATACTACCTACGTTCTCTCCGTTACTCCCAACGGCAACCAGGACCAGCCCCTCTGGGTTCAAGCTGGTACGTAGCAAATATCTCTATCAGGGCCCGAAAGGCTCATACGTGGATTATCATAGTCCAACCGAATCTTCCGTGAGACATTCGAAAGCTCAGACGCCAGGTGTCTGTGTAGTACCAGTAGTTGTTTGTACTATATGGATTGTTCATTCTACTTGTCCCGTCTTCAATATGCATCGGAAGTCGTGTATTGCGCCAGGTTTTGGTAACAAGATTGATACTTGCCATATTCGGTCTCTAGTGCGTCTCGATCAAAGCTGACTGAGCAAGATAAGATCTAGAGGACCGGCAAGATCGAGTGAATTCCCTTGAGCGACTCTGGTGTATCTTTGCTTTCTGTTCATTTGCCTTCTCATTGGAACTTTTTCGTAAATCATCGTGGTAGTGACATCACTATGGTGTGTATATTGCAGCAACCAGATTCATTTTTTTCACTCATTCCGACCTTAGCCGCCTCCGAAAGGCAAAGACCGCAACCCAAGTGGTCTCGGGCGAGCAATCATTAACAGGAAGTTCAAGGATGCCAGGGTAGCACGAGAATCCGGCCTAGTATGTTTGGGTTTCTATTTCATAGCCTGATCACACTAAGTAGATACTTCCAGTATACTACAGATGTTGATAATACAACCCGCCTGCAATCCATTACACAAGAACGGGACTTGGATGAGTTCCTTAACACCGCGACGCTAGCAGGCACACAGTTTACAGCTGGTGTGTTATATCTTTGCTTGTCAATTACCTACCGACTAAACTATTGTAGAACGTCGCAATGTCAAAATTATTAGTGCGCCCGCCGGATCCCAGCAAAATCCCTATCTTTTGTCTGAGGAGGAAGAACAGAAAGCTCTGAAAAAGCAACAAGATAATAAGGGACGTCTCAGGGTACCCAGAAGACCTCCATGGGATAAGTCTATGACTCCGGTGCAACTAGATAGGCAAGAGAAGGACGCATTCTTAGAGTGGAGAAGGGGCATAGCTCAGTAAGTTCGCATGTGGTTTTAATTGTAGCGCCTGAAAAACGTTTCATAGACTACAGGAACAAGAGAACTTCTTGTTAACGCCTTTCGAGCGAAATATCGAGGTGTGGAGACAGTTATGGCGTGTACTGGAACGTTCCCATCTTGTCGTACAAATCGTGGATGCAAGGAACCCGCTGCGTTTTCGCTGTGAGGACTTGGAAAACTATGTGAATGACGTTGAAGGTGCAGAAGGAGAACAAGGGACCGGGAAGGGCAAGAGAAAGAATCTTCTTCTCATTAACAAAGCCGACCTTCTGACTGCAAAGCAAAGGTAAGCATTTCGTAAGGAGGCCCTTCGCTGTTCTATTCACGATACCTCCTGGTAGACGAGAGTGGGCCGACTACTTCGATCAGCAGGGTGTGCAATACGCATTTTTCTCCGCAGCAAACGCGGCGGCATTGCAACAAGCGAGGAAAGAACAGCAACAAGCTCAAGAAGATACCGCGGAGCAGGAGGACACGCAGGCAACCGGTAGCGAAGACGACGCATTTGAAGAGAGCACGCGCAATCCAGCGTTTCTCAAAGAAGATGAGAGTGGTAGCGATGAGTCCGGGGAGTCAGAGGATGAAGGGGATTGGGAGGATGCTCCCGAGGATGGTTCGCATGAACAATCGGATTTGAGTTTGTATTTCTCGGCCGAAGAAGATACGTTGGATGGTCAAGATCCCAGAGCTCGAGTACTCAGTGTCCTTGAGTTGGAAGACTTGTTCACAAAAGCAGCTCCGGCTCTTTCTGGTATGCTACAACATAAATTCCTCGCAGTACGCTGAATTATGACGCACCGCAACAGAATTCACTGATTCCTCGGGTGACCATCCAACGAAATTGGTCGTTGGCTTGGTCGGTTACCCCAACGTTGGTAAATCAAGTACGATTAACTCCCTCTTGGGCGAGAAGAAAGTCAGCGTGTCATCTACTCCAGGAAAGACAAAGCACTTCCAAACGATTCAGTTGTCACCCACTTTAGTTCTTTGCGATTGTCCGGGCCTGGTTTTCCCTCAGTTTGCTACCACTCGAGCAGACTTGGTCTGCGATGCCGTGTTGCCTATCGATCAGCTCCGAGAATATACGGGACCAACTTCGTTGGTTGTCAAGAGGATACCTCAGGAAATCCTGGAGGCTGTTTATGGCCTTTCAATCCGAAGCCGGGGCGTCGAGGAGGGTGGGAACGGCAAGATTACTGGAGAAGATTTACTAATTACCTATGCAAGTAAGTCTCCTTTCCACCCCTTTCTGATTCATATCAGGATGTTGATGGCATGTTCAGTTGGTAGAGGCTTTACTCGATCTGGTCAAGGCAATCCTGACGAAGCCCGTGCGGCAAGACACATCCTGAAGGACTACGTCAATGCTAAGCTTTTGTACTGTCATCCGCCGCCAGGCATCTCGGAAGACGATTTCAATGTTCAAACACGAGAGATTATTCTTCATCGTGCCATTGGCAAGAAACGCGCCCCTACCACTCGTGTTGTTAAGGGCGCAGATACCTTCGTCCCTGCGAATCTTTCTCAACCTAATATTGCCAACTCCGCTCCGGCTCCCGGACGCAATTCGAGCAGGGTCGATCAGGAGTTCTTTGCCAGCAACCAAGGATTGTCATCAAGACCGTTCGTGCAGCAGAACGGTCAGGAGTTCACAAGAGCGAGGCTGTATCCTCATCAAAATGCAGTGGCAGACGATGGCACACTACTAGGCGGAAGGAGGGCACGCATAGCCGCAGTATTGGCCAATGCAGGAGGTGACATCGGTACCGGAAAGAAGCATCATAAGAAAATGAAGAGAGTCAAGCAACGAAGTGGGAGAGGTTACGATTAACCCTTTCTCTTCCGTTGATTTTTAAATCTGTGCCACTAGAATACAGTCCTGTATCCATAGACGCTCTCATGTATCATGAAACATCTCAGTCTGAAAGCCTTGGAAACATTGTATCTCCAATCTTGAGCTTGCGCAAAAGCGGTAGTGGCCAACCCGGATTGGGTAGCCGATATGCCAATTATGGAAACCATGTCTCACGTGGATCGAACGCGTCGCGATCGAGGGCTGAGTCTCATCTGAGTTTAAAGGGGATGTACAGTATATTACCTACGTGCATCTCTTGTGTTTTGCCGTCACGGGCTTGCAACAACCAAGCTTTCTTTCCTTGCCACAATCCCACTTTTGACGCGTCCTATTGCTCTTACTACTAAAATGGTACGCAGCAGTAGCTCATCTGCCAACACACAGCATGTACCGTCGGATGTATGCGCCAAACTCACCACGGTGAATAGGAATGGTCGAAAAGAAGGTATGTCTAAACTATGTTTATCATGATATACGGACATACAATCTGTTTGCAGTCTTGTTGCTCAGTTTCAGTAGACCTCTGATTATCGGGAGGAACCCGGCAGTATGGTACGCGTATCCATTGACAACTGAATGCTCAGATGGTCACATTGGTTATCCTCTCTCTTGAAGCTCTTATATCGTATCTGAGCCAGTCGTGTCGAGTGTTCACTGCAAGCTATATGCGCAAGTATAACGTGCCTAATCATCCGCATATATTAACCTTGTTTCTAGTGTTAGGTCAAGCAACGGAGGAGTAATTGTATCTTGTCAAGTACGTCAATGCTGGACACCGTGCACTGATTGAACCTTACCTAAGATTAGGATCTATCGAGCAATGGCCTGTATTTGAATCGCCACTGGATCCGAGGCAGCTCCGTGATTGTAATGGATGGGGATACCTTGCAGATCCCATCCTCTCAGAGTAAGACAGTCTGTGCGAACCTTTACGTCGCTGATAGTGTCGCGATGTAGCGTTTACATGTGTCCATACACATCATACAAGCGTAAGAGACAACTCAGCCGTATTCGAATCTACGCCCATTTCCAATCAGGTACTTCTGCCGTCTGGCTCTTCATAACTATAGCTTATCATCGTTCTCAGTCATTGGGACAGTGGATGGTCACTTCTCATATGCTTGGAAGTGGGTCATTCGCAACTGTGCGCCTTGCTATGGATACTTCGCAGTCTGCGCGTAGGCAAGTCGCGTGCAAGACGATCAAGCGTAAGAAAAGCGATACTCGAGGTGCAATATTGAAGGAAGTCAAGATCCTAGGAGCTCTGAATCACGTAAGTATTCTGCATCTCATGTCCCGACGTGCTGTATTTACACCCGAAACAGCCAAACATCAATCGCGTGTATGATGTCGTCTCAGACAGTACACATATGTGCGGACGTTTCTTTCACAGTTGTCAATATTGTTAACATCAGTGCATACAGGCATATATTCTTAGAGCTTTGTACCGGAGGAGATCTATTCTCTTATGTCGCACATTACGAAGACAAAGAGTATCGGCTGTGTGAAGGCGAAACCCAGTATATCATGTACCAGCTCTTGCAAGGTCTGGAGTACTTGCACAGTAGATCCATTGCTCATCGAGGTAAGTATGCGGCATGTCATAGTTTTCACTGCTTTGTTAAACCATCGTTCTCGTAGACCTCAAGGTAATCTGCTTGTTCAATGCTCCCTTCCTTTTTCCCCCTGAGCCTGAATTTGTGTCACTGATTCCTGCATATAGCCCGAAAATATCCTGCTCTATTCTCCAGGTCCTTATCCACGAATCCAGATCGCCGATTTCGGACTTGCAAGACCTCAATCACACGAAGAAACTCTGAACGTCTGCGGAACCGTGCCTTATCTGCCGCCAGAAGGCATCCTGGCATTGGACAACAAGTACATGGGCTACGTCGGTATCCCCGCTGACTGCTGGAGCGCAGGCGTCATCATGTTCCTGATGCTTTCGTATGTTCTCTCTGGGTTCCGGTGACCAATCTCAATGGAGTTCTTGATAACTAACGTTTGCCTCTGTTGCGGCTACTTCAAGTGGTCGTCATCCATTTGACTATGGCGTTATCCCCAGCGACTCTGACTGGCCTACTTCACCTGTCTTCAAGAGCCACGCGTGCGACTCTCAGTACTGGCTAAGCTCTGCTCAGAACGACGACGTTGTCAAAAGAAGAATTATTGACGGCGATGTCGAGTACTCCCAGCATATATGGAAGCCTATACCTCACGGTCAGTGCTAAACTTGCCGTGGTACGCTCATCCCTAGCGGGATTTGTTTTGACGTGTTTTGCGAGTTAAGCTCAAAAATTGTGCGATTGGCTTCTCTCCCCGGATCCCCAGTCAAGAGCAACTGTGTACGACGCGCTGGATAGCAAGTGGATCAGAGGCGACTTGAACGAACTCACGGCTGCCTATCATAAACGAATGAACACTCGATAACGTCGTAACACATCGCTTGCTCCCTGCTGGGATCCTGTGCATTCTATCTCAGCGTACTTCGCTCTTGTCTCTCCGGTCCGTTCCTCGGTTGTCGGGATGATATAGCTACAGCAATGATATTCGGAGTGAGTACAGTATACAATGATTTCCTATATTTTCGTTGTCCGATCTCGTCGTCATTCCCGTTTATGCCTTCAAAAAGTTCGAGTGGACTGAATGAAGAAATGTCAATTGTATTTTTTTGCGGTGCAGATCGTCAGAATGGCTTACAGTGGATATGATCGGCACCGAACGTAGAAATCTGTTGAAGCAGCACGAGTGAGGAATTTATAGAATTAATCAACTGAGAACTCACGAAGTAGTAACTGTGGTCATAGCCTTCCTGGCTTCTCACACGGACTTGCACCTCGTCGTATCCAGCATCTCTGGCAGCTTTCAAAAAATTCTCTGGGAGAAGCTGACCCTGAATATAGAAGTTGTCCGCGGTACCCTGAGTAGCGTTTAGTGTCAGTGCAGATATTTCATCATATTCCTTTTCACATACATAATCGACCAAGATGTTCACCGGTGATTTTAGTTTCTTGATGAGCTCAGTGGCGTCATACTTCTCCTTAGCCTCTTCAATGCCGCCTTGCAAGTAACCAGTGAACGCCTTCTGTCCCCACGGACAATTGATTGGGTTCGAGATAGGTGCAAATGCCGAGACGGAACGGTATTGCTTCGCACCGTGATACAATGAGTTGAGGTACAGAGTCAAAGCACCGTGACCTCCCATGGAATGTCCAAAGATAGACTGGCGAGTAAAGTCCTATGACATTGAATCAAGATGAGTGAGAAAGACACGCTAGTAAGCACTGTGAATGTGCGGAGAGCCGACGGAAGGGTCACGTACGATGGGTAAGGCGGCAGCTGCGAGGACTGCAGGGAGCTCGACGGTAACATGTGTAAACATGTTGTAGTGCTTAGCAAACTTGGGATTTGTAGCGTTCAAGTAGAATCCGGCACCTGTGGTAACGGGGTGGAACCATTTTAGAGGCTTGAAGGAACGTGTTGAGGTTCCTACCTGTACCAAAGTCCCAATCATCGTCTTCACCTTCGATGCCAGCACCTCGCGGAGAGGTATCAGGAAAGAGAATAGCAATGCCCTCCTGAGCCGCTGGACCGAGGAATCCACCTTTCTGAGCTCTATATTCCTGTCAATGATTGGAAGCTAATGACCGATGAAGCGACTCACCCATTGTCCTCTGTGCATGTCAAACCGGACAAATATGTCAAGATGGGAACCTTGCTAGTTGTTGCGCTGGGTGGAAGGTAGAGATTGAAGTTTGCATTCAAACCTCCCAAAGTCTCAGACTGAGAGACGAAGTGTAGTGAGAATAAAGGGGACAATTAACGTCGCTTAGAATGCGTGCCTTGAATTTGTATTTAACAAGTTGACCACCGAATGCCTTGTTGGAGGAGACCTTTTCGAGGCTCATGCTTATTGTCGTAAAATTTGAGCCTGGCGCTGTTTCTGGTCGAGTGTATGTGTTGCAAGACCGTGAAGTGCAGAAGGACTTCAAGGAGGTAAAGGGAATTCTGGAATTGAAGTTCGATCTAATCTAAACGCCCTCCTTGCGTCATAATCGGCAAAATATTCTGACGAAACACCTCGAGAGGTGATTTCAGAATGGCGATGAGAGTAATTCGTGGCCATGGGACCCTTGAACGAAGATGATGGCGCAAACGGATGTGCAAGATGCAAGTCCCGTGGTGCGAGTGAATGACCTTCCACCTCCACGGTGTTGCTTGGCGAGAGATCTAGATAGCAAAGCAGTGGCACAATATCGAATTACTTACTGCTGATCTAAAGTCCCCCAGTATAAACGCCTTCTTAGTCCACGTAGCGCAGATTTGGCTTGATGATAAGGTAGTAATAAGGCAGAAAGAAAATTTGATAAGCCAACAATCGACATTGACGTCTCCAGTCATAAAGCCTGCACCCTTGGGCGCTCGATCGAGCAACTTGCTTCAAGCCATCACAACGCGTCCACAACGCGAGTTCGGCTCTGAGAGATGCCAGTCGCGTCGACTCCTGCAGGTCAGCCGACGGCGACTCTACCCTCAGTCCTACCATCCGTACCCGCTCTACAAGACGGTATGTCTATTTATTATTATTAGTTTCACCAGACGCATTGCCTTAAGTTGTAACGAATCCTATCACTCATCTTACAGTATCTTCCACCCCAGAGCAAATCCAAGGAGGCCATGGCAAAGCTACCAACCCAGCTGAGTAAGAAAACTCCATTGGATTGTGGAATTCTGGCATATCTAATTGTTTATTCGTGTATGATAGGACACCCATCTTTATATGCGCAATGCAGGACTGTAATCGGCTCTTCCCCTCACGGGACCGTCTAATGGCTCACCGCAAAGTCGTTCACGAGTCCGAAGACGATAGCAATATACTCACTTGGAATGCATATGCTAAGAGTGGTAAGAGTCGAAATTCTTCGACCCCGCCAAGGACTCCGAGGGCAGTCGAAGCTGGTTGGGCTAGTGCAGCCGACATGTTCACTGTTTGTCCACTTACGATGGGCAACATAGATTGTTGCTACGAGCCGTCCAGCGACCGGAGACATTTGGTGTACGGTGCGACGAGAAGGTCTTTAATAGAGCACTTGGGGTTGCACCCGCTATGAAGAATGTGAAGTGTTCGTCGACAATATTAACGATTATATACACATTATACATGATAGCTATGTACTACAAGGGTATAGCAATGCCAGAATTATTAATGAATCATCTAAGACAGGACATCTCTCATAGTCAATGTGGACAAACTTCGGACATCATCATGATGACGACGAGGACTGTCCGGCATTCCCATCATGCTCCCCACCAACTTTCCTCTTACTCTTCCCATTCCCATTCATCTTCTCCCTCTCCTCCTCTTCACCCTTCCTCAAACTCTCAACCATCTCTAAGCGCTCAGTTTCCCTCCTGATCTCTTCTACCTCTTCTCGTTCCTCCAAGCTCGCAGTCTCACTAAGTTCTGATCCCTCCAAAGCTTCGGGTTCCTGAGGTGCTTCTTGACCTTCGACGACTCTTGCCAGGTGGTCTGCGATGCCTAAATAAAACGTCGCCGGTTTGAACTTGATCTCGCGACCCATGATTTCGGCCCATTTATATCGTGCGGTATTTACCCAGCCGACGAGATCGAGGTGGTTTACACCTTCGAGTGTGCCGAGATACGTGCCCTGTGAGATCAAACGTAAGTATCATGCTGTATACATGACATTGCAATGGTGAACGAACCCATTTAGCAGACTCGAGTGAGACTAGACCATCATTCGGACCTTCTTTCTCCAAGATCACCGAATGTGACCACCTAAAAATATAACTCATGAGCTCACATCCACCTGCACCAAAGTACAAACCAACTCACTTCCAAGTATCGATCAACCCAGGTTCGTAAGTTGCACCCCACGAAAAATACTTGACGTCATGTACATCCGGCGTCGCCTCATTAAATTTCCGCATATTCTCTACAGTCAAGAACTGAAAAGCCTTTCCATCGCCTCCACCATTGGGTAACATATCTAACAGTGAAAGGATAGAAGGCATTCGTTCATGTCCGACAGTCTTGAGAAAGTGATCGGCGAATGAGGATCCGTGGTGTGGTGAAGATATAGTGGTAATGGAGAGGACTTTGAAGGTACGGTGGGTGAGGTGAGTTGTTAGGTACCTGCAGTCGAGTCCACCCTATTCATCATGCATACATTAGATTCAGATTATGTGAACAAGGTTAGAGCATAAGTAGATGATTCGTACCATGCTGTGTCCTAAAGAAACCGTCCTTCTATGTCTACATAACCGTTCAAAAAATAATCTGGGGTGGAAGACGTACCTATGAGATGAACGCTACGACCTGGATATGCAGCACTAATCTTCTCCTCCAGTACCTTAGCACGCACGATCGGGGTGCTTGTTGCAGGGACTCGTGTGATGAGGACCTGTAAGACAAAAGTGTGAACAATGCCAAAGAGGAAAGAAATATTGCAAAAAGAATGCCAACCTCGACTCCGTTTGCTTCAAGCGCATCTTTGATACCTCGCCAATGCGAAACTTGGACTGGGGCAATTGAAGGACCAACAGTGACCGTATCGAACCCGAGGAGCCCATGACAGAAGACAACAGGATTTTTGGGAGCCGCATCTTGGAAATAATTAGTTCCATTTCTGTAAATTACCGTTTCGGTTGAACGAGAGCTCACAATTTTCACGAATGCGCTGTTTCTGAGCTTCCGCGGTGGGTGCCCTGTCTTCTTCACTTAAGAAGGGGTCCATGTTTTCTTTACTATCGTCTGAGGCGAACCAGCCCTTCAACGGGTTAGACAGATTCGGAAGAGTCAATCGTTGAGATGGCGTAGTCGTATGTATGGCTCTAGTTCCTCGCTCTTGTATCGAACGTAGAGAGTCTATGGACGTCCGGGTGGGTGACAGCGACAAGGTCGGGGGTGATTGTGGTAAATGGGCTGGTGCAGGTGAAGGAGGCATCGCAACTGGTGAGGGTGTTGGGCTATACAGTATGTCTAGGTCGGGATTATGCTCAGGACGCTTGAATGGGTCCTCAAATGGATCCGAGTATTTGGTAGAGTATATTGATGGAGGTGACAGACCAGCTGTTGGTAGTGTCGAACGAGCAAGGTTTGAAAGCAAATTTGGAGGTCGAGAGGATCCTGCATGAAATTGGTGGGCAAGACGCACTGCTTCTGGTCTTGAAGGTAAATCCACAGCATGTGAACGTACTTCAAGGAGCTTTGGATCATCATCCAACGCGTCGGCGATTGCAGAGTATACAGACGGAGATGGAGGTACTTGCTGCGATGTAAAGTAGTGTGACGGCGATGCCTGCGTGGGTGAGTGTGTCAAGGTAGAACCAGAGATGGACTCGCTCGACAAGCTTTGACGAACTTCTATTCCAGAATTTTGCCCTGCAAGCCATCGAATGGCAGGTAAGGTCGGATGCGGTTTCAGTTTGTCACGTTGTGCAGTCTTCCCCGCAGCACTGGTGCTATGACCTTTACTGCTCGAAGGCAGACTCAAGTTCATACTGAAAGCTTTTGGGGTATGAGTAGCTCTTGACTGGTTATTTAGATGTGAATATCTCGGCGAAGGTGGCCGAGTGCGTGCAATCCTCATGCTGTCTGGAAGCGATGCTTCCAAAGATCGTCGGCGCGACGAAGGTTCGGATGCAGGGTGGTTTGGGTCGTTATTTCTGGATGGGTATGGATCTGCGGAGAAGAGAGAGGTAAGGCGGGCAGAGAGAGAGGCCCGCTTGTCGACGTCGGCCATTCCAGCATTTGCAGGCTGGAGCGTATGCACAGTCACTCGACGTCACTCTCTTTAGGTCAACCTATTACGGGCGTCTAGAACAAAACCACCTCTTGAACGTTGAACTGCATCATCTTACAGTGCACTAGTCAGTGGCGAATGGTTGAGTAGTTCTCCATATTGATCAGTTAGAAGTCCATCATATATTTCATATGCGTTGTTGCTAATCACAGGTGTATGATTGTGTTCTATCGTCCATTCTAGAGTTGATTCCGTTCTCTCGATCATGAGATTCTCCGTAGGGTCACCATGGTTGCGGATGTGCAACATCTGTTGCACACCTTTCACAGACCGCACACTTCTCTTTTATGTGAAATAGATGCCAGGAAGCGGTGCGCGTACGGTCAGTGATTTGCGGCGTCCGTTATCATGTACTGTTGAATATTTAGGTTCTAAATGCCTGTCTGACCGCCAGTGCACAATTTCTCTCCTTGCTCACCTTTAAGCACGGTTCACCTACTCGCTTGTCGAACGCTGCTGACTTCTAACACGAATGTCCTGGAGACCTTGGAAGAGATGCTTGCGCAATACGTCCTTCGAGATTGTTACCACATCATCTTGTACAGCCTTAGCATCCACTGAACCTCCAAACTCGTTAAAATCGCTGAAGTCTGTCTCTTCGACATCGACACTGGTAAACCTTACCGGATCCCAGTCAAAATCGGACCCCAAAGCATCCTCCGACTCCCTTTCCAAAGGGTCTCTCCCTAGCTCAGCCTTCAATCCTTATCAGTACCCTTGGTCAATACATCAGTTAGCTTTGGAACAGCCCGAGCTACTCGAAGACGGGGTAGAAACCCGTCCGCCAAGAAGATCACAGTTTCCAAGATACGGCCATTCTCTTGCTTCTACTTCTGATGACCGTTTCGTCTTGTTTGGTGGTTTCGTTAACGAGAAGCCGTCGAATGATGTATGCATCATAAATCCAAAAGATCTTACTGCGACGTCTTTGGACACAACGGGGGATATACCTTCACCTCGGAGTGGTCACACTGGTGTGATGTACAAAAACTGTATGATCGTTTGGGGCGGCGAGACTCGGACGGATAATCATGATCTCAGTGCATCAGATAGGTCCGTATACCTCCTTGACTTGGGTCAGTTCGGTAGTTTTGCACAATTTCTACTTGGAATACAAACTAAATATTTAGTACATTAGCGACTTCCCGCTGGCATCGAGTCACCGTTGATGGAGAGCTCTCGCCGGAAGGTCGATCAGGACATGTTGCAGGGGTTGTCGATGCGAAGATGTATATTTTCGGTGGTCAAAGAGGAGATGGCCAGATATTGAACGACGTCTGGGTCATACATCTCGCAAAATGTAGGTCCATCGCATGTCCTGATAGTCGTAGTATTGACATCATAACAGGCGATGTGGATTACACTGCAAAGTGGTATCATCTCAATCCCGGTGTAAATTCACCTCGCCCTCCCGCATTGGTAAATGCCGCCTGGACGAAGTACAAGGCAGCACTCATATTGTAAGTCCCGATGTGCTTGTGGAGTGACTTCTTTCAGTGACGAGGTTCGGCAGATTCGGGGGAACAGATGGAGAATACCATTATAGTGACGTGTGGGTGTACAATACAGGATCGCGCACATGGGGCAAACTCCGCTGTGACGGCTATTTTCCTGTGCCAAGGGAAGGTCATGGTGTCGCAATGGTTGCAGACATGTTTTATGTCTTTGGAGGGAGAGCGCCGGACGGGACGTTTTTGGGAGACCTTGTTGGATTCCAAATTTCATGTGAGGGATTCTGTTTGAATTGACATTGGCGGTACAATTTGACACTAATGTCACTTACAGGTAGACGTTGGCACACGTTTAGAGGCTTAGGACCCGCACCGAGTGCTCGATCAGAGCACACAATGATCTCTAGGAAGGATCAAGTCTATGTATTGGGTGGGCATCGTACAGGCGCTATGGACGCTAGTGCAGATGAATCCATTCCTATCATACACATTCTCGATGCAGGTATTGTATCGGCTTCAACAACCCTGCTTAGATCCTTCACTAATAGTCAGATATATGGACAGATAGAGTATTCCAGCTTCCGCCTCCGAGGGGCGCTCCGCCGAGAGTAGCTGTATGATACACAATCACAGTGCCTCCGATAACTAATCGTCCCAAAGGCTGTCCCTGTCACTAGTCGAACTTCAAATACACTACTTACCGGAACGGTGCATAACCATCAAAGTATTATCATCACATGGTCCATCATACAATGATCTATACCCAGGAAAGCTAGCAGATACAAAAAGTCAGAGACTGGTTCTGTTATGCGGCAGGGTCTGGCGGCGTCCCGGAAGGCTCGGAGGATTTGGTCAGGGACCTGTCTTATGCCGAGCAGGGACGCAAGAGGACGGATGAGGTAGAACGTTCGAGTCCGATGATATGATTGTTTGTTGCTGTCGACTAACTATCTGGGTCTCATGATATATGTTGGGAACAGAGAACGGACATTACATTGACAACGGCTATCCGCTTGTGATGGAAAGAGTTTGACGTCGAAATCGAGTCGTGAAAGCAGCGTTTCCGGGATTCATTGCGTAATGAATTCTGGTCGGAGGCGACTTGCAGTTGACGCGTTGAGAGGTAAATATACCCGCGAGACAGTGATGTCGCTGACGAGATTTGCATCCGCCTATGATACTAACGAGCAACCGAGTGTTGTCAAGGAAACTGTCTGAGACTCTGGAATCCCAGGAACGCAAGTGAATGAGCTGTAAGTTGTGGATCGAATGAGACACGCCATGAACATGAACGGCAAGCACTTTGCGTTGTTGCACAAGAATTGAAAGAAAACCAGAAGAGTAGATGAGAAACCTATTGTGCACAATGAATGCATGCAAGAAGAATGAGTGGAATTTGAGGGGACGGACATCAGCGAGGAGGGATCCAAGAAGGGAAATGTTTGGCCACGGGTGAGCAGTGCAGGAGGACTCTGGCAGGAGGTGCTTCGCTTCTTCACGGACGCTGTCTGTCCATCCCTGGTCGCCGCCCATCCTGTTCTCCCTCAATCCTTTCTATAATCCGTTAGCCAAGCTGCAGCCATACAGTCACTTCTAGGAGGCAGATCCAGAAGAATGTCCTTCTTCTCCAGGAAGAAGCAGCATGCGCAGGCTCCCTCCAATGTCACCGTCGCCACTTCCCCAAGCGCCGCCCTCGCTCAGATCTCTCAGAGCCAGCACCAGCCACAGAAGCAACTAGCAAAAGAGGCCAGCTATGATAGGTATGAGCTGTTTCTATGAATGCGCTGGCAGCACAACCGCTCATAATACTTTACTTGACGCACTTTCCTCGTACACCGGAATTGCAATAAATGATAGCGGACTCAATGGACGAGCTAGTCCTTCTGTTGCTCCAAATTCTTCTTCTCCTGCTGCTGCTCAACTTGCTCAGCGACAGCAGCAGCAGCAGCCCCGTGGAGGGAGCCCCAACGTCAATGGCAGCATGTTGCAAGGACCTGAGAAGCCAGTTCTTGCACAACAGCAAACTGCGATACAACCTCAGATTCCTCAACAGGTCCAGCAACAGCCATCCCAGCAAGGCCAGCAGCCTCCTCCACAACGGCCAGCCTTCCCTTGGTCACAACGTCGTCTCTTGTTACCTCCACCAGTGACTTTCCCGACACCTGGGGTTGTACCACCGACAACCCCGTCTCCTTCACCATTCCCTCGATATGGGCATGCACTACCTGCGACAGCCTCGAGCACCGGTGAACTGTTCCTCTTTGGTGGTCTCGTACGAGAGACTGTTCGCAATGACCTCTATATCTTCTCTTCTCGAGATCTGTCTGCGACATTACTTCAAACTGCAGGAGAGATTCCGACACCTCGAGTTGGACATGCCTGCGCTATCGTTGGCGGCGTCTTGATTGTCTGGGGAGGAGATACCAAGGCAAGCAATAAGCCTGGAGAGAAGCAGGACGATTCACTCTACTTGCTAAACCTCGGTAAGTACCAATAATGATTGATTGACTTTTGGACTCTTATATTATACAGGAACGAGGGAGTGGACAAGAGTACCTGTCTATGGACCTTCCCCCGTTGGACGTTACGGTCATGCTGTGACCATGGTCGGCTCCAAGTTCTACATGTTTGCTGGACAGGTGGACGGCGAGTTCATGAATGATATCTGGGCGTTTGACTTGAACACTCGTAAGCTTTCTTTGCGCTTACCTCTCCCAGTCAACTTGTGGTAACACTTGATGATTTCGTGTTAGTCCGCAGCAGAGCCGCTTGGGAATTCATCGAACCCGCCGAGGGCTCACCTAAGCCTGCCCCTCGGACCGGACATGTCTGTGTAACGTACGGAGAGAAGATTATCTTGTGAGTATGACTGTGTCTTTGCGCTCTATCGTGTTTCGAATAATATTTAATGCAGGTTTGGTGGAACGGACTGCCAATACCATTATAACGATACCTGGGTTTTTGATACCATAACTCGCACCTGGTCCGAGCTGAACTGTATAGGATTTATTCCATCACCAAGAGAAGGTCATGCTGCCGCCTTGGTCGATGATGTCATGTACGTCTTCGGAGGTCGAGGTTTGGATGGGAAGGACCTGGGCGATCTGGGTGCCTTCAAGCTATCTAGTAAGTAAAAGAATGTACTTCGAATGAAGTACGAGAGCTGACAACCCTGCAGACCAACGATGGTACATGTTCCAGAAGATGGGGCCGGCACCAAGTGCTCGTTCTGGACATGCCATGGCCTCTGTAGGTTCTCGAGTGTTCGTGCTTGGTGGCCTTGGAGGGGAGTCCCTTGATCCTACGAAACCTGAGGATCCCACACTCATTCATGTCCTCGATACGAGTACGTAAACTTATGATGACATCTGCTGATTGATTTACTAACCTCCCTCCTTTTTTCTTTTTTTTTTCTTTCTGAAAGAGCACATCAAGTATCCAGATTCTAACAAAGCGCCACCAGCAGGTCCCCCGACGGGTCCGAGCCGAAAGTCATCTGTCACCGTTCAGGGTGCAGCACGATCAACGTCACCTCAACTGAATGGTGTCAGAGCAACTTCTCCCGTAAGCGACCAAGGCATTGACGCAGAAGAGCTCCGCCGTCAGATGGTCTCTCCTTCCAGTGTGCGGTCCGTGAAGCAGAACGGATCTGCTCAGCGTGCAGTAACTCCTAGTGTCGATAAAGGCAAGGCCCCACTGCGCCCGCGTAGAGAGGACGGCGACGAGTTGGATGAAAACAATCCTGATATCATCTCTGGACAGAGAGCTATCTCACCAGACCAAGCTCGTGCAAGGAGTCCGAATGCATTTAGCTCTAACCGTGCCGCATCGCCTAATGGTGAAAACTACGCTCAATCGTTAGGTATGGCTGGTGCGGCCATGGGTATAAACGGAGTTAACGGTAATGTGGTCCGAGCTGCTTCTCCTTCCGGAGGCTACTATCCTCACAATCCAAGCTCGCCTTTACCAAACGGTTATACTCATGGCAAGGTAGGATCGACAGGCAACATTGCAGCAGATCTCATTCGCGACCTAAAGGAGAAGGAAGCCGAGGTAGAGACCATGAAGAAGAAGGAAGCGTGGATGAGAGCTGCCCTGGCTAAGGCCACACGTTCTGGATTCGTATATGCTGATTCTGAGGATTTGGGTCCCAACGCTGAAGATGACGACATTGACGGCCGTAAGATCTCCGAGATGGTCATTAACCTGAAGCACTTGAAGGCTAAGTTGCAGGTATGGAAATGAAGAGTCTCTCTTACAACCTTATGGCTAATTTACGTTTTGCAGGCTTCGGTGGCTGAACAGTCCAGGAATGCTTCGGACCGAGTGGAAGAAGCAGAGAAGATGCGCTCTAGTGCCATGCAGGAGGCGGCATATTATCGTGCCAAACTTGCAGCGCTCGAGGCGGGATCGTCGTCAGAAGCATCTCGCCTGGATAGGGATCGAATCGCCGACTTAGAGCGGCAGCTTTCTACTGCTACGGAGAGTCGGGCTGATCAAGAACGGAAGGTCCAGGAACTCAGCGAGTCGCTAGCATTACAGACGACCCTGCTGGAGCAGGCCGAAGCTCGGGCAGACGATGCGTCGAAACGCGCGGACATGATGACCGAGGCGCATGACAGGAATCAGCAGCAGCAGGCATCGCTTCTTGAGCAACAAGATGCGATGGAGGCTACCATTCGGGATCAGACAGACAGGCTCCTGACACAAGTGTCTAGTATCGAGCAGATCGAAGCGGACAATATGAAGCTGCAGGCTCAGCTGGAAGAACTCGCCTTATCACGCGAGCAACATGTGCGTGCGCTTGAGCAGGCTCGTAGCGCATTGCAAGTTGCCTCCAATCGTGCGGAGGAGGTGGACACCAAGTACCAACGTGCTCAGGAGCAGATTGGTCAGTTGGAGGGTGACCTCTCTGAACTCCGTGGTGAGCTCGAGGCACGAAATGGGGAGATTGACTCTGCTCGCGCAAGGATTTTGGATCTCGAAAATTCCTGGGCGAAGTCTCGTGAGGAGGCTGATGCCTTCCGCGCACTCACCACGGGTAGTCTCGGTGAGCTCTTGGACACGCATCGTGATCTCAAGAGCGACGAGGATCGTGCTTCCCGCGGACACGCTGAGAAGATTGGTGCCATGGAGAGCGAGATCACATCACTTCGTGACGTGCTCAAAGATGCTACCCGTCGTGCCGATGACCTCCATAAAGAACTTTCGCGAGAACGCCAAAAAGTTCGTGAATTGGAGGTGGATAGTCTTTCGTTGAGGTCACAAATGGTTGGATTGCGAGCTCAGTTGTCGGGTGCCCTTGCAGAAGGTGGTCGTCTGAGGAAGGAGTTGGCGGTCAAGGATGTCGAACTGCGAGATAGGATCAAAGAGCATGCTAGTCTCAACGTGCGTCTTGATATGCTGCGCAACTACCTTGCGGAACATGGCATTGTCGAAGGTCAGGACCTCGGTGCCAGGGGTGGCAAGGCATCTCCTGCCCGCATCGCAGAACTCGAAGACCAGTTGACTGATACTACTCGGCTGCAAGAGCGAACGGAACGTGACCTCCAGAGAGCTATTCAACAGAAGCGCGATGCGGAGGCTCAAGTCGAGACGCTCTCTTCTGAACTTGATCGCATGCACTCTTCCCCTCATGCACAGAATGGCATTGATAGCTCAGCGGAAGCCCGGGCTTTGGAGGCGGAACGCAAGCTCGAGGAGTCGGAAGCGAGCTATAAGGCCAGGCTGGCACAGTTGGAAGATGATTATCAACTCGCAGTGCATTATGTGAAGTAAGTTGTTCCTTGTCCCTGTCAAACGTCGTGCTTATTAGAGTTTCAGGGGCACGGAGAAGATGATGCGGAAGATGAAGGATGAACTGACCAAACAGAAGACTGTGAACCAAAGCCTGCAGGCTGAATTGGATCGTTCATCAAGTGATCCAGGGTCTCGTATACGAGGAATGAATGGTCGTGGAACTCCTTCCTCCGACGCCAGTGACGCTCATGAGATGCTCCGAAATCAATTGATCGACGCACAACGGCAGGTGCAACGACTAAATGTTGACAACCGCGATCTACGTTCTCGGATAGACACCCTCGAAGGAGATTTGGAGCATATGCGGGACAACGTCATCGCCTCTCAACGTGAATCTGACGAGCGACTATCCCGAATTGAAGAACTTGAGCAGGACGTTGAACGGCTGCAGAACTCGCTTGTCATTGCCCGTGGTGGTCACGACGAGACGTTACTGGAGCAGCTCAGTAATGAAAACACGATTCTCAAGCGCGAGAATGAACAATTATCGCACAAAATTGGACTACTTTTGGAGGTTGATCAACCGTCTTTCGGAGCTCGACCGATCTCAGGCGTCTCAGAGCGTCGTGCAAGCACGTCCAGCTCCGAGAACGCTATGGCGTTCGAGAATCTTTCAAGTGAGCTTGATGATTGGCAAAGACAGCTTGCTAGCTCTATGAGCAATCGACGTCCACTCAACGATTTTGAGACAAGTCCACTGGGGCATGATCGAAGCAGATCGCGGTCGTAATCCTTCCTATTTATCATGACATATACCCTTCTTTCGGTCATTTGTCGCGCACATTCGTTTTTCTTTTTTTGCATATCTTACTATATAATCCAGCTTCCTTGTTGCTTCTTTCTGTACCTCGTCGCTTTCTTACTCTGAATTTATGTACCCATGTCAATGGATTAATCGCTCTACTGTGGTAATGGTATACATCATAGAACATGTCATGAGCTGCCGGCAGCACGCTGTGTCCATTCTACAGCTTTTGCTTTGACAGTGGCAGCACCGTCTTCATCGCCTATCCGACGTTCCAGCTCTAACCACTTTTTGAAGAATGATCTGGAAGGAGAACGAATGAGCATCGAATGCGATAACCATCAGTGTGACATTACATACTTTGCTTTGTGGCTCGTCATCTTCTGTGCCAATATTCGATCGAATAGATTGCGTATGCTAGCAATGTCCCCTTGGCTGGCTTCCATATCAACGTATATTGACCAAAGATCCCATCGCTTGGGATGTGAATCAACTATGCCCTCAAAGATAGTCTTGCCTCGTTCGGGGTCACCGAATTTGTATTCAAGCTGAGCAAACTTCGAAATCGTCTTCAGGTCTGTGATGATATCTCAGTGATTGTTCATAAAAACCCAGACGGTAAGACTTACGCTTCCGCTTCTCCAAACTTTGGAGACTTCGAGGTAGCAGCTTTCGTGCTTCCTCCATAAGCCCACGTTTGAGGTAGTATTCCCCAAAGAGGGTCCAGACTTTCGAGCTAAAACCAAACTTCTTAGACGTACGTTTGTACTGTTCTTCAGCTTTCTGCTTATGCCATAAGTATACCGAGCCCCAAGCGACAAAGCAAGTCCTTACCTCGAATTTCTCGCTTTCGCTGAAAATAGCCGCCATGCGCAGATGTACAGTTTTAGAATCATTATGTCTTGCGGCATCCTTGAACGTGGCCTCCAATGACTCCTCTGTACCATAGACGTTCTCAAGATTTAGTAGCGCGATCCAGACATTGAGCTTCTCCAGTTCTTCGCGAAAGTTGATGGTCTTGAAAGCCCTGCGAGCGATCTCCCGCGCCTTCTCCACTTCAGAAAGTTGCAACTGGAAAGACATGTACTGTATCCAAAGGTAGGATGAATCCGGAGAGCCGAGAAGAAGTCGTTCGAAGTCCGTATTTGACTCTGGAGTCTTGGTATGCATGTCCGCTGTGAGATCCTGCTCGATCACTTTCCGTCTCTTCTTTTTCTTCTTGCCCGCCTGACCGTCATCCTCATCTTCATTGGAAGACGATGCTTCACTCATCTCCTGGTCTTGATCGTGGGCTGCAGACCATTGAAAACCACCGTCGAGCTTAAGCGTCTTCTCTGTGGTGTCCGCAATCCTGGTAACTTTTTTAGCTTCTTGCGAGAAGGCGGTCTGAAGCGTGGTGTCAACGTGAACTGTCTCCTCGTCGACGTCCATGGTATCGTCCTCCTCGAATTCCTCGTCACTTTCCTCGCCATGCGCCGCATCCTCATCAGATTCGGCGGCGGACTGCGCATCATCGCTGACATCTTCATCTTCTACGAGGCCCAGTTGTTCGTCATCACCAGGTAGAGACTCTTCTTCGTCTGATTCTGACTCTGGTTCTTCTTCTCCAAAGTAGGATGGCTTCAATCCGAGTGATATGCGTCGTTTCTCTGTGTCGACAGAAAGCACGATGGCCTTCACACGGTCCCCCTCTCTGAAACTTCGAAGGGCCATGGTGACATCAGCTTCTTTATTGTCTGAAAGCTACATAGGCTATCAGCAATGCGATGAAACAGCTTCTACGCAGGTCGCTTACCTCCGACTTATGACACAGGCCTCGCAGCTTTGAGCCCTCGATCTCGATGAACAAGCCGTAATCCTCGATTTTCTTGACAGTACCGGTAACCTTGGCGCCTTCGGACAAGTCACTGATTTGAAGCGTTGGCTGTGATGCCTTTGCATCGCTTGAGCGGAATGACATCTCGACTTGCTTCTTCTCAAGATCGACACTGTGAACATGATTAGCAAAAAGTGGGAACCTAAAGATGACAACTACGGACCTGACTATGCGGCCTTTGACCAGCTGGTTCGCTGAAAATCGGCTCTTCCAATCTTTCACAAACTGCAGGGATTCCCCTCACATCAACGTTGGGTCTACAAAAAGACATATAGATTGACTCACGTCGTCGAAAAGCTCCCTAATCTGAATTCGAGCATCAATACCACGTCCTAGCGTCACGTAGAGACCATGCTCCGCCACGCTCTTGATGAAACCTCTAACATAGGTACCTGGTTTGAGATCCTCAAGACTGGTGATCTCTTTGTCGACCACGCTGGTTTCCTTGTCAGGATGTAACCGGGAGGGTCGGGTGGATAACGTGAACTGCTTTCTGTCCTTGTCAATCGCAATTACCACGGCCTGAATGATGGTACCGTCTTCCGGAAAAGGCTTGCCGCCCTCGTAATCGTCGCAAGTATCAGTTGGATGTAGTAGTCCAGTGATGTTGTTGGTTATCTTGACTAACGCTCCTTGCCTGACATGTCGAAGCACTCGCCCACCAATGAGTTGACCAACCTGAACGGACTCGAAAGTTAATCCCTTCTGCATGATACCATGAGCCTCCTTGGGCTTTGTCGCAACAAGGACGAATCCTTTCTCCGGATTACGAGTCGTCACGACCAAGTCGCTGAGCTTCTGACCGACTCTGAGGGAAGTCCTCAGCTGAGAGACTGTCACACCTCGTCGGTTAGCTAAGTTGTTCAAAGAGAGGAGAGCTCGAACTTGAGTTGGCTGGAGAGTGATCACGACCTTGTCCTTCTGTATTTCCGCAATGACACCCTCGACCGAGTTACCAATTTCGACATTGCTAATGTCAAGAATGGCAGACTTGAAATTCGATGATGCCTGTCGTATACTTGCGACAATGCGACCAGACTCGGGCTCCACAGAGATAATACGGACTTGAACAACTTTGCCAGCCGGGAACGCATCAGCCAAGGAAGTGATAGCAGTCTCGCTGATTGTATGGTCAGAACGTGCCAGAACGAGAAAGTAGGATCACAAACCTGGCCTCCTTTATCGGCACAATTGCTTTCAGATTGTTGTAAAACTCGACCTGCAGACTCTTTGCCGATGATTTGAATACCACAGCATGAGTAACCAGCCCAACTTGAGCATCTTCGAGTTTAGTGATGATTGGGTGTTTCGACTCGATCAATGTTTTCTTGGCAGTCAGAACCACCCTTTTGCGTTGAGCATCCACAACAAGAATCTAAACACATGTGATGAGTTGCGCTCTTCAACCAGGTACGAATTAAATGTCCATACTCGGCATTTAATGCTTCCTCCGGGTTTGAATCGCTTTTGAGGATGCTTCAGCTGAATGTCCGCATAGTGATTTGGCCACACAACAGCGTCAACATTGCCTGAGATTGACACGAATAACGCCGAGTCGGTCAATTTCTTTATGGTACCCTTGATGACCTCTCCAGCCTTGACTTCGCCAACTTGGAGGAACCTCTGTTCCAGAATTGATGGTTTCAGTGAGAGTTGGAGAAGACCGTCCAACGGGAAATAGCCTGTGACTCGCGCTCTATGAATAGTGCCAATCTTCCATGGTCCTGAGTTTGCAGAAAGAGTTGGTACGTGGTCATCTGACGTTTGTGAGATCTATGTGTCATGAAGGTGAGTCAATAGATTGAATGTGAGGCGCAGCATTGCATACGTGAACAAAGCCTTCAAGCCCTGGTCCAACTTCCACAACAAGCCCTCGTTCTGGCTCAACTCTGATCACTTTCACAGCATCCAGAGTCGTTCCTATTGAGTATGCTTCTTGCAGCAATGGTCCGTTTGGTTCATCGTCTGGACCGGGAACGTGCTTGCTGGTCAGCGAAACGACGTGATCCGCCAGCGAGAGGGCAAACCTCGGAGGTGTTGAAGGGCTGACGTCGTATAGGATCCTAGCTTTGACTTTCTGGCCGACTTTAAAATTATCTTCGACGTCGCCAAGGGGTAGGTGAAATTGATCGATGGTTCCTTGGAAGTATCCGAGAATTTGAAGATTAAGCCCGGCGGGGAGAACAGCCGTAATGAGTCCCGTTACGAGGGCGCCTGGAAGTAGTGATGTGACGTTGGTGACCTCTGACAGCTAAGAACAAGGAAGTATTGCAATGAGGATACCGCACTTGGTGTACATAAGAAGGAGACGTACTAAAGATGAGCTCAATTTTGTAGGGTCCACTGAAACAGTGCATGTACGACCATTGCTGGCGACCTTGGATACGTATACGTCAAGCAAGCTACCAACATGGAGTTTTGCGCTAGGTTGAAAAGGTCCCTTTTCCGCGTCCTTGAAGGTCAAAAATCCGGAAATATCGGGGGTACCGAGGTTTAGGATGTACCCATGATCCTCAACACTCTTCACAGAAGCTGACAATACCTATAGGGTATGCTAAATATTGCAACAGTTAAAGCCAAAAGTCTAAAATCTACTTACGAATCCTTTCTTCAGGTCTTGCTTGACAACACCCTCGTTGACCTTCTCCGGAATGAGACTGAGCTCGACTCTTCGACTGGCCTTCTGTAGTTCATCTCTACCACGACCGATACCCATAGCGTCAGTCGAGCCAGGAGCATGGACTGCGGACACAATCGCGCGGATATATTGCCCAGGGTGGAAAAGTTCAGAAAGATCAGGCACATGTGACGGCTCTTCTTCATTGTCACTATCCTCATGTACGGATTTATCCAAGTCTTCATCCATAGCCTCCAAACGAGCAGTAAGTTCAGAGGAGATGTTGGTGATTGGAACATGAGCAAGTAGTTGATTGGGGAGAGACACAATCAAAGCCAACGGTTGCACTGCGATAACCTGACCAAGGAGCTTCATGCCCGTGGTGATCCTCTATTCATGGGATTACTGAAGTTGAGCAGATTGTGTCAGTCATATGAGTACGATGACGTACTTTATAGTTGAGGTGTTCAACACGAATAGCATCTCCTTGACCCGACTTGGATGCTTTCTTTTCTCCACCCTTGGCTTCAGACTTGCGCCTGCGTTTCACTTGCTTCTCCTGCCTTTCCTTGAAGAAACCGAAATGGGTTCAATTATCACAAAAGATGTGATCACAAATAACAATACTACCTGGAATATTTGGTCCTCTGCCTCCTTAAGAGCCTCTGCGCGAATGGCCTTTACTTCCACTGGCGTGAAACTCGTTCCCCCACCACGCGGAAAGTCAACTTCCTCGGTCAATAGATTTGACGTGGGTTGTAGAGGCTTTTCATGTTGTGCGGACTTCCCTTTCTTCGGTGAATCATCCACCTTAGTTTTCTTTGCTTTGGGAGCGGCAGCCTCGTCAAGAACACGCTTCTTGCTGGTAGTAGGTGCCATGGTTATTGTCGGGTGCGTGTTGGAAAGAAAGACAGGGGTGGATGAAGATAAGTCCTAAGCAATCTGAAATAACAGTCGAGGTTCAGGCCAGAGTTGGAATATGCCCTGCACGCCCAGAACAGACTGCCAGAGACTAAGTTGTACTGGCAGGAAGCAATTCTGAATTTTTGAGCCCGATCGGGAATGGATCTCACTCGATCATTCGGCTTACGTGAGCAAAACCAGCGTCAAGAGGCCTCAGTCGTACATTCCACTGGTTCTTCCGTACACTCACTACCTTCCTCTTACTCAGTACTCTTCCGCCTCGTTTCGCAAAAATACAACCATGGGTGAGTCAAATTATGTTCTTTACTTAACATGATACTAACTAGCTGCTCAGATTACCAGGTATGCACGTTCAACTTGCAGTTGTATGATGAAGCTGACCAAGTGCCCATTAGAATCGCGTTGGTTCGAAGTTTGGTGGTGGAGGTGTCGCTGGGGCTTCAGAAACCAATGTCGACAGGCGAGAGCGGTTGAGGAAACTTGCTTTGGAGACTATTGACCTTGCTAAGGTACGCTGACTCTGAGTTTGGTTCTTGTCTAGCCTTACTGAATGTATTTTTATAGGATCCGTATATCCTGCGCAACCACCTTGGCTCGCTTGAATGTCGTCTCTGTCTTACACTTCACACAAATGAAGGGTCTTATCTTGCACACACTCAAGGAAAGAAGCATCAAACCAATCTTGCTAGACGTGCAGCGCGCGACCTTAAAGAGACACAGTTGATGATTGCACCTGCACAAAGCAATATACAGCGAAAAGTCTTCTTGAAGATCGGTAGACCAGGATACCGAGTGACTAAGGTGAGGGATCGAGACACAGGAAAGGAGGGCATGATGGTACAAGTCCATCTTCCTCAAATCAAGCCTGGAGTTATCCCTCGGAGACGATTCATGAGCGCTTGGGAGCAGAAGCGAGAACCTCCCAACAAGGCATACCAATATCTCATTGTGAGTCAAGATCATTCTTGTTTTGTTTTCATTCCACTTACATCCGCTTTGTAAGGTTGCTGCTGAACCATATGAGACCATCGCCTTCCGAATTCCTGCTCGTGAGATCGAGGATGAATCCGATGATGCCGGGTACTGGAATTGGTCACATTGGGATCCCGATACCAAGCAGTACAGTTTCCAGTTCATGTTCCGTCTCCAGTACTGATTCTTTTGTACGTATATCTGTAATCTATGACGCTCTTTGAGCTACTTTCTCCTGTTTCAGGGTCCAGAAAATTCCCATTGATTTGCATTATCTCCGCCTTGGATCTGAATAATCACGGGCTAACATGATATGGGTACGTCCATTGTCTTGGGTGTGGGCTAAAAGGTGCATTCCAGGAAATCATTGCCACTTGCTCCCGTATGTGTCAGACATGCTACCGTGTGGCGAATGAGTTCAGTGCTACACTGCGATGGTAGCGGCTTTCGACATACCGCAGAAATCCCCATCTTCATCATAAATGACGCGGTCTGCTCCAGGACTTCCACCATCGTACGTTGTGCCTGCTTCAAGGGGGTATTCGAAGAACTCGCCACTGCAAGAAGGGAAAGGGAAACCCTGTAAGTTATTCATGATCGGAAAAGTTATCTATCAGTGCCTAATGGTCGGGAGTCTGTCTATAACCACCGACCTCGAAATCATGGTATTGGTGCGGGTAGTCGCTGGAAGTTGCAAATTTAGTCCTCAGGATATTGACCATTCACCCAATCACATCACTAGAACTCACCCTGCTCCACCGCTTTCGGCCACATGAATGGCGTTATTGACGTCCGTAGACGTGTACCGCCTGCCTAACGGTCAATAAACCCCGCAAAAAAATCATCAGTGTCTCTTTAAAATTAGTCCAAGCCCATTTTAGCTCACCTGCGCAGCTGCAGCCTCCCGATTGACGCCCCATGATCAGCGCTTGTGCTGTTCCAAGGACGAAAACGGAAAGAAGGAAGAACACAGCTGAGTACTTCATTGTCGTCCGGCTTTCGGGAGCGGGAGGTTGCGCGAGGAGCTGGGGCGGGAGAGCACGGTCGCTCCTCCTTGAACGGAGGACCACATTTTATCATGCATGAAACGCCTAGTCATAAAATAACTGGTCACTGGTTGGACGATATGCCGGGCTGGATAAGACACGTTCGGAACTGTTAACACATTCTCGCATGTGCCATATCTATTGAAAGCATATGCAGTGTCGCATACGCTAATGATATGGCACGTTGAAGCGATAGAAGCCCAATTAAAATGAGACGACGGATGAACGAACTTGTGCTACTATCCAAACCATATGGATGCGGAGTTCTTGGGTCGTCAAGGTGTGTAACTTGTGACCAGTTCCCGTCGATGGGACTATCAACGTGTATTGTAAGTATAGGTCGGTGGTCATGCTGGTAAAGAGGAAGAACTGAAAATATACACGTTTAGTCGGCTGTTCAGAACGTGTTTCTGAGGGGTTGGGAATGCTTGTGCTGACTTTACTTTGGTTGGTGTATAAGTCACCACAAAGTACTCGTATTAAGCCTGTAATAGTAGAACGCGCTTCACGTGCATTTCACGTGCCCGATTCGACGCGACGCGCTCTAATCATGAACGCACGTTTGCCAGAACAGCAATAAGATATCGTAATGACCGCAGTATATATAGAATAAGTACGAACTTGCATGCATGGAAGTAACATTGACTGTTGTGCTGACACAATTTCAGAATTCTATTTTACGTAAATACACGTTCATAACTCCCCAACCTCCCAAGGGACAGGTTCACCTTCCCAATCATCTTCACCACCTTCCACACCTTCACTCTGATCATCCTCACCAACGTCCCAAATAATACCGCCCCGCTTAGGATCATAATGCATCTCTCGACTCCCATATAACAGTTCCTTTACGACCTTCTCTTCAGCTTTGTCGCGGACCAGAGCATTAGTATGAGTTGGCGAGAGTGCAAGGACGCGTTGCAAGTCGGAGGGAAGGTTGATCTCGCATGTGCCCTCTACTTCAGTAGATACCGGAGGAGCAAAAGACGTTGAAGAGGCTTGAGGGTGTAGTAGTCGACTTGTTGGGTCATAGTCTTCGTCTGAACCTGCCGGTGCTGGTTCGCTTCCATCCCTAGAAAGATGTCTGTGCCTCCAACTCCAGTCGACAACTTTCACATTGGCATCTTCATTGCTATCATCTTCATTCTCCGCATCGTCGTCTTCACTATCGCCTAACTCCTTCAAAAGCCTTGCTTTCTTGCGACTGATCGCAGCCACACTTTGCAGCGCCTTTGCTTTCCCTTTCCCCTTCGCTTGAGCGCCCGCTTTCGACGTCGGCGGAGGTGAAGGAGGTAATTGCACCCCAGATTTCGATTTGTCTCGCGACTTTGATGATGCCAACGTCGATGAAATAGCAGGAACGTTGTCGTTCTCAGGGCCATCCATCTCAATATCAGATGACGTGCGCTTCATGCCAGAGGTACGTTTCGGTAATTCTGGGGGAGGGTTGTTTTTCGGTGCCGTAGACGGACCGACTGCAGACCATAAGTCGTCCTTGCCTGGTAATAACGCTTGCGGAATGCGCTTCTTCTGGACCTTCGGCTTTACGCCACTCACACGACCGTTTGCAGACGTGGTGGCGGAGGCAGAGACCGAGAGGCTCAGTGCCTTGATTTTCTTCCCTCCGCCAGCCCACGATTCACCTTCATCATCGCCTGAATCCGGGGTCAATGCCCTCGACTGATTCCTTCGGTGGTTCCTATCAGCAACACTCCCAGATAAACCATTATTCATAATAGATTTAGTGACACGAGATTGAGATCGCGCAATGGGCCGCTGTCTTGCGGCGATGACGTCTTGGTTCTGCCGTGCGGGGGCTTCTTCGAAGAGTTGTATGAACGCTTTACCGCCTACCGGAGGTTTCATAGGTGTGTTCTCGATGAATGACGCATCCTCAATGATAGGATCGTCTCCGGGACCGTGGGGACCATCACTGAGGTCACTATCTTCATCCAATAGAAGTCGAGAGCTTCTGCTTCCATTGACATGTCCTTTGACGAAGTTGAGGGTAGATTGAGAGGTTATTACTCGTGCGCGTTTCTCTTTGACAGGAGAGGGCGAGACCGGCTCTCCGCGAAGACGCTTTCGTGCTCGCGTTACGGCGGATGAAGTACCATTTGATTTGTCTTGAGGGGTGAGGTGGACGAAAGAGGTAGGCTGGGAATGCGATGACGAAGATGGCGGAGGTGGTGGTTGCATGGACGTTGACATTAATGGCTGAATGAGGGGAAATGGGTCTGGTGACGGATCCCGAGAAATTTTAGCTGCATGAGGTTTTAATTTCGATTTGTCCTTGTTCTTGCGAGGCGTGCTGAATGGATTCGCACGAGCAGAAAGTGTGAGCTCAGGTAGAATGGAGAAAGACGGCGTCGGCGACAGGTCTCGATGCTGGATTCTTTTCTTCGCCGGAGAGAATGGATTAGAGGTTATTGGAGGACCGTCGGTCTTGACCGCACGGGGTTTGGAGAGGATGGCCGAAGATGACGGACGTGGCTTAGACTTTGGCGGCATGGAAGGGGGATGCAGAGGGACTTGCGAAGAGCTGGACGCAGATGAAGCGTTTTTGGAAAGTTTCCTGTAGAGTTTGTACTTTTCCGCTGTTGACCGGGGTAAGATGAGAAACGTTGCGATAGAGAAAGTGTCCTACCAATTGCCGGCAACTGCTTGATTTCCTGGATGGTAGGCTCACGGCCATGCTGGGATTTGAACTCGCGTTCCCAAGACTTGATTTCAGCACGGAGGGTAGCAACGTCCATTAGAGACTGGAGAGACGCGTGGGGAACACGCTGGTAGTTACTGGTGGTTCTACCAATGGTAATAGCCGGGATGCACTGAGGAGGTGAAATGAGTTTTGTTGACGCGTTGTTGTTGCATGCCACGTGGGCGGCCGGGGACCTAAAGGGGAACAAGCCGCCCGAAAGAGCCGAGGCAAAAGCGGTGGAGGAGGCCGGGTGAGAGGCCGGGAGTGCTATGCCCGCGGGTCGGGGGACAATGCAATAAGACCCACTGAGTCCAATGGCCATCGCTTGCCGCCATCCTCCTTGCATGCTGCCTTCCACTCCTCCTCCTCCTTCTCCTCCTACACCATCCTCGACATGAACACTGGTTCTGTTCTCTACGAGCCCTCTCTTTCTCCTGCAATCTTGTCACGTCCTTCCAGCGCAATGCATGACGATCATTCAATGGGCCGCTTACACTCTCAGTACAACAATTATAGCACTCCGCCCCCTCACAACCCCTCTCGTCCTCCTGCAAATGGCAGACACTCATATTCTCATCAGCCATTCCCTTTGAACCCTTCCCCTCGTCATTTCCTCTATCCGCCGTACGCTCAGAGCCCACCCCCACCCATATCGCTTAGGTCTACCGCTCGACACCCTCCTCCGCCAATGCTCGATGATCCCGCTTTCTCTTCCGATCCTAGAGCAAACCCTCACTTTGCTATGACTATCGGAGAGCAGATCATCCCTCTTAATTCGCCCGCCGCGAATCTTGTAAGTCGCCCTCGCTTCTATCTCTACCAGACCAGTGCAAGGTTCCTAAGTCTGTTTCACTATCTTCCTTGACGCACACAGCAAAATGCATCTCCTCTACCGCAAGATACACTCTATCGTCATTCGTTAGAGGGATCCACGCGTGCCCATGACGCTAACTCCCGAAACGCACCTAATCCTCCTGCACCCTACCAGCCCTTTGCTCAGAAAATCACCTCTTCCACACCTCCTAGACTACAACCTCGTGTTGAGCCTCTTTACATTCCGGATGATGCATTCTCCTCTCCTCCAGCCTTTCAACAGCCACCAGTGTCAATGGCTAAGCTCAAGCGTCATCAAGCGTACTTGAAGCGCGACCCGCCACCGCTACCGCCATATGAGCCATATGTCAATGATAACTCTTCAAATTCGAGCTGTTCATCATCATCGCATTCTAGTGGTAGCTCCGTCCTTCTTACACCGACTTCATCGACAGCGTCCCTTCCGAAACCGCGTTCTCGACTGCGAGTGGTCAATCCTGAGGAAGATGACCGGTCTATCGCCGTGACTCTACCACCTGAGTATTACTCCAAACCGGCGGATGCAATTAACGGCGATCGACCACCGGTTCTTGCAAATACATCTGCACCTGAGCTTCGTCCACCTCCTGCACCGGCAACCGATGTTCCTCCGCGCCCGGCTACCGTACCTGTGCCGCCCTTACCAGGAAGTACTCTGAATGCTAATCTGACCACGAGCGCGGATATGAATGCAGCTGCTAACAATCATCCTGTTGCCCCCGAGATGCGCAGACAACGTAGTCGGAAGACCAGCGTTGCTGCCCCTCCAAAGGATCTCGACAGAATTGACGAATTGGATGAGACGGATCCGTTAGGGTATGCATGGCATCACGATGGGCGGTATGAAGCGGCCTTACAGGCTATCAAGAATGGTGCTCTTAGCGAGGGGATTGGTGCGGGCGTTGGTGCAGGCGGCGGAAAGGCGATGGTGAGTGTTGTGCGATTTTGCGTGATTCGGCTACTCAACTTGTTGCCATGATTAGAATCAGGATGGCAAGAAGGTAGAGCCGATCACCCATTCCGTGTGCGCATATACTCAATGATTTTGTAGTCTTCTCAAAGAAACCCTTCTGCACCGGTCGACCCCAGCACCACCTCCTTCAATGTATCTCCTGGAGAGATATTTCCCTCATTCAATGCTCAACCTAAGCCACCCAAATCTAAGCAACAGCAGTTTCCTACACCTATTCAACGTCCTTCTCGTCAAGGTCCATTATACAACCAGCAGCAATCTTTAGGAGCACCGCCCGCACAATCTGTACCTTTCCCTCAGCCTCATCTCCATTCTCAATCTCAGGTTCAATCTCAGTCTCAGTTTAGAGTTCAGGATGCTGTGCTTCAGCCTATTCCCTCTTCTTTGAACCCAGGAGGCCTCAATACCGCTCCCCGCGATACCAATTCGTCCGGAGTTTCACAACCTCTATCGCAACAGATACCGTCGCAACAGCAGCGACGTAATTCCAGTTTCCTTACTGTACTCCAAACTAATGCCGAAGATGACTCTGAATTGGCCTACACGCTACCTTCTCCCAGCCGGAGCCCCATGCCCAATCCTTACGAGCAACAGGCCAGCCAACCTATTCCTCAGCAATCTTCACGACTGCGCAGGCATAAAGTGCCCGTGACTGAACCCGCTCCTGGCTTTGATTCTGAACAGAAAAACTTGGCATCTGGTATGATGCCTCCGTCCCGGGTACGGTTCCAGGACCAGGCGGATTACGAAAATTTCGGACCCGTTGCGTCCCAGCAGGACCCCCGGTACCCACCGCGTCGTATGCCCTCCCCGCAGCCTCCCAATAATCAGCCGTTCTTGCGACCGCAAGACGAGGTCAACAGGAATTCGGCCCTGTACAGGTCATCGTCCGCACCTAATGCACCTCCAGCGGCACATATACCACCCCCTGGTCCTCGACCACAGCAATACCCTTCCCAGGAATACCCAGATACTCAGCCACAACAGGCGCCGATTCCCCGGCCAGACATTATACTGCCTCCGAGACATGCACCGAAACAAGGCCCTGCTCCGCATTACCTTCCGAAGAAATTGGTTATGCCAACGCCATTGCAGCCGCAACAGCCCACGTTTCCTCCTACGCGACCACCGGGTACGGGGATGTATGGAGAAAGCACGAGTACGACGAATTCTGGTTCAAGTGGCAATTCCACTAATGCCCCTGGGAATGAATTTGGCCGAGGACACGGACATTCGCAATCGCTTTCGGTCTCTGCTGTTGCTGCGCCGGCGCAACAAAAGAAGGCTAAAGAGATCCCTATTAGTCAGGGCAGAAACGTGTTGCGAAAACGTACGACAGTCGCTGGGCCTGCAATCGCACCGATTGCGCCGCCGGTCTCAGCTGGCCCTCTTGGTGCGGGTGTGGGAAGCGAGGGATATGTCCCTTCGTCGAATGCGACTGCGGCTTTGTTTGCGTCGAAGGTCTCCGTCGGTCCTCCTGCTGCACCCGTTGGTGCGGATGCGTGGGATGGAAAGAAAATTCGGGAGAAGGAGAAGGAGGACAAGTTCAGGGAGAAGGAGCGCATCAGAGAGATTGAACGACAAAGAGAGAAGGAGAAGCCTACTGGAAGGAAGTTGAGCAAGCGGCGGTAAGCGTTCCCGCTATCTTTCAGCTTTCGTAGTGGGCTTTTTCTCTGGACGTTTCTTTTTCTTTGCATAATGGACTTGTTTTCATGACCTTTTATGATTTTCAAGTTTACGACTTGAGCTTGAACCTTGATGGTTACTAGTTTTGCATCTCAGGTTATTGTATAAGTATGCTGCATTTTCTCGCTCTGCTCGTTGATTGCTTAATCTTTTCCTTGTTTTTTACTCTTGGGTTCGACGCTCATACATCGCGCATTTCTTAGCTCATAGGTCCCCTTTTTCTTTTTTTTGCTTATACACAATTGTCATATATACACACACATACACATGGATAGGGATCTTGTAAAATTTGGACTCTTTCTCGCATATCATTTTTTTTTGGTTCGTTTGCTGTATCTACCACGACATGATGATCACCATATGATACATATACCTTCAGTACACATTTATGACAGCGTTCCATGATGTTCCGAACTTCCAAACTGGCAGTCGCACGTTCGCAGGGCGGGACATCGCATTAAGCTGAAGTGCTAGAGTCAGATGGGTGGCGGAAGCTACGCAGGGATTTTTAGGCATATTGGAATGCGGCGCATTGTCACCGACCATAATATTGACACTAGGAAAGCATACGCATTCGTCCGTCACTTCGGAATCAGCATACGCATACGCCCGTCACTTCGGAATCTCGACATCACGATGACTTGAACGTTCTTGCGTATGCGTTGACTGCGTGCCGACAATGCGCAAAGATTACGCGTTGCTTTCGGCCGTGCTTGCAGAGAAGGTTGGCTGGCAGGACTCGGTACTTGTCATTTCCTGTGGCTAGAATAAAAGAAACTGGCAGTGATTCGGTGCCGATGGAGAAAATTAAGAACAAGGAAAGGCGCAGTGGAGCCTGTGATAGTAGAAGCGCTGACGACGCGTCTCGATCATATACACCAAAGGGCGGAGCTTGAACTGGGTCTGTGCTCCAGACTTCGCAGCAATCGCAGCGACATATATACCGCCAACTTTATCCAGAGGCGCAGCTTCGTTTCTTCTCATCTATCCACCATGTCCCGTACTCTTTTCAAGTTCACTAAACCTCCCGACGGTCTTACCCGTCGGGTCATGTTCTATAGTCGTCCTCCCTGGTCTGAGCTCGCTGCCAAGATCGAGGAGTTATATGCCGTTCCCAGTGACAAAGTTGGAGTTTCTTACGTTGATAATGAAGGTGACGACGTCACTTTATCGTCTGAGGAGGAACTTCAGGACTTCTATCGCCTCAATCATACTGATGAAGTCGGCGATGGACCTTCTAAAGCAATCAGGTTTACCGTCGTGGACCTGAGTGCCCCTCGATCACCTAGCCTGACCAAACCACTCCCTCGTACTCCCCACACTGATGCGAATGTCAATCGTAACACCTTTGGAGGCACCCAGGGCTTCCCCTTGGTCTTTGAAGTTGCCGACGATTGGCAGAGAATCCCTAGCGGGGGCGGTGCCGACCTCTTTATGTCAGTCGGACGCGATACCGATAGTCCCCACGCTTTCGTTGAAGTCATTGATAGTGATGCTAGCATGTCCAAGGATGTTGACAAAGATGATCATTCCGACACCGTAACCCAATCTGACTTTAACTTCGATGGTAAGGACAAGGGCAAGGGTCGGGCCCCACAGATTATTCCTGATGAAGATGACGATGATCGTTCTTCAACCATGTCCATCCTCGCAGGCGAGACACCCTTGAAGCCGACTGTCTATGCTACCCAAGACAAGTCAAAGGCCCGCGCTTCGTCCACCTCCCTACGGGATCAGACTCCTGCGAGCGCGGTTGTCTCTCGTCGTTGTACCCCTAAGCCTTCCGTTAATACCAAGGATGTTCCTTCTGGAGCTCCCGATCCCCCTCTTCCGGATCTCGGCTCTCTCCCCAATACTCCCAATGCTTCACTCACTAACGACGTAGCCAATCTCTTCAACTCCCTCTCCAGTATCTTCGCTTCCCACCCTGAGCTTTCGGAGGGCGTTCGAAATATTGTACAGCATGCCACTAATGGTGCTTATTGGAACACTCACAGGATCGCAGTCGCTCAGGCCGCTGAAGAAGTAAGACGCACTGCTATCGAGAGTTCTCGCGACATTCAACGAGCTGCTCAGGAGGTTCATCGTGCTGCAGAAGAAGCCGCTGGACGTCGAGTTGCTGAGGCTATTGGGAATGTTGTGAGAACGATCACTGATATCACAGGTGCTTCCGCAGCCAGCTCTGGCGCTGCCGCCGCTCATGATGAGCCAGTAACATCCACTCCTATACATGAGCATCCTCAGACATCTAGTGCCGAATTCCCTCATGCTCGTCGCACTGGTTCTCCTACCCGCCGTCAGACCTGGGGTGGTTCTCGAGGAAGACACCACCACCGTCCCCCATTCGGTCCTCATGAACGTGCATTTGGTCCTTTTGGTCCCTTCGCAGGTCCATTCTCCGACATGTCTCACATGCCACCCTTCAACGAGGGAATGATCCCGCCTTTCCACTCACCTCATGGACCTCACCGCCCTCATCGTCCTCCTTATCCACCACCACCGCCACCTCCCTTTGATCCATTCGGCCCTCCTCACCGCGGTCCTCATGATCATCATGGGCCTGTCCGTCCTCCCCCACCGCCCCCGCCTCCTTTCCAAAGTGGTCCTTATCCTCCTCCTCCTCCTCCCCCTCCTGCGCCACCTATCGTGCCCCCGGGTCCTATGTTCTCGGGACCTGGGCTTGATACATCCTTCCGTCACGGCGGTCATTTTACTCGGTGGAGCAGTGATCCGTTCACCTCCGGAGCAAACGATGACGATGACGAGTTTGATGAACCTGACCTGACTTTGCACACGGGTGCACCCTTGTCCCGGAGTGCCAGTCTTGATCAGGAACACCAGGTCACGAGGGAAAGGTTGGAAGCTGCTAAGGAGGCGTATAAGCGCGAGAAGGAACGGTACCGTAAGCAGCGCGAGGAGCTCAAGAAAGAAAGAGAAAAACGAGGTCTTGAGTCTGAAGGGTATGTTTCACATTCATCGCCGTTGCTTTCGGAACCTCTTCCTGACGATTTGCATTTCACTAGGTTACAACCTAATGACCAAGCGACGCCCGTAGCAAAGGCAACGTCTAGTGGTCCTCAGGGTGCTGGACCCTCTGGGTCTACTCCCAAAGCGCCGCCGCCGCCTCCTGTCACTCAGCTTGTGAGCAATGCTCGAGGGCCTTACCCACAATTGGAGATGTTTAGCGTGCCGAGGAGACATAATACCATCCAAGGAGTCGCTCGTGAGCGACCGATTCCGCGCCAGGACCCTCAGATCGGTCCTTCCCATATCTACAGCCCATTTACGCCAACTCCCGCTGCTAGGACTTCGGAGAATGTGAAGCGACGATTGGCTGATGTACGTTATTTCTGATTTTATTGTCTGCTTTGAAATGGTTACTAATGATCAACTTCTTCTAGATGGGTTTCACAACCAATATATACCCAAATATCGGAGATAAAGTCGCAAAGCGGGTCTCCCAGAGTATAGCGTCGCAAAGCTTCACGTCTCCTAAAGATTTGCAGGATGTGCCCAAGGAGAAGGAAGACTCTATCGTCTCTGAAGTCCTCGAGGAATTATTGCAGGAACCTCCTCCGCCTTTGCCAGAAAAGGATCGTCCCTCTGGTTCTGGCGAGAAACCCGGTGATAATGAGAGTGTACCTGGTGCTTGGGCTTGAGTAATTCAGTGAAAGGGATGAGGGATGTTTGTTGTGATCTCTTGCTACCGCGGCTATCTAAGACTCACTTATATCCGAAGGAGGGGGGTGTATGAGTATTGGGGATGGAAGAGTTTTTCTGTAATTTTACAGCCATATGACTTGGGATGACTTGGCTTCGTATTACTGTAGTAAAGTAGGTTTGTATCGTAGTATTAGGCAAAGGTAAGGACTCACTTGATCTTGTTCAATGAAGTTGTGCAGTACTTTACTTTGTCCAATTTTCTTCGGATTGTTAGTTTGCATGGTAGACTCTACAGATGACAGTCGACTGTCTGTCAATGTCTAAAGTTCATTAATCGAGTCAAGCAGAGGGTCCCACTGAGTTGAGCAACTTGAATAGTGTTGAACTCGCGAGTATACCCGCCGATCAGTATTCGATCACTGTTCTCCCGATCAAAGGTGACGTGTCCATTTTTGAACAGTGGCCGCGTAGTTGTTAAGCGCTGTTCTGAATATTTTGATCACGCTGCGTCTGTAGATCATTCTTGTCTTCTCCCTCATCTATGAACTGACCTACATTGGTTTAATCGACAGCAAGACTACGATGAATTCGCATAATCATGCCAGAAATTTTGCTCACTGGCAGACAGCCATGTCCGGTTGCACCGCAGTAGCTCGCCCATCAATGGCCACATTGGAGGCTTCGTCGCGATTTTCGAATTTACTGGAAGCGGAAGCTCAGGAATGGCTGGAGGAGGAAACACGCCGTACAGCCGAGTATCTTAGTTTCTTGCGCGGTCTACGAAACTCCCTTGCCCCCATTCACCGTTTACCCGCCGAACTCCTCGCTAGCATCTTCACGGAGGCTACACTCGGAGAACACTTGAAACCATTCGACTTGGTGGTGCAGATGTCTCACGTATGCCGTCACTGGCGGGAGGTCTTGTTGGAGATGTCAACCGCTTGGTCCGATATCGACGTTTCCTGTATCGATCGCGCGCGGACGTTCGTAGAAAGGTCCAATGTACCCGGGCTGAAACTACGATGGAATACGCCTTCTAACAACAGCGAACAGACGACCGTACCCCAGATTTTGGACGTAATCATCTCTCATCTCAGCCGATTCACTGAAATTAGAGCGGACCTCAATTGGGACAACATTAAAGCATTACTTGACCTCTTGAGTACGCATAATGCCCCTGCCCTACGACACTTAGGATTGAAGCTGAGCTGGCACCATCGTCAAATTGGGATGGGTTGTAAACCGACGCCATGTACAGCCAGTTTGCAGCTCCACTCCCTTTCTCTCTGCGGCTTTGCCATTGATTGGAATTCACCAATGTATTCTGGTCTCAAACGTCTCGAACTCGATGACCAGTGTAACTTTCACGCCGTTCCTTCCGTAGAATTCTTGGATATCCTGGAAAGGTGTCCAGATCTTGTTCACCTCCAGGTCAAGTTTTCTGGATCGACCTTCCGAGTCCGGAACACCGACGCGACTACGTATCTTGCACCGAGACGCACCGTAGAACTCAAGAAATGCAATTATTTTTCTCTAGATTCATTCGAATCGCAGGATTGTGCCTATGTCTTAGCCCACTTATGCCTTCCCGAATCTACCCGCATACACCTCCAGAAAACTTGTCGTAGGGTCACGCACAACGAGTTCCAACAGATACTTCCAAAAGACAGTGCACATGTCAATGCACTCCAAGCAGCTCGTCAACTTTCTCTGAGCTGTTTGCCATATTCCGATTGTTGCATGCGAGCAATGGATGATAGTGGAGATTCTATCTTAACTATTCATCTGCAGGACATTATCGAGAGGGTTGCGAATGTGAAGCCAGCTCTGGAGATTTTGGTTGATGCCGCTGCTATCTTTGCCAACGTTCCAATTGAAGAATTTTCCTATTCTTCGGTTACCATGGACATTGCTCAACCCGACGAATGGTTGGATATCTTCAGGTCTTTTCCTGATGTCAAGACATTGCACTTCACCTGTGTCAGAACAGAATATGGCTACAATGGTCGCATAAATGACCTTCTCTCTGGACTCATTCTATGCACACGCAACACACCTCCAATCCTACCAGCGCTATCCACCATTAACTTCGAGGAGGTTGATATACATGATCGCACAATCGAACTTTTCCAACAACTGGTGACGTCACGAATTGAGATCGGATTTCAGCACAATTACTTGGAGTTTATCGGCTGTCACTGTCACTCTCCCACCTGCACTCTGGACGAGTTTCTGGATACTTTGGAGGAGCTGGGTCGCTGCTAGGTTGTGACCAATAACGAGGCCCTCGTTGTCGAATGTCTCAATCTCGACGAGCTCGATACATTGAGCTCCCGTGAACTTCCGTAGGCTATTGTGCTCCCATCCCCCCCTTTTTTGTTTAAAATTGGATAGAAGTCACCGAGCCGTTCTTTTGTTTGAGAACCCAACACCGCTACACCGCTCAATTGTTTCGCTAAGCAAGCAGGCGGGATTCGAGACGATCTCGATCTCGATAGCGTTCGCTTCCGACATGTATGAATGAGGCTCGCACCGTACCCGTTGAAAATCCTCAATCAATTATGCTTGCTATATACCCACAGTCTCGATAATAAAATCATGGAAGAGTTTTTAGGACAGTGCCGAGCTACGATCAAGGATATGGTGTTCAAGATGGATGATTTAGTGCAATGTTTATGGGCATGTGCCGTATTGCTGGTTTGATCATGGGGTAGCATGAAACGATGCCAAGGTTTTGTGGAGAATGTCTTGCCTTTATTACAAAGAGCCTGAGGAAGACCTTGTTCTGCTTGGTACTCACTGTTATATTGTAGTACGATTTTAGCACTATGATGTCCGTTGTATATAGAACCCTGTCACGGGCGAACAACGTACGATTCCCATATATCCTCCATATTCGCATATTCGCAGACGTGGGGAATGTCCCACGGGGAGACTTCAGCGGACGACATCTACCAATCCATGTTGTTGGATTAGGGGAAGCTGAGATCGGGCAAGAGGATCTGGCTGGGTATTGTTTTAGCCGAATGCGGGGGTGGCTGAGAAACTCTGAGAAAGTCATGTTGCAGCTCTCCACCGCGACACTCTTCGTGCACGTCGCAAGCACGCTGACGCACAGGAGCTTGCAGAAATACGATTCTCAAGATTGCTCCGTTCCATGCTTCTGTCGGATGTCCATATCTTGGGTGTCGGAACAGCATCAAAATTCTCGCGGACCTTGCTACTTATACCACTGCATATTGCATGTCAAGTGACCTTAGATGACCCGTGTTCTTTGCCTTCTCACCGTCTCCCAGATCTTTCAGAACATCTTCATTGTCCTTCCCCATGTCTGAATTCTCATCTCCAATTGGGCCCCTGCCTGACATTCCTGACAATCTGACCATCCCTCAGTTCATACTTGATGGGCGTCATCCTGTTAGACCAAACAACGAGTTCCTCAATCCATGGTTGATAGAAGAATCGACAGGGAGATCTGTGGGGTTCGAGCAGGTATGTGAACTTCAGAATAGTATCTATTCGTGTTACTAGATGAGTAGAAAGGTGCGAACGCGTACATATGGCCTTGCCAATGCGCTGGCTTCGCGGTGGAAGATCGGTATGTCGATGCCCGATACCCTCTTCGATGAGGTACTAATATAGCTGTTCGTTTAGGTGAAAATGATGTCGGTGCGTACCTCAGCTTCATTACCTCAGTCGATACTCAAGTATTCTGTAGTTTGCATATTCAGCTCCAACCATATTGGTCGGTACTACATTGCATATCACGTTAACGAAAACTGACCTCTAAATCACCAACAGACTGGCCGATTGCGCTATGGTGTGCTACGTAGTGTTTTCTTTCATTTCCTTGTGACACTCATATCTCTACAGGGCTACTCACAGACTGGGTGGCGTCGTAACGTACGTTGCTACGTCTCATCTGGAGTTAGCTCTTATTTTATTTTTATCACAGGGGTGCGAACCCTGCATACACAGCAGATGAGCTGGCATATCAACTTGAAGTTACGAAGGCAAAGCTACTTATCACCCATTCTGGCAGTTTGTCGACTGCCCTCACGGCTGCCCGTGACTCCGGCATATCAGAGGACCGGATAGTTATCCTTGACTCCCAATCGGGTACTTCGAGTCCGTATCCGAATATCGAGTCCTTGGTTCGAGAAGGTTTAGCTCGTGGGCCTTCGTTCGTTGAAAGACGGCTTGAGCTTGGTGAAGCGAAAACAAAATTGGCACTGCTGAACTTCTCCAGCGGTACCACTGGAAAACCCAAAGCTGTGGCCATTCCTCACTATGCTGTCATCGCAAATACCATCCAGATGGCTCTTCATGGTAAAGTAAATGAAGATTATACGTCCTGGGAAGAGCGTAGATATCGCACGGGTGATGTCGTTTATGCAGGTATGTCATTATTCCCTTGACCATAATAACATCCTGACCCCGCACCTTCCCAGTGCTCCCATTATATCGTAGGATCATTCTTTCTTCCCTCCTGAACCTATTCACTGATCGCTTTGATCAGACATATATGGACTGGTCGTCAACTTACACTTCTATCTATTCTCTGGAGTGAGTGAGCAACTCCATCATGCAACGCTTATGCTTTAACATGTTCGCAGTATACTTTGGTCGTGTCATCTAGATTCAATTTTATAGAGATGCTCAAGAGCATCGAGCGATACCGCATTAATCATCTACTGTAAGCCTATGTGATTCATATTCATGGCTCAATTGACAAGTCGCAAATCAGACTTGTACCTCCGATGATTGTCCTGCTTTGCAAGGTTTGTGTCTATGTTGTAAACTCGATCCCTGTTCTAATTCACTTCGTCGCTCAGAATCCTGCTGTCAAGAAATACGACCTTTCTTCGCTTCGCTTCATAATGTGTGGCGCAGCGCCTCTGTCTGGTGAGCTGACACAACAAGCCACACAATTGCTACCACATGTATCTATCCATCAAGCATACGGTTGAGTCCTTCTCTCACCACAATTCTGGCGATGTCTCATTTTTCTCGTATATGTCAGGAATGACGGAGACATCTACGACTGTTTCATGGCCACGCCTCGACCAGAAGATCGGAACGTTGGGATGTGGAGGTCAGATTCTCGCAGGCGTGACGATGAAGATAGTCAAGGAAGATGGATCACTGGCTAAACTCGGAGAACCTGGAGAGCTTTACGTGAAGGCACCGTCGTTGGCTCTCAGATATTTGAACAATGAAGAGGCGTAAGTCTATCAGTACTGATATGTGAAGGGTCGTCATGCTGATTTAGTTTTAGGACGAAGGAGACTTTCATCGATGGGTAAGTCTCTCGCTGGAAGGATTCTGCTTAATTGAAGAATTCGTTATAACCGCCCATATTCAGATGGGTTCGTACTGGTGACGAGGTCTACATCAATGAGCTGGCGGAAATCTTCATCATTGATCGCATGAAGGTGCGTTGCAACTTCTTTCTGCACGACCAAGACTTTGAGTAATCGACTATTTCCGTTTACAGGAAATCATGAAAGTCAGAGGCTTCCAAGGTATGACATAGCTTCTCTTTGACATGAACGATTGTTTCTGATATTTGCGAGTTTAGTGGCGCCTGCCGAACTCGAGGGACATCTCCTAACTCATCTACATGTGGCTGATACATGTGTAGTCGGCGTACCAGACGAGTACAGCGGAGAGGTGCCCCTTGCCTTCGTAGTACTTTCACAATCTGCAGCGGATCGCATAAAGAACAACCCTGCGGATGCAGACACGATCAAAGCAGAAATCGCCAAGGTAGATCGTTCGTCTCCACGAGCCTGAAGATTTTGGACTGAAAAGTTATTACAGTATGTCGCGGATAACAAGGTCCATTACAAACGATTAGTCGGGGGCGTCGAGTTCATTGACGCAATCCCGAAGAACCCCAGTGGAAAGCTACTGAGACGGTTGTTACGGGACAAAGCGAAGGAGTTGAAGAAGTCTCAAACTGTTCAGATCAAGGCCAAGCTCTGAGCCTTTACTAGTCATATCTAGAGTGGGATTGTTGCTCACTTTCATTCAATGGATGAAGTGGATCTTGGAATATTTGTGTTGTTGCTATTACTAGTACTACGCTTGCCGCTTTTAGCGCCTTTCTGTATACAATGGGTCTCGTTCGATCACTTCTTCGGCTTGTGTTTAGCCTGCGCGTATCACTTGGGCCACAAAGTCAAACCACCATGGAAGAAGAGGAAGCTGAACTTCGTAATCCCTTTCCCTCTCCTCCCTCACATTATAAGAACTATACGACACACAATCTGCAACTGCTTTCGTTACTACGCGAGCGAGCAGGCGATGGTGACTTATCCTCCTTCAATCAGTATGAGGCCCTCTCCGATCAGACAGACGTGCCTGATTGGCCTCTAATACAACTCGAGAAGCCAAGGGTAGATTGGATAGTTGAAGACGACTCTTATAATGTATTTGGTGATACTTGGTATGTGAGTAGCTGTTCGTTGTATATGCGTCACACCGAACATATGAACACGTTGTTTAGGTCAAAGAGACAATACCATCGTTAGCGGAACTCGGTGGCACCCAACTATATTCCAGTGACCCTAACGTAGGTACGTGAAACCTCATTGTTGCAAAACTTTATCCCTTTTCGTTCTGACTTCATCCCAACAGATCGAAGACCTGCGCTGCTTGCAGTCTTGCGATCCCTGCTCATCACTTTCTCGCGTTTACTTAATGCCCTTCTCGCACCTCCACCAACTGCCTTAAATCCTGAGCCACCAGATTGGGAGCGGCATGTAGAGTGGATCAACGTCTTGGCCCAGAATGTCATGGCCGCGGCCAATGATTTGCGCCCAGTGCAGGTACGCCTCAGATGTTCTGCTCTGAATAAACCGATGCGATACGGAAAATGCATTCTAGGCGAGAGGGAATCTTGAGATCATGATGAGGCGGCAACTGGAACTACGCAGGGAGGAGACAAAAAAGATCCATGAGTGCGTTGCCTCTTAGTACTTTCTCGCCAGGTGAATGCTGACACTAGGCATAGGAAATGTGATGCCCTCGAGGGAATGCTAGAGGACATGCGTAAATCCACTCAGCAGATGGGCTCAGACGAACCTCCTGGTGGCGACACTGACAAGTTGACTGAGGTGAAGGTATGCATTAACGAGCGGCATTCGAGGTCGAAACAAATGGCTGACTGGAATATTTGATTTTCAGAATGCTCTGTCTTTTGCCCTGAAGGCCGAAGGCATTTCAGATCTTTCTCAACGTTCTAATGGTGAGACAAAGCCTATCACAGATGACGACGTCTTTCGGTGGGCTGAAGAGATTGGGTGAAGCTCGGTCCACCTTTCATTTCACTCTCTGCCTAAGAGCTCGTATATTACACACTGTACTATTACTACTGTACTTCAATGCTAATGGATTTCTTGATGTTCTTTGGAATCGTCCCCAAGAGTCCACACAGTCTGTTTCTCACTTTGTTGGGAATTCGAGGTTTCGGACTCGGATTCGTGAGAACATTTATGTGCACTAGAGTGATCGTGCACCGATCAAAACTGCGTGAGCTTCCTTCACACTTTGACTTGACTTGCAGTACCGCGTATTCTTGTTTCATCATTCGCTCAATCTTCCTATCATGTCTACGCGACGCAGAGTAGGATTCAGTAACAATAGTTCTGAGGCCTCCAGACGGCAGCTCATGCAACCCGTCCCATGCTGGGAGAAAGTATGGACACTACCTGAGAATGTACCAGCGGGTACTACTCTTAAGGTATTCCGCTGGATGAGAACGGAGAAAAGGCAGGCAAGTTGTTATAATTTATGATATGCTATACTTTTTCTCATACGTGATGTGTAGCAATTCAGTGACGATGAGAGCGAGACGGATCAGCCCTTGGCACCTTTGCCAGATGAACCAGAAGTAGTAGAAGGAGACGAAGAGATAGATCAGGACGAGGCAACAAATTCTGTCGTACCAGACACAACACCAGTCTCTCGGGCAGAGTCAGAAGCAGTCGTACCCAAGGAAGAATCGAAACCTGCTACTCCCAAGCCACATCCACTATCTGTATCATTCCAACCTCCGTCGCCGACCCCTGTGCCGGAGGATACTCTGGACGAATCATTACAGCCAACAGGGGATAACCTAGATGCCGCAGTCGGCGATATTGGTGATTTAGGTGCTGACATGTCCTTGGATCTCTCGAGTTTGGGACCGGACGGAGAGCCATTCGAAGGCGCGCAGGATATCGAGCAACTACAAGCTACGGATGCTCTGCTTGGCGGCGGTTCCCTCATGGATCAGACTATGGATGATACCTTTGATGTCCCGCCGTCATGAAAGGTCACATTTGCTCAAGTAGATGTGTACATGTGTTGGTACGCAATGTTGTCATTGCCTTCGACGATCGTTAAATGCTAATTCCAGACATTCTAATAGCTACATTCGATATTTCAACATTGTGGCGTTTAACGGGAAGCACTTTTCCATGAGCAGTGCTATGTCCTTGGGTCATTTGAAAATAGTTGCAAATGGATAAAGGCTTGGGACTTACATGGTTTATTTCGACTCCTTGTTTTGTTCACCACAAGTGCAGTTGGGGTAGGTGGCGCAGGTACCCGACGTCTGGGTAGCATTCCCAGCGGTGCATTGCCAAACGCTTCCAGCAGGCTGTAGAAGGATGTTAGCTATGTTACGAGATGTGGTCCATGCCTTGCGCTCACCATGATGATTTGATTTATGGTAACAAAGGGGGGTATGAATAGAATGCACCTCATTGGAGCCTTATATACACGCTTCCTCCACTCCAGCCCTGAGATAACAGTCTCGGCATGGTCTCGAGGCCGAAACCCTGGGCCGTGCGGGAGTTCCAACTCATTCAGGCTTCCTTGGGTCACAACTTCCAACGATGTCATAGTCAGATGGAAACGTGTGTTGTGCTTTATACTTATCTAGAAGACATCTATTTCTAAATGTGTATATCTGGGGTCCAAAGCTGCATATCCAAGTCTGCCAAGTGACCCTCAAATGTGATTCCTGTGCAGGTGAATTTTCTCGAAGAGCCTACGTAGAACCGCTTTGCGAGAACAATGGACAATTTGATAACGTTGGCCGCATGGATCGCAGCATGTTTGGATATGAATGTCATTCTGCTGGAGTAATCATGACTCAATGAGTGGCGACAAAGCCGAAGTGTCGGACCACTACTCACCCGTAGAGCGTGCATGCATGCTTCACATCGACAAGGACACGCTGACAGCAAAGCAACGATTTGAACTATCTCGTCAAAGCGGGTGGCAATGATAAGATCGCTGCAAGGCTCTAATCTATAAGCAGACAAGACTTGCACGAAGTTGGACTCCAAGAGAATGAAAGACCATGCATCCAATGGCTTCAGGAGCGTGAGCAGCAGGTCAAATGCCCTGCGCCTGATTCTTAGTGAATAATAATCACTATCGTCGATCAGAGCCGGTTCACTAGGAAGTTCTGTTCAGAACGGACGCACCTGCAAAGCTCCAAAAGGTCTTCACATGCATGGCGAATATACCTCGCCTTGATGCCGTCTACAGAGTGGGCGCTTCCTCGGTGCTTGAGGGCGCGACGAATGGATCGCAATCGCAAACGGATGGCAATGTCAACCCAACCATCCAAGAGTCGCTCCCCAAACCAATAGAGGAATGTGCCTAGGTCTGAACCTAGACCATAACACGTCTCGTTAGAGAAGGAGGATAGAGATGATGGAATATGAGCTAAGTCGTTTCGTAGACTCAAAACACTTGTAGCATGTCGTTGGAATGTCAGATGTACGCCGTAGAGAGAGGTGCGGGGCGGTATGCCTTGCGCCATGTTGAGAGAAACGACGTGTTATGCATCTCTGGCCAGCTCTCAATTGTGGTAGCATCGTTAAATACCAGCCCGGGATTGCTTGTGACCTCGGCATCCGTGAGATACGCAACCCTCAAGAACGCGCCCTCCATGTCTCGCAAGCCAAAATCGCGCTGATACTGGCCAATGAAATGATACCAAGTAAGACACACATCAAAGAAAGAGTCAATGGACTGGAGTACATCCTAGGATACCGGAATGAGACGGAGGTAGTGGAGCATAGGACCATCATGTTCAGCGGTCGGGTTGGATGAGAATAACAAGCGGAACAGAGGGTTAGCGAATGATTTCGTATTCATGCGGCACCGTCGACACAAGCAATTCGCAGAATGCGAGGCTTACTTTGTCGGTCCGAGGATTGAGAGGATTCCGCCTGTGCTTGGCATGTCTGAAGTGCTAAAATACAGATTCAGACTTTCAGAAAGGATTGCATGAAGCATGGTAAGTCAAATTAGAACTCTTTGTTATACCACTGCAATGGTGTAAACAATTATTCTTTCGAGTAATTATTGAACGGATGAGTCGCCAGAAGAGGCCAGTTTGCCATTTCTTAGGGCGCCTAATATATTTGGCTGTATTTGGTCCTTGTGGCTGAGAGCGGGACCAGCGAGTAGCAAGAACTTGAATTGAGCAGACGAGCAGGCTTGCGCAGGTTATCCTCAGTCTTACGCTTTGCCCTCCGTTGGCCTTGAATATGTCTAGGCGGATTGCCTCACAAGTTCACAAACAGGCCTCGCGACTTCTCCGCCAGAAATACATACGAAAAGAGCCGGCATGGTTCCAAGCCGTACTCGCAAATCCACCACTTCCACTCCCGCCGAAACAGCCTCCTCCAAGAACATCCTATGACCTTTCGTCGGAGGGTGTTCCGACCGTTCATTCACTCAAAAAGGCTACCAAGTTTGCCGGGCATCCTGCGCCATTGCCTGTCCACTACTTAGAAGACGAATTGAGGAGACGCTTCTTCCAAGACCATCCTTTCGAGGCGTTCCGGCCTACCTCTCTTCTTGAGAGCGATGCCATCAGAGAAGAGCATCCAATTCGTGGCAAGCAGTGGGTGAGGCTACGTCAGAGAGGACGCAATCCCAGTGCGGAAGAGTACGTATACTGTTCCGTCCCCGACCTATTCTAAAGGAACTTAACTTCTTTCGCGTCAGTGCCATCCGTTATGCTGTAAACCTCCATGAACATCATGGCTTGCCTCTCACAAACGCGTACACCGCTGCCGTAGCACAGTTCCGGTCATTACGTTCCGAGCATCATATAGCAAGCGCGGTCGCGCGACGTGAAGCGGACGCATATGGGATTCAATTAGGCCCTTCACAAGTGGAGATCTCCTTCCAGAAGGAGGATAAAGCACTGGACACTTGGCATAGAAAGGCCGAGTTGGATGCAGGTGCTTTGGCTGCTCGTAAGCGATGGAAAGCCATTGTTGATCGGGACCCTGGTCCTTGGACGCGAGGACAAGAATATGTACGGCTGTGGAAGGAGGGGATCCGCCCAACATACTCCCCGGCTCTTGCTGGTGTGGAAGGCGCCAATGTCGTGTTTGAGACTGTTGCTGAGCTAGACGAGGAGACTGCAGAGGTACTGGGCGAGGTTGTGGCTGATCCAAAATCGGGACGACGTCCCCCTCCAGAAGACCTCGCACAGTCGTCGGATTTTGTAGGCCTTAAGTCACAAACGTAGCCAATCCGTATGGTTATACCTTTGTTTAGACATACTTACCACTCGCATATACTAATGGGATCGCAGTCTCTCGATGACGATACAAGAAGCGCAATGATAAAAGTCCGCAGAACATACTAGGATAGAATACATCATGCCTTCACTCTCGCCTGCGCGGCCTGTGCAGCATTCACACCCATCCAAGTCTTCTCTACTAGGCTGAGTAGTCTCTGCATGTCCGAACTCCAGTCGTTCATGACATCCTCCGCGCTCCTACTGCTTCGGAAGTTAACGATACCTGAAGGCCTATCGATTCGCGCCCATACTGTCCCTGACACGACCAGTCGGCACAAGGTCTCTTCAGTTTGTTGTGGTGAGAGATCGAGAAGGGTCGTCAATCGCTGCAGCTTAATGCGGGTATAATACTTGGCAACGATGCGGATATTCTGCAAGAAAATCAGTCAAACAGTCTTCAACGAGAATTAAATCGGCGCACATGTTCAATGACTCTCGTGTGCAGATCTTCCCAGAGTTTATCCGAACTGAAGATTGTGGTTTTGCGCAGATGAGGACCATAAATGGATTCAATTCCTGGCCACCTCATCAATTCGGGCGTTGTAAAGCATTTGACAAGGGCGCTGTCAGCCGATCTGTCAGTCTAAATCCACAGAATCCGGAGATCGATACGTACTAATGAAGTTCGAGTTTAGCCAACGCGGGATCATGGAACAGTCGATGAAGCATATCTGACTGCTCATTGTCGTGAGGTGCAAGAACAATGTAATATACGATATGTTCCAACGTCTGAAGAAAAAAAAACAATGAGCCTGACAAATAGTGAAGGATGAAGACAACGAACCTCTCGAGCGCGACCCTTTTCATCTTGCTTGATACTTGGAGCTTCCCAAACCTTGTGGTAATATTTGGCAGCATCAAGATACGAGCTTTCATGAAGAGCATATTGAATCATCATCTCGTAGTATTTGAGTTTCAAGTCCTAAAAACAGAGTCCCATAAGCCTCTTCGCAGTCAAATTGTCCCATGAATACTCACCTCGTTCTCCGGTAGCGCCAAGAAACCCTCGTTCACTTTGCGACCGCCTACTCGCACCTTTATCCATTCCTGCTCTCCTCCACTGACGGCATCCTTCTTGCCTTCCACGTCTTTCTCGCTGTCCTTTACTTTCGCAAGAGCAATCAAGAGTCGCATCTGCTCCAAGATGAATTCGGTCTTTTCCCTACGCTCCATCGAGGAGTACGTTTCGACTTGAAGGTCGGAAAGAAGGTCGGATGCAGTTTGGAGGGATTCTTTAGGGGAGGGTGCCGCTGGTGTTGGGGTCTGGCTAAGGATTTCATAGTATTTAGAGAGAAGCAGAGTTACGCGTGCTCGGGGTGTTTCAAGGAAGAGCTATGACAAGTGAATTAGAGTACACATCGAAGAAGATCCTAGATACGTACCTTGCCCTCCGTGACTGTTCGCAGTGACTCCACAAGCTGTAGCCACTTCTCTGTACCTTCACGCTCCTTGATCTCCTCGAGCCAACCCATAGCCAGCTCGACCATAGTTTGAATAGCGACCTTTAGCTGACCATGCTTTTTGCTCAACGTATGTATGCTAGAATTGAGCAGTGCGTAATCCCGCGCATCATAACATAGTTGGATGATCTCTTTCACGAGTCGGGTCGTCGACGGCAGGTCTGAAGCCTGTAACATGTGTTAATATAGCATACGCACACAGAAGCAACATTCGTACATTTCTTGCATGTTTCTCTAGTACGAACAGTTTGTCAAGTGCTTCTTGAAGTTTACCCGACTACAGTGGTATTTAGACATTAGACTTGTACCATCCACACAGTACGATTGACTTACCTCTGCTAATGTCTTTGTTTCAGGAAGAAGAGCATCAACCTCCTTCGTGTAGTCCTTCTCTTGTTTCTTAACGTCAGCCATGTCGTAGTAACGGGTGTAAGGTATGGTTCGGGTGAATGAAGAGTGAGGCTCAGCAGGCTTTAGCTTGGACTGACGCGTCGCGTTGTGATCATGGGCGCTTTTCTTCACGTGGCGGGCTAACGGTGCTGATTTAGGCAGGCGTTTAGGTTTGCGAGATTCAGGCAAGAAAGCGAAAACGCTTGCATTGTCAAAGACGAGAGTATCAGAATCCTACACACAGGGTGCCAGCACCGTAAATACATAATAGTAAGTATATGATATTGTCCGCAAGAGAACTATTGACACACAGCAAGGATGTCCGCGGTTGCATTGTGGGGAGGAGGAGCGTGCATAGTTGAAGGCATAGACTTTTCCGATAGACTTCCCTCTGTCCCGTTGCTGACATCTTCGAGACTTCCGGGAACCGGAGTTTTGGATTCATGTGAGGGGTCGTCATGGGCATAGGTGGTACTTGTACCAGAAAGCATGGACATATTGGGAGTAAAGGAAAGCATATATCTCAGGGGTAGTGAGAGGTAGTAGGTGTAGACACGAACTACCCGGATAGGGAAGTTAACGAGTCCAGTGATAGAAGGCATAACGGTGCTGAACATGGGAGGGAGGGAAATATGGGGGGAGGAAACGTCAGACTCTTCGATCTGGTCTTCGGACGGGGCAGCTTCGATGCCCTTTTCGTCGACGTCCGGTCGAGCATCAACCTCGGTTTCGGTGAATGAAGGAGTTGCGAGGATACTCTCGTCAACGAGCTCGGGTGTGGCATCAACCTCAACTGATGAAGTCTCTGCCATTGCTTCAACTCCTACTGTGACCAGAGATGGCATGGCTTGAACGGAACCATCCGAGTATGCCGGCGAAGCGGAGACGCCGCACTCAGATGTGACGACAGTCGCATCGACCGCCTTCTCCGCTTTCGGAGGGGGCACATAGATTTCCTGTTTTGGCATCAAGCTACGTTCAATGCGGCGAATGTTCTGCAATGAGGGCAAGTATTCTGAGACTTTCTGCCAAGCTGCAGCATTCGCCTCCACAGTCCCGGCCCTGGCTGGTTGACTCAGCCATTTGATATTCTCCAGGTGAGGTGCGAGATGACTGAGCAAGACCGCGGTCTGCAGGGGATCTTTGATCCATGAGTGCCCCACGTGTAGACGCAGCAAGGAACGCGATGAAGCTTCCAAGTTGCGGAACGTCTCTTCCCTTCCCTCGATTGCGTTTACGACAATGGCGAGAGTGTGGAGTCGTTTGCACTCTGTGGTGAGAGGAACGATGCCCTCGAGCGTGAGGAAAGGTGAACCAAACGAAGTCGGGAACTTCGCTAGGCCGCACAGCCGAAGGACCTCAAGACTGGGGCATACCCGCGCCAAGTGAGAGATGTCCCGATGATGGAAAACAGCGGACTCTGGGAGATCAATCTCCAAACGTACAAGCTGTGGAAGGAATGCGAAGTGTTCGAGGGGTAGGTGTTTCAATTGCACCTCGCCGCCTCTCGACGTGGATCGCACGAGCTCGTTGAAACGCGACGTGCTGGTCGCGCCAATACGTAAGTATTGCAACGTGTCGCTGAATTGGTCTGACACAAGATTGCATAGGTCTTGCCAGTCCTCCTTCGCTGGAGGGTCTTCGATAGAGAGGTCGATAGTCACGAGAGGACTGGTGATGTGCTTCAAGAACGTAGCGATATTGGACGTGTCTCCGATCAGTGATATCTGAGTCAGATGCTTGAAAGCGCCACGAGGGGGACCGCCGTCACCAGTGATCTTCATGGCAGACTTGCGTATGCTAGAAAAATCGAATTCCTCTCCTCCAGAGAAAACTCCGCTATCAGTCCCGCCCACAGAACTCGGGGTGGAACATCCGGACCCTGGGTTGATCTCGTCGAAGAAGCCTTCCACCGCAGTAGTCGTCCTGTTCGATAAGTCGAGAGCGAATGACTTTAGGTAGGGAAGACATGCTGTCCACTTTCCTACTTTGGCAGACAATGCTCCAGGTGCCATCAGTGACAATTTCTCGAGACCTCGATTTGGTTGGAGTATCTCGACAAAATTATCGGGCATATTGGAATGCAGTGTGAAGGAGAAGGAGCTCAGTTGCGTCTTGGAGACGACCTTCTCAAGGAATTCGCCCATCTTCGGATACTTCGCCCCCATCTCGATAGTAAGAGACTGCAGTCCAGGTGTTATGAATGGCATAGATCTCTCCAAACCAGCTGAAGTTTCAGCCTTCCATGTAAGAGACGTGAGATTGGGTAGAATGTAATCGCGAGGGCGGAATTCTTCGAACACAGGGAAAATGGAAGGCGACACGTTATTGTAAGCTTCAACGTATGCAATGCTGCGAACACGTTCGCCGTTTGCAAGGACCCTATCCCAATCCGTGGCCTCTGGGTTCTTGGCCTAGATGGAGATCAAACATTCGCTCCTTGTGAGCAAAACCCCATCACTCACCAATCCAAGCCCGGGACGACGAGCCCGTCTGAGGAGACTGTTCGGGAACAGCGCAAGTAGCGGGACGAAGGAGTCCAGATCTCTCCACAGCACGTTCAACGCCGGCTCCTTGAATGCCTTACACGTCCTGGCAAGTCTAGAAAGCGACCGTCTGCCATTCGGTGACTCGAGAATATACTCGAGCAACTTCGCTGTAGCATCTGCGTCCTTCAGAATGACTGGAAACATGGTTTGCTGGTGCACAGCGTATGGAGTATAGCCGCTGTAGTTATTAGTAGATGACGCAGTAGACTTGCGAGACCGGATACTAGGGAGGCGTGATCTGACCGGCAGTGAGCTGAAGTAGTCGATGAGTGAAGAGCGACGAGAAAGGTTGGAAGAGGAAGTCATGTTGAACGTCCTGAGCAGAACACAGGCACTTAAGAGTCAACGATTGCTCTCGCGTGACCTACACCTGGAGGCAAGGGGAGGCTGCTGCGAGGCTGATGTATGAGGTGAGTGTATGTCAATCGGAGCACCAGTGCAGGAAGTTATCGGGTTATAGACCACGATACAGCATCAGAAGCAAGAGGAGTCTTGCAGACTGTGCATAACGTGGGCTATATATCCTCTCAATTCACCGACATTGGGCGTGCAGATCATGGTGTTGGCACCATTGTCGTGATTAACTGCAGCCCTTAACCTGCTGCTCTGCTCGTGAATGAAATTCACATGGTAATCTTGGAGTCTGACTTGATCAGCGAGGCAGAAAGACCTGCATACAAGATAATTCGGGTTCAGTTGATGTTCAAAATTGATCCTAGCAGAGCTGTCTCGGCACGTGTGTGCGTGTCATTCTGCATGTGTATTCAGGCTTGTCCCACGACACACTTGCATCCCATTATCCCAGTTCGACAAAACGATGTAGCAGCAGCGTTCATACATGTCAGCTCAAATTGAATATTGAACGATAACATGGTTGAATCAAGGACACACTGCGATGGACCATTGCTCTCTGATGGCGAGAGAAAGAAGGGACAAACGAAGATTTGCCTGGCTATGTCTGCTTTCCAGCATTTGATCAGAGCCCTTTCTACGCCTAGCATAGATCGCCCTCAAGCTTCTTGGACCTTGCCTGTGTAAGCTAATTCTTGACAACAGCGTCTCAATTCGTCGAGAAGATCGGGAGGCACAACGCTCGGGATTAGCCGAATGTGCCGATATGTGTTCACAAGCGCCTGTCACTCTGGTTCGTCTATTACACTAAAGTGAGTTGTAACCACGAACATGATTCGTTCTATACTAGCTGCTCAACAACTCGAAGCTCTTTGCAGTAATCTGCGCTATGTTTTTCTTTGAGTAGCGTCAAAGCCATGTATGTCAGCGATTCTCATGACACCTTCCTGATTCACCGGGTTGTCTCCCTCCCACGAGTTTGTTAAGTTTTGTTGTGAGCGAATCGGGATGTATTCAGTAGTATGTGTCTTTTCACCTCTCATCTGGACTGTACTGGTTCCTAATGGGTCTATCTTTGCTTCTTAGACCATACCGCATACGGTGTCCGTCATAACTCCATTGTATGCATATGACGCCTAATCAATGTGCGAAAACCTGAGTTCTCTACCGATAAAGCGAGAGAAAGATGGCATGGGGCTCGTCGCCTGGGCATGCAGGCCCACAACTCCATGTTTATAAAGACTTATCCCCACACTCGGCATTCGTTCACGGCCTTGTTCTACCTACTATGTCTGTCATGTCTGTGGACATTGCTCTTGGTGCTATCTGCCTGTTCACCCTAGGCTTATGGGCTTATTTGAGTAGGACCATGCGAGATCGCCTTCGACAGCCACCGGGACCTCCAGGTTTACCTCTTATTGGAAACCTGAAGGATATGCCATCAGATGAGGCTTGGTTGACATACATCAAGTGGTCTCAACAATACGGTGCGTATGCAAAAATCACTTGCATGAGCCATCCGCTTGATGTTCCCGGCGAAGATTCTGGGATGATACGTCTCAATGTCTTCGGGACGAATATGATTGTGGTTAATTCGTTGGAGATAGCGGTCGATTTGTTCGATAGGAGATCTTCTATCTACAATGACAGGCGAGTGCCGACGTACAGCATCTCCTACAAAGCCCGCTACTAAGCTGTATAATGAATCACTACCATTTATAGACCAAGGTTAATCATGCTGAATGAGCTGTAAGTTCTGTTCCTATAATGGTGCTCTTAATTAACCCTACCTGATTAGTTCTGGGTTTGGTTGGGGAGCAGCATTTACGCCTTACAGCGATTTTTGGAGAGCCATTAGGAAAGCCTTCCACCAAACGATTGGCCCGGAAAACATGAAACGTTGGATCGATGTTGAGACACGTGCATCTCATCATTTACTGAGAAACCTTCACGAAAGCCCCGATTCATTCGCGAAACACATTCGCCAGTTTGTAGTGACTTCAATTGCGGCGTACCTAACTGACTGGCATTTGTTTCAGTTTCTCTGGTGAAGTTATCATGCGATTGGCATATGGAATGGATGTACAACAAGAGGACGATCCGTACATCGATATCGCGGAGCGCGGTACGCATGCGATATCGGCCACTACCAACGCGGGTTCCTACCTTGTTGATGTGATACCGATATGTACGTATCATCTGGAGTAAGTCGAGTTCTCAATGCGCTAAATCCCTTCAGTGAAATATGTGCCTGAATGGTTTCCCGGAGCCAAGTTCAAACGAGAAGCTAAGGCATGGCGTATGTTAGCAACGGCAATGTTAAACCAGCCGTTCGACTTTGTGAAGAAACAATTGGTCTGTAAAATCTTTCTCACTTTTATAAGAGACCGCACTTAAAACGAGACGAATGGTAGGAGTTGGGGGATCTTCCATTGTGTGCAGCGTCCTTACTTCTTGATCGTATGGATAACGAGGCGCAAGATCGATTGGATGTAGAATCAGTGTTGAAATCTACATTGGGATCGATGTATGCTGGTGTGTACTGCTTTCTAACCAGATTTTATCTACCCCCATTCATTATTTCCGTAGCTGGAGCAGACACTGTTCGTCACTTTGTCTGTCGATTGATGATTGCAATTCACATATAATTCCCTTAGACGGTATCCACTCTGTTGTCCTTCATCTTGGCCATGGTCCTCCATCCCGAAATACAAAAGAAAGCTCACAAAGAAGTCGATCAAATCCTGGGGGCTCGACGTCTTCCTAGTTTCAGCGATCGACACGCGCTGCCTTATATCGACGCAATCGTCAATGAATGTCTACGGTGGCATCCTGTAATTCCTCTCTGTACGTACCTTTTTTTCACGAGTCGACCGACTATCTCACGAAGTGACGGTCAGCTGTACCCCATCGACTAATGCAGGACGATGAATACAAAGGGTACTTCCTTCCAAAGGGTTCTTTACTCATTCCAAACTCATGGTACAGCGTTACACTAACTCATGCCCTGCTTACTGACGTCCACATTTATTGACATAGGGCAATTTTACATGACGAGAATGTGTATCCAAACCCTCTTATCTTCAATCCGGACCGATTCCTCAAGGATGGTGTTCGGAACCCAGATGTTCCTGACCCTGAAGTATCTTTTGGTTTTGGAAGGAGACTTTGCCCTGGACGTTTCATGGCGAAGGAGTCACTGTGGATTGCAATTGCATCTCTGCTTGCAACCTTCGAGTTCCGGAAATCCATTGGACCGGACGGCAGTCCCATTACACCTGAAGAAGAATATATTCCTGGATTTCTCAGGTATTTGACGATTTCTTGGCACGCTGAGTGCACTAATATGACGGGGTTTTATCATCCACTGCGCAGTCATCCGAAACCTTTCCCCTGTGACATTCGCCCGCGATCAGAGGAACGCGTAGCTCTTATTTTGACAAATGAAAGTGACGCTTAGACCTCGGCTTTTGTTCTTCTATGCAATGTTCAAAAAATGTGGTAAAACAAACTCCGGATCCGAGGAGCATTAGACATCCGTTGGAGGAATATAGAAGCCGGAGAAGTATCTAAGCACAGCTATAATCACGATCGTCTTCGTAAGGTGATTCACGATCCGCATTGAGAGCGTAGCCTGCCATGGCATCAGTGTTAGCAAATGTACGTACTGCCATGAGGAAAGTTTGTGAGTGTTTGGTCGTTGCTCCTAGCACTCACTATTCGCATCCTACAGGCCTTTTCCGGCACAAGTCTTCCTCAAACCGTCATGGAGCGAACTATGGCGTGAAATAGGATTGTGGTAGCCACATACGCTGCCGATCGCTGGCAAAAAAGCAGCGTGAGATGAGAGACGCAAGCGAGGAGTTATAAGTCTCCTTCGCTGACTGTTAACGGTAGCATCTTCATCCCTATCAAGTCGGTGGGAACCATGGGGTCCTCCTTGTTGGATATTGTGATCTATTCTGCTGTGCTACTCGCTTTTCATTGGCTGTACTCTAGGCGCGGGTCTCGACGCTCGAGTCTTCCACTTCCACCTAGTCTTCCCGGACTTCCCATCATTGGGAACCTCAGAGACTTGCAAGCACATGAGAATTGGTTGACCTTCTTTCGATGGGGAAAGGCAAACAGTATGTCTCAACTATGCATCTGACATATTGGACTGCCATCATTTGCCCCGTCAGACTCTGATCTCATCCACCTACGTTCATTTGGAACTGACTTTGTGGTGGTCAACACTCTCGAAATCGCCACTGACCTCTTCGATAAAAGATCTTCAATCTACAATGATCGGTGTGTGTCTTCTTCTATCTGAATGCGCCAACTAACCCTGATCCTCTTTTTAGCCCTCGGTATACAATGCTAAATGAGCTGTAAGTTTTTTTTTCAATTCATATAGTTCGTTGAACTAGGACTGACATTTGCGAGGCAGGGTTGGTTTTGAATGGTTGATTGGTCTTATTCCCTATGGCGACCTATGGAAGGATACCAGAAGAAGTTTCCACCGAGAGATTGGTTCTGTTGGGCTCAGGCGTTTTACTAATATAGAGCTTGCGGCCTCACGACAACTTCTCAGGCGACTTCGTTCATCTCCCGAGGCATATATGAAGCACATCAGACAGTACGTTCCCTTTTTAGAGTCCTTTTGTTTGACTCATTTCCCGTTCATAGCATGGCCAGTCGCATTATCGTGCGCATAGCTTATGGAATAGAGATCAAAGAAGAGAATGATGTGTACATAGATATCGCTGAGGAGGCAATGCAGGCTTTCAGTGCTTGTACAAATGCAGGATCGTTTATGGTCGATCTCATGCCCATACGTATGCCACAGTTGCCTTAGCTGCGAACTGAATTGCTCACAGTTGTCCCCCAAACCCCGAACAGTGATGTACTTGCCCGAATGGTTTCCTGGCTCAGGCTTCAAACAGCTTGCAAAAGCCTGGCGTGTACCGGTGACTGCAATGCTAGACGGTCCGTTCGAGTTCGTCAAGAAGCATACGGTTCGTTTTCGAGCAGATCTTATATCGCCTTGGTACACCTCAGCCCGTGATTTTAGGAATTGGATGACATACCCACTTGTGCGGCAGTGACGTTACGTGAAGATATGAAGAAGAGAGATGTAGATCCTGCATATGCCGACTACGTTGCGAAGGCGACGTTGGCATCCATGTATGCAGGTATGTTTGTGCAGTACTGATCATGGCATCGTAGACTCATTGCATTCGCAGGAGGAGCTGATACGGTCGGCAGATTTGTCTATTAGATCTGCTTGTCATTCTTTACTGATGCTTTCCCAGACGGTGTCTACTCTTAGTTCATTCGTTCTAGCTATGACTCTATATCCTGACGTCCAAGTGAGAGCCCAGGAAGAGATCGATCGTGTCATCGGTGCAGGTCGACTACCTGATTTCAGCGACCGTAACTCTCTACCATATGTTGAGGCAGTCGTGCGCGAATCCTTACGCTGGCATCCCGTGTTACCAATAAGTATGGCACTCTCATTTGTCTCTTGCTGCAGTTCATCTGAGCGATCGATACAGACCTTCCGCACGTCCTCTTGCAAGACGATGAATACAACGGCTATTTCTTCCCGAAGGGTACTGTTCTAATTGGAAATATATGGTGCGTTGTCCATTATTCCTCATGTTACGGGATTACGATCCTAGATCGATACTCTTTCCAGGGCTATGCTACATGACCCCACGATATACCCAGATCCCGGAGCATTCAAGCCCGAGAGATTCCTAAAGGATGGGGTGATAGACCCAACTGTGCGAGACCCGACTGTTGCATGTTTCGGTTTCGGAAGGAGGATATGCCCAGGCTTGTCTTTAGCGAAAGAGTCAATATGGATTACTGTCGCATCTCTTCTGGCAACATACAAGTTTTCGAAGGCGGTCGGGCCTGATGGGAAACCTATCACTCCGAAAGAAGATTATATCCCGGGAGCACTCAGGTAAGGCACACGATGCATGTCATCATCGGAATAATGTAAACGTCGGGATACATCCAAGCCATCCCGAGCCATTTGCATGCGACATGCGACCTCGTTCTGCGGAATACGAGGCCTTGATTATGGCCTCGTCGAATGAAGATTAAATATACAAATCTCTACGTAACGCTGAATCGGATGTGTTTCAATATCCTTAGATCTGTTCTGCCCCAACAGTCGAAAGGTTAGCTACACAGATATATCTTTCGAGTACTGATCATATCGAGGTTTTCACGTTATCTGACATGAAACAAGTGCCGCTTCGTATCAGATAGAGAAGACGACAAAGCCCAGCATTGCTTGAGCTGCGAATATTGCAAAGTAGTTCTCAGTCCTGCATTTTTGGAGAAGCATTTGTAGAAACCATGATGAGTTATGTTGGAACTTGGAAGCCTCTGACTCTAAATGTCATCAACATCAGTGGTCGATCATGATGACGTGGGCAGATCGCCTTAAAAAGGTAACCTGCCCGCCTCGGACTTGACGAGGAATCATTCATTAATTCTGCTGGTCGTGGCAGTGATCTATTACTCTTAACATAAAATGTACACTGAGTCGGTGGGGCCCAATGCCTTCCTACTTTCAGCGACAGACTCTCGCTGCCTTATACCGTCGCCATCGTCAGTGGATAATGTCTACGGTGGCATCCCGTATTTCCTATTTGCTCGTTCCTCCTTGTCATGAGTCGGCCGACCATCTTACGCAGTAACGTTCAGCTCTATCTCACCAACTCATGCAAGATGGTGAGTACAAAAGGTACTTCCATCCAAAGGGTTCCTTACTCATTCCGAATTGATGATACAACATCACACTAACTTGAGCCCTATTAACTGACTTCCAAAATTCTTGCCGTAGACAATGTTGCATGGTGAGAGCAGGTATCCAAACCCTCTTGTCTTCAATCTGGACCGAATCCTCAAGGATGACTTCCGGAACGCAGGTGTTCCTGATCCTGAAGTATCTTTGGTTTTGGAAGGAGACTTCGCCTTGGACAGCTGGACGTTTCATGGCAAAGGAGTCGATGTGGATTGCAATTGCATCTCTGCTTACAACCTTCGAGTTCCTCAAATCCATTGGACCGGATGGCAGTCCCATTACACCTAAAGAAGAATATGTTGCTGGATTTCTCAGGTATTTGATGATTGCTTGGCACGCTGAGTGCTCTAACATGGCGGGGTTTTATCATCCACTGCGTCATCCGAAACCTTTCCTCTGTGACATTCGCCCGCGATCAGAGGAACGCGTAGCTCTTATTTTGACAAATGAAAGTGACGTTTAGGGCTCGGATCTTGTTCTTCTATACGATATCTGCTCAATGTGGTTAAACAAATTCTGAATTCGGACAGATAGTACACATCCCTCCATGGAGAAATATGGAAGCTGAAGAAGCATCTAAACACAGTTATAATCACGATCGTCTCCGCAGGGTGATTCGCGATCCGCATTGAGAGTGCGGCCTGCCACGACATCAGATTCAGTGTTACTCAATGCACATACCGCCATGAGGAGTGTTTGTGAGTGTTTAATGTTTAGTCATTGCGCCAACTTTTAGCACCAACTATCCCCATTCCATAGGCTTTCTCTGCAATAAAATGCTCTCAAACTGTTATGCAGCGACTTATGGCGTGAAATAGGGTTTTGGTAGTCTGATACGCTGCCGATCCCTATCAAGACGACAGCGTGAGATGAGCGGTTTCAGTGAGGAGTTATAAATCTCCTTCGCTGACTGTCAACGATGTCGCTTTCATCCCTACCGAAGTCGGTGGGAACCATGGGGTTCACCTTGTTGAATATTGCGATCTGTTCTGCTGCGCTACTCGCTTTTCACTGGTTGTACTCTAGGCGCGGGTCTCGACACTCGAGTCCACCTAGTCTTCCCGGACTTCCCATCATTGGGAACCTCAGAGACTTGCAAGCACATGAGAATTGGTTGACCTTCTTTCGATGGGGAAAGGCAAACAGTATGTCTAAACAATACATCTGACATGTTGAACTGCCATCATTTGCCCCGTCAGATTCTGATCTCATCCACCTACGTTCATTTGGAACTGACTTTGTGGTGGTCAACACTCTCGAAATCGCCACTGACCTCTTCGATAAAAGATCTTCAATCTACAATGATCGGTGTGTGTCTTCTTCTACCTGAATGCGCCAACTAACCCTGATCCTCTTTTTAGCCCTCGATATACAATGCTAAATGAGCTGTAATTTTTTTTCAATTCATATAGTTCGTTGAACTAGGACTGACATTTGCGAGGCAGGGTTGGGTTTGAATGGTTGATTGGTCTTATTCCCTACGGCGACCTATGGAAGGATACCAGAAGAAGTTTCCACCGAGAGATTGGTTCTGTTGGGCTCAAGCGTTTTACTAATATAGAGCTTGCTGCCTCACGACAACTTCTCAGGCGACTTCGTTCATCTCCCGAGGCATATATGAAGCACATCAGACAGTACGTTCCCTTCTTAGGATCCTTTTGTTTGACTCATTTCCCTTTCATAGCATGGCCGGTCGCATCATCATGCGTATAGCTTATGGAATAGAGATCAAAGAAGAGAACGACGTGTACATAGATATCGCTGAGGAGGCAATGCAGGCTTTCAGTGCTTGTACAAATGCAGGATCATTCCTGGTCGATCTCATGCCCATATGTATGCCACAGTTGCCTTAGCTGCGAACTGAATTGCTCATAGTTGTCCCAAATTAGTGAAGTATCTGCCCGAATGGTTTCCTGGCTCAGACTTCAAACAGCTTGCAAAAGCCTGGCGTGTACCAGTGACTGCAATGTTAGACCGTCCATTCGAGTTCGTCAAGAAGCATACGGTTCGTTTTCGAGCAGATCTTATATCGCCTTGGTACACATCAGCTCATGATTCTTTCAGGAATTGGATGATATACCCACTTGTGCGGCAGTGACATTACGTGAAGATATGAAGAAGAGAGATGTAGATCCTGCATATGCAGACTACGTTGCGAAGGCAACGTTGGCATCCATGTACGCCGGTATGTTCCTGCAGTACTGATCATGGCATCATAAACTCATTGCATTTGCAGGAGGAGCTGATACGGTCGGCGGACTTGCTTATTAGATCTGCTTGTCATTCTTGACTGATGTTTCTGCAGACCGTTTCCACTCTAAGTTCATTCGTTCTGGCTATGACTCTATATCCTGACGTCCAAGTGAGAGCCCAGGAAGAGATCGATCGTGTCATCGGTGCAGGTCGACTACCTGATTTCAGTGATCGTAATTCTCTACCATATGTTGAGGCAGTCGTGCGCGAATCTTTACGCTGGCATCCCGTGTTACCAATAGGTATGGCACTCTCATTTGTCTCTTGCTGCGGTTCATCTTAGCCATCGATACAGCCTCTCCGCACCGCCTCTTGCAAGATGATGAATACAATGGCTATTTCCTTCCAAAGGGCACCTTTGTAATCGGAAACATATGGTGCGTGTTGTTATTCCCCATGTACGATCTTGGATCGATACTGTTTCAAGGGCTATGTTGCATGACCCCATGGTGTACCCGGATCCCGGAGCATTCAAGCCCGAGAGGTTCCTGAAGGACGGGGTGATAGACCCAACTGTGCGAGATCCGACTGTTGCATGTTTTGGTTTCGGGCGGAGGATATGCCCAGGCCGGCTTTTAGCGAAGGAGTCGGTCTGGATTACTGTCGCATCTCTTTTGGCAACATACAAGTTTTCAAAGGCGATTGGGCCTGATGGAAAACCTATCACTCCGAAAGAAGATTATATCCCAGGAACAATTAGGTGAGACACGCGATGCATCTCGTTATCCAGATAAGGTTAACGTCAGATACATCCAAGTTACCCTAAACCATTTGCATGCGACATGCGACCCCGTTCTGCGGAATACGAGGCCTTGATTATGGCCTCGTCGAATGAAGACTAAATACACGAATCTCTATGTAATGCCGAATTGGATGTGGCACACTATCTTTAGATCTGTTCCGTGTCAACAGTCGAAATGTTAGCTACACAGTTTTTTTCAATACTGATTGTATTGGAGTTTCCATGTCGTTTGAATGACGCGGTAAGATCGCTGTCAAAAAGCAACTGCAACCTTGGACTTGACAAGTGATCATAGTGATTCGCTGATCGCACCCGGGCCGTGGCAGTGACCACATACTCTTAACACAAAATGTACACTGTCTCGCCACCGAAAACCTTTCCCTTGCAACACTCATCCCCATTCATAACCTCGGAACGCGTCATAGCTGTAATCGTGGTCGAACTATCGTCTGCCTTGCAGTATCTGGTCAATTAGGTAAACTCCAGTTCTGCCAATTGCACTAGTTCCACGATAACACATACAGCACCTTGTTCAGTTCCTTGGCAAGCGATTGGTGATACAGATTGAGAATGAGATTATTATAGCTTGAAACGTCCAGAATCCTAATATCCCGCTCAGCATTCAGAGTGAGAACGCAGGTGCCTTCACTTTTAATCCATCCTTGCATTCCAGCTGACAGCTCTCGTTAGGGCACTGCAGATGCATCGTTTTCAGATGTCTTGTACCATACAAACTGTGGAGTGAGACCTTAGTCGCCGTCTCTTCAAGGACAATCGAATTCCTAGAAGTAAGAACAGCATGCTCTCTACTAGCTGTCTAGGCGAAGATCACCAAGCGCAGGACTTCCACTTCCACCCGGTCCTCCGGAACTCCCCATCGTTGGAAACCTGAGAGATTTCTCTTTAGCTGAAGTTTGGTTGACCTACATTCGATGGGGGGAAGAATACGGTACGTCTGAATAATTCCGTTTCATGACGAAGGAGTCGATGTGTATTGCAATTGCATCTCTGCTTGCAACTCTCGAGTTCCAGAAATCCATGGACCGGATCACAGTCCCATTACACCCAAAGAAGAATATGTTCCTGGCTTTCTCAAGTATTTATAGCCATTGCTTGACACGCTGAGTGCGCTGACATGGTGGGTTTTCATTATCTACCCTCTAGTTATCCAAAGCCTTTACCCTGTGACATTTACCCGCGATCAGAGGAGCGCGTAGCTCTTATTTTGGCAGATGAAAGTGACCTGCAGGGATTGAATTTTGTTCTTCCATGCGATATCTAAGCAATGTGGTTGTACAAACTCTGGATTGGAGTATTACACACCCACCCGGGGGAATAGAAGCAGAAGCATCTAAGCTCATATTATATTATAGTCACGATGGTCTCTCATGAGGTGATTCGCGATCTCCATTGAGAGTGTGGCTTGCCACGGCATCGAGCTGAGTATTATATCTCGGTGTACCGTTGTAAGGAGAATTTGTGAGTGTTTAGTTGTCACTCCAACTTCACACTCCAAGTCTTCGCATTCTACAGGCATTTTCCGCAACGCAATGCTCCTCAAACTCTCTTTACCATGTGAACTATGGCGTGAGACTAGGACTCTGTGGTGTCGTACGCTGCCGGTCTCTGGCAAGAAGACAGCGTGAGATGAGGGACGCAAGCTATGAGAGATAAATGCCCTTCGCTGACTACTAACGAGGTCGCTTTCATCCCTGTTCGACTCGGGGGGAAACATGGCACTCTCTCTGTTGGATATTGCGATCTGTTCGGCCGCTTTACTCATTTTTCACTGGTTGTCTAATCGTGGGTCTCGACGCTCAAGTCTTCCGCTTCCACCTTGTCTTCCCGGACTTCCCGTCATAGGCAACCTCAGAGACTTGCAAGCGGATGAAAATTGGTTGACCTTCCTTCAGTGGGGAAAAGCATATAGTATGTTCAAACCCCTCATCTGACATATTCTACTACTACCATCACTTCCCCTTGTCAGACTCTGATCTCATCCGCTTACGTTCGCTCGGAACTGATTTTGTATTTGTGAACACACTGGAAGTGGCCGTTGACCTCTTCGATAAGAGATCGTCAATATACAATGATCGGTGCATACCATCTTCTACCTGAATATGCCAGCTAACTCCTATGCATTTGTTAGCCCTTGGTATACAATGTTAAATGATTTGTAAATTTTTGTGTGAAATTTTCCCTAAATTATGACTGAAGTTTGTGTGTTAGGGTCGGCTTTGGGTGGTTGATCACCTTTATTCCCTACGGCGACCTATGGAAGGATACCAGAAGAAGCTTCCACCGAGAGATTGGTCCTGTCGGGCTCAAGCGTTTCACTAATATAGAACTTGCGGCCTCACGGCAACTTCTTAGGCGACTCCGTTCGTCTCCAGAGGTATTCATGAAGCACATCAGACAGTGGGTTGCCTCCTTAGGATCCTTGTATCTGACTCATTTCCCTTCCATAGCATGGCTGGTCGCATCATCATGCGTATAGCTTATGGAATAGAGATTAAGGAAGAGAACGATGCGTACATAGATATCGCTGAGGAGGCAATGCAGGCTTTCAGTGCTTGTACAAACGCAGGATCATTCCTGGTCGATCTCATTCCCATAAGTGCGCGACAGCTACCTTAGCTGTTAACTGAATTGCTCACAGTTGTCCCCCAAACAGTGAAGTACTTGCCTGAATGGTCTCCTGGCTCAGGCTTCAAACAGCTTGCAAAGACTTGGCGCGCACCGGTGACTGCCATGTTAGACCGTCCATTTGAGTTCGTCAAGAAACACACGGTTCGTTTTCGAGCAAATCTTATATCGCTGTGGTACACCTCGTCTCATGATATTAGGAATTGGATGACATACCCACCTGTGCGGCGGTATCGTTACGTGAAGATATGAAGAAGAGAGATGTAGATCCTGCATACGCCGACTACGTCGCGAAGGCGACGTTGGCATCCATGTACGCCGGTATGTTTGTCCAGCACTGGTCATGGCATCGTAAACTCATTTCAACTACAGGTGGAGCTGATACGGTTGGCGGAATTGCCTATCAAATTCATTCTTTACTGATGTTTCTGCAGACGGTTTCCACTCTTAGTTCATTCATTCTGGCTATGACTCTATATCCAGACGTCCAAGTGAGAGCCCAGGAAGAGATCGATCGTGTCGTCGGTGCAGGTCGACTACCTGATTTCAGTGATCGTAATTCTTTACCATATGTTGAGGCAGTCGTGCGGGAATCTTTACGCTGGCATCCTGTATTACCAATAAGTATGGTGCCCTCATTTGTCTCTTCTTGCAGTTCACTCAAGCCATCAATACAGACGTTCCTCACCGCCTCTTGCAAGACGATGAATACAATGGCTATTTCCTTCCAAAGGGCACCGTTGTAATCGGAAACATATGGTGCGTGCTGTTATTCCTCATGTACGATCTTGGATCGATACTGTTTCAAGGGCTATGTTGCATGACCCCATGGTGTACCCGGATCCGGGAGCATTCAAGCCTGAGAGGTTCCTAAAGGATGGGGTGTTAGATCCAACTGTGCGAGATCCGACTGTTGCGTGCTTCGGTTTTGGAAGGAGGCTATGCCCAGGTCGGTTCTTAGCGAAGGAGTCGGTCTGGATTACTGTCGCATCTCTTTTGGCAACCTACAAGTTTTCGAAGGCGATTGGGCCTGACGGCAAACCTCTCACTCCGAAAGAGGATTATATCCCAGGATCACTCAGGTAAGACACACGATACATCTCATCATCGAAACTATGTTAACATCAGGATACATCGAAGCCATCCCAAACCATTTGCATGCGACATGCGACCCCGTTCTGTGGAATGCGAAGCCTTGATTATGGCCTCGTCGAATGAAGACTAGATAGATACACGAATGTCTATGTAACGCCGAATTGGATGTGGCTCAATGTCCTAGATCTGTTCTACCTCAACAGTTGAAACCTTAGCTACACAGATCTGTTTTTCGAGTATTGACCATACTGAAGTTTTCACTTTTTTGACATAACAGAATGCTACTTCTTGTCAGATAGAGAAAGCAACAAAGCCCAGCATCTATTTGCTCGAGCTCCAGATGTTCCGAAGTAGTTCTTAGTGCATTGTCAGAGAAGTACTTGTAGGAATTGACGAGTTATGTCGGAAGCCACTGACCTTAAATTTCTCGACATCACACATCAGTACTTCAGTGGTCGATCACGATGACACAGGCAGATTGCCGTCAAAAGGGCAATCTGCCTCACCTCGGACTTGAAACGTTCAACCTTCGTACCTCAGGATATCTCTGTCTGACAATCATTAACCCCTGCTGACCGTAGCAGTGGTCTCATATTCTTAACATGAAATATACACTGCCTAGCCATCCGAAACCTTTCCTTCGCAACATTCATCCCCAATCATAACCTAAGAACGCGTCGCGCGCAGCTCTAATCTTGGTTTATCATTTGCCGCCTTCCAACATCCAGTTCATTAGGTAAACACCAGTTCTGTTCCACCAGTTCCAAGATAACACATGCTCCACCTTGTTCGCAGGCTCTTTCTCTCAAGGATGATTTCTAGCTTCTATGCTTCTATCTTTGGAGTCCCATAGAGATATGGAAGGCCGGTAAACGCACACATTAGTAATAATCAAGATACAGTTCCTTGGCAAGCGATTTGCGATACGGGTTGAGGGTGAGGTTACTAGAGCTTGAGACGTCCAGAATCCTACTATTCTACTCAGGATCCAGAGTGAGAACGCAAGTGCCTTCACTTTGAATCCATCCTTGCGTTCCAGCTGACAGCTTTCGTTAGGACACGGCGAATGCATCTTTTTCAGATAGTTGATACTGTAGAACTGTGGAGCGAGACCTTAGTCGCTGTCTATTCAAGGACAATCGAATTCCTAGAAGTATGGACAGCGTGAGAGGAAGTACTTGCCCGATAGGTGGTTATAAACTCCACAGAACATCAAACTCTCGCTTCTATCTCTGCCAACGTTGAAGGGAACCATGGAGCTATCTTGGTTGCATATCACGGTCTGTTGTGCTGCGCTACTAACTCTTTACTGGCTGTCTAGGCGAAGGACACGAAGCTCAGGGCTTCCACTTCCACCCGGTCCTCCGGGACTTCCCATCATTGGAAACCTCAGAGATTTCTCTTCGGATGAAGTTTGGGTGACCTATATTCGCTGGGGGAAAGAATACAGTACGTCTGAATATTCGGATGGTTTGTTGAACTACCACCAATTTCCTGCTCAGAATCGGATATCATTCGCCTTCACTCGCTCGGAACCAATTTTATCATCATCAACTCTCTGGATGCCGCCGTTGACCTCTTCCATAGAAGATCCACCCTGTACAATGATCGGTGTGTTTCTCATCTTCTACCTCAATGCTCCAACCCTTATGCGTTCGTTAGCCCTAGGTATGCTATGTTAGGTGATCTGTAAGCTACTGTTTCTCTACGTTATAGAATAAGTTTGTCTGACGTTGAGACGTTGATGACTTAGTGTGGGGTTTGGTTGGTTGCTCGACTTAACACCTTATGGCGACCTCTGGAAGGATATGAGAAAAGCTTTCCACAGGGAGATTGGACCCGTTGGCCTCAAGCGATTCGCTGATCTGGAGCTTGCGGCCTCACGGGAACTTCTTAGGAAACTCCGTTTGTCTCCCGAGGCCTTCATGAGGCATATCAGACAGTTGGCGCCTTTCTCAATATGATTTCAGTGTAACTAATGTCGTTCTCATAGCACGTCTACGAACCTTATCATGCGTATGGCTTATGGCATAGAGATTCAAGAAGAGAATGATACCTACGTCGATATCGCTCAGGAGGCGCTGCAGGCTTTCAGTGCTTGCACAAACGCAGGCTCATTCATGGTTGATCTCATCCCCACAAGTACGTGGGGTTTGCCTTCGTCCGATGTGAATCGAATTACTCACGGTAGTACCGACCCCCCCCCCCCCCCCCCAAACAGTGAAGTACATGCCTGATTGGTTTCCAGGGGCGGGCTTCAAGGAGCTCGCGAAGGCTTGGCGAGTGCCAGTGACCGCAATGCTAGACCGCCCGTTCGACTTCGTCAAGAAACATATGGTACGTTTGCAAAGATGCGATATCAGCGCATCACATCTCATTACGTTGACAGGAATTGGGTGACATATCTAGCTGTGCCGCGACATCGTTGCATGAAAATATGATGAAGAAAGGTGTAGACCCTGCATATGCCGAACATATCATCAAGTCGACATTGGCATCCATGTACACCGGTACGTTTGTGCGGTACTTGTCATAGACTCGTAAACTCATTCTATTTACAGGTGGAGCTGATACGGTCCGTGGTTTTGCTTGTTGTCTAACCCTAATATTTGTCAGCTGATGATTTTGCAGACAGTTTCTACGATTCAGTCCTTCGTTCTGACGATGGTTCTGTATCCCGACGTCCAAAAGAAGGCGCAGGAAGAGATTGACCGCGTTGTCGGTTCGAGTCGTCTACCAGACTTCAGCGATTATGACTCGTTACCGTACATAGAGGCCATCGTACGAGAAACAATACGCTTGCACCCCGTAGTACCAATAGGTATGGGACTGTCCTTCATCTCTTATCGCGACTCTGGATGAGCATTTGCCATAGGCGTTCCTCACCGCCTCACGCAAGACGATGAATACGGGGGCTATTTCCTCCCGAAGGGCAGTATACTGATTGCGAACATATGGTATGTTGACACGTTTATGCAATATACATAGACTTCGGTTAATACTCTTCGAAGGGGAATGCTGCATGACCCAATAGTGTATCCAGATCCCGATGTTTTCAATCCTGACAGGTTTCTAAAGGATGGGATGATAGACCCTTCTGGCCCAGACTCGCAGGTCGCAGGCTTTGGTTTCGGGAGGAGGTTGTGCCCAGGTCGTTACATGGCGAAAGAATCAGTCTGGATCACGGTCGCATCCCTTCTCGCAACTTACAAGTTCTCATATGCGATCGGGCCTAATGGCAAACCTGTCATTCCAAAGGAAGAGTATTTTCCAGGGTCACTCAGGTAAGACACACATTATGGATATCATTGTCGTGACGAGGCTGACTTCTCGATCCACTCAAGCTATCCCAAACCGTTTGTGTGTGACATCCGGCCCCGTTCTGCGGAAGCCGAAGCATTGATTATGGCCTCGTCGAACGAAGAGTAAACTCATGAACCACTATGGAATGCCCAATTGGCAGTACACCCACACATTGGACCATTTATGTCCTCAACAATTGAAATATTAGCTACGCAGTATTTCCCGATTACAAATCTTATGGAAGTCTTCATGCCCTCCCTTGATGATGTCTTGGTATAATAAAATAAATGACAGTGCGATTGTGATTGAAGAACGCTCAAGTGCACCATGCCACTGGTCATAGAAGTACTAGGCGAGGAAGTAATATAACAAGGATGCGATCCTACGATGGACGACCTATCCACCACAGGAGCTTTTAATCCACCACCCTCAGGACGGCAAGCAAGCAAAGCTAAACATCACATGTCCCAGCTCTCAAAAGCTGGATCACAACTTCGCCTTCGTCTGAGTAGCAGCCTGGGCCTTTTTCAACTCCCTAGCCTTCTCGCGCAACACCCTCCTCAAAAGCTTCCCACTTGGGTTCCTGGGGATCGCGTCGATGAACTCCACTCCGCCTGCGAGCCTCTTGTAATAGACCTTATTGTCAGCAACAAACTATGACATGAATTGTCAGTCGAGACAGTTCGAAGGGTGCCAAAATAAACCAAAAACCTACCTTGACGATCTCCGCTTTGATCGTGTCAGCCTCCTCAGGACACTTTTTCACACGATCCAGAGCTGTTTTGGAAGGTACGACAAAAGCGAGAGGGACTTCGCCACTGTATTCATCGGGGATGGGGACGACGCATGTATCGCCGACGAGGGGGTTGGTGAACAGGTGTCCCTCGAGCTCTGCAGGTGCCACTATGTTCGTAATCATTAGTCAGAGACTGTTGGAGGACATAAAAATGAATAAGTCACCTTGAAATCCTTTGACTTTCATCAACTCCTTGATGCGGTCGATGACGAAGACCTCGCCTTCGTCATTGAAATAAACAATGTCTCCAGTGCGAACCCAACTACGAGTAGGCGTCACTTAAAAGACCCACATGTGAATCGTTGTCAGTAACTCACCCATTAATGAACGTCTCTCTCGTTCTAAGTAAACCCGTCAGTATTTCGGAATATCCCGCCTTGCAGTAAAGACTTACGCTTCCTCGTTGTTGAAGTATCCAAGAGCCATGGCCGGCGTCTTCACATACAACTCTCCAGACTCACCAAGCTTGGCCAATGTGCCGTCTTCCTTGACGACTCTCATAGTGACACCGGGCATGATTTGACCTCCACTTCCCAGGCTTCCGTATTTCTTGTCGGTCCGTGGCCAAGTAACAACCGAAGACGTTTCGGTCATGCCTAAATCATCACTCAATTCACGAGTTTACGAAAACTGGGAGTACGCCGAGACCTACCGTAACCTTGATGAATCTCGATTTGGGGTAACAACTCGATGAGCTGTTGGGTGAGCTCTGCGGAAAGCGGTGCGGCAGAGCACATCATGAAGCGAACCGAAGACAAATCGTATTGCTTCACGACGGGATTCTGGGATATAAGCGTAAGTAAGCGGAGTAGAGTGAATGTACGGTAAGTACATACCTTACACATCTGGACAACCATAGGGGGTGCGGTTCTGATTCAAAGACTATAAGACAGTCCGTAAACACAATGACGCCGTCCACTTACAGCAGATGATTGATGCGGTAACGTTCTATGCTCTTGAGCATGTTGACCAAGTTGAATTTAGACGATATGACCAAGGTATACTGGAGACATGAATATAAGCGAACGATCAACATTGAGAACAACGTGTCGAAACTCACTCCGACGAATATGTAATGTTGTAGGGTAATGAGAATGCCGTAGACATCTGAATCGGATGGTAAGTAGTTACTTTCTTAAAGAGGTGAGCTTGCGCGTACGGTACATAGGGAGCACTATACCATATGACAAAATTAATAATGAACAAAGCAAGGGAATAATTGTGCGCACCTGCGTAGACCGCATCACCGGTCCGGGTTCTACGCTTTTCCCAGGTTGTGTAATCTTCAGCTGCCCTGTCATGAAAAGCCATCTGGATGGTATTGGCAATCACAGCGTAGTGGGGAATGGCGACAGCCTTGGGCGTTCCCGTAGTACCACTGGAGAAGTTTAACAGGGCCAACTTAGTTCTGCCCTCCCCAGGGGCAAGCCTTCGCTCAACGAATGTGGGTGCGATTTTCAGACCCTCTTGAACGAGAGTTTCAACAGTCGGATAGAGTTTTGAACCGGCAGCAATTGGCTGGGAATCGATTAGGACAATGTGATCCTCAGGAATGCCAGAGTTGCGAGCTGCTGCGAGAGCAACGGACAAGCTGCTAGAGTGAGTGATTAGCAGCTTGGTCCTTGTTATATTGAGCTGGTACGAGAGTTCATCAGGGGTGTAGGCTGGATTTGCGCCACTGTTACAGTGTTCAGATAACATATTATTTTGATTCTGGACATGATAACGCACGTTACGATGCCACCCAGTCTGTGAGTAGCCCTGTAAAGTAATTAATAACGTAACAGAATCCGAGCCCAAGTGTAACATACCAAATCGCAATTGGCCAGTCTGTAGATGATTTACATTAGAACCCCGTCACCAAAATATTGAATGGGACATACCAATATGGTTGGCGCTGAATACACAGACTGCAAAACATTTAGAGCCGAACAAGAAATGCTGATTATATACGTACCGACATCATCTTCGCCTAAAAGTAAAACTTTATTAATTTACCGTCGAGTTACAACATACAGGGAAAACATACCAATCTTCCACCGAGAGCTGAGCGCGTTTGCGAGACCCCACGCTCGTGCTCTCGCCTGTCTGTGTATAAGCAATGCATGGCAATGCTGAGGTACATCTCACGCACCTCCTCGCAGCCTACTTGCCTTCCCGTAGCCTCTTCTACCAGCCAGGGATTGGAAAACTTGTTATACGGCCTCGCAGGATGACGGTGGTCCAGAAGGAACTGGGTGCAGGTTAGGTCATCGGGAATATAAGGTAGCGGTCCGACGGGGGATGTAAGATCAAAAACAGTAGTAGTAGAAGAAGAGGGTGCAATAGCGAAAGTCATGAGGGGCAATGGGAAGAGAAAGAGTGGGGCTCACTTGACAAGGAGTCCGCCATGGTTAAGTAGGCATGCTCGCGAGAACATTGATGCAAAAATTCTGGTGCCTGTTGCACGGGGACGAGCCAGAACCATCCAACGGAATGCAGCTGATGGGTCTCCATCCAATGGGTGCGCGAAAACGGACGCGACGTAGAGGAAGAGCAAAGAGGATGAGCGTAACAGGCATTCGATCATAGTCCCCGCCCGGCTAAACCACGATGTCTTATCAGATAAAATTTAAGCGCTAATCTAATCGGACCAGATGTCCGCCCGCGCCAAGCAACTCTGCCATACCATGCTCTCTCCCTCCTCCCTCTCACCCAGCCCTCATAAGAATTCACCAGAATATCCTTCCACAGCAACCCATCTATCCTCCATCACGAGAACATCAAGCACAGTTTGCTGCGGCGCAGCTTGGCGCTCTTAGCCGGGTTATATGGTCTTCAACTGAATAGTTCTACTCTTCGCTAGGCCCCAACTCATCTACCTGCCAATTCATCGGGCTACATCAACCGTCAAATTTCCTTGTGCAGAACCTTTGATCATGGGGGATATTCGTTCCCGGATGGTCTCGCACCCTCTGATGGCACACACAGTCACCTCATCGTTCATCGCGATGTTGGCACTCACTCCTACTCCCGCCCTCGTTCCGATAATCGCGCTCATTTCAGTAATTAGACTCTCGTCATGGGCTTTTGTTCATCGCCCTGGAGGATTCCTCTTCGCAGTCGTCCAGCTACTTGCCATCTCGTTGGCTGCTGGTGTTGCGCAGCTCACCCCCTCCTTAGAAGCGCTATCCACGCCAACCATCTCTCTCGTGGTTCTGAGTGTCATCTCCATTGCTACATCTGCCATTGCCCTTCTAGCTGCATTCGCCGCCTGCTATGTTGAACGCATAGTATCTTCACAATGGGCGACAATTACCATATTTCCTGCCCTGTGGGCGTCTGCGTGGGGCTCCATCTCGTACGTTAGCTCCGTTGGCCAGCTTGCGACATGGAGCCCAGTCGTAGGACTCGGCCCGTACTGGTGGATTCGACAGTACCTCGGACAGTGGGGTGTGAATTGGATAGCAGCGGCTTGGGCTGGTATCCTTTCCACGCTTCTAGGCAATTGGATAGTAGGAACAGGTGAAACCTCGCACCGAGAGGACGAGCCGATAATCTCATTCTTGGATGATCCAGAGCACGGAAATGAAGGCACTTCAATTCCTCGCTCCGGTTCATCACAATCAACTTCGCGTTCGAAGGAGACCCTCGCTGGTTTGCTCATCCTGCTCATGATTCCCTCCTACTTCTTCTCAAGCATTCCTCTGCCGCCATTCTCTGACAATACAACCCCGTTCACGGTTGGTTGTGTCTTACCTATTCCAAAATACTCGGGGCAACGCTCCGGATTGCCTACCCTTGATGACTACATCCATGATTCGAGGACGTTGCAGGCATCCGCAAACATTGTTATTTGGCCGGAAAATGCAGTTCGTTTCGCATCTCCTGCTGAGAAGGAGGACACATTTCGAGAGCTGCAGCTTTCTAAGAATATGAACAAGGGGAAGTATTGGGGAATCAGCTTTGAAGAGTACATACCTGCCGATTTGAAGGGTGGCGTCTACAAGAAAGGTATGAAGCGCAATGGATTCGCGCTACTGGGGTCCTCCGGGCCTCCAGTTCTGGAGTACTACAAACGGCATCTCGTGCCCAGTATGTACTGTTTCATCTCAATCCTTCTCACCCTGACAATGCCAACTTGTCATTCCAGTTGCCGAATCATTCCCGCTGGTACCCGGTTCAGAAGACCCTGAAATGTTTACAGTCGAACTCAGTGCTCCCAAAAACTACAATAAAACCGACTGGGCGCCAGCACCCAAGTACACGCGTCCAATTCCAATTACAACGTCGATCTGCCTCGATCTAGCATCGCCTTCGTCTTTCGATCATCTCGAGTCCAGACCATCGCTGATCCTCGCACCTGCCAATACCTGGCACATCGGTGTCGGACTAGCAATGTGGGAACAGGCCAAAGCTCGCGCTGAAGAGACAGGAAGTACCGTGGTTTGGTGTGATGGGGGAGATGGAGGAGTTAGCGGAGTCGCAGGCGGGGGCTATGACGAATTTGTTCAGGTCGGACAAGGATCTTGGTACAAGACTATTGGAGTTCCATATCCTTTCAATGAAGAACGGACCACGTTCGCGCGACTTGGGCAGTATGGCGCGTTTATGACAGTTTGGGCGATAGTGGGTGTGGGGTACGCAGTCGAGGGGTTTCTGAAGCGCGATGATCCGCAGGCAGGCAACCTCGTAGGTGGACGGAGCTTGTTGAAGATTAGTCAGCTGGTGAGCTTTTTACGCTCTTTTGGAAGGGGAAGTAAAGTGCAGGCCGGTGAAGAACGGCCTTTGTTGGAATGATTGGTTCCTTTGTAGGCTTTTTGGGCTTGCTTTCGTCATTGCGATCTTGGAATCTTAGTGTGATGATTACTCTGGCTTTAGGGTTGTATATTACGTGTATCTTTGCTGTTTGTATGACATGTTTATGCTGTTCCATGCCTGCATGATCTACAACGTCGTGAATTAGACGTGATTATTGCTGCTCTAAATTAACGGAAGCAAACGGAGACCATTCTACATGACCAAATTGGGAGTGTAGTTCGTGTAAGCGCCCATGTTGTGGTTGAAGCTTTGAAGGAAAGTGACAATCGAAGGATTACAAGCAGCGTGTTTTGTCGAGAATTCACAAAGGGTTAGTTCACACACGAGGTTGCATTTCATTTAGATTCAATTGGTGCACTTACGGCACCTGATAGTGCGCTCGGCAAAGTATTCCATTGGGTCTTCACGCTCCTCCCAAGAAGCCAGCAGGTTAACACGCTTGCTTCGCGTTAGGTAGCCTTGTGGTCTTCATCTACTTACTCTCTTGCAGCTGAAGGTTCGCATTATCTCTCTCTCCCATGTTCTCCTGACTCTCCTACATTGGTGCTCAATCATGATTCACCCAACGCAGACCACTCACACCCAGGTCCCGCCGCAGAAGTCTACCGCTGTCCTTCGCGGTTCTCTCCCATTTAACGCGACGAAGCGTATCGGAATAAGAACCTTCACACCTGCAGCTGAACGCCTGACACGTCGCTCACCCGCAGTTGTACACCAAGAGCGGTTCACATTCTGCGAAGACGATCTAGTGGACGTTGACCCTACAGATTTCTCAGACGCATCTGCCTGGGAACTGCAACTTGCATCCAGATTGCCTGTATCTCCACCATCTCCCGGTATGTTATATGTGTTATTTGAATTAGCCTGAGGCTGATACCTTGATTTATAGGATTCCGCTCACTGCTCTCTCGATCACGGAGCTCTCTGACTGGCCTCAAGAGCTCTCGAGGTCAACCAGGATTAGATAAAACTATTCGCAACAAGTTCAAGTCTCGTCCTACTAGACGTCAAGCCGACGACTATAACAGGGATAAGAGCGGTGCTCTTGTCCTTTCCCTGCCTAACGTTCAGGAAGTTTCTTCCGACGAAGAAGCATCCGTTCACGCAGTCACAGACGATTCCAGCTCACATTATTTTGAGCCCACGGGACTTTCGCTTGTCCCATACTACACAAATCCCAAGCTTGCACCTACCCCTCCAGTAACTGTTGCCCAGGAGGCGGCTCTTGATCCTAACTCTATTCCTCCTTCTCCACCTCATTCATCCGTTCCCACTCCCACAACCGTCTCTTCTTCAGCCTCGCTTTCTTCCAAGAAACTCGGGACTGTGCGAAAATCTGTCAAGCGCTTCGCCTCTCTCACAAAAGGAAACTTCTTCGCATCCAGTAACCCAGCTCCGGAAGTTTACCAGATCATCCGGACGCCATCCACAAACAACGAGGCGCACGATTTTTCATCACCAGATTCGAAAGAATCTCCTCATATCCTTCCAGAACTTTCGTTCGATACTACTCCGCTATCGGTCCTAATCCACGAGGACCAGGACATTAAAGAATCTCCTATAGAAGACGGAGATCCTGTACAGTCGCTCGAACAGCCTGTACCTGAACCAAGTACACGCTTGCCACTCATCAAATACGATCTAGTTGACCCGAAGGAACTTACTGCTTCCCCTGCTGTCTCTTTTGCTACAGGGTTCACGCCAGCTGCTACTCCATTATTAGTCCCATCACCCTCTTTCCTTTCTCGAAACGTCGGTGATTTTCAGCTGCCAGTAAAGCAGGAGCGCCCATTGTTGCGCATACACCCTCCATCACCTGCGCCACTTCCCATTCTTCCAAGGGGATTGCTTGGAGCACCGTGTTTGTTTGGTCCTGATAGTTCTGAGGTATCGATCAATCATTCTCGAAACAGTCATATTGGGACTTACGAGTTTCGACAGTTCAATTCAGACCGCCTCAGCTCGTTTGGGACATCCCATTCTACTGGCTCGTCTGTTACTCTTTATTCCAGTTCAAAGCCAGTATCGTACGTAAGCGAAGGCTCTGCTCGGTCTCGCCCGCAATCCGTGAACCGCGCGTCGATAATCGGTTTCCGGCAGTCGTTCGTCGACAACCGCAGAAGTGTACAATCTTTCATAACTTGTGCGTCGCTGGTCTTCCAAGAAGACCACGACAGTGCCATCTCCCTCGTTGCCGACGAAGAGAATTCTGCGAAGGTCAGTTCAAGTGGCGTATTTGCATTCGACCTATCTAACCTCATGTCCAGCCTCGTTTCTTCCTTCTTCTCCATCCTCCCTCGCCTGAAGGAGTCCCATCTCTTGAGGTCCCTCAAAACAGCGTTCGGCAATCCCTTTCTCCTCTTGATATCTTTGATACCAGTGCGCCACATCGCGTTCAATATGACTAACTCTTTCCTCTAAGCTACTTTTCTCATAGATAACCTCTTCACTCATACCCCAGATAGTTCTTCACGTTCAAGCCTCCACGAAGCTCACGAAGTTACAACTACTAACAAGACTTACGAGCGTTTCATCCCATCCAACCGCTCTCTCTACGACAACGACCGTTTTCCCCTTCCCAACTATCTTCTTGCGCTAGCCCGAAGTATCATCTCGAGTGACTGGAAAGAAATTAGGAACATGGCCGCAAACCCTCAAGGCAAGCCAGCAGATACCGTTGATTGGGGTGATGAAGTCGACTATTCTGGATTCGAATGGTTCAAAGACCCGCCACAAAGACCGGAGGTACGTACACTTGAATCATCGACCTACAGGATTGCCCATTTATTATGTCCTTTAGCAACAGCGAGGAGCCCCTGAAGAACCGTTCGTTCCTGACCCCGATGTCATCGAGAAGAACGACATGTTCGACACTGCCTTGAAGGCCGCTCCCAGCGTGCTCTACGGCCGTTATAAGCAGTATGGCCAGGTAAGCAACCCTATTCGCATCTTGCGACTACATATCTAATTTGTTCTCAGCTCGGCGTATTGGCGTGGTGCTCAGAATTTGGCGAAATGATCGAGGATCTCAAAGGATTAGGTTTCAAGGGCTCAATGTTTGTGTCAACTCGAAAGCAAGCTCTGGATACGTGCGAAAAGATCCTCCAACTTGACATGAACATCGAGATGCAAATCATTGTTATGTATCTCTCTTCACAAGTGGCTCGTCTGCGACGATTCCTTGATGGAGAGAAGGAGTGGAATGATTATCCTAAGCCCTCTTTCCCTCTCAACCCTTATGACGGTGAATCATGACATTGACTCCTTTTGACTGCATGTATTATTTATGTAGCGCCCCTGCAGTGTATGTTGTACGCACTTTCGCATTTTGGGTCAGGATCTTGCGGTTACGATTTATGTTCAGTGGTGTTTATTCTTGTCTTTGTAGCATATCATGTTCGGGTTTCATCTTTACACATGGTTCGTCTTCGGAATGATAATTTGGTGTATGTTTCTGCTAGTGTCAAGTACTACTACAATCACAACAGTCCGTATAACGTATAAGATAAAGCAAGTCAGTAATGAAAATCCTGCAACAGCCCGTACCATGCATGTCATGGAAGTGGTGAATTAGTAATAAAATGCCTGGCCAAAGTTCAACAATTGATGAATGCGACGACATCTAGGAATCGTAAATGAAGCAATGTGTCAATGAATAAATGTGCAAATGGTATCTAATTAAATCAGTGTGTGCTGGTTACGCCAGCAATCTTCGACCAATACTCAGGAGAAGATGGTCCATCACCAGACCCAGCTATTGACGGTGGCAATGGTGACGGCCTGTATGATGACAAACGAGGGGGTTCGGGCAGTGGATTAGATATTCGTTGAGAGGCTGAATCTGAGGTTAGACTTGTTGAGGGGAAAGGAACGGGTTCCGCAAATGTGCGGTAGTGTTTCGAATAGTCGCGCTGCGGTGAAGACGGTTGGACAGGGCCCGGTGAAGCATAAATAACAGGTGACGTAGCACCTGGGGAATACGATGAACCATTGGGCTGTCCCTGGTATGGAGTCTGCACCATGAAGTACGTGTGACTCGAGCCGTGTGCTGTCGGAACAGGACTGGTCCTAGCCATATCACCCATGCTCGTTATGGAAGTTGCACGCTGGATATCTGCAGTCATGATAGTGGAAGGCCTCGAGTCGCTGCCTATTGTTGGGCGATTGGATACCAATGTTGTACCGTCAGGACCATACATCATACTTCTACCCTTCCAAAGCCTTTCCATATCCCAAGCCTCTTTAGCCTTCAGGGTGTTCAAATCGGCGACAGATTGGAAGTCAGATGATGGTCGTGTAGATGCCGTAAGAGACACCTTGCGCTCTCTACGAGATGACGATGCAGACAAGGAAGGTTGTGTCGCCGGTGCAGAAAGAGTGTAAATAACGGGCGTTTGGGTCGACCTTACTGTTCCTGATCCAGCACGTTGAACGTCTTTGCCATTGGAGCGACGGCGCTCTGAACGCTCAGCAGCACCTGCGGAGTGGGATTTCACAAGCTTGTTACTTGACCGTCGCCGCTCGGACCCTTCAGATCGGTGCACTACTCCGTTCGTGCTCGACGCTTGAGGCGCTTGACTTGATCCAGAGCCATCAGCATGATGTCGACCATTGATAGATCTCCTGTGACGATCGTGTTCACGCCCTTTTTGTGGATCACTGTCATCCTCCCCGCCGCCATGACGATCATGTCGCTTAGAATCGTTACTCTTTTTTCGCATGGAGCCACCATCAGCCTCCTTGGATCTTCTCCGATCTCTCTTGCTTTTTCTGGACTCGTCAATTGGAGACTCCACGACTTCCCAATGTTCACCTTCAGCCACGAAACCCTCACCCACCGTTTGTACATTGCCTGAGAGACTTCGGACCAACTTGAAAGTTTCCGTGCGCCTGACCTTGGACGAACTGGAAGATGACTTTTCTCGTTGACTTCCATCCTTCTTAGTCGGAGAATGATCTCGAGATGTTTTGGTCTCTTCAGAACTCTGTGGTGTCTCCTGCTGTATCGCAGGCATGGGTAGAAAAGCAGGGGATTTAGGAATCATCACGGTAGATGTCAAGGGCGTCGGTGGGTTAACAACCATGGATGCCCTAGATAGTGGAGAATCATCTATCTCTGGCAGAGACGCATGAAACGCTGATAGGGTAGACGGAGACATAGCATTGGAAAGCCCATCACGAGTTTGCGAACGAATGGATGGAGGAGGGAGAGGAGGGAGTGCACTGGAATGGGCACTTGCAGCAGGTGACGGTGGTCCTGTTGTTACTGGTGTGGGTGGCAGCGAGTTCTCAGACGGCATAGTGCCGGGAGAAATACCAGGCGTAGGTGGAGGCAAGTCTGGGAGTGCCGGAGATACAGATGTCCCTGGATGTCCTACAGACGCTGACATGATGGTTGACAGGCGTGACTGGTAAATGTGGGAATCCTCAACAGGTGAATGAAGCGGGGCAGGAGAGCTTGATAATGGGATCTCGTCACGAGTGAGCTCCTCCTTCGGAGATGGAACAGGTGTCTCGGGGAAAGATTGAGATTCTGGCACCTGTGGCAAAGGCACCGTATTCTCTACTGGCGTGTTCGCATCGGAACTGCTAGGTTCGTCTGGGTTTGCAATAGTTAATCTGCGGACTGACGGCGCTTCAGCGTCAGTAATAAACGAGGCAATCTCGTCATCCTTCGGAGTGGGTCGATTGACGGAAGGCTGTGTACTGCTCTCCTGCAGGCTAGGGGGAGGAACTCGTCGCTTGGAAGCATCGGAAGGTTCGGCTCGCTGGGAATGAGGTTTATGTGAAGCAGGAGCTGACGTCGCCAAAGGCTGGACATCCATACTTGTTCGGTCATGAACGGCTCGGTGTGGATGCGAATCGTCAGGAGTCTTGGTTGGACTCCTAGTGGTATCCGATCTCCGCATTACGCTGAAACGCTTCACTAATCGGCCCAGCATGCTGCTGCGTTTGTCCTTCTTGTCTATGAGTGAAGAAGGGATGGACGCGGATGGACCGACGGTGGAACCACGTTTCAATGTGCGTCGATCGGACGTGTCCAGCGGCGTTGGAGGTTCTGACGTGTGTCTTGGGGGGTGACCAGAGTCCATACTACCAGTGAATAGCCCACGAAATGGTTTCCTATGTTTGCTCAAACGTCGAGGTAGATGAATCGTTGCCGGATCAATAGACAGGTGAACAGCTGATGTAGATTGAGAAAGCGGGGAAGGAGTGACAGTTTTGTGACGGCTACCAGCAGTGGTCAAGCTCATCCTTCTAGGCCGAGGTACAGGTGGGGTCTGGTAGAAAGCAAATGAGAGCTTGAATACTAGGAAAAGCAACAACATACCTCGGACTCAGGTGATGCCTGTGGATGACCTGTTCCAAGATCGTATGGTGACTGATGGTGCCAGTTGGCTCCCCAGGGGTCTGTCACATCCAACATGTCGACATCATCATGAGCAGTCTGCGACACTTTTCGCGTTCTGACTCTAATGTCGTGTATACGTGTCTGTGAAGAAGTCGGGGTAGGTAGTGGAGAGCCAGAGGGCGTCCTGCTAGGACCAGGCAGTTTGGAATCTTGGATGCGGTCGGCACTGGCCGCCATAGGAGGGAATGAAGGGGAGAATAGCGAAGGTGGTCGTTTCTGAAGGGAGGGTGGAAGTAAATGATGGTTCAGGTACCGACGAGGGCCAATGGGGTTATGTATAGGATAGCGAGCGCGAAAGTAACTTGCAGGGGAGGGCGTTCCATCGTGTTCCAGTGTAAACCATGCTGGAAGTTCGTTCAGAGGATCAGGGATGATTGAGCGAGATGGAAAGAGAGGACGAGGCTGGTCTTCGGAGATAGCTCTCTCCCTTTCTTTTCCCTTTTCACCTAGACTTTGAGTGTCTGCATTAGATTGTGACTGTATCTGGTCCTGCGACTCAGACTTCTTGACAGACTTGCGCGACAGGAAGGACTTGGCTGCCTGCACGGATTTGCCCCGTGACGGCTTGGGATGGCCTATATCTTTCTTGTCCATGACAGAATCGTCAGAATCAAGGGCATCCGGGGAAGCAGAGCCGGGGAAGAGACTGCCACCTAAGTTCTTAAAGCAGCCAGAGGGAGAACGAGAACGCGAGGATATTCAGCGCCCGGGTACTAGAGGGCGTGATCTCGGGTAGGCACGCTCACCTGTGCAGCAGCCACATCCGTCGACGATGTCTTCTCCAGCGTCGACATCGTTATCGGCCGTCTACAACAGCGTGGTGCACTCGTGTCCTGTCAACATTTCATCTGACTGGAACGGAAGATCTGTATGAACTCTATACACTAACTGTTTGCCCAACTCTCAGCCACGTTCCAAGCGGGCGCCTCTGAATAAACTTCAATCGTACTCGATCCTAGGCTCAGTTTCAGCCACTATAGAGGAAGAGTCTTTTAAGCTTGTTCTGCATCCTCCTTTTTCTTGCACTCTTCCTCTCAGATGGCACACCGCGTGCTCATCCTTGGCGGTGGCGGCCGTGAACATGCTCTCGCTTGGAAACTGTCTCAGTCTGACCTTGTTGAGAGAATTTTCGTAGTCCCAGGCAATGGCGGAACGGCAAAAGAAGCAAAAACTACAAATGTATCTCTACCAAACGTAGACTACTCACATATCGTAGAATTTGCTGTCCGCGAAAAGGTGCGTACTTCGATCATCCTTTTAGGCATCGGTAGGACTGACACCTTTTTCAAGGTTACATTGGTACTTCCTGGTCCGGAGCAACCCCTTGTAGATGGAGTTGAGACATATTTCCGCAAGGGTTCGTGTACTCTATGCTCTTTCTTTACATCAGTCTGAAATCACTTTGACTATAGTCGGTATCCCAGTTTTCGGTCCTTCTGCAGTTGCTGCCCAAATGGAAGGATCGAAAGCATTCGCAAAATCCTTCATGGATCGACATGCTATCCCTACTGCAAAATTTCGTGTATTCCCTTCCACTGCTTTCGATGAAGCTTGCGAATACGTGCGAACATGTAGCTTCAATGTCGTCCTGAAGGCCAGCGGCCTAGCTGCGGGAAAGGGTGTGCTCATCCCCAGCACAACTGACGAAGCCATCGCGGGCTTGAAGGAGATCATGGTGGATAATGTATTTGGAGCAGCAGGTCTGCGACTTTGTCATGTACACACCGGTTCTTGTTATCAATTCATATGTTTCCACGTCAGGCAGCGAAGTCGTAATCGAAGAGTTGTTGACGGGCCCCGAAGTGTCCGTGCTCGCTTTCGCGGATGGTTACACCATTATTCCATTGCCTGCCGCGCAGGACCACAAGCGTATTGGCGAGGGTGACGCTGGCCCGAACACGGGAGGCATGGGTGCATACGCACCTGCTCCCGTCGCCACGCCAGAAATTATGGATCGTATTATGAAGGAGGTTCTGCAACCAACTATTTCTGGAATGCGAAAGGATGGTGAGCCAACTAGACGGTCCGTCCGGCTTCGACAAAGATTCATTCTTGCAAATAGGTTATCCATTCTTAGGAATGCTCTTCACGGGTCTCATGCTTACTGACGACGGCCCCAAAGTTCTTGAGTACAACGTTAGATTCGGAGACCCAGAGACCGAGGCCTTGGTGCTACTATTGTCGGAGGACACGGATCTTGCGGCAGTTCTGCTGGTAAGTCATGCTAAATAGCAACAAGCTTTAGTCGCAATTGAGGTCTTGGACTAGGCCGCCGTGGAACGGAGGTTGGATGCCGTTGAGATCAAAACGCGTCCAGGCTTTGGAGTCTCGGTCGTTCTTGCTTCGAAAGGATATCCAGGAAGTTATTCCAAGGGCAAGAAGATCGATATTGGAGATCTTCCAGCTAGTAAGTCAGCTCATAACTCCTTGATAATGAGTCCTTACTATCTGATACATTATTACCTGATACAATCTAGATGTCGTCGCATTTCATGCTGGTACCCAGGTGGCTGGTAGTGAAATTGTCACATCCGGCGGTCGCGTAATGGCCGTTTCTTCCTACGGTCTCACACTGGAGGAAGCACTAAAGTCCGCATATGCAGCGATTGAGAACGTCTCATTCGAAGGGAAAGTGTTCCGAAGAGACATTGCAAAACGGTCTGTATTCAATCCTATTTCATAGACTCCACCATTCATCTTGTTTCCAATAGAGCCCTTCAACCTGAGGTCTCGACTTCTCAAAAACTCACCTATGCTGCAGCGGGCGTATCCGTAGAAGCTGGTAACAGTCTCGTAGAAGCAATCAAGCCTTTCGTACGCAACACACGTCGGTCAGGTGCAGACGCTGAGATTGGCGGCTTTGGTGGCGTCTTCGATCTCAAGGCCACTGGGTACCATGACCCGGTCCTCGTCAGTGGAACAGACGGTGTCGGCACGAAACTCGCAGTAGCAAACCTTACCGGCATCCACGACTTCGTTGGTACGTAACGCTTCCGTACCCGCTTAATCTCCTCGTTCACCGTTGTGTGTGAAGGCATCGATCTAGTCGCTATGTCCGTGAACGACCTTCTGGTACAAGGTGCTGAGCCTCTATACTTCCTGGACTACTTCGCCTGCAGTCATCTTGACGTTCCAACCGCTAGTCGCGTCATTAAAGGCATCGCGGATGGATGCTTAGACGCCGGATGTGCGTTGATTGGAGGCGAGACCGCAGAAATGCCTGGGATGTACCAACCAGGTACGTTCACCAGTCTATAGATAAATGAGGGAGAGAAGGAAGTCGTCTGAAACATATGAATCAGGTGACTACGACCTTGCAGGCTTCGCTGTCGGCGCCGTCGAAAGACACAAAATTCTCCCAACATCGGATATCAAACCAGGAGACGTATTACTTGGTCTTCCTTCGTCAGGCGTGCATTCCAATGGATTCTCCCTTGTTCGCAGGGTCGTGGACCGTTCCGGAATGAAATACACAGACCCATGTCCTTGGGCGCCAGAAGTCAGCCTCGGCCGTAATCTCTTGGAACCAACCAAAATCTATGTGAAGCAAGTCCTCCCGGCAGCGCAAACAGGCCTTCTCAAGGGCATGGCCCATATCACTGGCGGCGGCTTCATCGAAAACGTACCACGATTCCTCCCGAAAGGCCTCGGATGCTTCATCGACGCTTCAACCTGGGAACTGCCACTCGTGTTCCGCTTTATCATGAAGCACGGTGGCGTCGAACCTTTAGAAATGGCCCGCACATTCAACAACGGTATCGGCATGGTGATTGCTGTAGAGCCCAGTCTTGTTGAGCAAGCTATTCAAGCATTGTCAGGGACTGTGTACAAAATCGGCGAGATCACTGCTCAAAGCGGTGTAGAAATGCGGAACCTAGACGCATGGACGGCCTAAAACAAACTAAAACAGAGTACGAACCTTGTAACAATTTCAAGATTGCTAGATGGAATACATGTCAATGACTGTATGCGTGTATAATGGTCATCGTAGATCTAAAACTGGAAGCGCAGAAATGCAATGTGGTTTGTGGGATCTACATAGCGACATGAGGAAAACGCTGAATACATAGCGTGTACATAGAATATGCATGTGAAGTGTGAAGGAGGTTAGAGTATGCGTCTGGTCGAACAGAATGTGTACGTGAATTTTATGTATGTAGGATGTATGCGAAGATGTATAGCGAAACGAACGCGAGCGCGAAGATAAGCGAACAACAGAAGGGCAATGATCTAGTGCGAGACCGGGCAGATAGATGCGCAATGAATACAAAAGAAATAGCAGTTTGTGAACGGAGCGAAGTGGTGTGTCCAGATGCGTGTTGGTGATAGGAATGTGCCGGTCCCCATAGCAAATAGGATGATAGAAAGCCAACCAAACAGGTCGAAATATACAGCAGGAAAACCCAGAGAGTGGTAAGGAACGAAATCTCGGAAAAGAATGCTCAACGAGAAACAAAGAAAAGAAAAGAGAAAGGCGTGCGGGATCCTAGGCAGATACGGAGACCTCCTTGGGAACCTCAGGGACTGCAGCGGTAGCTGCGGCGGCAAAAGAGACAGGAAGCTTGCTGACAACAGGCTCATGATGCGAAGCGGGAGCAGATACACCGTTCGGCCCAGAATTCTCCTCCTGAAATTGAAAATCATTAGAATAATTTCGAAAAAAATAGTGTTCTTCACGAACTTTGGCATTACGCTCAGGTCCCTCACTATTGGGGCTACTACCACGAGTACTCGATTGATTGTCCTTCTCCTTTCGGACAGGAGGGGGAGCTTGAAGGACCTGAGCGGCCGTAGGACCTTGTCCGTTCACAAGAACACCATTAGCCCCTGGGCTACGCAGAGGAGGTGTCGAAGTTCCTGCCAAGACGGGGAACTCGTCTGCACTGGGAAGTCTTTGCGGCCTAGGGGCCGCCACTCTCCTGTCGGTTCGATGACCATTAATGAACTGGTTAGGCTTGAATCCTGAGTAAGCGCGGCCTCGGCTTCCTGGATCGGTAGACTGCGAACGACTTGAATTTTCAGTCGCAATACCGTTGGCATGCTGCTGCTGCTGCTGCTGACCATCCTATGAAACAGTTAAAATCCGGATCCTATTGAATTACGGCGATGCGGGAATGACATACGTCTTGAATATTCATAGAGGCCAGCTTGTCTTCAAGTCCGACGTAACCATTGACATACGTAGATGCCCGCGGACGATGACCACCGCGTCCATTGAAATGGGGGACTTGGTGAGGTAAGGGGCCATCTGGAAGGACATGCGGGAATCGACAGTCATCCCTGGAAGAAGTATGTGAGAATGGAGAACACGGCAATCATTCAGCGCACTAAAACCTACCCATTCCTGCATCGGCCGGAGGGGAAGAAGAGACAAGGAGGCTTTCCACGCCCACCCATAGAAAGCCTGCGAGCGCTCCCTCGCCGATGATGAGTCATAGAATCACGGTGGTAACCATCCATGGGATGAGTAGACGTAAGCTTAGGCGACATGATACCCTCCATGTGGCCATTGGGGAGAGGACCTTGGGGCGGATACTGATGGCCAGAGTCTCTCGGCATCATATATTGAGGAGCAGACATCGATCCAGGGCCCGTCGGAGATGTGGGCTGATACATGATATGTTGAGGAGACTGCGGTCCAGCCGAATGGTGTACAGGAGGAGGAGGAATTGAGACTGGAATAGGACCAGGATGTCCGAAAGTCGGAGAAACAGGGGAGACGATTCCATACGGTCCCTGTGGAGGAATTCCAGAAGGACTGAATGGTGCTTGTACAGGAGAAACAAGTTCAGAGCCTGAACGAGCATGAGCAAGGGGATGGTGCTGACCCGGGGGCGGAGACGTGGGATTCATTGATGGTGGACCACCAGCGTGAGGAGGGTAAGAGGGCGGAGGCATCTGATAATATGCAGGGAAAGGAGCGGGACCCATAGACTCGTAAGGAGCAGGATACTGGGCTGGTGGGGGCAATGGACCTTGGATGTAAGGTCCCTGCGGATGGGCAAACATGCAAGAAGCACCGTAACGACACGCGGGATAATATCTGCAAGGAATCATACGAGCAACATCAGGAGGTGGGAGGTTAGAAAGACCATTGCCAGAGGGGTCCACTGGTGGAGGATAGAATGCTACGGCGCCCTCAGGGAGGACAGGAGGGGGGATGCCAGGGTAATAGTATGCACCTGGAGGCGGGTAGTAAGCTTTCGCAGGATCGACTTGGCCATCGTTAGAGTACCCCGAATCGTAGCTGTGTCCGTTAGGTGCTGTTTTATTTTTGGCGGCAATGATGAGCTCAATAATGCCTTGATCTGCAGTGTACTGCTCCGGAGGACCCTGGCTGGAGACATTGTGGGGGTCAGCGCCTGTGACAGTCTGCATTCAGCTTCTCTGAGATGTGAACGACAGGTGAAGCCAAAAGTGATATACCCTTGTCCAGCAAAAGTCTGACGATCTCCAAATGGCCGCTCTGCACCGCACAGATTAGTGGTGTAACACCTGTGTGATCTGTTACCGATGTAGACGTGTCAGCGCGTGAGTGGTTGGCGAAAAAGCGGCAGCGGTATACAAGGATGACACGCCTTTTATCTCGATGTCAAAAGACTCTTCATTGAGAATATGAGAGACCCTGTCGAGGTCACCGTCCGCACAAGCCTTCCAGAGAGCAGAGACCATTGTTGAGGAGCGGTCTTTTTAGAAAAGAAACGGAGAAGACGGAGTGAGTAGGCGAACTTGGCGGCAGAGAGACAAGAAGAGCAAGGCGAGGAGGAGAGTGCCAGGAAATGCTTGCGCCGACCTTTACGCATCTCCGACCGCCCCTCGCCGTCACGAAAACTGCCGTGCGAATCTTCAAAATTCTGCTGACTAAGCTGATCTCCCCATCGGCACGCCGATCGGCCGAGTCTCGCTGATTATCAGACCCGATAAGGCAGGTCTCGTCGGTCGGGGCTTGTCACATGTGCTGGAACGGAAACCTTGGCCGGGACGCACCCCGGGAAAACAGAACAGAACAAGTTGCAAGTTCTCTTTTCACATGTGTATAATGATAAACACTCAACAGCTCTCCTATATTAGACTTGTCTCTCTACTCGTTGGCCAATCCCAGTTTTTTCATTAGTCTCTGCGCTGGCTTCCCTTGTAACGGCAGATCCAGCTCGCGAATCGGCGGCAAAGACAACAGCTCTTTTGCGCGTTCCGCGACGTCTCTCCCTGACAGAACCGTCTTTAGTCCGCATCTTCAACGGCGCGTTTGCCGCCGGGATGATGACACCCACCTTCATACAAGACATCGTAAACCTGGTGACGTCGGTCATGTGAGTTTCAATACGAAGAAAAGTGCTTCACAGAGCTTACCGCAATCGCCAATGGCGCCGTCACCCCCAGTTCATCGATGAGCTCTTTCAGGCCCTTCGTCGTTGTTACACCTTCCGCAACACTGCCGAGGGTCTCAAGTATGTAGTTCAGCTTCTCACCCTTGCCTAACCGATATCCGACCGTGTAATTACGGCTCGTCGGTGAGCTGCATGTTAGGAACAAATCGCCGACCCCCGCCAAGGACAGGAAAGTAAGTGGGGAAGCGCCGTACGCGGTACCTATCCGCGTCATCTCGGCAAGCCCTCTGGTAATGAGCACTATGATTCAAAGACGTCATTCATTAGCAGTGGGGAGGTCATACAACAACGTACTGGCTCTGGTGTTGTTTTCGAACCCCAAACCGTTTGCAATACCGGAAGCAATTGCATACACATTCTTCAACGCTCCTGCTAATTCGACACCCACAGGATCATCGCCTGTGTAGCTAGATGTCAAAGCTCGCAACACGTCAGGCTTGCTTCATATGAATTTTCGCACCAACGGAACCAAGGCTGGTGGAATAACTTGCATGCCCTTTGCGCTGCATCATCCGATAACGAAGACACCGATACGGACGTAGGTTGTCTTCGAATAACTATCCGGAGGAAATATCTTAACCTAGGCCTGGCATCAAGTGCAAGGCATACCTACTTTCTTTTGCAAATGATGGCCCAGACTAAGCAACGGCTAAGTCAGGCCATATGTGAGTACTTGGGATAGACTTACGATGAACGTAGACGCTTTTGCAATTTTAGGACCACATGTGTCCGCTATAATGTCCAGCGTGAGCGCGCCAGTACCAAGCTCCACGCCCTTATTCACGAAAATCATCAAGGGCAAATCATCATCATTGAGCTTTGGCCTTAGCTCAGTCAAGGTCGATCTGGACGGACGGTATGAATAAGAGCTACTGTATCTGGCATCGAAATTTTATGTCATACTTACCTGACACCTTCGGTTGGAATGGCGAAGAGAAGGACGTCCATTTCCTGTATCAATGCGGCAGACGGGAACTCGGGTCCGACTGCTTTTAGGCCATCCGGGAAGACATGATCAGTCAAGAACTCTGGATTCCGGTGCTGGCTATTGAGTATCTTAACGATGTTTTCGGAGCGAGACCAGACATAGACTTCGTGTAACGAGTCGGCTAAATGATCGGCAAGGCAACTACCAAAGTTGCCTGCACCGAACACCAGGACTTTGGATTTACCCTCCAAGTCGACTTGAGAGTGAGGCATACGGAATTTGTTTGGTAGTACAAGACGTGAGTATGGCCTAGAGATAAAAGAATATCGATGCAAAGATCTGCAATACGAAATTCGCGTCTGAAAGCAAGACGCGACCAGTGGGCTATTCACGTGAGCGCGAGATGAGAATGCAGCAGGCGACCAAGCAAATTTCATGCAACAGGGAGCTACGATAAATGTTTGAATGGTGCGGTAGCAGAGACAGGCAAGAGTAGGGGAAAGGGCCTCAGGTGAAGGAACGTTGAGAAGGGGTGTCGTTGGATACTGGCAGTAAGGCTCCTCAAGCTAAACGGGAGCCAGTTATGGGGCAAGCGCTGAATCGGACAGTAGGATCTTACCCCAAGAGTCGCCACGTGGGTATTCCCAATATGGACGTGTACTGTACTGTTTCGCGCATTTGTTCACGTCACAGGTCACAGGCTCGAAAATGAACTGAATTTTTGGGTCTGTCACAGGTCACAGAGGATCGTGAACTGACATTTGGAAGCATGACTGGGCGCTTAAATGAGGGTCAGTGCTTTGAAGGCCCGCACAAGTGCAGCTTTCTGGCTACTTTCAGCTATTCTTTCAGGTTGCTGACATTATTTGAGAGCTTACAATGTGCCTCCAAAGCTTTGGAAAGGGATTGGTAGTGCCTTGACAGAATCGGCAATAGCCATGAACATGATGTCACAGGTCTCTCCGAACTGTGAACTGGGAACCGGACCGTCACAGGTCACAGGCTGTGAACAAATGCGCGAAACAGTACAGTACTCGATGTTTGTCTGCGGAGGAGCGAGACCACTGCTTGTGAGCTGTGCTTTCTAACTCTTATATTGTACCTTTACCTCCACGCTCCTTCACTCCCTGCTTTCTATTCTATTGTGTCTGTTTCTGTTACTGGTGCCCTTCTACAATGCCTGTACAAGATCGCACGATCGAGTTTCGTGCCTGCGTCGAATCTATTCGCAACAGGTCATCTCTTCCTTCCCGAGGTTCTGAGGCGAAGCAACGGCTGCTCCAGTCGCAAGGGCGAGCTGAGGGGAGCAAATCCGAGTTTACGAGGATGGCGACTGCTATTGGAAAGGATATAAGCAGTTCTAATCTCAAACTGAACAAACTGGCGCAATGTAAGTTGTCTTGCTTGTGCTTACTGCAACGGTCTAACCTTGAGCAGTGGCGAAGCGCAAGACGCTGTTCGATGACCGGCCAGTGGAGATTAGCGTATGTTAACAGCCTTGTCTATGTACTCCTATGTATTGACTTGTTCCTGAAGGAATTGACCTACATCATCAAGCAAGACATTGCCAATCTCAATAAGCAAATAGCCGGACTACAGTCATATGTGAAGCATCAAGGTAGTCCGGGCAGTGGGAAGACTCCGGAAAGCAAGCAACTGGAGGAACACAACCAGAATGTGGTTATGCTTCTCCAGAGCAAGCTGGCAGATACCAGTATGACCTTCAAGGATGTCTTGGAGATCAGGACTCAGGTGCGTTACTCATGTGTTTACAGCAAGGGATCCATTCTCTAATATCCAATGACAAACGTAGAACATGAAGGAGTCGAAGGACCGGACGGAGCAGTTCATGCACTCAACATCATCAGCTGCGAGCCAGGCACCGTCAAGTGCGTACCTTTCTTCAGTTTCAATGGCCCATTCCCTAATTAAGTCTTCGGATACAGATTCCTTGCTCTTTGGAAACACACAACGTCAGGACCCTATGGGCGATGGTTCACGCTCCAACCTCCGGCTGGATTCGAAAGGGAAAGGTCGAGCGATAACACCCGTGAATGGAGACATCCTTGCATTGGACTTGGGCTCCGCGGAAGAGGGCACTGCTGCTCAAAACGGTGATGCGTTTATGCAGATGGAGCTTGTCGAACAACAGGTGGGTTCATTTCGAGGTTCTTGTCTTTGGATGAATCCTCTTACGACTGCATCGTTCTATCTAGGACACCTACATCCTGTCAAGAACAACAGCTATTGAGTCGATAGAATCGACTATTGCTGAGCTTGGCCAGATATTTACCCAACTAGCCCAAATGGTTGCGGAACAGCGCGAAACGGTGCAACGAATAGACGCAGATACCGTCGATATCGCTTCAAATGTCAGCGGTGCCCAACGAGAACTTCTGAAGTACTATGCAAGCATTTCAAGTAATCGGTGGCTAATGCTCAAGGTCTTCGGTGTATTGATCGTTTTCGTGAGTAATTATTGAGCTCGATCTCTTCTATCAATCTGACGTACCATTCCCCAGTTCCTGATTTTCATTCTCGTCTCGTAACGGAAGCAGGACCCGTATAGACGTATATGTTTATGGACCACGTATTGTATGGATATGCCACGTAGGTCGTAGTACCATAATACCCACATCCCACACCCTCGGATCATACCTAGCCTACATACCACTCTCAACCCACAGGTATGGCATTGACACCCGTGCCAAAAGGCTTTGGAGGTCGCTTGTTCTTGGAACCTCGTTTCTTCTTGGGAGCTTCTTCTGATCCATCCGGAACCGACCATGTCCGCTTTATCAAAGGTATTTGATCGACACCTGAAGTTGCGGAATAACGTTGTGGACGCTCCATCTGTTCGGGTGCTTCGCCGTCCTTGGATGTTTTCTGTTTCGCTAGTCGCTTTTTCTGATATATGATGAGAACTCAGTGACAGTGCGGCGATAATCCAAGGAACTCACCCTCTGTTCATGCAGCTCCTTATTCCGCTCTTTCACCTTTGTTATACGAGTCTCGCTCTTCCCACCGCCACCTGCAGTAAGCTCAACATTAATCTTCCTGCCTTCCAGATCGGAACCGTGCAGCTTCAGGGCCTGCTGTAACGCCTGCTTGTTAATGAACTCTAAGAATGCGAAACCTTTTGACTTGGCTGTCGGTCTTGACGTGACTGATGGCTTGGGTGTCATGAGCCGTACATCAGGTGGAGGTTCTGTTGTACCAAATGAGTATATGGAACCTAGCATAAGACGAATGCGATACTGACCGCATGCAGCGAAATGTTTTTGGACCGCTTCGCGAGCGGTGCTGTATTTCAGGTTACCTTTGTAGATATGACCATGAGTATTGCGAACAACAATGAACAACGTAGCGTGACATACCGACGAAAAGAATGAACCGTTGTTTCGCGTCCGCCCTTCCCTTCTTCTTTGCTTTCCCCGTTGACGAGGGTTCTGTTTCGTTGTCAGTCCCTGTAGGAACTGCTTCAGCACCATCGCCCTTCCGTTTCTTGGTTGTCTTCTTCTCGCTCTGCTTCTCCTTCCCCTTTTCTGACGTGGGTTGGTCCTCCTGAACCTCCCTCTTCCGCTTCTTCCCTGAAACCGCGTCTTGACGAACAACCACTGTCTCCTGAGCTGCCTCTTGAGTTTCCACGTCGTGAATCTCAGCAAGATCCTGGTCTTCAGCGATAGGAACGTCATGCTGAGCGTCCTCTTTCGCTTTTCCTTTGCCCTTCCGTTCCCTGAAGGCAAGGGCCTTCTTTTGTTTCTTGGTGAGTTTGTCGGCAGCCATTTAAATGAGGTTCAGGCTCCTATATCTTCAGAGGTGCGGTATTGTCAGATGGAGCAAAGGTTCCGCAAACTGAAGGTAAGGAGGTGATCGAAGGAGTGATAAAAGCCTTATATGGGCGCTTACATGCCACACTAGTATTGGACGTTGCAGCCTGGAGGCATGAATGCATGAAACCTTATACAGTACAATAACTTGAATTGACCCGGAAGAATAAGGTGAATGGAAAAGATTACATGTAAGATGCAGTTGTATGAGAGAAAATGTGATGTGGGAGAACAAGGAGCAAAAATACAAAACAATCCCTCTATGCGTCTAGACGACCATCGTCAAAACGAGAAGCAGAGATTACAGCAAGGAAAGCAGGATGCTGACAGACACGGGAAGGGGTTCTAAAATGAGACCACCCTGTCATACTGGATACCCTTGACATTGTTGCCTCGCATCGCTTGTCTGACATTGTATACAAACTGGTCTCTGTTGCGGCGCAACTCCTCTGCCGCCTCTGCATAGGATGTAAGTCATGGGGCAAAACGCCACAATACACAGAACGCAATAGATCACAAAACGTACCTTTGTTCAGAGGGTCATCTGCGTTAGGTTCGAGGAATAGATATTGCAAGCCGACCATGACGGAGTTTAGGTTGAGGACAGGTTTCCAATCCTCACGCAGAATGTTCAGGCAGACATTGCCATCGAGATCAACATTAGGATGGTAGATCTAATAACATGACTTATTGTACATCAGACAATGATTGAAAATATTGACATACCTTCGGTATGCATTTGACCTTTGGTGGCTCATGGGGGTAGTTGGTGTTGATCGCGAAGGAGAAGGTGAAAGATCCGCCCTTGTACATGCCTTTATATCACGTTAAGGTGTCAGTGTAAGCCGCAAGTGGCGCACATCACTGTAACATACCCTCATCGGGGGTGATTGTAAGGGTGAAGTTGAGGAGATCACTTGGATCAGGGAAATGTGTCCTCATCGTTTCCGGTAGCTCGAGCTCGGTAAGATCTAATTGCAAGAAATAGTAGTCAGCTTACGCAATATACAAAATGAGGCACGCAATATAGGACTCGCCTTTCTGCACACGAATCTGAGCAGCACTGGTCTTTGGTTTCTTCTTCGCCGCTGCATCCTCACTCTTCTTCATACTCCATATCTAATGTGAATCTTGTTAGACTGGGCCAGGGTGTCAAGCAAGATTCAACCGACCTTGATCATGGCGAGGGTTAGTTATACGACGAGTACTTAGCGAGAGCGGCGGGTATGTTGGTCGAGGTGAAGGAGTGGAGGTCCTGACTGAAGCACTGCACGCTCATAGACGCCCTGAAATTAGGCTCACGTGCACAACGCGAGGATAACGCGCGGTATTCGGAGTTCCATCGATCGATTGATGGGAGATCGCAGCAGATCGACGTGTGCTCTGGTTCCGTCCAATCTCTTTCTCGTCAATTCACCTCGTGGTCTTATCATCCTCTTTTGTATTTATACCGGCCTCTGCGCCCCTCAAAATTCACAGGCAATCATGTCTACCGCTACGTTACCAGTTGTGGATTTGAATGTATTCCTGAACCAACCTGCTGATTCACTTGCTGTGCTCGAAGAATGCAAGAAGGTAGACCGCCATCTCATAGCCATCACCTTCCTTCTGTATCGCCTGATATGCGCTTTGTTGTAGGCAGCAGAGGCTCTCATCACATATGGAGCACTGTTCGTACACGACTCACGTGTCTCAGAGGAAGACAACTCTGTCTTCCTTGACCTTCTTGAGGACTACTTTGCACAACCAGAGTCTGCTCTTAAGCAGGATGAGAGACCCGAACTAGGATATCAGGTGCCACTGACTATTTAAATTGCACCTTTTCTCTGCTGATCTGTGTATAGGTTGGAGTTACACTAGAGAACACCGAGAAGCCAAAATGCGCAGTTGACGAACCTTGCTTGAACGTTATCGCGAGACTTGATCCAGCGGATCGTCCCTTGGACATCACTGCACATAGCCCTGACCCAAAGTGCAGGTTCTTCTGGAAGATGAGCCAGAAGCCACCTTACGAAACGCGATTTCCCGCATTGAATGCGCCAAACGTCGTTCCGGAAGCACCTGAAATTAGGCAGCGCTGGACTCCAATCATGGAGAAATGGGGACAATCCATGAAAAATGCGTGAGCATATGTCTGCAGCATCCGAGTCGTATTGAATCATACCACACACAGGGTTGAGAACCTTGCCGAGATGACCGCTCTTGGACTAGGCCTTGCTCGTGAAACCTTCACCGAAGCTGGTCGATACGGGTATGTAGACCAATACTTGCTTTAAGATATCCACTTGACATCTAACTTCAAAAATAGCCCTCATCTCCTCGCACCCACTGCATCCGACCTCATCAAGTATTCCAAGAGGGATACTATCCTCGCAGGTTTCCATACAGATCTCAACTTCCTCACCATCCATGGCCGGTCCCGGTATCCAGGATTGAACATCTGGGCCAGAAATACCGGAAAGCGCATTGCTGTCAAGTTCCCTCTGACTGGCAGATATCTCCTCGTTCAAGCCGGCAAGCAGCTGGAACACTTGAGTGGTGGCCTTATCAAGGCCGGCTTCCACGAGGTAGTCGTGAATGATGCCACCCTGGAGGTAAGTATGAGGGGTAATCTGTTGCACAGGTATTGATACATGCATCTTTCAGGCTGTTGAACGTCGCAAGACCCAGTACCCAGATCGACCCCTTATCCGTATATCATCGACCTTCTTCTGGCACCTATCGTCGGACTATGACCTTGTCCCTATTCCGGCGCTCCGAAATCGCGCACAACGATTAGTGGCGGATGCGATGAGTGTAGACACTGTTGATGAACAGACTGTTTACGAGCCGATGAAAGTTGGTCAACAAGTACAGAAGTGAGTAGCTACCGTCATCATTCTAACTCCTTGTTCTTATCTTGTTTTTCCCCCTCCTTCCAGTGAGCTGAAACACATTGCATTGATGGCCTAAGCTGCTACTAAGCTGTACCTTCTTTCATTTTTTTGGGATTAAACAGCCACAATCAATGTTGGATGTTGTATCTTGTGCTACGAATTACGACAAGTGACACGGGAATGATGGTATATTGTGTACAAGACAGAAAAATACAATGGAACCTGATATGTTTCAGGAGTCGCCGTGAGATTTGTGGTTGAACAGCTGTTCATTCTTCGTCCCTTTCCTAGGACTCAAACGCTTTCGTTCCACAAGAAGAGCAGATATGAAGATGTCATCGAAGATTTCATGACCCGCTGCAGACACCCACAACGCAGTAGATGTAGATTGACCATTATGAACCAATGTGGCTAGACTTGTCTTTGAGGGATTCCGACTCGGATCCTTACAGCACTAAACCCTCATGAGATTACATTGATGACAACAGCATTTAGATACTCACAAAATAGCCAGTGTGGTCCTGAAGCGAATCCCATTGCAAGTGGAGAGGGGAACGTTTCCAGCACCATCGTTCCTGGTTCAAGAAGTCAGTTTACACCGATAAAATGAATTGGATCACTACGCCAACCGAAAGATTGCTCCCGACATTACGATATGGATAGAAGATCTGCTCCGTATCGCATTCCTGGTAGTCATGAAACTGCAATCGTGCACGGTCAGTCGAAATGCCCATCCTAATATAGCCTGGTTAGAGTTTGGCCACGGAGAGACGATCATGATACTGACTCGAATTTGGCTACAAATTCACCTTCACGCAGACCTCCACGGCGAACGGCCGTAATGAACGACGTAGGATTGAAACAATTGAAAGATATGTCAACGTGATATACCGCGGAAGAGGGGCCGGACAATGGATGACTCGCAACCAGGTCCATGCAATTGAAGCCAGTCGGTTGGAATGTATATGTAGCGTCCGCTCGAATGCTACGACTCCCAGCACTTGCATTTGAGTACCTGTGCGTGGACCTGGTCGGACTCGGGGACACCATACCATTAGGAGGACTGGACATGGGTGAAATAGAGCTGGTTGCGAGAGACTGTACGTCGCTGAATATGCTAGGCTCTCTGTGAGATGCGAAACCGGAAGATCTATCGTCTGGAAGCCGTAAACTTGAATGGGCTACTTCATGATGATTCTGCCAAGTCAGAGTTGTTATGGGGGACTTGGAAAGCCGTTTAAGAGCCCGAACCGTAGTGACAGTTGGAACCTGATCAAACCCTTGGTCTATCGAGATGGAACCATGCGACGGCATAAGCTCATAGCTGTTTATGCAGATTTAAGATCTTGGAATTCATCATTTATAGATAAGGGGAAGCTTACACCGGAGGAGGCGACGAAATGCGTTCAGGCTCTAGATCATCCATATCATGTGAGTGTTGTCTGGATGTTATTGAGCGTCAGCAGCGAGGGCGTAGCAACGGAAAATGTACAGACCTTTATGCCCGCAGAAATTGTTTCGGATAAAGAATATCTGGAATGAGGGGTTTTATACTCAAAGAAGCTCTGCATCCCAAGGGAGGCAGAGGGAAGGGCCGAATACAAGGCTGTTCAGAGTTCATGATGAAGGGGTCCGAAGATGGAATCTCGCCACATACAGGCACCTCTATGACATGGGGAGTTCCCAGGATTGACCGCACACGTTCGTGAGCGTGGCCACTAAGAGCTGGTCCTACGGACGCCAATCTCCATTAGATTAATTTTTTTTGCGGTGAACTAAAGACATACTTCGCAGTCAAAGACGTACAGCAGCACGGACGGATGCCTTCAACGGGATAAAATCGCGGCAGAAGTTTATAACGATCGTAATTCCACATAGCCTGAGGCAATCTGTGAAACGACACGTCAATTGCGAGGTTGAAATTCACTCGAAAGCGAACTAGCTTACCGCCGGGATGCTGATGCCCTAACATCACAGTAATTTATATTATTGGTGTTCCTTGTCTTGAGTAAAATACTCACGACAGAATCAATCGAATACCTAATGGTTTGCGGATTTGGCGAGAACAGACCATGCTCTCACGCCTGATACAGAAGCTGTTGGCTAGAAGACCCGTCTATTTCTGCTCGCTGGATCTAGGGTCACTGATCAAGGTGAAGGTTCGTGTTGAAGTCTAAATTGGACGAAGGCACCGCGTGAGAAAGCGACCGCTTGGTGAATCACACGAGTTGCGTGAAGCCGAGACGAAGAATGTGAACACGTAGTAGTATAACTGTGAACTAAAGCTACAAAGGTACGATGTCTATGATACACATAACTCCTAGAACGACGAGACAAAAGAGATACCCTAGAATCGCCCCGCGTCAAACATACATATTCTGAAGTTGAGCTTGAGACATACTGATGTAGCTTAGTTGAAGAGCTTATCATTTTTATTGCTATCCATAGGGCTTTGTCTTTTCCGCTCGACAAGCAAAGCAGACAACAGAATATCCTCGAGGAGCTCATGACCAGTGTCGGAAACTTCGAGGGTCGTGGTGGAGGATGCTCCCGGCACACGAGGCAGTAACCTTGCAAGGTATTTCTTTTTATCGCGATCTCCACCCCGAAAACACTGCCGCATAGTGGATGAGTTAACTATGAGAGCTAAGCAAGATGAACTCTCACATCAAATCGATGGTCACGAGTGATTTCTTCCCAGTGCAAAACGTGCGGCCCACGGTTCCATTCCCAATTTCGAACCTGAAAGTCATAAGAGATGATAACAGAGACACCTTAAATCGGCCTTACATTGGTGTGTGCACTGAAGCGGGAACCCGACAGTCGCTTGAATACGTCTGACATCCTGTGCTCTCCATGAAAATTCACCCTGCCTTCCACGGCCGAGATACCCAACCTGACGAGGGTTAGACACGCATATCACATGAAGGCATGAACTCACTCAAATTCACCGACCCAGCTTCCCTCCTCCCGTGAGCTACCATACCAGATAGTTGTGATGAACGAAGTAGGGTTGAAACAATTAAGAGCAACTTCAATAAAATAAGAGGGTATTTGATCTTCTGAGGCTGGTATAGGCTCCATAACCATTGAGTTGAAGCCCACGGTACGGAAGGAATAACGGGTTGCGCTCTGCTGTCCGGGCCTAGTCCACGAAGCTGACGGTCTGGGTTGCGACCTGACGCTAATGGTACTTGGACCAGTGGCGTGGACTGACGAAGGTGATCGTTCGGACACAGCGGATGAGAACAATGAAGGTGCATGGCCGTCGGGGGATAGTTGCTGCGGCTAGTCAAAGGATGAGTTCATGAAGACGTCGGTAGACACGGCAGGTAGTACCATTGAATATGAGACGGGTACTATCTGAGGAGGAGGCATAGGGAGATCACGACGTGATGAGCCGGGGTGACCATAGCTACAGGCGGGGAGATCAAAAAGAAGCAACACAACATGGCACAAGACTTACCCAGGGGGAGGAACCTGTGAAGCCTGCGAGGAACGACGGTTCGTGTGTATAGACATTGTAGTTGAAAGTTGAAAGCAAGATCAAGACTTGTGCCAAAATATCAAAGCAGGACTAATATGGTGTTGGATGCGGTTCTGAAGGCAACGCAGGACATCCGCAGGGTCAAAGGCCTGCCGTCGTATCAGGGTAAGGAGTAGGGAGTAGGCGGATGTAAAAGGCATCAAGATCCTGGCTCATAATGGAAGTGCAAAAAGGCACGGATAGAATGAGAGAGTCAATGAAAGATGCCAGCGTTCTCGGCGTTTCTCAGGCACTCCAAAGGCCGCGCAGTATGCACGTTCGCTGTCGCGGGCATAGGATTGGTTACTTGAGATCACGGGGGCCTGGTCCGAACGCAGATGAACAACGGACCAATATCATTCATTAAGGTTATGCATATAAAGAGCGGCAGTCATAAAAAGCACCGTGAACAGCAGACTTTTGGATCGGTTTAACTTACGGCTACGAATGAGCAACAATCAATAATGCGGAGAGACCAGCCACGAAACAGACGTACAATCACTAGCAGGTATCTATACGTCACGTCCGAACATCCTGAAAAGCTTGCAAAACACTCTCGACCTTGACCATCATCTCCTCCCACTCCGCCTCTGGGTCCGATAAGGCAGTAATGGCACCGCCAGCACCTAGCATCCATTCATCATGCAAATCGGGTCCAGACTGGTGACTATCTTGACGCTGGTCCCTGGCATCGTACTTGAAGCAGGTACGAATTGTCACGGCCCAGTCCCCACCACCGCCCACATCCCAATAGCCGAAGACACCTGAGTAGATTCCTCTAGGCTCGTCTTCCAGTGTATGCAGAATCTCCACGCTACGCTTCTTGGGCGCACCGGTCATACTGCCTAATACAATATCAGTCGGGTTACAAGATTTGAGCTTACTTACGTTACCCACCTGGAGGAAGGCTACGCCGTAGAACCTCCCATCCCATCTCGTAGTGGTCATTTTCGGAAGCAGCCTGTCCCTCGATCACACTGACGAGCTGCCATACAGTTTCGTACTCCTCGATGCCGCAAAACTGCTTAACAACAACATTGTCTCCGACTACACCGTGCAAGTCATGTCGGATGAGATCTACAATCATGAGGTTTTCAGCGACTTCCTTCGGACTACCCACCAGTGCTTCCTCTGCGACGGCTCGTGTGACACTAGGCCCCTTGCGCACAGTGCCTTTGATTGGCCGTAGTTGACATACAGTGCCGTGTGGCCTCGAGTAGGACAGAAACCGCTCCGGTGAGGAAGAAACAAGGATCGAAGAATTGAGGCGCAAATAGGCCGCATGCGGTGCCGGGTTTCGTCTACGGAGTGTTTTGTACAGATCCCATGAGGATAACCTTCCGTTCCCAGAAGAGTTGTTCACAGAAATGCGGCTTGGTGCGGTCAGGCAGAGTTCATACGAGTCACCAGCAAACAAATATTCTTGTGCGCGACGGATGCGAGAAGTATATGTATCTTTGTCTGGCAACAATACAGATACTTTCATTTGGCTGGCGGGTTTCGCCCGTGGCGCATGGGAGCGCTGAGAGCCTGGAGAAAACGACCTGAATTCTAGTAACACAGCCAAGGCTTCCAACCATGAATGGTCATGCTCGCGAAGGGTCTGAAGGTATACCTTGCCTGTCATCGCGTCCATAACGATACTTCGGTCAACATACACAAGATTGATATCCGAATGCTTGGGGGATGCTAGAGGGGGCGTTCGATGTGGAGTAACAGCCCCCAGGTTCGCAACGCCTACTTCATAGCTCATGTATCCAACCAAGCCGCCCCAGAATGGAATACTTTCTTCCCCGCCGGCGGCTCTTCGAGGGCGCATAAAATCTGCCAACCACGTCCATATGTCTTGTGAACCAAATTGCTCAGCTGTAGTGCGACCGTGTCTTGTCACTTTGACAACATCATGCTCGTCAAGTTGATAGGCTATTCTAGTGGAAGACTGGTCAAGACATCCTATGATGGAGAAGCGTCCCGGCTGTGCCACAGAGTCCAAGAGGACAAAGTCTGAGTCTTCAGAGGCGACACCAATAGCTTCACAGATGTCGGGGATTGTCAATTTGATATGCTCCAAGACATGTGTGGCGACCGTGAGGTGTGGGGTGATGGATGTATGCGAGAGTCGCTGAAGGTTCGGCCACGGTTTTCCAATGGTCACCTCAACGTCCGCATCCCATGGACGCACCTGTCGGTGGCGAGAAGCGGTCCAGTTTTGAGCTAAACGCCAGAAGTTCCGGAGCACGTCCTCCCCTCCACCAGAAGTACGGACTGATTCTGGATGGTACTGCACAGCCCAGAAAGGTCTTATGTTGTGCTTGAGAGCCATTACCACCAGCCCATTCTCTTTGCCATCGTCCGCCGATGCTAAACATTCAAGGTCTTTACTGCCATCCAACATGACATGGAGCGAATGATATCGCACGGCGTGGACGTCTCCAACTCCTTCATAAAGTTCGTTGTCATCATGGTATATGCGGGAGATTTGACCATGTTTGACGACGTTCAGCCTATGTATTGTGGCTCCAAACGCGAGTGCCATGCTTTGCAAGCCAAGGCATACACCAAAAATTGGTATGAGATCGTCTCCCGCCATCTTCCAGATATCTCTCAGCACTCCAACATCTGCATCATGACCAGGACTACCCGGTCCAGGCCCTACAATTACGGCAGAGAAGTGTCGTAGCAATGGAGTAAGTTGATCCAATGGGATATCGTCGTTTCGGATTATATGGACAATGCAACCCGGTATCGCTCGTCGGCAAAGGGCTGCAAGACTAAGTCTGTTTAGCAAATAGGAATGTTGACAGCGAAATGAAAATGCGTACTTGTGAGTGAACGAGTCGTAAGAATCAATGAGGAGAAACCGAGGCACCTCAGATTGCGTGCCCATCTCTAAGTGCCGTAAAAGGCGTAAAAAACTTTGAAACAAATCCAATAAGATATGGAAGGACAGACGAACGACTGGATCTATGGAATGGGAGGGGAGAGGAAGAAGGATGTACAAGGCATCTTGGAAGAAGATTGGCAACACATAATAAAAAAAGTGAAAGCATGGTCCGCTTGGCGTCTATGCACTTTTATAGTATGCTCGTCCCGTCCGAAGGACCTCTTCCAGCCATCTTAGCAGGTAAGTACATTTGTGATGCGAATCAGTGGTTGCGACCGCATTTACTGACCCTTGCTAACATTGAGGTGAAAACAGTTTATAGGAGGTCGATCATGTCGACTTCAGGCGAGGAACGCTCTCAGGAAGTATTCCAAAAGGTGTGACAGTTCTGCTCTTCACACCTGTATGAACCTTACGCGATATTCAGTTCAAATCGCTATGTGTTCCTTTGCTAGGCCAGTCTAGTCTGAGTCCTACGTCTCTACCCACAGTCTCCAAGCTATTGGTCGACATCATCCTCACTCTTCGCCAGACTCAAGAGACAGGATTCAAATTGAAGCCGTCCCTCATCTCGTACATATTCTTTCCCATATCCACCATTCTCCGGCGCAACACAATGCAAACCATCCCCGACCAGATTCTGGAGCAGCTGTTCACCGTGCTCGCTTTGCTATGCGAAAGCTGGTGGTGGGACTTCGACGAGCAGACATGGGAGCAGCTGTTCATGCTTTGCAGCGCGGTAATCGGAGGGCTTGGGGGCAAGGGCAAGGAAAAGCAACGAAGTGATGAAACCAAAGAGGCCGCAGCGAGGTGTCTATGGTCTCTCCTGCATGAGCGCAAACAGGATGAAGACCCGCAGAGTCAACAAGATCGGAGCTCTGCCAATCTTGCCAAATATCAACGACACGCTCGTCGAGAGAACTTCGTTCCGGTGATGGGACAAACAATCAATTCGCTGCTGTCCACAGCTGAATCCCAGCATCGTCCACTACAGAAGGTCTCGCTTACCCTGCTACATGTTTTGATCAAGAACTATCTACCCGACTACTTTATTCCTTCTATATTACCAGGCATTGTCAGCAGCATGTGCAAGGTCGCTTCAGGTCGTGCTGCGCGGAAGGGCTGGGCGAATGGCGACGTTGTCGCTTTATCTCTCAGAACGATGCAGGAAGTTATCGTCAAATCTGTCAGCGATGACCTTTGTATCCGCGACGGAGCGGTACATGCAACCCAGGACTTGGATGATCTGGTACACCTCACTGATGATAAGAGTAGTCTATCTGCTCCTACCCCTCCAAGGTCTAAATATGCAGTATCCCGTTCGCCCAGCTGGCTAAATGGCACGGCGTCTCAGCTGCATATTGCGTTAAACTCTCTCCATCCTCTGGTGTCTCATCCTAGGGCTTCCGCGCTTATCGCGTTGGCCGAATTTGCTGCTGTGATACTTCGGGAAACCTTGCTCACTCTACCACAGTCTCAAGTTCTCCTACTTTCATTCTTGTTGTCGCTCTCAACGTCGGACTTCGATGCTGTGTCGACCACCGCACATGACCACCTCTTACATCTCCTGCAACCGTCAACCACATCCAGTGCTGCATTATTGCCGGTGCTGTTGCAAATCTCAAGAGACAATCTCACTGCGCTACCGCGTTTGTTGCCTCTACACTCCGATGCAAAGGTTGAGCACGCCGCAAAGATTGTCAGTGCAGTTTGCGATCTTGCGAAGCCAAACTATCCAGAGTATGGCATCAACATTATATCAAAAGGGGTAGGCGTGCTACTGGGTGCGAATGGCGGAATAGAACGATGGGGATGGGGGCTTCTTTCCGCCATGGAAATCTCTTCACCGTCTATCTCTCAAACCGATGGTTCTACCGGCTTGTTGATATTGGAAAGTGGTGAACCGTCGTCAAACCTCCCCACTTTCCCTCAACTCACGTTGAGACACGTGTCATCACATTCTACCCAAGCGGCTTTGGACAATATGTTCAAATCATTAGGTAGAGCTGCCGGAGATCATGCCATATTCGCCATTGAATGGTTCCTCAGTGTTGCATACAATAGTAGAGGAAGCCAGTCTGTCGCGGCGCTCTGGTGTGCTTCTTACCTGTTGGAGGGCATCAGCTCAGTTTCCCTAACCTCTGAAAACACACATGCGGGCTTACCCAAACAATCAAAACGTCTGGAGAAGTTCGCTCGCGGTCTCGTGAGGTCAATTGCTGACGAATGGGACAAGGAGCCAGACATCGAAGTAACAGCAGGTCCTGGCGATGACACTCATTCCGGTCTGACTGATGTTGCTCAAGTGGAACACGTCCGTGGGCTGATTCCCATCCGAGAAACCTCGCGACATGAACCATCCCTCCCATCGATGAACATTCACCCGTCATCTTCTCAGCCGTTATTGCACAAGGCGTTATCGCTTCGACTACTGGCATTGTCTGCTGGTATTCTTCAAGCCCGCTTCACGCCATTATTACTCCATGCATTATACCCCATCCTGCATTCGTTGATTTCGCAGTCTCCACATTTATCTACCACTGCGTTGGCAACCCTGCAGTACATTTCGAACGCAACATCATACGCTACACCAGTCAACATGTTGCTATCAAATTTCGACTATGCATTGGACGCTGTATCTCGACGCCTTACCAGACGTTGGCTCGACATTGATGCCACAAAGGTCCTTGCATTGCTCATTCGTCTGGTTGGTCGAGATGTGGTTCAGCAAACTGGCGACGTTGTGGAAGAATGTTTTGATCGTCTTGATGAATATCATGGTTACGAGGTGATAGTGGATGGCCTTGTAGCCGTCCTTGCAGAGGTCGTCACTGTCATTGCAATGGATTCTGAAGGCGACGAGGTCCCAGAGCCGGAAGGTGATAGTCGAGAGAGCGTAGTCTCTCAAGATGACAAGATGCAAGAATTCCTTACCTGGTTCTCGAAACGGCATGAATCAATGGATACAACTGAGGGTGACGCTGACGTAGGGCCCGTCCCGCAACAAGCTTGGGGTCAGAATGAGAATGCTGAGCCCCAAAACGCTGCTGGGGACAAGGAGACCAATCCGCTTGACGAGCCCCCAGTCACGCCGACTCAAGCTCTGACTACGCAAATTGTGGCTCGGGCAATGTACTTCCTCACTCACAACTCGCCTTTGATTCGTGCACGCATCCTTTCATTGCTTGCCTCTGCGGCAACAGTTCTGCCAAGTTCATCTCTTCTGCCATCAGTTCATCACGCGTGGCCGTTCATTTTGAACCGTCTGTCGGATCCTGAACCATTCGTTGTCAGTGCAGCAGTTTCTCTTGTGGAGTCGCTCTCCGTCCATTACGGCGATTTCATGTATCGCAGAATTTGGGATGATATCTGGCCGAAATTCAAGACAATGCTGGCCAAACTTGACGAGTCAGATGCAAAGAATGCACTCGCTCGAGGTGGCCATGGCGCTGTTGGGACGGAATCTGCCTACACTCATTCGCACCGAACCTACAAAGCGTTATTGACCACGATGCGATCAGCTGCGAAGCATGTTCAGATCCAGGATTCTTCGGTGTGGGAAGTGATAGTATCATTCAGGCGATTTCTGCATAGCGAAGCACACGGTGAATTGCAGTCTCTGGCGAGAGATCTGTATAGCGAATTGGCCAAGAATAATGAGGACGCTGTATGGTTTGCCCTTTCTGCTACCCAACAGCAGCTGGGTCCATGGAAGTTCCTTCAGGAGGACAGGTGGAATATAAGTGAAAATACATGTAAGATACTAGCTTGACCTTCATACAATACGGAACCCTGTTCCAAAGGTGCCAATTTATCGCTCTGGTGGTGGTGCATGTCGACGGATTGTTACTCCCGCTTCTTTGAATAGTGCGGCCGAGGCATCATCACTAATAAACCATTAGTCTGGCTCGACGTAATGTAGTTATACTCACACTTTGTAACTTAAGTTATAAACTACCTCCTTGACACCGGTCTGAATGATCTTGATTGTGCACCTGAGGCAGGGGCAACTATCTTGAGAATCAGTACCCAACGCTGGCATTAGACGGAGGAACTGCACATACGTATTACAGTATAAGACAGCACCATCGCCAACCCTTTCTCTACCAGCTTCCAAAAGTGCATTCTCTTCCGCATGAAGACATACGCATTCGTCTGGCGTTTCTGAACCGTTATTGCATCGAGCACACCCACCCTCGTTACAGTTTGTCAATCCACGGGGTGTTCCGTTATACCTGTACAAAGGATTATGATCTGCGGAAGGGCTAGCAACATGACCACCTACCCTGTAGCTAATATTCGGCTTTTCCGTACAAGGATGGCACCAACTCGACGTTTCATACAATTTGAGCGTAGTGAAGCTAGTGATGCGAGTTCCATAAAGTATGTATCCCACCCTGGTCGTAATCGTTCAGGATTCGTAAGGTCGAGTTCCTCAAGATGTGCGAACAGCGAGTGTTTGGACTGGAAAGAATTGATTACAGATAAATGCACATATTGAGTAAGCCCCCGAAGGGCCCAACCAGTTGTTATATCTTGTGGTGGGTTTACATTTGACGCTACGGTGGTTTCATGCGGGCCATAGAAGAGAGAATCATGGTCCCGAATGAAATCATGGAGTGAGGATGTTCCGAACTCCGCCCTGATCGACTATTGAGTTGACAAAAGGAAAACATGACACATTGTAGGCTTACTGAACGCTTCGCTGGAAGCGGACGAGGAGGGGCGCATCGACGTTTACAACCAAAACAAACGGGCGAGTGATGAAAGGTTGCAGTGCTTCTTCTGTCTGTAAATCAACTGTCACAAAGTTGGATCGCCAGTTGTGGGTGACATGTTCTAACAACTCTGAGGTAGATGCGAAAGAAAGCCTGGCTGGTATTGCCTGCTTTGAGGGGAAATGGAATGAAGACGCAACGGGGGAGTTCATCACTAGGAAAGAAACAGGCCGAAAATTAGATGAAGTTCCTCCGTTACGTTTCGACGTTGCAGGGTCATCATATGGTGATAGACCTTCACTGATATCGGGTGTGGATGGCGAGTCCTTATGTTCATGGTTCGAAAATCAGCACTATCGATACTATGTGTATATGTTCAATCACTTACATTGTCGAGTGATAAGCGGACGGAAGTGAATCCCTTCTGTTTGATCAAAAATTCTTCCACAGTCGATTTTCCTGCAAATCGGGTTCCCACAATCGCGATAAACATAACTTCAAAGACAATGATGTCCAAAGGATGCGCCGAAATCGTGGATGATTAACAGATTTCCTTGTAATGCAACAAATGAACAGTACCCGACAATCTAGATCGAGAAGTTTCAAGTTATGGGTCCAGTTTATAGACATAATCGGCAACTCTATCATGCGCGTTGATCGACGCTCAAGAAGGCAGTTATATAGGATTGTAAGCAATGGGTTGCGATGATACAAACTCTACATTCCAGTCAATACCCTCAAATTTCCGAGCTGGATACAAGATCGGAGAAGGAACCAGCAAGAAAAGATGGTAGATGCAAAGGACAAAGTACGAGGTCGTCGGACCGACACCCCCTTCCAGGTAACCTCGATCTAATATCCTCCCGCATACGAGATCCTGGTGAACGAGTACGGACCAGTCGGATATGATCTAATGGCGACTGAATACGAAGGACGTGCAGGACAGCATGGCGCTGTTATGCGATACCTATCGTTTTCACTCCTCTGCATATCACAATTTCATCCCTACTTAGTTCAAGTCGCCATGATAACATCCCGATGTATCAATGGCAAAGATTTGGTAGATGTTCCTGCCGAACGTTGAGCTTTCTTCCTCGCTTTCGCAGCAGCTTTGGCTTCTGATCGTTTCTCCTTGGCCTCCCTCATATTTTTCGGCGCTGAAGTTCGTAGCTGTTTGATATGCGTCGGAGTCAGGGTGCAGGGCTTATCGCTGATTTTAGGTTGTACCCAGGGTGCACTAAGGATAGGGACAGAGCTTAGGAGCGGGAGAAAATCCGAAAAGTTTGGCGCGGTACTCTTCGATGGAATCAGTGTATATGAAGGTGTCAAGGACAGAAGACGTACATGAATAGAAAGTACAGAGACCCGTCTTAGACCCAAGGCCTCGGCCAACGATTCCTCCGCTCCCCTCGGTAGAGGAACCAACCAGATACACCCTATGTGAGGGTTCTGTTGTTGAGAGGTACGAGTGGAATTACAACTTGCAACCAATTGTGGAAGATGAGATATTAGGATAGGCGGATTGACATCCCCGCAGCAAACAAGTACGAGTTGCGCAAAATTTTGTTTAGGGCGTTCAGAGCAGCTTACAATATCCGCCGACAACGTCTGGCAAGAAGACTTCGCTCGAAGCTCCAGACCTTTCGTGACTTCGTTGATGCCGATGGTTAGGTGCTGAATTATTTGAGGTGGTCTCGTTATGGCAAGAGACCCTGCTTCCTGTCCATGAGCGATGACGTTAGACTCATCGGATGGAATATCGGAGGGAACATGAGTTGCATCGAGATCTTCACTCGTGTCCATTTCGTTAGTCTGATTTTCCGCAATGTCGAGTTGTCTTCTTGACTTCGCGGAGACTGCCAGGCCGGTACTAAGTTTTTTTTGAGCCCTGCTTTTGGACTGCCTTTCGCGGTGAAAGTGCGACATGCCGTCTAAAAGCTGGATGACTCTGGCAAGCAACATGTTTTGCACATTTGCAGGGACGGTGGGCCTAAGACAATGAGGCACCAGTTAAGTGGGAAGACAGTACTGAACAAAAATTAAGGCGGTACCATGAAACCCGAAACGGATTTTCCAGTACACTTTTATACACGACTTTCCTGTCTGCGCCATTGCGCGGCTGCGCCCTATTGGTTTGGTTGTGGTGCTTTCGAGCGATCCTGTCAGACATCTCAATATGTCTGTCCATCTTAAGCTTGCAGCAAAAACAATAGGTATATATGCTCTCACCTCCAGGTGGTTTTTTTTTAGCTTTAAAGAGGGACGTGTGCAGCTTCAAGTTCAAGGCAGAAGCTTGGATAGCCTGGATTGACTGAGCTGAGGTGCTCATTGAGGCGCCTAATGCGTAGGCGCCCCAGTGTTAGGCGCCCCACGTGTAATCGGGGTGATTGTCGCATATTCATCACTGTTACCATGCTTGAACACTGCTCAGTGAGCACAAACTAACGATGTACCCAGCTTTAGTGGAGGCAGCACCGCCAGAACATAGGCATCTGCATCTCATACTCGTGCCCGACCACGGAGATTTCTTGATAACTTGCAGCAGGTGAAAATTTGAATGCCCGCCCCTGCGTCGAGGATACTGACATACTGTCTATTAGAGGCGTGCCGGAAAAAAAAATAGAGCAATGCACATATATTGCGTATATCCATTCTCGGATGCTGTGGCTGAGAATGGGTGCCAATATTGAAAGAAAGGGAACTGTCAAAGCATGTTGCTTTTCATCGATCCTGGAGAATGCAGGTCCGAATCGCTGCAGGAGGAATCTGCAGCGTCCTCGCTGGGGCCCACGGCCAATGTACCATCCGTGCTGCGCGCATCTTTCCATGAAACTGTGGCGGCTATGTCAGACTGACAAGTATCCGTCAAACTCCAGTAAACATTCCATACGGAAACATCATCGACCACAACACTTGTCTCCCTCCTGCAACCTAGTTCTTGGTCCTTTTTGTTCAATCTGTCATTTAGGAGGCCGAGACTGAAGGTGATATGACGATGATGACGTTTTGAAGAGTCACAGACTCTGCTCTTGCTTGGGATCAGGAACAATAACTTCCTTTTCCCTCCTCTCACCCCATCCCGAGCCTTTGTGCCGAAAGGAGTCTACGGAACAACTTTATTGGAATCTCATTGGTGATTATTACACCAGGCCTTTCTATGATTATGTTTAATGACCAGGGATTTGCGAATGTCATACTTGGAACGGGCCTACACTGTTGAAAGCTGCTGCTTCGGCCAAGGGTATGCTATACCTGCTTTCGACAATCTCGTGTTGCGTCGGATTGAATATTGACCGACTACTCCGACTACCATGGAGAAAAAAGTGGCGAGACGCTTCGTACTCTTCCAATGGACTATCCAATAATGTGTAATTGGTTCTCTATCATAGGATGTTCTACGGAAACTAACATTCATACACCGAGACAGATATCTTCCCGTTATGAACTGCGCTCAACGTCGGATCCCTAGGAGAAGTCTAGGTCCAGACATCTGGGGCAACCTTCGTGTTATCACGGCTGTTTCCCCTGATAATCTTGTGACTTCGAGGGTTTGCAGCTACCGGTATAAGTACCCCTGCGTTCAGGTGAGAAGACATACTTCAGTTCAGCATACAAGTGGAACTTCATTCACCTCATCGTCACCGTCATTGCCTTCTACTATGCCAGGTTCCGCCTCCAACTACCGCATCGAAGTGTACACTTCTGCGCGTGCAATCCCAGAGCTCGTGTGGCAAACCTTCCGTTCCAATCCGGGGACCTCCAACATCATGTTCCCCCATGCCGAAAAGTGTCGTGAGATCGAGGCGAGGGTTCACTCGCTGACTCCGGGGCAGTTCTGGATCGTCTGCATGACGAACCAAGGAGGTGGACATATATTTGTTGACTTCGTGCTAAGCTGCACCGAGGGACCCCTAGGGTCCTACCCGATATTCATCTTCACAACCATTCCTCATGGTCGACTTACGTCCGATCCTGCGGCTAGTCGGATTTCTTCTCTAGCGTATCATCTCTCTCTATCGGTTCCCACCAGACGCGTGTTTTCTGTCTTCGCCCCAGAGCCGGTCGCCCAGATCTTTGCATCCATTTGGACCGAGCATAATGGAATTCCGCTCGACCCTATCCAAGCTGAGTATTATGCTGCGAAGTTAATGTTCTGTGATCGTGGCACTTTACGCGAAGGAGTCACGTCTCCAGAACTGAGACGTGCAGTCGTCGGAGACATCCCCAAGGCTGCTCAGCTTTGCTATGAGTTCGCAGCGAAATCGGTAGGTTTCATATGTATTCTTCTTGGTTGAAACTAACTTGTTGTAAACAGACGCCATTCGTTCTTTCGCGCGATAAAGCTCATCAGGAGGCCACCATCTTGGTTCAGAACGGACAGCTTTGGGTGCACGAAATCACCATACCAGGAGAAGGGACAGATATAGCCTCCATCGTAGCAGTTACACGTACTAGTGAAACGGTTGCCGCCATCACCAAGGTCTATACCAATCCGACCTGGAGGTCGCGCGGATGTGCCGAACGTCTGACCCGCCGAGTCTGCGCCCAGTAAGTGTATATTTTCCTCGAACCGCGAAGTGAATAACTAAGTATGCTTCAAAGGTTGCTGGAGACGAAGCTTTATGTCGTTCTATATGTTGCTCACGACAACCCGGCCGCAGCTAGAGTGTATGAGAAAGTCGGATTCGTCAAATTTGACGAGCCGGGATCCGATGTTCCCGGGGCCGAACGTTGGTTAGAACTCGGATTCGACAGAAGGAGGGTAGATCTAGGGCACTGGTAGGGATTTTCTAAACAGCAAACCGCTCAAGATCGTTTTGACAGATTAACTCTAACATCACTATATCACCCTTCCTTGTACATCATGTCCGGCGGATTGTTCCACCCCCTTTCCATTCACTCAGCATTTGCAGGTTATGATGAGACAGCCCGTATGTGTCTGCAAAGATCGTTACGGTTATAGAGTCTACCACTAGAGTAGCTAGCTTATCGGTAGTGCTAATCGGTACGAACAGGTTAGCATCCAATGAAATTTATGTTATTTCACAATACCTTCCATGTCGGGAGTCCGATCATTGGCAAACATGTCCGATCGTTCAAATTTGAGGGCTCTTCCTTACAGGAACTTTAGAACCTGGAATTCATTTACAGTACTTACGGCATACACGCCATAGCGTTTGCAGGTCTCGGTCCGATGGATTTATTCTCTCAAATATCAGAAAGGGCGAACGGAGCCCGACGGTTGCAGAGATGATCAACCGAACTACTTACCCCGGCGATTGCGAGCCAACCTGTCAGCCTCAAACCCGCTCAGGTCCTGAGCCCGGCTTTATGCATGCATCTTGTTGACATGCAGCATGACTGCTTACCCCTCTACCTCCGGTCTGGGAATTGCGGTACCACAGGGATCCATGTCCGTCGTACGTCACATGCATAGCCAACCAGGAAATAAGCGCAACACTCCCCGTGCAGCGTTCTCTTGTCCTCCATCCAGAACAGGCTCCAGAACTTCTTCTCGCGACGGCGATCATATCGGATACCCCAATAACCTGACAGATCTACATGCAACTGCTATAGAAGACATCGGTTTGCAATCTTTCCGGAGAATGGAGGGCCTGCGTCTAGCTGCCGTTGGGGATGCCATGGTGGAATTCAACATTGGAGAATGTGGCGATGGATCAACTTCGAGGTTCCGAGAAGGTGGTCGTATCGCTGTCGACTCTACTATGACGCCTGGAGGCGGAACAGTTGTTCGACCCCGTCATCAGAACCTGTCGATGACCCCCGGTTTACTTCCCCCTTCTCACACAATTCTTAATATTGGGAGCACACCCACCAGGAACGCTGCCGAGCTCAGGGCATTATTGGGAAATTCAAATGCCCGCTTAAAGCCGAGAGCTGTGATGCTTCCATCCCCAGGGGAGCGTCCCGTCAAGAAGATTAAAGCTGTCGACGCAGTGTCGCTTGAACAAGCCAAACAACGGGCTCGCGTCGAGGTTGACGTTGTTCTCGAAAGTGATATGTGCGTGCAAGGTGGATTTGTCCGAGGACATATCAAAGTTCATGTCCGGAAACGGTCCAAGAAGGAGTCGCCCGTACTTCTCGCTGAGGGGAAGTTGCGCATCGTCGGGTTCGAGACAATACCGAATGAAGGAGACTACCACACATTCTATCAATGTGCATCTCCCTTTTCCGTCATCACGGATGCATCTCAGAGCTTGTACGTCTCTTCTCCGGACCTAGAAGGGTACGCGCAGGCTGTGGAAGGTGTTCATGTCTTACCTTTCGCCATGGAACTTCCGGTGAACAGTCCCTTTGGTTGTGCGAAGGGAGTTGTGAATATGCGCTCTGGCCTGACTGTGCGCTACGTCGCTATGGTGTAAGCGGACCCCAATTCCGTTTAATCCATTCTCATCTAATATCATGCGATCATTTCCAGGTCAATCAAGGTCAAGGACGCGGAAAGCGGTAGACGTTCTATTGCGCATTTCTATCGCAATTGTGAGGTTTGGCCTCTACTGGACCCCAAGGTGATTCTTGCAGCAGCTCCGCGACCACTCCAAGCTTCGACAGCGAAGAGTCTCTCCATGCTTGGCGGCGGTGGCAGTAATGACAAGGTGAAACTCACAGCGAACCTCCATCGGCTCCACTGGGTAGCCGGTCAACGTTGCTATGTGCGTGTTCTTGTAAACAATGGGAGCAAGAAGACTGTAAAGAGTCTAACGCTATGTTTAATTCGTACCACGACGATCTTCAAGCCCCGCCCCGGGTTGGATGCTGGCCACGAAAGTAGCGCGGATCCGGACGCCTGCCAAACTTCGACTACTCATAAGTTGATTACTGAGACAGTGTTGGAGATGGCTCAGCGTAGCGCGAGGGGACATGCTAGCGCGAAGGGTTGGTGGACAGGCGTCAGGCCTGGACAAGACTTGGAATTCGCTCATTTCATATTGCTCCCAGTGAGTATCTTCTACTGAGGTTGTCTGTTACTTATCACTGATCCTTGTACATCGCAGCCTAATGCGCTTTCTATTACTCGAGGACGACTATTGGAAGTCGAATATTCCATCCGCGTCACGCTCAGTGCAGGTTCTCTAACCTCCGACATCTTCGTAACCCTCCCAATCCGAATCATCAACTTCATGTCCATAGATCCTATTCCCAGCGCCGGACTGTTATCTCCCAATGGCGCATACTCTCGCACCGTCAAACATCTCTCGCCTCACCAACTGTCTGCGAATCAACCTTACAAATCCATGTCCGCCGACCCAACGTCCAAACACGTTCGACATCCCGCTTCTGACGACCGTAAGCTTCCTGCATCGTCTTCACACGGCAGGTCCAAAGTAGTGGATACACAGTCCTCTGCCTTGGCGTCTTCCGCATCTTCTGCATCCTCCGCATTGTTCGCCCCACCTCAACTCCAAATAACAAACCCAGACCCACGTTCGGACTCCTCGGACTCAGAAGGGACTCCCATCGCACATCGGATTCAACAAGCCCTCTCCGAAGTCAGCGTATACTCAACTGACACCAGTCTCGGAAGTGGTTTAAGCTCTACCTCAGCTTCCGCTTCTTCATTCAACTCTTACGCGAGCCAGGATCGCAGGTTGGGTAATATGTATTGTCCTTCAGGTATGGATGATGTAGATTCTGATGCGGAATTGGCGTATGTGATGGGCTCGGTTAAGTTGGAACAGAGGGAGGGGTGGAATGATTCGGAGTTTGATGTCAGGGATGAAGGTGGGAGTGCGAATGGGAATGAGAGTTTCGAAAATATCGAGAGCGATGAGGGATATTCGTCGATTAACACTTCAGATCTTTCAGGCTATTCCGACGCGAGTCAGGATGGGTCAAGAGGTATGGAAGGTGTAGGTCGCATCACGTTCGCTTCACGCGTCCAGGAGAAGATAACTGCTCGGGCTCAGAAGACACACGAGGCTATGGGGAGTCAACCCGAACCTTATCTGGACATGAACGAAGAAACTCCTCGCGCTGGGTATACTGCCCCGGTCACTAGGAGAAGACGCAACCATGACTTGCCTGTGGTTACTGGAACGCAACAGCAACAGCAGAAATCTAATCATCGAAGGATCCCGTCTTGTGTCCGTGGACCGAGGGACTCGCGGGTGCTTCCTCGACCTCCCATGTCTGACTTGGAGAGGAAGTCTACGGGTTCCCTCCCAAGTAACACTTCACTTTCGTCATCTGGGTCATATAGTCAAGAGCTCCCTCGTCCCCCTTCGATGGACGTCCACTCTCAAAACCGACCTGTCGAAGGGATGCAACAAGCTGGAGAATCGTCTATCTCTGTGAAGCACAAGGTCGCGGCTTTGGAACATAGAGTTAACACCGCGCGGGGAAGTGGAGATGCTTACGTTTAATACGCCGCTTCGTGGAGGATATGTGGATGGTGTTCTTGCACGTGTAGACCTAAACCCGTTTGGAAGTTTGTTAACGAATATGGACTTTCACCTACTATGCCTAGATCGGTTATGACGTTAGAGATTGTAGCATCTGTGATCTATCAGTATCATCGTGCATGCTTAATTTTATTCTGAGTGTAATGCTACACGTATTTAGTCTCTGGTAATACACGAGGTAGTCTCTATGCAGTTTTAGTACTGTAGATCGCACCAAACTGCCCCACATGTCTCCACATGAGAAGAGCTTCTTGGTATGGGACTAGCGGATTCGGGCACGCTGATCAGTTGATAACGACGCCGCCGTTGACATGAATGACTTGTCCGCTGTCAAACAAGCGTCAGCATACTGTATACCCATGCGCATACCACGAGCCATTGAACCTCACCTGATGTAGCTGGAGTCTGCGGACGTCAGGTATACAAACGTTGTGGCAACTTCGATCGGCTGTCCAGCACGACCCACAGGAACGCTGGTCCCGAACGTCTCGATAGACTCTTTAGTCATGGTTGCGGGACTGAAAAAATAATCATGAGTGGCGCATCCAGATCAAAAGTACGAATGAACGAACATACATCAGAGGGGTCCATATAGGTCCCGGTGCCACGGCATTACACCTTATACCCTTCTCACCAACGATCTGATTACTGAGGGCACGCATAAAACCAATCATAGCGCCTTTAGTCGACGTGTAGTCGATCAACTCAGGGTGACCAACGGCGAAATTGATCGAGGCGTTGAAGGTGACAGTAGAGCCCGGCTCCATGATCGGAATGACAGCCTAGAGATGAGGTACGAATGAAATCATGTGTTATACTCGCAAAAGATATGCATACTAACTTTGACAATGTAGAAGAATGAATGAATGTTGGTATCGAATGTGTCATGCCATTGCTTGGATGACAAAGTTGGAAGATCCGTGTTGGCGTTTTGTGTGCCATGGTTGAGGACCCTAGGCAAGGTGTCAATGCATGACAGGATTAACAGTAACTATCAATTACGTACAAGGCGTCCAATTTACCAAATACATTCATGTGCTCCTGGACCATCAGAATACAGTTCTCTTCTTGGCGAAGGTCATAGATGAGTTTGTGAACCTTGACTTTACTTGTCCTTTTCAAGATCTCCTGCTCAATGTCGTTGAGCTCATGCTGTTCCTTGTTAGTACCATGAATGGTGATATTTGCACCCTCGAGGGCTAGAAATAAACATCAGCTTTACATCATACGTTGCAAAAGAGGCGCACCAAACAAAAGTGCGATACTCCTACCAATACCGCTATCTGCACCGGTGATAAGAGCGGAACGACCCTCGAGTTTTCCTGCTGGTCTGTATGGCCTTCCGTCTGCGGTGATGTCGTCTAGCGGTTGAGGGTCAAGCTTGCGCTGAAGCCCAGGAGCGGAGGGCTGTTCCTGGAATGGCGGCTTATAACTCTTCTTGTATTGTTCGGGGATGGTCATTTTATATACACAGATCGGAGTATCAAGGAGGTAAAAGGAAAGAGTTTGTGACTTCGAGGATGCTATTGGCATATTTATATATGTTCGAGCGAGATACGGCTCCGACTGGTGGCGTGTGTGACGTCAAGGAAGGGGGATCCGTCAGAGGTCAGTGCCTCGAAAAAGCACAGATGTGAAAAACACTACATTATTTATATTTGAATTTTGTGACGCGTACCATCTTGTTTGTAACACGACAATGCGGGATGCAAAAGCGTTCGTCGCGTCCTCGTCATGGAGGTTCATGCAAGAGGCTAAGATAAAGTATATATGGCAATCCGCCTGCCATATTGGGCTATGGCGATAAGCGCTCCAAGAGTACTCCTGACATCAAACCACATTCTAGGGTTATCACGCTTCTTGCCGACAACATTCATCGCCCTCTTACAGTCAGTGCTCGCTCGCGTTCAAGTTCCATTTTTCACTTTTCGCGCTATTGTTTCATATTTCGCAGAGTCATCGTGTATTGGCCTTGCGCTGTGCATTTCAACCATTGGCATTGACAGGCCTCGTTATTACCAGGCATTTTCTCATTGACAGGATCCTTGGCAGGCTCCACGATACACGCTTTCCTCGCGAGGTCTGAATCCCTCTATTCATTTCCAAATCAGCATCTGGTTTTATAAATTTCAAGTCTCCCATCGATAGATCTGCTGCGCATCCCAATCATCACTCAGCCTCTGAGGCCGCTCACTGACATTGGCCGATTGTCCACTGCTTCCTCGAGGCTCGCGAATCTCTATACGCACTTCAGTTCATCCGATACCCACCACCTAAGCACTACATTGTTCTATCTGGCTCTTGTCCAAACTTTGACTGTCCCAAATCATGGCCCTGCTCGGCCTCCCTCCAATTCCGCCACAACTCAAGCCCTTGATCCCATACCTCCAACGAGCAGATGAACTCAAAGTACAGGATCCTATAATAGCCTACTGGTGTATGTCTCTGTCCTCTGTATTATAGCTTCACCGACCAGAACAGAGCATTTGCGTTGCTTTTCATTTCAGGCGCTTACCATGCAGCACAGATAGGAATCAGCCTCAAAGTGAAGGAACCCGCAGCTCGCCATTTCCTCTTTGAGCTCCTTGGTACCCTCGAACATATGAAGAAGGAGATTGGTCCCAATGATGCTATTGAGGAGGAGAGCGCGAGCAGCGCTTATGTCGAGAACTTCGCTTTGAAGGTATTCGCGATTGCTGACAATGAAGACCGTGCTGGAAGGGCGACGAGGTGCGTCTTTCTTCTTTGAGATTTTTCATCTTGGTCATTAATGATATTCTGCAGAGCAACTGCCAAGAAGTTCCTCGCAGCAGCCAACTTCCTCGAAGTCCTCTCCGTCTTTGGCCCCAGCTCCGGCACGTCCGTAGCCTCAGACAGTACTAACGCCGAGAAGATACTCTACGCCAAATGGAAAGCCGCAGACATTGCTAAAGCATATCGCGAGGGTAGGAAGCCTACACCAGGTCCGGCCAATGCAGTCGAAGAGCTCCCCCCTCCAGACGCCTTTGAACCAGTCGTCCCACTCACGCCTTCGACACCACCACCTTCAGTACCCTCCGGGACTTCAGGGTCACCGCCTTCGATTGTCCGGAGTACGCCGCCACCACCACATTTGACTAATATCCCTTCATCTGGCTTCAGTGGGAGTCCTCCACGCTCGGGTAACCATTTATTACCTGGTGGATTAACACATGTAGACCTGAAGAGTCCGGGAAGTTGGAGTACGATGGCTACGCCTGGTACTCCTGATAGGCGGTTTGAGGACGATATCCAGCCATCGAAAAGGACTGCTTTCGTGAGCGATGCAGATGAAGAGGAGGCACCTAGTGTTGCACCTCTGCCAACTGGAACGGGAGGCGTTTCTCCTACACTTTCCTCGAGGAGTATAGATACTACAGATACTGAGGGACGCAAAGTGCGGTTCTCGCCCTCGGTGACGGCTGGATTGTCTTCTGCTACGACTACGCCGTCCGTTGATGAGCCATTCAATGTGCGTGTCATTGTCAACCCGCCTGAGGCGAATGTACCGAGTGCACCATCTGCGCCTCCGACAGAAGCATTTCCATCCGGATTCATGCCAACATCGATTTATCCCAGTGCACCCTCTGCACCTCCTCCACCACATTCATATGCTCCACCGCCACCACCTTCACAACCTGCACACACATACGTTTCTCCCCCTCCACCCTCTCAACAACATTACGCTCCAGCTACAATCCCTAACGTCCCTCAACTTCCTCAACAAGCAACCGTGACGCCGGTTGAGTTGACTCCGCTTGTGATAGCGAAGACACAGAAACATTGTAGGTTTGCTATTTCAGCCCTGGATTATGAGGATGCGGAGACTGCGAGGAAAGAGTTGAGAGCTGCTTTGGCTTTGCTTGGCGGGTGAATACTAATAGTTCGGATGGTACTGTAAATGTTCATTGTAGGTTGGAGGATGTGTATGATGCTTGGCAGGCGCTTTGGATTGTACTTCGTTACCATACGTCTGCTCATGTTATTTCTTGGAATAGTCAATTTCTTGATACTGTCATTAATCTGGAACCCTGAGCTCGAATAGATCGTGTGCCTGAAGTCCAAATCACCAAAGTATTTCGATCGAGGCATATTCGCCCGTTATACCTCGGTGGTGAGGTGTTGTGTCGACCTCTCAGCGCTTCTCTTCCACGCTGTAGCTCTCCTTTCACTGTGACTTCGATTTGGACTGGGTCATTGTACAATTCTTGTACAATTTGGACTTGACTCCCATTCGGTTGCCCCAGCTCTATTCCGACTGAATACCTAGGCTGCGCACTCGCATGTATCGCTACACTCGCTTGACGTGACATACCACAACTCGCTTGTTCCGACTTCTAGTCGATCATTTTTACATCCTGTTTACGAGTTACAAGTAACGACAGTCTCTCGTTGTCAAGCTATTTCTTGTTCACCATTCTGCTATCTGCTAGTATATAGGCCTCCATGGCACCTAGACGTCTTGCGGTGTCTTTGAACCCGCTTTGGTATCATTATGTTGCTGCTGCGACGTTAGGATGCGCATTGCTTTTGGGTCTGTTTCGATATTATGTTATAGGTAATGCATTTGATATGTATGAATTTCAGTCATATTCTTACATGGATGCATATGTAGACCGTTTGGATCCCATACATTGTAATGCATTGTTGACTAAGGGCAGATGGTTAGACCATGCGTTCAAGAACTGGCAGCCGGAAGGTGAGTCTAACATGAAGCAAGGTTGCAGAAATCCTCATTGACCCTGCTTTGTAGGTTGTATGATGTACAACTATCAACCAAAAGACGTGGAGACATGCATAAACACGAAACCTATAGTCTTCATTGGAGACTCCGTCACGCGCCAACTCTTCTTCCAGACGGCACATGTCGTTGATAGTACTCTACCTTCTGCACCTCCCGATGATGAACACAAACACTCAGATCATCTCCTGACTGCAAAGTCAGGCATACAACTCTCTTTCCATTGGGATCCTTTCCTCAACACCTCTGACACTCAGAAGTACATTCATCCAAACGTCTATCAGGCGGGGGAACGACCGGCTTTGCTTGTCGTTGGATCCGGTTTGTGGTATCTTCGTTATCCGGATTCAGGTGGACTGCCTGCTTGGGAGTTGAAGATCGAGTCGACGTTGGATGCACTGTCGGATCCCGCAAATAGACCGGCAGACACGGTAGCTTTCCTGCCTGTCGAAGATGTCATACCAAGTAAACTCTCAAAGGATCGTGCAGAGTCTATGCGTAGCTCAGACATCGACGCCATGAACTCCGACCTCCTCCATCGTATCAGACCACCGCATATTAACGATCCGTTTGCATTTTTCGCCCCCGCTTCACAACGAGAATCCCCAATTGCGCTTCCCTTGGTCTTCAATTCGATGTTGGACCCGTCTCAGACAGACGATGGATTACATTTCTCCGATACAGTTGTGAAGATGCAGGCAAATGTGTTGTTGAATTTGCGATGCAACGACGTGCTGCCGAAAACATTCCCGATAGACAAGACTTGTTGTAGGAGCTACCCTTGGCCTTCACCGATACATTTACTTGTATTGGCGGCTGTGATTCTATGGGGTCCCGTCATTTGGTTCCTTCCTCGTAGACTTGGTAAGTTTGGTAATAACTCGCATTTGTTTATGTTCACTGACATATCGACGTGCCTTCAGGTGGAAACGCAAACATGCCCTGGGTAACCGAAGAGCAGATCCCTGCTCTTGTCATCAGTGGTTCCCTCGCCCTCATATATCTGGCCGACAGAACGGGTTTCTGGCTCAAGGAACAGAAGCAGTTCAGTCCTTGGTCTTTCGGGTTCCTTTGCTTCCTCAGTCTTGCTGTTGGCCTGCTCACTGTCAAGCGAGCAGACAACGACCTTGGATTCCTCAATCGGGATCAAACTGATGAATGGAAAGGTTGGATGCAGAGTACGTTGCATTCCCGCCCCTTGCTATATATTGAATGTTGAAGAAACCATTCTAGTCGCGATTTTGATCTATCACTATTTCGGGGCGTCGAAGATCTCAGGAATATATAACCCTATTCGTGTTCTGGTTGCCTCATATCTGTTCATGACAGGTTATGGACATACGACGTTCTACATCAAGAAGGCCGACTTTGGTTTTTTGCGTGTCGCGCACGTAAGTACTCTCACTTTGCACAGACAGTTTTCGATTGAACGATACCTCGTCCAGATCCTAGTCCGCCTCAATCTATATACACTGTTTCTTGCATATACCATGAACACGGATTACATCTCCTACTACTTTTCTCCACTGGTCTCAATGTGGTACCTCATCATCTACGGAACCATGTTTGCCGGATCGCAATACAACGACCGCACCGTCTTCCTTGTCGGCAAGATCTTGCTCTCCATGGCACTTGTCACTTGGTTCATGAAGGAACCTTGGCTTCTGGAGACGGTGTTTAGTTTCTTGGAACACCTATGCGGGATTCATTGGTCCGCACGCGAATGGTCTTTCCGCGCCAATCTTGATCTGTGGATCGTCTACTTTGGCATGTTCACAGCAATCGCCGTCATCAAGATTCGTGAATACCGACTGACGGACATTCCTCAATGGCCTCTCGTTGCGAAAGGTGGCATAGGACTGTCCGCTGTAGTCCTTTTATGGTATTTCGCGTTCGAACTTTCGCAACCGGACAAGTTCGTATACAACACCTGGCATCCGTACATCTCATTCCTCCCCGTTGGTGCCTTCGTGGTGTTGAGGAACGCCAATGGCGTCCTGCGTTCTGCTTCCTCCAAAGCATTCGCCTTCATCGGTAGATGTTCACTCGAAACTTTCATCATTCAATACCACCTTTGGTTGGCCGGAGATACCAAGGGCATTCTGTTAGTCATTCCTGGTACTCGCTGGCGTCCTCTCAATATGGTTTTGACCACGATCGTGTTTATTTACATCTCGCACCGTGTCGCAGAAGCCACAGGAGAGATCACGAAATGGATATGCGGTACGAAGAAACCACCCTCGCTCCCTACTGTCGCCGAAACGAGCAATCGTCAATCTGCGCCGTCGTCTCAGAATGAGGGTGCAGAGGTCATTTTCATGGCTCCAGAGGACGATTCGTCTAACCAGAAGGAAGAGGGGAGTGCGCCGTCACGAGAGCCTGACACGCCTGGACGTCCTGGCAGGAGATGGGTTGACCGACTAGCGGACGACTCTTCGTCTCAAACATCTTCACGCGCTGGGTTCAGGGTGTGGTATGGGGAGACGGAGTGGAATCCAGGAGTGGCGACAAAGCTTCTCATCGGATTCGCTACGCTTTGGCTAGTGAATATTGTGTGGCCCTATCCTTGAGCTTCAGTCCGTAACTTTGCTTTTCTATGGATGTCGCACGTTTCAGACTCATTGACAATTATATCTTTATACCCTTGCATATTGTATTCCGGATCATAACTATTGTACATAACATGATATTAGTTCTCAGAACTACACAAGGAACCCTGGAAGGAGTGAGCAATCAGTAAGGACGTTCTTGAGGGAAAGCACAGAAAGATCATTTGGTTGAAGACATTGTATTTTAAGAGTTGTGTCGTCACAGAGTTAACGACTCGGCTACATGATTCGAATCATATCAAAATGACCAAGAAGACACTCACAAATAGAGCGGGACGACGCAACAGCCCGAGCAACAAGCGAAACGAATGTATCTGAGAGAAAGATGTCAGTAAAAGAGAACATCATAAGAAGGTATAGGAAAGTCAGCATTAGCATGGTATGCTCTTCAACCCTCGTCCTTTAGACGAAGTCAGGGCTTGACTCAAGATATTTCATCCCTCGAAAAACATGAAAAGCAGGCTCACCTATGAAACACGATGGCAAGGAAGCCATGTTCTGGAGAGATATGTCAGCAAGTGCAAGCGACAAGCGATTTGAAAGCTCGGAAATTTGGGTATAATGATTGCAGTTCATTAGCCATAGGCTTCGAAGTAGCGATTCATTGTTGTCTCGTCACTGCAGAAGACCTGCAACAAAAGCTACTCACACTACATCCAGTCAACCATCGAGAAGAGGAGAGCACAAGAAAGAGGTGGCGACTGAAGCAAAAATTGACCGCTAAAAAGGGAATAATTCGGCACGTGGCCAAACCAGTTTAGGGCAGGTCAATGCACGCATTTGACAAGTGCCTGAATGGAACGGGCGCTGCAGCAGCTCATTACGACTGCCACACTCTCACCTACCCACCACATCCATCCTTTGTCCATGGCGAACGTTATAACCACCCATCACCCTCATTATGGTTTTCCTCCAACTCCTATTCACCACAAACCGCCGCCTCTCGGTTTTGGTTTTGGAATGTCATCTACACCATCAATGTCAAGTTGGCCATCGACACCCGTGCATCACCCCCAGTCGCAATGGCCCTTATCCGCCGTAGTGAATCAAGCGACGCATATCAGAAGCTCAAAGAGGCGGTTTGAGGCTGATGAAGACTCGGAGGAGGGTGGAAGACATGCCAAAGATGTTGCGATGGACAGGAGCCCTACGCCGGAGCGGCCTAAACGCGGGGCTCCCAAACGTGCGCGAACCACGCCTGTTGTAGTCACCGTCTCAAAGGACGAAAGGAACGAGAAAGACAAGGCTGCAAACGATTCTCATGATGTTGATGTTGGTTTGTTACTTGGTACGTATTGCTATAGTTCGCGATATATAAGCTGAAATCAACATTATATCTTACAGCCAGTCTACCCCAAGAATCATTGCTACCCCTTCTCACTTCTCTTCTCACGCGTCAGCCATCACTCAAGTCCACTGTGTTGTCTTTGATGCCTCGACCTAATCTGGCCACCGCTACACAAGCCATTGCTAATGCATCAAGAAAGCTTCTGGACGCGTATCCATACTCAAATGCCGCAAATTTGGGGTCGTCCTTCGGCGGTGGTAGCTTTGGCAGTAGTCGGCCTGGTTCCTTTGGGAATACCTCTGGTTTCGGGATTGGACGAACTTCACCGTCGTCTTTTGGTCATCACCCACAGACGACCGGTATGCGCGATGAGTATATCATCTCTCGCTTGAGACCCCACATCGCCGAGTTCATATCCGCATGCTCGTCATACTTACCCTACTTCTCGTACATCGGAGCGTTATCAACTCTGACCACCAATACCTCCGGCCAAGGACAGACTGCTCGGTCTGATGCTTCAACACTACAGTCACTTCATAAAGACAAATCTCACCCAGCTGAGACGTTCCTTTTTCTACAAGCTGTCATGAACCAAATACTGTCTCAGCCACCTCTCACTCGCTCTGAACTGCTGCCAGCAGTTCTTCCTCGCTTAACGGAGGAGTGGGACGCTTGGATCACGAGGGTGGACGAAGTTGTAAATAAGGAGGGCGGGATGTTCGGTGAGGAGGCAGTTAGAGGGTGGGAAAGAGGTCTAGACGAGTTTGCTCATGCAAAGGGCGATGGCTTAGAGGTGATGCGGAGAATCCGGCATCGTTGGGTTTCTAAAGTCGGCTGGCTTGTTGGTCGGCAGTTAATGATGGAGGAGGAAGTTTAGATTGGCTGTCAGCGACAGCGTTATAATCCGAACCACTGTAACATGACATGATAACGCTTTTGACGAGCTCGCTACATTCCCAGGTATCCTGCATTACACTTTCTTCATTCACTTGCATGGTCCACCACACATTCATTCATGTTCTTTTCCCTTCTCATGCTCACGCCCGTAGTTACTTCTTATCAGCATCTGTACCTTCGTTGCATAATAGTCGCATGAATCAAGGATACCATTTGTAAACCTTCATTCTAAGGCGGTTGCCATATTGGGAATGTCACTCGGTTACGCACGTGGCTGCGAACTTTGCAGTGAGTTTTGCCTCAGTGACGAGGCACAGATCTCTCTCTAGGCCCGAAAATTCATCGCCCTCGCACCGGCCCTCGAATACTGCCCATGCATGCTCAGTCATGCATCTCGTGTCGCGACCTCCCACCCCAGTCCATTCTTTACCATCTTGCAATCGGCCGCTGGTCGTGCTTGGAACAGGACAAGACCACAGCGCGTTCTACGTTACAGTACGGTGCAGACAAAGAATGTCGGTAACCCTGGCGAGTCTTCAAAGGCACCAGCTATAAAGATTGGTCGTGGCTCGCGGTGAGTTGTACTGTCCACACAATGATATGGCACGACTCATAATTGTAGAAGATATTCACAAAGCCTGTCGGCTCAGACGTCCGAAGAACATACTGTTCAACAGTGCTTTCCGCAAACCTCTGTCAATGCGTTTGATCTCTTGGAGGATGGTGATGCCAACCAATCTTCTCACTATGCCTACACTTCGCGCTCGCCATTACACCGTCTCCAAGACGACTCAAGAATCCGTGACCATCCACCTCATGAGGAGGTACCTCCAGCGTGGCACCCACATTTATCCCGAGACACACCATCGTCATCGTCTTCAGCTACCACAACGACACAAGATGATGACCCGCCGGGATCATCAGACGCGTCGATTCCCAAACTATTGCAGGTCCAGCCTATAGATGGCCAAGGGTTGCTGCCTCGTACACCACAAGATCTCTACGAAGGTCTTTTGCGGCTCCTTCAAAGCGATCCTCCGCCCCCGTTACCTAGTCTCATACGATACCACGCGACATACAGGTCGCTTCAATCGACCCAATCCTATAATTTGCTAATATCACTCTCGATTTTCCATGCCAGTTTTGGTACGGCTCGAAAGCTGCTCAATCGAATGGAGTTCCAGAACATCGAACCTGACTTGGAGACGAGGAAATTGCGAGTACGGTTGCTAGTGCGAACTGGCAATTGGAGTCGAGCATGGCGATTAGAGACTTCCACAATGCACAACACGGAGTTTCCTTTACCTTTCCCTGTTTGGGCCGAATTCTTCGGGACAACCAAACGAGGCACCCTTCGTCGGCTAAGAACATTGGCTCTGCCCAGTGGCGAGACTGTTTCCAATTTGGTGCCCGTTTCACCGGCGGAAACGGAGAATCCTCACACAAATGTACACCTGAGACGATTCCGTATTCTTATGGAACATCTTCCGAACGACCAACTATATCGAGTCGATGACGTTCCGGCTCGTTTTATACGTACTATCGTGGACGCAGCTCTGAGTCTCGACCAGCCGGAGTACGCTAGAAAACTCACTGAGCACTACTTTCGGAACCTACCTCGTGAATTGGATGATGCATGGCTCGATGTCTGTCTCGAGATAATCCACCTCCACATGGTTCGCGTTAAGAAGCGTGGCCTCCCCAATTACTATACCTCGATGAGGATATTGTACAACTATTTGGCTTTGCATCCTCAATTCCGCCCTACCTCGAAAACTCTTTTCCTTCTCCTCCGACCACTCCGAGCGACGAAGAACGGCGGTTCTTTCGGCCAACGCGTTGTCAATTCGTTCAAGGCACGTTGGGGCCCCGACGTAATTGATGACAGCGTTACCAGACGAGTCGCTTCGTTCGCGGTGAAGGAGGGTAGATTGGACATCGCACAAGCCGCGTTGGCAGAAGAACCATTGCCTGGGCATACTGGTCGGACATCCTTGGCTGACTCAGACGCGAGAACCTCGTCGGAGGTCGGGGCCTCTCGGACAATACAAGGTCGATGGCATAGATCGATTTACTCTAGGAGGAATGTAGAGAGATGGAGATGGAGATTACTTCGGCGACAAGTTTGGCGTTTGGCAAGAAAGAAGCTCTCGGTCAAACAATCTATGTAGTATGTCGGGACTTGGTGGGAGGTCCTGCACATATTGTACGAACCAACGAACACGCTGAGCATTCAACTTTTCTCATTCCATACGTCGCATTCCAGTCCCGACCGTCTTGTGCAATGATTCTACACGTAAAATGAAACCGGACACTCGGAGTTCAACGTTCAGGCTGAGAACGAAAAAGTCGGATGTTGAACAACGGGATGGTTGTGAAACTTTGAAGTATCATTCGATTGAATGCCTCTTCGATGATGCGCTCAGGCATGTATCGTCAGTTGCTTACAAGATTTAGCCTTTGACAGACCTAGATTCTCAAGATTATGTCTGCATAAGTACCTGTCACTGACCCAAAGAACGCTGTAACTGACGCAATGTTCCTAACCGCCGCCGGTAAATTGCATGAATGCAGTTAGAGTCGCATTTGTCTGTCGATCAAGACAGCAACTGGCCTGAGGATCCGCGAGTAAGTGAGGACGGACTCTGCTTCCCTCGACGCCGAAGCCTGCCGTTGTCAAGGACAAGCCAGCCAACAGACGTAACTGTTTAGATCATTATACTCCCGGTGGGCGATTCTTTTTTGGTTAACGATTGCGCAGAGCCATGCGTGGTCCAGACCTTCCGCCATAAACCGCGCTACGCATTGATCGTCGGGGTAGGGCAGGCAACTAGCCACAAATCTGACATTTGTGGAGGTTGTTTTACTCATGAACTGTCTTATAATGTTGCCTGACCTTACTTACGCCGATTGCCTTAACAGGATAGTGGGTCTCAGCGACCACAATTTATTCTAGTTTAAACGAGTGGCTCCTCAATTTGATCGGTAACAAGGACCCTACACCCTGTAACGTGCACGCTGACTCGATGACAGTTCCACGTTGAATGCACGAGCAGGGCGTTCACCGGCGCGCCTGACACCATCTACATACGCAAAGACCGTAAAGAATAGTGCGCGCATGACTCACCCGCCTGCCGGGATAATACTAGACAGCTATGTTCTTTGGCGCGAGCGCTCAGGTATCTATGATAAATGAACCTTTCACTATTTCAGTCTGACTCCGGGATGCAGTTGCCACAATACTCAAGTTCCAAAGCTTGACCACTTGCATTTGCCTAGTTTCCAATATATTTGGATGGCTTGCAGCATGATGAAGCCCACCCTCGGAGTTATCGCTTCGCGTCCGTTCTATCTCTTTGGTTTTCCTCGGTGCCTCTACGTCTAACATTGATGTTCTATGTCACAGGTCTGAATAATTCGATAATCTTACCCGATGACGGTAGTCATGTTCGGATTGACAAATCGGGTTGAATTCTATGCTTTTATGCTAAAGTGTACTAACCTTTTTCCATCCGAAATCCACCGCCAATCCTCGCGCCTCTGTCGTACGGTTATTGGGGTATTTGCACACCGTATTTTCTGTGGGGTGTGCCCGAGCTCACCGAGTGTGGAGTCCTTTAGTCTGGATCCTAGGAGGTCGATTGGATAAACTCTTGAACTCGCTGCATCCTGCTGGTTTGTCGTCTGTCAAAGCATGGGGTTATGTTTTTTTTTACGGTTCCTTCTATCCTGATGCTTCCTGATTTTTCTGACACGTCGTAAAGCTACTAATTATGTCGCGTTTGTTTAAAGATTCTCTGCGATGATGGTGCAGCCCAACTCACATTTCTCCTCGTTGCAATGGCTCAGAAGTTCCCTTCTCCTAAACCCGAACAGATTGTAGCTATCTCCTGCACGGTCGTTGGTGTCGGTCCGGGGGGGAGTACATCTATGTTAGCGTATGTATCAATTCACCGTCTCCTCCTTATACTTCTCATTGTGTCTGACACGAGTACATAGCCGTGTAGCCGTGGTGGACTATAGAGGACACACGTTGTTATGCTCATATGTTCGTCCCACTATGCCAGTCACTGATCATCGTACATCGACTACGGGTATACAACCCGAGCATCTGACAAATGGTGGTTCTATCAGATTTCATCTCCGCAACTCCCATTCACCCTGAGTCACAGATAATATACCGTCCTTCGAGGCGGTACAGGAACAAGTCGCAGGATTTATCAGAGGCAAAGTACTGGTAGGCCATAGCCTATGGCTAGATCTGTCCGGTACGTTCTCTGGACAAGTGTCTTGAAGCGCTTGTCTCCGGAGGAAATGCTCAATGCTGATTGGGTTGTCAATGCTTAACTTAGTGCTCGGCATCCGACATCCCGCCGTTGCCACACGCGATGTAGCATTGTATCAACCTTTTCGCAACGCTCTACGTTCCCCAAGACAAGTTGTCGGTCTTCAGACTCTTATGTGGCATCTCATGCGTCGGCGATGTCAAGAGGACCACCAATGCGCAGTGAGTGTATTTTTGCGCAACTTCTTACGCCGCCGCATGTGGTCACCATATTTCGGCTACTTAATTGACCCTCTCGATTGTGTAGCTGGAAAATGCCCGTGCTGCCATGGACTTGTATCGTTCACATGCGGCAGAGTGGGAAGACCTCATTTCGAAAGGACAATGGCCTTGCGACTTACCTCCTGACACTTTCTCCGGCTGTTTCTTGTGAGCCCCTTCTTGGCACCCCCTTGTTTCATTACCACTTGGGGGCGCATAGGGTCGGAATTTGACCCTCGTAGTCCTCAATGTGGACAAAGTCAGTTTTCTTGGACACAACTTCTTATCCCACCTTTACGCCTACCCGACACCGCCAAGACATTAATTCTTGTATGTATACGCACCCCGTTCTTGAACACCAGTATGGCTCCAGAATAATCCCCCAGTATACTCAAGTTCTGTATCAACATGTACATACTAGTACTATGCCACGTTATAGATCTTGTAATAATGCCTACAACTCGAGTACCAGGTTCAGCGAAGCCTGAGACGTGAGATGTCTGTATTGAGCGAACTTCCTCGTTTGCTCCGCAGAAGCGATCCATATCCGGAGCCCTTGAGCTTGAGTCCTTACGAGATGCATGGTGGCCGAGATCGTATAAGCAGGGTAAACTTTAATCGTCATCTCCGACGAGGTACAACGGGCTACCCCAGGGAAAGATGCGGTGCATCAGGTGCATATGTGACTTGAAGCGCTTACTTTGAAACTCCCGGCAATATGAAAGCTCGTCGTCGATATCCTGGTATCCACCTGCTCGAGGCAGTCGTTAAGATTCTAGACCACATCCACATAACCTCACCACGTCATACCATTTAATCATCCGCTATCTTTCGTAGTATGTGACGTATGAGAGGAAGGCGTTTTCTCTGCGAAACGGATTGAATGTTAGGCCTATAAGAAAAGGGAAAATACAGGATAGTTAGCTTCATTTTCTTCGATGACAGTTCGATGGAGTTTTACAACACAACTCGGAGTGGGAATAACGTAAACCCACATTTGACGTGGAGAGATCCTCCTTGCATCTGATGCTCCTCTATTTTGTTCCAGCGTAGCACTGTTGGCGAAAATAGCTTCTTATTCACTCATCATAACGTACTTTATCTGGTGAGTGACTACGTGGTGGGCCTATTTCGGGGACGATGGACTAGGCCTTCAACGTTCAGAACGCGCCTCGCTTGTCTCTCGGAGCTAAAATATCATAAGTAGCGTGGGACACTCACAGTCATTCGGGCTTACCAGAAACTACCACGTATACAGGACACCTCGTGTTAAGGTCTCGAATAGTTCCGGCTGCATGTCTGCGCAAAAACATTAGGTCAATATGCAAGCAAGGTTTGCCAAGTAAAGTAGTTCAGAGACAGACCTAAGAAACTTGTGCATTGGTTATTACGCAAACACTGTCGCTGACTCTCCGACCAGCATGGAACTCTCTCGCATGGTAGACACGGACATGACGATCAAGCCCCTGGCATGTCAGCGCCGCAATGCGTGCGCTCATGTATCGCAAGCGTTGCATCTGCACTTTTTTTTTTCCTTCCTGACAAATACTTTCGGATAAACATAGAATGAACCTTGTGAGGGCTGCGGATAAAGTATCCATCGTACTAAAAGTTTCAGATTGGCAATACCTGTCTGTGGGAGTGCGTCATGACACAATGAATGGACGAGTTCCAGCGTTCTGGACACATGTACCATGCGTTATCATTATGTTTGAGGGGACCAATTCCTCATTGATTGGCCTGAGTTCAATTCACGGCTCTAGCAATCGTAACCAGTTCACATAAGTATTTTCCATATCGGATACGTGAGTCCGTAATATTATATCAGGTCACACACCGCAGAATTCGGTTTTATGGAATTGGCATTGTGCATGTGAGTAATCTACACACCACGGATGAGTCTACGAGAAGCAGAATAGAACAGAATATTGCTGAAGTTATGGATGGCGTTACTGAACGCTTTCCCACGCTGTCATATCCCCAGGTAAGTAAGTGATGTTCAGCGCTTGTTTCATTTTTCGACTGCTCTAGTAAGGCACTCATGAATACTTGGCTCGCTTCTACTTTGACTAGCACCAAAACATCTGGAAATGACAAGCAGAATCTTCTAGATCCCCGTTCTTCCGCCGTTAAACAGGGCCCCCTTGATGGTGGCATTGAAGGTGATGATCGGCCGTCTTTGGACCGTGCCTTAACAGCTGCTCTACCCACACCTCATGATGTTATTTTGTCCCAACTTCGGGGATCTAAGGAAGCCTCAGAGAATGCAGCTGTGGTTTCTGATGAGAATCAACGGTCATTTCCACCAAGGTCGTCAACAACACCCAATGTTGGACCTTTGGAACATCCAGACCTGGCGCCTGGAGACGGAGTAACCACTGGAAGGCGTTCAAGCGCACCTACTCCATTACCAGCAACTCTACCCGAAAGGGATGCGTTGTACGATCCTTTCACTGGGGCGCCTACTGGTGTTGTCTTCGCTCAGCCAGCCGATAGACAACAGCATGAGGGGAAGAAGAGTAGTGAGGAGTTCAACCAGGCGAAGGACGACTTGTGGGGTCATCTGGGCCGTATTAGAGAGCTCCAGGGCGAGATTGCCGGTATGCACGTTCAAATGGAGGGTCTTGGTTTGAACGATGGCGGCCGAGGAAATTCCAAAAGACCCGCTGGAGTACCAGCCCGCATGGCGTCAGATACCATAGGTGTTGACGAATGGGTGGACACGGGGGACGATGACAAGTCCACTAAGACCGCCAGGGATGCTGAATTTTCAAACCTCTCGGAAACGTTCGAAGGTAGACGTGCCGCGATAGACGGCATTATGAATAAGGTATGACCCTACCTCGTCTGTGGGAATTGTTGCGGTGTCTTACGCAATGCTGTTGTAGCTTGATGAACTTTCCAAAGCACTCACAACCTTCCATGCACTCCCTACACCGGTCGTTGACTTCTCAGCTCCAGCATCTGGAAACAGTGCACGTGGATCTCATTCCATGTCTCCGGTACTCCAAAGCCCTTCCCCTCTTTTCAGCAACCCCAATTCACCTTCGCCGACTTCATCCCCGGTTTCACCTGTTCCCGAGCACCCAAGAATGTCAACCCTCTTGCGGACTGGTGTAGCAAAGACTAACTTTGCTTCTCAGGCACTATCTGACAGCCCCACGTCAAATAAGGCACCTTGACCTGGTATCGCATTATCTCCTTCATATTTGTACTCACAACATAAGGGTGCACCTCCTTGCCGATTCGAGGTCCGTCGGAATATGGAAAGACTGTTCAATGAGACTATGATTGCTACTCCATTCGATATCATATACAGGGTTCTCGGCATTTAATCGTATATCCAGACGTCTACTCTCTCTCCCAACTCTTGTAATGGGTATAGAAGCGTCTTTCGAAGACTTCCAGCTCCTTCGTTATCTTCTCTCTCCATGGCGTGTTCATGGCTTGCTTAAACTCCTCGCTGTGTTGTCCGTCAAAGTGCGCATATTCGGACACCAGAAGATACTTCGGTGGGGCCTTCTCACCCTTCTGAACCCCCGTTCCAGTCCTCGCCCAATCCTTCAGTACAAATCTTCTGCTCCTCAGCCACCCTGGAATTTTCGATAACAATGGAATATGTTCTTCGTCATAGAACCTATTGTATTCCTCCTCCGCCTCCGGCTTTACGTCGACCAAGATGAAAGCAACGTAAGGTGCAGAAGTCTTCTCATGGAAGGACGGCGAGGGAGGATGAATGGGAGCACCTTGGTACAGCTCATATATGCGCCTGTCAAGGAGCTTGAGCTTCGATAAGATATCTTTCTCCCTCTCACTACGTGTCTCGGCGAGAGTGGTGTAAGGAGGGTTCTGAGTATCCTCGAATGATGTGAGGTCGTATATGGCGGCCCACGGAGGGGTTTGGTCATTGAATGCCTTCAAGCGTTTCCAACTCTTGAATGCCGGTATATCGATTCGCAAAGGCACATGTTCGCTGTCGTACCAGTCCTGGAATTCGGATTCTGATACTTTATCTCCTGGGTCTGAGAATACAAGGAGGAGTGCTGGAGGGGCCATGCTGCTATCAAATACTACAGCCCCAGTGTCTTAGGGCAAGCTTCGTTCTCTACTCACACAGAGTATTTATACCCATTTCCACGACGATGTTGTCATTCTTAGCCGTGGACCTCGTGAATGATGCATCAGTCAGCCATAGTCTTTTCTTGAACTTTGCGTGGTATGTTGGGAATCCGCATTATAGGAACACGTCATGCAGATGAGACATGCATTTCAAGAATGCTCGAGCTTAAAAAAGGACAAATATGTGGCATCCATTGAGTGTATATGCAAGTAAAAAATGGTTGGCCGGAGCCAAAGTCCGATGGTATACGATACATGGTATACAAATTGGCGAATTGAAACGAATGCAAGAGCAGCGTCACAGACACCGTGAATCAGATGTCCGTATAGAATCGAATGTCCAAGTCTATGAATGATACGGAAGCAATGCGGGTGCCCCGCCAGGCCGTGATTCATTATATACTTGTATTTGATGAGACAGTTGTGTATCCTGAAATTGTTCGGTCAATCACAAGAGCGCATCAGTGAGTTACGAATACATACCGGTTCTACCAAGCCAAGCGCAAGTCAGACATAAATACACGAGCTAAGAGAAGAAAAAAGACTCACCCTTTACAGTGATTGTTGGAGGAGGTGGGAATGCAAGAAAGGTAACGACACCACGAACACGCTGATTCTACTATGAGAGATCTGACTGAGTGATCATGAAAAGAAATACGCACCAGCATATGGATCAGATGTATAGAAGTTGCGGATGAGTACGACAAAGAGGACTACCGCTAGTGGAATAGCGGCAAGTCTCAATACCCAGACGATAATACGATGCCTCTTTGTCGCGCTGATGATTGGGTAGAGAACCATCCCAACGAGTAACCCCATAAGGAAACCTCCGATGTGGGCTGCAAGAAGTGTGAGCACGAGGGTTGTTAATATCGAAGTAATAAGTAGTCACCGAAGTTGTCCACATCTGCATAGGACCATGTGAGTACTTAATGAACTGAAGAACTCATGGGACGTACATGGAATGAACCCGATGGCGATACCGATCAACAATTCGATGATCATGAAGACAAGCTAAAATCCATTATTAATGCCGTCATGGTTACTATGCATGTGAGGGTTTCGTTCACCTTCCGCGCAGGTCTGTACTGGTATTTCCAATGCGCAAACAGATCGACCCATGCGACCTGCAGGTTGGGTGCATCAGTAACCGTCACTGACTAGGTCCGCAGCGGAAGACGTACCGCAACGGTACCAAAGATTGCACCGCTTGCACCCACAGACGGAACTCCTACGAGTGTGAAGTTTCCACCAAGTACATTACTTGGAAAAAGGCGTGAAACGACGAATCCGGAAAGTTCGGTCATATTCACTCACCCAAAGATACCAGCTGCAAGATACAATATCAGAAATCCTGCGGAACCCATCTCCCTCTCAACCTAGGCAGACATTCAGAACAATTTTTTTGCATAATGGTACAGAAAGCTTACTTGTGCAGATACTGTCAATTGAGCAAGCATGTTGAGCAAAAAATGTATGATGCCGGCATGGAGGAAAACAGCCGTTATGAATCTGCAACACACGATTCAGGATCAGCCAACTACTACAACCGAATCGGCGCACCTGTACCACTGGTTGGGATCTTTATCATGGAAACCACCAAAACCGCACACGTCCTCTAATGAGCAAAGTCGGTCTGGCGGGTTGGCCGTATTATTGAGACCTGCACAACTAAATTAGCCATGCATACGGAGTATGGTGCTCTGCGGACGCACATCCAAACTGCGTATCAAGGCTAAGACCTTGCACGATCTTCATACATGGGGGATAACGAGCGCCGGCAAAGATTAGGGCACTTTGTGAGGGTCCCAGCATTGGATTCACAACGGGCTATCATACTCTTGTTTAGCGAAAAGTAGACGTGAAAGGGAGCGAAAACCAACCTTAAACGACACAGGACTGCCTTGACTTTTCGCATTAAGAACAAGCTCGTATATGAAGACACCCAGCATTGCAATTGACAGGGCCCATACTACACACGACCACGTTCAGTTAACAATAATCGAGTCACAGTGTGATAATATACACACCTACTATGGGGTACCTTTGCCGGGTGATACCTCGCTTTTTATCATCGATTCTTTGCGCCAGTGATACTGGACGGAACCCTAATGATTTGGCCAGAACGGAAGGCTTGTCGGTCAGTGGCTGGGCGCGCGCTGCGTCATATGGCTCAGAATAGTCTGAAGATTGAGCTTTGAGTTGAAAAACGCGTCATACTGTCGTAAGTAGATTAAGGCTCACCCATATCCTGGTACTTTGGGTCTGTACCTGGATACGACTCCTGCTTCTCTACAAGGTTATACTCGGAAGGACCACCATAGTGATTGTAGTTGTATCCAGCGTCTGGGTACTTTGGGTCATAGCCCGGAAACATCCCGCCATCCGAACTGTCATTGTGAATCAATCCTGTTTGCGATTCGGAGCGAGCATGGCCAGATGGCTTTATAGATTCAGGATCGAAAGGTTGGTCTTCAGGAGCATGAACCTGAGGGGTGGCAGGAGTATGAGGCGTAGTCATAAGTTGAGAACTATGGTGAAAGTTATAGACAGGAGATGATGGGTATACGGAAGAAGAAAGGTGAGCTATTATGACGACCATCCATGCTCTGTCCGCCTGTGTCGGGTGGCAGTGTTCATTCTGCAAGCCGTTGCCGTATTCGGTAGTCAATGCTTCCATGTCACCGCCAAGCCCTCAAGCACTTGCTCCCGCAGTGCGCAGTCTCACGGCAAACGATGTGGATGATAAACTCGACCGTCAACTCGCACAATGATCAGGACGATTCTGTATAGTTTGGTTATGCCACTGTTGTACACCTATCTCTCCACCATGAAATTTGATATTCAATCTAGCTTCCAATCCTAGTCAAACTGAGTTCAGTCGATGGACAGCCCTTCGCTTTCCCTCCACCTTTCCATCAACGTGTTGCTCGGCAATCCGAAGGGGTCAACAACCTTACGTGCTACCTCCACACCAGCCACAGGAAGGTTGGTAGGGTCTAGAAGACCAAGCTAAGGAGGGCCAGACCGTATGAGTGAATCATCCCAATGGCCGTCGATCAATTTGCGGTGCATACCTGTACAAGGACAGATGCCTGGTCCCAATATCTAAGAAGTGTCAACTTTGTTTGACAACGGAAGGACACGGGGATATAGATGCTTACATGTGTCTATAGAGTTGTTGGCCTTGTTAACGTAACGTTGGAAACGACATGCGTGAACCTGGATACTCACTCAAACGTCAACTTATCCCCTCGGAAGGCTACAACCCCAACAACGGCTATCTCCAATGGCTTACCAGTGGGCTTGATGCCAGGCAAGAAGTAATCGTTCTCCTACCAACAAGTACAATGATCACCGCGCTCCCTATCGACTTCTCACAGGACATACCGTTGTGTGCGTACACTTGAAGATCATCTCATCTATAACCCTGTCCGCGCCGACTGTAAAAGGCGAGTCAACCATCAAGACCACAGTTTCAAATTGTGGACACAATACCAGTGCGTGACACTGTGATAAGCTCTGTATCGGGAGGCGTAACCTTGTGCAAAATGTAAATTGATTGTTCTGACGATTCTAAATGAGTGTTAAGAACATCCGTACATTCTCACCCGTGAAGTGGTACTGAAATCGAAGAACTTAGCTCAGAATTTGATTCGTCTTCAACGTACATACCTTGTAGAAGCGGGCAAGGTGTTCGTATCCGACCCCACCAGTCATCGTTGCTATATGATTTACATACGGCGTGGCGACCTGTCCCCACAAGCGTCAGGAAAACAGTGAAGCAACTATATAGTCGATTACCATCGTAGACATAGTTTCTGGAAACAGGACGGGTGGGTCAGAACAATTCAATGAAATGACTAGTGACCTACTCGGAGCATCTCGTTCAACGAATTCCTGATAATGTTATGGCGGTCAGTTTCTTTTTAACACTACTCAAGGTGCTGTTTCCTTACATAGTACGTGTGCCTCTCCCAAAGCCTCTCAAAATCATAATGAGGTCCTAAAGCCCTCTTCAATAGCTCAAGGGTCCGAGTATACGAGACGCCAGTGGCAGATCGAATGTAAGGATCGGCAGACGACTTCTCTCCAGCAGTAACCAGGGCAGGTGCTTTCATGAGAAATGGGAAAGGAGGATTAGCCGGAACTTTTGGATAGCTGTGAACTGTTATCGGGTGATAAGCCGATGTAGGCAGTGTATATCCAAGAGCGGTTGGGTCAGATAGTATTGCAAGAGAGGCTTGAAAGTTTTCCTGTGAGGAAGAAAGATGGAAGATTGACCTATACCATTAGATGGAGTGAGTTTGAGGCAAACGTAAGGAGTGACGGGGCTGCGTACGGAATATATAGACCACTTGTATAACGCAACAAGGCCTCTTGACCGTCAACCAAATTAGGGCAGAAGTGAATGCAAGCCTTCAGATCCTGTAACGCCTTAGGGCTCAGTGCTGCAACGATGGAAGGCAAGTCACCGGACTGCAGTCCATAGGCGATCAAGCCCCAATCGGTGTCATGCTCAGCAAGAACATGAAGAGCCTCCTTGACATTCTTTGCGAGATCCACTGTCGGGGAGAATGGTTTATATGCTACATGTATGACATTATAGCCTTCTTCTGAGAACTTTGTGTCGCGATGAGGATTCCCTGAGTCGAAGAAAGAGAAGATGAACTTACTTGCTGACACCACCCTTTCTGATTTTCATCTATAAAGATGAGAAGGCTTGGAGGCTTGAATACCGACGCTACAGTGTTCTTGTACAAATAAACCATGTCGTTTTCTTTGGATTGTGATAAATGCTAGAGTGGTTCGACCCTAGGTTTGATGAATGGCACGGTGGATAGTAGCTGATAGGGCATTCGATTGAGGTGTAGGGGTCTTTATTACGATCACAAACTGTTTCACAAGCTCCCTTAATGGGGAGACAAGAGTCCCATGCTCGCAAAGATGGGTTTCGTCGGTTTTACCCAAAAGTGATTCAGGCGAGTGTAAGTACTCAGCCGAGCGGTGAACTAGGAGTTCAATGTGGGCGATCTGAGGCGATCGATCGACTGGTCATGGACGATACGCGTCTCAGCGAGAATGCTGTCATCCTTTCCGAGGAGTTACATATAGAAAAAAACGAATTCTAATCTACACCAACCTCTAGTGGTAGATTGTCCGCGCCATAGCCTGCGAGCTATAATAAAACCGTGAATGCATTACGAGGGTATGAAAGGAACGGATTGCAAAGTGTAACGATGATGGTGAGAAATGGAAATAAGTCCAGGATCCAGAGCAGCAAAAACGTTGCCCCTTTTAATCATCAAGAGTAGGATCCACATCGTCTCCGCCCATGCTCGCCCGCCCTCTGCTCCGGTTAGAGGACTTTCGCGTGAGCGATGTGAGATGAATCGTGTGCCCAGGCTTCTCCGCATCACCATCCAGTGTGTCAGCATCGCCAGGATTAATAGACGAATATGGTGGCGGTGGAGCCTTCTCGTCCTCATCTTCATGCTCATCCTCAAAGTGAGGTCGGAACCATCGAGCAGCAGATCTTGACCCGTCAACCCATCGTAATGTGCCTGCGCTGAAATCTCGGAGTTTACGACTGTTCATCCTCCAGGCCAAAGAACCTCTGCTGCCAAAGCTCGCCTGGCTTGCGCTTCGCCTAATGTCTGAACTCGGCAAGCTTCTCCGTTTCTCCTCTATAGCTGATCGCTTTCCGGGTATCGCTCCAAGGTATCGTGGATCAGATGGGAGAAGGAGAGGAAGCATATATCGTGAATCTAGTAGTTCGCCCAACGCATCAGGGGGCTTGGCAGGTTCCCATGTAGACTTCTCTTGATTACGGTCGAAAAGCATATCGATATTCCGCTGCGCTGCGGCAATCTCGGGTGGTGGCGAAGGCGCAGTAATCGAAGGTGGCGATCCCTGCCCGCTGGGAACCGGTGAAATCGTACCTTCTCGTTCGCGGTCTCGTTCTCCAATCTAAGAGTAGAGGGTTAGACAAAACCAAAGATCCTGACCTATCAACTTGCCTCTTTCCGTAGAGCCTCAACACCAACTTTTACTCTATGTCTCTCCCAGTCTTTTTGTAGCTGCGCCAGATACTGAATGCATTCTTCAGTCATTCGGCCTTCATTGACTTCGTACTTGTAATCCCGAACTGCACGACGCATCTGCCAAACCGGTCAGAAAGAGACTACGAACTACAATAAGTACCATGTCGTACCTGCAAAGGATTCAGATTTCTCATCGTCTGGATTGTCGCAATGAGATTGGGGAACTCGGTGATTGAGGACAGACACTGAAAATAAATCAGCGCTCAGATACGAATTCGACAGTCCTACGAAAGTGTTTACCTGCAGCCAGTTCAACAAGTCCCGAACCGGTGCAAAGTGTGCGCCTACTCCCCGAGGCAAACCCATCTTTCCGATCCACTCTTCCAGAACACTCAGGTTCATGTTGATCTGAAGAGCTCTTGACCTATGAGGGGCATATGAACTTTATAGGACGTATACACGCAAACGAGTATGAAGCACGAACCGACAGATATACTTCTTTCTCGTCAGAATACGATTGAAAGTTTCACCTAGAGTCGAGACTGTTTCAGAAACGACATGTTCATAAAAATGGGAATTGCGTACAGGCTGTCCAGTACATTACTTGTGACCAGAATTGCGTTGTAATGGCAGGGTTGATATCGGAAAGAGCAAGAAGGGTCTGCAAAGCAGTCATAAACGAGGTAATATCCTTAGGCGATGGCGGTGCTGGCGTGTCGTCAAAGAATGACTGCAATGGAGTCGAAATCGATGGTCGATGTCCGCGGGCGAACGTCTGTCTTAAAGATGCAAAACTATTCCCTAAGGCGCTCGGCGGAGGTGAAGGTGGTCGACTAGAAGCACGAGGTGGCGAGGACGGTGCAACGCTCTTGTTTGAGGCGCTGGGAGGGATCGGGCCAGGACTGACTGCTTTCTTCTTACCTGCGCCGAAGGTACGTAGAAACGACCACTCGGATTCAAATTGTATTGATTCAAACTCGGTGGAAAGCGGCGAGTAGTCCAATAGAGCAGCATCCAGCAACGTGTCGATTTTCCGCTCAGCGATCCGTATGATAAAAACTGCAAAGTCAACCTTCAGTGCCCCAATTTATCTTGTTCGGCTGGTATCACATTACCAAAGACAGAATTCAGAACCTCCTCGATAAGGGTGTATGAGTCGAGTGCTTCGCACGTTTCCCGGATATCGTCATCGCATTTCATTAGGTGCAACCAAACAGTGAGGTTATATAGCCAAAACACAAGTGTCGGCAAGTCCTCCGCACGATTCTAACTGTAATCAGCGACAGCTGTAATTTACTTCAGTTCATGATTAGGACTCACAAAGAACGTATCTTCAATCGTATCCGTAGCGCCTATGATGAGGTCCTCCACCCAGTTGTCATCGCAGTTAAGGATCGCGAAGCGAGCTAACATGTATAACGCGTTCGCAGGCTCGCAATTCCGCAAGGATGGTCGAAAATCCGTAATGAGAGACTGAAATATATCAGGCAATGCATCAGGAGAGAATACGAGCATTGAGGTGTAGTCCGGTGGGGGTGTCTGGAGATAATCAGCACATGGGAGGTTAAGTTAAGGATACTGAACCAATACCAGAGCGTCTTCAACACCAGTATAATCTTCTTCCTCGTCGTCAGAGAGGTCGGACCCGAAATAGTCAGGTTCCGTTTGACCCCACCATCTTGGGTCAACGTTGAGAGCTTTCTCTATGCCTTCTTGCATGTCTCGCCGCTTCCCAATACGATGTTGTCGCTTCTCTGTTAGCTTCCGTCGCGCTTCCATTCTACCACCGGTCCATCCTTGACTACGCATAGATTCTTCAAGCAGTAACGCGACATCTTCCCTTCCAGGAAGCGTCGAATTCCCAGTGACAATGTCGAGAGCGGTAAGTTTGCGACGTGTAAGAGCGAACGGTGAGCAGCCATGGGTCAACAAATGCGATACCAATGTAGGAGGAGCCAACAATGCAGCGTGGTGCAACGATATCCATCCAGCTGTAGGCTGATCGTCAGCAGGTTAAGGTACTTGGAAAGTTTAAATAAAGATGCACCGTAATCGGGAAGGTTTACATCGGCTCCCTCGGATATGAGTAGCCTAACGCATTCTTCCCTTTCTACCTCTCTCTCGCTTTCCGAACCGAATCCTAGGATCGTAGTGCTAATGAGGCCCATGCCATCTTCGTCTTGCCTGCCCAGATCGACATAACCTTGAGCATGGGGGTCATGAAGTAGGTATGACAACAGCGTAATGTCGCCAAAGACACAACCACGAATCAGACAGTGAGAGACCAGCTCTTCCTTCTGAGCTGGTGAAAGTCCAACGTTTGGCGACAACAAGTGTGACACTTGAGATGGTGTCGGATACAGGGGTTGCAAGTCAGGTTCGACTGTCAGGTCAATTGGATGAAGGCTTGACGAGGGATCCATTTGCTCCGGAACGACGCCGTCAAGTTGTAGTCTACGCGTTGATCAAGAGTTGGTAAATGTCAAGGTCTACACATCTAGAAAATGTCGTATATGTAAGTCAGAGTAAGACTGGAATGGTTCAGTCTAAAGTGAGCGGTGTGGGGTATCTGGGCGGCAGTTGCTACTCTTCCATTCGCGGCGGCACGCATACACCATGCACGCTACGCATTATTTATCATCTCGTAAAAGTCCATCTGGTTCATGCTAGAGTGTACGTAGAATACATGGAGTGGGGATTATCAGAAGTATAAGTACAATAAGCAGAAACAGGACTACTTTTAAGCTATTGCTTGCTGTTGTCATCCTCAGGATCGTCGAGCTCAGCAAAAGAGCTCTCGCTACTGGGAATAGCGATCGCTGCGTCTGGTGGATGATTATCGCGAATTTCCAATGATTGGCCGTCTGCGCTTGCACGGATAGTAACGACATCACCATCCCTGTCATGCCTGTCAGCGGCCATTCCAAGAGTATATTAGTCTTCCGAACCTACCTAATGGTCCCGTTCAAAAGCTTCCGAGCGAGAGGGAAGAGCACTTTAGTCCTGACCACACGAGCGATAGCTCGAGCACCATAAACTTCTGAGTAGCCTTTTTGCATAAGCCATTCACGTGCCGCCGCGTCCACGTCCAGAGTGATGCGACGGTGCTGCAGTCGATCAGCAACATCATTCAGGCGGAGATTCACTACTTGAAGAATGGATTCTTTGGAGAGTTTGTTGAAGACAATCATCGAATCCAGACGGTTCAGAAGCTCCGGAGGGAAGTACTCAGTAGTCCGTTCGAGCACTTCGTCCCGTGCTGCCGCAGTTACTATTCCATTGCTGTCGGTCGCATTACTTTGGGCTAGAATATCACTTCCCAGATTACTTGTCAGGCAGATGATGGTGTTCTAGAGTTTGTCATCATTAGCTTGGGCAAAAACTAGATAGTCATGACTTCATACCTTGAAATCCACCTTACGACCTAGCAAAGATGTGATGAATGTAGCAATCGAAGACGACGAAACAACTTAAAATACCTTGCGAATCAGTTAGTGTTCCCTCGTCCAGAATCTGCAAGAGTATCATCGCAACGTCCTGTATCACCAAATCGATTTATTCACATTCATAAGGCACAGTGTCGAAAACCAACCTTGTGTGCTTTCTCCAACTCATCGAGCAGGATGATAGCTGCAGCCAAATCTCAGTAGGCAGCCAACATAAAGAGCCGAAGGATCATACCGTATGGTTTACGACGAACAGCTTCGGTAAGCTGACCTACAGGAATTTGTGAGCTTCGACGGATGCTTTACAGATATTTCGAAACTCGTACCTCCTTCCTCAAAGCCTACGTATCCTGGAGCTGCGCCGATTAATCGTGACATCGTGTGTCGATCATGGTATTCCGACATATTGATGTTAATTCTGTAAACAGAGTCAGTGTTGTCACTTCGTATGATTTGCATGACGGACGTACAGTCCTTTGTGCTCATCATTAAAGAGGAAACCAGCTAGCGCTTTGCAAAGTTCGGTCTGACCAGTCGGATGTGAGTTAAGAAACACGGCATGAAATGATTCCGCATACCTTGCCAACACCAGTGGGACCCAAGAAGAGGAAAGAGGCGACTGGACGATTGGGTACTTGCAAACCCGCACGAGACAGTCGAACGGCATCACTGACGGCCGCAACTACGTGGTCTTGACCCACAACGCGTTGACGCAACGAGTCCTCCATCTGATTAGGAATGAGTACATGCTCACGACGACATGTTTCGAGCAACCTACATGAACCAACTTATCCCGTTCTCCCTTCAAGAGGTTCTGTACTGGGATCCCAGTGGCTTTCGCGACAACCCGAGCTATATCGTTAGAACTGACGCGATCATGCAACATTGACAATGGTGATTCTGCCTCCTCTGTAACTTCCTCCTCTTTGGGTAGTTGTCGTTCCAGGTCCGGGATTATAGAATAGCGAAGCTGAGATGCACGGTCAAGCTGGCCATGTCGGAGTGCGACTTCCAACTCGTACTTGGCGTTCTCTAAGCGTTGTTTCAAGTCCTTCGCTCGCTCAAGTCGGGCACGCTCTGGGAATAATTCCGTCAGGGCAGGTCAAACAACATTATGATATGCACCGCCTTACCGGATTGCCAGATCGCAGTAAGCTGTTCCGCTTCCTCTCGCTTCTGAGTGAGATCTTGCTCGACTTTGGATCTTCGCTCTATGCTGAAAACATCCGACTCGTTCTTCAAGCTTTCGAGCTCGATTTGCAGAGTCATTATGTCGCGCTCGAGTGATTCCAATTCGTCGGGTTTCGACTCCTGGGCCAGACGCAGTGCAGATGCTGCTTCATCAACCAAGTCAATAGCTTTGTCTGGTAGGTAACGGTCTGAGATGTATCTTGCACTGTATACAGCAGCTAGACATAACGGGTCAGCTCAACCGGTTACCATGAATTATGAAGAATTACCTGTCACTAATGCGCCGTCAGCGATCTCCACACCATGGTGTACTTCGTATCGAGGTTTAAGTCCTCGAAGGATAGAGATAGTGGAGGAAACGCTTGGCTCTTCAATAGTGACAGGCTGGAACCGTCGCTCCAAGGCAGCATCCTTGCCGATGGTTTTCCGGTACTCCTCAGCTAGTCATGAGCTTGTGAGTCAATAGATGGCATCAACAATATAACTGTTACTTACGCGTCGTTGCACCTACGAGTTGAAGTCCACGAGCAAGGGCTGGCTTGATCATCTGCCCGGCATCGATACTACCTTCCGCCTTTCCTAGTTGGAAGAGCGTATCTGAGAGGAAATGAGCATAGTATCAGAGATAGAAAACCAGAAGTACTTACGAAGTTCGTCAATAAAGCAAATCACATTCCCTGCCTACGAGCAACTTGAATGAGACCCAAATGAGAAGAAGATGCATAAACCAACCTCGTCTTCGATGTCTCGCAGTAAAGCCTTAAACTTCTCTTCAAAAGCGCCGCGAATTCCCGAACCTGCCATAATGGCTGACAAGTCGAGGGAAAGCACTCTTTTATTGTGGAGTGACTACACAGAAGTGTCAAGAAATTAGTTATATGAGTGTGAAAGAGTCCATCACACGTACCTCCGGAACCTCCTTGGCCACAATCCGGCTTGCGAGACCTTCCAGAATGGCCGTCTTACCAACACCGGGTGGGCCTATCAACTGTGTCATCCAATGAATTGAGGCATACAATAAATTCGAGAAACACAGGGGACTTACAACAGGATTTGACTTCGTGCGCCTCGATAGAACTAGACAGAACATAATGAGTGACAGAGGATAGCCGTATTCCCACCTGACTTACTCTGAATTGTCCTGCGGATTTCTGAGGACGTATAAATACCGGACATATACATATAGAACAGACAAACACACCCTCATCTCTTCCAATAGTCGGATCCAACTTGCCTTCCCTTGCAAGCTCGGTAAGATCGACGCTCTGTGAAGGATGTCAGTCGGGGAATCATGGCTTTCATGTATGATTGTACGAAACGAATTAAGCACTCACGAATTCCTTCAGAGCATCCCCTTTCTGACGTTGCGGTTGCATGGAAAACCCAGGGAACCCACCACCCGCACCTCCGGGTGGTTGTGCATAGTTACGCACAGTGATTTTAGGCAAGCCATACCTATTCAGAAAAGATTGAGCTGCAGGTGGAGTTGCTCTCCGAAGCAAACAGCCCAGAGAACGTGAGCTGTTATTCCTTCGAGCTAATGCAAGGGAAAGAGCATATGTTTCTCCTTCAAACCTCCGCAACATGTTCGTGAAGTAATATAGTCTGTGCAGAGACTACGGCTGTGACCAGCACTAAAGATGAACAAATACAGGAGAAAGGGGCATGACGGAATGCCCTTCGGAACCTTATGAGCGCAACCCTGAACATGTTCCAGAACAACCTGGCAGTCCATGGTGGCGGTCCGATGTTTCCGGAACCGATCTAAGCGCTTATGATCGCTTCTCTTCCTCCAACCAAGATGCCGCCTGCAAAACGTCAAAAGCTCTCTCCTCCAAATGAGTCCGATGTCTCTGAGCACGAAGTCATCGATGCATCAGTAGCCAGCGACGCAGAAGGTTCTGCAAGTATTGCCTCTGGTAGTGGAAATTCTTCTCCAGACACCGAGGATGAGATCGAGGCCTCCAAATTCACAAAGTCAAAGAAGACGTTGAAGCGGAAACATCGAGCGACAGACGCAACGCGTTTTGGTTCTACACTTCAATTCCTGTTGAACACAGATGCTCCTTCTACGTTACCTTTGTCGTTAAAACCGTCTGTTAACCGGAAACGCATCGACGAGAAGCTCGAGCTAAAAGGAAAGAAGATATTGCAGGTGGAGAAGAAGGAGAAGGAAGAGAAGAGCCGAATAAGAGACGTTATTGGAGGATGGGGAGGTGAGGGCGAGAGGGCATTGCGCAAGGTTGCGCAGAGGGGAGGTATGTCGGCTTAGTATTTTACTTGAGATGACCACACTGACGAATTGAATGCGCTAGTTGTCAAACTGTTCAACGTGATACAGCAGTCTCAGGCACAGACAAATGCGGCCGAGGAGGGTCTCAAAGCGCAGCGAGGGACAGGAAAGCCTACGCTTCCTGCGCCCGAGATTGACGGCAAGTTGAAGAAAAAAGGAAAGCAGAAGGGTGCCCTTGGCGGTGCTAGGGAAGGTAAGACATTGTTCTCTATTTGCTTCGTCCGCTTCTAATGTCCGTTCTTGTGTAGCTGCTCTGGGTCAGAACGATTTCCTGAATAGCATCAAGTCTGGGGGCATTGTCTCTAAAGTCTGATGGCACCGCACTGGGATCATGGGACTTGCATACACCTGCGCGCGGCCTCAGCATGGCTGCGTACTCCTTATTAGTTTGACAGCGAGTGCCACTGGGCACGTCGATATTAATATACCATGAGACAGACCGGGGGTATGGAATACCGAATAGATATCGCTATCCTTATTGAGGTCCAATTGCGGTCTTACCGTGGTCTTACACTCGCCCCATACATGGCTTTAACGCAAGCATGGAAGCGTACAATTGAGAGGAACTGGGCATTTTCAATTTGAATATCTTGATCGAATACAGTAGGGTTGCCGTGCACCTAACCCTAAGCCTGCGTGAGTAGTTGCTGACGCGCCGGACTTGCCCTAAACACAGGGTCTGACATAAAAATTCGCGCTCTTTGACCGCAACCTTATGGTCAGTTTCTGCCCCAACCTTTGCCTCTGAGCAACATCGTACTAACTTTTGCAAAATGCAATAGCCTCCGTCAAACAAGAGTCATATTCGCAAGGAGGAGTGGGAACGGCGACTTCATGATGTCCACATATCCAGAAAGTGAGTGACTCGATCTTTACTCGTTGCCGCCCTTGTGTTCGCGTTAGGATGATAAAAACAAATGGGAATCTCTCTGAACTCCTTGATGAGTCCAAAAATTTGCATGTATTAACTGAACTCCCATTCGCATTCAACGTTTTGTGTTGCTTTGAACGTTTTTACTGACATCCGTCTTTCTAGTGACTTGAATCGCCTGGTGATGGACTATCTCGTCATCGAGGGGTACAAGACTGCTGCGGAAGAATTCAGTCGGGAGGCAGACCTTTCGCCTAGTGTCGACCTTGAGAGCATAGAGAGCCGTATGAATATTCGTGAAGCGTTACAAAGAGGTGACGTTGCGGAGGCGATTACGAGGGTCAACGATCTGAATCCTGAGGTATGTATCATGTTTTTTTTTTCTATTTGCTCGTCGCTTTATGCGGCTAGAGGATTAAAACTTTTCATGCACCACTCTCAGACCTCTCGGGGTCGGTGATGAGACTCAAACACCAAAACTTCAGTCTTCAATATGATTTTCTTGTGCTTCGTTTAACACATGTCCTGCAAGATGCTAATACATTTACTGCTAGATCCTGGATATGAACCCGGCTCTCTATTTCCGTCTGCAACAACAAAAGCTTATCGAATTCATTAGGCAAGGCAGAATTCAGGAAGCTCTGGAATTCGCTCAGGAAGAGCTCGCACCTCGAGGTGAGGAGAATCCAGAGTTCCTCTCGGAGCTCGAGAAGACAATGGCCTTGCTTGCTTTCGAGTCGTCTCCTCTGGCCCCGCCCGCGATTGCCGAGCTTTTATCGCCGGGTCAACGGCTGAAGACGGCGAGTGCGGTGAATGCAGCGATCTTGGAAAGCTTGAGTCAAGCAAAGGAGGCCAAGCTGGTTGGCATGTTGAAGCTCATGTCTTGGGGTGCGTCAATGCTTGAGGAGAAGGCCGACTTCCCAAAGGTGTGTTGTTATCTTACGTGGTTGCATTCCATATTGATTGTTCCATGTTAGCTTGATGTGATTGAAGGCACATTCAATTGAACGGGCTTAATTTGTATCTGTATTCACTATGGACTATTTATTCTTCTGGAATTGTGGTCACGTTCTGTCTCGTGTTCCTCATGTATTATACGTGTGCACCCTGATACCAATCGCTAGTGCCCTGGGATGAAAAGCGCATTGCGAGATAGGAAGCTCATGTGCCGGACTCTGTAGTTGACCATGGAGGAATGCACGCATAGATTGCCGCGAAGAGAAGAGGAAACTAGCTTCTAGATCGGAGATGAAGCTTGATGAAGCCCTGGGGGACTGAGACTGGGTCGCTGGCGTCTGTTGCCGTGGCCGGCGACGGATGTGATTCGGTGGTTACACGCGCCGAGCGCCTACACGTCTTAGGTAAGCCGCTGGCAGATGCTTCCGTCGTCGAGAGTAGAGTGGCCGACGCCGACAGTCTGTCCCAGCTTGGTCTGTCCCTCCAGCTCCCTCCCTCTTAGCCGGCACACGCGACCATCCTCGTGCTCACTGTCCCCCTTGTTTCTGCACTCGAGTCGCCGAGCTCCTCTCTCGTCCTATCACTCATTGTCTCCAGCGTTCTCTCCTGCTCTCTTCATTCCGCACTATGTCGGACGATCTACGAGCAGCAGGACTTAGAGGGCCACGAAGGAACAAACCTCGCATACTCCTCGTTAGCAATCCTACAGAGAGCAGCAGCGAAGATGAGAGAAGTCCAGCATCAATCTCCTTTCCCTACACACATCAGGCATCACACTCGAGCACCTCCCAACCATACGTGCCACCGCAGGCACCGCCTGCCAACACTAGAGTTCCTCCTCCTCCTTTGACTACTGATCTGTCGGGGCATAGGACTTTCTATCCTTCATCACGATCAAACCCCTCAAATCCCGCCCTTTCATCGCCCTCCAGCACAAGTTCCCATGCCCGCGAATCTACTCCACCACCAACTACCCCCGGTCAGAGTCAACCATCTGTTGATCTTACATCTGAAGGCACTTTCAGGTCAGACCATACCATTGTGCCCATCCACGAGAGATCAGATTCTCTCCCCAACCATGCTCGTGCTGCCGCTCAGTACGATAGACCGAAACCACAATCGTCTCGCCCGAGCCATATCCATCATGCCTCTTCTAGGCCTGCTACTGTATGTAGTGGTACTATGTGTTAATCTCTCGTACACTGACATGATATCTCAGTCGCCCACTCTCTCAACGCCGGACTCTTCCACAGCTGGCGGCCAATTTCGCAGCACTTCTAATCCCTCAGTCAACATATTGGTCACTTCTGACGCTGATACTATGATAAGGGTAGATATCACAGGCTTTCGAGATGCTGCATTTATTCGAGAGAAAATCTTCGCTAGAGTAAGTCGAAACGGACATGACTTCATCATCATCTTTTTTCTTACTTTATTTCAGTTGCAAGTTTCTGATGAAGATCAACCTCGACACTCTATATACCGCACTGAAATTGGCCAATTTGCAATTGGTGAAGCCCTTACTGACGACCAGCTATTCGAGCTCTGTCGCGATCAAGGTGACGCGACTGGTACCATAAAGCTTCTGGTTTCACCTTCGCATGCATTTGTTCACGAACCAGCTATGGAACCAGTAGTGACTTCGCCTATTGTCAACACTATTGTTCCACCCGTGCTTCCGCAGCACGGTTTATATCCACCGCTTCGACCGAAACGGAAAGCTAACTCCAGACGGGGTAGCTTTTCCTCCGCGGCAAGCGAAAGGCTTCCACCTGAAGTCAACACTGGCTACGAAGCATCGGTGTCGGATGACCTTGACCATGATCGGGAGCCGCGCAGATCAACAATCAGACCGTTACCGCAACATACGGGGCCACCGCCTCGACCGCGATCTCCTGTGTATTCCAGGCGTCCCCAGTCACCCTGCAACACCTTCTCCCCCGATCGCCCTCAGATGCACAGCCCTGAGGCTCAGAGTGCTCGTTCTGACAGAACGCATCGCAACGCACTACCTACCCCGCCGGCTTTGTCCAGTTCTCCGCAAGCTTCACGTTTCCAAGATCCGTCGCACTCTCCCGGCTGGCAGAATCGTTCTGTTGCGGACGCATCTGCAGTACTACCAGATAAGTCCGAAATAGTCGATCAGCAGCAGTGGCGGATATTCCAAGAGCGCGATGTCAACCACAAAGAAAAGGAAGAGCGCGATCGCACTCGTCGCAGGGAGATACAGGCCCGTCGGGACGGGGGTTTGCGACGCGCGAAGGCTCATCACGAACCTGACAGCGAACATCGACGTCGTGAAGGATGGACTGTTGTTCCGCGCAATGTTCCTCCAAGTGACTATAAGAAAGAGCGCCCGACAACCCCTCAGGAATCCCGTCAAACTGGGTCTTCTCGCACTCATACGTCGCCTCAGCCATACCCGCTCACTATCCCTCCAATCCCTCCGCAACCGCGCATGGATCCTCCCGCTCCTCCTGTGACTTCACTTGAAGGTCGTTCACGGAACAAACGTCCTACGAATGTGGTCCCTCCGGGTTGGGCTCGAGGTTATAACCCTGACGGTCCTGGAAAGCTCGAGAAGACACCTTTGCAGACAAGTCCTCCGCCATGGAATCGTATGTTGGCAAAGAGCATGAATGATCTTCGAGGCGCTTTCAATAAACAGGGTCCCCAGGTACCACCAAGCTTGCAGCCTGGACGCAGTAGGGCTACTCCGACCCAACTTCCCTTGTCAAGACCGGCGACTGGTGGTAGTACACCATCAAACAATGTATCGACCGTTCAGTTTGCGGCATCAGAGGTTACCTCACCTTATAGGGAACCAACATCGTTTTCTGAGATCGGTCTTCCTAAATCATATGAAGGTCCTCGAGGCGGTACACATTCACCAATCACTACATACAACAATGTTCGACAAGCAAATCCCTCAGCTGCGACTGGTTACTTGGGACTCGCATCCTCCGGTCAAGATCCTTTTCCTCGTCCTCGTTCGGCTCTAGGTGTCGATCCGTCTGGTTCGCCTTACAGGCCTTCTCGACATCTCCAATCACCTAGCGGTCCTGACTTCCCCACTGATTCCGTGGCTCGCTCTCCTCCACTTCCTCCGCCACATTATTATCCTGCGAGCATAACATCGGTTCCCTCAGGTTCTCATCAGGAGGATAGTGGTTATTCGAGTCATATGCAAACCTCGAGCTTTGGATCTAGACCTCCTCCCCATGGCCAGTCTCATTCTGAAGGTCCGGGCGGAATTGAGCATGCACCTCACCACACTCCGCATCCTGGAATACGCGCCCTTCCCATCCCTGCTCCTCCGGCTCCCCGAAGTCCGATCGCCACAATGACACCTTCGGCGGACTCTCGAGATGCTGAACGCAGAACCACTGAGCAGGCCCCAATTACGCGGACAATCTCGACCTCTTGGCCTGTACGAGAGGATGAGTGTTCTGAGAACACCGTGCGACGTGAGGACCACAATCGTTATCTGAACGCACTCACAGAACAAGCTGGCTCGAGTACTGCTCTACCTAACAGGAACAGGACGGTAACACCTCCGCAGCACTCAACACAGACTCAGTCCTCCGGTTCTGTTCAGAGCAACACATCGACTCTGGTACCTACTTCTTCGGCGGCAGGTAGTGGATCTACTCTAGTCGATTTTCCCGCGCAGAGCGATCAAGATTCTGATGGTGATGGTACACTCTGGATAGTTAAGCCCAAGATATCAGGCAACGGTAACCAACCTCCGTGGCAAGATTCGATTCCTCCGCCTCCGCCTCTCAAGTCCTCAGAGAATCATCGACCAGTCCTTGCTCCTATCAGCACAGACAATTCTCCATCGTCAAATAATACTGCTTTGCCTGAACCTTCCTACCGCGAATATCCTAGAGGGACGCCTTCTAACTTCCCTGCTCCACCGAACTATATACCCGATCCACCTCGTATGGCTAGAAAGCAGGCCACGGTACCAGGCACTAGCAAACGACTACAGGATCAGCGCACAAGTAGGTTCGATAATAATTTCGACTACACTTGGGCACCCCGTCCTCCCGTGGAAGAGGTCGTAGAGCGTCTCCAAGAATACTTCCCTGAACACGATGTCGACAAACCGGTCATTGAAGCTTCTTCCGGTGGTGCTTCGCCTACTTCAGCTGAACATCCGACACTGATGCCTCAGCCCGGTAAACGTTTTGGACACAAGAAGTCGATTCGATATGTTGCTGCTGAACACAAGAGGCGTGTCGATCGATCATCTCGTATGGAGCCCGCCAATGTCCAAACTTCACTCAGGAAACGTAACACGAAGTTATGGGGCAGTAGGGTTGAGGAGGTCACTTCGGACCAGGCTAGGGATGACATGCCTTCCATGACCTCCGAAACTTCCCCTGGCGGCGCGAAACGTAAGTATTTATCACGTATGCTCTACGTGAGCTCTTGTTTAAATAATTGTCACATTTCTAGCTATCTTCCGATGGGTCCGTGGCGAACTGATTGGAAAGGGTACCTATGGCAAGGTATATCTGGCACTCAATGCCACAACCGGCGAGATGATTGCCGTGAAGCAGGTAGAAATCCCACGGACCGATAGCGACAAAAATGACTCTCGTCAAGTCACCGTCGTTGAAGCGTTGAAACTAGAAAGTGAGACGCTGAAGGATCTTGACCATCCCAATATCGTGCAATATCTTGGTTTCGAGGAAACTCCCACTTTCCTCAGCATGTATGTTCTGCGCTTTCGTTTTAATCATTGCCAGCTAATTTTTCGTCTGTAGTTTCTTGGAGTACGTGCCTGGTGGCTCAATCGCTAGTTGTCTACGCAAGCATGGCAAATTCGATGAGGAAGTGACGAAGTCATTCACCGGTCAAATCCTGGCGGGTTTGGAATATCTCCATTCTAAAGGCATCTTGCATAGAGTGAGGCACTCGACCACAACTGGAGGGCCAGGTTGCTAACTGATTGTTTTCATAGGATTTGAAAGCGGATAATATCCTTGTCGAGACGTCTGGTATCTGCAAGATATCAGATTTTGGCATCTCGAAACGCACTGACGATATCAACATGGCTGGTATTCACACGTCAATGCAAGGGACCGTCTTTTGGATGGCGCCCGAAGTCATCAATTCACAGAAGGGAGGTTATAATTCAAAAATCGATATCTGGAGTGTAGGATGTGTCGTCTTCGAGATGTGGACAGGTCAGCGGCCGTGGAGCGGTCAAGAAGCCATGGCCGTCTTGCTCCAGGTGAGTTACCTTCTTTATTCATTCATTTGGGCCAGCTGACCAACTCCATCTAGCTCTATCAAACACGACAAGGACCACCTGTCCCACCCAATGCTCACCTTTCACCTCTTGCGGATGATTTTCGACAGAAATGCTTCGCTATGTGAGTCATCCGGATTGCAAAGTGTTGTGTCCTACTGACCAGTCTCCAGGGATCCGGATGAACGTCCGACCGCTGCTGAGCTACAGAAACATCCATACCTAGTGCTCCAGCCGGACTGGACCTTCAATGGCTTCAAGTAGATCCGAAATACACCAGTTATCCACAATCTATTGTTGTACCATTTACGACCTTCATCGTTTGTTATGAACGTTATGCTCCATGTCATTGTGCACTTCTAGTCGATATCCGCATTCTTCCATATCCACCATTGCATTCTCCTACACCCCTACATCGCTGTAGCCCTGCTTCACATTTTAATCATGTTTTCGTTTCGTTTCGTGTTCTTTCTTTCTGGATTCTCCCTTCATGTCGTAGTTCAGTCGTACCTGCATAGCTATGAGATATACATGCTCGATCACACATTACTGGTCCAGCAAATGTGTTTATTTCGAATGAGTGTATGACGTCAGTTTACACGAACACTTCGGCTTCCAACTTGATGGACTCGGTAGTTGTGTCAGTATCCACGGCTGTGCACCCGAGCTCGCGAAAATGCTCATTAATACTGCTGCTTTCACCATACCTTGAATGGGCCCCTCTCATCATCTTCACCTTGTCCAGGAAGCACTACATAAGCCAACACAAGATGAGCAGTTGGATCTATTGACCCGAGAGAATGCTGCAATAAAGATACAACGAGCGTGGAGAGCAAAGAAACATGCTGGATACTTGCATCCTGACTTTCTGTGGTCTGACCTGACTACCCATGCACGACTGCAGGTACTATATCAAAATCATTGACTCCGAGTAGACAGGATGTGTATATATGTATACTAACTTCGTTACTTAGATTGACAGACAGGGAGCTGAAGGAGAAAAGAACCGGCCCCGAGATCGGTGGCGGCGAGCTGTGTTCCTTCTGGGAAGGATGGAAGATGGAAACCAAATGCTCGCGAAGACTGGAGTGGAGAACGCAGATGCCGTCCGTAAACATCTGGAGACTCAACATTGGCTTGAGCTGATAGATGGGTACGTCCAACTACACCTCAGGCCTAGCAGCATGCTCATCTTCTTTCGTTGTAGAAAGCATCGATATGGCTCAAACTGTAGGTTCATGTGCAACTCAGGCTATTGCCACAGACGTCGCTAACCTACCACTGTTGACAGTGAAGGTAAACTGACATGTGCCACCTAGTCTCAAATTAGAACGTTGGCAACTCATGGGGTCCTCCATTACTTATAGTACTATCATAGGAAATGGCAAGAGTCGGACACCACCGAGAATTTCTTTAACTGGTATGTCGTCCCTAACGTTATATCGTGTTGTTCACTTGCCAACTGGGGTATAAAACCTAATACAGGCTTGACAAAGGCGGTGGGAAGGATCTTTCATTACCTGAGTGCTCGCGAGAACAGCTCGAGAAGGAGGTGAGTTCATATACCATCATTATTCACTGTGCTAAGTCTGACATTCTAGAGGATAAGGTTGAGCATGTTCTTCCGAATATGAGGCGTATGAAGGCAACTGATCTTCTGTGATATGTAGTTACCTTTCTCCTGAACAGCGTAAGTGTATAGGACAGGCTTCGTTAACAACAATCACTGATATTCTAGGGTAGGGCTGAACTATCTGGTCCAGATCGACAGCGACGGTAGACTTCGATGGGCAAGAAGTGGAGAGCTAGTCGATACCACTGCAGGTCGATGGAAGGATGCAGGAGGAGGCAATGGCATCGTTCCTCTTACACACCCAGAGCCGACGAATGCACAGCAGCGGACAAGCTTTGCAGGACCTTCCTCAAGCAGAAGTACTCCAGGAAGTGATCCAGGATTCGGTGACGAAGTTGACACAGCGATGCATTATTATGCGAATGAGAAACTCCCCCAAAATCGTTTCAAAAGAATCCTATGGCGCAATTTTACGCTTCGTGGACTTTTGGACAGATTGTTGCGGAAGACACTCAAACGCAATACTTGGATCTACGTTTCGGTGCGTGCTTCCATTTATTCTGCTCACATTGTCGTGGCTGATGAAGAATCAGGATAAGAACTGTGCGTGTTTGTTGTGGCCTCTATGTGCATACAGAGAACGTTAACATGAACACGCGAGAAAGTCAACATATTCATCGGAATTAAAGGTATGCATCCCGCTTATCGTTCTATCAAAAAACAAGATTGTAAACCACATACAGAACCGGGAACATTCCAACACTCGTCTTTTCTAGGAGGCGGGTTGGTCACTTCAGCTGGTCTCATATCTGTGAAAAACGGATTGGTCCATACACTATCACCTTTATCTGGACATTACAGGTGAGTTCCTCGCTGTATGTACCTTGAACGACCCGTAACAATATTTTGAGGACATCAATTCAGGTACGTGAAGCTATTTCAGTTTATTCCTAATTAACAAATTGCGATATTGCTCCTGTAGCATTTCAGACAGTTTATAAGGGTGCTGGATGAGCGAGGGGTGGACATGTCTAAAGTCAAGGTTAGCAAAGCCGAGGCAGCACTTTGGGGGTAAGGATACGTTCACTGGATATGAGTATAGTGGATCCTAATGTTCATCTCAGAATGGAACATATCGCGAAGTTCAAGAAGAAAAAAGCCGCCGTTATGAAGGAAGGCAAAGAAGGAATCGCAGATGCAGCACATGGTGCTAAGCAAAGAATCGTTGCGCCGAACGAGAAGATCCGAGATAGGACGGAGCTTCGGGAGGGACGTCAGAAGAATACCCACCCTGTGAATGCAGAGCAAGGACCGTCGCAGTGAGAGGGCTGAAAATCGCGGGCGGTATATAATGTATCTATACAGCTCCATCTCACTTCTCCATAACTCGACCGCATTTTGTCTGCAGATATCCTGGACATTTATCTTAGTTTCCGTTTTCACGAACGCATGCAGTATGAGGCTTCTGCCCTCGAGACTACAGATACAACTTCGCGTGACGTTTCCCTGAACTGCTGGGTGTCAAGCACGAGTCCACTGACTCTCAATATTTGATATGCCAACGGGCACTGCGGCCTAAGAAGTCATCAGATAACCAGCTCTCAATTTTAGAGGGGATCGGTTACCTTCTCGTCGTAGTCAAACCATTCGCCTTCTTCGAGGTCTACCTCGGGAAAGACAGTTCCAGACTCGAAGCCGACACATTTCCATACACCCTGCAAGTCATCTGAGTACTGATAGCTTCTTTACCTTACACGTTTACGCACCCTAGGGTCAAATCCAACAAACTCCAGCCCACGGCAATCGAGGGTCAGGAAAGGCGCAAATTGGCCGTTAGCGTCCGCTGAGTATGGCTGAACTGGTGATTTTGGCTCGAACTTGGCGGAGCTTTCGCGTTTGCAAGAAGAACATTTCCATACAAAATGTGCCGTGCTTCCTTTCCCACCTGAAACATCGCGCTCTTCCTGAAGCAACAAAATCAAGAGGGTTGGATAATCAGATAATGTAAATGATATGATCGGGCATACCAGACGATTTAGTGAAACAAATTTGGGATGGACTTCATTGCAGCTGTTACACTTAACCTATATGGGCATTCTCAGGAAGATCTCGAGACATAGTCTGCGGGTAGAATCAACCTGGAAGAAAAATTGGAAATCATCCGAGGCAGGAGTGAGATCGGTGACGTTCTCGAGCTCTGCCTTGATCGACAAAAGGAGGCGCTGAGAAGCACTATTCAAGGCGAGGTTTGAGACAAAATGGATAAGTAACAGCCACTTACAACCATTTTCAGTTTGTGAAAGAAAGAAAGGAGTTTCGTGTTCAGGCGTATAGATGGCTCGTAATGAAGACTGCGAAAGTGTTATGTGGATTGAAAGGGCGGCGACTCGATCATGATCGTCGGGATTGATGCGCCTCTTCTCACACGAAATGGTACAGTAGATTGATCATGGGCGCCTACGAGTACTCTTTCCTAGGTGTCTCCTCTAAAATGTCCTTCTCAGGGTTGCGCCGCTCTTTGTTGCAGCACGCCTCGCTTAGACGACCATTCCATGCTTCGGCAGTTGCTGCAATGCCTCGCGGTCGTCCGGCTGACTCGACAGCCCGTCGCGCTCGTCTCGAGGATATCATCACGGAAGAGGACTTGGAAGATGGAACGAACAAAGGCGACGATACAACGTCCGGTGGTCATATCGCGCTCAGGCAGCAGCGTCAGTTACTGTACTACCTTCGTTTAATAGAACATGAAATGCCGCGGCTAGTTGGTTCGTCCATTCGCGCTTTTGCGCTCTTCCGTTGTATACTGACTATGTAACTAGCGTACAGAAAGCCATTTGTTCCTCCAAGCCATTCAAACCCCTTAGTTGTTCGTTCGTTATCATACGGAGGGGAGGAACACCCAGCGATGCGGAAACGTACAGTTGTTGTCCCTGTTGCACGCCTTCCACTGAAAGACGAACACGCCATTCATACCTTCAAGCTCCTTGCTGGAGTTCGTTGGTCGCCGGAACCTCCAAAAGATGCTGGCATTGGTCCAGACGAAACCGGGAGAGAACATGGCTACCTAAAGATTTCATGTGAAGACTTTCCCAAAGGTCCCATGAACTTGAAATGGATCAGCGATACGCTCGATCGCCTTATTGCTGAATCGAATGTCAGTCACCCACATTTTGCTCCTTCCTTACGTGTTGCTGATGATTTGTATAGAACGCGAAGAAGCGTTTCGCCGATATTCCTATGGACACACGACATCTGGATGCCAAAGTGCGGAAGGCAAAGAAAGGTGGTCATGCTTATGGTCGCGGCAATAGTCGACCCACCTTGAAAGACTTCCCAAAGGAGTGGTTACCTGCATCGACCTCAGTACCTCGTTCCACTCCCACCCCTTGATTACATTCTGCTCGCTATATATAATTGCCTAATGATTGCTCATTGTCATGTGATCACGCGAGACCGTCTGAGTCACCACGTCCAAGAAACTATTCTTAAAGGCGAGTTCTTGTCACTGCGTCCCTCTCATTACTCGCCTCTAGGTGGATAGGCCTGCTAAGCATGACTGGCAAGATTCGTGCTTCGGTCGTCCAGGCATGTACCGCTGCGTACTCTTTGGCTGACACACTAGACAAACTAGAGCGATTTGCCCGCATTGCGAAGGAGCGTGATGGCGCACAACTCGTCGTTTTTCCGGAAGCTTTGTGGGTCCATGTTTAAGCACGACCTCATATGATGTGCAAATATTGAGTCTATTTGCTTAGCATCGGTGGTTACCCTAAGTTCTCAACGTTTGGCGCCACTGTTGGGGAACGCAGACCGGAAGGCAGAGACGAATTTCTGCGATATTACAACGCTGCAATCGAAGTGCCCTCACCATCTGTGTCCAGAGTCGAATCGATCAGCAGGGAACTTGGCGTATTCCTTGTGGTAGGCGTTATCGAGAGGGATCTCGGCACATTATATTGCACGGTGATATTTGTCGACCCCATCCAAGGCTATGTGGGCAAACATCGCAAGCTAGCCCCGACCGCAATGGAAAGAATTATATGGGGGCAGGGCGACGCCAGTACACTCACTGTAGTGGACGCAACGTTTGGTCAGCCCCAAGTCGCTGAACCCACGAAGGCGAAGTTGTCTGCTACCATCTGCTGGTGAGTGGGATACTTCGTTCAACCTCGTAATGCTTCGTACTCAGACTGATGTTCTGCATCAGGGAAAATTATATGCCGCTGCGTTCGTTGAGAATCGATTCTCTGCCTTGCGAACGTCACTCATTCTATCTGTTCCAGTTCGAACATTTTACTACTCACAGGGCACCCAAATCTACTGCGCTCCAACTGTTGATGCGCGGCCGGAATGGCAACACACAATGATCCACATCGCGCTTGAAGGGCGCTGTTTCGTCCTATCGGCGTGCCAGTATGCAGAAGAAAAGGACTATCCGTCTGACCACGCTGTCGCTAATCCGGATAAACGCGAGCCTGGCAATATTATGATTGCAGGTGGTAGTGTGATTGTCAATCCTTTGGGTAAAGTTCTTGCGGGCCCTTTGTTGGGACAGGAGGGTGTCCTCTCTGCAGAATTGGATTTAGATGACATTCCTCGGGGTAAATTTGACTTGGATGTTACAGGCCATTACGCCAGACCAGATGGTATGTCATCTCCTGCTGAATCCCAGTTGTGCTAGGAGCTCACTGTTACTCATGACAGTCTTCCAACTGACTGTGGCTGGTCATTAATAACTATCCATTGCTGTATAGTTCTATTCAAAACAATAGTATACTCAACACGAGGCTTACTTTTTTGGTTCCGGTTAGATAAACAACGCTTTGACCCAGGGACCACAGTCGGAACCTTTTTACGTATGTCCTTTGGCCTCGGTTATCAATCTTAGCCAAAGTGTGACACTATGTATATATTGCTCTCCCGTCCGGCGTTCTTCGTTCCTGCAACCAGCGACCTTCCGCTATTCCGCATACATCTTACTCGTTAGGACTGCTCATCCTTTTGCCATGCCCAAATACGCCTTTCCACCTCCACCTCCGCTTCCTCGTTCACCATCCACATCCTCCACATCCTCCATATCCTCGTCGTCTTCCTCATCTAGTACAGCTGGTATTATGGACCTGCATGTTCCTCGTTGCACATCCCCCGACCAAGTCGACCAAGTTTCAACCTTTCCCCAAAGATCATACAACGATGGTACCCACAGAACGAAAAGAGCGAAACGTCATCATTCGGAAGAGAATGATTCTCGAAGACCTCGCACTAAAAGTCCAAAGAAGCTTCCAAGGCATCCCATGCCTACTCAGGGCAGAACCATCTATACTCCTTGGGGAGTCTCTATGCCTGCGAATATGCCACTCCCATCACCAGATGATCCATACTATCTGGATCCAGAACTTGAACCAGCTGGATATGACTTGGATAGGCCGGGGTTCGGCGAACTTAGTTTGCGCACCTTGCGCAGTGGGGCCACCAATGCTCTTAGCCGGACATCCTCGGTTTCCTCAAATTCATCCTCGAACAGCTACTTCGACTGATCTCTCTCGTTCAGTTTCACATTGGGTTCAGGTGCACAAACATGGAAGAGGAGTGGAGGGATGGACATGGATGTACAACATTTGGAAGAGATTCCCGGGGCCCCCGTTCGAGCGGCGTCATGAGACAATACTGCTTTGTATGGCCACTATTTATCGTAAGGTAGATTCAAAAGGGACGGAAGTCTCAGTGTTTTTAATAACTCACAACAGCATAATGTACTCAACAGAGTTTCTTTGGTCATGGGCATAAGACGTTAAGGTTCAATACTATTGGATCGTGTTATTTGACCTCACCACGGAGGCGTGTCAGAAGAGGCAAGGGCCCGAAGCAGGACTAAGAGGTTGATCACTCCAACTACATGGCGACCATTGAAGTCAAATCACACCGGGTTATTCACCAAGTACTATGGGTGAGTTTATGACATAAAAATCAGAAAGAGTGATACCGACTATTCGCAGAGTGAATTGTTACTGCCCAAGCCGGGCCTGCGACTCGAGACAAGCAGCGTCAAACAACCAGAACTGCAACGGCCTCGTCCGTACTCTCCCCTCCCACCTCTTGTTCTTCCTGCCGACCTCAAAGTGCGATTTACACTTGCTCTTTCAAAGCTCAAACTAACATTAAAGCTATCCTGTAAGCAGATGACGGACTCGTATGTTTCTTCCACCAATGGCGATGCCCTCACGGCAAATGGCACAAGCAAGTTGAATGGATCCAGTCCTTCGCCCACTCCTCCTTCAGACTCGGGTAACTCTCCTATAATCCGCAAAAAGCTCAACGGTTACGTTGGCTTTGCAAACCTACCCAACCAGGTCCACAGGAAGAGTGTACGCAAGGGCTTCCAGTTCACTGCCATGGTCGTCGGTACGTGCCAGGTGTCGTCTCTATTTCAACTTTACGCTCATAGTATACAGGCGAGTCTGGTCTCGGCAAGTCCACGCTCATCAATACCTTGTTCAATACTCGTCTCTACCCTCCTACGGAGCCCTTGCCTCCCAGCGCAGAGCGACCTCAGACTGTTGCCATTGAGAGCATTAGTGCTGGTACGCCGAATCATTTTGGCGCCCAGACCTTCTGATAGTGACCTTCTGTCCGCAGATATCGAAGAGAATGGTGTTCGGCTTCGCCTCACTGTCGTTGACACTCCCGGTTTTGGAGATTTCGTTAACAACGATGAGAGGTATGTGTCAGGTGTCTGCTTCGCATGATTGACCTTGACTGATATTCGGTTCCGCGGTAGCTGGAAGCCCATCGTGGAGAACATTGAGTCTCGGTTTGATTCCTACCTGGAGCAGGAGAACCGCGTGAATCGACAAAAGATCATCGACAATCGTGTTCACGCGTGCCTTTACTTCATCCAGCCCACTGGTCATTCGTCAGTATAGTAGATCTTTTGCCTCAATGAACTTTCTAATACTTCCTTCTTAGACTGAAGCCGATTGACATCGAGTTCATGCGTCAATTGCACACGAAAGTCAATCTGATCCCCATCATTGCGAAAGCTGATACCCTCACTGACGAAGAAGTTGCTGACTTCAAGGCTCGCGTAAGCATTGCTGCCCTGTATCTTCATGATATCATTGCTAAGGTTTGATGCCTGCAGGTTCTTGCGGATATCGCCTACCATAAGATTCACATCTTCCAGGCGCCAACTTATGAGAACGAGGACGAGGAGGCCATTGCCGAAGCGGAGGAAATTGCTAGCAAGATCCCCTTCGCCGTGGTTGGATCAGATCGTCTTGTTACCACCCCTGACGGCCGAAAGGTTCGCGGTCGTGCGTATCCCTGGGGTGTAGTTGAGGTGGACAACGAGGACCATTGCGACTTTGTTAAGCTCCGACAGATGCTTGTTCGCACGTACATGGAAGAATTGAGGGAGTACACTAACGACGTTCTGTACGAGAACTGGCGTACGGAGAAGCTGATAAGCATGGGTGTTGTCCAAGACTCAAGTGTCTTCAAAGAAGTCAAGTACGTATCAAAAATCATTACGACAGTACAAATGCTGAACCACGTTTTCTTGTTTAGCCCTGCTATCAGGATCCAGGAGGAGCGCGTCATGCACGAGGCCAAGCTCGCGAAGATGGAGGCCGAAATGAAGATGGTCTTCCAGCAGAAGGTGCAGGAGAAGGAAGCCAAGCTCAAGCAATCGGAAGAGGAGCTCTACGCCAGACATCGCGAGATGAAGGAGGCGCTCGAGAAGCAGCGACTCGACTTAGAGGACAAGAAACGACGCATCGAGAGTGGCCGGCCATTGACTCCGGAGAAGAACGTAAGTATCGGCTGCTCTTTGTCTATCCTGATCTCTGATGCTAATCTCATACCAGCAGACGAGGAAGAAGGGCTTCCTCCGAACGTGATTTTGGGCGTGATTTTGGGCGTGCTTTGGTGCTCGCATTATCTTTCGTTTTTGCCCTATTGCCTTCATCTTATGGTCACGGACATGTTGATTGTCCTCCACCTCGATCCCTTACCTTATCGTACATTTCTGTCGAGAGACTCTGCCTGTTAATTCCTTTCTGTGATTTTTTGAACACTCACACACTCGTTTGATGGATACCGGATTGCTTTCCGCTTATTTCTCTTTATCCTAGTTAGTATTCCTCGGCTCTCTGAAGCTCTGTAGGGTTCTGTACGAGTGGCATTGGTCGCATACCCTATACCATGACCGTGACGCCAACAGCTATAAACAGTAACTGAGTGCTCGGCTACTGCCGCATTACCCCTTGTCCATCTAAGCGTCTGAATTCTACCACCGTCATCTATCTCCTTACACTCATAATGGCCGACGTGCAGACTGTCTTATCTGCACTAGAAGTGTTTACTGGTAACCCAGACAAGGCCTCCCTGGAAACTGCGAACAACTGGCTGCAGGATTTCCAGCACTCCGTAAATACCTGTTTCGCCTTTGGTCCGCCGACTCTGGTCTGATTCTTCGAACCTCGTCCTAGTCTGAGGCATGGTCTACTTGCAATATTCTCCTCCTATCCCCAGATGTACCCTTCCCGGCCAAGCTGTTTGCTGCACAAACATTCCGTACAAAAGTTCTGAGCTTTCATCCTTCTCATGAACATCTCTGTTGATCTCCTTTTCTTTCGTTCAGGTTATCTATGATCTGCATCAAGTAGATGCTGCACATCGTTTCGCTCTTCGCGATACCTTGTTGACTGCACTGGAAAGGTTCGCGACTGGACCAAAAAATATCATGGTCCAACTCTGTCTGGCGATTGCTGGACTGGCGCTCCAACTCCCCACCTGGGAAAATCCTGTACAAGACATGATAGATTCCTTTGGACGTAATTCGGCGACAGTGCCCACGTTGCTTCAGTTTCTCACACTGCTACCGGAGGAGCTGACCAGTAACACCAGAATCCCCGTGACGGTATGTGGCGTTGAGCTAGTGGCTTATGAGAATACATGTCATAAAATTTAACAGGACGAAGAATACAAGGAGCGAGAAGCTGTTCTCTTGACTGCAAATGGTCAAAAGGTCTTGGATTTATTGTCTATTTATCTGCAGGCAACTGGTATGTATATCCCTAGCAGCTATTTCGAGATGCTGACTCGTCCGTTTCGCAGGTACTACGTCTGATATTCAGACTCAAGTATTCCATTGTCTCAGTAGCTGGCTAGCCGCTGGGGAGATCACCGCTGTCTCATTAGCGCAAACCCCCCTTCTCACCTATGCTTTCGACGCACTATCGTCGGACCAACTGTTTGATGCCGCCGTGACTACCGTCTGTGACATCATACATGAAACCCAAGAGATTGAAGACAATATGCAAGTCATCGAACTGATTGTTCCCAGGGTCATTGCGCTCAAACCTAAATTGAGCGAATTCAAGGATGACCCGGACAGGATTAGGGGATATGCTCGTATCTTCACGGAGGCTGGAGAGACGTATCGCAGCTTGCTTCTGCATCATACGGAGACGTTCTTCCCCATCGTGGAAGCTATCGGCGAATGCTCCGCATACTCTGACCTGGACATCGTGCCCATCACGTTTCACTTCTGGATGCGTCTAGCGCAAAGTATTGGCAAGAAGCCATCCGTCTCCCCGTTGTTTTTGGATGCCTACAAGGCCTTGATGGATGTCATGATCCGTCACTTGCATTTCCCTGCGGATTTCACAACCCTTACCGGTCAGGAGGCGGAAAATTTCCGTCAATTCAGACACGTCATGGGCGACACCCTCAAGGATTGTTGCTACGTTCTCGGCGCCGACGTTGGTTTAATGACAGCCTATGACATGATCACCACAGCCTTGTCTCAAGGACCCAACATTTCATGGCAGGAGATCGAAGCGCCGTTGTTCTCAATGAGGTCGATGGGTGCGGAGGTGGACCCTAAGGATAACAAGGCTGTCGCCAAGATTATGGACTTGATTCCGTCCCTGCCCACACATCCAAGAGTCCGATATGCAGCGCTTCTCATCATCGCAAGATATACCGAATGGATCAACAGGCACCCTGAATACATACCAAATCAACTCCAGTACATATCCGCGGGTTTCGAAGATCCGGATCCTGAAGTGAATGCCGCTGCTGGACAAGCTTTGAAATACCTTTGTCAAGATTGCAGTCGGGTGAGTATATGTCACCTCGTTATGTTGTACCAAAGGTCTAATCCCTCATCATTATGATAGCATCTCGTGGACTTCCTACCTCAGTTGCACACCTTCTTAGGATCCATGGGTATGAAGTTGTCACAAGATGACAAGGTTCAGGTCTATCATGCCATAGCCTACGTGATTTCCGCTATGCCCATGGACCAGGCTGCGCAGTCGTTGCGTACTTTTGCTTTGGATATTGTAGCTCAGGTCCACACCTTCACGGCGAAACCAACGGCACCAACAAAGGAAGAGAAACAAGCCATCAATGGTAAGTCTTGCGTCTTTGCTAGTGCTTGCACATCTAACGGTGCCTCTAGATGCCATCGAAAACCTTGAAGTGATGTTGGGTATCATAGATACCTTTGGAGAACAACTGCCTGCCGCTTGCCAGAACACCTGCCAAGAAGCGTGGGCCATCTTTGAACCTTTCATTGTGAAATACGGTGCCGACTATGTTTTGTGCGACCGAGCTACTCGGATCCTCCGTCTAGGCCTCAACTTCTTCGGCAATGCGACACTACCTATTATTCCCTCCGTCTTGTCCCGTATGGCGACTGAATTCGAGACCACAGGGCAATCTAGCTACGTCTGGATAGCCGGGAAGATTATTGGCCGATTTGGAAAAGAGCCAAATCCGGCATTGCGCACAGGCTTCAAGGACGCGTTCGAGAGATGTTCGGCGAAGGTCATGCGGATACTTTCAGAGCAGTCGCCTTCTCAAGTGCCCGACGGTAAGCTCAGTGCAGACTCTATATAGGCGACCTCTCTTACTCTTTATTCTTTAGTAATTGAGGACTACCTGCAAATGGTCCTGCAAGTAATTGATTTCATTCCTGACATTCTTTTCCAGTCGACCGCCTTCCCGATTACCTTCCGAACAGCAATGGCATCACTGACCCTTGTACAGTCTGATGCCGTTTTCGCTGCGCTGGAAGTTATTCGATCCATCGTAGCTCATGACTGTCTTTCGCCGGCTCCCAATCAGCCTCCAGAGTTTCCCGCATTCGCTGCTGCTATTCGTGCTGTCGTTGACCAGGAAGGTCTGGCCTTGACCGGCTACATATTGTCTGGCTTTACAGGGGACTTCCCAGAGGAGGCTTCTAGTGTAGTTGTGTTCATTTTGCGCATGCTGGCGGCCGTGTGGCCGACTCAGATGCTTTCTTGGCTCCCTGTGGTGTTGCAACAGCTGCCTTCGACTTCTGTTCCGGATCAGGCTAAGGCTACTTTCCTCTCAGAAATAACTCGGTGCGTAATTTTGGTGCGTATAGAAGACATGTCATACTCAATGATTCTTAATATAGGGCTATCAATTCAAAAGAGTACGACAAAGTGAAGCAGGCGGTGATTGGGTTGGATCGTGCATCCCGGAAAGCACGGGATAGGCGGAGAGTAAGCCCGTTGGATAATTAAAGAGTATTGTTGAGTGAGAAGTATACAATTCTGTGAACTAGACCATAATGTTGTAAACATATACGAATACATGAGGCGTTGCAAGTCGATGTTTATGAGAAACGTTGCCAAGTTAATGCGATCGAGCGCCCCGGCTCTCCGTCTTCACCGGCGCCAGCAGACCAACAAGTTGTATACTCTCTCCTTCACCATGTTCCACCGCGCAGGGAAGTCGATAGCGTCCGCCGGTGAGACTTAATGTCTTTCAATTTCTGACAACATGAGTGTGTGGCTCATTTAATACCTCGTTCTGTAGCTGGACATCGGGCATTTTCACAGTCTGCGGCCCGACACAACTATGAGGCTACGATCCCTAACCTGCGCATCCACAAAGACACCAGGGTTCTCTGTCAAGGCTTTACTGGAAAGACTGTCCGTATCCAAACTCTTACAAACCATCCGCTCTAATTGACCTTCATGACAGGGTACTTTCCATGTGAGGGAGGCTCTTGCATACGGCACCAAAATGGTTGGTGGTGTTTCACCGAAAAAGGCTGGTCAAATCCATCTAGGCCTGCCAGTCTACGGTACCGTCAGAGAGGTGCGTCAAAAATATTTTTTTCCCGCCATTTTACCGAGTTTTTTTTATGTCCTTTAGGCCGTCAGGGATACAAAGCCGGACGCGACAGTCCTGTATGTGCCACCTCCGACCGCTGCAGATGCGATCTTGGAGGCAATCGAGAATGAGATTGGTCTCATTGTCTGTATCACTGAGGGTATTCCCCAACAAGATGAGATCAAGGTATGAAATTTTTTTCGGCTTCTCTGTACTTATATATTGACTCGCTGCCGTGAAGGTCATGAATGCTCTGAAATCGCAAAGCAAGTCACGACTCGTCGGCCCCAATTGTCCTGGTATCATCAACCCCGAGGGCTGCAAGATGGGTATCCAGCCCGGTCATATTCACAAACCAGGCAAGATCGGTATTGTGTCACGTTCTGGTACCCTCACGTACGAGGCTGTCGCTCAGACTACTGGTGTCGGATTGGGACAATCCCTTTGCGTTGGCATTGGTGGTGATCCTTTCCCTGGAACCAAGCATCTTGATGTCGTCAAACTGTTCCTTGAGGATGACAAGACCGAAGGTAGGATGCCTTTGCTTTTGATACTGCTACTTTACTGACATCATGGAAGGTATTGTTATTATCGGTGAAATTGGTGGTTCCATGGAGGAAGAGACTGCCGACTACCTCGAGAGGTACAACAAGACTCGCGCGAAGCCCAAGCCTGTTGTTGGCTTCATTGCTGGACGTACTGCTCCTCCTGGCCGTCGCATGGGTCATGCTGGTGCTATCATTGCTGGTGGCAAAGGCATGTGATTGTTGCCGCTCAAACGCCGCCGTTTTCTTAACTCCACTTTCTTCCAGGTGCTGCCTCTGATAAGGTTGCTGCGTTCGAGAAGGCTGGTGTCATCGTGACCGACAGCCCAGCTAAGATCGGCTCCGAGATGCTCAAGGTATGGTTGCATATTTTAGATCTTGACAAGATGCTAAACTATCTAAAGGCTATGCAAGCTGCTGGACTCGCCTGAACGCGATTTAATACCTAGGAATTCAGGCGCGGTGTAGGATTCGGAATGTTATGGTCTTCGTCGATGCACTTCGTGACTAGACGCTGTTATATCTCACAGAATATTCAGTCATTCTCCTAGAATTGAGTGCATGATACACTATACAATTTTACCCTAGTTTGCGAATCGTTTGACACGACTTTGTACTCCCACAAACTTGTGAGAGAAACAAAAAAAATCAGACGCAGCTATTATTTAAGCGCCTATCCACGTGATCGCGAATTTGCGAAATGTTGCTGGAGAGGCATAAGTGTGTTAAACCAGGTTGTCGTCCATGTCCAAGGCTCTCAGTTCCTCTCGTGCTGCTCTCCATGCTTTTTTGAGGCAAACACGGCCTCTGGAAACGGGTCAGTACTATCTTTTGCTTGGTATTTGACAATCATCAAACTCATTCTTTCAAAACTAGCTGTCCGACTGACTCCTCGTTTGATACCCCACCGTTCACGACGGCCATACGGCACTAACACCCCGCCACGAAATGCCGAACAGCAAAACCATACATCCTCTTATATATCTGCCAAAAGACCGGACCCTTCACGCTTAGTGGACCACCTCAACAATGTCTTCCAACCACTCCAGTTTCCTCCAGAACTTGCGGCCCGAATATTAACCCATGCAAGCCACAAGGACGCAATAGTCAGTCACAATGCTAGACTCAGCTTTATTGGTACGTTTCGCCGGTCGTTCTCCATCAACTTATTCAAACCAAAGCAATATAGGTCGTCGAGTCCTAAAGACCTACTTATTGCTTTTCCTCCACTCGTCTCCCGCTTTGCATTCTGCGCATGACTATGAACTTATCCTTGAGCGGACGCTCAATACATACGTCCTTGGAGAGCATGTTGCACCCACATGGAGTTTGGGTCGTGTGCTGAAATGGTCGCCAGTCAACATTAGTCCGCAAGTTGCCTCGGGCAGCGATTACTCAAATTTGGACCCAAAATTTTCGCGCAGCGTAGGATTGTACAAGGTGCAGGGTGCGGCCGTAGAGGCCGTTGTAGGCGGAGTCTTCCATCAATATGTACGTTTGCAACTTCCCGTTGGTCTACATTATCTTACTCGACCAAATAGGGCGGCGCTATTGCTCATCGACTCTTCCACACTCGAATTCTTCCTCATCTCTTGCTTCCAGGCAGGCCGGAAGGATTGCACGATGCGTTCCACCCGCATGCCCTAGATATCTGCGAGAGAATGGGTGGTGTGGACGGTCCATTGATCACCACCGGCAGCACATCTTCGACGGCGGACCTATTCAACGCAGAGAAAAGCCATCCAAAAGTTACGACCTCATAGAGTACCTATTCTAGCATAGTTGCTTCATACATCTATTGCATAATTCATCCGTGCATACCATTTTTACCCTGATGATCTTTCGGTGACATACCTGTATGCAGCTTGCCCAATTTGCAGCATGAGCGTGTACGATGTGAAGCTTCTCAGACACACCCCACTCTCTACCTTCTTGCACTTACCATCATGGCGTCGTACGAACCATCTTCGTCTTTTCACGACGCAGCAAGTTTCCTATCCAATGCGTCTTCGTTAGCGAGCGTTTCGAATACTGTGAAACTTGAGGTCCATATCCTCTTTTCAACTACTTCACAATATGAAGTCCTGACTTGTTTTCACGCGATATATCTATTTTGGACAGGATAGCTCTACGGCCTATTCAAGTACATAACAGTTTCGCATACTCCGAACACCAGCCGTCCATCTCTTTTCGACTTTACTGGCCGGGCGAAATGGGATGCATGGAATTCCACAGGCAGCACTTATGGTGACCGCGACATCGATGCTGAAAAGCGCTATTTGGATATTGCGAAGGAGCTTGGATGGAAGGAAGGCGATACCACACAGCCAGAAATCTCAGAATCGAACAAAGACTCAGAAGACATCTGGGATAATGATTCGGACACTACAATGCGAACAAAAGGTGGTGCAGGGATGGGGAACACCGTAAGCGCGATGACTATAGAAACAGAAGAGGCGAGACAGGCAGGTAGTCTACGTGATTTAGCCGTCCACGGAGATGTCCATGGTCTAGAAGAACATCTGCGGAGGAATCCAGACGTCGATCTCAATGAACCAGATGAATATGTACATTTCAAAATATCCGGTCAACTTGTCCAGTACTGATGTATGTGTTGCAGGGATACACGCCGTTGCATCTCGCATCAGATAGAGGTCATACAGAATTTGTGAAAGCCTTGTTAGCTAGAGGTGCAGACAAGACAGTCAAGGTGCGTATATCCATGATGAGAGAGGTACTTCTATATGAACACGGTCTGTATATAGGATCCAGACGACTATACAGCAGCAGAGTTGGCCCAAATTGCAGAACATGAGGACGTTGTTGCATTGCTTCAGGCGGAAGGGTGATTCATGACAGCATTTCCATTGATATCCTGCTGCAATTATATAAAGAATGAGATAGTATACCATAGCAATCGAAGCTCATACACGGCAACCCTCTGAGGGCTCAAGTCTAGATCACGACAGAATCTTCATACGCCCTCTCCGTGACGCGCTCATTCCCGCTTGACCGTTGTACCAACTTCTCCCTCTTCAGAGTGCCGTGTATGACAGTAGCGCCATGAGAGACGGAGAAACCCCACTACTAGTTTTCAGTATTCGAGGTCTGTTGTGCTTTGGATGCTTGGTCCATTCCTAATTCCTTGTGGAATCGGGAATTGGGTGTAAGAATACCGCCCTGTGTAACGAGTCAACATGGGCCTCGCCAATTTTCGTTCAAGAAACAGAGCGGCGTACCATCGTAAGAAGCTTAATAGCAGATTTAGTCGGTTCTGCACCCTCGCGTAACCAGTACTTGATACGGTCCACACTCCATTCGACCGTCTTATGGTCTTCGCCGGGTTTCAGGCGAGGGTCGAAGATCGCCAGAGTTTCGATAGGCTTTGCATTGCGCCGATTGGTATGATTAATGGCCACAAGGTGGAATATACGGTTGTGACGAGGGCCATGCAATGCAAAGCGTAGACGGACAGCCATGACTGAAAGTGAAGGATTCAGTGAAACCTCATGTCACCGAGAAATTCATCCAGGCGCTTCCGTTAGACGCCCATAATGGAAAGCCTTTCAGCGGGAGCAAGTTAAAGGTGAATTTCACAGAAGGGAGGCCTTATAGTATAGCTGAGAGTAGTAAGTGTACGAGAGCAAAAGCGAGTAATCATTTGGATGAGTGAAACCTAGTGAAACAGTACAATACATGCAGAATAGGATGACAGACAACAGCATCTGACGAAACAGTAGTCAAATCCAAAGCTTGCTCGTCGTGACCTACCAGAACTGGGTTTGCAGTTCCAGTTTGATAGAGACGGGATATCTATTTGACATGATTGGTGAAGACTTGCAGTCTGTCTGAAGAAAAGAGGGCGAGGGTCGCACACTTCCATCATGCATCGTCGGGACCATTGCTTCCAGGAATCAACTTCAAGAGATACACTGAGTTCAACTCTCCCAGCCATGAAACATCACATACGTACCATGCATATATTGTTTCCATTGAGAAGCGTTTGCGCGAGTTTTGTTTTCTTCGTTCCCTCAGGAGTGATCTCACTGTAGACATGCCATCACAGGTCAAGAAGACAGAGACATAGCGACACGCATAAACTAACTCACAATTCAGTTACATCCTCTAGAACCATATCTGCGAAATCCGCGAACTAAGCATTGTTCACAAGAAGGAAGAATGGAAAGCGAACTTACTAACGAAATCATCGAAACCAGTCAATGTACCGGTGAATTCACGCTCAGTCTTCATAATGACCCATATTCTTGAGCCAATACACCTATCAATAAGCTCTGTGCCCAAGTTAGCCCCTTGTCTTCAGCTAGCATTTGATCGTCTTACCAAGAGGCAGAATCTGGGACGCCATGGTGGGGGTAGACAAGTCCTATCATTCCAAGTCCGATCACGATCGCAACGCGTCCTACAGACCAGAGACTGACTCAATAAATGTGTTGATTTACGCTGCCATTTTACTCACGCGCATGCACTGTGCCTTCAGCAAAGATAGAACTCGATTCCAAAACTAGCGAATCTAGGACTTGATCTTAAACACGACTCAAGATTGCGAGAATCTACATTGGATCGAGGGAATCACGTAGGCTACAAATTCACCGATGAGACTTCGATGGACTATTCTGACAAGGGGGAAACAAAAGTGCGAGGAGGTAAGGAAGAAAGGCAACGACAGAAAGTACTACAACATCCGACCCTAAGAACAATATCCAATCACTGGCCGAAGCTGAAACCGCCTGGAGGTGGGGCAGCACCCTCCTGATTGAACTGTGGCAAAGTGTTATCGTAAGTATGACCCTTTGCATGCAGCTGAAAGAGAACACGTACTGCAAATGCACCAGAAGCATCGACCTGGGGCGCACTGATACCAGCATCAACTTCCTCATCATCAGGGAAGTACTTGTCCATGATATTGAAGGCTTTCTTGTAAATATCGAGGTTGTCGTGTTGTTGAAGATTGTGAATGGTGACCATGCCTCCAGCTTCCTCAACGTATTGGGCATAGATGTTGATAGCACCAGGACCGGAAGCTTGCTTATCCATCTCACCAACCTTAAGTATGTTGTCAAGGCCGTCCAACGCAACTTGAATGATTTTGTTATCCATCATGGTGAGCAGATCACACAAAGGCTTGATACATCCTTGTGAAACGAGGTATCGGATTTGTGATGGCTCCTGGAGACCTCCGGAAGTCGCGTTGGAGATAGCCCAGCAAGCCTCCTTCTTGGTCTTAAAATCGGCATTCTGGAGGATATTGATCAGAGGTGGAATGATGTTGGCGTCAATGACAGATTGAATCTGAGGGGGCGAGCCAGCGGTGATATTGGAAATCGTCCAGCATGCCTCCTTCCTGATGCCGTCTTTGGGAGAGGAGAGAAGGGAGAGAAGGGCAGGGAGAGCTCCGGAGGTGATGACAACTTGAGTTTGAAGGTCATCGCCAGTTACGATGTTGCCAATGGAGCGCAGCGCAGGTGTTTGCACGGAGGTTGACGGGTGCATGAGCAAGTCGACCAGTCTCCGGCAAACGCCCGATTCAATAACCGCCTGAATTTTGTCGTTCGAGCCGTCGGAGAGGTAAGAAATCGCCCAGCAAGCATCGATCAAAATCTCATCATCGAGAGAATAGATGAGTTTGGTGAGGACGGTAAGAGCTGGCGAGATCTGGAAGTATATTAGTCTCTACAACAGACTAAATTGAAGAAGAAACTTACGAGGTCCCAATCAGGCTGAGGAGACTTGCCTCGGCAGAAGTTGCTCAAGGTCCAGGTTGCGTTTCGAAGCATACTGAGCTTGTGATTCTCGCTAAGCAAAGCCAACAGAGGCCTAAGGGCACCCTGCTGAAGGACGTAATCCCTGCATTGAGGGCTATCTCCAGCGATGTTACCAAGAGCCCAGACAGCTTGTTCCCGCACATCGAGTACGGGAGACGAAAGAAGTTTAATGAATTCTGGTACAGCACCAGCACTTATGACAACTTGAGTGTGGTCCGCCGTTCCAGAGGCGATATTTGTAAGCGCCCACGCTGCCTCAAACTACATGTACAATCAGCATGGATCACAGGCAATGTTCAGGAAAGTAATAAAAACTCACCTGGAGCATAGGGTTATCTCCCTGCAAGAACTGGACAAAACGTGGGACAACACCACACTCAATCACGCGTTCAATGGGAGGATTCTTCTCCTTGGAAAGGAGTTTACGAAACTTGGTGGTAGCATCCAATTGGCGTTCGGTGTCATCGGAGAAGACACCAGCAATCATATCGTCCGCGAGCTAAATTTTAAATTGTCAGGTCTCAGGTAATGGAAACAATACCACTTAATCGCACGCACCGGACTTTCGAAGCTGGTGGCTCCGCCCTCCTCATCTGAGTCGCCGACTGTACTGGGAAGGAAGTTTCGCCTCTTAGAGATGTTCTCTTCACGTTTCTGCCTCCTGATCTCGACTTGTTGCTCCTCCCGGCGGCGACGAAGGTCATCCTGCTTCAAGCCGCCCTTGTTTTTATATTCTAGAAGAATAACGCGTCAGTTTGATCGCAGCCGGTGAAGACAGATCCAGGAGAGAGGCAATATGCTCGAAGGGTACACTTACCGCCGCGTCGATGTGCTACCCTGGAATCCATGATGATGGTGTAAAGGAAATGAGAGGAGAGAAAGGATGAGTGTGGAGGAAAGATCCTCTGCCTCACTTTGCGATATCCCTGTCACGCGCGAGTGGCCCGGTCACGTATTTGTCACAATTCGAGTACTTTCGCGCATGTCCAAATAAGGGTATCATGGTTCTTTGTTCTGTTACTGCAGGTCTCAAGGAATGAAGACTTTAAAGAATGTACTACCAGACTGTCTCGGATCACACAATGGGCTCCTTTCCCTACTTTAAACTGCACCGAGCACCCTCTTTGGCTGTCCATCGAGAAATCCTATGATATTCTCCACAGTTTGTGACCAGAATACCTGGACTTTGCTTAGACCAACAACGCCGAGTCAATGGAAACAACTCACCTTGTAGTTGTCATCACTCACGTAGCCCAAATGGGGGCTCAGGGTAACATTATCTAGACTTCGCAAAGGGTGGTCCAACGGGAGTGGTTCCACATCGAAAACATCCAGTCCAGCTGCGGCTATCTTCTTTTGCCGCAATGTCTCTACAAGAGCAGCTTCGTCGACAAGTGGTCCTCGAGACGTATTGATGAAGATGGCGGTAGGCCTCAGAACCGCAAGATCGCTTGCGTTGATTAAACCTCGAGTACGGTCTGAAAGAACCATATGAATGGACACAATGTCACTACGCTGCAAAAGTTCTTCCTTCGTCTTGATATATGTCACGCCCGCTGCTTCTGCTCGTTCCGGCGTGAGATTTGGGGACCATCCAATGACGTTCATACCGAACGCTTTTGCGATCTGATGTCACCGAGAGATGAGTATTTGAATACGTGACTGAATTCATACTCTCCTAGTCCCTTACCTTTGCAGTAACAGTTCCTAGTCGACCTACTCCAACCAAGCCCAGTGTTTTCCCATAAAGTCCTATCGGAATGGTCGTCTGCCACAGTTGTCGCTTGGCCTTCACACCCGCATCCTCTACGGCAATATGTCTTGCAGTAGCAAGAATCAAAGCCCAGATATGCTCTAGGGTGGAATTTCCCCCACCCTGCGTCCCGGAGACAACCACGCCCTTGCTTCGGGCATGGGCAACGTCAATCCCTCTGTTCTGAAGGCCAGTTGTAGCGATAAATTTGAGGTTGGGAAGTCTATCGAGGAGAGACGCAGTGAACTTAGTTCTCTCCCGCATAGCACATATTATTGTGTATGGTTCTAATCGTGCTGCTAGTGCATCTTCGTCAGTTAGTGTTTCGGAATAAACGTCAACTGAGACGCGATCTTTGAGTGATGACCAGTCCGCGAACTTGAAAGCCACTTTCTGGTAGTCATCAAGAATAGCAACGCGGGGAAGCGCGGCCGCTGTAGTCATTGTTCTAGTACAGCCTCTACTTGCAGCAATAGCGGAAAAAGCGGCCAAGCAAGGACGTCATGGTGAAGCTTATATACTATAGTTAGAGCCAGGATCGCATAAGACTTCACGCGAGCAATGCCGGTCATGAGATGCATGGCGAATGTTTTCATCATCGCAAGACTCAACTTAAAGATAGAAAAGATCATTGCAAGCGATAACGCGGACGTCCAATATTAGAACAAGTAATAGTACGGGGCATGTGTAATTCTACGTGTCGTTGTCGAATGGATACTGTAAATGACAGTCATTAGTAACAAGGTTGATACGAAAACAATAAGAACATACCTCAAATGGCTCCGGAGGATCAGCTTCAGGTGCATTTTCGTTCAATGAGATATGGAGATCTCGAGGGTACTCAGACTCACGACCACCCTCCCGTATCTCTACGGTTACCCCATCAGCGGTATGAACTGCGTGAATGGTACTGAGATCGATGTATTCTGCCTCTTCATCCGGTCGTGTATCGACTACAACGAGGATACCACCACCGCCGGCATATTTCTCAGAAGTGAGCTTGACTCCATTCGCGTTCACCTTGCCGCCCTTCGGCGCTGGGTAAGCGGAAACGGCCCTTACAGGTTGATAGCGACCATCAGCAGGGAAGACTATGTGAGGCATCTGTGCAGGAGTGACACGGGAGAAGTTGGAAAGCTTTTCGAAGGATGGCTCTCTGCGAGACTTGGGTGTGATCTCGCCTTGCTTCTGAGTTGACGTTGATGCTTCGTCGGTTTTCATCTCAACGTCAGCCTCTTTCTTCTCATCCTATCGATTCAAGGTAAAGACTTGGTACAACGGATAAAACGAAAGGGGCGTACCGTATCCATCGCTTCGCCGTTGTCCGCGGCTTTCTTCTTCTCCCTAGCCTTCTGCTTGGCCGTGGTTGACAGTACCGCAGCAGCGACCTTTGTAACGGTCTCCTTTTTGGGGGGTTTCGTCGGAGGCGGGTAAGCGAACAGACTCGGCCTCGCGTTCGAGATGAAGTCAAATTTGGGCGCCTGTATGCAACCAAGTTACACAAATTCCTCAACAAACTAGAAAAACTGATCACTTACATCCAAATTGCCGTCAATACCAATGATACCAGTAGGCTGGAAGGCCAAGCTGGCGCAGTGGGCCAACGGATACCAATACCAGAACTGGGAGAACAATACCATACCAACGATGGCACTTGTGTTCCGACTTCCTGCTCGGCTCTGCAAGTTGATGGTGACATTGCGACCGCCAGCATCGATAAGGCCTTGACCGAGCGTGGCACCGAAGCGAGCAACCGGGTCTTCGTGCTTGTCACCGATGACCTTGTGATAGAGGGTGCGAGTAGAGGCCATGGATGCTGATGAGGCCTCGGACTGTTCGACTAGGACCATACCGAGAGCGATAAGGGCACCTTGTCGAACGAAGTCGACGCTGTCCTTAGTCATGGGCTCAAGGATCTCGACTGCATCCTGGGAAAGGTAATTCAGTATGATTGCGGAACGAAATATCCTCAGAGAACGTACCTGCAAGCCAGTTCCTGCACAAGCAATACCCAAAGCAAGAGTGGCCCCACTTCGCACATGTGGGTTGTAACTCTCGCTCAACAACTGAACGATACGAGGGACGGACGAGGGGTTCTTGAAGAGAAGGAAAGCCAAAGATGTGACTGCAGCTCTTCGGACGTCATCCGAAGTGTCAGAAACCGCAATGTGGAGAAGTTTGCGAACGGCATCGTTGTTGGCCGTTCCAGCGTATGCTAAAGCAAGAGTGTAGACACCGCCGTAACGGAGGATGGGATCCTGAACGGAAAAAAATTGTGAGAGATATGTTAACAGCAAGATATCATACGACACGAACCTTCTCAGCCAGAAGCTCCTTCACAGTAGCATCGGCTTGTTCCTGTCGGCCGTAGAAAATAAATGCTAAACCAATGGCCAAGCCCCTGATGATCTTCTCGTGCTGGGTCTCCCTAGCATAAACGAGCATCTCATCCGCGGCTGTCGGATCAGCGGTACCAAGCATAATCAAACCCATAGCATATCCAGCTGCTTCACCAGCGATGGCGGAATCTGAATACAACACCTGCTTCAGGTCCTCATATGCCTCAGCATTCTTTCCACCCATGCCAGCAACACCAAGACCAAGAGCGGCACCATGTTGCACGACTTCGACAGTTGCAGCCTTCAATGCATCTCGAAGGTATCCCTCGACTTGTCGCCCACTACCACAGCCAGCGTGAATGAGACCCAATGCATACAAAGCACCACCCTCGGAGTAAGCCGCTCCCGGAATACCACTTTCGCCACCGTTGGGTTGAGGAAGGTAGGGTCCAAGAATGTTCATGCCTTCTTGGAAGTGACCCTTGTGGATGACACCGAGAGCGGCCGTCGCTGTGAACTTCGACCAATTTGATGCCAGAGCGAGCCATTCCAAGTTCTCGCGCAGGAATGTATCTGACGTTGTACCAGAATGCATGAACGCATTTTGCAAGCTTAGTGCAGTGTGGTAGATTGATGACCGGGGTTCAAGTGAGTCCTGGAGAGAGTAGAAGTCAGTATCCACACTGCGAAGGCACTTTAGAGAATTCCATACCTTTGTGTGCTTAAGGATGAGCATATCGACCTTGTTGTTGCGTTTGAGGAACTCAAGGTAAAGCTTGACGGATTGCTGACCCGCCAGAATACGGCGCAACGTCTCGTATATCGCTTGATGTTCCTATAGGTGTTGGACGTGAGGCCAGTTCGATAATATAAATAAAAAACAACTCACACCCTCCTCCCCAGGTAAGTCATTCCTGATAGCCTCCAAGAAATCCTGGGACCCGCCTTCTACAAAATCAAAGGCAAACTGGTACGCTAATAATTTGTCGTCGGGAACAAGGGATGTTAAGAGAGGAACTGTGAGTTCTGGTGAGCTGAGGGTAACCAGCAGACGCGTGAGCGAGTGAACGTGAGGAGAGTGGGTGTTGACGGTGGGAGGAGGGAACAGAGGTAGGAGGAACTTGAGGACTTGATCGCGGTAAGAAAGAGAGAAGCCAGTGTCAATCACTGCTTCCATAGTATACGAAAGGAGAGAGATGTCATTGGTGAGCTTGTATATGTGCTCAATCACATCAAGACGAGACGATTCCAATGCAATACCGATGGCCTGAAGAACACTTAGTTTGAGCCGTAAGTGGGTGCGTCATATTACTTACTTGCTTGTATTCTCCGTCTTGAATACACCGCCTGAAGATCCCTTCAATGACGTTCTGAAGCTTCGGGTCAACCTTGCCACCCCCTTCTGTCTGTTCTTCTCTTCGTGCAGCGACGTATCGGTCAATAGCCTTCGCTACAATGGGTAGCGGACGAGCAGCATAGTGAGCACTGCATCGTCACATAAATATATAGAGCTGCTCACAGATGACAGTCTCGACGTATTCCTGGGCCCCGGGGGTACGTCCTTCCGCTTCAAAAGCATTTCCAGCACCCAGAGCGAAAGACAATGCCTCGTCGTAATCGCCCAGGTAATAGTATAGTTTACTAGCAAGCAAAGCGGCAGAGTTGTGTGCGTCCTTTGAAAGCTCTTCACTCTCATACAAGGATTCACTAAATGAAGTCAACAATAACTATGTCAGTCCCATTAATGGACCAACAGGCGAGGAACATACATCAACTCAATATGCTCAGATATTTCCGCCCAGAACTGAGGAACAAGTGCATTGAGAGCCTTGAGAGCGTGCTCCTTAAGCAGCGGCTCGGGTTCAGAGAGCAAAGCGAGCACACCAGCCGCGGAAGACTGGGGACGGGGTGCCATGGTGGGTGTAGATGATACAAGAGAGAAAAGGTGTACTGCAGTGTGTCTTTCGTCTACGCTGACGCGTACGCTCAGAACGCGTCCTCGAGCGCTCAAAGTCCAAATTGGGTGCTTACATAATAAACGATAGACCTCATCGACCTCGTCGAGTCCAGTATCCGACTCGACCCGTAAAATACAACTCTCACTCTCACCACCATGTCGATGCTCGTCCGTCGCTCCTTGCGTGCTATTCCACGCGCCCGTGGTTTTGCTACTACCGCTGGTGATGTTACCAAGACTAGCTACCAGGAGAAGCAGGCTGCCTTAAGGGCTCATGCTGCTGGTATGAACTCCTCTATGTCTGATTTCCGATGCTCGTCATTCATCCTATCGTGTCCCAGAAACCGCCGATATGTGGCGCAAGATTAGGTCTGTATTTATGTAGATTTATCTGAAGCTTTTGTGTTGACTGGTCGTGTAGCTTCTACGTTTGCCTTCCTGCTAGTGTGTATATCTGTTGAATGCTCTTTCCTTGCACTCGACGGACTTTATTCTTCCAGTCATCACTGCCGCCTTCTGGGTCCGCAATGTTGAGAAGGAACACGAGGAGCACTTGGAGCATGCCATCCATGAGAATAAGGGCAAAGCCCCTCTGCCTCCTGCGTACGAGTACTTGAACCGCCGAGGTATGCAGTCGTTTGCCTTATGTGAAGGTGACGTTGATCATGACGCTTCCGTAGCGATTGAATATCCTTGGGGCCCGAACTCTTTGTTCTTCAATCCTCGCGTTAGTGCTTTCAGTGCTTGCATTTTTTGTGATCTCCCCTGACCTGTTCTCTGCAGGTCCAGAAGGACTTGTCGAACCCGGATGCATAGACAATTCAATAAATGCAATGTCCTTTTTCAACCTGGAGATTGCTCTATAATATCATGTTCCTTCTCAGTATCGTTGCAAGATCATGCAGCATGTGTGAGACACCTGGACAAGTAAATGTGCATTTGGACAGTGCTAGGGATCATGAGTCCATTAGGATCGATAAGTAAATGATTACAACGAAGATTGAATAATGATAAAGCTACGAATAAAGATAAAGTCCGTAGCCTTACAACAAGGGTATTGAAGGAGAGGTTTTGTTTGTACAGGAGTTCGATTACAAGACAATCCATGCTCCGGCGAAGATGCCAGTGATGACGGCAGCAAGGCTCACCAAAGCGCCAGACGAAATGAGGGCTGGAGGAGCAGCCGAGTTGCTTCACATCACGTCAATATGTGTGGTACCCAAAGTGAGGCTAGAGCACCTACTTGTTGATGCCACTCGTTGCTGCTGACTCTGCGGCGGATGTAGCGACGGTGTAGACAGAACCAGCAAAGGAGGTGGCCTGGCCGAAGCCATCAGTTGCGAGGGTGATGGCTTCGCCACCCAGAGAGGTGATAACTGTGGCAGCTTGGCCGCCAATTGCTGGAAGGAGGTATGGTAAGTGAAAGTCAAGCAAAAGATCAGCGATACATACAAGTGACTCTAGTTGCGATAGATCCGGCGCCGGAGGTTATCTCGCTGAATACGGATGGAGCTCCCGACGTTACGTCGCTAAATACAGAGGCAGCTGAAGACAGGACGTGATGAGTCGCACAAGCTTAGAATATGGCGCATGATAGACATACCACCCTGAGTCGCTACGGAAAATACGGATGGCGCTCCTGACGTTACGTCGGTAAATACGGAGGCAGCTGAAAACAGTCATTATGAGTCGCAGAAGTTTAGAGGATGCTGCATAGTAAACATACCACCCTGAGTTGCTACAGAGAATATAGATGCAGCATCGGACGTGACATCATCAAATACGCTACCAACTAGAAAAAGTCAACATATGGCACATGAAAATGAGGAAACCAATTACGAACCATCTTGACGCTTCTCTCGTAAAACTGGTTCTGCTGTAACCAGAACGCATCCAACAAGGCAAAGCAGAAGCGCGGTGGTGATCCTGGAGAACATGATGGAAGCAAGGATTTCGAAAAGTTAGAACGAATAGTAGAATAGACGAGAATGTGGTCGCACTGAAGAAAATTGAGAGATTGACGGGCGTGGCATATATATTATACGGAAGTTACGGGGCACAAAATATCCGAGGCTAGTCGCTGCGGCAGGCACTGGATTGCACCGCTTGGCCTGTGTGGGAATAGCTACGTCACGGAGTGCTTGCCTTTCTGGGATTGCCATCTTCTTAGCCATCCTCAGCATTCATCGCCTCTTGTCCTCTAGACAATGCCTCGTGCGATCATCTCTCCTTCCGTCCTCGCTTCCGACTTCGGGCACCTCAATGCGGAATGTAAACGGATGATCAAGAACGGTGCAGAATGGCTGCATATGGGTCAGTTTGAGTAGTACTGTAACTGTCCCCGATCATCCTACTTAGCACCGATCCTCCAGATGTCATGGATGGGTAACTCCCTACACTCATCCTCTATTCGGAGCTGCATGCTGACTTGCAGGCATAAGTCACTTCGTGCCTAACATCACCATGGGTATGCTCGATCAGCTGTCTATCAGTTGTGTATACTAATTTCTCCGCAGGTGCACCGATCCTGTCATGCGTGTCTAAAGGCGTCCCAGGCATTTTCATGGACTGCCATATGATGGTAGCGCACCCAGAAAGAGTATGCGTGAGTCTATGCAGCACCGAATTGACTTTTTAAACTTGTCTTTATTTTTAGTGGGTCAACGACATCGCAGACGCAGGCGGTTCCCTGTACTGCTTCCATCTAGAGGCTACTTGTAAGTCTACATTATCTCCATGAGACAGTGAATCGCATTTTTTATGTTCATATCCAGCCGAACCTCTACTTCTCATCGACGCCATTCATGAGCGGAACATGAAGGCCGGCGTGGCAATCTCTCCCGATACACCCTCAACAGCCATTACGGACGAAGTTGCAGATGCTGCGGACATGCTCCTCGTAATGACAGTATACCCTGGTCTGTACCCTATTATCTTCACCTGCTTGTGTCACATTGTGCTCAACTTGATACTTCCATGCATCAAACTTGTACACCTATATAGGTCGTGGTGGACAGAGATTTTTGGACCGCTGTGTACCAAAGGTCTCAGAACTCCGTGCCCGGTTTCCCCACAAAGATATCGAAGTCGACGGAGGCGTAGGCCCGAAGACGATTGGTCCCTGCGCAGACGCCGGTGAGTCGCATTGCTGCGCAGCCTATTGGTTCTCGCAGCAAGTTGGCTGACTGCGCTTTCCCTCCTCCTTTCCTCCAGGGAGCAATGTCATTGTGGCTGGAACAGCCATCTTTGGCGCTGAAAAACCAGAAGAGGTCATCGCGCTATTGAAGTCAACAGTAGAGACTGCACAGGCGAAGGCGGCTGGCCGCTCTTAAGTCCTAACCTCCTACCGCGCATTCACCGAGAATCGGCCATACCACCTGCACACAGATACTCGATAGATTCAGAATGAAATGTATGTACCAATATAACCAAATGACAACTAAAAGGTTCGACATCACATGTGCATCCTGTATCATGATCATTGGATATGGTGGGTATAAGATGGGAATGGGGGCAACAACATGATGATGAGTATCATAAGGATTCATGTCACGGTGCTACAGCCATGGGCAGCAGGAGTGGTAGCTATCGTTATCTTTAGAAGAGAGTTTGAGATGTATCGATACGAATATATGGTGTGTGATAATCCAAACGTGACCCAAACAAATGCTAGGGGACGAATTAGGCTGCGATACGACTGATCAAACCTTCCTCGGTCATTACAAGAAGGAAAAGATAGCGTGTAGCAAAAACAAACAAAGAAATAAGAAGTTGACACTGATCCCGACCGGCGAAGACGTCTAAGTAACGTGAAGTATTCGTGAGCAAAAAAAAGATGTAATAATGGTCACCATGTACGCGCAACACGAAAACGCTAAGTACAACATATGTACAAAGGGCGCGTCGTGTGCCGCGGAAGGGTGTGGAAGTGGATTAGCAGCATCGACGACAAGACACATCGATCACCACTTCAACCACTCTCCGTACAGGTTCGGCCGTTCACCCCGGATGTATGCTTCGCATGTCCGCTTGAGTACAGTAGACCAGTCCAGATCTCGTTTGTCGTTCGCGACCAGCTCTTCTACTTCCGTTAAGTTCGTTCCGGATGCTGCAGCCAGTGCTGCACGAGCGATACGTTCACCTTCGATGAACCTGAGTCCCAGATCAGGGAAGTTGCGAACAGGATCGAACGGTTTCCACCTGTGACGGCATTGTTAGCTTCACCAAAACGTAGTTGCGTAGTAATGCACGTACCAGAAGTTGTGGAAATGGTATGAGTAGGCACCCTTGAAGAATCCATCCCACCCAAGCGCCTGAGGCGCTGCGCTCGAGACCGGAGGTGTATCGAAGAAGTGACCGAACCTGCGAAAGCAAAATAAACTGTCAGCAGAAAATATTTGCTAGGCGTACATAATACATACTCAGTGAAGAAAGGTTGTGGAGGTCGATCCCTTTGATACTGTTCTGTATTGAGCCATGCAGCATCGAAGAGCGCATCTGGAAGACGCAGCAACAGATGTTCCAGGTGCGCATCCTTGGTATACTTTGAGATGGTCATAGGATGGAAGTCCAAACCGTTCTTCAACGCTGTACGGAACAGGAACGTGCCCAGCGCCGAGCCTTTGTTCATACGTAATACTGCTGTGTTGTATCTCTCCAGTCGCGACCACCTGTACGCGAATGCTCCTCTCCATCCGAACAATTCCGACCAGTCGCGAAGGAAGATGGTGTCGGCATCAAGGTAAATACCCCCATACCTATGGCAAAGCACGAAACGAACCATGTCGGAAAGGATGACAGAAAGACGATCGTAAGACGCTGGTGACTTTGAGCCGACCCGGTTCAGCTTATCATCGTCGTCGGGAGATTTCGTGGTCATGGGCGTATCAACATAGTCCTCCTTTTCATCATCGACTCCGGTAGGTCCTGTGACTTCGGTGGTTTCGTCATTCTGTGGCACTTTCTCTACGAAACCACCAGAATTGAATAGACTGTCACGCAGTGCCCGCCAGTCATCTTTTACTTCCGGGATACTATCCAACTGTTCGGTGATGTTCCACAACTTGAACTGAATCACGTCCTTGAACCTTGGATGCAGGAATGGAGATGCCCATGGATTGCTCTTGAGCTGATCGAACATGTCTCGCATCGCGTTAGAATTGGGCAATGATGCGGCCGGACCAGGGTTGATCCATAACCAGAACTTCGGCCTGCAGACATTGGGATCCGGGTGGTCCAGATGAAGTCCCAGATTCTGTGTGAAAAGGAAGGAGAGTAACGCAAGATACGGTTTGTCAGTGAAAGGTCCAGTCCAGAACATGTGGAACAAGCGCGGGTTCTCCTCGTCACAGGCCGTCGGTGATTGCACATGGGGCACATACTGCGGAGGTGGAGGCAGACGAAGATGAGGTTCCCACTCCGCACCACGCTTCTTGGTAAACTCATCGCTTGGATCTACCTCTCCTTGAGTCTTGAGTGCGAACGATGGCCTTAGGAAGGGGTCTGTAATCGTAGTGTTGTCCATTTCACCGGTTTCCACGTAAATGTACTTCCATTCATCCATCTTGCCTCTTCGAACCCGCCTACCAGGGTCCAACCCTGCGCCTAGTCGCAAGACCTCTAGGCAATCACGAACATACTGTATTGCGCATTTCAGAATCGGCGAAATTGACCCGTAAGAGATATGCAAGTACCTTGTCCTGAGAGAAATCACAGTGGTCCATAACAACATCCATGTCAGCGATACTGCCTGGTACGGGCCTTGGTGGATAAGCAACATTTGGAGGTTGACTCTGTAAATCAAGATAGACGCGTTTTGAACCAATGCCAAGAGTGTTCGTGACTATTGGGCCACGGAAACGCGCAGGAGGAGATGTTGACTTCCTTGCAGGTAGCGCAGGATTTGTGGGAGGCTTCGAGAATGCGAGCTGTTCGGGAACTGCAGACGTGTCAGATTCGAAACGCTTCAAGTAACATATCATCTAGACTCACTTTTCAGACTACTGGGATAATGTCCAGCAGCAACTTCCCATTCCCATATCCGCTGTAAGTCTTCTCTTCGATAGACAAGCGTTGGCGGGTCACCAAACGGTAATGGTGCTGGCCATGTTTTTTCCTCCGTACCGAAACGGCTATGCAGAGCAAAGACGGTATATATGGCAGCAATGAACACGAAGATCAGTAGTGCCCCTCGTCTTCGACCAATTTGATTCACAACGAGGTGATGCACTCGACTAGGATTAAGTGCCAGTAGTCGCAGTCGACGAGTACGAACACCAGGTATTGGTAGCGTTATGGGAACCAACCACGACGCGGTATGGTGATGCCTGCGCCATTTTTCCTGTACAGCGGACGAGGACGAATACATGGGCAAGCTGCCGTTGGAATTGTGATTTTCAGCGAAACCATTGGATCGCTGGGGGAAATATATAGAGGCAGTCATGCTCCGTCACGGTCAGTGATGGCCGTCGCAAGGAGCGTCCGAGGACGTCTAAGGAGAGCTGCGGGTAATAAGTAGGAGAGGTATAGCTTAGAGGAGGACTAGCAAAGACACCGTGGCTAAGGACAGCGCTGTACAGCACTTTGCACTCCAATTCCAGCGCCAATCCTTCTCATTGACGGTGATAGCAGCCCATCTTGAACAAATTACCAGAACAGCAGAGCGCCCTCCACAATGTACAACAGCAGAATACCATACATTCTTCCTATTTCTCAAGGACACAGTTATTGTACATTACAAAACTACAATTCTTTAACCGTCCATCAAAATGTATCATAAAGCAGAAATCCTAGTTGGCACCGAGAGGCTGCAGCTCAAAGTCGGCGGGGTCAGTAGGAACAGAAAGAATACGAAGCGTGTTGGTGTGGCCGAGGCCTCCCTTCCAGCCCTGCACAGCGACCACAGTTGTGCCGGTCTTGATGAGGTTGAGCTTCAAGGCATTGCGGAGACCAAATCGAATACGGTTATCGACCTAACAAACATCCGGTCAATAACTTGAATGCAACTACGGCATATTGATACATACATCGGTCTGCCATTGGTGGGGCTCAATGCCCCGAGGCTCAGGGTACCAGAAGGGGTAGCATCCACGGTGAAGGTTGAGCTGACGACAAGTCTGCTGGTTACGAGTGACTATAAAACGTGGTTGGCATCATTGGCAGTTCGAAGGTGTTATCAACAGCATACCTGTGATGATGGGAGTGCTTGGGCGGTACTTCGATAGAAGACGAGCTGTGTTTCCGCTGGTCGAAAGGACTACGATCGCACTCGCGTTCTGCTCAGCAGCGGCAGCAACAGCTGCAATTGCAACTGTCTCGACCGTCTCGGTGGGACGGGGAGTAACACCTCTCAGCTCATCAAACAGAGGAGGGTAGCAGATAGCGGCTTCAGCGAGCAGGCAAGTCTCCGCCATCATAAGAACTGTGATGTGGGTGAGCGAGGCTTGATGACATGAGAATCAGAAGAACAACTGACCGGATTGGACGGGGTATGAACCCTTTGCGGTTTCACCAGACAACATGACGCAGTCGGCACCATCGAGGACGGCGTTAGCAACATCGCTAACTTCGGCACGTGTTGGCCTGGGGTTGTACTGGAGCAACAAGTAAGGTTTCTTTTGATGCTGTCAATCAGGAAAGCACTTACAGTCATTGATTCCAACATCTGAGTTGCGACAATCACAGGCTTGCCGGCCATGTTACACTTTGCAATCATCATCTTCTGAGCATAGAAGACCTGGCTGGCTGGGATTTCGATACCGAGATCACCTCGAGCCACCATAACACCATCGGTTTCCTTCAAGATCTCGTCAAAGTTAGCGACACCCTGCTCGTTCTCAATCTTCACAATGATTTTGATCTCAGCACCCTCAGGGCCGAGGACTTCACGGATATCGCGGACGTCCTGAGCCCGACGAATAAATGAAGCAAAGACCATGTCGACGTTGTTCCTGACACCGAACTTCAAGTCAGCCTTGTCCTTCTCCGACAATGCAGGGAGGTCGACTTCAGTTTTGGGGAGGTTGACTCCCTTGTGAGAGGACAAGGTGCCATTGTTCAATATTCGAACATGGACATTCTCACCGTCAATGCCGGTGACAAGCAAAGAGATAATGCCTAATAATCTTCTTATTAGGAATAAGGGGTTTAGGGAGACGAGAGTGAACTCACCATCGTCAACATAGATGAGCTTTCCGGGTGCAGTCACCCTTGGCAGATTTTTCTGTATGAGTGTGAGCGAATCTCAAGCGAAGAAAGTGTGACAACGCACATAATCCATGTACATGATTTTGTCATCGCAGATCTGGCTGTACCTTTCGTCGGTGGTAATGATGAACTCATGGCCAGCCTTGATTGGGATCTACAAGCCAATATTATTAAGGAAACAGAAGGAAAGCAACTAGCATATACTCACATCAATGCCATCCCTCATCGAACCCGTGCGAATCTCAGGTCCTTTCTAAAACCGTCGATGAGATTTCATAGATTCTTTGTGAACATCGAATATTATCATACCGTGTCCAGGGCGATGGCAACGGGGCGGCCCTCGGGGTCGGCTGAAGTAAGTATTTGAATAAGGGCAAAAAGGAGACCCATCTAACCACATACCAGCCACCATCTTCCTAGTGTTGTCGATAACGCTCTGATGGTACGCATACGAGCCATGGGAGAAGTTCATACGAACTAAAATAACACCATTTCAGTTGGGTCACTACGTTCTCCACCTCAAGGTTGAACGCGTACCGATGTTGACACCAGCGCGCCTCAAGTCCGCCAAAGCCTCGACTGAGTTCGTTTTTGGGCCTAACAGAAAAATCATCAGTGCCCCACGCGTCGACGATCTTCAGTTCACATACCGATAGTTGCGATGATAGCAGTCTACGTACTAAGACTGAGTCAAAGATTCACACATGAAAGTCCGATCGATTCGTACCTTACGATAATACTTCGTCTCCTCAGTGGGCACAGGAGCCTCAGTCGTGCTAAGGTTGGCAAACCATTCAAGTCTAGATTCGATAGCTGCCATGGTTGTGCAAAGAAGATGAGTGGACGAGTAAAGATGAAAGTTGAATGTTGAAGTTGGGGGCCCCTCGAGATGTCTTATAGATCCCCAAAGCGAGCGGCGCTAGAGTGGGAACAATCAGTGAGCTTCTATGGAGATTCAGATCGTACCAGTATCTCGCCAACAAAATCTTGGTCACTCATTACCGCTCTATCGACCAGCTGGAAGTAGATATCGAAGGCAACGTTCTTCGCTGGGCAGCAACGTTTGACCCGACGATCTTTCCATTGGGTAAAGCATGAATTTTATGAACCGAAATAAACCAAAGGATGACGCTAATACTAACAATAAATGTACAACACTGAATAACATGTGGTAACGAGACGAAAGCACGACAGAAATGTGAATAGCGCAACAACAATCATAGCAGTAGGATATCTTGCCCATAGGAAATGTATAACTTCTTCAAACCACCCGTAATGACCATCCGTGCGTACTGCCAGGGACAGATGCCGCTGCGGTAGCAGCAGCAAAGAATTGAGGATTGGGTGCACCAGTCATAGGGTCAATGCCACCGATCCCCGCAATATCAGGCGAGGCAAAGATATTGTCCGCTACGACAGCACGTCCAGAATGATATCCAACACCGTCAACGGAGCGAATAAATAATAATGGTAGACTACGCCCGGTGATTGTGCGCATATCGGGTGGTGCTACAGGTTCCTTATCGGTCGACTTGTGCTGTTCGCCATTTGAAGGGGAGGCAGATGGCATTGTTGCATCTTCTTCCAGGGCACGCAAGATTTCTGTAAGCGGGGGAAGATCCACAACCACAATCGTATGAACAGGACCAACTTTCGGAGGCGCGCTGGCGTCTTCGATGTTCAGAGGGACCATGCCTCCGAAACGGCTGAATTCGTGAGTATCGTAGGGGAGATTCTGTACAATACGAATGAATGGAGAGATGGAAGTGAGTGGACCCTGATGAGCTGATTGGTAAGCACGTAGTCGTAAAGGCCCAAGTCTTCCCAGATAAACATCCAGAGGTGTAGCTGTGTTGTCCTTAGGATTATTGAAGAAAAAGTTTGCTACTGTTAAATCAAGAGTCTGTTTGTCCTGATTGTAGACGGGGGCGGTAAATAGGGTGGGAAAGGGGGTGATTGGCATATCAGGGACACCTTCGCCTTGTCCAAAAGCATCGAAGAATGTATACTGAAATTTTGCTGGAGTTCACGAATCACTCAGATGAATCCTCACGAATACAGCGAAGAACTTACAGATTCCCACAATAGTCCAACACAAGAAGTCATCGACTTCATCCGTCATGACTCGTACACCATCCTTAACCTCCTCCCTTACTCTGGGAGCTTGGAAAAGGAGCGGGTGTGTACCAGTTTGATGTGCCAGATTCGGCGAGGTGGGAGGCACGGCACCTGGTGCAGTGGGCATTGGGCCCGCAGCAGATAAATAATGTCGAGTGCCATCGGGATTTATACGTTGCAGAGCTATCTTCTGCATCTGGCTTACAGGCCCTCCATCGTCCGGAACAATACGACCCTTATCAACTTTGCGTATGACAAGTGGTGCAGTTTGTGTGCCAGACATGGTCTCAGAAAGACTGATTTCACTTCCATAAGTTACTGGCTGAGGTTGAGGACCAGCTGTGGCGTAAAGCGGTTATGAGCGCTGAACGCTTCGAGGAGTTGTAGAGATTCGTACCAAGCGGTGGCACATCCCCGTAAGGACGAACTACATTCACATTGAACGCAGACCAGGAAGTATTGCTCGCGCACAACTGAGTCTGATCGACAGTCATGTACTTGGTGCGAACAGTCTGGGAGTTGATGCGATTAAATAACGAGACTGGCCCTCCCGCGAGAATACACGAGGAGAGGTTTCTGGTCTTTGCGGTCTTCTTGGATGGTTTCGAAATGATCGTTACTGGAGCAGAGTCGAAAGCGGCCCACACACGACCAGGAGCAACTGGCTCGCCACCCTCCACCGCCGGTTGACCAGAGGGTTCTGCAATATCTAAAGATAACTGGAAACTCTTGCTTTTGGCGGTCCCAGAGACATGGAGAAATTTAAAGCTAGCACTGAGGTTCTGGTCGAGAGTAGCTCGTTGCTCGAAAGAACGTTCGCCTCCTTCAGAAACGACTGTCATGGAGAGCTGCTGTGACTTCATTTGCCAGATAGGCCCCTCAATGTGAACGATAGGAGGAGGACACAGAAAACGCTTCTCGCTACCATACGATTTCTGAGCAACGGCAGCATGAAGACACAAGACCGTAGTCATGGGTCTGGCCCGATTGGGATCTTGAGACGTATGCTCTTGTACGACGCGCCGTATCTTGTTATGTGGGTCGCCTTCGGTATCATCCAACTTGCGTTTGTTAGGTCTCTAGCAAACGAAGAGGCGTTGGTGAGCGATCAAGTCCAAGCAGAATGTTGCATACCTGAACCGAAGTTGAGACTCCGGATCCAGAAGGTAAATGATTAGCATGGTGACTTGAACTGTTGCTTGATGAGGGCCAAGCCGGCTGTTGGCTGGTGCTGGGTGCAGGAATACTTGATGGGGTATGATTCGCTGCAGCCATGACGGAGTGGATGGAAGCGTGTTCACTGCCAGGGGCGTTAGTAGAAGTGGTGCGCACGGGCGAAGGTGCAATGCTAGAGCTCTGAGAGCCAGATGCGCTTTGATTAAGAGCCTAAGACGCGTTCAGAACGAATTGCTGAGGCAAAAGGAATGTGATTACACTAGAGTCAAGCGAATGTTGCTGAGGAGACCCGGAGCGCGACGAATGCTGTAAATTTGGAGCAGGGGCGGAGTCGCGATGGTCGTGCAGGTCTACGGCGGCAGTTGAGGCCATAGGAAAGTGATCATAAGTGGGAGGAGGAAAAGGCGGAGGCAAGGACGCAGAGTGATAACCTGGATAGGTCCTCATGTGGGAATCGAGAATGGTGGTGGGAAGAAAACTGAAATGTACCCACGCGGGTCTGTTATATACCGGCCATATAGCGACCAAATCAGGCAACTCCCTCCCACGACTCTCCCACGCTGCATCCCCGCTTTCCCACGATCTGTCTGCGTGCTCATGTATTCCCGAGGACGACGAGAGCCATGACAAATCTACATCCAGAATCCCGTCTATCAATACAAGTCTATGTTAGCACAAAAAACAAATCCATGTCACACGCTTCATAGAGGCAGAACATCAAGGAATCTTCGCAGGTTTTGGTTCACATGTGTCTCCAACTCCAGCTCCTCAAGCTTGTCTTCCCCATCGTCTTCGACAGGCGAGAACAATCCATCAGAAGTCACCTCGTTGTCGCTCGTTGATGCCACAACAGTAGTGTGCGCCTTCCGAAGCGCGCAAAGAGCGTCATGCAATGCGTCGCTATCTACAGGATCATCCTTCGTGTATGGTGACAGCAAGGGCCCGGAGGCGTCCCCAGCTTCTGAAAATCCGAACAGGTCATCTGAAGCACGTAAGAGATGCACATGAGCGATCTAAAGTACACAAGAAGCGCATGTAACATAGCATACCAAATGATAGCACGCCTAGCTTATCCTCCTGCTTGATCGTAGCTTGCATCACGGTATCTTCCTCTTCGAACACTGACCCTGGCGTGGGAGGTATCCATTCCTCATCCTCCGACACAGGTGACATAGACCCCGGTATCATGCTCTCCTCCATATTGTCATCCTCCGACCCACGCAACCAGCTCCACGCGCTCGATCTCCAGTTCTGCGAAAGCGCTAGGGTACTAGGAAAAAAGCCGGCGAGACTGAAAGGGTCCTCGTCGCGTTCTTCCCGAGGTGTATGATATCCATACCCATACACAGAAGTGGGTTTGGAACTTCCAAGGGTTATAGCACTCGCGTGCCGCTGTACATCGGCTCTATGGCCTCGGGGAAATGTCTGGTCAGGAATTTTGATGTGTGGAGCGGACTGTGAGCGAGTGAGGGACATGATCACGATAATATGAGAAGCTTTCTAGTGAACTTCAGTACATGAAGGTATAAAGCAAAGTAGAACAGGGGCGGACTAGCGTAGGCTAGCGTTTTGTATGGTTTGGATCCATGGTGGGGAAACCCCGCAAGTGTTACATCCTACCCCACAGCTCGGCGCTCCGGGAACCTCGGCGCTTCGAGACTCGTATACTGGATCCGCTACATTTTCACCTCGGTTTTCTGGCCATCGTCTCGACCTCAAGAACCTCCATGATCCATGCGGTACATATATGAGAAACTATATTTATCAGGCAATAAATCTAAAATGCTAGGAGAGTCCGGAGATGTGTCCAGCTGCGTACATGTTATGATGAGATGTGGGAGAATGAATGAATGCAAAAACAACATGGATGGAGGAACGACTGACTAGAGTATATGTAATGTACGTGTCCAAAGAAAGAAAGAAAGTACCTGGTATACATGAACGTGGTATTCCAATAACGTCCCTATCGCGTATTACGGCTGATGTTACTTGATAACGAAGGTCCGATAGGTTTGCTTTTCATACACGTCATGGCAGAGGCTAGCACCTCCGAGGAAGAACGCGACAAAATCATGTCACGAAGCGACACACCTAGCTGATGGGGTCGCGATGAATGCCGGTCGATCGTTGACGATGATCTGGGAAAGGCACGGCAGATCGCCGCTTTGACGATGGAGGTTCAGGCCTTTCAGGTTTTATGCCGGACTCCAAATCTTGCAACTGATTCCTCTGCCACTCATCTACCTTTCTAGTTGACTTCGGCACGGAAGCCAGAAGGTCTGCACTCAAGCTGCGGGAATGACTCTTGGTGCGAGGATCATCCCCAGGGGATGTAGATCGTCCTTTCGCACCGTCCAGGATATCGCCCGATTTATGATGCTTCTTCTTGCCTTCCTTGCTCAGCGCTGCAGCTTGTTCGGTCTGCCGTTTAGTCACTGCCCGTTTTTCCATCTCCTTAGCTCGTCCCCAGCGCCTCTTCGCCTCGGCCAGTTCAGTCTGCTCCTTTTCCGCTTGAGTCAAAGGGGCCTGCATCTGTCTGATCATCTCCCTGTGCCTCTCTGCAAGCTCCTCGAACGTCTTTGTCCGAGGCTGCTCTGGCCTCTTAGGAGTAGGTGACACAATAGTTTGTGGCGGAAGAATCATTACAGGAACATTCGCACCCTGTGAGTGGGACTTTTTATGCAGCATCGGTGCGGAAACGACATCTTCCCGCGGGGGTGGGGAAGACACATCTTGTGGATCTGGAGGAGCTTGTGCAGATAGTGGGTTGGCCTGACCAACAGATAGAGCACTTTCCCGACGACGACGTTCAAGCAGTGCATCTGTGACAGCTGATGAAACGGACAACCTAGGTGCAGGGCCAATCGGGGTGGTAGGAATCGGTGCAGTGACGCCAGAAGGCGGTTGCAAAAGCTTTCGCTCACGGACATAGGCATCCCAATCATCATCGCGAAGAGGTGCACTAACCGGTCGGCCAATGCTAGATGCAAGGTCAGCGAGGTGCGATAAATCCTCAGAATACGCGCGAGTGCGGGGATCAGGCTGCCTTGGAGGGCGAAGATGAGATGGTCCGGCTGTCATAGTTCCCGGGTCATGGCTCGCAGTGCGACGCGAAGCTACAGAAGCGTGTCGAGAATCCTCACTACTTGAAGGAGCGGGGGTGTCAGACTTGAGGATCTCAATTGACCTGCGAACTGCTTGAATCTCAGCCAGTAACCCTTCCTTTTTCTTCAGATCTTCCAATTCTGCCAACGTTAGGTCTTTCTTGTTGCGAGACCCTGAGGATTCAGCGATAAATCCTTGTGGTACGTCTTCTTCAAGGTCCGTACCCAGATCAAGTACGGGTAACGCTCCGGGTGTTTGTCTAGATGCCGCCCTGTTCAGCTCCTCCACAGGTGGAGGAGAAGCAAGGAATTCTGATACCCCGGATTGGTATCGCTGTCTTGGGCTACTCACAAGAGTAAAAACGGATGCACGCTTCTCATCTGAACCGGTCTCCACGCCCGTCGTGGCTGTCATCGCACTGTCATTGCGCCCATGTTTCGCAAGGCTCGGGTGAGCACGGTCCCATTCTTCCTTCTCTTGATCCAGACTGGCAAACCGCTCGGCAGCCCTGGCTACGGCAACCTCATCTAAACGTCGTTGTTCCTCCCTGATCTCTTGTAGTTTGCGTTGAAGAATCTTCAGAATCTGGAACTGGACTGCCATACCCATGAGGGTAACGGCGCCCAGAAGACCTAGCTCTATCTGCATAGATTGTGTCACCGGAAATTTGATGTTGTTCTCAAGAAACCTTGGGAAGAGAGATGTGAAACCGATGTTCCAAATGTAGAACTATGATCATCATTAATTAGCACGAAGTCAACGGGAAGATTTATGACTCCGGGACGTTTAGGCGTACCTCTTTCAAGTTGGCCGTAGTATAACAGTCAACACCTAGCATAAAAGACGTTGCACCCACAAATGCAGTAGAGATGAGGAGGACATGATAGTGAATCTTCGGAATAGTGCATAAGACGAATCCAACAACGGCACACCCTGAGAAGTTAATGGTCTTGAGACATAGCACGACGCAAACACAATAGATATCATACTCACCGATGTACATGATCCACCGCAGCCCGATCGGAGTGATGAGACCGCCATTTCTAAAGCATTGTATCCACAAGGCAAACGCGAAGCCTCCCCATCCACCGATAAAGTATCTGGTAGCTTTCCAAAAGAATATCGTGATACCACCACCAGCAATGCCAGCGACACAGCTCGCCAGGACAAAAAGACCTCTGAGTGTATCTGTGGGAGGATTCACAGCCCGTAGGACCCCGAACTTGAGGATGAGGACTATACAAACGAGGGACAGCGAATAAAAACCGACGAGAAAGAATGACGTCCTGGAAGACACACTGAATTCCCGACTTTAAGGAGTGAGCATATTACGTACCAACGGTTCTTATGACCCAAGAACGCACTCGGTAAACCGGTGAGGATGAGAATGGCACCGAGCACGCCAAAGGCAGGGTCAATTCTGGTGTCAAGCTGGGAAGGGTCAGCAGTAGGTGTCGCAGAAGCAGAAATAGTTGTCGAGCTTGCAGCAATCGTCGAGGTCGCAGTTGCGGTTACATTGAAGATTACTGGAACGACGGTGGTGATTGGGATGTCGCGGTTTCCGCTGCGTGATACGGTAGTTGTTGTGGCGGAACTAGTAGCGAGTGATAAGAAGGTGCTGAGCGACAGAGTAGCATTTCCAGAGACAATGACGGTTCCATTGGCGGGAAAGGATGTATCGGTGGCAGACTGGGTGGAGGACTGGGCGGAAACTGGTGCCAAAAAGGAGAAAATGGCGACCAGGAGGGAGAAGAGGTAATAAGCGGAGAAATGCAGCGACATGGCCGCGAAGGGTGGAGGGAAAGGGACGGAAGGGCCTGCGAGAAAGGAGGAATGGGTATATAAGTATCTAGATGCAGGTTGATAGCAAATTCATGACGAGCGAGGCTGGCGGTCCAATTCACGATACGAGACTCTGGCGGGGTCAGCCTGCCGCCTTCATATCCACGTGCTGTCGCTGCAAAACCTTCTCACTCGCTTCCATCCAGCTCTCTGATATTCATTCACACGACCGTACCATCACTGAAACAATGCCTACTGTCATTCAAGACACTGTTATTCAAGACATTGTTGTCCGATACCTCTCCAAATCTCACTACAACATACTCTATGGCACTCCAAGCTAGACAACGTATCTCCTCCGACAACCCCTCATCTCCATCCCTACGGCGTTTCAAAATAGGGCCAGCGCATCCATGGTGTGAAATGAGACGCAGCACTCTTCTTCGCCGGCCGTTGTACACGCTGACATAGGCTGGCATCGGACCGCTCGATGTTCACATCTGTAGAAACCGTTTCGTTCCAGTCATCCAAAGTATTCTAGCTTGACAGGGGAAATCTTCAGCTTCTTATAGATCTGCGCCAACCGACTGGGTTCGTCCCTCACGTGTACTTTCTTGCCCTCGCGGAAAGTGTACGGTGACTCGACGACCGTGACTACTTTGCCTTCTTTTCCGAACCTGCCCACTCGTCCAGCAATATGAACGTACGTGCGAGGGGTCATGTCGTCCCAAACTCCGAGTCGGAAGACATGTGAGAGGTCTGGTAAATCAAGGCCACGCGTAAACACGGTTGTTGATACAATCATCGTCGGGTTGTCCGCTGGCTTGTCTCCCTTCCTAAGTAAATGGGTCCGCACATTCTCTTCATCAAGTATGTTCAACCCGTGAGCATTGATACCGAGCTTCCGCAGGTCATGGATGGCCCATTTAACGGGAGCAGTAGCAGGAAGAACCAGAAGTGCGACCTGAGGAACTTCGAGAGCAAAGATAGTTGCGATGGCTTCTAGTGCCTCTTGATTGAATGGGGAGGATTCGGCGTCATCGACATCTGCTTCGAGCGAAGATAGTCAGCGTTTGTCTGCAATTCTGCAAAGCTTCACATACCCTCAGAGATTTCCTCCATAGGCAGAAGTGACAGTTCATCTTCAATGGAAGGGACGTCCGTCTGCCCTTCGTCTGGCCCCAATGCAGGTACAACAGCAACCTTGGAGCCGTCGATGTTCTTTATTGTACCGTCCGGGGACACAACCAAAGCGGAATGTTGGACCAATCCGGAGTCGATTGTTCCTGCAGACTCAACCCGAAGACTTGCAAAATCCGCTCGAGATGAACCGGAAATGTCAACGACATCTTTCCAACGTCTTGTAACCCAACCACTTTTTCTCATCAGAGTAAACTTGAACTGTGACCTGAGCGTTGCGCTTGTTGCAATGAATTGGGTCCTCTGTTCCGACGAACCGTCTTCTCTATCGCTAGTATCCTGGACTTCACGAATATATTTCGGGTAAATGAGATTGAGTATTTGTCGTGTAGGTGTGGGATGCTTCTTCAACATCCGCTCAAATTTCAATATATCATATTTCCTGGCGTTCGGTGGTAGATGTTCTATAACGGTATCAACCTCATCCACGACCACGGTAGAAATTGCCCAAGTCGGAAGAGCGGAAGGGTCCTCCTGGAAAACATCGAGAAGAGCATTAGGCGTGCCAATGACCAGACGGGGTTGATGTTCGTGCAACTGGGATATGTGGTCTTTTAAGGACGATCCGGTGCCACGTACGACGAGCTGTGCGAGAGTTGAAACGTCCGAGTTGGTTGTATTTATGGCGCCATGGAGAGACTGTATCCAATGCATGCACTGCAGAGCAAGTTCTCGATGAGGAGTAATCACCAGAACCGTAGACGGTCTGGATCCACCCTTTAGATGCTTACGCCGTCTGAACTCCATTTTCTGACGAGGCTTGCTTAAGAGGGCTAAAATAAGACCAAACGTCCTGCAACAAGTCATGAGTTCCAGCAGAATCTACAAATTCATGTATACGCACTTCCCAGTGCCCGTATCATTTTGTAATAGGACGTCAAATCCACTAAGAACAGCTGGTATAAACTTCCGCTGGCTTTTGGTTGGTATCTGTACATTCGGAAAGGTGGATTGTAACGCTTTCGCAACAGGCTTGCTGATACCTAGGCTTTCGAATGAAGGCGGAGCTTCAGTGACGACCGACTGACTCGCATGGCCGATGTGTCTGAGTGAAGGTCGTAATGAATGCTTGGCGAGAGGGAGAACGAATGGTGGGCATGTGAGAGATCGAGAGAAAGATGCCATGCCACGTGCATGTGTGTGACCATTTTCATCTTCGTCTTATTTATAACGGGCGACTCGGTATCGAGATAAAGGAAATTTGATTGTAGTACAGAGGATGCACGAAAATTTGCAAAGTGACAAGGAAAGCAGACAAAAAAAGCTAAGTCATGTATATGGGAAATATGAACTGTAGGCTAACTATCCGAGACGTGTGAGCTGGTATGGGAGAATTTGTAGGATGGTCTCGCAAGTGGTCGAGCCAAATGATAGTGTAAACTTTGTGAGGATGAGCAATGTGAAGGAGAGGGTTATGCACTACCAATGGCAACACATGATGTGCACCATCATGCAGAGATGTTCCCGTTTACGCCTTCCGGATCAGAAGCAACCCGATGGCGTCCCCCTTCGTCTCCATTGTTCATCCTCGACAATTCCTATTCATCACCGTCACGTATCGGTTCGTAGGAAGCAGCGTGCTCCGACCGATTAAGCAAACGACTTAGCAAGCCACGCCCGGGAAGAGAGGGCAGTTTGTTAGAGGAACTTCGTGAAAGTCGAGATTGGCGGGATCGCCGCGAGACGAGGGAAGCCCGTTCGGACTCCTCATCCTCAAGACGTTCCTCTAGTTCTTCTGCATTCGCACAGATGCATGAGTAATGATTCCAGTAGCGAAGGGGGGATCCTTACCTTCACCGAAAACGGCATCCATTTCCTCCAAAGGAACACCTTTTGTCTCGGGATACACTACGACATGGTTAGCTAGTGGGTTTAATGGGAGAGGATCACTCTTACAGAAGTACACTATAAATGTCATTTGAGCATGAAACACTCAAGGTCGGTACAGTCTTATCAACTCACCGACAACGAAACTGCAAGCGCAGAAGAATCCGTGCATGGGGTATAATCGCCATTCAATGACTTCTTGTAGGACTGGTGTCATTTCCCCGACGAGGAAATTAAATGCCCAGTTGGTGGCGGTGGATAAAGATACACCTTTTGCGCGCACAGCCAAAGGCATAATCTAATTTCTCAGTTCAGTACTTAGGTAACGCGTAAAAAGGTGATGAATATGCATACCTCAGGAGGATATAGCCAAGGCAAAGGGCCCCAACTGATGAAACAATTAGTGAAAACTGGGAAGCACGACATAGAGTCTAAACAAACCTATATCCAAAGGCCGCATTGTAAATAATGACGCAGGTGACAACCGCTTTAGGTGTCTCTGGGACGTCAATATACATCCACCAACCCGTAAAGCCCAGGGCAATACCCATCTACAAGGCGATCCTTATCATCATGAACCCCTACTTCAATTACGAATGAACTTACCACGACCGCACCAGTTAAGAGAATCAATCGACGGCCCCATCTATCAACAAGATACCACCTGCAATTGAAACTGGATGAGATCACGGCGTGTCGTTCAGATGCAAGATACGCACGGTGGCAGAGTACTTAGGACGTAAATGATAGCATTGATACCTGTCATAAGGATGGCATCCCGGCCAACCCATCCAGCCTCTGCAAGTACTTGAGCACAAGAATTGCCTTCCAAAGACACAAAATACTCACCCTCAAATACTCTAGCTATGTGAAAAAAAAATCAGCACATAAAAGTACATGGCAGCGATTAAAGAACTCACGTGCATAGTAAGATATGACGTTAATTCCATTCTGTTCCAGAAATGAGCGGGGCGTAGAGCGAAGGGCACACTGGACTTACAAGTTGAGCAAAGGCCTGCGATGACATTGCTAGCAGCACACGGCGCTTGTAACGTTTCCACATAACAGCGTATGTACGTCCTTCGCCACTCTCACGCTGCAAGAAAGTCAAGCGAAGAACTAGACCAATACAACGGAGCTCTTACGTCAAAAATAACCCTCTCTTTGATTTCTTGGAACTCGGCCTTGGCAAGAACGTCTTCTGGGTCACCTCCATGAAGATCGACGAGAACTCGCATACCCTCTTCGTCATGATCTGTATCTATGAGCCACCTGTGATGTGAATAATTCATTACAGGTTACGCAGTCAACGTACGCAGAAAGTTTACCTTGGACTCTCAGGCATGACAAGCGATCCAGCCGCAAGCAAGGCACCAATAAGGCATTGCACGAACAGCGGGATTCGCCATGACATGTCAGAGTCAATAAAGGAGCAGAAATAATCTAGCCACTGGAACGTCCTTCTAGTCATAAACGTTTGTGGAAGAAAACCTCACAACGTACCACAGAGCAGGCATAGCCGAAAACGTTTCCTGTAAACTCCATACACGCTAGAGCACCTCTCTGGGGGAGGATCACAAGATGCCATGCGCGTCAACCCAACGCATATTTTCACGTAAAGAAAAGCACACACATGATCCGGTGGTGAGATTTCACTTTGGTATATAGGAACAATCGTCCTGATGCAAATGTCAATCCTGTGAAGTCGATGAAAGCTGTGAATTACCCACGAAAGTAGGCCGACACCAAAACCAGCGATGACACGACCAATGACCATTATCCAGAACCCCGGCGTGAACGTTTGAACGGCACCGCCAAGTGCGAAGACACAAGCACCAATAAAAAGGGTCCCTCGTCTGCCTATTATATCTCCGACGCGCCCCGCCGCAATAGATGTAACTATTACGAGGTCCTTGAGCAAAAGCGCTTTCAAAAGGCAGTTGTGTCAATCTTACTGAACGCGCCGATCTCCAAGACAGCGACCATGGTGCCGACCTCAAATGCCTTTGGCTCATTGAAGAACTTGAGAAAATGAGGGCCAGTGATAATCCCAGACATAACGCTGTGACGCTGGATGAAGTGAACGCCAACTACGGAAACAGACTCGTAACGTACCCTTGATCATATCCGAACTACAAATATAGCAGTCAGACGAGATGGATGCATAGAGAGCAAAGTAAAACTGACAAGAAATACACCCAAACTAGCAAACACAGAAATGGCATAGAGCAGCGGCTGGCCCACTAGTCTCTTGCGTGAGCTGCGACCAGCTATTGATGTTTCCATGACGCATCTGCAAACTAACGACCGTAAGTAACAATGAGAGACAGGCCACTGCAGGAGAAGACAACAAGAATGAATAAAACAGAAGCGGCCGGAGCGTGCAGAACGGAGGGAACGATGGTGTTAAAAGCCTCGAAGTGGTGGCCGTTTGCACTGCGTCCAAAGATGACGCCCGGCACTCCGGCCGTAGGTCACCTGAAAGTTAACAGCAACATTCACCTGTGCCGTTCTACATATCGTGGACATCGACCACTATCATGCCAAGCTCTGTGGCATCACTAGACTCTACTGCATCAGATGACTCTTATGATGAGGAGGAATACCGTCTAGCGCAGCAGGAATGGGAAGAGAGTTTGGAGCAACTCCAGCAGTTGGTTTCCATCGTCCTTCTCCCATTCTTCGGAAAGTGGTTGGGCAGGAGATGGAGTCATTGGGGTGCGTCTTGTATATCTCTTGCGGTCTTACGATTTGATTTACGCTTCTACTCAGCATATGCACGCTATTTACGTGTCGGTCTGGGGAAGTCATTCTTCCTGGGCGAACGGGTTCTTCTAGCGGCATCGCAATAATCTACTCTATCGCGCAATTATTGTACACCGGTAGATGCCTCCTGTGCTCTCCACCTCATTTTGATCTTATTGACCACCTTCATAAGTGCCGCTGTCTTTACAAACCCGCTCCCATTCATCTCTGACACCAACTGATTCGCCAATTCCCATTCCTTCCGTTGAGCCAATCCCTGGAGGAGCACATACCACGCGTCGTGGCCAATCATGAGTCTGTCTGCTTGCATTCCCCTGAAATATAATAATGCATTGCGCACACCCCGCGGTTCTGGGTTGCTCAGCGACGCTCTGAGCAGTATGTGATACATGGGTTTCGTAGGCACGATATTTCGACTCCGCATGCGTTGCATGATATCTCTTTGGAAGTCTTCGGCAGCCGTGGCATCGAGCCATCTCGCTTGCACTATTCTCGCCAAGAGATTGGTATATGTTATATCGTTTGGCGCAATTTCTTTATCCTCCGACTGCTCCATCTTCGTTAGCAGTGCCATCGCAGCCTTGAAATCGGTGATGTTCTCCTGCCTGAGTAAATGGTCGATGATCCCGGTATACAGTGCAGTATTTGCTTTGACGCCCTGCTGGACCATTAGATTGGACACGATCTCTATGGCATCTTCCCGCACCGGAAGCAGTGATCTAAGGAGGGTGGAAAATGTGAAGACGTCGCCGACAAGACCCTGAGAGTCGATCATCTGTAAGATGGAAGCGAGTTTCTTCAGATCACCTTTCCGCTGATGATATCTCATGAACGTATTGAAGGTGACAATGTCAGGACTTGGTCCCTCGGTTTGCATTCGCCGAAGAAGTGCATACGCATCATCCTCCATGCTCTGGAATAATAGACCATGTAACACGGTGTTATAAAGGAGTAAGCGCGTGGACTCCTCGACGTTAGGTAAATGCTTCAAAGCGTCCTGAAATTCCTTGAACCGCAACAGTGCTTCAGTAGTCTGTCCTCCAACAAAGAGTCCTTGAATCAAAGCCCTGTAGGTGAGAGGTTCTGGAGTAACGCCCTGCTTGACCATGATGTCCCAAGCGGCTGCCACCTTGTCCGACATCGCTGGACCCAGTTCCGCGTAGCCGGTAAGGAGTGCAGTCCAAATCGCGACATCTGTTTTAACCCCGAGCTGGGTCATATCATCCCACAGCACTTCTGCCAAATCCAATCGACGGCATCTGAGAAAGGCTGTCAAGAACGATGCCCAGATGAAGTCAGGCACAACGACCATAACCTTGTCATCCAATTCAGCAGGATCCAACGTCAACCAACGATCGCTTGCGGAAAGCTCTGACTTGATCTGATCATAAAGGCGCATCAAGCTCACGTCCGCCCGACTTTGAGTGAGATTGGATATCTGGTTCGCGATCGTCGTCTTTTTGCGAAGCAGTCGAGCTAGGTTTACACGTTTGAAGTAGGTTTCAACTTTGTCACGAAGTACACCGTTTTTACCTATACGTGCCAAGCCAAGTGATAGGTTGGGGCGCAGCATCCGAGTTTTGGTCTGCAAGAAGGCATATAGAGCCTCGTGGTAACGGTCTTGCAGAGCATACGCTGCAACCTCTGCAAAGAGAATGTCGCCAGGTACGAGGGGAAGACCAGCATCTTCATGTGGAACCCGGAGGTCCCCATTGTCCATGACCAGGCTCCTGTTCTCGATGTCCAACAATGTTGAGGACGGGTGATCAGCGTCATACGGCTGACCACTGTCCCCCACCATTTCCTCCACCGTACCAACGTCGTCATTTCCTTCGTTATACTCTGACTCGCTCCTTTCTCGTAATCTCGAGTAATACTGAGCATAGACACGATGAACCACGTCGGGTGCCTTCCGCTTGACATGAAAAATCATGTAATCTCTAAGCGACTGTGGATGTCCTTCCAATGCGAGATGTATGGCCATCTCCTCGATTTCCTGTTGATTTGCGTTATTCCAGTCCGCGGCGCCCACCGGCAACGAGTTGCACATTGCACCTAGATGCCGAGAGCACATCTCCAGGTGGGCGGGGCCAAGAAGACCAAGAAATCCCTTCTGCGATAGACTAGACCACAGCCTACAAGTATTTGAGATATCCTTGTCCTGTAAAGCTTCGCGAAGATTCGCTATTGTCGTATTGAACCATTCTGCATCTGGCTGGCTGAGGGTATGGACAGCTGCTGGCAGTGGCGGTATTCGACCGAGAGCCTCGACGAAGGCAGGATCAGTCACTTGGTTAAGAATCTTTGGAGGTATGGGATCCGCATAGGAGGATTTGAATGACGTGACTATAGTCCGTACACGCAATGCAGACCTCGGTAACAGGAAATCGAGCGTGATGTGAGAGTGAACCCGTTGAGCAGCATGGCGTAGCATACGAATCCTAACAAAAATAGAGACAGCCAGTTACGGTTCCATTGTGGGTTGTAAAAGATGAGAGAGCGCGTTCTCACCGTGAGCGTCGCAATAGTCAAGCTCTAGTAAAGTGCAAAGCTTCAACTTACCGTGAACCTGCTCTAAACTAAGCGCCGATTTATTCACAGTACATCTGAGCGCCTAGCCATACATCTCGCTTATATTCGTCCTTCGACGTACTGTACTTGCACACAACACTTTCTATCTTCTCGTCCTACATTGATACAATATGGGTCACGGAAGCTCAAACAAGCTATATGTTACGCATACAGAACACTCCGGAATGTTTGGTCAGCATACAGCCTCCTCTGCAGGTTTCAAGGCGTGAGTCGCCAATGTGTTGGCATACAATTCCTTACATCTCATACTTACGCGGCATACTCATGTAGGAAGGCAGAAGCACCTCATCCTGGAGCAAGGACGCCATTTGACTGCTGCGCTCTTTCCTTCCAACCGTTTACACACCCCGTGCTCGCCCTTAACCCTGACGGGACTGGCTACGTCTTTGACCTCGTCAATATCATTCCTTGGCTTAAGTAGGTGCCTGCTGAATTAGTGTATTATGATGATTCTGACTTGAAAATTACAGACAACATAACAACACCAATCCTATAACCAATGAACCATTGACTCCTTCAGATTTGATCACACTCCACTATGCACGCAAGCCCTCGGGAGAGATTCATGACCCTATCTCTTTCAAGCCGTTCAGTGAGCATTCACACATTGTTGCCATTGCAACTACGGGGAATGTGTTTTTGGCGGACAGTATCAAGGGCGGAAGAGATCTAGTGGCTGATGTTCGCTTCAAGAAGTATGTTATTTACTTCGTTTCTAATAATAAGTTCCATTCTAATACGCCTATAACTTTAGAGAAGACGTGGTAACTTTGCAGAACCCTCATGGCCTACCGCCAGCATCCGTCTCTACTTCAGCACGAGCCAAGGTTGTAACGACGGAAAAGACCAAAGCATTATCCATCGTCGCATCGAGCTCAGTGGTGAAGACTGCACCAAAAACGAAGGTCTCCATACCATGTGCGTCGTTTTGTATGTACTACCCTGACTTCTCATCTAACACTTGCTCTACAGGGAATGCTTCCCCCTACTCGACCGGTCTTCCGGGCGCATCTCTTACGTCAACGTCAGTCGATCCGCAAACACAGAGTTCCCAATTGCTTTGGGACGAGGTACGGACAAGCTATAGATCGCTCTTTGGATACTAAACCAATTTATCGGTTGCAGGAAGAACTCATGTTTGAAGATTTTGCGACCCCACCAAAGGGTAAAGGCAAGGAAAAAGATATAGGACGTCGACGGGCTTATGTTCGGGTTGTAACCTCGCTGGGAGGAAGCTTGAATTTGGAGTTGTATTGTGAAAAAGTGAGTATTTTTGCATGTTTGCCGCACGTTTCTGACCTCCCCCACCTCCCGGCATCAGGCTCCAAAAACTTGCTACAATTTCCTCATGCTAGCCAAAGCTGGGAAGTATAACAATTGTCTGTTCCATCGACTAGTTCCCGGATTTATGGTAAGTCATGTTAATCACTTAATTCTCATTTGATCTTGACCTTGTCCCTCTTCAGATTCAAACGGGTGATCCTACGGGTACTGGCGCTGGAGGAGAATCGTACTGGGGTACTCCATTTAGGGATGAGTATGACATGCGAAATGCGGCCAAACATGATAGTAGAGGTGTGGTTGCCATGGCCAATAAGGGACCAAACACCAACGGGTATGTCGCTTTTTTGCATTAACGGAGAATCGTGGATTAATGTTCCCAGATCGCAGTTCTACTTGACGTTCAAAGCTACTCCAAATCTGGACAAGAAGCACACTGTATTTGGAAAGCTGGTGGGTGGTGAAGAAGTGCTGGATGCTTTGGAGGCACTACCCGTCAAGCCTGGCACGGAGAGACCAGCGAAACCTGTGCGTATCACAGAGGTAATAATGTGAGTAGGCTTCGTCTATTTATAAGGTATGAAGCCGACGCGGATTTGTGTTATGCAGATACCAGGATCCATTCGAAGAATACAAATCACGTCAGGAAAAGAAACGCGCGAAGCAGGCTGCCGCGCAGGAGCCATCAGCACAGAAGGCGGCGGAGAAGAAAGCCGAAGATGAGATTAATTGGTTCGGTGTCAAGCTTGGATCCAACGCACCAGGGGCTAACGGAGCTTCTGGGGGAGTTGGTAAATATCTCAATGGAGTTGCTGCCAGTAGTTTGAAGAGACCTGCAGAAGCTCTGGTTGCAAGTCCGGGAGCACCTGAAGAGGGCAAGAAGAAACGTCGAATCGGGTTTGGGAATTTCGACGCGTGGTAATAACCTGAATCTATCTTGTATGTATATTGTACAATAATATAGTCTCCAACCATATGTATCTCTACCGACGCGAGTGGGTATCCATGTGCACTCATGCAGGCATTGGTATACGTTGCTGCCGTTCCTCCGCAGGCTGCTCTTCTGTAGTGGTTCAGATTGGTGTGAATGAAGAGACCGAGGGAAAGTCCTTTGAGTACTCTTACCTTCTGGCTCCGCTGACACAGGGAGGCCTTCAGGAACAGAAGGTAGTTCCACGGGCTCATGCACCTCCTGCTCGGCGAGCTGTTCTAGAGATTATTGAAAGCCTTATCATCCCGTCTATAACATCGACGTACCGTTTCTCCCTGCAGAACGCGTAGTTCAACCTGAACTGCTTCCTCATCTTCTACTGAAAGCGAATTGGCCAACATATTGCCGACTTCCTGTAAGAAAATCAGATTCGCATGCATATCGAGAGTTTGTATATGAGCTTTGGACACACTCGTTGGAGCTCCCTGGCTTCCGCTGTCTCGTCCAGTATCTTCTCCACGTTCTCGATGTTCAACTCCTTGTGAATTTCTTTCAGAACTTCACTGCCTTGTTGAAGGCCATGTATGACAGAGACTTCGACCAGCGAGAATTCGATAGTCGATACCTGGTTTGTTATCAAATGTAAGGGGTCATTTGGGATTTCCAGTCTGTTCTGGAATGACGAACTAGTTGTTCAAGGTTCTCCAGTTGAGAGTCGGTCTTTGCCAGCAAGGTTTCCTGGTACTTCCGCTTACGCAAAGCGAAGAGGGCACGATCCTTCTGGCCTGTAACAAGATACTGCTTCGCTATCTCATGTTCGCGATCAAGGACAGCTTGAATCTGGGCGAAGCGTCAGCCCCTTTGAATATTGCAGTAGCATTTATACCAGATCTCCACGCTTACCTTCTTCTGGTATTGCTTTACTTTGTCACGCTGTAGTTTCAAACTAGCATGAATGACAAAATGGAGATGAACATAAATGAGCCAAAGGCTTTTGACAAACTACTAACTCGAGGATGGCACGGTCTTGTTTCGTTATCTTGGGTACGGACTGACCTCCGCCCATGTCAAAGTTGGAGTAGTAACTTAGAAGCAAGAGGCTGTGCTACGTTGCGTAGACTTTGATGAAATGTGATCGGTGAACGTACATACAGCAGAATAATCACAAGCAAGGGAGCATTCGAAGGAGCAATGATGCTAATATAAAGAGATGAAACTCAAACCATCGTTGCCTTACACGGTCTACTATCCGAGTACCGGACTGATGATTCCTCCCGATTGAACTTGAATCACAACGACTCACTGGCAGGTTCTACGTGAGATATGTAGTGTACCGTGTATTGTATTGTACTAGTTATAGATCGTCCTGAAGATGCGTTATACAGTAGAATTAAGTAGATAGGAGGCACTGCAAATGGGCCAGTACTGGTCATAAGAGGTAAAGTGGTACACGGGATTGAGGGCAGTGTCAATGACGGCTAATTGGTTGGTCAGCATATCATACAGTAGTCATGAACTTCGTCGACTATGGTTGGGGCTAGATGGCGATGTGGGAACCACATGTACCTTGGGTAATTGGTCAAGTGCCATTGAAGATGCACGCTCAGACTCTGTGCCTTTGTAGCCAGCGATTGCCAGTGGGTAGCCTGGTCCTGTTCCCTCCGATCTCGGTGAAGTAGATAAGTATATCGTGCTTTGCGGGTATCCAGATGACGAGCGGGAGTGTAGGCCCAGCCTTGGGAGGGTTGTCGTCGTGTCGCGGCGAGGGAGAAGGTTTGGGCGTGTGATCGTAAACAAAAGAACGTTGAGAAGGCCAGAGGATGCAAATATGACATCGGCAACAACTGTTGCTGCCCAAGGGACGCAATGCCCAAGAAACGCCCGCCAGCGAACAATGGCGATGGGAAGGACCTAGTACAACGCCATCTGAGTTTATAAGTAGCACCAAAAAACACAGGTGTACGTACCGTACAAGTATACACCGCTGGATAGCTGAGAATTGTACAAGGGGAGGATTAGAGCACAATAGCTAGAGGAAATTAAGCCGCTCACAATAACATTTTGATTGCGACATGGTCCGTGGCTTCCTTCGTATGCAATACTTCAGAGAGACGCCTTCGTTCCCTGCGATGCAGAACGCGCAAGCGGCCCCCGGAAACGGCAATAACGCCTTTGAGAACAAGTGCTATTGGAACGTAGAGGACAATGTTCAGGAGGGAGGATATCCACATCCAGACATATTCCAATGCTATACGCTGGACAGGATATGCAGAGGTAATCCAGCACCCTGGAACCAAAATGGTTTGAGTGTATTTTGATGAATGGTGAATGTACTTGACTCACAATACTGAGTGTTTCCATAGTAAGTGCGTCCTTTGTGGGTGGCGAAGCTAATGCTGACAATGAGAATAAGGAACAGCCAGATGACGCTCAGAACGGTGAAGGCGATGATGGGCTTGGAGCTAGGCCGCCATTTGAAGACGATCACGGAGAACGTATGAATAGCTATTGCCTACCAGTCAAATCTGTTCTATTAGTGAAAAAATTAGAGTATATGGGACAGACACACCAAAGACCTAAAGACCTCGGGTGCTTAACATTGGGAAGATAATGAGAATGAGATAAACGCACGCAAGGGCCACTCCGACATCGCCCAATTGCTTCAGTGCACCTAAAATTTCGTTGATTATGAGCTCGTGACTTATTCGCTTTCAGCACAACTAGCGATACCGACCTTGAGCTGTGCATAAGGGGCCGTCCGTAACAGCCTGCAAACATGTCAGAAACTTCCTTTGAGACTTTGCAAACAAACACCTACAGCGTCACTAATCCATTGGATGTTAATGATACCTCCTATGAATCCGACCCCTCAGTACCAGTGTCGGGTCTATAACATCCGATGAGATTGACTGACCGACTGCTTGCACAAGATCTGACACCATTAGACTCAAGAAGTACCAATGGACATGCGTAGCAGTAGACCAGTGTCGCGTCCCACCACGTCCCGTCCGAATTACACTGTACTGTAGCTAAAGTGAGTATTGCACCCATAGATACTATCAGCGGAGAGGTGGACATTACGCCGATGTACGATAAGAGCCCTAGCACGGCAATGGCAGACAATGTTGCGGCTTCAACGATAAAGACCAGGCCCAAGCGTATGCTGAAATCGAACGGAGTTGTAGGCACAACGCATGCTGCGGGTTCACCATCAGAGTCGGCGGAAGCATCCATGACTTGGGTGACCGTTAACCACTGAGTGAGTTTAAGAGGGCTACGGGGAAGACCCGTCCGTCGCGGTTAGGTTTGGCATGCCTGACAGGTCGGTATAGTAATTTATGCCTCGGACGGTAGCAGTGCGCGGCTCTCGATGGGGTTTAGAACCGTCGCAAGATAACACGCACACGTCAGGGACCGCGCCAATCTGCCGTATACGATCTAGAATTTTCTCCGCGATGATCAGCAAACACTCACGGGATGTTCCCACCACCACTGGACAAAATTAACCACAGCTTGTGGAAAAATAAGATAGATCAGACTTCTGAAATAATGCAGATCCTGTCCGATACAGCAGTATTCGTGGTCCGAGAGAATGACCAGCGAACCCAGAGTTTCAAGGCACAGCGGAAAACGTTGTGTCCTCGAGGTCCCGGATGTAACCTATAGACGCCTCTTGTCACTAGCCTCCGAATAGAAGTCGGCCTGAGCGTATAAGGTAAGGCAAAAGGAGAGCTGGTACGTACTGAAGCTGCGCATGTGAGAGTTGTTCCTGGGATACATGGAATGCGTTGTGAATTCCGTCAAAGAATGGCAAGTCGCTGGACTAAGTGGTCCAAATCATACATGAATTAGATAATAGCTGCTACATGATAAGCGTACAACAAATCCACGTTCCCGAGAGAGAAAAAAGCAAAACGAACGAAACGATATAAAGTGTCCATAAAATAGTAGAATGTGGCGGTCATCTGCGAGTCGGCCGAGCGGGGATGGGAGGAGCTCTATACTGCATGAACACATCAGTAGCTCGACTCGTATCGGGAACCATGGTACTGGTTGAATCCTCTTCTAGGGAGATTGTGCATTCTGTAGAGAATCTGGATATAGGCAGGGAATCTGCAAATGTCTGGCCGGTGCTGTTAAAGAGGTACTCGTCCAACATTCGTTGATAACGCTCTGCTTTGAGGTGTCAGAATAGAATCGGACCTTCACAATTATACGACTCACGTGCAAGTGTAATACGCTCCGCTGCCTTCATCAACATGGAACTGAAAACACGTGTCAGGATAGATTGCCGCAAAGAGGACTGCATTCTGATACACACCGAATGAAAACAATCTCGGCTTGCAACTGAGGTATCTGTGCATCGCTGTTGGCTTGCATGGCGGCCTTCAGGAATCGAATAAGGACTCTTCCTGACATAAACCAACACATCTTAAGGACAATTCATAAGCAAATGGTAGGTCACATGCTTCAGAATACTCACAATCGAATGCAAGCCCAGCAACGAAACATCGTAACTTGTAGAAGCGATGTTATACATCAAATCCACAATCGCCCTGGCGGCCCGTAGTATCCTGTCGGCATGAACGCAGGTCGCCTCTCCGGGTCTAGCGTGAGGCTCGTTCAACAAAATCAAGCCTCTGAACAACATAACAAACTTAATGAGACAGTGATCCCTGATTGAGCGTATAGATACGTACAAGTGTGGTATCAAGGAGGCGGTGTAGAGATAAGGGTCAACAGATTGGCCGATAATAGGACTCTTCAGGTGAGCAGGGAAGGAAGTCCTGAAAGCGTTGATCATCTTGTCCAATTCCTGAAAGGCGGGGGCATCCTTGATGTCAAAGATCTCTTGCTGGTCCGCACTTGCCGGGCTATTGTTCGGCGACACAACAGAAGCGTCACCTACATAATGCTTTCCTTTGAAACGCAAGTTGAACGACTTGACCCGTGAGAGGATGATGGTGGCCTTGACGTAGAGAATGAATGAATCAATCTGTTCGTCTTTGTGTGTGGTGAGCAGATCCCTGTCGTGTGACCACTGACGCTCGCTAGGATATACGAGAATCTATGACGGAATGAGTAGGAAGAAAGACATCCACGTTAACCTACTCACCCCTTGTTCGAATTGGTCGCCACGCAAAGGAAGCAGTTGGCAAATGTCCTGGTCGTCAAGACTGAGTGCCCAACCGTTTCCAGTGCCCATCTGTCGTTCCATAGCGTACGCTATTGAACATGTCAGGGTCTTGACAGAAGTGCACTGAGCAAGACGATATCTTACCTAACCAGAATGTATTTCTTCGCACCTCATCCTCCATAACAGTTTTTGCGGGAGGTATGATAGCCGGTGGCCGAAGAGTTTCAGCGATAGTATGGAATGGCGGACACACATTGAGTCCACATGGAACAGCTACTCTTAAGCCCTGAGCCGCGGACAGGAAGGCCTGAAAGTGCATGAAGCAATGTCAATCTTAATCAAAAGCTTTACATACCTCCGACCATCTATCATTGATAGAGATACGTATTCAGTCCACAGCATCGGTATCAGAATGAAGATAGTTACCGGCCGTGACACCAATAGAACCAAGTTAGCATGACAGTAACTATAAATAGTGAGTGTGAGCAAGAAAACTTCATGACATTCGCAATGGAACATACCTTGAACGCATTGGAACTTATGATGCCCGAGGTCTAAAGCAATCTCGGCTTGTTCCTTTGCAAACTTCGCCTGTTGTTCGGCAAAGGAGTCCGGCCGTCGCTGGAGCGTCCTGAGTCTGGCTCCGAAAACCTCATCTATTCACCAGATGAGTGTCTATGCGAGACCTTAATGTAATACACTCACGTGCAGGATATTCTGGCGGAGGTGCGGGTGTCGGTGGTATGCTTGCAACGTAGAGACTTCCAATGGCACACATTGCATGTAAGATGGCAGACCATGGGAACCTTGGATCGGTAGGATGCAAATCCAGAGACGCGAGGAACGATGGTCCGTGGAAAAGTCTCACCGCATGGAGATGAAAAGCAAAGTAAGCCTCAACGCTATACGTTGTCAATACCTGTCAATAGACTATGTAATGACCATCACGTACAGATGTCGAGTAACCTCTCGGCTAGGAAGGTTAACTGGCCAAGAGGCAAAGACTATGTCAAGGTTTGATCCATTAGACTGAAAGCCGCCGGACATGGAAGTGTCCTGGTTCAGACCAGCCGATACGGAATCGATATGTGCCTCCGAAAGTGGTGCGTTACCCAGCAAACTTGCGACGCCAGCAAGATTGTCCAAACCAGATGCATTAGGAAATTGCGTGTAATCCATCCCGTTGGTGCCATTCTGAGGTTTGGAGGAAGTGTAGTTCGGGTACATGTTTGAGATCCCGTTAGTTGGGATCCCGTTCCCATTGCCATTGGCGAAACCAGGGATCCCGTCGAAGTTGAAGCCATTAGAGTGCACGAGGTTCGGGGTATGGGCATTTGAAGATGAAGCAAATGGATGGTGTTGCATTTGAGGTTGTGATTGATCGGACGCGAATGTGTTCAATGCTCGGTCCTTCTCCCGCAGGAGTGATTCGAGCTCATCTAGATAGGGTGTTGTCTAGTAAATTGATACGGGGGTAACAAAACGAACGCACTGATCCTACTCTCTAATCGCTCAAACCGACTCTTAGGAGTCTCTGTTGTCTCAACGGGAGGGCTTTCTGAAACTGCTATGGGTGCCAAGGTCAAAACCTGGAGTAGGCTCGAGGATCTAATCCCACCTTCATCGAAGGTACACTCTGGATGTGGTGGTAATTCTACGCCAGCCGGCGCGTGAGCAACAGCATATGAATGTGACCGAACACATGTTGAACAAGGACGTTGTGCATCGCTGTGAACATCAAGGTAAATGTTATAAAGTAGCTTTCTCGGGCTTCGGCATAATGACTGAGAGATACTGACCATTTCTTGTTGGTGTATGTTTGTGAGTACTACGTCTAATACATTTAAACAAACAGAAAGCTTACCAGCTTGCGTCTTCTACATTGATGGCATGCCTGTGAAGACCGAGTTTTGTCAAGGGATGTGTAATGTGCTATGCGCTGTGTTCGGGCTACGTACCTGGTTTCGTTTAAGAACATGGGTGTTCTGGAAAGGGGCGCCTCGGCTGGATGAATGGTCCTGTGATTGAGCCTTGGGCATTCGGGGGAACTTAGGGTTAAATAGATAGAACAACGACGAGGCCGATGCTTGGAAGCTGGTAGGACAAAAGGCGGTCGAGTTGAGTACTGACCAAGTGCCCGCCTCGATAACTCCCTATGGCTGACTAACACAAAACGCAATGCCAAGAACGGCAATCCAGACGCCTATCACTTGCATCACCGCCGGCCATCAATTCTATCACGCTAATCTTATCGCCTGCGATGCTTCTTCAAGTTCCTGGAAATACAATTGGTGTTGTGTACAGCACAAGGCTTATAAAACTGGTAGTTTACACAGGTTGCTCCTCGTCCTCCACTTCAAATGCACAACAAAAAGCTTCCTTGTCGAGTAATATAAGTCCCTTTCCATCAGGTGCCCATCGAATATCTTGAGCGTTGAATTGTCCTATAACAGCACCAGTGAGTTCATGGAAAACACTACCAAGGTGAAACCGGCGGTACGTACTGGCTGGTATTCCGACACATTCCGCCACTTCTTCACTTTCTCCCGTTGCGTCGTCTCCAACCCATTCGTCACTCCAGAGATATATGCTTCCAGTACCGCAAGAAATTGCTAGGCTTCCTTTTCTCACGGGGTTCCACCTCGCAGCGACGACTGGATTGGTGTGTATCAGGACACTTTTGAGCTTGGGCGCGAGTGAAACAGAGGCCTCCGGCCGCGTTGGAACGTCGTGATCAGACGCAGAAGGGAACGCATAAAGAAACACCGCCGTTGGTGCTGACTCGAAACGAGCTAGTAAGAGGGTGCCAGACACGTTGAAGGACAACTGTACGACCCCTGATTTTGGGTTGCCTTTGGAAAAATCTGGTCGGCCGACAGCTATGCTGTGTGGTGGCTGCAGCCGTTCATCTGATGAATAAATCGAGTTTACTCGGAGTTTGTTGGTCACAAACACAAAGCAGTCCTCACATGAAAGAAACCCTCTTCCTTGCGTCTTCTCTAACCAATCGGAAGGCTCCCTCCAAACAATCTGAAAGAACACAGTAGCTGCTTTCCCTCCTGAGCTGGATCGTGTGACCTGAACTCACCACAGGATTGCCAATGCGACTTTGTAATTCCAAAAGCGCCACAGGCCCCCATGTAAGCCGTTCTAGGATATGGATCTGCAGTGGTAATGTTAAGCGTCATCACTCGGCGTACACCCGTTGTGTGAATACCTTGTCATCCCAACCCGCCACCAATAAGAAGAAGCCAGATGGATGCCACACTACAGACCGGATTCCATACCCTGGGTCAAGGTCTGGTGTGAAGCTTCCCACTGTATTGCCGGAAAGATTCAGGATGTAGACTCTGAACTGACAGACCAAACGCACAGCGTCAATTCCCCATTGCTTATCGGATGCATGGATACTTACCTCCATAGGCCCTTCCCAGATTGCGACATAGTCTCCGTTAGGTGAAATTGATAATGATGCGAGTGTAGATGTCGGTAGCGGAAAATGCTATACGACCTGCTGCGTTACTCACGTTGGACGGCATTTCTGCAGGAGTAAATAATTGCGTACCCTGACAAGACGATATAACTCCGACGCGTCGTAGACACCTAGGGTATCCTTGGACTTGTGTCGCTCAGCAATGATGAGATAGCGGCCATCGGGGCGAAATCCATAGCCTATCACATGGGCGTATGAGAATCTACAGATAATGCATAGAAACGATAATTATCTACCTCGATCTGGGTGCAATGGATATTGGATGTATGTGCATGTGCCTGTAATGAGAGACCAAATCGTAACTCTGAGCTATAAATGAACGACATGTTTATCACTGTAGGCATCACTCATTTAGAGCACTTACACCCCATGAAGAAAAACACAATATCGATCTACCGTCTGGTGCCCATTCTGCCTTTACAAGACTTTCCGTGCCGACATTCACTCGTGCATTCCATGACTCATCCCGTAGCTTGAAAATATTGACAACACCTCGTTTTGCACATGCAGCCAAAAGATATTCCGAGTCGTTGGACCAACTTGCGTGAGTAATCCACGCGTCCGGTTGAACCGGCTGGGATTTGGCAGAGCCCTGAGATCTGGATGAGACCTGGGATGACTGCGCATCTGAAGACGAAAGCCAGGTTCGAGTAATTTGGAATGTGTCTGCGCGCCGGATGACGACTCTGTCCTGCACTGCCGTTAGAACGAAGTGGGCTCCAGGACTGAAGGCAACGATGCCACTAGACTGCTTGTAAATTTCAGTAAAGTCCATTGGAGGTTCGAATGTCGTGTTTAGAAGGTCAAAGTTTATTCGAGGCCACTATTGACCCCAGCTTTGGAAATAAATCTCCGATCCGAGGAACTCGGGAAAGATGGTAGAAAGAAAGACCTCGGTAACGTCAACCGTGAACGACGATAACTGTTTTGGAGGATGATATTTGCTGGAACCATGTTACCCGAAGAGGTATGTTTTTACCACGGTTTTCCGTTATCGCGGCAAGTGATAGCCTTAAAGAAGCGAGGGGTTTGCCTAATACGGTTTAGCGTTGAAGGCACAACGATCGAGGCAGAGGTTCCCCAATGCGATCAAATTTTGCCATCGTGTCCATATCGGAGTCTGCAAACTTACGAGGGAAAATTCTGGAAAATGCTCCTTTTGCCCCGTCGACCGTCTGCTCGGACAAGCTGCAGACAGCAGCAACCCTGGATTAATTCAAATTTCTCTCTTTGGATTAATTTACCTTAAATACTGAACAGCATTGGTCGGTACCACCACACAGACAGGCACATGAGCCGAGGGACTGCTGACCACCCCTAGCCGGTTGCTAGCGGTCGTCACTTCTTGCGCACCGTAAGTCCTGCGTCAGGCATGCTGACATTTCGCGAACGTTACGTGCGATGGACTCGCATCCATTCCTAATGACGGATATTTGATCTCACGGAAAAGTCCAAGGTCCATGCTTGGTAGTACATATATTAGTGCCAGGCCCCGTACCAGCCAGCTTCACTCCCCCTTTGCTCATCATGTCCTCGCCACTCGCCGTCCCTCAGTCAGAGGCTGACCGGTTCGAATTGACGTCGCAACTTCCCGCATCAAATACAGCGAGTCGGTCATCGTCTACTATAATTGGCGAGAACGATCGACCGCTGAGTGTAGGAGACAGAGAAGACGTTAACGAAGAGTACCGCAGAGAGGCTTATGGGCCGGAGCCGGGGGAGAAAGGTTGGGATGAGTTTGAAGTACGTTTTGCCCCCGACGATCCCGACGACCCTCACACTTGGTCACGAGTCAAACGGTGGTATCTCACTGCCCTGAGTGGATTGCTGGTTCTCAATGCGTATGTTCTCAATGCAATATTGCCACATGCAAATGCTGATAACGATGTATAGTACGTTTGCGAGTTCAATCCCGGCGGGCATCATTCCACATCTCATGGCGGAATTCCACTTTGGTACTGAAGTCGGCGCGCTTCTTATCTCTCTCTTCGTTGCCGGTTACTGTGTCGGGCCAATACTATGGGGTCCTCTCTCTGAACAATACGGAAGACGGCCCATTGCCCTTTCATCATTCGCCGTGTATACATGTTTCCAAGTGGGCTGCGCCCTTTCCAAGAATACTGCTTCAATACTCGTCTTCCGCTTTTTGGGTGGTACCTTTGCAGCAGCTCCTTTGACAAATAGCGGGTAAGTCTGAGTTGTTTTTCGGCTAACAACCTTCTTAACCTTCCTTTCTAGAGGTATAATTTCAGATATCTGGGACGCCGATACACGAGGATTGGCTCTAGCATTCTTTACTCTAGCACCGTTCGCAGGTCCGTCACTTGGACCAACCGTCGGCGGTTTCATGGTCGTAGCTGGAGTGTCATGGAGATGGGTGTTTTGGCTGCTAACAATGTTCGCTGGAGTATGTTTTGTACTTATCGTCTTCACTTTACCTGAAACGCATGCGTACGTCTTTGTCTGATGCATTTATGTTGCGTAATTTGCTAACATATCGCGTAGGCCGACGTTGCTTGTGCAGAGAGCCAAGCGATTAAGAAAGCAGACTGGAGACAGCCGGTGGTGGGCTCCGCTAGAAAAGGAGGATCTGACTATCACACAGCGTCTGGAGACCATTGTTGCTCGGCCGTTCAAAATTTTGATCCTGGAGCCTATGCTACTGTCAATAACTCTTTATATGAGTGTGCGTACTGTCACAGCTTCTGATCCTCTCAAGGGCTAACAACGCTTCTAGTTTGTGTACGGCTGCTTGTACCTCATGTTCGAAGCTTACCCGATCGTATTTACGGTGGGACACCATCTGAATGCTGGGCTTACGGGTCTTACGTTCCTCCCTATCTTCGTTGGTGGATGCATCGGGTGCTTTGGCTACATCTTGTACTGGAACCCGATATACATACGCCTTAGCAAGCAATACGCGCCTGCGCCCGTTCCCCCAGAATTTCGTCTCGACATTTGCATGTACGCTGGGCCCGGATTCGCACTCACCTTCTTTTGGTTCGGTTGGACGTCATACCCAGAAGTATCTCTATGGGCCCCCATGATGTCAGGCTTGGTGATGGGTTTCTCCGTCGTCTGGATCTTCCTTGGTCTATTCAACTATCTCATTGACGCATACCTCTTCATCGCCGCATCCGCGCTGGCATCGACTACTGTCATACGATCCCTATTTGGTGCAGGGTTCCCGCTCTTCGCCAATCAGATGTACGAGAAGCTCAATCCTCGATGGGCATCGACTCTTCTGGGATGCATTGCTCTACTTATGACACCCATTCCGTTCGTGCTCAAGCACTATGGCCCGACGCTTCGTCGAAACTCCAAGTTCGCACCGTCCGTCGATGTCTTGCCAAAGTTTGAAACAAAGGAGACAGAGAATTCGTCATTGGCGTGACCACAGAAAGAAGGACATAACTTATCTTCACTGTTATTTCATGGATGATATAGAGACGGCTTTATGTGGCTTACGACCAACCAACGACCATCCCACCCCCTATCCCTAGGCTTCTACTTCCCTAATGACCCGTCACGGCACACCGCAACATTAATGTAAACTCACATTATTCGTTTCCTTTCACATTCATTTTCTGGTGCTTAGATCCGTCCCGGTTATGCAGTTATATACAAGGACTCTCCGTCGTCATTCATATATTCATAGTTACGCACGATACATACATTTATCCCGAGTCTACCTTCAATCTGTACCTGTAGGATTACCAAATGCATTCGTCGTATCAAAGTAAAAGATGTACAGCTACGTGTTGTGAATTTATATGTCCAACTACAAGACTTTCATGTATATGTTTCGTGCTACAATTATCCAACTCAAAGCGCACCGTTCCGGTTCCGACCCTGAGAATGCTTGTTCACTATCCAATATCAATATCGCACTGTTGCACATGTTCGCACCACTCTATCGCCAAGCACATTTCCCGCACGGAGCTCAATGTCACGGAGGCCCGTTCCCTGAACTGTATACCAAAAATATACCTTTTGAGTATGGCTCACATCTGAATAGGTGAATAGGATATATATCGCGCTCTGGGGATACGATCTGCAAGCACACCATTCCTAGAAACTTGCCGATCCTAGCTCTGCGAATATGAAAATAGATTGGGACAAGGTCGATCAACCCGAGATCGTGCTTCAGAGGTTCCCAAGCAGACGATCGGTGGTCTATGGCACCAAAGGCGTTGTTTCATCCTCACAGCCGCTGGCTACAGAAGCTGGCCTTGAGATCCTGAGGAAAGGAGGAAACGCCGGTAAGCCTTCTGGATAACACCCAATGCCAGTGACACAATACTCATTCACTTGGTAGCGGACGCTGCAGTAGCCACTTCAGCTGCTTTGAACGTAACGGAACCTAGCTGTTGTGGTATCGGCGGGTTTGTTGTTTATACGCTGTTATACTGACTGAATTTTGCTGATCGATCGTCGTAGAGATGCGTTCTGTCTGTTCTACGACGCGAAGGCTAAAACCGTCAAGGCTTTGAATGGTTCTGGTCATTCGCCGTCTAAACTTACGATAGATTACGTTCGGTCGATTGGCGTAGAAGGAAATAGCATTCCCTTAACGAATCTAAACTCTGTCACCGTTCCGGGTGCGTAAAGTGATATTACGTCTTGGCGGAGCCCGCTAACTCATCATGGATAACTGTACAGGGGCCGCCGCTGCATGGGTCGATACGGTTGAGAAGTTCGGCAATGGGAATGTGACTATAGCCGATGTTCTTGGCCCCGCCATTCGGCTCGCAGAAGAGGGGTAATTACTCAGGATGTCTTGAAAGTACACTAAGTTGCTGACGATAACCGTATAGTGTGCCTGTAACCGAGATCAACGGTTTCTCTGTACGTGACTGGATCAGAATTGTCATGTTTGTGTTGTTACTCATGAATAGAATGTAGTGGAAGCGATCAGAAAGGCTTCTGCAGACAGCATCTCCTAATGGCGATGAAATGCTCCTTAATGGCAAAGCACCTCATCCCGGTCAAATTATTCAACTTCCAAACCTTGCAAAGACATTTCGCTCAGTAGCGGAACATGGAAAGGATGGTTTCTACAAGGGAAGAATTGCAGAAGCCATCGTTGAGCTCATTCAGAGCAATGGCGGTGTTATGGAACTTGAAGATCTTGCTAAGCACGAGACAACGTTCGTCGAACCCATCAAGTATACGTTCAATGATGAGGTCACAGTGTATGAGGTACAGAGCGGTAAATCATTTACGTTGCGTCTGATTCTGACACCTTTCCCCTGCAGTGTCCACCAAATGGACAAGGTATGTGATTGATAGAAGCGTCAGTCGGCGAAGCTGATACGGTCCATGTCTTAGGAATCACAGCGCTTCTTGCACTCGGAATACTAGACAATATCGAAGCGCAGGGCAAGATTGGTTCACTCCTGGAGCTGGAACACAACTCGGCGCCATACTTGCACGTCTTGATCGAATCTCTTCGGTATGTTTGTCTTTTGGGTGACAATTAAAGACAGTCGCCTGATAATAAATGCATAGGCTGGCTTTCGCTGGTATGGGATATGATATCATTCTGTGATTGACTCAATATTGACTATATGCTCATTTTCAGACAGTCAATACTACGTAACTGATCCAGATGTTCACCATATACCGGTGGCAGAGCTGCTGAGCAAGGTAGGCGGCGCGCCGGGTGCATATACCAACACAAGCTCATTTTGCTAAAGGAATACTTGGCCTCCCGTGCCAAACTCTTTGATCCAGCCAAGACTAACCCTCAGATTGTTCATGTATGTACAACTCTGCCGAGCCGGTGTCCAGATGGTGCATATTCTAACCGAACGATTCGCAGGGAAACCCCGTCAATTCATCCGACACTGTCTATTTCTCTGGTAGATCACACCTCGAAATATATGGGAGCTATGCTGATCCTTGTGGTAGTTGTTGATCAATGGGGGAATGCATGCAGCTATATTCAAAGCAACTACGCTGGTCAGTAATGCACTTTGAATCTTGCAACGATGTCTCTAATCTGTTGCTCATAGGCTTCGGAACGGGAGGTCCATGGTGATCTTCATTCTTAACTTTTCAATCTCTGACAAATGAATTTACAGCGATCCCCAAGGGATGCGGCTTTACACTTCAGAATCGCGGATCAAACTTCAACCTAACACCAGGCCACCCTAACGCCCTAGCTGTATGTCGTCATCCTTAGGCTCAGGCACCTGCTGCGATTGAACCATCTTACAGGGTGGGAAGCGTCCATACCATACTATCATTCCTGCCATGGCCCTGCGAGGGGATGAACTGTTCCTGAGCTATGGTGTCATGGGAGGCTTCATGCAGGTACTTATTTCCGTCGGGTGCGTGTATGTTTCGCTGACCGTTTGTTTGCCATTCAGCCTCAAGGTCACGTTCAAGTCCTGTTGAACATGCTCCGTGGTTTCACTCCTCAAGCAGCACTTGACGCACCACGTTTCTGTATTTCGGCCGGTAGCCCAGAGACTCAGAGCCAGCAGACCGGTCAGGCTGGGGACATAAACAGCGAGGTTTACATCGAGGAAGGCATCCCTAACGGGGTGATTGCAGAACTTAAAGGTGTGTTTCTACAATTTGTAACACTAGTGGCATGCTTATGGTGAATGTGAACAGCTATGGGACATGACGCTCGTCGTGTAAGTGGTTTTGCGCGAGGCATGCTAGGGCGAGGACAGATCATTCAGAAGATCAACGACCAGAGTGGAAGGACCGTGTGGGCTGCAGGGTCAGATCCTCGCGCAGATGGTCACGCTGCTGCACAAATATAAACATACGTGGTGACTGTAAAAATATACCCGTTTAGCACATTTCATAGTCAAGATAGAGAGTCCAAGATGAGTTGAAATTGAAGATTGTCTATAGAATACATAACTGCGCCGAGTACAAAATAATGTCCTGGAAAAACCCCTTGTCCCGTGGAAGCATTAAAACACTAGTGAGATAGGTTCTATTCTACACCAGCTTACATTCTCCGTAGACGTTCAAATCCAGCCATTTCCTGAATGCGGTATTCCCGCAGCGGCTTCGTGCGATCTTCCCCAGTTAATTGGCCCCATCCAGCAAGGGGAACAATAAGAGCAGTCAGATTATCGTCAGAACCCATATCTTCCGCATATGCCAAAATGGTTTTAGCAGCGTCTCGAGGCGTTGCTGCACCTCGAGCTAGATCGGATATCTCTTCGTCCGACGCACAGGATGATATTCCATCGGAAAGTAATGTGATGTGTGAGTATTTGGGGCCTGCGAGGTCTCATGGGTTAGTCATGGTGTGGAATTAGTCTGTTACGTCGCACACACCATCTACAACCAATGTTCTAACCTCGGGTTCTGCGGTGACACCGAGTGGCTTAAATTTAAGATCTCCAAGACTGCTTGTGATTCGGTTAATACTGAACAAGTGACTTAAGCTGAGAAGTACGAACCTTCTCGTATTGGCTAATGCGCCCATCCACCTGAGATGAAATACATGAGAATAGGTCATGACAGCTGAATCTTGGTTCGGACCTACCTTGCTTCACCGAAGGAATCTGTGATGAGACCAGTACCCATCATCTTACGTAGACGGATGGCCTCGACGCGTGCATCCGCGTGATGATTTTCTGTTAGAGGCGTGACTTTGCCGTCTGTTGCAGTCAGCAGTACACGGGTATCACTGGAGTTTAGAACTGAGCAAGGGAAAATGACGACAACGCGGTACACATACCCAACATGAGCAACCGTGAGTGCAACCTTCGCTGACCCAAAAAAAGGAAGCTGGGGACAGTCAAGAGACCGAAGTAGCACAACCGAAGCCGTTGCCCCACATTCTTGCGCGGCGGCCTCGGTATCTAATGCTTTGTCTACCTTGTGGGTTACCGGACTGTAATCAAAACACGCTCTAATACTGCGGAAGAAGCATCACGAACCTGGAAGAACGCGAGTGTCGCTCTGGCCTCAAGGTCAAACTCCTGCTTTGCCTCTGGTTTATCTGGGTTCACCCAAGGAGCCAATGCTCCTCCTTTGAATCTTCGGAAGTAGCCATCTAGCTCCTTGACCCATGCATATACTTCCGGTACTTGTGATTTGTCTACAGATTCGAAGAGACCATGTAATTCCTGTCGAAGAAATTGCGAAACCGTGGACCCTCCGTGACCATCGTATATACCCACAAAGACAAGCTGTCGAGCAAGCAAGGGTGGGAGGTTGGAAGGATCCCAATCATAATAGCGCGCCTTCTCCAAAGTTAAGCGTAGCTCTTCTGGGTTCAACGACAACGCTGCATATGAATAGAAATCTTCCTGGTGACTGGCAAAAGATCGACTGCGGTTCCTCCACCAGGATGACTTTTAATGACCCACTTTCGGTTGCCTCTGGAAGAGGCTACGCCAATAATCTTAGGATTACGCAGAGCTATACGTCCGGATCCGCCTGCGTGAAGAAATGGTGTGAACATCACGTAACATTCCTAGCAAGTGTCTCCCCAACCTGGCGTGGCAAAGCGAATAAAGTCATGATAGTTTGCGACGAAATTAAGCAAGCGAACGTTATGAGACTTTCGATAACGGAGCAAGACAGATGATTGCAGTAGTCGTAGAGCCATGCGATATGGGCACGGCGTCCATGGACTTGAGCATGAAGACAAGAAATGAATGATAGAGGTCAGTGCACTCAGGCTGTTGCAGACATCAGTTGCCAACAGGCAACAAGCGCACAAGTTGAATCGGTGCAAACCCTAGAGTGGGGTTAGAGTTAGTCACCTTCGGCAGTGGATCTTGCGTGTATTGACGCGGACGAGTGCGGCAGCAACTTACAACTCTCCTTCTCCTCTCATGATCCCTCGTTCTTTGCGTGCTTCGGGCCTTGCGACTCGACGCATTGCATGCCTTCCAAGATACACAAGGCTACAATGGTCTCGGTCGTATGCTACTCCTCCAGATAATCAGCCTAAGCAAGACTCGAATCAAAGCAAAGACTCCAGGCCAGAGGAGAAAGGAAAGCAGGCAGAGGAGAAGAGAAAGGAGCCACAGAAACAGGCTGATGAGAAGAAAGATGTGCGGGCAGATGCAGACAAGAAGGAAGATCCACTGAAGGGCCTCGAAGGCTTTTTCCAGCGGTATCACCAGCAGAAGCAGCAGACACAGCAAACACGGTCCGAGAAAGACGATTCCTCGGGTGAGCAGAAGTCCAAGAAACCTCCTCCCCCTCCGGGGAACAATGGTTTTGGTGCAAACCAACTCGCGATTCTTGCTACTACCGCTGCCATTTTCTATGCTTTGTCGAGTTCAGCTACTCCATCGTCCCGCGAAATCACCTGGCAGGAGTTCCGTACTGCTTTCCTTGAGAAGGGTCTTGTAGACAAGCTCATTGTCGTCAATCGCTCGAAAGTGCGAGTCAAGTTGCACTCGAATGCGACAGGGACGATGTATCCTTCGGCACCACCGGGAGGCGGCGATTACCACTTCTCTATAGGATCCGTCGAGGCATTCGAACGCAAGTTGGACGAGGCACAGAAGGAGCTGGGAATTCCTCCCTCAGAGAGAATACCTGTTGCTTACCATGAGGAAGTCCCTGCTTCCAATTACCTCCTCAACTTCGGCCCCACATTGCTGTTCGCAGGTCTATTGTTCTACCTGTCACGTAGAGCTAGTGGAGGTGCTGGAGGCGGAGGGGGTATCTTTAGCATGGGTAAGAGCCGAGCGCGGATGTTCAACAAGGATACCGATGTGAAGGTGAAGTTCAAAGATATCGCTGGCATGGACGAAGCCAAGCAGGAGATCATGGAGTTCGTCTCATTCCTTAAGGAACCCTCGAAGTACGAGAAATTGGGCGCGAAGATTCCTCGCGGTGCAATTTTATCGGGACCACCAGGAACTGGTAAGACCTTGCTGGCGAAAGCCACAGCAGGTGAAGCCAACGTACCTTTCTTCTCGGTGTCTGGCTCCGAGTTCGTGGAGATGTTCGTCGGTGTTGGTTCTTCGCGTGTTCGAGACCTCTTCGCTTCCGCCAAGAAGAATGCACCAAGTATCATCTTCGTCGATGAAATTGATGCTATTGGCAAGAAGCGTAGTGCGCGAGGTGGTTTCGGTGGCAGCGACGAACGGGAGCAGACGCTCAACCAGCTTTTGGTAGAGATGGATGGTTTCAATACGACCGAGCACGTCGTCGTGCTTGCTGGTACGAATCGTCCAGACGTCTTGGACCCTGCTCTCATGCGTCCTGGCCGTTTTGATCGACATATTGCCATCGACCGTCCGGACGTCAGTGGAAGGAAGGGTATTTTCCTCGTCCATCTCAAGCCTCTCCGACTATCACCCAGACTTCCCGAGCTCGAAACCTTCGCTCATAAGCTTGCAGTCTTGACGCCTGGCTTCTCTGGTGCTGATATTGCCAACGTTTGTAACGAGTCTGCTTTACATGCCGCTCGGAAGGGTCACGAGTGCGTAGAGGAATCTGACTTTGAAAGCGCCATTGAGCGTGTCATTGTTGGTTTGGAGCGGAAGAGTAGGGTCCTAAGTCCCGACGAGAAGAAGACGGTAGCGTATCATGAAGCTGGTCATGCTATTTGTGGCTGGTTCCTCGAACACGCGGATCCTCTACTGAAAGTCAGCATCATTCCTCGAGGTGTTGGCGCTTTAGGCTACGCTCAGGTATGTGATATTACTGCGTATATCGAAGTACAGCATTGACCTTAGGTTACAGTATTTGCCTGCGGATCGATACCTGCTTTCTACGCCTCAGATGATGGATCGGATATGCATGACCTTAGGTGGTCGTGTATCTGAAGAAATCTTCTTTGGTGTAGAGAACATCACCACCGGTGCTCAAGACGATCTCCAGAAGATTACCCGTATGGCTTTTGAGGCTGTTGCTAACTACGGTATGAACGGCGTCGTTGGCCCTGTCAGCTATGGCGGGAGCAAAGCCACTCAGGAGGCTTGGCAAAAGCCATTTAGTGAGAAGACCGGCGAGATGCTCGACGATGAAGTCAGGAAAATGATCATGTATGTGACACCATCCATGTCCATGTTTTTTCTCCTCATCAGTTTTTCCCCCCCTAGAACTGCTCATCAACGGACAACGGAACTGCTGAAGGATCACAAGGCGGATGTGGAGAAGATTGCTCAGCTTCTTCTCGAGAAAGAGGTTATCACCCGGTACGATTTTCGATGCATCTTCGCATTTGCCTATTCTGATACTTTTCTATAGTGAGGATATGATCAGCCTTCTCGGTAAACGACCGTTCGCGAATCGTAAAGATGAAATGGACAAGTGGCTGGATGAGAACCGAAAACAAGAACGTAGTGCACCTCCTCCATTAGAGGAGATGCCTCCGGAGTCCTCTGCACCTGCACCTGCTGCTACCCCGATACCGGACGAACCCAAGCTCTGATGCTTCCATTGGTTAATATTGCTTTACATCTTGGAAGATCACACATTCCTTGCATCTGTACCTTAAAGCATTTCCCTACTCAGCTCCATCTAATATACGATGTATCATGACGTGTATTGTGGGCGTGATCTCAATTCGGCATGTACACCTTACAAGCGGTCGGTCGGTTTGTATACAGTGTTTTGCGGAAAGCATATTGACATTTTTGGAAAAACAATCCCCAAATATGGCAATGACTTCTGGCTAACACCTTCCGAAAAACCCCTTCATGAGAACTCAGTATTAGTCTCCGGTACGCAGACCAATGACGGGTCTAATAAGGGAGGGAGGGACGACCCGTATAAAGGTCTGCTTCAATACGCGCCCCTCGTACCGTTGCAGTTCATTAAGGGTAAGCGCCCAGATGCCGGGTGATCGCCAGGCTTGCCGGGTCGATGCCGGTGGCTGCAAAAGTGGCTGAAAACACTTGAGAGAATTCTACGAGCTACCACTATGTATTGTCTACAGCCGCCTCAGGAAACAACTTGTTTTTACTGTCCCAACTGCATGGTTTTGCTCCCAAAAATTGAGGGAGTTGTACATACGGATGCGTTTACGTCGATCGCGAAGTTCGTACGTGCGCCGCCACAAGTACGTCGTTACACGAAAGCCCAGGGAGATCGTCGTACAGAAGATAATGACACAGCGTCCATCTTCGAGTACCCAGTCGAGTTCTGTAAATTTAAGAGAGCGTGGGCTTGAGGACATCGTGCGGAAGATGAATTGCAGGTCAAAGCGTGCATTCGAATGCCGTATGAGATGGTATGGGTCGCTGAGGCCGAGGAAGTGGCAAACATTCGATGTATGAGTGCCGACATGCAGGGTGGCCGTCAATGCAATCATGACGGGTGTTTGGGGTAGGCGCATATGAATATCGCTGATATGCTTGAATGCAGGCCGAAACGAGGCACCCCATGTGTCTAGAAGGTGGCTTTCATCGACTGCGAATGCTACAACACATAGCTGAAATTCTTTATCAGTGAGAAGGTGTCCGAATTCGGATGACTTCAGTTGCTCAGGTGCAAGCAAAAGAACTGATATGTCTGAGCGTGCTGTCATCCAAATATCGGTACTGCTTCGCCGAGCTTCATCGACCGTATCGCCGTTGATTACCAGCACTGACAAGCTGATCAACTTCAACTTGCACTCCTAAACATATTGCAACTAGGTAAAAAATAAAAAAGGATAGAAAAGAATATAGTGGCACATACCATGTCATGTTCAAGGGCCTTCGTTGGGCAGACAACGATCATGAGTGCTCACTTCTTCATGCACCTTTGTGGACACAAAGAAGGGTCCGACGCGATTGCTTGCATCACAAGCATGTACATAGTGAGAAAGCCAGTCTTGCTGGATCCCGCAGGCATCACAGCCAAGATGTCGATGCCATCCAATGCTTTGCATACACCTTCAAGCTGGTAGTCATGTGGTTCATACGGTAACGACATTTTCGCAAGGATTGATAAACAGAGCAAGTGACCTTCACTTGATGAAAATTTGAATGTAGGTGGTCTAGATGTGATCGTCATAAATACAGGCTCATTGATAAAGTCTATACGAGACGAGGGTGAACGCGTCTGTGGCTGCAAGCAGTTGGACGCGTTGCGGACTCTGAATATTCTTCGGCTAAGCCCGAAAGTGGTTGCAACGGTTTGAAGGGCGCGTTTAGAATCAGACTAACTCAGTATGGCGATGTCAGAACTTTATTATACAATATTCATGCTATCATATTTCTACAGCGTGTAACGGAAACCACTCCACAGGTCTCCCTTCTCCTTACGAGCGTCTTCCACGCTATCGAAACGTCCATTCCGTTCATGTGCATGCTTGTTGTCCATACCCTCAATGATCTCGTCTCTATGGCCTGCTTCCCTTAGAGCATTCTCTCTTCGCAGGTATAGTAGAAGTATTAGGGAGCTAATCCAACCAATGGCGATGTACGCCAAGACGATACCATGGCCCAGTCTATACCACGGCTTATCGACCGCTCGGTACTGCAAGGGGTGTGAGCCGGACAGGGGGAGTAGAGTATGTAGAAGAATAGAACGTACTATATTGGAAGTAACGGCCCCATTGAGATTACCCCATCCGATGGCCATGCCTAGCGTTGCGCTTCGTTTATATGACCCTTCGACGTTACCTGATACCCAAGCTCTGTGGAGGGTTAAAACGTTTGCAGAACATGACTATAAATCACGACATACACTGAATTTGCTGCAGAATAGGAAATTGTTAGATTACGATTGGAAACCTTCCAAGTAAAGCAGACTTACGAATCGTAGGGTAGATCGAGCTGAAACATTTGCTGGATGAGCCAACGTTATCACAATCGTGTAAAGGCACTTACGATGCAGCCAAGTATACAGCAAAGTAAGACAAGGCAGGATTGGTCGAGGCTATCAGAATAACGTAACCCACCAAGCCTATGATTGCGGGAATGTCAGTCCTTTGACAGCAATGGACCACTTGGGTTCGAACTGACCGGTTCCGAAGAGCACCCTGAACAAGGTAAGCCAAGAACAATTAGTACACTAGGGACACGATAACTCACATGTTGATATAACCTCGATTACCGATACGGTCTCCGAGAAATCCAATCACCACTGTTATCAAGCATGCCCATGCATATACAGGGACTGATAAGAGGTTAGCAGCAGTTGCTTGGAAGCCTGTCCTTGTATCAGTCATTTGTTCGGACGTCATGGAGAGCTTCAAGCACCTAGCTACAACCAGAGGCTTCAGTGAAAAGTAAAGAACTATTCGAAATGCGTAAGTACCTGGTTGATGATTGTTGGAGTGAATAGAGAGAAAGCAAACAGTGGTCCATCGCTAAGAAGAGAAACATCAGTGGCAATAACCATTTTTCTCTCGAATGAATGCTTACAAGCCCATGTAAATACCCACTGCACAGAAGGAGTTAGATAAATAAGTAAGAAATGGAACGAAATGCACATACTTGCCACCCAAGTTTTCCAGTCCGCAAGACTCTGCCAGACATACTTCATTTTGAACGATTCTCCGCCAGCACTGTATTTCATATCGTTCTGCAGCCGACGCACGACCCATACACCTGAAGACCGAAAAGCTTAGCTTATCCAAGTGAGCCTGCAGATTCTACATACGTTCTGTTTCATTCAAGAATTTCGCCGTGTCCGGGAAATCTTGCAAGATCCAGAAAGACGCGATGGCACAGACAACAGTGAGGAGCCCCTCGAGGATGAAAATCCAAGCCCAACCTGGTTTCCCACCTATGCCGTCCATGTTGGATATTGCGGCAGCCAACAGACCACCTAAACGGAGCGGCGAAAGCATATCAATATCGGCTGGAACGAACAAATCTCATATAATCCGCTTACTGAATGCGCCTGCTACGGTAGCAGAGGAAAAGAAAACTGCAACTCTGGTACCAAGTTCGGCACGTTTATACCAACTGTCATTCGCAGTATATATTCAGACGTGCTCGAAACACAGGGACAAAGTCGCATACCAGGACATGTAAAATACAACGCCAGGATATAGACCTGCTTCAGCTAGGCCCAGAAGGACACGCAAGCCTGATGCTGGGTCAGAAATTGAAAACAAAGTCAATGTCCCGAATTCATACCAACGAGTTCTGCGTAGTTGTGTACCAGCCCATGCATGGTCTTGTTGGTTATATGAGTTCTCAAAACAGAACGAACAAGTACATGAGCGAGATTCACCATGGCTATTCCCCAAACGAGCATGATAAAAGACAACCAGCGGGCAGGTCGTAATTTCTTGAGTGCGACATTGCTCGGGGGCTGGAAGAAAATATGTCCAAATTCCGTTGAATACGAGCAACGCAAGCTGAATAAAAATGCATACATACCTCAAACAACGCATATGGGAAGAAGAACACAGTCAAAGCAATGAGATACTGTCGGTCCGTCATATGAAGATCATCTTGCATGTGGTACAACTTGAATCACTGGGATCAGTTTGATGTGGTAGACGACAGTGGAAACATCTTCTCACCCTTGCATTTCCAATGTTTCCCCGATCTAAGAAGTTCAGTAGGTAAAGAACTGCGAGCCACGGCACAACGTGCAAGTCGATCCTCCGTAAAAGGCGTCGTTCGTCCACAGAAGACGTATCAACCTCCGGACGATAAACCGGTGGGCTCGAGACTTCCTCTGGATGTACTGAAATGTCTTCTTTGTGAATAGAACCTGTGGACATGTCGTCTTGCACGTTTGAATGGGAAGGAAAGTACTTTGGGAGATCTCTCATATGCTCCTCCACTCAGCGCAGGAACGTTCGGACGGCGAACGGCGAGCAGTGAATGGAGACACTGTATTAGCTATCATTTTCGCTCCAAAGATACGGAGTCTCAACGTGTTCGGGTCAAGATAGCAAGTGTCGCTGATCACAAGGTCATAATTATAGTCAGATTTCCCACTGTTCCTATCATGTACACGATAAGCAAGTCTGGACAATACGTACTCTGCACAAGTACGAGAATAGAGTGACGTAGAGCTGCGTACTGGCATCCGTCAATCCATTACATCTCAGACCTATCACGAGGTGTGATCCAACAGGTCGACTTTACTCAATCTATGGTTCTGAGACAAAGCTCGTTAACATAGTGGATACCTACAGTACATGGAGATGCCACTCACAAGCCGCGAATCCATGGCAGCATCCATCAACATATAAGCATCACGCATTTAAGCAAATGCTCTGCGATAAATATCCATGCCAATAATACCTTCCAAGGGCCGAAGGGCACGACCAAGCCATCGGCGCACATCCTCGCTCTCCCCAGCCGCAACACGGAGTACACAACCTTCACCCTCAGAGATCGGACTAATAGACCATATGAGAGACGGTCGAGTATGTTGCTTGAACACAGAGATCGCCTCGAATTCAGCGGTCAGAGTACGACTGATCGCCTGTGTGAGAGGACCATACATGAGTACGGTAGCATAGCACGAATAAGGCTGCAGGCGGTCTGCAAGAGTGCGTGTAGGCACCGACTGAATGGGGATCTCCTCTTCTAAGAGCATAGCATCCCGAGCTATTCGTTTCCCATCCACCCAAAGCTCATTGAGACTGTAATACCGGTTGAAGACCCATTCTTCTCCAAGCGACTTCCTGCCGGACGTGATCCAATCCAAAAGTACCGCAGACGCGTCTCCGGATAGGCGGAACTTTTGCACTTGGTTGTACTTTGCTGAACGAAAACAGGTGACGGGGTCAGGGAGCAGAAAGACAGAGCTTCCGGGAGAGACCTCAATGTCGAAGTGTTGGCAGGTTAGGTCGTTCATCTCCAAATTCTGCCCTTGCGCGAGCTGATGTCCCGGTCTGGTCTTGAAGACCTTCGTAGACCCCTAGATAACTGTCTGTCAGTCTCATTTTGCGTGGTATTTCAGATTGTGAATACAGACCTGTGATAACATCACCAGAGACGAACCGTCATGCACTTCAACGGAGAGCTTGATCTGATCACCTCCTACTAATCCCCCGCCATAGCTGAGGACGTATACTACTGCCGTATTCCGTTGGGAAACTTTGGGTGACAGCAGCTTGAGGGGGTATGCATATGAAAGTTCAGAGAAGACAGCTTCTGAACCGTGTGGTCGTAGGACGATTCGTCCTACCCCAGGTCCTATTGTTTGCATCGTCTGCGACCTGACGCGGGCGCCGACATGGACGTTAGAAGGAAGGAATATCCGGAATAAGATAACGGACGGCAGACGTCTTGAGGGTTGTTGAATGATTGTTGAATGATCGATAGTCGATCATTAGTGGCACTACTCGAGTACATGCACAGTTGGTGGACTCAAGGAACTGGAACGCTATTCACATGCTAAGCTTGTTTCCACATAACTTTATACATACTAGGTAGAGCAACGCGATGAGAAAAGAGAAAGAGAGACTAAGTAGAGTAATAACGAGAGAACCTGAGCAGCCGGACAGAACATAACGAGATATAGCACATCCAACAAACAAATGCGGAGTGAAAGGTATGGACAAGAAACCGGGCAGTACAAGGACTATAGTCAGTATGCAACAAGTGACGGACAGGTAAGCGAAACAAATCGACAAACTCACAAGACTGAGGCGAGAGAGAGAGAAAGAGAGAAAAGGCAAATAAAGAGAGTCGTCGTCATGGGGTCGTAATGAAAAGTATCCATATGACAGCATATACAAAACAAAGATAACAAAGTTGCGCCTAGTATTGTCGAGTTGCAAGTGCTCGAATGTCGTATAGGTATGAGCGGTCCAACTCTGCGTGTGGATCTCTGTTGATGGGGATCCAGCCACGCATTTCCTGCCGATGCCGCTCCTCAGCAATACGACACTTCTCTAGGAAGTCCGCGTCGACATTGCATACATACGACGCACGAGAGCCTCTGTCACTCTCGGCATCCGACATGCTTCGTCGATGGCTGAGAGCCGGGCTGGGCGCATCCACCCGAGATGTATTCGAGCTGACGATAGTCTCAGTAACCGTTCCCGAAGTCTGCTGGGTGGCGCGGATAGTACCGCCTTTTGCCTCCCAGTCATCATCCTCATCGTCGGCAAGGTCGGCGAAGACGTCGGGCTCGTCTTCTTCAGGAGGCAATGTCGATATCCAACACATGCGCGTTGGGTCAAAGATCATGTTACCAACCACCCGAGCTCCGGATGCGAACGAGCCTGCAGGTGAGCCAACAGAAGATCCTGTTAGGTGGGTAATAAGTGCTGGCCGCGTTGACGTGCCAACAGCTGCGTCGAAGTCGCGAAGGACTTGGTCGTTGCCTTCCCATCTTAGCGTTTGGGGATTCCATTTCATCTCTCCAACAACTGCGACAAAACATGAGGCCGAAATTAGGCAACACATTTCAATGGCTGACTGACCTTTGGGAGCATTGGAACCGCCTAAATTTCGAATGAGAGTGGGTTTGCGTCTGGTCTGTCCGGGAGACGCGGGGAGTTTCTTCTTTACAAGAAGATCCGTTTCAGTTGGTCGACTGAATGACTGGGCTCTACCGGAACGTTTGAGCGTCTTGGTAGGCGGGGCTATGCTGCCAACATCTGGGGTGACAAGGTGAGAATGAAAACAACGGAGCATAAATGAGTCTGCATACCTGAACTACCAGAGGACAAATCATGTTTTCGTGAGCGACGCAGTGTACCTTTACCTGTAGAAGATCCACCTCCGGTAACTTTTGAAGAATATGAAGCACCTGGGACACGGTTACCGAAGCCCTTCGGTGCAACACGATACTGGCTCTCCTTGTCTCGGTTGAGAGGGAGATCTTCAATCCCGTCCAATTCCGTACCATCGCCATATGTCTTTTGTCGTTTCGGCCGTTTTAGAACCTTGACAGGAGGGGGAATCGGCAGAGACTGTGTTTGACTATGGCGGGACTTATTGGACGACCTGGAAGGCGGACGCATAGGGGGTAATGGAGAAGTTGATCGAGGGAGCGGAGGAGCGGCAGTCGCTGGGGCAGAACTAGGGAATACGGATGAAATTGGTAGCCGAGTCTTCATGCGAGACGAAGACGTTGGCATTGTGAGCCGTAGAGCGATGGGATTCGAAGACGGTGTCGAGGGTCGAGTTGGGGGAACATTGTAGTCCAAACTATGTAGACGACCTGTGGAGTTATTATGAACCTTTGCTCGCGATGACGCCGTGGGAGTCTCATAACGCGCTGTCGGTGTGGGTATGCCACTACTAGACCCGGAGCCTGATGCTTGGGCCTGGTTAGAGTCTGAGAGTGAAGGAAGGGAGGCTTTGCGAGACAACTTCCGCGTCGCCGTAGACGGGGAAGGAGGCTTGAGGCCGGAATGTGACTTCTGTACTCGAAGACTTCCGGGCTTAGGAGTGAGAAATGAAAAACTAGTGGAAGGAGCGGAAGTGACTGCCTGGCTGTACGTTTGCGTACGCACAGGTGCAGGCGCCAGTCGGGGAGGAGAGGGGGGTGCATTCAAACGACGTAGTTGTTGGGCGGATGAGACCGGTGGATTACTGGGTGATTTCGCACGATCAAGCTTCAATCTTGACGGTGGTCTGACTGGAGCGGTAGGCCGAGCAGGAACACTTCTACTACGAAGTATCGGCAGTGCCAGAGCCCGTTGGGACTTCTGCTGGGCAGTCTGTAGTAGCCTGCTTGGGCTAAGCTCCGAATCATCATCCAATACCAGTCCCATTTCAAAATCATCTTCGGGGTCAGGGCTAGCGATTTTGACACGATCATCAATCGGGGTTGCCCGCTTCTTCGCCTCAAGGAGTTTGGCCAGTTTCTTGCCGCTGTGGCCTGATTCAAACAAGCCTGAGGGAATGACAAGACCTTCGAGGTCACCTTCATCGTCGTCTTCTTCGGTCTCTGTCTCCGGTAGGGACGCTGACGTGTAGTTAGAAGATTGATAGTGGTCAGCGAAACCGAGAGAAGAGGGAGCGTCCGAAGACTGCGAGGAAGATGTCTGGTCCTTTTCGCCCCATTCCAGAGAGGACTTGGAGGATTGCGTCTTGAGCGACAACGGGCGGAGGGAGAGCTGTGTCAGATCTTCCGGCAGGGCCAAACCGTCTTCGAAGTCCTCCTCGATAGTTGGCTGAGTAGGCCTTGCAGGAATTTTGGGTAAAACGGTTGCTTTGATGGTTGAGACGCCTTCATCCTCGTCGTCATCTTCTGGTGGAGTGGGTAATGGTGGGCGGATGGTGAACATCTGGGGCGTACGCCTTGACAACTCAGGTAGGGCAGCTACGGAGTCCAAAGCAGCCTTTAAGTTTGCACCACCGGTGGTGCCAAGGTCGAACTCATTATCCCAGTCTTCGTCGTCCTTGTCAGATTCTCCATCTGAAGCGTGTATAGGCTCTCCATCAGGAAGATCAAAGTCGGCGTCGGGCCACTCTTCGCCAGAGAGAAGTATAGTCGGGGCGGGAATTGTGGTCATAGTCGAAAGAGAAACTAGAATGTCAGAGAAGATTATGCCCGTCGACGGGAGAGATTATAGAGTGCAAAGATGTTCGGGTAGGCTAATAGGGAGCGTCTTTGACGAATCGAAGATTTATTGTTCGGACATGGAGCCAGATGGTTGTCGAAAAATAGGGGCTGAGCACAAAGGTAAGCAGACGAAAGAGTCTGAGACAAGCGAGACTTGCGGAGGAGAAACGCAGAGGGGGGCAGGGAGGCCTCGTGTAGTTAGCGAGTGGGAGTTTGCTTTGCTTCCGCTGTCCAGACTCAACGCACAATAACCGTCCTTTGTCCTTGTTTGTCCCCCCTTGTTTGTACACCATTCATATTAGGGTTAGGTCTACTAGGCGCTCAATTCTAGTACGGCCTCAATCGCCTCAGCTCCGCCGCATTATACTCAATTTCATCCTCTGGCATTCCCTCAGCGTTCTCGCCGTCGCTCCCAGACCCACCCTCGCGCCATCCCTCCAGTGCCTCATCCAATCCCGTCCTCATACGGATGCCCCGCTCTGCCATAGTCTCCGCCCAATCGTTCAGTTCCCGCGACGAGAAGACCGAGCGCAGAGGGCCAAACGCCAGTAGATAGAGTTCTGTATTAAAATAAGCACCACTGTGCACGACGATGATAACCTTGTTCGGCTTACCTTTCACCAGTGGACATTCTCCCACTGCCCGAAACAGAAGTTTTTTGGCGCGCTGCAACTGTCCACACCGAATCTCAAACTCGAGATATATTCGCCACAAAGTCGGGCTACCTCGCGTCCTACAATGAGATAACCATCAGTAGATGTACAACTCAACTTATCATGGTAGTCACGTACCGATCATTCTGAACAGCATTCGAGAGACCATTTCTTGTCCGTTCCTGTTCAGCCTCCCATCTTCCCTTCTCCCAGCTTGCGACCCACACCTCTGCGATTCTTCTCGCCACATCCTTCTCCTTCGTCATACCGGGATTGTTCTGCTCTCCTAGCAGTGCACGCATGCGACCCCAAACACCTTGACCCTTCTGAGCTTCCAGGAACAAACCCAGAATGATAGTGTTGTTAGGGTACAAGTCCATGGCATGTTCCACTCGTTCCCTGAGAAGGACTGGAGGTATCGGATTCCGAAGAACAATGCCATCGTAGTAGACGAACAATAGAACAGCGGTGGTGAGACTTTCGTGAGCAACACTCCCGGAATCCATAGATTGCTGCATGGAATCAAGATAGGAAACCGCCGTGTGGATAGACGATGAAAGCAATTCAAGCAATGCTCTAAGCTTGATCCAACCCTCTCGTTCTTTCCATCGCGAGCTCTCGTGTTGACTGATAACATCGTCCAAATGGCGTTTGGCGCGTAGAGTTGCAATGCCGCCACTACCCTGGGTGCCAGTAGATCGTAGTACCACTTGCATCGCAGCGTCGGCGTTTCCAGATAGCCATTCCAATTCAGCCCAATCCCACCAAATCCCACTATAAGCAAAGGGATTAGGTGAAGATGACAAGACTGTTTGATAGATCTTGCGAGCTTCATCAAAGCGTCCACGGATACGCTCGATCCGAGCATGAGCAGCCCAACGAGGGAGGGAATCCGAAGCTTTGGCCAGGAACGCTTTTGATTTCTTGACAGCACTGTAATAGCATCGAATTCATTAGCCGAAACATGAGAAACGCAAACATCAACGAGCTCACTTCTTTGCGTTGACAGCAGTCTCGAACGCAAGCGACATATTGTCCCATTCGGTTTCGTCCTCGAGGAATCTGCATAAACGGAAGACCTCCTTAACGATATCTTCGTCGACGCCTTCCACGTCTTCTTGAGACCAAACAGTCCAATCCTTCTTTCCGATGATGTCTAAGGGGCGCAGAACGCCTAGACTGCAACTCTTAACAGGTCCAAAGACAGATGCATATTCCGGCTCTCGGCCCACGAGTACGCCAGCATGTGCATCCGCTGTGATACGACGGCTAGAAGAGGTTGGAGGGAATATAGCCGACAGGTAAGTTGGTGAGGCAAGATGTCGAGTCGCCCAGCGATCATCCGTACTTTCGGCAGGCACTTCAGACAACGAGCCCACGAAGCCAGGTATGTTCAAGCCCAGGAAGGATAGCCAGATTAAGCGAAGTGCATGCTGAGCATTCGATAATGTCAGAGGGAATAGGAGTGGTTGGATATCTGAGAAAAGGATAGTAGCGTATGGGTCGGTGTTTTCCTCCTCGTCGAAGGATCGACTAGGCAGTATCAAAGTTTTGTCGTCCTGGGCCTCTTGTGCCGCCCAACGAATATATGGGTCCATGTGCGATATACCGTGTTGAGTCTTCCGTGGGTTGGGAGGTGATGTTACTTCTGGACGACCAGAGCTCACCCAAGCGGCCCATCCACTGGAGCTAGGTTCGCCAATGCGTGGTAACTCAGATTCCCAGAAGTCTTCAAGAGCACCTAGTTGTGTCTCTGTAGATGCAGCGTGCAGATCTGAAGGTGCTTGATAAGCACTGTGAAGGACTGTGAGTGTCGTGTAAGATGATTATACATTCGCAGACTCACAGTTCGGCCTGGGCTTGGAATAGTGCCATTGCGCGTTCCGTATAGCCTGCACAACATTGATAATAGGTTCACATGTTAAAAACACAGTGCTTACCTGCATCTCGGAATGCGATAGCTACCCGCCAGAATGCGCTTAACTTAGCAACCTCGTCATCCTTAAGTGCAGTGTACACTCTTCGGGCACTTTGCACAATTCCATCCAGATCCTTCTCCGTCCTCCGTATTCGCCAGTCCAACCATTCAATATAGATATCTTTGCCACCATCCCTCAGGGCTACTTCCCATTCAGCGCGGATTTGGCCTTCATTCCATATCTCTTCTCCTGCCTGGAGGTATCTGAGTCGTAAGCTTTTGGACCGCGCATTGCTCGGATGGGCAATCAAAGCTCGAGAGAGGACGGAGATTGCAATCTCTGCACGGGCCTTCATAGCGTTCTTGGACGTAGTGGGGACAGTTGACAACGTATGCGAAAGGAGAGAGAGCCAGGTCGAGATGGAATCAGGGTGTGAGAGCAAGTGTTCTTCCAGAGACCTCAGAGTAGCTTGAAGCGAGGTTTCTGGCGTTGTGTCGGATTCGTTGCCTGAGCTTTCTGCACCCTCGCTCTCAGAAGATGAAGAACTTTCCTCAGATTCGGGCGTGTGCTTCGACACGGTAATGGATCGATACGATGGTTCGCCAGTGCGTGCTCGATGAATGGAGATACGTAGGAATCCTTCTACTTCCCCATGCTTGTACTTATCCTCCGACGCGGCTAGTAATCTCTTCGTTGGGGGCGCCCGGAGTAAATGTCGAGAACTGGAGTCTGTCAGTCCAGGAAGCTACATAAGGATTTTTGGTCAGGTCAACGTCGTAGTGACGGAAATAGATTAATGGGTCTACCTTGCGCTTGCCACCGATGCCTATGGCAATGGAGTGATGACCCTTGTGCAAAACAGTAAGGGCAGGAAGACCCAACACCTTCCTACCGCCTTCGCTTTGTCAGTGGCCGTCACATTATTGGGTAATGCACTCACGAGCAACAGCGTTGTACTTCGGTACGTCGCCCGAATGTAAACCTCCGTATGTTATATTCAAGACATCTCCTCTACCATCCGAATAGAACACAGGTTTGCCGTCGAGCGGCGAGTATGAGCTCTCATAGTCTCCATAACGCTTCGATTTAAGTTCCCTTTGTTCCTCACTATATTCTTGTTCGTGCGTCTTAGGTTTCTTTGACCTGTGTCGACGGTGACCCTCGTCGTCTGTACCTCGTTTATGCTTGCGGTCCTTGTCCTGCTTCTTGGTTGATTCCCTGTCTTTGCTGCGCCGATCCTTTGGCTCTGAGGGTGGCTTTGATTCGCTTGGTCCTGGTTCTAAGTCTGGAAACGAGCTAAATGAGGGAGGGAAAGAGGAGAACGAGGGTGCGGCCATTCCAATGACGATCGAAGTTGCTCAAACGCAGGAAGCGCCCATAAAGTATGATATTTACGGTAAACAAGCGCCCAACTTCGACATCTCTTTTCCGCTACGCCCAGCTCGTCCTCCAATGCGTCCTCTCACAGAAGATGAGAGCAAAATAGTGTTTACCAAGCTAGCCAACTACATTGTTAGCTGACCTAGTTTCTACGTGGGTATCGTATGCTGACTATGTTTGACTGTAGGGCAAGAATTTGGTACATCTGATCGACAGAGCAGACGAACCGTACTGTTTCCGTCTGCACAAGGACAGGGTTTTCTATGTCTCTGAATCGTCTATGCGACTAGCCATCTCTGTTGCACGACCGAACCTTGTCAGTCTTGGAACTTGCTTTGGCAAGTTCACGAAGAGCGGGAAATTCAAGCTTCACGTAACGGCCCTTGACTATCTCGCGCAGTATGCGAAGTACAAAGTGTGTCTTATCTTTCCATAGAGGTGGTTCAGTTGTGGATGACACATATATTAGATCTGGATCAAACCAAATGGAGAGATGCCATTCTTGTACGGCAACCATGTCTTGAAAGCGCATCTGGGCAGGATCACGGAAGACACCCCTGAGCATCAGGGTGTTGTTGTTTTCAGTATGAATGATGTCCCACTGGTATGTCACATGGCTTCCAATTGCAATTTATTGGCTACTGATTCCATTGTCTTTAGGGTTTCGGAGTAACTGCTCGGTCGACCGTGGATACCAGAAAACTGGACCCCACTGCAATCATCGTGTTCCACCAGTCGTACGTTATTTTCACATACACTTGCATATGTTCTTACTCACATGCTTAAAGGGATGTTGGAGAGTATCTTCGTGATGAGGTTGGTACCACATGCATAATCTATCATGAGCCGCCATTCACCGACTTTCATCTCAGGAAACATTGTTCTAGTATGCCGTCCGCGCAACACCTGTTCAACTCGGCTATGAAGTGCTCTCTCCGGTTGAATGCATTTTATCCCTGTCGTGCAAAATTATCTTACTGCGACTATTGGTTAGTTGACCCTCCTCGTTCTCCATCTGCTGTGTTTTGTATTGTGGGCCCTGTAATGATAGATAGACATGGATCTGATATACATCTTGATACCACATTTAACTGCTCTGTTTATCATCTGTGAAACCTTCGTTTTGCTTGTGCAGAGCGTGGGACGCGTACAATTTCGTAGTCCGGATAATTGAGAGAGCGCCTAATATACCGATCATACCGACGTAGCTGCACGTGTATCCGTGCTTTCACTATGGCCTCCACCTCCTCCTCGACTCAATCTCCTTATACCCGCTGGAATGACATTAATGACGATCAACTTACGCTCCCAGATGTAGAAGAATGTCTACAGTCCGCTCCCGACGATCTTTGGGTAGTTGCCGCATGTACGGATCGGCTGCTGGACGATCCAACGTTACAGCAAACATTGCTCGAGCTTGGACTGAAACGGACGGAAGCTGCTGTGACGCGAAGCCGACACATATGGGAGCATCCCCCAATATCAGACGAAGAGCAGAATTCACAAGCGGAATCGAGTACCTCAACTGACGAGCACAGATGGAATGCTGCACTGGTAGCTCGTTTCCGCGACAACCCTTCAGATGCACGTCTCTGCCATTTACGAGCTGTGCTACTGGACCGTCTCGATCGTTTGAACACGTTCAAAGAGATCGTGTCTCAACTACCTGTGGAGCAGAACGATTCGGAGGAGGAAGGAGACGAAGAATGGGAGGACGATCCATGGGCAGACGATGTGACGGAGGCACCGGGGAAGGCCTCCGCAGCGAAGGAACCGCTAATACCTCTGAGTTCCTTCCTTACATACCCGTTACTCGATGCTGCGTGTTTACTTGCATCCACGGAGTACTTCACTGCCGTACAAGTGATGTTGAAGAGACACGGTCCTATTCTTTGGCCATACCGCTTCGCAATCCTTGACAGTATACCCGAACATGCAGCCGCATCTGAATATCGGGACATACTCCCTAGCCTTGACCCTGTCGCCGAGGTCGAACAGAAACCAGCATTTGAACTGCCCAGACCTGACCTTGATTGGGCGGAGCAATCAGACGTCCAACAATCCCTCACCAAGTCTCAAGTCTCTTTCGGGATTTCTCGACCTCCTTTGTCAACAGTCGAAGCTCAATCTCAAGCAGAACCGTTGCAGTCTGACCCCTTACTCTCTTGGTACCGCGACCGCATTGACCTCATAATCTCGAGCACAGGTATGGTGGACGTCGCATTGTCTTTGGTTCAACATGCAGCATCACAAGGAATATCTGGATTGGATGAGATTGGAGAAGACCTATCTCTCATTTCTCGCCTGGTGTACGACGCTCCAGCAGCAAACGACGTGAATCAGGATGAATGGGCTCTCCAGATGTGGAGATCACTAGGCCCTTCTGATGTCGTCCGAGCCTACCTAGCACATTCCACTCCAGAAACTGTTGCTCACGATATAAACCACCTTGTGCTTCCCTACCTATACGTATTAGAGGCACGCGCTGAGCGCAAAGGTCACCCCGATCCATCCCTACCTCAGCGTATGCTCTATGAGTATATACTCCAAGCACCACTTGAAATCATTGCAGCCATTTTCGAGTCTTCAAAACCTACTCTACCTCCTGCACAACGGATCATACGAGATGACGAAGATATGGTCCGTTTAGCTCTCGCCTGCCTTTATGGTAGCGATAGCCTGAACGAGTGGCCAGTCATGAGTCGCATCTTTGAGTGTTTACCTGCATGGGAAACACCAGAAGACGAGGACGAAACGGACGAAGTCGACACTACCATTGCCTCTCTTGGCACCTTCCTGACGCCGTCTACGACACGTCCTCGATGTACGCCTAACGATATATTTTTATTCTTCAAGCCATTGCCTTCTACATCTTTGTCTCGTATGTTGGACGTGCTTGACGTTCATCTGGAGTCTGGAGAAATTCTGGCTCGATGGAGTGTTCCAGCGCCGTTGCGCTGGTTTCTTCGAAGTAATAGCAACATCATGGAGCAGCGTGCGTGGGCTCAGCGGATGGCCAGGCGAGCAGGTGGCTCCGATGACCAGCTGTCGTCACAGGAAGATTGGGAATGGCTCCTGGAAGACATGTTAAAACTTGCTGGATCCGGAGAAAGCGGATTACGAGGCGCGTTCTGCCTATTATCCAAGGATGACGTTATTCGTATATTCTTTGAAGGGCTGTTAAGTTCTGGTAGTAAGTGTCCATACGTAGTATCACACTTGGTTTTCAGGACTGAAATATTCTATGTAGGGTTTGACATCGCGAAGTACATGCTCCATCCATCGAAAAGCCTTCTACACATTGACCCCCTTGCGGTGGAAGACATATGTCTGTCGTGCTCTCAGGAGTTCTATGATAACGCTGGTTCCGGCAACTACCACTTCGGCGACATGAAACTCGCATACGACTGGTAAGTACACGATCAAATAGAGAACTCAAGTTTTCTCACAACCGTTCTCACACAGTCTTGACGTCCCTCAACAATCTGAGCGAGTCCTGAAAGAGAAAGATTTCATCGAAGCTACCTCAAGACTTTGCTCCTTCAACTTGATGTCTCGCCCAGGTATCCCAATATCGCCCATCGAGATCCGCCTCACAAAAGACCGGTTATCACTTGTTGCCAGAGTATTATCGAGTAACCCCGATGCATACAAGCATACACAGGTGATCCTCAACCTGGTAAATAAGCTAGGCTTCCGGGACGACGTAGCAGCAGAAGTTAAGACCCTTGCCATGCTAGCAGACACTGCTCTGCAAGCCGAGGATTTCGATTCCGCATACGAAGACAGTCAACGAATGGTGGATACCGTCTTCACCCTTCGTAAAACATCCGGTATTGAGAACCCTGCTGTGGTGGAGGCAAGCGAGGTTTGCTGGGTGGCGTGTTTCCAATTAGGACGACATCCAGACTTCCCGGACACTCGGAAGAAGCTTTCTTTGCTTGGTCGCGCTCTGGATCTATGTCCAGCGGATCGAATAACGGATATACTCAATATATGGCGACGTCTGGAAGATGATGATATTGAGGAACGACGGGGCAGATTGACTGCTCGTCAGAATGGCCTCAAACGTGATGTTAATCGGGCTGCACATGGACGATCTAGAACCACACAATCAGCAGCTGCATCATTGGCAGAACGACTGCAGCATCTGCAGATTCCTTCGGCTCCTCTCGTGAACGCAGACGCTGCAGCGTTGGCAAACAAAGCTTTCCACCGGGTTGCGGCGAATTTCCCATTCAGCGTCGGAGCACGCGGTCGTTCTTTACTTCCAGAAAGGGATCGGTCAAGAAGTAGCGAGAGGAGTCTTCCGAAGTATGATGGTGCAGAGGTGTCTGCCCAAGCTAGCCGTGTTCTACAGAAAGGATTGGGATGGTTATTGGGCGATGAGGAGTGATGTGGATCTCTCATGTAGTCACAATACTTTCCTGAATGTTATCATGACATTGACATTATCACCATGCTCACAACACAACATTGTAAAATCCGAGGGGTCATTATCATGAGGATAGTAAAGTACAACATACACACTTGAGCGTGCGCGAAGTAACCATGAGCAAGTACAAAAACGACAAAGCAAACAAGGTTTTCAACGTGCAGCAGTGAAAGAGCTGGAAGGGTGTTGGAAGGTATAAAGAATGGAGGAGGGAGAATGTGAATGTGAGAGAGCGAAAGAACGTGAGTGACAACATCATGATGTCAACAACAGGGCAACAAACCGAGACAAAAAAGAGGGAGGTACAGGGGGTGTTGGGGGTATGAGGGGGGGCATTACAAAAACTAGTGGGACAATCCTGTCCGTGTGGGAGGAGGGGGGAATCTAATTAATCCAAGAGTACAAATAATACCAATAAAAAATGGGACATAGATGTCGTGGGTGCGCAACCCGTGGCACGTCTACAGCCTAGAACTTGAAGATGGGATCCAAAGACATGACGATCAGCCAAAACGAAAACATAGCTTCTATGTCGCACTGGCAAACCGAGACCCCACGCCAGTACGCGCACGGGGACGATTGACCACACCGCCAGACTTTCCGCCAGCTTTGCGATGATCATCGGTTTTGCCTTCCCCATCTACAGTCGGTCGTCCAACTGAGCCTCTACCGCAGGTAGCACAGTACTCTTGAGAGCTATCCGACATTCGCAAACCATCGACCTCAGCTTTGAGATCTCTAACTTGTCCTTCTAGCTCCCAGATCTGTCGTTGCCATGCTCGACGAGCGGTCATAATTTGTTCTTGTAAGGCCTGAATCACGGAAGACTGATCATCTTGCTGGGAGGCAATGCCAATTGGCAGATGCTTCTCGTCACTAGAACGAGCGAGGAACGCGGGGCTCCTTGGGGAAATCGCACTAGCCGTGGTTGGGGTCCCTGTATCTGTCTCGAGTGACGGACGAGGTTGGTCGGAAGAGAACCGATCGGTGACCAAATGTTCAGAAAAATTCTTGGTGAACATCGTCGACACGGGGCGAATATTGACTCCCAAGAAATCCGCTGATGCTGGCGGGGCACTATTAGGAATTGAACTATCCGTCATAGCCGAACTGTAAGCGAAGCTTGAAGCAGCAGTAGTGGGGGTCAACAGCTGTCCGTGGTGTGCTGATTCACTGAGACCAGGAGATGCAGACCTGTGCGTGGACCTGGTCGAACTCGGTGGATGTGTCACAATGGACAGGCCCGGAACATTTCTCCTCGCACTAAGCTGCTGCTGTATGGAGCCAGCAATGAGGCGATCGGATCCAGAACTGCTATTCGAGCCAGTGTTCTGAGCTTCCAATGGAGCGATAGAGGGAACTGGGACACGATGCGATGTTACCTTGCGAGGTACTGGTGGTCCAGGCGAAGGAGGTGCAGTTTGTGTAGAAGGGGTTGCAGGAGGCGTATACACAGTGTGAGGGCGCTCTTTGCCATTGAACAGTCGCATGAATCCACTCTTCTTCCTCGTGACAGCTCTATGAGGATTCTGGTTACCTCCTTGCTGACTTTGGGTGGATGACGGGTAATCTGTTGGCATCGGAGGGACAGGATCACCAGACGCGGAAACGCCGGTTTTCGACTTGGAACTGCCGGCACTGACAGATCTCATTCTCGACCACCCTGACTGACTAGACACAGCAGGACTTGGTGGAGGATCGAAGTCAAAGTTGCGCGAAGCTGCTGAGTTGGATGCGGCAACCGATGCGACAGTTGCAGTGGCGCTGCGAGACCTTTCTCGAGCTTGGGCCTGTGCTTCAGCAAGAGATATCAATTTGATTGTTGAAGCACCGGACGTCTCCACCCAATTGTTCGGCGTCGCAGAAGCACTAAACGTCGTATCCCTAAAGTTACCAGAAGCCGCTCCTGGAGGTGACTGTGGAGGGATGTTCCTCATCATCGACTTGTTCACCGAAACAGGAGCGGATATACCTCTCTGGGCGCCACCAGAACGAGGAACGGGTGAGATGTCGAACTTCGACTGCATAGACGACATGGAAGTAACTGGGGTCAACGTGACGGTAGACTCTGAGCCGGAATGTGCCATAGTACTCGAACTTGTACTATCCGTCAGCGTGGCTCCAGACTCGCTGCGGTTAGGGGCCGGCGGGAAGACGGAAGAGGTACTCGCTAAGGCGTGTAGTTCGTTCAGATGCTGCTGCGATGCGTTGTCATGAACCGTGAGTCGGACGAGGTCCGGATTGGCGTAGGGATGCATAGGGGCTCCAGGAGAAGGTGGGCCAATATCTCTACTGGAGAATAGGGATTCTGTTGGAGACATTGTGCGATAATGAGAGACGGGTGATGCATGCACTGAGTATGAAGGAGCTGCGGAAGCAATCGACCGAGTGTCCACCGTATCTGGCTTCGAGAGGCCCTTGGCACTAGAGCTAGTGCGTGTGCGCAAACGGGGAAAATTCAACTTGTCACGTAATGTAGACTGAGGTGAGGGTGAAGATGAGAGCGCAAGTGACGTAGAGGACATGGACGCCTGGGCTAATGCTCTGTCGGAAGCAAAGAATGAGTGAATGAAACGACAAAGCAGCATCATGGAGATTACCCACAAGAGAGCGCTTCCGTTGGAAGAAGTGGATTGGGCATCCAAGGACTGTTTCATCTTACCCTGCGAACGGGTAGACTCGACGCTTGGTCTAGTGTCATGACTGGTTCTGGACGGCAAACCCCATGATTTCTTTGGCGCGTCAGATTTCTTACCCGGGTGCTTCTTGCGGCGTGCAGAAGAATCGTCAGGGAGGTCATCTTCTTCGCCGGTCTCCCAAGGAGCACGGGAGTGGAAGCGCATTTTGGGTCCATAAGTGCTGACTCTAGTGTCCTCTTCACCTTCGGCATCATCTTGGCTTGCTTGAGAAGAATTATCGTCGTCGTCGCCACCCTCAACAGAATAAAAGAGGGATGACTGAGAATCGTCATCTAGGTCAAGGCTGCTGGCTTCAGGAAAGTTCAGGCGCTCCCGGTCAGATACGGGGGAACGAAAGTCGGGGGATGGAGCGCGGTGATTGTGAGAAGAAATGGTGTAATGAAAGGCGATTGAGTGGGCATCAGTGTCAGAGGGTTGAGGGGAGAAATGGGCATGACTGTATAGAGAGGGGGAATCTGAAAAGTCAGACTGGGACGGAAAGCGACCATGGAGATCTGCTCTGGCGGCGCGTTGGTCGAGCAGAAACCTAAGGTGGTCTTCATGATGGATGACGTTGGAGGTCATGACATACGCCCTGGGAGCAGTCCTAGCGACTGGGATGTCGCGAGAGAGGAGGATGGGAAGGAGGAGGAAGGGGAAGAGGAGAGGAGACCTGGAGGACGAAAGCAAACTGCCTCCTCCCGCGACGACTCTACCGACTAAGGGCGTCTGTTTCAACCGATACGGCACAAACACCCCCAAACACAGTAGCTACTTCCTCGACTCTGGCACAATCTGTCACCTCGTACTTGAAATAATAATAACGTATGCGACTCTCAACTACCACATCCCGACGGTTGACAACGACGCAGAGACCTGCCAGCGTTGCCAGCAAAGCATCCTTCCCCAATGTTATGGTTGCCCGATTCAATCTGAGATACTTAGACGCTCACGCTTTTCGATCGTGTTCGCGATTGATTTGCACGTTCGCTCCTCTTTTAGGCCGACCGTCGCTCTTGGCCTCGCTTCATATGTTTCGAGCTTTCGAGGTGTCATACCTGGCTTCCTGCTTGCTGAGGCCTCTCTCACCTCATACACCTTGTACAGTTTCAATACACATGTGATTACTACTACAAAACAATACAATCGTAACAGATATGACATTATCTACCTGTGGGTATTACTACGATATCGAGGTGATTCGTTGATGATCGCTCATTGTCCCATGTCAGTTTCACTCTCACGAAAAAAAAAGAGGGTCCTCTCCTATCATGTCAGGTCAATGATAGTATCCACATCTCCCAGGAAGTCGTCAGAAGCCAATCCACTCTCCTGGGACGATGTCGGTGGAACGAATGTCCGTCTGCGAGGAAGAACACGAGCAAACCCTTTCGAGCCGGATGCCTGAGAGTTTCTCCCTCGAGTAAAATTCATGTCAAAATTTTCCTCGTCTCTATTCTGAAATGCACCATTATTAATGCTCCATGGGTCCCATGCGCCCCTCGGTTCTCTGATTTGTCTCATATTCGGATCATCCAATGGAGGCAATTCAGGGAACGACGCTATGCGATTGTTGCCCCGAACAGACGAACTCGGCTGTGAAGGCTGAGCCGATTGAGTTTGTTGAGACGTCTTGCGTCGTTTGGTGCTAGTCTGATGTTGATCAACAACATCGTCCAAATCGTCTAACAGAGATTTCCTGCCCCGTTCGCGTGGTTTAGAAGCCTTCGCCTTGCCTTTCCTCTTCCTAGCAGTCCCGTCCAAGATGCTATCAATAAACAGGTCAGAGAACGTCTTTGGCTCAGAATCACTGAGTTCCGCATCGTTCGGGTCTTCAAATGCGCGATGGCAAGGTCCTGTGTCTTCTGATTCCGTGGGGTGATGACTCGGCCTTCGCGGAACTGATGCACTAGTAGACGATGATGGAGAATTGGTCCTCGAGCCTGCACTTGCAGTGGTTACGTTGGCAAGTGGCTGATAAGGTTGAGAAGAACCACTGGGAGTAAGCGCAGCGTCCTCCTCATCCTCGTCCCAGGCCAAGAAATCAGGATTGTCGGGATTAGGAAAAGTGAAAAAGAAGCCAGAGTTCCACATAGGTAATGACGAGGGTGAGTTCCATGGGATTTCAATGATTCTGCGTGAGGGTGCAGGTTGTAGATCCCTGCTGGACGATGCTACAGGCTGTTCCATCAGCACATTCTCAGCCGCGTCTACTGCAGGAATTGCACTTTGTGCCGGAGCACGTTTGCGCGTTGGCTTAGGCATAGCGGGTGGCATTGCAGGTTCAACTTCATCGTCCTCTTCGCCGCCATCCTCATCTGCACGACTTGCACGCTTTCTTCTCTCATTTCCCCGTGTCCCCTTGTTAGTTTTCTCAGCAAGATATTCCTGAACAAGCGCTGGGTGCACTTGCTGCATCATTGAAGCCGGTACCCAAACACGCATAGTAGCAAGCGACTCAGGACGCGCTTTCTTCAACTCTGGCGTAGTTTCAGGTTCCGGATGTTTACCCTTAATCCCAGCATGGGCTAGATCCACGAATTGTTTTGGGTCGATTTCAATCCTGTATTCGAGGAGTTTGTCTGTGGCTTTGTTTTCACGAACACTGACAATCTTGGTGATCAAAGGATGAGGATCCGGGATGTTTGCAGAACGACTTGGTCCGGCTTGAGAGCCTCTGTTGACAAATGCAGACGCGAGGAGGTCTTCTTGTACTGGATCAAGGCATCTCTTGATCAAAGAAGCAGGTGTTCCGACGGCCTCGTCAACAGCGGGGTTCAAGACACCACGAATAATAGTATCATGTCTTCCCGCCCGAATACGCTTTTCCTTCTCCTTCTCATCTGCCTCCATAGCTGCACGTCGGAGAACGCGCATAAGTGAGGCTTTCCATAACAAGTCCCGGAACCTCTCAATGATTCTTGAACGATGACCCCATTCGTCGAAATGAGCTTCACAGAATCCAGCTAATCGAGGGATACTGAGGTCGCCTTTGTCCAAGAGGACACCACCCCTGCTTCCAGCAGTCTCACTGCAAATAGGATAGGCATAGTTTACGAGTATCTTGAGGTCGGGGAAATCATCGGGAAGGACTATGGATGGACATCGATGTGGTAGGAGTCCGCTAGAATTGGTATGTAGTTCATTGCTGATTTCGGTTCTCCATTGTGGTAAGAACGCTTGGATGCCTCGAGGTCCCATGTCCTCGTACGCCTGAATCAAACGATCGCCGAAGCCACATCTCGCAAGTCCGTGTGCGATTTGTGGTCCACATCCTCTTATACCCTAAAACAAGATACGTCGGTGCGTTTCTTCTTCTGGAGACAAGAGATAAAGCTTACATTGCCATAATCCCCTCCAGACAAGAGTGCGAAGAGAAACATCCCGCCCTTGGTGAGCGCGACATTAAGGTTGGTCCGGATATCTTCTGCATTGTAGACTTTGACATGATGCTTGCTGGCTTTGCCTTCGCAGTCAAGTGCTGGTGCGGATTTATTGCCTGAAAGTGTCAAACTCACACTGATGACATGTATTAGCATTAGAACAGACTGTTATATAAATCATTGCACATACTTTCTAATGATCGTTTTGGCCCCAAACATAAGCGCATCGACATCGTCGGTCATTATGGCGTCGATGACACCGACTCTATTCAGAAATGCCAGTTCCGCCTCTGCTTCTCCGCGAGCCTGGGAAGCTAGACATAAGCAAAACCATACATGCTGCATTTACGCTCACAAAAGGACTAGACAGAAACACTTACCATCCTCCACTCAATCCCATATATACCCAACAACTCTTTCAATTTAGCGGTGAGATTATGAGACCCAGATTTCCCCAATTTGCTTCCTCGTTTGACTCTAGGTCTTTCCCGCCCATCGAATACGAATAATGGAATAATGGGCAACTCCAGAAGACTACGTATACGAAAGAAAAGCATGCGGAGTTCCGGGTTCTCCCCGCCCTTGCTGAATCGTGCATGCTCGTACCATAAACTGGCGTCGATGCCTACACGTAGTGCACGCCGTCCGGATTCGTTTCGCTCGAAACCGTCGACAACGGCCATATGTGTGAGTGAACGTGAATGTCCAGCTTTGGCAATTACCTGTATAGAAGAGATATTAGATTTTGTACGTCTTTGCCACGGGAAGCAGAGGTTGCCTGACTTACATCCCATAAGCCTTGGACACCCATTGCGCGAAGGAAGGAGTGAAGATTAAGGAGGTATCGCTAGCGTAGTGGTATACTTTATTAAGAAAAGGTGGTGTCGAGAGAGATTGGCTTTTGGCAAGGTCAAAGGCCTATCGACCATCAATGCTTTGACGCGACTTGTCACGCTACGCGAATCGTCACTGCGTAACGAGGGGTGTCCTGGGTCCTCCCGTAGCTATTTTTGGTAAACTCGTTTTGAGATTTGCGTCTCAAGATCTTTCCACCAACTGATTCCTCCTTATACCTTGAACGTCTGCTGCCTCGGTCCCATTCTTGTGCTTCGCTATGTCTACATTGGAACCACAGCATCATTCTCCTGCTGATATTAATGGGGATTCGTCAAGCACTTCAATAGATGTAACACCCATTCCGCTTGGTGCTTCATCTGGTGGTCGAGTATCAGGAAAGCCTTGGAAGTCCCAAAAGACAGCGACTGTGTCTGTCTTGCATGCCACTTTGTTCCTTTCTATCAGTATTGATACTCTTTCTAGTCGTTCTTTTCTTCCTGAGGGCGTGAAGTCCAAATGGGAAGAGCGTATGGAGAAGACGAAGAAGGAAAAGGCTATCAAAGCACTTCAGACCGAGTTAAAGGAGGAGAAGCAAGCTGAGATCAAGCGGTATGTATATGTGACAATCCACTTGACGTACAATCTCCTCACACTGTGCTTCACAACCTCTAGTCGAAAAGAAATTACGCTCGAACGAAAGAAGGCGGCAGAAGAGCGAAGACGACTAGAAGAAGACAAAGCAAAGGTCCGCAACCATCATTTCATCTACGAGTCACTGTTTCGTTACTCACGGCTCTACAGATGGGTGCAAGAAAAGCGGCCAGACTCCGACGAAGAGCCGGGCGGACCAAAAAGATCAACCACTGATCCACGCTCAGACTCCCTTCCATTCATTCTCTGGGTTATATTGCTATCCGGACTGTTGTATTATTACATGTATGCATCTTATATTGCGACCCTTTGACTGTTCTACTCATGCACGTCTGAAAGTCCTGCGTCATCCAAAATAGGCAAAGGCTTGGGAACGTAACAAGCACAAATACTCTTCGGCGCTCGATGCGCCTCCCTTTTATTAGCAGAGGCACACAGAGTGATGTCACTTTTGGGGCCACGCCGTACGTGCTGCTCAGTGGTGTACGATTGACGTCACGGGTATCACGCGAAATGCTATATATACCACATAGAGTTGGCCGAGGATGTTGCCAAGAACACCCACCTTCATCACAACTCCTTCTTTTAAAACATTAACATCTTTCTCAATATGAATTCCAACACCGGTAACCAGCAGACGTACGAGGCCGGAGACCAAAGGTATAACGACGGCTTTCACTCACGCACGCGAAGTTGTCTTACGAATATAAACAGAACGTGGAAAGAGGAAAATCGCGGTGACGTGGAAGACAGTATCAGATTCAACGAGGGACAGCCCAACGCCCACTCCAACGTAGACTTCAAGTGAGTTCGCTTGATCTTCTAGTCTATGCGTTTCTCACCGAAGCTGATGCCTTGCTAGGGATAACCGGAGTCTGTCTAACAGATTAGCGGCGACTGAGAAAGAGGAAAGAGAGGAAGAGGCGCGAGATGTCAGAGCGGCAGACCCTCTAGCCCCTGCTCGTGCACACGGGAACGAACCGTCGCGAGGTGCGAAGATAGATGCGGAGCTGCAGCGCGCTGACGAGGAGACGTTGAGGAACAAGGGCAAAATATAAATGGACTGCAATGCACAAGTCGAATTTCCAATTGTATAGTACAAATACATATCGAGGACCCATTGTAATACCATCATCATGATCCGTTTCGGACACGCCTTGCGGGACATTCTGATAGTTATCAGAATGTCCTCTAAGCAATTGTTGCCCGCAAAAAAAAAATACAAAACGATTGAGTGCTACAACGGGTGGTCTCACAGACGAAATCCTTCAGCCAAAGAAATCAGACGAAAAGTAGAAGGACGAATATAAATATATCGCAAGGGGGGAGACAAAGGGACAAAATAGAGTCGTATTGTAGGTTATGAAATATAAGTATACAAGTAAAACGAAGAAGGGACACAAAAAGGGGATGCATAGAGGAGGAGACACAAGACGAGACGGAAGGTTCACTACCTACGGAAAGACAGAGAGAGAGGAAAAAATCAGAATTCAGGCAAAGACTACTACGACTGCGACTAAAGTCCATATACCAAGTAACCACCTTACCAGGAGAAATACAACCCATCCAGGGGGATGCGATCAGCAGAAGCAAAAGTAAAAAGATAACGAGATGGACATAGCTACGAGGAGATATTGGATACGATAGCGACAAATTTTAGGAAAACAGAGCCAAGGACAAGACGATTTCGGGAGGTTTGATAGATTTGTAGAATCGAATAGAAACAAAAGCGAGGTTGTATATGTGTATGTGTTTGAGGTTTCGAAGATGCGAGACTTGAGGTGGTAAGACGCGCGCGTGAATCAATTGCGTCCGCTGACGGTTCTTCGTCTCTTCTTCGGCTGCGATGCCTCATGCATCTCAGAATCACCATCATCATTTGGGTATCCGTGAGAGAAGAACCTCCTGGTCTTCTTACCAGCTTGAGCAGGAGGGGAGCCGAGGCTGATATCGAGCAAAGATCTTTTGCTATCCTCTTTGGACTTGTTATCATAGACGAACATCAAGTCATCAGAGGAAGGGGTCTTGACGTCAATGGTATCCTTCAACGTGAACCCTTCCATCAGTCCGGCACCAAGTCCAAATCCATCCGTAGTAGAGAAACTGGCGTTCCCGGAGTCAGTCTGAGAAAGCTGACTAGCTCGGAGGACGGGACTGTCTGCTTCAGGACTAGACTCAGGAGGGCTCATTTCGCGCATGAGTCTTCCTTTGCCATTGGGAGTAGACCAGGACAGCAAGTCCACGAAAGGGTCTTCTCCGTCCAACTCAATGGGGCCCAAAAGGCCTGGGGTTCTGGAGTTGGGAGTTTTCGCCACGGTCTTGGCAGGAGTCTTCGCGGGAGTGGCCAAGCGCCACGATTCGCCACCAAGTACGATCGACATCAGATCTTTCGGCTTCGTAAATTGGCGGCCAAGAGGGGATTCGGGGACGCGATATTGCTGGAACTTGACTCGATCGGCGAAGGGGGTAGGCAAGGCATCATTGAACAAACGGCGTTTGGGAGGCTTGGGAGCACGACGCTTTCCGCTTTCTGGTCCATCGGAATGAGTATCCTTCTCGTCATTGTCGGGAGCGAGAGGGCTACTGAAGATGCTTCGCTTTCTACGCTCGGACTTCGGAACGATAACGACCGGACTTACATCAAGACCACTAACAAGTGGACTTGCTTCACCGTGGACAAGCATATAAAGGGAAAGCTCGCGTGCGCTGGAATGGAGGGGGTGACTCGGGCTGGGGAATCGCCATGGTTGCTCTGACGGAAGACGCGCGGGAGAGTGCTTGAAGGACGGGGTGAGGAGTGGATTGTATGGCGACTCTGGGATTCCTTTCGATTCGCTTTGATTACGCAGGAACGAGCTCACAGGAGAGAGGCCTGGTGTAAGAGGTGGGGTGCTAGACGAGGTGCCGACTTGGAAAACATCGTGCTCGCCATCTGTGAAATTGGATTCAGGAGCAACCAGACCATGGTTAGGCAGTTCGTAACTCTTATCGGCCTCTTGATAGTGGTCGATATGAGTCTTAAAAGCGTCTTTCGCCTGGGCGGGCTCCGACTGGCGGCTGCTTGGGACTTTCTTAACAACATCGTCCTCGTTCTCGGAGGAGGTCGCTCCTCGACGAGAGTTGCGATGTCTGTCCTTGTCTTCCTTGTTCTCCTCTGCATATGATGGAAGAAAGTCAGTGATAACGAATGTGGCGGAGGATATAAAAACTCACTATTCGAGCCACGGCCTCTACGTTCGCTGGTGTTATTGTTATCGCGACGGTTGGCCATAGCAATCTTATGCTTCTCGTAGACGTGACGTCGCCACATGCTTTTGGCGTTCACGCCAGCGTAGGTGCGTCTGCAGAAGGTGCAACGCAGCCTAGGTTCTTCGCCTTCGGGCCAACCGTCCTTCAGCTCTCTCTTCTTCGAAGGACACCAGCCACGAGGCGGCTCGAGCTGAGTGGGATAGCGTATGGCGGTAGAACTGCAATTGACCGTAGTGATGTAGTCGGCGGGATCGAGAAACCATTCGGGGTTGGTTGCCATCAGGTTGTAGGTCAAGCCATCCTTGTACAGGTGTGCATTTGGAAAGTTGGTGAAAGGGGGATGTATAAAAATGGCGTCCGGGTCGTCGGGACTGGGGTCCATTGCAGGATGTTGGGGAACGACGAGAGCCCCGTTTCGGAGGCCGGGGTGCGTCCGACTCGTAGGAGGCAGCCTTCGCTGAGCATCAAAAGAGTCATTAGGTTGTGCATACAGCTGCTGCGGTGGCGCTGGTGCAAGAAAGGGGTCCTGTGTCGACTCGGTGAAACGACGCTTGAGGGTAGCACGAGAGGTAGGGTCTGCGTTGGAGGATGTGCCTGTGAATGAGTATGACGAGTAGAGGGGGTTACGAAGACGAGATTCCGCCATGACGGAAAGGAGCTACACGAGACAGCGGATCGAAGATGTCAGAGATTAGAAACTAAGTGGGAAGGGAAGTGCTTCTGGGGGAGGGTGGGGGGTGAGAAGGGTGACCGAGGAGGACAAAGAGGAGAGGAGAGGAGAAAAACGAGGAAAAGGCTACGCGAGGGTCGGGTGTAAAGTACGGTCGGCTAGTGGAAGACGGAGGAAACGAGAACTGGCACACCTCCTCAGCCGACAACACCTCATCAACGACACGCGTCTCTTTTCACACTCCGCTCCCACGAACCTCCTCGCGTTCGACGCGTCCAACGTCACCTGACCGTGACTCGGAGGCATTTCAGACAAGCAGAGCAGTGGTATTCAACGGATAGGACACGCTACATGTACACATATAATAGTCTATTTCACATAGACACACTTCTACAACGCCAACGCGATGTATCTACGCAGCAAGGTCCAGCATATTTCGTAGCACCACGCAAATTCACTCACCCAGCAATCATGATCGAGCCTCCTATAGGCGTGACTGGCCCCAACCATTTGAATCTTCGATAACAAATCAGTCATTGCAAATGAAGTAGCAAAACCGGTTTGAGCTATATCACCTGTCTTTGGCGAGTATCAATGTGAAGATGCTCCCAGAGAATAAGGCAGCCCCTATCCCAATTGCAGGGCCCGCAAACCTATGAGCAGCAAACCGAGGGTGAAGAGAGACAAGTAATAGCGCAAGTCCGTTGAAAACCTTGCAGTAACAAACCAACATCAATAACTATGGGCATTCATGGATACGGATGAAGTGCCCATCTTCTCCTCGAGGCAAACTCCCCGGTGAAAAGAATAAGATGGATGTGTAGGGGACAAGGGAAACATTCAGAAACATGACTGTTAGTAACTCACAGCGTAATGAGAGGCTGTTTCCCAAGCATGAATACTGTCAGGAGTGGTGCCTGGTCTCTTGCGAAGACCATGGGCACCGAAAGCACCTGTTATTATACCAATTGCGGCTAGAGGCAGTATTATGGGAGGAAACTGAAATCAGCATGTCGGTACCGCCAACACCATATTTCTCTTCAAGCACCTAAGATAGCCCCCGACCGCCACAACAAAGGACCTTGCAAATTACGGCCGACAGACCGGAAGAGAGGAGTGCTTGGGTTGGGTTCACCCATAATTGTTTTCAGCAGCAACGCAAGACACAAGTTTCTGAAAGCTCGAGTCGACACAACGATTGGCAGAGGTTGCACTGAGACGGGTCGATTCGCAGAGCGGAGACGGCGCGTCGCGGCAGGCCTTCGGCAACCTCGAGGCTCGATTGCTTACCTAAGATGGCTTTCGATCATCTTGGCGCCAATTCGAGCAATATTCTCCAGTAGGCAACTTTCAGGCTTCAGCAGAATCAGCACGCTCCCTTCTCAACTCACCGTTCGCATCCATGGGGAAGGCACAAAAAAAGACTGGAAAGGGTCGTCTAGACAAGTACTACAAGCTTGCAAAGTTGGTCTATTTATTAAGTACTTCGCTCGAACAAAACTAACAACTATGTAGAGAGCAAGGTTACCGAGCCCGTTCAGCCTTCAAGCTCATTCAATTGAACAAAAAATACTCCTTCTTGGAATCTGCGAGATGTTGTATAGATCTATGTGCTGCTCCAGGAGGTTGGCTGCAAGTCGCTAGTAAATATATGCCCGTGAACAGTGTCATTGTCGGTGCGTACTATTTTCCTCGTCACTAAGCATCACGTTCTTAGAACACTTCTAGGTGTTGACTTGGTTTCAATCAAGCCTATCCCTCGAGTTGTCACTTTTGCCTCCGATATTACTACTACTCAATGTCGCAACCTCATCCGTGGTGAACTGAAGGACTGGAAAGCCGATGTCGTCCTTCATGATGGTGCCCCCAACGTCGGTTCCGCATGGGTTCAAGATGCTTATAGCCAGTCTGAGCTTGTGCTCATGAGTATGAAACTTGCGGCCGAATTCTTGACCAAGGGTGGAACATTCGTAACGAAGGTTTTCAGAAGTGTGGATTACAACAACCTGATCTGGGTATTCAACCAATTATTTGGAAAGGTTGAGGCTACGAAACCTCCTTCATCAAGGTACTTATTTACTATACTCGTTGATGGCGTTTTACTTACATAATTATTTTAGAAACGTCTCCGCCGAGATTTTCGTCGTCTGCAGGGATTTCTTAGCTCCCAAACACATTGACCCCAAGTTTTTCGACCCGAAACATGTGTTCAAGGACCTTTCCGCATCTGCGCCTGCAGAGGGCGACAAGGGAGCCTCTTCCAAGAACTACCAGGCCAACGTCTTCCAACCTGAGAAGAAACGACGAAGGCGTGATGGTTACGACGAGGGCGACTATATCCTCTTCAAACAGGCTGGAGCCTCAGAGTACATCAAATGCGACGATGCGGTGGCATTCCTTGGTAGTGCCAACCAAATCACCTTCACGACGGACGAGGAGAAAGAGTGCGTGCTTTCTCTTTCTTAACTGGCGTCGATCGTTGTCTTATCATGGTCTGCAGATGGTTGAAATTGGATATCACCACTTCCGACGTGGTGTCAAATTGCGAGGATCTTAAGGTTCTCGGGAAGGGCGATTTCAAAGCGTTGATGAAATGGCGTACTGCTCTTCGTGAAGAAGTTCGTACATTTGTATTCGTCAGGTTTATCTACCTTCTCACTATTTGCCTCTTTTCAACAGCTCGGCCTCGAATCCAAGACAAACCCAACTGAAGAACTGACTGAGACTGTCGAGATCACAGAGGATGTCGATCCGGAGCAGCAAATCGAGGACGAGGTGAGTTTCAGCCGTAAGACACATTCAAGAATCTCATTGATATATTTTGCGTTCATTCCAGCTCGAACGTTTGAATGCGGAAGCAGCAGCTCGCTCAAAGCGAGAACGTCGACGTGCAAACGAGTTGAAAACAAAGACGATCCAACGTATGCAGCTCCAGATGACCGCGCCAATGGACATTGGTATGGAGCAAAGCGACACCGCACTTCATACTGGTTATGAAGACATGTTCGATCTCGATGATACCACTAAAGCTCTGGCAAGGAAGGGCGGGGTCGGTCGGCTGTTGGATGCCGATGATGAAGATAGCAGTGAAGAAGAAATGGACGACGCCGGAGACGAGGATGAGGAGATCTTGGATTCGGAAGAGGAAAGGGAGAAGAAGGTCGCTACGTTGGAAAATGAGTTGGATGGCCTTTATGACATGTATCAGGAGAGGATGAAGGAGAGAGATGCCAAGTATAAAGTCAAACAGGCTCGCAAGGAGAAGGAGGCTGCATCTTGGCACGGTATCCATCAGGATGAAGACAGCGACGATGGAGATTCGGAGGAGGGTGGTTGGGAAACAGTGCAACGAGCGAAGGCGAGAGCAGGCGAAGATTCATCGGACGAGAGCGATGCTGAGTCTGATGAGGAGGCCACCCCTGCTGACTCTAAAAAAAGGCGTCGAGTGCGATTCGAGGACGACTCTTCCAAGTCACGGAAGAAGGTGCGATTGCAGGATGGCGCAAGTTCAGCACCAACTCCTGCGCCTGTGTTGAGTCGAACTGCCCAAGTGTGGTTCAGCCAATTCGACGACGATCTCGCTGGAGATAATCTCGCCGATAGTGAGGACAGCGAGGATGAGGCTATGGACGAGGTATCTGAGCATTCCGAGGAAGCGGCACATAGTGACGTGAGTATCTACTGTGTGATGCTACTGGATACGAACTCATATTCTTCCTAGGCTTCTGACGATGATGACTTTGAAGTCGTTCCTCAGGATCTCGACAATGATGTAACGATGTGGGACGTAGAGGGTGAGAACGAGGATGAGTTGAAGCAAGAAAAGATCAAGAGTACGTGGCTTCGTTGTTGTGTTTTCGACTTATTTCACTGACGGTTCATCCAGAGCACGGTCTTGTGACAGCGGAGGCTATGACAATAGCTCAGCAACTGGTCAACCGGGAGAAGACTCGCACCGACCTGATCAACGGAGGCTTCAATCGATACTCTCTCAACTCCAAGGAGGGTCTACCGCCGTGGTTCTTGGATGACGAGGAGAAGCATTACAAGGCCAATATCCCCATTACAAAGGAGGCAGTTTCTGCCATTCGGGCCAAAATGCGAGCTTTGGACGCCCGTCCAATCAAGAAGGTTGCAGAGGCGAAGGCTCGTAAGAAGTTCAAGGCCGCCCAACGATTGGAGAAAGCCATGAAGAAGGCTGAAGGCGTCACCGAAACCTCTGATATGACCGAGCGGGAGAAGGCGAAACAGATCGAGAAACTTATGCAGAAGGGCATGAAGAAGACTCAAAAGAAGGAGATCAAGGTTGTTGTCGCCAAGGGTTCTCATAAGGGTTTGAAGGGAAGACCAAAGGGTGTGAAGGGTCGATACGTCATGGTAGACTCCCGGATGAAGAAAGAGGTTAGTGAACTTGTTCGACTTATGTTTGTATCATTACTAACAATCTCTGGCAGGTGCGAGCACAAAAAAGGCGAGATAAGGCGAGCAAGAAGCGGAAACGGACTTAGCTCGCTTTCTCATATGTCTCTTCCATGTCCTGTTAGTATCTCGTATTTGTTATCTGGAGTCATTATATTACTATTAGATCTACCGTGTAAGCAAGAATGTGACGGTCTACGAGACTACGATGAAAAGTCGAAATCGTCTTGGAAAGGTGCCTGCTTCCAGCTCGGAGCATACGTCGAGGTGGTCAACCTGTCGCAGCTAGATAGGAACTGTTTCCAATCAAACTCGGAAATCGGATTGAGACATACGATCTATAAGATATCAATACATATACTTCAAGTATGTGAAGGTGACGCACCTCGCATGAAGTCGCCTTCTGGCTGCTCTCCAAATCCACAACACTCTCGCTTACGACAGCAAGAGAAGGATCCGGACGTCCTTCATCGTAAGCAGGAAGTTCATCTATGCTTTGGCGTACACTTGCGCTCGAGTGTAGAATATAATTTTCTCCGTTATGAGTAAGCAGCAAAGGCGCGAGGGGTTGGGTGATCTCAGCGTCGGTTCCTTGCAAGCTGATGAAAGAGAGGTAAGACATCCCAGTCCTGATAGAATGAAACAAAAGAACGTGGCATACAATCTGCGCAAGTCTGACAAGTAATCTTGCAGAACTTGAGGCATTTGCTTCTCAGCGAGCTCGACCGATTCCGAGAAGGACAAGCGCATATCCATGGGACTGTGAACCAGAGAGCATCAGTGTACGAAATACCAGAGAGGAAGACCAAATATTCTGACCGATCAGGCATCATGACATCCAGGATCCGTTCATGAGCGGTCCAACAATGTGGAGCTAACGATATACTTGTCGCGGAAAGCGTGGAAGACGCCTTCGCTGATAGTGAAGTATGGAAAGTTTCTGTATCTATATCATGCCCTTGCGCATCTTCACTGCCAGATTCAGGTTTGAATCCGGGATCATACACGGGTGTCTTTGGTTGAGCGAGCATGACTTCGAACGTGACTGTGCGCAATTCTGGCATTCTCACTCCAGAACCCGAGTCACTCAAAAGTTCGGGCCCATCGGTGTCGGAGATGGACTCATAGCTCTTATACACTAAGCGATGCAGGATTTTCTGTTTTCTCGGGTTCACGTCGACCAAAGACGAAGGCAGACTGTGAAAGGGTAAGTCTCAGCTTGAAGCTAGAAGGTGTTATAAGATGCTTTCCTAGGAATGAACGAAGTCCGAACGTCATTCGTTTCCATCCACTGCATAATTTTGGGGTATTGATGATAACCTTTCAATGGCGGGGTCAAACTAGTCTGTTGCACAGAGGACGTCGTTGCCACAAGCATATGACCTAGTCTGTCCGAAAAGAAAATCCTTAGCAATCTGAGATACGATGTGCTTCGAAAGCACCTACAATGCCTTGATTTTCTTGGTTCGCGGCGCAAATTGATTCGTATCAGGTAGCATGTCCATAAATGCGCTTTTCAAATCGACAGAACTCCTATCCGCAAAAAGCCCAAAGTCAGAGACTGTAGCTGTCTATTCAAAGATGACCCACATTTCTCTAGAATACAATTTTCCGCGACTGCCAGCGAGCCCACCTGTCCGCTCGAGATCCTCGCCTTGCGCTTGTACAAGCCATTCGCCGACTTTACGGAATCTGAAGGCACCGTTCGTATTCATCGTCCAGGGTAACGTCCGTGGGGATAAAAATGGATATAGAGAATATGCATGTGGAGCCGAGGATAATAGATGCGATGCAGCCGACTCCGGCGGTTTATATGACAATGACGGTATATGGGAGGACACGTAAAGCTATGAAGATGTAGTGAGCAATGACATGACAAAAGCTATCAGCAAACATACCTCATGCATCGCACGAGCGGCCAGTCGTTTTGCATTTTCGAGACTTTGTTCACTTCTGGCATGGATCTTGATCTAAGAGACTAAATTAAGAGACGTGTTCAGAAGAGAGAAGCCCAAGCGGAATTACCTCTCCATTTGGTCCAACATTCTCCATGAATGCGTTAGCCAATCGCGATATTCGTTTAATAAGATCTTGGGGCACGGAAGTTGCTGTCGGCAATTGATATACCTCATTCACAAAGGACTTGAACCAACGAATTTAGCGATAAAGCGTTAACATACATAACAGTGCGAACTTACTTCTCTAAGTTGAGATATTCGCTGCGTGATGCTATTGAGCGCAGCTATAATTCCTTCGACACGTAGAGCCAGCGGTTCGGAAGAAAGCGAAACATTGACATTATACTCCCTAGAAAGCTCTAGCATCTGGGAGCCATCTGTGGACAATGACCAGGCTCAACAAATCATTGCGGCAAAGTATGAACGACAGACTTACCGCGACCAAGCATCAAGAACAGTTCACTGCGTGTCATCGGGTACACTGGTATCTGAATCAGGAATAGTACTGGACTCGGATTATATTGGAGACTCACACTTAGCAGACACTTCCGTTCGCTCCCTCTTGGATTTCTCGAGTTCTTGCAGCGACGGCCAGCCCCAGCCGTCCTCAAGGATTGCTTCTGCATATTGTGTCTTCTTATGTTTAGGCCTAATAGACGCAGGGTCCACGTTATACAGCTCTAAGAATTCCCGTAATTGCTGCCTAGTAAAAGCCCGGCATAAACTGTCCACGATACTGTTATGCTGTTCGACGTATCGACGAGTATCAGGACGAGCATGTTTGTCAAGTCGAAACATCTCGAGGTCGGCAATAGTAGGTTTTACGCCTCCAGCATGCAGTTTCGCGAGATATGCTTCAGTCTTCAAAGAGTGCCGTCGCTCCTTGAGCATCAAAGATGATTCGCCTGAGACTTTCCCAGAGAAATGTGCAGACGCGTCCTCGGTCTTTTTGCCGCGATGTCGTATTACAAGGGTAGATTTGGCAGCACGGTCGAGAATTTGCGATGAATTATTTGATGATTTGCTTGTGCTGGGTTCGAGGGTGTCATCTGGAGGAGCGTCCGTGTCCTGCGGGAGTTGTCGAACAGCAGCTTGGGCAGAGTAGGAGCGTAGATACCGAGTGCAATGAATGTATCTTGAATGTACGACATTGACATGTCGAAGAGCCCGCTGTGACATTTTGAGAGAGTCGGGAGGTTAGACACTCGCAACTCAGTGTTTGTTGGCGTGAAAAGTCGCACTTCATTACAGCTCGATCATAGACGCCAGAGCAGAGATGATCACTCGATCTGGAAGGTCCTCTGGTTCAACGGTTCTCAACGGGGATCATCACATTCATAAGCCAATACACCATACAAAAATCACAGTAGTCGTTATCGTTACAGTTCGTGAGAGATCATGAATAAAGTTGAAAATATTCTCTACTTCTTGTCAACAGAGACGGATTCGCTGGAAGTATCATCGTCAACGAGGTCCTCGTCTTCGCCGATCTCACCTTCCCATCCATTATCGGCAAGGTATTGCATGAACTTGCGATCCTCATCAGCCAAGTCGACACCTAGAAAAGTATCAATCAGTACAACGGTGGGTCCAAGAATAAATATGGACCAACCTGTCATGTCCGGCACGAAGAAGTACGTCACAAGAATACCGGTGACACCACAGATTGCGGCAATGATGAACGTCCACCTATAAAATGTAAGAACATTGTGGAATTCATTAAGTAGTATTGTTAATGTGACGTACTTCTTGCCGAGGTTGTTCTGAATAGGTGTAAATGCCTGAGTACCCACCGCGGCACCGGTTTTCCCAATCGCCGCCGATAAGCCGTAGCATGTCCCTCTGTCGTAATGTTAGCCAGAGTGCCCTTCCTACGCCACTAGAAAATCCTACCTAATGGGTGTCGCGTATGATCTTGATGACAGAAGTCAGCCAAAACTCGAAACGTATTCTATCGAACGCCACCTACTCTGCGCTCACAAGTCCTAACATATCTCCAGGTCCCTGAATTTGACATTACCCAGTAGGCTCGTACAGAATACGCGAATAGAACTTACGAGATTCCCAAATGACTGCATGAGACCATAGCTAGTCATAAGTCAGTGGTTAGTTCAGCCCCAAATATTCTGACAACTTACAAGATCACAAAAAGTGGGATGATCTTCGTGATCTTGTCGTACGCGATTCCGATGATCAAACCTGCACCCGATGCGAATGAATCAATTACTCCTTGAACAAAATAGGATATGTACTTACCGAAGACGAGATACCCGCTGAAGCCGAGGATCATCTACGAACATCCTGGCTGTCAACAATGAAGTAAAGTTCTATTCGGAGTACCTACCGTGTTGCGTCTGCCCAAGGGATTGCACAGCAAAGCACCGACGAAGACACCTGCCAACATACGGATCAGCGAGGACAGAAGCAGAAGAGTAGATATTATTATAGTGTACCCGGTAGCGCAATTGCGCCAAGAAGCAACTGCCATTCGGCGGTAGACTTGATATCACCGTCCGAAATGACGCTAGAGATGATGGTTCCGGAGAAGACACCGTTCGGGAAAGTAACCTAGTGCATACGTGAGATGACAGCATCTCCGCGGCGAAGACTTCAGAAAGAGCTCACAAAATCATAAAGGAACCTATATTTAGGGAAATTATGTCAATAACCGCCTGGCTGGCCTGCATCTTGTGCATCACATACCAAGCGCCGCAAGTACCAATTAGTGGCTTCCAGTACCTTTTAATAACTAACACATACGGGACCCGACCTAGCAAACCGAAATCAGCATAGACCACCAATCGAAATTAAAAGCACAATTCACGTTTGATTGCGCCCTCTCGGTAGAGCTTCGAGCTCAACATACGCATACGGAAGTAAAAGACAGTTAAGGGAAGGATGATTCCGATTCCAAAACATACACGCCAGACGGTTGGGAGATGATCTTCGCCAGCTGCCGAGATGACAATCAAGAACACGGACACCGCCAATGGGCCACCGAACTATAAAGCAATTAGATGATCACATAAACGAGCAAGGACGGGAGCATTTACACTTAGGACAAAATTGGTGACCATGATGAACACTGTATCATTCCATGCATAAGCTGGGTTTAGTGAATAATATAATGATACAAAGATCCCTACCAGGCCCACGGTGCTTGATCATTTTCTCATTAGCAGCTTCACTAGCACTGGTCGACGATGCGGGATATTCTCCCCCGACGCCCTGCACAATGAATCAGAACAACGATTCTAAATGCAACCTCTGAGAGAAATCCTCATACTATGCCTGTGATACCTCGTGCAAACGTCAAGAACCAGAAAAGACCTTGAACACTTCCATGGGCGCCGTGAGCGGCGGTGCCAAGCGTTGCGCCAATAACAATCAGAAGCGTCGTGCCGACCAGAGCAACCTTGCGCCCAAGACGATCGCATACCAGACCGACAACGATCTGGCCAATAATTGCACCTTCGAAGCATTTGTGCGCTGTTCAACTACATCCGACAAGGTTGTACTTACCAACAAGGAGCGAGTTGGATACACGTGTCGAGACGCTTGAAGTGTATTCTTTGGGATACAATTTCTTGAACACGACCTATTACATGTTCAATATTAGGCATGTCGTTAGAGCACTCCACACTTCACGTACATTGGACATAGTCATGAGATTGTTCTGATCTGCAAATCAAGTGCGAGCTTGAGACATCGAAGCAATGCGAAGAATACCGCTCTTACATCCATCACTACAGAATCTGAGATGATGCTTCTTACTCAAAAGAAATTCAAATCGCACCTGATAAGCCCAAAGGCAGCGGCTGCAATGGTGAAGTACGCGCTCAGAGTCTCCTTACGAGTGAGATGTCGAAATTTCGGGGCATTGCGCTCCTTATTCGTTTGCTCAACAGTAGGGACCACCGAAACATCTGCAACATCGTCCGTGGTCTTTCCCGTAGTATTGGTCATGGCAAGTCGACAAAGTGGATGGCAGAGCACGACGCAGGAAGAGCAGACAGTAGGTACTTAAAGGGAGCTCAGGAGGAGAAGGGACCTGGATCAATGACAGATTGAATCGAATTCATAGAAGTGCATGAGACAAACGTGCGTTCTACCACCAATCAAGTGGAGAAGCGAAAGCTATCAACAGGGACAGGCGCGGGAGGTTCAAGACTCATTGAGTAGTCCTCCGACCCGAGGCATGAAAAACCATGCATTGTGGGAATATCTAGAAGCTCTGTTTTGATGCTCATCCACGAAGCTTGACGTTGGGCCTGGGTTCCACTTGCTATGTGCTGGCTCTTCAAGACGACATTAGAAGAGAAGGGGTGAACCGAGATATTCCGTTCACAAGGACGACCATTCACAAGTGGAACGACATAACGATATGGCGTTCAGCTGGAGGATGGTCGGGTAAAGGAGTACATCACCATCAATCATGACTACGGTCCGAGTCAGAAACGCAAACGCGATACAGTTTACAAACGCGACGCGCCAGACTCACGTGCAGTACTTTATAGTCCGAAAGGTCCGATCATACTAATTGACGCATGTTCCGTCTGCTGAGTTGTTCTCTCCATCGAACAAGCGAAACAAAATTCCTGCAAGACTGATAACATCTGGAAGATAGAGAAGGAGGATCTACATACCACTGAGGTCATTCAGACAGACGGTGTGAATCTGGAAGAGATAGGTGTTTGGGCGCTGATGCGGGCCGTCTGTATGGCAAACGAGGCTATTTTTTGAGATTATGATGGTGACAGCCGTCGACGATGTTCTTGTCGTCCTGCCATGACCTACGGACTTGCTTGAATGCGTCTGAACGCACAAAGGAACGGCGGAAGTGGCTTGGGTTCGGTATTTAGGGGCGATAAGATGGTCCCAAGCCTCGCCGCCGGTAGATCCCGGCACAGATAAAGCCGATGAGATGGAAAATAATCTAATCAGACAACCCACAGTCCCTCACCAATTCCTTCTCACTCTGGGACTTATTACCCCCTCCTACCCGTACTTCCCCTTCCCACATCTTTCTTTCGTCCCGGACATCGTCCAGACGGTCCCCACGCAGACCATGAGTGTCCCGCTGTGCACTCCCGCTGCATCCTCCTCGTCGACTCTCTGGGCTACTGGTTAGTAACACCTCCGCTTCAGTGCGCTTTACGCTCACCCGTACATCCATATTAGCTTCCAAGGAGTGGGTCATTCCCGCCAAGCCAAAACCAGGACGTAAACCAAAGAAAGATGTCGTTCTGCCTCCTTCGGAGCCAGGAGAGGTTGGCCTACTTATCTGCATATGCATATAACCCCTCACCTTGCTTTGTTATTGCAGGTTGATTCTAAAGGACGGCGTGTACAGAACAGGTACATAGATAATCGTGCAGCCTTCAGCTCCTACCTGACATGCCCGTGCCCACAGAGCCGCCCAGCGTGCGTTTCGGGAACGTAAGCAGTCCCAGCTCGCCGAACTCCAGGCTCGTGTGCAGCAGTACGAGCAAGGCGAGATCGAACGGAATGTTGCTTTGCAGAACATTGCCAAGCGACTGAAAGAGGAGAATGAAAAGTTGCGTCGGGAGAACATTCAGCTAAAGGAGAAGCTCTCCCAGACGGAACAGGAACGCGATAATTTCAAGGATGCTGCCAAGAAGCGCCTCAGAGAAGAATCGCTTCCTCGATCTCATGCGCCTTCAATGGAACCTCCTTCCAGAAAGAAAGCTAAACTTACGATGGACTCCCTGAACACATTATCAGAAGTCACGACCGTCCCATTATCTTATGTTTCACCACCTTCATCGGTATCCTCACCTGAGTCGAGTTCTCATGACAGTTTCTCCCCTATGCCTGGTCTATCACCCAATCGTGACCCACCGGTCTACACCCAAGGAAGCGGTATCGGTAACATCTTTGACTTCATTACCACTTCGAAGTCGGACATGTTCGAACCTGGAGGCTCGATGGATACATTCGACTGTGGATTCTGTAATGAAAACACACCTTGTGTCTGTCGGGAGCTTGCTCAGCAGGTCTCGGTGCAAAGCGTCACACTTAAAGAGGAGGTACCCGAACCACCTACTACAAACATCGTGAGGCTGGATCCTCCGACCACATTCACCCCGACGCCATCTTCTATTTTAGAGAACCTTCCTGCGTACCAACCTCCCATCCCGCTCCGTCGTCGCACGACCACTACTGCGGTCAATTCAATATTCCCTATTACAGCGGCGCCCCGCGACCTGACTCGTCGCAGCGATGCTTCATGCTCCGGAGACCCGTCAAATTGCTTGGCATGTGCTGATGACCCGTTCGGGAAAGCGTTCTGCGCTGCCATCAGCAAATCGGTCTCCTCGTCATCGGCATGCGCAAACTGTCCTGGTGGCTGCGAGCTCGCAGGGTCGTCTGGTGGTTGCTGCGGTAATCCCGCTGCTTGTGGTCGCGACAGGACTGTATCGCCAGCTGCTATCAGTAGACCTTCACCAGGGATGGATAATGCTGTGTCACCAATCCCTTCGACTTCACAAGAGACAATTCCTTGCGATGACGCATGGAAACAAATTAAGTCGCACCCAAATGCTACTTTTGCTGATCTCGAATTACTTGCAGAAGTTGTCGCTCGTCGTTCAAAGTGCACAGGCCCTCGGGTTGAAATATCTCCTGCTCCTGGCAGTATAACACCAGAGCGAGGGCTCTCACCCAGTCTTCTACCCTCGTCATTGCCAAGTCGAATGGATGACGATAGTCAGTCAATCGTGCTTACGGATCCTCATGCTCGTTACCATGAGAAGCAGAGGGAGTATGGGAGTGACCCACTGTCTGGCCCAGGAACGCAAGAGGTGTTTGTCAGATGTGGGCGGTCGCGAGTACGCGAGGTCCAAGCAGACGGTGTCCGCGAGGCTTTACGCTTACTCGATGCTAAATACCAAGCCCCATGAAAACGATAGAAACTGTTCAAATCACTATGTATTTCTAATTTACAGTATAAATGTAGGAATGTGTGGTAAAGGATGGTAAACTCAGCAGACAACGCTCATCTCGAAACCCACCAACATTGCAAATCCAGCGGGAGAGGGAATAGACCTAATCATATTACATTCTCACATACAGCACCGAGATGATCTAATGTTTGTGATTATGGTGAAGGGGTATTCACAACGGCTGAATTAACTTTCTCCTTTTGCTGTCCAGGCGTAGCCTCCGGTACGCGCCCTTGAAGGAAATCTTGGAGTAATCTCCTCAACTTCCCCCGCAGACGTCTCCTGTCCTTGTGCCTAAGAGCCCCAGAATAATTGTGTTTGGATCCCATCCCCCGGAACTCAGTAGCGAGACGTCTTAGTCCAGCCTCATGCATCGCATCTGGGAGAGGTCCGACGTGGTGCCAACACTCCAACAGTACCTTTCGTGCAACGGCATATGCACCCGCAGTAAAGTAAGCACTAGCCATGGCATCAATGACCGCAATATCAGGGCGAATACCCCGAGTCACCATATCTCGGAACCACCGCGATGCTTGCGTCGGAGAGCCGCGACGAGCGTAGCCGACAATGATAATGGTGTAGAGCACCGGGTTTGGAATGAGTCCGCTGTTGATGGCCTTGATGAGCACCTCCTCCGCTGATTCTATCTGACCAGCCTTCACGAAACCCTCCATGATAGCAGCGTAATGGTATTGATTAGGATGCATGCCTCGATCGAGCAGAGTTTGAAATGTATCCTTTGCGGTTTCGATGTCCGCCTTGACTACAGCGTCATGTCGAAGGCGAATAGAGACTGTGGCTTTATCGCTGCGAACGCGCTGATTGGACAAAATCTTCAACACAGGCCGAATGAGAGCGCGATAAGAAAGTCGTCGTGGCAGTTCGATACCAGCAAATGGGTCAAACTCGTCTGACACGGTGGAGAGACGACCATTCAGCCGGGACTTGGATTGGCGTTTGTGCCTCCAACCCCTGCTTTTCACTAACTCCGTCTCTGACCGAACGACACTGCTAAGGATAACGTGAACGTGTCGTAACGTCGGGACGAAAGAGCTGGAAAGCGTCCGAAGGACTCGAATGAGCTCTCGAGGGCGCACACCCTCCGTTTTGGATAGGTACGCCACAATGATCTCGATGGTATAAGCGTCCGGCTCGATACCGACTATTTGCATGATGCGGCGCACGATCCAGGTCCCCTTCAAACCGGATTTCTCCTGGATACCCTGAAGCAGAGCGTTGAAGATATGCGTAGAGGGCGAAACTGAGTGTAAGAGTAGATCAGATGGACCGCGATCAGTCACGGGCAAACCAAGATCATGAAAACGTGGAAGTGTTGCAGATATATCCTTGCATGTGCTAGCTGCGATGCTGGTTGCTGTGGCAAGATCGCCAACGGCGATATGCATCCTGATGAGAGCCGCGACAAACTGCCCGTCCGGTTCCACTTTGAGGTCTCGCATACGTTCGAGCATAAGTAAGGCGCGAGGAAGATCGTGTTCCTTGGCCATGTAATTCATGAGCATCGTGAAGGTGACTATATCGGGTGCAAGAATGGTATTTGGAAGATCGCCGTTGGTGGGTATTTCTGGACGAGCATGATCTTGGGAAAGGTCTCCGTCTGCCTGGGTGGAATCTGCCCCAAATTTGGAGGGAAGCTCGAGTTGTGCCAAGGGCCGTCCAAACATCGAGAGGTAGCCCCAGGCACCATCGAGGTCGCGTGCATCCAAACACATCTGGATCAAACTGTTGAGCACGACAGTGCCTGCTTGGGCGTCCAACTGCGGCAGCGATGCCAGGGCGCGATCTTGCACGGACTTGTCGGGTCCTAGCGATCGGTAGACAGACAAGATGAGAGCATGAGTCGAAGGATCGATGGGAAATCCAGCTTGTTCCATCTTCGTAAGACACTCCTTTGCCTTTGGTAAGTTGCGATTGCGAATGTGTCCGGATATGAGAAGATGGTACGTGCGGCGCGTCGGCTGTAGCTTTTCTTGCTCGAAATCGTCTAACGCTGTTTCCAACCAACGGAAGTTGTTCGTTTCGATATATGCTCTCGTACGCCAGTTGAGTAATCGGACGGTCAGAGCTCCCGTGTGCCGTTTGCGCAGCTTGACGAGAAACGGGATGGCAGTCCACTGACCGCACCCCGCTAGACAATGTGCCACAATTTCGTACACATTGGTCTTGAGTTTGCATCCCAGATGATGAGCCAGCAATAGAATGCGACAGGCGCTGAAGGGTTCGTGAGCCTGGATCAGTCGTTCGACAAGCTTTCGAACTTTGTCTCTGTCTTTCAAAATCTCCAATAGAGAAGCATTTGGGCCACGACAATGATCCTCTTTGAGATTCCCCGACTTCCAAAGAGAAAATAATGCTTCGACCTGAACTAGTACGTCTCGAATATCGCGATTCCTGGAGCCACGGTAATTGGCTTCGCTCTTGGATCTCTGAGAATTGCGACGAGCTGTGGCAGAATCTGGAGCCTTGCTGATGACATCCTTCGTTATTGAATTTGATTTGACATGACGAGCATTCGAGTGGTTCTTGAAGGCAACAGCGGCTGTCCATCGCGTAACAAGGGTATTAGGATTGCGAAGTGAAGCGAACGGCAGTTGGCGTGACGAAGTGGATGCTCTTGAAGCAAAGGTGGCCCAGTGACAATGCCTAAGTATCTGACAACCCCTCCAGAGCATGGACAGCCAGAGAGACTTCAGGGCAGTATCGCCGTCTCGCTGTGGGCTTGCTTTACATTCAGCTGCTTCGTTTTCTCATATTTCGTGAACAAAACACGTACCTCTCCACCTGCGATTGTAGCTACCAGCCTGAGTATAGTGGATGTTTGTATTCGGGCATCCAGACATGCACGAGTTCGTCGTCTCCTGAGATGAGCAGCCTGCCAGGTTTTCCTTCGTCCAACACCCTCAAGCACTCGCGGCAAAATCCGCCCAAGTCCTGACGCTCGAGACCTGCCTAGTTAGGAACCAGATTCAAAGCACCTTCGATCAATATTTCAATCCATGTATGTTCTGAACCACTCCAAACTCAACTCAATCTTTGCAGACATCCATGAGAATATCATTCGCTTTGTGATACATATTGACGATGCCCAGACGAAGGCACTGACATGGCGAGACCGAGCCAAGACGAAGAGGTTCCTAGATTTGCATCCACTGCCAGGATTCATGTACCTTTACGAGTGACTTGACTCAGTCTAGGGCCTATAACTAGTGCTCTACGGCCTGCTCAAGGGTCTTCCATGAGGTATCCCTCAAAGGACGTTCACTAACACTAAGTTTTACAATACGTCATCCTTCAGATGACATATGTTATTACCCCGACAGCATTGAAAATGTTGGCCTTCGCGACCCGCGCAGAGACCAATTACACATATGCACAAAACAAGTAAAGGCCACTGCAACCCATGTGGCCTCCATTCCGAATTGCTAGCTGCGCGGCCAAACAAATTGAATTGGAATCCTGACAAGCAATCCGCCGGTGCCTGGCTGATACCGACAAATATATCATGATTGAACAACGGTGACTCTGACTTGAAGGAAAGCAATGCCACCTATGTCATGAGCCGCGGAAATTGTTTTTCCTCTTGACATGGGTGCCACACAAGAACAAAGAGACGGCATGCTTTCCTGTAGAGGACATGTCTAGCCGTTAATTGCGACGGCCATCATGCAACATTAACATGGATGGCTGCCAGATAATGTTTAGATATCAGTCATATACGCAAATACAGCCAAAGGGCCAAGTTGAGCGTAATTGAACACGAACTTAGGGTTCGGAAGCAAATACTGATACATTCCCATGGCTGACAAAGGAAGACGTGACTGTAGGTTAATCCGACGGAATCGAAGACGAGCGAGTACATACGTGAAGACTGCAACAGCTCGACAATGGAAAACTTTGCAAGCTGAAACGGTTGCATTGGCTATTGGCGAGAGGCAAGGTTGAAACTCGTAGAAAAAGAAAGATGGGCACGTGAAGGCAGTGTATGCCTGTGTGCGCGTTCCGCCGTTTGCGGGCAAGGATGATTTTCAACTTAGATGGTAAACCGTGTGCCTAGAGATGGAGGACAAGACCAGCCGTGCAGTTTACCTCCGTCGCTGTCCGCATGTGAGCGTTACTTGGACATTCTGCCATCTGCATCCCCTGATCACCCGTAACAGATCTCCTTGGATCGCACCAACATGTCCGAGAACCTGTGAATTCCGAGGCACAGACTCACCTCGTTGTCCGGTAGTTCCAAACTTTGACTCGATCTCCTCTCACCGGCGGTCAATGCTATGTACTATTTCCACTCTCTCGACGGTGCTAAGCTTTTCCAGGTCAGTCATTAACTGTTCTGCGCTCACACGTCGTCTAATCTCCTCAACAAATGATAGGAATGATGGAGTTTGATCCCTCTGTGTCGAACATACCAAGTGCGAATGGGGCGGTCCCGCAGTTTGTTTTCGGCCCGTCTGTATGAACTTGTACACACTCCGTTCGACTGCGAGGCTATTCCAATCTGTGTTTGAGCATGACAACCGTTTGTCAAGCTATGGCGTTCCAGTTCCTCGACTTTATAAAGACCTTCGAGTCTCCATGTCCCATCTTCATTCGATAACCTATTCTCCTCATTTGCCCTCACTCCCGCATGCCTCACTTCAAGACTCACCTAACTGTGCTCGAACAGAGTGCTTCACTCTACGCATCCTCTCCCGCTTTCAAAGTACCACGCCTGAATCCCGAGACGCAGGAGATCTTGGAATGGCATTCGATTAGCTATAGCCAGTTCCTTGCCGATGTTGAACTGTTTGCCAAGTTCTGGACACAACGGTTTAGCGCAGATGGGGTCCCACCACGATCCGTAGTTGGTGTATGGTAAGTTAATCCATGGTTTATTTGACATCAATTGAATTGAATGCAATTTCAGGCTTGGTGGCATGACGTACCTTGATGCCATACACATCTACAGCATAGCGCGTGCTGGATATGTGCCACAGTTCTTCTCTCTTCGACTTCCCAACCCTGAAGTAATCTTCGAGTTGTTGGCGAAGTCAAATGGGAAAGCTCTTATTTACGACTCTTCCTTCGCCGACATTGTCCACACGAGTCCCGTACCCGCTCACATCGCGATTGATGCCCGCAACGTATCCATAGCGGATGTATCCCTGCCACCTGTTGCACCAGACGTCAACGGTAGCGATACTTTGATGATCTTCCATACATCTGGTTCGACATCTGGCCGTCCGAAGCTCGTGCCATGCAGCTACGCGTGGTGGCAGGAATGTCTTCGTAAATCGGCGCTCGCTACTATCCCTCCCAATCCGCATCGACAGGACGTCACGACGTGGATGTACGTTGTTGCTTCGCTTCCGTCTTCTCAGGTGCCTGACCTATTCTCTTTTAGGGGAAGTCTGTGTCATATTGGACAGACCTTCATGTATTCAGGTTTCATTCAGCACGGATCGTGTGCAATACAAATATCGTCTCAGGCCTTTCCTTCCTCTGAACTCATGGACATGATCACCCGTTGCCACCTGAACCGCCTCGTTCAATTCCCCACATACCTGACGGCACACATACGTGAGTCGCGGCACAATCCGAAACTCCTAGCCATGCTGCAAGGCTTGGATGAGATCTTCTATTCGGGTCTGATGCTGTCTTCGGATGACGAAGATTGGATCCTTCGTCACGGTATTAATATCAGGAACTGCTTCGGAAGTACCGAGTGCGGTGCCATGCTTCTTTCTACCCCCGGAAAGTCCGTGCCTCTGGTGCCTATGGAAGGCACCTCCTACGGGTTCTTCCCCATCAACTCTTCGTTGGATGGACCACATCAGAACGCGAACGCCCGCACATTGGAGCTTGTCATTCTGTCAGATTCCGGGGATTGCCCAGATCCATCGCTTCGTGCTGCAGACGGCCACTACCACACTGGTGACCTCTTTCTTGAGTTGCCGGGAGGGGGCTACGTCTCTCGTGGCCGAGATGATGATTGGATCAAGTCAGAGAACTCACTTCGTTGTGACACGAAAGCCATCGAAGACAATGTTCGGGCAACTTGTGCGGATCTCGTCTCCGAGTGCATTGTAGTTGGCAATGGGCGACCGTCTCCCGCACTCTTCGTTGAAGCTGCGGATCCGAATATGAACGAGGAGAGACTGAAGAAGGACATCATCCGAAGGACACGTCACTTCCACTCTAGACGATATCTCCACGAACGTATTTCTTCCACCAACTTCATCTTGGTCGTCCCTAGGGACACCTTACCGCGAACGGCTTCGAAGGGCAACGTTCGCCGCAGAGCGGTCGAGGACACATTCAAGACACAGTTGGACCGCATGTATGGTGTTGCATGCTGAGCCTAATAGGTGGCATATCCTACCATTACTTATAATCTATTTTTCTATGTGGAGTTGTACAAAATTGTAGGCGAGGTCGCCTTCTCCTTCATATTGGCATTTAATTACTTAATGGACACGCTTCATCATACCTTATTAGTTCATAATTATACTACTTTCTTATAAATCACCGATTGTTTTCTCCTCTGTTTCATTCGCAACTTTTTGATAAAGTTTCATCACCTGCCTTCATTAGCATCTTAAGTATTTTTATGTAGCACAAGCATACCAGTCTCCACGTGTTTGAGTAGTGTTGAAGTATCAAGCATGTTCTAGTCAATTTAACAGACCAATAGAGCGTTCTTAACTCTTCATCGCGATGTTCAAAGTTGACTGCCAGATTTGCTGTGACGGATTTCCATTTTGGAGCGAACGGCTGCTTCCGCCGGCGCCTGTGTCGTGCTCTCTCGTTATCGTCGCAGATACAGCGTCTACTTCGAGACGGCTCATACAGACGCAATGTTACACCCTTCATAATCTTTCCCTTCTACATTTTACCGGGTTGTGATGTCCGAAACGGCAGCAGCCTCTCATAGCGAACGACCCCACGGCAAGTCTCGATCTCGTTCCCTTGCGGGTCGACATGTAAGGCGAGATTATATTGTTGGAATCTGCCTGCTGTTGGTGGTCGTCTTTCTTTGGACATCATCCAATTTCTTGACACAGGTGAGCGAGACTTCTGATTTATACCGTCGTTTGAAGTCTTACATCTGCTTCAAGGGCTTATTTGATGACGGCTTTGAGAAGCCCTTCCTGTTGGTCGTCATTCTCTGATGATACTGACCATAACTCATATCTGCCTTCCTGTGTAGCATCACATACCTGAGCACGAGTAGCTTCGCGCTATATCTCTTACCCTACGCCATTCGTAAAGTGTTTCGTAAGGACCTTGGCAATGCCGATGCACAACACGGCCGGTAGGGATCATCTAGTCATGTTCCCTTGCTCCATCATGACTCCGATATGTCTAGAGGTCATCACGGCTACCAACCCTTAGCGGCTGAAGCTGATATTTCAACTATTCTGACTCCTTCAGTACGTACCAGTGCTTGTTCCGTTCTCGGGCTACTATTTCTCACTGGCGGCCGTACTCCTAAAGAGTCCACAAACGCTCCACGGCAACGAACAAGCCGTTGATGATACTCTTGTCCCTCTAACTTCACGTGAAACCGCTCGATTAGCGGCTTGGTTCTGCCTGCTATGGTTTATTGCCAATTGGTCTCTAAATGCATCCTTGGATTACACGAGCGTGGCAAGCGCAACTATCCTCTCCAGTATGAGTGGTACGTCATTTATCAAGTGGAACCGTACGTGTCTTGTCAAACACCTTTATAGGGTTCTTTACCCTTGGAATAGGCCGTATATTCAGAGTGGAGAGTTTAACGACAATCAAAATCGTTACCGTCATCACTAGGTGGGTAGTAATAAGTCGCGCTCGTAACCCCACTCTTAGTTTGAGCGTCTTTTCTGTAGTTTCGGTGGTGTGCTCCTCGTCTCCCTCTCCGATACAGCCAAAGCCCTCCCTGCCGACCCTTCCGCGTCTGTACATGTTACCAACAATGGCATTCGCCTCTCACCTTTGTTTGGTGACACCTTGGCGCTTCTATCAGCCCTTTTCTATGCCCTCTACGTAATCCTGTTGAAGGTGAAAATTCGGTCGGAATCGCGTATAGACATGCAGCTATTCTTTGGTTTCGTGGGCTTATTCAGCATCGTGGCTACATGGCCAATAGGAGTCGTCTTGCATCTCACAGGGCTTGAGAGGTTTGAACTCCCCCATACCAACAAGACCATCGCTGCTCTCCTCATTAATGTAGGTCTTATATACTCCTTCTGAGCTTTCATGTCGTCTAAGGAGTCTCCTCCAGATGGCCATCACGTTGTCCAGTGATTTCATCTACGTTATAGCCATGCTGAAGACAACTCCTTTGGTGGTCACTGTTGGCCTGTCGTTGACAATGCCACTTGCTGTCATCGGTGACTTTGTGCTCAAGAAGCCTGTGAAGTTACAAGTCATCCTCGGAGCTGCCGTGGTCTTGCTCAGTTTTGTAGCAGTCGGATTGGAGGATTCACGAAATGAGGAGGAACCCGACCTGATTTCGGGACGTCCGCTTGAAGAGGAGGGATCTTCCGCTGTCCAACTGGTGGACGAACCGCCAGCTGAACGGGCCTGACGTGGACGTTACAGATGCTTATCTTGTATTAGGAGTTCACGTAGACTTCATGTATATAATCTCTTGGCATATTATTGGACTCCTGTATAAATTAGTGCACCCTTCGAAATCGCTATCTCTCGACTGGCTTTATGGATGAGAGGTTAGTGGCGTTGATGCTTTCTTCCGTCTGATCACGATCGATCGCCCAAATTCTATGGGTGCAGGCTGATGTTTACCGTTCCATGCCAGTCACATCTAAGTTGTACAATCATCATTGTTTACCTGTGTCGTCCTCTCGCACCTCTATTTTCTATAGCACTGTTCCTGTTTTCTTGAATATGGTGGGTATTCAGGACCCTTTGGTCGTTGTCTTTCGCTAATGCGCCAGTCTCATTAGCCCAAAGCCGCCAGGTCGAAACAGAGACTCTTTCATCAGCAGACTGTGAAGCCCTCAACTCGTAAGTTCGCTGATGGCAACACCGTTGAGCATGTCGAGGTAGGATCACATGCGGATACTACCGTGAGTGACATCTTTCGTGCAGAAGCAATGGAGAAAGGCTAAAATGGACTGTATAGGGCAATGAAATCTTGGCGGAGATGGCTACTTCCGAGGAGCCTTCAAAGGTCATGAAGAAGAAGGATAAACTAGCAATGAAGCATGAGCTCTTTCTACAACGTATGGTGCTGCTTCTCTTGCCAGAAAAGTAACATCTATTCATACTTCGTGCAGGCCTTGAATCAGCACAGTCGCCATATTCCAAATCTCATGAGCGGCGACTGAAGCGAAAAGCAAAGGAACAAGTTGCTGGTGGAATGAATGACATTCAAGCCGCACTTTCAGCTGTTGCGGGTGAGACTGCAGATACAGATGCAGACTCTGTGCCGCATGCTTCAGCGGACGACTCGATAAAGGTTCCGTCCAAACCAAAACCTGGACAAATAGGAGAAGGGAAAAGTGGTCCTTTGAGCAAAACTCAGAGGAAGAAGGCTTTGTGCGTGTATATTCTTGCGTTATTTCATCCAGAGGAAGCTTACACCTGACTTCTTAGGCAAACTGAAAGGCTTCGTATACCCATGATTCTGTCAAACCCAGAGTTCGCCTCCAATCCCTTCCAGACTATCCGGACCCACGCGCAAAATACGCTCCTGAAACATCAGACACCTCCATGACGTTCCAAGAACCTTTGGGCTCTTGGTGTCGTCACTGCAGATCTACCCAGCAGAGCAGTAGCGAATGCACATCGCTGCTGCACAATTGCACTGTATAGTCACGCATATGCTCTCCCTCTGCGCCAGGACATAACCTCAAGAGAGCATCCAGAAGCTCAATGTAAATGTGTGAGGCAAGAGAGAAAAACCTGTTGTACTGGGTATACATGACATGTGGCTCCCTGTTTCTACTAGGATTGGACCACTGTATCAGTATTATAATGTAGAAAAGTATATGAACATAGAAAGTCATAGTAATCATAAGAATCCGATGGAGGGTATTCACTGGACAGTATAAAAGAGTCATAACAATGCAACAGATGTGTGAAACATTCCTGATATCGAACAGTTTGGTATTATCTATGTAGGTATAGGGTTCAATCATCGTCCTCTCCTCTGCTCAAACCTGCGCTCCAGACAGTGCTCCCGCTACCACTTCGCCTACTGCTGCGACGGTCGCCAGTGCGGCGCGTGATTTCAGTGAAGCCTCCACTAGCACCCTTGGCAATTTCTGCGCTAAGCTGCCTCTCGTGAGCATCCAATGCTGCAAGGGTGCTCTCAGCTTCGGCCTGCTCGAGGGCCTCCTGGGTCAAGTTCGGAGTGTTAAAGCCGCTGGCAGGAGGTCTGGGGCTATTATTGAGAGACGATGATTCTGAGTTGGCAGAAGAGGAATTTGTTCGTCGGAAGAATGAGAAACGGGAGGAAGGGGTGGACGCTGTCACAGTGACGGGTGTGCTGGTGGTTGTCGACACTGGCGGGAGATCATTCGGCTTAGCTGTCTGTGGCGCAGGAGTTGAGGAACTCTTCCACATGGCCGGGGAAGAGGGAGCTAGGGGTGAACCCGGAGGTTTCTCGATCCCCATGAGTTTCATAGTCGCATTCAATCGTTCTCGTTCTCTCCTGTCCTCTTCATCCTCATAATTGTCGAGCTTTCGGGCCCCTGTGACGATAGGAGGTGCACCAGCTTTTAGCGTAAGAGGACGCAAGTTTGCGGAAGGATCGGGTTTCTTTTCTCCGCTGAATATTGCGAAGCTCTTCCAGTCGAAAGACATTGACCGTCGAGAAGCTCGAGTACTAGCAGATGCTGTTGGCGGACTTGCGCTCTGAGAGGATGAGGTAGCGGGAGAGGGTGAATCGAAAGTGGTGAGCCGCTCTGGTTGGGGATTTGTCGGCGTAACCGGGCCTGGAGATGACAACGTCGTGAACGAAGCGAAGACCGATTGTGGTCGTGCCTTCTTCGCGGGCTTGGTGGAAGGAGGTGATGACTTCGGTAATGAGCTGAATGTTGTAAATTGTGCTGTCCCAGGCGTGCTCGGGCTAGGGCTCTTCTCGTAGTCCACAGCAAGAACATGTTCGAATCCTTCTTGTGATATGATTCGATCGATGATCTTGGATGCATACAATGACAAAGCCTTGTTTGCATCTTTGAGACTCTTGACTTCGCTTCGAAGAGCGTCGAGATCGTGTGACGAAGTCGTTTGCATAGCGGGCTCTGACATTGATGAGACTTTGCGAGTGGATTCTGAAGTCGTTCCTTTCTTGCCTTTCTTACCCTTGGGGTTGACGATAGGCCGATCAGTCTCCAAAGCAGAGTGACCGTCCAAGACGTCCTTATTCTCGGCACGACCAAGTTCCGCAGCCAAGTCGAGACCTGGACCGGTAATGGGCAAATTCGCCAATGACTCTCCGTGCGGTACGGATACAGAAGATCGCTTGCGGGTATGCCGACTGCGAGGGTTGCGAGCTTGTGAGTCCTCCTCAAGCTCTTGGGGTTCCTCCGTAGTCTGTTGCTCCTCCTTGAAACTTGGGTCGAGCTCTGGCTCATGTTCTTCCGCGAGTTCATCGACAGGGTCCAGGCGACTACTCCTTGAAGTATTTCTACTCTTGAGGCTCGCCGAGTCTCGGCCCTCATTATCTCCTTCGTCGTCTTCTGTCGAAGGCTCGCTGACCTCGCTGATGCTGGTACCGCCCATTTTGAGTACATCGAATTGGCCATTGAGGGTCCTCTCCCGCAGAAGAATATTGTAGGACTCGTTCTCTTCCTGTAATTCGTTATTGACGCGCTTCAGGTCGACCAACTGAGACTGGAGCAGCACCAAAGTTGCCTGGAGGGAGTTGTGTGATGTAGACAGAGTGGACAACTCGAGCTTGAGAGCTGTCATCTCGGCAGGTTCTTGCTCGGGATCGGTCATGTCCTGTTTCGTTCCTTGTAAGGATTCCGGTGGCGTCTCCTCCTCAAAATCGGTATGAGATTCGGCTTGGGAGTCAGCTATGGAAATCCGAGAAGGTGAAGAGGGAATGGGGGCGGGCTGTTTCCGAGCCTGAGTGAGGGATTGAATCCGTGACTTGAGATGTTGCTCATTATCGTAGAACGCCTGTCGTTCAGCTTCGAATGTTGATGTCTACTTCGCGTGAGCATAGGCGAAGCAGTACATGAACGCCGGCCTTACTTGTTCGTTATACCTGCGCTGAAGGTCGCGCTTCTCCTTCTCAAGTTCCCGGACTTGATTGCGGAGCTTCTCGGCTACCTCAATACGTGCGGCCATCTCTTCCTCCATGCGATTCTGGTCCGCATAAAGTTCTGCAAGTCGTGATTCTGCGGCATTGAGAGATGAGGTGAGGGAATCATTCTCGGATTTAAGGCTAGCAATTGTCTGGTCCTTGTCCTGCAATTGCACCAGAAGCTTTGACGGATGAGTCAGTGATGAGGGAACATTGCAATGCTAGACAGGGGCATACCTGCTCCTTCTTGTCTGTTTCCTGTTTCAGGGAAGCTGATAATGATTCACGGGTTTCTCCATTGGCAACAGTAGGTGGTGTAGCACCTTTCAAGGATGCTCTGCGGGCTGGGGGATTCAAAGAAGCTGCTACACGTGGAGATACTGCAGAGCGCGCAGTGGCTCCTCTGGCGATAGATGAAGGGGTACCGGTCGACGATACCGAAGGTGAGCGTCGCGATGCTGGAGGTGCCGCTCGAGCGGGCGCTGTGGTGGCCATTCCGGATGACTGCAAACGAGGGTATTCCTAGTGGCGTCGTCGAGGGAATAGTTGAAGAGAGTATCTTTTATTTAAGACAGAGATGATGACCTGGGGCAAGCAGGGTCCGCAGAGGCGGTTGTAACTATGCACCGCCAAGATCACGCTGCTCACAGTGCTTGACCTCTACCGACTGCCTTTTTTGGCCTCTCAAACGTGGCCACAGTTTTACTTTGACCCCAACAGCGACAACGGTGACCGCGAGAGTGAGATGTCGCTAGTGAAAAGATTGCCCGCAGCGACAGGGAGTGATGGAGCACAACACACTGGCTGATGACCTGCTGTCGGAAATACAAGGAGAATCGTTGCAATCTGTGAGTACCGAGAAGTTCCCGGTGACACTGTTCTGACAAGCAGAGTTGCAGCTTCTCACTTCACTACAGGACGAAGGTACATATTCTCTGGACAAAGTGTTCCATACACCCGCTGAACTTGCTGTATCTAGTTACGCCTCTCGGTGCGACCGGCATCCCAACTCTTGATGCACAATTGACTTTCAGGAACCCACGCAAGACATCACAGTCACCCCTTAATCGAGGAGATGTCCTCGAAATCCAAGCTTCTGCTAGCTCCGGAAAATCCTACTTGACCTACCTACTTGTCATAGCTTGCATCCTGCCTCAGACTTACCGCAGTCTCTCATTTCCTGGTTGGGACAAGTCTGCAGTGGTGTATGACACAGAGGGCACCTTCGATATATCTCGTCTTCACCACGTGCTACGCACCAGAATTCATCAAATATTGCAATCCTTCGACCTTTCCGAACTTCCAGAACCCATCGACGAATGCGTTGAAACAATAGCGCGTCAATGCCTCCCACGGTTGTTCGTCTGCCGACCTACGTCTACGTTTCAGCTTGCAACCTCTATCCTTCATTTTCCCGACATGCATGCTGAAAATGAACTATTCCAAAAATCAGAGGTCGCTTTATTAGTCGTCGACTCGCTCAGTTCGTTCTATTGGAACGACCGTTTCACTATGGAGCAATTCCGCGGCCAGAAATCAGGTGCTTCTCCTGTATCGAACCCACTCAAATACGTCTTGGACGCTCTTCAACATGTCAGAAATACCATCAATCCCGTCATGGTGCTGACCAACTGGGGTTTGAATCCTCTTAACAAGCCGTCTCCGGATACGGGCACTTTACCTTCGCCTTTCTATAAACAACACCTGCATCTGCTCCCATCCCTTTTTGCCCAGGACGCCTCAGAGCATGGACAAATGCAGTCCAACATCCCATCCATGGCCTGCGATACCCCAATTTCCAATGTTGGGGAACTAATGCCTCCTGAGGCGCAGCCACGTCCTGCGGAGACCTTTGACCCGGAATCACGACTAGCCATCACGCATCATATTACCCTGCAATCTTCCTTCCCAAGTGTTTTGAATTCAGATGCCATTGACAGGGCTTTGGAGCACTGGGAAGATGCGTCTCACGTTCCTGGGAAATGCGAAGTTCAAGGCTATGTCAAGACGCCTGGAGTTTCAGTAATTGGACGATTCTCCTTCACCACACAGGGATGAACTTCGAGCAAGATGGAACGGTAGCGTATACCGATGGATGTTTTCACCGTTTTTGCTTGACTTAGCGAGGTCCTGTTGCTCAAGGCATTGCCAAATATATCCATTGTCGACCGAAAGCGGTATAATGAATCCCCAAACTGGATGATCTATTTTTAGCACCGCTGCTTTGCGAAGCAAATTTGACACAAAGCATATATTGTCAATGTGTCTGTGTAACATATACAGTTCCCCTACAAACCGATAAAATAATTAACTACAGCTACAAAACAAGTTCTGAAATGTTCAAATTGTCCCTATGGTATCGAGATAGTGGTATGCGATAAAGATGATTGATGAAATAACACAGCCATGCAACAAAAGAATAAATGCGAAGAGAATAAGTTAGATGAATCTCAGAGTTCCTGCTCAGAAGGACATGCCATAAACAGCATCTAACTTTTCTCGGAAGGCTTCCTCAACAGCCCGACGACGAATGTTTCCCTTCGTAGCGGTTCGAGGGAGGGTATTCTTGGGCACGACGAAGATGAACTCTGGCGAAGTGATACGCTCATGGAGGTAACGTCGAGAGTGGAAGTGCCGTGTGCGACGAAGGATCAGCTTCTTCAACTTCTCCTCTGATGTATCATCCTTCGCCTCAACGAAGAGCGCAGGAGATGGTCGCCCATTTCCTACAACAATACATTCCGAGATGAGATCTCCACACGTGGCACGAACGTTATCCTCGATGGCCTTCGTATCACATCGCAAGGAGTTCTCAGACTTGATCCAATCATCGTCTCGTCCACGAGACACGTAGCACCCTGGAGCAGCTTCGATGAACAGATCACCGGTGTGGAAGTGGCCGTCGGCAGCACGGAGCGACGGGTCAGGGCAATCTCCTGATTCGGAGAGGATGACGAGCTCTAACAAACGAGCGTTGATGTTCTGTGTTTCAGGAGCGATGGGGAAGAAGCCGTATGATGTTCCATTGATAGGCTTCAGGTACCGTGCATCGTCCCCTTGTTCCCCAACAGATAGCATCATCGCACCACACTCGGTACTTCCGAACAAATTCTTCAGATGAATACCGTTGTTGTACGCCCAGTCTTCTTCTTCCCTAGGCAAAGCCAACCCTGAATACAGGACTTCATCAAGTCCAGTAAGGAAGTTCAGCAGCTTGGTGTCCTGCTTCGAGTTACGGAGATGCATGGCGAGGAAGGTAGCGAACTGGTTAAGACGGTTGAGTCGACAACGGGTGATCATGTCGATCAACTCGTCAGAACTGAAGGCGATCTTGGTGGGTTGGATTGTACATGAACCGTGCTGAAGCGAACCAAGCAACATGCATGTCTGTCCGATGTGAGACATAGATCCCCTGAAGATTTTAATCAGTATGGCAATGATACTACAGTGAGCAAGGAGACTCACATCCAAACAGTACAATCTTGTTCGAGGTTGTTCCTAGGTTTGCCAACATGATACGCTTTGGCAATCATGGCGTCGAGCCACTTGAAGCTACAAGGGACCAACTTCGGGGAACCAGAAGTAGAGCCGGAGGTATGGAAGACCATGACAACGTCATCACCATTAGTTGCTTCAACCAACGGTGGTAGCGACACTGATAATACGTCTTCCACACAGACATCAGAGGCGATGTGAACGGACAAAGGTGCATTGACAAGGATGGGCTCGAATGAAGCGTCAGCTATGAGCGCCTTCGCGTTTCCTTTTGCCAAGAGTTCGAAGATGACGTCCGGGTTAGGAAGTCTAAGAGAGAACAGTTGAGGAATGTATCCGGCACGGGCGACCGAGTAGATGTGAACGGCATCTCTGTAGGTCAACCCACCGAGCCTACAAAGGTTGATGAATATAAGTTCATATTACACGAGGGTATGGGAGGTACGTACCACAAGCCAACAACTGAACGAGCCGGGAGACTGTCGCCTGCGAGAGTACGTGACCAGTACTTGGCGTAGGTCTCCACATCGGAGGCAAATTGGCTATAAGTGATGATTTTCCAATCATCTACCTCGCCATTTGCAGAGAGCTCAGGGACCCTAAAGACGGGCCTCGAAGCGAATTTCGCTGCGCTCTCTGCAATTAGGCTAAGGTGAGTTTGGTAGACCATTCGACTGTGGGGAGTGAGGCTTGGATGAAGAAGTTATTTGTTGGTACCAGTCATTGCCAGAGTCACCTTTATACTGCAAGGAAACATCTATGCAAAGGCAGGGTCGAGTCACTTTTCCACAGAGGCAGAGTATACCGTTGACAACTGTAGGAATAGCCATGATGACATCCAAATCGAACAACTGCAGTTGAGGATCATAACTGTCGGCCCCGTGTTACAGTGCAAAGTACCGCCGGCAAAGAGAATACAAGCAAGGACTGTCCATAGATGGAATAATTTGCCACAAGTATCACTGGCCAGAACAGCAACCAGCTACAAGGAGTGGAAATGATACCTAGGAATCATGAGTCAAAACGACTACAGGTACATAGCATATGTTTCTCGAAGACGGATACGCTGGTGCGGAGTCACCTCGCTGTCCAGCTGGAACGGCTGACCTATGTTGTGCAGCCTAAATGAGACAGAATGCCACCCTGCTTGTCAAAACGTCGAACTTGTCGGAGTCGCTACTGACTCGTTTGGACACCGCCGTCGATCAGCTTGATGAACGATCGAATAGTGATCGCGTTCTGTGTTCCTAACGGCCAACAACGAAGGAACAAAGAACAACGTGGCTCGAGCAAGGGCAACGAACAACCCTCAGTGATTCGTATAGCGGGGAACAGCCAGGAACAGGGTCAAAATTTTCAATATCATGTTCCTCTGCAAAGCTGTAAAAACGTTGTTCTCTGAAGCATTGATAGTACTGATGGATTGATGACCATATTCGCGTACCACTATATAGCATATAACAATACAACTAGGATGTCTAAGTATATACAGACGAAGCGAATAAAGATACGGAACCTATAACCAAAAGAAGGGGTATCTGCCGTGCAACCGAAAATTAAGGAAGAAGAAAAAACCACTGCCCCTAGAGGGCAGTTTCGCGTACCTCCTGAAAGAACTTAAATAGCGTTCACAAGCGGGCCAGCCGCGTGCTTCCCCATTTCACCCTTGAGGACTTCCGTGCAAGTGTCCGTAGACTGGCCGCTGCCTGCGAGACGAAGGTCACGCAAGTACTCCTGCAGACGCTTGACGGCCTCGGCGTGCTCTCCCTTCAGAGACGCCGTAGCTCGAACCGAGATCAAGGCGTCATCGAACTCTTGGACCGGGTGGACAATGATATCCTTGAGATGACGATGAAGAGCTGTCTCGCCCTGCGCTACGCGCATGGTAAGGAAATCTTCGAGAGCGGTGCACATATCAGCGACATCATCTTCGAAGCAGCGAACAGACAGCTGTTCAACAGGAGAGCCTGATAGAGTCGTCAAGGTATCGACAACATTTTCGACAGGGAAGAGTGGAGTGAGCTGGATCTTTCGCAGACGTTTGAGAGGACTCTCCGGCTTTGCGAATTCGATCGAGTCGCCAGTAATGGCGGTGTTCAGCGATAGATCATCGATACTATGGCCCACGTTGTTAACGATGCGCTCAGTGCAAATGCGATTGAATTCCTGAGATTCGTGATAGCAACTGCCGAGGTCCAAGACCTCAAGTGAGCAGTAGACGGGGCTCTCCGTCCATCTTGGATCACCCAGATGGGTGTCACGAATGCGTAAGGTTTTGAGAGTAGGAAGGCGCAGAAGGGCAGGTAAAGAGAGTTCCGCGCCGAGAGTGGAGTGGACAGGAATGTCGTCATCGCCGACGACGACGGGGATAGATGGACACGTCCCGATGAGTTCGGGGGCATGTATCGCTGAGCGCGCAATGCGGTCCAAGGAGAGGTGGACAAGATTGGGCACGCTCCCAGCAATGGAAACAACAAGTCTCTCACTCCTAGGGATCAACATAAATGTCAGTAAGCGGCATCACATGTGATACAGGATAACGTACAGAGGGAACGTCTGTTCATCGCCACAGTTGCCAATAGAGAGAACTTTCAGAGTGGTGAGGTTTTGGAAGGTTGGGATAACGTCCTTTGACAAGGAGCCGTCTATGCTCAAGGTCAGCTGCTCCAACTGGGGGCAGTGAGCGAGCAAATCAATGACAAGCTCAGCCAAAAGCTGACTATCAGCTTTGTGAGGCTTGATTGGTGAATTGTCATGGATGGATTTTGTGCAGATGCTGAGGTGCCTAGTATAGGCAAAGTAGGCCTGCGGCACATTGCGAACGTAGGAAAGCAGTGATTCGTAGCTCTTTAATTCGACAGACTAGGATACAATTAGATGCGAAGATTGAAGATACGAATCCGTCAATACTCACGCGCCACAGAGATGGTATACAGATTTCATAGGATTCGCGGCTGAGGGAGGCAAAAGCCTTAACGTCCTTGAGGTCGAGTTGTTCGATGACGGAGAGTTTCATCTCCGCTGGCAGGGTTTGCCATGGTGCAGAAAAGTAGGCGGCCATTGGTGTTTGTGTAGAGGGTGTGTTAGTTGGGAGCTCGAGGAGATGAAGGGGAGACGGAGGCTGAGACTATATAGAAAACTGCAAGGACCGATGAGTTCGGCGGCAAGAAAGGAAGCCCTGGATGCGAGCATGCATTATGGGAGGTCCGGGATCACGGATGTGTGTCGAGCGGCCCAACTTGGCTTCGGAGAGAACGAAGCTAGTCTCTGTCCAGCGGCAATGTCATACAGCCTCCTAGCGCCTTCGCCTCTGCATACCCTCTATCCTCCTCCTCCTCGCACGCTACGTTGACAGTTCAAACCATACACAACCGCCTCGCCTTCCACCCCGATTCCGGCTTATTTACTCCTCTAACTTATCTCTCGAGTGCAAGCTTGCAATGGTACTGCTCACCGCCATTCCCTCCGCGCTCCCCGGTCCCATCAATTCTTCTGAATGATGCATCTCAAATGCGATTCTCAGAAGCTGCCCCGAAGACGACTATCCCTAACCAACATGCCTGCTTCTGACATCCTTGACTTCATGTATTCGACCATCCGGGCGTGCCTGCACCACTCCGTTCGTTCACATACTAACCTGTTTGCCCTGTCGCGCTTGTCCCCCGTTTAACGCGTTGTAGCGTTTGAGCACTGACATCTCAACCCGAGACTGGTCGGCGACGCGCCCTGCCAGGTCTCTTCAATCTGAAGCGAAATTCGTCCTGCAAATTACTTATGTCCACTAAGCATCCGACCTGAATCGCACTATGTGGGATGCTATCTCGTGTATTACACACAGCTGTTGTCGGAGATTTCGTGGCCCAGGACGTATCATCTAACTTGCCGGAAGGGTTGCTACCCATCCATCTGCTCACAAAGTGAAGCGATGTCCGAACTTTGCGTCGCATACTAAGGTCATCCTTGTGCACTGATGGTAGTATTGACAGTCGACTCTTTTCCAGACTTCTTGAACACGTTCCGTGGACGGCGGGTATTGATGTCAAAGTCAATCGTGGTTCCATGGCCACGATGCTATGATCTATCTCATCCAGTCAACGATGGACACAAACGCTCGTATGCTGCCCTGGAATGAGAACACGACAGTATGAACGAACTCTGTTCTCCAAGGGGTATACCTTCCGGAGCTACATAATCCGTAACTTCCAACAAGCTATAAGGCCGTGATTGAGACTGGTATGCATCATTTGCAAAACCACGTAGTCCGAACGTGTTGACTCTGATTCTTATTGTATGCGCAGATTGGCCAACATTCAATGGGCTAGGATGATTCACCTTTTGAAAGGACCCACATACACATCTCTCCATTCATCAGTCCATGATCGGAATCCCACTATCCTATTGTCCTCCTTTGCGCCCTTGCCGGAGGCTTCTAATACAACCAGCATGTGCGCTCCAGTTTTACAAACTTATCCGAACTGTTCTCGGAAATGGCTATTACAACAGATTACAACCCACTTGCTTCTCTTCTCAGATGTTTTTACCCTCGTGCAGATCCACCGCCCACATCTCATCTAGCTACTCGATATCAGCTAATCGTCAGAAGCCTGTACATCCTCACCACAAATTCCCTTGATGCATCAGTTTTTATTGTTGATCTTTCAACAAGGTTCTGCACAGCGCTTGTAATGCTCCGACGGTCTTCTTCCTTGCTGCGCTAAATACACTATGGCCGGACGGTACTGCTCAAATACTGCTCTTGGTTCCATTCCCGGCCATAATGGCCATCTCTTTTTTGGTATTTTCAAAACCGCAGTCTGTCGTGCCATGCCCATGCCAAGAGTTCACAAGCACGTCGATTGGACCTGTGGTCTGTAACCTACACGTGAAAATGCTTACCTATTTCCAAGTTCTTGTCCCAAGCGGGTATCGGCTTCCGACAATGAAGTTTTCACATCCAAATGACGTTCATTTATGATGATACACTAATTTCTACAAGGTAGGATCCAGGTGTCGCGGGTAGATAGTAAGATGCCATAGTTTAATAATAGACAATATGAAAAAAAAAAAACCTTCTCCAATGTCCGTACTCTGTCAGCAATTCGAATCGACTTGTGTCTCATGTAAAAACAAAATGCCATGCATGGATTCAAACAGAAAGGTATGAAGGAAAAATGTGGTAGTAAGAGACCCATTGATGTGTGTGATGCAACCTGTCATCTTACTGGCAATGAAACTGGATGATACTTTACCTTCTCGAAGATCCTGAACAGACTGATGACAAGGTTGTAACAGTACATGATGAGACCCACTCCGACAAGGCAGATAAGAGCCAGCTGTTGAGAGCATATGGTCTTCCCGACATCACTGCTCAGGTTCGGAGGAGGCGGTGGGCGTTGGATCTCGTTATACCATGCGGTACTCGATGACGACGCGCAGGGGATGACGGAGGTGAAGAAGTTGTCGAATGACAGTGCCAACGCTGCGGACCAAGCACAGATGAAGATGACTTCTATCAGGGTGTGTGCCAGTTTGCCCGAGGTACGCCATAGGCCTAATGGTCTCCCGAAATATTCTAACTGCAGTGACAGATGAGATCCGAGCGCAGTGAATCGTACTACCGACTTACATAGACCGCAATCATCACGTGAGTAAGAGTGAGAGGAGCAAATATTATGACTAGTGTCCTGAAACATACGGAGTTAGTTTAACACTGGGCTGACGACCGTAAGGTTACATACGGGGATGCCCCGACTGCGCCTAACACGCTATGTCGCTTTTCCACTGCCCGTATTCGTACAGCCATCACAAGAGCAGCAATGGTAAAGGTGATGTTGACGAAACGGAAGAGCTAATAAAAGTGAGATACGGAACAAATATGAAATGCACAACGCGAACATACAAGAGGGACGTAAACGTTGGTCAGGATATATACTCGAAACTTCTTCTTACGTCGTGCCCAGATACCACCCTTCTCGTGATTCCCATTATCACGTTCTGTGTCTCCATATTCCGCAGATCCGTTCCCATTCCCATTCCCAGTGATGCGAGCCACAAGGTCCGCAGGTGCTCTAGGCGACCAGGGAGAATCCCATCCCGGTGTTTGATTATGGGACATGGTCATTACAGGTTCGGGCGAGGGAAGATTCAGGTGATGTCCAAAGGAAGAGGCCAGGCGAGCAAGTCTGGGTGAACCTCCTGATTCAGTACGACCATTCAGAGTGCTATCATCTTGTGAGCGACGCGATATAGAGGATGCAAGCCAGCCGATAGACTTGGAACGATCGCGCGAATGGCTCCCTCGTAAGGTCATCTCCTCGTCCGGCGATCGTCGGGGATAGAGAGGATTTGTGAGTGAGATATCCGGTCGGTGACGAGTGAAGGCCCACCAGCGTGATGGACCTGCTGTGGGGTCATCTGGGGTGGACGACCGGAATGAAGCGACGTCCGCAGACGGTCGAGCATGGTTGGAAAGGTGCTCCTTTGATCCTGGTGCAGGACCATCCTGGTCGTACGGAGAAGGGGGTTCGTCGCGAGCCCAAGCTGCATAGCAAGGATAGATAGTCAAGCCGACGGATGAGATTGAGATGAGTAATGAAGATGCGCACGAGGAGCGGTAACCACTGTACGGATACCGGAGGGCAACGCACGACTGGCGCTGCGGACGCTGTGAGTCTGAGATCTTGAGAAGCTGGACACTGAGGCAGACGGCGGGGGAGTTTGACCATCGCGGGTCGCAGCCATTGAAGCTCAACAGCGAGGAGGGAAGGAGAAAAGAGTGACGGTGGTGAGATAACTAGAACCTCGACTGGTGGGGTGTATTGTAAAGTAGTGCCAGAACTGCCGGCCGACCGTGCTCAATTTGGAATCGCTAACGCCGCTTAGCTCTTGGCTCTCGACCACCAACTACCTCACATGGAAGATATCCCGTCAATATCCTCGGGCACCGTAGGCTCCCGCTTTGTTTCTCAAGACGAGCTTGAGATCGCAAAAGCGCGACGAGACGAGCAATGGAAAGCTGCATACGCCAGGTGATTACAATTCATCCTTCAATGCGGCCACATTCGAGCTGACACACACACCAGACTAGGACAGGAACCTCCCCCACCTCCTGCAGAAGACGTATTCGATGGCCGCAGCCTTGCTGAGGTATGTAGCTGGCTGATCACACCTTTCTACTACGTTGCTCACTCCAATCCACACTGCCAGAAATTGGCGGCAAATCGAGTAAGCAGGACAGCATAATATCACATCTATGTGAATTTACGCATTTCAGGCAGCCAAACAAGAGGAATGGGAAGAGCGTAATAAGCTAGGTATGGTTTTCTATAATCTAATTACTCTAACGCTTCATCGTTCGACTGGTATCAGGGAACCAGTTTCGTGCTCTAGAGGAGGATGAGGTCCTATTTCTGGATTCCGTACTGGAGAAGCAACGTGAAGAAGAACGTTTGCGCGAAGAAATGGATGGAAAAGAGCTGAAGAACTTTCGAGAGTACGTCCCCTCCTACTTAGAACCTCCGTCCACCATGAACTCTTGCATTGTAGGGCAGTCGCAGCTCGCGAGAGCGCCACCACCAAGCCACCTCCGATCATCACCGCTGTATCCTCATCTAACTCTGCGCCACCTGTGAAGAATAACAAACCTACGACGACGTCTGCGGTGAAGAAGGATACGAAGAAATCTTTAAAAGGTGTTCTGGTCAAGAAGAAGATGAAACCAACACCCGCTAGTGCGCCACCGCCTGTTGACAAATCGAAGGCGGCCGAGCGACAACTATCACGACAAAACGATTCAGCTAATGACAGTGACAATGACAAGGCCCAACCTCCACAAGCAAAACGTCGGAAGCTATCAAAGCCGAGTCTATCATGACCCTTGATTCCCTGTATAATATTGATACATTCTCATTCTGAATCGTAATGTGTAAGGTATGCTGAGACGATGTCCGGAGATATGCTTATATGAATAATAACGTATGTAAAATTTATCCCATGGCGTTCAACCTCCTCTTCTTGTCACAGGGCTAGGTGTCGGCGTCCATCGTACTCGGTTTAGATCCTTCTCCTTCGCTACACTCGTCCCTTCCCAAGCCGAACTTCGCCCCATTACTTCTGCCCGTCTTAACGCTGCGGTCCCCATCGCCGACCGGTCAAGCAATCTCCTTGCTGCGGGTGTCAGTCCACCTGGGGCCTCCGCTCTGCGAGGGGTCCAAGAAGGCGGTGGCATAGTTCCTTTCCTCGCTGAACCTTTGACCGAACTCGGTGTTCGAGTAACACTAGGTACACCCAAAAGCTCTGCCTTGGCTCTGAGGCTCTTGGATGCTTTCGCCGATAGTTGTTGGGATATTCGTTCACGTGCAGAAGGGGCAACAATGTGGAACGGCGTATTTTGGGGCGCCAAGGATGACTCTACAAGATCATCCGTTTGTGACAGGATACGAGGGGTACCTGTAATTGTCCCCCATGTCATAAGTTGCTTGACCGCAGCTGGACCCATTTCTGCAGGTGAAGGTGTGGGTACAGAAGGGACGAGTGTGAAGTTCCCGCCATTCGGCGACCTAGGTCGATCTGTGACTCTGTGAGTGAACGAGTCGGTATAAAGCTGGTCAATGACATACATGGTGTGCCGGCAATTGCTGCGTCAATTCTACTTCTTGTCGGACTAGGCGGAGCAGATATTGAATCTGTGGGCCTATTATCTTGTTCGGGGAGACGGGTACTGTCGTATTTGATGATTTTGGCTGCCACTTTGAGGTCCTCCGTCGTCTTGGAAGTGAGAGGGTGGTATGGCGAAATATCCGCGTCTGGAGGAAACATCAGCGCATTACGAGCCTATCAAAGAAATCAGTTAAAGTGCCGTTATGAAGTGAAGCTGAGATAATACCTTGAATTTCCATCCATCCACGCCCGCAGGACGAGTGTCCTTCTTGGGAGCCATTACATCCACTTCGCCCTCACTCTCGCCCTCCGTCGGAACCACAGCTAACTGTTTCTCTTTGTCTTCATCACCCCCTTCAACATTGTCGTCTTTTCCTTCCACAGCAGTCGCCCTTTCAGACTCCCCTGACGCTGTTATCATTCCCCTCACCTCCGGTGCCTCTATCACAAACTTCTCCCTAACGCCAACGCCAGGAGGTGGCTCGATCAACAATCTCTCCCTAGCCTCCAGCATCCGATCCCTTTGCGCCTCCACCCGTTTCTGCGCCTCCCAAGCCCAAGAATATTTCTCCTTCCTTTTCCTATTCTCATCCTCCAAAATCTCAGTAAAGCTAGAATTGTCCTCGGACGTATATCGTGCTTGGAAGGTATCCAAACTCATGTCGATATCATAGCGAGCACGCTTCGTCGGTGGTTCCGCCTCTTGTGGTGTCCGCAGTGGTGTCTCGAGGGGACCCATACGATATGGTGTCTGTGACGGAGTTCCCCACGTACGTGCACTCATCCGAGTGATGGGCGTGTTCAAATCCTCGAGTCTGCGTACGGAAGCATTGATCAAAAGAGGGTCATCAGATCGAAGTGCGTCGAGATAGTCATTGGTAGCATCCAAGTGAGCGATGGAGGGGAAGAAGTCGCGTGCGATGATGTGCGAGAGAGCTTCGGTATATTCATCTTCTTCGAGTACGGTTTGGCGATTTAATGAGCGAGGCGGTCGGGAAGAAGAGGATTCGAGGGCGTTGGATACCACAGACATGGTTAGATAGAGAATGGAAAGGCAAGCTTTCAAATCTCAAGCTGGAGTCCGAAAGAGAGTCACCGTACAGAGTCAAGATGCAACCTGTGAGTAAGCGCCCGCTTACGCCGATCACATCTCGGTCAGACAGATCAAAAAGGTGTAAGGTGGGACTGCCATTTCAAGGTCAACCAGTGTGAGTCTATAAAAACGAATGGAGGATATTACATCGAGATGAGATGGAGAGAAAAGAGAATACGAGAATACACAGCAATCACAAGCCTGAACTGTATAATACCGTACACTAACCCAGCGGCGATGATAATATTTAAGATTGGTTCCGGAGAATAAAAAGAAAGAAGAAAGTGCACAAAGGGATAGAAGGAAAGCAAATATACCTCATGTAGCATGGTCGCGACATTCTACTGTATCGTGAAAGAGCATTCAGATCATTATTCATTAAGAAAAAGGAAAGACATAAGGTCGCCTCACCACGTGCGCAATGGAGAGGCAGGGATTAACGTAATGTATAGGGCCACAACCCTCAACGTGGCAGCGAGGTATCAGGCAAAACTGTGAGTGCTTAACGGCATGATGGGTCAGAACGGACTACGGCCAAACAAGGCTGACGCGGTGCCAGCTCGCCCTCGCCCAATTCTGAGAGTGGTAGTATCGGACTCTGTGCCGCCGTCCCCAATACTCTTGCGAGGGCTACCGCCTGGACGTCCTATCCTGCTCTGGGCAAAGGACGGCGATTGACTGACTTTGGCATTTGGCCGAACTGTTAGGTTAGTATAAGGGGAGGGAATCAACGAGGGTCCGTCCACGGAAGGGGGGCCTAACGTACTCGAACCAAAGGAGGAGCGTTTCTTCTGATTATATGCTCCAGAGGCGGGTCCTGCTGACCGTTTCTGCGCGATAGAACTATGATACATGCCGGAGCTGGGTACAGGAAGGAATGTAGGGGTCGCTGGCCGCGAAGTTGGTGTTGGTATTGAACTGGCTGTACTTGTTGTTGCGTTCGTGCTGATACTACTTCTGCCTTCAGTCGACACGGATAACCTTGATTGTGATCTTCGAGTGGGTGCAACACTCTGTGATAAGGCACTTGGTGGTCGACTACTGGTGGAAGGTGATGGCGATGCAGAGGTGGAAGAAAGAGGACGGAAGGCAGATGGAGCAGCGGGAACCGATGTCCGACGACGCTCTTTCTCTATGTCCTTGACGGGAGATGGAGATACTTCCGTAATCATCACCCAACCAGAACTATCGCGAATGGGTGTGTGTTTGTCGCCTTCCGATTCTATACTTTGCCGTCGATTTTTCACACCACTTCTGCCATCGGAAGAATTAGTCTTCAGTGAAGAAGACGAAGTCGAAGGGGCCGGAGAAGGCATAGATGTTGAGGGCCCTGCTTTAGGTGGCGGCATTGCGTTGGCACTTGCACGATTAGTGACGCTACCCATTCGTAATCGTGGGACTCGAGTGTGAATCTTCTGCTCCAACACCTTTACGCGGGCTCTCATCTCTGAGACCATTTGGACACCTCTACTCTTCGTTGTTGTCCCTGGAACACCAGTCACTGTACTTGTGCTGCTCATCGTAGAGGCAACTCGGTTAGTAGCAGGGCGCGATGAAGGTGTGCGTGGCGAACCCATCGATGTGGGAACAGTGCTAGAGCGTGTAAGATGTGACGGAATACCACTGGGTGGTGAAGAATGCCCAGCTCGTGGTGGTTGGAAACCGGCTCGATGAAGGAGTGATGCCTGACCGGAAGGCGAAGTATTGATGGGTTCCGAGTTCCTGTGAGCCTTAGTGGTTACAGGCGGGAAGTCCTTTGCAGGGGTCTCGGGCGGTGGTGTCAAATCCGACAATTCAAGATCTGGAGGCGCAGGCGTAGAAAGTAAACTTTCATTCTCAGAGTGCGAGACAATAGATGGCGGGGCTGAATAGGTAATGTCGGTTGTGAAAACATTGCGTTGAAGGGCGGTTGAAAGCTGCTCTTTCAGAATGACAATTTCCTCATTGGCATCTGCACATAAGAAATTGAGTGTAATAAAGAATAGGCAATTCTTGACAAAGCGTACCTCTGAGTTCGTCCTTCAATCGCTGACTTTCCTCTTCGAGGTTCGCCTTGTCTAGAAGCTCATGTTCGAGTAGGATTTTCTCTTCAAGGACACGAGAGTATTTCTGCTCCGCATCAGCCAGGCTAGACGAGATTGCTCTCTCATTTCGTTCCAAATCGTCATTACCCATTTCCAACTCTCGAAGTTGAATCTTGATCTTCTGGTAATCCTGCCGTAGAGTATCAAGTTCCCTTTGCAAAGACGTCGTAGTCGTGTTATGCAGCGTTTGTAGCGACACGAATTTGGACTTGTAGGTATCGTAATGAGCTGTGTGGCGTGGTTGGGAAACGACATAATCTTACCTTCCACTCGTCTTTCTCATGCTCAGCTTTGGCGACCTTGACCTTCAGTTCCCGCTGGGCCTTCTCGGTTCGCTCAAGTTCCCTCTCTAACTCTTCTTCCAGGTCCTTACTGGAGGCATGAAAGTCATCAAGTTCGGCACGAGTTTCTGCCAGCATATCGGCCACTTCCATGTACTTTGCCTTCCAGTCCCCCGAGGAGGAATAACTATGTAGCACACATTCATGTCAGTGTCTAACTCAACACTAGGATACATATCAAAGCATGTACTTGATGTCGTCGTGAGGGGCCATGAGTCTGTCGTTCCGAAAAGCGTCCGTTGCTTGCAGAACGGCCGTCATCTAGACAGAGAGGAAGAAATAGAAAGCAGTGACACAGCACCTGGCTTGAGGCTGATGTCAAGAGGGTTGTGCAAGTCAACCAGATCCAGCCTGCTACACTTGTTGTTGCCCTTCCACGTGCGACAGCCGCCCATTTAAAGCGGTCTATTCAAAGCTCATTAATGCATCCCCTTTGTCTTGCAAAGAGTCGATATCAAAGCGATATTATACAACTATACACTATAGCTAGGGATACAAGAGTCCGTAGGACGAAAAGACACGACTAACGTTACAGTCCCTCAGGCTTTGCGCATTTACGCTTTTCGACTCGACCAGTCTTAGGACAGCGCATCTCTTGCCATGACACCGGCTCCATGGTAGCGCCTACACAGTCATGAGTATGACTGCTAAATGTATGGAAAGGTCACATACCAGCTTCACTTGTAGCAAAAATCACACCAAGATCATTTCGTGCCGTGGTCACATAATAACTACGAGCATCACCCAGAGAGATCTGGAAGAAGCTTAACATTGAAACTATATAGAATTAAGCATTAACTTACTACCAGGCCTTTGACGACATCTCCACCTCTGAAACAATCCGCAATTTTCACCTTATCCTTTTCTGTTGCTCTTACGTCCTGAACACGTATTACGCCCATGAACTCTTCCCCAGCAGGAAGAGGAACGCCGTCCACGACTGTGATGGAAAGCACTGCTTGCAGAGGAGAGAGCCTAGTGATCGTTCCCAGCACGATTGAATTTGGTGCTGGTGGGTGTGGCCGCGTCTTGGTGATAGCCAGTGTCTAGAGCAAGAGAGCCGCAGAAGTTGAGATGATTGGGATCATTGGTGTCGCCTAAAAACACAGAAAGGAAGAAAAACCAACAGAGCCTTGGTAGCGCGGAGTACCCAGTAAACTCGCCCTGACTTGACCATCTCGTGAGTAAGTGCCAGCTCCGAGCTGAGCGGTGGGACCTCGAGGGACTGGTACAGGTTGTCCAGGGAGAACGACGTCCGACATTGAAATAAAAAAGAGATGAAGCAAGTAGAATGGTAAGATGCAAGTGAGATGAGTGGGCGTCCACCAATCCGAGGCCGTCCGACACTTTGGGTTTGTTTGCACGGACGCGTAAGGATAGCCAAAAGGTTGGGGCTCGCTCTTGCGCACACCGTCTGCAGTCATGGCCTCCCTCGCACGTATCCTTTCTCGCCGTGCGTATTCCGAAAGTCCCGTCGCTATATAACCCGTCCATTCTGCTCACTCTTCGCCCATTTCCCAGAGTTCCATGCTTCGGCCCGCCGCCATGCACTATCCAAATTTAGCATGCCAGCGATGAGCCCTACCATGACGGAGGGTGGCATTGCTTCATGGAAAAAGAAGGAGGGCGAATCCTATGCTACAGGGGATGTCCTTCTCGAGATTGTGAATTGTTTGCATTCTAGCCGTTGTCGTGCATGATTTTGAACATGTCATTCAATAGGAAACGGACAAGGCAACTATTGACGTAGAGGCCCAGGACGATGGTATTCTCGCAAAGATCATTGTGAGGCAACACTTGCATGCTTCTGCATGTGGTCTTTACCTGACTGTCGTTCTCTCCAGGCCCCTGACGGTGCAAAGGGCGTCCGGGTGGGGTCACCTATCGCTATTCTCGCTGAAGAGGGTGACGATCTCTCTCAAGCGGAGAAATTGGCTGCAGAGCCTACAGCTGAGAAGCCACGACCACCTCCTGAGAAGAAACCCGAGGAGCCACCAAAACCCAAGGAGGAAGCAAAACCTGAACCCACCAAGGCTCCTGTTAAGGAGGAAGCAAAACCTGAGTTGGCAGAGGGGGCCCGCATCTTTGCATCTCCCATTGCGAAAAAGATTGCTTTGGAACGTGGTATTCCTCTTGCCAAGATTAAAGGTTCAGGGCCTGAAGGAAGGATTATTCGTGAGGACGTCGAGAAATACCAGCCTCCGGCAGCTGCTCCTGCTCCTGCTCCTCCACCTGCTGCCTTCCCCGCCCCTTCTGTACCATCAGCAGACTACATTGATATCCCCATCTCAAACATGCGACGAACCATTGGCACTCGCTTGACGCAGTCCAAGCAGGAGGTCCCCCATTATTACTTGACTGTCGATATTAACATGGACAAAGTTCTGAAGCTTCGTGAAGTCTTCAACAGGTCTCTTGGAGAGAAGGACAAGTCTGCAAAGCTTAGCGTCAACGACTTCATCTTGAAGGCTTCTGCTTTGGCACTGGCAGACGTTCCAGAGGCCAACTCTGCATGGCTGGGCGAGAACGTCCGGCAGTGAGTGAATATGTCTAATATCAACCAGCACCATTTCTAAGCCTATTCCCCTTTTGCCTAGATATAAGAAGGCGGACATCTCTGTTGCTGTCGCTACCCCCAGTGGTTTGATCACGCCTATTATCAAGGATGTCGGTGCAAAAGGATTGGCCACCATCTCCGCTGAGGGCAAGGCTCTCGCAAAGAAGGCACGAGACGGCAAACTTCAACCTCAGGAATACCAGGTATGCCATTTGCCTGTCGCGTTCCTGGACTGCACTAATCATTCTCATCGCAGGGCGGTACATTCACTGTGTCCAACCTCGGCATGTTTGGTATCTCACACTTCACCGCCATCATCAACCCTCCGCAATCGTGTATCCTCGCTGTTGGTGCAACAACACCGACCTTGGTTCCTGCACCTGAGGAGGAGCGTGGATACAAGGTGGTAAACGTCATGAAAGTGACTCTCAGCTCGGACCACAGAACCGTTGACGGCGCTGTCGGTTCTCGTTGGATTGCTGCCTTCAAGGGATACCTGGAAAACCCTTTGACGTTCATGCTCTGAATTGAGGTTCTCTCGCTTTTCATGTAGTTTGCTTTTGGTACAGCTGCTTTTCCTCGTTCTCATAGACATATCCCCTGCTCGTACTCGTACACTACGCGTGCAATATACACTCGGAGGGCGTTATTGCTTTGATGTAATCATTCATATTACGATCCCTGTTCTTTGAAGACAATGACGATTCCGGAATGTCTATTCTCTTTTTCCCTACCAGACTCTTGTAGACGCGGAAGTAACTGATGATCAAACGCGTCTGTGGCTGAACGGCGCTTACCGTACATTCACCTTGTCCCCGGAATTGCACAGTTGTCAATTACGACCTTCTCCTGTCAAAGACGCGTCCAACTCAATGTTTGACAACGACCAGTTTGTCGCTGATCTGTCTGAAAGTTTGTCCATGGCTCTTCGAAGCAAAACCACGCTTGGATTGGCGAAGAAAGCTCTGGAAGACGAGGTGCGCTGGCATGCCATTCAGTCGACTTGGATAGCATGAAAGCTACAACGGTCGAAAACTGACGCGAACTATTGTCATATCGCTCTATAGAATTTTAATCTTAAGCAGTTACTTCTGTCTGAACGCGAGAAATTCCACGCGTTGGAGCTGAAATATGCACAGTCTGTCGCGATGAAATTGGAACGCGAACAGGCCCAGGGGAGTAGCGTCCTTGTGAATGAGTTGGAGGACGCTCGAGCTCAGGTCTGTTCTTGATCAAATATGCTCTGGTACATGATGTCTAAGGTACGACCCGTTTAGCTCACGACTAAAGATGATAGGATACATGAACTGGAAGCCGAACTCGCACAGGTACAAGAGACGTGTTGCGAACTCTCAAACCAGGTTCAACAAGTTCAGATGGAAGCTGAACAACATCAGGAAGTCTCGGATGCGAAGGTACACGTCCTTTCACGTTCCTAAAATACCCTTGAGAAGATGCTTATCCCATACTTCGAACGCCAATATATATAGCTCGAGAAACTATGTCAGGACATGAATCACTCACTGACCAACGCCAGCATGGAAGCAATGGAGTCTGAAAACAAGATGTTTGAGTTGCAGACGAAGGTATCTTTCTTCTTCCGTCTTTGTACTCTCCGTGTTCCCATCTCTCTTTCTAGTTGCAAATAAGTGAACAACAAAATGCGGACGTACAGGCTCAGCTAGCTTCTAGTCAATTGTCGTTGCTCTCTCTTCAACAGGAGCACGAATCAGTCCTGCGTGTCTTGCATCGAGACCAAGATCAGGTGCGGCACGAACGTTTCGCTTCGTTCATAACTACTGAAGACGTCGTGTCACGTTAGGCTCAACAAGCGGTGTCAGAGCGAGACGCCAAAGTATGTTAAGTATTCATGTTCCCCCCCTCCCCCCCCCCCCAAGATATCACTGAGGTATGCGTAGATTGCAGAACTCCTGCAGTCGCTGGAGTCAATCAAGGCCCAATCTGTAAGGGATGTCTCTCTCTCCGTGTATCCCCCTCTAACGTTATCAACAAGACTGCCAAGAGGAATCCAAATGAGGTCCCTGCCGTAGCTCAAACGTCCACTCAAGCGATGCCACTAGGACAGAGAGAACAGACCACCGAAAGGTAAGACTAATCTCTCAACCAGAAGCATCGCCCACATGATCCTCTTTGTTCAGACGGTCTGCTGAACAAAATGAGTCGAGCCAGGGAGCTTCTTCAAGTCAAGCACAAAGGTCTCAAGCTCCAGTTTCATTGTCATGACTGTTCTACTGAAACTTACCCCAGACTCACTTTGGTCATTCCTAGAAGACCTACTACTATTCAACTCTCAGCAACATTTTCTGTTTGTCTCCCATCTGCAAGACAAGATACTTTCAAAGATCATCCCTCATTTGTGCATCTCTCTGAAGGTTTTCAAAATCATTCCTTCTCCAGGGGATATCTTATGGACAAGCTTGGAGGTGCTTCTCAGGGCTTGGTAGCCAAGTATGTACATCTCTCCTCTTTCTGTACCAACTCATCTCAATTTTTGTTTTGTTAGGATTGTCAACAAAAAGTCCTTGTCTGTGCTCCATGGCCTTGGCTCTGGCCTCCTCTTTCCCAGACCTGATTTGAACTGTTGGTTGCCAACAATGCCAGGGGCTCATGGCTATATGTTTGTTGGGCTTCAGGGAGGTGGAAAGGACCATGAAAAATTTCTCCAGCCTGCAAAGTGGTCACTATTCCTTCCTAAAGACAAGAAATCATGGGAGTACTATGGTGAATATGAAGTTCACAGAGTACCAGACCTTGATCTCTCTTTGGAAGAGCGGCAGTCATTTTCTCCTGAGGTATGTCTGCCCATCTCTAGATACACCCTTCAGCATGTTGACTTGTGCTTTTTCTCAGTTCAGAAGGGGATATTGTGAGATCACAGCTCAGAAGGCAGATACAAAAGTGAAGCACCCACCTGAGTCCAAGATCCTAGAGATCCAGGAGAAGTATGACCAGGGCCAGCTCAGAGTTCCTTGCACTTCTCTCAAGTGCATAGGCTATAACAGACAGCTAGTACTTGACCTTGTCACTCCACCAGCTGCAGAAGATTCAAGCAAGAGGCCAAGGGAGGAAGCCTCTCAGGTTCAGCCAAGAGCCAAGAGAGTGAAAACTTCTAGTTTGCAGATTCAATAATTTCTGGGATTCATTGCTTGTTTTCTTGTTGTAATTGTATTGAACCGGCCTTTAGAATAACTGTACTATCTTGCTATTTGCTTGCTTTCCACCTATTAATTTTGTATCATACAACTGGAATATTCTACTTTAACTCTTTGTGCAATTGCAAGGTATGCTGGTAACTCTGAAGAGCTTTCTCCTCTTTTCCCTTCTCAAACACCTCCCAGTTTGCAGCTGCAAAGCCAACAGGAATCTGAGAATTGCCTTTGACAAGCCCAGCCATGGCTTTCTCTGTGAACTCAGATAAGGGCATCCAGACCCTGCTTAAAGCAGGAGTAGTACCCTGATCTGTTGAGGAAAGAACTCAGTCTTGGGACATCATCAAATTCGAGCTGAGACTCACGGTCATGCAGCTCTGACTCAACCAGGCTAAACCAAAAGTCAATGATATAATTCTTATATCATAGTTGTGATTGCACTCACGGCGGTATGACCTCCAACACACGGATGTTTGTTTCTCTGAATTGGGCACCCAATGAAATGGATAAACTATGTATAGCCGCCTTCGTCGCAGCATAGTTCGGGACCCATGGAGCTGGAACAATACTCAATGCAGAACTGACGGGTATGATAAAAGAAGGGCGGCCTTGTTCCTACAAATTCCTATCTTAGCGGTAGGTATTGTCTCAAGGCGGGGGCAACGAACATTCAACTTCAGGAAATGAGGCAGGAAGAGCGTGATGAGCGTAACAATTGAAGTGTAGTTGGTAGTAAGCTCATTTTCAAGCGCTGCAAAAGCATTGCGTGATCAGAATGAGTTCAGAGTATATGATACAGAGTGACTTAGGTACCATCAAGGTCGACTTGCTCCGGATGATTGAAGTCAAACTCAAGCTGGATACCGGACGAGAATATGACTGCATCCAACTGTCGACCACGTTTGCATGAGTCAAGCGGAAAACAAGAAGTGGAGAATGCAACATACATCTGGATAAGTGGCAAGAGTGTCTTTGACGAACCCCCTGAGTGCTTCTCTACCGGCGGTCACGTCGACCTGTACACCCTTAATTCTGTCGGAGGTCTTCGCCAACTCGTCCAGCCTCTCTTGGCGACGACCGCCTACGATGACGGTAGGCTTAGATGGCAGGTCATGGAGCGCAAGAGCGAGACTTCGCCCGATTCCAGACGTAGCACCAAGGACAAGGACACAGCGACTTTCAATAATGCCGACAACCATGTTGATAGTAGAGGGAATGGGAAGAGACTTTAGGGTAATAGAAAGCAGAAACAGACTATATATATTATCTGGGTGAAAGCCATGCCCCACCTAATTTGTGACGTCTTTGGGAACGTCGGACTGGGGTGGACATGGCTTATGGGAGAACGATCGAAGGAAATCTATATTCGGACGCCCTCGATCACATTCGAGAGTACGATCGTGGCGTCTCGCCCTCTTGTCATCTTCTTGCATCCTTCAATACTATCTTCATCTCTGTTTGAATTTTTCCGAAGTTATGACTGAATATACAGAAAGCGCAAGAAACGTAGAGAATACCACAAGCGATCAACAACCAAGCCCGAATCTAGAGCTAGGAGACATCCAAGTAAGTTAACTGATTTCGTGTCAATGCTCATCCGCTTCTATTCCTCTAGAGATGCTTGCAGCAGGCCGATGAGCTCAAGGCCGAAGGAAATGATCATTTTCGCGCCAAGAGCTGGGATGAGGCCCTTGCTCAGTACCGTAGTGCCTTGGGACATCTGCCCAAGCGGAAGGTGATCAAACCTATCAGTCCACCTCCTGATGATCCAGAAGCGAAAGTCGACAGCGGAAAGGGAAAGCAACGTGAGACTGATGAAGTTGAGGAACCGGAACCCCTCGCTTCTGAATGCGCTAAAGCAAGAGCGGTACTCAATGCGAACATTGGAGCATGTTACGTGAAGCTGGTCAGCACTTCAGGACTCTCTTGCTTTAAACATCGGATGCTTGAGCTCAATATTTCAATAGGGCGATCACAAGGCCGCGGTGTCGGCTTGCACAGAAGGTAGTTTTTTCAAGCATGAAACTCTGAAAGTCACTCATAGCCATCATAGCTTTGTCGGATGATCCAGTATACATCAAAGCGTTGCAGAGACGTGCTGCTTCCAGCGAGCAGCTCAACACATGGTCGTCACTGGCTAGTGCGCAAGAAGGTCTCGTCACCCATTACACTACCTTAGTCGAATCAGCCACCTTACTTCTTCATTCTTACAGATTACACGAAACTGCTGGAGTTGTTACCTCCGTCCCAGACGGCCGAAGTCAAGCGGTCGCTTCAACAACTGAAACCTCGCGTCGCGGAAGCGCAGAAACGAGAAACAGACGAGATGGTTGACAAGTTAAAAGGGCTGGGCAACAGCATATTGGGTAAGGCTCCTTTCCTCCGAACTGGACAGTCGAATTTCTTATGGTACTTACAGGAAACTTTGGTCTGTCGACGAACAACTTCAAATTTGAACCGAATGGGCAAGGAGGGTATTCCATGAACTTTGTTCAGTGATAGTCATCGGACTCCACGGAGAACACGAGTAGTGTAGTTGCGATCCTAGAATTTACAAATTGTGTATCGCCTATGATAGCCAAAATGGACAACCCTCAGATCAGCTTGAAACGTTGGAGAAAGCTGGGGTTCAGGGATCCTCATCAATATATCGGAAGTTGCTACGAAATATGGTCAATTTGTCCAGAGGCCAAACCTTGCAACGTGTAAATTAGTAGAATATACAACCAGCATACACGGTATACTTACCCTGGCGACAAATTTGCCCCTAACAAGGGCCATGGGGACAGGCCCATATTCCCTAGAGTCCCTGGATGCATTTGCGTTGTCCCCACTGAGCCAAATATGACCCTTGGGGATAACGACATGTTCCGTCGACGGCACGTACTTTCCCATTGGGTCTACGCAAATGACATCGCCAGGTAGACCAATGAGTCGCTTGCAAACAAACCGGGATGGGTCTAGCGGTGAGACAAAGGTGATTAAATCACCGCGTGCGAGATTCTTCGGCGATATCATTCTGTTTTCAACAATCCATTCTCCAGTCACGTTCATGGTAGGGACCATCGACGGACCATCGACCTGCGTGCGAAAATATGGCTTAGCTGTACTTCGATACATTGAGCAAGACTCACATAGCGGATCCACCCAACATGTTCGACGAAGAGATGCCAAGCACAAACGAAATTGACTACCTTCAGATAAATGAAGGTGAGGGTTCGTTTGGAGGGCTAATATAGACTGACCTTGAGAGCAGTGACAACTTTCGGTCTAACCGTCTTCCACTCGACATTACTGAATTGTTGTGTAGCATCTCGCACTATTCGCTGCACATTATGAAGCCAGACCATCGACCAGAACCATCCGAAATGATTGCTCAGAGCTTTTAAAAAACTTATGTTGCAAGTGCACGCCATGCCAACGGAACTTGCCCAAACGGGAATTCCGGACCGGGCACTACCGCCAGATCCAGGCTCTATCGTCAAGTTCTGAAGTCAAGCTTGCAGAGACTGTTCACGTTGCTCGACATCCTAAGTACTGCCTGCTAACGCCTCTTCTCGCCATAACATATACTGCACTCATGTCTAAGGCAGATCTTGAAACATACCAAGTCCAACTCTCCCAAGTTGATACTGCTCTCGAAGCCGATCCATCTAACGCCGAACTTGCATCGCTCCGTTCTGAACTGAAAGAGCTCATCGCACTCACTCAAACTGCTATCGCTCAGCAAGAAGCTGCTGCATCGTCATCTAAAGCAGAAGCCTCACGAAAGGCTGCTGCTTCTTCCAGCACCGCGAAAGTATGGGGAGCCGGAGACGATTGTCTTGCTAGATACTCTGGAGATGGCCAGTGGTATCCTGCTCGTATCGCATCCGTCGGTGGCTCAGCAGATAACCGAGTCTATAGCGTGGTTTTCAAAGGTTACAACAGTACGGAACTTCTGAACTCCTCTCAGATCAAGGCAATGCCTGCGGGCTACCAGGCACCTGTACCGCCGTCGCATAAGCGGAAACTGTCGAAAGCTGAGGAGGAAGAGAGGGAGAAAAAGAAAAAGAAGAACGAGAAGAAGCTTGAGGTGAAGGCGGCGAAAGCCAAGGAGCAGATGGCAAAACAGCAGACTTGGCAGAAGTTTGCTAAGAAGTCGGAGAAGAAGGGCATTCATATTGCGGGAGTGTCTGGGACGAGTATCTTCAAGACGCCTGAGAATCCACTTGGGAGAGGTAAGCAACGTTCCGCAGATGTACAATTATAGTATGGCTAATGATCTTTTGCAGTTGGCGTCACAGGTAGTGGGAAGGGAATGACTGAAGTCGCGCCTCGAGGGAAGCATAAGTTCGAACTTACGGAGGATGCCAACCCTTGACCGGAGTAGGTACGATTCGCCTCTCGTTGCATGACATTCTGACTAACAACGTCTTTAGGATCATCCATATACATCTTCAATCTGTATTTTTTTGGCTGTAATTGATAACATATACCTGATGCAATACCACAGGTGGAACGCATGCACCGCCCGTACTTACCGGGCACATTGTGTCCACAAGAGGACATTTTAAAGCTAAGCCATATGTGATTCCTGATTCGTGTCGGATGAGAACCTCAATTGTGCTTTCAACGATTAGTCTCTAGACTCATAGACTCTGCAAGCTGTTGCGGGTCAATTTCTTGACTGTGCAGTCGGCGCATGGTCGCTCGTAGTGTTGGCGGTACTGTACCATCTGTGCGACCGGATCATGATACGTTCTGACGAGCTTGCTTTGAGTCAGAGCCGGGCATCCGATCATTCATGTAGGTCAGCAGCATAGCAGCGTATCGCCGTACTCTCAGTGTATGCGCACCGGCATTTCAATGAACGTGTTTGCTCCATTTAGAGCATTGAGCCAATGCAATGTCTCTGCTCGTCCTGTCAGTGGTCTATGCCTGTGGAGTTGTCAGGAGGGTTATTGATCTACGACTGGAACATCCTTGCTGGTGAGCATTTATATTCCCGTCGCTCCAAGGCTTGACGAGATGCGTTTGCGGTTGGGAGGTGATAGCTGCCTTTACTCCTTTGGTTCATGTTGTATTTGCACTCTTGTAAGAATAGAGCTCCGAACATTGATCTCCGTCCGAGGTACACTTAGACTCGCCGCAGGGGTTTGTCATTCGTGCGTCAAGTTGATGTGTATATGAACCTCTTCGCTGGTAATGCCTTTCTGCCGGTACGTCCCCGTTGCACCTCATCCGTTGGCTTCAGATTATACCGTTCATTTGTACAACCAATGACTGCAGCATTGAATCTTCTCCCTGCCACTGTTCCGAGACTTGCCATTCCCACTCGCAATGTCTTCAACATCCTCACAATAGTGAGTAGACTTGGTTTCTATCTCAGAACTTCATGCTGAGAGACCACGGTCTAGAGCCTGCGGTTTGACGAGGATGATGCATTTTGGTGGGGTGTTGCAGGCCAACCTCTCGCCTGTCTCTTCGAACAAGCTGATTACAACGTGCAAGTCCAGTTTATCCACATGCTGTTTTTCTATTCTCGGGTTTTACCCTACCTGGGACCTCGTCCAAGCAAAACCAATAAACCTTTCTTCAAATCCTTCATGGTATGTTCCAAACACTATTCGCATACTCGGTAATAGTCTTCGACCTTCCTGCAATCCAGACGGATGATCACACCCCTGTCGAAATCAGCTGGGTCATTCATAACGGCAAGCTGAACGTCCGCTATTGTGTCGAACCGGTGGGAACTATCGTCGATAGCGAGCAGCTGGCAGCCTTACGAATGGTCCATAACTTGAAGCACCTTATGCATGACCTTGATTTGCGCTGGTTTGACATTCTTCGTGATACTCTGGTCAGCAGTTCGAGTCATCTACAAGAATCCACTGTTGTCTCTACAAAGCATAATTCACAATATTTCGTGGGTCAGTGGTACATGTTGACGCTGGAGCAGAAGTTGAACACTTTGTTTCAATAGGGTTCGATTGTGACCCTAGCGGACACATCAAATTAAAGGCATATTTCTTGCCCGAAATGAAAGCCGCACAGACAGCCTTAACGAAGAGGGAGTTGGTCACCAAGGCCCTGGCCACCATTGAGCCTCGTCTACTTACGCCTTGGGAAGGTAGGCTTACATACTTCCTTGCTCCAACTTCAAAGTTTCAAACTTGACGCTAACCATCTTATGTCAGAAATTTTGGGGTTCTTCGATAAACTTCCCCTCGAACTCAAACCAGAGATTGAGTTTGTCGCCACCGATTGTTCACCCCCAGAACAGAGTAGAATCAAGGTTTACGTTCGGACCCGCTCTACTACCTTTGTCACCGTTAGGCAATTCATGACATTGAGTGGGCAACTGAAGGGCTCTGTGGTTGACGATGCAATAGAGGTCAGTATAATTGCTTGACCGTTCATTTCACGTCCCACTTAATCGTCTGTATGTCAGGCCGTAGAAGATCTCTGGAGACTTGTCATGGGCATGGACACCTCCACCCCCGGCTGGGACAATCAACGATTGAGACCCCGAATGTCTGCCGATGCGACCGACGATCACCTTACGGGTGGGTTGATATTCTACTTTGAACTTAGGGTTGACGAACGACGACCTTTCCCCAAACTTTATCTACCCGTTCGTCACTACTGCTCGGATGATGCAGCTGTCGCCCGAGGGATGGAATCCTACTACCGTAGTTGTGGACAGCTACCTTTCGATACATATGTCGAAACGATCCAGAAGACCTTTGGTTCTCATCGATCCTTGGGTGCACGGACAGGGATACATACATATGTATCTTTGGCCATCAAGAAAGCGGACTTTGAAGTAACGAGCTACTTTAATCCTGAGGCTTACGCCGCGGAAAGGGTCTCCGCCGACGGTGTGTGTTGATCACAACCCTCGCCGTTATATATACTTAATGAGAATTATAACGGCTTCGTAGTAGGATCAGACCAGTAATTGGCACATGTCCATTGGTATCATGTACAGCTGCTACGTCATGTTATCGGCCGCGCTGTTTTATCGACGCGACCATCCCGAGCGGCCACTACCTTATCGTATACAATGTCCAAGCAACAGCGGTCCTCCAGTTTTATATAATGTTCACCGTGTTGTTGAACTTGGACTACGCAAAAGCAATACATAGTTTCAATGACCAACGGTTGCAAAGAGCATAACGGCGGGGCACGATCGACGCCGACGACGCTACACCGACTACCAAACGCTGCGCCGCATTCGCGCTTCACCCCGGAAATCGCCTCGGGATAACCATCACCGGCCGTTGAATATTGCATGTTGAACAACTGGGCCGAACTACATATGTGGACATCCTTCCTAGGGGAGAAATCAATATAAAGTGTCAGTAGACGGACGCCCATCGTAACCTTTGAATGTTATACAGTACATACAGACCTCATTATTACTAACAACTGACTCCATAGAACTAGACCAGCTGGCTTCCAACGTCCTTCATCGACATTCGTAGTAAGCTGAAGATGTCCTCAAGGTGCTTCTGACAGGGGCGACGGATTCCAACAGAAACGTCAAACTGTTCGTACGTGATGATCGGGGTGCGAGCTTATTCGCAGATCTTGCCCAAAATCCTATCGCCGGGAGGACCTGGCGGGGCAAGGGACCAGATCCGTGATGCCTATCCCGAATCTCACAGATCGATTCATTGCAAAGAAGCGAGTCCAACCTGCTGGGTAGATCTACGCGCGCACACCCACCCGTCGCTTCTCTTGGCCCTGTTAGGAAGGTGTAGTTCCTGACGTTCTCTTTATCCATATCGGCTAACTTTGTGCATTAGGTCTTCAACTTGAATGCCTCAGCCCGCCCTATTACCTGCTGCCGGCTGTTGCTACTACGTACTACGGCCTTCCTGGACTGCAGTGATACCATTGTGTACCTCCGGTCGGCGAAAGCTTATATATCGCTAAGTACCAAGTCCTTGCTCCGGCGTGGCACTAGTAATGATGCCGGTCGTTGGTTCACCGAAAGTAGATGAAGGGGATCCGCTAGGATTCGGCCAGGATCGGGATCCGTTGAATATTGAGCACTCAACTTGAAGTAGCTTTATGCAGGTTCCAGAATATCCAGAAGTCAATTCGCTTGATCGATTCTTCAAGCCAGGCTTCGCCGTCCCTCCATTCAGATTCGATGTACGGATCTCGGCTTCCAACTGAGTGGCAGGCAGACCCGGAGGGTTTTGTTGATCAACTCCGAACATTTTTTCTTGCTTCTCTGTCTTTTGGTAAGTTCGGTCAACACGGTCTTACAAGCTATGATAAAGGACTTAGGCAGGGATCTCAGGCGTGAAGTTATCGTTGGAGTCTGTAGGCTTCTGTCAGACTTTATGCTGCGCTCTATGATTTCGCTTTTCCATCTCCGCCTGTGCATGTGAAGATCTGGCCTGAACCATCGGGTCCCATATGCATCATTCTTTTGGAACTGGGTGCTCGTCCCTGTTTGGCAAGACGATCCTTGCTCAGCTGGCTATTCAAATATTTCGGACCCTGGATGCATAGATGATCCACTACGACGATTATCCTTTCTGGTTCGACCTTCAGGTTGGCGACGGCAACGGTAATTCAAGACGTCACGTTCGAGTCGGTCCTAGTATGTTTTCCAAAGAGGGCGAATATGAATGCGAACACGAAAGCACCATGCATACATGCTGCAGCTCTCTCTTCCTTCATGCGTACTGTCGAGCGGTCTTTCATGATCACGGTTGAAAACCCGGCTCCGTCGTACGATCCACGGTGACCATGGATGCGAAGATCTATGTGCCTATATATAAATATGGCAATACATTCATGTGGCTCAGAGGTGTACATGTCACTGCACGGTCTTCTTTTTGATAAAGTAGAAGAAGTTGAATACATGCAAATGCAGGAAACTGATGATTATGATCGCGTGATTATACACTAAAACATTCTGTACATGATTATTATGCGTTGGACCTAAATGCTGCTACGGAAACAAGAACGAAAACGAGGGCGAAAGCGAAAAGACTACTTGGGTGCGAAGAAGTTCTGATAATGACCGGGAAGGGCAGGGCTAGTATCAACGGAATGACGGCGAGCGACAGCACTGTTTTGGGAAGCAGGATGAACGGGAAGGTTGATGGGTACGCCGTGGTCCATGAGGCAAGTTCGCAGGGCGTTGTTCTACGGCCAGAATGACTGAGAAAAGCTATTGCAATCAACGAAAGAAGATGCCGTACCGCACGCTCCAATTCCAACTTCTTCAATTGAAGGTCAGAATAATCCTTTTGCAGACCTGCTACCATGCTCTGATAAATTGAATTAGACCGAGCTAGAGCACGCCGAGATCAATAGAGGTACCTTTGCCGTTTTCGAGTTCAACCCTCGATACTGTTCGAGTTCCTCAATCGGAATTGGGTACAGCTGAGCGTCGAGGAGCTGTTGGTGCAACTGCTCAACGTGGTTTTCGAGCGTAGCCGTGTAGATTGTACGGCGATTGGGCGCGCTCATGTTAGACCTTAGGCAACATTGAGTTTTACTTGCGCGACAAGTGAAGTGATGCGCCGAAATACTTACAGTTCCTGGGGCGTGAAGATAGACTTCTCCAATGCGTGGTTCCACATCTTACGACGTTTTGTCGAACCGGAGGCATCGTTTTTTGCCTGCAATCTCGCGTACGGATGAGTGAGTGTCATACGTCCCATCGTGATGGTAGAACTGCTAGGCCCAGCGCCATCGGAAGACTGCGAGACAGTAGGGGAGATTGACCGCTTGTTTCGCAATCCGGACGCGTTTAATTTGGGTGGGAACGCGAAGTGGGGATCAGGGCGGAGCGCCGACGAGGTCGAAACAACCTTGCTAACTATAGGGTAAGGGAGCGGAGGAGGAGGCGGGCGTATTGGGCCAGAAGAGAAAGGTGAGCGAGGTTTGACAGACAATTTGAGCGAGCCTGATAGGGGATAAACTGGCGAGTCAAAGGAGTAGGACGTAGAGGGCGTAAGCAGTGAGGCTGAAGAACAAGTTGAAGTTGGTGATTGAGGACTTTGACTTCTGGGCGAGTTTGGAGCTGTGGGTACAGTGGTGGTAATGAGCTTTAGCTCAGGTCGCGGGGTGGCCTCGACAGTGAGCTCGTGTAAAGGCTCAACCGAAGGCTCGCTGGGATATTGAAGTTCCACCTCCATGTTGGCGATCCCGCTCACGATTGCGGGTGAAGATGGGCGAGACGAGGGCCGAGTATTATTTGTAGGTGAACTCATAGCGGTCAGAGTTAATAGAGCGGATTAAAGTGATGACGACGCGACTCCCACGTATATATGTTGCTGGATGAACACATCCATACTGAGAAGCAAGGTTTTACTTTTGAAAGAAGGTAGATCGGTAAACCGGGCAGCCCGGCGACACGTCTGGTCAAGTCTGGGGTGATTATTTTAGAGTGGCGAGTGGAATGCAGAGATTAGTATCAGGAAGTGAGCGCACCTAACGAGGACGAGTCGACGTCACTGGGACCAGAAAAGGGGCCCAATCGACTGGACACATCCATCGCCTAATAAATATTTGTACAAAACAAACGTTATCAAACGGTGACAGGCAGTTCAAACTTTCAATCCTTCGCCGCCTATGACAGGCACCATGCGTGAGGCTCTCACCAGTTCCACATTGTCAATGAGGCCACTGTCGCCCAGACATCCAACGGCAAAGTCTGTTTTGCAGCCATTGTGTACTCTCTGGGAAACGTGTTGCTGGCAGAGTTAGCCGCGGGATGCTGAGTGCCAATAATTCTAACTTGCTCCAGCCAATCGTCTTTCAGAGTAGTACAGGCCCGACGTTCCGCGGCAAAGGATGTGGGGCTCCACCTCCAAAAAAGGCATTCGCTTTGCTTTTCTGCACAGCACGTGCAGTCGTTGCGTTGAAATCGGACGGCCTGCAATAGCTCAAGACACAACCAGCGCCGTTTTCGTCAGTCTTCCCATCCTTCTTGGAAGACAGCCGTCTCTTGGCTCATGTGGTTCGCATCTTCGGTGTGATGTTCCCCTCCGTATCCGCTCCTTGCGCACGCCTAGGACGTACTTGGTTTAGACGCATCCTCTCGCCTGAGTGCACTTGTTTCAGCTATTCCAAATGGCCAGGGCAGCGTCGGGATTTCAGGATTGTATACTAGGTTGCAGCCGCCTTGTGCATGTAGGTTGAAAATCTATGCAGGGGAGAGTGCGAAAGCGGCGGGACCGCCAGAAGGAGGATATTCGGCAAGAGAGAGTGGATCTCGGCGATGACTTCTTTCTGCAAATTGGATGGCGTGCAAAGTTGAGCCGAGGGTAAGGAGATCTGGTTAAGATCTGGTGTCTTGATTTCGAAGCTTCGAAATGAACGGCTAGATATGGCAAGTGTGGTGTGGAATGCGATCTCTATTCCTATTGCTTGCTGCTTGCCGCTGTTCTGTAGTGCTAAATCCATCTTGTTCCAGTTCTAGATCCCCGTCTTCTAGAATTAAAGGTCCACTACCCCTGCCTTACTCATGCCACCTGGTATGCATAAGTACTTACCTCCCCTTCCTTGAATGCACACCCTGCCCAGATCATTCTGCCTCTCATACCTTCATCCCTCACCCGCTGTTGCCACAATGGATTGCTACACTGTTTCATCTGAACGTTATTCATATGTAGCCGATACACCTTCGTATCAGTACCAATATGCTCCTAGTCAGGTAGGATCAAGATGTTTATTCTCGTGCGTCATTATTGACGTCTTTCAGCCGTTCCCAGATGCAAGTGGTTCGGCGAATTATTATTCGGCATCGGAACACTACTGCCAACCTACGTACTACCAATCGTTCCCATCATATCCGAATCCGTATGGCACATATCCGTCCCAACCAGTCGAATATGCCGGCTACATCCCACCGTCGTCCTACTACGACCCCAACTATCCCATACAGTACCCTCAGCCGGAACTGCAGTCTCAGATTCATGCCCCAGTCCCGCTGTCGGCGTACTCAACGCTCATCCCCCCTCCCCTCTCTGATAGCGGTTCAGAAGCCGCGTCGCGGTTCTCCGCAGAGCCCGCTACCCCCGAACAACGTATTATCAGGGAACCGACGTGCTCGCCTGTTCAGCCGACGCATTCTGAAGAGCGCGCGAATCCTCTGGATCGGTTTATCAATGCTCCGCAGGTGACTTTCCAGACGCCCTGTGACCTTTTGAGTGACCTCGCTGTTCGGGCTCAAGAAAGGTCCTCTATGCAGGCGGGGCCGTCTAGCTCGCTTCATGTTTCTTCTGGTGATGCTACACCCACGGCTAAGCCCAAAGCTCCCAAGCCTCCCAAGTGTGACGCCGACAGGAAACCTGTTGAAAACCAACGAAAGGTGTACTTTCGCAATACGTCGGATAACGTCGGCTTTCATCTGACTGACCCGTAAGCTACCCTTTGTTCTTTCTTCCGGAACTGTGATGCTCACTTATATCTTTCATTCCGCATACAGTGACTCCATTACGTCTCATGATAAGAAGCGGCACCATTTGGAAAGCCTTGAGCGTTATATTCTCTGGCTCCATGATCAACTCCGTATCGTCAATCAGGAGCCGGCTTCTATGGAGCGTGTCAAGTCGTCTAAGGGCTTGAGTAGCCGTTCAATTCGGGTACGTATATATTCTCACAATGGACAGCGCTTTCCCCTGACCCTTCTCTCTCGTATAGACTCTTCTTCTGCATATGCAGGAGCAGATTCGCACGTTGCACGGAACCGTCGAAGAAGAAGAACAAAATGTAAGTGCCGCTCCCCCAATACCAGGTCGATATATCTGCTCACTCCTGCGATGATACCATGCAGTACGTTGCACTTCAGGAACTTATTATCACTCACAAGATACCGGTCACTTTTGAGGGTGGGGAGTTCCGTCGCCATTCCATCGCTTCTGGTGCTATTCCCGCAATGGGTGCATTGTTGCCGCCACATTAACCGTGCATCTCTCGCTTCCCATTCCCATTGACGCCATCTTGAGCGTCCTCCTCCTCGAGCACTCTGCCATCATCTCGCTTTCGCATCAGATACGCTCAACACACGCAATGGGCATTTTCTGTCATGTTCAACTTGCAGCATATTTCCTCTAGGTCCTCGTTGTCCCTCTATTGGTCACGCATCGTATTTAACGATCTGGACTTTAGTCGCCGTATTTAGTACAGGGCTCTGTGCATCGTAATCTCATTCAGTTTTCTTATGTGGTCGCTTGATGCGTCATATAATCATAGATTTGGTAACATTATGGATGTATCATAGTATTTGTACGGACCTCTCAGTCTCGTTATGTTCGTGCGCAGCTACACAGTAGTAATTGAGAGAATATTATTCTAGCTTTCCAGCCGGTGTACCACTTGTCGGCGCTCTCAGATTCACATTGCAAAGAGTGGATTTCCAATGGTGAAATTGAAGTTTGAAAGGTCAGAGAATATTTCACCCCGCTTCGAGGACTCCCAAAAACGGATGGTCAAGAACGATTCAAAGGCCGAGCGAACCGATTACGTCAAAGGCACGTGCACTTGAGAAAAAGTCATTCAGGTGGGTCGCGGGACTTTGACAAGCAAAACAATCACCAAAGAGTATTTCTCACCATAGCATTCACGCCCCCCTCGTCCTGCTCGTCATCCTTACCACTAATACATCAGCCCAAGAGATTGACCTCTCTATTCGAAATCTACACCAGCTCGTCATCACGCCTAAGTCGTTGATCTAATATCTCCCCATACCTTTCATCGATACCTCGGATTTCCAGTCCCAAAAGCATCTGGCCAGTTCCAGTTACTGCAACTCATATTTCTAGATCAACGGCTCCTCCTCCTAAGTGTTCTCTCTCAGTAAACAGCCGTTAGCAGCAATCATGGCATCTCCTGCAACTGCACTTCCTGCACCTGCTGCTCAAGCCGCCAAATCCGCGCTGAATACTGCTTTGGCGGAGAATGATATCAAGGAGGGTGCTGATGCTGCTCCTGGTACCCCGCCTACGGAGAAGAATGGAGGTGATGTTTCGTTGGAGCCTGGTGAGATCCAGGAGGTCGATATGCAACAACAGGCGGAGAATATCCGTACCGTATTCAATGATCCTAAAAACTTCAATGTCAAGGTGTGTTTTACTGCTTCATATACGCCGCATTTGTGCAGCGATTCACTTTGGGATCTCCTATATGATATTGCGGACGATGCTGATGATTCGTATTTTTTTTTCTCTTTGTGTAGCATCCTCTTTTCTCGCCCTGGACCCTCTGGTTTGATTCACCCGCTACCAAAGGCCGCAATCTTCCTCAAACTCCCATGTCCTCTTTCCCCCAGACCCCTCTTCCTCAAACTCCTGGAGGTCTTGCTGTAGCGGCCCAAGGCTGGATGGAGGATATTAAACGTGTTATTAGCTTCGACAGTGTAGAGGAATTCTGGGGGTATGTTTGGCTCTCCTCTGGATTTTCTGACGATTTCGCTGACCTTTTGTGTGTTAGACTGTACAATAACATCGTACCGCCTTCCCAACTGCCACAGAAGGCAAATTACTACCTCTTCAAGGTACGGTGTATATCATTAGGAGCGTTTTCATGGTTTCTTACAGCAATAATTTGTTTTTATAGGAGGGAATTATTCCCGCTTGGGAGGACGAGGAGAATAAGAACGGTGGAAAGTGGAGTATACAGCTCCCCAAGGACAAGAACCGAGGGAATATTGATAAGATGTGGCTCTACACAGTATGTCACATTTCCTCCCTTGAGTTATCATCTGATATTGACACGCGGGTGCAGATGTTGGCAGCTATCGGAGAGACGTTTGATCCAGTCCTCACGAATGCCGAGAACCCTGACAGCCCACCCCAGTCCCTCATCACTGGCGTGATTGTCTCCATCCGGCCGCAATTCTACCGACTTTCGATTTGGACACGAACAGCACCGAATATGTCTGGGGCAGAGGAGGACACGAAGTTAAAGGATCGGATCGAGGCCATTGGGAAGCACTTCAAGACAAGTGTGCTTGGGTATGGAGAGTCGGCAAAGTTGGCGGGACCTTTGGCAACGGAAGTCGAGTTCTTGTCGCACAAGGACTCGGAGAAGAAGGGCAAGCAGGCGAAGAAGATTATTGTCTAGAATTATCAGAGTGCGTTCGGATTGTGCTGTCGTTGGCCATCCTAGGCCTAGGGCTGGTCCTTCGCTGTGATACTGCTGTATTGTTGGGCAACATCTCTATTTTGTTTTTGTTTTACGGTTTCTTTCTATTCTTCTCTCTTTTTTATGTATACATATGTAAAATGGCGATTGCTGGAGTCGAAACCATGCTGCATGGAGCAATATTGCTGTGCAGGAAGCAGCTGTTGCAGTGCGCCAAGTTCATCCAGAGCGATGACGTCGAGTTGCCGCAATACACAGATCGGCGCAGGCCCCGCAGTCGATGCTCAAAAGTATATCAGGTCTCGAGGGCCATAGCTCCGCTCCACCCTCTTTTCTATCTCTACCGCCATCATGTCCAGCTTTTTCTCCTCCATCGCGAATAAGGCTCAATCGGCCTTGAATAATACTCCTCTCGCTCAGCATATACCCGGTAGCTCTCATGGGGCTGGTACTTCAGGTGAATCGGGAGGATCAGGAGGATCTAACAGATACTCGCATACCTTGGAATCGATCCACCATCAATTGAGGACATTCCAACAACAGTACTCGTACGTACGCCCGTGTTGACTTCAGATGACGCTGGGGATTCACGATCTATCATAGAAGCTCCACTACGCCAGCCCAGAAAATCATCACCACTCAGAAAGGCGTTGCGCTTGACCTTGATAATGTCTCTCGTGATGCGCAGGCTAATTCCAAGGAAATATACCTTTGGGGCCAGCAGGAAACTGACGATTTGAAGGATGGTACGTATTGCATGCCATCACAACGTTCTCATTCGTCTGTTTTCTGATTTGATTCTGTCCTCCAGTCACTGATCGTATCGCATGGCTGAACTATGTTCAGGGCCAGATTGCCAGTGCTCTGGCTACTCAGCTCGATGCCGCTCGCGCTCCGTTCAAGGTTCTACGAGATGCCGAGACAGCAATACAACCTCGTCGCACTCTGCGCAACAACCTCGAGAATCAAATTGCTAAACTGGAACATGAGAATAGCAAAGCTGCTACTCAGAGGATATCCGAGATAAAGACCCAGTTGCATAAGGCTCAGGTTGATGACCACGAGGCCGAGAAGGAGATCGATATACTCAAACGCAAGGCCCTCAGAGAAAGTGAGGAACTCAGGTGGAAAGCTCTCAGAGAGGTTCGTGCTCTGCACCTCTGGTGTTTCGCGATCGATACTAATACATCTAATCAGTATGGCGAGAAACTCGTTCTCTTGTCGCAGGCCGCTACGACTATCCTTCCCGTCCTTCCCCCTATCCCGTCTTCCCCCACCATACCATACACCGGCGCTGAAACGACCGCAAACGTCCGTGCCTCCTTACAGAGAGCACTGGACAGTTATACCCCAGGGTCAAGCAATCTCTCATTCCCTGCGACGTCTGCAGCTGATCTCCAGCGATCAGATACCCGTTCGTTTGGGGAGACTCACAGGAAGGAACTCGACAACATCGGTTCGCCTGATGCCGCGTCCCAGTCAGGTATTCCTTTGACTCCTCCAGCAACTGCAACTTTCCCTCCTTCTGGTCCACCTCCCCAAGGCTTCTCATCTCAACAGAGCCCCACTTCTTCAACTCAATCTTTGAAAGCTGTTCCGGTTGCGACAACAGGGATCTCTCAAGCCGAAAAGGCTAGCCTACCTGCGTCTTCACCCCCTCCAAGCAATCAGTCACCTCCGCTTAACCCGGCGAAGTTGAATCAGACTCCCGCACCGATTCCCATCCAGACAGAGAGTGCTTCGGCTACCGCATCACCCGATCCCTCTGATCCCTCCACCAAGGTACCTTCGGTATTGCCCACCGTCGCTGAGACAGGCGTACCGAAGTCAGCTGGCCCTGATGGTCCTGGTCCTGCGTCCGGTTCCTTGTTGGACATAAAGTCTGATCGCACGCCGCCCACTCCAGTTTATGGTGCTGCTATACCTACCTCGGCCGTCGGTTATGAGACTGCTGAGGAAGAGAAGAAGAGACTCGAGCGAGAAGAGCGTGAGAGACTCTTGAGGACAGGCGGTTCTGCTCCTCCGACTTCTGCGTCGGCAGGCGCTGGTGACGCTACCAAATATGAAAGCGCTGAAGAAGAGAAGAAAAAGTTGGAGCGGGCGGAGCGCGAACGTGTCTTGAGGGAAGGTGGTAGTGGCGGAGGTAAAGGACCAGACAACCATGGCCCGCCACCGCCCGGAGAGGGTGAAGGGGAATTGCCTCCATACCAAGAATTCTAAGTAAGACGAGGGATTTTACAACAATGTATCAGTATTGTAGTCGCTTTGGATGGACTTCTGTCACATGCACCAGCGTTCATTTGTTCTTTTCCGTGCTCTCTTATTCACACTAGCACTTGTATCTCTAGTACCGTTGGGTTAAATTGCACACAGATGTAGTGCCGTTGCTCGATGGATGCCCGTGTTGCTTTTTAGTACAACTAGGAAATTACCATTTTCGGCCCCAAGAGTTTCTAGTGTGATCGAATCGAGATTCCGATCGTCAAACCAATTTCGGCGGTGTCTTCAAACCATACATGCATCGTAACTACTCAACGTACTCAACAACTCATGACGTTCATTCCAAGAACATACGGGCTCCTTGCACTGTCATAGCTACACCTCTGCGTAAATCCAGCACTGAGTGATTCAGCGTCAGATACGAGTCATTGGATGTCGAAACAGCTACTCCGTCCGCGATTTACCCCAGAACCTTGGAATGGAGATGATCAGTCTTCTCCACGTCCCCTCGTCTCCTCAACGGATGACGAAGTGAGCGCATGGGCACGCCTTTGGTCTGTTTATCCTCTATGTTACGTTTCCAGTCTCAGTCCTCGGTCGATAGAGAAGAATAAAGAGCCTACTCCGTGGATACCCCTCATAAGATGCTCTGCAGATTTTCCTATGGAGCTTGTGAGTTGTCCTTCATCGTACATCTCCTAATTTTCACATTGCCTGACATGTCCTAGTTTGAAATCGCTATTTCTCAGTTGATCCATCATCCCGAGTATAACTCGACGCTCATTCTTCGCTCTGAAGTGGTTTCGGATAGCGAATCAAAATATCCTCCCTCCGTGCCAAGGCTGCATGGGTTGCGTTCAACGCGCACCATTCACAGAAAACTACTTCCACGTAGACCTGGACGTGATTCCGGACTCGAGCAACACTGTACATTGTATGCGGCCCTAAAGAGACGAGGCAAACCCGAACCTGTCCCTTCTGTTCTAGTTTTGACTCCAATCGTTGAAACCGGCTCAGAACTGCCTTATTACCATCCAAAGGTCTCCCACTTGGCCTTTCGGTACATTCCTACAGATGTCGAAGCTTCTAATGGCATACTTCAAGTGGAAGTTGTACCTCTGACTGACACACCAACGGATGTCAACTCGAGGCTCTACCGCACCTGCCTTGCACTTCTGGAGACGCTGCATCGGTATGGCTGGGGAGCCATGACCAATTACAAGAAGAGGGTCATCCATGACTGCATTGTACCGAGAGAACCTTATCAAGACCTTTACCTTGTCATGCGTGAACGTCATAAACATCTGGTCGATACATGGCAGGAAAGTACAGATCCTCTGAAACATGTCTTCGAAGTCAGTCGTGGTATTTCATTTTCTGCTATGGGGCCCTAGCTTAACATCAACTGGGTAGGACATAGGTATTGCAACATATCTGATGCTCCTTTGGAAAGATATGTATGCCCCTCAGACCTCATGGAGAAGAATATGGACCAATCCCTTGGAAACCGCAATATGGTTTCTCCGGGACCTATGGGGACCGTGGACAAGCGTCATATTTCGAAGGTTTCCATCTCATATGACGGAAGGTCTTCAGAACGAACCCTGGAAACGTTGGCCTCGTCCTCCTACTGGATTTCTTGACCTTGGGTGACGTCAATATAACCTCGCACTGAACATTGTCATTGATAGATTACTTTAGCTGTGGTAATGGGCTCTTGACGCATATATTGACCGCAGAAGGTTACGATGGACATGGCATTGACCTTCGTGCACGGATGTCATGGTCGCACTACCCTGAGTCCACCCAAGCCAAGTTGCATGTCGAAGCACTTGATCCCACTACCCTAAGCTCTAACGACCCCTCATCGAATGGCAGTTACCTCAAGCCTGGTGTCTTCATTATTGGCAATCATGCCGACGAACTTACGCCCTGGGTTCCAGTTCTCTCTACGCTGTGTAACGCGTCGGGTTTCCTGAATATCCCATGTTGTCCTTGGACGTTCGATGCCAAGTATGAGCGATCGAGCACGCCAAACTTCTCAACAGACTTGTCTCCAACAGAATTTGCTGGTTTGTTGAAACTTGGAGGCGATGGAAGCAATAGCAGCGCGTACTCAATGTATCGTATCTGGTTGGGTACTTTGACGTACCACTGTGGATGGAAGGTTGAGAGTGAGACGTTACGGATTCCCAGTACCCGAAATTGGGCTCTTGTCGGTACGTCTTTTACAAGCCTTAAAGAGAATGCGACGCTAATGTAAGACAGGCCGTGAGCGCGGAAAGGACACTGCTGCCGCTAGAACACACGTAGAAGAAATCATCGAAGGAGTCCAGGAACGCGGTATATTCAAAACTAGACGACCAGAAGGCAAAGCTGGTGATCATTAACATACATCCGTTACTTTGTGGTGAGTAGAAATACAATGATCCATTGAAACCGTCCTTGCCAAAGGCAACCACTAAGTACGAGTGCACTCAGGTAGAGGAACCGAGCGTGTGGATGTAAGTATCACCTGGGTTTGCGAATGACCCAAGGCTCTCTTGGCTTAGTTCGCCGTAGAGATGGGAGAGACCTCTTGACCTGAGTCCACATTGTGTTCATAGATGGGTCCCAAGCGTATGCTTCAAAATGACGAAGCATGGGGAACAATCCTCTGATGCGGCTTCCTACCCTCTCCGGATCGTCTATGCCTACGTTCCCAAGTAAGGTCAAACGTCTCAGACCGAAAGAGGCGACGTCTGCAGAGGGACATGGTGAATCAGGGCTTCCGGCCTGTGGGCCCGTTTTATCTCCATCATGACCATGGTTCGTCGCTCGCAACCGACGAGCATCTATTGGGAGCTCAAGTTGAGCAAGCTGCGGACAGAAAGCGGCGCAGGCGGCGAGAGACTGTAATGATGGACCGTTGCCGGATTTATGGCACCACAGACGGAACTCTCGTAACTCCCGCCAAGCCGAAGCCATTGAAGTGATGTCGGCATCGTCTACACGTAAGTGCCCCTCCAGATCTAATGCCACCACGCGTAGCATAGAAATGTCAACCAAAGGCCGAATAAGCTGCATGACGTCCTCGCTCTCCTTGGTCATTGATAGGCATCCTAGGAGGAGATTCATGCGGAATTCTCTGAGAGAGTTAGAGAAACGCGAATTGAGAGTGCTACAGCAAGGTTGCCACTCTTCCGGAGGATACGAATACGTGCCCTTGATGGTGATTGCACGCAAGTGTGTCGACGAAATGGAACGGACAACAGAATTGATGGAAGAAGGGGAGCCCGAGATCTCCAAAATCTGAAGAGAACTGAAGGGCACCTCAGTTTGGCCGCCGTCCATGCCAAGACTGAGGGTATTGATTTGGAGCTGGGTTAGATGTTCCATTGTCGCAAGGGTTTGAAATGTCTGGATACTTGACCAGGAACCGCAAGCGCTCAGGTCGAGGACCCGCAAGTTGCGAAGTCGGGATATGCTGGACGTGCAGGCGGAGGTGAGCGACCCCTCTACCTTCAATTGTTCCAAGTTACTGGCCACTTTAACCAAGGAGTCGAGTAGTACCTCAAGACCATGGTTTCCGTCAAACGTCTCAACCTCGTCCATGCAACTGACGTATCCAAAGGGACCAATGTCAGCGATTTTCAACGATGGCGCAACAAATAAGACCATCTCGTCTCCAAAGGTAGAAGACCTTGTCCACACGATGTGACGCAGTGAAGGTAGTAATGGAGCATCCCCTCTTGCTTGAGCAAGGCATGCAAAGACGGATGAATGAATGCTTTTGCTTGAGGAGTAAATAAAAATATGTATGCGTCTGGCGTAGGATTGGAATCGTTCCCAGTCCTCAGGGGATATGGGTGAGACGATACTCTATGAAACAAACATTTAGTGTGATCTAAACAAAGGGTCAAAACCAAGTCACGGTACTAACATATGCATCATTCTCGTTCCTGCGGAACGTTGGCAGCACTTTTAGTAAAGGCAAGATGGAGTTTTGACGTTCCCAAAGAAGGTTCAAAGCTGGTTCAGAGAATAACTTGCATGTGCGAGCCATAGAGGCAAGGGTCTTCCGAGCACTTCGGATTTTGCCCACGTAGTACCGGTCATTCCACCGATTGTTTGGAGGACGTAGATAGGAGAATACCTGAAGGAGTATTTCGTCGATGCACAAAGCTGGATGCATCTTGTGGACGGTGGTAGAGCGTAGTAGAGGTAAACGACTGCTTTACTTCGAGATCATAATGAGTAGTAATGCTGAGCACACGGGCCGCAGCGGACCGGCTACCACTGATGACAACAAGTCCGCTTCTGTCCATTCTAAGTTCAACTTGCATGTCTGATAGCAACTAGAGAATCCCGTCCATGGTCGAACTTCCTAACGAGATATGGATGCAAATATTTGAGCTCGCTCTTCACGATGAACAGCTAATTGGCCATGTCTTGCCTGATTCAACGACACCCTGCTCATGGTTCAGAATGATTTACGGCAACTGGGCCCTTCGTACACCAAGCGAACAGCTAATTGTCGCTTACGGTCAAAGATATTCTCTCCTAAAGGTGGATTGTATCCTCTATGCATTGGGACCTGGACTAATTGCTCTCCTCAGACTGTCACATTAACTTGTCGGAATTGGAGGCAGTTGATTTCCGAGTTTATGTTTGAAGCTTTGTGCTTCAATGATCTAAACCACTTCAATCAGTTCTTTGCCTTGCTGGAGAGGGACCCTACTGTTTGGAAATGGGTCCGACGGATCTCTATCATGCCCTTTCTCCACGCTAATCGATGGGACACCTCAGAGACCTTGAACACGCTCGCGTCTATTCTACAGCGTTGCAGACGTATCGAGGTCCTCGCGGCTGATTTTCCCTTGAAGGCTTCCTTCTCTCCGCTCGCGGATGTGCTATGCACACGTGCAAGAGGCCTTCGGACGTTACGTCTGAACGTATCCGCGAAATACATCAAGAAAGTTATTCTTATCCTGGAATCCCTTTCATCATTGTCCTACCTCCATCTCGAGATTGCCGGCTCTACGAGCGACGATGTCAAACTCGGTGCTGTGTCTGGGATGGCCCTCAGTTTCCCGAGACTGAGACAGTTATGTTTGCATGGCCTCATAGCGGATCTCGTCGAAGAGGCTTGTGCTTGGGATTTCCCTTCACTTGAGATGGTATCCCTTGACTTCCTACACCATCATGATCTACCAGATCTCCAAGAGTTCCTTCGCAGTCATGGGGCTCTATTAACATTCCTAGATATTGACAGCACGTCCAGTATGGATGTTGCATCCATATTGGAGCTTTGCCCCAATCTTCAGGCATTTGCCTTCAATTTGGATTGGCGACTTCCATCAACAGTTAGCGGAGCTGCCGCGTTGGTGAATTCTCCTCATCCCAACCTCACATTTATTGGCTGCCATGGACTGGCCTATGCTTTTGGAGTAGGTTATCTAGCCACGGCGGCTGCATACGACCCTTTCACCACTCGTTACATGCGACATTCGAATGACATGAACATTCTGGCCCTAAACACACGCAATTTTCCCAAACTCAAGTACGTTAGGGTGCTAAGCAGGTCACTTCTTCGCGATCTTGAGGCCGCCAATGGCCCCCACAGCACTTGTTACGACCGCTGGGCCCGCTGGTCCAACCAATGTGCTCGGGAAGGAATTAGGTTGGAGGATTGCACAGGTGATGAGCTAGGCGCCCTTCCTGATGACGGAGAGGATTATGACGAGTTTCTCGAAGAAGAGGAAGAAGAATATGAGTATGTGGAGGAAGCTGTGGAGGAAGCTTTGGACCCTATCTCGATACTTCGGAGATTGCGAGAGGAATGTCAACAAGCTGTTGCAAACCTCCAAGTTGCATCACCGGCACCATTTTACGACCAGGCCTGGATGTAAACCGAGTCAGATCCACGAAGGCATGCCCCATTGATCCCACGGGTGAGCATCCCAGGCGAGCCAAAAAATCTTCGGCTTCTGATCCATCCATGCATCGTCTACAGGCGTCCATTTTTCTTCATCTAGGATGACTCTCAGCCTCGGAATAACGATGGCAGGACGGAATAATATACATAACTGCACGCATGTAACTGTGTGCTAGAAGTCATACAAGTCTGGACGGTCTGATTTGAATGCCACTCTTTTCTTTGGTTTGGCCTTCTTGAACGCTGACGAAGATGTGGCCTGCGAGACCGATGCCTCCTGAATCATCACTTTTGCGACGTTCTCCCGGACATCTTCTAGTTGCACTTCCACCTTCGCTGACCCTTCCGAACCCGATGGGCCAACTGCACCAGGTGTGTGAGGATGATGATGCGCATGGGTTTCACTTTCCATCGCCATGGTAGTTGCGGATGGTGTCGTCCTTCGCTCGCCAACGCCACCTTCAAGATCCAGGTGCAATGTTTCGAAAATGAGTCTCTTTCTCATACACTTAAACGCCAAGTTGTTTTCGCCGGATGACGATAGTCCGCGCAAGGTAGAGAACTTGTCGCTTGGCGGCAGTAATGTATAGGGCGCAGGGAGAGAATGGATCTGAACAAATCCATGATGTGAGGGGAACATTGCTGAGAGCGCAGGGTTTGCTGTTGCATACATGAGCATAAATAATTGTATCCAGGGGTGCACTGATACATACCGGTGAAGGCAGATAATGAGACGCAAGCATCCGATAACCATCCCAACTTCTGTGTCCATCCAGGACCTCCCCAGCTGTCCGTGCAAAGATGAGGTGCAAGGGATAATGAAAGACATGTCTGCGGATAATTCCGAATCATAGAAAGCAGAGTTTGTAAGAAGTAACATAGATCCTTTGGGGGATATTAGTTACGTGAAGGAGGCAGGATGCAAAGGAGGAACCAACCTCAGGTTCAATGTCACCCCATTGAGGGCAACCCAGTGCGGGTATACATATTCGAATAGGTTTGTAGGAGTTGACCTCCTCACTCTCGAGAATATCCTTCATCGACTTCAGGATTCTTCTGGTTGAAGATTCATTCGTATGGGTTGTAATGTTCAGAGATAAGAGTTGCCCAGATTGTAGTACATGAGAGGGTATACGACAGGTCAAGTCGAATACTTTGCAAAAGTCATCGCTGCTCCTGTTGTTACCATAACTCTCGTCAACTCCAAATGTTCAGCTGCAGAAACAAACTCACGACATACTGGGATGTCGATGATACAGTAGTTTGGAACTGCTTCATCTGCTCGTATCTCCACGCGATCTTGATTTTTGCATCATGAGATTTGGCTGTTTCATCTTCCTCGTCCTCAGGAGCGGTTGTTCCAGTTGTTTGAGTTGCATGGCTGGGTATCCACATACATTCGGAGACAAATTCTTTTGCATTGTCGTCGAGTACGCAGACGGTCTGTCCACAGGCAAGCCCTTGAGCAATGAAATACTTCTGTATGAGCTCTCCGTACGCAGTGTGGACGTCGGGTGCTAAGATGAGTAGGGAGCAAGTCAAAGGTAGACCGCCGCCAAGGATATCATCGAGGGATGGTACACCAGTAGATGTTATAAAAGTTGATACAGGGCCTGGAATTACACGAGTTCCAATAGGGTTGGATATTTGGTTGGAGGTCGTTTTGCGTTTGAAGGAAGACATAGATGCTCCCGCTAATTGGCAGATGATGGAAAGAGTTAAAGATGATCGAGAAAGAATCCGCTCAGCCGGATTATCGTTTCGATCGAACCGAGGCGCCCATGTGTGTTTTGTATGCAAATATCAAGACATTGCGGCACCACAGTGACACTCCAAAAATACACAACACAACAAAGATACAATATCTATCCGGTGATACATGCACATAATGTGGAACGAACAACAGGAGACTCTCACTCCCAAACTCCACTCTGATCGACCTTCACCCTCGTATCCATCTTCGCTTTACTTCCTTTCTGACGGCCCCCAACTCTCTGAGCACCTCGTTTGGAGTGATATTTCCGTTGTTGACGAGCACGGTCCTTTGTGACCTCTGAGGCAACCCTTTCTTTCAAATCATGTTTATGTGATATTGAAAGTGCTGCTGTGCGTTCGGCCAGGGAGGATGGTGAACGAGAAGTATGTCGCGATGCAGGCGGTGAACGGGAGAGTGGACGAGAACGAGACGTGGGGGATAGTTGGGGTCCTTCGTCAGACACTTGTTTTGAGCCACTGGCTTCTGGGCGTGACGTCGATGACGACGGGCCAGCAACTGAATTCGCGATGTCTTTTGTCTCTCGCTCATTTATTGCGGCAGGTTCCTCTTCGCTTTGATCCCCAGCTTCTTCTTCCTCCTCGCTTTCTTCTTCCTCGGATTCGTCATTTTCTGAACCAGCCCGTTCTTCGTTTTGTTCCCTGACTGCATTCATATACTGGTAATTCGGTCAGAATGTAACAGGCGAGCTCAATGGCTGCAACATACCTCTTCAAGAACTTGTTGGTCACTCTTTTTGAAGCCACTCGCCGCAACGACTACATCCAATCTAAAGCCTTCACCATCTTCCGACTCTTCCTTCATCGTACTTCGGAACCGAGGATAAAGATTGCTCTCGTATTGAAAACGGCGTCGGAAGAATGTCCGAATACACTCCACGTCTCTGTTGAAGTACCTGGTATGAAGTATGAGTATGGAGTACGAGCGACTCATTATATTCAAAGAAAACTCACCATTCGGCGTTTACATGTGAGGTGCTGACCATTTGCGGGAAGTCGATTACTATTGCTTCGCCAGTATCGCGGCGAATCAGGATGTTGAACTCGTTGAAGTCACCGTGAATGAGACCTGCACGGGCGAAACGCACAATGACGTCCATCAGATTAGAATACAGTACACCTGGAGATGGGAGCGATGAGACTTGACGACTGCAAGTGTTCAATGGGTATGTCGTCGACTGAGGATGCACCAGGATAACGTACAGGGGATATGCATCAATGAATTCCATCAGGATGCAATGTCTCGCTTGGTCAATCGGTTTTGGAATGGGAAATCCATGTTCATGAAGTACCTAAAAATCATCAGCAAACATTGCAACGCAATAACAAGATAGCTGTATAGCTGTATACCTTCATGAAAGCCCACTCCTTCTGAGCAGATAGTCGAGACATGTACATCCAAGAAGCAGACTTTCGCTTGCCCATGTAGTCACGCTTCTCTTTGATAGCCCGGAAGGAAACACGCCCCAGTCTGCGCACCACCAAAATGAGACCTCGTAACACGGTAATACGAACCACATACCTATGCAGCTTCAAGACCATTTCATTCCCTTCAGCATCCGCAACAATATAGATATCTAGAGCCTTCGATTTGAACGTGACCAATGGCAAGAAAATAATCAAAACATACCGGATTCTTTCCCGACACCAATCTGATTTCCAACAGAGTACATCGAGTCTCTTTTTGAAAGCGCACGCATAGCCAGATAGTCCAGACCACCATATGTTAACCTGTAGCCGTCATCTTTAATGATATCAATGGATGGGAAATAGTGGCAACGTAGTAAACGCACATCTCGAGTTCTGAACTCGTGCAACTAGATTCCTCTTAGCAAGGGAGCCCAATATCTTATTGACACCTCCGTTCCGTAGACCGGATATTTGAACTATAAGAACAGTGGGTACAACTTCATGGTTTTTGGACCCCATCTCAACCTAATGAACATGAGCATTGTTTCATATTAAGGTTTACTTGCAAACGTACAGCAGTGAGTACTCTGAACTCTTCAGAGGTGATGTACCGGAGATCAGTAGCGTCAAGCTTCATTTTAAAGGCTAGTTTTGAGGTGCGTGTAATGAATAAGCCTTGATCTCAAGTCGGCAGAGAAATCGAAGACAGAATAGTAGTAAGGTATTTTTTATAGACAACAGAAGGATTTTATGAAGCAAGCTAGCCCGTATGTCAAGGGTGGATGGAACTAGTGAGTGCGGAGAGTAAGGAGGATCAAGGTTGCTAGTACGAGTAGAGCGCCCAAGATGATCGTGCAACCGGAAGCGCCCATAATTGAGGATGTAAGAAGGGGAAGCGCTCAATTGGTAGAGTCTGGTCGAATCTCCAACCGCGGCGGCACTTTTGAGTATGTATCGTCATGTCTTCGATATGCTTTCGAGCCGATAGATCATTCTCTGAAACCTATCAAACCTGAGATGGTGACTACGGCACGAGTCTAACAGGCAACGATACAACTGTCATTGAGAACCCACTGAGGAAGTCTTGAGATGAAACTGACTGCTGCAGTCCGGGCAGGCAGAAAGGTCAGTAGCTTCTATATATTGGTATATGCGGATTTCATCTGAAATGAAGTACCCAAAGGCAACAAGCCAAGAATTATCTTCTGGTTTCTCGCCGACTGTTCACTTGAAGGATGTTATGTAGGCGAAGCTTTCTCTCACTCAGTTCTGACGCTAACATTTGCGTTAGATACAGCATTAGAATCGCTCTGGCTTCTGAGTTGGACAAAGTTGAACGCGAAGCTATTTACGTGCTTACAGAAGCAAACATGAGAGACATGTGGGTACACTCGTGTCAAGGTTTCCATGTCCTTCGTTTATCTATCGTAGGGCTGTTCAATCTTCTACGGGATGGGATCCTTCGCAAAAGAAGAAAGAATTGTTCCACCAACACTCCAGATTTGTCATTATCTACCGCATTCCCGAAGATGTTCAATCCGACTCATCAACGTCTCATACCCTCGTTGACCATATCGTCGCTTTTGCAATGTTTCGATTTGAAGCGGAACGTGGCGAGGACATCATATATTGGTAGGTCTTTATCATCTTGCGTGCAGTTATGACATTCAAATCTGGGCTTTTGAAGCTATGAACTTCAGCTCTGGCCGTCAGTGCGACGCTCCGGACTTGGTAGGTTTATAATGAACACTCTCGTCCAACTCGGGGCAAAGTACAATATGAAAAGGGTCAAGTTGACAGTGCTCAAAGGTATGAACGACGTGCTGAACCTATTCAACGGAAGCTACAGTTTGCCTTACAGCTAATACACCGGCCTTAGCCTTTTACCATGCTATAGGGTATGTTGGTGACGTTTGCACATTCTCTCTCTCTGACCATGCGCTTTTAGCTTTACGCTTGACCCGACCTCTCCTGATTATGTGGATGAGCAGGATCCTGTGCCGGAGGAATGTGACTACCAGATTCTGTCAAAAGGAATCTGATTTGTACCATATTTTCTTGTACCAATAACACCTGACGTAGTCGCACACCAATGTAGTTCATCTTGTAGAACAGCTTCCGAATTTTTGGGAATACTACTTTATTGTTGCAGGCGTTGAGCAATGCGGGTAGGTGTGCAAACCCTAACCTGAATCATTTACGTGGGTTTCGGCGCTAGGTTGGCGCTAGGTATGAGCCTATGAGGGCACACCGTTTGAAGTAAACGTCCAGGCTGCCGTATATCATACCACCACTCATGCAGCCGTCTCTATTGCTACGAACACTACGGGCGGGCGCATCTCGTCGCCTGCCCTCAACGGGGCGCCGCTATGCATCAGGAGGACATGGACATGGACATGGACCGCAATACAATGAGCCTACTGGTTGGATCTTCGGCGAGAAGGTTCGCTACGACATCGCATGTCCGTTCTGGCGGTGGAACTCATAATAACTGTGTTACAGCCCCCGCCGCCCGGTCAGAAACGCAAGAAGCAGGGTTGGGAGAACCTTTGGTATGTTGGGATGTATGGAGGAATGGTTCTAGCTGGGGTGCTACTATACTACAAGCCTGATACAACGTATGTTGTGTATTGTCTATCTGAAACGACTTTAGCTCACAGGGGTCCTGTAGAATTCAGACATGGGCACTACAAGAAGCTAAGGCCCGTATGGAGGCTAGAGGCGAGAAGACCGACTATCCTTGATGTATCGCACCATACTGTCTAGAATTCTATAGAGGTTCGCTCGTTGCGCCAGACCTTTCGATCGACTACAAACAAGATGCCATATTATTTTGCAAATATTGTTACGGTGCTAGATCTATCCGCGTGGCCATCTACTCTAAGTCTGAGGACCCTACTCCGCCAGCCTTCCTATACGGCAGATTGCAGTCACCTTATGACTCGCAGTGCTTCTTGTAGTCCTCTTCGGTCAGGAGAGATTCAATCTGCAATAACATTTAGCGCAGGTCCAAGCAAAGTGGATGTCAGAAACGTACCTCAGAAGGGTCAGTAAGTTTGATCTTGCACAACCAGCCTAAGATTCCGTCATTAGTACCTGGCATGAAGGCTGCTAATGGAGAGCTCGTTACCATCGCCTTCCGGTGACTTGTTCAGCAGACCGGGCTGTCCATTCAGCTCTCCGTTCACCTCCTCCACTGATCCTGAAATGGGAGCGTACTACACATAGGCTTTGTGTCAATATATTCTTTGCTTCGACAAGGGAGCACTCAACTATATCTGATGCCGCCTTAACACTCTCTACCGCACCAATTTGATCTTGAATGTACAGATGAGTATCTAGAATTTGAATAGTAGCAAGTTCAACGTACCACCCTGAGCGACCTCAGTGCCAACTGTAGGAAGCTCGACGAACACAACATCTCCAAGACTGGACTGTGCGTAGTCCGTGATGCTCACAACACCAACGCCAGTGCTGTCGTCGAAAATGACAGCCTCATGGTCCTGAGTATACCTTTTAGCTGAACGTGTATTGTGTATTAGTTATTTGACCGCTCAAGTATCATTACACTCCACTTACTGACTAGCGTCCGGACGAATCCTGTAGACCAGGGAGCGCGTGCAACAGGAATGGCTTTCCTGAATGTCCGTGCTGACGCCGCAGACCTGGAGGCGACTCGGATGGCGCTGAACATTGTGCAATGGTACCGGTCAAGAAGGCAGGAAGAATTTGAATGCCTCAGTCGGAATCAGTCTATAATTTTGCGGTTTTGCACGCCGACGGCGGTCCGTCGATACGACGTCCTCTTATGGTTGTATCAACTATTACTCCATTTGTACGTCTACAAACGTCCTACGTCCTACATGCAGTTCTCAGTTTCTTGGCATCATATTCGAAACGCAGGTTTCAGAACGTGTGTAACTACTGAGCAGGGTCGACAAGTGAGTGCATGAGCAAACGAAATGTAAGCAAAGGCGACTAAACTACGAGATGGATGTCTACTTTTCCGAGGAGTGGTGAGGGTAGATGTGCGAAGATTACAAAGAGCGTATACAAAGCATGATAAAACAGTAGTGCACTCCCCCACAACTCAGATACGGGCATGCTCAAGGACCTTGGTAACGATACCGGTACCGACTAAAGGAGTGTATGTTAGCAAGTGTACGGACGAAGTGAGCGACAATCAGACTTACCGGTCTTGCCACCCTCACGGAGGGTGAATCTAGGGTTAACAGTAATGAGCAAAAAAGCCATAGCGGAAAATCAGTAAACACATACCGAGTACCAACATCAGCAGCGAGGTCATTGTAAAGTGAACAAACTACCTCAATGTTGTCTCCAGGCATGACCTTACATGAGGCGCATAAGACACGGTTCAATAGGAAGGAATTGATAACTTACCATCTTGTGCTCAGGGTCAGGAGTGCCTTCTGGCCACTCGAAGCCAACAGTGGTGTCAGCTGTGCGCAAGAACAACTGAGGCTTGTAGTTGACCATGAAAGGAGTGTAACGTCCACCCTCGTCCTTGGTTAGGATCTGTGTGCCGAGGCTATGAACAAAAGTGCAGGAAGAGATGACGACTCGGTACTTACGTAGATCTGGGCCATGAACTTCTTCGCAGACTTCATGGTGCCTGGGGCAGTAATGACTTGACCACGCTGAATGAGTTCACGCTTGATGCCACGAAGCAGAACACCCATGTTGTCACCGGCCTCTCCCTGGACAAAACAGTTTCAGCAATAGAACTTGTCCCCGAAATTGAAGAAACGTACGCGATCAAGTTCCTTACGGAACATCTCAATACCAGTGACAGTGGTCTTGATACGTTCTCCGAAGCCAAGAATCTCGACTTCATCACCCTTGTTGATGATACCTCGCTCAGCACGCCCACAAGCGACCGTTCCACGTCCAGAAATAGAGTAGGTTTCTAGGCACAGCACGTCAATAACCGTTAGTTGCATATCTATAACGCAAAACTAACCTTCAATGGGCATGAGGAAGGGCTTGTCGAGGTCACCTAGTTCGCAACTTAGTATGTATTAACATACACAAGTCCTCCGTTGCACTTACGAGGAGGAACCTCAAGCCAGTGATCACAAGCATCGATCAGCTCCAGAATCTTGTTCTTGCCAATAGCGTCTTCACGACCCTCCAAAGCAGCGAGAGCGGAGCCCATAATGATAGGTGTATTCTCGCCATCGAAGTTGTAGGTGTTTAGGAGGTCACGAATTTCCATGTCAACAAGGTCAAGAATCTCCGGGTCTTGAATCATGTCCACCTTGTTAATGAAAACGACCAGTTTTTTGATACCAACTTGGCGAGCAAGAAGCAAATGCTCGCGAGTCTGAGGCATCTGACCATCGGTAGCGGAAACGACAATAATAGCACCGTCCATAGACGCAGCACCGGTGATCATGTTCTTGATATCTGCGTTCCTCGTTTAGAAAAGAAGCAACGAAGCAGACGGTCGGTACCTACAATCGGCGTGTCCGGGACAGTCGATGTGACCATAATGCCTGTTCTTTGACTCATATTCGACGTGCGCTGAGTTGATGGTGATACCACGGGCTTTCTCTTCGGGAGCCTTGTCAATCTCAGCGTAGTCGGTGAACTTGGCACCTCCGGATTCTGCGAGGACTTTTGTAATGGCGGCCGTCAAGGTAGTCTTTCCGTGATCGACGTGGCCTACATGGAGGGTTAAGCAGACTATACATGTGCCTAACAAAAATGAACTCACCAATGGTACCAATGTTCAAAAAGGGTTTCGACCGGTCGAACTTGGCATCAGCATATCCCCTACGGATGACTATTGAAACAGTCAGAGAGCTTCAAGTACACAGATATCATCACTAACCAAGGCTGACACCATGCTTTTGAAGGAGTGACGAGTGGGTAGGATATGCGGGGCTCCGCGCCGCTGTCCTGGCACAAACAAACAGTGATTGGGTAGCTGTTTCGCCGATTCAGCAGGTAACGAGGTGAGAAAAGCTGGTATACAAACCTCGAGAGCTATAGAGTCTGCGAGCGGCTGCACGAGTCGAAACCAACTGAGTCCTGAGCATGGTTGAGAGATATGGTGGATGAACGAGAAGTTTTGACTGCACACGAAGTGGAACGTCCAGACAGAGGCGCCCAGGTCCCTCGCTCCGGCAGCGACCGACAGGACGCCGATCGCTTGCTTTGAGCGAGAGAGCTTGGTGGACGGCCGCGATGTCTTCGCCAGAACGACAAGAACTCATTCGCAATGCTGTCTCCTTTCTCGCGGACCCAAAGGCGAGCTCATGCAGTCATAATGTATAAAGATGATCCTTACACACTTGAAGTTGTAGACCCAATCATCACCACTTGCGCAACGCATTCAATTTCTCGAAGCAAAGGGATTAACTCCTCCTGAGATTGAGGAAGCTATCAGGCTAGCAGGTAGCAATCAATCTGCACATTCAATACCAGTGCAACAGTATGGTCCAAATCCTTATGCACCAGTATACGGCCCATTACCCCAACCATGGGACTGGAGGGATTACTTCGTGCGCATTGTCTCCACTGACTAGGCTTCTTGCGGCCGAACTCTTATCATAGATAACCTCTATCGTTACCGGTGCTGTCGCCTATGGCGCTGTGTCACTATTCCGAGTGAGAATGTATAGTTACAGTGCTGCTACTTAGTACTGACGGCGGTGTCCACAGAAATACGTTCTTCCTCACATGCGACCTCCGTCTGCTACAGCATATGAAGCGGATCGTGATGCACTAACCGCTCAGTTTGATGCTGCTGAAGCTTTGCTGAAGGAAATCCAGGAGGAGACAGCAGCCGTCCGGGCTGCTGTAGAAGAGCAGAAAGCTAAGGTGGACGCTGCGACGGAAGAAGTCGCAGAGGTGGTGAAGGACATGAAGGAAGGGGAGGCACGTACGAGAGATGAAATGCGGGAAATTCGTCAAGAGGTCGATAATGTCCGTGACATGCTACCGAAGGTATGGGCTTTCCGACATTATGCTCTATCCAAATTTATATCCTGCTTTTGCAGCTTATTGAGAAGAATAAAGAGAGCCAATCGCAATCCATGGCAGAGTTGCAACAAGAACTAAAATCTTTGAAAGCGTTGCTGCTGAGTCGTGGGCCAAGTATTTCTAGTGGAGTGTCTACACCCGTGCTTCCCAAACCTTCAATTCCAGCATGGCAGCTCTCTGGTGCCAGTGCTAGTGCACCATCCACATCGCCTTCTCCGATTGCTCCTCCACCCACAATTGTGGTCCCGAATGGGAAGGGGAAGGAAGTTGATGTTGGCGATTCAGGTAGCTCATCTTCATCTTGAGCCCCTGTGCCCATGTATGTGTTATAATATATACCATATGAACTGGATTGTTTGTACTCCACTTAAACTTCTCCGTGGAAATCCTGTCGTTTACTTCCCGCGTACTTGATCGAGTTTCTATTATGAGCGCGTGCGGAGGCTGAGGTGAGCTAGCTCACAGCATTCATTCTCACTCTCCTTGGCTACCTCGTGTCATCACATACACCCCTCACTCTTTACTACGTCTTCTGCTTTGTCTACATACCCCTAAACTTGTAATATGTTCACACAATGGCGACAAGCGGTTGAAAGTCTTGCACAACCCCAGCATTCACCCAAGCCGTCTCAGGATGGGATGGCTGATGATAATGCTGCGCGGTCCTCTTTGGATGCAGCAGTGATTCGTCAATCTCTGTCATCCTCTACACAACTGGCCGAGTCAGCGTTGACGAGTCTGAAAAAGTCATTGGTTGCGCAGCGGTCTATCAGTCCGGCTGCGAGCAAAGGATCCCCACCAGACGCACGTCCAAGGTCTCCTGCGACACGCACCACGCTGGAGGACAGACTTAGGGCCAAGTTTACCATTGGAGACGCGTCTCCGAGCACTTCACCCAACCCTTCCATGAAGACATCTCGTGTCGGTTCACCCGTGATCGACCATCCGCTGTCGCCTTCTTCGACACCATTACCTGCATCTCCCTCCGCTAGCATGGAGATCAAACGGCCATTCTCTCCAGCTTCCACACCGTTACCGGATTCTCCTGCTCTTGTGCCGACATCTGCGTCACAGGAAGAGGTAGTTTCTCATTCTCTCTCAGAATCGCCATCGCAAACCATGGATGATACCCCGGCCGGCTCAATACCAGATGACAATGCAGAATCACTGACAATGGAGATTAGACCCGAAGACTCTCATTCGCAGTCTGAAGCTATATCGGCTCATTCTGTGTCAGATGAGCTGCAGGCAGGTGATTCTGACGCGCATACTGGTGGTCAGGATGAAGAGTCCCACATTGAGGCGGATGAACCACCAGCGGATTTGCCTGTCTCAGCATCACAGCCAGAAGACATACAGTCGGATTCTCTGCAGGCAGAGGTTGACCTTACTGTCACTCCGCCTGTGGATGAAACTGAATCTGGCGAAACTACTCCTCCGAATTCCACGGATACAACCATTCCTTCGTCTAGCGAGCATGTTGACTCTGTTGACGAGGTTAATCCTGAACCGGTGGCATCTTCAGAACTACCTAGTGTAGAGTCGGATACAAACCAGGACTCGAGCCCTGAGAACCATCCCAATGGCGATGTTCTACCCAACGGCGATTCTACAGAACTTCCAGACACTATCACGCCTGAACCTGCAGACCCGCTTCCGACTGTTGATGTCGAAGGACTGCAGAAACGCCTCAAACTCGTCGAACAGCGGTTTACAGGTACGGTCGAATTCGCTCTTTTGTATTCTGTTAGTAACCGACTTTTGCTTGTAGATGTCTCTACTTCTTTCAAAAGGCTTCAAGCTGAAAAGGCAGCAGCCGATCGTATTCTTCGCGAGCTAACACCTCTGGAGAGCGTACAAGAGACAGATGCTCTTCGTGATTATATCCAGAATATGAACATGAAGACGGAGGTACATTTTTCTCGTTCTTTTCTTAGTACTCCTGCTGATACTTTGTAGATGGCGCAAGACGAGATTAGACGTCTCATGGGCAAACTGACTAGTACGTTCATGGATACTTGCCTCACTTCGTCATGCTAATGTTATATTGCTCAAAGGACAAGATGAACGTATCGAGGAATTGCGCGACATACATCGATTAGAGTCGAAGTCGCAATCCGACCAGATTGACAAACTAAGAGCTCAGGTTGAAGGGGTCGAAGCACTACTCAAGGCTTCACAAACTTCTGTCACCCAAAGCGAAGAAGAGTCAGTCAAGTGGAAAGCCGAAATCGAGCGCTTGCGAACAGAAGTGGATCGTGCGAAAGGTTCTGCCAAGGAGGAGGAAGAGAAGCGAGTCAAAGCCATTGCACTACTGAAGACTGTCAGACAAAAGTTGGTGAAAGCTGAAAAGGATCGGGATGATGCGTTGAAAGAGGCGCAAGGTCTGAAGGAGAAAGAAAAGGAGGAACGGGAGAAGGAGAAGGCCGAACAACAGAGGCTATTGGGCGAAGTGCAGAAAGCAAACAACGAGCGAGAAGTGGCGGTCTCAGGTTTGAAAGTGCAGTTCGATAGGGAAGTCGCTCTCCTGAAGGAGCGGCAAGAGAAAGAAATGTTGGCGTTGCGTGGTCAATTCGAACTTGAGGTCATTACAGTAAAGGTTCGAGGCGTTCGTTTGTTGCATTGGATATATCTCATTGATTATTATAGGCTTCGCATTCGAAGGAATTGGATACCAGGAATACCCGTATATCGGAGCTTCAGACGACGGTTCAGACGCTTTCTGGAGAAAAGTACGAACTTTTCGACCAGTTGCAAATGCGACAAGCCGAACTTGAATCTTCTCAGTCGTTACTCGAATCTCTGCAAGGGCAAACGGTTGAATTCCAATATCAGATTCGGGAAGCCAACGATCGCGTTGCTCTTTTGAACGAAGAACTTGCTGATGCCAGGCAGGAACAAGTTCAAAAGCCTTACGATTCTGTGCCTTCGACAGAAGATGTCTCTCGTCTACTTTCCGCTGCCGAAACAAAATATGAGGGAAGGATAGCTGAACTCCGCAATCACATCTCTACAGTCGAGCGCGAGCGAGACGAGGCGGAGATGGAATGGAGTCGCAAGCTCACCGAGAAGGTCAAGGAGATAGAGTCGCTGAGAGGCGTTCTCGATATATCAGCAAAAAACCAAGAAGATGCTGCTGGAAACAGCAACCTTCTGCAACAGGAGATCGAGCGACTCCAAGATGAGATACGTACTTACCAAGCGATGATCTCTGACCTGCGCGCTCAAGCCGGCAAAGTCACTGAGATTGAGGTATGGCCCTATATACTTATCTCTTTTCATATCTTTTATCATCTCTTTGGCAGAACGCTGCTCAAACCCAGCTGGCCGAGGCGAATGCTCGATCGAACGCTCTTAGGCAGCAATACGAAGACAGTAAAGCTAAGGAAGCTCAGCTGAAGGCTCTCAATAAGGTAATTACAACCCTTATTTCCCTTGATTTTAGCATGACGACAGCATCCCCGTAGACACTACGTGATGAGCTACGCAAAGTTCAGTCCTCCGCGGCATTGCTCGAGAAACAACGAAATCCCGGTGTTGGTTATTGGGCCTCTCGTCCTGACAGCTCTTCAGATCTTCGCTCGCCAAGATCATCTGTGTCGGACCTGCCTAGTCAAGGTTCCAGACCGGGTTCCCCTGCTACTGTGAAGTCCGACGAAGAGGTCAACTTTGAGTATCTCAGGAATGTCATATTACAGTTCCTGGAGCACAAGGAGATGAGGGTATGTATTATCTTGCTTGCTTCTGCCATTAAATGACTGACTTGCTTGTAGCCTCATCTTGTGAGAATCCTGTCGACTATTTTGCACTTCACACCGCAGGAAACCAGGAGAGTCATTTCAAAAGTCTAGTCGATCCCTTCCGCAACATAGCTGTGCTCGATGAGATATACAAATACATACTGTACATTTGACATAATTTGATGACCTTGAATTGCTCGGGAACATTCTACTTGTTATAAGTAAAACAAAAACGATAGCGTCGGACCCTGCGTGATCGAAGACTGATCGAAAGTAGCGATCGTGTCTTGTCATTTCGTTGACGCCGCTTCCTGGTTGCAATTGCTTCTGCGCACTGACCACAACATGTCTCTCAACGAAATTACAAGGAATTGTTACCAGAATGGCATAACTGCGAAGAAAGTATGTCTGCATGCTTCGTTGCATTGACAAATCTTAGTCTAATTATAGGTAGTGGTTGAGCTTATGCAAGCTATTCGCATCCAAAAATGCAGCGCACTCAACACCAGAAGCGTTGCAGATGGAGATGTGCCGTTCGTTTTCATCTCCTATCACAACTCGTTTATTCATGCCTAATTATTAAAATGCGGCCAGATTCAGTCTTGGCTTTGCTCAGTAGCTACCCAGGTGACGCTTCACTGCGCCGCTATCTGAAGACTGCCGTCGAAGACGGTTTCTTACCTCTCCACACATTTGTATCCTCCTTTCTACTCGGAGTGCGCTCGACAGAGTTGCATGATGCTGACACGTTAGATATGCTATGTCGTGTCGCGCTTGATAGCTACCATACATCAGGCAACCAGCCTATTGGTTCACTTGTCTCAGCGGGAACGTCATCAGCAGACATCCTTACACCAATACAACTTACGCTACAACTTCTGAGAACGGCCAGCTTGTTGCCTATCACACCACTCCATCCCCTACACAACTCAGCCTCAGAATTGTTATACCTATTACTCTCCTGTGTCTCTGATGTCAGCACTATCCCAACGGCGCACGCTTTCTCATTCATGAATGAGGCGGCAGACGCCCTTCCTATAATACGTTTGCCTCCAATAGTTCGACAAAATCTTGAAAACATCTTGCTTCAACTGTACCAAAACACGGATGACACGCGGCTCGCCTTGGATACACAGGTGGTTCATTCCCAACAGTTCGCAGGGACTGGCGACATCATAGGCCCTAGTTCGGAATCCGACATCGTCTCATTCAGTCTGTTGTTTCAATCATTGGTAAGACACTTGCAACTCATCATGTCATTCTGGCTAAACATGTGGTAGTTATTGTATAGAGGTAGAGAGTATGGGGCAGGAGATGGGCCACACGCTGTCGCATTGCTGGTCTCGTTCCATAGATTGTCCTCCTGGAATCCGGCCACATTCTACAAGCAATTACTCCATTCCGCCATCAACATGCTAGCGCATGTCAATATCTCAAGTTCTGGCGGCGCCCAGTATCTTATTACACGAGCATTTATTACAGGCCGCGTGGGTGCTTACGTTTTGTTTTCATACGCCTACTATGCTCACAAGCATGTTAGCTCCCAGCACTGCTGGCGAAATTCGAGGAGGTCGAAGTCGAAGGTACCAAATCTGACTGGGTATGGGATATAACAAACCCTTTTTCACATGTACTGATTAGTTCGTTGTAGCGCGGAGCAATGCATCTGGCGGTGCCATCGTTATTTCAGCATTCTGTCCTTCTTCAAGGATGTGAGGTCCCATTAGACCCTCATGCCAGTGATAGCCAAAATTCAAATTCATCGACGTAAGCGCAATCTCTGTTGAATCATATTTCTACGTTTACCATTTATCAATAGGAGCAGGTCAACATCTTTCATAGGCGAACTGATACACCAATTCTCGGAATTCGGGTTGGTAGAGCAGTCGTTTGTTTCTACCATGTTCCCTACTCAAGCCAACGAGTTTCACTCCAAAATATGGTCAGAGGCTCACGACGCAGGGCTAGAAATCAAGGTAGTTAGAGATGACATCTTCCACCTACATCTCAGACTAAGTTTTAACCTTAGGCATATTTGGAAACAAAATTTGCTGCTGACAGCAGTGAGGACGATATAGCTGGTATCGTGCAACGTATCTTGAAAGATCCGTGCAGCCATGCAGCCTTTTCAGAGCTCATACTCAAGGTAGAGGACATACATGCAGTGCTATCTCCTGAATGCTCACGTTTACAGTGGTTTCTCGCTCAAGCGTCTCCGTTGGACATCGAACCATTAGACCATCTATGCAAGATCTTGCAAAGCCATCCAGAAATGATAGACATTCTGTCGCTACACATCAAGCTTTCGATGCTGGCAAGTCCTGCTCTGGCTCTTTTAGAGGACTATGAATGTGAGACCGTAGGTGTGTATGTTACTGTCTTTCTTCCAAGGTAGTACTGATGGTTTCGCAGGCGACCCTCAGACAGCCGTCAGTCACTTAGGCGGCATCGTGCTGTTTCTACAGTCTATCCTTGCCCGATTCAATGTAAGTGACATTTGTGAAACCGCCTGCAGTCTCTCATTGCGTTTAGCTCCCCGCTGAGAAACTTATGCTTGGAGAGAGGAAGCTCAACACGGCCATCCTCACATCCGCCCATGTCATCTATCGCGTGGAAGAACTGAAAGGTCCGGAGTCCGTATCCTTCCATTCGTGGTCCAAAGCGTTATTCGACAGCGGAAGTGAAGGTATTGAAGACGGGATACTTCGGTATGTGTTTATGTCGAATCTGCCGAGTAAAGTCATGCTGAATGCATACTAGATCTACTCCTCCTCGAACCCTCTTGAAACTAGCTGCAACTTTGGTATCATCTGCGATTCAGTCGTGTTCTGACCGGAAGATCGACAAGGACGTTTTGAACAATGGCATTTCGTTCTTCCGAGGGCCGTTACTCAATTGGACTCTAGCTGGGATCGTGAAGATGCTATTGCTAGAGATACAACATCGCAGGTGCGTGTTAGAGACATGTGATCAGGGTCGCATATGTGTGCTAATAGCTATGTACAGATTCATAGCACCTCTCCATCTGGACGTCTTGCAACAACTGGTCACGTTTCAACCGTTTCCGAAAATAGTCCTTCACCTCTCCGCTGGTGCCATTCTCCGATTATTCACACAGTCAACACCAATACAATTGTCTCAAACTGACACTTTTGATCCAACCTCTATCCGTCGAGTCGCTCTTCAAACACTTGGGGTCTCCGACGAAAGTAAGGAAAATTTGGCATAACTGTTTTGCAGCAAGCTAACAACGGATATCTCAGGTACCACGAATACCAATCTATCTTTAACTTCAGGGCACTCAAAAGGTCACAACAGTGCCCGCGAGCTTATACAACATGCCCTGACAGACGCAGCTACTGGAAAAGCTCCGATCATTGATGTCGAACGTTGTCTTCTCCTAATGCCACCCACACAATTCTTGCCAGCACTGTACTCAGAACTAGCCGCCATAAGGCAAATCGAAACTCCTCGGCGGATCGCAACCCATATTCTTGCAACACCCCGACCTTCATCCTCGCCGCCCTTACTGCCAATCTTCCTCCACGTCACCCTTCCAACGCTTATCACCTCAATTGACAAAGTTTCACCAACAGAACAAGCTATCGCCACCGACCTTTTAGTTGCAATCATCTCATCCGCACTAACAGCTGCACTGCACACTGAATGGGCACTCGTCTCTGTATGTAGTGAGCAGCGTTTTGTTCTTGGACAGTCTACAACGATTCTGGCTCGGAGGTTGGGTGGTGACTTACGGAGAAAGGCAGGCAAGAGCCCTATGAGTGGTGCAATTGCTCGACGTCTGGCTTCATCGCAACCGTTTGTTAGCAATTTTCCTAGTTTTATGGCAGAGGTATAGATAGATATCCATGGTTATACTAATCGGGGTAGTGTACGGGGGGGTTTAGATGACAAAGTATGGTTACTACAAAGATGAAACAAATAGTCAATAGCAAGGAAAGACATGAAGTTAAACTTCGGCAGGAGGGCGGGCTGGAATGCAATGATTTAGCCAATAGGATGAGAATAGCAGTTCAAAGACATACGGCAGCAAGCATTTTCAGAGGGGTTACAATATTGATCCGGAGGACACGGAATCAAGCAGGACGTCTCCTCAGAAGTCTAGACAAGTCAACATCAGGTGAATGATATCCAATCAATGGACCGTTCTGCGTACCTTCAGATGTTCTTCCGGCGGAGAGTGCCTTGGATGATGGTATTCGGGCTGGATAGTGCTTGAATGAATTCCATGTTGATGTAGGGCTTTTCGGATAGCTGCAGCCACAGGCATGAAATCATGGCTTCTAGAGGCTGTAACGTGCACGGAAGCGACGATCTTGTTCTCCGAGAGCTGCCAGATATGTAGCTCGTGCAACGACAGAACACCGTCTACGGCCAAAATGGCGGCGCGGACTTCGTCTAGAGAAACGGTAGAGGGAACACCCTGCAATAAGATAAATGAAGTGCTGCGGACTGAATATCGATCAATATGCATATTAGCTTGAATGTAAGATAAGAGCACACGCGAAAATCACGCACCAAGAGGCAAAGCAGATGAAAAGATAATCGCAGTGATGACTAGACTGATCATCGGGTCGAAATAATACTTCCAACTCCAGGAGGTGAGCCAGATGACCAGACCTGTCGCAATAACGCCAACGTTGCCCAATGCATCGCCAAAGACATGCAACAGAAGGGCACGCATATTCATTGAGCCGTGAGAATGTCCCGGGCCACCATGAGCGTGGCCATTAACCTCGTGGCTTGAATGAGAAGACGACGACTCAGACCTGGAGTCCGGTGGTAATAATGGCATTAATTCATCTGTAGGGGGCTCTTCATCGGCAGGCGTCCTCGTCGCTGTGGGAGTAGGGGATTCACTTCCAGAAGTGGGCGTTTCCTCTTCGATTTGTGTCGTGTGTCGGGAATGAGAACGACTATGACGAGGTTTCTTCATATGGGTAACTGGGGATGGTGACCTCGCTTGAGCCATTTCTTGTGCGGCTTGAACCATGGAAGCCCTTGTTGCAGCTGGATGACCGTACATTGATGAATATGACTCTGAACGTTCACGCGAGGCTCGGATCCTTTTTGGTGAAGAGTCTCTCGATACACGTTCAACTTCCTGGCCGCTTCTGATACTAGGAGGACTAGAAGTTGCAATAGGGACTATCGGAATCTCTGCCACATGACCATGTTCTACGCCCTTGTCAGATGTGGAACAAATGTGGAAATTTCTAAATCAACAGACCATGGAACAAGAAGAGGCCGACTATATTGGAGGCCAGACCGAGTGTCCCAACTAGGACCACAAGACGAGGCTGTGATATCTCTACAACATTTGAGTGATAAGGCGTGAGAAGCGGTTTGAGATGTACTCACCCGGGACACTGAAGAAACGTTCAATTGCTTCTAAGGATATCGAGAAACACAGGGCGAGTAGGAATACACCATTGACGAGAGCCGCAAGGATTTCTGCGCGATGCCAGCCATATGAATAGCGAGAGTCGATATGAGTTTGACTAGAAAGCTAAGAAAATGCGAAGGTGTCAAGGATTGGATTACGGAAAGGACAAGGATAAGTGAGAGGAACATACCTTGATGGCATACAGAGCAACAGCTAAGCTCATGACGTCGCTAGAAGAACGGAAAAGTTCAATGATGGACCTCCTATGAAAACTCTTCGATCCTTACTTCAACATGTGGAAACTGTCTGCCACAAGGGCCAATGAACCCACGGCATACCCTATAGCAAGATGACACCATTAATCAACGTGGCGACGGATATGAAGCAATTAAGACTGACCGACAATGAGCTCCACGAAGAAGAACAGTGAATCGATGACCAGAAGAATGTATATCCTTGCAGCGCGATTCATGGTGGGAGCATAAAAGTCACAAGAGCTTCTGGGGTGCTCGCCCTCAATGGGGTGGGCTTGGTTGGGAGGTCAAGATGCGAAGTGGACGGAGTTGAATGTTTGTGGTAAGGTCCCAACCAGGCCTCAGTGGGCCTGAGGTCATCGGCCGATACCGGCATTTTCCGGCGTTGCACTCCAGCGTTCCGCTTGGTCGCGAACAGGTCGAGACAGGCGTAAATTAGAGTTTCGTATAGAAATTATGCATTCCAAGACAACTTGTATGATCCTCTACAACGAAGATGCATACGCGTCCTATTCCTGCGATTAGATTTCCAGTAGTTGTCAGTTAGAAGCGCCATTTGTCCTTGTTTGTCAAGACCATTGACGCCCAAGTCCTGTTCTGCAGTTTTTCCTGTCCGTAAACACTACAAGCAGCGTTCTGCACCAAAAGGCCAAGCTTACGATCCTCACGCTCATACCATAGACTAAAGCACTAGCATTCACTCAAAACTCATCATGGCTGCCACACCTTCTATGGCTGCAGCTCTTGCTGCATCACTCCCTGCACCTCAGACCGCACCGACTCCAGCTGCTCCTACTTATGAAGCCATCCCTGCTTCTATGTCTAAAGTTATCGACATCGAGGCCGACATTCCTGTAACTTCTGTTCAACTCGATGGTCTGGTGAGTGTTTAGGGCTTTTATGGATACCCAGGATGGTCAAATGTGGCCGATCGAACGTATTCCAGAGGGAATTAAGTGACAAAACGTGCTCAGACGTTTATTCCTTGTGTTAGGTTGTTTCCAAAATTATCAAGCACTCGCGGGAGGCACAGGGCTCTAATGCTCACGGACTGCTGCTCGGTCTCGACATTGACGGCACACTAGAAATTAACAACTCGTTCGCGCTTCCTCACCATTTCACCGATGACGATGACAAGTCGATAAAGGGTGTTGGTGAGTACCTTGTGACCTCATTCATATCTTGCTTCTTACATTATCCCGCCCTCTATGAAGCACGATACCAGGCGTCAATGCTGCGATCATTGAAGGAAGTCCAGGTGGATGATAGTGTCGTTGGCTTCTACCAAGCGATGACTCTTGGTTCATTCTACACACAATCACTGGTGGAGACACAGGCTCTGCACCAAGACAAGCTTAGACACGGCGGTATCGTGATTGTGCATGGTGAGTTGTCTCATTTGAGGTGAAATATGCCGGTACTGATTGATGTTATGTAGACATTTCACAGACTGCGCGGGGGAACGCATCATTCCGTGCATTCCGACTGACAAAAGCATTTTTGGATGCATACAAGCGAAACAACTTCAGCACGGATAGGTGTGATTTGATGCTATGTGATAATAACACTGTCATGCTAACTCGCTTTATGTAGCTTGATCGACCACAGACTGACATTTTCGTCTATTGTCGAGGAGATTCCATTGCGTATTCGCACAAACCCGCTTCTTAGCTCTTTCTTGGAGACATTAAGTGCTCCCGCGCCGATGCCCTCTGTCGACATCAAACCGACAACAGCCACCTCGACAGCTGCTATTCCGCCGTCGTTCTCGGTGCTCAATCTGGGCTCGGGTAACATCTCGCGAAACATGGAACAAATCGTTGATGCTCTTGACAGCTACAGGACAGAGGAGGGCAATTTGGCGTACCTGCAACGACAGATTGCACGGGAGAAAGTGAAGGCGGAGGGATACATTGCAAAACGGAAGGAAGAGAACGCGTCCCGCGTTGCACAGGGACTGGCGCCTCTTCCGGAAGAGGATGTGAACAGACTTTTCAAGATTCCAGCAGAGCCGAGCAGGCTGGAGAGTATGCTATTGTTGGGCCGGATCGACGCCTATTCGAAGAGTTTGGAGGGGACATCGAGCGCTGGACTTGTCAAGATGTACGCTGCAAAGGGTAGTGCGGGTGCTTGAACAAATGATGTGATTGACTGTTTCCATAGTACGAGATGTTTGGTATTGAGTATCCGGCGTGAAATGAGAGCGTGCGAGAGGACGGCCGGGCAGTACCCACCGAAAGATGCATCGCGAGGGGGTGGAATGCAGGGGAGTCGAAAATAACCGCACCCCCGGCGGTTGCTATCGTTGTGAGGAGAGCCGGGCCTAGGCCGATATTCGTATAAAGTAAAGGGACGCGATAGAGCGCCTGGTTTTCAGCTTGTCCTCGCCGTTTCCTGACGTTGTTCGACAAGAGTGTTTTCCTCCTTCGTTTTTTCCCAGCTACGTAAACTTTGGGGGTTCCTTACCTCAGTCCTCTCCCTCCCTTGCCAATCCTTTAAAGGCCTCGTTCTTTCTGGTCTTACCTTTCCTCGACTCGGTTCGACCCCCCAACTTCACATATCACTAAACACGCTCTCTCCGAATCATGTTCGTCACTAAAGCTTTGCTTGTAGCCTCTGTCGCGCTCTCCGTCAGTGCCCTCACCACTCCACACGTCGCCCGCAACTCGCATCACCATGCCATTGCTGCGCGTGTTGCTGTACCAGAGGCCCAACCAGAGCCTGTAGTACACGTTCGTCCTGCTCCCCGTAAGCGCAGTGTTCAGCGTTGCAGAGCGCCGGCCAGCAGCAGTGCCGCACCATCATCATCTGCCGCACCATCTTCGTCTGCTGCGCCATCATCATCTGCTGCACCGTCCTCCTCTGCCGCACCCGCACCCGTCAATAACGTCGGCGAGCTCCCTCCCCTCTCGTCGATCCTTTCGCCTGTCGATCCTCCCAAGTCGACAGAGGCGCCTCCCCCAGCACCCTCTACCACTAAGGCACCACCGAAAACAACCGAGGCGCCCGCTCCCACCACGACCGAAGCTCCTGCCCCGCCGAAGACCACTGAGGCACCGCCTACTACTACCAAGGCCCCTCCCAAAACCACCGAGGCTGCTCCACCTGCTACTACCGCGCCCTCCGGCGGTAACGGTGGCGGTGACCCCTTCTCTGGTGATGGTACGTACATTTTCACCCACTCAACGTACCGGGCACTGACTTGATATGTTTAGGTACTTTCTACGATACTGGTCTTGGTGCATGCGGTATTAACAACAATGACAATGACTTTATTGCCGCCATTGGCCATGGGGCCTTCGATTCATTCGCGTAAGTTGCCCACGCAGACACTACAAGCACGTGTATTTATACTTTACTTCAACAGTGGCTACAACGGTGCTAACCCGAACAATAACCCCATCTGCGGCAAGGAGGTTCTTGTTCACTGTATGTTATTTTAACCCTGATTGTTCGAGCAACATGCTGATGATTATCTGCAGACCAAGGCAAATCAGTCAAGGTCAAGATCACGGATCGTTGCGGCGGCTGCAATAACCCCAACAGTCTTGACTTTTCTCCTGCTGCCTTCAGACAGCTGGCGGATGAGAGTGTTGGCCGTATTTCTGGCATCACCTGGAACTACGTCTAAGTTCCCCCGCTATACCCGCTTTCCCTTGTTTTCAATCGCATTTTAATCTTTTCACGATGTTATAAAGGTTCATTAAGCATTTCTCATCCCTCAGCGCCTGGGGCGTTCCGTTCTGTGGTCCCTTGCATGCCGGGGGGTCAGAATGGCTAGGAGGGGGTATTACCGAGCTTGTCTCGTCATCTTACACTTCGGTCGCCTGCTCTGGTTGCACGCGCTTTATCACTGTCTTATTAAGCACTTGCTGCTTTGGGGTACAACAGTTTCGATAGAGGTTCCATACCACAACACTACAACTTTACAATAACATACTGTTTCGTACATCATTGTTTTCGCTTGACGTTGGTCGATCCGAGATGTTGTGATGGATCGGCGGCATTCAAAGCTGCGTTGCAGACGGAACGTGCTGTTACTTGACGAACGTCCGAACTTGACGCAGTACAATGAACTACTAGTCACGCATGACGGACACCCAGTAATCCCCCTCACCAGCGTCTCTAACAGCCTCATGGATGGCAGCAATCAGATCAGCCGCATCTCCATCTGACGTTGGACACAACGAGGCCCCAACGTCTAATGCCAATCTCCGCAAGGGAGACGGCGGAAGTTTCGCAAATGGCCCCGGGAGTTTGCCGCGACTGGGGTGGTTGATGACAAAATAGGGTGCGAGCCGGGAGCGAATTGCACCAAGCGTTTGCTGCAAAAGGGAAGGTAGGCAATGAGCAATTCAATTTCGGAGGTAGATACACCCGCTGGAAGGACGAATTCCGCGTGTTGGTACTTACCTCGTTGCAAAGCAAGGAGAATTTCCGTTGACGAAGTCGCAGCAAGAGACGGAAAATGACCTGCAAATTCACGGTATCCTTGTCAACACACACAAAATTTCATGCTTTTTGGTTGGGGAAGAACCCATTGTGACGAACCTCCGTGGACGCCTGGTTATTGCTTCCGAGCTCCCACACCGTCTTGGGGAGATGCAATAGCCATTCACTCAATTTGTGCCCTTCTTCGGAGTCCCATTCGATCCGTATGGGGCCACGATATTCGGGCGTAGTGTTGAGCTTAAACAGACTTCATTATGAATTGGGGGCACAAACGGACATGAAACTGAGTAAGCTTACAAGTATGAGTCGCCCCAAAAAGTCCAGAGTGTGTATTTTGACTGCGGATGTCGAGGACACCTTAATCGCATGTTCTATCACCGCAACTAACAGCGACTCTGAGTCTTGCGAGCGTTCCAGAGCAGCATGGTTGATGAGGGCCCATATGGTTGGGAGCAGCGCCGAGTACACAGAAGGCGCAATCGGACGAGGAAGTGTCGCCTGCACGCTTCCTGATGGAGGTTCTCCGCGAAGGAGACGCACGACATAGTCGTGAACGCGGTCAACTTGAAGTGATGTAAGGTGTGTTGGGGTGCTCGCCGGTCTCTTTCCATTAGACGAGCGCGATGTTGACACATGTTCGGGTGTGGGAGACACCAAGAGCAGGAGCGAGGTTAGTTCGCAGTAAGTTATGTTGAGGTCTTGGAAAGCTTGTTCGATCTACACGGTAATTCAATTTTGGGGGTGACGAAATCTGTGAGGAGGACATACCTTGATGTCCCTTTTCGCGAGGATCGAGCCACTAGGCACAAAAGGAAAATATGGGGACATATGACCAAGGAAAGAACTGAGGTCCTCGATGACTTGATATGACGGAGTGACGTTCTAGATGCACTCAGGTTTACTGAAAGAAGCCATGTGATCATGTCAATGAGGACTTACAGTGGATGCATCTTGTAACAAGGCGCCATATAAGGAACGAGCGATATCGCTAATCGTAAGGATCATGTTCAGCTCCGTCTCTGGTGGGCTTGAACTGGGTGAAAAGACTGCTGGAGCGCAATCGAGCAGCGTCGACACCAACGTCGCGTGCAACATTTTGGTAAGATGCTGCAGCCAGCGTAAGGTTCAGTCAAACATTACAAAGTTGTCACACCTTACTTACCAGAACATGAGTGTATTCCGCATTTACACCCGTGCTGGACTGCCCACCGTCAACATCTTTTCCAAGTATGGGAAGCTCGACATTGGTAAGGTCTTGAAGACTCCACGAGTCTCCTATATGAGACGAAGCGAGGGTGAAAGCTCCAACAAAATCATCTTCTGTTGGATCAGTTTCTTCAGCCCATTGGCGTGTAGCGGTTTTGGTAGGATCCGTGAGTGTCGGTCGTAACAGAGAGTCGAAGGTCTCGAATGCGCTTTGCGATGAAAATGAAGATGCGAAGAATCGAGTGGGGGTACTTGAACTTGAGGAAGAGGACTGGCTTGCTTGCTTCTTGACTGCCAACGCGCGATTCAAGAACGTTGCAAGTGATTTCAACACGACAAGTTTCGACTGGAATAATTGCGTCAGAATAATTGCGTCTATAATGGTTAAAACTAGGTCTTACTCCAGGAGAGAGGATAACACTCGCTGTGGACGTTGCTTTGACAGGCCCGGAATCTATCAAGAACATTACATCAACTAAACACATGCTGAATCCCTGAATAAAACCTACCACCATCATGTCCATAAGCTGTTCCAGCACTCAAGACCCCCAAATAACCTTGGAGAACCCGTCGTCCATGGCCTGAGTTATCCCGCGCCCAGCCTTCAATGACAATCTCAGGGATGTGCTCAAGGAAGATATCGAGGAAGCGAATGGCATCAATCCTAATCTCCGGGAAGATGTGTGTCAGAGCCGATGTAGTGAAAAGGAGCAGAATAGGGGCATGGGGATGCAGGTCGCTCTGTAACGTGCTGCGGATCAGACGGAGGTGTCAAATAGGCAGGGGTACAACGGACCTGAGGGACTCTAGGTAACAACCAGCCAAAGAAACCCAATAATGCCTTGCGCACAGAGGCATCCTAACGATATCTGATTAGCAAACGAGCCACATAACAGAGTTTGTTAACAAACCTCGTCTCCAATGACTCGAACAGTGCCATTTACAAGCGCTGTCAGGTGGTCTGCAAGCAAATGCGGGTTTTCCTCTAGCAATTCTCGGAGTCCGAAGATGGCATCTGCAAACCAGAGGTGGGAGAATGAAATCGTCGTTGAAGGTAGATTCAAGAGGTCTATACACACCTTTACGAGTAGAAACATTGTAGTGCTTCAAGTAAGAAATCAAATTCTCAAACGTTAGTCTTCGTTTAGTCGTCGGCGCATTCGATGAACCTTGAGCGATGCTTTGTGATGGCAGGGCAATGGCTATCTTCGTCCCGCATTAGCAATGACTAGTATGATACAAATTCAGACTTACAGCGAGCTTTGAAGGAAGTGTCTACGGCATTATTAGCAAGTTGTTTCCCTTTTCCTAACTTGAGTTTCGCTTTCTATGGGGTTTGGCTCAGTTTCAACAGGTATCTGCCACAGTCGATAGAATCAAAGCTCACAGAGAAGTCTGCCGCTTTATCTTTCTTCTTCTTGGTACTTTTGGGCATTATGCAGGGTGCTTTACAATTACAAGGTCGCCGATGGGAAGTACGAGCTCTAGAATTTGGATGGTTTTGCTTTCCACGTGGCTGTCGATCTAGCGGCCGATCTTGATCTGACGTTACGATCGCCTTTTTCAGGTTCGACTTCATTGTTTCCTTCTGATCTCTTTTGACCAAATGGCAAGGACTAGAGCGTGCACTGAACAGTGATTATGATCATGGTCGATGGTCAGATATCTGCATGGAGGACCGGGTGTATCCTGTTACTTGTTGTCATCGGCTTGTCTATCAGATCTGCTTGTTTGTTTTGTCCTGGATCACTATTCAATCCACGAAAACTTTACTACTGCAGGCTAGCATTCCTGACCTATGAATTCTGGTGATAATGCATATTTGTGACGTATGGAGGCTTTGAAACTTCCTTCTTGACCGAGCTGACAACACTCTCTCGGGTGATCTCGTCGTGAGAGCCGTACTGATGTAGAAGACCAGAGTGTTCATGATGTTTAACGTGAAATTTCGTCCGTTCTTCTACCTCGGAGCTTGTGCTTTCTTCTTATATCCATTGACGTTTGATGCACTCTCTGTACTCTGACTTGAAGTCTCCATCGTGTTGGTCCACCTGACCTCTCACCGATGTTCTCCCGCAGCTGAAGGGGCCGCCGACGACCTGAGATGCTACAAACGGCCCTCCGTCGCCCTCTGATGAAAGGTTCTCCATGGTACGCACACCTTTGGTATATATCACGAATGCTCTGTGGATGTGACCTTGTGATCCCACTTTCGCCATGCTCATTGTGCAACTCACGATCCTGTTACTTTCGGCTGTCGCTCTGGCATTGTCCTCCACAGACTACCGTGACCTTCAAAAGCGTTCAGTTCCGCATGGTTTTGTTACCACACGTGGCACCCAATTTGAGCTGGATGGCAAACCATTTGTGAGTTGCTTGCTACACACTGAAATTCCATGAGACTAATGTACTCATGCTTCCACGTAGGCCTTTGTCGGCGCAAACTCATACGTGAGTGTATAACTTACTCACTTTTCTCCCTTTCGATAACAGTTTGCAGTGGTTGCCTCTGCTGAATTCCAAGGCGGATGTAGAGAAAACATTCAAGTCCATGCAGCAAGCTGGAGTAAAGGTCCTGCGTACATGGGTAAATCACGGCAGATTTACGCGAAGCTGGTCATGCGTGTTGAAATCTACACACTAGGGCTTCAACGCCATCAATGGCTCCGAACTTGCTGGCGCATTGCAATCAGGACTGACGTATTACCAGGTGAGAAGGATTCTCCTGGGTCCGTGATTCGGGTATACTCAAACAATCGTAGGTTTGGAATAGTAGCGAATGGATTCTTAATGATGGTCCTCAAGGTCTACAACGCCTGGACCATGTCATTGAGACAGCGGGAAAGCACGACATTAAGGTTATTCTCGCGTTCACGAATAATTGGTACGCATCTCCTACGGCATTGCCTTGTACGATCTTTATGCGAATCATCTCAATAGGGTTGGATACGGTGTATGCAATAAATCATCTTTCTTCTGACGCAAAACTGACGCAGGGTCTAGGGAGCGGAGCTTTACATCAACTGGATTGCCGGTGCAGGTAAAACCCACGATATCTTCTTCACCGACCCACGAATCATCGCACCTTACCGTAAGGGCTTCACTAAGCAATATACAAAAGACAGCTGAGAATGATCTACAGAGAAATACGTCCGTACGATTGTTAACCGGTACAAGAACTCTCCGAATATCTTTGCATGGGAATTGGCTAACGAAGCCCGGTGCCTTGGAGACATCCTCCCCGCAGGACCAAACTGCGTTGCTGGTACCAATGTCTTGCCCAAGTGGTACAGACAGCAATCAGACTTCGTCCGAAGCCTGTAAGACCTTTCAATGCTGTTCCGTCACCTGGAATTTACGTATGTTCGACTTTCAGAGACCCCCATCATTTGATTACCACCGGGGGCGAGGGTCATTTTTTCTGGAAGAAACCTGTTGAATTGTTCGTAACTGGCTATTTCGCATTAACCCCGCACTGAGCCTTTGCACAGCTGGTTCAACGGCACTCTTGTCAGCGACTACAATTTCAATGGACAAGGTACCTGCGATGCAAGTGTCACGAAGACAGGTTGCTGATTTCTTGCAAAAGCCGGTGAAGACTTCGACAGAGACCTCCTGCTGCCGAACATTGACTTTGGCACATACGTATGTCCGCTCATATTTTCTTGAATTTGCATGTCGACTGATTGTATGACGAATAGCATATGTATCCGCAGACATGGTAAGTCTGCCTATGGGCTCTTTGCATGCTTCCATTGAACTTCTTTTGCTCAAAGGTACCCTCAACTGGTTAGTCACCATGATTGTTTTCTGCACGCAAGTTACGGTAATCTGAGTTTTTTTTCCAGGACACGCCGGGATCCAATTTCTCCGTTGAAGAATGGGGCTTGGGATGGATCAATGCTCACGTGAGATGTCTGTATCGTATTCTTAGATATTTGACACAATCACTAATCGTTGTTTGGCATGCACAGCGGCCAATTCGGCTAACAAGCCACTCTTGCTTGAAGAGTTCGGACTCTCCGGTTTAGGTGAGCACTATGGCTCCCAATGACAAGAAGTCCTACTACTAACTAGTACTCAAACTTAGACAATAAAACTGACATCTACCCATCATGGGTCAAGCGTGCGCTAGATACTAGACATGCGTAAGTAGCCACTATCCGCTTCTGTGCTTCGTACCACTCGTCGATATATTCATCTTGCAGTGGGTAAGCATTTATCTTTTACTCCATTGTCACAGTACCTAATTGTGCCACGCAGCATTATGCCTTGGCAGTTTGGAACTCTGGGCCTGACGGAGAATGGAGGGAATCGCCTCATCAAATATGCAGACGCACTGATCAATGGGGTACGTTCCTTACTACCAGACAAACATTTTCTGGCTCATGTGCCTCCCCTACAGGCTTCCCCTAACGACGGTCAGGGTTGTTTCCGTCGTCTCCAGGCTCATGGCACTCATTTCCGTGCCTTTTACTACAGGAAACACAATCTACCCAAATCAAACCGCGGCGTGGGACATCTTCACGTACGATCATTTTAATCTCGCCGCGCAGGTTCTGACCTCCTTTTTGTTTGTAGGAACGCAGCGAAGATCCAGGCTCAGCGGTCTCGGTGATCAGCGCCGCTCGCTTTGTCAATTGTATCGCGATTGATTTTTGTACGAGTGAGATTGGAACGACCATTGTAGCGGATAATGCAAAAACAAATCAGATCCGTATCTGAGATTGAGTTCTCTGAGTATCAGGTCCCGAGGACCTCCTGCATGACGAAGCTACACTAAGGTAAGCTGAACGAACATCCTTACGAGCTATCGAATTTGCTGACCGCTATATGCGACTCATCCTAGTCTGCGTGCCTCCCCATTGATAACGAAATCTGCAGGCGAGAGCGTAATTTTCACTCCTTTTGAGGCTAGCTCCTCTTGCGATCGGTGCAAGATCGAGCCAGAAAATATTGTCGAAAGTCTACACTGGACGTCTTGCCATACTTTCACGCTGTACAGCAGAGAGCAAATGAGTCTCAGGTTACCCATGCCCTGAATGCGCAAACTACCTACGATACATTCGCCTCCCTCCCTCTGTGTCGAAGACCATACTGATACAGGGAGCCCGCTGTCAGTACGAGGGAAATACTCTCCCCTCGGTGAATCAACAACGTTGCACCCGTGCGCGTCCCATCCTCCCCACGGAAGACCTGCATGGTTGCAGTATCTGACGAGTCGTTAATGAATTCGAGTAATACTTCGTATGGTATGGTGCAGGTCGGGGACATGGTGACTGATGTAAGATACCATCGCTCACACAGCTGAAGGGTACAAGTACCTTCCCGGCGTGTGTAGTGTATACCCCGTGGGTTGCTGACGTCTGGATCTTACCGTTTGAACTTATTGTTTCCCAAAGTGGCACTGCCTTGAACGAAAGTAGATGCCGGTGGGTGACTTGCTCTGCATTTGTCCCATGTGTGGATCTCCCTTAATTCCCAACTTGGTGTCTCGTTGCAGGGACATGCAATGCGTATGATTCTAATGGTGACTGAAAAGAAATGTTGTCAAGACACTATTTACCGTTTAGGCATGTAGAAAGGGTAGGATGAAGAAAGAAGCGGAACATATCAGGGTCTTATTGTCTTCGTGTGGGTCACGTTCAAGCGCTCCAATCACGAGAGAATTGCAAGATCTAATCCGTGTCGATCAATGTATGGTATATTGGTTTACAGATAGAGGTATGGAAGAACTCAGCGATAATTATGGTTCAACGTGTCTCTCGCATTGTCTCTCGCGGTTCCCATCCATCTGCCCGCATCCTCTGTATAATCCGAAGAATATTCCTACAATCATCAATGCCCGAATGATGCCTCCCTTCAAGTTCCATTTTCAGCTTCTTCAACATGATGTCCATTCCCGCGTTGAACCGATACTTGTATTGTCTCCTGAACGCTGACTTGATGTTGATCCAGCGGTTGTACGGCGCAATGAGGTTTCCAGAATCATCCAGTCCTACCGGGGACTCGCTGATTTGTAGTTGGTTGGGCAACATGGTCTTTAGGTCCCAGTTCCCGCATGTTACGAAGATATATGAGTCCGGATCATCGTGTACACCCTGTCCTTTGAGGAATTCACGGAAACGATCCCAGACATCGGGAAAGGTATCCGCTTTATCCACGGTATCCTGTACGAAGAACATCAATTAGTATAGTATCATTACCATTGGACAACATTGCACGAACTTGTGTGATTCCTGTCAAGTCTGTGCAGAATGCGGTCAAAGTGGGATGTATGACCGGGCGAACGTATTCATGAAATGTCGCCTGCACTTTATCCTCCTTCAAATCATATACCAAGGTAGGAAATTCGATGATCTCATTGCAAGAAACAGAATCGCCACAGGTAGCTTCAAAGTCCAGGACGAGTAGATGTTTGAGTGGGTTGGAAGAGCGCAAAGATGCCATGAACCGAGTTGTTCTGAAGGGACGTGGCGAGAGGTAAGATGTCAGAACAAGAGATCGGTGCGATAGGTTTGCTACTCTGCTGACGGCGAAAAGCATATCACATTGGATTGCGAGCAAGGCATCAAGTACGTATACACATACGTAGTATATATTGGCAATATTACCATTATTTTGAGCGCGTCTCGCTCCGTCTTACTGCACGGTACCGTGACTGACATAGGCATTTATTGCATGGCATCAAGTATGTAGCCCATGGCTTAACTATCAGTTCCGGGGAAGAATGATGGTATACACGACAATATATGAAGGGACACGTATATTACAAAGGGGTCCAAGAAAGAAAGGTCAAGATCACACTGGATATCGTGCTCGTCGTGAAGAGTATACGTGAAAAGTTCATAGATGGAGGAGCACCGTGAAATGCAAGGGTAACAGACGGTCAAGCAATTACAAGGTCAACAGCCGGCCAGGAGTCTTGCGGAAGTCGATGCTCAATCTCAAACATACAAGGTCCTCGTCCTCAACCGTGTAGCCATCAACTTCGACGTTGAAGGGTGCTTGAATGGAAGATGTCAAAATTAGCGTCCATCATGAGGGAAAAAGCAACACACCTTGTGGGATCTCCTTGGGAAGGGTAACAGTGTGTGTAACAGTGTACTCTCCCTCTTCCACGGGACATTGTACGGACGTATTTGCGCTTCGACTAGATCAGATTGCGAGGGTTAACGGAAGATAAAGACGGAATGACGGTGGGTGACGCATACGCTTCTTCGCACAGATCAACCTCTTTCTGCAAAATCTTGATCCGTCCGACTTTCACTGCGACGTCTGCATAGGCACCTTCCTGTACACCAACCAGTGTTACAAAACGGGAGTACTACGGTACAAGGAAAATCAAGGGTGACGTACCTCCACCCGCTCTGAGGCAACACCCTTAACCGTGACAGTCAAGTCTTCACCAGGCTTGGGGGGATCAGGAGTTATCTCGATAGACTCGATGTGAATTGGGTTGCTGTCAAGCCCTGTGGCATGTTGTTAATTGAGTGCTTTATTGAAAACGATGCTCAATGCGTACCACAGTCCGACCACTTCCATTTGTCACTCAGAGCCGACTGTAACGTCTCCTGCTGCGTGCGAGGAGAGGCCAGACCAAGCACAGAGGACGCCAAGAGGAGAGTGAGGAGAGACAGACGAGCCATTGGGATGGTGGTTGGAGGGCAGGCGAACGCGCTTATGGTCCCGTCTGTAACGCCATAGTTCGGAGTGGAAGTGTGGGAACAGCGCCTGCCCGAGATGGGCGTTGCCGCCGGTGCACTCTCCAAGAATTGGCTGTGCGCAGTGAACTCTCTGGGCAGTGTCTATCACGCCTCCCTCTTTCTTCCTCTTTCCATACCCTTGCTTTCTCTTTCGAATCAGTTCTGTTACGACACCTCATTTCAGGATCCATATTGGCTTCATTCAGACAACTTTCTAGGACCTCCTATAACTACATTCTGAGCAGGTTCTCAGCATGAAACCTAGAGACTATTGTTGCTGTGCCATCCCGGTAGTTAATGCTGGTATTTACACCACCCTTACCGAGCAATTCATTCTTGGTATCCTTGCTGGCACGCTCGCCCTAGCAACTCCTAACAGTCAGTATTACAGTCATTCGTTATTGCATTACCAGTCTCGGAGTTCGAGCCTGACCTTTACCTCATTGCAGTTGTCGGGGCATCCACGCCGTCTGTTGCGAAATGGGTCTTTGCCATTATCTGCTATGTCGCTGCAGGTGTTCAAGTCCTTGGCTTTATTGGAGTGTGGAAGGTATGTATCGTCCGCACAATGTGGCTGCGGAAATGCTTAAACCGACCGTCATGCAGGAGCGCCCAATTATGTATCGTCGATATGCGACTTTGCACCTCCTGATCACGATCGCAGCCTTTTCAGTAGCTGCTGTTTGGATTATCATCTCAGCAGTCCGACATAACCAAGCCAAGGCTAAATGTGAATCAGACTTCTTTGCTAACAGCACGACGTCAGAAGGAGACACGTTATGTGAGATCTTCCCTTGGGTCGATGTTGGCATAATGGGCGGTCTCTGGGTCCTGTTAGCCATTGTCCAGGTATGTTAGTTAGGCTTCGTTCATTCTCACGCAAGTAACATTTCGCTTTTTAGTTCTACCTATATATCGTAGTATCTTCCTACGGCTCTGGTCAGCGACTTGACCATGAGAAGTATGATTCAATGTACGATCCGACGAAACCCCTTACGAGCGACATACCTTTATCCAACCGCGCGGACCCTTGGGAGGCTCGACCGTCCTCACAAGCACTCATGCGGGATGCAGGTGGCTATCACACTCGGCAATCGAGTATGGCCAGTGTTTCTACCGTCATGGCCGACAGGCCACAACATCCCGTTGATTTTGGCGGCTATGATCAAGCCGCATATCCTCCAAGTTTCCCAGGTCAGGTACATGCAGCACAAGACCCAGGCCCCACACCACTCGCAGGCAGCTACAATGGCTCAGCATACACCGGTATGGAAGCCCCTGCACGAAGCCAGCCTCATCCTGGTGCGTCCTAATTTTGGGCGGCCACGGGTTCCATGGGGCTGCTCTTGTAGCACTTCATTGGGTCTGTTGGCTTGTTACTTTTGGCTTGTGAACCTGAACTGACTTTAATCTGTTTTGATAGCGGAAGGCTCGTTCCGTCGGAAGACACCGCGACTGCAAAAGCCACTGTCTGAGGACTTTGAGATTCGTTCGTATTATGCGAATCGGCCCGCCTATTAGAGATTACTCTGGTGTATTCTATGCTTGGACTACTTTTCCATGGACATTGGTCGGACATTGCTGTAGTTTTCGCTTTTCACATGTGTGTCGCTTGACAGACAATTTAAAATACCAGATGAATTGGATGTACTTATATTCCGGCATCCTCGGATTCGGGTTACGGCGCATGTAAAGCAAATGCATAGTCATCTGCCTTGCTTAATTTCAAGGACTGCCAGGCACATAGCACACAGCGTACTGCTTTCTATACATCTTCGCGTTGCATCCAGTTACCTATGTACAATGGTGTCCTCCGGTGACGGAGAATTGTTTCCCATCGTTCTCGCCGTCCCTCCTCATCCATGAGCAGAGGTCGGAAATCCACCGCTATACGCAGCAACCTTGGAACACGATTAAATACATCATCTTCCAACGTATTGCAAATTGCCCGTTCCTGCGCTATGAACGGCATCGTGTATCCAGCGTTGGTGATACTGAATTTGAGTGTGGAGACCGTTCGCGGGAGAAGCGCGAGGAAATTGACGTCTAACTCGTCCACTGTGATCATCGAGAGCGCGAAATATTCGAGGTTGCTAAGTGCACCCAGACATTCGGCCAGTGCTACGCTGGTCAGGCGACTGCATCCTAATAAAACCAGTTTACGCAGGTTGCGACCGATTCCAGAGGCCAATGACCTAATGTGATGGTCGCGGATGAGGAAACCATTTTTTGCGCCCACCGCGTAGGAGAATTCAGTCAGCTCTGCACCGAAGAAGCAATCCTGCAGGTTGTTGCGATCGAAATAATTACTCGTGACACCATAGAGAACTAAGCGACGCAGATGGGGCATGGCTTTGACATCGGCGGATATATGACACTCTCCGGATAATCGCAGACACCTCAAGGACTGGGAGGCGACCATCGAGAATGGTTTGGATCTCGTGTGCGGGTTGAGAAAAAGCTCATAGGAATACAAGGACGGTCTGCCGCTACTCTCAGCGAACATTGCTTGTTCGAACTGCAAGGAAATTTGCTTGCTTCTCATCGCTGCATAGAATACGTATTGTAAACTACAACAATGTAGACAGCTTAGATACTCACAGTGCAAGCTGATTGGTAGGCCTTGGCGACAGTCAAAGACTCTCAAGTGCTGTAGGGACGATAGCATCCGCATGGCCAAATATAGCTGCGAAAGTGGATAGGAGTTCTGCACAGACAGACTAATTAATCAGGTGTGTCAGATGTCAGCGGTTAGGTACTACATACTTTGTCTGTGTGCAATAACCTTCCGTCATTGGCGACATCTGCCCACAGTACTTGTGAAGGCTGGATGACGCCAGGACAGGCGAGAAAGGCGTGGATCTGCCGTTCATGCAGAAGGGAAATATAACGGGCGAAAATGGGAGACGCCTCATGATATATCTGTGTACATGTGCGCAATACACGTATGTGCTCGTTCGAGGGCTGCTGACTCTGGTGGACAGATTGGTGTTGTGCTAAAAAGGTCTCGTAAACCGCCAGGCGAAGTTCCAGAGGCAAAAGCAGAAATGTGAGCATTATAGCGGAGGGTATCAAACGGGTGCATGACCCTTCCTCATGCGAGATTAGAGAATTGGGCTGGTCGAGCGACGAGCAGAAGAGAGCTACTCTTCAGAGGTGGACAAAGTTGTGGCCCGCGGTGTCGCAAGTAAGAAACCCGATATGGATGGCAGGGAGGCGGCAGGGAGAGGCGGCGATCACCGATCGAGGAGGCGCCGGGAGTTCAGCGCCGGATATGGCAGGAGATGGCAAGATTGGCAGAGAAGGGCGTCCCCGCACTGGAGCCGGCATGAGAAAAGTCACGGTAGCCTGAGCCATGCTGCTCTTGTCGTGTTCGTCCATCCCTCTCCGGCCTCGCTGTGAATGCATGTTCTCTTCCTACGCTCGTTCCTTTCTTCCACACTCTTTTTAACAGCGCCGTTTGCCATTTGCATTCCATTGCCATCGCAGCAGGAACACACCGCTCGAGTACAATAACGTCTAGCGGCAAACAACGTGGCAACAGGTCCGGGTTTTGTCCTAATTCTTGACATAGTCGACCCGAGAAATGAACCATTTTCTTGTCTCCCGCTACCGTTAACAGGTTGACGTGTGTGTTACAATAAGCGGTGCCCCTGCAGGTAGTATATGTAGCCTGCTGTTCTGCTGCGAACGTCGATAAACACAAACGTCCAGTCGAACTTCTCGAAGCAACAACTTGAGCATCTGCTGCCCCTGAGCGTCCATCTCTGTAATCCCACTCTCGCATCTCTTATTGCCTCCGTCGTCATTCCTCCTGCTCTTACTGTACCCTCTAATAGCCGCGTTCACACACTCGTCTTTGGCGATATCCCCCACTCATGCCCGGTCGTACTGAGGCATACGAGGTCTTGCTTGACTTCACCAACGATACTCACGACGCGGCCACGGTGCAGTTGCTACGAGACTATGGTAGAACGACAACCGCTGTTGTATTGCTACATCCGGGAGAGAGCATAACCCTTGTACTTGATGCAGGTATGTATATTCCTTTAAGTCTAATGGCGAAGGCCATCTGCATAACGTCTCGCGCAGGTGCAATCTATCGGTACGCGCTAAAGACGCGTACGAAAGTCGCCAATGTTACGTGAGTGCTCGCGCTATGCTTCACTTCAGCCGACGTCAATGTAGTCGTTCACTTAGGGCACGATCGTGGAGAGATGTAAATTGTACATTATCACAGCTGTTCCCCGGAGGATGGCCGCCGTCACGTAATCCGCCATGGAGACCAGTCAATGGAATTACAGTTGACCATCTCTGGAAGGACATGCGTTTCGTTATGTGGGACGAGCCATAGCTCGTTCTGCAACGCCTCTGTACGTACTTTTAACGGCTAGTTTTGTTCCATTCATGACTTGACATTTTCCTTTATGTGATAGGGCATTTATGCTAAGCATATTTCCCTGCCTGCATGATGTCACGCATCTTATCGTTCCTCCTGAACACGTCCGTCGTGCTGCGCCGGTCTGGAACTCACCAGGCCGCTCACACGACTTTGATGCGCCGCAGGAAGAGAACGAGAAAGTGGTGCATTTTCCAGTGCTGGGAATGACGGTCAGGAACCTCGGACAATGGAATTATTACTTTAAAGCTGTAATCGCAGAGCGCATGTGTGTAATGTCTCCCTAGTCATTTGTTGTGTTATATTGGTTCTGTTGGGGCAGAAAAATCTAATCATGCTACCGTTTTGCCTCGGCCTTTCTCACTAGAATTCAATGTTGTATCAAAGGTTACACGGACAACGCTGAAGCAACGTGTTACCAGCATGAGGATATCTGTCATGATACAAGTGATGTTACTTCCTCTACCAATTTCAACATACTCGTGTTCACCGCGAGGTCGACCGTGGTGGTTGTAACGGGCTGATTAACCAGCATACGCTCGATCTGGCAGCATTGCCAAACATCCTACTCGCTACCCGTTGGGGAAACGGAAACGAGAAACCGTCCACCGTCACAAGGACAACATCAGGATAAATATCGAAACGCGCTGTATTGACCGGTGCGTACGCATGGATATAATTGAACAATTACGATACCAGAGCTCTAGAACGAGAAAAGGGCAGCGTTCTTCCGCGAACCAAACATATACACGATCGCCTGACTCATGTAGAGCCCCACGGTGATCCCAATCGCCACGGCAATTACAGCTGCCCCAATGTCAATGCCACTCCCTTCAGCCGTTATGGCTCCGATTTGTGAAAGACCAGACTGTGAAAAAAGGAACGTTCAATGGAGGATCGCGGGAGCATGACAATACAATGTAAGTAAACATGACTTACCGGTACTAAGAATAACACACCCGTGACCATGGAGGTAAACGCTGTGCCTCCCATCTTACGAGAATACATATTGCCAAGTATCCCGACCACGAAAGCGCCTAGGGCAGAGACGACGTCGGAACGATTGAATATGAAATGGTCAGCAGCTTTGTTGGCAGCATAAGCGGCACAGGAGATAAGGACCATAACGACCATTTCGATAGTTAGAATCGGCTGGAGGTTGGAACACGAAGACAAGATGGAGAAAAGAGGCACAATGATGAATTGTGTCCACCAAGGGAAAGGTTGCATATACCAGGAGAAAGTCGGTGGGCGATAGCAGCCGCTCTTGATATGTTCTCCCCTGAGTGGGTTGGGATTGGTGAAGGTGAATACACCCTGCAGGGGGAGGCCGTTGTTGATATGGAGGTATGAACTGCTGTTGTCTGAAGCGAAGGCTCCTGTGATCTTTACGGTGTCCAGCACGCGTTTTGCCATATCCGCCAGATCTCTGCGAGCACCGCGGTCCAGCAAGAGGTATACATCGGATCCGATTTGAAGACCAAAGCCCAAGAAAAGCGTATAAATCAGGGCATACACCATTTTGACACTTCCACAGATGATGTTCTTTGATGCAAGCTCAAGAGAGCTGCTCACTATATCAAAATCGGTTAACAGTACTGGCAGAAATCAATTGAAAGGCACTGACAGATTAGAAACCCTGGGAGGATGCCAACAATACTGGCAGATGATATCGCGGTGTAACAGAATATTTGGTCCCTGATGCTACTCAAGCCTCGGGCTGCAAACGATGTAATGATAGTGACAGTGACCCTAAGCATCATTTTAGCACCCTAAAATGAACTTATAGTCGAATGCTTACTCGAACACATTAGCATACAACTGACTTTTGGACGCAACACCTATTTGCATGATAGATAGGAACGAGGCGCCGACGCCTGCGATCCACATGTCTATGAGAGAGCCGCCAAAAGCAAGGGGACAAATCAATGCCGAGATCCAAAAAGCGAGAGCAATGCGTGTAGCGAAGTTGTATATCGGAGGGGACTCTAGTAGGGCGTCAAGTTCCCCAGTTGCGGCTTTCGCACTGATTTCATCGTGAACGACCTGGCGATATATGTGATGGACCTTGTGAAGGCTTCCGAGAGACAATCGTCCATTGCATTTGACGAAGTGCAATTCTGACGTGTCCGCATCTTGGTCACCGAAAGAGCAGATGATTACACCTGGGATATGGATGAATTCGGCATCGATTTCTAAGATCCTGGCAGCAGCTAAGAGTTGAGCTTCGATTCGATGAGAAGGTGCGCCGAAGGACATGAGCGATTTGGCGAGCCTCATGAGGAACTTTTGACGATTCAGAACAGCTGAGTGATCAAAGGCTTAAGCACATCTCCAGTGCATATAGGTGTGACAGACCCACAGCTGATATTGAACTCAATTCGGAACCGTTGGCGATCCTTCCTGCGGACGTGGTAGTTTATTGTTCTTCTAACATTATTCTCCAAGTCCTTGGGGTCATCAAGAGTCTTCTTTTCTACCCCAGTGACTATTGGATCGTCGGGGTCAAGGACCTGAGCATCCATCGACAGAAACGATTCTGTCTTCTTGTATCCAACAGGGCGAGAAGGGTCACCTTCTTCATGTGTTTCCTTGACCTCTTCGTCAAAATCGTAGTGGTCGACACCTAGTTTATGCAAGACATTTGAGAACAGCCCGCCAGCCCCATCTTCACCAGGAATCGGATGCGACAAGTCTTCGTCGTCTACCATATCTTGCTCATGATCGTCAATTGCTTCATGGTCAATTCCGGCTTTCTTCAGAGACAGAGGTAAGACCGGCGTATGTTCCCGTTTATCACCAGTGTACGCAGACGTGGGAGGCGGTATGTCATGAGGGTGGCGATAAGAAGAGAAAGAGACATTGTCAACGCCGCCAGGCTCAGTTTTGGGTGTCACAGAGTTATGTGCAGCTTGTGCAAAAGGAATTGACCTGTCATTTGGAGGTATTGCTTCATTGACACCTGTAGGAAGAGCGTTTGGTCCACCGTAGTTTGGGAAGTGCCAGTCAGGTGCGGCCTCATCTCTTTGATGCGAAGGAGTAGGGGCAGTAAGGGAACTGGCTTCATTGGGGCCCTCGTTAGAGTCCTCGAACCGAACACGGTGTACAGAAGCGGTGCGCTCGCCCAGCGAATGACGCGATTGATGAGCATCAGACGAAGACATGTCGTCCAATCGACGGAGACAGAGATTGAAAGACCTGCTTCGCGTTCAGGTGCCCCAGCAATTTGTATGGCCGCCAGCTGTAGTGGTGGTTCGGAGACAGACTGGCGCTTCCTTCCTATTCGAACCAAGTTGTCAGAATCGCCGGAATAACCCGTTGTTCGAATGCATGCAGATGTTTGTGAGTGCGCATTTTTCTACTAACTATGCATCGCAGATGGTCTGCTGGAGTCTAGCTTGACGCGATTCCACTTCGATATCCTCGACAAAATGTCAGTGGGGGCCCGGCGGGGGAAGACGCCTTAGTGTCCAAGACCAGTTAGGCAGGTATCCAAGTTCAAACGATGACATGGCAAATCCATGCCAGGCGCACGAAGGCGTCGAGAGGATAAAACGTTTGATATGGACTCGTCGGCAAAAGCTGATGTCCATAATTCGGGTACGACTGACGCACGTTCATTCTAATGCACATGAAAATATGCGCACCTGATCTTGCTGCAGCCTTCTCAGGCTTCGCGCCGCTTAAACGCCTGACTACATTCGCAAAAATGGCATTTCGGTAAGAACCGTGATTGACGACTATATAACGCGAGATCACTCACATAAGTGCTCTCCAATGCAGAGGAATTCCCCGCTCATGGCTTCCAAGTTTCTTGTAATCGCGCTAGGGGTGACGTGCGTCCTAGAGTCTTTCGGAAAGGCGACGGTACATCAGGAGATACTTCAGTTAGAGAACTCGAACGACACGCGCCTAAAATATCCTACGCAGTTCACTCAGAATATAGTTCCGAAACCCATACACTCACATAATGATTGTGGGTACCGTCTCATAGATCCTAATGTGCTGCACTATACTCAGATTATTCGGCGCAGACTGGAGAGACGTACCCCTGTTGACGGCCATAAGTTTTGGAGTTCAGAGTGTGGAAGCAGACGTAGGTCTCTTCAATGGCACTCTCTTCGTAAGTCATACGTCCTTCTGCAAAATAGATTAGCACGCCATTGACAGTTTCGGGGAAACAATGTAGGTTGGGCATGAACAGGCTGCCTTGACCAAGGATAGAACTTTGGACTCACTATATATCCAGCCACTGCTGCAAATTCTCGAGAAGCAGAATCCAAAGAACGCATTCACTGTGAATGCCACGCAACCCAAGTATGTTCATATTCTGAGAGTGCAGTGTAATCAGCTCACACAGATTAAGCGGGGTCTTCGACACGGCGAGCGACGTTTCGCTACAACTACTGGTGGACATTAAGACAGATGGCGTAGAGTGAGCGTCCAATCTTCACGATGTTGAAAATATAAGACTTACGCGGACACAGGGCACTGCCATTTATCTTGAAAGCATTCGAACCTCTGCGAAAAGCTGGATATTTAACGACGTTCGCAAATGGTACATTAACGAAGTCAGCTGTCACCGTGATAGGGACTGGAAACTCTCCCTTGGAACAGGTGAAAGCATTGTCTCCTCGAGATTACTTCTTCGACGCCCCTCTTACCCAACTCACGGACCCCTCACTGAATACAACTTGGGATCCGTCGCTCTCGCCCATCGCGTCGACAGACTATGAGACAGCCGTTGGGTGGAATGGCATAGGGAACATTAGTGACAGTCAAATAGCAAACATCACCAAATTCGTGCAGGATGCGCATGACCGAGGAATTAAAGCTCGATTCTGGGATACTCCCGGATGGCCAATCCATGCGAGAGAAAACGTTTGGAGAGTCCTAGCTGAGAATGGGGCAGACTGGCTCAATGCGGATGATCTGGAGGCTGCGAGCAACTTCTGAAGGTCATTAAGCGTACAACATAGGATATAGGATAACCGTAGATACGAGACGAGAGACATTATGATTGACCCCACACGTTTGACGCATCAACACCGAGCTTCCGTCGATCGAACCATCGAGGCTTCGTGGGTGCCTCTTTTCCGAGAGCACCCTGCGCCAAGCGCAAAGAACTTTGAACAGCACCAGGAAGCTTTTGACCGGCTTTGAGGCGAATAGTCCTGGGTTTTACGACCACTTGTTCATCGTTGGACTCCTTCTTCGACTCCTTCAGAGTCAGCGGCTTGGCCAAGAGGGTATCCTGGAATCCTGTTAGGTGGTAAGTCTATAGCATGGATGGTATATACACACAATGTGATCCTCGGCCTTCTTCTTCAACTCATAAATGGCCTCAGCTGGCCGGAACTTCAGGACCTTCTGGAGGTTCCATCGTGTAGTCGGTCTAAGTTCTCCTCGTCGTGTAGGTGCCAATTCTCGCTCATGCTCGATAACTTCCTGCAGATCTCTGACGCCCTGTTGAACAAGTTTTGCTGGTCCAGCTTCTCCCACCCGCTTTCCTAGAACTTCCCAACCAACTGCTCGAGCCGTCATCTCAAACTTCAAATCCTTCGGGTTGTCAACGAGTTCAAGGATGGCATGGGGAGCATTGTCACCAGGACGGTTGCCGTACTTGTGAATACGTGTGTAGCCACCTGGCCTATCCGCGTAGCGCTTAGCAAGTTGGGTGAAGACTTTGGGCATGAGCTGAGGTTTAAGCAGGAAACTATTTGCTCGTTGGAATGCAGGCCGGTCGCCCTTCTTTCCCATGGTTATAATCTACGTCCAGGAATCAGCACGTAGATTCAAACGAAAAAATATTAAATCTCACCTTCTCTGCCAACCTCGCGGTGTCTCTAGCTTTCGGAAGCGTGGTCTTGATTTGCTCATGTTCAATGAGAGAGGTGACCAGGTTCCTGCTTCAAGTGAGATGATCGAAGCAGTACGATCGAACATAAACACGCACCTCAACATAAGCATCCTATGCGAGGACGTCCTCGAGAACTTCCGAAAAGCCACGCCATGTTTCATGGCGAAGAGTTAGAGCCCGACAGATACAGACCAGACTGTAAAGTGCTGTAACAGAACTGGGCGCTTTGAACTCGAAGGGGAGGACCGGCTATTACCGGGGCGGAGTTACCTTCACGCGTCAGAAAGTTGCAGAGCGCTTTCGAGTTGCTCCCCGTCACTTGAACGTCTCCCAACAAAACATGTCATTCTTCCGTCTTGCAGTCCGAAGTGTAGTTCGTCCCCGTATTGTGGTGGCGGCTCTGCCTGCACGGAACCCATTCTTGTTCCAAGCTGCGCGGTATTCTGCCGCCGCGGCTCTGACAAAGGAACAGATCACATCTCGTGTTCTCGATGTTCTGAAAGGCTTTGAGAAGGTCGACCAATCAAAGGTACCCATATTCGTCATACTCTATAAGGACACAATGAATCTTTCTCACTTTGCTAGCTCAATCCTTCCGCATCCTTCGCGGAGGATCTGGGTCTCGACAGTTTGGATGCTGTCGAAGTTGTAATGGCAGTAGAGGAGGTATGTCTTGACCCTCTTCACGCGTGACTTTCTCATGATCACACTGTGGAACTGCAGGAGTTCGCCATCGAGATTCCCGATGCTGAAGCAGATGAGATTAAGACTGTTGACCAGGGTATGTGTTGGCTCGGGATCTCACCGCACCAATGTTCTAAGTTACGTCACGGTAGCAATCGACTACATTGCGAAGACGCCAGAAGGTAAGTTCTTATCCTGGATATGCTGAACGTTTACTGATTCCGTGACTTATAGCTCACTGATTCTAGCATCTTGCATCTTCTTATCATTTGTACTCAGGTCTCGTCAATTGCATACCTTATTTCACTGTAATTCTTTGAGGCTGTTCACGCCCAACAACAAGCCGGACTATATATAGCTTCAACGGCATCGCCAAATCACAAGTACCAGCAAGTGACACCCATTATGGAGTAATGTATTGAATCGACAGGATTGTGAATCTCACTCAAGAAGAACTGCACCTGCTTGATGAGATAGCTATTACTCATGTACTGGCATAATGGACGCAACTTTCCCAAACCAGTGTTTTCTGTTTAGGCTCGTGCGGCTATTCACATGATAATAGAAGGTCAGTTAGCATTATTGCGTGTCTTGCAATGAACTGAATACTCATTAGTTCGGCCACAGTTCCGGACAGCTTGGTGATTAGTGCTGCAGAGTGACCTATGCTTGTGTGTGATGCTTTCGACATATAGAGCAGTTGAGGGGGAACTATGTGTTGGAACACTAGTTGTTTGCGTGTTCTGGACGATTATGTTTCGCTGATAGAAGGCCGAGCACTTGAGTTCGTGAATAGGGATGTGTAGCACTCAGTATAGCGTGAATGGCAAGAGTGGAACCAGACCTCTAGCCAGCGCCCGGAGGGGCCGGGCGAGTCAGATCAAGCGGGGACGGGAGATGCCGAAAGAACTGTGTAGCTAACCTCACGGTGGCTTTGAGTAGCGCACGTTCCCAGCCACTACTACCGACCGCAAGACCTCAAGGTGAGCTATACGCCGTGCTCACCGTCGACGCGCTCTAAACATATTGTACATTACCGTCCTGCTCTATTTCATCTAGGTCCGCCCGTTTCCGCTGTCTTTAGGCTTGCTCTGGTTGACCGGTTTCTTGCTCTTTTGGACTTATAGACTCGCCATGGCCACATTCTCCTCGACCCCCATCGTCATTGATGGCAAGGGCCACCTCCTGGGCCGACTTGCTTCGATTATCTCGAAGCAAATCCTCAGCGGCCAGAAAATCGTCGTTGTGCGGTGTGAGGAGATCAACATCTCGGGCAGCTTCTTCCGGAACAAGGTATGAAGACTTGCAAGTTGTGCATTTACTCGTGATGGAATGAACAACCTCTATGTGTCTAGCTCCGGTACCACAACTTCCTGCACAAGCGTCACATCGTCAACCCTAAAAAGTCCGGCCCTTTCCATCACCGCGCCCCCTCCAAGATCCTCTACCGGGCTATTCGTGGCATGGTCCCCCACAAGACTGCCCGTGGTGCTGCTGCCCTTGAGCGTCTCAAGCTTTTCGAGGGTGTTCCCCCTCCCTACGATAAGAAGAAGCGCATGGTTGTGCCGGAGGCTCTGCGAGTCTTGCGATTGAAGCCTGGCCGCAAATACTGCACAGTCAAGGTGTGTGCTTTCGCACTTACGCATTGGACAGAACTGAATGGTTTGCAATTTAGCGTCTGTCTCATGAGGTTGGTTGGGGTTACAAGGATGTGGTTGATCGTCTTGAGGAGAAGAGGAAGATTAAGGCGCAAGCCTTCCATGAGCGCAAGGTACGCACATTTGCCTATAGTCATGCTTGTATCTGGTCCTTATCGGTCTTCGTTCAGCTCGCCGCTGTTAAGCTTCGCCAGAAGGCTCTGGTAGATACCGCCCCCGCATTCGAAAAGCTCACACAGTTGGGCTACTAGTCGGTGTTGTGTCATGGCTTCTTCTTCACCCTGCTCTCCACCGACTATGACACATTGTCATGAGATGTTCTATGTAACCTCCTATGCTTTATTCGCGGCGACGATACATGTTTATGATGCGCTATCGAGAACTGAATGGCAGACGCTTTTCGCGGGTTTTTTTCTGTATACGAAATATTTGTCTAATGCAGCAGCACTTGATGAGACTGGAGTAATGTTTGATTTGAGACCGCCGAGCCATTGCAAGGCCTTGTTCAAGACAGGTTCAAGAATATTGAGATCAGAGTTGGTCCGTGTTGGTCCTGTGAGCCGACGCGGGGGATTAGACGCCACGTGGCGAACTCCTTATTTGGTCCAGGCCTTTGCAAGAATCTCCCTTTCAGTTTGCACCAGTCCTCTTCCCTCCTCCACCACCTCCTCGCACCCCCTTACACACCTTTCCTCTCTCCCCCACCACCTCTCTTTCTCCTTCTCCTCCTATTCCCTTACAATGGCCTCCGACTCTCCCGCTCAGCGCGACGGCAGTCAGTATCTTCTTCTTTTCTTTCTATTGCGTCACTGATCTCCTGCAAAAATTACTAGGCCCCACTCCTCATTCTCGTTCCCCTTCACCTGCCGGAAGTGACATCCTAACCCTGCGCGCACTTGTCAGTACCAAGGAGGCCGGTATCATCATCGGCAAAGGTGGCAAAAATGTGGCCGATCTCAGGGAGCAAACCGGTGTGAAAGCCGGTGTAACAAAGGTCATTCCCGGTGTCCACGAGCGGGTGCTCACCGTGGGTGGCTCCGTAGAGGGCGTTGCAAAGGTCCGTATTCTGCTTGTTACTCCTGAGGATGTTCGTCTAATAGGAGTTTTCAGGCATACGCGCTCATCGTGTCTCAGCTGATTTCAGCCAACCCCTCCTCTCCTACCACGCCCAATGCTTCCACCTCCACTTCTTCTATACGCCTTCTCATATCTCACAATCTTATGGGTAGCGTCATTGGAAGGAATGGTCTCAAGATCAAAGCCATCCAGGACTCGTCTGGAGCCCGTATGACAGCTTCCAAGGATATGCTTCCACAATCCACCGAGCGGATCGTCGAAGTTCAGGGTTCGTCGGAGTCAATAGGTCGTGCCATTGAAGAGATTGGCCGCGCTCTCTTGGAGGACTGGGAGCGTGGTTTGGGCACTGTCTACTTCCACCCCGGCGCCAACGATGACAGATCGGGACGACGCTCAGGACAGTCCTCGACTCGACGCACCAATGGTGACTCAGGTCGTGGGCGTGCATCCTCCCCGCCTTATTCACCATCTTCACCGCCTCCAACAAACCTACGTACACAGAACATCTCCATACCGTCTGACATGGTCGGTTGCATAATTGGCCGAAACGGAACAAAAATCACGGAAATTCGCCGTTTGTCCGGTTCCAAGATCTCTATCGCCAAAGAGCCGCATGATGAGACCGGAGAGAGGATGTTCACCATCGTCGGAACCCCTGAAGCAAACGAGAAAGCTTTGTTCCTTCTCTATAATCAGCTGGAAAGCGAAAAGGAGCGTCGAGTTGGTCGCGAGCAACTTCAACAAGATGAGCAAGATTGACAGCGTTCTATATGCAACCTTCCGCTCTCCGTTCTGAGCATGGCGCGCAGTACCCTCTGCGCCTCTAGTCGCTCCAAGGTAGTACGCGTCACTCTCAGTCGCCAAATCCCCCCTTTCTTGAACCACTCCACTCGCATCTTGACGGCTCTTTCCAAACTCCCCCCTGTCCATATTCCACGCATGACCTGATTTCCTTCACGCCGAAAATACGTAACCCCGAAGACGTCCTTCCCTCTGTTCCGTTCTCTCTATCCGAGTCCCTCACCGAAATCCTCTTTATTCGCGTAAGACATCTACGCGTATTCCTTCCACGTACATAAAGCCAAGGGCTGCATACTCTTCGTGCACCCTTTTAGTTTACTGTCGTGCATACGTGACCCCACGGACACTTGAAAAGTATGCGTATGTTAATGCTATCCCAGTCGCTGCATATCTATAGATGTCCGTACTTGAGCTCGCTGTCGTGCATATTACTCGTCTTCCTTTTCACTCTCGGGGAGTATGTTTACTACGTATGTAGGCAATTAAAATCACTCCAGATTTCTGCAGGCCAATTAGCCGAGTGAGTCTAAAGTTAAATGAATGCCACGTGCATAGAGATTAAGTATTCCGCGAGCATGAATTTTGTCTCCTTCATCTAAGACTCCGCCATGCAACCTCGACGAGGTTTGCCCACTCACCCATCGCTTCCTGTTGCACCACACCTTCGCCAGGGTTATGTACAGCCTCCGGCACAGCCTGTGGCATCAACATCAACTAATGTTCAGACCAATGCTTGGAATGGATATCCTCAATACGCTCAGTCACAGTATGCAGTCGCATCGCACTATGCTCAGGCGTACATGCAATATGCCCAACCTCAAGGATGGGGCAATACTACGACAGAGGGATACACATATTCCTCTACTTTCAACTCTTCAGGTCAGCTTAGTGTTGGATCTTCTCAACCACTCCAAAGTCGACCTCCCGGTCAGTGGTATCAACCTGGCTCCTCGAGATGTGCAAGACCAGGATGTCAGTTCACTGGCTCACAAAAAGCTGTGGAGACACATATGATGGATCGACATCTGATATCTCCACCGGGGTGGGAGAAACGGAAGAAGCAAAGAGACTGGGATGCTGATCCGAGTCTCAAAGGGTATGTTCAGACAACACCTTCTATTCGTTTATCCAGTCTTTATACTATCATTCTTCAGGAAGCCTATACCTATCCAAGGTACTACGATGAAACTAGATACTCCAGAGGCCATCGAGCAGTGGATTGCGGAACGTAGAAAGCGGTTTCCCACTGCAGAGCGCGTGGATGACAAGCAACAGAAACTTGACGATGCCATTGCTCGCGGACAGCTAGCTATTGATGATCCTCGTTTTCCTCGACAAAAGAGGAGGCGACTGGATAATACCAATGATTCCTTTGGTGGTAATTCTAGAGGACGCGGTCGAGGTAGGGGAAGAGGGAGAGGTGTCGATGGTGGTTGGCGTGGCCGCGGAGGTGCAGGTGGTGCAGGTCCTTCAAGAGTACAAACCGAACCTGTCCAGGACACCATACATCCGGAAGCTCAAGAAATACCCACTCCTGCAGAGAAGGTCGCGATAGACGTTGACTATGAATCCACGGACTCTGATTCTGATGGTGCCCCGGAAGTCGTATCATCGAAGTTAGGGTTTCCTGAACAGCACACGGTGGAGGATGATATTGAAATGGATAGAGCAGAGGAAGCCGCAGTTCCTTCAGAAGCTAACAGACAGGAGTACAAACGGCGTCCAGAGAGACCTCGCAAACTACCAGCGAGGCAACCAAAAAGACCACCTCGAAATCCTTTTGCATCACGACCTTCACTGTTGCGAAATGTCAGTCTGTTATCTTGACTTCATGCTTCTCCCGCACTAACAGCTTCGCATTTTAGTTATTACTGCCTGAGATTCGTATGACAGTATCCAACCTTTCGCAGGCCATCCACTTTCTTGTGGATAACGACTTCTTGGACAACGTCGAGCTCAAGCCGGGACAAGCTTCAGAGAAGATGATAGAGGTCATTGGACAAAGTGCGGATGCTCATACGCCGTAGGTATAGTGCTTCTCTTGTCCCAACTAGCCTTTCTGCTCGGTGGCGCTTTGTATATATCAAATATCCCTGTGCTTCACCAAGCTCGTACCACACACTACGATGGCCTTTTCGACTACTGGCGTATAAATGAAGCTCAATCATTGGCTTTACGGATGTTAGGAGTCTGCAAACCCCCACTGGACGTTGATGCGCCCTTCGCTCAGGTCAGCAAGTCTCGCGAACGCGCCGGGAGAAAGGTCGATGTCGTTTAAACCGCAGCCGGGGCATTCGCCTACGACGGACACCGTGACACTGGCTCCATTTGCTGCCCATAAGGCTGCGCTGAGCGATTTGACCTCGGATGGCGGATTCAATGATAAACTCACCAAATACAACGACGTCCTTGAAACAGTTCTCTCCGGTGCCGTAGCGAGGCGTGCTGAGCTTGACAATCAGGTCGGCGGCGGTGTTTGTGGCTCCACATGTATCCAAGCCTGGGTTAAAGAACGTCGCTTTCGGGGTGCCGGGCCATTGTGAGATACGTTGTCGGTATCCATATAACGAACTTACCGGAACCGCTAAATACCACAATTTGGGGTAAGGCAACAACGAGGCATATCATGCTAAGGATAATAGACATGATTGAATGAGACATCTTGTTAACACAGGCCGCTAGATGTTGAGTTGGTAGGCACTACGAGCGAAGCAGACGGCTATGAGAGATGGGTTCGCATCCCTAAGTATTTATACTATCGCCTTCGCAGACGTCATGGGAGCATATTTTGTGTTTGAAAGAAGGGTCTGATATTCTGATGATCATTCTAGAGGTGTGTGTGCATTCGTACTTGACTATCGAGCAATTGTCCGAACAAGGGTGGTCGTACTGTGTAAAAGTTTAGTGCAATTGACTTCTGTCAAAAGACTCATCCAGCTTCCAAGGCGTGGTGAAAGCGAGAAGTTGTGTAGGTAATGACCATATCGAACAGTAACCCTTATAACATAACGAACGGACGATACCTCACCACAGACCTATCAATGCAGCATCCAAGCCTGCCGACTTCACTCGATCCACACCAGTTTGAACCTTGTTTAGCCAAGCCTCTTCGGAGACGCTACTTGGTGAAGCATTCTTGCTTCGATACTCCAACGGCGTGCCAAGCTCTTCCAGTTCGATGAAGTAAACGTCTTCAAAGGGCACTGGGTTGAGAGACGGTCGTCGGTCGATACGAGTCACCGGGACTCCCAAGCTCGTGAGGAGAGTACTGACAAGGAGATGAAGTGGCCGATGGTGCGTGAGCCTTGAAGAGGATTCAGATGGGTTAGATATTGCTGGAAGACCGATTCGAACCAATGCACGTCGTAGCTGTGGTTTGGACGGCAGTTTTGGCGGAGTGCTTCGGAGCGAAGTCGATAGAACATAGAAACGGGTATAGTTTTCTGCATGATATGAGAAGACGTACAATCTCTGGGAATATGACAATATGACATACCGCTCTCGTTCTGAATACTAGAGCGAGCGACCTCAAGGCCATCGAAAATCGTAGTGCATACAGAGGAACATATTGCAGCACGTTCACCCTCAAGATCATCTTCGGGAGTGAGAAGTGACTGTGCCGCCTCTGCCGTCGATGGCCGCTTCTCAAGGATAGCATTGGGAAAATTATCTTGTAAGAATCGCGTGCATTGTCCAAATGCCTGAGATATCATGAAATGAGTCAGGTGTAATATAACTAACAAGGAACGTTACCTGTTCATGGCTAACGATCTTCACGACATCCTTGAGCTGCACACCCTGCCGTACAACCAGACAATGCTGTATCGAGATGGCCCTTTCCCCCCTTACGAATTTATCGACACCAACTTCAGGGAGCCGTAGGGTATCGTATGTTTCAATAACAGCACCATATATGGTGTTCTCCTGTGGAACGAGAGCGTATGGTACCTCGGGGCCAACGGACTGGAACACCTCTAATCGTCCAAAGCTTCGGTTCACCCCAATTATGAGAGACTCGTTTAAGGCTCACTTGTAATGGTTGAGTAGTCCACGTATTCGACATTCTCGCCGAAATAGTTGCGGGCACACTGTGAAATAGCCTGTGAGGGCGCGTTCGCTGAGTCGGATGCTACGAACCTGGTGAGAATACGTACCCAAAGGGCCGAGGAAGGCAACCTTCGGTAAATTCTCTTCTGAGCTCATATAGCGTTGAGGTAGACTGACGAGGACTTCGTTAAAGTCAGGATATCCAGGAGGCTGCGTTAGTTGTGGTCAATTCCAACGCATGGCCAAGACCAAACAGCCAAATCCTCGATGATCGTTGATCGAATCGAAACGCTCAAAATTCGGGTTCAAGACTTCAATTTCATTCAAACTTCAAGTTGCGCATATCATACTGCCCAAATCAGTATACAGGATGTACAATAACACAACCGCGATTCAATTACAAGAAGAACGTCAACTAGTTGAAGATAATACGCTATTACAATGACCAGTCTTCATATCTATAGTCATTTGGGAAAATACCCCACTTGTGGCCGTGATAGACGAATAGCCAGGTATGCTTCTCCTTGATATGTCTCCTGCATCTCAGGAGCATCCATATCTCTTGGAGGCACACATGATTCACCAGCAGCTTCCTTTTCATCAGCCATGCGGCGAACTTTCGCAGCGATGTCCTCGCCGCACATTGACTGCAGGTGATCATCCAGCATCAAAGCATACCGTCCTGAGTAGTCAAACGGTGAGCGTGAATCACAAAAGTAAAGTGTTGGTAAAAGATTTACGGGCTAAAGGTATACAAGCACCTAACTTCTTAATGGTACTTCTGCAATTGATAAGTACATCACTGTCAATGGATGCAAGAGGAGGGAAAATGGAAGCACATACAGCACGAAGGTAATTTCAGCTTGTAACGTGTCTATCTGATCATTGGCATTTTCCCGCTGTGCTGCTTTGAGAAATCGCGTAATCACGCGTCCTGCTGTAAACCAGGCGAGCTATCAAAGATGTTGGTATACGCCCTATTTTGCATAAAGTAACCTGCCCCATACCACTGGGAAGAGTCCAATCCTCGGAAGTTCGTACTCCGTAGTTGTAACTGAGTGTAGAAGATCGAGTATTGCACGTGCGCTGGTTATACACTGAAAAGCAGATAGACAGCTATGCTTGCCAATAGCGGCGAACTGCTCATGCAAAAAGATCTTGGCACTTTAAAAAGCCGTATCAGAGGAAGAATTGAATGAATGAACGAATGAATGAAGATTCACAGATGTCACTCACATATAAGGTGTACAAACGACAGAATATAAGAGGGGGTCAACGACTTCGCCTTCGATGGGACGCTTGTATTGCGCAGGAAGAGTATCTCGGAATGTGTCGACCATGCTCTCTATCGCATGGAATTCAGCATTCAGCCGTGGATCCTCCGCGATTGTGTTCCTGATCAAATCGGGGTAGTATTGAAAGCGAGAACGGAGACACATGTTTTTCACTCGAGAGAGAAGGAGGACAGATTTGATGTATAGAATGAAGGGATCAGTATGGTCCTCTGGATGTCTTGAAAATAGATCTGCGTCGTGCGACCATTGTCTTCCATTCTGACTTATTGGCAACTAATGCACACCTGGTCAGAGAAGAAAATGAAAAGGTACAATCGTATACGTACGCCCGCTTCGAAATCAGCTAATGTCACCGGCAGCATCTGAGAAATTTCCTCGTCGCTGAGACTCATGGCCCAGCTATTGCCACAGCCATACAGACGTTCCATAGCATAAGCCATCCAAAACACATTTCTGCGTATCTCCTCTTCTGTAAAGGACTCCGCAGGAGGAAGAAAGGGTGGCACATATTTTACTGGGCTGGGGGTGATAATAGGGTATGGCTTGCACAGATTTAATCCGAGAGAAACGGCCATGCGCAAAGTGCTGCCAGAAAGAACGTGTACCTACAGAGACATCATCAACTACTCAACAATTCAGGATAGTTGTCGTACTCACGTCCATCCATCTGACGTACGTACGACCAGGTGATCAGACAAGACTCTGATTGATGATACAAAAAACTTACTTTGCGCAGAACCAATGATACCAACCTAACATGATACTTGCTGGAGTTCATGTCAGTGAAGCGGAATGCAATTTGGAAGGGCTGACAGACCTTGGAGATACTGCAACAGATTCTCGCCTGTGTGGCAATTTTCCATTGTAGAGCGAGCAAACATCGCTTGCTCCTCTGAGAATGACCTGTCCCCATAATCATCTTGGCTCCTTCTCAGAAAGTGAGCAGTAACAGAGTTGGCCATATACCGGCTTCCGTTTGCACAAACGGCATGTAGTAACGGAAGTACAGGGAATCGCGGATCAGATGGATCCAGTAATAGGGACGCCATGAAGGTCGGGGCGTGCAGTAGGCGACGAGTCTGAGCATGATTTGTGAAACATGCTTCGGCCCTAATGTTGCAATCAGTGACTGCGGCAAACCATGAACGAGACCAAACCGTACAGATGTCGTAGAATATCTAACGGAGGAATATTTGGTGGCCATGTATCTTTCAGGACAGGCAGATTCGGAAGGTTGGATGAGCTTCCCATTCTTTCGTCGAATTCGCTCAGTGACGACGGGTTCGTATCTGGCGACACATGATTGTTTGGAGTAACCCAATCCCAAGAGTCACTTCCGCTGCTCGAGCATCCGCGCGAGGGATCTTCCTGCCAGTCGAGTATCCGAAGTAGTGTTTCAAGTTTTTCTTTGGATTAATGAGATTGACTGAAGTAATAAGTGAGTTGGGCGCAGGACTTACTGATCTTGTTCTCCAAGATTCCTGCCTTTTCTCGGTCTTCAGGAGTCTCTACGTCCTCCGGTATCTCGGCACCTTATACGCGTACTTAGCGAAGGTGCGGTAATATGAATGTCTGTGACACACCTTCGTCATAAGTACAGTCAGGTTCCTGAGGAACATCGATTCCTTGCGGGGCATGGGCTAGCGCGTAAGCATGTGAGCGAATACAACCGGCACAAGGCCGTCTGGCATCGCTTGAATAGCTTTAGACGGAGAGAAGGAAGTATTGCGAGAACAAGACAGACCATTTCTAATGAGAAGCATAAGAATGTTATCGATTTAGACATAAGCAGACGGCTTACCATCTTCCTCTTGCGGCATTGGTGGCATGCCTACGGGCATTGGCGATGAGCAAATCTGATCGGAGAAGGGCGAACGTTGAGTCGGTGTACGATGGTGGGTACATACCTGGTGTCGCTTTAGAACATAAGGATTCTCGCGCACACAACGTTTTGAAGACGAGTCTTTGGGCATAGTGATGGAAGATGGGGAAAGTCACGAGAGATAGAATGCCTCATAGTAATAATTAACTAACCCGCTGAAGCAGTTGAACTGGATACACCCGAATTTGTGATACGATCTACGTACTAAACGGTCTGGGGCTCTGCCTCGCCTGCACTGTCAGCGTACCTTGGCTTTGAGTTCATCGCCGGACGCATCCCCGACATCCAAACGGAGTAAGACTTGCCACGTGCCCGATTGCAGATCTCGGATCTCGATTGCGCAAGCGATTTTTGGACGACTCGGTGGCGCAGGTGTACGTACCATCACACTAGTACTGGCCAAAGTCTAAGTACTTTGCCAGAGTGCTTCACGGTCGGCACCGTAGTCTCCAGTGTCTCGTCACGGTTATCTCTGTCTCGGAGTGTACTTGGCAGGGTTCCAACATACTCAGGTTATTTTTTGTCATTACAGACCCTGAATGCTACGCTTCTTAAAACCTTGGAGACATCGTTCACTGTACTCGAATCGCTTACGGCCTTTTCTTCACGCTCTTCACGGACGCCAAATTTGTCGTTCTCAACCCTACGCATCAGCTGCCTCGACGCCTGCTCTTGCTCCTTCTATGGCCTCGTCTTTACAGCAGCCTCAGCGCCACGGCAACTTTGACCTTGTTAGGAAGTTCAAGCTGGACTTCGCAGACATCGAAGTGTCTAAGTGGAAGAGCAGGGTCTCTGGTCTCAGCGTTGTGCATTTGGATTATGATGGTGAATATATTCTCCTCCCGATCGGCTCCTCTTCACGTCAAGTAATCAGCCGTTAACCGCAAAGTACAGCTCCAATCGTTAATGGATATTTCGTCGTCGCAACAGAAAGTAAGTAAATTTATGCTGTCGCTGTCCGTCTGCTTTACTCATGTCGTGATTGCAGTATTCGATGACACCGGGTGTCCCCATACACTGGAGCAGTATGTTACACGACTGTAACTAGTTCTGAACACGATGCTGAAATTATCTTGTTTAGCCTTGTATTCATGGGCTCCGAGAAATATCCCTACAAAGGGATCATCGATCATTTCGCTAACAGAGGGTTCTCAAACGGCACAAACGCGTGGACAGATACTGATCACACGGCATATACTGTATCGACTGCTGGAGAACAAGGCTTCCTGCAAATTTTACCTATCTATGTCGACCACGTCCTGTATCCGACCCTTACAAAGGCGGGTTTCGTAACTGAGGTAAGGTTCCGTCCTTTCCGGGGTAGGGTAACTTTGATGCGACATCACGAAGGTACATCACATTAATGGTAATGGAGAAGATTCCGGCGTCGTTTATAGTGAGATGCAAGGACGTGAAAATACACCTGGCGACCTGATGGCCCTCCGGTAGTTTCTCCTCTCCGTGTATGCATCAAGATTTATTAACTTTCAAACAGGATGCAACGCTTGATCAACCCGCCAGGGAGTGCATATCGTAGTGAGACCGGCGGTCTTATGGAGGCACTCAGAGCTCTCACCATTGAACAAAGTACGTGCGTGTTCGGCTTAGCTCGTAAACCGGTGATTAACTCGTGTCACCCATTTCGCACAGTTCGAAAATACCACCATACATACTACGTTCCACATAATTTCACTCTGATAGTCGCGGGGAAGCTTGCGTCAGGTACAGGATCTCTCTTGGACGTTGTGCAGAACAAGGTTGAGCCTTCTGTTGTGGAGCACGAGCAAAACAAAGGCCCTAGACCTCTCGGCTGGAAGCGACCTTTCGTGGAAACGGACAGTGCTAGGAGGGGACCTATACCTAGCATCATCAAGGATGATGTAGAATTTCCAGAGCAAGACGAGAGCGTTGGCGAAGTTCAGATTAATTTCATGGGCCCACCATCAAATGCATTCTTAGAACGCAAGGTAGAGGCTCTCTATTAACCACGTTTGATGCGATTGTGCCTCATTTCGCGATCTCAGGCTATTGAAATCCTCGGCACCTATCTCACTTCATCTCCTGTGGCTCCTCTCAATAAGGAGTTTATTGAGATCGATACTCCTCTCTGGTACGCTTCCGTTTATCTTCATAACCGTCTTTAGGTGAATAACTGTCATTTTGTGCTCAGTACATACATCTACTTCTCTGAGAACACCGCTGCTACACTTTGCGACATCCCCATCTACATCAGCTCAATACCAACCGAGCATCTCGATGACTTCGATCTCAAGCTCCGGGCTAGCCTACAAAGAATCGCCGGCGAGGGCATCGACATGGATCGCATGACAATGATTCTGAATCGTGACGAGCGTCAGGTAAGCCGTCTGTTTCATGGTTTCATCTTAGTGGTTCCGTATTAAAACCGTATTTAGCTCCTATCCAAATTGGAATCTGCGCAAGGAGATGCATTCTCGGGCACGGTCATTACCGACTTCCTATATGGTGCAGAAGATGGCTCCGAGCTTTCCACATCTGTCGACGAGATCAGCCAATACAACGAACTCAGAAAGTGGGGCAGCAAGGAATGGGCTGGTTTGATCAAGAAGTGAGTCCAACATGCAGGGCACTTTCTTTTCGCTTAGCTGACCGCGAACAGATACTTCCTTGATACCAACTATGTGGTTGTGCGAGGAAAGCCTTCGGCATCCATGGCCGAGCGACTTGAGGCCGAAGAGAAGGCTCGTATTGCTGCGCAGAAGGAGCGTCTTGGTCCAGAAGGTCTCGCCAAGGTAGAGGAAGAGCTGCAAGCCGCTAAGAAGGAACACGAGAAGGAGATTCCTAAAGAGCTCCTGAAGAGCTTCCCCGTTCCTGATGTAAAGAGCATCTCATGGATACCCGTGCAGAGCGTTCAGAAGCCTGGGCAAGGCCGTACCGGTAGGAAGGATCAAGTTGGCAACACTGAGCTCATCAAGCATGTGGAGGCGGATGGCTCGGAACTGCCGTTCTTCCTCCAGTTGGATAGCGTTCATGTGCGTGTTGCTCCTCTTCATCGAAGTCTGTAGAGTCAACTGATTATTCTATTTCAGTCCGAATTCGTTACTGTTGCTGCCTACTTGTCTCTTACAACGTTGCCTGATAATCTCAGACCGTGCGTTAAATTTAATTTCTCGATGACGATTTGTTAACGTTTCTGTTTAGATACATACTCACATATTTGTCCGCGTTCTTCTCACTTCCTGTGACGCGGGCATCTGGAGAACATCTATCGCATGAAGAAGTTGTCCACAAGCTTGACGACGATACCGTCCATTACCAAGCCAGCCTGGGTGTCAATGACATCTTTAGCGAAACGCTGCGGGTGGGTATCAAAGTGAACGCTGCCAACTACGAGACCGCTATCGCTTGGCTTCGGGACCTCATATACGGCGGGGAGTTCACTAAAGAGCGGTGGGTTGTATTCATTTCATCGCCGGTCATGTTCGAGACACTCACTGTACTACTAGATTACAAGTCAACATTGCCAAGATGCAACAGTCTCTCCCTGAGATGAGACGTGACGGCAGCACAGTTTTGAGCTCTGTGTCGGCGAACTTGCTGTACGATGAGAGCTCAACCTCTCGTGCCGGCGGTATTCTTCCTCAATCAGACTTCATCCCTCGGTTGGCAGAGGAGCTACAAAATTCTCCGGATAAAGTGATTAAAGACTTCGAGGCCATCCGCGAGCATAGTGAGTGCAAATTATCCGATGGTGATATTTGGAATTAAAATAAAATTTGCAGTGACGACACCGTCTGGAATCCGCTTTTCAGTTACCGGTAATGTGCTTAAGTTGGAGCAGCCACGCAGCCCATGGGCCAAGCACTTCCAGAACTTGCTACCGGTACGTATGCCCTAAATGCGGCCGACTCTGGTCCTTTATTGATATCATTCGCATCTGTAGCAAGGTCCATTAGCGCCTATACCATACGCTCATGAAACTCTCAGTACACTCGGCAAACAGCCATCGAAGAAGGTATGTCAGCATCTACAAGTTTCTCCAGATCGTAATCTCATATGTGCTGTGAATCAGGCTGTGGTTGTCAGTTTGCCTAGTATTGAGAGTTCTTATGTCACGCATTCTACGAAGGGTTTGCAAGGGTTCGATCATCCTGATTACCCTGCCCTACGCGTGACGAGTGAGGTTTTGAATGCAACAGAAAGCTATCTCTGGGTAAGTCTCTTTTTCGATGTTTATATTGTTTATTTAGCTGATTATGTTCGTAGCGGTACATTCGGGGTTCCGGTCTCGCATATGGTGCATACGTTTCAACAGACTTAGAGGCCGGCTTGCTTAGTTTCTCTCTTTACCGAGTGCGTGGGGGGTGCCTGCTCTCAGAGAGCGCATATATTGACTTCAACTTTTTTTTGTTTTTTTTTGTTAGAGCTCTAATAGTTTGGAAGCCTTTAACCAGGCCAGATCTGTGTTGCAAGGTCTCGTAGACGGCACTGTATGTGGTTTTCAATGGATCTACGGTTGTCATACTTACAATGGGCTTAGATCGAGCTCGATGATACCACTTTGGATGCAGCGAAGAGCAGCATTGTTTTTGGTGTCGCCAAGGGAGCTTCTTCACCGGGGCGAGCTGTACGTGGTCTACACAGCATCTCTTTATTCGAACGGTGCTGACGATATGTGCTCAGGGCCTTCTATCATTCATCAATCAAGCGCTGAAGGGGGTACCTCAAAACTTCAATGTTGAATTGCTTGAGAGATTCCAAGCCGTCACGAAAGAGGATGTCCTCACTTCCCTGAAGCAGCATTTCCTCCCTCTCTTCGATCCATCGTCTTCCGTTGCCGTCGTGGTCACCGCACCCGCTAAGGCCGCCGAAATTAATGAAGGTCTCACAAAAGCGGGCTTCGATGTTGAGCAGCGAACTCTGGATGTGGGCGTCGATGACTCGGAGTATGAGAGTGCGAGTGGAAGCGAGTGCGACAGCGACGAGTGTCACCATTAGACATAGAGTATCTCGATAGGAGACAAGCATACAGAATAACACTCGCTCCGCCTGAAATGACTATGAGATTGCATGAAATGCCAAGGACACTCTCGACATGTCAAGGTTGGGATATATGTAGTACCAGCTGACCTTCTTCATGCTGAAGGGATTTATTGTTGGAGGGAATTACAAAGTTCCTCTTTGGTATGAAGCAGATCTATACACTCGGTGTAGCTTGGGTCATTTTTTGAGCTCATGGCATCAATACTACCTTTCGTACCGCTGGTTTCCCTGTGAGTATTTGCATTGATACGCCAAAGACAGGTAACGCAGGTATAGCGAAGGAAAGAAACAAAGTGGGATAGTGAACATCGACGCTTTCCAATTTAAGGTGTCGCACAACCGTTTGCCGTGTGCCTTGCTTACTCAGCAGCATGAACGGAACTAAGCGCTCTTGACTCAAATGCCAAGCTTGCTCAGGCTCTAGTTACGAACTGCCTTGTACCACGACCTCCACACAATATATGGTGAAGGACACCTTTGTGGCTGCAGCTTTGGAATTATCTGCTCGTACAGCGTCTGATCATTGTTATGACCGCTACATTGGCAAACCCTCTTGCAGGGCCTTCTCACTTGAGAGACATTATACGCCCTCAGTTTCATCAAAACAACTTTGCTGAAGAGAGCTTCGTTAAGAACGAGCTCGGCATCAAGCTCGACAAAGGTATGTGAATGTCTGAAATATAGTAAGGTGATTGGTTGACCTACATTGCATCCTCATAGATGATCAAATATGCCGACTTTCCCTCACCGCTGCAGGGTGTCCTCTGGGTCCACTGCATTGTCCACTAAGACACACACAACCGTCAGCACAGAATTTTCAGCCTCCCAAACAACTCCCTACCCATCCTCGTGATCGAGAACGTTTGGCCACCGTATGCAAACATTGGCTACGGGGCCTGTGTAAGAAAGGCGACGCCTGCGAATTCTTGCATGAGTACAATCTAAGACGTATGCCTGAATGTTGGTGGTATGCGAAGTATGGGTATTGCTCTGCTGGCGATGAGTGTTTATATGCACATCCGAAGGAGAGGAAGGTTGAGTGTCCGGATTACAAGCGTGGGTTCTGTAAACTTGGTATGTCTATGTTCAATGGAGTGTCCACAAGCATGAATGCTTATTACATTGTAGGGCCTTCATGTCCAAGAAAACATGTTCGACGAGTAGCATGTCAAAACTATTTGACAGGATTCTGTCCATTAGGACCTGAATGTCCACGCGGACAGTACGTGTAGCTCCTATAACCTTTTGCCGCAGATTGATTCATGTTCTCTTTCACAGTCCCAAGCCTGGAATGCCGCCGCCTGAAGCTTACGAACCACCCCCACCTCCAACGCATCGGGAACTTGGCCCACCACCACCTGGTTATGGCCGATACGCCGACTTCGGCGCAGGTCCGATGGGTCCAGGTGGAGGGGGTACTGGTGGCCCTCCAGGGCCTCGAAGGAATATTGAAGACGTGGTGTGCTTCAAGGTACGTGATGTTAATTACATGATTTTCAATTACTTGGGCTGACGTTCCAATTCAGTGTGGCGAGAAAGGCCATTATGCCAACCATTGTACTCGGAAGATGGTCCCTGGAAACCGTGGTGGTCTTGATAGGCACAGTAGACGATATGGTGATGAATGAGCATATATGTATTGTTTGTTCGTCAGAGCCTTTTGATATTGTATCGGCTATACCTTGTAGACGTGCAATTGTATTTTCGACGATCTTTATGTCATTGGTGTACCTTGTTCCCGAACATTCATAAACTGAATTATATGAACGGAACTTCGAGTTATGATAATGCTCGTGTGCAATCGAATCTCGACCATTGGACAATATCTAAGTACGGCGTTTTGAGTCTACATATACAATGCTATGACGTAACCTAATTTTGACACTTCTTCATATTCCCTCTGATCGTACTTGATAACTGACACTCTGCTGCGACTGTTCGCACACCTCTTGCAATATCCTCAGACTCATTGCCAGGGGGATAATCAAGGTCCCATCGAGAAGTATTTGTCGCCCTTCACTCATCCATCTGATCAACAGAACGCCTTTGCGGAACCATGGGCTGGCAGAAGACGTTCACATTGGCGAGGAAAGCCAAAGGATGTCATCTCATCACAGACGAGATTGTACAACACGTCCAGCCGGGTCTACGGGGAGTCCAGGTTTGTGACATTTGGACATTGGTCTGGAATATTTGAGATTGTAACTGATTTTACACAGGTCGGAATGTTATTCCTATTCATGTAGGACGGAACTCCTTCATCACTCTGGTACTCAAGTGCTGAAAGGGGTGTGTGACTGATAGTCAACATACCTCCGCTGCCTTGACCATAAATGAGAACTACGACCGCGGTTAGTGATATTATAGCACAAGTTTTCCCCGTCGCGTGCTGATGTCCTTCACAGATGTTAGAACGGGTACTTACAGTTTCGCCTGAACATGGTTAGCTTCCGGTGCTCAATCTTGTATCTAGACATGGACATGGCCTTAGATAAGATCGTTCCAGAGAACCTGAACTGGCTGCACACAGATGAAGGACCAGAGTAAGGCGCCGCTGATATTGACTATTGTTTCGTATCACTGCTGATGATGCCTTCTTGTTCTTTTCCAGTGATTCGTGAGGTTCATCGTCTTATGAAAAGATTGAGGAGCTGAGTCTTGATCCTTGCAGTGTTTCGCATACAAAGACGTCATTGATTGGAAATACCATCTCCATTCCAATCACAGAAGGCCGTCTGAACCTTGGAACATGGCAAGGTCTGCTGCACCTCCTCAGCGTGTCGATTAACTGCGGACGGGCTAATGATTGCGGCTACTAGGAATATACCTTACGGAGTTCCGCCACGCTCCCCATTCCCGACGAGTCGTAGCGACAATCCTGTGAGTCCCATTTTCCGTCAATTTAGTCATGCACGCTCACTTTACGCGGACTTTGTTGACAATAGGTCGTGAGAGAGACTGATATCGAATGGCACAATCTGTATAAGAACAATACTCTGTTGATACCATGGTTACACTTCACACGAATAGACGGGCTAAGACCAAACTGGAGAAATCCCCATTGCGACGGTGTAGATTCATCATCGAGTAATGCGACCTCCTTCACTTTGGAAATCATTGGGGACCTTCGATGAGGAACAGTGACGAACAGGTTAGTGATGGTAACGGTTGAATAGGAACCGGACCCCAGTCTTATTTCCGTTGGAAATTCATGAATTGTTCCGTTAGTAAAGACTGACGGAGCTTGGAGGCTCTGTTGTGCAGCACCTTGCAAGAGAGTTGAATCAAGAAGCTTGCCTGGACCCTGCACCGGACGGTGCTTTCAAGCTTCTATCTAGGAATTATACAGCATTTTAGGGACCCTGTGATAATGCGCTGACTGAAGAAGCCCATGAACTGAACTTTATCGTCCCTGATCGTTGACCGCCCGGGGAGGCATATGAGTGGTTCTCGACTCTAGAAATCTTTTTTGCCGTGGTTTTCTCCCGATGAAGTCTAACCTTGAAAAGGGTTGCCATTCTCAGAGCCTGCTTCCTCACGGCAGTATTTTTAGTTATAGGCAGGATAATCTGAGAAGCGTCCAGCTCTTAGAACCGATTTTGGCCTTAACGAGGATTGATTTGGACTTAATATGGCGGTTGCACAGACAACCTGTGTCTGAGACTTGGAGGCAACGCAAAACTCACCGCCGGCACAGACAATTGAAGCCACATGGTGGGTACCTGACTGGGGTCCGCTTAATTCTTGTGCGGATTATTGTGTGGCTGTGATCTGAAAGTCACCGAGCTCTGCCGCGAGACGGCCCGAACCTAGTTAGTTACCGACGCTTTGTGAGTTTGAGACAAAAGCATGCTTTACGGACGCAGTAGTATTGCTTTAGTTATTTTCTGTGAAGGTGTCGGTGGCTTTACTTTAAGCTCAATACGAAAGGCACAGAAGAACTTCAAGCATTCAAAATTTCAAGTTTCGCACTTCAAGTGGGGCAGGCCGAGAGCTTGATGTGAGTGCCGGAGGAGGCCGGGGTGAATAATGGTGGCGTCTGTGGGGGTGACTGGAGGACAAAAGCGAGGTAGGATCTCAAGTGGCACGTGGCTTGGATCGACTTGGCGTCGGCCGGTTGGGACTCGAATACTTGAGCTCGATCCTCTCTGAGACATCTGCACCTCCCTCCCGGTCAACGCGCCCGTCTGGTGCTTTATTACTCTTCATTCACTGCCTTCCAGTATTTCTACTCTCTCGGCATAGACAGTCTCGTATTCATGCCTAAGGCCGCTAGTGGATCCTCACGGCCTGCTCTTCGTAGGAACCAGGTATTATTGGTGTCCGAGACCATGAACATAGGCATACTCACTTCTGTCCCGAAATTTAGGCATGTCTTTCTTGTAGAAAGCGAAAGCTTGTAAGTTCTCTAGCTTGCTTTGCACTTGCTCGAACTCGCTGCTCATAACTGATCCAAGAAATGCGATGCTGCGCGGCCACACTGTGGTACATGCGTCAAGTGCGTCTGGAGGCTTTCTTTTGATTGATCGAAGACTAACGAACTCTGAAGACAATGGCATGCAGTCATTAGTGTCCCTCCTCCAGTTGGTTATGCGTACGCCACATTGTAGCGCCATGCTCAGCTCTCTCTGATATCTTGCCCTCAGGCATCCTACCGAGCCTCAATGTTCCTATGATCCTGTGGAAGGGTTACCCATCGCACCTGATGTGGATCCAGCTGATAAGATACGCATGTTGGAAGAGCAAATATGTGAGCCCATCCGTTAAATTTGCGTTATCTGGCCGCTCATAGTTTCTTCCCTCTCAAGCACTACTCAAGAGCCAGCTAAATGAATCGAAAAATTTCAATTCACGATCGACATCCCCTCCACGACACTTCGTGCCTAACCATGCACGAGTGGGATCCATTCTTTCAAATTCATCAGGGAAGAGCCCAGCCAATAGTCCCAACGATGGCGGCAACGGAATAATCCTTCCTCAAGCCTCGCTTGACATGACAAACAATCAACGATATGCGGTGGATAGTCCAGAATCACAATTCCGAGGCTCGACTGGTAGTCCGGAGTTAAGACAGCCAGGTGGCAATGGTCTCATGGACATGTTGCTTAGTGGGTGGGACCCTGACCTGCCCGATCACGATACTCTGGACCATTAGTAAGTGACGATATTTAGGGGGCAAAATACTGCGTTGTCTGACAGCTTTCAAGTATCGATGTCTTCTTCAGATGTGATCCGTGTGGCTCGCGCGTGTTACACCGGCCGTCATTCTTGGCTTCCATGCGCTTACATCCAAAAGACCCAAACTTCCCTCACTCCGCAGTACTTCATGCCATAGTATGCTATTAATTTGCTTTTTAAATTTTACATTTGTTAACATGGGTTGCAGTGCGCTTCTGCCTCGAGATGGTCATCGCATGATATTGTTACTTCGCCTGACGGCACTCGCCGTGATCGTTTCGCCGAATTTCATGTAAGCAAGACACGGTCGTATATTGACAAAACAATGGCAACTGGGCAGGATATATTTCCTGTCATGCAAGCATGCATCCTACTCTCCTGGTACTTCTATCAAGAGGGACGATGGGTAGAAGTCTGGATATTTGCTGGTTTTCAGACTAGGGTCGCGGTACCGCTGCGCTTAAACTACCCTGGAACGTTTTCTTCACATGGAGCAAATTCCCCTGGCGCGTATTTGGCTCCTCCGAGGGATTTCAAAGAACTGGAGTGTCGTCGAAGAACATGGTGGATGACTATAATGTTCGACCGCATTGTGTCGGTCGGTGGATGGCTCCATGGCGTCGATGAGAGAGACATCGGAACAGAATTGCCATTGCGATGCTATGATTTTGAGAACGACGTAGGTCTCGTGTTTTCATATCTCTTGATTGCGCGCTCACATTCGATGCAGACGAACATTCCTAGCAACCCACAGGACCTGTCTACCAAAGATCTTTTCACACGACACCCGCCAGCTTACACTGATTCATTTTTGCTATTCTTGAAGTCAGTCATGTTGTTCGGACGTGTGACTGATTATAGTACCCGCAGCAACCTTCGATCTAACAGCGTCCCGACTAAGCATCAGAATCCCTTCCACCTCCCTGGCTTCGAAGAACTCGATGCAGTAGTCTCGAGTGGATTCCTCGAAAGTTTCCCTCCCAACTGGAGACATCTAGGTGTGACTGACGACGGAGGTGCAATGGATACTGACTTGTATATGGCCCATATTGTCCCGCATGCGTATGTGCCATTTACTCGTTCACGGTCGAGATCAGGACTGATTGAATTACACAGCGCCACGATCACGCTGCACAACCCGTTTTTGAATTTCAACGATTCCCAGAACGTGTCGACTGCTCGATGTGTCAATGCTACACGTTCAATTCTTGCCGCCTATTACAGGCTGTCTGAAACTTCACTAGATATCACTAGGCTGCATCCTTTTGTTACGGTCCGTACTCTCCACAAATATGTGTGTTCTGAAAACCGACACTGTTCCTCTCACAGATTTGCTGGTATTTGGCGGCCGTCGTCCAAATTCAATTGTGCAAATACTTTATCGAAATTGGTGATACGTCAAGGGAATCCACGGTCTGGGGAGAGATCAACGTGCTCAGGTGCGTATTAGCATGTACAAATTCGACACTGCTTGCTGATCTAGTGACGTGCCTCAGGTTCGCGATGTTGAATTATGGCACTAAATCACCGGTTGGAAGTAAGTGTTAACTTGACCATAATATTTTCTGTGATGCTGATTATCCTTCCAGCTCGACAAGAGAAACTGCTTCAAGGGCTCATGACGGAGATTGTGCGGATGACGTCGCAGATGCAACCACTGGAAGTCGGAGTGCCTCTCTACCCTTTCTCACACGCCACGCTCTTTTCCAAGGACGGAAGTGGCGTTGTTCAACAGGACCCAATCGATACTCCACTTCCAGATGGAAGACGTTTCGAAGAACTGCCAACTTCCCCAACTTCTCTAGGAGGTTTGGCTTCAACACCGCTAAGCAGTCAAAGTATACCCTCTCCCATGGTTCAGCAAACTCATGCTGCTGTGGGGGGTGTTTCGGGATGGAACACACACATATCTCCACCAAACGTTCGACTGCCTCACAATCCCCTTTATTCTCACCCTCATTCGTCTTATCCACCGCATTAACTTGGGGCCTTGGACAATGGACCTTGTTTTCTTTTTGTTCTTCATTTGAGCGTGCTATGTTTTGTGTAGAGTATATGCTTTTGCTTTGGTCTGGGTAGTCTTCTGTATCCTACCGCTCTCTTTACGTGTCCACCGTTTCCAATTCACATTCTATTGGTCGTTGGATTTTTATGTCGTGTAGTTTTACCATAGGTTCTTCAATGCCGCCGCATTCCATATAACGAACATTACGGACTTTCTGTTAATACACAGGCAGTTATTGACACATTCGACATATGATTTGACCATGCTAGGCTTTGCTGCGAATGGTCGCTTCAACTTGCTTGAATTCAGAATCATGTGTCCGAGATGCCCGAGTTTCTATGCTTTGATACTTGTAAAACTCGCAACTTGGTAAGAAGCTAGCGAAGCACGGGCGTAGAGTTCTCGTGAATCTCGATTTTGCACAAGTTACTGGGACCCCATCGAGAATCGGCGCCGTAATACGCATCCGAAAGGAGGCTAGAAGAACAAAGACATCCATATTCGACATCCTGGGTTACACACCTACACGCATAACGACGCGCCTTCTCAACTTCGGGACATTTTACGTTCCATTTCCAATAATGCTTCAAAACGTGCCTGTTCACGGTCACGATCCTGGTCGGAGTAACGTGAAGCGGAAGAAGTAGGAGCGAAGTCGTCGCCAGGGGTTGAAGAAGATGATCGCCTCTCCAGAATTCGTTCGCGCTCATGTTGTTGGCGGACGGCGTCCCAGGAGGACGCATGCGCAGTTCCTCGTGTATTTGCGGCGCGAATCTCTTCCCATCTGCTGCGTGGTCGTGAAGGCGTGGGTGATGGTGGTCTATCTGAACGTTTGATACGAAGAGAAGCTGTTAGAACGTCCGATAAAACAGGATAAGGTGCCAAAGTGTCTTACTCGACGTTTGGTCTGGAGTATCGGTCACAACATGAGGTTCGCTAGCCCACCCAGATTCATTAGGCTGTCCCTCTACATTCTGACCTTCACCTGCTGGTTTAGCCTCCGCCTGTGCACCTGGTAATGTCCAACCTAGAGGCTGAGTGCCGCCCGTCCTGTAGTTGACGTTTTGTAGCGCTTTGGCAAAGTTGGTAGGATTCTCGAGCTCGTGGGCGAAATTCCAATGTGCTTTGGCACGCTGAAGTTGTCCCCACACCAAGCCAAAGAAAGTCGCTACAAGACTTCCAAAGTACATGCGTGGCGATTTCAAAGACCACCGTCTGCCATACTTGCCATACGCAAGATACGCAGTAGTCGTTCCGGCACCGTAGACATACTGTTAAGTAATGAGAAGTGGTTGCAAAAAGCCATATAAGTATGACGTGACAGCGAGAGAGATCATACGTGTACGAACTGGAAAATAACGATGATGTCCCGGAAGGAAGCTAACGGCGAGATTGTAGTCATGTTCGGTGATGAGCCCTTCTTCGAGATCAGGACGAAGGAGCTCTTCCGCTCTAGCACGGGATCTGAAGGTACGGTCCAACCATTGGACAGCATAAACAGGCATCGATGAGCGAACTAGGATATAAACTTAGACTGCGCTAGTTATGGGGATGTTATGGTTGCATACTGAGGTTGTGTTATGAACAAACCAGGAATGACGTTGTGAATACAATTACGTTGATTCAACGCCGTTGAAATTGTCGATCACTTAAACTCAGCTTATTTCCGTTGCTGCCCAATACTCGGATGGTTCAATAACGAAGCTTGTATTATGTATGGGTGCAGGTTGGAAATAAGTACACGACGGTTCTGAATCGGAAGTCATTATGCTACAAACGATACGTGATGCTGGAATGATGGACATCTCGACACTGAGAGGCTGCGCCAATAGTAATTGTAGTAGACGATGGCTGGCATACATACGAGTGGTACAATAAATATTGGATGGTGGTCAAGTACGCTCAAACATTCGCCGGTGGAGGCGGGTCGGAGAGAGCAGTTGTGCCTGACTGCGTCCAAGAGGGCGACAAAAGCTTACATAAGCACAGTAGTGAAGCAGGCTTTCGCCGAGCCAGAGAATTCACTCGAGTTGCTTCCTCCGCACTCGTAGGCGTCGCTTTCTCTCTGCGGTCCTTTGCTCTCCTGCCAGCCACGTTCCTTTCTTTTCTTTTTCTTTCCAGGCGCAGATGAACGCAGGTGATTTCGCACCACCGGGCTCAAAACCCTTTCCTTCTCCAGTTAGAGATGACAGACTACCACCTATACCATCAGATCATGAGACTGCAATGAATTCTCCTCCTCCGCCCCAGATCGTCCATGACCAGGATACGTTTGCTTCACAGCAAACAGTGCGTGGAGTACCGCCGCCCATTAATACCTCTGGCGGTTTGAGTCCCAACGATTACGGTATATACGTTCTACAGCCGTCCACGCATGATTCTAATACCGACATTACCACAGGGCTCTCTGTTCCCCCCATCACTCCCATATCACCTGTGGGAGCTGTTTCGTCCGGAATGCCTCCTTCGCCGTCAGCAGAAGGTAAACCGAAGAAGACCAACCCTTTGACTGACCTCGTGGAGACTGAGAAAGTATACGTTGACTTACTCACCGGCATAATAAGAGTGCGCATGGCAGTGCAGGTGTAGTAGCGAAGTCACTCTAATGTTGTTCATTGTACAGAAAGTAGCGGCTGCTTGGTCGCGCTCAAACCTCCCTCCACCTGAGCTGGACACCATGTTCAGAAGCGTGGAAGGTGTATACAGGGCTAACCGATCGTTGTTAGCGGTATGTAATTGATCTTTACGTCACACCACCAGTCCCCTCACCTGCTGGTCAGAAATTGAAAGAGATCGGCACTAGTCCTTCGTCTCCCAAAGCGCTTGGAGATCTGCTCATGAGATGGGTCAGTTAGACAGCTCCAATATGTTCGCATTTACCGATCTTCGTCTAGATTGATGATCTGGAAACTCCATATACCACCTATGCCGCAAATTATTGTGCTGGCTTCGATGTTTGGGGCCCTGTCCAATCAAACCCACGGTTAAGAACTACTCTTGCCATATTCTCGTCGTCAAATCCTCCTCCTCTTCCACCCTCTTCACCGCCACATCCTGCAGAACCTCCACTGTGGACACTTGATGACTTGTTCATTCTCCCCAAGGATAGGCTGAAGTACTACAAGAAGCTCTATAGTCGGTTACTCAAGAGCACTCAGCCAGGGCGAAGTGATCATCGTCTACTGACCGGGGCTTTGGACAAGCTAGATGGGTTACTTTCTACTGTGGATCAGAGGTCGAATTTGAAGATCGGTGACAACTTCGGCGCACCTCCCCCAACTCTCGCACCAACTACTGAAGATGAGGTAGTCATTGACATGAGATCTCGCAACAGCAATGGACTTCCGCCGAAGAACTTCATGGTTGGACCTCCATCCAATCGGGACAGTGATTCAACTGGTGCTGGTAGTGTTTCTAGCAGGTGTGTACATCAAGTAAGATCATGTCCGCTAATTTGGCTCAACCATGCATCAGAGGACGTATGTCTCAAGAAACTGCACCTACGTCGGAGGACAGAGGGTCAACTGCAACGCTGGGCATGCCTATCACTGACCTGGAACGTCGGCTATCCACGGAGCGCACTCTAGATATTTTCACCATGAAACCAAAGGTACCCTCGGTTGTTCTCATCGTGTTCTGTAGTACTCATCGATCTGTCTTTTTCAGCAAGTTCGCCTTCAGATATCCCCACCTACATTGCATTATACCCGAGAATTGCGTATATCTGCGGACGTTGTCCTTAATCTAATTCCCCGCTCCACTGGCATTGAGGTCATCCAGGAACGTGGCCATATATTCATACTAACAGACCTCCTCTTGATTTGTGAACGGATGACCAAGGAAGAGATGTCTCGGTATGGACCGGACGGACCTGACATGTGGCTCCTATACCCTCCTTTGGCTGGCAAACACTTGCGTGTCGCACCCGTTGAAGGTTCAGGTGTGTTTTATGCGCTTTGCCTCATTATTCTCCATCATGATTGACACGCAAACCTCAATAGCTACCGCGTTGAATGTCACCATTCTGCGTAAAGAGACTTTGACCGTCTCCACGGGCTCTCCTCAAACTCGAGACAGACTTGTTTACGAGTTCCGGGAATGTATCGACGCCGGTGCCACCTGTAAGACCTTTTATATGCGATCAAGTTGAGCTGTATTTGACAATCATTGATAGTGCTGCCACCATCGAAAAATGCTCAGCCTCCACCACCCGTTCCTCCTCTGCCTGGTACCAATAATTTACCGAGATCGCCTTCTGCACCTCTCGAACGAAATCTAATGTATCCCCCTAATGAATTCCCACCATCAGCACGGTCAAGTGGAAGCCTGAGCCCGCCTTCGCGGGCACTTTCGCCAGGCAGCCTGGCGGATGGTCGTGTCATGTCACCTCCCATGGGGCCAGGAATACTCGATGGCATGGCGAGGATGGGACTTGCACCAGATCCCAGGATGAACCCTCAACCCGGCCAAACGTATCCTCCTCCACGCTCGAGCTCTGCTGCTCCCGGGGGCCCTGGTCCTTCGTTCGCGCCGGGACAGGTTATGCCAGGATCTGGTTTTGGACCTGGTCAGGTGATGCAACCGCCGTCGTTTGGTCCTGGACAAACTATGCCTCCCTTCCAAGGCGGACCTGGACAGATAGTTCCTCCCCCACGTGGAGCCAGTACAGTGTACAGAGGACCCGGAGGACCCCCACCTCCTGCAATGGGGCTCCCGGATCGTCCCGGACCGCAAGGGATGCAGTACAATGGACCTCCAGTTTCAAATGCACGTTTCTCAGGTGGTTCGGGTTACCCGCCATCTCGACCTCCTTCGGATGGTTCCTATGGTAGCAGTCTTCGCAAGTCGCCTTCCTCTCGTTCACTGGCTTCGCAATACGAACAGATGCCGCCGAATGGTATGCCGCCGCCCATGCCGGCGTACCCAGACGGTCTACCCCCTCCGCGACCTGGGTTCCTTCCTCGAAACGACTCATCGGGCTCTTTGTCGAGTCTCCAAGCACCTCAACCTCGTCCATTACTTCCTTCAGCTCAACTGAGCCTTCGGTCGGTGTCCACAGCTGTGTCATTTGTTGAGCCTAGTCCGCCCAATTCACCTGTGGAAGAATCGCCTCAGTATAATGGACCAGTCACCTCCACTGTCTCAGCACAGATGAAGTGCAAGGTTTTCCTGAAGCAACATCATGCTGCCTGGAAGAGCCTTGGATCAGCAAAGCTTAAGCTGTACAGAGAGTCGCCGACCAACATCAAGCAACTGGTGGTGGAAGCCGATAACAGCAAGAAAACCGTCATGATATCTACTATTGTGCTCCCGGATGGGGTGGAGCGGGTGGGTAGGACAGGCGTAGCCGTCGAGCTTTCTGACAAGGGTCTCAGAACCGGGATCGTATACATGCTGCAGTTGCGGAACGAGCAGGCGGCGCAAGGTCTATTTGACAGTCTTCTCGCTGGCTCAGACCGATCAGAAGCAGCGGGCAGGGCATGAACAATTCCCAAATGGACTGTGCATTTACCTCTGGACAATTCTTACAATCTTCCACATTGACATGCTTTCGGACTAATTTGCGTCGCCTTTCATGGGGAAATACAGCTTACACTTCCATTTATTTTTCCTATCGCACTTACATTAGAGTACCACCATTCCTGATATTCCATGATCTCATTGGTTTTTTCTTTTATGAACATGATTTTACATTCCTGTCTGCTACAAATTACACTGGGGACTTTTAGGATGAAGGTGTTGGTTGTGGCTCCGGCCACGATAGCTCTGCACAGAGTGAAATGTGATCACTGCCACATTTACCCTTCTGCGGTAGGCCTGGCTCTAGGTCTGCAGTGAAAATAGGTTTTGCCAGACCAGTAACTAACACTGGCCGATCCACAGGCTCCAATACGAAGATATAGTCTGTAAAAATTGAGCACACAAGTTTTGGGAGAAAGCAATCTGCCTGAACATACCTAGTACAGTCTTCCAATACTAAGGGAATGTTAGCACTTAAACCGCACACTCGGACGAGAAAGACGTACATGGGTATAGCTTGTCCACAATGGTTCATAACCTCCTGATCTGCTCGGCTGCATAGCTACCCTCGAGCCATAGGTCAACTCTTCGACACCTTCACTTGATCGTAGCCCTCGATCGTAGGCACTGAATACATGACCTGTATCGTTGAACAATTTTGTCAGCTCTACATCGTCCAATAGCCCGTCTTCTTCACGGGCTTCCCGCGCATTGGTGATTATTCTGTCAGGATCGGTCTCCGCTCCTTCCTCTTCATCGATCAACACATCATCGCCCATCATCTTGTCAGTGGTGACAGGAACGCTTGGGTCGATCGTTACGTGTACCACACGCGATGGAGCCAAACGTGCCCGCTGTTCAGGAAGGAGGCTATCACCGATGAGCAGTGAGTATACTGGGTCCTCGGGCGTAAAGTTGAAGTCTAAGAGACTGGCTGGATGAGATTATGAGTATAGGAACTGTGCAAACACCGCACCGCCTGCGATGACACAAGGCCAATGGTCTTTGCCAAGTTCGTGGCGGAATTTCGCTGCTTCACGAAGGAGGATTCCGGCTTGCCTGCAACCGGACTTGTGAATTGAGTTCATGAGGGATTGTTGTATAAGGTTATCCTACCTGGCGCGCTCATATATGTATCTGCAGAGAAGCAACTAAGCCAATTGTCACCAAACCTTGAGAATGACACACGCACCCAGGATGCCAAAAGAGATGAGTGGTCGCTACTATCACTCCAGTGTCCGCTCTACCGGCGCGCTGGAGAGCAACAAGGGAACATATGTTCCTCGTCCTGAAGCTACTCCCGTGTGTATTTAATTTATCATAGGCTTCACGAACTTCTTGATCATCATAGAAAATAGTCCTTTCACGAACGGTGGAAAAGACATCCTTGTGGAATGCGACAAGACAGCCATGCCGCTTGCGAGGACCCGCAGCGTACACGAAATTATACCCAGCATCTTCCAGCACAGGAAACAACCTCTCAGTCCGATCAACCTCCTACAAACAAGTGTCAGGACAGGCCGGAGAGAGACTGAGAAATAAGCTTTCCTGGAGGCAGCAAATATCTGCTTTATGCGAGAGAATTTCGCGAAACAACATATGCTCACGCTGGGCTGCTTTCAAACAGTCCCCACTCGTCGGGAACAACTCGCGACCTGAGTGCATCTTTCGCCTCATGTCCACTATCAAATGACTAGAGGTGGCACTCACGAATTAAGCATTGGGCTAGCAACTGATTGAAACGTCGTTCATTCAATCTGCTCAGGTATACGAAAGAATAAACTGACATTCCATGACATAATCTTCACAGAAACACCGTCTGGTGCAGGTGGTTGAATTGACAACCATTCTCGAGGGAGTATACGTGATCTTTCTTCTTCTTCCTGCTTGGCCTTCTCCATCTTGGCCAGTTTCTTCAACCGCCTCACCTCCACAAGAGCTAATTGCTCAGGTGTTGGATGAAACTGGTTTGGCCTTTCCTCAGACATCCTCCGAGGCTGACACGAACGTCGGGCACAGAAACTACGAGCACAGGTTATTGGCAAGAGTTTATATGGCCTCAGGAATGTGTGTCCAAGTTTGAATGTAGCCAGCTTATGTAGACAGACAAAATAGCTAAGCCTAGACGTTTCAGGCGGACATTCTTTTTGAGGCAGGACTGGCACCAAATCGGGCTGTTACGTCATCTGGTTTCTCCCATAAGCCGGTTTCAAAATATGAGAGGAAGATACGCATGATAGCAAGCATGTCCCGGAATGAAATTAAGGTGTCTAACGTGTGCTAGAGAGATATAGTACAATGGAAGGGTGAGGAGCATAGATTCAAAAAAATGATAGCATGTGCGAAGAGCTGCAACAGAATATTGTCCCATCCATCCAATCCAATACGATACGAATAATAAAACAGAGCAAGAAAAATAAACCAAATGGAGAAGATCAGCAGACGGATGAGTATCCTGGTGCACGCAGTGACCAGAGCGAGACGAAAACAGGGATACGATGGCATCATGGAGCGAACTTCTGCAGTGCCTGAAACGCGGCCGTGATGTTGCCAACATTGACGTTGGCATTGTTACGAAAATGAAGAAAGTTGAAAGCCGGCTGCCAGACTTGGCGGAACGTGTCGTCAGAAAAGGAGTTATCGCGTACAACCTCAGGCGACGACGAACGTTCTGTCCATGCAATGGATGATTGCACAGCATTGATAGTCCAATCCCTCAAGGATAATGACTGGTCACTGCCAAAGAAGAGCGATCCTGAAGGCGTAGAGAAGGCGGAAACCGTCGAGGCAATGTCTAAGGGGAGTACTGTCCCAAGTACAGCGACTTCAATCGCTGGTAACGACGATAATGCTGAGAACACGGCACTGTTGCTGTTAGGAGGCACTGCGGATGAAGAGAGGACGAATTTGACGAGCGAGATAGCAACATTCACGTCCGTGATCGACGTGAGATACTTCAGGACAACATGATTAAGGTTGTTCAAAGTACCAAACTGACGAGGATCTGTGACGGCGGAGGTGATATTGGTCGAATTGCTTCCACCAGAGAGTGCACTCAGGACTTCGCCGCTATAGACGATAGCTCGTGAAGATGCATCGCGGCTTAAAATGGCAGCTTGTTTGGCTACGCTCGTTCGCGAGTCTGCGAATGGCAAACGCAGTCGAAGAACATTCAATATGCCATATATTGGCCGATTGGGAAAGCATGAAGTATCAAACTGCGAGGCCGACGAAGCTGAAGGTAAGTCGAACACAGTTGACTCGAAGGTGTTAATGGCTTGCAATTGACTTGACGCCAAACCTGCATAGCAAGAAAGGGGAGGTGGGAAAGGTAATGTGCTCGTGTTGGTCATGAGATCGCTGACTGGATGAGTACCAGGCGAAGAAGTGGCATCAAATGGGAGTAGAATGGGTGAGCCGCTGACTAGTGAAAGGAATGAGTTCAAATTCTCTGGCTTTTGCTGTAGAACGGCTGTCCAGTAATTGGATAGTGCCTTCTGATGTTGAGTCGAGGACGCTGCATAGAAGATGAGTATCATGCATCGACTATTGTGATATGACACGAAAACATACCTGACGCAAAGGTGTACATTCTGTCCAATGCAGCGCGAGAGACACCATTCGTCCGTCCAATCTGTTCTTGACTGGGCTGTCCGACGTCAACAAACGTTACAGATGGCGGGGTCACTGTCTGACCAGCGAAGTTGAACTGAAAACCCGAAACTGTTGTCGTGAACCGTGATGAGGAATCGGAAGTTGGTCCATCAGAACTGCCTAGCGAGTTCCACGGCGCTTTGACTACAAATTCCTGAAGTTGCGCTACGTCTGCAAGGTTCCCAGACTGAACAAGGTTCCAGAGCAGCGCGGCCTGAGCCCACTTTGCCCTATTCGATGCTGTTGTGGCATTTAATCCAGGAGCCACGTCAACAAGGAGGGCTTGTTTCGAACAGTCATCGCCAGGAGCACCCTGAGCCTGCCAGATAGATGTAGCCAAAGACGCCGGGGTGTAATCTGCGCCAAACTGAGCGTTCAAAGTTGGCACTAAGTCGACTAGGCTCTGAGCAACTTGATTACACTGCCCAGCGATCGTCGATGTACACACGCAAGTGGCATCTGAAACATTGCAAACATCACTTAGAAGGGAGAAGTTACACGCCACTTGATGAACGACTTACCGAGACTGCAAGCGGCCCCAGTCAAGTTACCCGTGCAGACAGGTCCAGATGCCTTTTTCTTCCCAACTGTGACGCCCACAGCTACCGCAATGACAATGACGGCGACTGCGATGACTGCACCTATGATGATCCATAGCTTCTTCTTTCCTGAGAGCACAAAGCCTTTGGACCTTGAAGGAGGGGTATCTGGAGGGACACCCCATTGGGACTGCCTTAAATCTTGAGAGCGAGTCCTGCGGCCATGAGCGGAGTGCATGAAACCAGCTGCGACAGCACCGCTGTTGCGTACTTCTCCAACGTAAAAATTTTCGACACCAGCTGTCGCCTCAGATTCGGTCCCCATACCACGCGAAAAGGAAATATTGCTTTGACTCTGATACGGCCGATGTCCTCTGTCCAGCATCTGTTGCAATGTACGCGCGCGATTGAGAAGGTCAGGCAGTGGAAGTGCCGCTTCAGCCTTCCGATGTTCGACCTCCTGGACAAGTGAGAGATCTGGAAGCCTAGGTACCGGGGGAAGGGGTTTCTTACGAAACCACTGTGCCGCCGCCTTCAATGACCTTCGCTCACCGCCAGTGGAATGTGATAAACGTGAAACGAAGGAAGAAACGTAGCTTTTCGAAGTCTTGCTTGAATACGCCGATTGTCGACGCTCTCGTTTCTGCCTACCCCCTGGGGTAGAGGGCCCCGGTGAATAGTCATCCTCTCTGTCATCTTCTTGTATTGTTTCGCGCCGAGGAAACTGCTTGACCAGTGGCGTCGTGCTGTTCATTGAGTGAAGACTAGGCGCAGTTGTCGACATTGAACGAGTCGATGCAACTGCCACGCCCACGGCACCTACTTGTGTATAGGTGGCATTTTGTATAACAGAAGGGTCACTGCTCCCCGTGTAGGAATGTCCTGTATCAGACTGAAACGCCTGGTCAGATGTAGGCGTAGAGCGACCAGCGGTATTCTCATGTGACTGAGAGGGAACAGATAGCAATGATGGACCTGAGAGAACAGTTGGTGATCGAGATATGTCGCTATTTGGGGCGTGCGGCGGAAATTGAGGCGTGCGGGGTATAGAATCTGGAAACACTCGTCTCGGTGGGTAGGTCACGACAGACTCCGCGCTGAACATGTCGCTGATGACAGATGCCTCGTATGGATCACGCTTGTACCGTGGTAGGGCTTCCCCATGGTCTTGCGTGTCCGAAGTGAGAAGCTCTGTGAGGAACTGTGTGGACAGCATCCTGTCCGCGTACCCATCCAAGCCAATACTAGATGATCCGTCATGCCAGTCGTGAGGTGTCGGCAATTGCGAGGCAGCCCCGACCGAAGAGAATGTGGGATAGGTTGGAGTCAGAAGGGGCGACGATCCTGGAGGTGACGGCAACTGACGCCGACCAATGAATGCGGGCCTGCCCGTGGAGGAAGACAGGGCAGTACCTGCAGAAGAGATAGAGTCTGCCCTATGAGGCGAAGGGGGAGATTCGACATCAACAACGTCCACCATGCGAGTGTGAGCTTTCGGGGTGTCGGGAGGTGTCGCAAGGTAACTTGAGCCGGCATTCGCGGTAAAGTCCAAGCTTGCCTCGAACGGACTAATGGGTACACCAACGGGCGGTGGTGGGAAGAGGGAGAGACGTGATAAGCCCTCCGTAGTTGTTACAGTATTGAAAGTGAGTCCGGAGGCATTGGTCGTAAGTGAAGGGCGAGATCTGTGAAATAGTGATTTTCGATTCAGTTCATCTTGGACATCTTGAGATTCTGACATGTCTTGGAAGACATGAGTGACAACGACAAAGAGCAAATGAAAGAATACCACGACGCACTGTGTCAAATACGTCAAGATGGTGATGTACTGATGCACCGCAAGGAAGTGGCATATCACACTACCCTGGATCGCAAAAATCAGCGTTGGCCTTGGACCACCACGCTTTAGACAATCCTGCTCAGAGTCTTCTGCGTTGACGTAGTGCCTGGGAGCTTCAAAGAACTTCGGCAAATTACTGCACTTAAGCAACAACACCGACTGATGAGCGATGAGCTTTGGGAAAGCGGCCTTCGTGAATTGGTAAAGATGAAGGTCCCCGAGGATAACAACGAAGCCAAATAACAAAAGAGCGTGGAAAAAGAGTGGGAAGGTGGATAAGACAAGGGAAGTCTTAGAGTGGGTGAAGTAGCCAGGTCCAGTGATGAAAGCCTGGAAAGCTGTCCCTGACCAGGTCCCGTCGTCAGCGCCTTCGATGAACGTAAACGTTTTCGCTGTCCTCGCGCACATTATTTTTGTTCCTGGTCTGAGCTCATGGATAGCACATCATGCATGCAGTTGAAGAATACCGTAACACCAGGGATATTCCCGAAGCCTCAGCGCGTACATAGGAGAGATACATGTGCGCGTTTGCAACTATAACTTTGATCGAAAAAAGCAATATGAAATCTCCAAGTACGCATGCAACATATTACAAAAGTAAAAAAAGAGGAATAGACCAACGAACATGGATATCACCGTGCAAAGAGTCTCGTGAAGCAGTATAACAGAGACACAGGGCATGCTGTATGTAGTGTTCGAATGGTTGGTAACTGGGGTTTGTGCTGAAGGCGGGCGTCCGAGTCGTAAATGTGTGTGAATTCGTAAAGTCGCGACAGTCGTTTGACATCCAGGCAGGATCCTACGATCCTTTCTATGGATCTCGAAAAATGATCAAGCAATGATGCACTTGCTGCCCTTGCTTGATTTCTTCGGCTGAGGTGGGGGGTTGACTGCAATCGCCATTAGTTGCCAAACTGACTTAAACGATTAAGCGTACTCACGGACGGCGCGGATTGCCTCATCGAAGACTGTCTTCAAACCCTTCTGAGTCAATGCGGAACATTCCAAATATTTCACGGCACCGATATCCTTGGCCATCGCGACTCCCTGTGAATACTGTATCGGAGCCATTCGCCTGAAACAAAGTTAGAATAATTCAATGCAAGGTTGATGACATGCAATACCTCTCTCGCAGCTTCTCAATTGTGCCGGGGTCTTCACGAAGATCAAGTTTGGTGCCTACCAAGACGATGGACGTAGACGGTGCGTGATGAGAGATTTCAGGATACCACTAAGCCATAGCTTCAGTGATTCCTACGTTTGGGGTGATGTCAAAGCGAACACACCTTGGTTCGAACATTCTCAAAACTTGGAGGACTAACAAGAGAAAAGCAGATAAGGAAAACGTCTGTTTGAGGGTATGAAAGGGGCCGAAGTCGGTCATAATCTTCTTGACCAGCAGTATCCCACAAGCCCAGCGAGATGGTTTTCCCGTCGACCATGACATTGGCCGAGTAATTATCGAACACTACGACCGTGTGAGAAAGAGACATTGTACAATGCATCTCTGTACATACCAGTTGGGATATATTCGCCCTATGGGAGAATGTCAATGGAACGTTTAGAGTTAGAGCTGACGCGACGTACGGGGAAGGCGTTTGTAGTGTACGAAATCAAAAGGCATGTCTGTGAGGTAAAACCATCAGGCTCGCACGTCCGAGGATTCCAGTGACATTACTCACCTTTCCAACTGCACCATCTCCTACAACAACACCTATATTCGAGTCCGTAAGCATTTTTTGAGCGTTAGATTGTGCCAACGCGCCAGAAACACTAACACTTAATGGCCTGCATTCTGTGTATCCAGAAGTATGTCTATCGTTACGCTGACTTGGGGATGTTGAGGACGTCGTGCGAGCTTGTCGTATAAGATGAACTGAAAAAACAACACGTAGCCGCGAGGCAGACGAAAGGCGTTCAAAGCGTAGGTTGGACCGGGAGAGTGACACAGGAAGGAGATAAGTGATCGTCCTCGGTCAAAACGAACCGGGCACGGCTTACATTGTAATTGAATCCCAGCACCAGTACGATCCTTCGGGCCCAGCTTCAAGAGAGTAGCGAAAGAAGGGAGAATAGAGAGAGGAGAATAGGATTGCTGTACTGATGGCTTGAGATGTATATAGAGCCTCCAGGTCCTCAGTGATACTTCTCAGACGGTTAGGGCGTTACCCTCCCACCACAGCCCGCTTTCCCACGCTTTCCCATCCTTTGCCTCCTCCCTGCACATTACGTTTGCCAAAAACGTTCTCTGGTATTGATATGTATGTTCCATACAGGCCTAGTTGTATACATCCCAACACCTACGTATATGCTACGCTTGCAAGCCAGCATCTCCTTTTTATCCTTTTCGAAGCGTCTCGTCCGTTGCCGATGGCTACCCACCTCCCCATCAACCCAATCAGCGCTTTCAACTCCCTCTGATGTTTCGGACGTCGTCTCGGTCTTACCTTCGTTCTGTGTATTCAAAAGAGCTTTATTGAACTGTTCGGTATGGAATGCACTGCCGAAACTCCAAGGGAGTATGCACTTGCGATCCGCGTGCCCGACCTGTCAGACGACATGGAACGTCAGGACACTTGCATATTTCCCGCCGCCTACATCAAGATGCGATTTCCTTGTAGCGATGGTATCTTGTTCTCTCATATCTCCCAGTTGATTTCCGAACGAGTTCTCAATTACCGAAGCGATGGAGATTGATAAAGCTACTAACGCCAGTGTCTGCCCTAACCTTCAGTACCACTACATACATAACTAAGAGCAACTTTTTCCTCACTGCGTGCTTCTCTCACGATCGCCGCATATAGCCCACTATCTGAGCAATGAGTACTCCGGTCTCCTTCGGTATCGATGACATCAGTACCAGGACGACTATAAAAGTAGTAATAGACCAAATCTCTAAGGCGCACATTCAACGTTGCTCTTGACCACCTCATCCACGTTCCTTCACTGACGTATAGCGTTCACGGAAAGATGTCAGACTCAGAGACTAGACCAATGCCCCGCCTGTTCTTGATTCGTCACGGTACGTTTACACAGAGTGTATCTGAAATTTGGGATTGACTTTGAACCACATTCTAACAGGAGAAACAGAGTGGTCTGTAAATGGGTTAGTTCATCATCGATTAGCCCATGAACAATGCTAGTCATGATTCTAACCTCCATGTTGTGAACGCTACAGTCGCCATGTGAACCCCTTCTTTTGTTCGACCATATCGATTGATTGCTGAGGACACTCTAGACCGGTCGCACAGATATTCCTCTGACCCCCAAAGGCGAGCAGGAGACTACTGAGAAAGCAGCCCAATTAGTTGGAGAAGGCAGTATGTTCACCAAATGCCAAGTTCATTCAATGTCGCCATTGATGGACTAATAATTTTTGTAGAGGTGATCGACCCCAGAAACATTTGCACCGTCTTCGTATCTCCCCGAACCCGAGCGCATAAGACCTTCCACTTATTATTTGATCAGCTTCCTGCCCTGCCTTCCCATGTAATCACTGAATCTGTTCGAGAATGGGATTACGGCGAATACGAGGGACTCCTCTCTCCCGAGATTCAGGCGAGAAATCCTGGTTGGACTATTTGGAAAGATGGATGTCCTGGCGGTGAAAGCACAACGGAGATGTGTTTCCGAGTAGACACTGTGATCGAACAGGTATTACCGAATATGTCGCGATTTTCTCTGGCCTGATGTGAACAACCACAGGTTCGCGAATATCATCGTAAGTGGCTGGAGAAAGGCGAAGGATCCCGAGATGTTGTTATCGTCGCCCACGGCCACTTCAATCGTGTCCTTATCGCTCGATGGATTAATTTCCCCTTGTCCTTAGGTGAGTGCGGTACTTGTTGTAGCCACTTATAAACGCTGAATGATGCTCATGAAAGGCACTCATTTCAACGTTGAGCCTTCTGGCGTAAGTTTTGCTGTTGCATGTCTTTCGAGTACCACTGAACGGGAATTCAGATCGCTATTCTGAGCTACAATCATCGCAATATCCTCGAACCCGCATTGAACGCGCTGAATTTATACGCGCATGTTGGGTGAGGTTGTCAAGCCTCCTGGATTATGTGTGCGAATCATGGACGCAGATAGACTGGACTAGGATGTATAGCATATATCGCTTCTGTGAAGCAAATGAATTCGACGTAATGATTCGGAGAGGACGGATAATTATGTTAAGCGCCCAATGGGATACATGGCTACGCGTCAACGGACTTTCCATCGTTCTGTTCGCTGGCTTTTGCTTCTTGTCTTGATACCCACTGCTGCGGCTGGTATACTCGCAGTACTTTCCTTATCTATAGTACTGCTTTATTCTAATGGCCGACGTCGAGGAGCAGCATCCAGTCGCTGGTGTCGAGGAACACGACTCTATTCCAGAAGAACCTGAAACCACACTCTCTGACTCACATCTCGAGCCTGAACAACACGAGGCGTCAGATGAAATAGAGGCCACACCTGTGGATGTAGCTGCCGATAACGAGGTGCATGTCCCAGCTGCAGATAGTGAGCCAGCTGAGGCTGGCGTGCCAGGTGCTGCTGAGATCGTGGATGCAGCACCTTCAGCGGCGCCAGAACCAGAGGCGAAGCAGGCTGTACCGGCTTCTCCCTCAAAGCTGAAGGCGAAGACCTCCATATCTACCAAACCGCCAGGCAAGGCAGTTGCCGGTACGACGGTTAAGAAAGTATGTGTAGATTTGCCATGCATACGCCGCAACGTGCTTAATTCATATCACAACTTGTGCATCGTAGGTCCTGAGCTCTGGCACGTTTGGATCCGGTGCACCGAAAACTACACCTGCAACGACGAAAGTCGCAGCTTCCTCATCTACTGCTACCAAACCCGTCTCTGCGACATCAGCCCTCAGGAAAACGTCTAGTGCTGCCCCTACTTCGGCTGCTCGATCCACTATGCCGCCTAGTAGGCAAACATCTACTGGTGTGTCAGGCTCTGTTCCGACTGCTTCACGGAGGGCGTCGCTTGCCCCGAAGGCGCCGACGCCTGCTGCGCCAACGAGGACTGCGACTACGGCCGCAAGACAGAATTCCGTTGTCTCGCCGCCGACGCGTCCCGATTCTGCGGCCTCATTGAAGTCCTCGTCATCCGCTCGTCCCCGTGCCTCCGTCAGTGAAGGTGTGAAGCGTGCCCCACCTCCTCCAAGGGCAAGTCTCGCAAATGCGACGACTAACAGAGCTGCTAGCGCATCGTCCGCCAAGCCTCCTACTAGGGCTACGGGTTCCATCACATCGATCAAGGAAGTTAGAGATGATAGTAAAGTCGTAACGGAACTTCAAAACAAGGTGAGTATCGCTTAGAAAGTACCATAACGCTATATTCATCCACAAATAGTTAACGGAGGCTACCTCTTCATTGGCTTCCAAGACTGATGCCGCTGAGGCATTAGAAGCCGAGGTGGACACGCTGAAAGCTTCGTTGGAGTCATTGCGGGCAGAAGTCGAGGCTAAGCAGTCTGCAACACAGGAACTAGAGACGGCCAAGGCGTCTGCAGAATCCCAGCTAGCAGAATTGCAACAGAAGCTTCAGGCTCTGCTGGCCGAACGCGACAGCGATGATTCCGTCTTGAAGGACATTCGAGAGGAGGTATGATTGTCTCATTTTTGTCATTGATAATGTTAACATTATATCATTTCTAGCTGGAAGCTGCGAAATCCGCCAATGCGTCTCAGACAGAGCTGATTGAGAGCTTGCGGAGTCAAATTTCGACCTTGGAATCTGAAGTGCAGGCAGCGAAGGACAACCTCGATGTTCTTCGAGCTTCTTCAGAAGCTTCCTCTACTGCCGTGGCTGCAGCTGCGGTCGAGCACGATGCACTTCTGAAGGCTCAAGCCGACCTCCAAGCTATACGGGCTGAGGTTGAGCGAGTAAACCTTGAGCATAGCAAAACGCTTGCTGAGGCTGAAGAGAAGATAAAGGCCTTAGAAAGCCAAGCCACGCAGGCTGCCGCATTCGAGGCTCAAGTCGCTCAGCTCAAGGCGGAGAATGAAGAGAAAGCAACAAAGGTTTCTGAGCTTGAGATCGAGGTCCTGGAGATGAAGGAAGAGCAAGAAGCTATGGAGGACGGGCGATCCAAGACCCTTTCGCGAATCCAATCCTTAGAGGAAGAGCTCGCGAAAGCGCAAGCGGCCGTTCTGGAAGCAACGGAGGCTGCTAAGGCGAAGGAGGTGGAGCTCTCCGCTGCCGCTGAGGCAACCGCTCAGTCTCATACCCAGGAGGTCGAGCATCTTCAACAACAACTCGCTTCCTTGACGCAGCAGTTGCAAGAAGCCCGCATAGCTCATGATTCGGTTCTGGCTTCTTTGAAATCGATGGAAACACAATTGGAGACTCAAGCTGATGAGCATCGTCATCAATTACAAGAGCTCGAGCAGCGCCACCAATCCAAACAGGATGAGCTTTCGGAAGAAATCAAGCGCATTACTACGGAGCTCGAAGTAAATAATTGATTATCTCACATGTGGAAACCGAGCTGACAAGATTTCATTTTCAGAGTCAAGAGTCAAAGTACAATGCTAAGGTAGATGAGGTCAAAGCTCAGCATGAAGAACTTCTGAAGGAGGCTTTCGAGCGTGCAAAGGTATGTACAGTTTTAAGGACAATATCTGGATAGCAGATCTCATCACATGCATAGGGTGAAGCTGGTTCCATACACAGCCAGGATCTTCAAGCTCTTCGAGCGGAATCGCAGGCTACTATGGAGCAGCTTCGTAATGCACATCAAACGACCATTGAGAATCTGAAGGCCGAGCATGAGAGTACTCTACGCTCCCAGGTCGCGTCTTTGGAGAAGCAGTTCGCCAATCAGAAGCTCGAACTTAAGGCTACTCAGGATGATCTTGCGAAGTCGAAAGCTGCGCATAACAGTGTAGCCCAGGAGTTGCAGTCGGCCAAAGCGCAATTGGATTCAGCTCGCCAGCTTGTCGAGTCGATGGACAAGGGTGACAAGGATGAAACGATCGCTCAGCTTTCTAAAGACCTTTCGAACCTTCGTGAGGACCATGCCGCCCTCGAGGACATGTTCACTGCTACGAAAGAGTCTCTCCGAGAGATCACTAATAACCACGCAACTGAACTCCAGGAAGCTGCCAAAGGTCGTGCAGAAGAAGTCACTAAGATCCGCGCTGCGCACGAAGCCGAGACCGCCGCCCTCAAGAACGAGAAGGCTGAGCTCGCAACTCGTTTATCTGATCTCGAAGGCGAACTCGCCACTGTCAAGGCGTCCATCACAACCGATCCATTACAATCCCCGAAGGGAAATGGAACAGCACACGCACGCACGTCCAGTGTTACCAAGGAGGAGTTGCAGAAGCTACACGAGGCGCACAATCTTAAACTCTATGATCTTCAAGCTGAGCACGAACATGCGATGCGTGCTATGCGAGAGGAGGTGGAAACTGTACTCGGCCAAGCTGAGAAGCTCAATCAGGAGCTCGCGCGGAAGACTATGGAGATTCAGTACCTCGAGCAAGATCAAGACGAGAGTCAAGACCAGATTACACGGTATGTTCGACTTTTCGGATTGAAAGGCTTTCTTGGTGGAATTGTCACGCTGGCCGTGATCTATGGACTGTTCTAGTTTATCACTCTCCTTATCATCGCATCCGGACTATTTTGCATTATGGACCTTACATTATTTACTCGTCTGTCGTTCCTTTACTTAATATGTGTTTGCTTGCAGACTGAAGGAAGACCTGGAACATCTCACCGAACAACTCAAGGTCAAAGAACAAGCAAAGTAATCAAGAATATCCAAGACCTCTCGCCGTGTCGTTGCCTCATGGATTCCGCACTGTTACCTGCTGGCTTTCATATCTCCCAGACCACCCACACGCTGGACAGTCCGATACCAGAAATTATCTGTTGTTGTCTTTCATCGACCATGCATCCCGTTCCCTTATTAACGTATTGCAGCTAATCCCAATTGCTTTCAGATTTTACTCGCTTTCATTACTGTTGTTTCGTACTACACTTATCATTCTATCTCCCATATGTTACCCACGCTGCTATACCCTGTCTACCGCCTCCTTGTGTAATACAGCAGTCTTTGAATCGAGTTTGCTGACAAGTTATTACGAGGGAGCCGCTACCGTACAGAAACATGAAGGATACCACGACAATCGAGAGCAGAAAGATGGCTGCATAGAAATGATTGCAATTCTTCTGGACTCTGTGAGACACTTGACCAGGTGATCGCATTTATTGCAACGCTCGATAATCTTCGGAATGACTTTCCAGAGAGGATTCGCCCCATGTAGTCCCAATCAATTGACTCGATCCCTCCCAGCAGCCGGAGCTCGATGTCAATCGCCTGAATTGATTCCGCTGGCAAACGGGCCAAAAGAGATGTTACCCAAGGCAACGATTGGCTGTACATAACAGGACAGCGCAGAGTAACTGATTGGAGGGAGCTACAAGCATCCAAAGAAAATGCAGGTACAAGGTCAATGATATCTAAGGAATAGAACAGACTATCAATGTCAGGTTACATGAAGTCTTGCGGTGGGAGGGTACTTGCCATTCGACGCAAAGCCATACCAGGAGAGCTCGCAACGTTGCAGGGCGTAGGTTTCCTTCAGCAACCCGCTAAGTGCTATTACGTCTTGTTCAGATGAACAACAAGCAGATATACTCTCAAGACCTGGACAAAGATATCCAAGGAGTAGCCATTTCGCGAGGCACGATACGTCAATACCCTTCCCCAAGGTTAAACTGCGCAGCTTTGACGGGTTTGATGCTGCCCGACAATCGTTCGATTCGTTAGAGTCCCAACGTACATCGTGAAGGGACAACGCCTCAAGGAGGGGGAAAGAGAGGACGAATTCGGCGAACCCTTTCAGAGAGGCAAAAAAGCAACCGTGTAGAGACAGTTCATTCACCGAGGTGAAATTTTGGATGAACTGTGAACACAGTGCTTGATCTATTGTCAACACCGACACGTCCAATATCTTGACATTTGGAAGGAGACCGAATAGCGATGGAGGGACAATCGTGAGTACGCTCGAAAATGGGACGGCAGTCTTGTCCGCTTTTACCGCGTCCACGGTGAGAGATGAAATATTAAGACGGCGGACCATCTCTCCAAGGTAAGGGGAATGGCGGAGAAGGCGGTATAATCCGTCACAGGCGTGCTGTGAGTGTATGTCCACCGACCTGAAGAGGTGGAAACGTGTGGCGGGTGTCCACGACCTGCACGTCAGACTGCAGCTTTTCAACGAAGGCATATCGTCATGTAGGAAATCGATAGTGTAGTCGCATAGCTCAGGAGGCATGTGAACGATGAGCATGACTTTAATCGTTGTTAGTAGTACAGCAACGGGCAAGGTCGGTAAAACTCACCTGAAGAAAAAAACCACCTGCGAGAGGCGGGGTTAAGAGAACTACGGGTTTCAGTGCATTGCAAGACCTGCATCTTATATCCTAGAACGATGATGCCGGCATCTTGCCAGGTAATATGGCGGCCGTATCATTATAAGGCTATCCGCTAAGACACTAAATTTCCACTCGTGGCTCTGAGTCCGAACAGGGTCGGAAGTATTTCGTGGAGTGTTCAGAGTGCTGATCGCAGAGCAGTTTGATGAGAATATCGCGCATGGGACCCTATGAGATCGGATCTGTACGTAAGGTGCCTAGTACAAGTTACAGTTCAGAAATGGACAGTTTCTTAATAGTTTTACAGTCTTCCCGAGAGGATGCCTGAACGTCGTTCTGCTCAAAATTGGTTCAAAGTTAACGTACCTTCATCGTGGAATATAGAGTCTGGCTGTGACGTATACTCGGCCAATATTCAAAGAGAAACCTACTGCAGGGTGGTTATGCACACGTAGAAACCAAGCTTGGCAAAGGTGTACATGTTCACACTGTATATTCATGCAATATACGAGTTCTATTCAGAATCCAAACTCAGTAAGTTACTATAAGTAGCTTTGCTTGTACGACGGCTAACTTTGTACCGAGTCTGCAGTGTGATTCTTGGACCTGAAAGGTAGAAGGTATAAGCATAATTATCATAAGCTTTGAAGACCGGCGACTGCAGAGTGCGGTGCAGATTTTGACAGACTTGTTACGGACTGTTGCGAAAGGCATTCGCGCCCATTGTTTCGTCGAACAGAATAGACAGAATAGAGGATGTTGTATCGCATGAGTAGTCATCGTACCAGAATGAAAGAACAGAAAATGGGACGAGGAACACCCGACCGGCGGGAACCTTTGCAATTGGCTGTAGCGATCCTGGCGCCTACAACTTCCCCAATGATTTCGGTCCAGCTCAGAGTTTCTACCCGCCAGCTCAACTTGTCCTCCTTCCACCACCTCCGACTCTCTTTCTTCATCCTTCTCTTCCACCCTCCCTCCGACAGTTACGACTCGCCATGGCCATCGAAAAAGAACCCGGTCAAAAGGGTGTCAACTGGTCCAACATTGCTGTTGGTGAGCACGCGACTGTGGCTTCAGATGTGTACGCGTCTCATACTAACATTGGCTTATTTCCAGGCGGCATCATGAACATGGTGCAGTAATTTCAGTGCCGTTCGATTGTCTCAGTATCACTGACGCGTCTGTGCTCGCGTTCATGGTCTATTAGTTCGTAAGTAATCCGCTATAACTTCGATTTCTGGGTGAGTACTGACCAAGCGTTGTAGGAGGCAAGTCTCCGCTTTGTATCTTACATGGATAAATGTTCATCTTGAGCTTATAGGTTACGACATTGGGCCAACCTCTGGAGGTACTCAAAACTCAAATGGCGGCTAACCGGCAACAGACTATGTTGCAAGCGGTTCAAACAGTCTGGAGTCGTGGTGGAGTTACAGGTTTCTACCAAGGTCTCATTCCTTGGGTAAGTATTTGGCGCATTCCCAATGTAGAATAACGATACTGATCATCGTATAGGCGTGGATTGAGGCTTCTACTAAGGGTGCGGTACTGCTCTTCACCGCATCGGAGATCGAGACGAAGACAGTTGCGATGGGCCTAAACCCTGCTGCAGCTGGTCTTCTCGGTGGTATGGGTGGTGGCATTGCCCAGGCCTATGCTACTATGGGTGAGTACTATTTCTACATCCTCTGGCTTCTGGCAATTGAATGGATTTCAAGGATTCTGCACATGTATGAAAACCGCGGAGATTACCCGTCATAAACAAGCTGCATCTGGCATTAAACCTCCATCAACATGGGCCGTCTTTGCTGATATCTATCGACGAGAAGGTATTCGTGGTATCAACAAGGGTGTAAATGCAGTAGCTGTTCGTCAATGTACTAATTGGGGCTCACGGTAAGATTGGTTTTCAGTGCAACCAGTGACAATTACTAACTCTCCGTCTAGAATGGGTTTTGCTCGGTTAGCTGAAACCTGGATCAGGAAGGTTAAAGGAAAGGGTGAGAACGACAAGCTTTCCGCCCTTGAGAAGATTGCTTCCTCCACTGTTGGTGGTGCCCTTGCTACTTGGAATCAACCCATTGAGGTTGTTCGTGTTGAGGTCAGTGTAAACTGTCTTCTGTATTGCGAGGCGTGTGCTAAGGGTGCTTTGTAGATGCAATCAATGTCAAAAGCCGTTGCGAACTCTAACCGTCCGGCAAAGCTCACTATCCTCAACACATTGGCATTCATCTATAAGGAGAACGGCATCAAGGGTCTTTACCGCGGTGTGACTCCGCGTATCGGTCTCGGTATCTGGCAAACTATCTGCATGGTATCTTTCGCAGACTACGTCAAAGCTTGGTCAGTTTTCATCCTGATGTATCACTGCGGCCCTGTACTGACTCGTCTCATCCAGGGTGAAGGCGAAATAGTGATGTTTCTTTCGTTTTGGGTTTGGACTGTTTTTGTTATAGACTTCATGTTGAGTGTACCGATGCTGAGATACCAGATGTGGTCGATGCATACCTAGTCATACTATACTTGCTAATAACCACATGCTTTCTTGCTCATGTATTTATCTTCATTCATCTCGGGGGAAGCGTTCACCCATTGTTACCGCGGCTAAACGATTGCCGGGGCCGGGCCAGTCTCAACTAGGAATATTAGCCTCGAACGCTGGTACCTGATTGCGGGGAAGTGAAACCCATGAGATCAGGATGAGGACACTCCCTATTGCTTGCTTTCAACCACCATAGTCGAGCTTTCTCCGTAGTACTCCTATTCGCTAGTAAATATGGACACAGAACGACCCGTTGCAGCTACACTAACCATCGTGGAGGTTGAGGCCGTGTCTAAACCCATCAACCCCCTTCTCGCCAAGTATCTCGTTCAGCTTGCTTTGCATCCGCTGCGAACGAAAGCAATTACGTTGGGTAGGATACGAACTTCACTATTTACCTAAAATCCTTTATTGACTATTGCACCACTTAGGGGTCCTACAGCTGCTTCAGGAAGTCCTCGCCACACATCTCGCTGGTGTTCCATCACGTCCTGTGCCCAAGGATGCCCCACTATACGCTAAGGCTCTCTCGCGAGCCAAGATTGACTCTAAAGCCCTGAAGATGGCTGCATACGGATTCTTCGTCTCTGCTCCCCTAGGTCATCTCCTTGTAGGCTTGCTTCAGAAGGCATTCGAAGGCAAGACTAGTGTCAGTGCAAAGATTGGCCAAATTGTTGCAAGCAACCTCATTGTTGCGCCGATACAAATTTCTGGTACGTTAGAGTACGACGTGATATTGATGCCGAGATTCTGAGGTATTTATGCTGTAGTGTATCTCGCGTCCATGGCTGTGATAAATGGCGCGAAGACTAAGGAAGACGTCCTACGCACAGTAAAGGGCGGTTTCATGCATGTCATGAGAGTAAGCCGCTGGCCCCAATCATTCATTTCATGTTACTGAACGCTTGGTCAGCTCACCTGGATGACTTCCCCATTGACCTTAGTGTTCGCTCAGAGGTATCTCTCACCTGAGGTAATTCCATGCTATTCTTAGACATGTCTATCATGGAATAGTTTGAACTCATTACTCTGTTTAGCTATGGGTTCCTTTCTTCAACTTCGTGCAGTTCGTCCTGGGTGTATGTTTCTAGCCTCTGATACAGCTAAGACTATCTGACCGCCATTCCACACAGACCTACTTCAATACCCAGCTCAAGAAAGCCCGACTTGCAGCGGAGGCAAAGAAGAATCAGAAGAAGAGGGAAGAGGAAGAAGACAAGAGCGAGTGAAAGACAGGATTGGATTCAATATGCCATGTCACAGACACTCTCGATCGACTTATCTCCTTTGTATGGATGTATATCTGTAATAATAGTATATGATATCGCACGGGACCTGGAATTGTATCTCATTTTTAGGGTATCCATTCAAGATGATACGTCCACTACAGTTACACAACTAATCCCCGCCTGCGGGACTTGTTCGTATCGTTGACGTGTGTGCCATGGAACATCGACAGAAGCTGTTGTTTCTGACGACGGTTCCAGTAATTCACCAACTTCAGTTTCAATCCGCCAACCATCGAGGGCGTAACTGCCAGGACGTGAGGCCAGCAGTTTGATCTGCAAGGTATGTGCCTGGGAAGGCGACAGTCCTCCTCTATGTGTGAGCTTCCCGGTATAGCGCGGCGGTAACAACTTTGTGCTTCTGAACAAAAATCAGTCGAGAAAAAAGGGGTAAAGCAAAAAAGCAAAGCTACACACGAGGAATCGTACGTTGTTGAGTTGGTCAATTTGAGTCGATACCGGATCCGATTTGTCAGAGAATGGTTCTTGATCGTGAAGGGTACATTCACATGGCACGCCCTGAACAAATGGTAAGTACTTGGACCAAATTCCAACGGCGTAACATACCCTTGGGTGAAATCGTGCGATACTGTGATGCCGTCTTGCACACCGACAACTGTCGGGTCCATCTCTGCATTCCATTCGCATCGCCTCACAGCATGCAATATATTCTGACGTTCACGTTCAGTTTCAGCATACATGCTTCTTTTCACCTTAGCCGATTCCGCTTCCTCGATGATTTCTTTCAGGGGTGCATGACTTGCTCCAAGGTTGAGCCCAGTGATGACGGCATGTCCTGACCTATCTTGAGAAGGTATCTCCCAGAAGACTACAACATCGAGAGAATAAGGATTATGAAGCGGAAAGAGACGTTCGTGAAGATGGGATGGGATATGTGGATGCTGTGAACGTGTGAGATGGGTGCTTGCGGATATTCGACCACTGTGGATGAATTGACGAGTAGCTGCCTCGTTGATGGAACGAATCGTGCTTGACTGAAAGGGTCGGTTGAGGATGACTTCTAGTGATGTGCATGACCAGTTCTTACCTTGGACAGATGGTCGCATCGCAAAGCCACTCGTGGCGGCGGTGTTGTATCCACTGGGACTCCTTCCAGCAATGCCTTGACCTGTTTCGATACGAAGTGCCGTGTTTCGTTGATGATGTCGGACACCGGTAATGGAGTTGTCCCGAAAGAGGCTCGAGTAAGCTGTCGCGGAGGTAGCATGCCACTGGGGTTAGGTCAGCGGTAGTCCATCACGAATTCGCTAGAACGACTGACATTACATGACTTGTCAGCGGATGACACGACCATGTCGCACTGATCGTCGTTAGCTGCGATATGTGTACCCCGGCAGAAGAGGCTAGGTTTTCAATTTCGATGTTGACAAGGTAAGCGAATTCAGGCGAGAGACAGGGTCTCGCCGCAATTGAGAAGTCCAATATCTTCCTAACGTCGTAATGACGAACAATTCGTTTTGAATGGAAGGATTCGTCAGGATTCTGTGAAGAATTAGATGAAAATGCTGCGAGCTTTCCACTGAGCATACCTCTCTGAAAGCCAAAAGGATGCAGAGGTCTTGGTCATCCAACTTTGTAGCGTGGAGGATCACGGGAATGGTGATGCTTTCGCCTGGTTCTATGCCCGAAGAGGAATGTATATCTGATATCGGTATGCGAAAAGGTCTTCGAGGCTCTATGGAGTTATCCGATAGCAGTTCCTCGGTGTAAGACTTCGCTGGTTCATCTAGAAGCAATAAGCAAACGATTCAATTTCAATCGATATGCAGTTTACCATCATGTTTTTCTGTCGGAACGTTGACCCATAACTCGTCGTCTCGGCCCGCAAGCACCCACAGCTCGTTGATAGTCTGCTTGCCGGTATTTTGTAGCCAGATGTTCATCTGCTTGCATTCTCCCTCCGCGAGAACAAGACGTCGGTCATCTACGAAAGCAGCCTGCAGGCGTTTACCCGCGTCCTCTACTTCCACCGTCAAGGATACATCAGGAGCGTACACCTTGTTCTGACGTTGATGGGGAGTGTCGTATAGGCGACGTCCACGGATAGCCAAAGGCTCTGTGACAGGCAAGAGAGACAAGAATTCGTACTTCACGTGTGTGAGCTTTAGCTTGACGGGCCTACGACATTTGATGGCGATGGGGATCTGTAAAGCAACAATTGGTTTCAAACCCAAAAGTAAGCACTAACCCATACCGTGCGTGTCTCTTTAGCACTCAGACTAATGTCGTCAACTGCTTCCACCTCAACGAGATCCGATGGACCTGCCTCGCCCGCAGCGACTTCCTCAGCAATCGCGGTTAATCCAGACAATGTGACATCGACGTCCAAGGGATTGCGGACGACGAGATCCAGCCAAAATGTCTCTGTAAATCAGGGAATAAGCTCGACAGGTCATGATAATGAAGTTAAGCAACTCCTACCGTCTACGGCTGCTTTGCCGCCCCTTTCCAGCTTTTCAGGACCTCGAGATTTCCAGAATGACAACCAATCTTCCTCTCTGAGTTCCCACTCTTCGGGAGGACCTTCTATCGCATCGCCAGGTAAGCGAACACGACTCTCTTTAACTTGAACAAAAGAAACAGGCAGTTCGAGCTCCATGCTAGCCCAACGCTCCTCCTCGGTTGACTTGAAGTGCTACACAAGAAACGATGAGCATACAAAAACGCCGAAAGTATGTGAGGACTACCTTCAAGGCAACCCGGAAGTCTTCTAGATAGACCTTGTCTGTTGTTTGTCTGCCATCCAGCGGTGTACCGCCGTTTGAAATGCCTAGCCCAGACGGTATCGAAGGGCTCAACGGCGTTGGTGCACCTCTCAATAAACCAAGGAAATGCTTGACAGCGCCTGCGGTATCACCCGTTGTGTACATGAGCCGACCGAGTTCATGTTCAATACCTGGAAGAACAGCATCAAAGCCACGCCATTGTGTGGGGTCCCGATCCTCGCCTTCCCAGAACGATGGCGACAGGCTCTTCTCCGACATCGACTTGTACAGAACATGCGATTTACGGAAGAAATGCATTGCCAGTGGTTTCTAATATGGTTATAAGACATTTATGCAGTGAACAGTTCAAAACAGGTCACTTACGATTCCGCCTTTTTCCAATTTATCAGCAGCGAAAAGATACCATAGCGCGGCTCTTCTTTGCGCTTTTCTCTTCTCGCTTAGAAACGCAGCATGTGCGAGTAAGAGCGCCGTAGGAGTTTCTTCTGCCTTAGCATTTGTACAAGATTAGCAAGAAGCAAGGGCGTTTATGCGAGAATAATTGACGTACATTCCCGGCCGCATGTACAAGCCATCTATCCCCTTCTAGAATCGGACTGAGGAAATCTACATAGTCTATACCGATGTCCCAACGAACTGCGTATACTAATGCACGTAGCTGCGCTTGTGCTGGTACGTCCGCAAGCTGTGTGTGCAATGCGTTGATGGCATTGGAAGCATGTAATGCATGTGCTGGAGACGGTGATAAGAGAAGTGGGAGGATATCCTGCAGGAGATTGGTGAGTCCTTTAGATTATTTTGATAGTCCAGTAAATTAAATTAAATAAAAGCTCACCGATCCTCCCTTGCTCTCTTTCCTCAACGCTTCCCATACGCTCACGGCAAGCTTGAAGTCACCCAAAATGGTGGCAAATTCAGCAAGGCGTCGTTGTTGATTTACCATTGTGACTCCACCCCCAATCGAGCTCAGAGATGACAGAGAGCTGACCGAACTATTAGGACCATGTGCGGTCACTCGAGAAGGTATAGAGGATATCGAGGGATTGGACCCATGCGTTGGTGTTGGCGGAGTGGAACTTGCTCCAGAAGTGTAACCGGATCCAAACAGCCGGCGAGTGGATGAGAATAGACGAGAAGGTAAACGACGAGATGACGAAAACTAGTATGTTGAAGCAGGATGAGTACCTCACGATATAATGCTGTTAATTTCCCACTCACAGACTCGTTCCATTCAACTACACATTTCTCCATCCACGGTATCAAACTCATTACAACAAATTCACGAGTGAAACGTCCAATCTGTTGAATGTCTGGTTCACTCAGACACAAAGAATTTACTTGCGAACTAGCAACCTGGCTCTGCCCTTGAAATTTCCCGGCGGCAAGAGATGGTGGCGCGGAAGAATAAGGCATAGGGGACCTAACTGGGGTATATGGTACCGAGGAAGCGAGACCAGCCGGTGCAGGTTGGGACGGAGGCATAGGCGAGACATCAGAACTTGGCAGCGGTGGTAAACGAGGAGCAGGAAAAGGCACTGGGACTGGTTCGGGGGCGGGAGAAGTGGGTAGAAGAAGAGGGAGGAGATAACTATGGAGGCCATACTGCTTCTTCACGGCATTGAACAAAGCCTCTGCACTAGAATCTCATAAATATCACGCAGGGTTCAGACACATTGTAACGCACATTGGGGCCGCCAAAGGAGAGTTGGATGGATGGACAATAAGTGTGCAGCGAAGATAAGTGTTGTCAACCCAAGGTGGAAGTTCAATAGGACGGTTGTGTAAATCCTGTAGTGCTTGAAGGGGATTACCGGCCATAGTGGAAACGGCATATATCACTGTGAATGTACATTATTCATGAGAACCGATCACCGCGAAAGTCCACGACCAAGACAAAACATACCTGCCACAGGGTGGTTCCACCCCTCTGTCCTACTTGGTATGCAATCCCCTTCTATACATCTCTTTACCTCTTCCCACCAGGGTGTTCTGTCCTTCCATGGTCCATCGTTGTTGTTTGAAGCGGCATGTGCCCCTACCATCTCGACCCACCTCGCACATCTTCCACTCACACGTGAGCTAATCCAGTCCATTGTGCGTAATGCCCGTTGTTCCTCATCTTCATGAGTAGCTGATTCTACCTCTATGAGATCCGAAAACCTGAGAGCGAAGGAGGAAAGCGGCACGGAGGTCAAAGATGTCGTTCTGGTAGTAACTGCGGAGAGATACAATAGGTTGTCTGCAATGTCAAGATAGCTGTGATTATTTCGACGAACCTTGTGAAAGAGGTGAGAAGGATTGAAGTATCTGTGGCAAGGGTGGGAGAGACGCAGATTGTAAAAGCTCTAGGAGGTCTGGTGAATGAATTATACAAATATGAGGACTCAGAGATGACGGTAATGCCGGAGCCATGGTAAACTTCAGCACTTTGATAGCTCCCTAGACAGAACCAACTATTCGCCGAATGTTTAGTAGGTACACTGTAAGCGTGAATTAGACATAAAGGGCACAAAGCTCAGCGATAGCAATACTGTAAGTCGTGCAGGTTGTGGTCAAGCTTCAAGTATATGTGAAGCGCTACATCCCGCCATATTTTCCACATAAGGCAACACCGACGAATACACAACGTGAGCGTCTCACGAAGCCTTGTTTGAACCTCTTCATCTCAACTATCTTGCCCATTCATGCATTGTGTCTCAACGGCTGATATGATTATGTATCCTTTCATAATAGAGGTCAAAATTACAAGGCTGCACGAATTAACGTAAGGGTACTAAACGTATTTGCTACTGACGGAGACTTCGTGTATACAGAAAGTGAAAATCATTACGATAATCAAATGCTTGTTTTGAATGTTTTCTGTTTCCCCTGCGCTTGAATATTATCGAGTATCACATGGATCATGGCTAGAAACCTCCGCCAAAATCGTTACCACCAAAGCCTCCTCCGTCAAATCCACCTCCGCCAAATCCGCCTCCGCCCCATCCCCCGCCGCCATCCAACATCTCGCCAAGAAGCAGACCTCCAGCCATACCACCGAGCAATGGCATACCCATTCCTCCAAATCCGCCTCCACCAAAGCCACCGCCACCATACCTGCCCCCTCCGAACCCTCCCATGCTACTTGAACCATATCCAAATCCGTACGGATTGCCTGCAGGCGGACCGTATATACTCTGTGAGTGTAGACGGCCCATCGAGCCGTATGGAGCAGATATGCGCTGCTGTCTTCGCTGTTCAGCCCACTGTTGCATAAGCTGCGCGGCACTTGTCAGCATTATGGGATCTAAAGAAGACATCGGCACTCACCAATGCCTCTTGCCTTTTGTGTTCTTCTCTCTCCTCCTTCGTGCCTATCGTTTTGTCCTTCAATTTGCCAAAGAATCCCCTATGCTTCCGTGAAGCCGAACCGGCCGTGGATGGTCCAGGTGTTGGTGGTTGCGAAGACGTAGTTCTGTGATCTGGTGTTATATCACTTTCGACTCCGGGTACTCCAGAATACGAGTGCCTCCTCGGTGAATATGGTGGGGGGCGATCATCGTCTGGATTCGGTTCTGTCCGTTCCTTGCGCAGTCTTTCTCGAATCTCCGGGTGTTCTGCCAAGAATTGTTCATCTTCGTAAGGGTGCACCCAAATCGCTCGTGGTGGTTTCGCTTTCGTATCGACCTAGATATGCCAGGGCCAGTTCAGTCTGCTTTCTTCTCTGGAGTCTTGGCGCACTCACCCAGAATGTATGTTGGGTGCGTTCATCGAATTGTTGAGTCCACCCTTCCGGGAGGTTATCGTTTAGTTGACTGGGCATTATAAAAGTTTGGGCTGTGGTGCTTCTAGCAGTCAGATTATATATGCGGCAAGTCGTCATAATATAAAACCTAACCCTAAGGTAAGGACCCAGGCACCCATGGAGTGATCGTAAGTAGTTAGTTCATATAGTACTGAGTATATTTCTTCAGAAACAATTCGACGCTGGCAGTAGTGCATCTGGACTTCAGACTAAGGCTCAATTCATGGACTGCTATAGGAACTGGAGAGGTTAAGCGGTGCATCTTGCTTCCATTACCATTTTCCCTGAATAGTTCTTCAAACCCAATTGATGGTCACTTCAACGGTGATGCTGGGCTGGGATCAAACACCCATTGACTACCTACCTGGGTTTACCGGCGCAGTACGTCTGCGCTTCCGCATCCACTCTCCTAATGAATATTACAAATTGTACTTCAGATCGGCAGAGTCAGATTGCATTCCCTAAAAATCGCGCTTTGATGCCATTAGTACTGCACCTGTCCTTTAAAGTAACGGGTCAACAGCCATGTTCCAGCTAACGGAGATTGAAAGCTACGCCCCTCATCTTAGTGCTCTTTCGAGGGGGAACCTTGTGGTGGAGGGTACCGCATTGCGGAAATAGCCTCAACTGCTAGCATGTGAGTACCTTGGAATCCGTTAATTTACGTTTATCCCAAGATTCGATACACATTGAAAGTAGCTCTACGACCCTGAGCTCTCCAGTACTCTGCTAAGACGAGCAGTACGTGTTGGGGGAAGGCAGATTGGTTGTTCAACCGTACTTGTACGGTAAACTTCATGGCACTGCATATGATCTGATCGAGACTAGACTCGATCGCTTTCGGAATTACTAGGAAAACGCCACAGACATTCCGTGGATTCTCCTATGTGTTACCAAAGCAAGGTTCAGTGCGATCCAGCCATTTTCTAGAAGTACGCGTTACGGGTCGGACTGTCATCTTTTTCACACTCAGGATGTATGTTTGCTTCCGTATGTTTCATTTCTCCTTACGCAATACCGACTCTTGCGACCTACCACCATGAGCCTCTGCACTACCACTAAGAGTATGCTTATATTTCTGCTTTGACGTCCCATTTTTTCTAACGCTCTATTGCATAGTTACGGGCACCGTACTTCCTGCGATTGGCTCCGCTGTAACAGCCGTAAGACTCTCATATCGTTGGCATAGGCGACAGTTAGGGTGGGATGACGCATGGGCCTTCGTTGCTTTAGTCCCGGCAGCATTTTTGGCCGTTGGAGTTTGGTTTCGCTGCGGCGAACCAGGTAAGCACCTTTCCAATCTATTAGTGTATCGTTGTTACCTACACTTTATTTAGGCAGCAGGCAATTTGAGCAGCCCAGTTACATGCGAGTTGTTGGATATTATATGGCAGCTATGGGGTTCACATGTACGGTGTGGTGCGTCCGAGCTCTCGATTAGAGGAAAGTTATAGCCGACTAATGTTGTCCGTGATGCCAGGGCTGTCCGATTGAGTCTCTTGACTTCCATCATACGTATCACCCCCTCTATGATGCGTATACGAGTATGGGCCAAGCACCTTGTGATCCTGTTCATTCTGTTCTGGTCATCGCTCGTTATTCTTAAAGTTGCAACATGTGAACATGATACGTCCTGGAAACATCAGTTTCACATACGGTGTCCTCTCAGTCGCTCCATCGCTATTTACGAAATCATCAGTATGTCGATTCTTCTTTCACTGTGCGTGTGCGTGGGCTCACCAAAACGTATTCACGCAGTCGACTGTATTGCAGACGTTACACTCGCCGTCCTACCACTCCGTCTACTCTGGCAAACAACTTCTCTCCCTCGCAAACAACGAAGGCTACTCACTCTCATTTTTTCATCGAGTCTTCTCATCACGTCAGCCGGTATTGTACACGAAATATTTGTGTATCGTTCAATGCAGGATTGGATTACTCTCATGACACAAGTCGAGGTCTGTATCATATTACTCCTCCGGTTGACCGGCTTCCTCATCACAAATCCCTTACTTTACAGGCCACCACGGCCCTCATCGTCTGTAACCTGGCCGTTCTGGTTACATGGATGGTGAGGCTCTGCGGATTGGTTGACAGTGCCGACGAATTGGATTCCGTCGACACTGTCATCTCGCTGGAGTTTTCAAAATCCCGTCAAACCGGGGAACTTAGCTCTCTGCGTTTCCAGAAGGCTTCACTGTGCCCGCAGGGTGTAGACATAACATCGGATCGCGCCAGCACCTCGATAGAATTGCCTACGACCCCACAATCCGCGGTTATTTTAGGTCAATCCGAACGTCGCGTTATCATGTTACATTGATCCAGCTGAAGCCGTTTGCCGCGACGTGCCAGTTATTTTATAACACACCACACCACACATCCATACATTCCCTAACATACCACACCCATTTAACATACCACACATCCCTTCTTTTCGACCTGACGTCCTACCGACCATGCGAGGAAAAGTTGCTGTTATATCAGAATACTTATTACTTAAACATTGTAAATTAGTCGTGTCGCTCTCACAGTCTCATTTGTACAATAGGATATGGATAACAGCATATGATTCAGTGGTATAGGTGTGATTTTGGTATAGTAGCATCACGAAATGCGTCCAAATGATGTGTATGCTAGCGCAGTCCATCGGCGTTCATATCCAAGGAGAACGATAATTGAAGAACTGCAAAGAAGCCGAGTGATAGCATAGAGAAGGAAGAGTAGCAAAAGAGTATAACCAAGGGCTGGCAAATGGGCTGTATTACGAGTGTTCAAATCGATATGAAGCAGTCCATAACTAGACCGAAGTAATAAAACGGTCGATACTTTCATCCATGAGAGCGTAGAAATTGGACAGTCTCTTGTATCTTCTTCAATTTCTCGTGGGTAGGCATCTGCGATAGTAATCAGTACAGAGCATGAATAAGACAAGCAAATATCACTCACTGCGTAGAACCGATGGAGTAACTGTTTGCGCTCTGGGCTTGCATTGTCTTCAAGAGCCATCTTCTCGACGAACGACGATACATCGAGAGGACCTTCGTCCGCAGCTCCATGTTGATTAGGGTTCGGTGGTGGTCTTGATTTAGCGATCCTGTCACTGCTCATTGCAGTGTTGTTAGACCGCGGTTGGCTGACGGGCTTGGCCGACGAGGCACGACTGCGGCGAGGTGAAGCTGCTCCCCAAGGGGATGCGGGGTGCACTGCGGGTGTTCCCCAGCCATCATGAGCAACCTCCCCCCAACCATCGTTAACAGCCTCTCCCCAGCCGTCGTTAATGACCTCTCCCCAGGCCTGACCATCCATATTGTCATTGGCCCAGTTACTCTCCCAGCCTCTTTGACCTGTTTCGCCCCAGCTTGGGGTCGTATTGGCTTCTTCGTTATCAAATCTTCTGTAGAATTCTTCCATTTTAGTGACTTCCTGGCCTGCCTCTGCCGCCAGAACGCCATCTCTCCAGAACGGAACGAGATCGCGAAGTCGGTCGACATGATCCTGGTGCTCCCAGCCCTTCGAGTTTGCTGGATCAGGTTTATAGGGTTTCTCCCACCCAGAAAAGTCCATTTGGCACCAATTATCCACGACTTCGAATCGACCGAGATTATTACCGCGAGATTCTTTGCTCTTCCGTGCCGATGACCGTTGCTTGCGTGTTTGTCGAGATGAAGATGGTACCGGCGCCATTGCGAACTGAGCAGGAATTGAGACTTAGGGCAAGGAAAAGCTATGAAGGATATTCGGAGGGGAGTGGGGGATAGGTGCAATCGTAACGAACGTGGCTGGCTCAGAGGAAGGAGCAAAGAGCAATTAACAGTGACATGCACACAAGCGCCGGATCGAAACTCGATCTGTTGACGGCAAGTCCGCATTGGAGTTGCCACGTGTTGACGGGCCGAGCGCCAATCATTTTTGGCCAGAGGCTCACCCTGCCTCCACTGGGCAAAGCCAGTGTATGCAATTGCAAAGGGAAAAATACACATTGAATCCATCCATGTCTATCAGAAATTAGTAGTCGTACATCAAAGTCCAAAAGATAAGGTAACATAACGAGTCCAAAACTATGAGGGGCCCGGAAGGGGTTCTACCCATGTTCCATTTGGCCAGAGTGTTGCAGGCATCGTAAAGTCACCAGCTTGGCCACCACTTGTGTACTGCACGATCGTGTATATGAGCAACAGAAGATAGTATGTGCACCTGTAAGAAAGACTCACCGCCAGTCGGAAGAAGTGCGGTATGCCTTCCTGCAGAGCCGCGAGGGAATAGTTGAGGGCGGCCCCTATGTAACGCTCCACATCATCGACCAAGAGAGCGAAGCCATCAAAGCCTTCGCCGTCAGGTAAAGGATTCCAGAAGATTGTTTGATTCTGAAGAGGCATCGAAGCGTTGTAGCTAGACGAGTTAGTAGCAAATGATGGCAAAGCAGAATTTTGTGGACCATCCCGCCGTAACTGAGAGACATACTTAGCCCATGCATGTAGCAGAAACATTGGAAGCACTCACATCATCTGCCGTTTGTAGAATTGAATCAAACCCAAACGCAGCGACCCCGTTCAGGAACATGCCCAACAGGAAGCCCTGATAAATGGCAGAAAGTCGGGTGGGGAAGGCAGTCCCAGGCATCAATACTATCGCGAGGATGTAATGGTGCAGCCTGAGCTCCAGGCCTGGAAGTTGTGACAACACGAGGATCACCAATCCTCCGATAATATACCAGCGCAGATAATGGGGCAACCAACCCGTCTTTCGAATCACTCTGACCTGGTTGATCACAATGACTAGCAATATAACTATTATGATGATTAGTGCGGTCAATGCGCCAGGACGATTTGCTATGTCGGATCCAGTCAGTCGGTTGATGGGAATCTTGTCCGTCGTGAGGTTTGTCAATACACCAGTCCAGAATGGTGCAAGGTACCACACAGAGGCTTCAATTGGAGCTTTCATGAATGCCGGCAGCACGAAACGGAAGGCAACTCGCCAAAAGGCATATGCAACGAAGAGTGCAGGGAGGAATGCTTCAAAGGCAACATCGATAGGAGGAGGGCTGTCTCGAGGTTGCGAGAATAGTACGACGTGCCAAAATCCAATGCAGACCAGGCACCAGTACAAAACGATAGGTCTGGGGCGGAGGACTAGGAAGAGGAGTGCTGTGACAATGATGTTGAAAGCCAGTGCGGCGTCGCGGAGATCATCACAGTGATGTAAGCTTGTGGAGGGTAAGAACTGGAAGGATAACGGGAACACCGAGGCAAAGCCAATCGAAGAGAGGCCATTAGCGGTAAATGGCAGGAAGTTTGTGAAGTTGCCAATTAGTTGAAGGGAGGCACATCCGCCCTTGGAGTCGCTGATTAGCCCTCTGAACACGCATACCTCTGCTTAAGCTACGAAGTGGATATAAAAAGAAGGGTTCACGTACGCTTGCACAGCAGCGGCACAAATAAAAGTATCCCCTCGGTATGTCCTGTTACCATCCCCTCCACCGACAATCAGGGGTACGAAGTTAACCTGAGTGTCTCCGACAGTCCTCGGGTTCTGAAGAACAACGTTCTTGCATTGTGCTGGGCAACGGAATTCGAACGTTGAATCGTTGAATGGGCCGCAATTCTGCCCGTCGAGACCGCAACCGTCATTAGCGGTCCAGTACACAGAAGTGCAGTCTATGAACGATTCTGGGGGAGTCTGAAAAGACTGTGCCCGAGCGAAGAACGCAAAGCCGATGATGTACCCTATAGCCAGGAGGATGAACAACCATGGCGATGTGAATGTGCGCGTTGCCCTTATAAGGGCAGGCTCTAGGGGAAGATTCCAGGTATGCCGTCCGAACTGGAACGTGAGGTTCAAAAAGGGAGACGGTTCTGCGTAAAGTTATAATACGACTAGCAGCGAAAGCAAAACCTGTAAACTCTACGTACCGGCAAGATCTCGCTTAGGTCTAGGACCTTTAAAGTATCGCCAAACTTTCTGAATCTTCGGATTCTCCAAACCTACGGCCCTGCCGACTCGCTTGTACCATGTTTGAGTAGATGACGGTCTTTCAAGAGCCTCTTCAATTATGAATGAATGTGAAGGGCTAAACTCAGGCTTCCGAGATTCAGACGGTGTGGAGGTAGGCGACCTCGACTGGCGATCAACATGAACACTGCCAGACGAGCTCGAGCTTGAACTCGCTTCCATTCAAGATGGTAGTGGTAGGATAGAGGGTTACTAGAGTGTCATGAAGGAGTGTGGTCGTGTGTTCTGTAAAGCGTGGACTGCTTTACAAAGGTATATATATCTTGGCTGCGCTGAGTTGAGAGCATTCTCGGCGTCTCCGCCAAGTTGAGGTCATTGTTACCGCTCGGGAAACATTATAATTAATCTTTGAATTGTAGACGGGCTTTCTGCCTCACCTCAGTAACATGGGGATATAGATGCCGGATACATGCTTAGTCTCCTCGAGACACAGAGACCAAACCTTCATGCGTCAGGATAAAGTTTCCGTCTGACCACACGTCAGAAAGCAGACTAGTTCAGCTTGCGGACCGTGGCATGTTAGGCATGCTGCATTTCCATTTCCCACTGACATGAGATCAATCCAAATGACACCTAAAATTAGTACGCCGGTTCTCGTTGCGTACCATATACCGTTTCCATTCGCTAACTACCATCATATCTACCTGATTCTACCCAGCGACACCATGGCCGCACCAGCCGAAATGACTACTTTGGATATCAGTGGAAAGTATTACATGGTGAGTTTCACTTTTATTCCGAACTTGAAGAAGCTCTTAAGCACGCATACAGAACAAGACTCTGAGTGATGATACCGACGAAATACTACGTCTCCAAGGTGTGAGTTGGCTTACTCGCAAAGCCATCCGCATGGCCACGCTCTACCTTACCATCAAGCACTACACCGGAGATGACTCGTTGGAGCATATCGACATCGATCAAGTGCTTAGCGGAGGTCTAGGAGCCACCACTGAACTTCGTGTTCTCAACTGGGAGGAGCGTAGTCATGAAGATTATGTCTTTGGTCCTGTTGTAGGAAAATCGCGCAGGATTGCGATAGATGACATCGAGAATGATTGGCTGAGAGAGGGATGGTCAGACGAAACTAAAGAGCATGGTGCCATCAACTCCTGGGTCCAGAGTGATACCCCCAAGAGTGGGAGGACTTGGATTGCTGAACAGGTGAGCCGCATGCTTGTACCGATCAGAGTCAAAGTTGAACTAATATATGTGCACGTCAGATATGGGGCTTTGAGAATGTGAACGATGAGAAGAGATACACCAGACATGTTTACTTCATTGGTCCAGAACAGGAGAGAATCCAAGCACGGCTTGTGTATGACTACCGTAAGTCCTAGATCAGACCAGGGTACACGCTTCCCCACACTGATCAAACCATTTCAGAGGGACCTCTGTAAATTGTATTCCCTATTTTATGCTATCAAGCAATTCCGCTACTTCCATCAACTGTTGTACATGAATCTGATAATGCAATTGAAATGTCTGAGGCAACTCACCACTTAGTTTTCACTTTGGAGGGAAGACAGTGATGACTTTCCACACAGCGTCTTTGCCCGTCTCCCATGCTTTTGGACCTTTGCTCTCTTCCCCTCCAAACTCGATCATGATTCCATCCTTGGACCATTCACACCAAATACCGATAGAGCCCGATGATGGCCCAGCACCTCCACCTTTCCTATCAGGTTCACCAAGTGCTTCTACGAACTCCTTCCCAGTAGTATTCGGAGTAATGGATAAGGACTCGGATCGAGTTTTGTCAGGAATGGGGACGAGATTCAGAATGAAAGGGTTCACAGGGTATTTCGAGTGAGAAGGCTTAGTCTGGGAAGCTGGAGCACCTGGCTTTGGCTTTGGCGTATTGTAAAGATCCACACCATCCAATACTAAATCTTCATACTTCAACTCTCCGAGCTTGAGTCCAAGCTTGGGCTTGTAACCATTGATCGGTTTGAAGAGAAAACTGAGTCCGACAGGAAAGTAATTGAGATATACAGCATCAGGGTATGATTTGACTTCTGGTGCTGGTGCTTGAGACAAGGATGTAAGCGATGCCAGAGATGCTAAGTGTGAAGCGAGTTTATCTGAGGAGGGATGCAACCCAAACAGGTCCTGGATGTCCGAGGTCGGCATGGTCGTTGAGCAAGCCACTGAAGTATATGATATCACATGTAAGCGCGCAGGTTATCCTCGCGTCGACCGCGTTCTCGAACGCGTCTTCGCCGGCCACAACAACCAACGTCCGTGCACTCACCCACTCCCGCCATGGCCTCAAGGGAGAAAGAGAAGGATAGACTTCGCCATGACATCGCTCACGACGTGGGCGGGATTGCCAGTTATGCTTGGCCTATTCTCCGTTTCCCTATCAGGCTCTTCATTGACCTTGTCTCGTCCACTGTTCGATTAGTCAAGCCTCTAGCACCTCAGTTAATTCCGCTCGCCGTTTTTGTGTTAGCCATCCCAATTCTCATATTTCTATCGTTGTCTGCCGGTTGGTTTGTGTGGAGAAGTATTGCAGTTGGATGGGAGTCTCCGCTCTTCTTGCAATATGGGTATGTATTCGTTCCTCCGTCTCTATTAGCTGAAGTACCTACTTTCATCATAGGGAGGGGCCGCCGCCCTATGCTGTCATTGCCCTGTCTAACATGGTCGCCAAGCAGCCGTATGATATCTCGCTTCACCTTTCTGTTCCTGCTACCGACAGTAATTATGCCCTTGGTAACTTCATGTCCACTTTGACATTGGTGACACCGGCCAATAAGACTTTGACATCAATACGTCGGCCGGTAAGCAATTGAGCCTCGAACAGGAGTAATACTCAACTCCCGTTCTTAGGCCATTGTCCTACCTCCGTCTTGGGCATCCCTGTCCTTTCTATATAGCCCCAGTGGTAATATTGAACTGAAGATACCACTGCTGTCGAACTTCCAGTCGAGTTCCAGTAATGTTATCGCTCGTGTGGAGCTTGGACGACAGGATTACTGGAAAAGTATCGGCAAAGGCGAAGGACGTGAATTGACCGTTTCATCCGCACTTCTACGTGGAGTCGTGGTGAATAAAGGTCTACGGTTAGAATACCTCACATTTACAACGCATATAGTCTGCTAATGACTTTGTCACAGTGGCATAATTACTCGATTCCCTCTCCTGACGGCGTTGGTGTCGTCCGGCACCTTCCTTTTCATCTCATTCACCGTCTTGGCTTCCTGCCTCCTTCCGGCCATCGAATGGCGCTTTCACCGCGATGTCGATGAAGGACGAACTGAAAACGAAGTTGCGGAAAAGCCTCGTCGAAGACCACGGCAGCTCAAGACGGAGCCGCTCGAGTGGAATGAACAACCGCCTCGCAGAACAAAAGGATCACGAAGGAGTCGAAGCGTTGCTACGCCCAGGCGATCTTCGGTTAGTAGATATCTTTCATTATATGCAGTCATTCTCACGTGTCTTCCATAGTATGACTTCAAGATGGAAGATACTCCCATCACTATGCCTGCTTCGTCTGCTTCTCTGCCTTTGCGGCACAGACGTTCACGTCTCTCACAGCATTCAGATCCCGATGGGTGACTGTGAGACTTTTTTCGCTTGACTTGTGTGATGTACTATTTCGTAGCATGCCCCACTGTGGCTGTTATCATGGACCCGTATTTCAACTTGCTGTATGCATGCAATATTCGTCTCGGAACCCAGCTATAGTCTCAAAATTAATGTATCCAATAATCCGTCCATGCAGCTGACTTTGTTCGAAACAGGAGAAGTAATATAATAAATGTATACTATGCGCTTGGAGTCTCTGCCATCTCCTCCTTCGCCTCCTCTGTCTCCTTCTCCACCACCTTCTCCGCATCCTTCTTCTCTGTCCTCCCCTCCTGCGTTGTATCCGTTGACTCTGCTTCGTTGTTCGCCTTGTCCTTGGGCCCTGTTTCCGACTTGTTGGTATCCGCACTCTTCAATTCAGGTTCAGATTTGACAGTCTCCTTGGCTTGAGCAGAGGTATCAGGTGTCGGCGCCTTTGCGCTCTCTTCTTTATCCTTAGTGTTTGTCGTCTTTGAGTCTGTTCCGAGTCCCTTTACGAGGTCCTTCGCGTCATCGCTTCCAAGACCCAGTTCCTCAACCAACGCCGTCAAATCGTCTATAGAAACCTCCACATCGTGAAGTCCAAATTCCGAAAGATGCTCTCCAGCATTGATCAGATTGGATTTGTCTTCCTTGCTCTTCCCTTTCAATGGTGAAGGTGACGGTGACGGCGAAGGGTGGTACTTGGGATGCATTTGTGAGGGCGAATAGGCCCCAGGGACGCCGACTGGCTTCGCAGGGGGTGTAGGCTTTGCATCCTCATCTTCGTCATAAGACTCATTGCGTCGCAAGAAGACCTCCAGCTCGCCACATTCGACGGCTTCTTCACTGTATGACCAACTCGACATCAGCCATAGAAACGTGCAGCGAGATCGATCGCACGTACAAGTCAGAAAATGTCTGTCAAAGCAAGATGAGCATCATCATAATATGACGGGAATGAAGTAACATACCCCCAGGAACCTTCCGCCAACGAGCAGACCCGGAAGTTGCAGCTTGTCTAGACGATATGAAGGATAATCAAGGTATTTCGGATCGGGGCATATGTACTACGATTAACGTACCTAGTGGTGCCTTTCTTCTCCAGAGTTTCTTCGCGTCCTCGTCTGATGCGAGGTCGTAAGATGTGAACGGGATCTTCTTGACCTGCAAGACCCGCAACAGGTATTCTATGACGGTGATTAGTTACGTCCGGCACTCTCGTAATAACACGATATCACCTTGACGCTGTCTCAGAGCCGGCTGAGAAGCTATTGTGGTGAGGAACAGTTGAATTGGTGGTGGTGCCATTGAAAGGACATGCGACGACAGACTCGAGTGAAACAGTGCATGTGGTTACGATGGTTTATCCCGATCGATCACTTGATGTATCGAACCCTTTCACGATCAAAAGGTCTTGACCACTGCCACTTACCTCGAGTGTTACTTATTCTCTTGAACGATCGTCCTTTGTGTTTGGTCGCCTTTCTCTCTGACAATCACTCGAACTTCAGAAAAAAGAAAGCCTGATATACCCTTTAGACTATAGAACATGGCTTCTCAACGACCTTCAGCTCTTGTGGTTTGTCTCGGGAACATCTGTCGTTCTCCCATGGGAGGGGCCGTTTTGAGCCATGTTGCCAAAGAACGTGGTATTGATATGGTGGTAGATTCAGCTGGAACTGCCGCGTACCATGTAGGAGAAGAGCCAGATGACCGGTATGTCAAGCTAATCCCTCGCCTCGTACGTTTGTAGCTTACGCCTACGGTACAGAACGGTGGCAACATGTCGTAAAGTCAGGCTGATCGTCGTAAACTCTAGCGGCAATACTGATTTTAGTACATACGTCCAGTATGAGGTTCATATAGATCACCAAGCCCGCCAGGTTACAACGGAAGATTTCCGCATATTTACGCATATCCTCGCCTCAGACGAGGCCAACCTGCGAAATCTCCAGCGAATGAGACCTCGCAATGCTACGGCAGAGGTACGATTGTTCGGGTCTTACGATGACAACAGGCAGATTGGCGATCCTTACTACGGTGGACTTGTGAGCGCCATCTCGTTCCCCCATCCTACACGCCTCGGCTTACGCACAATATGCTTTTAGCGAGGATTTGAGGAATGCTACCGTCAATGTGTCAGATATTCGAATGCTTTCCTTGATGAGGTCGTGGGAAAGACTTTAGTTGAATCTTCCGACACTGCAAATCTCTAATACGACTTGTAAAGGTACTGAGTATGCCCCCAACTAGAGCATACCGGACCTATCTATTGCGATGTTTTCGAGATTCTACTATGCCGGCAAGCTCGTCAATCAGGTCATTCACCCAGACTCTATAGATCGACTACACTCCGGACTGACGCTAGTCATTGCCGCCGATCTGGAAGAAACCAAAATGCATTGTTGAGTTGATGATATTTGGATGCACGTTAGAATATAGACCTACATTTTGAAGTGTCAAGCTAAAGTTGAAAGCTCATAGTCCTCCACATATGAGCCGATGGTGCTAACATCCGGATCCCAATCATCAGCCCAAGTGATATCAACAATGACCAGCTTCTTTAAGGCAGGTATCCCATGTTCGGCGCGGGCCTTCAAACACTCCACTAATGAATGTAGATAATCCTTGTCGATGAGAGCACCATCCACCTTGAGCTCGGACAAATTGGGGCAAGGGCAAGGGCATATTAAATCATCTCCAGGGCGTAAAGCGATGAACGGCGCAAAGTCCGATTCTTCAATGTCCTTTAGCGCCGTACCAATGTTCAGAATACGAAGCTGAGGGAATTTCGAGAGCGTTGCTCGCCAGTCGTGGACACTAGTGATCAATGGTTCCGAGATGACCGAAAGAGACTCGATGGGGGCTACCGCGAACACAGGACCCAAAGAGTTGAGAATGCCCGCACAATGGATTCCTGTGAGCTCTTCTTCCGGAGATACCTCTACACAAGTAGATATTTTCATGATTGCTTTCCCTCCCTTTGTCTGATGCCCGTGGACTGCAATACCAGCAGTGTATGGGGTATCATATCCAGGATCGTTCGACATGGTTACGTGTCGAATGGTAGGAATGCAACGGAGTCCGCTGCGATCAAGAGGGAGAGCATCCAATAGCCCCGATATATGTCGGTCAAGGAACGAGTTTACACACAACGTCATTTCGGTAGTGTCTGGTATGACAAGATGTGCAAGAAGGCGAGAGACGTCGTCAGGGTCACCAAAAACAAGAATCAACTCTCGAAGCTGAGTGAGTTCGATGGTTCGGCTGGGGATGGAATGAGGGATTGCGGCACTTTCCGACTTCGGAGCTGCATGTTGCAGGTAGAGATGTTCCAACAGAGGGCAAGTGGTCAGGATGTCGAGAACCCGGTCTACAGACGGCATGTGAAAGCCCACATGCCATGGAAACAATAAATGCAAGCTTCGCAATTGGTGAAATGCAAATGTATCCCATGGCATAGTAACGTTTTCGAGTTTGAGCTTTTCCAAAGCCCAAGGTTGCTCGGTGTATACAGGATCGAACTTGGGAATGATAACTGTGTCCCAGTCTGTTCGTGACGTTCCTATTCTGGACAGCTCGAGCTGTCGTACAGGATGCAGCGAGAAATCCACTAGCTTTAAGAAGCTTGAAAGCGTCTCGCCATCGAGTGTCACACACAATGCAACGGTGCGGTGGATGTTTTGCTTGAGTAGCGAGACAAACTCCTCTACGTGGTATCTCAGACGATACCCGTCAAGGTACATAGAGACATCGGCACCTTTGGAACGTCGCAAGAATGTCCGTGCCCTGTTCACATCGGATGCATCAACGCTTGTCCAGAAAACGGCATTTTGCAAAACCACTTCTCGCAGCCGCCGGCAAATATGTGTTAGATGGATCCAAGAGCTAGCTAGAATCGGGGAGGGATATTCGCAAATTCTTCTTTCTGACGACTGATGAACCAGGGAAAGGATCTTTGCAAGCAACTCGTCTGGCAGGCGATAAATGGGGACATAACGGTTTTGCAAAGTGCGCAGCGCAACAACCTGTTTGTGAAGTCGAGCCTCTTCCCGCTTTAGCAACTCCAATGCTCGCTCAGGCTCCAGCCCAACGTAGTAGGAACTGTCCACTAACGAGAGATCGGGAGGTTCGATGGCAGCGTCATCGATATCTGGATAAATCCGCAAGTACGAAATGGTTTTGGGCCACTTGCGAACAGATGTCATATCTAAGATATATGATGTCGAGGTGAACAGAATGTATGCTTCAGGTTGCCGGCGCACTCACCTTCAAGTACTTGGCAATTAGAACCTATCTGCTTGATGTGCGTTAAATGAAATGTTCAGCACGGGGAAGGGGAGGAAACTTACTAGAGCACTGAGATACGTAGAATTAGTGCGCCTTCACAACCGTTGCTCGACCCAGTTACCTCTTAAATGTAGCTTGAGCGCTAAGATAGTTGTGCTTCGATAGGTCAAATTGAATCCGATTTAGGAAGGCGCCGAGCCAAATTGAGTTCGCACAGGTTGAAGTTTTAACAGATGGCAATATAAGGTCTCATAAGGAATAACGGGCGGTCTATAAATGTGTAGAATGATCAACCCGTAGATACGAAACTATCTGTGATCCTTCATTTCTTCATGCATATCCGAGGAGAGTCCAAAGAGGCAAGTAAATGCAAAGGTAAACGCCTAACAAAGGTGTTTTGCTCGCATTACTTAACCTCTCACGCCAATCAGAGAGGACAACTCCACCAGGTATGTATGCGGGTGTCGAACCCTATAGACTTCCAAACTTATTGAGGATCATGTAGTCCTTCTACCTTAGAGCTTCGTGATCTTGTCTACATTCTACCACATCAAGTTTGCCTTATAATGTCACGACCAGCACCTACTCCTGTCCCTGCACTACGCTCACGCCCGCGAGCTACTCCTCGAGCACCTCCACGCCGACCATCCACTTCTGGTTTAGCCCTAGCAGGCGCTATAAACCCGGTCTCTGGTGCTCCTAAGGCTCAACGGACCTCCAAGACAACTCAGAAACTCGTCGTTCTCCCGACCGCGCCCCAGACAAAACCACTCCCCGCTAGTGATGAAGAGGAAATTTTGCACCATGGCTATGAGACTGATCGAGGCGTCCGAGATATCAAGAGCGAGGGCGAGAGGATGACTAAGGAGCAGAGGCAGAAGGCGGGGTTCAAGAGGATAACTGCTTATTGTGTTGCTGAAGCGTTCAAGATGAAGGTGATTGCCAGCTTCCTCAAAAGAGAACACAATGTCCAACCGCGGATGTATGACGAGGCCATGTACGTTGTATGTATCTCCATCTTTTCTCTTCTCTGTGTGCCGTCTCTGATGTCTTCCCCTAGATGTATCATCTACCTCTCTTACCAGGCTATGGCCCTAACATCAACATCCGCTCTTCTGCCCCTCCGTCTACTCCCATAGAACTCGTAGAACCAGTAGAACTAGTGATTCCTGTCTCGGAAGCTTCTGCTTCTGGATATATCACCTCTGCACAATCCTCACCGCAAGCACAACCAGATGTTCTTGGGACTCCTGAAGGCGAGACACCCATCATCCATGAAGCTGAAAGCCAGCGGGGACGCAGCAAACTCGATCCCAACCAGTTCGCGGAGGTCGTTTTCTTCTCTTACGGTGTCGCCGTGTTCTTTGGGCTTGAAGAGACACAGGAACGTGCGATCTTGGATGACATTCGAGGTGCGGGTGTTATGCGAAGACCGTTGGAAGAAAAGGATTGGGAGATCGAGGAATGTCATTATGCCGTACGTCATCATCCTCTCTTCTCCAACTTCAGCTTCACATCTGGCTTTAGTACGATTCAAATATAGCCTACCCCAGAGTTTACAACGACTTCTTCAGTAAGTCCCTGCTGCCTTTACCCATTCATCTACATTCACCGAGACAGCATTCACAGCATTCAAGTCTCATTCCCCACTCCTAACGCTTTCCGTCTCCCACGCACTCGCTCAATCTACCCTTCTCGCGCGCTACGAAACCATCACTCACTCCACGCTCTCCTCCCCTTACACTACCTCGATCCCTCAACAACTGGCCTCAACAGGTTCTCTCCATATTTCACGAACCGAAGCTTTGAAGATCACCGGTCGACTATTCAGGTTACGACGGGACGTGAACTTGGTCAGTAACGTGCTTGATGTGCCTGACCTCTTTTGGGTCGAAGGACAGGCGAGCTTGAGGGCTTTGTATGATGCGGTACGAGATTACATGGAGATTGGGCCTAGAGTGAGTGTGTTGAATGAGAAATTGGCTGTGGCGGAGGATCTGGTATGTGCCCTTGGGTTTACTATTGGATCTTTTTGGGGGGCTGATGTTTCCTTTTCCGCTAGCTCGGTGCGATACATGATCATCTGAACAATAATGCTATGGAACGTATTACTTGGATCATTATCTGGTATGTGTGAATCTTGACTTTCCCCGCGTGTTTGGGCTCACTTTATACTCGCTTAAGGTTGATCGTCGTTGCATGTCTCGTCGAAGTGGTACGTCATGCGCTCCGTTTCTTCTGTCTCCCTTTAAACATTTCCTTACCTCATTCATCCAGGGCGAAGTCATCGCAAGATTAGTCTTCCACGCTGCAAAGAATTCATCAGGAACCGGGATTTGTCCGAATGCGACAATAGAAACAGGCTCACATCTCCTAGCTCTATCCAAAGACGAGGCACTACGTGCTTTAGACCGTATGATGAAGTGAACATTTCCCATTAGTCGCATGGACTGGTGACCTGATAATATTTTCTTGTGGATCTCATTTTTTTGATTCAAATATTGGAATATACTCATTTGGATGTCTTTGTACGATGCGGTTTTTCGCCTGCATTATCCATTTGGTAGGTTCTTGAATGTGCGCTGAATTGTGTCGAACCGTTAAGGCGGTTGTTCAATAAGCAAGACGTCCAACACGAAAAGCGGAAGGTAATTTTGATTCAAAGAGTGTTACGCCTTACATACTTCTTCTATGCGCTAGGAGGAATTAAGAACCCCCAGGGGCGGTCGAGAGAGTATGGGAACGACCCAGGTGCACTTCGTCCGCCTTTGGCTGAAACCCACCGTGCTCGCTTGTCGGGACTGCAATTCGTGTCTAAAATGTTGACATATTGAGAATCCCACAAGTGTCGCGAAAAGTAGCGTCGAATATTTGAAGCAAGGTATGGTACATACATGAAGTTAGTGTTGTTCTAATGGCGTTAGTTGTGTTGCACATCTAGTGATGTGTCGGCATGTCAACTGAGGCCTTGTTACCAATGGCGTCCTCCGCCTTCCAAAGTGATGTGGTCGTCTATGGGAAGTCCATCATCAGCGAAGGAACACAAACGAAGTAAGTACTGCATACCTTATTCTGAGTGTAGAAGTCGATACCGCTGTTCAGGCATCAATGCATTAGTGTCAGGAACAATTTACACAGGCGAACAATCACTCACTTTCGGCCATAGAATGGTATGTCACCCAAGAAGCTCGCCTTGTTACCGCTCCAAGAGAACATGGGCAATGGTACAGGAATAGGAACGTTGATACCAATTTGTCCGACCTCTACTTCGTTCTCGAACTTGCGAGCAGTGGCTCCGCTTTGAGTGAAGATAGCTGTACCGTTACCATATGGGTTGGCGTTGACGATGGCAAGAGCGTCATCGAGAGTATCGGCAGTGACCACGATGAGAACAGGACCGAAGATTTCCTCCCTGAAGAATGGAAGCATAATGAACGGGCTTGTGCGTTTGGACAAATGATAAAGATGCCCACTCACCGGTAGCAACGCATATCCGTTGTCGCCTGAATAACGGTAGGTCCAACCCAGTTACCGTCGGGATAACCCGGGACCTCAATTCCACGGCCATCCAAGATAATCTTGCCACCTTGCTCCTCAGCTGAAGCAATCAAACCCTCGATCCGTTTCTTAGCGGCTTGTGAAATTACAGGCCCGCTAAATTACGTTTCACATTCAGAGACATGTTTGTTGAATTATGAAGAACAACATACAGATCGGCACCCTTCTCGAACCCTTGATTTAGGTGTAGTTTCTTCGCCCGCTCAACAAGTTCGGGGAGCCATGACTGCGCGTTCCCTACAAGGACAGCTGGAAGCCGGAGAGAGACAAGTAAGCACTTGAGATTATGAATCCAGAAACGGGGTCACATACCGACTGAGATGGCCATGCATCGCTGGCCCGCAGCTATAATACTGGCATTAATATAGATTCCACATGAAGAGATGACGACGTCTCATGACATACCGCCGAAAGCAGCACCAAGGAGTGAGTTCAATGCATGGTTCCTGTTTGCTATGTACAGACGTAAAGGTGAGTACCAGGACATACATGCAGGCGCCTTGACTTACCATCCGGCATCAATACTGCATGATTCTTGGCCCCCAGGTTCGCTTGCACTCGCTTTCCGGTCTTTCGTCCCCTTTCGTATATATGTTTACCCGCACGATCACCACCAACGAAACTAATCGCCTTGATGATTGAGCTGTCACAAATAGCGTTCACTGTAGGGACAGTGCCATGTACGATACTGAGAACGCCTTCGGGAAGACCTGCTCTCTGGCAAAGCTCCGCTATAATCATAGCGGCACCTGGGTCTCGTTCTGACGGTTTCAGGATGAGAGTATTCCCTGTCGCAATGGCCATAGGGATTGTCCATAGGGGAATCATCCTGCGTGTCATTAATTAGAAAGCAGGATGGGGGGTATTGGTGACATCTTACGCTGGGAAGTTAAAAGGCGCAATACTGCGAGTGCGATCAATCAAAACGTTGATGCTACCACAAGAGCAGAAACACACCTTGCACAGACACCTAAAGGCAGTCGACGTGCGGAGGTATCCATATCCTTACTCACTAAAGACGTATGAATTTGGAGTCTAATGTTGAGTATATAAAAATTATACCTTCAATGTGATTACCGAGTAGTGCAGTGGGTATTCCGGATGCTGTTTCTACTACTTGTAATCCACGCAGAAGATCACCTTGTGCATCTGAAATTCCTGTTGGACACTCGAATTCCTTCCAACTGTAACGCAACATACCGGCAAATGTCTTCCCTTGTTCCAGAACGATACTATTAGCAATAGCATCACCGTGCTTGCGAAGAAGATACTGAAGTCTATATTGACGTGAATCGGTTCATAAGTTCGACCTGAAGCAGTGAATAAACCGCACTCGAAGATAAAGCGCTGCCGCGTGAGAACGCTTGAGCGTTTCCACGTCTGGAACGCTGCTGATGCAGTTGCAACAGCTTCGTCAAATTCAGCACTAGTGGTCTCTGGCACACGGGTCAGGACAGTCTGAGTCGCCTGTGTATATCACAAATATGAGCAGGAGGTAACGTCTTAAAGAAGCATTTGGCATACCGGGTCAACGACATCAATCCAGTCGGATGCCTTGCTCTCGATGAACTGACCACCGATGAAGTTTTTGGTGTTTCCTCCAGTTGCACTGGTTCCTTTCCACTGTGATGATAGTTGTTCTGCTCTCGCACGAGCTGCTGCGCTCAAAGCACCGAGTGACGAACGAGAAGCAGTCGCATAGGACCTGGTGCGTAGGACGCGCAAAGCAGGGATTTTTGCCGAGGACATGAAGGCTGGGATGAGAGTTAGAAGGATGTCACCGGAGACGGAGAGCCTTGCAAGAATACCCTCCCAGACCCTCACTCGGAACTCGCATGTGGGGAAGCCATCATGGGGTCCATCGCGGTCACGTGAAAGTATGCGTTCACCAAGCGCCCAGTCGCGACTGCAAGAGCGTGATCCAGAGTAGAAAGGCAGAGGAGTAGCTGCTCCTCAAGTGAGTTGGCGCAACCCTCACCGAGAGATACAGAGGCTGGGTCGACGATCTCCAGCTTGCCAAGGTCAATCTAGCCTCCAGGCGGCCGAAAGAGCAATAATTGTGTTTCATCCATGTACGCGTTCGTATTTATTGCCGAGAGTTATGCATTGCCTGAGCTATGCTGTGCCCATTGGACACAGGTCTAACGCTGTTCAACAGCGAGAAAAAAAAAGCAAAACGAAGTTGTAGAACGATCGTTTCTGATGCATGAAGTTGATGGCGCTTGGCAACATTTTTGAGCCGCCACGTGCGGAGGTCTTAAAGGTGGTCGCTGCCTGAATCCGTCGCTTTCTTTCCGTCTCTTTGTCGTTGCCCGTTCCGAGGGGCGAGGGTGTTCTTAGCTGTTTGTGCGAGTCGATCTCGTCTAGTCACTCTTTACAAGGATACCTTAGCTTCCTCCTTCCATTCCTTTCGAATTTGTGCCTGCACCCGATGGCAGGCACTTCTCAAGCACCCTACTTCCAGGGTGATTCTCAGTCCACCACCAACCTTCTTTCTCCTGGTCCCTCCAACCCTAGAGGGCCTCCGTCTATACGAAGTGTTGCCAGCTCTGCTTCCTTTGTGAGTCCTAGCAAAGCCAGCCTACGTGTAAATAATGGTCTAACACACCTCAGCAAAGTGATTCCCACTATGCTTCATCTTTAGGCGATCCTCGGGGTAAAGGGCCTCTCCCTCCCTCTATTTCAGACAAGGTGAGCGTCTTCCCTGCTGTACCCTTCTTAGCTGGTTACCGCTATTTCCGCGCAACTGTCCCTGGTGAATGATACTGATGTCCCCTTTAGTTCGCAATGTCTCCCGATCCTTCTGCATGGGGTGGTGCGTTATCAATGGACGTACGTGAAGCAGATGACCACCTCCACACTCCCGATCCCAGACGGGACAGGAAGATCGATCAAGGTGGTACCATCTTTACTTGTCGTGGTATCGCCAATCTTGGCTGTCTGCTGTTTCTCGGCCTTGGAATGGCGACACTTTTGTACGTGGAGACTATTGGTATTGTAGCACCTTCCTGATGCATTTCACAGTGCCGCTTGGCCTTTGGTAACGCATTTTACGAAGAAGCCAATCTCGAACAATGGTGGCTTCAACCTTGGAGGTACCAATGCCACTGGTCAAGTGAGTTGTGTTCTTCCCTTGCTGATAGCCCTGTCTAATCTATTGACAGGTCCCGTCTATGGCCGGCAACTGGGGTCTTATAGATTTAGAAACACCCAAGGAAGCTTACACAAAGCTCGACTATCATACTGGAAAGGACTGGCAACTCATCTTCAGTGACGAGTTCAACGTTGAGGGTCGCTCTTTCTATCCTGGCGACGACCCATATTGGGAGGCTGTCGACTTGCACTATTGGCAGACAAACAATATGGAGTGGTACGATCCAGCCGCCATTACAACTAGGAACGGCTCATTGGAGATTACTTTGTCTGCGACACCCAATCATGGAATGAACTATACCGGTGGAATGATGTCAACTTGGAACAAGTTCTGCTTCACGGGCGGTCTGATCGAGACGTCGGTCGTTTTGCCTGGCGCTAACAATATCGTCGGTCTTTGGCCTGCTATCTGGACTATGGGAAATTTGGGTCGTGCAGGATTTGGTGCAAGTCTGGAGGGCATGGTAAGAGTCTGAACCAAGGATGAGCAGCTAATGCTGACCGTATACATTACTTAGTGGCCTTACACATACGACTCATGCGATGTTGGGACAGTTGCCAACCAAACTCTTAATGGACTTCCGCTTGCTGCTATTGAGAAAGGAGACGAAGCAGAAGGCGGTGTTCTGTCTTTCCTCCCTGGACAACGACTTTCTCGCTGCACCTGTCCTGGAGAGTCGCATCCCGGCCCCATACACTCTGATGGCACTTATGTCGGACGTTCTGCCCCCGAAATTGATATTTTCGAAGCACAGGTACGATTGTTCCACTTCCTCCGTTCGATTCGATATTTATAGTCCGTAAAAGATCACCGGAGACCCACTATCGGGTCAAGTGTCTCAATCTTGCCAATTCGGAGTGAGTCCGCATACAAGTTCTTTCAGGATTTTATCTGATACCTTGAATTGTTCTAGCCTTTCAATGCCGAATATAAATGGCTCAACACAACAGACAACCTCGTCATCCCGAATACGACGCTTAGCTTCCTTAACCCCTACCGGGGTGGTGCCTTCCAGCAGGCTACTTCAGTTGTGACAGAAACGAGTAAGACTTGTCTTACTTGCAAGCTTTGAGGTGCATTCTGACTTAGTGTCTTTCAGACCAAGAGGCATATGAAGATACAGGAAATGTGTACTCAATTTACGGTTTTCAGTATAAGCCAGGATTTGAGGACGCTGTACGTCCACGGAGCTCATCTTTGCCTTGTTAATTGCTCAATTTTCCCATAGTATATCTCATGGATCTCCGACGGTCAACTTGTTTGGACGCTCATGCAGTCTGGTATGGCAGCCGATACTCAAGCTGAGATTGGCCCTCGTCCTATCCCCCAAGAGCCCATGGTACGTAGTTTAATAATCGCTGATTATCGTCCGCATTCTGACCCTGCTACAGTATATCATTGCCAACCTTGGAATGTCAAGAAACTTTGGTTTCGTCGATCTTGAACACCTGCATTTCCCTGCGATCATGAAGGTTGACTGGGTTCGTGTATACCAAGATCCAGACAACATGAACATTGGCTGCGATCCTCCAGATTTCCCTACGGCTACGTACATTCAGGAGTAAGTTGGGACTAGATTGCCTCTTTTCGCTCAAGCTAATCGCAATGTGTTCAGATACCTTGATTCGTATACGAACCCCAATCTCACTACGTGGCGGGACGATTATGGCCAACCATTCCCGAAGAACTCATTCCTTGGTCAATGCTGAGCTGAAACGTGCATCTACTAGGTCTTCTTGCTTACATCATTTCATTTCGTTCAATTCTTCACATACCCTAGAACGCATTCGTCCATACCCGCGCACATCATCATGCAAGGTTTTGTTGGGACACTCACACATTTCATCATCATCTGCTAACATACAATCGCATTCAACGGTCGTACTCATTCACGTGTTTGGAGTCATTGACGGGACCAGGATATACTACTGCTTTACATTTGTTAAAGGAATTTCTAATATCATGCATTTGTCGTATCGAGGTGTGCTTTCCATGCGGCAATTGCATATAGCAAGTTCATTCCTCTTCGGGGCATACAGTGAATGATCCCATATCTTCTTTTACACATTGCTGACGTTCTTTCATCATGCATTAGGTCTTACACGACATCATTTCCGTAGTGTTTATGCCCATGCTGCTGCAACCTGGTCCTCGGCTCGGAATAAACCCCCTGCCCTACTGCGGTTCATGTCTCGTGGGCGGACTGATATCTCATATTAAGGCAATGTCCTATGCAGTTATTGACCTCGTATCTTCTCTCCGTTGCATAGATCAGCGATGTTCAATGGGTATGGGCCTCTCCAACACCCACCCTTCGGTGTGTCTGTCCCTGCATCAGGACAAGGTGGGCGCTATGATCGTCCTTTCGACGTCACGTCGCATCTCGCAACAGCAAACTCCAACCTATTTGGTATAGGGCAGCTCACGCATCCGCTGATGCTTCAGCCTAACTCGTACAACCTCAATCTCGCAACAGCACAACCTCAAATACAACCGACATTCACATTAAACACGACAACCGGAAATAGTACTGGTGTATCTATGCTTGGGTCGTCATGGCCAATGAGCAACATTGGATCTTCAGGCCCTATCAGCTCGGCCGAGGAGCTTATCATGATTGCTGCGTTGCACAAGAGTGAAAGTAACTCGGAAGTCACTTACAGAGACGCCTTGGACACGCTCCATGGAGTAAGTCAGTGCATATACTAAACTGTTCTCAATGTTTGATTATATTCCATCTAGTTGTGTGGTCGTCCTGCTGCCGTCTGGAAAGATCACTACCTCCAGCATAAGCACCGCTTGGACGACCTTGTTTCTAGATTCGTCGACCGCAAGGGCGACAATGCCTGTTCTACTCGCCCAGAACGTGATACAACCCGAAGCGCATGCAGACATCCAACAACTGTCGGTAGCAATCATCACGAACCTAGTAATAGGGATGATACCGATACTGGGACCATCACCCGTCCAAAACACGTCACAATCTCCGAAGTCCGTCCTAGCGTTCATCGCTCTGATGCACTGAGAACTTCAAAGCCCACTCGTCCCGTTTCTTCAGCTTCCCGGCCGAGTGTGAGGCCTCGCGTCTACGTCAAACCACCCAACGGTGATTCTGGCGGTGGTTCTGCTTCGCGAGATCGAGGCCGGGCATCACACGTGCGTTGCTTTCCTGCTCAGCTATTATAAGGAAGTGACGCTTATGTGACACAGCATGGAAGAGAGCAGCGAGTCAAGAAGGTGAGAAAAGACAATCACCGTGACCTCTCCCAGAAGCTCCGAATGCCACCCACACCTTCGCGTTCGCCTACGCCGCCGACCAGAGTTGTTGCGTCTCATTACGGCAGGGGAAACCTATTTACTCCTGAGGATCGCGAATACTTCATTAAGTCAGTTCAATGGCAACTCCAACACAATCCACGCATGACACGAGCTGAACTATGTAGTGACATCGCCGAAAAGGTAACGTACAAGCCAGATAAATGCTAAACCTTATCCCTGTTGAATGAGCTCTGAGACCAGGTGCCTCATCATTCATATGGTTCTTGGCTTTCAGAATGGCGTAATTATCGTGATTTACTCAACCGACTGAAGGAGAAGGCGTCTGAAGAACATGAAGAGAACGATTCTGACACGACAACCAGTCACACAGATGAATCGGATTACAGCACTGATGATCCTGACGAAGAGACTATTTACATCTCCAGCGACACGGATAGCGACACGGATTCTGACTTGGATAGTATATTAGATGGGGCTACACCAGAAGAGGATGAGAGTAACCTTGGCCAGTCCGGAGATGCTTGGACGAATGCTGAAGTCCGTACAATGGCAAGATACATCGCGTCTGCAACCGTTTGGAATACCGCGGTGCCAACCCAGAGATCTCAATGGATTGACTTCTTTAGAAAGGTGAGAAGGCCTGCTAACGAATCTTCCATCGAAATTGTGTCTGAATATGTGTCTCTTCGCAGTACCCGCAAAGGTCCGACAAAGCATGGCTTGAATCCTACAGGAGATACAACTCTGGTCAGTTCTATTGGATTGATACCCGCAGCTGTTGACGACTTACGGATTGTCATGATGCGCAGTCATCAATTCCCTCGTCCGCAAATATAAGAAAATGAATGCATCCAATGCAGTAAAAATCGAGGAACCCGAAGAGATCAGCGTACGCGAGGTCCTGGCGATTGATGAAGACGATGACTACGAACATGCTTCCGATGAACGTGGGTCCTCAACCACGATAGCGACGCAACCGCGAGTCGCTGGTTCGCCCGTCACACTGACCTTCCCATCGGAGGATGGGGCAAGTGCCATATCAAGACTTGCATCTATACGTGCATTGAAGCGACCCCGCGTTGACGACGGGGAGATAGAAGTAGGAGTTTCGAAGAGGCAGAAGGAAAATGCTACCAAGTAGAATGCAACAGTGTTCTGAATGGTGTAGAACATGCTCAAACCGTAACTTGGTGGAAACCTGATAGGTAGATTCTATCCCTATGCTACAGGATCTTGTACATAAACAATATGGATGCGAAAGATTACAAATGCCGGAGTACCAGAGAGAATGGATATAGCAATGTGATAGACTACCAAACAAAACGACAGCGATAAAATTACGAAGAACGATGAGCATCCAGAAGAGTTTGCAGTTTGGTCAACGTCCGTTCCAGTGCGATGATACCGCCACCCGTTAACCTTGGAATAGCTCGATCACCATCTGCTTCGGACGTGTCCGTCTTGCTCTTCTCTATCAGAGACCGGGCATCTGTCACCACCTTCCGTAGTAGGCCCCTTTTGTAGTAGAACCAGTCTATCTCGCCCTCAAGACCTCCCAGCGGGATCTCTAGGGCACGTCGGACGAAGTTTCTGGATAAGACGAAGGCTTTCTCGCTGTAGAGGCGGCTGAGGAGGCAAGTCAATATCTGTTATACGAGAACATCACAAACGGTACGCACCTATTTACGGCACCTTCCTCTGTACCCCTGAGCTTCTCGTATGCTGGCTCACAGTACCAACTATAGACGCCATCAGTCAACGGCATATTGACAGGCGAAAAAAATACACACGGTTCTTTCACCAAGACGAGTCCCTGGATAGACACAAACGCTTGTAGTAACGATGACCGCGAAGCACTCCAGCTCTCGCTCTTGTCTCCAGTCCATGTTCCCAATATTGAAAGGCAAACTTTCCCTTCCTCGTATAGATTTCTAAGAAGTATCAATAATCTGTCCAACCGAATACGATGATATAACTCACGGGTTTACTGCACGTTATAATCAGAGTGAGCACACATCGAGGAGTATCTGGTAAGAAACACTCACCTCTACCATTGCCATTGGTCCAGCTCAAGAAATGGGCAATTGGCGGACTATGTGGGAAGTTCGAGTCAAGTTGCCAGTCTATCACGAAGGGCGCGTCCTCGTAAGGGGTATTCTCAGGACCGATGATGAGAGACCTGAGTAGATCAGTACGGTCTTCGTATGCGCGAACCAGGATAGTGTCTGGAAGACTGCTGGCTAGGATCTTGTACTCTTTTGAAAGACGCGCAAGGAAAGTTCGTGATGTTTGAGCAGGCGTCGAAGCGTGAAATGCGTGATCTGGTGGTGCAGACGGCAGAATATCGAAGCGTTTCCACGGCAATTCCCCATTCGAACTGCGCTCTGCCTGAACGTCATCGGAAGGGAGAGCATCGGGTGAATCCTCTACGTCTCCAGATGGATTCATGGTATCTGTCTTCAATCTCTCAAAAAATTCCATTTGAGCTCGCATCGTTTCTGGATCTGTGGTGTCGCATGGAGCAGGAGGGGACAGAGCGGGGACTTCTGAAGGGTCCTCTTCCTCATCTGTCAACCAGTTATCAGTATCTAGCGCATCGTCCTCGACCCATTGTCCGTCTTCACCCATTGCCCAGAATTGTATATGGTCGCCGTGTACATGCTCCGATTCGTCATCTTGGCTGTCCGACCCGTCGTCGCCCCACATTTCTTGCAGTTGTTCAAGACCGTCATATAGTCGCGTCAGGCGTTCCAGGGGAAGATTGACAGAAATGCCGTCAGGAAACATGACTTCGACTGTTCCATCAAGTCGGAGCTACAGTGCGTATGAGAGAGTAGAAGCAAGAACTATGTTCGAAAAGACTTACGTCGGTAACTTCCCCAAACCAATGCAGGGAAGGGTGCCCTTTCTGAGGTCGCCTAATCTTGCCTTCTTCCACACTTGGGTCCCTTCCACGATGCTCAGCAATTGCATTTCCAAGGCCAATCATTTCATTACGCCAACCAATGACCATGCCGTTCGGGTCCATAGTCATTTCTCGCACCCATCCTTCAAGCTCACCAATCTTGGGTACCATAGGCTTCTCGACACCATTACTGCTACCCTCTGGATGAATGAATACACAATCGCCACGATGTAGACCCATCTCTTCATGAGGAGCTACAGCAGACCAATCTGAAACCCCGTGTGGATCAAGCTCGAGGACAGAAACCAATTCGGTAGCGCCAGTATCATCAAATCTGACCTGGGCTGTACGCTCGACTGCATTTACGGACTGGACAACTGCAGTTCGTTGCCCATCTTCGCTCTTCCAGATGACATGATCACCAGGCCTTGAACAAGAGATGAGCACAACGTTTGAGCAAATTGATCGTCGGTACATACCAGCAGTCATATTCATCAGGATTGACATAAGGTATGGTCTCCTTGCAGTCAAGCAGATCGCGTGTACCATCTTGCCAAAGCACATTGACCATAGTGTGAGTCTCCGTAACAACAAGATCGCGAACGGTCACGGAACCGGCAGGATCCCCTTCTCGACCATGGACCGTCGCAGGGCTTTGGTTCGGATTCTTCAGCAGCACACGGTCACCTACACGCATCGCCTGTTCGGCACGTCGGCGGACTAGTGTAAGTTTGGATAAGTCGCTGCCGTACCAGAAACGTTGGGGACGATTCCGAGTTGCTGCTTCGGCAGATGTCAACTACAAGGTGAATGTGTATAATGAGTTTGAATCTGAAATCTGTAGATAATGTTGGTTGGTAACCCACGGATTGGTTGATGGCCAACCAAGCAATGGCCAGTACTGTCCGTTTGACAGCTATTACTGTGTCTTGTGCATTTGTGCGTCCGTTTCCAAGAAGGAAGCCAAAGAGATTCTGGACTCCAGATACTGAATGGGGAATGATATTCTATGATGGAGCAGTCTAGTGAGATTGTGTCATGAGCCAAATGCACAGCTACGTACGTTCCCTCGCTGCCCCACAGCAAGTCTTGCACTCAGTTCCGGTAAACGTACTAGCTGTTCTGAAGAGAGTTCCACGACAGCTTCATCAAATATCTTGCTGTCACGTCAACATGAATGCTTGTGCACCAGAAAAACATGAAATCTACCTCGACGATCTGTGGTACATTAGCATCATGGGAGGGAATCAGATGGAAAGAGACGAACCTGTCCGACCCAGTCATTGTATACCACATAGTCACCCATATCTACTTCGAAGGAGCATTCCACGTCGTCTGTCCCCTTCCAACCAGGAATCTCTTCGCCGCTGATCGTGTGTTCAAGACGACCTTTCACATCAATACTGAACAACATCATTAGTTATTAGACGGTAAGGTACTCGGACCGCAACACACCTAGTGACTATTCCTGCGCGGGGATTATCTATGCTCTTCTTCAGAAGGTCTCCTGGTTGGTACATTCGATCCACGAGTTGGAGTTCTGACTCTTGCAGAATCTCGCGTTTCCCGCCAGGATAGAATGAGACCCCAACTTCGCCATGTTTCAACGGCCGCAGTAAAGGATCGACCATAACATCTTCAGGGAATGGTATGTCCTCCGGATCGTGCCAACACCTCTGTGAGAATGTCAATTGAGGCGTAATACGTAAATAGAGAATACCGCGAACCATGACCACTCCATAGACTTTCGGGTTTGACTTCAGTCGCACTATGTCCTCCTGGTAAAGCTAAAACCGTGTACGCATGTTATGAAAGGTTGAACCAGAAAGCAGCCACATACTTTCGCAGCATTACGCTGGTTGTCTGAGTTCATTACTTGGGATTGAGGGACCCAAAAGTGAGTATAGAGGTGTAGAGTACTCCGAGATAGTGGTTTGAAGTAGAATTGTAATCCGTCGGAGGATGTGGTCTCAGGTTATAAAGCGATAACACTCCCGAGATGACGCCAGCTTATAAGTAATAGTGACCTATCGGGTTGTCTATTGTCAGGCAAAGGGACAACTGTCTCCTCTACTGGCTTATCTGGAATATAAGCGTTGTTCGTAGTTTGTAAGTATACAAGGGCCAGTCAGTGTGCACAATTGTGGCTCGCTCTGGGGCGTTTCTTCCGCGGCGCTCTCCGGCCCCTTGCATCATAGGCGACTTTGGCCACCTTGTCCCAGAAATTCTGACATTTGCGCTTTAATTGTGTCGCTCTTGTCACCATGTCTCAGTTAACAGAACTGCCCACAGAACTGCTCATTAAAATATTCGATGATCTGGATTTAAGGAATCTCTTGCATTGCAAGCCGGTGAGAGGTTATTTCCACAACCCCAACCAATGCACTTCTGACAAAAATGTCAATTTCCAATTGCAACAGGTGTGTAGGCTATTCAACAGCATCATAAATGATGCTGCAACTCTGCAATATAAGATGGAACTTGCGCTATGCGGCATGGAAGATGGACCTCCTGGTAGTATGGTTCCCGCGGAACGTCTTGAGTGCTTGAGGGAACACCAAGATGCCTGGGGCCACTTGCGGTTCACGCAAACCAGCAATATCGATATGCAAAGTGGAAATGTTTGGGAATTATACGGGAACGTCCTATCGCAGGGAAAGAATAGGCGGTCCCTAGCGTTCCATCAACTCGCTTCCGTGATACGAGGTATTGAAGACCGTTCGTGGTCGTTAGATGATTTGGACGTCGAGATACGAGATTTTGGAATGGACCCAGCTCAAAACCTGCTGGTGTTGATCGAATCCTTGGTCCCCAACAAGTACGTCCTGCTTTGAATTAGCATTATTTTCCCTGAGTGAGTCTTTCGCCGCTACAGTGGTCGGAGCTACTCGATTCACCTCCGTACATTGTCGACCGGAGAGTCGCACCCGGCAGCACCCAAACCGGCTGTACTCACCTACACGCCTAATTTCCGCTGTTCGAGTTTCACAATTCAGACCAGCGCCGAATTGCTAGGCATCATCTTCCATTCTATGGACGGCATGGACAACGAACTCATCATTTGGAATTGGAAGACAACCGAGATAGAGTTGGTGAGGAGCTTCCTGTTCGATCCTGTCTGTCCGCATCCTGAGCGATATTCAGGCCGTTTCGGGAGATCCTGTGAAAGCCTTTGCTTTTTTGACTGACCATCATATATTACTGGCAAAACTGGTAACATATTCAGCAACGCTAGCTGTGGTGGACTTACAGACTTCTCATGCCGAGTTGACACCCTGCGAGGACCTTCAAGTGGAATGCGAATTCTACCTTCCGGAGTTGCTGACCAGGAACATTGTTGTCGACATACTGTTACGATTGGATCCCGGCCCAAATTGGACCCCAAACCCGGACCTCAAGGTTCCCTTCCATATTGCTCGTGGGGACAGATTGTTTGTCGTCACAGTGTCTCTCTTCTCCCCGGGAGACCAACATTTGCGAGCCTACACGTTGTTCATACCTTCTACGACGATTTTCAAGCACATGGATATGTACTCTGGAGACATCGAATGGGAACAATGGGGCCCGGCTGGTTCGCGGCTGATCTACCCCACACCATCCATTTCCCGAGTATGGGTGTGCTACGTGTATGGAATGGGGTTCACTTTCCTCCTCAGGTCACAAATGCACGAACAAAGGCAGACCCTCTACATGTTCGACTTCAATCAACTGGCCATTCGGAAGAGCATGCAGGAGAAGGCGAACATTGACGAACCTCAAACGAGCGAGTCGTGGAATCTGATGACGGATGATAGTGTCATAGACGCGGGTGCTTCAGTCTTCAATGACAGTATCAAAACGTCTCTGCCATTTCGATTCAGGATACACGATATAGCGCCGGACCCTGACGGACGTGCAGTAGCAGCGATGCTCAGCGAGGATTCTATCATCCTAGTATGCGATGTAAGTTGACAGGACACGTTGTTATCGCAGGCGTTGACCTTCATACACAGGCAACTTCCGTCCGAAGATATCGCATCTTAACATTCTGAAGACGTCCAACGAAGCCTGGAAGGATGCAAGCAAGAGTATCCACATAGTATATGTAACAAGATGAATGACAAGAGACGACAGCGGCGGTGTTTCCTATCTCGTTCCATCGTCCTTCTATCTACTCGCGGCGTCTGTACTCCCGCACCTCTGCGCTGATTCCCAGCATTGGTTTCTTTAGGGTTCTTGATATGTCCGTGTACTGTTTGACAGGAAGCACTGAGCGCCAATGGTCGAAGTACGTTGAAGACGCTTTTGGCGGCTTTTACTCTTGCGGAGGCTATGACAATCTGGGGTAGTGGCATTAAATATGCTACGCGCAGCACGAGGAGGAGGTTGTTGGCCACGACTGTTACGCTATTGGTTTGAGGCTGGCTGTCGGAAGACAATGCGTGGATTTTGCTAGACACTTGTAGATCCGCGAAGCTACCAAGAAGAGACCTCTTGTAAAGAATCGGGCCGTACTAGCACATTCATTAACGTCTGACGATTCGAATGCATGAGGTATAAATGAGTGGGCGAATTGCAGTATTCGCTCAGAAGACAATGCGCATATGCCGTTCTTGCAGGTGGGCGGCTACGATCTACGCGGGTCTGGGCGCTCCGGGTACTATGGGACGGTGTAAGTGATCGTGATGAGGCACACCACGCATTTTCTCTTCATCTTTCTCTTGACCCACCTATGACTCATATAAACCCCCGTCTCTCGAGCAGTGCATCTCAACCTCACGGTCCTCACCCTCACTTCTTCCCTCTTCCGCAATGCTGCCTCGTACTCTACATGCCACCCCCAAAATAAAGCCATGTCTCAACTCTCGCTCAGCACAGACCTTCAAAGCGTTCTATGCGGTTCGTTTGCTTTCTCTTACGGTTGCATTGCGTTTCTTTGTGTACTAACGCACAAACCCACTTTCTTTTCACTCTAACAGACTATCCGTGACCTACGCCATTCTAGGAACGCTCCTGAGGGAGGAGATGGAGAACCTGCAGATGACGTGAGATTAGATCTTGCGTTCCGTTTTCCGTTATCTGATAAGATTGATCTAGGACTTTATCATGTCCATCTTGCGTGCCAATCCGTCATTGAGGGACACTCGCTCCTACTTGGCGAGTTTTGGCCCCAAGGCAAAACCTACCCCGCCTCGCGAGGTTCGGCCAGAGCGCAATGAGCAGACCGATGTACCTGTCGCCACTGAGGCCAGGCCGCCGGACGTCGCACCCCAACCTCAAAGTCCCGTCATTGCTTCTATCCTAGACCCGATTGTCCGACGAACTGCTCTGGTGAAGGTACAAGGACCCTTCACCGACAAACAGCTGGAGAGTATAGCACGTGGGATGATTTATCTGGAGAAGCTAGGTCTGCTCAGTGTGATGATCGTTGAGAACGATCAGATGGCACGTGGAGAGGAGAACGAACGTTCTGCCATCGTTGAGGATACAATGCGCGTCGTAGGTGCTCTCGAGAAGCAAGGCGCACGAGCACGCCCGGTGCTCGGTGCCGTCGTCCGTCTCGGTCCAAATCCAGGTGACGAGGATGTAGAAGAGCGAGATTTCGCCGTCCCAGAAGCACATACATTCCCTTCCGACCTTGTACATATCCGTTCGGCACTTCGCGCGGGCGAAATCCCTGTTCTTCCGCCCATGGCACTTGACTCCTTCTGTCGTTCTGTCCGAATAGACAGCAATCATGTCATTGCCGCTTTGGCTCGAGGTATGACAGAGGCTGCTGCTCTCGAACGAACAGAGAAACCTGGCCAGGCAAGAGAGTCGGAAGTTCCTTCAGACGATGTTGACCTGACTCCCATGCGGCTTATGATCATCAACCGCGAAGGCGGCGTGCCGTCTTATGCACGTTCAGGGCTGCCTCATCTTCTGGTCAATCTTACTTCAGAATTTTCATACATCAAGGAGACTTTCGATCCGCAGTGGAAGGGCTCACATCCTACTGCTCTGTCAAATCTCGCCCTTGCACGAACATGCCTTGCTTACATGCCTCCGAGCTCGTCCGCCGTGATGGTCTCGCATCGATCCCCCAGTTCCCTTATAGCTAACTTAATCACTAACAAGCCGGCAGTCAGTTCCAGCTTGCCGCATGCCCTTCTTCAAGGCAATCGGAAGCTGAACCCGCATACACCGACTTTGTTACGTCGTGGTCTTGATATCCGAGTCATTCGAACAGCTGCGGAAATCGACCGACCTAAAATGAAGGCTCTTCTTGAGCAGTCCTTCAAACGTTCCTTGGACGAAGGTCCATTTTGGGAACGTCTAGAAAAAAGTCTTGACTTCGTTATAGTCGCCGGCGACTATGCCGGAGCTGCTATCGTGACCCGTGAAGAATGTCCACCGAACGCACCTCCCGACTTCAATCCAATTACCTATCTCGACAAGTTTGCTGTCCTTCCTAGCCATCAAGGTGATGGAACGGTGGACTTCTTATGGGTTGCCCTCCACGACGAGTCTTACGGTCTCGGTCTGCCTTTCTCTGCAAATCCTAACGGTGGCAAGCAGGGTAAAGGTGAAGGTCGTGACCTTGTGTGGCGGAGTCGAGCCAACAACCCTGTCAACAAGTGGTATTTCGAACGCAGCACCGGGCATGTCCGGATGGGCGAATGGGTGCTTTTTTGGTGCGATGCTGAGAAGCGTCTCAAAACTGAGGGGGCTGGCCGTGCCAATGCCGGGTTGTCATATATAGAGCATTGGGAACACGGCAGGTTGTCGGTATGGGCGGACGTTGTGATGAAAATTCAATCTAGTTGGCGGAAGTGATGTTTCACGTGGTACTAATATACTGTTGGATTGACCTATTTTTTTTACACTCCCAGAGACTCTACATACACTTATTCACCGTAAACATTGGAATGCTAGATTTATCACTCTTTGTATCAAAATTATTGTATAACAAACATATCCATCCGAACGTTGGTCTAAGTCGCTCAATAAAGCTTGAAGTCACAGCCGTTGCCTTTTTGTCTGAGGCTTTCGACGGATCTGAACGACCATGATCGGAAGCTATTGATCCGGTTATAGCAAGTAAGTTAGGAAGTCCGATGTTGCCATGTGCATATATATTCATCTGACTGACTTCTACCTTTTATGAAGTTGTTTCAACCTTTATCCTAGGTGATACCGTCATGACAACAAAGAAATGTTTGGGTGGTCATCATGATATATCCGCTGACACATCAGGAATATCCTTTGCGGTGGAGTGCTTCTATGATGGTTCGACTTCTTTGTCCGACCCCGCTTCTCGCCGTTTGCAGAGTACGTCGGTTGGCTGCCCTTTCTTGAGTATATATATTACTGGAGGGTCTGATGAATTCTAGGTGGATGTTGAAGCGGCGATAATTCTAGCTGCTGGTTTTAATCTTTCATTGCACCGTTCACCCCTGCGTCGTCAATGCTAGACGATCAAGGGTAATTGTTGTAAGACGTCCTCGGCAGATCACCTAGCGTGATTCTGAAGGGGGCCGTTGCTCCATCGAAGCAACCCGCTTATTACCTCCCCTTGTTCCCCGCTGGTGGGTCATATAAAGCACCATCCGACTTTATGGTCCAGAAACCTGCTCTTACTTGTCTCCCTTTGTGCTTTGAGCTTAGGATCCCGTCACTCGTTTTTAACAAACCTTAACATCCTCCATAATGTATAAGCTCTCAACCATTTTCACCTGCCTCCTTGTCGCTCTTTCCGCATCCGCTAGTCCCCTCTCCGAAAAGCGTGACGCTAACTTCGCGTCTGACGTATGGGACCCGAAGATCACTAAACCCTCCTTTGGCACCATTTGGAAGGTTGGCACCAACCAAACCATTGCTTGGGATACCGCTGGTATCCCCGAGTCAGCTCTGGACACCCGAGGCGTCATCTACCTTGGGCACCTCCAGGGCGACAGCGAGCACTTGGATATTGGCGAGTCATTTAAGAACTTGGATGCTAGCTGGGGATTAACGGAAAGAATGCAGCCCACCCACTTGCTAGCGGCTTCACATACAGAGATGGCTCTGTTTCAGTGACCGTCCCTTCCGTTGACACTCGCCTTGACTACATCGTTGCTTGTGAGTCCTTTAGACTGCTGCATTTGAAATACCGAATCTCTAACCCGTATGCTCTAAGTGCTCGGCGACTCTGGAAACATTTCGCCCAAATTCATGATTGCTAACTTCGAATTTATGGACAAGATCACCGATGCGTTGGGCATCACTAAAGGCAATTAGAGTGGCATCGGATATATATCCACATCAGTACTACTCACCACATCTGTATCGCTTCGAATTCTTTTGCCGCTTGCTTTCCTAGTTTTACGTTCACAATTTCGGACTGTTTCTGATACTAAAGCGGAATTACATCTATCTTCGGACTGCAAATCCTGAATGACGACGATGAAAGATGTTGGTACATATATTGCATAGGTCATCATCCAGAAACGAGATGGTGTAGGAAGTGTCAAAGTGATATAACGTGCTAAATGTACTTGTCAAGCAACTTCTTTGAAGCCTCCACGCCGAGCTAAAGCATGATAATAAATATAAGTACTGTACAAAGAATGAGGCGGAATCAGAACTACTCACGAATGTAGCAGCGTTTGCAGGGAACGCCTATAGGTGGATTATGAGCTGAAGTTACATTTGGGAGGCATTTTACTTACACGAGCCATGGCCGGACCCAACCCTTTCCACAACGCCGTAACACCGTCGACAGCTATTGTTTTCCGCGCACAATCGAGGAACCCCGAATATGTTCCTGTGGGTGCGGATTGTATACGGGATTTAAGCACCTATCAGAGAATGTCAGCTATACTCTGTTGTCAGGAATTATGCTTTAAACGTACATCGGGAGGAATGGCTATCGACCACATAGCGACTCCTGCTGATCCACCTGCGATAATGATAGCACCAAGATTCAGGTCTGACGGAGAGGCGCCAGCAGGTGTCAAGAGCTTCTTAACAACCTCATATGCTGCGAAGTACCTGTGAGTGCCGTTAGCATACAATTAGCGGTGCTATTAAGGAGTGCTTAGCATACGCCGCACTGCCTGGTCCATCTCTCAAGACAGTTGCTGCTGAACCGCGGAATACACTCCGAATTCCTCCCTCTTTGTACAGGTGTTTCACAACGTCGAACACACCGTTATATTGCGGACCCGCTTGTCCTTGTCCTTGCACCTGTATTTAATTCAGTAAACCCTCATGACGAGGACGTTAAGAGTTTCTCACCTGCAGCAAGACTTTTGCTCTTTCGACAGGAGCGGTCACCAGAGTAGTGGGAATCGCCGACAAGAAACCGGCGACAGCGTATTCAGCTACAGAGAGCTCTTTACTTGTTCGATTGGGTGTCAATTTGTAAATGAGCACCTTGGAGATATCGTAGGACTACATAAAAGAAAAAGGATCAATGTATGCGGCCCACATTGCGATGCACAAGTACATACCCAGAATGAGACCGCAAATATAGGTGTGACACCGAGTAACGGTGGAACAACACCACGATATAACCTAGATGGCGAGATGTAATGCCTTCCATTTTGGCAAGCAGCTGCAATATGCAGACGTACCCTGTTATGCCATCACGAGCCACAGTTTTCTTGACCACATCGATCGCTCCCGTATAACTACCTGGCGGTGCGGTCTGCAGACGCGTCTTCGTCAAATCGAATGGATGACCTGTGTGATAACCAGGATCATTGACTGAATCGAGAAGAAAAAAAAATGGAGAATTTGACATACCGACAAGTACTGCTGCGATACCTCCAACACCACCAGAGACGAAGGACTTGATATTATCGCCCGTAGATGTAGTACCCTTACGGTGGGTTGCTTCCTCGGCAGGAGACGTTACGTCGCTCTGATCAAGATTCTGAGCCATTATGTACGCGACCTTTGCAAGAATTGACCTACCATGGTGGTTAGTGGAGGTAAAGGAGGATGGGTGAAGCCTAAATTGACTTACAATCGGGCGTATGCTTGGCCGGTAATTGCGACAACATCCTGAGTTGGCTGGGCAGATGGCGCGTGATATTCCGCGCCCGTCGACACGCTCTAAAGCCTTGCAGTGAATCTAATCTAATCGTTGTACAACGCTAGCCATGTGAGGGCGGGATGGTCTTCCGTCATCCTGAACAACCTCACTTGAGCAGTCAAACGAAAACAACATGTCAAAGCGGAAACTGAGCGGAAATAGTTCCCCGCACTAAAGCATCCCCACGGGGAAGCAATGCGGAGGTATAATTGAAACACCAAGATAAATTCCAATAGCAATATAGAAATACAACATGTACACCCTAGGATATTATAGTCTTACATACCATGCAACTCTATGTCTACAAGATTCCATATATCATTGTCCATGGTTCACTCAAGGATCCTCTTCCTCTTGTGCAAAACCACCTATAGGCTCATATGTTGCCTCTGTGGTATCTCGCCTCCAGATCGCCCTCACCCCGAGGAAAAATAGACCGATGAGGATACTACCAACTATACCCACTCCTATTGGTGCGCCGTAGGCGTTCCACCAAGAAGGGGAGTAAGGTACTAGCGGTCGATCAATCTGGATCACACCCCCTGTTCCCCCTCCTGTCGTCGACCGCCCCCAAGCAAGTACACGAGCCCATTCCCGACGTCCATTGTCACCACGGGCGCCCTTAATTCCGACTAGGATATCGTCTGAATCTTCTGTTTGACGGAATACTACGTCACCATACAATGCAGCAGCTGATTGCAGTGTCGTATACGTTGTTGCGTCATCGAGAGTGAGAGGTCGATTCTTGTTGACATCGTCGACCAATCTGCCTTTCTCTGGCACATCTTGTGACGGTCGTTGTGTAGGAATGAGATGTTGGCTGACGATCGCCCGAACTCGATTAGAATCGGCGTAAAGTGCAGTAAGGTTGACACCCTTGAAGGCGTCGTCGGTTGGACAAAGCAGTGTCCAGCCCACCCCGCTCAGCCCCAAATCCGCCCAAGCCGAGCCCTCAGGAGGGGCAGTACCATTGAGGATCCAATCCAAGCCAGCTTTGTTCATCATAGTAGCCATGGTAGACCCTTTCCCGGCACGCACAAGCTTGCCGACCGTAAGCTCTACGGAGCGTGGTATCAGGATATCAGACACTTCATGAATAACACCGGTCTGCGTGAGCGTATTCTTGAGTTTCAACTCGGAATGCATCTCGGGCCATCCACCGCTGCCGGAAAGTAATAGTGTCTTATTGACCGTGCTCGTACGATCGATGTGAACGTCTGTCCCTTCCAGCGTGCCATAGGTATGCTGGGAACCATTCTGCATTTGATCAGCGTATTCGACATCATTGAGCACATGATGTTTGATGACACGCTCCAAGTCGGATTTGGAGGAAACGGAGAGAAGGTGAGCGCTGACCAAAAGACCAAGACGTTTGAAGGCGCTATTGTGAGGGATGAGGAAGGTTGTACGAGGAGTGAGATTTAAGTAGTCAGCTAGTCCCGCTGAGAACACGGCTGCGAGGAAAGAGGAAAGGTCTAACGAGGGTAGTGCAGTTTGCAACGCGTCAACGGGTGGGGTAAGAGGATGTGATACGAAATAAATGAGGGAATTGTTGATTTCAACTAAAAGTATCTTATTTCAGCGCACGATACGCGCAACTATGAAGAAGAACTAACCTGGTTCCCCAATAACACTTGCTTCACCAAAGCTCAACGACAGAGTCTCCTTCTTGCCACGAGTACTGACCCCGACGGGAAGTACTTGCTTGCCCCCATCTAAGCCAGGCTCTTCCAACGCTGTTTCCACCAGCATGCCGTCCTTCAGCTTCTTGGGAGTCAGCTTACCTGGAATGAAGTGATATCGAAGAAGCTTCCTCAACTCTTCACTTCCCTTCTCAGGCAAGTGATCATCACCAAAAAGCTCAATGACATCGTCCTTAGGTGCAAGAATAGTCCAGCTTGCCTCCGTGTCATTCACGAGGGGCGTGAGATTGACAGAATGAAGAAGTGACACGAAAGAAGTGCAATTGAGTACGAGCAGGTATTTCTCCGGTGTGAGTCGCAAAGAGCCTGGGGGTACGAGAAGCGAAGACACGGTGTGCAACACGCCATTGGAAGCATAGATGTCAGGCTCAACCAGCTCCGCGGACGAAACCATGGTCTTCCCGCTTTCAGAATCAATGGCAATATCCAAAGTGGGTCCATGAATTGTTTTCACTACATCGTGTTGTTAGAGCCAGTACCAGGGTTGAACACAACGAATTACATACGGTGGAGTCCCTTCTCGAACTGTTCCGAATATGTCACGTTCTTTCGGACTACCGCGTGCATGTTGACAATTCGTGTCAAATCGTCGGTCGCAAATTTACTTTCCAGATACAACCTCTCGTAAAAAGGTAAGGCTTCCCATGCGGAATCGACTGGTAAGAACAAAGTCAATTCGGACGTGCCATTGAGGAAAGAAACGATCTCCGGAATCAATATCTTGGTAAGATATTTGAGTGATGTATGGCGTTTAATCACGATCGCTAAAGGGCAGTGTAAGAACACGCTACAAAAGATTTGCGTGCTACGAACCTAAATCTGGAGGAACTTCCAGCATGGTTCCAACGCCCAATACTAAGCCATTAGACGTATTCACGGATGGTTTAATGACTTCAGCCCCTCCGTCACCAAACGCATTCACTCCGACATAAATCTTTTCATCTCGGGCTGCAACCCTGAGCCGTTGAGGTTCGCCTCCTAAAGTGCCGCCGGGAACTGGTAGCCAGGGAGGAGATGGGGGAGGGTCATGCGTCGGAGGTCCACTGGAAGGTTTGCGCGGGTAATGCAGGGTCTTCAGCACCTGCGGATTCTTCTCCTTTGGTAGAATGGGTAGAGTGTAGTTAAGGAGGTGGTAGAACAACTCTTGCCGCAGTTGCTCCTGGACATTGTCGCGAAGGTCCGAGGAAGGTTCTTTCAAAGCCTCCCGCCAAACAGAATGCAAGCCTAGGTGTTTCTCAATCGCGTCGTTCGTAGGTGCGAACAGGGTGCTACCGTTGAGTTTGTTTAGTGTGGGAATCAGCTTCGCCCGCTGCAGTAAGCGAAGAAGAGAGGTATAATCCGAGTCGTTCGAAAGAGCATCGACAATGTTGGTTGACAGGATGGTTACATTCTGCTGGTGAGTTGCGAAAGAGACCTGAGAGGATAAAGCATAGGGAATAAGAGCGAGCAATAATAGAAAAATGTGACACCACGGCCGCATGGTGAGTGTCTGAGCACTCGGCGGGACGGTCAATATTGTAGATGAGCGAATGTTATGTAGATGTAGTAAGGAAAGAGAGACCAAGACACGGGGGTATGTCGTAAGGCTCCAGAGCTGCGAGGTAGGATATTAGATACAACGCTGCGGACAGGTTACACTTACAGCTGCTTATAGCTCGCGTCCGTGGTACACGCTTATGACGTGCGGAAATACTTACGGTTTCCCACGTGGTCGGCCCGGCCGTTGCCGCTTGTCAATGAGCGTGAACTTAGTTTGGTGCCGACCGATGTTCTGTGTAGCTTGCTCACTGTGACACTCGATGTGCAGCGCTGCCGTCTATCTCTGTTATCCACTGAAATTACGTCCATTAGAACCTAATCCCCATCTGAATTGACGCACTCTCCATATCTTCTTCACACAGTAACTCTGCCATTCACCCATGTTAGACCTTCTGCACGCATACACAGGGTGCCCTACAGCTGGGCTGCAGCATCTAGTCCTTCCAAAAGAAACTCTCCTGGTCGGTTCTTCTGTCACTGCGGTCACATTTTAGTTCGTCTGATTTCCTTTTGCCAGCTGTATCCTTCCTCCGACTCCATCATAATACGCAATGCGCTTAATCTGAACCTTGTCCGCGCTTTGGGATTCTGGGAAGCCTTTCCAGGTGCTCTTCACTCCAAGGATGCCGTAAATCGATTGTCGGTCGACCCTAGAATGAAACTCGTATGTCCCATTGTGACGCTGGACGTATAATCTCGTCTGATGAGCCAGATCCATAGGTCGTCGGCTCAATGGGCTCACGTCTGGCAACATGGGCTCTTTCGGGAGTGCAACACGACACTTGGCGTGTTCATTCTTCTCTAGCTCTTCCAGACGACCAAAAGATCTCAGCCATAGACTGCAAGTCCGGTATGATTCATTTGCTTGTCATTCGGATTCCCTCTGACATTGTTCAGGATTGCTTGCGGTTGGGACCCTCCGTAGCTTATCAGTGTATACACTAATCCTAGAAAACGACCTTCCCACTTGGTCTTTGAAGTGGATGCTTCCGTATGTTCATTCGATCATTCACCCTTCAATCCATTTGCCAATTCTTGTCTAGCATTGCCAAACTGACCCGTGTACGCTTTGCCCCTTCATTGATGTACATTGCAAGCACATCTTCGGTGCGTTAAATCGCAATGTTTTATGTGTTTAGCATACCGATTATCCTAGTGCTGTGCCGCAACAGGATGACAATAACGTTCGGATATACTTGACGACTTCAGGGAAACAGCTTCAGTCGATACCTCATCCTCGCCTTGTAACAGATGTTAATTGGCGCATGTCACAAGCCTCGAGCAGGTATGTTTAACAGATCTGATTTATTACTACTATGCTTAAGAGACGTCAGAGAGGCTTCAATCCTTTACACAGTCACAGCCGATGCTACACTGCGAGTCTTCTTGCCAGTGCTCGATGCGCCACAACAGCTCCAGTTGCATGCTTCCTTGGATATATTCTCCGCGCTTCCGTTCTCCATTGCGGCCAAATCTCCTAATTCGAGTATATACTGGCTAGACAGGGCAGTTATGTCAAACGCGTTGACTGCAGTCTTGGACCAACCTGGGGCTGACAAGGAGGAAGCTGGAAGAAGAAGAATTCAAGAAGTGAGGGACGAGGGTTGGGATCTCTTCCTTCGTGTCCTCTCAGATGGATCCCTTGTTCTTCAGGCTGTCGCAGTGCGTTCATCAAATTATCATTCGTTGATTAACCTGTCTGATTCCGTGTAGAATATCGACCGGCGCCCTCCGACCCTTCTAAAGCATTTCACACTACTACAGTCTCCTCCAGGAACTCTCAAGTCTACTCCTCTACATCTCTATGTTTTACCCCATGCGACTGTCCCGTCCCTCCTAACTTTGATTACCTCACCGCCGATTACAACATCCCTCTTACGACCCCTGCTTTTCTTCGATGCTCGTGCTGATGGTTTGGAACAAATTGCATCCGGAGAGGAACTTCCTCATGCGGATGAGCTCAAAATTGGGGTCGAACAGCGCAAGATCATACGCTTTGAACGCACCCCTGACGGCGAAGGTGTTGGCGCAATACGAATGGAGGGTGCCGGAGAAACGTGGACTGTTAGCCGTATGGGACGTCATCTTACGAGCAGAGGGAGATGGAAGCTCGATGAGGCAGGAAACAATATCGATCATCTGGTTGTCCTTGACAGAGGTAATCATACTCAGGAAAACATGAATATCCCTATTGACACATTTATTTCTACCATTAGGCAAGCAATTTGTTACATACTCCTCGGCCACTCAGAAGCTTGTATTGCATACGCATCCACCTGCCGAAGTCGAATTGCCTAATCTCGCTGCCATTTTCTCCCTTCCTCGCCAGTCTTCCATGCCTTCATCTAGGTCTATCACACTAGTCGCTCTCACGACCGAACAAAAGGTCATTCTCGTCGACGCTATCCTGCCTTCCCAAACAAACCCAACCTCATCACCATCCCTGAGAATATCATCATATACATCTTTACCGCTTGATACTCCTCCGGCCCTGATTATGCCAGTTGATCCAATGGCTTGGAGTGGGCCCTATCTTGCAGGCACATGGGCCATGGAACATGATGTGCTACTGAGTGTCACGTCAGATGGTGAATTAGCTTTTTGGATTCCAACTGAAGCTTCAGAGGAGGCAAGGTGGAAGTGTACTGGGACAGTTAGAACTGGGCGACGAGGCTTGAGCATTGCGCGTTGTAGCTCTGCGAAGAAGTCAGCACTTGGTGAGGAACCTTCTATGTGGTTGTGATGTTTTAGGCTAACAAATCCTAGTTGTTCTAAGTCCCGAGGGCCAGGAGCTGACGATATGGGATTCCAAAGAGTCGGAGTTTGCCTCCGGGCTGGAGTATAGACAACTCTTCAGGTAGGGTTCACATAATCGTCGTTTGCGTATATTGAGATTAATGCTCTTGACAGTTCCTCAGATCCGATCAGCGACCTTGACTGGACTGCGACACCAGACAACCAGTCAATATTGACAATAGGATTCACCCATCGTGTCGAGGTTCTGAGTCAACAACGCTTGTCTTACTTCGATGACATTCCAGCTTGGGGCCTTTGTAGGAAGATAGATATTGAGAAGTTCGTAGCCTTACTGGAAGGTTAACCATGGATACTGACTTTGCTTTTTTGATCAGCATCATTCCGCACCCTATCAGTGACTCCATATGGCTTAATCGTGGTTCACTCTTAATCGGAGCCGGTCATCTTCTTTGCTTGTATGGCCAACCCAAACCTGCGCCAGAAGACCCTGAGCCGCCCGAAAGCTTGTTCGAATATGTGGCACTACACAACGGACCATTGAGCGACTATCATCCTCAACTCATCTTACAGTGTTTGCTTTGGGGTAACGTTCTTCTAAATGATTGACGCTTCCGTAATGGTGACTGACTTCTCATGCAGACAAAGTCGAGGTGGTGAAATCTGTCATTGTTAATTTGGCACATAACATCGCAAGAAGAAGAAATATACACGAATGGCATTTCGTCCCTTTTGAGGAATTCCTGAAAAAGGAGGAAGTGGTCAAGGCTGTAAGTCTTTACTCGATTTCTCTGCAGATCTTTAAGTAAACCCCTCCGGCAGTCACATTTACAAAGGCCAGCCTATCCTTTGTTGTTCAGTGGACCCGAACCCGAACCCGAGAAGTGCGTAATAACCTAGTTATTTTACTTGCAATAATTCATCTACGTTTACAGGTGTGAAGAGGAGGAATTCTCTACTACCTTAGTACAGCAGCTTTTGGAACGTCTCGAGGAGAAGCCTAGTTCTCGACTCACACCCAATGAGCACGAGTCACTAGTCGTCCTGATTCAGACTGTGTTAGAGGTATAATAGCTGCGACTTACCTACGTTCTACAGCTGATCATCCCTCTTCAGATCGACGAGCAAAGGCGGGCCCTCGACGCCAATGGCGTGCGATATCTTATCACGATGCGGGTTTTCTACATTCTCAATCGCCGGTTGTCGGCGCCATCGACTCCCGCTTCAAATAACTCAGTACCCATTGGAAGTCGTAAACGGGAGCGCTTGCGCTATCGTGACATGATGTGGGCTTTCCACAGTGAGAGCCAGGATCTGCTGCTTTCTGCTTCTATCGCTGCATGTGATGGTGGCAAGATGTATTGGTCGGATGCGAAAGCGTTGGGTATTTTCATCTGGCTTCAATCCGCGGAAACAATGGTAAGGTTATCCATGTCATTCATTTCGTTTCGTGGCTGACGCGAAGATTTCAGAAAGCGCACATGGAGGTCATCGCGCGTAATGAATTCCTGGCGGGTGATAATCGCGACCCCACTAAATGCAGTCTATTCTACTTCGCGCTAGGAAAAGTGAAGTTGGTGCATGGTCTATGGCGGCAAGCTTCGTGGCATAAAGAACAAGGTGTTATGCTGAAGTTCCTGCACAACGATTTCTCTCAACCACGCTGGCGCACAGCAGCACTGAAGAATGCATACGCTCTCTTGAGCAAACGCCGCTTCGGTGAGCGGCTTGTTCCACAACGTGATGACGGTGGCTTATTGAGTGACTTATCATTTCTCAGAGTACTCCGCGGCTTTCTTCCTTCTGGGCGGTAGTTTGAAGGACGCTGTCAATGTATGCATTAAGAACCTCCAAGACTTTCAGCTAGCTGTCGCGATAGCGCGAGTGGTGGAGCAAGACGACAATGGTCCCGTCCTCGCAGGAATACTCAACAATACGGTGATACCAACCGCATTCAGGGAAGGTAACAGATGGCTTGCGAGTTGGGCATTTTGGCTTCTGCGCCGACGCGACTTGGCAGTTCGTATTTTGATCGTAAGTACAATCTTCAGCTTATATGGAAAGCCGGTTGTAATGTATTGTACAGACACCTCTTCAAGCTATGACGAAGTTCTTAGTACAACCAATCACTGAGATAGGCGAACCACATTTCGATGACCCAAGCTTAGCGCTGCTGTTCTCTCAGCTTAAATCCAAGACTTTACAGACCGCGAAAGGTACCAGCGAAATCTCGGGTCGAACGGAGTTCAATTTCGTCCTTCAGATGGCGCGGGTCTTCTGCCGGATGGGTGAGTGCCTGATGGTCAACTTGGCTTCCCTTTTATACTGATATCTCGCGTTAGGATGCCATGTACTGGCATTAGACCTTGTCCGTTCATGGTCATTCCATCGGCCGTCTGTGGTTACCCGAGACGTATGGCCACCTCCAAGTCCTGTCAATACTCGGCTCGCTCTAGAACCTGCTCTACGTAGGAGAGCATCAATCGTGATCGATATGGATATCGAATCAGAACCTCCAACGCGACGAGCATCTCCCGTGGGACGGCCTGTGAATGGTATTCCTGTCATTCCGGAAGAGGTAGTGACGGATGAGGGAGATCTCATTGCGAGGAAGGCAGGTATTGGAAGCCTGATGAAGTCTGCCAAAGAAAACTCTAACGTACCCGATTTCGATATGAGTGCATTTTTCTAATGCAGCCGTGTTTGCGATCAAGCTGCATACACAGAATTACATCTCGAACGCTCTAACTTATTATATCAACCAGGATGTATTAGAATATGGATTGCAGACCGCTTTTATACAAATGTCTTGACTTCTTCCAAGCCACAAAATCCGATATAAGAGAAATATAGCGAACGAATGATAATCTAGGACTCCCCCTCAGCCTCACGTTTCTTCAACACAAGGTCCTTGCCAGTTGCCCTCTTGTAAACCGCGTGGACATCCTCAACGACAGTCTCGAAGTGAGAAGTCGCGTCGTAAGAGCGTGTAACGAAGACATTGTCGCTCTCGCCAGTTGATGTGGGGGTGTACAAGGAAGTGACCGATACAAACCTGTGAATTGAAAGGGTTAACGATAGGAAAAGAAAAAAAAATCAAATGGTGGCCTACTTGTCATAGATCGGTCCCAAAAGCGCGAGCCCCGGAGCAATCTCCTGCTCAGGATTCTTGGTCTCTACAATGGTGCTGACGATAGCGACGTATACGTCCTTAGCGCAGACATTGTGCGTCGAAGAGACCATGGCAACGTAGATATCTTAGCCCATAATCAGTAAGATAGTGTTGAATACGAAGAATTATTCTCACCGTTTCGCCTGTTGACCTGGTTCTGAGGAATAATAATCTGACAGCTGTCGGCGTCATCGGTTCCCGGGATGGGGTGCTTGAGGATACAAATGGCCCGAATCACCTTACCCTCCTCCACAACTCTGACCTTACCACCCTCAGTGTCATGTCCGGCACCGAAGTAGCTAGGGTCACCAATGACCTGCTTAGCCTTGACAGTCTCAGTACCACTTCTTACACCAACGAACTTGCCATCGGCATCCGTGACAATCTCGTCGATATGTTTATCCAACATGTAAGTACCACCGTAGATGGCACTGAGACGAGCAAATGCCTGAGGCAACTCGCCGAGGCCATAGAGAGGATAGATGTAAGGAGACTTGCCGTAACGCGCCATGGAAGAGGTATAGAGGATGATTCGTTCATACGCTTCACGGGCAGGTTTGGTCTTGTAGCTGTATATAATATTAGTGCATTAGAAATGGAACGCACAGAGCTACATACTCATCATCCAGGTACAAAGCCATAGCGTGACCGATGAAATCTTGAGTGCCCGGTTCAAGACCGAACTTCTCGTATATGGTCTTCATCGAGTCCGTGTCAAGGTTAATACCTGCTCGCAAGTAAATTAATCTATATAACCAGTAGCTAACACATGAAAATCACTGACCTTGGTGGGTAGCGGGATCCTCATCCTTCCAGCTCTGCAGGAACTCAAAGAATTTCTTTGCTCTCCGCTTCTCGAAGAGACCCATCAAAGGGCTCCTCACGGCCTCAATTTCGGTACTTGGAACCTTGGAGATCCTGCCATCACGGTACACGTAGCTGCCAGCGATCTGCTTAAACTCGAGGTAACGGGTTACGTCCGTGTGTACAAGGATCTTGGTGAGCTCGCCCGATGCAATGATGAACTTGGGAATCAGGTCGATCGCATAGTCGCGGTCACGACCAAGCTCAGATGGAGGCGAACCGTCCGGTCTGAACTTACGGTAGAGCTAGATGTGATGTGCTGTACATGAGAACGTAGGTCGACGGCAACCAGAGTATTCACAGACCTGCGTCAAGTTCAAACTCGCACTATCACCACCGTAGTAATCATTTCTATCCATGTGCAGGACCTTCTTGCCGTCCACGGACAAGAGACCCGAGAGAATACATTCGGTCAGACCAGTACCCAAAACGACGACCTATGGGAATGCATCCGCAGGGGTAAATGTTCGACGTCGGTCTGCATAGACTAGAGACGTACATCGTACTCTTCATCCATGGTATGTAAAGCGTTGTCTAGGGCGTCGAGGTTGAGAGGTGGAAGAAAGATGGAAGCAGTTGCCAACGGTAGCTTGCCTGCTAAATAGATGGTCAGTGGTCACCTTAAGCGGCACCAGTTCATCGATCCACATTGCACGTGGACAGAACACAAGTATACCATGGTGTCTCTAAGTATGTATGCACATGATACATCATTTAAACCACTAAGGGTGGTACATACAACAACAATTATAAATGAGTGACATAGAATAATATTTAGAGCAGATCGTAGAATGGTTGTAAATGCTCGGACAGTCTGGTTATTCGTCAGATCGTCCTCGCTTGCGAGCACTCAACGGCACGTCTTTCTCCCCACCTGAACTTGAGTCCGAATGTCGTCGCTTATGGCTGCGACTGTCCGAAGACTGCTCCTCGTTCCCCTTTGTCCCTGTTCTTCTACCCACTTGCGCACTAACAGATTGTTGTTGTTCCCTCCGTTGACGATACTTGTAAGCTTCATAGTCAACCGCTATACGCTGCGTCAGCGGGAACTAATCCTAGCAAAAGTCGCACAACATACCGGCACCATGGGTACGATAGAGTTGCGCATATGCTTTAAAATTGCGCTGAGGATACTACATTCAACAAGGTCTTTAGTAAGTGGCACCAACAATTAAATTATCAAGAAAGTGCACACCATCTGTTCATACGGAAGCCAACGGTCCTTTGCAGTCAATGTCTCCCAGTCAGGTATGGATGCTATATATCGAGCCATAATACGTCTGTCCGCATCACTGAATGCTTCGCGACGTCCGCTCATGTGCCGTAAGTCATCTTCGGAGTCGGTGTCTTTCTCGTCATGACCATCAGAATCCTCATCGTGCTCATCGTGCTCGCCGGTACTGTCACCATCGCCAGCGTCCGATTCCTTGTTGTCCGAGTCCCGTGTCTGGGATCCAGAAGCAGACTCAGCGTCGCTCTGATCAGCTGCAGTTTCGCTAGATTCGTCTTCGTGAGGAGGTGTCGCTCTACGGGCTTCCTGAAAAATAGGCTCGACTTCATCCTTCTTACGCTGCATATAACGTCGCCAAGACGGTGCACTATGATGGGGAACCTACATGCGAAATGTCAGACTTGGCTTGAGGAACAAGGCCAGTCATTGTACCTTTTCAGCCAACTCATCGCCAAGAAGCTCCTGGGTAATGGAAGGTTCTTGATGAAGGCGCCATCGTAGGTAATTCAGCATGAAATCGTGGTCAGCGTCCGTGTAGCGGTGAGCCTTGCCCTGGGGATCTATGGGTATTAGCTCTGTAGGGGGTGTGGGGCAACGGGATGGTATCCTATCGACTGAGGCACGTTCAGAAGTAGACTGCTGAGGTTCTGGAGATGGTTTTGGAGGCTTTACGTCGAGTTCATCATCGTCATCAAACGAGCGAGAGGCTTTAGCCCGCTCCTTTTCTTTAGAGCGTCTCCTAAGAGGTCGGGAGGGTCGCGCAAGTGGTGGCTTTTCATGCGACGAAGAAGGCCCGCTCTCATCAAAACGAGGTCGCTTCGCACAACCTGGCTTCGCACAAGATTGGCAACGTTTGCTGATGATTCCATTAAGGCGGCGATGGTGTTCCAAATAATAATCTTTCCACACGTTGGCAGCATGACTGTTTTTCTGTATGCGACGTCAGATTTGATGGATTCTGTCACCAATACGAGAGTACTTACTCCATGCAACCCTTCGAGGGCTTGACGGTAACTATGTCCCTTCGTCTCACTCTCGCACAAGGCCTGTATGAGCAGTTCCTCATCATCGGGCATGGATCCAACCGGCGTACTCATTTTGATAGCGTCCGCCATAAGTTGTCCCATAGTAAGCTGGGAAAAGTTAATGCCAGCCGTCTGCTGCAAAGCCTGCATCCCCATCGCAGTGACTAGGTTCGATTGCGAAGAATTAACCCCTGCAAAGTTGCTCATGGTGTTCTGTGAAGAGAACTGAGCCATGAGAGCGTTTTGGCCCAACATATTGGTGGCTGAAAAGGTGTTTTGCCCTAGCATCGACGCAACGGCTTGAGCTTGCATAGCGGCGAAGATTTGGGTGTATGCGGGGTCGGTAGTCCCGACGCTAGCGGAAGTACTTGGACCGCCGTTGCTCGTCATTGAGGACGTCTCGAAAGTGAGCAGTATGCTCGGTTTTTAGTGGTACGACGATGGATGCGGACAAGGGATGGTTATCATAAAGGACAGCGAGGAAACGCAATTAATCGTGGAATGAGTGGCCACACCGGCAGAACCGACAGCCTGCATGATCGGTCTCACTTTAGCCATTCAGTGGCACGGAATGACCTCATGGTCCAAACATATATTCAAAAAAAACATACAAACAAGCGCATGCATTCTGCGCACTATTTACATAGCGGTCTGTATCTCGGAAGGAGATCCAAACCGGTACAAGGTATCTATGGCAGGTAATGTACGAAAGAAGACAAAAAAAAAGGAGGAATAAAGTTACGTGAAAGGTACCAGACGATGTAAGTGTGCAAATAACAAAAAGGACGAACTAATAAACAGAACAAGCTACCCGAAGGCAAGCCGAACAAGAAAGGTAAAGGAAGTCCACGAGACGAAGAGTCAGCTGCGTTCAGATAGCAGGCCAATGGAGCAACTCGGTCAGAGTCCGAGATAAAAGAAAATCGTGGGTGGCAATACATCTGAAGAGTAGAATGCAACAGCTGAGAAGGAATGTGGTTCGGAAGTATTTGAGAGAATGTGATGGAGTCGCTTCAGGACGCGAAAAATAAGTGCGGGTAAAGTGTGCTGGTATATGTCATGGCGATTTAACATTGGCCAAGGAACCTATTCTTGGGGAACGGCTGCTTAAAGTCATCTCGCCACGTCGTCAAGTTCGGGTTGGTATATGCATCGATGTACCTATGAAAACTGAAGTCAGCATATACAAGAAGATTTAAGTGTCTTCAGGACGGACTGTTTGATATACGCCTCGGTTGGGAAGTCCTCAGGATCGCAGCCATAGTTGATATGCGCGGGGTCCTGGTAGACACGAATATAGTCTACGCTCATGGTAACGGGGAATTCAAGATGTTCCAAATCGACCTCTCCGAAGTTGGTAGACATGCCCAAGTTGGCGATGATATACTGCATGATATTCAGCATTAAAAGTAAACCCGAAAAAGATTACATACCATGGGCTCTTGAGGTATCGGTCTTGAACCAATTTCGACAGCAGTGTCTGCTGCCATACCTGCCTGCTTGAGTGTCCATGCGACGTTTCCGTTTGAAATCCAGGTGATATACTATGATAATATAAGGATCATGAAGAAGAATCCAAAGTCAACATTGGTCACTTACAGCCCCATCAAAGCCAGGTTGGTATTGGAAGCCGTACAGGGAAAAGTTTCCGCCAGTACCTTCATATGCTGTCTGGTCTATGGAAGCATGAGTTCACGCCTACGTTACAGCTATTTCAGGAAGGAAATTTACCTGTTTCTGACACAACAGAAGTAGCTTGTTGGAAGGCGCCACCAAGATAGGTGTTCAGTTCGCTGACTGTAGGATCGAGGATCTCATAGGTGTCTGAACTATTAAACCATATATATTCGGCATTGAAGGGCTGGAATGGTTCAGGATAAGCTTCCCAAGACCGGACATATGATGATCACTTGAAGCTCACCGCCCATTGACACGATTGGGAGACTTGACCAGTAAGAGGTGTACCGGTGATCTACCAGATGTTAAGCCAAAAATACTACATGGGTACATATGGATACCAAGACCGCCGTACCTGAGCTTCAAAGATATCAATCTCGGGCGCCGCACGACCGACGTAGGATCCATCAGCATGAACAGGACCGGGATGCGATTCTCCAGGGCATGTGCAACGAGAAAGACGTTGACCTGGAAGAAAAGAAAGGACGCCACCGACGGACTTATCACCTTTCACAGTAGCGGCAATAGGCAAGCCATTCAAGGTCTGATTTGCCACGGTACCCACATCACAAGAGTCGTACGTATATGGCCACTAGATAGGACGTGAGACATAATGATCGCACAAAGATGTCGATCATTCGCTTACCATGCCCTCAAGACTAGCACCATAACCAGCTCTACCTAGATTACCCATGGTCCAAATGGCAGGCCAGAGACCAACGATATTGTTCACACCAGGCAAGATGACTGATGTTTCAATCAAACCTCCAGTGAAGCAGAACTTGTTCCACGTTGACATCATGCCACCTTCGAAGTGAAGATCATGGGTCTCCTTGCGCGACAGTGTAATCTGAAGTGCGCCGCCTTTTGTGGTTATAGCAGCAGGGTCATACCATTCCATGTTATTTGTCTGCCAATAGTGAAGGTCCACTGCTTCCCAATACGGATCGTCGCCAGGGTAGAATGAACGGCCATCGACATTGAACTCGTCGCTCCAGATGAGTTGCCATTCTTTGCCATTCACGTAGTCACGCTTTGTGTATACGTCAGATGGCGTGTCCAGATCTACAAGACCCGAGTTCCCAGCCATTGCTGGTATTTGTCCGGATGCATTGATACCTCCAAGGTTGAAACCACCGAAGGTTGCTTGTCTGGTCTTAGTGAAGTAAGTAGCGATCGGGTATCCAGCACTAAACCAGAGAATTTGTCAAGCGAACATGTTATGGCCGCGATACAATAAGCAAAACGTACAACAATCCGACAAGTCCAAGGGCGAGGACAGCCAAGCATCCGACATTGGTGAGACCCCTTTGGGTGAAGACGTCCTTCTGTTGGTCATGCTTTGTGTCTCTTCGCGGGTCTGGGTTATGTAGGAAATCATCACTTTCTGCATGATCTATCCCAAGTTGTGCACCCCAAGCGGAAGGATCGGGAGAAAGCGAGAACTATACGAAAACACAATCAAATACATATGTTGCAGATGTAGCTCCTGAATTGTGCAATATACCTTTTCTGATATCGAGTGCGATGTCGATGGAGACCCAGAAGCGTAACGTGAGTCGCCCTATGGTATTGCATTAAGAGACGGAGATCATAAACCACGAGACTCCGGTAAAGCGAGACGCACCAAGGATGCATCACTGTTCATATTACGAACTGCACGAGGGGTTTGGACAAGCGCGGCCTGCACGCTCCCTGGTCCCTGTCCTGAAGCTGGGGACAAGAGCCTCGTCGTTGAAGGAGTGTTGTTCTGCTGTTGATAATAGCGCCTTTGCGCATTCGGCCCTAGCGAAGCCATAGCCGTCAAATTCGGAGGAGCGTTGCGTGGACGGTGATATACAGAGGAAAAGACAGCGAGGAAAGGAAAGAAAGGACAGTAATGTACAGCTGGCGGGATGTAGAGTAGGGACTGACGAGAACGAAGACAAAGATGCTCGACTCCAGAGCAACCGGCTCCAGTTGAGACCCCCGACTTCCCAGCGCCTACAACGTTGCATGTGAACCATTCTCTCCACCCTACAATGCACAATAAAAACCCTTTTTTCTTTGTTTTTAGACTCCGGTGTTTGCAAATCTGCAGAAAGAAATTTCATATAAAGCTCAAGGTGCCAAGGTGCTCTGTAGTATCCGTCGTACAACGAGGTGCCGAACGGACAACATATGTTACAAGCTGTTACAAGCCTTGACTATTTTCACTGTTCGGCTCGGAGCCCTCTTGCATCGTCATGTCTTGTTCTCCTCCTTTTTGCTCCGTTTCTGTGCCCGCACCCTCCATCAGGTTCAAGATCCCACCACGACTCCGACCCTCTCGGAATTCCACAACAGCCCTCTCTACTCTAGACAGCCCAGTCATGTCTCCACCTTCCCCACCGACTTCAAGCCCCTGCTCCGCAGCCATCTCGTCGATTTTCTTCAGGCGCGCTAGGATAGCCTCGTTCGCTCGCAACAGCGCCCCTCTGCCTGGACGCTGATGTTGATCCGAAGTGACCGTGATAGAGGAACCCGATGGTGCAAACGCCGTTTCATCCTGGGAGATGGTCTGCTCAAGCAAAGTCAACAGTTGTGCCTTCTGGGAGCTGTAGTTTTGCTGCAGTGTCATTGGTCGGTGGGCAATCAATGCATGTGTAGTCTTCAGAGCGTCCTCTGTAGCCCCTTCGGATCCAGGAACACCAGACAATGGAGGATACGTGAATGTGTTCTTCTCTAGCCATCTATCCAGAGATGTAACCGCGTCTTTCGCTCGTTTCGCTTTGTCTCGTTTCGACGGTCGACCCTTCTTCTTGGGTGGTTTATTTGTGCCAGAAGAGGAAGCCTCGGTCGGAATTCCAAGAATAGTCGAAGGGTCCACACCGTCTGGTATAAACATTTCTCTAGGCAGGGTGCTTGGATTCTGCGGCCGCAATGGCGCCTCCGGTAGGATGTGAAAGGCCTGAGCATCAAGAAGTCTAGACAGAACATGAGTGGTATACGGCTGTAGAGGTTGCAATGCTTCATCGCCAAGCATGGAAGGCAATTCAAGCATGGACCTGTATATGTCTAGATTGTAATCAGTATAAATACACGGTACTTTGACACGATTGATCGTACCGATGGGGACAGCTATATGTCTCAGAGAGTGCAGTGAAGGCGAGGATGTCGACGGTTGGGAGAAATAGAAAGTATACATCCCAAACAAGGCTACGGCTTTAGCCATAGGGTGGCTAGCTGCAATAAGTCGTTCTACCCAGATTCGAACTGTCAAGGGAGTCTGAGGGTTTAATTTATTTACAAGACGTACCAAGGAATAGTCTTAGGACAACATCAAGGAATCGTTCTCGTGCTCTGGCATCGAACACCTTGAGATGCAACCATGTCCATCCCTGTTCGTTCCAAACAGTCTTGAATAGCGCAAAGGGCTGGGATGGATCGCTCTGGAAGTACCTGTTTGAGAATATCTGTGTAAGCTGAGATATATCTTCCCTCAGAGGATAAACAAAGAGCGAGGAGGTAAAATAAGATGGTTGAAGACTAAGGTCCCCTCTCGAGACTTGTGGTGCAGGAGAAGTCGACATTTCGGCGTCTCCCCTCCAGACGCGTCGTGAGATCACCACGAATCTACTTTTACAACTCGACTCTCACCAACGTCGATCCTGCAGGCCCAAGGCCACCTTTCATATCTTTGACTATGTCCCTCCTCTGACGACTGTTGTTCTGTGCCTTATATTGCTCTCAGCTTACTTTGTCTGTTTGTTCTCTATCTTACTGCTATCGTCATATCCCGCAAATGTCGAACTTACTTCGTCGCCCCACTCGCGCTACTTGTTTTTATTGCCAAACGGAAGTTAGCCCACGAAATCCTCGCTCTTTCACTTGCCCGGAATGCCAATGCCACAATCGTTACGACGCCACCGGCGAAATCATCTCAGACGAACCTGCAATGCACGACGAGAGTCTGAATGCCAGGTCTTTCGCGCGTAGAGGTATGTTAATCTCTTGACCTCGCGTTTATCGGTTCTTGGTGATTCAGGCTCCAGCTTCGTTTCCATTGTTGCTCTTAAGCTTCACCCAGAAAGGATCGTATACCAACAGCGTATGGGAGTGGGTTGTTCTGCCATACATGTCTGACGAACCAGATGCTACTATCCAACCTATTGTCCAACTACCTGCCAGATCCGGACGTGCGTATTCTAATCACAATGCCTCTTTTACTCGTAAATTTCTAACTGTGGAATAGGATCCTAGGTATCCGGGCAAACTGGCTTCATACCCCTCCTACCGCGAATTGATAGAAAAACGCTACCCTGCAGTCTGTGAAGATTGTCTACCCGCCGTTGAAGAGGAGATCCGGAAACGTGACAATATGGCGCGCACTCGCGCTCTAGGCGGGTTTCTGAAGGATACCAGAGGGATGGACAAACACAGACGGGTGGAAGCTACACAAGCAGAGAAGGAAAACTTTGAGAAGTCATTGTTTGTATGGCGAATACGAGGACTCTTGTGGCTGGTGACTTTGCTCGAGAGCCTGATTTCACACACTGCAGGTGCGTTTCGTAGTTTATTTCAACGAACGCCCAGCTCATTTCGAGAACAGTCGCAGCGGGATACCCTCTCCCTCGAATACCAGCGTCCGCGCTACCCTTTATCCCCATTTTTGTTATCCTGTCCCTCGGTTGGACAGCGTGGGATCCAACATACGCCATTGTCAAACGAGGCCAGCTGCAGGGTCGCGTCGTACGTCAAAAAGGCAAGAAGGAATATAACGTAGGTTATTTCTCTATCCAAACATCAGCAATTACGATGACTTACAATCTCGCTAGATCCTACAAAGTATAGCGTGGATTTCGAGACTTGCTGTATCAATAATTCTTGCCCTGCCGCGATTCTCTCCTTCATGGGGCCGTCCTTACCTGCAAGAACCAATACCCACGCAAACTCGCATATTTTCTTCCTTTTTCTGTTCTCTGGAACTTTTGGTAAGCCATTTCAACTACATCCACGCATCTTTGTGCTCACAATCACAAATCTTAGATTCTTATCCGCTCAATTGTCGTCCTGCGAGTCCAGCGACCTCCACCTGTACAACTGCGAGATGATTCCTCCCGGAAACCATTGCGAGCAGGTCTCTCACCAACACCGTCATCATCCCGCAGCGCAACGCCCGTCGCATCTAGTTTCGAAACCGACGCCTTAGGTCCCCTCTCCATCTCTACGAAGCATAACCTCGCAGGACCATCCAAGATTCCTACCACTCACCCTATATTCGGCTTGCCTTCCTTCCCTGATCTTAACGCATCCTCATCCAAGACAAACCCTCAGGGTCAGGGCCAGCTAAATCGTGATGCAATGGATGAAGACGAAGATGTGGATAACGAAAGTCAATCTGAGAAAGAGGAGGACCCTGATGCTATGGATTGGACACCGACATCTACACCTGCTAAACTCGATAGGAAAGGGAAAGGCAAGGGTAAGGGCAAAGGCAAAGCTCGAGCCAACATTGTTGACGACGGGTCATGGCTTCGACCACAGCGGTTCTTCCCTCCTGAAGAGCCGACTGGGCTTGAGAACTTGTTTGAGAAGACTATCAAGTTGGCGGATGATGAACGGCCTAATGGTGCTACGGTTAGGAAAGGTCGGAGGATAGGGTGGAAGCATAGTAGGGGTCAAGTTTGGATATTCGTATGTGCTGTGGTCTTGTCTGTGCTGGTGTCGCTGGTTGCTTGGGGTTATTTCTCGTGGCAGAAGAAGGGCAGTAGCCTATTGAGTACTGTAGGAATCGAGCTAGATCCCAGTTGATCGTTGTTTGCATCACACATTATCTGCAGCGAATGCGATCTAAACAAGAGATGTCTTCTAAGAAATCCTGAAAGAAAGATCTACGAATGATATGGGTATTGATATCGTGTCAATGTCTCGTCTACGATGTTGTAGTGTTCAATGTTACGTCCTTTTTCGTGACTGGAGGAAATACACATACCTTTTCCGCTCCAAAGCCCCGCATCAACCCTTCATACACATAAAACGCACAAGCATTCGAAGGGAAGGCTCGCAATAAGCAAGGTGTCAATCCAGCAAAGAACCCTCGGACGCCGAGGGTTCTGTATATCTGCGTTACGGTCCCCCTGAATGTCGGTCTTGGGTCTGTGAGAGGTACTGCCATCATACGACTTGTACGCGCATCGTGTCAACAAAAATTAGTGCAAGTGGTGAGATAACGAGAGATGTACTTTTTGATATTGTCTGCTGGGATGGCCATGAACCAGAATGTGAAGGAGCTCAAGCCTCCGGAAAGAAAGTTTGCTGTTCCGGTCGTCATCTAGCTGATGCGTCACTATTTCTGTACTTCATACCAGATTGTATAAAAACGCACTTCAAACGAAGTCCCTTGCATACTCGTAAAAAGTCTCATCAATGCCTGCAGATTACATTATAGTAAGTAGCTCCGTTCGAAAGACACTTAGTAGTAAAATGCTCTACTGACCTCGAATGACCCAAACATCCAGAGAAAATTGCCTCGGAATGCAAGGCTTCCTGTGAATCCTGTCCATAGGCCCAGGACACCTTTGTGTTGTACGATCTGTTTTGCGCAATCTATTGGACCCTTGAACTGCCTATCTGCTGCAGACCTCTGGGATTGCATTTGGAGCTTGACTTGCAGAACTTCGTCGGGAACTTCACACAAAGGACCTTGAACAAGATATACTCACTTTTTAGATGCTCCATGGGGGTGGCGATCAGAGTGCTATGGCAGTCCTATTATGAAGCTTTGCGAGGCTGAATGGACCACCATCTGCGTACCTTGTGAGACCAGCCCCAAAGCCTGCTAAACCATGGCCTGCTAACGTTAGTCGTTGAACATCAGTCCCGGGAACATGCTCGGTCCAATGATGGCGTATGAGGAAAAGCCGATAATTGTGAAGCGATCCAAGAAGAAGTGAGTCTATGGCACCCCAGCCGACTGCTGGAGGGGTTGCTCCCTTATAAAGCGCAAACACACCCTGCAACGAATACATTAAATCAGCTGTACGGGATTAAAGAAATAGACGGGGGATACCTCATTGCGGACTACTTTGACAAGACAGTCCAGCGTTCCGCGGTATATTCCTGGAGGACAACATTGCAGACGAGTTTTTATAGTGTCGAAGCTTAAAAAATGAGCGCATTAGTGACAGTCTGTATACCCTTCTGCGAGGTCCATTAGCATCTGATAGAAGTAAGGATGGTAGACGACGTACTGGTTCCATATGCAGCCCACCCATGGCCCACAGTAACCTAGGACAGAAAAGATACGATAGGAAAAAAAACGAAGGCAGGTGCATTATTTGTCATTATATTCACCTTCGTCAGACCTGTATCACCTTCAGCAAAGGCAGATCTCGCGAACAGTAAAAGCAAATATCTGACCGCTTCCAATGCCAGCGATCGCACCAACAATGCGAACATGGCCGCTCTGACTGACCTCCTCTGTCATCGCCAACTCTTGTTGGTCAGACGGGTACTCTGCGAGGGATTCTGCTGTTGGCCGTCGCGTGTTCTGGCATGCGAGCTGCAGCCTCCACTTCAATTTACCTCGATCGCGTTGTACACGTGGCGTCATGAATGATCGGCGATCCGCTAGGCTTGCCGCGGCCTGCGACGGTTTCCCAACTGGCAGTGAGCGTTGCCCTCCGACTTCATATGCATCAGTCATACTGTACTGCCACTATAGTCTGCTGAGACCTCAACTTTCACTTCTCAGAGTATGCCTGAAGCCGAACCTGCACAACCTCCCGCAGACGAGAAACAATGTCGCATATGTCTCGACGGAGAGGATCCTGAGCTAGGCAAGCTCATCCGGCCTTGTCTCTGCAAGGGCTCCATAAGTGTGCGTATACTATCATACAGTTGTACTCCCGGTAACTGAAATTATTGTCTGCATAGTACGTCCATGTGAAATGTCTACAGATGTGGAGGAACACATCCCCCTCCCGTTCTGCTTTCTATGCTTGCCCGCAATGTGGCTACCGCTATCATTTCGCTCGCACCCGCGTCGTTGGTATTGCTACCAATCCAGGTAAACATATGTGTTTCGTGATAAAAACAATCCAGCTAAACCCAACACAGTCGTCGTCGGTGCCGTCTCCACGATTGTCTTCACCATGCTAGTCATCTGTTCGTCTTACATCACCACCTTCCTTCTCTATGACGATGACTACGACAGCATCTTCATTACACCTTGGAGTACTTTCCGCAACCTCGTCCGGTCTACCGTTCGCGTATTCGTAGACGGCGGATTAGATGAGAAGCTCTTGACATACACGACCCCCAAATACTCACCTTCGGGTCCTCCCAGTTTTCTCCGCAGGTTCATTCATCGATTCCTCCTCGGCCTGCCTGTCGTCGGTGCAGGTGCATTGATACACATGTTTATGTCACTACCAATATCCTTCCATTGGCTTCGCTGGAGATCGAGACAGGCTGGTCGGAACTCGCGAGATTTCGCTACTATCGTTCTGGTAGCCCTGGTTCTCATTGGCGCTGCGAGGTTTGTACCACTTTGCTCTCTTGAACCCACACACAAATTATATTCATCGATGTCTTTAGGGCTCTGTACAAGGTATACCAACTGACTGAGCACGTTGTCCAACGTATGCTTCTTCGCGCGGAGGAAGCCATACTAGAAGTTCGTTGAGACACTGCTATCTTTCTTTCTTTCTTCCGGCGACACTTCGGAATTTAATAATATTTCACAACGTTCTTGTGTTTTGTACATCACGCATATTTATCCAGCATCCTTTGGCTCCTGATGCTGACAAGTCCGCTTATTACAACATAAAATCTATGTACAACAAAATCATTCAATGGTATCACATACTACATATAGCACATCATACGTATCATGCCGTCTACCAATATCGCCGCAGTTGGCGTTTTACACCTTCATACAAACTCTTCGTCTCTTGCCTGCTGGGTTCCAGTTCCGACAGGTACTGATCCAGTGCCTGGTCGATCCGATAAACTGGGAACTCAGCACGAGCAGCCGAGGACTGTGGACGTTTGACGTCTTCCAGCCAATCGTTCAGGAGCACCGCAATATCAGAGGAAACGTGTTGCACGTTGGCTTGCGCGTTGAACGGCGGTATTTGGGATTCGTACATTTCATGTAGGATATCCCAGACTTCGGCGTGAGGAACACCACATTGGACCAATATCCGTGGTGCCCAACCGAATAGCACGACGGACTTGTTGGCCAACGCGAAGCGAACGAGGAGAGAAGCAACGTGACCTGTAAACGAATCGTGCGATGAATAACGAGCAACGTAGTCGATGAGTGACATAACGTACGAAGGGGGAATGCGAACTCTGAAGGGTAGAATCGCTGTCCCAGAGGCACCACCGTTGAAAAAATACGATCCGCAGCGACTTCTGGTTCTACGTCATCGATAGCTGCCAACATAATCAGGATGACATTGACTAAGAAAGTAATAAAGGAAACAAACCGTCTTCGAATATCCTATTCCAAATCGGACGAACAATGTTCTCGTCGCGGTGTTGAGACACGTGCAATATGGAAAGCTTGACAATGGGCAGGTCAAATGGCTCGGCATATAATTGATACATCTGTAGCCCAAATAAGCTTCGATATAGCAATGACTCGAATATCAGAATGCGCACCTCAGTGACATTCAGCAAGCCCTTGGACAACACTTTGATTTTTGCACCAACTTCTCCAGGTTCTTTAGCCTTGTGTTGAACGGCGTGGTATAATTCGAGTTGTACTTGAGCCACTTCGAGCTTCTCCTCCAGCTCCGTAAGGAAGGCGAGTGCAGTCTCGTGTCTGCCACCCACAGCCACTGGATGTGACTTGGCGTTTGCAACGGCAAGAGTCAAGTATTCGAGGCGAGACTCGAGCGAAAGATCAAACCTGGGGACCAACAGGGTTAGCAAAAAACAGCAAGGGTTAGATCCTAGTGGAAACCGACTCTGTAGCTTCAGCTAATGCACCCAAGACTTCGGCTGCCCTTAAGGGCTGTCCGTCCTTAACATAAAACTGCCAGAGCAACTGGTACTTCTGCACGCTGATAGGTTCTCGGCGTAGGTGTGCCTCAAGATACTGAGGTCGCATCTATGTAACAGATTGTTAGAATGAACAAGACCATAAGCAGCCATTATGCACCTCCAGAAGTTCGTCAGCCAAACCCCGATCAATTAGCCAGTCATACAGTGTCGAGTGGAATATTTCGTCATCTGAAGCAAAAGCAAGCTCATATGCATGACTTCGAACAGTTTCTGGGTCGTCATATACCGACGCAACAGTTCCAGGTTGTTTAGTACTCTCGCATCGTTTTTCGAACACTGACAGGGAGTCGAGGACGAGATCGTAACAATGTTTCCGCTTCTGCCAGAAGTCTGTACGTGGATCATTGGCTGGACAACCGGCGTACCAGAAGTCTCGACCTTGATTATCGCTGTCGAATATCTGTGCACAATGCAACGGCAGCTCCATGGCACCTATGAAAGAAGTGAGTTGCAAGAGCTCGTGATTGTACTGGGGACATACCTTTGGCATAGTTAAGTTGCTGATAGTCACCCGCAATCTCTTGCAGCTTCTCAAATTCCAGTATTCGAGCACCTTTGGTGAACATCCTGCAGGTAGCTTGAGTAAAGATAATGGTCAAGTGAAAACAACTGACATACTGCAAAGACTCTGACAGGCAGTTCTGCCTCTCCACAGGATTTCTTGATTCTGCGGCTTTCCGCACGTTCTCCCGAGCCTAACGCAATTATTCACGACCAAAACACAAACAAGATCCACAAAGCATACCTTGTACAACATGACGTCGTCCGTGCTACAGAATGTTCCGCATCGTTCTTGTAGGATGGAGCTGATGGTGTCGACCTGACAGAAAGATTAGGCAACGACAGTTAAATAATTGCGACAAATTTACGCTGATCTGCTGGCCAATCTGTTGGTTGATGACCACATTCACCAGCGCACGAGAAGCCGCGACACCAATCTGTTCAGTGACAAGTTGTTCGAATGTCAGAGTTTGCAACGTCTTCTGGGTCTCAGCATCACATCTAGCAAGCAAAGCGTTATGAGGTAGACGACGGAGGATTTCGTATTGGACGCACTGTGAAATCAGATCCCCAATTTTGTAATCAGTAAGTAGAAGAAAGAAGAAGATAGCTTCTATCGTTCGGGCTAACAAAGCCATCAATTGACCCACGGAGGCCTGCTCTGCCTGGAACGCAAATTGAACATCCAGAAAAAGACTACATGTGTTGAATACTTGCCTTCCATGCTTCCTGTTCGCTAAACGCAGCAGAGCGGGCACCAGTATGATCACCAGTAGCGGAATTGAATATCGCCGGATTCCGGTCAAGAAGCTCTTTGAGAGCAGAGAGATTCTTTTGCACAACAACCAATACATCATCCAGGATATTAGGTTCTTGTTGACCCAGAGAGCTTAGAAGTTCAAGTAGTGAGAGTCATTGCCACTGTCTATGGTAAGACTGCACTCACCCAGGTTTTACCAGCTTCGCTTTCCATATAGGACGCACAAGGCGAGCGAAATACAAGGCTAATCCCTCTCGACGACCACTGAAGGTGGCAGAACCTGAGCCTTCACCTATGATTGTACTATTTGTGGGAACTACCCTTCAATTCAAGGACTTCCTACTCACTGGTACCGTATGTCATCCTCTCAGCCCATATAGGTCTTTCTCCGAAATCGTAGAATGCTTGTCGTGCGACTGCCGCTACTTCAGGACTTACAGTGCTGGAACTTAAGCCTACTTGTTCCCCAACGTCTAGGAACGTGTTGCCACTTGCAATAGCAAGCAACATCGCACAAGTCTGGTCGCGACCGAAGCTATCCAAATCATAAGCAGTCATTCCTTCTCCTCCGAACATGCTTACCTGTCACGGAATTCGATGAGGCGTTGAGGGTTACGCTCAGCTTGGAAATCCTCGATCACGTCTTTCAGATAATCTAGGGCTCGTCGTTTAACCATGAAGGTCAACCCAGCATTCGTCAATATCATAAATTGTCGCACGGGTTCAGAGAATTGGGTTGCAAGCTCGTTGATAATGACAGGCGCGGGGCAATCGGGCGGTGTAACAGCTGCAGCTGCAAGTGGTGGTCTCGGAGCGGGGGCCATTGCCCACGTACGGCCAGGGATCGGAATTAAGGTAGCATGTTCGGTGAGGATTGGTCGACTGGGGCCCTGCGAAGCACCGTACATGCCTGAATATGCTGCTTGCTGGAGTTGAGGACCGTGAATTTGCCCCAGGGAGCCAATCCTAGTGAGATCTGGAGCCAAGCAAAGGAGGAAGTCTGTTTCACTGATATCGCTAGGCTGGGCAGCGACAGTCGAGCCAGCATCATAGCAGGAAATGTCCAGCCCCGAAACTATGTAAGGCCGAGAAGTTGGTTGTTGTTGCTGGTGAGCTAGACTATAACCAGTAGCTTGTTGAGTACGGATCCGACTCGCTTGCTCGTCAGGATGTATCAGATTCGGTGGTGGTAACCGGACGTGCAACAGTTGTAGCTGCCGATAAGACCCTGCCATACTACCGCCGAAGAACAAACGGACCCCATTCGCAGTAATCGCCATGAGCTGTACACCGTACTGTGACTGTGACCGGCCTGGTTCTATGACATGGAGGGAAATTATGGAAAACGTGTTGGGTGTCAGAGCAGGAGAGCCGGGTGCCTTGTCTTGGGCCGCCTTGTATAGATTTGATAACGTCTGTATGTGCTGGACTGCTTTGTCACCGTGCGTCCGGTACAAAGAAATCGCATTTTTTGCAGTCAAAGTGTAGAAACAGTTCCTGTGAAGATCCGACACCACAGAGATAATCCGGTCTGCAACCTACATGTCGAGCAGCGATCAGCACATAAGATAGATACGACGAACCTTCTGCTTTGGTGGAACCAAGTCGAGGAATGAGGCTTTGAACACCTCCAACTGAGTGGTTGATTAGTTGTACTCGCTTCCCAAACCACCCTTCCTTTTCTTGATAATGTAGTTCATAGAGATTGCCGTCCTGCAGACCAGACATAAATATGCGGCCGTCATTCGTGCCAGCGACAGACGTCATTTCGACCTCCGTGGAAACTGACATATCTGTGGCGTAAAACTTGATTTCCTTGCGGCGGCGGTGACTTGGCCCAGGAATATTCGTGACGGAAACACCGAGAAGGACCACCGAAATGGGCGTACATAGGACCAGTAACGATGTAATCTCGTCGATGAATACATTGGCCTTTGGCTTGACGAGCGCGACATGGGTTATCACGTCGGGTTGATCAGAATATGAGCTCAGCTCTTGACTATCCACAAGAGTCAGTACTTTCAGCTTCGAGACAGAGGGAAATCAAGATACCCTTCGATATAATCCCAAAGGAAAAGATTGTGATCAATGGATATCCACACCCGGTCAATTTCAGGCATTAGACCCATGTGCGTGGCGACATGTGTGGCTATCGGCGGGTCAACAAGTTGGACAATGCCAAAGAAAATATAAGCATACTATTGTAGTGCTGGAATAGAGATTCTGGTATTGGAACCAGCCGTCGCTTCTGGAAAGGGACCTTGAAATCATCAGGGTAGACGCTATATGCTGCCGATGACTGGAGGCCAGCTGTGGAGGACTCAGCGGAGCTTTAGACGATGTGTTGGAAATCACGCACAGCCCGTAAGCATGTCCCCTAGCTCCGGTACGGACTGAGCATCCTTGACAAATTGGTCATGAAGCACCCTGCTAGCACTCTGAAGACTTGGTAAATCCAACAATGGCGGTGGGCCTGCCGCCATTTGCGCTTGGCTAGGTTTGGCGGATGAGGTTGTGGGAAATGTGCCAGGAGCGGCGGCAGTGGATCTGAACATGGTGGAAACGAGGAGGAGGGAGAAAAGAGTGGCTGCCACCGACGGCGAGCGCAACGTCGGGTTTCATTCACGAGCACAAGACGCGTCTTTTTCGTCTGCACGCGTTGAGTACGTAAGCAGGACTTTCCCGATCTGGTCTATTGTGTATGCGGACGGATCCATATATGGGAACAAGGTTCAGGCCGGTGCCTGCTCAAGCGAGGCGCAAATCAGATAAGAGGGCAGCCTCCTCCCATGAAGCCCCGCCGTAACCCTCCTCTTCCTCCTCTCTTGTCTGGATTACTTAGGACTCTTGCGACCCCCTGGTAACTGCGTCGTGGCCATCTTGTTTATTTCTCTGGCTCGCTAGGTCCTTGCCTTGTTCAGTCTTTCTCTTCTGCGATATGTCCCTCTATCGGGCTATTCAGGATGCGGTCGATCTTGCCATCCATCGACACCAGTTCCAGATGACACTACCACCCCTCGACGACGACGCTTTACGACAAATCCTGTACCACGATTACGCCAACGCAGACGTCGAGAATGATCGCCTCGAATTTCTTGGAGATGCTATGATGCATGCAACGATTGGTCGTCTGCTCTATTGTCATCTTCCGAGAGGATATCCATACTTATACACCGTAAGATCTTCGGGATGCCGTACTTTAAGAACCGTGGCCTGATCAGCGTTCTGTTCTACACCAGAAATGTGCTCACGCTTTGTGGTCTAATGAAACGTTCTGCAAACTTGCGGAAACTCTGGATATCTACACGTTTAGCCCAGATGTACTCTATGCACTCGACAGGAGGACCTTTGGGACTGGTGGTATCTTATACAAGGACCATAGTCAGATAAAGCACACTGCAGATCTCTTCGAAACTATTCTGGGTGCCTATTATCTGCAGTCTGGTTTTGAGGCGTTCTACTCTTGGGTGGAAAGAACCTTCATACCTCTAATTTACATGGCAGAGGATGCTTACTGGAGAAAGTTAGTGAAGAGTCTCTGAATCTGCTGTGGTCGTGATGGAACGATACTGACTTTGATCAAGCTTCCATCTTGCCTATCCTAGAAATCCCTACAAGGACCGGGCTTACATTGCTTATGGTCGAGTAATGGAGCGATACAGGTCTATATCTCCGTTACCTCGTCCGGCGCATCACCATGCACCTAATAGGAGGTCTTCCGAGCCATTCTTCATTGAACGTGCGCTATGCTATCCGGACAACATTATCACTGCGCAAGCCCAAGGTCAGGATCAATCAATACGCAATATGAATGTCTGACTAACCTGTGTCCACAGCTAAAGCAACCGTGATAGATCTAACGAGTCCAGGTCCGGGTCCAAGTCCGAATCACAGCATTGGGACCTCATCTTCACAAACTACCTTAGTTGCTTCTCCCACACCTACCAAGCCTTCTTTCAAACCAACTTGTATTGACTTGACAATGGTTGAAGACACACTTACCCCTCGTCGCTTGACAAAGCGAGATACACGATCTGCTGCCCCCAGTCCCGAGCCTATCAGGAAACGACGGCGCCGGTGCAAGAATCTTCAAAGCATTGATAAGAAAATCTCTCGTGCTCGTGACCCGACGCGGTTGAATCTGGAACTAATGCAAGTCTCCGATTTGGAAAGTGATGACGAGATGGAGGTGTGTTCTCCCAACCTTGGCGAGAGCATTCCTAGGTATTTTCTACGTCCTCCTACGCCCTCTTCAGCATACTGCTTTCAGGATATGCCCGGTCAACTTATGATTCTCGATTGATGCTTCATCTCAACGCTCTTGCCGCTTCGTCCATGTGGATTTACGTGGGAGTTCGGGGGAGCAGTTTAGCTCATTTTTATTCCCTCTACACATCTGGGTCTCGACTTCTTTGCCTTTCTCCCTGATTGGATTTCTTTTTGACATTTCTATGACTTTTATGTACTATGACTATGACTCAATATCTCTACCCATATGCCAATCTTGATTGTCTGTCACCTCTCATCTTCTTGCAGTTAGTACAAGTAAATTGTGAACTAGCGATCACGTGGAAGACGCGAGGCCGAACGCGCTAGCGAGCCACACGCGACGCGACTGCTTCTTCAACCACTTAAAGTACAACACTCTCAAGCTCTTCGAAACTGTATTCTTCCTCTGTACTTTCATTGTAACTTGTTTTTATGGCACCTACAAAGCAAGCTCCAACACGACAGGCTATCACGCTCAAAGGATCAACTAACCTTGTTACCGAGTTCTTCAAATATGCTGCCAACACGTCCGTTTGTGCCACCATTCCACCTGCTCATTTAGATCTGAATGACTGTCTCAGGATTCTCTTCCAACGGGGCGTATACCCTGCAGATGATTTCCATATGGTCAAGAAGTATGGACAAACCGTGCTTGTCACACAGGATCTGGCACTGGAGAATTACCTCGATAAGTAAGTGCCGATGGTTCAACTAGCGTATCTTTGTCATTGACCCAACTCTCAGGATCTTGAAACAGGTCAACAGTAAGTCATCGCAGGGCACTACACAATGCAACAATACATTGATACGTTCGACAGAGTGGCTACTAACAGGGGCCGTGACACAACTAGTCCTCGCCATCATTTCAAAAGATTCTCGAGTGACAATGGAGCGTTGGGTATTCGATATCAATCTGGTCGAGCAAGAGCAACCAACTGGCGCTTCCGGATCGTGAGTCCGCTGGAAGACTTTATAACTCGACCACGTTCTCATTTCCCGTATCCAGAGCACCTGCGAAGCCAGAATCGGAGATCCAAGCAGAAATAAGGAACATTCTCAAGCAGATCGTTTCGACAGTGACCTTCCTCCCAGTGATCGATGAACCGACAGTCTTCAATATCTTGGCATACACCTCCGAGTCCGCCGACATCCCCGCGGACGAATGGGTAGATACAGACCCACTGGCGATTGAAGCGAGCAAGAGCCAACAGGTTAAACTACGGAGTTTCAGCACTGATGTACATCGAATCGAGGCGATGGTTGCCTATCGTTATGAAGGGTAATTGACGGGACCAGACAAATAGTATTATTACTCAGACGGCGCTTGGCGTTGATCATGTTCTGGAGGAGTTCAAAGGACGAACACTGGTGAGAACCGTTGCGACGATAGAGAAGATACGACACACGCAGAGTGTCATGATATCCTCAGATTCGGATGGGAGTTCTCCAGGTACAAGGTTATGTTGGACATGTATGTATAGTGTGGGTTCAAAACAGTCAGCCAATACAACAGCGACAGTTCGATGCAGGGTATTTTATGGGAATTGAGTGTGAAAGTATGTCTTGTTCGATGGAGGCGAGACAAACGGAGGTGAATCTCGAATCTGGGGCGGCCTTGAACCAATCACCATGGCCACCGCGATCTATTTTTGAAGATGGGAGGCAAGGAGGCGCTTGCCATCACTGTTGCCCGCTCACTACTCTGTTATCTACCAACGCCTCCCTCTGGAGCTCTTGTTTTCTTCCTCGTCCTTTTACTCTTTACCCTCATTCTTTTGTCTGGCCGGACCCGGACGTCGCTCTTTTCGATACTGTAGCTTCCTGAAGCTTTCCGGTCACTAATATCAGTAATTATGGGCGAAAGCTGGTTCCGCCGTGAATTCTTGACTCCTCGACGACTCATCTTCAATGTGATTTTCTATGGCATCCACCTCTTTTTATTCGCTTATGGGTGGCACAGCCAGGTCAGTGGCTGTTGAAACAACTCGCCCTCGGTTTCACTCACACCTCTGAGCAGGAAACTAACAAGAAGTTGGCTGCGCTCAATGCCCTGACGTGGTCTGTGTGGACTTCTCGTGGAGCTGGTCTCGTTTTAGCTTTCGATGGAGGCTTGATCCTCATTCCTATGCTTCGCAATATCATTCGAGTTGTCCGCCCTCGATTGGCCTGGTTGTTTCCCGCGGATGAGAATATTTGGTTCCACAGACAAGTCGCATACTCCATGGCTTTCTGGGCCATGGTCCACACCACCGCTCATTACGTCAACTTCTTTAACGTCGAGCGCACCCGTATGTGTTCCCCCCCTTTTAGATTTTTGTTCAGTATTCAGTATTTTCCTCACGGTTATTTGTGCAGAGGTTCGTCCTGTAACAGCGCTTGATATTCATTACAAGCAGGCCGGTGGAGTTACGGGTCATTTCATGCTCCTCATCATGGTGCTCATGTATACCACTGCCCACCACAAGATTCGCAACCAGTGCTTCGAGGCATTCTGGTATACTCATCACTTAGCTTTCTTCTTCATGATCGGTCTTTACGCCCATGCGACTGGTTGCTTCGTTCGTGACACTCCCGGCCCTGCCTACATTCCGACATTCCCATTCTATGACACTCAACACTGCCTCGGGTACATGAGTTGGCGATTCACCATCTGGCCGGGTATTATCTATTTCGGTGAGAGAATTTGGAGGGAAATCAGGGCGAGACGTTCTACCCGACTCTCAAAGGTCCTGGTACATCCTTCCGGTGCCATGGAACTTCGCATTATCAAGCCCAGTTTCAAATACGTCGCTGGTCAATGGCTTTTCATCCAGGTTCCCGATGTTTCTGGTTTCCAATGGCACCCGGTAGGAGTCTCTGATTCTGCCTATGAAGGCGCGTATTGAAATGTTTCATATCCAGTTCACCATCACATCTGCGCCGGAGGACCCTTACGTTTCTGTGCACATTCGCCAAGTCGGTGATTGGACCCAAGGACTCGGTGAACGGGTTGGCGCCGGTCCCTCTGTAGTCGCCGCATTGACGCAGGCCGCCATGGGGGGTAAAGAGAAAGACGAATCGGTGTATGGCACCCGTGGTGACTTTGTGGAGCTCGATCCTGGCCACTCCGCTCGTGCCTTGCCAACTGTCAGGATTGATGGGCCATATGGTGCACCTGCTGAAGATGTCTTCAAAGTTGAAGTTGCCGTGTTGATCGGTGCTGGTATCGGTCAGTGTTGACTGAGCCCGTACATGTGTCCTGATGTGCCACTTGCTGATCGCGTTAATTATGCACAGGTGTCACTCCTTTCGCATCCATTCTCAAGCACATTTGGTACCGCCAGAGGAAAGGCAACTTGGGCTCGCTTAAGCGTGTTGAATTCTTCTGGGTCTGCCGTGACGCTCCTTCCTTCGGATGGTTCCAGAGCTTGCTCCAGGAGGTTGAAGCTGCTCAGGTCGACCGTAAGCTTCCTCAGCTTGACAGATGTCAGAGTTGGCGCTAATCTGTATTGATACTTCTCTAGCCAACTTCCTGCGCATCAACATCTACCTCACTCAAAAGATTGGTGAAGACATGTTATGGAATATTGCCGTCAATGATGCTGGCGCTGAGTACGATCCCCTAACCCTCCTTCGTACTCGTACTATGTTTGGCCGTCCCGACTGGAAGGCAATATACGGACGAATGCGACAGGCTGTCGAGACCGGCCAATACCTACCTGGTAGCAATTCTCAGCTGAGGACCAAAGTTGGCGTACGTCATGATGTTTTCGGTGCAATGGTAGTAAGGAACTGACTGTATCGTCCTGCAGACCTACTTCTGTGGTCCCGGCGTCCTTGCCAAGTCCATTAAGGAGGCCTGTGTCCATAACACCAGTGCTAACGTTGAGTTCAGCTTCGCGAAGGTACGTCGCTCAATTGGAGCGTCCATTTCCTCACACTCAACACGTACATTGCAGGAACATTTTTAGTCACAGACATACCAAGCCGTCAATAGGTCCGTCATCACACGATCCCTGAGTCACCACGTCCATCTTCTCTTCTTGCTCGCCACTTGCTGGCGCGGTCCCGTTTGTGATTGTATTGCAACGAGGCTACGCTGTTTTGCTTATATGTATCTATTAGAACGTCAGTGGTTAAAGATCATTGTCGTTGTAACATTAGATGTTTCTAAGGGGAAAATGACAAACACAATGCAGTCCATTGTAGGTACTTGGGCACCAACTCCGGTTCAGAAGTATGCAGTATGCTCAGATCACTCCGGTGCTCTTGCAGTACGCCTTATGTCTTGGCCAATCGTTTCGCTGCGAATTGTGGAGTGAGGTCTGTACAACCCAAGAGCTAGAACATTTGCTTACCTGGCACTGCGCTGAACAGTAGAAGATACACTAAAGGACGGTACTAAGTAAGCTCGACGGCGGACGAGACTACCAGCTTTCCTCACCTTGCATTTCGAGCAGCGGGAAATTTCATTCAGACGATAAAGCCTCTGAGAAGCGCACTGAACGCGGTTTAGTATCCTGAAGGTGATTACACATATAATGTATAATGCACAACAGACCTCATAGAGACCGCAAATGACATGCTCATCTGTGATCCGCATTTCCCGAGCCTTCTGTATGTCTCCCTTCATCTCATATATACAACCAAGATTATCGCGGGTCACGGCAGCGTCGAAAAGTGGCCCCGAACTACGAACTTGAAGAGCTCGAGAGAGATATTCTTCTGCCTCCTCCAGACGACCCAGCTTGATGTATAGGTCTCCGAGGCCATTGTAGCACTTTGCAGTAGCAGGATCTGAAGGGCCTAGAAGGAATTCTCTGGTTGCAATCGCTGCTTTGTATTGCTGCTCATTGCAAGAAATCTTGTCCCCTCTTTGGATGTATTCTAGACTTTCGGGAGTGAGCTGTGGTGCTTCACCAACAAGAGCTTCTGTCTCACAGCACGGGTTGGTTTGGTTGTGAGGTCTGCATACCTCATGTACGCTTGGAAGGGTTAAGCAGGACAAGAAGGGATAATCTCCACAGCCATTCCCATTAGTTTTATACTTCGCGTCTGGCGTGTCATAGAAGCGCTCAACCAAATAACGCGTCAACACGCTTCCTCGCGTCACTTACGGCGTATCTGCTTAGTTTCCACCATTATCTCTCTTAGGCATATTTCGTATCCTAGAACACTCTAATAATGGAGAAAGCATATGAAGTTCTCCGTGATACTTTCGGCTTCGACTCCTTTCGTCTGTCCCAGGAGGAAGTGATTCGTCGGTTGCTCGTCGAAAACGAGAATGCGCTTGTGCTCTATCCGACTGGTGGTAAGTGTAGCATTCTTTTGTAAAAGATTACTGAATGCTTAATAGCATCCGCAATTAGGCGGAAAGAGCTTAACATATCAAGTACCAGCATTATGTCTAGAGGTGCAGGCCGTAGAACCTTCTTACTAGGTTGTGAACCCATGACTGACGTAGTGATGAAGGGCATTACTCTCGTCATTTCGCCTCTCATTGCACTCATGAAAGATCAGGTCGACTCTCTTGTTCGTCGTGGTGTTAAGGCTGCCAACCTGGATAGCACTCAACCCATGGACCGGATCTCATGGATTCGAGGAGAGGTTCTTTCAGGAAGTATGAAGATTCTTTATGTGGCACCAGAACGGTGGGTGGTTATATATTCTAAGTAAATTCAATTTTCATGGCTCTTTTTGTTTCTACCCTCAGCTTGAACAATGAGGTCAGCAGTCTCTGCTTGACAGAGCTTCACAAACTCATAGGTCTTGCAGAACTTCGTGAATATGATGCGTCGAGTCAAGATCGCCTTACTTGCAGTTGACGAATCGCACTGTATATCTCAAGTATGTACTCACCTTATGCCTGAACTGCTGCCGGCTAACTGCCATACAGTGGGGTTCTAGCTTTCGACCCGAATACCTCAAGATTGCTCGGTTCGCCGAGGAAATGGATGTTGAACGGGTACTTTGTCTCACTGCCACAGCGACCAAGATGGTTTCCGAAGACATTTGCAAGAATTTCTACATCAGCCCGACGGAGGGCGTCTTTCGCACTCCAATGTATCGTCCAAAGTGAGTAGTCTTGGCTCTTTACTACATAGCCTGCTCGACTCAGGAATTTCCAGCTTGGCGTTCCAGGTTGAAGTAGTAAACAACCTCGAAGAGAAGTTAGACAAACTCATCCCTCTCCTTCAATCGCGCACCGGTCCCGCCATTGTCTATGTTACGCTGCAGAAACACGCCGAGGATGTTGCCAATCACTTGCGACCTCATGGCCTAGAGCCGATGGTGTACCATGCTGGCTTACCCAGTGAGGAACGTGAGAGGATCCAGATGCAGTTCATGGAATCAGAGAATGGCATTGTATGCGCAACTATCGCGTTTGGCATGGGCATTGACAAAGGTAAATTTCAACACACTTGATGATTTAGTGACTTTGACGTTACCCGTCCATTGTACAGCAAACATTCGACAGGTCAGTGAATTAGGTAGTCGACCGGAAGAGCCTTGACATATCTGCCATTAGGTTGTTCATCTCTACATGCCTAAAACGCTTGAGAACTACAGTCAAGAAGTCGGCAGGGCTGGGCGAGATGGACTGCCATCGCAGTGTGTCATGTTCTTATGTGCTGCAGATATTCCTATCCTCGAGGGCTTCGCTCGTGGCGACACCTGCTCCAAAAAAGACATCCAGCTTTGGATCCAAGAGGTTGCGATGAAGCAGTCAGCGGCAGATGGGACGATTGATTTCAATCTTTATGAGCAAGCGAAACAGTGAGCATTCTCTACTGATCGTCTTCTTGTTGCGGTACTGATCTGCACGTCAGGTATGACATTCGGGTATGGGACGAATTCCATTATGGTATAAAGTTGCCCAAAATAACATTCATCATAGCAAAACGTATTGAATCTCTGCTATGCTCAACTCGAACTGGACTATAATCACCTCAGAGCGGTTACTCCTTTTTATTCCGTTTTCGAAATCAATTCTAGGACGTCGGATGGTTGGCAGAAGGTCATGAGTGATAATTCACCAGCTGCAAAAGTCGTCAAACAATATTGGACATCGAAGACATCTGCACATGTGGTGCGTCGTAATCTTCTGGTATCCTTTGGTCATAGCCGATTTACTTCGGACGTAGATTGACGTGGTGCAAGCGGCGAAATATTCTAAGACCGATAGGAATGATTTGGCAAAGAAAATCAGCGATTGGGAACTAGATGGTAAGCTGCTCGGACGTGTCGAGACCACTAAGTGCTCAATATTCTCGAGGTCATATAACATGCAAAGCTTCCCAAGTTAGATATGTGAGTTCAACCTGAAAATATTGAGTTGCAGCGACCCACGCTTTCATCCAGCGTTTCGCTCTTCAGTCTTCCAATCCTCTGCCAAAAACCGTTGCCGAAATTACTCAGCTAGCTGACTTGATCCATGAGCGTATGCAAGGAAGAGAGAACGAGGCAATTGAGAAGATTAGAAAAGTTATCGAGTTTGCTATCGACGATGACTGTGAGATACAGCATTTTCGTGCCTTTCACTTGACTAAGAATACTTCCCTACAGGTCTACCTCAAAGCCTTTGTGAATACTTTGACGACAGCGAAGGTGTCCCTGGAGGAATGTGTGGCAAATGCACATTCTGCGAAACCGGTTCTGGTGTCGAATTCAACCCTACTGCGCAATCCACGCCTGACCCCAAGCAGATCAAGGCCATCCTCAATGCTTGCCATGTGCGCGATGATCCTCGTCTTTTGGCTCGGATGGCTTTCGGGATCACTTCTCCAAGACTGACAGCCGGCAAATGGTCGACTTATCATCCCCTCTTTGGAAGCATGGTTGCCTACGACTTCAATGCTCTAGTCGCTGCTTTCGATGCGGAATGCAAAAAGGTTGGGTATGAGAATCTCGAGGCCCCTGCGCCCACGTATAGCACCAGTAGGAAACGAACGTCCACGCAGGCTAATAGCGGTTCAAGTGGTTCGAAGTCGAATTATACTAGTCGTGGTAGCGGATCTTCGAGTTATAGTAGAGGTCGTGGTCGCGGTGGTTACGCTAAACGTGCTCGAAGATAGTCATATTGTACAGGGAAACACATTGTATTTTAGATGAATGTACACGTACGCGCGATGTTTCTTATAATCCCAAGTACTTGGTGGTGATTGTGATTTGTGAAGCTGGATTGTAAATTGTATGACCTATTGTATGCTCCTGTGGGCGCTGGACGCGTCCCACGCGTCTCTCATGCCCTTGATGCTGGGCCACAACCATTTCAATCTGCCTCCTATTATTTCTCTCTGTTCACCTTGAACTTAATGACTCTTTCTCAATAACTTCTTCATTCCACTGTATACTTGGCCATCATGTCTGCTATAACGCCTGCTGCTTCCACCCCGGGCCCTGAAGCCGCGTCTCCTGCGACTGCTAGTCAAGACGCAAATGCGTCCGCTTCCTCGATAGACCGTCAAATACTCGAGTATCTGCGAGCTCGAGGACACAAAGCTGCTGAACAAGCCTTGCTGGAATCCTTGGAACAGGGTGGCACTCCGGATGAGAACAAAGCAGGGCCCTCTTCGACCATTTCGACGGATGATCTGGTCAAGAAATTGGCGATAATCACTCAGAAGTCTACAAAGCCTGGCGACAGTTCACTCAAAGATGCCTCTACAGTTCTGTCCGAAATGGTGGCCATAGGCAATTCAGTGAACATACAGAATCTAGTCTCCAGCATTGGGAACGTCGGTGCGGAGGACATATTGTCACTCGACCCGGGTGACAAGCAAGAGGGATATCGAGAATTGGAGGCTTGGGTAGAAGGTTCATTGGATATGTATCGAGTTCGTGTAAACTATTCTAGTTGTGGCAAATATGCTCACTACTCTACAGCCCGAGTTTCGGCCCATCCTCTTCCCTATCTTCGTTCACTTTTACCTTGACCTAATACAACATGGTTTCAAGGATGCTGGTATGCCGAAGTTTACCTAATGCGCCGTTTGGTCTGATTGTATCGTTTGTAGCTCTCAAATTCTTCGCAGATTATTCAGCTTCTTTGGCACCGGCGCACAGTGCCACCCTGCACCACCTCTCAACATTGCACTTACCCACCCATGTTCAAAATGATGAACTCGCTCAGCGATTCAGAAATGAGAAGTACACCATTCGAATGAGCCGTTCAGGTTTCAGCCTCCTGATTGGATGGCTGAATGAAGGTATTGGTGGTGAATCACTGGGTTCCGGTGTTGGCTTTGCGGGCGAGAAAGGGAAGCGGGGAAGGGGCGCCATCATGCGAGTGGTGAACAACCACCTGAAGTTCGATGGTAAGCGAAGCTGAAACTGAGGTTGCCATTCCATATATTGACTTGTTCCAAGTGACTTCTGCACCTGGTACATCGGTTTCTGCTGAGAGTTGGGAAGAGAGCTCTGGTCTATTATCGTCATTAATTCCACAGACAGCCGGTTCCACTACATATGATCCCATGGCATTCAATGCAGCCAAAGGCCAATTGAAACTTGGCCCCGCACCGGTTCCTGAGGACCTACAGCATGAAACGGAACGTGTCGTCCGTGAACAATCAATGGTGGACAGGGATCCTGGTGCTCAGTATGACCTTCATTACGCACGCCCAGTGCCGCCGCCTGGTGTTGTGTTGCCCTCGCAATCGGACTTATTACCTCATCCTCCAAGTTTCAGGACCGTGGACGTCAAACGAGAAGTCGAGAAGATTAGGGATGCGCGGAAGAGGATTCGCTTGGATCCTTCTGCTTTATCCACTGCCAATCTGAGTGCTGCACATGGAGCAGCTGCTCGTTCGAGAGCAATACCGAGTATATGTGCATACACATTACACGATGTTGGAGAAGGGTATGTCAATTCGTACACATTGTCGTCTTTTATTAGCTAACGTCAAATACCACAGAGCACCTTGCGTCACATTCTCACAGGACACTTCATTGATGGCAGCAGGGTTCTCAGAAAGCTACGTTCGACTGTGGAGTCTCAAGGGCGAGAAGTTGAAGGGACTCCGCAGTGATTTCCAGACGAGTTCAATCACTGGAGGCATGTATTCTGTCTTGCATACAAATGCTATAGTATCCACTTACATCTGCATGTATAGCAAAGTCTCTTCGTAAAATACGCGAAAAGGGTGGATCGACTACCCGCAAACTGATCGGGCACAGCGGTCCTGTATACTCCGTTGCTTTCGACCCTGTGGGTGGCTCGGCGGTTCCTCCGAAGTATCTGCTCTCTTGTTCAGCGGATGCGACAACCAGACTCTGGTCTCTTGACACCATGACGAATGTTGCGGTATACCGGGGTCATCAAAATCCAGTATGGGATGTTCAATGGAGTCCCATGGGCGTATACTTTGCCACGGCAAGTAGGGACCGGACTGCCAGACTTTGGTCAACTGATAGGGCAAGTGCGTTGAGAATATATGCAGGCCATCTAAGCGATGTCGACGTAAGTAGAGGATATTTTGTAATATCCAGACAAGCGGGCTCCTTATCATGAGGTTTCTATAGTGTGTGCGTTTTCACCCAAATTCGCTGTACCTTGCGACCGGCTCAAGTGACTGGACGGCGAGGCTTTGGGATGTCCAGCGCGGATCATGTGTCCGCGTATTCATTGGGCACCAAAATATTGTGTCGACGATGGCGTTTAGTCCGGATGGCAAATATCTGGCAACAGCAGGTATGGTGTTTTTCAGGATAATCGACACACCTCAAATGAGTTCTCTATATTTACATCTTTTGTAGGCGAGGATCTTGCTATCAACATCTGGGACATTGGTTCTGGCCGTCGAGTCAAGAAGATGACTGGACATACCGCTTCCATCTATTCTCTCGCCTGGAGTGCAGAATCAAGTGTGCTCGTTAGTGGAGGCGCAGATTGGACAGTTCGTTGCTGGGATGCCAAGAGTTCAGGTGGACCGGCCAGCAAGTCCAATCAAAATGGAATGATAGTCAATGGTTACGGAGGCGAAGAGAATGGTATCACGAAGGAGCATGATGAACTGCCAAGTATTGAGACGTGAGTGTTTAAATTCGCATTGCATTGATGCATAGTTGACCTTGTATATAATGGCATAGGTCTGATCTTCTGGCTACGTTCCCTACGAAACGGACACCGATCGTTAATGTTCAGTTCACTCCTCGTAACCTCTGTCTTGTAGCGGGACCGTATCTTAGTCCCGAGCAGAGATGACCTATACCCAGATCTCCCTCGTATTTTCCTGCTGTTTGTAGACGACAGTTCGTTGTTCAGTTCACGATCCTCGGATTCCTTCCTCTACGTTGTCTTTGTTGAGACGGCGGCCCGGCCTTTCATACTCGTTGTTCATGTATTCCCATCTTGCCTCTGCTTTGATATTATTCAGGTTAAGTGGGCTCTACAGGCCAAGTCTTCCACATTGTGCGCGACATTCAGCAGGTTAATTCTTAAGCACTTGAAGCAAAATATCCATTCGGTTCAAAAAATCCAAGCCCTACAGGGTGGTGAGACCGCCCGGTATGTTCTCGTAAACCATGCAGTTACTCATGTTAGCAGTGAGTCTTGCGGCCTATCTAGGAGATGGTCGAAAACCCTCAAGGGCAGGTCTTTGCTTGCGTAAACTGAGTTAGAGACATGAGATGTTAACCATTTTGGTAGCGAAGGATAACTTCCAGCCTGAGCCTTCTATAATATTTCAAAGCCATAAACTTTCTCCTTACTCTTTCAGAGTGGTTAGTTCTGTTCAAAAATTGGGTTCTCTGTTAATCAAGAGGTTCTTGGAAGGATCTCTACGTGCTCTGTGCTGTGTAGGTCGCAAGCGAGACGCGTTTGCCTGGACGCGTCGCGACGCGTGCTGCTCTAATTAGGCATCACGTGGACAGCTGCTTGGCCATCGCGAGTTCAAATCCGCAGACGACCATTCACCTCGTCCTACACCGTCACCTCACCTTTCGGCAGGAGTAAGAGGCTCGACTCTACTAGAACGATGGACACCGTAAGCCAGCTTGTTGCTTGTGTTTTTGTCTTCCGTCTGAATTTATTCAGGATATGAACATGGATTCTGACACCACCACCAACATGGAACTGCCTCAAGCGGATGTACAATCACCACAACCAGGAGAAATACTCTTCGAGGAACCTTCTGCTCAAGATGATCCTCCAGATGCACCGCCCGTTACAGGTACTGCGTTTAGACATTTATTTCGACCGACAGGGATCTTTATACATGGAAATGTGCATTATTCAGACGCGCTACAATCAGCACTCTTACAGCAAGCACGAGAACCTCCTCGAGACATAACTGTAAAAGTACACATACGAAGGCCAGAAAGGGATAACTGGGCTTATCTTGGTCGGGCTATCGTAACCCAGGAAGTTGTTGGAGGAAAATCAAATAGAATCGGTATGTGTCTTATTCAGTTGCCAGTGCTCCCTCACTTTCCATAGCTCACTTCGGTCATGCAGTCGTCAGGTCTATGAACTCGCACAAGATTCTGGCTACCTTTGGAGAGGTTCGTATCTGGTCGTTGTTCCTTGTATGTTTGATCGTCTTACTCATCCAACACAGGGCACAGCGCTCCAAGCGGAGAAACGAGGCAACTTCGTTGTCGTAGGTTGTGTTGAGGGAACCCGTGTAGTTTCATGGTCATTGAATGTAAGATATTGCCTCATATGCGCATACACAAATACTGCAAAAGCACGTTAACTGACACCACTTACGTAGGCTTTGAATAACTCCGAGACACTCCGTCTCCTTGCGCTCATTGAGCTTTGCTGCACTTCATGCAAGCATTTCAATACCGATCCCCATATACAGAACATGTATCGCCGTCGTGTCGCGCGAGCTATTAAAGATGACCGCCGTAAGCGTCACAAACGCCGAAAGGACCAGGAGGCCATGATCTCAGCCTTTGCGAGAACAGCTCTTGTCGACGAGCCAATGCAAGCATTGGATGTTTAACGAGCGCGGATCCCCGGTCGGTGTAATCAAGTTGTAGCCTTCTGGTGCAATACCTGTGTCCATGATTTCCATTCGCGATGCTCCCAAAGTTGTATTTGTATGCCATCATCCTGTGTTTCATCTTCGCAATCTCGCATTCTTCAGGCGTACAGACGAGTCCTCATCACGGTCGGACGTTCCAGTTCCTTTGGTCACCCATCCCCATAATCCTCTCCTCTGTTCACGCTCGATCCTACATTTGACTCGTCATAATCATTGCTCTGCTCTCTAGTACGTTCTGTATCCTCCTTCCTGCGGAAGACCATCATGAAGCTCTGTTTTGTTATTCATATTCATCAATTCCTTACCAGGTCAGAGATCCCTTAGACACCTGAAAAATACATGTACAAGAAAGAAGAATCTCTTGTATTTGCCAAGTCAATGGCATTGTTTCGTTATGGCGGCTGCGCTAATGTAAGTCTGGTCTACTATGTTACTAAAACAAAGAGTGTTGGACAGAATGTTCGTCACGGCTAGCGAATGTTCAAGCGCGAATGAAGGGTAAAAAGGGTAGTAAGAAGTTCGTGACGAGAAAAAAAATCACAACATTGGGAGAAAGCACAACAATCCCACAGCACCCAGTGATAAGGCGAAACGTATGCAAAGCATCCTTCAAAACAACCGATTGAATGAGGGTACGCAGAGAAGGGGAAAAGGTATCAGAAAATGAAGCAGACCAAGGGGTCTATGGCGAATAGTTATAAAATAGATCAGTGCACTGTTGTAATAAATTGTCCAGGATAAATAATGACAGCAGCGAACAACAGATGCATCTTCCCTCTGGGAAAACGCGCCTCAGTCACTATGACCGAGACGACGAAGGACCTGGTATTGTGGGTATTGTGGGTGGAGGTGGAGACGCCGGCGATGGAGGGGTGCCAAAGCTGTCAGTTGGCCCTAGTCCGGGTATGGGTGCTCGTCGTTCACTATACTGAGGTGGAAGTTCGATGACTTCTTCCTCTGCTGGAGGAGGCGGGACTGACTCTTCCAGATCCGTATGTAGGATGAATCGCGCGGGCACAGGTGCATGGTTCAAGGGAATGCCTGCTGCGGCAGCTTTTTGTCTCGCAGCGGATGAGACAGTGTTGCCACCCCAACTCATCAAAGTTTCTCTGCCTCCTCTTGACGAAGAGGCTGCTGCTGCAGATTCTGCATTTGATGGACTGCGCGCATGTGATGGAGCGACTCCACCGTATGCGGAAGCACCGTATGCCGAGGCACCATACGCGGAGGGAGAGTACGTAGAAGGACCGTACGGGTTCGTTAGAGGGTAGACATCGGATTGTGCATAATGAGTCCCATCGGGTGACAAGAGATTATGTGAGGATGGTGTCCCCATGTGACTGCCAGTATACGAAGGTGTCATAGGATACGGGTTGACAACAGGGAGATTAGCATGGTCCATTGGACCTGGAGGAGGGTCGTTTGTTAAATCAAGGGACCCGAAGCGCTGATGACCATATCTGTTCTTGCGTCTCCTCCTGAGACAGAACATGACCAAGACTGCAATGGTAGCTAGAGCAAAAAGACCTGCAGCGGCCGCTCCAGCAATGACCGCCCCGCTTGGCTTTTTGCTTGAAGTTGAAGAGTTGTCGGAACCCGAGCCATTCGTGCTCGTCGGTGCTGCAGATCCTCCCGATGTGCTCGCAGCCTGAGAAGTGGAAGCTGAAGGGACAATGGACGCAGATGTCGGTGAATTCGTGCTCAGACATGAGTTATCGTCAGATACACCAACGACCCTAACATCAGAACTACCGCCCTTCCGACCTTTTGAGTCGGTCAATATGAAGATAATCCCAGTACCTGCTGCAACGTCCGCATTCCAATCGTACGATGTTGGTCCAACAGGAGGATTCAGAACGAAGGCCTGTCCGCCAGGAATAACACCCTGACAATTGTGACAGATTTATGGAGCTTCTTAGCTGTCATGATTGAAAGAGACATACCGTGATAGTAACGGGTTGTACAGCCCCTACATAGTTCCCAAAAGTGAATGGTCTGTAGGAGGGGTGGAACAAGCTCAGAGATACACTGTACTAGAGGAAAAGTAAATTATCTTACCGGCATTGTTGCAGCGCAGTATTCAATTCGAAGAAGAAATCAACACCTTATGATAGTGAAATTCAGTTGAACAACAAAGTTAATCAATGCGATGCGTCGAAATACCTGGGTCTGCCGTGTTACAACCAGCGTTTCCTACTGACGCACCAACCTCGAGCAGGTCCGTTGTCCCACCTGTTCCAAGGCCACTAGCATCGGACATCGTTGCAAGAAACTTCTGGCCCTTTGGGAAATCCAAAGGTGTCTGATACGAGCCCTTCCCGTTGCTAAAGCTTGAATCGGGTATGTTCATAACGCGTGGTGTACCAAAGACCTAGATAACGATTAACATCGTCACAAAATATTGAAATCAAGGCACATACGGGTGTAAGCATGAGTTGATAGGGCGCAGCTCCGCCTAGCATGCGACGTGAGTTAGAGCAGCAAGGAAGAAGATACGTCTTATTCACCAGACCATGATATCGCAAAGTCATCACATTGCGTGGGGTTTCCGAAGGTGAAAGTGAAGTTGGCTGCCCGGGCTTGAGAGAATAGGGAGAGAAGAAGGAAGGATTGCAGAAGCCCCAGGCGAATCTGCATGACTCCCAGAGTTTTAGGCGGAAAAAAGAAACAGAGTCCTACAGAATGCGGGAGATGGCCCGGGCAAGAGAAAGGAAAACAAACGAGGGCAGATGTACTGGACGGACAACGAGAGGTGGGAGCAGAGGCTGTTCCTGCTGCTAAGCCTAGAGTCCTGCCATCCTGTCTACCACTAGCTCATTTCTCTTACGTAACACACTTTACTGCCCTTTGCGGCAACTCGCTGGAGCAGCTACATTCACAGGAACATAACCAAGACAGAAAACAACACAGGTTACATATCAACAGAATGGAGAGGTAGATTGTGTACAAACATGTTGGTCTATTCACTCCCGTGCGGACTCGAATGCCCTCGTCAACACTCTCCAAGGACTCAAGAACACCGCCGTCACCGAACGAACGAAAGCCGTCACTTTTCTCATCAATGCACTTCGTTTGTCACGTACGAAAATATTTCCCTCGGTGTCTCCATGTAACGAGCGCACTCTATGTATATCAGCGCCCGCCTCGATATCGAGCAAAGCTGTCTCTTCCGAAACGTACCGCCCAGACTGCCCGTCCGACATGGCCACGTATTTGGCTGCATCACTGCCTGGTGGCACCGTTAAATTTACTGCGTCACTAGGCTTTGCTGATTTCACATTGGGGCAGCCACCGTACTTGGATATGGGAAATTGACGCTTACGAGCGACGTCTGCTACGACGTGTTGACAGAAAGCAACCGGAGAGTTGTCTCGAGTAGCGGCAGCCGGACGCGGAGAAGATGATGAGGATGGAGCATTCTGAATATTCTTAGAAGTCGAGTGCTTTGACAGAATGTCGGCGAGTTTCCCGCTGTCAGAACATGCTAAAGCAAGACCAATAGTTTCGCCAGGTTGGAGAATCTTGTAGTACGAGTCCAGCGCCGTTCGATACGCCTTCAATATAGTAGGGCCTGAAGTATGAATTCCATCGACTGGACCATGACTGGGAGTTCGGGAGTGTGAATACACCTTCCCCTCGGTCTGAGTTGACGTTTCGCCAGAAGACATGGAGCCATCCTTTTCAGGTGCAACAGTCAAACCAAGTCCAATCGGTATATCGGTCTCTGTGGTACCGGGGACGGGACTGCGTCGGAGTGTACGGGTTGTTGTAGCTGTGGTAGGTGAAGATATTTTCACATATGCAGCTGTGCTATCGTTCCTCTTCTCGGGGAGCTCGGTCTGTGGCTTGGGCGAGTTCATCCGAGACCTAGCAAGAGCAACCCTCGGGGTAGCAAGATGAGCGGGAAATACGGCGGCGCCTGGAACGGGGCTGGCGGTTCGTGACTGCAATGGCGTCGCAACTTTGACTTCAGGTTCGGTGACAGCAACTTGTGGCGAGATCGAAGAATTCTCGTTGGCGATATGGTTGACAATTGCTCGTGCGGCAGCGCCGCTCTTCTTTTTCTTCTTCCTTGCCTTGTGTTTGGGAGTCAGTGAGTTTGGAATGTTCGCAGAAGCCAGCGGCGGGGCCGACGGAGTGGGTGCCGGTTTGACCGCTTTCATATTCTTCGCTGTCTTCCTGACACCGGACGTTGTTTCAGCATTGGTCGCAGCTAAGATACCAGTCTGGATCAGGATCTCAGCCTCCTCAGCAGGGAGATTTTTGAAAGAGATAACAATGCTGTCATATTCATCATTCGATGGGCAGGGAGCCTTCGCGATACCGAGCTTGTTCGAAACATCCTTCATCGGAGATGCATGCTTCCTGGTATCGACAGTATGCTGAGCTCCAATAGAAATTGCTGCTCTGCAGTTGTGGCCACATACGTGTGCTGCTCTTTCTGATTCGGACATTGGGTAGAGCATAACTTTCAAGGACCCAGAGGATTCACTGAGGGTGATACTAAAGAACGGCTCATCATGAGTCGAAGAAGAGGAAATGATAGTGGGAGAACCAGAAGCCTTCTTCTTCAGCAAGTTTGCTCTTCGCTTCCGTTCGGGAGATAGATATATAGGATGGTCCACAGGAGAGGCCGGCCGTATCGGTGTGGAAGGCAAGTCCAAATCGACGTCGCCAAAGAGGTCCTTCATCTTCATATTGTGTAGCTTTCGACCGTCTTCTCGCATCTTGTCGGCAGACTGACGGATGCGATTCTTGGCGGACTTGACCAGTGATGTGAAGTCGCTCTCAGAGCTGGACAACCACATGAGCTAAGTTCCAATGCAAACAGAAAGGGTCATACCCAGAGTCTATTTCGGGAGAAATTACGGGGGAATTGTCTCGCATTGGAGAGGCATTATTGGGTATGGCGATAGGTTTGTGCTTTCCACCTGACTTGTTCGCTCGAGGAAGGAGTCTTTCGCTGATGCGTCTCTTTCCAGAACGAACTTTTCTCCGTCCTTTGAGTTCAGAAGACAAAGACGCAGATATGACAAGCGCAGTATCAACGAGAAAGGGAGAACTAGGTATCACAGGAGATGCAAGCAGAGGAGATGGAGAAAGGCGGTGCAGGTCTTTCAGCTCTCGCTTTGAGAGGGGTTTTGGCTTGATATACTTGACCATGATCAAAGAGTCGACCGTCCAGCGGTGGAAACCCAAGGTCAAGCGTTAGATAGGAGTGTTGAACGTCGAAGAGGTATCCGAGGGTAAGACAGTTTCAAGTCGAACATACATGTCCAAGTATAGAAAAGGACACATATTTGTGGTTGTTTGGATCTGGTGGCTGCGGTGATCTGGAACAGAGCGAGTCGCCGCAACCTTTCGATATAGACGGTTTGTAGACGGTACTCATTCCACCCTCAGGCTGTCCACCCCGCCTATCCCTTGACAGCGCCCAAAGACTACCAAGTACTCATACTGGTAGCGCTACGGCGGTCCATAACATGGGCTTCCCTTCTCCAATTACTCGCGAACAGGTTGCCGCCCGAATCCTTGCCGGGGACAACCTCATCATCCTTCGCAACAAAGTCATTCGTGTACCCCCATCATGGCTTGCTACTCACCCCGGCGGTCCTCTGGCTATCCTTCACTTTGTTGGGCGTGACGCGACAGACGAGGTTGACGCGTTCCATTCTGACGCGACGCTTGAAAGGATCGATCGTTATACAATTGGTACTGTGGATGTCGGAGAACATGGTTGGCTATCGTTTGTTCCTCCAATCATGAGCGGTTGGGTCAGACGAATCACCGCGGATGGCTCCAAGCAATGGTATAACGAAGCGTCACCCTTCAACTCTGAGACCGATACCGCACCGTCTCCATCCACCCAGTTCCTTCTGGTAGAGAGAACCGAGGACCCCCCTCGGCCTGGCCCTACTCTCGAAACGCTCCAGCCTCCGCCGACGCCAATATCCCCCAAGATATATGCCCAGCACTCTGCAGCTTACAAGGTCCTGCACAAACGCGTCATTGATGCAGGGTTGTATAAGACGCGGTATATTACTGGCTATGGTCCGGAGATTGTTCGTTATACCCTATTGGCAATCCTCTCTATCGTTGCATATCGTTATGGATGGTTCATTACCAGCGCATTTTTCTTGGGGCTGTTCTGGCATCAAGTCACGTTCACCGCTCATGATCTGGGACATGTTGGTGTCACGCATGATTGGACCATAGACCGTCTGCTCGGTATATTCATTGCCGACCTTCTAGGCGGACTCAGTATAGGGTGGTGGGTCGATGTTAGTTCCATTTGAATGATTACATTCGCAGGATCTGAATTTCCCCCCTCAGAATCACAATACACACCATCGTGAGTAACGTTACCTGTGTCAGGATTGTAAGCGGTAATGACACTATATGATTCAGTCGTTACTAACCATCCTATTCAGTAAGTCTAACAAGTCTACTAGTTCCGTGTATATCTCTCTAATTTGGATCTGCAGTGATCCGGATATCCAGCATCTGCCCTTCTTCGCAGTATCTCCCGTATTCTTCAATTCATTATGGTCATCTTACTACAAACGCGTCATGGCATTTGACGCGATTGCGAAGATATTCATCCCGATCCAACACAAGCTCTTCTACGTTATCATGTGTTTTGCCCGGTTCAACCTATACGTGCTTTCGTATACCTTCCTGGCGAAGCACGCATTCGAACCAAGGAAAGCTGTGGGAGGTCGATGGTGGTGGTGGGGCGAGGTCATCTGTCTAGGTCTCTTCTTCTGCTGGTACAGTTCTCTGCTCATGGCTATCGGCAACTGGAAAACAGCCTTGGGGTACCTGGTCGTCAGCCATGTTGTGACCAGTCCCTTACACATACAGGTAAGATATTTATGATCTCATTCATTCGCATAAGACTGACTGCAGTAGATTGTTCTGTCACATTTCTCTCGGTCAACGGAGGACTTCGGCCCTGTCGAGTCTTTCCCAGCACGTCAGCTTCGTACGACTGTGGATGTGATCTGTTCGCCCAAGATCGAATTCATCCACGGTGGACTTCACTTACAGGTTACTCACCACTTGTTCCCTCGCCTTCCTCGACACAATCTGCGAGAAGCGAGTATGCTTGTGAAAGAGTTTGCCAAGGAGCATAATCTAGAGTATGCTGAGTTTGGCTTTTTCGAAGGAAATGGCGAGGTTAGAGGTGTCCTGAAGCAGGTGGCAGACCAGGTCAAGATAGTGGGTATGGTGGCAGATGCTAATATCCGTGACGCGTTGAAAAAATGAGTACGAAATACTTACGCTTAACACCCCAACTCACTCTATGTATGTATTCCATTGGACTGTGCGTCTGATAGTATAGACAGAAATAGACTGTCGCGCAAGAACACGAGTGCTCATATTCATCATATATGGCATGGCATGCAAAACCCAAGGGTAGCGCGATATTTTGAATACATGATGGACGACAGCAAGCATGGTGTGTAGTAAGTCGATGCGGAAGGTAAGAACAAAGTAATCAGGCCCCGTTTACTTCTTCTTGCTAGCCTCCTCCTCAGCCTTCTGTTGAGTTCCAAGCACAAAAATTCAGTAGAGCAACCAAAGTAGGTTTTCATGGTACGAACCTTCGCTTCCCGGACCTTGCGTGCACCCTCGTGACGAGCAATAGCACGCTCGTTACGGAGAGTGCGGTAGGCCTGGAACTCGCGTTCCTCATCGGTGATTTGTCGGGGAGCCTCGGCGACGTAGGGATCGGGAATAGGGAGGTTGAGGCGGGTGGTCTCAGCCTTGAGCTCGTCGCCCTGAATATTCCGACAACATATATCGTGAATAAAAACCATGGCATGAATGATAAAATGAACGCACGGTGGTGTCACCCTTCTTGGGCTTCTTCGCGTTGCGGGGGAAGACAATCAATCGTGCCTTGTAGACCTTGAGACGCTCAACGTTTACGGCCTTGCCCTCCTCGCTCAGATTTCTCCTCCTGTGGTCAACAACAATGCCAACACCCCGAGCCTCCTTCTTGCCAATACCAGCCTCCTTCAACTCAGCAAGGGTGAAGCCACGGCCCTCCCGGACCTTCCTGTTGTAGCGAACAGTTTGCGCATGGACAGCGGGGCGGAGAAGAGTGAGAGGTCGAACACCAAGTTGAGCAGCTTTGGTCTTGCGTGCTTGACGGCGGCGAAGCTTGCGGCCGGGCTGGTCGAACCAGGTGCGGACACGCAGCTGCCAATCCTTGCGGAAATGGTTCTGGTGGAGGACTGCATATCATTTGAATGTCAAAACTGAATGTGTTTCCTTCACCCAAACATGTCTACGAACCGTTATTGTGCGCGAAACCCATTTCTTAGTCTAAGCAAAGTAAAAGGAAGATTAGCCTGAGCCCAGTTACGAAAGATGCCAAAAGCGCATGCGACCACTCCATCCAACGGTTGACTAGTCCATCCAGCGTTCTACCAGTCGGAATTTTCGCAAACAACCACATAGACCAGTCAAACGTGAGGCGTAGAGACGTTCTGCAACATTTCCAGGAGCACTGGCAGCGATACTGACCTTGAGGAGGGGGTTCTTGACGGGGCGTTGTCCTCTTGCTCGTTGCCTGTGGCTTCGTCCGGACGGGTTTGGGCGGAGTCCCAAGTTCGGCGTCTAGGTTGAACACCAGCGTCTATGGAATGTGGTTGATCCTTGTTGGTCCAGCCGTTGCTTCAAGTGCTCTTGCTTTGCGCGATTACGGTTCAATGCAGAACGATGAGGCCGTCGTCGAGACATCTATTTAGCTAAGCGACGGGAGTATTTTTTTGTTAATGCTACTCGACGGGTCGACAGAGTGCAAGGAATGAAGAAACCGTAGCCGAACTCCCGACAGGATGCATAGTAACGAACTAAGGGAAACGAAAAAGGTTGGTAAGAGATCTAACATTATTCGTCTAACTATAATGGGGTAGGCCTTGTCCGATACAAAAGAACTGCGAAACTTCCAGGTCCTATAGATCGTGCACGTGCCTCCTCGCTGTTTAGCTTGATCTGTGCAAAGATCCATCATGTGGGGAACATACGTCGAGGCAATCTTCGGCGTCCCACAGTGAAGTGTTCCATGCTATTTCCTTTCTGCCAGTTTATATCATTGACCTGCCTCTCAATGACGTCCCCATGCACCCATTTTATGCGAATGCATCGCGGGATATCCGAGTCGTATCACAGTGGCCATGCGTCCGCTCCTTTCGTTCTGCCTGTCGATCTAGTACAAATGGCCGAACTAAAGCCCGGTCATGTCTGCCAGAGTTCGGATCCTCTCCCTCACCTGGCACTATTGTTTTGATGTTCGACGCAGCGTAGACTATGCCATTTGCTGACGAGCATGTGAACATCGTTGCCGGCATTCTGTCACTCAAACTGCACAGAAGATGACATTCTCCACTTCCATGATACGTCGAACGCGTTCTCAGCAATTTGTCATTTCTATTTTGATGATTGTGGCCACTTCAGACGTACTCCTTACGTCCAACCCTCGTCGATGGTGCAGACGGGTCCCGCTGCAGAGATCGTGTACAGTACCCGTTTTGTTCGGACGATACCATCCCGGGTTGCTCGCCTTTTGTCGCGAGGTCTTGAGCCTTGGATCGGTAACATACTCAGGTGCATCCGACAATCCGGAGCCAACGTATATAACCTCGCGTAGGATGGTAGGTCGTTCTAACATTCGGAACTACTACTACGATGTCCCCCTTTTCTCTCCATCCACCATCTCGTGCCGAACATGTAGGCTCGCTTCTTCGACCGAAGTCTCTACTCGAGAAACGAGAACAATTTAGTTCGAACCAATGCACGGCTGAAGAATTGAGAGCCGCTGAAGATGCCGCCATCGCTTCCGTTGTGAAGCTGCAGCAGGAGATTGGTCTCAAGACTATTACAGATGGAGAATTCAGAAGGTCATTACATAACTCCACTCTTTTTACGTTGTCTTACAATACGATATTCCCTTCTTTTGCAGAGCAGCTTTTTATGACGGCATGTTTGATAAACTGGAAGGGATGACATTTGTTCCAGATAGTGAGTACTGCTAAACTGCTGTATTTGAATATCTCCTGAACATGGTGATTTAGAGCCACTTTCTACGTGCAAGGTATGAAGTGTCACCTGTTTTCGTATTCGGCTTACACATGGCCAATCTTTTTATCCTAGTCGTACCTTCCCTATATCCAGGTTTACCGAGCAATGGGTTTTGACGTGATACCATCTGTATATTGCACGGTGAATAGGCAATCAATACAGTGCCCATTTCTCTGACTTATTTGTTTGATTATAGGGCAAAATCAAGAGAACTGAAGGTGTCTACACTGCAGACTTCGAATATCTAAGAAGCCTGGTTGCTCCAGAGGTATGTACGGATCATCATGATGAAGGCCGTGCTCATTGACAATTGTTGTATTGGCAGGAAGTCAAGCAGCTCAAAATCACGATATGTTCTCCCATCTGGCTTCATATTCGACATGGATCGCATGAAACATACGATCTTAGTGTTTACCACAACGATGGTAATATCAGTTCAGCAGCCATGCCTAGGATGCACGCTCACATATTTGGCATAGCTGAATACTTCGCTGACCTGACCAAAGCATGGCGCGAGGAAATCAGGGCCCTACACGAACTCGGATGTCGTCATATTCAGATTGATGATCCATCTTTCTGCTTCTTCTGTGCCGACTCAATGATCAGTGGAATGCAAGAAGCCGGTGAAGACTACGAAACACTCTTGTCGCAGTACATCAATGTTTACAACGACATTCTGAACGATCGACCAGAGGATTTGATCGTCGGGATTCATATGTGTCGCGGCAACTATCGTGTAAGATTCATGTTTTGGTTCTCCATGCACATTTTGTCACAATTTCAATATCAGGGGACGCACTATTGTGAGGGTGGCTATGAGCGCATAGCTGCAAGATTGTTCAAAGAACTGAACGTGAACTGTTTCTATGTACGTTGGACTTGATGAACTCTACAGAGTACGACTTACCTTGGTATCAAGCTCGAGTATGACAACGAAAGAGCAGGCGGTCTCGAACCCCTGCGACACCTTCCAACCAACAAGATAGTCGTGCTGGGGTTGGTATCGACAAAGACTGAGGTTGTAAGTACCATAAATATTGTCTCCTACTGGCGCTGCATCGCTTAAGCGTTCTTGGACAGCTGGAAACGCTCGATGATATCAAGACACGTATTGAGCAGGCTGTGAATATCATTGCTGAAGGTTACCCGAAGCGTACCAGGCACGTCGCACTGCAACAGTAAGTGACAAGCGCATTGGCACCTTATCGAGACCGCGCAGCTGAAAGAACATTGGCGTAGAATATGTATCAGTCCGCAGTGCGGTTTTGCGTCTACCGCTGAAGGCAATCCGATTAAAGAACAGGTGGGTGATAAGTTGGTGCTTTGCCCTACTTCGATTTTGACTTGAGGTGGCAGGATCAACGGCGAAAGCTGGACCTGATTGTCGAGGCAGCACGAGTCATTTGGCCATGATGGGCCGTTTCTGCGGCCAAGTTCGCCCTGTTATCCATAACTATTTATACTTGGACTAAATGACTAGTGGTTGGACTTGAAAGCTTGAAGGATGGATTCTTGGTGGATAAGGCGTCGGCCGACTGTAGACATTTCTCTCTGAGCGTGACGACTGTAGAGACCAAAGATCATTGAGATGGATATTTTTGCGCATCGGCTGAACGAGGATGACTATTTCCGGGCAGCGCAGCCACAGGGGTGTGACGATGGTGTGACGGGGCGGGTAAGAGTGACAGGGCAGGCGGTGTGGTGCTTGAGTGGAATCCCACCAGTACTTAGAAATCAGTAGCCGGTTCTGCTGCCGTCCCTCTCCTTCGCCATCTTTCCTTTCAACTGCCATCTTCATCCTCGTGCCCCGCCATCCAGCAGCGAGCAACAACATCTATTCCATCGCAAGGCTCATTTGATTTGCTGGCTTGGCGTGGGAGTCTACACCCAGCCGACCAACTTCCGCTTGCCCAATCCAACTGGCCAAAACACGATGGCCCTTTCAAAGCAGTCTCGCCGCCATAGATCCTCTTCAGATCCCTTTTCTGACCCAACCACCATCTCCTACTCATCTTACGGTGTTCCCACTCTCTCCAGAAACGCTCCCCCCTCTCATCGACCACCCCCTCCACCCCCCAAACCACCTAGAACTGCCCCAGGCAGATATCAACCATCTACAATGAATCCTGCTGATGCTATCCAAGAAGTCGTCACAGTGAGGCGTATTGATCAGAATCCTCGTACTAGAATGAGTCGAAGTCAGACTCAAGCTCCCCCACCGTAAGTCATCATCACCTCCGGATCTTTGCAAATTGCAGACATTTGACTCTGAACATGATATATCCAGAGCATCCAGTTCCAGACCAGTCCCCGGACCACCTCGTCGCTCTTTATCGCAAGATTCTGCTGCACCCGTCAACAATACCGTAGACAAAGCGAAATCGGCCACTCGCAAACCACCTGCGAAGAAGGGTTCCTCACACGCCGATGTGATTGACAGGTTGGACTTTTCTGGTGTTGGCCCTAGTACGTACTAGTTTTTTTCGAAAGTCTTTCAATTACCCCTCATTGACTGGAACCTATCAGTGTTCCACCATGATGGTCCTTTCGATGCATGTGCACCCTCTCGTAACCGACACCGCACCAAGGCCCCCATGCTCGCATGGAGCGCTGAAAACGAAGAGGATAGGAATGCCCTGGCCGCAGCTAGAGAGATACCCCCTAACTCATACCAGTCTCCTTACCCCTCACCGGGTGTATATGCCCCTTACGAACCGCCGAAGAAGAAGCGAGATGCTATAGCCGAAGCTTGGGGTATTCATGAGCCAGAGCCATTTGAGGACTTTTCTGCAGGCGGAGGCTATTCCAACCAGACCGGAACTGATTACGGCACTGTCGCCCCGCCCTCCCGGAACGGCAATGGCACAACCACTCGTCGTCCCAAAGATGCTCGCGAAGCTCGAGACAAATACAAGGAGTACCTGGACGAGGGTCAAGCTCCCGCCGCGCGTCGGCAGCAGACGAAGCGATCTCCGCTTCCCCCTCCTCAACCAATTTTCGTGCCTGAGGGAGAGTTGGATACCAATCCTCCACCGTCTCCTCCAGCGTCACCCGGAGCAGTGAAGCGTAATAGGTCCATCATGCATCGCATACGCAAGATGCGTGATGCACCCAATGTACCTGTAGGCTATGACGAGTTCTCAAACGGCGGGTATGATCGCGATCCTTCGCCCACTTCTTCAGCTGAGAATTCTGCAGCCGCTACGTCTCAAGCGCATGGCCAAGGCGCTCCAAATAGGCCCACACATCGCTCCCAGAATTCCTTCCTTGGTCGTCTTGGCCGTGGCGCAAACGGCGCGACTAAGGAGGGTAACTCCCCAACATCTGATAGCTCAGAGCCTTATGTGTATATCGATAATCATGCCCGACAGAAGGACAAGTCTCTCCCTGCTACTCCAGGGAAAGGTGGCACGCAGCCTGGCGAGTACACAGGGGATTACTTCGATCAAGCTGCCGGCGGCTATGTTGGATCCCCTGGTGCAGGACTTGGTCGCAAGACGAGTCTGCTGAAGAAGATGAAGGGCGTCGTCAAGGGCGCGAAATAATTCCAATTTCCCCAGTATCCAAGACAAGATCTGCTTTCTCTGTACTATGCAAATCCTCATTTCTTTTGTAGTGTTGTAAAGTTCACCCCCTTCGACATTCCTTGTTCGTATGTTTTTTCTTCTTTCATAAAGTGCGCTTTTGTCTGTGAACTCGTAGAGTTTTCGCCTGGACGCCATGTGACTTCCTTTGCACGATCCCTTCTACATTAACGTTACTCTTTACGTTTTCCAATCCCTCCTGACCGTTGTATCGTTTTAGCATGTTCCTCCAATATACCTACCCTCGTTGCTTTTATTCTTGTAGGACGTAGTCTTCCGACTGTACTAGTCCATTTGCCTTCGTCGAGGAGCTTCCGACCAGACATTCCTCCTGTTGTATGTCTCGAAATTCAATAATTGTACCATCCATTCACCCGCATTATTCAGAGAACTTTCGTTGAAACTGCTCAATTGCAACGATGCTATGATATATGACGATACATGTTACAGTCTTCCGTTTCTCTGTCACCTCCTTGCATTCACTCCAGCTGAACTCAATACATCTTTCACTTCACCGATACCAACTTCTCCGCGATGGAAAATTCCAGCAGCGAGTGCCGCCTCCACGTCGGTTTTCTGGAATACCTCCACGAAGTGGGCTGCACTTCCCGCTCCACTGCTCGCAACCATGGGTATCCGGACGTTCTTGCGAACCAGCTGGATGAGATCGATGTCAAACCCTTTCCCGGTGCCATCGCGATCTATGCTGTTCAGTAGGATCTCCCCTGCACCGAGTTTCTCTACACCTCTTGCGAGTTGCACAACGGACAGCGGCCGCACCTCTCGTCCGCCACTGGCGGTGCATTGGTACCACCATGCTTTCGCCTCATCTTCCGTGCCAGGACTTCCCCGAATGACTTCGTCTCTGTAAGGCCCATCATAAGAAAGGTCGACATAGACCCTCTTCGGGTCGATCGACACAACGACAGCTTGTCGACCGTAAGCATGGGCGATCGTCTCGATCGCGCTCGTACCATCACCTTCACCAATACCATCTTGACTTGGCCGTGCGCGCATCCGCTCAACGGCGTAAACCGCCTCAGATGCGATACTGACTTTGTCCGCTCCAGCACGGAAGTACAGTCCGGCGACCTCAAGTGCGGATCGCTTGGTGCCATCAGGATCGACAGTATCTTTGATGCCACCACCGATGGTGAGGGGAACGAAGACTTCTTCGGCTGCAGCGCGAACGACAGCGAGCATGGGCTGGTCGCGTAATGGAGAGTGACGGAAGGAAGTGATGTTCATGAGACAAAGTTCGTCTGCACCTGCGGCGTAATATCGCGCGGCGAGCGCAACAGGCTTCCCTAGATTACGAACTGCACCCTCTGCTTGGGCCTGAATAGTTCCTGGCGCAGCGGGTGCCTTCTCTCGGACGTCATACTGATCACCCTTTGTGACGACAAGATCTCCTTCGTCGTTTGATCGGACATCCATGCATGCAACGATACGTTTCGTCAGACCATCTCGAGGCTTTGGCGGTCGTGGTATCCGAGGTGTCGGAGGCGCAGATGACCTTGCGGACTCTGACTCGCTTAGCCAGGCAGAGATGATTCTCAAGCCAGCATCGCCTGACTTCTCTGGATGGAATTGAGTACCGAAGACGTTGGCTTTGCGTACGGATGCCATGAAGACCTCCTGACCATATTGCGTGGTGGAATGGACCCAGTGTGCAGCCACCGGATTTCCATCGGGGTCATAAGATGCACGGTATGAGTGCACGAAGTAATAGTGAGATGACTCGAGCAAGCCTTCGTCAGACTTGTCAGCGCTGTCGAGCAAATCTATTGAGTTCCAGCCCATGTGGGGGACAGTTTTGTCCGCATTGTCGAAGAGGTCGATTTTTGCTGGAATAAGTCCGAGTCCCTTAACGGATGGTGACTCTGTTGAGGACTCGAATAGAACTTGCATGCCAATGCATATTCCAAAGTACGGGCGACCTGAAGCAATGTATTTGTGCAGAGGCTCTAACAGGCCTTTGGATTCAAGTGCCGTGACTGCACTACCGAAAGAACCTACACCGGGGAAGATGAGACTCTGAAAAGAATAGCATGAATACCCCCGAAATCTGATTATTGTGCCATTGAAAGCCATACGGTCGCCTTGTCAAAGTCTTCTGCTGTTCTGATCCATTGGAATTCATAGCCCAGTTTCCTGAGAGAGTTTGCCAGACTTTGGACATTGCCTGCACCGTAATCGAGGAAAAACAGACCCATGGCGGTAGCAATTGAAGAAGTAATTGAATCGTGTTCAGCTAGCCAAGCCGATTCTTTTGGTGAATGTATTCATCCTCATGAAAATATTGTGTCCGAGTCATGTTTGCTCGCCAAAGTATACCGGTCCAGGTGGTTACTTGTTCTGTATTTGACTATTGATATGCCCATGATTCGCCATAAATTTTTACATCGCGTTTTCGCTTCCAGATGCAAGCGGTTAGCTATAATTCCGAATTCGATCCTGACATATAGGCTCGAGTGGACCATGGCTTGCTCTAGAAACACTGCTTTACGCGAAACCACCATCTACATTCCTTCCTCCTCATTTTTGCCATGTCCTCCGCCATCTCTATCCCTCTGTCGTCCTCACCTCACGTTGCTGTCTCACTTTCACCTACCACCGCCTTACTTCATGAACGTTTCCGCCAGAACATTGTTAGCGGTCATCCCTCCGTCCGTATCCCAAAAGTTCTACACCCCGTAGAAAATGAGGATTTGAAGCTTTTGCTCCTCGAAAACATCAGCCAGGAAGCCGTCAAGGCATTCCAGGCACATGGCTTCCATGTCGACCATTCAACAAAGGCCATGTCTGAGGATGAACTCGTTGCGAAGATTGGTTCTTACCATGCCATTGGCATTCGTAGCAAGACAAAAATCACTGAGAGGGTCATTAAGGCGGCTTCGAAGGTGCGCATATAATTTCTCCTATTTACTCGTCCAGACTTGACGCGGTTTTTTTCTCGTCCAGTTGCTTGTCATTGGTTGCTTCTGCATTGGCACAAACCAAGTCGACCTTCTTACCGCGGCCAAGGCAGGCATCCCTGTCTTCAACTCCCCATTCTCAAATTCACGTTCGGTCGCTGAACTCGTGCTGTCCGAGGTCATTGGCCTTTCCCGCCAGTATTTCGAACGTGCGTTCGAAATGCGACAAGGCATTTGGAACAAACAGTCAAAGGGCTGTTGGGAAATTCGTGGAAAGACTCTCGGAATCGTGGGCTATGGTCACATTGGCTCTCAACTTTCTGTCCTCGCAGAGGCGTTCGGCATGCGTGTGTTGTTTTACGATGTCATTAACATCATGCCGCTCGGTTCGGCGCGCCAGGTCGAGTCCCTGAACGTATTACTGGCCGAATCAGACTTCGTCACACTTCACGTTCCCGAGCTCCCGGAGACGATGAATATGATCTCAACCGAGCAGCTTGCTCAGATGAAGCAGGGGGCATACCTCATCAACAACGCCCGAGGCAAAGTCGTTGATATCCCCGCTCTCATTGATGCTTTGAAGTCAAAGCACCTTGCTGGCGCGGCAATTGACGTATATCCTGCAGAGCCGGGTTCCAATGGTGCGCCGTTCGATGATCAACTCAATTCCTGGGCTTCTACCCTTCGTTCCACGCCCAACGTTATCCTCACCCCTCACATCGGGGGGTCAACGGAGGAAGCGCAACGCATGATCGGAGAGGAGGTCTCTTCTGCCTTGACACGCTACCTTAACTACGGCTCCACCCTTGGCGCAGTCAACTTCCCGGAAGTCGACTTGCGTGCTATTACGGCGGAGCAGGGCGACCACGTTCGTATTTGCCATGTCCACAACAATATCCCTGGTGTCCTCAAGCAGGTCAACGAGGTTTTGTCACCATACAATGTGGAGAAGCAATATTCGGACTCCAAGGGCGATATCGCCTACCTCATGGCGGATATTGCAGATGTCAGTCCCTCAGACATTAACAGGCTGCGGGAACTCATCAGCAGAACGAATGCCAACATTCTTACCCGATTGTTGGCATAAACCCTCTCCTTGTTACAAAAAGCCTTTGCGGTTGCGCCGCATTCATGGACAATTTCATAGATGGACATAGAGCTGTCAGTTTGCTACTTCCACTCAACTGGAGATAGTTCTCGGCGTGTACATGTAGTTCAACACCAATTTGTACGCATTGTGCGTATGTAAGAGTAGTACATCCGGATCAGAGAGAATAAAGACACTAGGCATACATACATGGACTATTGATACGAGACTTCAACGAGAGCGACTGAGACATGCGACCAGAAGTGGATGACGAATGGGCAAGAAGCGAAAAATGAGAAGACAGTAATCATCAAGTTTCTTCCTCGGGATCGCCAATACCGCTTTGCAAGATGGCAAACATGGTTTCCGACTCCGGAAGACAAGGTGAATCATAGATCTTTGCTTGACGTGTATTACCACGTCCCTTCTTCAGTTGCAATCTAAGTGAGTTAAATGGGGTGAGGAAGCATATAAGAACAGTCTATGGTGTCTAGACCTACCGAGTGGTGGATGCGTGGGCAATAATGTTGCCTCCAATTGGTTTCTTCTCGTTGGCAACGTAGGGACCCGCAGATGCGTCCGGGTTCGACATCACTTGGTTTGTGATGACAACGGCAATACCAAACTGCAAAAATTACTCAGACAGCAGGCCTGTGAAATGGATACGCATACATACCTCGTCAGCGAGACGTTGAAGTGTACGTAGGAATTTGCCGAGATGTGCTTGGCGAGCGGACAGTTCACCTCGACCATTGAAATCCGTACGATAGAGATTCGTTGCAGAGTCAACTATGAGGAGACAAAATCTGAACGCATCTCGCCGCAATCAGCCACAAGATTTAATAGCATATAATCACACATACATACCGCGACTCAGACATCAACGCGCTAGCAGAAACCAAGAGTTGATTCTGATGGTCTGCATTGTACGCCCGCGCATAGGCAACATTGTCCAATACCTCCTCCCCGTTTAAACCTAACCGTTCTGCTACAGCGAGCAATCGCACAGGTCGGAAGGTTCCCTCAGTGTCAATATATAGACACTTGCCCTCTCCTCCACCCATATCGACAGGAAGCTGACATGTAACGGCGAGAGTATGACATATTTGTGACTTTCCGGTTCTGAACTCGCCGAATAGCTCTGTAATAGCACCAGTCTCAATACCACCTCCGAGGAGAGCATCCAAGTTCTTGGAGCCAGTCGTGATATGCACAAGCTCAGAACGTCTGGCATGTACATCTGTCGCGCTTTGAAAGCCAAGCGGGACGATCCTATGGGCTGGACAGGTGTAGCATGATAAAGTCACGACTTCGTCGCAAGGTCAAATTGACATACCTTCTGCCAGGATCTTTTCTGCCTTCTGCTCTGAGATACCCTTGATCTGCATCAACGCCTTCTTGGGCGTGTATGCCACCGCCTCAACCGTGTTGAGACCGCTATCTGAGAGCTTCTTGATGTCTTGAGCATTGATACCAGCTTCTTGCAGTTTGTTGACCAGCAGAGGTCCAGAGACTTGCACTTCTTCCTCTTCCTGGTTCTGAGATTGCTGAGACATGGCGTCGTTGTCTAGTATACCAGGTGAGAGTAGACGAGGAAGAGGGCGAAGATACAGCAGCCAAAGGAGTCAAGAGCAGAGGGCAGAGGAGAGATAGAAACTCGTAATCGGCACCGCACGACTCAAGGGAGGCGTTCCACGCGTAAAGTCATGTGATCGCGACGCGGCAAGCGGACCGAGCTACCCACCCACAGACGTCGACATGCTCAGCATTTAATATTTAATAGCAGTGGTGAACAACGAAACTTGCTAAAGCATACAACAGCCTCCATAGACCGAGTATTATTCAAGCCGATAATCTACGAAAGACAGGTAAGAACCCTTAACTAGCCTTAACTAGTTGGCAGACGACGCCGACTTGGCGAGTGTCCGTTCAAACCATTCCACCGCTGGAAGATCCAATATAAGTCGTGGCCATTTGACGGCGTCGTATACTGACAAGTCTTGTGCCGACTTTGACTCAACCTTGTAGAGGTTGCTGGTGACTCTTCGGAGACCATCTGGCACCTGGTCATGCCCCGTCACAAAGAGAGTCCTTTTCCATCCCAACTCCTCCAGCCTCTCTGCAAAGTCCTTCGTTTTGAACCCGGGCCATTCTAAGCTACGCACAACCCCGAGGCCATGCTCCTGCAGCCTGGCACTCAGAGCCACGCGCATACCCATTTGAATGACTTTTCGTGGCAACTTGGTGCTGAAGTCTCTTGGTTTGGGACCAAAAGCACGACCTCCCCCTCGAAGCATAGGACTTTGCCCATCTCCAAGACGTGCCTTACCAGTACCCTTCTGGGGTCTGATTTTCCTGCCGGAGCCGCGCACTTGTCCACGAGTTTTGGTGTTGGCTGACCCTTGTCGCAGTGAATCAAGATATTGTACGACACAGAGATGGAGAACATCTCGGCGGATAGGATGGTCGAAAACGAATGGATCTAGCTCAACAACTTCGTCAAGCTCGGTAGCATCCTCTTCAGCCGGAATGAGACTCGACATGCTCAAGTAAACTGGCTGGATGATAGGAGAGGCTGCAAAGCTTGTGAAGCAATCAATATGAGTGTAATACAGGACGTTGCTCACCAACAACACTGGATGATGATGATGTGCCCTTGAGATCATGGATGGGCGTTGTCGCGGAGGGTCTTGAGACAGCTGTGGGGGGCACACTTGCCGCTGCAGGTGCTAGTGAATCGGTAAGTGCAGTTGACAGTGAACGAGTGGCAGTTGGCGGCTAGGAAGCAAAATCAGAATATTGTTTTCAACCATTATAACACATATCCCCACCCGACGTAAAGCCAACCTGAAGCACGAGAACATTTCGGTCAGCGTCCAGTGCTCAACGATGTGAAAGAGAGAAAGACCATACCCCGCCGTCCGGATTTGGAAGTCAAATCCACGTGGATAATTTGGCGCCCATCTGCATCCAACTGCCCTTGGTATCGAGCCCAAAGACCGTTCGCTCAAATCCCAGAAGACCTCGAGAGGGGTGAGTTTATGATTCTATGCTGCCCGAATGCTCCCAGAGACTGTTCCCAAGTGTTCTGTCTGGCCAAGATGTCGAGATTCCGATTGTACAGGATGGATGGACGACTCCGCCAACGGATGACACTGGAGCTCCTGCAGCTGGCTTTGCTTGTGACCTCCTTCAAACTATAACTGATTACGAGTTGTCTTAGCTCAAGAAACCGCCGACTCAAACCGGCACCTTCCCCTCACGAACACCATGGCATCGTCAGTAAAGGCCGTTCAGACTTTCGGCAAAAAGAAGGTACGTCAAATCCTTTCGCGTTCACTTAATAGATTCACCGATGGCCAACTCGCAATACATTCGTAGACCGCGACTGCGGTTGCCCACGCAAAGGAGGGTCGTGGCCTCATTCACATCAACGGCTCCCCCATTACTCTCCTCCAGCCCGAGATCCTCCGCTTCAAGGTCTACGAGCCTATCCTCACAGCTGGTGAGGATGCCTTCAGCATTGTTGACATCCGCGTCCGTGTGAAGGGTGGTGGACACACTTCGCAAGTCTACGCTATCCGTCAGGCCATCGCCAAGGCTCTCGTTGCATACTATGCCAAGTACCAGGATGCCTACAGCGCTATGGAGTTGAAGAAGAAGCTCGTTGCCTATGACAGAACATTGCTCATCGCTGACCCCAGACGGATGGAGCCGAAGAAGTTCGGTGGTCATGGTGCTCGTGCTCGCAGGCAGAAATCGTATGTAGTTATCAGACTTTTCTTCCTGTCTATAGCTGACGGCGGTTTTCTCCAGTTACCGATAAACGATGGGTTGCGGGTTTGCGGCGGTCGTTTTTGCTTTGCAGTATCATGTTCTACTATTTTCTTCATGCTCTATGCGATGTTAACATGCAACATTCGTATGAATCGTCTGTATGCCTCCGTCTGAAAATTTGAGCAAATTGCAACCGTCTGAGCCTAGAAGACAGATGCTATCTCTAATTATATTTGGAAATCTTCCTACTTCTCGTAATATTAAGTACTCTAACCTTGATAGTCTCAGCTTCTGAAACTCAAGCTGCTGCTTGTGCTAATGAACGCCAACACTTGTTTGACAGAATATATCTCGGTTACGAGTGAGCGCCTAACCGTGTGAGGCTGGCCGATCAGCGAACGCGTTGCAGAGGCACTCTGCTTAAGCCTTGCGACGTGTTGTACCATAGTCTCATCCTCAATATCGCACATGTTTTCTTGCTCTATATCTCCCTACAACAATAGGTATGAATCCACCGTGGAGCGCGGGTCCCTCAACTTCTCAATTGTCACAAGATACCCCTCAGCGCATCTTCGTCGATGAAGTGGGAAACGCACTTAGTATCTTCGTGCAGGCCTCTATCGAAGGTCGACCTAAGTTGATACGCAACATACGTGTGAGTTGAGTTGGACATGTTTTTCGGGCAATTACATCTGACTATTCTTCCCACAGAACGCAGGTGCTGTCATCAGCCATAACCCAAATGAAGCACATGTCATTCTGGTCGATCTGGAAGATGAGGATGGTCGAGCAATGGCCAACGATTGGAGTTCTAGTGGTGGCCATGTCGTCCTGGATCTGCCTTGGGTGAAGAAATCTCTTGAGAAGGGCTTTGCTTTGCTCTCACGGGATGATTGGGGAGGCTACCGCGTTCTTGTCGACGGAGGGCACGAAGGCGATGAACATATGAACGACGGCGATGGAACCCAGCATGAGTGAGTCATTCTTCTATTCAGGATGAAATCTCTTGCTTGAACTAGCATTTCAAGAAGTCCCCTACCAACTCCTCGCCGGACACCTGTTGAAACCTGCGATGCTCTACCGAATAACCAGGCACAATCGCAACCTATACAAGGTGTACCAATACCTCAGCCAACATCGTTCCAGATCCCGAACAGTTTTTCGAATAACGGCCTGTTTCCATTCCCTCTGTCACAACCTACAACTCCGAGTAGTTCCCAGCAGCCTCCACCTTATTCGTCCCAGGCTCTACCTAGTGGCACTGTAATCCAACCGCACAACATTATGGTGCAACCGCAGACCCCTCAAGTGAACGTGAACGTCCCAGTCAATCTTCTTGCTACTGTTCTTGATATTCTTCAGCACACCAATACACAAATGCAGCCTGGCCAGAATCAGATCCCAATGGGTGTATTCCCTAATCAATTCATACCCAACCAATTGTCTCAGCAATCTCCAGAATTGATGCACTCGCAAAGTGGGTCGAGTGCAGATCCTCGCTCCTCAACCACACCCGACAGTCATGTACCGTCGCCTTCTCTCAGACGGGGATCACCGATATTGATGAACTCATCGCAACGTCGTGTATCTTATGTACATATCGATCACTCACAAGGTTCAGAACGTGCACGAAAGAGGCCCCGATACAGTGACCCGTCTGAAGTATCCAGATCGCCCTCCGTCTTTTCGAATGCTGCAGAAGGCCCCACAAAGTCCAAAAAGTCGAAGAGGTCCCGTTTGTTTACCACAGACGACGGACAACCGTTGAACTTTGTGGTTCAGGTAGATCTGCGGAATCGGAAAGATGTTGTGCAATGTATAAAGGTAAGTCATGCATGCTTTACGTCTGATGCATTCACTGACGAATGCTGCCTATTTATTCAGAGCCATGGAGGCGTCATCAAAGCAGATATCGTTGATGCCGACTACGTTATCTTGTCTTCTCAATCGACGTCTTTCGCAGATATGTTATTGAACACCGAAGCTCACCAAAAGCCAGCCGTGCAAGCTTCTTTTGTACATGACTGCGTCGATGAGGGTCGTATCCTCGACCCAACGAACTACTCCTTCGAGGGTTTGAGAGGGAAAACCAAGCGAGGACGTCCAGCGGGATCGTCCTCACAGAAGTCACCTTCCAAAGATACCAAAGGAACTACTTCTCCATCTAAAAGCGCAGGCTCTTCATCCAAACCGAAGAAGCCTGTCTCAGAGGTCGCTTCACCGAAAGCGAAAAAGGAGAAGACTATAGTTGAGAAACCCTCTTCCACCGTCCAGAAAACCAATGGCAATTCTCGTCGCACTCCTTCTCCGCCCCCTCCAACTACTACCGTACATTGGACCGAGGGGAAACACCGATACACCGAAGAGGAGTTGAATTACGCTCTGACCTACGCTGGTATACTGTATTCACGGGATCCAGATATATCCATGACCTCGCTAGTATCGTGTATTCATTCAAAGGTTAGCGTATCCATACATAATTGCTATCGTTGGCTTACATTTATTGCCAGATGCCCCACCATCCCAAGACATCCTGGCAAAATACAATTTACAAGAACCGAGCCCCCTACAACGAGCTGCAGAAGAGGGCTGCGATAGCACGTCGGAAGTTGGAGGCGCAGGCGCAGGCAGCCGTTAGCAATTTATATCATGAACGGGACCCTCATCTTGCTCCTATGGAGCCTGCAGAACCGGCACCTGCAACTCACCAGCCTTCTCCACCTCCACCCGCTCAATCCACCGTTCCCCCAGACTTCTCTTCTCGGGAATTTCAGATCATAACCCAGGCTCTCGCTACAGGCGTCGCTGAAGGTCGCACGGACGAGCAAGTTTGGATTGTTCTGGCAGAACAGGTGAGCTGATTGTCATATCGTCTTTCTTAATATTCAGTTCACACCTATGCACGTGTGTTAGCATCCATACATGTCCGCAAGAGGTTGGCGGGACTACTGGGACCAATATGCAGAATGGATCCAAGTCGAGGTCAGGAGGCTTATGGATTTACAAGTAGACTCGGAGGCACCGCCAAATACAGTTACGGGTATGGGGTAATTAATGGCATATGAAGCAGTCAACATGACTGAATGCGTGCACTATATTATATTGAGAATCTTCTTACGCGTCACCTCTACTCACTTTCTCGATCTTGTTCACTTAATATTGCGCTACATTTCTTTCCAGTACGTTGTGCATTCCACTATCACTTGTAACATTGTAGCACGCGTCGGGCGGAAGAATATGATGAGTATGTTCAGATGATCAGAAAGCCACATCTATTGGAGAATTAATCTGAAGGGTCCGAAGGTGGTGGTGGCACCAGCGACGGGGGTGGATGCTTGAAGAACCTTCTCCTCCTCTCCTCAAGGGTCTCTTTACTGCTGATACCTGTAATATCCTTGCCACCGTAGTCAAAGATGCCAACTGCTGTGCCGAGTACAGCACAAGAGGCTACAGCCATGGGTAACGATCGGGCTACGAAAAGCAAACATTCATAATCAATCGAAGAGACGCGAAGGTTGGTGTACTTGCCTCGGATGCCTGCCAAGAAACCAGCTGCACATCCACCAGCGACACCGTTCAGAGCGTCGTCCTTTTCCCGCGTATTCGCGACCACTGACTCTGTCAGGGCGAACGTCGCACCCATGGCCGCTATACCATATCACATAATTCAGTACCCGATCAGCACTTAACGGCTAGCAACGCACCGAAGATACCAATGGTTCCTCCATACCGCGTCAGGAAACCTGATGCACCGCTGGTATGTGTACCAAGTGCATTTTGAACGGCACTGACGAGAGCACCGACGCCAGCGGCTTGTAAGCCAACAGCAGAGGCGTAGCGCAGGGAAGGTTTGGGGTCATATAGAGTGTCCTTGACTGTTGTTGGGTTGGGATGTCCCTCGGCCATTTGTGAGAGACACCGCTAGGCGGAGAGAACAGATATGTTCTGAACTTAAGCAATGTTGTGCGTTGAGGGCGAGTTCGGTGAAGCGCCTCGTCACGTCCGTAAGTTTGTGGGAGTTCTCCTCCGGTCCAATCAAGATCGCTCTTTCACCGACAACTTCATCCTGACTTCATTCTTTGTTTTCGCGTCCTTTCGTTGTATGATACCCACCAAAGTTCCAGATATTGCACTCTCATGACCAGAGTTCCATGAGACATTATGTCTGCTAATGAAGACGTGCCTTGGTACAGCGGACCCACAGATACCCAACCTTTCATCCTCGCGAAACTAATTACTGTCAGTGTCAAAATCATTACTCCAGTCTGTTCCTCACTGAATAATACTTCGACAGTCTAATGATAAGCAAGCACCTCCTCTGTACACTACGTCGACATTTCCTTGGACCACTAAGTCTCTTGAGACCTTGTGGGACCGAGGCCTCTTTGACAATCCCGAATGGGTAGAGAAATGGAAATCTACTGTTCGCCAATGGAGCGCAACTATTGCTGCTGGGAGTGATGGTCGACTGTATATTTTTCCCAAGCTAGCATCTTCGAAACCAGCCATTGTGATGATTATGGACGTATGTCTATGCACCATGTATGTCGAGTGGCATATTAAAAACGCTCTGCAGGCCGAGAGGAAAGTTAATGTAGACCGCAAAGTACACTGTTGTGCATGGGCTTTGAACAAGGATGCTCCAACAGATCCTCTGTTAATCGTCGCCGCATCCAGCTTAATCTTCATCCTGGATGCAAGGACAAAAAAGCTCATAGGCCGAATTCGTGGACATGGAAGTGTAGGTGTGGAGACAACTCTTCAGACTCATGTGAAGACCAATTTTTTGCCCGAGTAGGACATCACCTCCATTGCCGTTCATCCATATCATCCATATATATTCTGCACGACCTCAAAGGACCAAACCACCCGCATATACGACCTATCCTTACCCGCGAGACAAAAGCCTAATAATATACACTGGCCCCCAAGTGAGGCCCCTAGCCTTGCGGGTCCTGCCTTCGGTCTTCAGTTGTCTGAGCGTGAAGGTGACGGATGTGGTTGCTGTGTCGGCGTCCTAGTCGGCGGACGTTCAGGAGGACATGAAGCCGCTGTTTTAGGCGCAGTGAGTTACCTTCGGAACGTAGTTTGCGGTTTTGAGATGCAGTTTGAAACATGAGTATTTCACAGGCGTTCCATCCCACATATCCTCTCGTAGCAACATGTGGTGCAAGTCTCAGCTTCTCTCTCTCCGGATAATGCACGCTAACTGTGTGTATCATGATAGATGGACCGTGCCGTGAAGATCTGGCGTATACCCCCATTAGAGGCCGATTCATTTGCCAGAGAAGACAAACCAATATTCTCCTCCGAACTAATACATAGGGCGCGGGCACTGTCTATCGCTTGGTAAGAACTTTGGACATATTCATGTGATTGGTGTGTATCTAATGCTTCGACAAAGGTTGAGTCAAGATGTTTTAATGTCGCACTCCGCGCCGGCTTGGATGAGGAAGGTCGGAGATGGAGAGGAGCCGTATGAATACTTTCAGGAACATGGAACTAGTGAGCAATCACTACTGTCTGATGTGCCAAAGACCCAGTTTAACACCGCCCCTCGTCCAGTTGTCGTCTGGCGATGGCTTGGATTCGATCGTTTCTTTCCCCCAGACAAGCCATTTCAAAAAGTCGTCAGAGGCGTAGCAAGCGTACGTCCTCCCTCCCAATCGCACATATGCCTCCACAATGTAGCTAACCATTATTGTTCCCAGGACTACCGAGGCAGCGGTGAGTATACTTGACTACATTGATGATGGTCGAGCAAGCTAAACAGATATCTGTTCGTTCGTAGACAGCTTCAAGATTATCTCATGTTATTCCCTTCCAATGAACGTGCTCAAACTGCGTGTCTACCGTTCTTTAGCTCATGATCCCATCATCGTCATACCTATGGGCAACACTGTTCGTATCCTTAACGTGATGCATTTCAAAGGCAGGGAGCCACCTGCGTTTCCTACAAACGACGAAATGGTGGAACTCACTAAGCGGATGAGGCTTTCTGTCCCCGAAGGCGATGGTGACAACGAGAACGGAAACCGCATTCCTCAACCGGATGCCAGACCGCCGAGGCCGCTATTGGAAACTGTGAAAGGTTGGGAACTGCCTTTGAGCCAGACTGACGGACCGATTGATATACAAAACTGCGAAGTCGCGTGTCAGGGTAGAGTGATTGTTGGCGTAGGTATCAAGGGAACAATGGTAGTTTGGAAATTGCGGCCAAGTCAAGGTGAATAGCCAGATGTATAATTAGAAGTACCTGTAAGCTGTTGTCCTTTCTTTTTGTGATAGATGGTCAAGCGCCATCGTCGTTCACACCGGAGATGAATTCCCTGTCTCGAACCCAGGTTTATTATGAGATTTTGCCCAGCAAAGAATGACAGTACAGTTGCTACCCGAGAGCAAAAGCAGTGGAGAGTGGTGCAAAGAGGAGAAGGAAAGAAGGAAGTCCGCGGTCAAGCTACTGATGATGACCTTTCGGCGCATCAAGCACTTCTAAGGATACAGATCGGAAGGGGAGACGATAAAGAGCAGAAACGCAAACGATCATGAGCACGCCATCTCTCCATCAAACTGGTCGGAACATGCTGAACAGCATGCCAATAATCAGCATCATGTCTGCACGGAATATGAAACACAAGTGCTCACCACTGCCATAAGCTGAAGAGACTCAGATCAGCTCAATGACGCCGTCAATCGACCTGGTTGGGAGCTCAGAGGGGATGATATCCCCGCGCTTGTACTCGCGCTTGTTGTAGGGCTCGATCTGACCGGTCGGTGCCTTGGTAGCGATTTCAGCGGGCAATTTGTTCACGTCCTGACGCTTAACCTCCGAACGCTTGTAAGGCTCAATTTGACCGGCGGGAGCTTTAGTGGGGATTTCGGCAGGTGTGGTGTTAAGGTCTGCGCGCTTGGCGTTAAGCTTGCGCTTCTCAAACTCCTCGAGCTCCCTACGATTGTAGGGCTCAATCTGACCGGTCGGAGCTTTGGTAGCGATCTCAGCAGGCAAGTTGTTCACATCCTGACGCTTGACCTCGTCACGCTTGTAAGGTTCAATTTGGCCAGCGGGGGCCTTGGTGGGGATTTCAGCGGGTGTGGTGTTGACATCGGCACGCTTGAGGTAGGCTGGAATTACTTCCAGAGGAGCGGGTTCGCGGCGTTCCATGGAACGCTAGAGGTGGAGGATCCAATGTCAGTCTCTGAAAACTGAGATGGGTGTTCACTACTCACGCGAAGGGGCATGGGCATGGGCACGGCGGCGACCGAGCCAACGAAAATAAATGCCAAAACGGAGAAGACGAAGTTGCGAGTGAAGAGCATGGCTGATCGAATGGTTTGCAAAGTATCGGAATGTATACGAAGAGTGTATGATTTATCGGGTCAACCGAACGAAAGTGGTCGCACAGCGGCCTGGCGCGGATAAAAAGATAATCTACAGAACGTTGTCAGTATGAAGGAGACAGGTAAGAGAAAGCGAGGATACTTGCGGGTAGGAACGAGAGAGGGAAGGTTGGAAGAGGTGAGAAAGAATGAGAGGAGGCTATAAAAGAGGACTGGTTGCCGTATCAAAATGATTGCGGCGCTCCATCTGCCGGAGCGTTGTTTCCAAGGTGATTTACCACTGACCCTCGACGTCTCTCTGTCGCAACAACACAGGCCTTGCGTTCTCGGGCAGATGTCTTGTTTATTGCACTACCACATGTTGCTATTTCATTCTCCTGTATCACCCTGCATAACACATGAGGATGCAATGGTAGTCCACCCGCTAAGAAATCGGGAGACGCTCTATGTATAGCAATCGGACTTGCCGGATTATAATAATGAGTAATTTCCACAAATAGACCGTGCAGGCCTTTCCCACGCAAAAGTTGCCATCGAGTGCAGTGATTGGCTGGTTCCTGAACGAGCTGAACATCTCTGCAAAGCACTTCAACTTGTACATCAGTCTATCGAATTCCTGCAGTCATGTCAGATCCACGCTTTGCCAGACTCAAGACAGATCCCCGCTTCAGGCGCATTCGTAAAAAGGATTCCAAAGTCGTCGTCGACGAACGTTTCAAAGGCATCTTTGACGGTGGCAAGAAAAAGAAGGGTAACAAGGGTATGTCTATTTCAATGTATACAGCGTCTTACATTATTCACTTCCTCAATGCACAGGGCGTGTGGACAAATATGGTCGTCAGTTAACGGATACCCACGAACAGGATAATCTCCGCCGTTTCTACCGCTTGGAGGGCGAGGATGAGCAAGAACCCGAAGTCAAGATACCCGACTATGCTCGAGGCGCGGTTTTGCTTGAATCATCAGACTCGGAGGACGAGGAGGATGTCGCAAAGGATGATGATAGCGACAATGGAGGTATCATCTCTCTGGGCCGAGATATTTCCAAGCCCATTCCCATCCCGGAAGATGAAGTGGAAATTGACCTGGACGAAGACAACTTTGCCGACCTTGATGCTCAGGCTGCTGCACTCGCCGAGTCTCAAGCTGAAGAGGAGGCTCTCGAGATTGAGCCTACCCGTCGCTTAGCAGTCGTGAACTTGGACTGGGATCATGTCCGTGCTATCCATCTTCACAAAATTTTCTCCTCTATGGTGTCTCCTACTGCTCCTGTCTTGCCTTCCTCCTCAAAGGCTTCGAACTTCAAAGATAGGGCTGGTACTATTTCTGTCATAGCTCGCGGAAGGGTTCTTAGTGTGCGAGTTTACGCAAGTCAGTTTGGCAAAGAACGTATGGCTCGAGAGGAGACGGAGGGTCCACCACCTGAGGTCTTCAAGAAGAAAGTAGACGAGGACGAGGAGGTCAATGAACGGAACATTTACGAGACTGGGGAGGGTGAAGATTACGACGAAGATGCTCTTAGGCAATATCAACTGGAACGCCTAAGGTACGCAGCAATAAATGCAATCCAGAACACTGTTGACTTTGCGCTCAGATATTATTATGCTGTTGTGGAATGTGACACAGTTGAGGCCGCATCGCATTTATTCTCAGAACTCGAGGGTACGGAACTCGAACGCTCTGCCAATGTCTTTGACTTGAGCTTCGTTCCTGACGATATGACATTTGATGACGACCCTCGGTCAGTCCTTTTTTATTTTAAAGGCTTCCTTGTATCTGACCGATTTGCAAAGTGACGAAGCAACGGACGATCTGAACGTCCCTTACAGAGGACTTGAATTTGTCACGGATGTACGTTCTAATACTCTGCACACGCTCACAATTCTCCATTGATTGGTATTGGCGGTCTTCCTTCAGGCTTTGCGACACTCGAAAGTAAAACTAACATGGGACGAAGACGACCCAGAACGTATCCAAATCACTCGTCGTGTGCTATCCCGCAAGGAGCTCGAAGAGAATGACTTTAAAGCATACATCGCTTCGTCAGAATCGGAATCAGAAGATGAAGGTCGCAAGAAAGACAGGGCTGACCGCGAAAAGCTACGTGCCTTGCTCCTCAGCGGCGGTGATGACACTCTTCCCGAGGGTTGGGGTGATAGTAAAGGTGACAAGGGGGACGTCGACATGGAAATCACATTTAACCCTGGTTTAAGTGGTGCCATAGACGACAAGGACGAGACGACGCTGGAAAAGTACCAGAGGAAGATGAGGGAGAAGAAGAAGAAACGGAAGGAGGAGAGGAAGGGAAAAGTGGATGAGGATGAGAAACCAAAGAAATCCGATGGACTGGACGATGACTTCTTTGGTGGCAGTAGCGATGATGAAGCAGAGGACGAAGACAAGGAAGAATCTGCTCCTGGCCCAAGTGCAAAACGGGGGAAGGACGCGAAGTCTAAAGGGAAGAAGAAACAGCCATCTGCAGAACCTGAGGCTCGCACCATTTCTACTGCGGAAGAACTTGCCCTCATTGCTGCTTCTGACAATCCTGCGGGTGAGGTCGAGCATTTCGACATGAAAGCTGTCATCAAATCGGAGAAGCTGAAGGGCAGGAAGATGAAGGGCAAGAAGAAGAAGAGGCTTGAACAGGAGAATGAGCTTCAAGAAGACTTCTCTGTCGATGTCCAAGATGATCGGTTCAAGGCACTTCACGAGGATCATGCGTTCGCCATTGATCCCAGTAATCCTCAGTGCGTTTCAATTCGATTTCTGTTTTTCTGCATTTGCTGACTCTGTGATCTTTAGTTTCAAGAAGACAAAGGGTATGGCAGCTCTTCTGGGCGAACGTTCGAAACGGCAGAAGCAACAGACATCCGAAGGGGTCGAACGCACCGCGTCGAAACGAAGTGCGGAAGATGAACCTAAAAATAGTCTTAAGAGTCTTGTCGAGAGTGTCAAGCGGAAAAGTGCTGCTGCTGATCAGCCAGGAATGGGCAAACGGAGAAAACTATGATCATGATGTCATTCTCGAATTGTTAAAAGGATCCGATACCGTGTGCTACATCAGCGAACTATGAGTACATTATCGATACAGTATTTCAGAACTTCTTCATAACGGCTTGGTTCGGTTTATGAGATTTTGGCTTGAGAGAAGTCAAGTTCGGGGTGTGCAGCTTGGAATTTCTTTATAGCCTGTGCAGATGGGCATTGAATATATACCGCAAGCTTCGTCTCAAATGACGTCACGTACCTCCATCTTCTTGAGTTCATCAGACGTTGGCTTGCCCATTTGCTGGCGGAAACGTCAGTAAGAAACTAACTAAAGTGAAGTGAGATGATTTGTTTTTACCTTCTGCTGATTGTCGAACTATTGAACAAATCGCAAGTTCAGCGAATCATTCACAAAGCATGTGTGGCGTCAGCTTACCATCATCTTCTCAACCATTCCTCTGAATACCATATGAGTGTGATACCAAATTTAACAAAAGGATAAACATACCTTGTCTCACCATCGAGGTCACTGAGCTTGCTATTTTCCGGCTCGATCTTGGTTGTATCAATTTTGGGATGATGGGTCAAAACGTTCGCCCACCACTGCTGCTTGTTAATCTTCTCAAGATGGATATGGACTTCCTTCCGATCCTCTGCCAGCGTGTAAATTATGGATAGTCAGCCGAGGACTGATGGCGTATATGCTTACCCAGCGTCCAAGTGCTCTCCTCGACCTTGATCTCCTGACAAAGTTCACCACTCATGATAGGCTCTTTGCCCTTGAGCCCAACGCTCAATTTCTTCCTTCCAAGTACCACATTGAGATCTTTGCCTCGTGTACCTGCTGGTACAGGAACAACGATGTCTACTTCCTCCAATTGCTGTTTCCATCTGTAGGGCAAAGCTACGGTGATCGATGTGCAAAAGCTCGGTAAGACTAAGTCCCGAAGACATACCAGCCTGTTCCTGCGCTTCCCGCTCCCTGTCAGCCTTGTCGCGGGCCACTCTCTCCTCCTTTGTAAGCTTGTCGTAGTCGTCTGCGCTCGTCGACATCTTCGTGGATCGAGTATAAGAAAGCTACACGTGATCTTGCTCGATCTTAACAGCGCGTTTTTCACACGCCCATTCTCAGCCTGAGACGTCCAGCCTCCTTGAGCCTCCAAGGCCACAATCGGGCTCAGTACTTATTCCCTACATCCTAGAGGAGCTTGCTTGTTTCGTGCTACTATCTGTTTGGACATCTCAACGCTGCACGCTCGTCAACGAGCTAGACTATGGCCAGTAATGACGTTTGGGCGGACTTTGAGGTGTGTCGGCTACCATCATACTCGCTTGCTCAATCGTCTGACTCTCTTAATTACTAACCAGACTCTACGACATAACGTAAAACAGAACACGGTAGACAAGTTGAAACACATCGTGGTGAACTTGAACGAGGAATGTCGCGCCAACCTCACGAAATCGGGCAAGAAACAAGAGCTTATTGACAAGATTATCAACAAATTAGACATTTGGAAGCGGACAAACGACATCGATACCTGGGTCAAGGCGAAAACTATCTTGAACTCAGCTCGACAGGATTCGTATGTTTCTTTACCTCCTTAATTACTTTCGCATCTTGAATGCTTTCCCAATTAGCTATCCCGCACGCCGTACACCTTCATATCCGGCTACTGCTACGTTCAATACCTACCAAGCCCCCAATCCTGCAGGTTCTAACATTGTATTCCAACCGCCCACCGTGGCTAGCACGAGCTCCCTGCCTCGTTATGATCCATATGCTCCGCCTCGTCGTCCTCCTGTACCCGCTACTCCAGCCGCTGCAGCTGGATCTCCTAGTGAGCTAAGTGTACCCACATGCCCTGCAACTCTCATCATGGTTATAGGTATCCGCTTCAAAACCTCCCCTTTCTTCCGAGTGGAACGGGCCATATCAAATGTTGTAGAATGTCCAGGTAGGCATCTCTATATTCCAGAGCATCTCACTTGTATGCTAAATTGTAGCAGAATCCTCGAGCCAGATGGACAGGAAGTCACAGACATTGACATTTATCATGAACAATGACCTGTTACAGAAACTGCAGTCACCAAGGTGCGAAACTTTTCCACCGGTGCGATTTGTACTAGGATTTACCGGATGCATAGTCCAAAGTATCAGCTTAGGCTTTACTGCACTTCGTCCACTTATTACACTCCAACACCGGCTTTCCGCCCAAATCTCGCGTGCCCCATCGAATTTCCACCCACTTGTGAAGTTCGCGTCAACGGCGTGCAACTTCAAGCGAACCTGAAAGGCATGAAGAAGAAACCCGGCACAGCGCCTCCCCCTGATGTGGGCAAATCGGTGCGAACATCGCTCGGCGCTCAGAATCGGGTCGAAATGGTTTATGTCAATAGTAGCCAGCAACCTGTTCAGACCAAGGCGAGCGACATGCCTCTTTTTCCTTCTCATCTAATCTTCATGTTATTCTGCTAGCAGAAGTATTATATGGTCGCCATGCTCGTTGAGGTGACTACTGTGGATCAACTCATCGATCGTCTTCGCAAGGGCAAATATAAGAGTAACACGGAGATCCTGGCAAAGAGTAAGTTGAATCAGCTACTTATATCAGTGACTGTCAATTCAGGTTCGCTCGTCAGTGCGGCGGCAGGTGGATGAAGAAGATGAAATTGTAGCTGGGCACCAGAAGATGTCACTAAAGTGTCCCGTAAGTTGTTTGTTAGCTACGTGTATTATTGTCTAGCTCACTCACTAATATCGCGTAGTTGAGCTACATGCGTATAACGACACCATGTCGTTCTTGGCAGTGTGTACATCCACAGTGTTTCGATGCGTACTCATGGTTTTCCGTGATGGAACAAACCACCACATGGATGTGCCCTGTTTGCGAGAAGGTCCTCAATGTGGAAGATCTTATCATTGACGGGTAAGTGATATCGCTTGATCACCGCTAGTCAATGCTAAGATTTTACAGGTACTTCGATGAAATTCTCAAAGCAACACCAGAGGAGGTAGAAGACGTCATCGTGGAACCAGATGGCGAGTGGCATACTTCCGACGGTGTTTATGGCTCTTCAGCGTGGAAGGCGGCTCATGCGAAAGCGAAGGCTTCCTCGACAGTGGGTACTGTCAAGAAGCGTTCACCATCACCCACGAAACCTTCTATCAAGCAAGAGGATGGCGGGAAACCTTCGGGCCCATTGAATGCAGAAATTGTTATCCTCGATTCTGATGATGAAGATGAAGGTCGAGTGAAAAGGGAGCTATCACCATCCTACGATAGCACTCAGAAGAGTGGTCGGACCACTGCCCAATCATCGCTAGCGAGCCTACCAGCGCCGTCACAGGCGTCCGATGTCATTGATCTAACTCTCGATTCAGATGATGAGGAGCCACCTCCTCGGGCGCCTGCACCGTCGAAGAAGAGATGTTCAGACGAGCGAGACATTCAGTCTCCAACGGAACCGATCTGGAAGAAATCTCGGACAGACAATGTGCCATCTTCCTCGGGCGTGGGTCTTCACCTTCCCCAAGGGTACACCCCACCCTCTTCCGCAAGGCCGCTTCCATCTTCACCAACATCTTTATCATCGAGTGGTCGGTACCATGCTTCGTACCCAATCCCATCATATCCTTACTCTCCGCCGTATGAATCTCCCACAGCTCCCGTAGGACCTGCCCATCTACCGCCACGTCCTGTCACGAATGGGCTGAACGGGCGGTTCCCTGACGCTGGAAATCAGTATTTATCGAGACCGAATGGATCAAGTGCTTCGTCGTCGTCGAGTGCATGGCGATGAGATATTTTTGGCTTGGAGTCAGTAGTTTACTACGATATATGGATGTAGTTTAATGGTGCTAATGATACATTGTTATCGTCTTGTCTTGACAAATGCTCGTGCAATGAGAGGATTGGCTGCTCGTCCGACGTCCGAGTCTGCCTTCTACCACGTTCCACACAACTCTGGCGCGATACGCGATTGGCGTGCAGACGCTGACCCGGTTTGCAGAAGTGATCTCCGGGCCGAATCGGCAGGGGTCGGAGTTAGGAACATTCCGGACAGCATAAGTTAGCGCGAAAACTTCAGACGATGATTCTCCAGCTTGTCCTCTTCCACCACTCAATCCCTTTTCTTTCTCTCTGGTTTATCCTCCGTCAAAATGGCCGACGTAAAGAAGGTCAAGACTCCCAAGGAGTTCGCAAGTTCGTAGTCCTCCTGCTGGCGACTCCCGCTCTTTTTTGCGTCGGTCTTGTGCGTTATGAGGTATGCTGACCTGGCATTTATTAACAGTCGACTTCTTGATGGGTGGTGTTTCTGCCGTGAGTATCATACTCTCTAATGCATTCTGGATAGTGTGCTGAACATTTTTGAAACTACAGGCGGTCGCAAAAACCTCTGCTGCCCCCATTGAGCGTATTAAGCTTTTGGTTCAGAACCAAGATGAGATGGTACGTCATATAGTACTTCATTTACTAGCACTTCCTGACACGATAGCACCTCTAGATTAAGCAAGGTCGTCTGTCTCACCCTTACAAGGGTGTCGCCGACTGCTTTGGCCGCACCTACCGTGAGGAAGGTCTCCTCTCGTTGTGGCGAGGAAACACTGCGAACGTCATCCGGTACTTCCCCACCCAGGCGTTGAACTTTGCCTTCAGTCAGTCCTATTTTCATTTACTTGCCAAGTCGCTTGGTTTGCTGACGTGTCACAACAGAGGACTACTTCAAGTCGCTTTTCGGTTTCAAGAAGCAGGAGGGCTACTGGAAGTGGTTTGCTGGCAATGTCGCTTCTGGTGGTGCTGCTGGTGCTTCGTCTTTGCTCTTCGTCTACTCCCTTGATTACGCTCGTACCCGTCTCGCCAACGATGCCAAGTCGGCCAAGACTGGAGGTGCCCGCCAGTTCAACGGTCTCGTTGACGTCTACAGGAAGACTCTTGCTTCCGATGGTATCAGTGGTCTCTACCGTGGTTTCGTCCCCTCTGTCGTTGGTATCATCGTTTACCGTGGTCTCTACTTCGGTGTCTACGATTCCCTCAGTAAGTCTTATGGTCTGATTATGCATCACATCGTATTAATCGAAGCTGCAGAGCCTGTTGTTCTCATCGGAGCGCTTGAGGGCTCGTTCTTGGCTTCATTCATGCTCGGTTGGGGTGTCACCATTGGTGCTGGTCTCGCATCTTACCCTCTCGATACCATCCGGTGCGTAGCATTCTCTGAGTAAGATCCATAGTATGCTGATAGCTTTGTAGTCGTCGCATGATGATGACTTCCGGCTCCACTACCCACTACAAGAACATGTTCGATGCTTCCCGACAGATCGTCGCCAAGGAGGGTACCAAGTCGCTCTTCAAGGGTGCTGGTGCCAACATCCTCCGTGGTGTTGCCGGCGCTGGTGTGCTCTCGTTGTACGACAAGCTCCAGGAAGTGCTGTTCGGCAAGGTCTACTCCGGTGGTAAGTGGTGTCAGGTGTTGCTACCTCGAGATTCAAGTTTACGAATATGTTTTTCTAGGATCCGGCTAAACGTCCATAATGTTGTGGATATATTCCCTATCAGCCTCTTAGTACTACCGTCTATCGCGCATTTCTTACGACTTCCCACATTAGACTCTGTGGTTAACTTTCTTTTTCTGGTTTATTTGGTGCCTGGGATACCACCACATAAATATTCTTACAGTAGATCCGGAATAAAAAGCTATCCTGCGCCAATCTTTTGCTGAGGCTTCTGAGAGCTGTGTGAGTTCGAAGTGACTTGCAACCATGCCGACCGTGTCGGAGCATCTGTAGGGCGTGTTGCCGCCTGTAGCATTACGTTTGCAAATTTGAATCTTCCGTTTGCACTACCATCTTTCCATGAGATGTATCGCGAGCCGCCTGGGGACCACCTGGCGGACTCTGCGCCTCTATAGCAGCAAAGCTACCTCAGCTGTTGTACTACGTCCTTACCAAGAGCATTGTCTTCAGGCATGTACCGAAGCTCTGCAGTCTGGTATTGCTCGACTCGGTGTCTCTTTACCTACTGGGTCTGGCAAAACCACTGTCTTCATTACATTGCTCGGTCGGATCAAACCTCCTGAAACGCACCCCGCTGCTAAACAAGCTTTGATCATCGTTAATAGTATAGAACTAGCCCGACAATCTGCTACCCAAGCGGAGAGGATATGTCCTGAGTGGACAATAGAAATCGAGCAAGGAGTAAAGCACCATGCATCTGGATTTGCAGACGTGTACGTCTTCCTATATTGACGTCTTTTGGGGAATGTCTGTTCACTTGAATATTGGTGACATAGCACGGTAGCGACCTATCAAACATTGCTACAGCCCAGCCGCCTAGCGAAATTTGACCCTCGAAGGTTCAAAGCTATCATCGTCGATGAAGCGCATCATGCCGCTGCACCGTCGTAAGTACCTCTACACAACGCACAAATTAATGTCTAATTATTCGTTAGCTATCGCCATATTCTGTCCCATTTCAATCCAGCGATAAAGAACCCAGACTCGACCTTCCTTCCGCCGAAGCTCGATCATCCTATCCCAATTCTTGGGTTCTCGGCAACATTCAGTCGACACGATGGGCTCGCTCTTGGTTCCGTATTTGAACATATCGTTTATCATCGGGACTTCTTAGAGATGATCAAAGAGGAATGGTATGCACCCTCACGCACGCATTCAATCCTGAACTGACGGTATTCTCAGGCTTTGCAATGTTCGCTTTACTTCAGTACGAGCAAATATCAACCTCAGCGAGGTCACCGTCAATTCTCGTACTGGAGACTTCAATCCTACTAGTCTAGCCCAAGTAATAAACACCGGTACAGTGAACCGCCTCGTGGTACAAACCTGGCTGGATAGGGCTGGTATGTTTTGCAAGCTCGAGCCTCATTGTTCACGAGGTCCTTATATATTTCAACAGCTGACAGAAAGTCGACATTGGTTTTCTGCGTGAATCTCGCCCACGTTCGAGAACTCACTGCTGCCTTCCGAGCTGCAGGCGTGGATGCGCGTTATATTTACTCTGGTACGCCAGCAGGTGAACGATCTGCATTGGTTACGGCCTTCAAGGCGGGCGCATTCCCCGTCTTATTGAATTGCGGTAAGCTCCACTCTGGAATGGGCCGGGATTATAGAATGCTGAATTTGTCGTAGCGGTGTTGACGGAGGGCGCAGACATTCCGAATATCGAATGTGTCATCGTGGCCAGGCCAACTCGCTCACGCAACATCTTCGCTCAGATGGTACGCTACACACAATGATATCGTCCTGCAATGCTTATCGTTGGACTCTAGATTGGGCGGGGAATGAGGCTCTCTCCTGACACTGGGAAGGAGGACTGTCGCATCATTGACTTTGTTGATTCTACAGCACGGGTATCTGGTGTTATCTCAACACCTTCGTTATTTGGACTTGACCCTTCCGAGGTCATAGATGGTCAGTGATGATTCTGTATTCCTTCTCAATGGATATCTATTGATGCTCTCGTAGATGAATCTACCGACGCTCTCGAAGAACGAGCGAATCAGCAAGTAGACATCCTTGACCTACCGACTAAGCAGGATACTTCTGACGATATACCCGATCCAACGTCTGTGACATATACTGACTACGACGACCCGTTCTCCTTTGTGGACCAAAGCTCGGGTGCTCCGCAAATACGCAGAATGAGCGGTTATGCGTGGGTAGGATGCGGAGCTGATATCTACGTCTTGGAGTGTCTGGGCAAAGGCTATATTCGTATAGAGCCTGTGGAAACCGAACAAGGTTCGTTTATCTACAGCGAGATCTACCTTTCTATCTCAATGAATTTTTGGTTGCAGGTCGGCATTATGAAGCCCTCTTTACTCCTCCCACATTGCCTATGGCAACTGCCTTGACTTTGAAGATATCACCCTACCAGCGCAGCAGGAAAATCTTAACCGCGAAGAGCTTGGCTGACGCTTTGAAAGGAAGTGATACCTACGCTAGGACAAAAGCTGTCCCAGGGCCAATGGCTTTAGGGTACGATAGAATGCATTTACCTTCAACCTACTACTGATGTCTTCCTTTCCTTGCATTCAGGTTGCTGCGAACAGCTAGATGGCGACAAGCCCCAGCCACAGACAATCAAAAGGCGTGGCTTCGAAAGCGGTTGGGTAAACGTGATGATGCGCTTGAAAATTTGGAGGATTCCGCGAAGAAAACTGGGCCAAAACCAATAGCTGAGAAGATATCCACAATGACTAAAGGGGAAGCTGCAAACATCATCACCAGACTAAAGCACGGTGCTCAAGTGAGTGTCTATACTACATATGTGTGTCACACTGGCTGACAAGTTTCTTAGGCTCGATACCAGAAGAGGGCTAAAGAAAGCAGACGAGCTGCTCAGTCTGTAGAGAAGGAAAGGCTGAGACGTGCCCGAGAACACGTCTCAGTTGGTCCTTTGCACTCCGGTGCTTGAATCAACGAGAGGTCTACATTCTCAGTTGAAACAGAGTAGATAGAGAGGGCGCGACAGCGAGTCGACTTTGCAGTGTTGCAATAGCAGCCTGCACGTCTAGATTAGCGCAGATCCGGCAACTATTAATACATAATATCATACCTTCTGGGCTATCCCTACGATACGATCTAACTCAGCCGAATCCTGAAAGCTCCTGGGTGCTTGCACTAAACTGGCCAACAGTGATCCCACAAGAGAATCACCAGCACCAGTAACATTGACGATGCTCGACACGTCCAGAAGACGGGCCGGATAATGCTTCAATACAAGGCTTTGTCCAGTCTTGCCATGCGCGACGACCTGGCGAGATCGAATATTCGTCCGCTCTTGTGACCATGGTGATCCCTTCTCGGCTCGGAATACAACGATAACACCAAGCTGGCCACATTTTATTATGATGTGCTGGAAGAAAGGCAACAAATTGATAGCCATTTGAGCCACACCGTCGTTGACTAGGAAGGATAGAGTGCCCTTGTCACGATTCGTCTCGCAAGCATCCCGACGGGCAAGGTGTTCCAAATCAAGCCGGAACTCCGAACCTACAGCCATATCGTCTATGATACGCCACCAAGCATCGTGCGCAGTGAGATCATTGGTTCTAACAGCCTGATAGATCGAAGACAGTTCCAATATGTTCGGGGAGATGTATGCAATGGGAGGCCGGTTGCCGTTTAAAGTATCAATGGATGCTTTGACAGCGGGTAGAACACGAGTTGACTTGACTACCGAAGTTGGTTCACTTTAATTGGTTTGTCAGAGACAACGAGTGAGATAGAGAGAGATCAGCACACACAAGAAAACTGGTGCGAATTTTATGGTCAGATTTCGGAAAACATCTAATGATAGTATTCTTCTGACCTTGAATGTCCTCTCGTGTGGAATGTTCAACTATGGCCTGTACTGTATCTTCCCCGAGGTTTCCGTCCACTGCGATAATTTTAGGTTCATGGACGCGTATGATATCCAATACCTCCGAACACATGTAAATACCATACCTGAAAGGAAGAATTCGTAGGGCACACCTGCGTAGCTGAAACCGATTGAACAATATCCATGTCAGCAACACCACCCGTAAGACCGCCCGAGCCGTCCAGAACCATGTTGCAAACAGCAGTTCGGCCGTCATTCACATGCAAGAACCCATCAGAGCGCATACCGAGCTGTTCAGTCTCATTCACGAGCATCTTGCCAAACGCATCTCTTCCAATAGGTGATACGAGTACAGTGGCATCTTCTAGTGCAGATGAAGCTGATGTTAACATTCTGTGCGCCGCTTCGGCCATGTTCCTCGCGACCCCGCCGAGAGAGGTCGTGACTGTCCCGGGCACGGTTGAATGCAATGAAACAGAAGGGTCATCTGTGTTGGCTTGTGAGGTGATGTCTATGGCAGAGGCGCCGACCACAACGAGCCTGCCAGCTGGCTGAGGCTAGTGAGACAAAGGAGTCCTGCCAGGATCTCAACAATACTCGCACCTTATTTGGTGGCGAATGCGTGGATGCCTTGTCAGCTCCTTCGCTAGTCGACTGGAGAAGAGTCCTGCTATTAGATTTCACAGGGTTGATATTGTTGTCGTGGAATATACAGTACATTGCACTTACAAGGCACTTGTTGATATTTCCGATCTACTCATGTCATTGTCTGTTTGCGGTCCACTCATGCCCATGTCCTTAGCCAATTGGGAATATGCTTTAGCAATTCGCGCACCTGAACGCGTTTTCAGCTATTCGGCAGGATGCGATTCCATGAAAACACTTACCAACGCGAGCCGTGTTCTCAATCAGGGCGACGTCTGTTGAATCAACTCAGTTGTTAGATGAAACGGCGCAACGGAGCTGAGGAACTTACTACTGGCAAGAGATTTGCCTTCAGTTAATTCACCAACGCGTTTGAGTAACCAAGGTGTAGCTTCTTTGCCCAGCCGATTGATACCTTTTTGTTCCGCCTCTGCAAGAGCCACCTCCACCGACTCTTGGAGCTTCTGGCCAACTGCCTCATATTTCTCTGGAATAGGAACGGCAAAGAGTGTTCCATTTGACATTCCTAGTTGTTGCTGAGAGTCTTGATTTTCATATTAGATACAGCCATCAGTGTTGAACTTCAACAGATACTTGCGTAATATTCTAGCTGCTGAGGCTGGGTCGGAGACCTGCCAGGGGCTCTGAGCGACAAATGAGTTTGCAAACAGTCACGAGTAGGATGAAAAAACTCACCTTGAAGCCGCTTTTCCTTGTATAGAAAGCCGGGAAATCATTCGTCTCCCCGTACGACACAACTGGAACACCGAGAGTTTCCTAGTGCATACATAAAGATTCAAGACATGGTTAACTTCAAGGTAATACACACCAAATACTCCAATGTGCTAGAAGTCATATAGTATAGGTAAGGCAAACCTAGTAGGAGGATATACAATCGTCTTACCGTCCAATATCGAGAATAGATTTAACGCCAGCAGAAACTAGACCAACAGAGCAACGCGAGAGTTCGTGCAAATCCGCGGAGACGTCCATTGCTGCAATGGAATGCTTAATGGGTGCCTGGTAGGATTATAACGAATTGGACGTACTATTCTCTCCGCCGCGATGAACGCCACCCAGTCTATTGTAAATTGAGTCAAGAAAAATTAAGATGCAGTTCGAAAGATACACCCACCCACCGGTAGCGAATACCTAAGCAATTATTCACCGACACCGCTGACATTGCAATAGCGTATCACGCACCTTGATGCCAGCCAGCACAGCAAAGATGAGAGTAGCACTGCATGTAGTCCCACCATCCTTCTTCAAGGCAATGGTAGCTCCGATGTCTCTTCGAGATACTTTCACAACATCGGTATTCGTCTCAACATCTGCCAAACGTTCCAACTCAGCGGGCCTCAGACCTATTTTTACTCGTCCTTGTATCAAGCCAATGGTGGCTGGAATGGCTTCATTAGCGCGAACGTTCTTCTCCACGGACCTCGCAGTCGTCAAATTGGTTGGATATGGCATCCCGTGAGTCACAATAGTTGTTTCGAGAGCAACGACAGGTTGCCCATGAGCGAGCGCATCCTGGACTTCAGGATGGACATCGATGGGTGCACCGCGCTGTACTGCATCTCTGAGAGTATACGTTGAAAGAGTCCTATACCCGGCCCACCGCAGACATTGCCTGGGCAGCTGATACAGCCTCAGGGAAGTCATACAGGAAATGGAGTTCTGCAACGTGATGCAGAGCAGCAGAGTTGCTGTTTGGGAAGGTAGAGTTCCAAATTAAGACGGATGTGCCCATATAAGGCTTTAGCTTTAGACGGCCATCCATGGGGGATTGAATTTACAACAGTCTGGGTTATCTAATTTATCTGTCTTTTACATAAAGATGGACACTGCATGGCCTCCTGCATCTGTAGAAGCAATTGAAGAGATTTCAGAGGGTATTTCTGTGCTAACGTACAAGCCTCTCAATGTCGACGAGATCCTCCGTTCCGTAGGAGATGATCGCGCAGGAGCTACAGCTGCTTTCATTGGAACAACGCGGAACTCATTCAAAGGTGGATGTGATGCAGAGAGTATGATAAGTACATTCGTTCTGAACATTGAACCCCTCAGGCAAGATCGTCACGCGCTTGGACTACCAAGCTTACAGTAAACTCGCAATCAAGACGATGTCGGGTATAATCCGTTCAGCACACGAGAAGTATTCAGATTCGGCACATAAAACTGCAGAAAGCCCTGTCATGTCCATAATCCACTGTGCAGTTCATCATCGACTTGGTACAGTTCCAGTCGGTGAACCATCGATCGTCATCGCAGTGTCATCTCCACATCGCAAGGAGGCGTTCCACGCATGTGAGTACATCTTGGAAGAGGTCAAGTTGAAGGCACAGATATGGAAGAGGGAGTTCTACGAAGGCGAGAGGGAAGAGGACGCGGAGTGGAAAGCAAATGTTTCATGATAGATAGGCAGTCATCGTTGTCGAAAGGGAAATGAGATATGCTTCACTGGAAGCTCAACGGAGCGATGACTACAACAATGTCCGCATGTTCATTACCATTAGTATATTTAAATTGTCCCAAGATGTAGAATACCCTGTATGGAGATCCATCCTCCGAAATTCTACCTGCCAACTCGCATTTCAGCTGAATCAAATGCATCTAAGGCTTCTCTGAAGTCAATCTCATCGAGAAACTGAGGATTTTGAGCATTCCACCATTTCGACAACGAACGGTCTCTAGTATGGCTAATGGGGGAGCAATATAATCAGTCAATTGAGATGAATATGAGCATAAGAAGTAGTTTGCATACCGGATTTCTGTCAAACGAATTTGCCATGGCGGGAATCCGTAGAGTTCCAGCGGTTTTCGGGGATGCGAAGGTGAGACTTGGTGCACAATCATGAGATCCGGTTCAGGAAAACCCAACTCGCCTACATCCCATGAGAACAGATTTTGCATATGTTGACAATACACACACCTTCGAGTATGGAAGTAATATCGTTTATGCTATAGTTGAGGTCGTCCCTCTCACTTCTCTGATGAGTCTGGAAAAGACTGTTCGCAACGGAAGCAATAGCAGGTTTTCCAGATTCACGGGATATCAGATGCAGTGTCACAGGAGATATTGACGAATTTGTTTGCTTCTCTGCAATGAGGTTTAGCTCAACAAGTCGAGTACGAGAAGCTGTGAACGTACTAGAAGAATTACGGCGTTTCACGACACCTCGTTGGTCCCTCCGACGTTCCCTTGAAGCGGTGGCATTGATAGTGATAACACGAAGGTCTGGGGTGACTTCACGGTCTGGGGAAAGTGATCTTGACTCGTCCGTTAGGGGCGGAGTAAGAGGGTACTCGATTTCGGATTCGTCACTAGACTCTTTAGGCGAAACGCCAGTCTGCTCGATCAAACGCTTTCGAAGGTTGAGAGAAGATCGAGAAATAAGACCTGCTTACAAAAAAGCAGCTTGTCAAGTATACGCAAAACAGAACGATCGAGACACGCATACCTTCTCGGTCATATACCGTCAGTCTTTGTATCCCTGACAAATGACACCACGAGACCACGCCTTCTATATTCTCCAAAAGGATGTCCTCCAGATTATCCATTTCATTACTATCGCATCCTGTGAAGACCAAGGCGAGATGTTTTGGTGTTAGCTTCCGTTTCGCGTCTATGGGACGCGGCGAGGTATATGTTAACGGATTTCGGAGGAATGACAGCGAGCTAGCGAGCAGATAGACAGCGTGAATTATATAAAGCGCGAGAGATGTCAGCCAGGACATTATCTTGAAGGCCAGCACGCAAAGGTAGCGTGTATGCAGGACCCACTGCGCAGTGGACGTTGGTATGCAGGTGAATGCATAGACGCCCACGTGAAAGTGGCTTGACGCGTTACGCCGGAAACGACGTGTCCTGTTCTGATGCCTCGAATCAACAGAATGACTTCATATAGAATATCATCCAGAGCATATTTATAGATACGGAATGTGGTATGGTCGACATGATAGAGTACAGTAGAGGTGAATAGATACGGTCCGTTTATGTCAAACTAGGCTCTTCCGGAATTGCCCTCTTGATCTTCAAGAGGATGGCGGTCTTCCAATTGTCCAATTTCGTGACCTGATCGTACTCGTATACGGCAGCAGTGAACGACTCCATATCCCCAGCCTCGAAGGCGTCAGTCAGAACGGTGATAAACTTAGCCTCCCGAGTCGATGAGAACGTTGTGTCAAGGGCGGAATACTTCTGCAAGTTCCGCTTTGCCGTGACAGCATCCTGTAGCAGAACTGGGGTGAGTAATGGAAGAGGGAGAGCTGTTATTGTGGACACAAACCCCCATAGCAAGAGCACATAAACTGGATCTCAACCAGTATTCCTTTACACTATACTTCGTAAGAGCAGAGTTGAGGGAACCGTCTGCCACCTGCTCGTAACGAGCGATTGCTTGAGGGTACTCTTCAAGCTCAGCGTGAAGATCGGCAGCATCTTTGTAGCAAGCATTCGCAGTACTGTGGTAGGCGGGTCAAACGTGAGACATAAAAGCAAAATCATGGAGTCTATAACTCACGCTGTGGCGTCTTCCTGGGAATACCACTCTGCAGCACGCTCGTAACTTTCGCATGCTTTACGCAGATCATTCAACTCCTGCATATAAATCTGGGCAATCTCTTTCTCCCGATCCGCTGCTTGACGGAACCTTCCCGCTTGGGTTAGGTGAGTAATTGTTTGAGACAATGCCTGGATTGCGACTGGATATACACCATATGAGTATGTGCGTCGTAACGACTTGAGGGAGACACTCACGATCAGGGCTGACTCGTTTGTACGCTTTAGCAGCATTCCACCATGCCTGCGCGGCCTCATTAGACTCCTGGCATTTCTCCCTACATTCAGCCTCTCGCGCGTGAGCATCTCCAGCCTCCTTGAATAGCTTGTCGATCTTGAATGCATTAGCGGCTTGCTGATAGAGATCGCCGGCTTCCTCGAATTTGGTGGATGCAGATGAGAACCATCCCGTGGATGAATTTGCTTTCTTATCTGCCTTTTCTAGGAAGCCTTGTGCTGGTGATTTGGGAGCCATGGAGTATGTTGATGGTGGAGAAACAAAAGCGATATGGAGGACGTTGCAAGGAGACTCGGCATAGCAGGCATCGCCATAAAGGGTGTCTCCACGTGCACAACGCGATCATACTTCCCCTAAGCGCGCACCACTTAAATATTGGCGTCTGATATCTGGCCAGGCTTCATTTAGGTGCACAACCACTCGGAGCTGCAACCGTTTACACTCGTTGCCACAAAGGTGTGTACCCTGCTATCAAGGGGCGCCACTCATGCTCACTTCGAACTGGACGTTGAACTCAAAGAGATAGACATGTCGTTACCTGTAGAGCTTATCCGGAAGTTGGCCGATCAGCACCCCAAGCCCGCCAGCCTACGCTTCCAGTATGGCACAGCGGGATTCAGAACGCTGTACGACATATCGCTTCTAAAGGGATGGGCTCAATTCTCATTATTATTCTTTACGCAGGGGGACCGTTCTCGATTCTGTGATGTTCAGAGTGGGGATACTTGCCGCACTCAGAAGCAAACGTTTAGACGGCAAGACTATTGGAGTCATGGTTACTGCTTCCCACAATCCTGAAGCAGTGAGTATTACGTCCGCTTGTGTACTTGTCATGAATTCACAAACATCACCCTTCTTCTGTAGGACAATGGTGTGAAGCTTGTAGATCCACGAGGCGAGATGTTAGAGGCCGCCTGGGAGGGCCATGCCACTATCCTAGCAAATGCGCCCAGCTCGGATTCATTCATTGATGCATTGCAGATTCTGGTGAAGAACCTCAAGATAGATCTGTCGAAACCCGCTAGGATCATATATGCGCGAGACACCAGGCCTTCGGGCGGCGCACTTGTGTCTGCATTGGAAGACGGTATCAAGGCAATAGGTGCTGAAGGTCGAAATGCGGGTGTCACTACGACCCCTATCCTTCACTACCTCGTGCGTGCCATCAATACCAAAGGTACGAAAGATGAATACGGAGAAGACTCTGAAGAGGGCTACATGAAGAAGCTCAGTACTGCATTCAAGAAGCTCGTTGTAAGGACTCCGATAAGTTAGACGCCTGAGCATTAACTCACACCTTTAATAGGCTGGCAAACCTAGCTCGCCTCCTTTGATAGTGGATTGTGCAAACGGTGTTGGTGCTCAGGCTATAGCCGAAATAATCCAGTACCTGGGAGATACCCTACAACTTATTCCCCACAACACGGATACCACGACCCCTGGCGTGTTGAATCATGCGTCCGGCGCGGATTTCGTTAAAACTACCCAGAAACTGCCACCTTCACTTGCCTCTGTCCTGAAGCCAGGCCAGAGAGGATGCAGCTTCGATGGCGACGCTGATCGTCTGATGTACTACTACTTGGACGACCGCGGTCAATTCCATATGCTTGATGGCGACAAGATTGCTGCTTTAGTTGCTGCATTCATTGTTGAGCTTGTCAAAGCGGCGGGTTTGGAAGAGATAGTAAGAGTAGGTATTGTGCAGACTGCCTATGCCAATGGTGGCTCCACAAAGTATCTCGCTTCTGTATGTACCAGTTATCTGCCAAATTGCTCCTGTAATGCTGATGCACATTGACAGCGCCTTCCCGTCAGGTGCGTACCTACTGGTGTGAAGCATTTGCACCATGCTGCGGAGAAGTACGATGTTGGAGTGTACTTCGAGGCCAATGGACACGGGACTGTCCTGTTCTCCCCCGAAACCGACGAGATATTCCGAACACACCAGCCATCTACCCCGGCTCAGTCTACGGCTTTGAACCACCTCCTCAATCTTACGCAGTTAATAAACCAAACTGTCGGCGACGCGTTGTCTGATATGCTGCTCGTTGAGGTTGTACTGGCACACAAGTCCTACAGCGGCGCGGAATGGGACTCGCTTTACGTCGATCTGCCCAACCGCCTTGTCAAGGTGGTCGTCGTCGATCGAAATATCTTCAGGACGGAAGATGCGGAGCGTCGCCTCGTCAGCCCTCCGGGATTACAAGCAAAGATTGACGAACTTGTCCGAAGATACGAAGCTGGACGCGCTTTCGTCCGTCCTAGTGGAACTGAGGATGTAGTGAGAGTCTACGCTGAGGCGATGCTCAGACCCCAGGCGGACGGTAAGTGGGTTTTCGTATCAGTCACATCCTCTCTAATTTCTCGTTCCCATAGAACTCGCCTATCGTGTTGCAGGGCTGGTCTACGACGAGGTTGGTGGTGACCCTGCGAAACGACCTGTAGAATTCTTGTAAAGGGGGAGACGAAGAAGAATACCAAGCGACATGTATACCACGAACACTATGTCTATTGTACGATGAGGGGATCGAAGTGAATATTGAAGTGGATGTTTCGATGTTTGGAAACCTGTTGAAATGGCCGGAGTGGTCTAGACTCCGGAAACGTCCTCGGCTTGTTGTCGGCAAAACCCGGGGAAAAATCACCGGAGTTGGCGCAATGGTTGCTGCATGCCGCGAGTGGGCGAACGGGTGTTTCGAGTTGGCAATTGCATTCTTGTACACCATACAGCGGTGACTCGACTGTTATGTCTCTTTCCGAGCAATCTGTCACTACCATTATCCTCAATTCGCCTCCAAATTCATAGCAACGTCGACAACCCCTCTTGTGCTTACACAGCTATCTTCTCTTCCTCAACATCAACTCCCAGTCTACCCACATGTGTCGCTTTGTCATCTACAAAGGAACTTCTCCCGTGCAACTGTCCCACCTTCTCACTCGACCTTGCCACTCCATCATTAATCAGGCCTTCGACTCCAGGCTACGGTTGGATCATAGGCGACCTATAAATGGAGATGGGTTTGGAGTTGGTGAGTGTTTTTCCCATCCACTCGTGTGCCACCGATTCGGAATTGGTCTCATGATATGTTTGTCGATCAGGTTGGTACGATTGCATGCATGACGAAGAACTTGGATGCCAGCCATGCATATTCACTTCCGTAACACCGGTGAGTATATCTGAAAACAGGGGTATGGAGCACAGACTGAGCCTCCTTCCCTCATTCCTACAGGCTTGGAACAATGTCAATCTAGTACGATTGACGGAGAAGATCAAGTCTCCACTAGTCTTGTAGGTTTCCCACATGCATCTGGATGTATCGCGAATGCTTAGTGTTGTTTGTCTCGCAGTGCCCATGTTCGCGCTACGACTGCTGGTTCACTATCGTTGGATAACTGCCATCCGTGGCACTTTGGGAAGCTGATGGTGAGTAGTACCTACCTGAGTCACGAGGCGCATATCTAAGACCTTCTTCTAGTTTATGCACAACGGAGGCATAGCAGAGTTTCCGAAGATCAAGCGACGTCTACAGACATACTTGTCGGACGAGCTCTTCAACTTTGTCACCGGAAATACAGGTGAGCGGTTCAGTGCTTTCACGTCTGCTTTCAGCTGAACATCCCTTCAGATTCGCAATGGGCCTTTGCACTGTTCCTGTCCAAGGTAATGTCCTATGCTTCAATATAAAGCTTCCCATGTTGAATGTCGTTGCAGCTACCGGACCCTCATGCCAATCAGTTCTCGACTCAGGAATTACGACAAGCCATGATCGAAACCATCGCATCCATTAATGAGATGACGGAAGCCGTGAATGCAACCGAGGTACGTGACATTGAGATATCGTGTACCAGCTGGTGCTGACATGGTTGTAGCCGAGTCTCATGAACTTCTGTGTCACTGACGGAGAGAGCATAATTGCTACTCGTTATATCAATTCGCGCCATGATGAAGCTGCTTCACTGGTACGCATGTTCTCGGCGTAGACGAGGCGCGTAACTGATGTCCTGTTTTAGTGGTTCTCTTCAGGGACAACCTTCAGCGAATATGCCGACGGCGGTCATTACAAGATGTCGAAGACGGACAAGCGAGAAAACATTATCTTGGTCAGTCTTTGAAACTGATTCCCTTTCCATCGGACTTCACTACTGACGTCTTCGTTGCAGATCGCGAGCGAACCGTTGACGTTCGAGAAGGGTGAGCATACTGATCTACTATTAACGAGAAGAGAGCCCTTCTGACATCTGTGCAGCCGACTGGATGGAGATCAGGACGAATCATATGGTCGTGGTCACACCGAAGATGAACTTGCTTCAAGTACCGATCATCGACAACTACTACGTCCAACCTTCTGATCCAGAGTATGGAGGGCGAGGGATTGATTTTGCTGCCGCAAAGGGCTTCCTCAGTTCTCGTAGGGACGTCAACCCCATACCTGAGACCACTCCCACTGAGACCCATTCCATCGCCTTGTAGTTCATTCATTCAGCATTCCTCGGATGTATAGTATCACTATTGTAGTGTAGATGTTATAGTTGTGTATAGTAGTTGTATGGTACTCACTCTGGATGATATTTTTTGAACTGAACTTGACATTATGCTTGAATTACAATATGACGACCCTAGCCCAGTGCAGCAGTTGCACTTTTTGGGAGGCGCCAAAGGACGTCTTCGTCTTTGTGCCTCGAGCACCATGTCCGCACAAGACACCACTGGTGTCTAACGAGCTCCTCATAGAAGTCCTCGCCTATCTCCAGGGCAGGCCGTCTTAACCATAGACATGGCCCCTTGGTTCTTTTGGAGTGCCCTCTCCAGCGCTGCAAGGTAAGGAATACCATTGGTTATCTGCTCCCTCGCTATCCTTATTCAACTTATCTGATTCATAGGCTTTCTAGTGCCCTGCAGATTCTCATATATTTACCCTTGACCCTGTCAACGCTCTCGACAAATGCTTTCCTATTGCTTTCACTACTCCTTTTCCTTCATTCTTTGATCCACGGCACACTCATACTACTATGGGGATCCCCAGCATTGTCTGTTCTCCAAGTACCCATGCATCCCTTCCTTCTATTGGTCTGCTTCAATGTTTTCGCTCAATCGGTCAATCCAATGCTCTCCGCCGCAGCATTCTGGTGGGGAAAGATCTTGCACTGGTCCAGCCCGGGTTTCATCGTGATGGAGGGATTGTCGAGCTTGCTTGTGGCCCAGAAGCTTGGCCAGATTGGCAAGGATCTTGTTGGAGAAGGAGAGACTTATCAGTTTGGAATGCTCTTCGCAGCGGCGGCAGCATATGTGACTTCGGCGTGGTGGATTGTTATGGTACGTGAATCCATCACTTAGTCGTGTGCGCTACTTACGGAAGTCGTACCTTCAGGCATATCCTGCAGCAGCATCGTCACCTTTGGCATCCACGCTCTTAGGTGCTGCTATAACGACGTTTATATTCCTCACTTTCATTGGGTTCGTCCTGAGACGGACGAATGTCATCGAGTCCTCATGTCTGGCTCTCTTCCTGGCGTATAATGTATGGCTTTGTGGTGTGAACGAGAAATCGTTTGTCAATCCCGCATATTCATAGTATGTTGTACTTCATTCTCCGTTGTAAGAACTGAGTTCTGACTTCCCAAAGTGCACCACTCTTGGAGAACATCCTTCCCCATCTACAGACGCTTGTCACTTTCATTACGAATACTCTTCCAAAGCCGGTCCTAGTTGCTTTGCTTTACAGGCTATTAGTCATCCATTTTGCTTCTCGTGTTCTTCCTACGATAGGCGCAGACAGTTGGGACAATGAACCTGGCGTGGATGATGGTTGGGATGCTCGACCTGTGAGCCTTCTGGGACTATCTTGCTCTTCCTTGCACTAACTCAAAATTTTAGACCTCCAAGTTGACCCATCTCCTGTTGACATACCGGCAATCCATCTTTGTGACTGTTTATTCCCATTTACTCCGTGAGTCTTTTGTATGTCGATCAAGTATATCGTTCTGACTCCTTCGTCCCAGTACTGGACCATTCCTCTCAAGTCTGGTGGCGGTGGATGAACATTTTCTTCACTCTTGTGATATGGGCCGTGGAGCTTCTGGTCAGCAGTGATGAGGACTCCGTGATAAAGGAATGGAAAGTGGAATGAGTTATCAGGTGATACCACCACATTGGCCTTCCGTTCGATTGTTTCTCCTTGCGGATTGGTGCATAGACACATTCGCTTGATTGTCACTTTAATGACTTATTCAGGAAACTTCGTTGCTCTGTTGGCGAATGTTTATATCCTCTTCAGCCAATCAGATTGTTTTGCGGGCTAATGGGAGATGGCTGCAAATCGCCATTGCGAATGCCCATTAGGAATTTCGAGAAAGGTTTCATTTTGTCCTTCTTCCTTGGCATTTGATCATTTGCAACGCACTTTCATGAGCGGCCCTTTTCGTCTTCTAGTGGTAGCTGCGCTTACTCTATCTGGCTCTAGACAGCGCTCTGCACAAGGATATCGCGCGTTTGTATTGTCCGACTCCGTGTTATGACAGATGGCCATCATCATCTCTCCACGGACATCATGAGTCGAGAAGACATATATAAGCTCTTAGGGCAACTCTCTTGTTGCCACATATCTTCCCAGACTACCATTGTTGTCACTGCACAACATGGAACCCACTGAAAAGAAAGCCAATGCCGAGCACGGTCTACTTACTCCAGATCCAGGCCGTGTTTCCCAGGTTGACCCAAGAGAACATCAGTCGAGAGGGTCGAGTCCACAGCGGACCCCAGGCAGACACTCTACCGATCCGTCTCCCGTACGCCCTTCGATAGCGAAGATGAACAAGAGGATCATAATATGTTGCGATGGGTGGGTTTTTACACTTTGTTGTTTACTGTACAAGTCTCATCGTCGATGTGATAGGACCTGGCAGGATGGCTTGACCGTCTCGCAGAGATGGAAATATACCAACGTCCTTGTAAGTCAAATTCCCTTTGACAGGATCGGATGTAATTGACTTGGGATATATGCTATGAATAGCGCCTTGCTCGATCCATCAATCACATGGACGAACGACAGTAAGGAGGACCGACTACCTCGTGGCGCTTGAGTCTCTCTGAGTGCTTGACATATTTGTCAGGAACCCGCCAGTCCCTCAGATTGTGTTTTATCAGTCTGGTGTCGGAACAGAAAACTTTGCGCCTCTGGCACTGTTTGAGGGTAAGTTCCTCATCTGAAAAGCCATCAGCTCAGATCTCGTCCTGATACATACATTATACATCATTCAGGTGCAGTTGGCGCGTCGCTTGGTATGTAGTTGCATGTCTCTTGCGATGTATCTCTGTATTCATATTCGTGCAGGCGATAAGGTACAGGATGCCTATGGGTTCCTCGCTCAGTATGTGATAAATCCAGCCACGTTTCAGTTCTCGATGCTAAAGTTTTCTTGGTCATTTAGTAACTATCGACCCGGCGATGAGGTTTGTATCTCTCGTCTGACGACCGGAGTAGCGTTGCCTGAGCATTTCTATTTTAGATATTTCTGTTCGGTTTCTCGCGGGTGAGATAGCGTACATTGAGTTACCACTGACATTCTTGGCTGACTATCTCGAAGGGCGCATACACGGCTCGTATGGTAGCCTCATTCATTGTGAGTGGCTTGTGATAAGCGTGCAGTGCTGCAGAATACACATTCACCCTCCGTAGGAGGCGATCGGCATCTTGGATCGTAAGGATATGGATCATTTCGCAGACCTCTTCCTAGCTCTTCAGAAACGAGGAAAGACGAAGGATGAGAAAGGCAAGTAGATTCATGTCGTATTGTCCGTTATCATTCAACGTTATTATTGTAGAAAAGCAGGAATTGGATGAAACGTTGAAACCGTGGACACACCACAACTCTCCGGGAATGCGCCATGTGGAGTCGGATGACAGCTTCTTCGTCAAGTAAGTCACGCATTCGCATGCGCACTCAATTGGGATTGATCGATGTTTAAAAGATGTGTCGGCGTATTCGACACTGTTGGTTCAGTGGGCTTGCCCAATGAGCTCTCATTCGGATCCGAGAAGGTGAAGACTCTCTTTGGGTTCCCGGACACAGTACTCGGACCACATATTGAACGTGCATATCATGCGATGGCACTGAACGAGAACAGAAAGGACTTCGTAAGCAGGATGCCCGAATGACTTACTCAGACAGCTGACCATGTTCGCTCACAGAATTGTACCAAATTCCATCAAACAGAGAGGGGGCGCGGTAATGGGCAGATCTTGAAACAGGTATGTAGTGTCTCTTCTCTCGTTATTAGACCTTGTTCTCATGATCTCGCAGTGTTGGTTCGCAGGTTCGTTTCGAGCTCTTCGTCTTAGTTCCATGTCGCTAAGTTTTATCATCCGCGAAAGGCTCACACTCTGATGTACGTTTGAGGTGCATCTTCACAGCATTCTTCGCTCACTCGTCGATAGGTTGGTGGTGGATATGAGGAACACGATCTCTCCGATATTGCTCTTTTCTGGATGGCGGTGCGTCGTACATTTTGGGCTCAAGTGCCGCTGGACTTAATCAATTACAGGCCAATATCGGCGACATCTTATCCCTTGACATGGATTACTTGATATCCTTGCCGGAGCCTGTGGCCACGTGGGGCTTGCAGAGTCCTCATGAGTGAGTGGCTTTAGCAAGGAGAGTAGAACCAGACCCCAACGATGCTGACCATATGCCAGTTCGTCCACAGGAATTTTTGCGCTTGCGAGCTCCATTCAGCGTGAACTGCCAGCAGAGACCGACAATACTACTCACGAAACTATCCATCTCTCTGTTCTGCAACAGCAGAAGCAGAATCCCAAGTTGGAACAGAACGTGAAGAACAAGCCTCATCTCGTTGGTCCGCTTCTTCCATTGGAGGAGGAAATCAAAGCGCTCTGGAAGGTTTCTCCTGAGAAGAGTCGTGGCTATCAGAGGCGAAAGACAACCCAGGAACTTGAACATAAGGAAAATGGGAAAGGCGACAACAGGGTGGAGGCTACGCAGCACGTTTTACAGGAGGAGAAGGGCTCTGGGCATGGCGTCCTGAAGTCCTTGACACACATGAAGACCATCTCAGCGGAACCGGGAGCCCAAGTTTACGAGGAGAATCAACTACTAGTAGGCAAAGTCGTTCATGAGAGTAGCATTGGTGGGCTTTTGAAAGACTTGACGGGAGGTCAGTGAAGGGTGGCATACATTTATGCACGTCTCGTTGTAAGGATACGCATTATTTAGCAACCGTTATTTATACCAGAGATACCAGACTTCTTGTTAGTTGTGTCAAAGAAATACTTAGACTCTGAACAAATGTCACGCCACCACCTCGCCCTTATGTGACAGCGTGACAGTCACATGGACCCACGTTCGTACACAACTCTAGTCTTTGCTCGTAATTGGACGACACGGTCGAAATTGCAACGACCATGCCCTGCTTCCCATATTTTATTTCATAGTAGCCTGCGCATACTACTGACACTCCTTCAGCGATACCCATGGCCGTAAAGGATCTTGTCGGTCTGTTCGAGGCTCAAAGTTCGGATTCCTCACCCCAGGTCGCAACTCGTAGGCGCACGAAGTCTCCTCCACCCAATACCCTACCGCGGTCTCCCGCTAGATTTGTGAAGCATCCATTGCTTCCTAGGCGCGAAGATACTCCAGAACTGTCAGGAGATCTTTCAAAGGATAAAACGTCTCGTTCATCCGGAGAACCATGCAGCAATCAGAATCCGACAACTTCTCATGGCTTTGCCACGACTATCGCAACTTCACACTATTCACATATGGATACCCCAGATACCACACGGAGTGTGGCTTATGAATATGAAAAGACTTCCGAAGAGACGAGCGATGTGACGGACGAGCTTCTGCATCATTCGGAGGATAGTCTCCAAATGACAAGTCGTTGGAATAGTACCACCGTTGCAGGAAGTACAGGAGCTGAATATGAAATGCGTTCTCTTTTGCATGCGCCCACAATAACGCCAGGGGAATCCTATTCATCGCATACAATTCGCCCGCGTTCGCCATTTCGCTTGTTGAAGAGCGAAACGTCTTCACTGATATCGGCGACCACCATCACTGCCGTTCAGACTTCCACTTCTAATCAGCTATTGAACAGTTCTCTAGGAGCGCATACACCTATTGCAGCTACGATAATATTCGCTCGTTCAGCCATGCCATTATCTCTCCCTGCCCTTGACCGCTATATCTCACGACTGCCACCGCCTTCACTACCTTCCGTACCTTCTTCCGGCAAGGGGAAAGGCAAGGATATCTGCATGTTTCCACCAATGGATCGACTTGCAGCTACCGGACGAACGCTTGAAGATCTGGAGACCAATTCTTCAGTTGCTCCTGGTTGGAGAAATCGCAACACAATCCTTGGTGCGTTGGTTCGGGGCACCCTTGGAGTTACGGTAAGCTATGTTTATATCATGACTTGCTTTAACTTACTTTGTTCAGGGATCGAGTGCTTTGGCGCCGTTCTACAGCCTACATGGCCTGTTTGATACAATACAAATATTTGCGCTGATTCTGAACACCATCGGTATGTTTACTATCAAATTAAATTGAGTTTCTCTAATTCAAGATCGTCAGCCCCTCATGGAAAGGAAACCTCTGACCACTGGCGGAAGCTGATTTTAGGCACGATGTAGGCAGACTTAACCTGTTCCGTTGCCTGCTTACTTACGTGACCCTGGCTTTCTGCAGACCCAATATTCTTGCTTTGAACCTTGCCACAAGCACAGTTCTTTCGCTTGTTCTGCTTCTCATATTCATGTTCATTTCTGGCGCGTTGCTGTATTACTTCCATCGATCTACCTCTCTTTGTTGTCGTCTCGGCATTTCAGAAGGGCTCCAGCAATCGCCCCACCTTGCTAGCAACTGGGGTCTGCTAATCGCCACATTCATCCTGACAGTGTTATACTTGCCGCTTAGCACAATGGCGATGCATGTGCTAGTTTGGTCGGAGGATTTATGGGTTGTGCCGAATCCGTATGTGAACGCGACATCCTATCCTCCAGAAGTTTCACCCCTTGGTCCTCCTGATGAATTCCGCGACCCTTTGGACTTCTGCTGGACGACTACTATGAAGCGTAACCAGATTAACTTTGCTCCGATTGTTATAATAATTGCCTTCATATGCATTGCTGTCGTAAGTAGTCTGTTCCTCAAAGCTTTTGATTAATAATGTCTTCACCAGATGACTGTCTGGTTCCCGATTCATTTACGTCGTACAGTTAGGCTGGTCGCTCCTAAGGTTGACAAGTATACTGAACTTGGCATTAAACGAAACCAGAGTGATATGGACCGGGAATATCAACGTTTGTTGGCAAGAGACCGCAATCCATTGAATTTCTTATACAATGGTACCTGTATTCAGTTCCGCCTTCAATTACGAATCTCACGATTTCCCAGATTTTCGTAGGGGCTGGTCCACGTATGAATCTGTAGCCCTCTTGGCCAAACTCACAACCTTGCTCTTGACTGCCATCGTCGACCCTGACAACTGCCTATTTCGCTCTTTACCTCGCAACCGAGTAGCTGTCTCTCGCCAAATTCTCCTCCTAATCGCCATGCTCGGCTTCTTTCTGCTTCAGTGCATCCTTGCACCTTTCTTGGATCCCGTGAACAATGCTAGCGAATGGACATCTCGAGCTAATTATGTTGTTACTTCTGCTGTCTCACTCGGTGTCGCTTTGAATATACCCGGCAAGGATGCACTGAACGGTCCTGTGTTGTATATGTCGGTCGTTTTGCTATTCTTGCAAATTACCTTGTCTGATTCACTTCCAGAATCTATGTTGTAACTTATGGACTGAGTTTTTGTGAGTAGGCCCATTGGTGTAATGACGTCTTGACTGATATTGTCAGATTTTACTATCATTAACACTGGTTTCATGCGCAGGATTGTGAAGAGTAAGCTGCTCGTTCATTCATTTCGATTCCAGTGTCTGATACGTTGACATTGCGACAGGACTCGCACGTCGGATAGACTTCAGTAAGTGCAATTCCTGACATATCACGAAGCGTCCTGATTAAGAGTGACCAACAGGCATTGATATCTTCTCACCTCGGTATGCCCACTGTATGGTGGTCTATTGCAACAAGGTTATAACGGATTGACTGTAGAATCGATCTTTCGCCTGCATCTATTCACCCCAAGCGACGTATATGGCAGGAGGCGATTACCGCTCTTTTCTTAACGAGCCCTGAGTGTGGAATCCCCAACGAACAACACATGCATTATGCGGAGGCTCGAGACTCTGAGTATCCGCCATATCTTCTGGATTTTGCTGGTACTCCTGGTGAACGTCATGTCGAGAATCTGAAGGTTGGTGCTACGCAGAATTGGATGCAGGCCGTTTCCTGACATGTCATAATACAGATCCTTCGAGAAGCTGGCAAGTTGTCCTATGCTCAAGGCGTAGCCCTTGTCCATGGACCTGAGAAAGTTTGGTTCCAGCAGCTTGAAGAAACCATACAACTGCACTTTGTCGGTCCTGATTGCTATTGGAGGGACCCAAGGGGGATTCAGCCACGCAATTGCACGAGGTTCTTTGGGAACGCATGGTGGATCCCGTTTCCTCCCACTTTGGTACGTTGTCGCCCATTTATATTATAGTATATCTGACATATCATATGCAGGTCCTTCGATATGATGATGGGCCCCTTGCTGTCTTGCGGGATGTAAGCGACCTCGAACTCTACGTGAAACAGAATGCCAGCCGCGACATCATGAGGAGACGTGAAGTTCGCATGGCCCTACGTGCTTTAGACGGTAAAGTCGTTCAATGGCCTTACGAACATATTCAATTGGTTGGCTCCCGTTGGCCTTCCTTGTGTTCACGTCGGCGCTATCGGGCGCACACTGCTGTTCTTTTCCGCTCAGCCCTATTCAGTCTTAACCGTCATGGTCAGCTACTTTGGGAGGACCAGGATTTCGGAAGTGGTTTCGAACTTAAGCTGGAATATGCGAAGAATGTCACCCTGGACGGGACGGTTATTGGACTCAACGAAGACTACGACCTGACGACACCTCTGGCTCGTTTCTTAGTACTTAACGAGGCCCTGATTACCGAGCCCTTGTCCCATTTAGAGGCTGCCCTGGCAAGATATCGACATAACAACCGACAGGAATGCCTCTCAAAGGCGGAGACACTGACATATCGCTTCCTCACGCACGTCTATGATGTCATTCGTGAGCCTGATGGTCTGGCACAAAGTTCGATTGAGTTCGAGAGGGACTTGAGGGTGCGACAACTTATGGTTGGGAGCGAGATGGTGTTCGAAGCTTCATATGCCCGTTTCTCTGCGGTCACTAAATCGGAGGTTGCAACCTGGTGGTATATTTTCTGGGTTCGTTTATCTTGCTTTTATCTCGCTGTGTTGTTTCTTACCTGGGTTCAGGATGATCTGTGGAGGCGCAATTACGACACTATCAGTGGCATTAAGAAATACGCATCTGATTTCGACCCCCACTATCCTACTTCAATCGCCTACATACCATTGCCGAGGGCAGCGCTGGAAAACTTTTTGACCCAAAGGGGCCTGCTACACCGCAAACCGAAGTTTGGCGACTTCTTCCATGCTGGCTTCCTCAACAAGATCTATATCCGCATGTATGACATTGTGTTTCATTCATCCAAACGTGTAAGTCCACACTCCATTCCTTTGCTTAATATGATTCTGACCGTTGTATCTCTAGGCTGATATTATACACATTGGTGACGATTCCTCGGAACTCAACATGGAAGAGGTTGATCTCCAGACTCAAGCTCGCCCTTCTACTCTGGGGACAGGTGGCGGTACTGACCATGACGATGAGTCAATTCGGGCTCGACCTCTATACCGGTGGGAGGGCATTCTTACCGATAAACTCAGCCAACATGAAAGGTATCACCCAGACTTCCTCTCTAAGTTGGGCGTATGGTTCGGCGTCTCACCGCGATGGAGAGCGGGAATGCCTTCTCGAGGTCTTGCTTTGGACGTACGTGTGGAGAATGGACGCTATGTTCTGTTGCGTGACGATGCCAGTACTCCTTCAGTCTACGGTTCTGTCCAGAAAGGTAGTCATGATAAAGCCTAGCCTTTGAAGTTCGACCTCGTTGCGACTTACTGTACTTGTCACTTACATATTTTTACGACTACTAACGAATATGCTGTGAACTTCGTGTTCAGGATGTTGCCGGAAAGAAAAAAGAAAAGAAGATAGCCTGAGAGTGGTGAGTGGTTCATTATGCAATCTATGCCGTTATACGTCTAGTTTTATGACCCTTCTACTCTAAACAATCAACTCAATCAAGTCCGATGCCACTTCCTCTACAAGCGTCTCGTACGAGGACAAGAATTCTGCAGGTTGTCCAGGTACCACTCTTTCGGCCCCTTTGCCATACTCCACAGGCAGTAACATCTGAACTTCACGCTCTACCACCCGCATGCTCAGACTCTTCATGACACCCCGTAATTGTGCTGCACATGAAGCTCCACCTCTGATACTATATACCACAAGCATGACAGGCTTCCCTCGCCACTCCCTGGATAGGTGGTCGATTGAATTCTTTAGATCACCCGGATAACCACCATTGAATTCTGGTGTCAGAATAACGACCGCGGCGCAAGATGATACGAATGCGCTCCAATCTCGTATGGCTTGGGAAGAATACTGAGATGGGTCTGTGATCTGTCCGGGGAAGCGCGTTCCGTCTAGGATGGAACCTAGAGGAAGCGGTGGAGTGGTGGAATCTATTGTGACCACCTCGAAGGGTCGTTCGGATTTGGCGAATTGTTGTTGGAGGAGATTGGATAGCCAGGAAGCTAGGCCTGCTGAATTGCCATGGGTGCGAGAGCTTCCTACGATGAGGGCGACTTTACGTGAAATAACACCCATGTGGATGAAGGTTGGAATGCTCTTAAAGGGCGTTATACTGCTGACTATGGGTCACTGACAGACCACAGTAAGCGTATTTATAGGAGGATGTGCTGAACATGCTGCATGAGATGTTTGATATACACTCGCGACTGGAACGGACGACTTACTCAGTCTATCCAGCTGGCGCACAGGTCACGAAGCTAGGAAATGACAATCGTCGAGAAGGCATTTCCAGCTATGGAAATTGCCTGACAATGTCGGAGGAAAACTACTGCGTAAATGACGAGACTTTGACCAAACTCTATACCCGCCTTCAGACAAAGTGACTGAACTAAATTACCAACCTGTAACGCTGCTTGATGGATCTGGTAAACATCGTTCCTACATTCCGTTTTCTATCGGAAAGACGAGTCAGCGTATGAAATGTCACGTACCAAAGTAACCCACTGACTTCCGAGGTGGGCGCCACGTTGAACAATCGAAAATCAATACGCAGCCGCGACGTCACTGTCAGAAGAAGTGTAAGACTGCATTTAGCAATTCCTCCTAGCAATTGTTTGCACTTCTTTCACGACATCGGAAAATTGGCCGTCCCCCCACTAATTGTCATATATCTCTACGAGAACATAAAGCGACGACATTTACGACGGATGCATAGCAATACTATATTATACTACATAAGGTGCCCATCGTCTCTATATCTAAATCCTAAAGCCTGACACATGTCTCTATGCTCTAACTGGCCTATGATGCTTCATCCCTGCCACGTCTCTTTTGAATGACCATCTCTGTCTACGATGAGGATGTCAGTTCACCAAGTTCCCCCGCAGCCTTCTCAACAGCCGCTTCGTATGCAGAAAGGAAATCGAAGGTCCTGCCGGGGACCACTCTCTCAGACCCGCCAATGTACTCTTTGGGCAGCGAGATCTGCAGGTTGTCAGAGACAACCTGCATCTTGAGGCCGGTGAGGATCTCTGTCAACTGCTTTGCGCATCGTCCTCCTCCACTTGCGCCATAAGTGATCAACAACACTGGCTTCCTTTGCCACTCGTAGTAGAGATGATCGAGCGCATTCTTCAACTCGCCAGGATAAGCACCATTGTATTCGGGAGTGAGGATGACAAGGGCGGAGCAAGAAGTGACGAAGCGGCTCCATTCGCGAATAGCAGGCGATGGGTATTGCTCAGGATCTGTGACTTGAGCGGGGAAACGGCTCCCATCAAGAAGGGGGCCGAGAGGATGGGGTGGTGCAGTAGGGTCGACGGTAACAACCTCGAAAGGTTTTCTTTCCTTGAGAGGAGCCTTGTTCAGGCGACGTTGGATGATAGGAGAGACCCAGGAGGCAAGTCCTGCTCCATTACCGTTTGTGCGGGCACTGCCCAAGATGAGACCGATTTTACGCGTAATGACACCCATTGAGAGGAAGTGGTTCGATGAGGTGGTGGAAGGGAAGGCTTTGGTTTTCTTGACTGGTTCAAGACATCATACGGTATTATATACGATCTAATATCACGATACTGGAGGGCAACGGGTGAGTAAGCTCGAGTAAGGTTCGTTATCAAAATTGACGCTTGAAATGTTCACAAGCGTCGAAAACGTTCGAAAGTTCGCACGCAAGCCGGAGCAGTAGGGCATATCGAACCTTGCAGATGTGCTTGTAGCTGTTCACCCGACTGGTAGCTGTGCATCGCAACATATGTTCCTGAGAGCTCCGTTATGAAAAGCGTGGTCAGATCTAGACAAATGCGGCAGCGTTTTATGGAACGTCGCGATGTGACCAAGCAAAGAGGAAAATTATCATTCCCGAATAACACTAGCTGCTAGGTGCGGTAGTCGCGCCAAATCCAATTGGCAACATGTTCTCACCGGCGCAACTCGAGGCGCAAAACACGATCATGACAAGGAAACCAAGACAATAGGCAGAAAACATGGTGGCGAGTGCAAACAAGATGACGGTCTCGAAAAAGCGAAAGGCGCTCCGATCGATCCTTCCTCGGTTTCTATTTGCGGAAAGTTTACAACGGTCAGGCTTGTAAAATGCCTCGAAGACCTCGCCCAGCCACAAGGCGTCCCCCTCCTTCTGCGCCAGCTGCTGCACAAACAACTCTTCCCAACGCGAAACCTGTCACTTCTAGCTCAGGCAACTCAAGACCACCACATGAATCACCATCGGATACTTCAAATGATAGCATTGTAAGCGAAGTCGAGGAAGATCCTTCTTTGCACGGGAACAATCATGACAGCGATGAACTCGACGAAGAATATGGTGAAGAGGATGTTGACATTGACGCCCCGAGGGTAGCGCAATGGATGGACGATGAGAAGCTGGATGATGTACAGGAAACAGAGTCCAGCGAGGATGAAAGTCAAGACGAAGTGGATGACCTAGGAGAGGGCCCAAGTCATCAGATCAATATGGTGCGTTTCGTCATATCTTGTGATATACATCTATTATATTTGACCATATCGGGTACAGAAATCCTTGCAGAATGGTTCGTAATTTCATTGTCATCTTGGTTCTGCACACTGACATCGCTATAGACCTCTCTTCGCTCCCCTTTGGTGCTCTGAGAAAGGCCCAACATGCGCTCGCACAAGCAAAGGTTGTTAGTGAATCTGACGACGAATCTGAAGACGAGTCCGGGCCTGAAGAGCAAGTCACTCAGCTGAGTGCTATGGGCAAGGAGAAGGAGAAAGAGAAAGAGAAGGAAAGAGAGAAGCGTGAGGTTGCGAAGAGAAAACACAAGCATGCGTGCGTACTCGGACTCAATGTGTTTCCTTCCGACCTCTGATATCTCGACTTGCAGCCCCATGGAAGTGACCTCAAAGAAGCCGGTTCCCCGAAAGAAACCAGATTTTGAGGAGAAGAAGCTTGTATGTCCGATGACACTGCCCGCTTTTGAAAATCCTCAAAATTATCTTCTAGGTTCCTCGTGACCCTCGGTTCCTACCAATGACAGGCGAATTTTCTACTCAGCAATTTCAGAGACAGTATCGTTTCCTGTCAGAGTTGCATGTCAATGAGATGAAGACTCTCAAGGAGAATCTCAAACGTGCCAGAAAGTTGCTAGCATCTTCTCCAAGGGACTTGCGAGAAGAACGGGAGCAAGAGGTCCAACGTTTAGAGCGTGCGCTGAAGCGTGCCGAAAGTATGGTGAACAAGGATCGGAGGGAGAAGATCGAAGAAGAGGCTTTGAGCAAGGTGACGGTTGAGGAACGCGAAAAGCGGAAACAAGGGAAGGGAGCATGGTTTATGAAAACTTGTGAGTTCTTCGGTCCCTTCCTACATCAACTCAACATGGTAATGAACCTTTCGTGTTATAGCTGACAAGAAAGAGCTACTTGCTCGAGCAAAATACGACGCACTCGCTGCATCAGGCGGGAAGGGTGCTGTGAAGAAAGCTATAGAGAAGAAACAGAAGAAGGTTGCCCAGAAGGAGAAAAAGAAACGACCCTTTGCTCCTCCATCCGGAGGAGGCGATAGCGGTTGGGCAGGCAAACGCTCTCGATCAGGAGCGCAGGCAGAAAGACCGAACAAGCGTCCGAAATTTGGTTGAGTAGGGTAATGTTCCTTGACTCTTGCTACTGTATGTACCCTGTACTACTGGCAGATATCAAAGATACATGGTGTTCTCTGTTTGCTGATCTAGCTTTATTTTGACTGCAAACGATGACACGAGCCAATGAGATTTGGCACATTTCTAGATCTAACCAGTAGTTGGAGGTTGTGGGTCCAACACGCGCTCGCCTATTTTGTCATTTGTCTCCTAGTCTCCATCCATCTCATGGCACCGTAAAGTATTTCTATACGGCTGTATTGCCTACGGCGTGGCAATAACAGTCTATAAACGCACATGGACCTCGCCATGGAAGTCGTGGATAGTCGTCCGTTGTCTTCTGGTTTGGAAAGAATATCAAAAGACTATATTCCAGTCTCACACGTATCTGTCAACGCGGAAGCCGAGGTCGACAATCATGAAGGCGATATCTATCGAGGAGCTCCTCCGTCTCCTGCTCCAACTCATAGACCAGCATCAGCGGCGTCGGGCAGCTCTTCGTCGTCTAGCTCATCTTCAAGCGTTGCATTCGGCGGCAGACTTGGTGCAATCTCTGCCCTTGTTGAACATGCCATATCTCATTGGGCTCGAGCATGGGCATCGACTTCCTCTTTGGCTTCATCTTCATCTTCCACGTCTTCTTCGTCCTCCACGTCAAGTGTTAATTCCAAGACGACTAAGTCTCGGACTCGCCGGCGACGTCCTCGACCAAGCCTTGCGGACCTTCAGAATGCCAAATCCGAACGGGATATTGCTGCACGCATAAGGGCTCGAGAGGCTTCAAGGCATGTTCCTCGAGAATTTGTCTTATATACCCCACCTCGCCCTGGTTCAGCCCCACATCTGCCGCCAACACCTGTCGGAAAACCTCAAGTCGGGGTGTTGCGGACGACCTCTCTACCACAAATTCTTGCCATGCTCAGTTATGCGCTGAAGGACAACCTCAGATCTCGGCGTGTACAGGAGACTTCTCGATCGCCACCTCGAGCTGAACCAAGTGTCTCAGCCCGTTCTACGCCCCCGCTTCTACATCATGATTACATGATCCCAGAAGAGCTGCAACTCAGGAATATATCTACCTTGTCGCCCGCCGAGGGGCCTCGCAAGAAAGTGAAGAAAGGAAAGCAAAGAGCTGGTAGACCAGGTCCTTCTGCTTCTGCCCCGAGTTTGATGCATGTGCCGTCGGAACGCGACTTGGACAGGGCGTGGTGGTTGGATGTTTCAAGTCCTACTTGGGAGGACATGCGGGCAATTGGGAAGGTGCGCATATATCCATTTATTGTGTTGACAATTATTATTAAAGCATTTCTCGCCAAGTTGCTTCATCTACATCCGCTAACCCTGGAAGATATCCTCCAACAAGATCCTCGAGAAAAGCTAGAGCTCTTTCCAAAGCTTGGGTATTACTTCATCAATTTCCGGGCGATTGAAAGTCACAAAACGAGAGAACACCGTCGCAAGCGGATGGCTAGTATCGGTGACGAGGCTCGTCTGCAAGACGAGGGTATCGTTGGAGAGGTTAACGTCTACCTCGTCGTCTTTAGGGAAGGCATCTGCACGGTGAGCATTCTCAGCCGCTCACTTATTACATTTCGTCTGAACATGTTGTTTTGCCAGTTTCACTTCGCTGATATCTGTGGTATGCATCTAATTACAGTAAACATAGAATGACAAACTGAGGTCTTCATGCATAGAACATGCCGATGCCGTTAGGAACAGGGTGTTGATGCGCGATGAGACCGTCACCATGTCTTCTGGTTAGCTCTTCATCCTTCCATCGGGTTGTACTATGTTTTAAACAACTTATCTATACAGACTGGATCGCCCATGGCATCATTGACTCCATCGTCGACTCCTTCTTCCCCTTCCTGGATGAGATAGAGAAGGAGATCCTTGACATCGAGTCTATTGTATTCTCTGCAGGAGCCACTATCGATGAACAAAATACGCCTTCTCGCGCATCGGAGAGCACTCTTGCTCCCGAAGAACCTCGTGATAGTGCGGATTTGAAGGAGAAGAAGAGTTCGACTCCCAGCATCAAGGAGAATGAGACCTACCACAGTGGAGTCGCGAGGACACACTTCTCGATACCCAAACGTCGCGCACTGTCGTGTCGTCGCATCAAAGCAGTGTATCATAGTTTGAAGGCAATGATGCACACAGTCCGCGCAGATTCATCTGTGCCAAGTAGAAGCACCATTACCGTTCTTCGAATGGCAAAAACGCGAAGACTAGTCACTTCTCTCACGCGATTCCTCGCTGCCAAGTCAGAGGTGGTAGCGCAGATCAAGAAGAGAATGCTCAAGACTGGGGAAGCTGGCCTGGGTAACGGAACCGGTGATGACCATGACGTTTTCATGTACATGGGTGATGTTCAAGGTTAACACTTAATTTGGTACTTTTATGAAACTAGGTCTGATATTTTCTCCTAGATCACATCCTTACACTTCAGCAGTCGCTTGCTCATTACGAGCGAATGTTGAGCCAATCTCATCCAACGTATCTCACCGAGCTGAGACTCTCAGTCTCTAAGGCCAAATCCGCCAGTGATAAGATCATCGTTATGCTTTCTGTGCTTACTGTCGGAGTGCTTACTATCCAGACAATCATCGGTGTGTATTGCTTTTCATTTATATTATGCTTCATGTCCCTGACTATATTGCATGAAAGGACTTCATTCTATGAATATTCATGTCCCTAGAAACAGGTTCGGCAGCAGGCGGTATAACGTCTTCGCGACTATCATCGCAATTAGCTGCCTGATCGTGGTGGTATATGGCATACTGGTTCGTCGGTGGTGGGTCCAGGCCAAAACGCAACGGAAGAGCTGGAACCCTTCATAAGGTGGATGCGGACATCGTGTTTATTTTGCAACTTCGTTACGACTATAGACTGGACTCGCCTTCACTTATCAGGATATCTATCTATGCCCATATACCCCACCACGTATCTACCCTCGTCGTTTTTATCTTAATATTCGCGTCCCAATCCCGCATGTATCGTTATACCAATATCATAATACCGGATTCATCCTAAATATGTGACAAAGGAGCGGTGGGTGCTAATAGATAGTATGTTATATACAGTGAATGTGACCACAATGGAAGTTCCTAGGTATATCAGACAGGGGATATATGCACTTAGAGGTATGTGTTTGGAGGGGATATAAATGAATGCTGAGTAGAACAAGATTGTAAAGTGTGCCTTACTTATCGCACAATTGTACGATACGCTTGGTCTCTTCTAAGATACCCAGAACTACAATAACTCCTGATCAGTCTAAGGCGTCCTCATAGAGAATTTGCAACTATACCTTTCTCGCGGTACTGTAGCTCCATACGTTCCAGGCGATTGCAACATTCCATAAGAGTGTCTTCTTGGCTCCGCATCACATCCTCCTGTTGATGAAGGTTCTCGCTTTCGAGGCGGACCTTCTCCGATGCTTGGATGACATTACGACAAAGCCTCCGCATTTCAGCGACGTGATTGTGATAGGCCTCACGAGCACCATCAAGTTCATGGGCTATGGGGCAACATTTAGTACGATAGAGTCAAGCAATCTCTGGCATGTGAATCCAAACTCACCAACAGCGTCCGCTTCATCGACTGCCTTGGTGTACTTGGTCACTTGTTCCTCCCATGCCCGATCCATTGCCCAGGTAACAGACTTAGTCTGACTGATCACGCTCAACCTACTCATACTACCAGACTTCTTGAGGCTACTTCTCCGTCGAGGTAACGTAGGACGATGACTGGATTCAGGATCCTCTGGTCCCTCATGAATGGTCTCGAGTTCTGGACCGGGTGCGGGGAAAGGTACTTTATCATCCGCTGGTGCATCTACAAGAGTACTGTTGGGACTGGAAGGTCTCACAGGTTCCGGCTCCGGAGAAACGGGTACGGATCGATCCATAGGTTCAGGGGAGTCCACAAATGCCAAATGCCCCTCGTCTAACATGGTGGAGGAGCGAAATGGGATGGGTACAGGGTCGGGTGAACGAACGTTGGCACGGGCGAGTGAGGAACCTGCACGACTCCCATGATACGGTGAAACTGATCTACTACGATGTGGAGTAGGAAGGGGTGAAGGGGTACTAGACCGCCGAACATTGGGAGCTCGTTCTGCATGTCGCGATCGTACTTGTACGGGCAAAGGTTGGGCTCGGGATTTGGCATGCTTCCTCTGAGAAGTGGATGCCGGGTTGGCTGACTGTGAGACTGAAGCACGTCTTGCACGATCTGGTACCCGAGCCGTTGTACGACCTGAAGAAGCGGTAACACGACGTGGAGCAGTTTGTAGAGGTGCGACGACGTGGGCGGGAGGGCTGCATTTGTCGCAGCAATATGGTCTTGTGGGACCTTCCGAACTACCCTGCGTAATGTCGGCACCCTGATCCCTGAACCATCTCTCCATCTCCTTCAACCTGAAGTCAGGTGGTGCATGGATCGTAAGAAACATGGGATGCGAAGTGCTTCTGTCTTGAGGGACGGAACCCTTTGCGAGTCGCTGGCACTTGCGAATCATTCGGTCCTTGAGGTGTCGAATTTGCATGATTCGATCCCATGAAGCTTCCCTGTCCTTTGCGAGCTCTGCCGCTTCAACTCTGAGTATATGTGCATAAACCAATGCGGTACGAGGTGGTAATAGTACCTTTAGCTGAAAAATGAGATTCACATTACGTTTCTATCTCATTGGCACGTACCCTCAGTTCGTTAGGTGTATCCGTGCACTGTAGCCATCGCCAGCCCGTTCTCGAATACCCATCAGCCGAAAGCGGTTCCAATTGTCCTCTTACTGGAGCTTGCTGGAAGTAGTTAAGCTGTGGCTGATGGGTACGTCTATGAGAAGCCATTCAAATATAGTCGACCCTCCTAGAATCGATAGAGAGGATGGTGGAGGAGAGGAGAAAAGCTGACGGAAGGAATGTGTCTTATAGCCGAGGCATGCCAACAGCTGCCAGCATCCTCGGGATGTGCCAAAATTTGGACGCTGTGCACAACAATGGCATCTGCGTGTATTTCTTCCCCACGTGTGGGTGGTTTCTAGTCTGTTTCTAGTCGATATGTGGTGGAGGATACGACGGACAACTTTCTTTGGAAGGTACGGAGGTGATAGTCGAGGTTTCCTCAAATGTGTTCCTTCCCGCAGGTCCTCGTGCAGGCATTGAATAGATCGTCTATCAAACTTCATTTCGGTCTCATCCTCAACAGGTATGCGAGCTTGTGAACATAGACTAGAATAAGCAACACAAACCCTAGCTGTAGTTCGGAAACACTCTATAAAGAGCGTACTCGCCGACGGAGACTTGACCGCTTTTGGTAGGGTATGTTGCAGGTAATCACAGTTCCCAAGTGCAGTCGGCGTTAGGCCTCCCCGCTTGCCCGCGATCCTCTGGGGTCGCTTTCCTGGATTCTACACTCTTGCACAACTTGTCCTCGTCGTCCATCATGGCCTCTGCCATCGCGAGCTACGAGTCCTTCCTGGTCAACAATGTTTCCACCATATCGACTCTGGAGTCCTCCTTGCGATCGGTCACTTGGATTCTGCCGGGCAGGTTCAAGGATGCTGAGCTGGCCTCTGAAGCTCGTAAGAGACCTCGTCGTTCAACAGTAACGTGTTGCTGATACGTACATGTGCTGCTGTTTCTTGTGTATACAGTTTCTGCATTACTCAATGTGATGAGCATGTATCATGACACAATTCTCTCGAAGATCATGCAGTCCGAACCAAAGTACAAGCCGCTCTTGCCTTTCTCACTGCATGTTCGTTATACGAAAGCCTGGTCCGAGAAGAGCTTCACGTATAAGTGGGCTGCTCGTGCCCTTGAGCTCATACGCTTCGTAGAGTTGTTGGTCGAAATGGGATTACGTCGAAAAGCCTCCGTGAAGGCTAGGTGGAGAGGTATTGTCATTATTGAGATGATCAAGTACGTTGCAACATAGTCATAAATGAACTTTATAACATTAATACTTCACTTCACATTAGAGCATTTCTCCGATGCGTGCTACTGCGTGTCACTCGAAGACCTTTGATTTCTCCTCCTATTCCTGAACGAGAGTTCGATCCTTCAGTCTTACCTCCTCTCTCTAACACCTCGTCACCTACGCTTGCACCTTCCTCGCCACCTTCTTCACTCCCTTCTACGCCAGATCACCTCAGGAACAACCATACCCCTCTTCCGCCTCACCCACTGCTGACTCCACCGCCTCCTACCCAATCTCCTTTGCCCGTGGAAGACTACCTGCTTCCAAAAGCACTAACAACAGCATCTGTCAGAACACCTACCGCGCTTGTGAAAGTGCTGACATCTCCCAAGGATTGGATCGCTGAAGTGATCTACATTATCCGACCTCTAATTTATGGCACGTCCCTCCCACTCACGTGTATGCATATAAGTATTAATAGCGAGATCCAGCTTCAATGCTTGCCTCTGATCGAGAAACTAATCGCCCTCTGTTAACCGCTCTGGCTTTGGAATTCTTCTCTAGAAACCTGCGACGAGTCCCGTCCTCATCGTCTGCGCTTGAGCGTGCAGAGTATGCGAGACGCGATCGTGATATCTTGTGGTACCTCTTGCGGGGATCCATCTGGGAAACATGGACCCGGTAAGGCATGGTTCTGTCGTGTCTGAGTTCATTGTTGACTTTACCTCTTCTAGACCAAAATTGGAGTCAATTGCCGATAGCACGGCTAATGTTCCTTTGCTGGGTCTCTTCAGCGCTGTTGTGAAGGATTGGATACCGCTCATTGACGAGTACTATTACTGTAAGTCCATCCTCATTGCGATAACATCCTCAAGCTCAATCACGATAATCACCCCCAGATACTGCTCCATAATTGTTGGGGATAAAGTTGCTCTATGTTATTGTTTCCTGTGTTCTGCATTGCCTCATCTTGCATTCTTTGTTGTTCGTGTTAAGCTCCGTGATCACGGATATTCTATTTCTGTACCATCTGTCCAAGCCACTGTCAAGCCCCGCCATCGTTTCCACGCGGCCCGAGGTATGTACATGAATGTTTGTTGCTTTGACTCTTTGAGAGGTATGGTTGCCGGAAACTGATTTGAAAGCTGGTTATAAGGTGGCATCCAGTGACATGATGAATCTGCCTCTTTACCATTTCCCCCCACATTCCCACTACACGAACATTCTGTAAGCACCATACTATGAGCGGTGACAAACCTTCCGCTGTTCGACGTCTTGTCACGGGACACACCAACGATGGGGTGGCTATCATAAAGAACGACGGAGTCTTACCCTTACATGTACTGTCCTGCAACCATAAAGTTTAACGTACCCTTGAAACTAAGAGGTTCCCCTTTTACATATCAGGAGTATGCTCCCGGCTTGGAAGTGGCACGTATCTGGGTTACGGACTCGGTGCCATCGAAGGACAACAATATCGAGTACGTCGCCAATGCTGGTGATGCCCATCAGGGCACAACTGACCAAACAACATCAGTATCGATGGTGCATCACGACCTGTCACCAGAGACAATGGCTTGGTTTCAACAGGTGGCACCAACTGTGTTATCACGGATTTGGCTCCAGGTGCATCGACCCCTTGGGTACGTTCTACGCCTGTTCATGTGTCTCTCAGCTAGTTGACACAAAACATGTAGCATCGAGCATCCTCTGTTGATCACAACATACTGAGTATGTTCATACAAGAAGAATGTCTTTGACTTTCTAGACTCACATTTCTTACAGTCAGCGGGACTGTGGTCTTGAAGACGGAGGATGGGGAGGAAACGTTGAAACCAGGCGACATAACCATACAACGAGGAACTATGCACGCTTGGTACAACCCAGGACCAGGGTATGCGAGATGGTTCTGTGTTCTGGTTGACGGTGAACCTGCTGAGATTAAGGGCGAGCGGTTGGAAGCAGCAATCAAAGTATGATAGGTTCGTGTAAAGAACTTTGTACTACATGGTGATCTGTATAATAGGACGATTTGAACGACATCATTCATACATCGGAAACTGGGGCAGCTAACTGTGCGTGCAGTCTGTGGTTCACTGAAGATTGACGAAGAGACCACCATCGGCGCGTAAAGACGCTCCGGTGACATACTTGGCCAGATCGCTCGCCAAAAAGACCACGGGGCCTGCGATATCATCTGGTCCTAAGGTAATGCGAGAAAAAGATCATGTCACCATAGGTGGAGATGGGAATGCATGAGCGGTACTTACGACCCAGCCTACCAAGGCAAGTTCGTTTGATCATATAATCTCTCTTCGCTTCATCCGAAAGGTCTTCTTTGTTGATATCAGTGGCGATTGTGCCGGGCAAGACCGCGTTCGCTCTGATGTTATATTTTCCCAGTGCGACAGCACAGCTGTGCATGAGGGAGAGGATTCCAGCTTTGGTGGGAGTATAATGACTGCACAGGGCGGTATATTTCTGGGAGTGTACATGTTCAAGTATTTCACACTTACCATTGTAGCTCGCCACCAACAAGTGCGGAGATAGACGAGATGCCGATGATAGATCCTCCCTGAGGAGTTTGGGACTTCATTTGATTCGCAACCGCTGAATGGGGTCAGCACCTCTGAGGCGGTTGTAAGGATAAGCAAAATTGTGTACCCTGCACAATATAGAAGGATCCATCAAGGTTGACTTGTCGCGTCTTTTCCCATGTTGCATGAGGCATAGTCAAGAACTCTGCAAATGGACATATGCCTGCATTGCTAACAAGGACATCTGCCGAAATGTCAGCAGTTGTGGCCCACACGTATAGATCAAAAGTGTACCTATCCTTCCGAAAGCCTTCACTCCAATATCAACAATCTACGAAGACCTCAGGTTAGATGCAGCGCAGTGATTCTTAAGCACAATGTTGTAACCTTTGAAGAAGTCGATGAGTCGCCAATATCACCTGGAACTATAGCGACCTTCGCAGGAGAATATGTAGACTCTATCTCCTGCTTTAATGTTTGTATTTCAGCCTCGGTCTCCTTGTCCCCAAGGTAGTGCAGAACTAGTCCAGTCGCGCCATGCTTTGCACATTCTATAGCACAAGCGCGACCAATGCCTCGCGATGAGCCTGTGATGCAAACAGTCTTGTTAGATAACAAAGCCATGGCGTTCTGATATTCCCGCAGAGCGAGAGAGGCTGAATTCGTTTATACATGAGAAAGCCATGGTCATGGTGTATAAGTACGCGGTCTAGCGAGTGAACTTCCCTTGTATCATTACCGGATATGCGGTCCGGTGATGCCGCAAATCCGGGGTAGCGCATATACTTTCCATCTCTTCCACCAACCACACACCGAGACTGGTCTTTGGTTCCCTACTGACTGTGTCATGAGACAGCAGTTGTGGTTTTGTTCTCTCCGGAGGCGGAATTCTTCGTTCCGTACGGCTGAATCAACCGTGTTTAAAAGGCCAGAAATAACAATGGATAATGTCCAACAACTTCAAGTTGCTTGACTTTCACTTTCAGACAGATGCCGTCTGCAAAGATGTGTGTTCTATGTTCTATTGTACTGAAGGGTTGAACTAACTTTTAATGTTTAGCTATTACGATTCTGACGCGGATCTCAATATCCTTAAGGATAAGACTATCGTCTTCCTTGGGTAGGACTCCTTGTCGGTTCCTTGAAGTCTAAGAAGCTAAAGATGGCATTAGGTTTGGCAATCAAGGAGCAGCACAAGCTCAGAACTTGCGCGATTCTGGGCTCCCGAACGATAAAATTATTATCGCCAATCGACAAGACCATTACGCTGAAGATGCGAAGTCCAAGGGATTCAACGTAGAGCATGACTTTTCCAAGGCTGCAGCTGCTGCCGATGGTATGATGCTTTTACGCTCAACGCTGTTATGTTCTCGTCCCTAACCGCCACAATTGAAATAGTATTATTCTTGCTCATCCCTGACCAAGTTCAGCCTCGCGTGTTTAACGAACAAGCTGCTCCGCATCTGAAGGACAACGTCACCATTGTCATTGCTAGCGGCTACAACGTGTTCTACAAGCTGTTGAACTTTAAGTCTACTCAAGATGTCGTTATGGTCGCTCCCAGGTATATCTCAACTATCTTCCTGGCCTCAGACGTTTACTGACCAAATATAGGATGATTGGATCCTCAGTTCGTAGTCTATATGTGAAGGGCAAGGGTTTCCCTTGTTTCGTATCCGTGGAACAAGACGGAACTGGGAATGCTTTGTCGACTGCTCTCGCTCTGTCTCGTGCCATTGGCGCGACGAAGGCCGGCGCAATTGCATCATCCGCTCGGGAGGAAACAGCAATGGATCTTTTTGCGGAACAGGGCCTCTGGCCAAACATCATCATGCTCTTCAGGTTAGGCTTCCACTGTGCGAATTGTATCGTTTGCTCATTCCAGGACAGGGAAGCGTTTAGTGTACTTAAAGAAGCCGGTTGCTCAGATGAGGCGTTATGTTATGAGATGTGAGTCTGCCTTACATGAGGTCTATTGTCGATCATTTCTCATGGATGAATGTCTATTAGGTGGATGTCTAAGGAACCTGCTGAGATCTTTGAACGGGCTGCGGAGGATGGCTTCATTGCTCAGGTAAGGAGGCTCTCGACTTTTGGTGTTGACTGACACTTATCATTATGGACATATACAGCTCAAGCACCACTCCACCGTCTCACAATATGGTCAGCTGAATGGATCTCTTAAACTCGATGGCACGGCCATCCGTGAACACTTCAAGGAAATCCTCTACAATCAGGTTTGCACTATGATTTTTTGCGGAGCCATTTTCAATAACGTTTACATTAACGTTTACATTTTCAAGGTTCTGAATGGCAAATTCTGTCAAGAATTTAGTAAGATTGAAGCCGATCTCGAGAAGGAGGGTGACGAGAACCCGCTCAACCAGTTGTACAAGAAATCCGAGGAGTCTGAGCTTGGGCAAGCTGAAAAGCGGGTTAGGGCAAGGTTGGCGCAACTACTGTAGTATAGCAGCTCTTTAGAAGTGTACGTTCATGTCGGAACTTGTAGTACTATACCTACTCAATATTTATTCCAACTCGGGTTAGTAGAACGAAGACAGCTTGTGACGCGTGACAAATGTTATACGTAACTTGTGTGTGACAACAGCGTTGAGCTTCAATTTTGCCCAGAACCGTCATTGTGCCTCAACGGTGTACTGCAGACCTCGCTGTTGACTGTGCCGGATATGTCTTCTCCTAACGGCAAAATGGTCGTAGACCCTGTATCTCCTGATAGACGGTCTAAATCGTAGGCATTCAATCTCTTGTTTTGCTTTGCTCCTCATTACGATTTCTTCCCCTCACAGATCCCGAAACCATTCCACAGAAACTCATCGTACCAGGCGTTCGCATCGCTCGCGATCCAGGGAACGCGACAGGGGTAAAGATAGACGTGACAGACGGAGGGAACATGATGACTACGACGACAGACGAAAAAGGAGTCGTAGTAGAGATAGGCGCGAACGCTCTCGTGAAAGGCCGCACAGAGACCGAGTCTACGACAGAGATCGTGAACGCGAGCGGGATAGGGAACGCAGGGAACGCCATCGAGGCGAAAGGGAGCGGGGCGAGAGTCGACATAGCCATCGAGACCGTGACCGCGATGAAAGGGACTATCGCGAACGCAGACGTAAGCATGTGGACGACGTGGACGAATATATAGACGGTCGCAATGGTGAGGACAGGGTGAAACGTAGGAGGGAAGACGAAGGACCCGAGGACGCTAGTCTTCCTGCTCCTCCACCTTCTGCTAATTTGCCACCGCCACCGCCACCTCCCTTGTCTGAAAGCCCTCACCGCCGTAGGGATTCTCGTGACGTTGACCGCAGATATGATGACAGGCCTCCTCGCAGACCAGTTTCCGACGCTCGCGATGACTTTGATGACCTTGCACGCTATCCACCGGTGAAGGAGCATACCTCACTTTCGCGAGGTCCCCCTTCTGTAGAGTTCGAAAGACGAAGTATCCCACCGGTTAGGTATGATATTCACTATTCGGTTGTTACGTTCATTCTAATACTTTGTCGATAGCCGTCCTTCGCCCACCTACGAGATTCCCGATGATACCTTCAACCCGGATGAACCAAAAGAGGATGATTCTGAAGCTCGGTCTGTCTTCGTGTCACAGCTTGCTGCCCGTTTGACTGCCCGCGATTTGGGCTATTTCTTCGAAGAGAAATTAGGCGAAGGTGCTGTTATGGATTCGCGTATCGTCACCGACCGAATTTCTAGACGTTCAAAGGGGTAAGTTTCAATCGCCTTATCCAGCTTCCTCGTGGGCTTACTTTTGTTTGCAATGGCAGTATTGGCTACGTTGAATTCCGTTCTGTTGAACTTGTAGACCAAGCTATCGCTCTCAGTGGTACGATTGTGATGGGTCTTCCTATTCAGATTCAGCAGACCGAAGCGGAGAGGAACAGGTTGCATCCGGGAGACGGGTAAGATATTCTTAAAGCTTTTGTAGTTTGAGCGTTGACCGTTCTTGACAGCAATCTCAACCTGCCACCTGGCGTTAGTGCTCATCATGGCGGCATGCAGTAAGTGCATTTTCATGTTTGCATCTAATGTTCAGACTCTAATCTGTGTCGGCAGGCTCTATGTTGGCTCCCTGCACTTCAACTTGACAGAGTCGGATATTAAACAGGTTTTCGAGCCATTTGGGGAACTCGAGTTTGTTGATCTTCACAGGGATCCTATGACAGGACGTAGCAAGGGCTATGCTTTCGTTCAGTAAGTCCAATCAGCCCAGTCATTCGCAAATACGAGACTCATGGAAATGTCAGATACAAGCGCGCTGAAGATGCCAAGATGGCATTAGAACAGATGGAAGGGTTCGAATTGGCCGGGCGCACGGTGGGTATAGCGATGCTTTATCTTCGATAGTTTACTGACCTGCAATAGCTTCGCGTCAATACTGTGCATGAGAAGGGCACGGTCAAGTATACTCCGCAGGATTCCCTTGATGAAGCTGGCGGTAGGATTATGTCATATATTACGCTTTCAGTATCTAACTTTGCATTGTGCAGGTGGTAATCTGAATGCAGCATCCCGTCAGGCGCTGATGCAGAAGCTTGCTAGGACTGACTCAGCTCCAGTCCGAGCGCAGCCAATGTACGCTGGTACTGTCTCATGTCGTTCCATCCCGATACTGACGTTTCACTCTCTAGTATGAAGCCTAATATTCCTCAGTCAATGCAATCACGGTCTGTCCTCCTCAAGAACATGTTCGACCCTGAAGAGTAAGATCGCTTTTCCTGCCTGTCTCCGACTCCATGACTGACCTGTTTGCAGGGAAACCGAACGTGACTGGGATAAAGATCTAGCGGACGACGTCAAGGGCGAGTGTGAAGAGAAGTATGGCCATGTGGAATTCATCAAAGTGGAAAAGGAATCTCAGGTAAATGGCTAGCAGAGTTATGTTGAGGCTTGTTACTCAATCATTTGTCTTAGGGCGAGATCTATGTTAAGTTCGACAACATCGAATCTGCCAAGAACGCAATCCAAGGCCTGAACGGTCGTTGGTTTGGTGGCAGACAAGTCTCGGCTGCCTTCATCTCGGATGCCATCTTGCAGGCTCACCAGTAATTGTGTATCGAGTATCGGTCTATGCCTCAGACGGATGTATGCTGCTGCTGCGCGCATGCTGACGTTTTCTATGTTGCAGGACATTCTTACCGCATTCTTCACTGATATGGTCTCCTCTTTCACCGTGTCTATTTAGGTTTTCTTCCGTTTCCAAAAGTTATGCTATACAGATTCCCTAGGCGCGATTCGGGCTGTCTCGATGTCTGATCATCGTGCAGGTTTGCTCGTACTATTTTGAGCTATTGCAGTGATACGTATGCTCTCAACCTCTGTTCTCTATGATAGATTCTTTTGCGATACCATCAACATGGCATGGAAGAGTATCGATATATATCTGACCATTTTGAGCAGGTCCCGTAAATTTTGTCTTTCCTGCCTCCCCTACCACCAGGTGATTATTTGTTTCTGTTGCCGCGTGCTTTACAGTAATTGCTGGGGCTAGGCTTTTTACCGCAACCATGGGCAATTTGGGAGGTGTATAGCCAGGCAGCTAACAGCAGGAACTTCAGTGGAATATCAGCAGCCTACTAATTTTATGATCTTTCAAGTGTACAGTAATCGCCGTCGCAACTCTCAGGTAATTTGGAATATGATATGTTCAATAACATGACCATGAGCACGAAATGCGTCTGATTGCGTTGATATCATCGATTCATGCAGATGACTCTATTCTCGTTTGCGTGCGCTGTCGTGACTCATCCGAGAATCTGCGTTTTGTATACATACCACCATGTCTACTGTTGAGAAATTGAACTCGTCTGAGAATCCAACGTACCCCCATATCCTCTGTAGGTTTCATACTCATCGCACAGCTTTTGGCCTCGTTCTAAAACGAACTTGCAGCGCATGCGACTAAGGTCCCAGGTTTGATCTTCCTCAGCGGTCAGACTCCTGTGGATAGTCAGGGCCAGCTGGTTTCTGGAGGGATCAAGGAACACACTGTATGCTCTGACATGCATTCAGAGGATTTCTATGTCGAGTTGTATGTTTTTTATAGGAGCAATGCATCAAGAACTTGGGGAATGTACTCAAAGCTGCTGGCTCTTCATGGGAGCAGGTAGTGAAAGTCAACGTTTATCTTAAGAACATGGACGACTTCGCCTCCATGAATGAAGTATATGAGAAATGTAGGTTTGTTTTGTTCATATTTTGACTCGTCCTCTTAACCTCTACTCAAGTGCTGCCAACGCCCAAACCTGCTCGTACTTGCATCCAGGCTGCGAAGCTGCCCAACGACGTGGACGTGGAGATCGAAGCCATAGCAGCAGCCTAAACACTTTACCAAGGAATGTTACGCATCCAACAGTCGCCGTTTCTGTAGCCATACACGGTTGTTGGAATGCAATTGAACTGGTTGGAGCAATGAGAACCCACTATATACTATTAGATCCAAAAGCCTTCGCTAAGGCTTGAACAGCGTCTGTTATCAACTGTCTGCCCACTTCCAAGGCCCTGCTAATGTTCAATGTAATCCGCAATGTGAGAAGATGACTTGAACTTACCCTAGAAAAAGAGGAATTGAGCATTGTTTCAAAGACACTGAGAAGAACACATACCATCCTGAGCCATGATAGGATGAGGTGCACCCTTATATATCTTAATCTCGACATCGACACCAGCCTCCTTCAACTTTTCACCATAGGCAAGGCCTTCATCTCGTAGAATATCAAGCTCGGCAACACCGATCCATGCAGCTGGAGCCTTTGCGAACAACTCTGCTGGTGCGAAGATCGGCGAGCTATCCCACTTTGGCCAATCGGCCTCGTTTGGCATATAATTAGCTCGGAACCAAATCATCTTCTCTGGACTGAGAGCAGGTGTGTTCTCATTCTCCTTCCATGAAGCATGAGGAACACCATTGGTAGATGCAGTATTATCTACCACCGGTACAATCAACACCTGGAAAGTTAGTGGAATAGGTGGGTTAGATAAGGCTGCCTTGTGAGTAATGATTGCCGCAAGGTTCCCGCCGCTGTAAGACCTCCATAGATGAACGATTCAGATACGTCCGGCGGTTGAAGCCTACGCACCTGGAAGAACCGCCCACAGCTATCTTAGTTGCATTGATTCCGAGTTCACTTGCACCGTTCTTAAAGACCCAATTGAGAGTCTCTTCAGCATCTTCCACAGCTGCAGGATATTGTATCTCCGGACCAAGACGATAGTCAACGGAAACTACGACACAATTTGCACCTATACGATGGACGGTCATCAATAATCCGACGCGTAATGATATACCATCAAACGTTTGCAAGCATTCGTTGAGAATGCGTTCTCCGTATTGACGTCGCCGAGACACCAGCCGCCTAAGGGATATTCTAGATGAAATATCATAAGACGAGTATTCGATCGACGCACCACCATGGAAATAGATAAGTACTGGCCAACCACCTTCAGGAGGGTTGCCCTCGGGAGTGAAAACTCGAACTTTGCACTTGCTGAAAGGAAGATCTTTCACACTTCCGACTTTCAGCGGTGTCGAACCGCCCGCAACAGGTGGGTTCTGGCGGAAAGAGGGATCCCATGGGATCTGATGAACGGAAGGGGACCAAAGAGTTGTCGCATTGTGGTGTTTGATATACTCTGGTAGCAGTTTCGGGAGGAAGTCTGGGTGGATAGGCTGCCAAGCCTTGCGTTCTTGGGTATCAGACATATTCTGAGGTGCAAAGGACGCGATAAGTACGAGGATTCCAACCGAACTCAGGTCACTATGAGGAATATTTCCAGGTGGCGGGCCGGGAGACCGCGAGCATACTTAGAACCGAGTCACGATCTGACCGTCATGATAGTGAAGCCGACATTGACCATGTTAGGTATATATGAACTGAAGGTCCACGAGCGGCGATCCGTCCCTATCTATAGACCATCTCCATCTCAACTGTTTTATTGCTTCAGTGGAAGTGTCACAAGAATCCAACCATGACAAACTTACCTACTCAAACAAACACTCCGCATCGACTTTCAGGAAGACCTGACAAGCAGGCACTGGTCTCTGAATTCAAAGGTAAACCAATCCGGGGCCTTCGAACACCTGCAGTTGTGATCGACCGAGCGATCTTCGCGCAAAACAGTGCCAGAATGCACGATAATGCCAAGCAATGGGGTGCGAGTTTCAGAGCTCATGTAAAGACTCACAAGGTAGCTTGCTTCCACAACACGAACTACTTGGTATTAATCCGAGAGACTACAGACTGCGGAAGGAGTGAAACTGCAACTCGTCTCGAGCTCGGATACGACATATGCCATTGTGGTCTCGACGTTGATGGAGGCTTGGGAAGTAGTCAACGCAGGTTTGGTGAAAGACGGGATAGTTAACGACGTAAGGAAACAGTCGTCCTTTTGAACGGCATCAGTATACTAATCCTGGTCATAGATACTGTACGGGCTTCCAATTCCAGTCAATAGAGTCGCCGACCTAGCTGCGTTGTCAGACGTCACTGCTCAGTCTGGTGCCGTCATTCGAATATTGATTGACCATGTAGACCAGATCAAGTTTATAGAGGAGTACGAAAAGACCATGAACAGCTCAAGAAACTGGTCCACCTTCCTGAAAGTCGATGCTGGATCTAAGTGCGTAGTTCCAGAAATGTGGATCGAAAGTCACATATAAATCATCAGTCCCCAGACGTGCCGGACTTGACCCAAGTTCAACTGCATTCCACTCGTTATTGGAGGTTGCCTTGGAATCTCCGGTCTTGACAGTCTTCGGATTCTACTGCCACGCGGGACATTCCTATTCTTCCACATCCCCGGAGGCAGCGTCAAAGTTCTTGACGGCAGAAGTGAATGCGGTTAACGATGCAGCGAAGCTGGCCCTGGCTCGATCTAGTAGTCCGTCGAATGATACACAATTCATTCTGTCCGTAGGATCCACGCCAACCGCACATGCAGCGACGGCAGAGACTAACGCCAAGCTAGGCGAGTTGCTGCACGGTAAACTCGAGCTTCATGCAGGTGGGTGATAGTTTTGAGATCGCCGAATTCCATGGTGAACTGTCCCCCGGATAGGGAACTACCCTTTGCTTGACCTTCAACAACTTCATACGGGTTTGATCGACCGCACTCGTATTGCGCAAAGGGTCCTAGCAACAGTCATTTCGTACTACCCTGGCAGAGGAGCGAACGGCACCGATGAAGCGCTATGCGATGCAGGCGCGATTGCAATGAGTAAAGACACAGGTCCCAGCGGGGGTTTTGGAGAGGTCATAGGTAAAAGTTGGAGACTGGGGCGTGTGTCGCAAGAACATGGTATTTTAACCAGAAGCGGAACAGAAACAGCGGCGGGAGAAGACCAACTCAGAATTGGGGATGTCGTGCAGATTGTCGGTCAACATGCATGCTTGACTTTGGCGGCATACCCATGGTATTATTTGGTAGACTCCAGCAAAGGAAACGATGCCAGCGTGGTAGAAGATGTGTGGGTTCCCTGGAAAGGGTGGTGATGCATAAGTACTATCTGTAATGGTGCACTAGTTTTTTGAGGGTTGTGCTTCTGCAATATATAGCTTGTCAATAAAATTTAGGTGTGAGAAGCAAACCGTCCGTCATAGCAGACCGTAGTGATAAATATGAATGAAATGAAGTACAGCCGTCCTGGTGGTCGTTGAAGACTATCCTAGGCCTGGCTTGCTCGAGTAGCGCCTGTGTCACCGCACGTGGTGACTGAGTTCGTCTCCTTGGCCTGCGGTGGATGGGGCTCGACATACGTTCTTACTCTCATTCCACACACCATGTCGAACGATTATGACCTAGAAGCAACAGAACTACTGGAAACGTATGGTACGCGATTGTGTTCATCGTTGTATCCCATTGGCAGGCTAGAACTCGACACTCAGATTTCCTCATGAAATATATCATCATTGGTATGCCGCTCACTGCCTCTTCCCTTCGGCTTTTATATTCATACACCTTTTAGGCGAGGCTGGAACTGGAAAGTCATGTCTATTGCACCAGTTTACGCACAACAGCTGTTCGTACTCCCAATGCAATGTTTGTGATATGCGTCAGTCTTATCTCTTCCCATGTAGTCAAGGAGCATTCGCAACATACAATCGGCGTTGAGTTTTCGAGTAGAACTGTGAAACTTGGAGAGAAGAGAATAAAGCTTCAGGTTCGTTCTTTATATCACGCTTACCTGAACACCCCTCTCATAGTTTACAGTTATGGGATACGGCAGGACAAGAACGGTTTAGGTGCGTACCATGTCAGGATATAACGTATCTGTACGTTCACTCACACTCACCTTCGCTCATCAGATCAGTCACTCGAAGTTATTATCGAGGCGCTGCGGGCGCAGTACTTGTCTACGACATTACGAGGTATGGTTTACTCTAGCCCAGAGAAATGTATAGGCTGACCAATTGTGCAGTCGTGCCTCGTTCCTGAATTTATCTCGGTGGCTAGCTGATGCAAGAGCATTGGCAAGTCCACATCTTGTGACTGTGCTTGTTGGCAACAAGTCAGATCGTGAAGAGGATAGAGAAGTGGAATGGGCAGAAGCAAGCCGATGGGCCGCAGACAATGGTAAGCAATTACGTTTCGCGATTATGATGGATACTCACCCTTAATTTGGCGGTCTCACGTTAGATGTGCACTTCCTGGAGGCTTCTTCATTAACTGGGGAGAACGTCGAAGCTCCATTTCTCCTCTGCGCACGCTCAATATTGCTTGCGATTGAATCGGGGACCTTAGATCCCGAGAAGGCTGGCAGCGGGGTAAGCTACGGCGACCGTGCTCTGCGACGCGTGAATAGTTCAAGTCGCCTTAGCTTTGGTAGTCTGAGCGGTGGTCGTAGGAAAGGTACCGTCAAGTTGAGATTGCCGCTGCCGGGTCGAGGAAAATGCTGTTAGTTGCTGCGGGACGAGCAAAGACCATCATTTCTACACACGAAGACAAGGCGTAGCTGCCATCGCATGTGAGTATCTGACCTTGTCCAAGCCTTTTTGGGATAACTCATCCTCAATCTTCCACGTATGCTTTCTTGCAGGCGCCTTCCTTATCCTTGGTGCGACGTGATAATACTTCCGATTCTACACATCCACCGGTCAACTATCACACGGTTTGGCTGCATACCCTCACATCCATTATACCGATTCTCATCATTCCGATTGAATCCCACTCCTCGTGAGCATTGTTCTCACATACCACAGCTTCACTTGACATCCTATAATGCTTGACTAATCTACACCACGACATGCACATTGGGACTATCTGTATTACTTTGACGACATAATGTTTTTGGTCTGTAGCTTGTAATCGATTTGCTTTGTGGACATAAGTATGATTTATGGTGCCGAAAATCGGAAACCGTGTGCAATCGAAAAGCCGCCCAGTGGGCTGTGTGACCGCAATTACTTTTAGACTTTTTCAAACTACTCTCATCTGGTCGAAGCGACAATGGAATCCATAACATCGTACGACCATGCGATCGTCCACCATTGACCACGTCGACCTCAAGCTTCCCATCAGGGCCGTGACCTGCGATATGCCTTGTTATCTGAACGTAGCGACATCTACTGTCATTCAGAGCCGTGTAAAGTGCGGTGAAACACGCATGACCCTAAGAGCTGACGAGGTCTATTGCCGGATTATCTTCTTAGCTTCGAATACCATGACCATGTCAGGAAAAAGAATAGGCCATTTGGACCCCCCCATCTGCATTCGGTGGACGCCCAGAAGTTTCACCGCATGGGAACCCGGTCAGCTTGCTTTGATTTAGTCAACTGACAAGGTGAGAAGTTCGGATATCGGTGTGTCGATATACACATACTCGAGATTTACCCGATCCCACCCTCTCGTTCTCTTTTCCAAGAAGTTCATATAGGCCATATGTACTCATTAACCCGAGTTCCCGCTATTTTGCCACCCCTTCCACGCAGGCTTCAAGATTGTGGGAGTCCAGCGGATCCATTGCTGGACGGACGATGAGCAGTGTATCCTCCTCACCCATCTCACTAGGTGAGCATATCAAACACATTTATTGGCAGGATGCATGTTTTTGGACGCTTCAGGCGTCCTATGCTGCACCTTGTATTTCTCTTCGGATGCCACGAATGGCGGCTTTCGGCCGTGCTAATCACGGTTTCTTTATTGTATCTTCTCATCATTTGTGTCCGAATTATCGTGTCTTACCACTTACGAACGCCCATACAGTTCTTAGCTCAACATCGGTGTCAAGCAAAGCGTTCACCCAAGTCCCTTCTTCCTCCGCCAGTCAAACTTTCATCACGACTGGACCACTTCCTGCGGCACCCACGTCCAGTTCTTCCTCAGTCTTTGTAGACACGTCCATTACTCCCGCAAATCAGACTGCAGTGATCAGCGCTGCACCAGCTTCGACCTCTTCTTTGTCCCTGTCTCTGTCTCCGAGCAGTGTAACTAGTGCTGTCTCATCGAACGCGGCTTCTACAGTGTCCTCTGCTACCTTTTCGCAGAGCCAATCGACGCAGCTAGGTGTGCCCACTGACAGTGCACCTGCTGTGTCGATTTCGGTTTCATCGTCTGGGTCTATTATTTCGCTTTCAGCCAATCCTTCTCCTGCGAAGTCCCTCTCATCCATTTCATCTCGCTTGTCGTCGGCTTCTGCGTCCTTCGGACACGCTATAGAATCGGCTAGCCCTACGAGCAAGATATCTGGACAAACAGTCACACCGTATGTATATTTGTAATTGCTAGAGAGACTCGTCTCCCTGATTTCATTGCTCTATCAGCAGCACCTCTGAGATGGCTGCCACTTCTGCACCTTTACTTTCATCGTCAAGTCCTGTCGTTACCGAAAAAAATCCGAGTACACCCGAATCTCAGCCAGCGGCTCCAGAGTCAACTCCATCCGCGAGTCCGTCTAAGGGATCTTCGCCGTCGTCTGTCCCTTCACAACCAGCCTCATCGCCATCGCAGCCAGCACCGTCACCGTCCAAGCCAAGTGCTGAGCCCTCCACACCAGCATCTTCTCCTAGCTCGCCGACGTCGGCTCCTGCAAAGCCATCTTCACCACCTCCTTCGTCTCAGGCACCTTCTCGGCCGACTGATGTCGTAACTCCCTCGGTCACGCCGAGTGGTCAACCTCAGCAGTCGCCAGGTTCTGTTGGACCTTCCCCAACTGTAGGACAATCGCAGGCGACTGCGAAGAATTCTGCGGTTAGTCCGGATCATTCACCCCCCTCTTCACAAATAAACAGAAGCCCGGTGGCGCTCAGTGTATCAGTCGCTTCAATTGAGGTCGTTCAGTCTTCTGCCCATCCTGCAAAAGCGGCCGGGACTTCTGTTCCTCTCACTAGGGGAAGTGCTGTGCCTTCACTGACGCCTGTTGTTCAGACACCTGTTCCTGTTCCTGCTCCTGCTGACGAGTCGGCTGTATCGTCACAGGCCGCAGTTTCGCCTGACGTTCATCCTTCTGATGTGTCATCTGTGTCAGTAATTTCAGGATTCTCATCTTTTCGCGGACAGGCAAATGCCCAGACAGCCACTACCACAAGTACGATCACCGATGTACCAGAGACCACCCTTACATCACCCGTATTTGTGACTACCACGGATTCGAACGGACACATCTCATTGTCGGAACCGCCAGTGTTTGCTAGCATAGCAGTGTCAACTCTACCTGACGGACAGTTGGTTAGCGTTACTCATGTCATCGCCAATCCAACCGGGGTTTGGGGGATCAACGACAATTCCGCTGTCTCACATGGGTAAGTCGCGTCAGATTGCATTCACTGTTCACCCAAATTCTAATTTCTTCGTAGTTTCTTCGCCAATACCGGAGCTGTCGCTGGCGTCTTCCTAGTAGTAGGCATTGTTGTTGCCTTACTCATTGCTCTTGGCTGCTACGTTGTGCGCAAGAAACGTCGCCGCCAGAGAATTCGTCACAGCATATCTCGACCTCTGCCATATCCAGATAATCCGTTCGAAGATCCTCGCGAAACACCCTCACCCACACAATTGCGTTTTGCACCTGATATCTCTCATCGCAACCTGATAGGCTCAGGTCTCGGTCTCATAACTGCTCGACCGCGCAACCTCCTAGACGATGAAGTTGACGACGATACCAATAACCACACGACGATCTACAGCAGTCCTCAGCATAATATGCCTCAGGCCGCGCAACAAGTTACGAGTAGGGATTTAGCAGGTATTGGTGCAGGAGTCAGCAATTTAGGCAAGCCGGATTATAATGGGCCTTTCAGTGACTATCACAACCACCGACCAACTCACCAATCTAAGCCAAGTGTACAATCGGAGGTTGGCCTTGCGATTACCACTGAGCAAACTCGTATTGCAGATGATGCTCAAATTTCCTTCCCCATGCCTATCTATGTTCGACCACCATCTGCACAATCTAGCCCATCTATCTATCCTGCTTCTTTACCCCCTGTCCCCACCGAAGAAGCAGAACATGGACATGAGGCACAACCTTCTGATCCTACTACCCCGCCGCCTCCGCCGGAGCGACGTCGTCCTCTTTTGACTCTCCAGAAACCAGACCTGTCTGCAAACGCACCTATTCTTCCGCCGCGTAATCCGCTCCGCACGAGCCAACACGAAGCTTCCAAACTTCTCGCTCGCACGCAAGTCACGTCGTCAGGGACGCAGTTTTCTCAGCTTGGTTTTGGAGGTTATGAACTTCCGTTGACTCCTCCTGCGTCTACCACGTCGTCGGATGCACATGGGGATGGGCGGCCACGGACGATATCGAGTGAGATAAAGAATCCGTTTAGTGATGTTAACGACGTCGATGGGACTGTCAAGACTCAGGCACTACAAGGATCGCCGGTGCGGGATAACTTCTTCACAAGGCGAAAGGTGCTCGAGGTACGTAAATCTATTGATCCTCAATTGCACCGTTTTGTAACCCTCTAACCTCGTGTCCAGCAGTCGAAAGTCCGGCCGAGTAATAGCATAGAGTGGAAGCATTAGGTTACACTTCTGTTTCTTGAGAGAGGCTATGTACTGTAATATTCACATTGTAACAATAGTCAGTTACCCATGTCTCCCTATTCATCGACACCCTCTACGCTCGATAGCCGTCCAAGAGATAGGCTACCCCACCTGTTGGTCTGTCATCGGGTAGAAGTAAAGGCTCATCGGTTCTTAGCCTTCCGCTCACAGCCCGTTTAATGGTGCCTTCCCACTGTTGGAACCACTCTCCTTCTCTCAACCCTATCAGCGTCATGCCCGGTGCGTGCCTAGCATCTGAAGCCACAGCTCCGTTTGTTCCCCAGGATGGGCCAGTATAAGGTGGGAGGGTATCGGAGTTGTCATCGGTACTGGCAGGCTGCCAACGTTTGAGAGCATATGCACCACCGCAGACCTCCCATTTTCCGCCACCTAGGAAACGCTTGTACAGCCAGATGAAGATATATATAAGTGTAATCCATAGTAGGAACTTGAGCCATTTGTTTGATAGCGTTCGTGAGAGGTGATTGTCAGGTCGAATGTAAATGTGTGCACCTGTCCGTCGGAACTTCACTTCGTAGGTCCCGGTGTAATAAGTCGACCTGATGGCTGCGGCAACGGCCTGTTCAAGTGCAGAGATATTCCAGCCGTAGATACACTGCAGATGTAGAACACGGTCAATCCTAGCTGCATTTACTCCCGATCTTTAACGCACCCGTTCGTATGTGAACTCTTTCAGGTGTTTCTTGCTAGCGCAATATTCATCAGCCCACTGTCTCAACGACTTGGACGATTTGAGCACATTGGTTTGCGACGGGTCGACTTCGGGGCTGACAGCGGCGCTCCAACTTTCCATACTCATACCCGGCCCAATCCAAGGAGGCAGACCCCGTGCCTTTCTTTCCTTCTCCCAAGCCTTCGCACTGGAGATTTCGTCTTTGGTCGCTTTTCTCCTCGATCTGAATTCCAATCCGTTTTCGATGTCAGATTCATCGGGTGCAAAAACACCATCGACTTCTTTGAACATTTCTCCTCGATATGCAGGTTCCTCGTCAGCGACGCTCCAGTGTATTGGTCCGGAAATGATGTGTTGAGAGATGTTGATTGGGAATTCAAAGTCGACGACGGTTTCGGTATAGTGTTCTTGACGGCTGTGACTATGGCCCTGGCTATCGGTAGAGTGAACTGTACGTGTATGATGTTCGATATGACTTCCTCGGATATCCAGAAAGAACCCTGGGTAGGTCTGGGACTGTGAGAGTAGGAAACGATACAGAGCTTCACCTGGTCATATAGAGCACCATCAAGTTTTACTCTTTGTTCATAATCAATACAATACCACGTACCATCCTCGTTCAAATGCTCGTCATGTGAAATAATGTCACCAATACTGGTGACAAAGTATTCTGCCTCATAAGGCGCGAAGTCCGGAGGGGGATCCTCGCCACCAAATGGCACTGGAAAGTCTATGTTCGTCAACTCTGGAGGGAAAGCCTGGTCCTTTGCGCTAGCTCCAAAGTCTGGGGGTGGAGGAAGCGTAGTGTGTACTGGAGGAAGAGTCGACGGTCCAGCCACCTCGACATGTTCGACGTCTATGTTTACAAGAGTCGAATCCTTCTTTGCATCCATCGGGGAGTACTGTAAAGAGTAATGGTCTGCTCCGAGTCGTGTCAGTTGGGGAGTTACGCTACGATGTTGTATTTGACAATGTTACATGCCCCGAATCCACCGTGAGCGAACGTGTTATATTGCTTGCTCCGAACAACACCTGTACAGCCAGGTACAGCCCAAAATCAACATAGCTGGTTACCGGACGACCTCAGGCCTGGGCAACAGAATATGATAGACGATGGAGTTCAGTGAACGTTCGGTACCCTGGGCATGCTAGTTAATGCACTCTCCCAAAGCTTGGCATCTCATTCTGAACGTTGACAATGAAGTACTCTTCTTCAACCAAGCAGATGCTTTTCATATCAGAGGCGCCGCGCGTTACAATTCATGGCCCACCCGTTAAAGTCTAGAGGAGGGCACATGAAGCTGGCTACATACACCACATAAGTAAAAGAGTCCGAACTTCAGCAGGGCAAAACAGATAAGTATATACGACAGTGGGTGATGAATGAGTGAGTGACTAACTACTACTTAAAGTCCGTCTCCTACTAAGGATGGAATGAGCGATGTCCATGAGGATGAGGATGGGTAAGTTAAGTCGTTACAGCATGAAAATCATGAGAACAGAGCAAGAAAAGTTATGATACGAGGTACACGAGAGGGAAATATAGCAGGAATGCGTGAATGCAATGTCTAAATGCAAAACAGAAAATAAGAAACAAAGTGATGAGAGTCCCAGAGTCCAAAGACATAGAACTGAACAAGGATTAAGTCAGTATATCCCGAGGTCCAGGTTCCACCAAAGCTATCGCTTCAAGTGGTGAATTTTGACGAGGGTTCACAGTCGTGAAGACAGGTGTCACTGCCGTCGCGAGGGTTCCCTTGAGATATCTGCACCGGCCGTCTGACCATCCGGCAAGTTTCGAATCTGTAACAATAGTCATCAACATCATCATCAACATTAGAAATACTCTAAACAGCGAAACATCTTACCTCGAGTCTGGCAGTTGGCGTCAGATCCACCAACTGATCACCCGCGTCAGAATACACCGAACTCGCACTATCTCGTTGCCTATCCCCAGCCCCGGGCACCTGTCCGCCACCAGAATGCCCTGCCTCCGAAGATCCCTCTCCACCCCGACTCCCAGTCCTCGCAGGATTTCTCGGCGGTACATAAGGCGGCGGACCACTGTCTGAGCTCACATTCGCACCAGGTGTTCTCGGCGGTGATGCACCACCACTTCCACTACCTTGCCTATATGCACTCAACAACGGCTCAAAACTACCAGCACTCTCCCTCGTTATATGACCTCCCATCATATGGCCCGAGCTAGAGCTGAAGCTAGCTTGACGACTATGAGTTGGTCCGCCACCAGGAGGGGGACTGCTTGTCCGTGCTGGCATATACCCATCTTTCCTACCCCCACCGACGATAGCAGTTGGTGCAGGAGGGTGAACGGTGCCATAAGCAGCATAGGGGTCGAATTCGCCACGAAGTGGTGTCGACGCCGCACTGGGATCGTCCATGTAACCAGACGGAGGGCGTCCACCGCCGCTTCCCGTTGTGGTGTGATTACTTGTGCTCGGGAGAGAATTCACAGTACCTGCCCCAAATGGACTTCTATCACCTCCAACTTGCCGCATACCTGGACTTTGGTCGTCGTCATCGCCATCCACAGGTGCACGGTTGAAGCCTGCTGCAGCGAGAGTTGATGCTACGGCGGTGTCATGTTCGAGCCTACGAGTACGTCTGCGTCGTCGGATGAAGAAGAACAAGAAGAGAAAGATGGATGCTGCTGCCAAACCAACTATGAGAAAAACACCTGCAACGGCGCCTTTATTTCGGAAGAACCTAACGAGAAAAATGAATAAAGTATCATGTGAATCCATTTGAATTAAACGCACTGCGACGATGAGCCAGACCCTCCGCCATCGCTAATAGGCGTCGGATTGCTGCCAACGATCGTGACGATGCTAGCTTGTCCGTCCGGACCAGTGGTAGTAACCGTCTGTGTCACTAGAGGAGGTGCTGTGGTAAGCACCTGTCCGTCTGAGCTCGTTACTGTGACGCTTATAATCGAACTAAACGTAGTACTTCACGGAAGCAATGAGTTTAACTTGCAACCACATGATTAAGAAACAACAGGAACTCACGTCGCATGTGTGGTCGATGTTGAACTCTCACGATCGGCCGCTACAGGAGTGGTTGTGGTACTGATTGAAGTTGTTGGCGGATTAGAGGTCGGAGGACTTGTCGGAGGAGCAGAAGTGGGCTCGGTCGTAGGAGGTTGTGAAGTCGGTTGACTAGTAGGAGGTTGAGATGTAGGTTGGCTTGTCGGTGGCTCTGACGTAGGTTGGCTCGTTGGCGGCTGAGACGTTGGTTGGCTTGTCGGTGGTACCGAGGTCGGTTGGCTTGTCGGCGGCTGCGATGTCGGTTGACTAGTGGGAGGTTCAGACGTAGGCTGACTTGTAGGGGGTTGAGAGGTAGGTTGACTGGTAGGTGGTTGGGAGGTAGGCGGTTGTGACGTAGGTTGCGATGTCGGTTCAGACGTAGGCGGTTCCGATGTAGGCGACGACATGGTGCTGGGTGGAGTGGTTGTATCGTCTTGCACTGAAGATACCGAGGTTGGAGCTGCCGAGCTAGGAATCACATTATGTCAACTTCTTCGTCTACACTAAAGACGCGAGGAAGCATACGTTGGGGGTGAGGTGATCGGCGGTGAGGATTCTGGAGCTGAAGACATAGATGATGGCGCAGCAGAAGAAGTGGGCGCAGCAGACGAGGTGGGTGGAGGCGTGGAAGGGGGAGCGGAAGAAGAAGGAACAGAGTCAGTGACGGGCGTTGAAGACGGAGATGGAGATGATTCTGGTGAAGATACAGGCGTTGACATAGATTGGGAGACAGAGAATGAAATAGAAGAAGTCAGAACCGGTTTAGAACTGGGGATTGAAGTAGATATTGAAGTAGATATTGAAGTAGGGGTTGGACTAGGGGTTGAAGTGGGAATTGAAGTGGATGAAGCGGACGGGGAAGGTGTTTGAGAATCAGACAAAGTGGTGCCTTGAAAGGTTAGGCGGGGTGAGAACAAAAGCAAAAGGCGCGTTCACAAAGAATGTAAACGGATGCAGGAAAGAATTAACGTTGGAGGATACGCCGCAAGTCAAGCATCGATTAAGATGCTGCGTAAGTTTCCAGACAGGTGTCGCGACACGAGTCGGGGGAGTCTGGAAACGGTTGTAGCAAAAATATAACCTCTCTTGGTGCGTGCCCAATGTGGGAGAAGGAGAGACGGGCAACACGTTGATAGCAGTGCTGAGATGGAGGAGAAAAGGGCGGCTCGCTCACCAGATGTAGATGGTATACTGCTGAGGCTAGTCGCGGCCGGCGAACTGAGACTCGACTCGGTCTGTCTCTTGGGTATTCTGTGAAGGTGGGCCATGAGTACATGAGAGAAGGATAGAAAGAGCTGCGGCATACTATGGCTAGGGGAGAATCAGGTAAGTAGTGGAGGGGCATGCCCCACGGGCAAAAGGGTTAGCAGCAAGCCGTCGAGGAAAATGAGCGAAACTACTCCTGCGACATTCGGCCTACTCCGCATTGGGCGTCCACAGGCCTTCCTCGCTGGCTGCTTCTGGACGTCATCTACACGTGCGGTTCTCATATATCCTCTGTGTATTCTGCCCTGACCGCCTCTCAAAATAATCAACAATCTCATTCTGAGTCTCATTGAATATTCATTGCATTATTCGACGATATCCATTCCGGAAGACGAGCGGTACTTGTCGCTTTGCCGCAGCGTCTTGTTGACATGCCGCGCTGCAATTAACACAAACCCTACCGTTTATCAACAGTTTCGACACCCCTATGCAATATTTCGTATCGCCTTGAGGCTGTAAGCTCGCCGCCTAGTCAAGGCTAGTCTATTTCGGTCAATGACGGTGAATGGCTTGTCCGGCCAATCACCATTGTACCAGTGCAGGACCCGTATCTTTATACAGTCTCGTCGTTGTCTAGGTCTCTCCGTCATCGACTGTTTAAGCTTCAAGGTCCAAGTTTGCATTGATGATTGGAGCAAGCATTGGAGCATTCACTCTGACGGGTGCCCCGTCTCCTCATCCGGTCCGACTGCATACAAGTACAAAGATAGGCTGATCATTTCGCATGGACATTCGGTGGGATTCAGTCTGCGCCACAGCATATCTCTATCATAGGATGCAGAGATATCCCACCATACGCGTTTTTTGTCTCACATGTAAGCTATAACAGTCGAACAGATGATGCACAAAAGCCAGTGAGTCCTCTCACCGATTGTCAATACTGTCGTTGCCACTGTCAGTTCCTAACCTAACCGATGTCTACACCAGCTGCCGCTGCCGTCGTCTTAACTACCCGCGGTCAGTCCGGTCGACCAAAAGTTGAGAATGCGACTGTGTTCGGGAACCCAGCTTCATTCTGGGTTGAATACCCCAATGGGCTCATCGACCTCACGCGCTCAGCCAATCGACCAGAAGGTCCAGAGAACATATCTCAGCCAAAGGACTCTAATCCTCCTGCTTTGAACTCTGAGACGCAATGGGAATTATTAGTCGAAGGCGACAGGGTCCTAAGGCTCAACAAAGCAAACACCGCGATCGTCATCATTGATATGCAGAAGTCAGTATATCCCTTGAGTTTTAGTTTGATTTTGACGGTGGCTTCTACTTACACTTTATGATGATACCACCAGCTACTTCTTGCATCCCGACTTAAGGAACCATCCAACTGGCTTGGCATGTGTAGACCCGCTTATGAAAGCTGTCCCCGCCTTACGTTCAGTGGGTGCAGAGATCCTCTGGGTGTACGTCCCATCCATTCTCCTTCTCGTATTGCCTTCCCCTCTATGATGCATATATCCTCACTCGGTTAAAATAAAAACCAGGAACTGGGGACTTACCGACCACGAACTCACAACAATCCCGCCCTCCCTCGTCCGTGGGTTCAGCAAGAACGGAAGCGGTGGCTTCGGCTCTGAAATCCCCGGTGGTTGGGGTCGTCTTCTCATGCGAGACCAACGCAACTCCGCCCTGTATGGACCTTTACAGACACTTTATGAGGAAGGCAAGGAGAATGGGACAGATCTCTGGATACATAAAAACAGGTATTTCGCTTTAATCGGATTATGATAGGCAATTCAGAACGTAGTGAACTATGAGATGCTGACCTGGATGGGATGACAGGATGAGTGGCTTGTGGGGTCCTCAAACTGCTTTGGACTTGTACCTTCAGGAGAAAGGTATCACTAGTCTGCTGTTCGCTGGTGTCAACGCAGACCAGGTACGCCGGCCTTTCCATATTCTATTCTCTAGTATCTAGTATGTATCATCACTCACTCACGACCGTTGATGGCTTAGTGCGTCCTCGGTACTCTCGTCGACTCTTACTTCCGAGGCTACGATTGTATAGTAGTACGGGATGCCACTGCTACGACATCGCCTCCAGGCGGGCTGGAGAACGTTTTGTATAATGCCGCAAACGTATGTGCATCTTTCCAGGTCCTTCTTTCGATTATGATTTCTCACTTAGGACTTCCGTTTTTAGAGCTATGGCTTTGTCACGGACTCGAGCAAGATTGTTGCAGCAAGCTCGGACAAGAGTCTGGGGCTTGATTCTTCTAGGTCCACATGTCAAATATCCTGATCTACCGTGTTGGATACCTACGTCATAGAGTCCTTGCTGGACGTCCTTATATGCTCTATGTCTTTGGAACCTCGGTGTAACATCGCATGTCGCATGTCGAGCGGAGCGCTCTCACTTTCCGATTCATTACCAACCTGGCCATATGTATGCATGTGCTCAACCTCACATCACAAGCGTGAAAAGAATCCCGATGTTCGTACTTTGTTACAGTGGTGGTGTGTACTTACATGTCTGACAGTCAGAAAAGCTGTGAATTACGACTTGAACATCAATATTGAGTGTATGCATCGCCGTCACTGGCAGAGGTCGACAATTTTATTTCACATCAAGCTGTGGGGTGACTGGCGTAGATAGGAGCAGTATGGTGATAATGGAAATCGTCAAAATGCCTGATCTCCAATTTATTAGCATATCCCGCGAGCTCCGCATTGGAAATGACATCACAGACTATCCATATTCAAAATGCGTCCATGCAATGAGTACTGGTTTCCTTGGGTCTTGTTCGCCGCTCTGGCGGCCCTGCCTCGTTGCAGCTAGGTGACTCGATGTATGGTAAAGGCTCCGAAGCTCATTGGCTTAAAATGGGCTCCGTCCCATGATGAATATTAAATCTTTTGCCTGCTTTTATAGGCACAGAGCATCCTCGGACCAGAGCTGGTCAGAGGGCCTCTCATAGAAGGTACGCTCCCAGGAGACATGCCTCCTCCGGCGAAACCAAGAAAGGTGAGGTCATTTTCTATACCTTAATGTGGAACTTCAAGTTCATATCAAGATTGTAAACAGATCACCTTTGATCAGGCTGTTTCATGCTATCGGGTCTACAAACGGTGTCAGAACCAAAAAGAGAAAACCAGGTTGACGAAACTGTGGGCGGAGAAGTATAACTGCTCACATACGACTATTATGCGTGCCATTGAAGAAGGCGAGGCTAAGGTAGTTGAACAAGCACGACGAGAAGTCACGCTATACTAAATGATTTCTTTGTCCTAACATCTTCCGCATAGGCAAACAAAACAGCGTCATCCTCTTCACAGCGCACATCTTCGTCCACCCGACGACGACCTTCATCTTCGATTTCTGTGACTTCCCCTGCACGTCAGGAACGCCGAAGCCCGCGAGTCACTGGTGTCCGCGAGACCAGTCTCGAAATTCCGCAAGCTCCAGCGGACGTCATCATATTTCTCAACAAGTTCAAGTTAGGTCATTTAGCACCTGTATTTCGTGAACGCGGGTATTCTACCGTGGAGGACATTGACGGCCTCATCCGACTGCCTGGTGGGACACAGGAGGCCGTTTTAAATGAGTTCAAGAGGGATAAGCGGATGTGTTTGAAAGAGTGGGCTCTCATTCACGCTGAGATCTCGACTCCACAACAGTAATTGCAGGTATACAATGTTCTTGTAGACAAATGACTTTGATGTATAGTACGGGGATTGTAGTATGTATGGACAGCAAGGGAATCAATAAGGTATGGATATGTGTCGAAAATCTAAATTATATAACAGTGGTTATGAGCCTTCTACAATTACATCATCAAGTAGCCTTGTTCGAGGGTGTGACTCTAGCAAAACGGCTTTCCTATGTAACTGAGAGTCTTCTTCTGCATGCGAACGCTCCACTTCCGTTATATCCTCGCCTTCGAGCAGCGCCAGCGCAGCCTCAAGGAACCACATGTTTTTCTTGATGAAATGTACGGCGATGGTACCACCAAGACGTCTTCCGTTGTATCGCTTGAGCTTGCCTTCACGATGCCGCCATGCATGGTCGATAGTCCCAGGAGAACTCGTGCCTATAGCAATGGCGTTGAGCGTCCACATATAACTTTGAATTATCACAAGCGAGAAAACGAACCTTCACGAAGACGAGACATCTCACTACCTTCCACAAGCGCCTCAATGCTTTGATCAGTGGTCAGGTCCGATATCGGGAGTGAATATCGGATTCCGAACGTGGAGACTGTTGACCGTGACCACGTAGGGGGTGAGGCACCATAGGGTCCGAAAGGTGAAAACGCGGAGATACTGGATGACTTGTCCAAGGTTGTGCTTTCCTGTGACGCGTTATGTTCTAAATCGAAGAGGACATCCCTTTGAACACGCTTGACCTCAGACGGGAACAGGAAGCCGTGTGAGTACCTATTACGAGAGTCGTCAGTTGATAATCAAAAAAAGAGATTAGCAGGTTCACATACACAGTACCCGCTCTGGGATGGTCGTAAATCCAACACCGTTCACTGACCCACCTGACCTCGGACGCTCGAGGATGTAGTCTCATCCACTTCGAGGTTTGCTTGTCTTCCGCACCCCGGGTCAACCCTTTAATTTGGGGATCCTTGGCAATCCAGTTGACTAAACTGTAACTAAGACCGTACAGTTCGCCCGCCATGAATCGATTCTTGACAAGGTATCCCCAATAAATAAGGGGGTCGTTGTTCTGAAGTGGTGAAGGATCCGACGGCGGAGAGGATATCAAGGTGTTCGGAGAGTTTGTCGCCGTATGAGAATCATCAGAAGACGTTGAATCAAGAGGTGTATGAAATATTAGCGTGTCATTTTGAATGTCCCGGTCGGAAAGGGTTTGTACTGGAAGATCTTTTACCGCATGAGGAGCAGGCTGAGCATGTAACGCAACCCGCAAGTGTGCTTCCAGTTCAGCAAGCATCACAAAAGCGTCATCATCCGCTTTGAGCACAAAGTCCGGGTGAACCCAAGGCATTGGGTTGCTAGATTCCTTGTCTCGATGCGCGAATACGGGATCATGCATCGCGAGCGCAGGTGGTGGGGATGTCGCGTTGGTGTATGTCAGGCCCTCAGGTATTGACGAGAAGTTCGTCGAATATAGTGGTGGAACCCAAGCGTTCGAGGAGGCCCAGGTGAAGAAGGCGTGAGACTTGCCGCCGTTCATGTTTTCAGACACGGGTAGAATGATAATGTCGTGGTATTCTACAATCAATCAGTCAGGAGACGGACATCAAGTACAACCTTAGACATACTGTCGATCTCGAGTTGAATTCTGCGTTCCCAATCCTTGCGAGGTTGTCCGAGAATGAACCTGATAATAGTTCGCGAAGTACCCAGGCCGCCGTCGCCCTTACCAGCCCCTTCTCGACTTCGGGCATGGCTAGCATACGTTAAGCGTATTGACATGCGACGTTCAATGCCGGTATCGATTGAAAATATGCCCAGGAATACACCGGCGGGAGACAATGTCTCGAAATCATCCGGTGGAAATGAGGGCGGTGTAAAGTTCTTCGGGGGAAAGTAGGGGAAGGACGCGGTAGGGGGAAGCGAAGACGGCGGGGGTAGCTCAGTGAAAGAAGGTATTGTGCAGTACCCTCTCCATGGTAGCGGCTCTTTATCTGGATTTAGAATATAGATGAGGAGGAATGTTAACGAGACGCCAAATGCTGTGAGTAGTAACAGTGTCAATATCTAACAGATGTGTCTTCAGCATAACAACAAAGCAAGGACTACAAGGAAATACTCACAATGGTTAACGGTGTTTTGGGAACAAATGGATGTCGAATAAGCCTTCTGAATATTCGCTTCGTCGTCCGAACCCAAGATATCGTATCCCGTCTCCGTCTCCTTCTCGACCCACCCATCTGCCACCATCGAGGCCTCTCCCTCCACGATGAAGCACGCCGCGACAAACTACTTGAAAGAAAAGGGTATTCGCTGTCGCTGTCATCCGAAGAAGACGAGGACGTATGGAGGTAGAGCGGTTGAGGCGACGAAGAACGCGATGGTATGGGCGTTGCCGACGCAGTCGAACAGGGTGACACGTTGTCGCGACCATAGTTATCTGAGCGAGGATAAAGAAGGTTCTGGTTCAGGTTTGAAGGAGAGGACGTCGAAGCGACGAATGGTGCGCGAGACGTGAGCGTTCGCAGATCGGGAGAATTGTCCTCGATGTCTGAACCAACACTATCCTCGTATTCGTCTCGAATATGAATCGGCGGACCACCAGAAGGCGATGGAGAACGCGAACGCGAATACTGGTTGGTGGAGAATGGCATGGTGAACAAAGTTACCAGAGTGAACCTCCTTTAGCCGACTACGCAGAGCGGTGACCGGTCAACGCCTCCGTCGATGATCCAAGAAGCGAGAACGTCGACACGCCCCGAAGCACGACCGAAAGCAAGGAAAGTGGGCGACAGCGCAGGAGGAAAGGGAATAAAATACCAAGATGAAGGATATATGTTAAGGTGCAACATACGCACCGGCAACATTTACACTAACATCACTGCACCGCTTTTGGTGAAGTTTCTGCCGCCTCCCACTGGGGTCAGTTGTTGCCTGAGCCCATCGCAGATAGCTCTCCACGCTCTTATTACTACGTATCATACAACTACATGAGAAGTACTGCTACAATCCTTCCGCTATATCCACATATTCATTCAGAACCCACCGCACTACAGAATCAAAGTGATCCACAGAAGTTAGTGTAACCCATCGCTATATACCTTCTTCCAACTCGGGCGCTCCTTCATTGCATCCCAGAATGCAGCGAATCTGTTTTGTCGCTCCGTGGATTGAATATCGGCTGTAGGGAGCCCCGCCCGACGTCTTGCCTCAGTAACAGAAAAATCCTTTGGCAATTTGAAACCTCCAATATGTGCCTCAATCTTCCTCGTCACGGTGTTGCCGTCCTCAGCGGCATTGGCTCCAGACAACTTGGCAATACGTGCCAGCCACGCTGCAAGATGGAGGTCTGCGATGGACAGTTGGTCGCCTGGGAACCAATCATAAGAGAACGCCGATTTCAATCATCAGTGCGAAAATCCTACCAAGGGTGTAAGGCCCAATAATTTCCTTGTGAACTTGAAGTAAGACATTCTTCAAAGTTGACCAAGCATTGTTGGCTGCATTGTAGTACTCCTCTCTGATCTTCTTTGCCTCTGCACTGAGTTGATCCATTGGCGTATCCGCATCCTTGAAGACTGCTAGGATGCCGTCCATTGCGTACATCTTCAACTCCCAGAATTTCAGCGTCTTCTCTGACACGGGTACTTGAGAAGTCTCGTTCCCCTCGATCAACTCCTCCAGTGTCTTACGTTTTGCAATGACTTTGGGCAGAACTTCCTTCGCAAGTTCCTTCAGAGAGGCGTCGTCCCTGGCATTGACGTAGACAAGGGCATTGGGGTCTGCGTTATCGGAATGCAGAATATCAATGATCTTGTTGGAGGCTGCCGAGAAAGCAATCGTGGCAGGTGTCAAAGCGGGTGCAGGCGCGGACGAGGTAGTATGCGTGTGCGATCGTGACGAGCGCGACTTGTCGAGCAATTCCACAATCGCCTACGGGAAAACAGTAAATTACTGACGCGTACGCAATGGCTATGATGAAAATACCTTGGTGTTCTGGATAGCTTTGTATCGGCTCTCAATCTCCGAGCTTAGAGTATTCTCAAGCGGTACGACCAAGGTTGGGACCGTAGCTGTAATACGATAAGTAACAGGTACCCGACTTAGAGAAGCTCGATGATGCACACCATTAGGGTTCAGTCGCAGGTATTGAGGCTTGAAATTCTCTCCCTTGGCTTTGATACAGTCATTAAGATACCAAAGTGAAGCAACAAACGATGCCCACAGAGATCGACCTCCTTCAAATCAACTTCGTCGGGTCCATAGCCCTTCTCTTCACTGGAGAAAGGCAAGATCAGATTTCCATGCAGCATCTTTCTGGATAGAAGGAGTCTCACAGCGCGAGAAGAGCTACACTCGCATGAGATCAGATAGATCCTCGGCGAGTATGCGTATCACTTACGAACAGAAGCCCAGATGGACGGCTTGTAGTAGTAAAGCGCGGCCTTGGGAATGGGCGGAGAAGGAGACATCGTTAGAGAGTACGGAGAAGAAAACTCTGAATATATGCGTCTGTTACGCGGTGAGTAGCAGCGCGTTAGGGTGGAGTTGACCTCGTGTTCATCTTGCTCGCTGGTGAAGAGGGCGATGACGCATTACCACCTGGGCAGGCCGCGTCAAGTCACGTCTCGCGACGCGTGCTGTTCCCGTGACCATCATCTAGAAGCTTCGGTTGGCTTTGGCTGGTCCTTGGATCGATCATACAAAAGACAATATACCACGCTCGCGTTTTGTTCTTCCCAACTATTTATTCCGCCTCAAGGCTAGAGACGCTCACTCTTCTTATACCTATACCATGACCACCACGCTGCGGTAAGCGTTAATGCACTCTCTCACTACTTCCTCCTGACGCTGATCATCTAGGTACGAGTTCTACGAAACCGATGCAAAGCTCACCCTCTCCGTCTTTGACAAGGGTGCTGACCCAGAGAAGGTTTCAATCAAGTTTGGGCCACGCAGTGTGAGTCGCGCTGTGACGTCCTAAGTGTTGTGGCGTAACTCATTATTGGTTTCGTTTCCTCCAGGTGGTCTACGCGCATGAAGACAAGGTCCTAACTGTCGAGCCTCTCAAGGGTCAGATCGACCCAGAAAAGAGTGACTACTCTGTGGGCAAAGTCAAGGTGGAGATCCGCCTTGTAAAGATGGCTCATGGACGATGGGGTTCGCTCGTTGGCGAATCGCCCGATCGTAAGCATACAAGCAGTTTCTGAATCATCCTAATCTCTGACAATCCTTTCAGCTCTATCTACCTTTGCTAAGCCGGCTGCGCCGCCCGCAGAGGCACCTGCTCAACCTAGGAAACAGCGCAAGAATTGGGATGTTCTCACAGATGAGATTCTCAAAGCCGAAAAATCAGCATCTATGGACGAAGATCCTAATGTTGGCGGAGACAATTCTGTCAATGAGTTTTTCCAGAAGATCTTTGCGGACGCTGATGAGGATACTAAACGTGCGATGATGAAGAGCTATCAAGAAAGCGGCGGCACGACCTTGAGCACGAACTGGGATGAAGTCAAGAAGGCCAAGGTTGAGGTGAAGCCTCCAGAGGGCAGCGAATGGAAGAAGTGGGCTGTGTAGGAATTGTAACTGTTCGTGTCCTTTGATTTCTGGATTTTGATTATTTGTTCGGTGTTCTTTGTTCTGCAAGATGCTTTCTCTTGTTCTCTAATCGCAATTGACTCTCATCAGATATGCATGTGTTATAACCACATCCAATGCCGGATTGAATTTATGTACGCACCTATATCACAGCAAACATCATTGTAACCATTGGGATAGACTCAGTCTGAGCCTCTTATACAGGGCAGTCATTCTTGTGGTGGACTTTGAATTTGATGTGTAGGCTTCAAGATTAATATTCAGGAGCCTGGGCGCTACTGTTCTATAAATAAATGGTGCCTGTGTTCGAGCATGAGAAAACCTCGTTCAGTCCGCCCAAGTACTGTATCTTTCCTTGCTATCATTACCAGCGTTCACAACGCCTTGGCTTCATGCTATCGCCGTTAGCCAAGCCTCCTGAGCCATTGCTTTTCCACAAGTTCCGTGCTGCGTCTGCCTCAATTAGCCTCAGGAACGGCGCAGCTTATTCGGCGTTGTGAACATGTTTTGAATAGTTATGAGGTTTTATGGAGTAGTCAGTTCGATAAGCTCTAGCAAGTCCTCCATCATTATAGAAGCCACCCAGAATTCAAGCTTATTTATGTTGCGTTGACCTACATAGGGCCTTTATGGCGAGATGTTTTCATTTCTCTACGTCATCGAGCCATACCCATTTACCCGTTCATGGGCGATGTTTCATCTGATCCATATGCACATCGTTCGCATAATTGAAGCGCAATTGATAAGTATTCACCGGTAAAGAGATGGAAACACTTAAACAACAGTTTGGCCTCATATTTTCTATGGTTATCTTATAATCTCGTGTTTGCAGAAGGTAAACGTTTAAACACGTGTCCGAGGGGGCTGTAGCAAGTGGTGAGAAAACAATCATTTGGCCTTCTCGGGCACATCAGGGCCCACATTCCTTCCCGGGAAACGAGAAAAAAAAACGCCTTTACTGATCGACAGTAGAGTTTATCTAGATTTCGGCATGAATGACAAACGACTTTTATGCACGGCCTACGTGCACTCCGCCCAGACTCATACAAATATGCAAGCAGCTCCCGCAGTTACTGTATACCCTCCCATCCGTCGTTCATCCTTTCCTTTGCTTCTTTCATTATTCACTCTCTGCCAAGGGTTTGAGGCAATATGGATGCCGGCAGTGAAGCTGTTCCATTGAGTACGGAATTTTGCGTTGAGTTCTTTCATTATACTCACATGTTTGTATCTTTTTAGCTCCGGCTGATCTGTCCCCCTACGGTTATGTCCCTACTCTGTGGATTTGTGCCCTCTTCATCGCCCTCTTCGGCCTGAGTACATGTAAGTAGTATGTGGTCCCGTAACTTGTAGAAGATACTCATCAGCACGCGTAGCGATACATCTTTTCCAGGCAATATATTACCGACTATGGTTTCTCTTGCCAACCGTCGTTCTGGCCGGAGTCACGGAAATCATAGGTTGGAGCGGACGTATCTGGTCTAGCAAGAATCCTCCTTCCTTGGACCCTTTCTTGATGCAGTGCGTCATTGCTCAAATATTGTCCAGGCACCGACATTTGACTGATGCTCATCATCGTTATAGGATAACCACCACAATCATTGCCCCGACGCCACTTATCGCTGCGAATTTCATAACACTAGGACAGGTCATTTCGCGTCTTGGTTCGGATTATAGTCGCCTGAACGCAATGTGGTGTACGTCCTGTTCTATTCGTATTCTTAACACTTGTTCTAATTCTAATGCTGATACTCGTGCTTTCTGCTGTCAGATACCATTGTGTTTGTGACATGCGTGAGTCCAATCACTTTTACATGGTCGTTTCATCCATAGACACTGTTTCCTAGGATATCGTGGCACTTGTCGTGCAAGCTGTTGGAGGTGCACAAGCCTCCATTGCCGTTCAAGACAACCGTGATCCGAACCCAGTTAGTTTCCAACCTCCCACCCCCCGCATGTATCGAACTGACGCCTCGTTCTTCGGCAGGGCGGTAACGTCATGCTTGGTGGTATAGCATTCCAACTGGGTAAAGCTGCTGTTTCTTTAGCTTCGATGTAAGACACGCTTACTCAGACCACATAGGTTCGATCACAATCTACATGCTGTTGGCAGGGGAGTTCATTTTGCGATATTTGTACAACCGACCCATACGTAACAGGAGCGCGGGGAGGTCAAATACGCCACCGCTCGAGCAAAAGACAGCGTTGATGTTGATCGGGCTGTTCTTTAGCAGTCTCACTATTTTTATTCGGCATGTGTCTCTGTCAGAGTATTGCCTTCGATGTCTCTAATCTTCTGCACCTGTCTTTAGGTCTGTCTACCGTACGATCGTACGTACCGCCGGTTCTGATTCTTACTGCGGTTATTGACAATAATTACAGGAGTTGACAGACGGCTGGTCTGGGCGCATCATTGGTACTGAACGCTATTTCAGTACGTGTTACTTTCGTATTTCTCTCCACTCAGCCCACTAACCTGAACCGCCAGACTGGCTCGACGGTAGTATGATCACTCTGGCTTTTTACACAATCAACTTTCTCCATCCCGGACGCCTGATAGGACCTGGTCCTTGGGCTTCTCCCCGAAGTCATGCCAACACAGACACCAAGGAAGTTGTCGATGAAGATATCGAGTTGGCTGTTGTTAAGGCCTAGGTAATATATGCGCGGGCTTGTTGCCTCGTTCTGCCTCTCGCTTGGATTTATATAATCAATAATATCTCCACCTCGCCTTCGGATATTTCGCTTACTGATATATGCTGTTGTATGCACGCACGCTACTCACACACTTCTTATATAGACGTAGCTTTTACATACTACCCAACTAGTTTATATACATACCCGCTCACCGGATGTACACGCTCTAGTTTATACTCCCCACTCTCCTGTACGAGGGGCTGCCCAAATGTAAATAGATTTTGACTTGCCGTATTTATCACGATCGCTCAAGTGGCTTGGCAAGTTGGCGACCATGTCTCTTTGCAACCTCAATCTGCTCGCGCCAAAATCTGTTTGGTCACAATAGTCTTGCCCATGTCTCGGCTCACCCTCATCGTTGCAGCAACCCTTGAAAACGGTATCGGCCAAAATTCTACTCTGCCATGGAGGCTTCCAAAGGAAATGGCATATTTCGCTCGTACAACCTCTAACGCGCCGGAGGGCAAGAGGAACGCGGTAGTTATGGGGAGAAATACTTGGGAGAGCATTCCACCAAAGTTTAGGCCATTGAAGAATAGGGTGAATGTAGTGATAACGCGAAACCGAGACTACCATTTGTATGTATTCTCATCGTTCAGGATGGAATGCAAAAAGATTGTGAACGGCTGTGACGACCTCAGGGATCCGCAAAGCTCATCGACATCCAATGCACCTACCCATCTCTGTACAAGCTTGGAATCTGCACTGTCCTTATTGTCAAACCCAACGAAATTTGAAAAGCCTATCCATCGAATATTCATCATAGGCGGCGCAACACTGTACAACGAAACATTATCGCTACCTCCTTCAGCACCATCCTTTGTCGACCGCATTCTTCTCACTCGTATCCACTCTCCAACGTTTAAATGTGATACTTTCATGCCAGATTTTCAAAACCAGGATGACATGGAAAACCGGCAGCAGTCGAGGTGGAAAAAGGCTTCACATGCAGAGTTGCAGGAATGGGTCGGGTTTGACGTTCCGGAAGGCATGCAGGAGGAAAAGGAAATACAGTATGAATTCCAGATGTGGGTACGGTAGAGTGGTGGGGGATGAGACTGAAGTTGAGAATCGGTCAGTCTCGGAAGGGTCCTAGCCCTGACGCTACCATAGATGTTAGTGGAATACTGTAGTAGAAAAGTATAAAACATACCTGTTTGTGCTTTGGGTTTCTCTTGCAGATAATATATATCCTTCCTTTCCTCTTGACAACACTGCACCCCTCGCATAACCTCTTGACCGATGCACGAACTTTCATTCCCCGAGCCAGGAACGGCTGCGACCCTGCGGTTGACGGGAGGCCATTGTGAAGGTGAGGCTGAGCGTGGAAATGGGGTACAGAGGCTGCTCGGAAGCGGGTCAAGAGAGGCCTCGTCGACACTAAGAATGCGCGCAACATGCTCGTCGGCGTTGGGGTCGTCGTTGAGACTAATTGTTTGTTCGGGTCGGAGGTGAGCGACGCGCACACGTGTTTCCTAAATTGGGCAATTATCCGCTTGAGCGTACTCTCCTTGGCAGCTGGGCTCTTTCGCTCATCGTTCTCCATTTCCTCCCTCTTCAGGACCATAGACTATGCCCCGACATGGCGGGGCCCAAGCGGTCAATATGGGTGGAACAGCCGCTGCTGTCCTCTTCATCCTCGCTCTGCTGGGGTTTGTGGCCGAGACGCAGCTGACCCAGGTACTGAATTGCATCCTCAATCTGTACGGTTCAACTTGGCTTACACGAGGAGAAATTTCTATAGTATGTCCAAACGAACCTGGGCTTTAAACAACCATATCTCATCTTGTACGTGTTTCGATTCATTATTGTCTCTCTGCTAACTCCGATCATATCAGCTACATTGTTCACTCTTTCTTCGCCGTCATGTTTCCGGTGCACTTTTTATACCTTTCATTAACCTCCAAGCATACCCCCCGCGCGATATGGAACGGACTCATTCTTGGTCTTCGAAACCGTATATCCCCCGCATCCCCACGTCCCTCTTCGGCCTTTCCGATATGGAGACTCTTACGTCTTATCCTTCTCCTGACAGCAGGGATGTCTGTCCCAAGTCTCTGCTGGTTCGCTGCTATACCCCTTGCACCGTGAGTGCATATGAGTTTGCGTCAACATTCAAGGATCTCATGCATTCTGCATAAAGGGTCACGGATGTGACTGCTCTCTGTGATAGGACTCAAATCAATTTAGAAATGAGCAGGTAAAACCATTCGAAACTTGGAGTTAATCCGAAGTTCGTCTGGTGTATATATACAACTATTATCTAAATACATGTGGTATCAATGTGTTCGTATATACTTATGGTATCGGTCAGGTTCGAGCATGGATCAATGAATGTGTTTGGGCAGGTTTTAATAAGTGGTTACAAATGAATAACGAGAGGGAAAGGTGTGTTCGTAGATCCGAAATGAAAGTGATCGTAACATTACCCCCTCCTCTAGAATCGTGTCCTCACGATTAATTTATGATAGATATGGAATTGTTCAATCATACCATGATGATCCATTCTTCCGAGTTTTCTCTCTCCCGTTCTCGTAGGTGTACAACCCAGAGTATCACTCCAACAGTGCATAGGATTATGCCACCAAAGACGCTGAGGATGATGATTCCGTCTTTGTCCATTTCTACCAAAGAGCTTTCATTGGTTGAGTGAATGATTGTTCTAAAATAGGGGAGTCCATACTTGGGATTGTTATTGGTTTGACGAGTTGGTAGAAAGAAAGAATGGGGTATTGCCATTCGAGTTTGACTTTCGTAGGCGCAGATGTGATTGCCACGTGTGTCAGTTTGAGCGTCTGCTCATTGATGATCCATAACTCGCCGGCATTCGGGTAATGCTGATTAGATATGATTTGTGCTTTTCTTCGATTTTCGAATAATTTAATCGAGTCTGGGTCCACAGATATCATTGCTTTTTCTTTTTTACGACGTTCTGCCCATCTCTGTACTTTCTGATCCCAATAATCCCATTCTTCTTGTGTCGCTTCTTTAGGAAATGACTGTTCCATAATTTGTGCCTTTAACAATATTCTCATGGGTGCTTTTGGCGCATCGGGATGATCTTTATGGAATTTGTCAATTATCTTTTTGTCTATGTTTTTAATAATTTTATGACGAGGTTCCCATGTGTTCTCAGAACGTGGTTTTCCAGCCCACTTGATTAGATATTGAAGGCCTCCACGTGCCATCTTGGAGTCTAATACGGATTCAACTTTGTCTTCTAAGATATCAATAATTATTGGAATGTTTTTGTGTGTTTTCTGATTAGGGAATTCTGGTGCATGATACGGCAACAATAAAGTTTCATTGAATACGGGATGTACACCTTTCCACGATTTTGGTAATTTGAGTTTGTATGCGCTAGCTCCAATTTTCTTGATAATCGGGAATGGTCCGTATCTTTTATCATCTAATTTTCGATTTGATCTGTCCGTTCGTATATGTGTAGCTTCAAGCCACACCAAATCTCCATCTTTATAATTTATGGCTTCGCCTTTATGTTTATCGTATTGTCTTTTTATAACATCCTGTGCTAACGTTAACGATGCTGATGCTTCTTCTTGGATTTTCTTCATTCGTGCTACAAACTGCTCTGCAGTTTCATTACGAATTTCCTTTTTGGTTTCTACACCAGTGTAGGCTTCTCGTCCATGATTCATATAGAATGGTGAAAATCCAGTCGCAGAGTGGACTCTATTTCGATATGCAAATGTTGCCAGTGGCAACCATTCTGGCCAATCAGTCTGTCGATGATTGATAAAGATTCGTAGATAGTTTTCAATTTCCTGATTGATTCGCTCTGTTTGTCCATCTGTTTGGGGGTGATATGCCGTACTAGGATTTCCCTGAATTCCTAGTTTCTTATATAGATCTTTTATGAAGCTGGATACGAATTGCGGTCCACGATCTGATGTCATCTTTTTTGGTAATCCGTGCAGCGGATATACATTTTTGATATAGAGATTAGCCCATCCTTCTGACGTCAATTGCTCTGTGGTTGGTATTTCAATGTAGTCTTTTGATTTCATGTCCACAACTACTATGATTGCATCATGCCCTTGCGATTCTGGTAAATGTGTAATCATGTCTACAGATTGATATTCCCAGTTGTGTTCCGGAATTGCATTTGGGTGCAATGGAGCATTCTTCGGTTGATGGTTAATCTTAGTTTTTTGACAAGTTTCGTAGCCTTTTACATATGTTTTTACATCTTTTTTGATCGAAGGCCACCAGTACGATCGATAAATTAGTTCTTGTGTTTTCGCTTGTCCAGGGTGACCGGCACTGATTGAGTCATGATGCGAATGAATAATTTCTCCTCTGAGTTCCTTGTCAAAAGGGATAACAATCTTCCCCCTTCTCCAGATAAGACCATCCTCGGTCTCATTGAAATCGGCATCTTTTGTCAATAGTTTTAGTCGTACATTGTTTTCATATTTATCAGTGTTTTTTATGATTTTCTCCCGTAAAGCTGATGATCCGAGGATTTTATTGGCTCGGAACCATTCTGGTTTTAACAACGTAATGTTTTCATTATGACTGTCTCCAATATCATGATGGGTCTGTCGCGATAAAGGGTCTCCCTTCGTCATTGTGTTTCCGGGTTTGTGGGTCAAATTGAAATCATATTGTTGTAATTCTTGAATCCATCGTGCCTGGCGATGATTCAACTTCTGAGGTTTTTTGAAATAACCAAGGTTCTTGTGATCGGAATGAATTTCGAATTTCTGTGCAGCTCCCATCAAGAAGTGACGCCATTCTTCTAATGAGATCATGATGGCTAGCATCTCTCGATCGTAGATCTCATAGTTTCTTTCAGCCGGTGAAAGGCTTTTCGATAAGAAGGCGATGGTTCGCCATTGTCCATCTTGCTTCTGTGCAAGTTCAGCTCCAATAGCATATTTTGACGCGTCGCATTCGACTTTGAACTGATCTTCATTGTTCGGAATACCTAATACCGGTGCCGTGGTAATGGTTTTCTTTAGAAGTTCAAAAGCTTCCTGCTGTTCTGGACCCCAGGTCCATTCTACTTGTCCGGTTAATTTATTCAAGGGAGTGGCAATTTTGGAAAAGTCTTTGATGAATCGTCGGTAGAAATTAGCGAATCCAAGGAATGACTGTAATTCCTTTTTGGCTTTTGGTGCTGGCCATTGCGTAACTCCATCGACTTTGGCAGGATCCATCTTTACAGTTCCTTGCGAAATAATATGTCCGAGATATTCTGTTTCTTGAGTTTCAAACTCGCATTTTTCTGGTTTGCAGGTTAACTTATTTTCTCGTAATATTTTAAGGACTTCTTTCACAATACGGCGATGTTCCTCCAAGGATTCAGAAAATATGAGTATATCGTCAAGATATATGATTACTTTTCCTTTGAGAATGAGATTACGGAAAATGTCATTCATCATCATCTGGAACGTAGCAGGACTATTCGTCAATCCAAAGAACATGACAGTTGGTTCGTATAGTCCTCTATTCGTGATGAATGCAGCTTTCTCTTCGTCTCCTTCTTTCATACGAATATTGTTGTATCCCCAGCGAATGTCTAGTTTCGTAAAATATTTGGCACCCTTGAGCTTATCAATAAGCTCCGATATCAATGGTAAAGGATATTTGTTTTTCTTGGTCATATCGTTGAGTTTTCGGTAATCCTGTACCGGTCTCAATTTGCCATCTTTCTTTTTGACAAAAAAGAAAGGTGCTCCCCAGGGAGATTTTGATGGTCGGATTCTTCCCGTCTTTAGGTTTTCTTCGAGAAAACCATCTAGGGTTTTTTGTTCTTCAACAGTCATGGAATACACCTTGCCTGCATATGGCGATGAGTCTGGTAGCAATTCTATTGCATGGTCCCATGGTTTTCTTTCCGGAAGGACATCAAAAGTATCTTCAGTGAATACATCCGTGAATTCACGATACTGTTCTGGAACCATTTCTTCGAAGGTTTTTTTCTTTTTCTGTTTACTTTGTTCGATTGCTATGTCCATGGCGGTTACGCGCATTCGCTGAATGTATTCTCCCCGTTCTTTATACCAAGCATTGGTATTAAGTAAATATACTGTGTCTCCTTCTTCGATCTCTTGTTGTCTTATGGTGACGCACGTGTGTGGACATCGGTTAAAGTCAACAAGTTGCGATTTGAAGTCTATTGATGGATTATGGTATTCAATCCATTCATATCCGAGGAATATGTCTGACTTCCCCAGATCGGTAACTAGAAGCATGATCTTCTCTTGGTGATCGCCGATTCGAAGTGTGAGTCGGACATATTCTGTGATCGGTCCCTGAGAATTCTCGCTGTTATCGGTGTTATAGACTTGGATCGGTTGATCAAATCTAGAGGTTTCAATTCTATGCCTTTTGACGAAATTATAATTTATGCATGATCCGGTACTACCGGTGTCGACTAATGCTACTGTATCATGGATTCTTTCTGTTTCCGGGATGATCACAGTGACCGGTAGGTCCATTTGTTTCCCTCTTCCAAGTCCTTTGATGACTCGGAGTAATGGTGGTCCGATGTCTGTGATGCTTTTATCCGACGCACTCGGTTTATTTTCAAATTTTTTGTATTTTGTTTAGAGGAATCAAGCACAGGTTCCGCCCTGCCGCGCTTCTTGGTAGAAGACGCCTCTGCGTTAGGTAAAATATTTACAAAAGGGGACTGTCCGATCGATGTATTACAGGCATGTAGCGAAGATGTTTTCATAGAACCCTCCAGGGGTTTGTCCGAGTCATTGTTCATATCCGGCAAGTTACTTTGTGCGTTTAAGCCTTGCCCGAGCCAAAATTCAACTTCTTCGCCTTCTCCGGGTTCTTCTCCATCCATCGCCGAACCATGGCGATCATCTTGTCATCGTCGTCATCATCTGAGTCGGGGATCTCCTCGATCTTTGACTCTGATTTTGTTTCATTCTTTCGAACACGTTGAGTGTTCGTGGAAGGTCCCGATCGATTGGGGACGTGCCATGCACTTCCGCAAGTGCCCTTCTCTGATTGCTTAGCCTTACACTTAAGGCAATTCCTGTCCAAGTCCATGGGCTGTCCACGCCCTGTGAACGTCGTCCCGGTTCCATCTTTCTTTTCTCCGTAGTCCTTCTTCGGACTCTGATTCTGAGTTTGACCCGATCCTTGGGTCTGCTGTTGATAACTAGGGTATTTCTGCCCATAGTTCTGGTTCGATCGGAAAGGTCGATATCCAATCTTCTTCAAATGCTTCTCTTCTTCCCGCTGCCTTCGCGAGGAATCAATATCAATGATTGCTTCCTTCCACTGTGCGTAAGTGGTTGGTCGCGTGTCTCTGTCAAGAGCCCTATCTACAATGGACTCATTGCAGTTGAGTCGGACAAGGTCGATAGTGTGTTTATCTTCCCTTTGCCTGCCTGCCTGCGTGATGTACATTTCCAATTTCTGGAAATATTCTTGTGCCGTTCCATTGCCTTGGGTCAAGTTATCCATTTGGATAACTGCTTGTTCGATTCGATTTACATCGAGGAACGCTTCGTGTAGATCGAGTATTAGCTGTCGAAAAGTTATTCTCCAGCTGTTTGCGTCGATATCGAAATTGTTGTCAAAGTAATTATTGACCCAATTATCAATCTTCGGACCCTTCATGTACGAAAGAGTCATATCGACCTTCTGTTCATCTGTGAGGCCAATATTCTTGGGTGTTCGGAACCATAGTATCAATTGCCTTTTGAAAGCAAGGAATTTGTCTTTACTTCCATCAAAGTCTGAAGGTTTCGCTCCAGATGCCTTTGTGTTTGGCTGTGGCGGTACTGGTGGTGGTTGTCGAGGTGGGTTTGGGTTTTGTTCAAGATCACCAGTGTCGGCTTGTGTAGAACCCATTGGTGATATCGGTGATGGTGGTGTGAAATATGTGAGTGATGAGTGTGGTGATGATACGAGCGGAGGTGGAGATCGGCGTGCGTAGAATTGGTAGATAGGTACAGAGTCAGGGAATATGAATGAAGACGTGATATGTGAACAATAGTGTCTTGTACCGGGCACACGACCCTGTTCTGGTACTTAGACGAGTATAGATCCGAGGTAAAGGTACTCCTTCAAAGTGTTCCGGCCAATAGCTGATCCGGACACACGAGGTAGGTATATGTAGTAGCTACGTAAAATGGTTTGGCCTTAGAAGGCGCAAAAAGAGAAGTTGATCTCTGCGGTAGTTGTCTTTCGACGTGCGAGAGAATCAAAGAATACCAGCGAGGTTCGAAACCTCCTGCCGTACACTCAGTCGTTTAGGTCTGAGCAGGGTAAATTCTGGTAGGATTTTTCAACGGCCCCTCTGTCAAGAAGGTTGCAGCACCGCCTACTTCCTGGTTGCTTCAAGAGCGGACTACCAGGTGAGAGTAATGATTTATATACTAAGGGAATACAAGGGTCGCAATCTACAGTTGTAGTCGCGTGATTACCCAGGTGGAGGAGTGGAGTGCGATATGAAAGGTAACTAGGAATGTGGAATTCGGATCCCTCCGAATGAGGTCTTGAGCGAGTAAGAGTAAAGCAGAGTAGAGTGAGGAACGAGGTGGTTGTCGTCGAGTACAACGGACTTGAGAGAGGTGAAGAGTGGGTGGAAGACGAGGCAATGCCTGTCGAGAGAGTGCGGAGGGGCAAGTTTCGAATTATGATAGGACTCAAATCAATTTAGAAATGAGCAGGTAAAACCATTCGAAACTTGGAGTTAATCCGAAGTTCGTCTGGTGTATATATACAACTATTATCTAAATACATGTGGTATCAATGTGTTCGTATATACTTATGGTATCGGTCAGGTTCGAGCATGGATCAATGAATGTGTTTGGGCAGGTTTTAATAAGTGGTTACAAATGAATAACGAGAGGGAAAGGTGTGTTCGTAGATCCGAAATGAAAGTGATCGTAACACTCTGGAACACCAACGCATTCTGGGCTTATATAGTAACAGTTAAACTTTTTGGACTTAATTGGGAGCCTCGTCGCCTCGCGGCGGTCCTTCTCGCAACAGCAGGTGCTATGGCTGTCGTCTATGGCGGCAGTATCACACCAGAGGCGCCAGACAGCACAGACGCAGGAGCGGCAGACGTCTCCCATTATAGACCAACCTCCGCATTGGCTGGCAGTCTCTTAACATTGCTTGCTGCCATTGTGTATGGCGTATACCAAGTGTTGTACAAGATGTACGCCGCCCTCCCCACCGATCCTGAGGCTGATCTTGATGGACTGGATGTTCCCGCGCCATATGAGCCTGTTCCAGACGATATTATCGAACAGGTCCAGACTATTGCGCTTTCAGAACAGGAAGACATCGTGTATCCTCCGCCGTTCGCGCTATACCCGAATCTTCTGACTTCGGCTATTGGCGTATGCACATTCTTGGTTATGTGGATTCCCATGCTCATTCTCCAGTTGCTTGGGATTTCATCATTCCATTTACCTCTTAACCTGAAGACGGTATTGACTCTTGGTGGTGTAGCTCTTAGTGGTGCCACATTCAATGCAGGATTCATGGTGAGTATTTGGAGTTTATTCAGACGCATATACTCATAAACCTTTGCCATACACCAAGATCCTCCTGGGATTGTGGGGTCCAATACTGACATCCATTGGCGGCCTTCTTACCATCGTATTTGTATTCCTCTCCGATATCATTTTTGGCGGAGCAGTGCAGACCATCACCTTCTGGAGTCTTTTGGGCTGTGGTTCAATAGTGGCAGCATTCAGTGTCCTTGCGTACGATATGATGCAGAAGGGATGATTGTTGACATTGGGATTGTCGTAAGGTGTTTCTGCCTCTGGAGGGAGCCATTGTTTCGAGAACGCGGAATAATGAACAGAAAGCTATTAGAACGTATCCGCATCTCTGACTGACTGTCGCTGAAGACACTCCAACAGGCCGAGGTTACCGTGAATGATATAAAACGTCAAAGAGAACATGTCAGAGCGACGAAAAGACTATTTGCACAATGAGTAATAGCACGAACGATGAAAAGAACGTATCGGGTGGAGAAGATATACTGTACTGCACGTGAAGGTGTAATGCGGATGACCAAAACGAAGGCGTGAGAGACCATGAATGCACCTGCGGAGTACAATGACAGTCCGGGAATCCAGCGGGTCACAAGCAGAGCGAGAAATGATTGCCTGGAAATGACGAAGACGAGAGAACAAGAGAAGAAAACTGAATGAAAGCCGCGTCAAAACGGATATTAGAACCGTTGTAAATAGAGAGTGAGAGGGAAAAAAACTGATAATAAACAACCACACCATACACAGGTATCACCAGAACAGAATGAGGTGATGCCCATGCATACCCCGACCAACATGACGAACTGTAGCAACCAAAAACCCATCTCGAATAATGAAGACGTATGGATGATATCCATCAGGTGGTAGTCATCATACTGTGCACAAGGGTCAGTTTCACACACGCCTGACAATGGAGCTGAAACGGACCTCTTCCGCTTTGCCTTCGTCATTTCTTTCCGCAATGCTGGGGCGTCTAATGGCTTAAGTAGCTCAAATGCGCATAGTAACTCCTCCGAAACACTGAAACAGGGTTTAGCCACGTGTAAACATACAAAATACATGAACAAACCTCATGCATGCGCCGTAATTGTCAAACTCTGTTCCAATCGGAAGTTAAGCGCAACAAAAAGTCGACGAACAGCAGTACGCACCTCCGCAATAGTTAGGCGCACTGAATACAGTCACCAACGTCCGTTCATTCCAGAACTCATAGCCATCCTCGACAACCATATGAGCACGGCAAATAAGGTCCATGTCGTATCGAATCAGGAAGTCATTGATTATTGCTTTTCCAAAGCAATAACTGACACCCCTTTCGTTATCTTCCCAGTCCGCTGCTGTGTCAGATGGATCTGACCACAGCAAGTCGTTAAGTAGCCCATAATCCGGTACATCCGTTGGGCGCTGTATTCGCTTTATATCATCCATAGTATGCAGTGAAGGTGATAATCCTCCATGCACACAGAAGATTTTGGAAGCAACGATTGCGGCAATAGGAAGGCAGTTGAAAACGTCAATGAATGTCTTCCAAGTCTTGATATTACACCGTCGTTTGCATTCATCATAGAAGCCATAAACTATAAATTATCAGCATGCAGAGCGGCTAGTGAGGTGGAAGTCTTACCTCTCGTCACATTCGCGCATTCGTGATTACCCCGGAGAAGGAAGAAGTTCTCTGGATACTTGATCTTGTAGCAGAGTAGTAAGAGTATAGTTTCCAAACTCTGCTTTCCTCTATCAACATAGTCTCCCAAAAAGAGATAGTTGGCTGCCGGCGGAAAGCCGCACATCTCGAACAGTCGAATGAGATCCGAGTATTGCCCATGAACGTCTCCGACGATCTTCACCGGAGGCGAGAGCTCTATGAGAGTAGGCTGGCTTAGGAAGACTTCCCGTGCTGTCTGGCAAATGGAAACAATCTCCGCGTTCTTGATACATAGCGATTTGCTGACTTTGCCTGTATAGCCAACATCGAGCAGTCGCTGGATCATATCGTCAATATCGACTTGAGAAAGCCTTGCTTTATCCTTCCCGCCATTGAAACTGGTGACGTCTCCTGAAGCAAAGCTAGCGGTAGACCCAGGGGTGGGGAATCCTGGCGGCGATGTTGCATTAGACAGAATAGTCTGGGTGATGGGTATATCAAGCGGTGCTGGCTTCAAACCTGCTGTTGGTGATGATGAAGGAGAGGATGCGTTATTGGGTGCGGGGACAGGAGGTTGCTTTGATGGAGAGCTCGGGGTAGCGGCTACTGAAGCGTCGGACCCAGGAGGACGTGAACCGCTTCCTGTCAGTTGGGTGGTAGCGCCTTCGGGATTGGAAACATTTATCGCAGGATGACCATTCTCCAAGCCATTGAGCTCTGAACCCTTGTGTCCAGACTCAGAGGATGGTGCGGTTCCACGGGGTGTGCTGTGAGGTGTATTGTCGTTGGTATCTGGAACAGCGCTGTCAGGAGTCGAGGATGCATCGAGCTCCTTCTCTTTCTCCTTCCCATTCTTCTTGGACTTTTTGGACTGCTGCTGGCCCATGGGCAGGGCCGACGGAGAGGAAGACGGCGAGCCTGGTTGAGGAGATTGCGGTCTTGACCTCGAAAGGCGGGATGCGAAGACGGAAAGAAGTGTGGGCGCCAGCTTGGCAGTCTGCACTGGCGGGACAAGGTTGGAGATCGGTCGTGCTCGTCGTCAAAGGTCGTACAGGAGAGTGCTGGACACGGTCGTCGACCACGGTGGATCCGTGCAGCGTCTGTGATCTGAGACTGAGGAGAGAGCTAGTCTACTACCAAGCGTTGTTTGGTCGATGTTGGGGGCTGGACCCGGGTTCAACTGTTCACGATCACGTTTATCTCTATCTCACAGCCACACTAATGTAGAAAAACATGTATTGCGAACGTGCATAACGAAGATCCCAGGTCTCGTGCATTCATTATGGCATGGATAGACAGCAATACAGACATATGTAATAGGCCAAATACCTCCACAGCTCAACCACAGAGCCCACTCCTCAGAACTTGCCGAAAGCCTTGATTGCTGCCTTGCTCTTCGACACTCGCAAAACGTTGAAGCGGACAGTTTTTGAAAGTGGTCGGCATTGACCTGAAATACAGTTCAGATATTAATTGGAGACTATTCCCCGAAACAGAACATACCAACAGTGACAATGTCACCAACATCCGCACGGAAGGCAGGCGAGATGTGGGCAGCAAGGTTCTTGTGTCGTTTCTCATAACGGTCTGTGAAACGAACAGTTTACATGCAAAGAATCATTGCATATATCCGAGGGATTACTCACTGTATTTCGGGATGTAATGCAGGTAGTCTCGTCGAATAACAATAGTACGGTTCATCTTGGTGGATATAACTCGGCCAGTCAAGATACGGCCACGAATCGAGACATCACCAGTGAAGGGGCACTTGTGGTCTGTTGCATTGCACTTCGTAAGATCCGTTCGCAAACTTTACGAGGTTGCAGACGTACCAATGTAACTACCACTGACCGCCTCGGCGGGGGTCTTGAATCCAAGACCGACGTCCTTGAACCAACGCTTTTCCTTTGTAGAAACCTTCTTTCCCCCGGCTATAACACATCAAAGGTGATTCCTTCGTGAGTCCTGCGAGACATCCACTGTGAATCCAATTCTATACGAACCACGAGCCTTCGTGTTTTGGAAGAGGTGTTGCTTTTGGTACGCCTTCTCGATCTATCAAAACAACAAAAATTGTACCATCAACAGGACGCCCCGCCAGTTCATGCAGATAACGCACTTGGTCGGCCATGTCTTGTGCTTGAGGAGGGGATAGCTTTGGCGGAGGCGGCCTACAGAATGATTATGGGTCTGGTAACTACGAGACTGGGAACCAGCCACTTTCAGCAAGAACTATACAGCTGCGGCGCTTTCCGTAGAGTCAAGTCAGACTCTGTCCCAATGCGGTCTATTGGGCGCTTAATGAATGTTAGGCATTCGACAAATGCCAAGCACTTTGCTCCATTTCATGATGATCTGCTACCTGACATGCTACTGTACCGTAAAAGTAAATACGACCTCGAAGAGACGTCTAATTTCCGAAAGTTTGCGATGACTCTCCAGTATCAGGACGTCTCGCAGCTCCTTGTGCTGTCCAATTGTAGTCATTTTCCTTTTCCATTTCATCTTCAAACATCCGAATCACTGCTTCTCTGCCTCGAACGATTTCCGAAGAATCATCTCCATTACCGAAAGCCGTAAGAGATGGCATGTTTGGTACGTTCCTGAAAGGGTGTGATTCCAGGAAGTCCGCACTGGGACTGTCATTGGGACTGTCACTCCGACTCCTAGCGGGGCGAGGTGGAGGACGCAGACTCGTCGCAGGAGAAGGAACAGACAAGCCCTTCATGTGGCTCGATACTGGGCGAAGTGATAGTGATGCCGGGTGTATGTGAACCGGCGACGACGAAATAGGCGGTGCATGCACTTTCTCGTCCGAATCGGATGAGAAAGTGGGGCTGAAGCGAATGTTTGTGCTTGCCTCGTTATTTGGAGTAAACTTGAACTGCTGACGCAAACCAAGAAGCCAACCCTGCTGACGATCTTGAAAGTCCAAGTACGAATTGTCCTCCTCAGATCGCACGGATGGAGTATGATCTTCGAAAAGCCTTGGTGTTCGCTTGGAAAGGGATCGGAACCAAGAGTGCCATACAGCGAAGACTTCCTCTTGCGCCCCGAAAATAAAGAACATAAGAATCGGTGTAATTGCTGTTTGAGTGTTGTGAGTTTAGGACTTTCCACGGAGTTCGTGAGCACATACCCTCCCACACCATACTGATTATGAACACAGTGCGCATGGGCATATTTCCATGAAGTCTTACATGATCCCTTGCCCAGGTGGCCATGACGATCGTGTAAAGAACTGCAGAAAGAACGATTATACCGAGCAAGGCACCAAATCGTAATATTCGTGTGAGGTCGAGGAGGCCCAAAGTGTGGCTGGCCAGAGGTAGTTTCACCGACTTCCATAGATACCAAACGAAAGCCAGAGAAATTCCCGTAGCACAAAGAAGCGGGAGAATCATTTGCGTCAAAGACACAATTTGGTACGACGTGTGCGAAACCGTGCATATGGCCTATAGTTATCGCGTCGATGACAGGGATGAAATGTGAATGCGATCATACGTACTTCAAAAAACATTGGATGAAGGGCGTGTCGGTCATGAACGATTGTTGGTATCGGTATGATAATAGCGGGCAATGCCCATACTACAGTTGAAATCCAAGTAAGCTGAATGCGTGCAAATGCGACGATTATACGAAGCAGCTGACCAAAAGGACCAATGCATAGTAGGGCAACTGTTCGGGTGAAGAACATGGACTTTCCAGAAGAGTTCCCTTGCATGGATTGCTTTGAATGTTTGACGGCCAAGTAAAGCAGCGGCTAGAGAATCCTAATAAGTGATGTTGACGATACGTATGGTGCGAGACTCACCAGAGTGAAGCTGACTGAATATGCAGCTTTGACCACAGTCAAATATCGGAGACTAAACAGCTCAATAAATGCAAGCACCAACGGTGGGCTCGATAACCTACATGATGGCCATGCTAATGCAGAGCTTCTGCAGCGAAGCGTGCATACGAATTGCATCGAACTGGACCGAAAGCCGCTGGTACGCAATTGGAGGGATGACAGCACAAATGGACCGTAGGAGGGCGGCAATCGTCATCGAGTTTACTATAGCATGCTTAGGTGCAGGCGTAAGGAGCAGCGCCGATAACAATACAATGCCGACCACCTTGGTACAGGATCAGTCATACAAGGCTTCGCTTAACGATGTAATAACGTACCTCAAGGACGGTCACAGTTAGCCGAATTCCGTCCCAAGATTCCATCGTAGATAGAGGCTCGGCAGAGCAGGGGGAAGCTACCACCACCCGAGCAAGGTACTTGTGTAAGTTTAGCAGTGGGTGAAGGTCAGCGGCCAGAACAGCGTGTAGCGATCTTTATGGGAATGCATCCTTCACCTGCGCAACGAGGGGTTCTCCCATCTGTCGATGTCGAGATACTCGTTGGCTGATCTTTGTTCATCATTTGCAGGAGAAGGCCGCGTGAAGTCTGCGGGAATGCAACCAGAGACTGCGGCTTGGCATGATGTAACTCATTCAAGCAGCCTGACACAAATTCCTAGGGGATATTTCAGCACGAGAAGGCACGGTGTGATTGTATAAGTCCAGTTTCAGGGACAGGTTCACAGAGGGACTTGCGTTCGAATAGGTGTGGCGGTCCGGACAACACTACTGGCGCTTTTTAAATGGATGCAATTCCAGACGGCAACAATTCAAAAAAAAATTGATGCATTCCCGGACGGGTATCTGGCGCGTTGCCTATGGGCATAACATTCTCACCTGCTCATACATACAAAATTTCCGGGTCCAAGTTCTGTAATGACCGGTTGCGTACGCATGCTGCAGCACCAACGACGCAAAAAGAAAACGCGGGCGAAAACGCCGATGGCATAAAGTGGGAGTTATACAGACCATATGAATATGAGTTACGCTTTGGCAATCCCGGCGAGCGCGGGGATCGCTGTAGAGTTTGAAGTGCTGAATTATAACGCAAAAATATCCGTGTGAAGGTGAATGATGAAGTGTTTCCTGTACCTCACAAGCAGGTGAATGGCAGATAGAAGGATACAGGACGAATAATGAATGAATGGTACATCACCACAGCTGGCAAGACGGAGCGTATTGAACGCGTCCGTGATACATTGTGTGTGGAGCCGTCACAATACGGTTAGAACAAGGAAGCCTAAAAATGAGTTGTGATAGGATATAAAAGCAGTAGATGACGTCTAAAGTGTCATAGCAGAGCAGACTCCAGAGGTTCGGAATCACTTAGAGTCCATGCGTCCCGATCAGAATATAGCTATATCAAACATAGTTGGAAGTAAACCTAGCTTTGTCACAAAGTTTGAGTATCGTCATGGAAAGCAGAACTATTCACAGCACAGACCAAGGACTGAGCCTAGCGGGACCCGATTGTCAGAAGAATCTTCAACTTGAAAGAGAAAAATCGGCGCTCAGCCGAAAGTGATTTGGCGCCCAAATGACATGCTGCGACGCGTCTCATTAGACGCCTGTTAATGTTGGTGACGATACGCGTCGCGTCTGCATTGCGATCGCGTTCTTACACTCTTACACGCGTTATAAGTCGTTGTATGGGGAGACAACAAACACTAGGTATGTTAAAAGAGTGTCATATTTGCTGAAGCTCACGTCAGCAGGCAAATTCTTCGAGATGCCGAAGGGAGTCAAGCTAGCGCCGCCTCAGCAGTCCCATCTTGAGGAGATGTGGGGGAAGAAGAATCATCCAGTACAGAAAATTGCTGAGATATCCGAGCAGGATCATGCAGACGAGAAGGCTGGTAGGTGCTGTAATAAATGTAGCTTCCGGCTTTCTTTCACCTCCTCTCTAGAAAGCTCGAAACGAAAACAATCTCCAGCTCCTGAAGAGTGTACGCTCTCGATTCGTTGATCTCGCGAGGTATCTAACAGCTTTATCCAGTGACAGAGAAACCCTCCCGATTGAAGAAACGCAAAATAGTTGAATCTGATGTGGAGGATACCGGTAATGCATTGTACTCTGTGCCACCATTTACGTCAGACTTATTAAGTCCTTCAGTCGATACCCCTGATGCCTCAAGCTCGAAGAAGAAGGCTCCTAAGAAGAAGGCGGCTCTGAAGCATGATTTCAAGCCAACGGAGGAAGAGTCAGAACCGAAAGCGGTGGTTAAGAAGTCCGAACCAAGTGTCGCCTCCAAAATGAAAGCGAAAGCAGTCGAACCTAAGAAGGAGGACGTTGAGATGGAAGAGGAGGCAGTTAGCTCCACGGCTACCTCTGAAGTTGAACCAGAGCCGGGAGAGGGTCTTGACGAAGGCGAGGATGAGATTGAGGCGGAAGAGGATGAGGTTGCTTCCAAGAAGTCAGTAATCAACCATGTGCTATGTGCTGTTTATGTTCCTAACTCTCCACTTTAGTGCTGAGGCTGCGTTGTCTAAAACTGAAGCGGTTGATGTTAAAGGTTGGAAAGAGGGAGACCCGTGAGCGGTCTTGTTCTGTCTCCTAAGAGCTTTAAGCTAATCTTGCGCAGCGTCCCTTACACGGCTCTTGCGAAGGCCTTCTCTCTGATCGAAGCAACAACGAAGCGTATTGAAAAGACATCGTTGTTGACTTCTCTTTTCCTGCTGGTCATACGGCGCCGCGCAAAAGGGGACACGAATTCTCTCTTGCAGACCGTGTATCTCTGCATAAACAAGGTATGTTGTTCTTTTTCGGCTTCTCGTCACGAAACGCTCAATGTCGTCGTTTAGTTGTGCCCGGACTATGTTGGCATAGAATTAGGTATCGGCGAGAGTCTTTTGGTAAAGGCTATCGCGGAATCCACAGGCCGAAGTCTTGCCACGATAAAGGCAGACTTGAAGAAAGAAGGAGACCTTGGACTTGTAGCAATGGTACGATATCACTTCTCAGGTTACACGGCTTCATTGACGACTCCTTGGCAGCATTCCAAAAACAGTCAGAAGACATTGTTCAAACCGAAGCCTTTGACAGTGCCCTTCGTCTTCACCAATCTCAAGGAGATCGCGCTTAGCACTGGCCATTCGGTTCGCTTCTGATCTTACGCGTGTGTTCCCCTGATATTCTGACACACTCCAATGCAGTCTCAAGGCAAAAAAGTTTCTATCATTACGAAATTACTTGCGGCATGCCAAGGGTCAGAGGCAAAGTATATTGTTCGAAGTTTGGAAGGCAAGCTGCGTATCGGCAACGCGGAGCGTACTGTGCTTGTTGCCCTTGCACATGCGGCTGTTCTAGCAGAACAGGAAAGATGTATGTTATCCACGCAAGTCTGGAATGTATGACTGATGTCTATTTTTCTAAAAGCAAACAAGAGAATGAACAAGGAGCGACTGACCGCCCGGTTAGAGGAAGGAGCCCATATCCTGAAGTCCGTCTACAGCGAACTTCCCTCGTATGATCTCGTTATTCCTGCGCTCTTGGAAACTGGCATCGACAAACTGCGGGAGCATTGTAAGCTTGTACCAGGTGTTCCCCTGAAGCCCATGCTTGCCAAACCTACCAAAGCGATTGGTGAAGTTCTCGACCGATTTGACGAGAAGCGGTTCACATGCGAGTACAAATATGACGGCGAACGTGCACAGGTAATTTATTGCCACGATATATCATATCAAGGTTGCTCACAGGGTGATTATACAGGTACATAGACTCGAAGATGGAACCGTGGGTGTGTTTAGCAGGAATTCGGAGGATATGAGTACGAAGTATCCTGACTTAGTGGAAAACATACCACATGTGAGTATGTTTCGCCGGACCTGATTTAATGAGCTGAAATGTACTTCTTTATAGTGCATCAAGGAAGGCACGAAGACTTTCGTTTTCGACGCAGAAGCGGTAGCAATCGACAAGCACGGGAAGCTGCTACCATTCCAAGAGCTTAGCAAACGGAAACGCAAGGATGTCAAAGTAGAAGACATAGAAGTCCGGGTTTGTCTCTTCGCCTTCGATCTCCTTTACTTGAACGGAGAGGTACGTAATTTTGCGAGTTTAAGAAGACGATTCCTGATGACGTGGGATTTTTTTCAGTCCTTGCTACAGAGGCCGTTGTACGAACGTCGCGAACTACTCAGACAGCATTTTCAACCGGTCGACATGGAGTTCGATTTCGCAAAGGCTTCGGATGCTGAGAGTCTGGATGAGATCCAACATTTCATGGAACAGAGTGTCAAGGATGGTTGCGAAGGACTTATGGTTAAGATGCTGGAAAGTGAAGCTAGCTTCTATGAACCCAGCAGAAGGAGTGTCAACTGGCTGAAGGTAACTATCACGGTCAGATTATTCTATTGTCTTCAAGTCCCTGAATATTCCCATTTTGCTAGGTCAAGAAAGACTACCTTGCTGGTATAGGTGACTCCCTTGACTTGGTTGTTGTTGGGGGATACCACGGCAAGGGCAAGCGCACAAATGTCTACGGCGCCTTCCTCCTTGCGTGCTACGACGCCGATGCAGAAGAGTACCAGACGATCTGCAAAATAGGTACCGGTTTCAGTGACGAGATGTTGCAGTCCCACTATGAAGCTCTGAAGCCGCTGGAGATATCCCAGCCTCGAGGAGACGTGAAAGTCGGTGGAGCGAAACCAGAGGTCTGGTTTGAGCCCAAGATTGTCTGGGAAGTGTTGACGGCGGACTTAAGTTTGAGTCCGATTTATCCTGCCGCGCAAGGCTTGGTAAGTGGATAAACTCTGGCTTATGTATGCGGTGACCCACTCATAGAATAGGTCGGCGAGAGGGGAATATCTCTTCGCTTCCCGCGATTCCTTCGAGTTCGTGACGACAAGAGTGCGGAGGATGCGACAGGGCCAGATCAGGTAAGAAAGAATCCCTATATCGTCCATACATCTGACCTGATAATCTTGGGCAGATTGCTGAGATGTACGAGAGACAAGTCCTATCCGGAAGCAAATCCGGTAAGAAGAAAAAGGATGGGGCTGAGGATGACTTTTGGTAAGATATTCGGAGGAAGACTCTGAGGAACCATGCTGTCAGCCTATCCCACATTTGTATAATTAGTAATATATTGGTATACATATCTATAGTAACATCAGCAAGTGCGTACGAAAACGAGGACAACAGGCAAGACGAGTATGTCATTTTGCGGCAGCGACCTTTTTGGCTTCTTCTCGCGCTGCTTCTATGGCCTCTGTGACAGGCCCTTTCTTCGCTGCCTCTTTCTTCTCCTTTCCGCCCATGTACCAGTAGTTCACGAAGCGACCCTCTTGTACCAGCTGGGCCGTCGCGTTGGTTGCGTGACAAGCAAATAGCAAGTAATTGCGAGGAATTACACGCCATGCTGAAGAAATTAGAATTGGTTAACATATAAATCAAGGAACGTTCAATGAAACGCACCGAAACGCATGAACACTAAACTGCACATGTATTGATGAATGAAGTGATCGGTGAAGTAAATCTCGCGTGACTCACGAGTAAGCAGCTAAAGCAGTGGTCATGGCTCCAGAAATAACTTCCTCATCTTTGCGCAAGTCTGCGATGGCCGCAAGAGGTAAACCCCAGTTGGCTACCTGTTGAGCAGTGTGTTATTCCTTTAACCATTCTAGAATGAGATGAGACGAACTGGTCCCCAAAAGTGCGTGCCTATGAAGGTAAGGTAAGTTCGATCGTCTATACTATTGAATACGTGACATACTGAAGAAATATTGCCGTGCTGCTGGCGAGCGCAGCCAATTGTAGAATCTGGAAGCCATGGTACGAGAGAGAGAACGGTGTACGTCGAACGCGCCAAACCCCATCATTACGACTACGAGTCATCAACATTGACTAATGTGGGATAGTGTTTTCACCTCACTGACAAGCTCGCGTCCAATGAGCAGCATCTCCTCCTTTCTGACCATCATGGTATTGCTCGTTGGACACGCTTTTGCATATCATTCCTAATTGACTGCCTGGGTGTTTTTACTCGTGGAATGCACGAGAACTAGCCTCATGACTGGTAATCCTGGCCTGATTAAGCCCTCCATCTGCACGTTGTAAACTCTCTTCGAAAACAGCCGCCTGTCATCTATGAACTTTCAATCTTTTGCGAATCTCCCCCTAACCACCCCAGCTCATACCCCCTAGTAAAAGCTGCTCCTGCTCGTACTGCTCTCTGATATCTTGAATACTCAGGAACTATACTCCATCTCAGCTGCATCTGTAGACGATCAGTATGCAAGCTTATCATGGCCAGCCGATTGGTCCTTACATCGGTCAGAATCCCTATGGTCAGAGCCAGGCAACGTACTATGCTCCATACGCTCCATATGCACCTCTTGCGGCCGCGCCTAACGTCCCATTTCCTGGACCATACGGCGGGGATCAGTACGATTCTCGTCCTCCACCGCAAGGGCCTCCCCCACCACAAGCTTTTGCACGACCACGTCATAGACCTCTCAACAAACCCTCCAGATCCGCTTCTCAGAATGAGCCTAAAGAGCTGAAAGGAATTCTCAAACCGTCTTCATCTGTCGGTCATGGTGATCCTTCACTATCAAGAACTCGAACCAATTCCCAACGAGCAAGGGCGAATTCATCCACGAGACCACAACTGGATAACTTTCCGCCGTTCGCGCCTGGTGCGTGCTTTTCTTTGATTTTTCGGCGGTGATGTAAACGTCGTATTTTGTGAAGAACATATTTTCTTGGCCCTTCAAGGAACAAATGAAATTCGGTTAGAAGGCGTATCATATCAACAAACCATCGATGATCTTCGGGAGCATGTCCTTCCAATGTGGCCGCATGGGGTTGCAATGGAGGATAGCAGGGATCATCGGTGGCGGGCACAGTTCGCAGGCAATCCGTGGGCCGCTTCTGGCATGGACGGTATCTTGTACGTTCAAAGTTTCTTGTGCGTTATACTGTCTGATGTCTTCCGACATCAGTGCTCGTCGTCTGATTTGTCGTCTATTTGCAGTTTTGGCTCATAATGTGAGCCAGTTCTCTGATTTGGCGGAGCTCTGATTTACTGTAGAAACAGGGCTATAACTACTTGAGTACCGTCAACACTTCCGGAACTGTACGTGTATCTTTACTGTGGCAACGACGCCGTGTTGATCTTTGCCACTGTGTTCATCCAGCCTTGTCGGCTACTGTTTCATATGGTCGAGCGGTCCCCGAGTGAAGCCAACCCGTATTTCTTCAGTACCTGTTTCTCAAAATCTGGGGACAAAATCTCCATCGTGGATGCCCCTCCAGCGTTGGTGCAACAGCTCGGTCGGAATCTTCGTAGTGTCTTCCCAAATAAAGTAGCCTCTGATCGTTTCGAAGAGGACAACGTTTATATCATCCAAATGAAGCGCAGCATGGTTGGTACGTATGCTTCACACGATAACTTCGAAGGGTCACTGGCTACCGCTGCGAATTGAATCACTTCTGACTAGCTTGTATTCAAGGCTCTGAAGTGGACAAGACTCTTCTTTCAGCATACATTCTACAGTTCTTCAAAGCTGTTGGATATGATCTCAATGGTAGCTTGCCACTGGGCCGCAGGACGTCAGGTTTGAGCATTGGATCTAAAAAGGAGATTTGGATGTTCCGAGGGCAAGTGGCAAGGCCACCGAGCGCACACGGACATCGATAAGTACTTCGAGGTTTCAGTATATCATTTGCTCAATTGTAACTCTTTCTCGTATTTGCTTTTATGAATAATTGAATCAGGTTCTCGACAGAAACGCCACTGCTACCGCCTTATTCTGACATCCGATCTTCGTTGAGGGCAAGCATGTAGTATCTTGCAAACACGTTACATTCGTCTACCATAGCAAGATGTCATACGGGTATATTTAGTTTGGAGATATGGATATCGTGGTAAGTCCATACGTCTACAACTTATCACGTACATATCACGATATACATGAGCTCAAAGCAGCGGAAATTGACTGGAAGCGTGGGACAACGGAGAGAGCAAAAATGTAGATGCATTGGCTGGCAAAAGAGCGAGAAAAATGGTACTTGGCGAGCCTGATTCAAGATATTCGTCAACGGGTGCGTGAGCTGTTTAATTTTCGGTCAGTCTAGAGCTTCTGAGTCTTCCTTTTACCAAGACAACACACCTCTACCTGCCGCCACGTCTTTGCGCCGTTCCACCATTGTCGTTTGTCGTTGTTGCGCCGCCCCCAGTGCCGCCTCCACTGTTGCCTCCACTGTTGCCTCCACTGTTGCCTCCACTGTTGCCTCCTGGGCCACCTCCTGTATTATCGTTGCTGTTATCGCCTCTTGGGTTACCACTATATCCCTTAGTAGCGGGATCTACCGGCTGCTGACGGGTCACGCTGAATTGGTTTGACTTACCGCGCGGGCGGAAGCCAGGGGGTCTGGAACAGTTCTTTTCAGCTTCGTGATAGATACGTGCATGCGTCTGAGCTTACAGCTTGCCCTGCGCACTGTGTGGGATCGTTAGCGCACCAATACGGAGGGATGCAATTAGTAGTAGCTTCTACTTACCAGGTGTTGGTCTCGACGGTTGCCTTGGATGCCGATGGTGTTTCGCCACAGATGTCGTTGGTCATTCTATAAACCAATGTGAGTATCTTGCATGCCTTACTACGCGTTGATTTACGCTTACGCCGAGTTGCTTGGGACGATGTTGGTTTCTTGTTCGGACATGTGGTGGAGTATGCCTTGACAAGTTCGCTCAAAGCGATTATATACTCTAGCCCATGCAGGGTCCCGGTCCCCGTGTGAAAGGAGGCTGAGCAATGCAGTTCACTCTGTCACGAGTGCCCCAGAGACAGCGTATCATACTATACATTCAAACAACTTCCCTTCATATGGTGATTGAGGGACTTGGAAAGGCAATGACAGCGCACTGTCTCCTTCCTCGCGCCCCCTAGCTCTGTGTATTCCAATTCTCACAGCAACTGTCTTCAGAGACAATGGGTGTGTTCCGCTTTGACTGACTACGCCGAAGCTTTGCCATTTCTGCAGCTAGACGCTATCATCAAACATGCGTTGTTCACGCCGGCGCTTCGACTGAAGCCGTTCAGGTTCACGGAATTGAACACCGCACTTGCACCGTCTGAGGAGAGGTTGGATTACATTCACCTCGATGAAATAGCTGAACGATAAGGTATGGCCTATGCCTGCTCTGTGCACAAACGATTAGTCTTACGGAGATTTCTGTGTTGGGAGTATGTTCGCACTATCTCTTGCTAACTGATTCGTGCTGATCGTGCCGATGTAGACGTAGGCTCATTACGAACTGTATATTTCGCGTACGTCGACATATAACAGGAAGGAAAGGAGAAAATGAAACGGCGAGAATAAATGCGTTACGCTACTAACTTTGTGAAATTGTGCGTACTACATGCAGTTATATCCTACCGATATACGAATGCTGGCGACGTAGCTGACAACCACAAATTCTAATAGCCATGATATAGTATTCAACGAAAGGTCCGTGAAATCCCGATGAAACCGAGATATGCAATGCTGACCGCTATCATGGCGTTCAAGATTCTGCAGCCAATGTCCTCTGGTCATACAATGTTTCTAAGAGTCCTCATGGTCCATGTGAGATAGTTCGTCGTTCACTTTAGTATCCGACGCACGCATCAAATGGCGCTCATGATAGAAGTCTTCCTGGAATGAACTCACGAAAGCGCAGCCAACATCATGTACGAGCTAGGCTGTAGTGGGAGAAAGGGACTTGTGATTACGCAGGGCTGGTGGGTGGGGGTGAGGGGTGCGTCGGAGGCTTGGGCTTCTGAGGCTTGACAGCCGTGTAGATGTTACCCTTGCCCCGAGGACGAAACCCTGGAGGCCTGAAGGAGACACCGTAAATCTTCTCATGCTACAGTACGTCTGAAGTGACTCACAGTTTCGGCTTTGCGCTAGGTGTACTCGTCAGTTTGCAGGTGCAAATGGCTTGCCATGAAACCCTACCTGCTCTGGTCGCTACCATTTGCATCAAGAACGGTCGGAACGTTCTGAGGCATATAGGGCGATTCGCTATAGCTTGACATAAACAACCTCTTCTATAGCAGTTTTGAGATGGACTCACTGTTTGGTCTGATCCTTCAACGCCCCGCCGTCGCCGGGGATGCTGTTGAAGGTAGAAGTATTCTTGTTGTCTGGCATAGTGGAAAATACGTGATTCAAGGTAAGCAGGTGGGACAGTTCACAGTTCAAAGTGAGGTGCGCCACTTTCCTCGGCTTTTTATGCACTACCAACTTCCAAGTTGTGTTAACTGAGCATATGCGATGCCACAGCCTATGAAACAAGGACGTGTATGGCGGTACTTAGAAAGATCTGACAACTGGCATTTGGCAGCACTGGAACATGGCAAAAGAAGCCTCGTATCGTGTCCTCGTACTGAATATCGCTGGGTAAGCAATGTAGTGTCATTTTCACGATGCATAGGCTAATACTAGCATTGGGAATGGCAACTATCGGCACAGGTCTGCAACATTTGACTTCCGTTTTGTAGCACCATTCAGGAGTACACGTGCACAGACATGACGCGCTTCTGGTTGGACCAACCATACTCATTCAGCTTTTTTTTAGGCAATGGTGCATAGCGGTTGTAGGGAATGTAAGCCCGAGAGTGTATAGACTATGTAACTATTCATCGAGTCAAGTTAAGAAATGTCGACTTAGAGATATAATGGTAACACGCGCAGATATCCATGTACCTTGACCATTTGCAAGCTGGAGTCAATCGTGCTCGCTGTGGAAAGCCAGAAGCATACGGGTTCATGAGCATTACAAAGGTAAGGAAGTTGATTCATGCAAGCATACAGCAAGCTGGGAGGATCTGACTGGTGTGAGATGTGACGTCATGGTGAACACGCATCCCGGATTTGTTCAAATAGAAGCTTACCCGTATATCCATCGGACTAGTTTCCTGAGCGGCCTGTAGTACTTTGAGTACTAGTACTACCTTGGGTGGTAGCAGTGGTAGTCACGGTTGTGGAGTTTTTCTTACCCCTAGGACGAAACCCTGGTGGCCTGGAAATAGACCTTAGCAAGTCTGTAATGTGTTGATTTGTCACTGAATACCGACAAGTTCGCCGTCGAGGGCCTGTGTAAGTTCAAGTTTATCAGTGACATTTGTTGCACAACCCATGTCACATTGACTTACAAAGTGGCAGGATGGTTCACTCCGGCATTGCTGGTTACGCCGGAGGCAGGAACGTTCGCAGATTCTCCGTTAGTTGACATGTTATCTATGCTGCAGTGGCGAGGATGTGGTCTAAAAGAGTTGTTGCGATGGAAGGCCGTGCGTGCTGGGACTAAATGTGATTTGGCTGAACAATGCCAGCCTGCCAGAGTGCAGACTGAGCCTTTTATATACGACATATGTAGATAGTGTTGCTTCCTACGGCGGTTGCTTGGGCATGTGAAGTTCCACATCCAAGGGGTTAGCACGGCCTACAAGCTTTCGAAAGAAGACCTCAAAGAAGCTCCGATTCATTTGCGGTAGCAGGCTGGCGCGAGAATAGAGCTGTTGAGATGATGCAGATGAACGCCGAGAAATTTTTTTCATGACATTCGTTCACGAAATATGTGTACTCCGGTTATCGCAGCTACGTGACAGACTAAGAAAGCGGATGAGCCAGTGTGCTTCAATTCGAAAGTAGTTGGCATATTTGAACTTGAACTTGAACGCATACCTGAAATGGTTAGGCTAAATGTTGGTCGCTTAGCATGTAAACATTAGGCGCTTTAAGGCGCTTTTTGCCATGAATTTGTCGTCCATGACTGCCACATTCACCGACTCGGTCCCCAATCATGGCAAATTCAAAGTTAGGTTTCGAATCTTGTTGATCACGGGTTATTCGTTATCTTACATTTCCCACACGAGTGTTCGCATGCACGTAGGGGGACCAGGTACTGCGTCCGTGCTCTTCATAACAACCGGTGGAGACATTTGCACGGCATGCCTAGATATATTTACGGGCTCACGGTTGGAACTGCGCGCCAGACTCTTACTAGAGCCTCGCCATATGTACGTAGGTGCGCTCCCAGTATTTGGTGTGTGTACCGATGTGCAGGACGACCTTGATGTAGAATGACGACCGGGTGCTCTCTGCTCGTGTCAAGGATGTCTACCTGAATGATCTGTATCAGGTTCAGCGGTAAGAGGTCTACCATGCTTGTGTCCTTGGAACTGCGGTCGTAGGTCACCTGTTCGAGAAATTTTAATCAAATTTAACAACGCATGTTGCAGTCTCAAACTTGACATGTACAGCGATATGGCAGGTGCCAGTATGCCCACAGGCCTTCGGCTTTTCATTCTGGCCCTTCTGAAGGCAACGCTGAAATCTGCCCGGTCTTGGCGATTCGAGAGCCAAAGCCAACGTTCACTTCATTCACTGTAGGGCTATGTACATGGGCAAGCATAGCTTCCGATGCGTTGAATGAAAACAGCCTAGGCAGATGCATCGACATCATGCTCCTGCAGGGGAACCACTAGCGCTACTTAGATGGGGATAGTTCTGATGGCAGCCGCGTGTACTGTAATGGGATTGTACCGTCTTCCAAGCCGATATGATTATGGTACAGTAATCTGACGAACGAGATTCTCCAGCGCCTCGTACATGCACCAGGTGGGAAACGACTTTCCATTACTTATTAGCTTCTAAATCCTGCGACAGACACGAATACATCAAACAGGGTACTTCCTGACTTCCGTTATCACACTTGTGTATCAGACTGAGAACTGGAAGCCGAATATGAGGATACCTCGCGTTGGAACCGCCTGGCTGTCAGATACCAAATGGTTCCGGACGACTCCAGAGATGCGCATACGATTTCACACTGCCACTGCGTAAACATAATCAGAGCATGGTGTATAAATGTATAAAAGGGATCCTAGCATGTTACTGGGATTTCTAGCTTACGATGGCCAGGGAACACGCGTGAGATTGCGAGTCGCGACCAGTTTACAAGCGTCTAACAGGCGCTTGCTATAATAAGAAGGGATGGTTGTCGAACGAGCTGGAACAAACCCCCACTTCTCGCGGAGACGACCTTGGTCCTTCCTATGACGTTGGTGCTTTGCTTTGCTTTGAAGAGCCATTCCACGAGTACCGGCTGGAGATACTCGCAATCGAACCGGGGATGCCTTGTAGTTTTGCTCGAGACTGGTCAAAATTGAATGTTCGAATTGGCCCGTCTCTGAATCGCCGATGTTTTAAAACACATCGTCTCGATTTCAAGTCGCTGCTGGTCAGGCCATTCAAAAAAACTTTCCGCATGTCAACACATTCCTTTTTTGAAAGAAAATACTAAGGTAGCGTACTTGATGCTTTCACAGAATACTCCAGTGCAACCAATGAGAAAGCGTCTACAGTGGCGATATCGAACTATATTTGACGCTTTGCGAATAGGGTTCCACAGGCATTCCAATGAAAAGATATTCGTCCATTCTCCGCCTCCACCGGCACTATTGTATGCCGTTACCAGAGCGTCGCTGTACTGTTCAAACGTTCACCATCCTTCACGGTGATATATGAACGTCTGCCAATTATGCTCCACATATAGCTTTCAATCTCGTCAATTGAGATCTTCTCGAAATGTTCATCACCGCCAGTTCCACAGTTGTTTCATTCTGATCTTCCATCCACTGGCAGATGTGTCAATTGCGGCGCACCGCGCAGATGTGCGCAAGTTTCTGCTATAAAAGAGCCCTTCAGTTTTGAATCACTCCAAGCTTATCCCCTTTCGCAGCATCCGATCTAATGTGTTGGTCTACCAAAGAAGCCTCTGAAGATCTCGCTGTGTCTGTACGTTTGCCTAGTGCCCCAGAAATTCTGCGCCAATCCACGGCGGTACAGAACTCTCGCTATGATCAGGACTCAGTGTATGCATCGCTATCTTACATATCAATGAATCTGATCTTTATAATGAAACAGTGTATACCCTTCGGCTATTCGTGTTCCTTCCGTCCTGTACGCTTTGACACCGATATTGTATGTGGTCTGGGGTGTTTGTACGCTGATCAACATTAACGGTTTCTATAACCGTATTCAGATCCCAGCCCATGGAGTGGACAGCTCACGTCCACCCGGAAGGTGCTCGGTACTATGTCCACAATGTCCTTGGTATTGTCACGAATGCGCCACTTCATATTCCGTCGCTCTATGACCGCCTCTGTATTGCTATCGCTGAGGTTGGCGGGATCATTGCAGAACTACAATGCTCACTCCCCCACGATTATGAGGTTCACTTGCAACTAGATTATGCAAGTAACAGATGCGACTACTACGCCATAGACCATGACAAACAGAGAGAATTCTGGTTCATGGATAGCAATTCAGACGAGTTGAAGTTACCTGCTGTGACCTCTCTCACGCACCTCGGTGAGTTGATATAACATGTTCTACATGGAATGCTCTACCAACAGCCAGTTGCATCAGAACATACCCTACAAGAACACTATTGGACCCATGTTGAATTCTACCCACATCGCCCTGTTGCGAAACATTTGCGGCAAGAGTTGCTCAGTGTATTGCGACATGCACAGGCTGGTAAATAGAAAATCCAGAAAATCTCAGTTCTTGACAATACTGAGATACACATTGAAAGATCATCTCACTTCAGACTCATCAACTTTTCCCTTTGATGCAAAGCAATGTGCAACATTTATCAAGTTGATCAACTTATCAGGTAGGAGATTATACACACTTCACATTGTAACTGTCCTCAAATGAATGGCTTTGTAGATGAGGCCTGTGAGAATTCCTATATGACATCTGTGATAGGTTTTTGATTTCTGCCACTGTCCTGTAATTTGAATATAACTCATTATGCATATGTAGCTCGCATCTGGACAACTGTCTGTGAGTTAATTTGGTATTCATCTTGAACAAACATTTTCTGAAGTTTATCTGTAGGTTTGCATAGATTTCAGAACTACTATGGAGAGGATTATGCACGTCTTTGTCGTGATCAGAGATGTCTTGAAGCCAGTTCCATTCAGCCAACCTTCTTAATGAGGGCTTGTTTTATTGGCCTCTTCAATATGCCCAATTCATTCAAAGCTGACCTGGATGGCCTATTTATTGACAATCTGTTACATATCATTCATTGGAGAACCTTTTCAAATATGTTGCGAACATCTTGGAAGACTTCCTGCATTGAAGTGAGTGACACCAATTATTCAATGCTCCACTTCATTAATCTTTTGTATCTGAAATCAGTCAGTGAGCTTAATCATGTAAGTTCAAGTTGGTATGCAGATAGTGTATGGCTGTTTGCTAACTTTCTTGCAGCATCAATGGAATTTTGCTTGGTCTTAGCAGAACATATCTCTCAAGCTACACCTGCCTGGCATCTCTGGTGCTTTCAGCTGGAAGTCTCTACACAAGCTTCAATTTATTGGAACAGTATTCAGGTGCAGAGACATACACTGCCTCTATTGTGGTATGTCCTCTCTCAACATAAATCTTGCTCATCAAAATGACACTCTTACTCAGGCTGATCATCTGGATAAACTCAAACAAACAGTAGGCTTTGATGCCCTTGCTGCACTATTTGCACTTCCAAAAGCTCTTGTTGGATGGTCAATCATTTTTCTTTGTACAGGAATTATTGGAATTGTGTTTGAGACCATAGGATTATGGGTGGCCATTCTTCCAACCATTGCCATTGCACTTGGTGCCACAATCTATGTGCTGCACCTTGTAATTTCATGCATCCATACCATGTTTGACCATACTCAGGAGCACTCTTCTGAGGTCTAGCCTGTGCTTTGCCGCTCAATATGCCTGGCTTTATTCTCAGGACAGAACCAGGTTCACTAATTTTCTGGCCTCATCTATTCAGCCAGATATGTATCCTTCTTTCTTTATCTCTTTTCTCTAATTCTATTATCTATTGTTCAGGGATTTACAGATCACCATATTGATTTTATACCAAGAGATATATCAAAGCCTAAATTAAAGATAGAATTGTATGTTAGGCAGATGGTTAGCTAGATGGTTTGGTACCTCTTGATATCACTTTGTAGTATAAAGATGACAGTAAACTTGGAGAATCTATATGCACATATCTATGTAAGGTCTTACCCACTCTAAAATACAAGTATCTATTACATGGTACTAACCATTTGAGACTGACTTTGTCAAACCATCTTTACAACCTTGCTACCATCAACCAGACCTGCAAGGCTCTTTGCTGAGACCTGCCCATGTGAGTCCTTGCACTTCAGTAGCTCATCCCACCAACCAAATAGGAAGTCCCGAGCAATGAGCTTGAACCAAGGAGTGAAAGTATTACCTGTAGAACATATGAGCAAGAGCGGAGCAGTAACAGAAAATGATACACACCCGAATTATCGAACATCGCCTGGAGTTCTGCTTTGTCGACGTATTTATAGTCGCGAATCTCGTTGACGTTAGGCGTTACAGTAACGTCAGCAGTCAAAAACAATATATAATCGACTAGATATTATTACATCAGTACGAATGTGAGATACCGTTGAACCGTATTGCATACCCTCATGCTCGCCCCAAACGCCATTGGAAGGAGCAAGGTAATGGATCTTGGTGAGGTATTGGAATTGATCGATAGGTGTCTGACTCTGCGGGATACCGAGTTCCTGTTCCAGTTTCCGAGATGCAGCTACCCGAACGCCGAGTTGTTCCTCCTCGACTTTCTCTTCTTCGAAATCGTCCAGGGGATGCGAGCAGCAGGTATTCGTCCACATATCAGGGAAGGTAATCTTCTCAGTCGCACGCTGTTGTAGAAGTAGTTTTCCGTCCGAGGGACGGAATACGAAGGCAGAGAAAGCTCGATGCAGGAGACCCTTGTTTATGTTCTCCATTAAATGACCTACATGTGAGTCGTAAGTCTATTTAAATCACGAAATGAGACGAAGGTATGTACACGTCTTCTTGTCTGCCGCCCCAAGAGCACGATCCTCTTCATCCACCAAGATACACCTCTCGTCCATCAGCCTGGATTGCTCGGGGTCATATTTGGACAAGTCGATGCTAGAGAGCACGGCACGAGATGCAAGAACGGCGGGTGAGAGAGTAGACATTCTGCGCAAAGGGACAGGATAGAACGAGCGACAAGGGTTGAGGGAGCCAACAAGAGGAGAGAGATATCTAAATAGCATAGATTATGGGACGAGCCTGGTGGTGGTGCGACACAACATTTTTGCGACGGGCGCCCCATCCAATAACAATCGATTGCTAAAGAGCACAGCTCCGAGCGATGCTATGACCTCAATAGGAACGGTATCAAAGCTGTATCGTAAAAGCATAGTATTGAGTGTTCTATGGGCTGACTACGCTATTGTCCAATATTGGAAGATATAAGACACGCTCAATATAATAGGGTCAATGCTCAGATAGCATCTAGTCGACTGCAAACTGTCCGTACGTTGGATGTCCGTGAGTGGAATGTGCATGTCAGTCCTCGAAGGTCAGTACTAATAACAACAAAAAAGGGGTACGACATGCAAGGTTGCTTGATTGTGAGAAAGGCAAAGGGTAGACTCTGTTGTCCTGACTCATTTGACAGTAATTTTGACGGTGCCAAATGTTCCAAGTTGTTCTACTCCGATGAGGTTCTTAGTTGCAAGGACTGTGTTGGACAGGATATCAATGCAAGTTGTCAGGACGGAGGTCGGTTAAGACTGACCTAAGCAATGGTAGAAGGCGGCGGAAGCGACATGCGGTGTACTAGTAGCTTTTGGTACCACATCGTCGAACGACAAAGACGATGCGGAAGGCATAGCATTGAATTGCATCTTTGCGTACCTAGATAAGGAGAATAACACTAAGTCAAGCAATATTGGAAGAACATGTCGACCTACTCCAAGAAATTCAACGAGTTCCGTTCTAACGCTATGACATTCATGTCAGATTTCTGCGACTCATTTTGCATTGACCTGTCTCCCGGCACTAGATGGTGAAGGCTATAAACATCACCTGGATCCTGAGAACGCATTGGACTTACCAGCGAACTCAAATTCGTCGCCATCAAGCTGGTTATCCCTTACCCCAAAGTCACCATGTAACCCGGACAAGGGTCGCAGTGGACTATCACGGCCCCTGCTGCTCAGAGAGCTTCCTCTAGCAGGCAACGGCAGACTAAATCTATCGCTACCCACGGGGAGATCGAATGCACCAGCAACGGATGAGCTGACGCCTGCATGGTCCCAGGGAAAGAGGGCGCTCCGTTGTGAGGCGGATATTTGAGTGGGCTGCAAATCGAAGTCAAAGTGGCTATCGCCGAGCAGGGATGGAGGTCTAGAAGCCCTTCGCGCTTGACCAGGCTCCTGCAAAGACTGTCAATCGCTACCAATATGAATGTCGTGAATTACATACTTCGGAGGAGCGTAGTCGAGAATCCATTACGAAATCACGATCCTCTAAAAAGTCGTTAGACTTCTCGATACAATGGAGCCGAGAGATTCACGAACGAATATCATCTATAACATAACCCGGGCCATTGTCCATGCCAAAAGCCATATCGACTTCCATTAGGTCGGGAGCAGCTAGAGCACCGTCCCTAAATTCTTCTGCGACACCATCATGCTCGTTTACCTTCCTGCGCTTACGAGGAGGTTCACCTAGGAGTATGATCAGGCCCTATGTCGAGAGCAACAGGTCCTGACACAGAACGAACCCTCAGAATCCAAATGTAGTTGGCCGGATCGCGCTTCAACTTGAAGGCGGAAGTTTTCCAGCCAGAAATCGACTAACACTTGTGCATGTACTGAAAAATCATATCAGGCTCTTTTGAAATTCGGAAAGGATGAGTCAACTGACAACCGTTGGGAACACCCAATATCATGTCCTCCAAAATTTTCTCGCTTTCCTTCTCGGCTTTCTTCTGGGCAATTTCTCTACGCAGAGCTGCCTGTTCCTCCAAATAGTGGGAGCGGGCTCTCTACTGAAGGCGTCTAGCAGCAGAGGCACGTATATGAAGCAAGACGTACCTGCAATTCTTCGTTTGTGAGTTCTGTGCGGGCATCCAGCAGCAACCTAACGCGCTTGGTCTTCTTCTTTGCAGGGGCATCACCCTCTTGCTCTTCCATACCGAGTTCGGCATTCAAAGGTGAAAGGGGAACAACAATGGAGCCATCTCTTGTGAATGATACATCTGTAGAGGCGAAACCAATGAGGAAATCGAGCATCCTAATATCTAGAGCCAAATACCGTCTGCTTCAACGAGTGGCTGCGAAACTTTATGTCAGTGAGGCCAATAGAGCGAATCTATAATAGACGTACTCTTTTGCTTCCTTGTCGCATATATCCATTGACACTGGGAGAGCCGTTAGGAGGTACGGCACCAGCGTCCGCGCCCCCAAAGCCTACGTCAGCGTTGAATTCGAAGTTTGGCGTTATATCGTCCTGGACGTTCATGTCTCCGTCAAACAAGTGATCAGCCCTACGTAACGTTGTTAGTGTAAAGTGAGAGCAACGTGAATGAGAGCAATATTGACCCTGCATCTACGTTGTCGGCAGGTGCACCCCATCCTGGGCCCAACTCCTTTGCCAGCTCGTCGCCAATGTCGCCGCCAATATCGATACCGTCAAGGAAGTTATCATCGAAACGAAAGCCACCGATCTGGGAGGACGAAGGAGCAATGCCCCCACCGACTTCATCTTGAAAGGAAACATCGAACGAAGCTGAAAGTACGAAGTCATGGTTCTCTTTCAAGGTATGTAGGTCTCCTCGAGCGTTGTCCACAGCAGAAACCGAACGCTCCTTAGTCTTTCTCTTCTTGGATGGCCCGTTCCGTGGGTCGAATTCTCCATCTGACTGATCCTCTGTAATATCATAATACCGTTGAGTGAAACCGTCGTGGAGGGAAGAAATTCGCAGCGAACTAACCATCCTCCATTTCCGGTCTCTCCTCCCAAGCCTGGATACAAAGCCTTCAGTACATATTCAGCGCAAATGACCACACAATAAAGGTACACACCGCAAATAAGTTATCAAAGTCCATTGCAAAAGCCGCGCCTGGGTCAACGCTAATGGTAACAGTATCCGGTCTGGAACACGCATTCAGTCATGGACGATCTACAACAGAATAACCAGATCATGCATACCTAACACTTGGCTGGCCCATCTGCAATTGAGCTGCAGCATCGGACGAGGCATGAAGTTCTTGCACGGCCTTCTTCAAGGTGGTGAAGCACGTATTTACATCGGCGAAGAATATCTCTTGTTTCACTGGACGTCGTGTTCGTCGTTCATTTCGAGATATCCTAAAGTTGAAATCAAGCTCACCTTTGTAGACTCTGAGTACGTTCAGAGAGGATCATGCGCATGTACCGGGGTGTAGATGATCTGACATACCGAGCAACACCTATCATGAGGTTACTTGACAGCCGCAACGCCAATGGTTCAGGTGGTTCCGCAATTAACTCGCATAATTGTGATATGTCGGCAGTAACCACTGAACGCCGCGACAGCTTCTTGAATGATGATTTAGAACCCAAAGTCGCGGCAAGCCTACCAACATAATGAGCATTTTCATCGACCGAGGGCTCGATACGTACCAGAGCAAGCCAAATCCACTGTCGCGCCTGGATAATAATTCTGGAGTAAAGAACATGATATGAGTACGAAGGATGTGTGAGTTGTTGGGCTTAGAGCAAGTGCACAAGAGGAAGAAATGGGAAGAGAGGGGAGACGCGACCAAACCCCAGAAGGATCGGGCTATATGTGTGGCGGAGGAAGCAGTCTGCTTCGTGATAACTTCTTTCGACGCAGACGTTTTAATTTATGTCGGAGAAGACAGGTCATTGACATGTGGAGAATGACACCTGCCTGACTGGGCAAAATCTCTAGATTGTCGCACACATATGTCTAGCAGCTAACCAGTCCTAGTCAGCATCGCACGTATCATACATTAAGAAAGCATAGATTTGAAAAATGAAGGTTTACCCGATGACCCAGCGACCACTCTGTGATCCAACAAGCCGTGTGAATAACTCGTCCCTTCCTCCAACCCAGGCAAATTTCTCGTCCTTTTCTTCGACGCGACCTTCATCATCCACGCAAGACCACCGTAGATGCAAGCCACTGACAAGACCAGACTTCTGCACACCCACAATCTGTTTCAAATCGATGGTCAACTTAGGTGTCAAAGATATAGCAGAAGTGAAGATTAGCGTGGATGGAGTTAGAGTGATCAACCCGGTACTCTTTCCATGTTGCGCAGGAAAAGCTAGACATTCTAAGGAGCCAAGTCCACTGAGTGAAAGGCTATAATGTACTCACTGCGGGTGTCTACTTTACGCTGCAACCCACGCTCGGGAAGAGCAGCAGAGGTTGATAATGGGTTGAACACGTGCCAACGCCCTGGGTCTTTCCACTATGATAGAACGATAATGTTAACGTGCACATAGCATGAAGTAGAGTATACGAATACGTACCTGACCACTCTTAAAGGTATCCTTGACGTTGCTCACATAGTCCCTCGCAGTAGTAACATGACCTGTCCATTTATCCATCCTTGGACTTCCTTGGACAGAAGGTTGGTCGAAATCAGGGCTTGAAAAATTTGAGGAATCTGATCTCCAAGCTTTACGGCGCCTTGGTTTGACGTCTAGACCACTTGCAACCCTCTGAGAAATCAACTCCATAGCGTATTCTGCGTCCGTAGGCACTCGCTTTAGAGGCGCAGGGAATCTTTCAATGAATAGTCAACATCCAAAGTGAGCAGGTACAACCAAGGGTACTATACCTCAATCTATCCAAAGGTGGTATGGCGGCAATAACAGGTATTACGTGCCAATAGAGTAAGCCTATCGCCAGTCCCAACATCTTCACGAGATACTTGGCCGGGAGAGCAGTGACGAATATCACGCCTATCAACGCCTAAGAAACCAAATTCACTAATCGTGGATGCATTTGCAAAGGGAATACATACAAATGCGAAGGTCATGGATGCCGATGGTCGACGCCAAAGGAAGATGCTGTACACCGCATAAGAGCGAATTGGCATATAGCTTGATAAAACGGACATACTTTTTCACTCGCTCGTGCAAATCGGCAATTTGAATGACGATGAATAACGCCTTCTGAGCCATTGCAATCTCGTCTGGAGTCATATTTGAAGTGATGCCTATTGTTTCCTCTGACACAATGGGCACACCGTCCTCGACATCAGGCGATTCTGCCACGATTTCGAGTGTCGACACAGGTACCGGCATGTCCTTCCCCTTCGTTCGTTTTCTGCTCCTGAATTCTCGGAAGAGTTGCCATGCGTCCGTGACACCGAATGACGGAGAAGCAGCGAGCCGCATGGATAAGCCAACGCTGAATTGTTCAGCACGGTCGACCTGACTCCTATGTTGCCTCAATTCGGCAAGCGTAGGGTATGGCAAGTATCTTCGTCTGATAAGTGAAAATAGGATGCGGGCGCACGTTCCAGAAATCAATAGACCATGATACCAGAGTATCCAATACAGCTTAGGGTGACATATAAAATTATGGTTCGACATTGGGTTGCCTGCACTCACCACACAGCATACAAGACTGGTGTTGTATTCTTGCCAAGTTGCAAGACGTGCCAACCGACCGAAGACACTGAGGTATAGCGGTCCTAAGGCCAGGTAGGTACGTTCCATTGTCATGCGTAGTCTCTTCACGGAGAATGAGGGAAATTGTTGTTGTTGTGGCGGAAGCATTTTGAGTAACTGCTACAGAATTAATCAACGTGAGAATGATGTCGCTGAAAGGGACGGATACACCTTACGGATGCGAACCATTCTGAAAGAGTGAGTTCAGGTATCGGTGCAACAGGAGGCATTGTCACTGAATCAGCATCAGAGGAAGGGACATCGTCTGTTTTGACTTCTTGCAGCTCAATAATACCGTCGCTCTGAGGTAACGAGGCTTCGGAACCGGCTTGTCCAGAAACTTTCACTTCTGATACATACTACCTTATTCGAATTGAGCGTGGCTTGGATCATGCCAAAAGAAGACAGCGTACGGTATGAAAGAGGTGTAAGAAATGGTCAATCTCTTCGCTGTCATACAGTTCCCTCAGCTCAACTTCCGATAAGTCTTCTTCATGCAAGTCGTCCAAAATGGAGGACGCCTCTGTAGGAGGGTCGACTTTCGCAGGTTCGAACGCATCTACGGATCCGGGCATATAGACAGGAAGTCCTGGTTCGCTCTGTACGACGCGATCATCGTGAGTAGGCTGCACGGAGGGAGAAGGTCTCGGTGGGGGCCTCGGTGGGGGTTTCGGTGGGAGAACACGGGGAGAGGTATTAGAAGCTGGTGCGCTACGCAGAGCTGGATGTACTGGGGGTGGCTGGAGAGCTGGATTACTCTTCTGCATGCTCTCTGAGTCTCGAGACATGGTGGTTAGTAGAATCGTTTAAGAGCCCAATGAAGAAATGGGGAGTGAAGCACAGGTCTAACGTGCCTGGCGTTCGCCGGCATGCAGGAAATTCATTCCAGAACAATTTTTTTGTGAGTAGGGAAGATTGTAGCCTCCGGTGGCTGCTTCGAACTGATAGCAGTGACATCCGGATCCGTCAGGAGCAAAGAGTGCAATAGGGGAGGAGGTCGGACGTCCTGGCACACATCGGATCGGGAAATGCCACCCGCCTCTGACGCGAGCACGTGAGAGCGCGACAGAGAAGGTTCGTGTCGCGTCGGTGGCTCTGCATCTCTCTGGTCACCGCGTTAGACCATCCCAATATTCCCTGGTTTACGATTCTTGCTTGCCCATTTCTTGAATATGGATGGGACTCAGCCAGGAGAGCTAGGCGTCATTGCCTGGTGTAACACAATTCGCTTCGACATGGCTAAAGATCCTGGTCTGGCTTTCTTGAGCACTCAGATCAAGGAGAAGGGTTTTGACTTTCTTGACTCCTATCTTGAGAACATTGTCTCTCGACCAACAGAAGGGTACGATAACTGACTTTGAAGGCCATCTCACTACTGACCCGTCTCAGGCGTGTCTACGAACTGCTGAAGACACCTGGGCGCAAGAAGGATGCGCCCAAGAGGACTCGTGCAGCAACTGCTGCTGCCGCCGCTAAGGCGGCACTGGTTGCATCCGATACGCTACTGGAGGTATGTTTTCTATCGGTACGCTTGACACAGGCTAACTCCTGTTCAGCCTGAGTCGACGGAGGAAGAAAATGTGGCTCCCGTAAACGACTTCCATAAAGCTCTGCTGGATGCCAAGAACGTGGACGACGATATTAAAGAAAATGCTGATACGTCCCTACCTAACAAGTCACCTCACGAGCCTTTCCATAAGGAGGTCGATGAGCATAGTGAGGACCAGCCGACGAAGACGACTAGCGTCATGGCGGAAATGCATGCTGCCAAGAACGAGAATATTTCGAAGGTGGATCACCTGGCTGTAAAGGATGAAGCAACAAGCATAGCGACTCATGTCTCTTCTGTTGCAACTCCACCGGCAAGTTCTGCTTTGAAGACTGCTACCGCCAATGTTCCAGAAGCCACTGATTCCATACCCAAAGTCGAGGCGCCAATGGAGCTCTCAATCATTGCTGAGGATGAAGAAGAGCGTAGTAGGTTGTCGCTGCAGCCTGGAGATGATGATATGGATATCGAAATTGTTGTACCCATTAAAGACGAAGACATGACTACAAACACCTTGAACAGGAAACCCAGTATCTCTCATTTCGGAGGCCTTCCTGCACCATCACCTCTGCGCAAGTCAACACGTCTTACTCGGGAACCTTCCACAAGTGCATTTGTCGCTCCAGGCCTATCGCACACACCTGGTGCTGGGCTGGGAGGCAAACGAACCTCCTGGTTGACGAAGGCGAAGGAAGCTAAAGCTCTGGAAATGACGGATTCGGGAAAGAAGAAATCCATGCTGACCGGTCTAGGAATCGTTGGGTTAGGCGGTGGATCAGGTGGTAGAAAGCGCAAGAGTGAAGACATGCATGACGAACTTTCTTCGGCGCCCAGTTCTAGTAGTGCTTTCTCCGAAGAGGATGATGAACGAAAAGTCAAATCTGCGAGGTTGGCCAAGCAACAAGATGACACCGGCTCCCTGTCTTCAGACCGCACGGACGTTCATTCATCTCATAGTAATGAGATGCTCATCTCTCATCTTCGTGGCCCTGACGAGGACTTCACTGTTCCTCTCCGCGACGTCTCTCCGGAGGAAGGCGCTCTTGATCGATTCAAGAAGACTGTTGAGGGCATGGGCGCTCGGTCTGCAAAGAGCATTGGCAAGTCTTTAGGCGGGGGTGCCGCAGCTGCACTTGCGGAAGCCAGAGCGGCGGCTGAAGCTCGAGTTGCCCAGCGGAATAAGGAGGAAAATGGAGATGTCAGTATGGATGCATCGGTTCAGCCGTCTGAATCAACCAAACCGGCGTCCGAGGCAACCTCTCCTACACCTCAGATGGAGAATGCTGCTCATTCGGAACGCAGGTTGAGCATGTCTGACCTCGTCACGTTTTCGGAAGATAAGCCTTCGAGCTCGCAGCCTACGCCACCGTCTAGCACAGCGACAGCAGAGACTCAAGTTCGACCTTCAGAGAGTTCGGGCAACGCGAGCATATCCACCACGCCGCCTCACTCGCCGCCTCCATCTAAGGCAGAGGTCAAAGCCCCTCCACCTGCCGTCTTCACTAAACCGGTATTTGTTGCACCTCCGCCCAATGCAGTACATGCTCCTCGTCCTGAAACCATTATCAGCGCGGCCGGTTCAAGCAAGGAATTTTCATTCAAGTTACCAGACTCAAAACTATTTAGCCGCCCCATTGCATCAACCTTAGGTGTACCTGCGTCGTTGCCTTCCACCTCATCTCATACATTGTTGCAGCCAACCCCGGCACTGTCAGCCCAAACGAGCAAAGCTAGTATATTCTCAGATGCTATCTTCGACAAAGAAGATGATATTCCTGCTTGGATGCCCTCAACTCAAGACACGGATTACTCCCTTCAACCCTCGCAAACAAAGTCCCATCAAGAACAACTCGAGGAACTCGAGAACGAAGATCCGGCTTGGCCTTTGGAAGATAAGTTCACGGCAAACAATATGTGGACGCCATACGGTTTCGCATCCACCGACAGGGACGATACAATGTCCACTTATAGCACCGTCGCCAGCCAGAAGGGTGACACAGGTCCACTACTGCCAACTCAAAGCTTCAATGAGGCTTTAGAACAGGCCGCTAGGGAACATGGACAGACGATGACAACACGTACTGCGTTAGACTTCGACCCAGCTGCTGATAATGCGCAAGCTAATATCGACGAAGCTGATTTGGCCATGAACGTTGATACCGATGATGTGGATAGCGAATTAGAGGAAATCCTTCTCACCGGCAAATCCACGATCAGCTTAGTGGAGGTATACCAAATCTATTTTCTAGTCACTTCTTGGTCTGACTGGTACGTTTGGTGCAGCCGAAACAGACTCGGAGTGAAAGTCAGATGTCAATGGCATCGACTTCGAGTCCGCAATCGCAGCTGGGCTTCTTTGGACAAGCCACTAAACTCGTTAGTAGCTATCTGGGTGGCAAGAAGAATAAGGCAGAGCCTGTGAAGAGTATACAACTCGCGGCGGCGGCAGCGAAGAAGGTACGAGTGTCACTTGTTCAGAGTGTTTTTCGAGACAAGTTGACATATATTACTATCCATTACAGCAACAAGGGGAAGCCGATAAGAAAGCGGCTCGTCTAAAAGAGATGGAGAACAGACGTCAACTTGCCCTACAACGGAAAGCTGACGAAGAGAAGGCTCGAGCCATCGAAGAAGAAAGGAAGATCAAGGAAGAAACGGAGAGACGGAAACGAGAACGAGAAGAACATACCGATAAGCGACCTCTCCGCACTACGACTAAGAAGGTCAGTCTATATTATTGTCCGATTCTATATACTATATCTAAGCTGTCAATAGGTCGACGAGGATCCAGCCAAGAAACGCAAAGTCACGGTGGAGATCGAGAAGAAACCCGAGACGAAGAAACCGCCGTCGAGAGATCAACCTTCTCGTTTGGGCAAACCTTCTGCCACCGCTACGCCCGGTTCGAAACCAGTACTGAAGTCAGCCATGAAGCAACCGTCTTCCTCCCACTTAGGAGCAGCGTCATCTTCGAATACCAAGGAACCGACACGACAACTCAAGCCTACTACTTCTACGACCAGCCTCAAGTCTACGGCTAAGGGCAAAGCCAGGGTACAACCTATGGAAGAACCTTCACAGCCTGCACAGGTGCTGCAGTCACAAATGGCTCATCGCGCGAAGGCTCACATGCAAGCCGTGGAGCCTCGCGCGCCTCCCACCGTAGCCAGTGAAAGTATCGAGCTACCGGACATCAATAGTGAATATTCAGATTCGGAGGATGAAGACCGGCCGAAAACTTTCGATCCTCCCGAGTGGGCGCAATCGCCAGAACTGCGGCAGGCGTTGCAGCAGCAGAGTACAATGAATCCGGATGCTATCTTCGGGCGTATAGGGCCACTTCGGATGGAGGAGATATTTAGAACAAGGCAAAGCCGATTTAGGGCTAGGACAAGTTCGGCGAATTGGTCTGGTGTGGACCAACTGACTGCCCACGAAGAGCAAGAATATGCAAGGAGGATGGGTTTCCGTTGAGGTTTATTACAATGTACAATATTGAGTTACTGCATTGGTTCGGGTGTAAATCATTACACGTTATAATCGAACCTTGAACATTTGGATAGGTGGCAATCATAAGCAGAAACCCGTCAATTGCTCTGCGCGAGGAAATGTAACGGAAAATGTGGTACTACAGTACTAGAAGTACAACAGGTACAGAAGCACAGCAGGTGCAATGAGGATGTATTAGGCTGTTGCGCTCTTACAGAAACTCTTATGCCTCTTCCAATCAACACACTTGAAGCGAAAGGGTAGTAAGTAAAAGGGATACGAATAGACACCGGTAAACTCACCTGGCACTTTCGTGAACAATAAAATACGCTCTGGATTATAGCATGAGCCAGCTGGAAGTGTTGCGACAAACGAAGCTCGACATACCTTGCACTTTGAGCAGTGGGATAAGTTGGCCATAGGGAAGTCGGTCATGGCTGGGCACTTTGCAAGTGGGTTTTTAGGAACGGCCGTAAGAGAAAAGACATGGACTTACATCGTAGTGACCGCACGCGACATGCGACTGGTCGAGAGTTCGTATCTCCCGGGCTTTGGCTAGGTCGCCTCTCATCTCACAGACCCGTCCCAAATTATCGCGTGTCACGGCCGCGTCCATAGCTGGACCTTGCGTAGCCCGAACACGCAGAGCTCGGCCCAAGTAATCCTCCGCTTCATCAAGACGGCCCATGGCAACGTAAGTTTCACCAAGAGCATTGTAGGAGAGTGCAGTGGTGATATGGTCTGTACCCAAACCTACCTCTTTGACTTGGATCGCCTGTTTGTGCAAATGTTCGGCACCGGCGTGGTCACCCGTCCTCATGCATTGCAAAGCCTCGTTATTGAGTCCAGATGCTTGCATAACAGCCATGGCTTGGGCAGGAGAAGGATTAATGGTCGCAGTGAAGTTCATGGTTATGTTTCAAGTATAAAGGGAAGCGGGAAGAGACAAAAGCGGCAAAGATCTGTGGTGGCCATACCGAACGTAGAAAGTAACATAAGCGCCGAGCGAAGCTACGAGAAGGTGTGTATGGCCTTGTTTGGCTCCCGCGCTTACATAGGACAGAGTGCAGCGGAGGCACTCTCTTACATCCACCAACAACGACCATAAACAGCCATCCCATCCGCCCTCTCTACTCAACCCCTCGTATTTCTCTGCTTCTCGTCTTTCTTTAACCTCTCATATACGATGGCTTGTTCATCGTCGTCATCGCCAGAAATGTCTGCCCCTCGTTCAAGATCTCACACGGAACATTTCTCTCTTCAGGACAAGCTCCATGAAGTCCTGGAGGATCTCTCCAGGTACGTTGGTCAGCCAACATCCTGCTGTGCTTTTTTTCTGATTCTTTTGCAGCCGATTTATTCTAAATCTCCCTGACGAGGAGCTGGCTTCTCTGGAACGAGTGTGTTTTCAAGTCGAACAAGCGTATGTATCTTTTTTCTTCCCTCTCGTACCGTTCAATGCTCAACCCAGCGCTCGATATATCTAGACACTGGTATTACGAGGATTTCATCCGTGAACAAGATGACCGATTGCCAACAATGTCGCTCAAGAAATTCTCAAATAGTCTCTTTCATGTTTGCCCTCTCCTGAGCCACTGGGGAGATGACCACGAGCAAACCTTCCAGAACTTCATGGCCTATAAGACTCGAGTCCCCGTCTGCGGCGCAATCATGCTCAACGAGACATGGGACAAGGTCAGTTACAGAAACGATCTTCGTTCCTTGTCTGTTTCAGTGCTTACGTCAGCTCTTTTTGTAGTGTCTGCTTGTCAAAGGATGGAAGTCGACCTCAGCATGGAGCTTTCCCAAAGGCAAGATTAATGAGCAAGAACCTAGACATCGATGCGCGGTGCGAGAGGTATGTCTAATACAAATATATCTTGTCGTGGGAATATGCTCTGACGCATTCGTCTTGGCACGTAGGTGCTAGAAGAAACCGGTTTTGACCTGGGTGAATGCATAAACCCAGAGGATGCAGTAGAGGTTTCGATCAGGGAACAAACGATCGCCCTATATATTGTACCCAACGTACCCGAGAGTTATCCATTCGAGACTCGTACACGCAAAGAGATCAGCGTCAGTATTCTCTGTTTTTCCTTTGAAGTCACTATCTGACAATTGTTTTGCAACAGAAAATCTCCTGGTTCAAGCTGACTGACCTGCCGACTTGGAAGCGGAATAAAGCTGTACCTGGGAAGTTTTATCTGATTACACCATTCATTGGGTAAGTCCTTCAGCTTCCTTTTTATTGAACAGCAATGAACTCCGCCTAGACCCTTGAGAGCATTTATACGGGACCGCAAACCTCGTAATTTGCATAGGAGAACCATCAAGCATCCTGTGCCCTGCGCAGAACCCGAAGTGCATTTATCCAGCGATGAGGACGCTCGTGGTACGACTGATGTCCAGTCGAGTCACATTAACGATCATGGGGCCCAGGAGTCCAGCTCTCAAGCATCGTCTGCTGACAACGGCGAACCACAAACACCATCTCCCTTGTATAGCGAGCCGCCAGTTTCAACGTACAAACCCGAGGCGGATGTTCAGCAAGATATCGATTTGCAGAACGTCGATCCAAACCTGGCGCGACTCTTGACCTCTTTGTCCATCTCAGCATCTGTCACACCAATGGAGGGTGATGTCTCCAAAGTTATATCAGATTCGGCGCAGGCCGTTCCGCTACCCCCTTCTACCCCTCTTTCCCATTCTGGAACACTTCGAACATCACATTCATCTCGCACTCCATCAGTGGTTCCACGATCAGTGCAGCCGTCACCTTCACCGTCTCTCCGCACTGCGTCCCGTCAAGCTCATGCCGTCCCTCCTCCTAACATACCCCTTGGCTCAGAGCATTCTACGTCTCGCAATGAGCCTGTTATCCCTACTTCTCCCACCTCCCCCACTTCACGACGTGCCGGTGGTATGTCTGTCGAAACATCTCCTTACTTCTCACGGCCAGCTATTGCGTCTACTATACCCAAACAGATGAAATACCACGCAATGCTGGAGCACGTTGCCAAAGAATCACAGAGGATGACACCAAAGCTTGAGCGTCAGGGGTTTGTACCTCCGAGCCCTGGCTCCATATTCCCTGCTGGCCCTCCGGTACAGTCAGCATCTATCCCCTCGCATGCCACGACATTTGGCAATCCTTCAGCGCTTTATACATCCAACCCTAGTGGCCGTCCCCCTCCCCATCATAATATCCCGTCATCAGCAAGTACACTACAATTTGCGGATCCACTCACTGTGCGTCCGCGGACCAGTAATACGTTCCATCCCATACCTTATTCCAACCATCTAAGTCGTGCAAGCATGAATGACGGCCAATTACGTTCCATAATGTCTGGTCCTCGCCCCCCTACTGCTCAGGCGGCATTCCCTCCCCCGCAGCCATTCCTCAGACCGCCACCACCGGGCATGTACCACCCTTCCATGAACGGTTCTCGCCTTCACCCTGCGCAAGCTCCCCTCCATGTTGTCCCTCCTCACGCACAGTTCAGGAACTTAGGAGCTCATCCAGTTTCCCCCCTCTCCCCTCACTATGCACCACCCCGTCCCAATCCTGCTGGCAATGCTCAACTATTATCCATCCTCAATACTCCCAACATTGCTCGCGCCGCACCTGCTGTGGCGCCTTCTTTTGCCAATAGGGCCTAGATGCTATCGTTATTCCATCTTGTTTTGTGGGTACATTCTGGTTGTAGCATGATTCACTGTGATTACTGTTAGTATTTGGTTAACTGTCCTTTCCCTTTTTATCCACGCTATGTATACTTTACTTTTAGTCTCTGCCTTTCTTTCTTTCTTTCTTTTTGCTTCATATGTCGACATTGACATTAGTGTTCCGCGTGCCCTTTCGCATACATACTTTGACCCATGCACACTTTGCGTCACATTGTTGTATTGTGGACGCATTCTCCTATCCTTTCCACCTCTCCATTCTTCCAGGCTCCCCTTCTCCGATTCGTCCACTTGATCCCTCCGTAGTCAGCCTCTCGTGCTCAGTAAAGTCGTACTCACGATAGTTTTGTAGCTTAGCGATTGTGTCTTGTCGTTGATGTTTTCACGTACGCGTTGCATAAAGTATACATCAACATTTTCAGAACTAGCACAGTGTGTGGCAATAGGGTATATGAGAAGTGTGTCTGCATACTACTTCCTGCGGCGGCAGTGAAGCTGCTCATCCCAGTCCTCAGATCCAACGCCTTTCGGGACAATAAACAAGTCCGTAGGATCATAGCGTTTCTTAATCGCCTTGAGCTTGTGGTAATGGTTGCCGAAGAAAGTCTGCTGGAAGTCTGTCTCAAACAAAGATGCCTATGGACGAAAGAAACACCCAATCATAATGAGACATTTGAATAACTATTACAAACGGATTGAACACGAACCTCGTTCAAATATGCACCGGCATTAGGAGAAAGATTCTCAATTAGAGTAAGATTCTGTTTTATGCCATTCGCAATCTGCTCAATATCCGCTGATGAAGTTCCTTCAGGCCAACCACTACCGAATGCCGCATGCAAAACTCCTTTTCGCCATGCTGGATTCAGGCCCGTTGCATCTGGGTCTGTTTTCGAAACTGCGCCACCAGCTACCAAGCTAGCAAAACAAACCGAGTCAGCACAGGTTCCATGCGAGAAAATAGTAGGACAAACTGGAAGGTGATCCCAGGCAAACCTAGCCAAGTTTCTGCTGCTCGAGTAGAGTTCACATCTAGCAGCGCCTTGGGTAGCAACCTGGAACCTATCATTACGTTTCCGCCCGTTTCAGCAGTCCCCGAGTCAATGAATTGAGTCAGCCAAGCATGGAACGACTCCACAGGGAACGTGCTCGCGAACGTGATATTCAACAAGCCTCCATCATCGATAGAGGAGTTGGCAGCAAGAGAGGCGACGTTCGCGATGAGAGGAAGAAATGAATCGTTAGCAGCGGACCAAGACGAGTTCGGTGCGATGGCAACAAATTGCATAGCCAGTGATTCTCCAGGTGCTGAAGGAGCCATGAGACCATATCCACCCCATCCAGCATCGGATAGGTTAGGCGACATCCGGAAGAATTCAGAGATTAGCTTAACCAGGATAGGTGGTGTTCCCGGAGTAGAGCTTTTGATAGAGGTTGTAAGAAACCCGGCGATGACCTGCTGTAAGGGGTGGGTACGATATGTCACGGACGTGACAATACCATACGTCCCACCACCTCCCCCGCGGAGGGCCCAAAAAAGATCAGTATTCTTGTGCGAGTTGGCTTTGATATGCTCTCCGCTGGCGACGACAATACTGATCTCGAGAACATTATCCACCCCTGCGTTCCCGTAAGCGACACGTTAATATTTATGAGGCTATGAGACGTACCAAGCCCGTATGTAGGAGACAAAGCGCTGTGTCCTCCTCCAAGAAGCCAACCGCCGGCAGCTCCTACAGAACCACCAGCAGATAGGCCGCCTACTAGTGTACGATTTGCACCGTTAGCAGCATCGTAAGCTTCGTGCCATTGCACACCGGCACCTAGAGTTATCGCTGAAGTTCTAGAATCAGTTTCTAGTAAAGCGTCCGCAAAAGAAAACACGGTCGCACCTTGAGAATACTTCTCGTTTTTACGTCCCCCAAACGGTGTGAACGTATCATGCACAGTAATATTCTTCATGTGATGAGTCCAGATGACGAATGATCCCCTACCCGCACTACGGCCAAGAAAATCATGGCTGATATAAGGTATCAGCTATAGGGCCCGCGATGCCTTTGATACGTAACAAACTTACCCAGTGTTCTTAACCACAAGTCGGAGGTTGTGTACACGAGCGAACTTTACTCCTGCTTGAACATCTTCTAGCGTACGAGCATCAACACCAATAACAGGCACGCTCCCTTGTTCACAAGGTACACCAAGGGCCGTGTCACGGTAGCAAGCACTTATGGTTCCATTGTCAAAGGTAAACGTCTCGTAATTGGACTCCTGCATGGAGCCAGCTTGATTCGAACGCCAATTCCCATCACCCCATAATGTTTGAACTTCAGTACAATTGCCAGATGGGTCAGATACTGGGTAGCAAGCAGAAGCAGTAGGGAAAGGCTGTACAAGAGGTTGAGAAACCTCGGAGGCTAGTTTGGCGAAAGCAGATGCGTCTGGCCAACAATCATCAGTTGAAATACATTTACAACCATGACTGCCAGTCGAAGATGCCAACGCTACAAGGCGAGTGAGGAGAGGCACCCATGAGAGCATCGTAATACGAGCCACGAGTCGGAACATGGTACGAAACATCGTCGTGCAGATCATCTTCGGGCAATATTTATGCAGCAAGTGTTGGCTGCGCAGGAAGTGACGCGGAATGTCAATTCGGCGCAGTTACTAGTATACCGTGTAATGAATTGAGTGGATCATGAGGCCTTGGCACAGCGAGGGCTGTCAATATTACGCCGCATAAATCGACAGCGCATGTGGTGCAAGTTGGGAGATAGGAGGAACTTGGCGAGTTGCCTCCCGCTCAGAAGCTCCACTGAACTCAAGGCAATAGGGATGGATACATTACGCTGGGGCAATGTGGCGGGCAGCTCACCAAAAAACCTGTCACTAGAAAAGGAGGTTACTAGGATCAATGTCCTACAAGAAGAGACTCAGGCTGTATGTGGTTGAGCAAGAACTGTAAAATCAACGTTCAACATCCGTTGATCCACTTGCAAAAGATTACGCGGGGCAGTGAAACAGTAATCCGACTACAGCTCGGAAGTCCTCATAGTCTCGAATCTGCATGACATCGCTTAATGTGCCCTAGAGCGACTGCGGTTGGCTGGACGTACTGCTAGTATAAAAGTCAAGATTGGGCATCGAGAATAATATTGAAGATCAACTGCGGAATCATATAAGAATGATGTGCTTTGAGTATGATGGGAGCCTGCTAAGTTCGAGGCAGGACGGGGGCCACATTTATAGCAGACACTTCAGTACAGTTCCGAGTCAAAGTTCAAACGTTCATCGACTCGGCTAATACTCGAGTACTAGTATGGTTGAACTCAGTTGCTTCCCAGCGCCAAGAAGTGTTTGCTTACGTAATAATCTAGCGCTCGTGTGCGTTTAACAATCCCGACGGAACCACAGGAGAGCTCGATCTTTCGTCTATCACAAAGTTTATTCGTCTTTCTTTCTTTTCCTTCTTTCTGTTCCTTCAATCGTTTTATGATCTTGGTTCAAAATGTTCACTGGTAACGGTATCAAATTCTTCAGTGGTAAGCTAACAGTTCATACTCTTATTCATGTTCATTCACCCATTTTTTTTCGTGACAGGTACAAGCCACCCGGAGCTTGCAGAAATAATCGCTCGCCGGTTTGTCTAACTTCTACCGAACGGTGGCAAAGCTCTGTGTGGCTTATGACACCATGGCAGGTTGGGCGTTTCCATCGGAAAGGCGGAACTCACGAAAAGCGGAATTGGCGAAAGCCATGTTCGCATTGCTGAATCCGTTCGCGAGGACGACGTGTACATTATCAACACAGGATGTGGCCAGATCAACACCGCACTCATGGAACTATGTATTATGATTCATGCTTGCAAGATTGCTAGCGCGAAACGCATTACTGCCGTCCTGCCTCTCTTTCCATACGCACGGCAAGACAAAAAGGAGAAGAGTCGTGCTCCCATTACGGCAAAGCTCGTGGCGAATATGCTTCAGAAATCAGGATGTGACCATGTCATCGTACGTGCTATTTTATTTCTCACGGGAAGGACCTAGTTGACGTTTTTTTTTTTGCAAGACTATGGATCTCCATGCCTCCCAGATACAAGGATTCTTTGACGTACCTGTTGACAAGTACGTTTTGTTGCGTTGCCAAACATGAGGACTGCGTCACTCACATTTACACTTCTCATTAGCGTAAGTTGTACGTTTATCTGTCTCCGATACTCTTTTTTGTTCACACGCCTGTAAAGCTATATGCGGAACCATCAGCGATCCAGTACATCCGTGCCAATTTCGATCTGACAGACCTTGTCATAGTTTCCCCCGACGCAGGGGGCGCTAAACGGTGCGTCGGACTCGGAGGTGTTTCGTATTTGATGTTGCCATTGACCTCTGTTTGAAGTGCAACTTCCATGGCGGATCGGTTAGGTGTAGACTTTGCTCTCTTCCACAAAGAGCGCAAAAAGGCGAACGAAGTTTCCCGCATGGTGCTGGTCGGGCGAGTAGAAGGCAAGACAGCCATCCTGGTGGACGATATGGCAGACACTTGCGGCACGCTGTGCTTGGCTGCCAAACATCTTTCGGAGGCCGGCGCTGTTCGGGTCTGCGGTTTTGTCACGCATGGGATTCTCAGCGGCAACGCTCTGCAAACGATCGAGGATAGCACTTTGGAGAAGCTTGTGGTGACAAACACGCTGCCTCAAGCTGAAAATTTGGCGAAATGCAAGAAAATGGAGGTCATTGATATTGGCAATGTGCTTGGGGAAGTGATCCGGAGAAGTCACTATGGCGAGAGCGTTTCAAAGCTGTTCGACGAAGTACCGTACTAGACAATGGTAGAAGAAGCGAACGAGCTGAGGGGTGGAAGTGACGAAGTCCTCGATATTTAAACGAGCAAACGCGAAAGACAGGATACTTGGAGAGGATTGAAAACAATGTATTATCTATCATAGAGTCGTCTTGAATACATGTACTTATCGCCTACTTAGTGTAATAGCCATGCATCCAGCCACGAGGCTTACCATCATCCCATCGAGAACTAAGTTTGAATGAAAATCGCCAAGGCAGATCTTCCAAGTCTTCGACATGACATGCTGCGCCTCGCGGATATACAAGTATGCTCACGTATGAGTCAGCCTCCGCCGAACCCGCATCACCTTTGAGCGTCGATGAGCAAATAATGCCTGGAGGCTAGAGTCTGGCTATCGCAAATGTGTCTCCTCACTTTGCCAGCTTGTTCCTCATTAGGCAGGCCATGTGAAAGCACCAAGAAGAAACCTTTCTTGGACTGTGTACACTCAACGAAGTATAGCGTCAAGTACTGTAGTGTTTCGCGCATTTGTTCACGTCACAGGTCACAAGCTCGAAAATGAACTGAATTTTCAGGTCTGTCACAGGTCACAGAGGATCGTGAATTGACATTCGGAAGCATGACCGGGCGCTTAAACGAGGGTCAGTGCTTTGAAGGGCCGCACAAGTGCAGCCTTCTGGCTACTTTCGGCTATTCTTTCAGGTTGCTGACATTATTTGAGAGCTTACAATGTGCCTCCAAAGCTTTAGAAAGGGATTGGTAGTGCCTTGACAGAATCGGCAGTAGCCATGAACATGATGTCACAGGTCTCTCCGAACTGTGAACTGGGAACCGGACCGTCACAGGTCACAGGCCGTGAACAAATGCGCGAAACAGTACAGTACTTACTAGCGGCTGTGCGCTGACCCAAAACAGTACATCCGACTTTATGCACTTGGCGCCGTAGCGGAATCGGGAACAAGTCTTGTGTCGAAGACGGAACAAGGATACAAAAGTTTCGACATACAAAGCTTCTAAATTCTAGGCCTGTGTCGGTTTCCCCGGGCATGCAACGTTGCAAGGTGAAAGGTACAATTGAGTTCAAGATGTGGTAGAGTGAAATAGCGTTTGTATTGAAAGCAAGCCTCCTAGACCACGGCCTACCAGAAGATACAGGTACTGGGAGGATCGATGAAGTATTCGCCAATACGTTACCTTCCAGATGCTGCGGAGTGAAACGAACGGAACCATGACAGCATACCAGAACGCAGGTTAGAATCTCTAACGTAGGTGCACGGGGCTGATATTAGGCGATTGCTAGAGTAAATGTGATGGACGTTGATTACTGACTGCACCCGGAAATCAAGCTTATCAACTTCCACAAAGAGCTATATCATCATCAACTTGAACTGTTACGATCGCTTACCGACAGAAACGTGTAAAATGATGCTAAAAACGCTGCCGACACGCCTTCGCATCGGGACTGAAGAGAAGGCGGATGCATAGCAACCTTGCCTGCCTCGAGACGAAAGAGACTAGCGCTGTCAAGAGGGGAATGGTAGGAAGTGGTTGTCTTGTCGATGCGCGGCTAAGGACTAGAAGACGACTGTGGCACCCGGTAGAATGGGAAGACACGATTGATGGGAATGAGAAGAGGATGGAAGCAATTAAGGATAGGTGGGCCGGGATCCCACCAGGCATGTGTCACATTTCCTCATGACAAAGGAGGAGCAAAGGCATCTGAGGGAAGAGTCGACACAGCCAGAAGATGGTGATGGGGCCGCCATTAAGTGGTGGGAGCATCATTTGCCAGGTTGGTAGGCCATCTGGGAGCATCTGCCGGCAAATTGTCAGAGAGGACTATGCCTTTTTGAGGCGGGAGCATGACACGATGGAGAGAAGTATGGCTGGAGATGGGGAGGGATGAACAGCGGTGCCGAAGTAGAGTTCCAGTAGAGATTGGAAGAGATGAAGATGAGAGTCTATGAGAGTACCGAAAGGACTCAGTCAAGACCCAGTGTTAGACTGAGTGTTAGACTTGTGAGCGGCGTCGGGGAGTGACCGGATATAGGGAAGCGACTGCCGCCTGTTGAGCAGGTCAGACTGAGCTTGGAATTGAGCAGCGACTTTGGCTCGCTTTTGGCTCGCTTCTCTCTGCCAGTGCTTCTCCTCCGCCTTCCTTTTCTCGAGCCTCCCTCCCGTGCTCTTTCCTCTCGACTCTGACCGACGCTCTCTGCCTCCTCCTCTCCGCCGTCTGTCAACTACACTCCAGAGTACTCAACGACCAGTCTTCCAAGTAGTACTTGTCTAACTTAATTCCCTCATACTACTCGAATGCGTCTTGCCTTATCCGCCTTCTCTCGCTAACCTATCCTCCTCTGACCACCTGGGCGATGCGACTCAACGACGTATCATGCACCCAACCCATGTCCAGCAAGGCCATAATCCTTCGTATCATACAAACCACGTCCCAAACGGCCATCATCACCATAACGGCCAGCCTCAACCTAATGGCAACGCACACCACCCCCCGTCCCACAAGAGCTCCTCGCACGCCCCGAAAGAGCCTATCCGTGTCCTTGGCATCCCTTCCGTTACCGTCGAGAACGACGAGCTCATCGTCGGGGACTCCCAGAGCAGTCAGTGTTTATTTGGAATCCGTGTGTGCCCTGAGCCGTGATTGATCATTCATTTTCCCAACCAGGCTCGACCCGTACGTACACACCTCTCAAGGTCGTCGGTGATGGCTCCTTCGGTACCGTCTGGCTATGCGATTGGCATGGGACGCTACCGCCCAATACACCGATGTCCGCCATGCAATGTAGTGCTGGCGCGAGACCGGAATATGCGAATAAGAGGCTGGTCGCGGTGAAGCGCATGAAAAAGCGGTGGGAGGGTGGATGGGATGAGTGCAAGCGTCTCAAAGAGCTTGAGGTACGTGTGCACTAAATGTTTCAGTGCATGCATGCTAAGTCGCTCACGTCTTCCAAGTCCCTGCGTGCAATACCTAATCATCCTAATATCATACCCCTGTACGACTTCTTCCTTCTCCCAACCACGAAGGAGTTGTATTTTGTTTTCGAGTCTATGGAGGGCAATCTATATCAGCTCATCAAGACTCGCAAGGGAAAGCCACTAGCTGGCGGTCTTGTCTCTTCGATCTTCAACCAGGTCGTATCGGGTCTACATCACATTCATTCATGCGGGTATTTTCACCGCGATATGAAGCCAGAAAACCTGCTAGTGACCACAACTGGGTTGTACGACTATCGGACACTTGCTCCTAATGCACCACCGGACGCGCCACCAGAACCTGATGTCGTCGTGATCGTCAAGCTGGCAGACTTTGGACTTGCTAGAGAGACAAGAAGTAGACCACCATACACGGAATATGTGTCGACGCGATGGTACAGGGCGCCTGAAGTCCTGTTGAAAAGCAGGGATTACTCCAGTCCCGTTGATATGTGGGCACTGGGTACCATCATGGCAGAGCTTGTCAATTTAAGACCGCTTTTTCCTGGTAGCGGTGAGGTTGACCAAGTTGCCAGGATATGCGATCTATTAGGGGACCCTTGTGAGGACTATGGTGTAGATGCACGAGGAAAGTCGATAGGTGGAGGCAGGTGGCCGAGAGGCGTCAAAATGGCTAGGGATGTTGGCTTCAACTGGCCCAAGGTATATTCCATGTTGTCATGCTCCTATTGCTTGCCATTGACGTCGGTATATTCAGAGTCAGCCCAAGAATATTTATTCGCTTTTTGACCGTTCCGTCCCAGTCAAACTGATTGAATGCATAGCAGACCTTTTGAAGTACGACCCAGCGGCTCGTTTGAACAGCGCACAGTGCATAGCACATCCATATCTTACGGAGACTGTACCGCTCAACAACCCTCCTGGTCCTCCGGTTCAACCGCCTCAAACACCTGCGGGGCAGCCCGTCTTCTCGAAGTCGCAACGGAATGGGAACGGGGCTCTCTGTGCAATCTCACTTCCTTCCGTTGCCCCTCGCAACTTACCTCCCTCACATTCCCATCTTGCTCTCAATCCGAAGCCACATCCAACACCTTCTCCACACCTCATCATACCGCATATACCCGATGCTGCATCAACTCATCGGACATCGTTCTACGACTCTTCTTCAGAGCGCAGTCGAGCAGACTCTGATGTATCTCAGAGGCCGTTACCAGACTTCGGCCCTGATGGACCATATATTCCAAGGCCTACAGACGCTGCGCTTTTGGAGAGTCGGCATGCTGTTCCCGCTCAAGTCTCATCAGAGCGGTTCGCCAATTTGGTAGGTCCACCACCTGGCCACGCCCACTCGCTTCGAGATTGGGATGCTATGGACGTTGTCTCACCCCATGTCGAGATTCCGCAGGCATCTTATGATACGGTACCACACACGTTGGAGATTCATCAGTCTCCCATGGCTCAGGAATACCCACAGCGCCCGCCTGTCGAGCCAGAGCCGATTCACGACAACGCACAGGCGCATCATCAAGATGTCTCTCAACCGCAAGGCAACACCAAGTTCCCTAAGCTTGCTCTTACATTTGGCAAAAAGTCGACGAAATGGGGCCTCGGTACTATGTTTGGTCATAGCGATAAACATTCACAACAACCGTTGCCTCCCGTCCAGGAGGTCACTGTGGCATCTGCAGAGTCTACGCCTTCGCTACAGCGTAACAGCAGTAGTACGGATAGCCGATCATTGAGCGAGTTCTCACCTGATGTTCCTCGGCCGCAAGCACCATCCCCGTTGGATGAGAAGGCTATCAAACGGGCCGCCAAACTTAGGGCTGAAGAGGCTGAGCGGCAACGATACGCAAGAGCGAGAGAGATGCAAATGGAGCAGGCAAGAGCTGTTATGCGAAATAAGCGTCGTCTTGCGGAAGCAGCTGGAGGCAAGGAACTGTCGTGGCTCTCTTCGCATCCTGCAGGATGGGTACATGGCACCAAGCCGTATGACATTCGACAAACTGAGAAGGGCAAGCAACCCGCTTCAGCACGAGAACCTATGCGACCTGCGCACAGTCACGGTCCATCCTCGCCAACATTAGTGGGCAGCAGTGTTTCGGCCAACGCGAATCCCTCTCATCGGTCAGACTGGCGGGAAGACAATGAACGTGTGCCAAAGGCACGGCGGCGAGAGTTTGACGACGACCATTCCATGTCGTCCTCTGATATCCCGAGCGGATTATCTGTTATATCCTTTGCAACTGTGGATAGTGATCCAGGGCCTACTCGACATCGACATAGACCGAGTGCTTATGGCATGAGCAGGATGACGTCCATGTCTTCGCTGCGACCGTCATCTATAGACGATTACCCTCAGACCGCCCGATCATCAACGTCCCTCTCGATTGAACAGCAGCTTGTTCGGGACTTCCACCTCCGTGCTTCTGTGGACTCGTCGTCGGTATCAGACGGAGGGTCACCGCAGCCACCTCCAATGCATATGCTCTCGTTGTCATCACCAATACCGTGGCAACATTCAGAGAGTACTTCGACTGTGGATAATCGCAGTGCTGGGTCAAGTCGACAGACACTTCATTCTCCTATTTATTCCCCTCCACCACAGCAACAGCAGCTTGGGTTTAAGCAGGGTCAACTTAGTCCGTATGATACTGGGGGCATGTATGGACATCCGCCAAGTCCGGGTATGGCACCGAAGTCGGCGATTAACCCTATCTTCAAAGTGGTGAGCACAGTCGATTAGGATCAGTTGTATTTGCGGTCTTATGTTGTCACCTTTTGCTGCAGCCTTCGGTTGATAAACCAGCCCAACTGTCACTGCTACCACCATTCTCACAACTGGAAGCTGTTGCAGATGGGGAGTATCCTCCACTGTCGCCAATGTCGTTCACGATCCCAGAAGAAGCGTCAGAGGATAGCTAGCATTGGCTTACCCCTCTTGTCACATCTTTTCTTGTCGTATTGTCTTGCCGTCTATTTCTCTCTCCAACCCATTGTGCATCATCTCACATTCATTCTATTATTTAATCCAAGTCCCTCCATCACCTACAAGCAAGCACACAATTTGCTCACCACTCGCTCACCACCCACGTACCTTTTCCTTTTTCTCGTTGCTTCCATCTTATATAAACCACTCCGATCCGAATTTGGGCTCCGGGCTTTGTTTGCTCTTGTAAACCAACCCCACCGACACTCCCTTGTTCTATATCGTCTCTTTCCTCCTCCACCCCGCCTGTTGTCCCATACGTATACTCCTGCTGCACGCTTTGCATCGTCCTGCATCATTCGCATTCAATATTCAATATCACCCCAACCAACCTCCGTCACACCTTTACTATCCACCTTTTCTCTTCGGCATTTCGGATTTTTGTTCTCCTATATGCACATGCATCCAGCCCTTTTTCTGCCTTCGATGTTCATTTTGGGAGAAGAGCTCGACGCTTTTTGGGCACCCCTCTTCTGGGTTACTTCTTTCCGTGTTCTCCTTCGTCGTCTCTTTTTTTTCGTTCTAGCTTCGATATCCCCCCGAACTGTCGTTAACGTACTATACTTCCAATGGTGGTCGCTACTATTGCCTATTTGCCTCCCCCCCTTTTTTTTCCTCTTTTTTCTTACATCCGTGTTGTCATATCCCACCCTCTGTCGTTCGTCTTCATTTTTCCCGGAGCGAGGCTTGCGCAAAATTTATCGTAGACTAATGTACTTGTACAACTCTCACTCTCATCATCAAACATTTTTTTTTCCAACTCTCAAATGTAGGAAAAGCAAATGCAAAATCGGGTCTACGAGCGGTTCCGCTTGATCACAGATAGTTTAGCTGCGTGGCGTTTTCATTTCACCTCCGTCCACAAGCACTAAATTATCATAATGAAATCGGACTTCGGATCGATCTTTTCCAATGTTCGATGTTCCGCTACGTTCTATACGGATCAGGCCTCATGCTCATGCTTCCAGCTTAGCTCTGTGTTCTTAAGAGGAAAAGGAGACCTAGTACTGACCTAGTACGAGAAAGTATTTATGTATCGACGTCCAGAAACGTAAAACGCAACAACGAGGATCGTTTGCCGAGGATATTTTCTCGTCGGTGACATGGTGGGGGAGGTGCGGCGTACACAAACGTCATTCTAGTCATACATGTTGATGTGCCACGGCCGTCAATTCTGAACACTTCTGCTGGATTTGTGATACGCTGAAGGGATGGTGAGAGGTCGATGTCATGTCATGTCAACGGGATTATGGGCGTTCTGGTTTGGTTCTGGTCTGTGACGGGAAGCCAAATTGATATTGTCGAACGTTCGTTGCAAGCATGTCACCAAATAAGGGTTACCGCACACGAAGGAGCACAAGCTCAACTTGCACACAAACTTTGGCACGAGCCTCAAGTGACCCAATGAGAAGGATTTTCATTATCATAGTGTGGTACAGAATCGATGTATGCTCGATGCGGTCTAGTGATCGTGGCCGTGATGAGGCGATTGTTCAAAGCGAATACCACTGCGAAACGTTAGTGGCTTGACACACTATTTCACCGACCGATGCATAGCTTACCAGTAACTTAACATCCACAATGAGAGCAGGCACAGTGAGTAAGAATGGTCGCGTCAGTGAGAAAGCATCATGTAACATACCCGCATGGTCGAGGACCTGGCTTGTCCTGTATTGAGAAGTGAGCAATAGACAAGGATCATGCAGCCAAGTATACTAACCAAGTTGATAAAAATCTTTGGGTGACCAAGAGGTCCTCCTCCTATAAACCAATATTATTCAACGCGTTAACAAACTAGAACGTGTTAATTCCATACCACCATCGCATACTGCTTTCCTGCCATTCACAACACGTATCGGCTCATTGGCAATCATCTCCATCGCACTCAAAGGCTGAGGCTGCAAATCGAAGAATGTTTGCTCAAAGCGGGGACCAGAAGCAGGACCGGGACGAGGTCTTTGGCTAGTAGACCATGTCGAAGGATAATTCGGTGCTTGCTGGATAACAGCAGGTGACTTGGCCGTCTCCGTCGATGGAACAGCAGGGGACGTAGGTTTAGGTGTAGAAGAAGAGGCAAGCCGAACGAGTGGTCGGGAGAGTCTGGGGAGCTGGCGGCTCAACATGATGGTCGACGTTGTGTGCAACGACGACGGTGCAATACGCGATAGCTGGCTCCGGCGTGCGTGGGAGACAGCTGCCTGCTAGGAATGTCTCAGAGAGGATTTCCATATGTGGAATACCTCCGTGTGACATATGCCACGTGGTCCTACTACATATTGTGACCAGGAGGTGACGTCACAGACAATTCCGCCTGAGGCCGAAACTTCGCCTGAGTTCTCGTTCTGTCGAGTGGTGACCAGAATAAGGAATGATTCTCGATCCTTCCGTGTAACCCCTTTCCATTACTATAAAGCTATTCTTGCTATGGCGGGCTCGCCTTCAAACACTCGTATACCCACTACGTTATTTACCTTTCGAAACACCCACTTTTCCCATTAGTAGTATCGCTAACGGTTCCTCATGGCGTCCAGCTTCGATTTCACTGACAAGACCCAGGAGTCATTAGCAGCTGCTATCCAGATTGCAAAGGACTATGCTAACGCGCAAGGTAGGCTTTCTTCGTCTCATTTTGATTTCATATCATTAATTAACGCTTTACAGTTCATCCTGTACACATTGCATTTGCCCTCCTGAATGAGGGTACAGGAGAAGGCCAAACCTCTGGCCTTTTCACTTCCGTTATTGAACGAGCAGGCGGCGATCCTGTAAGTATCGATTTCGCTTCACCTTTGATCAAGGGTCTTACCATTTTGTTGAATAGACAGCCGTCAAGCGTGGTCTCCAGCGATTGATCGTCCGTCTTCCTACACAGTCTCCTCCCCCTGATGAAGTTTCCCTAAGCGGTAACGCTCTCAAAGTTCTTCGGGAGGCCGAGTCCCTGCGGAAGACCATGCACGACTCGTATATTGCCCAAGACCACATCCTTTCCGCGCTCCTTAAGGACTCCTCAATACAGCCTGTTCTAAAGGAGGCTGGATTGACGGAAGCAACGTTGAAAACCGCCATTGACCAAATCCGTGGTAACCGGAGAGTCGATACTAAGAACGCGGAACAAGGTTTCGATGCTCTCAACAAGTATGCAGTCGACCTTACTGCGCTTGCGGAAGAGGGAAAGCTCGATCCAGTCATTGGTCGTGACAACGAAATCCGTCGTGTTGTACGTATTCTTTGCCGAAGGTATGTGCTACTTTGCTTTCATATTCAATATGATCGGTTGCACTGACGTCATTGATTCTTCCAGGACGAAGAACAACCCTGTGCTCATTGGTGAACCCGGTGTCGGTAAAACTGCCGTTGTTGAAGGTCTCGCACAACGTATAGTCAACCGCGACGTCCCTGCTTCCCTCATCGCTCGGCTCTTCTCACTCGACATGGGTGCTCTCATGGCCGGTGCCAAGTACAAGGGAGAGTACGAAGAACGTATCAAGTCCGTCCTCAACGAAATTGAAAAAGCTTCCGAAGAAGGGACCGGGATCATTCTCTTCATTGATGAGTTGCACCTCATCATGGCTGGTCGTGGAGCAGAAGGCGGCGGCATGGATGCTGCCAACCTGCTGAAGCCAATGTTGGCTCGTGGCAAGCTTCGTTGTATTGGCGCAACCACCTTGGCGGAGTACAGAAAATACATCGAATCAGACGCTGCTTTTGAACGTCGTTTCGCTCAAGTAATTGTCAACGAGCCCAGCGTCCCCGAGACCATCGGCATCCTTCGTGGTATTCGAGACAAGTATGAGGTCCACCATGGTGTCCGCATCCTCGATGCTGCTCTCATTCAAGCCTCCACCCTCGCTCATCGTTACCTCACATCAAGACGACTGCCAGACTCTGCCATCGACCTGGTCGATGAAGCATGTGCAAGGTATGTCAATTTCATGTTCTCCTCGTTCTTGGGCTTGTTTACTAACTTTCTGTTCCATAGTGTTCGTGTCACTCGTGAAACTGCGCCTGAAGCTATTGATAAACTTCAACGTCGTAAACTCGAGCTCGAAGTCGAAATTCACGCACTCGAGCGCGAGAAGGACCAAGCTTCCAAGGAACGTCTCCCTATAGCACGCAAAGCCATCGCCGACGTCGACGACGAGCTCCAGCCGTTGCTCGCTGCTTACGAAGCGGAGAAGGCTCGTAGCGAAGAAATCCAAAGCGTCCGGAGGAAGATGGACGAGGTCAAAGCCAAAGCAGACGAAGCCGAGCGTCGATACGACCTTGCAACTGCTTCCGACCTCAGGTACTATGCTCTACCTGACCTGCAAGCTCGACTTGAAAAGCTCGAGGCGAAGAAGGCTGAGGAAGACGCGAGGATGGGTACTGGTTCTGATACCGTTACTCCAGAGGCCATCGCTGAGATTGTCGCCAAGTGGACGAATATCCCCGTGACAAGGTTGCTGAGTTCGGAGAAGGATAAGTTGCTGAAGCTGGATAAAATTCTTGCAGAAAACGTTGTTGGTCAACCCGAGGCTGTCAGGGCTGTTGCTAATGCTATACGTCTCAGCCGAAGTGGTCTTGGAAACGCTCAGAGACCAATTGCCAGCTTCTTGTTCGCTGGTCCTTCCGGTACTGGTAAGACTTTGCTGACGAAGACGGTGAGTTACATCATTTTACAAGCACACGGATTACTTACTGAGGTTCTTTTCTCTAGCTCGCAACCGTCCTTTTCGATTCGCCGGATGCCATGATTCGTATCGATGGCTCTGAGTATTCAGAGAAACATGCGATATCACGTCTCATTGGTGCTCCCCCAGGTTATGTTGGTCATGATCAAGGCGGTCAACTCACCGAGTACATTCGTCGCAAACCGTATTCAATAGTGCTCATCGACGAAATTGAGAAGGCTGCGCGCGAGTTTGTTACCCTCTTCCTTCAAGTTCTTGACGATGGTCGTCTTACCGACGGTCAGGGCCGTGTCGTCGACTTCCGCAATACTGTCATAATCATGACAAGTAACCTTGGTGCTGCGTACCTCCACGATATGGGCGAGGGACCCGTGAAGTCTCAAACTCGTGAGCTCGTCATGGGTGCGATTCAGGCCCACTTCCCTCCAGAGTTCATCAACCGTATCGATGAGATCGTCATTTTCGTAAGTACTTTTGGCTTATATCTGGTTTACGACTGTGTGTTTGACCTTTGTTTCTTACAGCGCACACTCTCGAGAAGAAATGTGCTGAAGATCGTCGATCTTCGTCTCAAGGAGGTCCAAGCCCGTATTGATGACAAGAAGATGACACTCGACATCGACGACCTATCGAAACAATACCTTGTTTCTGTTGGTTACTCGTCAACTTACGGAGCTCGCCCTCTCAATCGTGCCATCCAACAAGAATTGCTCAACCCGCTTAGCGTGATGATCCTCTCTGAGAAGGTACTTCCAGGCGAGACTGTGAAAGTCCGGTTCGATGGACCACATAATCGTTTGGTGATTGTATCGAATCATCAGGGGACAACACCAGAGGGTATGGAGGACATTGAGATGGTGGATGATGATATTGACATTGTGGAGATGGATTAGGTTTGAATGGGATGAGGAGCATCGTCGCTGTAGCAATAAGATAGGATAGAATCTGGACACTTCAAGATAATCCGGCTTTGCTTGCAATCATGTATATTACCCATTTTGATTTATTTTGTATGATAGAGCCTCGCAGTTGCAATTGTCTTATGACGTCTTTCGCTGTATACGTTTCCTAGTGAGTGCTGATACTATTAGCAATGTGACGATCAGTTTGAGCTCCTTTCTGATCAAGAATGGTATTGGTATCCAAGATGAAATGCAAGTTGATAGAACGGTATGAAGTTTGCATGTCAGTATTTAGTGCTCGAGCGATTCCTCTTTCACACGAGGCTCTGCTTCTCCATGCTGCCCGTCGTCTAGAGGCTGTTGCACATTTGATACGTAACTCAACCGAACCTGGGCAATTCGATTAGACCTCACTATACCATCCATATTCCAAGCACTTACCCGCTTGAACTTATCCCAGGTCATTCTAACACCTACACGATGTAAATGATCATCGTAGTGAGCTCTCGCCATAATTTTCCAAGCATCCATCACCCAACCCATTCGCAGATACCAACGACGCGCTTTCAGTCTATCAATAGTTTCCTGGTCAAGAGGTCTGGTGTTTTCTTCTGTTAAGTCGAGCAGGTTGATCATGTAGTTGCATGTCTTCACGGGGCACCACCATTTCATTGATGAGTCTGGAGGATCTGGATCGTGATAAAGGATGGTCCCGATATCTCTAACTTTTTGAATTAGAGTTGGGGAGTCTGGTGTGGCTGGGCGAGAAGGGTATGAAGCTTCTGAGGACGGGTTCCAGTCAGGTGTGGATTCTGGTGAGAAATCGCTATCGTAAGATCGAGCATCTTCTTCGTCTGGAATTACTTCTTCTGGAGGTGGAGTTGGGGTCTTTGGATGCGAATCGTCTGGGCGTACACGACGAGAAGAACCCCCAATAGGTTCAGAGTCAACCTGAAACTAGCATATGAGACGCACTACACTCAAAATCGAGTTATCGTTCTCACCTCGGTTGCTTTCCGTTTGCCTTTGCGATTAGTAGTGACATCCGTAGCTTCTTCGTCTTCGTCGGCTACAAGCATATCCGCATCTTCACCACGATTCAGCCAGCGTCGCCAAACGGCGGGATCGAACTTTCGCTTTCGCTTGTGCACTCGGTCCTCTTGATCTTGGATCAACCAAGATGCGTGTCTGCGCAGCAAGGGAAGGATGTCCCTTGGCAATTCATGTCGCAAGGCGCGGACGCGGTAGGGTTTGATATGGCGATCTCTTTGGTCAATGTCAGCCGGCGAACCACTCGATGATTCGTAGTCGGATGAGTCGGATGAGAGATGTATGGCGAAGTCATTTTGTGTGTTGATTTCCCGCATTCGTCTGGTATAAAGTTTGGCGAACCAAAGTGGTGTGCGGTCGCTCTGTGGTGTAGGCTCTGATGAGTTTTCTTCATCGTATTTAATGATGTCGTTGAGAACTCGAAGCGCACGATAACGGCCCAAGAATTTGTGTGACTTCTGGAATGTCTGGTCGTCCATGGATATAATGCTGTACCATCGATCGCTATTCATCAGCAGGTCAGCAAATAATGAGATTCGGTCTCGATGGCGGTATTACCGGTCGACAGTCTTGATAAATAAACCATTGGGAAGATCACTGGCTGCACGCTGGTGTGAGCTGGAAAGAAAAGGAACACACGAGGCTACTTACTGGTAAGATATCCGGCAGTCATGTTCTTGACTGCCTTGATAGTGACCTTAACAGTAAGCCCTGGTCTGCCATTCCGTCTACTAGTTCTGGTACCGTAGATGGCTTCGAGAGTCAAAGTAGAATTTGATCCATCGCGTTCACGAACTTTCTGCACCACACGACGTCGACCTGATTCGGATAACCATCCAAGATCCAAGATCTCAAGGACACCAGAAACTTCAACTTTCTTGTATTGCGCGGACTCTGGTTGAAAAGGTTCGGTAGTATCTAACCTAGAATGAAATCATCAATGAGCAACCCGAAGAAATATACACACATGAAATCACATAAGTCACATACCCTACGATATCTTTCTTCGTGGAGAGGACCATGCTTCGTAACGAAAGGACCTTCCTTCTGGTACTCTTCAGATTAGAATCAAGGATATCTGAATCCCTGAATGGCCCAAAAGGCTCTTTCAACAACGCGGACAAAGATCGTGGCGGCATCTACACGACTAGTGCAAATAGAAGCACTGCGTACGTAGACCCTTGGGGAGTAGCAGACAAGGAGCTCTGTACGTATTGCTTCCGTAAGATATCCTGTAGATGACTTTGTTCAAATGAAGTTCGTGAGCATGAGATCTAGAGCGCGTTGGCAGCGAGTGCATTGAGCCACAAGCGCGTTGAGCCAAGTCTGCCCAGAAAGGCAGGTGTGTACTGTCCTGTACTGACCAAACACATTTCAGTCGCGTTCCCCCACCACTCACCGGGTCTGTCTTTCACTCCAGGCTGCCCTCGTCCAGTTCTTTTCCAGCACTTTCGCAGCTGCTGGGGATTCTCCAGCTGGCCACACATGATGGACATGCCATCAGCAATGAAGCTGATGGCGAACACTAGTGCAGATGCACCATCTCACATCTCTATCCCCGTCGGCATCACTGTTGGCTTGCTTGCCTCATTCGTCCAGTCTTTGGGCTTGACTATCCAGAGAAAGAGTCATGTACAGAACCAGGCGTTACCTGAAGAGCATAAGAGAGTGGAACATCGGAGGCCGTGAGTTCTTGTTTTTGTTCGAATGTCTTAGTTCGGTTACTGAGCTGCTGCTAGTCTGTGGCTTCTTGGATTTGGTACGTTCCTACTCTATGCTGAGAACCTCGTATCTTGACGTTACTGCAGGTATCTTCATATCGTCCAATCTCTTTGGTTCCATCTTCCAGATTGCATCCTTGCCGGTCGTCATCCTTGCTCCCCTCGGTGCAGTGTCACTCCTATGGAACGCTTTCTTCGCTCGTATGCTACTCGGAGACGCTTTCTCCATATGGATGGTTCTCGGGACACTCTTCATCGCAGGAGGTGCCGTCCTCATCGCAGTATTCGGTATCGTGCCAGAACCTACGCATTCGCTTGAGGATCTTCTGGTCCTGTTCAGCCGACCCGCATTTATCGCTTATTTCTCCTTGCTAGGAATGTTCACCGTTGTATGCCTAGCCCTGGTACGTTTCTTTCGATGTTCTGTCATGAAGGTGAAGGTAGGATACTGAAAGTAGGGTCATAGACTCATATATTGGAATTCTCGTATGCTCGACGCAATCGGATCGCGTTACCTACATCTTCTCCGCCTATGTCACCTCTCATTGCACCTAACACGGCCCCTACTATTCTCACGACGGCAGCAACTCCTTCTGCAACTTTCGATTCATCACAACTCGACACTGAACGCACCCCTCTCATTGACCGTAAACCATCTCGTTCAATGTCACCCTCACCCACGGCCTCCATTGCGTCGTATTCTACCTCGCCTCGCACTCCATTGTTTCTGGCAATGTCTTACGCATCGTTCTCTGGTATCATCTCTGGAATGTGTTTGTTATTCGCGAAAAGTGGTGTCGAGCTGCTCGTGTTGACCATCAGCGGTAAGAATCAGTTCTGGCGATGGCAGGCGTGGGTGCTCGTCGTTGGCCTTGGAGTTTGTGCTTTGCTGCAATTGTGGTATATGCACAAGAGTCTGATATTGGCTAATCCGACACTAATCTGTCCGCGTACGTTCCTCGATCTTGTCTTCACGGACGTGATTTGGCTGAGTCTTGGTTTTCAGTGGCCTTTTGCCTCTACAATCTTTCGTCCATTTTGAACGGACTCGTCTATTTCGACCAGTTCTCTTTACTCTCTACTACACACCTCCTTTTGGTCATGCTCGGGATCACTATCCTACTCGCAGGGGTCTGGGTCGTCTCTTTCCCTCCGAGTGGAGCTATTGGTATCGATCTACCATCCTGGGATGAACCTGAACCTCACGTCGAACTCGCGGATCATGAGGACATCCATGAAGCGTACGAGGATGAACCATTACCGATGATCTCGCAACGACATTCACTGTCAACGCAAGATGAACTCTTACTCTCACCTGATTCCCAAGAAGGTATCGGACTTGGGATTGTCTCAGCGCCTGAAGACGGAAAGCGTGGAAGAGGAAGAGAACGGGACTATGCGTCTCTGCGAATTGATTCTCAAGCAGCTCAGAAGACTGCGGCGCACCTTCGAAGTCAGACGGACTCGATGTTGCCGAGTTTCCCTGCTTCATCACCGGTCTCACCTATGCCGACACATCCATCTTATCCTTCTTCGACATTGCCACCTCTTACAAGGAATGTACGACCACGCGCGACATCTGCTATCACACCTACTATTTCAAACACATCGACACAACACTCTCATTCACAATCACATACTTCGCCACGACAATCATTCACTTTACCATTCCCTTACCCGTTATCGCCTGGTGCGACACCGGGGACTGTTACTGGGTTCTCGATCGGTTTGAGTCCGATGAGTCCTGGGTTTGCTTTAGTTCCGAGAGATTCTAGGAGGAGCCATAATGGGAGGAAGAGACGCTTCACTGGAAGTGGAGATCCGAATTCAAATTCGCCTGATGCGTCACCTAATAATGCAAATGGTTTGACGGGGAAGGGGGTTGCTTCGATGATCAGGAGGGTGGTGAGTGATGGAGATGTAAGTAATGTTGGGACGCCGAGAGCGGAGGATCAGGGCGTTGGGTCGTTATTTGATGATCATGCTGGTCGTGAGGAGAGGAGGGATGGCGGTGAGAGGGGTGAGGAGGAACCATTGATAGACAGGACAAGGCGGGTCAAAGGACGGTGGAAGTGGTTGAGGGGTGTTCTCACTCTTAGGTGATGTGCTTCGGGAATTCTTGCGATGAGATAGTGTGTATTATATTACATACAACCACGGACATGCATGTTATACAGCTATACCCACCTTCATTAGACAGTGAACAAGTAAGTATATCTTACTGGAAAAGGTGTTTTGCATTCAACAAGACATATAGCACCGCCTTGAAGCTTGAGTACTTGAAGTGGGAGACCCGAACAAGGCCAATGGTAAATATTGGAAATACATTTTGTGACGTGGGCGGACTCATAGTAGAATGGAGAATTCATTATGGATGTCAATTTCTGGCTGTTTCTGACAAGCAGTCAGGAACGATGTCTCGGTCGCCGATCGAAGAAGACGCCATAGCTCTCTTCCGAGGCGGGTTACTATTTTTGTGAAGACGTTTGCAATTCTTGAGGAGGAAAGCGATCGACTCGGAGTGCGAGTGTCGTGTTGGTTTGTTGGAGAGAAATTGAAATTATACAGAGGAAGTAGAACTGGCCATGGCAGGGTTCTGAAGCGTATTATACTTTGAGAACCATGAAGACTGTAGTTTGCATGTAGACGACTGGTGCGCGGTAAGAAGGTGGCAATCACAAAATCTGCATTCGTGCATGCGCACAGTGAGTGAAGGTGTTTGCAATGGGTTGCAAACGTAAGGCTCAAAAAGGAAAGGCGCATTGTGGAGCTATCAGCATGACAACGAATATTCTAAACAGAAGGACTAGGGTCGGTTATCACACGGTTGAACGGGTTTTACTCCCGCGAATGATCGCGATCGAGACCAGAAACACGCCCACGTGAGTTGCCTTGCGCGAAGAACTGGCGAAGAGGACGATGCAGGCGACGTCGGGACCGTTCAAGACAGCGTACAACTCCTCTCTCGATGAGCAGGCGAAATAGGCAACGTACACTAACCTTTTCAGACATGCAGGATACCAGAAAGAGGGAATAGGACATGGCGGAGCTATGGTGGCAGGACAGTCGCATATGCCGGTTAAGCAATTTGCATGGGAAGGAGAAACTCAGCTGGAGGCGGACTCGGCCCTTTTGAAGATGGATTGATTGTGTGTGTTCACTCTTGGCTGTATTCGTTCCTTACCGCTCCTTCTCCTCTTTCCGTCGCCTTCTGGCTGACTGGTCCACCTTCTTTCCTTATAGTCTCTAGTCTCTCCTCCTTAGCTTTCATTTCTGTTCCTGTCCTTTCTGCTTTCATATCTTCCCCATGTCCTCCTCTGTAGGCCATGGTCGCTCTCGTGTACCTGCACCTGCCGTTCCGCTCGCTGTCTCCGCAACTCCCCATCTCGGAGAAAGGACATCCAGGTCGAACTGGGAAGACGAAGAACACGACTCACATCGACCTCTCGTATCGGCCTCTCTCGTCCGAAAGCACACGCAAAAGTCGAATCTGTCCTTGCGCTCGTCGTCGAGTAATTACGGCACTACACGACCAGACACTGCAGCTTCCACTGCTTCCCGGCCTACAAGCGCTAGACAGCAGCGGCCAATTCCTGCGCCCGACCCGATCATCACTATTTCCGCTTCAGGCTCAAACTCAACCAACCCAGACAGCCCAGGAGACGACATCAACGACGACGCCGACGCAGACTACGTGACCGTCGACCACCTCTCTGCCGCAGACGCTGCCAGCGCCGCCCTCCATCCTGTTCCCAAGGACAAGGCTTCTCGAGTGCTTGGTATCAGGCACCGCAAGAGCATGGAACCTATACCCGCCCCCAATCGTGCCTCCATTGCTTCTGTACGCTCTGCTCCTGCTCCCGACCCTGCTCCTACCCCTCCTTCTGGTCCTATTTTACCCTTGGCATCACTTTATGTCGTCTCTGGTCTTCCAAAGAGCCCACACACATGGACCCTTGCCGATCCCGACTCTGTCATGGGTCTGCACCATACTGATGGTGCCGTTGGAAGATGGTGGCGTCCTGAAGCTCTTGGGAGCACCGTGAGTCCTGGTGCTGGCGGACACGCTGGCAAGAAGAAGCGCAAAAGCAAAGCGGACGACAACGGTACTGTCTTTAGTAGCTCCGGCCACCTCAGTAAGCAGGAGGTTGGAAAGATGCTCTCCAAAGCTCTCAAGGTCAGTGACGCCCCTTAAGTTCAAGCGTCCAACTGTTGATCTGGTCTCTAGTTGTCTTTTACACGTGAAGTCGAAATTATTGCATCTACGCTTCAACCCGCTTCAACGGTGCACAATTTCACCTTCACGCTTCCCGCTCCTTCTACCCCGCTTGCTCCAAATTCGTCCACAGATATGCTACGCGCCTCCGTTCTCTCCGGCACCACAGATCCACGTTCCTCAGTGCTCACATTCCCTTATCCATACACGGATGATCCTTTCTCCAGACACGCCCGTCCATCCTCAGCCTTCCTCGGTCCTCCCGCAGGTTTTCTCTCACCCAATGGACATACCCCAGGCGGCAGCGCGTCTGCTAGCGTCAAGAACCCCATGTCTGGCAACGCTAACAATATCACCTATCATGGTGTTTGTTTGACCGTTTGGTCTCATGCAGATGCTGAACGAACCGCTGCTATTCGAAGGACGTTGGAGGCTTCAAGGGCTCGTAAAGAATCCGGTCAATCACTCGTTTCACGCGCGAAGAGCTCCCACAGCGTGAGCTCTGTTGACCCATCGGCTCAGGCGAGGAGGAGAGCTAGGATGGGTGCTAAAGGCCCTTGGGGTGCTGGGACAGATGCCGAGACCGACATGGATGGTGCTGAGACTGATGCCGATGTAGATGGTGGTGCAGTTAGTGAGAGTGACTTCGAGGTCGCTAGTACGGTTGGACATGGGCCGGGCGAGAGTACATTATTCTTGCCTGGTGACACCGTGTTTTGGTTACCGTATGCGTTGAGTGAGTTAGCACCTTCATTCTTGAGAATTCTTCCTGATGAATTTGGAACGTTAGCTCTTGTGTCGCGATACCCCATTTACGACCTCATGCGGGATTATTTAACCCTTTCGTGGGCACGGTTCTCTAAGGACGTCCAATCGCACACTCTGCAAATCAGCAAGATTCTCTCTCACCCTGCTCCTCGTCCGGGAGAGCTTGTGCGTCTCGATGCGTCCTCTGCTCCCAATGCCCAGCATGGTAATTTAGGACATGGTCATGGCTCCGAGACTAGCTTGGAGGTTGTGTCGAGGTTCCCTGGTGGCTTGGACTTTGGTAGAGGCTTGGTTGACGTGAACTTTACGATGTGGCCTCTGTTCAAGTGTTTGAATATTGATAACATCTTGACTATATGTGAGGTACAAGCTTTCAATTTCTCCTTTCAACCTTCAACCATTTGCTTATATCCATATGTATATCATCGTTAGATTGCCCTCTCGCCAACTGGTCGCATCCTGTTCTTCTCGCGTCACCCAGCGATGCTTGGTATTGCCGTCCTCACTGTCAAGTACCTGGTCGAGTTGAGAGGGTGGAACGGTGTTGCCTTATCAGCTGTGCATTCTCGCGATGCCAAGATCTACATTGATGACCCTGGTCCATGGATTATGGGACTTGCTACCGAGGCACGATATGCTGTCAGGGCTCCCTCGGAAGTTTGCATCGTTGATTTGTGAGTTCATGCGTCATTTGTCATAATACATGTCGTACGGATGCTAAACGGTCTTATGTATGACAGGGACATCAATTATCTCAATTGTGCCTCTCCTCCGCCAGGTGTTGTTTCAAGCAAGCAGCAGCGCGACAAGTATCGTCAGAAGCTGCTTTCTGCGTTTGAGCCCCTTTATCACCCTGATCACTGTGTCCCAAGGTCTGTTCATGTCACCCGTATGTTTTCGGAATTCTGCTGACCGACTTTAATTTTTTTTCCCTAGTGAGTTCAAGGAGGCTTTCCCCGCTGGAAGGTTCCGCCCTGTCTGCAAGATTCAAGCCAAGAGGGGTGCTGCGTCTACTGCTGTCGCTGACATGATCAAGCCTCCAGAATGGTGGCATTCTACTAGGATTATCCAGGCGTTTGATAGTGTCTTACAGGACAAGTTCAAGAAACCTTCTCTCCTTAAACGTATCAGCTCCTTCGGCACCGTTCGCGCGCCGCCCCGTCTCACTCCCGCCGAACAGCATATCCAGCTTTCTATTCGTAAACGCGCCACCGCGTTCGTCGACGCTCGCGATGATTTGGAGACCAAGATTGGTCGATTATCGAGGAGGCTGAACTTCTTGATGACCGAGTCTGATCTTTGGAGAGACAAATTCGTCACTTTTGAGCAATATGCGGAGAAGTTGAGTGTGGAGGCTAGTGAGCTGAGGGCGAAGATTAATAAAGAGCAGAGGGAGACTAAGAGGTTGTCTAGCATGGTGTCTATGACAGCTGCTGAGAAGGCCAAGCTTCAGAATCGTAAGTGTCACTTTTTACCATGGAATTCATGTTACCGTGCAGCATGCTAATCTTCTGTTATAGAACTCAGGGACACCGAAACTGCTCATAAGAATGCGTTAGAGGAGCTTGAGAAAATGAGGGACACGATGATGAAGATGGAAGAGGAACGCGAGGAGATGATTGCAGAAGTCGAAGCCCAGATCGAAAGGGCTCTCGCACACATGGCTGTCGACGTGGATGAATCCTCAGACTATGGTAGCTCTCGTCCAAGCAGTCGACTCTCCTCTCGTTCAGCTCCAAGCACACTTCGTCGTCGACCTAGTGACAGCATCAACCGACCCTTGCGTTCGTTCAGTACGGATTCCACTCTCGCGGAAGCCTACAATGGTAGGGATGATGGCCCTGGGAGCGCTGGAATTAAAACTGTCCCTGAGGTCGAGGAAGAGGAAGAGCCTATGACGCCTTCGAAGAAGAAACGATTCTCTGCTTCGAAGGATGATATGCCTCAGGATGGCATGTATGCAGTGGATGAAGGGATCAGTCAGAAAAGCGATAAGATCGCTCAGAAGGTCTTACAGATTCAGCGCAAAGTATGTTTTATCTTTGCTCACGACGTTTTCACTACTAACTGAGTGATTCTAGCTGGAGTCTGCTCTTGCTGTTGATGCCCAACGTCGCTCTCTCGATAGCGAAAGCGAGTTCTCTGAGGCTGCACGGTCTGCCACTGGACGTCGTCGTCAGGGTAGCCGAAATGTCAATGTCAAACATCAGAAACTTCGGAGCATCACGATCTCTCCTGTTGGCAGCGGCCGCAATACTCCCATTCGTCATGGAAAGCGAGTATCCGAAGACCGCAAATCGATTCCAGCCGAAGAGAAGAAAGCAGAGCCTGTTCTGGCTGAGACGAAGAAGCAGGAGATCCAACCCGAGAAGCACAAGGTCGACCTGCCTGGTCTTCGTAAGATTCCATCCCTAGTGTCATTAAATGGCACAAGCCCGATATCCCCTTCTGATGCCACCGCGAACATACCCTCACTCACCACTGCCGCGAGCGCAACCACAGACGACGAGGACACCGATTTCCAGAGTGCCTACTCTACCAGTCCTCGTGGTAGCTACGGTAGTTTCGAGAACTTTGCTGTGAAAAGCTATGATACCAGCGACAGCGATGTGGGAACCCCTACGACTACTGGCGGCGAGGACCACCTCGGTGACTTTAGCGGTCGAAGGTCCAGAGATCGTGCATCTAGCACTGGTACTGCAAAAGATACCAAGAGCCACCTGCGAGTCAGTCAAGATACCGTAATGACAGCGACTCCTCGCATCGCGACTCGCTAAACATTCCCTATGTAATGCGATACCTTCAGTTCTTGTCGTTAAGTTTATCTATCACTTTATATTGTTCCCCCGGCCGCTAGAGGCTTTAGTTCGTTCGTTCTTGCGCTGCCTGTGTTTGATCGATTGTAGGTTGGATCTTGTTATTTTGTTATGTTTCGTTGGGTAGCATTTACCGGTACGTGTTGGCTCTACATCTTATGTTGATCTAGTTCATTCTACATGATATATTAGAAGTTCTAGCAATACATCCTTGGATACATCCTATATCCTATACAGTCCGTGTATACACTATACATTAGGAATCCATACGACGACGAGCGTTGAAAGCTTTTACAACAGTTGCAACCTGGCCGAAAAACCAGCTTTGAGCAGACTTGTCTGGAATCATGACGAATTTATCGTGCTCCTTGCCACCCTTGTGAGCAAATCGAATTCCGGTGTCCTCGATTGTGACCCCTTGAACATGAGTGAATGGTAACTCCCATTCTAGGCGAAGCTTATTGGACCAGAACGACAAGACCTTGGTGGTAGTCAAAAGTACAACGTTGTCACCACCGGGAATGTCTTTGAACGAGATCAGCCAAACATTCAACTATCAAACTTCGGAACTCACTTATGTGTGCAACGTAGAGTTCGTCCCTGTACGCTCCGTCATTCAAATCCTTCATCCAGTATTGGCCTAGAGCTTCGCGATCGGAGTATGGCTAGGAACTTATCATCAGTGGGTGCAGACAAGCATTTCACATGGTGGACTTACGACAAGTACACCATCAAAGGGGACATGGCGAGGCTACGCAAACATGTCAGTCAGTTCCTGCATCCGAATGAAAATTCCAGAGCTCACCAGTCTGACTCGGTCCCTCTCCGGTCTGTCGAATACGGTAGTTGTATTACGGATACCTGCAGAAATGCAGATAAACACAGTCAATATGTGGAATATCATATCAGTACGCGAAATATTTACCTTCGCCCACATTCGAGGCCAGGTCGAACACTCCGATGACAGGCTTCGTCACAGCGCTGCGGACATTGGTTAACAAATGATGATTGGTTAAGGTTATCGACCCACCCTACGAGTCCCTTCCCGACGCCTTTAAAGAAACCCAAAGCCCCCTCATTCTCAGCGCCCTCGATCGGTTTTAGCTTGAGGAAGGGATGTCAGAGCGAAGAGGTTGTGATAAATACGCCTGATACTCACCACTACACCTTCGAAACCACTAGCAACACTGTTAGCAAAGGCTTCCGCGCCCGCCGCAACACCATAGCTGTGAAGATGTAAGTGATAGTTTATACTGCGTAACTCATGTAACTCACATTGCATGTCGCGGCTTGTTACGGCGTTGAGCCAAGCGGCGACGCATCTGGTACTCGGAATCAAATGTGGCAGCAGAGAGTCCTATTATACACACGGTCAGAGATATTGAGACATCATAAGAGGGGGAATAAGTCAATTACCTTTACCAACACTACCCGTGATTCTAGTGAAACTATCAGACAAGCCGAACACTGTCTTTTTCACGAAGCTTGCCGCGCCCTTCATGTTGCTTCAGTTAATGACACTTCCCGAGAAACGCTGCTCGTACCTTCGCGATGCTAATGCCGATGTCTCTGTCGCCATGCATGATCGCCCCATTGAAAGGCTCGTAGAAGATATCAGCCACGCCAGAACTGACATTCGTGAATAATCCAACAGGGTTTCCGATGAAATCTGCGGAGCCCAATATACGGTAGAGTTGGCGAAGTACTTCCTGGCGGTAGTGATACATGATGCGCTGCTGTAGGTCGGGCAAATTGAGACGCATGTCTTTGATAGCAAGCGCGTTCATCTCCAGTGGTGCATCATTGATGTTGCCGACAGCCATGGTGATTGCGTTGATGACTACTGCGAATGGGTTGCGTATACTCAACCTGTCAATGCGGTCAGTGCGTGTCCAGACATGACAATACATGAACACACTTCTCTTCACTGCTCACTCGTTCGGTACGCATGAAGGAAATGGTCAGTTTGATTGGTTGCAATTCCAACACTTCGAAGTAATAATCTTCTCCGCCAGCGGTCGTTTCAGGTTCTACAATGCCTTCCTCTTGGGGAATCAAAACACTACAGGGTTCTCATTTAAGCCAGCAGCCCTCGGCATTGGTCAAAAAAACACCTACTCTTCTTGACCTTCATCCCAGGATGCGCCTTGGATTTTCGTCAGGTCATATAGCGCAAAGAGGAAATCTTCGTCAGCCTCCACAGTCAATGCTTGCAGTAAGATGGAGCAATATTTGACGAAGAAAACGCCATGCTCTACAAGCGAATTAGGAGATCGAAACGTGGAAAGGAGCGTGCTACATACCCTGATCTTTGAGCCAGATGACAGACGCTTGTACCGTTGGTAATGATGCCACAATCGCATCCTTGGGTATAGGCGTGGGTTGCAGTGCAACAGGGAATAGAGCTTCGTGTAACTGGTTATCCAGTTGCAAGCTGCCACACGATACCGTTACCGCTTGAGCAACCACGCTATCCGAATATTCGATCTTTAGTGCATTGGCTGACAGATAGACAACTTCGATCATTCTGCGATTAATCAACGACATTCCAATGCCCTCGAGGTCGAGTTTGAATGTAAAGGTCGGCGAAACCTCCTCTTGCACGGCCTCGAAGGCCTCCTGGCTGCTGATGGTGTCTTGTCTCGCTAACGAGCCGGGCCCTCTTTGCCTGGGTTTGTAAAGACTGATCTCAGGGTTGTAGTTGGTGATACGAAGGACCTGTTTGTGACCATCTGCACGTATATCTAATGATACAGTGCGAGTACCCTCTCGTTGCTGCTGAGACGTCAGGACCTTAGAGACGGTGCAAGTTATGAATCGACTTACAGAAAATCTGAAGGGCACTAGGTCACCTATTTCCATGATGTCAATGGCCCGTTTCGAGTGGTTCACAGATAGAATGATTCGCTTGTCCCGCCCAGCAGGATAATCCCAAGCATAGCCCATGGATGACCTTTTTGACAGGGTGTACTTTCTGACAGACTCGGCTGCTGGTCCAGCATCGGGGTGTTCCGCATCCTGTCACCAAAGTGTCAGTTGACATCGAGGCTGGAAAGTGAAGAATTTCGACAAACCGTTTGATGAAGAGTGAAAGTATAATCGCTATCGTTTTCTATAGTGAACGGCCAGCCTTCTGTAGCACGAGCGATAACGACAAAGATTGACGATCCCCCAAGTTTCACATCCGCGCGCATAAGATGATCAGTCGTGTCGTCGCTAGGCATCCTCATACGGAAGTGAACAGATCCAATGTCCTCAATATTGATTGGCGATGACCTACAAAGACGATGAGTAAGAGCCTCGAATCGTCCAAGCCAGCACATACCATCGTGCATTCAAACCAGGGAATGCGAAGGTTAGTAATTTCGGGTCACCTGCACGTGTGAAGTGTAGAGGACATCTTTCGCCGGATTTTAAGCTCGAGCGACCCCGTGGAGGTGCTCCATGTTCCCGGAAAGCGATAGGATCGGAGGAGGCGTTCCTGACGAAAAATCTGGGTGCCAAAGTGATTACCTTCGTTAACTTGTACTTTCCAAATCCTTCAGACCAGGACAATCCGACATGGATCTCCTCTGCTCTCTGCGTTTGAGATGGAATCACAAGGCGAGTATCGGCAGCGGGCGCCTCCAAGCTAACGGCCTACGACATATGTGTAAGTTGTGAATGAAAAGGACGAGATCACCAGACTGCACCTGCGACCACATGGAATTTCCAACTTTAAACGTAAATTCTTTCCCCTGATCGTTCGGGTGTGACAACACTAGATGAATGGTCAGAAAAATCAAAAGCACGAAAGCCATATACTAACTGAAAGGAGTGGGTTGAGACAGGACGTCTATAGGGGAGAGGACAATCAACAATGGCACTAATGAAAGCTAAACTATAGTAGCACACCTGGCCTCGTCTCTCCTGCAACATCTAGTACGTTGCCCATGCGTGTAGACCTTGGTTTGACTAAGAATGGTAGTCCTGTCTTGTTAATCACCAGATACGGAGAATATATCTGGACTTTGAAACATCCTCCTGAATCGGGATACCTCCTACAAGACTCAACGTTGAGTTTTGAAAACGGCGAAGGAGTTCGCGACGTACACGTAGTGCAACCGCAGGTCCAACTTGCGATCTTTCGCGTCTCTCAGTGTAACACGCTTCTCGACATCAAAGTCAGAATTGCCATCGGTATTGATAATGGCAAAGTCGCTAGGTTTGAATGCTACTGTGGATGAGTATGAGCGCCACTTTCTAAGGTGTAGTGACTTACGGGTATCCTGAACATTCACATTCAGCAGCACCAGATGTCGAAGCTCAACTGAATGAACTGGCATGACACCACCTTTACGCAGATAACTTCGCCAGTTTTGATCAGTGTCCTTGTCATATATCCTATATTCCAAGTTATACGGCAGGAGGTTCTCTAACTCGATTGGAGCCCGTAGTCTGAGCGTGATCTTAGGGTATTTTCTGTATGGAAATTAGCGAATGGTAATGGGAATGTTAGAATATACTTACCGAGCTTGGAGATCGGCGGGATCTGTGTCAACCCAACCCTGAAATCTGAAGGCAGCCTCGCTAGGATCTGCGTGAGGACAACGTATGGCAAAAGCTCGTTTAGCGATGAGATCTTCCCATCGTATCGCAGGGGACCATTTGTATCCAAAGCCCTCTGGGTCAAGTCAGACAGATCTGAACATACTAGAGAGAGATGACCTACGATCTGGCTGTATCCTGATTCGATTCTGGCTTACGGCTTCTACTGGTAATGCATAGTCCTGCCCCGGCGCTGTTTCATAGCAGGATCTATAAGCAAGGACCTACTGTAGCTAAGAGGTCATTACTCACCAATCTTTTCTAGAGGTTGAACTGGTTGGCCAGATTCGTCTACAAGCGTGACTTCGAGAGGGTAGAGAGTATTATTCTCCACCTTATAGGTCGAACGCAAGGTCACAATTTTGACGTTGTCTTGTACCTTTACCTCACAAAGCAACCTGTGTGTGTACTTCTCCGTTCTCGGTCGGAGAGAAAATGCATACTCCCCCGCTCTATCAACAGGGATGCTGCGGAGTTGATCCCAGTGTTTTCCTATGAAGCGCAACCCGATGCTATTGTGGCCGGTTGAAGAAACATGCTGATATATAACTCAATAATCGTTCTGGTTTGAATGCATAGTGGAAGGTTACCTCTCGCATGGTCTTCCAATCGTCGAACCGCCAATCAACCGTCTTGCCATGGTTGATCTGGGTAGCATTCGCGTCTTTTACGTTCGCGTTCGCTTCTATGTCAGACCAGACGAAGATGGGATACCCTGTGCGGTTGACAATACGGTATGGAGCACTGCTGCCACGAGAGCTTCTGAGAACCTGCTCCCCCTCCTTGCTGAACGTAGCCACAGTTGATATGGCGAGTTCCACGAAAGTCGTGCTAATGTTGAGATTCAGACGTTCCCTAGCGGTAACGGCCACAGTTATTCCCCCTGTCGGACCGTCGCGAGCCACCTAAGTAGGAAATATGAGAGAGTTCAGCAGATCGCGGCCCAATGTACTTACCGAGGGGCTAAACGTCCAGGGATCAATGACTGGAACCCAGATCAGTAACCTCAACATGGTGAGAGATCAATTAGAGACTCACGAGGTTCCCAGTGGGAGTTCGTCAGATTCCAATAGCTGATGTGAACACCTAATGTAGTCATTGCTTGCAACTAGAGATAAGATGTTGTGTCAGTCAGAGAGTTCATAGTATATTAGATCGCACAAACCTCTCCAGACCAGTCATTGGCATTCAAAGTGAATGGTTTCACCCTAAGATGCAGCATGGGCTGCTCATGAAGGTCTCCAATAAGGATCAAGCGGAAACCGTCGATGGTAGCTTTCAGCTGTGCAAAACATAAATAACAGAAAACAGTTCAAATTGTGATAGACTTACCTGCTCTTTGCTTGTCAAAACCTTTGCATGCCCCACAGGCCGCAATGTAGATGTTTGGCGAATGGATCGGCCCACGACTACAGAATTTTTATTACCAACCATGCGCGAGTCGTTGGTGAGAGATGCATTTGCAGGGGAGGCATGAGCCTGTATCGATTTCGTGTAAAGATCAATGGCCTTGTTGGCAATGGTGGAGATGAGGTTGATATCCCGATACGATGCACGAAATACGACCGGCCTGATGGAGACTTCTATACTTGTCATCTGCTGAGATGTAGACGAGCGACTGTCGAGAGAACAAGTCAAATCCACATCATCCAAGAATCGCACACTCTCGGATGTTTTGCCTATTCTGGTGAGCGACATGCCTAGACGGTCGACGCTCAAAGCTAGGATTCCCTAAGACATTTGCAACAATGTAAGTATACCATATGTATAGTTTGGTATCAGGCGTACCTGCTGGGATATGAGCACTTTATCCACGCATAGACGAATCGCCTGAGTCTCCAGATCTGCATCATTCTCTAATACACTGACCGAAACGTCATGAAGATCCAAACGGAAGTTGATGTTCGAGGTCGCTTGTACTGAGTTAGAAGGTTCAGATGGAACCTCGGATTGTGGGGTTGACTCTGCAACTGCATCATTCGACGGGAATGCACTCAAGAAAAATCCCAAAAGAGCAATGACTGGTTCCACGGCCAATATCACTTGCGGGGAGTCCACAGTGACCACGGCCAAAGACGTTTGTTCGGATCCTCCAGACATTGTATACAGAATCATGACTTGGTCTCGGTTATGCTGAGCGGCAGGTATTATTTCGCGGAATTTAGAATTCCCCAGACGGGTGTTGCTCATGGTAAAGGATTTCAAAACGACCTGAGCTTCCAAGGCACCATCGGAAAGCATCTTGGCTCTCAGCATGGAGTAGTTGAGTGCAAATCTCACGATTCCATGGGACTTGAGGTCATCCTCCGACGTTGCACCTTCGTCGTACAAATGCAGCTTCACCACATCAACAGTGACAGTGACATCGACCTTGCTCCAGAGACGATCATCCAAGGTGTGAACCTCCGGTATTAGATCCGCCACTGCTTCGGCAGGAGATCGGGCTGGTAGGTCTGGTAAGTGCTTCTCTAAAGAAGTGCTTGTTACAACAGTTGACAACGCCTGAGCAGTGTCGCTTGTCGGCACAACCAAAACCCGTGCAAATGACTGAGATAGCTGAATAAGAAGGCAATATTGCACCTGAGTTAGATGAAGGCGTATGTCGGAAACTTTGACCACCACCTGATGGTGCGTTTCAGCGGGAAGTTCACTAAGAGCATGAAATAACACACCTGAGTATCAGGATGATCAAGCTCCTTCGACCGATCTATTTCGTTGAACTGAGAAACCTTCGCGCTGATATCGATGTCATCTATCAACCTGAGGACGAATGGCTTGTTGTCGTAGTGAATCACAGATGACAACTGGATGCCCATTACGCTGGCCTCGATACGATTGGCAACCGAATCGTAGGAGTTATGGCTTTTGATTTCACCCAGCCGCATTGTAAGAACATCGAGTGATTGTCGAGCATCCGAGGGGAATATAATGATGGGAGACTTGATCGTCACATTGAACTGCATTCGCTCGATCTCGGATGCCCTCTGCACTGCCGCCTCGGTGGCAGCATCGTACAGCCCTTTGAATTCCGCAAGTTTCAACATAAAGAGGTATATCTCGTGTAGCGGTTGCTCAAGATAGTGAAGCTTTAGAGAACCAGTGCTGAGGTAGACAGAGGACTTGATACCCTTGTAGGTCTCTTTATCTTCTGGGTCGTAGGTCTGATATTGGAAGTCTGCGAAGTTGCCACCCTCGATTGATAGAATATCTTTGAATTCAGGCAGGCTCGTATCCACTGTAGAATCGTCGCTCAGAGCAAGGCTGCCTAAGCGGGCATTTATCCGAAGGGTATTCGCACGTAGAAGAATCGCAACATCCGCCGTTGATAGAGAGAGGGTTGCGATTTTGATATCATTGAGCAAGATCACTAGGGTATTTGTTAGTACGTCGCTGAAGGTTGACATCAGATTGTACCTACCTTGGACACTAGCAAGTCTCATCTGCACCCGAATCTTCTCGACTGCACTTTGGGCGACGACAACCTCAGGGGATACATTGCCGTTCTCTTTGACTTCTTGAGGTGGCGGCTCTATGGAGGCGTTCGTGTCTGGTTGAGGAACGAATGTGTTCATGATGAAGTCATGGAGGGAGATGACGGGTTCTGGAGCTGCACGGAATATGAAGGTAGAGATTTTGATGTCAACACTTTGGTTGATCCCCTCGTAGGCGATGATGAACTCGGGTGACTGTGGTTGGACCCGAACATACTTCACCATAAGGAGCTCATCGTTGGTATTGACACTTGCTGACGATACGAACTGCAGAGGGTCTTTCCCAAGCTGAACTACGTTCATGGACAATGACCTGGAAGATTTGTTCAGCCCAGCTGTCTCATGTTATGTTACGCATACATACCTGAGATTGACGTCGACGTTCATGACGTACTTGGCCATGGAAAAGTCCAAGCTAAATCGTTCAAACGAGACGTTACCGACCTCCTTCTCATTGCCATCATTTGTGGACCTGAACAACGACGCACGTAATGCGTCCACTTGAAAATTAAGCTCGAAGATATGCTGATGAAGTTGGGGATCCTATAATACAGTCAGTAGATGTTCTGTTCATGGATGAATCCACAACGAACCCCCTTCGTGTCTCCTTGTTCGGCCTCGAAGAACTCGTCGCCCTCGTCCGCGGCTGAGCCCTGTGTCGGTTCCTCAGGTTTCCTTTCCTTATCCCCATCATCGATGTTGTATTCCGGCCCAGAGGTTCCAAAGAATGCAGAAGGAAGCCTGAATGCAGATTTCGGGTGCTGGCCTCCCGTAGGAGCCGGAGCACCCTGGCCATGCTCATCATCCAAATTGGGAATGGCTACATCAACTATCCTCATGAGAGACTTGTACTTAGTGTCAGAGAGGTTCACTTGGAGAGCCGGTAAGTGACCAGAGACCTTGAACCGAGCAAGGCTGTAAGCTGTAGGGACGATCGAGTTCTGGACTTGTAAGTCGACGTTAATTCGCTCCATCAGATGCAGGTTATCGTGATTCTCCGAAGTGAGTGCTTCGAGGCACGATTGTAAATCATTGCCAACGAGGAACTGTTGAAGTAATAAATATTCATGTTGACACAGCATAAAATCAATCCCCTACCTGCGCCGATTCTAAACGTACTAACAGCTTGTCGTACATCATAGACTCCAGTTGCTTGTAGTCCTCGTCAGTATATTGTTGCTTTCGCTTCATCTGTATCTCCTTGATAGACTTCTTATTTGCAAGCTCGCTTTCGATCGAGATGTGACCCGCATCGATCACAAGATGCTTGCAATGATTGGTAGTAATACTGGAAAATCGTGAGCGTTGACAAAGACTAAGTGGTGATTATACGCACTCCTCGGGTATGATGATGATTGGCGCGTTCAGGTCCATTTGCACGTCTATCGTCTTGTGAGTTTGCAGTGCATATTCGAGTCCTGCTCTCGTTTCTCTGCGAAGGCCCTCGAGAGTCTCAGTAGCAACATCCTAGTAAAGATCATGTGAGAACAACCGAAAAGCGGATACAGAGTCTTTCAACTTACTAATAACGCTTCGACAGACTCCAACTGACTCGCTGGTGGCTTGAAGAACCTGTAAATCGCTTCGACGTATCCTTTGTGATATACAATCTCCATGTATCTCATCCGAACCGTCAATGCATTATCAGCCCGTTCATCTAAAGGATTATGCTCAAACTTGAGGAAAAAGAAAGGATCTGCAGGGTCGTATATCTGCTTCTCATCTTGCGTCGGAGTGAGAGCTTTGCTCTTCGTATCTTGAACATGCACAATGAAAGGGTAAAGACTATTGCTAGTCGTACCGTCACGAACAGCAAATCCTCCCAAGGATACTGTCGCTTCGAAGTTGTCCGGTCTCTGAAGGAACGTCGACTGCAATGACTCGGCAACAACCGATATAATCTCCTTGTTCAGACCATGCGGGTCGGTCTTGAGAGCGAAGGAACCTCGATTGAGGGTAGCAACAACTCGGGCCTTGAGCGCGTCCCGAGGTGTCTGGAACGATTCAGCGAGAGCTGCTTTTTCATCGTAGTCGAGAATCTCGTAAAGCTCTCTGCGTTGTTCTTCGGTCATTTCTCCATTGAAGACTGGTTCAATCGGGGTAGTTTCCGCACTTGTGCTCGCTGAGGAACCCCATAGCCATCCTGTCCAGGTGCTCTTTGCTTGCTGTTGCTGTAGTTTCTTGCGTTCTTCCTCCTGCTTACGAATGAACGCCATGTCCTTTCGAAGTTGCGATCGAGCTATCGAACGATAGAAGCGAATATCCTCATACGACAGCTTCTTCTCAAGGGCATCCAACATAGTTGTGTCCTGCATTCCCATGTTATCAGTGAAGTTTTCGTTTCCGAAAGTTTGAGTACTTACCAGAGGATTAAGAGGAGCCATCTGTTTTTGCTTGAATAGCTCGACGTATCGGTGACGATCATCGCGACGTTCGGCGAAGTAGACCCAAGTCCATTTTCTGTGGCGTTCGCGCACTTCTTCGAGTATCGAAGTTGTTGCAAATCGAAGTAATGCTTGAGGCTTGTTTTCTTCAAGCTCTTTTTGCGAGGGTCGATACTTCTGGTACTACAAATGGAGACAATTAATCACAATACGACAACAGGCCAATGACATAAAGAATGATACCTGATGCTGTCGGATGTAAAAATGATACATGTCCACCAACGAAATTGCATCTCGATATTGATTGTCATCGAGAAGAACACCGATCTGCCCAAACAGAAGCTGTACGTCAAAACGTGGCGTTTGCTTGTCCACCTTGTTGTTTATCTTGATCTGTGCGTCCCATAGAGTTCAGATCGGTATGAAAGGCAATGAAACATAATTCGGACATACCCTGCCCTCCCCGGTGACAGGTTGCAGTACGAACTGATGATTTGGCATATTCTCGCCATGCGCAATCTATGATTCCGTCAACGGACCACTCCTAGATCCTCAAATACGAACATACCAATTCTGTGAATTTTCTGACAAACTCTGAGTGTGACAGACCAGCAAGACTACTTGTATCTGTATCGAAATAGATGGCCAGTGACTCCAATTTAGACAACTATGCAGAATTCTTGTGAGCCAAATCATGCCTTTCCATCAGTATTGTAAGCTTACTTTGTGAATGATTCCTGCGGTACTGTCGATAAAGGCCGGTTCCCAGAGTTCATTCACTGAGACTGCAGTAAACCCAGCGAGCGTAATTCCTGCAGAAAATGGATGCTGTGATGCTGCATCAGAGGCACATTCACGACATTACTGAATGAGAAAGGCAACTCACGCCGGGCACGCTCAGCTTATCCTCATACCGAATATGAATGTTCTTGATCGTAACTTGCAGATTGTTAATGATCTTCGTAATGAGCGATGAAATGAGGCCTTGAGATTGCTGGGTGTCTCCTGAACGAACATATTCAATAACAACAGGGAAGAGACAAAGTCTGACTCTGACCTTGCACTTGCTCTGCTTCTCCACGGATGTGCAATAACTCGGCGTTCTCCAAGCGTTCAAATTTGGCTTCCTGCATTCTTCGTTCTTCTTCTTCTGGGTCATATAAACTTTCCGAAGATGGAACGACAAGAAGATAGACATCCTCGATCAAGATCTCGACCGGTTGATTACCAAGGTTCAACCAGTGCAGCGACAAGGTGAACTTTCCGAGGTGCCCTGTAGGATTTGGGTCAGGGTGATGGTTCACAGGTGACTGATGACGAACCTTCCACGACATCGACTGGAAGTCTGAATTTGTCCAATGCACCCTTCTTCAAGCGCAACTTATGTAGAGTCAATTGACCTGATGTGCAGAGTGAGTTTAGAGTGGTGTTCGCACAAGAATTTACAGAACAAACCTTGACCAATCCCATAGTTCACTTGGTTCATGTCCAGATTTTCGACATATGGGGCAAGGATGCGATTGAATAACTGAAGTTCGCATAAGCCAGATATTAGCTTGCAAGTTATATCGACACTCACGATGTTTAGAACCTCCTTCCCCGGGTCCAACCACCACATCTTGGGTATGAAAGGGTATTATCCCAGGTGTCTCGTAGTGGAGAGCGTCCTGTCGTTTCGGTCTTAGTGAAAGGTGTAGATGCTATGAATTGTGTATCGCAGAGTTCTCCAAAGTCGCATTGATCGACTTTACGTCATGTCCTGCCGTATTTGGACCGTTCTCACACGCCGGTTCTCCTCCGTCTAGGCCGGAAGCTACTTATAGCTTTTGATGGCGAAGTCTGCCAAATTGGGCACCGGCCCAACAACCGAGTCAGCTTCGACGCATTTGTTCAACGGTGGGTTTAAAGTCCTGAATAACTGGCTTCAGATGCGCCTCAGGGCGCGCAGACGTCTGCGTTTGCAGCTGCGGCGAACCTCCTGAATATGTACACCTGATCATTGCGTCAATGGTCATAGGACAAACTCCGGTGAGGCGCAAACTGATGTCCCGTGAGCAAGCCGCTCCGCCGCCGCGATCGTTTGCAACTGTCACCAACGACGTTTGCGCCGACCATGGCCAGGCAGGGGCTCGGTAAGTATATATTCTACGGGACGTAATGTCTTTTTCCTCCCAGGGTATGTTTCTTTCCTCCAGACTCAACCTCGACCGGTGTTTCTCTTCGGCAGCGACATACTGCATTCCGTTTTATCCGGTTCCACCCGCGAAGTTTGCAACGAGGGCTAAGTGTTGTAACTTGAGGACGATTCAGTTATAATTTGGGGGTCAGACCGGATCGTAACACCCACCCTCCTCTTTCTCCCACTTGTTCTCTACGGACCACCACCTTAAGTCCTGATAGCCAATACCTTCTTCCAAAATGCTCTCTGTTATGCCCCAACCCGCCCACCTTCCCCTTCACGTCAAGGAGCATCAGCCTCAAGGCGTCGAGTTGAACGAGGTAATGGACTAGTTATCAGTCGATACTCCGAGCTGCCCTGCGTCCAGGTGGCTGATGATTCTCCTCCAGCTTGGATCATTGCAGGACGCTTTGGAGCCATTTGCGAAGTAAGTCCATATCACACGACCCTTTCTCACTGACGACTTAATCATTACTCTCAGACTTATCAGCCATTCGAGTCGTTCCGTTCGCCTTTACTGTATGATTCCTACCGACTGTTCTTCATCTGATCTTTGTGGGTGGACCCAATTTAAAGTGCTCCCGTTCGAAACTTACCGATGAGCAAACTAGACGTCGATCTACACGATCTGAATGCCCTCCGAACACGTTCTCTCATGTTCATCCATAACCTGGTGGAAGCGTTGCGAACGGCTGGCGTGAGTGCTTGTCGTGTGCCTCATGAAGCACCGTGCCTGACTTTCAACCGTACCACAGGTCGCAGCCTCCTACCGATTACAGCCATCCAACTGTCCCCTCTGTGTCATTTGCGCATTACCCTCTGAAGTGGATCCTACTGAGGTCAAGACAGCCGCGATTGCCGCTGTGGAAAAGGCCCTCCCTCGATTGAAGTACGTTATATTTAAGAGTATAGCTTCCCCGTATTCAACTCACTACCTTTCCAGAGAGAGGGCTCTCTTGGTCGATCTTAAAGACGGCCATGCACTCGTCATCACATAGTATATCTTCATTTATCGGCATGTCTTCGTTTTCCATCGGGTTTGTGGTTGGATCATGGACTCTACACATCTTGTCGCACAGCATTTACACAGTGTCCGCCGCATCAATTGCTGCTTTAACAGTCTAATTCGTAAAGAGCAGCCTATGTATAACAGTAATATATGTAAACAACTGGATCTAACTGGATTTTGGTTATCGCGAAGGGTTCGGGCTTTGTCCGAGTCTGGAACTGAGTGAATACCTTTGGAATGATTCGCCGCTCGAGGCCGATAGACGAAGGCGTGTGGACAACGGAGGGAAGCCCAAATGGAAACCGGGCAGCGTGATTACACGGTGTAAATTGATCGCTGGCCGCCTCATCAGCCGACGCTGAAAAGCACGAGCGTTTGCCCGCCACCACGTCCTCTCCTTTTTCCTCCTTCCAGCGTGGACCCCGATTCGAGACGACCTCCCTCTCTGTGTTTCCTTCGCCATGGCCCCTCTCGCAGATTTCATTCTTAAGCATGTACCATTGCCTTCTCTTCCTAAACATCTCACCAGCTATGTACCCGGCAAGACCCCATTGTCCACACCTCTAGAGGTGTTGCCTGCACTCGGTCTCTATCTTGTTGTCGTCTTTGGGATTCAAGCATTCATGAAAAACAGGCCCGCTTTGAAACTCCAGTACCTGTTCCAAGCGCACAACCTCATTCTCAGCAGCGGAAGCGCGATTCTCCTCGCGTTGATTGTCGAAGAAGTTGTGCCTAAAGTCTGGAAGCGTGGCTTGTTCTGGGGCATGTGCAACCAGGGAATGTGGCTTCACGTGCGTATGGACGCGTTTTCTGCCCTATTTCAACATTGACGTGGCATATTTCAGAGCCTTGAGTTTTATTATATGATCAATTATTACTTCAAGTACCTTGAATTGCTAGACACTGTATTCCTCGCGTTCAAGAAGAAACCACTCGGTTGGTAATCACTCACTTCCAGCTCATTGCTTGCACTTAACTCGACACCCCAGCTTTTTTGCACGTTTTCCACCATTCTGCTACTGCTCTATTGTGCTTTACTCAACTTAATGGCCAGACTAGTGTGGTCAGTACTCTTTCAAATGTCGGTATCTCACTCGCAACGTTTCTCATTGCCATGTAGCAATGGGTCCCTATCTCTATCAACCTGCTGGTCCATGTTATCATGTGTGAGTTTTGACACGTAGCATCGGGCGTTTGGTCTGGCGTTCTTACATCCGTGCAGATTACTATTACTATGCCACTGCTGGCGGCGCTCGGATCTGGGTACGTTTTTGTCAAATTGATCCATGAGATAGCTTCTGACGTTCCGTACAGTGGAAAAAGTATCTGACTACTATGCAAATTGTTCAATTCGTCATCGATCTCTTCGCTGTGTACTTCGGCAGTAAGTGTTCAAAGGGCCCTTTCGTGAATAGGCCCTCTGACCGAACGATCATGTTATAGCCTACTCGTACTATGCCGCCAACTACTGGCCTCACCTGCCTAACCTTGGTACTTGTGCCGGAACGGAAGGCGCTGCTATCTTCGGCTGCGTTTTGCTCTCCAGCTACCTGGTCTTGTTCATCAACTTCTATATCCAAACATACAAGACGCCAGCCAAGGGCAAGAAGGCCATCGGAAATGGCAAGATTACCAATGGTTCCGCTAACGGGTGGGTGCGAATGTCTATTATTGCTGTATTGGGATTGACCCGATGGGCGTAACCAGACACAAGCTCGAGTAGAGCCATTCGCGATTCACAGAGAGGGAATTAGGAAAGGTCCACGTCTCACATCGATCGCTTTGAACTCGCATCCATCATCGATACCCCAACAGCAAGATTCGTTCCCATTTAATACAAGCTTCATACCTCTAAAAGCCGCTTACGACCAGATTCGAGTGGTGTAATATCTTTTGCTTTCTGTTATTCATGCGGCTTATGTAGGGTAATAGTAGTACAAAAGCGCGTCATTCAAACGTGCGGCTTTCGCCACTGTATGTTTGACAGACACTGTTGTCGAGTAGATACCCTGACAGATTCATGACTGGACGTAGTCCAAATGACATGATGCATGAATAAATCGCACTTTCGGAAATGAATGAAACCACAGACCGGTAACCACATCTTTCGTGGCGTAAGAAGGTTTGACAGTTATGGATCGTCAATGCATCGATGAGCCTCCACCATGCCTGTGGTCAATTTTTTTGCAAAGTTTCCTGGACTAGCCTCTGACTAGAACTTCGGTCTGCGTTCTTGCATATCGTTCAGGATGTCCATTGATTGGTCGGAAAAGGTACATCCATGCAGCAGGCTATTCCTGGCGACATAGAACCTCGTTGTTGACGGTAACATTTTGATTGATATGTTGAATGACCAGCAGGGACCTTCTCATCCATGGTATGATTGCGAAGTTTATTATAGGAGGATGAAGGCGCGAGTCGAGGAACATTTGGCCGGGCCAGCCGTGACAGGCGCCTCGATGACCTCCAAATGTCCGCATGCAATCCTCGACGGTGGCGCTCCGTCCTGGCCCTGTACATATCCTATTCACACTCACTTTCTCTCCTTCTGTCCCTTACGGCCATCTTTTGTGCGTACATATTTCACCTTCTAGTGCGCCATGCCTGTCAATAATGTCTCCAGCAAAACTGATGTATATCCACCGCTCAAATTCCATTCACAGGCTTGCAGCGAATCCTTTCCCGATCTTGCCTTACCTGAGCAGTGCGCTCTAGGATACCCGCCCTTGATACGCCTTAAAGTGCGAGGGAAACAGCAAATACCTCATACCTCTATCGTACATACCCCCACCGTTTTCTTGGGGTCTGGGCCTCACATTACATCCGGACACAAGCCTACACTTCCCCCGGGTCATTTTGAAGATGGATTCCCATGCAGGCCCCAGCGGATCGCAGGAGGGACATCAGGCGCGTTCTTCAAATAGGTCTAAGCAGCCAAAGGAGATCTTCGTTAGCGTTGAGACCTATGTGTCTTCTAAGACGGCTAAGGTAACGGCCAAGGTCTGTAACCTTTTTCTATTACATTATGCTCTCGTTTCACGCGTCGAGACGATCTTTATAGAACCACTTATCGCGAAGCAAGACAGATAGGCGTGAGCGCCCGAATTTGGCTCCTCATGATCATTCGAAGAAGGTTAAAGGTATGATAGTCATTCTTAATGAGCTCATGAATCCGGGTGATGACAATAGAATGCAGAGAAGTCCAGTTGGATCAGCCTCCCTAAATCAAATACTCAAGTCGACCAATGGAGACCAGCAACATGCAAGTTGGTAGAGGAAGAATCGGGCTGCACTCTCAAGATCTATATTGATGTATGCGCCCCAGTTGTTCTATATGCTATCACCGCAAACTAAATGTCATGAACAGCAAACATATCTGTATATGACTATCAGGATACACTTGCTTTACTATACCGATATCCGCCGCATACACCATTCGGTGTACAGTAATAAAAACTGTCTAGGCATATTCTGCGACTCATCGTATGTTTCTAAACTACTACATGTTCTGGTCATTTCTCATTCTGCTTTAGCAGCGATCGGGCCTGGTGCCCAACTGGCAATGTCGACTCGGCTTGCCTTAAATTTGAAGATAGTGACGCGCTCAATCTGTGGATGGGATTACTTCGCTCATATACTGCACCCGAGATTTATGGCCGTCGGTTCAGTACACGGGATGGCGGGCTATATCGTATGTGGCGACAAGTCTACGTGCAATGTCAACACGGTCGCAACCTCGGAAGTACGCGGTCAATCCAAGATGATGGTCAACCCAGCGACTACGATTCTAACGTCCAAGTAATTGACATGGATGTGTACTGCGAATTGTATTTCAATGGCCACTTGTCTGGTCGCACGACCACGCAGAAAGGCATCGGCTCGCCGGATTGGCGAGAAGACTTCCTCTTTGAAGACCTCCCTCCTTTCGACCAGTTCGAGATCAGACTCTTTCGAGATAGGCGGCTTGCGAAACCTACCAAGATTGGCACTGTTCCGCTCCCCCTGCCTAATTTCCGTCGTGGAGAGTGGGTTGAAGGTTGGTTTCCAGTTCTTTCGGATAATGGACATGTGGACATGCGAGTAGGCGACTTGAAGCTTAGAATTAGAGTGGAGGAGTGCGTAATGACTTTTTTAACCGCATATTTATGCTGAACCAGCCTCTTCGATATCTCAAGGGAGATCATCCTTCCGTCAAGCGCGTATACTCAAATGTGGAACGTAGGTGGCAGCTGCCACTCCCTGTACATTCATTGCTGACGCGCGTTATCTGACAGGTTTTCCAATCCAGAAACCTTTTGGAATGGATTGACGAATTTAAAAGTCGATGGAAGCTCGAGCACATACAGGAACCAATACAACAGATCGCAATGGCGAAAGACATGCTGTTGAACACTATCATGGAAATGGTTGATCGCGAAGTCGAAAATGCGCAGGGCGAATGTACGTGAAATACTTTCTGACCTTCGAGCTTGTAAACTCAAACGTTCAACAGCACATGTCACTATCTTGTGAGTACTTGGGGACGTTTCAGCACCCGGAAAGCAATACTGAACAGAAACAGTCGAGCAGCTTCTCCATTAACGAAAGCAATCCAGGCCTTCATGAAATTTCGAGGCCAGGAATTCCTGGAAGCCAGTGTTGGGGCAAACATTCGCAGGTTCCGTGCAGAGAAGGTTATTATCGACGTCGATGCAGTGCGGTCGGACAAACATACAAAGACTGTCGAACGCAACGTTTCCACATTCGTACAGTGGTGTGAGATATTTTGGAAGTCTATCTATGACGCCCGTACACAGTGTCCAAGGTCAGCGATATGTCGTGAAGCAGACGTTTTGAACCTAACCATGTTCAATTACAGCGATATGCGCAAGTTATTTGCCTATATTCGCAAGCAGATAGAACAACGTCTAACTTCGACAAATCGCGAGCTGTCATGGCAAATTGTCTCCTCCTTTCTTTTCCTACGTTACCTTTGTCCAGCCATCCTCTACCCTCATTTGTATGACATCTGTCCAGGTGCGTTTTTCTCTGCTAACATCAATGGTCCTTTACTCAATTTCAGTTTTAGGGATGAACGAAGAGCCGGTACATCGTTCCCTTACTGAAATTGTAAAAGTTATGCAAAGTCTGGCGAATATCAACCCTGTTTGTGTCATCTTTTCCATATTACCTTTCAGTTCCTGCTCACGTGTTCGCATTATGCATTGCAGGGCCAAAATGCTCCGCCCGCTGCTCGGGATTTCCTAGCAAATACATCCAATGCAATGATCGATTACATCCTTATGGTATCCTCTACAGAAAATTTGGGCGAATCACCACCTTCCATGCCACCCGTGAAAATGGAACGAGACCGGATGCGTGCAATGCAAGCATTGAACTATCGAATCTCCCATAGCCCGACACTCGTTAAGGAGGCTATCCCGGTCTCACCACAGGCCCTTGATGTGCCGAGACAGCTCGCCATTGTCAATAGCCTCGTCGTTCGTCATGCCAGACGCAACCACTATCCCATTCGATCCAATCGTCCTGCCGATCGCTTGTTTAACGAACTATGCTCGAAGTGTCTAGATGTGGAGGAACAAGCTCTCCGGCGAGTCAATCAACTTGCGAAGCGGCCTCCCCAACCCGCACCTCCCCAACCTACTAGTCCCATATCACCCAGTACCCCACCATTCTCTCATATTCCTTCTAGCCCGTCTTCGACTTCATTCCAGATCATCCCCACTCATCGAGAACGGAAGGCTTCCTTACATGGAAAACAGAAGCGAGCGAAGAAAGTACCCCGCCCGTCGACTGCACCCTCCCAGACTGATTCTGATGGCCGTTCGCAGTCACAGGATTACAAAACTGATATATCCGTACCTCCAAGTCCTATTACCGGAAACAATCTGTCCCGGATTTTTTCTCGGACATCTATATCCAGTAGACAACCTAGTATCCCCATACCTTCGAAAGAACAAGATGACACGTCCAATCAGGGGGGCGAACCCAAATCTCTTCCCTCCGGTCGTGCACCTTTCCTTCACCACCCTAGATCAACATCCACCGATTCTGCCCTAACGCGGAAAACTGCACCCAAGTCAAATACCCCCATGTCTCCTACGGCGCCCACAGCATATACGGAGCCGGCATCACCTGATAGTGTAGACGACTTGGGAAAGAAGGGTATCTTTCGTAGATTGGTGCGGCGATAGCCTTACCATTGTATCTTAACTGTATTCGTTCACTTGCTTTCTTGTTCTCTTGTATACTTGCAAACTGACTGACTATTCCGGTATTAATCCCGTCTCATTGATTGTTACATACACGCTGGGTATCATTATTAGTCCTGTGTCAGTAGTATCCTGTACACTGTAATACAAACTTGTAAATTATGCAAATAACAAAACATGGAGGAAGATTGGAACTGCAGAGCAAAGTCGGAGCAGGCAACATTGATCATGTGTGGGCGGTATCAGCGCTTAGTGGCTTGTGGAGGAGCTTCTGTACTTCAGCGGCCACATCCTCAGAGGTACTTCGGATAGTGAGACGACATAGCTGTAATAGAGAACATCAACATTGGATTCCTTAACACAAGTAATTGCAAACTTACCTTCGCCTCACGATTCGGCTCCAACCGCATTAGACACCCAACCTTCCCGTCCACCGACATATGCAGGATACCAGCCCCAACCAAGTTGTTTGGATTCGGGTCGATGCCTTCCAAAACGTTAAATGAATGTCCGCTGACAACCTGACGTTGCTTCGGTAAATCAATATGTCCCGCGTCATTTAAACTGATAGGGAAGACGCTCTGAGATTCTCTCGGAGGACCTCCAATCAACTTCCATCGCTCAAAGAAGTCGGCTTGACCCAGTTTAACATGTTCAAGGAACTTGGTGATGACGACAGGCAGCCGAATAGCAATCGTTTGGTGTGCACCGGCGAGGAAGGATACACTCAATATCGGTGGCTTTGAAAACGGCTTCTTGCATTCAATGTGAATGAGTTGCTGGGTCTGTGTCCGAGGAGCGATTGTACTCGGTGCGATCTTCGCAAAAGACGCGGATATGGCTTCGGGCTCTTCCACATGCAAAGTGGTGGTGAACGACGTCAGAGGAGCAGACACCTTGTTTCCGAAATATACCGCCAATTGTCCGATGTGTCCATGGTACCTTGACTTGATACCGATCTGGAGTTGCACATCTTCGTACAACACACCTTCGGAACTGTAGCATAGTTTCTCGAACCAACGCTCTACGTTTGGGCTGACCGTGAGCCGAGGAATGCCTGCCTCTGCAAGCATCGATGCTGGCGCAGATACAGGGTCCAAATGTGTCGTGGGCGACTGCGACGTGCTAGTGGGGGATGTTGTCAGGTCCAATCCCATGAGCGACTGAGTGATATCATTCGCAGCGTCCGCGCCATGATGAATGGTGCCATTGCCATTAACGTCACCCAAAGTTGGTTTCCTCGAGCCCCTCCGAGACAGCTGTCGATCCAGATTAATATCTTTCCCACCATGTACCCAGGTCCGCTTGTCTTCCGTATCTGAATGCTTCTTATTCAAACGGTTAAGAAGCGCACTTTCTCTTGGGGGAAAAGGTGGAATTTCTTCGCAGATGTTTTGCAACAACTCATCATCATCGGCTCTACTTGCGAGCGCATAGAATTCACATGCCCGTTGCTGTAGGTCCACGTCGAGAACGTGACGATATCGCTCGAAGACATTGAGGAGTTGCTCCTTGATCTCGGGGAAAACGTTGACCCACTTGACGTATGTGGATAGTAGAAGGGCGCGAGTGGGTGCGGTGCAGAATTGGGATTTCGAGTGGAGAACTGCGAACAATTCCATAGGACTGTACCCTGGTTCATTGGCAATAAGGTGACCGTATTCTCCGAGAATGTAACCTAAGTCATTGCATAAGCAAAAGCCGTTTGAAGAGCGCAAGCTTCGCTCACCGCCTACTTTCACCAAACTCTCATGCGAGGAAGGTGATTTGAGGTATTCAAACACAACCTTCGCCGCATACGGTTGCAAATCTTCCGTATTAGTAACGATCTGCACCACACGATACCAAACTTCGTCGCCAACGTGGTCTCCAGCGGCACTGATCAACTCCAAAATGGTATCGACATACCACTTGTACGTGCTTGCATACCGCTCCGTCAGGATGGCGATCTTAAGTACCATCTCTTCCCGTAGTCCATAGTCAGCGACCTTCAAATAACGTAAGAGCTCTCCAACGATGAGCTCCGAGTTGTCAACATCGCACATGCTGTAAAGTAGGTCCAGCGCACGGCGTCGGACGGAAATGTCCTTATCCCGAAGAGACAAAATAATTGTACCCTGATGGTGTTTGATGGCATCTAAGTTTTCTGTACGAGCAGCCAAGTGGGCCATAGTGTCCAAACCGAGGTAACGAACATTGGTCTCCTTCGAGGAGATGAACCTGGCGAGAAGTACTGCAGCCGTGGTTACTAGTGGTGAATTCGTATCGAGATGGATAGCAAGACCAATGGCTTCGAAGAGAACAGCATGCTGTGCATTATTGTGCTGAACATTGCGAGATGGTTCTGAGCAGTTATTCATGATGGTTTGAAGGACTTCGTGAAGGATGTTCTTTAAAGTCGCATCCTCTGCAGTAAAAATCAATATAATCGTCAAAAGCAGAGCATCCGGGAACTCAACACCTACCGGTTGGAGGGTAGTACTGAAGTAAACGGAGTAGTTTCACTTGCAGCCATGGTGAAGGGACCTTATAATATGCATATGTTGCAGCATATTCGTGTTCTATCACTAGCTATGGACCCTGGTGAACAACGCAATCCAAAGTTAAAATGTCAAAGCACATACTCGACGTAACCGGTCAACAGCCTTCTGGTAGCATACAGCATAAGCATCAAGATGGTCTTGTGCCAAAGCCATTACCAAACTTGTTACACAAATAACGACACCCTACAATCCATTTAGATCAATATTCGAGCAATAATACATCAATCGGATACTTACCAAGTCCATATCATCCATTATAGCAACTATTCGGAGAGCCCACTCAGCCGCTGGGATCACTTCTGGATGCTTGCGGTACAAACGGAGAAGAGTCAAGGCTGCCTTCTTTCGCACAAAGCTGTGGGACGTCCTATGAACGGAGAGTTGTGATCAGCTTCTGTTGCAATATATCAACAGAAAATCTGCACCTACGGCGATATTAATAGCCTGTGAACATCCTCTGACAATGCCTCAGCCATTTCTTGTCCACCAACATTGGCAATTGCGTGAAGAGCTAAGCAATTGTATATCTCGTTATTCTCGTTGAGGTCCTTGCGGATGGAATTGACGACGAGACGTAAGAAGTCAGAGTTCTCATGCATGAGTAATGTGACAGCAAGATAGCCCTGGACACGCATCGTTAAGAAGGTGTCGGGATGCCAACAATGATAAAATAACGCACTATCTGCTTCTCGCTATACTTTGGACTGGAAATGAGGTTAACTGCCTCCATGTGACCAACGTCGACCTTGTAGCCGAGAATATATGTGAAGATGACTTTCGCGACATATCTTTGGGTGAATATCAATACTAGTCCCATGCAGACACAGATACAGTAAGACGTACTTCTTTTTCTGGTACCCATCCAAGTTTCCGTCTGTGATATGAATGATCCTCAGTGACGTCCCGATCGAGGACCAGGGAACTAACGATACCTTTGAAGCGTTTCCGGATGTTGGCCATCTCTTTGTTAATGCGCTTCTCTTCCAGCTCGCGGACCCGTGCACCACGGATATCCGCGATGAACTGAATTAGTGGAATATTCAGGAAAATGCACTTATGATGAAATGCCGGTGTCAAGCGAACCTGGGTCAGACCACGCATATTTGTCGCCATCTTGGCCTACCGCCAACAGGCTTCGGGTGGAGCGTAGGTCGCGGTTTCTCTACGGTGTGCAGGTGGAGAGAAGGTAGGAAGCCTATGGCCTCTAGAGAAATTGAAGTCTGTACAGGCTGAGTGAGAGTTAGTAGCTTTCGACGGTGTGCACTATGCTTGTCATCTCTATTTGGTCTGCTATCGGTAATAAGCGGACCGTATACCCGCGACGTTTCAAAGCTTCAGCTTCACCGCCGGCACGCAAGTTCGGTAGCAAATCCAAAGCCGAGTTCTAGGTTCGTCCTTGGCCCGTTTAACGTTAAAGCGACAATGACAGGGGGATTGACTTGGCTAATGTACTTGTAGTTTTACCAGGGCGAATGTCAAAAACAGTAATCCTACGGGTGTACACCATCCTATATGCATCCGTTTCAGGCGTCGGGTGCCGCCCTGGTGTATATTCATGATCGACGTCATCTAAGTTCGCCGCGTCGACGATGGCTGGTTCAAATACTCCTTCGAATGGTTTCACGACGTCCTTACGCACCTTGATCCCAAAGTCTATATCACATCCTCTACAATGTCTCCATCCTCGTTTCCTCAAAGCTTATTTCGTTTGAAGGGCTCTATCCGGGACTATGATTGGGGAAAGCAAGGATCCGCTTCCCTCGTCGCAAAACTCGGGAAGAACGCCATGGGCCCTGGCTTTTCCGTTGACGACGACAAATACTATGCAGAGGTGCGCTGCTCTTTCAGAACGCATCCACTCATCCAACCAGTACTGCCCCGCTGCAGCTATGGATGGGCACTCATCCTAATGGACCCTCGCACCTCTTTTCCTCCCCTTCGACATCCGTGCTTGACGTGATCAAATCGAACCCTGCACACTACCTCGGTCCCACCTTACTTCAGAAATGGCCGTCTACCACCCATGTCCCTTTCCTATTCAAGATTCTATCCATCGGCAAGGCGCTTCCCTTACAAGCTCATCCGGACAAGAGTTTGGGTGAAGAGTTGAATAGGGAGAATCCTCGAGAGTTCGTAGATGCCAATCACAAACCTGAAATTGCTGTTGCCGTTGGAGAGCCTCTCGGAAACGGTAACGGTGGGGGATGGGGTGAAGGCGTCGTTTTCACTGGTTTCGTTGGCTTCAAGCCTCTTCAGGAAATTAGGGACTTAGTTCAGAACCTCCCCGAGCTGCAGCGAGCAATCGGTGACGAGAGACTTGCCAAAGCGTTTCTCGATAATCCGACTAAGGCTGCTTTGAACGCCATCTTCAGTTCACTCATCAACCGAGGAGCAAATAGCCCGGACCTTGTGAAGAAGGAAGTCCTTGCGCTCATAGGCAGACTGGAGGCTGGTCCTCGGGATATCTTAGGTACAGGGGTCCAGGCAACTGAACTTGCCAAACTACTGGTCAAGATCAACGCACAGTACCCCGGAGATGTTGGCGTGTTCGCTACCTCGTTCTTCATGAACTTTGTCAAGCTGCAGAAGGGTGAGTCCGTGTACATCGGTGCCGATGAAATCCACGCGTATCTTGAAGGAGGTGCGTATATGCTATGTCAATTTAGACGATCGTTATTAACAACGGAGTGGCAGACATCATTGAGTGTATGGCAGTATCGGACAACGTGCTCAATGGGGCTTTCGTCCCCCAAGCTCAAGCAAAACAACACGTCCCAACGTTCCTCTCGATGCTCACATACACTTCCGCACCACCTAACTACTGGGCTCTTCCTGCTAACGTCTATGGCAAGTCGAAGACCGGGAAGACGCGAGTATATGCGCCCCCTGTGGAGGAGTTCGTTGTGTTAGTGACCCAACTTACCAAGGGAAGCGACCAGACAGAGAGATTGGACGCCGTGGGTGGACCTACCATTGGTGTTGTCACCAAGGGCAGAATCGCGTTCACTGTCTCAAGTTCTCAGGAGAAGGAGGAACTCGATGAAGGGGGCATTGTGTATGTTGTCCCTGGCAGGGATATCACAGTCGAGCTGCTTAGTGGCGATGCTGGGGAGGTATGGTGGGCTGCGAATTCTGTGTAATTCTTTCGCTCCATTTTGGAAACATTGTCAAGGTGAGCAAGGTTTCCTCAAGCTAATCGTACATAGGATTCTAATGTCTCTTTTTTCAGCACTAGAGCCTAGAAATGATTCACATCAGTTAATACTACAGGTGACCGAGACCGCGCTTTGTTGTCTTGCGTCCACAAGGACATTGCCATAAATAGAAATACTATGGACAGATTTGGTAATACAAACGGGAGCTGCGTGAATGTGGTTGTTAGGACCCAAGGTATTCGTCACCGCGCCCCATCAAAAAAAGGATAACCACCCCGTTCGTAACACATAAGGTCATCCAACGGCATTCATGTTGGATGTTGACGACTCAATTGCATGCTTACTATTTATTGTTCCAGCGTTATGTGACTTGCTGCAATAACAAATGTAAGATCAGAAATACATAAAAAAGTGTCCCAGGGAGGATTCGAGCCTCCGTCTTCACGGATCTGTAGAGTAACCACAACGTGATGATCTAACCACTAATCGACAAGGACCAGAATGAAAGTCATAGTATTTCTAAATACTCTGATTTAAATATCGACGACCACCACAAAAACACTTCACAAAGTTGCAAGTTGTACGCGACGTCTATATCACTCCAGTGACCGAGCCTAAAAACGCATTGGGATTCATGCGCCGAAAGGATTCAGGATTTTCATAGTAGTGTATTATATCGGGTTACATAGAAGTCAAGAGTGGGGAATTCCGATACATGAAAGCTGTGAAATGAAAAGAATTAATGAAGAGATGCAATAGTCTACATCACGGTAATTGGAATGAGCATATATGTTAACCCCATCTTTTTGACAGTCTGCTTGGGGTTCCAGGTCGCGAGCTGAACATAGGACCATTGCCATAGCCTCCAGGTGTCGAATATCCAGATCGAGTACCTCCGCCGCCGAGCCTCGCCAATGAGAACCCTGGCGAATCTATGGGAGTGCCTGGCCTCGAGTTATGTCTGCTCTGATTGGCCACGCGGTATGCATTGTAGTCATTCAGAATCTGGGCGATCTCCTGCGTCATCAAGTCCAATTCCTGAATCTCTGTTTCCGATAAGGCGTAATCCTTCAACCGGTTGTCATCGTCCTCGTCCTCTGACTCCTCTTCTTTCTCTTCACGGGGCATGACAGGTCCAGCGGTAATACGACGCTTGGCTCTGCCTTGAGTGATACCTTCGAAGACGCGAAGCATACAGGACTCCATAAGAGCCTTCAATCGTTCAACATCATCTAGGGCATCTCCGCGGCCAACGACAGGCAGCCATTCGTCACAAATAAGACCTCGTTGGGTGACCTCAATGTGATGTGCGCCGAAGAGCATGTAGGTCAGAGGATCAACTCGCGATGTCGTCACAAGGAACTTTTGTGCATGGGCTGCTGCGCCGGCAACAGAAATGTTCTGACGCTTCTCGGCATATGCAATAATTTGCTTTTCGGCAGAAGTCTCTACGCCGGCCTCTGTCCGTGTACCAGCGAGTTCGCGTCGACGGTTATTGACACTTGACGGGTGGATAAAAACAGCCTAAAAGCGACGTGAGTATACATTACGAAGAGGTGTAAGAACGGTAAATACCTTGTCCTGAGACGTGCGATAGGTCTTCTCTCCAGATCGAATAGCGAACTTTGGTTGTGAGGCAATCGTGATTAAAGCGGCGAGCAGAGGCAAGGAGTTGCCATTGATGTTCAATTCCCTGGGAACAATAGCCTCCTGTTTCCGCCTTGGCATGAATTTTGCGGCAGTACCGCCGGCGGAGACGTCAATGACACCGATATCATATAGAGACTGCAAGAGATGACCCTTAATCTTCTGGATCATGAGGAGCGTTGGCTTCGACAAGAAGTTATCCATGCAGAACCTGTTCGCAGCATTCCACTCTCCATTGCCTTGCAAAGCCCACCATTTATTGTATGCGTTGAGAATGGCAAGTGCGTCTGAACGGAATTCGTCTGGAGTGAACGAGTTCTTCACCTCAGCGGCTCGCTGCTTCAGATGCATAGGAGATAGGAATGGATCACGGTTTGTCAGGATAGCTGCAAGGGTGAGTGCTGAATCGAGACAACGGAAGAAGCTACCAAACAACACCATCTTGCCCATCTGCACTTCTACAGGAAGTTGTAGAAGGACGCGACCTAGCGATGTAAGGTTCCTCGCTTGGTCCAAAGCACCGACCATCATCAATGAATGCATGGCAGCTTCAACCCGCTCCGGAGCAGGAGGTTCGATAAGCTCAGCCAGAACCTCTTCGACGGTCATTCCAGGGAAGTCCAATGCCTTCACGTGCATAACGACATTGGTCAGATCGACACGCTTCATCTCCACCGTCTGGTAAGGGTGCAGCTCTTCTGCACGTTTGCTACTCAGAATTCCATAGTACTCTCCAGGACGATGACGGCCCGCACGACCAGCCCTCTGATTCAAATTCGACGAGCCGACCCAAGCAGAAACCAGGGAAGATATGTGCCTCTCAGGATCGAAACGGTTCTCCTTGATCCTGGCCGTATCGACCACATACACGACATCAGGGATCGTGACGGACGTCTCCGCAATGTTCGTGGAGAGAATGATCCTTCGGACGCCGGGGGGTGGAGGATCGAAAATGACTTGTTGCTCAGCTACTGGAATAGATGAATGGAGCAAATGTATGCTGAACTTGGATTGGTCATTGAAATTGACTCCCAAGTTTCCGCCATCCAGTAAACACTTCTGCACTCCCGTTATATCATCCCAACCAGCCAAGAAAACAAGGACATGCCCATCGTCGGTTTTGCGTAGGACGTGGGAAACTGCGAGAGCAATCAAGGGGTATGGCTGGTCGAGATCTTCGTCTTTGATATCCTCGGAACTCTTGTATCTCGACGATGCTTGGAGTGCGGGTGGGAGAGCCTGAAGGCCAAGCTCCTTAACGATGTACTTTTGTACTGAATCGTCCCGGAATACCCAATTGCTCCTGGTATCTGAAGAGACCAATTGGGGAACATAGTCATCAAGGAAATGCTTTTGAACAGGGAAGGATCGACCAGGAACCTCGATAACGCTTGCAGGCTTGCCCTGGTTGTCTGTGAAGTACTGTCGGAAAAGTGTTGGATCGATAGTAGCGCTCATCAAGACGATTTTCAGAGGCTTGTTCCTGGCCTTACGATCAGCAAGCAGCCGCTTGAGGACAACAAGAAGTAGATCCGTGTCAACGTCCCGCTCATGAACTTCATCGACGATGAGATGGGTGACGTCGTCAAGATTCTGAGCTCGATGTCCTTCATCTTGGAGGGCAGAATGCATACGCTTCAAAAATATGCCGGTTGTGCAGAAAGTGATAGAACCATGATCCTCGGGCAATTTCGCCTCGAATCGAACTTGATATCCGACGGATCCTTTGCCTACGACCTCCCCTCTTTCAGTAGCGACGCGACTGGCGACACTGATAGCAGCAATACGACGTGGTTGGGTACAGATGATGTTGCATTTCGCCCCCTCGCCCCTCTCGATCCATTGGTCCAGAATCAGCTGTGGAATTTGTGTGGTTTTGCCAGAGCCGGTAGTTGCCATGCAAATAGTGACGTCGTTCGCCTCAATCTGCTCCAAAATATCGATGGACTTGGTGTAGACAGGCAAGGCTGCTCTAGTATCACGCATCTTCTGCAGAGAAGCGTCTGCCAAATACGCCTTGCGACGTTCCTGGAGAGCCGTCGACTTCTGCCCAAGTACAGTAGCATCAGCCTGGCGTCTGGCAGGTGCAACATAACGCGGCGCTGTAGGAGGCTGCTGTTGCTGGTGCGTATCCGCGACGCCAAATTCCGTCAACAACGATCCAATCTTTGGTCTTCTGCGATAGATCGTGCTTGTCTTGACACTAGTGCAAACATCTTGGATACGATCCTCTATTGGCCCACTAATTTGGAATAGGAATGACGGGGCCATTCCCAAATCTTTCCCAGTCTTGGCATCCTGCACGAACTGCTTCCAGAGATCGGGGTCGCAACTTTCTAGATATTGCGTAACGTCAACATAACAGCTCATCATGGCTGCCTTCTTCTGAGCCCCTGCGCCAAGGCCGATCTTTCGACCACCAACGGTCATGACAGCCTCCCAACGGGCCCGTGGTCCACTCTTGTATTCATAAGCAATGTCAGGTTTGCCAAAGTGAAAACGGCGGCAGTAATAGTCCATGAATTGACGTGCGCGTTCAAAATCGATCACCGTGCCATCGGATAAGGTAGCTTCGGTTGGTGCATCAACTGTTGGTGCTTTCTTCTTTGCTTTCGCATCTTTCCCCACCTTCAAATGCGTCGTTAATAACGCGTCGATTTGAGTTTATTCTGCTACTCACCAACCCTCGTGATTCGAGTATATGTAGCGCATGCATCGCTGCCAGAATCTCTGCCTCTTTCCTCGAAGTACTGTCTCCATATGCAATGACATCTCCTTCGGAGGCATCGGTGTCAGGAATAATCAAGGTACACCTATGGCGTAGGTAAAAGTCAGCGAGGTAACGTGATAAGACTCTGGACAGCGAATACCTAAATATCTGTTTCCCGCCTGACGTGACATGCTGGGTAACTTCATATCGAGGTTGTATTCCCAACACATTGTTGCAATAGTTGGAAATCGGAGATTTGGGGTTATTTTTCCATTCGCCTTTCAAATGGCGGTCAGGATACAACTGCTCGATATAAAGAGCGTCATAGAGAGGGCCAGATATCACTGAGAATGAAGGACGTCTTTGGTTTTTATTGGGCTTCGAGCCCCTGCTACTGTATTTTGATATACCCCGTTTCGCAGAAGGAGTCGAGGTCTTGCCCCCACGTAGCGGTGATGAGCTAGAGGGCTGATGAAACGGATGAGACATGTGGTGCGGTAGGTTGGCGGCAGCGGACGACACAAAACGAGGACCTTCAAGTTTCGGGACTTTAGTGGGGCGCTGGTTTCCGTTGTCAGGATATCCAGAAGAACCAGCAAAAGAAGAAGAGGACTGTGAGGAAGCTGAAGGTACAGGCGAGGGTGAATTCGATCGGACGTCGTGGCCGATGGCTTCGTGTGCGTAAGACCGCTTGAGGGAGGAGGAAGACGAGGCAGGTGTGAGTCGTGAGGGCCTATTTGGCTCCAAGTTCATTAGTAGGCGACGCCTGTGTCGTAAGATGAACGCAAAGTGCATAAGGGGACAGAATCAAAGCCTTTTTGACTGTCGACGTAGAGTGTCCTCAACAGTGCAATTCGGTAGAGATCTATAGTACGCACGCCCAGTCACACGCCCGTCCGCTGCCGCCACCTAAAAATCAGTAGAGTGCGATCGTCGAGAGCAAGTCTAAAACCAGTAGTCCCAGCTCACAGAGCTGAAGCAAGACGAGCGGCCAGAAGCTTTGCGCAGATAATATTCCAACAGGCGCTCATTGCATCATGGTGATTACGAGAGTACGTCAAGATTCAGTAACTTGTTTATTTATGCACAGTACTACTATGTTAAACGATTAGAGCAGAGGGGGGTATAGAAGCATGACTCCAATCGTACGGTATGAATATTATAAGTACCAAGTATGTGGACATTTACCCTGTCATCGCTGGCCGCAACGTTCGTCCATGAACATCCACATGCGACGACTCTAGTGATCATGAAGTGACCTTGGCCACTCTCTAGCAGCGTCATCTATACCACGTAGGTACTTGAGCTTCGTCGCCGCAGTAAGCACCCCAGACCAATCTTTCACCGCGACGAGCTTGGAAATCTCGTGTACCGACTCTTCCACCTTCTCTATGGGTGGGAGACAATTAGAGGTTGTTTGGGGCGCCAGAATGAAGACGTACCCTGGTTCTCTTTTCTAATCTGATTGACCTCTTCTTGCGTTTCAGCATTTTCGATGGCTTCTCTCGATTCCATGACATCCATTATCAACTCGGGATCATCCACGATATTCTCGCCATCGGTGATGACGCCCTCTCTTTTCAAAATATAGAGAGCACGTTGGAGGGGATCCGCCAGAGTACGATTTGCGTTGTTCAGAGTTGTTGAGAGTGACTGTATGAGCTGCTCTTTGCCCTATTCATTCCGTCAGGGAGAAGCCATAGGGATGGCAAGGAGACACACCTCATCTCGACCTGCCCATCTGTCTGGATGAACAACAGTGATGGCTTTCCGAAAACGGGGCCGCAAAGCAGATATATCAATATCGAACGGATTTGGCTCATAAGTGAAGCCGAACATCTCATGGTATCCCATGTCTGAGGGTAAAGGTTCTATATGTTTGCAGTTTGGACAAACAGGAAGCGGAGTTGGTAACAGAGTAGAGCAAGACGGACAGTGTCTCTTGGTTTCCTCAGGGAATTCATGGTGATGGGTATGGCGTCGTAAAATAGGATGAGTCGAGAAGGCTGCTTGTCGGGAAAAAGCACGCGTACTTGTCGTCGGTACTCTTGCAAATGAAGAGCGCAGAGAGTGCGAGGATGTTGTTCGGGCAACTATGAGCAATACGGCTGAACGAAACATTTTAGAGCATGAAGATGACCATAAGTATTTCTGCCATAGATTCAAGTTATGTCGCTGACGTCATCCGAAGTATATCCGTCGCGGCTGTCAATTTGGTGTTTACTGTAGTTAGTAGTCTGTAGTTGACGGCCACCTACAGTGCTACTAATCCTTTTCTTCAACCATGTCAGAGGGTACATCACAATTACCTATTGTTCCAGAATGTATGAGACCCGACGACCCCTCAGCTGCAGACCCCGCCCGCCTGCGCGTGTCAGCACTGAAACGATCATTCTTCAAGCTACCTCGGATTTTCAAAGCGAGACGTCGGAAAACAAGTGATGTAAAACATACGCATGCAGTAGAGACAGCGTCCTCTAGTAGGATTTCTCTACCACGCTCATCCCGCGACATGGAGGCAGAAGAAGACGACCTTTACCCTTTAGACCTCGATGACCATCTATTAGTCAATGGGAAACTCGAGGAAGATCATGACAAAGACGTTTACAGATGGGCCCTTCTGTACGAAAACCAGCGAGGGTAAGCTGATATGTTGAATTCCCGAAATGAAATTGACATTGTTTAGAGCGACTGTATTCTCCACACCATACTACTCGGACAAGTCTCTGCTGCCGATGGATCCTCCTCCCTTCACCATTCCGTCCGCATCACCATCTTCAAAAGTTAGCCAACCTACAGTATCCCTCAAGGAATACCCTCTTCCGGATGGTGATTGGCGTTGGGTCTCACGCACTTGGATGGTTGACATGCGTGGAGAAGGCCGAACACAGTACGATGGCTTTGAGTACAATTGGTATTTCCGGGGCAAGAATTGGCGTTCTGAGGTTGGCTTTCAGAACGCAGGAGGATGGGTGCGAAGAAGGCGGTGGGTTCGTTTGATGATGCGTCCAGCAAGAGGGACATTGTATAAGGAAGCAGAGGAAGGCAAGTTTCCAGGAGAATACCCTGAAGCAGAGGAAGGTGTTGGCACCCGACCACCATCAGTCGTAATGCGAATCGACGTTAACGAAAACGTTGATTTCGACGATGTTTGGCACGGAGATGACGAGGATTGGACAAGGTGCCGAATTGTCATGAAGCGCCTTGGCCGCGACTCAAGATTACTAGAACTCTGGGCGCAATGGCTTGGTCTCGAGGACGATGAAGTATTCTCCGCGGATAGTGAGAGCCGATGCAATGGGCGACAGCCTAGAAAACAACGGACCGGAGACTCTCAGCTGCTTCCGTCACAACCTATCCAGGACGAAACAAACCCTAAGATGGCTGAAAGTGTTGATAGGTCGCAACTTGCTAACGTTGTAGCGGCGCATGTAAGTCGATCATTGACCAGTGACCCCTTAAGCGCATAGCTGACAGTGAGCCATGCAGTACCCTGAGATTCTTCAGCTTTTCATATTCCCGGAATCTCGCGCCAGGTTCTTGGCCATGCTCAAAAGGGCGAACATCCTGCCTGAACTGGACGAGAAGATCGCGCGGGACAATCTGGACTTTTGGAGCTATTCGGACATTTAAGTTAGGTGCATTCTTGGACAATCTTCTGCTTTTCGTGCTCCCATCTGGAATTGCTCTCTTTCTATATACTGTATACCTGCTATCATCTGGTGTGGATTTTAATGGTTCTCTAAGATCAAACCACAACGACTGCCAAATTGAGACGATCGATTGAGATGCATGGCCAGTTGCATGTGAAAACGAGTTGCTGTCCACCTTGGAGGATGGGGACGATGGGCAAGTTGTTCACACCCAACTTGCTCTCTCACCCCATCTTTCACTGCCAAAACGCTAACGGCTGCACTGCGCTACATGCCTCTCAGCCCAGCGAACGCTGCGCATGCCCTAGGAGACTACTTACACTCATTTCCAGATGACCACCCACTGCACGTCGCGCTAAGGACATATGCGCTCTCACTCTCATTATCACTTGGTCCTGCGCTGGTCCCCTTCCTGATTTCACCAAAGGCGCGTGCAGGGGGTATTAAAGCTTTGACAAATGTGCTAAGAAGGGAGTTTGGAATTTCAAGTTTCGCGTCTTCTATGACCGTCGGGGTCGGAGGAGGAGCCGCACTGAAATTCATTTTGGACAATTGGAGCAAACGATTTCACAGGGATGCTTCGTGTTCAACGAAAGCAACATCCCCGTTGCCTAGCTGGTGGCAAAGGCTAAAAACATGGTTGGCCTCGTTGGACGAGTTCCACCGCAATTTCGTCTCCAACCTTATCTCCGCATATATGGCTATTGTCCTGCTACAATCTAGGCGTCGTTTGTCGAGGAATACACCACCGAGGGCGGCCATTCCGATGACTGCACTCACCACCTCCACACCCACATCACCGTCGTTTACACTCGACTTGACTCTTCTTTTTGTGGTTCGAGCGATAGATTCCCTTGTTCGATCCAAATTGCTGCCATGTGAGACAAAGCTTAGTTCAAAAGCTACCAGGGAGGAGAAGGATCGTGTGCGAAACAAACGACAGCAGGTTACTACCAGGTTGGATGCATTCGTTTTCTGGGCTAGCAGTGCCAGGTTGGTCGGCTCTGAACAACGTATCATGAGGGCTACATGTGTTTGTGCTAATATTTCAATCCTAGGATCATGTGGTGCTTCTTCTATGAACCTGATTCGTACGTGCAATAAAACTGTAATAAAAGTACTGATCTGAAATCGCCCATAACGTAGGCTACCACGCTCTTACAACAAATGGTACTACAGTTCCGACTTACATTAGGATATGCGATTGACTCTAGACTATTTAGGATTATGTCCCTGGCTAACATCGATCCCCGTTTGCTGCATGCTCTTCGCGCTATTCGGTCTGATTCGTTTTCTTACGTCAAAGGCTTCTCCATTCCGCCTGATCTTGTCTCTGGATTCTCTCGCGACCTTGGCTATCCATCGGCATGGGGAGACCCAGCCCTCCTGCCAGGCTATGGTGGTGCAGAAGCAGATCGTGTTTGGAAGACACTCGGGGTTACGAACAGATCTGGTGTAGGAGGGCTGCCATGCGAGCTCGTTCATAGCGGCTTTGGCTCCAGTTGTACTGCAAACGCGGGAGTCAGAGGAATACACGCGTTTGCTGAGGCCCTCGCGATCTACATCCCCGTATGGTTCTTCATTTCCAGTGGCTTATCTAGCACTCATATCTTCTTTTTTTCTAGGTTCATATCTTGCCTATCCTCCTCACTCGGCCGCGTACGCTACTTCAAAAGCAGCAGATTGTCAGCAGCATCCTATCCATTCTTCGTAGCGCATCTTTCTTATCCACATTCGTATCATCTATATGGTTTGCAATCTGCATGACCCGAACCCTTTTTCTCGCTCGCCTATTTCCCAGCATTCCACATGATTTCTGGGATGGTCCCTTCGGTTGCACTTTTATAGGCAGTCTCGTGTGCGGCAGCAGTATTTGGGTAGAAGAAGGCAAGCGAAGAGGCGAGATGGCGCTTTACGTGCTCCCTCGAGCCATCAGGGCCTGCATCCCGAAATCATGGTTGACAAGCGGCCGCAGGAGCGTGCGAGTGGTTGAACGGTATGCATCGAATTTATGTTCTTTTTCACATATCGTGCTCACCCAGTGGGATTAGGCTGGCTTTCGTGCTATCACTAGCAACCCTGCTCACTGCCAGCTCACAAAGTCGGGAGTCATTGAGAGGCCTTTCGCGCTGGACCTTATCCTTCGTCATGAAAGGCCCAAATACTGGCTTCTGGAAGCGCAAGCGACAGGATGCCAGCACTACTGCCACACTCCTTGATTCAAGCTCACCTCGCGAATCCTCTCCCCCTCCTGATACCCAGCAAACAAAAACATAGAATTTGCTCGATTTGATACCCCTAGATATCTAAATCTGCTTGATCATGCGCGCCACGTATATAGGACATGATCGTAGAAAGAACAGCTAGCCACTAGAGTTTCTTGGTTTGTGTTTTCCTCCGTGTACGACCAGTCGGCACCATATGCCATGGATTTGTGTTTATCGAAATGTTGGATGACTTCACCACCTTCTGCTAGACCGTTACCTGTTAGATTGAAATGTATGACTTTGCAGCCATTGTGCATGCATGCGACGAGTAGGTCGTCCTTTCGCTTTTTTGAAGGATGCCATTTCACGCGCCATGCGCCTCCGCCCACATCGACTTGAGTTAAAGGTGTCAGAGGTTTCCGTGCATCAAATAGTCTGACAGTATTGTCGTAACTGGGAAATTAACGCATGAGTATCGGTCTTCAGCTGGTCATTGGTTTCTAGTTACCTGCCTACTGCCAGAAGATGTTCGACAAAAGGATGACTCTGAATAGTCGTAACACCGGCATCGAATCTATAGCGGGATCCTGAACATCATTTGAAAGATAGGTGATCGGTGTACTTACCTCTTGTTGGTGAATACGGGCTGTGTGAATCCTGATCGGATATCCCATGCTTTCATTTTCAGGTCATCCCCACCTACGAAACGGTTGTAGAAGGACTTCATCGGTTTTTCACGAAGCAAGATACCTGAGTATATAATATTTATATCCCAATAATTCCATGCTGCGATCCATGGCTCGAAATCATGCGCATGCCAGATATGTTCGGGCGAAAGTCCAGACTGGCCGGGAACCAGAAGGGCTAGCGAACCGTCCGACAAGGATACAACCAGAGATCCCAGGCCGCTGCATTCATTTTACTGTTATAATAAGTTCACCCTTGATGTGATTCAACCAACCTTGAAGGTGTTCTCCGATTTGACCAATCGAGAGATAAGCAGAGGACATGCGAGGGAGCGATGCGAAGAGACTGTACTTGAGAAAATCGTTTCTGGGGGAGTAAGAATTAGGAGACACATATAATACTATGTAGGACCACTTACATCGTCGATTTTCATTTCATAAAGAGAAACATTGCCTTCGGAGTCTGCTATGCCCAGCACAGGGTTTACAGATACATCTCTGTGACACCTGGTAGAGTTTGATGATTCCACAGCGAACATCATGTAAGATTACGAACCACTTCATGTCCGGCACAGCAGGGAGGGAAATCTCCTGAATCTGGTTACTTCGTGTGTCCTGCATTAAGAAAAGTCGAATGAGAGGGAAAGACAACCTACAGTTGATCTCCATTGGCAACTTCAAAGGCCAGACATTTTCCTGTTCTCTTCTGTCCCACTGAGAATGGCTCCTCCTGCACATCCTGGATGTCAACAGAACACTCGGGATCGGCTTGCTGGAGTTTGTACGTCCCGCAAACAACGACATTCGAAGCAGCGGGATGTGGACAAAACTCCACTGAATCTGCAGGGTCAATGGTATCAAGTTTGAAAATTGCCGGCACAACCTTCATCGGAGTGGCGATTGATGAATGCACTGTGAATCTCGAAGATGTTGAAAGAAATGATTTTGGGAGAAAAGTTTGCAATCCTACTGTACTTGCCTTTCTCGACCGTCAGTTCACCGATTGATGGGCGCCAATCATACAACATGCGGCCTGTGAGCGAGGAAGTACTGGCAGTGTCTTTGACTTGGCTGCGCTCATCTCAACTTAACTACGCTCTCTTCCCTGCACCATGGCCGACTTCATTCAAGCCCTTGACCCGTCAAAATTGGTCCTGGTTGAGACCGTCAGTTCTCCTTCTGATATGGCTTCATGTTGCTCCTGTACCGACTGGCATTTCACAGGTCCTCTCTTTCCTGACTAGTGCTTTCCATGCCCCTGTGTACAATTTACCTATATTCCTGTTCGGGCTACATGTACAAGAAAGCTCTGATGCAATCCAATCTCTGAGAGCTGTGAGTTTGCACGACACTTTTTTTGTCGGGGGAATAATGCGATGTCATCTTCTTCAAGTTCACGTTCATTGCTGGCGGCTCCATTATATACGACATCATATGGATGGCAAGAAATCACCAAAACTGGTTCCTCCGTCTTCTCACTATTGTGATTCAAATTCTGAAGGTGTGTCTCACTACTAGCTCATTGTCATTTGTGCTGAGGCATGGTAAACTATAGGTTCCAACTGTGTTGGCTTTCGCTGCAGCTCTTAGGCGACGAGGAGGGCAGTTCACAGGCATCAGTTTCTCTGGAAACGACGTTGGGGGAGCCACAGGTAAGTCTGCCCTTATATTTCTAGAATAGCAACTAACTCTTTTTCTTAAATCGCAGTATGGTCGATGCCTGGAGGTTTCACATCCGCTGGTAGAGAAGGTTATCAGGCGGTCGACGATACCGCTGATGTTCCCACACCCAAACATTCGGTGCCCCCTGCACCAGCTCCTCAGAACCCCCAACCCACTCCGGGCGCATACCAATCTGTATAGGGCTGCATGGCACTACTATTTATTTATGTATGATATGAGTATTTATCTACAGGCATCCGCAGTGACTTCGTAACAAAAAGAAACATGAGCATGAAGTCGATAACATAGAAGATAGAGAAAGACGACATAAAAAGTATGCAGGGCAGTCATACCATCAGTCGTATCGCACAATATCAACTGGATCATCATCCGGGACCCATATGCATCCACTCTCCTTCTCTATTCCCTCGCATTCCTGCCATTCGTCTGACATCTCGAACTGCGTGCCTGCTACCCATCGTCTCCAGACCTCCGTGTACCCCTTCTCAATATTACGTACCCAGCGCTGCGTATCGAAAAGAGGCATTTTGTCCCTATTCAGGAACAAGTTGCGCCGAAGCGTGATAACGTCACCTTTGGGTCTCATGAAAGTGGAACCAGAAGGCTTTTGAGTGGATTGGTACTCAACGCCGTTGGCCCAAGTAACCGCTCTCTCTTCATAGTCCTGGAGGTTATTTACAACCATTTGGTCTCCGAAGCCTGTAGCATTCACCATACTTGCGCAGACGCGAGAGCACATCTTGTACGTATGTCGAGGCCAAGTAAGCATGGGGGTGCCAGACCATAAAACACTGACCAATTTGCAATAATGAGTATCTCATCCACGTAAAGGAGATTGAATGTACTCAGAAGCAATCGTGTGGGCGTTACACTATACTTCGTATTATATCCTGGTGTCACATGAAACACTTGTATACGCACCTCGGTGGTATCAAGGAACAGGTCTGCTACCCGGCCTCGGTATATGTGCGCCTCCTTATCAACCACATCACTGAAGCGCACTCTGGAAGCGACTTCATCGCCCGCCCACTGCCGCGCCGTGCGAATGAGGTGCTCCTCGCCAGCACGTGGGAAGCGTAAAAGCCACAAGATACTCCGGGGGACTCGGACGAGGATACGAAGCCAGACAGCGAAGATCTCCTGAAAGAGCCCATTCGGCATAAGGATACTGCGAAATCTTTGAGGCTGGAATATTGACGCACCGGATCTATCTTTGAATACGAATTCACAGGTTCTGTCAAGGTTCAATCAGAAGTAAGATAACATGCGTACCTTATACAACTAAAGATCATCCCAATTCAGCAAATGTATATCATAGCAATCGATGGTACTCACTTGATTGAAGTTCGCGAATATGAAATGATCCCTCAAGGCGCAAACATGTAGCCAATCAGTGGAAACCTATGCAACTTTGTGACTCACTGTGGTAAATCAGGGAACAGTGACTGCCGCAATTCTGCACGTCTGATTTCTTCATCGGTCCACAGCCGTTGAGGGGGTATCTGATGCCTTTGCTCTGGAGAATAAGGTTCGTCGACCCGAAACGATTGCTTATGATCTGTAACCATGAACGAAAACTAGGGTGCCTGTCAAAGGTACACTACTGAAATGCTTTTCGAGGACCTACAGGCATGTATATGAACTTTTCCAAACTGCAAACAGATTCATCAGAAGGCTAGAAGGAAGACACCTCGTAAGACTCACTATATCCAATTCTCCGTCGGGGCTTCCGGGTCCAAATCACCAAAGAGGTCCAGGGAGAACTGTCCTGCATAGTTTCGTTGTGCTCGACGCCACTGTTCTGCCGCCGACATTTCTTGCGGGCATGCCACAGGATCGCAGACGAGGTAGTCGCACCACCCTGTCATCTCATAAATGATGTTATACCGGTGATCTGGCTCACATTTGTTAATGTCACTTACCAGTTCCCAATGTTCCAGCATAGCCCATTAGCTGTATCTGCACCGGACATGGCCTCACAGCAAACACGTCGTTGCGGGCACCTTTAGTATATCCACCAAGATTGATCACTTGCAAAAGACGTGAGCCTATTGTAAACACACATCGTGAATAACAAACAACTCACAAATGTGAATTCGCTTCTTTATGATGTCATTGACAATAGCCTCGGTAGACCAGGTCGATGCATCCACGAAGTGTTCCACATCTTTGGCTATCTTCGGGCGATACGTGGACCCATCCCACTGGCTCGTTGTGTAGAGATATACAACAAAGTGTGAACGGTTATGCATGCCAAAGACTGACTGCATCAAATGAGCCAACGGATGATTGCTGCCCATACTGTGTCAAACTTGGAAAAATGTGTGTTGGGCAAGTGGATACTTACTTCACATCGTTAGAGAGGTAGGCAATCCTGAGCTTTCCCTGGAATGGAGGGCTAGGAGGCGGGTAGACATGTTTTGGCAACCAAGACTGCGTCAAAGCGGCGTAGGATATTCGCAGAGCATGTCTATGGGCTATGAGACGCACCGACCGCGCAGAGAGGGGATAAGTGAACTGCATTACATTAGCTCACGACCGTAACAAAGACATGTGTCAAGCTTGCGTACAGTATTAAAAGGGAGCACGGATGGTATAGCGGGCGGTAGCATGATTTTCGGGAGCTCTGGTCGGAAATAATTATCAGATGCTGTGCAATCCACACTTCCCATCTCCTGGTTGGAGTCATATATTTTCCCGTAAAGGTTGATATACCACCGGCGCTGGAGTCGTGGTTGTAGCCAGTGAATGAAGCGCATGAGGAAACCGCCTTCATTGACCAGTAGCCCTGTTCGGTCTCGATCTTGGTAAAACTGTTGAAACAGCGACCACCACTGATCATGTTCCCCTTGTCGAAGGCTTCGTCCATAACCGCGCTCCGCAATCCTCACCCATTCCTCGGCACTAGTCGACGCGCTGACCACACCAATATTATGCATGTATGCCATATTGATCTGGCTCTCGCATATCTCGACCATTTTGGTTATGTATCCAGGTCTGGCAGGGTCCTCTGGGTTGCCAGGTAGATGAAGGTTCCCATCATTGTCAACTGCGACGTCCGTGCTTAGGCCGCCGCGGCCTCTCCAGTCGCATATCGAGGTTAGCGAACTAACTAGACCACAGGCGGCTTCTGGGAGATCCGGATTGACGCTAACCGCACGGCGGTAGTAGTCAATCGCCTCCCAAGGCCGACCCTGAGTTGACTTGAATATTCTGCGATCTCTGAAGCATGAAGACTCAACTCACTGCATCTTGAATGGCATTTCCGAGGTTCGCAAGCGCAACGTCAAAGTCAGGTTTGCTAGACACTGCTTTGGTGTATAATCTTGAAAAGAAATGAGAGAAATATTGAGCGGACTATGTTGATACACACTGAATAGCCTTGTCGACATGTCCTTGATCTTTATATAGAGACCCGAGGTTGGTCAGGAGATGCGGATGAGTCCCATCTATCTGCAAGCCTGTCTCGTAGTATATCTTTGCCAAAGTTGGGCCGTTCAGGGTATGATGTTCACCTGTGTCATCGGCATACTTTCTTGTCGATGAAACAGTGGCGAGCATGATGCCCAGATTATTGTACGTAGATGGAGCAGGTACCAGCGCGACCGCAAGATAGTAGAAAAGGATACAGAGGGAATGATTGATGTTCACGTAGCCGGGGAATTCGGGTATCTGAACATCAGTAGGACACAAATCTTGATATCGCTTTGCCAGGGTGAGCAGTATTGTGCTGGTCATCAGGTTTGTGTTCTGAAAAGCGTCATCTGAAGAGGGTTGAAGACTGCCACTCTGTAACACTCGATGACATATTGCAGGCAAGATGCCATGTGACGGTTTGAAAAGAAGGACGACCAATCGATCAACTTGATTGGGGGACAAGAGTAAGAAGGGCAAAGCTCCTCCGCCTTCGCGTAACAAAGCGTCGATTAGGGCATTTCCGGCTACTCGGATAATGTGGAAGATATTGAATGAAGGATCATTGAGAAGAATTGAAAATGAAGGGTTCCCGCGAAGATTGAGACTGGCATTTAATCCTTCGGAAAGAGTCCCGTCGGGATCACCGCACATGCTGAGACCCAGCACATAAGACGACAAAATGAGTTCTCGCATGGTATACAGTTCGTCCTCACCATATGGAGAAAGTGGGCGTATCACGAGCTCAACGGCCTTGAAGTAATCGGACGCAGCGTCCTGAACACCATTTGTTCCCATGACACGTAGCGAGGCCGATGTGAAATAAACCCGTTGTAGACGATGTAATTCATTCGGCACCAGCGTGACTTTCAATCGACCTTGTGGATCAGTGACCTCGCCGAGAACAAACTGACAGATATCCATCGCCCGGACATGAAGAGTTGCGCGTTGTTGACTGGATTCGGCCGTCTGCGCCAGAGAGAAAACCAGACCAATCAAGTTGTCCTGTTATGCGACTGAGATCAATGGTGAAAATATAGCGTGGATGGGCCTACTAAGGCATCCCAATATGTAGGATGGATGCGAAGCGCCTTCCACCACCACTCGAAGGCCTGATCATTTTCCCCTAACATCCGCGACGTAGTCCCCATGTTGCACATAGCTTCAGCCTGGAAAAAACCAGAGCGTTACAAAACAACTCGTTAAGTACACGAAAGCTTAACCCACGTAGTTCGGATCAATTCTCAGAATTTCGCGGTTCATCTGCAAACTGCCCTCATAGTCGTCTAACGTATGATACGTGCAGGCGAGGAGCAATAAGAGCGGGATATAAGTGGGATGCAGAGACCTCAGAGTGAGCAAGAGCGGCAATAACCGCAACTTGTAAATGTCTTCGGATACCACAGCATGGGGTAATTGTTGGAACAGAGGAACATGAGTAAGACCTGGCGGGACGTCTGCGCGAGTATCATACAGCCAGTAAGCATATGCCAGTATGGCATCGCGACCGAGACTGGTCGCAATTGAGTTGGAGGTAGTAGCGGCCTGAGGTTGTGCGATGCATGGCAAGGTGGGTAGTACATTATGTTGAGAAGGATCGGAAGTTGGCATTTCACTATTGGACGCTTGAGTAGTGCTGGCTGCATCAACTGAGGGTGGATCTTTGGGTAGAGGATTAGTGCTACTTTGTTGTGCAATCAAAGAGGCCGAATCACCTGAAGCTGCATGAATTGGGATGTGGAAAGGCCTGTATGTTGGGGAAATACTGGACAATTGTGGAAGGACAGATTCGCTATGGTCCATCGAGACGGTGGTAATAGAATCTATACTCCAACTCTGGCGATGGAGTTGGAAATTTCCCCTGGTGTCGCCTGATGTAGTAAGTAATATGTTTGACTCTGGCGGGCCACCGGACCCCAGAAGACCTTCCCGTGCCATGAAGTGTCAGGAAGGTGAACGTTGTTGTATTGGTATAAATGCGCGTGGAAAAATCGAGCTGAAAAGAGCGCCACAATAATAGATGCGAGGCTGCGGCTGAGATACGAAATTGCAGCTTTAATGCTCCAGACGAGAGGTGAGGCCTGAGGTATTGTACGAGAATGGACCGACTAGCGAACAAATTTGTCAGGGATTGCAAGTGACGTAATAGTGTAAGAGCTGGAAACTATCAACAATCGCGAGACTCTCCCTGCGCAGGCCTTAATATAGAGATGGGGACCGTATGGAGTAGTTTCAGTGGATAGGCGTCATTGTCAGGTTTTTCTAAACCGGCGGTCATCTCCACAGAGGTAGATGTCCGTTTGATGTTGGAGTCACATAGGCGCGTGAGAGCGATGTTCGAATACCTTGCAAGGAGAGGGAATCGAACTACCGCATGGCAGCCATTCACGGAAAGTGCTTGGACGAAAAAATAACATTGTCAACAGGCACGCAGTACAAATACTTCGACTGACCTCATGTGTTTGCCTTCGGTTGACCCCAGCCAGTCTTGACGGAGTGAGTACGATACTAGATCCATAATGTTGCTCTGTCTCAAGGATCGCTGCGCAAAAATGACATAGGTGAGTACGTATGCTCTGCAGTTGCTTCCGTTCGGACAAAAAGTTCGACACGGGTCTGGACCAGTGCACCCAAAGTGCACCACAATTTAGGAAGGTGTAGTGGTTGAGATTCGAGATCCATGACGTCGGACCGCCATGACCGAGCAGCTGCAAGTGGGACTCGGGACCACCAGAAACGACCTTGCTTGAGGGTTTTTGATGATAATCGATAGTGTGTCTTACCACCATGTCCAGTACTTTGTTTGCCCAACTTCGCTCGCAGCTTACAGTCGATGTCGATTCTATGGATCCTGCTGTCGCTGCTCGACATACGACTCAGGATGCACGGTTTTGTGATATGACATCCAATCAGGCCATTGTATACAATGAGGCATCACGATCTGAACGGGCAGCGCTGCTACATGCTGCCTGCGAGCAAGCTCAAGCGTCTGGCGTTGACCTTGAGCAGCAAGTCATAGATGCATTGGATCTCTTAGTTGGCATTGATCGGTATCAGTCTGATTGGTTTGAATCTAACATCTACCCAATTTCTAGTCTGTCCTATTGGCTAAGGAAGTCTTCCCGCACCTTACTGGTCGCGTCCATCTGCAAACATCGCCATCTACAGCATATGACACCGAGAAGACCATCGCGCATGCGAAGCGGCTCGTGACGCTCTTTGAGGCCCATGGCATACCCAAGTGAGATCGGTAATCTCATTCTACATCAACACATATGAACTGTGGATAGGTCCCGGGTGTGTATCAAGATCCCCATCACTCCTGAATCGATCATCGCTTGTCAATATCTCGAGAAACTCGGTATTCGGACTCTTGGTACTTGTCTTTTCAGTCTTCCTCAAGCTCTAGCTGCCAGTCAAGCTGGATGTCTCTATGTCGCACCGTATTTCAATGGCAAGTGTCTTCTTATATATATACTTGACATACTTCGAGTTGAAACTGTGAGACAGAGCTTCGTGTACATTTTGAACCAGCACTGTGGAAGGAGTACTCGGATACCATCAAGGAACATCCAGCGATCCCCGTTATACGTTTAGTCATAGCGGCGTACTCACAGCTTGGTTCGAAAACGCTGGTCATGCCTGCAAGGTCGGTCTTTGCTTTGCGTTTATTGAGGCAAAGATTTCACTATAGCTCTACAGTATCGTCACTGCAGAAGAGGTATGTTCCACATGACACTGCATGTTCTATAATCTAAGCCATAATATAAGGTCGTCGCCTTGGCGTCTCTTCGTCCTCATCATCTGACACTATCAGGAGCCGTCCTAGACAAGTTGGCTGCTACGGAAAGCTCAGGCGAAATCCCAACTTCGTCTGAGTTTGAATCATCAGCCTGCCTGCGAGGTCAATTTCACCTGCATCTTTCGAACGCATCCAGTTACTGATTTTCCGTCTGGCATAGGTACGATAAGTGCCGATTACCTCGCTGATGGTGCTGAGGCTCTACGATCATCATTGGCTGCTGACGAAGAGGCCACTCGCAAGTTAGTGGATGCTCTCAAGATTTTTGATGAGAGAGAGCAAATGACCAAGGAGTTGATTCGCAAAGAGTTGACCCATTCTATCAACTAGTCACTGATATAGTGGATTGTGGATGAATACTCTCCCTCGTCCCCTTCTTGCAAAATGATAGACTCCTACAGAAAACATGTACATGAATAATTCAGATAGGGCTTGAGCAACATATGTGAAAACTCACTTGAGAATCGCTATCTGAAGCTGGGTAAACACCCTCCTGGACTTCTTCGACATAATCTTCGATGGCGCTCAAAGCTTCTGTCTTATGTTCAATCTTCTTCCTTTCAAAGAGCCAAGGACAATCCAGTGACTCGCATTGAATGGGTTCTGCCATTGGTGTGGACTGGCAGGAAGAACAAATAGCCTGAATGTTTTTCAGCTTGATTTCCGTTTTTTTGATTCTGCCCAACAGTCCAGTGATCGTCGACTGCTCTTGTCGACGACAGTTCAAACATACACCTGCGCAATCATAATCAGCTTAGTTACAAATTAATAGTTGAGAAGGGAGCAGAAGACAGTTGTACCATATGGTGTAGGTTCGTCACAGGTAAGACAACGTGAGCTCAGAAAATGCTCGTCAATGCTCAATCTATTCGCCATGTCGACATAGTTAAGCGGCTTTCTCGGAGAGAGGAGAAGAGCATCTGGTTGATCTGCACGGAGTATCTTCGGCATCTCGTCGTACCAACTTCGAACATCGGCTCCAACCAAGTTGAGAATACGCTCCAGCGGAGGGACCAGTACCCGAGAGATGTAATATGACGCATCAATGTATTTATGACTAGATGTCTTTCATTAGTACCTTTCCCTAATACTTTATCTTTGCCCATACCTGTCATTCAAGACTTCTTCCGGGGAAACCGCACGGTCCACTAATCGTTGTAGAGGCTTTCCTCGGATAATCACGTACGGAACACGTTCACCGTATTGTGGCTCGTATCCGGGGTCTTCAACCATACGTCGAGCAGCAACAGCGACACCAGGTGGGGGTGGGACCTTGTCACTGTATGTGCCCATCTTGACTTCCTTAGAGAAGACGAAATCTTGCACGGACACTCTATTCTCTAACATCCGTGCCCACGAGTTGCAGCAGTAGTCCTTGACTCGACTAAGGTCTTGTGTCCGAAACAATATCCTAGAGGTTGCCCGGTCAGATGATGTACCATTATTTAGATACCAGAGAGTTGTACCGACTTCAAGCACGTCTCAACCATCTTCTGCTGAGCAGGAACGCCATCTCGACGAACTGTCTCGATACCCTTAGCGTCGAATACAGGTTCGACATCATCCGGATTCTCGAATTTGAACCCGACATAACGCTTTTTGGCCAGAAGAACGCATGGAAGATACACCTAGGGGCCTTGGATGAGACGAGCCCTTACGATGCAAACGATTTGATGAAATACCTTTTCGAACTTCAGTTTGACTGGAGCAGGGTTCATCGCGGTGATAGTGTCCACCATGTCCTGACCGATACGAAACGCCTGCTCCTTGGTCTTTCCGCGCAAATAAACGAAAACCGAGTCTGTATCACCATACACCACTTTCGCTCCCCACTTCTTGGTGGAATCTATAGTGCGGATAGCCTATCAGACGTGATCAGTTTGCAATGGGTGTAGATGGAATATCGTTTTTACTTTCTCCAGTGTTTCTCTTCCACTCTGAACAATCGAGTCTGCGATCTCAACAGCAGGCATACGTCCTGAGAAGGTCGCACTGGTGTAGCCATAAGTGACGTTGGCTATGAACTTGAGGCCTAGTTGTCGAGCATTCAGGATTCTTCCGAGTGCCTACTCAAATGGTCAGCGATCACTTTGCTGAAATATAAGTTATATATGACCTTGTCATCTTTCACCCCCTTCATTGCTTGTTTGACCATTACTCTGGTATCAAGCAATTCCGTGAGCATGCGTCCCAGAAGGCCCTTTCGTACTTCTGGTTTGACGTAAATATGTCCATTAGGTGCCACTAGTACCTCCTAATCAGTAAGTCTGGATGGTCATGCGAGGGAGCGTGATGTACCGTTGATGTGGTCTTTCAGAGTATCGAGTAATCCAGGTGGCTGACGAAGTTCCGTAACGCCAAACTTGTTTTGTCCCTTGAAATCAACGACTCGACCTAAACAAGTAGAATAACAATAATTATATGCGATCATGACGGATGGATACAGTGATTCGAAGTCCAATACAAGGACTGGGCTATTGTAGAATGCAGAGAGTGGCTCCATGATGAGGGGCATACACTCTGCTGCATTCTGCTTGCCTACCTGCTCGAATAGTTAATCAAACTTCATAACCAGAAGGAGCTAACGCTTACGTCTTCTCTACTAGGAGATAATAATACAAAACTTTCGGGCTTGGCTATTCGAAACATGAATGCTTCAACCTTGAATTGAGAACCGCGACTGAGTACAGAGAAGAAGTCGACTCCGTATACGCGGGCGAACTCTCTATGAAAAGCCGTCATAAGACAATGCGAAGATGAGGAAGAATTGGACGCACGCAGTTTTAGTTACAATCTGAGCAATATCAATGATCTCCAGGACCATAGATGTTCGTTGAGCGAAATACCGGAGCAGTCGGGATACGTGCTCTGGGACGTGACTATGGTACCATGATGTCAGAGTGAGAGAAGAGTAGCGGGGTGTCCTGAAGGCAGAATTTAGTATCGTGACTCGGCCAAATGATGATGACATTGACAACATACCGTCTACGAAGAAACTGGAAAACTGTGTGTTCGAATGAGTATGTTGTGAAGTTTTGCTCGGCACGGATGATGCGCCACAAATTCAAGACGTGCCGTCCAACGACTTTGAAGGTGGATGTTGTTCGCATGCCCCATCTGTCGATCCTCCCGCTCGACGTACGACTGGGCGCTCGGGACAGATGCTCGTCAAGCTCGAATTCTGTTTACATGTTACTCCCGAAAACAACATAGCTAAGAAATATACCCACCATACATCTTAGCCCGGGCATTCAAATAGCCCCATGAGGCAGCTTGAACATCCCATCCTACAACGATGTCAGGATCGAGTTCTTGAACAACGTCAACTACTCTATTGAGCAAATCCAGTTCGCTCCCCACGACATCAAGCGACCAGTCTCGGAGTTTACGCGAGGCGATTTGCGGCTTGTCGACGACGACAACGCCCGACTCGCAGGAGAAAGAGTCGTTCAGTTGAGAATCCGAGTCGTAGAAAGACCAAAAGACAGCTGCTACTTCATCCTTTCCAGGATCTGGCAGCTTCCCATCACGCGAAGGTGCTATGAAGTCTCGTCAGAAATCAAGGCCGAGAATTACACCAAGCGTCCACTTACCAAATACCTCGAGGGCAAAAATCTCCATGTTACCCTTCTCCCTCATAGAAGTGGATTTCTGTGGAGCAATTGTAGGATTCATCCCGTATGGATTTGCTTGAGTGGGCCCTTCAATCTGGAAGAATGTCAGCTACATATGATACAGCATGCGCAACATGACAACCTCACCTGAGAGTGAACCTTTGGCTTAGCCTTGATAGACAAGGCTGCACCTTCTGCTCCAAGCCATCGCCGCACCTCCTTCACGCTAGGAGGGACACTGGCATATTCCCAGCCCCAGATATTCGCCTCAGGGCCACCTAGTTGGGTTTGACGAGGTACGATATCCGTTGTCTCCTGATCGGCACTTGGCACCCATTCTTCTAGGGTGGCTATTCCCTCGCCGCCTTGGAGATTGTAAACCAAACCGGCATATTCTCGAGGGTGTTCCGGTGCGTCGCTTTCTACAGAATAATAGGGATGGCGATATATTTTGCTTGGTAAACCAAAATCGTCGAAGCTGGAAGCGATGTATGAGGTCGATGGTGGCTTGATGGCATATTCGTAGCAGTTCGACATGGACTTGAGACTTTCAGAAAGTGAGGTATACGTTTCTGCGACGTGTTCGACTGGTCTTTCATAGCGAGGTACAGTAGCATTGATCAGTAGATGCTCTGGTTCTGGTGCGAAAGGATTGAGGTCATCGTCCCCTACGGTCAATTTAATCCGCTTGGTGGGCCTTTCTTCCACATCTTTTGCACTATTGTTATCCGAGGTATCTCTTTCGAAGGAGACATTTGTGGGCGAATAAAAATCGACTTCGGTTTGTTCGTGCCGGTAAGATAAACGTTGGGTGCCATTGGTATTATTCACTGCCAAGTTCGAGTCCGAGTCTGTTGTGGAGTCCGACGTTGTGTCATCTTCTTGAACTTGCCCTGCAGCATCAGGATGTCGATGTCTGCTTTAAGTGTCAGTATGGATTTAACTCGAAGACTGTGCCTTACCTTTTGGTTGATGCCTCTAACTGCTCATATAGCACCTGTGCTTTGATATTTGGCGACAGCCCACTAGTTCGCTCATTGTCAGTTGAAGTTCATAAGGATCCAACGATACCGACCTGGCAACTTTCGCTCTGGGTGTGCGATCCAAAAAGGGATTGTCAGGCGACGCATCGTATACAGGTCCGTTCTGAGGTAGTTCTATGGGAGGTTGAACTCTCGGCGGTGTGGTCGGAGCCGCAGTTGAGGCTCGTGATCTGGCAATTCAAATGAATATGAATTGCGATGACTTGATCAATAAAGCACAGACCTAGCCGGGCTGATATCTGAAGTTACCGAGGGAAAGCGAGGTTGCGGAGCACTGTCGATTTGGTTAATTGGCAATAAATGACAACGTTTCGTTCTTGACGTACCCCACTAGTTTGGCCCACGCCCTTTGGAATGCATTTGTTTTCTGGACTGTTGAGGCCCTGGTTGGCGTTCTGAGTTCACTTTTCGTAGGACTGTAGTATATAACAGCGTCAATTTCCAGGAACGTTGCCTTGGAATTTTAGATGTACCTAACCGGCTGTACCAGCTCATCCACCTGATCTTCATTCTCAGCGGTATCGTCTTCTGGGATTGTGTCTTCACGTTCTTGTTGACCACCTTCCGCACGGTCCCACTGTATGTCTTCCATTTCAAGGTGACCCATGCCCTGACTGGATAGAACAACTTCATCGACCTCCAGCTCGACGTCTCCACCCTCGCCACCATTTTCTCGCCTCTCAGAGATGCTACTCGCTGAAAGGGAATATGGATTCTCCTGGGCCTCCTCTGTATCTGTCTTGGAAACAACTATTACTGCAGCATCTTTCTGAATTGCGGGTTTCCATATCCTCCATGGTCCCTCCCATAGAACTTCCACACTTTCGAACGTCGTCATAACCCATCGTTCCCATTCACCTCCGCCGGAAGGAGGGAGAGCTTGATCGCGTTCGCGTTCAATACGCTTTCTGATCTCTTCCCACCATCTTGCTTCAGCAACCCAGTGAATATCCGGTTGTCTCGATTGCGCGCTGCGATCCTTTGGAAGGACAGGCGTAGGTTGCAGTCCTTTCGCCATGCGACGTTGACGTTCATCCTCCCACAGTTCACGCACGCTCAAGACTAAAGGTTCTGACGGCATAGGAGGACCTGGAATTTTGAGCTCATGGTGTAGGTTGCGCGACGACATGTTGTGTCGATTCAGAATCTGGTGTGCGACAACATCCAATTCAAGTGGCATGCGACTTTCGCGGAAGTACGGGGATGGTTTGAATGCTGTTGCAGCTGAGTCTGGGGAGTTGTCCGTGTCATCATCATCTTCGTCTTGTCCTCGTTGCCAGGTTTCAGCGAGGTCAATCCAACCACAGCCATAGAGGCCGAAGTCGCACAAGAACTGTAATATATAGCTGAGATGACTTTCATATATGCGGAAACGAGTTTTCATGACAGAGCCGGACTGCAAGATTGTGACCGCACGTTGAGAATATGCAGGGTCGGCAACTAGTATCTTCAAAAAAGGTGAATACGAGGAGTGGAACCCATAGAAATGCACTCCTTTGACGAGAATTATTGCACGAATGAATTTCGAATTGGGCGAACTTGGATTGCGTTTCAGAGACAGGGCAATTGCGTGGTTCAAAGAATGTATGAGCCTGGCAATATACTGATTGACTGTGATGGCGTCAGCCAGCTGACTCAGAAAAGCATTCTGATGGACTCACCACTGTCAGGGTCCGTTTTGCCAATATACTCAATGAAAAAATAAGGGTATACTTGATGGACATGAAGGCAAACCTTCTTCCCTAAGGAAGACTTGCCATAGATTCGAAGAATGGGTGCCCGTGCTAAAACCGGGTCATCGAGAGGACCGGCCTTTGAGACCGTAGAATCAATTTGATTGATCCTCACACGAATTGTAGGTGATTGAGTGTTCATGACAAGTCATCTTCTGAAAGTTGAATAGACAAGCCTTATATGCAGTCCAAACAAGGGTGAGATTGTAGGCTCGCCAAGTACGCAGGGACAAGACAACGCGCGGGTAAAGTGAGGTCAAACTGAAATTGGCCACGCGAAGTGTGTAGACTTGTTTGCGCCGCGTCGATCAATGTGTTACACCATCCTGTCACAGTGCTTAGGAACGTATTGAAGTAAGCCTCGGACAGCACGCGTACAGTGCATAAAACATTTCGATACATGGAATCGAGAAAAACATTGTAATAGTACGAAACACCTTTGTTATCCTTAGTATACTTCCGTGGTCGCTAATTTCTTACTCCAATACTGTCAAAACCTGCTGTCCTGTCCATGTCTGCCCAACATCCAAAGAAACGAATCCCCGGACATATCCTGGCTCTACACAGACATACTTCTCCCTTAAGAAGAATCTGGTCAGCGAGAGGTTGAGCAAAAGAAGTGAGATCCACATACCATCCGCCAGTCTCCATGTCGCCGATCTTGGAGCCAGCTTCGGCCTGCGGGTTCCACACAACAACATTGGGGAAGTTCTTCGTCTTGATCTCCAACTTTCCGGTAGGAGATGTTACAACATATTTTCCGGGGGCGTTTTCGTACACAAAGTCTGTGAAGTTCTGGACGTCAACTGCAGGGCGAGTCTCTGTCTTCGCTTGAGCCTTCAACTCTTCGGTTGGCTCAGTCTTGTCATAATACGTCACCCCATGCAAAGGTGTAATTACAACTTCATCTGCCGGGGCGCGAATGTAGTTGTGGAAGAGTGCCTGGAACTCCAGATGACCGGTAGTGGAGAGTCCAGTGTTCTTGACGTGTAAATTGGTGCTGAGCTGATGTTCGGCCACAGTAACTACGTAGGCGAGTTCAAAAGGTCTCTCGTATTTCTCCTTGATACTGGCAGTGGGTTCCAGTGCTAATTGACGAGTGTTGTGAATCAATGAGATCATGACAGTGGCAGTATAATAACTAACTGAGACGGACTGAAACGCCTGCCTCATTGTCCATCACAATTCCTCCAAACTTCCAAATTTCACTTCTAGCGAAACCATGCTGGGGAAGTTTGGCATGATCCGGATGCGTCGGTGCACCGAAGCATGGGAATACGACAGGGATGCCGCCGCGCACAGGCTTGGAGCCATCTAAAGCAGCCTTGGAAGATACGAACAGCCTCTCAGAGGGTTCAGCGTTCGTAGGAGACGGAACCTTCCAAGATATCACTGTAGCACCATAGTATAGGATCTCGGCGGATGCACCCTGTACAGGCAATCAGTCAATCATAGGAACACGAAGGTTGCACAGGGTATCTGTACATTGGGATGCTGAAGAATGATTCTGTCTTGTTTCTCGACGACTGGCATGATTTATGGTACTGAGACTAGCTGGGAACAGAGGTTGGAGGTTGCGTTGTATGCATGCATTAGTTGCTTCATCAGGTATATATGTCACATCGGCCAATGACGACAGTAGCTGAGGGGACTTCACTACAATTGGCGGCTATCTACCAATCGACCCGGCCCTAAACACTGTTTATATGCGGTCAAGCGAGGCGGCTGCAACTTGACATCCTACTCATCACTGCTTCATCCAGGCTTCATCGATATTTTCCGACGAACCTCTACCACATTCTCCTCCATGGCGGACACCAGGCCTGGGGGTTGACGTACAGATGCATACATACTATCTCGCGGCCACGTATCAGGCATATGCTCACACCAGAGCTAGACCACGCATATATCGTCCACTCACAATGTTGTCATATCAGACAGTCGCAACGACCCGGCCTTTGGCCCCGTATTTGAATCAAAGGAAAACATGGTGGCTTCGTACCCGAGCATACGAGGCATGGTTGAGTACTATGCTGTCGATGTTCGCTGCGTGGTTTCCACGCAGGCGAAGCGGAAGCCATGAGCAGGCAAATGAGTTCGTTTGACGTTGCTTGGTGCTCTTATTGTTTTTTTTTTTTTTTTTGCTCCAGGCGGACCAGAGATTGCATTGTTGTTGTTGTTGTTGTTTGCTACTCGCACAAGCCACACGCATGTATGGCTCTAGCTATCCTGGCATATCGTATCTACATCGGTGCCGAATCATCTTTTCGCGTTCTGTTCAAGTTGCACCTGCACCAACTCTGAAGATAACCAAGCCTTCGTGATTTCGTCATTCGGTCACGCGAGATGTCTCTGCTGCATCGTCGCTGGCCGTGTGCGACATGGTCGCGCAACGAAGTTTATGCTAGGCCACTCACGATTCCGCTGTCGAGTTTAGCATGTGAAATAGGGTTCCTCCTAGATATACGAGGACATGTTCCTGTGCAGTCTGTTAGACTACACTGTTGATCTGTTTATCGGTGTCTACGTATTCTGCACTTCTGCCGGATGCGTTCGCGAGGAATGCCTTGATGGCAAATCTTATCCACCCTGCTCTACCACGGACTCACTCAATTTCATCTTCCAGACAAGACGTTCAATCTCTTACAGAAAGCACATCGGGTCATCCCTCCGGTTCGCCTAGGCTTGCTTCCCATTTCTATCAGCTGTTCTCACCATTTTCTGTCTGCTAGCCAAATGCACTGCGGTAACATGTGTGTTGCCATTCTTGCAGTGCTATGATAGGCAGTGAGCGATACGCTTGTTCGTATTGCGCCTTTGGATAGGACATCTGTCCTGCCGCCTAATTTTTGGACACCCCCTTCTTCTTCGTGAAGAGTTTTCTAGTCTGTACGAGTAGCGATAGTGCAGTAATTCAGATGTTATATTCAAACGTACTGCTGTCCTTGGACTGTCACCATTGAATGAATTGTAAGACTTGAGAGTGCGATCGTTGAGTGCTTTGGGTCTGTGCGTCTAGGCTCACGCGCGTCGCGTGGCGGCTTGTTCGGGGTGTGATAGCGATCCAGTCAAGCTTCAACTATATTCTTTGCTAACCTCATACCCTCATCTGCTAAAACAAAACATCCACGCCTCATCTCAGAACCTTCACAGTCTTTCTTACCCAGGTTTGATTGTCTGCCCTCCTTTTAACTCGCACACGATCTGACAGGGGATCAGACCAGAGACTTGCCATGGATCCAGGATTCTCTGTGGACGAGGTACGGTCATGCTTAAGTTTGCTTTTGCTTTTGTTTACACCATAGTTCAGATTGCACCGATTGCCATTCTCATGGATGAGCTTCGGTCAGAAGATGTGCAACTACGACTCAACGCTATTCATCGCGTCTCCACCATCGCCCTTGCCCTTGGACCTGACCGAGCCCGGGATGAGCTTATACCCTTTCTTCAAGATTCCATAGACGATGAGGATGAGGTTCTGCTGGCACTGGCGGAGGAGTTGGGAAGGAACTTTGAGGAATATATTGGTGGACCCGAATACGCACATTTGCTTCTGGGGCCCCTAGAGAATCTCTCCGCTGTAGAAGAAACGCTTGTCAGGGACAAGGTGAGTCCATGAATGCCTTCCTCCCCTCATCATTGCGATGGGGCTACTCCGTCCATTATGGCTAACGTCTTCACTCCTTTTTAGGCCGCCGAGTCAATCACCAAAGTTGCAGCTGTCATGAGCCAGCCGCAAATCGAACAATATTATATTCCCCTTCTCCAAAGGTTGTCGAAGGGGGAGTGGTTTACCTCACGAACGTCTGCTTGTGCGCTATATGCTGCAGTGTATGATCGTGTTTCACCCCCCATCCAGGACGAGCTTCGCAGAGGGTATGCACAGCTGGGATCTGATGATACACCGATGGTTAGACGAGCGGCGTCCAGATGGCTTGGTGTGCGTTCTGGAGCACTATGTTAACGGTACACCTACTGACAGCAGTGTTGTTCAGTCTTTGATCAAGAAGTTCGCGAAACAACATGTCCTATCTGATGGCCTGAGCATTTACCGCAAATTGCAATCAGACGACCAGGACTCCGTCCGCCTCCTGACGGTCGAAGATCTCATCGCTATCGTGCAGGCGTTGTCTCCGCCAGAAATCAAGGAGCAGCTTTTGAAACAAATTAGGCAGACAGTGTCGGACAAGAGTTGGCGAGTAAGGTACATGGTTGGACAGCACTTCAACGAGGTACGTGGAACATACCAAATCGATCTTGACTGGATTCGCACACGTAATTGCAGCTGGCCGAAGCCGTTGGGCAGGAGTTGGTAAGGGAAGAGCTTGTTGGACATTATGTCCAGCTACTGAAGGACAATGAAGCCGAAGTTCGCAGTGCTGCCGCCACTCAAATACCTGGTGAGTGTATCATTCGTCACTGTCAATAGGCCGATTTCCTTAATTTCGGTCTCCTTACTTTTTTAGGCTTTTCTAAGCTTCTTGAGAAGGAGATTATTTTGGCGCGGATTGTTCCATGTGTGCGGGACCTCTGTCAGGATAATTCGCAGCATGTCCGAGCCGCACTTGCGAACCAAATTAGCGGGCTCGCGCCACTGTTGGGACGCGATGCTACGATCGAGCACCTTTTGCCTCTTTTCCTGCACTTGCTCAAGGACGAGTTCCCTGAGGTGCGGCTGAATATCATCAGCAAGTTAGAACAAGTCAACACTGGTACGTCGTCCGATCTTTTATTAGCTGCCTAACACAGCGGTTGAGATATACGTTTTTCCAGTCATCGGGATTGATCTTCTGTCCGAGAGTCTTCTCCCGGCCATCATCGAATTGGCAGAGGACAAATCCTGGAGAGTCCGGCAGGCCATCATTGAATACATCCCCCTTCTTGCCACCCAACTCGGAAAATCTTTCTTCGATGAGCAGTTGGGCAACCTGTGTATGTCATGGTTGGGTGACAATGTCTTCAGCATCCGAGAAGCCGCAACCGTCAATCTCAAGAAGCTCACTGAGGTGTTCGGCGTTGAGTGGGCGAAGGTGCAGATTGTGCCGAAAGTGGTCGGAATGGGTCAACACCCGAACTATCTTCTCCGTATGACAACTGTTCAAGCAATATCAGTAAGATATTTTTTTATTATCTTCCTTCCTTTCGGTTCATCATGTTAACTTGTAATTTTCAAAGACCATCGCCCCTTCCCTGACTCTTGACATTGTCAGCGGTGATATACTGGACACATTGTTGCAGCTGGCTCAAGATCCCATCCCGAATATCCGTTTCAACGTTGCTAAGTCACTCGAGGTGCTGGCGTTAACGTTTGGGACCACGGCAGAAGGTCGGCAATTGATTGTGCAAAGAGTCGTTCCCGTCCTTGAAGCGCAGAAAAGCGACCCTGATGCAGATGTCCGTTACTTTGCTTCGAAGGCATTACAGAAAGCCCATGCTGTGGAGGCCGGAGGTAAGTGATATCATTGTTTGTAACAAGGTCGCAACTGATGTTTTGATATTTCAGCTTGAGTTGGAGATTATGGTTTGCTTGATAGAGGATGCGTTCATAGCTGTCCGATTTTCTGTTGGGACGGCTTTTCTACCATCTTGTACGTTTGGCCTCCGCGTTTGCATGGTACGAACTATTTACCAGAGTTTAAGAATAAGTTTGTAGTGTATAAAGATTCAAGATTTCTTTTTCCCTATTTTTGGTCCACGGCGACCTTTGCAGGCTGTCCTGATGATACCAGTCGAGGCCGATCGAGGCACTCTGTATTTTCCGTTCCTCAATATGCAGTTCCTATCAGAGAGAATTTGTGGTGGACGACCGGACATCTTGTGGTTCTAGCTTATACAACATTTCCAGAATCCGAGGTAGCCATGGCGATCAGTACACTCCAACTTCTGTGCCTTTTAGTGTGTCTTTCCTCCTTGTCGGAGACCTCCAATCGCGTACTAACTTTTGTGTTGCGACAAAAAAACATTTATGACCCACGGCGTCTCCAACTTATCTCCGGCGAATATTCTGGCTTCAATCAGTGATACATGTCTGACTTCTCTGACTGTCGCAGGATGACAGTGGTGCTGTCAAACGGGCCCACAAGTGTACGCTGTAATGGTAACAGAATCGTTCCAGACCCGTGTGAGTGCGGGCCCCCTTTGCCACATTTCGCCTCTATCGGCCGGCGGTAATGCCTCAGATCATAGCGATCGAAAGATGGATCACTATTTGACGCTGCCTCCCGTCCTGTGTACCTGTCAACGCCAAGTACGTCGCTTACTCTGTTTCAAGTTTAAGGCCTTAAGGTGTCTTGTCGACTCCGTACACACTTCCTAGGATCTTAAGCTCTTACGTTTTTTACTACTGATATTGAACAGGGACAACTTCTAGACGATGTTATTGTTTCCAATACAAAATACAACATCCTTACGGAAATGATTAGAACCGCATGATGCCCGCGTTTTTTATATCCCCACCCATTGGCACCCAATCAAACGACCTGATGGTATTTCCCACAAGTGGCCTTCTCAATGTAGTCATCTGTTACAGGAAAGTTCTTCGGATGTTGCCAAACAAGCGACTTTTATGTTGCCTTCATAAATCAAGATAGCCGTGCCCCTTGTTCCAACACCCATTCTCTCTTTTTCCCTCTCTTCTCTGTGTTCCTAGTCTGTCTTTATTCTGTACGATCCTCTACTATGGCTCTCCTTTCTCGCCTTCTCTTGGTTGCCCTCGCCATTCCTTTTGTCTTGGCTCATAACGGAGGTGACTCCAGCTCTAAGTCTGACAAGGACTGCAGCTCCGGCGAGTTTTAGTGCGTTTTGTTGCAAGCGATTTTTTCCGTTCTGCGTCTAACGTCAAGATGAAGCTTCAAGGATGCTGACTGTTGCGTCAAACGGGGCGGTCAACCCAACCCGCCTGCTCCTCCTAAAGACACCCAGTGTCCTACCAATGGTTGGAACTGGCATTCTGGGAAGCAATGCTGCGTACCTCACAATCCTCGTGATGAGCAACCAGCACCTCAGTGCGCTCAGGGTTGGAACTGGGATGGCCAACACCTGAAGTGTACGCCGCCTACTTCTCCACCCAAGTCCACTCCTCCCTCTATTCCTCCGCCCTCCACTCCTCCCCCTTCGACTCCTACACCTTCCAAGCCAGGCAACTGCGACAGTGGTTCTTTCTAGTAAGTCCTTAGTTGCTGCAGTCAATATCCATTACTGAACATCCGTATGACCGTAGCTTTCCCAAGAAGGACTGCTGTCTGCCTCAAGGCGGCCAGCCAAACCCACCTGCTCCTCCCAAGGGCACTCAATGCCCTCCTTCCGGATGGAGCTGGCATTCTGGTAAAGGATGTTGCGTTCCCCACAGTCCTCCTGGCCAGCAACCTCCTCCTCAGTGCCCCAAAAGTTGGGACTGGAACGACAACGATTTGAAGTGCTATCCTACGCCTCCTTCGACCCCTACCCCTCCCCCTAGCAAGCCCTCTAGCATCCCTGGCAAACCCGGATATGGCGGTCATTATAAGCGTCACTCAAAGTCGCGCGCGGTTAGTCTTTGCCCCAGTGGATCAGAAGCTTGCCCCACCAAGGGCCTCACCGGTCTCAGTGGAGACTACGAATGCCTTGACACTGCTGTCGAGTTGACATCGTGCGGTGGATGTGCTTCCACGGGTGCTGGACAGGATTGTACTGCGATCAAGGGAGCCTGGAATGTTGGTTGCGACCAAGGATCGTGCCGAGGTGAGTTGTCCCGTAACGTTAAATGCTATCATCGTACTGAGTTGTTATTCAGTCTACACCTGTGCGCAAGGATACAGGCGCTCTCTGGACGGCAAGTCCTGCACAAAACTCTAAAACGACATTCTTGAGTCCATCAGTATGAGGGAGAAACATACATATGGACACCTAATCGTCACATTGCGAATATCTCTCTTTCCTAAGTCACATTCTTTTTATATACACATTCCTTGGACATTTACGGACTTTTGGCGTCGGATTATTGAACCGCTGTGGACACTATTGTTATGAACTTCAAGGCCATTCTTGGCGATGCATGATTAGCTTTCGCACTCGACGCCTGTATTCATGCTTGCTATCGCTCCTCGTCATATCGAATAGCCTATTTCTACTGTTGATATTCCTTGGGCTCCATTCTTGTGCTACGACCTTAGTGTTGATCGTGTACTCGTATGTAGTCTGTCGTGCTAGTGGATTGATATCAGGGCTCCACTGATGGTTTCGCTCATAGTTTTCCGTGTCCTGAGGCGTGATATCCGTTGTGAGATATTCAGTCACTTTGTATGAGTTATAAAGCGCATTGCTTTCTATTGCTTGACTGATATCTGCCAACTCAGGCCAAAGTGAGGCTTTGAAGCAAAACGCTATGCCGAGTCGGATTCCCGACACGGTCACATGTGGGCCGACGCGTCGTAGACGCCGCTGAGTGGCGGGGACCAATGGGAAGGCGCCGAAGCAAATAGAGTTCAGGTTCTGTCACGTCGGAGAGTATATAAGATGTTCAACTTCCAACCTGTCGTATTCGCTTGTTGCACCCCAACTACCACCTTGTCCTCTCGGTCTACTCTATTCTTGTTTTAATTATCGCGCTAGTCGCCTTTACGCCCTTTTGCCCATCAAAGTCAAGCCACGCCGTCTACTTCTCAAAACAAGATGTCTTCCGCAACTCGTCGTCTTTTACTCGCCTTCTACGCCATCGCGCTGGCCGCTCTTTTTCTCGTTGGAACACCCCTTGCCGTCCTGCCTGCTGCCGCTTCGCCTCTACCCCTACCGCTTGTGACCTACTTCGCGCGCGAATATCCTTCGGACTATTCCCTCAACGCTAAGCCTCGGACTACGCCCGTCAAGTATGCGTTCTCCAGCGCCTCTGAATCAGATGTCTTCTCCGCCAATGAGACCTCCGTAGACCGACGCGATATCAACACAACCCTTGGCAACATTAACATTCTCAATAACTACTGGACACAAATGACTCAACATGCTGACAATTTCCGTAAGTTAATCTTTACCTTAAATGACTACCGCTTTCAGCTGACACCCTATTGTTCAGGATCATTGTCTGCTCGACGACCCTCTCGGAATGAGGATATCACTGAGTTCTCGCAACAAAGCTCTACCGAAGTCACTGGATTCCAGGATAATCTCTCGGGCTTCAGCGGTATCCTTGGTGAACTAGCTGCTGACAAGGGATTGGCCAACTACAATGAAAACGACGCATTAGAGATTCTTCTGAAGAAGACTGTGAATGCGAACAAGGACTTGTTGAAGTCTATCGATGAGGGCGTGTATCAGATTCCAGGATTGGGATCGACACTAGGACCTAGTGAGTTCAATAACCCTAACACGTCTGTCATTTCTCTCATGCCTTTTGTATTCAGTCGTTTATGAAATCAAATGCATCCTTGACGAAATACTCGATGCTGTTGAAAACCTGTCGGATGCCGTCCTGAATGATCTTCAACTTGCCTCACTGTACCGCGGTCTCATCGCTGACGCTTCAAAGACGGCGTGCAATTCCGGTTTGCAGATTATTGGCCTGTGTATCTTGCTATGAGCCTTGATGGACTAACGGACCAATGGACTTGTGGCTTATTGAATTCTTACATTTCCAATTCCTTTGTATGGCTGTTTACGAACGCTGGCAGGTCCGTGTATTTGTATCGAGTCTTCGCATCGTTGTGTATCCTCTATTACATCACTATGTTCCGTTGTGTTCGCAGCTTTTGTATCCAATGCGTTCTCTATTTCCCTTGACATCGTACACTCTACTGTGCAGTGTGAGGAACATCGCCAACCTTTGCATTCCGGTTTGAAAAGCAAATCCAAATTGTTTCGCAATCGTGCGTCGTCATCAGATACTTACCTTTGAAAGGTACGTGTGGTGCTGCACTGCTGAGTTCTGCGGGTCCGAAAAGGAAAAAGGATGTATATCTGAGGAATAAGCTATTCTTCAGAGACCCAACGGTCCGCTAGGGGACCAATACCAGGTAGCTGGAAACGTGCAAGTCCATTATGGGCCGCGTCAATATATGCTCGCCATCTGAAAACAACTCTTCAGCGATGGACTTTCAGATCCGTCACGAGAAAAAGAACGTACGCCATGTATACCAATGGAATAACAAGGAGAAACGTGAGTATCGTGCGAACAAAAGAAGCGAAACCCAGCAATGAAGCAAGGATGCGTAGAACGAGAAATGGAGTGGAAAGCAAAGCTGACTGGTACGCTGAAGGCGATGGCAATATTTTAGATGATATTTCATGTTAGCAATAAGAAGCTTACCGTGGAATCGAACATAGTCATTATGCGTTTCTACGATCAACAGGATGAGAGCTACACAATCCTCATCAACAACAGCGCGTGAGTGAAACAGAGGTTTGAATGGGCGTACCAGATACCGGACCCAGAAGATACGCTAAAGCTGCGAGAAGGTCGACACGAGCGCCGTATCTGGTCTCCCATGCAGTTGTTCCACCGGCAACCTCAGCATCTTCTACGGCACCTATACCACCTGCTTGGGACGTATTGAATGTGGGTATTCCTCCTGACTGATATGATGTCACATGTTGCGGAGGAAACCAAGCTTTTGTAGGGGAGTGCTTCGATGATGATGCATAAGATGGGTCGTCAGGAGGCGGGGTCTATTAGGCAGCAAGTAGACATTTCAGCTGGTGGAGCTATTGGGTTGGTTGCAAACGGGACCAGCTCACATAAGGTGCGAACGAGGAAGCAAACTTGGAGGAACTCATGTACAGTAGGTATGTCGTGGAGAGAGACAAAGAATAAGTTATACAGGACAGCGTGCAATATTTGCAAGGGTATTGATTGCAGTCGACTTCAGAGTTCGAGTTGAGCGTTCGCGTTAATGAGAGCTCCCTCAGCGTCGGGGCGGAGTGCTGCGGCCCGCCCTCCAAAATGTTTGGACCTGTTTACGCGGCTTCTTCATCGGGAACTGCCGATTCGCTGGCGCAGCACTCACGCAAAAGAAGACGTCGTACGGCCTGTCGACGAGAAGGTAAAATAACCCCCGGCACAGTCAAGAACCATGGTGAGTCTATGTCCCATTGCGTTGCTGAGACCATGCAGGTTCGTCGCCGTGAAAGAACGACGCAGATTGCTGAAGATCTCGGCTGGATGCATGCGATCGCACTTGGATGTACACCCTGACTGGACGTATCGCTAACTGCTTGCTTTGCTCCTATGTCCCTCCAGGCCGACGCCCCGGTAACCATTCGCACACGCAAATTCATCACTAACCGACTTCTCGCCCGCCGTCAATTCGTTGTCGATGTTCTCCACCCATCACGACCAAACGTTTCCAAGGCCGAGCTTTCAGAGAAGCTCGCCGCTATTTACAAGGCCGATAAGGCACGCGTAGTTCCTTTCGGCTTCAAGACCGTCTTTGGTGGAGGACGGAGCACAGGATTTGCACTTATTTACGATGACGAGGCATCGCAGAGGAAGTTTGAACCCAAGTACCGGTTGATTCGGGTGCGTAATCAGGTTTTTTCCTGCTCATTCTCAAACTGATCTCGCTCTGGAAAAAGTCCGGTCTTGAGACTGCGCCAGTGAAGACAAACCGTAAGCTACGGAAGGAGCGCAAGAACCGTGCGAAGAAGGTGCGTCGAAGCAGCGCAATGAACTTCGCTCCCGATCTCATTTTCGTTTTCACAGCTCCGTGGTACCAAAAAGGCCAAGGCTGCCGAACCTCCCAAGAAGGGCAAGTAATGGTTGGGCGCCGCCGGTCTTTTTCATTATGGGCTTCTTCATTTGTCGCATTGCATACCGCCATCTCTGCAAAAGCTATCCGCCTCTGTACCTTATTGCGTATGCTTCTTCTCATTCCCACTTATCATGAATCTTATGCGCATGCGGAAAACATCAAGTTTAATGTGTGATCAAAATGAGGTGTTAAGCTTCATTACGCCATGACTCTACATTGAGGGTATCATATTGCAACCATAGGATATGTGCGACAACAAAGGAATGAAAAGAAAGTAAATCCACTTATCAGAAACCCAATTTCTTGTGGATTATATCCGGGTCCTCCTGGTACTCCTCAGCGGAAACCCACATCTTCGCACGGCAATACGTCAATAACGAACGCTTCAGATACAATGAAGAAAAGATACTGACCTTCCTGAAGGTATTCAGGCCGGCCAAAATTGAACCACCTATCCAAGTAGAGTACTTCCGTTCTGGTGGTGCGAAGATCTTGATTTTGACATCCTTCAATGCAAGCTTCTTCACTTCATTGAGTAATCGATCCCCGAATCCTGCAACGGTGTGAGCAACCAGTGGATAGTCCACCCTAAGAAATCACCAACCCTTGCAAAGCGTGCTACCTCCGCTGAGCACGATGTTAGAGAAGAGACTCTTCCGGAGATCCAAGTCTACCCGGTTGATAGCGTCTACCACAACTTGATGTACTCCTGCGTATTCCTGACCTATAAGCTCCGGGTTGAATAGAATCTCGGGCGCGCGGAACCGCTCTGGCCCAAGCTATCACCTACGTCAGAACGAAGACGATGAAAGGTTGCAAGCTACTCTAACCTGAACAGTATTGCCATCCGGGAGGCGGAATTCTTCCCCCCGACCCTGCGCCTCTTTCTCTTCCTTTGCTGGATTTAGGGCAACATAGCAGCATTTCTCCTTGATCGTCCTGACAACCTCCCTTTCGGCCGTGGTATGCAGGTGGTGACCGGCCTTCCGCAAGAGTAGCTGAAGGTGGTCAGTCACGTCTCTACACTAGAAATATCGGTATACCGCCTTAATGGGAAGGACTGAGAGACAACTGACCGTCCTGCGATGTCCACCCGTCGGATTGCGTGTGGCATTGAGAAGCCCTCGAATACTGGTACAGCATGTGTTACACCGTCGCCTGAATCGAGGACAATACCAGTTGTTCGACCTGTAGAGTATCTGTGAAGCGTGGTTAGGTACCGCCAGGCGTATGCAATGGTAAACATACAATGAAAGTACAGCTTGTACTGAAATGAAAAGAGCTGGAACGTTGAATGTATCGAAGAATATTTGAGCAGCAATCTCCCGGTTTTGTCGAGGATTTAGAGGCGCTTCTGTAAGTAGTACGGGATGCTTTACAGCATGTATTAGGACATTCGTTATAAGGGTGTACACTAGTCCAATACGTACCTCTTCGCTCAGCGTTCCCAGTTCCTCAGCATACACCCAATTCCATATTCGTTCCATATCGTCCCAGTCCGTCACGATGCCATGTTCCATAGGATACTTGATTTTAAGCAAGCCTCGGAATTCTTGTGCTTTCCGGCCAATAAAGACATCACCTTCTAAAGCACCAGCCATGACCCGTATATGTTTTGGTCGGCCAACGCTATGCACCCAAGAGGTAAAGACATTAGTCTCAAGGTCTTGAGCCGCATGAGATGGCTCTAACCGTAGAGACGCACAAAGACGGGAAGAAACATTTCGGATGATCTTGTCCTGCAAAGCCTGCTTTGATAGTCCCAGAACCCTAGAGATATTATCGCGTTAAGTAAGTCGGTCGACGCGTCCATGGCGGGTACGAACATTGTCGATCACGACAGGTTGATTAGTGAGGACATCCTCGTACTCGGCCGACATTCTCTGAACCTGTCGTTAGGTCCTATTGTGACTCAGTGAGAGAAGCAAAGCAAGTTGTATCTTGTCCTCGTGCTAGAATAGTAGGAGAATATTGGCGGGCACCTTGGGCTATGATGGTGAGCGAAGAAGTAAACGCGTCCAGTCGAGTAAGCGCCCAATATCCAGGCTCACTGAAACCGCGACCATCATGTCCTGGCTAAGACCATCCTCACGGCTCCCCTCCCTACTCTTTATTTTCTTATTTTTTCTGTCATATGCAGTAAGCCCATCATGTCTAAACTCAACCAACGGACTCTGAGTCTCCTAACCCCAGCTGTCAGCACATGCGATCTTAGGTCACAAATGGGAGGCTACCAACTTCTGCAAGTGTAGGTCGAACCCGTTATGAAGCTAGTCATGATAATGTCCTCACGAACAGTTCGCAGGCATATGTTTTGGTTCGAATTACACCATCCTGCACATGCAGATACCTGACAACCCGAGCAAACCTTGTCTATCATGCACGAAGCAATGGTGTCTGAACCAGAACCTGCCGATATGTGCGGGCGCATCTCCAGGAGATGCTGACCCAGATACTGCAACGGGAAAGGAAGGGGATGTAGAGGCGAGATGTTTCCGTAAGTGGACTCCAGCCTTCCTTGCTACCATGTATGCCGACATTCATATATCATTTCTAGAGCGAGATTCACCTCGAGACCAACTTGTGGTGACCCTATTTTTGCTCACTGTATTCGGTCTATTGCTTGGGGCAGGAATCAAAAACAGGATGATCAAGGCTGGCTTCGACACGAGCATACCCTGGAACACCGGCAGACGGTGGTGGGAGGTAAGTGGGCGGCCTTCCTCTGCAGGTGTCTTTACAAATATGTACCACATTGTGCAGGCTTGGGTACCCCGTCGAGAGGAGGACATATCACTTGGGGTTAGAGTCCCTAGCCGTCCCACTGATCGAGCCAGACGAGATGAATACATGAATATCCCAAGCTCTCCGCTTCCGCAGTAGTCATTTGCAGGTGCATAATCTGGGGATGTTCTGCCTCTCGCCTTACTGGTATTGTACTATTTTAGTTTAGCATCTACTGTAGCACTCTTTGATTATTTCGCTCAATTCGCTATGGCATCTATGTTCGTTGAAGCCAGCCTTAACCAGGACAGGCTGTGCTGGTGAAGCGTCAGCGATGGTTTGTCATTTGATTATGCCCAGTCTTGGCAAACCTGTCGAGCACTAATGTCAGCATCACTATGTTTCTCTACTATTACTAGCTGGTTTGTCAGCCTTTCGTTGCAGTTACCCACCATCATCTATTTCATCGGCTGCTCTATTTGCTCTAGCAAATTACTCTGTATGTCAACCTAGTCAGAACTCTATACCCCAATCTCAATCCAGACGACGAGCTAAATCCAGCTGTTCCAAGTTGTCTGTCACTTTCCGAACTGAATGGGGTCGTTATGTTCCAAGCCTGGAACGCACTCCGGGGAGCACGTTCAACTTCACGATGGGCACCCTCCCACAGGGAACGGGACGAGACACACCGTCGGTGCTTCCGGTGGTGAGCGGCCAGACCCTCGTGCTGCAGCTGCCCAGGCTGCGGAAGAGCGATTGAAAGCGGTGTGTTGCAACCTGCATTAAACGGTTTATTGTGATAATTCTGATTTGTTTGTGTGAAGGCTCAGGCTCGAGGAACGAACCCTGCAAATCCAAAAAAAGGTCGCCTTGCGGCACAACTGGAAGCATCGAAATCCGCTCCCCGAGTACCGGAACCACCGCAACCAGAACGACTCGTGGTAAGTGCATGTCCTGTCTCATCGTTAGGCACACTTGTGAATCTGATGCAAAACATAGTGGGACTAGATATCACTCGTGCTTCTTTTACGATATTCCGTGCCAAACGTTTGCGGAACATATCATCGGGCTCCGATACACCGTATAATACAGGTCCTAGGCCCCTTCATTCTTGGATGTTATTTGCATAGCGTGATTATTTATTGGGTATTATTGATGGAAGAGTGCGAACAGGCAAGCCATGATGTTCTTCTGTTGCTTTCGGGCATCCGCCATAGTGAGGTTCACCGATTTCCGAAAGCCTCACCATCGGCGGATTTACTCGCAGGTCGATTCCATCTTGCACATCTTTGATGCATCGTAGTGTGTGCTGCTTCCCCACACACTGCCTGACAGCTTCTTGGGAACTATGTAAATGTACCCCAATCCCATGTATCGCGGCTTAGTGCTTCTTGACCCATAACGGCATTCAATTCGTCACATATGTAGATGGTTCCTTTCTGCCCCTCGTAGTTAAGGTTTTGGGAACGTTGTAACCCCGTTCAATGGAGAGAACTTCACTGTCCCGCCTATTGCAATTGAGAGGCCGTCGTAACTACATGTGCATCCAGTCTTCCTTACTTGAAAGGTCGGAAGATGCGGGCCGATCGTATGAACTTAGTGGATCCCAAAGAGGCTATCAACATCTGACCTTGTACCACTAAGTCCTCTGCTGGATATGAGGATACACGCTGAAAGTGTTCGCTGATCCATTTGTCGGTTTTCCTTCGGAATTTAGGGCTTCACAGGAATGTGTGCGGCTGCTTGGGAGGCCGAGTGGGAGAGAGTACTGTGGAAGAAGAAAGGCTACCCCGATAACTTTGTGCCTCGTTCCTTTCTCGCTTCTCTTAGTAGGAATGGTGCGTGTATCTACCATTTCCATCTCTATTTCCAACGGTTGACCAAGCAATGCAGCGAACTTCACACCATACACTTACTGGAGTTTGGTAACGGCGAGCTCGTCCATCATCCAACATATTGCGGTTATATTTGTCTTTCTTTCTGTCTTTGTTTGGTTAAAGGAACGGTTGATTGACCCACGAATCATCATCTGGGTTTCCGTAGGGGGCTTCATAGTCGGGTATCTCACCTGGGAAGCTCTCGCGTATCGTGGCTTTCAGGGCCATTCCCTCTATGCTAGCCGTCTGTTATTATCCCTTGTCACTAAGAATATGCCTATTAATATTACTCTGTACAGGTGCGAAAGCTGTCAAGTCGTCCATACTTGTATTCTTGGCTTTGTTGGCACTCTCACCGGTGTTACGGACGTTAACCGCTGCCACGTCGTCCGATTCAATATGGGCACTCTCTGCCTGCCTCTTCATCCTCAATATTCTACTGGCTGACTACAGCACGGCAGTTGTCGAGACCTATCCTCGCGAAAGGCATGACCTTGAACGCTAGATACGATTGCTCTTGACTAATCTATATGGTCTTAGACTAACGTCTGTTCTCTCAATGAACGCAGCCATATCGTCCTCCGTCGTCTTGGCTTCTCGATTAGTGGATGATCAGTCTGTTTTTGCCTTGACCTTATTCTCCATACAAGCCTTTGGCTTGTTCCCCATTCTGAGGCGTCGTCTGCAGGTATGTACATGGGAAATATCTGCGTACTTCGACGGTTGATAGTCTGCGTCTAGGCCGGACCTACGCTTATTCGGGCAATACTCACCATATACTTGGTAACCTCGTCTCTGAGCTTCATGGCTCCCTTGTCATCGATGGTGGCCTCCCTCTATGCTGCAATCTACGTCTTTATCATGGCAGTTGCCCCCGGCCTATTGATGTGGGCCCAACGGTACAAGAAGTAAGCAGATCGCTCTCTCTCTCGCGTTCCCTAATCATTAACATCCTACACTAGCGAACTGCGCGGCACCTGGGATGTAGCTGTACCTAAAGTGAAAATGAATCAATGACGACCCAGCGCGCGCAGTAGAAAACTGGAGATTGAATGTTGTCCCACAGTTGTCCACAACTGAACATGAACGGATCAGGGTACACACCTCATATGTGATCTTGTATGTGATCTATGATTTCATTCAGTATGACACACTCGCACCTTCATCTTCTGAGTTACCAAGATCTGCACTGTGTGTCATGTATCACGTACTTGCTCTCCGGTGCGTCATAGGTTTTTCGACAGCAAGTAATCAAATTCTATTTCATAAATGTGCGGAGCAGAGCGATAGTGATACGTACGACAGAAAGCAAATGGTATATTACACGAATTATACTACAGGGGAATATGGGGTTAGCTCGAGAAGGGGGTAACGGTTGTGGCATGAAAGCATCATCTACATAATCCCGAGACTAGCTGTTTTGTATCAGTACAGAGTCAAAGATGGCGAGAAAAATACAAGATATTCATAGCTGCATGTCGCTGGCGTCGACATGACTGCGAGGTCGTTTGGAACCGGAACTGATGCCCAGCCCGATGCCTCTAGCCTCGAGGGCCTCCACTGCGGCTTTCGCAGCGCCCTCGGATGACCGTTTCGATCGAGTTCGTGTCCTGCGCAAAGCACCAAAGGCTTGTGCTTTAATGACAGCCAAAGTGCCGCAAATCTGTGGAGAGTCTGGTGAAGGAGAACGAGATGTTCTCGAGGTTGCTGCACTGTGACGATGACGTGTCCTGGTTGTGTAGTGGTAAGGTGCAGGGTCGCCACCATCATCGCTTTCGCGATCATGGGAACCATTCTCAGCACGGGAATAGGGAGATATCGATGGCCCTGGTGGCCCATTACGGCCACCTATCCTGTACCGAAGGGTCTCACCACTCGGGCCAGCAATAGGGATGTTGGCAGTGCCTCCATGCAAGGTCAGCTCTGGCCCATGGTTACTGCCTTGTCGGCGGTAAGGAAATTCAGCGCGATCTTGAACAATGGTGCCTTCTGCATAAGAGTATTGGAAGGGCATAACGGCCGATGATGATGAGGTAGATGTAGGTGTAGATGCAGGTGAAAGTGAACGACTGCCCGGGTACATGTAACTTGGGGTGAGGGGAGTGAGAGGTAATTTCTGGTCCTCACTGATGGAAAACCGAGGACCGTAATTCGCTTCGGCTGCTGTCAAACTGGGAGATTCTATATACGTAGGTGAGGAATTAGGGTCTGCACCTTCCATTGAGGCAAGTTCGTTAGTAGGCCATGCATCCCTGACGGGACTTTCCATTGCAGCATAGTGAGAGTATGGGTCATATCGTTGCATTCGTTGAGGGTCCATATGCTGGGATCGAGCATCTCCAGATGCATCGTGTTCAAAACCAGTCATCTGCGCGCGTTGTGAATAATCCTGTTGCGGCGCAGAAACGTAAGATGTTGTGGCGGCAAGAGAAGTTGAGGGATCGACAGACGGAGGCATCCGCATTCCATCGTCTGGATACTGTAACGAAGGACCGACGGCACTAATGGGAGTATGAACAGGAGAGTAAGAGGGTATCGAGTAGTCGTCTCCTGGCGCGTCGGGAGGAGGTTGACCAGTGTTCTTCGCCTGCCACAATGCCCTCCAAAACCTCTCCCTCTCCCTGTGAGCGAGGCGCAGGCGGGCATTCTCTGCACGCAACTCAGCGGCATCGTTCTTGGCGTCCTTGCATGAATCTTGGAGCTGTATGACAACGGCCTCGAGGTTGGTGACTGCAGAAGGGTAATATGAACATCGTGTCGGCCGGAGATATATGAAGTGGACGAACCTGTCTCTTCTAGAGTGGCAATATAGTTGGCGCGTCGCGCACGAAAGGCGGCCTGTGCATCTGCATTCTTCTTCTTTCTGAGGGCGGCCTCACTGTGAGACATGCGAGTGGTAGTGTTATTGTTATTGTTGTCGTCGGAACCTGCTTTGGAGTTTGTTGAAGAAGGACTCAGGCTCTGGGGCATCTCCGCAGAGACGAGGAAGTCAGGTAGTGGGGGATATGAACATGGATGGGACTGGATAAAAAGCAGAGGAGAGAGAAGGACACGAGGATCCAGGGAGCGGTCCTGGATCCTGACCTTCCTTCAAAGAAGGGGTACGGATTTTTTCCCTGAATTATCGGTCAATTTTCCCGTTCATCAGCCTCGCGAGAGTCGCCCACGACCGTTCCGCGAACTTCTCATCTCTGATATTTTCACAACCCAGCAGACACTATTCCGTCTCTCATCAAATACAACTGCAGCTGAGCTAAGTGCGCGTTTTGCTATCTAAGGACCGGTATCCGATTGTCAATTCCGAAGGTTTGACCCAGCACCATGGCTCCCAGGCTGCAGTCTAACTTCCGTGTGACCCCACGCGTCTCCCAGCGGCTTGTCTCGCTCCTTCTCCAGCCCCCAGTCCTCCACTGCTCCCGCAATCGCCGGCCTTGTAGCAACAAGATGAAACGCCGTCTCCTGCAGTGAGGCTGCAACATCGTCCCAGATAATGTGATTCGGTCCCGTTGCTGGCAAGGGTGAGCATAAGTGGAAAAGCACTTGCGAATATAGCAAAACCCTACACACCATTGCGACGCCATCGAAGAGATGTCCAACTGCGCGTTCATCTGTTACGATGTGGCATCGGCGGTCTCAGAGATCTGACTTATGTCCCCCTCCTCTTCATCGACTTCCCCCTCCATATCGAGTACTTCCAAAATCAACCCTGCATCATCCAGGACGCAAGCCACTCTCCGCCCCACTCTGCCATTCACAGACAAGGTCACTCGGCCTTCTCGACAGCCGCTCAGTGCACGGGTTTGATTGATCGGCAAAGGCACTGGCGAGAGCTAAAATGCACAGCACAATAAGGGCAATTTTGGGGTTAATCGGCTTCCAGACTATCCAAAAGTAGAAGGAAAACATACCTCCCCGTTGCGCATTCGCTGTAGCACATCATTCATGGCTTCCTCTCTGCTTTTAATGTCCCTCACTGTCTCCGAACCTAGCGATCGGTAGTTAACATTGGCATAATCGACGGTAGCGATAAACGTTGGCCCTATCAGTGATAACATAGAACCTTAGCAGGGTTTCATTCATGTGCCAACAAAGACGCACCTGGATCATCCAGCCGGTACACGACGATCATGTCCTGCTCGTCAAAAAATTCCGCATCCAGAATGTGCAGAGGCTGTGCCTCATCACCCACTTGTCGCAAACATTGCAGGATTGCTACGGCGGTCTCATCCCTGGATTCCGAAACGCCATACTGACGAGTCATCCGCAACAAGCAAACTGTGGGAGCAAAATACATCATTCTGGGAGAGAACGTGATAGTTCAAGATCTCACTCACGGTGGCTTCCTTCGCTAGCATGAGGTGTTTGTATTGCGAGATATTGTAGGAAGCTGTGTTCCTGCTGGAAATCGTTAGTAATCATTTCCGGGTCATTTGTATGACACGCACCGAAGACAGTATGGTCTGTTCTCGAATGAAGGCTGGCGCTTCGATAGGGGCAGGTTTCTCCACAGCATGTTCTGGGATGGTGAGAGGAGGAGGAACTACAACAGCAGACCGTAAAGCTGTTTTAGATGCCTCACTGAAGATCTTCTGACAATGCGTTGCAAGCTCCTGCATAAGCGCATCGAGATTTCTATCCAGGCGACTGAGGTCCTGCATCTTTACATTCTGCAGAGATTAAATGTAATGAGGATCCCCTCAGGTCGATATATTCGTATTGCGTACTCACCGGTGGCCATGAGAAGCTTCGCGGGTTCTCTAGCGTCTCGCGTGCAACTTGAATGGAAGTCTCAAGATCTCTGGTATTTGGAATGCGGAGGTCGTCCTCTGAGAAATGCGGAACAGGTCCCATGAACCACCGGTCAATTGAACTGACTACAAGGCCCGACATCAGGTAGTCGTTGACCTCTAGAGGATCGTGCCGAGGCGGTGGAAGAGCGTGAACATCTGTGGTCGAATTCGCCCTCGCGATTTCTGGAAAAAAGATTAAAGCTGGGACAGCAAATGCAATTACAGACGTACCATATCGCACCCAATTGAGGAAGTCTCTGAATCGAATTAATTCCCGTCGGGCTGTTGCACCGAGCCACGAAGCACATATTATGATCGAACGAGCCAAAGTTAAAGACGTCCGGATGTCATCAGTTTTCAGAGCGCAAAAGGCATATTCCGGCCTGGGACAAGTCAATTTATGCAAATGAATGAGCTAGTGCAACGCACAGTTGCGACCAACCAAGGGTCTCCTCAAGCAGCAGGTGTATACGTTGGCATGCAGGTATCAGACGTTTCTCCGAGTAATCACGCAGCTTTACGAGAGCTTCTGAGACAGTTTGGTCCCATTTCAAAATACCCTGAAGAACGATATGTCAGATGATCCAAAGCACGAACTAGCAACGAGTCTGCCTGAAGTTACCCTTTCACTCATCTGTTCCCCACTCCCCAGGTAGTCAGAGAGGGGGTCGGAAGTGCGTCCAGTGACAAGCAGGTATGTCAAGTCTACCATGGGGTTCGGCTCGAGTTCTTGGAAGAAGAAATACGTCAGCTTTAGATTTCCGGAGGATAGCCAACGGACTGACCGCCGAACTGATCACGCTGCCTAGCCTCAAATGCTCGCAGCCATTTTGGACCAAGCTCTCTCGCGCCACTCTGAGTATCTGAACCAAACCACGCGGCACGCATTTCTTTGACAACTCGCATCGCGTACCACGTCAATTCCTTGGTAGATGATGAAACCTTTGCCAGGTCGCGCAAATATCGCATTTGGAGGAACGGTAGCCGAACTAGACATGGGTCCAGGCTGGTGACAGTCCCGTCCGAGGAAAACGTCATAAACAACAAGAGCGTCCGCTCGCTGTCTTGATGAAGAGATGTCGCAAAGCATGACTCGCCAAGAGAAAGAGAGCCTAGAGAGTAACGGCCGTCTAGAAAACAATGACTATTGCCCGCATGATCTGATGCGACCAATGAGCTGCCCGTGTTGGCTTCGTTACTTTCGTCGAATTCTTCTCCTGGTCTACTGACCTGCTTCCCAGATTTGGCTTGCTTCAGAGAAGCGGCCAGTAAATCCGGAGTCAGAGACGGCCATGACGAGATGACGTCTGGTTGGGAATTCTTGGCGGCCGTGCGGGTACTTGATCCTTGAAATGCAAACAGCTCTGACGAACTACGACGGTGTCAATGAATGGTCATTTCAAGCGCACCAAACGTACCTTAAAGCCTGAAGTTCATCATGCAATGGGTCCAGGAGGGGCTGGCCTCTGAGAATGGAGTGAGCGGAGCCTGTCTACAGATCACCGTCTGAGAAGGACGTAATAACCCATAAGACAATTACCTACAATGACATTCCGACGCTTGAAGAGGTCAGGCATAGTACTCCTGGTTTGACGTCTCGGGCTCTGTGTCCACCAGATACCTTTTAGCCGTGGCATCTTCGACGCAGAGGCTTGAGGCAAGTCAATTGGCAGTAGTATTTGTTGACGACCATCCTCGATTGTGTGCAAAGTAATGGCAGGCGGATGATGTGCAACAGCAATGGACGTTCCTAATAAAATACTGTGAGTACGAGCGTGTCACAACAACAATATGCTCTACCATCTGGACTCCAGGCAACATCCACAACCTCTTTGGCACCCGGTTGATCGCTGTCAAAGGTCACCTCCCATTTCTTTGCACCTTGCATTTTCCATAGGCTCAGCTTATCTCTGCCAGCCGACCGACTGACAAGCAAAAATAAGTCTTTGTCAGGGCACCAGGATGAAGGCAAAAGACGGGACGAAGTAGGAAGTCTGATGTTCGCTAGTGATATGAAGGCATCGGAATCCATGGTGGCCAACGGTTATTGCTGTTGAGCTTTAGCTATATGTCACACTGTCCGACGTGTTATAGCAAGGTGGAAATGTTATGTTTTAAGAGCTGATTAAAGTAGTGAACCAAGTTGCAATGTGATCGTTGACAGTCATGCCCTAGCGGACACATTTGACTTTGAACGCGTCCTGGCATATCGTGTCTGTGATGTGACCAAGCTCTGTGACAACCGCGTTTCAAGCGGCACAACGAAGGTTTAACGTTTAACTTAATAGAATCCAATATAACAGCTCAAGATGAACAGAAAAACGCAATTCCACGAACGCTACGGTATCGGGCTACTAGACTTTCTTCTTGCCTCCTCCTTTCTTACCCATTCCGCCTATTTTATCCCCCTTCTTCGCCCTAACACCTTCTCGCGAGGATCTCTGACCTAAATCCGTGTCAAATGCTCCACCCGAACGAGCTTTCACGCCCTTCGGTCGCTTAGCCTTCGACTTCTTATCCTTTGTCTTGCGCGATTGTGGTTTACTTTCCGGCTCACCAATTTTCTTTGGTCTTGATGACTTCTTAGCAGACCGCACCGCAGCCTTGATCGCGCCAGTCTCGACAGCGTCATCTTCCTCCAAAGCCATCTTCCGCCTCTTCACTCTCCTAGAAAGACCAGAGAACTTATCACGTTTAGGCTGTAAGCGAGAGGGCATTGTCAGCGGCATCTTTGTGCAAATGTAGAAGGACTCGCCTTATCCGCATTTGCAGCGACCTGCTTTGCGTTTTGTGCAGGCTTGAAGCCGGACTCGTACAATTGCTTACTAACAGCTATAACATAACCGTCAGCATTGAATAGCCCATCATTTACATGAAAACCGACCTCCAGCCTGCTCCTTCTCCTTTCCAGTCTGGAACCACGTTCTTGCAGGACGCGAATATATCTCCGCTTCATGCTCAATCAAGTTTTGCCCCTTCTTAAGCTCCATCTCAGCTTGTCGAAACTGCTCACGGTGGTCAGTTCTCATCACTCTTATGGGATATTTATACCTCCTACCTGTTTCTCTTCCTTCTCCTCGCGCAAGACCTCGGAAATCTCGTCCTTGAGGTCCTCTAGCTTCTGCGCCCACTTAGCCACTGCTTCTGCAGGAACCTGCCGATGTCGGACTTTATCCTCTGCGGAAGCACGTTTTATGGCAGCTTTCAACATTTTCCGGTCGGCTTCTCCCACGAGTGTAACGGACCTGCAGGGTTGAAATCAGCATGCAACAACAGCTAACATACGAGACGCTTACCGTCCTAGTCTCCCTGCTCTGGCAGTTCTGCCAACTCGGTGGAGGTATTGGGCCAGTTGTCCAGGCATGTCGTAGTTAATGACCGTATCAACGCCCTTGATATCGAGACCACGGGAAGCCAAATCGGTTGCCATAAGGAAATCGACAGCACCGTCTCGGAATTGTTGTAAAGCATTCAGACGCTATTGTCAATGATCAATGAGTAGTCAACATCAACGGTGGATATTACCCACCTGTTCCTGTGTGAGATCACCATGTATCTCACTACACTTCATACCGAGTAGACTGAATACAATACGCATTTGATGTGCCAACTTCTTACTACGGAAGAAGATAATGACACCTGATTTGAACGTCCTCTTGCAAAGCGCGGCAAGAAGAGCGGATCGTTCTGACTCCTTTCCGGCGCGCACTCGAACGAACTCCTGCAGAAGGCCGCGAGCTGTACTGCGCTTGGGATCGACGAAGAGCCGAACTGGTTTATTGAGTGACATCTTGACGAGCTCATCTACGGAATCCGTCATCGTAGCGGAGAAAAGCATGGTTTGTCGAGACATTGGACATGATTTAATGATCTCCGTCAGCTCATCCGCAAACCCGTCTGAGAGCATACGATCGGCCTCATCAAGCACCAAGATATCAAGGGTATCCAAAGTGAACGAAGGAGAGTTGCGTAAGTGGTCAATTAGTCGACCGGGAGTGGCAATAACAACGTCTGGACGTGTACGAAGGGTGACTTCTTGAGATTTCAAAGACAGCCCGCCTGAGGGAATATAAATTGAGAACCTTCAAATAGCCAAAATCATTATTGCACTTACCGACAACGAGAGCGAACCGGATATCTGTGTGCGCTGCGAGCTTTGATCCGACTTCAAAACACTGCACACCTAGTTCACGCGTAGGGACAAGGACAAGGCACCTCGTAGCGGCAGCTTTCGTACCACGTTCTCGGTATAAAAGTCGTTCCAACATTGGAATGATGAAAGCAGCGGTCTTTCCTGAACCTGTCACGGCATTGCCAACAATATCCTTCCCTAGAAGAGCTACAGGTATGGTAGCCGCCTGAATTGGTGTAGGTTTATTGAAACCAAGAGATGTGATGGACTTGAGGATGGGTCGTGATAGGTTCATGGTCAAAAACGACGCATGCTCCTCGGTGGAACCAGATTCTTCGGCGAAGAATGCGGTTTTTCGATCCTTTGTTGCTTGATCCTCTTCTTCTGAGTCGTCATCTGACGACGAAGCGGCATCAGAGTCTTCTTCACCAAGCTCTTCGTCTTCATTCCGACCCTCTTCTTCATCCGAAGACGCGAGAGGATCTTCATCCTCACTCGCGTCATCCTCAAGGACGTGGAAATCTTCTGCTTCATTCTCACTATCCAATAGAGAATCTTCGTCTTCATCTGATTCGTCTGACTCGTCTTCTTCCTCTGCGCGTTTCCGTTTCCCAGTAGCTCGTTGGAGTTTTCTTCTTTCAATGATATCATCAACAGAAATAGGCTCCTGATTTCAGATAGTACTCATGAGATAATCGAAAACGCCGGTCATGCAGTAAGTTACGCACTGGTTTCGAACCTTTCTTGACAAGATCTTTTACACTGTCCGGTCCGTCAAGTATGTCATCGTAAGGATCCCCAGTGACATCGAAGGTAAAGTCTGAATTAAGCTGAGCCTCATCATCAACAAGAGGCTGCTTTCCTTTGGCTTTCTTGCTTGGAGGTGGTGGTGGTGGCACGTCCTCTGCGTCAGAGTCAATAGTCATAACAAACTCATCTTGAATCGCCATTGTGGAGACTAGGTAGCTCCTTTTATGTGGTGGGATTATAGAACCTCAGATAAGATATACAAAGAAGATTCGACCGAGACTAAGAGCCCGAAGAGCAAAGGCTTTGACAGATAGGCAGCTGCAGATGAACTTGAAGCAGTTACGACCGAAATTCTTTCGTCTGCACGCGATCGACCCGTCGATCAGATGCAACACCCAATTTGGGAGGCATGTAAGATCAATTGCAGTCAGTTCGTGGTGAAGCAACAAATACAGCCGTACGCAGTGTGAGGATCAGCTCACACGGTTGTACAGATTGGAGTCCAACTCAATCGCAACGCGTAACGTATAGACATGGATTGAAAAGTATCATAAAACAGTAGCATAATGTGAAAGGTTTAAAATCTTTCTCGAGTCTACGGGATTTTTGTATAGTGGGAAAGCAAGACGACACGAACAGAGAAAGCAGTTATCAAGAACTTGGTATCAATTTCATCCAACAGAGAGCATCGGTATAACTAGGACGTGCGGGATAGACATGAGTACAACCAGGGTAAATATGATAGATAACGTGCCAGCAAAGCAAAAAAAAAAAATTTTCAGGTAGAGAGGTATGCAGGTCACCAGAAGAAAATCTTTTTCAAGATCGGAGCTCCATCCTTGGCAGCTGGATGAGGGGTATCTTCTCTTGTCATTGTTCGAGGCAACTCCACTCCTCGAGGCTCGTAGTTATTAGCCTCTGGATCCGACAAAGGATGCCGTTGAGACTGCATCTATTCAATAGGATTGTCAGCGAATTTCCAGAACAAAGCATTATGGAAGGACGAACTTCATCGGTCATCAAGAGCTCGGGATTGTCGATGAGCATTGCATCGTATAGGTCATGTCGCTTCGCATACTGGTATGCACCAGACTCACGACATGCCCTCTGGCACTGAGCAATTGTATCGATGAAGCGGCCCATCATGTTGAACTTCGCCCAATGGATCTTAGCCGGATCATCATCGTGGAAGTCGCAATTGCCTTCGTGTGCACGGATGAGGTCTGACAGATGAATTTCCCTGCAAGTTTCTATGGTTAGTATTAAAGGCATCGTGGATGTCAATGGGGAACTCACAGTGCTGGAATACAGGCCCCCTTCGTATTTCGCAAAGCCATTCGATACTTCTGATGCGAACGTACGGATTGTAAGAGTTGGTCAAACGATTGGAAGGTCTTCCACGAGCTGGGATTCTTCGCGCGATAAATGTCTACAGACATGTCGCCATCGAATGTAGCTCCATTGACACCAGCAACGACGGCGCGAAGTCCTGAATAATTGTTTTCGATACGCAAGCGATTGGCGACGTCAGCGAATTTCTCAATTTGACGTGCTCTAGCCTTGGGTTTGTCGTGACTAAGAATCATCGACTGTACCCTGATAATTGTATGAGTCCTGAGTCAGAAAACAAGCGTGCGCTCAGCGAGAAGCGACGTACCAAGATCCGATGTGATTCGACAATACGTTGAATCGCGTGATGCTGTCCGATCGTATTTCGTTCTTTTCCTTCCCATGTGAGAATACATGTTGTAACCAATGTCGAGGCTGTAAAAAGCGTGAGATATAACGCACAACGATTAATCGATGTCATACCTCGATCTGCAAGAAATATTCGCACTCGACCCGTGAGATTTCTTGTGCGATCTCGCTGGGATCAATGCGGTCTATCCTCGAAGCAATGTCGGACAATTTGTTGAGTATCGCCTTAGGAGAAGGGCGAGACTTGGGCCCTCCATTAGAGTGTCCGTGGCTCTTGTCCCTGGTGGTAAAGCGCGCAAGGGGTAGACTTGATTTGCGTTCACGGGTAAGTAATGGCTGGGAGACGACACGATCTGGCTCAGGATGTTGAAAAGAATGCGACGAGACGCTGGAAAGTGATGATTCCTCCGGACTTCGCAGGGCTGGCTCGGCAATGATGGATTCCTCATCGCTATCCTCCGCAGGCGCTTCCACCTTGACAGCCCAAAATGCATCCTTGTCCTTCAAGGTAGGCAAAATCTCCATGAAAGGAATGAATTCCGATCCATAATGGAGAAGATATGTTTTGCCGAGGATAGATTTAATCAGAGCGGAGAACGCTCCAGCCGTTCCCGGAACTGCGAAATCGGTCGCATATGTTCGCATCCAACAGTCAAGCAAGCAACATATTCTGAAACATTGGTTAGACTTTGAGATTACATCTGAGCTGATACTTAGGCTTCACTTACTTCATCTGCGCAAAGCAGGCAAACATTGGGTCACCAGTTGGCTGGTCCAATGTTCTCATGCGCTTTTGCATGGCCAGAAGAATACTCCTTGGTGTTGCGAATCGCCGATACGTGAGGAAGAAATGGTTGACGAACACAGGGTCTGCTTGATGGATCAATACAAGTACAGTGAAATAGACAAGAACCTACTTACCATCGTCGCTAACAGCCACGAAAAGTAATTTGTCCAGAAGGTCATCCAACGTTACCCACGGTGGCGCTCGTACAGCAGCAGAAGGCTGCGGTGGTTCTTCTTTACCACCATTAAATGAATTCTCACCGTTTCCGGGCGAAGGATTCCGCTCCCAATCGGTTTCCCTTTGTTCGCGGCTATCTTTCCGTATCAAGTCCTGTTCCGTCAAAAGGTCGCCCATTGATCGGGCACGTGCCGGTGGGGAATGTGGTAAGGTATCGTGAGTTTGAGGTATCCGTGGCGACGAGCCTCTTGGTTGGGCTTGGGTATATGATGGAGACGCCGCTTGAGCTGATTGCATCGCACTATGGGAGGTTGCAGCGGTAGGGGTAGCTGAATCAGCTCTCGAGATATCCCAGGGTGCGGTTCCTGCGGCGGAGACGATTGCTGGAGATGCAGGGTTTCGGGGAGTGCTACGTTCAGTTGCTAATTTTCAAGTATTAATAGGATGTACATGACGATCGACGGATATTTCACCTTTCGATGCAAGTTTGAGGATGAGTTCAAACGTATCGCGAATCCTCATTTTGCCCGCATCGTGAGTAGTTGTTGCTTCAACCAGTCCAACATCCAGCTGATGTAGAACCGAAGTGGCTTCATTGAGGTCAACCCGACGATCCATGTCGGACTTGCACGCTAGGACTATAGACGGGAGTTTGAGATAGTCAAGCGAACCTGTTACCAGAAAAAGAAATATTAAAATCGGTATAGGCATTCAGTGAAGGAACTCACGGATAACTGGTTCAACACGAGAGAACGACCCCAGGTCGCTCGAATCAAAACAGAAAACAGTCCCATTCACGGACAATGCGGCCGAACATAACCTTGCCAGCTTGTTTTCCACGTCGTCCGATGGTGCAATGTCTATCTCCATGACCCTCAGGACAGAGTCAGGCGAGTTCCCACCATGGGGGATTCTTCCGACACGAAGGGTGTCTAACAGGAGGTTAGGAAGCGTATACTGTGTGCACCTCTCGTTGCTCACATTGAAGATCATCAATCAAACCTGCAGACTCTTGCTGAATCGTTAGAACACTAGGATCTGACAAGCCGTACGCTTTCAGACCCTTGCGTATCACGGTTGATTTGCCGCAACCACGGGTGCCTATGACAGCAATTGCCACCTCGGGACGATGATGCGAGTACTTCGGTGGCTGAGAATGTCAATGAGAGAATACGTGCAGCGTAGAATATCAACGTACAAGGAGATGTGTGTTCACGGACATGAGAGAGCGTGGCTTAGATAGCTTGTTAAGCAAGCTACTGCTCCGCTCAGGCACTATAGGGTCTGGTGCTTTGGTTGAGATGGGGGAAGAGCTCGGAAGTCGAGAAGGCAGAGTGAGCTCCCCTTCAGGTACAGCTTGTCTTGAGACGGACTTGCCCTTGCCGGCGTGCCTTCTCAGCTCCTCCGAACGCTCCCCGTCTGAGTTTTCGTAGGAAGGAGTATAAGGTTCGTTTAGGCTAGTGCTGATGACTGTCCCCCTGTTGTGTGTAGAGACAGTACGACGAGATGGTTGATGTTCGTGCTCCTGTCGATGGCTCACAGACGGTCCTGAAGCGTAATAATCTTGGCCAGAGGGTGAGGCGTCCCTGGCAGCGCCCTCAGAGGTAGGAAGAAGATATGGACCGGGTGCATTTACTCGTATAGAGCGGGCAGGCCTGGTGGGGATGTGTTTCTGCTTGATAAAAGAGTCCACCGAAATGGATTTTCTCAGACTGGTAGGCGGTGCCAACAAAGATGGCGTAGGAGAGCCGCGATCCAGGGTGCTGCTGTCAGAGGGTGGAACAGTGTTAACGAGCATAGACTCAGGGTCCTGAGATGTTTCGGCGTCGGATGAGAGGAAAGAATGGGTGGGCATCTCGAGTGGAGGCAGTGAGGGAATTTGAGGGAGATCTGGCTGGACATTGGGGGCCGTCATAGGAGAAACTGCTCTCGTCGACGACGAGCACGACTAGAGACCTTTGGGAGGCAGAAGCCAGGGAGAGGTGTTATGGTTACGGCCAGTGTGCCAGAGCAAGGGAAACAAACGGTGGATGAAGGTCGGGAAGCGGCGGCCGCGGACATGCTCCAGATGGCACCAGCGGGAATTGGTCGCTTCCTGTCGCTTCCCTCTCCGCCCTCATCTCTCCCGACAACAACAACCCCTCCTCAACGTTCTCTGCAATCCCCAGCCCTGTGCTCTTTCTTTCTGATGTCCTCTATGTCATGCTGTCTTGAATCGCTGCCAGTTATCTCGCTCTCTGCCAGTGGTTGCTTGCGCCACACCGCGCCAGCGCAAATCTCTTCATCTCGTACTTCTTCCTTTCTTAATACTGTCATGGTTAAATGCCCCCGTAAGAAGAAACGGTGTCAGTTGCAGACGTCACCGCGAGGCACAAGAGTTGCCCTCCTTCCTAGTATCTCGTTCTAGCGTTCACCCGAAACTTCATCTCTCCAAAGAGCTTGCCGAGGTCTCGATCTCTGTTTCTTGGCACTGGAATGTCCTATTATGGTGTCCATTGGACGTGAAGCAGTCAATGTACAGTAACAATACTATGTGACAACTCTTCGAGACATTTGCTTAGTTCCGTTTCATGCTCCAATACGCGGTTTCATGCGAGCCCTGTACTCGGCCTGCGGTTTACAGTCATTTCAGCAGCAAAAAGGGTTTGCTTTACCGAGTTCTCTGATACTGCGCGGTGCGACGTACCTACTTATCCGACGCATGTTCTCCGCATGGTGATCGTACGGCTGCTGGCAGTTCATCTGGTATATGGGCCTGGTGTTCGACTTTCGCCTTCCACTACCTTTCTACCTCTCTCAGCTACGACCGGGTTGCTGGCAGCCTCCCTTGAACCGTAATCACGACAATGATGAAACCTAGACGAATCGTAATTCGGGGGAACTACCATCCATTCCTCTTCACTCTTATGGCCCTCATCGCCGCGGCTGAACTGGGCCTCACTGCATTTCTTTTCACTGCCGGCAATGATATCTCGACCTGGGCTACACCGGGCTATCATTCTCTGTGTGCAGTTTTCTCCACCAGATAATCATATGTCACTTACAACATGTCAGGTTGATTGTGTTATGCTTCGAGGCTGCTTGGACGTTGGTGTTTTCTACGGCGTATATGATATGGGTGGTGGATGGCGCAGTACACCTGCTTGCGAATGTGGCATCCTCAGTGTTTTGGCTGCTGCTTACGTCAATTCTTTGGGTTCGTACATTCTAATGATCCGTGTGTATTCTTCGTACTGATAACTGCGTTCAGGGCACGGGAGCGGGCCTCATACACAGCTCACGGAGCGGCGGGAGTTGCCTTGGAGGTACCTCCACATTGCGGTTGGTCCCCTATCGCACTCCTTCCCATCCTTCACACGAACTAAGGGCTCTGGCTGGGAGTAGATGTCGCCAAACGCTCACGGTCGAAGCATTAGGTTGGACAGAGTTCGGTCTCTGTTGTGCGACTCTGGTCGTCACAGTTTTGTGGATGAAGAGTGGGAAGAAGCTCTATATTCGAGATTCTCGGACTCTCGTCTAGTCTGCGCCATGTATCCATACCTGCTTCACTATATTGCTGCACTATCCCCAGTCTTACCTATGCCTAACACATTTATTGTGATATTTGAACGTTAATTAAAATGGACAACTATTGAGATTAGATAAGATGCAGGGCGGGTTTTATCTGATAACGTCAAGCCGTTCCCCACCGTCCCTCCACATCCACAACACTACCCATTTGGTCTCCCTCGCCGTTCCTACTGTACTCTCACTCTGGGAGGCCCTGCTTCCCCATTATATAGAGAGATACAGCCTTTATATATTCCAGACGGCGTTCTCATCCATCCCTGGTGGTGGAGTTGCCGGAACCACCACCATACGGACCCCTCTCCTCAATATGCCTGGGATCCCCGAACCCGGAGGCTATCATTCGGTGCATATTAGCCAGATCGAAACCGCGGAAGAGGAAGAACTACTAGAGGAGGATGAACAACCTGTACATCTGGAATCCGGCGACCTAGAGCCATCACCTGCTCGAGCCTATATCGTGAGATCATTAGCTCTACTGTGCGCCTGCTCATTAAGCATTGGGAGCCATTAGTGAGTATTACAAGGAAATCTGCGATGTGTTGTTTTTAACATGCTACATACAGTGCTTCGTATATTTTGGGACCTCTCAAGTCCCGTTTATCTCGTGAAATGGGCACGAACAATACAGAGTTTTCCCTCCTCATTTCCGCGTTTTCATTGAACAGCACTTGGACACCTTTAGTGGGAGGCGTATTAGCCAGTAGGCTAGGCACGACCCTTACCAGTATACTCGCTACAGGGGTAGTTTTCCTAGGTAGGTGCTGCTATATCCACACAATCATAGCCGATCGCTTGAACTTGCATAGGACAATTACTTCTCCTTATCGGCAACCTCACCGGAAGCGTTCGCTTGATGGCCTTCGGGATGTTTGTCTTCGGATTCGGTGTCAGCCCGCTTGCTGTCGTACAGGAGACTATCATCGTCCGATTCTTCAAATCGCATGGTCTCGGAGTATCACTCGCTCTTGGTCTGGTAGCAGGCAAAGGCGCATCATTTGTCTCCGCACGAACATCATACCCTCTATCACAACGGTTTGGTACCCATGCTCCATTTTTCGTCTCTGCAGGGCTCGCCGCGATGTCCTTTTGCATCAATCTCATATATTTATCTGCTGCCAAATGGCTTGTTCGTGGCGCCGGCGCAGAATTGGAGGCTTCGGAAATACATGCGGAAGCTAGCAATCAAGCTTTACAGCATAGGCGATCTGGATCATTACAGAGCCTATCCGAGGCGGAGGCTCTGAAGGAAGTAGCAAGGAAACGAATGGTCAAGCTGAAGGACATCACCAAACTCGGCGACGTTTTCTGGGCGTAAGTGATTCTTCCATGCAGTTGTTCTGTAGTCTAAATGCATCATCATTAGATACATTGGCCTGAACATTTTCTGTGGAGCAATATGGGCACCATTCACTCATCTCGCAGCGTAAGATATGTTTGTACCTTTTCCGACCGCTTCCTAAACCTTCATTCACAGCAACGTTATTCAACGACGTTATGACATTTCCGAGTCGAGAGCAGGTGAGGTGGCTTCGTACCTCCTTGCGGGTAGTGTCGTTCTATACCCTATTGTGAGTGCTATTGGCACTAGCTCCGCAAACACAGCTGATAACCTTGGCGTTCCGTAGACGGGATATATGGTGGACATGCTAAAACATCGTGGAATCGTCTTACGCTTGTTCACAATGTCGTCTCTCTTGACCCTGCTGTGTTACGTCTGGCTTGCGTTTCCACCCGATTTGACTACTACGCCCATGCCTGCGGTTGTCTCGTTTGCTGCTGGACATGGCTTTGCCCCTCGTAAGCGCCAAATTCTCTTCTGAGATGAGGATTACGCTCATAGAGGGACAGTGCTGCTGGTCGTTTTGGTGCCAGAGATTGTGCCGCTCAAATATGTGTCAACTACTCTCGGCGCGCATAAAGCGGTAAGCGACCGATCTCGTCTACCTTTCTGGAAATCCACCAATGAAGTCAATAGCTTGAACAAACAGGTTCAACCATTTTTCAGACGTTAGCTGGCCTCGAACTCGACATCAAGAGTGGGAAGTCAGCCCCCAAAGCCTTAGAAATCGATGGCGACAAGAGAGATATCCAGTATCTGCTCAACGCTTTCGTTATCCTAAACATCCTGCAATTGACAGGTATTGTCGCGCTCAGAAAACTTGACAAACGGAGAAAAGACTTGGCTTCCCGCCGAGTCAGTGCTCTACTTTCCCCAGTCATTGAAGATGAGGACGAGGACCGGGAAGATACTAGTCCAAAGTCACCCGAGGACGACAATGCATGGGAACATGAAGCAACTAACACGATAGGCAGAAAGCGATACAGCACCATTCGCAGTATTCGCAGTTTGCGTGGTCGACCGTCGTCTACGTCTTCGCCAGAACAAAGTATACCGCTCCTACGAAACGAGTCACCTTCTGTCTCGTCTTCAGCCAGAACTAGCCGATTGATCACAGATCCCTCCAACAATACCCCTCCAATTCGTGTGTCTAAAGCCGAGGTGCGAAGAGGCAGAATGTTTGCTATTTCCAGCGGCGTTTTGATCGTTCTTGCGTGGGTCCTTTTCATGGGTACCGCTTGGTTGAGGTTGAGGTCGAGGGAGGAAAGAGGAGAAGTCACCTCTCATGTCATCTCATGAACTACACGTTCCGTAACATTGGACCTTTGTATAGTTATACCTCTGTACCACATCTGTATTCCTACTATATATTGCTTTCCAACATGTATAGAATTTACTTCTCAATGTACCCAATAACTCAATTTACGGTGTGCTCCTAAGTTCCGAGAGGTGCTTGTTAGACCTAACCCTAACTTTCTCCACGTGATGCGGGCGGCTGTTCGCAAGATCAAGCAAGGCCTGCTCAATACATAGGACGACGCCCAACCCCTCCAAAATCCTCAAGACCCAAGAGGTGAGCACCAAAGACTCGTTGATACGGCTGTTGAGAGTCCTGGTGTCCGAAATATGCATACGCGCAACTCCTGGAACGATCGGAAAAGGCTGGATGCATCGGACTTCACCTGGATGTCACCCGTTCTGTTGATTCGGTGAGCTTACTCTTTGCTTCTCTTCCAGCCTGCAACATGGGCGCATACAAATACATTGGCGAGCTCTACAAAAAGAAGCAGTCGGATGTACTCCGATTCCTGCTCCGTGTCCGGTACGTATGTCAGTTTTGTATTTCAGGCAGCCTGCTTAATTTCGGTGCTAACTTTTGCAGGTGTTGGGAGTTCCGTCAATTGAACGTTATCCACCGCGCTTCTCGTCCTTCCCGCCCCGACAAGGCTCGCCGCCTTGGATACAAGGCCAAACAGGGCTATGTCATCTACCGCGTTCGTGTTAGGAGGGGTAACCGCAAGAAGCACGTTCCCAAAGGTATGCTGTATGAGAAATGTACGAGGATGATGGTCTGATTTTGCACTGGATAGGTGCCACCTACGGCAAGCCTGTTCGCCAGGGTGTCAACCACCTCAAGCCTCAGAGAGGATTGAGGAGTGTTGCGGAGGAGCGTGTTGGCAAGCGGTGTGGCAACTTGCGAGTCTTAAACTCGTACTGGATTAACCAGGATGGTGTATACAAATACTACGAGGTCATCCTTGTTGATCCCAATCACAAGGCTGTATGTTTCATTTTTTATCATTCCTTTTGACTCAGTATTTAGACAACGTCATACAATAGATCCGCCGTGACCCCAGAATCAACTGGATCACCAAGCCTGTCCACAAGCACAGGGAGTCCCGTGGTCTTACCAGCATTGGAAAGCAGGTTCGTTGCATCTCATGTCTATTTCCATACACACAGCTTATTCTCCTTGTAGAACCGTGGCTTGGGCAAGGGTCACCGTTACAACCACACTCCGGGCTGGTCAACCTGGAAGAAGCACAACACCCTCAGTCTCCGTCGCTACCGGTAAACTACTGTATCGATTTGTCTTTGTTGCCGTCATGTTTTCCACACCTCCCTCCCATGTTGCGCCCATGTCGGTTATGGATGTATGTCATTGTTGCATTCGCTCAGAACTGTCCAAATTTGTGTGTATGACAGGCCCAAGAGTCCCCAAGGAGTTTTTTAAGTTTTTGAACTTGGCACGATCGTTTATTGATCGTGGCGATCTAACGGAAGCATTTTGAACTATGGGCGCCCTCATACAGCAACTTGAATCCTAACTTTGAACCCTGTACTTGACATTGCGCTGTCTTTTGGTATGTCACGTAGTTGACAACTATGCAAGCCCTGGTTAATGCACTTTGGTCATACATTGGGAAGATTTTTTTAATTTGTTCCACGCCGAGCTGCGGCGTTCCTCCGAACATGCATTTGAAAAACGTGTTCTCTGATTGCTGTTGTTTTTCCCTACACTCGTGAGTGATCCTTGCGCCTACAACCACACCGGCCGGCTTGCATCGCTCCTTGGCTGTTGTGCCAGGTTGAAAAGGCGTGTTTTGTGGGTGGAAATCTCTGCTACGCTCAGCATCTCCGCCAGCAATCTAATCCACCGGTGCACCTGACGATTTGCAGGCTTTCATATCCAGGCTCCAACTACTATTGTTTGCTCCGATTACTCAGCTACTATAAAAGCTATTGGACTCGGCTTCTGACCGTCAAAAACTTCATTGCATGACCTTATAACCTGTTTCTGTCTTCTCATCTGCCACGACCTTTAATGAACTCTTTGCTTTCGCTTGCTCTCACAACACTTATTGCTTTGTCCGTCCTGTCTTCTGCATCAGCGCTGATGCCCTCTACTCGCCATGCCCACATAGGCGTAGCATTGTCGATACTTTCGTTTGCGCTGCCGTCTCGTTCAAGTCTACTGGACAAGCGCCTGAACAACCTCGAAACCGGGGTCAACGGTACAACCTTTGTGTGGACTATCCAGGATACGTACGCTGGTCCAACCTTCTTTGAGTGAGCAAATTCAAGTGCATGTTAACCCAAACCCTGACAATACCGCCTCCGTGTATTGTAGCCGATTTGACTTCTACACTGGACCGGACCCTACCAAGTGAGTGAAGGGCATCATGGCATTGTGACTTCTGGATGTTTAACTAACATCTTTCTCAGTGGCCTAGTTAAGTATGTATTTGGACTTGATTCACGAATTCGTACTCAATAACAATAGCTATACCGATCATGATTTTGCGGTCGCCCAAGGTCTTGCATATGTCACTCCTGACGACAACAAGGTCGTAATGAAAGGGGATAACACAACATGGCTACCCGACGGCGTGAATCGCAACAGGTTCTAACATCTCCTTCGTATCTTAGCACGCATATTGACTCGCTTGTCTGCTACAGTGTCCGTCTTTCTAGTAAAACTCAATACAACACAGGCCTATTTATCCTTGACCTTGATCAGGCGCCTTGGGGATGTGGTATGTCAATTCTTGTTGTCGATGAAGTTTTCTTTGCCTCATTCCTGGACAAGCTGTTTGGCCCGCGTGGTGGACGTTAGGCAACGGACAGTGGCCATGGGTAAGTCTGAGTTCACTTACGTTGTTGTCTGTTTCTCACTATATGTTAGCACGGGGAAATTGATATCATTGAAGGCGTCCATGACAATGAACACAACCAGGTTACTTGGCATACCGGACCAAGTAGGTTGCAATCATAATGGCATTTGTTTGGCACTAACTGCGGTCATAACAGATTGTACGCTAACGCCGACATCGCAGTTCACGGGCACTATTGCTGTGTGTATCACTCTGTGGTTGGAAGTTGTAGCACCGCTGACCATGGACCTTCGTAGTCAAGAACAGACGGGTCGCCAAACCTGATTTGCGATGGAACCAAACCCCCAAGCGCTGGCTGTGGGATCACAGAATGGAGTCGAGCTTCTTATGGGCCTACATTCGATGCACAAGGTGGCGGTGTCTTTGCAATGAAGTGGGATGACGAGGGGATCGCAGTTTGTGAGTTTGTTTGTACCTTACTTGCATTGGACGTTATGCTCACTCGATATTTGAAGGGAATTTCTATCGTGCAGCAGTTCCAAAGGACATCCAGAGTGGGCAACCAAGCCCATCCTCCTGGGGTCAGCCTGTCGCTGTTCTGCTTCCAGATAACTGTAACATCGCTGAGAACTTCATCGATCATTCTATCATCTTCGGTAAGCAGTTCCATAAGTTCTTTCCACATATCGCGAATGACCTGTGGTCTAGACATCACATTCTGTGGTATGTCACCCTTATAGTCGATATATTCCAAGTACAAACTGTCATCTCTTACCTCCCCTTCTAGGTGATTGGGCAGGCAATTCCTACGCGTCTTCAGGCTGCCCAGGAACATGTCCAGATCGGCTGAAAGATCCCTCTAACTTCGATGTACGTTCTTCATAGCTGTACCCTCATGATTCATATTCCGCTGACAAGTTTGTGACGTAGACTGCTTCCTGGTCCATCAACTCGATGAAGGTCTACAGGAAGCAGATCCTTAATGGGCGTGTTACTAGCGGGGCATCAACTCATACACGACCAATTTATGAAATGAAACTGACATCATTGGCGTGGTTGACGACTATCTTTGCTTTGTGCTTCTCACTCCTCTTCTGAAAGATTTACTACACCGGGTGTAGATAATATCATTGTACTTTTGCTTTTGCGGATGGACTTTAGTATATTGAATTATAGATTATAGAGCTCCCCATCTTTCAGGTATACCTTGCATACGTTGTATTTGAGGATTCGATCCCAAACGTGATACATGACTATCTACAACCCTGCCGGATCATACACCAATCACAGCTTCTGCTTCCACAATCCGTTCTCTTCGAAGGTATTCGTCGCCTGTTCTATCGAACCCTGTACCCCAGGCTCCGCAAAGCTGGCCCTTAATGGCGTCACACTGACATGTCCATGAGAAACGGCCCAACCATCAGTTCCTACAGGCGAGCTGGCCGGATCGAGAAGGTTCTTCATGTCAGGTGCAAACTTGAATGTCAAGGGATCTTGACTCGTCCCTCCATTATTACGCGAGTCCAGCGAATCTGGGCCAGCAGGACATACAACTGGCCCAGTAACGGCATGAGCTTTGAACAACCTGCCGTATGAATTACGCCAGATATTTGTCCAATATATCTTTAGTCCCTCGTCACCAAGAAGTCCATGCACCATTGGGATGTTGATATTGTACAAATCAACTTCGCCATTGCGCAGACTACCATCGTCTTGTCCCCAATTATCCCAAAGGTGCCGGACGATGCGAGAGCTCAACAGGTGAGCTGGCTCGAATAACTCTTCTGGGGTTGGATGCAATACCGTGCCATACGAAAGTGCTATTGATCTCACTTGGGAAAGACTGGAGGAGAGTGCAGCCCCAATTGTCCCTGACGACATCGCAAATGCGGCTATTGGGAATCGATGGTTGGTCTCAAGAGTTCATGTATAAGTAGATATGTGGGCTGACCTGAACTGTTTCGTCCGAGGTTTGGTCCTGAGATCTACAACCGTCTTGTTAGCTATCGAGATGGCCAGACAGGTTTTTATTTTCTGACCACAAGATCAATCTGATCAGGGTAAATATTGTGTAGGGCTATGTTGGCGCAGCTTGCAGGTGTCTGAAAGGATGATGGAATCAGCTCCCTAGCGGCCGGACAAGCCACAGATTGCACTCACGCCATCTAATAGCACCCATTCTGCCGTCTCGCCATCCTTCAGAGGTCTAGATATCTCAGACGTCTCCCCTAGACCATCTGAAATGACCGAGGCGTGTGCTCAACACCGTCGAGTATGCGAGGGTAAAGAAACCAAAGCTCACCAGATCCGCGAGGGTAGTAGTATCGACCGTAAATCGTTTCCGTAATCTGGTATGCCTTCCCTGTAGAGAAGATTGATTTATGAGCAAGAACGAGGGATGAAAAGGGGTCTATGCACCTACCTATCCATGACTTCTGGGAACTCGGAATCACTACTTTCACGTCCCACCCTGATCAGTTCATATGTCGCTGTAAGTCACAATGTAGACTGAACGCTTGGAATACATACCTAGGTCCGTCGTTAGATGACGGTATAGACCATAAATGTATGGAGAGTCGTGGCCTGGAGGTCCGTCGTCGTTCTAAGGAAGCTCAAAGTTAGCGCTGCCTCTCATTCCAAACATCTGCACTGATCTAATGTTCTCACTCACCGTAAGCAAGACCCGCAATCTACTGTTGTTTTGCCCGGACATGGTTGCTTAAAGCTCAACTCAGTGACTAGTTCAATGCATAAAACGTTATTCCGATCCGAAGCACAGTCAGGGCATTCGTCCCTTGGTCCGTGTCCACGATCAACACGAGGTACGGCGCATTGGAAGATTTGGTAATTGGGAGACCATACTACTGTACATAGTACATGTGCAGCTTGAACCGCAACACAAGAAACCTGCGTGTGTATGTACAACTCGCAATATAACGATAATCATGGATACCTATTCCTCTGAACTTCAGCTCCTGGATGTCAAAGCGCTCCACGTTCCTATGAACGTGTTTTACCAGGTGACGCTGCCCCGAGCAGCGGAATCATCCGAAGTGCTTTGGATCGTCTCCGATGGATCCGGAGAGTAAGAGGCAACCTGACCTCTGCCGCACACGAGTAGTATGCAAATACATAACTCATTCATAGAACGAGTATTCACGTAACCCAATTCACCGTATTGTTGCACGCCTCACAAGGTGAGAGCTGCACGGGCCATTTGCAAAGCGCCTTCTTTGGTAGCGTTTCCTAGAGTGCAACATGAGCAGCGAGACCAATAAAAGGATTGACACTTGAACATACCACCTATGAAGCCGCTGGCGTGGACAAAAATACAACGATCGATACCAGATAACTTGGACAGTTCCTCGTCCCGTACACCACGCCATGCCTCAGGAAGAGCCTTCCGACTCTCAAAGCTTTCCGGAGAAACAGGAACCGCCTGTACACGCCAATTGCCTCCGGTCTCATCAGGGTAGATCACATAAACGGGTTGCTCAGACGGCGCGATGGCTTGTTCAGCTTCAAGCTCAAAAAGATGCTCCTGTTAGGGTTGGGATAAATATAGGTGGATGCTTATATCATCCATAACGATAAGCTGACCTTCCAGGGAGCAAACTGCTCAAAGAGTATGATCTTGCCACTGGGATCAGCTTTGGTACGTTTGGCCAAAGCAGTTGCTACAAGGTCTCGGGCGGGAAGCCATGCATTGGCGTAGTAATCGACGCGATCCATGAATTCCTGGCCGACCACAGCTGATGCCTTGAGGAACTGGGCCTATTGGCATGTTCCTGAGTACATGTCAGCAAGGATGAACTGTAGGACATACGTCAAGGGTTTGAGAATCAATTGGCTGGTTCCAAGCTGGGTTCAGATGGCTAACACGAGTCGAAATGTCCGTCCTGGATCGGTAGCGTGAAGATGCAGTGGTATCATACTGGGAAATACCGTTGTCGATCGCGTCAATTGCTTCAATGAATTCCTGTATTGCATGAGATGGTTAGTTGGTGACCGAATCTAAGCAGCAATTGTGGCGGTATGCACCTTGTAAAGCTTTAGCCAGAGGGTGGACACCTTCCCGTCTTGCGGGGCGGTATTGAGCCTATTGGCGATAATCTCTTCACCAAAATGCCTACGATCAAAGAATTCAGCAGAGTATTCTACGAAGTATTCGTCGTGCCCACTTGTATACCAGGCCCGCGGAAGACAACTTCGTGGTAAATCCATGACCGAAAACTTCGGTGAAGCCACGTTGGTGATGATCGAAGCGTTGCTTGCTCTCGTCATAGACCCCGCCAACGTCTACAACGATGGAACAAGTGCCCAGAATAGTGGCATCTCTGGTGCGCTTGAGATCTGGGAGAATATTGAGATTCTACATGGGAAATGCGGGAAAAGAATGAGCATGCCAGCCTCAGCGTATGCCTTTGTGTGCCTGAGGAGGAACACAGCGAGTGCCTCATCGCAATGGAAGGTGCCATTGTGAGTGCCTATAATCTGTGTGAGCTATTGAGTGAGAAACTTTTACAAGTCGACGGTGATCTAACTTTGCGATCGGTGTCCATTTTCTGCTTTTTGGCGGGGTGGTCAACTTCGGCTTGGGTAGCAGACATAAAGCGTCTTGGATGTTGGTAGATGAAACCTAAAGTAGCCGGTCTATAGATCTTCTTGGAGGAAGAGAGACAACGAAGATGATGTGAAGAACGCAGAATGTTGACAAGAAGCTTCATGGGACAGGCCAATGAGATCAGACGCCTTATGAGGGGCACGTTGAAGCCATATTTTAGACAACAGCCCACCACGTCCTGTAAATTATCCATGTCTGCTCTACAGTACAAAAGTCCGATGAATGAAAAATGGGAGGGCAGTCGCAAGGTGATGATATAAAATCCTGGGTGCCAAACGGAATAACACTGTCATAGGTCCGTGATGCGATGCTGAAAATGCGACGAAAAAATGCAGTCAAGATCTACGAAAGTCACCACCAATCCAACCCAAACTACGCTATACCGAAGACCCTTCTTTCCCTTCTACGCTAACACCAGGGTACCGCCCAATGCTACACCGGCCACGACTAGCAGGAAGGTGTTGATATGCATAGCGGTGACTGACGAGGTGAAGCTGTCATCTGGACCCAAGACACCACCCGACGCAGATGCGCCTGGACTTGGAGCACCATTTGGACCACCCCCACCATCGACATCTGTTGGTGCTGTTGGAAGTGGACCAGTGGATGATGGACTCGACGAGGTAGAGTTCGAATTAGACGTATTGTTTCCGTTGGAGGTGTTGTTACCAGTAGGTGTGGGCGAAGGTGTAATTGTGAAGACTACACCACTGGTGAAGGTGCTCTGAACCCGTCCTGGACCGAGGGTGACTCCTGTGGTCAGAGACGTCGAGAGAATGACGGATTGGGAGGTGGCATTCCCAGATGCCTGCTGCTGCTGGGAAGCCTGGGTCTGCGAGGCTTGCTGCGAAGGTTGCTGTGAAGATTGCTGCTGCTGCTGAGAAGACTTTAATTTGTGGATACAAGGCGGCGTTAGAGTGAATACTTGAAGGATCGAGTATGGGAACTGACTTGAGCTAGTGCAAGAAGGGGCAGTGCCAGGACGGTAACGAGAGCATAAATGCGCATGGCAGGCAGGATGGTGGACGGTAAAGGACAGTAGAGACGAAACCTGAATGAAGTACGGATTTTCCGTGTAGTCGGTGGGCGTGGTCGTTGTGGTCGTCGACAAGGATGGGCAGGTTGGAACGGAAGAGGGTTTCCGCTTGGGGAACTCGTTCACGTGGACCGTGTACGGAAACTTTCTCCGCGTCTCCTGGCTCTAGCGCATACTTATACCTCCCCGCCATGCCCATGTCTTTGCTTGTCCCTCTCGCCTTACAATGTCGCCCACACCTATCCGCTCCAGCACTATTCAGCTAGTCCTCCGGTACATCTCTCCTCCGTCAGGACTGGATCAACCACTTCCGCCTTACTTGCTGTCCAAATCCCTTCTTCAACGACACCATTTCCTCAACATATCTCCGGATGATCCTCAGGAATATTTATGCTGGCCCACCTCCCCTGAGAAGTCTCTCATGGCTATGGAGTTTCTGGAGTCGTTGCCCAGACCAGTTGACGACGACGCGCCCCGCAATTTTCCCGTTCACTACACTGCCGATGACGAGTATACCTACGCACACGCTGATCTTTCCACCGACGGGATAGCGGGTCCCAGACTCGTGTTTCAATGGGACGAACATGATGGGTGGAAGTTCCATGATGCCAACATCATGCCCTTCCCACCCAACAGTCAAGCCTCTCTGCGAGCTGTCATTGACTCGAAGGATTCAATCCTTCAATCCAGCGGTCCCAAACAGACCCAGGATGTCAATTCTTATGGCTTCGATTCCGAGCCCAGCGAAAGCGACGATGACGACTACTGGAATGCATACGGCTCTCATGACATGCATGACTCCTCGCATGATCGCTCGTCGCTCATCTCGGATACTGTGGGAACCGAGGACGCCTATTGGGCTCGTTACTCTTCAGTGCATGGTAAGTATGCAATGCTTATATCCATGTCAGATCCTCCCATTCATCTGTCCTATATAGGCACCGCAGATTCGACACGCCCATCCCCACTTCCAATACACCGTCGAAAACCTCACCCCTTTGACAGCCTTCCCACCGATCCTGATTCTCCTCATCCCCTTCCCGTCCGTATCGGATCAGAAGACCTGTCAGACGATACTTCGCCTCTCCCGCTCGTTGCAATGCCCAGAACCAACATCAATTCACGATGGGATCCCGCTTCACCGCAGACGCTTGCTCAGTTACTCGCCACAATCTCACCCAGGGAAAGTGCTCCTCACAGCCCCAGACCTTCGTCAGAATACGATTCCCAGCCCGACTTTCTTTCACCTCCTGAAAGAAGTTCTGGTAGCGACGATTCAATGACACCGTCTCCCCCAGCTTTGGGTTTCGTTGTGGATGATGACGAGTCTCCTCTGCTTCCAAAGCCCGTTTCGCTCAGGATAGGTGTTGATGCTTCTCCAGATCTCAAAAAAGATGAGGAGAAAGTGTTGCACTCCGGTGCGGCTGATACAGATGCAGCTCTTCGACAGAGCTTACGTGGGCTTTATGCCTTGTATAAAATTCAGAATGGGAAAGGTAGCGATGAGGAGGTACTTAGTCGCGCCTTTCTTCGGATTGCGGAGGAAGTTGTTGCCTCATAGTCGGGATATATACATTGCTCTAGACTCACTAGAGCTTTGATCCACCATTGTACTGTATTTCTAGCGGTATACACACGGGTTTCGAGATATTTGCTTCACGCGGATGGAAGCATACCCGCACCAGCGGTAATAGTGTATTGCATTACAATAAGCATCATTGACGTTCCGTCGATTTCCTTCATGTTCGCTTTTGTCACATAACCCACATCGCTACCATAATCCTCAAAATTGCTGGGGGACGTAAACCGGCCCTTTGTGGCCATGGAAAATGAAAATGTAGAATCCGATCTGCAAATATGGTAGGATATATAATCTCCAGCTTCCCCGGATTGCTGTTGAGTTCATGAGAATTACAGGGAAGGCCTTCTCGATCAGCAAATAGGTGGAGTGAGGTTGTTGTTGTTACCTGCATGAATACTCATCAGAGCTTGGCGAATCATTGTAGTTCTTTTCCGCAAGACCAGCTCACGAAATGCAGAGTTAGAAAGTCGAGTGGAGGAATTGGAAAGAGAACTCGGTGTATGGAAGCAAGCCCTCAAAACCGCAGACAATGATGCAAAGGCTTTGAAGAAAAAGGTCTCTCAGCTTGAAAGGAATATTGGTTCTCTAAAGGTGCGTAATGCTTTCATAGTTTTTATAACCATTTACCTAAGAATGTATACCGTTAGGATGACAATCCGCTAGTAGTCTGTCTCATTGACGGCGATGGCAATATCTTCTCCTCGGAACTCGTGAAACTCGGACAGAATGGCGGACACCAAGCTGCTCTTCTCCTCAACAAGGGTCTCACCGATCATATGAACAGTCTCGACTCGGACGAAGGTTTCTCAAGTCGAGGTCAAATCTGGCTTACGGTCTATTGCAACAAGAGTGGCCTTTTGGAGACTCTGACAAGCAATAATATTTGTACTGCGGAGGAATTTGAGTCCTTCGTGACGGGATTTAACCAAGCTTCACCACTTTTCTCATTAGTGGACGTCGGCACAGGGAAAGAGAGGGCTGACGAGAAGATTAAAGGTATACAGATAGTGAATATTGCGTCAATTTCAGCCGGAGTCTTACTTCTTCTTTCAGAGTGCCTTCGCGTCTTCACCCGCTTCCCACAGACGACCAAGGTGTTCTTCGGAGGTAACCTTGCGCGTTCTTTTGTGCGTTACGTCTGATCTGGGCTGACGCATTCTCAGGTGCTCACGACAATGGCTACATCTCTATCCTCAATCAACTCCAAAATGAAGGTCTATTGAACAAAGTGGTCCTGTTGCGTGGTTACAGAGAACTCGCATATGAACTGAAAAATTTGGATCTGCCTACGCTGGATATCGTGGGTCTATTCATGACTAGAAAATTACAAACCGTCCAAACAAAGAAACCCTCCCCTCCGCCAACTCAAGTGAAGTTGCAAGACTTTGATAAGTTTCGTGTAAAACCCACAATACCTCTTCCTTCCCGTCCTTCACCTAGTAGCAATGCGAAGGTTGCGCAACGTATCGAGAAGAATTTGGTGGGTTCCGTTGACGCTGAGCACTCTTGATGACATGGTTAACTCAATCTCATGCAAAATTAGCCTCTCCATAAACGTATGTCAACGCCTGCTTCTTTGACCTAACCGCAATGTCTAATTGGTCAACAGATAGACCGCCTCCTTGCAACTTCTACTACCTCGCTGATTGCAAGCATGGGTTGAAATGCCGCTATGGGCATAATTATATCCTTTTACCCGAGCACATCGATGAACTCCGTACCAATTCAAGGAAGTGGCCTTGCCCGTATGCTAACAGAGGTTAGACTTCGTGATACGATCTATCTCAACAACACTTTACTGACTTACTTTGCAGACAATCCGTGTCCTTTTGGCGAATCGTGTTGTATGGGGCATGCTTGTCCAAAAGGACAGAGGTGTACATTTTTGAAACAAGGGAAGTGTAAATTCACTGGAAGTACGTTATTATCGTTTATTGTACTTTGTTGTGAATACCTCTGATACAGTAATTTTCGATCAGCATCAATGCATGATGGAGAGGTTAGTCGTAGTAGAGGCCCTTCAAGTTCACTGTCCCCTTCTAGTGCGCGGGGAAGTCCTGTGGTATCTGAGGTTGGCTTGCCTACGGTGTGGGACTCATATGGCGTCGATGCATAGTTGTTTATAGTACCTTCTCGAGAGTCAATCTGTCTGTCTTACTTGCCTTTGTTTCTTTGAATGAAGTTGTATTACCTGTTCATCGCTTTGGAACGTATTACGCGGAGTATGAATGGCTTTGCTAATTCTTACTGGTACCATAGGTTTACGGTCTTGAATTTCTTACTAGAGTCTAGACGAGTGCACTTCCGAACGCGATCACATGAAACTCACGTGCGCGCCTTGCCCTACGAGTCGCGTGAGGGCACACCGTTAACGTTGTCCTCGATTTATCTCTCTATTTTTGGGCCCTCTTCGTTCTTCAGGCCTCAGCCATATATTTTTCGCTTCCTTGAACACGCAGGATGACCACTTTTGATGATGAAAGGGACGCAAACATTGCAAAAAACCGAGAAATGCTCAAGGCATTAGGATTGGACGTTGGTACCAGAACCTTCGCGCCGTCCAAACCCAAACCAAAGCCCAAAGCGAAATCAAGAGCGCCTCCCAAACGAAAGCAACCAGCTTCGGATGAAAGCTCAGGTGAGGACGAAGATCAACCACGAAAAACTGCGCGCGTCGAGGTGAACGAAGAAAATGGCAACACTGGCCTACGTCGCAGTGGAAGAAATGCGGGGAAACGAGTCGACTACAAAGGAGATGGAGAAAGTATTGCAAACAGCAGACCTCCACGCCCATGCCTTATAAGCTCTGCGGCACAACGTGGTGTTGACACGGAACCACGAAGTGTTGACAAGCGCATTCACGATCCGTGAGTGGACTTACGCGTCTTGTGATCCAACCACAAAGGTCTGATATCCCATTACAGAAAGACCTATGGTGCAATTCCAGGTGTCGCTGTAGGAACGTGGTGGGAGACTCGGTACGTTTTCAATCATGTCTGTCGAGCCCCGGCATTGCTGAACGTGTTTCATCATGATCTAGCCAAGCGTGTAGCATTGATGCTATCCATGCGTAAGTCTTCAGCGGAGGTCGGGGTGCAGTAAATGAGATGCTGAACGTTTTTGCAGTCCTTGGGTAGCTGGCATCTCGTCTGGTCCACACGGAGCTTATTCTGTAGCTCTTTCCGGTGGCTACGAAGATGACGTGGATGTAGGCGAGGGATTGTGAGTCCAAGTTACTGCCCATGATTGATGTCTATGCTAACTGAACCGACCCACGATGTAGCACGTTCACAGGAGCAGGTTTGCATCTTGAGTTATGTACCGATAATCAATGCACTGACAAATAAGCTTACCAGGAGGAAGAGATTTGAAGGGAACGAAGAACAACCCGAAGAACGTAAGCGCTGTACTTGGGTTATGAACGATATGACATCTTATCTGGGTTGTTTCAGCTTCGGACTGCAGAGCAGAGCTCTGATCAGACATTTGAGAATAGTGGGAATAAGGCTCTGAAGGTATGGCGGCTTGGAATATGTAGGTCCAGTCAGTTCTGAATTCACATTGATTTGCAGAAATCTGTGGAAACCAGGAAACCTGTTCGTGTTATCCGTGGGTACAAGCTTCAATCCGAATACGCCCCAGCCGAAGGCTATCGTTACGATGGGTTGTACACTGTAGAAAAGGTGTGGTCAAGCCGTATAGACGTTCTGATGGACAATATCTGACATATCTTCCTAAGGCCTGGCAAGAGCGCGGGTTTTCCGGCTTTTTGGTTTGCAAGTTTGCTTTTAAGGTAAATCATTATGAACACTAGAGAGGACAAGTATTCACGATAGGTTTCTATAGCGCATTCCTGGTCAAGATCCACTCGTAGTCAACGCGATCGAAAGCTCGGATGCAGATGACTCGGATGAGCAGGAAGAAGATTCCTGAACCTAAAGACATACTACCTCAGACTGTGATACCCCGTCAAGTTTCATCTCTCAAACCATTGACCGATGTTCCGTCATACCATCTAGTTACCTATATCTTGCGTTGTTTGCTTTCAATTTGCTCTCGCCAGTACATCTAGGCTGTTGCTTTCTTGTATATAGTTTGATATTACGTTGCCTTGTTGTTGTTGTTTGTAACAGTCCATCTAATAACGATCTCTGTATCCTCTATGCGAATGGTGGATGGACATGGAGACGATTCGCTAAAGATTCAAGAACTCGACTGCTGCGTGTTGCAAACTAAATTGGGTCAGATCGCTTACGTGACGATCAGCGCTGCAGAGCCTGTAGCGATGCACAGCCGTACGAGTTGTTTAAGAACAGCCGTGACCACACCCACTGCCTGATACCCGTTCAGTCTATCCTTGTCTTATTCCCTTTCTTATCAAACTACTATGTCTTTTTTCAAGCGTAAAGATAAACCCCTCATTCCTCCCGTAGCTTCAGAGACAGCCCGCGACGAGCTATTCGCTTCTCGTGGTAACAGTTCATCGCCGCGCCCTCCTCCATCATATCGTTCGAGTGCCACCACATACGTTGCTAGCCGCGATGGCGACCTCTACGGAGTTGAGAAACCTTCCACACCTTCGCCTTCCGCTTACAGTGATCGATACACAAGGAAGGATGCTGTCGGTGATGTCTACTCTCGAGGACAAGGCAACCTCGATCAAGATCGCAATGAACTCTTCGGTGGCTACAAACCTCAAGCTGGCTCAGGTCGATTCTTCGACAGTGCCCCAGGGCAGGGAGGGCCACCACCTGCTGGTGAGGAAACGGAGGAAGATGTGGAAGGCATCAAGCAACAGTTGAGGTTTACCAAACAGGAGAGTGTCAACTCGACTCGGAATGCCCTTCGGCTGGCCCGCGAGGCAGAGGAGACTGCTCGTGGTACACTTGGACGATTGGGAGACCAGTCTGGTAATGTCATCACACTTGCTTTACGATTTGATTCTTGTCTAACCATGATGATCGAACTACAGAGAAATTGGCTAATACTGAACGTCATTTGGACGTTTCCAAGGGCCACTCTCAACGAGCGGAGGACAAGGCCGATGAGTTGAAACAACTCAATAGGTCCATCTTCCGGCCAGTCATCACCTTCAACAAAGACGCCAAGCGCGCAGCTCAGGAGGCCAAGATTCAGCAGCGCTATGAAGACGAACGAGAGGAACGTGAGAAGGCAATGTTGGATATCCGTGAGACGCAAGAGCGTGTTGGTCGTGCTGTGACATACGGTCGTCGTGATGACGATGAGGGTATTGGTGGTCGATACAAGACGGAGGCACAGCTCAATGCCAGGAAGGACCAACGAAAGCGCTTTCAGTTCGATGCAACTGCCTCGGATGATGAACTCGAGGACGAACTCGATGACAATCTCGGCGAGATCTCGGATATGACCAAGAGGTTGAAGGCAATTGGAACGTCTATGGGTCAGGAGCTCGACAAGCAGAATGAGAGAATCGGCAGAATTACGGAGAAGACTGATAGCTTGGACAATAGAATCTTCCGCAACACCAAGAAAGTATGTCGGGGTATCTTTCTACTTTGCTTTTTGTGATGCTGATGCTTTTACAACAGCTTGAACGAATCAAGTAGCTTTCTTGCACCTACGTCATCGGCTATGTTAGACTCTTTTCTGGGAAAGATTTTGGTTGTCACTTTGGACTGTCTCTCATCTTAATTATGTATACCCTCATACAAGAGCATATATATTCATCTTGCTATTGCAGGGAATAGAATAATTCGTAAAGCAGCTCACCCGAAGGTTGCACGAAGTATGCTATTTGGCCATGTTTGCCAAGAACCTCTAAGAATATTGCCATTCTAGGAAGGAGCCAGGTAATTTCATGTTGAAGTTGCATCTGGCATGTTGTATCTCATTGAACCATACGTTGAACGGTCAGCCTTGTTATGTCGCATTCTCTGGATAAATAAAGCCGCTACTAATACTGGTAGCAGTAGCGAACAAATCTTGCAATGCTCATGTTGCCAACGCAGCGTCTACTAGCTCTGCCATAGCTATGGTGGCTTCTTCCTCGCCTCTGTATCCAACAACTTGAAGGCCAACAGGTAAACCGTGGAAGCATTCAGGATCATCTACAGTCGGGGATCATAACTCAGCGGATATGATGCCATAATAACAGGAACACGTACACAATTCATATACAGCTTGGTCGTCAAGATTTCTGAACTCATGAGGAAGAACCTGGGTATCAATTGCGGAGTCCGCGCGAGTGACAGGTAAGACCAACGATGGACAATCCAGGGTATTCCAAACCAATGTATAAACTGCAGACCTAGAAATTGGACTGGTTAACCCACACACCGTTATATTAATCAGTCAATAGCATACATACCTCTTCTCTCCGTGAGGAACCGCAGCATAAGGCGACACAGGGCAAATTATCGCATCGACAGGCCTACCCGTACCAGTAACATCTTCAGTCGCCTGCCAATGATCGAAGTATTCCTTTCTCAGTTCACGCCTCTCCTTGTGAAGTTGCCATAGTTGATAAGCGGTGAGCGGTTCACGAGGTTTTCGGAACTCTGGTATGTCATTCGGGTCCGCATCCAATTTCATGGAATGTATCATGGGCTCGCCGGAGATCAGTGCAGCAGCGTAATCAGCTCCGCCATCGGCTAAAAAGGTGGAACGCTATAAAAGCCCGAGAGTTATTGTTAAGTGATACCCCTTAGATACAACTGGTAACCGATGGGTGCGTACTGCATTCGCTATCAATTCAGCGTGCTTATGGGGAACCCAATCAATGACTTTAGGGAAGTACGTTGAGAAAAGCCCCATGATCCTCAACTCTGAGTCACTTACGGACATGGCCAGCGTTCTCCAGCGCCCTCTTGGCACATTCAAGAGCTCGCATAACGGGCGGATGAGGTTTTACAATGCCGTCATCCCAGATAAGACCGAAACAGAGTTTATAGCCTTCCCCATGTTCTTTCAGTGCATAGCCAGCATCGTCCCAGGGTTTGAAGATAACATCGGGGTCGACACGCCATGGCTTGGCCGCGAGCACAGATTGCATGAAAGTTTTGATGCCTGAAAGTGATGTTGACATTGGTCCTGCAATCGTTGCGATGGCATCCTGGCCATCGAGTGAGTTGACAATTCCATAGGTGGGAACTCGACGAGAGCTAGGCTTGAAGCCGTAAACCCCGCAAAAATGTGATGGATTCCTGATTGATCTAACCAAGCCAGAGACAGTGGCGTGGGTTAGGACTAAAGTCGAAATGTTTGGAAGCTTACCCTCCTACGTCAGATCCGACACCGAGGATACTACCATGAAACGCAAGTAAAGCAGCTTCACCTCCAGAAGAGCCAGCAGGTGTGAAGGCAAGGTTGTGGGGATTGCATGTTCGACCGAACACGTTGTTATGGGTCTCGCCCCACTGCAACCACGTCAAACCATCATTGATAGATAGAGGGCTTGTCGAAGTACGATACGGACCATTAACGTTTGCGGTACATTTGTCTTCACATAGAAGACCGCGCCACTCTGCCGAAGCAACTTCACTAATGCCGAATCATCTTCGGCGACTTGACCCAACCATGCAACATATCCTGAAGACAACGGTCAGCTTGTCCCCGTGCATTTATCTAGTATTTGCAAAACGGACCCATTGACGCTTCGTGACCCTTCACTCGGAACTGATCTTTCAGAGAAATCGGTAAGCCATGTAATGGTCCTACTACTGTTGCATTCTTCTTATAGAAGTCATCTAGTTCATTTGCTCGTTGGATAGCTTCTTCAATGAAGATCTCGGTGAGACAATTGGTCTGAAATGCAATCCGATCAGCCACTTCAAGAAGAAACTAATAACACCACAATGTCGCTGTACTCACTAGTTGATGTGCGATAACAGCGCGTTTGCAGAAGGCGGTCGTAACATCTACTGCAGACCATTCGCCTCTAGCAAGTTTGCCCAGAAGCAAATACACATCGGATGTTGTTGTAATTTCAGCCTCTTGCGGCGATAATAAGCCGCATGAGATAGGGATATCAAGGACATTTGTGCGGCCTTGTTCTATCGGGGGAATTAGCCATTCATTGGGTATAGCTGCCTTTTGTCGTCTTCGTTTCTCCGCGACCACATCCTGCCAAGCAACGCTGCTAGACATATTCAGGTAAGGAGGTGGACCTCAACCGTGCCTCTTGAACGAGGGAAGCGACATGCAGGTTGCACCGTTGTAAAGAGCTCAGACTGCTTGTGTACATATTTAGATGTATCAAGTGCGGACATCCGTGTTCACCGTCACGGTAGTAGTGGCCCGGGCAGGCAGTAACAGGTGAGTTGTACTCATGAGCGAAGATGAGGATGCTGCATCAAATCATTGATGGAGCTTGCGACATCGACACTGGACATCACCTCTGGTGGGCGGAAGTAGACGCCCAATTCACGAAACCGTGGGAGTGAGCACCCCGTGGGACAGTGAGCACCCCGTGAGAGAGTGAGCACCCCGTGAGAGAGTGGGCGCTTTGGGAGCGTGCGCGAGCACCCCGTGGGATAGTGGCGCTTTTATCAGCGTCTGGGAGACGAGCATCGCGTGAGATACTAACACCAAGTTGGGCACCACCTGTTTGCTATGCTCAGAATGTCTGAGCACATATGTTGTTCAGCATACACTGTGTTGCTACTAAATTAGAATACACATAGGCCTGCTTCAAATATATTTCCAGTATCTACTGTTCTCTATTCTGAAATGATTGTAAATGTCGGAAAAATATAAAATAGATCATAAGGGGGGTTATAACCCCCACTCTCTGGTTAACTTGGGTTATGATGGCATCAAAAATCAAAATGTTACTTAAAACGGCTTACAACTGCCGTTACAAGAGCTTATAAGCCGTTGTAATACTGTTCCCGACTCTCCAGTTATAGAGTACTTAGATATTTTTCTGACATTTTAAGCCTTGCTTCAAGTCTGCCCCAAAGTGCAACTACGCAGTGACATTCGCTTTGCGAATGTTGACCGCCAAGCGGTCCCTGGCCGAAGGCCAGCCCAAGCTCCATCTGTCCCTGGGGCGAAGCCCCATAAAATGACCTGGTTCGTGACACGATATCAACCTAACGAAAATACCACGAGAGGTGCAAGTGATTTAACGAATGGCCACTTCTCCATGTGGACACTAGGGCCCAGGGGGGTGATGCATAAGCGCTCATGTCGAATGATATTCTGGATATGACGTTTCAGAGTCTCCGAGTCGGGTGTTCCATTCATTGAATCTCGCTGCTATACCGGACATGAATGCACGAAGCTCATCCGAGATGATCACCACCGTGTCTAGGAAGCTGGTAGGAATCGAGCCTCGGCATTGGCCTCCGAGGCTGCATCTGGCTGCATGAGAAAGACTGGGCGGGGAAGGCTGTGTGGGACTATGCTTGATCCTTTTGGGGTTCAAGACTTTGTCGCTGGTGTCCTGGTGAGTTACAAGTCCCGTAAAGTTACGCTCATCTGAAGAAAATTCGCTATCTAGACCCTTGTGGTATGCAGTCGCTATGGGTACTGCAATCGAATGTTGAATGCCCTGCAATCCAACTTGATGACGTTTGCGAGTCGATGTGACGCAACTTGCAGTCTACTGCAACAAGAATAGCGTCCATTCCCAGGCGGTTGGGGCTTATAACTTAATATAAGGTTTCTTCCATGTGTCTTCTGCATCTGTGCAGAGCTGTTCGGCGAGAGGTCTGTAGCCCCTCTTTGAACGGACGGTGGGCATCGATGGCCGCAGTGCGGCTTCGGTGTAAGCAGGTAGCTGTTGCGGCATCCACGATAAGAGCATAGCATACCCATGATTTCTTGGCGTGTTCCAACAAAGGGAAGTATGTACAGACTCCGTTGATAAAGTTCCTCGTTTCAGTTTCCGAAAATTCGAGGCTCCATCGAGAACTGTCACCCAATCACCGTGCCACGTTCCGCCACCTACATAAGGCGAACACGATCAACATGAACTTGTACGTTCCCTTATGCCTCGCCTGTCGCTACGCGCTCTGACACCTAGACATTATATCATAATCGTTTCTGTTCTCTCCGGGCTACTTCTGGTCATCATCCTACCCACCGTCCTTACCCGTAACAACGACGATTCTGTCTCTTCAGAAAATAGCTCTCCTTCCGCTAGCGCAACCCAGACCAATGGTCCTTCTAATCTGACTCAAAACCTCATCCCCCCAACAAGCGCTGTCAATTGTAGTGATATTCAGTGTGAGATCGGGGTCTTGACCCAACGGCGCCTTTCCACTATAGTGGGCTCTACAGAAAATGCCACTTTTCTCGGTACTTGGTAATTCCTTGCCGTCTCATGTCGATGACTGCCTTTATCTCGTATATTGAAACTGGTTTAGGCTATCAACACTCGGTGCGGATGGTCGCTGGGCACCATCCGAAATTGATTACACTACTGGATGTAAAGCTCAGATGGCCAACTGGCCAGCGTTGGTTCATTGGCAACGTATTGGTGTGTGTTTTGTCGGTCCCAGCAGTCCCTTCGCTCACGGCAAGATCGGTATAGAAACACTCGCTGCCGGATGGCACGGAAGTCTGGCCTCTGCACAGCAGTTCGCTGGGAATACTGACTTGCGAAAATCCATTTCATCTGCAATGAACGCGTGGTTCTCCGACGACTTTCGTAATTTGGCGTGCTTAGATGCAGGCGGTAGTGCGGGTTGTCCGTGTGACACGCCTGGCTTTTGGAACAGGAATTGGTTTAGTAATGTTAGTATGCACACCCACGCAGTATATCTCTCGTTTTGATTCCCTCTTCGCCAGGTCATTGCACTACCCACACTTGTTGGGCAGGTTTGTTTGCTTCTCAACGACACATTGCTTCAATCCGAGTTGGATAGTTGTGCGAGGATAACTGGCCGCGCGTTCTCCACGTTCTCCACCGGCATACCCGTTCTCGGACCCATCACGGGAGCCAACACGCTCGATATTGCTAGCGTCGGCATCGACAAAGGGCTTCTCACGAAAAATGTTTCCCTCCTCTTCGACGCATATAAACGAGTTCATGCTGAGATCACTGTTGAGAATCGCGTCAAAGCTGATGGTATCAGAAGTGATGGGTCATTCAGTCAACACGCTGGAATATTGTACAATGGCAATTACGGGAAGGATTAGTGAGTGGTCCTTGAGCCAAGCATATGCGATGACACTGACATGTGATGCAGCGCAAGCGACGTGTTGAGCCTTGAGATCTCGGCAGCGGGAACGCAATTTCAAGTAAATGACGAGGCTCAGGATGCTTTCGAAACTCTTATGGATGGAGGACAATGGATGATCTATCGGAACATCTTCAGCAACGTTCTCCATTGGGACTTCGTTCGTGACTTTGAATCATTGTTCGAAGTTCAACTCTAATACATTCTCCACAGAGCGCGTTAGGACGTTTCATCACGTTCCCAGTGGCCGATGATCAGTGAGTAAAGAGTCTTCTTAGCAGACAACCTGACTAATTTGTCTTGATAGAGCAACGGCCAATATACAATTCAACGTCACTGAACTAGGAATTCTAGCGGCGGAATGGAGCTCAGATACATTGATGGATGTATTCCTCGCCTTGAGTCAGAATACAACCGATGCCAATGCTGGGGGTCTCACAGGGAATCGCATGTTCTATGCGAATGACTACATGGTGTGTATTCAGAATCAAGTTATTCATATCTGTTAATTCACGTCCTTAGGTTCACCGAGGACCCGGCTATATGACTAGCGTGAAAATGTTTTCTAGCCGAACACAAAACACTGAATGTCTCAATGGCCAGAACCTCGCTGGTTTCCACCTTAGCGATGGAACGGTCTATACACACCTGACGGGTGATGAATACGAAGACATTCCCGCTGCTTGGGATTGGAACCTCATTCCTGGCATCACAGTAGACTATGGCGCAACCCCCCTTGATTGCGGACACAGCGGGAATACCGGTAGCTCAGCGTTCGTCGGCGGCGCTTCTGACGGTCGTGCTGGGGTAGCCGTGATGCAGTACCAGAACCCTGTCACGCAGAGTTTGAGTTGGAAGAAAGCGTGGTTCTTCTTCGAGAATGATGTTCACCACGTCACTGTTGCGGACATTTCATCGAAGACGCAGTCACCAGTCTTCTCCGTGCTTGACCAACGGAAGCACAACGGAGACGTCCTCGTGAATGGTCAAGCGCAAGGAACCGGTAACTATTCCAATATCACTTCGCTGTGGCATGCTGGTGTCGGATACACATTCAATACTGCCACTGATCCCATTTCACTATCCCTCAACCTCGGACCACGGACGGGACAGTGGTCATCTATTGGTATATCAAATCAACCTCCGGCGACCGTTGATCTCTTCGCAGCATGGTTACACCACGAAGACCTTAGTAAATCAATATCATACACTGTCTTTCCTGCAGTCACACTTTCCTCTTTCCAATCCAAAGCCTCCTCCACTACTGTACAGACATTGCAAAACGACAAATCCGTCACCGCCACACTTTCCGGTTCTGTTGCTATGATTGTCTTCTGGAACTCAGGAGGCGGGCAGATTGATGTACCCTCACTCGAGGGAGGTGCAATCACGACGAGTTCGTCGAGTAGCGCCGTCGTCATCATACGATTAGATACTTGGGATATCACAGTTGCTCACCCAAGCCAGACTTTAACTACAGTGACGCTCAATTTCTCAGTAAAATCTGGGAGCACTCCATCTCGTTGGGGATCTTCCAATAGCAAAGACATGACCTTCAATTTGCCGACTGGCGGCACCGCAGGGGACAGCGTGACCAGGAACCTGACATGACCCTTCTCCTAGTCCAGTGAGCAATATCTCAACTTGTTAGTGAGACACCTCCTGATTCACTATCAGCTGAGCTACTACATACAGCACACGAGACCGAGCACACCATCTGCATAAGCATCGCATCTCAGCGTTCCAGAGGCATTTTGACCGATACCCAATTGCCAAGTTATCCACGCAACGGCGACGTTCTGCAGCTGGCGTCCAGAGGACCGTCTACTCGTCCAAGGTTGTGCCGCGCGTTGGTCAGGTGGTGATTGCAGACATTGTAGACCTCATTGGACTGAAATGCATTGACGCTACAGACTCCTAATGCACATTGCAGCTTCTGATATGTATGGACTGTTATACGAATAGAGCATGGACTTTGACCGAGGATACGAAATTCATGGATATGGGCTCTCTTGCTTGTACATCTGGCACGGACTTTGCTGGCTTCTGGTGCGTCGTCACGGTAGTATATATGTGGTCTATGAGTGCTCGATACGGGCCGACATGTCAGTCAGACTTTGACAGCCCATATGGACGGTACCCTGAAGTCGATTTGAAACGCCCGCACAAAGTACGATATTTCCTATTTTCGTTGACAAACCTCATTCTTAGATGCACGGCCTGGCGGAGAAGCTTTGCACGGTACGACGGCCCTGTCTCTGCTAGGTCACTTTACCAATTGAGCCGAGCTTGGTCGGCATTAAAACAGAGAAGTCAGCCTCCCTGCTGAAGTTGCGCTTTCTCCGCTCGCTCTGCTTCATTGCTACCTTCATGAACATGGCGGTGAGACAGCTCCTACGTCTCTTAGTGGCTGTTGTTTCCTGTGCTGTGGTTGTTCGCGGTGACGCGTCAATTGCTGCAGGCAACGTACAATCAACGCTCTCTGTTCCCCCACGCTTGACTAGCATTGACGTGAGTTTTTTCTTCAAAGTAATGTTAATCTAGGATTAATAGTCCTCGTTCACATGCAGTCACTGAGCTCAGAATCGTCTGGCTCTTCATCCACTCTTTTAATACCCTCACTCGTCTCTTCCTTGTCCTCTCCACGTTCTTTCAGTACTCCTCCTACTAGTAGTTTCGTTGCAACTTCTCTACCACAAGACATTCCTTCGTCTGCCATCTCAGATGCAACATCAGCATCAGCGTCATCTACATCCACTTCTGCGTCACGTTCGCAGTCGGTGGATCCGGCAACTCTTGCGGATATCCAAGTGATGACTGAACGGAGATTGTCGTTTATTGTCGGTGCAGCTACCAATGCCTCAAACATTACTACGTGGTAGGCCATTTGGAGCTATCGTGTGGAAATGCCTTTTCAAACTGATGTCGGTAGGCTGTCTACATTGGGTCCGGACGGCAAATGGCCTGATTCTGAGATCGACTATACTTCCGGTTGCGAGGCTCGCCGAGCAAACTGGTATGGTACTTCAAAGTATATTGTCGTTTGACTATGAGCTCAATATGGTTTGTTCCGTGTCATAGGCCAGCTCAGAGCCACTGGATTCGCCTTTGTAAGTCTCCACCTCTGATTCTTTGGTAATATTTGACCCCAACGATTTACAGTGACCATGTGTGCTGCTTGGCATGGTGGCCTGGCGGGAGCTGAGCAAGACGCCAAAGACGCAACCCTGTTGGCGGCCATCTCCAGTGCAATGAACTTTTGGTTTGATAATGACTACACAAATCCTTCGTGTTTGGATTCTGGAGGTACTGCTTCCTGTCCATGTGGTACCCCTGGTCTATGGAATACCAACTGGTTCTCCAATGTAAAGTTCACAGTTTCATATCGAATGTCTTTTACTCATCCCAGTTTAGATCATACTCATCCCAAATCTCGTATCCCAATCGTGCCTCCTCATGAATGACACACTCACAGACACTCAACTTAGCAACTGCACCCATATCACCGGCAGAACCTATGGCACCTTCGGACACAGTGTCAATGGACTGGGTATTGCAACTGGTGCCAACCTTCTAGATATCGCAAAGATTGGTATCGACCAAGGTTTGCTCAACACCAATGCTTCTATCATCACAGACGCATACAGCAGGATCCATAACGAAATTGTCATTGAGAATACCACCTTTGCTGATGGCATTCGCGCAGACGGCTCTTTTGGTCAGCATGGCGGAGTCATCTACAATGGAAACTATGGAAAAGACTTGTACGTGCGGGTTCGGCTCGCTTGTGATATATACTAACATGTCTCAGCGTAAACGACGTCTTGTTCCTGGAAATCGTGGCAGGAAGTACACAGTTCGCTGCGGGGCAAGTCTCAAGGGATGCTTTTGCAACCCTAATCGATGCAGACCTATGGATGATCTACCAAAACGTCATCACTGGAGTTCTTCATTTCGACTTTGTGAGTATACGAACTAGAAAGAGAATGTGGCCAGTTACTAACGTTTACAGAGCGTCCTGGGCCGCTTCATCAGCTTCCCTGTTATCGACAACCAGTGCGTGTTCTGCGACATTTTGTTGTCCATTATTGACAATGTTACTTTTACAGAGCTACTGGCAGCATCCAGAGTGAGCTAATAGTCCGTTTCCTTCGAGCGTTCATTCATCATAAATTGCAGTCAATATTACTGAGATCAAGCAGCTGGGCGAAGAATGGAATTCAGATACATTAACCTCGGCCGCTGCAAGTCTATCGACGAACACTACGGATGCCAATGTCGGCAGTATCAACGGGAACCGGATGTTCTACGCAAACGACTATATGGTACGACCTTCTTTCATTGTAGGAAATGCGCTTTCTAATGAACATGCCAGGTGCAACGGGGACCTGGCTATGTGACGACGCTGAGAATGTACTCCATCAGAACCAAGAACGGAGAATGCCTCAATTCCCAAAACGTGAGTGATCCAATAAGATACTCAGCTTCATCTTCAGCAATTGACCAGTGAATTTCAGCCATTTGGATTCCATTTGTCTGACGGTACTTTGTATACCTACTTGCAAGGCAATGAATACGAAGATATCTCCGTCGCATGGGATTGGAATCGTTAGTCGATTCTATTCTGTGCATATACTGTATGCTCACTAACCGTCCACATAATAGTTATCCCCGGAACCACGGTCGACTACGGTGCAACAGCCTTAACCTGCAACTCGGGAGTCAAGGGCTTGAACGCTTTCGTCGGAGGCGTCTCCGATGGCGAGATTGGCATCGGGGCTATGCGCTATACAAACCCAAAGACGAAAGCTTTCAACTTCCAGAAAGCATGGTTCTTCCTTGATAACGACGTACAACATGTTATGATCCCCGTCATCAACTCGTCCTCGAGCGCCCCGGTATTCTCGGTACTTGACCAAAAGCGCTACCAGGTTCCTATTCTCGTGGATAATTCGCCCGTTCTGGGTAACACGAACTTCTCCCAAGTTGGCACCCTTTGGCACGACAATGTCGGATATCTATTCGATGCTAATTGTCCCGTGCGCTTGTCTGTCGAAGCAGGTCCTCGCACTGGTAACTGGGCAGACATCGGCATCTCCACGCAGGGCGAATCCACGGTCGATCTTTTTGCGGCATGGATTGATCATGGCACGGAGAAGCCCATCTCTCCAGTGTCATATACTATCTTCCCCGCAATCGACTATGGAGCGTTCTCTGTGAAAGCTCTCACCACGAAGCTCACTGATATCCAGAACGACGCCCACATCTCCGCGGTTTACGATGGAGCGCATCGCACGGTGATGATCGTGTTTTGGGATTCAGCTGGTGGAACTGTCACTTTCCAGCCTTCACAGCTTGAAGCACCTCTCACAGTCACTGCAAACGGGAATTCCGCGGTGATCTTCAGACTGAACACTGGAGAAGTCACCGTATCCGATCCTTCACAATCTCTGGCTTTGCTAGACTTGACCTTCGCAGTAGGTCATGCGGGTGTGAAGCCTCCAGCATGGGGTCCTGGATTATCGAAGCAGTTGACGTTCAATCTACCCACAGGAGGTTTGGCAGGAAGCAGCGTTACACAAAAGTTGTAACGTTGGTCCCATGTGCAGTGATCAGTTTCGAGTTCCATTCCACTGACCTTCGTTTGTTGCTTATATCGATTAAATCTTACACATATTCACTCGTGCACGTCGTATTGATGGAATCCATAAGAGCATGGAAGAAAATGAATCTCTGCATAGCCTACACTGTGCGTCATCAAATGTGAAAAGTGATATACAATTAGAAAGCAGCAGTTTGCTCATACTGCTGAGGATAAGCATCCTGAGCGGGGTAACCTGCAGCAGGCTCCTCAGCAACGGGTGCAGGGCCCACAACAGGAGCGGGCTCGCGCTGCTCAGATGTTGGCTCAGCAACGATTTTGTCGATGGGAGGCTCAAGGATGGTGACGGAATCAGGGAGGGGCTTGCGGGGACCGATCTGGCCCTCAGGATCCCAGCCCTTCATACTACACCAATACGTTAGGATAAGACAATTCAGCGAGAGCGTGTAAGACTTACATCTTGACCTTGATACCAAGGACACCTTGCCTGAGCATGACGTGCCTGACAGCGTAGTCAACGAACTCCTCAGCGGGTTGACCGGAGTGGATCATAAAGCCATCGGTGAACTTCATAGACTTGGCACGGGCGGCACGAAGCTTGCCAGAAACGACAACTTCGCAACCCTTAGCACCAGACTCCATGACGAATCGGAGGACACCATAGCAAGCACTAAAATTATCCAGTTAGGCTAAACGTGACGACTTCACGATGCACGATGAGACGTACCGACGGACAGCAAGGCCACCGAGAAGCTTGTACCTCAAACTCTCACATTGAGCAATAGCAGAGAGACCACGGTATTGGACCTTCTCGGCGTAGAGCTCGAGGGAATTCTCGGGGAACTTGAAACGTTTCTGAACGAGAGCAGTAAGCTCACGGATGCGGCGACCCTTCTCACCCAAAACTTCCTGGGTGTGGGTGGCACGGATGATGATCTATAGATGTTCGGTTAGGGCCAAATTTTGCAGATAAAAGGATTCAGAACGCACTTCGGTACGAGCGTGTGTTACACGGACATCGCAACCAGAGTAACCCTCCTCGGAAAGTTCGCGAGTGAAGAAGTCGTTGAGCTCGGCACGGAAGACACCGTCAGCGACGAACTTGCGCTTTTTGCTGATTTGGCCGGACATTTTGGTAGTTGGATGAGCTGTGGGGTGAGAATGACGGTAAGTGAGCGGTTCAGAGGTGAGTGTTATCCAAAGAGATCGAGACGCATCCAGCCGTCAGCTGTCGTTCAAATGCATCCGGCCTTCATCTATAGCATCCATAACCTTCATAATGTCGATATACGAACCTTTTGGAGGGTAGCTTGCGAGTCCTCGACACCGAGAGTCTTGACGGCCGTTTGGTCAATCCCCTGCTTGAGCCTGGGGCCTCGGGATAGGGCGCTAATTCAAAACTTCCTCATTAGGAAGTGCCATCAGGCGATAGTCAGGCCGCACCAATCAGAAGTAGCAAGGGAAGCGCCAGAAGAATTTATCGTATAAAGATTTCGATGCTCTCTTGTCAACGACCTCCACCACTATCACCTTCGAGCATCTCGTTCGCCCTTTATTTTTACTCCTATGCTTAGACCAATGTCGCCAAGAAGGTGTGTACTCGTTGTTCTTTGCTTCTTCGCTGTGAAGAGTGTTGTAATTACAACCACCACTGGCACCTCTTAGTCGACTCGGTGCACTGTTCTTGAGCCTAGCTCTCCAGTGTACAGCTGACATGAATGGCTTTCTGAGCGTTCAGCCATTTTTCAGACCATCGTTTCATTTAACTAACTTCTTGCCTTTCAGATGTTATGCCTCAAATAATGTTATGGTTATTTCTCATTTGTATTGTCACCCTCCTGGATGTAGCACTTCGTCATATAATTCAATATCATGAGATTTCCTGAAATACCCTCCATGAACTGTCCCGTTACGAGGAACTTTGTGGTATAAATGCTGAATTCAACTACTGTCACTCTGTTCTTCTTTTGTGCACCTTTCGTTAGAGCCGCCTCGCTATGGATATGCTTCATTGACAAAGATAGAGGCCCCACCCATCCCGCTTCCAATACACATACTCGTGCAAAGAATCTTCGCATCTCTACGGCGAAGTTCAGCAAGGCCGGTCGCGACCTGGCGGGCACCAGCTGCAAGCATGGTCAACAAATGCATCCAAGGTATCACAATTAGAGCACGTACTCATTCCAAGAGGGTGCGTCAAAGCGATAGCACCACCGCTATACCAGAATCAATAATGCTGCAGGAGTCAAGTGCATTGGGACTTACTTGGGGTTGATTTTGGACATCGGGATAGATAGTTGTTCGACGCAGTACGCGAACTGCGATGCGAACGCCTCGTTTATCTGGAAAGCGTAAAGTCAACAACGAAGGCGAAGTGGATGGTTGAGAAGTTCCTGACCTCGAAGACATCCACATCCTCTTTAGTGAGGCCAGTTTGCTGCAGTATCTTGGGAATAGCAAACACAGGCGCGATCCCCATGTAACGAGGTTCAACGCCTACGTCGTGAAGTCTTTAGTGCGTGTGCATGACATTTGGGAAAGCAGCCTACCGATGAAAGTACTGGCAACGTATTTGCCAAGAATTTCCATCCCATCTTTCTCAGCCCGTTCTCTTGTGGTCAGTATGCAAATAGCTGCTCCGTCACCTACACCGCTTGCGTTCCCAGCGGTGGTTGTCGCATTACCCCAATCTGGGAACACGGGCTTTAGCTTGGATAGTGATTCCAAAGTAACACCCGGGCGTATCGTATCGTCCACCGAAATAACGCGACCACGAATTTCTACCGGTATAATTTCCTGTGCAAAAATGCCTTGTGAGGATGCCTACAAGAGTTAGCTGAGGATATCTTGTTGAAACTTGGTATTAGACGATAATATGTCAGACCTTCTCTGCTCGGGTGTGGGAGATGAGAGCGTATTGGTCCTGCGTTTCTCTGCTAACGCCGTAAGTCTCAGCGACCATCTCAGACGTCCACCCCATGGGCTAAAGTATCGTGAGCCTACGAATGATTGCTATAACAGAGGATTTCCAGACCTGAGTACAGTCATGGGCTTGTGCGTTGAAACTGACGGCTTCAACCACCTCCGGTGTTGGACGAGGACTACACCAATGAACTGGAGTGAGCAATTTCACTTTGCAACTGGAACTCAACGCGTACTTGAGAGTCATGCTCTCTACACCAACTGCTACTCCGAGGGATATCTCACCCGCCTGAATAGCATGTGCAATGCTCCGAATGGACTGCAGGCCAGAGGAACACAGTCGGTTTACGGTAGAGATGGGTACTTCTGCAGGGATACCAGCAGCAAGAGCAGCGGCTCTTGAGACATATAATGGGGACGGCGGATGACATGTTCCTGGGAGACACCATGAGTGCACGACGGACACTTAGGTGAAGAAGATACACACCTACGCATACATCTTCAATCTTCGCTGGGTCCAACTTCGTTTTCTCAAAGGTCGCCTATGAATCGATAGATCAATGTGTCATAGAAGTGAACCTAAATGGAATGCGAGTACCGACCTTGAACAACGCGTGCATCAGCTCATCAACAGGAACATCCTTCAGCTGTCCCTTCTTAGCCCTGGCCATCGCAGTCCGCTTCGCAAACGTGACAACAACATCGTCAGGTTTCTTCTCGAGAATGGCCGAACGCCCACGAGAAGCTGAAGCTAAGCCTCGTGTTAGAACTGGACGTGACCAAGAAGTGAACCTTGAGAGCATGAAGTGATCGACTTGGACTACGTCAAGGACGCGACTTTGAAGGGTGAATTGGGGTCAAAGGCAGGTTATAGGTGCGTATCGACATACTAAACCCAGTCAGCCGTATATGGGGAGAGGTTCCCCACACGCATCTGCAGGATGTCGGGTCGTTGTACGCGACAAGTCTGGTGATGCGACTCAGCGCGCGCTCGCGTTCCGATCACACCGAACACAAATCCATAGCTGAAGACAAATCTCCTTGCAATTGTCTGGTCACAGAATGTGTGTTGAGAAGCTAATGAAGTATTAGAGTCCTGTCTAAGGAAGAAGCTATGATATATGTATCGCAACTCGGACATTCTCATACATTCCCAGAAGCATGCAAGGTCAAACCAAGTTCACTGGCAGAACGAGGTCGTTCGGCGTGACGAAGTCTTCTTTGATTGGGTGAGATCATTGTGTGTCCTAATATATTGTGATTGAAGTTGCAACATAATCTCAAAACACAGCAGCACTCACCTCGTAATGAATATTCCCGCAAGGCTCAAGCAGAATCACCACCTTGCCTTGCCTGCGCTTTCCATCCCCGACTAAGTCCCGAGTAGCAACTTGAGCATAGATGATGTGCCAGCTTTGGCGTCCCGCATGCTGGGCATGCAACAAGATCTAGGCGTAACGTCAATGAGATGATTAGGATCCAAACTGTGCTAGAGATCTCACTTTGCTTGTCCTTCAAACCCTTGTTCGCACTCCTCATGGCTTTCCGTGAATGCGAGGTTTTCTTTTTCGGCACTGCCAAGACGAATGGAGGAAGCAGTTCTAGGAGCGACTGCAAAGAAGGTAAAGTGAAGCTGAAGGGCTTTTGCGTAGCCCAAACGGAAGGAAGAAAAGTTGCAGCCACGAAAGCACGTCCAAAAGTATTCCTCAGAGTGGGCAGGGCATTTCGCGCCTGCGAAAGCGCGACAGAGGCCATAGTACTTGTAGAAGATGAAGAGACGAATTCAAGTTCTCGCAACGAGCGTCAACTCAATACGAAGGGATGCTTCAGGCGCCTGTAATCACTTGACGTCCACCACAATGCTCCGTCTAACGCGTCCTCTCCTCACACAAGCCCTTAAAACATCAACCGGGATTACCGGGCTTAAAGTGCACCATGACCCTCTCCCCGAGTTGAAGAAGACGTACGAGTCAACCCTGCAAGCACTCACTACCATTCCTGAGACGTCTGTCTACCGCCAAGGTGTTGAGGCCCTCACGAAGCACAAGCTGAATATTGTGCAGAGTGCGAACGGGGACATTCATGCGGCAGAGAAACAGTTGGATGAGGGCAACATTGAGGAATCGTTGGACATCGCTAATGATGAGCTCACTCTGGTTGGGAAGATGGTTGACTGGAAAGCGTGCGTCCTCTTCTTCTTAATACGTCAACCCGTTGGTCTCAACAACATTGCATACTCAGGTGGGAGCCGTTGGAGGAGAAGCCCCACCCAGGACAGTGGGAGTACTTTGGAAAGGCAGTCAATGCTTCAGCGTGACACTTTGCTATCATCGTCTGCAATATCATCGTCTGTAATTTCCATCGGCGGAGCAGGAGCTCTGAGCATTGGCTGGCAGTGATGGTAGGATATGTCTTCAAGTCAACTCGTCAGAAGTTGTGCTTAGGTATGTTTCGGCAACTCCATTACGACTGGTCTCACTCGCCTAAGTCAGTTCGAGCAGAGAGAACTAGAGATGTAACTATGTCGCGCCATAATCGCGCTAGTCATACCGCTCGGGAGAACGAGGATAAGCAAATTGGACAATATCGATCTACATTAAGAGCAGGCATTGTTCTGAACTCATACTAAGGAACCTAAGTTCAGTTGACTTCACAAGACCGGGTTACATGCCACTTTTCAAATCGCATACTTTGAATACTTGCTTTAATATTAGCTTTCGACCCTTGCAACAATCCGAAGCTGCATACTCTGTGGTACTTAAGCATTCGCCGGGTCACTCGCCTTAACTACATACTTATCAGGTTTGTATCAGCTTCCTAACCTGCCGGTAGCATTCTTTTCAATTAAGTTAATGTTTTAAACTGTTAGAATAAATATTTACTTACAATTACCTGCAACAGCTTACAACCGCTGTAGCAACTGCTTATAAGTTAACCTGAGTAACAACAGTGGTTGTAAGCCGACTATTTCAAATTATAACGACAGATAACTTTTCCGACATAAAGGGGCCGGAAACCTATTACTTACTCGAACTTGCAACCCGCGTCGGTAGTTCCGACTTCCATTCCACCCCCTACAAACTCTTCACCACCATGGACTCCCTAATACCATTCACAACTTCGGGATCACTAGTAGATTGCGTGGACAGTACGTCTGTCTCAAGCACCTCCAACGTCGACCTAAGCCTACAATGATTGTATTCGCATTGCCTGTCACCCTCAATTGCTATTCCACCATCCGTAGGGAAGATGCTCGTGGTCCTGAGGGATGGACGGAAACTTCAAGGCGTGCTTCGTTCCTACGATCAATTTGGTACGGCACATGCTCAAGTGACTACCGTGAATTGCACCAACTGACGGGGTTTTTCTTCAGCCAATTTGGTATTGGAAGACACCGTTGAGCGTATATACCACCAAGATGTGTTCGCAGAGCTGAAGCGCGGACTCTTTCTCATTCGTGGCGAGAACGTGGTTCTTCTGGGCGAGATAGTATGTTGCCATCCAGTTATCTGGCATAACCGGGTTGTGTGTGACTTCAAGGCATTAGGACCTCGACCAGGAAGATGATGTACCACTGCGACAAGTTGATTGGGCAGTCCTCGAGCCGTACCACAGACAGGAGATCATTGACAAGAAACACCGTGACGAGGCGAAGGCACAAATCCTTTATGAACGGAAGGGCTTTTGCAAAGAAGGGGGCGAGGGAGATGGTTACTGATGCTTTTCGGTCCTCTTTATTTCTCTTTTCTCATCCACACCAACTGCTGCGCGGATTGGCAGATTCATTACGCCAAGCAGCATGTCATGTCATGTATTCACAAGAGCTCCGCTGGGGCAGACATAATCGCATTACCCAAGTTGTACTAGTAATCTAAGCATTCAAAATGAAAGCGTCCAGACTGAGAGTATGATGCACAGAACATATCGAAAGCAAGCTTGCAGAGCAGACAGACAACGTGGTTGGGCACTAGGATCCTTCAGTCTTACGTTTCTTGCCCTTCTTCGTGGAAGTGCCGTTCGCTTTGACTTTCGTGGTTCCATTAGGTTCGTGCAAGGGTTTTAATGGTGCCACGCTGACTTGTTCAATGATACGGGCTTTGCTTGTATTCGGGTTGATCACCTCTTCCATATGCTTTCGTAGTTCCCGTTCCTGGGCGGTGAGAGAAGCAAGAGAGGCCTCCATGGTGCCTTTCTCGAACGAGACCTCTGCTTGACGTAGCTTCTGCCAGCTGAAGCCCTGCTATCAGCACATGTGAAAGCATTCAAGGAATAGTAAGCGTACTCACCCCGCATGTCGTTCACATTTCTGCTTGCCTTTGCACCACCACTCTCCATCTTCTATAGCCCCATCGACTTGCATGGTGTCCTCGTTTTCCTTCTGGCCTTCGTCGGAATAGCTGTCAAACACGGTTGCACCGAATTCGGCGTACTCCTCATGGTCGAAACATAGCCTCTGGTCCCAACCACATTCATTGACTACGTCCGCTCTCGCGATAGCAAGTTCAAGAAGCTTCTCTCGCCACAAGACAATTTCCATATCCCTCTTGATTTCGTCACGCCGCTGAGCAAGCTTATCCAGACGAGCATTGAGACGATCGAGTTGGCGTTGAGTCTTGGACCGACCAGGAGGCACAACTTCCTGCGTAGTCGACTGAATATGATGATTTTTCCCGTTCACTTTAACATCTCCGTTGGGGACTTCGGCTTTAGGTATGCATCGAACGACAACTGCTTCACGTTTGTCCGCGTTCTTGACGCTCTGCCACAACCTTTCCTTATCGCCACCCCAATGCTCGATACGGGACTGCACATAAGCGATGCCGCATTCGTCTGAGCAGTACTTGGAGAAGGCACCGCGAGCGGGTTTGTGGCAGGCATCGGGAGAAGAGGGATTGGGATGTTTCAGACCGGCCCAACAACGCTTCTTGTAAGTTGTCTTAAGGGACAAGGTAGGGTTGTCTGACAGGTCATGAGTTCCTTGTGCAGTCAAGCAAGAATGCATATAGTGACACTTACTCGCTATGCAGACAGGGCATATGAACTGATCCACAAGATCCACCTCGTCATCGGGCATTTGAACGCATTGCGTATGATACCATTCATCACATCTACCAAACAATGAATAAGGAATATTTAGTCTTAAGTTCGAGTACATACCGATCACAAGCTATCATGACCCGGTCCTCATCATAGCTCGTCTTGCAAACACAATAGAGCTTGTCGTCTACGGTCTCTTCTGCCTCAGCTTCGGCAGGCGAGTCCTTATTGGATTCCGGAGGTAAAACGGAGGTCGACCTCGAACGCGACTGTGTACCCGCAACAGTCGACACAGCACGCTTACCACCGGGTGTTGCAGCAGGTGAGCTCTTTTTACCACGTCCGGTTGTAGTCGGGACCAAAGGGCTCAAGTGTGTTTGTGAAGTACCAGCTGTAGTATCCTTCACGACTTTCGCCCTGCCTTTTGGTTTGGGCTTCGCCTTCGGTATTTGCTTGGTCCTCGCCATTGCCTGGTAGAAATATGGGCAGTCAACATCAAGCAGGTTCTCATATATGTATCAAAGAACAATACCTTGCCACTGTCCTTTTTCTTGGACTGGGTGGCCCCAGCGCTCTCAGCACGCCCGCCACTCTTAGAGTTGGTCATTGCGCCTTTGCCTCCATGATCGAGTGGAACCGCAGGCGGCGGCATGGAATCTCGGTCTGCTTGAGTACCAATGGAAGGAGACCGCACACCACTCAGATAACTATTCTTGAGGGACGTCACTTGCGAGGGTGTTGGCTTTCGAGGAGATCCGGAAGGTGGGATCGGTGAGCGTGCTGATATCGGCTTCATGCTAGAACTTGACGAGCGAGGCCTGTCATCCACGAGACTGAGTAACTCATCATCTACATCATTGTCTGCGACAGTCTGCCTCGAAGTCGAATAATGGGAAGACACAGCAAGGTCAAGTTCCATATCAATATCCGAATCCATAATCGCCTGCTGAGAGACATGGGCAGGAATCACGGGTGACGCGAAAGTTGTCAAAGATTGACCACCTTCAGAAGGAGACCTGGATGCACCACGGACGTTCACTTGAGGGATTGGACTGTGCGACTCCAACTTCAACGAGGATAGATGCGAGACAGCTGACCCGACATGATCGGTAGGTGAGAACGCAACAACAGACTGTTGGGATGACGAGTAGTGCTCCAGTAACCACTCGTGTGCATCGTCCTGCTTGAGAGATCGGCGCGGGACTGGAACCGGAACTGGGCGAGTCTCGTTGATTCTGGGGTCGTAGGGCAAGCCATTGAACCTGTGTTCTTCTACAAGCTCTCTTGATGCGCTGCCCGCCTGAGAGTGGGAGCGCACACCCACAGGAGTGGCAGTAGACTGGCCGATCACCCTTGGTGAAGATATTATCGAGGGATCTCTGGGACTGTCCCAAACAGATGGTCTTGCAAATGTTGGGTCGCGTCCCCTCATGTCAAGTACAGACACAGGGCTTAGAGCTCTAGTCCGCACTAACGGTGAGCGTGATGAATGTTGTGCGAGAGGGGGAGGTCGCGGCTGAGATTCATTGGAACTCTTGCGACGCTTGGGCGGTGGTTCACCATCGCGTAGGGTTCGAGCATTGATCTCAGGAAGATTATCATTCGGCAATAGTCGTGTAGAGCTCACGGTCGGTGACGTTGAGAGTTGACCATAGGCTGATTCAAGAGGGTGGTCTGGTGGTGATGACAATGGCTCAGGCGAACGCGAATAGGATGAACGTGATGGTGCAGCTACAAGGGCGGGACTTGCGGGAGCAGCTCTTAACCGAGGACTTGTCTCTGATCCCGTACCCTGCCAACCCACAGTGGGCAAGTCTCCACTCAACCTTCTTCGCTCCTCCGTCGCTGCCTGCACCAGTGCTTCCAACGGTCCAAATCCCTCCAATGGTGATTTGGATATTGTCGGAGATACTGATGGACGAGGTAGTGACATTGACGGCGAATGTGTCTTCACAGGAGGATAGGAGCGAGAGAGTGTCGGAGAACGACGCGGGGACAAAGGCCGCTGTATAGAGATAGGCGACGTAGAAGATGAAGAAGTATCGGCGGAAAAAGAAGGATGAACAGGAGTAAGTCTGAAAGGAGACGTGGCCTGGAGGGAAATGGAGGAAGCGGTATGAAGGGATGATGATGGCTGGTGGGAGTCAAGCAGTGTACGATGTGGTCGCGAATATTGAACGTCTGATGCCGACGTACGCCGGTATTGAGCAGTCAAAGGGACAGGCGGCGTAACTAGTTGTGTTGGCGATAGGGATGGTGGATGCACCAACTGTGCTGGTGATCGTGATCGGGCGTAGCCTCCTGGTGAAACTCTCTGTCCGGAAGAAGACGAAGATCTGAAAGTTGTATACGAGCACTCTGTCGAACGCTGAAATGGGGTATGGTTGTGGTAGGAATCCTCAGGTGAATATGGTTGAGCATCAAACGGCGACCACTGACGTCGGGAGTGACGGTTAGTTGCAACAACGTAATTAGTGGTGACCGAATCTGTCCTCGAGGCATCAATCATGCCATGCTCATCGTCAACGTCCGTCTCTGTGCCACCTTTACGCAGGGATGAATAGGATCCACCTCCTTCATTCTGACGGGGTATCGGTCCTGGAGGTCTCACAAGGGCCGTAGACTGGGTTGAACTACTGCGATCTGAACTTGCACCTGAGAGATACGTGGAAGAAGGGATAGAATTCCTATGGTCTACATCCTGTCGAGAGGTGGTGGAATAGGATAGATCGGACTCTACAAACTCAAGGCTGGGACGAGAAGAAATGGAAGTACTAGAAGGGCCAGCAACCGGTCCACCAACGGAGTCGTCCTCGCATAGCAGGGATGAGATCGCCAGGCGACGAGCAGCCATTAGAATAACGAGAATGCGATGGTATACCTTTGACTACGAAGTACAGAAGAGGTCCAGATTGAAGCCTTGAAGCTTTGAGGAGCAAGAGACAGGCTCAGCCTCGGTCACACTGGTCAGTCACATTGCTACTCTTCGGGAAAAACATGCACACCAGCATGTTCGCATCTTTGATCTTCCATATCTTCCATTCGCAACAGAATAGTGGCACAATAAGTACCGCACCTCCAGATCCTCCGGCTTTGAAGCGTTTGAGGATGCCATGTATATACTGGAGAGCAACGTCAGATGAGACCGATCAGACCCGACCATTGCTTCAACAAAGCAATCAGTCCTTTCATCATATCCTCACGAGGATCAAGCACGGGTGACTGAAATGCAGAAATGGAGAATAGATTGACATGCAACACAAATTACAAATGATGACATGTACAACGAGACATTGCGACGCAACCCATACAGCAGCTACGAAGAGCCAACTGCTGGGACAAGTCCCATCCGCGAAAGCAGGGGCGCGCCGCACCCAAGTCCCATCGTTCGCAACCCGGAGGTCTTCTGGATCTCCAGCCCATTATGACGGTCTCAAGGTCCTCGACCCACTCCAGTCCTGCAAGCAGGCGGGCGAGTCATCGTCGAGATGCTTTTGAAGGCTAGAGAATATGTCAGTGTGCTGCGTGCGACGACCACGAAGGGGCTACACACCTGTGTTTTAAGCGTTGAAAGGCTGTCGAGTGCGGAGGGCGGGCTTTATACGGGGCAGAAGCGAGGAACTGTACAGTTGGGGGTCGTGTGGCTTGCCGGGACCCCGGGGAGGGGGTGGCCGGGGTCGATCTAGGCGGGCATTGGAGATCGTCTGCTTGAAGGGCGCAGATTCCTTTTGCCCTCGCGTTCATCGCTGTTCTACACAGTCTACACGCCGTCAAGCGAACCTTTCTCGCTGATTGACCTCAAAAAGGGCCCCGTCAAAGATGTCGGTGGCCAGCAGAAACCCTTTCGCCATTCTGGAAGGTCTGTAGCCTCCTCCTCTCCCTCTTACCAATATTGACCCTAGCATCTCTTGATCATCCGTTTTCATCTTGGCTCCTGCCTATGAACTCGCCATCATAACTCCCTATATGCATCTTCTCTCCCGACTCCCTCGCGTTGTTCAGAGGACCAAGCCTCTAGGCCGTCCACTCCCGCAGCTCCTGCCCCTAAGGAATCTGCACCTACAACTGCTGCTCCTACGCGTGGTGGCACCCGAGGCCGCGGCGGGCCCGCTTCCAGGGGCGGAAGGTATTACCAGAGAGGAGGCAAGTCTTCTGTCACTCGCGAAGAGGGTGGTGAAGCTACTGCCGATGATGGTGCAGGTGAGGCTCCCAAGAGGCGGGGTACGTGATATCTTTCTATGCATGCTTCCTTGTTCTCACTTTTTCTTCCCTATTCCCTCGTTTGATTTTTGCTTTCACGTCTATTTCTCTTTTCTGCAGCCGAAGGTGAAGTTCGTGGTCGTGGACGAGGCCGTGGTCGTGGTGATCGTGCCCGTGGACGCGGTCGCGCATTTGACAGGCACAGTTCTACCGGCAAGACGTGCGTCTCCCTATCCACGAATATGCTCATATACTAAACCTTTCCTCGCGTGTGCTCCAGCGACTCCGAGAAGAAGGTCCACCAGGGCTGGGGAGGTGATGAGGCTACCTCTGAGCTGCAGGTCGAGACCGCCGCTGAAACTGATGCCGCCGTCGAGGGTGCTGCTGACACCGGAGGTTGGGGCCCTACTCCATCTGCTGACGCTTGGGGTGCTCCCGCTGAAGAGGCTGCTATTCCCGCTTCCCCTGCTGAGGGTGAGAAGGCTGAGGGCCGCAAGCCTCGCGAGCGCCAGGAGGAGGAAGAGGACAACACCCTTACCCTCGACCAGTACCTCAAGAAGCAGACCGAGAGCAAATTAGAGATTGTTCCCAAGCTGGAGGTCCGAAAGCCCAATGAGGGCGACGAATCCATCTGGAAGGATGCCGTCGTCGTCGGCAAGAAGGAGGAGGAGGAAGGTGCCTACTTTGTTGGAAAGGTATGAATTCTGACCCTCGGCTGTCTTTCTATACTAAATCTGTTTCCTTTCTGTTCCAGAGCAAGACCGCTGCACCCAAGCCACGTGCTAAGAAGGAAGAAAAGGTCTTCCTCGAAATTGATGCTCGCTTCGAGCGTCCTCGTGGAGGCCGTGGACGTGGCGAACGTGGTGGTGATCGTGGGGAGAGGCGAGGTGGTCGTGGTCGTGGCGGCCGCGGCCGTGCCAATGGCAGCCACGCGCCCGCTGCCGTCAACGTTGACGACGAGACTGCCTTCCCCTCCTTGTCCTAAATCGTGTACGACGCACGACAGTCCCGTGTGATCGATAGCCGTAAAACCAAGTTTGAAGAATCCCGACGTGGTTTGAAAGAATGTTCACCGTCTGAACATGCTCGTTCTCCCTCATCCCCATCTCTGTTGCATATATACTACCTGCATTTCCGTCGTGTCGTTTCGTCTGTTATTCGTTCCTCTCTCCGTCCGTCTCGTGTTCTTGTCTCTTTCTGTGGTAGCGATCGCTGGTGTCCACGCATGCATTGTTCAATCAAAACTGCAGGGTTTATGTCCGTATGATATCCTACAATTCTCGTGTTTCGCCACGATTATAGTGCTGTTGTATTTGAAAGCGACTTGAACTTTTTATATAAGTCAACGTTAAGTCTCATCGATTGCCATTGTGGGGTGTGTGCTTTTTTTCAACGCCTTTCACTAAGCCCACGAGAGTGTATCTGACAGTATCATGGCAACCTCATGTCCCAACCTGCATGTAGCATGTTTTGTCAATATTCCAAGTTTTCACAGGCGGTTATTGCTGTAGTTCCATTTTAGACCATTCCAACTTTACGAAATGCCCCAGAACGCCAGAATGACGGTTGAGACCATCTACATTGCACGACATGGTAAATCATTTCAAGGCACATAGCATAACCTTACATGCTCACTCTCAGTGCTCAGGATATCGGTTGAGCTGGGTGACGACTACTTGGTGATTCTTGACACGGTTAGATTTCTTTTGTTGCTAATCCTGCTAACGTTCAACTCTACTCTACAGGAAGAGCGAAACAGGTACACCTATCTACGCCTAAACCTCTATACCTCCCAACATCAGTTCTTTAGGACTTCCGCGCGACCCACCACTGGCTGCCTTCGGGGTGACGCAGGCTCAAGAACTGGCAGATTACTTCCTCTCGATACCCCTCGAGCAGCGTCCAACTGCCATTTTCTCATCACCATACTGTAGGGAGAATTCCACAAAGTGCTTCACCTCATATCTGAACATTGTTACGTTCCAGATCGATGTCTCCAAACTGCTCAACCGGTCTCTATTGCATTAGGCGTTCCCATTTACGTCGAACATGGTAAGCACCCGCTCAATCACGTTTTGCTGCTAGTGAAAAGATACTAAATGAATATGTTGAACTCATTGCAGGTCTGTCCGAGTGGTACTCACCAGTTGTTCCAGGTTCCGGGTTGCATCCTCGTCCAGCATCCGCATCTGAGCTCAAAGCCTATTTCTCAGAGATCGACGACTCATGGCAAACCGTTTACTATCCTTCTCGCAAGGGCGAAGACGTCAAGGAATGTCATGTTCGGGCAGGACGCTCTCTGAATAGGCTCCTGCAAGAAACCGAGCGAAAATATGAGGGAAAGCATAAACGAATTCTGCTTATGAGCCATGCGGCAACCACGATCGCACTCACGAGAGAGCTAGTGGGCAACCGAGAATTATCTCTGAGGGTTGGGTGCTGTTCCATCACCGAAGTACAAAGAAAGCCGGATGGTTGTGGTTTCATTGGTGGATGGGAGGCACTACGTTTGGCATCCGGTGCACATCTCAAGGAGGGATCTACTAGAGATTGGGGTTTTGAAGACATTACCATCGCTGATGGAAAGGCCAGTTCTTTTGGTCATCCGCGGTAGCTTGTTATATGAGACTTATAACTACTCTCCTTCCTACTTTAGGTGATAGCGGATCCTGGACAGCCTGGCTCTGAGCATGAAGTCGACGAGCCCGTGGGCTGTCAAGTGAGCGGATTGAGTTCGCGTATGTGAAGCGGGAATTTCTTCATTGAGGTTTCCAGAGGATCTACATATAGAATACACTAGCTGATTGCATTGTACATGGCATTTAGGATATTCTGGATACCCAATTCTACAAGGTTATATATGCGCTTGCATAACTCACACTTGAGTCGTTAATCGTCGTGCATTTACTACTCTGTTCATATCGGACCCACTGCAGCTTCGCGTCTCTTCCCTCTTTCTCCAACGCAGCTATCGCTCCAAGGAGCACACCAATGGGGTGTCTCCCACAGATCGTGTTCTTTGTCCGGGCCAGATAATCACTGAACTCGTGATGAGCAATGGATCCATTCGAAGGAGGCATGGTAAGGATCTCCATAGCTTCGTGGTCCAAAGCAGATATGGATGCGTGAATGGGATGCTGGGCTAGTGAAGGAGGGCTTCGCTCCGCACGCGACAAGCGAATTGGAGGTTTCGAGCTCGGAGGAGGTACCGGATAATAGAATGTGTACTGGAACCTTGTACCCCTGGTCACAACTCAGTACAACCTTTCCATTGCCGTGACAGATTCAATCAACTCACCAGTGACAGAAATCGCTGGAAATAACAAATAAGGTGTCTGCCTCAACAAGGTATGGGCCGAGGATTGCGCCGACGGCGTCCTCTTTCTCCTTATTGACAGCACCAACCAGGATAGGAACTATCTTTATGTCTTGCCTAGAACAGATTCAACGTTAGCTTGTTGACACACTCGCTGGTGCGACTGACCCATCAAAGACCTTCCGTATATACGGCAAATGCAACTCGATACTATGTTCATCCTCGTCCGTCTCAATGCTCATATCACTGAACTTCCCCGTATTTCGCAACTGTTGTACAACTATAAAGAGGGACTACGTCAAAGTGCTCGTTTATGACATAAACCCCTTACTCACCATCCACGTCTATGGGAAGATTGCCTATCGGAGTAGCATATTCAACACATTGAGATAGAGCACATCCATCGAGATATACATGGTGAGAGGGACCCAAGATGAATACCCTCTTACTATCATATGCCTCACGTCAGTGCTTGATTCTGTGTCGAGATGTCAAGCACACACATTCCAGTGGGGTCTATGCTCTTGTATGCCCATGCAGCAGTAGGTCCTGCGTACGAATAGCCAGCGTGTCTGCGAGGTTCACGTGAGTTTGACTTGAAACTCGCGATCGAAAACGCAGCGACATACGGTGCTATTATGGCCTTGCAGGCCTTTATAGGAGGCTGGAAGTCCTCAGAAGGTTTGACTGCTTCCAAAAAACCAGATAATTCGCGATCAAGCCTCTGCGCTAATGGAAACTCAGGGATGGGGACACATGAAAAAGCAAAAGGTCTTACCCTCTGAGATATACCATGATCCTGCATGTGTAGCTTTCCTAGACAGCTTTCAATTGTGGTCCGTACATCGTCAAGCGTACACCTACCGAGTGGCCATGATGGTGGTAGTCGACAGAGACAGGCGACGCTCAGGTCCCCAGCAATACCAAATCGGACAATGGTTGTATGCCGTCATGGCATGCAATCGGTGCAAACTCAACGTAAATGAAATTACGATCAGACATAGCTCATGTTGTCTGATCCTACTTGCATATTCCTTGCAACTTATTTCTTACGCACTCAAACAATTGTGCTGAGGGCCTGAAGCATGGTCGCATGGTGGATTATCCCCGGCATATGCAAATGATACATGGCAATATGTGAAAAGTGAATGCTGATAGATGGAACACGGAAAGCGACGACAAAATTACTCCTCAGACCGAAGACGAGCCGCAGAGTTGGTGACTTTCACTCCCAAAACCTTTGCCCTGAAAGACGATATGAGTCTCACATTTACAAATAAATTAAAGACGCAGATATACGCACCTGTCGAGGATCTGGATACGGTTACGACTGCTGACGTTGTGTGCGATCTCGGCCGCAAAGCTTTTGTTGTGCATCAAGAGAAGATCGACCTCCCTGATGTTGCTAACCAAGAACTTCTTCAGGCCATTTGGAAGGAGGTGACGAGTCTACGAATCATTGGGATGAGCCTGTTTCCTATCATTTAGGGAGAGCATTGGAAACGTACCCTCTTGTTGCTACCATAACCAATCTACGCAGGAATGTTTTAGGGAAATCGTGAGGTACGACAGTATGCCGGGCGTACCTTAGGCATGGGAAGCTGACCCTTGAACCGACGCCTGACCCTGTTATCAATACCCTTGGGTTTCCGCCATGCCTCCTTTAGGCCCTTATAACGATCGGACTGGTGGCGCCTGTAAGAAAACAAGATTTAATAGAAGTACCGAAAACTAGTTGTAGGGACACGGACTTGAAAGGCTTCGTGCGCTTCTTGACAATTGGAACCTTGACCATGGCGGGCTATAAGGCGCAACGAGAGTCAGCGAAATGCGCCCAGGACCCCAGCACAGTGCAAAGTCCAGCGAGCGAGTGGATCCGTCCGATGCTGGTGATGCATCCCAAGAGACCGGCATGCATCCACCCAAAGTTCTTGCACGAACAGGGCCAAAACGGGCAGCATTCGACTCGCCGGAGAGTACACTTTCCACGGAGAACGTGCAAATCGGTATACTCACAGTTTTGAGGGTCTTGAGGAGGGCAATAGATTTGTTGGGTCCTACTGGGCTCCGGATGCTTCACAGAACAAGCGCTGGTGGTTGCAGAGGGTTCCCACGGCCTTTGAGATAAGATTAGATCTCATGAGAACGTGCTTTTCACGCTTGGAAGCCAAGCGAGGGGCTCAACTATAGGCATCCTTTGAATATTGGCGGACATCATTTAACCGAACAAGGCTTAAAAACATGTTCACTTGTACTGAAGGAAAGGATTAAATTCAAGACCCGAAGGCACAAGTTGTTTACCAAAATTGACCAATGTGGGTAAGAATCTGCCAGGAATGATAAGCCAGCCTCGCAAGCGGCCGAGGAAGAGTGTGCAGCTATCTTCGCAGCATGGCGGACGACTGCGACTGCCACGACGGTGTGCAATGTCCCCCAACGATGTCCAGGACTGCGATGGTTCTGAGTCCGAGGACGACATTCTCTGGGTGGTTGGTCGCCGGCGGATGTGCCAGATCCGGCAGGTCCACGGCGTGGGAAATGACGGCCAAGGGGCCTTAGGAGGTCCGGAGCACAAAGCAAGCCCAAGTTTGGCCTCTCGCTCTCGTTCCACGCCCTGTCTCTCTCCTGCTTCCCACTTCAAGTCTTTCATCGACTCCAAAGGCGGCATTCCTTGGTTGAAAGCCATGCTTGCTGCCCCAGCAGTCGATATCACCTTTGACGACGACAACTGGCTTCCGCCACAATCAGGTCCAAGACTCTACCGCGCTGCCAGCGTAGGCAACAGCTGGGGAGTCACCTCTATAGGCCGCGGATTCGACTGGAAGGACGACGAACCAGTTGTCTCACTATCTGAGCCCGAGCCGCGAATACAGCAAGAACCTCGTCCAGGTTGGGCAAGCGCGTCTACCTTCTTGAGGAGTGATTCCACCGAGGGGCTATCCTCTCAAGTCCAGTCTCCAAAACCGCTACCCGCTGTGTCTAGCTCCCTTATTATTGCCCGCGGTCCTCTCAATCGTTCGCCAGTACAGTCCCGCCCGGCTTCTCCACTATCAATACCTCCTAGCGGACGTTCCAGTTCCTATCCGTCTATACAATCGGGCACTCCGCATTCCCCTTCATCTTCTCGTGCTTCTCCAGTTCCTCGCACCCGTCGACGTTCTTCTCAGCAGCGCGTTTCGACAATAGCTGGCCGTGTATCAATTATTCCTGTTGAGCCGCCGTCTCCGCCACCCACACCACCTCAGAAACTGGTACGTACAAACAGTACTGCCAGTTTTCTAAGCGCGGCGAGTAGCGTCGAGCCACCAACTCCAGGTGCCGATCGAACATCGTGGCATTCAGGCGAACGTAGTATATCAGAATTCGTGATCGAACGGGAGATAGGTAGAGGTGCATATGGCCTTGTAAAACGTGCACGAGAGATGAATGAAGATGGTAGTTTAGGAGTGGGTCTTCACTGGTATCCTTTACCTTGATCCTTACTCATCATTGGCGTCCATGTAGCCACCTTTGATCATCAAGCAGATCATTAAGTCTCGCATCCTGGCTGACTGTTGGAAACGACACCCCAAGTTTGGCACTATTCCAATCGAGATTTATGTGATGTCTGCTATTTCTTCGACACGCTACGTTCTGCCTCCGCGAAGACCGTGGCATCCAACTCGCGCAGACCCCGCAGCCTTATCAGAAGATAAGTGGATAGAGGGCAAGACAGTCTACGGACATCCAAACATCTGTCCACTGATAGACTTCTTCGAGGATAATCATTACTATTACTTGATTCTTCCTTGCACAACGCCGGAACCACAACCAGATCAGCCTCCACCTCCATCCGACTTGTTTGATCTTGTGGAGACTTATCCGAATGGACTGCCTCCCCGTCTAATCAGAAGCTATCTCGGTCAAATGGCTGACGCATTGTGCTTCTTGCACGCCAAGGGTATCGGTAGGTGTCTTTTTCTTTCCGTCTATTGTATTGAGTCTGACCACACGTATAGTACACCGCGATATCAAGGATGAGAATGTCGTTCTCGGGCCAGCGGGCAAATGCGTTCTCATCGACTTCGGCAGCGCGGGGTTGGTAAAGAAGGGTGGGTGGGACACTTTCAGCGGCACGTGAGTATCTCGTGTTCCTCCGTGTTGTCTTTACACTAATGCATATTATGGACACGTAGACTTGACTATGCGGGCCCCGAGATTCTGCGGGGAGAACGATATCAGGGCAAAGAACAAGATGTCTGGGCCTTTGGTGTTGTTGCATATGTTATGCTCGTCGGCGAATGTCCTTTTACTACGGCTGCTGAAGCTCAGGAGGGTCTTGAATCGCCCTTTTCTACTGCCTCCATGGCGCTTGACGAGCGCTGTCTAGAGGGAAAAGAGGAAGAAGAAGAAGCTGATGGAGGCGGCATTCTTGCCGACGCTTCAGCGCTCGTCCGCGCATGTCTGCGAGTGGAGGTTGCTGCACGTCCTACTTTTGAGAAGATTTTGCAGTGTAGATTTTTGAGTGGTGGGGACGGCTGGGGCTTTCATTAGCTCGCTCGTAGCTGCAGACCGCAGTGTTCGTGTTTTGGTGTGTACCCTTGATCCTTTCATCTCACACTGCAGGTAGAGATTCCATTGACACTTTCCACTGGTACCAGCTGTCTTATCAGATGTCTTTGCGTTATTTCAAGGTTGCCTCGTTGTTATTATCTCTCTCCATCCAGCATTCCTCCCCGCATTTCCATAACGTGTCTTTTTATCTCCATCATCCATCCTTGTCTGAACGCATCGCTATCTATACTAATCGCCACAGTTGTATTCTTACTTCACGTAGTATTGACTACGAGTCTGTTAGCCATAGCATCTGTTGTAGAATATACACAATGTCATACATGTTCATTGCTCAAAATTTCCTTGCGATGGACGTCTAGAACCAACGCAATGATTAGAGGTGATGCTTTTGCTTTCTCATCCTACAAACTGGAGCGTACGTTTCAGTCGCCACGAGCGCTTAGATGATTCGGTGAGCTTCGGTCGGAGTCCGGAGATTCCGGCGTCTACCGGAGGGATATCTGGTCAATCTGATTGGTATCGATCGCTAAATTTTTCTGAGTACATAAGCATAAATACCCCCCGCCCTGCGTTTTGCTTCTTACCTCTCATCTTCCACCTTCTCCCTCTAACGATCTATCCACTTTCTTTTCTTCACGTACTCAGTGAGTATTTTGCTTCCTGTTCCCTTGCAGCGCAGTTTGGAGTCGTTCAAGCGAGTCATCTTGTGTCGTTGTATGCGCAAAAGCGAAAGGAGATCGATATCTAGGCGACACAAGCGACTCATCTGGCGGTGCCGACCTGCGCTTTGTCCTTGATCTTGTCTCCCACGGTCATTCTTACTGACTGTTCTCGCCTGCAGACGTCCAAAAACTAAAATGGGAAAGGAAAAGACCCACGTTAACGTCGTCGGTGAGTGGTTTGTTTTCAGATGGACCCATTTCCCATTCTGAACCTTTTTTTTTTTTCAGTCATCGGACACGTCGATTCTGGCAAGTCTACCACCACTGGACACTTGATCTACAAGTGCGGTGGTATCGACAAGCGTACCATTGAAAAGTTCGAGAAGGAGGCTGCTGAGCTCGGTAAGGGCTCCTTCAAATATGGTAAGTAGACTTTCTCCCTTTGTAAGCGCATATAGTCATGCTTACAATTTTCTTCTAGCCTGGGTTCTCGACAAGCTGAAGGCTGAGCGTGAGCGTGGTATCACCATCGATATCGCCCTCTGGAAGTTCGAGACTCCCAAGTATATGGTTACTGTAAGTATTGCAGTGCCTTAGCCATGAACCGTTTTCTTATCTTTCCCCTCAAGGTTATCGATGCCCCAGGTCATCGTGACTTCATCAAGAATATGATCACCGGTACCTCCCAGGCCGACTGCGCCATTCTCGTCATTGCCGCCGGTACTGGTGAGTTCGAGGCCGGTATTTCCAAGGACGGCCAGACTCGCGAGCACGCTCTTCTTGCCTTCACCCTCGGTGTCAGGCAGCTCATCGTCGCCATCAACAAGATGGATACCACCAAGGTATGTTGCAACTTATCTCTTCATATAACGAAGCTGTGATTGACCTTTTATGCAGTGGAGCGAGGACCGTTACAATGAAATCGTTAAGGAAACCTCCACGTTCATCAAGAAAGTCGGCTACAACCCCAAGGCTGTTCCTTTCGTCCCCATCTCTGGCTGGCACGGTGACAACATGTTGGAGGAGTCTCCCAAGTAAGCATATGCGGTTCCATTTCATAGCACCCTTCTCCTGACCGTATAATATAGCATGACATGGTACAAGGGTTGGACCAAGGAGACCAAGGCTGGTGTCGTCAAGGGCAAGACCCTGCTCGACGCCATTGATGCCATCGAGCCCCCCGTTCGTCCCTCTGACAAGCCCCTTCGTCTTCCTCTCCAGGATGTCTACAAGATTGGCGGTATCGGTACGGTGCCCGTCGGTCGTGTCGAGACTGGTATCATCAAGGCTGGCATGGTTGTTACCTTCGCTCCCAGCAACGTGACCACTGAAGTCAAGTCCGTCGAAATGCACCACGAGCAGCTCGAGCAGGGTAACCCTGGTGACAACGTCGGCTTCAACGTCAAGTAAGTTCTCAGATGCTGGTGATGTTGTCTTTCTCAGAGTTAATATCTTTTTTTCAATAGGAACGTTTCCGTCAAGGATATCCGTCGTGGTAACGTTGCCTCCGACTCTAAGAACGACCCTGCCAAAGAGGCTGCTTCGTTCAATGCCCAAGTCATTATCCTCAACCACCCTGGTCAGATCGGCGCCGGTTACGCACCCGTCTTGGATTGCCACACCGCTCACATTGCCTGCAAGTTCGCCGAGCTCATTGAGAAAATTGATCGTCGTACCGGAAAGTCCATCGAGGCGAACCCGAAGTTCGTCAAATCTGGTGATGCTTGCATTGCGAAGCTTGTTCCCAGCAAGCCCATGTGTGTTGAGTCCTACAATGAGTACCCTCCTCTCGGTCGTTTCGCCGTCCGTGACATGAGACAGACCGTTGCTGTCGGTATCATTAAGTCCGTTGACAAGACTGACAAGACTGGCGGCAAAGGTTAGTGTCCATTGTTTTCATGCTTCATCAATTCACTGATTTATGTCTTGCACTTATAGTCACCAAGTCTGCGGAGAAGGCTGGCAAGAAGAAGTAAACTGCTTAGATGTAATCTTTTCGTCTCTCTTTCGGTCGCTCTCTCTTGTTTCCTTCACTCTCTCATCACGCATGGTATTTCTAACGCTGCAAGCTTTGTAACTGTGTCTATCATTTTTTTTTGCTGTATCACAATAACGAATTCGCCGGCAGGTGTCGCTTCGAGATCGCGGGCTTGTCGAATGTTCATATATCGCACAGTAGTTGTTGTCGGGAATCAGAAGTTGCATTGTTTGTATCGTTATGATCATTGATTTTGTGGGATTTGAAGAACGATGGTGAACGGAAGTGAATTTCAGAGTAAGTATGTATACATCAATAGTGATCGTCAATTGTTATCCTATTGGTTACAGTTCTCGCGACTTTTGCGAACATCGAATTTAACAAACGTGCTCTGGCTCGCCAATTTCTCCAACCCTTTCTCCGAGATCTCTGCCTACCGTGCGCTCGAAGACCTCCAACATGAAGTTAAAGATAGAACGAGTGAGAGCCGCATCCCATCGCCCTTTCGACTCTTCGTCACGAATGAACGCGTGCTGTGCTTGAACTTCCAAGATCTAATGTCGATCGTACCAGGTCAAAAGAATGGCCAGAGAAGAAAATGTGAGAGATGTTTACCGTGGCGGTTACGTTGTGATCCTCTAGCGTTTTCCTGATCAAGTCCCTTCCCTCCCGGGGAACGTGCGTGTCCTACGGTCGAGAGAGTAACGTCTAGTCAAATATTGTTCCACAACCCCGCATCGACGAAGTTCGTACCTGCTTGCCAAATATCAACTGCACCCCAGCAGGTCAGCCATAACATTCACCTTTGGATTAGGGAAACTTGAAGACATACCACAACCTCGCCTCTACCAGTGAGCTCTCCGTTGCGAACTCGGATGAGAGTATTGTCACTCTTGCCCTTACCGAGGGTCGCGGAGTGGATGTCTGTAGCGAAGAAGCAAACAGAAGAGAGAACCCTTCTGTCGAAAGCCGCCTGTCAAATGTAAAGGTAAACCATTGCATTGCCGGATAGCGGAAATTAACGATCATCTTACGCGGAAAGCCTATCAATAATAGATTCATTGGTGAGGATCTCAGGGAGGTGAGCAGGTGCGTACGAGATGACCTCCAAGACACATTCCGGTAGCTGATCGTGGGATGATAAGCTAGTAAATTAGTAGAATAACTTGAACATATTTACAGGCAATTCTTCCATTGCAGTTCGGCAACGAAGTCAGGAGATCGATGGACAGTCTTGCATCCTATAGATCATACATGAGCTCTTGAGACTAATAAATGAAAAGCAGTATACTTCATCGTATCCAGCTATTTCTTTCTCGATCTAAGATGATCGAGTTAGCTTGGAGCTGTATGAATTACTCGATGAGACACACCTTGTACCTGTTACCTCTGTCGGTACCTGCGATAGAGGATAAGCAACCTTTGAGCGAAACATGAGCTGCATAATTAACTTGCCTTCGGCGTCATATGGAAGAGCCTCTGGTCCCTCAAACTCATGATAGGTCGAAGGACAAGCTAAAGCATCGATCTGTTAAACAATCGGCTTTGCTGAACCCTCTGTGCCGGCACTGACCGACAACGTAGCCATTACTAGCGATCTGCCCAGCGAATCGTTCAACGGGGCCGGTGACCTGGTAGATCTCACTAGATCGCAAGGATCAACTGAGCACTGCAAAGCCACTAATATAGTACATGCCTGAAGCAAACAACGCCTGGGCGATATAAGTTACTGATCAGTCGTAGACGACGATGAACATACCAGGGAACTTGGCGTTGGGATAGCCAGGAACATTAGGCGCGATTACAAAGATCCGGATAGGGCGACCATTTGGATTGAGCTTGGAGGGTACGTCGTGGATAGTTTTAGTGATCAGCATGGTTTCGTAGAGGAATAGAGCACTAGAGGGGACGAGGAGAGAGCTCGACCCCTGAAGCAAATCATAATATACTGATGGTCGATCGGCATCGATTCCGACGAGCAAGCTCAAGTCCGAGCAATCCGACAAGCCTCAGCATGATCTCGAGGCATCGAGATCCTGGGATGCTGCCTTAACTTAGAATATATATCTCATCTACAGTATAACATTAGCAGCTTGGGCCTATGAAATCCAAATGGAAAGATAATGTCGGACTCGCCTACTGCATCGAGATTGTGTTCAAAATTCAATAGGAATACCCTCCGGTACGAAGACTTAGCCTTCTGCTGTATTGTATTGCTCTGATCAAGGCGACGAAGTATTATTCTCGCATCGTACTAAGATACTTACTAGTAGTGGCTGCGTAATGCACAGTGATGCACAGTGCGATACTTACCGCTACTGTACCTACCCTGTGTGCAACCTCTTCTACAGGATTTTGTACCTGTGTTGCTGTCATATTGTCTCTCATCCTCAAGCTACGCGAAAGGGCCAATAGGCCTCTGCAGGGTGAGTTGACCAATTAGCTTCCAGAAACGTAAGCATCCATCAAAAGTCTGCCGGGAGACAGTACTTGATGCCAAAATGTTTGTCACTCTGCATCACATCTGTACCAAACACAGAAGATTTCTTGCATCCTGTGAATATAGAAATAAGAGTAACCTGTGTAGTGTAATCCTGCGTGGCGGAGGTGGCGAACGACTTGCTCCGAGCACAGAGTTCAACGTTTAACATCAGTCGGGCGCTTATTCTGATCCCAAGCTTTTTCTCCCTTCCTATGATTCCGCTGTTCACGGTGTGTACGGTAAAAGTCTCACTGTACATCGCGCACACGCATTGTACAGTACTTAAGTACTTATGTCCAGGTCAGTTGCTATGCCCGAACAAGCAATTTCCGCCAAAGCTGGCAGTTCGATCCTGTTTGATCATGTGATCTGATATCTTAGGTGACGAACGTGCGCCACCGCCCAGTGTCTGCCTACACCCTAAGTGTCTCAGCTAAAATGCAATCCCTCGTCCATCTTGTACCTCTTCACCTTCATCCACCTTGAACACCAGCCATGTCGGAATCTGCTGCCAGGATACGCCCATTCCAACCGTCAGACCAGAAGCTGGTCCGCTTCTATGTAGGCAAGAGTCGAATGGAGGGGTTAACGTCTGCCAATGTCAGAGGTACCTTTTCTCCTATACTCGCGTGAGTTGTCGTATGACTCGTTTGTTTTACAGTGTATACGAATTTCTTCGTGCTTGCAATCTGGATAGCACTTTCTTCTGCATTCGTTCACTACATGCAATGGTGGCCAAGACGGGAGAAGGGCCTCTTGGAGAACCTATCACCCCTGTCTGCATTTGCATGCATGGCCCTTCCTATCATGTTCATCACCGATTGGTATGTCTTGTTCTTCCGTCCAATGTCACGTCACTTATTCATACTGTATTTAGGGTCAACCGGCCTGACTTTGAAAAGAGCATGAACGATGCTCTTCGCAGACCCGACCTCGTTGACACGGCTATATATTATGCAAGGTCACCCGCATCTGGATTCTGGATTCTTGAGTTTAACGACAGGTTTGTCGGCCTCATTGCTGTGGATGCATCTCTCGATTCCACTTCCGATGAAGTCGTGGTGGGTTCCGACAAACCCGCTGAGGAGAACGCCAAACCCGCAAAATCATATTCCACCAAGGGAACCTCAAACGTTGCGACTATTCGCCATTTCTACGTTGAGGAACCATACCGAACAGCCTCTGTACAAGATGACCTTTTGGAGCATGCTATCAAGCATGCTTTTGCAGAGAAGGAAGTGGAGCGGATCCGTGCGGTGAACGAGTCATTGGTACCATACATCGGTGAAGCTTTGCACCGACAAGGCTTCGTATCTGCAAGTGTGTTGGAGACGGTTGGTGTCTTGAACTGGCACGTACACGAGAGTGTTTTGGAGAGAAAGGTTTGGGAGTCAAAACAAAAGGCATAATGTCTCGTCCATGTTGTAATAGGGGTATATCTTGTGAGCATAGTCACGGTCCAAAAGATCAATAGTACTAGTTGTATGCGGATTGTAATATGATATTGTACTCGCGCCGATCATGGAAAATTAGTAAGAACGCAAAAGACCCGATCCCCGATCAACGATGCCGCTCCTTCTTCCCTCCATCTTGGCCAACTCACCTCGGTCACAACAACTTTTCATATTACTTCAGTCATCGACCGTACACTCCTGCCTACCTATTCTATGCAGTCTCATAGCTCATCCTAGTAGCAAATCCTCAGTCAAGCGACATGTTTTGCTCTTCTCGTTCCTCTATCCACCTTCGAGGCTGGTGAACCCTCCGCATTTGCAACCACAGGAAGTGGATTTGCAAATTTTCGACTGGACTGACAGGGTCCCTGGATATGGGGATGATTCACGGTCGAACGATGCTACGGATGAAATCATGAAGGCAGTTGATTCAGGTATGCATGCAAATTTTGGATGGAATGCACCATGACATCTAAATGACATCTTAATAGTACCCAAGGGAGAGCCATTAGATATAGTAATAGACTCGGTGGATACGCTACTGGACAACTTATCCTCTCAATCGAAAACGTACAACTTGCTTTCAAGAATGCTTTCTGCCGTACGTGCAGGTGCAAGTACGTCCCGTCTTTTACCACTTTTGTATCTTAAAAGCCATATTAACATGGCGTTCCAGACACCTCACGTCTAATCCTTCACATACGTGCCCCTTCCTCCCTCCTCCCCCTTCTAACCCAAACCCGGTTCTCCCCCTCCTTAACACACCTAACATCCCATCCACCTATGCTTCTCACACACCTCTCTATAGCCTACTTCACACCGCCGCCTCCCCTTTCTCCACCAGAGAAATTCTGGAGTGTATTCACGCCGATCTCAGAACGGTTATATGAAAGTGAGAACTTGGTCTTCGGGAGTGAAGGCGAAGGACTGGCGGGGAACGAGATTGTTGTAGAGGTTCTTGTGCGAGGCGGGGGTGTAGGTGGAACTGGAGGTGAAGGGAGGAAGAGAGGTGTGGAGAGAGCGCTTGAGGGCTGGGTCAGTGCGGAAGGCAAGCCGTGTGACTTGAGTGCGTTGGAGAGCTTGAGAGGGTTGTGGACGAGGAAGCATGTGTCGGAAGAAGTAACTCTCTTTTCTCTCTCTCTCTCGTTTGATGATCCTCTAACAACCTTTGTCAGGCTGCTCCGGACCCCACACAAAATGTTTCATTTAATTTGAACCTCACTCCCGAACAACAACAAGCCCGTGCACAAGTTCCTTTGCCATACGCCCATGAAGGTAATTACTCTATATTTTGTGTTCGACGCTGTGTCTCACAAAATCGCTCGATAGGTAAAGTCGCCGTACCTGTACAAGCTCCCGGTGCAATTTTGTATGAGCCTGACTCCGCGGATGATATCGACGACGACGATCCAGATGAGGACTTGGACATCTAGGATAAGATAGCGACATTGTAAAGCCTACAACAATAGACTGTATAATGTACTCTGAATCATCGGTGGTGCGATTGACCCGATTGAAGACTCCTACTTTCATAAAGCCATTGCCTTATCCGGTAGTACATATCCCAAAAAGAGACAAGATACTCAATATGGACAGAAAATGCTACGATACAGCGTTTGAGCAGCTAATGAATACAGTGAGGGATCTACTATGAGTATGAAAGCTACAGCGCTGAAACCCAGATTAGAAGGTGTTTATGATACAATGTCCAAGGTGTCGTGAAGCGCATTTGTAGAGCCTAGCTGCCTTAGGCTTTTGCTGTAGCCGTAACGTGTAGCTTGGCAAGAGCGCACACTAATGGGACAGCGTAGAAGGCATGTGCAACATAGACCACTGTCGGCGTCATAGCACTGTTAGTAATAAAAAATCTGACTGGAAGATTGTTACGTACTGACGAAGCCGTTGCTAGTGGCTGCAACGAGCTGAGGAGAGCTCTCACCACCCTTGAGAATAGTGTTGTTGAAATCCTCGACGGCTTTTCCGAACCACATGCGAATTACAAGGAACGCAGTGAGACCTATTTATATGTCAAACCCTTGTAATGCTTTGACAGGTAATAAGTACAAGACTTACCAATTATGAAGCCAAGCAAACCGATCCAAGCGGTGGCTCGTTGAATGAATGGTTTGTCAAAGACTCCGCCGAACTTGCCCATCTTGGAGCGGAAAGACGTGAAGGTGAAGAGAAGGAAGAACATAAATGTGAATATGATGGAGACTGCGATGAATGCCGGTGTAGTTGCCGTGGGTGCGGAGAGGAGATCTGGTGCATTCCCTGGAAGTACTGAGAGGTCTTAGATTTGAAGGAGTTAGGACATTGCTGAGGAGCGACGAATGGGACAATACATACTGTACTTAGGATCAATAGTGGCGGCCGTGCAGTTAACAGCGGCGTCGTTGTTCGGCCTTTCGCAGGAGCCTACATCAGAAATGTGAGAATGAAATTAGCAAGCAATAATATGAAAAACATACCAAGAGGACCCAAGAATACACTTGGTCCGTCGATGCCATTGGTCTCTCCAGGTTGCGTCAGGCTCAACGACGGGCTCACAGTGAGCAGAGCAACCCTCGAGCTAAGCATGAGTACGGGCGAGAGGAAAGCAAAGGTAATAAGCAAGAGGCTCGTAAGAGAGAGAACAGGTGCAAGGTATTGGTTAATGAACTTGGAGAGACCGTGAATCATTTTTGGTTAGTTAGCTCGTCTGTGAGATAGCAAGATGCTGGGTATGCGTGAAGATGTGAAGACCAGCTGAGGTATATTAAAATGAGCGTAAGCGGGCTTCCAGAGTCCAAAATCAATGAGAGAGGTAGAGACGGGTCCCCAAAGTCAATGAGTAAGTCTCTCTCAAGGTACGCAGCCTTATGTAGTTGCTGCGAAACTGTTTCCATGCGTGTTCCATTCCAGGAAGCGAGAAACAATTCAAGGAGAACAATAGTATTGGAAAAAGTGCGGTTATGTGCAAAGCGGTAATGTACAAAGGCGGTAACGAGGCGCATCATCATACTCATTGTTCTCCTTGTTGTATGGGCGCTCAAACACGCTTAGTCCAGACTCCATGTTCTTTTCCAGTCGTCAAACTCCCAGTTACAAGTGTCAGCGAGATATCTAGATGATCGTAGCGTGCTCCAAATCCTCCAAGATTTGATTAGAAATTAATTGATAGAACATAAGGTATTAACGGAAGTACCCATGGTATATACATGCGCCGGTCGAACAAAATTTGGAAGCCTTGAGAACAACAGTATCCTGATGGTAATGATGGACGACGTTGAAAAACAAAAACGAAAAAAAGATGCTGTACATTCGCTGCAGGATTCTTACGACTTTATTCACTCCTGGCACGTTCAACAATTGCATCGAATTCTAGACCCAGAGTTCGCATGAACTCCCTTTCCTCCACGTCCTCGTGCATAGGCGTATCTTCTTCCGAGGCAATAGAAGAGCTTGATTCTGCGCTGAAATACCCGTCCCTCGAAAAGCTAGGGTGCAAAGTAGAAAGACCTGGGTTCAACGAGAGATTCGTACAGCTAGCCTCAGTGCTTGACACCTCGGGTGTCTCAGCAAAGCTCATCCTGTCAAGAACCAGATTGGGGTCGTACTCTGCACATCCAGAACCGGCATCTTCTCGTCTGGAACGCAACGAATCGGTGCCAGATGTCAACATATCAAACGATATGCCACTAATAGACGTCGTTAGTCCACCTGTCTGCACGTATTGAGGGGGTATAGCCGGAACTGCAACATCCACGTTCCGCCCAACAATCATACTTCGCGCTTTCAGGGCGCGTTTAGATATGGCAGACGAGAGGGAAAAGCCTCGGGATCTCCTTTTGATTTCTGAGCTCGCCGGACCACTAGGACCTTGAATGGTTGACTGAGTATGCGACCGAGAACGACCACCGTATTCTCTGTTCCCAGGCAACAAAATAGCCTCTTGGTACATCAGCGTGTCGCCTAGATGCCCTGAGTCAAATGTAGCGCCGCTACGGTCCCTAGGATCCGCACGCTCATCTGAAGAGTCCTGCGTGGCTACTCGCTCTGCTTCCGGTGCTTTGGGGCTTGCAGGTGGGGAAACCTCAACGTTGCGTCCTGAACGAGCCTTGGCGGCATTCCAAGCATCGCCAGCACTGGTACTTGCGCTCCGACGATGTAAACGTCCGTACACTGCATGGCGATCTGCCTGCTGAGGAAGAGGAAGAGGTGGGTGCGGAATTACTGTTGTCCGAATAGCATCTCCGAGAGCGGAACTTAAGGAAAATCGTCGAGAGTTTCTGCGTGCATTATCTTTACTACTGGCTGGTGCCGTCTGCGTGCGCGTGCGAGAACGAACAGGTGGGGGATAGCGGGTTGAATCGATGTCGATGCCTCGCTTATTGTCATGGTGAGAGACGTACACGACTGATTGCCTATGCTGTTGTTTCTTTGGTTGAGATTTCTGATGGGCGTCATTCCTGGTCAACCCTATAACACTCGGCGTGGAAAGGAGATGTCGTGAAGAATTGTGGTTTCGGCTATCCATCGCAAGGAAAGAAACTGGACGAAGGGGTCGAGGTTGAGATACATCTGGCATCGAGCCTGCACCTGCAGGCATGGACTGGCGGCGTTTCTTAGAAGAAAACATGAAGACGGGACTCGTGTGCGATCTTGGAGTGAGAAGTGGTGTATTCATAATGCGGCTAACCGATCGGCGGCGTGGAATTGGATGTTCCTGCATTGTAAACAACAACTTAGACATCAATTGGACTTGCCTTGCGATCAAGACTGCTCACTGAGGTATACTCTACGGTAGCCGTAGTGGTTGTGACGCCAAAAACCGTATCGCGTGGAGTCGTAGGATTGACCTTTCCTTTGAAAAGGTTCTTGATGCGGGAACCAATTTGCTTGACTTTATTCAGGGATAACAGCTTGCCGCCCTTATATGGATTCTTCTTTGGTTTGTCTGTATTTGCTAATGCAACAACCTGCGCGCTCACTGTTCTAGTTCTGGCGTTCACCTCGCTGCGAGAAACCAAGGAAGGTGATGGAGAGGGAGCTCCACTCCTTCGATTTGGTGCCAGAGGATAATTAACCACTTGGCCATTTACTTCCGAAGATAATTCTAACAACGAGCTGGTAGACACAGAGGATCGTCTGCAAGCGTGTCCTTGGGCAGTATCATCTAAAGAGATAGACCCTTGAGCAGACGTAGATCGAAACGAAGTAGGAATGGACAAGACGGAACGCGAATCCAGCAGCAGGGAATTTGTCGCAGCCAGCCCAAAGGCATCCATGTCAGCACTTGAAGGGCTGAGGTGCTGGTTGGGGGAAGTGACCTCGTATGCGCTGGTTGGGCTTAGCCCGTTGTCAGACGGGAGCACCGGTGAGTCGGTGCTAAGGCCGACAGAGGAGCCTGAAAGGGATGAGGCCGGTGGTCTTGCCCATTCCGTTGTTTGGTGCTCAGAGACCGGGAAGAATGTAGTGGCAAGTCCAGGTAGAGGCAGGGATGAACGTCCTTCGGATATCGCTAACGAAGAGGATGAGGAAGAATATGAAGGTGGCTCTGGGAAGTCCACATCCATACCACTTGCACGCTCGTTGTCTGTGGAGAAGTAGGAATTGACGGATTCCGGTGAGAAAGCCAGTTGATGGGAAGGGAGATCGAGTGGAGGAAGACCTGGCGTAAAGTTCAATAGTGGAGCATCAAGCTGAATAGAGAGCCGTCGACTATCAAAAGGCTTTCGAGTGCTCCCTGTCTGAGCATAGGTGGCTGAGGAGGTTCTACTGGGATGGCGTGGAGGTCGACTAGGAGCTTGGCCGAATTGGTCGGGGGATGCCTTGCTATGTGTTATGAAAGGTCCCTGAGGGAAATTCGTAGGGTAGTCCTCTGGCGTGTGTATACCATCCGAGGCAGTAGTTGATACATCCTATGAGAAGGTCATGCAAAAAATCAGACGCATATAGTCAGTTCACTCACACTCAGCACGGGGGACGTCGGATGGCTTCGTATGGCAGGAGAAGAGGTAACCGAATTAGAGGGATTGGGTTGCCTAGGCGAGCGAACAAGGTTGGCATAAGATTGAGAGATACGTCGATGGAAATTGACAACATGTTCAAGATGTGCCGGACTAGGGACATTTGGCCGATTGCTGCTGCTTGTGGAACGTTGGCTTTGTCCCAGTGCCTCGATATCTTCTGCGTGGACCATGCAGGAATCGGATGCATTCCCATGCGCTGGTGTACTAGGCCATGCCCCAGGGAAGAATGGGGTCGATGACTTTCGGCTGGGTCGCCTGAAGCGTAACGACATCTCCGACGCGTCGAACTGCAGCCGATATGCAAGAAAACAAGCAAAATTTGCAACAAGAGGGGACGTGAAACACAGCGGGGAGAGAGAAAGAGAGGGGAGAAGCAAACACAGCACATACCGTGAAGCACGAAGGCTTCCTTTTAGAGTGAAGACACGGGATATGCCGGGGGTCCCATTTACCCTCAATCGACCTGCGAACAGAAGTTTAGGATAAATGCTACGCAATGTATTAGGATTAGAGCTCTGGACATCTATGTCTATTTCCAGTCCGTTCCGATGATGAAAGCGAAAACCAAATCTACAGCAGACCCTTGACGGCCTTGCTGACACTCTCAGAGAAATAATCGATGTTGTGAGAGTTCAAACCAGCCATGGAGATACGACCATCGGAAGTCATGTAAATGTGGGCCTTGTCCGCAAGCACTTTGGTCTGAGGCTGAGTGAGACCAGTGAAGCTATTAAAGATGTCAGTTGGTTTCCATCATACAGCAAGATATATGGCATACCTGAACATGCCAATCTGGCTCGTGATGTGTTTCCACTCTCCGGGAGTGCCCTGTGCAACGAGATTATCGTGGAGACGGTGACGCATGCTGATGATACGGTTGGCCATGTTCTCAACTTCGCCATGCCATTCCTTGTAAAGTTTGTGGTTACCGAGGACTGTGCTAGCAATCCTAGCGCCGTGCAAAGGAGGGTTGGAGTACATCGGTCGTACGACAATCTTCAGCTGACTTTCCACACGGGCCTTCTCCTCAGGATCGGCAGTGGTGAGAGAAAACGCGCCTACACGCTCGCCGTAGAGACCCATATTCTTGGCGAATGATTGAGCCAGGGCGATTTGGTGTCCAGCCTTTACAAAGTGTCGCACGGCAAACGCGTCATGAGTAGTGGAACCAGAAGCGAAACCCTGATACGCCATATCGAAGAAGGGGAAAAGCTTCTTCTCTTGGATAATGTCGGAAATCTCGATCCATTGCTCGGGAGTGGGATCAACGCCGGTTGGGTTGTGTGCACAGGCATGCAGAAGAACAATGGACTGCTCAGGCATGTTCTGTAAAGGTGGGCGAGGAGATCAGTCCATTGTGACAGGACATATCGGACTGTTCTACCTTGAGGTCCTCCTTCAAACCAGCGAAGTCGAGACCAACAGTCGTTTTGTCGTAGTAGCGGTACTGCTTGACTTCCAGCCCAGAGTCACGGAAGATGGGGGTATGGTTTCCCCATGATGGGTTAGGGAGGTATATCGTCTTGGTATTAGGGTAGAAGCGAGCGAGGAAAGCACCACCAATGCGGAGAGCACCAGTACCGGAGATAGACTGTGTCACAGCGATCTGCATTGCAAGTGACCGAGTTAATCACAAGCGCAGCACAGTAATACGAAGGACATACAGCATTGTGTTGCAATGGTATACTATCTTCACCGTATGCAAGCTTCACTGCCGCTTTGGTGAACTCGGGTAAACCGGTAATGGGCAGGTACTCCTTGTCAGGGTTGGTAGCTGCGAGGATTTGCTCTGCCTTCTTGACACTAGGTAGAATGTATGGCTTGCCGTTCTCGTCTCGGTACGCACCGACACCAAGGTTGATCTTGCGAGGGTCTTTGTCGGCCTTGAAAGCTTCGGTCACACCTGAGTGACGGTGTCAATAAGTCTATTCAAGGGAAAGCAATGGAAGCGCTCCAGGTGCGAAACACGCAGAGAAGTTTATGGAGTAGGTCACAAGGCAAGATGATATTGTTCCAAATATAAGAATGAATCCACGGCTACAATAGAAGACGAAGAGACGTGCAAAAGTAGTATGACTCACCAAGAATGGGGTCCGGAGGACCAGCAGGCACCGCAGACCATGTCGACAGCGCTGCTGCACGACTGAGATTTCTAGGAGCGATACGAGCCAGAGGACGAGAGAAGGCTTGCATTTTGAAGGGAAGGGAAAGGGTATGAAGATGAAAAGAAAGTGAAAAGCAACTGAGGGTTTTGAGGACGGTGGCTAGCTGTACACTCGAGTGACTGTGCTGGACTCATTCTCGTCCGCCAGAGGTTTCAGCCGGGATTAGAGCGGGGCGAGCCGAGATTCCCCGGACCCTAACCTCGTTCTAGGTGTACTCGATCAGATAACTTAAGACTTTCGAAAGTTTCAATCTTCGAGTCAAGCACATAGAGTCACCATCCCCGTAATTATAGCTGTAGCTCTCGTGCTACCAACCCAGAAACATCATGGCCGACGCAGAAATCAACCAGGTTCCTCCGAGTGAAGAGACGTAAGTCCGCCCGATCACCGCCTAGCGTGTTTGCCGAACTGATCAGGCTACACGGTATGCCAGTAAAGCGGAGGGCGAAGAGACGAAAGGCCCGTCCAAGAGCGAGCTGAAGAAGCGAGCGAAGGAGGCAGAAAAAGCAAAGAAAGCTGCAGAGAAGGCTGCAAAGCAAGCAGAGCTTGAGGCTCAGAGGGCAGCTGCTGAAGTTGTGCGTTCTTGCTACTCCTTTAATTGCGACAATAAAACTTCACTGCTCATCCATGGCGTACCCGAATAGGATTTTGCTACTGAATTCCATGGCAAACTTCCCCTGAACCAGTCGCAGACCCGACCTCGTCGACCTCGAGTTCAAATCGCATCGCTGAACCCCAACATGGATGGTCAGACTGTTCTCTTACGTGCCAGAGTCCAGACGTCTCGTGCACAAGGGAATAAGATGGTATTCTTGAACCTTCGTCAACGCATTGACTCTGTGCAGGCCCTTCTCACGGTCACACCAGAGAAGGTGAGCAAGCAAATGGTGAAATGGGCCGCAAGCCTGCAGGACGAGAGTATAGTACTTGTCGAGGGTGTTGTCAAGAAAAGCCCAGAGATCATTAAAAGTGCCACTGTTGGGGATGTCGAGCTCCACCTTTCACAGGTAAATTGTTTCTTCTCTGAAATACAACGTGGTATTGAATGGTTCCGATAGATCCATTTAATTGCTGGTCTTGAAGGGCGTCTGCCTTTCACTGTCGAAGATGCCGCACGGCCTGACACGGAAATCGAGACAAATGAGGAAGTCCAGTATAAGCGTGTTCTGCTTGACACACGTTTGAATAACCGCGTCATTGACCTTCGAGTATGTAACCAATCCAAACCTGGTTAAATATCCTAATATACACGCTCGACAGACTCAAACCAACCAAGCTATCTTCAAACTTCAACACGGAATTGGCCATTTCTTCCGTGACTACCTCGACGCACAAGGATTCATCGAGATCCACAGTCCCAAGTTGCAGGGTGCTGCTACGGAATCTGGTGCCTCCGTATTCAAAGTCAGTTACTTCAAAGGTGCGTCGCTTGGATGTCCGCATTATCTTCGCCATATTGTTGTGGCTGATCGGAATATATATAGGCAGTGCCTTCCTTGCCCAATCGCCGCAATTGGCGAAGCAAATGGCTATTGCCGCTGATTTTGAGCGTGTCTATGAAATTGGACCTGTATTCCGTGCAGAAGACTCGAACACCCACAGACATATGACTGAGTTTATCGGTCTCGATCTGGAGATGGCGATCGAGGAGCATTATCACGAAGTCATGGAACTTCTCGATAGCTTGTTCAAACACATGTTCGCCAGTCTCAGGGAGACGTACAAGAATGAGATCGATACTGTCCGCAGACAATTCCCTGCCGATGATTTCAAGTGGAGGGAAGGTCCCGAGGGCACACTCAGGATCAACTTTAGGCAGGCCGTCGACTTTCTCGTAGAGGATGGTGTCCCTAGGGAGGTTTTGGATGATATCAAGTGAGTATCTCACTCTCGTGCTAAGAACGACGCATTGACCGATTCGTACAGCACGGAGAACGAGAAGCGACTTGGTCGCATTATCAAGGCTAAATATGACACTGACTATTTCATCATCGACAAGTTCCCTATGGAGCTCCGACCTTTCTACACCATGCCTGATCCTGAAGACCCCGTACGCATTCGTATGATAAATCTTGGAATATAATCTCACTGTCTGACTTCTCTAGACCGTCACAAACTCATATGACTTCTTCATGCGTGGCGAAGAGATCCTTTCCGGTGCCCAGCGTATCCACGACCCTACCTTGCTCGCCGAGAAGATGCGCAGCAAGGGCGTAGAACCGGAATCAATGGCTTTCTACGTCGATGCATTCAAGATGGGATGTCCACCTCACGGTGGAGGAGGTATCGGTCTCGAACGTGTGCTCATGTTGTTCCTCAAGCTGAACAACATTCGGAGAGCGTCGCTGTTCCCCAGGGACCCGAAGAGACTAGAGCCCTGATCGGGACTTGTGCCTGAGTGTTTCAATTCGGACCAGCAGTGTATATCAATCAAGTAAACTTCGAAGTGTATTGCCTAGAATGTATCCATGGTTATGATCTTGACTGAAGCTGACCGACTCAGAGGGGATCCTGTTGTCAGCCTCGGTATGTGTTGTCCGTTGTTCTCAATGTTGCTTGCACTCTTTGGCGTTGTCTCTCACCGCTATTCTTCCATTCCGCAATAAGTAAGACCGGTTTATTTGAAGCGTCGACATTCTCTGATTTACCAGGCTCTTTGGTACACCCACCGCAGGGCTTCGTCATGCCCGAAGATCTCGATGACTGCTCTGAAGCCGTTCCTCATTGTCACCAATTCGTCGGTCCTGGTCCGTCCATGCATGTGGTCTCTAGCCCGACCCCGGTTAACGACACGCAAACCCTCGATGCCGGCATTCCAAACCGAGATGACCCGGAAGATCATAGCGGGATGCAATACGTCGGCATCAGTTTCGTTATCGTCCTCGTGATCGTATCTATCGCGCTGTGGGTGGGATTTACTAAGACGTCCAGGACAAAGATCAGGGGGTGGTATCACAGAGCAAGGGGAAGAGGGAAACCGCAGCAAGACTTACACCTCGAGACAGCTCAGCCTATGGAAGTCGAAAGTCCAGACCCACTACTGCTTCCCAACGGTGCAGTGCTCCCAACCCTGCCTCGTTTACCCCGTACACCGCGCCTTCCGACCTCTCCAGGGACCTCCATCAGCTCACGACCTAATCCAGAGAGGAATCAAAGCATGGAATCAGCCAAAATGAGCCGCCAGAATTCGAAGGATGTGGTGGAGGCGTCACCAAGGGGCATTGGAACACCGACTTTCGAAGAGGCTGTAATGCAGGCTCTTCCACCATATTCACCACGCTGATATATTCAATTTCTCTACCATTCTTTATATTTTATGAACATGGGATGGACATGGCTGCTACTTTTCTCACATCTGCATCTGCAGTACCTTGTTCAATGTATTTGATCGTGCTTTTGATTTTGGAATTCATCTTGAACACTTTCCAACTTCGTGCATGTATAATAAAGCGTCCTCGATCACGATCATTCGCTTCGCTCGGCAAACTCGAAACTAGCTCGACTTCCTTCCTTGAGCTTCAACGTCGACGTTAACCTTGAAGCTTAAAGCTCAAATTTCAAAGCGCGAATTCCACTCTCATCTCTTGCTGTATATACTGCTCATCATACAGTATATATATAAATCTGGGTTCCAAGGATGCCTTCTGCAATAACCCCACTCGAGAAATTCCCTCCTATCACACCCTCAGGCATCCTCGCGTTCCAATTCTCATCCTGGTACCCCCGCTTCTCAAACCTCAGCATCAAGTCCACAATCATCAGGCCCCTCAGCCAAGAGTTTCGCGAGTATCTTGATTCAGAGGGCGTATTTATACCAGAAGGTTCAGAAGACGTGTTAGTCTGAAGCCACCCCCTTCCCCCATGTTCTCTTTCTTTCTCAGCACTTGAATCTGAGATTCGTCTCTTGGATATGCGGTAGGCCACCGGAAATTACGTTGCCGGACATTGAAGAACACCATGAGGAAGCAGAAGAACAACGTAGGAAGTTCGCTTTTCCCGAGTTGGATGGGAAGATCAGAAGGGCTATCTCGAAATATGGAGCAGTCTTTCCGAAGCTCAACTTCTCATCACCACGGGTAAGTTACTTGAGAGGGAGGAATTGTTCTGAATGTATAGATTGATTTTGATTTATTGAAAATTAGGACGCTGCATGGATGTTGCCCGCCTCTTCTCCTTTGAGATGTACCTCCCCAGCGGATGTCTACCTACTACTCAAGTCGTCCGACTTTGTTCTACACGACATTGACCCAGAGTTGGTTTTCCAAGGTGTCGAAACGGAAGGGGCTCTATCTGCACGTCCACCATACGAACTCGAGCTGGTATTGCGGAAATGGTACTCCGTTGATCACAGTCGAGAGCTTCGATGTTTCGTTCGGCGGGAACAACTAATTGGTGAGTCTCACAAAACGTTCACACGAAAATGCAAAAAATTAATAACGCACATTGATGATGACATGGTGCAGCTATCTCTCAACGTGACCCTAATTACTACGACTTCTGGAACGAAGCTGGAACGAAGGACAAAGTCTTGGATGCAGTGACCGAATTCTGGGAGAAGAATATAAAGGGAAAATGGGCAGAAACCAATGGGAACTGTAAGCCCCTGAGCCCCCACACCTTCACACCTCCTGCATAAATGTTGATAGCAACTTTGCAGACACCTTCGACTTCCTGCTAACCCGAGACCTCAGTCGAGGTCACATTCTTGACTTCGGTCCATATGCACCACGGACTGATCCACTGCTCTTCACATACGACGAGCTTTTTGATTTAGCGAAACAAGCTACCAGCGACTCCAAGGCCGAATTCAGAGTCATCGACTCACGAAGTCATCCAGCGGCAACTCGAAACGCCCCCGCTCACCAACATAACATGGTCCCCATGGAGGCACTGGCGATGAGCAGTGGTCGAAACCTTCAAGAGTTTGCGGGGATGTGGCAAGAGGAGATACGGCGATCGGCACGCGATGAAAGCGACGATGAGAGCGACGATGAGGACACCTGAAGGTGTGTATCTTATTGAACAGAAAGAATGTACAACAAACATGTGACTTAGATAGGAGGGAGCTGAATTATTACGGAGGTACGAAAGCAAGGACGAGGATGAAGAGGCTTGATACACGACACGAACAAATATTCATTGATGCTAGTTGGGATATGAATGGGGGGATACCTCTTTGATCCATCTGCTCCAAACGAGAAGTCCATCCACTACTACGAATACAAACAAGGATATGCCAACGAGAAGAGATGATGAGCGAAAAACCCGATAATATGAGTGGGGATACTGAGTCTGAGTATCGACCGTAGATGATATAAAAGATGAGACAAACACACCATCTATACCTCATGTCATAGACGTCGATCTCTCCTACTTCTATGTCTTTCAGACCGCGAGGAAGTTGGTGACGGACCCATCATAGTCGTAGGTAACGTCCCCCTTTCGATTGCAGCAGCTATGATCTCTGCAGGAAGATCAAGCTGCACTCCATCCGAGTATGCGAATGCATCCAATGGAGAGTACGCAGGGGGATCCCGATTGGGTATAGCCAAAGTAGTACCGACAGTTGTATTACTAGCTGCTGGTGCAGATGTGGTGGTATTGGATGACGACGCCAATGCCTGGAGATGAATATCTCTGACATTGGGTGTGGGCGGATCGGGGCTCATGGGCGACTCTGGAGGGGGATGAACTTGAATGGCCAATTCCGGACCTGAACACGACGAGCGGGAACCAGTCCGCGCATGAGTGAACGTGAAAGGTTGACGGCGAGGTGTATTGAACTGGTTCGCACCTACAGCTCGCGACGGAGCTCGAGATGACTCCACAGAATTCGAAGTGGATGATGACCACTCGCCCTCGCCGGTCTCAGGCAGCACATCACTTTCTTGCGTCGGTGACAATGGTATGTTTGCATTAGGTGGAGCATGGAAAGGTAAATCTGTGGGAGAAATGTATCTGCGTGAGGAAGGTCCCGCTGCAGAGTGACCAGCCTCAGGCTCCTCCTCAATCGGCGTGATTGGTGGTGGCGGAGTCTCAGGAGGTGAAGGCGAAGCGATCGGACTGTTGCGTAATGGTGAGGACTCGGCAGGTGCAGACGCAGACAGTCGACTGTTAGGCCGTCGAGAACGATGCGACCGCCGAGAGCGGGATGACGCGCCAGATGGAGAACCGATAGCGCTGGGCAACGGAGTAATATCACCCCCTGCTGCTAGGAGAATGCTCCCTCGCTCAGTACCGTACGGCGGTGGAGGGGCCAGTGTTCCCACACTTGGCGCCAGACCCCATTTCTTGACATTGGCTTCGATGAAGACAAATCCCGACTGACCGAGGTTGACATGGACACTGCACGGGCCATCTGCGCCTACTGTTGGGAACAGATTCCAGTTGCTGAGGCCGATGAACGCGTCCTCCGTTTTGCGCCCGTTGCGGGTGAAGAAGACAGTACCTGTACGCGGACGATAGCCAACGCCAAGGACATCACCCTCTTTTAGAGATGAACCAAAAGGTGTCGCAGTGAAAGGGTAGTTGTGGGATTTATCACCGTTGGAGTGATATCCAACAGAGTATCGCTGAAAACCAGGAAGTCTGAAAGATGGGTACGGTTTGGTAGCCAGCCCCACGGCAACGTTTGTGGTCTCTGGCAAGTCAAACATTTTGACCTCCCAATAGTACACCTCGTTGAGCTTTGGTAGAGGTAAGTTGGACTGCACGGAGGTAGCAGAAGAGGGATCGGGTAAGAACGTGATCTCGGTACGTGCATGAACAAGCAGAGAGTTCAAGGCTTCGAAATCAGGTTCAAAACACCACGCGGAAACACCCTTCTCTTGGATGGATAAGAACTGAGACAATGTGATGTCAGTGGGTTGCGAGTTGGGAGGGTAATGGATTTGGTATTCTATAGATAATATAAATATTTCGGACGCGGGCAAGAGACCAGGGAGTGCATACCCTTTGCTCTGAGATATGATCGACGGGCATGTTCGCTCACGCTTTCCAGCCAACGGGATTCAACACCTTCAAAGCCACCCTCGCCCTCTATGAGGTCTTCTCTGCTCATATCGACGGGACCGTCTTGATCGCGGAGCATGATACCCCGCCGTCTCCGGAGCAGGATAACGCATATTAGAAAGAGCAGGAGAAGGAAGAGAAAGGTGGAGAGAACGATAAGGAGTGGCAGGAGGATATAGAAAGCATCGCGTGAAGGGCCTTGCGGGGGCATTTGATCTTGTGGCGGGAGGATGGTATCTATTGAAGGGTTAAGGGAATCTTGGAGAACATGGAGGGTGGCTGACAAGACGTCGCTTGCATCGTCTTCCCAGTCTGCTAATTGACGACGAGAGACCTGTGCGTTGGTCCTCCACATGAAGGAGAAGTGCGGTGTAGTCACTGTGGGGGGAAAGAAAGAGTAAGCACTGTGAGAGAAGGGACTTGGGCTTGAGCTTGAGAGTTCGTTGCTGAGAACAGGCCTAGGATGTCACCGCCTGTGTTCGGAGGCAGTGCCCCGGGCTGCGTGCCATCCACTCGCCGATCTCCTCCGCCCACCTCCCAGATGCAGGTGCCGGACCGGCCGTAAACCGACACCCCAGACGCCGGACGGACCCACAGCGGGCGTCTCTGGAGATGCACTGTGGACTGTAAGTAGGGAGTCGAGTCTATTTCGTGCTGCATGGCCTGTCCTGGTCCCAAATGAACGCAACTCTCTCCCCCGCAAACTCGCCCAAAGTGAAGCGCAAAGGCTCCGTTCGTAGACCCCGCGCTCCTTCTCACCTCCCTCCCCTGACACAAGAAACACACGATGCCGCCCTCTTCTCCATTCGCAACTACCTCAAAGGCCGCACTTCCTACGATACGTTCCCCGTCAGCTTTAGATTGATTGTCCTAGATTCCCAGTTGGAGGTTAGAAAGGCCCTTCAATGTCTGCTTTCCAATGGTGTGTGCTTTCTCCCGTTCCAGATGTCCCTTGATCGCATTCCACCTCTGACCTCTCAGTTTCTTTCAGGCGTCGTTTCCGCCCCGCTTTGGAATAGCGAAAGGTCCTGCTTTGCAGGAATGTTCACCGTGTCCGATATAATACACCTCATTCAATTCTACTACAAATCCTCGACATACGATACTGTCGCAGGCGACGTCGAGTTTTTCCGTCTCGAGTCGCTACGAGGTGCGCTACCTCCGTGTTTTCATTTCGGGCCGTTCCTCTGATCAAACCTAGATATTGAAAAGGAATTGGGAGTAGAAGAGCCCCCTTTACTACGCGAACACCCCTCGGCCTCATTGTACGATGCAGCGAAGCTCCTGATACAAACCCATGCACGGCGAGTTCCACTCCTCGACAACGACAGTGAAACAGGACATGAAGTCATAGTATCAGTACTTACCCAGTATCGCTTGCTCAAATTCATTGCCATCAACGTTCGTAACACTCATGCAGATGTGAGAACTCGGAAGCTTATTCTTGATGTAGTGCTCCAAGGAGATCTCTCAATTACATCTTCCTCTCCGCAAGTTAAACATTGGCACGTACGTAGTCCGAGCGCCGGGCGACCCATTCATAGAAGGGCAGGATCCTTTCTACCCGATCGCTACAGCGTCCATGTCCACGCCTGTATTCGATGTCGTTCACATGTTCTCCGAACGGGGCATCTCTGCCGTTCCAATCGTAGACGAAGAAGGGATTGTAGTCAACCTGTACGAGACAGTTGATGTCATCGTACGTGATCATCTTTACATCCCTGATCGTCAATACTTACCATGCAACCGGATGGCAACCTTGTTCTTTCATTTCTAGACTCTCGTCCGCCTCGGTGCCTATCAGTCGCTCGACCTCACAGTCGGTGAGGCGCTGAACCAACGATCCCTTGATTTTCCTGGTGTCGTCATCTGCACGGCGTCGGATTCTTTGGGTATGCTTATGCAGCTCATCAAGAAACGAAGAGTGCATAGGCTCGTGGTCGTGGAGGGCGATGTACGTGTCGCATTTCCTCGCATTGTATCATTTGTTTTAAATTTTGTCTACAGGAGGAAGAACGAAAAGGGGGCAAGAAAGGTCGTCTGCTCGGAATCATCACGCTCAGTGACGTCCTACGTTACTTGATCGGCGAGGCTTGCATAGGCGACAACGCCGAACGTTTCAGACCCCCACCTACAGAAGAGGAACGACAGCCGCCTCAGACCATTGAGGAGCACAGTTGATCGACCTCTGTCCATCCATCCCCCTGTCTTCTTGCTGTCAGGCAGAGAGAGGACTCTTAGCATATGTAGCGCTAGCTCTATCTACCTTTCAAGTTCTGGGATGGTGCGTTGTCGCATCTTTCCTAGGATTTTGATTGTGACACGATTTGGATACCAGTTGTCGGCATTGTTTTTCTCATTTTCATGTCACATCTTTTCTTGTAGTTGTACTTACTCGTATCTCTGATCTGTGCTTTTCGCTGTCGTCGTCATTCGTTCGCCGCACAAGAATATAATCAATAATGTGTATAATTAAACACATGAACTAATGGCCGAACTAGCAATAAGGTAATTGTCACGTATGTATTGGATTCCATGAGAACTCTGGTGTAGTACATGAGGAGCGCTTCAATGTTGCTCTGATTCAGATGTCAAGTTCCCTATAATACTCGTAGTACAAATGTTATAATAGCATCTCTAAGGCAAACCGACTCAAAAACATCTCTATCATCCCAGCCTACTTCACGTCCAAATATACAGCAATGCCTTGGTCTCCCCTCCTCACCACTCGCAGCCTCACTTCCACCAAACGCATCAACTGCTCACTCACCTCCGCACTCGAATTCCTCCATGACCCCAAAGCAATAATCGACCTCAACCCACTCGTCATTGGTCGAGAGCCCCACCCCAATGATCCTAATCTCTACACTATTAAAGACCGCATGAAGGTCCTTGGTAGATATGTGGAATTTGACTATACTGCAAAGTTCACGTTTAGGGAGGATGGGTGTGAAACTGAGGTTCGGGCACCTGGTGGGACGACTTTGAAGAGTCGGTGGACGGCGAGCGAAGTTGAGGGTGGTGTTGAGGTTAGAGAAGAAGTTACAGCTACGGTATGTTTTTTCTACCTAATATCGCCGTTCTTGTGACCGATTCATACTCAACATATAATACGTTATATAGACATATTTCTTCCTGATGCCTATGACGATATCAGGCTTGAAGGCCCCACATGATGTCTTACGAGAAAGGCTTGCGGCGAAGCTCGAAGGTCGTTCCGTAGATCAAGCGGGGACGACGATAACAAATAAGTCCGAAGCTGGAGTGAATTCCTAAAGTCTACGTTGTGTCTACAGACACTTACGCCGAATTTGCTAGGATCATAGCGGTTTCCTGAGTCTCAAGTTTATGTTTTGTATTTCTGCTCTTGCTCTGGTGTTTTCTGTTGTTCTTAGGTTTGGATCTCCCATGTCTATACCCATGTTATTATTACTCTTGTTTCTGGCGGCTTGTATATCTGTATACCTCTCTGCTAGAAAATCTCGGGACCCGTATGGTACATTCCATGTATCACTCAACAGGCCACTTGAAGAGCCGCGTTCGATTCCCAACACAGAGTGGTTGAATATGGGATACTGGAAAGTGAGTGGAACTTTCAATGGACACGTGCTGAAAAGATTCAGGAATTTTGATCCTTGCCTAGGACACAGATGAGTTTCCTAAAGCTTGTGAAGGTGAATCTTGAAGGGCAAGAATGCCGTCATTTAGGCACTGACTCGGTGTGTATAGCTCTAGCTCTCAAGCTCATCAAAGCTGCACGTTGTCAGCAAGGAGGGCATGTCCTTGGTAGCCTAATCCTTCCGATATCATAGCATCCTCACTGACTTCCATGTAGACGTTGGTCACGGGAGTGGCGACTCCTTGCTTCTACACCTCAGACACCCATCCGTACCGAGGCCATCTTGTTTAACAGGTATCACTAGCCTTCGTGCACATTACTTACGGTCATGCGAGCGTGTCAGGCAAACACAGAAAGAAATCACAGACATAGATCATGCGCCAGAAGTTCACTTGTTCGCTGGTGATGCTGTATATCACCCCTCTGACGATCCACATCACCCACTGAGCCCGACCTCGCCAACGAAACCATACACGACGATATTGGCACTCGACTGTGCATATCACTTCAATAATCGACACAGGTTCCTGCAACAATCCTTCCACCACTTGGCCTCTGGAGGAAGGATTGCCCTCGCTGATATATGCTTCGCCTCTACAGGGACTACGATCGCGAAGTTTGTGCGATATCTCATTGGTGACCTTGGAGTTGTGCCCAAGGAGAACGTTATTACGGTGCAACAGTATTATCGTCAAATGGTGGACCTAGGGTATGTAGAGATCGAGGTGGAGGACATCAGTAAGGACGTTTTTCCTTCTTTTACGAGGTTCCTTTCGAGCAGAGGCGTGGTATGGGGCGTATTTGCTAGGGTTATTGGTCTTTTACAGATTGGGGGAGCGCGCTTTGTGATTATTACCGGTAAAAAGCCATGATAGCGGGCTGTTGGCATTGGCAATGACTGAATCCGAGGATCGAGATTTGAACTTGAACACCTTCCTGATGTGCCTAGAACGGGCGTCTGATCCCCGGGAAGCTTATCTGATAAAATTTTGGTCGATCATGACGTCCCGACTGCCGGCCGGAGTCGACGCCAGTGTCGGCCGAGGTTATCTCCTTCCTTGGACTCACTCACGACTAAAAGTATCTCGTCTACTCCTTCCACGACCTCTTGGTCTCTAATATCCATCTTCATTGCATCATGGAGCCTTTCGAGGCAAAAGTCGCCGCAGCGGCGACCGGTTCTACACTCACCGCTCTTACCAGTAAGCCGCATGTCTACTGTTTGTTGTATTGGTCACGTCCAGCTTAATATGCGAACTCCTATAGTGACTCCTTTTGACGTCGTGAAGACACGTCTACAGACTCAACAGCCCCGACCACAGCAGTTATTTCCCCAGCCTCCACTAAACACCTGCTGTCAGGCGGCTAATACGACCTGCGTCCGCAGGATGTCTTCGCTTGCCCGGGCTGCTGAAGGCGAAGTCGTCTGCATCTGGGATCATGGCATCTTTCGCACAGAGAGAGTAAATGGCTTCTTTGATGCGATTCGGCATGTTTGGCGAGCAGAGGGCATGTCAGGGTTGTGGAAAGGCACTGGGACTACACTGTACGTTTTTCTTCTCATGCAGCTTGCGCTTTTACTGAAGTTCCTTTCTCAGGCTTATCGGTGTACCCTCGTCAACAAGTTATATGTTGACTTATGACTATCTGTCACATTATGCACTACCCTCATTACTTCCTTCTTCCGTTGTCCCTCTTACATCTGGTATCCTTGCACGGACGTTGATTACTAGTATTGTTTCTCCTCTCGAACTTGTACGAACAAACCTCCAGTCCACTCCGATGTCAGCAGACGTACCGCATACCCTCCGCTCCGTTCTCACATCAATACGAGCATTGGCACAAGCGCAAGGTGTTGGCTACCTTTGGCGGGGACTTGGACCTACACTATGGCGCGATGTTCCATTTAGTGGAGTGTACTGGGCTGGTTATGAATCAGTCAAAAGCGCTTTCGAGCGAAGAGGACGTGAAGGCGCGCCGGTAGCGTTCGTCAGTGGTGCCGTGAGCGGAACCACGGCAGCACTACTGACATCTCCATTTGATGTTCTCAAGACTCGCCGGCAGGCCATTGTCATGTCTACACCCGGGCGAGCTATGGGTTCCCTATCCCTGGCGGCGGATATCATTCGCACAGAAGGTATATCTGCGCTTTATGCTGGTCTACTTCCTCGGATAGTGAAGATTGCACCGGCGTGTGGAATCATGATCGCTTGCTACGAGGTATGTTCATCTTGTGTGAACACTTATAGCATTACTGAACCTTTGCATTTCTTAGGGCGTTGGGCACTTCCTTACGAGAAGCAACGAGGACGACAATCGGATATCATAGACTGTAGAGGATACCACATTGATGTAACGGACTATTATACGGATCTAGAGTACCATAGAGATGTAATATGACATGATATATCCACCATTCAATGAAAGAGAGTAACCCAGAAAATCCATGTGTCTACAGGAAGCAATGCAGAGATATGCCAAGAAATATAAGAATACAACAGATTCCGCATGCTCATAATGCGACTAAAGGAACCTCTGTTGGTCTACCCCAGTCTGTTCATCTGCCTCTTCGCACCCGTGAGCTTCCCACCAAAGCGATCAACCTCGTTCGTCAAATCATCCAACATCTCAGTCTGCTCGTTCAGCTCTTGATTGATGGCTAGACCTAGATGCTTCTGCCTCTGAAGAATGGTCGAAAGCTGCGCAAGCTGGGAGTCTTGCTGATCTATCTGAGAGTGCTGCATCTGTACCAAGCCAGTCTCGTCCAAAGGTCGAGTTTGTTCTGTCTCCTTCGGTTGAGGCGCTACGCCAAATGCTCGTCCAGACGGGCGACCAAACGCTGCGCTGGATGGTGATTCGAGCAATGCTGCCCTGTCAGATTCAGACGCAGGATTTCGTTCTGCGGCGGGTCCTAATCCTCGAGAAGTCAAACGTGCAACGGTGACCATCTTGGCCAACCTTTCGCAGTCGTCACGTAGTCGTGCAGCCATATCCCTCCGTCTTTGCAACTCTCCCTCACTCATCCCAGCCAGTCCGAGGGTCTGCAATCCAGACTCTAGGACCCCAACGCGGGTTAACACACCAGCAAGCTTCTTCTTCGCCTGGACGTTCGCCTGATGAGACCCCGAGACGTCACCTCGATCTGAAAGGGCATCCCGTTTGTTAATATCCGCCCGGATATCTCGTATTCGAGCTTGAAGGTCGATATGTTCGTCCAACCATGACGAGCTCGTAAACGATGAAGGAGCACCCCCTTCCACTCCCCCCTGCTTCCCCACAGGCACACCCAAGAAATCCCGAAAAGCGAAACTCTCCCGCCACTTGTCCTCCTTGGCACTGAGGATCGCTCGGAGGTACCGTTCAAGCCCTTCCTTCCGCTGTTCCAAGGCTTCCTGACTAGCCTTTGATCGAAAGAGTGGCATGGACATGGTCACTGATCGTTTAGGCGGGAGTATACTTGGTGGAGGTGACCCTGTGGATTTCGCGAGTTCGGTGTGGAGATCGACGAACTCCGAATATCGTCGCCACATTTGCCATGAGCGGACGGACGCTTGGATCTCTATGCGGTAGACTACGTGCGATTTGGGTTCATAACGTTCTTCATAGCCTCGAATGTAGATGGCTTGGATGGACGTCATTACGGATATCGATTATCCGCAAGAATGGTGGTTGTAGGGGTTATTGGTGCTAGAGAAATGCACGGATTACAACCAATTGCATATATGCATCTCTTGTTGGCCTTACCTTGGTATACGGGAGATGCAATGAAGAGCCTAAGTCATGCATGCATGATCGGGTGGTAGTAAGTAGTAAGAATGGATCGAACCAGCGCCTCTTGTAGTCCTAGTCACTGCCCTAGCTAGGTCGCGTGTGCCTCAAAATACCATGCATACAGTCTACCAAGCACTCAGACGGCTCAAGCGAAACAAACAAGAGAGAAAAAAATCATATTCCCATTTTATACACAAAGCTCTATGGTAAAATAATGCAGCGAAGTCGAAAACCAGATGATGCAAAATAAACTTAGAAAAGGATTGGAAGTACTAAGCTAGGAGCACAGGGTCGGATGGATGAGCGAATATACAGGCATAGAGAACAAGCATCCGAAAAATGCCAAGGAAGGAGCGGACTGCAGCTCGTCAAGGCGGCATCGATACCCTTGCAAAGGGGGTGTAAATACAATTATAATGATGAATTTGCAAAAGGGGGGACCAAGTGAGTACTGATGACTGTGAGCGATATGTTTGATGTAATGCAAGTCGAAACGAAGAGAGATTAAGTCTTTTGGGCCATGTTCAGATTGATTGCTATAACGGCCTCAGTCAGATGCGATTGAGCAAGATGGAATGGCATATTATTGCCCACCTCTGAACCATGTAAGCGCTTCCGAGTTAGAAGGGACATCGAAATAAAGAATCGCCTTGTTGTCCACAAGGCGGAGGGCTAGCAGAGAAATTTCACGTTAGAACGAGTCGCAAACTGAAACTCGATGTAACCGTACCGTTTCCATGCACAATGGTAGCCGGCTGAGGCAACGTCTGCATGCGAAGGACTGCCCATAGATCCACCATAGAATTCGGTTCCTGACCATCCGAAGGGTCGCGGCAGAGAACAAGTAGATCGTTGCAAAGAACGCCAACCAATGATCTCGGAGTTAATTCCGGCGACAAGCACTCCACTTGTACAGTTGACGCGTCGCCCTTGGAGTCAATGACTTCGAATGATACTGTTGCCTTCCGTACTACTCGGGTCAAATGCAAACGTCCATCCATAATGAGACGTCTAGAAGCGAGGTCAGTTCCGACAGATGGAGTATGTCAGTGAAGACGTACCTGTGAGGTTGTACAAGAGGGCTGGGGAATTTGCCCCGGATTCTTGATTGCCAAAGAACCAGTCTACGTCGAGATTCCGACTCCCGCTTACCCTCGTTCATGTTGGTAGCCAAGACGGAAATCTCAGACAGTGCCTTATCTAGAGGATCTTCCATGTACTCGTATACTGGAGGGCAGCTTCTGAGCAATTCTTCCAACTATAGCAAACATTAATGACGGTTCCGTTACATGTATGGCATAACATACCAATAGCTTATACCGTGGAATCCGTTGCACAGGGAGCAAAAGATAACCTTCCAAGTTGAGTTGCGAATGGCGAGGATTCATTCGGCAACGCTTCAGATATGACTTGATTCTTTTCTTCTGACTTGAAGTCAACGGAGCAAGATTGCTATTTACCGGACCTCCATCTGGCATAACTCCTGGGGTGCTGATAGCAGACATGGCTAGTCCAAGGCCCACCACTCCCGCAGAACTAGACGAGGGAGACAGAGATTGGCCCGGTGAACCGGATCGGTCTGATAACCATGCCTTTATACGCTGCACCGAATTGTCAAAGTTACTACAAGAAAGTCAGTAAGACCCTCATGAAAACGATATGTCAAACTCACTTAATGTATGTTGAGTACATCTTCATGAACGCCGCATGCGAAACAAATGCCTGTGCTACAGCCCGAGCGGCACTCATAGACGTCTCGCCATCTGCATCGACTAAGAGAAGTTCGTCCGAAGGCCGCATGACAGGTGCTGCCGCCCGTTCTAGCGCAGGTAGGAAGCTGGCTTTATGGAAAGAGAACAGTGACTCAAGTCCTTGAAAGACAACCTTGCGTTCGGCAGCAGGAATAACGGTATCCTTGCTTTGACCGACACCGCTAAGGACATTGACTGGAGCGCCGGCTGGTTTGATGTAGATGTCGACAAGTTCTTGTAAACCCTTGACATACGTCCGTTCAGTCCTACATAAGGTGGTTAGTGTATGAAGCGGCGTGGTATAGCATACTATACATACTCGATGATCTCGCGAACAACGCGTGCTCGTTTGGACTTGTCATCCTTGTACTTCCGCTCCTCGCCATTCGAGCCATTGCTATCAGTCGTCGCAACACTGTTGGTTTGGGTAGTAGTCCCGCTCCTCATGCTCGAGGACCGCACAGACGACTCAGGTCTTGATCCAAGGCTGGAAATAATGGAGTGAGTTGATCCCTCGGAGGTCAGTCGATTATTCTCCACAACTGTAGGTCGGCGAGAGCGAAGTCCACCAGCGTTGGGGTCTCCAAGACCACCGTAGATGCTCAGGGTATTTGATTGAGAAAGCCCCAAATCGTGCATGTCCCGGAGGTATGCCATGACAGACCTTAGGGCTCGCGTCCTAGCCTCGCGAGCCTTCTCCTCTTCGCGTCGATGCAGCTGCTCCAGAGATTCGTGTGTCATCGCTTGCGGAGGGGCGCGAGCGGTCTCAACACCATCATCAGCATCACTGGTCGCTGTCAGATTAGGGACGAACGAGGAGGCGTCAGGAATGGGAATGGGAGCGACGTCTATCGGGAGGAAGCTCCGACGCTTCGTTGCGCGAGGTGTTGGTGTCGGAACGAGAAGATTGTTGTTGGAGAATGCAGATGGTGGAGGCTTCAATTGTTCCATGGAGGGTTTCTCTGGGATAGGCGGTGGAGGTGGACTCAACTTCAGCATGTCCATAGACGGCTTCTTTGACAGGCTAGGTGGAATCATCTCTGGGGTACCAGGAGGATTCAGCAACATGCCCGTCGTGGAGATCCGTACATCAATTTGAGGTATGCCTGTGGATAGTCGTGGATCGTTGTGGAAGGCAGGACTACTCGAAGAAAACTTGGTCAACATCGGCCTGGCTTGTGCATTCAAGATTGGACGGCCCTGTGCAGTATCCGGACGAGAATTGGAAGGAGGCTCCGATCTCATCTTTCCCATCGACATCTTCTTCAAGAAGCCCCAACGACCAGATTTCTCCTCTTTACCTGGACGAACCTCTGGACGAGATCGAGCATCGTTCAAGGGTCTAGGCGGGGACCCGGTATACAACTTTGAGGGAGAAGGCAACGGCTTTTGTGGGGGCACTGGTGGACTTTCCTCTGCCTCATCACCAGAGATGTTATCCCAGAGAGTAGGGTCGACGCCAGGGCGCATCCGTCCGCCACCAGGTGATGAATATGCAGCGGAAACGCCTAAACTGGCGAATCGCTTCGGTACCGAGGATTCACCAGGTAGTGTGCCTACTGCCAGTAGATTCGAACTAGATGCCGAGCTTCCGTAACGAGACAACCCTGGACGTAAAGGCGAGGAAGAAGTAGACAGAGAAGGTGGCGCATCGGGCGGCGGGTTCACGAAATTCCTTCTCAACTCGCCAGCACTCTTCATCTTGCGTACCTCACGATCAAGAGATTGCTCGTCTGATTTAGGTGGCACCAAAGGTCCCCGACGAGTATCAACAACAGACTTACTAGCTGCGCGATTCCGGTCATAGTAAGCCTTACTAGGTGTTGTGCGTGTACGAGCGAGACTAGGCGACGTTGGCGAGGGCGAGGGCGGTATGGTAGATGGTGCTGTGATCGAGCGTGTAAGATGCGGGGCGCGAGCAGGTGTAATGGTATCTTCGTCTTCGATGTGAACGAAAGGGGGCGTGTCCCCGTCCACCGTCGGAGGGGAATCAGGCATATCATCGATATCTGTCTCTACGGTGGTAGTGCTCTGGATGCTGGCAGATGGCGGAGGAAATATAGGGGTCGATGGTGGATAAAGAGGGGACATGGGGGATTTAGCAAGGAGAGGCTCAACTAGAGCTTTCCAGGGGCCCTGGAATGGATTCCCATCCACGAGCAGAGTCTCAAGGGACGGCAGAAGACATAACCAACTCGGCAGCGAATTCATCTTATTGCGGCGAATGCTGAGACTGTGGAGTTTATCAAGAGCACCCAATTGCGGCGGCAAAGTGCTCAATCCGGTCGAATCCGCAATGAGGACTTTGAGTGACGTGAGGTTCGACAAGAATACGGGGAGCGCTCGAAGAGGATTAGCTGCAATATTCAGTTCCTCGAGGCAGATACAAGATCCCAAAGCCGGAGGAAGTGCGACCAAGAAATTCGCTGAAATGTCTAGAGCAAGCAGGGTGGTAGTGATATGCGGTACCGCGTTAGTTACAAACGACGGTATGGCATTCGGTGTACTGCAAGACCCAATGAGCAGATGAGTTGTACCTAAGCATAGTCGGGTTTGTGAGCAATGGTTCGCCACAAAGTATCACCATCACAGGTATAAGATGCACTTACCTGGCTTGACGTGGATTTGATGAATGGGCACATTACCTCCTTGCACGATCACTCCAAGACCCTCCTCAGCGATGATCATGGCACTAGTAGGCAACTCATCGTCTCCTTCATCATCGACGTCGTCGTCATCCCCGTAATCATCTGTTTCATCCTCGCTCGTCAACCCAATCTCGTCCCGTTCATCCACCGCCTGCCAAGAAACGTCAAAACTTGGTGTAGTACGTAAACGAGGAGGGTGTTCATTCTCATGCACGCTATCAGACTTCCCATGTCCAGATGAAGAACGGGACCGAGTAGAATTTGCATAAAGGTCGGACCAACGGGAATTCTCCGCAGGAAGCTTGCTCTGAGATGCAGAGGAAGCATTGGCGCGCTCTTGAGCAAGAAGTTGGACGACATCATCAGTCGTAATACCTACACCCACATCGGGCTCGTCATTACCCAATGCGACATGTACGTGTCCGTAATCGCCGGACCGAGCCGAGTTGGTGTAGGCAGACGAACGTGTCGACGCAGAAGAGGAGTCGGTAGTAGACAGCGCAGGGGTTGATGCGCCATGCATCCAATGAGGTGGTCGAAACGGATAGGGATCGGGGTACTGCGATGGATCAGGGAGACCAGGGAGCTTGGGTGAACGTACTGGCGAATGAGCATGACCTGAGTCGGAAACAAAGGACGACTCTTCTTCCTCTGAGGCAGAACGAGAGAGCGGTTGACGAAAATGTGAAGGAGGGGAGGAGGGAGAGGGTAAAGGGTTGCTTGGCGAGTCTACGATGTAGGCACTAGAAGGCGACGGCGGCTCGTACTGGTGGTCATACTCTGCTGGCCATTCGTCTTGTGTCTGAAGGTTATTAGAAGGAGTCGGTGCGCGAGGTCGATTGAGCATAATTGATCTGCTTGGGGAGAGGGGAGAAGGGGGGAGTGCAGCTGATGGATGAGCGCGCAAATAGTCTAAGCCTGGTATGTGTGAAACGGTGTCAACGCCAGCATAAATGACAGACAGGTGTTGAAAACACGCGAAAGCAAAGAGGGACAAAGCAGAGAGCAGCGACAGACGACAGCAGCGAGGAACGAGGAGGACGGGTACAAGCGTGAAGACACCCAACCCTCGATGGGAACCACTCGCTCAAATGCAGACGCCCTTCATTTCCCGGCGCCCAACTCCGGGGTCCACCCGGGCCCGCGTCCTATACCTCGGACGCCAACCCCCGACTGTAAATTCTCTTACAGGCAAAGTCTTTTTTTTTCTGCTCACCTTGCTCGTCGTTCTCCTGAGGCCATGTCTCTACAGCAAACGCACCCAGCGTGGGACTATCGCACATCCCTCCGTAGCTTGCAGATTCCAACCGATTGAATGCATACTCGTCCCCAGATGGCATATATGAGACCTGCACGAGAAAATGGCGCCGTCACCACTTGTGTCTGATATGTCCACAGGGATGATGTGCAGATGTGGGCTGTTTCGTCCCTTATAAGTAGCGGTAAGCAGTCTTTCTTTGTACAGTCCTGCAGCACAGAGAGGTCGGGAGATGGTACAGATTCAAGTAGATTTGACTAGTGGTCATATAAATTCACCATGCCCAGACTTCGGCTAACTACTTAAGTTGCCCATGCTACCCTGATAAAGTTGATCGCCAAGTGGTTAAATGGTATACTGAAGGCTGTATTATCCTGATACATCAACTCTTATTACTCCATTGGCGTTCATGCATATGTACAGCACGATCGACGGCCTGCGGAATATTCGTGAGCTCCCTCCATACCAGCAAGCCCCACCGTCGGCCGCCTCACCAGGTTCAGCAACTCGGATCCCTCCATCTACTGAATTGTTACAACAGATGAACTGTTTTGATTCAAAAGCAGCTCGGATCCGCCGAGTGTCTCCGTCTATGTTTGAGGGTGCGTAAAAACCAATAAGAACCGTGCTTGGACCCTTCTCGGGAGCTGACCTAGGTAGATGCAGAACAGTGATTATTCATGCCTACATGGTCGTGGAACCTAGCAACACAGTGTCAAACGATGTACTTTCTCAGCAATCAATGATATGGGTGTAGACGCGGTCAACCAACGCTGGAGATCCCCCACACATCTTCCTCTGATCCAGTGATTGATATGTCGAGCGGAAGCGTGTGAGGGCTTTCTCCCCACAAATGCTGCTACGTTGATTAAGCAGGAAGTTGCGAAGCTTTTCCGTTCGCAACGCGTTATGTTTTGCTACACTGCCTATATACGCAAGCGTCATAGACTAGCAGCAAGATTCCATGCGCAGTGCATCAATTGAGGTAAATACTCAGCCTATCTATTGAGAGATCTCATAAAAAAACTTACGTGTGAATCTGGTCAATATAGGAATAATTGCACAGTCCAGACACGGCAATGCGGTTTGTCACGAACCCCACTTCCGACTCTCGAGCGACCGGGAATAATACGAGAAGACTGCCCTATTCGTGTCCCAACTTCCATGTCAAGAACTCATGATAGTATCCACGAGACGAACGGCCAGCGGTGAACCTTGCAAGTTTCGACTATATATATTATCATGTTTCTTGCGACGTCGGACGAAGACAGCTGGTACGAACGGCCCGCGATTCAACAACACAAGTGCCAGAAGGCTCACCTGGTGACCCGCAACCCCATAGGGTACTAGACAGGAGTGGGCAAAGGATGGAGGAACTCCATTTCCCGAACAAGCCCTTCGTGGTCGCTCAAAGACTGATATGTCAAACGGATCTCACTCCAAACGTTTAGTTTGCGCTGCATAAATGGGGGTACGTTGTCGCTCGCTCCGCGCGGAGAGTTTAAACGGCGCACCTAGTATCATTTGCGGTAACTAGTTACTCAGGCCTCAGGAGTCGCAATGTGGTATGTACAATCGTCATGAGGTGAAAATATTGTCTGTGCCTTATTCGCCCAATTAGGTCGCATGTAACTTATGTGAGATCCAATCCCTTTGGGAGTCTTTGTAAAGCGATTTAGAGCCTCGCATAGCAATACTACTGAGATACGCGTGGTGAATACATATGGGCGGTATCCATATCGTGGGGTCTGCGATGACGATGGAGAGGGGCTTCGAGAGAAAATTCTGATCGTCCCTGGCCAAAGATACATAGTATTTGTACGTGGCTCGTAAGTTCGCGGGAAGGGCTTCTCGTCTGGACCGCTATCAGGTACCGTGATGCAAGATGTCCGCCGCAAGGCAAAAAAAACCTTAAGGGACTTGAGGTCTCTCAAGGAGACGTTTGAAGGCTGGCAACTTCCAACTTGAAGCTTGAAATAAATCGAGACGTTTGGCACGCGGAGATCACACAACGTCAAGTCCTATTTGTACAATTGCTGTTCGTCTGATCCATTCCATCCAACAATGTGACCTAGAGAAAAGACAGGACGTTACATCGTGATAATCTACAAATTAGTTACTACAAAGCATGGTATATCATTAGCATCTAGCATTCAGCAAGATTACATCTGCAACGAAAGCAAACAGTTAGACTTCTGTTCATTTATACACTGGACCAGTGAATTGTTTACTCACCAGCCATGCCCAGAATTTCTCTACCCAGTTACGGGGAGGGGGCTCATCGTAAGAGTCAGCTTCGACCTCGGCGAGACCAGAAATGAAGTCCATTTCTTCCGGTTTTACAACCGGTGTTCTTCTCCAGAACTTAGCTCCAGCATACAGAATGGGGAAGAGGACGAGAGGCAAATAGTTCGTGATAAATGTTGCGTGGTCCCAGTGGCCCTTGAGGAACACTCTCCATCCAGAGAACTAGCGAAAAACTCCGTGTTAGGTGGTTAAAAAGACGTCTCGAGAAATAACAACTTGCGAAGCAGATGACCAAACATGAGACCATAGCGTACCATGCGGCATAAGGCTGCAAAGGAGATGCGTAAGGCAATTTCGAGCGATCGAAACCTTGCGCCTTGAAGCCCTTGTAGAAACGGATGTAGGTGACGGCAATTCCGAACCATGTCATCAGACCGGCGACGGATGTCATGTTGGCGAACCAGCCAAACACCTTGCCGGAACCAGCATTGATACCCATGTATGCGAGGCAAGAGAAGAGAGCGCAGAAAATAATGGACACGTAAGGAAGACCCTTGCGCGAGATCATGGTGAAGATCTTGGGCGCATTGCCGACCATCGCAAGACCATATAGAGCTCGAGAGCTAGTATATAGATCACTGGATGCTGCGGACCAAGCAGATGTCAATAATGCAGCGTTGATAACCTAAACGACACAGCCCAACGTGAGAAGTATGAAAATGTGAAATGGATGCAAGATACGAACCGATGGCAGGCCTTTAATTCCTGCATTCTTAATGGCAATAACGAATGGCGACTTGCCGGCGTCGGAAGTCCGCAAGTTAAGGTCGGGGTTGTTGGAGGGTACGAGCAATCCGATGATGATGACACCACCAATGTAGAACAGGAGGATACGGACGTAGACACGCTTGATAGCCTTGGGGAGGTTACGACGCGGGTTCTTTGCTTCACCAGCGGCAATCTGTCCCGAAAGCACATGTGAGCCTTCTTCAATCAAATACAGAAAAACACGATATCAGGTACGTACGGCAACGATTTCAGTCCCAATAAAAGAGAATGCGGCCTGGGTCATTACAGCCCACCATCCCAGGAACTGACCCTTGGAGCCGGCAATACCATTGAACTGCACGAACGGGCCTGGGTTCTTCCAGTAACGGAAACCGAGACGATCGTGATTAGGACCACCTCCCAGGTCGAGCACAATACCAAGGATGATAAGGCCAGTGATCGTGATGACTTTAATAGATCTGTGAGAATTGGAGAGATAAGCGGGTGCAAATGTAAGACCTAGGGAATGAACTTACGCGAAGATAAACTCGCATTCGCCGTACACTCCGGCTCCAAACATGTTAATGACAACGGTGACCACAAGACATATTGTGATCCACGCAGCATTGTTCACACTTTGGTTCCAGTAGTTGATAAGAACGGCAGCGGCACTAAGTTCAGCGGGGAGAATGATGACCCAGTTGTACCAATAATTCCAACCCTGCACGGGATTGTCAGGCGACCGTTCATCACGGAATAAAAACATACACGACATACCATAACGAATGAAAAAGCGGGATCCACGAAACGCTCGGCAAGTTTGATGTGACCACCGGGTATGGGAAGATAGGCTACCATCTCACCCAGGGAGACCATGACAGCGTAACAGATAGTCCCGACTACGGCGTAGCCGAGTAGCAGACCGATGGGACCACCATCTTGCAGTGCCGAAGCGGTACCCAAGAACAGACCAGTACCGATGACACCACCGATACTAGAAAATGTTCGGTTCAAGTGCGACTGAGGAAGAGAAGAGAATATACCTGATCATGGCAATATGCCTGTTCTTAAGCTGCCGCTTCAAGGTCCGAGTCTGACCACCTTCGACATCGGTGTACTCCGGAGGCGACGCGAGGTCGATGGAGGACGCCTTCTCAGCCACTTTTGCTTTTTCGTGAGTGTCTACGGACGACATCATGAAGAAACGGGACTGGGTGTGGGGGAGAAAGAGATGGGAGACGGCGAGACATGGGAGAAGATTTATATTGGGTTAGGCGGGCGCTTTGGGAGGTGGAGGCGTGAGGAGATAAGGTCGGGAGCAGTGACCGAAGAGAGTTGACATGACAGCTTGGACGAGAGCTCTCGCCTGAATTCTCCACAAAATATTCTCTCCCGTCGTGCCTGCAGCGGCGGTCGGTATCTCGCCCTTTCCCTTTTTGGGATCTGATCGGGCGCCGAGTTATCTGGAATTTGCGAGCACTGCGCCGAGCAGCGTGGCTTCCCCCTCGACCTGCCAAATATCGCACTCACATACTCTGCCTCTAGAGTCCTGCATCGTCTCTCATCTGCCGTATGCATATTAACTCTATACCTTCCTCTCTTCAGCCCAAGTCCCATAGGCGCTTGTGATAGGCAAAAATGTACCTTCCCGTGACTATCTCCTTGGCGCTTTTGCTTCGGACGAATATAATTCATCAGTCCAATTCGATAGCGCTCCTCTTGACAACCTTCAACCCAGATAGCAGGTGATAGCTTCATGGGTATACGATATCACACCTATCTCGCAAGATATCCCTGTCTTTCTCGAGTTTGTGTTGTATTACCGTACGTTGGATCGCGCATCCCTCACTCTCTCGGAGTGAAATTTTCTGTTCCCCTACTACATGTTGGTATGATCAGGTATTAACAGGACGTTGATTTCCCCCCGATTCTGCCGACAATATTAATCCAGTGCACGCGAACATTTCCCCGCACTTAGCCGTCGGTCGGTCGCAAAATTTCATCTGCCTCTACTACAGCCGATGCGGGGCTCCAGCTGCAAAACCCCCTGGTCTTGTGAGCTACCATCACCTCCAAAAACCATTCGTGCTCTTCACGTTTGTTTTTTTCTGCACCGATAATGAGAGGTCTGCACAAAAATACCGGTACGTCTTATGGTCTGGACCTAAGGACCCCGACGACAAAGTTCCAAGCCGATTCCTTACTTAAACAGGAAACGCCGGAAGGAACGGAGTCGGGGCTTGCCTTTCCGACTTCCTCTCCACTAAGCTCAGGCCCTGCCCAAGACTCCAAGGCTTGTCTAAGCTCCAGTCGGCGACTTTCGCTTTCCGGACTCAACGGGAGCTTTCCCAGGCCCTGTATCTACTCTCCGAGTGTATTCCTTGCTTATCCAACTCCCTTTAACATCTCGAGTGTCCAAGTTGACTGACGGGGTGGCGCAGGCCTTCTTGTCTAATAGGAGCTTCCAGATGAAATAGCTCTCGATCAATGTTGCGGTCGATCGCAGTCATTGCCATCGTCAAAACTTCCATCTTGTTCTTTGAATTGGGTCCGTGAAGTCTCCCGCTCATTCTAGTTAAACATGGCCAAGCAACGTCATAACAGTCGCTCGTGTTTTTCGGTGGGAGGTTCAGGTTGGAGCATGCAGCATCGAACATGCTTTTGAGACTTTGACCTTGCAGTCGTTGTTATACGGATGACGACCACATATAGTTTTGATTCTTTTTGCATCGGTTGTCCTCCTGTTCATCAAGCTCATAATACTGACGATGTGAATTTAAAGATCTTCTGACCAGTCCTGACCCCTTCTGACCTTCAGTAAAGTAGGTTTAAAGGATTGCCTGCGGCCGCATCCCTCGTGATTCTCCGGAAGCCTACGCAAGCTCTTCTTTCACGGCTTCCATCGTGCGAGATCTCGCGTCTCTCATTCATAGGCGGCGCTGGATACAATGCTTTGCTGACGGAAGTCGTAGGGGACGTCGTAGATTGCTGCAGAATCGTGCAGAGCAAAGCTGAAGCGATCGAATATACTAGCGAGACCGACGCCAATACCGTATACCACGGAAGGTGTAAGGATGCTTCTCGTTCGATCTTGATCGAAAATGTACGTAATACTCACAGATGCTCTGGTACTCTGAAAGATGATCACTCAGAACGGTACTTTTAACAGAACCTCAAATTGAAGACTTCTTAGCAAGGGGGTTGGAATGTACGGTCGGGGCGCCCGCCGGTTAGGACATACATGCGCCCATAATTCTAGATGAACGATTCGAGTTGGACACCAGGTTTCCATCCTGTGAACTCGGAATCCGTCCAGGCCCTGTACGGCGCACTTACAGTAGCAGGTAATCATATCACCATATTTTGCTGACTCCACCAACACATTTTTTGTCGAAGTCACGACCATATGAAGCATAATTTGATCCCACGCGGACAACGTGCGTAGTACCAGGTGGTACTTTGATCAGCTGCGTAACAAATTCCGTCCAGCTATGGAGCTCATAAATCACGATGAAGCAATTCGAAAACTAATATGAATAAAGACGTCTACGTCAACACTGCAAAACCTCTGCAATCTGGCAGGTACAATTTGTCAATCATTCTGATACATTACAAGTACAGTCAACTAGCCTCATCTGCAGACTAATTTCCGTTGGAGTGTCGCTTTCGCTTCCGTCCCTCATCGGCATCCAGCATTTCAACATCAATGTCATGGTGGTCCCGGGAGATCACCTGCGCGGTTCATCACCAGACTAGTCCTCCTCGAAAGCTGAGTCGATGACAGGCATGCCGTCCAACTCGCTCAGGTTAACTTTAGGGTAGTTCTTGGAGGTGCTGTCAGAAGATGTACCGGCGGAGCGCGAAGAGGGAGTTCTAACATGGTAAAATCTGTCAGCGGAATTGGAGGATTCGCCACCCGATCTGGAACTGGAACTGGAACTGGGACTGGGACCGGGACCGGAAGCGCCAAAAGGGCCTCTGCTAAACAGCCAAGAAAACGCTGGATCCTTCATCATTATGTTCTTCATTGTATTAGGCCGTGGTGGAATATTGGGTCGCTGCTGTTGCTGGTGTTGCTCAGACGGCATCGTGAAGCTCCGTGGTTTAGGCCTGGTACTTTGCGTCTCGAAATCGGCATGTGCAGAACGATCCATCTTCCCAAACTTGCACTTCTGCGCCATGATCAAGTCGTAGGTCATATCACGAGCAGGTACTGCAATGTGGCTTGCTCCCGCCACTATTGGAAGCATAGGTGTTGCAGGCATTGACTTCAGGCCTATTCTGCCAAAGATACTGGTTTCGATCCTTGGGTCTACCACGCTGTTCATGACTGCTCGGAACTCTGTTGTCCTTATAGCGATCTTCTCCGGCATCAGTTTTGGAGACAATGGAGCCTCAGGATCATCAGGCCAGTCCTCTTTTGCATACGAAACTGTCTTTACAGGTTTCGTGGGTTTGAGAATACTCTTCAGTTTACCTTTACCCGCTGCAGGACCCTTCCCTTTATTTGGCTTCTGGCGTTCTAGGAATTCGTCCTTGGACAGGAAGCGTTTGCCGGGAAGATCTAAGAACGTTGAACCGACTCCGTACGCAGGATCTGGTCCGAGGCTAGGGTCGTGCGGGATATCAAGGATTTCGAGGCGTGGTTTCTTCTTAGGACGCTCTGCGGTATCCAAGGCAAGGATCTCCTCTCGTTTTCGTTTCATGTTTCCAAGAGCAACAGTGGAGTCTGAGCCTCGTGGCGGAGTTTGTGACCAACCGAGCATGAGACGAATGTCCGAGAAACGATAGGGTAGACCCTCTCCGACGCATCTACCAGCATTCTGGGTTCGGATACTTATGATTCGATCAAGGGCAGCTCTAGTCTCCATAGGGGGATAAGGGAAGTAATAGCCCTTTGGCCCATCGTATGGTATGTATGCGTAATCGCGAACCTTGGGTTCTTTGGATGTGGAGGTTGATGAGCACGAGACAGTTGGAAGATCCTCCTCGGCAATCTCTTCGATAGAGCTCGAGTTGTGTTCAACACAGACGAAAGGCACAGGGTAGTCTTCTTCCGGTGCGGTCATCTTGGGTGGTGAATCAGCTGCGGATGATAAGGTGAAAGACAACTCTGACTCGGACTCGGACTCGGACTCAGAGGAGAATTCGGGGGAGGGGTCGGTAGGAAGGTGGCCACTCGCAGCTACTTCGGTGAGTGGCAATGTTTCGCTCCGCGATGGCGAAGGGCAATCTGTGGACGACATGTCCTCGGTAGTGGACGACGTTGTAGCAGCTGTTTCTATGGTGGAATCTGACTGTTCAGAAATGGTGCTGGGGGTGGGTGAAGAAGAGCGAAGTCTTTTGTTCGGAGGGTTATCGTCGGGTAGCGCTATGGCCTTTCGCTTAACAGCGGGTCTAAACTCCGCCTCCGCCTTTGTCTCCGTTTGTCTGAACATAGGCTTATACATCCTCACCCAATAGTCCCCCTCCAAATGATAGAGTAACTCGTTGAAGTCCTTCCAGGCTGCCTCTAGCTCATCCTGTGTCTGGTCCTTCATTTCGAAACGTTTAGGCTGATGATCCAGGTTGACTGCCCATGAACTTGTCCATTCTTCATCCGATGGGGGAGGGGTATTCTTTTCGTCTTCTGTTTCTGGCTGCTCTTCAGTTGGGACGCCATAAGTCTCCGTATAACGCTGACTAGCTAGATTAAATTCTCGTCTTCTCCGTGCTTTATGATAGCGAAGGGTTTCCGTGACCCTCGCGTTTCTATAATCAAGCTTGTACATGACCTTCCGCAGCTCCATCTCGAACTCCTCCGGTTTGGCTGCGGCGATGCCGACTTCGGGCTTGGGGTCTAGCGCACGGCTTCGGTGAAAATCAACGATACTGACATTCGCGTCTGGGCTGATCAGCATATGTCGGAGCTCGACAGAACCATGTAATACGCCTCGTGAGTGGATCTTCATGTATGCTTGAACACATCGCTCCTTGAGTACCTCCGGCATTTTGGATGACGCCTCAATCCAGAATGAGGAATGTGGCAATTCCATCTTGACATCGAGGCCTTCGTCAGTAGCGTAAACCCCGATGATATGGGGCACGACATCTCCTTGGAGAGGTTTGAGATATTGTTGAGCTTTGTACAGAGCCAGCTACCAAAACTCTGTTAGACTCAATAGTTAAGAATGGACCAAAGAAACCCTCACCTCTGAAAAGAAGCCCTTTCTGTTATTGGAGACTCCATGGTGCCATCTGGTCGAGGATGGTATTCAGTCAGGTGGCGAGCTGATAATCGCGGAACCCTCACCGTTTTATGATGTGAGGAATAACAAGGTCACCAAATTGACCTTCCGCGATTACAACGGAACGTATACGGTTCTCTGTAAGACCATTAACATGTCGAGTGTGGCGTAAACATCCGAAAGGAATAAACATACGCGTAATATTAGCTATGGTCATTGAGTTAATTCCTTGCATATCCTTCACAAACTCCCAACGCCCGTGCGGAACATAGAGAATTTGTTGCTTCCTCTCTCGCTTTGGAATATTGCGTTCAATGTGGTAGAGGGATCTCCTCCATTGAGGCGAGCTGTCAACAAATCCCAACCAAGCAGGCTCAGGCTCCGAACTACGTGGAGATTCTGAATGTTCCAAGCAAGGCGAAGGTTCCGAACTTTGCTGGGGAGAAGCGAAGTATGTGAAGATTGACTGAAGTGTGGCGAGAATGGACGACGCAAATGGTTTTCTTGCTTCCGAGCTGTTGCTCGTGCCGACCGTGAAAAGGTTTCTGTCAAGCGATGAAGACTTTTCTCGGCTTGTAAACCACATTATATCTCGATATATTGGCTGTAAGTATGAAAGTTGCACTGGCAGTAGGAGAGAGTTGCTGGGGATATTGCGCCACAGTACTAGGGGTAAGTGATAGAACTTGGTATAGCCGGAGACAACATCATAAGCATAATAAATACAACCGCAGAGCGCTCCTTGTTGTAATGATAATTGGGTTTGATGTATCCGAAGGCCCAAACTAGCGTTGTTGTTTAGCGAAGTTTCCGAAAACAAACCGTCCTTGGCAACCTCTTCAACGCTTTCCAAATGTGGACAGACGCCCAAATAGCGATGACAGGTCAAGACGAGAGGGCCTTCGCTGGACCTTCAGTCTGAACAAGCAGCACAGACAACTCGAACCTGAATTATCGTTTTGCCGATGGCTCTCGGGCGATATAAGGCTCGTATTACTAAAAGCATCTCGTTCATATTCTCACTTTATTAGTCTGCACATTCGGACATCGTGACAAGCACTCATGATATGCAGGACCAATACTGTCTTTAAGTTGTAGGGTCTAACTTGAACAAGGTCAAGACTCAAAATACATGGTTTTCCTCAGCAGCGGATTCTGAACATGCCCCCCGCAGGATCGACAATAGTCAGGTGCCTCCGACCACAGGATGCTCCCCAACTTGTCCCCGTGTCTCTTGATATCGGATGTTCTCTCCTTTTGCCTCTCCTCGTCATTCGTACGCGAATACATCAAGCTTTGGGCTTGCGTTGTGCCGATGTGCAAGTCTCCGCGTGTCTTTCTCTCTCACTACCTAGTTTGGGTGCTACGTCCCCATGCGAGAGGTCAGTTGATCTCCTCCGATGCGTTGCTTATGGGTGACCAGACCACGCAACTTTGCCTTTTTTTCAAATGTTCAGACCAATTATGTCGGGTTGTACCATATGCATATCATCCTTTAGCCTCGGCCACCGGTCCGCAGACTCTTTTGACTTTGTGTTATGAAGAAATTGGTTCTTGAGATATAGGTGAGGACCATTATGCAAACTTCAAATACTATGCTTCCAAGCCCAAGGCCTCTTCATTCATATTCTGTCAGTTTATTGCAGGATCTATGTCAGTGCTTCAGCACCCCAGATGACACGATGTCTGAACCTTCTCCAATTTGATCTTCTTCCTTGCCCGGATGAGCTTCGGTGGACGTCGTGCCAGCCTATAACTTCGGCATTACCATTCATCCATAGTCACAGAGCCTCCCTGGGGGTCGTGAATGACTGCGTTCATGTCAAAGTCCTGCCTTTGCCCGCAACATCCTCGGTGTGTGTTGTGCGGGCCGCCGCCAATTACTCGGATATGTTCTTCACGACTTATAGACCTAACATGTCCGTTTGCAAAAGCTTCAGTGGTATAAAATGGATTCGTTGGTGCGTTTAGACAGCAGGTGAGCTCTTAAACAACAGCCATGGTTCGGTTCGCACTTCTATCCCTCCTAGCCACGACGCTGAGCCCTTTTGCCTATGCGGTATCTTCGCAAACGTACACTTGGAAGAACGTGAAGATTGGCGGTGGCGGTGGCTTTGTGCCAGGTATCGTCTTCAATCCATCCCAAAAGGGACTCGCATATGCTCGTACCGACATCGGTGGTGCGTATAAGCTCAACTCTGATGACACTTGGACGCCTCTGCTGGACTTCGCGAATGACGCGAGATGGAACTACTGGGGAGTGGATGCACTCGCTACCGATCCAGTCGATCCTCAGCGTCTCTACTTGGTGAAGACCATTTTAATTTGACACCAATTGGTTATTCACTTCCTTGAATAGGCAACCGGAATGTATACAAACTCATGGGACCCCAACAACGGCCAAATTCTCATTTCGACTGACCAAGGCAAGACTTTCACTCCATCAAAGCTTCCTTTCAAGGTTGGAGGAAATATGCCCGGACGTGGAATGGGAGAGGTATGCTTCATATGATATCATTGCTCGCGTTCAGAAGGGCTCACACGCTAATAGCGTTTGGTCATCGATCCAAACTCCAACAACATTCTCTTCTTCGGCGCTCGCAGTGGAAATGGGCTGTGGAAATCCACTGATTTTGGTGCTACCTGGACTCAGGTGAAAGGTCTTCCCAGTACTGGTATGTTGAGGCGTGGCATGTTCGATCATGTGTTTAGTGATGTTTGCTGAAAGGTACCTACATTCCTGACCCGACGGATACTAGTGGGTACAACAATGACAAGATCGGGGTCTCATGGGTAACATTTGACTCGACCTCCGGTTCATCTGACAAGGCAACCCCTCGTATTTTTGTCGGCGTTGCGAACCAAGGATCCGACAATATCTTCGTCTCGAATGATGCCGGTTCCACCTGTAAGTGCTATGGTCATCGTCATGCTTCTTGTGGCTTACCATCATGTGCAAGGGTCCGCTGTTGCTGGACAAAACAGCACATTCATCCCACACAAAGGTGTTCTGTCGCCTGCAGAGAAGTCGCTGTACATCTCAACGTCGGATGGTGCAGGTACGTCCTTCAGCTTGTGACCTGATCGACTGAGGTACCCATACTATTACTCAGGTCCCTATGACGGAACCTTGGTAGGACCTTATACATTTTCCTCTCACACCTTTTCTCAAGGGGTTGAGTGTAGGGTGCACTGTACAAGTATAACATCACATCTGGTACATGGACCGACATCACACCCGTTTCTGGTGGTATGTTCACATCATTCACCTTCGTTTCATTGTTTGTGCTCACAATCTCGCCTTAGGCGACCTGTACTTTGGATTTGGGTGCGTTGGTTGCACGTTGTATTGCCACTTTCTCGTTCACTCACTTTCTTATAGTGGTGTAGCGGTCGACTTGCAGAAGCCAGGAACTATCATGGTTGCAGCTCTCAACAGCTGGTGGCCAGACGGCCAGATCTTCCGCTCAACAGATGGTGGGCAGAGCTGGACGGCGCTTTGGGCTTGGGAATCATACCCAACCATGAACCGGTACTACAAATACGATGATACCTTTGCGCCGTGGCTCGGTCCTAATGTTGACGAAACAGAACTCGGCACTCTTGTGGGTCTCCCTCCGACTTACGACGTAAGATTTGATATGCCGCTAACGGGGGATTGTCTAGCAAATCGGTTGGATGATGGAATCTCTTGTGATCAATCCATTCGATTCCAACCATTGGCTCTATGGAACTGGTGCGACTATTTACGGCGGCCACGATCTGCTGCAGTGGGATACAACTCGCAACGTCACTTTGAAGTCCCTGGCAGATGGTATAGAGGAAACCTCAGTACAAAGTCTGATATCTCCACCGACTGGTCCTCCCTTGATTTCAGCCCTTGGTGACATTCAAGGTTAGCGTTCTTTCATTTTTCTTTCTAGTTACAACGTGTTTACCCAAATCCCGCAGGATTTGTTCACGACAGCCTAACCACCGCCCCGGCAAACTCTTTCACTAACCCAATCTGGTCAACCGCTGTTGATGTTGACTTTGCTGGTAACAAGCCTACGAACATTGTTCGGCTCGGCAACGGTGATAGTTCAGAAGGAAAACAAGTCGCACTCTCCACGGATTCTGGAAAGACATGGTAATTCAAAAGCTATCATTGCACCGAGCACAATCTGAAAGGTATTTTTCAGGTCGCAAGACTATGGTGCTGCAGACAACGTGTCGGGAGGCAAGATCGCTCTTTCGGCTGACGGCGACACTGTTCTCTGGCGTGCTTCAGCCAATGGTGTTCAAGTTTCCCAATACACCAATCCCTTCGCTGCTGTTCCTTCTCTCCCGTCTGATGCCGCCATCGCTTCAGACAAGAAAAACAACTCGATCTTCTACGGTGCCTCTGGCTCCATGTTTTACCTCTCTACTGACGGTGGCAAGACTTTCGCTGCCAAGGGTTCACTTGGTTCCTCCACCTCTCCCGTCAAGATCGTGGTTAATCCTAGCGTCACCGGTGATGTTTGGGTTTCCACTGACAAGGGAATTTTCCACTCGACTGATCTCGGAAGTACATTCACGTCACTCTCCGGTGTCTCACAGGTAAGACATTGATCTTGAGCGTCGCACTCTGGTCTCGCTTATGTTACCTGTTGCAGGCCTGGGCAATCGCTCTTGGCGCACCTGCGAAGGCAGGAGGCTATCCTGCTCTTTTTGCTGCTGCGAACATTGATGGTGTTGGGTACTTCCGCTCAGATGACGCTGGTGTCAACTGGGTGAAGATCAATGATGCAGCTCATGGTTTCGGATCCGCCAGTGCTAACTGCATCACAGCGGATCCCAGAATCTACGGACGGTGAACAGCCTTCCCGTCACAACCATACATATGTTCTGACTTCGTGGCTTTAGTGTATACATTGGTACGAACGGGCGTGGAATTTTCTACGGTGACGCATCAGGTACCGCTCCTGCCCCGACGTCCACAGTCCCAAGTTCGACATCAGCCACCGCACCTCCAAGTACAACGTCAGCTCCAGCCCCTTCAAGCTCATCGCCTACTACCATTACTTCCGCGCCCAGCTCGTCCCATACCACCACAGTCATTAGTTCAGCACCCGCCCCTTCTGGTACCCAGACTGTTTGGGGACAATGCGGCGGAATCGGATACACTGGTCCAACGGTTTGTGCAGCAGGTGCGAAATGCACAATTCAAAATGCCTGTAAGTCACTCTCAACGATATCAGAGTACTTTCACTGATATGAGGCCGTAGATTACTCCCAGTGCATCCCTTCATAAAGGAATCGGTCAGAGATATAAAGAGTAATCCAAAAAGGTGGCGCACAATGAGAGAGGTCGTGTATCAATATAACATCTTTAGGCATAGGAAGATTAACGGTTCTTCCATTCTTTCTCCCATACCTGTGAATAATTGCGTGAGCAGAGCGCAACATCTAGTGAGATCTTTCATACCTCGAAGAAACGTCGCCGATCCACCACGCCGATACCTCGACAGCTCGTTAAGTTAAGCTGCGACAAGCGAGGACATGCGTCGATGATTACAAATAAACCAGTGCCTGCGTGGACAAAATGTTTGACAATCGCCATAATGAGAACGGGCTAGACCTACTAGTAACCTTTGTGCCGGCCAGCTCCAGTGTCTCAAGGCATGTGCAACTTGAGAGGTAAGGCGCAGCGGTGTCATCAATACTCGTATTGTTCAGAATGAGTGTCTTGAGTCGAGGCGAGTCCTCCCCAGCTAGGTCCGGTGGAAGCCCTTCCAGATCACTAGAACGCAAGGAAGGTATTCCTGCCATGTTTAATCTCTAAAAGTCGAGAGCTGATGATGACTGAACAAACAGGGGAGCGATAAACGTACTGTACATCTTCTGCCAACTCGTCGTATAAAATCAGCGATGGCACTATCTTTCCGACCTAGCGAGCCCAGCTTTGTATTTCCAACTAGACTGACATGTTCAAGCTGGTGACATTCCTCCAGCCTATCCGTTAGATCTCGGAGAGTCTGATCCGTTAATGTCATAGCCGAAGTGTTCGAAATTGCCGCACTGGATCCTTGACCTCCACCTAATGCGCCAACGGAGAGACTCTTCAGGTTGGGCAAATCAGACGTGATAGTCAACAAATGGGCTGGAGATATTCTCGTAGAAGTGATAGACAACTTCTGCAAAGATTTGTTGTTGAGAAGCAAGGGAGGATGCCGGACATAAGTAAATGAGACGTCCAGCCGTTCGACGTTAGGGCAAACAGCTAGCAGCTGATTCACTACAGGGTCGGAGAGCGGCATTTGTCGGATGTTCAAAGACTTTATATTCGGTAGTACGAATTCTGAAGTCTCATCCAGATCGAGTGCAGTCCACAGTTTGGAGACTGTTGCATCAGTCTGGAATCGTTGTATGTAGCCGCTATCAGCTCTCAAGATCGCCTTTGTTATTTGACAGAAAATACACACCCAGTTAGGAATACCTCCAACTTTCAGCACTTCAAGCTCGCCACAGCCTTTTAGTATAGGAGCGAGGGATACGGGCGTGACGGAAGTGTAGTTCAAATTCAGCTTGTTCAAATGAGGACAACCAGTGGCAACGGCTGCGGTGGTCTTTGGACCAACTTTAGTGCATCCACTACAGTTTAAAGCCATACACCGTTGAGCAAATTACTGGGTGTCGTCCAGATTAACTTTACTCGCCGTAGATCCAGAACGTGAAGAGCAGGCAACTTAGCGACCACCGACGCTACTGTCTCGTCTGTGATTTTCTCTAGATTGCTCAGGACGAGTTCACAAATCTGTTCTCTTGATGAGTCTCCTATGGCTGACACAGTGAACTTGTTTACGCCCGGAAGATCACTTGTCAGAGTGATTGATGGACCGCGCAGCAGATACTGGTTGTTTCATCAAAATATACCGCCGTCACGATAAACAGTGTGTACACACAGCAACAATAAATGCATGGCTCAGAATAGTTGGGCAAATTGCCCTGAGCGTGGCAAATAGCCTAGGAACTAGAGCGTCAGGCAGCACCTTCAACCACGGTCTCAACGACTCGAAAATAGATGGGTGCTGGGCCAGTCTTTGTAGGTTCTCCGCAAATACACAAAGACACAATGTCGTGAGTGGCGGTATGTGATCTGGAGCGACAGTTCGCATAGACCATGCTGACGAGGAAGGTACATTGGACTGTGACTGGGGAGTAGGGAGGTCCGTGTCATCTGAGGTCTTTGCACCTATGGTTAATTTCCTTCGCTTCGTGGGTCGCTCTGTGCTTTTGTGCGATGATGATTTGGTCTTCGGACCCATTACGACGCGACTAGTGCCGTACAACACGAAGGTTTAAGAGCAAGTGCTCGTCTGGAAATCCTGGAGAAAGGCTAGGAGGCAAGATCCGTTCGATCACTTTCTCGTGTCTTTGATCGGAGCCCAATTTGGCAAGTATTTAAGTTGACAAGCAAAGGCTTTCGGCATGGTGATTATGCTCGAATGGACGATATTTCCACGTAGGTAAGGCCTATGGTATCCGGTCTAGAAGGAAGAAACTACCTAGGACCAATGATACCGGCAGAACAAAAATGCTCCAAAGGGCACCCTCTATCCCGTCCAACCACTTCAACACCTTCTTCGCACCTACTCGGACAAATATGAACTCTGGGATACGAATAAAGAAGAACTGCAGAAGGTTGAAAGGAGGTGGGAAAAATCTACGTTCCGAATACGCCACAACTAGACGAATAAAACTGCGCCGTGCATCCAATCCAATAGACGTCGAATATCGATCCCATTCAGATGGAGGGTTGGAAGATGAAAGGAATGGATACACAAGGACCAGCATAATAACAGAACAAACCATTAGAACGAGAAGTAATGCTAAAAGAAAGACGAATGTCGTCCGTGCTTCTAAGGGTGCCGGGTCCAAAGTCGCCGATAGGAATGGAAAGTGTAGGAGCACGTCTGATAAGGAAATTGAAAGCAGAAAGAATGCGATAAGAATCGCTGGTAAAAAGAAAGCCAAGACAGGAAGGAATATCCGTGTGACACCATGCCAGACTAGGGTAGTGAGTGGTAGTCCGGTCTGGAAAGGCAGGAGGAATACTGGACTAGGATGTACGGGGAGATGAAGTTGTAGAATGTGGATAGTGAGTGCTGTCATCAGAGTGCCGAACGAAAAATCATCAGGATAAGGCACAGAAGGCAAACGAGACAAGAAGGAGAACAAGACCAATGCGGACGAAATAGTAGTGACCTGAATTGGCCGAAAAATTTGACTGGAAGAATAAATCATAAGAAGTATTTCGCGAGTTCCAGGGACCGGTTGGGGTGATGTCTCTTCTGAGGATGCGGTAGGTGGCCTGAGTACATAAGACACGAGTAGCAACAGAAAGGCCACTTGAACGAGCAAATCGAGGAGATGTAGCACCCTAGAAATCTCGTTAAGTCAGCCTTCGATATATCTTGCAGTGTCACGAACTTCGGAGTCACCACAGAGACAAACCGCCGAGAGACCCGTCCAAGGATAGAGGTTCTGGTTTCTCTCTCGATCGGACCAAGTGTCCAGGTTCGCAATAGGCTCAGATACACAACGTGATGTGCAAGGATATCGCCGGGTGCTTCACGAAGGGCCAGAAGATCGACGACTAAAATGGTTCAGGATATCATCCAAGGGTGGAAGTAAAATATAGCACATACGTCGAGCCCGCCGTCCACTTTCATTTAAGGGGAATGATACCCAAAGTACATGCTCTATATCCGACGTGGATGGTTCCGGGAGTAAAAATGCTTCCCAGTGGGTGACGAGTTGACCACGTATTGCTTCTAAAAAGTCGTGATCCCTCCGCTCTTGTCTCCAATGCTCGGACAGATGCTCGAAGGACGCCTTTGGCCCAACATGTATCGTTTGATGAAGGCTCAACAATACGACGAGCACAAACGCGACCCTTGACATCTCGGAAGTCAAAGTGTCCGGGCACAACTGCTCTACGGGTATATGCTGAAAGCCAGATTCCCGGACGCGTAGTTTATTCACGACAGGATCCACCAAAGGCTCTGGCGCGGCGGGGGTTTCGACATGGTGACTAGTCGAGGATATTAACGGTGTCCGTTCTGTAGGGTGGTTGGACAGTGGAGAGGTGTCGCGGTCTCCGTTCATAGGCTGAATGTAGTGAGCGATCAAGTGCTACCATTCAAGTTATGGAAGCGCAGCCACAAGTTATCATTGAACTTGGGCGTTAACCGCAATACCGTGTCCCCTTCCACCTCAAGTTCCACAACAATGTCTACCAATGTCTCCACACCTCTGCTCGATAATACAATAGAGCCCGACGAACTCTCCGAACCATCTGTACCTTTGGGAAACATCAATGCATCCTCGACACCCAGGTCACCAGTTGTCCTAACACCTGGAGCACGGCCAACAGCAGGGCAAGCTGCCAATGCCAATGCTATGGCTTCTACTGCGGGAGACGCAGAGTCAGGTGTGTGGACTAGCATATATAACTTGTAAAGCTTGCTTACGCCTTATTGTAGGAATTGCTGGTATATTCAGACAAGTACGCCGTTGAAGCATCAAGTTCTACCACTTGGCTCATGTCTGTCTCTGGCAGTCAGCCCATCCAGTAGCCCTGCTCTTCCTATACCTCTTCCGCATAGCTGCAATTACTGTCTATCTTCTATGTGGCTTCTTCACCAGCAACTATGTTCTGTCGGTCCGTCTCTCCAAGCTGTTCGTCTTGAGTGTGGGTCTCATGAATGTTCTGATTTAGACTGTCCTTGTCGTTGTTCTACTAGCGATGGACTTCTGGAATTGTAGGGTGAGTCTATCGCCGTGTTTTGAGAATTATCGTTTTTAACATAGGTCCTTTGATTAGAATGTCGCTGGCCGTACACTTGTAGGCCTTCGATACTGGAACCAGGTCGATGAAGATGGGGAGAGTTATTGGGTGTTCGAGAGCCGTGATGTATGCAGCGGTTATCCTGCGTTTCGTTGTATTAGTTGCTGATAATTCAGCTCAGCCGTCACATCTCGCAAACCCAGTCGATTCCAAGATGTTCTGGGTTAGTCTCTCACCCATTGACACAGCTCCTTTTCAAAACGACGTTTAATGGTTGTTCTCTTCACAGATCGCAATATACAGCTTCCCGTTCCTCTGGCTAGCTCTCCTAATTGTCTCCATTCTCAAACTGAGCGCATCGTACGCGACAATAATTTCCCCTCTATGCATCACTTCCCCAACTAAAACTATGTCCTCAGGTTTATACCCATAGTTTTCCTTGCACTCGTATTCAACGTATCTAATGCCGTCGGATTCACTTACGCGTACGTACCCCTCTTGACTTGTGTGATCAAGTACATGCAATTCATTGACGTGTCATTATCACCTCAGCGACCGCGATGCAAAACAACGCTGGGCCAACCAGCTTGCATCTTCAGGATGGAGTATGGGCATGGGCGGTTTTGGTGGCCAGATTCTCTCGGGGGTCGTGAAGAACAGTGTCGGACGAGTTTTCCGTTGACTGCTTTGGATTTTGATTTCCCTCGCTTTAATTATACGGCGACCCCGCGCGCGTCGTTTACAACTCACTGTTGCCGAAACAGGGTCTACGTGTGCAGCGTGCATCATAAGTTCATATAGACAACTTGTTGAAAGGCTGAGAGAGGATTCGCTAGATGCACGGTCATTTCATTCTTTGATTGCTCGGGGTCCGCTCTGCGGAGCGGCAAAGACATGTCTCGATGCAAGAAGCAAGCAAAAGGCCAACAAAAGGGAGATAACAATGAAGTGTCGAACAGAGGGAAGAAAAGTGCGAATGCGAGGTAACATGGTACGACGAACGCGAGCGATCACAACATGGGACAGGAGAAAGTGAATGATATATTGTACATGGGACGAAAGAAATGCAAATGAGGTTGCGAGTCTGTAGTCCAAATCCATGTGATGCAAAAGAAAAGAAAAAAAGTTGCAACAAAAAAAAGCCCGACAAAATGAGATTAGAACTCATGCGCAGATAGGCCAATTGTTCATCTTCCAAATACCAGAACAAGAAGAGCGGGTATCAAATCCTCCGCCAATAAGTAAGAAAGGAATAATATAGTACAGCTATGAATGAACAAAGCGTCGGCCTCGTTTCAAGGTCATAAAGAAGAAGAGCAGGCAATAAGCAATAAGGATACAACCTCTAGGCATGAGTCAAATGCGAGGAGGATAGGGGGTAAGGGTTAGTGAATACCAACCCAGCCCCTCGCATCGACGCGTGAAGATGCGACTGTAGGTGTCGAAACAGAGGGCACGCCAATGAACGACTTGCTTCTACCTTGCGACCGGAAAGTCGAGATCCGAGGGGTGCTTAAAGCAGGGAAAACGAAAGATGAATTCGACGTGAGCGTCATCGTAGAAGGCGTGTGCATCGTGGCGCGTGTCGGCGAAGGCGGGAAGACGAAAAGGGTTTGAGAGGGTGTCGCAGATAGCGGATGGTTAGAAGACGAGTTAGAAGATGACCTGGAACTTGGAGGTCTGCGGAGGTACGCGGGGGGTTGTTCAGGTTTTCGGCTTTCTACACGTGAACGAGCTGGGATCGCTGTAGCGGGTACAATGGGTGTGACAGGAGACGATGGGACAGGAGGGAGGATGCCAACTAGTGGTGGAGGGCGCCGCCTCGCTTTCACCTTGGGCTGGAGCCGTGAAGGGAATTCAAAGGTTGATCGGATGGCTGTGGCCGGTACTGGCGGAAGTAAAAAGGTGTTCTTATGCGCAGGCGCAGAAGGTGGCATGCGAGGAGCAGGTAATGAATCTCGGCGTTCATCTCCCAAGTGGCAAGGTGATGTTTGACGAGAGTTCGGGTCAGCAGAAGACAATGAGGACGTTTCATCCTCGGTTGGTTCGGTGCTGCTGATAAACCCGCCGCCTACACCTAGCAATTCCTGTTCCTCATCTTCCTCAACGAGATCTTCACTGAGAACACTTCCTGTAGTAAGTGTGCTCGCGATCGATCCTGCGCGTTTACGGTGACCATAACGGTTCCTCCAGGCTTGACCCATGCCACGCCCAGTCGAGCTTATCGACGACGTTGACGACTTGCGTGCAACTAAACGATCCTCCATGGCCTTATCAAGCGCACGAGCTTCCCGTATGATCTCCAGGCTTTCTTGGTCTGCATCATCGGCATCTTCGAGCATCTGCCTTTGCCTACCCCACTCCTCTTCCTCCATCGCCACTGAAGAACGCTCGGATGCGGCCGGAGAAGCATTCCCTGGCTTGAACGATCGCTCATAGTCCAGGAGCTGATAAATTAATCTGCGTTGCGGACATGAGGCTGGCTTCTTAGACGGAGTTGGTCGAATCTACTCACGACATGTTGGGTCCAACCCATTTGCTTTTTTGTTTTACAAAGGAATATGCGCCTTGCATACCCTTTAGAGCCCAAACCTCTGGAGGTACAGAGGGTGAACACTGCGCCGCCGCACGCATCACCAACGCAATCACCATGGTCGCCGAACGAGACACCCCACATTGACAACTGAGGTAAGGAATCGCAAGGTGAGTATATGCTATGTCTACATCAAGATAAAAGCCTGTACGCACTGGATCAGCACGCCGTCACCACGTTCCAGTGCTTGATCCACGAAGAGCATAGCTGCGGGGAAGCCCTGTCGAACAAGGTCGGACTGTCCGTGCGACCAAGGAAGCTTGAGATAGTGCATGGCCGGTCGCCCGCTCGGTATATGCGCGGGGTAATAGGTTGAATCGGATGTTGAGACCGTGACGCTCAAGTCGGGCGTTGACATGAACGGTCGTAGTGGCTGGGCGGTGCTGTTGTCGAAGACAGTGACAACTTCCTTTGCTACGTTCAACACGGATTTGATGCCACGCTCTATCAACCCCTTCCAATCCCGTGCGTTGTCCTCGGAACCGAGCCAAATGCCAGGAAGAATCTGTATTGGGCCATCCAAGTACGGTGCAGACGGTGAACCGTCTCCGTCTTCATCTTTGCGATGCAGGAGAGTGCCCGTACTAGCATTCGGCAATGAGAGAACAGAGGGTCTGCGCCGGTGAACGGTTGCAGGCAGCTGTGCAGGGCTCGGAGGGACGATGGCTTCTGGAATGACGAGAGAAGTAGTTGAGGACTGAGCAGAAGGAAGCGTCAAAGAAAGCTTCTTCATGTTACGTGAGCGGGATTTAGTAGGAGGGGGAAACACGAAAGAGTCGGAGTCGGAGGTAGCGGAAGAAAGAGTAGAGGTAGGTGCAGAGGGATCGCTGAATTCGAGGGCTATATTGAGGTTCTGCGCAGGGGTGTCAATGCGCAAGGCTGTGGGAGGGCCCTTCTTTCGAGGCATGGCGGCCTTGAAGGTAGATTGCGGTCGGGGAGTTGCTGTGTCCATGTTTTAGGGTTCAGTACCACACGCCAGCGTGAAGAGAGACTGAAGCGGTATTGACCGGGTCGAAAGAGTGCAGACGGCCAAAGAAGAAAATAAGAAAGAGAAACAAAGACTAAGGACACAGAAAGACGAAAAGAAGAGGACTACGGCCCTGGGGAGGACGAGGGCCTGAGGACTGTTCTTGCTCGACGTGGGCAGGATGAAGACTCCAACCACATCAGGCGCCGGCATATATGGCCTGTTTGACTCTGTTTGCCTCCAATTTACGTTGCTATACGCCGGCACATCTCCCCGACTCCTTCATCATATATCCTCTCATTGTCCTCTTTTCAGCCTTTTTACCACACTACGTTTATCTATGAACACCCGGGTTGACCACTCTATTTGTGATTGCCTCTGCTATTGTTCGAAAAGTCCCCCGAAGCTCTGCAGACCACCTCGAATCCTAGCGCCGCCGCTGGAACTTGGCAACATCCCAACCCGCTGATGCTACAGACTGTTCCTGTATACCCATCTGAGTCAACTCCGGAGGTCCTTTCGTGTTACCAATGTGTGTGGCTGGCGAGCGCCATCGCAAATCTTGGGTTCTCATCACCCTCGGTCGTTTGTCATTATCCGAGATACACAGGATCAGTCAATTCGGACGTCCAGCAGCTGCGACACTTGTCTACTGTCATGCCATGGAAAATGGGATGTCTTCAAGATTACGCCACTCTCGTCTTGCTCTCTGCTGGTAGTTACTGTACTCCATGTCGTTGATGAAACTTCGGTCTTTCCCCATATGATTCAGCACCGGATGAGTCGTGAGATGACGGCACGCTGTTCGTCGCACAGCCGTAACCATTTGACGCGTTTGCAATTCTCACTGCACTCCACCGTCCCAAAGAACCCTTGTGGCCCAACTGTTCGACATTTCCGTTATCATGTGGTGACCTCGTTCCATACAGCGGAGGCCGAATTTACTACGCGACGCCATGGTACTGTTGTACATTTACGTTGCCGACGTCTATGCAGCACGATAAGGACAGATACATGTGTGTCGTGACCAGATTGTCGGTTGTGGAACAAGTCTACATAGGCTTCGGGTCTTCCTCGTCAAGCAAGAAGGACCATAAAGCCGCTGATCATCTCATCGATCGGGTATAAGCTTGCAAGTTGCAATATACATGTTCGAGAGCTCTTCATTACCGTAACGACCTTTTCGCTGTGTCTTGTGCGCATTGTAGTCCCATTTCCACGCTTACTTCATATATATCTCGGAGGTACCAATGTGCTTACCACAATATTGTAAGTAACATGTACTACAATCCAGCCGGAAGCCTATTCTTTCTCTCGCGTGTTTCTAAAACTATGCTTTCATTCTTCTCATGAACAACTACATAGCCTGACTGAATGAAGTACACACGCTCTGTTTCAAGCTTGCGCGTTTGAGTGCTACACTGGATCGAGAAGTTCATCAGGGACCAGACAACGGCTGGACCCCCAATCTACCCAATCCCCAATCGGTCGTACCATCGTTAGCGAGGCGTTCTTCGATGCCCAACCGTTACCAGGTCATCTTCTTGGTCTCGTTCTTCTCTGTCTTTGCCACCCTCTTTTTCACCTCTCGTTTTATTGGCGAGAAACTGAGGGCAGCCGGTTACGACGTGTCCGAAATCATCCTTATCGGCTTACCAAGAAATCGCACTCTAGACCGTGACGTGTCGCAGAGACAACTGGGCAGTGGAGCGATGCCAGACTTCAATAGCAGCACTTTCCAGCAATTGCTAGCTTTGGTCTTAGCGGTGATAACCAGTGCTTTCATCTACTACAAGTTCGCGAGCTCTAGTAAGTGCACTCGTTGCTTGTCACCTGCCACCGTGCCCTGAATAATGAGATCTTCCATCCTAGAGCGGAAGCCTGTTCTGAATCCCCAGCAATGGCAGGAATTCCCTCTGACGGAGAAGATCGTCATTTCTCCGAACACTGCTATGTGCGTAAACGAACCTTCGTGGTAACAGTCCGTATGGTTGTTTATACGTAGCGCAGCTACCGCTTTGGTTTGCCACATCCCCAGGCCGTCCTTGGTTTGCCAATTGGTCAACACATATCCGTGGCTGCTGAAATCAATGGCAAGGATATCATGCGTAGCTATACCCCCACGAGCAGTGACAATGATCTCGGACATTTCGATTTGCTTGTCAAGGTACGTGACGTGTCTCCTTTGTCTAGTCTAGGTACTGACTTAATGCGCAACTACAGGCATACGAGAAGGGTAACATCTCTCGGTACATATCTCTCCTCAAAATCGGCGACAAGATTCGCGTCAAGGGTCCCAAGGGTCAATTCACCTACTCGCCGAGAGTCGCTCGCCACCTTGGAATGATCGCTGGCGGCACCGGTATTACGCCCATGCTTCAAATTATCCGTGCAGTCCTCAAGAACCCCGAGGACAAGACCAAGTTGAGCCTCATCTACGCCAACGTCAATTACGAGGATATCCTCTTGAAGAAGGAGCTGGACGAGCTTGCTGCCAGGCATCCCGATCGTTTCACGGTCTACTACGTTTTGAACAACCCTCCCGTGGGATGGAAAGGTGGTGTTGGTTTTGTCACAAAAGAACAAATCAAGGAGCATCTTCCCTCAACCGACCATGATATTAAAATCCTTATGTGTGGTATGCCTCTCTTTACTCGCTCGTAGGCTGAACTGTCTGCTCACATGTTGTTTTCAGGTCCACCTCCTATGATGACCGTCATGAAGAAATATCTTGCGGAACTCAACTACCCTGCTCCTCGGACTGTCAGCAAGCTTGTTGACGAGGTGAGAATCAATAGGTCCTCAATCCAAGTTCGGTCTATTAAGCTTTTCTTTCCAGGTCTTTCTTTTCTAGAGGGTTTATAAAGCGATATGTGCCATTGTCAGCGGACGTATACCACGGCATAGAATTACTAGATTGTTGGTAATATAGGTTGTTTTGCTATGCTTTGATGTCTTTCCAAGCAAATCGTTTGTAGCTAAGGCGTTCATACGATTTGGAACGTTGAGTCTCACACTGTGGGAAATATGAGGAAACCCCATGTAAGTATTGTCCGATTGCTGAGGAGCCAATCGAGGGCCGAGGCATCATTATTCTATGCTTTCCGAGAGACGCCACGTACAACGACGTTTTCTTCCTTTCAACCAATATCCAACGCTTTTCATACCCTCGTATCCTTACTACAGGACATTCTTCATAGATACCCCACATAGATGGCAGCGACACCGAAGACAGATCGTCACGCTACAGACGTCTCCGTCGCTCGACCTGCAGGTGGTAGCTCATCGGAATCGGGTGCTACCATTCACCCTTCGTTCACCTTCGAGGATGCAGATGTCGTTCTATGCTCTAAAGACGGTATATCTTTCCAGGTATTCCGTATATGCCTCAGACTCTCCTCGGGCTGGTTCCGCTCCTTATATACTTTGCCTCAAAACGAGGCAAGTAGCTCCACCGAGACCATCTACATGGATGAGTCTTCAGATACGCTTGCCATCTTGTTGAGCATCGCTCATGGACAAGATGTACCGCAGCTCAAGGATATGGACGAGGTCGAGTCTGCGATACATGCAGCGGAGAAGTACGATATGCCGGGAGTGCTGAATTACATTCGTCAGGGTCTACTTCGCTTCGCTGAACAACATCCAGTCCGAGTGTATGCGTTGGCATGTAGATGGGGATGGATAGACGAGGCGAAAGTCGCATCCACGCATACAGTCAAACTTGACCTTCTATCATCCTCCGTTCTCCCATCGCTGAATGCCATGGATTCGGCAGATTTAGCCAGACTCATGTTCCTACATCGTCAAAGGAGGGATTGTCTTCGAGAGCGGCTGGACTCCGAAGAAGTATTCTACGCCAACGTCGTTCCCTCGAGATGCCAGAATCCTACATGCAACGCCGAAGTCATACACGATAAATGGCACCAGCTCAAGTATCATTGGCTCACTACCATTGATAAAGATCCTGCGTTGTTTTCATCACGGACGGCGTTGCTGGAGGGGCCTGAGGTGTTGGACGTGATTAACTTCAAGTGCGCACGATGCACTAAGAAGCAGTATAATACCGAGAGTACTTTGACTAATCTGAGGAACCTCCTTGATGAGCTTCCTCGGGCTGTTGAGGTATGTATGACGTGCCCGACCAGTGTCGGCTTTCAAAACGCTGAAGATTCCTCCCATTCAGTTTTGACTGTCTACGTGGTCGCACTCATGACGTCTCTCAGGGCCCAGCGGTGCATCAGCACCTACGGATGCAATGATATGGCTACACTCCCACACCAACCATGGCCTTCGGGGACAGATGGGAACTTCGGATACTGGTTATTCCTGGATCTCAGTTGAGGTTGCGAAGGCGGTTCGTTTGGGTGTGCCCGCGCATCTTGGTTTGTCCATCCAGTGCTTGAATCTTGGAGTCCATGCTCTTTCGTTGGATCGAACTCGATTGTATCCTGACTATCCCCATTGATTTATATTGTAGCCCAAAGCGATTCATCCTTTCGTTTGTCGGAAAGCGGGCTTGCCAATTCTAAACATCATTTCTTCAGGAGCGCAAGATTGTATGCTTTCGCCCAGTACACGTAACGTCGATTATCTCGAAATGCAGATGACATCGCATGTATGTGTAACTTCGGTGATGTCGTTCAGGATACAGTTTTTCTCCAGCAACAGCCACCAAGGTGCATACTGAACGCCACCACGTGATCACCATCTGGGTTGTTCAGCATTCTTGCTCAGCGTATCAATATACCGATTTTTATGCTATCCGCGAAACAATTCCCGACATCTTGTCGTTGTTACGTGGGATGTGCATGAAGCTCATAGAACGTGATAGCTTCCGGTCGCAAACCCAATGTCCGTGTTGGTTTGGACAGGTTTGAGATGGTGGTACCAGCCGCGCTAGCCTCCCGCCTTTCATATATAAAGGCACCGGGAAGCCTCAGTTTTAAGTAGACACCTGAACCATAATCCCCATCTGCCTATCGTATTTCTTGTGACTTCGTAGCGCACCATGTCGAAGGCGAGTACATCCCTCATCGCATAATCTACTAGTATCTAACTATGACTTCATAACGCAGCCTACTCTCTACACCTTTGGATTGTCTGTCTGGGCCGCTGTGCCAGATATCGCAATGTAAGTTACGCTGTGGTGACGGTTATAGCAAGCGTTACTAATTTCTTTACCAGTATTGAACTGGAGTACCCTCCGGATGCTATTGAGAAGAAGGTGGTCAACCTCGTCGAGGGCCAGAACTTCACGTCCGAGTTCCTCAAGCTGGTTTGTGAAGTTACATGTTGGTGTTCGCAATCATTTGAATGAATATCTTTCATAGAACCCGCACGCCACCCTGCCTACTCTAACCGCTGATGGAAAGTCCTACATCAATACGGATGAAGTTACCCATTACCTGGTTGAGCATGCTCCAAAGAAGGTCGCTCCCAGGACAAGGTCATTTATCGATAGGATTCACGAGGATGCGCTTGATCCCAACTTCCCCATGCTCGCCGTGGTAAGCCCGGTCTCGTCATCTATTCCCTCATTTGGTTCTGAGATCTACATTGTAGCGCAATGATGAAGAGCTCAAGAACGCAGCGTCAGGCTTCCCGTTCACGTTTCTCGAAAATCGTGAGACCTTTTCACCGTCAATGGAACTTGCATCGTAGACTGACATATTGACTACCTTTCTTTCTAGGTCAAAAGGCTTTGTTAAAGTATTCGCAAACTCCCGAAGCGGCTCCCTTCAAGGAATTCTACGACGCGAAGATCGCTGGCAACGGTGGTGTCCTCGCGATCTACAAGGGAGAGGTTCCCGAGGATGCGAAGAAGGGGTTCTTTGAACTTTCGAACAAACATTGGCAGCATATCGCCGACTATATTGTAAAGGAGCTTCCTGACTTACTTCCCGCATCAGGCTTCCGTGGCGGTGAGACCCCAGGTGAAGATGATTTCCATCTCGCTGCCTGGCTCGCTCGTGTTGCCTTTGTTGTAGGCGCGACACCGGCCAAGGGCGGATACACAGCGTTGGAGAAGGTGCTTCAGGGACCTGTACCTGACAAAGTTGCTGCATACTGGGATACTTGGACTGAGCGGCCTGGCTGGAAGCAAACCTACCCTGATAGCCTGCACTGATCGTGTCCTATTCTTCTTTGTTTCTCGTCATTTATACGTTGTATCCAGCATATAAAGCCCGCACAACACACTTACCACGATTAACTCATCCATGATCACCGGTTGGTCGCACATATGGTCGCACATATATACAGAAGAATATATAATGACAGCGCTGGATAATGGTCGGTATTTCACAATGGCGGGTTCGGATTCACTGAGAGCCTAAGACGACAAGCACAAGAACAGTGATCTCCGACTCGCCGTCCATGCCCGTTTGCTTCAATTACGAGGCCTTGATATCCGTCCCAGTGAACATCGATCCAGTAGACTCTGTCTCAAGACCTTCTAACATCTCCAGCCGGCAATCATTCAGCCTAGCACATGGTTGTCAGAGTCATCATAACTACCACCGAAAGCAAATAAACCCACATTCTGAGTATCTCAATAGCAGAGTCCATACCAACAATGAACTCTTCCTCCGTGGGCTCTCGGGATGCATGTCTTGCTAGTTGTATCACAGAGTCGTAATAATGCAGAGGGGTGATGCCGTCCTCGTCCTTCTCCAAGAGAGGTGATAACCACCGAAAATGGTGCAACATGCGGCTATGAGGGCGGAGGAGAGGATGACTGGGTATAACGAGATGCGCTAGTTCATCTTTGAAAGGATTAGGTCTAGTCTGAGGACAGCTGATTTCGTACATACCGATCTCTCGTATAGTATTCAGAAGTTCTGTACGGAATCGAACGTTCTCGTACTTGGTTCCTATTGCAGGCTGAATCAAAACCTAAGTATAAGAAATTATCATTCGACGAACCTGGCCTGCCCCATCCCTCTTGAAAACCATCCTTCGGCTGTGCTTCATACGCGATCAAGCAAGCACGAGCATACTCTTGTTGTATGTAACGGTATACAGTCTTTAAAAATACACGATCGGTTTCAGAACAATACTGAAGCGGTGACGTTCATACTCACCTTTGGGAATTCAGCCTTACCAGGAGTCTGGTATGACTTGGCAATCCTCTGAAGTCGTCTATGTACGGCAATTCTGCGCTTCAAGCAGAAGAATACGGAAGCCGCTGCCTTTAGATACGGGATAAGGATTAGCATACGACGAGGTCTAAGAACAGCGTGTTAGCTTACGACAACAGCATACGCTGCTCCTATAACCACTGCATTTACGTTGCGAATCCAAGACCGATTGGGGGATGTCCGTACGGCCTGCGACAGTAGCGCCGCACACGACAGTCCAACAAAGAATGTAGTAACTAGAACAAGCAGGACATAGAGGATACCAGAGACCGTCGCAGTCCCTCGAGACATGCGGTCGACATCGACGACGATGGTGAAGCAGGTTCAGGCTGCACCGCTGGAGCTGTGGTTCGATTAGACGCCTGAGAGCATGGACAACAAGTTCTTACTGTACTAGGACTTGAGCTTGAGGCTTGAGCAAGTTGAACAACTCTTCGGGTTCATTCATGATACACGATGTTCAACGCAGACAATAAATTCAACCTTCTCAGAGGGTGTGTATTGATGAGAACTAGAGTACATGCTACACAGGGCCAGCAATGTGTGCAGTCGGGATTTCTTTTAAGGGACCAGCCAAGAAGTGAAGGTAACACGGGAACCAAAACGAAAGCGCAACTGGGCGGAAAAAGGAGAAGAAAGGAAGCAGAAAGTAGACTACACTTGCACGTTTTGCCTATAGGGAATATTTAGTACAGAACGATTTAGCTTGAATAGAAGACGTACGCAAATGCTCCAATAAAGTTGCCTTGTGGGGAGTACTCGCATACGAAGAACTTAGCTTTCTACAGGCAGAGATGTCAGCGTAATGCCGAATCACTGAGCTAATCAAATAGCGATTTGCGTTGTGGTACATACCCCGAAACTGGATGCGAATATACCGTCGCAAGACTGAACGGCACACCCAACCTGGGTTGTCGCCTTCCACACGACTTGTGTAAAGTGAGAAGGTTGAGGGTTATTCGGATCGTATTCCGCTGCAATCAAAGTGAGGCGGATATTCACAATGCACAATGTCGTACGGTAACTCACAAACTTCATCAGTCCAAGTTTTAATAGCCTCACTTATGCCGAAAGAGGCCGCAGTTCCAGCGGAGAGATTTTCTATTTCATGGTAAGATCCCTGCGTTGAAAAAAGGTATGAAAGAGAGGTCATGCTTACCTCCGAGCGGCCCAAGTGATCCTCCGGAATGCTCGAATACACATCCATTGGCCCATGTTTGGGCTTTAGCAGCTGCATCGTCGCTCCAGGTCAGGGGACTGGCGCCATGTTGTGCACGCACAGAATTGTGCGCTGACAGATATTGTTGAATGTCACTATCAGAGGCGGAAGAGCTGCCGCCACCCGTGGCGACGTTCTGTACAGAGGCGTTGGCTGTTGTTGCGGCGGGTTTAGCAGGTTCTTTTGAAGACGACTCAGGAGATGGACTTGGACTAGGAGGAGGCGCGGTGGTTGTCTCGGGCGACGGGGTAGCAGTGGATGTAGTTGGGGCTGGTGGAGGCAGGGAACTCGATGATGGAGAGAGTTGACTGGCGCGCGTAGAAGACCGGGTGGTTGTCTGGGACGAAGTTGACAACTTAGAGGATGCAGAACTTGATTTCGAGCTTGTGTTTGTCGGTATGACAGAGTTATTAGACGTGGGGGCGGCGGTTTGGTTGACGGAAACCAAAGTAGATGTGAGACTAGTAGTACTTATCAAGCTGACTTCAGATGCAACGTTCGCAACTGGCGCAGTTTCCGACGGTACAGCAGAAGAAACGGACTCTGGTCTGTGAGAAGTAAGAAGTTCGCGGTCAAGGACCTGCAAGAAAACAATCCATTTAACGTCACCTTAAACGACACTGTTTGGTCACAATGCTTCCCGTAGCCATGTCGGTCACTGTAGCTTCCACAACGTTTCCCCATCTATCTGTGCCCATGCGTTTTCCGGGCCAACCCCAGTTCTTGTCACACTGAGTGAGACAAGTATCCTGTCCTTGAAGACGACGCGCACAGCCGGGTCCGGCCAATACGCTCGAAGTGAATGCAAATATAACAACATAGAAGAGCGCAGTGCAAGTAAGTCGAGCCATGTTCAGCCAAATGCAAAGGAAAGAATGTGTTGACCTGAAAGAAAGGACTGTTAAAAGAAGGAAATACCGACTGCGTCCACACAGCACTATACACCCTGCACTGGGCTGGAGAGGTTTAGCAGCTAAAAGTAAGCAAAGAAGGCCTTATAGCGTCTCATCTCACCGGTAATTCTGAAAGATCGTGTCGTCAGGGCGCAATTGAGTCGTCAAGGTAATCCCGATCGTGTTTATCCCGAAAGATCATGATCTGAGTCTCGACTCTCCCAAGGTCAGAATAAGTTCAACAAATATGCATGCGCATAGGACTTGTCAATACAGGTTACCCGGATGAGCTACACAGAAAGATGTAGTGACCGCGCAGTAATATCTCGCGCAGTGTATTACAAGTTCGGCCAAAGTCAAAGCACATGGTGGTTGTAGTCAGAGATGAGTGAGCGCCGAGCGCTGGAGGTCCGGAATTCATTTTGAAAGCGAATGTCCCTCGCGATCCGCTCGCACGACAGACAAGAAGTCCGGGGGCAGGGCTGACCCTGGCTGGCTCTTTTCTCAAGATCAGCTCGTCTTGTTGACGCTCAAGCACGCCGCGAGCGAGATGACCATGTTGGGAAAGAGAGGGCGTCGACAACAAAGCAACAGCAGATAAGATAACAACACCGCGGAATATCTAGCTCGTTTCATTACATGTATTTCTCCTCATCCATATCGTCCAAGGGCCAGTGCGCCGTGATCTCAGCCCGTTCCTCCGCCGACGTGGTCTCCGCCAATGCATCCTCCTTCAGCTGCTTGCTGCGTGTCATAGCCTCCTCGTAGTGCTCGGTAGTCACCCAGCCCTCCGGCCCAAAGCCGATCATGTTTCTGCATGCCTCCAGAGTCTCGTCCGCTCCTCTCTGTACTGCATCCAGCTTCATCGTCTCGCGTACCTCCTCAGCGTCGAACACGACTGGACACGGCGCGCCTCCCCCCGTAAGCGTCTCCCACTTCTCCGCTGCTTCTACTAGCGCAACCTTCAGCGCGAGAGTCTCGCCCTCCCACGGGTTACCGGCGTGGTAGAAGAGGCGGCGGCGGAGCATACCCACGGGGTCTGTCAAGGCCGCGTAATGGGGCTCGTTGCACTCCTCGGTCCTCTTGACGTAGTGGTAATGGGTGAGGCGGCGGCGGTAGAGTTCCTTCGCTCGGCTTTGCTCGGCTTCGTCTAAGTCGTCCAAATTCTCCGGTAGCGAAGGTCGCGTTAAACGTTGCGAGATAGGATCATCGTAGTTCTGCAGGCGTTCGGGTATACCAGCAAGGAGAAATAGGGGTAGGATCGAGGCGTGTTGCCAGTCTAACAGGCCGATGACTCGCCAGTTAGAGTCGGACGACCTCGAAACGACGATATTGTTCTGCTGGAGGTCGGGATGGCGGATGCGGAAATGACAGAGGCCCGGGTCCTTGGGGGCGAGTGATGACGCGATGAGGAGATAGCGGTTCAGGTTCTCGATGTGGTCTAATGGCAACTGCTCCTGGTACCTGTAGGCTTCCCTCCTTATGCGCTGGAACGGCAACAGCGGTTGGCCGAACTGCTTCAAATAAGCCAGTTCCTTTTGGGCTGCTCTTACGAGCGCTGCTTCGGCGCTTTCATCTATAGTTATCGGTTGATTCAACGGAGTAATAATAAAAAAAGGGCAGAGAGCGGCCTACACGGTCCCCGGTCTACGTCGAGCTGTGATCTCCTGCCATACCAGAGAGGTAGTCTTGCATCTGGACCGACGCAGAAGCGTTCATCCTTCAGCGGGATGCCTGGCCCTCCGGCCACCTTCTCCAGATCTTGTGCATAGTACAGGCTTCCGCCAGCCGGAAAAGAAATCGACATCATCTTCGACTCGAGTTGAGCCAGTTGGTGCAAGACTGAAATGAGATCCCGTTCCTCTAGGTCAAGCCATATGTCGCTTAACTTAGTACCTCGGATGAATTCCATGAAGATATACTCGGTTTCCGCCGCGTTGTCCGGCGCAGGCGAGTATCCGTATACGTCGGGAATAGGAAGCCCAGAGGAACGGAGTAAGGCCATAGTGGCCACTTCGCTAGCGATAGCGTAGTACTTGGGAACCGTAGCCGGGTAGGGGATACGCGCTACCATTTGGAAGCCGCCGCGCATGGTGATGAGGAAGGTACGGTTAAATCCGCCCTCGGCGAGCTTTGCAAAGTCGACGATATCGTCAGGACTCCGATCAACGGACTGCGCCGCAAGTCGACGTAGCCCATCGACGTTGAAGACACGTCTGCGCTCTGCGTGGCGAAGAGCATCGTTGATGCTGAATAGCTTAGATTACGGGTTAGACATACGCCATAGAACAACATGTATGAGACTTACATCCACCGCCCTGATGTATAATCGAAAAGGTCGCTACGAGAATGCGCCATGATTGAGAACGCGCGACGCGGCCAACGGTTTGGGGTGGACTTGGAGCTTGGGAAGGAAACGTATAACGACCGCAGTGAGGAGCAAGGACGGCGAAGAGACGGCGAGAATGGAACCGCCAGCAAGTCGAAGACGAGCCTCGCGCTCCCAAGGCAAGGCATGCCAATATACAGCATGTGGAGGGGCGGAAGAGGGATCGAATATATGAGAAACCAGCCAGCACGGGGTCTGAAAAGAGAAGAGGCCGCACAGCCTTTTCTTAATCATTTGAGAAACTCATCCTCCGATCTCATACTTACACCGTTCATTCACTGCGTTGGCCCCGGGTTGGCCCTAGACATGACTTCACAGTCGTTCGATTTACCATACTACGTACTTGTCTCACATGCACCAGGAGCGAGCGGTCAAACTGCACCATCATCGACGACTTTCAGCCACCCGATCATTGAGTACCACTATGCTGATGATTCCCCGCGTAATTTACTTCCAAGAGAGCCTAGTGAACATGTCCTAGTTCTTGACTACAATGTCTCCGAAGGCGCAACTCCAGATGTAAAAAGCCTATCTGCGGACTTGGCAGTTGCTGGGCTGAGGATTGCTGAAGCTCCGGGAGCGGCTGCTCACGAGGATGGCAATATCCCGAATAACAAGATGTTCGTGATAGACACTATCAATTTACCTGAAGAAATGTGAGTATATTACGGTTGGTCATAATTCATGAGCTACCTTAATTTCTTGAGATAGAGTTGAAGAAGATCAGTTCGAGTCCGCTCAGGCTGTCCTAGCTCGTTTCAAGCAAAGGTAAGAGCTGTATTGGTACTACTATCATTGCTCTGAGCTAAGACTCCTTAACACGCAGAAACGCTATCCTTCATCGGGCCTTTGACTATGCTCGACCTGCTGATCAATCGAGTACCGACGTTCAACATACACCGACTAATGCAAATCCACCTGAAGAACGATAATAACGCGCATTTCCGTCTTTGACATATGCTCAACCCTTGCATATGTGCATGGTGGGCATTCGACGGATGAGCTCCTTGCTAATAACTAATGATCATTTAGGCTCAGATGAGGCATACCAGCAGTTGCATCTCTGACGAGGTCCGCTTGACCCCTGGGATGCCCGCCAGCAATACTTTCTACTCTGATTGTTACAACCTAAGTCATGAACCGACAGTGTGGTTATTCGGCGGATTGATTTTCTGTCGTCTGTCTTAATGTCCAGAGCATACAGGTGCCCTTTTAGCATGGTTCGATGTAGGAGACGAGGATGCACATACTTCCTCTGCTGAGAAGGTTACGTTTTGAATTTCTACCCGCAATCCGCGATGAATATATACAATAGTCTAGAAACATACATCGGCTATGAATAAGTATATCGAGGCGATCGTGTGCTCATCGCCGTTTGTTCTTGCCTCTGTTCCGCGCCGCAGAAGCTTGTGGTTTTGGGGCAGGGGCAGGGCTTGTCTTCTCCTCCCCGCCCATCATCGCAGACAATCTAATGAGAAGCTTAGTAAGGTCAGGAATACAATATGGGTTGAATGTACATACCCAGTCTTCAGGTCACCATTTTGTATTGAACTCTGAATGTCGGTGATCTTGGCTTGACGTTCTTTGAACTCCTGCAATACTTCTGGATCCATATTTTTCTGAAGCCATTTCATGTTGACCTTGAGATAAAGATATACGAACAATCAACAAAGAAATAATGCTTACCATGATGTAGGGCATTGCGAGCATCAATACACCCGTTCCGAGCATAAGTAGCATCATGGGGTTCTGGAACATCCCAACAAGGTTGAAAGACTCTTGTGGTGTGTAGTAGTCATATCTTGCACGAGGAATCAATGTGATGGGATACGGTAGAGTAACTGGAGAGGGAGGTGATAGAGGTGTTCCGGGGACGTATGGTCGAACTTCAGGCAAAGTATCAGTGTCGAGGACATCTATGCGCAGCTGTGACAGGTGGCTGGCGTCAGGTCGTGGAAGTGCAGATAGGACGGTATGACGTACTCGTTCAAATGCATGATCATGAGCAACAACAGAAAGTATATATGTTCCCGAAGGCACCTCCGGGCTGAGGATGGGTTAGAATCAATTCGCGGAAAAGGGATAGTCCTGCAGCGTACATGACGAATTGTCCATTACGAGTTACGCTGCCATACAAGTTCCCGTTATCCAGCACAACCTTTGCTTGACCAAGGTCGCCTATCCCTGTTGTACGTGCCTACTTAATGAACGGAGGAAACATGGCAAGAAACCTGCACGTACCAGGGCATATTTCATTCCATACCACTCGACCTTTGAGATCGAAGGCAAGCGAAGAGCATAGTAAACTCAAGTGAATAGTCAAATAAGGCGGTACAAAAGCTCTCTGGGTAACTTACCTGACCAAAGTCAGTATCAGAAGGGGTATCATCATAGTAATGTCGACGGTGCTGGTGACCGAAGATGTAAGAAGTGGTGTACCACAAGCGTCTATACAATTTCGTACTTTCTCTTTACTGCCGATCACATTGAGTCCTACAACACACTCCATTGAAGCATCTTTTTCATCCATCTACTCTCTATCTGACATAAAAATTCGCAAAAATGAGACAGAAGCGTGCTAAAGCGTACCGCAAACTCATGTCCTTGTACTCAATGAGTTTTGGGTTCAGGCAACCCTACCAAGTTCTCGGTATTGGCCTGTCATTCCAATTCTCCTTCCCCGGATGTAACTAATGGGTAGCTTGCTCATAGTGGATTCTGAGATGTGCAAAGCCGCCATCAACCAAAAGCTAGACTTTGCCAAACAGCTGAGTGTCGTCCTTCAAGGCGACGTCAAGCCGAGTGAGTTGCTGTGGACTTTCGTTCAAGCTTAACTTTCACTGACTGCATATGACGGCGAAGCCGCCTTTCAGTGATCACTCAATGTTGTATACATGAGCTTTATTTGCAAGGAAAAGAACATCAGCCTGCAACGGACCTAGCAAAGACTTTCGAACGACGAAAATGTAATCATAGGGAACCGATTCCAGGAGACGATTGTCTGCTTGACGTCGTTGTTGTCAGTGAGTAATGGCTTCTCTATCGACCCTGCTCATGGCACTGAACTTTTATAACCACAGATGAGACTAACAAGCATCGTTACGTCGTCGCTACACAATCGACCGCTCTTCGCTCGAAATTACGAGAAACTCCAGCTGTACCTGTCGTGCATATCAACCGTTCTGTTACGATTCTTGAACCTCCAAGTGAGGCGACGCTAAAATCCAAGGAATTGGTCTGTTTTCGCATCGTTCTACATGAAATCGTTCGTTAACTTCGTATTCTCAGATGGAGGACGAGGCTCTGCGACCTTCTGCATCGGAAACCAGTCGGTTAGCCCCGAAGACAGTCCCTGAAGAGCCACCCAAGACGAAGAAAAGGACGGGACCCAAAGGTCCTAACCCACTCAGCGTCAAGAAGAAGAAACCGAAGGAGTCCACCCCTGCTAAGAAACACGTTGACAATACGGCGAGAGTGGGAGAGAAACGAAAACATGAAGAATCTGAAGGGGCGAGTGCTCCCGTAGATTTGAAAATGGAGGCAGAAGCGTCTGGCCACAAAAGAAAGCGACGACGGAAAGGTAAAAGCTCTGAAGTTACGGAGGCGAAAACATGACAGCATGTACATACCACTTACAGTATTTTGAGTAACATTTCTTTTCAGTCTATCACATATGTTCACCAAGGTTGCAGAGGTTACTTGCGAGTGCAAAATCACGATAGATATTCCATGTATGTAATGTACACTACAAATCAACGATTGGATGATACAGCAATGACAGTCAAAGCTCAATTCCCACCACGCAGACGCAGGACAAGGTGAAGGGTGCTCTCCTTCTGGATGTTATAATCCGAAAGCGTACGGCCATCCTCCAACTGCTTACCCGCGAAGATAAGACGTTGTTGATCTGGAGGAATGCCCTCCTTGTCCTGGATCTTCGCCTTCACGTTATCAATCGTATCCGACGACTCGACCTCCAAGGTGATAGTCTTGCCAGTAAGGGTCTTCACGAATATCTGCATACCTCCACGGAGACGCAGCACGAGGTGGAGAGTGGACTCTTTCTGAATGTTGTAATCAGACAGGGTTCGTCCGTCTTCGAGCTGCTTGCCGGCAAAGATGAGACGTTGTTGGTCTGGAGGAATACCCTCCTTATCTTGAATCTTCGCCTTCACGTTATCGATAGTATCTGACGACTCGACCTCAAGAGTGATGGTCTTGCCGGTCAACGTCTTAACGAAAATCTGCATTCCTCCACGGAGACGAAGGACTATATTGAACGGTCAGCATCTGGCAGCACAATGAGAACTGACAGTAAACTTACCAAGGTGAAGAGTCGACTCCTTCTGGATGTTGTAGTCCGACAATGTACGTCCATCCTCCAACTGCTTTCCGGCGAAGATCAGACGCTGCTGATCGGGAGGAATACCCTCCTTATCCTGAATCTTTGCCTTGACGTTGTCGATGGTGTCAGAGGACTCAACCTCGAGTGTGATGGTCTTTCCAGTCAACGTCTTGACAAAAATCTGCATGCCTCCACGGAGACGCAATACTATAATACATATCAGTAAAAGTAAGATCGATTTCGTATAGGGTCAAACTTACCAAGATGGAGAGTCGATTCCTTCTGGATATTGTAGTCGGAAAGAGTACGACCATCCTCAAGTTGCTTTCCAGCAAAGATCAGACGCTGCTGGTCGGGGGGAATACCTTCCTTGTCCTGGATCTTGGCCTTGACGTTATCGATGGTGTCGGAAGACTCAACTTCGAGGGTGATCGTCTTTCCTGTCAAAGTCTTGACAAAGATCTGCATGCCTCCACGGAGACGGAGGACAAGGTGAAGGGTAGATTCCTTCTGAATGTTGTAATCGGACAGGGTACGGCCATCTTCGAGTTGTTTGCCAGCGAAGATCAAGCGCTGTTGGTCGGGGGGAATACTACAAGAGGCTTTGTAAGTGCGCCACTCCAGGAATCCAGACAAAGTGTGAAACTTACCCCTCCTTGTCTTGAATCTTAGCCTTGACATTGTCAATGGTGTCTGAGGATTCGACCTCGAGGGTGATGGTCTTGCCAGTGAGAGTCTTAACGAAGATCTGCATGGTGATTGTGTTGGATGTGTTAGTGGGAGGGGTTAGAGACGGTTGGAGGAGGCTGGACAGAGCGTCTCAGCCTATATACCCAGATAGGGCGGAGTTTCAAATGCGGGGTAACGATGTGACAAGCTGACTCAGTCCACTATTATTTCCTTATTTGGCACTCTAACGCCTCAAAATGGAAGGCTCCAGAAAGCAGTAGCAACATAACGAATACCATGGTACAAGTGCTAACGATACAAAAACTATAATAGTATCCTCGTTAAGAGAACATAAGAGAACATAAAATATAAAAGAAGGTGAACGCAACTCCCAGAGTACCCTAACCTGTGTCCATGCGTTACGAGTCTAGAGTCTCGGCATTAGTGTCTACCCAGACATGAATTGTCAAGTCCTTTTCAACGGACGCGGATGCAATCATCGGTCGAGTTGGGTTGCTCTAGATGGAAATGTCAGAATCGCATTGTTCAAGACGTACTGTAGGTTTGCAACATACCGCAACAGCAATCACCACGTCTAAAACAATGAATGTCAGCACATACTTACATAAGAAATATACACGGCCTACCTCTATGACCCTCAAGCACTTGTACTATTTGTCTATTCTGAAGGTGCCAAAGATACACCTTAGAGTCTTCACTACCACTAACGATGTATGCTCCGCCAGGTGCAAAGTCACAAAATATGGAGTAGGTACGGTTGGTATGACCTGTGTAAGTCTTGACACATCGGGATGTTTGTGTGTTCCAAAGCCTTATGGTAGAGTCTTGAGTAGACGCGAGAATGTATTTCGAATTTGGCGAGAACTTGACGTGAGAACTAAGGTGTGTGTTAAATGCTAATTGTCTGAGCAGAAAGCGAGCTTCATTACATACCAGATAGGATTATCATCGTCTGCCAGTGTTTTCAAACACTGACCTGAGTCAGTGTCCCACAGACGTCTGCGAGCAACGTTCAAGACGGGTGAAGCATTATGAAAGGAAGCAACCTACATCAGGCCATCCATAGCACACGACGCTATGAGTGTACCGTCATGATTGAACGTGACTGCTGTTACTGGATCAGAATGAGCGGGAAGGGTCTTCAACGGTTTTGCTAATATATTCGATGTCAATGACAGGCAAAACCGTCAAAAGATGCGTCATACCTCTTGCTACATCCCAGACACGAACGGTCTCATCAAACCCACCAGAAACCAACAAATTGCATTGTGGATTGAAGTTTACGCAGAACACGAAATTCGTATGCCCTTTCAATACTTTTGCTACTTCGCCCTATAGCAAGCATTGAGTATGGTCCTGCAACGTGGACATATGCAATATTACTGACTGTCTCAAGGCTCCATATTCGTATGGTCTTGTCATCCGAAGCAGAGGCGAGGAATTCTCCATCACTTGACCATGCAATGTCGGATATACCTTCGGTATGTCCTTCGAACGTGTCAAGTAGCTCCCCATGTTCCGGGTCCCATATCTTCACTAGTTTATCCGCGGCTTTCTTCCAATATAAATGATTCATTCAAAATTTACAAACGTGCAACTACAATTGGCTCACCAGCTGAAGCAAGCATTGTGCCATCCGGACTAAACTTTATCGAGGATATTGACCGGGTATGGCCACTCATAATGAATTTTACCCTATAGGCAGGGGTGGTATCTTGAGGTTGAAGCACTGCACCATTGGGTGGTTTTGTGCCATTTAATGTGAGATGTACAGATGAAGTTGGTATAGGCTCGTCCTTGGCTGGGAGCGTCGCCGTAAGTGGCGGGGTAGAGAGTGGCTTCTGGTCGAAAGCAACAGCAGCGTCCTGCATATCGATATCCTGGCTTGGTGATTCAGAATATTCCATAGTGAACGAATCTTGTCCCGAAATGTTCACATCAGTCGTAGCAAGTACCATGTCCTGGTTTTCATCCACCACAGAGGCCTGGACAGAGATATCATAGTGGGAGTCCACAATAACAGAGTCTTCGATCACTGTGTTTTCGATCTCAGGAACGACGAGAACGTCCTGTGGGGTAACTGAAGATTCGGCCGGAGGGGGTGATTCTACCACAGCTTCGTATAGTATTCCATTTGGACTCCCAGAGTTCCGTATGCCGTCCTGCTGCAGAGAATCCTCGGCATTGGACAAGACATCCATGACCTCGGATGGCGCACCATTAGGCTGTGGTAGATTGTGGCTTTCTTCTGCATTCATAAGAAACTTCTAAGCTTGTCACGACTCGTCGACAACGGTTCAAATGGAAAAGAGCTATAGGCGAGGTAGTATTGTATATCGAAGAAGGTCGAGGAGTGGTTGATGAAGGAAAACGAGCGCCAATTCAGACGCAACTGAACTTTTGCCTGCAGCCCAGTCCAGTTTCGGGGTATACGAGTACTTATACTCTATCATCTCTTGGTCTCCTACCTACCCGATCCATTTCTCAAAATGGTCTCAGCATCAGAATGGGCTGCTCCTCCAACGCGAACGGAGCTGATTGAGAACCTCGTCTCTGGAGTCGGTGCGTAATGCATTGTTCGCTCTTCCATTTTCATTGACACGACCACTCCTGTGGCTCTGTAGACAGATACAACCCTAACAATGTCGGTATCCTTGAGGACTACCTGTATCATCAAATCCGAAGCCAGGAGTACGATTGCTTAGCCAACCTTGCTATCCTGAAATTGTTCGTGTAGCCTCTTAGTGCACAACTTGCTGCTTGAAAACTCACTGTTTTGAAGGTATCAATTCAATCCTGACTTGTACAACCCTGATGTCGTTATCAATATCCTCATCAAAGCCCTCACTGCATACCCCTTCCCCGACTTTAACCTCTGCATCTCCTTGCTTGACGAACGCCCATTCCCCGCAAACCCTGATGAACCTGATCCTCTGCCGTCCCTTCTGCCTGTCCTCACTTCCCTTTACAATCTCCTTCAACAATGTCGCTTCCCCGCGTTTTGGGCTCTTTACCGGTCGGACAAGGCCGAATCCTTGAGAGATAACTACACCGTCGAGTGTGTAGGGTTTGAAGATTCAGTCAGAGAGGTGGTCATTCGTGCTGTGACTCCTGCGTTCAAGCGGATAGGCACCGACCGACTCTCCACTTATCTCGACCTTTCTGGTATGTGCTCTGTCTATCTCACATTGAATTCATATTCACGCCGTAATGAAGGAGATGACTTGACGGCTTATATTGAAAAGCTCGGCTGGTCGCTTGACGCAGAGTCTGGTGTAGCCACTCTCCCTCTCAATCCTGACAACCAGATTGTATCGACTGTTGTTCAAGAAAACATCCAGCTACCACGTACGTTGAAAAAAGACTTGATGTGGTTGCATTATGCTAATTTGCATGTTAGAGCTGACAAAAATCATCGCACACACACAAACCGTTGCGTGAACGGCACAGGGGTAGACATAGATGACCCGAGGAGAACGGATGTTGTGATATACTTGCTTTTCGCTATTCCCGGGCTTTACGTTCTCCAGCACACTCTCGACTCTGTAAGAATCCGTGATAAAGGTCATCAGTCATCGATTCGTAAGAGATCAAGTATCCTGTCTAAGTACATGAGAATCGTAAGCCGTGAAAATACAAGGATATAATCATTCCATTGGGTATCTTTTTATTCCCTCGTTGACCAAAATGCTGCACCCGTGCCCCAGGTAGCCATCACGATTGCGACGGCGAGAACGAGGGCATCATACCATTTTACCTGTCCTCTCAAAGCCATCTTCGCCAATATTGGGCCAATGACGCATAGTAAGAATGATGAGAAAGCACCGAGGAATGCCATCATAGAGCTAAACTCTGGTACGAGAATGGACACGCCAACCGAGGCTAGCGCAAATAACACCCTTTCGATGGCCATGGCGATGTTTTTGTAGACCACGCTGCGCGTAGAAACAGCTGGTGCGCCCTCATCAGAGGTCTTAGTGACGAGACCATGGTCATCGGGTGCAGATGCTCCAGAGTCAATGCCGAGAAAGATCTCCAGCGTGATGTTGAGAGGTCGAGCAGCCAAAGCATATTTCGATCTAATAATGGACGTATTATGAGTGGAATCTCCCTGCTGGAGGCGAATGGTACTAACAAAGGAGCGAGAACGAGTCCCCAAAGGGCTACCCGGTTGAGAATTGGGTTGTAGCCAGGGATCTTCATAAGGTCCTTACTGAACTATTCGGCACTGTTAACATGTTGCCTGTTGGAATGTAGTAGCTATGCTTACCTCGTCGCTAACCGAGTTACCAAACATGAGATAGCCGGCAATACCGATGACGGCATAGATAAATGTAGCAGCAAGAAATGCATAGTCGAGCATTTTGTCAAACTGAGATGGATCCATCATATCCCTCACCAATGATGGAATGACAGCATGGCCAGAAAACTACATAGGGACTTGTCAGTACAGTGCTTAGTGAAAATTGATCTGCACTTACCCCTGCCATGAAAAGACCAAACGAGAGGCCTAGCGCACCCACGCCTTCGATACCCAGACTAGTATCAGCAGGGTTCCATAGACTGCCTGGTGCATCCTTCTTGGATAGACCATCAATAAACATCACGACAACAATGAGAAGTGTTGAGAGGATGCCAATAATGGAGGCATAGGATAAGATAGAAAGAGGCAGTAGCATGGTGGGGATAAAGCTACAACCCCACAAGTCAGCCTTGACACAGCATATGATTATGTGAGGGCTCACATGAATAAACCAAAGATCTTGTAAACGTTGGAGGAATACGTTGGAGCGACGGAATATAATGAATCTGCAAAAAGGGTAACTAGCGCAACACTTGACAACGCTCAGCACCCTATGACAGTTGACCAGGAAAACAAAAACCGACCTAACAGTGAATAGTTCCAAACAAAACACAGCGCTGATCCATGGCGCAGACCTTGGGCCGAATGCCTTTCGTCCGATGTCAGAGTAAGACCTCAATTTTGGATCCGACAGGATGATGCGCGCAAGTATCTTTCCTCTGAGGAAATATGAACATCCTGTTGTATGTGGCAAAGGGACAATGACGTACGTGTAGCAGGTAACAAACCCATACGATATTATGATCAACGAACCGCCAATCCATCCTGCATAAGCAAATGCAAGAGGCTCGGAAAGCATGCCAATTCCGAGCAGAATGGCAATAGCATTAAATAACTGAGATGTCAATCGTTCAGTTAGAAGTGTGTATAGGGCCAGTTTATTGCATGCCCTACCGTCTGTCCAAATGTACTTTGACCCCCCGGCAGCTGTTTAGCAGTCACAACTGAGGCACCTGATATTCTACTGAGAGCACTCAATTGCGAGCTGCGGCGGGCTATAGGCATTGGTCTCGGCGATGGAGGAAGTCTCCCAGTCAATGGTTGGGTATAGCTGGGTCGTTCTTGGAACGACAAGGAGGTTCTCTTACGAAGAAGAGGCGTCCGTTCTCGTGCTTCCAGCGTAACAGGCGGATTTTCAAGAGGCTTAATGGTTGCGGATGATTGAGAAGTCTCGCGACGGTCAAGAATGGGCACCAGGAATTGGCGAGTGGTAGGTGGTCCTGGGCTAATGTCCTCGTCCCATCGCATGTTGCCTACGACAGCATCATAATCTATACCGTCCTCTCGAGGTCGAGTCGTCCTGACAAAATCGTCATCGATGTCTGGTACAACAAATCCCTGCTCGATGTCATTCTCAAGCTCCTCATCTGAGGCAGCAGAGTTCGAGGCTGAAACGGAATCCGCCAGATACAGCTGGGCTCGGCGGTCTAAATACAGAGCGGCAGAGTGAGCCTCAGGGAACCAAGATATCAATGCAACAGTGGGATGACATACACGAATTGATTACATCTCTGACATTGGACGTAGAGTAAGAGCCGAATGAAATATTACTGGGAAGGGACATGGAGTGGTCCGTTAGGCGGCGTGAACAAGTTCGTTATCGTTAGACAGCGACGAGCTGGCCCTCCGATCCCTAGACGATATCTTGTTATCTTCGGCTAACACACCTGGCAGGTATATTCCCTGTAGACCTAGGATTGAGAGAGGAGGCTGAAGTGGGCTTGAAGAGAATTGAGTGCCTTTGTACCAGAAATTTGCGGAAGGTCCGAGAACTGCAATGATATATCCTCCCGAGGACGGATGGCACCTTTCTAGAAGTAAAATTTCCGGATCCAACATGTTCATTGTGGTACTCCGTCGTCTCGAGATCTTTCCCTTGGACTATGCGTCGTAGAAGACTGAATTGTATGCTCGGATGGACGGTGGTGAGAATCAGGACGCGGGAGGCGTTGCGATCGGGGAAGTCCTGAAGCAAGTTGACCAGAAAGTGAAATGCAATTACAGTGCCAACGATAACAAAACAAGAAAAGAGGTATGACTACGTACGACATCTATGGGTAGGATAGTGCAAACATGCGTGATAAAAAAAATATGTAAGGTAATGTTAATAACGGAGAAGAAATCAAATTGGAAGGTGAAATATGCAGGACCAACATCCCAACTAGTGCATGAGTATCCCTATGATGAGTTCACAGCTCGACGATTGGTCCATTGCATGTATGGCTCTCTTGACAGGTCAGAACCTGTCTGCTTCGTCCGTGTACTTCGACGAGCTTCGGGTGCCCTTGCGGTACTTGTCAAATCCTGAAAGTTGCACATAAGCGAGATATTTTCGGTGGAAGAGTTGAAATGAGACTGACCGCAGTACGGCGGCGCATACCTGGTCCGATATGCGGCCACCATTTTGTGAGGGTGTTCTTCAAGGCCAGCTCTCGAACACCTTTCGGGTTCAACCAAGCGACGAACGCATCCATCTACAAGGTATAATATGAGCATATATACCCGCAGAAAATAGAAAAGAACAGACCGATTCGATAGTGTCATAAACGGCCCACTCGCCGACACCCAACATTCCCTCCTCACCCTCCTCCTCAAGACGACGAGCCTTGACATCTCCATCCCTTCGTTCTAACACTTCGTTATCAAACTCGCTAGGGCCCTGCACGAAGATCCGCCCGGAACCATACTGAATAGCACCCCCGCTTCCAATGAGAGAAGCAGAACCCATGCCATCGAACCACCAAATGCGATTATAGAAGCGATCTCTTCCCAAAGGCTTGACCCGAATAGCACCAAGCAATTTCCTGAAATCTCGCTCGATACCCTCCAGTCGGCGTTCGAGCTTATTGACTTCCTCGTCGAGGCGACGATGTTCCGCAAGTTTCTGCTTCTCGTTCGCTTGTCTAGCGCGAGCAAGCTGACGCTCAGTAGCTTGCGTCTTACGACGAGAAAGCTTAGGACGACCACTTGGGGTGGCAGAGCCTGTTTCGGTTTCGCCCTCCGAGCCAGGGATATCAGAAAGGTCGCTGGACTCCTGAAGCGCAGTATCTTCCTCCGCTCCATTAGTCTTCGGTGTTCCTTCCTTGGACTCTCCCATTATAGCCACCATCTCCTCTAGGCTAGAAAAGCGATCGCTTTGAGAGAGTGATAAAACAGACACATCTTGATTCAACTCACTATTGCTTCTTGGTTCTGTTTACTTCGATCTTTTCCTTCCTTAGCGCAGTCAACTGTTCTTCGCAAACTTCCATATGCGCATGGATAGATTTGCTCGAAACGGCCATACTACACATGAAAGCCAATATTGTAACCTTGTCTGAAGTCGGCAGAACCGGGTACTGAACACGCGGCGACGATGGTGTAATAGAGGTAATTGCATGAGGACTTGGTTTACCACGAGACGAACTTGTTGCTTCATCGTCTTCGATTGCCCAGTTAAGGCGAGTAAGGACCTCTCGGAGACGAGGGAAGTTCTCAAGTGTCGCATGCTAAGCAGAAAAGTCAGCATCAGACTATTACGACAAAAAACAATGATAACTATTACTTACATCCTTCAAACAGCCAACAAGAGATTCTTCCCAACCATCCCTGCCCTCTATATGCCGAAGTGGAGCACGTTCCCAGTTGTTTCCGATATCGCCAAGTCCTTCTTCCAGTGTTTCAAGCGACACACCAAGAACGGCATCATTCGGTCCAACTTTCTGCTTCAAATGAGCGAGAGAGATGAGTGCGTTAAAGCGGGTGAATGGTACTGTTCGAAGGTTGTATATAAGCGTCGAATGGATCTCTGCAATTAAAGGACAGGGCTCCGGCGCGGAGTGTCGTATTGCGGCCTCGAAATCATCCATTGTGAAACATGATATATGTAAAGGTTGTCTGTGTTCGATCAGTACATAGGATAGGAACATGATTAAAGATATATAGCATACCCGTAAACGTTCAGGAAATTCCAAACCATAAGGAATGCCTCGTTTGTGGCGTTGTCGGTGCCGAAGGGCATAGCGGATCGACTTGGAACAGGTCGTTTGACCTTCATGCCATTTTTCTTGTCTCTGTCTCCCAGGACAACATCTAGATCCTCGGTGGGATACCTGATGGGTTTCTTCTTTTTCTTTTCCACAGCGAGACGTTCAGCCTCTTCCTTCGCCTTCTGTGCCTTGGTTTCCTTATCACGAGCCTCCTGCTCTTTGCGCTCTGCCGTTGCTTTTGCTAATGATTATGAGAAATACTGTAAATCGAATTACTCGAGTGGTCTCACCTTTCAGCTCCTCAGCCGCAGAGAGTTTCTTTTGTCGCTTATGAGGACCTTCTTTATCTTCCCAGACCTTCTTCCTCTTGTCGCTTTCACCCTTCTTGAGTGTCTCCATGTCTCTTCGAGTCTCATCAGGCATGACGGTGTCAACGCCATACCGCGCGGCAATGCCTGGTTTGACGGTCCACGGAGATGCAACAGCGGCATCGCGATCGACACAATCACGAATGAAACGTCGAAGGATAGACTTGGAGAATGCAAGACGGTCTCGGCTATAGACGAATTCCAACTTAGCACCATCATTCAACTTTCTGGATGGACGTCTAAGTGACCGTACCTCATGTCAGCACACTGCACGTCCATAAGACTGCCGCTGTATTTCGACTGCTTGTCCTTCCCCTTGCTCTTCTCGCTTTGTTTACCTGCGCCGGGCTGCCTTTCCTCTTCCAGGATCTGCACCTTGTAGTAATATTTGGCAGGATCGTCCCTAATATTCGCCTCCTTCACAGGGATCTTCATGTCCTCTGCGATTCGATGAATGGAGGGTTCCTCATCCGAAAGCGGCGAGGACGACGTCGAAGCTTGTTCTTCGGAGCCTAACCTGGACGTGGACTGGATAGGTAGCGGAGGTCGGGGAGGGAAGACCTGAACCACTCGAGCGAAGTATCTACAAGAAGGTCTTAGCAAGCGAGTCAAAGAGAGAGTAAACGGTTTCGTACTTGTCTCCCTGTACATCTATGATCACTCCTAAGGATGAAAGTTAGATGGGTGTACTTGGGACAGGGAAATGAGACGTACTTTCGTCAGGATAGTATCTGTCTTTGAACCTCTCATACACGGCTTCTACGAGATGGTCTAGGCGACCCATTATCTCTGGAAGGATTGGAGCGCAAGTAACTGAGTATATGATGTTCATGGTATGGTAAAGACAAACTTACGCCACTGAACGGCCTTGAGTACTGCAGCCTTGAGAGGTTCTGGGAACCTAGAATGCATAGTCCGAGCTTCATGCTGTTCACTTTCGAGGGCCTCAAAATAGTCGAGTCCGCTCTTTCCAGTGACCTCGCATTGGAACTGTTTCATCCTATAGAATGACATCCGAGCAGCATAGGCTCTGTAGAATAGAATGGTCATTATGCTAGGATCAGAAAGTGGAAGCTAGGACAGGAGATGCGCACTCGTATGTCTCGAAGATCTCCCCAGTTTGGGCGAGGTAATAAACCTCTTTATTGGTTCCCGCCTGTAGAGCATCGAGAAGGGTCTGAGAGGGCTGGGTGAGCAGGACGCGCTTGCGCCTGCATGTGGGCATGGTGAGAGTGGGGGATAGATGAGCGGGACAGGAGGAGGAGGAGAAAGGACAAGGAGGAGAGGCGACGTGTGTGGAAGGCTTGTTGGATACGAAGGCCTGAAGCGGTTCCGCATTTTGCACCAGTGCGTCTCTGCCCGAGGGCAACCCTCAGCCGGACTGCAGCCACTCGTCCCTGCCGGCCATTTTTCGCACTCTCTCTTTCTCTCTCACTACCACCATCCTCTTTGCCACCTCACTCGTCGCTACATCCTCTCTCAGTTATAAAAACACAGGAAATAACACAAGCAGAGTCGCTTATACCATACTTATTACAGTAGTTCTCCTATGCTTAGATGGATGGTCGCATTCCCGCACCTGGTATGCTCTATTGCATATTGCTATCCCTCTGTATGTCTACTGGCCTCACAATGCTGCTTTCGCCTCCCGTAGCCATAGGGATACCATTTGTAACGCGTTTGCGCTGCTCTCGAAAGGAATTCATATATGGACAATTGAACTTGCAAGAACACCGATCATTGGCTCTGAACACTAGAAATTGACTTGTCAGAACGTAGCATTCGCAACTTGATTTATTTCGACTCGTACTCTGCTGGTGATTTTGCAGTTTCTCCTATGGTACTCTCGAAGATATCTGTACGCTCTGTTCACGTTGACACCACCTCCGAGTCCTACGAGGAGTACGTGTACTTGTTCTTCTCTTTCTGAGCTTATGACAATTCAAACACGTTGCAAATAATTTTCTTAGGCATTGTTTAATGACTTGTCCATCTACAAAGTAGTCTCTCTGAACCTGCATGCCGCCTGAGAACACGGGGCGGCAGGAGGACTGGAAGCAAGAGCCTGAAGGAGGATCGTGACATTCCAGCACGTGATCTTGACGCGTCGCGACGCGCCTCTTTCAGCCTCTTTCACTGCGTGTCGCAGTCTTAGAGCTTGATTGAAGATTCTGTGTTTAAACGTTTACAGGCTGCTGGAACAGTGGTCATAACATCATTAATATCGTGAAGTCGTTGTAGTAGCTACATTGTCTGTATATAGCGCAAAGGTCATTAGGGTATCAAACCGTCCAAGATATAGTGTACAAGGTATAAACTCATCTGGTGGTAGTACTGTGGAAAATACCATCAGAAATCAGACGTGCAAAAACGATTGAGCAGAACAGCCAAACGCACCATCTAGAAAACGCTCGGGAAATCAATCAATACTAACACGCTTATCCCTCGATCTTGTTGTAGGGACGTCCTTCTTCTTCCACTTCACCTCTTCCACTTCAAGACTCTTCGACTTGGACAGAGTCGCATCAGGTGTCCTCTTTCCTGGTGTACCCGATCGTGGAGGACTCGGTGTTCCACCCTCATCTTTCGGCCCCTTTGTCCTACCAAGCAGGCGTCCGAAGCCGGACCTAGTCTTTGCCTTCTCGTGCTTTGCATCCATAGCGTCGATCATGACGATGGCTTTGGCAGCGGCAGACATTGTCGCTGGAGCATTGCCACCTGTCGTCTTTGGCGTCCTCGAGCGCGATGACGGCACTTTCGAATCAGAACTGCTTCGTGTGTGAGGGGCAGGACGTCCATTGCTGGTGGGTGACTTTGAGCGACCACGGTCAGGGCTAGACTGTTTGCCTTTCCCCTTCGACTTCTCAGATCCCTCCACATTAACCATAACCCATCCCGAATCCAGCCTCTCACGAGCAGGTTTCTTCTCTTTACGGTCTCTGGGGGGTGAAGGGCGGGATTTGGGATCATGCTGAGGCAGGGTGCCCAATGCAGCCACTTCACTCTTGCGGAGAGCCTCTCCCGAAGGATGTACAGGCTTTGGGGACATGGAGGGTACATAGCCTTTCTGCTTGTCGGGGGATGGTTCGCCGTTGAGCGACATGGCGAAAGCACCGGCGAGCTCGTCAAGTTCTTGGCTGGGTTGCTCTCTTATGGTGGGTGGGAACATGGCGTGAGCTACGTCATCCTTGTCAGACTCGCGCTGCGACAGGTTGCGCGCTCCAGACGTGCTTCGCTCGTGTTCCATTTGCGGTATCATTTTGTCGGTACGCTCAGGATCCCTCCCAGTCCATGTAATTGGTACTTCGTGCGATTGTCTCTGCGTAAAAGAAGTAAATGCAGAGTCTCGGAATACGCCGGATGCTAAAAGCGGCGGAGTAGGTATGCGTGGCGCGTCTGTGGGTGGTGACTTGAGTGCCTCGTTAACATGTACATGTTGTTGCGGCTCTCCGTTGGCACGACCTGGGGAAGGCGTTTGAGGAGTAGGGGTGTTGCGAGAGGATACGTCCGCTGGAGGACTTGGCGAGGACTTGCTTTCAGATAAGCCTCGAGGTCTGGAAGCGTCCAATGGTCCAGATGATGAATGATGCTTGCTCTCGTTTGATGTCCGTCTCGGGAACACAGGGTATGGAGAGTCGAAAGCCATGCTAAAGGGATTGTGCTCCTGCTGTGGCAGGGTGCCGTTCTGACGACCATCGGCGGTATAGAACACATCCGGAGTACGCTGAAAGTCCATCATAGACTGTCGTATTCCGGTACCCACACCAGTCATGTCGCAGCTTCCGACACTGCTAGGCGCTACCCGAGGTGATTGCTCTGGGGAACTGATTGAATTTGGATATTCTGGTACCGGCGCAGCAGGTATTGTGTTCTTTCCCGTGGTTCTGCGCAACAGTCCTGTCGCTTTACCGAAGCTGAAAGCCGAATGTTTGAGAGGTGAAGAGAGCATTGGTGTCGTATCGCTGACACTGCGAGTGTGGTACGTGACTCCATTCCCTATCAGAGGGCTGGGACCAGGTGGAATTGGAGGTGACCTGCCCGTTGGAGCGACCCATGCACCAGCTGGGAGCGTAGAGACCAGGCCTGTCTGAGGAGAAATCTCCCTTTTCAATTCAACATTGGATCCATAGGGATTTGTGAGAGGATAGTCAGGATGCAGACTGTCGGGAACTTGCAACCCAGTGAATATCCACAAATCCCTGCCGCGAACACGTTTCGTGAGGGAGAGGGACGTAACCAATGTGAAACCGTAATGATCAAGAGCAGTGAGGAGGTCAAGTATGAGCTTCAGAGAATCAGCCGGGAATCTGTCCTCCTGGTACCCTGTGAATATCCTGCTTGAGCCCAACGAAGACATGACTGTTGAACGATGGAGACATACACTTGTATCCTTTCAGCTTGAACTCATAAGTGGCATCACCCACTTTGTTCTCGGATTCGACACCCCGTGGCCATGTTCCCCGGACTGCCTGCAGAACTGCAGGTGTCAATTGTAATGGAGGACCTACGACCCGCAACGCCGTAGGAGTCGCAAAAGAGACGGCAAAAGGCGTACGAGGAGGTGTGTTCAAAGACACAGCAGAGGCATTAGGCAATGCTGCGGTCGACGCAGTGGGAGGTTGAATGGTGGTGGGTTTGGAAAATGTCATTGCAATACGATCTTCCGGCTCTCTGCCATAGTCAATGGTCGCAAGAAACGTGTATCCATGATGAAGAATGACCGTCAGAATGTCGACGATAAGTTTCTCCGTCTTGATGCTCTTTGGATTAACCCATGGCTTCCCGAAGAGTTCAAATTCATAAAAGTGCTTGGGTGCGTGCTCGCGTATACCAGCGATCAGACTGTGCTGATCAAAGAGACGATGTAGGGCGGAGAATACTGGCGGAGGAAAGCTAAATAGTCTGACCAGACTGGAACCGGAAAGCGTAAGAAGAGAAAAAGCCGATTGGACTCGGTGGTCTTTGATAAACTCCTTGCGAGGGATAAAATTGGGATCGGCATTTGTCAAGGAGCCTACCGTAATGGATGGTGAGCTAGGCTGTTTGAGAGGAGCTGGTTGTGCCATGATTGTTGTGCGCACATCGCGAGTTGGAGACTATGAACCTCGCACGGACTGGCCATTGGAGCCACGCCCAGCTGTCATGTCTACCCCACCACGTGTCCAACCTAAATGAGGAAACCAAGAACGAGGCTTATGACTTATGATTCTTGCAGACTCTGGTCGGAAACGAACAAGGTGCCTGAACAAAACGACGTCCATAGTCGATGCGTCCACGTTGACAGTTGAGAGCAAGGTGGTGAAATGTTTCCAAAGCACACAAACACACCTACCCGATTAAGCGACGATCGATCGCAATCCCGTCACAACAGGCACTGAGCACAAGCGAGAAGAGGCATTTGAAGAAAGTAGAGAAGTATGTAAAAGTATATATACTCGAGTATCGTAACAGGTGCGAGGACACTCATCTATTTGATTCAACATTCGTAGGTTTACCGATAAGATTATTACCGGTTGAAAGTCGGAAGAATCACTATGGATACAGGTACCAGATTTCGTAGGTTTGCGACATAGAGTCCAGCACCTGGGAAACGAGGCGGTACATGAAGAGGAAGATTGTATACGCGTATCCCTGAATAGAGAATCCTGTCGTATGACCCTTCTATCGGTTCAAGATAAGTAGTCTATTTAGTCATTCTACAACACTCACCCTGCACGTAGCATACTAGTGGCAGATTGACTATTGATTGCTGCGAAGCACCAAAAGGCGATGGTTGCGTTAGAAGAGTGATTCCATGTACTCCACTGTTTCATGTCCGAATGCCAACAGTACTTTGGCACTGAAGCAATGGCTTGCCATGAAGTGACCCCGAGGCGGCCCGGGCCTCCATTAAAGGACATTATGCACCGGGCCGCATGCAATCCTAGGCACTCCTGATCACTATCGAGTCTCGACATCCTCTACTTATACCGAATCATCCGAGGTTACAGAATGCATCCCCCGGGCCTCCTACTTATATTACGCCCAGCAAGACCAACAGGGAAACACAGACGAACATGTCTGACGAAAAGAAACTCAATGTCTTGATGTGTATGTACTTGTTTCAATTGAATAGTGGGTGCCACTCATTCTTCTATTATAATTGACAGGTGGAACTGTCAGTAAAATCGACACTGGTCCTAAAAGACAACCTGCGTCGACTAACATTGACTCCTGGTGTAGGGAGAATATACTACAGGATGGACAGGATCTGGCGCCTCCAAGTCAGACAAGAAGGTATGCCGCAAATTCCACAAATACTTCGAAGTGCATCATACTCACTTTATTGTTTCCACTTGTTCAGATAGGAGTATGTTCCCACTGATACACCTGTATACGAATAAATTGACATCGTAACAGGTTGTCGGACTAACCCTCTTCGACCTACGGAGATTGGGCAAGGTACGCTTCTCATACGTGTGACTAGTTGTCCGACTCACGAAATGTGGTTTAGGTTGATCACCTCAGTATGGTTGGAACCAATGGCTCGAAATTTCCTGCCATCCGCCAACATCTCCAGGAGAATATCGTCAATGTGTACAAGGACATGGACATTGCGTATGTTGGTTTGTCCCGTCCCTCTGGTAATATACATCCTCATTTTTGTAATAGGTTTGATGCCTACCCTGAGGGTGATCAAATCAATGGAGAAGCCTGTAGGTTTCTATTTTTCCATACGTCAGGATTTCTTCCAATCGTGTGCCACAGACAAGGATGCTATCAACAAGTTATCTCCAGGAGATGCAGTCATTATATTCACTCCAGACAGTATGTATCAGCTATTCTTACCTAGTAAGCTCATCAATAATCTAGTCCCTGGTGCTTTGCGCAGGCACGCATTATCGTATCGCTCTTTATGCTATCGAGCGCGGCCTACACGTACTAGTCACCAAACCAGCAACTCAACTCCTAATACACCACCTCGATCTCGTGGAGGCAGCCAAAAAGCACAACGTCGTCTGCTTTGTCGAGCATCATAAGAGGTCCTTTCCTATCCAATGGTTCCTTCCGGCGTCGAAAGCTGATCAATGGTTCTCTGAATTATCTTCTAGGTTCGATCCTGTATACAGCGACGCTAAGGCTCGTGCAGCTTCCTTGGGCGAGTTCAACTTCTACAGCGCATGGATGAGCCAGCCTAAGAGTCAACTGGAGACATTCCGTGCATGGGCCGGCAAGGATTCAGACATCAGGTAAGAAACGTACTTCAAAACTTACCAACTGTTTGCTGACACAGTCGCGAATAGTTACTACCTCTCGTCACATCACATTGATATCCACTGCTGGATTATGCAAGGGAAGGCCGTCCCAACTCGAGTCGTTGCGAGTGCTGCAACTGGTATTGCCATCAGCGAACCCTACAACTGTGTTCCTCAAACAGAGGATACGATCACGTTGCTCGTTGATTGGGAATCCCTCAGCAGTTCCAAGCACCGTGGAACGGCTGTTTACACCGCTTCGTGGACGGCCCCTCTGAAAGCTGGTGTCCACTCTGCACAACACTGGTATTATATGGCTGAAAAGGTGCAGCAATAATTGAATTATGCTTAGCCCCGCGCAAGCCTGACTGTCCGCCTACTTTCGGATAGGGCGAGATTAACGTTGACCAAGCGCACCGAGGCTACGATATCGTTGCCGACGACACCGGAAAGACCTGGTACAACCCTTTCTAGTGAGTCACATCCTGACCATTTCTTGTACATTCTAATCAACTGATAACGCATTGCTACAGCATGAAGTACTCTCCCTCCGAGAGCGGACATTTCGATGGTCAACGAGGCTATGGCTATATTTCGATCGAGAAATTCGTCGACGCTGCCAGGAGCGTTAATGCAGGACTCACACAACCTGCTGATTACGACAAGCACGGACTCCCGACTATCGCGAACACCGTTCTCACCACCGCCATACTCAACGCGGGCCGAATCTCCTTGGACGAGAAGAGAGCTGTGTTCATCAAGCAAAGCGATAATCAGTGGCTGTTAGAGTAGGGTCTTGGCCCTTCTCGTTGGTAGCTGGTTCGTGAGATTGTGACATCGATGAAGGAGGTCTAGTATGTGTATGATGAGATTGTTGGTGCCGGGGATAGTGTCAGGCAGCCGAACGCTCATAAGTCTTCAACGATGTACGTACATACATAGTTGCTCAAGCGAGATACACGCTGTGTTTTTCTTGGTATCGGAATTTGCGTCTTGTGGATGTCGGAACGGTCCTTCATCGGGCACTGCGTATAGTGTGTTGAATGTAGTCCCGCGAGAGACAACAACAGTCTTAATTCCGGTACGAGTCACACAAAGTCGTACAAGCGATGTCTATGCATAGAATGATCAATTATCGCGTGATTAGACCTTTACCTTTCTCGAAAACCCTTCTACGAACAGTCCGGGGAACAAGAATCAGTGACTGAAGTCAAGCGGTATTATGGCGCAGTGATTAAATCAACTTCTCTGGTCAGGTCTGCGGAAGTGAGTATTCAGGATCTCACGTCCTGCTCCACATGGGATCCAAGATGGATGTGATGCAATTCACTACGTACCTAGTCTACGACTGTGAGCGCACTTGGATGCGTACTTGAATAGAACCGCCGATGGTGACTTTGTATTCGGATGCTTCTCCGAGGGACTTAGCAACATAGAAGGATCTGTAGAACACCGTTCAAAACATCTGACGGCGTTACAAGCTTACCGATGTCAAAGTCAGTGCCCACAGACGCATGCAACAAAACGGTAAAGGACGTCCCGGCGCCGTGGTATCAGTGTAATGCTTGAAGGTTCTTGTCTTCTAGCTTCGGACGTGAGTAAATGCATGGTTCGTATTTGAAGGTGGTAAGCGAAGAGTCGGGAGACAACGGGTTGTTTGCAACGATAGCATATGGACAATACGAAGGTCTCACCCTACATGTCAGACGGATTCACACCGGAGAAAGGCTTTGTCTCTGTTGTAACAAAGAATGGAAGTGGCGTTCTCCAACCTTAAGCATAGCAGCCGATGACGTACGGCCCTCGATAAACCTGCCGGCTACCGTGCAGGGACATAAACAGGGTAGGCCTGCCATATCAATGATGGTTGTCGACGCCGTAGATCAAGCCCGACCACGACTTAGTATTATTGTTCAAGCCCCAAAGAATGATTTGAGAATAAAATTCAGGCACAAGTCTTCCTGTCAGGTGCAAAGGTTAGTTAACGTACCTGTGAATATGCCACAAGGTGGAGGGTACGGACTCCAACGATGCTGTGAGCAAGTTCTAGAACATACGGCTTGTGACCTCTTGGGCGCGACTTGGTTTGGTGGGATCCGGAGCTGATCTTCTCAGCATATCCCCGCAAGATGGCTCTCAGAAGTCACTGAGTATGTGAGACCAAAGGAGGTCTGAGAATCAAACTCAAGAGGACTGAAGTGGAGCAAAACCTAGTCAGACGCGGTCACGTGAGGAATTGATATCGACGCGCCCCGACGCGTCGAGCCAAGACAGTCCGCTGTCCGGCTGGAGATGTACACCAGCTAGAGCCCGAGTATCTCGGAAGATATTAGGATCTCGACAACCCCTAAGTATTCCGGAAAGAAAGTACCCAAAAGCCTGAATCTTGTTTCAAGAGTCACCGCAGCATTCGCATCTTGCATATTATTGCACTCATGGCGGTTAGAACGTTCGCGACAGCCTGGACACGATCTTCGGGTAGATGTCACACAATGACGCGAATCCTGAAGCTCAGACATCTTGAAGAACCCGGTCTTGTGCTTGAGGTTGACAAAGAACACTCCTGAGTCCGATTCCGGGGCTTGTGCTTCCAATAATCTGATATTGCGATTCACAAATGAGGCGACTCGGCAAGAGTAGACAAATGTGCGAGACGAAGGTGCCCTTCAGGCGTTCTTGCGAAGTGAGAGACAGTGAGGCGATGGATATGAGACGACAGAAGAGGGGGATGGTAGCAACATTGACGAGAAGTTGTGAAGTTGGAAATGAAATGCGTGCGGATGAGGATGTGATGATGCTTGATGAAACAAAAATAAAAAAGTGGAGGTAAGGAAGAGGAAAAAGAATGTACAATAAAAGTGAAGAATAAGATATAAAAGAACGCGACCGGATTTAAAGGTGAATTGAATATACACGGCGGAATCTGTCGAATCTCATCGCATAAAGCGACTCGGAGGGAAAAGTTGGTAGCGACGGGATGCATAGAGTAACAGACGAGGAATGAATGTGTTGACAAATGTTCGGTGGATGAGCCAAGACACAGTGAGGTCCAACAACGGATGGCGGAAGTGGAATGGAACCGATCCGTATGGTTTTACAACATTGCTTGATACATTGAAGCGCAATGCGATTGAGTTTCTTCCGACACCCCTAACTTGCGTGGTGCGCTTGAATGTCATCCACGTGCTTTGTCAATGATGCTGGTATGGAGACGAGAAGAGAGAATTGCGAGAGAGGTGGATGCATGATGTTGATGATGATGATGAATGTTGAAGTTGAATTTGCAGAAACAGTTGTATGCGATGAAGCCGATGCGGACGACGTGTACGCTATGGTGATACATTTTGCGAGTTCTTGAACTAGTGCACCGGACAACGGGAGACCTTTTACAACCTATGACACCAGATGTGCGGACAGAAAGAACAGTTGAGGGATGACAGACGAGAGTCCGCAATAGGGGGTGGGACTAGCTCATGAGACTATGGCCGTTGGCCGCGGGGAAACCATATTCAAGCTGTGTAATGCTGGACGCCCAAAGGACACGAAGTCATGGGGGAGATATTGCTCGTGAGTCGGATCAACGTTGTGCTTATTGATAACAGGCTCGAACGTCGGAGATGATGGACAATTCTCCTTGTCGTCAGACATATGCGAACTTGAGAAGAACTCGCTTGAAAAGATCGGGCTGGTAGGGGTGGCGGGCATATCGTCCGATAGGTCTGACGCCGTTGTTGAGACACTCATTGGAGTGCTAACCTTCGACGAGTACGTGCGGACGGGGGTCATCGGCAAGGTAGCCATCGTTTGATGCTCGAAGCGGCCACCCTCCAAGTAGTACTGCACTACGAATGTCGCGGCCTTGGAGTAGAACGCATATGAGTACTTCTTGACGAGTGTCTCTGACAAGTCATTGACATGCTTGGCCAAGCGATTGTCCAGATGCTCGACAATTTCAAGGCATTCTGCGGTCTCCTCGAATACGCGCCGACCCTTGCCGCACAGGTAGCGTGCCAATGTAAGTGCGCCTAGAGCGATGGAGGATGGAGGGTACTGGACGAACTCCCTGTAGAAGAGAGTGATCTCCATTAGAAACCGAGCGACATGTTGCACCTTCATTTCTTCAACAAGAGGGCCACAGCATATCATGCGCAGCCATGCTTCTGCGGTGGGATGGCCAAGGGTCCACTGGATGGTAGCCAAGACATGACCTTCCATCTGGATGAAAGCGGACTCGTCGTATGTCTCGCGACAGATCTGGGCGAGGTCTTGCACAGTAGGTACACGCTCCTTCGCGTCTTCGAACTTGGCAGCGATCCAAAGAGCAGCGCAACCGACAAGTTGATAGTGCTTGACGTACACGATACGGCGGGACACATATCGATCGATGATGTTCAATGTGAGATAGAGCGTTTCTGGCCGGAGGCGAAACGTAAAGTGAATCTCTACTAAAAAATCAACCAGACAGGGACGCATATGCCACCCGATTTCGGGCTGTTGATCCATCGACGTTGTTGAAGACATAGTAAACCGCTATCGATGCTCGTTGAGCAAACGGGTAAGGAGATTATCGCAGTAGGCGCTTACCTCCATCTCGTGCATGTAGAATCGGATCTCTTCACGATACTCCTCTTCTAGGTAGACCCCTTCTCTACGTAGGGCTTGGATTTGAGCCTCGCGCTGTCGTTGGGTGAGCAGATCGGCACGTGCCGCACGAGGGGACTTGCGGACGACGAGATGAGGGGGATAGAGTGGTGATTGTTTGCGGGACTTTGAGACGCCATAGGGGGATGGACGTTTCTTGGGGTAGGCGGCGGGACGGGGAGGTCTGGTAGAATTTGAGACGTCCTTCATGTCGACAATAGGTAAACCAACCGCTGGGGATGGGGACTGCGAGATCAACTGAGTCCTACAAGGCAACTGTGCGTTAGTATCTGTAGTACATGGGGAAGAAGGTGTCTCCATCTCGCAGGGTGCGCTGCACATGCACAATCGCGGCCGCCAACTTTACAAAGCTCCAGTACCACGCTAGGTGGGTAGAGTTGTTGAAAGAGATGGGCGTGGAGGGGAGAGTCTCAGACGACCAACCGTCCCCCTTTGAGAAGCAGAGAGCGATTGAAAGACCGCTGCTTCGAAACAGCATGAACAACTGGCGGGCAAGGCCAACGGGGCGCACGACAACATGGCGGCCACGAGAGCGGGCGGGCGGGCGATCGCCTCACCGGCACCGGCCGCGACGGCGGGAAGGTGGTTCTCTGACGAGTGACTTCTGAGGAAGAGTGATGGCAAAGAAGAGGGACTTACGGATGACCAAACTAGGTGCATACGATGGAAGAAGACACAAAGAGTTTGTGGGTGGCGGGGCGAGATGAGGCGTACTTCAGCGTACTGAAGAGGCTTGGAAGGGAAGGGGAACGCTGTAGGGGGAAAGAAGAATTGTGATCAGCGTTCAACGTCGTTATCGGAGGAGAAGAGGGAAGGCGGGAGACGATGAGGACGTAAAAGACGACGAAGAGGAGAAACGGACGTGAAGACAAGACAAGAGGCCTGTGACCTAATTGGATATAAAGGATCCGGGCGAGCGGAGGCGCGGGGCGCGAAAGGAAGTAGGGGGTAATAGGCGAAAAACAAGACAAATCCAATCGAGGAGATGTGAATGGTGCATGCAGGCAGTGTGAAAGTCAATCCTAGCTAGAACTACTCCCGAACAATAATCCGGGTGGGCATCGATGTCGATGATATCAACGACAAATCACCCTCCAACAGCCACCCATCCCCCATACTATCGAACGTCTTCGAACGTCTTTCAGCGCGCATAAACCGTGAATCAACTATAGCGCGTCGCAACCCATCGCAGCCATCGCACGGAAAATCACCGTCGGCCGCCCAGAACGACCATCTGATGCCTCGTGCACTAACCTCGATGCTCGGTGGGTCCGTGTCGTTGCTCAGATCGTCAAGGTCATGACATGAGGGAGAAGGGGGAACAAGGAGCAGGAGAGAAAGGGGGAAAGACAAGCCAGACGGCGACAAACTCAACAAAGATAAGCGAAGGAAAGGCTGGAATACACTAATCACAGGAGGTTCCTGCAATAATCAAATACGAGCGACTAAACCCGGAAGACCTTACGAGCTGGATATATTGTCTCATCATTGCCTCTGACGTTCACCGTGAACCCGGACTGATTAAGTGCTGCAGTCTAGGGACTACGTCGGCGACTGTACGGCGCCGCCAATGAGGCTCATCGATGGGCGCAACGACCCCACAAGCTACTGAAGAAAAGCAAAAGAAAATGGACCATAAAAAGGCGTGAGAGAGAACATGCGCGAGATTGCAGCGTGGATCAGAAACGGGTGCTGTACTCGCAACCTCGAGAAGCGCTCAGGAAACGTTGAGTATCAAGTCGCCATTTCCGAAAAAGGCCAATATACGCCGACACGTTTCACGACTCCGCCTGCCCGCAGTGACGTAGGAGAAGGCTTACCTTGTGCAGTTCAGTCTTTCTGCTGGTCCAATCTACTAACCCCTGTCAGCGCCCCCTCATATACTCGCCCGACCACGCCACTGACTCACCGAACTCCTCGCACACGATGGCCTAGATAACACTGGTCACATTTTTATTAGTTCTTCCCGTACATTTCTTCCTGTACCGCCGAGCAGTGGCACTCACCGAAACAGAAACACTTCAGTACTGAGTCACCAATAGGGGTAGGGACCGGAGGGATTAGTTGCGAACCTTGGGTGTATTACTTTACTTGCTGACTGGAATACCGAATAACGACTGCGACGAGACCGAGAGAGAAAGCGAACGGGAGACTAAACGAGGGACTTCGGGCGATAGAACGCCACTTTTTCTATTAGATGATGTTGACCTGGTGCAGGCGGTTGAATAGATGAGGTGAGGAAGGGCACCACTCGATAGACAAATCAAGGGTGATCCAGCTGAGAGCTCTGATACAAGACGCAGTTACGGCTGGTCTCGACCCTGTGAGCAAGCCAAGTCCAAGCAACGGCGTGCTTGAAGATAGACCTTCTGCAGAACGAGCAACCAGCAATTAGAGAGGGGAGGGGAGACACGCGCAGGCTGATGCCGACACTCTGGCTTTCAAGGCAAGAAGATGGCGGACAACTGGCACGGCGAGCTCGAGTCGACTGCAACGCACAGAGGGCGTGTACGCTTATTCTTTCGCGATACTGTCTCTAATACACAAGGCTTCCCGCGTATCCGCCGCCTATTGGCTGCGCCTGTCTCCATCTCCTGAACACAGATGCGTGAACATGGGCACGTTTTTGCCTGCAGGCACTTCGAACACCGAGATCCGCTCCTCATATGGTCATTTTATGTAACCTATAGCCTTTCTGGACAAATAGAGCACACAGCAATATCTTCCTCCTCGCACTTCTGGAATCTACTCCGTTCTAACGCTCACTTTGATTGACATGCTCGACGTTCAATCCTTCGCCAAGCGTTGTCTGATTAAATTTCAGCTCTTGAAGAGCAATCCCTCGTCCTGCTCATTAACATCCCACCCCACCTGCACAAGTGCGGTGGGATCATGGGTGCACACGACGTCCAAATTCTTGATGGCATGCTCAGGTACTCGACCCCACAAAGATACCAGATTGCATCCGAATCTGCAAGAGACGCTCTTCCCGTGAGACCTCTGGAACCGCAGGACCGGCATCTCATTGACACCTATTGACATAAGTACATTCCAGCGCTATGTATACGCCTATCTTTCAGCGAGACATGTACCAGTATAGAATACCTTCCAACTCACCAGAACGCTCAGACGACATATATGCCATCATCTGTCTTCGCCAGTGGCGCATCTGAGGTGTAGTTTAACATGAATTATGCCGTACTCCCTGTTATCACCTCGCTGTACAGGACATGAGTCCGAAATCAACCGGAACCAAGCCATCTCACGCTGGTGAGCAGTTAGGCTTTCATCACTAGCGATGAGACCAATTGGGCCCCACAAACCGACTAAAGTGCGAACCCCCAGTGCCCCAAGGTCAGACGCAGACATCGTAACAAATATTAGTAAAATTGACGTACTGAACCGTTCTCGTCTTGACGTGTGGAATCTGATATTATTCCCTGGTGCACACTCAGGAGACTCAATGGACCTGTCAGTTCTCAAGTAGTCAGCCAGTGAACCAAAAGCAAACCATCTGCGTCGGCTACGAAACAATGTGCAATGAATCTTCTCAACCTCACCGCTAAGACAAGGCCATCCGTATCAGTAGAACAGAAGGACCGTCGGTCAGCAGACAAGTAATAATTAAATCCGCTTAATACGTACGTTGATGATTATCACCTGGATGCGAGATAATCCCTGCATATGGAGAGCATTGACCAGCCTGAGAAACCCGCTCAAAGAACGCTCAGATACCCTGCCACTGGGAATGAAACTTGGCCTTGTTTTAGCCCAGTGTATCCCAGGTTGGCAAGTACAAAGGCGGCACCGAAGAAGCCGAAAGCGAGATCATGGAAGGGACCAGGGTGAAGTGCATTAGAAGTGAGAACACCGCAGAGGTGGTTCTTGCACGTCGAACGTTTTGAAATCATTTGTCTCCATCGCGAACGATGTAGTATAAAGTATAACAGCGTGGCTTCCAAGGCATTGATAAAGGCTTCTGCATAAGAAGCATCGTAGTGAACATAAGACGGCGGGAGTGTACTGATTGAGACCTTACGGAGTAGCAGGGAAACAATTGGAGATGGGTGCAGTTGAGGGAAGTCAAGAAGTTGATGCTGAAATAAAATGAAGCTAAAAGGATCATCGCAGCTCTAGACATAGGTGCTCAAACATTCAAGCCTCGGCATTGTGCTTCGCCGGGCTTTAAAGAGGCTTCGCAATTCAAAGCCTCTGAACCTGTGGCGCCGGAATGAGCCATTGGTATCGATGCCCCCGTTGCCAAAGCATCTGCCAGACGTTCCTGCACTCTAGTCCACCATTAGACCAGGGCTAGGTGCAAGTTATCTGTCATGCTGTATATACTACAAATTAGCTATGCTTCACGGACCACGACCAATTCAGTACTACTTTGTCAGACGTACTTCACAAGCAGGGACCGACTAGACATGGGATGGTGGCGACGGGATCCGGTAACTGAGCCGGATGAGCTCATAGAGAAGAACAACGCTGGACACTGAACAGGGAAGACAAAGGGATGGGATCACTGGCGAGCATGTGCACGCGAAGTCGGAAGTTATAGAAGACAGCCGTGCGGATATTTAAGTAGCTCAATTGTGTATGCCGTGTATACAGCTTCAAGAGCAAAGAACGGAGATGCGGTCATTCAGCCAGGCGAAAAAGGTATGATCAGTTGGCACCTGAATCAGTGCCGGAGTCCAGCAACCAGCTACGGACGTCGATGAGGTTGTTGAGACACCTCCAAACTTCGAAATGGCTCGTTCCCAAACAACGCCGGGACCCCGAACATACCCGATCGATCGACTGATGGCCAAACTAAGTAAGAACGGTGGACAAGCAAAGTGCAACAACTTCGTCAAGGAACGGCGCATGGACATCACAGCGAAATTATGGAACGAGATCGTATATGGGTGTCTTAGAATACATGAATGAAGAATGCTGCATGCTTCAGAAGAGCCAAAGAAATGGTACCGTCGAGCGGATTCAGATGTATGCGAGCGAAAATGGAAAAAGGCCAGTATCAACGCGTCAAGAAAAAAGGAATTAGAATATTGAACATGATAAACTTGAAATGAAAGGCGAAAAGATGCGGTATTTATACGAGTCCCTGTAAAACAATTTCTTTAGTCGCGATGACCACCCATCAAGAGCGCCATCAAGTCTTGAGCTCCCTGTGCATTACCTCCTCCCAGACCATGTTGCTGCTGCAAATGGGGAGGAAGCATCTGCTGCATCATATGCGGTGGAAGGTGCTGCTGTTGTTGCGGCGGCTGCCTCATACCCATAGGAGGCATCTGCGAGCCGGGTCCATGTTGAGGATTGAACCCACCTCCTCCACGAATGCCACCACCCAAACCAGCACCTCCTCCGAGACCTGCACCACCCATGCCCAGCAATTGAGCCTGGCTGACTCCGCGAAGGTCGACACCGTTTCCGGGACCAAGACCCGCCAACTGGTTAAGCTGGTTAAGCGGAATTTGGTTTTGATGATGAGGACCGGGCATTGGTCCTCGACCGGGCACGTTGCCGCCAAATCCAGGTCCGCCTCCGTTGAAGTTGTTGAAGTTCTGCGCGGGAGGATTAGGGGGCAGACCTCCAGGAATACCACCACCAGGGATACCCATGGGTGCGTTGATATACTGGTTTGGGTCGTGGGGAGGACGGCCGCCAAGGTTGGCCAACCCCGGAGGCAAGCGCTGAGATGAACCAGGGATTGGATTCTGGCTTGGAGAAGGATTCCCGCGGAATTGCTGTTGCTGTACCTGGATGCCTGCATTTCGACCCATTCCATACGCGGGTCCGGGATACATCTGTTCCACATTCCGGTGTTGCTGGGGAATACGCTGAGGATTGAAATGCAACGATTCTTCCAGCGGGTCGTTATAGAGAGCGCCTGAAGGCTCCCTGCTACGTGGACGAGGAGCTGGTCTCAGTCCAGGCACCATGCCGTCGGGAACAAAATTCCGATCGTCCAGCCGGCTGTCATACAAAGAATCGAGGCGTTGGTTGAACTGTTGCTGCTGCTGAAGCTGTTGCAGCTGGAGGGTATGAATATCAACAATGTTCTGTCCATATTGCCCGCCACCAGGAGCCATTCTGCCCTGCTGTTGAATCTGAGGAGATGCACGATGTCCCTGCTAATGACACGAAATTTAATGAGCCTGACCAATACAATCCCAGAAGTAATCAGAACCGACCTGCGCTGAGCTTTGCAGCATTGCAAAGATGTCTTCCATGGTCCTGTTCTCACCGTTGTTCGCCAACAACCCGTTGGAGACTAGAGGATCTTGACGTTGGCCAGGCAGTGGCGATATTGACGGTCCAAATCCAGGAGTTGGTCCCTTTCGAGATGGAGGTATACCCTGTGGCTGATCCCTCGACTTTCCATCAAAGAATTTCGCAAAGCGACTCCCCTTCCCGGCAGCATAGGTCGCACCAGCCAGACCACCAAGGTCATAAGGCGGCCCATTGGTCGGGAAATTGGAAGCTGGACTATTCAGGTCAGAGTAGGGCGACCCGCTTTCGGATCCAAGAGCATAGGGCCGCTCAACAGACGAAACCACTGATGTGCGTCGCACATGCTCTGATCCTTGTCCAAGTCTGGAGAGCTCCTGGATCTCTTCATAAGCATAAGCGTTTGAAGGTTGGCCGAAAGGTGAGAAGCTTCGTGTCGAGCGTCCGGCATCAGAGGGCGTGGCTCTTGGGTTCGATGTAAACTGGGAGTCATTAATTGAGTTCATTAGAAGATCTGCGTTTGACGTTAAACCGATGTGCCCTACTGGTAGGCCAGCACCAGGCAGTTTCTGAACGTTCGATAGACCAGCAGCCATGGGCCCAGACGGATTGAAAGCGGATTCGAGACCAACTGGATTCTTGGTGAATTGGGCATTCGAGGGAGAAGCCACTGACGATGCGCGGGCGGCGAAAGCTAATAAACGGGACCCAGCGGGAGGATTGAACAACGTTGAGGAGGTATTCGCAGAAGGCGCTTGCGTGTCAGTAGATTGAGCTACAGACGACGTAGGGTTTGCAAACAGACGAGACACGGCAGGTGGCGGCATATCACCCTTGCTTTCACTTCCGAGTAAAGCAGTCTTCTGTCCGCTCGCGGTATCAGAGGGTGATATGAGAGGTAGAAGGGAACGTGGTGCGTCAGATGCAGTTGGAGGCTTTGCAAGTTGAACATCAGGCGGTGGCGGGAGAGGCGATTGCCTAGGAGGTTGAGTAAGTGTCCCTGTCGCGGTTGAAGTAGCTCCTGTTAAAGGTATCAGCGTAACGAATATCATAAGTAAAGGCGACTACAGACCTAGGCCAGCATGATGTGGTGAGCCACCTTGCTGCAGGCGAGGTGTTGACTCTAAAGGTGACCCGGTCTCTCCACTGCGGGCTTGCCCAGCGTCCTTTGTGTCTGCTGCCCTCTTCATCATCAACCTAAACAATTGAATCTCGTCGAGCTGACTTTCAGGTGCGGAAGCTGGGGGAGAAGACACATTGGAAGAGAGTTCTGGCGTCTTGGTATCGGATTTGTTGGCTGTCTCGAGCGCTGTCTCTTTTTCTTTACGTTCTTTTTCCTTCATCCCTTTCTTCCAAGCTTGGATACCATCCAATTCGCCATCAGCTCCTTGTCCGCCAAGGATACCACCGCCGGGAGTAGTTGGAACATACGTCTCCATCCAGGCTGGCTCTTTCTCTTTTTCCTTGTCCCGACGGTCTTCTCTCTCCCTTCCATCATCTCCTGGTCTTCTGTCACGCCCACCATTGCGCCTTGCACGTCCATCGCGGTCCTCAACTCGATCTTGAGATGGCTCCCATCGATCCCATCCTCGTTGCCCCTCTCCACGGTCTCGTCGAGCACCAATTCTCTCGTCACGCTTCCCATCGTCTCGCCATCGCCTGGGGTCGTCGTCTGTATCCCGTTCCTTGTCGAGAGGACGGCTGGACTCATGCCTATCTCGACCGTCACGATAGGTTTCATCTCGATCGGGAACATAATGGTCATCCCAGTCGCGACGGAAGTAGTCATCACGGTCCCGACGTCCGAAATCGTCCTTCTCACCTCGACGACGGTCATCTCGATCGTCACCCCGACGGTCTCGAACGATGTCTCTGTCCCTGTCCCTGTCCCTGTCATCTCGGTCACGATCACGTCTGGTAGACGATACGTCGCGTCGCGACCGAGATTTGGACCGTGCCCTTTCACGGTTGTCGCGGTCTCGACGACCATTGTCAGTACCTGAGAAGTCATTAATCCACAAGATTAGCTAGCCAGACCAGTTGCACTTACGATCATCGCGACCTGCTCTGGAAGGATCACCTACAGAAGGGCGGCGTTAGACCTAATCAGTGACTCGAATATGTAGAATTACCTCTTCGCCAATCATCACCATTCTCGCTAATCTTCCGCTTCGATGCGTCTCTGCCTTCAGTTCTCCTGGTTGCAGCCGTACTTTGATTTTGACCTAATCGCAAGGCAGAGCTGGATGAGAGATGAGGAGCGGAATCCCTGTCCTTGGTCCGCAAGGTAGATCCTGCCAATGCGAGACGGTCACGGTCGTACTTATCAGAGAGCTGACAGTTGAGCAAGTACTATAAGCGATCCAGCGCACACTACATGAGTGACAGTTGAAACGTACATTTCGCAATCTCTCCTGTCCTTCCTTGTCTCTATCTCTGTCTCTGTCGGTATCGCGGTCTCTTTCACGATCTGTGGTGCGAATGGATTGATGCCTAAAATTGCCCATTTGAGACGGTTGCGATAACGTCGAGCGGAAAGAAGGTCTTGGCGGAGCATCTATCCGTAGAAAAAGGATGAGTAAGGGCTAAAGGCACGATAGGCAGAAGGACTATGCTTCGCACCAGTATCCTCGGGATCCCGTCTGAATCTATATTGATAAACTGAGCTACGCAAACAAGGTACATTGCAACAACAACTCACCGTCTGTCCCTCTGGTTGCTTGCCGTTCCAGAAGAATCCGCCTCCTTCTTAGTTGAAGTTTGTTGTTCATGCCAGTCTCTGAATGCATTGCTCAGCAAACCATCGTCATGCTTCGTGACAAAAGCTCTCACCCAAACCAGTCCTTGAAGGGGGGCAGGTCATCCGGCGTTTTCACGAGCGGTGATTTCGACAAGGACAAGAGTTGAGACCGAGTGTAGACGTATAACCTTCGCAGTGGCGTTCCTTCAGGCTTGTCAGCTGTGTCTTCCACCGGATCTGCGTGCTGTTCCAAAGTGGATTTTTCTAGGGAATCCGCAAGAGCGTCGACAGAGGCATTTTTGGATGATGTAAGAGGGGATTCGGGTGGGTTTTGAGTTCCAGAGTCTATAGTTGCCATGCCCCCAGTAGATGTAGTTATACGACAGGCAGAGTGCTGTAGACGCCTGCCGTGGCAGACACTAGAACGTCTTAGACGCGCGGGCACTAAAAGCGGTGTTTCTTGCTAGGGATGCTCTTGTCCTTATTCATTGGCTGTTTCGAAACAAACTTGCCTGCCCAAACATACGTACATGGAATGAGCCAGTTGACTCTCAAGCACTTTATCCTGCAGCAACAAGTACTCAAGTTGTACCGCCAAGCTATTCGCGCCACCCGAGGTCACTCTGCCTTCTGTGCTTCGTCTGCTAGGTAATGCTAACTCTGGCTCAGGTATTCCAGACCCAACCAGTCGCAAAGAAACGATCCAATGGATACGCACTGAATTTGAACGCAATCGTCATCTACACGATGTGGTAATATTTTTCTGACGAAATTCGTAACACTGTCTCACATGCTTTCAGACATCCATTGAGGACAAACTGGCTATAGGTCGCAGGGAACTGAAGCAAATTTTGCCCGTATTACAACCCCGTTGAACTTCTGAATTCTCAATATTCCAAGTTTGCTCTTGCATGCTTCATCCTGACTGGACGAAAGCTCGGGTTGCTTGAGGAACTCTCGTCTCGTGAGTGCCTTTAATTCTGCATTTTTTCATACAGTGTCAGTTGTAGAGTCTCCTTTTGATACTATTCTCGTAGGCTCAAGATGTAGATGGAGCGTTTTAGTGTCAACTCTCTTATGTTGAAAACTAGACATTGTTTTCCTCCAAGTCTTTGGAAATCTTGGAATAACTTGGTTGCAAGATTGCAGTGGCGAACCACAGCAACTTCTATATGATTATATCAGCTGTCTAGGCCTCGTTGGTTTGTTATCTATATTGCGATTTGCCTCATGGAGCTTGAGGGTCTGACAATTCCTTTCTCAACGGACATGCTTCGTATGGCTTATCTCAGTACTCGTCCGCGTCAGACGAGATGCTACTGCGCACCAGATCCTAAAACTGTATTCTGAGCGCCGACTGGACATGTGGCCATCTCAAGCTTCTTCTGTCCTAGGATCTAAGGCATATATATATCATCCTCCAACATCACCATTCCCCCGCCCTGGCTTTGTAACTCCCCATCAAGGTGAGTACCCGTAAGATATCCATGGTGCCCACTGACCCGACAGCCACAGCATCATTGCGACTGACCAAATTCGCATCTAATCCCGATGGACGTTTTTATGGAAAACGTCCCTTCCCACGTCCGCAGCGCCCAAATCAAGATCGAGGTTGCTCGTGCCATACACAAACCAGAATATCTCATGGATTCGGCGGCACCTTTCAACTTGGAAGTGACCATCTTTCAACGGGCACGAAGGAATGGAACGAAGTGCGGGGTAGTGACCTTTCCGTATGAAACCGTGGCTCGTCAATTCCTGCGCGAGTATGGTCTGCCATCCCCCATATCATCAATCTTTGTCGGAGGCCGACTCTTATTCAAGAGTAGCAATAAACCTCCTCGTACGCACATTGTCGAAGAAATCCGCCGAACTCCTTACCTGGATCCGAGAGTAGCTGAGGAACGTGAGGCTCAGACTACCGAGCTCAATGCCAAGAGGGTTGGGATCAACGGCATCCAGTTTGGATGGGAGTGCAGAGATAACGTTTTTTCCGTCGAATGGGAGAAAGAATGCACAAACCGCGGCACGTTGACTTACGATCACGATCGTAGGGAATTCCGAGTCCAAGTCGACGACAGTGACTGCATGCGGATTGTGGCCATTCGTGCCGCACAAATTGTTTGGGCCAGCGCCGGCGAAGATGACCAGGGCAAGCACGTCTTATGTCTATCGCTAGGTCACCCCCCTGTCTTCGAAACAGATGTATCATCCACAGGAGAAATGGAAGAGCTTGTCGCTCTATTTGCGGCTCTTAGAGTGAAAACGAAGCGCAAGAGACATTCTTGCATGCACCCTTCACATGCTGCTTCAGCCCCCTACACATCCACTGCTCTTCGACTGATCTGTCGAAACGCGGCCGATTTACGCAGTTTCCGATCATTATGCAACGCGGCCCATGTCAAGCTGGACAACCAGGTCTGTCCTGTGCAGTCCCGTGGACTTTTCAGTGAAGAAATCCAGAGGAACTTTACACAGTGGCTGTCCAGGTTGAGCTGGAGAGTTGCTTTTCAGATCGAGGCACTTGCCAGAAACCTACTGGCAGATGTGACAGAGCTTCTCGATCTTCGTGGACGTATCGAACGAATGGTTTCGGATAAGGGGGAACCTTATGCGATAGCTTTCCTGCGATACTTCGCTACTGAAGCAAAGGCGTGGCTTTGGTATGATGAGGACGAGCACAACGATGTGGCGTCCATGGAGGCTTTTTTCACCCATTGTGCTAACAACTTTGTTTTTTCTTCAAATACCAGATTGCAGAGTGGGGTTGATCCGGAGAACCTATTTGACTGTCTCCACGTTACGATAACGCCTTCGAGTCTCCACCTAGATGGCCCATTCCCGGAGAGGTCAAATCGAGTCATGCGTTCTTACCCCAGCAACCACGATTCTTTTCTTCGGGTCAGTTTCGTCGACGAGAGCAACCTCCAATTCCGTGTCGATCGTGAGGTTGATGGGAGAGATTTCATCAGGAGGAGATTTGGGAACATTTTGCTCGAGGGACTGAACATTGGAGGACGTCATTTCAGTTTTTTGGCATACAGCCAGTCCGCATTAAAAGAACACGCTGTCTGGTTTGTCAAGGAATTCAGGACTCCAGACGGCAGGATGATCAATGCTGCTTCCATCATTGCCAGCCTAGGAGATTTCAGCCAACCCGACCCCCAACTAGTGTTCTGCCCCGCCAGATATGCGGCAAGGATTTCACAAGCTTTCACTGCAACGGATGCCTCAGCGTCAGCCGAGGTTGATGAGATATTCCCTGTGGATGATGTGTACGATGATACCGGAAGATGGTGTTTTACAGATGGTGTTGGAACCATTTCTGCAGAATTGGCGAGGGCGATATGGAAGGAGCTTCGCGACAAGCGCCGGAGAGCAAAACGCGCTTCTACATATCCACGAGCCTTTCAAATTAGGTTTCAGGGATCCAAAGGCATGCTCAGTGTTGACTATCGCCTAACGGGAAGAGCTATCTGTTTAAGACCTTCGATGATCAAGTTCAATGCTCCGGACTCTAGAGTCATCGAGATTGCCAGAGCTTTCGACAAACCGGGTCCATTCTATCTGAACCGACCTCTCATTATGATCCTTGAGGAATTGGGTGTACCATACGAAACATTCAAGGACTTACAGGAGGCCGCAGTCTCGGAAGCACAAGAATCCGTCCAGTCCCTTGGACGCGCTGGAAAACTGCTTGAAACATATGGCCTTGGGAATTCGTTCAAAATGACTTCCGTTATGCTGAGCTTAGAAAAATTAGGCGTTCAACCTCCCATGAATGATGAGTTCTTTCAGCGCATGATGGATTTCTCTGTCAATCATGTCCTGCGAGAACTCAAGCATCATGCTCGGATTCCGGTGAAGGATGCATGGAACCTGGTCGGTGTGGCAGACGTGCATGGATTCCTCGAGGAAGGTGAGGTATTCATCCACGTCGTGCCCACCAACGGTCAAGCCCCTTTCTACTTTGAAGGTCGTACTCTGGTGACTCGCTCTCCCACGATTCACCCCGGTGACGTGCAGATAGCCCGTGCAATTGGAAGACCTCCTCCAGGATCTCCTTTTGAGAGGGAAACACTACGCAACTGTGTCGTCTTTTCTATCAAAGGTGTGACTCTTACATATATCAACTGTTTGATTTAGACTTAAAATGACTTAGGCAATAGACCACTCCCAACTTGCCTCGGGGGTGGCGATCTTGATGGTGGGTGTTAATGTTGTACGGCTTCTCAGTAGCTTGATGACATTGATTTAGGCGATATTTACTGCTGCACAATGCTTGAGTCTTTGATGCCCACAAGAACGTACGCACCTGCACAGTATTCCCCCGCCGAGAAGGTGTTACTGGATCGTCCAAGTACCATGGAGGACGTTGCGAACTTCGTGACCGAATACATCTACAGTGACGTAAGTCTGTTCGCCTCTCGACTCAAGAACATTCCCTAACCTATGTCACAAATATCCAGAGCCTCGGCTTAATCGCGATGCAGTGGCTGATCATTGCAGACCAGAGCTCGCTTGGACCACGCGACCCTGACTGTTTACTGCTTTCTGATCTGCATAGTAATGCCGTAGATTATCCAAAGAGCGGACGGCCAGTCCCGGTGGACAAAATTCCGAAGCTGAAACATCGGGTGCGTCCTGATTGGAATGCACCGGAAACACTAGTGGAGGGTTCAAAACTGGCTGAGAAGTTCTACGAGAGTTCGAGAGCGATCGGTCGGTTGTTTCGAGCAATCGACTTACCGGCTTCACAAACCGTGCAAACAGCCCAAAGGGCGCAGCGGCGACGTCTCCGGGAAGGATCTGCTTCCTTGCAAGACATACTCGAAGGATTCCATGCTGCGGAACCCGTCGAAGATGATGAGGTCTCATTGGCGGTATATGAACGAGTTACGCAGTTTATCGCAGTCGGGAGGCACCCTGACGATATCATTGTTGAGCTTTGGGAGCTCTTCGAACAGTATGCGTCCCAGCTTCGAACTATTTGTGCAGACCATACCGTCTCTAATTCGCGCGACGCCATGCTTACGGAGGAAGAGGCGGTGGTTGGGACAATCGTTGCCAAAAGCTCTCAACCAAGAAAACGCAAGGACAACATGTCAAAGATGCGTGAACGTACTGCTCCCCTCGTCCAAGGTGTGGGACAGCAAATCGAAGGAGATGAAGGAATACTCCTAGAAAGGTCACTGGAGAGAGCTTGGGTAGCGTTTCGTATTGCCAACTTGGAGCAAGATTCGTTTGGAGCAAAGAGCTTTGGTTGGATCGCACTGGGTGAAATTTTCGACGCTATCAAGAAGATTGAGGAATCGGAAGGATATTTCTGAAAGACTTCGGATATGATTGTACCAAATGTATATTATACCATGACCAAAGACTGATATGAACTAGGTGACAACTGGAACCGTGTAAGATAAAATCACGACTTCGCCCTCCGTTTCTTCTCTTTCTCTATAACTCGTTTCTTTTCTTCGAGGTTTTGTCGCTACGAAAAATAATGAGAGATGCACAATCACACTTGCCTGAAGAACTCACCTCAGCTGCACGCTTCTTCTCCCCGTGCTTCATCCTCTCGAAGAGTTTCCTCTGCTTGTTGCTCATCAACATCTTGTTCATATCTTGCTCTGACTCGTCTACAGCAGGAGTCTCCGATGACTTCGCCTTCTTTCTCGCCTTCTGTGCTGTCTTTTCAAACGTACCAAAGTCGACACCAGCAGCTTCAGCTTCTAACTCAGCTGCACGAAGGGCAGCAGCATCCTCAGCAGCAGCGGCCGCCTTGAGGGCAGCTTTCTCAGGCCGTGCCGCCTCCTCTTCTGCATCTTCCTCAGGCTCACTTACATCCTCCACTTCGCTCTCCTCCTCATCTTCCATGGACACGTCCTGCGCCCCAAGGCCAAGGGTAGGATCATATGCGCCGGCACGATCTTCGAAGGGACTCAGATGAGGTGGAAGCGTCTTCCCTTGAGCATACGGTTCCTCCAGGAGAACCTTACCAGCGTTTATACAATCAACCACCCACTGTGGTTGCACGTACTTCCGCCGTTGCCGCCTTTCACGTTCTTCCTCTGTCTCATTGTCTTTGACCACGAGTGGACGATCGATAATGACATGCGTTATTGACTCGTCATCTTCCTCGAAAGGTGATCCGCTACCAGAGGTCGCAGGCCATCCAATCCGACCCCCATATGATCGCACGAGGAATTCGAAGATAGGTCGGGAGGTCTCTCTTGATAGCCAGAAGGTATACGGTGAGAAGAGTTTTGTAGATGTTGACTGAGGTATCGAGTTCAATGCTTGCAATGTTGGCAGAGCAGCGGTCTCTTGAGGGTTGGAGCGTGAGGGCTGCGCTACAAAGTCTTCGTCCGCCTCCTCCGACGTAGAGTCAACGTTTGGCATGTCAACATCAACATCGTCCACCACGGTGGCAGAGATGCTCTTGATAGTCTGGCGAACGTCTTTGCTCGAGACCCGCTTGCCATCAGCATCGAGCGTCTTGGCTTTTGATGCTGGCTCAGGCCCTGCGGTATGTTGAACTTCCTGGAGGCTAAACGCGCCGACTCCCGCGGCGCTTTCGTCCTTTTTGGTGTCTAGTGGTGGGGGGTATACGAGCCCCGCGTCGGTGTAAAGCTTGAAGAAGACGAATCCAAGCAAGGTCTGGTAAAGTTCGAGGAACGTGAGCATGACTCGAACGTCGACGTCAGAGGGGATCTGTGGCAATTTAATGAGCCGTAATTTGCAAAATACAAGAACGATGTCATACATTTTGGGTGAACTGGTACGGAACCAGCCATGTTACAGTCTGATCGAAGACCTCGGCCTGGTAGTATACGCCTTTGATAGAAAGGAAGACTTTGCGGAGTGCGTGGGTGTGCATGATGTATAATTGCCATTCGGCAGCAAGACGTGCACAGTTCTCGATCAGCGAAGGAGATACCTTCGAATCTGAAGGCAAAGATGCAAATAGGAAGATCATACACAGCGCATCGTCGATGTCTCGAACTGCGTCGATGAAGGTGGGGTAACTTCGTAAAGAATAAATAACATGAATGACAGACGAAACCGTCAAATGGGACTCACCGCTCCTTGATAATATGGTCCAACCTATACACAGGTTTGTTGTCCTCCAAACTTTTGGCACTACTCCACTCTCCACGTCCGAGAGCACGAGCAAGCTTCTTTGCAAATGCTTTATGTTCTCGCAGCTTCTTCAGAACCGGCTCATGTGCGAGGTATGCGATATCCTTCGCATAGTAAAAGTTTGTAGGAGCCGAAGAGCCTTTGTTAGCACGCTTTCTGTTACGGGGTTCACGTGGAAAGATTCCTAAATGAACTCATGAGTTCATGCTGCATTATTTGGTGAGAGAAGGTATACCTTTCAAAATGCAAAGTCGTCTGAAGTCTGCTAGGGAGCATTGAAGCCTCTTCACGGCAGCTGACCGAGTAACATACGCCTTTGCAGCACCAGCCTTTCCCTTCTGTCGTAGACGACCCATATCAAACCAGAATTTGAGAGCAGGTAAATCGGACGAGGACGAGGAAAACTAGATGAGAGGAATGCTTCAATGAGCGCCTCTAGCCAAAAAGTCCAACCTTTTTAGCGCCCACACTCACCGATTGGGCTGTGGCACGCCTCTGCAGCTTGTTCACCGACATCGACATGAGGTGAGTGTGTTTCTGCCTCTTATTCGTTTCCCCCATTGAATATCTCATTTCTGCAGTCAATACGTACATGTTCCAAAGTCTGAGCTCGACGAAGCTCAACTTCGTGCACTAGAAGAGCATGAAATCAGCCAAGGTCCTCTGTCGGTGCTTCAACAAGCAGTTAGGAACCATGCTCAAGTCTTGATCTCACTCCGAAATAACAAGAAGCTTCTTGCTCGTGTCAAGGCTTTTGATCGTCACAGTAACATGGTGCGCAGTAGCTGTATGTTGCGTTGGTGTTCCTGCTGACTTCTCATGGAGTGTAGGTTCTGGAAAACGTGAAAGAGGCAAGTATAATGATTACACGCGATTCGTCCGTACTGAAGCTATCTCATCAGATGTGGACTGAAATGCCAAAGGGAAAGAACAAGAAACCTGTGAACAAGGATAGATTCATAAGCAAAATGTTCCTCCGGTATGATTCTCTCTGAGTCTATCTCGACTTGGCAGCCTTACTGACTCTCATATTTTTAGGGGAGACTCTGTAATCCTGAGTAAGTTCTTGTCATAACTGCCTGTAGGTGTGATATTGACGATCGCGTCCAGTTCTTCGGAACACTGCATAGGTCGTTCCGACGGTACCGTGCACTCGTTTTTCAAATTCCTGTTGGCCTGTCCGACCTCATTCCTTCAATACTTACGCGGTAGTAAAATGCTGCACCTGCGCGACGGTGCAAGTATGTATCAGCATGTATTCGTTGTACTCATAATGTCTGGTTTCCTCTTTCTTTCAATCGAATCATTCTGGTGCCCCTTTCTTTCTGGCATGACAGGTCTTCAGTCAGCGTCGGTCGTATTCGATCGCGTTCGTTTCGAAAACACACGTTATTTTACACGAGAACCTGTGATTTTTTCTTGCGTTCGGACATGACATGATGACTTTGCATGATGAACAAAGTCACCGTCGCATATTGGTAGGCGCCTATTGGTCGGTTGTACGTTGGAATGTGTAAGTGGTGCTGAGTTGGAGACTTTGTACCGAAACACTGCAGTGCCAGGAGCATTCGTATGCCCCTTTCGTCCATGCCTCCTGCAAACCATCTTGTATGCCCAGTATTCCAGTCTACTGAGCAACATAGATCTCTCTGAACTATCTTTGACCGGCGTTTATGCCGGTCTCCATTATGGTGGGCATATTTGGTGGGAAGAACTCTCCGTCTCGACCATCTCGTCCAAGCACAGACGCGACGACGCCGACTAACAACATTCCTCCGCCGCCTTACGTGGAGAATGGTCATCGTGGGTCTGTGTATGCGACGGAAACTATCACTACCACCACCCAAGTCGTAACCACAACGACTCAGACCACCACCCACTTCTTTTCCCTTCCGCTTTGGCGGAAGCGCACACCCGCCAATTCTGCGGTTGAGTTAAGTAGACCAAGTCTGCATGCTTCTCCATCATCGGACGAGCTTGGTATGATTCGTTCTTCTCCTAATGCCCCGCTTGTGCTTTTCCGCGACAAGGACCTCCCTCCCACTCCCTCTCCGACAGACAGTCTTGATCATACACCCATTGACACGCCAGACACATCCCTCGCTCTGGAGGAGGTCTCACCGGCTCAAAATACTCATGATCGTGTCCGCCCAAATAGCGCAACCCCCGTCATCGCGCTGAACGTGCCCAGTAATGGGGAGCCTTCTTCACAATCAGCAATCGCGCTTGCCCGTGCTGCCTTAGGGCTTGGGCTGCAACCCGTTATGCTGAACCATTTTACGGCGTCATCCTCATCGAGTGAAGTTAATACTGTTTCTTTCATGACCCCGCCCACGTCTGCAGCTTCTCAAGACAGGCCTTCGGTAGCTGCTATGCGTCGGGCCAAGAGCTTTCAGAAGGATTCTAGCGACGCGGGCGCTGGTCCGTCTTATGCCCAGTTGATGGAGCGGAGACGTAGTAGAGGACTGTCTCTTGGTCTTTTGCACTTTGGCACTGATACAAAAGGCAAGAGCAAGGAGCGAGAAACCGAGACCGACGCAAGGCCATCTTTACAGAAATCTCTGACTCGGAAGGCGTCGTTTTGGCGAAAGCGAAATAATTCCCAAACGCAATCTCCTACTGCACTTTCATTGTCCCAGGAGCGAACTCTCCAACCGTTGTTACCATCCCTGCAACCCATATCGCCATTTCGTGTGGATACCTCTGTTCCTAGCTCTCCATCCCTCACTCCAGAATCTAGTAACCCACAGTTGTCTCCAGAGTTGCGTAGGCGACATTCAGACCGTGCTCCTCCGAATGAAATACCTCCCGAACACGAAGTTGCTGTCTCTCCGGAACGCAGTCCAACGGGCACCAGGTCAAAACGACGACGTCCTCGCAGACCACGGACCGCAGACACGGCTGAAAGTCAACGACGGCGTAATTCTTCGTTTTTCTCAGGATCTTCATATCCATTGTCGTCTTCTCCGCCTTCAGATATAGCACTCTCGATTTCTCCTTCGTCGTCCCACAGCTCGTCAAATCAAGCTACAGTTCGTCCACGGTCTTCGACGAACCCGCCATTCCTTCAACGACTATCTATCAATCTCTTTGGTTCACCATCAATACCCTCTCCCCAACTTGGGTCTAGTTTGTCTGGGGAACAATTAGTTGATTCCCCAACCCACCTAGGGTCTGCGCGGCCCTCTGTATCAAGATCTAAACACTCACTTGAGATACCCCGACCACGTCACGAAGAGGAGTCTCCGGAAGTTTACTTGCATCGACTTCTGGAAGCCGTTAGCAAGGCCGAAATAGCCACTGTGCTCGCTTCAAGGTACGTATATTTCCAATGTTTCATCGCCTCATCCTGACGAATCTGGCAGCCCGGACGAGTTTCATGCGCGCGCGTTACGAGCTTATGTCGAACGTTTTGACTTTTCTTCGGACCCCTTAGATGTTGCGTTGCGCAAGCTCCTAATGGACGTCGGACTACCAAAAGAAACACAACAGATTGACCGTGTCATGGAAGCTTTCGCTTCGCGGTACTTGCAGTGTCATATGAATCTTTTCACATCTGACGGTACGTGAAGTGTCTTATGTATTTCCGGTAAATTTTTATCTTACACGATATACAGATCATCCGTACGTTTTGGCGTTCAGTCTCATCATGCTGCACACCGACGCGTTCAACAAGTCAAACAAGCGGAAGATGACGAAGGCTGATTATATCAAGAATACTCGACTTCCAGGGGTAGCGCCGGAAGTTTTGGACGTAAGACCACAGCGTATGTCTCCTCACGAATGGTTGTTTACATGTTATTTATAGTGCTTCTACGACAACATCGTTTTCGCCCCTTTTATCTTCATTGAGGACCCTCTAGATGTGAACGGTCAACGTGGATTAGTCCCAGATGGTACTCCAAGTCGTCGCCTGTCTAGCTTTAGCGCGCCCTCCCCTGGTGGGATGAACGGCGCCAGTCTTCTTGGTAAAAGCGCCAAGATTGACCCGTACTACCTGATTACCCGCGTAAGCATCTTTTGCTAAGATGACCTCGACTCAAATTAAATGGTACCTTCTGCCGATTCCACTATAGAACCTACTTGACGATCTTCGTGTTAACGTGGAGATGTATGTTCCGCGCAATAGTCCATACGTCTATCAGGGCACGGCTGGTCAGTGGGACGATGACGAACTTCTTCGCGCATTCCAAACGGCTGGCGTAGTAGAGGTCAATTCGGCCGGATACTACCCTGCTCCTTGGTTCAGTTTAGGAGTTGGTGGCGGTCCTGGACCCATGGCCATCGGTGGAGGTCTTCCTTCTGCATTTCCTCCTTCACCAGAGGCCTTTTCCCTAAGGGTCACCAAAGTGGGCACGTTATGGCGAAAAGATGTGGTTCTAGAGGGTGGACGCAAACCGATGCATCGAAAGTGGAAGGAGTGGAGTGTTCTACTGACTGGCTCCCAATTATTGCTCTGCCGAGATCTCACTTGGGTAAACGTCATTCTGGCGAAAGCTGAGCGCGTGAATGGTGAAGTGAACTTGCCGCATGCCTCAATACCTAAACCCGACGAACTGCTTTCTGTGAAAGATGCTGTGGCCGTCTTTGACAAGTCTTACATCAAGGTAAGTTATTTTGTGACAGATGTCATTCTAGATATCATTATGTATCTTGCTGACACATTGGACAGTATCCTAATGTACTGCGTCTGGCCCTTCCTGATGGCCGTCATGCTTTATTTCAAGCACCTGACGAGAAACAGATGAACGAGTGGATCGCACGCATCAATTACGCGAGTGCATTCAAGACAGCAGGCGTCCGTATGCGATCCCTTGGTATGTCCGGTAAGGACATCGAGCTGACTGGACAGGCTGCTGCAGCATCACATCTCCGCGATGTTCAGAACCGGAACAGGGAAATCACCTCACGTCGGGGTGTTCGTACATGGGAAGGGCGTTCGTCACTAGACATCGAAATGTCGTCTCGCAGCGACCCAGTGATGCCTGCTCAGAGCGCATCAAAGCCTGCCAAGGTTCGAACAGCTTCTGTTGACTCAGACCAATGCACTTCTCCGATGGAGAACCCATCTAAGCTACTCAAGGCGACATTCGATCAGGTGAAGCAAGATTTAGCAGCGGGGCATTGGCAATCTATGGATGAGATCAGCCTACGATCTTTCACCCGTCCACGGGCGATGAGCTTAGAGTCTTCTCTGGGGTCTCCTTTCACGTCACCATCGAAAGCAGATGAAATTGAGGAACCTCAGCTCTCGTCGAGATCCAGGATCATTCGATCCAAAGTGTCGGAGTTGGAGTCAAAGATATCTGTTGCGCAGGGTCAGCTGGAGACCGACATGCGTTTCGTGCGCAACATTGCGGTGCTTACACCATTCCAACGGGCCACTCGTGAACGGTTGCAAGCCGCTGTGCAGGCGATATCAAAGCGGGTCATGCAAGTGCGTTTGGACATCGAGAAGCTTGTTTGCCATCGAGACGTACTGGCCCGTGATTTGATAGCTGAAGAGCGCGATTGGCAATGGACGAAGAAGATGGCGCTACGAGCCGCGACGGTGTCTTTGCAAATCCAGCAGCAACAGCAGCAAGTTCCTCGGATGACATTATCTGTCTTCCTGGATGACGTCGCTGAGCAGTCGCTGTCCACCTCACCGCCTCAACGCTCGACGAGTCGGAGACCTGAGTCATCTGCGGGTGAATCATTCCATTCGGCATTAGAGTATAGCTCTGACTCTGACGATCGGAGAGATACGTCTTTCGATACTTCTCCTTCACTCACTGCCCCTTCAACCCCTAAACATGCCAAAGCAAGTCTCTCCACTGTGCCCGATTCGTTAGAGCGCCGGAAGGCTGCACCTCTGACTGCAGAGAGCTCAATGGAGAGTTCATTCTCCAACCGTTCCGACACGCCTGAGCGGAGTCATCAGAAGTATGTTACAGCTCCAGAAATGCCTGAGGAGGAGGCAGAAGAGTGGGATAAGACACGAGCAGCTAAACGTGTTTCGTTGGTGAAACTACCGTCGGATCTACGGATGTCAGTGCTATTTAGCAAACACGGGCAGGGTAATGGACAGAGTGTCTCAGAAGAAAGCCCTAATCCTACATCGCCTCAATCCGAACGTCCAACCCAAGTCGGAAGCGGGACAGAACACAGCCAAAATAATTCACCAGTTGAGACTCTGGCCGTGCTCAACGTGTGATTTAATTTGGTGGGGCGTACTTGAGAGTATACATACATTATTTTGCTTTCATTGTTGCTTTCGTCACTCAGTGTTCAGTCTTTTCCTTATCATTTATCATTTGTTGCATGTTTTCCATCTCAGAGTACCATTCATCGTAGAGCACCTTTGCATAGTTCATTCAGGATAGGACAGCCAGCAGATTAATTCTCAGTGTATCGATAGAAGAAGTCCATAATACATTTACACTCTATGAAGGCTCCTTCAGCCTGCCTACTGACCGAATTTACTCTTTCCTCTAGGCTCTGGCCAAGGCCCAAGATCGACAAAGCTGCCACGAGCTCGAAAAAGCCGGTAATAGCGGGGAGGAAGTCTGTAACAGAGGTTGCTAACTTGCTAGCGCCAGAGGGAAGCGCCGATCAGGAACGAAAGAATCGGGTGTTTTGATGTGCCTAAAAAGGGAATCAGGATCGCGGTCGTCAAGCAAATGATTGGGCCGCCGCAGAAACAGCCAACGACCACAGTCGGCACCGCTGCTCAACGTTCAACGTCGACATCCTCTTCAGGCACCTCGCATGCGCCCCCTCTGTCAATTTACACACAAATATATTTCAGGATAAGCTCTCCTCGTTATGCCCTGGTCCTACAGCCCTTAAACGTTCCCTCTTTCTCACCGTCGGGCCCCTCGGTCTTTCCCCCTTATAGCCAGATCCCTCTTTCCTCGCATCAGATCTGTTCTACTGTCCTACTGTAACGTGCTGTTGAGACCGTCACTCATGCCAACCACTCACGACACGCTTTCTGATGCCGCCCCGTCTGTTACCCGCAACCTCAATCGTCTCTCCCTTATCCTCCAGCGTGCATCTTCTCCCAAACCCAAAGCATCCAAGAGCCAGAGGTCTGCCACCGCATCCAATAAGAATTACAAACTACACAGGAAGAATGACGCAAGCTTAGCCTCCATATTCTCTGTTGCACCTGATATACATCATTCCTATGCGGCTGGCTCCAGTGTTTCGATTGCCGACACCCTCTTGTCTAATCCTCACGAGTCTCTCCTTCCCCTTTCTCCAACACGCTCGACAACTCACACGGAGAATTCGCCTTCGTTGCCCCCTTCACCTGGGATCCCTGTTCCCCCAACTACAAACGATCTCACAGCTACGGATAAGATGAAGCTCCTGAAGAAGGTTAGGAAGCTCAGTCGTGTGCTCGGCGAGTTCCCCATGACTATGATTGCAGACGATCGTCCTAGTCCAGACATTATTGTGTTCAATCAAGCGCTCTCTGCAAAAGGTTCGCCAGGTCTGCCATCCTCCTTGGCTTCCCCACGGGCTACACCAAAGTCCACTGCTTCTCGGGAAAAGGCATTACGACGAAGCATTACCATCGGGCACACCGCCGGAGAATATAAGTCCTCCGATACCGACGTACACCGTGCCAAATCCTTTGTGTCCCTACGCCCTGCTCTCACCATTCCCTCGTCACCCTCAACAAGTAATGGCTCACCGGTTTCTCCTCTCCTTTTTGCCTCGCCAAACTCGGGGGACGACGCACAATCTCGCGTCGCAGCAGTACCTAATGACGCGCAGAACACGGGCCTTTTGAATTCCCATGCTGACGGTATGCCGTTACCAGACTCTACCGCTGCTTCGGAAAGTGGTCAACATGGGGCGGATATATCATTGTCACCTTCCAGGCGAAGCTCGATCTCCTCCTCCTCTGTTAGTACACCGCCCACTGCCGAGCAAGTTCAGCGAGCTCGTGTGGCCAAACTGTCCCGACAACTCGGTGACAGCGTCCCCCCTGACATTCTTCTTCGCGCAGCATCCCCACCCTTACTCGTTTCTTCTTCTTCTCCTACTTCCGTCCCCTTACCTCCTTCTCCACCTTCGACTTCTTCGTTGGCGGGACAACCGGTCATTCCAGAAGACACACCTCGCCGATCCTCTTCCCTCCATAGAAAGAAAGCTCCCAAGACGGCTGAGACGAAGAAGCGCCTGAGTTTGGACCTTCGGGCCCTGAAGGCCTCAGTCGTGCCGCCACAATCATCACCAAACGTCTCGCGTCCTAGCACTTCCTCTGGTGTCCAAGGTTCAGGCAGGCCACTCCGAAAGAGTAGGTCCATGTGGGTGCGGACTCGGAGAATTCTGATGGACAATGATTCCGAGGTCACTCCGCAAAATACCGACCCCACATTTTCCCCTGTGCGCGAATCCTTCGACACTTCAGCATCTTCATCATCAAGGGGTCCTCTCAGCGAGAAGCATAGGTTATTGAACGTGCGCCGGGCGAAGAAGATGGCTCAGGTTCGTCCCTTCATGTGCCAAACACATTCGCATCAATAGCCGACTAACGATGTTCTATTTTCGCACAATGATTAGGTATTCGGCGACAAACCACCCACGGCACTATTTCAGATCATGAGTCTGAATAGTGACGACCCTGAGAACAATAACAGCGCAACCGACCTACGGAGACGTCGCGATTCGCTAGCTACCATCATCTCCATCTCCAGTTCGATCTCTACATCTCTGTCTAATAATCAAAATCTACGTCCTGATACTCTAAGAGTCCGAGACTCTTATATCAGTATCGCTTCCATCGTCACTACCTCGTCTGTCTCTGGAGAAGGTGTTATCACGACAGGTCCCATTGTCGTAGTCGCTTCAGACAATTTCCCTTCTCCATCTCAAATACCTTTGCCGGGAGACTCTTCTGAGGCTCAAGAGCACCAAGCATCTCCACGGAAAGACGATCTATCCAATAATCCTAATCTTACACCTGCTAATTCTACTCCACGACGTCGGTCTCCAAGTCCTCGCCCTTCTACAGCACCTGCCACTTCTACTTTATCTTCACGTACTTCGACCATGCCCTCATCCAAGGTCTCCCACCGACCTCCTTCGCCTCGAACGCCACCGCCTTTCTCCGACGTCTTCATTCCACCTCCACCTTCAGGTGGTTACAGCCAGTATCACTCGAACGTCTCTCGAGCATCAGTGGATGCAGAGACGACCTTGACTCCAGCAGAGTTCCATGCCCGTCAGAAACGTGCCGCAAAGCTGTCCAAGTTCTTCGGAGTAGGCTTGAACGATCTTGCAGACGTTCTACCTGCTAATATGTCTACTTCTCTCCCTCGCGGTATGTCTGAAGATAAGGGCAATCGCGGACGCAGTTCGTCTGCTGTGCCGCCACAATCACCACCATCTTCTCCAGTTCAGACATCGCCGTCTATGGATTGGACTCCCATGCAGCCAATGGTCTCAAGCAGGGTTGAAGTGGCAACTGCGAAGGGTAGTCGGTTACGGTTTTTCGGTCTCGGTGAGGACGTGAAGGAAATGGACATGAATGATGCAATAGAGAAGTTGCGTCGTATGAAGTCGGTTTAACGAGATCACGTTTTCTTTCCTCCACCCCGTGGCCCCCTCTCTGACTTATTCGTTGCTATCTGTTGCTTTTATGACCATCCTTATTCCTCGTTGTGCTTCGTCTGTTGCATCTCTCACATCATTACATTGACCATCATGACAATACTTATTTCACCATAGTTACTTGTATCTCTTCTACTCATCTACTCATCATACTGTGTATGTTTTCTGGTTACTACGGATTATCCTCGTTTTAGTCGTTCGATTTGATTGTACTCTCTTTCAATTCCTTCGCCATAGGAGCGGAAGCTCATTGTTTTCGAGTTTACTACTCACAACAATAAATGGGCCTGTTACGCATTGCATCTTCCGGAGATCATTAAGATATTCCACGCAACGGTGACACAACCTGGATCCAATTGTCTCGACTCCTCGGATAGAGATGCTGGCCTTCGGTACAAGCTCGGTATCTTGACTAATGGAAGCCTTTGAGAATTAAAATGCTTTACGTTGGGACGGCGCTTGGTCGAGCTTGCATTTCTCTCAGCCTCCCCACAAGCGGGGAGTGAGAGTGCGCTCTGTGAAGAAGTGGTCAACTTGAGAGTGAGCATTACATACTGAAACCGCGGCTGTCTATGCAATTGGATGAAAACCATGTGAAGATCACCTATTATTTCAAAAGGGCACCACCCAAGAGAGGTTCCATAAGGAAACGGGTGACTTCGTTACCTGATCACGAGCATGATACCATATGACGTCCGAATCCCGTCGAGATGTGTTGTAACAACGGATTAAGACGTCTGCTTTCGTATGCGGTGAACGCAAATGATATCGGGAGTATGCGTCCTTGTCGAAAGAGTGACAGAGATATCCTGGCTCGCCGTCGGCCAGAACTATGGTATCACAATGGAAAAAAGCGGAGGTGGATATACATCGCAAACTATTTGCGCAGGAGTATGTACACAGGATCGCCCAGTACAATACTTGTCATATGTCTGAATGACCCTGTCAAAGACAAAAGAAGGCCGCCAAAAGATGCATACGCCGTTCTGATCCAAAAGTCAGTACGACAGGCTGTAGGATTCATCGAACAAAACGTACACAATTTCTGCAGTTCCACCGTCGAATCTGTACACCTTGAAGTGGGGTATGAGCCAGCAATGGCCAAACGTTTAACCCGAAGTAAAGGATACGTACCTTCCCATACATCACGTACTCATAGTCCTCTTCCAGTCCTCTCCGTCCCTTTCCATCTGGTCTCCAAACGTCGCGGTCTTTGTCTTCTTCCTCGGTAATTCCTACACCACCAGCTGCCGTCGGTCCTTTCGCGAGAGAAGATGCTAGTGCCAACGCAAATGATTGACCCTCGTGAAGGGGATACAGCTCGACATTGTAGTCAAGTGTTAGGTCCATGTCATAGTTTTTTGAATGTGCATATAATCGGGAAACTGAAAAGAACAGGTAAGGATGTAAGCCGAAGTAGGAACGTGCTATCTGAAAGCACCTCTGTCAAATTTCTTTCCCTCTTTGTCAATAGCACTGATTGTAAAAATATCATCAAAGACGATATTCGAGGCGTTTGTGGTCATAGCGAGGGTCCCGGAGGTTTTGCTGTAGTGTGCAGAGTTGCGAAAGCAGCCTCTTCACAAGAGAACCAAATAAAGTGATCTCGACAATAGGCGCCAAACCTAAAATGGAAGGCACTCAAGTTAATAAGATTCTCTCCGGGAGCCTACGACATTTTGGGCACAAGGTATGGATTCGCAGTGCGCAAACTTTCAAATGAGAAGCAAGCTAATTTCGCATATAATGTAAACTACCACCCTCCGGCACCTCTGATTTCCACCTCAAGACACTTTCGTAAATTATTTCGCACTTCCCCAACCGCCCAAGCCTGCTCCTCATTGGGTCGTAAGAAGGGTGAGACAAAGTTTCGAGCCATTGCCTTGAACAGATCTTCCAATACCCATGTGAGACGAGGACCCGTCAATTCAATCGCAGGCTCCGAGTTAACTTCGAGTATTTGAACTTGATATCTCTTAAAAGACGTAGGGTTCGATGACTGGGTTACTAGAAAATCGATACCATAGAGCTCAAATGCGTTTGGAAGAGGCTGATATGGAATTTTCCCGGTCAGTCCACAACTCAAAATAACAGTAAACATACCTGGAAATGAACACTCATGTCCAGAGCGGCCTTGAATGTCTCCCCAACAATTTCTGACATTTGATTTTGTATATCCTGCAGATCCTTTTTTGTGAAGACATGTTCAGCGGAAGTGTTCTGAGATGGCACTTCTTGCCTCTGGTTACGCACTTGATCGACATCGATGGCTTGGCCCATGGCTCTCCCACGTACGGATTGTCGAGTGGTCGGCACTGAATGGCCATTCAAACCAATGACAGGAGATCCAAGTGCATGGCACCCAACGAGTTCGTCTAAGAGTCGTACACCAGCTTCGCCTCGTTCGGTTTGAAGGGAGGTGTTGGTCAAATGTGGAGCCAGGTCAATATCCTCTACTTGGGCATCCTCCGAGTCCCCGGGGGGTTTGGAAGGTGTTGTATAAGGGAGCGCAGAAAAAAGCGCGAGAGTTCGCGTATACAGGAAAACCGAAAGAGCACCGGAGGCGACACAATATGCACGTATATGGAACTAGAAAATACAATGCAATGGTCGAACATTGAGGAGGATGCTGTCACAATCTATCACGATGCATACTCACCTTATGACCATGAAGGTCACCGGTTGGTGGACTAATATCTTTTTCTCCAAGCGGTACTTCGGCAGGGTCAAACAAAACTGGCTTAGCTAAATATTCCTACAAATCTGGACATGAGGTGTGGATCACTCCTGCAATGCATTGCCAGAGTAAGGTCTCATCGGTTGCTTTTGCTACAGAAGAAATACGTACCTGGATGACAAAATGTCTCAATTGCGAAGTGACGACGGAGGTATCTGTATCTCTACCACCTGGCTCTTCGCCTCCCTCCTCTTCCTCATCTGAATTTTCCTCGAAACCTTCGAATATCTGCACGAGATCCTCTTTTGAGTGAAACAGTCTGATTCCCATTCCTCGGTCGGCCATCCCAGGCTTTAAAATCCACCATTTTGCTGGGTCAGCTTTTTCCAGTTCCTCGCCAAGGTCCCACAGTCCATCGTGCCACAATTCATCCAATTCATCCGCAAAGCTGATCTCTAAGTCCCACGTCCGTGGAACGGCAGTCTTCAGGATGCTTCCCGGATTTTTGGTCACATAGTTATGCACACAGCGGGATAGATAGTGCTTTCGAATCAAAGCTTTTCGGATGACATATGACGACGAGAGGACTCGAGACGGATGAGAATAAGTCAAGTCATGGTTCATGGCATCGTATGTACACCACTGCAAGATTTTTTGGTCCGAGACGGTGTCAGGCGGTGAAGAGATAATATCTAGAGGTTGTTCCAAAGCATCCAAAGCCTTGCGGACCAGAGATTCTGTCAAAGGGGCAGAAGGCCATGAGACTACAGCTTTGAAACAGGGGCTAACGTTGTCCATGTTCCCCGATCACGAAGAGAACGATGATCTTCGATGCCATTCCTACGCGTGCGGCGATATTTCATATTACGTCCGCACGCGGCTTGGCTTTCACGTTCACGACCACCTTGCTTTCTTTCCATCTCTTTCGTCTCGAGCGATGGGCAATGCATATATATTCACGTTACAGCCTACGTTCACCCAAGGACTACTTCTCGGACAACTCTCCATCCTATTTCTCTTAGTACTTATACTCAAGTACTTGTTTTTTGACACCGACCTGAATCAACCGTACAAACCGGTTTCGTATCAACCACGAATAGCAACGACTGAACGAGATAGCAACGATGAAATAGACCGTACAATCCCCATAAAACTCAGCCCAGATGACATGGAGGGTCTTTCTGCGGGATCGGGCACTGTAGAATGGCTGAATATCGTATTGCAACAGGTGAATAATGTTCATCTCCATTCACAATCGACTTATTCAACAAGGAAAGTGAGTAGATACTCAGTACATACAGAATGAAACTCTGCGACAACGTACTCGGTCTTGAGGGTGAGGAGATTGCCCGACGCCGAGTCGAGGGGTTTGCGAACAAGCTACGACCGGCAGCGTTCGTTGTAAGTTGTGTCATATCAGATATGCTGCGTGACTGGAAGTTAGTACCCTAGGACCCGATACAAGTCCACTCTGTGAATCTAGGTGTTGCCGCACCTCGCCTGTCTCACCCACGACACCAGCATCTTGATACCCCATCCTCTGAACATGTCAGTATCGCCCTCATGATCTGTATATTCGAGTTTCACTGAAACGATGTGATTCTACAGCAGGTCCAGTTCAGCATGGACTATACCGATACCATATCTATATCTTTTTCGACTTCTGTGCTCTTCAACTACCCTTTCGCCTCTTTTGCGCGGCTACCGGTCTCGTTAACGATATCTCTGTCACTATTCTCCTCCTCGGTAAGTTCATCAGTGCCTGAAGGTTCAACTTGTACATTAACCTGCAGGAAGGTCCTACTGGTCCCTCCAGAACCTGGAGCCGAGCATCCTACCCTGACGATCACACTTCCCCCACCGCACACAGATTTTGTCCTCGATTTGAAGACCACTTCTCTTATGGGTAGCCGAGCGAAGCTGGCAGATGTACCCAAACTACACGAGCTCATCACTTACCAGGTGAGCGTGTCCAAACTTTTTCGCATCTGATATCAAATTGACTAGGCGTGTAGATTCGAAAAGTGATTACTGACAAGGGTACTTGGAAGGTTGTCTTGCCAGGTCTCAGTAGTGTAAGGGAAGTCAAAGAAGACATTGAAAAACAGCAGCATTATATGGAAAGCTGATGGCTGAGTATCCTGTACTGTATTCTATCATGAATAATGTTATGATATGTGCAACAATACTGTCCTATGGTTGAATGTCCTGAGTATTATTAGGCAGTAACCAGTGCCACTCTACTCCAAACTGAGAACATCCCCTTGGCAAGTTCCCCTGATTGAGAAACATCAGTGTTACAGTTTGAAACTATATAATCCAACACAGAGACTTACACAACAAATGGGGTTTCATCTTTGTAGATGTCACCAAGACAGAAAAAGCCAATGTCATCCAAAGCTTTCAGCAGGATTTCACCATTTTTAGGGTCATCACATGCTCTTTTGACATCCCAAATGCGAATACAACCTATTCACAAGCTAGAGATAAGTATCAGGATATAGAAACTAAACAAGCTTACCATCAGCTCCTCCTGAAATGAGATCCAGAGTTTCACTTGGAGTTGTGGTCCAATAAGCCTGAACAACTCCAAAAGTCTCTTTGGCAGCTAAAGAAGGCCCATGGGTATATGTATGCAAGGGACCATTTTTCAGAAATCTTGAATCATAGACATGAATTTTATTGTGTGTCCAAGTCAAAGCCACCAAGATATCATCAGGACTGAGAGTGATGGTGTTCACCTCTGCAGTAATTGGTGCATCTAGGGAAATAGATGCACATGCCTTAGAATTCTTCTGCTTCAAGTCATGGACCCACAATGTGTGGCCAGAAAGAGGACCCTTGGTATAAAGGTATGAGTAGCCTCCTATTCCAATAAGACAAGTGAAATTCATCTAAGTTAGAATAAATGCTTACCAGCATGACTAACAGTGACAGCATGTCCAGCATCTTTAGCATTGAGGGTGGCAACAATTCTCTCAGATCCAACATCCACTATCTTGTGAAACCCTCTTGTGTCAGGCTCTGGAATATCTTCAGGTAGGGATGTGCAAGTAGCTGCAATGACAAGCTCTGAGGAAGGTCCAGTACCCCAAGCAAAGTCTGAAATCTGATGCAATTCTGCATCAGATGTAATGGAGACTGTGAAATTGGTGGTGTCTTCCTCAAAATAGAGTTCACTGCATGTTGACAATCAGACACAGACACTTGAGACAAACAAAGCCCAGGCTCATACCCATTGCTTCCACCAATAGCCAGCAAGGATGATTGAGGTTTATAGCCAAGTTTCACTGGAATGGAGCTAAATTGAACTAGAGAACACATGAATAAGTCATAAATGCCATATAAAATATAACTGACCTTCTTGATAAGCCAGGGTCTCAATAGATTTGCCATCTTCCAATTGTTCATCCAGGAAATTATTGCATGCCCAGAATCTTACAGTAGAATCATATCCAGATGAAGCAAATATGTTTGGTCTGAAGTCTATTCTTTCAGCATTCACACTGACCGCCGTTAAAGAATGACATACTGCAGAGGATCAAACTGCACATCTGTAAGTGCATAATACTTTGGCTGGGCTGATAAGAACATAATCCATGAGCATCAGGGTTTTATGAAAACACAGAAGACATACCGGCTCCTGGCACCGCATGCATATGCCCCTTGCATGGTAACAAACCTATCACGGAGATTAATAAAGGAAAGATTAAGTGACCTTCGTGTTATCACCTTCGCCGTTCTTGTAAGCAACCAATGCTCCAGGGAGATTGTATGGGTCGACTGATGTTGGATCTATAAAGGATAATAAATATAAGCAAGTAAGGGATGGTTCACGGAACATACCAGGATTATCCCCGTCTACCGTGGCACTTGCAATGGCACAGTACCGTCCCGACTGAGCAATGGCATTTATGGCTATGAGATGTCAGAAGGCTAAAATACGCAATATTTGTCAATTGACTCGCCCCCAGGTGCTTTATATCTATGCCGCTGTACGCTGCCACTTAGAGATGCATATCGGAAACCGCTTCGGATCGAGGCGCATGACGGCCAAAGATTCTGCGAATACAGAGGTATATGAATGTCATATCATAACGATTAAGAAAAAAAAATTACACTATTCGCGAACGCTGAGTCCAATGAGCGATACCACCGTCCTTGCTTGCAGTATTTTCCGAGGAGTTGGTTTCTGGTCTCCGCGCTGATAGGCAAAGTCTGTGGCCCTGGCTTATGGTTCGAGAGGTTCTTCTCCGCAATGAACAACTAGTATATACATAGGGAAGAGGACTATATTACTTACATTGACACCTTTACAGAACCTTGAGATGAGGTGTTTGTCCTCTCCGTGCTTGGTGAAGACAGCCGGTTTCTAGTAGTGGTGGGATTCAATCTTTAGAAGCCCCACCATATTAGTCTGTCCTTACCTTTTCAGAAGATTGATCTCGTGGGTCGTCTGGGCTGTCGTCTATGATGAATGGATGCGTTTTGCTCCCACTAGCGATCGACTGTGGCCGCGGTGATTCTACCTGCGTTTGGTACGTGAGTGGCGGTCCGCCCTTCATGCTCGGCGAGTTAGGTCTCGATGTTCCGGCGCGGTGATCTTTCAAGACCTAATCTGCTGGTCAATATAAGCTTAAGACGGCGTTTCCAGGACATACGTTAACAGATGACTTCTGACGTTTGTTGGAGACCGCATCTTCTTTGCGCGAGCGTTTCGGCGCATGCTATATAGATGCAGGCTGAGTATTAACTAGCCGCATTGAATATATGACTTACTTGCTCCTTCTCTCCTTCATCATCTGATATTTCAATTACTTCGTTCTTCCTTCGCACTCGCTGCAAGTCGTGGATTAGACCGAGATAAGTGGTGGGGAGAATAAAGAAATTACTCACCGGAATTGAAGGGATACCCCAGGCTAAGATTTTGGTAATCACAATCTCGTCGTCCGTGTCTGCGTCGGACGGACTCGACGCGTTGACCTGTATCGAAAGTGAGTCTTTAAGCTGAAGAACAAAACGATTCATTGGGATTGACCATGTTATGCGTTTAAGTGCATCAAGGTTGCCTGGTGTTTTGGCTCAACGTATGCGTAAGTCCTCGACTTGAATGTTGATTGTCAAGGGGAAACCGGTGGTCAACGTTGTTCATGCCAGGCTGCCTATTGAAGATGTCGATCATTGGTAGGCGCCCATTATTCGCTATGAACGCAATTCTCGCACGAAAGCTTCTTCAGTTCAGTACGACTACTTCGTCGTCCACGACGGTGTCCGCGGCAACTTTCACGGGTTCTTCTAACCCTCACTTCTAAAGTTGTCTTTCCTTTTGTCATGTCATTAGCCTCAAGACGGGTTGCCCGGTTAGCGGCATTTTCTCTTCGTCGGAGTGCCCACGCATCTACATCTGCACGATATAACTCTGTAAACGCGGACGACATTGCACACTTCTCCAAGTTCCTACCTACTTCGACCATCTTATCCACTTTGCCTCCTCAGTCTCTCCCGTCTTCGGAATTGTCGCCATTTAATGATGATTGGATGAACAAGTATCACGGGCAGTCCACTACAGTTGTGCGACCACGAAATGCGCTGGAAGTAAGTGAAGTTGTCAAGCGTTGCAATGAACGTGGCATTGCTATAGTTCCTCAAGGCGGAAATACTGGTCTTGTGGGAGGTGGAGTGCCGATCAAGGATGAACTACTTATTAACCTGGGCAATATGAACAAAGTGCGCTCTTTCGACCCAGTATCGGGTGCGATGCTCTCATAGCTCTGCAATGGTATACCGGTGCTAAGCATGCGCAACAGGTATCCTAGTGGCAGATGCTGGCTGCGTTTTGGAGTCACTCTCTGAATATTTGGCACCACATAACCATATAATGCCACTTGACCTTGGTGCAAAGGGCAGGTACGTTTTGTTCGCACGCAGGGTTGCGGAGTATTCACACAATCAACAGTTGTCAGATCGGTGGAAACGTCTCCACTAATGCTGGTGGTCTACGTTTGCTCCGCTATGGCTCTCTTCATGGTTCAGTCTTAGGACTTGAAGTTGTCCTGCCTGATGGAACTATCCTCGACCAGCTCTCGACACTGCGCAAAGATAATACCGGTGTGTGTCATGTTTCGCATCTTGCTGTACCTTGCTTATGGGCTTTAGGCTATGATCTGAAGCAGCTCTTTATTGGAGCCGAAGGTACCTTGGGTATCGTCACCGGTGTCTCAATTCTCACGGCCCCAGCCCCACAATCGGCAAGCAATGTTATTCTTGCATTGCCGAAGTTCGAAAATGTGCTTCCTCTCTTCGTGCAGGCCAAACGACAACTCTCGGAAATTCTGTCCGCATTTGAGTTCTTTGACAGGGAAGTATACGATCTGGCGATCAAGCATGGACAAGGACGCGCCCTCAGCGAGGAAGATGTCGAAGGCGCAGAATGTTTCGTTCTCATGGAGACCAGCGGCGGAAAGCGAGAACATGATGAAGAGGTACAGTTTCAGACTGACTCTTATAACTGATTTAAAACCTGACTTTCAGTAAAGAAATTGAACCAGCTCTTAGAAACACTTTTTGAGTCGGACAAACCGTTGATCAACACTGGTGTGCTGTCACAATCACCAGCACAGTTTGCTTCCATGTGGGCCATTCGAGAAGGTCTTACTGAGGCTGTCTCCAAGGAGGGGAAGGCGTACAAATACGATATATCTGTGCCCTTGGCCAAGTTCAAGGAAGTCGTGGACACTACCAGGGAACACCTGGGATCAAAAGGCCTTCTTCGTGACGACGCTGTTAAGCATGTCGTCGGCTATGGACATGTAGGAGACGGTAAGTACTTGACTACTTGACGCAGAGAGGCTCCAGCGCGACTCACAAACACATCCTTCAGGTAACCTACACCTCAATGTTGTTGCTGCTGCGTACACTCCAGAGATAGAAGCAGCGTTGGAGCCTTTCGTATATGAACTAGTGGGTGAGTAACAAGTCACCGTGTTCAGAATTTATACCAAACTGAAAATGCCCTCCAAGCTTCATACAAAGGTTCTGTTTCCGCAGAGCACGGTATAGGTGTTATGAAAACTCATGCGCTGCATTATTCCAAGAGTAATGTAAGCATAGAGTGGATGAAGAGGATCAAACAGCTCTTCGATCCAAAGGGCATCATGAACCCTGGCAAAGTTCTTCCGTAGTCGTAAGAGATGCTTCTTGGGAATCATTGCATGTACCTGTACCTTGTTTATGGACGTCTTGGCTACGCACATGCATAGACTTTGAATCTCGACGTCAGAGAATCGCAGTTGCACGCAGACTGAGAGCAAGACGGCATCTCGGCAGATCACGTGAACGCTCCTAACCCTGATAAAGACGGACCCTAACCCATGCGCGGCTAACCCAACTCTAACCCAGTTCTCAGTCTTACGAAGACCATTCTGCTCAAGCAGCCGAGCTCACACAATGCAAACAGAGCCTAAAGTATTGCTTAACCGACATTACGCTATGGCTTTTGCTAACCATTCATTTGTATCAAGAAACTTCTCTTTCAAGATGACAACCAAATACCTATCAAGTTCTTCATTCAGAGGGATATCCCTGAGCAGATCCAAGCAGAGTTATGCGAGTCTATAGCGGTATGTTTGCGTCTATTCGTGTGCAGAATCGAGGTACTCACTGCATACACAGGCAGAAGGAGGTCGCGTCGAATCTAAAGTACCCCGTGCTGGTTATATCCTGATACAACCGGGCAGCCCTGAAGGAGAACGTCTCCTGACATGTTGGGCTTCGGGGGAAAGGCCTGAGCGATTCATTGTGCCTTATACCTGGGTTGATGCATGCAGGATTCACAAATTGTTACTCAAACCGATATTCATCGTCGACGGGGAACCGATCCGCATGCATATCGATTCAAGTATTGCTAATGTGAATGCGCGTGCCCTTCTCAGTTCCCGTATAATCGTGAGTCCCTGCGCCACAATCGCATAGTTGTGAATGGTGGTCTCTAACATCTCACCAACTCCTCGGTTGATGATCTTGCGCACGACAGCATTCAGGCGGTGATCCTTCAGCATCCGCTCAATCAGCACGTGTAATCCTCGCCGACCCCAATACGGAGGTCTTTCAGCATCTTGTCAAGACTTATCAAGGGGAACCGGATAAATATGTCGAATCATATTTGTGGGTCAAGAAGTGCCAAGAGCGAGGGGTTCTGAGCTTCACACCCGTTGTTTACAAGAACCCAGGGGGTCGACGACCTGGAGAAGAGTACGTACATCTCACTCGTGGGACTTTCCATTCGGGAACTCATCTATGCCAGGCGAACTCAATTCACAGATGAGGATGAAGAGCACCTATGCAACTGGATCGCTGCCAAGATCCCATACAAGGAAACAGGAGGGAGGACAGGTAATCGCTTATATCAACAATTGTGTGAAATGGTAACTTTTCATGATTTGCGAGCGTTTCATGCAAGCTTATATTTTGCATATCAGTCCCAAGATCCTGAATATTCCTGGGTCTCTCGACATACATGGCAGTCCTGGCGGGAACGTTACAAGAAGAATGCGTTTCGGCTAGATAACAGGATAGCGCAAATTGTAGAGGAGAAGAAGCCTGCCTTGGGTGAGAAGGGTCAATATGGCTATGTTCGCAAGCCCGAAGAGAAGCCAAAGCGGACCAGAAGGAAGAAGAATCATGTTCAGGATACCAACATAAACGGGAACGTAGCCGGACCTTCTACGAAGAACGACATAGACGAACCACCTATGGCGCTGCATTTACCCCTCCCGCCACCTCCGCACCCAGGCATGGCTGCTCCAGAAGGTCCACCGAACTATTCTGTTGTGTTGTATGCTCATCCACCTCCGCCTTTCCCTCCGATGATCCCTCCCGCAAATGGTAGACCTTTGGATGTAGCCCTCGCACGACAGAACGCCCAAGAACAAGAGATGGAGGATGGTGAAGAGGAATCGCAATGGCCTATCAGAGTAGCCGATGGCCCCCCACCGGCGTGGGCCAAGAGACGGGCGGATACCGAGGAGGAGGGTCCAAATAAGAGGCCACGCACAGAGTAAGTGTTTGTAACATAACCTTGGTTCTGGTACTAAGAATCTATATGTAGAGTGCCAGAAGAAGTTCCGAGGATATCTCCGCCAGTCCTTCACGTAATTGACCAAGGCATCCAAGATCTTGCTCGAGAATTCCGGTTCACGATCGAGGAGGTCCGGGAGTACTATGATAAGTGTGGAGATATGGAGCGTACGAGGAATAGGTTTAAGAGGATGCGAGAGGTACTTCAAGCCCTGCCGGATGACGAATCGCCTCTATCGTAGTTCCCATGGCAATGTGCCAGATGTTGGCCCAATGTGTATCATATAGAGTACCTTGAAGCATGCTTCATGAACATTCTTTGCTCGACCGACAAAGATGATGGAAGGCAAGGCATCCCCTCGATTGTTAGGGAGCATCGAAATCCGTCAATAATTTATAATCTACAGCTCTAACAGGAGCTGTAGGACTATCGAATGCTTTACGACGCCTGAAGGACCAACATCAGTATCGTTCTTTGAAAAAGAAAACAGTTTATGGACTTACTTCTCGCCCGCCGCAACGGACGGAAATGAACCGAAGAGATCCGGATGTTTGGGAAAGGGTGATTCCCTGTAACCAGTTATCAGATACCGTTCTAACAAAACAAAAATGTCCGCTTACTTGAAGTATGGGTGTTGCAAAGCTTCTACGGCACTGATCCTTTCCTCAGGATCATAAGTCAACATATGCGACAGTAAATCAACCCCGGCATTAGTTATATGAGGGAATTTTTGCCGTAGTTGAGATGGGTGAGGAGCAGGTAGATTGATTGTCTTCGCTAGTGGAAGTTTATCGTAGTCCGGCCATGTCGAACTTGTCGGTGGTCCAAGAAGCTTGAAGATCATAGAAAGCATCTCAATCTCCCCTTTAGCTTGGAAAAGTGGCTCCTTCAGGAGTAATTCAGCGAAGATGCAACCAACGGACCACATGTCTACTGCAGTGGAATAGATTGTCTCGCCCAGAAGAATCTCAGGAGCTCTGCATAAGTCTCATTGTAAGCAATGATGTAAAGTCATACTTGACATGCTCGTACCGATACCATAATGTGACGACTAGTTGAGTTAGGCCGCCTACGCCGACAGGATCCCCATACCTGCGTGCTAAGCCAAAGTCCGCAACCTTGATCGTACCGCGATTATTCATGAGCAGATTGCTTGTCTTGAGATCTCGATGGAGAATCCAGCGTTCATGACAGAATGCAACGGCAGACAACAACTGTCGTAGCAAGGTTTTTATTTCGGATTGTAGGAAGGGTGCCGGCATTACGGTGAGCAGCATCTTCAGATCATGTTCTATGAAGTCCATCACAATAAAGACTCTTCCATGGCAAGGAGTATGAGTTGTATGAGATAATGGACACAGAACAAGATAGTACGCACTGTGTTAGAGTTTCCCCTACGACAACCTCTCGAATCCCCACAACGTTCTCGTGTTGACAGACCATCAGCGCGTTTATTTCGCGCAAAGCAGTGATTGGAAACCCATGCTTCTCTTCATCCAATTTCAGCTTTTTCAACGCAACGATATCTCCGGTCTCCTTGTCCCTTGCGCGAAACACGACGCCATATGAGCCTTCCTCGATCGAGTTCAGCCGTTCATAGCAGTACACCGAGCGCGACGGCGCAAACGGAGGGTGATACGTCCGTGGCGGTACATATATGCTATGCAATGGCCGTTTACGTTGCACCTGCACTCGGCTCTGTGGACGAGGTTCTGGAGTGGGATTATGTGAACGGGAAACGGATTGGGAGCGTCGAGACTTCGAACGACGTTTCGGCCTGGGTATTTCAATTACTTCATCCTGGATATCTTCGTGGGTATCCCAACGAGAACGTTTACGCGAAGGAGTGGAGGTACCGGTTTCACTCGCAGAAGCAGACATGGTGGAAGGAGAGGTAGTCATGAAGCGCCCATACTGTCGATCATATGCGTGAAATCATCAGGACCAAGTGGATATCGTCAAACTTCAGTTGCTAGTTAGCATGTTGTGTATGATAATATACAGACGATATAGCATTACAAGAGAGCAGAGAAATACAAAAACAAACACGAATAGATATATCCGAAAGCAATAAACAAGCGTCCCACGATTAGTTGCAAAAACTATCCAACTCGAACCAAACTAGCCAAGTCTGAAAACATCAACGGGTCGAGGTCACCTAACGTCATAATTTGCCACGTTATGTCTTCTTGGTATCCACTGAACAGACCGTCCCCAGTCTCCAATCTCGTCTCTCCATGTTCACCCCAGCCCATGCCGAAGGCCAGCGTAGGCATGGATGCATGCGACGTGTCAAACGAATCTTCACAATCGTCGATGAGCTTAGTGGTTTCTATCGCTCGGCGGACAACGATCATGAACCATTGACGAGATGCAGGGTCCACGAGAAGCTTTCTAATAAACCGAAGGATGACTTTGTGGAAACGAAGTCGGGTATCCGTCTTTATACGTTTCTTTGTTTCCGGCGGTGAGAGGAATGACAGCGAATACATCGCGAGCATGAGTCGCTCCATGTATGCCAACCATGATTCATGTCTTAACACGGCGTAATCATTGTCGGAAAGTGGTAGGCGATGTACGAGAGCTTCGAATGTCGTCCATAACCACCCTTGTGGAATGACCTGAGACATGAGTTTGCGGGTATCGTCCGGTTGGCATATACGAGCGAAGCATTCCAGAGCGGTGCTCATCAGGACTGGTGGCGGCGGTGGAGGTACGTTGGGTAATAATGGAAGGCCAACGGCCAACACACACTGGAACGGTCCTGCGGCCTCATCTTCATCGACGAAATAGGAAGCCAATAACGAGAATGCACGGCGTGCTATTCGTTTCGATTGTATTGACGGTGAGCCGGACGATTGCATGAGACGAACACCGGCGGAGATATTGAGCATGACATACACGGTATCTTTCCGTACGGCGATAATGTCAGGAAGGGAGAGTACCGAGCATACGGCTGCAGGTAATCCACCCGGACTCCAAGGCTTAAGACCGCACAAACGAAGAAGGACGCCGAGGAATCTAGGGTGTTTCGCGAGGAATTCGTGATTTTCGACAGGTATTGAGAGGTTGCGAAGTACGTTCATTGCTGCAAGGATGATATCACCCGGCCGATGTCCGGGACCGACACTCCGGTCCTTCCAACCTTGTCGAGTTTTCAAGTTAGCGAACGGATGTGAGCCATCATCCACGAGTGAGGTGACGAGTTGGAGGTTGGTAATGATCGGTGAATCTTCACTGAAATCTGCATCCGTGTCCTCCTCTCCGTTGAACGCAACGTCTTCGATCAGATCCAGCATCTCTTCTAGTAGGTCGGGTGCTTGGGCAATGGGAAACCCATTGTGCGATCCTCTGAAGACGGTAAGCATGGAGAAAGTCGTAAGGCCGTATGAGAGTTCCGTTGAGATTCGAGAACGAAGAGACAATGTTAACGCCTCAACGTCGATACTCCCCCATTCGTCATTGGGCTTTCGCGGTCTCTGAGCAGCAACATTGAATTCGTGCTCGATGAGCTTGAGATCTCGACCACCGAATGTTTCAAGCTCGCGTCTGAGTGGGACATATTCAATCCTTCGTCGTGAAGGCTGTTTTACAGTCGTCTGGGCCGGAGCACTACTGGGGCCTACAGACTGTAATGGTCATCAGCGAAGGACGAAACCCAAGGGAAGCAAGCTAACTGACACTGCGAAGGTCCGCTCCATCCGAACCGTCTAATCACTTGCCGTCAGTAGTCAGAAGAATGAAGCGAAGCAAATACTTACTCGTCTTTTGTCTTGCCCGCTTGCTGTCTGCTTCCTCGGACTCTCTCATTTTCCTTTTGCGTCCATCTGGATCCTGAGAATCAAAGTCGCTGCCGGTGGCTGAGACTGAACCTGGGAAGTTAGGGAAAGCCGCGGTCCCTGAAAGTCCTGCAGAAGCCATAGGATCGGCCCCTACCGGGCCAAGAGCATTGTCACCAGATCCATTCAATCCACTGAATGACTGAGATGGCGTACGAGGAGGGAACTGCCCAGTACCGACGTTGTTCAATGTATCCGGCTGGGAAGAAGGACCTGCCATTGGCATACCCACGCCGCCTAACGACAGGTTGGGATTGCTACCTGTCCGCTGTAGAGCATTCATTGGTGGAGGGAAAGCGGGCATGCCGTCAGGTCGTCCTTGCCCAAGCATAGGCATACCGGACGACTGCGCGCGTGCCATCATGGCAGCACGCTGTTGCTGTTCTCTGACCATGTTCTTACGGTAGGCCTCTTCGAAGGGGCCAATCATCATGTTATATACATTCTGCAACGTTTGTGTGATAGATTGCTGGTGACCACTTGGATGCATTAATTGTTCCGGCAGGTCAAGATGGCGAACGATCTGTGGCCATAAACCATCTCGCGTCGCCTACCGCGGAACGCGTTAGAGAAATTTCAACGTGAGACACAGTGACGTACCTTTTGACCGCCACCAACGTTGAGGACCAAAGCCCAGAGCTTAAACAAGTCTACATCTTTGCCTGCTAAGCGAATGTTTCCAATCTCTGTGGGTGACACCTCCACGGACCTCCACGGCGAGTTGGTAGGGTCATAGCCGGGCGGATAGGGCACGCCTGTTAGTTGAGGAGGAAGGGGGTTACGTTGGTTCAAGATACTAGCCAGCCCACTGAGAAATTGCCGCTTGCGCTGTAGTTGGTTTTGCTGCATGGCGGCAGGGTTGGAAGGAGGTTGGGGCTGCGAGGGGAGAGCAATTGAGCGGACATGAATAGCGAGTGAGAGAGACAAAAAGGAGTCTAACTGACATTTGGAGGCTGAGACTGGGCCGGGAATGACACGCTTGGCATGGTAGCGAAGGCGGTAGCGTTCATCTCCTGACCCATGGCAGGATCAGAGCGATTTGGGTTGTTTATCGACATTCCTCCGAAATAACCTGCCGAAGTTCCGCCAGGCGCAGAGCGGTTGCCCACCTTCGCGAGACTCGTGGCTTGGAGAGCTGCCATCTGCTTGGCCGTATATGGGTCCAAGCTGAACGGCATGGAAGGATCGGAAGAACCATTCTGAGACTGGAAAAGTGATGGTTGGGGGGTCTGAGGAGGGACGGATGGACTTTGCGGATGAAGGGGACGTTAGGCGAGGAACGTAGAAAGGGACAAGATATGGAACTCACAGCATGATCTTCCGTTACAGGGTAGCGACTGGTTAGCCGTTTACGCTTTAATTTGCTCCGAGTCCGAGTCGAATCCAGTCTTTCTCGCAACAGTCCACAGCGTTCTCCTCCGCAAGCGCCCAATGCCTCGTGCCATCAGACGCCCTTTCTTTTTTTCCCTTCAGCTTTCAACCGCTTTTCGCTTTCTCCTTCACTCTCCTCTATGCCTGCTTCTGAGATTGACGACATTTTTGCCTCCAAAGGAAAGGCCAAGGCCGTTCCTCTTGCTGGCTCTTCTTCTTCCAAGCCTACTGATAGCAAGAAGAAAAAGAAAAAGGGAAAAAAGGAGCAGCAAAAGGCTGTCGGCAAGCGAAAACGTGAAGACGAAGAACCTGACGTGGAGAAGGGAGCTCGCACTACAAAGCTCAAGGTGCCGGAAACTGTCATTGACCCTTCCGCTCATCTCGCTGTGCCTTCAAAGGGCAAGAGCAAGGGTGATGCAGCGAGCACCGCTCGTCCGCTCCCGAGCAAAAAACCTCGGCCGGACAAAGAGGACGAGGAACGCTTCAAAGATTCAAGAGGCAGTGGGCCAAGTATGTCGTCGTTGGTAAATGTTTCCCTTTCTTCTCGTAATACAATCGCCTCTAGGGCGCACAACCGAGGAAGGTTTTTCTATCTACAAAGAGGACGAACTCGGTATCACCGATCAAGGTGGAGGTGAGTGACTGATGCCTCTTTTGTGTCTGAATGGACTCCATGTTTAACCGTGTGCTCTCCCAGATACCCCTCTTTGTCCATTCGATTGTCAATGCTGTATGTCATTCCTTTACCTTATTTTGTTGCTATTAATACTAACGTGGACCTGACAGGTTTCTAGATGTCCTTGTATCAGATACAATTCAATGCAATATCCTTTCTATTCTGTCTTTTTTTCCACGCGTGCTTCGGCTCTATCGAAGCCTCGTCTACCGCTTTTGCAATGGTTTTGCGAGGTCAATGTGTAGCCAACATCGACTTTCTTCCTTTCAATCTCGCAGTCGTGCTTGTTTTCTCCAGCTCGCTGAGACTTTCGCCATTGTGCATCTCAGGAAGTACATTACTCGCGCAAATATACTTGGTTCAATTTCCTCGCAGTGCAGTGTCATGTCTCAGTCATTCCTCCATGGCTGTTTGTCTTCAGTTTATGAGTTCAACACAGGTAACGCCCATCGGCTTCCTAGCACCCTTGCCTACCCTATTTCTATGGTATTGCGAGGTCAAACGGGAGCCAATATGGACTGTGTTCCCTTCTACTTTCTTACTCAAGCTCACGATCGTATGTTCGCTTGAGCGGTTTGGCTGTCCGCCTGGTGGGACACATGTATATATTGTCTTTCTACGCCCCTAAAATGCATACCATCCCTGCACGTTTTTAGCTAATTTTGACACAAGCCTGTGTACCGATGTCGGGAACTCCGACTTTATTGCACTTCGTAAATAAATATGTGTACATGGGCGCCTGTCGCTGCAAGCATCTTGGCGTTTATGGAGAGCATAAAGATGAGCTCGCACAGCTGAGTACGCAGCTCATCTCTTCCCTTAACCATGACCTTTGACGAACCCCCAACCTACTCACAGGACGACAGCGATCTGTCCGATGAAGGAAGCCAAAGCGGCGGCGACCTCCAAATCCTCATCGTACCCGCTACGAATAGCACGGGATTCCAGAAGGGCTACCTCGGTGCTGATCTAGAACGTGCGGCGATTGAAGGCGAATTGCAAGTGAAGAGTGCAGATAGGATTCAATGGGGTAAAGTGTTTGTTGACCTCGTTTCTCGCTATTGCTGTCAATCTGAGCTGATGTAATTTCTGCTCCCCTAGGACAATATCTTTGCGGACCGTAGAAAGGGCCAATGGATATGAGATTGAACTCAATCGCTCTGAGCTCGTCCTTGTATCTTCACCTCCGGATAGAAGCGACGCTCAAACACCACAATCGACATTCCCATTCTCCATCCCACTTCCACCAGATACGCCGCAATGTATTCACACACCGCATTCCGCAGTGTCGCATACGTTGACTGCTAGGCTAGTCCCCGCGCAACCAGGTGCACAAGCATACACCAAGGAATTGGTCATCCATACCAGGCGGTACACCTCGCACTCGTATGCCCTAGGTATAGCTCCGGAAACCAAAGCGATCGACGATCCAACTCGCGTAGAGGTTCAAGTTCCGCGAACAAGCTTCAAAGCGGGAGAGCCGATACCGCTTTACTTGACTATTCCTTCACCACGCAGGGAACTCGTCCTAGATGAGGGATTAAGATTGCGCAACGTTCGTGCTGAACTGATCCGACTTGTCAAGGTCAAAAAAGCCGATACGGAGAATGGTCCCTCATCCAGTAGGCAATCTGGTGTATTCGGGTCCATTGTTGGGGAATCGTCACAGGCATCTTCATCCGTTCAGAAACAACACAGTCTTTCTTCCTCGCATGCGTTGGATATGCGATCACTTGTTGGAGTACCAGGTGGTGGTGAGGTTGTTGCGCTCTCAGGCACATCCTGTCGTCTGCACCCTACGCGACCGCTACATTTACGACTCGTATTACACCAACCCCGTGATGACGATCCCCTCTCGAACCAGTCCCCGAATCTGCATCTTAGCGACGCGTCTCACCAAGAGGTAGTGACAGAGTGCACCTCGATCACTCAAACAACTCTCCTTCACTCTGTTTCCTTCCTTGTATGCATACATGTGACGTTCATGCACATGGGTACCCATACAGAAAGGGTCTCCACCATCTCCATCCCAGTAAACATCCTCCCGCCGAGCGCACCACTTCCAGAAGTCGAGGAATCACTGGATACGGCTTATCGGAAGAAACATGACCGCCCACCTACACGAACTGCCAGACATGAAGACGCTGAGGTACCTCATTACGAAGAAGGTGTGGCGGGTCCCAGTTTCCACGCCCAGGGCGCACCCCCGCCTTTCGAAGAGCGGGAGGCTCCTCCACCGTTCTTTTCCCAAGCACCCGAGGCATCCACTTCACGTCCGCCGACATTCCTGGAGTCTGAGACGGAGATCTACGTGCCTTCTCAGGAGGACCAGTCTATAGCCCCTTTGCCTTTGGCTCAGGATGTTGTTTTCGAAGGAGAAGGCGTTCTATTTGGTTTCTCACATTCAGAACAATTCGATGGGTATAACCAACTTGAAGAACAGGATAGGCCGATGACGCCTCCACCTACATTGGAAGAAGCAACCAGGGATCCGGACGTGACCGAATTGGCGACTCTCACGGAGACGGATGCTATCAACGCTCTTGAACTTGCCCTTGAGCAGCATCCTGATGCGCCAGATGCTGGACTTCCACCTCCACCCCCGATAGATGATAGTGACCCGCCTCCGTCTATTGATTCAGAGTTCACGTCGCCGAGCCGCCATCATACTGCCTCCCCACCCCATTCTCAGGCACCCCCTGCCTTTGCAGAACCGTCTGATTCCGGACACCATCCGCCACCTTCGCCACTCCCTACCAACGCAGAGAGTCCTTCACCGGCTCATGGTCATGCTCCGCCTCCGTATCGTGTTCCAGATAATTCCGAGCCAGAAGATCAAGAGAATGTCGCGCGTCCTCCGCCATATGTTGACTGAGGCCCTTTCAAGAAATGTACACCATTGAATGCCGTTTTGCGCAAATTTTATACTTACCTCCTGTAGCATACGGACACATAGGATTTTCACTTTTGTATATACAGCACAACAAAACCCACTTCATCATAACAAAGGCACAGCATCAAGAGTACGTCCATCCACATCCTCGTGTAAGTCGTTCAGACAAATATTAGCGCATGTACATGTAACAATGCAAAGGAGAAGAAGAAATCATATGTATAGATGAGAGGATAAAGGAAACAAGGGGGAATCTCGTACAAGGGACATGACAGAATAGTATAGCGTAAGTGCAAGCGACAAACAGGAAGTTGAAACGGGTCCTGAGGATGATAAAATCAGCATGCACAACCATCCTTCTTAGCATTATTCTCTTCCAGATTTACGCCTCCAGTTTGTTGCGCATTACCCGCCCGAGCACCTGGTGCGCCAGGACGTCCAGCTCCACCACGAGTGGAAGCAAGAATCTGGTCGATCGGGATCTTCTTGGCTGCAGCGGATACTCAGTACAAAGAAAGGGATCAAACACAACGCATTCTTACCAATTTCAGTGAAGATCTCGACAATGCCCTCGCCAGTCTTTGCACTAGTCTCGAAGAAGAGCAAACCAGCTTCCTGAGCATACGCCTCCGCCTCGTCTCGAGGCACCTGTCTGAGATTCTCTCCCTCTCCAGCTTCAACTCCGGCGTTCTCTCCAGGAGTGGCAGTGGCATCGTCAGCTTCGTCCTCAGGCTCGGGTGAACCAGGAGTCGATGGTGGGGATGGTGATGGCTGAACGAGATCAATCTTGTTTCCTGCAAGAGCAATGACAATATTGGGGTTTGCCTGTCGCTGAAGTTCCTTCACCCATGTCTTTGCCTTCTCTAAACTCGACGCTTTCGTAACATCATACACCACAACAGCGGCTTGGGCATTTCTGTAGTACATAGGCTGGAGTTCGCAGAACGCTCAGAGTTAAGCATGATCAGTTAGTTATATGGGGAATACGCATACGTACTGCGAGTGAATGGAAGCGCTCCTGCCCTGCAGTATCCCAAATCTCATAACGAAGCACTCGATCCTCAAGACGACATTTCTGGGTCAAGAACGCAGCACCAATTGTAGGCTCCTTATTTGGCTGGAATTCATTGGAGACCTGCAACGGGAAAGAACGTTCGATAAGCCGCTCCTTAAGGGACAACATATGTACAAGGCACTGACGAAACGTAGAACCACGGAGGATTTGCCAACGGCAGCTTCACCTACACATAACAAAATATGAACCCTGTGAGCTTTCATGCAACCAAGACGCTAGACCTAATCGCCCATGATACAGAGGCTTGCGAGAAAGCCTACTGCGGGGCTGGAATGAGAGACTCACCCAACAGCACGAGTTTAACCTGAACAGAACGATCAGCAGATCCGGATGCCGAATCTGCCATGTCTAGAGGGTAAGATACAGAGAAGGGGAAGGGTTATAGAGAAAATAAGGATAGCAAAGAAGGAGGACAAGCTGCGTCAAGTCGTGGAAGGAGGACGGCGGTGACAACTGTCTCACGGCCGTGCTCCTAGTCGCCTCTTCCGGCAACTTGCTTCCGTCCATCTACATCAGGCAGCTCTGGTAGGTCAAATGTCAATCGTTTGCAATTGCGTGCCCAGGGGAACCAGATACACAACAAACTCTACCCTAAGAAGGCTATATATCTGACAACGCAGGAAGTTTGTAATATGGGGCCAACTCGTCGCAAGTCACAAACAAGCCGTCCTCAATCTCCACCTTCTTCGCATCTGAAAACACGTCAGGACACTCGAACGGAATGATCTTTGTTTCTGAAGCCACCGTATCCCCTGCAGCTTTCGACGTGTCATTTGCAGAAGAGGTTGGCACGTCTTCATTGCCATCGATCGCTCGTTTCTGCTTCCCAGCCGCAGGTGAGTTCGGGAGTGCCGCTGTTTGGTCATAGAACCAGTAGCTCTCGCTTTTATAGTTGCTATTCTGCTTCTTTAAAAATGCATTGTACTTTCCTTTCGGATCGCCGTAAGCGGCGGCGACGGCGGCGACGTGTGGGAGGATATCGGTGACGTCCTCACCGTCAGGATCCTGTGCCATGGCATAGTCCAAAGCTGTTTGGATGGTGGCACCGTATTTTGACTTCGTTGTCCACACATTGACGCCAAGTTGGTCTGCAATCTTCGCATTCGTCTGGTGGACATTGTTCAGTGAAAACTATGCTAGACATCAGGCATGGACATACAATCATCGCTTCCAAGTTGAAGGCACGGTAATGATATGGTCGTGTTCGGACGGCTTCAAAGGGCTGCTCGCCAGACTGAGCAATCTGATCCTTGAATTGCTTCATGAAATAATTCTGGATAGTGTTGGTCGCTCCCTTGCTGTCACCAACAAAGACTTGGGCAGCAGAGAGCTGACTGACATAGAAGGACAAATGATTACTGAAGAAAATGGCTGTCAACTTGAAAAACAGAAAGATACGCTAACAAACGTACTTGGCTTTACCCGCTACCTCCTTTCCGAGGTCGCTATTCTGCAACCAGCCGATATATGTCTTCATCCAACTCATTAAAGCTTGGTCCCTTGCAGATGTCCAGTCGGGACCCTTCAGAGCCTTCATCAATTGAATCGCGTTTACGACTTTGACAAGACCACGCATGTCCAATGGTCCGGTGAAGGTCCCGATTTGATGGTCTTTACCAGGACCACGTACGAGTTGACCAAAGTTCAGATTTGGGTGCATGGCGGTGGAAGAGGTGAGGAAAAAAGCGTCGACAAACTTCCCGACGTTCTGCGAAGTCGTACCGGACTTGGAGAAAGCATATGTAAGAGCATTAAAGAGCACCGATTCCGGCATATCCTGAGCAGCGCTCGAGCCCGGGAGGGTGCGCACATCGGGATTGACTTTTCCATCACGGACAACGTAAGGACATGTTGTCCAAGCTGGACAACACGTTGTCAAAGGTGATCTCAAAAAAGAGTCTGCTCACTTACTAGCACTCGGTGCTAAACTCTTTGTGGGCGAAGGTGTGCACGCAGCCTTAGTATCCTTCTCTTTCCCCTTAGCGGCTGCTTGGGCGGGAGATGGCGTACCTGCAACTGGCTTGTTTGTCCTCGTCGTACCCTGAGTAGGCTGTGAGGTAGGCACAGCAAAAGGCGGGGTCAACGCAGGCTCAGGCGGAGGTGGATCATCGACGATGGGTAGGGGAAGATCGACGTCGCGAAGGTCATAGCAAATTGATGTTGCACGCTTAACTCGCCTCATCCGGTGGTCGGTGCGCGCGACATTCTGCTGGGTATTCACGAAATAGTCGGGGAAAATCTCTCCGAAATCGAGACTTTCTTCATGCGCTGAGTCGTCTGGGGCATCTTCCTCAGGGACATCGCCTGCACCGTCATCCGGCTCTCCAGATGTGGCATTCGGATTGGCAATCTGCTTGGTGCCCTTAGTACACCAGTTGCAATCCGGCCAATGGCTGAAATATCATTGAATGTCGATGAAAGAAAAGAGGACATGATATACAACTTACTAGGGTGCCCAGCTTAAATAGTCATGGACATCTCCACTCGGAGGCTTGACGCCAGTTTTCGACATGATTGCTATAGCTGACCGTCAGCGTCGCATTGAAATATAAAACTAATCAACGTGTACTCCATGGACCATCTTTCGCGGTGCTTCCTGCTTTGCTTATGATAGTCTTTTGTGAGAATGATGTAAAAGAGGACCCGCCTCCTGCTTGTTGCAAGATGTAATTAACATTGATCCAGTCATTGGGCTCGGCTGACATCCACATACTTCAGTTCTTCTGACAATGCGAAAGTGCGTGGACTATACCTGCAAAGCCAGCCGTGGCAGCGGCAAGAAATGCGAAGACCGGCAACGCTGTAAAGGGCATGATAAAAATTATAACAAAAAGGCTATAAAGCTCAGCTCAGCTGAACGAAGGGAAAGCGATGGTTGGAGGAACAGACAGATCGAGGTGCTCTTTACTGCTGAGGCTGGCAGGATCGGTGGCAGGCAGTAGCAGCAACAAGGCTGGCATTCTGCAAATGTGGTAGTCTCGATCACAACGGCAGTGATATAGATATAGTGTTCTTCATTTTAGTAGAAAGTAAAAATTTAGGGCAGCACGTCTGGGATGAGAGCCCTAAGAGACTGTCAATGTGCCATATGGGAACCCCGTATTGACATGTTGCGAATAGAACTGGGACTGCAAGAAAAAAAGTGTTTGTAAACTGCCCTAATTTGAAGCATACGGTAATATATGCACCTGTGCCTCCTGTAGAAGGAGTGGCTAGAGGCATACTTAGCTCAGAATCGGTCAAGGAATGTGTCGGGGAAACTTGGATAACCATTTATGGGCGTCGGGTATATCACTTGTTCAGTAGCCACGAGGCAGCGATCGGTCGAATTCCCTGCGAGAATAATTTAAGCTCGTCTTTTGCTTTCCTTCGCGTTTCTTCATAATTCTCATTCTTGAGACCAAGTCTTGAGCTGAGCTCGAGAAATTGGTTACATGGCCGCCTCTACTTCAATAATTGTGCTTAGGAAACGCAAACGTGCCGAAAAAAATCATGATAATCTAGTACTTCACCTCTCATCTTCACCTTCTCCGAGCTACGACCCGTTTTCGGCATCCGAGTCTGAATTTGAGGTAGAGAAGTATCCGTTCGCATCCTCCTCGACCGCAGACGTCCAACGCAAAAGGAGGAAACAATACGCCTGCACGCTTGAAGGATGCAACAAGATATACTCGAAACCGTCGCGTCTGGCTGAACACCAAAGATCTCACACTGGAGATGTACGTGGATTGTACCTGTTCTCTCCCACTGTTTCTCTAACTTATAATCTAATAGCGACCGTTCATTTGCGCGGTCTGCGATAAACGATATTTACGAGAATCGCATCTGCAAGCGCATTCACGTTCTCATCTGCCTAGCTCTGCAAAACCCTTTGTCTGTGAAGAAGCTGAATGTGGAAAGCGCTTTTGGACTGCCCAACACCTCCATGTGCATAGCGAGCTACACAAAGGCGAGAAACCGTACCAGGTTGGTGATATTAGTGTCATTCTTCCGGAACAATATGCTCATAATTTGCGCAGTGTAATGAGCCAGGATGCGGACTAGCATTCGCGAAACACCACCAGCTGCGTGACCACATGTGTTCAGTCCATGCGCCGCCCGGTACGAAGCCATACCGCTGTGAACACTCTGGCTGTGCAAAGTCTTTTTCTACCAGCCAGAAGCTTCGTGCCCATCTCAAAACTCATGATGGTCAGTTCCGGCTGTTTGTTATGCTTCTGAATTGATGCTCACATTTTACTGCATGCTCAGAGAAACGCTATACTTGCATTCAAGATTCTTGTCTTGCCTCGCAGCCCTTCTTCGCAACTTGGACGGCTCTTCAACACCACATGCGAACCGCCCATCCGCCAACATGTCCGCATCCAGAATGTAATGGAAAGGTTTTCACCGCGCAGAAAGGGTTACGTGCCCACCTCAGAATACACGAACAGCAAAACGTAGAGACAGAACTTTGTGCCGCTGAACCCCAGAGCGACGCTGAGACTGACAATGAACGGCCCAGAAAACGTAGAAGAGGCGGGGAAGTTGGACGCGACTGGCTCTGCGATGTTCCAGGATGTGGCAAAGATTTCAAATCTGTGCGTACCTTATCATCGCTAATGAGTACGCCCTCTGACGAGGCACACATGATAGAAAAAGGCCCTAACAACTCACAACAACATCTCGCATTTAGGACGCAGAGATTTCGTGTGTCCACATGAGAGTTGTAGCCGCGCATTTGGTTACAAGCATCTTTTACAGCGCCATCTAGCCAAGTTGCATCCCACTGAGGTCGCTGCCGTCCTGGTGGACCCGGTAACTGAGGATGTGGAGGATCACGTTGAGACTTCCGACGCTTTCGATATCGATGATATCACCGGGGTGACTTACGGCGTCCGTGCTAAAGAGAGGATGCAATCTACGAGAGCCTTGCAATGCCCTCATCCAGACTTGCAACCATTTCTGGGGAGCATTCACCAAGCTCTCCCTGCTGGCAATGCAAAGTGCGAATATGTCTTTAGCCGAGCTTATGATCTTCGGAGACATCTTCGAGCTATACACTGCTTGGATGTTGAGAAGGAGATAGTCGATGAATGGGTTAGAGCTGCTAGAAACGCCAAGGCTTCTACGTAGAGTTAGCCAGGTTTTGTAGATCATTCATCACACCTTTATTTATTGCTTTGCTTGCGCAGTGCCTTTTCATAGTTATCTAGTGTATATATTACGATCGCCCAATATGCCATCGCCCAATATACCGCGAAGGCGACCCGTACATATGATATAGTAACAACAGCTTGAGTAGACAGATATGACGATGCGAGGATGATGGATAAGGTCAACGAGAGGATGTACGATGCAAGTAAATACGTCCATAGGCATCTACTGTTGGGTAATATGAGTAAATTAGAGCAGGTATCATGATGCTGGAGATATACACATGTCAATCTTGTGGATGAGGTTCATAGAGAATGTATGCGATGGTCATCAAGGGCTCGTACGGGGAGGCTAGGTGTCTGAAGTTCTGAAGAAGACGATGGCGACAAGCAAAGAATGCGGAAGGAGCCCGCCCTCCGCTCACACAGATATAGTTCATCATCTTTTCGTCCGAGAAACAATACTTCATCTTGAGATTCGCCGTCAGCATCGCGATCACCACCACCAAGCGAAAAGTCAGTCCTCCCAGGCGACTTCGTGGGTCCTGTACTCTGTTTCTTGGGTTGCAGACGATGTGCAGGGAACTTCGACGGAAGACCGAAAACAGCAGATGGGGATGAAGTCGATGAGATGGGTGCGCCAATCTTCCAGACGAAAGCGCCCCGTCTGTTGATGCTGGACAAAGGGGGATGGAAGTGCGGGAAGAGCGTGCGCGAGTAATCAGCGGGCTTGAGTAAAGCATCACCGAAGTCAACTACCTCCAAACCCCCTTGGCGCATTGCGACCAGGACTGCCCGGTCATTGACATCGAATGCTTCAAGGCGTTTGACATCGCCAAGTCGAGGAAAGCTTGTGTTGAGGTCATCATCGGCATCCGCACTCCACAAGAACCGTCCCTTCAGAACCGACCGGCCGCGTGCATCAACAATTGTGGTGCTGTGTCCACCACGAGACGAGTAGAACAGGGCAGGTGGTCCAAAATGCTTTGGCTGGGCAAGCAACGATAGCGGCCTCAGTAAAGGTTTTGATGCATCCAAAGGAAGGGGAACAGCATGAGCAAGGGACTGCGTCGGTGGGGGAGGAGAAGAGCGGAATGGATGGGTAGGATCTAAGCATTGAGAACGCAAATCTTTGAGCAGTGTATACTCCGTGTCTTCCTCTCTCCTCACAGGTAGTTCCGGTGGAAGAAGTCCATCCTGGTACCAAGCTTGCATCAGAGAAGTCTTCCAAGGACCTATATAACCCGTTAGAATCAAACGCAAAAGATATTACAGGTAGACGTACCATGAACAACGCCTTTCGGATCCCGGTAGTACCATTTGGACGGTGGGGATGATGTAGGCACAGGCAACCCTGGAGGAGAGAACTGGACTTGGGACAAATCAACATTATTGCTGCCGTTCACTTCAGGCTCATACTGATTCCGATAACCGATGAACGAAGGGTACGTAGGAGGAATAACGTAGTCATCCGCGATCGTCGCCAGAGGGAACTTTGGGGCAAAGTGGAGTTGTTGGAATGTCGAGTATGGACTCATCTGGGCAGTGGCCAAAGTTATGAGCTCGTCAGTAGCACTGGCTGCCTCCGCGTTCCCAGTTGGCGTCTCTCCAGATTGAAGAGGAAGGGTTGAGCCACTGGGACTTGGACTCGGTAACGGTGATTGGGCGGGTGGGCCTTCCTCCATCCCAGTGGGCGGGGCTGGCGTGACTGCTACTCCGATGGAGACATTCACTGAGGTCTCTTCCTCACCAGGCATTGTATCGCCATCCGCAGGCTCGGCGGGGTCATTTGGGTCGGTCGTTCGGTTCTCCCTCGCTCGTCGACGAGCTGCTCTCCGCTCCGCCCTACCAATGCGTACTTCACGTACCCGTACCGTGGCAGGTTCAAGGCCGAAAACGTTCTGAGAGAATACTAGGAAAACCTCAACCAGATCATCGCCTTGTAGCTGCAACTCCAGCGAACGTGGTGAGTCTGGGAGAATAAAAGTGCGAGAAAGACCCAGTGCTGTGCGGTATGTACCAGCGAAAAGTTCCACTTTCTCGCCATTTTCTCCACAGAGAATGGCCAAAAAGCTGATGATGTCATTAGTCCTATAGTTCCGTGTTAGATATGACTCTTACCTCTTTTTAGCAGTCTCGACGGCCTTGATCATCACTGAACCCTTGGTACCTGGCAACTTGACATACTCAAGTTTCGGTGCAGGAGCGTGAGGTGCCATGGGAGTCGTCAGGTTTCTTCGAGAATCTGAATCCGCAGTATTCGGCGTAGGAGGTCGATCATCGTTGCGGCGATTGTAAAATGCATTCGTGAGGATCCTCGGAATGAATCGCGATGAAACAGACGGAGCAGGTGTTGGAACTGGAGGTACCGTCACCGTTGATGTGATAGTGTGGCCGTCTGCAGTAGCCGGACGACCATTAGAGGGTGCCCGCGGAGCACTTTGAGGCAATGAGGACACCGCGCGAGTGGATTGCGACCGCGACAATGTTCTCTCCCTCGTCTCGGTATCTGTATGGACCGCATTGGCCTGGGAGGGCATACTAGTTTCCGGTACTGATGGTATCGAAGACTGGGAAGCATGTGCCGACGATGGGGTGAAAATACCATCGAGAACAGACCATCTCCGACGTCGTCGGTTTGATTGATCACCTGTGCTTCTCCTAGTGTACGTCGAGTGTGTATCAGACGTTCGGGGGCTTGCAGTAGGATCTTCGTCGCCCGATGCTACCGAGCTAAGCAAGATTGCCTCTTGTGGTTGACGAGTTCCAACGGGAGGCAGATTGGGTAGACGACTTTCAAACAAAGCATCTGCCAAAGATATTCGTTCTCGAGTTGGCGTAGTAGGGGATGAAGGAGGAGGATCTGCATCTGCATCTTCATCCTCATCTGCCTCTCCATCGGGTTCCGGCGTCTCATTTGTATTTTGTCGGCTGAGTGTATGCCTGGCAGGAAGAGCCGGTGTACTACCTGGAGAGGCAAGAAGTGCTTGACGCAATGTCAAAAGCGTAGGCGTAGGCGATGGAGGCGCCGTCGGAGAAGTAGCGACATTTCCATTCGGTCTGAGCATGCTGAGATCTAGATTACTTGGACGATGTCGACGATTATGAATGGAAGATGAAGTTTGAGTGCGAGGAACTTCTAGCCGGGCGCCCGACGTCGAAGCGACAGCATGCGCAGATGCGGACCCAGATGCAGCTGCACTCGTACGTTCGTCCAAAGCTTGACTTCCACTTGGGGCAGCAACGGGATTGATTGCCTCATCGTCACTAGATACCCAGTCAGGCTTCGTGTCATCGTGGACATCTCGTTCAGTATCTTCGGATGTTGGTCGTCTTCGAGCAGTACCAGCCAGGACATCGTTCACAGAAGTTGTTCGGGCTCGAGAGACTGTAGCGTTCAGATTCAATGATGAAGGCTCTCGTCCACGTATTGTCGGAGAGTACGCCGGAGGAGGCCCTGCAGGAATTGGCGGTGCAGGCGGTCGAGGGGGTGTTCGAGGTGTGGCCGCAGGAGAGGATGGAACCACAGAAATGGATGATCGGCGAACGAGCTTGTCATTACTATTGGATGATGGAAACAACTTTGCTTTCTCCGACATTGCCCTTTTGTGAGCTTCGGCATTGGCAGCGGTAGCTTTCTTTGCTTCTTCCCTGCGGGCTTTCTCACGTTCCCTCCGTATCTCAACTTCCATTCTCCACTCGATCGCACGTTTGACTTCTTCCAAGGCGTATACCCTGACGCCATCACGCCTGCCGGCAATAGCCACGAGTACACCGCGATGTTCCATTACTACCACGCTCTTGAAGGGTACTCTTCTGATCAACGTGTAGGGCTGCGTCGACGGCGGATTCGCCAGAGGCAGCACATCTAGTCCCTGTGCATGACATAAGAGGAGATAGTTCGGCGCAAGGAATGCGCCGCTAGTCGGCGGTGAACTAAAATGAGATGGTGAAAGGTGAGATGTAATCGAAGCGAGCGTGAGTCCCAGATCTTTCAGTGAAGGAGGGGGAAGGGGTGGCGGTGGTGTGGATGGACGAGATGGTAAAGGTGAAGATCCACGAGATGAGGTTCGAGCGGCAGTGGCGGGCTCAGGTGCCATTGTATCTCGAGTTGGGGTTGGTGGATGATCACGACGGTGGATGAGATTGGAGAAGAAACCAGAAATGCGGTTCGAGGCACGAGTCTGATGCAATCAGTCCAGTCCTGGCACATTGAACGACTGACAAAAACTTACATCTGGTATTGACCTACGACGATGCCTGCGCTCATGTAGAGAGGATCTATTAGTAGGAGCCAGATTGGAGGTTGGAGACGAGGGAAACGTCGAACTTGTACTTCGAGGTGTATTGGCTGAAGCCACCGGACTGGTGGGCTCTGTCACCTGAACCACTGGAACACTATGTACGCTGGTAGCATCTACCTCGTCAAGAGGCTGTTCTTGTGTTGTAGTAGGACTAGCGGCAGGGGGTGACGTAGAACGAATATCATGCGACTTGCTGGTGGTAGCGATTTTCTGGGGCTGTATGGTTACATCCTCGTCATGCTGCGTGACCTCCCGGATTTCATCTCTCTCATCGTCCGTTTCAGCTGTATGCGTATCACTCCATTGGTCATCCTGCATGGCCGTGGGCGGAGTGGTGGAACCAGTCGCGTCAACAGTATCTGAAGAAAGCCCTGCAGGAAGAGGCATGGTTGTCGAACGCCAGCCGCAGCTCGAGATCGTGAAGTTCGTAGAGAGCACGTAGCAGCAGCAGAGGCTCTGGAGAGGTGCAATCCAAGAGAGGATGCCTGTGCAGAGCGTGCTACAAAGAAAGCCGAGGGCTTCGTGCAAGCCTGTTGCAAGCAGAGCCAGGCAGAGCCGTACCGCGCTGCAGTCGCCCAAATTCAAGCTGTCACCGCTTTGGCGTTTTCCCCGTAAGCACGCTGACCCTTTCCGATCGGACACCATTCTTTTTAAAAAAAGATATAGTCTCCTTCTCACAGTTGTTGTATAATGAAACCGAGTACGAGCTAGTAGCTACTGCGTGGGAGCATACAACGTATCTGTGAAACCACTTCATGCTAAAATGCAGGCTGCCCGATACAACACCTGAGCTGTTCATCAATCGAAGTGATAGAACCACTTCCACAATACAAAACAGTGTGAAGAAACATCAATCATCGTCGTCGTCATCATCTACCATATCTTGTTCTGCTAGCTCGCTGCCAAACGGATCACCATCGGCCATGGCTTGTCTTACCTGTGCTGCCTTACGAGCTCGCTTCTCAGCGGCTTTCCGCTCTTGTGCCTCCCGCTTCTTGTTGTACGCATTACTACCGACGATCTTTTCCGGGTTCTTGCAAAGCTTCAAGCGACGATCAACTTCTCGGACAGCTTCCACATCCGGTGGTGACCCTTGAATGAGAATCATGCTCTTGATAGGCTCCAGAAGCTCGAGTACAAGGATCTCCGGACTAGGAGTCGAAGATGGTGATGAAGGGGAGGATTCAGGACTGCCACTCTTCGAGCGGGCCCATGCAGAGGCAAGTCCCGGGGACGCGAGGGACAGACACGCGAGTGCAATTTGCGATGGTGTGTATATAAGTTCTACATCGGTGAGACGCGATGCCCGAACATGCGTTAGTGCGACGTCGTAAGCTTTCCTTAACTCATTCATATCGATATCGGGCAGTGTCTGAGAAAGTAAATGAGTAATAGCTCCATGAATATCCTCTGTCAACTTACTTGTATATCAAGCCATATGCCCCATAATGCTCGATGAGCATGCCAAACGGCAAAGTCAAAACCTAGGCTCTGAGCCACTAGGAATTCTAGATCAAGCACATCAGATGGCGCGGTCCTTGGGATATGAGACGCGTAATGTTCTAGGGCAATTGGGTGGTTGGTAGTCTTGGTAGCAAGAAAGAGCGCAGTTAACCTGTCATGGCAGAATCAGTTGCTGCAGTCATTGACAGGTGAACTGTCAAAACGTTAACGGACATCACATTCTTGGGGTGCCAGTCCATCACTGTATTCTTTAGATAGAATCTCTTCAAATACGTGACTGCTGTGGCTTCGACCTCTTCGGGGAACCTGAAGTGCCCGCATAGTTGTGAAACCTTCCCAGCGTATAGCTTGACTAGGAGAAGTTCCTCGTCTGCGTTTAAGAATGAAACACTAGATGAGGACCCTGGCTACATAGATCACGCCAGTTGAGTTCGAAATATCAAGTACACGTGCAATGAGTCAACCTGCCGAGTCCGCCTCAAAGGCATCGCGAATAAGTTTCACTGCAGCTTCGTTCAATGTGGCCCGCGTGTGAGCCAGTTGCTCTGGTGAGAAACGCCAGTGTCTGTATTGAGTACTGCCTTCATAGATAGGAATCTTGGAATTTGATGACGATGCAGTTGAGGGTGTAGCCTCTGCAGCCATAGTACGAATGCTGGCAAGTGTTGACTGGGGAATATCGTGATACAAGCTTGTAGTCTTGTGGGTGAAAGAATGAAAGCCAAGAGCTTTAGATTTGCCGATTATATAACGGTCCATTTCGGTCCGACTACCCCACCTCCGGTAACTTATGAGAAGCGCCCATTGCATACTTCCGAGGTTGTTGTCGAAGTTGTTGCTAGCTGAGATCAAGAACTTTCCTCTCTCTCTCACCCTTTACTTTCTGCTACAGCCTTTTCTGTTGTGATGTTTTCGATTCGGGGCCCGTATTAAATCCTAACTGTTCTGCAAGCTCTGCTCTTGCTTTCTGACCTCTACAAGACTTCGGTAACGCGACGCGACGCGGCGATTTGCTATTTCAAGTCGGTTGCTCAGTTATGTCAGACCACAGGGATGGGCCAGCTGTGCTGGTTCTCCTTTCATTCTTCGCCCATTCGTTCTTTGGTTGCTGTATCCCTCGCTCTTTCCTCTCAACGCTGTCATTTCTTGTTATAATTGGGATTTCTGCAATCTTCAAGTCTTGCTTTGTCTATGCACTACCTATAGCCAAGAATGGACAAATCTTCACGAATGCACTCGCTATTATCGATGCACCCCAAATGAATAGGTATGTTGAGATTTGTTATAATAGCGATCGATGCATGTTTAAATTTCACCACCCACATCACAGCGTCCAGCATGCTGGAAGCAACCTTGTGCTTGCTATAGACGCAAGTAGACTTTCGAATAATATTATATGCCTGTTCCTAACCACAGCCCTTGCTGTTAGGTTTCGGGAAACGGGAAAATATCACAAGCAGCCTCCATTCCCAACTCTGGACTACCCTATAGTTTCCAATCCTTGAATATCTTCCTCGTATCCACGCAGGCCTCGCTCAATCTAACGATTTCAGAGGGGCCGGACTTCCTCACACAAGAACCGGGGAGTACCGTTAAACATCTGAACTGGCCGATACCAAAATGTGTACCAGCAGACCAATACAATGTGAGACTACTTACTATACGTTTGGGCACAACTGCATACTTAACTTCCCATAGCTTTCGTTTTATGAGACATCCTTTATACAGGGGGAATCTCACTTTACCATCACTACATACCCAGTCTCAGTCGAGAATACCTCGCAAAACGGAACATGTAGCGAGGGCATAAATCCCCTCCTACCGACCCCCCAAACTGACTATGCTCCTGGGATCAGCCCTTGGCTGGACCCAAGTATCACTACTTTTAACCCATCGGGCACAGAGTCCCCGGCCACCGCTACCACGCCTTATATGCCGGGCATTATCACAGTTACAGTGGGCCCCTCTGGAATGGTGGCATGGCCTCTGACAGTGATACCGTCAGGTATTCCAACGACAGTATATGTCCAACCCACTTCCCGACCCTCTGCCTCAGCGAACGTTGTCACAGTCACTCAGTTTCTTGGCACGACGACGCTGCTCGCGGGCATGGGATCCGCACAAGGAGAGGCAGTTACGGTTACTGTTTCTCCTACACCTGTCACCGTGGTATTCGTCTCAGTGGAAACCATGATAAGCACAACCACTGCACCAGGTACTACACAGATACTGACTTCAACGTGAGTGTTTCCCACCCAACTTGCACACATTCATACCGGTCTGATGACCTATTTTCTGTAGACGCACGTTACCTATGATGACGACTACTGCTATGGTGGGACCAGACAATGCAGCTGGCAGTAATTCGTTTATTCCCATAAATGCTGCTTTGCCTTCCGTTCGTACTTTGTTTTCTTTCTGGACATGGTTTGTCCCATTTATAGTCGCTTCTGTGATGCTCTCTATATTGTAACTGCGAGCCTCATCGGAGCTATATCTTGGTGCTATGAGTAGTAGAGTGGTATTAACTATGTATTTCGTATCTGTTGTGACAAGGTTGCCTTCCGACAGTTTCAGGCGTCTCAACGTTGTTGTAGGTAATACACTTGGCGTAACGTAAGACCGAGATATCCAGAAAGGTACTGATACACAAATTACAACAATAACTAGAAATACAGATCCCATACAGGTATATATATATATAGCTAGGTAACTGTGGCCATCTGAGACTCCAAAAGTTTAAGATGAGGCATACCACATGCTCCACGCTGCCAGTCTTTCACCAGACGATATTTCCTTGGAACAGTGCACCCTGGAGCATTGCATAGTGGTTGCACCTGTTTTAATTCGGGGCGGGCGGTTTCTGTATCGACATCCATTCCTATTCCGGTAGAACGGCTCTGTGGTAAAACAGCAGCAGGGACAGAGAATGACAACGCCATTTGCTTCGTGCTTTCTCCATCGCCATTTGTTTCAGTCTTCACTTTTGAGACCCAGCGATACATGGTGGGAAGTACGAGCGCCGGAGTTTCACTTCCTTCGACACCTTCCTCAGCTTCGAGATCGAGAGCGTTGGTGACAGCAGCCAATGGGGTAGGAGGCTTATCCTCGGCAGTCGCAAGTGCATTCCGTCTGCCTTTAGCCCGAGATTGTTTCTTCAGGAGACGGTTGATGGTCTCTGCCTGAGAAATAGAATGATTCAGGGATCGTCCAGAGAGTTTACGTTAATCAAGCCTACCTTTTCGTCCTGCAGTTTCTTTTCCGACAAGTTCTTGCGTTTCCGTGCAGTCTCTTCGCGTTTGAGGGCGATCTCAATATCCGTGAGAGGCTTCTTCTTCCGCGGGTTTGGTGGCTCAGCTGGAAAGATATGACTTAGAGTCACGGAAAGTCTGAAGACGATTATTCTCACCGAGCGAAACATGACTGGTCTCAACAACGTTGGCAAGCGCAGCTTGACGCGCTGTCAATGCCCTGCCTGGAGTGGCCGTAGTAGCTACCGAAGTTGAACGGGTGGAAACAACATCTTCCTCAGATTCGGGCTCTTCCGACTCGATGTCGATGTCTGAGTTTAAGGATGTCAGACACAACTCGTGAATAGAGGGTAGGTTAGAATACCTCTTGACGGTGCACGACGTGAGGTTGTTCGGGATACGCTAGCACTCGGGCCAGGTGTCGAAGCTGCGGTATCTGCAGAGATACCTCCCTTGACCTTCCCAAGTTTGAGCTTTATTTTGAGTCTAGGTTGTATGGCCGGTTCCTCCTCTACCATGTCTGATGGTGGGGGCGACAACTCGTCAATATCCGAGCCTTCCTAATGCCCAACGTCAGGCTCATACAACAACATTCATTCAAAGGCATGAAGCAAACCTGTTCTTCTTCCTCAAGTTCATCCTCTTTCTCTGAAAGTTCCTCTTCGTCCTCTACGTTAACTTCTTCGTCCTGGGTGGCGTTCGGTCGGATAGTGGTATCATCGACCTCAACGTCAACTTCCTCCTCTGACATTTGCATATCTGCATGTTTGGAAGGCATCAGTCTCAGATAACATGCATGAAGCGACACAACGATACAAACCACTGGTGGTGTCCTCCAGCTCATCTTCCTCGTCTTCGTCAAGGATAATTCTCCTCACCATCTTCGGATTTAAACGTAGTATGAAAGAGCGCCTGGTAAGAAAGGCGACGCGACTGTTGTGATTACGAGGTTTTGTGTTGAATGCACGGAAGCAAGAGAGTGCAATTCCGGGGCAACCGCCACAAGCAAGTCTGCCCTTTGTGGTATGTCGATCGTTCGCCACGTGAGTACCGAGACCATGATCGACCGAATAATCCCAGTGAGGCCATCGTCGCTTGTCCCCATGTTCTGCTGTTCTGCATCGACTGTCATGAGTATCATTAGGTCACCTGCGGCTCGAACCCGACCTAATTGAATACTCGTATGCAGGCCTCCAATATGATAGAACGTTGCATCTTTCTCCTACCATGCGGTACCCAATGATAACGGCTGGATGTGGCCCGGAGTCAAAAGGCAACTGCTTGGATTATAAAATCTAAGCCCGACTTCAGATATTCTGTTAGATCTGGTATGTATTCTTTGGCTGTTGTACTCGTATCTCTCCTCAGTGTCGTACCAGTTTATTCTCGGCCGTCTCCTGACGAGCTGGGGCTACTTCACGACACCTTAGCTCGTGGTCCTCCTCCTGATGCACTCAGCAGTTCACCCAATGCATTAAATCCTCGTGTTCCACTTTCTACAAACGATGATACTCCATCACCATTAGTTGACCTACAGGTATACGCCCCTCCGATAGTTCCTCGCAACGGGAGATCATGCGAAATCGTCCTCCTGACGCATGAATTTGGTGATGGAAGTTACGGTGTTCCTGCGATTGCTGAATATACACCGCCCACCGACCATGCATGTGGAGGAGTGGATAAATGGGCTGCTATCACGCTCAATGTTACTGTATATTCGTATGTTTTCGATTTTTGTCTTAGTGTGTTTCTTAATGACGTTCGTCTGTAGCATTGGAACGCAGTATGATCGGTTGAGTGTAAGTCATCGTGTATGCATCAATCTTCATTCTGAATTAAATCCTTGAAATGGTCTCTGTATCTGTCTCATGTTGAGAGTGAGCATGGTTTTCGGGTTTGCTGAGATGAAGGCTGATATTGTTCGTCAGTTTTACGCCATTCAAGTGCTGAACCCACGAAAACTGGTACAGTTTGGACGTAAGTCATTCCATTCACATTGTTGCAATTTTTCTCATTTGGATATCGTACAGGATGTTGGTCGTTTGCTAGCCTGTGCTCCACCGTCTTTCTAATGCTTGTTTGAAGTGTCAAAGATGTAACGCACTATAGTGCGCTTTTCCGTAAACCTGGACAGATACTTATGGACTTCAGCAACATTATATCGGCCGACCTGTAAGTTATCATGTCAATTGATTTATGGACTGCCATATTGATCTCTTGCATGGCGATAGTGGATTGGATGCAAGTTTCCATGGTAAACGATAGTTACTGGAATTTAACAATGCAGCTAACGCCGTACCTCAGTGGATGTCACCGCGGCCTTCCATGTTGCCACACCGTCTTTTCCGGTGCCCACGACATCCGACCTCATACTTCCCTTGTCTAACCTTTCGCCGAACACTACTAATCTCTTTACAATCGAGGATGATCTTGGCGGGACTACAAACATTACGATTCCACCCTCTACTCAACAAGCATTTGTTGAGATATATGCATCCGGTAACTCCAATGAAGAGTTTTGGTACCTTAACACTCCAGACGAGTTCCTGGACCGATTTCCTTCCTCTACAGGGCTGGTAGGAAAAGGTCCATTCCGTGAAATACAGCTCGTTCTCGATGGAAGGCTAGCAGGTGTCGTCTGGCCTCATGCCGTAATCTATACAGGAGGCATCACTCCTACGAACTGGAGACCGTTGACGGCGTATGGCACGTACGATCAACCAACCTACTATATCGATGTCACGCCGTTTCTCCCACTCATAAATGATGACAAACAGCATGCATTTACGCTGCGCGTACAAGGCCAAGGCGCTTCACCATCTATCAACTCTAACTGGTTCGTCTCGGGTTCCGTGCATCTGAAGTTAGGCAAGAAGCGCGTACTGGGGAAAATGACCACATACGACGTTCAGTCAAATCCATCTCTCAAGACGACTGGTAGCGCAAGTAATGGAAACATCACCGTCAATACATCTGTGCTCGCACAGCGGACGGTACTTATCGAAAGCGAGCTGCACGGCGATATCGGCAGGCAAATCGTACGCTTCGAACAACAGTTGAACTATAGCAACTTGCAGAGATACGAAGATGACGGGTGGGTGCAGGTACGTCTACCGAGTTTGCATCATCTGCCGAGAAATTTTGATTGTCGTTTTCTGAAGTGGGGAGCACAGTTGACCGAAGGCACTTCACAATCTGTGCATGGTGGCCGAATGGCCTTCCGTGACACTTTCTCGTATCCATTGGATGTTTTCTCAAACTACTCATTGTATGACATGCAATTCGGTATGCTCTATTTATATTCATCTCACTCCCGGATTGACGGAGCCTTTCGTAGGTGCTTATGGGTCCGCCATTAACCAAACGTTTAGTCGCACTCTGCAATCACCCTTCCTTGGTCTCACACACACCATTCTCTCCGTACAGCACGCACGTGGAAACGTGGGCATGGATGACACTCCCGGTCTTCGACATGCTATCAATGGCACTGGAGCCACCGACCAACAGTTCGCGTTCAGTTCGACAAGTGGAGAGACCTATTTCAGAGATATCGCGGCGAAGAACGATGGATGGTTGCGAGATTCGGTCTGGGGAACGCTCAAGGCCTCTGAACCGCCTGTTCCTAAGAATCAAATATTTGAAGGTGGTGGACATGGTTTCCGACGAAGCCTGAGTACGCGAAGGTCACCCCGGTCTTCCTACGATACAGTATCTTGTTCGACCCCCATTTCTCGTGCACAAGTCGAAGCTTTATGACAGTTACTATGCCATGGTTGATGTCATAAGATATGTAGCAGCCATTAGCTCTGGTAGTAATGATCCGGCAATCGCTTGCGCTAATATATCTGGCTCCAAAAGCGTCCCGTCCCGACTTGTCTCGCCATTATAATATGATATAAAGAACGGCTTCTCACTGTTTTTTTCTCTTCCATACCCACAAAATTCTTGACTCATACTCAAACGCGCCATGCCACCCAAACGCAAATCTGACGCGATTGACCTCTCTAAGGACTCTGAAGATGAGAATTATACTCCCAAATCGCCTGTTACGGCTCCCGCGAAAAGGGCACGCGTCTCGAATGCGTCCGAGGTTGCTCCTGGTAACGCTGAGGCATCTTCGTCGAAAGGGAAGAGTGACCTAGAGTCGCTCAAGAGTGCACCGAAGAGTTGGAAGGATATCGAGTTAGAAGGAGAAGACGAGGTACGTACCACGGACGCGTCTTGTTGTGTGCCCCTACCCCACCCTGATGCTCACTATGTATGGCTTGAACCTCCAGGGTGAAGTTCCTGTATAGTAGGCCCATGTAGCCCATCTCTCGTTCTATATGCTAAGTCGACAAATGCACCGTGCAGCGATGATTGCAACGAGATCCGACGGAAGATCCGTCTATTACAGAAGGACCCCAACTTCAAGGTAAGTACGCGTCCTTGTATATTCTAACACTATTGCGACGCGACTCAAACCGTGTTGGCATTACCGCAGATCACACATTGGCTGAAGGAAATCGGAGATATCAACAGCAACTCATGCCAAAGGTTCAGTGAGTACGCGATTTGTAGATCTTGAGGGCTGAGTGGCGAACATGGTACTTGCTTAGTGAAAGCATCCGGCGCAAATGGTGGTGCCTCTAATGGCACATATTATGCTGCGTACGTTACTAGCCCTATTGCGGTCGTTGACTGGGCTGATTCGGCAGTAATAGTTACGTGTACTTTGAAAAGGTCCGCATTTTCGAAGGCAAAAAGAAGACGGCGAAACGCGAGAGGAACGAGATCGAGCATCCTAGAGGGTTCCCACTTCGAGCCAGCAGGGGAGTTTGGATTCTTTCACGCTAGAGGCGATTGAATTGGAAGATCCAAACTGGGACACAGGCAATTGGTTGTGCAGCCACGAGAATGAGCGAGACTAGCTTTCAACATTGCTCGTCTCTCTATCTGCTCTCCATGCATTGATCCATTGTACAATCCTTGCTACATTTGACTCGAGATCTTCTGTACCTTCGCTTTTCAGCTCGACGACAATTTCTTGTGAATATGACGATCGTGCCTCGTCTAGGACAACCTCCATAATTTCTGCTTCATTATTTTCTTGGATTTTCTTGAGTGGATATCCTCTGCAGCGTGTGTCAGTTAAGCGTAATGTGTACTCAAAGTGGGACACTAACCTCTTTTCTAGGCGATCCCACAGCTTTGAGTGGTCACAACGAAGGACGACTACTAGATCAGCCCATCTTTCTGGGAATAGTTCACATGTATGCCAGTCGAGGATTACACCTCCAGCTGAGACGATAGGTTCAAGCTCATCCAACAGCTACATCAAGGAGCTGTTAGTGTTGGGACAATCGTTAGTGAGTACAAGCTCACTCGATCTTCATCCACTGTATAACTCTGCCACTCGTCGTCATACGATTCATATAAGCCCTTCTCCTTCACAAACTCTCCGACGTTGATGTGTTTTAATGGAATAGGTGATTCTTCCACTAGCAGTTGTGCATGAGTTGTCTTTCCTGTGCCTGGTGTGCCAGTGATGATGATAACAGGGCCTTTTGAAGATGATTCGGACGACATGATGTATGTTTGAAGCACGAGCAAGAAAATATGCTGATCGAGGAGAAAGCAGAATCTCGGGAAAATAATGCCTAGCGCTCCGGCGAAATTCAGCGAATCGGCAGTTTGCGGTAAGGTTGGGATGACAATTGCATCCGCGGCCCGAGATTTAATTTTGTGTCAGTGTCGTCAAGAACGAGCACGACGACGACGGGCACGGTTTGTTTAGTACATGTACGACGGCGAGTGCGCGTGATGTTGGCTGAGAGGCCCCGTTGCGGTCTATATTCACAGGATTCTTGGCTGGACATGTTCTGGAAACACGGTTCACGATCAGTGGCATGATGCTGGGTGATTGACATGAGAGAGGCGAGTAAGGGCGGTGAGTTCAATATACCCTCAAATAAGCATTCATTAGCCTCTTTGTCAACCTTCGATGGCGGAGTCTATCAGACCGCAACTCTCCATTTGTCCCCTCGCAACAATTCAGTTCTCTCGTACGCTCTCCCAAACCTTCTCACTTGCATCTCCTCCTTACACCGACAAGCCATCTTGCTCATTGCTTCCCCCGACCCCCAAATGCCCGCCTCCTGGTGACGGCGATTCCCTTTTCTCCATCATATCTTCATGTCACCTACGAGTTCACCGATTGTTCCTAGTCGAACTCGGCGTTCATCTCACGTTCCCTCTGTCATCGTTACAAAGCCTGCAGTATTATTGGACTCCTCACCGTTAGTCACTCTTTTTCCCGACAGACCCCAACCTGTGGTGACACCAGCGCCATCAATTTGTAGTACACCCAATGTTGTGATCATTAAACTTGCAACAACCATCGAAATTCCGGACTACAATCGTTTCTACAGTTCTGCGATCAATTCTTTCCGACCGACCTACAGCGCTCTACCTGACGGGTCGCTTGTGACCCCTCCACTCATTTCTGACATCAGGACAGCAAACTCCTGGCTACTCGTCTATGCGACAATCGGCACCTTTTGTCTGCTCAATACGATTACCTCATTTCGTTATGTCCGCAAGGGACAAGTCAAGAACAAGTTTCTGTTTTATCTGCTTCTTTGCAGCCAGATATTGGGTCTAGCCGCCATTATTCCAATGATCATTCCATACTTTAGCCAGTCCGTTAGCTGTACTGCGTACGTCATTTTATTCATGGAATGAATCCCCGGACCTCATTCAAACTGCCCCGCAGTGTTGGACTCGTATTCAGAGTTGCAATTTCCCTCTCGTATAGTCTCCTGGTAAGTTCGATGTCATGTTTGCGTCGATTAGTATTTACTTCTGATTAGATGACTGGAATACTGGGTATCAAAGCATATCGTTGCCTAAATAGTTCGCGAATAGTTCTTACGGTTCTTATAACTCTCCGGATGGCCATGTTGGCACTCCTTGGTGTTGATGCGTCGAGCTACCGTGGCCTACGACGGTTGTCAGGTAAAACATCCCCTTGGTGCATTTCATGCCTACTGATGTACCTGACACAACAGGTAGTTGCCAACCATCGGAACAGTCCAAAATCCTACCTATCATAATTATTTTGCAATCTGCTGAAGCGCTCTTCATCTGCGGTTGCTGTTAGTAAATCGCTACATCCATCCAGCGTAATCATCTGACCTCTTCTACACAGTTTTGGTGGCTGTGTGGTTAGCTTCTCGGAGTCCTCTCAATCATGGTAGATTGTCAATCCAGGTTTCTACTACGGGAAACTCTCTTTCACCCAGTCAGCAGAAAACGCGTCGAGGATGGTGGGACTACGTGCCTGACGGCAATCCAAGTGGTGTCCTCCGAGCGGGCTCACCAACTTATAGTCAGGAAGCCTTACGGAGACCGTCGTTGTTCACCACGTTCGGAGGGAAGCTCTGGAGCCTATGTCCTCTTTCTGATACAACATCGGCGACCGTGGTCCAAGAAAAAGCATCCCCGTCAGAAGATCACTATGCAAATAGATCACGACCTACTCGCACCTCATCTGTTGTCTTTGCGGACGTCACGTCAGCACCCGACCGATCCCCAACAGCGCGTGTGGCGGATCTAACCAGAATCCGTGCTACGACACCTGTCCCGCGGCCCCCGTCTGCTATCAGTCGGATCAGCAAGTATATGCCACGAATGAAGCTCTTCAGACGCGTTCTCAGGGACGAGGTAATTAAAACCTCCACTGCAGTCGTCGTAACATTGTTCATTTATCGCTTGCTAGCTCCTATATACTGCTTTCACTACGGCGATTTTTCTCGTTACGGGAATTGTTATGCTCGTCGGCGTCACATGCAACTTCCTTCTCGGACCTTTAGGCTGGCTCATCTTCAATTGTGAGTGCAACCGTCGATACTAATATAATATGATCACTTATGTTTTCACCCAGGGGTAATTGTATCCGCGTTCACGATGAATAGTTTCAGCCGTGTTGTACGCCGACATGAGAGAGAAGCGGTGCTACAACATCCATCTGCATGGGATCCAATGTATCGAGCGGAATTGGAAGCCTCAAGAGTCTTCCAACAGGGACTGTCACGGCGCACATTCTCATCCGTCAGCGTCATCTCCCGGAGACCGCGACGAAGAGACTGGTCGTCTTCTTCGGGCCCGTACCAAGACCTTCACAATCATTCCAGCTTATACAGTCCAGCTGTAACAGAGCGCCCAAGTTCCGGCCCCTCGCATGCAGGATCTCGACCCTGGCAGACTGCCAGTCAGTTCTCAAGAACGTCCGTGTCGATGTCATGCATGTCACCATCGCCCAGTGTCGAGCATATTCCTGTGCCAAGTCATTGGAATGACACTGTGATTCTTCCTTCTCCAGGGATGGCAGAGTTTTCCGTCCCGCCCTCTGCGGAATGCTTAGACGTGCCTTCAGACACAGAACGTATCACCCGACATCCTCAAACCCCTACGAGTTCTACATTAACCAGCTTGCATTATACCAACAAATTGCGACCTTCATTTGACTCCCGGAAATCACCAGGTGGTGTTGACTGAAGGCAGGACTTAGTTTATTGATTGCATCTTACGTCTTCTTACTTTCATCGCGTGAGCTAGGCATGTATTATAATACCAGTTCCGTTCTAGGATCTTCCCATGCATGGCATTTACCTGTTCGAGAAGGACAATACGTATGACAAGGAAATCGACACGCAGGGAAGAAAGAACCGGATAGGGAGTACCAGTGGAAATGGTTGTAGGACTTTTGGAAAATGGGTAGATAGAGGTTGGAAGATGGGGTGAAAAGGAAAGGATGACGCATGAATATACCCGCGGCATTTCCAAGCCAGTCACTGAGCCACAGACAGGTCGGAAAGCAGATGTGTAGACTTGCACTCGCCAGGAGATTAAGTTATCCATCACAAGGTATCATCTATGACGCCTGGGTCTTGATGAACAGAGAGGCTGGGTAGGATGGAGTGCCACTGCGAAGGTCAGTTGATCGGGTGAAGAGCAAAATGGTGGTCCAAAACCAAGGAGACCAAGCGCAGCAGACATAGTATCGCATGCGTCCGATCGTGATCGACGCTTAATACACCTACACAACTTTCTCACGGCGTCTCATAGCTCTCTGATCTCACCCATGAGTGCAAATGTAGAAGAAGACCGTGTAGTGTCTGTTCTTCCTGTATACTATTCAAATACGCTTTCTCCGAACGTACACCTCCACCAATATCCTCTTCTCACTCGCCCCTTACAAGTCCCTCCGTCAGCCGCTGCTAGTGGCAAGAAGATTCACGCACGCGTAAAGCCTGGTGTCCGCAGACTTGAGGTTCATGTACCCGTGGACCCTCGACCAGATGTATGGAACAACGAAAGGTCAAAAGATCTCGGTGAAGCCAGACTAGCAGATGACAAGGAGAAGAACCAAGAAAGCTCTTTGAAGGGCAAGCAGAGAGAAGGGGAAGAGCCGCGATTGAGTGAAGTTCGTATGCGAAGCGAACAAGTTCCACATAATGGAGCATATGTTCTTGGTGTCGTTCGAGATGGTAAGTATCTTATCTGTATCCTCTTTATTTTGAAATGAACCTTTGCCTAGGCAAACTTTACCTGCATCCAATTAGCGAGACACACCAACTTCGACCTTCGTTAACTTACATGGATATTCTTACCCGGAGATCAAGACGTAGAGCGGGCGAAGATGAGGATTCGGATGAAGGTCCGCCCCCTGACCCAGATGAACCTGCTCCCCTTCCAATCGTCAAAAAGGAGAAGAAAGTTCCTATCGGGGAAGCAAAAGAAGTTCAAGTCTCAGTTCGAAAAGCCGCCGACGACAAGGGCATATCATTTGGAGGCGGTATTACTGCTGTACGGCGAGAAATGTTGATGAAAATCCGGGCAGAAGAGGATGAGAGTTGGGAAGACTACGAGTTTCATGATGGCCAGGTATGTAGTTCGCTGGAATTCTGAGTCGTGTATCCCTGATTCTGATTGTTGTAAAGGCTCCGGAGTCTGGAGATGCATTTGAGAGTACATTTGCTACTCATGATAATATTCTCGAGTGTACTACTGACATCACTAGTATGCTTAAGAACATTCGTGGTCTATGATAACCTTCCGAGGTATTTAGTGTCGTCTGCTGACTGGCGGCCCTCGGTGTACTTGTCGATCTATTACTATTTACTTGACAAGCTGACCAACTCAATGCATATCAATGCCATCTTTCGTGCGGTTCTCGCTCACCCAGCATGGAGCAGATAGATGATCTTGTTTCGCCCTGTTTACCCGGGATGGATTGAATGTATCTCTCCCCAAGAATTCCTTTCGGGAGCCCTAATGTTTTTGGCAATTGCCTGGCACGCATTCAAAAAGTCCCCACCCATTCGGGATAGATTGGAATGGGACGTCATGGTAAGCGCTCGCCTTGCAACTCATTCCTATTTGCATGAACTTGGTTAGTCTATCATAAAAGCTCTCTCACTCATTGGTCTACGAACTGGACTGTTAGGTTATGACAATGAATACAGGTCAAAAGCATGAAGACTCGAATTATGACAGCGAGACCGAGTCGGAATCCGAAGACTACGAACACACGTACGCAATGGAGGCTACACAGTATCTTCAACAGTCTGCCGCGCGTTCACGATCCACAAATACAGATAAAGGGCCGGAAGAATGCTTCATGGAAGTGCAAGGGGCTGTTACGGACTTGCTCTCAGTTGAACTCAGCTGCATCGTCGATGTATGCGCTCGTTTAGGTTCTCTTCGTATTGTTAACTTCACTGAATCCAGGAACCTGAGACGCATGAAATCATTCTCCGTGCCTCCAACACAATCTTGGGCTTCCTCGATTGTATTGCGTCGTCAATAACCTGTGCGTCGGCTGAAATGCAAACGCATATACTCACCGACATGGGCACCTTGCGTGAGTAACTTTGTTTTCACCTATATGTATGCTGTTCAACTCACACCACTCAAGTATCCTATGCATTCATGGACAGGCTCTTTGTTTTTCGTGACATCTTTCATCAAATAGCCATTAGTGAACTTAAGTCTAGCCAAGCATCCTCTACTGTGGCCGTATGTTGGGTGGACACAATCCTTTCCAAACTAAGCCGCGCTCTGCTATATGTTCTTGGCCACAATCCTCAGTCCGACGCAACATCTCTCGAAACATTGACAAAGCATCAGGAGGAGATATCTCTTCGTGCAGCTCTTCAACTTCCTCGTAAGCGAAGTTTTGTCAATTACAGGATGTCCATGGCTTATGTATTCGTAGAAAAATGGGAGAATGTACCTTGCTCAATATGCTCACCAAACGTCTCACCCGCCGCTGCGCGTTTGGCGTTGCATTTGACATTTGCAGTCTATGTTGTAGGTCCCCAACTCGGCGCCCACGATCCTTGGACAGATTCGAAGTACGATGTTCAGCTGTTCAAATTTCCTGCCTGCAATTCTAACTAGACCTCATAGATTGCATGGATCCCAGTTATTAAGCATCTTGAAGGAACATGTTCAGAACCTTCATCATTGCCAAGACAATGAAGATGTGTCCATACAGACGGGGTCGACGATGGACGGCGATGCTAGAATCGAGTACGCTATGATTGTCGTACTGTTTGCTGTACGTCTATCTTATCAACAAAAACACTCATGTCTGCGCTACTTATGAATCTTTCGTTAGTCCATTGAGTTCGGACAAGACAGTAGCCCATACTCCTTTCGACCTCACACGGAGGCGGCCCTCCTTTCGCTGATCCGACGAGTTGTGCAACTAACACATCCGCTTTCTTCAACGGATGTCATAAGCCCTCCATCAACAGTTGACATAGCGTCGTCAATTCTGGTGTTAATGAGCTCCGCCATCTTCTGGACCTGGACTATTTGGGATGACCATCGCATCGCAGATTCAGAGACTATAGACTACCTGGTATGCGCTTCTCCCTGGCAATTTTAGCACACGGCTTGAGAAGTTCTGTAGTCATGCGTATGGTTACACCATCTCGCTCGGCATGGCATACAACTTCAAGAGACTAATTGGGAGGATCAACTTTCGGCAGTTATTGACAATGCTCCTGTCATCGCTGGTACCCAGTTCACGGTAAATGCTGCTAAACTACGGGTGACGCAACTCACGAATATTTACTTGCATCAGAGAATCTTTCGACATTTCTTGACTTGTTTACAAACGAGTGACGCAGCAGGGCATAGCTCATCTCGCGTGATGTTGAGACTTTGTTGGGGGTCAGTGGAAATATTGCGGGCGATGCCTTCGGATTTGCACAAGAGTCATCGTCCCATGGTCCAGGAACTATGCAAATCGCTATGCTACTTATTTGTCATGATTGGAGACACAGCAGACGAGCTACAAGGTACGACTTTCATCATACCGTCTGGATTCTAGTATGTACTTACTTTCGCTATGCGAATCGCTTCAGTCAAAGATATCATCTTTGAAAGCCTTTCCCTTGTAGAAGCTGATACTTATCGACCCATTTTTCTCGATGCAGCAAAGGACATGAAGCTATCTATGTCCATCAAAATGGACGAAAGTTCGTCGGAGATGTTTTTTTTTTTGGTCAGATTACGACAGCTGACTGACTTATTACTCGACAGAGTTGACTCGCCTAACACGGTTCGTAAGGCATAAGGGGACACCGCACACTAATTAATGTATCAACAGGAGGGTCAGAGTCACCCCCACCACCCTTACTCCGGACGATCTGATTCTTGCAAGGCAAATGTTGTTATTCCTTACGCTTTCCTGGCACCACGGCGTAACCACGATCACTCACCGCCAAACGATCTCGTCGTTTCTCTTGGCATTAATTGACTGGCTATCTTCCGAAACCTCAGGAACTAAATGTGTTCTACTGCTCTTGGACCCTCTTGTGACTGCTCTAGCCGTGGTAGAATCTTTTCGTCTGAATCCAGATTTTAAGGGAATCAACAAGCTTTGGGATGACGATACCGTCTGGAGGATGTGTCTGCGAAGCGACCCGAGTGATCTGACTGTGGCTGGTGAGCTCATACACACGTCAAGGTGGACTGCTAGATATTGATTGGTTTCATATCAAGCGGCTTTTGCTGCGTATGCTGCCGTGACTGCGCAACACAGACTTTGTGGATCCTTTACTCAAATTGACGCATGGGACTACTTTCGCGACATATTTCTGTTGATGTTTCGTCAACACTTTCTGGATGCTGATGAAGCTCTAGCCTTATTTATCGTGCCATCTGTTTGTCGCGCCTTGCGAGAGCTGCTACTTCATCTCGACTTCGCAGCAAGTAAGAATCCTTACTGCTCCTCTTTTCTAATTGTGCTGATTGTGTATTATGTAGCTCAATTTATCCAGGGATCTCCGTGGTCGCTAAATCTTATACAGTCGCTAAAGATATTGGCGGATCGTTCTCAAGATGATGAATTTGGGTCACTGTTGAACGCACGAACTAAACCCTATGTCTTTGAATTGATGCAGCTGGTAATATCCAATTCATTTTGGTCATAGGTGGATATTTTGAGTAGAGTCGTTGTAGATTCAAACCCCCGAGTCACGCCAAAATACTGTCAAGCAATCTGTACGTGTGTTGTGTTCTCCTCTGTCGCGACATGACTGACTGTTATTTCTCCAGAGTGGACACATATCAGAAATGGTCTTCTGTCGTTTGGAAGATGGACCGCACCTGTTTTTGGCGGACACTGTCAGTATAGGGGTATAAGCAACTCATGCCAGTAAACTTTAGTTCCGTGCTGCCCGTCCATCGATACGTTTTCCTGACCATGCTGTTAGCAGCAATGGTGTCGATATCACGGCAGTATCAAGTCTGTGGTTTCGATGATACGACTTTTTATATTCATCTACCCATGTACTCTGCGTCCTTCGATCGTTACACTAAAGATTCGGATATCAGGCATATTGGGTGTCTTTAAACCATGTGCAATACCAACAAAAGCGCCAGTTTGGGTCTATCTATCAAGAACGAATGAGAAAGCTCCGGGCCCCTGGAACCTTGAGATGAGGGGAATGTAAATAAGACTAATGTTCGTTAACGTCGACGACGGGTATTATACTTAGGTTGAGACAGCTTCGAGTCGCCATATGTAGGCTTGTTGGTCTGGCGAATTCGTGCTAGTTCAGTGTTCCTTTCCACAACGAAGTTGTTTCTGTGGTCCGAGGCATTCAATTTCGAACGTGTGGGGTATCGATGTTGGACCACTGGAAGGGCTGGCGGCCGGGCTTTTGGTCTGCGGGTCGTGGACATCTTCCGCCGCTTCGAGCGAATGAGTGGCTCAGGTGGCATATCGTCTGCGGTTCTTTTCTGTGAACTACGAGAGCTCGCTAGCGCCTGGGAATGTCCGGCCTCTGGTGCGGGATTTCTTTGTTGAATAACATCCTTTCCGAGAGATTGGGAACGAGGATAATTTGTTGACAGGGCGGTCTTGGTATCTGTGGAATTGTTGCCATACTCAACTGTCGATGGGCGACGAACAGTTTTGATGATGGCCCTGGCCTCGAGTTGTTGTCTCTTTGGGTCGATCTCTTGAACGACATCGTCCTCGACCCAACCATCAGAGGAAAGAGCGCTATCGAAGAGGTCGATGATATTGTCAACACCACCGTCAACGTCACCAACCATCTGCCCTTCATCAGCAAGATCCAAGCAGACATACGTTCGGAATATACGACCAAGTCCCTGGATAAGGCCATTTAGCGGTTTGCACTCCCAAGTGACCCATTGCAATTGAAAGAGGAGGACAGAGACCTTATGGCAACCGCTATAAATTTGATCATTCACGTCACGTATCTCGTGGAAAATATCGTGCGAAAGGGGCCTTCCTCGCAGCTGGTGGTGTGGGAAGTATTCAAGAGAAATGGACAGCAAAACCCAGAAGGCCGACTCTAAGTCATCGTAAACATCGTGTGGCTTCCTCGGATTCCGAAGAAGGTGGACAGAGATAAACGCCCAAGTGCCCTAAATAATTATGTCAAGGTTCATAATCCTTTCCATGGACACGCTTGATAATCAACTCACGGTACGGTACGTATGTGCGTTGCTGCTGAGAAGCTTGATGGCTTGGTCCCAATCATTGAGGATCCCTCGACCATTCTTTCCGATCATAATATTTCCAGTGCTGATGTCACGATGTAATGATCTACCGACTTTACGTGCGACTTTAATCGCTATGCAGAATAGGCGTCAACATGACAGGTCCGAGACATAAAGATCAGAACGTACTTTCTACTGCATCGCGGATAGCTTGAAGGTTTTCCTTCGAGGATACAACCGATGCAAGCGGGTACACAAGCTCCTGAACGAGCCGATGATGAACAAGTTTGGGCATGGCCTCGCAGGGTAGACGCCACGCAGGATAGTCTGAAGGGCGAGAATATTCATGAGACTTTGTGTATTGTACTTGATCCATGATCTTAACATCTCGAGAGAAGGACGTTCGGAAGGAAAGGCACGTTATTTTGTTTGAGCTCGTCGTAGATCTCAGCTTCACAATCATCCCCTTCTTCGTGCCAGGAGTCCTTGAGGAGGACGAGTCGTTTCTCAGTCAAGTCATACGCTGCATAAGCCCGAGTAGTGCGTCCGCGAAGTGATTCAGCAGCCCAGAAAGGTTGACGAATGATGAATTCTCGAGCGTCGTTGTTGCCATCATCTATGAGGATCTTAAAGGCAGCGTACGTTGGATCATCTCTGGGACGAAGATAGTTGGCGTTGCGGCGTTTCGACTCCTTGATGAATGCATCTAAAGCTAAGGATGGAAGGGCCGCTTCGTTCTTAGTAGCGCGTACGGCACTGGCATCGAATCCTTGCTATTCGGGAGTAAGATGGCTATACCTCCAAAAGAATTCGGCCAGGCTGTCTGGATCCTCGTGGTAGTTGAAGGCTTCTGACACGATGCACCCGGAACGGTCCCATCGTAAGATGCGGACAAATCGATCAAAGAAATGCAGAGAAAATGCGAAGACTCGATGTTGCCGAGATAGTAATGCGGTTGCGTATGAGAGCATATCAGCCCTATCGTCTACACTTTTCTCCGAAGTGTCCAATGTGGACTCCTCGGCGTCAAAGTTGTAAAAGGCATCCTTTCGTTTGTGGCCTTTAACTTGAGCCCAGCAGTGCATGTCGTCCAGGGTACCAAGACTGCCCGGTCCCACCAAGGCCAGGTCAGGCCGCAGTTGACAGTCTTTCATGGAGCCTTCATTGGCGACACATATCAACTTGAAACCTGGGCATACTTTGGCCTTGTTCACGCCCTTACACTGGCGCGATACCATGGTCAATATTCACCGCCACACCTGAAATTAAGTAATGGAAAATTGCCACGCACGATGGGACTATACATATCCTTTTCACGGTTGGTCTCACAGGGAACAGTAGAGAATCCAACTCTAGGCATCTTCGGTAATATTTCTTTGACCCACCTCGTGCCACCGGCCGGCATGAGGTCTTCAAAGAAGGTGCGAAGAGGCACAGGACCAGCAAAAACGGTTCCCATTTCGAAGAGGCCAAAAGCACGACGATCGTCGAAGTCGAGCTGCTGATGTGCAAAGAGGAGGGTGCCGTGCAATGTATTGCGTAGTGGAGAGTTAGGTCGCTGTGGAGGCGGGAAGGAGGAATGTCACGCTGAATTGCCACTCGTCACATTCACATGCACCCGGCATACTTGTATAATCAGTCGCTGGTATTATTGTGAGTTATTGATATTCGCCTCGATTAACTCAATGCAGCATGGGTGAGATATGGCGCAGCAAAGCATGTACAGGGTCGTTATCGGGGTATGGATGTTAAGAATCTTAGGATGCCGCGTGAATCTACGCGTCCACGACGCGCACAGCCAAATGAACGATCAGGTGATCGCGATTGTTGGAATTGCCTCATTGAGTTGGTTCAAGTTGCCCTGCTTCACTCCTCTACGCTTTGTTACGAATATTGCTTTGATACCCTGATACCCACGTTATATATTGCTTGTACACTTGACTTCGCATGGGATTCTGTCGACGTTGCGGTGAGATAGTCGTTGGCGTCCGTTGTAAATGCGGCGGATCCTCAGTTGGTATGTGAGCTACTTACTTGTAGATACATGTCATTCCTGATATCCTCAGCAGCTGCTGTTGTCAAATGGTCACAAGGTGATGATGACTCCAAACAAGACCGTTGGTCACGCACATACGTAACCAAAGACACTTCGCCCTCACGTCCGGAGAGTACTTCCACGACGGCGTCCAGTGTTAGTGGACCTATCAAACCATCCTACACTGGGTCAAACCAAGCGAAGCGTTTTCCCCGGCCAGGAGGTTACTCTTCATCCCCCCAGACGCGACTTGAGGCAAGAGTGTCTGCTCACATCGCTTCAGCTACTACTCCCCGACCAACTTCACCTCTCAAGCATTCAGCCACTGCATCTGAGGACTCTAACGCCGAAGAGGGCATTCTACCCAATCTTCATCATGGTAGCGAACTCGCCAAGGTTTACGGCTCAGTGTTGCAGCCAAAGGAATCGCTGGATTCATACGCATGCGCTATATGCTCTACGGTGTTTCCTCCGGATGCTACTATATACCCGGACCCATCAACAATCTCACCTTCTGGAGAGAGATTAGATTCAGGTCTTGGTACCCGCTTCTTATGCCGCCCTTGCTTTGTCGAGCACGGGGGTTCGAAGGGCGACTGTCCAGCATGTCATCGCCCTGTTCTCATCTTGAAGGCTGAAGGCGGGTTCGTTGAGGCAGCGGGTAATGTCTGGCATAGGAAGTGCTTTAACTGTGACGGCTGTCTGAAGAATATTGGGGACCATCCTATGGTTGATCTCTTAGGAAGACCTAGCTGCGCAGACTGTTTTGAGACCTGTCTCAAAAGACCTACTCGCGATAGCACACCGACCAGTCCCATGAACAACAAGGTAGACAGTCGAAACAATCTTGGAGGGTTCAAGCGGACGGATCGAAGTCGTGAAGGGAGCCCTGCCTTGGAGGAGCTTGAGCAGAGGCTCGGCATCATCAGAAGTAGGGAAAACACGCCCGCTAAAGAGGAGAGGGTGGGCCGGCTTAATTTGGATGCCTTCAGTCCTAAGACCCACGACCCCCAAGGTAGCCCGGCCTCTAACCATTATCGTTCATCGTATAGTCGAGAGTCCAGTCCCACAGTGGAACGACTTTCAGGTCGTGTCAGGGCTAACTCTTCCACAAACATTGGATTTGCTTCGCCGTACTCGAACAATACTTCTTCCACTCGTATTCTAAATCGTTACAAGAGCCCAGAACCAGACTCAAGTGACACAGATGCTGGCAGTCCTCGCATGCGTCGGCAATCGTATTCCAGACTCAAGAGTCCCGAGCCGGAGGTGGATGATGGCGTTCTCATGCGCCGTTCCTTGAACCGGTTTCAAAGCCCTGAACCGGATATCAAATCAAGTACGCCCATGTCTGGTTTGTCGCGAAGCCCTCGACATAGCAGCCCGAGCCCTAAACCCACGGAGGCTGCAATCGAGGAGATGAAGCGTAGATTCTTAAACCAGGCTTCAAGTCCTAGGTCAGGTGCTCAATCCACAACCTCGTCCACCACAACCACCCCGCGGCGTAGGTCCAGATCAAGACCACGTACCAGCGATACCCCTACAGTTATCGATGATGTTTTCCTTGGCAAGGAGAACATTGATACGACATCCCGCAAGGGGAATGATGTTGAATCACGAGTACCGACCGTGAGCTGGTCCTTCACTAGTCCTGGACTGAAGACAAGGGCGTCTACTTCATCTCTTCGCTCCGCTTTGAAGGCACAGACTACTGGTGGAACCGAATTCAGTGGTTTACGTTCGCAACGTACCGGAGAATCTACCATGCCGCTTATTCGGAGTCAGAGGACGGGAGATACTGAATACACGATACAACGTGATCTGACAGGTGGAACATCGTACCTTTCACGCCAGAGGACCGGAGATACCACGTACATTTCCCAACAAGATACAGGAATGACGAGTGGCCGCACAATCCGTCGTCAAAGGACGGGAGATACGGATTACGTTCGTCGCCAGCCTACTGGTGAGACTCTATACCCACAATCGACGGGTCAGACCGATCACGTCCGTCGACAAAGAACGGGAGACACCGAGTTACGAAGTCAGAAGACGGGTGATACCACCCATACCCTACGGAGACAAAGAACAGGGGATACGGAAATTCGTGCCCAAAGGACTGGGGAGACAGTATACACCTTACGCAGAGATCGCACTGGGGACGCCGAAGTGGAATCTTTACTAGGTGCTATACCTACCAAGGAAGATGGGGATCTCATTGATCTATCTATTCCTGCTTCCCATTCCAGTGGACCTATGTCTAAGATCCCGATACCTACAAGACGTTCCGTTGCATCTGTTGCGGGTATCCGGACCAGTAGGTCTAACACCTCTCTTAGACAGGCATATGGTCAATCCGTCCCACCTACACCGGACTTGTCGGACTTCTCAGATACCATGTCTACCCAGTCGAGCGGACCGTCTACGCCGCCGTCTATCAGTCCGCCGTCTCGAAGGTCCCGCGATAGCCTCTCAAAGAGTCCGATAGAACTTCAGCATACAGGAAGCAAGAACACTACACCCACGCCCACGCCGAAATCCAAGAGGACGGTCGGTGGTATAACTATACCTGAGCCCTTGCCTGCGGACACACGTTGTGCGAAGTGTCACCTTCCATTGTTCAACACTAAGCATGGTGGCAAATTCGTGACTGTTCCGGAGGAGCCCACTAGTAGTGGCATCCCGCCGAAGACGTATCATACTTCGTGCTTCAAATGTAACGTATGTGGCGACGTGTTCGAGGAACGTGAAGGTGGTCATGCTGTCTTTGTACGAGGCGAGGAAGGAGCCTGCCATGTAAGGGTATGCGGATTTCTTGAACTTCGATTCGTGAAACATGACTGACGATATGTCTATATTCAGTGTGCGCCCCCGGAGAAGATCACTCTCAGGAAGGTTCCTACTGTTACGTCTACACCAGCCAGTATCTCTTCTCGTCCCCTTACCTCGATACAGACTTCTAGCGCGAAATACGTCACTTCTTCTGTTACTTCCTCGAGCCGCTACGAGCGGCCACCTCCTACAGCACCTCCTACAGCCGCGACCTTCACATTCCCTCCTCCACGTTTTGGTGGTAATTCTACGTGCCCTGAGTGTAACCAAGCCGTGTCCCTCATGGAGAGAGGAGTTGTTCCGGGACCACAAGGCTCAAGGTGGCACGCAGCATGTCTCATCTGCGGTGGGAAGGATGCGAAGGGTCGACGCAAAGAATATGGCAAACCTGGATGTGGTAAGAAGTTGGACAGTGCGGCGAAAACTGATGCTGAAGGTCACGTTTGGTGTCGAGAATGTTTGGTGAGTATTGGTCCGATTTTTTGATAAGGTTGTCATCTGACGTATTCCTTGTAGCTTCTACTTCCCCCTTCACAACGCCAGGCATCGCCTATTCCTTCACCCATTGTACCTACCGCCACCGGCGGTCGTGGTACCGTTGTCGCGCCACAATACACTGGGACTACGACCATCGCTCCCCAGTTCACCGGCATTGGAGGGTCTGACGCCGCGCTTCTGAGACAGCTTACTGGAGGTGGATTGAGTCCCACTCGACAGTTGTCCTCGAGCCCCACAAAGATGCATGACGGTCCTCGTCCAGGTGCGGCTCGATATCCTCGTCCCAAGTCTGTGACTGGCGTGAGGAGTGCTGGCGGAGAAGGTCGGGGTATGTTCTTGGTCCGACAATTGACGGGTGGGAACAACAGCTTCAGTGGAAATGATTACGGACTATGATGACAGGTTGCAAGGAATATGAATACTTGACAGGATCAATTTCGCTCTGTGTGTATATGGACAATGTTGGATCTTTGCATCGTGTTTTCTTTTGGTTCGTGTTGTTCTCGTTGCATTTGCTGTCCAATCGGTATCCATGGAATACCCATGTATCACAGTTTTCAATATGTATCATGTGAAGTAATGAACGTCAATGAGTCATATTTACAATCTGGACTGATTGTGAAGCAAGGAAGAGCTCCAATTACATGACAAGTAAAGTAGATTTTCGTCATCTACTACTGACCTTGCTGCTATCATGAGTGCTGGCCCTGTAACAAATAGTGATTTGGCTGTCAAGCAATTGTCTCAATCCAGATAACTAATACACACCTCGAGCGCAGCAATCTCATCTAACACTTTCGCCGTTGCTTGGACGATGAGTTCCCACTCCGTTTTGTGCAGGCGTTCTTCAAACGCTTCAATAGGCTCGCCCGCAATCATTTCAACTTCTTTGACCATCACTGGTGCCCCGCGATCTACTTCTTTGATGACGCGATGAACCATAGCACCGGAATGTGTGATTTCCCCCTTTTGAAAAGCTTCGTACACCCGCTCGATGGCGTGGGCACCGTCAAATGCACCTGGCAACGCAGGATGTAGATTGATGACAGGGATCGGCCTAGTCACCTTTTCCGCTCCTTCGAGCTGTTTTTCGCCGCTGACAATGTCTAGGAAAGCCTCGCTCATTATATGCATCCAGCCAGCGAGGACGACAAGATCGGGCTTCTCATTAATGACGATCCTGGCAATCTCGCGATCGTAGTCTTGACGTGTTCGGCTAGGATCAGCCTTTAGGTATGGCTGCAAACCGAGATAAGCCGTGGGTATCGGAGGATTTGCTTGCAAGGCGCGGGTCAGGCCATATGCGGCTTTGCGATTTGAGACTACGGCAACTATCCTGGCGTTTGGGAGCGCAGGTGTGTTTTGAGCATCAATGAGGGCTTGAAGATTGGAGCCTTGGGCAGAAAGCTAAGACGACGAGGGATTGTGGCAGTATGTTCAGCGGTACCTGAACCAGAGATTAGGACGGCAATCCGTCGTTCTCTGCCTTGGTAAGAGTCCGACATGGAGAAACGCCGGGATTTAATAGATAGACTCGGGGATGATGGGTGACTGTAATGAAGAGGCGAGTCAGCAGGGGAGGATGGTGAAAAAAGAATTCCTGTTACCGTTCGCTGTTGGAGGCCTAGAGACAGAGTTACGCGAGAGACGCCGAGATCACTGTAAGAATTCTGTAGCCGAGATTGGCCAGTTGCAGGAGGTTCGCGCTCTCCTCGACCGCCTCCGTCCATTTCGGTCGTTGCTTTGGCTTTCTCCATCTCAACCGCATGTACTGACGCCCTTTCGTTCTTTTGCTGCACCGGTCCTGCAGGTATGCTCGTGTCTCTCTGCTCGCCGTTCTGCCTCACTGAAGCCTTCCATGCCTCCAGCTTTCGTTCTTTACCTTCTGGGATTGTATCTCAGCCTTTGATACGGTTCTCGGCCGATCTATCGGTTTGGAGACTAGCATTCTTGTCCTTTGCTCTCCCGTCCTCGTATTTTAGCTGCAGGACTCGTGCCCGGGGGTTACTTCGTTAATTGTGCTTGACGCTGTCATTCATTTCCGACACTCATTTGAACCGGCCTCGTAAGAAGTGTTGGGATTCCCAGTATGGGCTTAAGTCGTAATGCATCTGTGCGTATTCTCGAACATGTACTTGCCTCCATTAATCCTCACTTATTTCCAGGTCGAAGCAATCCTCGCCGAAATTCCTTTCTTTGCAGTTGGCTTGCTAGCTTTCGGTACATTCACATTTTTTCTCGTTATGAAGGCTCTGAATCGGTGTGTTATCCTATATGCACCCCTTTGTTCGGTGTTAAGCTCATGTGTACCATTTTTGCAGCTGGGTATTCGCCTTGCATGCGTCTGTTTTTCTGGCTTTCGTTGGGGCTATCTTTGACCTCTCTGATGTTCTGTCGCACGGCTCCCCGTTCAGGAAGAAAGTTCAGCCGTTTAATTTGGGAGGCCTGCAAACCACACGAGAGATCTTGTATGCACTATCCGTTGGCATGCTGTTCACTTTTCTATGGGGTCTAGTCGCGGAACCTCCTCCCGGAGAACGCGAAAGAGACGAAAATAACATGCATGCAGGTAGCTGGGACAAATGGGGTGTCGTTGGCATGTCCCTCAAATGGAGTCTGGCAGCTTGCATTGTTGCAATAACTGTGTTGCAGCTTCTGTACAGGCTTGTATCGTTTCTGCATCAATTTGGACCGGTCTATGAAGTGGAATGCACCATCAGAATCGTCGTCTCCGCGGTGCTAGTGCTCAAGATTCTGTTGAACACCTATCTGGCTGTTCTCTCCTCATCCAGAGACGGCATTCCTCGATGGATCATTTTGCGCGACTATTCGCCGGTGGTAGCTGCAATCCTCCTAGGTATGGCTCTTGCTATCGGCGACATAATACAATGTAAGTGGGACATATTCTTTGCGACTTTCAACTTGCTAAAAATCAATGCAGTTATGTTCTCTGCAACCGTCCTGGGCACATTTTTGCAAGCGATCGAGTTCTACATATTGATCGTATATGTTCTCATCACGGCATTCTATTATGCTCGCAACTCGCCACCCGCTACTGGAAAGCGCAACATTAATCGCTCTTCGTCGTTCCGGGGCCTGCCACCTATCTCTCAACGGGAATCCTTTTTCCGCATCTCCCCTGTACAGGTGCCTGTTATTTCGGTTTCTGAGCCTGACTTCCTTTCAATGGGACCCTCAGATAAGACTCAGCAGTTGAAAGATCAATCTCGAAGACCATCTTTCATCAATACTAGCGGGGGCTCGGTAGCGTCACGAATGTCTGCATGGCTAGCACCCCGCGCTCTTACCTCACGCATACCTAGCTTTTCGTCGGCCAGTCCCAGTCCCAGCCCCGATGTCGACAGACTTTGGGATCAGGATGATGCCGAACGTGGGATATCACCTACACAAATTGGAACAGGAACTGCAGTAGAGTTCGAGGTGAAGGGCTCCCGTGGCTCGTTTGATAGTCCCATGGAACCCAAGGAGAGTGCAAAGTGGCAGGATCCGATGTTCACTAGGGTGCTTAGGGAATCCAATTCCAATGGTAACCTATCCAGCGCCACGTACACCCAGTCTTTCTCAAACGTTGCACCTTTGGCTATCCCGCAACGAGTTTTCTCTCGGCCGATGACACCGATCTCAGGGACAGACTCTCCTATATACGGTCTTACAGGCATCGTCCAACCTCGTCCACCCCCAACTGCATACGCCGACATCAACGATTCTCGCCCCGTATCACAAGCAGATGGCGATGGGAACATGTCTCGCACGACGTCGATTTCTTACCTTTTCCGTGAACAAGCGGAGTTAGACAAAACTATCGCGTCGTTGAAGTTACTCTCACGTCCTGAAGAAGATGATGCGAAGCCCTCTTCTGCTGTTCAGAGCGAGTTCTCACTTAGCAACTTCCCTGCACCTCCTTGGGGACGGGGAAGCGTTGCTGAAAGTGTCGCGGGTGCAATGACGCCCACGCCCCCACTTGTAACAGTGGAACAGGCCGACCCGGTGCTGGGGACTGGCATCATCCAGGATGAGATGGAGGAATTGTCAGATTCGGAACTATCCCCGCCCAGAATGCCTGCGGCTGCAGCAGAACATGGAAGAACATTGTCTGTGCCCTACTCGGATGATGGTGATTCATTGGCTGGAGGACGTCGGGCAAGGATGGATTCAGAAGGGACACAGTATGAAATCACATCTTTCATAGGCGGTTAGTCCCCATTTCTTTCATGCTTCTCAGATTAGAGTACTGATGCTTTGCGCAACAGGTTCAGCTGTGTCTCTAGGCTCAGTCCCATCTGATAACGCTTCTGATAACCCATCAAGGAATCCGCCACTCAGCACATCCCCACAGAACTCTGCAACCTTACTCGCTGTCCCTTCTCGGACTGGTACCCCTGCCTCATCACTCCCTAGGCTGAAAATACCGTCTGCTGGAGGACAAGCAACAACAATCTCAGGACTCTCTATTTCCCGTCCGATTATCGGTCTTCCCCCGAGGCCACGGCTGGGTACACGCGGGAATTTGAGTCCTCTGGTAGAGAGATTGTCACCGAAAGATGAATTCGAACGCCCGAGACCTGCGCCCTCGCCGGCCACATCCTCTAGAGCTGCGTCGCCATAACACTGGATTGTTATGAATTTCAACTTTGTTACCTTGTGCTTTTCGGGTTTCGCTGTCAGTTTCGTTTCCCCGCTGAAGCTTTGTATTACTGTACTGTTTGTGGTATTTGTTGATTGTCCGTGTATCGACTGACTGCAGGCTATATTGCTATTATGCAGACATGTGTACTTTTACTGTTATCTCCACAAAGCCTTTGCCAAACATTGTCAAACAACCTCGCTGAACACCACTGAACGTATAGGAAACTTGAGAGAAGCAACGAGTGAGTGATTCTGAAGTACCCTATAGACCCGCACTAAACCCGCCGTGTCTTCTCAGTACTTTACAGGATTGAATTCCCCGCTGTGTCTAAATCTTGAAAATACACTCTTACTCACAAGTGGCGGGTTCGGCCACTGATTATGTCAGGTATGGCATGAACACTCTCATCTCGCTCATTGAAAGGCCTGTCCGAACAAACAGCACTCTTGACATCATCCTTAGGAAGCGGTCTCAGGCGGATATACTGCATTAGTTAAACTGCCCATAGTCTCTGACATCTTGTCCGAGTCTCTGTCAACACCCCGATGCATGATCTTACTCTCGTCCAATCAACGATTATGATGATCGGATGAGAGTGGGAAACGGCAATGTGAGGATGAAGGTAAGGCCTTTGACAATGTCATCAACAATCGTGCTCCTGCATGGGTAAGAAACCTCGGCCCCGCAACACGATTACACACTTGATCATACAGTATGAAGCGTCTGTAGGATCACTCGAGTATAAGAGCAGGCATCCTCAGGCTCTTCCACCTATACTCCAGCCCCCAGTTATTTCGCAATCTTCATCCTCCTCTCTCTTCAACATGGGCAACAAATACGTCCTTGTGCGTTTTATCCTGTCAGCCTTAACGTATTACGCCCTAACAGGAACATTGTATCAAGGTCACCGGTGTCTCTGGTTTTCTAGGTGGTCATATAGCCTATCAACTTCTAGAGAGCGGAAGATGTGTTCGAGCGTACGTTTTCCGATGAAGCTTTGCTGCATCCACCCGGATGATTGACCATACTTTATAGTACGTCACGTTCAGGAAAGGTTGCACAAGTTAGAGAGGCATACGCTCAATACGGTGACAAGTACGATGTTATCGTCGTTGACGATTTCGTGAACGGAGACTTCTCCGACGCCTTGAAAGGTAACCTTTATATAAATCCGGTGTATTGTCAGTTATTAATACCCATACCATGTAGATGTTGAGGCCGTTGTTCATGCAGCGGCCCCCATGCCCTCCGGTTCAATTGAATCTGCTGAACAGGCATTGGACGTAAGTCCCACTTGTAGACCCGGAATCAATCCTCTAAACGAAAACTGGCGCGATCGCTAGGTTGCTATCAATGGTAGTTTGAATATCTTCAGGCAGGCCGAGCAGGCTGGTGTAAAGAATTTTGCGTACGTTAGTAGCATCATAGCTATAAATATGACAGGGCCTCCACCCTGGTCCGACCAATGTATGTCCAACCGCTCCTCCATTGTATTGCCTACCTGACTGTTTTGACAGCTTGGAACCCGGTAAAGAAAGAGGACGCGATGAAAGCCGTCAGTTACTACTTTACGTTTCATATTTCCAACTGACAAAGTTACATAGACTGAATTATTCGTCATTTATGCTGCCGAGAAGACTTTCGCTGAACGTGCTGTTTGGGATTTCGCCGATAAGCACCCTCATGTGGAAATGATGACGGGTAGACCCAACTGCCTTCGTTATGTTCAATTCCTGACATAATGTTGTTCATAGTCAATCCCGGTTTCCTATATGGTCCCTTCTCACCAGGTTACCGTAACGATAATGCCAGCGAAATTGGGCTCAGCACGAACTCCTATATTTACGGCCTCATACATTCTGACGGACATATCGCACCAAACCCTTCATTCGCCGATGTCCGTGACGTTGCGAAGGCCATTGTCATTGGGTTAGGTGCTCCTCCCACCGCGAAGGTCGGCCGAAAGCGTATCTTGATCACTGGCGAATGGTTCAGTGCCAAGGATGCGGTCGAGTATATTGCTAGGGTCCGTCCCGAGCTGAAAGATCGTTTGTCGAAGGAGGCATTGACCGCTGGTCCTGCACCTCCGACGCCGATCGACAACAAAAGGGCGACGGAGGCGCTGGGCATTACTGAGTTCACGTCCTGGAAGGATTCCGTTATTGCAGCTGTGGATGATCTTTTGAAGCTGGAGCGCGATTGGAAGGCGAAGGGTCTCAACCTAACGTGAACCCATTCTAGTACATGTCATGAGTGATAAGGGTAGCATGTAAATTTACATCTGTTCCATAGATATCTTGATACTTGAAGAACAAGAAGTTCCGTGCATAAAGCCTCCAGATCGCGGATACAGTACTGTAATTTGAACTTACGAAGCCCTGTTTGGGATTGATCGATAGTGATGGTTGAGGCTACCCTAAGCAGTAATGTGATGTCATGGCGATCGGCCCCATTTCATACTTCCACGACAGCAATCATGAAGGGCCACTCGCACGCGTGTCTTCACTAGCACTACTCCTCCTTTTCTTTCTACATCCATCATGTCTGCTTTACCTGACTACTATGCCTTCCTCAATATCTCGATCAAGGCAACGACAGAAGAAATTAGACAGGCGTACAGGAAGGAATCTTTAAAGTGTGTGCTTGGTCATTCATATTGCATTGCCATTTACTCATCCTTGCAGTTCCTTAGGACACACCCAGATCGTCTTGTAAATGCTACTCCAGTAGAGAAGAAAGCTGCTACCGAAAGGTTCCAGGTAAGTTATTGACTTCGTTCACAATTGATAGTGATATCAAGTGATGATTAACCTGGGCTTTAGGCCGTAGCGGATGCTTACTACGTCCTCTCAGATCCTGTGAGGCGAAAGGAGTACGACAACTTGTATGGAGCTCGGAAAGAAAAAGCAGCCGATCCTAATGCTTCTGCGAACTTCTTCTCGACATTCGCCAACATGTTTGGCGCAAGTTCATCGGAAACCAAAGGTGCCACACCGGTTGGTAGGCCGGACGCGGATAACGTCTTTGCCGATGCTTTCGAAGAGGTGTGTTGCACAGAGTACCCAAATATAGCTGTTTTCTTGACATCACATTTCGTTATCGCTAGCTTTTACGTCCAGAAGTTGAACGTCATGCACCATGGTGGGCTTGGACTGGTGCTGTTTGTGGCGGAGGAATAGGCTTCATTGTTGCCAATGTCCCTGGTCTTATGGTTGGGGCTTTCGCGGGCAATCGTCTGGGTGCAATACGAGATGCGAAGGGAAAGAGTGTTGCTGCTGTGTTCTCCGAACTCGGCGGTAGCCAGAGGGCAGAGGTTCGTGACTCTTTGAACTATATCTTTGACATTTGTTGATTATGTGATTTTCATCTTAGATTCTTCGTGCTCTTGCTGCGAAAGTGCTCGGTACAGCTGCAAGTGCCATGTAATTTTAACCAGGTCGTGGGTCTCATGCGTATTTTTTTTGTTTTACGGTCTTGGAGTGTTTTCATTGTAGATTACTATGTAGTATTACCGTAGATACACGTTGGATCCCTTATTCTATCGGATGAATGTACTTTCAAATTGCAGTGCAAACGGGAAGATGTCTGCCTCGCATTCGGAAGGTGCCGTTCTGATCTCGAATGGCAAGCATCCAAGTTGTTCGCTACACTCACGGTTCCTTTAGAAGCTAAAGTTATTCCCACTGTTTCCTTTGTATGCCCCGGACTCGCTCCCTCATGCTCACCTTCCTTTAATCATGCAAAAGCGGTATTTGAGAAGCCGCAGCCATTCACAACGTAGTGGAAGCAACGTGCGTGCGTTTTGCCTTGTCCACTAGCGGATATGTAAATTGATCATCGAACGTTAACTCTAAAGCAATCACTTGCAGTATCCCGCATAGTGAATCGTTCACCCATAAGTAAGAGCGAGAAAAGGATGTGTATGTAGGGTTAATGACTTTGCACAATTAACTTTACCTGACTATTCTATCTGGCAGCTGGCAGCGTCGTTAACGCGTCGCATTTGGCACAGTCACCGCGCAAACAGAGTAGACTTCTTATATATGGCTTCTTTGGTACTGTTGATGACAACTCTTCATTCGTAGGTCGCTCAGTAGCCGGATCAAACCCTCAGGTGTCTAACAATGCAATCCCAGGTGTGCACCCCCGAATCTAGACCTTGGCAAATACATTCAGAACATCCTGTTGAACCCTCAACTTGTTGACTTGCAGAACTTGCCGAGCCTTCACCTCAGAGTTACGACCAAAAGTCTGCGGAAAACCCTCCTGCAGTATGGCCTCGATTGCGTTGTTATGTGGACATTCCACCAAGGAAGCGTCCAAGGAAGGACCAGGCCAATCAGGACATGAATGTTATTGCTGATAATTCGTCGAAGAACACGGCCACCTCTAGACCACATGGCCTTCTGACGCCAGCCTCGTCCATCATGGAGATGGCGGATCGTCCTGTGTCGGGACCTTCATCTTCTGGCTTAAAGCGTCAGAGAAGTGCCTCGCCAGCCGATTCGACTTTCAGTTCGCCCTCGACAAGTGTCAGAGCGACAATCATACTTTCAGATGAACTCGAAGTTGATGCTTCTAATCATGCGGGCGCGGATGAAGATGTCGAGTTTGATTATGAACTTGACAATCTCACCGATGCATCTGACTTCCAAATGTTGGACGCGAATGAAATGGGTTCTTTTTCATTACCGGACGTGTCCTTCGAATATGGGGGGTCAAGTCTTTACGTACCGGCTGGAGTTGCACGGTTGCTAGAAAGTATGCTCGTGAATCATGAATGGTTCTTGATTTTCCTAGTCATTGATGACTTCTTTGACAGATATGAAACGGACATTGGAGATGGAACGAAACGCGCGTTCTAAAGCCGAAGACCGTCTCATGGAGGAAACGCAGAAACGCGTCGAAGCTGAAGAGTTCATTGCGAAGCTGTTACTTGAGAGACATCACATCTCTTCTGAAAACGAATCGTTCATGGAGGCTTCTGTCGATGCGATGGCCACTAGTGCTCTGTCAGCTACAAGAGCAGTGTTTTCCAAGTGGGCAGACAAACTGGAAGGGCGGTTATATGAAGTGATGCAGGCCGCGGCAGACAGATCAGAAGATGAGGTCTACAACGTCCTTTCATCCACACTCGCAACCAATCCTGCACAGTCGTCAATATCTCCACAGACAGGAGAAGCTAACGGAGATGAACCTGTGCGAGACACAGCAACTGAGGGTCTAAACTCACCTATACCCCAAACCGAAGGTTTGTACACCTGACGTGTAATTTTACACTTGCTCATGAGCTCTTTATAGGCTCATGATGGGGGCACAATCTACCCGAACGCAAAATTGCTCCTGGAGCAATAGGCTAACACACACGGATACCTGCCTAGGAGTCTGTATACCAGAGCAAAAGTATACATCGTCATCCAAAGTAATCTAGACAGGATTCGAATATATTGACAATTATCGATTGACATAAGAGAACGTCCATTTGGTCCGTTTGGTGGTATTCGTAGTAGGTATACACAGGATGTTGTTTGAGTAGGATAATAATGCAAAGTATTGGATATAGCAACAGTTGACTTTGGCAAGAAAAGATGTGAGAGGAAACGCGAGAGAGAATTATTTCGTAAGCTATGATTCATGAAAAAATGCCTTCAATCTTGAGTATTTTACGATGCCCAATAAGAAAACTTGCAAGACTAATGAAATGAATACAGAAGGAACATGGATGGTTTTGGGGAGATGCGGTATGAAGAATGGAAGAAGAATTGGATCTTTCAGAATAAGTTAAAGGGCATCTCCTATACGTTTTGTCCTTTGTGCGCTGCAATCAGGAATGATTCTAGGTTTATCACGAAACTCTTCGTGTCCATTCGTTCGCACGAAGCGAAAGAGGCCGTATCATGGACGAGTTAATGCCACATATCTCCGACCAGGGAATCGTCTATGGATGGTTGTGATCCACCCTCAAAGTTGAGGACGTCCGCATAATCGTTCAGTCCGCCAGCACCATTCGCCATTGCCAATGTGATTGCGGCTATCGCCTTCTCTGAGCGAGATGCAGTAGACCCCGGCAACGAACCTGCGCTAGCCGGATATTGAGTGGGCGGGGAAGAATACGAGAGGGAGGGTGCAGAAAGCGGCAATGAGACTTGAGAGGAATTGGCAGATGCGTGGGTGAGAGGCGGAGTGATCGGAGACGAGCCCTGTAGTGAAGAAGCGAAATGTTTCTCGCCTTCTGCAACATCTACTGATGAAGGAGAATGGCAGCGCTCGCTCTCGGCTGGTGATGTGAAAGACATGTGATCTGGGAAAGGATCAACGTCCATGAGGCCTAAGGAGACTGCGCGCTTTTTGCGCGGCGGTGGACCTAGTGAGGAATCGTCATGGGAAACGATGAGGATGTCATCCTCATCATCCTCCATAGCATCGGAATCTGTGGAGAAACTCGGGTCGTCCTGAGAGGCGACGCGTTTCCTTCCTCGTGTTTGCTGCGAGTACCCGGATCCTAAGTCAACGGGCTGTGATCGGGTGGACTCCCATTCGCGCATGCGGCTAACCAGACCTTCACCACTGTCTGCAATACTGCGCCGGAGGTCCCAAAATGCGTCCGTGCGTAATCTGCTGGTGTCCTCGACAGAGGGTATTTCTATATCTACCTGAGTGAACGGTTCAGAATATCGAGGGGTATGTCTTGGAGAACGTGTGCTTCTTCGTGAGTTGTGCGGAAAGAGCTCAAATGCGGCGGACGTGGAAGGCAGTCCTGAAGAGACACGATTGAACGAGTCTGCATCGTGGATGCTGGGTGCGAAATCGAAAATGCTCGCTGCAGCGTTTTTGGGAGACTATCGTTCATTTAGAATGTCGCGTTACGTTAGTAGATATATGCATCAACATACCGAAGGACCCTTCCGGATTCTCTTTCCACGCCTCCACAAATCTACATCCCACTTCTCAGGACGATCGGACTTGATATTTTTATATGAAGGAACACGAAGAGCACTCGGACGCGCTCGTCTGGTAGCTTTACGCCACTTGTCTTCATCAAGATGAAGAGAACCGGAAAGCGAGGGAGAAGCGGAATGCGATCGACGACGGTTATGCTGGGGTCGGGTGAGGGAGGTCATGAAGCTCGACAAAGCTCGAGCGTCGAGGAGGTCGTATACTGGTAGAAATACGAGCCCAGCAATGAGACTTGATGGAGGGGAGGAAGCTGGCCAGGACGACTGTGGCTGGTATCTTCAACCCAGCCCTCCTTCTTCCAGGCTCTCCTCGGCATAACCCGGTCCTCCATATCTCAGAGCTTTCGCCTAACCGACTTTGACCTCTTCCTCACCATCGTCTACACCGTGTTCCATTCCTATCATTGAGCGCACGGACAGGACATTCTATTCAATGGAAGCGCAGATCTAACCCTTATTGATTTTTTACTGGCGAGCAATGTAGGTCAATGGACGACGTCTTAACTTGAGTCCATGACAACTATCCGGGACTGTTTGCTTCTCATAACCGTCTGCCGTCAGATTCGAATATTCTTTGCAGTATGATCTATTCTTTCATAGCACTGTGACAAAATCGCGAAGCAAAGTTATCATCCGTCTAAATTTCCGAACGATGTTGACCAGCGAAGTACACCCACGGACTCGCGAAGGATGGTTCGGAGAATATCTTGGTTCACTCTTAGTCTCTTTACATGTCGTAGCGGTTGGACATCGGTCCGAACTTTAACCAGTGTGTTAGACAACGGTGTCAGACTCGCTATTGAAGATGTGCGTTCCAGTGCGAACACAGAGCTTCTATAGCAGTTTGACTATGCCGTGATCGCACACCACACAGGGACGGTGCTTCATCGGTTAGTCGTAGAACACCAATATATAATGGTGAACAGGAAGATTATTATTGACTCGCACTTGTGTTCTCTCGATCGTAACCAGTCATGAAACCTGAACTGGCCATCTTTGGGTTTGTTGCCTTGGCGTCCGCCACAATTCTTTGGGATGGCAGGTTTAGCGATTATAGGTATGGAAAACATGTAGGCGATGACTGAACGTAACTATAATATTCACTGTTCCCAGCACTGCTGCTGACTTCGACAAGTGGAGTTGGAGCAACCAAGTTGGGCAGTACCAAACATACATCTATGTGAGTCTTCATCTTCCTGTCATGGCAAGAGCGAGAGATTGAAATTGTATGAATCGTGAAGGGCAACTTGCATGTAATTAAAGATCCTCTAGGCTCCGCTTCTTCGGTAGACTCACTGATCCAATGCAGGGCGAGACAGCTTCGTCTTGGCTGACTCTCGGCAGTCAGTTTAAGAACCCTGCAAGTAAGGCATTCTCTTAGTCCTTTCCTCTCGAGAAACGTCATTTTTGGCATTTTAGCTAGTGCTGAGGCACAGGGTGCGAAAGTCAAGCTCAACGCTTCATTTACTTGGAATGGTGGTCCTATGCTTAGGACTGAGCTAATTCCTCAGACGATGAGCTCGCTCTCTGGCCACCTGTACGTTCAGGAAGCATAGCACAGCAACATTCGCCTATGAATTCTTCCGACAGGTACTTCCATGTATCTCTACAAATTCCAACTGTGAACGCCCCAGGTAGGTTACCTTATTCCCTTCTGTATAACCAAAGTCGGTTCACCGTTTGAGACAGACCCCGCCTACGAGCACCAGATCGTATTTTGGGAAGGTCACTTTGCTGACATCAAGTACGGACAACTGTCTGGTAAATGTCTTCCGCGAACACCACGTTCGATTCTTTCTGAGAGCTCGCATATCGGGTCAGAATGATGTCGCCGATACACTCCAGGTCATAACCGGCGGAAAGAACGTTTGGTCTGTGACTCCAGTGAAGGGAACTTGGGTATGTCCATCGAGATACCTATATCACCATTCAACATACAAATGCCTCGGGCTCATCCTCCAGTACAACTTCATTCTCGAGACTGGCTCCCCTGGAGGTTTATGGGTCTCAACAGGAAGCAGTCTTTTGCAAAAGGTGTTCACTGGGTCGCTCAACGGTAATGGTGGGACTGACTGGCACATTGGTGTGTCCCAGTTGTCATACATTGTGCAGGGACAGACCTTTCGCATCCGATCGATACACAGGTGCTTTGAGGTTACCTGTGAATGGACAGACGCAACAAATCACGGAAACCGATATTTACTACAGCGGCATCTACGTTGAGGACTCTGGGCCAACTACCCAGCCTTGAACTTTGAAAATGTGGAGCTAGAGTCAAAAGCAATGCGAAGGACAGTGTTGTAGATTCTGGCGTACATGGTCGAAGCTAGGCATGTTCTATGTGTACAATCAAAGCACGGAGGTATAAATGTAACATCCCTAAATCCCAGCAAATTCCCAGTTCTAACATTGAACGTGAGGGTTCCGGTCGTAACCTTTCATGAGAGCTTAGAGCTTCGCAAGAGGTTGCCAATCTACTCGTTCCACCTGAACTAGCGTTAAAGACTGCTGTCAATGAGCGCGCTGGAAAGACGACTCACCATATCTGGTACCAAATCTTTGACTGTCCGTGCACCGATGAGTCGCATAGCTGTAACAATTTCTCTTTCTAGTATTCGAATGGTCTTGACTACGCCTGCTGCACCGTAGGCCTATAGGGAAATGTGCAAGTTTAATCCAGCGTTCGGTGTCGTTACATTATTTACTCACACTTTGCGCGTAGAGGAATGGACGTCCAAGTCCTACAGCCGTTGCACCCAAGCATAGTGCCTTAATGACGTCCGTTCCACGACGTATTCCGCCGTCGATATAAACTGAACCAAACGAATGGTTTATCAGTCTGCGGAATAGGTCTCATCTTTCGATACGTACCTTCCAGCTTGGAGAAAATATCTGGACGTTGCTTACGAATTTGATACAGGACTTCAAGGGAGGGTAAGGCACTAGAGGGCATGAAATTAGTGAGTTTGCGCTATTTAGAGCTCGACATGTCAACCTACTACTCCAGTTGACGTCCTAGAAAAAGAAGATGAGTTGACATACCAGCATCATCGTACTCAATACTCACCTCCGTGGTTTGAGAGTAATATGCCATCAACACCCGCTTCGGCTGCCAAGACGGCGTCCTGCAGCAAGAAAATGTAAGTTTTGTAAATCACGAAGCGAATGCTTAGAACACTCACATCTACACATTGAACGCCTTTCACAACAACAGGCAGCTTGGTAACGCTGCGAAGCCATGGAATTGTCTGACAACTTGAATAAGCGTACGTTCTCCCTGTGGTCAATGCTGTATTCACCTCATTCCAAGTCATATTCCGATCGTCGTTGGCGACCAGTGCGCCTGCTGTACCCTCGGTATCGACCTCGAATTCCAGTTCCTCCATATCGGTCTTCTTCCTCGGCAGCTCGCCTTTCCTTCCTTTACCTTGTTGTTCTGCGGCAACTGCTTCTACGTCCTCTTCAGTCCACCCAGCACGTACATCTTTCTCCCTGTTACCTGCCACTATGGCATCGACAGTCAAGAATATGGCATTGTATCCCAGCGACTCGACTTCTCGAATGCGTTTCTCGGCCAATGCTCTGTCTTTGTGCTTGTACAACTGGAAGAAAAGTGGTTGTGATGGGGAGACTCGCGCGGAGGCGATCTCAGCGTAGGAAAGAGACGCATTGGAGGAGACCATTTGAATGGTTGAGGTCCGACCACAACCTTCCGTGATATTTGCCTCGCCTGAAAATTATTCAGTGATACAGTTCATTAATCCAAAGGGAGGCGGGAAGCGATTGCATACCGCGTGGGTGTCCGAGCTTCGCTAGGGCAGCACCACTGACGAAAACTGGTATTGTTGACTTGAAACCCAATATAGTTGTTGATGGGTCACAATTGCCTACCGGCCGCATAACTCTAGGGTGGAAGAAGAATCGAGTAAAAGCTCTAGCATTCTCGATATTCGCTATGAACGGGTCAATCAGTACGAAACCCGTCAAATGACAGTATATAGAAGAGACTCACTGATTTCGTCGTCAGACGCTGAGGAATAATACGCCCAGGCTTTACTTGAAATGACTTTGCGCGCGACTTCCTGACGTAAGGTCACTTGCGTTAGCAAGACGCTGCAGGACGACGTGGCAGGCAGATTGTTACCTCCATCTCCTGCAGGTTCAATATCCTGCTCAATGGCGGTTTATTGGCTTGCTCGCGTTCCATGCGAAGCTCATCCTCTGTTTTCTTGCGGTCCTGACGAGCGGCGGCAAGTTCATTAGCTGAGCTGACATCCAGATCCCCGAGATGTTTCTCTGGAGGTAGGTTCTTCTCGAGAGCATCTGGAGGGTGTATGGGCTCATATGCAGACGTCGCATCGCGACCTGCATACTTGAGAATAATCTTAGCACCACCTGGATGTTCCTTTGACAGCGGGTGAATATGAGTAGCAGAACCTCATAGTACGACATACGGGTAGGAATTCTGTAACGTCGTAGACCTTATTCTTGATGACCACCCAACATGATCTTGATTCATGGTCAGTAACGTTGTTACAAGGCGCAGACTCTACCCTTACTTGTCAGTGTTATGCTCTGAGACTTCCTTCAGCGAGAGAGGCATGGTGGGATAGATGAGAGTAGAAGTGAAGGTCACCTAATGAAAGACCTGGGGTGAGAAACGCTGGGTTATATCCATTCTTTCATTTCGAGATAGTTAAGTACAGAGTGATCACGGGTGGAAAGTTCAGGCATCGTGCGGACGGTCGGTCCGGGTTGGGGAGTCCAATGGGCACGAACGGGTTAATATTCCTAATCGTCGTACATCACGAGCGCGTAGGACAGGCCGGCATTGCCAACGGTGTCGTCGTCGCCTTTAAGAACGATGAGCAGAATCTCGCGTGCTAGAGCCTAGCGCTGCTGCAACGTGGGCTGAGACAGACGGAAGCAAAAATTAACGATCAACAGTTATGGGCGTTTATGGTCACGTGTACCGCTTCGCGTCGCGTCGGAATCGAACTTTGCGGGACTTGCTCACAACGTCCATCATCCTCGCTTGCTTGTCCCTCCTTCCGGCCAGCGCCACCATGGCCGCCGTCCCAGACAGGAAGACTCTTGAGAACATGAAGAGGGTCGACCTCCAAAGACTCTGCAAAGTATGTCGTCGTAATTTGCCCTCCGAAGCTTTTCCTGATAGTTAATGTATGCGCTATTATTCAGGACCATGGTCTGAGAGCAAATCTCAAATCCGAAGCCCTCATCGAACTTTTGCTCCAAGCTACGGGTCCTAGGCCCTCTCAGATTCCAAAACGTGCATCCTCGCTCCGTGTTGTAAGCAGGGCCAGTAGCGTAGGAGCGCGCCCGCGAGGGAACTCAAGTAGCTCAGTAATAATTCATGACACCGATGACGAGGATAACAATCAGGACAACCGATCTCCCACTGACATAGGCACACCTGTGGAACCACAGCCGCTAGTAGCAACATCTGCTATTCGGACTACTCGCAAGGCGAAGCAGACACAGTACAGATTAGGCGTGGGCAGGCCAACCATTGCAGGAGGCACCGGCGCACGCGCTGTCACCCGTTCTCTGAGTGTACCGAAAAGCAGAAGCGGTAAGCTCAATCGGAGTGTGAAACCTATCGAAGAAGCTATTCAAGAAGAAGAAGGTGAGCTGCTTTTCTCCCACTACCTTAGTTTATGAGTGACTTAATCTTTTCCAAGAATCTGATACTGTTACAACCATAGGTTGGTTAGTTCACGGCTGTTTTTCGCGCATACACTAACACCCTTGGACAGATGCACCAGAACCTGGTCCTTCCGGAATTTACCACCATGATTCTCCTCCCGTCACACATGCAACAGAACCATCGCCTCCGACCATGAGCAGCACGGATACTACTGAGAATCTCAAAGCATATCTCATGACTCTAGTGCGTGTGTGCGTTTTTTCTTAGGGAGATACAATACTAATCGTCCAAATTAGGTAAACCCGCTTCGGCAGCAGATTTCAGAGTTGCAGATTGAATTACAATACGCGACCGGACGTTTAGCTGGGGTTGATGGCCTTGAAAGCAAGGTTTCTGTCTTGACTAACGAAATTGATGCTCTAAAAGGACAAGCTTCGCGCTCTGACCAGCTAGAAGCTGAAGTTGTGATGCTTAAGGAATACATAGCCGTGTTGAGAGCAGCTAACAATCGGACAAGGACCGAAAGTGCCGCTTCTGGCAAATCGCGTTTCACGTGAGTCGAGCCAACGCGTTTGGCCGTCTGCTTCTAACGTAAATCTGACCGCTTCTACAGGGATCAAACGGTTGTATCACCCCAAGACCAGGCTGGTCCTTCGGATGTTCATGCATATCTGGAGCAACAAGGTCTGCCTGCTTCCTTGCTTGGCAAGCGCAGTCGGGATTCCAAAGACAGTGAACTGACAGGCATAATTGAGGCTGGTCAGGAAGCTGAGCTTACTCCAGGGCAGCTGGCTACACGTGTTGTTCGTCCAAATAAGAAACGTGCAAAACTGGGGGACTACGGTGACTCAACATCAACTGTTGCTGCTGCTGAAGAAGAGGAGGAAGAGGAGGAAGAGGAAGAGACGACAGGACCAGCTTTCACAGTTTTTACTGGACCAGAGGAACCTCCAGAGTCCGATGTTGAGCCTCCCCCGCCGATGATGCGTCTGTCCGATCTTGTTGGCCTGTCGTCCCACACACCCGGTTCACATTCCATTTCCCCCGTCGCCACAAGTACCGCAAACGCTAATGAGAACCAACCCATCAGTAACCCCTTCAATTTCACTTTCGCAGAGGCAATAACGTCCACGCCTGCACCAACTGCCTTCGATGTAAGCGCATTCAATTTCCCGCAACTTCCGTTATCCCTGCCAGTTCCCACCTCACCCACTCCAGGTGGTGATCCAGACCCGAGTTCATTATATGAACGACCAGGCGGCAGGCGGCCAAGAACTGGGAGCGAGCTGTACGGTAGTCTCGGACACGGTCCTAACAACAGACCCAGGGGGGCTGCTGTTGGAAACTCACTTGGTCGGCCACCATCGCGCGCCCAACCACCTGCGATAGCCGGTCCATCCAGTCTTGGAGGTTCTGATACCCCAGTGGACCAGTGTATAAGTCCAGCGGCACTCATGCGTCCCCGCACACCGGTCTTAGCGGCCATTCCAGAGGACAGGGATAATGGTACCGCTAATAGAGCTCGACGCTCCAATTTAGGTGCTGGTGGGTTACCATTGGCCATGCCACCCGAGACCCCTGCGCCTCCAATGAGAAGGACAATGTATGGGACGGAAGTTGAACAAGATACACGTTTTGGAGACTTTGGACAGGAGGGGGTGGCAATGGGTTTTTGGACTGGGGCGGCGCATTTCTGAAGGAGGAAGGCTTAGAAGAAGAGTTGAGGACGCCTCCGTTGTCATGAATAGATCGTGACATTGATAGGTGTCTAGTTTTGACTGGTTCAAGACTTTCTTGGTGGCTTGTTGAGATCTTGCTTGTTATCGTTGAGCCTTTTCGTCGCCTTGTGATCGATCCCCCATTTTCTTTGCCTTCCCTCTGCCTTCGTTGGATGCTACCATCCACACGCCCCGCCCCGGTTCTGCCGCTACCTACTACTTGCTTCCTAAATTTCTCTGAAGCCCGAAACTTTCGTTAACATTTAAATGGACTATACCTTTGCTTAGTTCAATACTGTTGTCTGATGATTATACGAATATAATGACATGCATTGACGTTGAAATTTTCGAGAGTTTCACGTTCCAAGACGCGGTATCATACTGCTGTCTGAACATCATTGTGGTATTATGATAAGTTATTCTATACAGCTTTTCGTGGATGTAGCATTGTGTTCCGAGTATGTATTGAGAGAATAAATATACTGAAGCGTGCGATGGGGTAACGTGTTGAGGTTAAATGCAGGGTATAAAAGAGATGACTTCCTCGTAGAGGAGTTCTGTACTAGCCATGAGAAATCAACACACGAGGAGATCGATGAGCTACTAACCTTTAAGCTGGTCCTTGTTCAAGTCTTGATCTATGAACAAACAAAAGTCGATGAGTTTCACAAATAATCAAAGACGGAGGTAGGCAGGATTGTTGTGTTTGGGAACTTACAATCAAACTCAAAGTACTCTGGGTCCAGAGAGTCCACGGAAGGCTCATCTTCAGGATCATGCTGCACGGCGTTCATACAAATAATAAGTTTCAGCGTGATCAAGTGGACACGACTCCGAGTCGGAGCTTGGGACGTACATAAGCAGCAAGATATGGGTGTTCCAGAGCTTGAGTGACCGTAAGCCGTTTCTTCGGATCGAAAGTCTACGATGAGATGAGCAATAAAGGGCGTTAGTATTTTATTGAAACTATGATCCATGATGAAGTAAATAAAATAAGAGAGGAGACCAAGGTGTTTGAAGGCACCTTTAGTCATGAAGGTGCGAACAAGTACGAAGAAATATGGATATACGGATATATGAAAAGGCAACTCACGAGGGTCTTTTGGAGGAAATCAAGCGCTTCGGGAGAGGCTTTCGGGAACAAGGTACTGAATGGACGCCGTTTCCTTATGGGCAACGCGCGGATGTAGTCTCGTGATCGTCGCGAGGTGATCCCATAGAACTCTTCCAGCGTGGGTGTTCCTATGCCCGCAACAAGTCTGTTAGAGTCTGGATTTCACTTCCGGAAAACCCGTGCACACATTGTAGTATGCGTGGGGGTATTTGGTTATGGGGAGAAATATACGTACCAATGACATCGAGAATGAGATCGAGCTGGTGTCCATAATCGCGACCTGGGAAGAGTGGTCTTCCGTTGAGGAGTTCGGCTAGGATGCAACCGACAGCCCAAACGTCGATGGCCTACAAAACATAGCCACGCAAAAAAAAAGTCCCACATTCATCAGCTCGCCGAATTTCCAAAAACAAACCCCCAACAAAAGCCTGGGCAAGCAAGGCAAGGAACTAAGAAAAACCAAAAAAGCAACACACCTTGGTATACATTTTAAACGAAAGCATGATCTCAGGTGCACGATACCACCTCGTAGCAACATACTCAGTCATCAACCCCGCTTCTTTCCCACCAGGATTGGTAGAACGAGTGCTTCGTGCCAGACCAAAGTCGCATACTTTGAGATCACAATTCGCGTTTAGCAAGAGGTTGGCAGGCTTGAGATCACGATGGACGATGTCTGCTGAATGCATCGTTTTGAGGGCGCGCAGGGTTTGATAGATGAAGTACTGGAAGACGTAAAAAAACAAAGTGAAACAGGGGAGAAAGATCAGAAAGGAGGCGCGGAGGGAGGAGGCAGTGGCGGGCAAGGTGGGTATACGTACTTGACAGTGATCATCAGTGAGTTGTTGAGTACGGATTACTCGGTGGAGGTCGGTTTGCATGAGTTCTTGGATGACTTGGTGAAAGCAACTTGGAATGAGTGTGTTGTTGCATTATGAAGTGTATTATTGCATGAAACATACAGTAGATCTCCTTGAAGTCATCAATCGAGGGAGGCTTGATGATGTCCAGAATGCAGATGATCTATCATGACGACGAGATGTTGGTCAGCATCCCGTTGCTCAATGTACGTACCCCTTCAAGCTTCAAGCCTGAGAGCGGCGAACCGAAGTGGGGAGGGTACGAACGTTTTCGTTTACACATGTCTCAGAGAAGAACTTGAGAAGCTTGAGTTCACGAAGAGTCCGAAGGCAAAAGAGTGTATGCTCGAAAGGAAGGACTTTCTTGATCGCCACCTCCCTGCCTGAGGGCTTGTGGACCGCAGCTGCCACAGTCCCATATGCACCCTCGCCCAAGCCATGGAGAATACGATAGTCGTCACCTGATTAGTACGTCAGAAAATGTCAATCAAACAACAGGTGGAAGCGTAGAGACAGGTGTCTAGCTTGTGTGACAATCGACATTGTACATACCGACATCGAACTTTGGGAGAGGCTTCGGCGCTTTGCGAGACATGGTTGACGGTTGTGGTATGGAGCAAGGCGAGATGGTGAGGTGAGGGCGAAGGGCAGCTCAGATAATCGCCAGCTGAGCGGGAAGATGGAGATGAAGAAGAAGAAGACGGCAAAGAGCGACTAGAGAAGCAAGATTAAAAGGACAAGGAGGGTACTGTTTGAGGGGGTAACCGCCAATTGATGGGATAGATATAAGGACATACCGGAAGGAGGCAGGGCACTGTTCACTCAGTGTGATGTGAGACGAATGATGAGACCCCTTAGGGCCAATTACCGATGATGGTGATAGACGAGAAGAGGTATATAGTATACTACAACCACTGGAGATGTGACTGACTGTCAATGTAGAGATGATTGAGGGAGATGGCTTGGTATAATGTATCGGGGGGCGGTCCAGATCGTGTCCCTACTGCTAGCTATTCGTTCAAACCCTCAAACATCGAAGTAGAGTGATGATAGGAAGGCACGGCCTCATCAGGTTCATCAGAACACATTGGAACTCTTGAGCCCTGTGATATCTCCTGCCTTTTACAGATTTGACACAGGTTATTCGATCGCACATGATCGTGAACAAATTGAGGTCTCTGCGGTACTTGGGACAGTCTTGGGTCCAACCTTCATGGACAAAATGAGGTCTCTGCAGGAGCATGAAGGTCAACAGAGAGATAGAGTCTTTGACTCTGCAGGGACCGCTCTGTGCCGTAACGCGTCAGCATCGGTGTTGCTGGCCTTATTTGATTGATGTGCGACACGAATATAGGGAACGTCGGTGGCCGTCAGGAGGCACACGAACTTCAAGGGATATTGTGAGGCATGTCGCTGTCTACAATGTACATTGGCACTGCATGCAGAGGACTGACATGAGTCTGCACGCAGCAGGGTAGAGTTGTGAGTACTAGTTATATGCATTCGCGTTTTATTCATTGCAGCCGCGGATCTTTGTTTGATGGCCTGAAAGAAGTCAAGATTGGCAGGCGTGCGATGACAGAAAGGCAGAGTGCGGAGATCTCGGGGTGCTAGCTGAAGAACAATACCGCTGCGGGTGGGTATGTCGGCAAATGGGGCACTGACAGAGGCAGAACGAAAACAATTGGCTTGCAATAGCTTGGATTAGGGTGCAATGAGTAGACCAATGGCAGCGCGAGCCGAGGCGTAGTGGAGCGGCTATGTGATTGGTCGATCGTGTTCATTGTCGCCGGAAAAGGAAAACGGATGCTAGGCAACGCTCGACGTTTTTGTCCCAGCATGTCAGGTGAAAAACAAATTTCGAACTCAGGCAGCAAAAATGACTCTCTGGCTCAGCTCCGGCTGTCTTGTCTTCTTTCCTTTCCACCGCCACCATCCCCGTCCTCCCCTCTCTCTCTTTTCCTCGCTTCAAATTACATATATAAGTCTTTTGTAAAGACTACAGTCGTTCCTTCACCCTCTTCCCTTCGCCTTATCGTATCCTCTGGTAGAGATGTTCTTCGCCACTTCTCTTTCTGCAGGCCTCCTGCTCGCCTCATCTGCCTTTGCTGCCATGCATGATGTTCAAGTCGGAAACTCCAACGGGGACACCGTCTTCACTCCCGAAGCAATTGTGCGTATCCTCTTCTCTCGTTGCTTCAAGCATATACTCACTGCTTTATTCTTGCAGTTTGCGGACGTTGGAGACCAAGTTATTTTCCACTTCCAGCAGAAAAACCACTCCGTGACTCAGTCATCGTTCCCTGCACCATGCGGTCCCGTGGATGGTGGCTTCAGCTCAGGATTCCACCCTGTTCCTGCGAATCAAACTGACAACTTTGACACCTACACCATCGTGGTCAACGACGTGAGTATTTTTGGACTCCCCATCATTTTTTCCCTTGTCTAATTTCCGCGTTACTAGACCAAGCCTATCTGGGTACACTGCGAGCAAGCGGCAAACACACCTCTCAGTCACTGTGGCAAGGGAATGGTCTTCGCCGTCAACTGTGGTCCCGACGGTGCCCAGAACTCCTTCACGAACTTTAAGAACTCCGCTCTTGCTATTGGAGCACAATTGCAGTCCGCTGCTTCGTCTGCTTCATCTGCCGCTCCCACTGCTACTGATGCTCCCATTGTAACTGGCTCCATCACCATCCCACCTGCACCCACTCAATCGGTCGTTACCGTCACTGTCACTGTCGAGGCATCTACATGGACCACCACTTACTCATCGTATCCTGGCTCACCTGCCGCGACCCCAGCGTCTCTTGCTGGCACAGATCACAAGGTCACTGTAGGCAGCAGCAACGGTACGCTCACCTACGACCCGCCTTCCGTCCAGGCTGCTCCCCGTGACACTGTTACCTTCGAGTTGTAAGTGTCTTCTTATCATCATTAAACCACGCAAGCATGCTGAGCATAGTTGTATACAGCCACCAGAAGAACCACACTGTTACTCAGTCAACCTTCGATCAGCCCTGCAACAAGAAAGCTGACGGTTTCGACTCTGGATTCATGTTCGTTGACGCGAACGTCACCGAGTTCCCGACCTTCACCGTCACCGTCAACGACACCGCTCCCATCTGGGCCTACGTAAGTCTCATCCCCCCTCTCTATGACAGAAGGGTTAATTATATCCTTTTGCAGTGTCGTCAACACCTTCCCGACGGTTCTTCTCACTGTGGTCTTGGCATGGTCTTCGCCATTAACCCCGTGGAGAGCTCTCCTCGCAACTTCACTGCATTCAAGACTCTCGCTCAAGCTCTTAATGGTACCAACTCTACTGGTGCTACTTCCACAGGCGGCAACTCTAGCACTGGAGGTGACGCCGGCAATGGTGATAACAGCGCCGCTAGCAGCGTCGCTACCAACGTTGCACTTGGATTGGGTTCGATATTCGCTGTCGTCGCTGCTCTGCTTTGAGTCTAAACGACAGCATTGTTCCTTTTTCCTTGGTGGTTTTTCATGATGCGGAGCTTTAGATGGGTTGCGCGCATACTGTATGTCTCGCTTTCTTTGGTGTGGATGGGGTACACCAAGATAAATCCCGTCGTGCTTTTCTCATGGTTCATGGTTCTGCTTCTTTTACGAACTTCATGCTGGCCCTTGCTTTTTTCTTTGGCTACTGTCTTGATGACATGACATTTTCCTTTTGCTCTTCATTAGATCTTTTTTGGACTTTACGAAGCTGCGCTCGTGTTGTAGTGTGTGCGTGTATTCCACCCCCCCTCATACTTACAGTCCTTTCTTGCGGACCTTGTACCGTACCTTACTAGTTAAACAACCAATTATTGAGGGAGAGATAAAACCCACGTATCACCCTGCGTGCCGTGTTACTATCAGTCCTTTGCCCTCTGCCCAACCTGTCTGTTGTAGTCAACGTTCTGTGGGTAATTGTCATGGATGTTTGGCAGATTGTTGCTCGTAGCAGCATTGTTCGACATTCAACGTGACAGGCTAGCGCTGTCTTGACGTCTCCATGCGCTTTGAGACCGCGTTGTTAGGTTGCTTATTGGTGGATTCAGGGTTCTCGTTATTCTCGTTCACACGCTTCGCACAGTACGCCGTACAAAAAGCTTTGGAAGAACAACGGAGGTGAACTGAGGGTTGTGAAATTTCTCTCATTGTTATCAGTCTTGTGTCTAAGAATAGATTTGAATGCGCATGCATGGGGGTCGGTTCAAAGTCGCTTGTCTTGAAATGATCATGATAATAATAAGTGTTTGCAAATTCACTCTCATTTGTACCGTCGGTTTTAGGATCACCTTAGTACGTACATAATAGGTCTAAGAATAGATTCTTATGACCTCAATACGGCATGAGTTGCTTGTTCGAAATGAGATGTGACCCGCATATGCATTGTTGGCAAATAGACCGGTCATTGGTCTGCGTACCGGAGACTACTTACATTGTTGGAGATTGTTGGACAGGTGCCAATCAGACATCGGATTCGGAGAACAATACGTATGTAACCAATGGACGGGATGCAGTTCGAGGACACCGAGATGAAATTTGGACGTATTGTGAAAGGTGAAAGGCAAGAGAGAACGGGAAATAGTGAATCCTTACTTGTGAGTCCCCTGGCTGCAGTGAGGCGATGAAGAGACATACAAGACAAAGAGTATAAGTATATTTGTAACCCTCGACCCTAGTGCCTGACTTCCCGCGAAAAGCAATGTGAAATTGGCGCAGCCCTACAGGACCACAACCTGAATCAGTGACTCTGAAGGACCCGAGGAACGACGATCCAAGAGGGACTATTATAGCAAAAGAATAAAAAGATGATATACAAGGGAAATCTGACAAACAAAATGCACACGTACACGTATACGCACACACTCGCAACTCGAAGAAGCCAGTAGTTAACGATAACAGCGGGGACGTATCATCATTACTGACTGTATCATGACTCTGCCTCCTTTGCCTTCTTCTCCTTCTTCAGTCTCTTCCGTTCCCGTTTCGCCTCCTCATCTTCCTCAGCTTTTGCCGCTGCCTCCTTCGCCGCCTTCTTCTCCTTCTTCAGACGCTTGCGTTCCGCTTTCGCTGCCTCATCCTCGCCTGCTTCGTCCCCATCCACTACCATGGAAACGTCACCGTCAGCATCCGGGACTTCTGACTTGCGTTTGCGCTTCTTCTCCTTATGTTCTTTGACTGGGCTGGTTGGGGCCTTTTCAACCTCAACCTCTGTTACAGGTGCTGGTGCTGGTGCAGCGGCCGCAGCAGCAGTGGATGGACCAGCAGGGGGTTGCTGCAACACAAATGATTTAAGTCCAAGTTCTCAGATAACACAACTTCGAATGTTGCAACTCACCTCTCTTGAGTAATCGACGTAGTCTTTGCTCCATTCTGTTGGAGTAACGCCATCAATCTTCTCACCGAACTTGCTCAGCTTGCCCTCCTTGACCATCTTCTTCTTCTCCATGGCTTTTGGTCCGAGACCCCACCTTCGCGGGTAAGTGTCACGTTCCATGATACACCGCTTGACCTTTGCGACAACACCGTGATCACACGTTGCTAGTTCGACGGTAGACATTTGAGCAATAGCGAGAGCAATCGCCTCACCTAAAAACAATGTTAGAAGCCATCGAAAGGGGACTGTCTCAAGGTTAACTTACCCTTTGTCGTCATGAGAACGATCTCCTCGTTTAGAGTAATGTCGGCCTCGTATCGCAAGAGACCAGGAATCATGAGTTTTGCACCGTAACAAACGGCATTAACTGCGCTGTCTTTGACAACGATACGCTTGTAGCCAACCAACAATGACTCAAGCGGTCGAATGACGCGTCGAAGGTATGATTCTACATGAAGCGTCAGCATTTTTCCCTGTCACGCTAACCCCCAAAAAATGAAAACTTACCATCACGAGTATTGTCGTACTGCCATTGTGCGTCCAACACGTCGTGCATAGTCACCATATCATCGTTCTCGCTCAAAGCACCACTGCGCACTCGTCGAAGCTCCTGCATATGTCCACCAACACCAAGCACGAGACCAAGATGCACACATAGCGTTCGGATATATGTCCCGGCTTCACATGAGACCCAGAAAACGGCCAAGTTACGCCTTTCATCGAACTCGAGCAGTTTAGATTCGTAGATGGTTCGTATACGGAGTTGACGCTTGACGGCAGAGATCAGTGGAGGTCGTTGGAAGAGAGCACCAGTGAGAGTTTGTATTGCGCGAGGAAGGGAAGCAGGGTTGGGAAGGGCGGAGTGTAGACGAAGGACGGCAACATACTCTTTTCCTGAAAAGAGTTTGTCAGTCAGCATAGATAAGGGGTATGGAATGCAATGTACGAACCTGCGCCTTGTTGAGACTTCACGAGCCTGGTTGCACGATCAATGCAAACGATCAAGCACCCAGTGACTTTTGGATCGAGGGTACCGCTGTGACCTGTCTTTTCTACACGTAGGATTCGCCTCATCCACGCGACAACTTCATGAGAGGAGGGGTTCGAAGGTTTGTCCAAGTTGATTACACCAGACCTAAAGTCAAAAGGTTAACATCATTACTTTGTCATATAAACAATCTTGTACGTACTTGACATAAGACTGAATGTCCCGCTTAAGGGGACTGCATCCAGTAGGAATGGGAGTGAAGTGGCTTGAACGAACAAGCAATTTGTCATAGTTTTTCAGCAGCAATGGCCATTGGGAGGTGTCGAGTTTTGGCTGTGCAGTTTCGGGCTTGATGGTATAGTCGCCTTGTACCTGAGCAGATGCGACTTGCTCACGAGATAGGGATTTTGAGGAGGCCATGGCTGTTGGGAACGGTGAGTCCAGAGGTCCTTGACAGAGTCTCTTCAAGTCTGCTCAGCTCGCTCGGTTCAAGCTTTAGCCACTGAAATATTCTCGTGCGAATAAACTTCCTTTCTTGGACATTCGGCAGCGCCCATAGTCGTGGGAACACATCGACCACAACTGTACAGCAGGACAAAAGCAGCACATTCAGTGTGCCGACGTCGTCCTCAGCACTCTCAACGCCAACCCCCTCAACGTGCCGCCCTCAAGATGGTTAGTGCCCAGAATTGCTTTGCTGAGTTCTCTTCTCAGTAGGCTAACCTGGACTTTCTCTTCTTTTTTCCCTCTATCTTCGTTCCCTCGATAGGCCAAGACCGCTTCCGGAAAAGTTGCTGCTAAGCACAAGTTCGTGATCGACTACTCCCGTCCTGCTGGTGACGGCGTTTTCGACGGTGCGGCTTTCGAAAAGTACCTCCATGACCGTATCAAGGTCGATGGCAAGACTGGGCAGCTCGGCGAGAACGTCAAGATTCACCGCGATGGTTAGTGGATTTCTCAACTGCTTTCGGACCTCTGACCTCAATATTATCCTTCTACAGGTGACACCAAAATTACTGTGACCTCCAGCGTTGAGTTCTCCAAGCGTTACCTTAAGTACCTTACCAAGAAGTTCCTCAAGAAGAATTCTCTCCGGGACTGGATTCGGTACGCATTCAATGTACTCGTGGAACATGACGGAACCTCATTTTATTATCCAGCGTTGTTGCCGTCAACAAGGATTCTTACCAGCTCCGCTTCTACAACATCCAAACTGAAGAAAACGAGGAGGAAGAGGACTAGACTGTCCCTCGTTCTCTCATTACTTGTATTCATGTCGTAGGGTAGTTCTATTCATGCATTTCTATGCGTTCATCCATGACATGTACTTCTACGGACCCTTCTGAATGTGTGATTCGTCGAAATCCATCGTTTTCGCCAGGTAGTCAAAGGTGTTTCGAATGGAAGTCTAAGAGTCTACTCTAGGTTGGTCTATTAACCACCACAGTAACTGTCTCCTGCTTCGCATCAGGGTCCTTGGGTTTCACCTTGCCCAAAACCTTCATGGCCATTTCGCTCCATAATACTTGAGATTCCGTCAATGGCTTTGCACGGAACTGCGTGGCCAACAGCTGTCCTAGTTGATTTCGAAGGAACTTCAAAGCAACGCTTGCCTTCGGCTCGATGCGGAACTTTACTTTGCGGTCAATGAGGACGGTGTCAGCCATCAACTCCACAAAACGTTAGCATATTCAGATAAAAAAGGGTGCAAAACGATCTTACCTTGAACTCCGCTTCCCCACACAGCAGGAGCAAAGCCAAATCGTCCACAGGGCCGGTTTCCCAAGCATAGAGCTTCTTCGATTGCCTGCAAGTACATAATCAACAAACAGCCTCAAAGACAGATTAGAAATCCATGCATACATCAGTGTGAAGTATGATAAGTGATTCACACCGAAATCTTTCGGTCTTCTGTGGAAGTTCACTGACGACGGATGGAACGACGCGGTTTGATTATTCGTGATCGTACGCATCTCGCCCCTTGCCGGATCCACAGCTAGGACCTTTGGGTAAAGACCAGCAACTAATGCTGCGTTCACCATGAACACGTTGTTTGAATTTCGATCATACTCGGGAGGAACCAGGACGAAACGAGGGCGACCACGACTGTAGCGAGTCCTGACATGAGAGATCATATGAGAAACTACTCAGGAATCATGTACACGCGTTAAACGTACCGGCTGAGTTCTCGGACAAAAGCTTTGTCAACTTGTAAGAAATTAGAATCCACCAGGTACCCAAGAAATTGCTGCCTGAGTTCCTCGATTTGTTGCAGATTCTGTGAAGTCGTCGTGAATATCCTATTCAGCTTTATAACACCAGATACTTACCTGGTGGCTGAGGTAACTCTGCCTGCAAAGCTTGCGAGCCACACCATTGTTACAGGCATTGCGCCAAGTTGAGAAAGCATTGTGGATTGTCAAAAAGTCTGAGTTTTCCGTTCTGAATGAGAGCTTAGCACGGTGAGCTTCATCAGCCAGTCCAAATGGTGCGACAAAAGGTGACTTCGAGTTGAGTGTCGCCGCGATTGTCAATGCTGGATCGAGGCACCGGAACACAGACGCGATCAACAAGAACTTTCCAAGGTGAACGTCTGTTGGTAGTTTGCTGAGAAGACGACCCATAGGCGTGATATCCTCACTCGGTGTTAGAGCTCGGACCTAGGAGAATTATGAGTTTACGCCTCCAGTTGCAAGTTTCAATCATTCTTACCTCAACCAACGCCGAAACAGCCCTCTGTATGTTCACTGACAATGGAGGATCGAGAGCACGCGAAAGGACATCCTCGATTGAAGACCCAAGTTTGACCTTCATGATCTTGATGCGCAGGGCGAGGTCACTGAGGCTCAACCGCATCATCTCAGGATCAGGGTGGTCCGCCATCTGTGCATGGATTAATATACGACACTCCAGCTTGAATGCCAAAGTCCTCACCTTGGTATCGTGTCGAACTTTGGTGAACAGGTGGAAGCAAAGGCCGGGTTGTACACGTCCCGCTCGTCCGCGACGCTGAGCGGCATTGCTTTTCGCCACAAAAGTCTCTACTAGCCGACTGATTTGTCGCTTTTCGTCAAACCTGTTGAAAGTATTCAACATCAATACTATGACAGTCATGGTAGACTGACCTCATTTCTTTGTGCTTGCCAGAGTCTATGACACATGTAATGTCAGGAATGGTGATACCAGTTTCTGCGATGTTTGTCGCTGAAGAAAAGTATTCAGTAAAGCGCACATAAAACATTGCGAACCACTTCATACCAATCACAATCTTGCGAATGCCAGGAGGGGGAATGTCAAATACAGCTCCCTGTTGTTCGCTGGATATTGTGGAGTGCAAAGGGAAGATCTTGAAGAGGGCTTCCGAACCAAAGATCGCGTGCTCCAATAACACATCGTTCAATCGACGGATTTCTCCCATTCCGGGCATGAATACAAGGATGGCGGAAGAGTACGTGGTATAAGATGAACCCTCCAGACAAATCTTCTCAAGCAGTCGAACAATGAGATCATAAGGGACTAAGCGTTCGTCCAGCAGATTAAGCGTATTTGCAGTGCTGGACGAATACCGCTTCTCGAGCTTGACATTGTCTTGGGCGGTTTCTTCGTCGTCATCATCGGCTGGTGCAGTGTCTTCGGACCAGTCGAATTTCAATTTTCCTCGACTGTACTTATCGCCTTTTATCCAACACCTGATTACTTCATCATGCTATAATTGTCAGAGAATGCCACTCACCACGTCTCGCATACGGCGAGTTTTCGGTGATCTTCCACTCGGCGAACTCGATCGCATCTTCAAGGTAGCGTACATCTACCGGGAACGTTCGCCCTGGGACAAGCAACATTGGGCATCCACCAAAATAGTTTGAGATCTTTTGGGCATCGACAGTTGCTGACATAAGAACCACCCTGAGGGAACGACGGGTAAGTAGCCGTACAGAGAACGAATCAATCTGCGAGTTGGAAGCAAAGTAGAAGGCCAAACACGACCAAGCCTTGCATCATTAATTAGATAGACACAGCTGCACGGATGTAAATACACCGTCAACATGTGTGCCGAACATCCAAGCGGTGAACAAAGGACTAGCCATCGCCGACTCCCTTTCCACACTCCCAGCCCGCAGATTATTGAGAACAAAGAAGGATCGTACTTCAGGTCCGGCCGTTGTTGTAAGAGCGACTTGAGGACAATGAGAAGGAAATCAGATTCAATCGTCCGCTCGTGAACTTCATCTATAATAATGTGCTAAGGCAACAATTGAGTCTTGAAATTTAGCATGAGAAAAATGCAAACTAACTGTGATCTCATCGAATGCTGTCCCTTGCCCATCTTGCCCGGATCCGCCCTCGAGCATTCGCAAAGCGATACCGTTGGTCACGAAGGCCAATCGCGTGGTGCGCGACGTGTTGCTTTCGAGCCGAATGGAATACCCCACCAACGAGCCTACTGTGCCAACGGAACCGGCTGGTTCGCCAAGCTCAGCGGAAACACGTTGGGCAAGAGAAATAGCGGAGATACGACGAGGCTCTGTACAGTATATCTTGCAATGCTTCCCTCTCGAGAGTTGATCCTCCAGTATGAAAGTTGGCAGCTGAGTAGATTTACCACTAGAGACAGGTGAGATCCTGCAACAAGTCAGGAGAGAAATTGTTCACCATCCAGTTTCGCCACTCAAAACGAGTATTTGAGATGTCTCTAACACGTTGATAATCTCGTTGCGGTATAATGCAATGGGCAGCTTGTTCCTTTGGGGCTGTATACATTTAATAAAGCAAAATGCTGAAGCAATCACTCAATGGGCATACCAGCATTTCTTGGTATCCTGGGCTCTCCCACCGTGCATTGAATCCGGCTGCTATCTGCTCGGAGGTTAGTTCGGTTTGGCCGTATCTACGGTATCCCGTGGTCTCCTTCACATCGGAAGTCTGCCTAGGAGCCCTCGGGCCAGACTAGTGTGTGTCAGAAAATTTTCAAGGAACATCTAATGCACGGCTCACCTCCATGTCAACGCGGAGTTTGAGCTGTAGTAACTCCTTCAGTTTTGCCCACACATTTCGGTTGAAAGCATCATCGTCAGCTCTCCTCTCCTCTTCCAACTCATTCCAGAGGTCACGGAATATAGGAGGTAATAATCTGAATGACGTTTGAGTACTTGCAGCGGTTGTACCACCTAGAGAGAATCCTTCCAGCGACGGGAATGTTATAGAATGCAGGGCGACAGTCGATATGTAATGTTCAGCCTGGAACATGTCGTGACATGCTATATCCTCCATGACCCACTCCTTCACACGATCTCCTCCCCAGCGAATGAATACAGCCGCTCGTTTGGCACGACTACTTCCAGAAGCACATCGATAACTGATGACGGCGAATCGATCAGACTTGTGCACAGACTCTTGGAGCAAATGCTTTGGCGTTCGTCCAGAGAAATGTTTCGGAAGTGACATGTCGCGAACGATAATTGTACTGCCAGTTTCTGATATCTCACTGTCAGGCATTGCTTCCAAAAGACCAAATATTCCGCCTGCAGAAGCCTCGTCTTCTTCGGCATCGAATATATCGGGCGACCCAGGGGGTGGTGTGGATGGGAGCGATTGTGTTAACGGAGGCTTGCTTGGTGGCTTCTCAGTTGGTAGGGAAGGCATCTCCCCTCGTAAGCGGGACTGTAGAGCTGCCGTATCAACTTTCTTGCGTTCAGTCAGATAGGCATCTTCAGCTTCTCGCTCGTCGAACAGATAATCATTCTTAATCTCTTCTAGCCTTTTGCGTAGCTCCTGCAAGAACGAAACGTCATGCCTTGGTGCTCCTACTCTTCTGTGGGTAGTTAAGTCTGCAATTTGCATCTTGACCTTAACATATGCCGTAGTTGGATCATCGTAGGGCAAGTCAAGAGATGCCCCGCTACTGGACGTGGACGTCCTGTCCTCTTCGAACGCAGGTGGTTCGAGAGGCCTGTCCGTGGGATTCGGTGAGACATCGTAAAGCGAGGATACTGGGCTGGCTTTGAGTGACGGTACGAATGTAGCAGCATTCACATCAAGACGGAATCTATGTCCATTCGGAGTAGTTGGAGTGGTTGGTGGGGAGGTGGATATCTGAGTAGACGCACAGGAAGTGTGTCGTCTATTCATTCGTTGATTAGGCTGCGTAATCCTGGATGTTGAAGTGGAAGTGGATGGTTCCAGGTCTGCTCCGGGAGACGCTATTTATCACCTCAGAATATAACCCTGCATAGTCTGACCATAGTCACTTACGAGGCTTTAAACCCAATTCGTCTTCGCTGCAATGAACATGAAGCTGCAATACTACGTCAGATGATTGAAGGGAATAAGAGGATGTATGCCTCACCCATTCAGTAGCTTCATCCAGATCAACGCCAGAAATCCGCCGCAAGCACTCAATTACTCTGTCCTCCGTGAATCCAAGGCGTCTGAGTACACCGTAAGTGATGGCCAGACGCTGAAGGGCCTTCTCTTCCGGCTCCTCAAGTGTGGCTTGATTCTTCTCGGAGTTGCGCGATTCCTCGTCCAAGACCAAAGCAAGAATTTGGTCAATAAGGATAGTGTCCAAGCTCAAGTCCGTCAATGTGCTAGAGAACCGCCTTTCCTGCTCAATTGCCTGAATTGACCAATATAAATTAGGGGAAGCGAACGAGTGAGCCATAATCAAGGCACATACCTTGACAGTCCTCACGATCTCCTTCTCGACCCGATCTTGATACCTGTCAACGAGGTCTTGCAAGGGCTGCGTCTTAGACTTGGACAAGTCGACGTCTTCTAACTTCGGTTGCGTAGGTGTGCCGACAGTCGACGACGTCGCTTCTGCTGGGGCATTTGAAGGGCCTTCACACACATCTTCTGTGGACTTCTCAGGCTCTGGTAATGGCTCCACAGCTTTCTTTGGAACCGAAGTCGTCGCGAACCCGCGCGCGACCGGTTTGAGCTGCGTTTTCTTCTTCTTGGCCATCCCGGATGGACCAAGGTTAACAGTTACAAAGCTGTTTTTTTTTGTTTCTTGTCGTGCCTTCTTATATGACCTTTGCTCTGAGTGTCCTGATGTCTCTTGTTTGAGTTTAAAGGATTCTAGTAGGATCGATGAATTTCAGTTATTTGCACTTCCGAGCAGGTGAAGGATTAAGATTAAAATATTCGGGTCGCCGTCAGAGAAGAAAAGTTTCATGTGTTGCGTAGAGTCAATGTACATGTGGAAATCTCGAAGCTCTGCAGAATAGCCCGAGAATTGGTAACGGTAGCGGTAGAGACGAGTCAGGAAGAGAAATTCCGAATTTCCCGGATTTGCTTCTGCGAATATTCCCACGCTTTCATAGAGAGGTGGATTAGGTACAACACAAGATCTAGTGTAAAAGTACAGACAGCTGCGAGTCAATCTACAATAAATGTGCGATGAAAAGGAAACGAAAGAAGTCTGTGAACTATAAATATAAACGACAAAGCAAACAGAAGCAAGAATAACGAGTGTAGCAGCTAGGGTGCCCTTAGGCAGTTGATTCGACGGGCGGCGCTTGAGCTTTCTTTCGCCCTCCCCTCGTGCCAGGTTTACGACCTCTGGTGGAAGGCGTGCCATCTCCTTTACGTTTTCTTCCACGACCACTGGGGGCAACAGGAACAGGTGTGCCCTCGCCATCCTCAACCTCCTCGATCCTAGCACCTGATCCGGCTTGGGCGGGTTGTCCGAAGAACTCATCACCCTCTTCGGTCCAAAGATCCCGTACCGCAGCATCGCTTGACTCAGCTTGGCCTGCGGGTTTCTTCCCATTCTTCTTGGCCGAAGTAGTAGTGGAGGTTTCCAGGTTTGCGAGTTGATCCTCGTTCAATAACAGCTGAACGATCTCGCTTGGCTTCGTGACATCAGTGAAGTTCTTGTTGCCAACGACAATATCTTGGACCTGCATAGGGTATAAGCAATAATACGAAGAAGCTGAATAACTTCAAACATACATCTTTCTTTACTCTGGCGAGCTGGACGATACGCTCATCGATAGTCCCTTTCGTGATCAATCGATACACTGTGACTTGTCGAGTCTGTCCAAGACGATGAGCACGATCCATAGCTTGAGCATCATTAGATGGGTTCCAGTCGTGGTCGTAGAAAATCACAGTATCGGCTGCTGTCAAGTTAATTCCAAGACCACCAGCACGGGTACTGAGCAAAAAAACGAAGATATCGGGTCTGAAAAAAGACATGATGAGCACAAGTCAGAAAATGAGATATCCAATTGACTGACCTTGTTTGCCACTCCATCACCATGTCCCGCCGATCTTCCAGCTTCGAGGATCCATCCAACCGAAGATATTTATACTGTCGATAGATTAGGTACTCCTCCATGAGATCCATCATGCGAGTCATTTGGAAGTAGATTAAGACACGATGATCGCCCGCTTTGAGTTCTTGCAGCAATGTATCCAAACGCGCAAGCTTCCCCGAATCGTAGATGAGTCGCTTGGCCTCCGGAACTTGCATTGGGGATAGCGGTAACTGATCGTCCGGTGACGATTGCAATAGACCCGAGACCGGCGCACCAGGAACACGCTCCTCGAAGGCTTTCGCGGCATTCTCAGATTCACGGAGTTCAGGAGAAAGTCCATACAACGCAAGTCCCTCCGGAGGGGACTCAAGAATCTGAGTCTGGCGTTCCACGAACGTTCGATCCGAAGAGTATATTGAGATAGGAGGCGCGACCACTGGAGGAACGAACCAGTTGAAACTTCGTCGAGAGAGACAAGATTGTTGCCATGCAGAGCTCGAAATTGATAGCAATTCTGGTTGATCTTCGGCCACTGCGAGATTGTGCAGTGAGGAGAGGGACAGTCTGTGGGATTTACACGCTAGCTCTGGAATGAGATCGCGGTCACTGATTTTGCAAGTTAGTCACAATTAACTAGATGGATATTTGAATTTACGCACAGTTCGTATGGATCGGTCTTCGACCGCTCCCTTTCCTGCCAAGCAGCAAGGACGGTTCTCTGCAAAAGTGGCATTCTATGCAATGCATGGGCTTCACTAGGAGGCATGTCAAGGAAACGAAGGAATGAGAATCCCGAGTGTTCTGCAAATAAGTAAGTTAGACTGGATCAAGCAGTTCGAACTAAATTATGGCTTACCGTCTTCGTACGACGATCGATAGATCCAGTCAGTCGACCAGATATTCATCAACTTGGTAAGGACCTCATCGTCCGGACGGAGAGGCGAATCCTCTCGAGGAACATCTAGCAAAGCGCCATCCTGATACAAAAGCTTTGGGATCGAGTATTCAATGGGGTTTCGGGTTGAATAGGGTAGTAGGACGAAATCGCCTTCACGATTCAATGGTCCTGATTGGCCAAACTCGGAAAACGAGAAGGGGGCAACGACATCGGCACGTTCGAAGAGCTCCGGATGATTACAAACCTGAGATATAAAATTCAGTTATGTTATAATCGAGAGGAAGAAGTTCTCATACCTTGCGGAACTGCATCACTAAGTTCATGAGCGAACGAGCGGAGTCTGCATCCCGAATGTTGGCCGCCTTCTCCAAAAGGTCCGCGACAGAGACATTTGCCAGGAGCGCCTTGTATAACGCACGTTGCCGAGCACTCAAGTCGACGTAGATGTCAATTTCGATCTACAGAAAGACCAATGAGAATTCGACGAGACTTGTGAGTGAAAATTGAGGGACATACCTTGTCGCTCAGTTCGTTCTGGACATGGCGCTTGACGCGACGCAACATGAACGGCTTCAAGATCATATGTAACCGTCGGAGTTGGTGTTCGTTCAGTTTACTGCCCTTGTTCTCGGCGGCGTTCTCAATGTCCTTGGAGAACCACTCGTTGAATTCGTCATGAGAGTCGAACAGACTAGGCATGATGAAATGCAGCAAAGCCCAAAGCTCTGAACTACTTGTCAGTATCTTGCGCAAACATGGGACGAGCTACTGATACATACCTTGCATTGAATTCTGGATTGGAGTACCTGTCAGAAGGAGCCGGTTGCGGCATTGGAAACCAAGCAGCGTCTTCCATCGTGCACTAGATGAGTTCTTGATGTTCTGAGCTTCATCTAGAATCATATATTGCCACTTGACTCGTTGGAAGTATTGCTGATCTTGTGTTACCTAAAGTCCAAGTTAGTTAAAATATAGCGTCAAAGAAGCACGGGCATACTAACCAATTGATAACTCGTGATGAGGATGTGGAATGGTGCATCCTCGTTGTAGCTTATCTCTTTCTTGGACCAGAACTTCCGTAACGTAGCACGATCCTTGACGTTTCCCCAATATGGAAGAGCCTTCAGCTTTGGAACGAAGCGAGTGATCTCCTGTTGCCAATTGTGCAAGGTTGAAGCGGGCGAAACGACCAAGAACGGTCCCCATATGTCATGGGTCTCAGCAAGGTATGCGAGTAAGGAAATGGATTGCACCGTCTGTGCAATAACGTTCAGAATCGAAAGCGTCGAAAATATGCGAGATATGCGTACCTTTCCAAGACCCATTTCGTCAGCCAAGATACCGTTGATACCTTGCTCGTAGAGAGTAGCTAGCCAATTGAGACCCTTCAACTGATACTCCTTCAAAGTGGCCATCAACATCTTGGGCTGCTTGATCGTCAACTCGCCTGTAAGGGAAGTAGGGTTCTGGAAGTTGAGCTCATCCGAATCGACTGTATACAGCAGTCAGTAACTTGTTAACGCAGATATCACGGAGAAGAAAAACTCACGATCAACGAGAGGGGTCGTCGAAGCATCAACACCTTCGATAGATTCGTCTCTAATGTGTGCCTGACCCTTTGCCAACTTCAATGCTTCGTTCGTTTTACGGTCGAGAGCAGCTTGAGCGTCGAAGTCGATGGCCTTACGTCTAGCTATAGCAATAGCCTCCTGGGCATTGCGTCTGGCATGACGTTGCATGTTGGTGACATCCTCTGTTGTCTCTATTTCAGTAATACATCTAGTCGAGTGAATAATAATGTACGTACCGTCGTCGAAATCGATGTCCTGCAAGGCGGATGGTTCGACATCTTCGAGATGCGCTCCAGCAGGAACGGCAGCGTCGCCAGTTTCCCCTTCGACCTCAGCAGCTACATTGATGCATTTAGCCAAAAATTCAAAATGTTTAAGAAAATTGCACTCACTTTTGAGCTTATTGCCAACGAAATGGCTGTATAGCTCAGTCTGACTGATCAAGAACTCCAACTTCCTCGCTTGACGAGCCGCCTCACGCTTCTCCTCCTCAACCCTCGCGCGATCAATCGCTTCTTTTTGCTCCCTCCGACGGACATCCCGCTCCTCCTTCTCGTTCTTCTTCCAGAAGACAAGCATCTCACGCATGAGACGCTTGCCTTTCGCTTGAATGTCCTTCGTAGCCTTCGCCGTCCTGACGTACGGCTTACGAGCCTGCAAGGAACACATCGTGGCGATACGCTTAAGTTGCGCTTGTCGAGACGCGTATCCTTGAGAATGATATCGATAGACCTGGAAGACTATGAGAATTGAATTAAATTAGAAGCGAGTATTTGTTTACCTTGACCACATCTCTCCGAGCGATGTTGGTCCACACCTTCCGCTGCGCCTCCTCAAGACCCTTCACACGTTTCAACATAATAGCAGCATCTAATCTTCGAGCAGGTTTCAACCTCGGAATAGCCTCGTCTAGTTCATAGAATGTAGCGGAAAGATTTGTCGGTGTTGGTGATACAGCTCTTGAACCCGCCGGTGTAAGATCGCCAGCGACTGAAGGAGCAGCAGAAGGAATACCCAGAGCCTCCTGTGTGTGCGGCGGAAGGGTATCGATTTTCTTCTTGGGACCTGGCTTTTTGCGCTGCTTAGGCGTACCGGTTGCCGACACACTATCGGCACTCTGTTCGCGTTGTACGCCCTTGCCCTTGCCCCTTCCTCTGCCTCGCCCAGATCCCGCGAGGCTCTTCACAGCGGGTATCGGTGCAGGTGTGACATCGCGGGGTGTTTGAGACAGGAAGTCGGGGTGTTCCATCTCAATAGTAAGGTCAGACGGAGCTTCTTTAGCGACTTTTCGTCTTTTCCTCGGTTGAGTAGTCCTAGCAATAGGAATATCGGGCTCGCTGCTCTCGTCCGAGATAGCTCCAGTAGCAGGTCTTTTTGCCGGCTCCTTGCCCTTGCCACGGCCTTTTGAGGGACCGGTCCCCTCCAGATGCAGCGCAGCTTCGACCGAAGAACTTGAGCCATTCATCTGACCGTACTCATCTGGCTGCGAGAAGTCTATAGTGCCGAAGTGTGGGGGCGCCTCGTCTATTGATATGATCGAAGGGGACGCTGGTCGTAAGAGCGGTAAGGGTTCTTCTTCCACAGGAGGATGCAAAATAGGAGGAGGTGGAGGCGGAGGAATACGTGAGATGCGTCCCACATATGCATGAGACAAAGATGCTGCAGTCAACGCGTCGCGGCTCTACGGAACAGATAATAGATTTCAGTGATGAAACATGACCAAATGAGTTGCAATACTCACAATGATCCAATGTTGGAAGAATTGGTCAACTTGTCGTTGCCTCTGATGAGTCTCTAGGGCGTAAGTGCCCAGCTCCCCATGCCAAATGTCGGGGCAATCTTCCAGGTCAGACGACGCTAATCGGCGCTCTTCTTCGGTGGGTTCACGATACTCTTCAACCTGGGGTTCTGGTGGGTCAATCATCTCAGGATGAACGAGCGTTGTGTATTGTCCGCGAGGGACAGGACGGCGGGTAGAACGCTACAGGACGAGGTCAACTTTGAATGACTAAGAATGAGATTAATACTTACCCTAGGCTTCACACTTGGTGGACGATAATCCTCATCTGCGTCTGGGGAATATTTACGCTTCCTCTTCCCTGAAGCTGGCACACTCCGTCTCTGCGAACCGGGCTGTTCCCGAAAGTCATCATCTTCAGTATGATGGCCATTGGAAGGTTGAGGTAAGCGAACGACGCGAGTAGGTCGACCCCTGAAGTCGATAACATCGCCATGTCGTGGTTCGTCAGCGAAGTAGGACGCAACAGGTGGACCAGGAGTCGCGTTTGCCTTTGCTGAATAACGCGGTCGTCCATGCTGCTTGGTGGATGATGAAGCATTACCATGTTGCCAATGGACGGGCTCAGGATAAGGATGGGCCGACGTTGGCGACTGTGGCAAACTGGCGGCAGGGAGAGGATCTAAGGACGCTATAGACGTTGACGGTACTGACGGCATAGGGGCATGAATGGGTGAAGCAGGTTCGTCATTGAGAATCTGCTTGAGCGACATGTTGACGGTCGCGGTGGTGGACAAGAAAGAGCGAAGCAAGAGAGGCAACAAGCTGTGAGAGCAAGTAGTCTTCCTTTTGTCAAGTTTGCGTTATGTATGAGACGCTCGTGAGATGGCAACACGTCAAGTCGCCCTGCAAATAAGCAGAAGGTTCTTACTAAAGAGAGCGAAGCGAAGTTGAGTGAGTTAAGCGATGTCGTCGAGGGAGGTAGTGGTGGAAGGAGGAAGAGAGAGAGGGCGGTGGCGGGCGTCCAGGGAGGGGCCAAGGGGGAAGAGATGGCAGGCAGGGATTTGCTCGCAGCGTTCTCCGGGCTCTCAGACTTGCTCTCATTTCGTGTCGGCTACAAATATGCCTCCTGCCTTTTTCGGCCACGTCTCTACTCAACTTCCTCCTGTGACAGCCCAGTCACCGACTCCTTGCTTCCTGTCACGCCTGTGCTCTTTCTTTTGTCTGCCAGTCTGGCTACTGCAAAACACTCCGTTCGCGCTTTTGCAGGTGGGACGACACAGCAGAGGCCATCGCATTCCCTAATGATGGAACTGACAGCAGGCTCATGTGTCAAACTGTTGCTCACAACTTCGTCACAGCCCCGTGCTCAAACAGTCTTCCATGGGCGCTTCCCACACCATCTCCTTCTCATCGCACGCATTCATAGACTGGCTTCGCAATACGTATTCAAACATATCTATCGTACTTAGATTACTACCTATACTTCGTCAGGGTGCAACATCAGCTCAGGTCGCACTTTTTCGTCAAACTCCTCGGGAGTCAAGAAGCCGAGGGCCACAGTGGCTTCTTTAAGCGTAGTGCCTTCCTTATGCGCCTTCTTGGCACATTTGGCGACATCTGCCCAGGTGCTCGTCAGACATCGAAAAATACATACAGTCATAGTTACTCACTGTCGTATCCAAGATGGCTATTCAAGATGGTTGCCAACATGAGCGATTCGTTCAGCAATGAGTTAATGCGTTTCTCGTTGGCTTGGATGCCAGCAACGCAGTTCTTGGTAAATGAGCGAGAACCATCAGCCAAAATTCGAATGCTTTGCAAGACGTTCTTGATGATGACAGGCTTGAACACGTTCAACTATACGAGTAAAGAAGTTAACACGGTGAAGGAAGTTTAGCAGCAATACTCACCTCGAACTGTCCACTTGCTCCTGCAATGCTGACAACAGTTTGGTTGCCAATGACCTGCGCCGCAACCATCGTCAAAGCTTCGCACTGAGTAGGGTTAACTTTGCCAGGCATGATACTACTTCCAGGCTCGTTCTCTGGAAGAAGCAGTTCACCCAATCCACATCGAGGACCGGAGCCGAGGTATCGAATGTCATTGGCAATCTTCATCACCGAGCAAGCCACGACGTTAAGAGCACCATGTGCTTCAACAAGGGCATCGTGTGCAGCAAGCGCTTCAAACTGTAATGCATTAGACGGCCTTCAACGGCTTGTGAGTAGGATCATGCAAATACCTTGTTGGGTGCAGTCTTGAACTCCAGCCCAGTCAACTTGGAAATCTCCGCAGCGATCTTGACATCGAATCCCGTCTTCGTGTTTAAGCCCTGTGACCATATTAGAAAGGCACCAAAGTCATTTGAAAGTAGATCTTACAGTGCCGACGGCGGTTCCCCCCTGAGCGAGGTTACTCAAACGAGGAAGTGTTGCCTTTACCCGCTCGATACCGTTCGCGACCTGTGTGACATAACCGCTGAACTCCTGACCCAACGTCAAAGGTGTGGCGTCCTATGATATTGATCGCATGAACATTAGCTATCTTTTGGCCGATGATAAAACCAACCTGCAAATGTGTTCTGCCGATCTTGATGATATGCTCGAATTCTTTCGACTTCTTATCAAGGGCGGCACGCAAGTCCTCCAAGGCAGGAAGCAACGAGCGATTGATTTCGGTCACAGCAGCGACGTGCATCGCAGTAGGGAAGCTTCACATAGCCAAATTGGTTAGTAGAAGTGACGACAAACAGTTCCTCGCGTACGTGTCATTGCTACTCTGGCTCATGTTAACGTGATCATTCGGGTGTACCGGTTTCTTGGAGCCAAGCTCTCCTCCAAGGATCTCAATAGCACGATTCGAGATAACCTTCAAGAAATGAAGCACACCATAGATGTTTGATTGAATATCACCAACTAACCTCATTGGCATTCATGTTACTCTGGGTGCCGCTGCCGGTTTGGAATACCACCAGCGGGAAATGATCGATGAGCTTTCCGGAGATGACCTATATCAAAAAGGTGTTGTATTGGCATCACTATAATTCAGGGAATCAGAAAGTATGGCAAACCTCATCGGCAGCTTTTTGAATAGCTTCGCCAACCTTGGGGTCCAATCCGTATTCAGCATTGACAATAGATGCGGCCTTCTTCACTACGCCAAAGGCTTTGATGAGAGGAAGAGGGAGGCGTTCTTGAGGGCCACCAATATCGAAGTTCTGAAAAGATCTGCGACACATTCGACACGAATCTATGTGATCCTAACCATTTCAACGCACCGTTGTGTTTGAGCACCCCAATACCGGTCAGCAGGAACCTGAAGCTCTCCAAATGTATCACGTTCAACGCGGTACTTCTGTTCAGTCTGTGTTTACACCAACATATTGAGATCAATTAGATCTGCAACCCGAAATGACAACTTCCAAAACACACCATGATAACAGAAGACGATGAGAAGTGTCTCGCAGCAGAGACCTTCTGAGCATCCAGCTAACGTCGACCGTTTCGGGCGAACAGGAGCAATCACATGAGCATTTCAGAGAGCGTTCCAAAAAAGCTCTCGGCCGTAAATCGACTCACGAACTTGGAACGAGCAACACGAATGCCAGCCATCACAGACACCGTCCAGTCAAGCGTAGCACAAGCAGAAATCAAGAAATACGGTCAAAAAGCCAGCACACAGTTGCGAAACGAGGTTGCAGCTTTTCACCGCGTCATTTCAGGTCTTGGCGGTAGCGGCTCTCGCCGTGTGCTAGTCCGAGTTGCTCCGTTAACCCTTCCCCGCTTCCAGCAACACCCTCCGTCGCCGTGGTAGGCCAGTGGGACGCCTTGCTCTTGAATACCGAAATAGAGGGCATGGGACTTGCTAGGAAATTACGTTCCGACTCTTATGGCGGAGCTCTGGATGGCTGCGATGCTAAGGAGCTGCTAGGAAGTTGACGCGACAGGAATGGGCTTGCACGTGATATTGCCGGTCTATCGCCTGGCACTGGCAGCAGCTTGAGTGTGGGGTATAATAGGCTCTTTGAGTGCTGACAACTTTCTGGGGAACCGCTTGCTCTCGTGCATTCCACTCCATACCTAGCCGTCGAGGCCTGAGGCCTTGAGCACAACTATGACTACAATTGCGTCCCAAGTCGTTCTACATCCCGTGGTCTCGCAGTCGCTAAAGCTTCTTGGCACTACTCTCGGACGCGACAAAGCGAGTAAAATTCAATTGCCATACGAGTGAACCCGGCACTAAAAACCTTCTAAAATATAGCTTTACAGATCCGTGCAATACTTTGCACGTTTCCTTGCGTGGTTCCTGCTCACCCGTGGATACAAGATCCAGGCTGCGCGATGGAATGCCCTCAAGTCGCAACTCGCATTGGGGAGAAAGCGTTAGTCCTCCCAGCCATGTTCTAATTATATGCTGCGGCGGCTAGATACACTCTTTTAATAGTGATGCGACTCGGAAAACCGCTTGAGCATCTTCAAGCTGCTTTGCGCGCGATACAGACTCGGGCCGATGCTGGAGAGCAGATTACTGCCATTGGTCGACAACTTGCGTACTTCGGCTACCTGACTTATGACGGCATCGTTTGGGTACGCAAACCGCTTTTCCCTCAATGAGAACGCCCTGTGACAAGAATCTGTTCAGGCGAACGCTGTTAAATTCTTCAACCTCTCTCCTTCCACCACCCAGAAGGTCAACAAGATGGCCAACCGTTTCTGGTTGGCCGGTATCTTGTTCAGTATCACTCATGGTCTCCTCAAGGTTAGTTTGCAGACCCTCACGTTTGTGCTCAGACTGACGATTTCCCCCACACAGGCCGGAAGACTTGCTAACGAGGCGAAGAAGTTGTCCGGGTCGCAAATATGGGAGAAGAGTTTGGAGGTCGATCGGGATGCGCAATTGCAAGCTTTGGCAGCGTGAGTCCTTATTTTTCAAGTTGAGACTTTCAGAGCTGAATATTTGCCATGGTGCAGTCAGCGAGCAAGCACAAGACACCAGTTTATTATCGACATCCTCGATGTCTGGATCCCGGCGACGAACGTTGGACTCGTCCACTTCAACGATGGCATCCTTGGCATCTTCGGGTATGTTCCATTTATCGTTTTCTTGCTACAGACCAAACTGAGCATCATTGGGCAGTCTCATTACGTCCCTGCTGGCACTGCGTCAGCAATGGTTCAAGGTCACCGGAGCGAAGAAATAGTTGGCGTATTGTCACATGTCTATTTTATCACTATTATACTTGCCATGTCCAATTTACTTCAATACAGTATGCTTCAGGTTTGCATGATTGTGTATTGGCGTGATAAAGTGTCTTCGACCAGAGCCGCGTGTAAGGACAGCGTTGTCACGAACTCTCCTTCTGCACCGCTTGCTGGTCACGGAGGCGAAGATATTCTTCACGTACGATAGCCATGTGCTCTGGCCCTGTGCTTTGAGATCCCCGACAAGTATAAGTATAAGCCGCTACCTTACACAATGAACCAAACAACCAGTATGGCATATAATACTCACTACTGAAGCATGCACTCCTGGACAAGTTTATATTTGTCCCGACATGCCCACGCGACGGACAATGTGCGACCTGAAGAACACTCTGCAAAAGCTATGGTTCAAAGTTCAGCATATCCGAAGTTCTGAATAAAGCACGGATTACGTTACCTTTCACAACAGGATCACACTCCTTCAGTGCCCGAGCCTTTGTCGATTTGAGGAGGGTATCCTCCTCCCGTCGAGAGAGTGCGTTCATCCAGGTAAGAAGGTGGGATTGAGTACAAGCGCCCAATGCATTCCAATAAGCGTCGGCCCTCGGCGATCCGGCGCCAATAGTAATCCCCAGGCTGAGGATTGCTTTCCTCACCGCACACATCGACCCACTCAGCCTCCTGGGTCAGAATGTCTCCATCAAGGTCCGCTGCGGCCTCCTTACTTCGTTCAACCGGAAAATGTACTGCAAAATCAGCTGTCAGCCATGCTCGGTGGCTTGCCACGCCTTCGTCCTCGAAATCGAACTTTAGTCAGACATTGGCAGCGGGACCTTCACTCGATGACTTCATTTCGGGGAATGCTCAGGACAGAGTGGTCCTTGGAAATACATCGCAGTGAGTTCATGTGCCATTTGACGATGTATAATTGAATAACGTTGTGAATGAAAGACCTCGTTTGCCATCACATCTAAAGACTTCAATACCGACCGGAAAGTCCTTCAGTAAAATCAAGAAAGATTTGAGAGGACTAGGTTTGCATACTGTTTGCGAGGAAGCGCGGTGTCCAAATATTGGAGACTGTTGGGGTGGAAAAGAAGGTGCGACCGAAGAGGAGGGTCGCAGCGCAGCTACTGCCACGATCATGGTATGCACCATGTATCCATCTTCTGAGAGTCTTTGTTTAAATTGCTCTCAATTAGTTAATGGGTGATACCTGCACACGAGGGTGCAGGTTCTGTTCTGTGAAGACTTCAAGAGCACCACCACCATTAGATCCTCATGAACCGGAGAACACGGCGGAAGCTATCAGTCGCTGGGGCCTCGGATATATCGTCTTGACCAGTGTTGACCGAGATGGTGAGCACGGTTACCTATGCAATTACATTGACAGAGATTTAACGGTACCTCAGACTTGGCGGACGGCGGTGCACACCACTTTGCAGAGACAATTCGCAAGATCAAACAGAAGTAATTCACCAACTTTTGTTCACGCACCTTTTGCTTAATATTTTGCTGTAGAGCACCTCATATCCTTGTTGAGGCATTGACCGGTGATTTTGCTGGCTCGTTATCCCACGTATCGCTGGTCGCGAAATCTGGCCTTGACGTCTACGCACATAATATCGAGACAGCCGAGGCACTCACGCCTTTCGTTCGAGACCGACGAGCTACTTTCAGACAAAGTCTGAAGGTACTCGAACATGCCAAGAAGGAAGGTGTTCGCATTACTAAGACAAGTATCATGCTCGGTGTCGGAGAGAACGAAGCGCAAATTATAGATGCCCTGAAAGGTAACTGTGCTGTCGATATTGTGTGTCTGGTACCTCCTACTGATTCAATGAATAGAACTTAGAAAGGTTGATGTCGATGTCGTCACGTTTGGTCAATACATGAGACCAACCAAACGGCATATGAAAGTCGACCGTTATGTTGAGCCCGCCGAGTTCGACCGATGGAAGCAAGTGGCGGAAGATATGGGCTTCCTCTACGTCGCAAGTGGTCCTCTCGTTCGGAGTAGCTACAAGGTCGGTCTTGAACGTGCCACTTTCATAACACACGTTAATCCTGATACTTCCTATAGGCTGGTGAATTCTTCATTGAAAATGTGCTGAAGGGCAAAGGGACCGTGAATCGGACGAAGAAACTTGTTGCTCAAGAGGCTCAAGAAGATTCACAAGCTTCTGCTACATCGTCTTGACCGCTCTCTTCTACTTGCATCCACCATATTATCCTACCCGATCGCTCTTGCTCTTGGCTGTTTTGTTCACAATACATTCAGCATTGATTATCTTGCCTGATCGTGCATTATTAAACAAACGGCTGGACAGGTCCATAGGATCAGCGCAAACATGGCCTTTCGATCATGCCACGTCCAGCCGCCTGTTCAGCAAAGATGAAGTTGAGAATCAAAGAACAGTGGAATATGCTCCAACGAACATGCTAATACATTTCATGCCGCTATACGGGATTTTCTAGTGCATCTCCAACACTTTAGGAGTCCAACTTTATGTGGTCAGGCGTTCGAGGACTGCATGTACTTCATTCTTGACGAGTTTCCTTTTATGGATCTCTTTGTCGCGGCAATCACCGATCTGAGTTTTCGGAACGAACATGTGGTGAACCTTATTTTCTGTACCGTCCACCGACCAAAAGTCCACTCGAGCACCGTCCTCGCCAGCCTTCTCCTCGTTAAAATGGTGCGTTCATGCTGTGGGAAGTCCCCCTGAGACATGTACTAAGCAGAAGCTATGTAGGATTCCTCAAAAGCCCCCGTCAAGCTCGCAACTGTCGTCAAGGTCCCTTAAAGCTTTCCTGCTTTTTATGTTTCCCCATCCCTGACTGTTTTGCGCTTCAATTGCAGGTCCTCGGCAGAACTGGTTCTCGTGGAGGTGTCACTCAAGTCCGTGTCGAGTTCATGGACGATGCCAACCGAACCATCATCCGTAACGTGAAGGGCCCCGTTCGTGAGAAGGATATTTTGGCTCTCCTGGAGAGTGAGCGTGAGGCTCGGTATGCCAAATTCGCTTTCTCGTTGATAGCACTGTACTGATTGTGTCGCACCAGTCGTCTCCGGTGATTTCACCTCATCTCGTGGTTTCTTTGCATCGTCGATCGCTGTCGTCCTAGCCTCACCCATTTTATTTCATTGTATGACCATGCTTTCCATATGTGCATGAATCCTTGACATCCGGGCCTGGTGATCGTCTGAAGTCCTTCGCTGTGAGAGACACTAAGAAGTTTGGGCTCTGTAAACGTATGCAGAACATCGGCAGGTTTGCGGGTTCCTCTGGGCACGATCCGTTACTATGGACATTTGTCTGTTGAATTCTTTGGTCCGTTTGTACAGTCCTTGCCTTGTGTTCTTTCATATAGTGAACCAATCGTGAAGACTCAGTTATTCTTGGCTTACCTATCGTTTTGTCTGGCATCTGATTACATCTTCTGACCTTCGCTCCCATGCGTCGTCCCAGCTTGCTCCTTTCCATGTTGAGGCCATAATTTCGTACCCGAGTGTTGCTTACCTCTCTCAGCGCGAAACGCATCTCCGAACCCACACCGGAGTGTGGTCATCGATTGATATCAAACCACCATTATTGCGTCTTAAATATAAGATCATAAAACGTTCCTCCGTATCATAATGGCGGTCTAACACCGCTGCTACACTGGTTGTCACTACCTACCCCAGTCATGACCCGTAATGCGGCCTGGGTTACGCTACTCACCAAGTCTGAGTACCTACCAGGTGCTCTAGTTGTGGACCAATGCTTGAAATCTGTCGGTTCCAAATACCCTCTCGTTGTGATGGCCACGTCTCAGCTTCCGCAAGAAGCTCGCCTCATCCTTTCGAATAGAGATATTCCTATACGGGACATATCTAGACTGAAACCCCAGAATGAATCGAGTTCGATGGCTGAACTTGACTCCAGGTTCACGAGGTTTGCTGATACCTGGACGAAACTCCAGTAAGTCTCGAGCGTGGGGCTCTTTCATGGCGCGCACCGTGCTTATGTCTGTTACAGAGCATTCGAGCTGGTGGAATATGATGTAAATGCATGTCTTTCGGGCCATTCGCATTTCACCCTGATGATTTACAGCGTGTTGTCTTAATTGACTCAGATATGGTCGTCCTGAGGAACATGGACGAACTAATGGACCATGACCTGCCAAGCGATTGGATTGCAGCCGTTCACGCATGTGCTTGCAATCCACGCCGATTCCCTCATTATCCCGACGATTGGTACGTCTGCTCATCTTGTTCACAGACTGAACTCATAGTGGCATTCAGGATACCCGAGAATTGCGCGTATTCCTCCGTAGTCCACCCTACGGGTATCATAAACCCACCAGTGATCACGGATTCCAGTCCGCGTCCCTACAAGCAGCTCAACTCGGGTCTTGTCATACTCACGCCTTCATTGGAACTGGCAAATGACATTCACCGCTTCCTTATGACATCGCCCCTTGTCTCAACATTCGCCTTCCCCGATCAGGACTTACTGGCAGCATACTTTGAGGGAAGATGGAAAGTGCTCCCGTACGTTTACAATGCATTGAAAACGTTAAGAGTCATCCACAAGCCTCTCTGGAGGGATGAAGAGGTGCGGTGTTTGCACTATATATTCCATGAGAAACCATGGAGTACACCTCCAGGATCCGGCGGAGAGTACGGGGAGATTGACCAATGGTGGTGGGACAGGTACGAGAAACTGGGTGAGGAAATGAGTATTTCTGACAAGGAAGGATGGGAACTTGTTGATTCTCATGTCACTAGAGTCACGCCATCAGCTACATTTCTTTAACGACGTCGATATTGTGGATTCTGGATAGAGTACATTAGTATACACAGACGATAAGGCTTTGAATTGTACAATGAGGTTGGTGGGTGATTCGCAATATCTTTTTTTTGTTGCTGCATAGTCTACTATGCCCTCCATGACACATGAACTTGGTCAGTACGGAATCTGGTCGAACAGTAATCAACGTATGCGGTACGGCAAGCAGCGTAAAACAAACCTTTGTGTACATGTGCTCTTTGCAAGTGAGGTCTGGAAACCCATCCGATAACTAAGCAGACCAGCCTGAGCAATCATGATGCCGTTGTCGATGCAGAATCTGACCCGAACACATCAGTAAATCGTACCACGACTAGGATATTTATACCTACCGCTCGTCAGTTGCAAATACCAGACCATCACGTTCCTTCGCCATGATGCCCATCATCTCTTGCAACCGCTCATTGCCTATCGAACAATAAGTCATCTTGTACATAAAATGCGAGAAAGGGACCCACATCCAACACCTCCAACGATGAGCACTTCTTTGCTTCCGATATGGGCCATGGCACGCTCAGTAATCTCCACAAGCATAGCAAAGACAGTCTCCTGTAGGGAGAAACACAGGTCCTGCGGCGTGATGATGTCCGAATCGGTGTCGTTGATAGGGCCATCCGGTCGGTAACGTTTGTCCTGCGTGTAAGTCTCGATCGAAGTCAGTATGCCAGACAAGCTGACGTCCATGCCCTTGGTCGCATATGGGAGTGGTAAGAGTCTCTTCCCCCTATGAAACGTTAATTCTAGACCATAATCAGATGTCATCATAAACTGACTTCTTTGCTTCTTGTTCGATATTGTATCCAGGGCTTGGGTCATTACTGAGGTTGATGACTCTGGCAAATCGGTCTAGACAGTTTCCGACTGCGATGTCGAGTGTCTCTCCGAAGATTCGGTAACATTGCTGTGAATATGCAATCACTTGCGTGTTTCCACCTGACACGTAAAGAACGACTGGATTCTTGGCAGCAGTAATCTGTCTGCCCATCTCAATATCTAGAACCTCTGAATGAGAAGAGAGATAAATGAAAGATGTGGATCAGCACCTACGGCCGACGCAGTGATTCACGCCCACAAGTGGTTTATGGTATAGCAGGGAGAGGGTCCTCGCAACTAGCGCGACCGATGTTAGCGGTGCGCCCATGCCAGGGCCTGTGGTTCATAAGTATGATGTATGCACCGACAAGAATTAATATACCTTTCGTATAGCAAATGCAGTCAATATCATGCAGTGATACATTTGCTTTCTTCAAAGCATCATTGATAACACTAAGAGCCCAAGTTCGATGATGTTGAGCAGTATCCCGAGGGAGAAAGCCCTCCCCCGGAGGAGTTATGTAGGTGTGTCTAACATTGGCCAAGACTTCAGTTGATCCGTCTGGAGAGTGTTTAATTATGCCTGCGCCGAGTTTGTTTGCAGATCCTTCGAGACCAAGAGCAATGTAAGGTCTCTCTAGGTGATATCAGCCTCATTGAAATCTGACGAGGATCATTGGGGTTCACCAGGTGCTTTTAGGGGCGACCTCTTACGCATTTTGCCTGGCATTTGAACGTTTATGCACAAGGCTTGTGCTCGTCAACGTGAAAGCAAGGAAGTGCCAATAACGATCGAGGACCGCTTCAGTTAGCCTGTGGTTGATAAGATAAGATGCGATATTTCGAGTCAGATTCCAAGTCGATTCTTGTCACAAAACTTCGAGCATTGGTTCCTTCAATCCCACCCTCCATTTCGATCTCTACCCGATACCACTAAAATGTCTCGCCCTACCCTTTGGCTTCGTTGTGAAAAGAAGGAGTTCGAACGTCGTGCGGCTCTCACCCCAACGACTGCCAGGAGGCTGATCGATGCCGGCTTTGACATTTACGTCGAGCGCGACGATCAAAGAATTTTCGACGACGCTGAATACGAAGCGTATGTACATATTTTTCTGACATATCAGCAATTTTTGTTCTGATACACAATGTCACAGCGTGGGATGCAAACTCGTCGAGAACAACTCGTGGCCAAGTGCTCCGAGAGAGATACCCATCATCGGATTGAAGGAGCTCCCTCTATCTGACGAGCCTCTGCCTCACACCCACATTCAGTTTGCCCATTGCTACAAGAACCAAGCAGGCTGGTCCTCTGTGCTTGCGCGATTCTTCAGGGGCGGAGGCACCCTCTATGATCTCGAATTCTTGACTGACGAAAGCGGCCGCCGCGTTGCCGCTTTTGGATATCATGCAGGATTTGCTGGTGCCGCTGCTGGTGCTCTTGCATTGGCTGCCAAGAAAAGGGGAGAAAAACTCGGACAACTTGAGCCTTACGCTAACGAGGATGCCATGGTCCACTCCGTCAAGCAGGCCCTCGGCGGAACTGGCAAGGGAGTGAAAGCACTCGTGATCGGTGCTTTGGGCCGCTGCGGTCGCGGTGCAGTCGATCTATTCAAAAAGATTGGTCTAGAAGAGTGCGTTTGAGATAACAAGTTGTTTCGGCTTGGCAACGATGATCGTTGACATAATTGATCTCCAGGGCAGATATTTTGAAATGGGATATGGCAGAGACAGCAAAGGGAGGACCTTTCCAGGAGATCCTTGACGTTGACATCTTTGTCAACTGCATTTACCTCTCATCTCCCATACCTCACTTCGTCACTCATGAGCAAATACGGGCAGCAGGGAAGGGCCGGGGTCTCTCCGTAATTGTTGATGTGAGCTGCGATACGACCAATCCTCACAATCCGATTCCCGTCTACAACATCAACACCACTTTCTCCGAGCCTACAGTTCCTGTCGAAGTGGGGTGAGTGCTATCACCGTTACTGTTTGGATGGCGAGCTTACCATCACGGCTTGGCTCTAGACCGGAGAACCCACCCTTGTCGGTGATTTCCATCGACCATCTGCCAACCTTGCTGCCTAGAGAAGCATCAGAGCAATTCAGTTTAGATCTACTTCCATCGTTGCTTCAGTTACCCAACAGACAGGCGGCGCGAGTTTGGACGGAAGCTGAGAAGCTTTTCAAAGAGAAGTTGGCGTTAGCGGTCAAAGCCGAAGGGTTGTAAAGGGATAGAATGTATATCAGAGATAGTCACTGTACCCAAAGGCTACTGTATACCGATTTCATTTATTTGAGAAGGCTGTATACTGATTTCATTTACCTGAAAAGACGCGTTGAAGAGGACAACGGTGGGAGTGACACAATGCCGTGGAGATGTATAAAGTGTACGAAGCTCGGACGGTATTCAAGTAAGCTGCGTCATGATGTGGCTCTGAACAGGTTTGTGATTCCGATAAAGATGAAGCACTGCTACAGTAAGTGATGCTGCGCACACGAGACGTCCGTAGCTGTCACAAGAGTGTTCCAGGAGCAAGTGTGCATATTCTGATCATGTGTTGAACTGTTACGGGTCGCAACGAATGTCATGGCTTGTTTAAGCAGTTGCTTTACCCGTATTCCAGCTTCCATAGATGATCGCAAGGGCACTAGAAGAGAGCGTTCGCCTGGGTAACGACCGTCACCGCAGATCTGTGGGAGAGAATGTGCGCGCTGGCTGGGCACATCGAGCGCAGCGGACGAGGGGAGGCGGGGACGTTCAAGGACGTTCGAGACAATAAGAGCCTTACGCAGAATATAGAAGGAATATTACAAGAGAGCATGAGATGAGATCAAGCGAGATGAAAGCGTGCGGTGAGACGGCGAAGGGTTGCCAGGGCATGAGACTTAAGCGGGACGCTTGTTGGTCGCCTGGTGGCAGTACAGGTTTATATGTACCACGCCCGTCTTGTTCTGTCCTTTTCCTCCGGTCGTCTCCTGCCCTCTTCCATCTGGTATTGCGGTTGTGTTTCTGCGCCCATTTCTATCCTACTTTCCCTGGGGGAGACGGCCGTTTCTTGGTGCATCCATCCTTGACAATTGCCCCGGTGCTGGTCGCCTTTTCTACCTTTTAATCCAGTCTATAATCCCACCGTCTTTCCTTGCATCCTTTCTTTCCTTCACCATGGTTTGCGCAGTTTCACCCGTTCCTGCCATCTCCATATCCCCCGCTCCTCCTCAGGAACCAACATATGAGCCCTTCTCACCGTTCTCACCTTTCTCTGAAGTGAACCTGAAGGAACCTGACAGTCCCCGACCCGCCTTGTTGTCTCCGCCACCAGTCTTGTCGCCTCGTTCGCCCAGGCAATTGTCGCCGCTTCGTCCCAGCGATGCTCCCGTACACGGACAAGGTCTTGAACGTGACCGTTTTGAGGCCCTGCTCCGGGCGTCTAGGGAGCGCAACTCTGCCGTTGGTGGCAAGAGATCTCCCGACCTCCGCAAGGAGATAGCATTGAAAGTGCACAAGAGCAAGCAAGGTGAATACATTTATTGTTTACGCGTCGTTGTGCGATTTAATCTCAAACATGTGCCCTTGTAGTCGAAAGACGCGCTCTCTTCCTGTCCAAGGTCTTGGCACCTCCCTCCCCAACGGCCACGTTGGTACCAAAGACGCCTCCCGAATCACCGGCCATCTTCCACTACTCCTTACCCTCCCCGGGTTTGGAATCTCCGATTGCTGTGTTCGAGACTTTGGCGCTCGAGAATCCCTATGAACCTCCTCGTTATGGTTGGGTAGAGCAGGTCGACTATCGCATCCAAGGCCAGGAATATATTAAGCCTATGCCGCGCAGTGCATCGATGATCGGGAGGAAATACTTGCCCTCGCTGGATGAGATCACAGCTCGTCTCAGTTTCCAAGGCCATGTGTCTGCTAAACCAGAGAGCAAGCCACGCTTCTCTGCACGTCTGCCTTCGTTCTTGAATGCAGAGGCGAAGGCTCCAGAGTCACCGAAGCCAAGGCGTCCTCCGCCCATCGCGGTTGGTCGTCTTCAATTCCCCTTTCGATCCAATTCTCCACCCGCACTCGTGGAGGAGAAAATGGAAATTCATTCACCTGCCCCATGCTTCCCTCCTCCTTCCCCTTCCGCTGTCCCAACTCCCACATTGCAGGTTGTTACCACTGTTGTTCCCCGCACTTCGTCGAAGTCGCCCTCTGAATTCACTGAGCACAACCTCAAAGCTTTCGTGTTACACTCTCGCGAACGCACTGCTAGAGACATGCTCTCGCGGCTTCGTCGTCGTACGCTTACCTTCAACGCCGAGTCATCGGTCTCCGTTGCCGGTAGCAAGAACGAGGAACGTAAACTTCGCAGGCACAGTGCTCCTCCTGAGCTCCCTCTCAGAGAACGCAGAGGCTTCACTCAACCTGTATTGAATTTACCTGGCGCGTTCTGATCCGTTGCCATTGGATTGAACTATATCAAGGTCGTGTAACATATTTCGGATATTGGATATCCTTTGGATGATCATTTTATTTCGGTGGAACTATACCAATCCCATGTTGCGGGTTTGCATATTTCGGTTTCAGGATTTCTAGACGGTTTCCCTCTTCCCTTCTCGCTTTCCTACCGGCCTATTGCTTTTCCATTGCTTTAAGGTGGCGGTTGTACTATGCAGGATGTGGTCGGCTTGGTCAAGGTGGCGTTGCGTAGCAAGACGTTTTCGAACCCTTCTACCTTGCCTTCCCCAACGCCCATAACCTGTTCGATTTTCCTTGAGTAGGCTGTGCCTATCTCACCATTCTACCATTCGCTTGCACTTGTCGCGTCCCCCACAATCTCTTGTCGCATCACTACCGTCGTACCTCGTATTGTTACGGATGGAAGGGCTGAGCCCTAGCCGGAAGCCCCTGTAGCCCTGGTTAAAAATCATCTATCTCTATGGAATAAGATACTTTATAAGCAATGTGTGAGGTTGTGCATGCGTCCGTGTTTTTTTAAATAGGCGAATCACAATCGTGCGCGTCATCTGAGTATGTACAATTCGGGCAAAGCCTCCGTCGGTTGACCACATCTGAGACCCGATCAGGGCTTTGGGCATCGACAAAACAATGATTCTGTTACGTATATAATTACCCAATCGTACATAAGTTACTATCATATAGATGAGGGAAAGATAATGCGAAAAGAAAGCTACAGAATATTTTTTACTTCCTAATACAAACGTCCATGCAATACGGATACGACACGACAAATGTTCCCATCCAAAATCCCCCTCATTCGCTACGGTCTTCGCATTGGATCCAGCCCAATGCTTCCCTGTTTCTCATTCACCAAAGGAAAACTTGTGGACTTGGCACGGTGGCCCAAACTAAATTTTACTTAATCGTTCGACACTCCTCCTGGTCGCCTGTCACCATGAAACCTGGCGCAGCTTACCCATCGGACCTGTGTTGGACGGCCCCGCTTGCGCTGATCGATCGCCGCCACCTTCATGACGATACGGAGTTTGGAATTGTTGTTGTTGGACATATTGTGGTTCGTTGCTTGGAGGCAGCGGTGGGGTCGGTGCTTTGCCTCGGAGTCGAGATAAGATACGGAGTCGGCGATCTGGTGTACAGCACGGTAAGTACGCTGTTTGAACATACGCACACTTGTACGCACTATACTCGAGCCTAACATGCTCGTCGCCGTCATGATCGGAGTCTTCCAAAGGATCGGTGGTTTTGTTGATGTGCCAGGCATCTACCCATACCGCTGTTACTTTAAGTGATGGTGCCAGTGTGTGAGATGACTTACGCTCTAGCATGGTCCTCTCCCGACCTTCGACAGGGTCTGAGAGACGGTTAATGTGGCAACTACATCGACGTGAAAAGTCAACCCACCTCGAATATGGGGTATGCGCGGAGGCCTCGGTACGGGTGCCTGTAACGCATTTGAAGACTGTGCTGCATAGTCATGCCCATGGGAAGAATCCCTGCTCCCGTCCGAAGCTGGATTATGGTGCGCTCGGGGCCGCCTGATGGCAGCGATCTCATGAGCTAGGAAGGTTTATCAGTACGTCATCCCCATCGGGTAGGATGCTTTGTACCTGAGAGTGACGGCGCTGGAGCGACAGGCGGTAGTGGCGGCGGTGGTGGGTGCTTTTTCCTTTTTTTCTCCATCTCCATCTCGTCAACGAGCTCTTTGAGGAATTTGCTCCTCATCTGGCTCATCCTCTTCCCCCACTCTACTTCCTCCGGCGGGTCTTCGTTTTCCCGAGAAGCTTCCTCTTGGGTAAGCGGAGCCATTAGGGGAGCCTTGCCGGGATGCGTTCGTGAATATTCGTCATCGAAAGGGTTAGTCGTGTCTGGTGCTGAAAGATAGTGGAACATCAGCCATAGGAAAACTCGCGCGCGGGACGCCGAGGAGACTGGAACAGGGAGGAATAGATCCAGAAATTCCAAAAGGCCGTCTAGGTGTGTCTGTACTAAAGTTTGAGATCGTCGCTCATTGTAGAGGAGGAGAAGAAAGGCTGGTGGGAACTTCGCACCGATAACTTACCAAAGAGTGACTGGCGTTTGATAACACAAAGATCAGGTTCACGACGCTAGTTGGGGGTACCTGGCCTGCTCTCTACGGCGGATCCCGTGAATCAGATGATAGACTATGATGGAGAAATCGTGGGCACGTACGGCCTTTTCCAGGATCTCCGTGGGGGTAGAAGGCGGGGGAACCTTAAACTCTGAAGGAAGTAACGCTGCCTTCAAGCAGTTCTTGATTCTCGGTGCATCCTGAAGATTACCGTCTGTTCTCTGAAGAGAGGGAACGGGATGGTAGCTTCGTAAAGCCGTCTTCATCTCTGGGAAAACTAGAGCACACCATTGCTTCAATCCCGAGCTGTTGATGGGAGTTGGATAGAAGAGACTCACATGCCATGGTTGTGTTAATCCTCCCGACATTTGTAAGTAAGGCTATCTTCGCAAACTCTATAGCAAAATCTGGCGTTTCGACCATCTTGTCTTTAAGGACCTTGGAACATTTTGTAGAATTGAAGAGTGCGTTCACATAGAGGTCGCAGAAATTGACGAGGGGCGAGTTGGGTGCCATCGCGTCGACGAAGACTCTGTTGGAGTCCGCAAAAATGAAGTACAAAAGATCATACTGCAGGTCCGCACGAGTCAATGGTTCTGCGTCGGCACGCTTGATTGGCAGTGTTTTTCTACCCAGATATTGTGGGCTATGTCAAACATCATGAGGAACAAATTAGCCATCTCTGAGCCTGAGGGAAATCGTGTGGTGCCTACGGCGTGTTGACTTGCCAAGATTGGGGAGCTCCTTGGGTGGAAGCATTGTCTGCTGGGCTGGACGACGCCATGAAGAGAAGATCCTCAAAGAGAAGGAGCACGAGGCACGAGGCGCAGAATACTGACCGACTATAGGTGGGAGGCGTCAAAGCAGGAGGATGGATTGCTTTTATAATGCGGCGGCTGGATATGTATACTTTCCCAAAAGAAACTCACGTGTAACCTATATGGACACTTTGCCCGATCAGCATCAGTGAGAATACAATCGATGATAGGCATAAGGGGAGAATTACACCCAGGAAGAAGGTCTAGTCATAGACCAAACAAAAAACAAATGAGTAAATTAGGCAAATGACGGCTTGTTCTTGCAAAGCGGTGTGAAAGAATGTTCAGAAACAAGACGGAAAGCGGGCATGGTTACGGGAGAATAAGGTAAAGATTGTCATGCTACTGAACTTGTCAAGACCGGGAAATGGAGTGCTTGCCAACAGTTGTTGCCTTTGTGGCTGAAAGTTTTCCGAGCGATCTTGATCTCTAACCTAGACTATCGCGGATGCAAATCCTTTATTATGGATCGTCCATATTCGGACATGCCTCAATGGTCCCGTATCACAAGCCCATATGAGCCTCGAGGATCAATAAAGAAATTCAAAATGACCGCGAACGGATTCCTGCATTGCTCGCGATAATACTGCATCGATGATGGCAGGGCAAGTCTTTGTACTCCAGCCACTGGCTCTGGAACATTCCATCTCCTGTCCCCGGCGGGTTGTATCACTCCTTTGGGTTCATCACATTGCGGTCGCACATCAACTCCTTAAGCTTAAGGCCCGGACGAGGGATTCCGAGTTGTGTTGTGTGCAATCGAATGGAAGCGAATGGGGTGCGCCATCGGAAAGATCGCTCTTCCTTGTTTTCTTCCTGGCAACGCTGAATAGTTCTTACAACGCTGGCTTCAAAGCTGCAAACAGTCGGTTAGCGAATCCTGCAGCCCGAACTCCAAGTGGTTTGAGGTTGAATCGGCAAATCGGCTTTTGGACTACGCCCTCGGGAAATGCCGTGATGGCATGCCGATCACTCCTTCGCCTGTTTGGGAGGCGCCGCAAACGAACAAACGAGGAGTACAACGGTCATCGACTCTGCTGCCAAGTACATACCCAAAACTCATACAAACTTGATAACTATGGCGGAAGGATTTGATGAGGCAACCCAGGTATGTTACATGTTAACTCTATGTCCAGAGTCTCGCTGACAGCAGTTTTCTCTGGCACGTACAGAAGGAACTTGCCACCTTCATGGACAATGAACGGGCAAGGGCACGCGTTAACCAGTCCATCCATACGTTGACGAGCATGTGTTGGGACAAGTGCGTATGCTTGATTGTTTGTGATGCCTATTACTAACCCAAACATGTCTGTCAGATGTGTCACAGGCACACCCTCAACAAGTTTCTCTCGCTCAGAGGAGAGCTGTCTTGCGAACTGTGTGGATCGTTTTTTGGACACCAGTTTGTTCCTGGTCAAGCGCATTGAGCAGTCACGTCAAGAAATGACGGGGAGTCAACTATAGCGTCGACACTTCATCCCATCGTTTTCACTACCGCCGCTCAAAAGTAATTATGTCTAGAATATTGCACACTATTGCTCTTCGCGCAAACACCCTGCAGGTCATCCGTGGTTATACAATGTCCATTTCCGAAGTAAGGAATAACTAGCAAGTACAACAACATGCAAAGGGAATGTGTATCGTAACAATGAATTCGTAACCATCATGAAGCAGCCCGTGACCTCGTATCGCCAACACATCCACATCTCCTACCGCAACTTCGTGGATATCCATCCCATCTGCGCAGGCACGAAAAAGCAAAATGCGTCCAGAATCTCTCGTCTATGCTTCAACTCCAATGGAATCTCCAACCTCACTTGTCCCTCATCCACCAATGAGCCTGTATCCAAAAACTTTGACATACGCTTGTCCTTTTCCCGCCAGAGGTCCTGTAGCCAGGAGTCGAAATTGACCCGTTCATTCTCTGGAATGTCGATCTCAACTGTATGACCCTTCGAAGATGCTGATCCATTGGGCAAAGACTCTGCATTGCTTCCGGATAGATCTCCGATGGGTACCTCCTTAGCTACGTCAAAACGCCTAATGTGCATGTGCACGGCAGGTGGGGGAACACGGTCACAGAAGATGGAGCGCAAGGTGTAGTGATCCTGGCCGTAGCTAAACGCAGGAATACCTTCATAGCCAGTCAGAACTATAAGGAAATTCAGAATGAGTTGCAGACTGACCTGGGTATGACATTGTGATGTCGATCAATTGCAAACTGGGTATCTTGGGAGCGAGGGAACGAAGAGAATAATGAAGACCGGTAGATCTTGGTAGAAGTGAATGAACCATATCGGGCTGCGGCAATGTTAGTATGAATTCCATCTGGGTTTGAAAATACGTACAATGCCTAGTTTGTCAGCGTATCTCTTGCTTATGGGTCTGGTATCTCTACTGACTAGGGTACCTTCGGGATACAATATGAGGGTTAACGGGGTATCCCTTTGTTCTGCACGACGTCCTAACCAGGCCAAGCTCTTGGATAGATGAAGGCGATCTGACGCCCATGAACGAGCAAGGAAAATGAAATTGTAGAACTGCATGCCCTACGATTAAGAAACTTCAGTACGCGAAGGAAATTATTCCAAGCATGAGGAGCGTACCCAACCTACGATGGGAACCCATTTCAGACTGTCCTTTAGGACGATGTATACGTCTTTGTGGGTTCCCATGAAGTACGTCAGACACCACGCGTACCACCAGTCCGCGTAGATCTATGCAACAGAGAACAAGTCAGCATGAAATTGCCGAGATAGCAAGAGTGAAATAGAGCTATCAACCTGGTGGTTCGCGATCATGACCGCCTTCTGGGGCAGATGAAGAGCAAGCACACGACCTGAAGCGTCCTTCTCCACCAACTTCTCGATCTCCTCGTTTGTGAACCGACCTTGGCCCTCTATTTCAAACGAGACAACAAGTTTCGTTGGTGCGAACCATTGGCTCATCAAGACTAAGGCCGCCAAGAGACTCTGGGGTCAATACATTTCACCCGTGAAGCGACAGATGACTTCAGACGAACCTAGCAAGATACCAAAGGCACCCTTACTATATCGAATACCCTCATCGTAAAGATTTCTCGCCGAAGAGACCGGAATCAATCTTATGGGCAGAACGATGACGAATTGAAAGGCATTGATCATAAGATTCGCAAAGTCGAAGACTATAATGAAGAGCAGAGCGTTGAGCGTCTGAGACCAGGTCTTGGGAGGCCGTTTCGAGATCGGGAGATCTTGCAGCTCTGGTGGAATGTTGGCCCCCATTGTATACTTACTAGGAGGTTGGTATGTCCGGACGTCCAGACGTGGATGCTGTCTGGAGTACCAGAAGATGTTTGTTTGGAGGCAATGCGACTAAGACGGCATGTCGGGAACGCTTATCACGCGCGAGCCTGTCAGCTTGCGTACGTTCCTAGTATGTAGGTCATAGCGCCCTCTCCTGATAGCTGAAACGATGTTACTATCTATATCCTTGTCAGCAACGTTTCACTGCAAGACTGCATACTAGGTAGGTAGCCCCTGGTAGCTCTCATGTAGACGGTGCATGTCAGGTACCGATCATAAAGACCGGACGCAACTAGGATGCTTCATTAATGAGCCATTTCAGAAAAAAAAACTAATGCAGCAACCCCTTTCACATGTGAAATGTCTGAGTAGCCTCTGGATAATGTTATGGGAGCGGTCAGGACGTAGGATTGTTCTAATTAAACACAGGAAAATACCCCTAAGTAGTCAGTTCCATGAAATGTGGTGGACTACATGTGTGGAAATGACACAAAGATTGCGGCACCGGGAAGTCAAGGACGTTGCGAATATATAGAGCAAGCAAGAGACCAAGTACAGTATATAGACAACCTGTGCTAGTAAACTTCCCTGCTGTAGAATCTGCCACATGTGCACTCCAGTAACGGTATGCAACTGGGTATAAGAAAGCAAGAAGGTATAGAAGTAGGGACTCAATACTCCCATCCAGAATATCCACAGAAATTAGGTAGGAAAGGCCGGCTCTTGAGCTTGAACCCTGCAGTGCTATCGTACACCCAATAGAAGTCCCGAGTGAAAACAGAAGAGCCGCATGCAATGATAGCACGTATCAAAGTTTACACGCTGTGCCCTGAGGATACGACATGGGTTGAGATCATCCTAGTGACATGACCGTATGCCGCTACAGTATCGGATAAGATGCGTAGCAACTTGTGGAGTACATAGTGGCACGTATTGAAGTCCACGAACGCAGTTGCGAGGCGACGCAAAGCGATAGGCGTCGATCGTGCCTGAAGACGTTTCAAACGCTAGTCTGCATGTTAGCGACACATAGCACGGTATCTTCAAAACGAATAAGAGGTGCATATATGGAAAAAGATCAGCAGGAAGACGTTGTATGAAAGCGAATACGCGCACAATTACAAATAAATATAATATAATATTTATTTAATAAAATAAATAACTTAATTTCTTTTTTTTTTAAAGAGTGAACTTGGAGGGCCTAACTGGGAATGATGTTGTGGGTTGTTTGGGTGTTCATTGTATGGGCGCTCGGGAGTAACGAATGGGCAAGCGCGTGAGAGAGCAAATCATCTCACTCGTCCTCGACGACATTCCCCGACGCCGCTGCTACGTCCTTGACGGCGTACTCGACGACGTGCACCACTCGCAACGCTGAGTGGGGGCTCTGTCATTCCTTTGTCTCTTTCCCACTGTCCTTCACTCTTAGACTCGCGTTCTGATCCATGGCTACTAAGTTATCTTACTCATCGTCGTCCCACAATATGTCCAATTCCAACGGCAGCAATCCCTCATTACCTCGAAAAGCCACCAAGAAAACATCGTTTCTTTCGCTCAGGAAGGAGAAGAAATCTACAGAATCGCCTTCCGTTTCCGTTTCTCCCAGGCACTCACCGTCTGGCAACTACACAACTTCACCTTCATCATTTCAACACTTTGACTACGAGGATTATCAGGAACCCAGAATATCGCGTCCATATCAACTCTCTGGATATCATTCACGATCGGCTTCTAAGAGTGCTACTTCAGTTCGTAATGACGGATACTCGAAGCGAGAGCAAGGGAGAGGTCGACAAGAAAAGGCTTCTCCGCCGGACCAGTCTTTTGATTTCCCCACTGTGAATGGCGATTCTTCATTCATGCCATTCTCTGAGGACGTCAAGGTACCTTGGCCACGGCCACGCTGCCAAACAAATCCCTCTGAACGGCAGGATTCTGACCCCATGCCCTTCGTCCGCCGCTCTGTAAAGTATCCATTTCGCGACTCCGGTTCCTCAAGCCTCAGTCAGTTCGATCCTCTTCCCCAAACTCCCATAGATGACAATATGTCCTTTCATGGTTCAGTCTTCAACATCCCTGTTATGGTGGCTGCCCCAGTATCTGGCGTAGAAACGATGGACGCATTGGTAGATGGCATGAACGGATTCAGCTCTGATGATCATTTTATGGGCTCTGGTGGTATATCCGGTCGCACAAAGATCAGCAAGACGGGTCACCATCCGCTGTACCACCCACCGTTGCCTACTCCCCCTCCTGGGATTACCCTGGGAAAGGCGACCCCTCGGAAGGGTTCTAAGCCTCACGAGTCCAGTTCTGATGATGAGAGCCCTTATCGTTCAACAAAGCGCGGCCAACGACACAAAAATCACCGTCCCGCATCGTCCCGACATGCATCCAATACAACGGTGACGAGATCCACTCTGCTGGCAATGCCTTCTAAAGAGGACATCAGCTTGTATAGTGGCTCGTCCATCTCCGATGAGTCTCTCAGGCCGCCGCCGCCGCCACCTCCGTCGATTTCGACCAGGACTGTAGCACCTTCCATCTCCGAAATTATACGAGCCCACGCGCCTGCTTCACAGCAAGCTCGGTCGAGGCCTAGCTCGTCACACAAGACATCTTATGCACACAGTAGCAACCACGGCTCTATCACGCAGGAGAAAGTGCTACCGCCACCTAGCCCTCTAATCACTGATGACGAGACGGATTTCGTCTCGAGGTCTTCCGTGGATACCATAGCAGAGGAAGTCCGACAGACCATTCGTAACCAAGCGAGGGCCTCTGTGGTTTATCCTTGTTCGCGACCTACTTCGTCGTATTCACATGTGTCTCCGCCCTCGACCGTTCATGAGAACTCCAGAGGTTTTTCTTCACCCAAGCCCGAAAGCCGACGCGGGTCATCCATTTATTCACATTCTACTTCGACAATTTCTGATCAACCACATCTACCTCCATTGGATTTACAATCGTTGACCAAAACGGCCATAAACTCGCCTTCGCAAACCATTGCACAGTATTTACGCTCCAGTCGCCTTACAAGTATACTCAGGCTGACACGTTCCCCTCACGCTTCTCGAGAAACTCCACTAAATGTGAGCTTTTCCGACCTTGGTAGTCCCTCTGGCCACCCTCTAGTCATATTCCTCGGCCTTGGATGCGTCAGACAGATCATGGGTCTTTACGACGAGATGGCTGAGTGTCTTGGACTTCGACTCATCACCATTGATCGGTGAGTTGCAACACTGCGTATCCAAAGGAACGCTAACTGAAGTCGTTTGAAAGTTGGGGCCTAGGTCGTACTGACACCCCGCGTGCGAAATCCGCTAAGGGTATCCCGGAATGGGCCTGTGTCGTTGAGGAAGTTCTTGACCGCCTGCAAATTGACCAATGCAGCGTCATGGCCCATTCTGCTGGCGCGCCGTACGCACTCGCCTTCGCAAATAGGTTCCCTGAGCGCATCAGGGGAGACATTTGTTTGTTGGCACCCTGGGTAGGTGGCGGTGAAGGAGGTATGTTCTGTCTTCATAATTTGTTTATGCATTTCGCTCAACTATCCTGACACAGGAGGCTACAAGTGGTTGAAATATGTTCCCAACGGTATCCTGAAGACGGCGCAAGCTGCGGAATGGAAGGTCCAAGCTTGGATGCTCGGCAAACCGCCAACACTGGCGTACGAGGGTATTGGATTTGACGTCAAGATCTCTAGGCCTTCGACAGCAAATTCCTCTATGACATCTCGATTTCACAGCAGCCCCCCTGCATCAATGGACAATGATACGTCATTTCGCATGACACAGGTGGAGAATGAGCCTCGCCATAGCATTAGCTCAGGTATCTTTAGCGACTATGACGACCTCCATGATTTCGATGGCCGGTTCGAGAGTCGGAGTACCCTTGGGCGGCGGAGTACTTGTTCACAACGTAGTCGTATCAATAGTGAGAGTCATCCCTCACATGTTTCATCCCGCAAGCCTTCAAAGGGCTTTTTGGGTCGTCTCAAAGGAGGAGGTAGTCCCTTGCAAGCTCACTCGCCTAAAGAGGAACGGCCCACAAGTTCATCGGGTTCCGGGAAGCGTTTAAAAGCACTTCGTTCGATGGGCTCACTGAAGGGAAGGTCGTCTTCATCAGGGAATCCCGCTACCAAGAAAACACAATCTCCACCACCACCCTCTTTACCTCAACCACTTACACCCGAAGTTGGTCTTGGTCTAGACGAGCTCGATTGGTCGGGTACGGTAAGGGGGAAATCACTATCGACTCCTCCAGCCAAGTCCGGGAAAGCTGAATCCGTGTCCAGTATGTCTTTCTCTAACGATGGACATTCAAACCCTCGTTCAGGGGGCCGACGTTCTGTTTCTGGTCCGACAAAATCACCCGTGCCTCCTGTTCCACCTCTACCCTCATCTCCCATTGCCGACAACACGCCGTATCCAACTAGCTCCTATCAAGCTGCGCTGGGTAACGCCTTGATTGCTGCTTCTCACGCAGAATCTGCAAAAGGCACCCATGGAGATCTGGTTCAAATCTTGAACCATGACCGACAGCCATGGGGTTTCTCGTACTCAGCGTACCCGCATTGTGTGCGAGTCTGGTACGGCGATCGAGATGATAGGATTGCGGAGAATGTGGTCCGGTGGATGGAGAATACCATGGGTTCAGACAAGTGCTCTGTAAAGGTCGTGAAGGGTGCCGACCATGCCCTCATGTTCAAGAGCTCCGTCGTGGTTGAGGTCATGGAATACATGAGCGACTGCTGGCGACTTGGTGGGATCTGAACTTTTCATTCATTGACGTACGAAATCTGATTTATTCTTCTTGCTTGTTAAGATTGAAATTTTGCCTTTCTTGTTACAACATCTATTTGCTCTTTTACCTTTTGGTTGTTAGGTTATGTCGGATGAGATACCACAATTGTTTCATATATCCTCTTCATGTATATTCCCCCTCCCTCTCTTCCCCAATTTTCTCGTTATTTTCATTCGCTTTCTCAGCAATTTGTATACCTTTGCATATTCATCCTATCGTTCCCCTCTACGCGTTGTGCAGGATACCGTATCATTTTCCTTCCGATGTTGGTTAATTGCATATTACTCTTCCATTATACGTCTTAATTAGTGTAGAATGGGCACATCTCTGTTGCAAGCTTCTTCTAAATGCAAATACTCCATCATGACCCCGAGCGTTAAGGTGTCTTTGGACTCCGAGCTATCCATGCCGATGGTGTGAAAGGATACTGTGACTCCCGCAATGGGCTTCGGAGAGGCCTCGGAGGGCCAGACATCGGTGACAGTGGCGGAGGCGGCGGAGGTATGACTACAAATAACTGTCAGTGTTGTTCCTAGAGATGAAAATTGGGTAGGTACCAGAAGCAAAGCCATGATCAGGTCTAGAAGTCATCGATAGACCCGCGAAGTCACCAGAAGTTGCTAAGTGAGCCTCATATGGTCGGGGTATGATACTATCTCCGAAATATTTGGTTGTGTAAGAATTCCGGCCGGTTGGCTTGCTTGACGAAGAGTATGCAGAAGGTGGGGAGGGCGCAGAGGGAGGGGAAAGCCCCGAATGTGGTGGTCCAGGCGGGAAAGGTGTGATTATGGATGCTGCACCACCTTCAATATTGAAAGTTCTGGAACGCCTCCGTGAATGCCTGACAATCATGATAACAGCAAGCAGAATGGAGAATATGGAAAGGCTCGCGAGAACAGCGACGAGCACCACTAAAGATGTCGATAATGCTTGCGAATTACCCAGTGAACCTGCAGCTGACGTTCCGGTAAACGTAATTGTCGGCGCAGTCGGAACGTCCGTGAACTTGGAAGTGATTGTTGTTGCCACGCCAGTACTCGACTCACTGGTTGATGCGTCTGTGGCAGATGTGCTCGTCGCAGAGCTGCTTGTTATGCCACTGGAACTGGAAGTACCCGTCGAAATGTTTGATCTAGTCCCAGGGGCGCTTGAGCTCGACGTGGTTGAGATCGACAGTGTCGAGGCCGGCGTACTTGAAGTTAATACCCTTGAAGTAATCCCAGAACTTACTGTCACAGAACTCGACGAACCCCGGCTTTCGGTGGCGGTCGTTGATATACTCGCAGAGCCTGACGAAGATCGAGACGTGCTGGATTGAGACGCAGAAATTGGGCCGCTCTGCGTGGAGGACAGGGTTCCACCAGCTGCGCTTGTTTGAGACGTAAGACCACCGCTGACCGATGATGTAGTCTCTGAGGCACTGGTAGATGAATCTCTAAGACTCTTAGTGCTACCAGATGTACTTGTCGTCGGCGTGAGAGTTGCATGAAGGGTATCGCTAGATTGCGTCACGGACGACAACGCTGAGGTAGGAGAGGCACTGTCCGAACTAGTAGCGGATATCGTGATCGTTAAACTGAAGGGGCTGGTTGTCAAACCGCTGGACGATATCAGAGTTGATGTTAAAACACTTGAAGACGGCGCGGGGCTGGTACTCGGAGTCTCAGATGATACTGAGAGGATTGAACTAGAGGCCGAGGCAGATGAAATATCTGAAGACGGTAGATTACTGATTGTCGGGGACGTCGTAGTTGAAGGAATGGATGAGGTAGATGGGACCTCGGGGAAAGTGGGTGAGATGCCCGACGGCACAGTCACTGAGCTTCCGGTAGACATAGTGGTTGTAGCGGGGAACGAGGCCGTTGATCCAGGCTCAATCGTTGAACTTCCGCTCGAAACAGGTTGCGATAAACTTTGGGACCCAGAGAATGTGGAAGTTTGGGATCCTGAAGTAACAGGTACCGAGGTAGAGACACTAGTCTGTGGGACTGTAGTACTAACAGGAACTGGGATCACGATTGTGAAGGGACCGAGAGTGAATTTAAAGGTTGTGAAAGAAGTATCCGAGTCCGGACTCTGGCTAGGTGGGGTCACCGCCTGTATAGTTGAAGATGGAAGGTCGACCATCACATTGCTCTGGGCCAGAAGCGGAGAATTGAAGTTGGATGCCTGAGGGCGAACGAATTGAAAGGATGGCCATGAAGTGATGTCTGTGGTGAACGGAGGGACGGCCTGCGATGCAATGGTCTTTGGTCCTGTATTCGATACTGGCTCACCACTCCCCTCAGGAATGAAGCCCACAGGGAAGAATGGTGTTCCTTGCAACGGTGAACCAGACCTCTGAGGTGCCACCATGCCCGAGTACAATCGCAGGCTTCCATCCAACTGCTCTTCACTCTCCTCTCCAAGTTCAGAGTCACCGACAATCCATGGATTCTCTGTGGCCATACGTGAGATTCAGTTATACGCACATAGAAACAGTCACTCGCCATTTGTTGAAAAGAATGGGCTGAGAACGTGCCCTGAGGTCCGGAAAACGGGTTCTGCAAGGATAATGAGTTTCTAGCAGAATTGTGAACATTAAGTGCGATCACCTTGAACCCGTATAGTCACAACTAGCCCATCGAGTGCTATTTGTCCGTGACCACCATGTGTCGCGTCCCACCAGTTAACAACGTGTAAACTATGTGGGACGGAAGGATTGGTGCCAGATATCGTGAATAAGCTCTGTTGCACGGAAAGTTTGGCGTTTAGAGCACAAGGCGTATATAAGTTCGTCCGACACACCTTGGACCGTCCACTGTAACTGTCGGCCGCTTCTACCTCCACAACGTCCATATACGCGCCTTCGGTGCTGCAATCCAAGCAAACTAGGTAACGGGAACTTCGAGTACCTGGGAAGCCCATAAAATGCACAGCAGTAACACCCTCTAAAGCAACGCTATGAAGCAAACGGACACAGAACGAACATATAAAACACACCTGGAAGTTCCGCTTCTACCCAACTCCCAACTCTGTGGCTGGATGCATAGCTGCCTCCGATAGCATTAACATCCGTCACTCTCCTCCAACCTAGGGAGAACCTGAAGATACTCGTAAGGGCATTATCATCGAGGGTTACATTCCGAAGCACGCCAGCGGCCTGAGAAGCGGAGACATAAGAGAGAATAATTAAAGGAAGAGATAGTAGCCAGAAAAGAAAGAATGTCATGAATTAGAATGACTTAAAGCGGGTAGGGGTGTCCAGCATCCCCCGATACTAGACAAGAACCGAAGAAGGTGAGGAAGGAGAGGAACAGAAACTCACAATATCAGAGCTTTCGCATCTGGCTTTCCATGATCACAGCCGGAAACCTTGGACAAGGGGCGAAACGCCGGTTGATGGTGTTTTTGATGTATTCCGCCTCGATACAGTGATTGGTTTCATTCATGCACAAGCAAATGGCGGTGCAATTTAAGAGACATGGCCATTGCATCCAGTCTCCCTAAGGCAGAGTAGATAGAGACGCAAACCTTCATGCCTTAGGTCATCTCTGTCATTACATCCTCTTCGAAGTTCGGCTAACGCGCCAAGAAATGAGATAAAAATATGGCGTTGTAAATCGAGACAAAGCTCACTTCCGGGAGAATTATACGCAGAATTTGGACCAGGCCGACGGTTAGTATACATTCACTCATATGAAGAAGCACTTGTCAACCTTTCGAGCGCATGGTTACTATTAGTGATGGTGGTGGTCGCGAAAGCAGTACTTGGGTGAATCGCAGTGCGCAACGGGCCATTATCAGAAACTCAAGGATACACCACTGCATTTTCCTTACAGGGTTTACACTTTCATTGAATCCTCGCGATTGTACACTACTATACAGTACATCGACCTAAGCACGAATCCACGACATGTGGCTAGATGAATTCCTTAAAGGCCGAATGGGAACGTCTCGTCCAGCTCGCCTCTTGTCAAACCCTTCCAAGTATCTTCGGGTTCCAAAGGCTGAATACCTCGAGATTGTTTGACTTGCGCAATGGCGTCGTACTGGTCGGAGGCTCTGCATCGTGAATAATGCGATGGAACCTCAGTCAAACTGCGATATATGACGCCAATGAACCTTTGGAATCTCGGCTGGTTTAGGAAGCTACGCAGGAAATTTGTGAGGACTCGGCCTGTAGCATGTGGAGGGAAGATCGACTCACTCAGACAAGGGGCCTGATATCTCGACCTTTACGTTCTCACCATCACAGGTACGCCCAACCTTGTGTGTGATGACAAACGAGTCGCCCTGAGCGGCCTCATCGAGGACGCGCTCAATGGAGTTCGGAATGGGCTTGTTCATAGTGAAATTCTGAGGTGGGTCGTCCCACTCGTACGCGGCGGTAACTAAAATGACCTGTCTCAGTAAGCCTAAGTAGTCAGAAAACGAAGCACTGACCCGTCCCCCTATCCGTGAGGAATCCCAGGTTGAAGACGTTATCGTCGCCAAACAGCTCCCTACAACGTTGGCCAACGTTGATTTCACCTGGTCGAATGCACACATAGTGAGTCTCGTTACCCTTAATGTACAAGAGAGATCCTACCTCTCCGTCGGCCCATATCGGTGGCTCTGGCATCTCCAATATGAGAATTATGTGCCCATACCACGATCTTGGCGTCCTTTCGCGTTGAACCATCCGTAGAGGTCTCACCTAAGTGCCGGGAAATCTCAACCAGTGTCCTCGAGAAGTGATCATCCCTGATAGGTGATACACCAGTCAGACCTTTATAAATTTCTCAGCATGGAAAATACGAACCTCAAGTTCCAACTCTTTACGTCTTCCGTGAGCATAGTACGATAATACTCCTCAGCATCCCGAACAACAAGGGCATTCATCTCCGCCATAAATTGCTCCTCACGTGGATGGCACCATCGATTCTCTCCGTCCGGAAGTTGACTTTCAATGTACTTTTGGTGGTTCTTCAGCAACGTTCTCAAGTTGAGGATCACCTCCTTCTCACAACTCTGGAAGATTGGCCTTCAGTATGATGCTGTATTTTAGTCCGCAAAGAGACCTTACCTTGGCCATCCCGAATTGACACATATATGCGTATTGCATGGTGTCCTCGCCATAACGCTCGAAGCAATTGTACCGCTTGCGCGCTATCTCCGCTGCTTTTGGGTCAACCCTCTCGAGGTAGTTTAAGACTTCCTCTGCAGATCGATGCAAGGAATAGAGATCCATGCCATAAAAAGAAACTTTTTTTGATCGGTTCCCAGTTTCCTTTACAACGTTGTCATTGAACTCCCTCAAATACTCTATGAAAGGAGGCATCACTTCATTTTTCCACATCCATTTGGGAAACCTGGCGGACACAAGTCAGTGACATGCTCCCCCATTCTGGTTCAGGCTTACCGCACGAAGTCTTTCAACGCGTCGCGTGCATTCTTGATGGTACCATCTCTCAAGTGTCCACCATGAATGTACCTATTGATTCGGAACGCGTCCGGGAAGTCAGCTTCCACCGCAATTGCAGTGAAGCCCTTCTCTTCAATGAGACGACGAGTAATATTGGCACGGTGAGCATAGAAATCGTATGTTCCATGCGAGCCATCTCCGATTAACACTATCTGAGCGTCGCCTGCACCTCTTGTCAGTAGATGCCAATGTAATGTTCAATGACCATACCAATGGATTCCAAAAGCGGGTCAATCGATGAAGCGTCGAATGACAGGGGTCGGAGATGCTTGCCAAGCAGTGTCTCTGCGGATGCTGCAGTCGACATGGTGCGTTTCAGCGTTGAAAACAGAGCGTTAGAGACAAAGGACGGAATATTGACGAGAAACGATGTTGCTGTCAACGGGGAATGTCGTGGGCAGACTTGAAGAGGACCTCAGTCATTGCAGGTAAAGTTTCACCAACGCCATGTATGACATAACAGAATGGTGGCCTGGCCCCAAAAAAGTGTCCCTTGGCTGTAGACACCAGTAGATGTTTAAGAGACCCAAACATAGTTACATTTTGTATTTGCAAGGTGAACTGGGTTATAGAAACAATTAAAGTTAGCACACGACTGCAATGTTGCTGGGTACGTCGGAAGGTGAGAGCACTGATGAGAAGAATGCCTGCAGGCTACTAGATCGCATCGGGCCCAGCGAACGTCCTGATTTGGATTAGTGTCATTCCGCACTCGACTCGCTCAACTCATCTACCACATCCCCCAACCACACATCCCCTCCTTTCTTTTCATCCCAATCATGCCTAATCCAGGGTGAGCCATATGTTTCTCTGCTAATCTCGTTCTCATTCCCCTCCAGTCCTCAAGGAAACCATAGAAAGTCGCTCGCGGTCAAACATCTTGATGGCGAGCCCCTTTCAAGAGCAGACCTGCAATATGACTTTCTTCATTATCTATTCAGCGATACAAAGGCTGTCTTTACAGATCCTTTTCCAACCATTCATGGGGGACCGCCTGGCACCAAGGTCACTTTCCGTGACCTTTACGTGAATTCCCTTGTCCAGTCATCCCGGTGTTCAAAGGTTACAAAGGAGAGGCTTGTAGAGAACCCTCTGTTTGGCGACGAGTTCGCGAAAATCTCAATCCTTTCTAATGTGGGCCGAATCAATACTACCATGGCGTGTAAGTATTGCTTCCATTTCATCAGTTTCTGACGCACTGTCCGTCACGCTGTGTTGATGATGGTCGAACTACATTGTTGCATGTTCAAGATGAAAGCTAATCTTTAATATGTCCAGTCTTTCCGGAGATGCGCACTAATTTGCGGACGTATCATCCTGTTCCGTCTCTGCAAAAGTCGGATGGAAATCTGCAGGATGCCCCTCGCATCAAAAATATCCTCAAGTCTTGTCTTCTACCCACTGAGTCACCAAATGAACCCTTGACCCCAGCTGATATCCTCGCTAAGTCGGTAAGTCCATGATCGCGATCTCTGAATCTTCATGCCTTATAGTTAACGTGTCACCCTTTGTAGAGGTCTGGCCAGATCCCGCCTACCACTGTAGTCAATCTCATTTTTGTCTTCGCCGCACATTCTTCGGTAAGCCAGATTCTTGCTAATCGTTGCAGTCATTGACACTCTAGTAGATCATTGCACAATCCCACTTCGCCTCTCAAACCAACTACGACTTGTTGGATTTCTTTTGTCCTATCAACATATCGTCTGAGTCGAGAGGACGAGCTTTCCTTTGGCTTTGTTACCATTATCTTGAGGGACCAAATCCCAACCCGTTTGCCGATGAGTTTGCCCTTGCAAACCCGGGTAAGACACCCCGGCTTCGAATCCTCTCTGCTGAGGAGACCTTGTTAGAGAACGTTGATCCTTCCTCGGAGAAAGAGTGGGGTGAACGAATGACCATTCAGCGAAGGGAGTTTGTTGCAAACAAGGATAAGCCTCCTGTTCCTGGCGAAGAAGGGTCTATTGAGCCGAAACATAAGGAGAAAGCCAAACCGGCACCCAAGGTCAGAGGTGGAAGGGGCGGTAGGGGCGGTAGAAAGTCCAGACCGGGCCCTCAGAGCGCATCGACCAGCCAGAATCGTGAAATCTTGCCTAGGCTCACTATGGCCGATGAGATGCTTTCTAATAATCAAGATGAACTCATGTCTGAAGGTAGGACATATAATCCTCATTGACGGCAGGATTCTCATCTTTCATGTAGCTTCGGGACCAACTTCACAACCTATGGCAATGTCCCCAGTTCAATCACCTCATCACATAGCAGAAAGGGCTCCTTCCCCAGCGCCATTCTTGGCACCCATTGGTCTGCGAGCAGCATCGTTTCCCTCATCTTCTACCGACGAATATTCTTCTCCTGAGCAGTCCCGCGTTCCTTCTCGGCATACTAGTAGGCTTCCATCCCCCATCCCCCGATTGTACAATGCTCGGGAGCGAGCAGAGCCGTATCCTCGCCCTTTAATTGGTCCCCCAAACGCCAAGGTCCCTTCGACGAGTGGCAAAGCAGTCCGTACCCGCGTTCGCAAGCCTTACAAGAAATATCATTTGCCGCCCGCGTCTCATCGTGTTTCGCAATTCCCTCTCGTTCCTGTTCATCCTCCCATGCGAAGCCAGAAGTCAGGTTCTCGCCAGGAAATTTATCGTGCTGCTACTCCTACTCCTACTCCTCCTCCAGCCCCTCGGCGTTCTATTGTTGAACGTGAGTTCCCCGCTGAATATATTACTCTCGTTGATTTGACGTGTTTAACCACTTTCGGGTTGCAGAAGCGTTCCATGCCGTTATGAACAGCGACCCTCTTGACGATTCCGAGGACGATGAACCTCTTGATGAGAACACCCGCCTTGATCTTCGTGAGTACTATTGTGTAGACGTCACTGATGGTACTGACTTTTTTTTTTTTGATAGTTCTCCGCCTCCGAATCATCAACAGACTTCGAGGCAAGGAGCCTACCCCCGAACCTGAGCCCAGGCATATTTATTCGCATCCCATTCGTTACTGATCGCTTAACTGTGTTTCCCAACGGACAAATCCCTGCAGCATTAATTCAAGTTTTTGCCATCACCATTAATATTGAACAATCCGCATTCGCCTTTCACTGTCGCATAATTTATCCACGATTCTTCTTCGGAAGTGTACCATACTGGGATGTATAATATAGCTAGTCCGCTAAGTTCGAATATAGTTAATTCGTTGCTTGTGATTCACCATGGAGCCTTTCTAAGACTCATGAACAGTGCGAACAGTGAGGAGGAATGAGTTCTTGTTCCATGTTTATGTAGGTGTGGCACGACTCTTGTAGTCCTATACATTCACCAGTATGTACAATTAAGCAGAAATATGTAAGGGGAACAATGCATAGAAGGGAAGGGAAATGAGATAAGATGATATACCACCATGGGGCCCAATACTGTAAACTTCGAAGTTAAAAGAAACGGTACGCACACGCAAGTGAACCGAAGAACGGCATCACACAAAAGAAGGCTTGTCGAAAGGAGGTGAAGTTTAAACCAACAGACAGACGGAAGAGACGAACGGTTGCAACAGAAGAGATTGAGCCGAGAGATCCAGTGATGTTTCTAATCCTGAGAGCATAAAATTACAATGCGTAGGTCAACTCCACAACTGTCACAGTAAGGAAAAACGTGATGAAGAATGCACGAAAGGATGGAAAGAAAAAGTGAGGACCAGTACTAGTGAAGACAAATGCGCACAACAGGGACGAGAGATGCGGAACCAATGAGAATGAGAAACAAACAGAAAAGAATAACCACCACAGAAAGGCCGATCACTCCGCTAGCCATTTCTCACATTTCTTGACGTACTTGTCAAGTAGTAGAGCCATGTCACGGATCACGAAGGTGAGAACGACCTTGGCAAAGAACTCAGAAGCGTGTTTTAGCTTGTGTTCGATGGCTGCCCTTAGCTCTGCAGAAAAGACCGCGTAAAGTGGTGCGATAGGTTGAGTCTGTATCGCTTTGGTATGTTCGTCGAGGATTTGTGCTTGCGAGAACAACTTTGCGAGTCCTTGGACATACATCGCGGGTGAATCAAGGCTACAGTCATCAAATCAGAATTTCGCCACACATGTCCACAAGCCCATATACTCACTTTTTCCCGTTCGTGAACTTGTCAAACTGTCGTGTCAGTTTGCCTCCCCACGAGGTGACCTGTGTCATCGTCAATTATTTGCTTTAGAGTCTGAGCAATCAAGATCAAGACGGTACTCACGCCACTGCTTTTCTTGGTGACGAAACCTTCACCTACGCCAAGTTTCTTCCCAAAGTTACCCACTACGCCATCACAAACGCTCGAGAACTCTTCCAATTTTGTTGCCCATGCCTCGCCCTCCTTTTTGCCGATACTCCCAATACCAAGGGACATACCACTGCTCACATTTCCAGCGCCAAAGTATTCGACGCTCCAGCTCTGCAGTTCCTCAAGGGCAGAGCAGAGCACCTCGACTACTCGAATTTTTTCCGGTATATTCGTAAGTTTCGCACCGCCTTGAGACCACACTTCCTGTGGTACATGCAGCCGTCTAGTCACGTACCCACCAGTTTTAGAGACCATAGTCTGCCTGAGCAGGTTCATCATATGATACGGTTTCCGAAGTGGATCTGAAGGCGCTGAAGGGGGCAGCGGAGACATCGGAGCAGTGGGTATGTTTCCATGGGGTATCGGTGGTGGGGGTACTAGAGGGGCCATCTCTAACATTGCACTCCCCAGTGGTGGTGAGAGAAGCGCCGTGTTAATCTTTATTTGGGGAGCACCCGGGCCTAGCTTTGAAGGTATCGAGACTTTCCGTGGTTGTCCCGTAGGTTGAGCATTATTAGCACCAGCACTCTGAGGAGGGAAAGGATAGGTTGCCGCAGATGGTCGCCGACCTGGTTGTGAGACTGCTCTACTTCGATTATTGGACATGCCTAAGCTGGACACAGTACTAGCAGGCAGCGAGGATGCCGTCAGTTTAGACAAGGACACTTCTGAATCTGTCGGTGAAGTGCCAGTAGCCGATGGTGGCGGTGCAGATGTCTTATTGCGTCTCTGGAAAATGGTCCCCATTGTAGTCGAGTTATTAATTAATGGCTGGTGATTCGTCGGAATTACGGCAGAACGTGTCGATACAGTTGAGTCACCCCGTGGCCTAGAAGAGAAATGCGGACTAGGAGGAACGGAGTCGCTACCGTTAACAGCATTGCGAGGCGTCGTTGCTGATTCGACAGAAGACGGTGCAGGGGAAGGCAAAGGCGGGAGTGGGTGTGAATCGCGATTGTTACTGCGACGTACAGCGTTCTCGTCAGCATCTGCAGGAGCAAGGAGGTCTGGTTCAATTGTGATTCGATCTTCCGACCTTTCGGCTTCCTCTTGAAGTGCAGCAAGCTTGCTTCCAGAACCTGTTCGTTTGTGGTTTATTGACAACCCTCTTGTTCGACCAACGACACTGGGTTCGTGATGGCGCAATGATGGTGATATTGAGGGCTCCGGAGCAGGCTCAATAATGGAAGGTGTAGGGGCGGGAGGAGGAAGAGTGGTCGGCGGAGGAGCCGGAGGAGGGAGGGTAGAAGACGCCCGAGGACGACCAACTGCAAGTCTCGGAGGAGAGGCCACGGCTGTCCGACTAGCTGTTGGACTAGGTGGTAGTGGTTGCACGGAGGAAGCAGCATATGGATGAACGGAAGGTCCAACAGGCGTGCGGGGAGACATAGATGTATCAAGTGTGAACATCGCAGCGCCTATTGCAAGCATACCATCCGAGTCATCGGCGTGTGGTCGTGCAGTCTCTGAGGACCCACGAAGCTCATCAGAAGAATGTTGAGAGGACGTAGACGATGTTCGAGACCGTAAGCCATTTGAACTTTCGGATAACGGTGAGGTTGACGAAGGCGAAGATGGCTGTGTGGAAACTGTTGATACAGAGGTGGTGGAGGACGCATATCCAGATGAAGGTGAATGAGCGGGTAATGGTATGTTGTAAATCAAGCTCAGTATGTTCATTCGATCAGCATACGTATCATGCTGTTCGAACGGTCGGATTAGAAGAATTTAGCCATATTAGTGTCACTTGTTCATACCGGAGAGATACACAGAACTTACGATAGACTTCAACCGCTTGACTTCCTCTTCTTGCGCAACTACACTGCGTCGTCGTCCGTTACCCCGACGGTGAGACTCTGAGCTATCCTCGCCTCTCATAACACGCTCCATCACCTCGCTCAATAAAGCAACACTCTTGCTATATGCTAGCACAGCTCCGTAAGGATCGTCGTTCTTCGAATCCAGTTGTACAGCTTGTCTCGCTAACTCTAAGGCTTTAGTGAGGGCACTACGAGACGAAGGGCGCCTCTCGGATGAAGGTCGTCTGTCGGATGGAGGTTGAGGTTCCTGTGGCGAAAGCAGGAGTCGATCAGGGATAATGTCGTGTGTTTGCACCGGAGAGCGCGTCCCATTGCGAAGCATGGAGCGCGGAGGAGGGTCGGAAAGATTATCAGCGGATGAAGAGGCGATGGGTGACGGTGACGGATGTGCGTGTCGCTGCGAGAATGCAGCTACAGCGGCAAGGTTAGCAGAGGCAGATGGACGACTGTATGAGTACGGTTGCGGCTCAAATGAATTGTGAAACTCAGGTGTGTCGTAAGAAGGACTGGAAGACGATGCAAACTGGAATTCGTCGCGATCATCATGGTGGTTGATGATCATGGGGACGTGAGGTATCGGCTGACTTGGCGGAGGTCCTGGAGGAGGAACATGCACGGCTGTTGAACGTCTTCTTGACATGAAAGCTGAAGATGAGGATGTCGCAGAAGAAGGACCGGCATGGTTCTGAGCAGTATGCCATTCCCGGGACTTGGGTGCAATGGATAGCGGACGCGTCTCCCAGTCGAGTTCCATGGTGAGCACGCTGGAAGCAGCGATAACACCGTCTAAAGCGGGGTTTAGTACCTGGTTCAAATTGCAGCAGAAAGTGGTAGTCCCCTTGTTCAGCTCAGGTTAGACCTGATCGGGACTAAGTTGCGAGCCAGGGCTACGGTTATTGTTTTTCGGCGGGATTGGATTCGAAAGACGAGGGACGCGTTAAGGACCGCGTCGGGGATCGTTCAAGCGACCAGTTGGAGCAGGACGAGCTGGCTGAGAGACGAGTTCAGCACTGTTGGAAAGCTGGGAGGGCGAGGCTTGGGTCTGATAGCCTGAAATGGCAGCTGGAGGCGCTGGACAACGTTCTACAGGCGATCAATTAGTCTTGGTGCGCTAGTTCGATAGGCACACGTCGGCTGTTGTTGCTCTCGACGGCGAGCACGAAAAGGATGGTGTGCGGAGAGTGTGGTCGCCAACGATCATGGAAAGGCGGGCCAGTTGGGGCGGGACAAGCACGAGAACGCGCAAATGGTTTCCCTGGCCTACGTTTGCAGTGAAATGCTTCCGCATGTTGGGCCCAGCGGACTTTGGATCTCGCTGCCGCCCGTGCCCAAACACTGATCGACGTTTAAGACTGTGTTTCCTTTCATTCTAATGTCGCTGCAACGGGGTTACAAGCCCCTTCTTACACTATTGAAGGCTGCATGCAAACTACTTTAGCTACTGAACCTGTTGCTTGACGCCCTTCCGCACTTTCATTGCGACATGCTTGACCAGAGCGATCGCGGTCGGATGAAGAGAATTCGCTTTCTCAAGCCTTCTTGCGATCTAGTTCTCTGCAAAAAAAGTTATTCCCAATTATCCTCCCAGTCTATCAGGCCGTATCGCCGTATCGTCTAACTTTGATCCTCATCTGTCAATTCATTGCCAATCAATGTCACTCTCACACAGGGTTTGCTGGCAAGGACAGATATATCCTTCCCACAAAATCACTACTCGGACATAAGGTATGGGAAAAGAACCAAAAGAACGGCAGGCGAGTCTATACAGACTGGAAACAAGCGGAAATCACAGAACAGAACATCCATTTTCAAAAGAGCGCTAGAACGTCCGAAGTTGATGAGGACCCGCACAGACTTGTTCTCGTGGACGAGCTTGATAGAGAGGGAGAAAAAAAGTGATAACGAACAATTATCCGGTTCAAAGCCCAAAAAGAAGGAAGGCGCAATGTGTAGCAGAACACCAAAAGTTCTCGAAAAGCATCTGTCGAACGTTTGGGGGTATCTTGGCATCCCAGCGTGGATATAGAAGAGCTTTTGGGTGAGAGTCTCACTCGCGGAACTCTGACTGAGAGCCTTGAGCTGCGAGTCGGCTCTCCAGATTCCTGCACATGATGACATCAGTATCTCCTTCTCGTGATACAACCACCATAGCAACCGGATGCACCGGCACAACGACCACTCACCTGAGAGACTCTTCCTTCGCAAGCAGTTCTTGTCTCTTCTCGTTGATCTCGCGTTGCACGCGCAACTCGATCTCGCGCAACTGCAGAATAAATATAAGGCCGGTCCGAGATGTATAACAAGCACGTGAAGCACTGACCTTCTCCTCCTCCCTGCGGAGCTGCTCCTCCTTGAGGCGCACGCTCTGGGAAGCGAGTTCCTCGGGGAGAATGGAAGAATCCCTGAGAAAACACTGTAAGCGTGTGGAACGAAGGATGGACGGAAAACCGACATACTGGGTCTCTGAGTGTACTGTCCTGGAAAGCTTCTCAGTACGGTAAGTTTCGTACAAGACATCGTGAGTGAGCGCCTTCAAATCGGACAAGTGAGTGCTAAAGGAAATGGAAATGAGGATCACGGAACGTGTGCAAAACAGGAAATATAACATACTTGAGCAGAGCGCCCCGCAAACGACTGAAATCGGTGTGCTTGGGGTTGTCGATCTCAACAATACCCCATGGGTAGATCCTAGCCCGAACTGCCTCGCCATCAATCTCAACTTCCTCCTCGGATCCGACAATAGAGAAGGGCATCATGCCCTGTTTGCCATATTAGATGCACAACCGGAAAAGAAGGGCCGTGAAGATACGTACACGAAGTTCACTGTTGTCCTGAATAGTATCCTCGTCATCCTCCTCGACATCATAAGGGAAGTTGTAGACCGGGATATCGTAGTACTCAATATCCTCCATGATCTAGCAAAAAAGAATGTCAATGTAAATGACAACCAATGTTGACTTTGAACGTACCCTCTTCTTGAAGCCTCGGAGCTCACTTGGAGTCAATGAATCGGCCTTGCCAATGACGGGGATAACATTGACACGAGGAGAAAGACGACGCATGAGCTCAATGTCCATTTCTCTCAGCCTAGTAAAGATAAACATGCTCAGATAAAAGCTATGATTGGCCATGGAAACAACACATACGCGTGCCCAGTTGGAGAGATGAAGTAGAGAAGAGCGTGGACTCGGTTATCGCGGAATCGAGGGTTACGCTTGATACGAGACTCCTCTGCGAGAATATCATCGTATTGGCGTTCGAGGTAACCGACAATCTCTTGGAACCTGATGACAAGTTAGAGCCTAATACTGATGTAGAGAATGTGAAACATACGCGAACTCATTATCAATGTTGTCACCAAACCCAGGGGTATCAACAATGGTGAGCGCAATACGGACACCATCCTCCTCCAACTCTGCATAGAAAGGGTTGAGCCCTAGAACACGGGAACTTGAGCTGGATTACCTACCGACGTTCACAGGCTTGATCCTGATGCCTTCCTCAACATGAGCAGTCTCAGGGCTATCGCAAACCTTGTGTGTCAATACCTCCGACTCGCAAAGGGTGTTCACGAAGGTGGTGCGTCCAGTACCAGAGGCACCTATTGACAGGAATGTTCAGTTGCCAACACCAAAATCCAGCGCTGGCGTTGTACGACGACACGCCAGCACAGAGAGCATTACCCACCGACAACCATGACGGTGAACTGGACACCCTTCTTGACCTTGTTCCCTCTGCGTCTGCCGGCGAAAGACATGATTGAAAGGACTGTTTGTGGAATATGCCTGGAGGATGTTCTGGTTGGCGGGGAGGGCCTTGCAACTTCGGGTTTCGTCGTGCTTCAAACTCCGCTTCCGGATCGGCTGTCAAGCGCTTAGCATTCGGTCTGCTTAACCGTGACCTTCTGTTCGCGTGAAGACTCCGAACTGTACTACTTTGGTACTACTATATCTCAGCTTGTTCCAGTCGTTCCAACCATTGTTGACGGCTAGAACCATCGTATGGGGCAAGGGCGCATGTAACATATGCACCCTCTTTTGTCTCAAACTCGTGGCTGCCTCAGAACTGGCTCTCGATGTCATGCACATTTTGCTACGCGTCGCGCATTCAAAACTTCCAACGCGTTATACGAGGAGCTCATTAATGACACGCCATCAGCTAGCAGCTCAACAATAACGAAGAAAGTCGCGACCAGGACAAAGAAGAAATTCTCAGAACTCCCAAAGCAGTTAGTCAACGCCGATGGCTCGTTCGTCTCCCCTCTCCCCGAGTGGACAGGTGGTTTAGAAGTCTCTTCTAGTGTGTTTGATTCAGTGGTATATTCTGTGTACAGCGCTCACTTATATGTACGATCACTTGCTTTGAATTCATTCCCCCGTAACTGCTTCAGTTACAAAACATCCGGATGAGTTGCAGTTACGCGAGTCAATGACACAAAGCATTACAAAGGTTAGAAGATCAAGGAAGAAGAAAATTGACGATGCTAGTCTGAGAGAACAAGCCGACGATACTGCAAATGGAGTTGCCCTGGACACTCATACAGATGTCATCCCGAAACCGAGGCGCAAAAGGAAACCCAAAATTGATACTGCAACTAAGGTGGTAGAAGGTATCATTTACGCTACCTTCATCCTCAATCCGCTAATTTTCTTTCACAGAGCCTGTTTCCGTAGTGAATGAGCCGGATACTCCTTTGGCAAGAGACATCCTCGGCAATCTCGCCCGCTTTCCTCATTGCATCCTGCTTACCCGCGTCGGAGGATTCTACGAGGTTGGTCTGCTCCCTGGAGGATGAGCATGGTACTCACATAATGTCCTTCAGTCTTACTTCGACCAGGCGGCAGAAGTATCTCGACTTTTAAACATCAAACTGACCACAAAGTCATGGGGTGGACAACGCGTCCTCATGTGTGGATTTCCACTAATGCATCTTAACAAATACCTCAAAGTCTTAGTGCAGAACAACAAACGCTTTGTTGCCATCTGCGAGGAATTCGTCCGCGACCGTTCTCTTGGACCCAAGGGAGGCTTCGATAGGCGTGTTACCCGAATTGTTACACCGGGAACACTGATCGACGAACCTTTCTTGAATCCATATGAAAATAACTATTTAATGGCGATAACGTCTGAGGGCGAAACTCGAACCGCTCTTAAAGGGGAAGAACCAACATCACCGCCAATAGGCCTTGCTTGGATAGATGTTTCCACTGGGGACTTCTTCACGCAGCGTACAACATTACAGGCTCTTCGTGACGAGCTGGTTCGCATTGGCCCAAAAGAAGTCGTGCTCGATGAGGATCTCAAGGACAAGCCTGGTCACGAATTCCGGCAAGCACTTGATGAAGAAGGTTTCTTTGTCTCTTACATTGCTCCTCGTCGGGACTCTGAACTTGGTTCGGAACCGGTGGATACAACGAGCGATGATGTTGTATCTCATTTGGAACCCGCTATTGCGCTGAAAACAGCGTTGTTGAGTAGCGCGGAGACCACTGCCGTAAAACTCCTGACGGCTTTCATGCACGCAAACCTCTTGGAATACATGCCTCGTCTAGCTTCACCAAGTAGGGAGTCAAGCACTGGTCGGATGCAGATAGATGCACATACCATCAAAGCTCTTGAGATACGAGAAAGCATGAGGGAAGGCGGGACAACTGGGAGCCTCTTGAGCGTTGTGAAGAAAACAATTACAACGAGCGGCACCCGTCTGCTTGCCCGATGGCTTTGTAAGTAACGTGCTCTTGAAATGTACATCTGCTGAATTCGCAACTAGGCTCTCCAAGTACATCTGTCGTTGAGATCAACACTCGTCAATCGCTTGTGGCACTCTTCAAATCGCGAACGCATCTCCGCGCCGATCTTGTGCAATACCTGAACGACATCGAAGATGCCGCTCGCATTGTACAGAAGTTTCTCTTAGGCCGTGGTGATGCTAGTGACCTATTGGCCATCTGTAACACTATCAATATCTGGACTTCCATACAGAACCGTATTCGCCTGGAACGTGAAATGGAGCAAAGACGTGGTGCCCCATTGGAAAATGACTGGGCAAGCCTTGATGCATTACTTACAAGAGTCTCTGACCTTGGCGACCTGGCACGCACGATTGATCGTGCTCTTGCTCGTCGAGACCAAGATACACGTTCCCCAGTCACCGACGAAGGAGCTGCAGATAGCTCAGGCATAGATGGTTTCGACTCCACTCTTACTGATACCTTGGATGGACCTTCTTCGCCATCTGGCATTCAGGGCAACTGGACTATAAAGCCCGAGTATGCACGAAATATCTCTTGTCCATCTCTGACTGATAGTCAAATAGGTTTTCAGAATACCTCACTAATCTGCATGCAACCTTATCTGACCTCGTGAATCGGAGAGAGAAACTTGAACGGAGGCTTCAGGCTGAATACGGTAACCGTGCTCTCTCGTATAAGTTTTGTTTGCAAGACTAAAACGTATTTCACAGATGCTCCATCGCTGACTCTTAGATCCAGCCCAGCGCAAGGAATGCATGTTCACATTGGCAGGGCCAAGCGCGATCAAACCAAAATTAAAGCAGATCCTCAGTTTATCCAAATATCTGAGAGTGCATCCACCAGCATATTCTTCAACCAAGAATGGTCTCAACTGGGTGCTCAAATCCTGGATACCACAACGGCCATTTATGTCGCCGAGCGGGAGGCCTTCGAAACTTTGCGTAGTGAGGTATGTACATTCGAGAATTGAGTACTTCGTATATACTTATGCCATTTGTAGGTCAATGTACATACTTCTCATCTGCGGAAAAATGCTCGCATCGTGGACGAGCTGGATGTCACACTTGCTTTCGCCAATCTCGCAGAAGAGATGAACTTTGTGAGACCTGTAGTAAGAGAAGAGTAAGTATCCGTGCTCACACGCTGGAGGGATTACACTGATGCAATGTCACAGTACGTCTTATCACGTCGTTAATGGTCGACATCCTACTGTGGAATTAGGCCTGCTTACCTCGGGACGAGTCTTCACGCCAAACACAGTTTCGCTCTCCACGGACGCACCTATTCATATCATCACAGGACCCAATATGGCTGGGAAGTCCACTTTACTCCGCCAAACCGCTCTCATCACCATTCTGGCTCAAACGGGTTCATTCGTCCCTGCAGACTCTGCTGAAATAGGGATCGTTGACCGAGTGTTCTCTCGTGTTGGGGCGAAAGACGATCTCTTTAGAGACAGGAGCACATTCATGGTGGAGATGTTGGAAACGGCAGACATCTTGCGCCGTGCAACGCCAAAGAGCCTGGTAAGTCGGAGATCAGAATCTTCCTGCAGTATTTGGTCTTGCTCACGACTCGTATTAGGTCATTATGGACGAGGTCGGGAGAGGCACTACAGTGGATGATGGTCTTGCCATAGCGTTTAGTGCTATCCATCATCTCCTCAACATGAACGGTTGTCGCGTTCTCTTCGCCACCCACTTTCACGAGTTGGCGGATATGCTCGGCCACTCAGAGGAAGACAAGGGTAGCGGTCTGTTCAGAGCTGTTCGCTTCTACTGTACAGATGTCGATGAGACAGAGGTCCGTCTAGCTTCACAATGTACAAAGTCACCACTAACATTTTTCCTGTACTATAGGACGGTTATTTTGCGTACTCTCACCGGCTTCGACCGGGCGTAAACCGAGACAGTCATGGATTGAAGGTGGCTCAGCTTGCAGGAATGCCTCCTTCTGCCATTGGGATAGCCACAAACGCGATGAACTGGCTGAAAGCTCGTCGCAGCGAAGGGCATGGCGTTCGGAGCAAAGCTGAACTCCGGTCACTGGGCCAAATGCTCGCGGAAACACAACATTCGGATACCCGACAATATATTACCGTACCTTCCATGCTATAGATATTGTGAATGCCTGTATATCTAGGTGTACATCCTGATGAGACTAAGAATAATAGCTCAATTTATTGGATCTGCGACCTGATGTGGTTCAGTGCAGAACCTGCCCGCAACCATTTGAGCTGATCTTTGGACATGGTATGTTTTGTGGGGACCTCGAAAGTCTCACCGTTACGCTTGATGACTTTCAACTTGATGGTGGCGTCTTGGTTGCCGTTAAGCAAATCTGCAAGACCTTCTGTCTCGACGACGTCCCCTGAGTCGATGCGAGAGTAGTCCGACTTGTCGGCGAACCATAAAGGTAGGACGCCTTGTTTCTGATGGGACAACCCATTTAGTGCCATAACTCTGGTGAAGACGGGGAGGGACTCACTTTGAGGTTGGTCTCGTGAATACGAGCAAATGAGCGTGCAATGAGCATAAGGCATCCTAGAAACATTATGAGTACTGCCATTCTGAGAAACATGAAAGGGTACGACTATACCATAGAACCGAGGCTGGAGCGCTGCGTGTTCACGAGCACTACCTTCTCCATAGTTGTCGTCAACAATGAGAGCCCAGGGTTGGTTACGAGCCTTGAAACGTTTCGCGACATTGGGAATGGTATCGGTTTCGGATTGTGAAGCGTCATGGTCGTGATCGAAGGCGACGTTGACATCACCTCCTTCGTCATTCATAGCCTGAAAGAACGATAATTCAGCTGCGAGTTAGGACCATTGGTATCATTGAACTGCATACAGTGATCACTGTATCCAGATGATAAATCAGTCAGAATGTACCCTTTCCTAAGCTAGAAGTGAACGTACGAAGATTCTCCGAGATGTTAGTGAGGTGACCTTTGTACTTGAGCCACGGACCCTAAACCGCCCATCAGTCAAAACACCCAGCAAGCGAATAAGGATAACCTTACAGCAGCAGAGATATGGTCTGTCGTACACTTCCCTCTCACCCTCATCAACACTTTCAAAGAGGGCAGCTCCAAGCCTCTGTCATTCTTCTCACCAAAAGGACTCTCAAATGGCTCCAACAACTCCAACCTCTGCGAATCCGGTTTGACGATAATCTCTGTCTCAGGCTGAGGTTCCGGTGTAGGCCCAGGGTAGAAAGAAGTGCGTCCAGGTGTGAAACCATTGGCAGGGAGGTCTTGACCCGTTGGAGGGGAGAATTTAAAGGATTGGCCATTAGGAAGTGGGATGGAGTCGGTCATGGGGTTGAAGGAGAGTTTTCCGGAGAAGGCCATAGCGGTCACGACAGTAGGTGAGGCGAGGAAGTTCATTGTTTGGCTGTTTCCGTCGTTTCGTGATTTGAAGTTCCGGTTGAATGAGGTCAGGATGGCTAATAGTTCCATTGAGCACTGAATCTTGAAGTAAACTATAGGGAATACTGACCATTCTCTTCACCCTTCTTGTCATCACGTTTCCACTACGTAGTCCCAGAGATCAGTCGTCTCTGGGCATTGCCCATATAAACGGTGCACTCACTTGTCCAATGCATGGTCCACAAGCGTTGGCAAGCACGACAGCACCAACGTCCTGAAGAGCATCCGTCACTTGATCCCGTTCCATAGTTGCTCTAATTTGTTCAGATCCAGGTGTGCACAAGAATGGAACCTTGGCCTTCAAACCAGCAGCTTTGGCTTGACGGGCGAGGTCGGCTACACTAGTCTTTGGAGTGTGATGAGCACGGCTTATCCCAAAAGAAGGCGTCGATGAAATATACCATGTCTTGGTATGAACTGTTTGTGCAAGAGCCAATCAAACCGGCAGAGATCTCATCTTTCCAACCGTTCTCTTCTACCACTGAACCAAATTTGGAGAGCGGGGTGGCAAGATCCGGGGTGAAGGGTCCGTTGATACTAGGTTCCAACTCCGAAAGGTTCTAAAATATCGAGTCAGCAATAGAGCATCCCGAAATAAATCATGAACACTCACGATATCAATAACCTCATCGTATTCCACACCTTCATCAGCTGAGAGGAAACCTTTGGAGGCAGCTTCGTCCGCAGCACGAGCAACTGGTGCGCGTCCAGTAGCCTGAAGATACGCCTGCATACTCGGTGTGTATGGAAAGGTTGATGTGGTTGCTCCGACTTCAGCACCCATGTTCGCGACAGTTGCAAGACCTGGAGGACATGAGTTGGGATGATCTGGGGAGATAAATTAGATTGTGCATACCGGTACAAGACTGATTGAAGACGCCAGGACCAAAGTATTCTAGAATACGACCAGTACCACCCTGATGATACGGTCATAAGCGACGAAAGATCCCGTGAAAATATGGACTAACATACTCGAACTGTCAGTTTACCAGCAAGGTGTAAAATCAAATCCTTCGGTGTCGCCCAGCCATTGAGTTTACCCGTGAGATGAATACCTTTATGATGTTGAGGATCAAGATGAAGAAGAATATGTTTAGTTTGACATACCAACAATTTGAGGTGCCTTGAGTTCCCAAGGTGTGCCCGTCAATGCGTCAACGGCATCTGCACCACCGACACCGATTGCTAGCATGCCCAGACCGCCGGCATTTGGTGTATGTGAGTCTGTCCCTAGCCTTTAAAGAATGGGTGGTGATAATTTGAGGGAATGAATCCAATACTGAACTTACATGAGCATTCCAGGCGCAGCATAGTTCTCGAGCACAATCTGATGGATGATTCCGGATCCTGGTCTCCAGAATTCGATACCGTATTTGCGAGCAGCACTTTCCAAGAAGTCAAAAACCTCTTTATTCGTCACAATAGACCGCTGCGGCGACCATAAGCAGGCAATTGAAGCGGCATAAATACATGTACTCACTTGCAAATCGGATTCAGCTCCCTCAACAGCCTGAATCAAGTGGTCACAGTGGATGCTGGCAGGAACAGCACAACGGTTCATGCCTGCACTCATGAATTGCAGCCTGAGGACGTGACATTAAGGAATACGAACTATTTCGAGATGCTGTAACTCACAGTGCCATTCTACACAAACGACAAGCATTATCAATGAGTGAGTTAGACAATTGATAGTGTGTATACGTACTGTGCGGATGCATCTTGCATTGCAACCCTCTCGGGCTTGAGCTGCAAGTACGTTTGTCCCCTTATAATCTTTCCATCCGACAGAGTTTCTGCTGGGTTGTGGATATGACTGTAGAGAATCTTTTCTGCAAGTGTCAAAGGTCTGCCGCCCAAGATGTTGCGTACAGCGGAGACATTATCGAGGAGTTGCGAATACGGAGGAGTGATAGAGGAGCAGTCCTTCTCGGGTAAAGAAGAACGGGTGGCAAAAGATCTCCTACAGCCAGTGAGGGCCCACCGCTTCGCCGTGGTAGAAAGGACAGGCATGATTGCCTGATACCGGGCCTATACCGACCAGCGAGATAGGAAGAGAGGAAAAGCAATAACGTTCGAAGGTGGTGCGCAAGTCACGAAATTTGCTCACCTCGCCCTCCCATTGGTCCATCCATCTGCGGTGATCGATCGACGACATGCTAACTTGATCTACTAATTACTTCAATCATGAACGCCCGGATCCTAACAATAATTTGGATCTTGCTTTTCGTACTGACAACACCCCAGGGTACATGTGTTATCTACCTATTCATGCGCCATGGCAGCATAATCCACTATTATCTCACGGTCAACGTAAGGATCTGGTAAGAGCGTCAGAATTCCTCGTTTGTTAAGAAGTGGCATCTTCGTGCGCAGCCGATTGCGGGAAGCTACCTGTCCCCGCCCCCCGATATAAATCACCACCTCTTCAAGTCGCCCAAAATGTGTACATATCTCGTCGAGAACACGGAAATTGATTGAAATGTGGTCCAGCGAGTCAGTACTTCTTTCGACTGTTAGCTTGAGTTTCCGCAGAGGTGCACGCGAGGACAAGGCTTGACGGAGGATACGTTCAACCCATTCCCATTGCTGATATGGATCAGACATGTGAAGTGAAAGATCTTCCAAGGCCACATTCTCTGAAATATCAACGACATCTACTAACATAGCGGAAAACTTCAGATCATCTTCAAACATACATAATTAAGAATGACGAGCTCACTATCAATCTGCCAGTTATCTACAGAATATCCAGATCCAACAGGGCCGACACGCAAACGCTTCAAACCCCCACGCATGGACCTCACGAGATCCGGGACAATTGTCACTGACCTGAGAGGAGGGAACTCGATCTTGAGCTTGAAATTGGGATGGAATGCTCTGACAGGAATACACTGAAACCACTCCACAAGGTCCTCCGCCGTGCCAAAGTCATTATCACCGCAGATGCCGCCAAGGTGTAGGTACTCCAGCCGTCTTGTGATGTTAAGGTCTTCATCGGTGAAATCGTCTTCTGTCAAAGTCTCCTCTGCCGCCAACCACGTTATGCCAACGCCCGATAGGTTCAATTTGGAAAGTCGAGGGAACATGATCAAGAAAGGGATGATGCCTCCTTCCGACTTGAGATCGGAGAAACTGACATATTGTAGGCTCATATATGTAACATTCTGCACAAGTCGACGCAGGATCTCCCGGGGTTCCGTGTGATCATCTTGGAGCCATAAATTACACGACACAAAAGTGATTCTGGTAATGTTGTGAAACCGACTGATAACCTGAAAGAGATTCCGAATGGCACGTTCCGGATCATCCAGTCCGCGGATGGCTGCGGTCTCGGTAGAAACCCACTGGTCTATGTCAATTTCTAGGATCTCCAATTCGTGCACATATGAGGCTACTTGTGGGTGGGAGTACATGCTGACATCGAGCCATTTGGCGTTGACGTATGCCACGGCGTGGATGCAGCGTTGGCTAATATTACGCCAAGCCCGGCACACGAGCGAACATGCATTGAGAGCTTTCCGGTCACGTACTTGTTCGATGATCTTGTATTCAATTTCCAACGGGAGTTCAGGGAATGGTTGAGGGATCTGTTTTAAATCGGTTCTAGTCATCATCACCTCCGGCAAAGTTATTGCCTCACTTCAACCTACCTGTTCAATTCGCTCTTCGTCGTCGTTGCTAACACTTTCGTCGTCATTGGTAAAAAGTTCGCCGTAATCATCCGAAATGTCCTTGTCACCGAACTCTTGTGGCGACATATAATCATCAGACATATAGACATCGGATTCGGAGCTACTGGTATAATCTTCGTCATCGTCTAGGTCCATGGCGGTAGTATATCTATATGGCACGGTTAGGATGGTGCCAGGAAACGGCTTAGTCAGAGCAAGACTTGTGCACGGTAGATGATTAGATACCCACCTTCAGGGATGATCGAGCCAATTGGCCTTGTAACTTTCAGTTCACACAGAACACAGAATTCGGAGACGCTATTGATGATGGTACTAACCGAAGAAGGAGGCTTCTTATACACATCTGTGAACAACGGAAAACGCAACGTCTCGATCACGGCTTCGGGACAAGCCTGCTTACAGTGATTATCGATGGATCCCAGAACATGTGCAGAGATAAAAAGCAATTTGCCTTCCCTCAATGAGACCAATGGACATCATACCTTTCAAATTTGCATAAACAACTCTTCAGACTCCGTTGATGGAATGACGTAGGTTCAGAAAATTACCCTAAACATGGATCTACCTCAGCAGAAACGGAACAATATTTAAACACTTCTGAATGTCAGCCATTAGAGGGCTTGGAGAAGAGAACAATGTCTAATCCCGGAGAGGTTAAAAAGCGCAAAGTCTGAAGTTGTCCCAAAGGAGACCCGATTACTATTGCCAAGATACTAGGGTATCCACTCCTCCTGACATCCTCTGAAAGGCCTTCAGTTTCCTAGTGCTCCTGTCAACCGAATATCCCGGCTGGATGCCCCAATCTTGACCCCAATCTTTCCGCTCGGTATCTCCCATCGCTGAGTGATAACGTTCCAAATGGATAGGTCGTAACGAGAGAGCTCCAAGGTGACCGTCTTCGACTGTCCTGGTGTGAGATGCACCGAATCGAAGCCCTTCAGAAGAGAAGGAGGGCTATTTGTGGATGCCGGGAGAGAAAGATACAATTGAGGGACCTGGAAGACCTCAACGACTGGTCACGATCAGATGTAAAGTTAGAGACTCACCTCGTGTCCTGCAACACGCCCATTGTTCCTCAGAGTGAAGCTCACTTTGATAACCTTCTCGTGTAGGCTAAAGCAGCCGTTAGGTACCTTGTTATTGGGAATAACAAGATGCTTACGAAGCATCCAAAGATGAACCAAAGCCGTAGGGGGGTGACGATGGACCAGGTTTTGCAGAACCAGATATCGACAACCCTGAATAAGTGAAGGTGGTGTATGACAAGCCAAAGCCGAATTCAAATCTCGGTGCTATCCCAGCCTGCATCGCATGAATAGTTAGCACAGATACTTGAGTTATACACAAAAGGCGTACGGCGTCGAAATGCCTATAGTCAACGAAAAGGCCTTCGGAATAAGGCATTTGAAGGGTCAGAAGGGAGAACGTATAATCCACTTGAGCTGAATAGTCGTTGACCGACTTTCCAATAGTATAGGGAAGTCTTCCACTGATCCTAGTTAGTGAGACCTGAAATTATAAGATATCCGACTCGTTTCACCTTGGATTGTATGCGCCGTACAGTACATCCGCAAGCGAATTACCTGGATGAGTCTGAATTAATATGCAAGATGTATGTTGCAGAATACTTACCAGTTTCCTGTCCAGGTAAACCACTCCAAACCTACCGAAGTTCATATACGATCTTCAGCAAAAGCAAACGGACTTACCAAGCCTGTAACATTGGGATGGTCAATCCAGGCTTCAACCACGATAGGTCCGACAGTGTTCACCACCACGATGGTATTATTGTTCACACTAGCAACCTTCTTCACTAGATCATCCTATAAGAATCATTGAGCCGTACAATTACTAGTGGAGAAAAGGATGGCAGGCTCACACCACCGTGCCACGCCTGCAGGTTGTTACGGTCTCCGTTATTGCCTTCAATAATGTACGAACCCTCTCCGCTGTCAGCCGTGATGAAGACAAACGCTACATCCTTTCCAATAGCAGCCTTTGCAGCAGCATTCAGATCAGAGTCGCTAAGGGAGGACGAAATAACTGTCCCGTCTGTGGCGGAACGATTACCGATGGCATCTAAAGGCTACAGTGTCAATCGATTAGAAACGAACACGGGTTTGCTTGTAACAGAAGTACAGACGCACCGTGATTAGGTATGGGAAATCTGCAGTTCTGAATACAAGGTGAGATGGGTCAGGAACGAGGATGTAGATATTCACCCGCTGCCCCATCCCATTGCAAGCACGCCTGAATTGCATGTCCGGTCAACACAACTAATAGAAACGCTATGAGAGATATGAAGTCATGTTAAGTAGGGGACGTACTTATTTGGACCTTTCGGATTCGGCCCTGCACCACTCCCTACGCATGCGCATGTGAACGGAGACGCTCATTTATATGTAGTTGAATACCTACCAATAACAGCGACCGATTTTGGACTCTTCAGAGGTAAAACATTCCTGCTATTCTTAAGGAGTACCGTGGATGCTGCACCAATGGTCCGTATGAGGCTATTGGTAGTCAACTTGCTGTAGGTTACCTTCATATTATTGATCGCACCTAGCATGATCGCCCTGAACATCAATATGTTGATTGTCGCCGCTGTTGGCATCCTTCGAGTTGAAGCTGACAGCAGGGTAACCATTATCTTGCCCTAGCAAATACCTATGGACGACATTTCAAACACCAGCACAATGAGAAGTCAATGCTACTGACCATCCGGCCAGAATCCGCGTGGCCATGTCCTGGATGACGTGTGAGAGAGGACTAATGAAGAATGTCAAGATATCCACGTACATCGACGCGAGACTTAGGAACGACGCCTAGGTCAGCGGCTATAACGAGTGATTCGCCAAAGAAGCTATGTGTATATAGGTAAGAGAATCTAGGAAGGAAATGCTAGAAAAATACCTAATGAGGGACCCCGGGAAAATGTCTCCCGGCATAGTCATCTAAAGGAGATATCGGTGCATGTCGGAAACAGTACATTGAGAAGAAGGTTACTAACATCAAGGCCACTGTTCGCCGAAGCTGTAGAATGAGTCGCAACCCAATCTATAAAGATGGTCTTTCAGTTAAGAACACTTTGGAGGAAAGCATGGACGTCTCGTACCGGACATGACATCTATAGGTAAAGACGAGTCAGAGTGTGCAGAGCGGAGAGTATTGACTTCAACTCACAGCCTTTGAAAGCAAGTTCAGTCTTGAGAAGTCCATTCAAAGTACTGTTATTTTCGCACGCAGAGGTTCCATTGACTGTGACAGTCCATTTGAGAGAAGCAGAAACTACCAGCGAAGTGACAGGAATGGTATACCTTGATCTAAAACGAATCAAAGATTATTCAGCCAGTCATGCAGGGGATGTAATGAACATACTGTAGCTGCACATGACCGCGGCAACGTTGGCTTGGATGCTCCTCAAGAACTGCACATCTTCACATCAAAACAGGTACAGAGCGATAAAGTGCACAAATCTGACGTACGGGATGAAGATACACCTCATGTTGCTGGAAAACGTGTGATGAACAAAATTATAGACATTTGCACAGACCTCTCGCGTCACTCACCGTTCTATATGCTCATCAAAACCAGACAACAATCATACGCAAAGAGATGAACACTTACCGATCATCGACGTTGGATGAACTAGTCATGCGAGAATGTTCCTGTTCACTAGGGACACGATGAGAGCCATTCGCGTTTGGATGTGAATATATCGTACTTGTTGATGAAATGTTTTGCTGTAGCTTGAACTCCCTGCGACTGTATACCGGTCGTAGTTTCGAAAGCGCCTTCTCCAGATAGATAGGGATCTGCACCGAAACTAACATGACATTAACTCGACGGACGGTGAAGAATGAAAGCTGAAAACTGACCCCTCCCAAGCTCGGCCAGATGCGGGAGCACGCATAATGTTCCTGTTCCCTGTCATGCCAAGGTGCAATTGACACATTAAAAGAGATTACGCACATCATAGGGCCCAGTTGCACGTGCACCCCTGCAAAAAAAAAGTTTTGTAAGAGATAGAATGTTAACTTACTATATTCAGCGAACCTTTTCCTCTGAACTCTTCACCCATAGCCACACCTCTCTGGCGCATAAGCGTCCGATTGAATCTGAAAAAAAAAAGAGTTCAGAATGGTGCGTTTCCGGCGCCCAAACCGCTAAAGCAACATACGTTGCAGCAGCATTGATACCACTAGACAGTCAAAGTCAACCAAAAGTTAAATTGCAGAGACAGCCCTACTCACGCGGGAAAGGCAGATACTTTGTCTACATTACGAACACCCAAAGCACTGTCTGTATCACCAATATGATGTTTCCAGAATCGTGCATTGATCCATGATAAACTGACCTTCGAGACATAGCCCTGGAAACCCAATATCAGAAATTGCTGGCGTGCTACCAGTGCATTTCCCTTTGAGAATTTATGTAAGCGTTTCAATAAGCCGTCAGGTGGCACGCGAACTAACCAAAGAAGAATCCAACGCCTACGAAGACACGTATTCAGGTCCCGCTTTCGTGAGCATAAATGCAAACACACCAGTCGCCAAGTCTACTTTTTGATGGAGATTAAGCTTCGCAACAGCAGCTTTTGCCTGATGTTCAATAAGGTCAGCTCTGAACGGTAGCCAGCACATTAATACATAGTAAGATGATAGCATACCTTCACATACGCCGCGGACCACTCCGGAGAATCTTCGAAAACATTGTTTAAGCTCAAGCGAAAGGCGGTATTCACTGGATTACTCTATCGCAACAATCAGCTTTAAGCTTCAATGGAATGGAAACACGCCGCTTGACTCACCGCCTTGGCAATTCACGACTGTGCTGACAAAAATTAGGGAGAGCAACGAAAGCAACGTGTTGGCGAACATATCAAGAGTTAATTGGCTCTTGCTGAACAAAAATATGGTCAACAATGGAGGGGTCAGCCAACACACGATCACCAATGCCTCTCAGTGCCGTCTGAATATATAGGGTACCGGCACGGTGCAGATTGTACGGGATTCTACGTCCCGATTTGATGCTGAACGTCAGTCAGGAAGATTCTGTGACAATCTGTTTGAGCTGTCTTTGAGGATGAGCCTGAACGTGACGTTGATGCATGAAGCAAAGAAGTGCGCGCCACATGGTCATCTGGGTAAGGAAACGAAATATCCGCCGCATCGTGTCCACATCAAGCCAACCAAGAAATGGGAAGACACATGGGGAGCATGAAAACGTCTTTGTATCCAGGAACTTCCTCGCATACAACGTTGTCCTGGTGATTCAAACCGAGAATCGAATGAGAAGTTTGTGTATTGTATGTAATCGCCCGAGGCAAGCGACAACCCGAATACCCGGGTGTCTTCACGGCCTGTGATTTCTGCTGCATTGTCTCTAGGGTCCGAGGATATTCCCTGATGACTTGAAGCTGTAGAGATCATTATCACTGTGCATGCACATATGGATCGTCGTCGTGAGTATGTAGTGTGACAAACAAACAGTAAGCGCTGGATGGGAACTTTTTTAGAGTTTGTAACATACATACGCATGGAAGCCATTGAATCATAGTGTAATGGTTGGCAAAATGACCGTACAGAGCAATACAGTATATTCTCATGGAAGCGACTGTCCGGCGATCGCGGGCACGAGCGTTTGTACCAGGAACCTTGCGACAACGAGAGCTATCCACGTAGAAGTTTACGATAGCAGTAGGTGCATTGGTGTATACAATGCGACTGTGGGGTCCGATGAGGTATTATTCTGTTTGGCGTACTAGCGGTTGTAGATGTTGAGGACAGCTCGCTACACTCCAGAGTCTTCTGTTCCCGCCGCATTAATGCCGTTCTGTGTGCGAACGGAGCGTTAGAAAATCGCAGGGTGAGTTCAGGACTTCAATTACATCGGTAATGGAAGGAGGACGGCAGGCCTTGGGTGGTGAGCAGGAAACCAAAATACAATTCGGCGTCGTGTTATGAGCGTTGGACCTTTGGGGATACGCATTAGTCACGAGAGAGAAGTGAACATGGTTCACGTTCATTCATGCCTCCGTCAGCTCGTTCCAAGATTCAGTGAAGTCTTTCGAAGTTCTATTGACGTGACTCTTCAAGTAGTACCCGTGAGTAGTGGCACACTGTGGAAAGGGCTGGGTCTACCATAACTCGTGGATAAAACCGTATATGAAATGTCATTGTCGTACTGAATCTGTCACGACGATGTCATGAGGCCAGATGATAAGCAAGAAGTTCTGCACTGAACGAGGAGGTTGAAGGGTGAAGAAGGCCGTGTGGCTCGGGAATGGCGGAATAAAGTCAAATTCCGGGACAATTGGGGGACCTGAGATTGCTGCGATTCTCGTTCGGCGCCGCAAGAAGAATATATTATCGCCAGAACAAACCATGATGTTAAGAGCCCTGCCGGTGAAGAAGAGCCCCAAAGAAGAAGGCGTATGTAAGATGACGGGAAAGGTTTGTTATAGCCTTCAGGGCCTGTAGATAAGACAAAGACCGCGAGGACCACGAAGACCACTGTTTCTAGGGTTCTCCACTTGCGCGTAGTGAAAAGCGCGAGAGTCACCGAGCAACGCGTCAATCCGCCGCTGGAAATGAACATAGACTCCATGGCTGCCAACTGATGTGAAATTGACAATGAGGAGCTTCTCACCTACTATACCCTTCTAGCTGAATTGTAATGTTTGGGGACGGTGCACGAGAACTTTCGTGTAGTTCGGGAAATATTGTAAGCGAAGTATGCTGGTCGAGACGATCGGCAGTGTAATAGTAGATCCCGACGGGTTTCGCTGCGCCCTATGATATCCATAAAGAACAAGCACGGAGAAAGACAATCAAAATCTCGGAGAATGACCTATAAGAAGTAATTAGTAAGTATGACCGTCACTAGTCGTGAGACGGTCCTGATAAGTGGCCGTAGGTCTGGAGGCGGACGGTTCCAATGATAGAACATATGGAAACTGAGTATGCAGGGCAAAAGCCCACGAAGACCATAACTCGTAGAGACTTTCCGAGATGGGGGAACGTTCCAAGCTAGTGTTATGAAACTCTATCGTTTCACTCGATTGCGCAGGCGATAATGAAAGAGGGCCACTTGGCACGAGTGGGCAGCTCCATGACAGGCATACAGCTGTATGCGGTAAATAGAAAAAAAGGGGGTCGATGTGGCGGATAATTGAACGGCACTCCTGATGCATTGTACGTGTCACTACCCGGCACTATCATACGTGGGCCGGGACCCTATTGGTGGATCAGAGTTATCTCCTTCTGGACAGATTGAGCACCAAGTACGTACCATATAGTGTACTATGAAGCACTTGGGAGTATCCAAGGCTGGCCATCCAGCCGCACCGGTCCCGTGTTGGTTCATATCCCCATTAGAACAGTGGGGCATACTACAAAATCTACCCACTAGGCAAGCGTTTCAGAAAGCCAACGCCGCTCTGAAGCATAACACTTGATCAAAATTGCACCCCGAACAATGGCGGTCGTCAGTAAAAGCGGACTCGGAGGCACGGCAGCGTCACTGTCAGAGCAATGCATGGGCGTCTTTATCGGTGAGTAAAGCATACTGATCGAGACGCGGGTGTGTATATATGAACTGACATATGGTTAGCTGGATCACATATATACTCAGAATCATCCAGGGCTTCTTCCGTGAACCGTGCAAGTCCAAACTTAGGCCCTGACGCCTTCCCCTGCCCTATCTTCCTCTCCCTCACCATGGCATCCCCTCTTTATGCCATTCCACTTGAAATCGCTGAGCAGATACTGATGTTCTCACATCCCAGGGATGTTGCCAGGATATCGCAGACATGCCGCCAATTTCATGTATTGGTCTACAAGGCCGACCAATACTTGTGGCGGGAGCTTTTCCTCTCGTATCCCTTTGACCACCCAAAGCGGTCGTATCGCTTCACAAGCCAGCAGATCAAGGATTTCGATTGGAAGGAAGAACTCCAGCGTAGGGTCAAGGCAGAAATATACATTTCGTCGGGAAAAGAGGGTCCCGAACTACAAGAGTCCCTTCTGACACTCCATTCTGCTGTCGCCACAGCAGCAGATCTTACAGACTCCCACCAGGAGTCCTACAATATTGCTTGGCTCTCCAAGTTATTTCACACTGCCTCGTTCCTCCACAGTTCCACGCTTGAACCGTCATTACGGTCCCTTCGCGCTCAACTGCACTCGTACCTTGCGCTTTCATACGACGAAACCCCATTAGCCCAATCACCGACCCTGCGTGCGCTCCGTCTCCAAAGCCGCTGTTACGTCTATGACTTGCGTAACTACACCCGCAAAACGCTCTGGGGTCCGTTCATCATTGACCCAAATACAAATGAATTGATAGCCAACTGGGAACACATCGACCATATTGTCAATGTCGTTATTTTCAACATACGAAATTTGGAAGACAGCCCTTTCCAAGAAGCGTGTCCAAAGTGGAACCTGGAGATGACTCGTGCTTATTCTGCACCCCGGTCGTCTGAACGAAAGCCGCATGATTGGGCGGGCGCGGAAGGTACTTGGAGACGCTTTATCTCGTTCATGGATTATCGGTACGATCTCTCCTTTTACTCCATTCGTCCTGAGGCTTTGTGGCTGACCCCGATCTTGATCCTCAGTGAGTTGTTCGGTGAGTATTATAACAAATGCTGTTCATGTTTCACAATTTGACGAAATGGCCGTCCGTACCCGCAGCGTTCAATGTCAGTCCCGTCTCCGCGCTCATCCATGACATATTGCATGCAAAGGCTGATCCCATGATCTTTTCCTATTTCACAGTACTCCAGCTTTGGCGACGGTCCGCGGGATCAAGGGTACTTTCAAGACGACACCATTGAAGAAGCCGTCCGCGTTGTCGAGATGCGTTTAAAATTGGTAGACAATCCTACCATAGCACCAGAACCGTTCGATGACCCGGAATACCCCCCGCTCATGTACGAAGGTGTTGCTCGGGGAATGCACAGTGCGAACGCTGACATAAAAGGTGTTGTGAGGAAATATCTAAACGGGACGATCAGGTGGACGTTCTTGATGTTCTATGAAGGTGTCCGGCAATGGAGGTAAGGCTGGATGCGAAAAGGCCCATGGAAATAATGAATAAAAACCTTTTTCTACAGTGCGGAAGGTGTACAAGTGGGTAACGTCTGCAGCGCATCCGGTATAGCGGGAATTTGGACAGGTTCCGAGCACCAAGTCGGTAAGTCATTGAATAAGTGGTCTAATATGTATGAATCATACTAATAATGTCTTTGCTGTAGGTGATCCTGCGGGTAAATATCCAGGATCTTCTCTAGATCTACAGGATGTTTCGCTAACACGAACTGACCAGGTCCCTTTCTCATGTGGAGGGTAGCAGATGCACTGATGTTTAACGAACACAAGGAGTAATCTCACTTTTCCGCCTCTGCGCCGTTCTTCTCCTCACCGCCTCCCCAATGGAACATTGTACCACCACCCTTTCCACAGACTGAATCTGAACTCGATGATGAACGGATGGACTCTTAAATTATTATCTCTCAATCCCTCATGAGCCCGTCAGAACAAAGTTGCAACTCGCTCCATTCCACACTTTCCGTTCATTCCACTCATATATGCTACAGCTACAGTTAGAGTACAAGTACATTATGCCTTCAGTACATTTCATTCTTCTCTTCAGATCATACCTCACGACTGGATACCACTCGCCTTGCCGAAGAATTTGATGACTGTACAGTACAGATCCTCGTACTTGGCTTTATTGTCAGGGTCGTCAAGGTTAGCGCGGGCTGCTGCGAAGCCGTGGAACCTGATATCGGTCAGGTGAGTGGTGTCAAAATGATACAACATCGGAGCTTGAGAGGGATACATACGAGTCAAAATGTTTCCAGTCACTCTTATCAGCGAATGGCTTCTTTTTCAGAATCTGGATGATTTTCTCGTACTGTCAAGGCACGTCGCATGGTGAGTCCAGATTAGATAATGAGAACGTAGATCGTCGCGTGCTGACCTCTTCCTCCGACTCATCATTACTGGGATAGATGCCAAGAGGAACCTTCAACTTTGCAGCATCAGCGGCTGAGAGCATACTGATGATAATTACGCAGTCAGCATGAAAGAATGGCATAAACACAGGCGGGACTTACGCAGGATGGACGATTGAAACGGCGCCGAAGGGAGTGTTGTGTTCACCGCCAGCGAGCATAATAACCTTACCACCTACAAGCGTATCGAGATATCTCTGAGGCCGTCTTCGGAAGAGCGGATTGGTACTGGCACTTACCCCAGCAGAACCCGTAGACTCCAACAAAGTTGACATTATCGTTCTTCAAAGCGCGTCCAAAGTGGATAAGCTTATCCTTATTCGCGGGAGGACTAGCAATGCCTCCGAAGAAATCTTGCAGCTTCCTCTTCTCCGCTGGAGTCTTAGGCGGGAAGTGTTCCGCTGGCCAAGGTTCTCCGTCTTCAAAGAAATCGGGCATTAAAACTTTGACCTTAAGTTGGTCGGCGATTATGTCCGCGCCTTGTTGCGTTTGCGGTTTGAAGCTGGCACGACGTGTTCAGATACAATGGTGTGCTAGGAGTACGTATGTTCCCTCACCCGAAGATATCATAGACACAGACGAGAGCTGTGTCCCCCAGCTCCTGCGGTCCTGTCACGTATACCTACGGACGTTGCTTGAGCTTCGACGGTCCTATGCCCATCCCCTAGCAAGCATCTCACCTTCCTGAAACCTCCATAGGACGTGAAGCTTCCCTTAGGAGTGTAGTCCGACTTGACCGGTGGGATAGTGCAGCAAGCTACGTTAGGATTGTGCACAGTATAGCTAGCAGTCGACATCTTTGCGTGGTTGAGATGGTGGACGAGAGCACGAAGACGGGTGAGCATCTGGAGAAATACAACCCCTGAGGGCAGATAGGTTTATATCTAGATCTGTGGTGGTCCCGTCTGGGCACCATCCCCACTAACTGCCCCCATATTTTGTTTTCCCCTGCAGTTCACATTTCATCATGGACGTCATGGCCAGTCAAGAATATCAGACACTTCGGCATCCCGGCCTTTCGCCTAAGCGCTGCTGATTTGTTTATTTATTGAGGCGCTTCACGAACGTTTCTTCAAATCAAACCCTCACCACAGCTTTGTGTCTTTCGTACCGAGGCAACTCTTTCCATTCATCTCTGTATGGTTTGGGTATCGAGCTTGGAGAGGGGAGAGCATGAAAGAGAACTCAATTAAGCCGGAGCGCTTTCCAGGACCTATCCTTAGGATTGGCATGGAAAGTGCTTGACTATGCGGTTCATACATTTTTTCTTCACATATAACCTGTCTTATGTCTGGCATGTGTTGTACATATGATCAGGATGTAATTGAGATCCACCTGTATGATATTATTACAGTCACCTGGGGATGTTTTGTGTCAGAGTGTAACTACTATCAGTGATTCAGTGACACCGTCATTGAATGTAAGTAACTGTCATCCACAGCGCTGAGCAGATTCATAAATTAGAGAGGCATATACACATCTAAGACCATCCTTCAAAGCGCAGCTCTGGGACAGAAACAGAATAAAATACATAGCCTCCTCAGTATGGGTCTTCTCATGGGTTCCCGTATTGTCCAGACTTCGACATCATGTACTGAGAATCTTCCTCATCCTCCGCCCATCGCTCAGTCATCCCCCTCGTCGAGGAGTAATCCTCCTGTAGAGGTGTCCTAATGCCAACGAATGTGTACACCGAAACGACAATAAATTCTGCGACGATTCCCATGAAAAAGTAGATCTCCCAAGCTCCAGTGGAACTGTTGAATTTGGAAAGACCACCGGCTGAGTTTGGTAACACCGGTGAAAAGGCAGAAAGAACGCTGTAGAGGACGCGCACACCGAGGAAGGGTAGAGCGGTTGAGACGCCGGCAAGTAGCTACGTTGCAACACCAAAAATTAACACAGAAACAAATATAAAACGGATAAGTTTATCTGACCTTGCGTCTGTACTTCATAATCTTGTGCTTCTGAGTCCAGTAGAATCCATGCACGAAAAAGAGTAGAATGTAAAGAACAAGGAATAAGATGGCTCCGACATGTCTTAAGGTTGCGCCCGAGTTGAGCTTTGACTCGTCACCATCAGCGTTGGCGATCTTGGTGCCTCCAACGATTGTCAATGCAAGTGAGGTTCCGCTTAGCATTCCAAATAGATGCAATGCACGAGTTACAGATGGCTCAAATGCGTGCTGTGCACTGAGGAGGACGTCAGGCGTGGGATTCCAGATCAAAGAAGTAATGACGTACACAGTTACTAGAAACCCAATCGTGGCAAGGAGGAGAGGTGATAGACCCGCTCCTTCTAGGATACTAAACACAATTTTGAGTGTGATATTGTTTGGGTCTCCTACTTCCGAAGCTAAATGAATCGATCCACCGACGATACGAACTAGACTGAACGTCAATACTTGAACAATAAGAAAACTCGTGGATTGAACACATACTTATCGACAGAATAACCAAAAAGATCCAGCCAGATGTGCGTGCCAAGCCATGTCGCAGGGTAAGAAACGCACTGGTAGCGAGGATGGGGACGTAAAGAACAATCTCAACGATTGCAATAATGCCTCGAGCGTCGAGTCCCATGACTGAAGTACCTGCGAAAAGATAAAGAATAGAAAGAACGGTGAAGATAAAGAGGGGGCGATTATATGTTCCAAATTGCAACCACGACCTATCGGTATTATATCCATCCTCACGCACTGCCTATCCACACTAAGACAGATATGCATTGTAATGAGGCTCAGTGGTTTCCTTTTAGTCTGTTTCGCGTATCATGAACTAACGCTGGCTGTCAAAATCGCACTGGCAACAGTGAGTATTTTTACCAGCAGTGAGAGACCATCATGTTCACCTCCACAGCTGCATTGACGCAGCACTGCTTCAGTTTCCAAAAATAGCACATACACCCCAAAATAGGCATGCGCAGTGGTTCCGATCAAAAATTTTTCCCTTCCGTATTTCACGGAAAGATTCAGGCTGTGGTCGATTGGTTGCCTGTCCTCCAAAGGTCTTTCACAGCGACTCGCAGATACTATCTCTCCGGCCCCGATAATGAGACTGCCGCGTCGGGTCCCATGGGCCTCCGTCACAGAACTTGACCAAGTATGTTCGTGGATATACGCGGATGAATTCGACCTGGATGCAAAACGACTCGCTATGGAGAGGGTCAGTACTCATTGCACTTTCCCTAGGTGGACTTATCTTAGCCAACAGAAACCAGCTCGCGGGATGGAGAGCAACAACATCGCTTCCTCATGCCATCGAGTCAACGCACGCAATTTTGTCGGCCATCCTCCAGGATTCTGCAGCACAAGGCTCATCATCGTATTTGTCTCTCAGACAAAGCTATGCGGCAGCAATAATACGGCTTGTAAATGGACTGGTTGACCCACTTCAGCTGGGTGCATACGCCAGGTCTATCGGCAGCATAGCAGCCCAGTTAGGTCTGCCTGCATGGCTTGTCGAGCTCCGACACGCTGCAACTCACGAGGATTTGCCTAGTATCGAGCTCCTTCGACAGGCTGCGCATGATGTACGTTGCTTTAGCCATATTCGCTAACTTTTGGACGCAATATGCTGAGACTGCGCTAGATGATGGCTTGGTTACTTAACAATTACTGGCTTCCGACTCTGAATCCGAGTGCGCCATCTACTGTGCCAGCACGTCCTTTGCGTCCACTCGATCCCTTACTAAAGCAATACAAGGACCTTCTCAAAGCCGTAACCAGGGATGCATCCTTGCGTACACATTACCAACCGGAAATCAACAAGGTGGTAAGGGAAATCGAAAGATGGACCTCTGAAGCCAAAGTTGCGGCCAATTTGGCTCTTGGTACTTTCGACTGGGATGTCGGTGATGAAAGTTTGGATCTTGACCAAGAAGACGTAAGAGAGAAGTGGGCCCTGGACCGACTGTGCGATGTGTTGCTGGCAAAAGGCATATTGGTGCCGCAATCCAAAAAGTATGGTTTTCTTATCATGATCGCCATGGTTTTCCCTCGTGTTCAGATAAAGTCTGACACCATTTTTGCAATCACATAGAAAACGAGTGACCTCAGCTTCTATGCTAGACCGTACACCGTCAAACTTACTCATATGGAAGCCTCTCCTGGAACACATTCACTCATTACACCCCAATTTCTCCTCTATCCTTATTTCGAGGATAGTCGCCACTCTGTTGACCGATACAGATGCCTCAAAAGGATTCATTGACAGCGAGGCGATCATTAGTTTGCAGGATGACCGAAAACGTGATCTCTCGTATGACCTGTGCCTAGCTAGTTGGGCTTATTGGCTGACTGAGACCTACGTGACGGAGCACGAGGACACTGCGGCGGAACTCAAAAGGGAGGATGTTCTCATTGCGCTCATTTCTGGGTTAGGGCCGAATAGAAGGGAAGATGCCAGTCCCGATACCGACAAAGCGTATGTTCCTTCCTCTTATCAGTATGGACAATTGTACTGAGTTATACTTCTGGTCGGCCTCGTAGAGCACAACTCCTTCTCAAGGCCCTTTGTGCAGACAAGCCGGAAATACAGGAAGCTATATCTATACTTCTCACTACAAAACCAACAGGGCAAGGGGTACGTAAAGTGAAACATTCATTCGGCCTACGTCCCTCCTTCCGCACGATCTCCATCAGGACTTACTTTTCTTTTGCGTTTCCATTCTATTACGCGTCTAGACAATCCGCTCACCAATTTATTCTATCCCCTTTCAGACCTGGGATGAATCCGATCTGGATGCGATGACCGAGCGGCTGGAAAAGCTGATCTCCTCCGGTGGATCACGTACACCTCAATCCCAAGAAATCGATATGGCCGTCGATGCATCAGTTGTCTCCGAATTTCTTCCTGGAACCGAGAAGGGCGGGATTGAGTTACCCCTTGGTTGGCGATTGTTGGACGAGACACGGTGGAAGCCTGCGCCAATTGGCATATTTGTTGCCGCTGAATAAACCGGAAACCGGCCGATGTATATTGTCTTCAATAGCAATCTTCACATCGCAGAATGCTGAGTCACCGAATCTCATTATGCAACTGTGGACCGTGGTATCTAGCAATACGGGTATGAGTGCGTGTAACCTAACCAAGCAAAAGCATCAAGCTCCCGGTATAATGATGACTCGATACATAAAGCAAACGTAGAAATACCACTAAGTGTCCTGAACTGTCCCGTCATAGCTATCGTAAAATCTATCACTAATTAGTAGTCCGGAGGGTTTTGTTGGGTAATGGTCCTGTGAACCTTCTTTCCTGCAGTGGTGCCCTTGTGCCTGTTGGTCTTCTGACTTCGGGATATCGAGGTGGAAGTTCTACAATCTCTGTCCCATCTTCCGCGTAGACTGTAACGGGTGCTCGACCACCATCATGATGAACAACGTATACATGTGACGGCGGACGTCCACCAACGGGTGACGACGGTGGATATGACATATCACCTGGTGAGGCAACAGATTGTGGAGGGGGTACAATGGGTACAGGGGAAGACGTAGAGGGTACAGGAGATTGCGAAGGCATTGGTTCTGATTGTGATCTCGGATGGAATGATGATTGGCCTGTTGTAGGTCGAGAACTCGAAGAGCCCCACGAGCCCGTCGTACCAACTGCGCCGTCTGTCGCCACACGGCGAGCACCGAACTCATGATCGGGCGACATCCTGAAGGGTTCGATTTGATAATTACTTTCTCGGAATATTCTATGGATCGGGTCTGTGAGGGTGGGAGTGGAACGATGAGACCGGTCGTCCGCATACTGATTTCTCGAGCTCGAGCGCGCGGGCGCTGTAGGTAGGTCTGTATAATCGCCTCGAGATAACATGGGTATGAGTGGAGAGGAAGACGACAATCTCTGCACGGCAATAGGTCGCTTTCGCTGCCGCCCTCGGTACCAGGAAAAACAGAATGGGGCTAAAAGACCGATCACAACACCAGAGACTAGGCCGCCTATGCCGGTCCCAATAGCAGTCAAGGATGTCACAGACTTCTTGGGAGAGCTAAAATGGCGGAAATAAGACAAGCCAAACAGACATACTGCAGACAAACCTAGAGCCAATCACAGACAGGCAGTCCGTGGGACCATTACCACCGCTATGCAAAGGTCCATAAGACCATGCCAATCCAGCGGAATCTACCATAGAAATGAAGAACGGCATGCCATATGACTGCCTTCGATATGAGTTTAAGTTTAATCAGACAATTCGATAACTTACCAATGAGACCGTCCAGTTGAATGTATCGTAGTTGGGAAGACTCACGTTGAAAGGAGGGTGTAGTGCAGGGGCGACCTACTGGAACATCAGTTTTCTAAACACATATAGAGACTGGAATGGGTAGACGCACAGTGAATATATAAGGAGGTGTACCATTCAATGGGGTAACAGAAAGATCTGTACACTGCACAACGCCGATCAGCTTACATATATAGCTTGCGCAGTTCTACAGTAGTTATCTACCTGATCAACCCAGCCATATTGAGATAACGGTCCGTTTGATACCGCCGCCACCACACCTAAAGAGGTCTGTGGCATCGGAACATCATGACAGGTCGGGGGATCATCCGAGTCAAGCGTGACATTGCGTGAGGGATACACTGTATAAATGGCTTGACAGCCACCGGTCACCCCATTGATGTCATACTGTGTTTAAAGTTCACTCCACGATGGACGAGAGAAGAACATGCATTCTCACCATGCATATTAGATACTGAGTACCAGGCCCAAACGGTACAAGCCAATCCTAGTCGATAGTGTGAGTGCGTGCGAAGAGGCCTAGTGGTTGGACGCACGAATTCCAGTATTGTGTCACCTCCAGCTGGAACCACTAGGGGAACAGTTGACGTCCTAAACGCGAGTCACGTTGGTCTCAAACGAATTTACGAGCTACAAATATGAACTCACGATGCGTAAACTTGAAGAAAATATGGCGAAATAGAACTGGGCCTGAACGCCATATCGCAACAGATCGTGAGGAGAGCTATCCATAAATTTTCCCATGAGGATCCACGTACCCTGTCGCAAACCCTCGCTCCCATTTGATCGAGATGGTCTCGCACTGTGCTAGAAGGCGAATTCATGATCAGCTTTGGAGATTTGGGAAATGTAGTGATGGAATTACACCTGTGGTAGGTATGGGCACGCGTAGACCATCAGGTGTCCAATCAAAGAAGAAACCCTACATGCGTAGAGATTAGTACCTAACTTCGATCTTAACTGTTCTGTCCACCATATTTGGCGCTAGTATTTCAAACGCACCTGTTTCAACGCAGCCACCACCTCACCAGATACTCCCCCAAAGAGACATGGCAGAACAAGAACACCTGCCCAAAGAGGTGCGAACAGGAGCGGGAAGAAATCTGCTTTTATTAATGCATGGATGGTCATTCCGAGCCGGTTGAACGTTGTAAACGGCGTCGAAGATGCAGAGTGGGTGAAAGGACACGCTAGATTCAAGCAGCCCAGTCTTGATCAAGTCCTCGACCAGGCGATACAGAGTTCAAGGGTACCCCGAGTGCGGAGAGGGTGAATGAGGTCCTGGTTAGAAAGCAAGCATCGCAACCAGGGTCCAGAGTCTCGTCCATTCTCAATCTTAATCTCAGGAAAATGCAAAGACGCCCGCAGTCATATTCACCGTCTTAGCAACGCATCCGTGTGAATTCGAAGGACATATATCAGCATGAGACATGGGACGGCCGAGACTCCTAAGAAGTAAGTACAGCACAACACTACGTTTCTACAGTCTACAGGTATCATTGTGTTTGGGGGATATGTACCGACGTGCCAGACGAAAGGGTATTCATACAAGGGTTCAGCAACCATTGGCTTCAAATTTGACTGCTATCTTCTTGTCTTCTCTCTTTTCTCTGTTCAGGACTCCACCTGGGTTTGCATGGTCTCCGTGGAGTCCGTGAAGGACCTCCGGGTCTCTCGTCTCGCGATTGGTTTGCCTGGGGTGTATATGTACGAGTCCCTCCATAGCCGCGTCGCGGTGCGGGTATGACTGCCATGGGTAACTGTGCCAAAATCGCAAGCTGAGTATTATTCTTCTGGTTATCTTTCGGAGGCTTGGGTTCTGGAGGGGGTCCTGGGTCATAGTTGGGGTTGTGCGGATGCCAGAGACGCCCTTGTTGATTTGGCAGTGATGGTTCGTACAGATAACCGTACAAAAAGTCGAAGGTATAATACACCTGTAGTGGTGTTGGATTCATCCCCGGAAGTCGGCGATTGAGTTCGGAACATATCATGAAACCTGCGTGACAATCATTGGCGGCATCTAGTTTAAGTATCAGTAATTGTTCATATATCACATGTAATACGAATAAAGTAGAACGTACACTCAATTTGCTCACTGCTCAGTTTAAGGGTCCAGTTGCTGCGCTGCACGCGACCTTTGTTCAAAGTGTAATCAAAGTACACTTCGCACAATCGTGCAAGCCCTATGCTTGACTTGTAACTTCCTTTCCAGTGAGCGTTGTCCACAGTTCGCGCGAGCAGGGATAGGTCGACAACGTTGCGGCAGTTGACCTGGTAATCGGCCCAGAGATGTCGACAATCGTCTACAATGAAATGAGATATACAAATAAGTCAGTAGAGATGAGTCTGAGTTACCTTGAGTGCTGACGCCTGCCTTGATGACATTCGGATCCTGCAGAAGGTCTCTGAGCGCCTGGGGGAATACTGTCATATGAATCGAGGATCAGCACGACGAAGGGCCTAGGACAGAAACTGTTACCTCTCATGGCACTGATTTGAATAAGAGCAATTGTATTCGCATCTGCCAGCTGGACCAGAGCAACTGGATTGCGAGGTGCTCCCTTCACAAATGTCGGTTTCCATTCAAGATCAAAGCCCAGGACAGACCCGGTCAGTTGCGAAATAGCATGATCTGCAGCGACCGGATCCCGGGCATAGAAGATGGGTGATTGAGGGGAAAAGATACTCCATGAGTATAACTTGAACTGTTTCTGTGGCTTCTGTGGCTGTGACTTCTCCGCAGCTTGTGGTATTTGGATGAGTGCGGTTGAGGTTGCAACAGAGGGAATTAACTCGGTACACGATGAAGGTTGGAAGGCACTGAGGGACATGGCAAGTATACTGCCGTACAAAGAGGGACTGGTGAGAATTCTTTGCGCTTGGAGACGTTCAAGGCGCAAAATCTGGCGTCGAAAGTTGGCAGTATGGAGTATGATCGACTGCCAAGTCAACCCTTGACAAATGTGACCTAGATCTGCGCAAAAAGGTGTGGTAGAAGATACCGTCGATAGGCGACGAGCTCATGCGAAAGAATTCAAGCTATGGTTCCTGTAAAGCTGCTGTAGACTCGATTCAAATACAGTGCAACTCTACAGGTCGGAACCGCAAGGTCGAGGCCTCGAGGTTTCCGCTCGATCTTCGCTTCTTCTTCGAACTCAGCGAAACTGACACGGCAACACGATCGGCAATCACGTGAGTCGTGTCGCGTACTTATGCTCGCGTCTCTGACCGCGACACGTCCAAAACCTTCAAATCGCTTGCTGATTGCTGACTACCAGGCTGACTTCCACATACCGTCGTGCATCCGTACAGTTTAATTTATCCAGGAACTACCATGCCAAAATCTCCCAAGAAGGGCAAATGGTACGCTGTAAGACACGGTAGAGAAGGAGCAAAGATATACGACAATTGGGGGGAGGTGATTATTCCCCTACATATTTTCTTTTGCTCCCGGATGCTAACTCATATGCCAGGCAGAAATAAATGTAGGGTAAACTGTTATCGTATGTCTGGCGTCGACCCTAACATTGTCGGCAGATCACTCGCTTTCCAGGAGCAGTTCACAAATCATTCAGAAGCCTCAAGGATGCAGAGGATTGGCTCACTTCCCGTTCTATGAGCATCAAAAAAGGTAAACGCAGACCTACCTCCGCAGATAAATTCTCTTCAACCTTTCTCCCTACAGAGCCGAAAGAACCCTCCCCCGAGATTCAGGAGCTGCCCGGACCACCAATGCCCGGACCATCTAAGCCGAGGAATCCAACACCTGCTACGATGAATGGCGTTCATCCGCAACCTGCACCTCAGCCCGCAGTTGGTCTGAATGCCCCACAACCGTCACAGGTACAACTCTCTCCAGAACAAAGACATGTCCTCGAAATGGTGAAGCGCGGAAAGAGTGTGTTCTTCACCGGTTCCGCTGGTACCGGCAAATCTGTGCTTTTGCGCGAAATCATCAAGTTCTGCCGCAATAGTAATGATTATGGTGACTGGGGACGACTGTCAATCACTGCCTCAACAGGTATTGCGTCGGTCAACATAGGCGGATCGACGTTGCATTCTTGGGCTGGAATTGGATTAGGGAAAGAGTCTAAGGAGAAGCTGGTGTACAAACTGCTTGGATACAAGAAGGAGGAACGCGAGCAAGAGGAAAAGGAGAATCCAGATGCGCCCAAACGCACGGATGATATGAATTCAGGTTTTGCTGTTGATCGGTGGCGGACAACGCGCACATTGATTATTGACGAAAGTAAGGTCAATCGGTAGGTTCAGCACCCATATGATACTAAATTCATGGCTCCTAGTATCTATGATTGATGGTCACTTGTTCGACAAGTTGGTAAGTGGTTTCCTTTGCTTTGCTGCAGTCGAGCTTATAAACTTTCAGGAATACGTTGCACGAGCTGTCCGGAAGAATAGCGCACCCTTCGGTGGTATACAAGTACGTTTGCTTTCGTTCGTATGAACGTGCCCTAGTCTCATGAACGATCTTGTAGCTTGTCCTCTCAGGTGATTTCTTGCAACTTCCTCCGGTACCAGAGCAAGTAAATGGTGCTCCCGTACCACCAAGTTTCGCTTTTGAGGCGGAATCATGGGAGCAATGTGTTGGTAGACCTGTATTCCTTACGAAGGTCTTCCGACAAAAAGATCAAAGTTAGTCAACGGTTCTCTCAGTTGTTACTGTTTAACTAATGTGCAACAGCTTTCGTTGACATCCTGAACTCGATGCGTTTTGGACATTTAGAAGCTGTTACCGTACAGAAGTTCAGGCAACTTTCTCGGACAGTACGCTACAATGATGGGATTGAACCGACCGACCTGTAAGTTCGGTATTTGCACCGTCGTACGCTTCCTCACTAAGGCTTGTAAAGCTTTCCTACCCGTAGGGAGGTTGAGATGTGCAACCACAACCGTCTGAAGAGCATTAACTCCACTCCACATGAGTACAAGGCCACAGACCGCCCAGGACGTGATGAGAAGGGTAATGACATCTCATTGGAAAAGATGAATAGGCTTTTGGAGCGTTTAGTAGCTCCGAAGACAATCACCTTGAAAGTAAGCACAGTTGCTACGTGTCTTAGATGTATGTGACTAGCTCGAAAGGCAGGTCGGCGCGCAGGTTATGCTGATCAAGGTGACAATGCCCCATTCTCTTTTGGTACTGTTCTCATCAGTCACCTTTCTCCAGAACATGATACAAGGGAAACTTGTGAACGGATCTGTCGGGAAAGTAGTTGACTTCATCACACCTCTCGAGGCCGCCCAACGGGGTACCAAGTTTGCTATATCTGAAAGCAATTGTTCCGGCATGCCTCCAATGGGTAGGGAGGTCAAGATGGAAAAATGGCCCGTTGTTCAATTCCAGAGCGGGGACGTTCTTCTGTGCATCCCTGACACATTTGAGGTGAACAATCCAGAAGGAGAGATAGAGGCTATGCGGTGTCAGGTAACTTCACTCTTGGTTGTGGTAACAGTTTCTGGGCTAACATGTTATTCCAAGGTTCCATTAATCCTTGCATGGGCACTGAGTATTCACAAGTCGCAAGGTCAAACTCTTGATCGTGTTCGGGTGAATCTTGGAAGGATCTTTGAAAAAGGTCAAGGTGAGGGACATGTCTTTTCTGTGGCGTTCTCTGTTCACATCTCTTTTTCAGCTTACGTAGCGTTGTCCCGAGCAACCTCAATGGAACGGCTACAAGTTCTCAACTTCGATGCTGCAAAGTACGTATTCATTCCAAGAGCAAGGGTATTCAGGACTTATTGATCGTTTGCAGAGTTATGGCTCATCCTCGCGTGATGGCGTGGATGAAAGAACAAACCGGCCAGCAAGCAAGAGACCAAATTGATGAAGACATCGAATTCTGGTCCGAAGATATCGACATTCTGTAATACCCTCATGCTCCGCATCGCCGTCCTTTTGTTCGCCACCTTGAACTGTCGCTTTGCTGTCTCACCATACTTGCATTGTCGCATCATTTTGTATTCTTGCACTACGTTAACGTTTTCATTTGGATAGATTGCACATCTTGTGTTCCCTTTAATTGGCATTTATTTGATCAGGTCCGACCAGTAGGGTCAGCATCATGCAATGTAGAAGGCTCATATAAAGAGGTGATAAGGTCTTGGAAACCAGCAAGCTATAATACTTACGCATTTGCTACGAATGCTGCACGCGTTGTGATGATTTATTTGTACAGTTGGTTCAGCCATAAGCGCGTTCTGGTCCACGAGGCTTGTCCCATATGCAACGCACGCAAGCTTCATGCACTCATGGCTGCCAAGCGAGGTAAGCCAATACAATCAATACAGTACCTTGTACAATTAAAAAATTTAAGACGCTTTGATGGTATGTTGATAGAGCCAGACCTATCTCAGGCTAGAATACAGGAACTGTCGGGCCCATCCACTGCCTGCATATCGGCGAATTATGATCCTGCCCCGGGTCCACAGAAAATAGACCGCATACCTTCACAAATCGAACCACCGCCATTGGTAGATATGAATGCCCGGCATCAGGGGAGCGTGCGACTGTCCCCAGACCAATGGCGTGTTCTCGACATGGTCAAAGACGGGAAGAATGTTTTCTTTACTGGATCGGCTGGGACTGGAAAATCTGTACTGCTTCGACAAATTATCAAATTCTGTGGCAAATCGGCAGAACGCGATAAGAGTTGGGGTGGCGTTGCAATTACAGCTTCTACAGGAATAGCTGCGATCAATATCGGGGGGTGCACATTACATTCATGGGCTGGTATTGGACTGGGCAAAGGTCCTCTCAATGTGCTTCTTCGTAAAGTGTTTGCTAGTGGTCGTAATAATGAAGAGGAGGACGGCGCAGAAGACAGCGATTCATATGAATCAAAGCCCAGGAAGCAGTCCGCTCTCGAACGTTGGAGGACCACGCGAGTATTGATCATTGACGAAAGTAGGCTCTGTACTTGATATATGGTGTCCAAAAACCCTCAACGCCTTTCCCAGTCTCTATGATTGATGGGAGTCTTTTTGACAAACTAGTGAGCGTGGACGCTTTTTCGCACCCACTCCACTCAGCCGGATCCACTGCAGGAGAGTATCGCTCAAATAGTCCGCAAGAATCCCGCGCCGTTTGGTGGTATACAGGTAGGCCCATGCGAATACGGAGCACGTTACCGATAGCAAAGATGATTCTTGTAGCTCGTTTTATCGGGGGACTTTTTGCAGCTGCCTCCAGTTCCAGACCGAAGAAATGGAGCCTCTGTACCTTCAACTTTCGCATTTGAAGCTACATCATGGGAGAGTTGCGTCGGAAAGCCACTCCATTTAAGGAAAGTCTTCCGACAGCGGGACCAGAGTGAGTACATGACAAGCTTCATCGCTGCCGGCGTTGACACCCATTTTACAGCCTTTGTGGATATTCTCAATGCCATGCGCCATGGAGATGTTTCGCCGAAAGCTGTTGCGACCTTCAATCGACTGTCACGCCCCGTCCATTACGATGATGGCATTGAGCCCACTGACTTGTATGTATGATCTTTCAGCTCATTATTTCGCACGCTCAGTCAACCTCAGATACCCCACGAGACTGGAAGCTGACAGAACCAACCATGCTCGTTTGAGGGCTATTAAGTCCACTCCCTACGAGTACAGAGCGCAAGACATGCCCGGACGTGACGAGCATGGTCAACCCATACCCGCAGAAAAGATGGAGAAGCTACTTACACGATTGATAGCTCCACAGACTATCATATTAAAGGTACACAAAAGTGACCCCTTGTGAGTTTTGCTGACTCGTACGTAGCTCGGGGCGCAAGTCATGTTGATCAAGGTAGGCGCGCATTCTACGGCGTTGTGTATGATTATTTTTATTATTATTGGACCGGCTCGTACAGAACGTGGTTCAGGGACAATTTGTGAATGGTTCTGTGGGACAAATAGTGGACTTCATCACACCCTTCGAAGCGAAGCAAAGAGGAACGAGAGTTGCACTGACTGAAAACCACCGGTCAGACCGCGACGTTGGTCGGTTCAGAGGGCAGAATAGAAATTCAGATGGTCCTCCGGAAATCCCAATCCCGCCGACCTTGTTCCAGAGCGCTCGCCGTTGGCCCCTTGTTCAGTTCCAAAATGGCCATACAATGCTATGCATCCCAGATATATTTGAGGTGAATAACGCAAACGGGCATATCGAGGCCGTCCGAAGACAGGTGAGTTTTTCTTTCGAATGCAAGTCTCCGACCAACGATCCCCACCAGGTTCCACTCATCCTTGCATGGGCTCTCAGCATCCACAAGTCTCAAGGTCAAACACTCGAACGTGTGCGTGTGAAGCTAGAACGAATTTTCGAATATGGACAAGGCGAGCAAACCTATATTCGCCTCGAAAGACCCACCATGACATCTAGTTTTCAGCGTACGTAGCCCTATCTCGAGCAACGGCTATGGAAAGATTGGAAATCCAGAACTTTGATCCTGCAAAGTATGTGTGATAGCACTTGTTCAAGTTGTCAAGATTTATCAGATGCATTTGTAGGGTCAGAGCCCATCCCCTTGTCATAGAATGGATGAAATTCCAGGAAAGCGGACCGGCCAAGGACGAGGTTGCTGAAGACATAGAATTCTGGTCCGAAGACGTTGACTTCTTTTGAACTTCCTCATATACCAGGTACTTTCGAACAATGATTTTACTTCCACTCTTCATCCCATCATTTCGCTATCTGGACACGTATACCTGCATTGTCTTGACATAGTGCCATCTTGCTTTCTAAGATTTTTTGTTACACCTTGCTTTCCATTGTTTTCATAGTTCATCGATATCTGTAAACCGTTGATTGTACAGTGTACACAGCATCCATGCAGTAGTTAAATAACTAGAGTAGACAGGTTGAACAACACATAGGAAAACAAGGTATCTAGAAAACACAACAGCGAATCTATAACTAACACTACTATGACTTACATATGCCCAAAACAACGATGTCAAATCGTAAACCACGAAAACATGAACCTTACGGAACTACGGCGTTGCACCGTCGTCACTGTCAAAAGAAATCAAGAGAAATCAATAGAAACCTCCCTGTCAACGAGTGCTACCAGAACTCGGCTTCCGAGAATGACTGCCTCCATCGACAGTCGGTGTGCTGGGCCTCGCCGATGTTGCTGCTACTGACCTTGATGGACTCCGTCTGGGTGGGAGGGGAGGGGTGCCATTAGCCGGTTGCTTACTCTCGAGTTGTGTGGGTGAAGTCGATTTAGCGCTTTGAGCGCTCTCAAAAGTCGAGGAAGACGATGGTGGCGAAATGGGCTCAGGCTCTGGCTCATCCTCTTCCTCTTCTGTCACAGGAATAGACGTTGTTGGTGGACTTTCCGATTGGTCAAAAGTCCCAAGGGAGTTTCCGGCAGAAGCTAAAGTGGGTGCATATGAAGAGTTAGGTGTCGAATTGAAAGTGTCTCTATCTGACCAAGGAGAAGGTAAAGGCAAGGCGGTAGGCGCGCGACGATGAAGACTTCTTGATGGTGAGGGTGGCACAGACGCATTCTGAGAAGGCGGGGAAGACACCGGCGTTGGCGGCTGTACCGATGGAGTTGCTGTTGCCGAAGGTTGTGCAAAAGGAATGTTCTCATCGAAGTGTGAAGATGATTTGGAGGCTGGCGGGAGGGACTGTCTCAATGGTAAAGCAGACATCGGACCAGATCGCAATGACGGATGTATGCTGTTTGTTGGTCGGGGAGGCAATTGAGGTGTGAAGTCTTCTGGAGACGGTGAGGACGGTTGTTGCTCTTGCTGTTGTTGCTGCTGCTGCTGCTGTTGTACACGTGGCGGAAGGGGAGGCACAACGAATTCTGGTTGCTTCCGCGGTGAAGGAGAGCGCGGCGGTAGCGGAGGTGGCACTTGGGCGACCTTCGTATGCGAGGAACCATATGTGGGCGCCGGGGCTGGCTCACCCAACGGAGCTGATGGTAGTGGTGGAGATTGATTGGACTGGAACAGAATGGAAGCATGAGTGATAAGATCTTCCATGAGCGTGTCCTGCAAGCAACATCGTCAATGACGATCTCAACTGGAATACTACGCGTCAGTTTACCTTCCATGACTGCACACTCATGAGATCTCCACTCTTCGGCAGGTCATCTTCGCCAAAAATAACACTTCCAAACACGATCGCCAGATTCTTCGGATCCATCTTGTTCTTCTCACTCCGGGCGGCAACACGAGCAAGATGTTCGACGATAGCCTTCAGCGTTGCTTGATGAACGGGAGGCAATCTACGGATCTTCGATCGAAGCAGTTGGAAATCGTTTGAGATGTGCTCCTCTACAACGTAACCATGATTGTGAGTCATCTTCAATTGACTCTTTAAATGTGAGATGAATAACGTACCAAGGTCACCTGTGTGTTGTATACGATCTTGTAAGGGGAACTTGAAAACGGGCTCAGGTAGTCCACGAAGATAAAGCTGCAGAAGTTGATCAGGCAACGTCATCTGTTGCGATCGAAGAAGTGTTCACCTTCAGCAAAGAAGCTACTGCGTAAACGTCATCATGAGGTGCGTGAAACTGGAAGGCCATTTCATTGCGTTCAATTTTGTGTTGAAGCTTCATGAACATGTAAGCACTGTCGCATGTTAAATAAGAAAATACAATAAACATACCTCTTGAACAGCAGCATGACGTCCCGAGACCTGCATACAGATAAAGTCAGCCATGCAGCCAGTCAAACGCTCTTAAGCATCATGAACACACCCGATAGATCCCCTCCGCGTCCATGCCCCTCTCCTCAATCTCATTTATACAAATCTTCACAATCTTCGGCACCTCTCCTTCCTGTAATCCCCTACTGGTCGCATAATCTACCAAAGTAACGCCAAAGATCAAATCCCGACATTCTCCTACAGTGTAGTTGTAGTAATATTGAGGTTTGGGTGAAGCGCCGGCGAGGAGTTGAGGGATATGCAAAGAGACAACGGAGGCATCACGTTCAGGGTTTATGCGATCGATGAACAGGGCTATGCGGGAACACATTTGGACTTGAGAAGTTGCGGTGGCACTGGGAAGCGGTGTAATCAGTTATAGGGTAGAATGAACTAGAACAAAAAAAAAGTACAGGAGCGTGTCCATGTAGATTCGCAGTACAGATTTGAGCGCAGACGATGCGTCTCGCATGAACGATTCCAAACTCTGTGAACCGAACAAATGAATACATGAACATTCGACGAAGACGGAAAGCACCTACATGGTAACCGCTTTCTAGGATCTTCACTCTCCGAAGTCGGAGAGTTTCAAGCCAGTGCACGCCTTTACGGTATTCCTTGTCTGCCACAAAATGAATGACATGTGCATCACGCCAGAAACAAGAGCATAGCTTACCAGCTTCATCGGCCTCGCGTTTCGCACGGACAGATCGTAGAGCATTATCTGAACGCCCTGCAAGAGTCTCCTTCATGTTCCCTTTGTCAAGGAAAGTCATAAGCTGGTTCAGTTGCTTCTTTCCTTAATGCCAACGGAGCATGAGTCAGTGCTTTAGAATGTTGAAAGGTCAGATGTACAGACCTTGATGCGCCAGGTCATGGAATGCTGTGGAAGATGACGGAGAGCGATTCCGAGTAGTCGCCACACTGCCAGACGCCCTTCGCTCAAGCGGTCGCAGAGGCTGTGGTGAAGTCACAACTGGCCGAGTTAGTCCAGACTTGGGTGAAGTAGAATTATTCTGGTGGTGATCAGCTGAAAGGGTTGGAGATAATGGCGCTCGCTCAGCTGCAGCTGCAGCTTTGTAGTCCTTAGTCAATGTTAGACACATCGCAGCAGCCATAAGTTGTTCAAAATTTTCACCTCGACGTCTTGTGACTTCTTCAGGTAAGTGCGCTTTAGCTTCGGATAGACGTTCTCGACATAGTCCGTATGTGCGGTGATAGCGTCCTTGAGATCATCACGGATCCGTTTGCGAATCCGTTCTTGAGTTTCCTGAACAAATATCGCATTGGAGCAATGAGGATATGAACAACGAAAACCGCACCTTCAGAGAGGTCAAAGGGTTGATAACATCCGCCGTGAGCGCTGAGACAAACGCTTCACGACCTTGGAGCTCTAAACATAGTAAACTACTCAGCGTGACCCTGAGTGTGGCGAAAGGATATATGCGTACCTGAAGCAACATTGTCTCTTACTTCCGCCCATACATTACGTGATGTGCTAGGTTCACTTCGATCATCCAAATAACTGTCTATTGTTGAAGCTTTATTATGGAGCTTCTTTAGTGAATCGATGCTAGGTGCAAACAATTAGACTGTGTGAGATTAACATGCGGTTGCGCCACATACTATGTCTCCTCAATCTTCCTCCTACGGATTGGAGCACTATTGAGATATCGAACATCTTAAAGAGCCATGGTGCGCACCGTTCTTGGAAGAAGCTGAGATATGAGTCTGAAAGCAGCCTCAGCTGGTTGTCGAAGAGCGGAATAGGACCATTTGGAGGCTCAGAGGTGGAAGGACGAGCAGACGGAGGTATTTCTGAGGAAGTAGACATGGAAGCAGGAACCAAACATGTAAGATCCTGCAACTTGAAACTTGCTCAACCACTCTCACAACCCGGCATACAGACCCCGCCCACCGGCCACTAAAAAGGTCCCTTCAATCAGAGCACGTGATCACTATCGCTATATTGCTGGTGGCTGAGGTCCGTACTTTCCTCAGTGCTTGGCAAAGCAAATGGGTGAGAAACGTGTTTGCGGAGAAGGCAGAATGTAGAACCTCAGTAACTTTTCACGCGTGAATAGAAACTCAAAATTCTTGCTCTGAGCATATTGAAGAACTCCCTTCCAAGTCGATCGTTTTGGACCCGACTTCGAGTCCTTGAAGCGTTCCTGAATCCCAGTGCAGTTCCATGTGGGTGCGTAATTTCTCGGTGATCGAAAAGTCACAGACGTGTAGGCGCCGAAACATATACCACATAGGCTCGGTGCCGCCACAATCGTCAGTCCCTTCTCTCTCGACCTCCCCCGATTCCTCCAGTATCTGGCTCTTATCTCCTTCCAGTAGCAGCAGGCATATCTTGACTGAACTGGGGAGGTCTTTCTGCTTCGATTTTGAGTCAATCCAGGATGTGGTCGTTGTCCTGGATGCCTCAAGCTATCGGTTCGACTTGGACGCCCGCCTTGTTCCAAGGTACATTGGGTTCTCAGGTCGTTTTGGGGTCCGATGCGTTTTATTCCTATGCATATAACGAAGATAATGAACCTTCGAGGTTGGTCTTAAAAACTTGTTTAACCCTTCGAGCAGTTGACAAACCCTTAGTTCCGGAAGTATATTTTTGGACACACTATTCATCCCGGTTTATGCTGCCGGCATTTCAATACTGTGGTCCGCCACACGTCTTGTTGTCTCTCAGATACGTTCAAGAGTTAGCTCTGCAAAGCCACGCGATGGTGCCGACCTGCAGGGCGAGGAGTCGCTGTCAGAGTCGACACATGTCCAGCAACATGGCGGCATCGTCATCTTCCTTTACAGAGTTGCGCGCCTGGTAGCATGCCTGGCATTGTTCGGTTTGAGTATCTTCTCGCTGGTTCATAGTGTAGCCTGGCACGATGAGACACATCATCTCATGCACTCTGCATTGCTTCATCTCGCGTTATGCGCGGTTTATGTAAGTCCGCTTTAATCCCCAAACACTATTGATACTCATCGTAACCAGGCATACGTTTCTCTCTTGGCCATCCTCTCAATCGCATGCAAGCCAACTGTAGCTCGATCTGCTATCAGGCACCTGTGCTCGATCCTGCTAGTCGTCTTTGCTGTTTTCTTCTACCGCGATATGTGGCCTCTCTGCACAACACATCTTCGTCCTGTCGACGATGGAGAAGGTGTTGCATTGTGGATTCACCTTGGCGTTCTCACCTTTGCTGCCGCGATTGTACCCTTAATGATCCCTCGGCAGTACATTCCCGTCGATCCCAAGGTACGTCTTCACTGTTGCTTATTGTCGTTGGATGTTAACGGTACACCAAGAATCCCGCATCTGAACCCAATCCCGAGCAAACAGCTTCCATATTCTCACTCATGATATATACCTTCCTCGATCACACGATATTCACCGCATATAAGATGCCCCACTTGCCATTGGATAAGCTCCCACCTCTGGCCGATTATGATTCTACCAAGCACCTTGTAGAAAAGAGTTTCCGGGTAAACACACAAACTTTCATGTTGTAATAACATTCTAAAGAGAGTTGCATGTTATTTAGTATCTAGATCCGTTCATGCAACCTAAGAAACAACATCTTTTCTTTGGTTTCATGAAGCTGTTCCGTCAGTACACTTCCATCTTCTCTGTGACAAGCAATACATGATCTTATGACTCTGCAGGCGTTGATTACTACATCCTTGCCCTGATGCTCATTCTGCGGGTTAGTGCAATAGTTCCTTGTCGTCATTCGGCGCTCAGTATCTTTCTACAGGTCATCACAACGTTTGCAAGCCCTATTGGCATAAATCGGCTCTTAGCGTAAGTGCAATGTACGTCGTCACTGTATATGGCTTAATGCCTCTGGTTTTAGATATCTTGAAAAGGGCGGAGAGGATATGACCGTCCGGCCGTTTGTTTGGATTATATGGCTCCTCGTCGGACCTGCATTGGGATCTGTCGCCGTCCAGTGGTATATCTTTATAGCGGTAAGGATTCCTCCAACTTTGACCTATTGTCGGGAACTCAACAATTCGCCGTTTAGACCAGAGTGATGGTTCGCGCGCAAGCCATTATCACCCAACTCGTATTTGACCATGCCCTCCGTATTCGCGTGAAAGCCGAAGTCACCGACTACGCTCCCGCATCTAGCAAAACATCCACTGCTGCCACAACACCTGATACAGCGTCTCTCGCAGAGTCAACTCCAGATCGTCAAGGCAGTCCGGTTTCTTCTGCAGGCGACAGCGAGAATGAGACCGCCGGATCGGAACACAGCACCGTAGCCGCGAGTAAAGCAAAAGCAAGAGAACAAGGTCTATCATCGGATATCTCAGCAAGCAGTTCAAGTACGAAGGTCCCCGAAAAGTCTGCTGATGGAAGTTCGCAAAGTGGAAACCTTGTCGGGAAGATGACGAATTTGGTCACCACGGATTTGACCAACATCGTCGAGGGACGGGATTTCTTGTTTACTGGTAATTGATCATGATTCTGTCACTCAACCGGGCTGTTCTGATACACAAATATCATTCCTAGTCTTGTATATTCCGTTCCAGATGTGCCTTTGCGCTTGGTTTCTCTATGTCATCCTAGGTTGGAGGTTAGTATCTGGTTTGACTGGTTTAACGTCCTGCTGAACATGCTATCTTCTTAGCGCATGGGTCGGAATGGGCGCGACGCTTCTTTTATTCCCATTCCCAGGCTTCATCGCAAGTCGCATCCAGAAGGTGCAAGTGGAGAAGATGAAGCATGTAAGTTATTTCTGAGATTCTGCCTCAGCAATCCTTATACACGACTGAACGCGACTGATTCATAGACTGATGCTCGAGTTCAAACAGTGACCGAGAGTACGTTTTGTGGCAGTTCTTGACACTCAGTGTGGCTAATCATTCATGATTCAGCTATGAATGTCATTCGTATGATTAAGCTCTTCGGCTGGGAGCCCAGGATGGATGAACAACTCGCCGAGAAGCGTGAAGAGGAATTGCGATTCCTGCGAAAACTCAAGTTTTTGGAGTTGGCTAATGGATGCACAAAGTATGTCCCATGCCTCACCTAGTATTGAAGCAGAATAACTGAGATGTTGTCTACAGCTTCATGATCCCTTGTGTTACTATGGTGGCAACATATGCTACCTTCGTACGTTTTCTGCATTCATGGATGTGCTTGTAGGCTTATGTCATTGTAGACGATGATCGCGAAAGAACAACTGACAGGTATATATCCTCTTTCATTTACATATGCATGTGCTTACGTTCATGCAGCATCCATTGTGTTTTCGTCCATGGTCGGTGAGTCTTGACTTGTGTTCATTCAACTTTCATATTGGTGTGTTAACACTTGGTTCAGTATTTGATATCCTGCGAGAGAATCTACATACGATCTTCGGCATGATTCCCATGCTCATCCAAGGTTCGTGAAAGGTCTTTTCATTCTTGTTTGTCCGGCATCTGAACATGGCTTGTGAGTAGCCAAGGTCTCTCTTGATCGTGCTAACGACTTCCTTTACGAGGTACGTGTCATTCAGTTAGCCTGCAGATTTCATCCTCAGAATGTATGCACGCGTAGACCGAGCTTCTTGATGGATTCACCGAGAAAGCCAATCCTGACTTCTCCCCAAGTATGTTTATTCGCCCAGATATTGATCCAGAGATCATCGGCTTCCGTGAGGCCTCCTTCACCTGGAGTAGCTCAAACGACGGAACTGTTACACCTGGACCGAGTCGTCGAAACTTTGTATTACGTATCGAAGATGAGCTGACGTTCGAGCGTGAACACATCAATCTCGTTGTCGGTCCAACTGGATCGGGAAAGACTTCGCTCCTCATGGCGCTGTTGGGTGAAATGCATTACATTCCGATGGGACCGAACTCGTTTTACAATCTTCCCAGGCATCGTGGTATTGCGTATGCGACACAGGAGTCTTGGGTATTGAATGAAACGATCCGAGTACGTTCTCCTCGCAGTCTTTAGAGTTGCCATGATTCACGTGGACAATAGGACAACATTCTTTTCGGTGCGCCCTATGACGAGGAGCGATACAACAAAGTCATCTACCAGTGTGGCTTGAAACGGGACATGACTTTATTCGAAGCTGGCGACAAGACTGAAGTTGGCGAGAAGGGTCTTACTCTCAGGCAAGTAATATCAGGCTTCTAGTTCCTTCAATCCAGCTAAGGTTGTTTCATGTAGTGGCGGGCAGAAGGTGATTCATCCTGAGAATCGGTATGGTGAATTTTCGCTAACAATTGTTTAGGCACGTATCACCTTGGCACGTGCTGTGTATTCCTTCGCGCAACTTCTCTTGTTGGATGATGTAAGTTGCTTGATGTTGTGAAGTACGATTCTTTTTCGAAATTAATGACCATGCCGCAGGTTCTCGCCGCACTAGACGTACACACCGCTAAATGGATTGTAGACAAGTGCTTCAAAGGTGATCTGCTCCGAGGGCGAACTGTCTTGCTGGTAGTATGTGGCCGCTCGATTTCAGCCATTGCCTGGAGTATTCACCTCATCTCCATAGACGCACAACATTGCTCTAGCTGGCCCGATTGCAGACTTCGTGGTGTCGCTTGGCCCGGACGGGCGCATTCTCAGTCAAGGTAGCCTTTCCAGGGCGCTCGCGAAAAACAAGAAACTTGCAGTAGAAATGATGGAAGAAACTGATGAGCTCAAGAAGCACGAAACTGAGATCGATTACGAAGTGCCCGACGCCTTCCCCTCGAAGTCTGACGGCAAGCTCATTGTAGCCGAAGAGATTGCTGAAGGACATGTTGGCTGGTCTGCCCGTAAGTTGCTTTTACCTTGTATCGTGATATCAAGACTAAAATCGTTCGCGTGTGCAGTCAAGCTCTACTTTGCCAATATGGGTGGAAAGCATAGTCTTTGGTTCTGGACGTTGTTCCTCGGTGGAATGATTATCACTCCTATGATAGAGTCTTTCCAGACCTGGTATCTCGGATATTGGGCTCATCAATACGACGTCGATCCAGAAGATGTCTCGCCCTCCTAGTACGTCCTACCCATTTCATTCATTTCTTCCCTAGCCTCATGAAGTCACGCTACAGCTTCTTGGGTGTATATATCTTCCAACTCGTGCTGGCCAACGTCTTCTATCTCACTGGTGCAGCAGTTTACATATTTGGTTGCCTTAGAGCATCAAGGTCCATCCACAGGACATTGACCACATCAGTGCTTAGTACGACGCTGAGGTAGGTCAATCCGTTCACATCACGTGAGTATATGCTGAATAAATCCCAGGTGGTTGGATATCACTCCAACTTCTCGAGTCATCACCCGGTGCACTCAAGACATTGCTGCGGGTATGTTCTTAAGATTTATGCGTTTGCATCATATTCTGAAGTGTATCACGATGCAGTTGACGGACCAATTGCCCAATACTTCGGTTTCATTATCGAGCTTTCATCATTCTTGGTCGTTCGATTTGTCGCCGTCATCATCATTACTCCCATCTTCGGCGTTCCTGGGTTGCTCATCGCTGCTTTGGGTGTATGGCTTGGACAAATCTACATGAAAGCGCAGTTAGCTGTTAAACGCGAGATGAGCAACGCCCGTGCACCCGTTCTAGGTCACTTTGGAGCAGCTATGGCCGGTTTGAGTACGTGTCACTGATACCAATTGCATCCAAAGTTTCACTCACAAGCATCTTAGCTTCAATTCGAGCATATGGTGCACAAGAAGCATTCCGAGGACAATCTTTCCTGCGCATTGACCGATACTCAAGGGCCGCTCGCACCTTCTATAATTTGAACAGGTATGTCTTGTGCGACGCTATAAATACAACGTACTAATAACTGGTTCAGATGGATTTGTGTGCGTATCGAGACCCTTGGTGGGATTTATCAAGCTGCGCTTGCTACATATCTGGTGTACTTTGGTTCCGTTAATGCTTCCAATGTCGGTTTCTCGCTGGCCATGGCAGGTGTGTTATCTTTTGGTAGCCGTGATTGTAAACTCTGTCTCATTACATGACAGTCGGATTTAGCAGCACGATTCTGTGGTGGATCCGCCTGATCAACGACTTCGAGATCGCAGGTAAGACTGAGATTCCGTCCCCGCTAAATAACTTGATACTTATGTGGGTTTTGTAGGAAACAGTTTGGAACGTATTCAGCAATACATCGACATCGAGCAAGAACCAAAACCCACGAAGAGTGGTGTACCCCCAGCATACTGGCCAGCTAGCGGCAACCTCAACGTTGAGGCATTGTCTGCTCGTTACTCATTGACCGGTCCCAAAGTATTGCATGATATCAGTTTCCAAGTGAATTCAGGCGAGCGCGTTGGTGTCGGTATGTACAAATACCTTCTCTCTCTAAAGGTTATTGTCTCATTGTAGTACACAGTTGGCCGGACCGGAAGTGGGAAGAGCTCTTTGACCCTTTCACTGCTCCGCTGTATCTTCACTGAGGGCAAGGTCTACTATGACGGTCTTGCTACAGATACACTTAACTTGGATGCACTCCGTTCGAACATCACTATCATTCCACAAGTAGTGAGTCTTCCCTTTCTCTCGATATGTCTCTTTGTTTCTGATCACAGTTTGTATAGCCTGAACTCCTTAGTGGAACCCTCCGACAAAATCTAGATCCCTTCTCGGAACACGACGACGCGACTCTCAACGACGCGCTCCGCGCTGCTGGTCTTTTCTCCCTTCAGAGTGAAGACGACGAAGGTCGTATCACGTTGGATAGTCCGATTTCTAGTGGTGGTGGAAACCTGTCGGTCGGTCAACGCCAGATTCTCGCTTTGGCGAGAGCGATCGTGAGGAGGAGTAAGCTGTTGATCTTGGATGAAGGTATGTCTCTTCAGTCAACTAGAATTCATGGTCAACGCTGATGCTTATTCGGCATCTAATCTAGCTACGTCCGCAATCGGTCAGTAGTTATGTGTGCCTCGGATTGAAAGACTGAGGGCTAATCATTGGATTTGGCTTAGATTATGAGACCGACACGGTCATTCAGACATCTTTGCGGAAGGAGCTCGACAAAGACGTTACATTGTTGACCATCGCGCATCGTCTACAAACTATAATGGATGCAGATAAGATTGTAATTGTCATCCTTATCTATTCTTGCTTGACTGTGACTGACAATTTGTTTCGTTGTAGATGGTTTTGGATGCAGGCAAGATTGTGAGTTTCCGTCTGTCCGTTTCTAACAAACAAAATGTTGATGAATTGTCAGGTCGAGTTCGGCAAGCCTAGCGAGTTATTACAAAAAGACGATGGTATTCTCCGAGGTCTAGTAGACGAAAGTGGAGATAGGGCCACTCTGTATGCCATGGCCGCAGAGGCACAGTCATCTGACTCTTCACGATGAGTATTTTACGACTAACACGCATAGACGTTTGGGCTGCGTTCGACTCAGGATACACAATAATGACATAGCTTCCAGCTGGATACCTACTGTAATTCCCAATTTGGAACATCGCGAAGCAATGTATTGTTCGAGACAACTATAGAGCACGATCATCATGTACGTCATATACTCAAGCGAAAGCACAACTGGAAATATCAAACTAGGGACGGCGAGATAGTCTGAGGTCCTCGCATAACAATAGGTGAGATCGGAGCATAACCAAAAGTCTGAATATATAGAGCAGCATAGAGCAACCAATCAAGCAATGTCCTAGGATGGCGGAGCGTATTTGTCGAGTTTCTTGCGAAGAGGATGGTCGACGCGTATTCCACACGTCCTAAGCACGATAGCCAACTCTCCTGCTACCCTTCGTCTCTCCTCCACATCCCCCCCTTCCCCTTCCAATAAATCTTTAACTGCACGCGCCAGTCTCCCTCTCGGCATCTGAGGTCCTGCACCATTACTCGTCGGAATTTTCTTCTTTTTGCCTTTCTTGGTTTTCGGCACAGCCAATAGAGGATCTATACACTCGATCCTGAACCGTCGATATCCCAATGCGACGAGGGGAACAACTCTATCGGGAGGACTGGCAGCCTCAGCATAGCCTTCTGTCTGCGTTAGCAGTTCCGACGAGCCTCCTTCTTTGAACCCCCACTTCTTCAATTCCTCCACCCTACGTTCCCGGAGTTTCTGTTGGATCTTCTCGCGGGTGTCATCTTCTTGTATGATCTTCGCAACGGCATCGAAGACGTCTGCGAGGCGTAACCAGCCTCTGTCTTCGTCTACTGCCCGTTTGACATAGTGACGATTGACGTAGTTGAGAAGACGGTTGACAGATTGAACGCCAGCAGAATAGCGATTGAAACAGGGGACGAGATAGTATACGAGAGAGGCATCGTCGTGAGGCGTACCAAGGAATATCTCACGTGCGGTATCGGCATAGTACCCATCTAGTTTCTCGTATAAATCTGTACCACTTGCTTTGCCTTTGTCTGCACGAGAGATGGCAGAACCGAATGAAATATCTCGAACGGCTCCTGGGACTGCAGACTCGGACTGCGAGGTAAAGTAGTTGTAAACGGCAGTGTGGATGCCCATGTGGTAGGCAACGTCAATGGGAGGTGCCTTTAAGGTGTTGTTCGTAGGAGAACGAACGATATGGTCTAGCGCAGGTTGAAGGTAACTCCAGAGAGCAGTCAAGGATGCAGCAGGGTTTGCGCTGCCTGTAGCGGGGTTCGGGAGAGGTGGACCATGAGGGTGTACTGTGGACGACGAGCTTGCGGTTGTAGGGGAAGAAGAGGCCTTGGAAGCGTCGCCGTTAGTGGCGGGTTGAGACTGAGAGGAAGCGGTAGTTTGCTTTGATTTTTTGTTCTTGGCCATGGATGAGGTGGCTTGCTGGAATCCTTCTTGCCCAAACTTCGCCGGACCCAAATCTTTGCCTGGGCGCTTGCTCACGATCGTGTCGATCAAAGCCCTGTGTGCAAGTTCCACTCCGTGAGTCTATGCAATGGCCACGGGCTCACGACGTAGGCCGCTCTCAGCTCGACTATCGGAAAGCGGCAGACTATCCGTAACATTTAGTGTAACTCCAATATGGGCTTCTCAAGGCTGCTTTCTTCACGTTCGAAGGACACCGTGCACATGTCGGCTCACACCGTAGGTCGCCTGCGGGGTCGACCTTTGGAAGGCGCATGTCTCATTGAACTGCACAAATACAAAATTTTTCATTCAACCCAAAATTCATCGAAACCTTTCCGCAGGTCTTGGGATGAATTGGAGCACTACAAAGTTGATCCATTCCGTCGACATTCAAAAAAGTGCCTGTCTGCCCGGAGTTCACATCCTGACCCGTAGCATTTGTTAGATTACTGATTTCCTTGGAACATGCTAACGGATCGTTGAAGCACAAGACAGAGTTGTATGCCGGGGCAGGGACTCTGCTGGGTCAAAATGTGTTCCATTCACAACATCACGTCGACCTGCCTTCCTTGAAAGCTCGATGTTCTATGGCCCGACTATAGACAGGTTCTTTCAAGTTGGCGCCATTGTCCCCGGTGAAGTCGGTGAGCATGTTTCCTATGAGTACTTGCAGTCATCTAGCACTCAATGTAATACTTGAACTTATCGTCCTGAAGGTCAACACTATTCAAAGAATATGATGTGTGGATTAGTAAACGGGCGGAGCTAGGGAAAACATTATATATCAGGTGTCAGGACGATAGAATAGAATAAAAACCGGACTGATCGTCAAAAATGTGCAGCTAAGTATCCTTCTCGCATCTGAGCTGGAGGCGTCGAGATCGGCAGTTGGAATATAGGTGTAGCGCAATTAGGACCTAACTGAGTTTGAAAAAACATAAACATGTGCAAACAGACATAACCTTTCTAGGTAGGTGACCTACTAAATTCGGCGGTCACATGCTGCATCAAAAATGGCTGTCGAGCAAGAGAAATTGACCTCTATCATATATCCTATGTTGTGACTTCTGTTTGATACTCATATATACATCAAACAATTATGGTCTGTCTAGGATAGCAAATAGAAAGGTCATTTCCTCATTTTCTTATGAAAATTTGCCCAAAACACATTTTTGGCAGGGAGTTGATATGTATTCACAGAGATTTGGGCCTTCTGTATGCTAGGTGCTTCTGGTGAATGTCCAGAAGACTGATTAAGATAAGGGAAAAGCTCCAAAACTTAGGTTTGAGGCTGACCAAATAAAACAGTGGCTATCTGTGCATGCCAATGCATAGCCAATATCCGGCGCGCGCAGCGCCGCCCCTCAGGGTTTCAGCACCCATATTCTTTCATAAATGCATTGCTTGAATGCAATTGTCAATGAGAAGCACCATGCATAGTCTGTCTTGTAGATCAGTTATTCTCTCAAGTGTCACTCAAGAGCGTGCTTTCTGGAACTCAAATGTTTAATTTTCTGTTCAACTTTGGCGCGCGCAGCGCCGCTCCAAAATCTATATGCATGTTGAGGCACCATTCTCAATGCTCTCAGGACAATTCAAGGTTGGTTGAAGCTGAGGTAGGTCAATCAGCCTCAGATTTCCCCATTTCTCTCCTCTGCACAATAATTAATTTAATTAATTTCCGGCCAGCCACTACACCTATATTCCAACTGCCGAACAATCAACCTCAGTCAACAAGTTTCAATGCAAAGTCGGCCATCACCGAAATCCCCACTGGTGTCCGAAGATGGGTCAGAAAGAATGAGCCGCCAAGACGACTTTGCGGACGACTTTGCTCACATCTTCTTTCTGTCACAGGATCATCGGTCGATAACGACATAGTGCATACATACAATCCTATCGTGCGCAGGTTGCGCAGTCATACATGAGGATGCTCCACTTTCAGGGCGAGCCGCTCTAAAGTTGTAAAGATCCTGCCCGGAGTTCATTTTGACTTGCAATCCCCGCTCTACCGCCTACCGCCTCGTCTTAACGCGCACATTCGGGGGTAACTTCTAACAAAACCATCTCCAAGCAATCCCTCCTGACTCCTCCATAGCGCCAAACAGTGAGAACGCGCGCCAGTGTTTACCCCTGATTATCGAAATCCGCTCACACCGAATCAATATCGGAAGACAATGAGGTCAAATTGAATATGAATGGTACAAAGATAGGAACGGGGAATGTATACAGATTGTCCCGGAATGAGGTAAGAAGGTTGATTAGAGTAGGAGCGGGTGGCACATGTACATACTAATACAGATGGCAGGGGTAATGTTGTGAGAGTACAGTACTAGAATGAGACATGAATGCATGACACATATGATTGCACGATTGCATGATGCAGCAGGAACGAGGAGTAAGCAGCTAAGAAAATCCGGATGTGGTATGTGCAGAACATTGATTGTGTCAGATGAGAGTTCATGAAGAGGTTGAGTCCGGGGAAAACGTGGACGAAGATGGAAATGAGAAGATGATAAATAGATGTGGTCGTGCGGGAGGGCAGGAATGCATATCACCACCGCCCATTCCTCGCAGTCATGAGTTGGTAATCCGTTACCGCTCCCCAAGTCGAGACGCTGACAGACACGAGTCAACATGCGGCCGGGAACAATCACTCTTATATAGACGTACCCGAAGACGAGACGGACACCGTCCTATGTCGACTCACAGTACGCACCAATCCCGACATCCCATTCATGGCCTTCCTCCGCAATGTTTCCTTATCCTCACCAACTGATCGTCCGGTAAGCTTTCGCCACAGACGCCTTGGTGGGAACGATGAGGGTGGTAGGGGCGAATTTGATGTCGACATGGCTAGAATGGATGAGGGACAGGGTGGAGAGGCAGCCAGATGGTTTGAAGGCGCACGAGCTATCGGTACGTCAAGAGGCTTGCTTGCTGACTCTGAAGTGGATGACGGCGCAAGAGTTAGGGAGGGTGAGACAATTTCGACCGCTCCACTACTTTCTAGTTTGAGAGGTCCTTTCAACGCCGGATCAACATTATCTGCTTGTTTAAAACTGGGTGTCTCTGGGCCATCTAATTTGCCAGCCACGCCATCTTCCGAATCAGACACAGAGCTCTCGACTTGGGACTCGTTACCAGACTCCTCATTATCGTCGACCCAAGAAACAGAGCTTAAGTGTGAACCAGACCCGCAGTGAGGGCGGGGAGCGTGTTGTGAGGTGGTTTGGCGCGTTCTCATTCGTTGAGCATACGCCGCAGCACCCTCTTCACACTCTCCATCCTTACTCGGCACCTGGTCTCTCCGCATAACTTCTGCGTCCGCTTCACCTTCCGGGGACACCTCATCATCTAGCTCAGTAACGCTTTCCGAGGCTAAGTTGACAGGTCGGTGGGCATGGTGACCGACGGACGTGGTAGGACTTTGACTGAAGTCCCAACTCTCCATGGTCGCGTGAGTCATTATAGATGGTTGTTTCCGACGTTCTTGACGTTGGGTTAGTGGAGGGAGGTCTTTGAGGATCGTGCCGACTAGGTAGCCTTTCTTTTTGGCGCCTCTGAAGAAAGACATTTGGAGAAGATCTTCGGCAGAGGGACGCTTACTGGGATCCTTGTTCAGACATTGGTCAACAATATCTGCGAACGCGCGAGAATATTTGTATGGTCCGTCCTCGCGATCTAACTTCGGTGGAGAGTCCTGAACGATATGCAATAGCACGCTGTGAGGTGATTCTCGCGAACGAGGGGCGCGGCCTTGTGTGAGCTCAAGCGCTGTGATGCCAAACGACCATATATCGGCAGATGCGTCGTACTGCTTTCCGTTGATGACTTCAGGCGCCATCCAACACGGAGTGCCAACAAATGATTTCCTCTTACCAAGCATCCGAGGTCGGTGTCCGTGGTGAGAGTGCGAATGACGAGGAACGACAGACGTAGATTCAGTGGAACGGTAATTGACCACACGTTTCTGTGAGTGGATGGCGTTAAAGGGCGGAGTTGTTGTTGGTATACTTATGGGATCTTCGTTCTCCCAAAGAAATGCGGCGACCCCGAGGTCACCAAGTAGAACGGTACCGTCATCGTCAACGAGCAAGTTGGCAGCTTTAACATCGCGATGAATGAGGCCATTTATGTGAAGGTAGCTGACATATACAGATCAATACGGAACAACGACAAGGGTGTGAAACAGGCTAACTTCAGTCCTTCCAATGCCTGCTTGAGAATACATCTCACGACCTCTTCTTCCATGCCTCCTGGCCAGCCATACCGCATGACATCGGCAGCGCTACCAGCACGCATAAGCCTCAGCGCGATATAAAGCTTGTGGGTCTCGGTCCATGTTCCGCGAACGCGAAGAACGTTCGGATGCTTAGAAAGTGACATTAGCTGCGTTTCACGTTGTATGAGACGCAGCGAGTGAGGGGGAAGGCGGTCGAGATCGAGGACCTTAAGTGCACATGGTATGGAATTAGGTGCGCCAGGTGGTTGGAATACAGCAGTATAGACCACAGAGGATGCGCCGAATCCAACGGGTGGACCGATGGTATAGTCTGATGCATTATTACTGTAGAGTTGCCATTCGTCCCGGACGGCACCGATGAATTCCCTAGAAGAGCGATCAGTGTTCGTTACCGTCGAAGGCATTGTGAGTTCATTGAGAAGATGAAAGAATAGAAGATGAGCGTGGCTGGCGGAAGAGTACCCGGACAGCAGGCTAGAAATGGTAATTGAAAGTAAAACGCCGATGTTGACGTTGGTGTCTCAGCGCTCCGAAGCTGTTCATTGATCAAGTTCGCGAAGCTGTCATGGATCTCGATACCATTATGTACAGAACGTGGTCACAACGGGCCTACACATGTTGCCCCCTATCGTCCCTTCAATACCCAACAATACTTACCCCTCTCCATTCCACTACATTGATAGCCCCTATACCTCGAGTAGCCTAGACGTGTTCGATCCCGAACGGCGAAAACACAAAGGTATGGAGAAACAACCATTGGACAGGAGATACGGCCGAGGAGTAGTGGCCGGATATGACCGACAAGCGAGCGTGCATGTGAATAATGATGATTATGCTTATCTTTGTGACGTGTCACGGTCTAATCAAGGTGATTTCATTGGCAGCTACGTGATGGCGTGACGGCACGATAGCAGGACGGAATGGCGGACAGCGGTGATTTGGCTTCGTCTCTCTCAGCAGCCTCGTCCCCGGCTCGCTTTTCATTCTCTTTTCCAGCTTTCTATGGCACCCCCTCAGCCTTGTGCTAAATATCAATACGTTGTCACCGCTGCTGGCCCTAAAATCGTCCCAGTTCCTGATGCCCACTCTAAGGACGAGGAGTCTCCCGCCGACTACAACACTGGCGGTTATCTCCCAGTCAAGGTTAAAGATACATTCAAGGATGGAAGATACATTGTCCTCAGGAAACTGGGGTAGGCTTGTTTCACCTTCTATCCTGTTGATAACAACCATCTGACCGGGTTTCCCTCTTTTCCCTTATTTTCTCATCACAATCTCATCTCACACGACTAGATGGGGGCATTTCTCCACAGTATGGCTCATCAAGGATACCTTGTACGTACTCGTTTTCTTTCACGTCTTTTCTTCTTCCTAGCGGCGGCCATGTCGTGTTTTTTTTTGTTTGCTGTGGTAATCTTCGTCGCCACTTTGCATCTGTGGCCTTATCAATCGTCAATTCTATCGCTAGCATAAACAGTGGATCAACCATGCGCTGTCTTTTGCAAAAGTCATAAAGGCCCTTACATACGTCTGGAGAGCTATGCCAATCATGCGGGACAGTCCGCACCCATTCCTTGAAATACTCTCTGTTCTGGGTCCGAATGCTGTCCTCCCTTACATGACTCTTGGCCTTTCTATGTCTCTAAATCGTGACTCCTGTGCTTCATTTCTGGATATTCTCTGGCCGTTTGCTGCCCATGCCTCCCTGGACAGCTGTCAGCCAGAGTGACCAACGTAAATATTTGTTATGGTGTGATTGCCATGGTCGCATAGCCGAGGTGGTTCTTTGCTGTCCGCCATTTGGACCTCGCTGAAGTGTGGGAGCGTGCTGACCCGATGTTTCCAATAGCACCAAACGGCATTCCGCTCTCAAGGTAGTCAAATCCGCCGGTCGGTATGCTGAAACTGCTCGCGATGAAATCAAGCTCTTGCGCAAAGTCATGGATGCGAATCCAGAGCACAGAGGTCGTGATCATATTGTGTCTTTCCTCGACTCTTTCCAGCATTGCGCACCAGAAAATATTCACGTCTGCCTTGTCTTCGAGCCTCTGGGCGAGAACCTCCTTGCGCTCATTGACCGGCATAAAGCCACCGGTGTCCCCGTGGGCCTTGTGAAGGTGATCACCAAGCAGATGCTTCTCGGTCTCCAGTACCTTCATGACCAGTGTGACCTGGTACACACCGATATTAAGCCAGAGAACATCAGTGAGTGACTTAATGATCGTCGAAGGACACACCAACTGACGTTATCCTCCTAGTGATTTCCATCCCTGACGTCGAGTCACATATCCAAGCTCAGCTATCAATATCCCCCTCACCCACGTCACGTAAGGTTGGCGTACCTCCAAAGCAGATCATGCGTCCAGGTGTTGCGATTCCGCGGCGACCCACGGGGCGTGAACGGCACGTGCAGATCTTCGATTCGCAACCGCTCTCGAGTCCCCTTCATAGCGCCAGTTCAAGCCCGCCAGCTCGCAATGCACTGCAGATGTCTCGGATTGACAGTAACCAAAGTACGCTCAGCCAGGTCCTTGCTTCATCCAGTACGAACGACAAGGACAAGGCACCACAAACCTCACACGATACTGACTCTAGCCCGTCAACGCCAGATTTGTCCGACCACAGTGGTCCGTCTTCCGTGCTCGTCTCCACAAGCTACGCCTCGAGTAGCAACGATACCCCGCCCACATCTGTGGGTAGTGTGATGAGCAGCATGATGAAGCTGACAATGTCAAATCCTGAAGCGTCAAGAACGTGTACTTGCCTGTGCAAAGATATGCCTGATCTAGAAGAGGAAAATATCTCTCGGTCAGACGCTCTGCAGCGCCAGGAAGTACCACCTACCGGTCCATCACTCCTTTCCCAAACCGCCCCGCAAAATATTCACCACCGAAATTGCTCATCGCATTCTTCATCTTCCGCTCCCCATTCGAAAGCGCACCCGCCAACGCCACTTTCTCAATCCCCTGTTATGCCATGTTCAGCTTCACCAGAACCTTTGCCTCCGATCTCCATCAAGATTGCGGATCTGGGGAATGCTACGCCGTCTCGTAAGCATTACACGGAAGACATCCAAACACGACAGTATCGTTCGCCAGAAGCGATCCTCGGTCGTACCGACTGGGGATACACGGCAGATATCTGGAGTGTTGCTTGTGTCGTGTTCGAGCTCTTGACAGCCGAGTATCTCTTCGATCCGCAAAGCCAGGGAGACTTGTTCGGAAAAGATGATGATCATATGGCGCAGATCATTGAGTTGCTGGGCGACTTTGACACGGAGATGAAGTTCGGCGGGAGGTATAGTAGGGAGATCTTCGACAGTTCAGGTGAGTCTAGGGCTTTATAAATGGTCGCTGCAGAGTTGTGGTGGCTGTAACCCTTTGTTTGCTGTGAGGACATGTGCTGATATGGACATCTTGGCTCTTCAGGCGCGCTTCGGTATATCCGTAGTCTCAAGCCGTGGCCTTTGAAGCGGGTGATGATGGAGAAATATCTCTGGTCTGAACCTGATGCCGCGGCGCTATGCGAGTTCCTGGAACCTATGCTCGTTGTAGACCACCGGAAACGGAAACAGGCCCATGACATGGTCGGTCATCCATGGCTAGAAGTTGACCTCCGTTCGCCAGACCTTGTTGCGTTGTAGGGGGATCGTGTCGGGTGAACGGATAATTGGGTTGACGTGCGGTTTACGTGCGTTCTGCTTTATATTGGAATTGGGCTTTAAACAGTCTCAGGTGGAATGGCGAAATCACAGATCGTCTTATTGCGTGATCTGACAGGAGGTTGTTGTGTTACCCTTACCTTTCATTCCGGGTTTATAGTTGGTGTTCTCTTCTTGTCCTTCTTTTACGGAGACCCTCGCAGTTATGACTGCTCACGAACTCTTTTTTCACATTCTTCCATCACATCAGTTACCTTTACTTCCTTCTCCGTCGGCATCGTAGGTTGCCTGGCGATGCTAATGTTTTAATTTTATCCTTTATGTACAGTTTGTTGCTCTCACGACTACCTCCCTCATGACTAGACATTAGATTGTCCCTATGCCCTTTTTGCATTTTCATATTCTTGTCGTTTAGTTCCCCTGTTGTCTTATAATACTTGTTCTTGTTTCTGATGTCCTCTATCCAAGTGTCGGGGTCCGTACCTTAGTAGTCTGTTAGACGGTATATGTGTACCCGACTACTGTAGCATAAAATGTGTTCTCTAGATTTCCATGACCGCTCGGTGTCCACTGTCCAAGTTATTCTCGAAAGACAGCAGTCACCGCTGGCAACCTGTAACCGCTTGGGAAGTCCAGTGTACGCGTCCTGGTAACCGCCGGCGGAGCTCGAAAAAGCAGGAGCCCAAATTTGAAAGAAAAAAGAGCGCCAATGACAGAGTGTTTCTTGCAGTCATGGCCGCATCGCCCATCGCTGTCGACGGTGGAAATATGCCTCCCGAGGACAAGTGGGATCATCCTAACGACACTATGGTCGCTGCTCCCGACGACAATGTTGCTCCTAACGGCGGAGGCTCTCATCCTGGCGACGAACACCATTCTAGCCATCAGCAGCCTCCTGAGGATAGCAATGATTACAACATGCGTGGCGAATCCGCTGCTGCAGAGGGCACTGACCCGCACTCCGCTAGCAGAAGTGATGCTACGCACCGTGGTGAAAAGCAAATCAAGGTGCTTGTCCTGGTCCTTTCTCTATCTGTCTACACTGTTCTACTTGCCCCCTGTCTCCGGCCCTTCTCTCCCTCTCGTAAGCCTGCACGCACGCGCATAACGGTTTGCTCACGCCTTCACTGTGTTCGCTGATATATGCTCCATGTTCTATGGGCGGCAGGTCTGTGGGGTAAAGCACCCTATCAGGGCTCTCGCTTCTACAGTTCATACCTGTGTATTTGAACCCTGCAAGGCGCGCTGCCTGTTAGACGACACACATCTCGGTTCCGTGATATTTTATTATCTGTCTCGTTTGCTGCGTGCCCTTGCTGGAGCCTTGCTGGCTGCTGACACTGACGGCTTGCGATATCTCTCCCTCTTGCTTCTTATTCTCTGCTTGTTTCTTGATCTGGATGTTCATTCTCTGCTATGCAGCCGAACAAGGTCTACATCGGTGGTCTTCCCGAGCATACTCGTAAGGAGGACTTGCAAAGTTGCTTTGGCAAAATTGGCACCATCGTCAACATAGAACTCAAGTATGTAGCATTTAGTCTGCTATCTCATACGTATGTGCTGAGTTTGCTCCTTTCACAGAGTTGGCTATGGCTTTGTGGTACGCCTACACAGCTGCGCAGTCGAATTGGTCTGAATACGTAACCTCTTATTGTTTAGGAATTTGAAAGTCGCGAAGCTGCGGAGGAAAGTGTTGCCAAGTACCACGAAGGCTACTTCATGGGAAACAAAATCCGTGTTGAGCTTTCTCGTGGTGGTGGACGAACCGCGAAGTACGGCGGGGATCCTGGTGCTTGCTTCAAATGCGGTCAGGTTGGTCATTGGGCCAGGTTTGTCATCTCATCTTAGAGTTCTGTCCTGCTATTGATGTTCTAGTCATCGCAGGGAATGTCCCAATAGTAATGGGTAACTATATAGACTTCTCTCCATGATGAGATTCTTACCATAATGGTCACAGAACTTCGCGCCACCCAAGCGATGCTCCTCTCATTGACAGGATCCAACCCCCTAGAGACTATCCGCCTCCACCGCCTCGTGACTACCCTCCCTATCGCGACGAGTATCCTCGCTATCCTCCGCCAAGGGATCCACGCTATGGCTATGATTATCCGCCTCCTCGCGAGTTTAGACGTCCTCCGTCTCCCCCTCGGGATTATCGTGATTTCCCTCCCCCTGTCCGCCCTCCCCTCCCTAGAGACGTGGATGATTATAGACTGAGAGGCGCTCCGCCCCTTCGCCTTGATCCTCGTCCTGGCTACTACGCTCCTGAAGGAGAACCTTTACCTCCTCCTGGTTATCCTCCCAGTCGTTATGGCCCTCCTCGTGATTACTATGATCGATATGATAGGCGGGCACCTCCGCCTGATAGGTATGCTCCCTATCCTCCTCCGCCCGTCCGTGCCAGGACTCCTCCTGGTGGTCCCCCACCTCGAGCTCGCGATGACCTTGAACGCGATCGACCTCCTACAAGGTTAGTCTTCTAGCGCTTGAATGTGGCACAGTAATAATGTTGACATACTATGCAGGGACTACCCTCCAGCTGACTATCGTGGACGACCTGTGTCTCCTCCACCTCCCTCTCGATACGCAGACTATCCACCTCGAACTGGAAGTACGGATGCACCTCGCTATCGGTGAGCGTCACTAGTCCATCGGCCCGACAATAAAATCCTTACCGCTATCCATATATATACAGTCGTCGTTCTCAGAGCCCTCCTCCACGCACGGCATCTGGTGCTGGTTACGAATCTGGCTATCCACCTAGTTCTGGTGCAGCTTACACTGGTGGCTCTTCTACAGGCTTCGCTGGCAACGGTTATTCTGGCGGAGGTGTTGCTCCTTCCTCAAGGGGTAGCACCGCTGCTCGCGACTATCCCCCACCCCGCTCTCGGGAGGGTGACTCCGGCACCTACAGAAGGCCGTGAGGTGACACTTTCATATTCTTGAGTTTCTTGTAACATGCTCGCCGTGATGATGCGTCCTTGCAAGTGGTAGGCTCTGACAGCGGTTCTCTCGTTATGCTATGACTGCAATCCCTCGTTATCGTATATGTGTACAGTTTGAATAGTTGTCTTGGTTTTCGTCGTATGTCATGATGTCCTGCCTATTGCTAGGGTGGTATGCTTCCTCCGAGTCAGGTTTCCTGAGTCTTTGCTGCAGATACTGTCACGGTAGTACTCTTACTACATAGTGCTTTGATTATCACCCAGTCAGTCTTGGTTGTGTAAAATGTCCTATACTGAACTATGATAACATGTTGTTGACCCGAACATGATTGCATACTACGTATGTGATCTATTTCTATGAAGACTTTGCAGCCATCTCCAGTAAAATGTCTTTATCACCACTCTCCTCGACCAAGGCACGGAGCAAACCATCCTTCTTTTCGAGCAATTTGCTAGGCTCATCGAATTCAACCTGTAATGGACACATTAGTCAGTCTTAGTGCCGAGGTTGATAAAACATCCAGACTTACGATGTGACCAGCGTCCAAGACCATCTGCAAACGGGTCAATACATAGCAAGACAATGAAAATATGGATGCCACTTACTATCCTGTTGGCATCCATGATTGTCTGCAGTCGATGTGCGACAATAAGCAATGTGACGTCCTTGGGAAGCTCCTTTCGGAGGGAAGTCTGAATGACGGTATCGGTCTCATAGTCTGCGAAATGAGGGTTAACTTCGACAGCAGCCCACATCCATGATGAACGGACCTATGGCAGAGGTTGCTAGTTCATGCATGTGAGAATAAAATCTCAAGTAATACTACATAATCGGACAGACCTTCATCAAGAATCAACAACTTGCTTTGACGAACCATGGCCCTTGCGAGTGCCAGAATTTGACGTTGTCCAACAGATAGGTTGCTGCCACTACCAGTTATCTGTGTGTCTAGGGTGATTTTGCTCGCTGACCCTTCGTTTTGCAATGAAAAGAGTCCCGCAGAACGCAAGGCATCGTTCAAAACGGCATCGTCGTGCTGTGAGAAAGGATCTAAGTTCTGACGAACGGTACCGCTAAGAAGTTCCGGCTGAAGACATTGCGTTTCATTAATGTACCTTGATTTAATTGAATAAGCTAGAGACTCACCACTTGTGGGATGATAGTGATGTTAGACCGCAAGGCATCCAGGTTCAGAGTATCGGTTGGTATACCATCGTAATAAACTCCGCCTTCGGTCAGAATGCAGCGTAGTAACGCCAAGGTCAAAGAGCTCTAAAAAGAGACCTGAATGTCGCACTTTTTCCTTGACCCATGCATTATACACACCTTCCCACTACCAGTTCTACCGACTATCTCATTTTTAATAATATATCACGATCATACCAAAGACACTCACCAATGCCAATATGCTCTCCAGAATTTACATGGAAATTCAGGTCATGAAGGACCTTGGGGCCGTCCTATGAACAACCAGTCAACCTCATCAATGCCAGAGATCCACAGTCGATAGATAATGCACATACAGCCGAGTATCGCGCAGACAGGTTCTCGACTTTGAGGTCCCCGCTGGCTGGCCAATACGCTGGTGGGATACCGCTTTCTGTCGGTTTGGGTTCATGCTCGATTTGTAAATATTGTTGAATACGCTCCTAGCTGAAAAGACGTGAGTGGTCGTTTTCCGGCTGCAGAACGCCTCTTACCTGTTACCTATATTCAAAGCGCTGTGATCAGTTCATGAATGGAAAAGCTGAAAGCAACTGGAAGATACTGACCCTCAGTCTCCACCCTATTGAACATCCGCACCCAAAGGAGAATCATGCCACTGAAACCAACTGTGCACTCTCAGCTACGGAAGGTGAAGAGACGATGCAAATGAGAAACTGACTGGCCATGTTGATTGAGAAACCAGTCTTTGAAGCATCCATGTGGCCACTGTAGATGAGGTATGCAGCAAGGCTTGCGCAAAACATACCGGCTAGTACATCAGTTTGAATGACTATCCATCTGGAAGTGCATTAAGCATTGAACAACTGCAGCATTGTCGAAAATACTCACCTATTCAGATTCCAGAACTCTCTTGTTACACGTGTGTATCGGTCTGTGCGACGATACAACTCTTGTCTAAACATCTCCTGGGCGCCGTATGCGCGGATTGAAACTGGAACAAATTAAGAATATTCGCAGGTCAGCGAAAACACGAAGGCTCACCTAAACCTGTGATTGCAGCACCGAAATGGCCTAGAACCGGCGCTCGAGCATTACTAGACTCCCGTTTCACAGGTAATTGTGCTTGCATATAGATGTGGCCAAACCAGATACCGACAGCGACCAGAACAAGACCGGGGAAAAGGAAAATCGGAGAGAGTAATATGACTGCTAAGAACTTGACGACAATGGTAAATGTCACGTCAAACAGATTCAGTAGCATTTGTGACAGGGTCGAGTCGACTACATAGAGATGATTTTATCTATGCATCCTTTTGGCAGACAGATGGAGGTCACGTACTGCTTTGTATATCTTGGCTACATCGCGTAATGATTCTTGAGACAGGTGTTCGGTCCAACCACCTGTGAGTCTGCTCAACCTCAATGTCTCATAATTTGAAACACATCTCCTACCGTAATGTTGCGCTGAAAACCGAGTTGATGAGAAGCCTGTGAATGGCGCGAGAGGCTCGCATGCTTCCGAAGACAAACAGTAGGAAAGCAGCAGAGAACACGAGCATCCCAGAGAGCATGTTGACGAGGTAGAGGGACATATAACTAATGACAAATATTAATGAGAGAGCTCGGTGAGTCGTGGAATAGATCTTACAATGCGACTGAAACGTCTTGCGGATCCTGCAACTCGTACTGACGTGCCCACAGGCCAATGATCCAAATGTCAAGATTGCTCATGGTTCTAGTCACGAGGCCCAGCACCAAGAAGGCACCCCAAAATACGATGGCTCCAGGTTTTCCCGCCATATTGACGAGTAAGAGCTTCACTGACGAAAGGTAGCAAAGGTCATAATCGGCCAACTTTCAGGGATCTGCACATTAACGTACTTGCGGACCAACTGACATGGCCTTCTGAAACCTCTTCAGCCGTGACAAGCTTCCCATCTGTCGTTTTAGGTGTTTTATCGCCGGTCTCTTGATCAACCTCATGCTCCGCTTTTTCGATCACTTCACTTTCTTTCGCCGCTTCTGCTGAAAGCTGCTGATCTTTGGCGAGTGCCGTCGACAGGGACCCTTGGCTCAGTATACGTCCATCAGACCCAAGAGACACCACAAAGTCGGAAATGGGTGTGGCCAATGCGACATTATGGGTCTAAAAATATATGAATCAATGTGTTTCAAATGAAGGATTAACATACCACCAAAATGACCGTACGGCCACGCATGAGATCTCCTCGAAAACATTTGTCAACGATCCAGCGAGAGGTATGTACATCCAGTGCAGCAAGAACCTGAATAGCAATGATAAATGCTCATTTTTAGAGAGCATGACAAACCAACTGACATCGTCGAGGAGCAGAATATCTGCAGAGGAATACACAGCGCGGGCGAGAGTAACGCGAGCCTGCATGAACTTTCAGAACACCGATATAACCGATGAGTTATAGTAACCAAGCCACCTTTTGTCCACCACTGATAACCAAAACTTTGAGATACAGACAGGAAACGTTTGCACCAACACACATACCTCAGAGTAATACCCTTTTCTCCAACCTCGGTCTGGTCGCCAGCATCAAACAGGCCAAGATCACGTTCAAGTGCACATTGTTCAATCACTACGGCAAGAGTAAGGCGGGGAATTCCTCAAGAGGTATTGAGTACTCACCCGCATTGTATCGCTCTTCGTCATATGGAGCGCCGAATAATATGTTGTTCTACAAGTCGCATCAGCCTGGGTACCGCAATTGGAAGGCATAAGATTACTCGTATCGTTTCGTTCAATACCCAAGATTCCTGTGCATGGTATGCAATACCTCGTTCACGAGGCAGATTGACGAGTGATTGTGGACCAAGCGGGATATTGTGCATTTCGCCTGTGCGGGCAGATGATGAAAAGCAGACCGGACGATGTAAATATGTGGCATACCCAATAAAGCCATCAAAAGGGATGTCTTGCCGGAACCGGTCTGACCGACAACTAAATTGATACGGCCACGTTTAAAGATCAATTCATCCTCAATGCGGAGGGCAAAACTGCGTTGTGACGATGCAGGCAAGTTGACGTCTTCCGTGTCGCTTGACCAAGTGAATGCGGCCTGACGAATACATATTTCTGACGAAGCAGATGGTGTACTCGTTGCTGCTGAACTGCCAGTGGAAAATTGATCCAATAATTCCGTCTGGTTCTTAATCTCAATGCAAGTTCGTTCGTTCGCGTGCAAATGGCCAACCAACCTTGGACAAGAAATCATTGATTCGGTCTATGGACACTTTGGCTACGGCCAAACTTTAAAATCAACACCAAGTAGACCAACTCTGTATGCAAGCGATACTGACCTTGAATCAAGCCGGGGAATAGGAAGAATATTCCTTGGAAGTGCTCTTGGACGATTCCAAAGACTGATAGCCAGCAATCAGCGAGATCAATAAAAAGACCGAAAAGAGACAGACCGGCGACCGAGGCAAATACTCGAGATGCTATTTGCTGAATTCAAAATGTGAGCACTGTCAGAAAGTGACTCCGCGTACCAGTCAATTCTCGACCCATGGCTAAAGTCTACACATAGTCAGCAATTATCTACGTGCGTGATGCTGAATGACTGCGCAATACTCACATAGATTCCATAGGTGACGATCATTGTCGCGCAAGGTATGAACGCACTGCACTTTGACTTCAGAGTCCCTTGTGTTAAGAGCTGTCAATTAGAAGACGTACCTAATATTCATGGTCGCTAGTTCGAGCAAACGCAACTTCCGGACAAATTTGAGCTCTTCCTGACGCCTACCGTCGAGCAATGCGCTCATCTTGTCTTCCCAACCGAACTGCTTTATCATTCGTATTACATTCATGGCTTGATTGGCAGTTAGCGCCGTCATTCAATGCAAAACGGACTTGTACGGACATTCTGTTACACTTTGAACTCGGGCGTCGCTCTGTGGTATGGACATTAGCCGGCGACAGAGTTGTAGGTCATTGTTATTTGAATACCTTTTTCATCTTTTCAGTCTGCATAGATGACAGCGCTTTGACGACATAGCCCGGAAGTGGGGAGAGTAAAGCCATCGCTGCAACTCCAGGTAATACACTAACGCTCTGTCGGCCACGATATCAACTTTCAAATGTGTTACATAGACGCACCTCCAACCTAACAGCGAATACAAATAGATCAAACTGAGTGTCAGCTGCGTAGGGACATAGAACACTAGATCGTATGTTATGTTATGTTTGACCTGACATGCAACAGCGGTAAAACATACTAAGAAGCATAAAGCCTTGTCCACCATGGACGTTGCTCATATCACTGGTAACAAGATTATTGAGCCTTCCCGCGAGGTTGGCTGTGTTAGGTTTCGATTCTTGTTTCGGAGTCTCAGATGACTGGTCGTCGGCCTTCGCATCGAAACTGGTGCTGGAAGCCACAGTCTCTTCATCGACGTCGGAAGAGGATCCCCCTCGTGCATTCGAGCTGCCCTCAGGAGAGGGATGTTCGGAAGCTGGACTCTCCTGCGTCAAGCTGTCTTCTTTCACGTCCCCCTGAACACGGATTCGTAGTGCATGATCAAAGATGAGCTGTGTCAGTACTCCCTGAGCTCTGACAATCGTCCGCAACTGCGGCATGGCGTTAAGCGTGTAGAACCACGGAAGAACAATGAGATACGTACGGCGATGTAGAAGTAGAGATTGAAAGTCATGCCTGAAATCAATGGTCCAAAGAACAACCAAGCAATCCAGAACCATGGTCGAACGATTGCATTCTCTCCTCCAGTTTCAAGGTATCTGAGCAGATCTTAGATTTCCTAGACTTTTAGATCATCTAAGGACTCACTTGAGCAGGTAATTGATACCTATTGGGGCGGCGAACGAGCCGATTACCTATACTTCGAATCAATACATCAGATTTGCAAGCTCCTGGAAATATACTCACGTGCAATATGAGCATTACAGCCATCTTAACATGATCAAACACTGTAGTGGAGGAGAATTTTTAAGGTAATTCAACGTTGAAAATCATGCGTAACGCACAATACACCCTCAATACCAAACCAAATAGTACATGTCGCTTTTTCTTGTTTTGGAGGGGATCAAGATCCTAGTGAAGATGTGAGTATAAAAGCGCGAGTCTCGTCAAAGAACGTACGGCATAGCTTTCAGATATCAAGTTCTTCAAAGTATCGCGATCGTTCATAGGAGGTAGATCTTCTAAGGTTAGACGAGGCTGCTTGTAAGCCTTAAAGACGAAGGGGGTCAAGTAAGCGAATAGGACCATGGATAACCAAGATGTTGTCTGCTCAGGATGGGGTACTAGTGAAGGATTCTGTGCAAAAGAGTCAACACATAGACTGCTCGTATCGATAATTACACGAACCAAAGGATCGAAAGGAACATATTGTCTAGGCATCAACAGTGGAACCACTATAGCAGCGAAGGTCAAGACGATGACTTTCGTCCAGATCAGCCAGCCTTCGGCACTGTCTGCAGGGCTCAGTGTATACGTTGCCAAAGGCCACAGGTCTCGATAGACATAAACAGCCCATGGTGCGAGCAAGACAATTATCAGATGCTTAGTTATCAAGGAGTTCCACAAAGGCTTGGTCACCACAGTCAATATTGCCAGCAAGGACGCGTAGATCTAAGTGCCCTGAATTAATTTGTCTTCTATGCATGCGAGGGAGATACCTACGAAAGTAGCGCACAACGCAGCATGCGTCAATCCTGTGTGGGAGAAATCGAGATGCGATGAAACCTTATACATGGAGACGGCAGATAGGACGACCAGCGCAAGGCACGCAACCAGCCGAGCCAATTTGAACGTGAATATTATGGGCCCTCCGAGTGCGGAGATATGTCCACGAAGACGCGTCGAGGACTCTTCAACGTCGTCTGACACATTTTTGCGTCTATGGAGTGCAATGGCGATAGCTTGCCCAACGAGGAGCAGAGTCGATACGCCAGCCACGTAACTTGGTACAAGGAGTGTGTTACGCCATAGACTGGGAGAGACGCATAAGCTTCAATGCACGGATTGGTTGAAAGGGAATGCCTACGCGTCGTCCCCCACAACCTGCCACAAACCGAACCTATTCAAGACTACTTGTCCAGTATCGCGAATCATGAGAACCAGGCCTCGGGGGTTGAATACGATTAACAAGGTAAAGTCAGGAAAGTCTGTACGAGGGTCAGCAAGTTACCCAAACGCGAGGGCTAGCAACTTTATAGCGACTCCAATATACAACGCGTCTAGTGGACCTGTCCGTGTGGACGACATTTCAAAAATCTCGGCCTTGACGTATGTCAGTCTTTTATTAGTTATGATCATGTTGATAAGAGGCCTCTAAGAGGCGAATGCAGTGCAACAGTTTTCCCAAGCGATCCCAACATTGATATACATGTACCTCATGAGCGCGAGAAGACCCCCGTGAACAAGTCTACTGCAGAAGCTTATATGAGAGAAGTCGAAGGATGAAATGCGACGGCGGTGACCGTGCTCAACAGTTGCCAAAACATCGGAAATACGACACAGAGTCGCCTCACTTCCTTGGACCGGCGATCCAGTCATGTCCAAACACGGGTTCAAGGTAAATCCACAGCGCACAAGGCGGAAAGTGTCTTGGAATTTGGATTATGCATCTGTATTAGAAGCGACCCTAATGAAGCTTAGTCATCTCATCCGTAGGTTGTACCGCATTATACGCCCAAATATCGACAAGCTAGAGGGTAAACTGCGCAGCTCGGAGGTGCAGAGATATATTGTCCAGAATACGTAATCAACCAATGATGAGCTTGGCATCTGCTTCGGTGAAGTCGTATTGAGGAACCTCAAGGTTAAGCTGAACGGAATAGTTAGTGAAACCCGACGTAGTAGATCGGGATAGAAACACACAGGTGCAGGTCCCTTACGGATACGGCCAGCTGTATGAAGGAATCAGTATTAGGTTGAAGAGAACATATCTCAACTGGCACTTACAGATATCATAATGCGAACCATGGCATGGGCAGAACCTACGACCATTGAAGTGAGCAGAGCTAGAATAATCCGGGCAGCGAATTGCTTACCATCCTCCATAGTCTCCAGCCTCTCCAATGGGCACACAACCAAGGTGAGTGCAAACACCAAGCATGACAAGCCACTCGGGCTTCTTGGTTCTCTGCTCATCACTTTCAGGATCCCGCAAGGTCTTCCAGTCGGTCTGCTTCGCCTCCTCGATTTCCTCCGAAGTACGGTGACGGATGAAGACGGGCTTGCCACGCCATTTGATGATCACGTTCTTCCCCTCCGGAATGCTTGCAAGCTCAACCTCGACCTTGGCTAGAGCCAAAACGTCCGCAGATGCAGACATGGACGCAAGGAATTCGGTGACAGTCGATTTAGCGGCAGAGGCGGATAATACACCAAGAGAACCAATCATGAAGTACGAGAGGGCACGGTTGGTAGATGGATCCTTTGCCTCATAAGGAGTAAAATCAGGGACCTTAGGAGCATCGCGAGCAGGCACCGAGGTGTGAAGCAGACGCTGCTGGAAGACACCAGTAGTGGATGCTAGGAACGCGATAGTTTCGTCATTACAAGCATAGTCACGACGTGAAACTATACACACTATTCGCGTATGTCTTCGACACCAAACCTGAGGTTTGACTCCTGTAAAGACCACCAACGAACTTTGCAGGAACGTCCGATCTAGGACCGACAGCACCATGGTCATGGTCACCGTTATGAGGACTCCGGACGGCCAAATTGACCAAAGGTGCGACTGGGACACCCGAAGCGAGTGTCCTCACAGTTGGAGGCGCAGTGAAAGCTTTTTTAGTGGCAAAGACGGCGGCCATAGCGCAGGAGAGACGTGCTCGACGTCGTTCACGATGATGCTCAAGTTGTGTAGATGCGGAGTTGAAATCTCGCGCGCTCACCTCTGTGCCGATTTGCCCCGACTATACACCCAATCACAACTCGGTGTTTACCTTCACACAGTTCTCTTCAAGTCGAGATATTGAAAACAAGCTCATATTGTACAGTAATAAGGATATAAATCTCTAGGTAGGTATAGGTCCACGGGAGTTAATATTATGATAGTTATTCTTCGCGCTGCTTCAACAAATGCTCATCCAAGCAACTTAGAACCCTTTGCTTTGGATACTTGGGCGCAGCTAGTAGATTGAGCTGCTTCACTATTCGCCGGACCACATTGGGATCTGTCACGACATTAGACAAACATTCCAAAGAAGCCAATAGAGGGAAGGACACACAGTCAGTGATTATCCCGTCAACACGCCATTGCAAGAGCTTTTCCGCGACATTCATACGATTGACCTGGTTGAGTGACTAGGTCAGTGACGGTCATCAGACTTCTGGGTTACATACAGTGAATGGCTTGACTTGTAGTCCTAACCGATGTGCTTCTTCAACCATCGGCTTTGTCGTAAAGGGTATGAAGTCAGTGAAGGCAGGGTCGACCGCGCCTTCCGAAGATACTGCAGCTGGAGACAGAATATCTGCACCGATGTAATGCGCAGCCTGCGCAACTTGTTCTTCGAAGGACGGCCCAGGGAATGCATCCAATCGCAATCCAGCAAGCCAAGGTGTTGTAGTGTTATCCGAAACGGTGGCAGTTTCGCTACGAATACGGCTCAGATAGTACCTCAAATGAAGTTTTCTGAGCTGACGCACTCATCGATGAGAGCAGACGTAACCATACGTGGGTTTAAGTTCTGAAACAGAGACTCAAAAAGGTAGAACAATACAATTGTTCGTGCGCCTTACCTTCATAGCGATCAGCGTCCTCCAGTCGAAACTTTGATACTGGGTGATCATGGTCAGCATGCAGGCAATATCATGGCGCTCATGATTACTTACAGTGATGGAAGAGTAGTACGGGCTAGCTGCGAAGACCTCATACTGCCTCTGAATGAAATCGTGTACGCCAAGCGTCTGATTGGGGTGTTGCGCATTGATCTTAGATTCTATATTCCATAGAATCTGGTGATCTGGGTCGGCACATGACACGAAGTTGAACAATTCTTGCATCGTCGATATTCTTGTTCCAGGATATGTGAGTTGCATGGCTGCATAGTACTGTCAACAATCACATGAAGTGTAGTCCCATCGGACACTGACGGTAGTTGTCTTGTCGTTTCGATCCGCAGTCCAGGGTTCGAAGTTGGGCGAATGTCAGATTAGCAATGAACTTGCCAACGTATGGGTAGTCCGGATCATCCGGAAACTGTAGCCGAATTCAGGACTGGATTCAACAGTGTGTATACGAATACTCACAGCAGGTGCAGTATCCATGCATTTCTGAGGCGTGATATTTTCATCATGCCAAACTACTACAACGCCATCCTTACGAACAGGAAGTTAGGAACGACATCAAGACAATCAAAGAAAGCGTGTACTTTGGTGATACCATTGTCTAACTCAAGGGTCGTAGAACCATCTATCAGACCCCTACATAATACGTAAATTAAACTTTAAGCATGGTCATTGACATACTCACCATGCGAAACTCGGTAAAGTGTTCTCAACAGTGTTCCCTCTCCCTCCTCGATGGGCCTGATGCATGCGTTTAGTACGTAAACAGTAGCTCGGCAACGTTGTACGTACCTGCACGTCATAGAAGCGACTATGTGACCATTTCGTCAATCGCTCCTGCGATGGCAGTGCGGCCAGTAAGAGAGCTTGGTTCGCGAGGAAGGTCAATTGAGGTATAGGTGGAAACATAGCAGATATGAGGAGACGAAGGCAAAGTCTAAAGGGAGGTTGAGAAGAGGATGACTACGACGATGCGGTTTCATGATTTCAACGGATCAGCGTCTACGCCAATTCCGTGCGTCAGAGTCAGCCAGACAGAGAGTAAGTTACCATCGAGACACGTTCGGACACATCAGCGGAGCATCGCTGGGGTTTACGACACGAACGTTTCTCCCGCTTCCTACTATACCTTCCGCATTCGGCAGTGTTCGCGCCAAAAGAGGCCGTGGAGTGTGAACGGAAAGCGCCGGACCACGGCGATACACGCGAATGTGTTCAGCACCAGCCGAATTTGACAGAGCCAACTGCTGTGCGGATACGAACGTGCGATTATTCATCAAGGGTTCGTGTGGACAGTGAACGCCGTCGTGCGTAGATCTTTAATAGCATGCCGCAATAGGAGAAACGCCCGGTTGCTATTGCACGTTGAGCGGGAAGTCCGGGGATAAAGAAGTAGGAATCACTACCAGTGAGGTCAGGATCATCGCAATATATTGAGAGTGTTTGCATAGAGCGTGCATACCTCGGGGATACTCTGTCTTTATCCTGTGACCTCCTGAAGTACGAACAGCCGAAGAGCAAGTTCGCTACGTCACGGCATGAGTAGCAAATGCTGATTGAAGGATCTGTCTCGCATTGCATAGCTTGTTAAACTTCCTTCGTGTGAAATATCGAGTAAATCAACGAAACAATGGTAATTACAGATTTACGACCATAGGTCAGGGGAAGGGAAACATTATGATTCACCACACATGAAAGCTATCTGCATATTGTGTCAGTCACGGTCTTCACAGGAGATGACACAATAGTCGAACATTACACAGCAAAACCCTGATAGCATAGGTAGATGTACAAGCATAATGAACGGGATCATTTTTGACTAGGTTTGTCTTTGTCCTTTGTCACAGCCGTGGCAGGGTCCCCTTGCAGATTGGAAAGACCCAAATTTCGCCAGTCATCTCGGTCCATTAGTCCACTATAAAATTGCATTCAGCAGGTGTAGTCGTGTGATCAGGTAGCAACATACTTTTTCATCCGACAATCTAGGTAATCACGGTTCAAATGACGACATGGTGTCGAATTACTCCCATTCTTGCGCAAACAATCGAGATAGACCTGCATGTAATCCTTGCATTCTCCTATCGTAGGATCAATAAATGATGTCATGGGACATTCAAGTCGTCGACTGGCGGGCTCACCATAATGGTCCAGCGGGAACGAACCACGATCCTGTAACAAGGAAATTGAGTACATATCATTCAAAATAGGACTTACAGCGTACTGGTGGGTTCACTTGAAATCCAGATGATATTGAGGGTGGCCGCCCAAAAGACATAGCGAGGTACCCCTGGTAGTTGTGTGTAAACCTGAAGTCGATCGGCACAGATCGACTGTTTAGGCGTCTAACATAGTGTGATTCCCGAAAAGGGAGACAAGTTATAGTTGGGGCTCCATCGTTAGATCGTTGGAAGCTAAATACTGTCTGGCAACGTAACTCCATGCAATTGACTGCAAATGGGGCACATATTTACAAGTAATACTAAATTCGCTTCACATCTATTCGTTCAAGGCATTGCTCGTCGCCGTCGTGCCATCATGCAAGCCTCTGACCCACTTGATGTGGTCCTCGCCTACAAGCACCTGCACAGAATTACGATCCAAGAAATTGTCCTCGTCGGGAAAGGCATTCTGTATATTTCATCAGATTATGTACAAACTGTCATATCGAACACCCTACCTTTTGATATGCCTCATCTCCAAACAGCGCCAGGAGATCCTCAAGCTTCTCCACAGTAAATTCGGCAGCACCATCATAAGGAGCAACGGGGAGGCCAATCTTGACCAATTCCTCGCTGGGCTGCTCAAGAATATGGAACTACGGGACAAATAAGTTGCTTCATTAGAGACAATAGTAAATGATTCCTTACTTGATTGTACCGGATGATATTCTCCTTGACGATCTTCAAGGATGTAAAGATGCGACCGTGATTCTTGCTCCTAAAACGACGTTAGATATTTCTCATTTGAGGAAAATATGCATACCAGTGCTCGCTGAACTGCTCATGCGTCAAGTCAGGACGCCGCTTGATGAGGAAAACAACGCGGATGGCCATAGCTCGAACTGTGGATGAAATGGTGGTCTCTGCGTCAGCTTATGTTCTTCTTATACCGACCTTGGCTTGCCCATCAGTCATTTCGCGAGGACCGGGAATTGCACTGCAGTGCTCGTTCAGCTTAGGCGTCTAATTCACTTTCCTATGTCAAAAGCAAGCAGGAAGGTAAGCAGCACGCCATGGATGCACATAGCTTCTCATAAGAAACCCGATGTTACGCAATTGAGGGTAACATGGTATATTTTTACAGTTGTAAACACATTTGCTTTCCTCGTTTCCATCGTGACATTATGCAGACTCGCCTCGGACCCACTTGACGTGATCCTCGCCGACAAGAACCTGCACAATGTTGCGATCCAAGAAGTTTCCCTCGTCGGGAATAGCGTTCTATGATCCCATCAGGTCACGAAGTAGATATCAGGTCAAGTACTCTACCTTTTGATATTCCTCATCTCCAAACAATGCCAAGAGATCCTCAATCTTCTCTATGGTGAACTCGGCAGCTCCATCGTAGGGAGCAACGGGCAGGCCGATCTTAGCCAATTCCTGGCTAGGTTGTTCAAGCACATGGAACTACATGGAAGGTTGGCTACGTCATCGGAGACAAAAATAACAATTTCCCTACCTGATTGTACCGGATGATGTTTTCCTTAACGGCCTTTAAGGACGTGAAGATGCGACCATGGTTCTTGCTCCTACAATAAAAGTGAGACGCTTCTCAACAGCTGATCCTAGTTAGGGATGCGTACCAATGCTCGCTGAACTGCTCCTGCGTCAAATCAGGACGGCGCTTGATGAGGCAAACAACACGAATGGCCATGGCTTAATTTGTTGATGAAGTGGGGGTGATATCAGTCAACCTGGGTCCTTGCATCAGCTTGGGTTCTTCTTATACTGACTGGCCCATCAGTCATTTTACGAGGACCGGAAATGGCACGACATGTCACGTTTGCTTCACACATTCAACTCTCATCCGCATCGGCGAAATTGCTCTGCTCCCCCGATCACCTTCCCTTTGTCAAAGGCAAAAAGGAAAGCAAGTAGCACATCATGAATGCATTAAGCTTCCCGTGAAGGTATGGAAGCTCAAAGTCAAGCCACAAGGCGGTTCTGAGATTAGAACAAGCTTTCATCTTGCCCCAATCCAGAAACTGACAAGGTGGGTTGAGAACGAGTGGTTGATAAATACAGCTTCGTCGTACGATGCTAGGCAGAGCGCGCTGGACAAGCCCATATTGTAGTCGCATGTTAAGGAACAATTGGCAGCGGTCGACAGAGGCTAGGCTGGCGGGCATGTTCGCAATCAGACAGCAACCTCGGCCAGCGGAAGGAACCCGAGCCACGCTATCTGCGAATAATATTTGATTATTCAACGATGCACAAAGGTCCAAACCAGACATATCGACTTACAATACGCCTCAGTCGGCTGGCTTTTGTTATGCTGGCGATCATGTATCCTACTTTCGACGGTCATGCCGTACAAGAGCCAATATTCTAGTTTCTAGTTGAAGACCCCGGAAACCTTCGTAAGTCTTACCAAGGTTGATCGAAGTGGCACATCTCCGGTACGTTCGGGACAAAGACCGTTTTGTCACACACCACGATATGCTTCAATATCTTGCATATATCCTATGCTGGAATCTGCCCAATGATGAACGCTAAACGTAAGCTCTCCTCGGGCGTTGAACGGGAAATGGCAGCGGCCAGGTTTAAGTACATAACAGGACGTCTGTGCTTGTTCACATTCGTTCTTCTCTCCTCCTCGTCTCCTAGTAGACATGGGGAACTCAGCTTCCACTATCAATCCCGAAACCGACCTCCTTGACCTGCATGGTAAGGTTGCTATTGTGACTGGCGGAACGTACGTACCTTATCCATATCCCTTCAATCAGTCGTTAACCTTCTTTATATCTAGGGCTGGTATTGGTTTCTGGAATGCTGCACATCTCAGTAAGAGAGGTGCGAAGGTGTACATTGCGGCTCGTAACGAGAGTAAGGCTACCGGAGCCATTGCTCGTATAGAGGCCTGGAATCCTTCCCCAAATCGTGGACCCATTCTCTTTCATAAACTTGTCCTCGACGACCCGAGGGATGCTAAGAAGTCTGCAGAAGAATTCTTGACTCGCGAATCGAGGCTGGACATTCTAGGTGCACCCAACTATTGATCCCCAACAGCCCGAAATTATGTTCTGAACTTTACCAAGTGAACAATGCAGGTCTCATGGCTTCACCGTACGAGAAGACAAAGGATGGTATTGTGAACACCATGGTCATCAAGTTCGTCCTGAATTTCTTTCTATATTTATTCATGCCGCTATCTCACAACATTTTGTAGTCATTTGAGTCCTTTTGTATTCACAAAAGTGCTGTCTCCGCTTCTCGAGAAAACGGCTCGCGAGCCCGGCAGTGACGTTCGCATAGTCAACGTTTGTAGCTTCTGCATTTCAATTGTGTAAATTGTTACTAACAGGTACGGTCTTAGGTGTCATCCATGACCCACAGCATGGTAAAAGACGCGAAATTCGACTCCCTTCAGGAATTCAATAAAACGTACGAAGGCAGCTGGCTTCCTCCTGCCAACATGAAGCGCTACGGTGAGTCTCTTCTATATTTGCCTGTTTATGCCATGCTCACGTTCACAAACAAGCCATGTCCAAACTCGCGAACATCTTGTGGACAAATGAGCTACAACGGAGATATGATGAAAAGGGTGTTCCAATCACCTGCATCACAATCCATCCTGGAGGTGTCCTGACTGGTAAGTATATATTGCGTGCAATTTTACAACACAATGTCTGAACTACATTCTTAGATTCTGCCCTCGATCAACTTCGGAAATTGCCCCTTTCTGGTTTGCTGATTGCTATTTCCCGCCTGTTCTCATACGAACCGGAGGAAGGGTCATTCACTACGCTATACGCTGCTGCATCCCCAGCGGTGCGGCAGAATCCTGCAGCATATCGGGCCAAGTACATCGCACCAATCACTAAGGTCGTTGAGCCCAGTACTCAAGCTCGCAACCCGAACTTAGCCAAGACTCTTTGGAACAGTACGGAGAAGATTTTGAAGGATGTTTATGGTTTGGATGTCTGAACATGTCGTTATACCTATCATACCCACTCGCTCTCGAGATGGCAGACTTAGCTGTTCGATGCTTGCATTTTTCAATATTACACATACCTTATGTCTATGCTAGACACGGAGAATACAGCTATGTGCTTACCGCTGCGAGCTCTTGAGTGGTTTCGACCGGTACTTAGACTAAATGCATCGTTGAAACGCGACATGATAGGACTCGATCGTGTCGTCGGCTCTCACGGTCCGTAATTAGTATACATGACGCGTACGTCTGCGATATTTCGAGAGTTACTGCCACTGCATTCCAATCCTGTTTCCAAACCACCAAGAATAATCATGGTATGTGTTTCTTGTCGACTAGTTGTACATCGTTGTGAAGCCTGACCGGTACAGTTGGTCAGAATAAGATCGAAAGATGGAAACTTCAGGTTCGAAATGCCGCCTACAGCGGACATCTCTGAACTTGTGGCAAAGGTACGCGTCCCCTACTCTATTTACACACTGGACCGCTAGAGCGAACACTATACAGATCCTCGAAACCACTGAAAACGCCGATCCCTCTACTCTCACGATATCCAATCAACCTAGGGGTAACGAGACCCGAGCGTCGACGCTGAAGGGACAATCTTTACAAGGGCTTGGTCTGAAGTGAGTCCCTGAACAATAGTTACCCTGACTCCCCATACTGATATGATTTTGCCAAGACATGGCGATCTGATATTTGTGTCATACAAATCACAAGCCGTGCCATCCGCTCCTCCTCCTCCTGTGGCAGAGAATGGTGCACCTCACCTTCCGACGAGCGCAGAGCAATCCAGACGTCTTTGGGAATCTGTTAAGGAGGATCCCGTGGATGAATATTGGCGCTCCAAGGATGGAAAAATTCCTCGAGGACGCGATTCGAGATTCTGCAAGCATGGCGCGAATGCGATGTGTGACTATTGTATGCCCTTGGAGCCCTATGATGCAGGCTACCACGCAGAACACAACATTAAACATCTTTCATATCATGCGTATCTTAAGAAACTGCAGCCGAAGATGTCCTCGAGTACGTCATCACATCTTCCTCCTCTTGAACCACAGTCGTACAAGGTGAAGGTGCCCTGTCCTTCTGGCGGACATCCAAATTGGCCTGCTGGTATCTGTACGGCATGTCAACCTTCCGCAATCACCTTACAAAGCCAGGCTTTCCGAATGGTTGATCATTTGGAGATCGCTTCCACGGATATCATCGAGAGATTCTTGCACGCGTGGCGTCAGACCGGATTGCAGCGATTTGGATGGCTTATTGGAAGATATGAGCCATATCCAGAAGTACCAATGGGCGTGAAGGCTGTTGTTGAAGCCATTCATGAACCTCCGCAAGAGGGTGAACTCGACGGTCTATCGTTAGGCATCCCATGGGAGGATGAGCCTCGAATCAAGGAACTAGCAAAGTCGGCGGCGGCACCACTGACTATCGTGGGCTATATTTTCACTGACCTCGAACCCACTCCGGAAGACAGGACGAAGGTTGCCTACAAACGACATCCCCAATCATTCTATCTTTCCTCCTTAGAAAGTATCTTCGCCGCCCATGTCCAAAATGCGAACCCAACCCTATCGAGATCATCATCGACCGGAACGTTCGCTTCCCGTATGGTGACAGCTGTGTTGACAGGTACAGAAGATGGTGGTGTTGATATTTCGGCGTATCAAGTGTCCGAGCAAGCGTGTGCTATGGTTGATGCCGATATGATTGAAGCTAGTGTTGACCCTGGGATAGTTCGAGTAAAAGAGGAGGATAGGAGTGAAGACAATGCCAGATACATCCCAGACGTCTTCTTCCGGTACAAAAATGAATATGGCCTGGAGGTCAAGAAAAGTGCAAAACCGTGCTTCCCAGTGGAATATCTCCTTGTCAATGTAAGCCGTGATTTCCTCTGCGAGTAGTCACAATGTTTATCCCAATCATATGTTAAGGTCACCCATGGCTTCCCACAAACCCCAGCCCCACTCTTCCGGTCGAACAAGTTCCGCATTGAGAATAGACCAGGTTTGGAAGATCAGCATATTGAGTCGGTTTTGCAAGACTTGGCCCGTCTTCGTGCGCCGGAACTTGCGGAAAATCCAAATGGTGGCGATTTTCAGCAACGGGTCGAGTTGGCCAAATGGTTGAGCGATTGGCATTTGGTCGCGTTTCTTGGCACCACTCAGTTAATTAATCCCGTACGTGTAATGTGAAACGTAGCGACGAATTTGTTCTAACGCTTCCCTTCACTCGTTTAGGAGGATATGAAGGTGCTTGCTCGTGTTGCGTCTTCACCCGATTTGGAGGACCCTTCGATTTTGGATCCTCTATTCCGCACAGAGAGTTGGCAGACATTAATGACCTTCACGAGGGAGACAGCACGTAAGTCGAGCGCATTTTATATCTTAGTTCGCTTCTCATTCTACTATTCAGCCCGTCGACCCACAACATCTGCGCCTTCCACGGGTCCCAGCGCAATGGATGAAGACATACCCCAGGATGTATTTGACCAAATTGCTCGTGAGCAAGAATCAGCAACCGGCTCTGGTGGCAATATCAGGATTTGTCCGCACTGCACGTTTGAGAACTCTCATGGTGGTACTGATTGCGAAGTCTGTGGACTTCCGCTTGACGGCTAGATTGTGACATTGTCATGATACTTCATGATTCTATAGTGAGTGCCGAGCAGAAGTGCTAAGAGGATAAATTCACGTTGTATATTACAGACAATTCAGTATCGTGTATTGAAGGGATGCTTTCTTAGTTTTTTAGAGAATGGACATCGACGACAAGCTCCTCCACAAAATGTGCCGGGAACCGAGTAAGGTTGTCTGATAGCAACGGAATGCGTTCAATCTGAATGCGGCCCCGACTCCGAAGACGTAGCTCAGTGGCCCTTTCAGTAGAGGCGCGTCCAATCATCCACCTCATTTGGGTGCCGCTGCAGTCTTCTCTTTGAATTAGCCTCCAGAAGATAATTCGCGCAAGGGATTGTATCAGCAGGGACGCCTTCACTTGTAAAGACAAATTTTCGTACGTTGCAGATGTCGTGTAGGACTCATCGCCGGCCCTTTTCGGGATTTTTCTTTTTGGTTCTTAAGGTTTGGCTTCGAGTGGTTCTGCTGTGCCCTATTGTGGCGTGGGTGCACGGTATCATGATGCCTAAGTCTGTCTGACATGTGTGTTCTCTTTGTTATTTTCATCGGCATCCATTGAGCAAGCGACGCGGTTCGCCCTTTCGAAAGGTTAGCTTCTCAGGAACCTGTAACGCGAGACTCTCCGAAGAAATCGGAAGTCTGGTGCGATGTGTGGAAGCAATGGTGGCGTCCATCAGGGGCCTTTCGATAGCATCGACCCCTGCAGGGCCTCATCCCATCTGAGTCAGGACCCTTGGGGATATAACGACGGTCGCAATCCAGATCGCTCCTGTCGACCTTGCCGCCACTAGTAACTTGAAGTATCGCTGAGAGCTGGCCGAAAGTAATGCAGCCCACAATGATCTCGTTGTGGATCATAATGTGCATGATGGTGCTCATTATTGTGAATATGATTACAGGATACTTGGTTTTCTTAGGCGATAGCCAGAAGCAGGCAAAGTATTGTAAGCTACGGTATCTTCAATGCTCGTTGTCTTAACTTGATCAGGCTGACCGTCGACATTATAGCACCACAACGACCACAGACTCTATACCAGGGAGAAATGAGACCAGTTAAAATGTACATTCAGAACACCATCCACTATAATCCGCAGACGTCCTTGGGTGCTGCACAATTCTCGAGACTTCTTCCTGCCGGAGGGCATCTTGTCCATCTCAACACCACGGGAGAAGATGTTACATACACAGTTGCAATGTTCCACCAGCTTCGCTGCCTTGATATTATTCGCAATGATTATGTATCGGGCACGTCTTCGCCACTGCTTCGACATTGCTTTAACTACCTGAGGCAGTCGATCCTCTGTCTGTCCGACACTCGGCTGGAGTCTGTCCGCTCTCCTCTTGCGCCAACGTTCGTTTTAGCAATCCATCATTGTGAGGCGATTAAAGCTGATGATCGTTATCCCCAGCCTTGTTAGCCTATCTTCAGACCACGTATGCAGAGATTGGACGTCACTTTATGCAGCAGCCGAGATGGTTTACAATTCAAAATAGATGTGTGGGAGGTTCGTAACTTTGATCAACGAGACGTTCGCTTCTACTTACTATTCTCATACTTATTGTCTTGTGGATTGGTAGGAATATCTCTTTCACTTGTTCTATAGGTACACTTGGTCCTACGTGATTACAAATCAACTTCACGATAACCTGACCTACCTGGAACGTTAGCACCGTTCCAAATGCGCCGGCTACCTCAATCAGCTCGAAGAAGTTTACCTTACGAAGTACTACTCTGGTCCAACATAATTCTAACAATGTACGTTATATGCCATTCACCAATCAACGAGCAGCTATTCTGAGCTCCCCTGAGTTCCCTTGCAAAGTCTATGATGGCTCGTTAATAAAATGGTGCAATGTACCGTAATGACTCTTACGCTTGTTAAGTTGCGGATAAACCAAGGTCTCCAATCAATGAAGTTTTGCTGCGCTGCTTCAAGGATGGCACTCCAGTCTCGACATTTGCGCGTGATTCCAACTCGCTCCGCAGTATAGTCGCGTGTCATGAAGTCGTATGGTTCGAGGGTGGAATCGGCGGAGCAGAGAAAAAATTGCCGAAGATAGTTGAAACAATGATGAACATGATGAGAAGCAGAGTCAGGGTGACTGGGGTTGGTCAGTGCTCTGCGAAGGCTGCCTACGCAGTGAAGCTCGTGGAACATAGCAACTGCGAAGACACGCCTGTCTGGACCAAGGCGAATGTATCCCTTGTGCGAATCCACTCGCCAGAGACTGTCCCATTGCACTTCTGCCACATGGCCCTCTAATGGATAATGAACACTCTCCTCAAAAGTCATTTCCACTTCACCGGCACTGATACCATACCAGGTGGGATAGTCCTCTCCCATGTAAGCTGTTGGCACAATGTATGGTCAGAAGCTTTTGAAAAAGTCAGACGTTATGGACCTCACAGTATTGTCGCGTTGGTAAGGAGCCAGAGATCTCCGCATTTCGAGACCATAACAATACGAGAAGAATTATGTTCAGTGCAAGAAGGAGACACAAAGATACGACAAAAAAATAGAAGACGCAGACTCGTGAGCGCGGCCTCTCGGGCTGACGGAAGTACGCTCTGACCACGGTGTGCGACATTGAACAAGTGCTTCGGCGGATCAAACGAAGGGAGACATGCCGCCTTGCAAGATGTAGTGGGATGAACAAGGCTTTCAAGTAATTAGCCAAGATTGCATGGTGAGAAAAGTATCCTGATGCCGAATCCACGAAACTGGGAACATCATAAAGATTTTAGCCGCACATCATAATATTGCTTCTATATTCCGAGTATGGCGGGGTCTTCAGAATCCATCCAGGGTGCACGTATATTATTGCAAGGCGTGGGATGCATCAACGCTGCCAGTGGAAGACGATGTCGGAGATGGAGGTGCTCCATGCACAAGAATCCGGGGATCTTGATGAGCACCGTCAAGGACGCCTATGACACCGGTGCGAATGTTGTGAGAAGTAATCAGGATGAACTCACATTCCTTGAAGCGTCGCGTCTCGGCGGCTTGCTTGCGTTCAGTTTGTACTTAAGGTAAGTAAGACTTGTGAGCGCCGAATATTCGACGGCAGTGATCCAGTTGCTGACTCGATTACAACAGAGTACAACACCGTCGTCGATTCCCGGTGTTATTTACGGCGGCTTAAAAAATCTCATGAACTCAAGGAAGACGTAGGCGATTCGAGGTCCGCTTTATGTCTAGAATTCGTTTAAACCCCATGAGGCTCGAGAGCGGCGATGACGCGTGACACATCAACATATGTAGGTTCCCCTACATAGTTATATCCTGAAGCACTCCAGCTGGGAGGTGAATGCCAGTGCGTATCTCGTTCTCGCCGGTCAAATTAGTGGTCTCCATTTTCTGATTGTTTGCATCTTTCCAGTTGACGCATGCGATGCGCTGAAGATTCCTCAGCTGATACTGAACTGCATAAACTTTGTACCACTCTCTCTTGAAGCTGGAACGTTAGGAGGTCGCTTCCAGGCATCCGACATGGTTCGGTATCTTGTGCATCGGCAGTAGAATGTAGTTCGGAACAGATGGAGAAGCCCATGAATGCTTACCAGGATGGGGTCCACTCCAGAATTCGAATCTAGTCCTATCGTCAACTGACTTGCATCAGGCCGCATCTTGATGTACAGTTGATTCAGTGAGTTCCTTCCTATGCTGAATGTCCAGTGGAACGCGTGCGTGTCATCGATTAAGCGTCCAACTCAGGGTATGATTACGTTTTTACGGTGCTAGTAGGGATTTCCGTGACCTGAGTGACCTTCAGGTAGCATAAGTATCCCTCGAGATCTCTGGTTCTGGAAGCATCATTAGTACGCTCAATCCTTGTTCCAGTTGGCTTATTATACGCCCTCAGATACTAACCTTCATGTCGGACCCGGCGTGGGCTCCTGTCAACGAGACTGCCTCAGATATATGGGGCGAGGAAGCCAATATCGATGGAGTTGCCATTGCAACTACTGCTTATGGTATGCTTAAAATTTGTCCTCGGTCTTACGCTTGCTAAAGCAGATGTAGGAGTTCATCTTACATTATTCTTTCTATGTTTCAACTTGCTGTGGGATTCCAGAAAGCGACAGCCGACCTATGCTTACTCCTTCCTTGCATACATTTCTGCGTTGGTGGTCTTTGGATCGATTGGCATTGGCGCTACAGTCAAGTTCAATCAAGAGACCTACGTCAATAATCGTAACTTTCCCGGTGGTCCTGAGGCTTACAATGTGGAGGAATATGGTGTTCCGTACAGTATCGTTGGGACTGGTGCTTATATTGTCAACAGCTGGCTGCAAGATGGTCTACTGGTGAGTGCCCTCACAGGAGTGCCGTCAGCTGTTTCTGATAAGAAACTAGATATATCGCTTTTATATCATGTGGGGTGGTCATTGGTTGTCAATGACAATTCCTCTGCTCGTCTACTTAGTCTCCATCAGTGAGTCTGAAATTTCTTGACCACTGGAATGCCTGGTATTAACGCTATGACAGTCATGTCGTGCTTTCTTCTTGCTCAGCTTGTGCACCCTGGAGGAACAATATGGCAGGCTTCTAGTGTCAACTTTGCGCTTGGATACTGGTCAACATCGATTGCAATGAGTGTCTTGCTCACCCTCCTCATTATCGCACGCCTTCTTTACGCTCGTTACCGGTTGCGCAATATGCTTTCTTCGGCCCACCTCGCACCATTTCTTTCAGTGTCAGCCATGCTTGTGGAATCTGCGGCACTCTATACTGCATTTGCTCTACCGTTCATCATAACTTATGCCAAGGGCAATTCAGCGAACTTTCTTTTTCTGGCACCTCTCGGTCAAATACAGGTGACAGTACTTAATCTCTGGTACGGCTGCCATCCTGACACTGAACTTGCAGTCGATCGCGCCGTTGTTGATCATTCTCCGTGTCGCGCAAGGTCGTGCCGCTACTAGGGCGACAATGCAGGAAACCATAACAAAAATTGGTGAGGGAATGCGGTTCGCAGATGGCACACAGGTGTCGGTTCCTTCAGCCACCGCAATCGAATTATATTCTATAGGCACCCCAGGAGGGGAGGCTAGTACCGCTACTGTAAAGGCTTCGTCAGCTCTTTCTGTAGGTGGTCACTAGCCAGTCCACCGCATATGAACGGATTGAAAGTGGTGCGATAGGAATATAATTACGACCAACCACTATGAATCCTATCGACACTGCCCAATGCGGCTTTTTGGAGCTCAGGATCTGTTTGCAGGATCACGAAGGTTGCAGGATCGTGCATGTACATATTTAAGTTTCAATCGCTGTTCGTGGTGCATGTAGCGATACACAAGATCTAGAGCTGTCTCTGCGTGCTCAGATCTCCATGTTGAGGCAAAATGGCTCTACATATGGACATTTATACTCCTGTATGCCATCATGGTTTGAGCAGACCACAGAGTAGCCATCACTACCTGTAAGCAGTTCCGTCCGTGGGCTTCAAGATAATAGATAATAAATAAGACGTGCTTCGCACAAAGTCGCGCGCCCCGGAAGACCACTGGCGGGATCTCGATATGATATACAGACAGACTAGTCATATTTCAAGATGCATGTGCATAGATATCAATTACCCCGGTCACTTGTAGATGTCCTACAGCTTCTTGTACAGACACCATTGATCGAATTCACCCACGTCGCTTTCGAAGTGGAATTTACCCTTCTCCTCGAAGCCCCAATATTTGTAAAGTTCAGTCTAGATGGTGGGAATCATCATCATCATCATAAATTGATCCATGGAAAGCCAGATTACTTACAGTTTTCAGCGTCGCAGATTCAACGCTCATCTCTGACACAGTGCTATTGGCGAGGATCTGGATATCAGAAATGTTCAGTGCTGTCTTTGCGCATCTAATTGCTACACGCACGTCCTTCTCTTTCACTTCAAGCAATGAGTGCCCAATACCGCGACCTTGTAACTCCGGAAGTACACATAACGTTTGCAGGTTCCATATGCTTTTCTTTTTGTCTTTACCATATGCAATTGTTGGCACTTCATCGCCCTTCGGCAGGAACTAGCTAGCAAGTCAGGAATTGGTGCCAATGAAGGCGGGGAAGGGGGAGGGGGTCGGTTGAACACATACATATTCTTTCCACCACCTAGCAAGCTCCGCGGGCATGCTTTTAACGAATTCATTGAACCCAGCTTCAGCTTGGTCGGGGCTAAACACATCAATGTTAACATGCTTCTATCGATCACCACGCCAACAAAGCACTCACGAGTCCATTAGTAATCGGCCAGGAGGAAACCAGCCTGCATAACCCACCACTTTCTGGTCAATGGTGGCGATCCAATGCTCGCCAACGATTCGTTCAGCCCCGATGGTTGCTCGCAAGAGGGGGTAAAGATTGCTCCAATCACCGCCAATTAGCACCTTGCTCAACTCGTCTGAGTAAATAAAAGTCAGAAGCCCCTTTCAACCTCGAAGGCGCAATGACTGACCGCCCTGGAACGCGGCCGTCGCCACGGAGCCTAATTCATCAAGTAATTCGGCTTTCGTAGGTTATCAGTATGACGCGTGAAAGTATGAAGGATCGTGAATCACTTGCATGTGGCAGCGTTGAGCTTTTGGAGTTGCCATTCTTGGGTCGATGGCATGTTCATGCTGGATGAGACAAGGGGTATGCACACCCTCTTGTGAACAAACAGATGATGTACCGCTCCAACCTAAACATTAAGTACAGACCACATAAGGGACCCCGGACATCAGTAGCTCTCACAGTCGCACCTTTGCGTAATACTACCATTCCGGCACCTGAGGATGCATCTTTCCCGGAGGCGATGGAAAGGAAGCATCATCCGCCCAATCCTGATCGCAGAGCAGCAGCTTCCCAACGTGATAATCAACTTCGCAATCCTTATTTTTGCAAGCCGGTGATGTCGAGAAGATGTCTAACCGCATCCAGAATCGGCGGTGGGGCGGAGATACATGTATCGGAAGAATGTACATACAGTATGTGCATTGTGCACCTGCATTTGTATCTCCTGAGCGAGGCGCAGAGATAGAATCAGTATCTTCTGCAAACCTGCAAACAAGAGTCTAGTTTCTCCGATAATCATCGATCAGTTCCTGACACAGATGCATTACCACATCAGTAGTTCTACTTGGATGGATATTGCATTAAAAAGGCCGCTGAAAGGAAGGGCATGTGAACAAATGTCCCACAAGAAACTGCGCAGCAAGAAGAACACACCGAGCAAGGGTTCAAAGCGATCTTGCCAGAAGTCCAGATGACACATCAAGGACGTGCAAGCAAATTCAAATGTCTGAACTGAGTCAGATTGACAATGGAAGATATCACTGGCCGCACGAGCATCTTCTCCAACTACAAGGTTAGCTATGGGAGACCGCCCAACTCGCATAGGGCGAGTCTTCCACGATAGCGCACGAACATCGAGAAACTGATACGGATCCGCACCGAGGCGCCAGACTTCGATGACTACCGGGTTGGGGCTGATATTGAACGTCTTATGACGAACTGTCCTGGACGCGAGATGCGATCGAGGGGGAATATTGACTACAACCTGGCAGTTCTCCATAGCATAGTCTAGGACGCGAAATTGGGCGACAGTGCTGGTCTAGATAATTTGGTTTCAATACAAAACCTAGGACCGCCGTGAGACTTACCGATTCATTCACGAAAAAGTGGCGATCTTCTGGGTATACCGTCCCAACGAAGGTGAAATGGCGACGAAGATCGTCGGGAAAAACAAGATTCGCAGACGCAGAGTTGATCTGTGTAAGGATGGGTGCGTGGTTGACGATAGGTTCGGGAGAATAATCATGGTATAAGCTCATGTTGATAGTATCGAGGCCAATGAATTGATTCGGACGAGGCAATGGGCTTCCACGATTGAGCAACGGTGTATTTAGATGAGTATAAATGAGGGCCACGAGAGCGGTGTTGAGCGCAATCCCAACAGTGCAGGCAGATAAAAGCCAGTATGGGAGAGACGAACGCCAAGGCGTCCACTCACTAGAGACACCTAACATCATTTTACCAAATCTCCACTAGCATTTCAAAGGCATTCTCAACATACCACTGCTCGTCTCGAGGTCAAGTTGAGAATTGTCGATAATCAGTGGGACTGCCTCGGAATCGAACGAAAGAGGACCTTCAGTGGAACCCATGTTCATGGAGAGGGTGCAGCGGTGGCGCTGGCGAATGAGGCCACTTGAAGAGGGCAGTATCCTCTGGCTCAATCCATTTTGCGGCGGAACTGGCAAGCCAGGAAAATGTGGATCACATCCAGATACAGTGCCGGAGTACATTGAAAGAACACCGGGATCAAGGCCCATGGCCACAGCTATTCCCTGATCTCGGCGTCAGCCGATCCCGATACACAGGTAATTTTGACTCAAATGATACCACTTACTGGGAGCTGGCGGTCGCTACCTGTCGCTACTCGCATGGTACGTGCGAGATTACATAGCGGATGTGTGAGGTTTCATTCCCCGCCATGTATGATCAGGCGCACAGGCCTTGTTAGAACTATACTGTATATCTTTGGGGGCCATATATGGGCATGGTACTTACTGGAGGAAGTGAAGTTGCACTAGAGCATCAATTTGCCATCCTGCACCGTGAGTGATGGCTTCAGCTTTGTGACATCCAGCTTTGTACACTGCTTACATAACGAGAGCGGGGCTGGGCCTTAAATAATTCAAGTTTCCAGGTCAAAACGTTCAAGGCTTCACTCATTGGCTCGAGCTTTTCAAACTGCTCTAGTAACCCTTTTGTGTCTGTTCCGTGGTCAATATATGCATAGAACTAGTTGAGCCATCGAGTCCGGAACAATTGTCCGAAATTTCATCCCTCCTCATCGGGAGAAGTATGCCAGTATTATAAAGGTATATATTGGACATTGTGAGTTTTTGGTCTGCAGATAAGGTCTTATCTGAACGTTATAAGGCCTGGTCATCAATATCTAGCCATAGCAGTTTACCATGATTTTCCTGATGCGCCCTATGTATATGTATCTGGGGTCACCGCGTCACCGCGTTACCCCGCGGTGACCCGTCGCGCCACCGATGTAATGGCTTAGGCGCCCGTCGAGGTGACCTCGCGGTGGGCGGGGCTCGCGTGTATTGCTCGATTGCCCGCTTCAGCCGTATGACATCCAAAATGGGCGAAAATGCTGCCCAAAATGGCAACACCCTCTGAATTTTCTCCCGGACCGCAGGGTGCCAATGAGACCGCAGATTAGAGACGGTTTGTTTTCTTCCCTTTTTTTTCGCATTTTGCCTTGTACAGACCAGAATAAATTTGTGCTAAGTAATGATATATAGAGTGTATGGTAGGATAGACATAGTGCAAGACAGTGGCCTTCAATACAGGCCTCGCATTTGTTGTGCTGGCACTTACTGGACATTTTCGCACGGAACTCAGAAATACCTGCCTTTTCTGGTAGGATGCAACCTCAGACGCTTGGCCCTCGAGGCCGATACATGAGGCCGATTGTTGATGGCAATTATTGCCTACCAATGCTGTGCGATGTGTGCCGAAGGCTTGTGGGCGGTCCTAGCAACGGGGCATGTATTCTGGTGGTGACCTCGCTAGGCTCAAGCGGAGGTCACCCGCGGGGTCACCCCACTATCGGGGTGACCCTATATACACTCTATGTACTGCCTAGGAAAACTGTGGAAAACTGCATCGGAGATTTCTTACGGCTACTCTGGTCCAGTCGCATCCAGATGTCATTATATGGCAGGTACCACATAGGTGCCATATGTGGTTCTTTGTCTGCGGAATCAGATGATGTCGACGGAGACCCTGAAGCTCGGAATCACATCAACCCCGCCAAGATCGCACCTTCTGACCTTGATCTGTCTTCCTGCATCCAGTCCGGGACGTCCAGTCACTAATAATACTACTGTAGTGTTTCGCGCATTTGTTCACGTCACAGGTCACAGGCTCGAAAATGAACTGAATTTTCAGGTCTGTCACAGGTCACAGAGGATCGTGAACTGACATTTGGAAGCATGACTGGGCGCTTAAACGAGGGTCAGTGCTTTGAAGGGCCGCACAAGTGCAGCTTTCTGGCTACTTTCGGCTATTCTTTCAGGTTGCTGACATTATTTGAGAGCTTACAATGTGCCTCCAAAGCTTTGGAAAGGGATTGGTAGTGCCTTGACAGAATCGGCAGTAGCCATGAACATGATGTCACAGGTCTCTCCGAACTGTGAACTGGGAACCGGACGGTCACAGGTCACAGGCTGTGAACAAATGCGCGAAACAGTACAGTACTCTCGCCTTATGGTATACGTGTGTGATCCACAAAAATCACCAGTATTGAATTGTCTAGAGAGCCGCTCGGTAGTGCATATAAAGACCAATAGACTGCCTATGTAGTCTCTAGAAGTGGCACACCACTGTCTCCAGTATTGTCTCTATGATGCTAGGATTTTGCATTCTTCTTGCTAGCTTCCTGCCGGCACTGGCTTTTGCCATACCGGTGGCCCCCACCGTCGAGCCGGAAGTCTCCGGGTGCATTCTCGTTGACTTGGGTGGTACGTCCTATGATCTTCCCTATAGATGCCGAATGTGCTGTAATCGTCTTTTGTGCTTTGTAATAGATTTTGTGATAAAGGACGATGGAACCAAGGTTCCCGCCACCACCCCCCTGCCTTACTGTAACGTTGTAAGTTCTCATGACCACCTTTGGCCGATAAGCTTTGACTTGGCTTTCATCTTACAGTTCTGACTCGTCATCATGCCGTATATATAGTTGGAACACTTCACGATGGATAGAGGCGTCGGTCGAAGTCCTATATTAACAGTGATGCGGGTAGCTTTTGTCAATCGGATTGAGAACCATGTATGCCTATTACAGGAGACCGAACGATTAGGGATGGATGTACTGGGACTCTGCGTGTGATCATGCCAAATAGCCAAACTAAGGGCTTCCCTGCGCCACAGCGGATTCTTGAGCTTGGTCTGGGCTATGTACATAACGGTAAGGAACCTGATATCAACCATCGCATTAGCAGAGTATGTACGAATCCATAGTAGGCGGCCAGGAGGGACCATACTGTGTAATCCACCATCTTGTGGTCGATTGCGGCGACCTTTTGTTCTCCAGCAATTTTTAAGAACACCGGCCTGGCAGAACTGACCTTGCGCCACAAATACTAATTTACCAAGTGATTCAGCTTCGATAAAAAAATCAATACACAACGTAGAAGCATGGGGAAATCACTTGCATGTGGTAGCAATGAGCTTGCCAGTGTGCAATCGCCATTTAAGTTGGGTGTCATGTCAGTACCAGTCGGATGCCATATCGTGACTTGGAAGAAGTGAGAATCATCCACGCTCCAAGATGAAAATGGCATGGTGAAAATGGCTTGCCATGGAACCCGAAATTCTTGGAAGTCATGATCAGTTGATCTCGGTTCGCGGTTGACAAAGCGATGAGAAGATATTGCTTATAAGGCTCGTTGCAGTTGATCAACTCGAAAGAAGCTTCAGGCGGTAAGCTCGGCTTCGATGATTCGGATTTATGCCAATCAAATCGTTATAGCAGAGAAGAGAAAGGACAACGTTGAGCGGAATCAACAACGCAAAAGCATAGAGATGAGATGTTATTCAACACATAGATATTACTAGAGCCAGAAGTGCAGAGCCTATGAAGACTCAAAGATAAGGAGAGCGTATTGCAATAGGGTACGAACTAGTCGACAGATCAGAGATTTGAGAAAACACGAGAAAAACCTCGTTTGGTATCCTCTTTGGTCCTAGCTACGAACCTCTCCGCAATGGAGGAGTCCAAGCGGAATGCGGCTTCCAAACCGTCGTTCAATGACATGTCCCAATAACCACCTGTACCGTCATCTGCCACGATATAAGCGGGATTCGTACGGAAAACCCGGATGTATCGCTCAAACAGCGCACTGGAATGGAACTGAATGTAACGGATACCTGCGAACTCGGAATCAGGGTCAAAAAGGTCACCGCCCTTTCTCCAGTCGACAAGGTGGCTGGAATTGAATGTGATCTCCCTATCCGAAGCGGGTAGAAGGTTTTGGTAGAGGCCTTCCTGATAACACTTCCGGCAAAGAGCGTTATGAAAGGACAAATACGTTCCAAGGAATTCGGGGTTACGCGCTTGAAGTGTGCCTGCTCTGATGCTGAGCGCAATTGCGGCAAGGCAGCGATCGAAGTGGAGCTCGTGATCCCTTGGGCCAGCATTCGGAGGTAGTGAGGGAAGACTGAATGAAGGACAGGTGAGAGTAATGGCAGCATTCCCAAACATGACTGGAGGCGCAAATGCAGGGTTCCCACGATAGTCAATGGTATTGACGACTGTATCAATGAGCTCTTGATCAGGGTGAAGCTCTGATACCACTTGATTGTGCTGCAATATCAAATACGCGACAAGGACGTCCACTCGAGAAAGCTTGGCAACAGCGGATCCAGGTACCCCAGCTGTCGCGCGTTTCGTCAAGGTTTGGATTTGCGCTGAAGTGAAAGAGATATGAACGGGGGTTGTGCGCTCTTCACTTTGCAATATCAAAGGAATGAGTTCTTCCGGTGATTTGGCATCACGAAGATGCTTCATCAAGGGAAGGAATTTCTCCGCGATCGCAGGGTCTGCAGGTGGCGGCGGAAGGAATACTTTGGTATACGAAGGTATAGGCAAATTGGAGATGTTCGCGCCACGATAGAAGTGAGCAATGTAGGTGGTGAAGAGATTTCCAATGTACCCGTCACCTAGCATAGCGAATGAGTATAGAGATATGTGTCTGGTTAGTCAAGCACACCTAGAGCATGAAGCCAGCAGATAGTGTAAATCATCTGTCCCGTCTTGTGCAATTTTGTGAAGCGTATTCTCACCAACGGCTCATCGTGGTCGATGACGTCGGTAAATGGTATCGGGTCAATCCAGGGCTCGAAGTCCTCCGGGGAAACCACTATTTCACAAACAATTAGACACACTCATACTCGAGAGATGGTCCACTCACAGACGGTTTCCATAGGGAAACGCTCAGTGTGATAGTCGTTGACAACGGAGACAGGGACTCCAGCATTATTTAACTTGAGGAAAATATCCCCCTTCCCTTTCTCAGTATCGGGTTTCTTGCATAATCGGCCAGCAACGGGTGCGAATATACTGAGAGTGTTCGAAAGAGCAGCCATGTAGCGTTGAATGTCGATGGAGGTTGGAAGAACCCATGCACCGTGCATCTGAAGTAGAGAAAGGATCAGCATAAAGATAATAAAGACAGCAAACATGCCCCTACAGTGAAAGACAATACTAAGGTATCTGTCGGAGGGTACAACAGCGCATCCTGTCCTTCACAACGTGTAGGCAAAGTAGGACGAACGATATAACGACTCTCGTTAGATTTAGTTTGTTCGGCAAGCATGGCGATATGACAGTGGTGCTCCTTGAAGACCTATACCACCGCCTTCGATTGTTGACAGGCTTTATACTCTGTCAGAAAAACATATCCGGAGGCCTCGAACTGTTTTAGTTGTCATGTGTTGTATCATTAAAATTGGTCCGAAAAGGTTGCGGACTGAAAGCGGAGACAAATACTCAGACAACGATGTCGGTGGTGTTCTAGTAGTGCGGAAACACCCTAAGCTGCCAACGGTTCCGTCAATCTTCATTGAATACAGATCCTATCTGTCAGCGCGATAGATGTCCCTGCTTAGATAGGAACCTGGTCTCCATCGTTCGAGAACGTTACGGTCCCTTCGCGGAATCAGGGGTAATCAAGGTGACCTGGAGGGATCACACCTGATAGATAACAAGGCGCATGACGTCTGCATGAGAGACAACTATGAAGGTTACAATGATCATTAGTACAGTAGTTCAGCCTTAAGTCAGAGAATAAGGGGAATTATCATTACGTCTACTAGTAGCAGAAATGGACCGTTCAGATAATGGCGAATGTTTGGCTGAGAAGAGATCTCTTGATCGACGTTCGATAATAGGCACAGTTATCAAATATCCGCATAATTCAAACGAGGTCAGTTACGGAGAAGCAAATCCATGTAAGATTCTTAGTTGCACAAAGTAAACTTGCCACGTACCTGGTCCAGCATGCAACTTTGCCGGACTACTACTATGTGCGTCCACTGTAATCAACCAATGTCGACCTCGAACTCGGGGTCATTAGCCCCCGACGTCCAACAATGATTAAGACAATCGATTAAGTTGCGGCGTACTAGCAGACTAAAGAGGTAAACTGCAGCCTTGACATAGCGGTGAGTGGATCGGAACTCGATCTTGAGATCTCGATCAATTTTATACTAAATTGGGCAAGTCCTCATCATGAAGGTCACCCAGCACCGCACCTGCCACCTACAGTATAACTTAGGCCGCAGTGGCTCCTCCGTTTAAGGTACCCAATCATATCATTGACCTTGGCCTCCCCATGTATTTCATTTAGGTCCCGGCGGCATTATCGACTACTTACTGAGTCCCTGGCCACAATTGACCGTACCTGTCGGGTTGGTGGGGTGAATTGGCTGTGCTGGAATTCCTGAAAAAAATCGCTGGAATCGAACGATGGTGTCCCCTTTAACAGCCATCGCGGTACCGAGCTCGAGCAGCAGTGTTTTTATGTTTCCGCTCGTGAATGTCGAAGTGAGAGTCGGATTGTATGTGCAATTTGAGGATACTTCCAAGGATCCACGGCATCTTCATTCTCGAAGGTACGTGCATGTGCATGACCGGAATCGAAATTAACTGCTGAGGCGCAACATGCTTTCGTCGCTCCTGTCCAGCGAACCGAATAATTCTTAAAGTTGGGTTGAGCTTTACCTTGGACCTGATTTCAACAAGTCGAACCCCCAGGATGTATGACGATCGCGGCCTCATGATAACGTCTGCGTGCAAGAAGAAGAAAAAACAAATAAATGCCCGAATACGCCGGGCACTAGTGCGCCATAGAGCAACCACACTACTTGCAGCAAACTCAGCGATATTCGCATCTGTCCGTATCGCTGTGTGTATATTTTGACTTTGATCTATCCATCTGGTCAGTATGAGTAGTCGTCTAGCTTTGACGTTTACTCACGATGCATCGGCGGAAGCTTGACAGCAAATGGCTTGAGTGATGTGCCGTATCGACCCATGTCAGACGGGTTGATATTAAATCTGCGGTTGTATCAATACATGTTACAATGGTGTCTTTATCCCACGAATTAGTCGCCGGAATCATTCCAAGAGTCGAGAACGTAGCAGGCAAGATGGAGGTCTTGCGAGGCCTTGTCAGGGTGTGTATTGTAACTCAAGCTTGCCTTCTGTGCCTGCTCTTCCAGCCCGTTCGTGCGGGATTGTCTCCTGGCTCGGAGATAACAACCTAGGCATCGCTAATTTATCACGACTGCAGCCACATACAACCACCGAGCACTCCATATTTGCTTCACAGAAACCGAAAGAGAAACGAGTACGGCTTTCTGTGTTCCCCCACGTGCATTAATTATGATATACGAGCTGGGCTTCCTGAACCAAATGACTGGCCATTGGATATAAGGCCACCTGACATCCGGAAAGATTGGGTGAACGTGTGTTCTTGTCTGCATGTACTTATACTATGTCGCCATCCGTCGATCAATAGTTGCAAAGCGCAGAGCTCTCAGGTGATCGCTGGGTTGCGTTAGCCACCTTAGACGTAAATGATGTTCTTGCGTCAACCACAAGACACAAGACGCGACCACTAGCAAATCGACCCAATTACTGCATACGAATTTGTAAGTCATCGAGGAATCGGCCTATAAAATGCAGGAGAAAAGCCTGGGCACGAGAAGTTTCAGATGGTACTCCGGATCTTGTAAGAAATTATGCCTGGGCCGCAGCGTGGATCAGGACTGTGACATAAAATTGAGGTTAGGTGTGCCCTGACCACTGACCTCGAAATAGCCGGTATTGGTTCATGCATGAAGATCGAATGCATGTGGAAGAGGAACAAGGGCACCTGTGCTTCTGTGACGCAATCGTTCAAAGGCAGGTGAGAATCTCATGTTGAGAAGTTTGATCTCCACCTGCACACGATTCAAACGAAACCGGCAGGTATACAAAAAAAATCGAAAACACGGCTGTGAAGACCTTCGTCCACTTGTTCGCTAGTGAGGATTTAAGCAACAAGGAAAGAGATGGATCGAGAGGAATAAAACGCGATCGGAGGCTGTGACGTGATGTGACCGAAGACACATGACTGGCGCATGCGCGTCGATGCCGGCGGTACGCGAGGTTAGTCTCAGAGTGTCGCAATCTCGGGCGTGGATGACGAACAAAGGAGATTCTTGCGTATGTCGTCCTCGCAGGATCGATGCATGCCTTTCCGAGCAGTCTCCATTGCTCGTTGTATCCAATCATGGGGGATTTCAAATCCAAATGGCGTGAAGCTCTCGCTATTCGAAGGCAGAGTGGCAAATTCGAGACGAGAAGCACCGTGGATACATAGCGTTCATCGTGTTCTTGTCCGTCCTATCATAAGGTCCTTCCTAAGCGCGAAACCCACCTTCTCCAAACAGTATACATGGAACACCGCCCTAACATTCCTGGCTCTCAGCTTCCAGGTGGCTCCAACATACCGCGCAGAAGGTCACATAGTCAGCCAGGACCGCCTCCAGCAGCTGCGGGTCCGAGTTATAGGGCAAGTCTAAAGAGAGCGCATGCTTGTTCTTCTAGGCAGCGGGATGACGTCCTGACCGACGTAACAGGCAGCAGATCCATTTGATTTTAGTTACCTCTCACCGTTACCAGCACAAGACTCTGAATTCCCCTACGACGAGGACTTGTTCAGGACCTTTATGTCTATGTCGAATGAGCAGCAGGAACATCATCAACAGCCCCTAGGATTTCCACCCTATCCGCCGCCTCCTGCACCACCCATGCCAGAACAATTACCAAACCAGGCGGGTGTCAACCCGCTCGTTACACAGGCGTTCTTGGCCTGGCTGCAATACGTCCATTTGCAAAATCAGCTTGCACAAAACCAGCCACAATCACAACAGCAACAGCAACAACAACATGTACCTCAACAGCCGCCACAACATCAACAGCCAATTCAGTTTCCATTTTCTCTGCAGACACAGGGTAACATTGCGCCACCACATCCACCTCCTGACGTGTATCAAACAGCTCCACGTCCAACACCACAGGCCGGTCCAAGCGGACCTTCACGTACACGCGCGGTATCTGTTTCAGCCGCTTCCAGTCCAGCATCACCCGAGGGAGTCGAACTCACGGAGGCTGAACAGATAGTTATAGCGGAGGACAAGCGGCGGCGAAATACAGCAGCATCAGGTGAGAGTCTCTTTTTAATACAGAGTCTACACCCAAAATGCTGACTGCTTTCACTAGCACGATTCCGAGTGAAAAAGAAACAATGGACACTCAACTTGGAACGTTCAATCTCGGACTTGTCGGGGCGAGTAGAGGAGCTGGAACGAGAAGCAGCGGAGCTAAGACGAGAGAATGGCTGGTTAAAGGAGATTGTCATGCTTAAGAGCAAGCGGTTTGGAGGAACTGCGCCAGAACTAGATCCCACTTCCTCGCAACCAGGCTCAGGTTCGGGCCCGTCCTCGACCGAAGGGTCCAGTACAAGCGTAGACAAAGGTGCTGAAAATGAGAAGGAAGGTGGTCCTGCGGACGGTAGCAATACATCTGGGAAAGACAAAGGAAAAGGAAGAGCGCTCCCTTGAATGACTGATATACCCTGCATGATCTATATACCTATCATTACACTACGCCATGTGTGGACGTGAATTCCGAATTACTGCATTCTGTCCAATCCGAAGACACAGCGAATTCGGAATTGCTTTGTAGGAGTGATCATACAACTGCCTATTATGGCAGGGAGGGTGGGACATCTGATCAACAGACCAATGTCGCGTCGGCCGAGCCGCTTGCTGAAAATGACTCTCTTTTGAACGTTCTCTCATTAATAGCCTGTCGCAATAGTCCAAGACTCTTACGTTCGTGGAGCTTAAGCTGCGCCAAGTCGAGCTTCAAGTTTAAATTGTGTTTCTGAAATAGCTTGAGGCAGTCATCAAACCTTACGATGTTTCCTCGTCTTCGCGAAACATGGACCCACTTTTGACATTCTCAGGAATACCGAGGTCTGCTTGACGGTGGTCCGACATGTGTTTATATGGTCAACGTCTTGCATCTCCGTTCCCCGCGTTATATGATGATTATACTATGCGTCCGAACCTGCTTGGACCCCACAGGACCCCACCGGCCTCGGTACACTGATAGAAAGGTCTACCCAGAATGTATTCTTGTACCTCAATATATTGTGTATTGTCACGGAAATGGTATTGAATGTGATGGCTATGACGGTACGCTGCATAGCAGCCTACACATCGGCCGGAGGAAAAAGTATTGGCTGAGTCGCTTCAATTAACTTGAATTAAGCTTTAACTTCGGCTCGAGGCAGGACCGACAAATTGCCTAATGAGGATGACGGAGCCGGGATGCGTGATGTCACTTCCCCAACACAATTCGTGTTCACCGGCGACTCCGGTCTGGGGTAAACTTCAGAGCTCATCGTGCGCGACGTCGACCACTTCTTTCCCTCCGACCACCATGTCTACCCCTCCAGGTATGTCTATTCAGTGAATCCCCCGCTCCCTGCTGACCATTGATGTTGTAGAGCACTCTGTGATTCCCTTGCTCTCCCGAGCGCTACATCAGATTCGCTCAACACCACCAAGAGTTATTGCTTCTCCCGCCACGCGTACGTGCAGAGTTGACCAGCTTCGATTTCATGTCTGGCCCAAACTTAAATGAAACTCGGCTCCATATTGACTTATAGAACCGAGACGCGCTGCCGTCGCTTTGATCATACGAGTTTCACCACCACCCAATTTCCCCACCACTTCTAAACATGCCTCGTCGCTTACCGACTTTTTCCAACTTGATTGGGTTAATGCACCTGGCGCTAGACCCGAAATCTTGTTCTTGAGGAGAGAAAGGCAGGAAAGCAATACAGATGGTGGTAGAATGAGTGGAAGTGGCCCTGGGACCCGTGAGGCCCATGTTGCTTTTCCAGGTTCGTGGTTCTCTTCAATCTACAAATTTATATACACTGAATGAACATATAGGTGGACGAACGGAAGAGGGAGACGAGGGTGGCATGTACACCGGTAAGCGATTACATGTGATGTTCACGAGACCAAATTTGAATGTCACGTACCATCCCTTCGCGTAGCCATGCGCCAAACTTGGGAAGAGATCGGTTTGGATCTCGCTGAAAATGCCTATACGCCTATCGGTCAGCTGGATGACCGAGAAATCACGACCTCCCTTGGGAAACGACTTCTGATGATTCTTTCGCCTTTTGTGTTTCTACAACTTACCCCACAAACAACACCCGTCGATCCTGCGCCTGGGACAACCCTACACTGGGTACCCCTCACTGAGTTGCTCCCAGATAGCATCACAACTGGTCCCGGTTCGGAAAAGGCACAGCAGTTTCTGCATGAGCGAAGGCCAAAATGGTCCAGTGTGACTGTGGACGCTTCTTCGCGACTTGCCCCTCGGCATTCTACCGTCCTACGTCTTCTTGTCAGACTCCTTGTCGGAAGCATGAAGTTCCCTGCGATCGTTATCGCCACTTCATATCCCACCGATATACACACGCCTTCCAACCCATCAGCCGATGGCAAGGCCATTGACGAAAAGCGCGCTCTGGTTGAGCAGGGCACTCAACCCGCACTACATCGGCAAAGTTCATTCTCGAAGCTACGTCCTCGACACCGGCGAAACGAGCAATTGAAGCTTTGGGGATTGTCTTTGGGCATGACACTCGACCTTCTTGCACACATGACTCCCCCACCACCTGCTACTCCGGAGGGGACAAGTGGCATGACTATGTCAGGTAGAGGTACATTTGTCCCGCCTGATGCACAGACAGAGTCTATGGGTGTCCCTGTGATGGCACCTAGCCTGACCAGCGTGTTCCCGAGGTTCTCATATCCTGATGTCAATTTCTGGATTTGGTCAGTAATTCTTTCCTTGGACTGTGAATTGATCTCTAATCTTTCTTTGTTCAGGGTTTTCGGCAAGCGATATCGTGAAGTTGTTCGCGGATGGGAAGCTAGCATCCGTGCTAGTGGTACCAACGATAGGAGGTCAGACATTTTACTGCTTATTTTTAGAATCTTTTCTGATTCGAGCTTGAATTTCAGGATTAATTGGACAGGTTCGGCACTCAATACATTTTACGCCGCTGTGCGTAAGGCCCTCGTAGTCGTTATCGTTGTACGGGCTATCTTTGTTCTCCTCGGTCTAGTTCTCGGCGGGTGGTTCTTGTTCTTCAGGTAGATGTGTAACGCTCTGTAATTTGGTTTTCTTTCCTTTGCGTAGGCGGGATCGGGGACGCTTGATAAGGACGATCAGTGTATTTCGTGACTTGTCTGTATTTTCTGCTTTGTTTAGATTCTTTGTTCTTTTATACATGAGGATTTCAGGGTCTTTATATTTTGCTGAAAAACTCATTAATAAATTGGTATTTGGTATGGCCATGGCACTATAGTTTAGTGGTTACAGTATCACTTGGGATTCTGATATTAAATTCCCAAAACCCAGGTTTGAGCCCTGGTAGTGCCTTCACCAAAGTCTGCTTTATTCTTTTGATGCTCATCTCATTCTAGCAGCGAATCATCTCAGTGGTTCCTCAATCGCACTCAGGTGCCTGTGGACAGTGTGATACACCATTATAATCTTCGTATACATCGCGCTCGCACTCTATATATCGGCTAAATATCCTTGTTAACGTCCACCACCACCAAATTGGGCAGCCCTATCAAGATAGAATAAGACATTATGTGACGGAGAATTCAGTGAGCACTCACATGTCACGAAGGGTTGGGTCCGACATCAGCTCAGACATATCTGGCATGTTCCCGCCTTGCATGCGATTCATCTGAATGGGAGAATAAAGTCAGATAATCTCAATGAGCACATGAAGAATCACTGGAGTTACCATGTTCGCAACATTCGGATTTGACATCAACCTTTCAATGCCACCATTGGCCATCATCTGTTGAGCCATTTGCATCATCTGCGGGTTATTCATGAGACTGGCCAGGTCAGGCATGCCTCCTCCTCCACCGGGAGCACCGGGAGCACCACCCATACCCATGTTCCTAAGCATCTCCGCCATGTTACCAAGACCTCCAGCACCTGGTGCACCGCCGGCTGATGGTGCAGAGCTTGGGGCGGGTTCTAGGTCAGGGAGGTCATCGTAATCTGTCGCACGGGCTTCAGCGTTCTGAAGGCCGGTCTTGAGAGAAGCATTGCTTGGGTCGAGTTCCAAGCCGCGGCGGAATGCTGCAGCTGCAGCTTTGTAGTCGTTCAAGCAGTAGTAAGCGTGACTATCATAATCAAAGTGCATATCAGGATCTGAGTGTCAGGAGGAGATTGAACAGTTACGTACCCTAGACGGTGATATGCCTTGACGAAAGACGGGTCAACCTCGATAGCCTTGTCGGCGTCGAGGACAGCTTCGTCGTGGCTGCCTTTGCTCGAATAAGCAGCAGCACGGTTAGAGTAGTACACAGCATTCGTCGGGTCCAATTCAATGGCCTTGGTATAAGAAGCAATGGCCTCGTCATAATTCTTGCTTGACATGAATGAGTTCCCCTTGGCCTTCAAAGCCTCCGCAGCAGACTTGTCTTCAGGGCTTGGGCCCTTGAGTTTCGAGGAGCTGGGAGTTGAGGTACTGGGCGCAGGTGCAGAGGGGGCCAGTTTATCCCTGGTTTTGAGGAAGACATCGAAGATAGATTGCAAAGTAGCGGGCTTCACGCTTAGACGATCTCTTTGAGGTTCGTCAGTGGGATCGACACCGAAGGCCTCTCCAATACATTGGACTGTACATCGCCCCATTAATTCTATGAATTCCAATTGTCGGAAATAGTGGCGAAACATACTGGCAACTTCCAGAGACTCTTGATCATCCTGTTTGACTGTACCATCCTTGATGGAGTCGTTGAGAAAGTCCAAAATGGAGAGAACGAGCCGCTGTTTGTTAGACATTGAATGTTCGTGAGGGGAGATTCCAAGTAGGTACGTACGGGCGTCAATAGCGTCAAACGGCTTTCGAACTTTCAAAGTCGTTCTGTCTCAGCCTCCAAGTACTCGGATAACCCTTTGCCTGCTGGTTCATCTCGCTCGACATGTTTTTCTGTTCAATCTCTGGCGAGCCCCCGCAGGACCCGGTTGTGTCGTCAAAATCCGGGCAGGTCTATGAACGCAGACTCATTCTCAAGTACATCAACGAGAGTGGCAAGGACCCAATAACTGGAGAAACGTTGGAGGAGGGCGATTTGATCACTATCAAAGCCAGTGAGTATAATGTCCCGACCTGTTGTTATTGGGTCTAACTGACATATCCGTATGATGCTTAGGCCCCCAGGCTCCAGCACCCCGCCCACCATCTGCCACCTCGATCCCCGCTCTTCTCCAAAGTCTTCAAAATGAGTGGGACGCTGCTATGCTAGAGACTTTTACTCTAAAGCAACAGTATAATGCTCTTCGACAGGAGCTGAGCGTAGCTTTGTATGCTCAAGACGCGGCAACACGCGTTGTCGCACGTCTTATGAGGGAACGCGACGCGGCTAGAGAGTACGTTTTCTTCGTTTGCTATCAGCCGAAAGACATTATTTATGTATATATATTCACATTTACTAGGGCCTTGGCTAGTGTTTCTGCGACAATGGGTGTTGCGGCCCCTCCGACCAACGGCGACGTTGAGATGGTTGAGCCTCAGGAAGCAGGCGGTCTGCCAGAGCACATAGCGAAGCAAATTGATGAGACGCATGCAGCTCTCTCCGCAGCTCGTAAAAAGCGCAAAGTACTAGCAGGATACGTTTCACCTGCTGCAGTCAAGACTTTTACCGCGAAACACACTATCCCGTCGCTCCACTCTTCTTCACCTGCTGGTATCACGTCCCTTGCGCTTTCACAATCCAACCCGTCGCAATTCCTCACTGGAGGAAACGATAAGATTGTTCAGATCTATGACCGAAGCACAGATAAGGTCCTCGCTTCTCTCAAAGGTCACACCAAAAAGATCAACCACGTCGCGTTCCGAGAGCGCGAGGGTGAATCTACACTTGTTCTCTCGGGTGGTGCGGACAAAATTGCGAAGATTTGGTCACACGACTCCGCGTCGGGCGAGTATATCCCCAAGTCGACCATCCGAGTCCACAAAGGCGAGATTACCGGGCTTGCCGTCCACCCATCGTCAACCATTCTTGCGCTGTCGTCTACAGACAAGACGTACTCATTGCACGATTTGAACACCTTCGAGGCAGTGTTCCGCTCTGCAGAATCTGACGAGCCATTCACGAGTCTTTCTATTCACCCAGACGGAACTCTCCTTGGTCTGGGTACTCCCGCCTCGACCATCCAGATCTACGACATTCGTAGTGGCGCCATCGTTGCGTCTCTCACGCCGCCAGATAGCCCACCATTCACCGTTAACACTCTCAGCTTCTCTGAGAACGGCTACCACCTCCTCGCGCCAGATTCCTTGTCGTCAGTCGGCGTCTGGGACTTGCGTAAGCCGAAGATTACCACCTCCATCAAGCTGGGTGATGGATTCAAGGTCAACAAGGTTTCGTACGACTCTAGCGCGCAGCTGCTTGGTGTCGCTGGAACCGAGGGTCTACGCGTGTTTGCGCACAAGACGTGGGAGGAGCTTGTCCGATTTGAAGAGGGTGGTGAGACGTCGACTTTAGCCTTTGGACAGGATGGTAAAGAGATCTGGGGAGTGAGCGGACGTGACGTCAGAATTTGGGGTCTTCCTGCCTAGAACTCCCTCGCCGTTTACTTATTTGCTTGTCTAAATTGCTTCTTGTGTTTGTATGCTTGCGCCATTGTTCTGTAATGCGAGACAGCTTGGCTCTAGACTGTAACTAGGTTGACGTTTATCTAGTGCAAGCTTCGATCGATCATGGCGCAAACTGATCACTGGTACCCAACCTGAACCAGAGGGCCAGAGGCTACTTGAAATCGAAATGATGGCTGCGGTATCTATGAATGTCATGCATTTTCTGTGTACTATTACAATGCGTGAGAGGAAAGAAAGAGGTACTGGCAATAAATCGTAGATGAACGAAATCGAGCAAAAGAACTGCGGCCAAGTCAATCGCACCGAGTTGGGGGGAAGGAGTGAAAAGAAGTGAAAGGAGAAAGAAAGTGGAAAATTGAAAAAGGATTTACAACAGTGCTATGAGAGATGTGGATGCGTTTACAATGAGGCGTGCAAGATAAAATCGTCGTGAATGAAAAAGCGTTCGGGAACATCACATAAGAATACACATAACCCCTGAAAGTACGAAGATGTCATGGTGTTGAGCACTTCAAGACCACGTTCGAGGGCCGAAGATATCGCCAGGTGAGACAGTCAAAGCCGGCATACCGATCGCGTCGAATGTATTCTGCCAGACGGTGTTCCCCCACCAGTTGAATTCAATTCCACCCTTTGGCAGGTAGAGGAAGAAGAAAATAATGATGGCGCTCAGAATCGTACCAGCATCGAGGGCAGCGGAAAGGATGTAGTTGTAGCGCATCCACCACCTGAAGTGATAGCGACGCATGAACCACTGGAAGATTGCAGCGACCATGATCCATGATGAGAAGTTGATGCCCGACGCGGGTGGCATGACGGCGGTGGCACAGAAGATGAGAGGTGTGTTGATGTATCGCCAGATGCCACGAGGGTACCGTCTCGCGAGGAAATAGAAGGGAATGGGAGCGAACGCGCCGATGAGGAAGAACCACAGGATTGGGTTGTACCTGGAGGAAACGTGAGTTAGTTTTGAAGCGAAAAGACACATTATTTCGTTCGACTTACAATTGGCCTGGAGAGAACATCCGTTGTGGTCCAATGGCTCCCCAAATGAGCGAGGAAGTTGCGAACGTCGTGACACCGGGGCAGGTGAAACCACCCTTAGCCTCGGGGGTACAGATGTTCTCAACATTGGCGAACAGCAAGTCCTGAGTGCTGACTACGCAGAACGAACCGATGACGGTGGAAAGAACTTGAGCAACAAACATGATTCGTGGTGGGATCTTCATATAGTGGCCGATCTTCAAGTCGCTGACGAAGGTGAGGGACATAGACACAGGGACGAAGCTGTAAGTCTTGAACAGCATAACGGCAATCGGCTTGTTATTGAGTAGGTAGCCACCAATGAACTCGGAGAAGACGTTAATAGTTATCAGCTGGTTCGTCACCGCGCGAATAATTCCAACGGGGATGAGGAAGAGCAAGCCCACGACGCTACCAACGACCAAAGCCCAGATTGGTAAGTCGGTATCGAAGATCTCAATGGCGACGAGACCGAACACAAGAGCTATCACCCCAAGAATACCATACCACCATTGTGGTACTTCCGCGTACACAGTCATGAGACGGGAGTGCACATCACGTTCGTCACGGATTGACCGGCGGAACTGACGAGCGATGTCGTTGCGGTACCAAACTGAAAATGAGGTCAGTATTAGGCAGAATACAACAAGCAATGTGGAATGCTTACGGAAGATATGAACGATGATGGCAGTCAAACTTGCAAACTGGGCTCCATAGGAGATGGCGAACGTGGTGGGAAGATACAGAGGCGAATATGCCCTGTACTTCTCCTCATCGAAGGTGTTGTTGGTGATGATAGCGGATACATCATATGGATTACCAGTGTTGTCGAAAGCCAAAGCGGCGGAGATGGGCATGAACTTCGCAAAGAAAACGTTCTGGACTGTAAAACTAATATGAGTTCATGGGAAAACGAACATGCAGCGACACACTTACAGTAGAAGATGGGAGTGAGAACCCACATGAAGATAAAGAATCCAGCGAAGACGTTAAGTTCAGACCACCACTATAGATCTATCAGTACCCGATCCGATGCCGCAGAGTGGTATACGTACTGGAGCAATGAGGGGACTAGCAAGATAGGATATCATCGACCAATCAAAGGTCAAGAATCCCATGCCCAAACCAGTCTGGAAACCGAAGAGGGAGTTGACCGTTTGGTTCTGTGGAGCGATCCAGCAGGCCCACGTGAACATGCTCAAGCCGGTGAAGATATAACCCGGGAGGAAGTAGTAAACGAACGCCCCAATCGTGACGAGGAAGAAGAACCTCTCGCGAGACATGTGGTTTCGCTCAAACTTTCCGTAGTTCTTGTGAAGTGTATTGAGGAGAGCGCACTCCACCAGCGCACCAGGCCAAATCATGCTTGAAGGCCAGACAAGGAATTGCCGGACGAGACCAGCATAGGTGTACCCGAACAATTGGGTGGATAAGACGATGAGAATTCTGTATCCATAAGTAAGCTTTTGGCCGTAGAAAAGCTCCTGGATGGCGGTGATGAGAGTTGCATAAGCGTCGTTGTAGAGGAGGTTGGCCATAACGGTAATAACGGTATGCTCCTTGATGTTGAACGGCCCAGGGTTGAAAGACCATTGGTAGCCCAAAGTGTTGAATTTGGTGGTGGGCAGAACCCATTCAAACAACTTGCCAATTGGCAATGCGATCAGCTGGACGACGAGGGGACTGATGCCAACCGACGGCCCTAATGTTGATGTCAGTATAAACGAGTTGCGAAATAACGACTCGAAATACGTACATCGTAGGGACATAACGTGGTTAAACGAAGACATAACAATAGTAATAATGATACCAATGAACCACCTTGTCAAGTAATCAGATACATCAGAAATATGCATGTGAGAAACATAGATAGACATACATCCGGAAGGTATTAACGGGCATAGAAGGATCGTCAGTGTTCGAGATGGCCGCGCGAACCTCAGCGTACGGCGATTCGCTGCAATCGGCAGGTTAGCAACAGCGTTCGACCAAGAACAAAGGGTAAAAGGCATACTCTTCATAGTCCTCCTCAGCTTCACGTAACTGAAGCCTGGAAGCTGCGCCCTTATGAATCGATCCTGTTCGAGAGTCGGTGTCGATGTCGGAGCTTCGTTCCGAGTACCCGCTCGAAAAAGCACGGTCGTCCTTCTTCTCGTCTAGGTCAAATGAGTCGACGTAGGAGGATGAAGAAGGAGGCTCCCAATTGGGATCGTTGAGGTGAAGGAGGGCGACATCCTCGGGCACATCTGGGACAGGATTGCGGCGAAAGCGAAAAATGATGTTTTGGGCTGGAGAGCTGAGGCCAATGGAGGGGGCGGAGGCTGCTGCATCACCAGTAAATATACTACCAGTGTCCATGTTGCAATGAGAGCACTGGTGGAAAGGAAAAGGGAAAAGAGGGCGTGAATTCTGTGAGTCAGGTCAGTGAGCCTTTTCATATCTCCCTGGTAGAGATTACAATTGTCCTCGGCTGATTCTAGATTAGGTGGGATTCTGATATTAGGGGGAGCATCGTCAAGGACGAAACAATAAGGTCTGACATTGGATCCGGATGAGCTGCATTGACAAAAAGGAGAAATCGGGTGAGAGCGAGAGGTCAAATTGCTCGCGCGTTCCGTTAGAACGTCGGTTCAGACGTAAGTTCCATTCTGAAAAAAATTCCCATGACGTCCCGACGCACATTTAGCTCTATTTCTTAACCTATGTGTAGTACTTTTCATCAAGCACAGTGAGTAGGAAAAATGGATAGCTATCCTGAGTTTGCGGGGAGAACGCTCGTGCTCAGGTGCAAGACGAGGAACAGTTCCCATGTCTTATTGGACCGCGCACATTCATAGACGAGCTTATTGTTATGTGCCGTCTGGTAAGGAACGAGAAGAAGGTAATTAGACACGCCGCGACTAACAAACACAATAAGACTGGCGATCACGGGGAGATCAACCGATCACCAGCGTCTGTCGAAGTGATCTTATCTGCGCACCTCAGATTAGATTGCAAACATCCGGTCCGCTCTAGAGTCTCGAATACTCAGTGTGATGCATTGATGTCGGGGCTCCGTGGAGACAGACTGGCGCAAGGGTCGCGATATGATGACCGATGAGTGATCCTGGGTACAAATTGCGAGCTCAGCCAGGTCAATTGCGAACATTACACCGTAATAGAAACTCTCCACAGAGCCATAAAATGGCAGCCTGCAGCGCAGAATTCTTCATCGCCACGCCAATACAGGCACCGGTACTAGTCCCACCATGTCGACCCAGACAATTACGCAGGTAACCGAGTCCATCCCCGCTGTACTATCTCTTCGCACAGGCACGGAGAACAATGGACAGGAAGCTAAGCAATCCTCCCAGGATGAACCGTACCGATATGCCCACCTTCTTCCTGTCTTCCCAAGAGACGAGCATTATCCTCCTCTGACGCCCTTCGATCATGTTGACCCTGGTGCACGAGCTCTTGGCCATGCCAATCCGCGGGCATTCTTGGATAACGCAACAAGCGTTATAGAGTTGACCCCTCACTTGGGTACGGAAGTCCACGGTGTCAATCTCGCAGCCTTGGACAGCGACGGAAGAGATGAGCTTGCACTCTTTGTAAGTCAATATGATATGCATATCACCATCTCCATTGTTCTAACTTTTAGGTTACCAGATTGCCCAACGTGGACTCGCCGTTTTCAGGAACCAACAAGACTTTATCGACAGTGGCCCCGATTTCTATCTGGAATGGGGCAGACACTTTGGTCGCCTGCACATCCACCCCACGTCAGGTCATCCGGATGGCTACCCTGAACTTCACCTGGTGTACCGCGATGCCAACACGACCTTCAACTTCGAGGTCAATGACAGTCTCACGCCGACTGTCTGGCACTCCGATGTCAGTTACGAGCTTCAACCACCGGGTCTTACCACTTTTTTCCTGCTCGCTCAGCCGTCGAGCGGAGGCGACACCCTCTTCACATCTCAAGTTTCCGCGTTGAAGAGACTATCACCGCAGTTCGTCGCTTTCCTGAAGACCCTGAAGGCTGTGCATTCAGGCGTAGAGCAAGCAGACTTCTCGAGGTCTGGCCGGCGGGGAGGTGCCATTCGACGTGATCCTGTCGAGTATATCCATCCCGTTGTACGCAGGCACCCTGTGACAGGAGAGGAAGCTTTGTTTGTGAATCGACAGTTCACCAAGCGAATCGTTGGCTTGAAGCGGGAAGAGTCAGGTACGTATCAGAGCAAGGAAACGTTCACGGGCAAGCCTTTAATTTTGGCGACCACAGAGACGATCTTGAAGTTCCTCTACGATTACATTGACAAGAGCCCGGATAACCAGGCTCGGGCCAAGTGGGCACCGAACACCGTCGTCATCTGGGACAACCGTGTTACGGCTCATGTACGTCTTTCGACAGTCATTACATATAACCAAGCCACTCACGTTATTATTGCAGTCTGCTATTATCGACTTTGCCGATTCCAAGGAGAGACGACACGGTGCACGCATTACGCCTCAAGCAGAAAGACCCATACCCGCTCTTGCCGGACTCGACCTATCTGCATGAGTCGCAAAGCAGGGCTGAAGTCCATGCGAAAATGGCGGGAGAGGATGTAGTAATATACTGGTAGATGTTCTATGTAAGAATTAGTGTAGCTTTTATTGCACACCCTTTGTATCAGTCAGATGGACTCCAAGATGTTGTTTCAGAACAGTATTGAATTGTGGCTTCACCGTTGGAATCGAAGGATGAGAAGGTGCTCTCTCCCTGCTCTTCTTTGGAGAACAACCTAACTGGAAAGTCAGGTCGACATTATACGTGCTAAATCATTCTTACGCACGTCGCTTCGAAGATTGAAGCGTTGTCGCATTCGTTCTTGGATTGCAGGGACATCATTTTGTTTTACAGCTACAAGGTAGAAACGACCCTGAGATGAGAGGAGATCCTGAATGCGACATGATCAGTGAACAGACTGAGCTCAAACAGGATCATACACACATCGACTTGTTCGAGTAGCAAGTCTGTAACTTGCATGCCATTAGCACCACCAGCCCACGCGCCCTGAATGTTTCTTGTCGTTTGAGCATCCTCGGCTTCAGACTCAAAGGTAGGCACATATGGTGGGTTGAAGACGAGTATATCGACGGCGTGCCGTAACCTCGATCGGAGCGGGGCAACCAGATTTGCTATTATTGGCTCTATGGGAATCTACTGGAGAAAATTTGGTTGAGGGCAGAGGCACGCAAGCTGTAAATTGCTGATCGCACGTTGTTCTGACGACCTGTCCTTGCAGTACACGAGGCGGCGCGTTCATTGATATCGGTAGCGAGGTATACTGCGAGCGAAGTCGCGTTCAGCATGACTCTTATATTTCTGGAGACCCTCTTACGGGTATTCGAAGGCCCGAGAATGGTGCCAATGAAACTCGAGACGCATCCTGATCCTGACCTGTAGCACACTCTAAGTGCGCTGCACATGACAAGAATTTCGAAAAAGGCGTACCCTATCTCAAGCGATATCGAAGGCTGCATATTTCGGAGTTCGTCCGCGTCTTGCTCCAAAGCATCCAAAAGAATAAATGTGTCCTCTAGCGAACGACAGTCATTCAAAGCTCAAGAAGCAAAGCGTTAGCGGCGATCATACCTGCCGGTTCATATACCGATTCATAGTCTCTTCTAGTAAGATGCGAAAGGTCTGGTGTTGGAATCATATCCAATCAATTGAGATATCAATTAGTCAACGTTCGGGTACAGTGATGCTGGGTGTTGAACGTTGGGCAATGGACAGTGGATGCTTGAAGGTCATAATCAAATTGGGCGTGCTTAAATTCAATGAAATATTCAGGCATTTAAATTCATTGGTAGTTAACATCGCCTGCCTAGCTCAATCGGATAGAGCGTCAGACTCTTAGGAGTGCAAGTTTCCAGCAGATTCTGCGATCTGAAGGCTGCGAGTTCGACCCTCGCGGTGGGCTACTGCGTTTTTGTCGGGGAATCACAGCTTCCACCGCCCGGGTTACGGTCGATCCTTTCTCGATCACTCTGCGTAGACAAGAGGTTGCAACACACCACCATGTCATCGTTGGCACCGACATACTATCTCGCATTCTGTTTGGTTTCTGTTTTTGTCTTGAAGACGGTTAATGAAGTTGTCACAGAGCCGTACATGGTGAGTGACACGTTTCACTGGATGTATCTTGAATGAGCTGAATTTATTGACAATGCAGGATGAGCCTCTTCATGTCCCGCAGGCGCAGGCGTACTGCAGGGGTGATTTTTACTCTTGGGACCCAAAGATAACAACTCCTCCAGGATTGTATGCATTTCCCATAGTCATGGCATATGTGTCTAATGACAGTCTAACTAACGGATTGGGAACAGATATATATTCAGTGTCATCTTGAAACACATATTTGCTTTGAAGTGCAATCTGGCAATGCTTCGACTTATACCCCTTCTTACCCTCGTGGCCCTTCCACTCGCTATCACTCGGCTGTTATGTTTCCACAAACGCGAACAACCCCCTTCCTCGTTCACCACACCTTCCCCCGAAGCAGTCGTACTAGCATCCTTCCCAATCGCTTGGTTCTTCGGTTTCTTGTACTACACGGAGGTGCCAAGTCTTCTCTTTGTGATTTTAACTATCACAGCCGCAACTCAAGGCAAGCATTGGCGTGCCGCTTTCGTATGTATCACTTCTCTTTGTGGGTGTGCAGGACGTGTATGTCGTCCTCGTGCTAACCTAAGTGCAAGGAGGATAGTTTGGAGCCATAAGTTGTACATTCCGTCAGACCAACGTTGTTTGGGTTCTTTATGCGTATGCAGCAAGTCAGCTCATGCACCTCCGGTTCCGGAGGGCTGCTCCTGGTGCAGCGCCTCTGCCGAAACTGCACGATCCACCTGCACTTGCTGCTGGTCCAGGTACGTGTTTTTCATGTTTCTTTTCTCGATTGCCCAATTGAATGTCTCGTAAGAGGATATCTTCAAGTCCATAGCAAGTGCCCCGCACGTCGTACTAGACATCCTGCAAAACTTCGTACCTTACAGTTTGGTGCTTGCAGCATTTGCAGTATTTGTTATCTGGAATGGCGGCATTGTTCTCGGTAAGTATAATTTTTTCCCCTTTGAATAAGTGCATCCATTAATGCTACGCTAGGTGACAAGTCAAATCACGTACCCGCGTTCCACATTCCACAACTTTACTACTTCGTGGGCTTCGCAAGTCTCTTCGGTTGGCCTGCTTTGATTAGCGGTCAAGAAGGTATCCGTGGCTTGTTATGGAATATTTGGGGACGAATGTTCGGTAGCAGAAGGTACATGAACCAACAGTGAGGTTCTGGCACGGCATCAAACTGATCGATTCATTCATTTCAGGAATGTGCTGTTCACGCTTCTAGCTTCGATTGCCATGGCCATCACGATCCACAAGTTCACGTACGTATTCATATGTATTCTTCCACTTCTTTGTCAACTGACCGGATGCGCCAATTAGGATTCACCACCCGTTCCTTCTCGCCGATAATAGGCACTATACCTTCTATGTATGGCGCAGAGTGTTTCTGCTCCACCCAGTTGTTCCATACCTCTTGATACCGGGATACATCGCATGTGCATGGGCATGGTACATTCGAATAGGTATGTTCACCCAGTTCCATATACATGATATACCCCTATCCTGACTGCTGCCGGCCCAGGTGTCGATCAAACTCTGTTACAGAACTTGCTCCTGCCCATATTCGTGCTTCCGACTCTGCTTCCAACGCCACTACTTGAGCCACGGTACTTTCTGATACCGTATATTCTATTGAGGGCACAAGTTGTTGATGTTCCGGGGTGGGCGGTCGTGGTAGAGGGTGTGTGGTATGCGGTCATCAATGCTGCCACGATGTGGGTGTTCCTGTATAAAGAGCGACCTGGGGTTGGTCGGTTCATGTGGTAGACAAGTAGCCTTGACTGTTATTTATCCTTTATTCCGCCGTACACTCCTTGTTCTTGTGTAAACGCGACGCGTGACGGTGCGTGACGTGTGGACCTACTGTGACGGCGCGTGGTTGACGCGACTGGTTTGATTTCAGAGGTGGCAGTTGGTTTCCGCCAGCCGACTATCACTAGGCCACTAGATCCAAATATTCACGCAGTGCAACGCATCCTAACGACTACTCACGGCGTACAATCTTTCTCATATACCCTCACGACCTTTTCAACTTTCCTATCTTGATTCCGTCTATCCTTTTCACAATGTCTGCAGAAGTCGGCTCGAAGCCGAAGATGGCTCCCAGGAGCTCCTCCATTAAACAATTCTCAAGTTTTCTCACCGGGGTTATGCACAGCGATAGCAAGGAGGGCGAGAAGGAGAAGAAAGATGTTAAGAAGACCAAAGACTCTGTTTCACGACGTACCAGTCTTGCCCCTCGGCCGTCTTTAGATAGGCAGGTCGGAGGGAAAGCCGATAAAGATATAACTCCCGAGAACAAGACGATCACCAAAGCCAGTCGACGACTCTCCGGGTTACCGAAGCCTGGGCATGCGTCTTCAGACGAGAAATCGTCCTCCTCAGCGATGAGTCCTAAACTCACCATCACTCGTGCTTCATCTCTGCGTCCCAAACCCAGGGTTTCTGGATCTGCTTTGCCAAAACCAAAGTATAGACCCAAGTCCGAACTTATTGAACCCAAGAAACCGCCATCCCCAGTACGAACGGGTACTCGCCGTCGTTTGAGTAGCTCGGACGACGAGGGAGATGATGACAATGACAAGCCCAAACCTCCCCTACTCCATCTCGACATCTCATCGTTGACCGATAAGCGGGGTAGACCTATCAGTCCGATGCCTCATCGCAACGCGTTGAAGGTCAATGTCACTCTCAACACACGACCTGTTACCCCAGAGATGAAAGGCAAGTCATCCAGTCCAGTACCGAAGACTTCGCCATCGCGAAACCAAACATCAGCCTCGAAGATCGCGAAGACCTCGAAGACATCTGCGACAGTCCCAAGCCGTACCACTGCCCCTCGTCCTCCTTCCTCCACTTCCTCCAATGGTACGGCTCGTACACCCCGTACGCCCAAGACCCCACCATCCGTGCGCAACATATTTGGACCATCGAGCGGTAGCAATAAAGCAAACAACGTTCTTACAGGCAGTCCCCTTCGTACAGTTGCACACGCGTCCCAACTACCAGACTCACCACTTGGCAGAATCTCTTCTGCAAAGAAAGCCCAGCAATCCAGCCCGAGTCCCAGCCCTAGTCCATCGAGCCGATCAACGCCTACACCTATGATATACACCGAAGGGGCCAGTATGGACAGTATTGATATGGACAGTATGGATGCGAACGACGTAGAGTTTCTTTTGGGCGAGGGCGTTTCCCCGACCAAGCCCACTCCAGCTATTCCGCGTCTTTTGAGGACACTACCCCCAGATGAAGAAGATGACGAACCACACACGCCTTCACGGTCTACATTCCTTCCTGCCCGGTCCCAACTCTCTTACCTCTCACCAGCGCCACCTACATCCGAGAGCTCACCTTTCCTTCGACCTAAAGCGCGACAAATAGGCAATGAACGAGGCTCGATCTTGTCTTGGGAGCAATTGGCTCTCCACAACAAATCATTGGGCACTGAAGACATTGGGCATATGCTGTCCGACATCCCTGCGCCCTTCCGGTCAGGTGCTATTTCACCAGCTCTCAGCTCGCTACCCGATATTCCTGAAAGTCCTACTTTGAGCACGCTTCCATCGCCGACAGGCTATGGGTCGATATCTCAAGTTCTCCTGCCGGACGTAACACCTTCTCCTGCCCCTCACAATTCTCATCGGTTTGAGCAGATGGCTGCAGGACCCGAAATCGCAGCGGCGGACTCTGCCATCGTCACGTTGATGCGACTGCAACTCGCGTCAATAGAGAATATAGCCAAAGAGCGTTTGATGACCATTCAATCACTCGAAAACCAGTTGTATTCGACGAAACAAGCTAGTATACGAGATGTGGAAGAGCTCTCGACGCATGTTAGCGTCTTGGAGGAACAAGTACGGGCTAACTTGCAGGCAGAAGAGCAAAGGGCGGCCTACACCGCGCAACTGGAGGCTCAGTTGGCGGATGTACGTACATCTACTGAACAGGCCGTTTCTGAAGCCGAGCAGAAGGCATGTGAAGAGGCGGCAGCTGCGCGGAAGGCTGCACTGGATACGCAGAGGTTGAAGTGGGAGTTCTGCTCTGCTGCTGAACGTCATGTTCAAAGTTGGAAGACGGCGAAGGACGATATCACTGCAGAGGTGGAGCATTACATCGACACACGCGAGACGTTGGATGTACTCAGGCAACAATTGGACTCCATCTACCGACAGCAGGAGCTTAGACTCTGTTCTTCGTAATACCCCGCATGGTACGTTTCACTTCTAGTCACCTTTCGCATTTTGGCTCATAGAATCCACATACAGAACAATCGTATTCTATTTGAATATTTGTAATTATCTGTAACACTATTTCATGCCCAATATCCATCATTCCTTTACATACTTATGTATGGTATTCCAAGTGTTGTGCGGGTATGAAAGTAATATACAAGATAGGTATAAGTTATTGAGGATCCAATGTCAGTCATACTGTTCGGTTGCAACGAGACAAGCATCCAACAAGCAGCAATAATTATCTGAGGGAGAAGCCTGATCCAAACGGCCCTGAACAGCGTTCCGAATGACTTCCCGACTGCAAAAACATGTCAAAAGATGAACGAAACATAACAGTAAACATGGAGACGTACTCTGCGCGGCCATAAACAACATCGACTTCGGCCTTCAACGAATTGATCGACTTGGGCCATCGTGAACAAATGTCCTTATCCAAAACAAACGAAATATACGCTTTCGACTTGATCTCATTGAGCACAATAGTCGCTGTAGCTTTCACAGATGGTGATTGTTGCTCAGGCGCAGGTAGCAGCTCAGTAGACAGAGGGTATTTAACCTTCAGGAGGTTAAGTTGTGATCGAAGTTGTGCGCACGACGACCAGAAGTCGCCTAGACGTTGCAGAATCTATACAACTATCAGTTGATGTCTCAATGGAACGATCAGTAAGGAAATCCTACCCTGCGCGTGCTCAGATTTGAGGACTCAGCGACTACTTGACGTGCCCCTTGCAGCATCATCTCTGTGTACTGAGGGAACGAATCTCGCTCTTGACGCGAAGCTTTCGTTCTCTTGATATCGATTTTGGCCAGTACTGGTTTATACTTCATGCAAGGGATCGTCACGAGATACCGAGACGCGTACACGAACTCGGCCATATCTGGACTGATCTTCGTACAACGCCAGAGGTGCAGATCTTGCAATGCTTCCAGCTCGTCTAATGGTCGCTCTTAGAAAGTCTGCGTCGTTGTGGGAATGTTGAAAGATCTCACCTCTCAGTCTAAAGACTTCGGCACTTGTGCTCTCCTTTTGGATATGCACAATGTGTTGAGCTTGGGTAATAGCCCCCAGAGCTTCTTGTTTCTGCGCCTCGATCTCTGCAAGCTTCTCTTCAAGTCGTTCGAGTTTTGCCTTAGCTTCTGACAGATCAGTTGTATATGACTCAATGACATGGCTGTGGACGAGAAATGAGTCAGCATTGCTAGATCTTAGCGGTAATATGTCAACATACTCTTGCTCTGCAATTGTCGCCTTCAACTCGTTCAACTGGTCCTGATCTTGTTTCTCAACTTCCGCAATATCTGCTTGCTCTTGTTCCAATTCACGCATGATCTGGGCATATTCTTCTCGCAGACCTGGAAGCATCGCCTGGGTTTGCTTTCTGATGTTTTCAAGAAACATGGCATCCTGATAACACGTGAGCACGTGCTAGACATACCATACCACAAAGAAATCACATACGGATTCCAGGTTTGCGAACGTCTCATCAGCAGTCACCTGCAGCTGTTCTGTCCAGTCCTTTTTCCAGTCATACCACTGGGATCGAGCCATTCCATGGCAGTAGGCCTTGATTAACTTGAGCTGATGCTGAGATAGTGAGGTCGAGATGTGAGTACATTGCATGGCTTGGATATACTGAGCACTCACAAGCAGAAACTCACGTTCGCTCTCATCGACTTCAGCGAACTCCCGGAACAGCCCCGGAGTCATTTTGATCGCTTCTTCATCCGCTTCCTTACACATTTTCTTACTTTCCTCGATCCATGTATGCAATTCACTGGCTATGGTGGTATACAACTCCAGTTGAGGAATTTCGACCGCCAATGCAGTCACAAACTCCGAGAGTGGGACATCTTCCGTCTCTTCCGCCTCATTGGTGGACGAGTCGAGTGAACGTCGTCTAGATCGTTGTCGTAACTGATTAGGATGGATAGTTGAGCGGCGTGGCGCGGCAATCTCATCCATGAAGCGGATTTTGGTCATGTCGAAGAATTGCTCAATTCCAATAGATGGCTATATGTGATTAAATAAACATTGCTTGTGAAGTCAACATAGGGTATAGGTACTCACCCCTTCATCGTCCATAGCTTGTTCTTCTTGAACGTCATTTCGCCATTGCTCCGTATTGATGGGCTCGGTGGTATCCTCTTCTGGCGTAAGCAGGGTTTGAGCAGGTTCTTCAATGGTTTGATCAAGGATATGGCTAAAATCGTCTTTCGGGATCTCGGGATACAATGAGGTAGCAGTGGGAGGCGAAACGGGTTTCTCGAGAGTGGGAGACCGCTCGGCTGTTGAAGATGAACTAGCAGGTGCAGCTGCAGAAGAGCCAGCTTGTGGGATCTCGGCTGCTTTTGCAGAAGCAAGAATATGAGATTGAGAACCTGCCGTAGGACTCAAGGCCGAAGGATTAGGTTCATTAACTGTAGGTGCAGAAGCAGGCGGGGGACTTGCAACTCGCGGTGAGGCCGCTCGATGAGGTGTAGGAGGATCCTCTTCCATGATCCTCGAAACGTCTGGATACAGCGGTGCACTATTCTGTGCAGGCGCGGCACCCAAACTAGCCCTTCCAGCCTTCTTTTGCCCCTTCAAAGCAGAAGGTAGCTTCATACCAGGTGCCAAACTCTTTCGTTGAGCAAAATACCCTGATGGCCTTCTCACCATACTCGTTCTTCGATTCGCAGTGGAAGGAAGAGAAGGTCCGGGTTCCAAGAACGACACCCTCTTCGCAGGTGATAGTTTCCCTACAGCTCGTTTCTTCGCCGCGCTAGGTTGGTCCTCCGAATCACGAGTATCATCTTCTGGCACTGCACGCTTCTTGGGCGACTTAGGCACAGTCGGTGGTGCAAAAGCGGCTGTACCTTTGAATATAGGTCTTGGGATCTTGGATGGTGAAGCCGGTGTTTGAACCGATTTGGGAGGTTGCTTAGAAGGCGAAGAAGGTGCAGTGGAAGGTCGACTGAATGTGAAGGGAATAGGGACCGTTGCCGGCTGCGGAGGTTTCAATGGAGATCGAGGTTCACTCGAAGATGGTTCGGGTGAAGGGGCTGATGTTGTTGCTGTTGCTGAGGCTGCGCGGGGTAAACTGAAGACACTAGATGTCCTTGGGGGCTCTGGTTGTGGAGGAGTCTCCCGTTGTTGCTGTTCTGGCTGGGTCGGTTCTTCGCGGCCATTGACAGGAAGATGAATCGACTCATCGTCTCGATGAACCTGAATGCGAGCCGCAAATACGTCGGTCTCCTCCATGAGAGATGATTGTCCTCCCAGACTGTTTCTCATCAGCGTAGTGACATTGATAGTCTGGTCGCCAGAACCGTCACCGAAGCTATCATTTGAGCTGGTAAAGCTGTCCTCCATATCGGCCATCCCACTCTGGTCAAAACCTTGACCTTCCAAGCCAGACATATTATTCATAGGCTGAGGCCCAATACCCAACGAAGCACGAGCTTTCATCAATCGATGCAAAGCAACAGTTAACTCCATAGCATCTCCTGTATCATCTTCAGTACCGAAATCCTCCAGAGGGATCACGTCGTCAGGTGCGTAAGAAGGCTCTTCTTCCATATCTTGGCTTTGGTCGGGGTCATCGTTCGCACCTGCATGCGTAACTGCGCGTAGCTGCTGCCAAAGGACATCCTGTGAGGCAGGTGGACGAAGGGACTTGTTGATTGGGATAGTAAATTCCATGGGATGTGTGTTCTCTCCTGAAGAGCCGTCCCCAGTGCTCAAGAAAGACGTAGTGTTACCGGATGAAGAAGTTGTCGCATCGTCCTGACCATTTTGATGGTCGAAAGTTTCTGTATCATCAGTGGGTTCGGGTTCTTCAATAATTGGTGGTTGGTTCTCGCTGTGCAATAAAGAGGAGGTCATGGGCGGCAATGCAGAAGACCGCCTTCGGAGAGGCAGCTGACCACCACCGAGGGAAAGCGATCGTTTCCTTAAGATTCGGGGGTCAATCGCTTCTGTAATGTCCATATCCTCCCCGTCATCATAATCTTCATCTTCCGCATCCCAACCTTCGTTGTTCTCGTATTCGGCCAAGAAATCCTGAGGTGTAGGCGCTTCGTCGTCGTCCATTTCCATCGAGCGCTCACCGAACTCGCTGAACATAGTTGAAGAGCGTCGACGCGTGCTACTGCGTCGTCTCCGTGCAGCGGCCTGGGGTGCAACGTTTTCCTCATTCTCTTCGTTGTTATCATCAGCAAAGCGAGGATGACGTTCTGGAGTACCTCGTGACTTTCGGGTCGAGGAAAGTTTCTTCTCCTTGTCGAACAAGCGAACATGAGCATGGGCAGCAAAACTGACACGACGATCAAAAGTCTGGGTTTCTTCTGCATCAGACCAAGATTCTTCCTGACTCCCAGATGTGTTAATGGCGCCCTTCAAGATACTCTTGCGAGGCTAATGCAAACATTCAGATTTCAATGTCAGAAACGAAGTAGACTATATCAGACGCATACACGAATCCGACGCGCCCTGGCCACTGGACTGAGCTTATCTCCCGGGGCAATACTGTAAGCTCGCCTGCGATGCTGCTGAGCAGAATGGGCAGATGAACCCTGGTTGAGCACGGCAATGGAACGCCGCCTGTTTGGCGACACTTTACAGATTACTGCCATGTCTAGGGATGTGAATCAAGAAAATGAAAGCCAAGCGCAGATCAACTCAAGATCAAGATAGATGTGTGTACCGAGCGGTGATACTCGCGAGAGGAGGAGGACGCAAGGACGCGAACTCAACAAAACGAAACGCGTTGTGATCACGAGACTGGAACGACCACGTGTTCTCCTCGCGGCGCGATCGGACTGCGCGACGCGTTCAAAGTTGTCTTTGTGCTGGAGAGCGCCGGTTCGATCCTTCACTGTCTCATCTATTGACATTTTGATCACACAGGCAACTCAAAGAAGCGATTTTGCAGAATTCAGCATGGCCAGCAAAGCCAAGACTGCGACCCGTGCATCCACTAGGACCAAAACCCCCACCGGTACAGTACCTGCTGCAACTCGTGTTACGAGAGCGACGACTGCCTCGAAGATGAAGTCGACAGATGTTCCCACTAAGCCCGCCCCTAGAAAGGCTCTTGTCAATAGAGATAACTCTCCAGATCTGAAGCCCGCCTCCAAGAGCTCTCAAAAACCACCTTTAGCCAAGACGGCAAGCTTAGCCACAATCGTTGATGATGATGATGAAAGAGAACCAATCAAGGTGAACATTCCAGAGTATGCTCTGTGGTTCGATTTCTCATAACACGACTATTAGGCATTTCTGCGTATCCGTCCTCACTTGGGCGAGGACGAGCCTTCCGCAACACCCTACCTTGACCCAATCTCTGACACGACAGTCCGCATGCAGGACCCTTCGTCGTCTTCACAGTCACAAGCTTACTCTCGGATGTCGACTGTGAACCCATCATCACTCTACACATTCTCTCACATATTCCCGCCATCCACTCAACAGCCACAGTTCTTCCAGAAGACTACTTTACCTCTAGTGAAGGATGTGCTTGAGGGACAGAGTGCGCTGCTGTTCGCGTACGGTGTCACTAACTCCGGGAAAACGTACACCATCCAAGGTGGTAACAATGAAGGCAGCGCCGGTATACTCCCTCGTACGCTTGACGTCATCTTCAACAGTATCGAAGGGTTACATGGAGATGGACGAGTAAGCATCGTGCACAGTCATGTCATATATAAATCTTGATGTCCTGTGGTGTACAGTATCGACCCGTTCGTTTGCAAGGTATTGAACTTGCCACAGAACCTGCCTCCTCTCCGAACACACCAGCGCGTCGTGCCGGTCCTTCACTGGCAGATATCCTAGAGGACCAGATGACCGACGACATTGATATTGACCCAACCACCCTCACACTCGATCGTAACTATGAATACACTATCTGGCTCTCATATTCAGAAGTTTACAACGAGAAAGTCTACGACCTCTTCGCGTCCGTAGACGACCCCACGTCGGAGCCCCAGCCTACCATGTCTGGTATCCCCCGACCGACTTCGTCTTTCCTCAATCTTCCGTTGCCTTCATCACAATCTCATCCCCTTCTACTTACACGGAAGGCTTTGCCGGTGAAACCATGCCCACCTTCCGACACTGATTCATCATCTTCGGATATGTCTAGTACCGGGAAATACATCGCAGGTCTCCGTCAGATTCGAGTCCACAATGCCGCAGAAGCAAAAACATTATTGAAGCTAGGCCAGCTCCATCGACGGGTCTTCGGTACAGTAGCCAACAGTCAAAGTAGTCGAAGTCATGCCTTGGTCACAATCAAAGTCCTCCGAGTCCATCGGGGAGAACGGAACGATCCTACGAGCATTCAAACAAGCAGACTGACTCTGGTTGATCTGGCTGGTAGCGAGAGGACGAAACACACTCATACCAGTGGAGAACGATTACGAGAGGCGGGCAATATCAATAAGAGTTTGATGGTGCTTGGTCAATGTATGGAGACGATGCGAGCGAACCAGAGGGCTGTCGCTAGAAGTCTTGCTGGTGGATTGGGTAGCCAGAGGATGGATACGAGAGATGTCAAGAAAGGCCTTGCGGTTGTGCCATTCCGGCATAGTAAGCTCACCGAGGTCCTTATGGACTACTTCGTTGGTGAAGGCCGAGCCGTGAGTACTCATTTAAACTTCGTCTTGTGGTGGCTACTAAAAATCACGCTCTCTGAGACAGGTCATGATCGTTAATGTCAACCCATACGACACAGGTTACGACGAGAACTCCCATGTGATGAAGTTTGCCGCTCTTGCGAGGGAAGTATGCACGACAGCACCGACGGCGGTTCCTAGAGCACTTCCAAAGGCGAAGCCCGGTCAAAAGAAGTCTATCGTTGAACCGCAACGTAGAACTGTATCCATCTCACTGAAAAATGGCAAGAAAACTAAAGAGACTCTTCTTGAGGTGCTTGAAGGTTAGTCTTTTGTTTCGTGAGAGTCATCGACACATTTCTGATTATTGGGCAGAGGATGAAGATCAGGAGGGTGACACTGATGTTGAGTTGGAGGATGAGCCAATCAATCCACTCGTTGATGCGCTGTTCGACGAAATTGAACAGCTTAGAATCCAGGTACGTCAAATTGGCCATTAGCATAGACCTGTAGACTGATTTTCGTCCAACGACGTAGCTTTTTGAGTCTGAAATGCGTTCTGCCATTATCGAGGCCGAGATCAGAGAGGAAGTCATGTCTGAGATGGAAGAGAGGATGCGTATGATGGAAGCTAGGCATGCGAAGCTGCTCCTGAGAGAGGTGCGTGAACATCTGTCAAAATTTACACTCGCGCCTGTGCTTATTGAATCAGGTTGAGCGAAACGAGATGAAGATGGATGCCAAAATCGACATGCTTCAGAAATCCGCCATGAAGCCCAAAGGAACCTCTAGACGTGTGTATGAATCTGAGACCGAGGAAGAAGAGATTGACATAAGTCTTGTAAGTTTCTTGCATTGATTAAGCCTCGCAGTATACGTTCTGATTCAGTGTTGCTCTTCTAGAAAGACGATGAGATGGATGTCGACTCCGAATCTGAAGCAAGCCGTTCGCCCTCTCCGCTTGCGACAAAAGGAAAAGGTGTACAGAAGACAACAAAGTTCCAACCTTTCTCATCCAGCGCTGATGAGTACGAAGACGAGATCAGTGAGGACGAGGATGAACCAGTGCGAGACTATGAGCATGAGTCGGAGATCGAGGAATGTACACCAGCCAAGAACAAGTCGTCAAAGAATCCACCGGAGTTTCTAACTTCGCCTCCTCCATTGATTTTCGAAGCCGACGTGAAGGCAGCTCAGAAGGGCAAGAACACCCTGAAGTCAAGTAAACAATCCGAAGGCCTGGGAAGTCTCACCAAGGAGCTGAATTTGCTTTCTCTGCAAAAAGGCAGCAAGAAGACTCGGTATGTTTACCTTTGTCCTACGTTTCTGCTAATCACTCATCACGGATTCTCGTATAGAACGTCGACTAAGAAGGCTTCAGAAGTAGCAGAGGAGGGTGAGAGACAACTGCGACGGAGTACTCGAGCGAAATCATAGATGCATTTCCTTCGGGTAGTGCCTTAGTGTATTTTTAGTGTGTACTTTTGGATACCTAGGCCTGTAGCTTCTGAAGTCTACAGAATAACGTTCAGACAGGCTGGGCAATACATGTAAACTTGTTAACCTTGCCTTAAACTACAGCGCTTGCCTTATACTGCAAGTCGGTGATCGCCGATGGCTTCCGGCATAAAAAGCGCCCGCTGCAACTTTTTCTTCATCACTTGCTTTGCCGTTTCTGACTTATTCCCCTTCTTCGTTATCTTCATTCATTGAGGTTAGGCGGGCAGTGCGATGTCGCGTCTCCTTGTGAAGAACATCCCCGCGTATCTCACTCAATCCCGTCTTCGTGAGCATTTCGAATCTAAGGACGGCCCTGGTGGCACGCTCACCGATGTCAAGGTCGTCCTCAAGCCCGATGGTACCTCTCGGAGGTTTGGCTTCGTCGGCTACAAGACTGAGGCCGAAGCTGAGAAGGCCAGGAAATGGTTTGATCGAACTTTTATCCATTCTTCAAGAATCAGTGTTACTGTCGTAGATGTATGTTTTCCATCTCTTCATTGAAGAGTTTTGATTTAACTTCTTATTTCAGGGCGCAAAGGATGCACCTGCTCCAAGACCGAACAAGCGACCTCGCCTTGATCCATCGTCACAAAGTGGGTCTGGTAGCGGTGCCAGAGTCACTTCCCAGAAGAGCACTGCGACCGCTGCCGCTTCTTCGTCCAAGGACGCACAGCTCGACGAGTTTATGAAAGTGATGCAACCTCGTTCAAAGAAGGGTCCTTCATGGGCGAACGAGGATGGAGTCCTACAGCCGTCTGGATCCTCAGCATCTTCCAGAGGGAATGCCCAAGCTTCGGCCATTGAAGATACCGGTATGGCTGAAACGGTTGATGCTGGGGAGTCGAAAGCGGAAGGTGTTTCCGATATGGACTGGTTCAAGCGGCATACGAAACCAACCCTCGAAACCGAGTCTGCGGAGAAGGCATTTGAACAGTCCGAAGACGAGGGTGAAGAGCAACAAGAAGTAAACGAGACGGTTTGTGTTTTCATTGTCCATAGTTTTTCATTCACTGCAACTCATACATTCACAATCAGGATGGTCGTGAGCGGCCACCGGACGATCCTCTCAAAGCCACGATATTGGAAACATCTCGATTATTCCTGCGTAATCTTGCCTTTTCGTGTACAGAAGAAGAGTTATTAGAACTGTTCAAACCCTTTGGTACTATTTCGCAGGTGAGGATCTTACCTTCACGTTCTTCTGTGTGAGGAGACGCCTGGTTGTCAAGATGATAAAATAAATAGGGACATCAGACTCACATACGTGAGGGTGTTGATCCTTCAGGGAAATTCCGATAGTAGAAATAATATTCTGAATCTTCTTGGGCATCTCCTCACCGTTCTCTTCTCGTATTCGCTCTTTCTAATCCGCGTTCTTCATCAGGTACATATACCCTTGGACTCCAGCACGAAGAGCTCGAAAGGCATGGCCTATGTGACCTTCGCTAAGCCGGAGGATGCACTCTCTGCATATGAGGCTTTGGATAAGAAGTCATTCCAGGGTCGATTGTTGCATATCCTTCCTGCGGTGAATAGGAAAGGGAAGGTTGAGGTTGAGGATGTTGGGAAGAAGCGTAATCTAAAGGAAGATCGCGAGGCCAAACGGAAGGCTACGGCAGGTAAAGAGTTCAATTGGGGTATGTTGTACATGAATGTACGTACTCAATCGACACTATGCAATATATTTCGTTTTGACATCACCGTCATTCTGTAGAGCGACGCGGTTGTGTCGTCTATCGCAGACCGCATGAACATCTCGAAAGCGGATATTCTCAACCCGGAGTCGGACAACGCTGCAGTAAAGCTGGCGTTGGCTGAAACGCATGTAATCCAGGAGACGAAATCGTTCTTGGAATCTAACGGCGTCGTCCTGTCGGTTCTTGCGACAACTACACGCGTGCCACGGAGTGATTCCACACTTCTTGTCAAGAACATTCCGTATGGTACTACCGCAGAACAAATTCGGGAGCTCTTTGAACCACACGGAGAGCTCAGACGAGTACTAGTACCGCCCGCAGGCACTATGGCGGTCGTGGAGTTCGCGGATGAAGACGATGGTAGGAAGGCATTCAAAGCAGTTGCATATCGTCGAATGGGCAACTCCATCATCTATCTCGAGAAGGGTCCAGTTGGCATGTTTGCACCTGTGGAAGAGAGTCCCGCAGAACCAGTCACTGCAACCGCGATCAAACCTGTAACGATCCCCGACCAGGAGGCTATTGCACAAGGGGAAGAGCCTTCTCTTGCCTCAGGCACTACTCTTTTCGTCAAAAATTTGTCCTTTTCCACAACTTCAGAACGTCTCACTCAAGTGTTCCGCAACCTGCCTTCATTTGCCTTTGCGCGTGTACAAACCAAGCCAGATCCTAAGCGTCCTGGTGGTCGACTCAGTATGGGTTATGGCTTCGTCGGATTCAAGGATGCAGACGCAGCGCGCAAGGCTCTCAAGAGTATGCACGGCTATGCCTTGGATGGACATGCTCTGGTCGTCAAGTTCGCTGGACGGGGTGCAGAGGAGGACACGGCTGCGGATGCAAAGCCAAAGAGCACTACAACTAAGATGATCGTCAAGAACGTGCCTTTCGAGGCTACGAAGAAAGACATCCGAGAATTGTTTGGGTACGTCAGACTTCATTTCTTATTTTCCATGATTTCATCCTAATTCCTTTCGTTTCAGTTCACATGGGCAACTCAAGTCTGTACGTCTGCCTAAGAAATTTGACCACCGTTCTCGTGGTTTCGCGTTCTTGGAATTCCTTACACGACATGAGGCTGAAAATGCCTATGCTGCTCTGAAGCACACTCACTTGCTGGGACGCCATCTTGTCCTGGAGTGGGCGGATGAAGCCGAGCAGGATATCGAGGAGTTGCGAAAGAAAGCTGGCGTTGGATTTGGCGGAGGGAAGGAGCTCCCAGGGCGAAAACGAAAGCTGGAGATAGGTGATGGCGATGGCGACGGCGATGAAGAGTAGTTGCTAACACTTCACACCCTCTGAGTCTACTACATCTCGATGTGAGACGGACGAAAGAATATTTTTGTGGGATAAATTAATATGTGCGAACTAAGAATACATTGATAGAAGATGCGATATGGTAAGATAGTGGTATCATTGAAAGTCCCGTCCGCCTGGAAATAGCATCCAAGAAGAGCAGGTGAGAGAAACGTGGAGAAAGTGGTACTGAATCAGTCACTGGCATCGGCTGCTCGTCGTCGATTAAGGCTAAACCTCGATGGGGAGGAAACTGGGCTACGACTGGGATCTGAGATAGATAGACGTTCAGAGGATACGGATTTCCTTGGTTGTTTGTCCTCAACGCCGAATTCCAAGCGAAGTCTTAGTAAACCTTGCCCCTCAGTCAACTCTTCGAAGATATCAGCTGACGAAGGACCGGTTTTGTTGAGATGACTCCAGATCTTTGCCAAAGCGTGAGCGGATGGACGCGGCATAAAGGTAACCGAAAGACTTACATCTACCTCCGCAGACCCAAGCAGTTTGTCCCTGCCGATTGTCTTGTGATCATGAATCCAAACATAGAGGGTAGGGTACGAAGGGTTTGCAACGAAAGTGAAGGTCTCGTTCCTAAAGGCAAAGTCAACATAGGACAGATGAAAGTATTCGGGGCGCTTACCATTCGGGCGTCGACGTCTTCTGGGCGTGTTTCGTCTTATACTCCTTATCCCCAATACGAACAATAGCATATGGCTTGACATCCTGAGCGAGGAGGTCCTTCGCACCCAAGACAGTGACACGGATTACACCCGCTTCAAATTGATGACCATTGGCAGATTCACCCCCACTGAAGACCGCACCTTCCGCACCCAACGTAGCTCCCATGCCAACGGGCTGAGATGCTGAGCCTGACGGAAGGTCTGGAATGGCTGATCGATCTACTTTATCGGCGAAGGAGATCTTCTTAGGAATAGCAGTGCCGGGTCCTTCATCATCAGATTCTGACACTGAACTGCCTTTCCCTCTCCTAAACACCCCCGCGACGCCTTGAACTACACCCCGGCCTGCGCTGACAGGAATATGACCTATCTGAGTGGCTGCACGACCTGCCGTGTTGAACGTGGAGGTGTTCTTGCGCTCCTTCATCACGATCTCGGGTGAGAAGAGAAGCCGAACATACACTCGACCTTTATCCCCGATTTTGGTCGAGGACAAATGAAGCACACGCTCCACAGATTCGAAAGGCTCGAGTTCAGCAAGGTCTATCTTGGTTTTGCCAAGACTCTTCGCCTGCTCAATTTGGTTCCAGTCGAATAGCTCAATCCAGAAGTCCGAACCCACTCGAGATGGCTACCCACAGACATCAGCGTCACAATGAAACAAAAGCTGCATCGATACGTACCACTTGCACATTGAAGTTTTCGTTCCACTCTGGGTTGAGTGTTTTCTTCTTGGTTTGAGACTTGTATACCTTCTGACCATTAAGCTGGAACACAGCGAAAGGATCAGATTTGCCTGAAGAAGTCTTCAGTGTGAACACCAGGGACGCGTAAACTTAAAAGAATAGGTCACGTACCTCCTCGATCAAGCGCATGTATATCTTCTCCTTTCAGAAGGTCAACCCGAAGCATGCCTTGATCTGTAAGACGGAAAATGAGAATGACTCCAATCGGGATTACCTCCACACTTACTATTGATGCTCTCCCTTGCTTCGAGCTTGACGGGCACAGGAAGGAAGCGCGACTCAATGACAATAGTAGAGTTCTTTGTTTCATCCCCATCGCGATCTTGGAGTTCGAATGTTGTCGGTCCCTCCTACATATAATGTCAGGTGAAATTCAGGAAACACAATATGAACCCTCATACCAATGACTGTGAGAGAAAGATCTTGGCGTCTCCCTTCCATTCACCAATGATTTCATCTTTATCGCCTTCATCTGCTACGTTAAGACGTAACCAGACGCGGCTGAAATCCATTTCCTTGACGAAGCCTTCGCCGATGTATTCCCATTCGGCGTGGGTACTGCGTGACTTTACAGTACTGAATGCTGGCCAGTACCCTTCATCCAGAAGCATCTCGAGCCGCGCCTTCCTCTGCAATTTGCCGGAAAGTACATTGCAAATAATGATACCGGACTCTGCATACTATATTAGTCGTGACAATGAGAAGGGCAGTGATTTCAAACTGACGATATTCAAGTAGTTGGTCATGGGATAATTTGAGCCCAACCTCCTCCTTCTCACCGCCAAGTGTCGGACTACTAGGACTAGTTGGACTAATTGGGGCCGTCGGGCTCGTAGGACTCGTTGAGCTAGTTGCTGTATCCACCGTGAGGGCAGTCTCTGCTGTGTCAACGGACGTGGTATTCTTCCGATGTCCACGGGTCTGCAAAGGTGCAGTTGTCGTGATGCGATCGGGAATCGCTTGCACCTCCTCATCGGAAGACGATATAGAAGTACCATCAGAGGCGACAGTACCGCCATCTGCAGAGTCACCAGACATCGCAGTGCGCTTCAACTCGTTCATAGCAGCGTGGAACTTCAAGCCCTTGATTGGGATCGCAGGGATGAATTCGGCCTCATAGATAATTTGTCCCTTGAACGTGCCCTTGTCAAGTTTGACAGCATCTTCTCTGGCTTGCTTTCCTGTCGACTTGTAGAGGAACTCTTTCGCCTCCTCGCCGTCTGCAGGTAAGGCAAGATCTGCAACTTTGAGTTCAGCATAGCCCAGCGAACGATCCTGTAAAACCAATTAGCCGAGTATTCTTGTGAGACGCCAGACCAAAGCAGCACGATACCTTTGTAAGATGCTGATAATCCATGAGTTCGAGAAGCATGGTCTATAGATGAACCACAATCAATCAAACTTCCATACTTCCATACGATAACAAGGTTGTGTCGACGAACCTCCTTCAATGAATGCACTGCGCGCCAGAATCAGCGTGGTAGTACCATGGGAGCAGGATTATCCGACTACTTACCAGGTATATAGATAATTTGGTCCCACACAGGGTTGAGATCTGTCAAACCCCACATAAGCACGCTATGTCCGAAACAGCACAGGTACCAGACGCACTGTTGTTTACAACCTCTGTCCGACCGGCAACTATATTATTGATGAGCACGCGAACATAAGGGTCGCTCTGTAAAAGTGCCATGGTCAGCGTCTGTTGTAGAACTTATAGCAGCCATGAGTCGAGGCAGTTACTCACCTTTCCACCAAGGGCGGCCTCCACATTCCTATAAGACATCAGACAATTGTGAGTGAATTTGACTGCAATGTAATTTAGCCACATACTTCACATCCGCCGCCCTTTGCAGCCAGAGCCTCACAACGCCAATAGGGGGAATATATTGGTCGACACCGTGCAAACTACCAGCCATGTTCAAGGGTTTCCACTCGGCGCTTAAACGCAGTCGACCACTAATACATCCATCCAGCTTCCACCAGTCCCTTCCCACCTCTTTCTTCGCCTCCAGCAAGTCATCAAGGCGGACGCGCATGTAACCCACGACAGGATCTTTGAGGAAGTCTCGGTCATCGATGACCTTGACAGTGATCACAGACGAGTGTCTGTCTGCACACAAGAACTCGGTTGACGACTCCCATACTGGATTCAAAGTATGTTTGTGGCGAGGTGTGACATGGATGGGTTTGGGACCAGTGAGTAGCACTTGGCCGAATGGGTTGAGATCGCCAGAACTTGATTTCGTAGAGTCAAGTTCCTTGGCCTGGTGCAGGGTGAGGCGGACAATACCAACGGCTAAGCAGAAATCATGTACGGTGAGGCTATGCCGTTTGACACGTAGGAGTCGCTACTTACTTGTCTCCGGTAATTCTTCGATGCCGCTCTGATCCACCTGAGGTTTAAGAACTGGGTAGAAGTTGACGTCGAACCTCAATAGACCCTTGTCCTTCCCTTCTCTCAATACAGGCAACTCAATGCCGTCTTGAGTAGCATCCTCCTGAAGCTTTGACAAGTCAAAGACTGCCGCACCCAACTCTGTGTCCTTTCGGTGGTCGTTGTAATCAAAGACGGTAAGCACAAGTGACTCTGTCAAAGAATTGACAAGCAGGAACTTGGTCTCGCCCCATGTTGGGTTAATCCTATAAGACAGTTAGCGATGTTTCCGCGCTAGTACACACACTTTGCAAACGTACGTGCTGTGTCTGTACTTCGTCTTCGCGAGTTCCGCGCGCTTGTTGATGCTCAAACTGACGAAGGGGTCCGGAGTACCACCTCCCATCTTAACACCTTTCAGTCCACGTGCAGAGTGGAGTGTTACTTGCAATACACCAATCGCAGAATCCAATGGTTCGCCCGACAACATCTGTTCCAAGTTCAATGTGAACACATTCGGGTCATACATCATTGGTCCCAATATGCTGTGGACCATATCGCGGATGAACGCCGACAAGCCAGGGATCTACAGAGCCATCAGTTTCGCATGGAAGTTTAAACGCGTACGGAACTGGCACTCACAATACCAATGTCAAAGCCGAACGCCTCACCACCAATGGGCTTCAGGACATAGTCAAACACAGGTTTCTCCATGAAAGACACGTCCACTACTTGAACATGTGGGAAATTCGTCATCAGTTTCATACGAATTCGCATGAACCCAGAGAAACTCATGTCTTCCACGAGGATGGGCATGGACACTGACGCTACGCCCTTGCCAACTCGGACGTTGAGAACAATCTTGGGATTAACGATACTTTGAGCTTGTTTCAAGGTGAGATCCGAGGTATCACTTGGGGTGAAGGAAACTTTCCAGTCCATCATAACTATGTCATCTTCCGTTCTCGGCCAGGTCTTTACCCGGTCAATTCGCGGCGCTTTCGTACCGAGAGTGAACGTCGTCATACGCATGGATTCCAGGAACGCGGGGCAATTCGTGCTCAAGACCTGGTCCACAGTGGAAATAATAGTTTTGGAGAGGACAGGTTCGTAGATAAGCCAGAATCTATCCAAGAAGTGGTTGATCCAGTCAGCGGTTTCGTGTTCGTTCATGAGACGCGTCTTCATGAGTTCTCGTTGGATGTCATCTCTTGCTCGCGTCCGAACACGACGTATTGACGTGGTGTAATAAGTGTTGCAGAAGGCCAGGAGGATGAACAGCCATCCCCATCCGAGACCGAATCGCGTTAGAAAGTGGGTCACCACCACGGCCTGATAGCGGTGATTAGTTGGGAGCGAATTGTGGTACTATGCAGACGCACCAAAATGATGACCGCACCGTTATGGTACCAGTCTCCATAGAATTGTTCACTGATAAAGGCATCTAGGAGTGTCTTGTCCTTGAATTCATCTTCTGCTGCGACCAGGTCAATGCCAGAAACAGCTCTCCATCCAACCTTGTACCAGTCGGGAATTTCGGGTGCCTGTGCTGCTGGTAATGCTCCCGGCGGCGCAGGGAGTTGTTCATCAGGAAGAAGTTCCTCCTCTGAATTCTCATCTTCGGCTGCCTTGTCAACGTCCTCAATGGTGATGGTGGGGACTATGCGGGAGGCGGCGGCAGTATCGATAGCTATTTCTGTTAGAGTATTAGACGGCAAATGTAACATGACTAATCATACATGCCTTTGCCAATGGACGCATGTCCATTATCTTGCACACTTTTCAGTTGGTCTATATTCTTGCCAGCGGAGGCAGCCTTCTCGTTGGGAGTCGCGTCTGGGTCAAACGTGTGTACAGCGACGCGATCCTTGGCGGCGTCCTGCTGCACGATACCATTGACCTCGGTTTGGGCTGCGGGAGTGACTGTTCCGTCGACGACAGCGTTCGTCATAGACGGCGAGGTAAGAGGTTAGTGTTATGGGGAAGAATTAGGAAGATATAGAAAGTAAGAAAAGGATGGTGGCGTATATGCACAATGGCAGACCGAATGGACCCCGCACCAAAGCCAGCTGTAAGACCATTAATGACGTCCACCCCCAGGACCCCGGGTCTCTTCCCCGTTCTGCCTCCGTCGTCTGCACTCTGTATCTCCGGCCGGCGAATACTTATGGAAGCTGTGCCGCAGCTTACTAAATCTTTTCCTCCGCAGCAGCGCCAGGTATTCGGGGGTCCTCTCTCGTGCGCTTGGCCCCGCTGCGCCGACGTCAGTTCTGCGCCGCTGCATGTGTCGCGTTGACATTCGTTATATGCGTCCGTTCTCAACGTTACTGGCCCGTCAGCGTAGGCAGGACCATTCAGAAACTCAACGTTGTATGTGTAACTTTGGGATGTACTTGTTCACGGGAAAAATGTTTAGAGTCGTGTTGCAGTTAACGTTTATCCCGTTCCTGGATCGCAGTTAGTCGCGTGGTCTAGCTGGGCTGCAGCAGTCTTCAATTGTGAATCTCGAGCTCAGACCTCGTTATTCAGACTGAAAGTCTCAAACAAAACCTTGTTGTTTTTATGCAGTATGTTTCATCTCAACAATGCAGTAAGAAACCTTTTTTTTTAACGATTGCAAAGCGACAAAAAGATTCAGCATAAACAGATTTATAGGCGCTACCAGGGCTCGAACCTGGGTTATGGGAATCACATTAAGTCAGAATCCCAAGTGATAACCACTACACTATAGCGCCTTAATCGCACTATATTTCCTATTTAATATGTTTAAGGATAACATAAATAATATCAATTATTCAATTATAATACTGTCTACACATTCATCCGCTCATAGTTCTGCCCAGCCAGCATCGACCTCATCCCCTCCACTGAACATCGTCAGTATGAAAACAATCGCACTGGCCCCTACGCGCATACCCAAACCCCGATAGAGTTGTCCAATGCCTGTGTTCCTCAACCAAGTCTCTTCCTCTTCACCTTCCGGCCTTGAATCCACTTTACCCTCCGGTGTTTTACCCTTAGCACTGACACTCTTACGTCTCCTTCGTGTCGGCTTAAGGGGGAGGTCCGACCGTTCCTCTGTCAGAATATGCCAGAAAGCATCGACAATGCCATTGTAAGGAGCCGGCCGAATCTCGACGCATGCCTTTATCGGTTTCGCCGTCCCACGGACCTGTACTTGCAGTCTCCTGCGAACAGTCTCGAATGGAAGTGTTACAAGAAGTCCGGCACAACTGCCAAGGAATTCAGACACAGCCCACATGAAGGGTGCCGACTCCGGCGTTGGCGGTGCACCACCGAAGGAAAGGTACGACGCCACTAGACCCGGAAGGATGAATGGAACTAAAGAACGTAGCGTGCAATCGAGCAGGGCGGGAACCAACAAATGGGGATGGAGGTATACGCCTTTGAGGCCACCCTCTTCCGAGATGATCTTCTGAAGCGCGTTGATAGGCCCGGAATAAGTGCGATATCGTGGGTGTGATGATTGAACAACGAGACGTGTTCGAACCAGGTCCAGCGGTGAGAGAATAAATCCAGTGATTACTTGAGAGACGACGGGGAATAAGAGTGGTGGGGGTCCATAGGGTGACGACGAGGATATCGGAATTATGGATTCTAGGATAGATTGTACTACGGGTTGAAGACCCAAGGCTAACGATTCGCCGATAGCAGTTGTCAAAAGCCCTTCGCGAATAAATGCCCGTCAGTCGGATGTCTACATTCCAATGTAGAAAGAACCATACCTTTCCAAAGGGACAACCATCCTTCAGGTTTAAAGCGACCTAGTCGCTTCATCATACCCCAAGTCCCGTCCGCACTGCCAACCGGTATGACATATTCAGGAATAGTGCCTTCCTCGAGCACAGACTGTCTAACGATATATCCTCGATCGTCTGATAGTCGACGAGGCACACGTTCTGCATTAGCATCTGTAGGGTCGGCGAAATACGAGTCATTCTCAGCAGATGATTCACCGCTTTCCTGAAAGACCAGAATGCGTCATTAAGGGATACTCAAATATAAGATTCAGCAGAATCATACTTCTTCGTCTTCTTCATCCGTTATGAGAACAGCTCCTGCGGGAAGGTCACCAACATCACGAGGTACCCACTGCACCTGTAACAGAGTCTTCCCTACATCCCAAGGAATAGAAAGCGCAGTGGTGGCATATTGAAGTAATGCCGAAGCGAAGAGACCTTGTAGGATCAACTTCACGTCAATACCAGAACCATCATCGCCTAACGAAGTGGACAAGTCCAACAAAGGATTAGGCGCCGGCCTGGTAGACCATTGATACGAGGAAGATGCAGAGGTAGAAGGTGCTGAGGACGATGCTGTAGCGTTGATTGGATTGGGAGGTGCGAATGACCAAGCGTTAGCCGGAGCAGCGTAAAGGTCTCGGAGTGACGCAGGCGAAGTCATTGGAGGAACATCAGCAAATCAGCAGGATGCAAGTGGCGACTAGGTGGACAAGATAAATGCACAAACTCGCTGAAAACGATGATTTGAAAGTTAAAAACAATCGCGTATGTGCAGAGTGCAGAGGACGGTCGACGTCGGCAACTCGGACGCGTTACAATGGGGCATATGGGCGCTTCCAGGCATGTTTACCTCAGTGTTCGATCATTTGCACAATAAGGCAAGCAAACCGCAATGGCAAGACATTGCGAAATAATAGAAAGGAATATAAGTTTCTACAGCGTCAGGTGTCCAAATAATGGTCTTCTCGTAATATACAAATTAACAAACAGTAATATCCATGCGAACAAGAGCATCAAAGCCGAGAGTCGAACCCGAAGTGAAGCCTGAGCGGCCTGAATCTACTCAGGAGCAACAGTAACCTGTACCGTTTGAGCTACCTTCCGAGCGAGAGTCGGAGGAACCACGTCTAACTGAGCCGGCATCTCATCGTGATGTCCCTAGAGGAACACAAAGTATTCATTCCGAACTGTCAATCATGTAGGTTGGAATGGAACGTACATGAGTCAAATGATAGCGAAGGCCACTCTTCTGCCGGTACTGATGTAGGCAATTCGGGTGTGGACATTTGAATGTCTTCTTCTTGCTTTGATTGTTCGGAGGGCCATCATCAGTGGGGGTAGGTATTGCCTCGTGTGAACTAATGGCAGTCGCGGATAGAGCTTGCTGGAAGTGAACTTTCGAACTAGAGAAGACAATAACAGTTGGATGGAAATAAGGCACAGGCAGCACAGTCACGTACATTTGAAGATGATATTGCAATCCATTCAAACTCTGTAAAAACTAACGGTAAGACCAACGAAAGATACAGTTCCAGATAAAGCACACGTACCTTCCACCCTCCACCACATCCGGCCAATGAACATCTAAAAGGCTTACTATTCACAATTGCACCAGCATGATCATCTTTCCAATGCTCAGAAAGCTCCTGGGAAGTGGCGAAGCAATTCGAACTCGACGAAGCAATACCAGGCCAACAATCCTCGTGACCACAAGCATAGGCTAGAATATTCGGACTGTCGAAAGGTCAGAATCGACACATGCTAAATAGAGGTATGTACTCGCTCTGAGCCTGCAGGAAGAGTGGAAGATAGCTTCGGCGGGTCCCCTGTTCGTTCTGAACGCCGGTGCACCTGAACGGGTTGTTTCTTGGTCTTCTCCCGGGTAGTTCGGTAGTGTCGTAGAGGGTCAGGTTGAGAAGCGGGCTCAGCACCTTGAGACGTCACATGTTCAACAAGTGCAGCCGCCGCCTCTGGAGCGGATACCTGTTGGGTCGAAACATCGTTCGTAGTCTCAGTTGACATAGGTTGTCCATCTTCCTCTCTCGAGAAAGTTTCTCGAGAAATAGCGGAGTGTTGAGGAGCAGGAATCTCCATATGCTCTTCACGTACATTTGGTGCAACCGGTGGAATAACGTTTATATTATCTATATTGTTCATACTTGGCCGGTCGTAGTCCTCGAATTGCGGTATAGGATCATGATCGAATTCTTGTCCAAGAAGGGTATCCTGAGAATGCGAAAGAAATTCAGAGGCATCGTATCCAGGTCCCGGGCTGAACGAAGGTGTATCTTGAAGTGGCTCGCCATCAAGCGATGAAGCGTGTTGAGAAGTAGGCGATACAGAATGATCATGATTGAGATGTATCTCCTGAGGATTATTAGCGGTGGTAGATATCGAAAGGGCGGCACTCAAGGATGAAGACGTGAACTGGAAAGGTGGTGGATTAGAAGAAGAGCCAGACTGAATGTTGTTCGATCCACTTGGAGTGTTAGCAGGTGGTTCAAAACGAGGAGGAACGTATGACTCTTCATGCGAGGATGACGCATGATAATGTAGAGGGTCATAATATCCAGCAGGACGGTTGTCCCAGAATTGAGTAGGATCGAGAATAGGTATTGGAGGTATCCAATTTGGTTCTGGAGCTCGAGGAGGGGTGGGAATAGGGAGTTGAGTTGGCTGTTGCGACGTGCTCTTCGCAGTTAGAGTAGCCTTTCTCCTTTCCAGCATCCGCCATCTGGTAAATATATTAGGACGTAGTAAACTGATACTGGCGAGAAGGGGCATATACCTGTTACGACAAGCAAGTCCACTCCGATTGAGCTCATGTCCAACCTGACCCCATTTACCTCCGAGCCTAGCATACACATCAAGAAGCCGACCGTCCTCTTCAGAAGTCCACTCATCCTTTTTCAGAGTCGGATCCAAAGCTTCTCGGTACCGTTTCGAGCAGGCATCATCGGTTCTTCCAGAGATATGCCTAGCAATAACAGACCACTTTGTCCCATGGGTAGCATAAAGAGACAGGAGGAGTTTGTCCTCTTCAGGCGTCCACGCCGTTTTCTTGACCGAGGGGGAAAGCGAATGAAGCCATCGCTAATAGCAGAACCGTTGAAGTACACAGCACATTGGTATCATACATAGACCAACCTTTCTGCAAGCTTTATTTGTCCTTCCCGGCACTGAGAGTGCTACTGTCTTCCAGTTGTCAACTTCACCGTGTATTGAGACAGCTTGAATCAAAAGTTCGTCTTCTTCCTTCGTCCATGGCTTCCCCACCCTATCCTGGCTCATTTGCTGACCGCCAGCACCCCCTTCTCTAGACAGGGTGCTATCGTGATACGACCTAGCCAGATGTGAGAGTATGCGGAGATGAGTAGGATACCATTTGGAGAGCGGAAAGCCTTGAAAGTGATCAGATCGAGAGCACTGTATACATTGCCAAATGCGTAGTGTTACGTAAACCGCGATCTACTTGTTTGCTACCACCATGTCGCTCATCGTTGGTTATTCCTCGGACGAGGACGGAGAGCCTGTAATCTCTACTAACGATGCTTTTGGGCTCTCAGGTTTGCCAGTCGCGAAGAAACCGCGAGTGGAAGATCCAGTGTCACCTCCGACTTTGGAGGCAGCACCCGATGTTCTTGCTGAAGTGTGTATTGAAGTTGAACCAATCTTGTATACTCACTCATTTACTCATGAATGAAATAGGACCCGCTTCACCATACGTCCTTGGTCACTCGACCGACGGACACGCAAATGAATGTCAATATCCCGTACTCCGACATGACTCTACCCCTTCAAGGTCCAGAAAACCCATTTGGCGATCGAAACCGTTTCCTAAACCAGAATGCCTTGGCTGGACATGTCGAGGAACAAGCCATGACAGAGCACGCTTTCCGACAACAACACTTAACACATTCCATCCTTGGTTACTCTGCTAACCCATCCGTCGACTCGAATGCGCCTGCCATCCTGGGTTCTCTTGAGAAAGCCCAAGCTAACGGGTTCGGTACCATCGACACCATCAAAGCACCAAAATCTACAAAGAAAGATCTCAAGCGGAAGAGGAAACCGAAAGGTGATGTAGAGATTGTTGACGGTGAAGGCTCATATGAGGGTCCTTGGGCGTCGTGGAAGGGAGAAGAACCACAAGGCGCGTTCCCAGAAGGCGTCGAAGCGGAGGAAGAAGAGGAAGAAGAGGAAGAGCCAGAGGAACAAGTGCAAACGAGAAAAGCGAAACCCAAGCGCGGTGCACCTGGTTTGGAGTCCTCCGTATTTCATGGCAAGTCTTTGGTTGACTACCAAGGACGAACGTATATGTATCCGCCATATTCGGAGGCTCCGCAGTTACAACACGAACCCGGATCCCAGGAGACATTCATTCCGAAGCGGTGTATTCATACATGGACCGGCCACACACAGGGTGTATCAGTTATTCGACTGTTCCCGAATACTGGTCATCTGCTATTGAGCGGTTCCATGGACACAAAAATCAAGGTAGGCAGTTCACTGATTACAATCTATTTGCCTCGTGCTCACTTATGAACAGCTCTGGGATGTCTATACACATGGTAATTGTTTGCGAACGTTCCACGGGCACATGAAACATGTCAAAGACCTAACATTCTCGAACGACGGACGAAGGTTCTTGTCATGCGGTTATGATCGTCAAATCAAACTGTGGGACACAGAGACTGGCCAATGTATCAAGCGTTTCAGTAATGGCAAGATCCCGTACGTCGTCAAATTCCACCCTGACGAAGACAAACAACATATCTTCCTGGCCGGTATGTCGGACAAGAAAATCATTCAAGTAAGTTTTGTTTTACTTTGAACTTCACCGGACCGGGATACGATTTACGAATATTGCTATTTGAATAGTATGATATCAACTCTGGCGAGATAACGCAAGAATACGATCAACATCTCGGACCTGTAAATACTATCACCTTCGTCGATGAGAACCGTCGGTTTGTCACCACGTCGGACGACAAGACTATCCGTGCATGGGACTTCGACATCCCGGTTGTGATCAAATACATCGCGGAACCACACATGCACTCCATGCCAGCAGTGACGCTTCATCCGAGCAGTATGCATCTTTTCTCTCATGATACTTATCACAGGCTAACGTCAGACCTTCCAGAGAAATACTTTGCCGCACAGTCCCTCGATAACCAAATCCTCGTGTACAGCACGGACAATTTCCGGCAGGCGAGGAACAAGCGTTTCGCCGGACACTCCGTCGCAGGCTACGCTTGTCAAGTAGGCTTCTCCCCTGATGGAAAATGGATAAGCAGCGGCGACGGTGAAGGCAATGTGGTGTTCTGGGAGTGGAAGACTGGCCGAATCAAGTCACGTCTTAAGGCACATTCCAAGGTTGTGATAGCTCATGAATGGCTGCCTCATGATACGGTGCGTTCTTATGCATGCTTGTTCGTGGCAACCTTGAGGCCGGAGGCTAATACTTGTGTTTGTTTGTTGTAGTCTAAAGTAGTCACGGCGTCGTGGGATGGGCTCATCAAGCTTTGGGTAAGTCTTCATCTGTCTCTTGGCCGATTAACGTACATTGGCTAATTCGTTTTTCCTGTATAGGATTGATTACGTCCGTGTATGTATGCATGTTTTGTATAATATCTGACATTGCGGTGTGTGCTATGACATCATTTGCACTTTCATGTTCGATTTTATGTGCCGCTAGTTCCTCGATGAATCGACGGACATGTACAGCAGACATTCGTAAATTGTGACTCACCAAAGCCCTGTGGTGGAGCTGGGTGCATGAATCGCTATTTTTGTGTGATCCAGGGGAAGGGCTTCGTGGCATGAACTTACGGCTACAATACATGGCACATGCCGATGCGAGGGACACTTCACTTTTAATCATGCCGTATGCGATGGCACCTCGATTGGCAAACGCATTCTATGTCAGGAGATTTGTTCAAATGCTGTCTTCGATGTCGGAACACTGATATCTCGCAGCGGAATTCACACTGTTATGTTATGATTACTTCCATCTGCATGTCGCCATATGCCAAGAGCCAACATTTCAAGCTGGGTACATCGACAGATATGTATGGACATGGATAGCGATGATTGAAAGCTGTCTGCCGCTAATAGAAGGTTTATAATTAACCCAATATTGACAGGGTGAAGCCGATGGCGATCTTGAAGGCGATCAAAATGTAACTTTCTGGTTGATTCATCAGATGGAAAGATTTTGTTCATGTGCAACAACATACGGCTGATGTCGATGTCGATGAGAGCCTGTTGAGGCATTTCAACACAACCCGAACGTGCAGTGCTGTCTCAAACACATTCTCCCTCGCGCTCAAATGGATGGGGATATCGAAGCTCCCAGGACAAACACGAGCAAGACTGCGCATACCAGGGAGGTCTACTCTTGGGTCTACTGCCACCGGAGGAAACCTTGAATAGAGCTTCGATTCTTTAGTTATCTTGGTGGATGCCGTTGAATGGCCATCCGGCAGGTGTCACAAGAGCCGTCCAGTCCGCTGGATCGACCGGGAACATCTTCGCATCGACCGGACCTGGCCAGGTCTTGTTTTTCCTTTCATTTTTTCGTTGTTGTCCCCATGAAACGAGCAACGGCCGAAAGCACGTAGAATAAAGACATTAGGCGGAGCGCTACGGTCGTGACCTAGTCCGTTGAGTCGCTCGTTAGAGAATGGACCGCTGAAGTGTGCGGAACGCTGCAGGCCCAGGGGCCAGTGACTATTCGAATTGCAGGAGCGTCTCGATGTGGTCCGATGAGTTTGGTTTCTGTCAGCAGACCGGTGCCAAATCTGTCATGGAGATTCCCTGGCTCTTTTCTCAGATATAGGCGAGTATGGGAGAATGGGGTGTGATCCGCAGCAGGAGGAGAGTAAAGTGGATAGTACGTGTGGTTTGGATCATGCGGAGTGTTGTGCTTATTGTCGAGGTGCAGCTTGCGACGATCAGGTAAAGCGGCGAGCAGAGGGGCGCTTGGAGGAGAATGGGGGCCAAGGAGGATGTTCCTGGTACCTGTAGGCGGGGCCTGGATTAGCCAGAGTGGAAGGTATCTGGCCATCTTATTCGCATTCCCACACACGTTCCGTCATTTCTCCCGTGCCTGTCACACCGGCCAAGCAATCCTGCACCCGCTATATAACCTCCCTCTCTTATCTGCCATCCCCACCTTCCGCATCCCTGCCAAATCATGAAATTCTCTCTCGCCGTTTCCCTCTTGTTCCTCGCCGGCCTTTCTGCTGCCTCTCCCGTAAGCTCACCTCCCTCCATTCATTTTGCATCCCTCACTGACCCATCCTATCCAGGCACCAAAACCAGTCCCTGTATGTATCGGCGCTGTCTGATTAATAATCTAAATTAACTCGACCATTCCTCTAGGAGGCTGATGTCTCGAAGCGAGAAGGTAGCATGCAAGGCAAAGCTGCCTGGTGATACCTCATATGTGCAGGCCATCATGTCCGCGGCACGGTTTTCGTCCGCTTCGGTCATGCGTTATGGAGGTTACACCAAGTTCGGTGCTGGTGATTGGCGTTGGTGTGGCTAGTGCGGTACCAGTCATCGGTGGGTCTCAATACTCTTAGTCCTCGCAATCCTATTCTTATACACGTTTGATTCTCAGAGTGTTTTGAGATATCGTCGTGGCGGATAGTTGTTCGGACACTCCTGGCTCGCCAAAGCCTTGTTCATTCTTTATTTGCATCACTTATGAGTTCACTACTCGAGAAATTGTACTGGCGGTTGTATGATGAAGTCTAGGAATGGGTTAATGCAGCATAATGTGTACATTGGAGCGATTCAGCGGAGTACGAGCATTTAGATTTTTAGACTTCGATTGTTAAGATCTAAACGTTTCTGTGAACGACCCTGCACGACTGATCGGTGTGGCTAGTATCGGACATCCAAATTTAGGTGTTGTGATATCTAGTCGGCTACGATGGTGCACAGCATTCACGTTGTTGCGAAAGAGTCGACGGGTCCACACATGTCAGTAGTACTCATGAAAGGACGACGGTGCATAGTATGGAACGAAGCAAAAGATAAGGGAATGTGATTTCTACCTGACTTGCAATCAGCTCCATTGTCCAATAGGGTGCTTTCGACTAACAGTAAGTACGGATGCTCCATACAGCTGGGACTGTCGGCGGTACTACAAAATGCCCGGGTAATTAAGTCTCTCCTGCAACGTACTTGGGTCATGCATTTCGTAGTGATCATAAACCACTCTCCCCTACCCAGGGAGCCGTGCAGTCCCCGGATGTAACCAAACAAGTATAATAACGGCGAATTTGTTGCACGACATCCTCATGAAGCGACGTAATCTTGCCTACTGTATATGCAGATTTTTGCTGAAGTTCAAATATACGAGTGAGTGCTGCATAGGTCTGACTAGGTGTATCCCTTATTGACACAAAGCACTCTAAAAGATTATAAACAAGTTTGCCGTATCTCTTCCACAAAATGTTAGCATTTGTACGGAATATGTATCAGGTTTGGCTCCATAGGAATAAGTACTTAGGGCTCAGGCCTCTGGGATCTCGCCATCTCATTGGCAAACTAGTCTCTCGAGGTACAGTAGACGGAGATTCTGAGATCGTTTTCTAGGCAGCACCCATAGCCATCAACCCAGAGCCACTTTACACACTCACTGACATGCATCATATCGCATCGCCCTGGCTTATTCGAACCTACTGGAACTCTGAACTTGAAGCTTTAGACAGTATCTGACAAGTGGTTCTTCGTTGCTGGCCTTTGAGCTTGAACTTGGCTAAGGGACACAGCATGTCTATTACAAGATGCAACTTGAACATTTGAAGCACCACATGTGGAGACTTGAATATCGGTTGAGCTGATACTAGTAGTACACATATTGTGGAGGACATCAAACTCGGTCTTCGTGGGGATACAGCATTCTCGTGTCGCGAAAGACGATTTATCTGAATATCGAATCCAAGATATTCATCCCCGATTATATCTCTCACTCGTGTCGCCTTCTTAGTTTACCGGTATTGTCAGAGTTGAGCTGTCTACGGCGGTGGCCTCGGAGGTGTTCGAAGTCCGGTTCAAGCGAACTGTTGTATATGTACTATGGATGAGCGAACAGTCAATCTTAACACAACACTTCATATCGCTCACGTTGATCTCGACTATTCTCCGCCCTTCGTGCTGTCCCTGTATTAATAGCATGGGCTGCTGCCATATTATGCTCCAAACGGTCCATGTTTGCTGTGTACACATAAATCAGTCCAAAACGCCGGGGAATCCCAATATATAAAGTGGCTTACTCGGAGGCGCAGACACCTCAGTGTATGCACACATCTCCGCGACGAAGTCCCCGCTACGGGTGAATGCAGAGTTGGAAAGTCCATAGACTTGGCTGCCCAATGTATCAAACGGCCAAGGTCCCTCTAAAGTCGTCTGTAAGTCCTGGAAGGTACTGAGATCGATTACATCCGGCAGGTTGTTCTTGAAGAGACTGGCAATATAAATAGGACATACACCGGATGGGTCCTTGTCGGTAAATGTTGGGGAATCGGCATGCGATAAATCGACAGATAGCTCGCCGGTCGATTCTGAATGGATCAAAATTGGCATAGACCAGTTGGCGGTTGTCTTGTTGCTGCAACGGATGCAAGGCCTACATGAAGATCCGAAGGCACAAAAAAAAGGAAAAATAAAACAAACCTCCACTCCACCCCATCGTTTTTTTTTCCACTTGCCGTAATGGAGGACTCTCCAGAGGAAGTCAGAGTGAGAACATTAAGACGTATGGTCGGAATGTGGAAATTTTTCTTGGTATCACCTGAAAAGAAACGAGCCGTGAACCATTTATGGCTTCGACTTACACAACAATAGACATCGTCTTTTCCTTTGGTCCCCAAGGTTTCTTTTGATTTCATAAGACGGTCCGCCCAAATATTCCAACGCCTCATCTGAGGCACGGGGGTTCTTTTCCCAATCGAGCGCTTTATCGGGACGGTCGCGGTGACGTTTGTTCCAAGTTGTAACTTCAAAAGACCACCTTCCATCACTGACACTAACAAAAGCGGACACATGGGCAGTCAAGCCATTCATGCGAAGACTTGTCAGCAGGCATCTGCAACATTCGAACACATTTTAGCCACTCAGAATGCAAGGCACTGTTGATTTCTTCGAATCTGAAGTCAACAACCCTGAAACCTTCTAAGAGTGCAGAGAATTTGGGATCCTTGTAGAGTGTATGATTGATGTTGGCTTTCTCCTGACTATCGCTAAACTCGGGTAGGTCAAGGAGACGGTGGCTTCCGGCCTGCGTAAGGAAGTCAAGGTACCGGAGGAGGTAGAACTTGACGGACTCGAGACGCGTGCTTTCGTTATTCTTGTAATTGAGAGTCACCGCCTGGGCAGTCACATCGAGGAAGGTAGGAGAGTATTTTCATATGAGAAAATGAGAATACATACTGTTAAAATTAAGAACGACCATCTGGACAAGAGGCTTGGAGGACGCTTTGTCGAAATGGAACCCCTCTCGAGAGAACATGACACTGAAAGCAGCTCAATTTTGTCGACTTTTGTATTCCTATGCCTACAGAAGATACAGACCCAGTCAGTGGTCGTGATACAGACATGGTGAAGCCGTACAATAAGGAGAATCTACCGGTGGGATGTAGCATTCGTCGAAGTGGATTTCTTGAAATCGAGATTCATATGACCTTGCTTGATGTGAAGAAAGAGAACGGCTTCATGGTCGCAGATGAACCTCAGCTGGGGACAAGCAAACTTGGCGAAGAGGGAAAGATCCTCTACAGAACTGATATGCTCGGCGGTCTTCAAGCCGCAGTATTGGTAGAGGGCGAGGGCACGAGTCTACTTGCCTTTTTTAATACGCTGGGGACGTCATGTCGTGTTTCTTGAAGCTATCATCCTTGCAACTTCGTTCTGCCATTTTCCAGAGTACAGTGAGGTGTTCATTAAGCTAAAAGATAGAGAACGCTGCACTATTGCCTTCGAGGCGCATGACAACTGTACGAGAATGCGGGGGAGGAGAGTCGAGCACAGTGCTGGGGACTTGGCAGACAGTATGAACGTAGCCATTCATAGCTACTCAACACACCTTTCAATGAAACTCAAAAGGCTAGAGTTATACCTCGAAGCGCTAGAATGGTGCAGAGAACGAAGGTGTGACCCACCAACACTTATCTCTATGCATGCGTACGATCTCGCAAACTTTCACGGCCAGATGTGTAGTTGTTGTATACACGGTGCTCACCCGGAATACGTCTGCTGACAATCTGTGTATAGGCGTCCGGACAAAGAGCAAAGGCCCGGATGATAAGAATGGGGGCGGATTGAGTTACATCTGCCACATAGGAATGGTAGCAGCTTCTCAATGGGATTTTCAATCAAAGGGCTCACCATGCTTTAACAGTAAGGTCAATATAACATCTTTCTCACTAGAGGCGCCACATTTGACAGAATCGAATCACAACGTGTTACCGCCGTAGGACCGATCGAATAGGGTCAGAATTCTCGGTCACATATGTCTACTATAAAAATCGCAAGCCGCACAGCATACCATTTGAAACGTCCAACAGGGTTTCCTAAGTATAGCGACAGCATTAGCTGTCAACAATGGGAGACGGGGATGGGGAATATACGGGGTGTAATTTGCATTGGATCTATACGTCTTCTACCACCGTCTGGTGGAGAGCCCTTCTTCGGAAAACGAGCTTGGCCAGGGGAGGAGCGTTTGCCAACGGCATGTCAACATGAGCCTGCGAATGCGTACAGAGATGCTGATGAACACGTTCTGCTGTGCAGTAAGATGGAGTGTGCCGAAATCTGAATAACATCGAGCGGCAAAGTCGACCGACTATCTATGTCGAGGAAAGCGCTTTGTTCGTCCTTCCTTTTTATCGAAGCTCCGTCTACCTTCAAGTCTTGGCAAGCATCTGACAAGATCAACTCCTCCTGTCAGCGATTTGCGTGACAGGCCATCGGTTGCGAAGCTCAGGGCGTGCAGGTTATTCTAAGGAATGAAACATCTAAACCTCATCGGAAGGATCCACCAGGTTACCGATGGGAAGAGGGACCATATACTCACTGAGTTGCGATTAGTATCACATAGCCACGAAGCAGCGAGGAGCATGGCCCACAGTATGCACAACCAATTGCCAACAAACGGCGTGATGATAGGCATGATCTTGTCCAAAGAAGACATGTTTGCAAGGCATCACGCATGACCTGAGCATCTGAGTTATGCGAACATTCAAAATCTGCCTGCTGTCACTTGTTATATGCTAGGCAGGAAGCTCTGACTGTGAGGCATCGTCGGAGCAACGCCACGCCCGCGACTGTGGCAGCTGAATGGGCCTAGTGATTTGGACGCGCTTGGAGGAGACATGATAGAACTCACTAATCTGGGCGAGTCGTAGTCCACATGGTACTAACATGCGCTGGATGCAGAACGTAGCTTTAATGCATCATGTATACAGCTCTAGGAAGACTTGCGAGTAGGAAGTGTAAGTATGACGGGTTTTGCAAGCTTGAACGTTCTGTTGGACGTTCTGCAGGGGGCGGCGATCAAAGCTTCGAGGCGGACCGCGCCACGTGGAATAGAGGAGAAAAATGGTTGGGCAAGGATTCCGATTACAACCTGGCGTCATTCCGCGTATTCTGCTCGCACGCAAACCAATTGCCATGTCCATTCGCTTTTTTTCTTCTTTTCTTTTCCCATCTCTCAGGAGTTGGGTGGTCACCGGAGGCACAGGTGCCACAATCTCCGCCTTAGCAAATCCCTGCACGTGCTTGTCTATCAGTATCAGATTTCACCGCAACCTCCGTGTTGTGCGCTGAACGGCCCTTTGGCTGACACTGACATCTCGCTCTGAATCTGATATTATTTAGGAATAGGGCCGCGTCCAGATTGACGCACGGTACACCTGTCTCTTCTTGCCTGCCACCACTGTCGTTATAATGGCCACCAATGCAACCTCTCACAACCAGTCAGACGACCCCGTCGAACTCATTTTTCTCGGAACGGGCACTTCGTCCAGCTTACCGCATGTGGATTGCTTGACTGCTCCTCCAGGCGCAAAACCATGTCGTACTTGTCTTTCCACCTTGAAGCCGGAGGGCAAGAAGAACATCCGAGTGCGTTTCGATTCTTGGTGCTTCTTCCAAGTTTCATTAATTCACCTCGATCGCACATAGCGGAATACGTCCGTGGCGATGAGGATTCCTGGCAAAGATGGAAAGAAGATGTGAGCCAGTTCGCCACGATCAGGTGTTCAGACGCTCAAATCCTTCTCAGAACTGTTATTATAGACGTTGGGAAGAGCTTCCAAGCTGCTGCTGTGGAATGGTTCCCCAAGTACGGGCTGCGTCGTATAGATGCAGTCCTCATAACGCATGCCCATGCTGATGGTCAGATGTGTTGTCTATTTTAGTCACTCGTAACCGCTGACACTTGTCTTAGCTATGAATGGTCTAGACGACCTCCGCGGTACGCCTTTAACAATTGTCCTAATGGTTTTACTCATTCCGTCTTAATTTGTAGGGTGGACTCTGCGCAGTTCTATACAGTCTCATGTAGATCTATACGTCTCGCAAGCTACCTTTAAAGAGGTACAACGAGCGTTCCCTTATCTAGTGGCCAAGGAATATGCATCCGGAGGAGGCGATGTAAGTTATTTCATCTCTCCGTTCACCTCGGTCTCTTATCACGTTCTTCGCAAGGTTCCCGAATTCAAATGGCACATTATTGAAGATAGAGTCCCATTCGAAATCGAAGACACCGGTGTTTTCATTAAGCCATTCTCAGGTAAGATCAGATTCCACACTTATTCGTTATTCAGTTACATTTCAACTTATTGAACCCGCATTTGCACGTAACAGTACACCATGGCCGAATATTCTCAACTGCTCCTCCCGTAGAATTCATGCCATCGCCATGGTCTGGGTCACCCACCTCCACAACTGCTTCAACGCCCAATCCACCTGGCTCACCCGTTCACCCAGGTTGTCATACACCACTACAACCTGGTGCTCTTGCTCCTACAACAGACCTAACGAAGCCTATCCAACCTTATTTGTGTTTCGGATTCGTTATTCAAGAAAGCGTGGTATATATCTCGGATGTCTCTCGTATTCCAGAGGATGTCTGGAACTTCCTCCTTCCCAATACTCCCACCATTACACATGGCACAAATGGCACAAACGGCCTAAATGGTGTAAATGGTACCGATACCCATGGTCATAATGCTATCGATGATCAACGTCCGAATCCGACAGGCCCGCCGGTATTAGTTCTGGATTGCCTTTGTCTGGAGACACATTCTTCTCATCTCGGCTTTCGTGATTCCGTAGCCTATGCTCGACGATTCGACTCTCAGCGGACTTACCTTACTGGCTTTGGACACGAGGTTTCACACGAAGAGTATGTCATACTTGGAGAAGCGGTTGAGGGGAAGTTTCCGCCGCCCAATGCCGAGTTGACGGAGAATGAGAGCAAGGGTTTACGGCTTGTTGGGGAGGGAAAGCAAATTTGGGTGAGACCCGCTTACGATGGGTTGAAAGTGCTGGTGAATAAAGATGGTGTGGCTAGAGATGAAGGGTATAATTGAATAAAACTAATCCTTCCGGGATGTAATGTGTTTTCCTAGCTGTATACCCAGGTAAATTGATACGTATGTGTATGAACTATAGCGTAGTTTGGGTTCACGGTCCATGGTAGCAATATTAATCCAAGCATTCAGTCTTGGGAGAGCTTACTTACCTCACTATGAACAGTATATATATTTATCATGGCAGGTGTAAGATTCAGCCCGGGAAGGCAGCATGTAGGATTTGACGTAGGAATCAATAGCGAAACATAACAGGCTAGCTATAATACAACTAGTATCGGGCAATCAATGGACCCTAAAAGACCATCCTGTGGCTGCAAAGTAGAAAAAGAAGACCAGTTCATACGTCCCAAGAGCGTCATTCAAAAAAAAAAAGGGGAGAGGAACTAAGTCATCTACTCAATAATCCATCGTTGTTTCGTCTTCGATCTCTGAGTATCACCCGAAGATGTACTCAAATGACTATGTTGGCTTGATCCACTTCCGTGCCGGTTCAAACCTTCTGGAGGTCCGACATTCGAGATGGAAGAATGACCAGAAGACATCGTCATTGATCTTTGGTGGTTCGCTCCGCCGTACCCGGTTGGTGACAAAGCTCCACCTGAAAGAGTGGTTGAGGACTCGTACGATGAGGGTGAGTTGGCGAAGAACCGAGGTCCCATTATGCGAGGGGCATAGCCCATATGAGCGGGAGGAGGGGCTCCGGGTCCTAATGTGGCTGAAAACGTTGGGATGGGGGTAAGGTTTGACGGGAAGTCGACTTTCTCCATGTCTCCTTTTTCGCTGAAAAAGCTAGGGCCATTGACAGGCGTAAATTCGTCTTCCAACATATGCTCCGAATTCACTGAAAAGACCGGAAGTCAGATCAAACATATAAATTATAGATGAAAAGGACTTACGATATCTGGTCAGACCCTTTCCAAAGTTCACTCGGCAGTAAAGGCCGAGAACAAATGTAGTCCCAGCAAGGATCACGGACGCAGCCGCCATCAAGCTGAAGAACGTCCATTGCGAGAATGTCCAGCGGAAAGTCGCTGAAGCGAACATGGAAGACCAGCCGACGAGGTACAAGAAGGAGAGGACGAGAAAGAGGAGCATCGTAAGCTTATACTCGCGACGAACGGAGATCCAGCCCAAGGCAAGCCACGGAAACAAGAGCTACGTATTTGAAGCGCAGAGTGAGCATCACAAAACGAAGATCATAGGGGCACAGTCTTACGAGAATGACAATAATGACAACTGCCTTGAACCCCGCAGCGTTGGTTGTCAACTTGGCAATATTTCCATTAATGACTTGATCCAACCAAAGCCCGCCAGACACCACAATGAAGAATGCGGATAGCTGAATGATAATAGACAACACGAGGACAGCGTTATAGATGCGACGGATGATGAGGGATGCGCCGACACGCTTGAATGTCTGCCAACCGAACAACTGGACAACGCAGCAAATTAATCTCAGCAAGTTGCAAGGTGAGGGTGAGGAACTTTATCTGACCTTCACGAGTCTCCATGTCAAGAACGTTGACACAAGCAGTGCGGCTGCATTCAACACCAAACTGGGGATCTCGGCGTTCGCGCGACCTTTCCAGTACGTCGGCAACAAGTTGATCCCGCATGCTCCATTTACAGTCAGTCGCACGAAATTTGCACGGAATCTAGCGGTATGGAAGATCTGGAAGCCTCCCCAGGCGGTAGCCAATATGTGGGTAAAGAGTGAAGCAAAACTGGTCGAAGGTGAGCAACAGAGGAAGCTATGTAGTGTGGAACGGAGGCGAGACGTACATGTGGGGGATGGACTCATTCAGAATTGCGACCAGAGACATTCCGAGGACCCAGAATTGGAAGCAGATGAAGACAATGTCCTCGCGCTTGGTGTTCTCGACACTGATCGTAAGAGCTTAGTCGCTGAATTCGTAATCGCTAGGAACGCACGTACACTGACACAGGCCAGTTTAGAGCGAGCAAGCACTTCTGGTCCAGCGTGACCTCACTGGTCGTGCCATTGAGCCCATCGATTCTAACCTGTTTCTGCCCATCTGTGGATATCGCGGCAAACACGCGGGGTGCATCCACTCGCTTAGAAATTGTCTATTCAATCATCAGTTTCTTTTACTTTCTTTGCACCTCTATGTTCGTATTCACCTCTGCATGGTCACCATTGAGGACACTTACTGTGCCAGAGGTGGGTTTCAGAACAACAGTCAGAGTCTGCGTCGCGGGTGTAGGAGCAGATGATTGTTCTTCGGTAGAAGACTGCGAGACACTGTCGGTGGAAGACGACTGCGCTACACTGCTGGTGGAAGATGACTGCGATGCCGCACTGCTGGAAGACTTTTGGACAGTGACTGTCAAAGTGCTGGTGCTCGAGGGAGAGGCTGCATTCAATACAGGCGTCAAAGAAGCAGTAGAGGATGCGGACGAAGAAAAGGATGATGACAATGACAATGAACTGGAGGATGCAGCAAAAGACGACGAAGCCGAGGACAACGGGGCAGTATCTGATGGTGCCGTGGACGATGCACCAACCGAGGGTATGTCGAGAGACAGACTTGATGACGACGGGGGTGCGACATTAGATGAAACAGAGGACGAAGCAAGTGAAGACGCCGAGCTGGACACCTGAAGCTCAGACGGTGAGGATGCAACGGACGATGTAGCAGAAGGCAGGCTCGAGGAACTAACGGAACCAGAAGATGTACCAGGAACTGTATCGCTCTCAGCTGAAGACGAATTGGTCTTCAACGCCGAAGCGACATTCTGCGCTCCACCGGCAACATTGTTGATGCCTTGCCATACGATCGGACAAGAGCTAGCGTCAACCGTGTTGGGAACAGTGGAGCACCACCGCAAGTCTGGCCCGAGAACGGCAAACCCAGGTTGCGATGCATTTCCCTGAGCGATAATTCCGCTCAAAAAGTTGACTGCACTGTCATTGATGGTGTAAGCCTGAATCTGAAAAATGACCTGGATGATGCAGTGGAGCACTGAAAAGATGAAATAGATGACAGTGATCCTTGAGGAGGTGACCCGATCCCACTGTAATGACATTAGAACTTTTATTGAGACTCGCAGTATACTTCATATAGTCCCATGGTCCCACATGGCTCAAGCGGACACAGCGAGCTCCTAGTCTCACTGCGGCTGGAACAATATCGCCTGAACCATAGTAGACCATGATACTGTATGGAGCCTATAAGAAAGGACTCACGAAAAGCCTCAATTTAGCAGGAACATAAGCCAAAACATTATTGAAATGCATAACAAGGGAATCTGGGTTGTGATTCAATGACTTGCGTTCCTGAATATATTCCTCCTATGCTCACCGGTCAAGACAGAACAGCCGTTTACTTGCTGTAAGAGAAGGAAGGTGCCACTAGGGCAAGAGCGTAGAAAAGACTAGCCAGAATCTTGCAGAGTTCACTATTTGATGATTCGACAGCAATTGCTACGGTTGCAAAGACGGCCAGCCGGGCTGCGGAACCGAAAGAGACAAAGGAGAGTAGAAAAAGAGAAAAAAAGAGAGAGAGGGAGATGAGGGAGGCGGTCGAAGAGACGAACCAAGGAGCAGCTACTGTACCGTATGGACTGTCGGAAACTCATCACCACTGTTCCCTCGTCGCTAGGTCGGGTACCCACAGACGCTCGTTCTTTCTTCTCTTCTCTCATGTGCTCTCGATAATCACTGCAACGTGTCATTAATGCTATGCTATTCCTCCAGTTCACAGCCCTACTGGCTGATCTACAGGTCGCAATGTTGGCATTCAGCACTCGTACAAACGTCTGGACATTTTTGCAGGGCCCATTGCAACTCCAATGCTCACTCTACCGAGTTCATTTAGCTGACGGGTGTTCTGAAGTGGATCAGTCAATATGTGATATCTTGAACCACCGCAGCTTCCAATGATCTTGGCATTCCTTCTTCTCCGCTTGACGACCCACACGATGCCCTCGTCCAGGCTGGTGTCGTGATTTCTTTAGTGAGAAGAATGCTGTGCATGTGTCAAAGGCCGCTGTTGTCTCTCATGGGGAATTCGGTCTGTGTTATCACTCAGCCCAGACCTCTTGATGGCGATTTTGACGGACAAGGCCTTTGCCATTACAGTTCGGTACTAGAATACACGTTCTAGAGCTACTGCGATACAATTGTTGGTTCATACAAAGCGAATCCGTATAATGTACAATCACCATGAGAGAAGAATTGATCCAAATTACTGTACCGTATACCAGTGTTTCCTATCCCCTACTGTCCAAAAAACTCCGGTCTCTTCTGCATCATCCAGAGGCCCAGTAGCCAGCAATATGCTATCTTTATACACATGCTTCTTAATATATCCCTCTGCCAAAAGGTAACACAGGACATCATTGATCTCTTGTCTGTCGTATACTGATCTCAACTGCCAACGAATCTCCGTCTGTCAACAACCTTCGTTAGCTACCCTATACGTCCAAATATTATTGTGAACCAGCGTGCTCACCTCAGTGATCCCAGGCTTGAAGAGAATAACGCCCATTACAGCCCTGTGAGCAGATTCTAGAACATCTGCCAGCTCTCGACCATTGATGTCCAACCACCGACGTGGGAATACCTGAGTCAAAGCACCTTCGGACAGAAGGACGGGTGCTGTCCAAGCCTTGAGAAACTCGGAAGAAACTAAGACGATTTTGGTATAACCAGACCAGAACGCCAGTGGGATCGTTGCGTTCGTAAGATGATCGATCGCCGCTGCGATCGCCGTCGGCGACGACCAGGGCGCAGCTGCCTGCAGGACATTATTCAATTGACGGCTCAACGATTGTTCCTCGGTACATACCCTGAGTTCAACCTTTGTTATACCTTTCGCGGAAGCCTCGTGGAGAGCATTCAGGATGTGCTTTGCTATTTCCGCTTCAGACTGGTCCAGAGAGTGCAAGACTTTGTCGGCTTCCTCAGCGAGACAAGGTGCACAATCGACAAGTAAAGTGCCGTTCTTCTTACAGCAAGCTTGCGCGCCACTAGTGGTGGTACCGTGCGTAGTGTCGTTATGTTCATGGGTGGTATCTTCAGCTGAAACCTGAGTTGGCTCGACAACCATAGGCCCGACTTCGGAAGGTGTAGTGGACATCTGCTGAGCATCATTGACAAAACGGATGTGTATGGCAGTCTCAATGTCATCATCGTCTGCAGTGACAGACTGAGTCAGTTGGTCCAATGGAAAAAGTCATTACAACAACGTACCTGCTTTCTTACTATTCCAGTCAATTGCAGCCCGAGTGCTCTGCGCATGAGATGTGTCAACCTGAAAATCAAGCTATATGTGACAGATTAGCGTGATAATCATACAAGCATGTAAAAGGTCTCACCTTGCCCTCAGATGCTAGCTCGATCAAAGCTGCAGCATCACCATCCGTTGCGAGCAGAGACCATTCACGCCATTCGTTTCCATCCTCCGGCTCAGCTAACAATTCGTCTTCTTGAGCAATAGCATCTTGGAACACATCCAACTGGAACAATCCTCCCAGAGAGTACATGTTGCTAGGATGCACAAAGTCAGCAAATGAGATCTCTCTTGACATTTACAGATCAAACATACGAGTCTGATATTTTCAGGGTCCTGCCAGGTCTAGGCTTGCTGATGTCTCGCACCATCTTGGACAAGACATTACGACTCAGCATAAGGCGTGTAGCCGTCTTGACTGACTCTTCACCAATGCTCTTCAGTAAGGCCGCGGCGGCTTCGGGATCATAAGCCTCCTTCGACGTACTCAAGACCATCTGTTTGGAATGGGCTTCAATGGATCGGTATTTGGACGAGATACCTCAACACATACCTTCAAAGTAGTGTCCGCAATGTAAACACTGTCATCTGGGTAACTTTGCTGCAATGGTACTTCGTTGCCTTTTGTAAGGAAGGCCGTGCGCATGAGCCGCCTTTCCCTGGAGTCATCTGCTGGATCGGTCCAAACAAAATCGAACGCTGGTGCTGCAACTTCCTGTTCAACGACATCCAGGGTCTTCTCGAGCTCCTCCACGCTGCTTGGCAACGACATGTTGACGGTATCATCAATCTCGACAAATCCTACACGACTGGACACCATTCTGTCAGCCTCTTCCGAATTATAAAGAAGTTTGCATACTCACAGTGCATTCTTGTCTATGTGACTTCGGAGGAATTTGATGTGTGTTATCAAATCGAAGTTAGAGGGGCTGGCGGGATCGTCATCGGGTAGCACATCAGTACCACGATTGCGAACCCAAAGATCGTGCCATTTGTCCTCGAGTCTCTTAAAGTATGTTTCTGCTCCAGGCAGTTCTCTCAGTTTGACAATCCGCTGTCTCACAGAATTCCTTGGAATGGTTGGCTCAAATATTTGAGCAAGCGCAGACCAGTCAAGGCGTTGATCTCGACACCGGGATCGGATAATTACAGACGCGTCTCGTGCAAGTTCGTCAAATTCTGCGTTCCATTGGAAACGATATCTGCGTTCCTTGGGCTCATCTGAAACATGACAAGTCAGTACATTACTCTCGGAAAAAGAAAGATACTTACCCAATGGTCGTTTCTCTCCTTTCTTTGGCTTTTTCTTTTTCTCCTTCTCCGGGCGAGCAGGGGCAGAACGCAGCAATTCGATCAGCTCGTCAACAGACAGCCCTGGCGGCGCGGTGCTCACAACCGGCGGGGGAGCAGGGGCAGGAAGTGGGGCTCCGAGAGACGGCTTCGAAGACGATATGATAGTCTTTGCAGTGACTTCCGCCTCCTCGATCGCCTTCCTTACTTCGGACTCCCATTTGTCCACATCAACTCCAGGTCCTTGGAGGAAGTGCGCACGCACGCGGCGTACTCTTAGGGCAGCCGAGCCTTTCAGAGGCTCCGGATGTACTCGAAGGACAAGTTCATCCCAATCTCGCTCTCGTTGTTGTTTGGCTTCAGCCGCTCTCCTCGCAAGCGCTGCTTTGTCTTCTGCCTTACGTTTGGCTCGCTCTTCCGCTGAGCGTTTCTTTTTCTTTTTCATCTTGTCCTTCTCACGGAAATATCTTTCATATTCCCGAGCGTAGAATTGTCTGACAGCTGTTTCGGATGCGCTCACGACCCAAATGATCTTTTCCAACCTCGCTTGCCCACCATCCTCATCTTGCAAAGGAGTATTGCCAGTCGCTTTATCCACAAAGAGACGAAGATATTCGGTCTGGTACCAAGATAAACTGTAATCGGTGCTCCAGTCTCTGGAACGACGCAGGCTGCGGGCGATGGTATCAGGAACACCAGCTGCATGATTAGACATGTCTTGAGGAAGGTCGCTGAGGCTCGATGCAAAAGGCTCGTCGATACAAACACGCTCAAGATTTTTCCAGAATTCCACTGCTTCAGACGTTGAAGTGACAGGGACTTCCTTCCAAAAGGGTGGTGAACGCTCTGACAAGGCCCACAGATATAGGGGAGCTGAGGTGTTGAACTGCCAATATTGCGGAGTAGGTACATTGGCGGAAATGGGTTCGAAAGCTGTTGGATGTTGGCCACTGGCTGGGACTCGAATGGCCGGTGTTTCGGTGTAAGCAGGTTGTAAGGGGGTTGCAAGTTGGAGAACCTGCAAAATTCCAAGCAAATCCTGGATGCGAGCTTGAGATCTCGACTTCGACGGTTGCAATGTATTCTGTATGGAAGATGGGAGCGATCCAACAGGGGTCTTCCGACCGTCGGGACTATTGAGAAGTTGCAATAGCTCGTCGTTCGGGATTAGACAAGCCACAATAGCGCAGTACGCCGACACAGGTATTTCGGAAAAATAGTGTGACACATGGATAATACGCTGTTCCGTCGAAACAACGCTGGAAGACTGTCCAACATTTTCGAAGAAATCCATGGTCATCAAGTGCAACTCTCTGGCTCTGGCTGTCCTGCCAAGAATCCCGCCATAAAGCTGAGCAAGAGTATTCTTCTCGGTCAAAAGGATCTTACGAATGGACTCGTCATCGCCTTGGAATATTTTTTCGGCTACCTCGGGGTTCTTTTTGGAATCGAGTACGGGACCAGTCGACGCGGGAGGAACTGGTGTTTTTGATTTAAGACCGCCGTAGATGACTGGCTCATCCAAAGTCTTTACGGGAGCTGCGGGCAGAAAGGCGCGTAGGTTGCGTCTGATGTTGTCAAGAAATGCCTGCAATGCATCAGCAGATGTTTCGGGTAGATACGCAACTCGAACAGATCGGCTGAGTCCTGCGCCATTTGAGACAATCGTTGAGACCATCTTGATCTTGCCACGGTCCTCTAAGTTCTTCAAAGTTGCGTCCACTGTACGCTTGTCCATGCGTGAACCTGCGATCACGCTCACAGGCTCCCCCTCTTTGGTCAACATATCGACCAATGCAGAATGAGCTTCAAGGAATTCTTTGGAGCTAGTATTAACAATGCCACCGGATTCTTCGATGATTCGCATGACTTCCTTTTCGCGGCGCACTTGAGTAACGTTGGGGTTAGCTTTGCTACGAGCCCCGTCTCGAATCTTTGCACGCTTTGCAGGTCGCATGGATGATATGGACTCTCTGACTGGTCGTTTGCTTGACTCTCCTTCAGCATGAGGGGAGCTGGATAGGTCTACGTCGATGTTTGTTGAAGGTTCGGATAACGCAGAAGAACTCTGCTGAAACGGAATCAGTCGGATACATGCCATTATATGGGATCACGATAACATACCAATGGTTGGGTCATACTCTCGTTCATAATAGCGAGTCCCTCCGGAATTCCCTGAGGCAATGCGTAGTCGATAGTGACGTCATCTTGAGTGGTTTCAACCGCTTCCCCCTCGGGCATTGACGCGGCTGAGAAAGACTGGATGATCTGCATAGCGACATCCTGCGTGACTTGAAACTCGGAGAGGCTGTCTTGATATTGACCAGGAGCCGAACTCGTAGAGGTAGTATGAACATGTTCGAGAGACGTCGCGAGAGGAACAGAGGAGGCTATGTCGGAAAGGCCCTCCTCAATGACGGTTGAGGGCAAACTCGTCATACCCATAACCGACTCGTTAGGAGCAGCCTCAAGGAAGGTTTGGGCGTCGGGGGTTACAGAGAGAGATGATCCAGCAAAGGGCACTGTTACTTGTTCTTCAGACTGAAGCGCATTGTCATCCGTAGTCAAAACAATGTCGTGCATGGTATCACTTTGAACAATCCGTTCGTCAGTTTGCTTTCCTTGCTGCGTTGAGTGTCCAGATGGGCCAGGCGCGGGAGACACTTCTTGAGGCTGCTTCTTAGATGGACGGCCCCTCCGTTTCTTCGTTGGAGGTTCGGCTGCGGCACTACAAAGAGAGGTGATGGCCATTTCACCATCACCATCGCCTTCCACTTCATTCGCCTCATCTCGTTTCCGCTTCTGTACTCGCTGGCTTGCCCACTCCTTCCGTGGCCTTCCCCTTTTGACAGTCCCATCTGGAAGGATAGGATTCTTATAGACCTTGGGGGTTTTAGGTTTGGGAGGAGGTTTAGGCTTCGGTTCCTTCGACTTCGGTGAGGGTTTAGCCTTTGAAGTCGCTTTAGCTTTACCCTTCGCTTTATCCTTGCCCTCTTCCGACAGCTTGAAGTCGTCAACAAACTTATTGAGATCCGCTTCTTCTCCGTAGAACCATTCCGCGTCGATCGGAAGGAAAGCTCCAGCTTGAGACATATCAATGTCATCATAATCAGCTTGCAAGGTCTCCTTCTGGGCAACTATCTTATAGTTGACCAATGTGAAATATCTAAAGCGTCGTTCACGGCCATACGTCTCTTGGGTCTGCGTAATCGCAAGGTCACTAAGATGGGCAGGAGGAGGCGACCTTTCCAAGCGTGACAAGAGCAGCTCTATGATGCGTTTATCGAAGTTGCACAAACCACTCGATAGCTCCTGCAACATATAAAAGTTCAGCCGACAAATGTTGAATGACAACCTGAGGGGCACCCACGTTGAGCGTGATTCCAACAGTACCTGAATTGTGAACAAGGTCGATGATTTGCTTATGGATAGTGAGATTCGCCTTCAGGCCCTTGGAGTCCAAACCCTCATCTTCGTCCTCTGTGCCTCATAGTATTAGCTCTAGAAGATAGAGTAGAAGAGACTAGGGCGTACCAGCCTCCACCGGCGATTCGCTCGGGACCTCAGGGGGCGAGAGAAGGCGAACACAGGTTACAATTGCATTTTTACGCTTTGGGTGAGGCACTTGGACCTTTTCAATGAGACCCTCGGCCATAAGCTCGCGCAAACGTGACGCGAAGAATCGTCGATCGGTTTTCGAAGGATGTGGGAAGCCCTAAAAAGGATTGAGGTGTGCAGGGGACAGATATATACATATAGTCGAACGTACCAGCGTCACAAGTAGATTATGTGTTGCATGCATGTAGGAGGGCGAATTCTTGAGCAGCTTCACAACACGGGCGCGTACCAAGGGGAGACTCGAGAGATGTTTCAAGTCGATAGGCCCAAAGTTGAGATCGGTTCTGATTCCAACTTGCCCTTCCGCATCCTCTTCCACATTTGGCTCCTCGTCTAGTTCCATCTTCAGCATTTCTATCGCTTGTGCTTCGGCCTCTTCGGCCAAGACCATTTGCCAGGCGGCGCTCCGTTCAAAGAAATACTTGTGGATGCACAAGTTACCACCAACACCGGACTTTTTACGCTTTACGCTGAATGAACATCATGAGAAATCGCAGCTGAGACGGCATAAACGCATATACTTACATGAGGTTCAACTCGAGTAACTTGTCAACAAGGTAGTGACAGGTCTTGGCGTCATATCCAGTCTTCTTACTGAGATCAACGACACTCAAGCCATGCTCCCGTCCACGGGCAATTAACTGCAATGCAGTGTAGACCATGCCGGTTAGCTTTGCAGGCTGAACATGATACATACTCAGCGGTCAATATCTGCAATTCGACAAGTGACACCTACACGAGCATGAGAGCCAGAAATTGCCACGAAAGAAGTCTCCGGGTCGACAGCAATTCTTAGCGTATTGCCGTATTGCCGCACTAACTCTTCGAGTGGTTTGATTGCAGCATCTGGGATAACTTGGAGAGAGACTGGTTGTCCATCCTCTTCTCCTTCGGTCTGACCCTTGCCTTTACGCTTGGTACTTGGTTGCGGGGCAATATACACCTCCCAGTCCACATCCGGCGGGACAATTCCAACACGAACATTAGGTTGCTGCACTACGACGGACCACACGAATGCGCATAATGCATCATCAACAACCTGTGCCTGCTCAGAGCGGGCATAGAAATCGAGAATGAAGTCACGAAGTCGAGAAACGTTGCAACCTGAGGTCACGGCACATATAGTCAGAATGAAAACATCAATATGAAGACCGAGAAAAAGAGACGACACTAGGGATCGAACCCCTGAACAACACGCTCGCTCTCATAACAGCACGTCGTGTACGTGTCTATCACATGGATACGGAAAAGAACTCACCAAGATCACCGTCAAAAGAAAGTTCATGAATGCAATGGTGGATGAGCTCGTCCATCTGGGCCTATTGGTCTCCTCAAGGGAGGACGGTCTCCAGGGGCGGCGGGCAAAAAGTAAAGAGTACAGGTGGTGGGGATGCAGAAAGATGTAACGTAAGGAACTTGGCCGGATGGGGTTTCGAACTCTGTGTTGAGCGATAGTTGACTGAATCGGCGCTGACACCGCCGTTTGCGACGACGAAGTTCTCTTGCTGCTCAACGGCGCACAGATGTCGGTCGTCGATCACTATATCGGGTAATATCTCTCGGCGCCTCTCCGTAACGAGCGCTTATATCGGCTAATTTTCACATGCAGGTAGACCCTTCAATTTCTCTCGAAGTCGGTCGCATGAGCATAACGGAGGGAAAACATAATGGTATGAATGTTACTGGGAATAGTACATTGAGTATATCGTAGTGTCATAAGGTAAAGGCGTCGCATGACGGAAGTTTTGAGTGAGGGTGTGTCTATGTGATGCAATGCTGAGTCCAAGCCACGGCACATCTAAGAATCACCAAACCGAAATAAAACGAAATCCCATAAAGAATGAGCAGAGAGAACATATCATCCTTTAAGGCTATGATAGTTGCTGCTGCTTGGCTTCCCATAATCTCCTCAAAACATCCGTGAATCCGACCTTGCCCAGATGAGCATTCTGCTCAAACCTCTGAACCAGCCAGTTCTCTAGTTTGTCCGCCGCGCTTCGCCAAAGTGCCATACGAGCCTGAATCTCTGCTGTTTGGTGGAACATTGTACGACCATCTGTCGTTGGTGAATAACGAATGTTCTCGTAGCAGGTTGCAAACTGAGACAATGAGAGGTTGACAGAAGTGATGGTTGCCTCTTGCGTCGCAGGGTTGACGAAGGATATCTCCCGTACAAAGGCATCCTCTGATCCGCCAAAGAACTGTGAACGCATGCGTGAATTACATTATTTATGTGATCACACAAGAACCTACCTTGACGATCCAACCTGGTGCTTTTTGTTTGCACCCTAGCACACGCTCCGTACGAATAATCCCCGTCTGTGGATCGACAGACCGGTCAAGAACGTCGATGGTCTGAACATGTGTGCAATGAGGATTGGGATACTTGTGCCACATCCCAATTACGACGTGAGACCATGGGTGTCTAGACAATCGCCTTGTAAACACAACTTTCTACGAATTGAACAAGCAACTTCAGTACGTACTCGTAATGAAACAGCTGAGAGAAGTAGTGCATTTTGGAGGTAAGGAAGGTAAAGAGATAAATAGGAAACGTCTAAGGTATGGACCCAGTGGTGGTTAGTGAGAGAGAAACGGAAGATAACTCCGAATGCCAGTGGGTCGGAGCACACGACGATGAGCGCGCCTGGCCAAGGGAAGAGCCAATGGAGAGGAGCGCTCGGAGAGCCAATAAGGAAGGACGAAAAGCTCCTTCCCGACCTTTCCCGCAATAAGTACTTAGCAGTCGGCCCGTAGCGTTATATGGAATGCTAACTTGGCTAGGTCGACTTCAAAATCGAGACTATTAATGGAGCTCCTGGAACTCTGCATTTCACACCATAGACCAGCATTACAACTCACACTAAAATACAGTAAACTAGTATCGGGGATACAGCGGCTCTCTCTTGCTCATGATGGAGTCAGCGACAGTTTTCCGCCTGATTTCAAAGAGCTTGACAACCTACGCCGATTAAATCCTCCAAATCCCACCATTCGCCGAACACGCATTGCGAGTTACCCACCAATATGACTACAATGGAGCTGGACCGGAATGAAGTCTGTCACAGCGCTGCACTCAATGTGCACGTTCTTCCGCAGCAGACCGCAGCTCCTCGAGCCTTGCCTTCATGTTTGGTCTATAAGCAGTGGATTGAAATGAAAGGCGTCACGGTGAATGAACAAAGTGCGTGACATACACCTCCAACAGTTTGGCTTCCAAAGCTTCCTTCTCTTGTTGCAGCGCAAGTCGTTTTTCTGCATCCAATTTCGTGCTAATGATCCACCGGTTATTCAAGGAACACGGCATACTTGTGAATCGACACATACAAGACGTAACCACCTTGACCGTCATATTGTAGGATCATGGAATGATATCGCCATAATGAAGGCCTGTGGGACACTGTCAACAGTGTGATCCCAAGTTCTGTTGCATGATCCATCATCTGGCCCTCCATATCTGGAGGGACAAGCGAGGTTGCTTCGTCCAGAACAGCATACTACGAGACATCATGTCAATTATGTGAACGGTGATTGACAGAGTATTTGACTCACTTTTGCTCTGTGGTAGAACAGTCTTGCCCAAGCGATCTTCTGTTGGTCTCCGCCACTGAGCGCTTCCCTCCATTCACGAGCAGCATCCCAACCTCCCTCACGTTCGACAATGCTTGTCATATTTACGAGAGAGAGTATTTGAAGTAGGTCATCATCAGTGATACCCTCTGTGATACATCAAATATGAACGGGACAGCCCATCAAGAGTTTACGAAAACAAGACTCACTCGCTTCCATGTCAACTTTGGAGTGAGGGTAGATCACTTGGTCTCGGAGAGTGCCCAAAGGCAGGTATGGCCTTTGTGGAATGAGAATGAATTGCGACGCAGCAGGTTTCCGGACGACGCCACCTGTGAGAAATGTTTGCAATCAGAAGTCCCTAGATCAATGAGACGACGAGGCGAACCGTATACTGGCCAAAGACCACCCAATATACGGAATAGCGATGACTTTCCGCAACCTGGACGAGAAGCAAGCATCAATTTGGATTCGCTCTGAGAAACCGAGTGAGTTTACCGTTGGGTCCAACTATCAACAGATGTTGCTGCAGCTCGATATCAGCGAATGTGCCTAGAGTAATGCGGTTGAACATCAACGTACCCCTGGCTTGACATGAAAACTCAGGCTGCGAAGCAGAACGTCACCATTCGGTGTTACAATGGGAACATTCTCAAACTGAATTTCTTCCGATTCCACAACTTGACCTCGACCCTTGAGGACTGGACCAACAGTATAAAAACATTAACAAAGAGACCCAGTTAATCGATAGGGGCACCTACTCCTCGCATGCTCCTCGTTGCTGGCGCTGCTGACTAGTGCTTTGTTAAACTTGCCTTTGCGTACGTCTGCCATGGTGTCCAACAACAGAGCTACTCGAGCAGTATAACCAGCCAGCTCAGAGAGGTCCTTGTATGAGTACATCACTCGACCGAATGCATCTTGGAAGACATATAGGATAAGTTGTTGTTGTCAGTAGACATAATCGTGAACAGACTCACCGGATGAAGAAAGCAAAAGGCGACGGTTCGTCACGAAGCTTTCAGTCCTGCTCCCCAGATCTACTGTATACACACCCGGTAAGCGAAAAAATACAGGGATAGCGCAGAGGCACAGCTATTGCCATATATCGCGTCAGAAGGTAAGAAGACAGATGAAGGAAAAGGTGCCAACCCCAAAACTTCCCCACACCCACTTGACGATACCTTCTTCAACACATCCATGCCACCAACGTTTCCCCAAGACTGTATTCTCATGTATCACGAGGCCAGCATACTCGCGTTCAACAAGCATCTTCTCCGTCTCTTCGCCTCCGAAGAAAGCGATCTCTTCGGAGAACTCAGCGAGACGAGAATGAGTGTGGCGAAATGAGCCCGAGAGTTGGGCCGAAAGTGCCGTGTAGACACCAAACGGGGGAGTCAAAGCACGCACTGACACAATGCAGGCGATAATTCAGTCGGGAGCACGTAGAAAGCAGAAAGGGAAACTACCTACGCAGAGCGGCAGAAGATTGAACAAGTACAGTCAGAATGATGAGGCCTTCCGCACCGACGTTCTTTGAAAGTTGATAATTATACAAAATGACATCGAGAGTTGGTTTAGCAAGATTGGCGTATATGGCTGCTAAGTGATTGGAGAAACGCTGTATGTCATGGGTGATCATCCTGCAAGGAAGGTGAGTCTAGAACAATACTGATAAAGAAACCCACGTACTGGTCGGGATTCTTTATCCGGTCATCCAGATTGGCTGCATGGATAGATCAGTATAAGAACAACCGCACAGTGTGATTGGTAACCCACCTAGTTTGTAGTATACCTTGCCACCAGGATCGTTCTCTCCGGCGCCCAGATACTGTTTCAAGACCTCGTCTGTCAATCGAGTACGGTATGCAAGTGCAAGTTTGTTCTGGACATAGCTGAGCCAACTGTTGGTCCATGTAGCAGGAATAGCGACTAATAACCACTTCAGAATGTTGAGGAGGAACGACAAGGGCTGTGCGCGGACTAATGAAGCAACTATCCTACGCTTATTGTTAATTGTATCATACAACCGAAACCATTGAAGATCACACGCACTTTCCATCTAGCGCCGCAACATACAAGGAAATCGCAGTTCGGAATATCAAGAGGCTGGAGTGCATGAACAACAGTAGCGCTTCTTTGGATCTGATACTTGGTATCACAATCCTCAGGATATTAGAGAGCCTTTGATAGAAAACTGCGTCGACCTGAAGTTAAAGGAAACATCTGATTAATGATGTATCCTAGAACCAGCAAAGGGAGCCTGAACATACCGCAACTCTCGGAGATTTCTTAGTAAGTGCAGTTCCGTCGTCTCGCGCCTTTCCCTTGTCCTTGTACTTGTCCTTTGGCCGACTTGAGCGAGCAGAGAGCGAACGATATGTGCTGGAAAGACTATAGAGTACGAAGCCGATATTGAGACAACGTTGGATTACTGGTCGGTGGTACATATAAAGGTTGGCCAGTTGAGCTGCATGTTGCCTTACTGCCTCTGTACGCATTATGTCGAAGTTCTAGCTACATATGCTGGGCACTGCAAAATGAAGATGACGGAGGTGAGAGCGTTAGCATGGATGTCACGCAACATACATTCGACTGACATGTGAAAGTGGTGATCGAGCGGCCCGATCGAGCACTTCGACAGCTGGCGTCACCGTGAATACCTTTGGTTATCTTTCTTGATCACTGGTTGAACGAAACAGGGAAACGAGTCCCACAAAATGGAGAATAAATATCTGGGTATGGCTTATGGATATCTTCTTAAAATTCTATGGTACATCGTTGTTCCACATTACCTCTGGCCTCGGGACGAATTCTACAGGCATCCTGCATGCCTAGTCTCCTCAACCCAAGCAACAAGTTCCACCCAATCGTTTACTCTCGTCAAAGGCGCTCCTTCTGGAATCTCAACATTCTCTTCTTTCCAGAACTCCCTGCCACCCTCCTTTTCAAGCCGTTGCTCGAAGCTGAGCTCGGTATTGATGTTTTCGTACTTGGATTCGCGCTTGTTCCATTCTCTGTCACCGAACAAAAGGACTGGAACAGGTGGATCGGCGTGAAGACATTTGAGTGCGTTCTCTATTGAGTCGTCAATCAGGAGTTTAGCTCCAAGCTTATGACAAACCTGATACATCCAACAGTCAGCCCATTCGCCATCACAGGCGTCGTTTGTAGATATTTGACTTACTCCGGCCTTAGACAGCTTCGTCAATGCCTCGTGCGGCTCCGCCAAGGTTTCCTGACTCTGACCAGTACAAATCATTCCATCGAACATTCCAGGGAAGTGCGTCTCTAGCCATTTCTTGCCGCGATGCATCTCCCGCACTTGACGAGCAGTCACGACCACTAGTCTGAATCCGAGTTCACGGAGCTTTTTGATACCTTCTGGAGCACCATCTACTGGAGGAACAATTTCGATGTAGTTGGTCTTCCAGAATTCTTCCACTTTGCGGAACGTCTCTTCTGGTGTACCCCAGTATGGGTTCTGTGCAAGCGCATCAGGAAACGGTTGAGAAAATGGCGGTGGAGATACTTGCCTGCCAATAATGATAATCTATTCACATCTCGGCGGTTGAGTACTTGAACACCATTGTAGATGTGCGCATACTTACAATAAAAGTGCTCCAGCTGCATGTTTGTGCCATAAACCTCATTGTGCCCTTAATTCCATGATGCATCAGCCGATTCTCTTCAAACCTCATCATGAGAACATACATGTAGCGACGATTTCATTTGTCTGACTTAATACATCATCCATATCCACAGCGATGATAGGTTCCTTGGAAGGTGCGAACTCAGCAATGAGTTCATCCAAAGCGGTTCCAGGCGCCGCTTTGTGTCGGGGAGTTTCGATACCCGCACCAGCACGCTCATGTGCTAGTTCAACGATAAGGTCTGAAGTTGCGGCGGACATCGTAAAAGGATGAAGAGAAAGAAAACTGAAGTTTGTAGTCTGGATTAGAGCCTGACTCGAGTAAGACACCGAAGAGTTTATGGGCGCTACCGTACGTGTGGCCGATCGGAGCGGTATCGATCTCACATGTCGTCATTACAAATTGTGATGGACGAAAAGGGTTCAAGTTCATCGCTGCTTTAACTTTAGTAACTTTTTCACTGAAGCAGGTCTAACGAAAATGCGACCCGGCGATACTGTAGATCAATCGATATAATACAATCGCAAATCCTTTACACGGTATGTCTTCACCTCCGCCAACTGCGACATTTACGCGATGTGCTTGATCTGTGGAAGGCAAGGTGACAAGTCAGCTAACTCAGTGATCATAGATTGTTTTACGAACCTGTCCAGTTTCGACTTCGTACACCCAACCAGTGATTTCCGTTCCAGGCAACACAAGTGGGTTTTCCTTCAAGAACTTAACGTCCTCCTTCAAGCTCTGTTCTATCTCTGGGAAATCCAAAAAGTCAATCTCATCAACCACTTTCAACGCAGGATTCGTGGGGTCGGAGTCTTTGACGATCTTCCGAAGTTGATCAGTGGTAAACGTGAGCATGCCGCATCCCGTGTGATGGAATATGGCAATTTCACGAGTACCGAGGAGGCGTTGGGAAATGATAACACTGCGGAGGGCGTCCCTTCTAAGGAATTACTCGTTGTCAGTGATATGTTGCAACGCAGATATGCAGGAGACATACGCGGAACCACCGGCATTTCGAATGATGTGTGCATCACCTTCTTTGATGCCCAATTCAGCGTACACGCTTGACGGTAGCGTGAGTGCAAACGAAATGTACGACTGTATAGAGAACTTACTTGATTCGGGCATCCATACATGTTACTACAGAGAGAGATTTCCAGCTGCAGCTTTGAAGAACATAAAACATACATACTGATGGCCAACTTCCTCCCAGGAGGCAAAGGCAGCTCACCCTTGCTGCCAAAATTTGCGGCATACTGCTTATTTGGTTCAATGAACTCTTTCCACACAGACTGAGACATTGGAGAACCGGGGTTTGGTATTGGTTTATGAGAACGGTGCTCTGGGCTGGTCGAGGCGAGGCTACTGTGCTGTCTCGAAGAAACAGCCGATTTTCTCTGATATATAGGGAAAGTATCAGTAACAGTACATCATGACAGGACAGGAGAAAGATAACGGATGGCGGAAAAATGGCGTGCTATGGGAACAAGTAGATTGCTGCTCACTAGAGCTATCCAAGAAAATTGGAGCCAACGTGCGGAAGCAGGTGATTGAAGGCTTCGTCAGGCTTCATCTACCATAACTTATGCAGAACAATACTCCCGCCAAAGACACAGAATGTTACCGACATTTGGGGCGGAGTGCAGGTGTGAGTGTGTGCTGCATAAGCGGAATGGTTCGTAACTGGCCAAAGGCGGCAGTCGGTTTTGGAGAAGCGCAATACGTTGGCTGACGATGGTCCTGGCAAGATGTACAAGCATTGTGGGTGGCGTTCAATAAGATGAGTCTTGCGAAATAACAATATGGGCTGGGGCGGGATTGCGTAAGTCAACGTCTGAGTCACTGTTTGCCTGCTGAATGTGTTCAGCAAGCGTTTAGTAAATCTCTATAAATTCTAACCAACTTTAATATTGGTTACTACTCACGCACTTAAATTTCTAGTGTCATACGCCACGTGGACCGTGTCCTCCTTTGACGCGCTGTCGAGCGGCAGCTTTCGCAAATATTACCACTGTATTCCCAGCTTGTCCTATTCTCCAGTCTCTGGGAAGACAACCATCTATTGTTCTGCACAATATACATGGCATCTGCGCACATAAAAGCCCTTCTCGGTGGTCCAAGCACTGCAGACTCTCATAGACAGGCTCTGGACTTTCTCAATTCACATTACAAGAGTTATCACGATTTGGAACAAGCTAATGACTTTGACGACATATTGGAAGATTCACGGAAATACAATGCTGAACTTCACACCAAGGTGCGGACTTGCGATGCCCAAGTGATCCTTGGACGATCATAGTCTCATTGTCGTAGCTCAGTTCATTTCATCTCAACAACACGTAGATGGCTTAATTGCCCAAACGCGTGAATCGGCCCAGCAGCATCTGCACACAGCGCAAGAGCTCTCTCTGCTTCGACATTCATTGACGGATGAACTCTCATACCTATCTGAACAACTGGTATCCACACTGTCTGATCCGGACAGTAAGCCCACGCTATTGGAGGAGATTGAGACCACGCATCGAAGTCTGAAGGAACTCGAGAGTGTCAAGAGCTATGTGAAAGTCATTGAGCATGCGCTTCACCTGAGGTACTTTCTCCCTGTCGATCATCTCAATATTGTACTAAAGCCTGCGTTGGCAGTGAATTAGCTGTAAAGCGAGCAAGCAATTCTTCATCGCCGCTCCAAGCTATACCCGATTACGAGAAAGTACAAAAATTTGTCGCTTCTGTTGGGGATGCCAGTAAAGATGTCGAAGACGGTTCAGGTCAGCAGAAGTTGCATCTTCTCACTTTCCTTGAAGACATCAGAGAGAAGACTTGGCGTGACATCAAGAGCGTTCTCAAATCGTGAGCCTTATTGATTAAAATGACAAGCTTTTTGCACTGAGGGCTTGGTAGCACACTGTTGAACGTGGCTGAGAAACTGCAGTGGCCGAACGCAATTGACTACAGAGCCGCCTCTGTCGAAGACAGGAAGGCGTTCGAGTCCGCATTTTCGGATTTGACCAAGTTTCAGACCATGTGAGTCCACCAGTTGTCAGATATCCGGAAACCGCTGTGCGAATGCGTTACCTAACAATCCACAATAGCGGCGAGAAATTACATCCCCTCAACAAACCTAAGGACGAGAAGGACGGTTTATATCCCATTCAGGCACTCATCCAACCTATTGCATTGCGTTTCAAATACCACTTTGAAAGCAACAGGCAAACAAACAGGCTCGATAAGGTTAGAATGCACTTGGTTTGACAGTGTCTCCTGATGCTTAGATGATATTTACTAGCCCGAGTGGTACTTCACTCATATCCTGAATGTCGCTCATGAACACCGGACGTTCATGGAAAACATTGTGCAGCAACTTCTTACATCGACGCGATACAAGCATATTAATGCTTGGGTACGTCTTAGAATTCCCTTATTCTTTCACCTCAGTTTTTGACATAGTATATGCATATTCGTATAGCGCGAATTTACGCTGCTTCTCCTCCCTATGCTCTCCCGCAAATTACGACGAACCGTTCCTTCGCTGATTGCCCATCCGCCAGTTCTTGCACATACTATCTATCAGGCACTTTCCTTCGACAGTGCACTGAAAGAGGAAGGATTTGAGCTTAGGGGGACTTCAGCTGCGTTCGCTAGTGAGAATGATGCACCACCGTGGGAAGGAATCAGTGAAGTGATATTGGGGAAGAAGGAATGGTTTGAAGCATGGATGGAGGGCGAGAGACAATGTGGGTCCTTTATTCTCCGTCTTTAGTGCGTATGAGTGACCGATTAATGTGGGGTGAATAGTCGCGATGGATCAGTACATGGAGATCATCAGTAGTCCGGATGCATGGCTCACGGCGGATGACGATGTTGAAGAGGAAGACGACGGTAGAGTCCATCCTCAATTAAAAGCCACTAATTCTGCGCGAAGAGTGAAGGCTCTTGTTGAGCAAGTCACAGGTCAGTGAGCGCCTTGCCTTCTATTCTGTTAACGACCTACTGATCCCCTTCTATAGATCGCTACTCTCCACTACCTCAGTTCTCGCATCGCACCCGCTTCCTCATCGCCGTCCAATTACCCCTACTTGAATCATACCACGCACGGATATCATCATCTCTCGACGCCTTTGAAACGCTCTCTTCGTCATTCATGCGCGCAGTCCCAGGCGCGCTAGGGGAAGCAGCCGGTCGTTCCAATGATCCAAGACGATTGACTAGTGGTATCGAAGGTATACAGCGACTATGCAAGGCCCTCATAAGTGCCAAGTACCTGAGCGCCGCGATGGAAGCATGGGGAGAAGATGTGGTATGTATTAGCGTTCGCAATTCCACCATTAGGATTATCATTAAGGTTTAACGGACTTTAGTTCTTCCTTGAGCTTTGGGCGGAGATCAACCACAAAGCCTCTTTACGCTCACGAGCAGAAGCAGCAGCATCATTACCTGACCCAAAGTCAGCTGATGCAGAAGTTCCGGAGGGAACTATCTTCGAGGAGTTGGTCGTCCAATACAACCAGTTGGTAGTTCGTGCCGAGGAGCTGATCGTACAATCCATCTGTAATGAGGTAGAATCTGGCTTGAAGGCCCATTTCAATAGCGGTGATTCATCGTACGTTTGGGATCGTCTACATTCAGTCATCTTGCTTATTGATCACTTCAATACTTCAGACAATTCACGCCTGTGCCAAGCTCCGGCTCGGTTGTCAGTGATGATCTCGCGTTATCAAGCACTCTTCTGGGTCCTGTCGCGCTTCTCTCGGCGCATCTAACCTTCCTTCAATCCGCACTTCCACAAACCACCGTCATCTCGCTGTATCGAACGGTCGCGTCTCGCCTAGCCACCCATATACTCCATCGCCAGATTCTCTATCGCGGTCGTTCTCGCATCACCCCGCAACAAGGTAAAGTCATCATGGCCGAATGTGAACTATGGGCAGAGACGTCCCGACTGGCATTGGCTAAGACGGTAGCAGGCCGAACTGAGGCATCTTGGAGAGGATTGTTAGAAGCTGGAAGGATTGTTGGTGCGGATGGTGAGACGTGGAGGAAGCTCGTCGATTCGACGTTTGGTACACTTGGAGACGAAGAGTGGGAGAAGGTCTTATCGGAGCTTGTAGGCTTTTCAGAGTTGAGCAGGGAGGACGTCGGACAAGTCATTCAAGCAAGAGTTGATTCTGAACGGTAAAACATATGTATGCTGAGACTGGGTTGTATCTCGCCGCATTCTGATCGCACTGTGAAATCATATGTGTATGATTCTACAGAGACACGAGTATGCAGATAACCAAAGCATGACAACGAAGATAAACAAGAGATACATGGTCGAAGGTGTGGCTGATCATACTTTATACACGAGTCCGCCTTCCAACATTACTTGATCAGCCTTGTCCATGGCCTGCAATGCTGCATCGGCCTCAGCTGAGCCAAACAACTCATTGAGCGGGAGGCCCTCGTTCACTAATTCTGTCAACCTCTCTTTCGACCACTGATCTTCTCCTTCCAGAGTCGTTGACCAAAGTCTTGCCACTCTGGTGCGCCACAGTTGCAACCTTGTAATCGGCATGAGTTACATTACACTTCAGCCACTGAAAAGTATGCACATACCTCTCTGGTCGAATGCCACCATCTTCTGTAGGACCAACAGCTGGTTCAACGCCATCCATTTCAATGTCTTGAGTGCTATCTCCCCATATAGGATCCCGATTTGCATTGGGATCTGGGATGTCTTTCGCTTTCTCAGGTTGCGGTCGTTCCATCCTCGCAGGAACTTCTTCATCTTCATCTTCATCCTCTTCCTCTCCCTCGCCATCAGTATCGACATCACTTCCCTCACCTTGAACCGCCCCACCGTGGTTCAACTTGCGCTTCTTGCGAGCTTTGCGACGAAGAACCTCTTTGTAGAGTGCGAAGCGAAGGATGGCTTCTGCCTGTTCCGCGTCAGTGTGTGTGACCTTGGGCGAGAGTCGTGCTTTCGCATGAGCGGTAGCAAGACGAATGAGGGTTTCCAATGTACGTGCAGTCAAAGGTGAGGTCTACAAGAATGCACATTCAATGCCATGAATATATAATGCCAAAAGAGACCGACATACCCGTTTCTGATTGCCCTCAAGATGTTCGTTCCGAAGAGTAGCATAGACGTTCACGATATAATCGGCCGCGCCCTTCGTCAAAACAGGCGCAGGCTTACCCTTTGCATACTGGATATATTTCTTGACGAACGAGATACTCAGAACCTCCTTTTGCTTCTCCTTCTGTCTTCGCTTGTTCCGCGTGTTGGTAGCAGGTGTGTCATCTTCAGAGATACCGAAGTGGATTAAAGGGTCGTACTTCTCGAATGGGCTTCGTTCCGCATCCTCGGTGTCCGGCGAATGAGTACTTGGCCCATCAACCGCAAGTGACTGTGACAAACTATCGACGATGGGTGTACCCTCTTCGACACCTGGAGGAAGGTAGCGGTGCATACGGAGAACATGGTCGGCAATCTTGCGGTCTCTGGTCTCATCAACATCGTCTGTCACGACGAAGAGCAGATCGAAACGAGAGAGAAGGGAGTCCGGCAGCGCGATGTTCTTGTGGGGATCCTTATGTACGTCGTACTAAAGTGTGCGAGTCAGAACGTTCAACAACGTCAAACGGCAGAAGTGGTAGTTACCTGACCGTAAATCGGGTTAGCAGCCGCGATGACGCTACATCTCGCATTCAGCGTGGTGTGAATACCAGCTTTAGCAATAGTAACAGTTTGCTGTTCCATCACTTCGTGAATGGCCACACGATCGATATCCGACATCTTGTCAAACTCGTCTATGCACACGACACCGCGATCCGCAAGTACCATGGCACCCGCCTCTAGTCTTCGTTCACCTGTATCCTTATCTGTTGTTACAGCGGCTGTCAGACCGACGCCTGAGCTTCCACGACCAGTGGTAGCAATCGCGAGGGGTGCAGTGCCCAGAACGAATCGAAGAATTTGCGACTTCGCAGTCGATGGATCACCGACCATGAGAACATTGATGTCACCTCGAATGTGAGTACCGTTTGGCAAGTTCTTTTCTGCACCACCAAGAAGCATTAAAACCACCGCCTGTTTGATGTGTTTGTGACCATAAATTGAGGGAGCAAGGGATTGGGAGAGAAGGCTGAAAATGTCGCTGCGCTTGGCAAGTTGATTGATCATACGGATATCGGAGTCTGTCAACGGTGTTTGAGCGATGCCTCCACCGCTTTTGGAAGATAACAGGTTGATGTTGTTTGCAAGTAGGAGTGTTCTGAACATTCAAGGATGTCAGATTGAGACAGGGAGTAATTAATTGAGATGAGGTACAAACTTGAAGGATCCACCGGCACCTCCTCCCACGCTCCTGTAGACCCCAACCAGCTGTATACGATCTCCAGGCTTACAGCTGTCCACGAGATCATCGTCAAGTATAACGTCCGTGCTCCGAGGAAGTTGACCGGCGGGAGCACGTTCTGGCATCTCCTGAATACTGATTCGTTGGTGATCACGGAACACGCAAAAGCCGTATTCGGTCTGAAGAGGGTGCCCCTCATCGTCTTGTTGAGGAGTTACGGATGAGGTAGGAGGAAGATTCGACGTAGATGTAGTTGCGTCACGGTACTCTCGGGCGTGGAACATGCGAGTTTCGGGGCAATAGTGTACGGACTTGATCATCTTCGGCCGTACGAGAGAACAACGTGTCACGATGCCCTCAAGCGAGATCATTTTCCCCAATTGTGCAGCTCGTAGACTGCGAGGACTGACATGATGGTCACCAAATGAGCCGCTGAAACCGATGTGGTAGCTCTTTCCTTCGATGTCTTGTTTTTCCTTGTCGTACACGCGTTGAACGATGTTCAGAAGCGCGTCGTCGAAGGCGGGAATAAAATCGACAGGTTGTTTGAGCAGTCCGTCTGCGAAGTCGCGTCGATAGTCGCGTAAATCATCAATGTTGACGATGAGACGTCGGTGGTCCAGCCTGAGCATGCGAGCAATGTCATCTTTATAGTTGTAATGGTCCGACTCGGAATCAAGAAATTCCTCAAAGATACGAGATCTATCTCGCATCAAGTCATCTTGAGGAACGGGCTCGTCGAGGAGTGACATGGCGAGTGCGGACGCGTGAATAGGGAGATGTGAATGCAAGTCAGGCAGTAATTAGTCTAACGCGTCGCCAAATAGCCTGCCCTAAACGATAGCGCCCAGTCGTGTTATGTGTCACTACGAGTCGAATCGAAACCTTGACTCAGGCTAAGTAGATTGTTTCTATGTGAACAATTCATGCTTTCTAGTACGATTCTTCTCCAGGACAATGGTCAAACCCTGTTGACGTCTGAAGGTTCAACATGTTACTTACGAGTGTTCTCTATTGGCCTCGTGCAGCTCACTGTTGACTAGTATCCATCTCAATGAAACGACCACCCTAGGCAAACGCTCCTTTTCCCTCCCAACTTGTGCGTGAGTATTCAAATCGAAAGCACCTCGCCCTAATAGTACCTATGATAGGCACCCGCAAAGGTACCGTACCTTTCAAACAGTGCTCTAGGCGACGAATCGCGCCCAATAGATGTCAAGTTTAACTGCCAATTCCATCCAACTGGAATGTGCCAGCGCACCGTCCTCCACTCAATCTCCTAACAGCCGAATATGTGTATGCTAAAGCCCCTCATATTCTCCATTTGTCGGGTGCATAGCTGTCTTTGGTGTAATTGGCAATGAGACTCTCTATTGCTGCGAGCTTTGCAAACATTGGCACACGATCTGTGAACGTGCCCAGGGCGTTTTTTTTGTGCACCTTAAGTCATGCAGTATCAACTTGTAAAACAAACGCTTATTGTCCCGTCGCGGAGGTAGGTCTTTCCCGTGAAAGGTGCAAGTTTCATTGACTGAACTTAACTAGTGGAGTAGCACCTGTTGACATCTCTCACTTCTAGACTCTTGATCTACAGTCAGAAGGGGCGGGCTTACATTATCCCTTCAGCGTACGGAAAGAGTGTGTCGCCGAGACTATCTTGTTTTCAGCCATTTCGCTGTTGCATGGAACGTCGAGGCCTGTCGATGGCCAGGGACTCTTCGCCGCTACAGGGCGCAAGGGCATCAAGGGTGTCCTTATTCCTTAAAATGAATAGCGCGGAGGTAGGTATAAATAGTGGTCTGAACTCTAGCAAGCTCTCTATCTTCGAGCAAATCACTCAATCGACCAGCTTTCTCTCCACAATCACCGACCTCCATACAATGTGTCTCGAAGGCAACAGTGCACCTCTCTCTATCCGCTACCTCAATGCGCAACTTACGTCTCTATGGGAGAATGCTGTTCAATGTTCCAAGGACTCTAGTACCAACGCGTATGATGTCAAGTCTCAGGCATATGAGAAATCCAAGTACACTCGCGCTCTTGGGCAATTCCAATACTTTGGCAATAAGGCTCCGAAGGTTGTTCGCTCTACGGAAGACCTTCTCTTTTACGCTACCTTCGGCAAACCCGAGGTCAAATTCATCTGTAACCATGAGGCCGTTCTTTTCTTGACGATCAAGGAAGGCCACGCCAACCTAGACTTTGGCAAGGCTACCTTGCCCGGCGGTAAGGTCGACCGGCGAGTCTCAATGTGCTGTATCCTTCACGCGTATCCCGACTTATATTTTCTTCTCCTGCAGGACCAAAAATAAGCTGGTGAAGAATGTTCAAGTGGCCTATCGGGTAGAATTCTCCCGCAGCAACATCAAGGGGCGAGACTCGAAGGTCGGCAATACTGCCTCCACTCATTTCATCCAAATGTTGATCTTGAATCTCGAAAGTACGTATTGCATTTCCTATATACCGCATGACACTGACCCTACGTCGCATTTAGAGGGAAGGCTCGTCACCCTGAAAGGTGAGAAGGACAAAACACTCCCCGCAGACACCAAAGATGCTCTCGGATTTTACCTACGCAAGTATCTCGACTTCCTCACGCGTTCTGGGAACCATGTCCTCTTCGATCTCCCCGACTTCGACGATGATAAGTTTAAGGCAAAGATCGACTATGCTACACACAAAGACACGACCATGGATCTCCAGGCTTTGTGCCATGGCGTTACGGTGCAAGAGATCGATGTACAGCAAGTCAACGATGCTCTGTACTTCCGATGGCAAAACGCTGCTCGCAGGGCCGAGAGACCCGCTGACTTCCTTTCACTCTGTCTCGCCCAGATGAGCAGTGCATGGTTGATCAATTCCGTTGTCGACCACCACTTTTTCATCAGGTTTGGTGTGCCCAAAGTCCAAGCCTTGTGTAGCCGTGAGGTGATCTTGACCTTCGACATCCACAACATCGCCTTCTTCAAGACTAGTGATTTTGAAAGGTAAGGATTTATGTTTATTTCTTGTGATCTTTGTCATTTCATGTCTCACCTTACTCACTTGAAGTGAGGGACCTGAGGCTTTATATGCTGACTGGACGATCTCATTTATCGTCGGTGTCGTCCGGGACAAAGGATCGAAGCACATTACCCTTGATCTCAATTGTATGTCTCTTTTCCTTTTAACTTGCATGCCATTATTGAGGGTAGTATATCAGCTGCTCGTTACGCCAGTCGCTTCTCCTCGTACAAGAAGGTGGACACTATCGTCGTCAAATATTTCGAAGACATCGTCAAATTCCTTACCGTCGATTACCTCGATATCCTCGTGCAATACTCTGTACACATTGTCCAAATCGGATTGGAGGTGTTCCTCCCTGGCGGCCCAGAGCCGTCCTCAGACTCTGGCAATACCACCTGGAGCGAAACCGATAACGAGGATGACCAACCCGGCCGGCCTCACGGTGAAGTCGTTGTCTGGACGCAACGCATCGAAAGCATGCATCTTTTTGGTTTCGACCAGATTTTAGCTCTGTCTCAGGTTTCAATCAATTCACTGTTCTTCAGTCTTCACAAAAAGGCCCAACGTTGGACCGAAGGCTTTGATGAATGCTTGGCTCACTGGTCTTTGGATTCATTCTCTGCTGACTTCGACGCGATCTCCGTTCGCTTGCTATCCAATGGCAAGGCTGTCATTTTTATTTCCATTAACGCTGGTGAATTGGCCGTTAGAAAGTGAGTCCTCTATCAGCTAAGGCGTTCATATGTTTTCTGATATCTTCACTGTCAATAGAGAGACGGAAAAGTCCAATTTCTGGACTTGGGTTGGATGGTCCAAGCCAACCAGCAAGGAGTCTATTGAGATGTTCAGCTTTGACCACGTAACGGTTGCGTTTGAGGTTGATCTCGAAATGAAGCAACATCACGAGCTCGCTGTTGGCGACGCTTGGTACGAGACTTTCAATAATACGTTCATCTACAAGTACCGCCGTGTCGAAGAACACGTCTTCAAGCACCTGCTTCTGAACTTCCGAAGTAAGCTTCGTTCTCCCTACTCTACTTGTGTCCGACGCTGATCATTGCCCAGACCCCAAGTACCTTGACGAGTTGTCAAACGTTGCTGCTCTCGGTAAAGGCCGTGACAGCCCAACTAGACTAGACACCCTCCTTCACTATCTGAAGGACTACCTTCTGGATCTCTCCGATGGTGGCCACAATATTATTTACTCCATTCCGGTCTTTACCAATCGTGATGACAAAACTTTCGGCTACACCAGTGTCGCCCACAAGATCGTCACCAAATCCACTGTCACTATTGGCAACTGCGGTTCGCTTCATGAGAAGGACGCGCCAATCATTCTTATCCTCGGTGTGTGCAACTTCCGTCCTATGCCTCCTCTGGTCGTCGAGTGGTTCCCTGGCTGGATCATCGAGAACAAGCGCAGCAAGTCTCACGGTACGCTTTGTTTGTCTAAAGCGGCATTCCTCGAAGGACGTCTCTTGCCTCTTCTCGCCGAAGTAAACGCTGTTACGACCCTGATTCCGAAGTTTGCTGGCGTCATTGATGGTGACTGGCACTTCGATCTGACAACCTGGAAGGATGATATCTACCGTCATGCGAAACTTTGCAACTGGAAGGAAAAACAGAATGTTTCCAGCCAATACCTGGAGTATGTTTGGGAACATCGTGATGAATGGAGTCATGAACATGAAGGCACGTATAGCGACGAGAGAAACGGCGAATACTCGTTGTCTTGTGAGTAGTTTCCTCTTAGCTGTTATGTCCAATTTCACTCATCTACATATCTAGGCCGCACTAAGAACAAGCTTCACATTCCCACTGTCTTCCGCGCAAACAGCCTCGAAATTCAATTGACGGGAGAATCTATTCTTAAGGTCGGCGGCAAGGATGACAGTGGCAGATGGAGGTACGTGGTTGAACCACAGTATCACCTTGTGTACTTCTCACATCACTCACAGCAAGCGTACATCCGCCAAATGGTCTGCGTCTATCTTCATATATTCAAGAGCGGGTGGCCTTGCTGTGGAGGTGTCGGGCCAGATCAAACCCGTCTTTTCTGAGGAAGAGTCGGAAGGCCAATGCGCCATCGACGTCTCCGGTCTTCACTCCAAGTACCTTCCCTACATTGTGCACCTGGACGAGGTTCTGGAGTCTTTAAAGAGTACCTTGGAAGGCGGATGGGAATTCGCTGCTCCAGGAGGCGAGTGCTACGCCTTGACCAACCCCGTCTTCACTCGCAAGGGCGACCTCGTCGTCCAACTCTGTGAATACAAGGCTCCATCTGGCTTCATTTGCAGCCTGCCGCCCAGAATCTCCTATTGTACGTGGGGTTGTCCTCAGATCATTAAATTGGCTGACGTCTTAAATCACAAATGCTCAGCCCAACAAGTCACCACGATCAACACTGCTTCCAAAGACATCGACCATAGTGAGAAGATTGTGAAGGATATGCCGAAAATTGGTCTTCGTGAGTCTCAGATGCTAGTGTTTACCCGAATGCTCCAGGATGCTGATTTTTTTCCATTCCAGCCCGTGCGCCTTTTGGGTTCGACCGCGACTTTAATGCCTCCGTCTCCACCCTAGATAGTCCTCCGTTGAAGACGCCTTCGCCTGACTTCAACCAGACGAGCTTGAACGTGGACGCCAAGCCTGCTGCAACGACCCTGGAGGTGAATCCAGAGGCATTGATATGAGGGAATTGCCATGCCTGACTGCGGACATATTTGTCTTGCACGCGAACAGACGTTGTGTTGCCTTTTCTGTATATCCTGCCAACAGACTTCGTGACATTGGCAAGGGATCCATGTAGCAAATACAATACAGTTACATCGAAGGTTCATTAATTTCATCTCTCATTTGGTGAATACTGGACAAAAAAGAATGAGACGTTGAGCCATCCGCATCGAATGGTTTGAACTTACTCGATACAACATCTTCATCTTGTACCAGATGGCCGAGCCCAACCTTCTGAGCATGTGGGTTGAACTTCGAAGATTTACCCTGGCGAGGGGAGATCAAATCGAGGGCGATCATGGAAAGAGAAAGAAGACTCACCCAGACCAGTGCGTAACGAAGGTTCGCCGCGAGCGATCGATGAATACCATTACATACGTCCTATCTAGGGGTCAGCGTTGCCCTCGGCGGTGATATGGGTGAAAGGATAGTGACCTCGATGGTAGCCCCCTTTCGTAAGCACACAGGGTCATGTAGATCTGGATGAGCACCTCTCTTTTTGGTGTATATTCGGACTAAACCCAGCTCATCCCACATGCGCTCAATCAGGTAGTCCAAACTGATGGAGATGAGTACCAAAGTCCTGTGCACAATAATAGAAGTCTTGCTCACTTGAGGCCCATCTCACAACTGATGACGACGCTGTGGTCGTCGCGTGCTAGTTTATCCAATTGTTCCATACTGATAGCATCGATTTTGTTGTACACGTCTGTGACAATGTGAGAAGGACGGGGTCCTTTACGAGACAAATGACAAGGCGTTTACGCACATAGACAGGGCATATATTTCCTTGTACCGATGAGAACGTCGATGAACTCATCTGTAGTGATCTGCAGGGATACGCTCATTACAAAAGTACGCACAGAGGACCGAGATATACTCACGTCCTCCCGAATCATCACATCGCAATTATGCAACTTGTCTATCAATGGTCAATTCAAGTCGTACTTGCAAATAGTGAGAACCTACAGCTCGCCAGAATACTCCGAATTGTTTTCTCGTCAGTCTTTGTGAGTTTGACAGTCGCGGTCAAGGTGATCTGTCGTATGTCGTCAAGCAATAAATTTTATGAAACGAAAGATTTCTGCTTACACCACCGGTTGTTTTGCGCTTGAATACAACGTCAGGCTTTTTCTTGTTTAGTCTGATACCTACAGCATCAAGTTCAATCTCGAGCAACCGACGTTGCTCCTCTGGTTTGGTAGCGTCCAGCATGATCAAGATGAGATCAGCCGTTTTCGCTGTAGAAACAACTTGACGTCCTCGACCACGGCCTTGACTAGCACCTTCGACAATCCCCGGCAGATCAAGAAGTTGTATCCTTGCACCTTGATGGTCGATCACGCCAGGAATAGCCTTGTAGTCTGTTTGAAACACAACATACACTCACGAATAGCGTCTTGGACATACCGTCAAAGTAGTGAACTCATATGCCGCCGTTTCCGATTGTGTATGAGTGCACTTGCTTAGCAATGTTGACTTTCCGACAGAGGGAAATCCGATGAGGGCAACTCGCGCGTCGCCGGACTTCTGCACATCAAATCCTGTGCCTGCACCGCTTGACTTGGTAGTAGGCTCAAGCAGCTGCGCACGATAACGGGCCAACTTGGCTTTCAGGAGGCCCAAATGATACTCTGTCGCCTAGTTTCCCAGGTGTGTCAGCAAAATCAGAAACAGTGTAATAGTTCTCACCTTGTTCTTCTGGGCTGAAGTCGGACGGTCTCTGATCAGTCATGTACGAATTGTTCTTTTGCAAAGGATACTGACTCCTCGCCATTTCCTCTAGTGTGAATTTAACATATTAGCAGACTCGATCAATTTCGGAATGCCCCAGTTCACCGACCCTCGATCTCCTTGATCTACATTATTAAGGGCTAAGCAAAAATTGTATCCGTTCAGTATTGCGACGAGCATACCTTTTCGACAACACCCATGATTGCAACCGATAGAAAAGCAGTTGAATGAGGGACGGAATTTATGTAGAGGTTGCGGAAGAAGAGACCCGCAAGACGCTGCGAGAGCGGCACAGGGGATACCGAAAGAGGCAATAACATAATTTACGATTACTTTGGAAGACACTCTTCCGCCGTCCCTCATGCAGGACGCACACGTATTAAATTGCCCTTCTCCTCTCCGTCACGACCATGAGGCGACACACACCAACCCTCTATACCCACCCCGAGGACGATGCTGACGACGAAGCCGAGGCGTCCTGGCCGGCGTCGACATCCAGAAACTCTTTCACTCCCCCTTCCAGCATCTCCTCCAAACAGCGATCTCGAACACGACAAAGATCGATTTTCATCTCGAATAATGCTTCCAGTACACAGCCGACCTCACCGACTCTGCTTCAGAGGTCTAATTACTCTAATATCTACAACCAATTCGTACGACGATATCGTTCTGGTCCTGGAGAAGATGATCCTCGGAGTGACCCTGACAGTCACTATTACAATCGTGGCTTAGGACAACTGGTTGACGGTGGTGATAGTGACGACGAAGATATGCGGACTTTACCTCTTGGGATGAGTGGGGATGGTCATGATCGGCTCTCCACCCTTATGCTTGATGCTGAGCCCATTGAGCCAGAAACTGTTGAAGACAGGGAACGCCTTGAGTGGCAAACCATGCTTGCTTCTGTTCTTGCTGGTGACGTGCTCAAGGCTGAGAACAGCCGAATAGCTGTTGCCCTCAGGTCCTCCATGGAAGAGGAGAATAATATTCGTGCGAATATCTGGCTTGGTGTCCGGGCGAAGGTTCATGGGCGGACAGAGAGCGAGGAACGCAGGAGACTAGATGAGCGTAGAGTGCGAGTTGTGGATGCGACGATCAACGAGGTGCTTCATTTCCGTGTCCCTGAATCACCTCCAGATTCTTTAGAGACATCAGCAGACCACGCACTCAAACAAGTAAACACTTTGCTTCATCGGCTAGACATTGTGCACTCCTTGTACCCAAGTCTTCGGTGTTTCCACCTTGATTATCCTGCTGCAACGGCCACCGAGTTCCAGTCTCGGGTGGATACTCTGAACACCTGGTCAACCGTGATAACATCTCTTCGGCAACAGATTTACGTCTTGCGTAAATGGACGGGTAGCGAGACACTGGACGTAAACCAACCTACCGCAGCCTCTGCTGGTATCGCGGGAGCTGATCGCCCACTTGATGGTTCCGGCACTACCTTTGTCGATAGGTTGCTGAAGGAGGAATCTATCCAACGACAATTCGAGAAAGGTGCCATGACCACGATTCATGCCCTTGTAGGGACAACTCGTGATGCACACGTGAATTTGGCACCCATGTTCCAAGCGATGAATTTGCCTACATTTGAGCAAGAATTGGTGCCGCTCGTCTCTTTCCTCACGAATTTGGCACAGGCTGTGCTTCGCGTCCGTTTGGACTATGCTCAGAAGCTCAAGAATCCCGATATTCTCATCCTTGACCAGCTCACCGAGGATCTGAAGGTCAAGATTGGCTTTGCGTGCACGTTAAAGAGGCAATATGAAGCCTTTCTTATACCCGATCCTAATGGCAATTGGAGGCTGCCTCCATGTATCAGTGAAGATTACGACACCGTAATTCTTGAGGCGTTGACTTTCTTCTTCAAATTGATTCATTGGAAGCTCAAGAGTGGGGCGAAAGGGATACATTTCAAGGAGACCGACGTTATTGAGGCTCAGTGGGCTACCTTTAGCGATGTCAGCCTAACTATTCCAGGAGGCGCTACGCTTGTCGCTGAACAGTTATGGTACGCATGAATCTTCCCCCACCCTCTGAATCTAGCTCTCTGATGTCGGCATCTTAGTGCGTTGACGAATAAGCTAATGATCCGAGTTACGAACTACTTCGATACTCAAATACGTCTTCCTATTGTTGATGACGAAGTTAACAAGCGTACCGGACTCAGCCCTAACCTTAATGGTACTCGATCTGCATTCCAGGCGCATCTGACATCGAGCTCCGTTTCCAGCAAGCCTATGAGTAATGAACAGGTCATCAGTTGGTATGGCAAAATCCTGGAGGGTGTCAAACAGAGGTACAGGAAGTTGCAGCGCCTCACACGGTGAGATGTCCAGTGAAATTTCTGTCGTCAGCTTATATTCATGCGATGTGATACAGTGTACTTGCTCGCAGATTCTGCAACTCTGCGGAGTACGACCTGGATGACGTTCCTATGGATCTCTTCATCGCAGCTCTGGTGGAGACAGATCATTGTCTTATCTATACCCAGACATTCGAGGAAGATGGCATCTACATCATTGCACCTCCCGGGCTACGCGAGCAGCCCGATGAGATTCGCCGTATCCTGATGGAAGCTTTTCATACGAGCGAGGCAGACGAAGGAGTCTGGTTTATGGAAAGCGGGGATCCTAATCAAGACGAAGAAGATGAGGCCAATTATCTCCTCATTCTATCCCCTGTCACGCGTTTCCTGTGGAATGGTCTTGTTCTCATGATGCCACTTCCAAAGTTCGACCTCAGGCTTGCTGAGAACAGAGTACGTCTTGTCGCGGATGGCCCACAACACAGACTTGCGCTGGCGAAGAGGCAATTTGCTGAGTTGTTCTTGTTGTACGACGAGAACGATGAGCCAGTGGAATCACCGCTAACGCCTCTTATGTGTATTGTCGAACAGCAGGCGCATCTCCCTTCAGTGAACCACGAATTACGCAAAATCAGCCGTGCCACCAACCGACTTGCAGAATCCATTGTCGACTCTGTGCACTATGTGCGGACGGCTCTTCGCGAAGCTGATGGTTATCAGGAGCTGCTCGAGAACTGGTATAGCTTCGCTTCTGAACACGGACAACATGTTCAGAAATATATGGACCGCACTACCCTTCTCAAGTTCAACCGACTTCTCATCAAACTGGCCATATCCTGGGTAGCCTTCATCTGCGACGATTGCGATCCAAATGATCGTAAGACGTTCAGATGGGCAGTCATGGCCCTTGAGTTTACACTTCATCGCACTCGTCGCAACAATATTTTACATCTTCCTGACAACGAATTCGAGCTGCTGCGTCAGAAGGTGGCCAGTTGCATGACTCTGCTCATCAGCCATTTTGATATCCTTGGTGCACGCTCAACACTCGAAGCCAAAAAGGAAAAGGAAAGGCAAGAGGAGTTGGTGAGGCAGAATGCTACCGAGCACATGTCTCCTGAAGACGAGAGTCCTCCATGCAACCTGGATGACCAAGCAGGGCCTCTGGCTTACACAGACCCTGCTATGCGTATGTTTTGGGACAGAGTATCCAATGCGGTTCGAGAACTCGAGAACCAACGTGCTCATATCAGCTGCGAACAGCGTACGATGGGTCGTGTGCTGGACGAAGAGAAGCTGGTAGACCGATCGCTGGTCTTCCTTGCTGGTTCCAGATCGAACGTATCCATTCGATGGCAACAGGGCCGATTTATCGGTGCAGGCTCTTTTGGATCCGTGTATCTAGCCGTGAACCTGGACTCTGGTTCGTTGATGGCAGTCAAGGAGATCAAGTTCCAGGAGGTTGCTCCACTTTCGAATCTTTACAGCCAGATCAAGGACGAGCTAAGCGTCATGGAGATGCTCCATCACCCAAACGTGGTTGAGTATTATGGTATTGAAGTGCATAGGGATAAAGTCTATATTTTCGAGGAGTACTGCCAGGGTGGCAGTCTAGCTGTTTTGCTCGAGCATGGTCGTATCGAAGATGAGGGTATTATCCAAGTCTACACCATGCAGTTGCTGGAAGGACTAGCATATCTGCACTCCAAAGGTGTTGTACACCGTGATATCAAACCTGACAGTAGGTTCAGTCTGTCATACCAATATGAATTCGATACTAACTTGACCTAGATATTTTACTTGATCATATGGGTGTCATTAAGTATGTTGACTTTGGAGCAGCAAAGATACTTGCCAAGAACCAGCGCACCCTAGTACGCTCTCGTCGTGCGCCCCCCGAAACAGCGCCTGGACTCCCAGTGGGCTCCGCGAACAACAGCTTGACAGGAACGCCTATGTATATGTCACCTGAAGTAATCAGAAACAACAAGCGGGGTCGCTATGGTGCTATGGATATCTGGTCATTGGGTTGCGTTGTTTTGGAATGTGCGACTGGCCGGAAGCCTTGGAGCAATCTCGACAATGAATGGTATGCGTACCATTTATGTGTGTATTCTGTGCTTTGCGCTGATTTCTATTATTTGTAAAGGGCCATCATGTTCCACATAGGTGTTGCAACGCAACATCCACCTTTGCCTGACCCGGGTCAACTGAGCGAGATGGGCATTGACTTCATCAGGCAGTGCCTCACTATTGATCCTATGCAGCGACCGAGTGCCACGGAACTCATGGAACACCCTTGGATGCTAGACTTTTCTGAGGCACTCCGAAGCTACGAAGAGGCAGAACTCTCCATGAGTCCACCAGCGGAGATGCCTTCTGAATCTACGTACCACGCCGCCACGGTGGCTCGTCAAGCTGCTATCATCCAGGAGAAGGAGGTGGAAGCCATTCAGTCCGCCACACCCACCACGTCACCTCTCGAAACACCGTCCAGCTCTGATCCAATTTCTGATCCAATCTCTGACATGGAACAGTTACCCGTCGTAGCAGATCCTCTGCTTCTACCTGTACTTGACGACGCACCGCCAGACTTGGTGGGCATTGTCTCACCTGGCTGGGAAGATATACCATCCGAACTGACAGATGGTGTAAACCATGGTCGTGAAGAACATTCAACAGAAACGCCTACGTAGTCACATTTTGCTTCCTGCTTTCCATTGCTATCTCTAATTAGATTGTAGCATATCACCATTGTTTGTATGTATCGCTCGATTTATTTCATAGTCGCACTCATGGCTAATCCATTCACGTATTGACATCTATTGACTATATCACCATAGCTACTATGCACGACTTTCTGAGGTCTTTCTAGTCTCAACTGCTCTACTAGCACCCGCTAGCAAAGCTGAAATTAGGATGACCGGATTGGGAGAGAAGGCAACGGCCCGTGTATGAGCCGCTGCCGAGACCCTTCTTGATCCATCTTGGGTCTACCGCGTCTCCTCTCAAGGGCTTAATATAACCTTAAGCCGTTCTACTTAAGACCTACCTTCAACTGTCCAGTGTCACTGTTCTATTGCATCGTTAACCCTTCAACACGCAAGTCGTAATAAGCTCTCTGCAAACTATTAACCGGGATCGCCTGCAATGAAGTTCTTTTCTCAGTCCTTCTTGTACGAGTGAGTAGTGGCATTGTGTCCTACAACGCGTTGCCGAACAGTTATAACCCACAGCGATCCCTGGTCCATTGTTTCGTTTGCGTTCTTTCTACGCTATCCGAACCCTTTTGCATCCCATGTTGCTTCAGTGGATGTCATCTCCCGAAGCTTCAGCCCTACAGGCTCGCTGCTGACAACTCGGCTTATACTGAAGAGGGGTTCACTTCCCAGGTGGGCTCCAAGGGGTATCATCGCCAAGGCCGAGAGTTGGATCGTTGAGGAAAGCGAAGTGGACCCAGAGGGGAGGGTCGTACGCTGCACAACCAAGAATCTTGACCATGTCAAGATTATGCGTGTAGAGGAGCATATAACTCTTCGCCAGACAGATGACAAGTAAGTCTATGTCAGCTCTCTACCTTGTTGCATTGTTTACCTTTTCATTAGTCGTACATTGCAAACCACCGAAGCTAAGTTTATCTCCGGTTTCGGTTGGGGTCTGACAAAGCGAATTGAGAACCATGGTCTTGCACGCTTCAAAAGTCACGTTCAACGAGTGAGCATAGTTTTTGTATATATTCCATTCCATGTACTCACTCTTCATAGTCTCGCGAGGGCCTCGCGGTTATTCTCAGCCTCATTCGCCAGTCACGCATGCAGCCCATGACTCTGGGACCCGCACCCCTGGTTACTTCCCGCCAGTCGTTCACGGGCTCTGAGGATGTGCGAAATGACCGCGAGGAAACTCGTCAACCAAAAGATGACCAGGCTCCAGACTCACCTAGCTCGGCAGAAAGACCCTGGTCAAAAATAGCTTCATGGCTGCGGCCAAGATGAAAGTAAATACTAATGTTAACTATCAAGTACGATATTCCACGCGGTCCTCGTTCGTAGTTCGTGTTATCTTTCTTTGGGTCGATTTTGCTGTTACTGTTCTCTCCTTGCACCGATATCCTGTACTTGTATGGACTGTATCTCTAGGTTACAATAATCTATCTCAGCATGCTCACCGCTCTGAAAGGCTCTAAATGATCGCCGGTGTCCGTGGGAGAATATGGGAGTCTCCAAATGGAAATGCTACATTATACGTGGTTTCGAAATTCGCGCGAACTGGCCGCTGTTCGCCTGCAAACCTATGCTCAATGCATCACAGAGACAGAGATCCATCCTCGTGTTATTCCCTAGCTTTCGTCTTGTTCTCTTAGGCCAATGTACTTCCCAACCGCTGCTGCACGACGCCTCTCTTCTGTACCCCCTATTCCATCATCCATCGAACCGGTAATATGTCTGGCTACTAGTCCCCGCAAGACACTGTTCTGTTCTGTCACCAGGAATGGTCTGTCTCTCTGGAGAGTACGAGTATGTTGAATGCACTTCCTACGTCGCGTTCCCAATCGGATCCAAGGGCTGATGGACACCTTATAGCCATCCGCTGTCCTTGCACATTTAGCACGCACAGATACCTCTCTTAAAGCTCACGGGGAGAATGCTTATGCGGAGTGGTCTCCTGATGGGCAAAGAATTGTAATACAGGTGCGTAATTCGGATATTACTTTCGAGAGATGACTCATTTGAAACTATTACCCTTGCTCTGAATGTGTAACAGACTACACAATCGTACCTTGTCCTCGTCACAGTGGAATACAGTCCAAATGAGACTCCTTATCAGTCGCCTCCTCTTGTGCCCAGTGCCCAGCGACATTTTCTCCCAGGACCTGGCGAAGGCTTGCCTTTCCAATCTATCAGCCTTCACTTCGAAGGTGTTATTCGAATTGAAGGCCAGCTTTTGAGGTGATTATTCTCAAAGTTTGCCCTATGATGAGAAAGAAGGCCTGATCCTTCATAGTGTCTCGCCGCGAGCGAATTATATTTTATTCTCTACACGTAACCCCCCGGCAATTCAAAGAATACCCTGGCCTGTACTTAGTGAAGATGATGACACTGAACAGCACGCTGCTAGTCGTGATCTCAAGTACTACGACACCTGGGTTCTGAACGATGAAGAGCTGCCTTGGTTAGTTGACAGTGATGGTACAAGTATTCGGCAATTGTCCATGAGTCACCTCTTGACATACATTACATTGCAGTGACTGTGAACAAGATATTGTACTCGCGGCAAACCGGCGTTGAGACTTGGTTAACATCAGATGGCAGAGCGTATCTTGTTCAACTCTACGAGAGCAATGATTTGCCCCCGAGCCAGTCGGACCTCAGTACGACAGGCGACGAGTCTGCTCATGTGAGACTTTAGAGCTATGTTACAACCGCTTTTTGCTGAACACCATCGTAGGCTGCACGGTTTCGCCATCATGAACGAATGATTTCCTCCGAGCCCAGCGTACCAGAGGCGGCTATACAGTGGCATGGAACATGTATTCACAACATTGAAGTACCAAAGTGGGTTCAGAAACGTCGGCAAGTCTGTCCCGATGACCCGGAAGCATATCGACCCGCATACAATGAACCACGACGAGCGGAAGTCGTGGCTATCAACGCTAAATTCTCACTGGTCGCGACCGGGACTCAAGGGTAAGCTCATCCCGCTTTATCCTTTCGGGAGATTTATTGAGTATGACTCAGAGGAACTGTGGAATATGCTAATCTACCGTCACAAGAAGGCGTGATGCCCAAACCACAAGTGCTTCAAATACCCAACCTGTATAACCGCGAGAAAATGGGAGCAGTGCGAACTATGGAATGGAGTTCGGATGGATATGTCCTCGCCGTCGGTTGGGAGCACGGATGGGCTATTTGGAGCGTTGGGGGACGCTGTCTTGCCTGGAGTTTCGGCGTAGAATATGAGGTTGATGAAGAAAGGTAGGGCATTGCGTGCTTTGTCGTTCGAGGGATGTCGAATAATTCTCCTGCAGGTTCCAAGATACTTTCATGTATGGAATCCGCGACTTGGTAGGTCACTGCACATCTACTGCCACTGGAGTTAATGTTCTTCTAGTTTTGGGCGCCGGGTAACTTCGAGCTATTCGTCCTTGCTGATTCTACGCCTGCTAGTAGGTTATCATTTTGTCTTGAGAAAACGACCACTCATTCCGATTTGGTATAGCGGCTGATGGACAACTGTTCGTGCTTCCGTTTGCAAAGAGTGCAACAACTGGACAACATGCTCCAGTAAGGAATCTGGTGTCTTACCTTGCAGTTGCTCAAACTCGAGTTTTCAGGACAACACTCAATACGCCTTCTTGCAAATGGATGACAGAGTACTGATACATCGAGGAGCTGATCAACCTGACATGAGTGTTATCAACCCAGAGTCCGACGTGTGGCAGCGAATCAAAGTGAGATTGATTGTCTTCGCTGTTTTCAGGCCGGACATTGACCGTGTTCTCAGATACCACAAGATTATCTTGCTACAAACTGGCCAATACGATATTCAGCGGTCAGTCAAGACGGTCGGTTGATCGCCATAGCTGGACGGCGGGGTCTCGTCCACTACAGTTCATCGTCAGGACGGTGGAAGCTGTTTGCTGATGAGCTGCAAGAGCAGGCTTTCACTGTGAGGGGAGGTCTACTGTGGTTCCACCACGTCCTCATTGCTTCTGTGGAAGCATCGAAATCATATCAGGTCAGTCGTTACGTGCAGCCTTGCAAAATGTGGTTATGTTAACACCACCTGCTTCAGATTCGACTTTATTCCCGAGATCTGGAATTAAGCAACCAGAATGTATTGCATAGGGAAGTGTTGACGTCGCCTGTGGTGATACTTTCTTTGGTCGACAACTCCTTGCTCGTCTACACGGCCGACAACACACTCTTCCACTATCTCATCATACCAACGGAGGACACCATCAAACTTCACCTTTGCGGTAGCATAAGCTTCGAAGGAGTTGTCGCTGCTCCAACTGCTGTGAGGGTCCTGAGTTGGCTGATACCCAGTGCGCAGAAACGTACGTCCCACATATTGAATGTTTGCCCTCTTGCAGCTGAACCAGCACTTGCAGAGCTTGGGGATCCGACGGACGATCTCTCGGTGGCCACCGTATTGATGATTGTCGGTGGAAAGCTTGTGCTTCTTCGTCCGAGAAAGGTAGGCCCTGTCCAGCCGGTGTGTGACCTTAAGCCGATATACCTTCTTAGACCAGAAGCGCGGAAGTCAAGTACGACATGCAGATCCTCGCTGATCGTATCGAATTCTGTTGGATTCACCTCCGTGGCATTGGAACGTTAGAAAATTCTCTCTGGGGCTACGATGGCCAGAGCATTCGCGTTTGGTTGAATGCACTCTCAATCGAATCGTCACCTCAACCGGATGTGGGCGAATTTAAAGATGTAGAAGAGAACGTTAAAATCGCTCTAGACTTTTACCCGCTTTGTGAGTATTTCCGTAGAGTTCACTTGACAGAATCTGACCCGATCTTCAGCTGTGCTAATGGACAAGGGTATCATAATCGGTGTCGAGCATGAAGCTGCCACGAGAATGAGCCTGCCTTTCGTAATGTTCCGACATGTTACAAGCGTGAGCGATTTACCAGAACTTATGCATCGACGGTTGATTTACTTTGCCTTTCAAAGTCACATCTATTCATTCATCATATCCTTGCATTTCATCTCGAGAACGAGCAGATTATTCAAGCCGTCAGCTTCGCATCGCATTACCAACATCTGGTTTACTTTGCCCATGCGCTGGAGATTCTCCTTCATAGCGTCGTCGAAGAAGACGCAAGTTCGTCTCATGATCAAGACTCAAGTAAAGACACATCGCATGACCTCCTGGCGAGGACAATAGAGTTCTTGGATCACTTTGAAGCATCGTTGGATATTGTTGTGGGTTGTGCACGCAAGATTGAAATGACTCGGTGGCCCCGGTTATTTGATGTGGTTGGCAGCCCCAAGTCATTGTTTGAGGTAACATTATCGCCCTCCTTTATGTTTTCTAGCTCACCTCGATTATTGATAGGTTTGTCTCGCCTCTGGCAGACTGAAAACAGCGGCTTCATATCTACTTGTCCTTCACAACCTCGAGCAACTCGAGGACGGTCATGTAGATGTCGTGCGGCTGCTTAGAAGCGCTATCGACGCTCGTGACTGGCAGTTGTGTCGAGAGTTACTTAGGTTCTTGCATTCTATTGACGAGTCTGGTGCCGCTCTGCGAAATGCCCTGACAGAGACCGAGTTGATAGCAATGGCTAATGGTGGTTCGGCTTTGTAAATGGTGATATGCATGCAAAATGATTTACTTGATATTTTCACTATGTACGAGTAGTGTTAGAATTCCAATGAGTGGTAGCCGTTCATGCGAATCGCGAGATACCCTTAGTGTTCTTGCTCAGTTGCTACTTCGCAACTAGACTCGGCGTGGGTCTGATCTTGAATCTGATCGATTGAATGGCCGATCAATGAGCTTCATGTGGTTCAGTTATCGGCGAAGGGGTATAAAGAGGCTAGCCCAAATACTAATCATGCCTGCTGATTGTCTTCTCCCTTAATGGTTCCTAGACCGTTCAGGATACTTCACCGTGCTATGGCCACTATTGCAAAGCAAACTGGTCAACCTATTTCCTATACACCAGAGGGAGCCGTGTTGATTTCCTACAAAGATCTGACTTCGTCCCCCTTATCTCTGTCAAGCTCTATCGGTGAGAAATATATATTCACTGATTCTCTTGCAATGTCTCTATTTGTCTTCCTCAACCTGCGCATTCAATAGACAAAGCATTTGGTTCAGGACCAGACTGTTTGGGGATCATCCTCGTCCGAGATCTTCCTCCCAGCTATCCAGCTTCACGAGAGAGACTGCTGAAGCTTGCATACAAATTCGCCAAATTACCGGAGCCTATTCGCGAACAGTATGCAGATCCGGGCAGCCGCTACAGGCAAGTCTCTTGCTCTCACCGTACATGATCACTCGCCGAAGTTCATCGTTTTAAGTTTCGGATGGTCCCACGGTAAAGTGAGTGCGCATGTGCGCATAATCTTCAGTAACTGACTCATGCTGTTTCGTAAAGGAAATAATGAACGGAAGGCCAGGTAACTATGTGGTGTCTATATAGCTATATAGTCCACTCCTGACCTGCGACAATACAGACACCTTAAAGGGGTCCTACTACGCCAATCCCGTTGTAGATAGTCCCGCAGTGTCATCTGAACTTCGTGTCTCATATCCTGAATATTATGGCAATAACATCTGTAAGGCCAGGTGTTTTCCTCACGATCGTCATGGCTGAGCCGTTTGTGTAGGGCCCAGCAACGATATCAAGGAGGTGGAAGGATTTGAGCAAGCTTTCAAAGACCTGGGACGGTATGTCAACCGGCCGATTCCCAATGACAATATTAACAAATGAGCAGATTGGTTTTCAAAGTTGGTTGTGAATTAGCAACTGCGTGTCAGCCTTTCGGTGCGTATAGTTATAATATGGTTTCAAAACTATCATTTCTGAGCTATTGCTAGCGTCTTCCTATCTCTCGGATTCATCCCTTTCGTTGTCCAAGCTGATTGGATCATCACAAACTGTCAAGGCCAGGCTCTTGCATTATTTTCCACCGTCGCCAGACGCACCGCTTCCCACTGAGGATGAACCTATAGATAGCTGGTGTGGTTTCCATCTTGACCATTCATTGTTGACCGGACTTTGCTCAGTGAGTTATCCTCATTTTGTTTTGGAAGTATAACATATTTTTCTTGCCCCCTAGGCTATGTATCTACGTGAGGTACCCAATGGTGAACCTACCGTTGCGTCATCCACCTCCCCATCGTCTGGTCTGTATATCAAGACCCGAGGCGGGGCTCTCACCAAGGTGTCCATCCCCCCAGACTGCTTGGCTTTCCAGACTGGCGAAGCTCTCGAACTCGCCACGGCTGGAAAATTACGGGCAACTCCTCATTGCGTACGTGTTGGGGCAGGAGGAGGGGCCGACCAAGTCTCTCGAGAGACTCTTGCTTTGTTCATGCAGCCGGACGTTGACCAGCAACTCTCTGCTTCTGACACGTTCGGCACATTTAGCAAACGTATATTTGACGAGCATTACAACCAAGAAGCAACTATGTAACACAGCTCTAATTATACAGCACATATCCCAGGAAATCCCACACAACAAATAAAACAACTGCTTGAACTAGGGTGTCACCGGCGAGTCCTCTTGGTCTGAAATCACACTCCAGTCACTCGTAGCGCCTCGAGAGCTTTCGCCTGACAGCCTTCGCGAACGCGAAGTGGATGCAGATAGCCCCTGCTCGCGAATAGTATCACGCTCATCATCGAATCTGTCGGAGCGACTCTCATCCTTTGCTACTATGCCCTTGATCAGAGAGCGGGCATACTCAAGATCCCGATAGATTGCTTCAATTGCAGTAGCCACGCCATTCTCCTGCATGCCAGAATTAATGTATGACAGTGAGCAATCTGGGAATAAACTTACCGCTCGGATGCTCTCGCCAACTACCTTTGCACGATGTATCTGTTTTTGGTCTGTAGTTGCAGCGACAAGCGCTTCCGATAGAGTTGTCACTGTGAGTTTGCGGACGCCGGTTCCAATGCCAAGGGCCTCTACCCTGTCGGCCCAGAAGAACTGATCACCAAAGAAGGGTTTGATGATTGTTGGAATCCCCGCTGTGTAATTGGTCATAATTGGTCAGCACGGTCGTTGAACAAAATCAGTGCAAGCACAAGTGTAAAAACACGGACCTCTCAAGCTCGCGCCTGTGGTCCCCGCGCCACCGTGATGACAAGCCGCATCGATTCGATTGAATAGCCAGTCATGTGGTATAGAAGTGATAGGGTATATTTGTTTGGGAAGCGGTTCTGAGGATTCTGGCTCCTCAACAGATGTCTTCACGAGGCGATCCGACCAGCCCTTCGAGAGTATGGCGTATACGCCGCTTTGTATTATTGCATCGACCACTGTACGCGTCATACCCTTAGGATCCGACACAACAATACTTCCAAAGCCAATGTACACAACTTTCTTCCCAGCTTGATGAGCGGAATCTATGAATTCCACAAGTCCTGGGGAAGGTGCCCATTTGCTCGCTCCAACATTCGCGTCATTCAAAAACCAATAACCTGGGAGTAGGAAGGTCAGAGAGTGGAGAAAGCACATGAAGAAATGACAGACCTGTGATTCGAATCCATTCTGGCCAATCCAATGGGGGTGGGACAACAACAGGACTGAAGTTGTACAAAAAGGGCACTTTATGTGGCTCCATCTTATCCAGACTAGTGCTTGGAAGACCCAGCAGATTCCGACGCCAACGGTTGATCTGGCCAGCTGTTGCCCTCCAGAACACTTGGTCGAATACGACGTAAGACTAAAGCAGGACAAGTCAATAACCGGGAAAAGACCATCATTTCCTTGCAACATACCATATAATTGTAGTTCCCTCCCATCTAGTAATGACATACATCAGTGACTGTTGTCCATGCGCTGATATGTATACTCACCTTGTGTTCTGGTACGGCAAAAGCATGCGGATACGCCCTGAGAGAGGTTAGTCAAATCATCCTATGAATGAGAATGACAAGTGGATCTACCTAGTTCGACTCCATGTCATGGTAAAAGCTCTGAAATATGGTACCCGAAGGGCTTCTGCGATGTGGAATCCACCCATAGCACTTGGACTCTCAACGATCACATCAGTTCCTTGGCAGGCTTCCCACGATGTCTTAAGTAAATCATCTAGCCATCCACGGAACTAAAGAAGAATAAGCACAAATCCTACAGGAAAGGATCCCAATAGTAGCGTTACCTTTTGCATCGTCTCCTTCAGAAACGACACAGTGAACATGCCATTCTCCACGCAGATTCTCATGAGTTCCGCTGGATCACCGCCGACATATCCAAACTCAATGCCATGCTATAACGGGATGTTTAGACAGAACATGTAGAAGTATGTGATTTAACGCACAGATTCAATCCACTCTTTGAACTCGCCATGTGTTGCTATTCGACAGGAGTGTCCATCGGCCATCAGTCCTTTGGCAAGAGCGATATACGGTTGAACATCACCCCTTGAGCCAATTGTCAAGAAGGTGAAGTGTAGAGGCTCTTTAGGTTTGAAGGTCAAGAATGTCGACGACTGCGAAGTAAACATCACGGCTGGAACAGACTCGGTGAGGTCATCAGGCTCGTCTTGAATAGCTGAGTCAGTAAGGCGATGGGTGCTTGGGCCAAATTCTTCCAGTATGAGGGCTTCACGTTGGCCGTTACTTGATGGATGAGTCTCGCCTGACGCAGATCGCAGCCGAGCAGCCTCCATCTGTCTCTCCAATAGTGCCACAAATGCAGTTCGTCGTTCTTCATCCGCAAATTCGAAGAATAGCTCCTCATGGCCGCGAACAATGACGACAAGTCCGTGGTGGCCAAACCGGAAAGCCTTGGATGGTTCTGTAGATAAAACGTCGCGAATAGGCAATATCATCTGTGAAAGATATGCTTGGTAAAAAGTCAACTCGTTTAAGACGAGTACATACCCTTGTCCTAGATGTCAAAGGACCAGACGATCGGAAGCAAAAGTGGTTCGTAGAGATGTAGAGACGACCATAAATCGGCAATAATCTAAATATGTAGCCCGAAAAATCTGCAACACCACAATGTTAGGCTAAACGTCGTGAATATGAGTCAACTCCACTTACATCCAAGAAGGGTCTCCTTTTCGTCCAACGCGAATGAGCTGTGGAATTTCTCGACGATTTCAGGTTCAACCGCAGCTTCCGGAGCTTCCAAAATACTGAAGAACCCATAGTCGCCAGAGCTGCTGCTACTGAGAGGGAAGCTACTTGACGAAAGAACCTCTGAAACCTTTCCGCTACTACCTGAACCTGGCATTGATGCTGAATGCTCCAGCGTTGGTCTTGAGCTGAGGGAGCTGAACGGATTGCCAAAAGTACGACGAGAAGGGATCTTGAGCCAAGACGGGACACCGACACTCCATGAACTTGCGCTAGTTTCCCGGGAATGTGAACCTAATTGAAGTGTCGGTGGTGATGACCAAGATGACGGAGGATATGTATGAGTACTCAGGTATGTTGAAGCCGTTGGCGTCACGCTTGCCGACGATGCATGCGACGCCACTGCCAGGCGAGGTAGTGGATCTTGATTAACAACGAAGCTTTGTTCTGGAGAAGTGGTTATCGGAATGAACGAAGAACTGCTTCGTTTTGACACGTAAGTGAACTCTTCTGATTGATTCTGTGTATGTTCCGGTGCACTTAGAGTGCGCGACGGCGGGAAGGATTCCTGGAAGGGACGAAGGAAAGAGGTAAGAGACGGCAATCTAGCAGTATATGATGGCGATTTCGGCATGGATTCTGGCGATGTTACAACTGGCGTCCGGTCTATAGCAGACTGAAGGGCACTAGGAGAGCGAGAGACAGTAGTATCGATGACTGGCGGTGTTACTGAGCTTGCTGGAATGTCACGGGAGGCACGGACGGCGTCGCGTATCTGTTCAAGGGCTGCAGATAGGTCATGGAAATATGCAAAGAAGTATGAATCAACAGAATAGCTTTCGCCCCGATCCATCACCTTAATCTCGATTGTTTCACTGAAATCCATAGCGGAGGACCTTTCAACGTCAACAATGGCGGAGTAAGGAATTGCAATCTGGCAACGACGGTTGGCATCAATGTGTAAGGAATGCGAAGGAGAACTATGCACCTTCACACTATCACCCATGTTTTGAGCTTTGAACATCACCTTCCGAATAGCCTTCACCCATTCGTCCCGACTTGGAACTGAATCGGCGGAAAGTCTTATTGTCTTCTGATTTGTGCGAAGGCGGATGTCCCTTTCACCGGTAGGTTCACATGTCAGCGCATATCGCAAGTCCACAACACCGTGTGGGAAGTAAGGATCCTAAGATGCGCACAGTTTAGTGACAAGTCTCAACTAATGTCATCTGTTACTCACGGAGGACGATTGGTACCATGAGAGTACATCATTCTTCAGAACGAACCAATGTTTGATCCATCGTTTAGTGCGCTGGGCTCGTTTGCTCAGGGCGCCAGATTTGAGGACTTGGTCCTGAATGCACAGACATGAGCCATCAATTGGAGCTTACTATTCATGCACAAATACCTCTCGGGATGGCAGGTGCGCAAAGAAACATAGGTAGGAGTCGGTGAGATACATGTAGCCCTGTAAAACTGTGGGCATAATATAAACGAACAAGACACCAATGCTCATGAGTTGCGCCACTTACGGACTGATCTTAAAAGCCAGCATGGCATTTCTATACAGCAGAATGAGAAGGTGCCCCTTGTCTATAGCTTGTGGACTCACCAGATATGACTTGCTGCAGGTCCTTGAGATCAAAGATATCCCGCAGCTTCTCTGCCAATCTGGCTCGACGCTCTACTTTCACGGTAGCCATACTTCCGGAACGTGCAGGATGTGATCTTGCTAGCGAGGGCTCTGGCGCATCGAGTTCCGGCAAAGAGGGTAAGGGGGTGACTCCCCTATGCCTGTTCAAGGCACTACGATCCGGAGAGCCTTCCCTGTCTGGTTCAAAGTCTCCTTCGGCCTCTTCATCAGACAGAATAGGGCCCTCAATGGGTAGCTCCTCGTCAGTGTCTATGACACTCGGCATCCTCTGTTTACGACCCTTGGTATCACCTGCTTTATCTCTCCGGCGTGAACGAGCCACAGGCCGGTAGATGGTGTGTATCGAGGAAGTGAGCCAGTTTGCTGCAACAATCTGTCATGAATAACTGCGAAATATGCTGCGGGAACTTGATTGCAAACCAGGTTTATCCTCATCATCGCTCTCAGGTTCTGAGGGAAGAGCCCCGTGGTTCACAATGTCATCGTCATTGTCCTGGTCTTCAGACCAAGGCATCGCTTGCAATGCTTGGATGAGGGTTTGAGTACCGGCACGCATCTTCGGAAGGATTAACTCAATAGAGCATAAGATTAGCATTAAACAGTGTAACCTACAGATCCGTCTCCTCGGAATATATTAAACATAGATCTAGTAGGGCCAAAGGGAGGAGACTTCGGCGTTATGAATGGAGAATCGTCATTCGAATGAGAAGCGGGCACCCGTCCACTTGTCCTTCGAAGAACAGAAGTTGTGGTAATACCACTAAGCGTTTGTGACTGCGCCGTAGACAGATCATCTAGCACATGCTGTCATGAATGAAGCCACTCAATCCGAGTAGGAGGGCGCTTACCATCATTTGAAGCTCTCTCTTTTCCCTTGCCTCTGGTCAGAAAACGTCGGTGAGCCGAGGGCATTATCGGAAGGGAAGGCTGGCTTTGAGACAGCAGCGATCTGCTCCTGTTCAGAGTGTCTGCAGTCTTCTCCATAACACGCTTTACACGAGCAACATTGAAGCCAGAAGCACCCACTTGAAGGGAACTCTCGCTGGAGGAGCTGGAAGGGTATGCGAAAGGCTCGACACCGTTACGGATAGCATTGACAGGCTGGTCGCCCGACATTGGTGGGGAACGTGGGGAACGGTGAGGAGGAAAAGGCGGGTAGTGTCAAGGAGCTCGAGCCTCGTAATCGGCGCGACCTTCCCCAGGATAGCAGTGTGACTTCCCCACACGTGTTGTGATGCGTGACAATTAATGAACTTTCCCGATCGCGTCTGAGTGCCTCGTGTAGAACGTTCAACTCAAGGGCGTCGGTGAGCAGGCTCCAGGCGACAACATATAACGTCTCGCCTAATCACCCATCTCACGAGTTTCTACTTATACCCTCTACCGATACCACTCACTGATTTATACCATGCGCGGAGAAGTTTGCATCGGCTGTGCTTCTGTGCTTTCGTCAGTGTAGCCCTTCTGGAATCATACCCAGGAGTTTGACTGACACAGGCAAAAGCTTTGTATCTCTTCTGCTGCTCATATTCATGCATGTGCGTCACCAATTAAGCGTTTTCAAGCACACATAATCTAATCTCTCCCCAGGTCGGCCAAATCAATACCTCCAATGTGCCTCGCAACGTCGAGATGGTAATTCACTTATGCTGTTATATGGAATGGTATTGTCAATGATCGTTTGAGAACATAGATTCAAGTCAACATGACCGGTTACGCGTACGCATGCTTTCTATTCTTAGGTCTCATGTACCTCATCCACCCGACAGTCAAGGCCTGGCAGCAGCTATCAACCCTGATCCTGTCACCGGCCTCTTTACGGACAATGCATCCGCTCCTTTGGAACAGGGTCTCGGTCTACGCAATGTATACAAGTTCGGCCTATACTCTCACTGTGCATATGTCAATGAGACCGCCGGCCTTTGCTCGAATACATCCGCGGCCAATAGGTTCGAGCCGTTCTCTGTGATTACTGCTGATATGGCAGCGAACTTTACCGCCCTTTCAAACGCTCTTGTTACGAATACCACGTTTACCGACTCATCGTACCTCGGAAATTTCTCAAACGGCGCGTACTACTTACTACTTATCGGCACGATTTGCGCAGCATTAGCGTTAATCACGTACGTCTTATATCCGCCTACTGCCATGACTCTTGGCAACTAACATGCAACTTACATAGTGGTATCCTGAAGCACACCTTCGGATTCCTTGTATCAACACTCTTCGCCATTGTAGGAAGCTTGATGCTTCTCATTGGTGCAACTATCTGGACCGTTATTATCAAGAAGAGTCAATCAGTGAATGATCTTTTCCTTGGCCCAGCTGAAGCACCTGTGCCTCTAGGCATCGAAGTAACAATTGGCGATGCCTTGTACTTGGCATGGGGCGCCTTTGGGTGTCTTATAGCGTCTATTATTCCCTACATGATCAGGTGAGCATGCAAATCATGGCATATGCGGGTTTACATCGTGCTGATTGTCTTGCACCTGTGCAGTTGCTGTACGTATCGCGGATAGATTTCGCTGATGGCTGGCCATCGAAAACGCCCCCTCCACCCCTCCGCTATGAGGGAGAGCCTAACAGACAGACGCTAGGCTATGTATTATTGCTTCATGAATTATAGACACGTATCCAATGGACATGACATTCTCGTAAAAACGTATCCGTTTGAGTTGCCCTTTGGCTCAGCAATGGTAACTTAACATTACAAAACGGATAATCACTATATGGGGCCCTCATATATGGTTTCATGGAAGAGCCTTAAAACATGTCACAAAAGCTTATAGCCCACCGCGAGGGTCGAACTCGCAGCCTTCAGATCGCCGGACCTGCTGGAAACCCGCACTCCTAAGAGTCTGACGCTCTATCCGATTGAGCTAGGCAGGCGATAATCTATTTCATTGCATGATCAGCAGAGATGCTATTCATAATATTACCCTACCTTTGAATTGTCGATAATTCTTAGAAAATTACGCAGTTCAACGTTGAACTCGCAAAAGCCCTCTGGAATGCGAGACAAGGGGCTGGGGTATGATATGATTAATTGTCTATGATTACAACATGGGTAAAGTGACGAGAATACAAGACACACTGGCAGTGTGATAAATGAAAAGCCTAAAGGACAGTGAAAGAGAAATAACTTCAAACTCCAACCCTGAACAACTGTGTTAGCTGAGGAAGTATTCGCGACAGGATACAGACTCACCGATGCACAACCTTCTTCTGCAAAATTCAGGTAACGGCACATTAATAACAGTTACCAACAAGTAGTTGCGTGGAAAACTTACCTGCCCAGAAAAGCGGATGACCTCCCTCTTTTCAAGAATGAACAACGTTCTCTCCAGAGCATGGGCAGAATATCCCTGCTGAGTCACGAACTCCTTCATCAAGCTTTGATAACTGGTACTCCAACCGATGGGTAGTCGCCTTCTGATCTCTTTCTCAATTCTGCTCATCTCGTCGTTCAACGCACCACGAGAGAGGCCATCTGCTGAACCTGCCGAGACCGCGTCCATCGTCGAAAATTTGAACAAGCGGAAGGCTTCCTCAACATGGTGGTTCTTGACCACAGGTGAAAGCGTGAGCTTGGCAAGGGCCTCGGAAATTCGGATAATAGCTTCTAATTGACTGGAAAACGCTCGGTCAATCATGTTAAGAGTTGTTGAAAAGTATGCAGATCCTCACCGAATAGTGATTGGAATAGAACTACGTTCATCGTTGTCCTGTTCGACTCGCTGGACCTCCTGCCTCAGGGCAACGAAGTGACCGCTCAATTTTTCCTGTGCTTCTGCTGATAGACGAGGTGCGCATTTCCTAGGTATTAACAACGTGTTTTAGTACTACGGATAGGATAACGTGTTGACGTTTCACATACGCTTTGCAATACGCAATGTACCGCTTCATCTTATCGAGATCAATCTCGCCGATGTTTTCGCCGTTTTCATCGATGTTCTGATTTGGCCTGTTCATATGTATGTTCATAACATGTTTCGCGATTGTCTGCAACCAGAGATGAACGTCACATTCACCAATCAGGTAAAGATTATGCAATGGCTTACCCTGTCTCGCTGTTCATTGTGCTCATCTTTGACGATAAAGATCATATCGAATCGAGACAAGATAGTCGTCTGGAAATCAATGTTTTCACCGGGACTCCTGCCTTCGTCGTACCTTCCCCATACGGGGTTGGCGGCAGCCAGTACGCTGGTACGGGAGTTTAGCACAGTCGTGATACCCGCCTTGGCAATCGAGATCGTTTGCTGCTCCATGGCTTCGTGAATGGCAACGCGATCTTCATCGCGCATTTTGTCGAACTCATCTATACAGACGACACCAGTATCCGCAAGGACCATGGCTCCACCTTCCAGGTAGAACTCACGCTAAAGAAGGGCTTATGAACACAGCCCAGAGTGGATCAATATGTTCCATACTCACAGAGACAGAGTCACGTTGCACTGATGCTGTCAGACCGGCAGCACTAGAGCCTTTGCCGGATGTGTACACTGCGACGGGAGCAACCTGAAGTTACATATGTAAGTGACGCCAACGTAATCAAGGCAACACAATACCTTCTCAACGAATTTGAGCAGCTGACTTTTCGCTGTACCGGGGTCACCAAGTAAAAGAACATTGATATCTCCTCTTAATCGCATCCCGTCTGGCAGGATTTTCTTGGAACCGCCAAAAAGTAGACATGTAATCGCCTTCTTGATGTCTTAGCCGTCAACGACAGTGAGTGGTCATGAGTTCGAACTAGTAAATGTGAAAACTGACCCAGGCTCCCATAGATACTGGGCCCAACACTTTTCGCAAAGCGTTCATAGAAGCCTTCGCTCCGAGCCATTTCGCCAAATTCTTCTTCTTCCTCTGGAGTGAATTGCACGCCGAAGGGATTGAGACCTGCGCCAGGTGAGGGTGATGAGACCTCTAGATGTACAAGTCGTATGTAGGTATTCCGCAGTGTGCTCGTACCGCCAGAAGATTTCTAGACTCAAGAAATAGTAAGGATAAATTTGGCTTGGAGTGACAAACATGAACGCACCATTTTCGATGCCTGGTAAGTCGAGTAAACGCCTGTCGCAATAACCCTCGTTCCAGGGACGATTTGGCCTGCCAGGTACCGATCCGCTGAGAGCGGCATATGTCGGGGCAAATCACCAATAGGGACCATATCAGGAGCTTCCTGGAGTTTAAGGACTTGATGGTCGGTGAAAGATGACTTAGAGTGAATGATCAAATAAGGATCCATCGGACAATCCTTCTTCTGATTCTCCACTTCTGGAGCATCACATACTCTCGGTAGGCCAGCAGATGAACCTCCACCGCCAAGGCCACCGAGGCCGCTCGGTGGGTATATGATTTTTGTTGAGCGACATGCACGACATTGTAGGTGAAGCTTGGTAGCACGAGAGGAAAGCACAGAAGCGGAGATCACTATTCCTGGGATACGAACTAGCTTGTTCGTCATGGAGGCTGTGAGTTCACGGAAGTGTTGCAGATTGAGACCGGATTTAATCATGACCTGAACGTTGGGTATGGACTGTGCTGCAGCCTCCGCTCCGCTTTCTGAACCATGAGCGAGCGGAAATAGGATTGTTCTGGCTGCTCGGGTAGCTGCACTCTCAAACTGTAGTACGTGTTCTTCATTATATTTCCCTTGAGTTGCAATACAGACCAAACTTACTAAAGGTAATATCTCCCCGGGCTTCTCTTGAATAGCATGCGCAAGCTCATCATTGAACAAACCAACATCTCGCAGGTCCACTTCCAGGTGGTGCTGCTTCATAAGTAAGTTTGCTCGTAGTTTGTCTCTGCATAAAATATCAACGTCGCTCAACGGCACGTCCGGGAGACGACCACGGACCTGTAAGGAAATTCGCCTCCAAGTCGATACGACAAAATGAACTCGAGCAACAGCTTCTCTGTCTCGGAGGGTAAATCATGAGCGAGAGGCTCGCGTGCATCGTGTACGGACACAGAATATACGCGATTAGCATCGAAGCCGGACATGATGGAGTGGGTTGTAGGAAAGTAAAGACGCGACCGTCGCGTCCGACCTGGCAATGGAACGCGTCAAATGAGCTTCAGGGCAGGCAATCTCGCGTATCGCTACATTCTTATGTAAATGGTAAGTATATTTGTAAATCCTACTTAGCTTAGCTCGTAATACACATTATAATGCAAAGTATGTGGAATTTACGGATATTCACTGGCGATGACGTCGGCTAATGGGACTCGTATCCTTCCTTACTTTGCGAGTAAATCTACCTTCTCGTGTCTACTCTCTTCTTTTTTCTTTACCAGTGGTAGTAACGCAGACTTACGTCTGAAAACTTGAAGGGTTCAAAATAAGTACACTGTGCATAGTAATGAATTATGTCTGTAATGTTAGTGTCCACGCGTTTATCTGCTTGCTCTTGTTCCCTTTCATAGGCCCTGCATAAACGATAACTACTCATCCCAAACATCGTATACGATGACTTCTATGGATACAGATGAACTTCCTGTTGTACTCCCTTCTACTACCACTACTAGTGGTCTGACAATCGCGCTGTATGTAGACATCCGATAGCCTATAACCCTAGTACATGCTAATGCGGGGCGATCAGCCATCCACTCCCCATTCTCAACATCTCAGAACACTTCACTCGTTTGAAGCTCCAGAAACGACAGAGCCTTCCATTTGGTAAAACTGGTATACTCGAACCAGGCTAGGTCATTGACTTACTAGGTTGTGAACAGTCCTAGGAGCCCTCCTCGGTACTCAAACAGGGCGAGAAGTCGAGATCGTGAACACATTTGAGCTAGCTGTTCAGGATGACCAAGTAACTGTGGACCAAGAATTTTTCGATGCGCGGCGAGATCAATGTTAGTCTTGTGCGGTGTTCTTTCACTCTCATCTTAAAAGAGTTGTCCAGACAAACAGGTCTTCCCTTCACTCGAGTTCATTGGGTGGTATACAGTCGCTGCATATCCAACAGCGAAACATATAGCCTTTCACGAACAAGTAATCAGGTTTTCAGTTTATGCCTGGGATATAAATTAACAGAATTTATACCTAGTTCGCAACTCTCATCCCTACGCCACTCCTACTATTGCTCAAGCCTTCGTCGTCGTTCGCAGCTTCTGCGGACTTGGTCGTCCAAACTCTACCCTTCAAAGCATATGAGCCAACAATAGAAATTCGAGATCGGAAAGCTCGTTCTGTGTTCATCGAGGCTGGGTACACCGTTGAGACAGGCGAAGCGGAGCGAATTGCGGTAGATTGGACTGCGAGAGGTGGTTCAGGCGGTACTAGTCGTATGTTTCACAACTTTCAGAAACTATCTTATATTTTCTCAGTGGTTCGTCCTTAGTGGAATCCCACCTCAGTTCACAAAGGGCTGCCGTGAAGATGTTACACGATCGAATACTCTTGCTGGTCAAGTATGTCACCGAAATACTGGCTGGTGAGTTTATGGTAACTCCTTCGCCGACTCTATCTTATTTACTTCGTTGTTTCATTTAGGCGAGGCCAAGAAGGACCATGCAACTCTGAGATCCCTATCAGCACTCATCGCATCGCTGCCTGCGAGCGAACATAAGGGCTTCAGAGAAGAATTCGAGAAGGTTAGTCCTTTCCGGCCACACGTGTGATCTTCTTTAATTATAGTCGGCGCAGGAATATGAGGACGTACAGCTCACTGCCTTTCTTTCATCTCTGACGAAGTCAACCAACATTCTCAATGATGTCAGTCCTTTTTCAGTCTTTCCACATTTGCGATGTTCATGATTCGTCTTAGCTTGTCGACAAGCATATAGTCTTCACTGCCCAAAGAGAAGAACGGGGCCCCGGCGCTGGTAGAAGGCGAGGACCGCGAGGCATGATGGACTTCCATTGACAGCTCTCCTCTCCTTCGCGATCATACTTAGTGTCTCTTTCCATCTTCTTCGCATCACATATTGTTCTCATCCATGTAAGATCAGCAGAGGGCTTTCCCTTACCACCCCTGTACATTGTAGCCATCACCCATCTAGAGTTTGTCTGGAAGTTTATAGTCATCTTGTCTGACGTCTAAGTCGGACTCGGCCTGTGTGAGCTCCCACGATTGCGATGGGGTTTGACCTGAGCGGCTCGCGGTCGCATTTATAAGTATCCTGCGAACGAATATCCGGCCCCGGCTTGACTTCACTCCTCCTCGACAGTTATTAGGGATATCTGTTATTGTATACAGCCGACCATCCTTCTGACGTATCATCACAATGAGTAAAGTTGAGACTCTTACGTTTGGCTCCATAGTCGGGTTATTCACCCTCAGGGGTGGATACCTGATTGCATATTCATGGCTCTTTGGAATGTGTGAGTTGTCAAACTGACGTATTCTCTTGTTTCTGTTTTGAACGTTGTTGATTCGCTGTTCACATCAGCATTATGGGTGACATTCATCGGAGGTATGAGTTTATGCTGATATCGTCACATTGGGTCAGGCTACTAAGCTAGGATTGACTTCTTGCAGGAGTTATTGCATTCAAGGCTCTGCGTAAGTATTGTCCCCGATTATGATTATCCCATCAACTATTAATTGCTCAACAAAAAACAGCCAGACAGCAGTTCGGTGCACTTCAACATCGCACCTTCCCCATCTACTTCGCACTTTCCATCAGTCTTTCTTCTCTCCTATTGGGACTCTGGACTAAGGGTCACCCCTCGGTGCTTGAGCACCTGAAGAACCCTCAAGTTGCTGATGTAACCCAAGCATATGCATTGGCTGCTGTTATTTTGTCCCAGGCGGCCAACCAATTCATCGTTGGACCATTGACTAGCAAGTACGTAAATCCCATAGCTATCTTGACTACCTCTATACTGACAACGCTGGAATACAGGACCATGTTCCAGCGACACAAGCTGGAAAAGGCTGAGGGAAAGAGCTACAATGAATCCGGTGTAAGTATCCTCGCGATATAACCGAAGCGTAGATCCATAGTATTGATGTTATCTGTTAGGTATCTGCAGAGATGAAGGCTGTCAATGCGAAGTTTGCCAAACTTCACGGGATCAGCTCTCTCGCCAATCTGACCTCCTTCATTGCACTTGCATTCCACGGTTTATGGATTGGCAACAAAGGTCTTGGTAATCTCTAGTTTGTTTGTAGAGATATGAACGTATCTGTAACCCATTTGGACGGTGTATATAGCGGATCACTATGCGAAGAGAATAGAATTACGGTCAGATGAAGCAAAGAAGTACAGCAATAATACATTTTGAATGCAGAAAATCATGCGCCAACGCCCTCCAAAGAAGGCAGATATCCCTCCTTCAATTGTCTCTCCAATCTCCTGATTTCCTCTACTGACGTTGCTCGTGCAATTGCCTCCTTGACCTTCTGTGCCTCCTCTTTGGACATCAGACGACCAGCCTTGCCATGTGTCTCGAGTTTCGGCTCGTCAGTAGTTACTGGTGGCCTTGCATGCTGTGTTGATACTGTTGTCGACAAAGTCGTAGCCAGTTGAGTGGGTAAGTTATCGGCAGTCAAGAACAACGATTTGCCAGTTTGTCGTTCCTGCATTATCAAATGGATAAGACGCGTTGCTCATTTTGGTCGACGCACTAGACTGCGCACCTTGTCTCTTATTCTCTGGAAATCTAAGACTCTTAGCCCAGGTATTCTGAATGCAAGCCATTCGCGATACCATTTCTTGTCCCGCACAGGATTGCCCAGTAACGAGAGGTACCTAAGACCCTTCACATCCATCAAAGGTTCCAAGTCGCCCAGTTCAGCAAGGTTATTATTTGTAAGAATGAGTGTGGTGAGGTTGGGGACGGAAAGGTGTAATGATGTCGAGATCGAGGATATTCGGTTGTTTGCTAGGAGTAAGGTACGTAGACGGCGAAGGAGAGGGATGTTGCCCAGGACGATAATGGAGTTATCTGTAAAGTCTATAGCATCATGCTGGTCCTATATGCATACATGAGTATATAAACATAACGAGAACAACTACCATAAAACGAACCTTGGCTATACCAAGGTTTTCGATCGCAGGGATTTTGTAGCCTGTGAGTGGTTTTATCAATTGCTGCGAGAAATAGAATCATAATACTCACCTCGAAGGTCCAGTTGCCTCTCCTTTATAGGATTGAGCGTGGAAGGCACGACCTCAATGAGCTCTGGGGTAAGCTTCATGGCGGTAGGGAAGAATGAGTGCCTGCAACGAACCGCGTGCGCTTTCCCGACGCGATGCTCTTTCCATGTGAGGACGCTAGGTGACGCGCTGACTGCACACCTCTTCCGCCTCCTCCTCCACAACCATCGGGCTCCCTCATTCCAGCAGCATGAAGGGGCTTCACCAACGTCTGAACTTGTACGAATATCGTTTCCACACTTATTACCGTCTTGTCTTCACTGAAAATCACTTTACAGGTATATAGATAGCAATGAAACGTACATCTTCGTCCCGGTCGAACCTATCGGCGCACGCTCGTTGGTCATTTACAGGAATTCTGGAGGGCTTGTTCTTAAGCGTGTGTTGGACTTGCTACGGTTATCGAGCAGTGAATGCTCATCATCCCTCTAGCACCAAACTCTCCCCTTCCGCCCACGGCCGAACGCTCCGGAAAGACAATATATGGCATCGTTGGAATGGTCTCCTTAGTTGCTTGTATGCTCTTCCCATGATCACTCTTACGAGTACTGATGCATGCTTCAGCTGAGTATATCATCATCTTGACCGGCCGCGAGCTGAAGGGACAGTTCATGGGTCATAACATATACCGAGCCACGGACTTTGATATTCTTCCTCTAAATCCTGACGTATCCACTACAAACCCACCTCATCTTGTCGAAGCCCATTTGCTCGCTCTTGTTCGCACACATCTCTATGCAGGCTATTTCTTATTCAGCTATGGGTGGGACTTGACACGCAGACTGCAAGTGCAATGGTCGTCGCATCAGCAGGACGAGGGGAAAGCCATGTGGGAAGTGGTAGGTGATGCTGCTACGCGAAGCTGGTGTACAAACTGATGTTTTCCTGCAGGCTGATGATAGGTTCTTCTGGAATAAGTGAGCATTCATGTTTGACCGCTTATTCAAACGCTTACAGCGTTTTGTAGATACCTCCACAGTAGATTCATAGATGTCACCAATTCTAAACCTGATCACAATGTGAGTCCAAATCTTACATTCCAGTAGCATTTTGTTTCTGATTTTACCCTAGCTCAGTCCTTATATTCTTCCTATAATGTTTGGATGTACGCCTCATGTTCTCTATCATTGTTGTGCGGTATCTCATGCTTCGCTCACCACATAGCATTCGACATCCGTCCAGCACGTGTGAATGGTCACTACCTCAAATTCTGCCTCATCAGTCGACGGTCTCGATACCGAGCTGGTACCAGATATTTCCGTCGTGGCATTGATCATGACGGACATGTTGCAAACTTCAACGAGACCGAACAGATCTTGCTCGTTGATACACCGAACTCGGGCATAGGCGCGGACGGCGGTGGTGTTCAGCTGAGCTTCGTCCAGATTCGAGGAAGCGTGCCTTTATTCTGGGCGGAGGTCAATAACCTCAGATATAAGCCTGATGTCGTCATCATGGAGTTGCACGATGCGGTATGTTTTTGGTCCTAGGAATATTCATTTTCAGTTGCTGATGATTTTGTGGAAGATCCATGCGATGCGTAAACATCTGGAAGCGCAAATTTTGCAGTATGGAGGGCAAAGTCTTATCAATCTAGTCAACCATAAGGGTCACGAAGCACCTGTCAAGGAGGCCTATGAACAGAAAGTAGCAGAGGTATGAAACGTCGCATATATTCTTCGATGTTTTATAAACCGAAGCTCAATTGTCTTCGTAGCTCAACTTGCCTAATGTCCGATACGAGTACTTTGACTTCCATAATGAATGCAAGAAACTGCGCTGGGACCGGATTAGCGTCCTCATTGAGAAGGTTGAACAAGACCTCGTTCAATACGGGTAAGTAATCAGCATTTCACATGTTGCCGACTTCGCTCAAATCTTATATTCAAAATTAGCTACTTCCATCTCGATTCATCACGAGACGAACCAGTCAAGTTGCAAACTGGAATTGTACGGACGAATTGCATGGATAACCTTGACCGCACCAACGTCGCCCAAGCAGCTATCGCCAAATGGACGCTTAACCGACAACTGCAGGCTCTTGGCATTCTGCAAGAGAATGATACCATAGATAACTACGAGGATATCAGTAAAGACTTCAGAGAGAGTGAGGTTTCCTCCCCTCGATGAAGGATAATGACCATGCTAATGTTGTTCAGTGTGGGCCGATCACGCGAACCTTATCTCCCTTGCTTATGCTGGCACTGGAGCTCTGAAGACTGAGTATACCAGGACGGGGAAACTGACTGCTATGGGACAAGTGGAGGATGGATACAAGTCGGTCATGCGATGGTTGAAGAATAACTTTTTTGACGGTGCAAGACAGGTAAGTCTTTTCCCGTCGTTCATCTGTGTGTACCGGAAATTGACTGGTCGTATTATTCATAGGATGCGTATGACTTGATGACTGGTGCTTGGGTACCACGAAGGAATTGGACGCCCTCATCTCTTGTTACAGACCGTCGTCCACTCGTCATCCGCGCTGTAAGTGAAAGCATTTCAAATTGTAGTATATCATCTCAATGGATCATTTTTGCAGATGCCATACCTTCTGTGGTTCTCCGTCTTCATGGTCTTCGCGGGTTTAACATTACCCCGCTCGTCTGGTGCGCTCCTAACCCCACTGCTACCACGCGACAGTTCCTACTTACTCCCCTACATCACAGATTACTCCCTCCTTTACTACTTCGTTTTCTGGTTCACACTACTTTCCGTGGCCTTACTATTCATCTTCCTGCACGGCATTGACTATGTCAACTGGCCTCGTCTCACGCCTCTCGACGAGATAATCCACTACGATGGTCCCGGATTCCGTGCAGCATGGAAAGGCAATGGTTTCGGTATACCTTCGATTGATGTGAGGGTGAAGCGGTTGGGTTCGAATCATAGAAAGTTGAAGAGTAAGTTGGATGAGATTGAGATGGGTTCAAAGATACGGGTAGACTGAATACATAGTTGTGGTGGTGTTTGTCTTTTATGTGTTCTATTTATGTTACACACGATAGTCTTTCCGGAGCTTCATTTTGCACATCTTTGCTATCCTCGAGTCGTCATCAACGTTAGTTTTGACAATCGCTTGGCGAATCTGAAGAACTGCCAAACTGAGACCGACACCGATTACGTTCTCTTCACGTGCACCCTTCACAAAAATTCACCCAAGCGCCCAAACAAGTGCAGGAACTCTCAGTCTCTCATTGATCACACAACATTCCCCAGACTCCATCCCACACGAACACAAAAGAATGAGTGCCCAAGGTGTCAAGCGTGCCTCCCCCGGCGCAGAGGAAGAGAAGAACCCATTCGGAGATGTCGAGCTCTCTGATGAGGACGCCAAGAAGCTGCAAACTATCCAAAAGGACCTTGCTCGCACCGATTTATACCTTGGTACGTGCACGTTAACCCGCTAGAACGCGTATTATACTGATGATATCTATATTTATATGTCTCATAGAGCGTCGCGCTCAGGAAAAGATGCTTCCCGTTTACGAGAAGCGTCGCGAGATTGTGAAGGCCATCCCGAAGTTCTGGCCAGTGGCGCTTATGAACAACACCATGTTCTCCATCCATACTCAACACAACGCAGACCAGGTTGCTCTTAGTTACCTTGAGGACCTCTGGCTCGTCCGTGACCCCGTCGAGACCCGTTGCTTCACTGTTGAATTCGTAAGTGGACTGTTTTTGGTGTGTGTTTGCCGTGTCATGGAGAGGCTGATATGTGCGTGTGGTATGTAGTACTTCAAGGAGAACCCGTACTTTTCGAACCGTATTCTTAAGAAGGAGTATAAATATGTCCCTCCTCCTGCGGCGGCAGAGGACAAGCCTGATGCGGACGGCATCACGGAGGCCATGTTGGAGTTCTCCTGGGAACGCGATGTTGACCCTCAGGCAAGTATTTTTGTCATATAGAATAGGAAGCAATGCCGGCGCAGAACCATTGATTGACCTCGCGTTTTGTAGGCATGCAAGATCGACTGGAAGGACGACTCCAAGAACCTTACCAAGTTGTACCCGCGTGTGAAGGATGAGGAGGAGGATGAGCTTCCCTCGGAGGCCGGCAGCCTCTTCAACTACTTTGAGATTGCTGACGATCCGTTTGATGTGCGTATTATTGTTGAGTTGCAAGGGTTGTTGGATGTTGGTGTGCTGATCCCCTGTGTGGCTGTTTTTAGATTGGGGTCTTGATTGCGAACGAGGTGTTCCCGGATGCGATTGACTATTTCTTGGGACAAATCCCAAGCGAAGATATTGACTCTGAAGAGGAGGAGAGTGATGATGAGAATGAGGAGGAGATTGACCTGGAGAAGCCTCGCTTGAAAAAGCCCAGACAGACGTAAGAGGGTATGGATTTTTTTACTGTCTATTTCTTCGTTGTGTATATTTCGTTATGCCGAGTGCTGGCCGTGTATATGTTTGCAAGTTGTTGTGTTTTCATTGTGGAAGCTATATGTCGCGATGCTAAAAATAAAGACGACGGTGATTTGCAGCTATTTTTGGGGGGTGATGTAGAGTGCCGAACGGCGAGCGAACAGGACATCGGGGGCTATAAAGAATCCAAGCCGGGTTGAACAGATGAACAACTCCACGCCTCTCTTCGACGTGGGACCGCTCCCTTAAGTTTCTTTCTTCTCTACCTTGCACGGTCTTTACCCTCCCTGTCTTGGTCTAAAATGAGATTTGCTCTCCTTTCCGCTCTCGCTGTCCCCGCAGCGGTCGTCGCCAGCCAGGTTCATCAAGCTAGACAGGACCCTCCGTCCTCCTCGCCTGCAGCATCTTCACCCGTACCGCTGCCATCGTCTGGCTCTGTTTCCGCGTCCGCGCCATCTGTATCGGGTACAGTCCCAGTTTCGGGCTCCTCTGTCGCTGCACCCATAACCACCCTTCCGTCCGTCTCATTCTCGCTTCAAGCAACCAACCCGACCGCCATCCCACTGTCCGAGATCACTGCGGGCACCTTGACCACATCTCCGACGCTTCCCCTTTCAACCGTTTTTGCACCAGGAGCTACTCCTACGTTCTTGACCAATCCTCCTCCTTTGCCTGATTGTATGTGAATTGCTATCACGTCCTCTACCCTACTAATGTCCTTTCAGTGTCAAAGCTTGTCGTCAGCAACTACCCTCCTCTTGACAAGCCGCCTCCCACAGATTCCCCGGAGGTACAGCAATGGATCCAGGAAGTCGCGAACACGGGCGTTCAGATTCCAGACATCTCCCCCACCGTGCTCGGCGGGTGCCCCGCTAACCTCGATGCCGTCTCTGACCCCAACCGATGCTGGTGGACATGCGGAGGATGCACTCGTGATACCGACATCGTCACCTGCCCCGACAAGCTCACCTGGGGCCTCACCCATGATGACGGTCCTGCCCCGTACACATCTAACCTCTTACAGTATCTTGATTCAGCCAACCTCAAGACAACCTTCTTTGTTGTCGGCTCTCGTGTCATCTCATATCCTGCTCTCCTCCAGGAGGAGTTCATGGCACAGCACCAAATTGCTGTTCACACGTGGAGTCATCCCCAGATGACTACCTTGAGCAATGAGGAGGCCATCGCTGAGTTGGGCTGGACGAAGAAGGTCATTAAAGACGTGCTCGGTGTCACACCGCAGTACTGGAGGCCGCCTTACGGAGACATTGACGATCGAATCCGTGCCATTTCCAAAGCCATGGACCTCACTCCTATCATGTGGACTCGCATTAGTCCGACCGCGACTTTTGATACCGACGGTATGTTCTCGCCGTGCATAATTCATTTCGCGACACTTCTTTTTTTCTCATACGTTCGCACGATCTATTTCCGTTCTTCCACAGACTTCAACGTCGCAGGCGGTCTTTCATCTGCGTCTCAGGTTCTCAGCAATTGGCAGAACATTCTCGGCAATGCCACCATGTTGGATACGGGTTTCATCGTGCTTGAACATGACTTGTTTGCACAGTCCGTCGACCTTGCAACTGGCTACATTCTACCCGACGCCCTCGCGTTCGAACCAAAGCTCAAGATTGAGCCTGTCATTTCTTGCCTGAACAAGCCCATGTCTGACGCATATATCGAGACTAACGACAACAAGACCAACCCTCCAGTCGTTTCAGGTTCGTACCAGTTGTCACCAACCTGTCAATCCATCTCTGATGAAACTGATTATACTTTTTTTTGGACTTCGTAGGAAGCCAACCTGTTTCGTTCTCGTCAGGACAGCCCGGCTCGGCAGAAGCCACTGGTGGGGCGAGCAACAACGGGAACAACTCTGGCGCGACTACTATCATCAACAGTCCTGCTAACTTGTTCGCTGTTGCCAGCAGTGCTTTCCTTGCAGTCGTTGCTGGTGTCAGTATGCTCTTCTAGATTGACTCTTGAAGAGAAGCCGGAACTTGGTTTTTTTTGCTACTACTGCTACTCCTACTACCTCATGACATGACTTGCATATGGACTTGGACTCTGGACCTCCCGAACGCGACTATATCGTTTTTCTTTATCTAATACTACTCAATTAGTTGTGTACATTTTTCACTTTTCTTGATCGTGAGCCTAGACATCTTAGTGTAGTACACCATGTCGACGGACTATAGGCCACCCCGTTTAGTTACTCGTTTGCACGTTATTGAATTGTTGAACTCGCATCTTGTCGTCATGTCATACACAGACTGAACCACGTAACAATAGTAGAGCGTCGCAGGCATGTATTTTGCAGTGCCTATTTCTGATGATGTTGTTGTTGGCTTTTGAGCGTAAGTACATGGAGATCGAAGGCCGCGTTGATAATCAAGACAAAGCGAAGGAGGAAAAAAGTAATAAGATGTATATGTGTGTATATAAGGCAGTCCGTAAACCGTCAAATAACTAGGCTGGACTAAACGTAAATACAAAAAAAAAGGTCCGTCATATAGGTAATGATGTCTGGGAATACAAGATGCCAGGAAAATGTCCAGCAAATGAATAAAAAAACGAGCGTAAACGAGTTGTTGTGGCATACGGAGACAACTCTTTCTCAACAGCTGAGCTTCACACCAAGGTGATCAGACCACCCATGAGGCTAAAGACAGCACCCACGCCCAACCCAACCCAAGCCTGCCTATTGCCGAACAAGTCAGACACGGCACCGCTATTATTGTTGTTACTGCCCCCAGAGCCACCGTTTCCATTGGAAGATCCACTTCCAGTAGAAGCTGGTGCGCTTGGTGTGAACGTAGCAGAAGGGTTGGACAAGCAAGAGCTTGCGACGGAGTTGGCTGCTGAGACTGATGAAGGGGCCTGTTGGTTGATGGTTGCGTTTCCTGCAAAGTTGCAAGTTTCCGGGTTTCGGTTGTTGGCTTCGAAGAATTGACTCATGACGAAAGACAACTTGGTAGCTAGTAAAATAAATAAAAACGGAAAAACCAGTACATTCATCAGTTGGTTGCGATGGATCAGTAGGGACAAAAGCAACTCTTGCTTACATGGGTCACAAGCTGATACGGGACCATACTGGCCAGAGGTAGCATTACCCGAGATATCATTACAAGTGCCACCGGATTGACCAAGGAGACCACAGGCCTGGTCAAGGAGTGGGCCAACGATAGTGCTCACATTAGGGGTCTGTGGCGTGAACTGACAACTGAGGGTACTCTCCAAACAAGCACAAGCAGCAAAATTAGGAGTCGGGGGCAAAGTGGTCGATGCCAAGAAGGATGAATTCTGCTGCGGGCAGCTGGGGAAGTTCGTCGATCCAGCTGAGCTCTGGCTCGGACTATTGGGCGGGCTGAGTTGGCCGTATTGCGTCTTGAGACGGTCGAAGTCATCGCTTGTTTGTACGGACCCGTCCGAACCGATGGTTATCATTCCGAATTGACCTTGCGAGCTCGTGGCGGGGAAGTAGCTGAAAGCAAGACCGCCGGACCAGATATCCGTCATGGGCTCGCTGAACAACGCTTGGGTCTCCGTCCACAACCGTGGGGGACTGGTGATGCAACCGAATTCACTGAAATAGGCTGGGACGTTGTAACCTGCGAACTGTGCATTCTTGTTGGCGTAAGCGCTTGCACTTGCGTCTCCACACCATTCGCTGGGGGAAATTGTTAGAATGCACAACATCACAAGGCCAAAATGGACATACTAGTTATTCAAGCCGAAGAGGTCAATAGCGGTGTTGCCTGAGTTTCCACCACTGGGGTCACAGCTCAGGTAATTCGCGAGAGGGTCAATCCATGTAGAGTCGCCATCAATGGCAGCATAGCCGACGAGAGCAGAAGATGATTTTGATGCGCTATAGAACGTAATATATCAGGAAACATAGCTACTTCTAGGTTTAGGATGGCAACGTACAGGTAAGCCTTGGTGTCGCGAGCCGCAGCCTTGACGTACGCGGCAGCTGCGGTACCATTGGGCGCAATGACAACTTCGTTACCGACATTGTACGCCAGAACGTTGTCGTACTTGGTGAACACGTCGATGGTTGAGATATAGAGGTCCAGCAAATTCGCGGCCCAAGATGGCGAGCTACGGTCAATAGAACCATTGACGGGTAACGACAAGTCGATTCTAAAACAGAAATCAACGTCATTTCCTCGTTTGAAGACATGAAAGAAGTGACAAACATGGTATAGATGTTGGCGCCGCTGAACGTGCTCATGCAGCTATCATGGTTGAGCGACGAGTTCACGCTATACACTCGAATGGTATTGACTCCTAATTGTTGTAGGAAAGGCAAGTCTCGCGTGCACGCGTCTCCATCCGCCAGAGGATCAATAAAACTCGACGGTTCAAGGAACCGGTTATTTGGGTCGACAGCAATGTCGCCTGAACGAAAAGGCAGGCACGATACCGAATTTCAATATGTCCGAGGGACGTAGTGAGCGATTGGACATACCCTGCTCCTGGTATGCTACGCCCTTGATGAAAAATCTGTTTCCATCCTCGGTATAGAGGTATCTGCCCGCTCTTGAGACTTTCTGAACGGCATGAACGCCAGTAAACAATGCGGCGGCGGCAGCGAGGATGGCGGCTGCCCGAGTAGCCGTACGCATGACTAGTGATGAATGGGATCAGAGACGGGGGGTATCCTGCGGCAGCAAAGCTACTTAGAAGGAAGAAAAGAAAGAGGAATAGCTGCGGATGACTGCTGGTGCAAAAAAAGAAACTTGGTGTGAGCTTGGTTGCAGTCCTTGAGAACAACTTGAGAACGATGGCGGGGTATGTTCGCCGAGCAGTATAATTGATTTGATCTACTAATTTGTTATACGGACCAAATATCGCCCGCCTAGCTCAATCGGATAGAGCGTCAGACTCTTAGGAGTGCGGGTTTCCAAAGCAGGTCCGGCAATCTGAAGGCTGCGAGTTCGACCCTCGCGGTGGGCTAGTACTTTTGCTTCAATCGTTCTATAGTCCGTACTTTGTTGTGCAAGTTCATAAGTATGCTACAATTACATTCTTTTGCATATGACCTATTCGTACAATACATACTCTGAGATGGTCTCTGGACTGATTATGATGGTGAGTGGACAAGTCGCTCAATACGCGACCTTCGAAGTCAAGCCATCTGACTCTCGATCATAGTTTCGGTGCTTGCTAACCTCACTTGCGAAGTTTGAGATGAAGCCCTTCTGGCCCTGAGCGATCTTGAACGCATCAGCAGCAAAACTGGCCAAATCGACGGTACCAACAGTGACAACGCCGTAGGAGTTGACAACATCGTCGCTGTTTGGGTTCGTTGCGAAATCGACACCCGGTAGGATGACGGCCTCACGCAAGAATGCGACAGCTATAATCAAAAGGAATGAAGATTGAATGTCAACACTGTTAAAATGGAAAACGACTGACCTTCGCCAATAGCACCGATGGCCTTGCAATGACCAAACGCCTCACGGACCCAGTGTATAGCTCGGCCATTATCTGCCAATTTCTGAGCGTGGTCTTTACCGCCGGGAATGATGAAGGCATCGAACAAGGTACTCCTCTGACCCTCATAATGATGATCAGCCCAGAGACCCTTGCCAGTGCCCACCTGCTCGCCAGCCGGGTAGACGTAACCACGACGAGGACCGATAATCCAAGTGGTAGCACCACCTGCCTTGAGTGCCACACGGATGCCCTCTACTTGCTCAATGTTGAAACCGTCAGCAAGTAGAACAGTGATTCTCCTGGACTTGACAGTGGGCTCCTTGGTGGCATAGTAAAGCTGAGACAGCGTGGGCGTGGACTTGCCGTGGTTTGGACGAGCAGACTTGTCAGGAACGACACCACCGACGTTGATGGCAACTTGTTTTGCGAGGTCAAAATCGATGTTGTTCAGAACCTGGGTGTAAGTCTCGTACACGACAGGATCGTCGCAATGAGAAAGTTCAAAGGAGATGGCTGAGATGAGATGGGATTTCTCATAAGGCTGCAACGAGTTGTAGAAGAGCTGCGCTTGGTTGTAATGCTCCTGGAATTTTGGGGCACGAAGACGCTGCTTGATGCCAGAAACTTTCTGAGGATACCTGTTACAAAAGGTTAGTACGAGCATCCGCGTTCAAAAAAAATGTATCTGTACTCGTGGTAACCTCCTTGATCGGGAGGAACAGGCTTGTAGTGCTCTTTGCGATTGGGCCAATAATTGATTTCACCAGACGTGATCTTGTGCCTCATCGCACCATCGCGATGGGTATTGAGGACGGGGCACACTGGCCGATTAATAGGCAGCTCCTCCCAGTTGACACCCAAACGAGTGATCTGAGTGTCAAAGTAGGAGAAGTTCCTACCCTGCAGGAGAGGATCGTCGCTGAAGCCGATACCGGGAACGATGTGGCTGGTGCAGAAAGCTACTTGTTCTACTTCAGGGAAGAATTCGTCGACGGTGCGATTGAGCACCATCTCGCCAATGACCTCCAGAGGAACCAGCTCTTCCGGCCAGACCTTGGTAGCATCAAGGATATCGAAATCAAAGTCATGCTCGCGAGCTTCGGGGATAGTTTGGATAGCAAACTGCCACTTTGGAGGGGCTCCGTTCTTAATAGCCTCTTCGAGGTCCTTGCGATGGAAGTCTACGGCGGTTCAATCAATATTCAATTTCCAAAACGTTGCCAAATCGTATATACCTGGATCTTGTCCACAGATCTTCAGAGCCTCGTCCCACACCAAACTATGAACGCCGAGCTCAGGAAGCCAGTGGAACTTGACAAAAAACCGTTCGCCTTCGCCATTGACCAAGGTGTAGGTGTTCACACCAAATCCTTGCATCATGCGAAACGAGCGAGGAATGCCTCGGTCTGACATGACCCACATCACCATGTGAGCCGCTGAATACCACTGATTTAGACACATAGAGAGCAAGTGTATATAAGTGATGACATACACTCTGGTTGGAGACCCACAAAGTCCCAAAAATTGTTGTGAGCAGACTGGCCCTGAGGAACCTCATTCTGTGGTTCCGGCTTAACGGCATGGATGACGTCGGGAAATTTGATAGCATCTTGAATGAAGAAGACGGGAATGTCGTTACCGACCAAGTCCCAATTACCCTCCTCTGCGTGAATGGTCAGTACTATACTAGATAAAATAAACGGGTTTTAAATTGCATACCAGTGTAGAATTTGACTGCGAATCCTCGAACATCACGAACAGTATCCTATTGAGCAGTTGTGACATCACCAATCGTGTGTTTCTAACGATGAACTCACAGCACTACCACGGGAGCCTTGTACGGTGCTAAAGCGCACAAAGACAGGAGTCTCTCTCGAGGAATCGGTCAGGACGGGGGCGGAAGTGTACTTGGAAGCCTTGTCGTCGTAGACCTGTATACAGAGGTCAATATATGCGATACCTTCGCGCACATAGTCCCGTACCTTAAAGTACCCATGGGCTCCTGCACCACGAGCGTGCACGACTCGCTCTTTGGGTGGATGTCAGTGGATAGGCGTACTTCACAAAACAAAGACGCATACCTGGGATACGTTCATGGTCGAATCGGTGAATCTTCTCTCTGGAAATCTGCAGTGATGTCAGACACCCTCGCGCGGAGTGTTTACATCAACGTGCATACCTGATCTTCAAGCAAAGATGGTCCCGTGGAGACACCGTCCTGCACTTTCAACCTGAAGCAAGGCTATCAGCAGGTAAGAACAGCGCACTCCCGAGGAACATACCAGTTGTCGGTGTCGCTAATGGGTACGCCATGATCGGTAGTGTGCGTATAACCACTTGATGGCTTGACAGAAGGATCGATCGTGTCTCTCTGCAAGTCAGCGACCTTGGCGGTCTGCGTCACAGAAGTGAACGCTTGCTTGACGGTGCTGGTAGCAGAACTCATTGTGTTTTTAAGTTAGGAGAGTGATTAATGGGAAGTAGAACGTTTAGGGGATGGATTGGAGCGACATTGGAGATTCTTATACTGCGGATACAACCTTTGAGGATGCATACTAATGCGTAGAAATGAACGGAGAGTGGCACAGAGGCTCCAGTCTTACAGGTCTAACGTGGAACCTACTAGCAGCTTTGAGCTCACCACACAATACACGTCATTCCTGATCGCACGCTCCCATTGGTCCGCCCGGCTGCACCACTTTCGATGCGCCACAACTGCGACGCTCGGCTCAGCAGCCTCAGCTTATTCGTGACTGGCAGGAATAACATATATAATATTCAGGGAGTATTGAAAGACAAATTGGGAGAGTTGAGATAATGGATATCGAGAAAGTACGAGCTAGAATGTCCGGAAACGATCGAGAGCAGCCCCCTTCGGAGGGGAGAACAAACAGGATAGGAAAAGAAAGCATAGTTGAGGCAAGGAACCAATTCAGACTATAAGGAAATGGAGTTGAAAACAACCCAGAAGTGAGGACGTGTACGACGGACACTACGGAACGGGTACAAATAGAGCCAACATAAATCACGAAAGTCACCAATGACTTAAACGAAATGTACGTGAAAATGCTGGCCATAGACGTCGTCATGGTAACGAGAATACAATTGCTGGTCCCACAGTACGGACCGTATTCCTTATGACCATTCGGACGGACGTGAGTGTTGCGCGAAGCTGCATGAAAGACACGGTGTCAATAACAGCTACATAGGGGAAAGCGAGAAATGCGTACGCAAACCATAGAGATTCAAATCAAGCAAACGGAGTGGCATATGCAATTACTTCACATCATCACAGTCGCAACCAGAGCGGTCTTCACCAACCCAGCTCTTCCCACAGTTGTCGCAGCGACTGCGTTGTCCCCTCTCGACACCAACAGCTTCAGAAGAAGTCGAGGAGCTAGCCGAAGACTCGGTGCGATGGATGGCAATGAGATGCCTCCGCAAATCATGCTTGCGGCTGAAGGCACGTCCACACGACTTGTGCTTGCACGCAAACGGCTTGGAGCGGTTAGGGTCGTGTGTTGCGATGTGGGTCTTTAGATTGTAAGCACGGGCGAAGGCTGCAAGACAGGTCAGCAATAGCACCTACAATGTAGGATGCATAGACAGTCGAAAACTTACATCGCGAGCAGCTTGAGCAGGCGTACTTCTTCTTCGGGTCGCCCGAAGAAGCACTCTCAGACTTAACGGAGGGGGCCTTTGGCATAGGTGAAGCCTGCGACGGTACTGATAACGACGTGGTCACTATGGCGGGCGACACAGTTGCCTGCACCGGATAGTGGTTGGGGTAATAGTCTGAAGCAGAAGAGCTTGAGACTCTCCTTTGAGTGTGTGGGTCGTAGTCGGAAGAAGCCCCGCGGTGAGCATAGGAAGCAGGGAACGTGGAGGATGAGAAGGATCCCATGCCGGAAATGCTCACAGAAGCATGGTTAGAACGAGGTTGATAGTCAGATGGGGTACCGTAAAGACTGTTATTGTCGCTGTTCAACATCCCCATTCCAAGCATGCGTTGCATGTCAGCGTCTAACTCCTCGGTGTTGTAGACCGATGAGGGAGAGTTGGAGCTCTGGTACGACGACAAGCTGTCACTATAGCCAGACTCGTAGGCCGAATCCGAGGAAACAGTGAAGGTAGATGGGACACCTCGGGTGGGAGTGTCGGACCTCCACTGGGTGAATATATCGGCAGTAGGGTCGAGGTATGTCTGAGGCAAGCCGAAGACCTCGGCGTCGAAAGATGCAAGAGAAGAATCGAGCTCTGCGTCGAACTGCTCGGGATGGGGGGCGATAACGTCAGTGGGAGACTGCCCGTAATGAGCAAACTCGAAAGCAGCCTTAGAGGCTTGGTCGGTGTTGTCGAAGTCGAATGCGTCAAGCGTCGGCTTGGTAGCAAACAACTGCGGGTCGACAAACGACTGCGGGTCAATGAAGGGCTGCGCGGGGTATCCGTAATATTCAGACATTGTGTGCTGTGAGTAGCCTTAAAACTGCGGTAAGATTCAGTGGATCTTGTAGAGGGTGAGATGGGTGAGGATGAGCAGATGAAAGTTGGAGGGTTGCGACGAGGTGGAAGTAGGAGCTAAAGAGCAATTGCTGCGGAGTCCTCACGCCGCTTCACACAGGGGCTATGCCGCCCGGCTGCTCGGCAACCATCTCGTTTCTATCACGCCTGCCTAATTGGGCTCGCCGCGCAAGCGATATTCACAGCGTCTCTGCTTTGCTATTTGTTTTATCTGTCTTCCGCCCCGCCCATTATCACATCTGTATGACAAGAAATGGACCGTAACTTTGCTCGCAACTTCTGCAAGTCCGTCTTAGAGGTCCGACAGAATGCGCGATTCCCTGCTGAAGCTTTCCCAGTTTTATGCCGGAGTGCAAGTTTGCCTATGGTGTTACCACTCTTATTTCATATCCCACGCATATTGGATGCTGGATTGCCCCAGTTGATTTCGGAAACCGTTGGGAGGCAATGCGACTGCTAGGAGGTCCCATCATTTCCTACTGTCTGATACCGTGGCAACTTCACAACTGACCTCGTCCTTTCATATCGAACTTCAATGTTTCTTCCGGCCAATCGGAGCTACCTCCCTCGGCACTTACTTCGACCCACTTGATGGGCGCTCCCACAGGTAAGCAAGGTGGCAGTGCAAGAAAGAAAGGTATGCACTACCCCCCGCAACGTCCTGTTGTACATAGCGGTCCGCCCATCTCAGTCATTGGACCGCTGAGATGCAGACTTCAAGGCATGAATCAAATAGTTCGCTCCTTGGCGCCACGAAATGACAGACATGAGGCTAGTATTTCACGACATGCGTTGATAGAGTTTCGCACCTCCGTCCAGGTATGCCTCCACGTATACCAGCAAGTCATTCCAGAAGCTTTGTTCTCCATGCAGCATTAACCCATTCTAGACATGCTCACGGTTGATTCACGGAGAAACAAGTCGATTAAGTACTGCTTCGTTCTGATGACTCATGGGTCCGCAGCAGATCCAGCATGATATCTAGGAACAAATTGTTGGGTGACTGCGTTCGATGGCGATTTTGATGGTGCTTCGTACTTGAAGAGATTATCATGCAGTGAGTTGTCGGATGCGCAGTAATTGTAACGTACTCAGTTCTCTTCGGAGCCGATATAGGCTAACGTCAAAATCGATCCATCTGATGTCCCGTTCGTTTATCTTCGCGGCGAGGAGGGATATTGAACTAACCGCGTACCAGTTGATTTATGTAGGAACTTCCAGTATCTTGTTTCAGCTGGTTATTTCCCTTACTGTGGTTCGCACTACCCGAGGCGCAGGCGTTAAAGTTGAAGATTCCATATTTTCGAGATGGGCGGATGGTACATAAAGTTGCTGCGGTAGATGATGATTCGTTTAATCATGACACAATACTATCAGGCACTCGGAAGTCGCTACCATCGGGGCACTCGATGTTGCTGCGACCCCGAGGCATTGCTGCGAGATACCCACCCTACCTTGTGGACCATCGATGGTATTGAGGACTAACCATACACTCTGGGTGCTGCGGCCTAACTTCTAATAGCCTCGTGGACATGACTGTGGTCTAAACCTGGCTGCGCACGATCTACACAAAAGCCGCATACGTATACATATGCTTCAAGCACAAATCATCTCAGGATGCTAAGGGAGGTCACGATATCTACTCATGAATTAGGTGTATACTGAAGTTTGGCAGGGAGCGCTCTCCTGATGTCTAAGAATTTTGGTGGTCAGGCTTCGCTTGAAGCATTTTCCCAATAACTACAAGCAAATCAAGTACGAGGTCTCGAGTAGCATGCGCCCAAGTAACAAAAAACTTCGCGAATTGTTACCTGTCGGTGATAGAAGGGCAACGTACTCTTGCCTCGCACGATAGGCCGAACTCATCGGTCCTAAAATACAACAACGCCCTCATGAGTCGAATAGAAGGTAGTTATTCAGTCATCCACCTACAGTAGGCACGCACACCACTTCTGCGTGCCTGTTGACTTGACACTGGCGCTCTTTCCCCTCAGCCAGGCACTCGCCAAAATGAATCCACATGATTCCAGTGAAGTTGATTCTCATACTTTTTAATTGTGTCGGCTTACCAGCTGATACTATTGTCACCCTTGATTCGCGCCGAAGCGAGTATCTCCTGAACATCCGGGCTCGCGTTCGACCTTTCAAGGTTTTCTATTGGTAAATAAGCGATGATGCCATTTTACTTCGGCAATTTCTTTTGTCCATAGAAACCTTCTGCCAGAAACCTAATATCTCCACCGCGCCAGTTCGCTTGTAATGTCCTGTAACGTCCGTAGACCTGTTCCGCCGCGATATGCGCTTGGAGAACGGCGATGTATGTATCTCAATGTGGTCGAGAAGCGATACCTCTACATACAGACCTATCAAGCGGCTGGTTACGGCATTCATATTTCTCGTGTTTCTCCTAAAGCGATGATTGACTATATGATGTATTTATAGCGTACCGCCAAAGTTGCGTGTCAGGCAAAATATATGTTCAGGCGTACAGGGAGCCATTTCTTAACCTGGTGTATCTCGGCCTGTCGGCTCCAACTGGTGCGCAATCCTCCAGGAACTTTGTACTTGCTGATGGCCCCTACCGTTGGTTTCGGGAGAACAATTATACCAACCGCGATTATTCTACGCATCTGTCTACTCTGAACTGCACTTCAAGTCATGCACGAGCTCCTGCCATTATAACCATGAGTGGCATGGTTGCGATCGCATTCTGAGATTACTGCATAAACGCAAACATTTAGTAATATATTTTCTTGAGGCGACAAGATAACGCCCGCCTAGCTCAATCGGATAGAGCGTCAGACTCTTAGGAGTGCGGGTTAGCAGGTCCAGTGATCTGAAGGCTGCGAGTTCGACCCTCGCGGTGGGCTAATATGTTTTCGTCCGATCCACTTCTTTTCCCTGAACTTTGGTTTTGTTTAGAAGATAGACTTCATTGCAACATCTACTTCTTGCCTAAGGCTAACACAACAATAACGTACAGGTTTGCTCCTAAGACGACGCAAAATATCAACGATACAAGTAGAGTCATTGTCCATCCATTACTGTAATCAATATACTCGTCCTCAAGAACCGAATTCTCCTCCGACGAGAGACCTTGATTTGGAACATACTCGCCCTTCTCTTCGATAACGACAGCACATTTCTTCTCCTCTTCTGACGAGATAGGTGTCTCTAATATTTCAGGCACGACGTCGTTGGTGGTTTCTGGTACTTGCAACTCTAGTTCATCGGGTAGTTGATCCATAGAGCGAGTCTCAGGCGACTCCGTGATAGGAATGGGTTTCTTCACTCGCATGACCGATGTGGATGAGGTGAGCCATATTAGTGGAAAGGCAACGAATGGCAAGACAATGGACAACGCGACTTGTGATGCCACCAGGAGTATATCGATACCGTCTCTTCCTACACCGATAGCCACAACCATTGACGGTATCAACCCGATCATGCGCGTCACTATACGCCGCAGGAAGGGCTGAGAAAGGATAGAAACAATGAGACAAGAGACAGCGCGGGTAGCGTAAAAGCATCACTGACTGAAATTCTCCATTCGATGAAACCTTCGGATACGATCTGACCCGCCAACGTGGCGGTAATACTTGCTGTCTGGCCAGCACACAGCAGAGCGAGTGCAAAAAGGAACGCCGCGGCTGTAATTTTTTTTCTAAATTATGCACCAGTGGTTCACAGTACTCCTGCGCGTACCTTTCCCAATATGGGCCTTGATAAGATCATAAGCATCGAATAAACCAGCTGGCGTTGAGTCATTCGTTCCGTGAAAAACGGTAGCGGCGATGACCAGTATGCTATGAAGTAGAGATGAGGGGGGGTACAGTCTTTCATTGCTACAGAACTCACGCGGAATTGATGGGAACGGCAACACACATCAGGCTGGATATCACGTCTACAAGGCCGTGGTTCATATGTGCTTGAATAAATCCAAGGTCTTTATTTTCTCTTCCATATTTGTCTCGATAATCTCGAGAGGCGGCGATGCGTTCCTTGCGTGAAATTTCAAACAGTGAGTGGAACCAACGAGTGAACCTGCTACGAAAGTTGCGTGATGATGGATCCGGTGACGCGTTCACAGGCGAAGGAAGAGGTTCGTCAGGGCGGGCTACCCGATCTTGGGTAGCTAGATAAGAACCTAGGAAAAGCGCGTGTGGCATGATTGTGGCACCCAGTATCCCGACAGCTGGTTGTGCAAGCATGTAGATATATTACTATTACATGAGTATGTGTATTGGGAGACTTACCAGCATATAAGGCATTTGGATTTGTTTGGAAAAGGGCCTTCGAGGGTACGTAGCCCAAGAAAACATCGGGCCAAACAGGGCTAACTCGGACGAGGAGTACGATAAAACATGCCATAACGGCAAATACCTAGGTGACGCCAGGTTATAATAAAAATCGTAAGTCAGCATGTTTACGATATGGACACTCACGAGTGCAATGATAGTGTACTCAAAGGTTTTCACAGGTCGCCCCTGTCCTCGAGAAGGATCTCCCAAAAGCAGGAATACCAAGACATCGCTAGCAGTGAGCAGTACTCCGGCATAGAGAGGCAACGTCGGGAAAATAAGACAAAGACCTATAGCAGAACCCAAGAGCTCTGCCAAGTCTGTACTAATGATGGCAATCTCACACAGAACGTAAAGCGGATAAAGAGCAGCATAGCGGAATAATCGGCGGTATTTAGGTCTATCATGCAGCAAAAGTCTGCAGTGCGTCGCTAGATCTGTAAACATAGCATAAAGCATATTAAGAAATGTTCAAGGAGTCTTAGACAATGAGACAAACCATATCCTGTGACACATCCTAACCTGTGCGACAGAGTCTAGCCGCAATGATAGGTCATGTAATTGATACATTATAATAAGATATGCATACCTGAAGCACCATCGCACCCAAACCTGCCAAAAGAATTACAAAGAGCATCGGCCTATAGCCAAATTCAGAACCTGCTTGGAGGTCGACGCTCCAATTGCCTCTGAATCTCTCTCAGTATGAAATTTCTGGGAAACAAATCCAACTCACGGATCGAAGTAGGCCACAGAACAAATTATACCAACGCCAACGTGCTTCTTAACATGGTGAGCGACGGTTGTGAATATGGACTTGGTATTATTAGTCCAAGTCCGATTAACTTGAGGGACTACCGCCGCTGCCACCTCGCTCTTAGACTCTCCGAGTGGAGATTCATGGTTCAGGAGAGACCTCGGTGGCATGATGAGTGAGTGGGGGGAAACGATGGACTTTCAAACGAGCCATCCTAAGGGATACTTGTCGGGACCAGGGGAACGGATAGAAACAGGATTTCGGTAACAACGATATGTATATGCTCCCCCGCCTTCCCACTCGAACCCCGGGTTGCTGGCTCGTCCGGCGGTTGAATGGGAACAAGTTGTGTCCGTGGGAAATTGATCCTCACACTGATCGAGGAGGCCAGTATTCCACTTTGTACAAGCCACAACTACAACTACACCTGCTTCACCGACGCAGAATACACATGGATATCACTGACTTGCACCCACCAGATGACTATAGCCACCGGTTCTTCATTTGGCACGAATGGATACAGGTCAGTATCAATCACCCATTGCAAATCAATCCACCTGATTGGTCCCCAGGCCAATGGTCCTTTGACCAATGAGAATGTATTCGACTATTTCGCAACGTCTATGTTCTATGATAAGCAGAGTAACAACCAGGTGCTGCGCATGCAGACCATGCACACAGGCGTACCTCTTGTGAATGAGGCCGAAGAACTTAGGTCAGTTATACCCTTGTATGACTAAAACAATGCTGAAGATGTGTCCCATAAGGCGATTTACAGGCATTGAGTTTGCGTTGGTCCATTCCCAACCACCTTCTATGTTCATCATACACAAAAGAGAACGATTCTCTCCCGATGAATGTATGTCATTAAGTTTTGCGTTCTGCTAATGATCTGTCTGAACAGTATCATTATTAGTCCGTCCCCTGGCGGCATATTTTATTATCAACAATAGAATTTATCAGTCACCGGACGTATATTCTTTGATCTCGAATCGTCTTGTGAGTCTAGACTATGGCTTATGCATGCAGGTCTATTGAACAGCACCTCATAGCTTACGTCGTTGCACTCTCTACAAACGTCGTTAGATACTCTGCGGAGTCATCGACCGGCCTACACCCCACGAACTGGATTCGTATGGCCTGTCATGGAAGCTAGTGCGTCAGAAGATGCCTCCAAACGGGGTACCGACGGGGAACTTCAGAAGCCCGAGGATCCTCAAAGTATAGTACCCAAACGAGAGAAGATCACTGTTTCTGATGCTGCACGAAAGCGACAACAGAACAACATGCTTCTGTGGAACGCCATACGCTCAACGGCAGTCCATGCTACTCAGTCGTTCACCCTTCCTTCTAGTATCTCCGAACAGACAGCGCCAGAGACCCCAACTGCTGGAACAGGCACTCCATCAGCAGCCACCCCAGCGCCCATACCTGCAAGGGCAGCAACTCCGAAGACAGCTTCGAACGCACCAACGCCAGGACAGGAAGTACCACCTCCTAAGGGCCCTACCGGGGGCGGCAAGAAGAAGAAGAAACGTAAGTTGTGATACTACTAAATCTGTAGGCAATCTAGAGTCAATTAAACCCTTTCATTCATGAAGGTACGTCTATTGCGCCGCCGACAGGGTAGTTCTGGAAGTTGAAAGGCTCATGCTATCCAAACCACTTCCATGTTGACGCTTCAACATGTGGCTTGCTCATGACATGCTTCCACCCGGCTCACTTTACCATGCCTGTGAATCAACAAACCAGGATGACCCGAAGCCCCGTTCTCAGATTGCCAAGGGCTTTCTAACTTGGAACTTCTGTCACTTGCTTCATGGAACGGGTATGGTTGGTCTTAATATGGCAATCATTCGTCCACGGCTTCTTCATGAGGTTTCACGCCAAGTTAGCAGCGCAGACTGCATGTACATTTTGGTAGTGTATTTTAATGAACACCTCGAGGTACATCCCATGCTCACAAGTGCGAACTCTCGGGAGATCTAACTTAGTGATTACCGTGCACCCACTCCTGTCAATCTTCCTGTCAACCAGCCCAATGGCGTTTGCAGTCCGGAACTCCGGGAACCAACACCTCCACCACCTAGGGAAAGCGGATTAGCCGATGCGAACGATTCTTTCCTCGCTTTCGCAGCGGTTTGCACTGAGATTGGTTCACAATCACTCATTCAGAAAAACTGGAAATAGTCATCTAAGTAAGAAACGTACCAGCATGATCAATTTCCTCCACGTTAGTCTCTAGAACGAGACCTCCTTGGATAATCTCGGATAGTATGTGGTGAACCTAGTAAGGAGATTCAATTATTAAGCATGAGCTGCTTAGAATATGAACCCCACCTCGTCAAAGTGAAACACGAGGTCGAGTTCGCATACGTTCTCGAATGCTCGGTCAAGAGATTCTACAAAGACCTAGTCCATAAAAGCGGTTTAAAACGCCCGAAGAGAAGAGTTAAGAAACTTGGGTACCTGTATGAGGTCCAGGATACCAAGTTCACTTTCCGCAGCGTCCACCACAAACACGAAGTACAGCGTTGCGTAATTCCTGTACACAACCCTCAGCTTCTCTCCATCTGCATCCTTCTGATTGAGGAAACTCTCGAGCTCAGGTGCATCAAGGAAGTTACAAAGAGTCGCTGATCGGGAGGAAATGAGGGAGAATATCTTCTGGGTCAAGTTTTCAGCCGACTGTTGCAATGGGGTATAGAACTTGGTGAGGCGGGGGACACCAGAAGTATTGACTGCGCAGGGGGAAAGGCGATTACAGATGAGTTAAAGAAGAAGCCTCAATGAATGACGAACATATCAAGACAGCATGGATCATGTTCAATGAGGCTCTTCGGGTCCAATTACAGCACGAAGCCAACAAGGACGATGCGTGTTGTTTACAGTCCCTTTTAGGAACGGTTGGAATATCCTATGAGTCGTGACTAGAGTAGTAGTAGATGAGGCAACGCAAGCCCATGAGGCCGACGGATTGAGACTTGGGCGAAGTGGAGAGGCGGCAACAACTTGTTGAATGCAGGCGTCACAGTGAATAATGATTGACTTGACATACGATCGATCATCGTGTTATTCGGTAAAAGATCCAGACGTCAAGTCAGTACTACTGTGTAGCATCCCGTACTCATACAAGAAATATATAGGCGGCGACAGGAAGCGAACAATACATATTAAATTGTATCCCTTGACCCATTACGATTAAAACAAAGGCATTTGTGTTACAGATTAACACAGACTTGGGCGATCCGAACGGTGATATCTCAATCATTGTCAAAGGGTGCAGGATCTCCTCGAGTCGGGACACACAAATGCTACAGCAATACAAAGTCAAGACAGCGCTGAGATTCATTGAAGGTAACTTACGTTCAGCCTTTGTGCGTGCATCAATCTATGAGTCTGCGTGCGACAGTCATATCCGTACCTAACCACCAACCTATCAGCTAATCAATTAGGAATACTAGAATTGCGCACACTTACCAACAGTCACGCTTCGGTTGGTAGTTAGGCTCTGAGGAAGGAATGTTTAGCTAAGCTCCATTACCATCAGAGGAGCACAAACCTTGCAGCTTCCATTGCAATAACAACCTCCACAAACGATGTTTGAGGAAGGTTCGCAGGCAATCAATGCAATACCATTGTGTTTTATCCCAATCCTCATCGGCCTCAGCGTCCACGTCGAACAATTCTTCTAGCAATCTTGAGAAAGACAGCGTTGGCTCCAAATCATCATCTCTTTCCCTTATACGCTCTTTGAAAGGCTGTATTTCCACAAGACTGTTGCGCAGATATCCAGGAAAGAGTATGAATATCTCATTTGAAATATATCCGCGGAGTAAATCCCAGTCTAAGAGCAGCAGAAGAGCTTGATTTGGCCGTCAAAGTGAAGTATACCACACTCACTTGATGCACCCCAGAGTTGTATGCCTTTAACAACAAGACATCGGTGACCTGGGAGTTTCTATGTAAGTAAGGTGCTGTCAGAATAGTTAGAAATGCACGAACAGATATCATTGGCCCCAATTACCGAATCCAAGATAGCTTTGTCGCGTTGCTCTACACGCTTATCATCGGACTCACGTTTACACCATACATCATTCAAAGCATCATTTATATGAGCAGGAGCATCGTCCTGGCGGTATTCTTCAAAGGGCAATGTATTAAATTCTTCAAAAGCTTGAAGAACCTGGTCCGGACGTGCATCGAACCGCAATGTAGCTACGCAGAAAGATACTAAATCAGCATTAGAGATGAAGAATGCGGGACTGGCGTACACAATTGTTCGAATTCTGCAACATGTGACCATGAATATAGCTCTTGAAAGAACACGCGGACTCTATCCATCTCAAGCAGTTCCGCATGGTTGAGGTCTTCTGCAACCTTTAGGATCTCGTCGCGAGCTTCGTGAGCAGGAACACGTTCCTGGAGCAGGATCAAGAACCAGATGCGGTAAGTCGCCCGGTGAAAACGTTCGGATTCAGCACAGGACAAAGTGCTCTTGGCGGATTTACGGTCCTTATACCTGTGGGTTTATTGAATTGGTCGAAAAATGTCTCAAATGAAAGAAACTAATGTTACCTCTGACTGAACACGTCCTCTAGTTTGGAAACAACATTAGCATTCTGTATCAGAGCTTCGATGTTGTCTCGAGTGAGTAGTTTCTCTATAGCGTGAGCTTCATCAGCGACACGGTTATGTATGTCTTGAGAAGAGGTGAACAAGAATTCAGGCAAGCGTTGCATAGAAGCGACACGCAGGGCCTGTGCAAGGGTAGGTCCAGTGATATTGTATGCAATTATTTGAACGATGGACTTAGGGCGAGCCTGAAATATGTCATAGATATCGCGTTTCGAGGTGCGTAGGCTCGCAGACAGTGTTTGAAAGTCAGATATTGAGATCAGGATACGGTCGACAACATCAGAGGGGAGATCTGTGAATTTCATGCTTGCCATTTGGATGGAGTGGGGTGGACGATGTTATCCTTATACCCTACGACGGATGGCGATGGCGGCATTGACACTGCTGGAGTCAACGCGTCTGGACTCTGGACGCGTTGCCCGCATGTGACTCCGATCAAGAAACACGTGATATCGTGCGTTCGAGCTCAGCCTGCATGCGTTTCTGGCGATCATCAAACGCAGTAATGTTCTGTCATGTTTTTCTGCAAATAGGCCATGCAGAGCTTGTACCATTCATTCTAACAAGGCAGATCCTGCTCCAGAGCTTTCCAGAGTTGCCGCCATTACCTCGCACAACGCACCATTCCCGTTAGCCTCCGACTTGACCTTGGCGGCTGCGGCGTGATCAATTGACCTCCATATGTCGGCTCCGTTGTGCGCTTGGCAACTGTCTACGTAGTGTTCCGGATCTATTTCTGGACACTTGTCGCAACTTGTCGGAGCTGTTGCTGGGCGCTGTGGAATTCAAATGACTACCAGTGACACGCAAGTACACATCATCTGCATTGGGTGTTGTGCAGGTGCATGCTCTAATATGAGTCGGGGTGAATCCGAGTCAATTGGTTAGCGCAAGCAGGCATCCGAAGAGAGCCCGTTCGTCTTCCGCGCATTGAGTGTCTGCCCCGAAATAGCTCACCTCCTGGCACACTGGGAGTGCCAAGCCCAAGTTGTCGTATTTTTAGCTTCCGTTTATTTTAGCTGTCCATGCCAGGTAGCCGTATCCACTGCCAGAAAGCGCACATACTATGAGAGCTTGGTGTCTCGGATGCTGAGTACTCGTAAGAGCTATTGATGGTGGGCGTGGGGTACACAGCGGAGGACGATACTGACGACTTCCAAGAGCAGATCCAAGAGAACCAAGCATCGCGCAATGTGGCCCGTGCAAGGGCAGACACCGGTCGTCGGTTTCCTTGAAGTCTTGGCATCCTATATTTACCGCTTGGGTTCCTCAACCCGCAGTGGCAAAGATAGATCGTCCTTGGCTTCACTCAAATACGCTCTCATCCTGTGAAAATGCAGTCCACGTCTATCCCGGTCCCCTCCAAGCCTCTCTCTTCTCCCCCGCCTCATGAGCTCGTTGCCTTCGCCGCCTTCATATTATACACATTCCGATTCACATTTTCAGCAGTATAACTCACATCACGAATCGGCCATGAAAGCTTTGCTATCATCGACTTGGCATGTTCTCGAACAGGTATGTTTATCTCTGCTGCTGCAGAAATCCCTTACAGAATTGTGGTAATAGCCTCCGCCCCCAAGCCTCCGTGAAATACTTAGTGCATACAAGGCAAAAGGCGACGGCGATCGCGATATGCTTCTCGCTATGCTGAATGCCAAAAGCGCAGAGGATCAGGTCTGTGTCAAGTCATATCAAATTGTCATACGTGGAACTGATAAATGGCCTTCCGTAGCGCCTTGCTTCAATAGCATCTTTACATCGAACGATGCTTGAAGTGCATCAGATGTCTACTTCCACACAGGTTACGCCTTCTCACGTGCAAGATGGACATGCTTCGCATTCGTACCAGCATTTCCCGTCTCCACCGACCACATCATACCATCATTCTCCCCCATTACCCCCACTCGTACATACGAGTTCACACATGCAGTCAGAAAGTATTCCGCGAACACGCCACCGGGTAGAACCATCAATGTCCGCTACAACGAACCATTACCGGGATCACGAGCGAGAAATCCTGCCCACGTCTTCACATACTCGAAAGCGTCGTCGCACCTCTCGATCTCCGCCACCCGCAAGGGAACCAAGATTGCGATCGAGCATGCTCACGGCACATCAACTGCCTCCGCATGATCTCCCGTTGTCCCCTTATTCTTCCACGTCCTCACATAGTAGCGGCGGATCTCCACGATCGAGAGAATCCATGGCTATAGGTTCTCTGCTTTCTGAGACTCAAGGGCCGCCAAGAGATCCAGTGTCTTCTAGTCGAAGAACCAGTTCAGAGCGAAGCACCCGGTCTATCTCTCCTCTACGTCGTTAGTTTATGTGGTATCTGTATGTATTCCCTTTTGGGCTGTAATCTCTCCACGTTTTACGCTTTTTATCTTCCCCCTGGGATACGCCAAGTACTGTTGTACTACGTGTTAGTCATAGCTGCTGTATGTTTCGTCTGTATTCGTCGAATTGTTTCCATGGTAGTAGTAATTATTCTGGTGGTAGTACTCTCAAGCTGTCGCCACCTACACATGCGTATGGGATCCCGTCATTCGTGTGTTACTTTACACTACGTATCTGAGAAAAACAAGTTATGAAGCCTTTGGATAGCGGAGATTGATAATCGTGTGCCTGGTTTAGGTTTAGCATGCTTCCCACTGACAGTGATGTGAATGTCTATTCGCTAATTTCTCCTGTAAATGCAGTGATTATGGATTCTCGATGACCTTAGGCTCATTGTAATTATGAAATGTCATCATGGCCCGCTAGCTTTACAATATATACAACGAGGCTAGGCTAGCAGTTATGAATGGAATCATGACAACATCGATGATTATATCCCGTGAAATCAACAAAATCAGAGAAACACGACTTTCTCATTGTAGCAATCGCATGCCCTCTGACTCCTGTTTCTGAACTTTGTTTGCTGAGCATGCGCCGTTATCTGTCCAAACACCCGCAGAACCTTGTACACTGTTTTAGTCGACGAGATAGAAAGCACAATCAGAATAGACGAGCTTACCGCCTGGAGTGTCCCCCTGAGTCCACCACTTCGCCGTCCACAGGTGACCGCTGATACCGTAAGTCTCGTCATTGACACTTACAAACGCAGTGCTAGCATTAGCTCACCCATATGCGACCTGTTGGCCGCCAGTGTAGACGGACGTGCTCGACCACGCTGCAACACTCGCACAGCTACCACCAGTCGGACCGGACGGAGGAGCAGAGGAACTCGACGTCGGCGGCGACCCAGTACACGCGCTTACTGAAGAACGACGTGGAATATTAGTTCAAGAAGATACGACGTAAAAATGACGCAAAAAGAACAACGCTCACTTGCACTCCATTCTCCGTTCGGGGTATTGACCGGGGTCGATGAGGCAAAAAACTTGGCCTGATCCGCGCAACACAAAAGTAATAATTGGTCAGGGTCGATCTCATTCACACCCAGAGATATATCGGCCTAACCTGCCAGATATAGCTGCAGTAGAAAAGGAATGGTCAGAGTAGTTTATTTGACAGATGGCCCGCCCTACATACCCACCGAAGGAGACTTTAGAGCCTCCTTGGTAATTCGTTCCAGACATGAAGGCCGGTGCGCTGCATGCGGGGAACGTGAAACCAGTACCCCCTGCCGCACTCAACGCGTTCTTGACGGCCAGGTCATACCGGCTGTTTGCTAAATGGGAATGCATTGCATTCAAGAGACCGGCGAATATTCTGCATGGGGACTTACCAAACGCTTGCGAAGCATCCCACATCATCACACCTCCAAACGACGGGAACGACTTCCGCATTGTGACGGCAATGTTCGTAAGGGTATCAATGGTTTGATAGCCTGTGCCAGCCGCTGTGCTGCTTGCTGGAGCTCCGATATAGATCTTCACATCCTTGTTAGGACTCGTGTTCCTCGCCCAGAAGTCCCTGATAGAAACCTTCAGTTGACGCCCGGGCCCGCCTGTTCTGGTGTGATACGCACCAGAGACCGAAGTTCCAGTCCTTGGTAACATGATAGGAATAAATCCCCCCTCTTTGACACATTGCAAGCACGGCTCACCTGAGCAAGGTTAAAGTTTTGCAACCCGCATACATTGTTGTCTATTTAAGCATTGTCAATTCCTAACGCTTGATCATGACGGTCCAGAACGGGCCTCACAAAATTGAACGTAAACCGCGTCAAAACTGGCAGCATCTAAGACTGACCCAAGGGACGCGTCTGGAAAAGGACATTGGGGGGCGGCAGTGAAGTAGTATCTGACGTGGCCAACGGTCAGTCATGAATGAGAATCATAGGGCAGAACACCCACTTCTTGCTGGCGGCGTCAGTATGTGTGCGTAACCGATTAATGAAGGCAACGTATCCTGTCCCTGAGCCTCCTTCGATATCCAAATCCACCCTGTCAGGGATCACAGTTTACATATTCACACCGCGTACGGATGCTGTAGTCACATACCCGTCAAGGACTGCGTCTCCGAAAGGGCGGGTAGGACTGCTGCCTCCCAAAAATATGTTCCAAATGGTATCGGCCAAGGTCTGGGCCTGACTGTCTGAGGAGAAGCCAACGGATCCCCCGGCACCTCCTAGGCTGAGGGTCACTATCTTGCCCTTGGCCTGACAGGCCTTGATGTCTGTGCCCACTGAAGTGCAGATTGGCAGGTTGGTTCCCGCAAATGTCGCGTTATCTGCGGAATTACATGTCTGAGAAGTGAATTGAATGGTTCATTTACGACCATAACGCTCCACAGTAAAAGGGTCCGCGTACGTTTGCAAGATTAATGGAAGGTACATTGCCTGGACCAAAGAACACATCCAGGAAAGCAACCGGGACCACGTCAATAGCATCATCCTTAAACGTGTGCAGCACATTCAGCATAACTGTCCGTGATCTCGTGTTACCGCTTCACTCACTTGGCAATAGAAGGCTAGAGGCTTCTGGAAATTGGCCACGTCTGAATGAGTCGCTCCGTATGAGTTCTGGCCCCAATAGCTGGGGTGGCATTAGCGTGGTCACTTATAGCCTGAACTTGTAGATGCTCACACAGCCACCTGACATGCAAAGAGTTAGAATGGAAAGCTCGGTTGAAAGTGTCGGGTAATGGGACTGACATTGTCGAATCTAGAGTTGTTGAACGCACCGACTCGGAGCGCCAGGAGACAGAGGGTAGAAAGCACGATGTTCATGAACGTAGACGACTTTGCAGACATCTCAGGGAGCTGTGTTCCACTGGGCGGTGGTCGGTACATCCATGGTTCATGGGTGGGAGTTTTTTATACTGCTAGATGTGCTTCGTCGAAGCATGCCGGCGATCCTAAATAACAAACAGCGCAATGAGGAAACCTAGGAGGACAGAGACGAAGGGCCGGTATAAAAGCTAGCCAACTTGTAAAACATTGTCACGAGTCCGTCGAGCACTGGATATGACATGTGGTCGACCGCACAGGGATGGAAATCAAGAAGGTCAGAAGCCTCGAAACATGCAAGCAAGAGTGCCTCCACAATGTGCGGTGTTCGTGAACATATGGTGCGCAAGGCCATATTTATCGACCTGGCGTGAGCTGAGAACGTCGTTATCTCGCAGCTGACGAGTCCGAGATATCCGAGAAATACCACGTGACGATACCAGTATTGTAAAGAGGTCAATGACACAAGTAGCACAATAGAAACACACACCCATCCATTATCGAGCTATCTATACGGTGAAAATACAAGTCAAGGGTTTTGAGGGAGGCTGGTGCTTCAATAATAATACACTGAAAAGATACCGTCTGCTACGCGGCAGAACCTTCACTATCACCATCCTGCTTTGATGCCGCCCTCCTCACAGGGTCTAGGATACATATGCATGAGTGCAGATAAGGAGGCTGACTAGGAGACATACCGAAGTAAGGATGCGCTTGAGCTTCCCTCGCCGTGAGCCGTTCTTGGTGGTCATAGCGCAGAAGTTTATCCAAGAAGTCGATTGCCTCGTTTGAAATGAACCGTTGGTTCTCCGAGGTGATGAATCGCGACCAAGGCTTTCGTGGGAAGCTAGCCATTCGTGAGAATAAGGGTCTGAAGTAATTGCGCAACACTTACTTTCCCAGAATATCATCGTACTGAGAGTCGAGGACGATATCATACTTGTCAATGTATTGATACAGTCCATCAGTCCCCAAGACCTTGGCAATCTTCACCAGTTGATCATAGTTATCATGTCCATGGAAGAAAGGTTCCTTGCGAAATATCTTCAAAGGAATTGAGAAGGTCCGGCATGTAAGCAAAGACAAAAAAAAAACTTGCCATAGATGCGAACATGCAACCATAACTCCACATGTCCAATGAGTAGTCGTATTCCTGGAAGTCGACCAGCAACTCAGGCCCTTTGAAATAACGGGAGGCGACTCGGACATTGTATTCCGTTCGTGGGTGGTAGAATTCAGCGAGACCCCAATCAATAAGACGTAGCTGTCTATCTTTGAGATACATGCATTGCAATGGGTCAAAAAAACCTACCTTGCGGCGTTCATGGTCGATCATGACATTGTGGGGCTTGACATCTCTATGCATGATGCCTTTCGAATGGCAGTAATCTAGTGCCTGCAATGATCCAATGAGACCGGTGCGCACGAGGCTATCCTAGGCTCAACAAACCTTGAGGAGCTCCAGCATGTAATAGCGCACATCGTAATCAGTGAATCGGGGGTATAGAACTTTGAAGTCAACATTGTGGATGTACTCTGTGATGAGGCTGGGTATTTTTGAGGAAGGATCGCGCACAACATCGAGGAGAGCGATGACATTTGGACCACCCGCAAGATTTTGCAAGATCTTAATTTCACGCTTGATCTTCTTCTTCTTTACGGGCTTCAGGACCTTGATGATACACTTTTCGTCATTGACGATGTTGACCCCTTCGAAGACCTATAAAAGGAACCTGTTCTAGTGCAAGACAAGTAACAACAGCTGGCCACACACCTCGGAATATTTTCCTCTTCCAACTTTGCGAACAATCTCATAGTGATCCTGAGAGCCCCACTGCACTTGCAGGTTATCTAGAGACCATATCTCAGAACCAGAGTTACCAGAGCTACTGAACTTGTCACCCGACCATATTCGTACCACGAGGGGCCTAGTTTTGCATTTACGTCCGCGTATACACGAGCTACCGATCTCGTCGTTCGACCCATAGCAGAAGAACTGGACCCGATGTATGTCGACAGATCGTGTTATTGAGGTGCAGAGGCAGAGCGACTAGAGCGCAACTGCAAGGAGTCAAGCAGAGATTGCTGTGGCTCAGCCAGTTTGGCGCTTTCGCACGCTTCCTTTGATGGTACATTCCAGTCACTGAGTTCCAGTCGACATGTCCAAGACAAAAGACTCGGCGCCATCTCACTGGCCTCAAGGACTACGACACTTAACTGAACAATCCTATCATCACTCAGTTCCCACCGAGCTGCAGTCATTTTTGCGCCCCAAATCCTCTGCCTCTGTTATCAGTGTCGACGATTCGCGTTCATTGGTGCTGATTCGTCCCATCAAGGACGCTGTCCACCCAGCCTATGGGCAGTATGGGCTATTTGCCGCAAGGAAGATACCCCCAAAATCTCACATTCTAGACTATCTTGGAGAGATCCATTGTGATGACAGACCCGACTCTGATTATGATTTATCGCTCTACCGAAGTCAGGATGGTATTAGCGTTGGTGTAGATGCAAGCCAGATGGGGAACGAGGGAAGATTCATTAATGACTTCCGGGGTGTGAGACCCAGACCGAACGCTATGTTTGAGGAACGAAGAACCTCCGTCGGAGAACTCTGCATGAGTGTCTGGTGTGGGACCAAACCCATCAACAAGGGTGATGAAATTTTGGTGTCATACGGTAAGCGGTTATTCACGTAATGCATTATCTCCCTTTCTTACCACCTCGGACATTTGGTCTGGCAGGTAAATCCTGGTGGAAGGAGCGTACATCCAACGGTGGACTCGAAACCTAGTTGACGGGAGGTCGCCGACGGGTGTTGCTCCATACTCTATCCAACATCAGGCAGAGCGGAGCTAATATTTTCGTCGACGTCGCAAGAACTCAATATTACGCGACCATATCATGGATATGCCAGTCACTATGGAATGCCGTTGTAGGACAATGGAGGGCGTCAAATATGCGAGCATCTGTAAGTTTGGCTCGATCTAACTCTATCAGGCGGAGACTCCTTCAGTCATCTGGTATTTCTGGAATTCTGAATATTTAGTCATTGTGGTCAACCGCGCTGTATCGCACCCTTTGCGACCGCAGGACATTTGTCTGTTGCATATGCGGAATGCTCTCGTAAAATGAATGGAATCTGATTGAGGCTGTCTATGTGAGACGGCTTTTGAGTACGGCCGTGGACGCATTATTCGGTTGTTCTGGCGTGACTCCGGTGCAACGGAGCCCATTAGCAATGAACGCTAGGAGGTTTCTAGTTACTTACCCTGAACGAGACCTTTACGCTGATCGTAAAGACCTGCCAAAACAAGTCTTAGCCGGGAACCGTCTGGAAATTTCCACGTGCGCCTTGCATATTGGGGGCGCCTGCTTCAGCTGTCGTCCTGAGCTTCAACCAGTCCTCAACTTCATATTGGCAAATGTCCCTCCGCCTCTCCTCTAGACGTATTCTTTCATTCATTTCGTTTTCTTCTTGCTCACATGTGCTACGCGGTAGTGGTAGACAGACTCTCGTAACGTGTCTTTACACGGAGAAATCCAAGCGGCGAATGACCAAATCTCAAAAGGTATCCACACTCGATCAGAAAGTGAGTTTGAGCAGTCAAATAAAAATACTGTCTATGTCTAATGCACTATTTAGCGCTTTTTTCATGCTTCTTCCCCTAGTCATAATGTCAAAGATCCGTACGCTGCTCTTGGTGTGAGCAAGGATGCAACGCAGGCAGACATCAAGAAAACATACTTCTCGGTATGCAAGCCCCTTCCATTGGTGCATCTAATTGTTTTACAACTTCAGCTGTTTCACAGCTTGCGCGCAAGTACCATCCTGACACAAATTCGGACAAGAACGCAAAAGAGAAGTTCATGGAGATTCAAGAAGCCTACGACGTTTGTGTAATGTTTCATATCTTCCCAATACTTGCTGATCCCACTATCGCAGCTCCTCAAAGATGCAAAGAAGCGCGCAGCATTTGACAAGTATGGTGCTACAGCTCAACAGCCTGGTTTCGATCCAGACGCCTACGAAAATATGCGGAATGCATTTGGCGGTGGAGGTGCACGATCCGCCGGGGGCTTTGGCGGCTTCCAAGACTTCGCATCTGCCTTCGGAGGTCGCGGAAACAGTGACCTCTTCGAGCAACTGTTCGGCAGCGCGTTTGGAGGCGGTGGAAGACCTCGCGCAAATGTGCGTGGAGGTGATCTTCAAATGACTGTTAATATTTCCTTCATGGAAGCTTGCAAAGGAACCTCTCGGACAGTCACCGTCGCACCGATAGTCAAATGTGGTACATGTTCTGGCACAGGTCTGAGACCTGGTGCTAAGCGGACTCAATGCACGGCGTGTAATGGCACGGGCACACAGACATTTGTCATTGACAGTGGCTTCCATATGGCTAGCACTTGTCAGAGTTGTCATGGTTCGGGATCAACAGTGCCTCGTGGAAGCCAGTGTTCCAACTGTGGGGGTGTTGGTCAGGTTCGAGAGAAAAAGACATTCAAGGTCGATATACCTGCAGGTACGTCCAATGAATTCCGGATAACTATGGCTGAGAAAGGGTCACTCAATCATGTGTAGGTGTTGAGGATGGCATGCTAGTCAGGGTACCGGATGCGGGCGATGCACCAGTGTCTGGTAAAGGGCCGGCTGGTGACTTGGTGGTTCGCGTGAACATCTCCGCATCCAAACATTTCCGCCGCCAAGGCGTTAATCTTTACCATGACGCACGCATACCACTGCATACCGCGTTGCTAGGTGGTAAAGTGCGCGTTCCGACCCTGGACGGCGAAGTGGACGTTCGGATACCCCAAGGGACACAACCAGGTGAAGAAATGGTCCTCAAGCACCGTGGAATAACATCGATCTACGGCGGAGATAAAGGGGATTTGTTTGTCAAATTCTCCGTACAACTGCCAAGGTATGTGACTCTCGGACCCGGTGTATATCACTTTAGGATTCCTGATCATGGCATGTAGATCTCTTACTCCACGACAACGAGAGCTTTTGCAGCAATATGCTGATGAGGCCGAAGGCCGCCCGTCCACTCGAAGTGGTTCTCAAGATCCGGGAACTAGTGAGGGTTCGTCTTCCACCAGTCGTCAGTCGACGATATCCGATGGCAAAAATGGTACGATTTCCTTTTCTTCTCCTGACCATTCCCCATCGGAAGGTCGGATGTCCCGTATCTGGCAGAAATTCAGAGAGCTCATTGGATTTTGATCTTTCATAATTATGTCTCTGCACTCCTATTGGACGGAAATCTTGATTGTGTTTAACTCTCCCCTCGTTGAAACAGATACTCAGGCGAATGGTCAATCGACAGCAACGGAGGACGAACAGGTTGATCGAAAGAGACGGGCCGCGGCGTGATTGAACGTCGATACAAGATTTGTGTTTCTCTTCACGTACCATCAGAATGGTTTAGAGTAGTATGTAGATTACCTTTCTCACTAATGAGTACGTACGCGCATCACACGTCCCTGGATGACCTATTTTCTTCCGCATATGTGAAATGTGAATCCGTGCAAATCTTGCGCCCTCTTTGAGAAAGTATGCCTTCTCTAGGCGCTTCTGATAGTTCGTCCAGGAACTGAGACTGCCCTACCTGCTGGCACAATCCAAACACGATCCATCTCGTGCACAACAAAAAGGAGCAGGTGGTCCTTCCATCGAGACCGTGATACCACGAGAAATCCTTACGACATCGCCAGTATGGATCCACAATATGTCCCGGTCTTCCGACTATAGAACTTCTCTTGTGTGGTGTCCTTGCAGGCCTTGGTGTCGTTGGTCATATGTTTTGAACCGTACGTAAGGTCTAGTTATCATTCGCCGCCAATCTCTTTACCTTACTTTCGGCGAGCCAGTGATTCTCATGGGCAGGCACACATGCTCATTCCGCTCCCTGACGCGGGGCCCAAACGAAGCCCGTTGGGAAGTTCTATGCTGCCAACATCTGGGCCAAATTGGACTCCTGTATCCTCTGCTTCCTTTCCTCGCAACATTCTCTGATCGTGGTGTCAATTCTTCGGAGAAAGGGGTGCAAAGTCTAACCTAGATCCCTCGAACCGCTGCAGGAGTCGAAGACTCGGAATAATCAATCGCCTTTCACAGATCCATCCCTTCCAACAGCCCTTCGAGAAATCACTGTGGCACGGCGGTTCCATGACGTTTCCTCAAACCTCACGACCTCCATGAAATATTCCTAAATGCACTCCAGCCCCCTATAAAAACAACTTGCGAGATGTACGTCCCTCTCCAATCGTGGCCTCAAAATCGCCATTGATATTGACTTGGCTTCACATGGCAGTCCTTCTCTCCTCGAGCGCATCCCTACCGACCTCACGACTCCTCCTAGCTCATATCGGGTGTGTAGTTATGATGTTAGCACTTCGTATGCGCGCTCACCTGTTGAGCCCTTGCAGTGCCGCCTTGACATTGTTTCTCGCCACTACTGATGCTGTAAGCACGGGAATCCGTCGCTTGAATCTTCATACTTACACGTCCTCCAGACTATCGTGTCTACCATTTTACCTACTATATCTGCCCAGTTTGACGGGTCGCAAATAGAGTACACATGGGTTGGAGTCTCTTACATGTTGACCCAAACTGCGTTCCAGCCTTTATATGGCAAGCTCTCTGATCTAATTGGTCGCAAGGTCAGTCTGGTTTGGTTCTAGAACGTCATTTTACTCAAACGCGATTTGCCATAGCGTGTATTGTATAGCAGTATGTTTATCTTCGTCGCAGGATCTTTGCTCTGCGGGGCGGCACGTGTAGGTCCTTTATAATGATCATATCTATTCATACTCATGATTATACAGAGTATGCTATGGCTTATTATGGCTCGTGCATTGGCGGGTATTGGCGGTGGAGGTATTGTTAGTTTGGTCTGGACTATTACTTCGGAAATCGTGGATTTTCAGTCACGCGCGAAGTGGTCGCAAGCACTTAGCATCACTTGGAGTTGCTCGGCGATTGCTGGCCCGCTCCTTGGCGGTCTGTTCAGCGGTGGGTACCGTTCTTGCTCAATTGTCCTGAAGGGTGTATCTCACGTGTACTCCTTAGGACAACATGGCATAATGTCTTGGCGTTCGGCTTGTAAGTATAACGTCCTACAGGTTGTGCTCTAGCTTATATTACCTTCCAGTCTATTTGAATTTGCCTGTGTGCATCATAGCATTCGTAGTACTTTGGATTGCGCTTCGGGACGTCAGCGTTGGATGTCCCCATGACGTATCTTGGAGTCAATTCTTGCAACGATTTGATTTCGTTGGTCTGTGAGTTACCATGTCCTCTCCACGGGTATATAGTCTTACGATCCCTTGCAGCCTTCTTTTTATGGTTGGCAGTAGTTTAATTGTTGTTGGTTTCAGCTTTGCCAGTCTTTATGGCTGTAAATATTCTTCTTATATCTAGTTTGAATCCTTCTCATAATTTGTCACAGGGAAGGCTCCAGTAACACTGTGTCTCATTGTAATTGGGCTTATTGTCTTGTTCATTGGGGCTGTGTATGAGTTAAGAACTCACAGAGATGCACTATTCCCCCCTTCAACATTCAGTGACAGGACAGCCAGTAAGTATCCATAGTTTGCTTGACTTTAGGTACTTACTCTGCTTCCTAGTCATCATACTAGTCATCAACTTTCTGCATAACTTTGTTTTCACTGCTGGGACCTTCTACCTGGCCTTGTACTTTCAGGTATGCTGATATTGACTATGTTTAAACATTTTTTTCACATCTTATGATATCCTTCTTTACAGTCAGTTCAAAATCTTGAACCCTTACAGGCAGGGCTCACCATGCTTCCTTACTCTTTGGGCTCATCTCTGGCTTCAATGCCTGGTCAGTGCCCTCATCTGATGGCCTTTATTTCCCCCCACCAATCTCATCTTACAGCTGCATGGTTCATTGGTTACTGGCAAAGGAAGACACTTGACACCAGTGGTCAAAGATTAATGATTTCTCTTGGTCTTGCTGTCTCTGCTCTGGGTTTTGGTATGCTACACTCCCTGATATAAGTATTGTCACAACTCTGATGATCATTACAGGGCTCATGGTGCTCTTGGATGAGAAATCCATGCATCTATTGCAGAGCATTTTTCCTCTGATTGCAGGACTTGGATTGGGCATGCTCTTTCATGCTCCCTATCAAGTATTTACTAGGACTCTCAAATCCAAGGAGATTGCATCTGGTACCAGTGCTTTTTTCCTTGTTAGATTTACTGGGGCCACTATTGGACTTGTAAGTTTTTCTCATTTAATTTCTAGTAAGATTCTCATTTCCCTTCTACAGTCAGTGGCAGGGGCCATCTTTCATTCATATATCTACCATATTTTACCAGAAGGACTCATACCCTCGCCATCACAGGTAGAAGATCCCGCCACTATCCTGCCCTTGGACTTGAGAGTTGAAACATTGAGTGCAGTGGCATCTTCAATTCAGGTATGTACTTCTCCTTGGATAATAATCTACAGCATACCAATTCGCTCTAAAGATGATCTGGATTGTTTGCTGTCCTTGCGTTGGAGTTGCTTTCCTGGTCAGTAATCCATCTGTCTGAATCTTTATGTTTCAATCCTCACTTGAGTATGTCAGATATCACTTTTCATGAGGAATATTTCCTCTGAATCTCAGGAGGACTCAATTGATTCCGACAAAACTGTATGCAACAGCAGCTTGGATACTAAAAAATCCGCATCAGGCTCAAGCGAAACAGACGTAACAGACGCGGAAGCTTGACGCGTCTTTCAAAAACATACCCCGCTTCTGTTTCTACTAGTAGTCCTCGTACACTTTAGTGCAGAGTAATATACCCGTTTTCGTGTTCTCCGTCTCACCTTCCCTTGATTGTTGAACCTCGTGTCTCTCGCGCGCATCACTCAAGGTTACGGTTTCTCTCTCACTGACCTAGCTTTGGCACAGCCGACCATCTGCATGCGATGAGGCTAGACCGTTTGGATGACTGAACGCTGACAGAGACCGGACGACGGCCTATCAGCTCTAACGCCTCATTGACGGCAGGCAATTTAGGAATAGGCCTAGGTATCAGAGCTGAGATGCACGAGTACAAGAGCGACTATGATGCCGACATGGCAATTCGGGGAAACCTCTCACGTCAGAGCAACGTTAAACTTGCAATCGTAGTAGCCTGACAGGGAAGCCATATGGATTCACTCAAGAATGGCTATCGGTACTCCATTCATGCTATAGACGACGGTCATCCACGCAGCGACGCGGGAAACTTTGCACTAGACTTTCATCAAGCTGGACACGCTGCAATGGTCTATTGAACTGTAACCATCACAAACTTTATCTTGATAGAATAAGATCGTCACATAAGATATCGATCAGAAAGAAGAGAATCCAATGAACAATGGGGAGTCAATCAATCCATGCTTAATCTGAGAATCAAAGAGGGAGAAAAAAAGGATGTCATGATGTCGTCAAGTCGTGCTCTGCACCAACCACATTAGGTCCGTCATACTGCGCCGAGTTTCCATGAGAACACCATTCAAAACTGTGCGAGCGCATGACTACAACGGTTGCGTCTTCACGTAGAGTCAATGTTCGACAGAACGAATTTACGTACAAGAGCATACCCTGTAATGCGACCGATGTCGATCCAGGCCAAGACTTTATATGCAACCACGTTGAGCTCTCAGGGTGGCAGGGTAGTACGCATTTATAACCTCCGAGATTTAACAGCTAAACGGCTATTCATTCAGAGACTTTGTTTGTCGGTGACCGGATCCGCTATGCATCCCACTAGGATGGTGAGATGTTTCTAAATGAAGCGTACGACACTGTTGTAGAAAGTCCGAAGCCATGGTTGTGGACGATTCATTTACCAAGACACAACATGCGCAGGGATCGCCACAGGTCACGCCTGTAATATGAATTCGAAGATAATGGGGTGAGGTGGGATTCAAAAGGATTTGGATGGACCACTTTCAACCTCGCCAGTGGAGCAAGCAAGATATGTTGTGAGATCGAGACCCCTGATATTCGTGGAATGCATAACAGCGCTCCATGGAGATGTTTAGAAGATGGGACGGCAATAGTGGCCTAATCCCGCATTGCTTCGGTGGTCGGGGCTAGAGGCGATATTTGCAACCTTTCCGTCAGATAGGAAACTTCGCCTTGTGCACAAGCTGAACCGGCAGAATGGATTTGTTCAGCGGAAGGTTATTGCGACACGGGCAACAAGACAGACTCTGGGACGAAGTACTGTGCCGGTGGATGGGACAGACTCGTCCAGCGTTAAGGAGGGCTGGCCTTCTAGCTTTATCATCAGCGTAAAGCAAAAGTCTAAGTGATGGAGTGCGCACAATCTGCTTAGATGAACTTACGTACAGAATTGGTGGACATCAGAGCAGCCTGGACTAGAAGGTACTGTCTAACGATGACCTCAAGTCTGTGACCGACGATCACAGCATAAGGGTGTCGTATCTTGCTGGGTTTCTTAATTGTTGGTGCACGAATTATTTGGTACTGTACTTTGAACTTACCAGTGAGTACAGGGGATGCTTGTAGGCGCCTGTCGCAGAATCGCAGTCGGAGTTTGAAACCCACCTCAATCGTCGAGCGCTTACTCAAGCCAATGAGATAGGGTTGGGGTCAAGTTGAGGGTTATCTTGTCGTGTGACCGACTCGGATGTGTACTCCATTGCGCCTTTGCTCCTTTCTTTCTCCATCCACAACCACCCTAGCTGCTAATTTGTCGACATCTGAAGTTGTTGCGTTAATTCTCCCGAAGTTGAATGTCTAAGTCGTGGTTATCTTTACCTAGGTTCTCAGGGAAGCACAACAAGTTTTTCCGAGCGCTTAGCCAAGGTCATTTCTTCACATCTTTTGTTCGCTCGTTCAGTCCGACCCAGAGTAAGATGGCACCAACTATTGGGCCAGAATTACCCTCTTTGCATCCTGTAAGCAGCAGGGGGCGCAACGCACTGACTCTGAGAAGGACAGTACCGAAAGTTTCACTGGAAACACGAGAGGATACGTTCGCAGCACGGTCATCATCGCGTTCTTCGACCGCATCTATCCAGTTTGACGAAACCGCAGGCGATGTAGTGCGCGTGGAAGGTTTGAAACACTCTGACGAGAGGCTGGATGCACGGTAAGTCCATCATGTCTGGATCGTTTGGTGGCTTACGCCCGTGGCTCAGCCTACTGCTGTGGAGTTCCGTGCTGGGATAGAGCTGTCTCTCGGTTTGCCGCCAATCACTTTATTGCTACGTCGTACTCACATTTCTTCTTTAATCCAGCCGGTACAAATCTGCAGCATTTGCTGAGCAGTTATCTTCGATTCTACACACTTTGTGTCTCCCATTCTGGACTGGCGTCAGTGCATCAGCCATGAAGATCGAGAAAGTTTCCGGATCTTTGACCAATGCCGTATTCTTTGTGTCATGTCCCTCTACCCCATCGATTCCCATACTTTTGCTTCGCATTTACGGTCCCTCGTCTGGATCTATGATTTCTCGCCCACGAGAACTTCAGATTCTCCATGTACTCTCTTCTCAGTATCATATTGGACCACGAGTTTATGGCACTTTTGAGAATGGTCGAATTGAAGAGTACTTCGATTCTGCTCCCCTCACGCCAGCAGACATGCGGGACCCACAGGTTAGCTCTTGGATCGGCGCCCGCATGGCTGAGCTCCATCAAGTAGACATTGATACAGTTGAAGGATCTCCCGAAGCACCTTGGGAGGTCGGTGCGAAGAAGAACGTCAGGGCATGGCTGCTTCCTGCTAAGGAAGTCCTCTCGCTTCCTTCGGTCTCTGACGCGATCCGGAAGGATTTGGATTTGGATCGTTTCCAAGCCGAGTGGGAAGGGTACATACGTTGGCTCGATGAGAAGGAACAGCAAGTCGGGACCAGCAGAAGGGTTTTCGCACATAACGACACCCAATATGGCAACCTTTTGAGATTGAACTCACCAAAACCTGGTATTCCCGAACATCGTCAGGTAGGCTTCTCTTGACTTTCATAACGATACGTCAACTGAACGTAATAGCACCTATAGATCATTGTAGTTGATTTCGAATACGCATCGCCGAACCCCGCGGCTTTCGACATAGCCAATCATTTTCATGAATGGACAGCAAATTATCATTCTGACACTCCTCACCTTCTCGATCCCAAAACCTATCCAACCCTCGAACAACGGTACAACTTCTACCGTGCCTACATTAAACACTATGGCACTTCTATCACGTCGGATGACGAGGTCAGTGGATCGTTAGATGACCAGATGACCACTCTGGATCGTCAAGTGCAGCTCTGGAGCCCCGCGTCTCATGCCCAGTGGGCTGTGTGGGGAGTTGTTCAGGCACGTGAGTCGTTGGAAGCGAAGGATGGTGAACCTCCCGAGTTCGATTATATTGGATACGCAAGATGCAGGATGGAGGGTTTTCGTCGGGAATTGCGCGCACTTATGTCATGAATGAAAGCAGTCATGGAGTGGTGGATACCTCATTTGTTTGCCAGATCTGATCCCTCGGGCTATGTAGACATCGCAATATGACGATTGTACACATTGCGCTTTAGAGTATCTTGCGACGGGATACCCAATGTAACGTTCTGTAATGTAGCTCCTCATGTTCACGGAATCGACACACAAGTATCAGCTATCATACTCATACCATGACTGACTCAACGACAAATGAACGATAATTGTATTGACATAAAATAAACATATTGACGAGGGAGCGGAGAGATATATTATCCTATGTCTGGAGAATAAGTCAAGCTTGGTTCGACAAGACGAGCAAAAGGACGAGGCAGCAATGATCAGAGGCGGAAGCACAAGAAAACACAAGGGAAAGCAATGCATGAAAGGGGGAATAGTATGCACATGAGGGGGTAGGTTGAAGAAAAGAAAAGAAAAAGACCAAGACATGTTTGAGTCTCGCGCTCGGCGGAGGCAAGTAGAAGCATACAAAGAGAGAGGCGGGGATATGTACGATGAGTGGATATGTACGTCGCACTTTTACGCACGTCCATTGATACAAACACAAGCACAAGAATAAAGAACAATACCTAACTATTCGAGCATCCCTGGGTTAGCAAACACCTCTTGTCGCTCTTAGACCCAGTTTTTCTCGGTCGCACGGGACCCAGAATTGTACTCCGCCCATGGGGAGTTCACTTTTGACTCGCCACCTGGGATGGAGGAGAGAGGATAAGCCGTCAAATGGCTGCTCCGAGTTGCAGCACCCCAGTTTCCTGCACTGCCGGACCGCACATGACCATTGATACGAGAACCCCTCAAGGGCTCCGGAGGGGACAGCGAGTATTGGTTCGAAGAGGCAGTAGGCGTCGTAACGCTACTGAAATCTAGTTGATCGCTACCGCTGAAAGAGTGGCGAAGGTTGGGATTACCGGTAGGCGTCTTGGAGAGTCGCTGTTGAACGTCCATCAACGTATAGCTCCATCCTAGGGGAATGTTGCGACTGACCTGTGTACCCACAATGTCGATTCTAGCAGCTGTATGACGCCCAAAGTCCGGAGCAGCGGTGACCGGTCCCGGTGACATCGACGGACCATCATCGGTGGTAGGCATCAAGATACCATTGTGAGTGAAGCTAGGGAAGGCCGACTTGTTCTGCTTGGCGCCACTAGTACCGTCGATGACAGATGTGTCAACTCTCAGCGAACCAGGGCGAGTGGGACCAGAAGACGGAGTTGTGCTGGTGCTGGAGTTAGCAGGCACATCCTGTCCACGCTTGATCCTAGCCAGCAATGAAGTCGATCCCTCGGTGGGATCGCTGTTCGTGCTCGCTGATCGCGCCCGACCATCTGGGTTGACAACAGGAGGAGGAGGAGCGCCATCAGCCCCTGGCGCGACGCCATTTGCAGGAAGCTCGGTGTGAATGAAGCAGCATCGCTTCCCATACGGACATGAGCCCGAAACCCAGAAGGTCTGGATGAAACTTAGCAACCGATTGGCTTTTGCGAAATCAAAGGATACTCACTCGACAAATCTCGGTCTTGTACTATGATGCGGAACAGACAGTGATGAGCTTCATGTGAAGATTGTAAAGATATGTAATACAGTTCACTGACCTTGGGATGGCGCTGCACTTTTCGCAATTCCTCCTCTCCGTGTGCAAACTGACATTTGCTACCATAGCGGCAACTGCCTTTCTCCTCCCAGCTGCGACACAGCTCAGTCTTGTAAAGGCCAAGTTTGCGATTCGTCGCGCTGGGTCCATTTCCGGTGCCTCCGGAAGAGGAAACGCTTCCATTGGCAGCCGCACCCCCAAGGGGGACCGCACCTCCAGATGGAAGAGGTACAGCATACACGCTATTGTATTGAGCTTGAAGACGTGCCATCATGGCAAGCTCGGGGCCATACGCGTCCTGTGGGGCACCATAGAACTGGTTTGGAAACAATGCCGGAGGAGCCATAGCACCAGGGTACATCTGGTTCGCAAATGCAGCTTGCATACTACTGTTGATCAAAGCCAACGTGGCGGGATCACGAAGAGACGCAGGGTCCGATGCAGAGTGTTGGTGACCGCCTCGATATGCCTGTTGTTGCAAACGCGCCATAACAGGATTATCAAGTGGAGGGGTAGGGATCATCATATCGTACAGTTGCTGTTGGTTATTATTCAACGAGAGGGGTGCTGGCTGCATGGGAGTAGGATAGGCAAAGTTCGTCGGGCTTGGGACTACAGGTGGAGCTTGGGCGGAAGGATTATAACCACGCGAGGACCGATACGCCTGTCCTCCAGCTCTGTTGTGAGTCGTGGCGTACTGAGGTGTCGTACCAGGGCCCTGTCCTACCATCGAATTACTTAGTCGACGTTGCTGATACTCAGCTTGCAGATCATCATGAGAACCTTGTGCTGATGACATCATTTGTGGCTGCGAAAGAAGTTCCTGTGAACGTGAAGCATATCCATTTTGGCCGGAAAGAGACGGGTATGTTGGTTGGTCAGCCTGTGACTGTTTCTCTGGAGTACCATTCGGTGAGGACCACGATTCAGCGCCGGGGCTACCGCCTGCTTGCTGTAGACGGCTGAGATCGGCCGCAGACAGCCCGCCGCTGTACGAATGAGGTCGGTTTCGACTTTCCCCGGCAGTGGAGACTTTGAGCGGCGTGTACGGACCAGCCCGCAAAGTTTGGCTTAAAGCAGAACCTGTAGTATCGACCGACGATTCTCGCGAGTGAGATGAATAGCTGATAGGGTGTTCTATCGGCGAGTTAGACTCAACACTCGTTTCGGAAGCCGTCTCGAGCGGGCTCGTCTCATGCAGTGTCATCACTGCCCCAACAGCGGCTTTTGACTGCGGTGGTGTTCGCATCTGTCCATTGGACTCTTCGCTGACGATCTGCAACTTGCTGATCTCGTCCACAAGGTAGTCGGCGGAAGAGGAATCAATGAGTTGACCCAGCGCATTGACTCTCCAACGACCGTTACTGTTCGAAACGGGCGCTCTACGAGACGCTTGTGCGGACAACACATCCCTCTGGCCGGGCTGGAGAGTGTTTGACATGGTCTGATTTTGCGTTATAAGGTCGTCAGCGTTATGAGAATAGAAGTTCGTGGGAGTTGAAGAGTTCGTTACAGCGTCGTGCATCGTTTTAAGCTGGCAGTACGTAAGCTGTCAATAAAATTATGGTATGCATATAGAGGCGGGATCACATACCAGATAAGTATAAGTTTGATGTTGAAGACGTCCGGATGATTGACTGATAAAAAGGATGCGTGGAGGTGATGTGAGAGAATAAGCAATATCTTGACGGTCAAAGTCGTGCGCGCGTCTGGAGAAGGAATCAACTAGCTCGTATCCTGTTAGCTCAAACGCTATGAGCAGCGAGAGAGAAGACTAAAGAATAGAATTCTAAGCGGAGGGCAGAAGACAGTAAGCAAAGTTGAGGTTGGACTGCGCGTTTCTGGTTCGTGAGGATGATGTACACGGTCGCGTGTTAGATATATATCAACGATGAAGAAAGAGAACCTGAGGAGAGGCAGCTGTTGAGAACGGGGACGAGATGCACTCGTAGGAGAGAGTACGAGGGCAAGAGAGGGAGGGAGCCTTGCGACTGCCTTACGGAAGGACTGGGTTTGATCGCAACGTGCCCTTCTCCAGGCGTCTACAGGTTATGAACTCCTCCGCCACCCTTCCAACCGAACTTCTCCCCAACACGCTGCCCACTCGTGGATCTTCACAAATCAGTGCGTAACGGCGTCCTCATCCTGACTCTTTTCTACGTCGATTCCTTCGCGACAACCATCGCTCTGTCGAGTCCGAGAACATCGAACCCAATCAAGGCTGTGGTGTTTATGACAAGTCTCCCACGGCTAGTCCACGCTTATTCCCACGCATACCCCGCACTGCCAGTGAGCGGAAACAAATTTATTTTCACCTCCTTCACAGACATAACGATAACAATGTTCAACATACCAAGCAAACACATGAACGTCAATCACCTCGTGCTGTGGAGGCCAACAGCTTCACAGTGGCAGCGAGCGCAGACCCCATCATTTTGCTTCATTAGAATGGAAATTCGCGGATGTATTTCCGTGCCCCCATTCCTTTTCTGGCTATCTTTGTTCCTTTCTCGGATGGTCTCCGCCTACTAGCAGATTGCATATCGGTAGGACCTTTCGAGCTTTCCAATCTCATTCTGTCACTGTAGCGGAACATCTATTGACTCGTCTCACCCCTTCTCTCATAGTCTTCTGCCACCTGCAAGATGCTTCCCCACTCTGATGCCGCCGGACCCGTGATCCTCTCACTCAAAAAGAACAAGTTAAGTTGGAAATTGCATTCTGGTGCACGGTATTCCATCACATTTTCTCATACTCCGACCGCTCATTAAGCCGAGTTTGACGGCATCCTAGTCCCTGCAGCAGCTGCGTCTGATCACGCGCTGCTGCCAGTATCTGCTCATCAGACACTACACTGTCCTCTAGCACGCGGTTATGTTGCGTTGTAGCCTCCGCTTTTGTGAACAAAACTCAGAAGATCTCCAAGACTATACAGGTCTTCTCAGAGACGATCATCTCCAAACTCAGCTTCATTTTTCAATCGTCCCTGAGCAAGTACTTGTTGAAGCGCTTTTGCCTGGTGGTTGCCTCATGTCTTCCATGCAATGGGACGATCAAAACATTTGGGACCGATCATTCCAATCAGCGCTAAATCTGAGTGCTTCATCGTCAGTTCGTTGACTGGACAACCTCCGTGGCTCAACTCGATACCTAAGTGTAAATGGTAGGACACCAGGCCTACCGAACTTGTTTGGTTCCTTACGCGGGGCTCATAACTGACGCTGCCAGCAATTGATTCGAGAGGAATTGGCCCCCGGACTATGCCCGAAGTAACCCGCTTTAGAGGCCGAGCGGCTGGCACTTATCTGCAAGTAATTGCCCGAGGCCAATGTTAATTACACCCACCTACCCATACACCAGAAGGACCCACATGAAATACACCTCATTCCCTATGGATGAGACGGCAGGAACTGAGAGAGACTGGGTATTTTGTGATAGTGCTGTGATTCTTGCAAAATAAAGTGCGAACCGCTCATATTCCGGCCAAGTTTGTCCCTGAGACGTAGACAGCGTCCTGACCCAGTTTACTGGTTTATCTCTCTGCCGCGATCCTTCTGGCTTTGTTATCAATATAACGAATACAGTATCACGTACAAAATAAACCGAATTTCGCGGAAAGAAGGCCAACAGCTCTGACCAAGTCGGTGCATGGTCGCTCTTCCAGAAGCCATGGTTTTTGCCGTCAGTCCGAGCGATAATCTCTTTCAATGGTAATACCGAACACGATACAATACATGCTGCACGTTGGTTGCCGTCACCTCTTTCTGATCTTCGTTTCATACAAGGAACTTGTTGTATGCAAGATGCTGTCAGACGGCTCTTCCAAGTCTGATCCCCCAAGTACGACCTTGAAATTTTCTTACATATCGGATGAACTTGAAGTCGCGGGAGAAGTCTTCCATCGTTCCAACGAAGACCCCTATAAGCCTTTCAATCGCCTCATCGATCTCTATTCCATCTTCAGTTTATCATTGCCGTGGTATGTCAACCCGGCAACGTAACTCGCGAAATCGGGGGTTCATATTCATCAGTCGCCCGTCCGTACGGTACGTACGGTTAATACTTGCTTGTAGCGTCCACGGTGATCACTCAGCACCGCAGGCTCCTTCAAGACCTAGACACCGTCGACATGATAGCATGAACAAGAATGGACCGGTCCAGCACCAACGTGTAATAATCAATAGCCATGATGGAGGGTACCAACTGCCATATACGCATTGTCTCCGCTCCCGGTTGACCGAACTTCCATCTTTGCATCATCGGCGGACATGCTGGATGTTTAGTTAGGCCTGAGGAGCATTAAGACATCAGGTTATATTGAGCAAAAGTATACAGATATAGATACACTTCACAGTCATGAATATAGTAGATAATCCGGTGCAAGCCCTCAAGCATCTACGGTGTCAAATTAGCGCGCGAACTGGGATAGCATCTTACGACTTACAGTAAGAAGTGCCAACGAGCATGGTAGAGAGACTTTGCAGCTGATCTTCATCGAAGGCTTGTTGGTCCTTGTGCCACGTATCCTGAGATGATGTCAGTACTGAAGTATCATCTGCTGGATTCATCCTTTACCTGATGTGTCTGCGGTAGATCGACACGTAAATAATTCGTCATTGCGCAGATAGAAGAGAGCATTGACTTACCTTCTTAAATTCCGAAGCACATTTACGAATAGTAGTTGAGATTGGAGGAGGATCGGTTGCGTGAGCCGCAAGTACTGTGAAACGTATCAGCAAAAAGAACTCGTCGTCATACGATGAACTGACCTTCTGTGAGAGGCGGCATCCACGGCTCGACCGAATAGGGGAAGCTCTCAAGGAGAGCGCATAGACCTAATATCGCGGAATGAACGGTTCGCAACGACTCCGCATATTTGGGGTCCTTGCGAGAAGGTATGCTCGTTCTACTAGCGAGCCGGACAAATCGATCCTATTGAACAAGAAGCATTCGTCAGCTGGTGGTTTTGGCGTTCCTCGTGAGTTTTACCTTCAAAGGTATTATGCTTTGACGTTGAGAACATCGCACAACACCCGATAACATCTTCGACGCCATCTCGCGCACTTCAACGTTCTCGTCAGAAAGGCATTCCAGTAGAACATCCATGACTTTCGCCACGACGCTGCTGGACATGCTCATTAGGTTCCGATAGAAGAAAACAATGAATGTGGGTAAGGCATGCAGCCGAATTCGCCACGACTTGGGAAAGGATTAGCAAAGTTACACTGCGGATACAGCCCAAACTTACGGTAGAGGAAGTAATGGCGGTAAGGAAGTTGTCTGCGATAATTTCGACATATTCGGCAGGCGGCGGGACTGCAGAAAGAATATAAAGGACTGCGGAACTATACTTCTGTAGTTCAGAGCTGTCATTCAACTCCGACATGCGAAGCACCTCAGGACTATATGTCATTAGCAGCCGCATACGATTCGGAATGGAAATATGACTTACAGCAGTGAAATAACGTATGGGAAGATCAGAGGTGCTTGAGGACCATGTGATGCCGTCCATATCCACTGAAGCACTGCGAGACAAGTCACATTGAGTGGCTGACAATTTGCGACGGAGCAATAGACAAACCTGTAAGCCCGACCTTATCGTACTGCGACTGGCTAACCCTGGGAGGTGGGTATCGCTGCTCCTTCCAAACAGGAAGCCGAGAAGCAATCTCAGACAAACGGTCAATGTAACGAGCGCGTCTGACATCGATGTCAACAAAGACGCACAGTTTAAACATGGTCGACGTACCTTATACCCAACGGATCAAGACTTGTATCGCAGGCTTGAAGGAACGCATCGGTGGACGGATACCAAGGTTGCCATTGAGAACTGACAATAGCAGCCAGGTTCGTTGCAATATGAGTGCGAACCTATGGCATTTTTGTTAAACGTATGAACTCAATCAGTGCATTGGAACTTACTTCGGCGTATCCGGTATTCGCATTCTCGAAGAATGTGCTCGCATACTGATCAGCAAGCGGCGCGAATTGCGCCCAAGAACAGTCAACAATAACATTGAAGAGTGTCAAATTCTTGGTCACTACACGAAGTTAGCATTCAAAATCCAATAGGATGCAATTTGTGACTTACTTGAAAAGGCTGAGTCGCTATGGAACTCGAGCGGAAGAGATAGAATCCACCCGACGAGAGGTCCAATACGACGAGAATCACGATCCGACAATTGTTCCTGTGAACGATAGTGAATAATCCTTTCTGTTTCATATATGTTGCACGTACATTGAAGAGACCCTCTAAGAAGGAGAGTGTATCGGGTTTGATCTGGGCGTAGATCTGATCCATGTGAGATCCCATCCAGGACCACAATGCATTGAATGCTGGCAGTGGCCAGTGTTTCGAGCCTGAACCGAAATCAATGGGTGATTCTGAGGCAAACAAGCTATTCATTACCTCGAAGCAATCCAGCTAAGATTTCGGCAGCAGCGCGCTGCCTATATCGATCCAGATCTGTGAGAAGAGGCTCGATCACAAGCAATATCTCGTTGACATATCGATGTTCAAACATTTTTGCTGGACCAGGCTCGGTCACTAAACCATCAAGAGAATCGAGTTCTTACGACTCACAGATGGATTTCATAAACACGATGTTGTCCGCTCGAAGCTCCAGATTAGAAGGATTTCTACCTGATTCTTGGCCCAAAAGAAGAGCTAATTTGCTGAAATAGTTCCCGGTGTTGAATACCTCGCTCATAGCTTGCAAAAGAGCCAAAGAAGCATGCTCCCATTGAATCGGGGATTGTTCTGAGGTGACTGGCCTGTACGCCTTGATCGTGGGTACCCAGGCCAGGAATCCTGTATCAAGTTTGTCTATATAAAGTGCGCTACAATGAATTCAGTCGGGTCTGAACACTGAGAAGAAGTTACTATACACACTTATTCGAGTTCTTCTCGATAGGCTGTGTGAGACTTTGCACGAATTGAGCAGGATCGGTGATAGTTATTGTCTCTCGCAAAGGACTCCTCCACTCGTCCAACCATACTTCATCACTCGTCTTCGAGTATGTGCGGATCTTGATATGAGCTGTCATCTTGACCACTCCCCTATAAAAACATTGAGCAGATCTCCAGGCTGTCGGCATAAGTAAAGCGCACTTCTGGGCATACGATCTGATCGTTGGATGGGGGCTAATGCTCTCTTCGGTAAGGAATTTCGCGAGAAGAGGAGAAGGACATGAGTCTCTCTTTAGTAGACCATGTAGGAATCGAGTCGCGAATTGCACATATCTCCACTGAAAGCATTGTTACGATAGAGTCCTGACTGGAATCAATAGACACTTACGTGTGTTGTTGGCCTGGAGGCAATCTCCAGTATCCCGGAGATCTATACAAAGCATGCAGTACGAACAGTGAAGTCAGTAGCGAAAGGGACATACCGCCAAATCATACTGTCTATTACGTTCAGCCACGCGAGGCTGAAGCTTCGAGATGGCCTCGCGCAGAATGTTCTCATCAATGAGTTTAGGGGTGAACTCCGCAGACAGAGATTGCACAGCTTCATCAATTCGAGGGACAGACTCGATAAAGGCATTAGTGTGAATGGCCTCTTCTGTGATGTACACTAGAATGCTTTGCACAAGGCTTCCAACAAGTTTTTGGACGGATGGCTGAAACAAGAGTAGGTCAGGATGTTTAAAGTGACAACGAAACAATTATCTACTAACCTTTTCCTGATGCTGGCATTCCAGTAAATTGAGTAAATAGGGACCGCCATACTTCACGTCTGCAACTTAAATCAGATATGACTGCCACATAAAACGCGACGGTTTTTCTTTCACCAGATATAGCATAAGACGCTGTTGGCAGATGTTAGCTGCAATAGATGAAGATATCGTACTAACTCACCGATTCCTTTGTTCCACAATACGTATAATGCACCCTTCATGCGATCAGCATCAGTGCCTCTTGTCAGAGACTGGTACAATTGAGGTATGACAAAGCGCGTGGAGCGTATGAAATACTGTCAATTCGGTGAGCCCTATCAGTACAAGGAACGACAGAAATAAAATAGAACGTACACCGCAAGCATTATTCAGAACCGCCTGAGCATGTCTATCAAGGAAGTTCGATGAGAATTTTCCAGGGGAAGACTGAATCGTACAGACCTTCGTACTCGTGTATAGGGTGATAATGACAGCGAAGTCAAGTCTTCGAGCAGTTGGTCATCTAACTCCGAACGTCGACGATAGAGGGACTCCAGGTAGACGCGACCGGAGTGATATAACTGAGCACGCTTGAGAATAACGGCGCGAGAATTCTCCTTCTGTCGAGGCCACATGCGGCTCAATCTGCAAAAATTAATCAATGATCATAAAATAGCTCCAGCAGAAATAACTTACTCCCGGGTTGCAGAATACGTTTTCTGCATAGTATCAAAGTTGCTTCGAGTCATAGCATACTCCAGGAGAAACACGTCTATGGCCTTTGAGACGCTGATAACCGCATCAATATGGTCCTCTCCCTCGGTCTGTTGTCGCAATGCAATCGCAGCGCGATGGACCACGACACCAAAACGAGTTCGATGAGCCACCACTTTCTGGTATCGTGGGTCATTCGGATCTTCGAGAACGAATCCAGCTGCTACATTCAAGTGGTTGACAAGGAGCCCCGGAACTTCCAATGCTTCGTCCACACAAGGAGTCTTCATCTCCTTCGCTCCTTCACGGTAGATGGTAGGTAAACCACTCCAAATCGAGCGGACAGCGTGCAGATAACTAGAGAAGACCTTGTGTCAATTTTCTATCCCTCGCAGTGGAATCAAACGAGAGATTCCCTACCGACAGAAGTCATTCCGGGCTACATTATCCCAGTGGCCAGCGGTCTGTAGAAGTTCCTCAACCGCATCAAGAGCAGGAGCCGCAATCTTGTCAAGAACCTCCAATACGAAGTCGATTTCTCCCGGAGATGGGACTGTGAAAACGCATTCAGATCATCAGTCAAGAAACTTGTATTGATATGCTTTACCATGCCACTCAATCTTAACATCCTGTGGATCATACAGCTTGCCCCAGTGGAGATTGTGGTTCCTGTCAAACTCTGCAAACGTAAGTCAGTTTCTATCATAGTCAACAAAACCGATGGAAACATACCGGGTGATTCCCATTCATCGGTATTCACGAAGCGAGCATTGATAGGGTATATGCCTGCAACAGTATGTAGGATCCGATTGATCAAACGTCCCGTTCCAGAATAACCACGTTCACTCTTGGTTTTGTCAATGAGTAATGAGATCAGGTCAAGGAACTGATCCTTGTATTGGAGCAACTAAGTCGTGATTATTAGCCGATATGCGCAATGTGGTCCGCATGAAATCAAAATTCACCGCAGAACCACCATAACCAAGGCATCCGCGCAGGATGGACATATCTATGTGCGGTGTAAGTCAAGCCGTCAATACTATCAGGAGGCAGCTTACTCCAGTGTAACGTTGTGTCGGACGCCACTGCCTGGTGTGTTGATGTCGTTCGGATACTGGATGCGCCGTGTTTGAGCTCCTCTTGGATCTGATTGATACAATAGGGCAAAAACTTCGCAATAACCTTCTCCGGTTTGACTCGCGCCAAACAAGCCACAAGTTGTCCGAAGGCCCTGACGGCATTGGACCTGGCATTTGTCGTTGCATAATCATAGACAAGCTTCAATACCAATTCAAACAACGGATCTGAAAGGTGAAGGCAGACAACATCAAGGGTACCCTTGATCGACTTAATCACAGCTTCTTCCATCTTCCCACCAGTTGTGTTTCGTCGGCCCCCCTCTTCTGGCAGGTTCTCATAGAGGGCAAATACCCTGCGGAAAAGAGAGGTTACCCAATCTAAAGTGACGTTGGATAAGAGTCTGGAAATTGGGTAATAGGATGCAAGACACACCGTCAAAAGCGGCTGTAGTCTCTCGGGTTAGAGCACGCTCATCATCTCGGCTGAGCATGCTGCCGTTCTCGGTGCCTTCAGGGAGACAAATGCCATGATCGATATCCATGAGTTCCTCCGCAGGAACGTCACCGGCAAATGCAGCTCCGCGATGCATGGATAGGTCACCAATCTTGATATGCTGGGCTATGGATACAATGAACATCGAGGCACAGAGCGTCTTCATGGGATCATTCTGACAGATGACGTTAGTGTATCAGTCTTAAATCACAATTCACAGTGCATCTCACCAGATCAATACCAGGAATACAAAGCTCGAGCAATGGCACAATATGCTTTTGTCCACTAAGCCAAATCTTCTCATTGGCCAGTGGCAAAGCGACACCAGATAACATGGTCATCACCTGTGTCGTCCGATGTGTCTCGTTGATAACTTCCAACCCGCTATAAGCACGTTCCAGTAGCTCTGGCATGACAAGATTCGGTTCAAGCATAGCCAACAGTCGGAGAGAGCCTTGCGCATAGCTAGAAGATAGAGGATCTTTGGCAAACATTGCCAGAAGAGCAGGAGTACGGAGGGTAGTAACAAAGGCACGACGAATTGCAGGAGTCAGACGGCGCGTCTGAGAGAGAGATTGAGAATCAGCATAGGACGTGAAGACTAATGGCTTACAACCGGTGTCTTGCAACTGCGAAGTTCCTCTTCTTTCCATCGTTTGCAAAACTCCACCGCCAAACGATGAAGGAAACTGGTAAGCTATCGACCAGTTAGCATAGAGTGATCAAAGAATAAACCACACGTACAGCCATGGTCCAGTGGCCAGAATTCGACGGATGGAAGTAGGACTCAGTGCTAGTGATGAGTTTGTCAAGAGAATCCATGGCACGAGACCCAGCGAGAAACCCGCGACCTGCATCAGTTGTATGGTCAGATCGCTCTGGGCCATCAAGACACATGGAGAAGACGAGAATCTTCGCAAGTGAACCTGAGCAAATCAGCTAGGCGTCAGTATCAATTCATTTCAAGAGACAGATGTATTACGCACTGTAGCGACTGAAAGGCTTTCGAATTCTCAGAGATTGTCTGTCACCCATCGTGTCGGCATGAGTGGCAGTGGTACTAGCACCCTACACTCCAATTGTTAGATGATATATTAAACTGAGTGAAAGAGATGCATACTTTGACTGCCCCAACAGGAACATCTTGTAAAAAACGCGGTGAGCATAGTCATGCAGTACGTAGGTATAAACCTTACTCATGGAATTTAGGACCTTTCCGATCAAAGTTGTCCATTCTGCTTCCGCCCAGATGCCAACGTCCTTGTATTCGGCTCCATTTTCACCTGCATCGCCAAACCGTCCGGCAACATATTCCTCAGAAAGCTCTCCACACAATTCCAACAGACGATCATCAATGATGGAGGAGTTGAAAGCTTCCCATAGCTTGAAAAACATCGGCAGATAAAGCTGGGGTTTTGTCGGTGGAAGAAACGATGTCATGACTGGAATCATTGTCAAAATGGTCTGTTGACTTTATGAATCAGTACGTATCGGAGAAGGGGACCTTGATACACGCACATCCTTGGTGACCATAGGGATAAAAGCCGACAACATATTGGGGATTTCGCTTGTGGGGAAATACCTCCTGCAATGTTCGGCGACGTAGAGCAAGATATTGATCATGTTTCGCCTGAAGCAAAAATTGAATTCGAAGGTTATTCTACGAAATATGACGTTCGGACAGGGGCGACGCACGAGGATTCCTGCAGCCGTTTCTTTGGCCACAGCTCTTTCTGCATGACTCGCCATAAGGGTTCCCAGGGTAGCTGAAGATCAGATGGTTCTAATCTTCTCCGCTGGTCGGCTTTGCTACAGAGAAGTCGAGATATCATGTCGGCCCAACTTCTGACAATACGAGGCTCTAAGCCTGGAACAAGGCAAAGTTCATAGTACAGCCTAACAAGTTTGGCACGAATTGCATTCGACATTGGGTAACGTAACAATAACCAACTACATGTGAAGGTTTAGACGTTGCTTAGACTATATGTAGTCTGTGGCATATTTCGGCTCACCATTGTAGCATGCCATCCCACGTGGTTAAAACAAGCCAGTTCTTCGTTTGTGCGCATACAATAATTTTGCCGACGATTTCTTCGAGGCGATCCTGCATGTAGTCAATTGATTCACAATCGTAAGGGATTGAATCGAGGTATGTCTGGAGGGATGCACGCTGCTTTTCGAAAGCAGATTGCGGTGACGCCTCTCCAGAATCCACTGGAGAATCCGGAACGGACATCTCATTGTCATCCATGCCGGGGAAGTCCTGAAGATAGGACGTTAACTGGGATAAGTCTATCCCAAGTGAGGAGGTAAGTTCCTGGATATCCATCGAGAAAAGTATTGTGGGGGAAAGGATCTGACCTGGACGGCTTTATATAAGTTCTTATACAGTGATTACGAGTCCTTCGCTTACGCGTCGTCCAATTTGAACCCAGGCTATAGCTGCGCGGGAGACAAGTAGCGACGCGTATCCTTACCCAGAACGTCACCCACCGCGATCACCCAGGGCGGCCCGCCACGTGCTGCCTCGGTTTGATGGGCGCTACAAGTGGTTCTTATCCACGTCCACAAGATGTTGCACCTATTCCAGAGAGTGGCTGCTCACATATGTACTTTGCAAAGACCGACATTGACTGCAGCGCGACGCGGTCTTCATACTCGAATTTCTGTCAAACACAGCGTCAGCTACAGGCCCTTAATATGGGGCTCAGCCTTGGCACTTTCTGCAGCAGTTGCTGTGGGCTCATCAGTCCATCTGGACGCGGACGTCCCACCACAGGGAGATACGACCAGTATGTGGCTTCTTGTCTCCATAGTTATTTTTCTGACTGTGGTGCAGCTGACCCTGCCACCGCGATTACTTTTCCGAACAAGCTTCGCATCCAGTCTAAGACACCCCTTCCTACCTTCACACTTGTAGGTGTAGGCGTCAGGACCGTTTCTTTCATTGGTCTCAAAGTTTACTCCATTGGGTTCTATGCTGACCTGGACAACCCCAATCTCAATGTATGAACTATAATATGAGTTGTGAAATAGAGCTAACGATCTCCAGATATCTAAATCTGCGTCGCTGGAAGAGAAACTCGACCATATAGTGCGAAATTCGGCCTGCGTATTGCGAATAAGTGCGTGTTAGATACCTTGGTGACCCTGCGAGATAGATTTACATGTTCGATCATAGTGCCTACTCGGTCAACTTCCTATGGACACCTCCGTGATGGCTTCATCCGCGCACTTCAAAAACGTATGGTCTTTTGTCGGCAACGAGGCACACTTTCTCCTGAAGAAGAAGCTGCGGTTCAGTCTCCTTTTCGCAAGTTCAAGTCGATGTTTCCCAATACTCCTTTAACAAAGCACACCCCTCTGGACATTCTGCTGACACCTCCCGAGGCTGGTCAAGAACGGACGCTCGTTGTTCGTGACCTTGGTGCCGTGCAGAATGATTGGCTTGCTAGAGAATTTGTGTTAACATACTTCGAAGGCGATGGCCTCAGCCCCCCGGTATGCATGTCACATTCTTCGATGGAAGCAAGGCTGATCTGAACTTGGTTCAAGCTAAAACAGTCAGTTGCGCAGCGACTGGAGAGCTTTGGGAAATAGTTCTATTCCTCTTTTATGAGTCTTGTTCTTGCTTAACATGTTCTTCTATTCATTGAAATGATCAAATCAGTGTGTCGATTCGTTACCTATATCTTGATATTGTTTAGAAATTTGCCTTTTGTGAATCCCGTTTAGCTCAGCTGGTAGAGCGCGTCACTAGTATTTAGTAATGACGAGGTCAGTCGTTCAAGTCGGCTAATGGGAACTTTTTTTGCTTCACATTTGCCGATCAACATTTCCCTGTACCTGACTGTCTCACTTCGTAAGTTCCTCCAACTTGATTTCATTCGCATCCTTTCACCGCGACTATTCATCGTAATGCATTCGTTCTCGTCTTCGACATCTCGGTTAATTGGACGGTCCACATCTTGCAAGAATGTATATCATGTCTACACAAGTTCAGTGCACGCTCAGGCCTTTCGGATTCAACTATTGCTACCATTTAGAACGTATGCAACACATCGAGATGCGGCAACTGCGTCAACCACTCCATTGCTTTCCCAAGCTCTTGACCAAAGGCAACGCTCCGCAAGGCGGCAAGATTCCGTGGGACCTTTTCAACTCGGTCTCATTCCGCCTACCCCACAGGACGTTGGAGAGATCAAGAAGTGGTCTCAGCTCAATACGACTGAGAAGGGTATGTCTTACTGCCTCTTTCGAGTATCCTATAATTACTGATCGCTGTCATCATAGTTGTGCGTACGACAGCACGTACTACCAATCTAGTAGTTATCCTTTTCGGCGCAGGACTGTCTGCCGTCCTGTTCTACGCTTTGACTTCTGAGATGTTCTCCAAAAATTCCCCGACCGTACTGTATGGTCAAGCTTGTGATATTATCAAGGCATCTCCTAGGGTCCGTAGGTATGACATATACTACTGGAGGTAAGCTGAACATATCTATCGTTCACAGGTGACGCAATTCCTGCAAGGGCCGTTCACATTTCATAACAATCCACCAACTGGCGTGCGACCGCGGCACCGAAACCATCACACGTTTTCACAAATCTTTGTTGACCAAACTGGGCGTGAACATATGAGACTTCACTTTTTCGTTCAGGGACGAGAACCAGGCTCTGTAAACGAGGAAGATTCAAATGGATACATTGGCTCGGTCGTTGCTTGGACAGAGCGAACGGCATCTGACCTCTCCAAGATGACATTTGACGAGGTCGTGAACGGTGCGAAGTCTCGTGCCAGCGAGGCGGTTGAGGCATGCAGAGGTGTCTTTAGATTCTTGAGCGGAGAGCCTGTGCCTTCAAAAGAGGCACCTGGAGCTCCCATACCGGAGTCTAAGGAAGAGCCCGAACCTAGAGGATGGATGTCCAGCGTTACTGGGATGTTTTCTGGCCTCAAAGGATCAAGTTCGCCGCCAACAGAGACACAAGATTTGTCGCACGGACCACCTACGGCCACTGAAGGTGAAGTACATGCTGATCTAGTCATGGTGAATAAAGTGTATGATTGCTTTGCCTCAATCTAACTTTTCGTTCCCAGAATGATCAGGGCTATTTCGAGTTCAAACACCTACGCATTGATATCCCAGGTGTGTAAAAGTCTTTTCCCGCGAGAATGACTGACTGACTATTTCCGTCACCGTATAGATTCACAGTCTCCAAATCACAAACGCATATTTGTAATTGGTTCAGGGAATGACCGGTCAATACGATGGCACAAGTGATAAGAAAGTGCATCTTCTTGTGATATCATTCAACTGGAAGTTCACTTCGCGGCCTCCCAGAAATTACCGTGTTGGTGTATCATTTATTAGTTACAAATGCATGTCGATAAGGAGAATGTGTCCAAGACAGGGTGCTTAGTCTCCAAACAACTTCTGTACACGCTTCAGTACCGAGTCTTTGGATGGGTCTTAGGTATAAAGCCATCAGAGCGACGCTTTGTGTGATAAGGTAGGCCCTTACCGTAGGGATGATCTTTAGACGGGATCTCCAATAGAGCAGGGAACGCTTGTTGGTATTTATCTACGGTTGGCCTTATCTTCTCAGCAACCTTTTGAGGACATGATTGCGTGAATAGCAGGAACAGCGCAATAGACCCTTCTGGACGTACGTGCTGGTTGATCAGGAGAATCGCAATGTCCTTGCGCTCAGTGAACTCCTGAAAGGCGGCTTCAATAGTTGACACCTGTGTCTCTAGTGCCGCATGTAAGTCAGAAATGGATACGTATGTAAGTTACTCACTGGAGTCCACAATCAGAAAGTTCTTCTTCTGGTGCTCAACATGACCGATACCTGCGAGCAGCATGCCAGTCACAGAATCCTGGAAGTGGTGAGCTCTTGTGCGATAAGTCAAGTGTCATACACTCATACTTCATCCCCGATCACGGCCAGGAGATTCCTGTCTTTGAAAGATGTTGTCGCCATTATTGGCGTCGTCGCTGGTATTGAGCTTGAAGTGCATCCAGGCGCGTCCGCGTCTTGCTGAATATGGGCGCTTCTTCACCTTACATCATAATTTGCCCTCCTGAGTTCTGAAATCGCACTTGTCCCCTGTCGTCTTACCTTACCCTGCAACTTGGCTCAGTCTCTCTTGTTTCCATCTAAAGCTCTAGTTCCTTTGGCAAGCAAGCTTTTCAATCATGAATATCAAGGATATCTTCAATCGGCCGCCCGCTATTTCGGAGGACACTCTCCAATATACGCTTTACCCTCCAAGCAATCTATCGGACAAAGCCTTCGTCACAACTCTGGCCGCGGTCATGCGATCCTATGTTGAATCACTACTTCCAGATTTCCTATGGCACCGCGACACATTCCAGTTGAAAGTGACTCCCAACCAAGATGAAGAAGGCTTTGTTTTGGAAGGCAGAATGAGAGTGGGAGACTGTGTAGACGATGAATGGTGTGCCGTATGGCTGTTGTGGCAAATCAGTTCAAAATGGGATGTAGTGATTAGGTGAGTTTGAAATCACGTTGGAAAGACATTCCTCTTTCTAACGTCCGTCCTAGCGTGTCAGACTCAGACGGAGAGTTCCTGCTTATTGAAGCAGCTGAACACCTTCCTTCCTGGGTGACTCCCTCAAATGCTGAGAACCGAGTGCGTCGGATACATCTTTCAGTGAGTGAACCGATATACTAATAACTACATAGGTCTGGATATATGAATCTCACCTTCATCTTGTCCCACTTTCACACGTTTCTGCACTTGCCAGTAAACCCCGCCGTCGAAAATATGCCGGCGCGAAGGACAGTGAAGGCAAAGACGATTTGGCCGAGTTAGATAATGAAGACTACATCAATGTTCAAGATGCACCGAAAGTTGTTCGCGATATATCGGTGGAGACTCGCGCACCTCAAGCCGTCGAGGACGCAGTATGGAAACGGATCCACGGGTACGCATCCATGTATATCACGGCGGTGGACATAGTAATAAATGCAACTTGAAGGTATCCGGATGCCTCTCGTCAACACTTACATCACACGAAAGCGTACCTGCCTGTCGATGTGGCTAAAGCACTTGCCAAAAGTCCTGCTCTCATTCAAAAGGCCGTCGAGGCCTTCTACACTCGCGATGCTATTCAGCTTCGAGTAGGTTTATATCTGACTATGTGAAGTTGCATTTGACTGATTTCTATTAGGCAGCTCACAGAATGGCGAGGTTCCTGCCTGAGCCATCTGTTCTTACCACGGTAAAAATGACCCGCACGGCGTATGCTCAGCTCATGGGTCAGAAGTTCTATCCCCCTAAAGTCTTTGGTCGATGGCAAGAAAGGGAGGGAACTCCTGAGTGGAGATGGCGAGATATTGGTATGAAGATTGTGCGTGGTTTATGCCTTGGATGTGTATGCTGAACTTCAAGCTCACCCTTTTCTAGGCCTGTGGGTTCGAGATGCTTTATCAAGAAAGCAAGAATCGTGCGATACCCACAAACGAGTCTTCTGTCGACGCTGCGAAGTCATCAGTAAGTGCCATTCGTTTCCGTGGTCCTTCGTCCTCACTCAGAGATATAATACCAGGCTGAGGCTCGCAAAGAAGCCCTGCGCCGGAACCCTGATTACGTGAAATACATTGAGAATCTTAAGTCCACAGGCTATTTCAAGAATGAACTGGAGGGGTCGGCGTCCTTCAACCAACTCGAAGACAAAGCGGCGTCCGCATTTGTCGAGGCTCGGAGCGATGAGTAGGTCGCTTTCCATCATAAGGGTCATGACAGATGGCTCATTTTACTGCACCAGTGACTCAGTGAGACCTTCGTTTGCGGCTGAAGTTAACGCCGCTCTTGCACGAACGGACAATCAATACGTTTCTATCCGTGGCGAAGACCCGGACGACTGGCTCAATCTTGACGTCAATGATTTCGACGCCATGCTAGAAGAGACGACTGGACAGGTCTCCCGAGCTGATATCAAACCCGAATCGAACCCTATGGAGGTTGACAACAAAGATGAGAATGAAGAAGACCGAGTTGCGAAGAAACAAGCAGAGAAACTGCAGAAGATGGCAAAAAAGGTTGAAGAGTTCCTTGAGGGCGAAGGAGATATAGAAGGAGCACGATTTCAGGAGTAAGATTTTGTGCCATTGCTCCATATTCACGCTCATCTCTGTCGTAGTGAGGAATTCTCCGATGAGGAGTTTGGCGACAACAACTCCGATGATGAGGACAAGGACGTTGAGATGACAAATGTCAACGAGGAACTTGGTAATAGGCAAACTCAACAATCAGAAGCTGAACGTACGGCTTGGCAAGAGGCCATGGACAAGCTCGTTCCTGGTATCGAACCATCGGAGTACGGCAAAATGCCCCCTTCGTTCCATAGCCACTCTCAGCGTGTAACCCGGACAACAATTGAGACAGAAGTGATCGAAGAGATTTCGACGCAAGGAGTCAGCACAACTGCAAAACCGGAAGTTAAGAGGACCATCCGTCCACCCATCCTTCCCCGAGATAAGTATGAAGGCGTGGATTCGGATGATGAAAGCGATGAAGAGGACGAAGTCGATTCTGAGGAGGAAGAAGAAAAGCCCCAGGTGGTGGGTGAGGTTGAGATTGATATGGAGGAAGAAGGAGAAGAATTCTTGGAGTTTGCTAGACAAGCCCTGGGTGTTTCTGATGCTCAGTGGAATGATATCGTGAAAGACCGCAAAAGTCGAGGAGGTTTGTCTTTCTTCGACGCATTGTTATGAGAGTCTTCTGACAAGGCATCTTGACAGTTTTCGTTCCGTCCACAGTGGTTACTGAGAACAAAGAGTCCGTGAACCAGTTGTCAGGGTCTGCATCAGCTGCCCAGGACAACACCTTGCAACAACTTCGTCAACCCGCCCCCGGCCCTCGTCCAAATGCCAACCCCGATCTGGACTCATTTGAAGCTGTAATGCAAGCCATGGATGCGGAGCTTGCTCGAGCAAAATCGGAGAATCGAGGCGCCGTACCCAGGCCGGTAGACAAGGGTAAGGGCAAAGCAAAAGCGACTGATGTCCCAGGTGGTGCAGATATCGAAGCAGCAATGGACGCCGAGCTGAAGGCTGCTCTGGAAAGAGGGGACGAAGAGGAAGAGGATAGATGCGAGGACATCGACGAGAAACTTGACTACAACTTGATCAAGAATTTCCTTGAAAGTTTCAAGAGCCAGGGCGGACTTTCTGGACCGGTCGGAAACTTGGTGGGCAGGCTGCAGCCAGGCTGGAAGCTCCCACGAGACGAGTCTTAGCCCTAACATAATATGGAGGGATGTATTATAACTCTACTTTGAATCTTTGGCACTGCCCTGCTAATACGACTTTGTACATGGACATCTGAGTGGTTTCGAGACCTTCCAAGGTCAAGCTTTAGCGCTTGGAGACGTCTAAGATGTTGTGGCCAAATCGGGCGATCAACCTTCCGTATATGGAAGGTCTTCTATTGAGTTTGTGTTGATGTACGCTGCGATGCTCGAGAAGACCAGGCGGGATGCGAATGTCGCTGATGGAGAATATATAAGAGACTTGGTCTGACGACACCGTCCCCACGCATCTTTCTCCCTCCGTTCATCTTCTACGCTAGTCTCTCTCTAATCTTTTTTACAGGTCGATTATTTCTATACCCTCAACATGCGAAGCCCCGTCCTCGCCTTTTCTATCATTGCTGCTACTGTTAGCCCTTCGCTTATCTCCGCTGCTCCCACCGGTAATGCTGGCCTCAATACAATTGAAGGCTCTGTAGGTCATGTCGTCCGTTCTGGAATCCCCTCGGCAGCTCCCAACCTCCCGGCGGACCCTCTCGGTCTCGTTGGCGTCATTCCTTCAACGGATTCCAGTACCAACGACAAATCGCACCACCAGAAGAAGCAGCCTCCCCAGAACAGCTCCGGTCCCTCGTCTGTCGCGAAGCGTGCTACGAACTCTGGTACCGCTGGAGGTAACGCGTACACTGGCGGAACTGCGGACGCTTCTGGCGGAAACGTCGGCAACTTCGCTTCGGATGACACCGCGCCCCTAACCAGCGATGCCTCTAGTGAGTTTCTACGATCTGGGTTTTCACGGCTTGCAATTGATGTCATGTCTCGCAGACACTGGCGGCGATGGCTCCTTCAGCGAGTCTGGCTTTGCGACTGGCGGTGACGGCGACGGTTTCGGCCCAGGTGGTAATGCATATACGGGTAATACGGGTCCTTCTCGCGGAGGCAGCATCGTGAACGAGGGCGCAGGAGGGGTAACCAATACTGGCTCCAGTGAGTATTGATATGAGTCACTCTTTCATTTCTCTGACAAACTCCCTTCCCATCGTAGATACTGTCGGTGTCGGTGGGTTTTCTGGCAGTGGCGACGCTCAGGGTGGAAACGCTGATCGCAAGCGTGCCTTTGATGCTGCAACTGCTGGTGGTAATGCCTACTCTGGTAACAGTGCCTCCACATCGAGTGGTTCGGTTGTCAACGAAGGAGATGATGGCAGCGCGGTCAGTAATACCGCTGCTTCAAGTAAGTGTTATTCTATATGTCGTCGTACTCGACGGATTGATATACGGTGTCACAGACATCGGTCCCGGTGTCGTTTCTGTTGGTCCCGGTGCTCCAACGTCTGAGTCTTTCACTGGTGCGGCTGACGGTGGTAATGGCGGTGACTTTGGACCGGGTGGTAACGCACACACTGGAAACGCCGGACCTTCCAATGGAGGTTTCATCTACAACTCGGGTGGAGATATCACCAATGGAGCGTCCAGTATGTTTCTCTTAGTTCGACCGCATTGGTCCTACGCTGAAATTCCTTGCTTTCAGACACAGCTCCCAACGGCGGTGATTCTGACAGCGGTCCTGCTCGTGGCGGCGATGTCAACAGACGTGCCGACGATGACCAGACTGCGGGAGGAAACGCTTACACAGGAAGTTCTGGGAATGTGAACGGAGGTGACGTCGTAAATGAAGCGGACGATAATGCTACCATCACCAACACAGGCGGCAGTGAGTTGTTCTCTTGTGGGCGACGTTGTCGTAGTGCTAACAAGATCTTTATAGATACTGCTGGTACCGCAGGTCAGAGTTTCACTGGTCAGGCCGATGGTGGTGATGGTGAAGGTCGTGGTCCCGGAGGAAACGCTTACACCGGATACACCGGGAGTTCGCGTGGTGGAAACGTCGTGAACAGCGCTGGAACGATCACAAACACTGCCGCCGCGAGTGAGTATCATGTTCTCTTGAAAGTAGTATATACTGAGGATTTGTTACAGATACCGGTGGCAACGGCAATCAAAACGTCTCAGGGGATGCCAATGGTGGAGATGCAGGCCCAGTCCCTCCTTAAGAGTTGCGTCTTCGTGTGCTGTTTTATGATTCAATTTGTGGCTCTGGTAGTTAATGTGCGGAGGACAAGCTCTATACCCACACTCTCTAATACAAGCTGTTGGCACATCTACTTATCTCATGAACGGTGGCATGCCAAAACGCGGTCACGTGTGCATGTGATGAATGCGATGAATATATTGGTCCCAAAATGGGAACCACAGTTGAACTTGAGTAGGCGAGCAGTGGTCGAAACAGGCCTACGGAACGCTCTACAAAGGAAGAGGATATTCTAAGACGAAGAGGCATCCGCCCTGCATCGTGGCATCACCAGGATCTCTCCACGGTGGTCGTGGCTACCTCGGACGCATCTGTTGGAGTACAGAACCTTCGACGACTTTGAGATTGAAATGAGGTACACTATCACGTACCTTTTTCTGTAATTATTATCCCCCCGTATGTCTGAATTTGACAAATTATCAGATGTTGTTATTTCGTTTCCGTTTATGTCTACCGCACTCTTCCCTGACGTCTCAATGACTCCGACCCATTTCATAAACAATAAGCACACGCACTCTCTTTTAGGTCCCATGTGCGAGAGGAAAGTGTGACTGGCTTCCTCGTTGTCCCCTTGCTTTTTTTTTCACGCTCAAATCCTTGCTGCAGACAACTTAGGATCATGCTAAGGCCAATGAACATGGAGGCCCGGCGAGCTCGTGCTGATGAGAGTGCAGTTTTCAACGCAGAAGAGCACTTGTCTGCACAGCTGTGACGAGTACGTCGACGACCATCCCCCATTTCCTCACCTCTATCCAAGTTATTGAGTGTACATTACAAAATAGCCATTACCAAAACAGTCTCGTATGTGATATCCAAATTACCCGCGGTCTAGCCGAGAACTAAGCATCATGCCCTCCAGCCCATTCCTCATCAGGTGGATTCCTCTGCACTTCCACCGTACCCTTCCTATCCATTGTTGCACCGGTATCACTCGCTCCCACTCCGGCTGCTTGAAGTTCCCTGACCAGCAATTCACTCACTCCGAGATCATCTTTTGGTATCCACACCCATGGTTGTTCTGTGTACGTTGAAGGATGATTGAAGCCATTCTCGTCGAAATCCTCGTCCTCGTCGTCGCCATCTTGTGAGGATCTGGCAGGTGGAGACGGAGGGGCGAATGTCGGTAACTTCGATTTCGATTTCGCTGAGTTCATGGATTCTCCTGATGTCGATGGATGGGGAGATGCAGGCTCTGAGCTACTATGTGGATCATCAACTGCATGCGCTGAAGCTAAGGCTTGTCGGGAGGACTGCGAGGCTACTGGGATCACGGTTACAGTTTCTTCATCAGAGTCGCTCGCGTCTCCCCCCTTGTCCTTCTTTAAAACTGACATTGCAATATCGTTTTGGACTTTCTTGCTCAACTTATGGACGGGCACATTAATGCGTCGACGGACAACGGATCGGATACCTAGGAAAAGACGTGTTAAATGCCGTTTGGGAAGGAAAACAAGGGTATGTACCTTCTCGACTGAAGAGATCCGGATCGTCATCATTCGTTTCAGATTCTCTAGGGTGCTCGCGCCTGTGCTTGTCCTTCCCCCACCTTTCTTGCATTTTTTTTGTCGCCAATGACATAGGCAGGAACTTGGTTATCGCTATGTTAACGTCAGCCTGGTACGTTAGACTCAGCCTGAAGAACACAAAACTGACGATCGAAACTACGTTGAAAGAGGATCTGGACTGATGCTGTAAGACCCATGAGGAGAATCATTAGAACACCCAGGCCAATGAATGAGGCCCCATCGGAAACCTTCAGGAAGAAAAGAACCGCGAGGCAAAAGTGTTCGACATACAGCCCAACAACTGTCCATACGGAAGACGTCAGTCATGAAACACAATCATGAGAGATTCTGACCGTACAAAGGAAATTGATCGCTAGAGGGAACTGGATTGGATGAGACGAGGTCAAACGCATGGTAGTAAGTGCACAACAAGGAGCGTACATATTGTCCGCCGGTCTCTGACTCATCCGGCTGGTCAAAAACCCATGTCAACACTATGATATATTGTTGAGCACACTCGACATATGATGCAAACCAAAATACGCTTACAGAACTTCCATGCGAAGAAGAACAAAAGAAAAGCTACCATGGCTAGACCATTGATGATGGGAGACAAAACGCTGTATGTCAAAGCAATTGTGGCCAAGAGTGAAATGCGTGGAAGGACAAGCCCGAAGTCAGCCTGGGGTGTACGGTCAATGAGGAAATACGAAACGACCAAAACGTAGAGAAAGGCCTTCACCATTGGCATGAGGAATGTGACAGCGTATGCCTGACGAGGTGTCCGACCAAGGAACCATCTTTTGATGAAGTGCATGAACAACACTCCGACCTGTAACAGAGCGCTGCCTGCTCCCGTGAGACCCTGAGTGACTACATAAGTTCGCTCAGATATGGAACGGAACAAATAGAATGGAAAGGCTTGACTTACGTGTCCATGTCAAGAAGAATATTGAAGCATTCGGTAGTTGAGATGCAAGCTCCGTGACTGCTTTCGTAGGATTCTCTACAATCTAAAACGTCAACTTTATGATAAGCCACTAGATGTATGATAAGCCCATGTTGCAAAAGAAGATACGCACAGCGGCTGCCGCAGAAGTCACCCCCGAACTCAGAGTAACAACCAGGAAACCATGTCTATGGAAACAAGAGTTAGTTCATTCCACATTGGCATGGATATGAAGTATCCACCTACATCACAAGGAAGAGGTAGTAGCGTTTGTAAACGCTAAGAGAAATTAAACTCCAACGGGGAATATTTTCGTACCAGGCAAGAGCTGAGAAGAAACATTACTGGTTGTTATCCGCACTGTTTATTCATGCATACCTTTCAATAACTGGGGGAGAACGGCGAAAAGAATTGCAAGGAAGAGGGGAGGAAGCACACCCTGGATGATACCGGGAATCGGTGTAGGAGCGTTTTGAATCCAGCACAACCACCTATGCGTAAAAACAAAAATCTTGGTGAAGGATGGACTGTCAACCAGGAAGAGCCACCTACGATACTTTCTCGCATAGAGCGGACACATTGCTTAGCGTTCCTACGAAGGCGACGGGAACGAACCATAGGACAATGAGGGCAATACTACCTAACCACGAGGTCACGTAACGGAAACGTGTTTCGTACGCGCCATCCTGTTGTACAGTGAGGGGAGTTAATACATCCAGTCCTGAGTTCATACCGTCAGTTACTTACATCGATATTGTCCCAAATGATATCCTTCGGCGCAACCTCGATCCATTTATTGGCCATCATTAGAGGCTGTTGGATTCGTAATCAACTTTCTATTCGGCAAGATTTCCTTAGCGGTGATTCACACCTTATGATAGCTCACACATTGAGCGAGTACATGTGCACCAAGCTGAAGGTTACACTGAATGAATGCACTGCCTAACGGTTTTGTCTCGCGTAGAGCAGCACGACGCTCGTCGATTTCCCGGTTTAGGCGGGCGATTTCCTCCTGCGTACGTACGATATAGAGTCTATCAAACATATGCACTTACAGGAAAAAGAAATCGTACCTTACACCATTCAATGGTATCAGCCTTCTTACCCCACAGGCCAAGGAATCCGAGTCGATGATGTGGCCGTTTATTCTTGGGGACATATTTTTCAATGAGGGATTCAGGGTTGCTGGGCTCGGCCTGGATAGTTTGAGAAGATACACTGGCAGTGTGGTCCGTTACCACCCCTGCCTCGAGCTCGACAGTCCTGGTACGAGGGCGCAACGGTCTCGTCGTATCTGTTGAGTACGGACGCACATTCGACTCTGAAGATATCTATGATCAGTGTCAGAACCAAGTTGCTAGCAAAACCATTAACAGACCATCGCTTGCTACTCGGGCCTCCTTCTCCACCAGTTCTATCCCTTTACCCTCAGATTTGGCTTTAGCTTTCGCGGCTTTCTTCTCCAGCTTGTCTTGTTTGGTCTTCGCTAGGATAACTTGACGGACTAACTTTGACGTCGCAAACTCGAGTTTCTCGCATGCCTCCAATCGGGCGTTGTACTCTTTGTTTAGTTCCTAGGAGTTCGAAGCTCAGTTTGATGTGAGGCCTAAGAATAGTGCGAAAACGTGCAGTGGTGTCTCGGTATACCCAAATATTCTGGATGCCTCCGGGGACGAAACTGGCCCATAGATGTAACTCTTTCTCGTCGCACATCTCTTCAGGAATATTTGTGATCAAGACAGTGCGCGCCTGGGCTAGTTGAGAATGAGACCTAGAGGTCAGAAAATTCTGGCGCATCTGGGTGTAATGCACCAGTTCCTTCCGAATCATGAAGAGCGTCAGGACTAGAACATACGACTTAGCTGCTCCGTCCTATGAAGAAAGAGTCTGCATAACACACAAGTAGATAGATAGGCAACAAGAATATGAGCTGCGTAGCGGCCGCGTGCATGCGACGGAATGCTATGGTGGTAATGTTGATCGTTGGCAAAGACGTTGTGCGATGCAACCTCACTCACTTTCCCCAACTAAGCTGCGCTAGTCCGTCACTGAAATTAGAATCCTGTATATGCGCGGCGTCGACAGGCAGTAGAATGATCCAGGTCATAAGCGTGATACATGCGAAGAGAATTATGAGGAGTCGAAGGAAGCGGAGGAACATGTACGCGTCCATGCCGTTCTTGTGAAGCTGTCATGCTACATTAGATCAACGTTCACGATAGTAATACAATGCACATACCACATCATTAGTGGGTACAGCGATTACAGCAAGTAGCCATTTCCACGGGCCCTTCGGTAGGTCGATGGCTCGTTTACTACACGTGAAAGATGAACAACCATGATTCATAGAGATCATCTACTGGAGACATACTCAGGCGGCGGCAAATATGAACGAGGCTCGTAGATCCTGCTGAAGCGATGTTTGAGAAAAACGAAAGCGACAATCTCCACGGCAAGAACGCCTGTATTCGTGATAAGTGCAGTCAAGAAAGTCTGTGAGTCAAGCCCTTGAGCTTTGTCGGACATTACTTCGGACATCGTCCTGGCGAGCGTGAACCAAGCCTACGGCGGCGAGGTTGGCGAGAAACAATGGCGGCGCAATGAGGTAAATGGTACATGGCGACCAAACGTGTCCATGCTGGAAATTATGTGTGCCTTGGCACCTCGCATGGCAGGTGGAGGCTATATTTTCAACCTCTTGATCTCGCTAACATTAATGCGATCGTCATTGTGCTTCCCTCAATTAGGCAGTCACACTGATAACACACTCTTCGAGGTGTTTGAAGGGAAATGGTGGTTGGGATGATGACGATGCGTTATGTACATTGAGGGTTAGACAAAAACACTTCTAGACGTGAATGGACGACAGCGACAGTGAGCGACGACAAATATAGAACAACATAACAAAATCGTACGTAAACAAACATGACAGACATGACGGAGCAAGAAAAGAGGTAACACTACAAGACTGATATACACACCTTCTGGATACAGTGTTAATGCTTCAAGAGGTCTACCGGAGAAACACTTGACGAGCACATTATACAACACAACAATGAACTTTCTCAGTTCAAAGTGATCTCGACTTTGCCGCCTGATGCGGGAGCGCCGAATTCGATCAGGAAGGTCGCCATCTCAGTTTCCGAGTCGATTTTGGATAGTACTTTGGACGGAAGCTGAGAGATAACTTGGTCATCAAGTTTCACAGAGATATTCGGGATGGATGGCTTGGTCTCTGAAAGAGGTGAGCGAACAAGCAGGGCGACAGCCTGTCCAATCACATCCGCTGAAAAGTATGCCGGACGAGAGGCTGATGCAGTAGTCTTTGTGGCTTTTGGGCCCTCGTAGCTGACGACTGGTGGCTTTTCCGTCTTTTCATCATTTTCTCGGTCCACGGCGGTGATATCCGACCGGGTCTCATCGCTCTCCTGCGGGACCTCCTCGACGGGCGAACTGGCGACATTCTCTAGTCCTTCGATGACACCTTGCGATGATGAATGAGGAAGGTCCTCCTGAGCCTCCTCAACTACGGCCCTCTCCTCTACGTCGTCAATTCCTGTATCCTCGCTGACGTCCTCATGGAAGTGAGCAGCCGGCTCGACGGGCTTCTCAGGCGCCTTCAACCCGATCCGAGCCAAGACGAGCCAAAAAATTCCGAAGAATCTCGTCCAAAGAGCTCGCATAATATGCTCTACGCTCATCCCCACAATGGAACGAAGACGGACGGAATTGGCGCCAGGTCGTGAAAGCCCGACGGACGTGACTATATGGCCAGAAGCGATGTTTGGTGACGAAGGTACAGTGGACGCAGGAGTTGCTCGGTTGGAGACCTGCGGACCTAAGATATCAAGCGTACTTGTAGCTGCACTAGAACGTGTGGCAGTAGCATTTTCATTAGGAGTACCATTCAATTTATTTTCTTCCTGTGCAGGTGCAGTTCCTTGCGTTGCCTCTCCGGAGTCACGGTCCTCATGAAGGGATACAGACTCGACGGGCGGCGAGGGAGGAGGTGTTGGCAGAATGGAAGCTGCACCGAAGGCCGGGACAAGCTCTATCTTGGAATGATGAGAGATCAAACCAAGCTGCACAGGCGAAGTCTCCTCATTCGCAGGCGAAATAGAGAAGAGGGGTGTAAGAAGGACTTGACCACCAGAAGAGGCAACTTGGATGGTAATGACTTCATCGACCAGTGAAGGAGAGATCGGTAGGTAGTTCGTGGTTCCTTTATGGAAGAGCACGAAATCCGAAGATGAAGGGAACAGAAGCGAGAGGTCCTTGGCAGGGATGCGAGCAGAACAAACTGCTGTACCCAAAGGCACCTCTTTGATTGGAATAATAGACAGTGTAAGGGGGTACCCATCGTGCGCTGAAGCGAGCAGGGCAGTGCCGGACTCGGTGTCATACTGAAGTAGTCGGGTGGTGTCACCGAGTGACCACCTCGATTCTCCAAATGTGCCCGCTTCGGATGTCGAAGCTGGGAAAGCATCAGGATGAAAGATAACAGCCCCAGAGGCATTGATGCTGAGGGCAGAGGTTGGGGCGTCAACTGTCAGTATGACGGGCTCCAGAGGAACGATTGAATGGGAGTTTGGAAGTGAGCGGGGAAGGAGGATGACAGTCCGAGACGCAGGAGCGGTAAATGTAGTCGCATAGCTCACACTATGACAAAGAATAAGTAAAGCGTCAGTAAGAATGACGACGATCGCAAACTCACCCGTTCTGCCCAATCGCCCAGCGCTCCCACACCAAACCCCGGCTCAAACTACCAACGTCCCTTTCTGTTTCACCCTTTAGGACAACAGAGTTCCCAACGACGGTGATATCCGACACGAACTGAGCTCGCACATCCCTCTTCTCAAACCTGAGAATCCCATTCTGGCCAAAAGCACCCAACCATTGCATGTCGCCGGAAGGATGAACCAAGCGATACGTGAATGAGTACATTGTCCCATCGTCATGGACAGAGGCAATAGGGATCTGGACTTTTGAATACACTGCTAGCTCCTGTGCTGCATCAGCGGCAGAGGGCTTGGGGGGAACACACGAGAACATTAATCCTGCGCTGGACTGGGCGTTCCCCCGGTATTCATCAGGACTGCGAAACGCCAAAGCACACCATCCCTCGTCAGAACCCGCTACAGGCAGATCAGTCCACATCTCGACCCTGATCCCATTCTCTATCGCATGGTTGTATGATGCGGGAGAATCGAACGTTGCCTTGAACTTGAGGTCATAGTGCGTCGCTCCCTCAGCGAGAGGGGGCAACGGCACCGTCGTTGTCTGGCATAACGCGGGCGCGAACGTGAGATGCATCGTGACTAGTGACTGCGAAGGGGGGGGGGAGGGGGGGGGGGGGTTGAACGAGGGGGCTCGCGATGGATTGGATTAGTTGGGGTAGAGCGGACTACCTGAGTCTTGCCTTGGGAGCAAGTGAGGAAAAGGTTTATATATGCGTATCTAGTGATAAGCTTTGTGGACAAGCTTAGCAACTGAGTAGAGCAGACGCCTCGAGGTTGTGGCTAGGTCGTACGACAACGTTCTAACCAGAAGCTCGGAGTGGAGACAGACCGGCAAAGACGCACGCTAGTTTGTCTAACCTGTGAAGCACTGACACTGAGGAGGGACCTTCAGAACGAGCAGTATCTATGCATATATGCGCTTTTAAGCAAGAGATGCTGGTTGCGATACAAGAATGAATGCAAGGGGCGAATAAGAACATATGCTTAGTCCGAGCAGGGCGCCAGTCGCATGAGACATCAGCATGACGTTAGTCGATTTTAGCGTTATCGAGGAAACCCAGAGCCAGACTGGGCGCCGAATGAACACACAGAGCACACCACAAGAGAACGAAGCTAGTATTCCAACAACAGCGTGTGCAAGAGGAAATTCTATGTTCATACAGCCTCATCCTCGTGTTCGCAGATAATCATACAACCGAACGTACATCTACAGCATGGTTTTCACGTTGATCAAACAAGCACGAAGGCGATCAGCCTCTTCAGTCGTTGTACTCCATACCCTCCTGGTCGTCTTCACGAGGCCGTTTTCTGCGAGTACTTCCACCGTGGTCGCCGCCGAACGCGCTGGACATAGTACGCGACACGAGATCGTCAAGAATCTCGGGCGGGAGATCATACTCAGAACTTCGCACCGCAACTGCATAAGCAGCTAGATAACAAGGGACTTTTAATGATAGATGTCTGAAGACACGCAAGTACACACCATCTTCGATCTTTTCCAACGACTGCGAAGTCACGTTTTGCTTCTTTCTCAAATCTCTGATGTATGGCGTGAAGCTCTCGAAGTCTATGAGAAAATGGTAACTCGTTATCTTGGCTCAGCAAACCACCTTGTGATTCGCATACCTGCTTTGCAATTCCTCACAAATGCGCAAACTTCGTTAGCCTTCGCGCGACCGCCGCGACGAGGAATTGATGAAATGGCGTATCTCATCAGTTCCCCAGTCAGGTCCGAAAGACCGAGCAAATAATCTTCTACGGAAAGAGGGAAGTACTGAGTGTGTGTCAATTCATGTTGCACTTCATGCCATTCCATTTACTGACATTGTTACCTTCCGCATCCGATAAAGTCTTCTGGACTTCATGATATGAAATGAGCCGGCCAGTTTCAAGGTAGTATGTGAAACTCAATGCTTCGATATACTCCTGTAATCCTGGAGACACGGCTCTTTGGTATCGCCAAAAGCGCTCGCCTTGCAGTTCATGGCTGAAACCAGCAAAAAGATTTTGGATCTCCTTTAGCTTGTCACGACTTTTGGATACGGCACGGGCCGCTCGTGCATGGTCATCTTGGTCCTCAGGAGAAGCGTCATCGGTCATGATGCGATGTAAGAGAAAAATGACTTTCTTGGAGAGATTGGTGACATCTCTGCTAGACTACCGGTGCGATTGCGGGGTGTGAGAATTGAGAGGGGTGCCAGGGTACGATGCGGACCTTGATGAGGCGTTCTCTCCTGTCGTTGTGGTCATCGAGTTCATTCCTGAAGCCGTCGAAGACTTGGATGATAGCACTTCGTGTGTTCAATGTTGTCTGCTTAGACATTTGCGAGTGTGAGATCGTCGGCTGGGCTGAGATTCGCACGATGACGAGTAAAATGTATGGTTGTCAAGGTGTACGATGAGACTTGAATCCTGCTTGTATTTTCCTGCGGACTTAAAGTCAAGCGTCGAGGAGAGGGGGGTGGTGCCGAGGGGCGGCAAGGGTTAGTGATTATTTTAGACTTAAGTTTACTGGTGTATATAGGTCGGTATATAGTGCTAGAAACCGACCGCGCGGAATCTTGTTCTGTTTTATCCGTGGATGAAGCGTTTGCGCTGTACATTCATCTCCCTTTTAGCATAACTATAACGACACCGTTCTCCACATATCAGCACTCCTGGCTTATACCTTCTCTTCTACTTGACATTGCCACATCTCGTCATGGAATTTGCACCCAAGTCTGGATGTCCGATGTGCAGTATAGTAGCAACGGCAGTACATGCTCCTTCGCACTCACCACGCACGCCCGCATTTCCCGTTGGATCGACACAACCCGAAGTCCTTTGGCGAGATGATAATTTCACCATATATCGCGAGAGAGCAAACCCTGTATCAAGTGCAGGCCATCTCGTCGTCGTGTTCAAGTGCGTACCGTTCCATTCACGAACAAGACGTATCATTGGTGCAACTCTGACTGACGGCTAATTGCAGCCTACATGTGCCCTCGCTGTATATGCTCGTACGTGGATAGCACATTGATGTTGCTGTTGTATAACTTATTCGCTTCATTCTCCAACAGTCCTCTAGCGATTTGCCATTGCTTGTCACTCTCCGGGACTTGTCGCGTCGCCTCCTCTCCTCTCTCCTACCCTCCTCCAGCCCGCAACCTTCACCCTCATTGCAGCCACGAATGGCCGCCACTCCCACTTCTGCCGCCCCTCACCAACTTTTGCCGAATCAGACGCCTTCCTCCGTTAACCTCGAACTGTTTCGAATCGGCTTCATAACGCCGCCTTTCAAAGACAACAAGATCCCCGTCACAGATCACCTACATGCACATGCATATATTCTTCCCGCTGACCTCATGGGTTGGTGGCGGAGGGTGGCTTATAGCTCCTTGGCGTGGTATGATATAGACGACCTCATTGCTGAGATTCGGTGTGTAATTTCTCCGGTTGCCCGCTCGTTTAAGATTAAAGATTTGATTGTTGCTAACACACATTGTATATCTCTCAGGGAGGAAACGACAAACAACCGAGTGCGTTCAGGGCCGTCGACTCACAATCATCCCCGACCTATCGACCATGTACCCAGCGCAGGCGCACGGCGTGGATTACCCAACGGTGTGGAAACGACCGATTCAGGATTGGCGATAGAAGACATTGAAGACCCCGAGTCTCAGCCGTACCGCCAATCTCAGCGCCGAAGCACTCATCTCTCATCGTCACGTCCGCAGTCGCCGTTATCGCCGACAGGTCGCAGAGGAACTACATCCCCACATTTGACTGTGGACGTTGCACGGGGTAATGGAAGTTCTGTATCCTACGTTGGCGCTGGTGGTGGATTAGTATTGAGTCCGAAGACTGTCAGTGATGATGGCTTGAGGACACCGACGCGGACTGGAAGCACATTCTCGCTCAATTCCCCTATACCCGAACTACGTGTATGACCGACGTCATATTACGTTCTACAGCCGTTGTATGCCTTTCGCTTTGAAGTTTGGTTATTCAGCTTTCTTGCCAAGATACCTCATCATTGTTCCCCTTCTTTTCAATTCTACTCGACGGCTTATCGCAATGCTCGTTACAGTACCCATCATCATCCGATAGTTTTATCTTTATTGCAGCATTCGGCGACGTATGATAGGACGCTATTCTGGACCTCTGACAATTTCTCGTGGGACATTCGTCAGTGCAATGTAGAATTAATTCTGGTTTCCATGTGCAAGGTCACTCAGGGCCGTTCAACTTTCAACTAGTGCTGGGCCGCCCACAATGAACTATTGAGTACGATGCCGTCGGCCAGTTTGCAGGTAGATCACACAAATACGAATGGTTGTCTGTCTGAAGGGCGTCAACAACTTTGGGAATCCGTGATTGAGAATTGACATCATCAAGCACCTATTTCCGCGCCGAGGCCTTCGGTCAAAGGCGCGAATTCTGAATGCGGTGTGTGCCTGCCGAGTTTCTAGAGAGGACGAGGTAGCGTACGACGTACGTAGTGACCACGCTTTGCTGCGCATCCGACGTAACGTACAAATTAGTTGTGTGCTGGGCCTGGCGATAGAGCCAGACCGTCTTTCACTAGCACTGTATTGGCGAACTCTGCTGAGGAATCCTTCAGACAATAACCTCTAATAATTCAAACATCCGAAAGCTATAAACAAGTAGAGATAATTCAAGTCAAGCACAAGCAAAGCACACAACAAGTTGCAATCAACTTGAGTCCATGACATTCAAGCGGAATCAACAGTCCTTGATGAATGCGGATCAGGCATCTATATATTGACTAGTCAGCAAAAATGGCAGCATGCGATGAGCACTTAGACATACAGTAAGAAGAGCCTGTCAGAAGGGTGGAAAGAGCGACAAGTTGGTCTTCTGTGAACTTTTTCGAATCTTCATGCCAGGTATCTTGGTGTGTCTTACGGAAGTTACTCGCACACTTCCGGACTGTGGAGGAAATAGGTATCTACAGCAGATTCTTAATGAGCATTCCAGGTAAAATACAATGGTTGCGCTTACAGGGTCATATGTATGCTCGACCAAGACACTTGTAATCAAGTCAGGCATCCATTTCTCGATTGTATATGGATAACTGTCAATCAAAGCGCATATTCCAAGAACGGCAGCATGACGCTGACGCAGCGCAGTGTTATATTCTTCGGAGCCCTTGGGCGGAAGTTTGCTACTCTTCGCGAGTCGCACGAACCTATCCTTAAGTGCAAGAACGCTACGGCGTGGTGAGACTCGAAGGATTCCGGAGAGAGTACTGAATAGAGAAGATGGTAAGAAAAGGGACTGTATATAGATCCAGGGTTTAGCTCACGTTGCTGCCATCTCGCGAACCTCGACCACTTCGTCGTCCAGACAACGGCAGATGACCTCCATCATCTCGACCACTTTGATATCACTGATTACGGGACCTTGTCTGAAGTAGAACACTGTTCACTGCGATGAGTACGCCTTATCCGCACAGTGCTAAACGTCAACATACCTTGAACAAGTGGGAGGATCTTCAGCCGAACACGCCACGACTAGAGCAATCATTGGAATTGAGATCAATTGAAATGTGACTTGCAAAGGCAGAAACATACTGGAGAAGTCTGGATTGCTTCAAACATGGCATCAAGTATTGGGTTAATGAGAGGTTTAGGAGGCATCACACCACACATTTGCGTTAGCAGGAGATTTGCTCGGTTTGCAAGATCGTCATTATCGTTGACTTCAGAAAGTCCATGATAAGCGGGCATTATAAAGAGCAACAAAGCGGAACTCACTCTCGGTGAAGCGGAACAATTCAGGCTACGAGTAGAATCTCAGCAGGTCTATTCACAGGGAATATATGCTCATAAGCTTACCATTAACGGAAGGAGGTAATCAAAGGTAGAGACCGCATTTGTGTCGTGGATGCTTTGGAATAACCATCGGCAAACGAGGACTCCAATTCTGTAAGGTACTTATTCATTAATTCCCAATTTAGCATGAAGCAAGCCGGGGACGACAACTCGCCTATCGTAGGTGGACTGGAATGCTCGAGCTCCTGGCAAACGCTCACCACGCCATACTTTGAATTTTTTGACCAATTCCATGACTCTGCCTTCATGGAAGAGTCCACGGATGCCCATGATGTCACTTTCCAGAGGTTCTGTCCTGCATTCCCGAGTAACGACTTCGGCAGTACATGATGAGGGGTTCGGGAACCACTGCGCAGAGTGAAAACGTGATGAAATCCAAAATAAACATAATGGATCTTACCATGACTTTGCCTGAGAATGTGAGCAGCTCGCTGATGTATGCAAGTACCTATGATGAATGCCATAAACATTACATCTACATGGCAGAAATAACTACTCACATCATCATGCTCGCTACCGATCTGGGACCAGTATATGCTCAATGCTTCGTCAGCCCATGCGAAGAACTTCCAGTCGATCTGTTCATAGAAAGATCTGAAGAACGAGAGGATCTTGACGATATCGAAGGTCGATTCGCCGTTGAAATCAACTGCGTGAAGTTCCACTAGGAGTTGGTCCAACAATGGTTGCACTCGTCTAGGATCACGATTACAGAATATGTACTGTTCATGACGATATCAGTGACGGAGTGGTACACCGATCTCATGAACACATACCTCCAGAAACGAACCCCAAATTGGCACTGTATCATTATTCTTCTGGTCTAGGATATTCTTCAAGTATGGGCGCAGCCACGCCCATAGCTTCAACTGACTGTTAGTAGGCCAATGTTTTGATCCTATGCAATACATGAGAACGACATCATCCCTCGTTAAAGAGAACCCTACCACCCAAAACACCCGCAAGAAATTCTGCAGCTCCTCGCTGCTTGTTCTTATCGTTCTTCTTAAGCAGATCTGTTATGATCGGTCGCAGGGCCTCGAACGGTTCATCACCCAGAATCTGGACTACAAGCACTATGAGCTTCTCCTGGTGCCAAACGAGCGAAATCACGACTCACAGATTGACTTGACGCAGGAAACATTATCCTGAACGACTGCTTCCGAATGATTTTCTGACGAATAATGTACACATAGTTTCTTCCAAAATTTGGACTTGGTGGTAACTTCACGGATTAGATCCACGACTTCCTTGCAATCCGAACTCCACGGAAGGAGCGGGTGAGAATCGGGCTCTGGTGCTAAGAAGGCGTCATAGGTATCTTGCCACGCCAGCCAGCCGCTAGTTATCTTGTCACGAAGTAACCTGGATATACGGCTTAAGTAGGCAGGCGAGGGAAAAGGCTCATGCTTCTTACGGTTCCTTCCGTGCCTTTTCCAGGTCAAGTGGTTTTCTATACTCCAGTAGGAATTTTCGAGTAAATTCATGGGATGGATCTAGCACGGGCACTTTTTTTCTAAGGGGATTATGATTTTGTTCCATTGCAAGATCCATAGCACTCCAGTTAAGGCTTCGTAACTTGATGAATCGAGAAATCTTCATGATAGCGCGCTGGGCATACTGACGCAGGGATGAGACTTGCCATGTATCAGCAAGAAAGAGAAGGCTCACATAGCGCTAAGTGAATGAGTAAGCTAGAGTTTGTTGTGAAGATATAAACATTACTTACAATACTCCCATTGGAATCGTACGTCTTCTCAAGAAGACATTGCACGTGCGATCGTGATAGGGGGACATCTCGACGGATCAATGTTCGCAAACACCGCACAGCGACTATAGAATACTTCCAATGCGTATTAGGGGACTGTGCAACTTTTAGGATAACATCTGTCTAGATCGACCATGAGAGTGAGACCGTATGATACATCTCAGCTGCTTACCGTCCGTTGTACACCATCGTTCCAAAGCTTGAGGCGACGAACTCGCTGGGCCCTGGCCTTGACGACTACGGACGGCTCCTCCACCACGTCGGACAAACATTTCTTGAGGTTATCTAACGCTCGATCCAAGGCTTGATTGGACACGTCATAAACGACATAACATGGCTCCACAAAACCACCCAGGCCTACAAGACAAGAATTAGCTCAGAAATTATTGTGGGCTGCATGGATCTTAACTGGTATCAACCAACGAGGCAACACAGTCCTGTATTGAGGGCTATAGGCATACGTTAGCGAATTGTCCCTAACACAGGGGAGCATACACGCCTTCTCATTGTGTTGGCATGCAAAGAGCTTGCTGAAGAAATCAGTTGCCAGTGTAGGATCTGACAAAGAGATCAGAGTCACGAAGTCGCTGACATGGATTGAGAGGCTTACCTCCCACGGCATACTTGACTACATATGGGAAGCATCCGTTAGTGTTAGGGCCACTACATCTAGATATGAAACATACCGAAGACACTGGCATTGAGGGTCCAGAGAGCGCCTTTCATGCGATCGTCGTCAACACCGGGCTCCAAAGCTTTGTAGAGGATGGGCAAGCTACGACGGCGCAAGCCATCGTAGTTCTGCAGTGCGTCAGTGTACTGCCCAGCCAACCGCAGTGAAATATTAGCCTACCCCGCATAAGCTCTGCAGAAGACTTTGGCTTGTTCTGAAGAGACATCAGTTGCATACAATTGATTAATACAACTATGTACGTACTCCCTGACTGGGGTAGTGTTAGTTTAGTGAAAGCGTGTGGGGGGTAGAGGAAGAGAGCGTACTCGTTGAATAATGCCAAAGGGACCACTCCGTGACATCGTCGATCAGCTGATCCTCGAGAGGGCCCCGTCTTCTCTCAACTGAGTTCCAATGAAGCCTTGCAGCATGATAAAGTCTGGAATTATGGCGTGAATATTCTCGCTAACAAGTAAATGTAGTCACAACTGACCGAGCTCGTCGTACCCATACAGCTCGCGGCCACTCCTTCTGTCCAGCGTATTGCCGTGTAATGTTCAATTCACTGTTGTACCTGTCCAGTTGCAGGTAGAAACTACGGGAAAGAGGTTATCGATCTTACACTCAAGAGCAATTACTTTTGTTTGCCTCACCTGTCTCTGCTGTCGCCGTACTCCAGCATGTATGTCCGGATTGAACGTATCTAAACAACATATCAGACAGTATAGAGTGATATACAACGGCAAATGCAGCCTTACCAGCATATGTACTGCGTCAACTGTATTCTCTTCGCCCTGTTGACGGAGTGAGATAGAAGCTGCGTGTAGGAAGGTTCCAAAGCGACGCCTCAAGGCAGTAATGTACTGATGTCGAGGATCTGCTGGGTCACTCAGGGCGAATGCCGCGTTAACCGGTTCGATAGTAGCGATCATTTCCATGGCCTCATCACTGGGGTGGTTAACGTGCTGGTCGACGTCCAACAACTGGACCACTTACAGGATATCGGAGGTCAAATTGGCCTCCTGTAGTTCTTCTGGAGTGATCGTTTCCTTAACTAATGTCGGGATCCCTGCAAAGGCATTACGAACAAAGCTCAATTTCCTATGAAAGAACATGACTATCAAAACAATCCGCCTGCCACTGGGAAGATGAATTTACCTGCAGAAATCGTTGCGCCAAATGGAGTCACGCGTATGTCCTGATGCATAATGTTACAGAATACATGTCGCACGATATGACCCAACTTGCTTACCAGGTTGAAGCAATTCTTCAAGGGAGTCCAGCGCAGGCTCTGCAACTTCACGGAATATTTGCAATGCAAAATCAATCTCTGCATCGTTGGGTACATGCCAAGAGATCTAGACGAAGATTAGTTTAGATGTATGTTGTTGCGGGAGAGCATGCCTCTTACTTGAACATCTTCGGCTTTATACAGTCGACCCCAATAGCGATGATGGTTGCATTGGAACTCTGCGTTACAAGTGTAAGTAGACGAATGAGGTTCTTAGAATTGCGAGGCGGCTAACCTTCGCTGTTCCATTCATCCGGATTCACGAACTTGTTTTCTAGCGGATACGTGTGAGTGAGAGTCAGCAAAGTGCTCGACAGCAATTTTCCGCTCGAAGAGTATCCTCGTTTGGCAAAGGTCTTCTTCAGGAGAGTTCTGAATAATGACAGTAGCACTTGGCTGTACTTGAGTGTCTGTTGCTACAGGTCAATGTATAGTAGATAAGTCGAATGGTCCGAAAGCATACCGCGCGGCCATCGCTGCACGTTCGAGTAAGCTTAAGCGCGACCTGAATTCGGAAACAAATGTTCACTTACTTGTACATTGCACCTCGCAAAATCGCCAGATCTATAGACAATTGTCAATCTCTTGATGCCGATTCTAAAGAGGACGACTCACTCCAGTGAAGGGTGGCATCGGACGGTAGAGCCGTAGAGTTCAGAGACGTCGTTCTCACAGAACTCGCACCATGCTCCAACTCCGAATGAATATTCGCCGCACAGAATGGTAAAAACTTAGCCAAGGTCTTGGCAGGGTCCACATTGGCAACACACTCGACCAACTGATGAATAGCGCGAACAGCATTCGATCGAACATTTTCGCTCGCATAGTCAAATACCATGTTGAGTACCATGTCGTAGAGCGATTCCGAAAGATGGATGCATATTTGACTGAATGCTCCAGAGACTGCATCCACAAGTTGGACTAACAACAAGGTCATTAATTTGCGCTTGGACATGACAGAAAATGCCTATACTACCTTCGGTCTGACCACCGGCAGTGCCAGTTGCTCCTTCTTCAGGTAAGTTTTCAAAGAGTACAATGACCCTACGTAGAAAGGCTGCCACCCAATCCGCGAAGTCTCCGCAGGTGTTCCTCAAGAGTGCGTCTTCATCCTGTTCTGATAACTGCTCTTCGTCTCCTTCATCAATCCCAGCTGGCATATTATCAATCTGAAGACTCGGTGGACTGGTCGATTCTAGGCCAATGTCAACAACAAGCTTTGGTTGGTTCATGCTTGCGAGGTCTCCAAACTTGATGTACTGGGCTACCTCTATCAGGAATGCGGTGGTGCAGAACTAGAAGGTTGGTCAGTACATTCTCGTGTCGGTAGAGGTGCAATGTCTCATAACGTACGGTCTTAAAGGGATCATTCTGATACGCAGCATGATATGAATAAAAATGAGAAACGCCAGGTCTGTAAAATTTCAGCTTACCAGATCGATACCAGGAAGAAGCAATTCAAGGATAGGCAAAAGATGTTTCGCCCCCGGATAGTAAACATTTCTAGAAACAATGGCAGGAGCAACCGCACCGAGAGCCTTGATGACAGCCGTCGTACGATGGGTCTGGGTTGCACTGTGAGTCTGACGAAGCAGGTACTGAGATTGGCTGCCATACCTCGACTAAGGCCTCGAGTGCCGGTACAGCTCGTTCAAGCACCGGATGCAAGATGAGGTCTGGTTCCATAACGCTCATGGACTTCAAGCAACTCTGGATATTGGTGACTGTCGTGCTGTCTTGAGAGAACATTGCTAGCAATGCTACTGTCCTGAGACTTTTGACGAGCTCTCGTTTCATATCTCGAGTTAAGCGACGATGCTGGGGATGGGTGAGTTTTAAAAAGCTGTATGTATACTTGAAGTATACGTACCGTAGGAGTCTTACAATCAGGCTTTTGCTCCTCGTGCCAACCTAAATAGAATCAAATTCAACGGTGGGGAAGAAAGGGCGGTGGAATGAATTCCTTACGCTTGTTGAAGTCGTATACTATGTACTTGATGAATGCGCTCAGCTAACGAAAGTGTTTGATCAGCCAACGGCGGATCGATCATTAACAGACGCAACATACGTCATTCGTCCAACTACCAGAGTTGGTAGGATGGAAGAAACCTTCGCAAGACGCAATGAGTTTCGCAAGCGAGTCCAGAGCTTTCGAGCCGGCAAGATATGTCTTGGCCTTTGTGCTTCCATGCTTGCCCAAAGGCGAAGAAAGGTAATCGCCCAAGGCATGCCCATTTAACTGGCCGCTGTGGCGAGTGTGGGGTAGAGGTGTGCTAGTACCTGATGGTGTAGGGGTGTAGAACGGAGTCGACAGTTCCGACCCAGGATTGGGCAACCCATCAGGTGCCATTGAATAGACTATGATACGCGCCAGAGATGCTAGAGTTTAAAACCGTTGAGTATGAAGATGGAAGCGATGCTCAAATGAGCTTACATATCCTCCAGGAGGGTTTGGGTAACCGATTTAGCTCAAAGGTTGCCTGGCTGTCGGCATTCGGGCCTGTCGTCAATGATCCCGCATCCGCAAGGGGTATTTCTACAGGCACGAACGATTTGAATCAGAAACGACTAATCACTCCTGAGGTAAGGTCTAAACTTACCCATCGAAGCCAAACACTTGCACATGATATAATTCCATTCACGTTCAGTGAATATGCCGACATCCTGATATAAACCCGACCAACGCCACTTTGGCTCGAGGTCCTCTTTCGGCCAATTAGGCCTTCCTTCGTCTTCAGACCTTGCGTCATCAGGAATTTCGTCGATTCTGCGTGGATCACTGATGGTAGGGTCTACGTGCATCTCCGCAATGCGCGAGAGGAACTGCAACATGCGCTCATCATACATGTACGAATTCACAGACTCCCAGAGTCGGAAGAGCATGGGTAGATAGGATTGAGGATGCGAGAGAGGTAAGAAGGTTAATAAGTAGTATTCTGCGGCGAGTATGCTCTATAATCAATTGAATAGCAATCATTATAAATAACAGTGTTCGTCCGAGTCCCGTAGTCTCTTGACTCACGCTCAAGTTGTTTCCGTTTATGAGTGGCACGAAGGTTGAAAGCATTTCATCGATAGCTGCGGGATGGAAGAAACGTCTCGCATTCTCGGAGACATAGCCCATATACCATGACGTCTGACTGTGGCCTGGATAAGTACGAGTGCAGAGGGAAGCGAATAACGGGATACACACCTTATTTCGAACTGACGCCTCGTTAGGAACAGGTCCTTGCTGAGTATCTTGTAGACCGGCTTCCATGGCAATCTCATATCCTCAATCCTGAGCTTCTTTTTGGACCTAACGAGAGCTTGGAAGTTGTCCGAGCAGTTCGCCACAATATGGTTGGGCATCCCGGGAGTGGTGCATACGTGAAAGTACAGTGTTGCCAATCTCATTCGTTTCTCTTTCGAAATGGGATACTTCAGCATGGCCCAACTATATACAGTGTAATGAGTTTCACGAGCAAGAGAGTTAGAGGAGGGACGTACTAAGTGAGCATACTGTCCCATTGCTGCAACCCGGGATCATAATCCTTCGCCTCCACACACTGAGCAATGCGGAGGAGGATGAACTCAAGCATATGCTGCATCTTTGAATTCGGTTCTATCGAATAGGGTAGGGACTTTGCATAGTGCTTCAGTTTCAACATATACCGGTCGTTTGTTGGTCGTGCGATGTCATCCGGGATAATCGGACAATGACCGGCAACGGATATGCCATTGGCAGGCCCAGGATCATCGAGTTTGAGGTTAGAGACATCTGGCAAGTCCATTATGCGTGTGTTGAACTCAGTGGTTTGAAGTAAATGTGAGGGAAAGGGGTAGCAGTTCAGAGGAGGGCGCTGGCACTTTCAATGCAGGGTGTCTCTGTCAGCGTCAGAGAGTATGCCTAGAGACAACTGTTGGTGGCGGAGGCTCAAGTGTGGCACGGATGCTATTCGCGACACCACTCGCGCCGCTCATGAAACATAATTACCGAGTATCCATCACGGTTGTTGCCTCTAGAGATATACAGCCTGTACCAGAGTGATCACAAGGGTGACTTTTGAAATGCGTCCGATTTTAACATTAAGGTGGCACACCTAAGCCAAGTAATTTCCTCGCAGGAATTTTAGTAGGAATCCACGAGTAAGGTACCAATAATGTACACCAATGTCCAGAAAGAGTCCAGAAAACTTTCAGTAAGTTAGACAAGAAGGACATCCACAAGCGACATGCATATCACCAGCCATGTGGCAAATCATCCGGCTGAAGCATAAGCCGCATCCTGAAGCTCTTTCAAGGCTCTCTCCCGTACCATGTTCCATACTGCACTCCTCTGTATTCTAGCTGTCCCAATGTACTCTCTGATCTCTTCCAGTCGCTCAATATATTCGCGACCATCGTCGTGAAGTTCCCTCACTCCCGCCATGGCTTTCTGCATTCTTGCAAATGCCATGTCCGGATGTGTGGGTTGTGCAGGGTCAAGCAATGGTGCGGAGGGGTCGGGAATCGAATCCAAAAAGATTTTGTATATCGCAGGTGTAAGATCAGGTGCTGGATGCCTTTGTGACTGTGGGTCGACACGCTCGTCTTCGCCCTCATCTTCGCGTTTCGGTACCACAGGGTCTGTACCTTTTAGTTTATCTGGATCCTCATTAAGCACCTGAAGGAGGCGTCCCAAGGCGCGTCTCAAGGTGGTCTCTCCTTCGATCAGATTGTTAGTTGCACTTTCCAGTTCGTCTAATAAACGTGACCTGAACGTGTGGGTTACAGAAGGGTCCATGACAAAGGACGTGTATGTCGAGTGTTGCGTGTCTGGTGCAGGGTATGGTGCAGTAATGGGAGGCGACGGTGAGCGTAGGTGTGGGAGAGTGACGGGTCCGTCTTCGTCCTGTTTAGGGGGTAGCATCAATTTGATACGTTTGCGAGCATGTTCTTCAGCCTGTATTCTGAAGTCAGAGCGTCCAGTATGAAGCTAAGATAGTATGCACAACGTACCTGCCACTCCTCGATCCCCGGCCCCCAAGGAGCTTGCTTTCCCCTCCGTATCCATCTGGCCTCTCTTACAGACTTCTTCCCCCAGTTTCCAATGGCAGGATTGAAGCGTATCTCGTCGTCGTCCGCGTCAGAGTCGTAGCCGTGTGAAGGGTAATACCACGCGTTCATGTCATTCGAAGGAAGGCTCACGTAGCTGTAGGAGCACAATGAAATCAATGCTCAGAGTAAAGTTTGAGCAAGGAAGATATACCTCGGATCCTCATATCTGGACTCGTCGAAGAAAGGATGCTTGTTGAGGCCGTTGGTAGACGGGTTGTGTTGATGGCTGGTGGAGGGACGAGAAGAGCTTTGAGGCTGGTTAGCCATTCCAAAGACCTCCTTTCTCAACAGGGCGAAGAACGGGTCGTCGTGAAAGAGGGCCGTTGTGGCAGCCAGAGTGAGAGTACAGCCTAATATTGCTTTCTGCTGAGTGCACTTGATCGACGTCCAACTCACTCAGACCCCCCAGCGCTTGCATTGATCGCTTCTCCGGCCGTGGCCGAGTGACGGCGAGAGACGCCGGAAGAGCTCCTATTGGCTGATGGTCGAGACTTGTCCAGCAAGTCTCCTTTGCAGCACACACCGCTGGTCTCAGGTATGTCCTCCCGCCCCTCGTTGTGAACGCTTTCTGACTTGCTTTTCTTTCCTTCTCGTCATCTTGCTACGTTCGTTTATTGTCTCTTTGCTTAGTGCCAGCTTCTACCACGACTCTTTACGACCAGTAGCGTCTTACGACGCGTCTATGGCAACTATCGAAACCCTGGACCTGGCAGACCATCCTTCACAGGCGGACGGAGAGAACGCAGTTCAGCAGGGGACATTCGTCCAGGGGTCTCCCACCAAGACAGGCGATGAGGCTGCTTCTCCGAGCAAACCTGATGGGCTACCGCTGGATTCCGCCCCAGCTACGCCCTCACCCGGCTCTAGCTCGACGCCTCTTCGTCCTACTGTCGCAAACGGACAGGCGACCCCTGGGACGACACATGCACCCATTCTGAGCATGCCCCATCCCAAGAAATTCAGCTCAGTCAACATCAACAAGAAGTTCCTTGAGCGGAGCTCATCATCCAGTGGTCCTGCGCAAACTGCCTCGACGTCACTTTCATCGAAAGCTGGAATCACAAACCGTATGTCAATCACGTATTCCGAGCATGTTTTGGAACTTTCTTCTTACTTGAAACACTGCAGAGAAACCTAATCTCCAGGCGACACCCTCTCATTCTCGATTGGTCACCGCGAAACTGACAGCTGGACCACAGCCATCAACATTAACGGGTCCCGGGTGGTCCAGGCCACCGTCTACTGGTTCATCTGTGCCCACACCTGTGTCTAATACTAACCCCAAGCCAACGCCTTTGCCTGCGCCGACTCTCTCTCAGCCTTCTGCTGGGAAGGTCCCGCCTTCACAATCACGAACACCTTTAGAAGGTCCAACAAGCAGTCTCAAGAAGGATGCTGGCTCAAGACCTGCATGGGGCCATTCCAAGCTTCCAGGTGCGACACTAGGAAGTGCTGACGCAGTGCAGAACGACTTTCCCACTGCAGCAGAATCTGCTCAAGGTCTGTCCATATTACTAATGATTGACTTATAGTCCTACTGAACTATGTTATAGTTCGTGCTGCGAAACTCAATGAGAAGCGGCAGGCCGTACAAGCAGCGCAAGCTCAAAAACAAGCTTTGGCGGCTGAGGCTGATGCATTCCGTGGGGTACATTTGAAAAACGCTCATCACTGGGATGAGGTACGTCTAGCTTGTTTTACAATCTACCCGCAACTCACCATAGTTCTGCATAGGATGAGGAAGACGATGCAGATTTTTTGGAGGGTGTGATCGACTTTGGAGACGGCAGACAGTACAAAATACAGCCCTCTGAACCTTCACGATCACCACCACATGAGGTGCCTGAACTTGCTCCTGAAGCCGCTAGGCAGTTGGGGATTCACCCTGAACGACCTGTGAAGAAGGAAGAGCGCTTTGCAGATGACTTCGACAGAAGTTGGCCTCGTTCAAGAGGATCCGAATCTTTCCCATCACCACAACCTCGAGAACGTTTCCCGCATGGCCCACCGTCCTCTGCGTCTTCTCAATCAATGCATTCGCCTCAGGAATCATCAAGAGTATTGTTCAACGAGAGATCTAATCGCTTGGAGCCTTGGTCAAGTTCACATCCTTCGCGATACGGCCCACCACCTCGAGATTCATACTTCTCAAGACGAGATAGTCGTTCCGATCATGCTGTTTCACCTACAGAGTCACGGGGTGGACGAGAACTTCCACCACATCGCCAGGGTGTGCAGTTACTGCAGAAACCGCCTTCGGAGTCTGGTGGAGAAGGTCCTCCTCGATCACGCGTATTTGGCGATCGCTTTGGTCCAGACAGCTCAAGATTCCGCGACAAGGATACATCCAGACGAGATTATGGCCCTCCACCTCATATGGCACGAGGACCGTCGCAGGGGGTTGAGCAGCCTCGGTCAAGAGAGCGAGATCATTACAATCCTCTCAGTGTAACACGCTCACCCGTTATGGGGCCCGCTCGTGGTATGATGGGACCGCCTCCAATGCCTGCTTTGCGCTCTCCTCAGTCAATGAGAGACGATGATCGACAGATACCGCCACATCTGGCGAAGCTGCAAACCTCTCAGCCGCAATCACCCACAAGTGCTGTTTCTGACCAGCACCCTCCGTTGGAACCCCCTTCAGCCACTGAAACTGCACCTATTCTTTCGGCAACGCAGTCACCAGCAGTGTCGCATGCATCAATGTCACCTCTTGTTGAAGGTTCAACCATGCCTATAGTTGATATTGACGAGGTTCGAAAGGCTGCAATGCATAGTGCAGCTGAGCGTGCGAAGTTGCGGAGACAGCATGAGGAGGAAGAGCGAGAACGTGAGAGAGAACGAGCACGGAGGAAAGCTGCTGAACTTGAGGCAAAGATGAAGGCGATGGAGGATGCAAAGAAGGTATCGGAGGAGGCAGCAGTGCAAGCAGAGCCTGCACAGAAGGATGTTTCCGACGCTCAGGTTAGTTTGGTTTCTATTCGCTTGCCTTCCGGTGCTGAAGCCAAAGTACCTATTCAGGTCATTGAGATTATCGAGGATGCCGTATCTTCGGTGACAACCGCTGCTGTGGTACCAAATGGAGCACCTCTACCATCTGTTCCCGAAGAAGGTAGCTCCAAAACGCAATCATTGGCACCAATACGAACATCTTTCGCGCGACCACCATCAGTCAAGGGTGTCCCTCGTACAGCTCCTGCTAGGCGCTCGTCATTTAACACCCAAGATGGAGCTTCATTTGCTACTGAGACCAACTCATGGCGTAATACAGCTGCACCTCCACCTCCCCGATCTGCGGCAGCGCGTGGTCCATCGAAATCTCTGACATCTCCTGCATCAGTAATACCACCTCCGCCTTTGTCGCTACCTGCAGTAGATGCATTGTCTCTTGCACCCGACGAGGAACTGGAGGTTTTCGACTTCTCAGAGATTGGGAAGATGGTGGGTGAGATTGCGGCGCCTCCAGCACAACAGTCGACGGCGAGAAGTCGACCTAGACCGGTAGCGATAGACTTCTTTGATGATGCCGGACAGAGCCAGCCTACGGCGAACGATGCACAGAAAGAGCAAGAGTCATGGAGGAAATCGGTGCCCCCGATAACTGAAGATGCTGCAGGGTCGCAAGAAGTGCAGTTGGATTCAAGGCCCACGTCCTTGTCTCCGCCTGCACAAGCACCACTGTCCCAGCGGAGGTTGTCGACATCTTCGGACGATCACGCTCGCGTGCATACTGGTCATTCTCTAGCGCACCCGCTAAAGTCGCCTGTATCGTCATCGTATCGCGAAGCCTCCTTGTTGGTGCTTGACGATACCATGGCACGTATCAAAGGTGCAATAGATGGCATGCAGAAGCCAGAGCCTACGAAGTCGGACGTCCCGAAAGCTGAACCAGCCGGGCCTGATGAAATCGAAGTGTCTCCGCGTCCTGAACCGCCCAAAACTCAGCTTACAAGATGGCTTCCTCCTGCACTACGAGCTCGAGCGGTGAATCACGATGAGCCACCGCGTGAAATCTTTGACGTAACAGCTGATGAACCACCAAGATCTCCCAAGCCCGTGTGGAATACTTTCAGTGTGAAGTTCCCCTCAGTATCACACCCACGAGAGCATATACCACGGAAACAACTCAACATGTCAAAGACGCAGCCTCATATTCGCTCGGACATCTACACCTTCGATCCTCCGATTGAACATATGAACCGACGAGACTTCCACTTGAACGATATCTTTTTCCGCAAGCCATTAGTGGTGAAGGGTCGAGTCAAGTACACGGTGTTACTTCCATCGAGAAGGGCCACCTCATCCAAGGCAATAGGGCCTGTGGTAAATCTGCCAGCGAAGTCTGTTGCTGGTTTTGGTCGTAAAAACGGCGCCTCGGATGGCTCGAGTTGGCGTAAGCCTCCGCCGTCACCTCTGAGTTCTCAGCCGGCTGTCGGTGAAGAGGGACCGCAGACGTTAGAAACAGTTAGTCGCTCCCCACCACCTGAAAGTAGTAGCGTAAAAACTACTGAATTTTCTGAGCGACCGACTGTCAGCGTGACTGCTGCTGCTGCTGCGAAATCACGACCACAGCCCAAGATGCCTGCAGGAACCGACGTTGCGTTTTATCGTGACTCGCGTGCGGAAGATCTTTCCAAACAAGCGAAGGCTACGGTGAAGTTCATTGTTAGCAGTGAATTGGAGGAAGAGCCATCTTCAGTAGTTGGTGGTTTCACGAATCATGATGCAACCTCTCCAGCACCCAAGGCGGATGCTACAGACAAAGTTGCGGTCAAGGCAGATGGTTTAAAGCTTGCTCCTGAGGTGAAGAGGCAGTCTGCAGTAAGTCGCCCATAGTCACCGCTATGGATGATCGACGCGTCTAACCACATCTGTTCACCTTTAGGCCGAGTTGGGTCCGAATAGTCCTGCACGGTCCAACAGTCTACCGTGGCCTAAACCGTCGAAGACTTCGGGTTCGAAGGACTCTCCCTCTCGTGCCCCTGATCCTGAGCATCTCAAGGCTGTATGGTCATCACCAGCTCACAAGAGCTCTGTTTCACCCGTCAATTCATTGGAGAACATTGGAGATGATCTGACTGGTGTTCCTTTTACCATTCAAGATGTCAAGTCAGAAGGTGGTGAAACTCCACCACCTCCCAGCTCAGGTCCTCCTTCCAGGATGTCATTGCATGATGTGACACGGGCGTTCCAACAGGTCCCAACATCGTCCTCATCTTTGAGCTCCTCTCATCGCACGGGACCTCTTTCTGGCCTCTCCTCACCTTCCGCTGCTCACCGACAACCAGTCCCAACTCATCCTCCTTCCTCAGTACCGACACCAAATCTGCGACCGATGTATCCTGCTTATCCCTCGCCTATGTTGAGTTCGCCGAGTCCAACTATGGTCTATCCTATGTCCATGACACCCAGTCCCGTTCCTCGGCACATGGTAGTCCCCGGGCCTTCTCAGTATCCTCAACCGATGTGGGTTCCTGTACCTGGACCTCCGCCGCCTCCTGGCACGATGATGCGACCTATGGCCTCTCCGTATGGACCGCAATATATGCCATATCCTACAGGAGCGCCCATGTATGCTGGTCATCCGCAATCGAACGCGCAGGGTAGCATGCCCCCGCCACAGCCGAATGGAGTATCTAATAGACCGAATGGTGTTAACGTCATGAGCCCTGTCCTTGCACATGCCAATCCAATGTATGCACCTAGTCCTGTACTAATGCATACACCGGTCAGCGCATTACCTCCTGGTCATACATACCCCAATCATAGCCAGCAGCCAAGAGGGCAGGGACAATCAAGGGGGTACGATCATGTCTCTGGTGTTCCATATTCAGCATCTTCTCATACTCCTCAGGGAACTTTGTACAATGCTGTCCCGTCGAACTTTGATCGTCCGACGTGGTGATCTTGTTGTTTGAACCATCGCTGTATATGTTATCCTGGTGGTGATAGTAGCTTACCATACCCATTGCATGAAGTCTTCTCCTTTTCGTAGTCTTAATACATTGTTGTGCATCTTGTTCCCCTTTGCTTCCATAGACATGGGCCGCCCACGCCCACAAGTGAGTTGACAAGGCTTCGAAGAAACTCGCACAAACTGAAAATCACACGGGATTGAGGTAAGAGACATGAAACGCGTAGGGTTGTATGCGAATTCCGAGCGAGTAGAACAGGATATCGAAGATCATAGGATTATTCTACCGCTACCGTACGCTACTATTGTTTGAATAGATGAACGGATATACGAACGCAGCCTCAGAGTGCGAGCTTAACTGCAACTGCAGCAGCCTCGTCGAGATCATCGAAGGGAATGATCGTGAGACCTGACTCCCTGATCAACCTGCAGATCATAGAATGAGCAAAGAAGACCAAATGCACGAGAATGGACTTACTCCTTAGCCTCATCCTCCATTGTACCTTTCAGCCTGACAACAAGAGGAATGTCCATGGAAAGCTCTTTCTTTGCCCTGATGACACCCTCAGCAATGTAGTCACATCGCATGATACCTATGTGCAGGTGAGAATCATGGTTTGTGATAGGATTCTCGCGGAATACGTACCACCGAAGATGTTGATGAAGATACTCTTCACCTTAGGGTCACGGGAAATAATCTCGAATGCCTTCTTGACAGTCTCGGGAGTAGCTCCGCTGCATCAAAACGTCAGCTAGAAATTACCTTGATAAACATATACTGCTCACCCTCCGACATCCAAGAAATTAGCAGGGTTGCCTCCGTGAAGAGCCAAGACGTCCATAGTAGCCATGGCAAGACCGGCGCCGTTAACGAGACACCCAATGTTGCCATCAAGCTTGATGAAGTTGAGGTTAGCCTTCTGAGCTTCAACCTCCGACGGGTCTTCTTGAGTGATATCCCGCAGAGCGAAAATTTCGGGTTGACGGAACTCCGCGTTGTCATCAAAGCCGAATTTAGCATCCATGCTACAATGAGAGGTGGATATTAGGTGGACATTAGTGCGCATGCTCTGAAGAATACGAGTGATACACTACGCACCAAAGGACCGCGCCATCTTTAGTCTCAGCCAAGGGGTTAATTTCAATCTGGGTGGCATCCTTGTCTTTGAAGATCTTATACAGGTTGATGAAGATATCAGCAGCTTGTGATTCAGCATCCTCTCCTTGGAAGCCAAGCTTTTTAGCAACACCCAAAGCCTCCTCTCGGCTCAGACCGTTATCGAAGTCGATGGGAGTGGTGATGATAGCACTAGGGTCCTTCGCCGCTACCTCCTCAATGTTCATTCCACCTTGAGAAGATGCGACGAGAACGGGACCACCAGTAGTACGATCGTTCAGCACAGCAATATAATACTCATGTGCAGGATCACGACGTTCGGCAAGCATGACCTGTAAAGCCGATAAGCACCACGACGTATTACGAACTGGGAAACATACAGCGTTGCAGATACGACCGCCGGCACCGGTTTGTTTTGTGATCAGCTTAGCACCAAGCATCTTGGAAGCATAGTCTTGTGCTTGCTCCGGGCTACTTTTTTTTATCATTAGCGAAGCTTTAAACCATTTGACTAAATATTCATACGTTTGTACCATATGTACGCCTCCTTGAAGACCATTGTCGAACTTTCCCTTTCCACGACCGCCGGCAAGCACCTGAGCCTTGATAACGCATCCAGTGGAACCTGTTTATGGAAATATAGCGGGTGTTTGAAATAGTGACCTGATGCTATGGCTTACCGAACTGCTTTGCAGCTTCGAAAGCTTCCTGTGGAGTATGTGCTGGAATACTCTTCGGCGTGGGTACACCGTACTAGAAGAAACTATGTTAGTGACGCGCGTTGGAATGACATGGTTCTCTTACAGAGTTGAGGAGGTTCACGGACTGATACTCATGGATCGACAAAAAGCGTTTCTGACCTGCAGAGACCGCCTATCATTGCAATTAGCTCCCCGAGACAAGTGATAAGTTACACAAAACATACACGAGCTACGAAGCCGGCCTTTCGAAGTGCAAACATGGCTGGAGGTGGACCGGAGGGATGGGGATGAGCAGTTAACGGCTGTCCGCTGTACTTCCGTTTGTACAGTCGCTTACGTAAACAGTTTTTTGAATCTCACAGTGAGAGCGCGCCATCTTTTTGTTCTGCACCAGAAGGACGACGACGGTTTGGCGAACTTTCGTGCTTTTCCTGTCTCTCACCTTCCATTCCTCTTGGCATGGACATGGCTAGCTTCTGGGAGATTGCTTTTCGTCCTCGCTTTGAGTTCGAACTGCTCACCTTCCTTGGGTGGTCCGAAATTGTGTTGAGGAACATGCCTCTCGTGGTCTTCTTATTGAAGATACCAGGATAACTTTGTATTTTACTTCCGGTTCTATTGAATGATATACATCTCGTTGTCGGATGCAGCTCCAAACTGAAGGTGATCGGTCGGTTGCAATCTAGCTGAAAACGTGGAGAAGGCGCCCTTAGTTGCAGGATTCAACGTTCACTTCATCGTTCGATCTTCAATTGACCCTTCGGACTGCTCATATCTCATTTACTTCTCTCATATTACCGGTTTGCCTCCCGAGCCATATTCATGACTTCTGCAAACCCGCCCAATGGTTTTACTGCTCCAAATGGAGAAAACCGCTCGGAAATTGACGAGATTCAAGCATTAAAACGGCTGTTGGAAGTTGCTTCCATCGTCCTCAGCCAAGCTGTAGATCTCGTCGAGAACTCCTTAACATCCGATGAGCAGCTTTCTGAACCTTCAAAATTTATACCAGGGTCCACGATTGGTGAGCATCAAGGAGGACTTTGAGTGAGATTGTTCATGAATGATCGGTCTCGTAAGGTAAGCATCTTAGGCATGCTCGCGACCACTTCGCACTCCTGGTGGACTGCATGTCATCGAAACCACCGCGAGTCTTAAACTATGATATTCGTCTTCGCAATACACCAATGGAAACCAGCAGACAAGCTGCAAAGGAGGCACTTGAAGGGATCGTCGCCCAGTTGGAGAAGGTTGTTCCATCTGCAAGCCTCAACGAAACTTTGACCTTGCATGCGGTGACACCGTATCCACAAATCGTACAAACGACGTTTGGGAGAGAGGTCAGTCTCTTCCTCTCTGGTATTGCGTGATGTTGAGTGTCGTCTAGTTATGGTTCGGTTCCCTGCATGCCATCCATCATTGGTCTATGGTGAGTATGCTGAGTTCCTCGGGATCTCTGTAGTGCTAACAGCAAGGGCAGATTCGTGTAATTGCGGGTGAACTGGTCAGTGACCTGTTCGCATTCGCTATCGTTCCAAGGACTAAGAGATATCACAGGGTATTACATTAGAAGACTCGTTTGGCTTCGCACCATCGACTCTTGTATATCAGGGATCTGAAGCGCCGTTAGGGAAATCCAGGATATGACACGGAAAATTAGCTATCTTTTGTCGGATACTCATGAATATTGCTGTCCTTACGTTTTGCTGTCTGCATACCTTCTCGCGTACATAGTTAATTTGTTTTCTGGACTTGAAGTACCTAGCTTAGGTTTCCGTATATGTGATGACGTAATTTGTTGAATTCAGAAGGTTTTGCCAAACAACGCCGCAAATCAACTTTCCCGAATCTCGACGCCCATTGTTGTGAGTAGTTCAGCCGCCGCGAGGTCATCTCCTCCAGGCGAATGCTTTCACTTCCACAACCTTCATTTTAACTCACTATCATGGCTCCTGAACTGACCCCGATTGAAGGCGACCCGAAGAAGCGTGTGGTTGGTGTTTACATTATTGTTTCCCTCCCCTTCACACTAATCCCACATACAGTGCTATTTCTTCGACTCCGATGTCAGCGGATTCCATTATGGCCCTGGGCACCCGTAAGCTCTTGGTTATTCTTTTTCATGATCATGACCTTACATTTTTTTGTTGTTCAGCATGAAACCTACTCGAATACGGATGTGTCACTCCCTTGTCATGAACTATGGCCTCTACAAACGAATGGAAATATTTGTACGTCTGCTTAATGGTGTATTCGCGCCTTATGTTTGGTATTGAGGCTTTATTGTAGCGTGCCAAACCTGCTACTAAGAGGGAAATGACACAGTTCCACTCTGACGAATACGTTGAATTCCTCAGTCGCATAACGCCCGTCAACATGAACTCATATATCAAAGAACAGCACAAGTGTTCGTTCAGATTCCGTACTTAGGCATCACACTTGCACACTTTGAACTTTTTTGAATTTAGATAACGTCGGGGACGACTGTCCAGTGTTTGACGGTCTTTTTGATTACTGCTCCATATCTGCTGGCGGGTCCATGGGTGCGTATCAACGACTGTCATCGAGAATTTTACTTTTAACGCCTTTGTATAGAGGGCGCTGCGCGTCTAAGTCGGGACAAGTGTGACATAGCTATAAACTGGGCCGGTGGGCTCCATCACGCAAAGAAGAGTGAGGCTAGTGGTTTCTGTTATGTCAATGGTAGCGCCTCATAAATCTCTCTTGGTTTCTCGATTACTCATAAACATACATTGTAGATATTGTCCTTGGCGTCCTCGAGCTCCTGCGGTGAGCATTGGCTCCCGACTAAATGACCACAAGTTTGCTCATCATTTTGCAGATATCATCAAAGAGTTTTGTATGTCGACATTGATGTACACCATGGTGATGGTGTTGAAGAAGCATTCTATACGACGGACCGTGTCATGACCTGTAGTTTCCACAAGTATGGTGAATTCTTCCCCGGTACTGGTGAGCTTCGGGTGAGTAGCGTCGACTATAGTGCCTCCTTCGATTCTTAATATTGCACAGGATACTGGCATTGGCAAGGGGAAGAACTTCGCGCTGAACTTCCCCCTGCGTGATGGTATCACTGATGAGAGCTACAAGAGTGTCTTCGAGCCAGTGAGTGGTTTCATCAGTCCATCAAAGCTACACATATTTACTTGGTCAATAGGTCATCCGGCAAGTCATGGAGACGTATGACCCAGGAGCGGTTGTCCTTCAGTGTGGAACAGATTCGTTGTCCGGCGACAAGCTCGGTTGTCTGAATCTGTCTATGCGTGGGCATGCGAACTGTGTCAGGTTTGTGAAGTCATTCAACAAGCCTTTGCTCATGCTCGGTGGCGGAGGTTACACCATGCGTAATGTTAGTCGCGCCTGGGCGTTTGAGACTGGCCTGGCAACAGGTGTCGAGCTTGGTCCTGGTATGTACTCAACTTGAAGCTGAAGAATACCCGTAATGACTTTCACATTCACATTCTCTAGAGATCCCCATGAACGAGTACTATGAGTACTTTGGGCCGGATTACCAGCTTGATGTCAAGTCCTCTAACATGGAAGATATGAATACTCCTGGATACTTAGAACGAGTGAAGAACATTGTCATGCAGAACATTCGACTGGTTGGCGGTCCGCCCAGTGTCCAGATGACAGGTTTGTTTACATTGGTCTATTTTATTACTTTACGAAGAATCTTGAGGCTTACTTCTTGACTTCAGATATCCCTAGGGTACCTATTGACGCCATGATGGAAGACGCTAACGAGGACGAAGATCTCATTCCACCGGATGAGCGCCGTCACCCGCGACTCTTGGACACTCGACGGCAGGCTGATGGAGAACTGTCTGATTCTGACGACGAAGGTGAAGGTGGTCGTCGGAATCATGCGAGTCATCGCGATGCAGATAACCTTGCGCATAGCACCGGTCGACGAGCAGCCGTCGGTATCATGAGCGCGGGGTCAACCCATGGTATTGGTACTAGCATGGCTACCGCCGTGACTGGAGGTACTCCAACACCCGTGGCTGGATCTTCTAACAACCAATCTGATATGGACGTCGATGAGGAAACCCCTCTCGCTCAGATGGTGGGTCGGAAGAAAAAGAAGCCTGGTCGGAAGTCGAGTACTGGAGCTCCTATGGCTGTAGATACCAGTTAGTTTGTGGGCTTTGTTTATTCTCGTGTATTATATTGCTGTGTACTTGTCATGCTATGCTTTGTTCTTGCCCTTACGATTTTTTGCAACCCGGCTGGCTTGAGTCACGTTCACGGTGTGACGTGTTGTGACCGACGCGCCTCATTAGTCAGTCACGCGTTGAGTGACACGGCTCTGCACTGCAGCGGATGTCTTGTTTGATTACTCCCATCTCATTCCGCTTCACTTTCTTCTTTCCGTCTACTCACCATCTTCAGTCATCGCTAGATCAGCCGAACTCATTTACAAATGTTTGAAGCGGGGTCTAGCAACCGACCTGTTACTCCACCACCACGTCCGGCACAGAACTTGGATTTGACACCAGAGCAAGTCAAGCGCGTAGAAATCAATCGCCTGAAGGGTAAGCTTTTGATCCATTTGCTTAGTGCACCCGATGCTATTTTGACAAAAGCCAAGGCGAAACAGAGAGAACGGGAGGCGCCTGCTAGCAGTTCTTCCGCACCTAACGGAAACAACAAACGTCCTTTGCAGGTTGTATCTGCAGCTTCCGGCTCGCCCACTGCACCTAAGACCCAGGGGAAGCTGAAACGGGACTCTCGTCTTGGAACATACTTCGAATATGACTTATCCAAGATGGTTAATACCAAGGGTGGTTTCTTGGTGGAAGACGGGAAGGAAGTAGATGAGGACATGAGACGGAAAGAGAAGGAAAGAGAGAGGCAGCGTGCTGTGCAGAGCCTTGAACCTCGTATGTCCTGTTGGAATTAATTCTGGTCTCTACTGACTTTTGTTCAGCAATATTCCTGGAGAGTGAGCGGAATCCCAAGTGCCAGGAGTGTGGTACTGTCGACATAGACCAGACATACAGGAAGGTCTTTGGCTGCTTGGTCTGCAATAAATGCAAGAACGAGAAACCAGAGAGATACAGCCTACTCACGAAGACTGAGTGCAAAGAGGTGCGTCGAACAGTTTACGCCTCCTGCGGAGTGATTTATCTACGGTTGCTACACAGGACTATCTACTCACGGATGGTACGTGGCAGCAATATTTGGCTGATGAGTTTACTAACGTCTGTGGCAGCCGAACTTCGAGACCAGGAACTAATGCCGCATCTCCTCAAAGCCAATCCGCACAAATCCACATTTGCCAACATGATGCTCTTCCTGCGATGTCAGGTAGAGGAATTCGCATGGAAGAAATGGGGATCATCTGAAGCTTTGGACGCCGAATGGGAGCGTCGGATGGCGGAGAAGAAGAAAAAGAAAAACAAGAAGTTCGAGGAAGGTTTGCGCGAGTTGCGCAGACGAACACGAGAGACAGTTTGGCAACGTCGGAAAGACGAAGAACACAAGCATGTCTTTGGAGTGACGGAGAAAGGGGCGAACGGTATGGGCAAGCAGGTTTGCCATGAATGTGGCTTTACAATAGAGGTGGAAGAGTTTTGATTTCACCTTGTGCGCTGTTGCATGTTCAGGACATCATACATACTAAGGAATATACCTCATGTTACATCCTATTTTACTCAAGCATACCAATGATACCTACTCTGTACCATTTACTTCTACCTACAAGCTTGTGATTCCCTTACCGGCGAACCTCTCGATCAATCGCAGCTTTGCAATGATTAACCGGCACCAAACGTTTGCCCGAAGGTCGCCCGAGCAACGACTCCGACGAGCGTTCAGCGATATCTGCACCTCATATTTAAATGAACGGATAACAAGCCTTCGGACTCATCACTCTCACTTTCCAAGGCTCTTGTCTGTTTCGTTCGCGTGTCAGCTATGGCTGAACTCCCTAGCTTCCAGGTGGAAGCAAAAACCATATCCACCGCTGTCGATGTGGAGCAGTTAGACACCAACCTATTCCGCTCCAAGTCCCTTTGGATTCCCTTCCGTGCAAGAGGTGTCTTTGGAGGACAGGTCATCTCACAAGCTTTAGCATCGGCTACGAGATGCGTACATGCAGCATATGGACTTCATGTGAGTGCAGTAGAGTCTCTAACGCCGACTTTGCATTGAAATGTCCTACACAGTCTTTGCACGTATGTGACCTCATAGTATGAACACACACGTTCGCGTTGGTAACAGACCTTTGTAGTGTTACTTCTTGCTTAGCGCATCCCCGGCCATCCCAATACTCTACCACGTCGATCGCGTTCGGGAGGGCAGGACATACTGTACACGAGCAGTCCGGGCAGTCCAGAATGGACGAACGATCTTTGTGATGCTCTGTTCGTTCCAGAAGCCGGAGTTGAACCAACCAAACTATCAATGGCCTATGCCCTCCAACGTTCACAGTCCGGATGCTTGCAAAGCAGTCCATGCAAGAGCTCTCACAGTTATTCAGGAGCCAAGTGTCGATCCCTTCGTCAAGGCATATTTGTCGGACTATGTTCAAGTATGGTACTTGCTTATTCGTATACATATGCGGTTTCATGGTTGTCTGTAGGAACGAGAGCAAAGCCCGTTCGAAATCAAGAACGCCGGCTCGCAAGTCAGTGAAAGCGGTGTGAAGTTCTACATGTACTGGTTCAGGGCCAAGAATATTCCTCAATATGAAGCATCCTTCCAAAAGGTATAATATACATCCCGCGAACGCTCTACTGAATGCTCACCCAACGATAGTGCATCCTGGGCTACATCTCGGACTCACATTTGTACGTTGTTTCACGAGTTGCATCTAGAAACCTGAAACACTCATGCGTTTCCCGCAGTATCGGAGTTGCAGCTAGGACACTCGGCATTGATAGGTGGAAGAAACCTCCAAAACATATGAGCATGATGGTAAGTGTTCATTCAATGAGTGAGCCGTACATACTGATGACACTCCTTGCTTTCAGTCGACATTAGACCATTCCATATATTTCTATGAGTAAGTCCTTGCTGTTGGTGGCACATTGACGCAGGCTAATGTCTCCTAAAGCGACAATTTCGATTGCGGTGACTGGCTCCTATATGTTGTGAGTGCTTAATTATTTATGGCGCGCCGCCATCCTCTCAGCATGATAATTGCAGATATCGTGCCCTCGTGCTAGCTCAGGTCGTGCCGTCGTACATGGACGTGTAAGTTGCTGACCTGCCGGTTATTTTGCACCCATTGACAACCTGTTATCCTCCTCAGATGTACAGCACAGACGGCGTGCTGATCGCAGCAATGTCACAGGAGGGAGTTCTCCGAGTAAGTAACAAGGATCCGACGGATGAGGCGCAAGAGATGGCAAAGTTGTGATATGGGACACTTACATTACTTATCCTGGCTTATAATATACACTTAGAATTCACCTCATGTTTAAAGCTAGGACAAGATAGATGAGAAAAAGCAGTATGAGAGGCATACGGTTGTTATGTTGCACATACAGAGTAAATGGTACGGGAGAGCCTACTCTTAGACGAGAAATACAAAAGGCATGGGGACAGCGAATGAAACATTTTGACATTTTGGTGTCGGGTGAAGGAGGTAGCCCGCTGTAAACTACCCCATGTGCGATATCCATGCGAGCGTCATGAAAGCAATAGATGATTGCGAAAACCAGGACCACGAAAGCTGCAGATGCGAAGGAAGTACAAATAACATCGACTGTAAACCCCTTAGTTCTTCCGTCGGTATGAGCTTCCTGTAAGTGGTTTGCGTTATTAATCAGCACATGATTAGAACAGGACAAGAGTAAGGACGCACCCTCAGTCAATCTCGCCTTACCACCGGTCGGCTGGCAAAGAACGCTGGTGCATGCACCGCAAAGGACAACGGTCTGGGCATGCGAGAAAACAGTTGTAATGGCAAAGCAACCTGGTAGCGATCGTGTGAGTGCTAGTTAAAATTCACCAACAAAGGTGAACGTACCGGGGCATTTGACATCCATGAAGTAAGAGTTTGGCGACTGCACAAGTCGCTTGAGTTTGTGCTTCCTCTTCTCGGACTCAGCAGAGGGGTTAAGGAGATCGACGGCGAGAGGCTACAAGCGGGTTCCCGTAAAGCAACGGCGCAAAAAATTGGCAGAGTTTCGTCAGTATTTTGGCATGAGGAGTTCTACAAAGTGCACTACACACCATTTTGAGGAGGGCGTAAAAGCTGGAGAACTAGAGAGTTAGGGTTGAGACAGAGAAAGAGAGTGGACTTTTTTTCACGACGCTGGCGCGGTCGATGGTGGATGAGGGGCACTTAAGGTTCATCACCTAGGTTAAGCGGGGTCTCAAATGCGCTGACTCAGCGCATGGGTCCGAGCGAAGGCACCATGCCGTACTCATGCCGGTGGCTGATGTGGCTGTCCCAGCCACATTTACTCACATCTTTCCCAACCACAAGCGTAGCTAGTAAGTATATGCATTCTCATACTCAGAGGACTCGTACGTGCTAGTTAACATACGTATATAATCGAACCAACGGTCAAGGAGTGAACGTACGCGTAACTCTTGGAAGTGGACTAAAAATCTGAAACTTCGAGGCTTATGCTTCAAGCAATAGTGATCATCCCGTAAAGGTCCTTGCAATCTTTCAACCCTGCCAGACGTCCTTGTGGCCCTTAGGTCAATTAACTTACAAGCATCGTGTAACTTGCATTTGACCTCGCCTTCAATTAACGATGACGGTTGACCTACTTGTACATTTGACCACCATAGACCAATACAAGACGATCGGGCATCTTTCTAGAGCAACCCTCGCCGGGCCCTCATTAAGCAAAATGAATCCGAGGCAGAAATGAACAGAAAGCATCGATACCGAGGTTCGTTGAGTCTTCGCCAAGTCGGATGCCTGTCATTGCGCTATTGTGAACGTCAACGGGTAGGAAAAGCATCAGAACCTGTTCCTGTTTAATCTCGCAGTAACCAGTATAGCGAAACGGAATGATGGCTGAAAACAATGAACGACTTGTGAACGCAAGCAGAAGCAAGCAAAAGGCCAATTGTTCTCTCAAGCGCTCCCGGAGGATGGCCGGTTACCCACGTGAAGAATGAACACACTATTGTCCCGATTTGGTATGTGTGGTGAAGCGAGAACGGTTATTGTTCGAGCGCCTCGACATGCTTTTGTTGTCCCTTCGCGACCTGACGCTGGCATTTACCATCCATTGTCTTTGTCTACCGCTCGGGTTTGGGCTCATGTCATATAAAGACTCGGGTTGAAGCCCTTCCTTTTCCCCATCGGACTTGGTTCCATCTCCTCTTCAGTTCCCAGTTATTCCTAAACCAGCCTCTTGTTAGGTGAGCAGTTTCAATATCTCGGATTGTCTACCCTTATTCATCACCTAGTTCACTAGACTCTTTATTCTCGGATCTTATTCCATTGACGTCTCTCAGTTGCACATTCAACGTCTGCACTCGATCTCTCATTCGCATCTACACTTCAGCGAGACTCCACCGCCTCTCATATCGCAGGTCGATATACATTCACATCCGGAACTCTCTATCATTTCATCATTTGTTCAAATTCCTCAATCTCTTAATCTCAACTCTTCATACTCTCATATTATCACAATGGCTTCCACCACCTCTCCCACTGCTTCCCTTGCCGTCACCCTCGCCCAGGCGATCACTTACCTCACTCGCCCTCTCATCACGCGTTACGCCTACTCTGCCACGACCATCATCAGACTTCAACTCGCTCTTGAAGCTAACCTTACCGCCCAGTTTGGGTCTTCTTGGGTTCCATCCCGCTCAGGCCGTCGTTGCCTCACACTCTCACCCAACGGCTCCCCTCCTCGCCCCATCTACAACGCTTGCAAGTCTGCTGGCGTTGAGTGGTATCTCTGGATCGCCGCCCTTGGCAACGTCGAGTTCGACCTCTTTCTCGATCCCGGATGCGTTTCCGTTCGTTGTGGAAACCGGGAAACCACCATTTGGTCGGAACAGGTTGCAGCACCGGCCAAGACGAGGAAGGAGATTCCCGAGCAGCAGCTTCAGGCTCAGTTGAGGGCTCAGGCGTATGCTCGCGCTTCCGCACCTCTATCCCTGAGCCCCTCCAAGACTGTCGCGCAGCAGCTGATTGAGGAGGACGATCACGATGATGAGCTCTTCGCCATGATCGCTGATGAGATTCGCGAGCCCACTTGGTTAACTCCCGTTACCAGCGACTTCCCCACCATGCCCGCCCCTCAACGAGCCATCTCTTCTTCCCCCGTCTCTATCATTTCTACCACGTCCACGCACTCACGTTCCAGCTCCCGCTCGTCCAACTCGAGCTCTGGCTTTACCTTCTTCACCAACTCGAGCTCCGATTCCGCCACCACCATTTCTCTGTCCTCTTCCGACAATGAGAAGCCCAAGTTCAAGCTTTCCCGTCGCGAGCGTGCTCGACAGGCGCGAGTCTTTGTTGACTCTTCCAAGACTGAGGTCACTAACTACGACGGTGGCAAGACCACTGTTCTCACTGGTGGTGTCATGCTTGGTGGTGGTGCCGCTGCAAAGGTCAAGCCGATTGTCCCTTCCCAGAAGAAGACCACCAGCTCCTCCAGCTGCAACTGGCGCACCATTCGTGTCTAAGCGGATTACATTGCACCTCACATTCCTTCGAAGATCGACGTATTCACATGACCGTTCAGACGTGTTTTCATTCCACGCTATCATCTTCGACGCCTTTACGACAATCATCCAACGAAAATCGCCAACGCGATCACACCTATCGTATACGCCATGCGAACACTTTCTTTAATTTCGTCTTCCGAGAGTTGACTCTCCACTCACTGTTTCCTTATTTGCAAGACCGAATGTGTAGCATCATCATCACGGACTCACCTCAGGGTTTTATAAGATAGGCATCTGTAATATTACCACTAATTCTGCATTCCCCTTTCTTACTTTGTTTCATAGCTCACTTTCGCAACTGTATCTGTTCCCCTTCGTAGCATAGTCGCACTCCTCTGTTTCATAGCTCATACTCTGTATAACAAAGCTGGTTTGGCCCGTTGGCCATAAACTCATCTGCAGGTGTGATATAAGACCAACTTCAAGTTTGCAACCGAACACTTCTTGAAACGTGTCAATAGAGCGACGACGTCAGTGATGGGAAAATCGGCGTTTCAGCCATGAGATCTCGAGATTAGAACTAACGTCTATGCTGACGTTGATGGTAAGGCGAGACCATCCCATTGAACTTTAGATTCTGTATCACTTAGAGCTTGTAAACTTCGTTTCAAATGAGGGGCCGTTAGTCTTGATAGAAAGAAAAATCTACTTGGCACCTAGGTAACCTGCCAGTCAACGCTACGGACTGTGGGTTACAGACTAACTCGCTTGAAATTCATTTTTCCTCGTCAATCGTCAAGCTAGTGGTTTGACAGATCGCGGGCGAGTTGGGTACACACGTTGCGGAGGACGAACCTCGGCCAGCCTATCAGAGCGCTAGATTAATGATGGTGTTCATGATGTCCCCATATGGTCAAGTTGAACTACAGGGGTTGCCATTTTGGGTGTCATGTGTCGTCATCGTAAATGGGCCCTTTTCGCAGGAAAATCGGTGGCAAATATGGGCGTAGCGGCTCCATGACATTAGTCTAGGCGACAACCGGCAGCCTACTGCTATATAAGTCCTAATTCCCACATTCCTGCTGTTCAAGAACCCTCTGCACCTCGAATACCTTTTCAGCGACTCAGCTCATTGTCGTCTTCACATCCTTCGAGCCCTATTACCACTCCCTCAATGATGACTGCAATGAAACTCGATGGCCGCTCTTCAGAGACCACCATGCAGAAGCAGCGTTACTCTCGCGAGCTCGCCGCTTACACTTTCCAACAGTGGGACACGGCTCGCCAAGCACTAGAGCAAAGCAGAGCGCAGCACACAGAGAAGTCCAGCTCAAGGCGTTCGTCGCCTGTTCCCAGAGCCAACGGAAAACCTGTACGGGCTACTTCAGGTTTGAGTTGCTCACCCCCTCAATTTTCACCGACCTGTGACGATTAACACGGCTGTTGATGATGTAGGTATACTGTCTGTGGACTATGCTCGTAAATCACACAAGCCTACAGAAGGCACTGGTACTGAAGGGCGTGTCGTCAAGCCCAATATGCTTTGATGATTGTTGCTCGCTTCATCCGGTAAGATCCACCGTGTATCCACAGCGTCATTAACCACTGACATTGCTCCTACGTTTATCGTAGCCTTTGTGTGTAGGCGGGATAAGTCGAGTCCTCTCAGTGCCCAGCCCACAACCCCAGCTCTCCATCATATTGCTTCTTGACACTATCACTACCCCTCGAGCCCTGACTCGGCACTGCTCCACTTTGCCTGTGACAGGACCCTCGAATGGACCGCCTCTCTTCTCATTCCCAGTCAGATTATGTCATATTTATTCGCATTCAGATTATTTACCCAGCTCGTTGGTTACAATATGTATCATACCTGGTCACACGCACCTGACGTCTTCACTCTTCTGGGAACACTAGTGTCATCAGTACCCCTCTTCTTTACCCTAGACCTCATATGATGTAAAATAGCGACCACGAACTTGAATTGAAACCCTATTACGGTGTCATGTTTAACAGTGAAGCTGCTTGATAAGCCGGAGATGTTGACATGAGTTGATTTATGAGTATGACGTCGTGTGGGTATTCCTCTACGGTCGCCTTCGCTTCAACATGCGAACGTAAACATAATCAAACCCATCAAGACACCGTGGCTCCTCAGTGGAGATCTAGTTGTCTGCACAAAGGAGTGTTAGCTTCCGCAAGTCGGCCTAAAATAGCAGTACATACCTCATGACTGCGTGTGCTTCTCCCGTACACACAAAGCTGGACGTTGAGGTCAATCAATACAAGTATCCCTGACAAGTAGCTCGAGTGGATAGCAGCCGCGCGTCCTGCAGCTGCGGCTGATGACGTGAAGGGTTAGAAGGCTATTAGCGTTCACGCGTTCACGCTTCAGCCAGAAGAACATTGTCGTAGTCAACGGAAACATAATAACACCCTGGTAATGACGACGTATCGTGAAGCGCAGCTTAGAAACCCTACATCAAATCAGAGCGTAAGCATTCTTTGGAGTCTGCTAATAAATCAAAGATGCAGCTGCGTAGATGCTAGGGCACTTACCACTTTTAAAGCTTCGTAGTGACGATTGTTTGTTGGTATGACGCAAAGATCATTTTCTCGAATGTTTTCTTCGATGGGAATCTGAGACACGCAGCCTGCGCAAGGCTCAGTTGGTGGAGCCGCACTTCGAAGGTTCAATATCGAAGTCCTAGCTGTGAAATATGTAATATGATGTCAATGTTCATTCGTAGGATCGAGGCACCGTGAGCATAGACGAACTCCAAGCCAGGCTCTCACGATCTCAAGATGCACAAACACGTCAGGAAAGATGACCTAGAAAGGGTTAGTGTCAGTGACCTTACTTATCTTGCGAACCCAGAATCGTCATGGGCCAAGCGAGTCCCACCTGCGCGTAATATCAGGATCACTGCTCCAAATCGCTTGCATGTATCGATGGTAGAACGTACTTTGTGCACACAATGTGACATTACGATCGGAATGTGCACCCTTCCATTGACTTCCAAGGGCAATAGTGAGACGTATCGAGCTTAGGTCCCATTGGGAAGCACAACTCCACGACTTCCGACGCCAAGAATACAGCCGTTTGCGGAACGATAGGCCGCAGTAGGCCGCGTTTTAAGAACACCCGGCATACAAGCTGATTGCACTTATCAAAGGAAGTTACAAACAAATTTTGGAACGTCCATGGAGGAGGAAGCGGCTTGCGCCGTCGAAGATGCCTTGATCCTAAGTGGATACTAAACAATAGTTATTGACAAAGTGGCCTATCATTTGGCAAATAGCTGTATATTCCTTGGAGAAACATATATGCCATACCCAATTTGTGGCGACAGCTACTGAATAAAGAGAAGGTTACAATGCGGTGGGTCATATCCAACATGGATTGAAACCTTGCTGCTCGCATGAAACTGGCGGTATGATCGAGCTCCGGACTTAACCGGTGCCGGTTAGATTTGGTAGTGGATCTTGCGGATCTAGACAGACTCGAAGCTTGGCTTTCCCCCAATAGGCCTGCTCACATTTGTTGAGCTCAATCCCCACTCAAACACCACTTCTTTCATTTCTCTTCACCTGCTCTAGGTATATTATAGACACCTACGGGCACAACGACAAAGTCCACTAACTCTCTACTTGTTTCTGCTCAGCAAATGTTTCGTGCAGGCTCGTCCAAGCTTAGCGCTCCCCTGCGTTTCCGTAGGACACTCGCGACCCATGTCATTCAAACACCACCTGTTGTTACCAGAGTGACACGACACGACTGGTCGAAACAAGAGATTCAGCAGATTTATGAAAGCCCTTTGCTTGAGCTCGTCTTCCGGGCTGCAAATGTACATAGGCAGCACCATGATCCTTCAAAGATTCAACTGTGCACACTCATGAATATTAAGAGTACGTCTTTCGCGATCTCTAAAATCACAACGGCGGGGAAGCTTACAAAAAAATCTGAATAGCTGGAGGATGTTCCGAGGATTGTAGGTGGCTCTCATCCAATATCTTTACCCCGGACTTTGCAAACATATGGGATCATCCCCCTTAGGCTCGTACTGCTCACAGTCGTCGCGTTATTCAACTCCGACAAAAGCTTCTCGACTGGTTGACATCGACCCTGTGCTAGAGGCAGCTCGTAAGGCCAAAGAAAACGGAAGCACGCGATTTTGCATGGGTGCGGCCTGGAGGGATCTCGCCGGTCGTAAGCGAGGCTTTGAGAAGATCTTGAAGATGGTCCGAGAAGTTCGTGGAATGGGTATGGAGGTTTGCACTACATTGGGCATGCTGTCGCCTGAGCAGGCGAGACAACTGAAGGAGGCGTAAGTAGCTCCCTCTGTTGTTTTGCTAATTTCTTCACTAAGCTTTCTATTGACAACAGAGGACTAACCGCTTATAATCATAACTTGGATACTTCACGGGAATTCTATCCTAAGGTAAGCGCGTCGACCGGTCACCTTGTCGATATGACTCACGTCGGTCGTAGGTCATTACAACTCGATCATATGACGATCGATTAGACACCATCTCTGCTGTGCGAGATGCTGGTATCAGTGTCTGCTCCGGCGGTATCCTTGGACTTGGTGAATCGGATGAGGATCGCGTGGGACTTATTTTCGAGGTATCGAAGTGAGTATTCTGTCGCACATCTCCGATCGGGCAAGCGATTAACTTGACTAGCATGCCCGAGCATCCCGAGTCGTTCCCTGTCAATGCTTTGGTGCCCATTAAAGGAACACCACTCGAAGATAATGATGTGAGTTGGGCTATTTCGAACGTGTTCGAAATGTGCTCTAAGCCCATGTTCTACAGCCTGTCTCATACCAGGCCTTGTTGCGCACCGTTGCCACTGCTCGAATCGTACTCCCGCAGACTATCATCCGGCTAGCAGCAGGACGCCAGACGCTGGACGAATCTAAACAAGCCATGTGCTTCATGGCGGGTGCAAATGCAGTTTTCACTGGCGAGCAAATGTTGACAACACCCTGTGAGAGATTTGAAATACTCCGCCTCTGACACTTGCTTCTAAACTTTATCACTGTCATTTAGGCTCGCCTTGGGACGAGGACAAAGCGATGATGTCACGATGGGGACTTGAAGGTATGCGTAGCTTTGAGCAAGTCAATGTCGCACGGAAAGAAGGGTCTAGACTATTGGATAGCCCGTCTACCCCGGATGTTGAAGCTGAAGCGGCGCCAAGATCTTCCGTATCACAGCAGGCTCTGTGACGATTTACATTGACCGTACGACATTAAACCAAAAATGTTTGTATCATTTAGAGACGAATCGAAGAGTGTAGCGCTTCTGCTTCTATGTGTGCGCGGCCGCGGCGGCGAAGTGTCGAATCGCTCTGGCTTTGACGGACAAATTGCATTCATTCCTTCCATCTTGAGAAAGGAAGCACAATACTACTCGCCGTTTGATGTATGTCAATGGCCGGTACCGAAGCAACAGTAAGCATTTGTCCTCTAATTCAGAGACATGTCACTCAAGATGTCAACAAAGAATTGTTATAACTTGCTTTCGAGTGCATCATAATTTGAAAGTCCGCAAGACCTGAACACGTTGGCCCATTTTCTCGTTCCGCTTGTATTTGACTGGCCAATTGTCGCATACGTGCACTTTCTCCGATCACCGTCGATGGTCTGGATTCCAGGGAAGAGCACGTCTTCGACTTTGCCGATGTACAGCTTCTCGAGGACTTCGTGTGCATGAATGTATCTGACGCTGGTATGTATAACACCTGCTGGAAAGAACAGCTCTGCATCAATGTATCGTGAACATGATCCAATCCCACGTATACGTGAATTTCTCGCAGAGGTTTGTTTTCATTCACAGTTAGGATCCCCATTCTAACTGTGGAACCCCAGATTGGTCATAAATCCGGAGTACTCGACATGCACTGTGTCGATCACTTACGCTTCCTTTGACCCGGAAGATTCGATGAGGACACTTCCGCTTGCGATATCATCTCGGTATGTTCCTGGTCACTGCCATGCGATGTTCTGCAAGAATCGTTCTAATTTCTTCAATATCCACACCCTTTTTCTCAGGTCACCAAAATGATAGAATGCCGGTGTTTGGCCACCTACATAATGTCGGCGATGGGTAGTATACGATCTGTCCTTCCGGTTCACATCCTCCAGTCATGGCTCCCTCATCAAACTCCAGCTCCAGCTCCGCGTCCAGTAGTGCCAGTGAAGGCCGGTCGTTGTTTGCATTCACGCCGCTCCCACCTCGCAGGCCCGTGAAACATTTCCCACCGCATACGTGTGTCGCGAATATATTCTGTCGCTCCTTAAGCACGCTCACGAAATAGTTACTTAGATATGTTGCTGCTGCAGCTCAGGTAGTGCATTACAATGGCATCGCAAAACTACCTATGGTCGCGTGAGTGGCCAGGTTCTATACGCCATCAATTGATCTTGAAGGTGGTCATTCGGAATAGCCGTGTGGTTATAGTAGACTATCGAGGCAATCTTGTAGTGGACACATTTGTCCGGCCGACGTGAGTAGGCAACTGATGCGCCTTTTTGGGGTGCTCATCTAGACTCTTCACAGCCAGCCGGTGAGTGACTATAGAACTGCTCAGACGGGGATAAGACCTGTCCATCTTGCCGGCGGTAAATTAAAGGATACGCACGACCTTTCGCTGCTGATTATTCAATAGCGCCTCAATTCGACGACGTCCAGCGGTATGTAGCGGGTCTACTGAAAGGCAAGATTCTGGTCGGTTACGCGTTGTGGAATTTTCTTTCGGTAACAACAGCTGTTCATCCAGTCGTAATGTATCATATGCTGACCTCTATGTTCTTCAAGGTATTGGGTTTGTCACATCCTGCCATAGACACCCGCGATACAGCGCTCTTCATGCCATTCCGAAAAAGTTTGAAGTATAAGCCGAACATCATGGTACCGTTGGTGACATTGGTACGGCAACTCATGGGTCATCATATCGGACTACAGGGAGAGGTAGCGGTACGTCCGCGGCATGCCATCTTTTACCGTTCAGTAATCCTGACTGTATGCATGTGCAGGTCGAAGAAGCCCGGGCATCTCTCGACCTCTTCCGTTCTTGTGAACAGCTGTGGGAGGATATCGTCAAGTCGGGTGCTTGGCCTTGCTGTTTACCCCCGACGGCATACGGAAATTGTTTCATCTAGTCGGTTCCGGTCAATATTGCTGAGAAATTATCTTCTACGAGCCGGGCGTATGGATGGAATGTAGGCACAACTATGCAGGAACCTTAGACTGCTTCTACCAGGTAAAAATTACGTTTGATATTTTTTTTTTTGCCATGCATCGTGGGTTATTCGATACCGGGGTTGATCAATCCAGTCCGAGGGCGAGTGTACGCTGTGTTTGCCAGGCAATTCTTGAAAGCAATTAGACGAAAGCAAAATCGAAGAAGCAGGGATATAATAATACACGTGTCCACAAAATATTACAACGTAGCGGCAGCAAGGTCTGCTTCCTTTTTGCTCAGTCTATCAATTTCTCCTTCCAAAGCAATATTTGCCATCTCAATTTGGAGGACACTTGAGATGAGTTCTGTCCACCGAGTCTCAAGTGTTGTGAGTTGGTTGCCGACGCGAGTCTGGAGGGATACGGAATCATGAGAATCGTGAGCAGAAGGACTTGACTAGTGTACTCACTTGGAAATTCTTCCTATCCCGATTTACTTCAGTAGTCAACTCCTTCAGCTCCTCAAGTGCTTTCTCTAAGTTTTTGGTGGTGGTTTCAAGGAGGTAATTATGTATCCGCCATGCATTAGCACCATAGTTCTGCATTAACGCAATATTGGCATGTCTTCAAGGAGTAATTAACAGTGAATGCTGAAGCTGCGCGCACAAACGCACCGTATTCTTTGATGCTCTAGTTGCGCATAGGCATTGTCGAGAGCAGCTTGCCAATGTTCCTGTGTCGCAGGAACGGACGTAGGTCCAGGAAGCTGGTAACGAGTAGTGTCGAGTTGAGGTAGTGGCTGGTGTGCCTCTATGCGCGCAAGCTCAGCCTGCAATAGTGGGTCTTTCTGGGAACAGAGATTAGTAATGTATACTTGAGTTCTTGTGGATCAACGCGGTGCACAAACAGAGAATAATTCAATCGGTGGCGGGACGCGAGGGTGAAATGTTGTTGAAGACTGGACTTCTCGAGCAATGAGTTTTTCTGCTCTTTCCTTCAGACTCGGATCCCTTTCCAAGTCATTGTCATAGTACGGCAGAGAATCAAAGATAGCAGGAGCCTGAGCTGTTTCTGAGGTTTCGATGGACATAGTGTAGGAACGGAGGAAGCAAGCGTAGGATGTAAGTCGTGGGAACTTCGCGCTCTCGTCTAAGTTCACTGTACGCATCATTCACTCTTGTACCAACCACCGCTCTCTAGGTTAATATGTCCCTACGTGTAGCAGCTCGCTCTAGTCGGCTGCTGAGGGCAGTACCTGCTCGTCAGACTGTCGTCGGTGCAGCCCACGCTGCGCGGAGGATTCATTCATCTCAGTCGGCCAAGGGTGCGCTATACAACAAATCTCATTGGTTGATTGACATAGCTTACCGTCCTACAGCTTCCGCTTCGCCCTTCACTGAGCCTACTTCGCCAAATCCCACTCTCACCAAGTATGCAGAGACTACTGAGAAGCTGCATCACTATGGCTCTTATATCATGCAATGTCTGCCCAAATTCGTCCAGCAATTCAGTGTGCTCAAGGATGAACTGACTCTGTACACTGCACCTTCTGGCATCATTCCTGTCCTCACCTTCCTTCGTGACCACGCGCAGTGTCAGTTTAAGAGTTTCGTGGATATCAGTGGCGTTGATTATCCGGAGCGAGACAAACGGTTTGAGGTTGTGTATCACCTTTTGAGTGTGAAGTATGGTGGCAGGATCAGGGTGAAGACGTACGCAAGTGAAGTGGACCCCGTCCCCACCGCAATGCCCGTGTACACCGGTGCCGATTGGTGCGTTCTATATCTGACGGTCTTCCTGCATCGACCGTTAACTCCATGGTAGGTATGAGCGAGAGGTGTGGGATCTGTACGGCGTCTTCTTCGAAGGACATCCAGACCTGTAAGTCATACTACGCACCTCGCTTTTTGCCCGATGTGACCCATTCTCTGTCAGGCGACGTATTCTCACCGATTACGGTAAGTTGTGATGCTCTTTCAATTCAGGACTTCTAATAATCATTCACTGTATAGGCTTCGAGGGGCACCCTCTCCGCAAGGACTTCCCTCTTACAGTATGTGCACGTATGATGAACCATCTTGCTCGTGTTGATGTTTTGCTCGTAGGGTTACACTGAAGTCCGATATGACGAGGAGCGCAAGCGTGTTGTTTACGAGCCTCTCCAAATGACTCAAGCCTTCCGGTCAGTAGACTGGAACCTTGATGTATGAACGCGCATCTAACTGGTTATGTTCACAGAAACTTCGATTCTGCTTCTCCTTGGGAGCAAGTTGGTGAAGGAACGGAGCCGAGAAGACCTGCCGACTTCAAGCCAGTCCCTCCACCCAAACCTGAGGAGCAGAAGAAGTAGAGCTTATATTCTGCATAATACATCTGTTCTTTCACCCCCTTCGAAGGATTCACAAACAACAGGTGATAGTAGTACACAGAAAGTTGGGTATCAAAACAAATCCATGTCCATGAGGCTTCAAGCAGCTTCAGTAACAGATACAGTGGGTTCCTCAGCTTTCTCTTCAGGTTCCTGCTTCTTGTCCCAGCCCATTCTCGATACGACATATTCTTGGCCAAGGACCTCGACTCCTAGTCTAATGGCTTCCACAACTAGGTCCTCGACCCAATCATATTGATCCCAGAGGTCCAGCCACTTTCCAGGGATAGACTGTGTGATCGTGGAGTGAATCAATTGGTGTGACGGGTCCGAGAGGTAGAGAATGAACTGGAGAGATGGATGTGAAGCGGCACTGCCCTCGGGGGAAGTTGATGATTCTGGAAGCGCGACTGAAGTTATGAAGGGCTGTATGCGGATATACACATATGAATAGGTGGTCGGATTTTGAGCTGAGGATGTCGCAGGTGGCGGTTGAATATTACGCTTAATGAGTTCATCCAGGTTCGCCTGGTACAGGTGAATATCACTCGGCGTCACCGATATATTAATATTGCATACCTGAGCGAGCTTAAGTGCGGCTTCATACCCATCAACAGCACCAAGGTCCCTCTTATCCGAGGAGGTTTCCTTGGGTTTTGACTCGTCGCCGCGGTTGACAACAAGATCACCGCCTTCCACTTGCTCCAGAATCTAAGGAGGAAAGGTGTCAGAATTGGCAATACATTACAGCTTGTAAACTCACGCGAGCGAGAGCACGATACACCAATGACTCTACGCCGTCATAACCCCTCATATCATGGCTCAACCAGACTTGGATCACTTCGTGCTCCGAGATAGGTGGTGCGACAACATTCAGAAGGTCGGTCAATGTTGAGAGACCGACTCGCTTGAAATCTTGGCCTAAGAACCGTTTATGAGATACATATTTATTGATTGAGTGTGTTACTCTGAACTTACTGAGTTTATCCAACTGTGCTGTCTTGGCATATTCTAGTACACCTTCACCCCACTTCCGAGCCTGCTCGTTCTTGGGAAGGTTCTTTACTTGCTCGTCAACGACAGACTTTGCCTGCTGTATGGCAGCACTGGCACTAGACCAGACACTTCCCCATCCCCATCCTCCAGGATTAGCGTTTTGATTGACATCCTTTGGAGGAGCAACAGTCGTCCTGGAACTTGATGATTCTGTGCGGGAGAGAGCAGGCGAACCGCTACTGGAGGAATTAGGTAACAAAGGTACCGCTCCCCCGCCGACCTTCACTCTTTCGGTGCTCTTCCTCAGTGAAGGTGTCCCCGCACGCGAGAGTGGACGTTCCAAATGAGAGGAGGAACGTGGCGGTTCTGTGCTCTTCTGGGTTATCTCATCAATGAATGCGAAAACCTCTGCCTCTCCGGCTGCAGGTGCTTGTGTTCCTGCGACTATTGGTGCAGAACCAGGCGGGGGCATTTCGAAGGAATCGAGATCATCAAGCAGTTGGTTGACTTCATCTTGCTTGGACTTCGATTTCGTAGCCATGATTGAGGAGGATAACAGTGATATCAGAACCTAAGGAGTTGGAAAAGAATACGGAAGTACAAGCAAAAGGGATCAAAAGGCGAATTGCTGTTGCAAGGCAACCTCTGACAACCTTGCAAGCTTCTGAGTATGGGTATGCTAAGCGCCCATAATAGTATGAATCAAGTGTTTCGATTTAGATAACTTACCTTTCCGCCACCATTCTTTGTTCTCATATTCAATCTCGTGCAGCATGGCGAAGAAGAAGAAAGTAGGGGAAGAGGAGCAATTTCACGTCGGTGCGCCACTGTAAGGTTTGCAATGTTCGAGGGTCAGTTTCTTAACCGACATTCCGTAGAGGTGATCACAAAGGCAAGGGTGAACAAGAGTAAATGGGTAAGCCCTTCGGACTTCTCTGGGTTATTCGGCAGACTTGAATACGTTTGCGTCAGGAGTACTACGTCAAGGTAACCATTACGCAACTTTCTGTGAACGCCTGCTAATGTTCGCCATGTTTCGATCTCGATGTAGTGGGCAGGTTACGATTCAGAGGACAATAGGTACGTACTTCATCTTTCGTATCATGAATATTCAGCTCAAATGTATGCAGTTGGGAACCGGAGTCAAACGTGGAGACTTGTGATCGTCTCTTGAAGAGCTTTTGGCGCAACTTCCCTCCAGATGACGAGGATTACCCATCAGGAACTATACTTGAAGCGAAACCTGAATGGATTGGTATGCCATTCCTCTACGAATGGGTTTATGCGCTAACATGTTCGCTAATAGAACAAGAGAAGAAGTATTTCGCGAAGAATTTTGAAGGAACTCTGAAACAAGAGAAGGAAGAGGAAGAGGAGCCGAAACAGACAAAGAAAAGCAGGGGAAGGAAGGCTGTCAAACGAGTGCGTATTTTTGAATCGTTTATTCTTTCTCATATTCATTCTCGATCCTTACAGGAAGCTTCGACATCGTCACTGAGAGTGGGAAGTTCCAAGAAGATCAAGAAGGAGATACCAGTTAAGATATTCGATCAGAATTTTCATTCTAATACTCAACCTGATGACTCGCAGCCTTCGTCTCCTCAAAGCTCTGAAGATGAAAGTATATCAAGCCACCCGCACCGGAAAAGACTTCGCAAACCATCACCCGAGGTGCGACTGATCCAACGCCGCTAAGTTGTACTTACTAACCACCATTGTAGTACGCTTCGGATAGCTCAGATGACAAGCCTCTGAAGAAGATTCCAAGGATTCATTCCTCCAAGAGTGGTTCAACGGTATCATCTTCTTCAAAGGTTTATTCACATTTTCTATTGCCAGAAATATCATTCAGAACAATATGTAGGGCAAAGAACGAGCGCAACCCACTCCGCCTCCGACAGGAGGGAAGGCTACACCACCAGTCCAGATCCAGAAAGTTAGACTACCAGCCACCGCACCGAAGTCTGCGCCCCCAGTTCAGAAAGTCGACATTTTTAAGGTAGCGAATACGATCGCGTCTCTATCAGTTTTTGCCTTCTTCGGGAACTTATTGCGTTGATCTGTAGGGTAACGAGCGTGCTCAACCAGCACCTCCGGCGAAGAAACCTCCCGCGCCGCAAGCATCGAATGAACGTGCATCCAGTCCATCTTCCCTCTTTTCAGCACCTTCAACTCCCAACATATCTGCCAACAAAACCTTGCCGTCGGCCCCTGAGCCAATTCGCCCCAAACCAGCAGAACCGCCCACCAAACCTCTTCCGTCTCACAGGGCCCCCGGGAGAATCAAGTTGATGGATTTCTCTGAGCAGAATACGTCGAGTGGAAGTACCATACCCACCAAACTAAGAATCGCTAGAGGTGCTTCTGGCTCCGGACCAAAACCTGCTCAAGCTGCTAAAGCCGTCAATCAAACAACCAATAAACCTAGCCTTGAAGATATCATACCCAAGAAGCCGTCTCTAAGTTTGCTTAATTTCAAGAGGAAACCGAAAGGTGCAGAAGATGGTAAAAGTCCCACATCCCCACAGGTCGCTTCCGCTACATCTTCAACTGGAGGGTTTGACTTTGGCCAGAGGAGTGCAGGTCAATCAAGCAAATTTTCCGACGTTGGCTCTCTTGTTCGTTCTCCTGCGTCAATGCACGATGATTTGCCTGGCGATCAGTTGAACGACATCAATTATTTGTTCGAGGAGCCACCACCTCCATCGGCAGCACCAGTCGAACGTCCAAAGGATCCTAGACGACAACTTCCACGTCGCACTTCAATGCAGAAGCAGGACCTGATGGTCGAAGCGGATCTTCTTCTATCCACAATGATGCCCCCAGCGTGAGTGTTGCATCATCTTCAAATATTTCATTTTGTTCAGTTTTGTTTCCCCCCACAGGTTAGCTGCTCCTATGCAGTGAGTAGCGATGTCCGAAGTATATGGTTGTCCGTTCATTGACCGTTTATCTGTGTAGTGAACCTACTGGACAGGAGGAGCTCACTTCACCAGTTGCAGGCCCATCCGGATTCACGGCGTCTCGTATTGTACAACAACAGTCCATGTCCAGGTTTGTTACATTATTGTGCATTCTTCATTCCGCCCTTTGATTATTTCCCAGAATACCAAAGAAATGGAAGTGGACCGGCGAGCTCTATATGGATACCGGTCACGATATGGCAACGAAGCTTTGTAGTATCACCTTGTCAGATCCTACCGAACCCAAGCCTCAGGGCTTGCGTCTGAATATCTGCCTCTCAACGGCGGATTCAATTCGATTCAAGAAGTTGCACGACGCACCAGATTTGCCGACAATGCTTCAAGCGAGCGAACCTGTTCAACAATTCTGTAGGGTCACACACAAAGAAGCCGAGGACCTCAATGCTTTGAAGACTCTTCAGACCTACATGACCAAGAAGCGAATGGTACATATTCTGTTTCGTTTAAAACTGAGCTATCTCACACCCTAGACTACAGTTCACATATGCTCACGTGTATCTTGACCACAATCCCGTCGCTCTATTGGTTGTATTTCCTTCCACACATACCGACATTTGTAACCTCCTCAAGGTCCCACTGTATCTCGCCCATGACGGTGCCTTGATAGCGGCCCTTATCCCTTGGACTCTTGCCTCTGAACAGTACCAGAAGAACCGCTGGACAAAGAGTCGATCACTCATATCCGCCACTGAACATGGTTTAGATCCCGGGTTCACAGAACTTTTCAAGACAACCGGCAAACAGCTGATTCTCACTCATCCTTCACTACAACGTGGTCTTCGTATCCATAAGTTCCCGAAGAAGCTCTTTGACAGTTTGACCAAGAAGCCTTATTGCGTATGGTTCTCGCCGACAGACGGACCCATGAACAGTCCAGGCTTCGAAACTGCTTCCTTGAAAGCTGTCCTGAAAGCTTGTGGCGCGTTCGATGTCGGATACAAGAAGGATGTCAAGGCTATCTTCGTCCATGTCGGCGCTCTCAACACTATGCACAAGGTGCCATCTATCGCGAACCGACGTGCTAAAATACCTGATCTCCGATTTTTCACTTACGGAACGCACGAGACTGTGCCCCCTGAGCGATGGGGAGTGCGTGAAGTGTATCCCATAGGTAAGGCTTCTTGTATCCACGGGCTTGGTCGAGTAAGCACTAATAACGTCCAACAGGCGGTTGCGTAACTTTTACACCTTCTGCATTCCTCGAGGATCCTATAGGAGTCTACCAGTTGATCAAAAAATTCGATGAACATCCATTCTGGGCAGTTTTCCTTCCGCCGAATGTGGTCGGCGTCATTGCGAAAATGGTTTGTAATGGGATAGATCCTGTGTCGGTGTTTGATAGGTAAGCTCTGTCATGGTTCTCTTCTGTTGCAGCTGTTGAATCTGTTATTTAGTGATAGCTTCGTCTTCACGCCTCTTTTGAAATCAATTAAAGAGGGTGAAGTTTCTCTGCTAACGGCGCCGCCTTTGCAACGATACCCCAAAGAATCTCTCTCAGTAGAGCGCAGGTGGGATGATCCGGCGATGACTTGGATAGTGGCACAATTTCACCAGATGTCAATGACGCCTCGGGACTTGTTGGATTCATGCATGCGGTCGTTGCAGGAGAAACATGCTAATGCAGATGACAAGACGTTGGTTGCTACAATCGGAAGAGAAGCCCTGGAGGAAATGAGACAAATGCAATTCCAGCCGGTTCTCATGGATTCCTATCGACGGTTTGTGGTTATCAAGGCTAGGAAGGAAACAGATCTCAACGATCGTAACGATACTGTGAGCATTCCATTCTGTTCTTATCCGGAATACTTTTTTCTTACAAACCCGCTAGCTGGAGTGTACTTCACTAGGGGAATTCAAGTTTAGAGATGAAGCTTTCGATCTTCCTAAGAAGTGATCGAATGTAGCAGGTTATTAGGGCTCCTACCTCTCCCGTATCTATTTGTACTTTCCTTTGGTATCCTGTTGTTTTCTTTGCTTGACTTGTTGTTTCTCATGTATTCACATATATCCTAGACAGAAAGGGTTAATTCCGGAGAGTCTCAGAGGGTACAACGGTGGTCACCTAGGATTCCAAGTTGAGGTTTGTGAGAGATGTGCGGTCTCAAACTTTCGCTGAAGCTGTGAAAGGGATGATAATCGTAGAACTCAGTAAAGAGGGGATTTCTTAAAGTTTTTTTAGCTCATCTGGGCTCAAATCAGAGTGGTTATAAGTACGTTCCGTAGAGACCCCGTCAGGACTAGAGAAGAAAATCCCAAGTATCAGACAGGTGTTGACAGGGTCATTTTGGCGACAAACTACATGGGCCTGCCGGACATGGCTGGCTGTTCGCCGTAGTACGTACTTCAAGCTTGTGCATGCTGCAAGGATGTTCGGAATTGAGATAGAGAAGCACCCCAACCTAACAACTTCATTGAAGTTCGGAAAGCAAAACCATGACTATAACAGGTTTGAACGATCGATTGAAACGATGGCCGATCACAATGACATGTTGATTAGCCTCGAACACGAAGATGACCGGCGAAAGGACTCCCCCCATGTTAATCACCGTAACTGGGTAATCCAACAAGCTCTAAATGTGACGGCAGGACGGAGAAAAATAGGCCCGTGCTGTCCATCGTTGAACCTTGTTGATGCCAGATGCCTCTGACGCCAAATTGTGCTCTTTTCCTCCACACGACTACCACAACCCCGCTTGTTTTTCTTATTGAGGCCCAAAAACTGCACTTCGCGTGTATCAAGTTGGATGGGCATGAGTGTGACGGTAGTTTTATCGATGCTCCGAAGGCGACGCAGGAAGAATCGAGTCTATTGTTGAAGGTACATCCTGCCACTTGGGGACCTTTTGGTCGGAAAAGGAGTGACTGATTGCTACAAAGTCAATCACGACAGTTTATCGTGTCTTCAAGGGCACCCAGACCACCTGGGTCCCACATGGATGACGTTGTAGCTGAAGCTGGTCGTTTTGTAGGAACCTCACGGGTGTCGTTGGGCATTTGCAGGCGGGGCCTCGGCATGTTAGGTAATAAGCACGCAGTTGAACATGTGCGAATCAAAGGGAACGAGATTCCTGTCACGTATAGTATCAATGAAATGTAGTTTAGGCAGAGATATCTTCAACCAAACAAAGATTCAACACTCTGTCACTCTACCTGAGAAACAACATCAATTGGTCGGTGAATAGCAACAATAAGGTATCGCATGTGCTATTGTAATCAGAGTCCGGACCATTGTTCACAACGGTTGTTTACTGTTGCAGTTGGAGTAGAAAATCCTTTGAGGTGGACGTTCGCATCTATACGTCATCCATCGGGTAGTGTTGGCGGCTACCTCACCGGCTGCAGTCTGCAGAAGGGAAACTGGACGATAGCATACCAGCTCCAAGGCAGTTCTTCCACCCCGATTGTCAGCTACAAAGATCGGCTGTCGATGAGCGAAGCTCTCGCAGAACCAGCTAGAAGGACGTGCCGACGACTTCTCCGTTGCTTTACCGTCACACAAGAAGCAACTGCGATCCAGATACACTGTAGAACTCTTGACGCAGTTCCACCTATGCGACACCACAGTCCTAACCTGGACACCCCAACTATCGGAGATGAAACTGGGTTCGGCATACCGGACTACGTTGAGGCTCGAACATCCAATGTTGAACGAACGATTGAATCGTTGGAGTACAGAATGAATTAGAGTTGATCAGGTGCGGAAGTCGGACGGCTCTGAGCTGAAGAATACATATCGGTGTGTCATCCTTGACCTGCTAAGTGATCTGTATTTCAGAGTGACGACATAGTGCGGTATCCATCGCTGGAGGGAGACAATACTCTAGAGGAGTCCGGTGGATATGGAAAAGCCACACAAGTGCCGTGAGGACATGCTATTGGAGAGTGATAATCCCTATAGCTCCTCAGGTGACTATGGATGGTACGACAAGACGTCTCGATCACTAGTGCCGCATATGTATCGGCCAACGTTCTAGGATCACCATTGCGCAGGGAGGCCATAAAACTGTGCTGGTTATTATCCTCGGCGACGTTCATTGCGGCCAGTACACTACGTCAGTCCTTCCATTGTTCAGCCTTAGGACAACGTAGGCCCTTCTATATCCCAGGTCGGCATCCCATCAAGCGCCCACACCGATGCTCTGAAAGGGTTTACTGCTCAACGTTGGCCCGAGAATGAGCGTCTTGTCGGGGGAACACTGGGCGACCTGCACACATACGCCTACGAACGCGTCTTAGCAGGCATTTCAAGACAGATAGCAAAGTGCATACCGGAAGCTAGGTTGGACTGTCTGGCTGCCAGGCAGGTCTCGCCAAGGAGAGAACCTTGGTATATGCTCCGGAGTGCCGATCATGCGTGGAATAACAATTCCGGGGAGTGTCATTTCCAACCCAACCCTAGTGCCAGCCGGTGCCATTCGCCTGTGAGTCGGATGGAGCGTAGAATCATCATTTTCTATTCTTGATTTCCAAGCCGTCAAGTTGTGAGGAAATAACAAAGCCCTTCAACGATTTCGATAGCAGAAAGCATGCTGGCAGAGACAAGGGATGAGCGCAATATGAAAAAATGTTACTGCTCGAACAACGGGCATCGTGAGCGGAGAGCGGGATCAACAGACTCTAGTTGCGTCGCTGGCGCCACCGCACTGGATAAGTCCAGTACCTTGTTTCAAGGCTAAATGAGGTCCTGTTTCCCAGTTCTTCGCCTGGCTCCTTATCGGTTGACCGTCAGCCATGGATGTTAACAATGAGTTCACCCTCTCTTAATTCGTTGTATACCACCTACTCTTGACCGTGTTTGCCTTTCATAGCTGTCTTCTTCATTCCTTCTACTTGAGCTAGCAGATCTCGCCTGGACGCCCCGCACGCTGGCTTGAGACAGCCCCAAAGCGACGAAACCACCATGGAGGCACCCTCTAACCATCCCATCTTTCATCCTACCGCCCAACTCGATTCAGCACCGCCCGACCTCGTTCTTATATCCGCCAACCGAGTTGCGTTTCATGTCCATCGTCGCCGCCTCCTCACTGCATCCACCAACCACTTTGCCTTCCTCCTTGATCGCCCCGCCGTGACCATTGTTGCGTTGCCGGAAAGCTCGCAACTAATTAGCGTCATGCTTCATGCCATCTACAATCGACCGATCGGTTCACCTCGACCCACTTCGGCCATTCTCATTGCGGCATTCGATACCCTCAAGAAATACGGCATACCCTTGAATGAGTATATTCGCCTCAATACACCACTTTTTACGGCTTTAAAGACCTTGGCTCAGTATCAGCCAATCGAGCTTTACACCCTCGCCGCCGAGAATGACCTATACGATCTCGCTGCCGCCGCGTCTTCGTATCTCATATCGTATAATCTGTCCTCGATCACCGACGAAGTGGCCGTTCGTATGGGCTCTATATACCTTAAGAAGCTTTTCGTACTCCATTCTCGTCGGACGAAGGTATTGAGAGGGCTATTGCTTACCCCGCCTGCTACCCATGCACCGACGCGCACATGCGACGCAAGCAATCAGCTTCGTCTTCTGAGGCACTGGGATCTGGCAGTCGCTGCTCTTCAATCCCGTGTCTCTCCTAGTGGGTTTTTCAATCTCCAAGAATACTTAGAGCCGACCCTGACCTTGCATTCTCATGTACAGGCATGTCAATTGGAAGCATTCGGTCGATTGTTTCTACCGTCGAGCCTCTGCTTACTTGTCGCGACTGCAAGGCTGCATTGGATACTCGTGTTCGGCAAATGATCATGGATTGGGAAGACACTCCGGTGAAGTGTATTTCTCAGTTCCTCATGCCTTACACTCACATGAGGCCGCGATGCTTGCAGAAGACGATTTGAGCAATACTAATCATGAACACATATCCAGGGTTTCTTCTGCGAGAGTCGTTGAGAAGCTTTTCACAATCTTTCAGCCTCGGTGTTCGGCATTTCGTAAAGTTTCGTGAACGGCCCGCACTTATCGATATCCACGGCAAGCTTTCAGGACTTGAATTGACCTAAGGTAGTAAATACTTCCTTAGAGAACGGTTACTTTAGCGGACTGTCCCGCCTCTCTTCCCAGATCTCGACCCTATGCGACCCTCATGTTTTCCTGCGTACGGTAGCACTGCAGAATGGTTCGTTTCCGTATCGATCAGGGAAGGAACCTCCGTTTCAAGTTCGCTATTGCTCGGATATCCCTTAACCCGCCCGGCTATCTGCGCTGCTACTTTAGGCCCTTGAAAAACTTCCCCACAACTCTACTTCAAGACAAGAGGAGCATGACACCAGGCACAGCAATGTAATCAGCAGTCAGCAGGCTGGACCCAATGCCGTTATTCTGGTCGCTCTTAGGTTGCAATTGGGCCCAACACTCACTCGCCACGTCCGCTTCTCTGCATAAGTCCTTTTTCAGTGGCATCTTTTCCCTCTGAGGCCCGGTGAAGCTTCGGTCGTTCCTTTACGACATTGAAGGTCCGTATGTTCCCCCACGCGTGCCCTTGTGTAGTTGCTGAGGCCCTCACAGATGACCCCTTAGATCACTCAATTCGGAAGTATACCTAGGAATCCTGACGGCAACTCTGGGCTACCGCTGGCTGGTCGGCTGTGTCTTGTCAGTCTTGGGAATGTCCTGATTACCCCTTCAGCATGTTTTGACTTTTTACAACCTCGATACGAAAACCTGGCTTTGCACCACGTCAACTGGACGGCACACTTGGATCCCTTGGAAAGGTGGCGATACTGGAACTCCCAGCCCTATACCGACTTTCTTGAGTTGTTTCGCGCGCTTGACCGAATCCGGCGTTCCTTTACGTCTTCTCCATACATAGCGTGTTCGTACAAAGCATAAAACACATGTTGATGTCGTTATCTTATAATGAATTGAATGCCTTATGCAGCTCGCTATGAGTGACTCGACAGTGCATTCAAGGCAGAAAGAGAACAATCGATTGAGATGATGTATCATTACATTGTCGGTTTACCTGCCACAGCTGAACGTGAAACAATACATCTTCGTCAGAGTATTGCTTTGCTTAGCGACACCGTATGTGCCTGGCCAACACAAGCCGACTGGTGGGAGGGGATGGTCTACCGTTGATGCAGAGATTCGGTGCTCACTGCTCGACGCTCAGCCCAAATTCCTCCTGAGTCGAAATGGGACTTCTTGGTGATGGATTTCTGTGGGAAGAAGGTGTAAGTCCTTTTGCATTGAGCTTGAACTTGAATCACCACCTTCACTGTTTTTCCAAAAGTTGATACTTGGAGCACTGTTCGCGGAGTTCATAAAATACAGTTTCACCTCCGACAGGTGATACGGCATCCCCGGCAATGATTCGGAGACTGTTTGACGACCACAAGTGCGTTGACTGCTCACTGCTTGACTGTCGAGAATACATCAGTGCAGATATCAAGAGGTACCCTATGTTCGAGTGGACTAAGAGTTGAACTAGAGGATCTGCAGCGTTATGGTTTCACAATTGGGCCGACAGTTACCCAAGTCGGTTCTGGATGAAACAAAGAATCAACCCGATGACGGACTGTGAATAGACGTTAGAGAGAACCTTGGAGGGGACATACGAGACGCAATCCCGTGAACGTTTGAATCTGAAGCGTCCAAATGCGAAAATTATGTGTTCGCAATGCTAGGACAGAGGATAAACACGATCTTGCTTGAACATGATATTCACATGCCACGCACTCTTTCCGGAAACGGCTGGTCGTGATCGGCATCTTGCAGTTGGGTGGATCCGAGTCGCGACTTGCTGTATACCTTCTCCTCTTACCCCATTTTCCCCTCCAGACCTTAACCTATATCCACCCGCTGTTCTAGTACGAACGACGGACATGTCTGATACCTTAGCAAGAATCCTTACAGACCCTGCGTATCATGACTATCTTGGTATCCTAAAAGGCGCACGCAATGGCTTCGTCTACGGTGTCAAAGTGCGATTTCCTCACGCGCTCATTATGGCCATCTTGTTTGGTCGGGCAGAGTGAGTTCAATAGCTTTGAATGTCGTTTGTGATGATCTAAATCTGCCTTTAGTTGGCCAACACGACTGCGCGCGATCTTCCGAGCGACCAAGCAACATGCTTTGAATCTTGCCAAATTCGTCTCCATTTATAAGACCTTCCTTTTATTACAAAAGAAGGCCAACGGAGGCAAAGAGCGAAGCTTTGATACTTTCGTAGCTGGTCTCCTTAGCGGATATATTGTCTTTGGTGATCGAAACGCCATTAACGAGCAGGTACAGTGCTTCACGTTATCGGCGTACGGCTCATGCTTATATTGCAAAATAGATTGTTCTATACGTCTGCTCTCGGGTAGTCGCATCCTTCATACCCCGTGCCTCAACCCCATACGCCATGTCATCGACCGCTTCGTCAACAGGCCGTCCAGTACCCCCAGACGCTCGATACTTCTCAATATTCGCGGCCTTGTGCTGGGGGGCCGTAATGTGGCTATTCAATGAGAGAGGAGAGACCATCCAACCTGGGATGTTCAATTCCATGACGTATCTCTATCGTGATTCTGATCGCTGGTCGAATCTTCGGACGCTCTTATGGCATAACAAGTAGAGTACCATACGCTTAGTGGTGTTTTCTGCACAAGGGATACTGCCTAATCACCCCCTTGTCGTCTTCATAGAATAGACGTATTCATACCAGCATTTATCAGCATTATATTGGGATTCTGTCATTTCTCTTGGGCACTTTGGCGCATTTGTACTGCAACTCATCTGTTAGCCGCTGAAGCCCATGAATCACCAAGTTCGCGGCGGTACGTACCTCGAGCATAGATAGCGCTGCCGTGCATGCGCGAGTACAGGTCTCACACTGAACGAACGTTTCCTTGACTTGGGCCATTTCCGCGGCGACATCAGTAGCTAAGAAGAATCAGACGAATATCAATTGATACTCTCATATCACAGGTATAAAGAAAGGTTTCACCAGCTTCTATCAAATGAAGAATATCCTCTTTCCTCCGTTCCCATATAAATACAGTCTTCTGAGCATGCCTGGAGCATTCTCCATATCCGTGCGGAAAGATGGATTCGCCTCGTAGAATTTCACGGAGTCTCTTGATCCGGAAGTCGTGCAGAAGGACTAGCTTGTGGTATGCTTCTGCAGTAGGTATAGCTTTCAAGTCTTCGACGGAGTAGCTCGAAAGAGGGGGATCTAGCAAGTACATGCTGGTCTTGGCCGCGATGGAGTCAAGGCCTAATTCCACCGCGTAACCGTAGACGCGTAACGGAAATACCGAAGCGTAGGAGGCTAGATGCGAATATAAACACTCAGTGAGTTCTGGGGAAAGAGCGTATTTGTCTGCGAGCTTGAGCAGAGACGGGATGAGGGGAAATGGGATGGCGGACTGGGGAAACATCAAATGAATACGGCTCGATTTGATAGGTGATTTCTCTGCTTTCTCCTCCTCGTAGGGTACCGGGGGATTATGGAGAAAGCGAAACAAAAGGTTCAGATTGGTCGACGATTCCATCAGGTCGAGGGTATGGGTGTCTTCATCGAGGGAATCGAATACATAACCCGATTCACAACAACTAAACATATCACCTGTAACAAGCAAGAAATACTTAGTCGTTAATGCACTTTCGGAATTTGACTGAATGACATACCAAAGACGCTGCTTCCTTGTTCGAGGCATTGGCGCTGTACCTTGAAGCAATCGCCATCAGGGATAGAGCGTACTACAAAGTCAGGCTCATCACACTGGAAGGTTGACCACTGAGGCATCTCAGAGCGTAATGAGGAGTAAGTACCTCAAACTAAGCGGACCTATTATAGCAAAATGTTCGTGAACTGCGGTGCAAAGATGTCGTTGTCAATGACTCGCCCCCCGTCATGGGAATAGACATACCTGGCATTGAACAGCCTCAGCCGCAGTTCGTAGTAGAGATAAGGTAGTGCACACGCAAGTGTGTCGTGGAATTATCTGGAAAAGCGTAGTATATCTGGATTGTGCTAGACGTGTAAACGTGTCAGGCCGAAGTAGGACAGATTTGTCAACGCAGATCGATCCTGAAGATGCTGGAGGCTTTTTGATACACGTACATGAAGAAGCATGGCCGAGATCATGCAAGAAGGGGGGAATATATGTACATCGTGTAAGCAGAACCGCCGGCACCAACAAAAAGGGCGGTAGCAGTTGAAAAGAACGATCATCATTCAGCACAAACCAGATGCCCTAAGAGAAAACCAGAGTAGAAGGATGCAAAACGTGGTATCATAATGAATGGTGAAAAAAAAAGATGAGAAACAAGCGGAGCGATAAAATGGGGTGGGTTCTATGGTAAGTCCTGGGATGTTGCCCTACATGATAATACACTTTCGTCCAATCCCCCCCCTCTTCTTCTCCTCTGGTGGACGAGTTGGTCCTGGTGTTGCAAGTTCTTGCTCTTTCGTCTGCCGAAGCAATCGTACAAGAGTCGTAAACAGACGTTCGACGTTGTGCGCTGTTTTCGCGGACGTCTCAAGGAATTCGCATCCAAATGTCCGTGCAAGCTGCAAGCCTTCTTCCCGTGTAACCTCCCGCTCGTATTGCTTGTCGCACTTATTGCCAACGAGCAAAAATACGACGGGGTTGTTCCGTTTTACTTTCAACATCGCCTGCCGAAATACCTCTAATCGCTCGAACGTCGCCCGGGACGCGATTGAGTAGACGAGGATGAAGCCTTGTCCTTCCCTAATGATCATAAGCTTAATCCCCCCTATGTGGAACACGGAACACCTACCGGACCCATTGATCCCGCAATGTTGCATACTCCTCTACAGGGGGGTGTGAACTCGGAGGGTCGAAAGAAAGGTGCATAGACACGAACCTTGGCCTGCGGTGTCAATTACTTCAACAAAACACATCCGATTGTCGACAAGCAATTGTTTGCGGTACGCATCTTCTATAGTGGGATCGTAAGTCTGGAGACATGTCATTTCAGGTTGGTCATCTGCACAGAGTCAAGGACGTGACAAACCTCTGTGGATCAAGGTGATTAGTAATGGAAGAGAATAAGGGTGGAAGGATGCTTACCCACAAAACAATTGAGTGTGAACTGGGCAGGAGACCATTAGGACAAGTCAAAGCGGGAGCAAGCGAAAGCTCACCTGTACAGCGAGAGCTGTCTTGCCCACACCACCGTCGCCGAGAACAGCCACTCTCCACGAATCCATTTCTAGCACGAATTGAGGGAGTGAGAAGCGGGAAGTAGAGTAGTAGTATGAGAAGAGAAAGCTTGAGAATAGGAGAGACGGGGTAAGCTTGGAAAGAGGAACCGAATGTCGTCAGATTCGTCGAGGGTCGTTAAAGAAGATGAAGAGCGGCTTGGGGTGAGGCCGCAGAGGATGAGACGGAGGAGAGCGTCGTGAGCAGGAGCGAGTGATAGAATAGCCTCTGTCGTCCCCGCCATGTATTTCTAGCGGGTCCCCTCCCCGGCACCCGCCGACCGTGCACCTCCTCTCTTCGGTATGTCTATCTCCTTATTGGGCACATTCACTTTATTTTTCGCTTTCTAAAAGGGCCATCCCCGCTTCACTTATCAGGCTCTCCTATGACCAATATCCAACCTACGCCCATCCTCCCACAGAAATGTACCGCCTCTGTCTCTCCAACGACTGCTCTCAGGACCGCTAGCTTCAATTGCTCCCGTACGTAATGATCCTCGAGGGTCTCTTTAGACAAGAAGGTTCCCTCGAATGCATGTCTCCATATCCCTTTCACTCGTCATGAGAACTACGACAAATATTTCACCGAGCATGGCTCTCTTCCCAATCATCCTTTTATAGTGCACTGGCCTGCACTCCGTTGCGAGGCACACACTCCTTGACATGGCACTTTCAACAACATTGGCGTCTCCATCGTAATCAGATAAGTACAGCAAGTCACAATATACACTTGCTCGCACCGGCACTCGGAGGAAGTGCGCACACCAGACAGACGCCTCCCGTTCCAAATACTTGCCTTGTACACCGTCAATCCGTCTACCAGCGATTATACCACCGATAACCGAAAATCAGGTTGATCACCAAATGAGATGATGTACAGTCCCAACTGGCAGGTAGTGTAAACTGAGCTACTGAGCCAGAGGCATGCCAGAAGAACAGCGGATGAAGTTCCTGCTCTTGTGAAGATGACCGGATTGAGGCGCCAGCCAACTATTCCAGAAGTGAGCCTGGAAATCGAAGCTTGCAGAGAATAAACGACTCGTCCAAGACGACAAAGATGACCAAACGCCTTCTAAGGTCAAGTGGATAAAGTGTTTGTATGGCCAGTACACGAAGCCGCGTCAACAACGCAGGACCAAGCCATGGACGGCAGGCCTGTCTAGGAATAAATCCATAGACAAATGCCGCCGGAATGGGGTGCGCTTGAGGGTCCTGAAGAGCCTCCGAGGTATCTGTCGGCTCCGAAGCCTGAACGGAGAAAAGGCGAGCCGGCAACTCAAATCCATGACCGATTGACCACACAAGCATTGCCTTCGACGGTAGCCGTAAGATACAGGCACCGAGGCCCAAACGCGAGGCGGTTCCAGTTGAGGGTGTGCTTGGTATAAAGAGGCCCAGACCCGCATGGAGGGACCTGAGACGGGGTGAGAGTTTCGGAGCCCCGAATGGAAAAACTGCAGCGGAATAGTCTTGAGGATTTCAGGGGTACAAGACTTTCGGAGTATCTCCTTAATTAAATCGACACGCGAGAGGGAGGGAACGAGGCGTGAGAAAAACCGACCTGAAGAAGAGTCTTGTGAGCTTGGAGGACCCTTATAAGTGGTGAACCTAATATGGAGGAAGTGGCCTACCAAACAAAACTGCCCATATGCTGATCACCCCAAAGGCAGTCAATTCTCCCCACACGCAGGGAGTTCGACGAGGAGGTGGGTGGAGCGTCATATGAAAGGTAATAAGTGGGTAAGACCGGGCGCAGAGAGCTTATATTCAGACCCTTGAAAACGTTTAGAACGTTCCAAAGGCTGTAGTCACCCCCTACTGCCACTGGCCCATGCGTGCTGCCTGCGTCAAGGTGCCCGTCACTAATGATGCGAGGCATACGGAATGGAATGGACATCTGGAACAACACATGATGGCCATAGTCGTGTGCGCGACGGACCGATTGCAGGTCGCAGGGTTCATTCGGATAGCCAATGCGCGGCCTTCAAGATCGGCATAGATATTTCAAGCAGCTCCATGAACTTAAGACATGCTCTGTCACAAGGCCTGGAATCCATGGACTATGGAACCCTCTATCCTGCGCAGACAAATTGGTGTCAATACAATGCATGGAAACTTGAAACTGAGTTGAACAACCTGCCAAAGTGGTACCAGGCGTCTCATAGTAATTGAGATGAGCTGGCGGTGAGTTCAGGTGCTGACCCCCACGGTGCAAAAGATTCCCGTACGCTTCTAAACAGGTGTCTTATCCAGTCGCTCAATTGTTCGACACTGTAGATACCGCAGATGGTCCATGTCCAAGGCCAAACGATTGAACGGTGGCAGGTTGGCAGTTGCAACAAAAAAGTCGAACACCCAACTGTCCCACGACGACGTTCCAAAGAGTCCGTCTTACGCGGCGTCTAACGTACCAGGCCAGGTTTAACCGGCTCTAACGCCGCATCTAAGATCCCTCGATCTTTTACATACGCGATCGAGGTTACAGTCCAATACACATGCGCAACGTTCTCCACCAGGTTGACTGCCACCATTGACGATGCGGGACGCGTTGTTTGTACGAGGAGGCACGACGGCGCGACACGCTCGATCGGGGAGAGCGTGAGGAGATAGTACAGGAAGCTCCGTGGACTATTACCACTCGGAGCCTCGTGTAGGCCTCATTTTGAAGGGTCAACTGGCCAGTCCGTCAAGATAACCTGGGAGTGACACGCAATTCTGATGGACTTTGCCCTTCTGCTAGGTTGTGAATGGTGATGTGACATCCATTATTATGCCGATGGATGCTGAAGACTGCCATTCCGGCGTGTGATCCCGTGTTGTGTATTCCGGATATGATTAGGCCAGGAAATAGGATTGGTTATGCGGTAAGCAGTCACTCTAACCTGTCTGGGATACGCAACTGACGACGGTTTTACTTTAGCACTGTGTGGTTTGGGGCACGAGGTCGGATGTGAAACTACTGCGAATGGGAAGTCACTCCCGTCCATCGGTGTTCCGATAGAAGTGGCGCACTTAAATTCTACTCTATCTGGATCTCGCTCTTCACTTTCTTCCCCAATCCTGCGTCTTTGAACATCGCCGACCGTTGGCGTTCTGATGCTCCGAAAATCCCTTCAAACCCGGGTTCAGCTCCCAAGTTCGCCGAGGCATACCGTATCCTTCACCGCTCCGCCCAGACAAAAGCCCGCCGGTCAGAACTTAACTGCAAGGAAGGCGGTCGTTATACCAAGTCGGGAGATTTATTTAATCCCGTGTGAGAGCATTCACCTTTTCCCGATTGCTATGGCAGAAAAAGCCGCAAGCGCGATCAAAGTAACAGACAAAGATAGGCGATCATTTCCTATGAACGGTAGTCCAACTACTTGCCTACATGTGAAAGTGAAAACCCACTGCGCTTTATTTGTCCCTCTATGAGCGGCTTGTCGAACCTACGGTCTTGTCGGCACTGGCTATTGTTGTGAGTGACGCCTTCATGTCCCCGTTATCCGACTGTGGTGTTTATAGACTTCCGTCCGATAGGTCCATCTAAATCCTACTGGCCTAAAAATATGATACAGATACCTCGATTGCGTTTCTGTATCATCAAACCATGCCATGCTGTCCGGACCGCTATGACTGCTATGTTATGATTCCCTACAGTGAATCTCAACCCGGCCGCTATATTGGTCACATATCCTGTCTTCATCATCTATGAGCCGACCCCAAGTCAGCCAACTTGCGCCGACGCCATATCTGACAACTCTTTACATTGCTTGACTTGCTGATATTACGCTCAATTTGGATCCAGTCACATATGCATGTCCTAGCGTTCTTTGCGCAATATGCTTTTACATGCAACTTCCCCTTGATCAGGCCGCTCGACATTATCTGACACGGTAAGGACAACAGGAATCCAGATACAGATGTAAGGACTACATTGCAAAATAGGTGTGGTTGCGTGATCGGCCTTGGACATAGGCTTTACATGGACAGAAGAACAGACATGGTTTTTCAACGTACTTCCGCACATGCACCGCCTCCCAAAACGATGTAACATACTAGTCTCAGTCTTAGTTCAGTCTATTCCACGGGTTTGACTATAGGCTGGTTGAATCCTGTTGAATCTCCCCTGGGTGAGTGGCATAACGTACCGACCACTTTGAGTCTGTGATGGCACTGACGGCATTCTTCGACCTGATAGAATGAGGAAATCTGAATCACTTTTCCCAAAAGCGGCAAGGCGGACATCGGTCTATTGTTGGAATTCGATCCAGGCCACCAGGCCTCTAATCATTGGGGTTTCATGAACACTCTTCTTGCGTCATACCCATTGGTTCTACGACCTTCGAGTAAGTGTAACGCACTCGTCTATGCCTCTTTCTCAATTGTGGATGTCTAGTTGGCTTTTGTTCATCTGACACACACTACGAAACATGTTGTATCCCCGGTCTTACTAGTGCAATATATCAACCTCCATCCTGCTTTCACATCTCTGAGCCTCGTTATAAATACATTGACATCTGCAACAACTTCTTCATTGATGAACTAGCGTAACTGGGTATATACGATTCGAAGTCACGTTCTCGGTATTCTAATAGTACAACAACATACCGTAACCAAAGACTGCTGCAAGACCTACGGAGGCGGAAGTGTGAGGAAAAATAATAAAGATGCGGGAACAGTGAATGAAGATGCAAAAGACTTGAATGTGATAGAAGCGGAAGGGGTGAATCAATTAAATGCACAACAGTGAAAGGGAAAAAGAAACGATGAAGAAAAAAAGCTTACAAGGAAGTAAGGTAACAGAGAAACGGAGGGCGTACAGTAATGAAACGGGGATGCTTTTGATCTAGTTCTACAGTGTGACCATGAGGGCGAGGAATAGGAATGATAAATGTACTGAGTTGACGGAACGAACATGCGATATGGGCGAGGCCGACAAAAGTTATGGGCAGGAAGAACCCTCATGGATGGATCGGAGGTTTGGCCTCCGAAGCAGTTTGCGAGACAAGAGGACGTAACATGGCACCTCAGTCCTGGCGTCTGAACTCGGCCTGAGTGAGGTTCAGAACCCACTCTCCCCGGAAGTTTTTAGGTGGCTCGATGATTTTGGTCGGTTTTGATTTAGGACCATTTGACGAGAAACTGGTGTTGATGGAGGGGAACGGACGCAGTGGTCTCGAGGTGGGGAAAGCGTGTCCATTGGACAGCGGACGCTTTGGTGGCAAGCGCGTTGGAGCATTGGACGCGAGCGGAGAAGAGATGGGTGGTTTGGAAGAGTGATTATATGCAGTCGCGGTAATGGTTAGAGTAGCTATTGAGGATAGACGCAGAATCAGTATTTAGAACTGGCAGTGACGTCTGACGGCACTTGCCCATTTGAACGCGAGGTGGTACGAGACCGAGTTTAAAGCAGAAAGAGATGCGGGGAGAATGGTGCGATGTCTGGTTAGGCCTAGGTGGTGGTCGATATATAAAGAGGACGATGGGAGAAAGCTAGGAGGGATTGGGGATATATAAACTCTGTCGCATCGACGCTCTGACGCGCTCCCCCAACGAATTGTCCGGCTTAGAGCTGCCAAACACGCCCAAATAGTTTTACTGTGATCATGCGTCTAAATATGGCAACCCCGGTTCGCCCCTAGCCCCGCATCCTGCCATGTCGTCGTTGCCTACGCAAAGGCTGTTCGCTTCTCGATCAGTGCAATATTTAGCTTGCGGTCGGAAGCTGCATTGCAGACCACGATACTTCTGCGAATACATGTCTTTTTCTGAATATTTTAGTGTGACCCTTACTGCTGTTGCCAACCACCTACTAAGCACGACCTACTAAGCCAGTCGTAGCCGGCGACGGACTGACCTCATCAATCTTGATGGTGAGCCCGCTCTGTTGACCCGTTGATGTTGTCTGTTCTCCCATCGCCCGAAGGACTGTCTCGGCCAACAGCCAGACGCACCGAGAGAAGTCCTTGTTGGCATGCTGAAAAGCAAAAGCATGCCGCCTGCTGCCTGCTGCAATGCATGTATAGGCTTGAAAGCCTCCAGCTGAGAAGTACCTAGTAATTACTATCTCCTTGGATCTAGACGCAACACGACCGCCGGGAAAGAGCTTGAAAAGAGGCACCGGAAACCCGACGAGTTTGATCCGCTCGTGCAATGAGTGGGAACTCGGACTTAAGTTTGGATACGTCAGAAGTCCGAAAATCCCACAGAAGCCCATAGAATAATGATGATGTATCATTGAGCACGACATACAGACTACAGCAAAGTATGCGTAGATGATAATGCTCGGAGAAGGACCACAATAATAAGCATCTACTGATTACTGTAAGACGAGGGGGTCGGGAGAGAAAGAGTCTCGGGCAGATGCTATGATGAAATGGAAACGACGCTAGTACTGGACTCTATTAGGGGGGACGAACGGAATTGAATGTCAATGGAACAGGGATACGTTCCAGAGAGAATGATACAACCCTGCGAAATCGATCGCAAATTCGGTGAATACATTGATTTGGGGGAAGAGGAAGGGGTAGATATCGAGGGGGCAGAACTCCGCGCCTCAGCCCCAACCTCAATTACTCCTTGGCGCCACCCGCAGATGCGGGAACCTGTTGGTACAAATAGTATCGCGAGAGCAGAATGTCTGAATGACTTGCCGAGGCGATAGTGTCGATGACGGGAAAGGTGAATGGGCAAGAATACCAAGACCGGTGTGGGACAAGCAACCATTTACCGCAGTACAGCGATGGGGTATGTGGCTGGCTGGCGGTGAACGTCGTCATTGTACATCCACTAGGAGGTTACGCTCAAGGATATATTTGCCCTCCTTGTATCTCTGGGATTGTTCATACGCACGGTCCTGTGACATGCGGGCGGGCTTGAGTTCGGACAGGGAAGACTAGAGGGAAAGGATGATGCGTACGTATTTCCAACCCAGTGTCTGACCACACTTCACACAATAGATGTCTCGGACGGTATGGTTTCCCGTAGTCATCTGTCTGTCGTTCGGTTCGCCCTCAATGACATTCACACTATAGCAACGGGGTCATTAGTGGATCATAGGAGACTGAACAATACACTTACACTCCATCAAAGAGATATGCTCGACCATGTTGGCCATTGAACGCCTACAACATCGTTAGCAATGATTGTGGCGAGACACAACCTGCATGCTCACTCGAGAGATCATGGAGTGAATCGTAGCCAGATGCGTCTTGCAGTGAGCGCAACCGTAGATACGAGCTCCAGCCAGGTATCGCCTATATCTCATACCCATTACTACTGCGGTGCTTGGGGTAAGGGGTGCAAAAGCGATGAGTGCTCAGAAAAGTCTGGAGGGGTCGTTGGTTCAGCAGTAGAAGGTGAGAGGACACACAATACGACGTCTGGGAGGTCTTATATACCAATGGAACGTGTGAAGGGTGATAAGGGCAGCAGGGACAATTCGGAGGAACTGAGTCAGGAGGCAACAGCACTCCGGACGCTCTCTCAATGCATCATACAGTCTCGGCTGGCCGCTTTTGGTAACGTTCCACGCTCTATTTTTCGATCCCAACCAACCACCATCTGCATGCTTTTATTTTTCGTGCCCTCGCTTGCAGTCGCTATGTTCACCTTGTGGTCTCTATAAATATGTCGCGTGTGTATAATTATGTCAACTTACAGCATGCATCCGGTAGTGCAGCTCAATCGAAGTGTGAGTACCGCCCATAATGAACGGGCTCTCGCAAGACTTGCCGAATCCCGACCTCCCTGGATCCAAGGAATATCTATCGGTGAGAGCCTATCACTGTCATGGTTCCATTCATTGGCGTCATAAAGGTCCTAGGTCTACCGAAGTGTGTAACCCCGACTGTGTCTACTCCCTCAATACACCGCTCTAACGCCAACTTGCACTTGCTACGTTGGGTTCCGGTCCCTGTTTTGGTATGAACATCACAGGGAATAGGATAATCTTCGCGTATCGCGTGAATGTTGCATCCGTCTATGATGACATGCCACTTTGTGGATGATTCATAACCATTGAATGGCACGACGTCGTTTTGTCCTGGCGTACTTTGACACCCTTGAAGTTTCTGGTGGCTAGTAAGGGTATCTTTCCGTGCAGTTTGTTGCATTTACAAAGTCACTGAATGTCGATGCTGGCTAATCCCGTTAAGCTAGGGATTCTCTGTGGTAGCCGATTAATAACTCTTATGCTGGGTGTTCTAGTTCGGTCCGAATTTTGTGACAGGTCAGTCTACATCGAAATCTTCGTACTTAAGTGCAGTACTGCGTGCGCATTCAGTTCAATGTGAACGTCTCTTCCAACCCAGAGCTCGGACTTCATTATACAGGCGGCCATTGGGGCTCTTGGAAGTAGTACATTAAATTGATAGTTCTTCTCCAGGAAGTGTTCGGAGTGAGGATAAAATCAGAATGCAACATTACTTATATTTCGCCCGCACGTTCAAAGACTGCAACATGGGAGCGGGTAGGTATGTAATCGAGGAGAGCTGAGGCATGATGAAGGGGTAAGATACGTTCACAACAAAATTGCTCCCAGGCAGTCTCGAACTGTCGACCTCAGGATTGCCACTAAGCGTGGTCATACACAGCGTATGAGACCTGCGCTCTACCACTGAGCTATGGAAGCTTGTTAATGACAGCTATTTTAAACTTTTAGTCATGTGAAAGACGCCGGTTAACGATATTCTTCCGAATCCGAGTCCGACTGTCGCGGTTGTTCTTCCCGTATGCCCACTTGTCTGTACTCTTGATACTGGCACTCTCCGTACTGTCGGTGTATCATTCCCTGCATCCAGCACCGGATATTGCACTCTTCTACCTGGATATCGCCCCCTGTCTCCGTTGCGGCTTTGTTACAAGTACAAACCCAACTTTCTCACACTAGCCGCGTCGCTTTCGCCACGCTCTCCCTCCATCACATCTGGCCGCGACTTTGCGAACGAAGGACGGCCTGTTCTACACAGACCTGAACTCACCTTTGCAATTTCTTGGTCCATGAACCCGCGCAAAAGACCAGCATCGGAGACTCTTCTGCCGCTGCGTGCCCAGAAAGTACCCCGAAGAGCTTACACGAACTGTACTGGAGCCACCGCTAGCCCGTCACAGGACGAAAGCCTTTTGTCTCGTTGGTCGCGATTCGGAGAGGAGTTCTCAACTCTCATGATTGACACCGTCAAGGCAGCGATTCGAGGTGAGTCGCGCGCGTTTGTTTATGTCTGCGAGCTTATACTCAATCGTCGTTCAGGATTCTTTGAGAATGAACAAGAGGAACGAGCAAATGGCAAGAGGATATTACCTAGTCCCGCTACTGTAGAAGCTCCTGCACCACCGCCACCGCCACCTCCACCTCCACGTCGTAGCTCGTCAGGCTCCCGACCACGCGCCAATGCCGACCAGCCAATAGCTGGCCCTTCGCGTCTACCTCAGAATGCCAAACCATCACATATACCACCAGTGCCTATGAATATCGGAGTATCCACGTCCGCATCGAAACTTCCCACAAATGGACTCGCAACTGGTCGAAGGGAAGATGGATTGCATCAGACTGCCATCCAGACAGGTCTACCATCACCTCCCTTGACTGCTTCTTCCGTCAGCTCAAGAACTCCTTCGTCTGTTTATACAGGCGCACATCCTGACCTTGAGGCTGCCATACGCATGGCGGAGCGTGCTCAGAAACGAGCGGAGGCGAAGAAGACTGTCGGACGACGTCAACATATTTTTAGCAAAGCTGTGAGTTGCTCGTATATATTCATAGTTTTGCCGTTCAACATTGATGATAAATCAATAGCACAAAGCTCAAGTTGTGGAAGAGCGAGAGAAATTGCGGGAGGAGATGGAATACGAGCTGTATAAGATTAAAAGGGCTTCAGGTATGTCGTTATACCGACTGATGTGTTTGATTGTGCATTGATTAACACTCTTCCAGGATATGAATCCGATTTCAAGGCGTTCAGAGGTATGTAATGCGGTTGCTTTCCTTGAGTGGCGTGACTGACTGATGTCCCAAGGGTGGATGCTCTACACTAGTAAGCTGGAGGAGATCGCAGTTCAAGAACTTCTCTCGCGTAAGTTCGCTCGTCTCTATCTTTCATATTGTCAAATGATTCACCTTGGGGTACAGCATCACGATCACTTCTGGACCTGCGCCAGAGAGCAGAAGAGCCCGCTCGCAGACACTCTGCGGTATGTATGCACATGCGCGTATTTGTTCCAATCTGACCCTGTTATAGGATGAGTTCCTTGCACGAGCACTCCAGAAGGCCAAACTCAGTCAACAAAGGTCAGTTCACTATGCAATCCTCATTGTGCGCCTCTTTAATCTGCTATTTTAGTCCGCCACCTCCCAAGCCCTTCACACCCACTCTCGAACTGTTACGGGTATTGCACAAGGCCAAGGATGAGGAAATTGAGAAACGACTTCACCCCGTTATTGAGCTTCCTCCATCGTTACCGCCAGAAGAAGAAGCGGAAGTTGATCGGTTAATTCGAAAACGTGGCGTCATCGCGAAATGTGGCAGAGAGCAGGTTTCGGACAAGGATATCTCTCGACTATTGCCCAATCAATGGCTGAATGACGAGATCATCAACTTTTACGGTCAGATGATCTTGTCAAGATCGGAGGGCAGCAAAGAGAATCCAGCAGTGAACGGTGTCGTCAAGGGTCGACGGAAACCGCTCAATGTTCACTACTTCAATACCTTCTTCTGGTCGAAACTGAAGGGAGAAGGGTATGAGAAAGCGAGGTTGGCGAAATGGACGAAGAAAGTTAGTTATTTCCAGTCTCGGTTCAAAATGTGGCTTACCTATTCTGGTAGATCGACATCTTCACAAAGGATGCCATTCTGATTCCAATCAACCACATGAATGCTCATTGGACTGCTGCCGCTATAAACTTCCGGAAGAAGCGGATAGAGTCGTATGATAGCATGAGTATGGATCGCGCAATGGTGTTCAAGGTAGGATTGTGCCTGCAATTCCGCGCTATTCGACGCTTAACATTTGATATTAGCTTCTACGGGGATATTTGGATGCGGAGCATCGTAATAAAAAGAAGAAGCCATTTGATTTCACTGGGTGGGAAGATTACGAGATGGAGGTTCGTCGCACTCGCTAGTTCGTGCTCGTTGACACTGACCGCCTTCCATCTAGGATATACCCCAACAAGAGAACGGTTTTGATTGTGGTGTCTTCACTTGCCAGTTCCTGGAATCGCTGTCGAGGGGCGAGGAGAGGTTCCCGTTCCGACAACGGAATATGCCTTACCTGCGGCGACGAATGATATGGGAAATTGGGCATGCGAGACTGCGAGACTCGCCATAGCTTGTAACTTATTCCTTGGACCACATCTTGGCTATCTTATGTGATACCTTATTCCGTACTTTGGGCACATCATATCTATCGTAGAGATAATTGCATTACATTCGGAATCGGCGGATATTGCAAAGATATGGACGGCAGCCACCGGAGACAAACAAGGGAAAGCAAGCGCGGACACAGTAGGAAGCGCGCTCAAGAAGAGATGTTTGAAGCGTTGGCTGCGAGCTCATGTCTCGAATCCCTGTGCCCGCCGGTTCTCCCTCCTACAACCGTAGCGCAGGCGCACAGAACCACTCAGAATCCCCCATTCCATTTCCTGAACGTGCTATTTCTCCCTTACCAGGAAGCCGCCTTCTTTCGTCAAACATGTCTACAATTTCGAGTTCCTTAGCTGAGACCAGAAAGAAGCAGTCAAAGCGAGACGAGGTTCGTACTCCAACCGTTCAATTTTGCTTGATTAAGATGCAGGGATGACATGACACGACCTGTACACGAGGTTCAGCACTGAAAATAATGCTTTGCACACGTGTATACCTCACAGAATGTCTGGTCATGTCTATACTAGCCGGACTTATTCAAATTTGATTCCAATTGCTAAATCTCGTCTTCAAGCAAGAAAGACTAGTGGAACTGACAATAATTTGTATCCTCAGGCCATCCGAAAGAAGATCGAGTCCGAACTCTCACGGAAGCGCACAATCTCGACGCCCCACAGGCCTGCTGGAGGTAGACGTGGCACTAAAGCCACTGTGCAGAAAGGCACAGTCGCTGCACTTAAGCCAAGTCCGGCTTTGACGGTTCCTGAAAACATAACCGTCGCAGAAGCCAGCCAGCTTTGTGCTGCGAAGAGGACCGATTGCGTTCTGGTCGTAGATGATGAAGAGGGCTTGAGCGGTATTTTTACTGCTAAAGATCTGGCATACAGGGTACGTCAATGTCGTCTCTTTCTGAAGGATATATTGACGAACGCATGTTCGTAGGTTACTGCGGAGGGGTTGGATCCGCATACCACCCATGTTAGCGTTATCATGACGCGAAATCCTATGGTGACGCGCGATACTACAAGTGCTACGGAAGCCTTGCAGTTAATGGTTACCAGGCATTTCAGACATCTCGTACGTCCTTGCTTATTAGTCTGGTAGTCCGATTCCGACCGATCTTCCTCATGCCCACAGCCTGTCTGCAATGAAGAAGGAAATGTTGTGGGTTTGCTAGATATCACAAAGGTTTTCCATGAAGCTCTCGACAAAGTTGAGCGTAGCTCTTCTGCATCAGAAAAGCTCTACAATGCCCTTGCCGGTGTCCAGTCTGAGCTTGGAAGTGGTATGGGGTCCAATCCGCAAGCGGCTGCGATGCTTTCGTACGTGGAGGCACTCCGGGAGAAGACTGCTCTCCCCGATCTCACTACTGTCATGGATTCCCGGACCCAACCCGCCACCGTTGGACCCAAAACGTCGGTAAAAGAAGTAGCAAGGCTCATGAAAGAACACCGCACGACCGCTGTTTGCGTTATGGAGGCCACTCCTGGTTCTCAACCTAGGATTGCTGGTATCTTCACTAGCAAGGATATCGTGTTGCGTGTTATTGCAGCTGGTTTGGATGCCACTCGTTGTAGCGTCGTGAGAGTCATGACCCCGCATCCTGATACTGCTCCGCCGACTACGACTGTCCATGACGCCCTCAAGAAGATGCATGGTATGTCATGTTGCATGGCGGATAAAAGCGATTATGTACTGATATTTTGACTGTAGTTGGCCATTATCTGAATCTTCCGGTTGTTGAGGCAGATGGGCGTCTGGTGGCCATTGTTGATGTGCTCAAATTGACGTATGCCACACTTGAACAGGTACTTTCTCCACTCTCAGGCCACAAAGGGACAGCAACTTATAATTATTTCTAGATGAACAATATGAGCGCAGAGGCTGCTGGAGATGGCGAAGCAGAGGGCGGTCCCATGTGGGGTCGCTTCTTCGAGTCCATTGGTGGCGGCGACGATAACGACTCCGTAATCTCTGGGTCCCATGTTCCTACTGATGCCCACTCTTCTCGTCACCAACCGAACCGGAGTACTTCGCACTTGGTTCGGTCCCCTTATTCCGAGGTCCACCCCAACGACTCAGCATCTGTTGTTGATGATGAGCGTATCTCTGCTCTCGAAGGATATACCGGCAGGGATGTCGGGCCCTCTATTGTTGGCGGCAACTCTGTTGTTGCCCCTCCACCTGTCGATGATGGCACGTATGTCTTCAAATTCCGAACGCCCAGCGGACGAACTCACAGGTTCCAATCTCGTCATGATGATGTGGAGCACCTGCGCGATATCGTAGCCGGAAAGCTCGCAACCGATCCGTTCTTCACTGAATACGAAGTCAAAGATGCCTCCGAGCTACCACCAGACCCCATCGACTTCCAACTATCCTACACCGATGCTGATGGCGACATTGTTCTGATTACGTCCGACTCTGATGTTACGGATGCTGTGAAGATCGCTCGCGCAGCCAGCCAGGATCGTGTTGTACTATTCATCCAAGGTGGCAAGGGTTGGTCCTCGGTGGAGGAGAAAAGCAAGGCGCAGGCAGCTGAGGTTGCTGCTGCTGCCCAGCAAGAAATCAAAGAGGTTGAGAAGGCAGAATCTACTCTCGAGGAGAAGGTTCAATTTGCTCCCCCAGCACCCGTCCATGTCCACGAAGAAGAAAAGGTCGCAGGCATACCCAAGGATATGTTGCTTCCCGCCAGCATAGGTGCATTGGCAGCTGTCATTCTTGGTGTCTTCACCATTTCCCGTTTCACTCGATAGATTGTGATAATTGGCTTTGTCTTCCATGCTATCGAAACTTCCCTCTAACTAGTTACCCTCCTTCCTGTTCCCTAATCAAGTATATCCCTGCCCTACTTATGCATGCATCTGGGATGCCGTTCATGACGTATTATGACTTGACGACGGGGGACGATGGTTGTTATCGATACAATAGATAGTCGGATTGAATATGAGTTTCTTCTTCCGCAAAGACAACACTTTCTGGAGGAGGCATACCGCACAATTTGGAGTTCCGCGACGGCATGCACGTGAGTGACGGGAGCAATATTGATCGAGGCAATTGAGGTCAGAAAGTTCAGATCGAGCGGCGAGGCTTGTCTGGCTATTCCGATTGACCGTCTTCATCACTCCTTCCCAACATTCCAGTTGCAGTATTGCACGAGGCAACTAGGCGTACGTGTTAGTCCAACTCTATACTGTATGCCTCCGAAGAGGGAACGGGATGAAGCTTTGTCCGAACTCGTAAGTAGCACATTGATACCTCGTGCGCCGCCCTCCTAGTAACATTTCGATCTCCGTTGCATCTAGTCTTCACGAATTTTCTCCTCTATGTTAGATGAGATCATACTGGATGTGGTCTTGCAATCCCACCAGGAGATAGCACGCGCCAAGGCAGTGTGCCCAAAATGCCACACCCGGTACGTGGTTACTTTATGTATTACCTGGCTTGCGTTCTCAGTCAATGTAATTCCTCAGATGTGGATCAGGTATGTCTCAAATATATGTGCACTATAACTTTCTAAGTTTCTTCCATGTAGTGCATAATAGTGGCCCCACGAATGTGACCCAGCCAACCGTTCAGGGACCCTCCTCATCCCGTCCCTCACCTAGAGACGGCGAAACCGCAGAGAACAGTGGTTCTTATGATACCGGAAGGAGTACTCCAATAAACGGAAAGTTAGATGGCACAATATACTTCGAATGCGAGGTGTGCAAACGCCAGGTATGTGGTCAATTTCTGCTTTGTTCCTCCTCTCTGATTATCATCAGATTGCTTCGAACCGATATGCACCACACTTGAGTGCCTGTCTTGGTATGGGCAACCGGAGAGGAGCAGCTCGCAGTGCCACTACTAAGAATAAGTATGTTCGCTAGCACTATGCTGAGTGGTTGTCATTTGACTCATTCTCTTCAGACTTGCCGCCGACGTTGGTCGCTCCGCGTCACCCTATATTGCTTCTGAAAATGGTTATGTTTCCGATGAAGCTAAAAATGGAGTGAAAGGGAAAGGAAAGTCGAAGGCCAAACGTACAGGTTTGTTTCGCCATTCATTGCACGCTATGGCTTCTTTTCGTCTAAGTGGCTTTTCAGATGAGGCCGAATTCAATCTGGGAAAGAAACGCGTCAGTTGTTCTTTCTGCTTTCATTGAAAAATCACCATTCATCTCGGCCTCTAGACTGGATCTCCATCGGTTTCGCCAGCGAAGAAATCGAAGAAAACAAAGGCTAATGGTGAGTCCTCCTCTATCGACAATGAGAGCATGCATTTATTGACATTACTCTCTAGCTTCTCCTTCAAGTCGTGTAAGGACAGAACCTGGGACACCGAGCAACGTAGGTTCTACTTCACGACAAAGACGCAATCTGTTGAATTTCTTCCCAGCCTGCACCTCTCAACTATGCTACATCCTTATCCAAGGTTCCCTCCAGACTACGGGAAAGTTCAGTCATGTCCTCCACACTACACGAGCGGCGTTCTTCATCGCCCGAATCACGTTTTTCGTCCCCCGAACGGTCTGCCGCTACCCCAACCTCTACTCTATCCTCCCAGAGTCCTCTCTTATCTTCCCTTTCCGGCGGAGTTCTGGCTACAAAAGGAAGACCGCAAAAGAATGGCAAACCGAAGACAAACGGTACATTATTGCCCAAACGACCTAGCCCTCCTCGCCCTCCACCCCCACCACCTGTTGTCCGAATGCCTGAACCGGATTATCTCGTCGGTATGTTTCTATGTCAGATAACACCTGCAACCCATTCTCACTTCTTTCTGCTGTAGATGTCGAAGGAGATGAAACTGGCTCTTCAACGGATACTGACAGCTCATGACTTCCGATAGTCCCCCTGTTAGGGTTGGAATGATTTTCTCTTGACTTTGTTCTTGCTGTGCTTTTCTTGATATACCTGCTTTCGTTGCTATTATTTGTATATTTGTACATTGTATCCCGGATATTTTATATGTATGAGTCCCATAAATGATATTATCCTACATCATGACTGGAAAAGACTATGAGCGGGAGAGCTTCTTAGCCTTTTCCCAAGTCTCGCGTACTGCAGTCCAGTATTCATCGGGGTGTGTCCTGGAGTGCTGAACGTGCTGCGATCCAAGTAGCTTCGCAGCACGAACATTTAATCCCAATTGCTTCGCATCAGCAATATGACTTTCCACAGCTGTCACGGGGACGAGCCTGTCCTTATCAGAGAACAGGTAAAGTCTCGGAGTATTCTCTGATGCACCGGGAAGAAGGTGGGGATCATTAAGGATTTGTCTTGTCTGCTCTATGGGGAACTTTGCCCCAGTCACAGTGTGCACCAAATGGAAAACGAAGAAGAGTAAGGCGAATGCTACATATGCGATGACCTTGACGACAGGTCCCTTGAAACCAATGGTAAACGCGTCGACAGCGGTCGAGAGGGAAGTCTCTCCGGGCAGTGAATCGAAGACGAACGCCAGAGCCCTTGGTCCAAGTTGTTTGCTGCGTTCGATCATAGTGGAGAGCCGAGTGAGTTGAACAGCACCGCCTATAACAGATGGTTCAAGTTATGATCTGCACTTCAACAATCGTGCGATTCTTTACACACCATTAGAGAATGCATGAACCAGCAGACTTGCTTTGCCATCAAAAAGGCCTTCTCGTTTGAAATAACTCAACAAGGGTGCTAGGGATTCTTCCTAATCGAATGGCCACAGTGAGGAACTGGACATGACTAGCAGTAGATTAACAATCTCACCTGCTTTTTCGTTCCATGAAAGAAATGCTCTGGCCTTGATATGACCAGAATTGCATTGGTATCAGGATACAGAGTCTTGTACTGATCCAGGTACTTGCGAAGATGAGCGAGTTGAGCCCCCACTGAGAGCATGTATATTCATAAATTGATCAATGAACATCTCATAGCCAAACTTACTCCATCCAAATACGATCACGTAGCTACAGTAAGAGTAATCAGTCAGGGTCGATCCTAAGGCAACGAAAATGAGTAGAAACGTACTCCGGACCATCCTCTGAGGCAAAAGGACTGACGTTCTCAGGAACATACACGTCCTTTCCTATACGCGTGAAGCCTTGCATGACATCGCTCTTGTTAGACATGGCAAAAACGCGTGTATGCACTCCGAGAACACAAGTCTATCTTGTTATGCACTTCTCGAACGCTGTACTCAATACTCAGTAGCCTTATTAGCTACAGAGAGTTTGAGCTGGTAATACGATATGGAGAAAGCGCAAGCGTTATGGTGGCAAGTTGACGAGCAGTACTAATATCCAAGCCCATCACGTCCTTGGGCGCCGCTGAGTATCACCTGCAACGAGTTTCAGGCCAGGAGCATTTCATTACGACGACCGGTTCGGAGTGGTAGGGAGCAGCATCGGAGTTTATATACTTTAGTGTTGATGGAAAGGGAAAGGCTCGAGGTTAGCAAACCTCGGCCAGATCGATACACATGAAAGCTTTTGACAAGTCAGATCTAAAGTCAAGTATATTCTAGCCTCTGTAACCGCCGGCCGAACTTGAAGGGATTCAGCACGCTAGCGCCCTAGGCATGGTACCGGTCGATTGAAAGCACGATTCAGAAGAGGGAAAGCCCTGGAAAGCCAAAAGATATATTGAAGCCCTCCATTTTACGATTCCGGAGATACGGAACAGTATGGTATATATAACACGAACAATTTCACTCGATGTTTAGATTGAGTAGATGAGAAGAAAGTTAGACTGAGGTCAGATACTGATGTTCGACGAGGGCACGGTGGACGTCTATCCCATCTTCAACAATTCTCCTGTAAGGACAGCTTTTGCCTCAAGGCTCGGTCTTCTACGTCAAACCTTGAGACTTTAATACACAACTGAACGATGACCACCGAAATGGTGGAGGAGGTAGTAATCATGTTCCGCAATGAGCGAGCTCGGACTCGATACTTCCCGATAAAACACGTTTCGACATTGCACTCGAGTGGCTTGCAATGTCGTACTGTAGTCAAGCTGAGCTGGGCTTGGAGATGTGGCCTTTCGAAAAATGAAAAGAATCGAGACTTGAAGCTATACGCAAGAAGAGGTAAGAAACCAGAAGAAAGAATGGCAATGAAACTTTCGTCGTTGGCTTTTGGTGGGTCAACAGAAGGATACATAAAGGTCTGGCCAGATCGGAGTCCATCAAACGTCCGTAGGAAGAACAACCCCTTGGCTCAAAATTCTGGCGCATAGACAGGACTAGCTGAGGACAGGCACGACTCAAATTCATCAATTATGAATCTAATAAAGCATTAAATCATGGTCCTGGGTCCAGGTGTTGCAAGGCCTTGCGAGAACGAGTCGCCAAGGGGAGAAGATTTGAAGGTCGGACCAAGATGGGTTGACTACATGGTCCGTTGCACGGATGAAGGCAGCTTGCGATAATCGACACCCGAGTGCTTGAAAGCTCCCGGAGGAGGCGTGATATTGTTTCAGTCCGGAGATCTGAGAAACCCGACAGCAACGAGAGCGGCAGACTGCGGTGAAGGTTGCAGATGGATCGTTTAATTGCGCAGTGAGATTGAAAGCAGAATGAGGGCTCTGCTCCGATTGACAGAATGTGGACCAGCGACGATGGTTTCCAAGGAGTGTCAATGTATCATTAGAGGTCATAATGCATTGATGTTTAGTGCACATATTGCAAGATTTCTGGTAAGAGCCATCTCGGCATCGTGGACTGAAGGCAGGGCAGGTCAGCCACGGTGCAAACAAGGGCAAACAGGAAGTAAGTGGCTGTCGCTAGAGACGGAACCAGCTCGCCGTCTTGTTCGACGTCTTGGACGACCTTCCGTTCCCTCTCTTTCGGTGCTGAAAACAATCTTTTACTACGTTGGCCGGCCGACGAAGCACCGCTGAACACACTCTTTTCGACATGTCTCATGCGACGACTTACCCACAACTGCCCCCCGCTGCCTATCCTCATACCCCACGATCACCGCATTTTGACGACGAGGACACAAAGGTTCCTTACGACGACCTCATCGACCAATATGCAACTCCCTACCGACAGAACTCTCAGCACAAAGCCTACACCGTCAACCCTTCTGCCTTTAACGCGTCAGGCGCTGTCCCATCATATCCGCTAACTCACAAGAAGACAAACCTGAGTGACGCTACAAGTAAAGACCTCGAGGGAGGGACGTCGGAGGGCTTAGACTGGGGATATCCTCCTAGTCCACCAAAGAAAGACAAGGAGGAGCGAAGTTGTTGGCCTAACGTGCGTACATCGTTCTTATCAAATGCTGCTGAATTCACACTTTGCATCAGGTTATCCCTGACTCTATTGCCTGTCGATTATATGTCCTGGTCGTACTCATAGAGACTGCCATCGACTTGGCTATTGAAGCAGACCTATTCGTTCGCTTTCAAGACTTCGAGAACCCGGATTTTGCCGCCCATAGCAAGATGCCCGTCTACCTTGCAATATTCGCGCTCGCCCAGTATGTCGGTATATCCTCGTCTCTATGTACATATTTTTACCTGTTTACAGCGTATTCCAGTTTGCCATGGCACTCGATGCCGTGTATGCCCGGAATACTCTCCAATTTATCGCACTAACGTAAGAGCAGCATGTCATGTGCTATATGCTATGCCTTATTCCCACTCACTTCCTCCGTCCGCAGTCTTTTCAATGCCATCTTCTTGGTTTACGCCGTAATTCAGATTGGTGAAATCAACGGCCTCATCCCTGCCCAAACACCCGGATTCTCTCATATACCCATCGACGTACTCACCAAAATTATACCTTGTGTTATTGCAGTCGCTGAAGTGGCATACATCGCGCTGGGATGGAAGATCTATACAGAGTTCGGATGGAAAGTGTACAAGTTCCTTGGTGCCGATCGACGCATCAAGACGATGTATGCGCATTACCAAATCTTCCTCTGCTTGGTCAAGTTCGACCTCTTCTTCTGGGTTACCTTCTCTATCCAGTTCATCTTCCTGGTCCTCAACAAAAACGATGCGGAATATTATCTCACATGTGCCGCTCTTCCTTTGTCTATTGTCGTGCTAGTTGAGGGTCACCTCGCGGCTCGATACGAGAACAAGTGGATGATGTTAACATTCATGGGTGGTTGTGCTGCTGCCATGGTCTACTTCTCTTACAAGGTAGCGTCCAACAGTCATCTGCTCCGGTTGGGAAAGGGTGGCTTACACGTCAATCAATCAAGCTCGTGAAGGTTTTGAGGTTCCGGAATACCACCACATTCATTCTCGTATGGAAGACAATGACCAACTTTTGTAAGCGCTCTACCCAGTATTATTTTGCGCACCTTACTGACCGCATTTGCAGCCGTTCTTGCCATCGTGTTACTGATATTGACAGTCGTATTTGCTTGGCTGGTGATGCTGAACTTCGGCCGCGGGCTAAAGAAACAGAGTCAGTTACAATTCACTTCTCGCCGATCTCAGTACTGATGATTCATGCGATCTTAGTTGCAGGGAACAAGGGCGGATTGCAGCGTGGAAAGTCACAATATGTACACCGAGGTCCCATGGCGACACATCCAAATCGGATGAGCATTGACTAGTTTAGCTGCATCTGCAAACAATGCGCAAGGCACCAGCGCAATGGACTTGTACTCATGAATCTGTATTATTGTTCCCATCATCACACGTTACACTGTTGCATCTCCCCTCTACCACCATTGGACAGTTCGCACCCTTCCTCTTGTGTTAACTTCCCACCTTCATGTTCCATTGTCCATGTCGTAGTTCGCCTTCTTCCCCTTCATCCGCATGCAACTTATCCTTCCATTCCGCGCGTCGGTTGTTGCTCGACTTACCATACATTCATTTGCTTGATGTCTTAACCAGGTTGACCGGTTTTCTCTGGCTCACATCTCGGCAGTTCGTATTCCTTCCTCATGTTTCGATTTATCACAAGTTGCTTGCTTGTCGCGTAACATATTCATATTTTTTGGTCCTCTTCTTGCAAATCCCTCTCTTCTCGCCTGGAGTGACTTCTCTTCTGCCCTGGAATGTATTCTTAGATCTTACCGTAATGCAGCCCTGGCGGGAACCCGTTTTCCTCTCACTCAACTCATAGATATTGCGAAAGCAGGAAGTTTGAATTCCTGCTACAGTACTTATTGAACGTATTGTTTAGACGGAAGCATTTGAGCGTCTCTGGCGTCAGACGCCAAACGTAGACGTGGAACTACTACCGCCACCACAGGCACAGTTGCATTCTTGGTTTCCCACTGACCACTACCTCATCGAATGTGAACTACACTCCCTGCTGGACCAGGAGAATCTTACAATGTCGCAACGGTAAGCTTCGTAAATTTCGAGATCTCGGTCTTAACTTACACGTTATGAACGTCTTCAGGTACCGAGTAAATACTAGCCAGAATCGTTCAGCACTCCTTGGTGACTATTATAATACCCCGCCTTCTTCAGGACGTTCGTCACCATTTCGAGGAGCCTTTGGTCAGCAGAGTAGTTCGCATCGGTTCGCGGATGACCTCGAAGGTCAGAATGATGAACACTTGGAGGGGTTGACTGCGAAAGTGAAGATGTTGAAAGATGTGAGTGAGTCGTTGTAGTCCTCAACCGACGACATATGTCTGAACTGTTACTCTTGTTATTTTTGCATATGACAGATTACAATTGGAATTGGGAACGAAGTCAGGGAATCTACCATTCAGCTCAGTCATATGGTATGTCTCCGCCGATCCTTCAATTCATAATTCCAACTTGACCTAATGCTTCGTCACGTTAGAACGATGCTTTTGCGGAGACCTCGGGTATTCTCTCAGGCACATTTCGCAGACTGAACAACATGGCTTCGCGGCAGGGTTGTCGGTGGCTATGGTACATTCTCTTTCTCATCGTTGTCTTCTGGTTCTTCATCATTGTATGGTGGTTTCGGCGATAATCCTACATGTGCTATGCATCGGACATGGGTTCAGGTTGGATGCAATCACCTCAGCAGCGAATAAGGGGTTCCTCGTGTAAGATGAGTTGAGAATCATAAAGGGAGAGCATCAATCACAGCAACTTAGGTACGAACAACTACAAGTACAATAGTATCGTGACTAATGATAGCAACAGAGAAAGGTAGTATCCTAATGCAAGAACAGCGAAGACTCAGACTGAGAGAGAACGTATTGTAGATTAGATGTGAGGCTGCACGAAAGGCAAGTCAGAATGAAGGCAACTAAAGATTGGCAACTAGGGTAAACCTACCTCAGCGGTTTAAATCAGGTGCGTTTCTTCGCGGCCTCAGTCGTTCTTGCACCCCGGCGCGTGGTATAGAGGTAGTATCCTCCACCAAGCAATAGGAGCAAGAAGAAGTTGGCTATGTCATAGCGATGATCGTTCAGCGACAATAAGCGACTTAAATACGGATAACACATACCAATAACGAATCCAACGACATTCTGTGTAAGGTCTGTTGCCAGCTTGAAAAGAGCCTGGCCAACATGGAGTACGGCACTCAGGAGCTCCTGTCCGAGTGCAAGGAATGACTGGAAGACTGCAAGGATAGAGTTCAGGATGGAGACAGCGATGGCTGTGAGGGCACTGAGGAAGTTTGAAAATGCGGTCTGAATAGCGGTCATTTTGTGATTGTGGTCGTTGAAGAGAACGAGAGATACAGTCCCAGCAGTCGTATTTATGCACTTTTGAGCCAATTAGTGACAGTAGCTCCATTGCACTCTAGGTCTACGCGTGACGTCACTTCATATATAATGGTTTCTCAACTTTCAAGCAAGCGACATCCAATGCATAATTAGTGGATTGTAACAACAAGTGAAACCAAGTCCAGCATCTAGCTATGGTCACCGACAACAGGAGAAGACACGATTTAGCATAGTTTAAAAAACAGTTCGACAGACACGCCCTACAGACTGTAGCAACCTCCAAAGCTCCTTCACTGAGCCCGAGCACCTCCTGCTGGCTGTTGGGCCAACGTGGTTCCAACCCAGCGTGAGAGGTAGAATTTCAATTGACTCCAGACTTGAGCAATCACCGGGGGATTGCTAGGCTTGTTGACGTATCCATCGACGCGAGCGCTAATAATCGCAACCGCTTCGCGAGTGAAGGCAGACTGATAGTAGCGTTGACGAAGGAAGTGAGCATAGACGACTGGCGTGAAGAACGAATTTTGCAGCAGGAGAGCACCAATGGTTACACGTGCCATGATGAGCAATTCGATGAAAGAGACCGCTTTCATGGCGGGGTTATAGTTGGCTATTAAAAAGATACAGGATGACATCAGGTTAACGTAAATCGCGTAAACCACAGCACGTACATTTCACAAAGAGGTGAATCCGTTTCGCGAGAGGGTGAGGAGTAGGCTGCCCACCTGCTGTAGCAGGAGGGCCGGCTGGAAGCAATTGTGGGAGCAGCGTAGTACGCGTGAAGGTCAAGGCATGGAACAAAGAGAAGATAGCATAGGGAAACAAAGCGACTTTGAGAGTAAGGAACGTCGTTAGATCCAGTCAGAATCCTATGATAGTTAGAAAAACACGTACTGGCTATCGGTTTGGAATTCCACCAGAAGAAGGCCAGGATGAAGTATTGCACGTTCTGTTCATTTGATGGATTATGGCAGTGCACAGAAGGCCCATAGAATGCATGGCGTACCTCATCGAGCAATGCTTTCTTGACCCATGCTAGGTTGGGTTGTGGTGTCTAATACGAGATCAGGACTTGGTGGCCTGAGAGACGTGACTGAATCTTACCCCTAGAGATTTTCTACATACGATTGAGACCACAGCTGAAGTAACCTATATAATGACGACTTACTGGCACACTATCGCATAGCTAATCAGCGCTCCCAAGAAAGCCGCTACGTGTCAAGGCCAATGAGTACTCCGTCGACTCCGATAAAAATCAGTAGATCGCACTTTTGTACCACCAAGCAGATGGGCCTCGGAACAAGACCCATGCCATGAAGTAGCGCAAGGAAGACAGTAACAAGATGAAATGGCCAACGGCCCACATGTAGTGCTGTATCGGCAGCTAGAGTCAGTATTCAGAGTTGTTTGACATGGTAGGATACACAGGACATTCGGACCTGCGTTGTCGCCATTATTTCGGGAATCGGATGCACAGCGAGGAAGAGGTTTAAGGGAAACTTGATTTTGAAGTGGAAGCACCGGGAGCAGGCGACTTGGAGAGACAGACGTCTGTGACCAGTGTGACGTACGCATGTTTCTCTTTAGGGCAGGCCCCAACGTGTTAGCTCCTCGGTGGCCAAACTTGGAAGCTTTCAAGGATGGCACAGGCAATTCCAGTGAGCAATAGACAACAATAGCAATACACTAGCAAAGCAATAAGTACAATAGAATGAGCATGCAGACCTAATCATTGACTCCATTGCGCCCCCGACTCCTGCTGTAGTTTTTTCCTCTCCAAACCCTTCTTGTACACCTCCTTCTCAACCTTCCGATGTCCAAGGGTCTCCTTCCGCCTGTCCTTCCCATTTCTCCTCGCCTGTTTAAATGCTGGCTCGTCCTCATTCTCTGCATCGCTGGCATCCTTGTCCACTGCATCGACCTCTTCCCACTCTTCCTCGTTGAAGCTATCCTCATCTCTCTGCCTCTTCTTCCCTGACCTACCCCCTCCACCGGTGCCGCCTCCGATGTTCACATTTACTCGCGGCGGCACTGCAAAACCGAACGACTTGCCGACCTTGGCAAGGTCAAGTGCATTGACGTCGAAAATCTTCTTTAGCGAATATGACGCGTAGGCTTGCAGGTATGATCGGTAGCCGTCTCGTGCTGATTGGTGCAGGAAGTAGTTCTTTTGAAGGAGCTTCTCAAGCTATCCAAATTCCGATTACTTATTATGACTAACAGCTCAGGAAATAAGACATACCTGAGACTGGACATTGGCGATCTTTTCCGCGGGGAAACTGAATTCGTTCAAAGGAACCTTAGCCTCCTTCAGGAACCTCAAAAAGCCAAGTTCACTGGGCAACAGGAACATGAGACTCTTCCCAACTTTGCCCGCCCGCGCTGTTCTGCCTACTCGATGGATGTAGTCACGAGGGTCGTCTGGAGGATCATACTGGATAATCCAATCCACTCGAGGAATATCGAGTCCACGCGCTGCGACGTCGGTACATAGCAGAGTACCGGTTTCAGCATTGCAGAACTCGAAGAAAGTAGTTGTGCGCTTTTGTTGTTTTTGTTTTCCCTATACGCACCAAATGAGTGAATGGGAATCTGAAAGACATGAAGATTTGAACGTACATGGAGATCTAGTACCGGAACATCGATGTAATTCAGAAGTTCCGCGTGGTACTTCACGGAGTTACAACTTGAGAAGAAGACAACAATCTTCTTCTTCATGTTCTTTTTGAGGAATGTGAACAGGAGGAGGAATCGGCGGTCGGATGGGCAGACGACATAACCCTGTGAGAGTGTGGAAACTGTACTTGTGCTTTCGGTTTTGTCGACGTCGATATACAGAGGTCCCGGTCGAAGGGACATACGTGCGAGGTCAGTGACTTTTGTGGTCTGAGTTGCAGAGAAAAGCATGGATTGTCGGTTCTCTGGAGGAGCGGGAAAATATTCATATGAAGGTTTACAAACGAGAGTGGTTCAAGACATACCATTGGGCAGGATGGAAATAATCTTCTTCATTTGCTCCTCGAAACCAACCTCCAATATACGATCGGCCTCGTCAATGATCAAACATTTCAGGTTTCGGAAAATGAATCCCTTCGTTCCCTGAGAACAAAATCAGCACTGCTGATAATGGTTTGTAAAGACGTAAGGACATACCTCTAAGTGATCAAGCAACCGACCAGGTGTCGCTACCAAGAGATTCACACCCTTCTGCAATTTATCTGCTTCTGCTCTATGATTTGCACCTCCCATAACGATACCAAACGTTTGTGAATGATGTGCCATGAGCTCTTTTGCAACACCGAATATTTGCAAAGCAAGCTCTCGAGTCGGGGAGACAATGATGATTCCGGTCCCTGTACACAACACACTTGGCATTAGCGAGATATAGGCAGGATTATCTATAAACACACCATTGCGAGGCTTGAACTTCAGCCTATGCAGCAGTTCTACCGCAGGTATAAGGAAAGCCAAAGTCTTTCCTGAACCCGTTCTCGCAGCACCCAAGACATCCTTTCCGGCAAGTAATGGGGGTATTGCCTTTTCTTGAATGGGGGTCATAGTAGTGAAGCCCATCTCTTCAAGTGTTCTTGAGGTGGGCTCCGAAAGCTCAAGCTCGGAGAATGGTTTTCGGCCTTGTACGCCTTCATTTACGACGGGTGTAGGGGCAGGGACTCCCTCGGAAGCCATTTTGAATGAAAGGACTAACAAATACAGGTAAAGGTATAAAGAGGACAGATATAGAGTCGAATCCCAGTGAAGCCAAGAGTACGATGAGACCAACGAAACCGAGCAGAGGCAAGAGAATACACTCGCCAAAAAGTGCAGAGGCGCCATTCCTATTGGCTCGGCTTCTGCCGGCTACACTCAGCAACCTGCATCTCGGTGGTGGCCTCAATATCGAACTTAGAGGCTTGAAGCCACATTCTACTCACCTCCCCATGTATCCAGAAGAATTAATTGGCATGACCATAACGACCTCGGAATGTTCGTTAGTGTCGCCTTAACTTATACGACTTGAACGCACAATTTCTAACGACACTGTTGAACAGATGTAACCGCCTTTGTCCTTATTGCTACAAGCCTAGGAATTGGATACAGTCTTGGAATAGCCTCAGCTAAACGAAATAGACCTAAACCCTCAGAGACGGTCGAACGGAAGATTGAAGAACCTTCAAAGTCAGAGAAACCTCTGAAAGACGCGCAAGACGCAGAACTAGAGAGTGAAAGCGAGTCAGATGAAGATGCTGCAGATGGGGACCTCTCTGCTGTGAAACCGGGCTTTCTAGAGCCTTGCAAACTTGTCAGTTCGACACCGTCCAGAAGGAAGTTCCGAAGCTAATATATTGATAGGTTCTTGTTGTGCGTGCTGACTTGGGTATGACGTCCGGCAAAATCGCGGCACAGTAAGTGTTCTTGCTCGACGATATCTGCTCCCTGTTAACTTGATTGTTAGATGCGGGTGAGTCCCTCAACAATCACTCAAAATGATCAAACTGATGGTTGGTTAGGCATGCGACGTTAGCATGCTACAAAGCATTGTTGAAGACAAATCCTGCCGTGTGTATCGTTAATATGAACTCTAAGACAATACTAAATGTTTTGATTCATGCAGTTACTCGCTCACTGGGAGCGAACAGGGTAAGCATTCGATCTATTGTTCGAGAACTAGAGCATTGACAATATGACAGACAAGCGAAAATTGCTCTGAAAGCGTCGTCAGAAGATGAGTTGCTGGAACTGGAGGCCATTGCTAAAAGTCTAAACCTCTGTGCGCGTTCAATCATCGATGCGTGAGTAAACTGCGTCATGATAGTCCCTTTCCACTTAACCGTACGTTACTCCCAGAGGCCGGACTCAAGTAGCAGCGAGGACGCGAACTGTCCTAGGCATTGGACCAGGTAAACAGCAAATTCTAGCTCCAAGGACCCAAGGACCATGCGTTGATACTTTTTTTCATAGCTCCCGTCGAACTGGTGAACAGAGTGACGGGCAAACTACGACTACTATAGTCCATCTTGTTTGTTGCAATACTATACTTTATCCAGTTTGAAGTTGTGTTGCTTAAGCAGGTTTTTGAGACTATCTGGATGTTCACGTTGTTTAGTCACATGCGTCTGCGAAGATATGTCATGTTCATCAAGACCGTAGCTCGAACATTGTGACTATATTACCTCAGACCGTCAAGGCCTCTGGACTACATATAAGCCGGTTCTCTATCCCCTTCCTTCTTTGAACAGCCATTCCAATCCGTTCATTCCTTGCTCCGAAATCTCTGCCTCAGTACCCATACAATGTTTCTAACTAGCCACGAGAGCTTCCCACTTGGCAATGACATTTCGCTTCCCAAGGGCTGATCATGAGCCAAGCTTCTCATGTCATCTTCATACATGGCCGTCATCTTATCCTTGAGTTCGGTCTTGACCCTGAAAGCAACAACCACACTTCCTTCATTGCTTTCCCACCTGCCATCATCCTTTTTGACAGGATTGGCTGGGAAGATGCGGAACATTCTTTCCCAAGATACGTCTGTATAGTATTGGCTCTTGCCAGGGAAACCAAAGTGAGCCGTCCGTCCTAAGTCATCCCTATCGTACGTTCATTAGACAATCCAGCATTCGAGTTGCAGAACAGAGTCGGAACATACTTTGCGAGTGAGTTTATGAGCACCACGGATTCTGCGGGGTAGATATGAAATCGGCCTGTTTCCAGTGCATCTTTCTGAGCATTTCCGTTTAACATCAGGTAGGTCTCGAGGAACTCGGTCGTGCGAGCTTTGACTATGTTATTGCGAATCGTTCGAGCGAGGTCATGCAGCGAATGGGACGCCGATACGTCGAACGTCGGCAGGTAGATGCAGTTACCTGCGTTCCTAGGATGTCTGTATAGTGCATTTTCGTCCTCAGAACGAGTTCGGTACTATAGTCGAAACGTCGGCATGTGATGATGAGAGGGGTCACTGGCAGACCAGCAATGTTTACACTCACATTCATCATGTACATAGCATTATGGATGGGTTTATCGAGACATCTGTTGTGCAAAGTGATGAGGTAGGCTGACAATGCGTCTTGCTGCGTCACTTTCACAGCGGCCTCGTCACGTCCATTTTGAGCACGTTGCTTGTTAGCCAACGCCAGAAGTTTGTCCTGCTGCGCCTTCGTGAAGGTGAAATCTACCATCGAGCTTGTTAATGCCTCGGCTGTGTACTTTGCGATGACGTCCGCCAGTGGGTATGATTTGAGCATGTGAGGAACATACTGCTCGTATAGAGCTTCTCCCTCTTTATCTGAAGGAGGTTGAGGCCAAGTACGTTTGTGAAATGTTGGTGAAGGTGGCGGTGGGAGGCCTTGATAGTACTGTGAGAGTGTTTGCATGAGGATCTTCAGGGTAGTCGCATCGCCTAAAATAACCAACTGAGTTAGTAACCTGGAAATGACATAGACTATTCTTGAAGACCGCCACTTACCAAGCACATGGTTCCATGAAAGACCTAAAACCGTCTCCCCAGTTTTGGTCAACTTCGTGAGCTTGAAGGTAATAAGGGGTACGTCTTCGCCCATAACGGCGCCTTCTAGAGAGACGGGGATATGGAAATTTTGAACGTCCTCAGATTTGTGAACGACACTATGACGGATGTCGGAGGGCAGGATCTCATCGCGCTTTCTGTCTTCGACAACTTCCACGGGCACAGGTGAGTTGGTCAGGTCGATCTGGCAGGGAAAATAAATATGGATAAAAATGGGGATATATGCTCAGACGGCTTACCCTCCAACCTTGTTCATCATGCCTGAGCCTTCCGGCTGCATGGGGAAAGCGTGCAAGTGTCTTCGCAAGGGCCTGGCGGAACCTCACCGGGTCAACGTCACCAGGAAAGACATGGCATGTATTGAGCTGAGCACACGATGAAATGTCAGTGTATGTGAATATGAACACACGCAGATCCAATACCTTGAGCTGCAGATAGAGGTCGTTGCCATCAGGCAGTCGTAAAGCTTCGCGATCGTTCAGAGTGGTTGGAAGCTCGGGCGCCACAGACATAGTGGGAAGACTGCTGTGGAGAGTGTGGAGACACCGAAGCAGACGTATAACGTTCGCGACTTCATGTCGTCTTTATATAGAGGTGTGCGGTATCGGAACGTCGCAGACGCCTGAGGTAAATCATTGAACACAAAATGACGGATCTTGCCTGCTTCCTATGGGGCTCCAAGGCATATTGTGAAGCCACAATGCAAGTTGTTAGTCAACATGACCATACGCCACTGTCTGGGACCCTGAGATTCACTAAGAAGTGATAGAATCCCGACTGTCACAAGGTCGGAAGTCGGGTTCTGGAACGGAGGATTGACAATGCTACAAAGCTGCGTAGCCTGTGCATCAGCATCAATAAAATGGGTATGAGGAGGCGGCGTTGGATGCAAGAAACTAACCATTCGTAGCGTCGTAAAACTCCAATCTCGGTCGGGAGAAAACCAAGTCTTGGAAGAGTCGGACGACCAATGTATTATAAATTCGAAGCCCACCAATCCTTGCGAGTCAAGATCTCCATAAGAACTTGACTGCAACACGCGCAATTATTGGAAGCGGTGATGGCTCGAGGCTTGGTACAGTCTCAGATGCTTTGCAATGCTAAAGAGCGGGTGAGATAGGACTGCTGCGGACCAGAATCCCGCGGCGGAATGTAAGAAATTGCTTCATTGAAGCTCCCAAGAGTGTACTTGAATAAATTAGGTCTTCCGGCGTCGTTTGAAGGAATGATTTGCAGCACGTCAACCAGGATATCGTCCAATCGCAAAACTCCTTGATATTGTCAAGTCATCACTCTAGTCCATTAAGGGCGTTGTATTTCCGGTCGGGACATGCCTACCTTAACAGTTGTTGGATGTTAATCAAGTTCAAAAGACGCTGTCATAGACCCGGGGGAGCGCGGAATCAAAACATTTGAGGTTTGGAATGCAGATTCCCGTAGACGGAGAAAGACGCAAATAGCATACATATGAAGGATACGAGACTGTAGTTGTGAGCTCGTGTGCCTTGACAGTGCACCTAGTAGTTTGTGTTCCAAAAAAGGTTGTAGGTCCACGACGATCAAGCTCGATCAAGCTGGAAGCGCCTCTTTTGAAATGCGTTGCTTGATTGGAAGCCTATTATTTGCAGGTATCTGTCTCGGGAATGTGGCACAGCGATGTACGCTAGTGGCTGAGTGTATATATCGTAGTCTGTATTGTGAGTGAGAGTCAGGCGAGTCGCCCAACATCCGTTGCGGCAATCATAGTCAGAAATAGGTTCGGCAAGCCAGAGCGTCTTCTAAAAATGCATTGTGTTTATCGTACTACCGAGATGGAGACGCGTACAATATGATTGGATCATCTATAAGCTCATTGCGGAAGTGTATCTTTTCGAGACGTCGTAAGTACGGCATCGAAAGAAACTGAAAGAAATGGAAAACGGATGGCCACGTGGATGACGTCAGAGGCGCTTCAAGAGATATCCAGGCCGAGGGTGACGCGGACGACGAACAGGAGCAAACCCAAAAATTCTAAAAACATCGCTGGAGACCCATGGCGTGCAGTGGATTCGCAGTGGATGCATGAACACCTTTTGGTGCGCCATTTTTCTTTCTGACTCTATCTATTCTTCAACTAGCATTATACCCCTCATACTGAACAACCATCAAACTGGATTACGACCATGGCTAGCGTTACTCTCGCTCGGGTCTATCAACAATCTTTTGAACACCGTCCGTATTGGACCCTTGCCATAACTAATGGCGCTCTCAACGCGCTCGGAGACACGGTTGCACAACTCACTGAGGCTGTGGTACGTCAATGCTACTTTACCCGTCTTCCGCCTGTATTCCTTCTCACCGCCCTCGTGTTTGAAGACTCAGCGTTCCACATCACATGAACCGTGGCCCCGCTATGATATCCCACGAACCTTACGATTCTTCGCGTTCGGATTGGGTATGGGTAAGTGCTCCATGTTTCTCATGTCGTTACAGGATAGGCTTATCATGCGTTTTTTTAGGTCCCTTGATCGGGAGGTGGAACTTCTTCCTTGAACGTCACTTCCCTCTACGTGCCAATGGAAGCACTGGAAAAGTCAGCGTGAAAGCTCTGTCGAAGAGGGTTGCTGCCGACCAACTCCTCATAGCACCTATTGGTGTAAGTTCTTTGGAGATAAAACTTCTCAGCACGCCCTCACATATTTTTTTCAGCTTTCACTTTTCATTGGAACCATGAGTATGATGGAGGGCAAGGATGCCCAACATATAAAAGGAAAGTTTAAAGACTTGTATGTTCCGTTGATCATTGCAAACTGGCAAGTTTGGCCGCCCGCACAGGTATGTGTAGACTTTACTGGTATAGTGATTTTCCAGGCTAACTGTGTTATAGTTGATTAATTTCCGATACATGCCTCTCGCCTACCGAGTGCCGTTCCAGTCCAGCTGCGGTGTCTTCTGGACGCTATATCTCTCTATTGCTAATGCAAGGTATGCACGTCCTGCACGATCTTGCGGACTTGTTATTCAAATCTACTGTTGTACAGGGAGGATCGGAAACAGGACGAGCTCGACCGCTTGCGCAGTGCAAGTACACAATAAGCGTCTCGCCGGTCTTGATCTCAATATTAAGCCAAAATACATCACCATGGAGAAATTTATATTCTTAGACCTCAACTTCAATCCCCCACTTCTGTAGCATCAACGTATACTAGCAAACGTAACTTTCTACTCTAGATGTCCAAGGGACTTTTCGTTGTTATACTACTTTTCATGCACTACTAGCTATACATAGCGCTGCGTAGCTTGTACATAACACCCGCAGCATATAGATGTTCAAATACATACACCATGCAATTCGACGTATGCAATATATGCGACATGAAGATCAAAGATCGCGTAGACGAACTATGAAACTACGGGACTATGATGCACCATATTTTGGTTTGAAAAACGCCGGAGGCAATTTCGAAAGCACGTCCACCAACGGACGCTCCACAATGACCAACTCTCCTGCTGCAATGAAATCCACAAACAGAATGGGCCGATAGTGCGTAATCAGCTTGAAATTCCGGGTCTGTCGCTCCTGCTGTCCTCCACCCCGACTATCTTCCGATCCATGGATCTGTGGCGGCGGCGGAGGCAAGTAATACTTCTTCCCGTCCCTTCTCCTCTTTTTATCAAACCCACCATACCCCCATACAGCAGCATCCAATTGAACCTTACATAACCACGTCGCGCCCCAGAATAATGCCATTTTCTTAGTTCCGCCGGTTGCTGGAGGTTCTGGATCAAAGGTCACTCCAAGAACGGGGTCGTGGAGTTGGGTGAAGCGGGGTGGGAGAGCGGAGAGCAGGTGACGAGACCATGTGGGGAATTGACGGGATTCGACGTCGTAGATTTGGAGGGTGTTGTTGGCTAGGGCGAGAATGAGAGTTGAGGGAGAGGAAGGTTCGAAGGAGAGTGCGTGGATTGGTTGGGGGAAAGTTGGGAGGACGCAGTGATGCTATTGATAGTAAATTTCAGTACCATTAAAGTGGGCACTGGGTGTGGGAGAACTTACTTGGATGGAATCGAGGTTGAAGACATGGGTCCGACTTCGGTCGTCTGATGTCGCTAGCCATTGACCATCCGGACTTACAGCCATCCGAGTCACCGTCACTGACGCTTGCTTGTTTCCATTCTCTCCGTCGTCACTAACTTCACTTTCGTTGTCACTGACACCTTCAGCAACTTTTTCTTCTACATCTGCATCCTGCATCTCCACATCTTGGTCCGGTCCTTTGCGACCTTTGACTACCCGATTCCCAATGACGATATTTTGCATACGGTGCTGTTCAAATCGACGCAGGACCCGGGGCTTGGGCTCCCCAGTATTAAGGTCTATGACAAGGATGTACCCTGACATGGCAGTAGCCATGACTAGCTTGGTAGAGTCGGGCGTGAATATGAATGAAGAAGCACCCGTGGAAGGAAGTTGGTTCGACTTGGCATTGGGAAAGGATGATTGGATGATAGCGGTGAAATCCCGTATTCGTTTTGGTTTGAGATCCCCGTTTGCCTAGCACACCTTAGTTAATGTCTTGAAGGTAATGAGACTGGAAAACTCACTAATTGTTCTAGACAGAAGAGTTTCGTCTCGTACCAATCGGAAACAGTCACCCACTTTCCATCGTCTGAAATAGCACTCGCGACGAGGTTACTAGTGACATTCAAAGCCATATCCAACACCCTGTCCCATCCGCGATCGGGAGCACCGGACTGTGGAGTAGGATCCTCCGTTGTAATCATATCCTCAACACCTAATGACGGCTTCTGCTTCCTCGATATCTTCCAAATACTTATCCCAGAATCTCTCATACACAACAGCAACCTAGCTCCCTTCGCAAGATGCAATGCGCTGCCATTGAACGAACCAGAACTATACGCCAACCGTCTATGATACGCATCTTCAAAGGTTGATATTGTGCTTGTCCCCAATGGATTGACGACTTTCGTCATAGTACTTGCGGGAAGTGCAGCAGGCGCAATGACGACGTTCATATCCAGACCGCCGGAAGCTAGGAGTGGTGCGACGTCCAGTGGGAATTGACGTTTGTGGGAGGGTGGGAGTGGGGTGTACGGAGGCCAGATGGCTAGTGCGCGTACGTCGTGTGAGTGAAGACGACGGGAAGTTGATTGGACCCAGCGGCTTGTGGCTCGGGAGAGAAGCGAGGATTGGGCGTTGGACGATTGGGAAGTTTTGACAAGTGTGAATTGGACAACTTTTTGGTCAACACCTGAGGTGTAAATTGCTGTTCCTTCCTGAAAAAACACACATGAACGAATATGTTACAGGATTGACAGACATGATATGAACATGTTGAGAACGTACTGGACTGATGGTGAGACAGAGAACATCTGCGTTATGCGCCTGGAAGCTCTGAATTTGTGTACATGTTCTGGAATCCCAGAACTTGACTGTGCCGAGTGAGTCTCCGGAGACAATCATGCCATCACTTCATGAATTACGCATTAGATGGAGGTTCGAGAAACCCAAAAAAATCAAGACTCACCCTAGAACACCAACCGTCCATACCAGTGTTCTCTCTCCTCGTTGTTTGTCAGTTCCCATCCTATCCAACACTCTCCCACTAGCAATATCCCATTTCCGCAAACTGCTATCTGAGCATCCGGCTACGAGCCATGAGTCTGTCCAATCGTCCTCCTCCTCATCACTGCTCTCTTCGTCATTACCATGGCTTGTTGAGCTAGGTTTGGACGTGTCTCTGGGTACGGGTGGGCCCCACGCGAGACTGAGAATTCTACTTTTTACTCTGTCCAGTCGACGGAGGTGCGTAAGAGTATCGTATTCCAAAGAAAGAATACGGACGGAGCCATCTTCACAACCGAGTGCCAGTAGTGTTGATGCCGGATTGGCAGATGCTGACCAGATCGATCCTCCTTGTGAGGAAATTGTGCGCTTCATACGGTAACACGGTCTTTTAGTTACAGTACGATATTGGCAATAGTGCGAGTAAATACACACCCTGATAGTTCCACGTTCAATATCCCACTCGGCCAATTCGCTACCACCACCTGCACTAAATAGGCGAAGGTTTGACCATGAAGGTACTTCGTCCGCGGCAATCTGGTCGGGGTACTTGATTGTGAATGCCAAAGAATCAACTTTCGACATATATGGCCCTGAGAGTGTCTAATATGTGAAAGATCCAGCTTGTTAGTTAGTTTGTTTATAGATACTGAAATACTGCAAACACTTCACCTTCTTTACAACCCATGCCTGAGGTGCAGAACTCTGATGCTCATGACCCGTCCATTCACAAAGCTCAATGTTTCCATTGGCACGTCCAATAGCAAGCGTCCCAAATCTGAGCCTTTTTCGACTGGCAGCCTTCTTCTTGCCTTTGACTGAAGGAAGTGGTAATGGAGGGAAAGCCAAAGCAGTCACGGCGGAAGGCTGGTAATCCACAAAGCGACATCGGTGCACGGAGAGCGTTGTGCCTTCCACCATTGTTGCAGATGGTTTCTGGACTATGTCAGACACAGCCAGGACGACGTATGAAAGGAAAAGAGAGGAATTTTCAAGATGTCGTAGAAACGAATTTGGACGAGCAAGAATGAGCAGAACGCGAGTCTGGGCGTCTACAAACTTTTTGTGATCGAGAGAGCCACATTTGGAAGCGCGCCTTTGCCAGTGACACCGTCGACCTCTGCCGTCGACTTTATTTCATCTTCACCTCCTCCTTCATCTTCGATTCCATTCTTCTCGTGATGTCTTTTCTCGGTGGAAGAGGTTCGACGCCTGCGGGCTCTGTGAACCCTGAACGGGTAGAAATGGCTATGCAAGAGTGAGTAGGGGTTTTGTCATTAGTTCAACAGATTGCTAACACTCCTGTTCAGACTTGATATGATCACCGACGTGTTCAACAGGCTAGTCTCGTGAGTTCTGCAAATACTCACATCTTTGAACGCGACAGGGCTTATGTTGCGAACTAGTTCATGTCACGCCAAATGCATAAGCACCCGATACACCGAAGGCGACTTGAACAAGGGCGAGAGTGTCTGCATTGACAGATGTGTAGCGAAGTTTTTCGAGGTCAACAAGAAGGTTGGCGAAAAGTTGCAAGGCATGGGTGCCAATGCTTCACCAAGCCAAGGTGGCGGCTTCGGACTATAGATGCTATGCGGATTTCTGTATCATCCATTATATTCGACTTAATACGCTGCGTATAGCAGCTCTATTGCATATGTCGACATTCACCGTCTCCCACAATGCTACTCCCACACACATGAAAAGGCAAAACACGACAGCGACTAATCTATAGCAAGCAGACTCCAGAGCGGAGTAAATCCACGAGAAAAAAAAGAGCGAGGCGCGGTGTCGCCGCGGACAGTGCTACTTTGGAGCATTAGGGAAACAGTCGGCCATGGTCTTTCCATGTCTGTTCTGGGCATGTTCTTCGAGCCTATTGGTATGATGTGTTAGAATCGATTCATCCATAACCGTACTCACAACTTACGCTGGTGCACGGGTTGTCAGCAACTGGAATTGTTGCAAAGTCAGTACAATGCATCCGCGTGGATGGCTTGATACGCACGAAGGTCTGTCTACACGTCATACAGATGATGTTTTTTGCTGCTTCGTTAACCTTGTTCTGACTCTTGGCTGTCGAGCCCGCCTTTGCTTGATTTCTCTCCCGCTTCTGCTGCGCCTTCGCACCCTGAGGAAAAGAGTGAGATGAACAAACAATGTCAGAGTATAGGAGAAGCCTCCTCACGTTGCCCATGATCCCAAGGAAACTAGAAACACTAGAAATGAACCGCAGCGAAAGAGATGAAAGGCCTTGCCACAGCCTTGCGGCGGATTCTGCGCTCGATCAATCGAGACCTTACGTAAGCAATCCCGTACCGCCCAATGCGATTTTTGTTTTCGGCAGCTCTGTTCACGCCGACGATAAAGACCGGACCTGAGGCAAATTTGGTTCGGCGAGATTTTCTTCTGAGTAACATGGCGAGGATGGCTGACTGTAGAGTCATAAGGCAGGATATAAGAACGCATCGATGTTTTCTCGTACCCTTTACTTTCGTGCAGTGACTCGAAGCACCATGAGGACATACTTTCTTTCAGTTGCAAAGAACCCTTATCAGGCTTCTGCTCCCTCACCCGTCAATCCGCCTTATCTCAGACCACATACCAGCATGTCTGCTTCACTCGATGCCGCTAGGAGCGCTGTCACCCAGCAAGTAAAGTTTGACATCATCACGGAAAGCCAAGAAGCCGTAGGTTCAGACGCGACGCCGTCAAGTCAGATCGGAACCTAACCACCACTTACCATATACAGGACAATGAGAAGGCAAGGCAGGAGGTCTCGAGGAGCTTCATCTGTGGGTCGCTTTACATTGAGTGTTATGGTTGGACGTAATGCTAAAGTTTCCTCCAAGCCGATACGATCACAGGTTGGTACATCACGAAGATGTCGTAGATCTTATACTCAAGTATCTGCCCAGTCCCCTCGAATGAGATGTACGCCTATGCAGCGTTAGCCTCCTTGGGCGATGATGTCTATCATGAGCCTTCAACGATAGCACTCGAAGCACATATGGCTCAAATCACCGGCAAAGAAGCCGCTATGTTTGTCCCCTCGGGGACCATGTCCAATCAGATTGCTCTCCGAACTCATTTAAAACAACCCCCGTACTCTGTACTTTGCGATTATCGTGCCCACATCCATAAGTGAATTAGATCCAATAACATGACAGTCAGAACGAACCACTAACCCCTTTGTAGGTACGAGGCTGGCGGTACAGCCTTCCACTCCAACGCAACAACCATCACCGCTATCCCCTCGAATGGTTAGTTATAATTTATACGTTTGCGCTTGATAGATCCTGACGGTGACAATGACAGGCCATCATCTCACCCTTGCTGACGTACAAGCAGAAATAATTCTCGACAACGACATTCACTTGTAAGTGCACCGTGTCGCTAATACATGGTTCAAAGCTCATGCACCTTCACAGTGCACCGACGGAGGTTGTCGCTCTGGAGAACACACTCAACGGTACCATAATTCCGCAAGACGAGATCATCGCGATCTCGAATTGGGTTCACAGTAAGGGCAAGAAAATGCATCTGGATGGCGCACGAATCTGGCATGTCGCGATCGAGACCGGCACACCTCTCAAGGAACTCTGTGATCCTTTCGACTCCGTCAGTCTTTGCTTCAGCAAGGGTCTCGGTGAGTCCTCATCTTATTTTTCAGTGACACTGCCTTACTGAAATTGCGATTCGTAGGTGCACCTATCGGCTCTTGTCTAGTTGGTAGCCAAGAGTTCATCAAGAAGGCTCGTTGGTTCAGAAAGCTGTTCGGTGGCGGCATGAGGCAGACCGGGCTCCTTGCGGCATCGGCTGCATATGCCCTCACGCACAATTTCCCGAAACTACTCGACGTACACGTCCTTGCAAAGAGGCTAGAGGCTGGTCTAAAGGAAATCGGTGTACGTATCACCAGCCCTGCAGAGACTTGCATGGTGAGTCATTATTGCTGTCTATTTCCATATGCTCTTACTCATGATCGATTCTTGCATCAGATCTTCTTCGACCCGTCACCCGTTGGTGTAGACTACGTTGAGCTCGTTGAACGCGCGGACGCCCTTCCAAAACCAATCAAGATTGGTGGCTCGAGACTGGTACTTCACGTCCAAACTTCACCCGAAGCGGTCGAAGATCTGCTTGCTTTGATCCGTCAAATAGCAGAGGAGAAGAAGGCCGCCGGCTTCGTTCCCCCACAGGACGCTAATGGCAACCCAAATGGCAATATCTATATTCGCGCTAGCAAGCCTCGACGAACTGAGTAATGCTGGTTTTCACACTCTTGGTCATTAGAAATGTGTGATTTGTTAGACCTATCATATTAGATGTATCCGTACCCATACACAAATGTATCTCGCAGCACTAGGATTTCATGTTTTTGGTTAACCTTTCCCGACATACCGCTGCTTCTCGTACTCCCGCCACAATGATTTCATGACGGCCTGTCCACCAGTGTCGAGCGTGACCATCATCGCGTCTCGGTATTGTTCGCTGATGATTTCGCACAGCGCGAAGAGCCCAGGTTCAAGCTCTTTACGCACTTCGGAAGGCAGAAAGCAGAGGGGATCATTAAGGATATCCACGTAAACCTTCAAAACAACGAAGATGTGTTTTGATAGCGGACGCGCAAGTGAGTCCGCTTTTTGTGTCTCTGTGGAGGGCACATTGTGGGTTCGAATGATGGTCTTGGTGGTGAGTGTCGTGAACAATCGTGCTAGAGCCCTGCTCTCCTCAGCACCAAGGGGATCTTTGACGTCGATCCATCGGGGAAGGGTGTTTGAAACCATTCTAGTTTGTCGAGCTCCCAGATTCGGAACCATGGTCTTTAGGTATACGACCAGACGACTTAGCATGATACACAGCAGAGGAAGTGTAGATAGGACGAGATCCCGACGCAGGCGTACGAGTGCGCTGAGGATAGAGACGATAATGTGGAATATTTCGCGTTGCGTCCTATCGTCATGTGCAGCCGACCCAGCTAGAGAGCTTCCTAATAGTGCCCAAGCCAAAGAGACTTGCGACGACCGTATCGCTGCAGGCTGAAAGTCTAAGTAAGTATGTGAGCTCAGCTCGCAAAGCCCTAATGCATACCCGGTCGTTGAAGTATTTCGCGACAAAGTTGAGTGCACAATTGGCAAGTTCGGTATTTTCAGTGTACAAGGGAACGTTGACGAAGAGGCTAAGGCTGCGGGTGACATACTCTTGTGTGACCTTCAAGGTACCTGGAGTGTCATGTAAGTTTGAGGATTATATGGGGGATGAAAATATTCTTTACCTTCGGGTGCATTATGTACCAAAACCCCAGACAAATGAATAAGATCGCCCAAAGAGGTCTTTTCGAGACCTTGCTTTGTTAGACCGTCGATCACTAGATTGAGGACACCAGAGAAGTCCTGGACGGTGAGCTTTTTGCATGCCGAAATGATGCAATCATCCAAATCTTTACGGCCTGTTTCACCAAGATTCTTTTAAGTACAACACGACGAAGGAGGGCGGGGGCATTGACTCACAAATAGAATTGGACCTTACACAGAACGCAAGGTAGATTGCCACAACGAATTGGAGTTGTTCACCATGTTGTTTTCCAGTATGAAGCTCCTCCAATGCTATAGCAAGGATGGAATGAGGTAATGCTGAAGAATCTTGAGCGGCGTCGGATTTCAAAGAAAGGAATTTCCGTGCGAGTTCTTGTCCGAACATTGGGATCGAGAAACCTATATTAATATTTAAGCACACCACACCGGTGCATAGAGGTACAAGCAAATCATACCTTCTATTGTGAGCCATCTTCGGAATATCAGTAGACGACACCAAAGGTTGAGCACTGGCCCAGCCGATAACAAGTCAGTCTCCTTCGTTTCTTGAGACACCAACGCCGACATCCGGGAGAGTATGAGTGAGAAGACGTGCTCCCACAGATTACGCAAACTCTGAATGACCTCTTCTTGAAAGCTAGTACAACTTAGTTATTGCACTCCGTAAGGGTCATGAAGCGTGTGAGCTCACTTTGCTAGCTTGTACCCGTCAACAATGGAATCGATCAAGAGAACCAAGCTCTGCTCTCGAAGACTTGAAATAGAAGAACTTTGATTGGAAGCAGCATTGATCGCCGCCGAGTGGATGAATGACTCCAGGATCTTCGCTATTCCAGCGTGTTTATCCTTCTCTGCAGACGAGAGCAGTGATCTGGTATAATAATGTCAGAGGTCTGGGGTATAGCTTTAAAGGATGAAGTGACATACCTGAAGTGCATTTCTATCAGGTCAAGTGTGATATGCTTAAAAGTGGACGAATCGTCTGTGAGCGAGAATGGTGGATCCATTAAATATATCACATATTCTTGGATTGCCTGCGTTATACACTTCAACACAGAACATCGAAGCATGAACTTAAAAAAAGCACATACACTATGCTCAACAGTCCCAACATGGAAGAAAACTCGACGCATGAATTCCCGTAGCGTAATCAAACGTTGTTGCTGTTCAGGCTGCAGGTCTCGGCCTTTAACAGAAATGCCTATCGTGACGTCGGCCGCCAATGCGCGTTTGAGAAGATCGGTACGGACACTTCGGGGGAGGAACTCGGTAGGGGCATAAAGCAGAAGGTCGTAAACCGCCTGCAAAGACCCCTCTTCGTTTGGCCCTTTCCCAAATTGTTGTCCGGATAACAGCTGTTGCAAGATGTCCTGGACCTGAACGTTATCCATTGAAGCAGTATGCTCGTTGATGAGTGATACAATGGCACCTAAACCCGATCTGTAAGTGCTATGTGCAGAACAGAAAAAGACAATTAATTCACTTCTGAAATTCTGCATCTCCCAGAACTGTGCATTCCGAAGGGTCTTGGCAAACAACGAGGACAAGGAGAGTGCATCCTGCGATCTCCGTGAAGGGCTACCCGATTCCTGAGGTAAAACGGCGAGCATCAATTCGGCCAGCCGCTTGAGCTGGTCCGGTGTCACGAGAGTACTAAAAATGACTTCATTAGAAAAATGGTTCTAGAGTTGACGTCGTGGAATGCTGACTCAAGGGTAGGCAGCCAACGGTCAAGAAGTAGATGAAGTCCAGCAACTGATATATCAGAGCTGCGTTCGTCCACACTGAGTCGATGTAACTCGCCAGTCCACGCAGCTTTGTTCGTTGGACCTATTTTCTCGATCGCTTGTAGAATATCTTCAAAGACGGTCGTGGCGGCAAATCTGCCGACGTTTGCTTCATGAAGAAGAGTGCGATACTGCATGGTTGAAATAAGGATTCTGTCAAATCACAAGAACTGCCCACTTACAATTTCCACTCGTAACTCAGGAAGAATGTCATCCAACTTCAACAACGACAACAGCTTCGACGGGGTCTTGGTGTCATTGTCAGCAACAAGGGAGGAGTTTATCAAGTAATATCGGAGCCGCAATGCAGAGATAGCTACTAGCTGCCATCCCCATACATTAGAGGTATCATTAAGGCAGGCTTTGAGTGCTTTCTTGAGCTTTCCGCGGACGCTCTTCGAGTAGAACTCCTGGATCTCACTGCGAACAGACTGCTGCACTTCCTCCAAAACCGTATTGAAAGGAAGAGCAGTCAACGCCACGGCAGCGACGCTTGTCATGAGGGCGAAAACGACAGCTGCATGGTCAGGATCTGTATCACTGGCGGACAACGACTGCCTCTCGCGTTTTCGTTTCTTCCTTGGCCCTTCGTCGTTTTTACTCGTTCTGGAAGCTCTCTCCTCAAAGTCTTCTAAACTAGACTGTAACTGACGAAGAATACTTTGGGTCAAGTCGGGCACCTGTCCGGGGGTAAGGAACCCATGCACCGCCTTTGAAAGCTGGTCGAGGAACCTGTGATTGAGGACGGCACTGGACGAAGCATTCTGATATGTATTTTGCGGAGTCGGTGTTGTCGCGGGCAACTTTGTGAAGGACGTCAGGATAGCCTGAGTAAACGTATCCACAGTACGTGTTTTTATGTGATAGCTGAGAAGCTGACCAAGGTAGGGTATGGCGGACTGCATGGCATTGGGAACCTATATACGAACACGTGTTAGTGAGTTGAACGGCAGACAAAAAAAAACTTGACTTACCAGGCTAATTATAGGAAGGATTCGCGAGAGTGCACCGGGTACCAAATCATAGTCGATGTGCGATAGAGCAGACAAAGTGTCGAGCAGAACACATATCATCTCTGATTGGCCAGCTAACAGACGCTGAGGGGTGAGTACGAGAAGCAACATAAACTGATGCCGAAGTACCTTGGAACGCGTCCGATAACGAGTCAATACTCAGCTCCCCAATCTGTCGCAAAACATCCGCAGACATGTCATCGCTGACGCTCAGAAGATCTTCCTGATCAACGATAGTAAGCAAGGCCAGCCTTGTGCGCCAGACTTCTTCGTTGGTGGTAGAACGCAGAAGACCGTCGCATGTTGCAAAAAATCTCATGGATGCGGCCCGAGCTTGCTCAGCAGCAGTAATGCCGATGTTCTTAGATCCTTGGCCAAACAGTGCACTTCGATGCTTCTTGCTGATATCGATGTAGGACTTGAACAACCGAGGCAAGCAGATAAGGACAATACTTGGGACTTGGGACATCAATCCTGCCAAGGAGCTGTCAAGGGATGTCTGTGCTTGTTGTTCGTAGGCAACCCGCAAGACGTCAACATTGAAAATGGTGTCCACCCCGATATCGTAGATGGAAGATAAAACTTCATCATCTTGAAGGTCGCCTGACTGGAGCGAAACACACGTTAACCAATGGCGTAAGTGATGCTGCATGAAACTAGAGCAAATCTAGACGCAGATGTTGAGTTTAACTTTGAATGTGTTTATTCATAGATAATCAGCATACCTTCTTCTTGTGCGCGGCATTCCCCAATGATTCCCTATAAGAGGAGGATATCGAGAGCACAAAGTTCGCCAAAGCCGTCCTGTGCTCATCCCCCTCAAGCAAAGGTTTACAAGACAGAACTGAGAGATACTCGAGCAGCGCCCCAACACAGTCCAATAGAGCGTCCTGAGTGAACTTTGGTGCAGCGAGAGGCCACAAAATGGAGAACGATCGTAGACCCAGAGACGTCAGGTGTAGTCGGTCAGCCGATTCAGGGTTAGTTGCGCATAGGTTAAGGAATGCAACGATCATGGGTGCAAGTGGTACACGGTTCAGCAGAGGTACCATCCAAATTCTAGCGGGGTTGCTGAAGGTGTTGCTTGAGGGCGGAAAGGCCGAAGTCAGAATATCATTGAGCAATTTCCAGTAGCGAACATCCGCCATAGGATTTGTGGAGCTATCAGAAAGCAGGTCTCAGAAGAGGCAATGATAAAAAGACGGAATACGTACACATCCTTGTTCTTGTCCTTCAATAACCGTGTCAAGAGCCATTCCAGAACGGTTTCCGCCTTATTGGGCATATACAGTGACGCGTTGTTCCATCCATCCTGAGCGAGCTGAATCTTGGAGGGTCCATTTAGACTTGGCGGATCTGAGGAAGCTTTGAGAGCCCGTATGAGCTCCAAGGCAGAGTCCGCCATGGATTAAACACGTCGGCGCCGAAGTCAAATCGAAGTGAGCACTTTCTGGCATAAGCGCTTTGATCGAACTTGAGAAAATACGAAAAAGGAAGGTCCGAGGAAGCAGAAAGTAGAACACTGCCACGTGGAAAGCTATGATTAAAAGGCACGAGTAAGCATCGAACAGGGGCAGACAATGGCAGGCATGGCATTGGTAGAGGGCAACCATCCGAGCTCGGCTTCATCGCAGGCCTTTTCTAGCCCCGTGCCGTCCCAGCATGTTCGGCGTCCCTTAACTTCTCGCTCGGCTCTGCGGGCAAAAGCTCTCACCTCCTGTGTTTGATCGAGCATCTCTGGATGCATCTTTGCTCCAGTAGCAATTCATTTCATGCATCTAGCCTGCTGCGTGCACCTTGTTACCTCCCTTATATAAATCTGGACGGTATGTTTCTTTCTCTTCCACTCGCACTCGTCCCATCCAAAGACCTCAGCTGCACTCCAAAGACCGCACACTGCTTTAATGTCGCCCGCAATCGTTCAGACCCATTATGCTCTCGGGACCCGCGACCATCACCGCCATTCTACTATGGCTGCTTATCTCTGGCTTGTATGGTACCACGCCAGCTCAAAAATGGCACCAAAGCACTGGGCTTTGGCTATCACTTACGAAGTGAATGAACGCGCTTATGCGACCGTTTATCAGGTGCGTATTTTATCTCGCTTCAGTTGTTGTCCGCATTGATGGAACGATGTCCCTAGATGTTGGGAGATGGCAGCGGCATGGGCCAATTCCAACCAAGCGTGGTCCGCCGCGTACATCTTACTGGCACACACGGAGCCCAATCATACGAAGGGAAACTCTTGCTAGGCGAGGTTCCCGATAGCGTGGTTGGCGCGATGGAGATGTACAGCGAGTCAGCCACTGACCTTGTCAACACAAAAAATCGAAAGCGTGGAGTAGGGGAGTCAAATTGCCAGGATTGGACAATGATAATTGTCCGAAGTTTAGAGGACGCGCAGCTGCTTCCGAAGGGGACGCTGGCGCGGGTGGAACGAAGTCCCCGATTCGGATGAAAGGCTGATCCTCTTCGACTTCTTCGTGATCGACCGCTTTCGTCTCTAATTTATCGGCATCAGCTATTTCAATTTGCTACTCGAACTCGCTGTCTCTCATGTTCTGTTCTTTCTTGGGTCTTATGGCGGTTTCTGACATTCTAGTAGGGCCTTCGGCCGAACCTTCAATTGTACTACCACGCACTCTCCACCCGGTCTCTTACCGTACTTTCAGGTCATAGATTCTACGTATACTTAGTATAGTTAGCACGCTCCCGAATGTATTGGTACACGATCAAACGCTGCCCGTGATCGCTCTAGTCTGGATGAATGAATGAATGAATGAATGAATGAATGAATGCACAGGCAGCACAGCTGAAGCACACTTTAATATTGAATGCCCATTGCCCTGGACTGTATCGCGAAGTTTGCTATACTTATATTAGATAGAAACGTGTGTAAGTCATGTAGACGGGGATAGAAGCTCTTCTGCTCCGATGCACACATTCAAATGTCAACCGCAGGAGCTTCCACGTACCTGTATAGGTGCTTAAGGGCCTGAAAGCTGCAATTATACATCCCTCTATCGCGTTCCGAGAATAACGGAAGACGCTGGAAGCCGCGCCGGATATACCGGGCGCTTTACGTTCTTATCCTCCTCAACTGCTGCTGGTTTTGCAACGCCGGGCTGCCAGTTATCCTTTCACATTTTTGTGGGCTTCCCATAACTCGTGTTTGGCGTGCTTTCCTCGCCAAAATTTTCCCTTCTGCTCGAGGCAACTTGTAGATGACCCGGTCCTAATCTGGCTATGTGCTGACTTTGTCAGCTCGGGGAAGAAACTGCATTTGTTTCCGGAGCCATCAAGTCAAGTCACCGGGTCAAGTCATCCTTCGCACTCTGCTGGCATCCTGGACGGAATCACTGTCATTCTCGAGGACCTCAAGCTCTTAGTGCTCCTGTGACTCACTGCTTGAAGTCCTTTCTTTCGTACTGTACTGCTCCGGAATTTGTCTGCGCCGTAGGGTCCTTCCGTTCGAAATCCGGATTGGCTACAAAGTATCATGCCTGAACACCAAATCGAGCATGAGGATTTGGAGTTGTGCAAGTCTTTACAGGCGGAGGAGTGCGAGGTCTTAGAGGTACGTCGTTCTCTAGGTTGGATTCATGACCGGATGAGTTGACCTATGTATGTCCGCTACAGTCCATCTATCCAGATTGTCTCTCCGGGGATTACTCGAAAGGATCTCTCCGTCTCGAGATTCCAGTGGAACTCTCTGAGCCTCATTCACTCGTATCGGCAGAAGATCAGAACCTAGCTTCGTTGTCCATGTTACCTCCACTACTACTGGATATCCTTTTACCGCCAAATTACCCTCTTCATGACCCGCCTCAGATTCTGTCACTATATGCAACATATTCGTGGTTACCGCCTAGCGTTAACTTGATGCAGCGCCTGTTAGATATGTGGCAAGCAGGGGAAGGCGTTCTGTATTCATGGATCGAATGGATACGGGGTGGTATATTTCTGGAGGAGTTGAAGTTTGTTTCTACTCGGGGTTCTGAACCAATACTACGGTGAGGAGGTTGGCAAGTTGCTTTTGGTTTTGTGCGGAATATCCTGATGCTCCCGTCCAAAGCATACCCCATCCGGAATTGGATCTACTAACAAACAAACTAGTCGGGTACGATACGTCAACACAACTAATGCGCTTTTCTCAAAACTCTTACAACTGTGAAATATGCCTGTCTTCAATCAAGGGGGCACGGTGTATATTGCTTTCATGTTCACATGTCTTTTGTCGGTCATGTTTGGAGGACTTTTGGAAGTTATGTATTACGGAAGGAGATGTGGGGCGAGTAGGATGTCCGGACCCGAAGTGTGTAAAGGAGGGCAGGGAGGCGAATGAAGAAGAGGTCAGACGAGTCGTCACTGAAGAGGAGGTTCAACGGTGGAAATGGTTACGGCAGAAGAAGGCCATGGAGAAAGGTGAATTATCCCCTGGTACTTATGATAATGGAATTCAACTGACATCATCAATATGCAGATCCCACGATAGTACATTGCCCGCTATTATTGTGCCAGACTCCTGTGCCAATGGGGGAGAATGTAGAAGAGGGCTCGGGATGGGAACGGTTCCGTGAATGTTCCAATTGCGGCTACTCGTTCTGTGCATATTGCAAGCGGACATGGTGGGTATTTGCGCTGGATGTTTATGCTTATATTTCGCTCATGGGGTGTTGTAGGCACGGTGCACATAGTCAATGTCCCCTGGAGTTCACCGACTTTCTGGCTCAGAGATACCTCGATCTTGCGGAAGACTCTTCGGCACGCAAGGAGATGGAGACTCGGTATGGTCGAAGCAACCTTATGCGGATGGTGGTGCACTACCAAGAAGACCAGGAGAACATCAAGTGGATCAAACAATCGACGACGGCATGTCCTGTCTGCGAGATTCGGGTGGAAAAGTCCTCCGGCTGCAACCATGTACGTGTAACGATCCTTTTGGGACTGAAATGCTGAGATTGCGTTGCAGATGAAGTGTTTCAAATGCGGACACCACTTCTGCTACCGGTGCGGGGCGAAGTTGAGGGCAAACGACCCATATGCGCACTATAGAAATCCGGGGACACAGTGTTATTCGAAGCTGTTTGATCGAGTAGACGTAGATGACGAATGGCAGCCAATGGAGGCCTTTGACGTGTTGGAATAAATAAAATTTGACTATGCTAGGAGACCGCCCCGGTTTAGTAAGGAGAACTTGAAGCCCCTGAGCGAGCCGATTGAAGTCCGACTGGAAGCGAACCAGGCGCTGAGTCTGATTTGTGCGCGGGGGCGGGGGTCGGGCGGGAGAGCGGGGGTCGAAATCGGGGAAGGCAAATTGGCGAGTCTCCTGAGGAAGTGCATCTAGGCCGTGCTTGGTTTCTGACGTTCACCTCCTATCCTGCTCCCGGCTCTGTTATATTCTTCGCCTCGTCGGTCTCGCTTTGCGAGGAGCCCACCTCTCCTTCTTTCATCTTCTCGTTCACCTCCGTGTCGCCTTTCGAGTCTAACAGCTCTCCCCTGACGGATACCACTTTGTCCATACCCGAATCTTACCCCATACCCTCGCTGTCTCCTTAACACCCATTCCTACACGTTCCATACCTGTACTTCTCGCGCACTACCCTCAGTTCAAGGACAAGCAACTATGGAAATCTACACCACATCTTTTACTTATCCTCGTCGCTCACGACTCACTCATTCCCCCGCTTCGTCTCTCGACTTCTCATCCCCGCCTGACCTCCGTCATCAGGATTCTTACTCTTCGCTTCATCAGCAACATGTCAATAGTACTCTTCCCGGTTCTCAGGGGACTGCGTCTCCCTCCGACTATGAAGCCGTTCAGAAGATGGCCATGATGATCATGGCTATCCATGGCGTTCATATTACTTTTGCTCCCGCCGACCAAGGCAGGGCCTGGAATTTTCAGATTTCTGGTGCTTACCAACAAGTCATGCTTGCTCGAGGCATGATTTTCAAGGATTGTCCAATTCAAGTGTGTTGCACTCCCTCTAACGCTCATTGGTTACGAACTTACTGACGTTTTGATAGAATCGTGCGGTCATTAGGGTAGCGCGATCCGATATTCTAGACACACCCTCGTCCAAACCGAGTTTGAAACCCGAGATCCGCCGCCGTTTGGATGACATAGCTTCGCAGACGTTTGCTCATATCGCGGTCGTGAACAGTCCTTTGTCTCTTTCGACTCGCTCTTTGCCGGACGGTATCAGTAGCAGTGCAGGGTGGTCAGGTTTGGAGACTGAACGAGTTTGTGAGCTTGTCATCACTGGTCAGGGTGATTCAGTAGAGTTGGCTAGAGTGCGTTTGCTGGTCATGCTTGATGAGCTGGTGAGTTTCCATTCCCTGTGCTTAGGCTTTCCTTGTCTTTGTGGTGCTTACTCATTCTCACAGAGCGGCTTACATGCGGAGTGTTGCGAAATTGACCAAAAACTGCACCCTCTAATTGCTGGTAGAAAGCGGGGCGTCTTGCAATCCATCCAAGAAGAGACCGGAACCAATATTTACTTCCCTTCGCCTCTGCAAGGCCTTGTAGGTCCCGAAATCGGAGCTGCTGCAACCCCTGGGGGACAGAACAAGCTGAACCAGAATGTGATCTGGATCACCGGCGAGTTCTTTGGTGTTCAAAGGGCTCGCGACATGTTGTTCCAAGTTTCTATGACTAAGGTCCGTATTTCTATCGATTATCTATGGAACTGGTGCTGACGCTCATTCTCTTGATGCTAGAGCAAGCAAGTGATTTCACGAGACGCCGCGATCCTACCTCGCAAACTAGACTGGATGGTCACAGAGCGTGCCGAAGATCTCAAGACTCTCATGCATGACAATGCCACGTTCATTCAATTGCCTCCTATCGGTAGTTCCACCAGTTTAATCACTGTGTTCGGCGAACACAGGGTCAATGTTCAAAGGACCGTTCGGTCTATCATGCAATTGGTACGTCTCTTTATATTGCAAGTCCTCTCTACCCTCACTGACGTCCGAACAAATACAGGCTTGCCACTATTATGTAGCCTCACTCTGGTTGCTTCCTGCTCAATTCAACGTTCTTATGCCTTCGACGACGCTCAATCCCAGTCAAGTCTCCGCTATCCTAAAACAGGTTTCTTATGCTACCGGTGCCGAGGTTGTATTCAAAGGCATGTGCTTCGAGATGCACGGACTTGAGCATGAGGTCCGCGCCGCGATCGTCATGCTTCTCGATCTCGACATAGTAAAGGTTAATCCCTTGTCTTCACATTCATTGGTCATCGTACTAAATGAGCGCTTCTATCACAGAGCTTCCATCATGAAATCCGCTTCCAAATCGAGCTTGCAAACGAACATCGCGAGTTTATCAGTGGAAAGAAGAACGGAAAGATCAACAAGATCATGCAGACCACCAATGTCAAAATCAAGTTCGAGACTTTCAACGAACACAACTTCTTGATCGACATCGCCGGAAATGACGCTTCTGTTCTGCAAGGTCTGACTCTGCTCCAGGAGGAGTTGCCTGCCGAGATCTCTTTCCATGTCCCCGAAGCTTACCACAAGCGTATCATTGGCGTGGGCGGTCGTAGCATCCAACGTATCATGAAGAAGTATGGTGTCTATGTCAAGTTCTCTAATGCGGAAGAGTTCGCTGCTATGGGTGGATACAACGACAACGAAGACAACGTCATTGCAAGGACCCCCGCAAAGAACGCCATGAACTTGGAGAACCTCAAGCAGTCTGTAATGGAACTCGTGAACCCGAAGGTGAGCATTATTCGTTCTCGCCATCATTCTTCATCAATACTGATTTGCTCTTTCAGGACAAGGATTATATCAATGAGACAGTGTCTATTCCACGCAAGTATCATCGGACACTTCTCGGCGAGAAGAGCATCTTCATCCACGATATTGAGGCGAAGACTAACTCGAAAGTTCGCTTCCCCGATAAGGAGACCGCCTCAGATATGGTGACGGTCTTCGGTCCTGAGAGTCAAGTACAGATCGCTGCCACGATGCTCTTGGTATGCTATTCCCCAACTCATCATGCTTTCTAGTTACTCATTCTTCATTCAGGAGCATGTTCCTTTCGAGGCTGAGATGTCTGTTCCACCACATCCCGAGCTTGCACGGATTGTTACATCTCCTGATTTCGTCCAATTCGCCGAGCGTGTCAAGCGTGACTTCCAAGTAGTCATCTCACCTAACATCAGGCCTGGCACGGCCAACGGTGCTTCTGCCGAGTCAAACATGGAATGTTCATTCAAATTCAGGTGTCAGCGTAGCAACAGCGACTTCCTTGTGACTGCACGAGAGATGCTTGAACAGTTCTTGCTCAGCCACAACGTCCATGTGTACCCATCGGCAACATCGAGAGGACATAAACGGGGTGATTCATTCGCGGACGCTTTCCCTCACTTCGATAGCAAGGTGCTTTCCACTGCCAGGACACGTCATCAGAGTACGTGCAGTAGTGTCTAATTTTCTTGATCGCTTTTCTGACTTGTATATCTAGACTCGGCAGATCTTGGACGACCGTCCGAGTCTATGATTGACAGACGTCTCAGGCTCGCCAGCTCCTCACCAGACGTCAAGGCGCTCTTCAACAACTCTCCTTCATATATTTACCACGTCGAAGAGGAAGAAGACTACGAATCGACCTATGTTCCCAGTTCGTCTAGCGACTATTGGACTCCTCTCCCTCCTATCGTGAGTTTGACATTCTCTTCATTCTTATCAAATTTATTGACGATCCTCCGATGTAGGGCTCTGGCATACCTGCTCGATCACGACAGTCGGATGACAATCTGAAGCGTGGCTCCGACTCGCTGCTCGAGGCCAAGTTGAAGGACTCCCTGAGCAAGCCACGTTCGCTCACCAACCGTGCACAGTCGCTCGACCTCACCTTCTCTCTGTCTCGCATCACAGAGGCAGCTGGGACAAGATCAGGGCTCTCTCGTCCCGAATCTCCGGCGAATTCGGTCGGTGAGACTGGAAACTCGAGTCCAACGGCGCCATCATTCCCTAGTGTGTATGGTCCCCCCAGGGCTGCCCGTTCTCCTGTCGTCGGCACGCAGAACAGTCATGGGTACTCTCGCTCCAGCACTGTCATGGATGACGAATCGGTGGAAGAGGTTTCACGGGTCATCTCCAATCTTGGACTGTGAGGTTCAACGTTCGCAATTCAAAGCATGGCCGGACTCTCCTCGACGACCAGAATTCTTCGTTACGTGTATATCAAAAGGGTGAAATTGTTTCGCACCCATTTTATTATACGGACACTCCCTATCCGCTCGCCTTGGCGGAAGTTCCCTCCCTCTTGCTTCGTTCTTCCCCCAAGTCAATCCTCTTTATACTTATCGAGAGCCTGGTACTCGCGTTCTAACACAATTGCTTCGTTATTCTTTATCTTAGAAATTGTCCATTCGACCCCTTACTTCAATCATGACTTCCCAACCAACATCGTGTATGATCTGGCATATCTAGCTCGTCCCCGCTGTCCTGTGTTTTGTGTCGAAAGCAGCGTTTTCCCTCTATCCCATCTTGCTCTTATCTCTTTTTTATTCGTTTGGCTCATCGTAGGCACTCGTATATATGTAACATATATCTGCTAAAAGATACTCCTACTCATCCTAACGTAGTGGGCTGGTCAATATATATTGTTACGCTACTCCCAGTGTGTTGGTTGGAAGCGATCACGGTAATCTCTGAACATGAGCGGAAATCCCAAATAAGGGAGAGTATTTGTCCATTCCATACACGTTGACAGAAGCTTCGTACAGTACATAAATCCGTCACAGGATAATCCACGGAACCTCGAACAAAACAAAATCGAAGTACTCCTGTTCGAGTACGGTCTGATATTCGCCAACAAACTCTTCAGCAGTACCTCCTTTAGACTTGCTTGCCTTGTTTGCTGTTGGATTAGAACGCTTCCCGAGGTAGGTGAATTGTTGCTGGAGAGTTGAAAGTGTACGTTTGGTTGTCTTCGGTTCCGGCTGGATGCCAGCTATTAGTCCGTGAAGGCAAAAATGTAAATGAAATGTGAACGAACCTTGATAACGAAACCTGTGTAGCTTGCTGGTAGACCATATCTAAGGACACTCTCAACAAAGAGGTGGAGAACCTTCAAGTGAACAAGGATCTGGAAGGATTCAGAGAAATTTGTTCTTGAAAGGCGAAGAAGTTCAGTCTGGAGGAGCGGGGACTTCAGCAAATGTCGCAGATTTCAAAGAAAGTTCATACCCATAGTTCCTTCTCGGTGGTATCTGCATTCGCGAGTTCCTCGCGTTGTTTCTCAAGAGCTTCCTCTGAGTATGTGAAGTCCCGAACAATATACCTTCCCAGCGGAGGTTGAGTCAAGCATGTTATGATCGCGATCTTGAGATGAAGGAACATACTTGTTCTCTCTGCATTTCTGGACGAACTCATCGTGCACACGCTTGAAGATGACCACGCCAAACAAGGTGTAATCATGATCTGAAGCAATCAATCTGACATATATAGTCAGCATGATGAACAACATAGAAGAAGATGGACCTACATTGACGAGCGAGGGACGACCATGTTGGTTAGTCTCTCGTACTTCAGCTTCCAATCCTTAACAAAATTCCTACGGGCTTTGCGTTAAGCTCAATATTACCACGATAACCTTCAAACGCGCGGATCACCCACTTCGGGACAGCTACGAGAACCGTTTCCATGTATTCTGAGTCCTCGATGAATTGCTCTGGCCTGACCACGTCTGCCAGAGATCGCACAGAGAGGTTGCCTCTATTTGTAACAGATAAGAGCAATAAGACACATTCAAAGGATCTACTCACGTTTTCTTACGTTGCAGCTGTACCAATTGACCTTTGGCCAAATTGTACGCGTTCAGCTTGTTCTTCATCACGTTATCAATGGATGTCATTTCCTATTTGACAAAGTGAGCCTGATACAACCAATGTGGAGAGTTATATATTGAAGAACACCTTAACGAGCACTTCCAGCATCTCTCGGAGTCCGCGTTGCACGCCATAACGACCTTCATTCCATCGCCAGCTCTTCAGCAGGTAATCATCCACAGGTTGTTCGTTCACAAGTATGTGTTGAGCCAGCTTCGAAGAATCGTTGTTGAGAAGATTACGGAGGGTATCGACGATCTTGGCTACTGTTGCGGTAAAGAATGCATCTTGCTTGGGTAGGTCTTCAGAGAGACCGATGAGGGACTCGAGAGTCCCTGTCTTTGGATACAACTTAGAGACATGCTCACCGCATCTGCATATCATTGTACAATGCGCACCTTAAAGGATGGTATGGATAGCGGGGAAAAACTAGGAGAGGACTTGGAATTACCCCCCAGCTTGGAGTGTAGTTCCTGGAAAGCGCCCTCGGAATCACCGTCCTGTGGAATGGCCACTAGCCAAGTACTTTGATCGGACGGCATTGCAGTACGCTTTTGATGCTGCTAAAAGTTCCCAACGGGGAGATGGCAGAACGAAAGCCGTAGTACAGTATATCTCTCCAGAGCGCGACAAATTGAAGCTCCTTCAAGCAAGCTCAAGCTACTGAGTGTGAATAGACGCCCAATGACTGAATCCTAATTTTTGAGTTATTTTCCGGTTTTGTCAGACACTTATGAAAATAAATTCGATCGAATACTCTCGATCCCTCTGGACGATAACCGAAAGAGGTGACTTCATAGTACCGTCAGACATTATAAGTATCTAAACAACCTAGAATAAATTCAAGTTTGGCAACGAACACGTACTGGGACTTCGACAACATCGCATTCGTATCTCTATAGGTCTCACTGAACACCATAATCTACCATGAGCAACGCCCGACCTGAGGTCCCTGGAGAGGAGGAACGGGAAATTCATTACCTTCCCGCACCTCAAGACGTGGACAGTTCTGGCGCCATCAAGGTGAATATAGGCTCTGACTATACGGTCAAGTTTGATACTCTAGGGCCGATGGTGGTGAACACCGACGGGGTGAGTCTTGTGACACGACAATCTCATTGGCTGCAGGGGCTGATCTCCGCGTAGACACTGTCTCGGATTGCCAATTGGCACAGGATGACTGACGAGGAGAAGGAACGAACGATGAGGGCTGTGAGTGCTCGCAACCAGTACGTGTTTCCATCGGCAAAACATGGTTCAGGTCATTGATGCTAGCCTGCATATTCAGAATTCGTCTGGGACGTCAAAGAGAAGCGGAAGGCGCAACGGAGGAGAACGCTGGTCATTAGTGCACTTGTGTATTCTCGACCCCTTACAGTATCCTTTGATAGAGCCGCTTTTCACATATCCTTCAATTGAGGCAGAGTTCATCTTTCCCAAGGTGCTCTAAAAGGAGGTACCGGCTGAACAAAGAATTTGACACTCCCGTCTTCAGAAGTAGACCAATAGCCCTGCATCGGACAACCATAAAATCAGGACCTTGAAGCCTTATGTTGCACTGTTGATACTCACCTCCCATTGTTTATGGTTGATAGCAAGTCGACGAAGGCTCCGTTTTCCATGAACCAGGAGTTCTGCAACCTTGTCTGCATTGACAATCGTTTTGTTGGGTTTAGAATGAGGGAATGTGAGAGAGACCAAATATAACCGGTCTAAGGGTTCGGACAATCGTGGGAGATCCCACTAGAGAGGTAAATCAAAGTTAGACCCAGGTTCTTAGTTAGAAACGGGATCACCCACAAGAACGTCATGCTGGACCGCGACCGCGAGTTCCTCCAACCGATAACACCTCACGCAGAGGTCTCGAAATGCTTTCAACCGGAGAAAATTAGATGGCATATAAAGGACACGTAAGGTATCGGCGTGTCTTGAGCCAAGGTGATCAGCCAATCCATCGAAAGCAGTGGTAGATAATCGGAGTCCACTTGAGTCACAAACGAGGTGAAGACTTTCAAGGGGCGAATGTGTGGATAGGCGATGGATAAATTTGGTAAGGTGAGACGCTTCACGTTTGTCTGAAACATGTGTATGGCGGACGACCAGTGTCCTCAGGCGTGGAAGCTTGAGACTTGTGGAGATTTTGCGTAATTGCTAGTGGATATCACTTCCGCTTAACAATGGACCTACAAGTGAAGAGAGACATACCAAGTAGTAACGTAGCTCAAGACTCTGCAAATTACTATGATTCTGCAGAAAAGAGAACACGTCGTCATGTGTAAGGGAATAGGAGAGTCCGAGCGCAAATGTGTGTACATTTGGCATGTGAGGCGTAAAGGAACGCAATACGCCTGGAGTAATCGAGCCACAGTTTTCCTGCAAGCAAACAGGTTAAGAGTACGATCACATGTGCAACAGATGAGCTCCCACCCGAAACCGCAATGTTGTCAAAGTCCCAGATAGCCTGTTCAACCAGTCGGGCATAATATTCAGTATAGCTCGGCTTGGGTTCTCGATAGTGAGAGACTCCAGGCTTTCCACTTGTACGAGTAACGGAGCAGCATCCTCTGAGCAACAGGGGGAGCCTACTGTCAGGGATCGCAAAGAATCGCATAGTGGTAGTGAATCCAATGTTTGTGTTATCAATACATCAGGATATTCCAATGGAGCAAAAGTGAATGATCGGAGGTTGGTCCATTGCCCGAGTGCGTGGCAGAGGAGGTCTGGAAATGTATTTATGGGTGGTGGTCGGTCCTCGAGGTATCCTGGATGCGCTCAAAGTTGAGATTTACATTACAGCGAATGCGAGTGCATTATTGATTTACCTGCAATGCGGAGGTCTACAACATGCGGTGCATTGTGGGGTAGACGAGCGGATACGAACAATCCATTCTGGGCACGTCCCAAGACAAAAGCGTTGCGGTCAATAAAGAATATATTTCAGCTTCCAATAAGCATACAAGTTTCTGCTCCCTTCGACCAAGACGTATGGTGCTCGTCCATTGAGGCTCCAAGACGACTTTTCGATACAGGAGCCTTGAGGCAGCCTGATTGAACGTGTGGTTCACCAGGGAACAAGCATAAAGCGTTGCGTAGTAATCTGCTTGGTCAATAACATCAAGTATGTGTATGAGAACGTCGTAGTTGAGTTCCATGATGGATACTTCCTGCTCAAAGCACCGTGTGCGGTAGAACTGAGGGAAGGTGTAGTTTCCGTGAAGCGCCCAATGACGATCACGATCGAAGGCGTGAACTTGACAGCAAGATGATTCAGGATGATTTACCTCCTTCACTGGAACGTGTGGGATCTGGTTCGATATCTCTATCAGTTCGGCCCAGCAATATAGCCAACTTCTCATCCAGAGATGCTGCTTCGCTTCATTCCCAGGCGACCTCTCTCTCTTCCACGTTTCGCCTCAGCTAGATATATGTCTGGGACCGTCTTTGGTGACAACTGCCCATTAGTCGTGTCACCGAGACAGCTGTTCGATCTTCCCCCTAAATCAGATGTCGCGGTCATTGATGCTAGCTGGCATATGCCCAACTCGCCGCGTAAGGCGAGGGAGGAGTTCCTGAAGAAACGGATTCCGAACGCGCAATTTCTCGACCTTGATGAGGCCGCCAGTCCACATGAGTTGGGTTTGAAGCATATGATGCCCACAGGACAAGTCTTTGCCAAGGCTTGCCGTATGTTTATCAATTGTTCCGTAAAATGTTCTGATTGAGCGAATTTCCTGTGTATGAATCAGAGTCCCTTGGAATCTCTCCGAAGTCGCATGTAGTTCTCTACGACACCCATGGCGTGTTCTCGTCTCCACGTGCATTGTTCATGTTCCGTGCACTTGGACATGATCGTTCAAGTATTCTCAACGGCGGTCTCCCACATTGGGAAGCAAACGGTTGTACGGTTGAAACTGGAGAACCGAAGCCCGTTGAGCCCATTGAATATCCGCCGCCGTTCTTGGATCAGGAAGTTATTCGCAGTAAGTGTTTGCATCCTCTGCAATATCGTTTTGGACTTAGCTTTTCGATAGGTTATGAGCAAATCATTTCCAATGCCAATCGTGACCCCTCAACGGAACCTATCGCTGAACTGGTGCTGGATGCCAGACCCAAAGGACGGTTTGTACTCGAGCTTCCATATGCACACTTTCATTACCAACTGAATATGCCTGGGCTTTTCAGATATCTTGGAACTGATCCCGAACCCAGACCTGGTCTCCCATCAGGCCATATACCACATTCACTCTCCCTGCCTTTCACCGCGTTCCTAGATACAAATACGTACAAACCCACACCAACCTCAGAGGAAGTCACTTATACCACTCTCCGATCTCCTCATAAGATCATAGAAAGCCTTCGCTCAGCATTGGGCGATGAACGGCTGAAGGAGGTTATGGAAGGTAAGCGAGGCGTCGTGACAAGCTGCGGAAGTGGTATGACTGCCGGTGTGCTTTGGCTTGGGCTGAAGCTTCTGGGTGTGGAGAATGTCGCTTTGTATGATGAGGTCAGTCATAGTGATTCATTCAGCAAAGGTCCTTATGTTGACACTCCTTTGATTAGTCCTGGACTGGTTATGCTGCGAGAGAATCAAGTCCTATTGTCAAAGCCAACTGATGCATTATGTACTTACCATATTCTCGGAACATCCCAATAAAACTCACGTATGCAATATGTCTCTGGCCTCGATGCTGGCCTTCAATACAGCCCAATGACAGCAAGCTCGGCGATTCTATCGCACTACGCCGCAGCCCGAGTATGTAATACCTGACTAGCTCGTATGGAATGGAAGGGTGAGTCCTCGACATTGGCAGATGGAATGCGAACTAATAAATTAGGAGTGGTGTAGCATACAGACAGCCGAGCACTTCAAGCCGTCTCTATGTTAATAATACAGTATAAACCCAGTACATCCCGCAGGATTTAATCGAACGATGTTCCTTCGCCTTCAATCACATCGAGCTAATATCCCGCTTATAGAAGTCTAATACGTCGAGAAACGGCGGAGACGAATGTGGCCGCGGTTTGGCCGAGACATACGCTGCCCGACCAATGTAAGTCACTTCGACGCGGTGTTTGTTGCCTTTGCGCAATATTGTTACTTGCCATCTGCGAAAACCAATTCTTCTGTTAGCTGCATGGATGAGTCATACATAAATGAGAACAATCACCCTTCGGATAGCAGCGTGTTATACCTCTTCTGCTGGATATGCTGGATGAGCAGTTGTCGAGCAGCCTGCACTGCTTGACGCATATCCTTTAACTCATGTATGTCATGCACGAATTTGATCGAAGTATCTGCGCGATTGACTCGGATAATATCCAGTACTGGTGAACAGTAAGTACCAGGTACTCACAGCATATCGGCATATAACTTACCCTCATCTGCGTCATACATAGGAACCCATTCGACATGTCTCGTACCGACGACTTCCCAAGGAACCTCTCCTCGTCGGAAGAACATACGCATGAATGCGAGTGAGATTCGAGTCACAGAAGAGAACAAAATTGCAGCGACTAAAATAGCCAACAGTGGCCACACAGAACTAAAGTATTGGGAGGTGAGGGGCCGAACTCGCCTGGCCCTACTTTTAACACGCGGTGAAGGGCGGGTGGGAAGATGAAGCTGGTGTGTCTATGCGTTCCGTTTATAAGTGTCAGAGCGTTTACTAACCCCTTCTGCTTCGGCCCTTTGACAGGAGACTAATAGGCGTACACGCAGCAAGATGAGTACTAACTGCGGCATGGCTGGATTCGGCTGTGCTCGTAGAACGAGCTTAAGCGCTGACGCACTCGGAATTTGTCGTGTGTTTCAGTCTCTGACTCCTCAATAGATTAGCTGCAGATCGTTTTCGACTCTTGTCAGTTACTCATTCTTGGAACCACTGGCATTGAATGGTTCTGGTAAAGAATTAAATCGGCTTTACCTTGAAAAGTTGGGCAGCATGCCGAAATTGGGTTCGTACGTGTCGAGAGCGTCTAACAATTGCGGCCAATCTTAGTAGCATTACGATGTGTATCGGCCAAATCATAATGGTGAGTACAACCTGCTGCTTCCTGTCGTGCTGTTCCGTGGCTCGGAATGATAACTGTATTGATGATCACTGCGATATCGATGGCTAGGCTTAACGAATGATATATCCTCTGTGAACTGTGCAGAGGAAGGCGCAGCTTCGATATTCAATGGCAGAGGCGGTACAAAGCGTTTGACTCCGTTGGACGCCGGACCGCGTCCAAAGCTGGCAATTGATTAACCTAGCATCTCTCGACAGAATAGGCAACAGTAGTATTGAGCTCGTTCACCAAGAAGGTCAAAGCATGTTGGTAGACGATAATGAGTTGAGTGTTAATCTATGTTTCAGTATTTTAATGTTATAGCAAGGACATCGCAGCTCCCACAACGCTCAACAATGCCGCAACGCTAAAGCCCGATACTGTTGTAGCAGAGCTCGTGCCAGTGGTATTTGTTGGCGCAGGTGCGTCGGAACTTGAAGTCTCCGCAGTGTTCGTGGTGTTCGTGCAAGACACGTTGGATGGTGTAGCAAAGTTGTTGCTCAATGTCACATCGGAGCACTATATGCCGACATGTCTGTTTGAATAAAGTCGTGCATATAGACGTACAATGGCACATACCTGATAGAGATTGCCATCCCCTCCATCGAAGACCACCTGCAGGGTCACATTGGCACCATCACGGATGCCGTCAACCCCGGTAGAGTTCAAATCGATAGGGAAACACAATGGTCCTGTACCCTCGAAGGGGAAGAAGTTGACGGCAGTGGTGAAGTTGTCGAAGCTACTGGGATTTTGCGCCGTTGAAACCAACACACCAACTAATTTGGAAAATCAATGAGAGATGGTATGGCTAGGCGTTTACAACGACGACATACTGGTGTACTTGGGGTGGTGAGCGTCAATTGAGACGAATCCTCCACTTAGAGGAAACTCAGAACGATTGCTAGCAGCAGTGTTGTAGCCATCTGCATTTCCTAGTTAGAATGCAAATCATAGTATCATGTAAGGGGGATCATACCGCAGAACGTTGGTTCCTGGTCCGCAACGAAGACACCTCTGGGTTCGGGATATTGAAGTCTGAAATGAGCAGAGACAAGGGTCGAGAGACCGCTCAGAAAGACAAGAGACGTGAACCGCATGATGAGGTCGTTAAAGACGGGTCGTTAGAGAGCAGAGGGTCAAAAAAAAAGTAGAGTCTGAAGACGTCTGATAAACTGCACAATCGACATGAAGGTATTGGCTTTATGCATTTATACAGGAGGAGGGGGGAGAAAAGATTCTTTCATATTTGTTTGACAACATTTGGTTATTTCTTGGCAAAATCCTTAGCGTTGAGGGCTGAAAAAGTTCCTGAACCCTCTTTGTGAAAGGACTAAGTAGTCTTGGCTTCCTGACAGGTGAAAAGATTTTTTCTACTCACAATTTGTTATTGCTTGGCAAGAGATCCGATCATTGTAGCTGCATTTGGAGAAGACGCAGTTCGGAAGTCTCAGCGTGTCTTCTTCGCTTGGTCTATTGTCAGTCATATGAACTATTACGAGGGTGTACATGCTCTTCAACATGCAGTTCAATGCGGGAAGTCAGAAGTCGCTCTTTGTTCGTAGTAAAACTTGTACGCAAATATTATTACATCCATCTACATATGCACACTAAGATCGTCTATTCTTCCTATGACTAGAGCATTGCGGCAAAAGCTCCCACAAGGCTCAGCAAAGCAGTAATTCCAACGGCAGAGTTGGCAACAGCACCGGAGCCCGAAGCACCGGTTCCAGTGGGTGCAGGCGCACTTGAAGAAGTGCCAGTCGAAGAACCAGAGGAGGTCGTAGTGCTACCCGTGGAATTGGTGCAAGACACGTCTGAAGCGATAGTAGCGCTGCTGCTCAAGACGACATCCGAGCACTGGACAAAGGGTTAGATAGTGAAGAGGCACAGAATATATGTGTTTATTGTACTTGATAGAGCTTTCCATCGCCGCCGTCAAAGACTACTTGTAAGGTAGCGTTCGTGCCATCGCTCACACCGCTGATGCCGGCGGCGGCAAGTTGAATGGGGAAGCAAAATGGTCCTTCACCTTCCGCTTGGAAGAACTGAACAGCCTGCGAGAAGTTAGCGAAATTGTTTGGGTTCTGGGCGGTCGACAGCAGGAGTCCGACTAAAATATGGGGTTGCAATTGTAAATTGGTACATGAGAAATAATGAAGACATTGAAGATGGACTCACCTGTGAAGCTCGGGTGTTCGCTGACGATAGAAATGAAGCCACTGTTCAACGGGAACTGTGAACGATTGCTGACAGCGGTAGCGTAGCCGTCTATGGATAGTAATGAGAACACCATAAATATTGCCAAGGAAAAAGCAACATACCGCAGAACGTCGGCTCATCATCCTCTACGAAAGGTCCTCTGGGAGGAGGAAACTGAAGTTGGAAGTGGGCCGACACGAGAGTCACAATACCACAGAGAAATACAAGCGATGTGAACTGCATGATGATGTTGGCCAAGAAAACTCCAGATATTGAATGTCACAGGAAAGACCAGTCTGGAGGTCCTGGGATAGGATAAACCAGCTCTTATACCGAGCGACTCCCGGATGTGTGAAAAAAATCTTTCACTATTGTTGCCCCCTATTTGGTCCAGATGTTGCATGGGAACGCGGAAGTCCCAAATTTCAAAGCCGATAATTACGAAACAGCGTCTTTTCATCGCAAATCAAGGATTGACAATGGCAGGACAGAAAAGATGTCTCAGGGCTCACTCAGGGTACAATCCTGCAAGCATTGACTTCTTGAGAGACATATCACAGGCATTCCAAGGGTCCAATCACTGTACATTATATAGTACAAATCCATCATGCCACGAAAAGTAAATCCGCCGAAAACGTGAAACATTTGTTCCTAGTGCACATGTGCGCTCCCCAATCGACCAAACAGCATCTCTCCAACGCCCAGTCCCGCTATAATGGATATAAAATAAGCGGCTTGGAATGTCCTATTGATGGGTGGAGGGTATACGGCATAAGCAATCAAACCATGAGTGACTTATCGCTGGAGTAATGCTCACATGACGGCTAACATGAGAACATACATTAACAATGCTTGTAGCGCGAATACAACACCGCGTGTGAGATCGTGGGAGGGAATGAAGGGTGGAATGACCCTGGCACTGCGAGGGTTGCTGACTCGGGAACGATTCTCTGATTCCTGTGAAGGCAAACTATCGATGTCCACCTCTTGCACATCTGTGGTCTTCCCCTTGCTTTCCGAAGTGCAGGCCCCCCGATTTGATGCGGCCTTGTTAGACATTAATGCTAAGGCTCTGGAAAGCCCTTGGTCGGTGGTACGGTCATACCGACGAGTTTTCCAAAGCACTTACTGTCGCTTCCAATGAGCCTCCATGACCCCCCGAATAGCTGCAATCCATCGCTCGAACATAGCGAACAAAACAAGACCTATGCAAGCTCCCGCGATAGCACCACTTGAAGATGGATGCCAGGATTTGAAGAACAGGTTATCGCCTCCAGAGAAGTGAAGCCATGGGACCATATCGACCATCTCCATTGTCGAGTTAGACGAATCCGACGTATGTGAATGAGACATCGATTTGATTGAGGAAAGTCAGGATGGCAAAGGTCGTACGGAGGAGAACAGGGCAAGAACAGAAGCTGCTTAACGCCCATCGTGTGAGTTCGGCAGGTCGGCAATCGCCGAAGCTCTTGCGGTCTTCTGAAGTCTCTTGGGCTGTACCGATGGGCTCTCCAGGTATTCAGAGACAAAGCGTCGGTTGAGAGCAGCTCGCTCTAATCTGAAACTGGAATGTTGTCTGAAGAGGTGTTCTGCGAGGCGTACCTTCCTTGTAATAGGGCTCGTCGATGTTCAACGACGCCCACACAACTCTACTAAATTTACTCCACTCCACTGAATCACATCACGACAAGCAACCTCAACCTCAACAGCTCGCTAGCAACTGAAGGCGTCCGACGACGTCAACGAGTTGAGCGGCGGCGTACCAGAAAGGAAAGCGCAGTCATCAACAGATAATGTTCAAAGGGTCTGCTTCTGAGAACTACGCTCGCACATCCCCTCGCACATCCCCTATAGATGCTAGGTACTGATAGCTGAGATTCAAAGGGTAGAAGGAAGAACCTAACCAAGTAGTAAGAAACGGCGACTCATCAGACGATACCAAGTTTCAAGCCTTCAAGAGCAAGCAGGGTGAGCTGTATGTGTAGGAAGAATCAGTGACCAGAAGGTCTCGCAGTGTCATAGCGGAGCCATGCAAGTAGATGTTCTCGAAGTAGTGGATGTATACGCCGACCCTATGGCACGAGCTTTCTGAGAACTACGCTCCCGCTCGTGCCAGACCTTGGAGACGAAAAGAGGAGCAACTATGAGACCTCTCAGAGAGACTGGAACTTGAAACTTCGAAGCCTAGAAACCAGCGGAGAGGCAAGGATTAAAGGACGGCAGGAAGGCAGAGAGGCAAGACAGAGGCAGAGCGGTTGGGAGGAAAAGGAGAACTGGGGTGTGACCAGAGGCCTGAGGCATTTCTGCCCCGAGCCCTTCAGCCAATAGCAAAAAGCCGCAGCGCAAAGACCCCGGAGACCTGATCACGTGCAAAATTGCTACATTTGTTCGTCACCTCCACCCATGTTGCAGGCTCAAGTATTCGGAATGGATTGTCAGCAAGTATTTATCCACATAACGTTGACCTCTACACTCCCTTGTCAACCCAATTGCTAGCATCATGCTGCGAGCTGCTCTCCGTCGTGCCTTCGTTACAGTGCCCACAGTGTCTCCCATTAGGACCTCACAGGGCCGTGTGACCAGTCCAGTCTCCTTGCAAGCCATACGCTTCCAATCCGACGAAGCAAAAGCTCTGCGCGAGCAGATCCATGAAGCGCGGAACGACCTCAGGAGAGACTGGGATGCGAAGGAACTTACGTATGAGGAGCTGAAGCCAAGAACTCAACAACCCAGTCCAGTATGTGATTATAGTAATTTCGAGCTATATCTTATAACATTTTATGTGTACAGGACGCGTATATAGTTGACGTGCGTGAGCCCGATGAGGTTCTTCAGGGGTCCATCCCTTCCGCCGTCAATGTTCCGCTATCCGTTTTGGCCGAATCATTCCATCTCAACCATACAGACTTTGAGAAGAAGTTCGGATTCGCCAAACCTCGACAAGATCAGGAACTCGTCTTCTACTGCCGAAGTGGTAAACGTTCGACAACCGCTTGTGATGTTGCCAAAAGGAATGGTTACAAGAAGTGAGTCATGACGTGTGATGTTTGGACGTTTTTGCTTACTGCTTTATTAGCATCCTTAACTACAAGGGCTCCTGGCTGGATTGGATTCAGAGGGAAGGAACACCGGGGCAGGCTCCTCCAGCACAACCGTAATGTTGTACTTGTCGTCCGTGACTTGGGTTGTAAAAGGAATGCATGCAGTACTTGACTGAGACGAGGAATCTCTTATTCGGAGTGTCCTGAGGCTATCCGATCTGTCCATGAAATTCATGAAATTAAGGTTACAACGAATCATTGCAACGCCTTTCGTGTTGTCATGTTACTGTAGAAGTCTGCAATCTCTTATTGAGTTCATTGATCGCGAGTAAGTACTGACTCGAAGCACGGCCGAAACTTCGTCATGCCACTCAGGCGCTCATGTATACTAATCTTGACTTGTAAACACCACCACGGGTAGGACCCGGACCAGATACCTGCTTATAATATCCACTGGCGCGAAAGGAAAATCTGACAGACTATACAGAAGTCTGGCATGCTCGCAAGATATACCAGACCCGTGGCACGATGGGCATTTCGTGCTGTAGCTACGCATGCTAGGTCATCTGTAATTAGACCAGTGCAACACGGTTTCCTTCCGTCCGTTCACCGGTCATCAAAGCGGTCGTTCGCAACGCCTGCACCTCAAGTGAAGGCTAGGTAAGCTCCTTTTTCTGTCCTCACTTTCGCTCATTTGATGCAACCAGCTTCGTACAGCGATTTGTCAAGTGACAAATATCATCTCTATTCAGATGCTACCATGGAGAGGTTGCTTGATTCCATTGAGACTATTTTGGACGACCTCAGTAGCTCGGACTATGAGGTGGAATATAGCGTGAGTTGTTGCACTAGGCTCACACTGATAATAAAGAGTGCTGAAGTTTCGATATGCACTGGTAGAGCGGAGTGCTCACATTGAAACTCGGAGACAAGGGAACATACGTCATTAACAAGCAACCTCCGAACAAGCAAATATGGCTCTCTTCGCCGCTCAGGTTCGTGTACTACGGTCTGCCCTCGTTTCCCGCCCCGCTGACGGTTTGTTGTTATTTTATAAGCGGTCCTAAACGATACGACTACATTCAGGACAGTGATGACTGGATATACGTCCGGGAATCCTCGTCATTAGGAGAGCTGTTAAACGCGGAACTCAGTCAGTTACTTGAACAAGACGTCGACCTTCGGATCAGGAAGGTGTCCAAAGTTGCATCATGATCAAGGCCGAGCAGATGGTTTCGTGACAGCCACCACCATTAGTCTCACGTAGAGTCGATTTCAATAAGCCAGATTACTGCGTGAAGTCATCAAACAGTGGAAGGAGTTCATGCAACAAACTGTGGGAAGAATTGTGACGGAGGACACGATAGACGTGCAACACGCCTGGCTGCCGCAATCCTGATAGTGAATTGGTTAGATGCCCCAAAAGTTCCAGGTGTATATCTTTCGATCTCGTAGATTATGCAATGACAAATAGGTCCGAGTGCTGCGATATGATATAATACAATGCAAATGAGAGAATGTGTCGTGGTGAAATGTGAAATCAATGAATGCACGATGGTGGATGGAAAGCGATAGGAAGATAGAAGATAAGGAAGCAATGGATAGAGGGGAAGAGAAGTAACAATGAATGATGAGGTCGCAACGATGATGGTCATAGCTGAGGGTACTATGATTGGTCGCGGGGCTGCAGCCCTTGTCTTCGATTCAAGAATAGGGACCTCAGGAGACTGGGATGAAGGGAAAATGTCAGGAGGAAACAGATAGAAGACAATACAGAGTTCTAACCGGTTGGAACCCTCGTAGCGATGGGTGACGGTTTGTGTTTCTATCTGCTCAGGCTGGGCCGAGTTGAAGCCAGGAGTCGGACTGAAATATGACGCTGGCTTGGAAATACTATCTTTAGCCGCATGGATGTAGTGAGGCGATGAGGGTGGTGAATGTGAATGCGTCGCAAACGCAGTAGACGTCGATGAAGTCGTCGAAAACAACATCCGATGTCTTTGCTCGGCATGCAGATCATGCAATAAAATGTTTGCATCTTTGTAAACGCCTGCGTCAGCCTGCCACTCCCGCAGTCCACCTAAATATTTTCTTCGGCTATTGGATTGTCCTTCCCTGAGTTCACTATCCTCACTATCATACTCGTCTCCTCCGTCCGATGTAGACTGACGATCACCAGGGGTTATTGGTGCGAAGTATCTGCGCCTTTTAGTGTCTGGCTCGTAGACATTCCCGGAGGATGTTTCATCCTCTAGTTGCGTCTCTGGTGATATGGGTATAGGTGACGAAGGTCTTTGACGTTTAGACATTGCGGTAGAGGGGGAAAGAGGAGGTGAAGGCGACAGGGTCACTGAGTGGGAGGCGTGGTGAATCATAGAGAACGCGATTCATTTTAGGACGCGATAATTCGCTTATGTAAGCAGAGCTCGCGTCTGTGGCGCCAATAGTAGGACCACGCGAGGACAACTCTACTAATTAACCCTCACCATCTCTGTATCCCGCTTGAAGCATCGCTGCCATACCATCTGCAGTCATGGACGGTCTCGATGTATTTTCCGCAATGGGAATAGCTGGCTTCGGGAAGAAAACAAAGCAGAGACAGCTTGACCCGAAACGATTCGAGAAGAACAAACGGGACGAGGTAATGTTACTAAGTTTCCTCTGCGACACACAAGTTGATTATTAACAACACTCAGATCCTTTTGCCTGCAGTGAAACCAAATTCTCCGGAGCCGGATGCTCTGGGACCTCCTAGCAGACCATCGGGTAGCTCACAAGCTCCAAGTGAAGAGCCCGAATTCGACTCTGACGATGTCGGTCCTACTCCTGCACCACCACAACTTGATGGTATAGCGCAAGCAGATCAGAACGAGCCTGAATTCGATATCACCGAAGACGAATCCGACTTTCCCCAATTTCCAGTCACACATGAACTTACCCTCAAAGACCACACCAAAGTCGTCTCAGCATTAACGCTTGATCCCTCTGGTGCGAGAGTGTTGAGCGGGTCGCATGACTACGATTGTAAAATGTGGGACTTTGGTGGAATGGACTGGAGGTGTAAGCCGTTCAAAACTTGGGAACCTGCGGGCACTTACTATGTACGCTCAGCTCCGCTCTTTTGGTCTTATGTTCTTAGAATCGGGTTAACGAAGACTGTTATTGTGTAGATTCACGACCTCAAGTATTCGAACGATGGACATCAGTTCTTGGTCATTTCTGGGACGACTCAGGCGAAGTTATATGATCGAGATGGAGAAGAGCTGTAAGCTTTCACTCCCTTCTACTTACACGGACAGCCGAAGCTGACTTTGGACAGTGGTATATATGTCAAGGGCGATCCATACATTCGCGACATGAAGAATACTAGGTAAGACCAGTGAATTTGAGTCTTCTATTAGTCACTAACCATTGCGCTGCTTTTTCTCATCAGTGGTCATGTTGCTGAGCTAACATCGTGCGCCTGGCATCCGAAAGATCCTCAAACTTTCATCACGAGCTCAATGGATTCAACAATCAGGTACGTAGCGCTGACTGATATCAGAGTCTCTTTTATTGAACGTCCCTTTTCCAGGATATGGGAAGTTGAGAATAGGCGCAAGCAAAAGTCGGTGATTGTGGTCAAGTCGAAAGAACGTGGTGCTCGTACGAAGGTCACCTCTTGCTCATATTCTCCAGATGGCGGCATCATAGGCGGCGGTAGGTATTCTGCATATGTTCTGAGTGGATCTTGGGGACTTATACTCGCACACTAGCATGCTTTGATGGTGCGATTCATATGTGGCAGACCAAGTCAAACTTCGTGCGACCCAGTATGACCATCGAGGGCGCTCACACCAAAGGAACCGAGACCGGCTCATTGGTATTCTCGGTGGATGGCCGAACTGTTCTCACCAGAGGCGGAGATGACACGGTGAAGCGTAAGTTCTCTGGCATAACTGGCACAAGGCAGTGATTAACGTTACTTCTAGTATGGGATCTGCGCGCTTTCAAGAAGCCTCTTGCAACTCACGAGGATCTCAGGACCTTGTACCCAACGACGAATGCTATCTTCAGTCCTGACGACAAGTTTGTTGTCACAGGAGCTGGTGCGACATCGAAAGGTGGGAAGGGTCGACTCATGTTCCTGAAAAAGGATGGTCTAGAAGCAGTGAAAGCACTCGAAGTTGATACGACACCTGTGAAGGTGGTATGGCATTCGAAGATCAACCAGGTATGCATTCTATTCGCCGGAAGCATGTTGCTGTTAAATTTATACTTATGGCTACAGATTGTAACGGGACTGGCGAACGGTCAAATATGTGTTCTTTATTCACCTCAAACATCCATCAACGGTGCAAAGCTGTTGCTGAACAAGGGTCCACCGCGCAAAGCCACTATCGAAGATATGTCGGACGCTGTATCAGCGCCAACCATTATTACTCCGCACGCGCTGCCAATGTTCCGAGACGGAGAGATTGCCCGCGGAAGCAAACGCAAGAGAGAGAAGGATCGTATGGACCCGCGCAAGAGCAGGAGACCAGAATTACCAGTTACTGGACCAGGAAAAGGCGGGCGGGTTGGAGCCAGTGCCACGCAACATGTCGTCCAGAACCTTGTCAGAGATACGACCAGAGACGAAGATGTGCGTACAGCTTCTTTGATTATTTGCAGCGCTCCAGTGGTGTATTGCCGCGTCAGACCCACAGTCAATACTACTGCATTGTTCGAGGGCTTTGTCCCTTTGAGCTTTGTTGTGAGCAAAGCGTGCTCATTGACGTTTCCCGCCGTTGTCGCTTTGTGGCAGCTAAGCGTTGGAGGCGGAAAGCCTTGCGATGTTCTATCATACAGGGGTTGGCCGTTGCCTGTGCAACACGCCGGAATCATGCGTCAAGATTCCGGGAGCGCCGGGTGATGGCATCTGCTGTGGCTACCTCTTTGTCTCCTCCCCCGTTGCCGTGTCTGTTCGCATGCTAACAAATTTGTGTTTTCTTTGCAGCCTCGAGAGGCCTTACTGCGGCATGCAGCGAGCGCAGAGCAAGAGCCAGTGTGGACAGCAGGTAAGCACGGATGATTCAGGGATCGGTTCTGTTGATTGGTTTCGATGCCCTGTTTGTCCTTATTTGTGTGCGGCGATGATGGCTGAACTTTAATTTTGAAACTCAGCCTGGCGCGCAAACCAGCCCAAGCCTGTATGGTCAGCAACGGAGGAGGGCGAGAAGGACGAGGACAAGCAGTAGGTACAGTGTGTACGTAGCAGTAGCGAGCAGCGAGCAGAAGAGAGGCAGAGTGGGCGGGGGAGAGGGCAGCGGCGGGGCAGGGAGGATGTTTTTCTGCGCGGGAGCTCGAACCTTATTTTGCACCGGGTATAAAGACTCTAGCCCATGTTCGGATCTCTTGTCTCCCTAAATCTTCCCCGCCCCCCAAAGTCCTCTGTCACTCCCTCGTGACTGTCACGCGCCCCCGACCACTATGACTGGCGCGCTCACAAACGGTTTCCTCAACGGCGACCACATCGTCAACGCTCCCGACTCCCCCGCAACACCCATTGACGACAGCACCATTGCCGACATCAAGATCGACGTCGACGCTCCCGCTGCAGATAGTGATTTGAGGCATGAGCCTGTGTCTATGAAAATAGACGGTATAGAGCAGTTAAGAGACGCGTCAATTGTGCCCGAGCTAGAGACCCCTGTCGATCCAGGTGAGCACCTTTCCCATGTTTGCACGTCGCTCTGTCGTCTTATTGTACATTAGCCTCTATTCCGATTGCTCCCCCGAAGGGCACCCCTCCACCCCAAACGGGCGATCTTTTGGAAGAGGTCAAAACGGCCGAGGCTCCTGCTGCCGTCGATGGCGACGTGCACATGGAAGATGTGCCACCCGCACCTGCTACTGTGAACGGGGACGTTCACCCGTCTCAGGAGGAAGTCTCTCCCACTGCCACTACTGGCTCTGCCACTATCCCCGCTGTATCGTCGAGCACAACTGCTGTGGACTCTCTTGCTGCCTCTTCTCCGTATTCTAATAATATTTCCCCTAATGACGATGATGATAAACCTCCTCCTGCTAAGCGTGCTCGCAAGTACTCGGACGCCGAAAGGGCCTCTATAACAAACGTAAGTATTTTTCGTCCTGTGCGCCGCTTTGGGCGTACTGATCCTCATGCTCGTTATGTCGCCCTTCTGAAGACTGCAACTCCACCTCCAGCGACGCCCTCCCCCGTACCTGTTCCGAACGGCCCTGTATCTGATTTGGGGCCGCCCACTCTTAGCGTTGCTCAGTGGCGATTCTGTACATCGACCGTTCGCACACTCAAGAAACTCAAGGATGCTGCGCCCTTCCTCCACCCGGTTGACCATGTCGCACTGAATATCCCTCATTACCCCACTATCATCAAGCATCCGATGGACTTTTCCACCGTTGATCGCAAGCTGGCTTCTTCCAATCCCACCAAGCCTGACCCGAATCCCGCAAACCCTCGCTACAGTAATGCTGACGAGTTTGTCACTGATGTCCGTCAGATATTCTTCAACTGCGTCACGTTTAATGGTCCAGACCATGCTATCACGGCTATGGGCAAACGTGTTGAAGCAGTGTTTGACAAGCAGATCAAACATATGCCACCGCCGGAAGAGGTAAATAGCTCATCCAATGTTCACCACATGGACTTAGTCACTGACGATGTTGTTCGATATAGGTGAAGCCTGTAGTTGTGAAGAAGCCTTCTCCTCCTCCCCCACCTCCTGCTGCCGTAAAGAAACCTGTACGAAAGCCGTCAACATCTGTCCCTGTTATCAGACGGTCGGACTCGGAAATAGTTGGTCGTCCGAAGCGCGAGATACACCCACCGCCGCCAAAAGACCTTCCTTATGCTGACGCACCTAAGAAGATGCGAAAGACAAGGGTGCCGAAGAACGGTGCTATCGCCGAGCAATTGAAGTTCTGCGACAAGGTCCTAAAGGATCTGCACAAGAAAACGCACTACAATATTGCTCATCCATTCTATGAGCCAGTCGGTACGTTGTTGTCTATCATGTCCTCTGATCCAGGGTCTCATCGTTCGCATGACTAGATTGGATCAAGCTGGACATCCCTAGCTATCCGAAGATCATCAAGAGACCGATGGACTTGTCGACGATGCGGAGGAAGCTCGTAGATGGCGAGTATTCGTCGGCTGAGGCCTTCCGTGACGACTTCAAACTCATGATCAAGAATTGCTACACGTTCAATCCTGTCGGTACGCCGGTCAACACGGCGGGTCGTGAACTCGAGCGTCTTTTCGACGAAAAGTGGAAGAATCTACCCCCTCTTTCGCAGGAGATGAGCGAAGAAGAGGAGGAAGAGGAGGAGGAATTAGAGGACGATCAAGCTCGTAAGTGGTCATTAGTATCTATAATCTTTCATGAATGTTTACCCTCGCTCTATTCAGGCATTGCTGAACTAGAGAGTCAGATCGAAAACATGAACCGTGCATTGGAAGGGCTCAAGAAGAGTAAGGTGAAGGAGAAGAAAGAGAAGAAGAAGGAAAAGCGGGAAAAACCTCCAGTGCCGTCGACATCGAAAGCGGCACCTAAGCCGTCGAAGGCTCCAGCGGCCAAGCCCGGCAAGAAGACTGGCAAGAAGCCTGTTACTGACGACGACGTATTGTCGTTCGAGCAGAAGAAGGACCTCAGCGATACTATCGCGAAGCTCGACGGTGCTAAACTTGAGCGTGTCATTCAGATTATTCACGAAGGTGTTCCGGAAATTCGAGACGTACGTTCATCTTCCTTTTCAGTAAACGACTCTATCTTACCTACTCTTTCTCAGAGCACGGAAGAGATCGAACTCGAGATCGATCAGCTACCAGCATCGGTGCTCACCAAGCTCTATAACTTCGTCATTCGTCCAATGCGTCCACCTCCCGCGAAACGTGCACGTACGGGCAAGGGTACAGGCACTGGTGGCTTGAAACGCAAGAGCATGGATGAAGATGTTGAGGCCGAGAAGATTCGTGTGCTCGAAGAGCGCATGGCGCTTTTCGAAGGCGGCAAGCCTTCTGCTGCAGCCTCGCAACGGCCACCTGTTCGACACGAAGAATATGATCAGTCATCAGATTCGAGTACGGACGGTGACAGTTCGGGTAGTGATTCGGAGTGAAGGGTTATCTTCTTGCGTTTCTTTCTGTCGGTGTGTCGTTGCGTTCGTCCACCTTGCGGACCCTTGCTTTTTATTTCTGATTCCAGTTTGTGTTCAAAATTACCTCAATACTTATGTAGTTAGTAGTTGTACTGTTGTTCATATCTTTCTCTTGTTCTCGAACTTGCTCACACATACATAGATCGAATGAGTATGACAATGTGTAATGTCGTGCGGTGAAGTACAGTTAATATACATGGGTAAAACAAGTGGAACATTATCTGCGTCTGCCAGGTGCGCCTGCACGGAATTGCTGCCATCCCGAACGAGTTGGTTCTGGACGAGCAGCTATTATTGGCTGCTGCGGTTGAACGGGAGATGGAGAAGGGGGCTGCTTCTCCTGCTGAACAGATAACGAACCCAGGCCGGCCTGAATTGGAGGATTAGACCACCCAGACGATGAAGCTGACCGTTGACGTTGATACGGCGAGGGGTTCGATGACGTTGTGGATGCCCAGTCTGCGCGGCGTAAGGGAGGAGATTCGTATGAAGCAGGACTAGGAGGTTGGGGATTAGGGGTCAATTGCGAGCTTCCGGCATCGAGGGAAGACCATCCGCCTGTCCGGAACATAGGTGCTGGACCAGAATGGTACTGCGAATCATTGACAGTTCCTGAAGGCGGGGGAGCAAAGTCGCTACCAGATGGAGGTGGCGGCGGTGGCTCGGTCTGAGGTTGATTGAATGGTGAACTGGGTGGAGGAGCCATGTTGGAGCTCGATGACGCAGGTCCTACAGTTGCCCATCCAGAGCGTCTGAAAGCAGACGACGGAGGCTCAACTGGAGCGGTGGCTTGCGCAGAGGATGAGGCAGACCCTAGGGTAGCCCAGCCGGATTTCCTGAATCCTGAGGGCTTTGCTTCGTTCTCTACTCCTGCAGCAGGCGGCGTACTTGGCGGATTGATAACTGCAGGTGGCTTAGCCATCTTGATACCGGCAGCTTTTGCTAGCTTCCTCAGCTCCTTTTCTTCCCTCTTCCTCTCCTTCTCCTTGCGTTTGTCGAGCTCTTCCTTTGCTGTGGAAGACGCACGTTGAGCAAGCTGCAAGTCTCGGGATCGAGCCTTATGATGATGAGCATAGGAGTTTGTGTGCTCGTCGTATTGTGCAACGTTCTGGAACTGCTTGTCGCATAGTTCGCAATAGAAAGCACGGAGTGTGGAAGAGATTTCAGTTTGTAGTATGGCGCGCTTGGCGACCAATTCCTGTTATGAGAGGACCGTAAGATAAATATATCGATCCTATAGGGAGATGAAAAAAATATGGACCTCTCTCGCCCTCCGTTGCTCTTCGGATTCCTTGATTAGCTTCTCCGAATGCAGTTCCCGGCGTTGCGAGACCGTCGATTCAATAACACGAACATCCTGATTGGATTTTCCCAGACCTGTGAGATCATTCTTCACATAGAATGGGACAGGATCGACACGACCTGTACAAATACTTGTTATAGGTACAAATAGATACCCGGATAACAAAACATACCATCGCCGGAGATACCTAATGGCTGACCCTCAACCCACCCAAGTTTGGACAGCAAGGCAAAGCCTTTGTTAGTGGCATTGATTTTTGTTTCCACTGTGATAACTTCACGTTCCACGCCCCGGACATATTCGTCGTACTTGTCGATGTCCATTGCGTTGAGCGGAACGGGGGAAGGTGAACGAGAGACTAGCAAGACATCATCGTCACTGTCTTGCATGTCATCATCATCACGCGGACGCTGGGAAGATGGTAGGGAAAGGAGGGCAGTATGCAGAGTATATTCAGGGATGCGAATAACGCGCGGGGAGTACCTTCAGAGATTGTACAGGACCGCTGTTTCCAGAGCCCTCCATTGGTATCGCGTTCCAACGAGCGATTGTTGCAGAAGACATTGTGCTTCTATGTACTTTAGGACTAAGAGCCCAGTTTGTGGTTATCAGTTGAGATTGAGTAACTGAGGAGATGAGAATGTGGTGGAGGACAAGTTCCAAGAGAACGAAGCGGGAAAGCCGAAAGAGGCAGCTCAGGCTTGCTGATGTAAGCCGCGTGACCTTGACGCGTCGCCCAAAGACGCGTCTCGCTTCAGCATCCGGCGCCTCCTGTGTTTCACAACCACGGTAGACTACCTACCGTCCTACGACTCCTCAACTCTTTCCCCCTTCCCTCTGGATAACCGTATGCCTCAGATATGAGCTCTGACGGCTACTTTGACGATGAACTGGACTCCGCCTTTCTCGATGAAGTCAATGCTATCGAGGCCGCCCACATTTCCCAACAGCCTTCGGATGCATCATCTTCTAGGCAACCACCTTCAAAGCCTTCTCTACCTTTGCAGCGAGAAGTCATCGTTGCAGATGAATTTGACGATAGCTTTGCCGACCTTGACATGAACGAGGACGAGCTTCGACACTTTGATGAGATCTGCAACACTCAAGTCGCCAACGTGGCCTCGAGCTCAAAGAGACCTGCAGGACGCACTACGTCCATGGGTACTGTTCAAACTACTTTATTTGGAGAGATTGCAGTCCAGAACGCTTCAACGAGTAAGAGTGGGCCATCAGCACAACGAACAGGGTCGAGTTCACGAATTCCTCGCGCTCGCCCTAGGAAGGTTAAGCAGTGGGATCATACCGCTTTCGCAAAGACCGGATGGAAGAAACCCAAAGTAAAGGCTAAAGCGAACTTCGATGGCGATGAGGAGGAAGAGGAAGAGTTAGATGAGCCTGTGGAATTCGAGCAGTTTCCTGCTCCCCAGGTTGATATCAGGTATGTTGCCCGCACTACGTTGATTAATCCCAAACTAAGACATCTCAATGTAGTCCGGTATGCGAACTCTCTCTCAGTCACTTCAAAACACTCACACGTAACTTCATTAGCCTCCGCCCATGAAGCTACAACCAGACCTTCTCGCAGCGAAACGATGGATATATCCACTGAATCAACCGAAACGAGACTACCAATTCAACATTGTCAACCGCTGCCTTTTCGAGAACACCCTCGTTGCTCTACCCACGGGTCTGGGAAAGACATTTATCGCCGGCGTGGTAATGTTGAATTGTACGTTGTTCGATCGCACGTTACGTTTGATACTCAGGCTCAAACATTCACAGTCTATACATGGTTTCCCGAGGGAAAAGTAGTCTTTGTTGCTCCTACGAAGCCATTGGTCGCCCAGCAGATTGAAGCCTGTCATAAGACCTGCGGCATACCAGGCAGCCATGCTGCAGAGTTAACTGGACAGAATCCCAGAATGCAGCGTGCCAAAGCTGTGAGTACACCTTTCCCCGTCCTCCTTCTGATGACTGATAAATGCTGTATAAAGTGGCGAGAGAAGCGCGTTTTCTATATGACGCCACAGACCCTCATGAATGACTTAAAGACAGACAACTGTGATCCTCGTGATATCGTTCTTCTAGTCATAGGTGTGTTTCAGTTTACCTGGCATCCTTTCAATGCCTTAATGACACCTTCTCCCGTAGACGAGGCTCACAAAGGCACTGGCGACTATGCATATGCCCAAGCTATTCGGTACCTTATGGCTAAGAACCCACATTTCCGGGTTCTAGCACTCACTGCTACACCTGGTTCGACACCAGACGCCGTTCAGGACATTGTTGACGCTCTCCATATCAGTAATATCGAAATTCGAGACGAGAATAGTCTTGATCTACGTGCATATATGCACAAGAAGCATTCTCAACAACATATTGTAAACATGGATGGCGACGTCGCCAAGGTCCGCGACATGTTAGCCGAACTAATGGAGGTATGTTGCACATTCGCTCTTTCCAAGAAAGTCGCCGTACCCTAAACGATCTGCCAGCCTATTCTCAAACAACTTCAACGGATCAGTCTCCTACGCGGGCCAGTTGACCCCGTGGGTCTTCATCCGTATCGCTGTCAAGCAGCCCAACAAGAGCTGCATGCACGTCGGGATAAGCAGCCGTGGGCTTTCAAACCATTATCTAACCTCGGCTCCTTGGCTCGCGCTATGGGTTATCTAGTGAGTTTCTTCTCAAATGATTTATTTTTGGTCACTGATAGGTGGCATAGATGGAAGCCAGTAGTGGCATGTGCTATACGTCGTTGAAGGATCTTGCAGAGCGAGGGGAAGGCAAAAACGATGGTGACGGCAAGAAGGCGGGTGGAGGATCGAAGTTGACCAAGGATCCTAAGTTCCAGGAAGTCCTCAAGGAACTCGAGAACCAGTACAAACGAGGGTTCTCCGTTCATCCGAAGATGGAAAAACTGAAGATGTTGCTGGTGCAGCATTTCACAACCCGGATGTGCGAGAAGGATGAAGCTGAGGAGAGAGGAGATACCGAGGCGGCCAAGGAAGCCAGTTCCTCTCGAGTTATGGTGTTTGCATCGTTTAGGGAATGCGTCGACGAGCTTGTCGAGCTTCTTAGTCAAGAGAATCCTCTCATCCGCGTCACGAAGTTCATTGGACAGGGTATGGACAAACAGGGCAAGAAAGGTTATGCGCAGAAGGAACAATTAGAGGTACTGAAGAAGTTCAAAGCGGGCGAGTACAACGTACTCGTTTCTACTTCCATTGGTGAAGAAGGTCTTGACATTGGCGAGGTTGACATGATCGTGTGCTATGACGCGCAGAAGACGCCAATTCGAATGGTAGGTCGATGTGCAGTTCCCAACCCGTGTTTCACTCATTCCTTGCTGCGATGTAGCTTCAACGTGTAGGACGTACCGGTCGCAAACGTGACGGATACATTCACGTACTTCTTTCCGAAGGTCGAGAAGAGCGGAATTGGGAGAAGGCGAAAGAGAAGTACGAAGCTGTCCAGAACTTTATTGTCCGTGCGGAACATGTGGAGCTGTTCGACGATGTTCCTCGCATGCTGCCGGAAGAGATCGAGCCGACATGTATCGAGATGGAGATGGATATCGAAGAATACATTCGAGAGGATCCCAGCAGCAAGAAGGCCTCCTTCGCCAACTCTCCATCATCGAAAGCCGCGAAGCGAAAGCGCAACGACGATGCTATGCGAAACATCCCTGCGGGCGCGACGAATGGATTTGTTAGCGTCAAGGATCTCCTGGAGAAGGGTGCATCGTCGAAGAAACGGAAGAAACCTTTGGAGTTCGATCCCTCTGCTATTGAGGAAGATGAAGATGATCTGGAGATCGAGGCTGGTCTCTTTGGACCTCGGAGGACTGTGTCTCTAAGCACAGAATCGAGGGCACCCAAGAAGAGGAAACCCCGAAGAGCTACTACTGTTGCTGGTGATCCTGCCACAGACAAACCGGCGAAGACGAAGCGAACTTCTGTACCAAAGAAGAGGAAACTCACCCCAGTGGAGGAGATGACGAGCAGCCAATTCGATCGTTTAACGCAGGACGATTCAGACGACATGGAACTCCAAGCAGGGATATTTGCATCACCCAAGCCTCTGGACAAGAAGAAAGCTCCGACAAAGAGAAAGCAGAAATCTACATCTGATAAACTTCCCGGGAAACCACCGCCCAGGAAGAAACTCCTCACTGACCCTACATCCTCTCCGGAGGTGCCTTTGAACGACAGTATCATTGACCTGACGATTCCGAGTTCTCCTAGACGACCCTTGTCTCCCCTTATCTTACCCCCATCTTCTCCCGATAGACCACTGTCCAGTGGACGAATGTCGACACCCAATGGAAGTGGGCGTCGCGGTCGATCTTCTGAGTCTCCCGCCGCCTCACCTAGTCCATCTTTCCGCAGCGGAAGTGCTGATCAACAGATGCCTGATGCTAGCATGGCGTGGCTGGTCGAGGACGATAGCGAGCCTGATATTCAGTTCCTTGGATCCTCTCCCGCGAGCAATCACGGATCCTCCACCAAAGCAATCGTGAATGGCGATGACGACAGTGACGTTGAGTTCGTCGATTATGACCCTCCTCCGATACCTTCAGCGTCTTCAAACGAAGTCACGGTTGGTTCATCTCCCCTCGTAGTGAGATCCTCGCCGCCGGCTTCAGGTAAACGACGAAACGACATGCCACCACCAGCTGTCTTACCAGCACGATTTTCATTACCGTCTCCAACCGTATCGGACGATGGGGCGGCGCCTCCCTTAACATTTGCGGTTCGTGCTCCGGGTCGAATGGCTAAGAAGAAAGTCGTCCTAGATAGCATCGACTCCTCTCCTTTAGCCATGCCTCCAGCTTCACAACGACGACTACAAAGACAACGTGAATCTCCCTCTCCCTCTCCGGATTCAGACCCTCAACCTAAGCGAAAGAAGCGGAAGTTCAGAGACGCGATGGATGCACAAAATCATGTTCCTTGGATCGACATGGAAGCGTCACATTCAGGTGACGAGCGTAGTGTCGGAGGATCTGATGATGACTTGGCAGCCAACTCCTCCGATCGAGAGTTTGTGCAGGAGCTCCCAGAGACGCAAATGCCCCCTTCATACGATCAATCTGCTGTTTATCGTCGCAGCCTGTTTACTCAAGCACCTGGCAGCACAGGTCCTGCATTTGCCAAAGGACCCGTGCGCAGAGGTGCTCATCGATACAACTTTGCTGGCCCTTCGAGGCTACAGCATCCTTTGTCTAGTTCGCCAGGCGGACCAGACGAGCATGACGATTACGTCCATGGAAGTTTTGTGGTCGATGATGACGCTGACATCTCTTACATTACTTCTTTGAGCGATTGAGTTCGTCGTGCTAGTCATTATTGGAACATGGGCCGTCAATCTCAGTCGTTTCCTTCTCAGTTTCGGGTTCTGTTCGGGCATGATTTACATTGAAAGTCGCCATATTTTCCAACACTGGATTGAAACCGATACTACATAGAGGACGCACGTACGCTCTGAAGAACTGAAGTGTTCTTATAACCATAACGATCAGAGGCAGTCATGAAATATGCATCAGTCAAAGTCGTTCCTCCGCGAATTGAGGACAAGTGCATTCTCTCCAAGGCGTGGCGCATAAATAGCAGAATTGCGCTTTGCAAAGGCAAATCATATGGTAACAGCCTTGAGTAAGTTCGACGAGATGGCGGCAGGAATAACATCGTTGCCAACCCTCCTTCTTAGCGAGCCCCAACACCTCCGAGTCGTCACGTCTGTCGCAAGGTCGACCGATATGTGCCTGCTCTTTGCAAGCACCACATGTTCGTGTGCGACAGACTTGGCACTCGATGGAGTAAGGCTCGTCTACTGCGGGGGTCAAGAACCGAGAGCATGACGGCCGGCTACAGTACACTCGATTTTTCGTCCGAAACTCGAGTGATTTAGACTCGTACAACGTCACGAGCTCGGTACTGAGATATTTGCGGAAGTCGTTGAGAGGCAGCTCTGTGCGGCAACATGTGGGTGGGAACAAGGACTCGTCCTCCGCAGCTTTGCGGAACATAATCTGAAGACAACCGTTGTCGACCTCGTGTCCGCAAGGCATAACGACAACGGTGTCTGCAATGGGTTCACCGCATACGGCACAGTCGATGAGACTGTTCGTGACGACTTAGTGTTCACATTTCCTCTCAGGACGGTACAGTATGGACTAAACTCACGGGATGGGAATAACGTTTTCCGGAGGGGATGGCAAATCTGTAGTCGCATTACTAGGAGAGTCCGCAGGAGTATCAGGCTCTGGAGTATTGAGCTCCTCCTCCGCGGTCGCGTCAGCGCTCCTGGAAAGTGAAGGGATTCATCAATGAACAAATGTCTGCGATTGTTGAATAGAAACCAGATACGCACGCTTGTTCACTAGCAACTCCGACGGGTACTGGCGTATTCCCCAAGGCAGGAGTGAGATCTCCTCGAGTAGGAAGAGGACGCCCTTCGGAGAGAGCCACAGCCATCTCATGATCAAAGCGAGCCATCTCCTCCATGGCAGTCAGCTCCTCCAGCAGTGATCTCCCCTCGGTCGAAGAGCCAGAGGCATAATCCTTCGAGATATTCAGTAAAGATGAAGCTTCCTGGGCGAATAGGAGTCTCGCCAGCTCCTCGTCGCTCAGTACGACATCAACGCTCGGGCCTGTATGAGACTGGAGATCCTCGATATCATCTTGGTCTAAGAGGGTTATATACTGGAGCACGGAGGCTAGTCCATTGGCATTGGGGCGATTGGAGGTACTAGCCATGATGGATGGCTCGACGCTCCCTGACGGCCTTTGAAACTATCGGCACCTTATGTCACAGGGCCCACGGGGAGGGACCTGTCAGCAGGACGGAGATCTCTTCATTCGAGTCCATGTATGCGTAGGTCTGCTCGTGTAAGGCCTCGCAGCTTGAATCCTCACTCAGATGAAAACCTAATACACCGATGCAGACATGATGCAAGCCTTGCAAGAATCCTTACCTGCCATATTGGGTCAGCGAGTGCACCCGTGCTGATGCAAGCTATACATAGTTTTCCTTGATACACTCACCGCGCGAGTACGCAGCTGATTGGGCCGAAGAGGAACGAGCCTCCTACGTACCCTACTATAGAGGTCGAAACCGCCAACAAGACGGCTTTTTTTCCCCCTTCGGTAGATTCAACGTCGCAAACCATCTTCCATGCTTCACCTTGAACTAGAACAATAGTTATTCGAATGCAACTCTTGATCTTAGAACGTGTAGAATAACCTGGGACGCATAATAGACGAAGTACATAGCAACGAAACAATCGAACGCGAATGCGAAAAGCAGCCTCACAGACTTGAAACCTAAGCAATGATGTTACGACGAGTTGCCCGTGGACAACAGTCATTGAGGATATGTCCGTTAACAACGACTTCTGTTACATTGACCATATCAGTATTCCTCCATATAATTGCAAGTAGCCCCTGATGTGACCTACCCTTCTAAACCCCCTCAAATCCGGCATTGGTGGGTCACACTCCGGGTGCCCTGGATGGAGCGCTGCAAGACATGCTACAGACTGTTAGTAGGTGCTGAACAGTGTAACAAGACTCCAATGCACCTTGTGGGCCTTAGATCTAGCCTTCTTACGGACAGACACAATAGAATGACAAATCCTAGCTCTATGGCAGAGTGAGTAGGAAAGATTCATTAGGGAGAAAAGAGAAGTTACCGATGGTCAGGCATAGAATGGTTTATGATTGATGGACGAGTAGAATTTGTCATTCTACTGTAAGGGTCCATGGAGAAGGCTATGTTTTCCTTATTATAGAAGACACTGGCAGAGCCGTAACAGAAGTAAGTACAGCAAAAGACCCAATGAAAACCACTTTCTTACCTAGGCCTGTAGTGTGATAATGAAGTAGTTGCAAACCACTTCAGTACATGATCAGGAGACAAGTCAATGGAGGGTCGAGGAGAACGTGAACACCCCCGTGATAGGGGTGTCAAGTCCCTTCGACCAGCGGCATTTCTGTCTCCCAAACCAGGCACAGACATTAGAATCGGTGAAGACGAGATTCGAACGAGGGACTTGACGGTTTCTTGAATGAGCGTAATGTCGCTGCATGCCGTATCGATGGCAGACTCCTTGCACTCGTCGAACTCGTGGAGTATATCGTCGAACGTTGCAAGCAGAGTTGAGAGCGGCTCCCAACTCGAGTCGTCGACCCGAGCCAGATCACAGAGGATATCATCGCCCATCTTGGCCGTGGAGGATGAGAGCGAGGGAAAGAGATGGGAGCAATCGCCAGGTAGATATACCCATCCCCCGCCTCGTGTTAGAATATTCTAGCTCGAACCTTAAGCACATGGATCACTTCTTTTAGAAGCTAGATCTCCGCCCTTGAGCTTGCACCATCGTGAGTGACGAGCTCAACCTTCAAGTTGGTTGTCATGCGGATAGCTTCACTATGACCACTCACCCCAACAAACCGCGCTGTTTAACATGCAGGATACCATGCAACAGGCGCAACCGCGAAATCCTAGGATAAAAAAGAGAATAATGAGCAAGACACATATATGATTGACGCTGCGATTGCGTTTGACAGCGCCGGAGTGGAAGCAGTTCAAGAACCATAAATATACGAAAGAGTTTCCCGACTTGGCCGCTATGAGAACTACTACCGATCCGAGCCTAGATCTGGATGTCATAAACAACGATGTTCTCCAAGAAATCGGAGAGCAGGTCAACATGTTGTACACTTCAAGCTTCAAGCTTTCAAGTCTCAGCCCTGAAAGCGCCATGCCAACGTCAAGCAAGAAATTCAGCGGTGCACGCTCTCTATATTGTGGGATTGCGTGCGTTTACAGACGGTTGCGTGTGCATCGAACACATGCCAGCGTTTGGCACCCACGGCAACGCTTAGAGTAAATGAAAAGCTAAGTGACCCTGGACGCAGTATATGCCATGATGCAACACTTACCAAGAGATACTGAGGCAAACGATAATTGCAAATCTCACACTGGCCCCCTCCAGTTCGATAGCTCCATCCAGTGTGACGACAATCATGATCTTCCCGCAATCGCGCAGCCATTTCCACGACTCTAGTACGGAACACATCGCCGGCAGGCCTCGCTGCGGGCTCCTCACGGATTTCTCTGTTCACGCGATCTCGAGCGACGACCAGCAATCGATTCTCTTCCCACTGAGGACAAGTACAATTCTTCCATGTCTCTGTGCAAACGTAGCAGAATTGTTTCCTGCACCTGCAAGTCATATGGTAGCAACCCATGGTGAGTTCTACCAGGCGATGACAGCCGGGGCATCGCTTCCAGCCTTCCTGTTCAGCAAGAGCCAGAACTGCGGCATCAAGCTCGGAAGAGCAAGGTAGATCCAAATGAGCGGATTCCTTGCAATGAGCGCAAGTGGAATTAGAACATCGTCTGCAACGTAATGGACTTGCGTGATTTGTGGCTGCACCGAGGAAGGTGGAGCAGGTCGGTCGGTGACAGTAGACGCGATCCGCAGTTGAGAATTCGATTGACTTCTGTTGGAATTGGGCGGCAAGATCGTGTCCGAGATAACGACGAATCTGGTCGAAAATGAAAGGTTGCTGGCAGCAGCGAGGAGGGAACAACGATTCGTCTCTAACGGTGGAACGGAATAAGTCGACTAAGCAGCGAACATCATAGAAGTGCCCGCAAGGAGCTCTGATCTCCATGCCTCGAATCGTGTCTGTACAGATTACACAATCGTGCAGTCTACGTAAAAAAAAAAGTCAGACGGTACCGAGTATTGAGATAGTGTTGGAACAACGACAACGTACTCTCGGGGTGCAATAGGGACTAAAGTGACTCTGCTGGATGAAGCCACCGCCGATGTGACCTGTTCCCTGAGGTTCGGGATGCGTTAGAATATCCTCTTGCAAGAATGAACTTGGAACTTACTCATCCGAGTCTGAGCTCGTCTCGGCAGACATTAATGAAGCAGGATCGTCTGCAACGCTGTGCCTTGTAGAGACGGGTACATCGATACGACCTGAGCTCATTGCAAGTGCCATTCGACGATCACGTATGGCAGAGGTCTCCTCTTGGACCATCTGTCGAATCAACGAACGATCGCTTCGCAAAGCAGTGTTGAGACTACGTGTAAATACAGAGTCTTGAGCAAGGATGAGGAGATTGTTTGCTTCCTCTGCGTAGATTTGCACGGCGAGTTCTTCGTCGGTCATGGCATCGGCGGCTTTGCCGTTTCGATGGCCTTGAAAGTCCTCTACATCTTCGGGGGTCATCGATGCGACAAGGAGCAGCATGTCGGCGAGATCATCTTCAGAACCTGCGGTAGCACGCTGAGAGGAGATTGAGGACATGGTGGGCGAGAATGGGTAGACCTAGCTTGATAAAGCAGATGAGGGGAGAGGGGATAACGTGCGCAGGCGGGTCGTCTCTTATTGCTAGCGTTGGCGTCTGGGCTAGGGTTGGAATCCGCACGCTGCGGCATTGCTGAGGAACTTTACGGCAGTAGGCAGATAGTATACCTTATCCTGTCACTCTTCGTCGAGGCAGAAGCGACAAAAAATCATGGCCCATGAGGCCAAGAAGCATTTGATTCTGATAACTAAGTGGCAATGTCAAAGCTTCATAACCACTGAGCTACCCATCAGCCGTTAAGTACTTGCACAGAGGGGTACGAAAGACAAATGGCACATGTACTAGCAAATTTACAGGTACACAGGCCAGTTACAGGAAAAGAGAGCTGAGGACATAGCACAAGTTCTCCCTTGCGCTATGTCTACATCTCAGGACAACAACGTACTAGCAAACTGCAGAAGACCAGATAGTGTACAGCGGCGCAACTAAGAAGCATGTAGCTTCATTCCTACGGTGACGACCCTGCATGTCAATACGGTTTAAAGTAATTGCGTTGAGACGTACCAGATCGTAAAGTGCACGAGAACCCTTGCACTGCAGCATATGACGATGAGATATAGAGACATTTGTACATACTGAAAACAGACCGTTCAACCGTTTCATCTCATCTGAAATTTGGAGCAATGAGCAGTAAGTTAACCGTAGAGTCTCGCGTTGCAGCAAATAATGAGGATAGAGATACTTGAAAACAGACTATTACTTACTAGTAGATGGCGGTGGTTGAAAGACAAGGCCTGTATACTGTGTTACTGGATGACGGACAAACGTATGTTATGCGATTGAACCGGGCTAAGCGGTAAGGTACCGAGGTGGCGGACCGGGAGGAGCCGAGGATGACATCAAGGATTGCTATGCGATTAGATTTGGAAGGAGGCGCTTGGGTTTGGAGTCCACAACTCCTAGCAACTCGAAGCTTCTACCCTCCTCACCATATCCATCTCTCCATTATTCGACCCTCTCCTCATCCCGGCCCCATGCATACACCTTCAGCACCCATTTTGTACAGTTTCGCTGATCCCAACAACCTCGTCGACTCTCTCGCCCGTTTCATTATTAAGGCCCAGAAGGAGTCCATCGAGAAGAAGGGCAGGTTTACCATCGCCATCTCTGGCGGATCTCTGGCTCAACAACTCAATGGCTTAATCGGCAAACCGGGTGTGAAGTGGGAAAAGTGGTCAGTCATGCGTACTCTTATTCACGTATCTTAACGCTAATCCTTGTCTTTATCTTAGGCAAGTCTTCTACGCCGACGAGCGTGTTGTTCCTCTCGATCATGAAGACTCAAATCACCGACTTTGCAACGATGAGCTCTTAAGCAAAGTCCCCATTCCTCGACAAAATATTCACACCATCGATTATTCCCTCGCCGACGACATCGAAGAGCTCGCAGATGCATACGAGAAAGAACTTATCCGCGAATTCGCCCAAAAAGACGCTGCACGTTTCCCCGTCTTTGACCTCATCCTCCTCGGTGTCGGCCCTGACGGTCACACTGCATCTCTCTTCCCCGGTCACGAACTCCTCTCAGAGGAGGATCGATGGGTTGCATATATCACCGATAGCCCCAAACCCCCACCGAAGCGCGTCACGCTGACGTTCCCTGTTATCAATCACGCAGCCCGTGTGGCTTTCGTTGTTTATGGGCCGAGTAAAGTTGACATCATTAAGACGGTGTTGGATAAGCCTGAGCAGGGGCTTCCACCGTCACGCGTGCGCCCAATTAGCCCTGGTCAGGTCTACTGGTTCACAGACGCAGATGCCTCGGCCAAAGTCGAATACCCCAGGACCCCCTTCAAGCTGTAGGCGCCTTGACGGAAGGTTCTGTAGGCTTTGCTGCGCTTTGTGGATGGACGCTTGGGAATGAGAAGATGTAAGATAAGGGGTGTTTATTCCGTATTGCCTGTGCACGTTCATGCGTTATCCTTGGTATTCTTGGTATCATCCTCCGTATGCGATTACCAGTTCCCTTTTTTCAAAGATCCCCTTAATATTGCTGCTGCTGTGAATCAGAAAGTCAATTCGGTATCCGTCAATGCATCTCGTATAATATGGTCGTACTGGTTCATCAGAGTATATAGCACACGCGTCCTGGATCCGCATTACCATAATCCATAATGATACCCCCAAATCCAAAGTGGTATAGACATTCCCAACATTCATCGTCAAAGTCAGAGTGACGTGGAGCCTGGTGTGGGAGGCGTCATTCCACCCCTGTCATGACCATAACCATCTACCTCGCTCGCATTCGTACTTGGTACAATATTCTCCTTGACGCTCATCTCAGGGAATACGGTCACTAGAACAAGGTCCAATATAAGTATGAGTAGATGCACGTTGCACGCCTGTGAGGAAAGAGGATCAAGCATGGTGGAAACGGTGTGGGCCCGGGCATCCGGAGTTGGGCCTAGTAGAGGCTTCAAGATACCTAAACTAAGTGTTTAGGGTTTGGACATTCGCGAGAACGGGTGAGACGTACCTGGAACAAGATCCTGAAGCCTCCGCTCTACATCGGTCCTAAGCACGGCTTGCTCTTCGGGAGTGGGGTCGACAGGTGGAGGAGCGGGCCAGCCTTCAGGAAATAACGCCCTACGGGCGGTTCTGACCATGTATGCAAGCGAAGATGACGAGAGAATATGAGTGTAGAGAAGATATGGGAGCAAACGCGATAGGAAAGGCGAGAGTAATGTGGCAATCATCGAGAGTACATGCGTCAGCGCGATGGATGTCGAGTATGAGTGTCGCGTTACTGAGGCTGATGCAGGAGGCGGTGGGGGTGATAGCAGAGTGAGTAAAAACTGGAGGCTCGGTTGAGTGTAATTCGGGGGTGGAGGTGGAGTGTGGGTAGCTGGTATCACGATGGAAGCTGAGACGATAGAAGATGTACGTGACGATTCTGTGGAATGAACACTTGAGGGTATCATAGCAGGTGTCATTGGTGTCATTGGCACCAACGTCCCAGGTAATGTTGACTTTACCGCCATAGTACCAACCCGGTCTTCTGGGCTTTCCTCCGGTGTGTCCCTGGTCTGTGGTATATGGGAGAATACACCGTTGCTTTGATTCACCTTCTTGATCGTTCCCAATGCTTGTCTGTATGCGTGTAGAAGCGCTAGGCAGAAAGTGGAGATAGAACGAATGGCAGACAGGATAAATATGGCGAGAGCTTGGAAAGACAAATGATATGACCGCTGACGTTCTAGAGGAGGTGGTCCATTTGTCTCAGATGCGAGGTCTGAAGACTACAAGGCAAGGTGGAAGTCAGCACATCTTCTAACATACATAAAGCGAACAGACCTTCGACGCTTGGCCTTTCTCATCTTCAGGACCCAGGAAGTCCAGAATGGTTTTGTGTATGAACCAAGGCTGGGTCAACCTTGGTACGACACTCCCCAGCAGTACATTTACAATGATCTCTCGGATGATATACCGTTCCGGATCAGGCTCGTAATCCTCTTCTGGAAGGCATTCTTCGAGAACGTAATCCACTGCTTGCCGAATATACGTTTCGTCTACCTTCCCCTCGGCCGATACAGCCATATGTGGTTGCATTTGGTGGAAAAGTTGTGGAAGACTCGCTGCGCCTCCGGACGCGTAAGATGTATGTAATTTAGCTTGTGCATGTCTATAGTCAACACAATGCTGAGTGAGAAGTGTTGGAAGGTCCCGAAATACGAGAGGGGAAAAGTCAGTAGCCGTCAGACGCGTCTCGAGAGTGCGGAGGACGGAGGTCAGAACATGGGTGATCTGTGGGAGGAACTCTTTGTCATATCGTGTCAATTTGGTCCACCATGGATTCACATATGCGCGTAATGCGACGGCGATGAAGTCGTATAGCTCGGCATTGAGCTCGGGTGAAGCAGACGGGGAGAGCAGGAGTGGAGGTAGGTCGGCATCAACCGGAAGTTGAGGAAAGAGCAGTCGTCTGGGTAGAGACGGCGGTTTTGAGCGTGCTTGTTTGGACGCTGTAGACTTTTCTGCAGTTGATGAGGAGGTGGAGAGAACTGAGCGAGCTTGCTGTGGAGGATGGTGAGCAGGGCCGGTCAACATCGTTTCGGACAGTGAGTACAAGGCTTGCCTATTAGGGACCGATCGTGTTAGGTAAGCAGATACTTCCGCCTCTTTTAGATGCCGGCGCCAAGGCAGATCATTCTAAACCAAGCGGCCGTGCTCGTCGGGTTCAGCTACCGACCCTTCTCGACGTACACAACGAGTAAGGGACTCCCTCGACGTCCTCAGTGGCGGGCTCCGGCCTTCTTGGTGGGTTGTTGTCCTGCTTTGTTCGTCGTGCCCTGCATCAGCGCGTTGCGATTGGCTGACAGGATGCATGTGTTGTTTTGACCAATCCAACTGACAGGCTTTCCTTCCAACAGTCAACACTTCGTCTTTTTTATGTTCACCGACATTCGTTTATTAACTCGTCACTCCTTCAAATAACGCGGTCTTTAACTGAAGTATGAAACCGTCTGCGACTAATATCCCTATGCGTATACATCGGCGGGATGGGGGCAGTGGAGGACTCTCGACACCTAGTATCATCGGTATTGCCGTCGCATGTGGATGCGTATTTATTCTTGTCCTCACTCTCTTTCTCTGGCGTCTTCTCGTGCGTTGTTGTCGACGAAAAGAATCGGCACCTCTGCCACCTCCGCAGGGCCTCGCGCATCATCGCGAACAACAGCTCGCAGTTCTTACAGAGCGTTCTGCGAGTAGACCTTCTACATGGATGGATGGCTCATTTAATAGTCGGTCAAAACATTTTCTACATCCTACCGCTAGCGATATATCCTTGATCTCTGGTACTCCGGAACGGAAGAACAGTTTCTATACCGATGAAGCTACGACCGCAGAGAGTGCATCTACATTTCCTTCTCCTTTATCCGCGAACGATATGTCCTTACCCCTTCCCAATCCAACGTTCTTCAACGGCGCGAGCCCACATAATAGTATGACCAGTATGGCGAGCTCGAATGTATCGGGAGAGGTTTCGCTTCCTGACATTTCATCCTCCGCCAGTGCCCCACTTTCAGAGGCACCATCTGACCTTTCATCATTGTCACCGACACCGAGATTACATCCGCTGGCATCCTCATCGGGTTCGGGCTCTCCTCATCCGCGCTCAGGGTCAACCTCCAGATCAGTGTCACGCCGGCGCTCCCGTCCTACATCAGTAGTCTCCGCTGGCACAAGCTATAGTGGGCATACACTACGCACCACAGGCAGCACTATCCGCGGAGCGCCACACGGTCCATACAGTAATGTGCAAATTGTGTTACCTGCTCCCTTGGCTCCGGACATATATCCCTATATGCAGCCATTAGCCGAGGGCAGTGTCAGCAGCGTTGGGATAGCGAACCAGGTACCTTCCAGGGGAAGTGCGTTTGTGGACCAGTGGGTCATGGTTGGATCCCGCACTTCAAACGGCAGTCGCCCTCTACGTGAGTTTATTTTTCCCGCGGATGACTCTAGGTTCTTGTGTCTGATTTCGGCTTCAGATGAAAGAAGCACATCAGCTAGCGCACCTCGGCGTAGCAATATACCTATGCCTCCGCCATCCGCCATGCCTCCACACACGCCCCGTCGCCGCTCACATTCACAGCCAAGGCTGTCAATGGACAGAGTCTCCCCTTCAATATCACCTTCCGCGAGTCCTTCTCCATCAACCAGCTTGAATGCAGATCGACCACCACCCGTACCTAGGATACCTTCTGCTTATAGACATGCCGCCTCACCGCCAGATGTCGACCCACAACTGGACCGTGGCAGGTCCCGAGTATCACGGTCGGGATCAGTTTCGTCGCCGCCTCAGGCACAGCAAATCCCTCCCGGCGATCTACGGCCACCCAGAACACCATCAAAGCTGCGAAAACCCAAACCGGACGCTGTATCATGACACTTCCTTGCAGTAGTCTCTAAAGCATCGTGTTCGTTTATACGAGGGCTATTAGGACCATTCTTGTCTGTTCGCTCTTTGTGTCCTGATGTCATTTCTGCAGACCACACACCGCACACTACGCCGGAGTATTTATTCTGCAATTGTTATCAGGAGTAGTGAAGCAATTGTATCATTCACAGTCCCAGCATTTTTCATAGTTACCCATTCACATTGACCATCTATAATGTAGACCTCCTGCCAAGCATACATACCTAGATCGCATTCCTACTCCCTAATCACAATTCTCACCGGAAAGGGGACTTTTTGGCAGTGAAAAGCTCTTTTCCTCCTGTATTGTTAGCGGAGGTTTGATGATGCTTGAGCAAGGAATGGAACTGTAGTAAGACAAAAACAGTATACAGTGACAATGGGCGGCAATTGAAGCACAAAGATGAAAAACAAATTCAGAGGAACGGATATTATGAGGGTCGATTATAGCATTCCAAATCCATCTTCGCCATCATCCCCACCCCACCCTCTAGCCAGTTCCTCCTCATGTGTGTGATGTACATGTGCATCTTCTGTCGTCTCCGACGAAGGGGGAACTGTCGGCCCACTCTCAGGAGCTTTAGTAGTGGTCGGTTGCTCGATAGGTCCTGGTGTAGGAGTTTTCTGAATAGATGAGGTGCCACTCTGTTGCTGCCCGGTGTACCAAGAGATCTGAACGGGACCGACGGTTGCGATACTGGTGCCTTTAGCCAAACCCTGATCAACTAGGTTAGTAATATATCGTAGAGTGTCAGAGAATAAACATACCTGTTCCGCAGCGGCGCGAGATTTGAATGAAACGAGGATGTCGCCGCCTTCCGTAGTATCCAGTGATTCAACTTGGCCAGTAGTCTGTAAAAATAAGATACAACGATCAGTTATGGCAATTCTATATGTAATCTTGGGATACTCACCTCATACCAATCCCGCACCGCTTGGACTTGTGCGGTACTAGCACCCTTGACAAGAAGCTTCTTGGGACGGTTATCCAACTTCATGCTAGGTCTCGGTGGACCACCGCGCATAGCACCACGATAATAACTCCGTCCACCTCTCCCCCTTCCTCGATATGGTCGGTACGGTGCACCAGCTGCATGATGGGTTATCTCTTGAGCAACTGTCACATCTGGAAGACCCAGACTCGCCGCCTCTGCCTTGAGCTTCGCAAGTTTTGCCTGGAGCTCTTCAGTAGTCTCTTCGGCTTCCCCGTTCGCGGCATTATGAAGTTCGAGTTCCTTGTCTAGAAGTTCTCTCTTCTTCAGTTCCTCCGCTCGTGGTGTTCCTCCACGCGAACCTTGAGCCGGTGCAGGCGATGGAGTAAGAGGAGCAGGCGATTGTGGTTTGATCGGAGTTGCAGTGGCTGGCGGAGGCTTCATCTCCTCGTTCAATTTGCGCAGACGAGCCATGATTTCCTTCTTCTCGTCAGCACTGGCAGTCCCGAGCTTAGCCATCAGGGCTTTCTGCTCAGCGATTTGCTTCTCAAGCAATAACTGCTTGGCTGCCAATGCTGATGCGGCCGCAGACGAAGTCGAAGGTTTACGAGAAGGTGCTGGAGCAGAGGGTACAGGAGAACCGTTCGCGTCGGAAGGGGCTGTTGTAGATGGGGTTGGTTCTTTGGCGTAGTTCGCCACCAACGGCGCGGACGCTGCCAACATACGAGCACCCAGTTGTCCATGACCTTCCTTGGGTCTATGCCAGAACACTTTGACGAATCGATTCCCAAAGACAGCATCTTCGGACTTCCAAGCCGCATGCGCTTCTTCATGGTTGGCGAAACTGACAAGGGCCTTTCCGCCTACTGCATCCACCGCGACGTTAGTGACTGTCCCGAACTTCTTAAACCACTCGTTTACGGCTCCGAGACTGAGCTTGTCTTCCGGGATCTTCTCCACAACCAACGTCTTGTCGTTCCGTCGTTCAGGACGGAAGTTAATGGCGTCGCCTCCGAATGTCCCTCTACCACCACCTCTAGGCCCTCGATAGCCACCCATATGGTGCGTTGGCACAGACGGTCCAGCCATCTCAACATCACCACCCATTGACATTGCCAATAGACCGTTCGTAGGGATCGGTGGAAGGTTCGGAACGTTTCCGGCTGGCCCAGCTCCATAACCACTGCCTTGAGAATCTTGCTGCATCCTATCCTCGGGTGGGACTTCCGGCGTAAGGTCCTGTATATGAGGCAGCTCGCCAGGTTTTCGTGCAATCGCAGTACTGGCTTCTCCATGCCGAGGTAAGAGGGGCGTTCGCGGGTGATGTGGTCGACCGGTGCCCATACCCATGCTACCACCGGGCATAGGTCGCATATCTATCCGTTCATGAGGATCGTAGGCGGCACCACCTGTTCCACCTTGCATGCCATATTGCATGCCGCCGTGAGGCATAGGGACGAAAGGGACTGAGCCACCAGGCATGGCTCCATTCATGGGGAAAAGCTGGGAGGGAATAACAGCATCGTCACCGTGACTGTATTTGCAAAATGCACCTCGTGCACAATAACCATTGTCTGCGAAATGAAGAAGGTAAGGAAGTCAAACTGGGCAGGGCGTGTATTTGTAACGTACTGTGGTAATCGCGGCATATACCTCGCCGTTGGTCTGGACGATATGGCACACGTCCGTTCATCTGCACACCGTTCATGCCTCCATCCATGTAGTCCGCACGACCAGTCAATCCCATTCTACTTCCCCGTTCCCCCCTGTCATTCCAACCTGGTCGCCCATCTGGCCGGCCATATCTGGAAAACTGGCCATCGCCGGTCAGTCGTGGCCCTTTCGCAGGTCTTAGCTCCTCATCGTAGTCGAAACCACGCTTTCGAGTTCCAGGTGAGACAGATTCAGTGGGCGTTAGTAGGGCATCCAAAGGTATGGGGATCCCAACGTCAGCGGAGCCGGTGCTAGTTGAAGCACCTGTGGGTGGTGGCGGAGAAGAGGCGGAATAGGGAAGATAGGATTTTGTCCGGAGGGCGGTGAATAGTGTATCAATGAAAGGGGTGCACTCTACATTAATCTAAGGTTAGCAGTCATTCATTGTAATAGATGTGAAGAGGGCGTGCCTTTCTCGAGAAACTCCTCCAGCTGCGTGGTCAATTCCTTGCGTAATTCTGTTTCTGGCGCGCTGTGCTTCAGCAAAGCCAGGATGTAATCAGCGAGTGCACCAGGCTCGGCATCACATCTAGAAGCGTAATCAGTATCGTGACACGCAAGTGCAAGAGGAAGGTTGTACATTGGTTCAAGAGTTCTAATCAGCCATGGCTTGAGATGTGCAGCTTTCTCCGCGTCAAGAGGCATCAAAGCACTCGGAATTCAGATACAAGCAGAAAGGTCAAACTAACAGCACAAGAGGGGGTGCACGAAGAGCACTTTTGAGGGAGAAGGGATAGGACACAGTCGGTGGTTGCACTGCAGAAGCTGCGAACTGTCCAAGCATCCGCGCCAGTGACAAACTTCGTCCAGCCACGTGCAGATCGCCCAATCAGGCAGTCTGTCATTGCCTGTTCTCGACACCGTCTCGACAAACATAGTGCACCTCCTGCTGGCCTCTTGCCTCCTTCCCTCTACTCTTGTTGGATTATTTACGATGCGTGGGTTGTCGTTGCTGCTCGACAGCTGTAGAAGCAGTCGTGCTCAGGTCTCACATATTCGGAAGCCTTGTCAGCACGTCTCCCGCCGGATTGTATCGAAAAGGGCGTACTCTGTGAAGCAACCGACGTCTTCTGGCTCGAGGGATAGGGAAGCAGTAGGCGTATGTATTAATATACTGTGTGTTTGGCAAGCATCTAATGAGACAACGCTCAGGTGTTCACACCCAAAGCAGCCGCCCTATTCATCGCAACTGGTATCGGATTGTTTGCGTACTTCAGGTACGAGAAAGAAAGGCTACTAGAAGAACGTCGTATGTCTCACCATTCCATGGCATATGATATATGATTCACAACTTCCCACTCGTGCAAGACAGAGAAGGAGCTTCAAGACCAGCAAACAGGCCGTCCTAAAGTTGGAGGACCTTTCACGCTGACTACTCAAGACGGCACACCCTTCACGGACAAGGACCTTCTTGGGAAATGGAGTCTCATATACTTTGGTTTCACGAACTGTCCAGACATCTGTCCTGATGAGCTCGACAAAATGGGCGCTGCGGTGGAGAAGCTAGGTTCGTTTCCGCATTTGTGTACCATGGACATGCATTTCACGTTAATACCCTGTTATAGAAAAGGACTACGGACCCATTGTTCAACCCATCTTTGTCTCTGTGGATCCCGCTCGCGATTCAGTTAAGCAAGTCAAATTATACGTCGAAGACTTCCATCCCCGCCTCATCGGTCTCACGGGAGGCTACCAGGAGGTCAAGGCGATGTGTAAGGCATATCGTGTTTACTTCTCGACGCCTCCCAATGCGAAGGCGACGGATGACTACTTGGTCGACCATTCAATCTTCTTCTATTTCATGGACCCTAACGGAGAGTTCGTCGATGCATTCGGCAAGTCGACCGGTGTCGATGATGTTGTGGCGCGGGTCCAGAAGGAAATTACAAATTGGCAAAGTAGGACAGGCAAGACTGTATAATTACCACACTTTCATTAGAATGATGGCATTTGTACACACCACCACTCAATAAAACAACATCGTCATCATCCTAAATACGTTGAAAGATAGCCAGTTTCTAACTTGCTCTTGTGGTGGTGTGCTGGGGATGACCTGGGTTATCCGTCCTTGAACACGTTACAAAAGACTGATTGAGAGTCATTGTCAGGCAACAGTGATGCAACGAAGGATAGTTCACAAGACAGAACAACAAATCTATTCCTCCTCGGCAGCGGCTAGCTTGCGCTTTGACAGCTCCTTCATACGGCGAATGTAACTAATAAGATTAGGATCAAGAATATGGAAAATAGAGTGATCAAAGTATGACTTACTCGTCGTACTGACACCTGTCCGAACGTTCCCATAAGCAACCGCAAGACAAATATTCTAAGTAGCGCTTACTTCTCGTATGTATGCCTCTCGTTTTCACATTCCCATGGCAGGTATGCGTTCTTCCGTCTGCAAGTATTAAGAGGGATGAGGAGACTGACGTGATCATGAACTATATTCAGTTACACCCAAAGTCGTAGTATAAAGTATTCCGGCTCACGCAGAACATTGATCTCGCCATGCCAGGGGTACTTGAGCCTGCTTGAGTTCAGTCTGGGAAGCGGTGGTAGAGGCCGTCATCCTATGCGACGGTCGACGTTCAGGATCGAGTGCTGCACCTAGGCGCCGGTGCAAAGTCACAGCCTGTGTTGTGTCACGGTGCACGAGGATGTGACCGCTCGAGACGGCAAGTTGCGGACCAATGGCAAAATCTCGGAGCGCGAAAACCGCTCACTGATATAAAGCCCTAGATCGCGAAAATCCCTCCCAGTCCCTCCTGCTCCCTTCCTTTTTGAAGATCTCCCATCAGGCCTTGTCCCTCTGTTCCTCCACCTCGTTGTTGCTTTCGTAACCATGCGCATCCTGTGATTCGGAAGAGTATGCGCTCCTCTCCAGTTGTGCGTTATCTCCAACTGGGTCTTAACCATCGTCTCTACCCTGATGAGTATCATGTTTATCCACTCACCTTTCGCTCCTGGTCCGCTCTGCTCTTCGCTTGTGCTTGTTATTGACCAGGTGTCCACTCTCGGGCTGTCTGCTTGCCCACATCCAATATCTAGTCGGCCATCCCAAGTATAAGCTAGACCTGATTTGCGCTATCACTACCTTGACGGTCGTATCCGCCCACCATCGCTGGTCATTTCTTCCTCATGTCTCTCCGCCGCTTGTCCATCATGTCTCTCATTGCTCTCGGGATTATCGGCCATCGTTGTCAAGGCCATTGCTCGCGTCTTCACCCTGTAACCCTTGACTCAAGTTGTCATCACTGTGCTTGACCCCGACCGCCGCCGAACCCCTAGTTCGCTGTCAGACACAACGCCGAGGTCTTCTCATGTCTCTTTTGTTACGCATGGAGTTCCCGAGTCAGCCAGCGCCAGCTGTTGACTCGGGAACTTCTGGAACAGGCACCATCGTTCATGCTGGCGATAAATTGGCAACCGGGCGAGATCTGGCCGCTTGCAGATCATAAATCGGAACGCTCTGGTGTCCTTGGGACCTTGCTGTTTCTTGCGATGTTTGACTCGGGAACGCAAATATGCTATCAAAAACTTCAAATTTTGCCATCGCGCTTGGTGCATCTGCTTCCAATAACTGAACGCGCGAATCCTAGTACTATCTGGACGGAAAAGCGAACACCCACTCTCCTCCTGGTCATTGATCGTGCAAGAATTTGTTACCCGGCTCGCTTCAGAAATTTGGTCTACTGTAACGCGTTTCCGTTCGAATGGAGAGATCAAGGTGTCGCACTCCATGTCTCAAGGAATCTGTATCACGTTCAATATATTTCTTGGGTATATTTCTTGCGCTCTACAGTTCTCCCAGGGCTCTCTTGCTTGAGGGTGCAGGTACTGCAAGCCACACCTTTGTCTGATGTGCACCAATACGGACGTTGCGTATGCTCCCTTGGACTGTCCCCACGCTCTTACCCCAATTCCCAGTGCTGTCTTTCTGCCAAAGATCAGAAAGTTGGTAGGGTTGCTGTTGGTATGCTTTTCCCTACGGCCAAGAACGCTATTAGCAGGTGTTTGAACGCATCATGACTGGGGAACGGCATTACCTGGTCAACGAATACATCGGTGAAATCGACATCGGTAGTTTGCTGCTTGGGAGAAGTATTCAGAAGCGCGATCACGAAGCGGCTGGGAACCTATGTTCAGTTTTGTGGTCAAATTAGCAGAAAGGGAAACCTATCACGTACTTGTTGGACAGACTTCCGGCCCAGAGTTGCAGGTCGCCGCCATCCGGTATGGTTCTCTTCCACATCCGGTTTGCAGGACCAACACCAGCATCCTATTAAAGTATGCATAAATTTGTGAATAGAAGCGCATACCATGTATGTCGAGTTTCACACCTGGTTGATGTCAATGAGTGCTTTGTTGGTGATGATTGTCAGGGTCTCGTTGCTCTGAATCAGTGTCAGCATATAGGTCGACAAGCAGAGCAGGAATAGGTTGGGCTTACCATGTTGGTTACGTCATTCCCAAGGATGAGTGGACTCTTCAGGATACTCCAGAACGAGAAGTGCGTAACTAGTAAAAAGGGGATGTTGAACAAAACTGACTTTTACCCAAAGACACGCAGGAAAACACACCATATTCGTCGAAGGTCATTCCACCATTCCCCACTTCGAGCATGTCCAAGTCGTTCCAAGCACCTGAATGAGCTTTTTGCCCAACAGGAGCTGCAAAGTCGATAATACGGGCCATTGCGCAGTCTGTATATAGCGTTAAGCTAATTTCAAGAATCACCGGGATTGTGGGAAGTAGGCGTACGGAATCCGGCAAGCTTGCAGTCAAGTACGGATGTGCAAGGGCATCGCTCATCGAAGCGGTCGAACATCTATCGAAAAAGGTTGTCAGAACAGAACCGAAACCTGCAATGGACTTCATGCGACGTACGTCAACAATATCTCCTGAAATACGCCAGCTATTTGCGATGGTCTGTTTAAAGGGTTAGTCTTGTTGGGCGGTACATCTGAATCTCAGGTAGAGGCTGACAGGAGCAAAGTTCCATGGTCCATCTTCACCCCAGTTGCACATGGAGTAAAGAATAGGACGACCCGTCGCATTCAACGCCCTCGACATGTTGGCGTACCGATCATGCGAGATCTTAGGAGTGCCTGCTAGGCCTTCGTTGAAACAGTTATCGTATTCTGACAACGTATAGATGTTAATGACGTTCGAGGAATTTCACTGACAATATGGGGCCTTACTCAAATAATCGACGCCCCATTCGGCATACGTCTTTGCGTCGATCTCTTCGAATCCGAGTGAACCAAACTTTCCTCCACAGGTATATCTGAGAAATTTGGGTTCAATTTTCATGAAAAGAGCGTAGAGAAGCTGCCCTGTACTCACACTCCTGCACTGCTGTAAATGCCAAACTGACAGAAGGACCTTTCATTCAGTAATGTTAGCTTCACACGCAAGTTACGACACTGACCTTCAAACCAAGGTTATGTATTTCATCCGACAACGCCTTGATGCCATTCGGAAACTTCTGTGGGTCCGCAACAGGAGCACCTGTAGCACTATCACGAGCAGGTGCATGCCAGCCTTGGTAAGGTGTGAGACGTCACAGCGTCGGGAAGTCCAAACATATCTCAGCTTACAGTCATCCATAAGCACATCTTCAGGCCAAAGTCGTTAGTGGTGCTTGAATGCTGAAATAGATAAAAGGAATCTACAGTTATATCCGAACTGGGTGAGGTTATTCGCGATTAAAGCCTTTGCTGCGTTGAGGATTGTAGCATCGCTAATGTCGCAACCGAAATGATTCCATGTGTTCCATCCCATCTGAGGTGTGATAGCGAGACCATTGTCGTGAGCTAAGACGTTACCCAGAGCAACCAACGAAAGTAATAGTTTTGGTATTGCCATCGTTGGAATTCTATCCGGGTATAAGTGAAAGAAGGACAAAGGGGACGCAGACCGTTCACCATTACTCACTACTTCTTATACAGCTTGATCGACTGTCCAGGTGCACTTCTTCATCATTTTATGATAGTCAGCTGGTACATGCGCCAGGAGGTGTTGTATGGAGGAAAACTGATCCACCTGTCGGCACTGGCTTCGACAACTACCGTTCACAATACCTCGACGGTCCGTATACAGACAGTGCCGAAACCCTGTGACGTGAATGGAAGGTGAGGATAGTAATTTATAGTAGCCAGGGTAGAGTAGCTTGACGTCGAGAACGCTGCACTTGACGCTGCATGACAGTTAGTTGCCCCTCCTGATTTCGGTGAATTACATCATTAGCCGGCATCTCGTGATCGAGACAATGTGGTATTCCATGTTGTGAGGGGATGGGCACCTAAAGATAGAACTACGCTGAATGCAACGAGCAACAAGCTCTTGACACACTGCCGTATACGTTTGGTAAGAGCCGAAATCCTGAAATCCGATCAGACGGTTCCCCTGCATCCATGGCTCGCTTTCACCCCTCTCCTTTTATGCCGCAAAGCCCTCGGAATGCTTGTCTATAGATTATGACGGAGTAGCGTATTTTGATACACGGACTGTGAACAACAGCAATCTTAGCTCTTGTTCTTAAGTTGTAACCCCGGCAAGCTGAACATCTACGACATAGTCACAACAATCATTAGCTTGGCTTAAATGAAATGCAGCAGTAGGAGGTCTACCTCAAAGATTGTCTCAGATGGTACGCCCCAGCCGCGCACGCCTTCAATGCTATTGTCCATCCGCGACCCAAGAACTACCCCGACCACAGCTCCGCTTTCTTCATCAATTATAGGACCACCACTTGACCCAGGGGTAGGCAGCGGTTTGAACAAAAGATGCGTCAATGCATCATATGTACCAGGCTAACAAACCGACAATGACCATCAATCTACTAGAGATGTCGATTCAGAAAAGCGACGTACATGTGCTTCTCGACCTGCAAAGTCACGATACCCTAGCACAGTACCCTTCACCCATTTACTCCACGTACCACCGATCCAGGGTCTCCAGCCTTCTTCGTTTGGTTGTTTGTCGACTATGAAGTGAGCGCGAATAGATGCACCGGGTTGAGCAGGATAAGGAGAGATTGGAAGCGTGCGGATACCGCTGCTCACAGCAGACTTCGAGGTTGAGAGAAGGAGTAGATCTGCTCGGTGTAATGCTGAAGGGACAGAGGTGACAGGATGAAAAGCAAGTGATTCAGACGTTCCTGATATGATAAGAGAGCCTGACTTTGAAGAGCTGGATGTGGTAAGAATTGGACTCGGGGGTAGGGTGGTCAGGACAGGGGAATGGCGAATCTAAAACTGATTTGTATCAATATGAGGTTTCATGGGGGTTATTCAACTCACCTCTTCCAACGTATGCGCGCAAGTAACAATCAGAGTCTCTTCCGATGGTTGCTCCTCCTCACGAGCGACATCAAGTGCGAACCCTGAACACACTGTTACTTTATGTTGTGCGCCATTCTGTACGGCGTGTGCAACCATGATAACGTCTGAATCATCAGAAGCATCGAATTTGGTCCGTCTCTGACTCGACGGTCTTGATTCATAAGGTAAGGAAACATCAAGCACGGTCCCAGAGTGGTCGGTATACTGGTCGATGAGTGTAGGCAGGGAAGGACTCTTGCCATCAAGAGCTGATAGAATGCGCTTGTTTAGACCGGAAGGAGTTGGCAGCGGAGGAGCTGGAGTGTCTGCATTGGCTGGTAACTTTGGCGGTTTACCGATGAAAGTGGTCGTCCCGACGATAGCATAACTCCTGCAACCAGCGCGAAGAGATGTCGATGAAAGACATCGTGGACTCAGTTTGGTGACCAGTTGCATGTTTTAATGTGAAGCTTTCACAGACAACGATCAAATCCAGTACTACAGTATTAGACTTAACATCCGATTCATCATTTGGGACATTGGGGGTACCTGCGCAGTCACATATGACGTCGGTACACAGCGTATGAGCAGCAATGACTATATTCTAAATCAAGCAAGATATGTACGGTATATCGACTGTAATAGATGCTCTAGCAAAGCAAATCGAGGGTAAATTTACTCTGTAACAACAACGCTCCATGGGCTAGGAATGTTTCCGACCTGGATGCCAACCAATTGCTTCCAGATAGGTCGTGATACAGGGCCCATACCATCTGGCCCTGTAGGGATGTGAATGTCTTCACCGAGGTAACCGATCTTGTTCACGGGGCTTATGACAGCAGCGGTTCCTGTGAAGCACGTCGAAAGCTAGATCAAGAAGCGAGATAGTTAAATAAGACATACCAGTACCGAAGAACTCGACGAGAGATCCCCTCTGAGCAGCTTCCTTGACTTCCTTTATCGTGATGGGACGCTCGTTGACCACGAATTTGCTCGGTTCTGGGAGACCTTCGAGAATGACCTTGCCTGATGCATGGTCTCGTGCCAGAGCAAGGGTCGAATCACGAGTGATACCGGGAAGAATCATGCCATCCAGAGGAGGTGTGACAAGCTCGGTGACTGAACAAAAGTCAAGTGAAAACGTCAGCGTCAAGGCAGACATATCTTGAGGCACTCGATTACTAACCGCCATTTTCATGTTTGAACACAACGAAAGTGTTCATAGTGCCAACCTCAGTGATGTGATGGTCAGGGCCATGTAGCCAGAGGTTCTGTGCGTAACCTTTTTGTGCAGCCTCTTTTTGAGCAACAACTCCTGGTGCGTAGTTCGCGCCAAGCTTGAATGCGCCAGTCCCTATAAGTCGCAATATTAAATATCAGCTGACATAAAGTCAACAGTTGCATACCTCCGGGAGCGGCACGAGAATATTCTGTTGTACCATACAATGCGATGGGTTTGAAGCCTTCAGGGTAGTATGGGCCTACAGGGCTGCAAATGACGAATAGCAAGGCCTGGTTCGGAGGCGCAACACCCAAAGCAGGTTGTGTGCCAACTAATAAGTGCAAGTCAGTCTCGACAATGCGTATATAAGATCCAGGGTGGACACTCACTCAAGGTGGGACGGATATAAAGACTATAGCCGGGCTGGTCAGGTATCCAATGTTTGTCAATCTGAATGAGGCGCTTCATAAGCTCAACCAAAGCATCCCCGTCGAACGTCTGTATGGCTAATAAGTGGTTTGAGTTAGGCATAGTAGAAATGTAGCGTACAGGCAAAGCGACACGTTTTGCACTAGTGTTCATACGCTTCATGTTCATGTCAGGCCTGAAGAGCGTCACTTTGCCGCCAGGGTGGCGATAAGCTTTCAAGCCTTCGAATAGCTCCTGGGCGTAATGGAGGACAGTAGCACTGGGTTCTATTGAGATAGGACCGTCTAATTCAAAATCAACCTTAGATGGAGGATGTGCACTTGTCACAGTGCAGTACTTTCTTACACGGCTGAATCTTTGGATTTCCCCATCCAGAGTTGGCCGACCACGGAATGGTCAACATATGATCGGTCTGCAGAAGTAAAGCTGATGAGTGAGTGTTTCTTGCATGTAACATTGCGTCATGGACTGACAAATGTATGTCCGAACACGAGATTAGATGCATTTGGAGTCTGTTTTGGTTGTTTTGTCTGAATAATTTCCAGGCGAGAGAGCTAAAGCAGTTGTCTGGATTAGATACAATTGACATTCATTCAGTTAGAGATAGATACCTCGATGTCTGGCAGCGCTGTGAGTTCTCCTGTCATAGGATCTCTGGATACCGTTGAATTGAGTCTGCGTGATAGATGCCATGCTGGCGATGTCCTTGAGATAAATCTGTGAGCCGAAGAGAGGGATCGCAAGGTCCTGAGGGAGGACATGGTGGCCAGTAGTAAAACGGACTTGAAGCTATTGGTTCTTGTACCCGATCGAAGCAAGTTCCGCCCAAACTGGACCCGAGTCACCGACCGACCGACAGTGCCTGTCACAGACGCGCATTGTCACGGCAGCGTCACATTGTCACAAATAGACGTTACAGTTAAGCGTGGCAGGATGCTTGACACGGTTAAGCGAAGGTGAGAGAGGTGCAAGCGGAGAATGGCAGCTATCGGAACGATCTCTTGTTGTTTTGCAGACCGTGGTGTGAGCGTACTGCGGCCCTCTGCGGGGATTTGGGGTTTAACGAATGTAAGAGGGGTGATTATTCCCGCGGTTGCCTTCCCCCGGACCGTAATCTCATCGACATCACCACATAACGCATCTTGTAAGCATCCCTCAAAACAAGCCCCAACGACTTCACCTCTCTCCTTTCCTCACAACCACAACCACATCCTTCTGCCTTATATTTACACACAATGTCTCAACCAGTGTAAGTCCTTTCTTGTACACGTAACTACCATACAAGGTAGCTCATGTCCCAATAGAGGCGACATCGGTCTGATCGGCTTGGCCGTCATGGTACGCATATAGTCACCAGCAGCACCAATACGATAATCATACCGGTATGTAGGGCCAAAACCTCATCCTTAACATGAACGACAAGGGCTTCACCGTTGTTGCTTACAACCGAACGACAAGCAAAGTCGACGCCTTCCTTGCTAACGAGGCAAAGGGTACAGGAGTTCAATCCCGAGTTTTCGGGCTACGCTGAACAGCTTTCAACCTAGGTACCAAGATCCAGGGCGCACACTCCGTTGAGGAGCTCGTTTCCAAGCTTAAGCGACCCCGTAAGATCATCCTTCTCGTGAAGGCTGGCCCTGCTGTCGACGACTTCATCAGGCAGCTTGAGCCTCATCTCGAGAAGGGTGATATTATTATTGACGGTGGTAACTCTCATTACCCTGATACTATCCGTCGTAGCAAGGAACTTGAGTCCAAGGGTCTCCTTTTTGTTGGCTCTGGTGTCTCCGGTGGCGAGGAGGGTGCCCGTTACGGTCCCTCACTTATGCCTGGAGGTTCGCCCGCCGCCTGGCCAGCCATCAAGGAAATTTTCCAGGCTACTGCCGCTCAGGTCAACGGCGAGCCTTGCTGTGATTGGGTCGGTGAGGGAGGTGCTGGACACTACGTGAAGATGGTCCACAATGGTGAGAAGTCTTCTCACGGAAAGTGTGATGTTTTCTGACAACATGAGATTGCAGGTATTGAATATGGTGACATGCAGCTTATTGCTGAGGCATACGATATCCTCAAGCGTGGCCTTGGTCTCCACGAAGATGAGATTGCTGATATCTTCAACAACTGGAACAAGGGTGTTCTTGACTCATTCCTGATCGAGATCACTGCCAACATTCTCAAGTTCAAGGATGACGATGGCGAGCCCCTCGTCCCTAAAATTCTTGATCAAGCTGGACAGAAGGGTACCGGAAAGTGGACTGCCATTGCAGCCCTTGACGCTGGCATGCCTGGTGAGTAAATCTCGGCAACAGATACGATCGGCCTTTAAACTGACCACTTTCTTAGTCACCCTTATCGGTGAAGCCGTCTTTGCCCGTTGCTTGTCTTCCCTTAAGGAGGAGCGTATACGTGCAAGCAAAGTCATCGCTGGTCCTCAGAAGGAGGCCTTCAAGGGTGACAAGAAGCAATTTATCGATGACCTCGAGCAGGCGCTCTACGCGTCCAAGATCATCTCCTACACTCAGGGCTTCATGCTCATGCGCCAAACCGCTAAGGATGTATGCGATGTTTTCCCTTGAATCTCGTGCTTCATACTCATGATAGACACTAGCTTGGCTGGACCTTGAACTACGCTGGTATCGCTCGTATGTGGCGTGGAGGATGCATCATCAAGAGTGTTTTCCTTGGTGACATCGCCGCCGCCTACCAGAAGAATAGCAACCTTGAGTCGTTGCTCTTCGACGACTTCTTCAACAAGGCTGCTCACAAAGCGCAGCCTGGCTGGAGGCGTATCATCGCGCAGGCCGTTCTCTGGGGTATTCCCACCCCCGCCTTCTCCACTGCCCTTGCCTTCTTCGATGGCTACAGAAGTGAGGTCGTCCCCGCCAACCTTCTCCAAGCACAGGTATGTGTAACTGGAATTCGATTCGGAAGGCATGGTGCTGATGACACATGCAGCGTGACTACTTTGGTGCACACACTTTCCGCGTCGTGCCCGGCAAGGAGAACACCAAGCTCAAGCTCGGTGAAGACATCCGTACGTACCATAAGCTCCCCTGTTTGCCCTTTCTAACCTGTTATATTGGTTAGACATCAACTGGACCGGTCGTGGCGGTAACGTCTCTGCCTCTTCATACAGTGCGTAAGGGCTTTGCGTTCCTTGTGTTCCGCGCGTTGTCTTTCTTGTATCTATCTGTGTCTCTGAGGGAATGTAACAAATAAGAAGGAAGTACGAAAATGGGGTCGGTACGATAGTTTGTAGAAGTCATCATAGATCTCCATCAATGAAACATACGCTTTCAACCTTACTGAGTAAGGCCTTCGATGACCACTCGACTGCGTGGAAGTTGTATTTCGCGGAGGAGGTTGTTTTTCAGCTTTTTCAATCTTTTTTTCTCCTTCGCGATCGTTCTGTGTTCCTTCGCTATCCGAATTAGGAAGGCATCAAGTAACTTCAAAACTTTCATGTGCGGCATCCTCTTTTGCTGTGAAGACGTTCAGTCGATTCAAGAGAACAGCTCTCATGAATTTCAAGAACTTTTCGAAAGATTGAAGGATGCTAATACATCTCGAGGTCTGCATACTCACCGCTCATGGTATTGATTGAGAGTCACTGAGATCATACATTGAACAGGGCCTGATGCACAAGACTCTGTCTCGACATCGGTGAATGGTGTGAGGCTCACTTTCTTCGCATCTGAACTACACCTTCGTGGTTCTGCTTTTGTCTCCCAGCCACACCGAGATGATGCCGCTAATGTGCTATGTTGGAACGGCGAGGTAAGCGCCTGTGTTTGCCTACAACCTTGCTCCTTCACTTACCGAACATGTAGATCTTCGAAGGACTAAACGTGAGTTAATTTTGGAAGTATCATCTGTGTTGTATTCCTCAACGTCGCTTTACGTAGGTTTTACCAGAGGAGAACGATGGTGCAAGACTCTTCTCATTGCTCCAAACCGCTCAGACTTCGGAGGATGCCAGGGATATCTTGGGCAGTATTGAGGGTCCGTAAGTTCTTTCACCATGCTACTTCTGCCTTTACATCGACTTACAATGCGGAATGGAACTCAGTTATGCCGTCGTCTACTACCATGTAAGGCGTTCACTTGTTCTTGGATTGTGTTTCAGTGATTCTGACAAGTCTTGTAGCATGCCCTGCAAAGACTTTTTCTCGCTCGCGATCCTTTAGGACGACGCTCGCTCTTGGTCCATATGCCTGATCCACGAAATCCACGGTTCCTGGTGACGTCTGTCTCGGTGGGAGCACATCCTTTGTACAGCCTCGAGGAATTGTCAACCCAATCTATCTTTTGCATTGACATAAAACGCTTGGGGAATGACCGGGTGAGTCGGGGGAAACTTTATATGAAATGCTATTGTTGACACTTTGAGTACAGATGACGAGATTTAGTGAATGTTTGCACCGTATGCCTCGACAAAGTGCAGAGAAGCCTCTACCTTTTGTTCGCAAATTTCTTTTGGTGTTCATCTTCCTTCGCTGACGAGTAGCGTATATACAGGCGGAGCCACGCAAAGTCAACCGTTCCATTCCAGGAGAAGTGCCTCTAGTTGAAGACCTAGATCACATACCTGAGCACCTTTCGGTAGCCGTCGATGATCTAATAGCCCATCTTGACAGGAGCGTCATGCTTCGTGTCCGTGATATACCACAACATAAGTATGTCATTGCGAGCATATTCCTCGTTAAAGTTGCTCATATACTTCAACAGTTCGAACAAAGGAAAGGCGAGAGTCGCTATCCTTTTCAGCGGTGGTATCGATTCTACTATGCTAGCATACCTGGCGCACAGGTCTGTCAACTCGCTACTTTCAACCGTATTCCGACCGCTCAATGTTATTCAGACATGTCGACCCTCATGAACCAATAGATCTCTTGAATGTTGCATTTGAGAATCCCAGAAAACTCCTAGTTCAAGCAGAGGGAAACATAGGAGCACTACCACGAAGAGAAAAGAAGGCAAAACTCAGAGATCGCAAGGATTACATGTCTATTGACGTGACATACACTGTTCCGGATAGACTTACGGGTCTTCAGGAATTGGAAGAGCTTAGAGAACTGTGTCCTGGGCGAATATGGAACTTTGTAAGGTCGCAGAACGCCGGAAATGATGGTGCTTACTGACTGTTTGTCACAGGTAGAAGTCAATGTCCCATACGAGGTAAGCATCTCGAGGCTGCTGCCTTTGCGTTAAGTCTGATACATGACGTAGGAATGTCAAGGTGCCCGGGCGACAGTGGAAGCCCTCATGTTCCCAGGGAGGACCGTCATGGATTTGGTAAGGTATACTGCTCGAATCCCGAAACATTTCGTCTGACTTTATGTGTACAGAGTTTAGCAGTAGCTCTTTACTTCGCTGCCAGGGGTGTAGGTCAAGTTAGAGATATTGCGGACGCGGACCCAAGACCATATACGAGCACCGCTCGTGTCCTACTCAACGGATTGGGTTCGGATGAGTTGTTGGGAGGGTATGGGCGACATCGAACTGCTTTCAAGGCTGCTGGATGGCAAGCAATCATAGATGAGGTACGCATCTATAGGTCTCATGGAAGGTCAGTCAGCCTGACTGATTACAATACCAGCTTCAACTGGAAATAGATCGTATACCAACTAGAAATCTGGGAAGGGACGACCGAGTGATATCGTCTCACGGGAAAGAAACGCGCCACCCTTTTCTTTCATTATCCGTAGTTTTCTTTTTAGCACAACTTCCGGTTCAACACAAGTTGGATCCGCGACTTCCGCCAGGTCTTGGAGAGAAGATGCTCCTGCGACTTGCTGCTCGAAAGGTTGGATTGGTAGAGGCCAGTGCGAGAAAGAAACGAGCGATGCAGTTCGGGAGTCATTCTGCACGGATGGGGCCTGGAGAAGGAGATAGAAAAGGGGATCTGTTATTGGGAGAGTACTAGAGTCGTGGTTTATGATGCTCTACTGTCAGTCGTAATTTCGCATGAAGGCGTAAGAATATAACCAGCATCCTGAGCTGTATATAATGTTCGTCAAAGGACTCCGGTAGCCGAGCCGACGCGTGTGACGCCTGGACCTACGGAAGACGTGTATGGGCGTCTACCTAGTTTACTTTGCTTGACCCTAACATCATTCGCCATGTCTTTGCAGCAAGTAGCAAGTCGTCTCATAGGTATGAACATCGAGTTTCGCGTCTCTATGCTTAACTCAAACGATACCTCCTACCGTAGTTCCCGTTGCCGTCGCTGCTGCTCTAGTACAAGCTAGCATCTATGATGTCCCAGGAGGTTACCGTGCGGTCATGTTCGATAGGTTCTCCGGTGTGAAGGACGTGGTGAATAGAATGATACACTCTTTTCTCACACTACACCAGCTAACAAGGTCTCTTTTACTTGTATGTGTAGGCCAAACCCGAGGGCACCCACTTCTTGGTTCCGTGGTTGCAGCGAGCCATTCTCTATGACTGCCGCATCAAGCCAAGGGTACGTCGTATCCTGACACACATCCTTTTTACTGTTTACGCTTCGAATTTAGAACATCCCTACTACCACGGGTTCAAAAGACTTGCAAATGGTCTCTATAACGCTGCGTGTGATGTCTCGACCGGACGTGGAACACCTCCCAAAAATCTACCAAAACTTGGGCTTGGACTATGATGAGAGGGTATTGCCCTCCATTGGTAATGAGGTCCTGAAGAGTATTGTGGCGCAGTTTGATGCTGCTGAGTTGATTACGCAACGAGAAGTTGTGAGTATTTATGCACCCTCGCAATGTCGGTGGGCCCTGACAGTCTTGGACAGGTGTCGTCTAGAATCCGCGAGGATTTGCTCCAGCGTGCTGGGGAGTTCAACATCAAACTCGAGGACGTCTCAATCACACATCTGACTTTCGGCAAGGTCCGTTCACTGTCTCCCGTGTACACTTCGACGGTTGTACTGACCCACTGTATTTAGGAATTCACACAAGTATGAAATGTATGTTTTATGTGGTAAGATTGTACCTGACAAGGTTCCCATAGGCTGTTGAAGCCAAGCAGATTGCGCAACAAGGTAGGGTTGGCATTGCAATGTGCTTATTCAAGCGACTGATCTTGGTATTTTCAGACGCTGAACGTGCAAAATTCATCGTCGAAAAGGCGGAGCAGGAACGTCAAGCGGCAGTCATCCGTGCGGAAGGTGAGGCTGAAGCAGCCACGACAATTTCTCAGGCTTTGAACAAGGCGGGCGAGGCATTTGTTGCGCTCCGAAAGATCGAGGCAAGCAAGGCAATCGCACAGTCGCTTGTGGGGAATCCAAATGTGACATATATTCCGAGCGGAGGGAACGGGGTGTTGTTGAATGTGCCTACGCAGGGCCGGTAGTATATTATGGTTCTAGTATACGACTAGCAGTTTGTACCAAGGTTGGCTGAGTCAATTCATTTTTCCAAGCACGGGCGGCTATGCGAGTGTGCCTGCCGGGGATTTCCGCGCGGGGAGGATTGCTGAGTCGGGGCGTCTGCGAGCCTGTCCATCGTCCTCGTCGTTGTTCACTGACTGTCATCGTCTCTGGTCTTTTCTCCTCTTTCTTCTCCTTTTCTCCTCTCTCTCGTCTCCTCTCTCGTCTCCCTCTCTCCTCATTCAGTCTCTATCCTCTCTGTCTCATATTTGCCTTGTCTAAACTTCTCAGTGTCAATTTTCGTATTGTAATTATCGCAAGACATCGCTTGCTTTTCTGACGTCAATGCTGATCGTATTTTATTCTCCAGGCCTAACGATTTCATTATCTTCCTGTCGCCATGAATCCAATGAGTCCCATGGGAGCGGCTGAGGCCCCAGTGAGTCTCACATTCACGCTTTGCGTACGAGCCCTTGACTGAAAATACTCCTTTTTCTCGATTGATTACATGCAGAGGCGGGCTCATCTCTACGTCGGCAATTTGAGTCCCAGGGTTACCGAGTACATGCTTACAGAGATCTTTGCCGTGGCCGGACCCGTACAACATGTTAAAATCATCCCCGATCGCAACTACCAACACGGCGGTCTCAACTATGGCTTCGTTGAATACATGGATATGCGAGCCGCTGAAACCGCCTTGCAGACCCTCAACGGACGCAAGATCTTCGATACCGAGATCCGTGTCAATTGGGCGTACCAGGGTCAACAAAATAAGGAGGACACTAGTGGTCACTACCACGTCTTTGTCGGTGATCTCAGCCCCGAGGTCAATGACGAGGTTCTAGGAAAAGCCTTCAGCGCATTCGGTACCCTTTCCGACGCCCGTGTTATGTGGGATATGAACTCGGGCAAGTCCCGCGGTTATGGTTTCCTCGCCTTCAGGGACAAGACCGACGCCGAGCAAGCCATCGCCACTATGAACGGTGAATGGCTTGGTTCTCGTGCGATCCGTGTCAACTGGGCAAACCAGAAAACACAGGGTGCGCCTGCCCCTGGGGTCCGTCCCAGTGGAGGCATGGGCGGTGCTCCAGCTCCCATTAACTTCCAGGGAGGGCCGCTCTCGTATGAGTCTGTCGTCCAACAGACGCCTGCTTACAACACCACCGTTTACGTTGGCAATCTTGTGCCATACTGTACTCAAGCCGATCTCATCCCCCTCTTCCAATCCATCGGCTACTTATCCGAGATTCGCATGCAAGCCGACCGCGGCTTCGCTTTCGTAAAGTTGGACACACACGAGCACGCCGCGATGGCCATTGTGCAGCTTCAGGGTCAGATGGTCCACGGTAGACCCATCAAGTGCAGTTGGGGGAAAGACAGAGCTGACGGAGGTGCTGGACTGTCTTCTGGTTCACTGAGCCCTACCCCTGCTGCCGCAGCTTACAACATGGTAAGCCCTTTGCATGGTGTCCGTATTGTCTTTGATTGCTCACTCGATTCAAGCCTATGTATGGCATGCCCCAACCCAACACGTATGGCCAGTATGGATTCGGTGAGCATCTGCAGTCAAATGCCTTCATCATTCTAACTAACGCTTCCTGGCAGCAGCACCTGGACTTGGTAGCCCCGCAGCTCCTACCGCTACTGCTGCCATGGGTATAGGAGCAGGTGTGCAAACTGGAGCTGCAGACCCCAACGCGGCCGCTGGGCAGGCCGCGCAAGGGCAGTGGCCCAGCGACTACTACTCTAATTATTGGGGCGGTGAGTACTTTGTGTCGTCCTTCAACAAGGTTCTGATATGTTCTCGCCAGGGTACTATGGACAACAAGCCGCTGGTCAACAGGGCGCGGCAGATGGTCAGCATCAAGGCGCTGCTTAACTTCGTGCTCGTTTTCTTGTCAATCTTTGGCCGTTGTATCCATTGTCAGTTTGTGTTTCGTTTAAGTGTGCTAGTATGAATCGATGTTATGTCTTTTAGCTGACCTCAGGTGATTCTATAGGAGCATTCGCTCCCGTGTGTCGTTACTGATAGGTGCTGTGCTTGAACGATCGGATAATAATAACGACAGTGTTGCTTACATTTGCAATGCAGTCCAAGTACTAGCAGTCGGACTGGCGACGAAAATTTCTGAACGAATGACTAGCGGGTGTAGATTGTGACAAACAGTACGACATGCAAGCTGTCAACCAACTACAACGCGTCTCCACCTGTCGCGTCACCGGTGGTCGAGAAACCACCTCCTCCTCCATTGATGCCCGGAGTATTATTGATATTCTCACCGTCTTCTGCAACGTTCGTGACATGACCACCCTGGGCATCTCCAGCGGAACCGGTGAACGCGTTGCCTCCTCCGTTAAGACGCTGGATTGAAGGTGCTAGTGATATAATCCGAGGAGTAAGTCACAAATAAGTGTTATAGGAAGGTAGACTTACGAGGAGGCGCGGGGCCATTTGGGGCACCAGGCGGAGGAGGGGCACCAGCAGGACCCGGAGGACCAACGGGAGCGCCACCGTTACCGCCAAAAGGGGGACCGTTTCCACCACCATTTCCACCGCCGTTTCCACCACCATTTCCACCACCGTTTCCGCCACCGTTGTTGAAAGGGTTAACGTCACCCTGGTCTATATTACCGCCATTGGCGGTACCTACCGAACCAGAGTATGCATTACCTCCTCCGCCGTTCAGGCCACCACGGCCACCTTCTGCATCTCCAGACGTGGCCTGACCGCCAGTTCCTGCAGCTCCACCAGCGTTGTCGATATCTCGCTTTCTAGGTACGAAATCTCCGGCGTCACCCCCAGTCGCGGTACCGCTAGTGGTGAACCCACCATTCCCAACAGTGTCTGGAGCAGTGTGTATGAGATGCTGCAGATGATTACCGACGTGTGCTCCGACTTACTGCTGCCCGCCCCATTGGCGATGTTACTGGTCCCATAGTTGGCAATGTCACCACCATTTGCATTTCCTGCCGGCCCAGTGTATGCATTACCGCCCGAGCCACGACCACCACCGTTACCACCGTCGGCATCTCCTGTGAAAGTAGCTCCACCAGAACCGGAGGTATCTTGAAAAAAGAAAAACAATGGGTATGCTGTAAAATATCAACGTTTTTATACGCACTTGACGCGGTATTCGTGATGGTATCCGTATTATCCTCGGATTCGTTGTAAATAGAACCGCCGTTGACATCGCTACTGGAACCAGTGAAGGCGTTACCGCCTGCAGTTTGACTGTCGTCTACGCGAGCGTGCTGCTTGTGTGTATGGGGAGCACGAGATTCTCCATTCACGACATCGAGCTGGCGAGTGGCAAGTTGAGGAGTGTGAGGCACCGCAGGAGCAAGTCCAGAAGCTAGATTAGGGGACGCAGGGGCGGCTGAGACAAGACTAGGGCTGACGGCAGCTGCAGCTACTATGGAAAAGGCGATGATAGGACTGCGCATGTTGGGATAAGTCTTGAGTAGTTGCTGTTGTTGACGAGTATTAAAACGAAACCTAGAATAGAGAAGGTGAGAGAAAGAGAGAAAGACGTCTTGAGGATGTCTCTCGCAGGGATCACACTTATATACAGGCGGCGGGCAAGTTCGTATCCCGCCGTGTCTTCTCGACATTGACCTGACCTCCAATAGAAGACCTTCCCGTTTAGGCAGGTATATCGCCCAAACAGGACTTCTTCTCCAGCCTCCACAACGGAGGCGCCCGAAGGATCCAGACGAAATGGCACGATGAGAAGAACGATCGCGGGCTTTCTCCAAAGATGTTGTACGTCGTTACTAATAAAATAGGCATATGGAGAAGTACTGCTTGTACATTTGCATCAAGCTTGGCAGCTGCGCTTGCTTGCCCACGCGGATGATGCCTTTCCAGACGATCGTCGCACTTGAAACGTCGTGAGTCCATAATCGCGTTGCTGTGGCTTCTGAACGGATGATTATGCTGTAAGTAGATCAAGTAGAGCTGATTATCCCACGATTAGATCCATTTCCTGAACCTTTGGAAGTCGTTCATCCTCGGGTCGTATTAAAGCTTGTTCGCTGAACCCGCACTGCTTCCATCTGGTCCCATCCCTTCACAGCTCTCAGTGCACAATACCTTCAAGTCGAGCATCTTCCGACATCGACATGGAATTCGCAGCACGTCTTCACTCCTGCTTCCTTTGCCGGGACCGCGTGTTTGCACGTTCCTTGCTCGTCATTTTTCGATGGATAACGATGCATATTATCGTTTGCTTTAGCATATAAAGAATGACATTGGGGATGAATTTTCGATACTCAATACAACCCACCGCCTGTTCTTCCCCTCTCAATTTCAAATTTTCACACTCAAATGCGCACCTTCTTCTTTCTCCTTGTCCTCGCCGCTGTCTGCGGTTCCTTTGTCGCTGCTGTGCCTGCACCGTCAAGCAGATCAGTCTCACGACCCCCACATCTCCCAATACTTGGTACTACCTCTCCGAGTGCGAAGGCAACGGTGGTGATGCAACAACGGGTAACTCCGGCGACGTGAACGCAGGAAGCGTCGTCAATGACCGTGACACCGTTAACAACTCGGGTGCCGATAGCAGTCAGTTCACCCTCTCATCTTTTCAAAGCTTATAACTCATGGGTATGTACCCTGCCAGACGTTGCTCCCCAGGGTGGCCAAACTTCCTCCGGCGCTGCCGTCGCAGGCAGTGGTTCAGGATCTGACTGTGGCGGATCTGGATGCTTCTTCGGGTAGTTCAGGAAATGCCAATGGTGGTTCCGTCTGTAACGCTGGGGGAGATATTATCAATGCCGCTGGTAGTAGTACGTACTATTTTCTGCTAATTTGTTATTACGTTTTACACCTTGGCTATGAAACGTTCGTAGATTCTGCTGGGGCTGGTGGTACATCTTTCAGTAGCGATGCATATGGTGGAAATGCATCCGACGGCGATTAGCCACCTGCTGTCGACAAGTAAAGAGGAAGTTATATTCTTAGTTACATCGGCATAATCAACCTCGTATTCGTAATCACCTTAATATGGTCGACTAGCACTTGGATCTAGGAGTTTATTTAACTTCTTGCTGCGATTTGTTCAACGCTAATGCCTACAATCTACTACTCGCTTAACGTAAGTAGCAGGGGTGAACTCGTGCAACGTGACGGAAGATTTTGCTCGGAACGTGAACGCGTCTCCAAGCACGGTTACAACTTCCGTTTCCGTCAACCGTCCACAGAATCTCCTTGCATATAAAGAGAAGCAATTGCAGCTACCTCACTTTCTGTCTTTCTTTATCCATTAGCTATGCGTCACTCCACACTTTTAGCCAGCTTCGTTCTATCAACTGTCAGCTTTGTTCCAGCCGTCCTTTCGTCCACGCATCGGGTAGCGGCCGATGTGGATATGCCTGCCGCATTGAAAAGTCTTCCACTCTCATCACCTGTGAGCGACGAAAGAGGTACTGAGGCAGAGAGATTTCAGTCTAGCAGCCATCGTAAAACTTCCCCTGGTAAATCAAAGGGAGATGGCACTAAATGGAAAGCTCCCATCCCTGCTGAAGATATCAAACCTTCTACAGATATCAGCACAGAGGACGGGGGGTTCATTGTCCCTGATGTTCTATCAATACCCTTTGTGTGGCTGTTCACATCTCTTCTGGAGAAAAAGGGCCTTCGCGACGGTGCTTCAGGCCACATGCCAACCGACCAATCAAGTTCCACCAACGTGGACAAGAAGCGTTCACGCTCGTCACGTTCTACAAAGGTCAAATCAAAGGAGGATTTATCCGAATTTCCGTATATTCCTCACCTCCCCTCTCCGAATACTATTCGTCGCCACCATCGTCGTATCATGCAGTCCTCCGCAATGCGCGAAGCCATGCAAGCGAAAGCATCGGTCGCTTTTCCAGTACAGAAGAACGGTATTGATGGTTCAGAGGGCACGTCAAAGGAGCCAATTAAAGGCACCGATAGCGGGCGTAGCAGTAAGAAAGTTGAGGCCCCAATACAGACTAGGGAGATGCAAAAGGACAAGCCAAGCGACAACGGCGGGACAAAAAGCTCACCGATTCGAGGATCGAACGCAGAGACGAGCCGCACTTCTCCCTCTCAATCTGGTGCTAAAAATGATCCTAAGTCAACTAGATAGAACGGCTCGTATAGCAGGAGACCCCGCAAGATGAGGAGAAAGGTATCAAAGTGGCGTAATCTTAGGGGTCTCTCGAGGTCCAAAGCGTTCGACAGGGAGCGTTGTTGACCGGATATTCTTTATTAGACAGTATGATAAAATAGCTTTGAATTGCTGCACACCGACAGCTCTGTTTTTAACGAGGTTAATCTGTTTTTAATGAGGTTGATATACCAAAACTCTGAAAGTACGTAGTATGGATTGGAGTGAGACATGTATGAAGTCAACGAAGGCGCTCAACAAAACGAGCGCTCATTGCTTCTCGATCAAAGTGATCGTGACAAACTGGCTCAAACAAGACCTTGCATCGCTGCGGCCGCACTGCGCAGAGTGTCCTCCCCCGCAGTACTACCAATCGCATCCTTTAAATACCATGTTGCCTGCTTTACCGTTGACTTTGTTTCCCTCTTTTCCGATAATTCTCCTTCGAGTCTGGCTGAACTGGGAATCCACTAGCTGAATGTCTTCCTGAGAAAACTTTGTACTTGCACTGCTCCTTACCACCATTGCTTAGGATAGTTCCCCTCTTCGCCCTGAAGGCGATGAGGACGGCTGTAGCAATAATGCTGACGAGCTCTTCATCAAAGACACATGGCGCCCGCCACTCTGCTTCCGTTGCGTATTCATTTGGCTCAACCGTTAGCCGATCCGTACTACATACTCAGCTTTCTGCGGGTCTTTCATCGGTTGAGGGTAGCATCCCGAAACACCCAAGTAAAGCGGGCGGGATGTCCTGTGTATTTGGAGTCTTCCGGGCACTGGCGCTGTAAATTCAAGGTTGGTAACGGTCAACCTTTAACTGGGCATGCTAACTCATGCGATACAGCTTCTAGTCACTGCTTGTGCCTGTATAATCGTAACCTCCACATCAATACTGATACAGGACATAAGATAATCTCGTTAGACCCGATCGTCTTTGCGGCAGGACGGTTACATTTCGGAAATCGGATCGGGAAGTATAACGGATCGTCTTCGCGGAAGTAGATCGCAGCGTAATATGTGATCTCCACGAGTGAGAGTCATGCGAGTGGATTTGGCATGCTTAGAATCTTGTCGATCATGTTTACTTACCTGCAACAGGAACAGGACGAGGTAGCGTATAGTAACACACTAGTCAAGGGGCCATCGTTGCACGCTTGTCTATGGCACCGATTTGTTGACGACACCAGTCATCATGGCAAGGTGGTTCATATCCGCCAATTTACCTTCCTTAGGCAAGACCGCGATTGCGGCTGCCACAATCGGTACGTTACTTTCCGCTTTGATGTTCCACATCCACATTCTAAACGAATGCATTTTGCAAGGGTCCTCATAACATGTCGAAACGCAGTTGCGGAGGGAAAAGTCCGGTGTTGAAGTGTCAGCATCGACACTTAGTGATGGTGTGTACGATGGCTTTACATTCAGCGTACACCGTCCTCTCAGCATCGCATCCGCCTCGTACCTTGGAGTAGGCGGAAGGAAGCGAGGAAGTGGTCAACGCTCGGTATAAACAACAACAACAACAAACCGAGCATCCGCCATCATCCGCCAGTCATCCACCTATAAAGCATGGGGCGAATGTGAGAGCTTTCTTACCGTTCTGATAATCACGCTCTAACACGTCAATTTACCAGTACTCACGAGGACACGATCTATCTTGTCCAAAACGACTGCACACTTCTCCATTTAACGATCCATCATGCGTAATTCATTTTTCAAAGCTTTCGTGATCATCGCTGCCGCTTATGGCACTGAGCTAGCTGAAGCGGCACCTCAGCGAAGTCGAGCTCCACGACCTGTACCTACCAGAGCTGCTCAACCGAACCGTCCGGGAAATCGACCTGGCACCGGTACCGGTACAGGAACAGAGCCTGGTACTGGTACCGGTACTGGTAGGGGAGGTAGACGTCCGCCTCCCGCTCCTCCCTCTCGACCCACTCGTCCCGCTCCTACTCGTGGCCCGGTTCGAGACCCTCCAGTGCCGCCTGGTCAAACTCAACCACCTGCTCCCACACCTACACCCCCAGCTACCACTCCAGCTACACCGGTCGTAACACCGCCTCAGACAACCCCAACAACTCCAGTGACAACGCCTCCGGTAGCTACACCGCCTCCTGTAGCTACACCTCCAGCTACCACACCTCCAGCTACCACACCTCCAGCTACCACACCTCCAGCTACCACACCTCCAGCTACCACACCTCCAGCTACCACACCTCCAGCTACCACACCTCCAGCTACCACACCTCCAGCTACCACACCTCCAGCTACCACACCTCCAGCTACCACACCTACCACACCCGTCATCACGCCACCCACGACTACACCGACCACGCCTGTGGCCACACCTCCTCCAACCACACCTGTAGTGACACCTCCTGCCACTACGCCGCCCACGCCCGTAGTCACACCCCCAGCGACAACGCCGACAACACCTATTGTCACACCACCAGCAACCACACCAACCACACCAGTCGTCACGCCTCCAGCGACAACACCCACAACACCGGTAGCGACACCACCAGCGACTACACCAATTACGCCAGTGGTGACACCACCAGCAACCACACCAACTACACCTGTTGTAACACCTCCTGCCACTACACCAACGACGCCTGTAGCCACGCCCCCAGCGACAACACCTACAACTCCAGTTGTCACACCGCCTGCAACCACTCCCACTACACCGGTAGTAACGCCTCCCGCGACCACGCCTACGACACCAGTCGTTACACCTCCAGCGACTACTCCGACCACGCCTGTTGTCACCCCTCCAGCGACCACACCTACCACACCTGTGGTGACCCCACCAGCAACGACACCGACTACCCCTATCGTCACGCCCCCAGCGACCATTCCAACGACACCTGTGGTCACACCGCCTGCCACCACACCTACCACACCCGTAGTTACGCCGCCAGCGACTACGCCTTCCACACCTGTTGTCACACCACCTGCAACTACCCCCACTACACCGGTAGTGACACCTCCAGCCACAACGCCAACTACTCCAGTCGTAACACCGCCAGCGACCACACCAACGACACCCGTAGTCACGCCCCCAGCGACGACGCCTACTACACCAGTAGTGACGCCACCTGCAACTACGCCGACCACACCGATAGTGACACCGCCAGCGACTACACCAACCACTCCAGTTGTGACGCCTCCGGCAACAAGGCCAGCAACGCCTGTCGTTACCCCTCCTGTGACTGCGCCGACGACGCCTATAGTGACACCACCAGCAACGACACCCGTTACGCCAGTGGTGACACCTCCTGCAACCACACCCACAACGCCTGTAGCTACACCTCCGGTGACCACACCAACGACTCCCATAGTGACACCTCCCGCAACTACTCCTACGACGCCTGTACAAACGCCGCCGGCTACCGCGCCTACCACTCCAGTTTCTACACCTCCAGTAACTACGCCAGTGACTCCGGTGCCTACAGCGCCTGTCACTCCAGTACCGACTGCACCAGTGACTCCAGTACCCACTGCACCAGTGACTCCAGTTCCTACAGCACCAGTGACTCCAGTACCCACTGCACCAGTCACTCCAGTACCCACAGCACCAGTGACTGCAGTTCCTACAGCACCAGTCACTCCTGTACCAACAGCACCAGTGACCCCAGTTCCTACTGCACCAGTGACCCCAGTGCCAACAGCACCAGTGACACCTGTACCCACAGCACCTGTCACTCCAGTACCCACAGCACCAGTGACCCCAGTGCCAACAGCACCAGCGACACCTGTACCCACTGCACCTGTCACTCCAGTACCCACTGCACCAGTGACTCCAGTACCCACTGCACCAGTGACTCCAGTTCCTACAGCACCTGCTCCAGTACCCACTGCACCAGTGACTCCAGTTCCTACAGCACCTGTCACTCCAGTACCAACAGCACCAGTGACTCCAGTGCCAACAGCACCTGTGACACCTGTACCCACAGCACCTGTCACTCCAGTACCAACAGCACCAGTCACTCCTGTACCCACTGCACCGGTGACCCCAGTACCCACTGCACCTGTCACTCCAGTACCCACTGCACCGGTGACACCAGTACCCACTGCACCAGTGACACCAGTACCAACAGCACCAGTGACTCCAGTACCCACTGCACCTGTCACTCCAGTTCCTACTGCACCAGTGACCCCAGTGCCAACAGCACCAGTGACCCCAGTACCCACTGCACCTGTGACCCCAGTTCCTACTGCACCTATCACTCCAGTACCCACTGCACCTGTCACTCCAGTACCCACAGCACCAGTGACTCCAGTTCCTACAGCACCAGTGACACCTGTACCAACAGCACCAGTGACCCCAGTTCCTACTGCACCAGTGACCCCAGTGCCAACAGCACCAGTGACACCTGTACCCACAGCACCTGTCACTCCAGTACCTACTGCCCCAGTCACTCCAGTACCCACTGCCCCAGTCACTCCAGCTCCTACAGCACCAATCACTCCGGCACCGGGACCGCAGAAACGTTCATTAGATCCGGCTCGTTACATGCACGGTACCTACGAGTATCACTGGGGTTCATACTTCCCTACATTCAATGCCGTTTCGCAGCTGCGAAAGGCCCTGACTTCGACGTTTGGCGGTGGCGAATTTAGTTCAGCAAAGGATAGATCTGATACCTCTGGACGCGCACCCGCGGAACAAAATACTAGAGGTCATGCTCGTCACTTCCCTGCGAAGCCGGAGTTCTCGCGGCTGTCATCATCGAGTGTGTCTTCGGCCAAGTTACCGAAGTGGAAGCACAATGCTCCCTCCTCCATCAAGATGCCTCCGAACTCATTCGAGAGAGAGCATGCTAAAACATCGTCTTCCCCATCTACCTCCAGTTCACAATCCAGCAAAATCGTTTACAACAACCCAGAATATTACACCCCATATGTTCAGGAATCACCTCCTCGCGCCCATAGTTCAGCGGATTTGAGGAAAACACGGGTTGAGATACCTGCTCGTTCTCCAGGTTCTCCTAGTATCTTCCCCCTCCCGTACATCGGCGCGCATTACTGAGGTGGAGAAAGGTTGTGGGGGTTACTTAGTCATTTGATACTTTAATCGTTCCCTATGTTATGTATTCTCTGGATCGCTTTCTTGTACTACTATAATTTTCCAATACCATCTCATCATTGTAGACTCTTCCGTGCACAGCGCAATCTTTAACTCAGAAGTTAAGCGTAAGACGGTTTCGATCGCTTGTCAACGTGCTTTAAAAGGCAGTCCAAATGCCAGCCTCAGAGTCTGTTGTTATCCTGTTCCACTCATACCTTTACTCGGTATTTTACAGCCTATAATCAATCCTCCACGCTCTTTATTCAACGCTTCTATATAGCTACAGGTAGAAGATGCAATCCTCCGTAGCTGCGTTTCTCTTGGTTGCGACCATATGTAACACGTGGCTTGTCTCTGGACTTCCCCTCCCTCGGACTGCTGTTTACTCAAACACTCTGACGACTCGTCCTGTTCCGCCTTCTCTCGAATCTAGAGCTTCTCAGGTTATCGACAATCCCGCTTTACGCGCCGTTGGTCTGGCGAAAGCGCCGGAGGCTGCTAAGGATTACAATACTCGTTCTGGCGAGCATTCGGAAGACGAACGAGCTCCATTCCCCAGTGAGAAACGGGCTAGCGACGACCAGACCGCAGGAGGAAATGCGTATACTGGATCTTCTGGCAATGTTTCTAGTGGGGATATCTACAATATCGCAGGGCCCGACAGCACGATCACGAATAATGGTGGAAGTAGGTGATGTTCGATGTCTTCGATGTTCTTTCCTGATTTTGCCCAGACAACGTCGGTATCGCTGGTCAAAGTCTTACTGGAAATGCTCGTGGTGGAGAAGGGAAGGGAAGGGGACCTGGCGGGAATGCTTACACCGGCGACGCTGGTGATGCGAATGGTGGCTCTGTTCACAACGACGCAGGAGTGGTGGAGAATATGGGAGACTCAAGTAAGTTAGCATGCATTGATACAATTGTATATGATGCTTATATTGCTTCTTTTTGTAGACAACGCTGGTCAAGGAGGCGTGTCTCAGTCCGGTATCGCTACTGGCGGTGGAAACTAGATTCTGGCTTTGCATCTACAAACATAGAGTTCTGATCTCCTACATGTCGCAATGGATATCTGTTCATTAATCCTCTTATTTAATGATCCCTTTTTGGCATTGGAACATCAACGCACATGGGAGTATAACGTCTTTCAGAACAACGAAGATTTAAGGGGAATGGTGGCTGGGTATAGTGACAAACGGAGGTATAGAACCGAAACTGAGCGCAAACGACTGCTCAAGTGCTGGCATGTGAATCTCCACCTGTAGCACATCCAGTCTCAGTTTCTCCAGCACCTCCCGCATTGTCTAAGGAGATTATCAGTCAGCCTCGATAGCGGGGAGTAGAGCGGAATGTACTGACTAGAGTCGACGTTAATCATGCCGCTGGGCGCCCCACTGACGCTGCCTCCGTGGGCAGTACCGCTGTTCCCACTGGATGCGTTGCCTCCACTTCCAGCAGAGCTAGTCTTGCCGGCGCCGGCACATCCTGACTTGGAGCCTCCACCCGTCCCGGCGTTGTTAGAGTTCATGTTCATGAGAGTGGGCATGCCTTCGTTCATGGTGGTGTCAGGGTTGTAGACGCTGCCGCCATCGACATTACCACTGTTACCGCTGTGGGCGTTGCCACCAAGGGTACCAGAATCATCCATTCGCTTGGTATGACTAGTATCTTTGAGTGTGGGAGAAATTTGGGAGAGAAAGACAGTGGAGAACTCACTGCGCAAGGGTATCAATGGTTTTCTTCCAGAACTCCCGTGGACTGAAGAGATATCGTGTTAGAAGGCAAGAAGATCGTGAGTGTGCAGGGATGGTTGCTTACCTGATAGACCATTCAGCGGGACCGTGGGTTTCGTCTCTAGCGAAGACTTCATTCATAAAACCTAAACCACTGAAGCCGCGAGAAATAAGGGAACCAGACCCAGAAGACGAGCCAGCCCCAGATCCGCCTGATCCATAATGGTGAGCGCTAGGAGTGTATGAGTCGGTGTGGTGAGTAGACACAGGAGCTGCGTTGACGAGAGAAGGACTGAGAACAGCGGCTGTCAAGAAGGAGACGGCGACGGCAGGCGTACGCATGGTGAGACGATGTTAGGTTGTGAAATGAAGGGCTAGTTGGATAGATAATGTGAGTAGAAACAAAGCTACTGCTTGAGGCAAACCGAAAGCCGATGATATTTGAAGCCTAGTGAAAGACAATGATGGAGAAAGAGAAGCGTTCGCACCAGCTCGTCTTTTCAACATCCCAACCCGGGAGGCTGACACAACTCTTGACCTTCCTCTTTTGGAACACACACTAGTCGGCAATTCGGCAGACGCTCACGGTTATTGAAGCGCAAGACACCAAAGCATGGTAGAACACGATCATATAGGATATCAAGCAAAGCACTGGGGTATTGAAAGCAATGAGAAGGCAAAATCGTACGGTAAATAAATCCAATAATAAGAGGGAAAATATGGTCACTCATCGACGATCAGCCATTCGGTGTCAGACTCACGTCCTTCTCCGCAGGAGACGGTGTCCCATCCTTCGTCGTCGATGATCCCGAGCCTCTCTTGTCCTCCGCTTTTCCCGACTGGAGCTCTTGTGGTACAGATTGTGCATCCGTGCGCTCGTCCCCGCCCGTGGAAGAACCTGTCCGCCAATTTATCACCGCTTGCCGTCGTGACTGCATATCCTCATAGAAATCATTTGCCTCGTTCATCTTGTTGACCTCCGCCTGCTTCGCATCCAGCCATCGTTGAAGGAGTTTAGCATTATCTTTGATCAGCGTCTGATTACGCTCCGCGATCTGGCTCAACTCCAATTGAAGAGTATTGATCTCGTCATGTAGAATCTTCCGCAACGGGTAAGCATTTTCATATCGAGATTCGGAATGGGGACAGACCTGAGCAGTTCTGTCTTTCTCCGCCATAAGTTCATTATGCTGATCCACCTTCCTCCGCAGGATTGAAATCTCTTCGCGAGACTTTCTGAGGCTCTCGGACTCCATCCGTGACAGTTCCTCCTTCTCTCGCAAAGTCTCAGTCATTGCAAGGAGCCTCTGGGCATTCTGACCCTGAGTCTTGTATACCGTCGCGAGTTCATCCCGAAGTGAAGAGATCTGCGACTCGAGAGACGTAATGTACGCAGCTCGAACAGGGTTGCTGTAACCAGCTGGTGAATATGATACCAAAGAGCGTAAGGGTGCCAACTCACTCCTCTGCAGTACCTGGCACAAAGACAGTTGAGCTGCTGGGATTTGGCCGGGCAGTGCCCATTGCTCTCAGAAGGGAAGCATTGCGTTCCCTGAGGAGCTTTGTTTGCTGGGCCAGTCTACGATCTTTTCAGCATTCCGGGTGGTATGCAAGCCATAGATCAGGATATGCACTGCAGAGGCAAAGACGGGCGCGTCTTATAAGAAAATAACATACATTGTTCGATTATAGGCGCATACGCCGACTCCTTTGCGTTGCGGTCGACGAGTCGTATGCGAAGAGTTTCTTGCCACGACGGCTCAGCCATAATGCTCTGAGGATCCAATAATTACAAGTTATTCCTGAGCTGATGCAAATTGTGGCAGAGAGCTGGCAGTTCAGACGGAGCTTGAATCTCAGATCGCGTTCACTGCGTAATCATTAGCGCGGGTGTCGTCGGGTCATTCAAGTCTCTCTCCTGCTCCTCTGCCACTTGCTCTTTCTCTCTGCTTTCATCCCCCTTGGCACATTACAACCTCTGAACTGCGCCAGTATACCATCTCTACCCATGGGTCGCGTTCTATTAAAGGTGCGAACTCTCAGTGGCATAGGAACACCACGACTCACCGTCCATTCCGTAGGTTATCATCCTTGGTGATAGTGGGTCCGTACTTCACTCTCATAGTCCTTTTGAAAACAACATTGAACCATATACCTTGTTCTTCAGGGTCGGGAAGACCTCCTTGATGAACCAATATGTGAACAAGCGATTTAGCAACCAGTACAAAGCCACAATCGGCGCAGACTTGTACGCTCCTAAGCATAGTCATGTCTTGTCTCTAACCCTTTCGACTTTAGCTTAACGAAGGAGGTTATGGTGGATGACCGTCTTGTTACTATGCAGGTGCGTCTTTAATTCTTCGTCTCTGTTATCCTGCTAACCCTCTACTTAGTTATGGGACACAGCTGGTCAGGAACGCTTCCAGTCTCTTGGCGTGGCTTTCTATCGTGGCGCAGACTGTTGTGTATTGGTGTATGACGTGAACAGTGCAAAATCATTCGAAACCTTGGATAGTTGGCGAGATGAATTCCTCATTCAAGCCAGTCCTCATGACCCAGAGAACTTCCCTTTTGTCGTTCTCGGTAACAAGATTGATATGGAGGAGAATAAGCGTCAGGTTGGAACACTGTATGTTTGACCTACCTTCTTATCGACTGAATATTTCGTCGTCAGGTCACGCAGAAACGTGCAATGACATGGTGCCAGTCGAAGGGCAACATCCCCTACTTTGAGACTTCGGCGAAGGAAGCCATAAATGTCGAACAGGCATTCCAGACCGTTGCGAAGAACGCTCTCCAACAAGAGGCAGAGGAGCAACTGTACGTCCACTTTTTGCGCAACGTCCATGTGTTATTTGACCATATACATGATATTCAGATATGTCGATTATCCTGATCCGATCAGGATCGATTCTGAGAGCTCGCAGAACTATGGCTGCAGTTGCTGAATCGCCTGACGGACTTCTTTGGACCTGTATCCTTTTATCTCATATTTCTCGTTTCCTCCTTCGTCATGCCACGACCCTCGCACGTTGTCCTTTCTGATGTTTGCACTAATATATCGACACCTTCGTTTCAAGTTGTTTTGTCATCTGTATATTCATATCCGCAATTGTGATGTTACTGGATTTTGTACTTTCGCAAGCTAGACTTCTTGGAATAACCTGACTGGTGCGGTACCACAATAAGGCAGGCAGCATAAATAGAGAGTGACGAAATACAAGGTGGTGCCTCGGCATCGCCGATCCATCTAGGCGTGCCCGAGTGATCTTTGTAAACGTTGCGTCTTGTGAGTACTTAAGACTCTACCCAGCTCCGAGCTCATTCATCTCTGCCGCGATGTGTTGGCTCTGGGACGTACTCCCGACATTGATGTACTACATTCCTGGCAATGCACATCTGAGGAGTTAGTATCTCACCGTTAGGCTAGTCCTAGCAACCAGTTGCAAGTGTCTTCGCTCCTTACCCCACTGCTATTCAATAAGCTGCTGTATGGGGAAATGGCAGCAATACGCAGCGTGTGATGCACCGCTGGCGCGAGCAGCCACAGAGATATCTTGAGGTACGAAGGTTGCGTCTCTGTCTACACTGCCTGTGGGAGACTACTGCAGCCCTACCGTGCCATAGGACCACGCGTTCCGCTCCATTGGTACATATTCAGACGTCCGACCTGGTTCAACTGCGGACCCGGTTAATTCAACGAGCTATTGTGGGTACTCTAATTCACATACCGTTGTATGCGTACTCAACATGACATTCAAAATGCTCATAGGACGACGTCACATGTCTTTTTTTATCATTTCAGTTCCATCATGAGAACGGGGGCAGAGATCCGCCCACGGGCCCCCGACAGATGAATGGCAGAGTTGCTATCAATAAGCACACTCTGTCTAGGTGTATATATAGCAAATTTTATGCCAGCATTCTTGGGCGATAGTTACGATCCCGAAGATACCCATCTCACGCTACTATGACCCACTTGCATTTACATCCTCCCTTCCGCGCAGACCACATTGGTTCGCTCAAAAGACCCCCCAGGCTCCTGCAGAAACGTGCTCTATTCGATGCGAAGAAGCTCAGTGCAGATGAATTAAAGGATGTGGAGGACAAAGCCATCCAGGAGATTGTACAGATGCAGCGAGAAGCCGGCATTAAGTCGATCACAGACGGGGAGCTCAGGAGGTAAGCCTAACATGCTATGAGGCTTGCGTCTGCATCTCAGGTGCACATTTGCAGACATATGTTCTTCGATGGAGTCTTCGACAATCTCGAAGGCATGAAGCATATACCGGAAGGTATGCCAATGCATTGGTTCAAGCAGCTGGTCTTCGGCTCATTGTAATCAGTGCCTCCTGAGATGTTCATGGTGAGAGTTTGTGGCTAACGATATAGTTGGAATCACTCGAGCTTGTCGCGAATATAGGACTATGTGCCTGATATCGCGGCGTTTAAGAAGCTCGATTTCAAAGGTGCGGATTCGTACGTCTGTGAAGTAAGACTGCTTTCTCATATTGTGTTCGAGGGTGATTTCACATCTGAATATCTAGGGCAAGTTACGGAGGACGAAGCCATTTTATGTACCACAGTTTGAAGCTCTGAAGAAATTGACTCTACCTGAGGTCAGTTTTGACGAAGGTGCCCGCTTCCGATGGGTCCATTGATTTCGTGCGTCATTAGGAGCACAAGAACCTGAAGATTACCATCTGTGCGCCTGAATGGTATCACTTGCGACATGGTCCTTATGCGTTCAATACAGAGGTCTACAAGTCTGACGGTATATGATTAATTCTCTTTGGATTCAAACGGAGTGATTAACCTATTGTCATCCACAGAAGAATACTTCGCTGACATCGCCATTGCTTACCAGCAAGAAATCCAGGAATTATATGCTGTTGGATGCCGTATATATTTTTCTCTCATTTTTATTGTCAAGAACGTCCTAACGGGTGCTGCTGTCAGGCAACATACAGTTCGACGATCCTCTTCTTGCCTACTTCTGCGCGGATTCTATGATTTCTGGCATGGAGGAGCGGGGGATTGACCACGACGCCTTGCTCGATCTCTACATCAAAACATACAATGACTGTCTCAAGAGCCGTCCGGACGACATGACAGCTGGATTGCATCTTTGTCGGGGCAACTTCAAAGTTTGGATCTCTGTGATGCTCCATTTCTAGAAGTCGCTAATGTATGATCGAAGGATGGAGTGCACTTCAGCGAAGGCGGATACGATCGAATTGCCATCAAGCTCTTCCAACAAATAAACGTTGATTGCTACTACCTTGAATACGATACTGAACGGGCTGGTACCTTTGAACCCCTCAAGTTTCTTCCGAAGACGAAATCGGTTGTACTTGGTTTGATCTCCAGCAAGACGCCGGAGGTGCGTTGTGCATGTAATACTTCAACATTGGCACTCATTGTACAATAGTTGGAGGATAAGGCAGAGTTGAAGAGACGCGTCCGTCAAGCCGCCGAACTGATCTCGCAAGGAGTTGACAAACGTCCTGTTGAAGAGGCATTAAACCAGTATGTAACATGGCTCCCATTGAAAATGGCTGACGTTGAAAATAACACGCTACAGGATTTGCATCAGTCCTCAGTGTGGCTTTGCGTCTCACTCAGAGGGAAATCGAGTTGCTCAGGAAGATGTTAAACGCAAGCTCTCGTTAGTTACGGACACTGCGAAGGAGATCTGGACTGATGTTTAAATCGGAATGTATAACAGAGACTTATGTTGTATCGATCCCTTTACTACACAATAACACATTTCCTGATTCAAAGCATCAATCGGGCGTTAAGTATTCAGAGGAACTTCCTAATGTGGAACGTCCAGTTTCTGCGTCACCGACTCCAGCGAGTCCTCACCTGTTAGCTTCGAATACAATCAATCCTACCCTGAACTAATCTTGAACCATTACCTCTGCCTTTGTATTCTGCTTTGAAATGAACTCACAATAGCGCGTGCAGCATTTTTATATCTGAAGAAACTCGTCGCTCATATCCCAATACACTACCCTCCAACTCACCGCCTCTAGCCTCAGGCTTGCATATCCAGCCGAGTGTCTGAATTTTCTCCGACTTCTGTGAAATCAAGCAAGGCTATCGATAAAATGCAGCAACCCAGGTCTGCGAGCCATGGTGTTCACCTCGCGTTGGCTACCTCCGCAGGACTAGCACAACCGTTTGCACAGTCGCCTATGCCCAATGGTCCTGTCATCGCTGAAGGATGGGTTCTCAAGAAGAGAAGGAAGCGTATGCAAGGTACTTTAACTAGAGTTATTTTCCACCTTGCTGTTACTTGAATTCCGTCAGGGTTTGCTCGGCGATACTTCGTGCTTCACCAGTCGGGGCTGTTGTCGTATTCGTTTGAGCCGGGAGAGCCGGTCAGGGACCATATTCACCTGAGTCACGCTGCTATCTCTTCTGCGCCTGGCCGGAAGGATATTCACATAGATTCGAATAATGCCACTTTCCACATCAAGTGCCTCAGTTCCGAGGATTTCAGTATGTGGATGACTGCGTTTCGGTATGTCTGTAGAATCCTGCACCCTTTTTTGTTTCCTTAACTTGACCCTTTTAGAAAGTTCATTGCCCTAGATAATGCAACGCTAGGAAGAAAATCCTCCATTTCCCGAACCGCACCACGGTCTTATAATCGAACCGGTGCTTTGATCGAAGAAATAGGGATTGTGAGTATCACCTCTGACCTCTTATCGTAATCATGCATTTTATTGTTATCATTTTCTGCATAGACCATTGGAGAGTTGCGCGGTGCCTTTCAAGCACTCTCTGAAGAGGAAGCCAGACGTAAGGCAGCACCACATTCCAAACACAGAACAGATAAGGAGAGAATCAAGGAGCATGCAAAGGACCACAGTGGTGCTGTTCTGTCGCTGTTCAAAGGAAAGAAAGGTGTGTTTATTCTACTGTAGCGTGTGCAAGGTGTAATGTGTGATGATGGCAGGAAGTCACAGTAATCACACCTCGCATGACACAACGTCCGAAGTTGGTCGATTCACGGATATGAACAGTATTACATCACTCGATACGCCTTTACAGCGCCTTCAGTTGGCAATCGAATCCCTTCAGCATCAGCATTCCGCCCTTCTGAAGTCCGTATCATCGTTAAATCACATCGATACAAGTCTGCCAGCATCTCGTGGCTCGCCTCTGGCCACTACTGCGGAGGAAACAGTACCTGGATCGCCCTCTTCTGGCTATGGAACTATCGGAAGAGCATCAAGACGTCTATCAGCCATGAGTACCCATAGCGATGGAAGTGTCTGGTTCGACGCGCCTGATTTTGATGGGGCAGAGGAATATATATTAGATGCCACTCCAGGTGAAGAGGAACAACCCAGCCAGTTCTTTGACGCGGGCAGTCAGAGCTCTGCGAACAACACTGATACCTTGGACTACAGTGACTCCGAGTCTGAAGTCGAGTCAGTCGAAAGACTGTTGGAGGAGAAGCCCTCTGAGCCTGTTCCCGTCGAGAACATTCAGGTCACACGGCGTACTCATTTGCCTTCTCCACCAGTTGGAGATGAAGGAAGCCTCTTTGCTGTACTCAAGAAGAATGTCGGAAAGGTGCGCCTTTCGAAATCTAGTTCCACTGGTTTTCGTTTAATGCTGGTGCTAGGATCTTTCCCAAGTTGCACTGCCTGTCTCATTCAATGAGCCGCTGACGTTGCTGCAACGGACAGCTGAAGAGTTGGAACATTATGATCTTCTAACTCAAGCAGCGCGCGCGGAAACTTCAGTTGAACGTATGTGTTACATTGCCGCCTTTGCTGTCTCTACATACGCAAGTACGAAGTACCGTTCCGGAAGGAAAGGCTTGTAAGTACTCCCTGCTTTCTAGGAACCAGCTTGTCTGAAAGTCCTAGCAGCAATCCAATGTTAGCTGAGACATTTGAAGATGTGAGGATGAAGTTTATCGCGGAGAAAGTATGCCACAACCCGGTCGTATTAGCATATCACGCCGAGGGCGAAGGTTGGGAGCTTTACGCGACTTCTAGCGGCAAGACGAAATTCTGGGGTGGGTCTGCTTCTTTCACCTTGTTGTCCCGAAGAAGGTCCGATCGTATGCATCTCAGGCAAGAGCCTTGAGATCATCCCACAGGGCACGATTCATCTGAATATTGGGGAAGAACATTATGAATGGTATGTGCTTCGGAGTCGCTCACCACTTCAAACGTCAACATTTTGAGTCCAATCTCCATAGGCAGCGCCCATCTTCGTTCATGAGGAATTTAATGATGGGTACGAAGTATCTTGAGCATTGCGGCAAGATGACTATTCACAATAGTCAAACTGGTGCTCGTTGCGTGCTTGAATTCAAAGAGAACGGATATTGGGGACCCACTAATCTGGTAGCTGGAACCGTTTTATCTCCGACCGGCCAATCGGCAGCCCAGCTAGAAGGGAAGTGGGACGAACAGATGTCTCAGAAGCTTGATTCTGCACATCTTCGAGTGTTGTGGCGGACGACTCCATTTCCGAGGAATGCACCGGAGTACTATGGGTTCACGTCGTTCGGAATTACTCTGAACGACATTACGCCTGATTTGGAGGGAAAGCTGCCGCCAACTGACTCCCGCTTCCGGCCGGATGTTCGTGCTCTGGAGGAGGGGAATCTTGACTTGGCGGAGCAAGAGAAAGCTCGCGTCGAAGAGATCCAGCGAGAACGTCGACGAGGCGGTAAGGAGCGTACTCCTAGATGGTTCCAAAAGGTAAACGGCGAATGGATATACATTGGCGGATATTGGGAACAAAGGGAGAAAGGTTGGAACGGCATTGATCCCCTTTGGTGATCTTGCTAGGATACCTCCATTGCATACACCTATAGCTGCTAATACGATATATACCTTTGTTTCGTGTGCAGGCTAGGCACATGACTACTTTCGCACCTGTCTTGTGATGTTGCATCATCCTCATCCGAGGCCTTATCTATCAATACGCCAAGACACGCCCTCTACCTCAAGATGTGCTCGTACTGTATGTGCATGTTCATCGTCCTTGAAGCTTGGAAGAAGTTGGATTCCATAGCCGTTGTTTCTCCGCGTCTTATCCGTTTATGCTCACAGCTGTACTCAGCATGCGCAGGACCTTCCGATATTTCTACCAAGCCATAGTGCGGTATAAAGAGTCGAGATGTAACGATCTGTATTTTTGTACAGACTGCTCGCTGGCAGTCAATCCTCCGAATGGCGAAATTACTGCTGAATTTGCAGGTTCTGTTAGGTGTACTTTCGTTTGCCAGTGCTCAATCCGGAGTATATCAACAGTGTGGCGGCATTGGATGGTACGTAAATGTCTCTTTGTATTCCCTTTTGTTATGTGGTCGTATACCTCTCGTCTCAGGACGGGCTCAACTACATGCGTAAGCGGCGCGGTGTGCACAGTATTGAACGATTGTAAGTTTGTTTCTTGAAGTCGCGGAGCTTATGACTTAATGTGACCCGATAATGACAGACTATTCTCAATGCTTGCCTGGCTCGGCAACTACGTCGACACCACCGCCAACCACGACTAGCGCTCCACCAACCAGCCCTTCCGGACCATCGTCGACCAATACTCCTCCAAGTCAAACCTCGGCTAGTAATATATCTCCAGAATGGGCGGCTGCATACTCTAAGGTATGGAGGTTGCGTTATCTCCCTGGGTTAACGATTCGAAGGATTCTTGTATTGTAGGCAAAGACTGCTGTTGCGAAACTTTCTCTCAATGATAAGGTGAACCTCGGCACTGGTAAGTCTTAGGGCTGGTCGTCCGTACAGCTCGCTCACACCGCGGTAGGTGTCCAATGGCAGAAAGGTAGACTCTACGGTGATGTCTTTGAACCATATTCTAACCTTCTACACCCGATGCTACTCAGGCGCATGTGTTGGTAATACTCCTGCAGTGGCTTCAATCCCGGGTTTCAATGGACTTTGTTTGGAAGGTAAAGAGGCTATTCATTATATCTGATCGTAGCATCATTGATGTCATTTAATAGACAGCCCCGTTGGAGTGCGCTACGCCGATAAGGTCTCTGCATTTCCGGCGTACGTTTCCAGACCGATGCAAATCTACTGATATGCTAATCGTGTTCATAGTGAGATCAATATTGCTGCTACGCAAGTGTTGTTTCGTTCAGTCTGCGTACTTTACCGAACCGTGACACCCATAGTTTCAACCGAACGCTCATGCGCCAGCGTGGTGAAGCGATGGGCGCGGAATTCAAAGGGAAAGGAGGTATGTAGGCGCAACGAAAAGTAGTTGCACCTATTTATTCATCCACAGTCCACGTCGCCCTGGGCCCGATGATGAACCTGATGCGTGCTCCGGCCGCGGGAAGAAATTGGGAAGGGTATGCGTTGTAACTCTGATCGAAGAAGTACGCTCTTATAAAATATCCAGAGGCGGAGGTGACCCGTACCTCTCTGGAGAGATTGCATTCGAGACAATCACTGGTATTCAATCTGTAGGCGTTCAGGCATGTGCCAAACATTATATCAACAAGTAAGTGCTAATGTTTTGATCATTTTACCTTGTATCCTGTTGATCATGCATCCAACAGCGAGCAAGAACACTTTAGAGAGACCAGTTCATCGAACGTCGATGATAGGTAGGAGCGCATCGTACTCTTCACTCTCCTGACTAATTTTTCCTTGCAAACCTTTAGAACCGTGAGATCTCTCATCAACTTTCGAACTATTTCAGTATTGCCAAACTGACACCATGACGCGGTTTAGGAGCATGAATTATATGCCCACCCTGTATGTACACATCTTGTTCCCCGAGCTATGTTCTGACTTTTGCTTAGTTCCTGCGTAGCGTGCAGGCAAATGTCGCATCTGTGATGTGCAGCTATAGTATGTTTCTTGGTATCCGGATCGTCTACATTCTAGTCCTGATCTGGGAAACAACTTGCAGACCAGAGTGCGTCCCGCCCAAATTGAGGAAATGTATTGCGACTCAAAACACGTGTCATCTACTAGTCAACGGCACCTTTGCTTGCGAAAACGACCAGACACTCAACGGTATCCTGAAGGGTGAATTTGGCTTCCAAGGCTGTAAGCTTCACCCGTAATCTTCAATTTACGTTTTATTAAGTTGTTGTTAGACGTTATGTCAGGTAGATGCGGTGTGATTCAAACTCGGTGCATTACTTACACATTTTTACTCCGTTCAGACTGGTGGGCAACACATTCTGGAGCACCCGCTGTGAATGCAGGTCTCGATGTAAGTAGGTCATTTCCTTGGTGAACAATACTCGATCGAGTCATCCACAGATGACGATGCCCGGTGACACTGCGACGAACTCCGGTCAAACGTGAGCATCTCGATCATGTCATTGCGTTCATTCCATCTGACGCGCGCGAAAGTTACTTCGGTCAAAGCCTCGTCAGTGCTGTCCAAAATGGTCAAGTTTCACAGTCTCGTATAGATGTGAGTCGGATCCTTATCTCAGCTATCATGTCATTGACTTGGATTCGAACAAGGATTTGGCGACGCGCATTTTGGCAGCATGGTATGATCGTCTACGCAGAGAATGATTTTAACACCTAAATCTAACAATACGTCATTGTAGGTACCTGGTAGGACAGGATTCTGGTTTCCCGGCTATAAACTTCAACGCGTGGAACTCGGGATCAGGATCACATGTTGATGTTCAAGGAAACCACGCCAGGTTTGTTGCATCGCTTCTTAATGTCCCTCTCAGACAGACAATAATAGTTATCAGCCTTATTCGTACTATTGGAGCCGCCTCCACGGTCTTACTTAAGAACACCGACAATGCTTTGCCTTTGAAAGCTCTCAAGTCGATTGCGATTGTAGGCAATGGAGCTGCCTCATCATCCAAAGGGCCGAACGGGTATGCTCCTCCGTCATCGTGCAGCTGAAGTATTCATTACTATTTCCTAGTTATTCGGACCGAGCTGGTGATGATGGTGTCCTTGCTATGGGATGGGGAAGTGGGTGAGTGCCACAACCAGTTAGCCCATGTACACACGAAGACCAACTCAGTCCTTAACCCTCAGAACTGCTGACTTCCCATATCTTACCGCTGTGAATAACCATTATCTACGACTGCCTGCCTTTCTCCAGGCTGATCAGCTTATATAGCCTGCAGACGCAATCACAACGAGAGCGAAAGCGGATGGTACAACAGTCAGCACGTCCCTGAGCGATACAGACCTCACAGGGGCTGGTAGTGCAGCAGCTAATAAAGATGCTGTGTTGGTATTCATTACTGCAGACAGTGGGTACGTTACTTCATTGACACTTCCGTGTCTCCTTCGTTCATTTAGGCCATAGCGAGGGGTATCTCACAGTTGAAGGCAACGCAGGAGACCGAAACAATTTGAACGCGTGGCATAATGGGGTAGGCATCCTTTTGGTCGATGTGGAATGCCATTGACAGCCCTTTGTAGGATGCTCTTGTACAGAAGGTGGCCAGCGTGAACAAGAATACGATTGTTGTCGTCAATAGCGTCGGACCAATTCTGGTTGAAGCTTGGATCGACCATCCAAACGGTATGTTTTGATTTCTGTTATCGATTTCCTGAAACTCATGACTTGGTGACAGTGACTGCTTTGGTGAGCGTGTCTTTTGAGCTTGTTTCTGTTTCACTCTGATTTTTTCTTCTCGTACAAAGGTGTGGAGCGGGCTTCCCGGACAAGAAGCTGGTAGGTTTCTGTTGTCCTATATCCAATCGTATGTCGAGCATTTGTGGCAGGAAACGCCGTTACGGATGTGCTATATGGTGCCTACAATCCTGGGTATGTCATTGACGTCAAATAAACCCTTTCATTATTGATCTTAGCATGTGCAGTGGTAAATTACCGTACACAATAGGGAAGACCATCAACGATTACTCTGCTCAAGTGGTAACTAACGGTGGTGGCACGGTGCAAATCCCATATAACGAAGGCCTTTTCATTGATTATCGTCACTTCGATGCGGTAAGCACCAACATTGTCGCTTTCTTCACCAGATGTATCTGACGCATCATACGAAGGCAAATGTCACACCTCGCTTCGAGTTCGGGTTCGGGTTGTCATACACTACGTTCAGTTATTCAGACTTGAGCATCACCGGTTCAACAAGTGGAGGCACTCGCCAGCCAATTGGCCCCGGAGCTGCATTAGACCCTTGGTGCATACATCCGAAATGTCGAAGTAATCATTTACTGACGTACGATGCCTCTAGGTTGCATGATCCTGTTGTCACTGTGTCTTTTGCGCTGAGCAATAATGGAACAGTTGCAGGCACAGAGGTACATGTGGCTTTCTTTCTTACGGACGTTAGCTTGACGGTGATCTGTTTGCAGGTACCTCAGTTGTATCTATCCCCACCGGCGTCCGCCAAATCGGCACCATCTAACTTGAAGGGTTTCGACAGCGTTTTCCTCGCGCCTGGCCAATCCAAGACAATTTCGTTCAGTCTTTCTCGTTATGATTTCTCAGTCTGGGACGTGCCGACACAGAGTTGGCAGATTCCCAGTGGTAGCACTGGCATATCTGTCGGAGCCAGCAGCCGAGACTTGAGACTGAAAGGTTCAATCATGAACTGATACTGAATTGAATTTGTACGCTATTCTACGAGTCGCTACATATCCCTATCGTACAACGTCGGCGAAATCTCATAGAATAACTTGACTTCGTTACGTTTTCCCGCACTGAAGACAAACCGCGGGTTATGCAAGTGGCGTGTAAAGGAGTGGGTACGTTTATTTTCAGTAACAATTATATAAACGATAGCAACAGCATCAAGCTTACTATCACAACCGGTTCTAAATTCATTGTAGGGAGAGATATGAGATGGGGAAGGAATGAAGATGCCTAAAATATTGGCCGCGATTACGATCGGAAAGGATGGAACACATCTTCAAAACTTAGAAGCGAAAGAACTCAGAGCTCAGACTCGCGAGTCTGACTAACGATATTCTCCACCTCAGCGAAACGAGGTTTGACGCTGCACTTGAAGGGAAGAGGTCGACTGTATGAAGAGAGGTTTGGTCAGGTCGGCAAATGCACAAGAAGCGCGGTCCACTCACAGGACCAATCCATCGTTGATAAAGCCTTCGGTATCAGGCATGATGGGCTTGCCTTGTGCGTCCTTGATGGGCTCGATGGTTGTGGCCCATAGCAAAGATGCGATATCGATGAAGAGGGAGTTGTTGGCAACGTGACGGCCAACACAGATCCTACGTGCACGGTATTAGATAGATATTCCGGAGCTCATAATCGCATTGGGATGATCACCTTCTGCCGAAGCCCTGAGTTTGAAGAGTCAGTAATCTTCTTGTGGAGGAGCAACAACTGAAGAGACTTACAAAGCCAACGTGTCCTAAAGGTCATCAACAACAGATTAGTCAATACTCAAAACCAAATATATCGCGAAAGACGAACCCTCTAAAGATAAGTCATCAGCAATTAATGCAATACTGCTATAGTAGAGGCTTACCATCATGTGTATCTTCGAATGGGCAGTATAGGTTGCCATCCTTATCAATATGACGACCAGGGTTGAACTCTTCCGCATCAGGACCCTACGAAGAACGCTTCAGGTGAGCAACAGGTTGAAAGATGAAAAATATTGAGTTACATAGACGTCAGGATCTTTATTCATGGCCCTACGATGAATACATTAACTCGCGTGCCGTGATTGCAATAATTTCAGGACGTACCATTGGTTAGGAATACAGATGGTTCCCTTGGGAATGAAATGACCTTCATACCAGTCATCCTACATAACGAAATGTCAATCATCGCGTAGAACATGGAGTTGCATGATCGTACCTCTACAGATTGATGAGGGACGCCAATGGGTGCCACGGTCTTCCACCTCAGAGACTCGCGAACACAGGCCTGCACGTAGGGCAAAGAATCACGGTCGGCGAAGGTCGGCATGCGATCACGACCAATGACAGCATCCAGCTCTTCCTGGGCCTTCTTCTGTATTTCGGGGTGGGTCACCATAGCGAGCATGAACCAAGCCATAACAGTGGAGGTCTGTGGACAATCATGAAATGTTGTAGTCATCTGCAGGCCAAATACTACATACGGTTTCGCCTCCAGTAGCGCTATGGGTTCAATGTCAGAATGAAGTATATACGGAAGAAGGTACGAGGACTGACTAGATAGTGGCAGCCAACCAGACCGACTCGTCTTCGCTGAGACCGAGCTGTCTCTCGTCATGAATCAGGGTCGATGCAAAGCTGTGACGCTCGTCTCCGTTTCGCTGATGGACTGGGTCGGTATGTAAGATAAGGTTATTCTCAAAGTCGCACTTACGATACGATCCTTGACTTCCTCATACATCTCACCGAAGTAGACAGTATCCTTGTTGTACCAATCGAGGGCATCGCGCTTCCACTTGGCGATGGAAGTAGGAAGGTACTGTAGACTGTTGTGAGTACGCCAATATACCAACGGATGATCCAGACTTACTTTCATCCACGTGAAATATTCCGCATAATGTGCACCAGGGAACGCAGCACGAACAATGCGGGCAATGAAGTCGTTGACGTAGGTGACCCTGCCATCATGGCAGGAGTCAATCGTAGGCTTGTCGTAAACAACACCGAGGATCATTGAACAAGCCGCTCTATTGATAGTGTCAGTTAATCCGATAATAAAGACATCAATAGGGATGGACATCACCTCTTGAGTTCGTCATCCCAGTTATTCGAGTCCCGCAGCATGCCTTGAACGAGGAGGACGGCCTCCTTCTGCTGAGAAGGGTAATAGTTCCTTGCAAATGAATTATTCAGCCCCTCATGGCTGGCACGCCTCATCCTCCGCCAACTGCGTAAGAAGGTCAGAAGAAGAAGAAGATAGTGATCATGTAATGATGCGTACACGTCGGTATAGCCAGTGAAAGGGATGAGAAGGCTTCCAGTAAGAATCTCGGAAGCAACTAAACAAAGTTCATCAGCGTTTTCTACAAAATCAACGAGGTGCGTATCATGTCAACTTACCCACAAGACGGGGTCTATCGCTATAAACTGCGGCACGCCGATCAAGCAGATCTGCGGCGACCTTATGCGTGTTCATGACGACCATGTTCTGGCCAGCAACACTCATGTAGACCAAAGGACCTGGGAGACCGTGTAAGCATGCAGATGTAGAATATCGGAAAAAAATGAATGTTACCATATTGATGCTTCCATTCCGCAAAGGTAACCCAGGCGTCCTTGGACAACTGGAAGAGGTTACCGAAGAGTGGCACACCCTTAGGACCTGGCGGCAATTTGCCCTTCCTAGAAGTGTTTGCTGCTTTGAGCAGGATATACACGACATAGGATGCGACAAGACCCCATAGAAGAGACTGGGGCTTCTGGGATAAGTAATTCAGGAAGCCAGTGGGCTCTACCAAGGGTAGAGTATCGTGAATGACAGGTGATGATCCGTTCATTGTAGTGATATGTATCGGGGGTGTAAGGGACTGGATTCTACTGAGTGAAGCAGTTCCATGGTCCTTATATGCTAATGCATGTCCATTTTACGCCCAAATTGTGCCGCCAAAGAGTATTGTCAGGCCATCCGAGTAATTTCGAACACGAACTTGAAGCTAGAACCAACACATCGGATCGGATTTGGATTGTGCAAAGCAACAGCGGAAACACGGTGGATCACTGCATGAGCTGAATACGGACGCTCAATCAACGAGGATCCGATGCACTTAGGAGCTTGTTGATGAATTAGACGCATACCAAAACAGTGTCCCAAGTGCTACATTCCTGGCGAGGCGAAGTTGTCACCCTCAGCCTGTGGCCGTTCAATGTTCATGTATCATCTGCAATCGTCCCCATTCGGAAGTAGTGATGTAGATCAATCAGAGTAGCAACTAGTACATTTGTCCCACATAGCGCTTGCACACTCTAGAGTGTTCTGGAGATCCATCGACATGCACCCGAAAGATCGGAAAGGACAGCGTGCGGCAGGAAGCTGTAAACGTAAGATTGTGGCGGGAAATCACGAACCGACCGATACGATGTCGTGCCTTAACAGTGACATATGAAAATGAAATGAGTTCAACGCGTGGGAATGGGCATTGCTGCCTGCATTTGGGCGAAAACCAAATTGGAGAAGCGGACGACGGACGTGTTGCCAGGCGGGGAAGAATGAACTGCAGCAGGTACTCTGCGGTAACTGTGCCCCCGGGCGGCCGTCCCTGGTATACTACTGTCATGGTCCTCTCTCGACATATGGCGTATGCCGCACGTCTTGATAGATTCTAAGTTGTAAATTGGAGCACGACACCAGCACTAAGCCATGTCCGGCGCAGGTTTCTCTGGGCGATATTGCTGCCACCTTTCGTCAGCGTATGAACTTCCCGCCTTCCGTTCAACTATGCACAGCTGAACCTTAAGCTTTATCGTCTGCGCTCGAGTCACACTTCCCTTTACGGTCTTGATTATCGTACATAAGTATACGTGAATCAAGAACGATGACTTCGCTTCTGGTTCTGGAGTATGGCATACTTCCGCCGATACAGAATGATTTTGGAGAAGAGTACCAGTTTTCATGTCTACACGTTGCTTTCGAGTGTGGAATCCTGCGGAGATGGCGGATCGAGAGAGTCTTATAGCAGTCGGCGGATGTAGTAGCTGTTCGTACTGAAATGTGGGGTTCGACTGTACGCTGTATACCTCACCTGGTGACCTTATGTATATTACTGTAATATTGGTGTAGTACAGGACCGCCTGGGACCGATGTGGCATTGCCAGTCAATCTACTACATACCTACCCAAATAGGTTTTTGAACCGCCAGACGATAGGCGCCCGGTCTCAAAAGGAATGCTTTCGTCCTGGATACGAAGTACTGCTTATTTAGGCTGGCCATGCACCATGCACCACCATCATTATTCTATCCGTCCCCGTTACTTCCTTTGCGTGGCGTGTGCGGCGTTTTCATAAATTGCTAATGACATCGCAAGCGTCCCGTTCAGTTGTAGACCTCCCTAAGCGTTAACACGCTTCTTGCCAAGATTCCAGGGCTCGCGGCATACGCCACCTTACAACGCACCTCGGAGGTCGGAATATTAACCATGCCTAATGGATGTATGTGTTTTGCTGATCATTAAGACCTAACGCCTTTTATGACTGCTGCAGAAGAGCAGTCCCGCGAACAACGGTGCTATCAAGAATTGGAATGATGGCGTTTCATCCAAATACTTCCATCCAGAACCAATTGTGGATGCAGAGAGTGAAGGAGCTTGATTGATTAGCGTTTGTTCTCAGGCTGTACCACTGTGGTACTCCGCTCAGCAAAACTGTACATTCTCGGTATTTCATGGCCTCTCCATACCTCTTCCGAAGTACATGAAACGCGTATATCTGCCTCTCACAGTGCCTGCTTACGCGATCTTAGTTCATCTCTTCCCTGTGTTGAAAAGGCCAGGCCTCAGTCTCAATCTCCACCCAACATTCTTTCCGATATGTCTGCCAAACCCTCTACTGGTGTTCGGTTCTACATCCCCGATACCTTGCGTAATTGGCCTTGGCCTCGCCGCCTCAATCCTCATTATGCTGTTTGCAAAGCAGAATCTGCTGCATGGTGCGAGTCGTTCAAAGCATTCAGTCCGAAGGCCCAGAACGCCTTCAATCGGTGCGACTTCAGTAAGCAACCTTTTCTACGTCAAACTACCCACATTGATCATTTGCCTCTCTTCACAGATCTCCTTGCATCATTGGCATTTCCTCGTCTTGACAAGGGTGATTTTTTCCCCCATCCTCGTCTTTGGTCCTGCTCATCTATAATTAGATGGATGTCGTATCGGTTGTGACCTCATGAATGTTTTCTTCGTCTTCGACGAATACTCTGATGTAGCCGACGCCAAGGAGGTCCGCAAACAGGCTGACATCATCATGGATGCCCTAAGGAACCCATCGATCCCCCGTCCTGTCGGAGAGTGGATCGGTGGAGAGATCACGAGACAGTGAGATAGGCACTTCCACATGCCGCCATAATGCTCACCGTATTCTATCTAGGTTCTGGGAGAATGCCGTCAAGACAACGACTTTGACTGCTCAGCGTCGCTTCATCAACACGTTCCAGCTGTACACCGACTCCGTTGTTCAACAGGCAGCGGATCGTGATAACCATCACATTCGAAGTGTTGAGCATTACTTGGAGCTTCGCCGAGATACCATTGGCGCCAAGCCGTCCTTCGCTATCCTCGAAGTCAAGATGGACCTTCCCGATGAAGTGTTGAACCACCCGAGTATAGTTGCTTTAACGTCCGCGTGCATCGACATGCTTATCATTGGTAACGACCTATGCTCTTACAACGTAGAGTGAGTATGAATTAAATCGCTTTTCATCTCTCGCAGCGCTGATGGTTTCCGTAGGCAGGCTCGCGGAGATGACGGGCATAACCTGGTAACGATCGTCATGCACGAGCGCAAGTGTGACCTGCACAGTGCACTCGAATGGATCGGGAAGCTGCACGATGAGCTTGCGGACAAGTTCCTGTCCATCCTGAAAGAGGTTCCTTCCTTCGGCAACCCCGTCGTCGATGAGCAAGCTTCAGTTTACGTTGACGGTCTTGGTAATTGGGTGACAGCTAATGACTGTTGGAGTTTCGAAGTGAGCGAATTCATTTCACGCGCATTCATCATCGACTCATGTTGTATAATTATCAGAGCGAACGGTACTTCGGGAAGAAAGGATTGGAAATACAGAAGACAAGGGTGGTTGACTTGCTCCCGAAGGAAACAGGGGAGCCACCTTACAAATACGTGTCGCCGTCTGCCCAGAGAAAGACATTCCTGGATATTTGGGCGCCCGGCTCCCGCGATGGGTTGAAACTTCCCGTGTTTGTGTCTATTGGTATTCTCTTTGGTGTCTGTTTGCTCGTATCCCCTTCAATTTCCCTTGCTTTTATCGACCCTTTCAAACTCTAATATCACTCGAGTCTTCTCGTTCTGGTCACCCGCTCCTTTGGCTTCTTTTCCACATATCATAGAAGTATCAAGGCCTGGAGCCTTCGCAGCCTTTATTAGTATGAGTAGATAGTGTCGGGCAGAATGAATAATAGGCAATGGCATAATTAGAATTACACTGCGAACGCCATCCGGGATCCTTCCTTTGTATAAGGTTCCTTAAGCTTAATTATTCTCAGGCTCGACCCTCTCGAAGATCCGCCGTCTGTCGCATTAGGTTAAGAGTGGCATTCGGATTATACTAGGGTCAGTTACGGCAATTTAGAAATAGGCACTCATTACGGCCCACTCTCCGAGATTTCCTCGGGTCCATTTAGACCCGTTGTTGTTTGTCATTTGAAACGAGCTTCAGTACGTGTGTGGATGCTAAAAATGCACTGGATATCTTTGATCATGCTAAAGCAATAATGAAATCCAGATCTCGATCTCGATCACGAGGGCGTCTTTGACTGTTGAAGAACGCCGATCTCTGAGATCTCCATGTAGTTAGCCGCAAACAATACCGAACGCGCCTCTACTTTGATGGAAATGTCTTTGCCAGTTCCGGAAGTATCGGCAGGATGCAGGTGCTCAATCATAGCTATAGCTGGGCCATATATCACAAGCCTGTTCGTGTTTCATACTGCTGACAGTCGCAATCCGAATTACTGAACCTATATTCTACTAGGCCATCTCCGAACGCTGAACAACCTTCGAAACGGCCAGCCGAATTGGAGGCTCTGTTGCTGATGTGTACCCCTCCTCCCTGGAGCACAAGAACATAAACTCGTTCATCACACCTTCACAGTGCGCTGTTTTCATTTGACCCTCCATGCGGTTCAAACGCACTGTCTGCGCAGCGACCAGACTAACGAGGGTTACCGTGTCCCGAATGAATGAGGTCTCTAAGATTTTTCGATCTTGTCGTAGATGTGCTCGCAGTCGAATTCATCTAACTCTATTCGTTCAAACATCCGAGGTCATCGCTGCATTGTATCGGTGAGGTATGCTTCCGAAATACTGGATTCAATGCTGTTCGTTCACAATCAAGTGTTAGACACCACACTTCACCCTGTACCTTGTTTGGTTACTGGTACCTTGCGCAGCATGACCACGCCTTCCTACTACTGTGGCACCCGGAAACTGTGCATTTGGAAGCTCTGACTGTTGCAGGTCATTCGATGAGCATAGCATCACATTCTCTGAGCCTCCTCCATTCCCAGATGTTTGAGTTTGCAAGGCACAATGTTGATTGTGAGTGACATACCAGATATTAAAGGGCCTCCCACTTGCTACCATTGTTTGGCCTCTGTTACTTATCCTTGTTCTCATTTTCTCTCACCATCGCTGACACTTTACACTTATGGCTACTATTTTTAACCTCTCTAATTCTCGTCTTGGTTCACCCTTGTCACTCTTTACTCGTTCTCGCAATAACATTCAAGCATCTCGGTACTTTCGTTCGAGAGGTGAGCCTGGTGATGAAAATCATGTTGCTCTTTGCCTAACATCTGTAAAGGTCTTGCGCACGTTGTGTCCGTTGCACCAGAAATTCCCACCATTCTCAAGGATCGCAATGTACTGGAACTGCCAGACGGCAATGACCTTTTTCTTCAGCTTAAAGTAATAATTCGTTCATCAGCATTTGCTGCATCATTTCTGACCACCGTTAATACAGCCCAGCAGCATTCATGTTGTTCCGGGGGACATCGATACAAATCGATTCTGCAATGCTCTGTCGAAAACCTTAGGCAGGTTCCCACATGCTGCCGGACGGCTCCAGCGTAACGGCGACGATTGGAAAGTTCGTTTTGATTTATTTCTCTCGTGCTTCACATCTCTAACCTGTGGTTCTCAGATTAACCTAACAAATTCATCAGTTCCTGTTACTGTCACTGAAGACACAGACAGAGACGAGGTTATCCCAACTGAACACCGGCATCGTGTTGTTCATGGGGACCTACAAGCCTTCCAGGTTCCTGTTTCACTTGAGGGGGCCATCATGGGGGAGGACGTTCCCCTCGTTACATTTAAACTAACAAAGATGAAGAAGACCGGGGAGACAGTGTTGGGCATTTCTTGGAACCATGTCCTAGGTATGCACACGCCGAATTATGAAATGAAACCGTACTCATTCTTCACCCGTAGGGGATGCCACTACGCTGACTAACCTATTACAAACGCTTTCGCAATACTACCAAGGATTGCCTCCGCCTCCGGCGCCGACGTTCTACAGACGACGCTGGCCAAGGCCTCCAGAAGGGGCTGAAGGCGGCGCGCTCTATCAGCGTTATACGCCACATGTGGCGAAGTCTTATCCTTTAGCAGATGTAGTGGCTAAATATGTCGCTGAAGCCCAGGCAGCCTCAATGGTTGACTTTAAGTTCACCGCTGCTAACCTTGACGCACTACGCAAGCGGGCCTCAAGGTGGACACCCGATGACGCATGGCACAGCGGAGAAAGTTTGAAATTGACGCACCAAGACTCACTCACGGCATACCTCATCACCCTGCATAATAGGTGTCTCGATAAGCCGATCCACGGCCTCATGAACATGATGAGTGTGAGTTGGATATTTTAGCGCTCCCATGTTAATTGTGCTTATGCTTGGCTTGCAGTATCGCACTCGCGCCGCGGATGAGAACGCGCTATACAGACATCCCGGGAATGCAGCCAATTGCGTATATCTGCCGACTTTCGACTTGTCATCCTCTCCCACATTGTCCGCACTTGCCAGAACTATTCGTCGTGGAATTGTCAACGCTCGCTCAACAGAATATGTCGAAAAATACCTCATGCTGAACAGCGCCGCTCAGCAAGACGCTGCCAAGTACGGAAAATTCCATATCTTCCCTGGCGAATCAGTGGCGCTTGTCAATTCTTTGATGGGGTGAGCTCTTACCAGATTGTTGTTCTGAGACGGCCATTCATTTCCATCCTCATAGACACCGTCGGGCCCAAATGGTTCACTTTGGCTTCCCTGGCAAGAGTCAATATTACACAGAGATCTCCTGGGAGAGGATGTTCCGTGTCTTTCCCGCTAATCCAGTCAAGGGTGCAGATGGTAATTGGGAGGACAACACCGGTAGTGTTGTTGTTGCGTTCCGGGTCAAGAACGAGCTGAAGGATAAGATGGCTGCTATGTTCCATGAGGACATGAGTCGTCTGGAGAAGGGACTGGAACTCGATGATTGAACTCTTTTTCGAGTCGGAAATGGACAAATATTGTTATTTTCTACCTGCACGCTATCTATTCCTTCGTAGTTTACATACGAGACTGGCATCTCGCCCCACTATCACTCACTTTTAGTCTCCTTTTTGATATTCAAATTACTGCGTACTTCAAGTTGTATCACTTATTACATCGCTCTCCACTATTCATAATCCGGCGTATGCTGCGACCATCGCTCTACGACGGCTGCTTGAGGGATTTATCGCTCGTGAGAATAAACTTTGAAAAGCCCCGACTTGTAACGACTCCGAGTCAAGCATGGTGAGGATTAATTGTTCCGCAATCCGGAGAGTTGCCGACGCAAATTGGGTTATGTCATCCTCATGCAACGGTAGAAACGGGAGTATTGATCAAATTGATGGCAGTTGTTGCAACAATGTAAATGCACTGTGCCAGTCGGAAACCTTCGTGAGTGCAGAGCATTGGATCTCTGTCTTTAGATGCTATCTACATTTGCCCGGTTTGGACAAGGTCGCGTACGAAACCGAATGATCGGATCTGATCTCAGTAGGTTTTGTCCATAAGCAGCTGGAACGGAAATGAGCACTGCCATCACAAACCGCGAGGAACGGTGGAACGTAGTCTCATGTCGACGTATACAGCCTATGCGAATCTGCAACATCATAGTTCATCTATCTCCAGGTATGCATCTATGAGTCCTGTGTTTTCTCCACCGTTGACAGTTTCATAAGATTGTAGGTAGTAGTTAGTCCAATCAGAGAAGTCATGACTCTGGAAAACCGGTTACTAGGTCAAATCTACGACTGTTGCACATACCTGGTCCTTCTCAGCCTTTCTGCGCTTGAAAATGGCGGTAATATGGAAGTCTGATAACGCTCATACTAAAGTTTAGCATATTAACGTGTAGACTCGGCGTTGATGATAACCAGCCGCCCCCACTCCGTGCCAGAACCTTCTGTCAATCCCTTTTATTCTTCTCCCCCCTCACAGGTATCTCTACAGTATCTGTGAGTGAAGACATGTCCTTCTCTAAACCCGTCGAATCAACATCGCCGGAACTTGGTAAGGATGCTGAGCGCCGCTCTGAGAGTGAACGCTCGTCATCTCAAGACATCGCGAGCGATGAATGGGCGACCGACATAGCAAATCCGCGGAACTGGTCTGGAGGTAAAAAGTGGGCAGTAACAGCGATCGTGAGTTCTGACTTTGATGGTATATTCACTCTTGACATCCCTTCATATAGGTGTCTGCGTACAACTTCATCTCTCCGCTAGCTTCGTCTATGATGGCAAGCCCCTTCTAACATCCCACATTAAAATCGTATAGCTCACCTGTTTATCAGGCTCCGGCTCTTCCAAACATCGCAGAACACTACGAAATTACCAACCCTACGCTGGTTTCGATGACGCTTAGTGTTTTTTTGCTTTCTTTTGCTGTTGGACCTTTGTTCTTTGGCCCGTTAAGTGAAATATATGGCAGAACATGGGTTAGTTATTGAGAATTCTTCCTGTATTCATTGACTTAACTATATTCACAGGTTCTTCACGGAGGGAATCTTTTGTTCCTCGCGTTCAGTATAGGTTGCGCCTATTCGCCTACCGCTAATGCTCTGATAGCATTCCGATTCCTCTGTGAGTGTTTTCATCAGTTAATAGTATGTATATCTGACTCATCATGCACTCAACTCACTAGCTGGCTTAGCTGGGAGTGCACCTGTCGCGTGTGGCGGCGGGTCCATCAGTTCGTTGGAATTCAATGCTTATGAGATCCCCAAACTGAGCGTGTTTCTCTAGGCGATCTTTTCGCTGAACGCGACCGGGCTGCTGCGATGTCGCTCTTCAGTCTGGGCCCTTTGGTGCGCCCTAGTCTTCTTTATATGTATCAACTGCTGATCCTTCCATCATCATCTTGTAGATCGGGTATGGATATTTTGTATCAATGATGCTAACCTGGAATTGACTTTGAAATCGTTAGTCCTGTAGTGGGCCCAATCGCAGGTGGTTTTATCTCTCAATCGATTGGATTCAAGTGGGTATTTATCATCCTGGCCGCACTGTGCGGCGCATTCGCTTGCATCGGCATCCCGCTTCTTCGAGAAACGTACGCGCCCGTCATTCAACGAAGAATGGGCAAGAAAAGCATGAAGACGTCTTCTGATCCGGAGAAATTTCAAGTTGCACATGCCAACGAAGCTGTGGGAGAGAAGATCTGGCTTAACCTCTCGAGGGCTGTCATCCTCTTATTCGGAAGCTTCATTTGCTTCATTCTGAGTTTGTACAACTCGCTGTGAGTTTCATCTTAATATCGCCCCACTCATATAAACGCTGAACTGATCCCGACGCTAGGATGTATGGTCAGTCGCTCGTGCTAATCACCAGGTTTCATATACTGACTTAACCTTCAAGGCGTGTACTACCTTATGTTCACGACTTTTCCCCGTACGTCTTCAGCATACATTTGATAGTTTCCGCTATGGACTCACTTTATTTTTAGCCTTATTCCTGGAGACCTATCATTTCTCGGTTGGTGTGTCTGGTCTCGCATATCTAGGTCTAGGCATAGGATTCTTCATCGCTTCTGGCATTGGCGCGTACCTCGGAAACATCATATATAAGAGGGTGAGTCACTTGTGCATGCTTCATAATCTCATCCTTACGATTTATTCCATCATAGCTTTCTGATAAGAATGGAGGCGTCGGGAAGCCAGAGATGCGTATGCCTGTACTCATCTTGGGCTCTTTTTTCGTGCCGATCGGACTATTGTACGTGTCGCTCGCAATTCTTTTCATATGATTTTTAACGGATTCATTGTCAGCTGGTATGGGTGGTCTGCACAAGCCAAGCTGCATTGGATCATGCCCATCATTGGTACCGCCATCTTTGGCTTTGGGTTCATGACTACGTTGTACGTTTCCATTTGTTTAGTGCTGCATATGGATGCTGACCACGAAGACACTGACAACAGCATCCCAATCCAACTATACCTCGTTGATGCTTTTACGTATGCCGCGTCTGCTCTCGCAGCAGCTTCGGTAAGAGGGAAAGTTGGTATTCTCTTCCACATGCTTACGATCATCCGATAATAGGTGCTTCGCTCTCTGTTTGGCTTTGCCTTCCCTCTCTTCGGTAATTGATTTTCTATATACTGCTTTGCCCTTTCGCTTGACTCGTTATGTTCAGGTGCACAGATGTTCAAAGCGTTGGGCAATGGAGGAGGCAATTCTCTTCTTGGAGGCTTGACCATTGTTTTGGGTATTCCGTTTCCCATCTGGATCTACTACTACGGTGAACGAATCAGGGCCAACAACCCTTTGAATCGTTGAAATGTCGAGAAACTTAGATGCATTAACGCCATTTCTCCATAGACGAGTCTAAGATGACGATTACTAGTACCTGTTATGCATATGATGCCTATATATTGAGATGATTGTTCAGCGGTCACAAGCAGGTCTTGGCTACCGGACTCATACCACGGTTCGACTTTGCGATTCTTTCATCTTTACAAAAAGATCGTGATGTCGTCTAACAGGCTCCAGGAACGGTATGTAGCGTACGATTGGATATGTATGGTATTAGATACTAATAGATGCCGCGCTACTTACTATTACAACTAATGGTCATCTAGAGAAATTCCGTTGAATCCTTGAACGAGTGAAAGTCCGCGTAGGAATGTGAAGTGTGAAGCCCCAACAACCTTTGAGTAGTGTTTTGATACAAGAGACATGTGTATCAGAAGGCCATGGTCATGAAGACGGTGCAAGAGTAGCGATGTCGTGCTCTTCTATGTCCCTAGGCTTTTCAGATATCGAAGACAGACCGCCGTTAGCATTACCATTCGCGACCCCGTTAGCACGAGGTTTGTTAGCTGCATCACGGCTGAGGGAAGACGAGGTTTCTGGCCTTCCATGCCGATCTCCGGCGGTGGCGGGGGCAGGAGCTGCACTGTCGTATACAAGCGTCCAATCTGTGTAGTCACGGCGAACTTCGACATAGTCATTTGCAAATTCTCCGATCTGATTGGGAACTACGTTAGCAATCATGGCAGAATTGGAGCAGATATTAGAAACTCACTTGGACATCATCCATGCCAAGAGCCTCATCCTCAGGGGTAGCGCGAAGTCGGAGGAAAGGGATCATATCCATTCCTTTCGCTATGAGTGCGGTGACCACAAATGTGTACCCAACAGTAGCACAGACGTATGCGAATTGAATGTAGAGTTGTTTCCAGTTGTGTTCAATCCAGCCCCCAGGAACGGCCGTGTTCACATTGTCCAAAGCAGTCAGAGAACTGTCGGCGAAAAGACCATTAAATAGCAATCCGATGATCCCGCCCATGGCGTGCTCGGCCGCCAAATCTGAGAGTGAAGGAACACTTAGTGTGAATGCTTACATTCGAATGAATGGAATAAAATCAAATTTTACCTAGTGCATCGTCTATCCTGAGGAAAAACTTGACTAAATGAGGATATCCATGAATGTCAGTGTCGAATTTCAGAAAATACGGCGACCGAGAGACGTACGTTTTGTGCCATAATTGGACAGTGCCCCGACGACAATGCCCATCACGATCGCAGCCCATGTTGGAATATAGCCAGATGCAGGGGTTGCAGCAACCTACACAACACAAGGTCATACGACAAGTCGAAAGGACCGACTGAGAGCTACACACCAAACCGGCAATAGTACCACTGCAAAATCCGACCATCGATACTTTGCGTTCGATCCTGTAATCAAGCGCACACCAGACAATTCCTCCAAAGGCAGCAGCGAGCATCGAATTCCATATAGCGAGGACGGCCCTGAGGTTGGCACCGAATGCACTACCACCGTTGAACCCAAGCCACCCAAACCAGAGGATGAAAGTACCCAGACCAACCATGGATACATTGTGAGGACGGAAATTGAGTAGTTCCTTCTCAGACCGACGACCAAGGACCCATGAATAGGCCAGACCTGCGATCCCGCTCCCAATCTCGACAGGCCCACCACCTAGGGGCACATTCAGAACATTAGAGCTATGAGTACGAGTCGGTCAAAGGACCAGGATGCTGACCTGCAAAATCAAGTACGCCCCACTTAAAGCCCCACCCATTCACAGCCCATGCCCAACATGCTAGTGGGCAATAGACGATCGTCGTCCAAATGAAGACGAAAACCATAGCTGGCAACACTCTTCCACGCTCGGCAATTGCACCCATCAAGATGGCGACGGTGACACAGGCAAACTCCATCTGGTAGAAGCTGTATAGTAGCTCTGGTATAAGAGGGGAACCCGGACTAGGTGCGTCGAGCACCTTTTGGAGGCCGAAGTGTCTTAGGTTTCCGATGAAGCCATTCGTCGCGGTCGAGGAAAGAGCCAGAGAGTATCCCCAGAAGTACCATTGGAAGATGACAACAGCATTACTTGCAGCAACAGCCCAAATTAAGGACAGCGCACTCTTGCGACGAGATAGGCCAGAGTACAGGAACGCTAGGGGTATGAGATTCGATGAGCTTGAACTTTTGAAAATCTGAGATAGCATCTTACCCACGCCAGGCACCATGAAAAACACCAAGGCACCGCATGCTATGATAAACGAGACGTCGCCACGATCAAATCTATCGAGGTAATGTTAGGCATGATATGAAGCTTTTCGTGGGAAGCACTGACTGATCATTCGCGCCTGGAGATGAAATACAGACATTGAGTCTCTAACAAAGTCAAGAGTGAACATTGAACTCACGGGAGGCCAAAAAGTTGTGCAAAGACATCTTCACAACCCTTTGCACTCTAGGGTGTGCGACGGATGTTCTGGCACGGGTGCTGCCCCACAGTGACAGCTTTTAAGATGGTCGTCAGAAAATGAAGCGGGGTATGAGGCGGCGGACTGGAGAAAAGAAATTTCTGAGTCCGACTAGGGCCGACCAGAGGCCCGACTATTACTACCCTGGGCTAGAAGAAATGGCTGACCGTGTTTTACAGCTTGAGAGAGCCCATCCGAGTCTATTGACTCTGCTATCCTCTTCCGGCTGTTGCCGACCCTATCAGCGGTGCATGCTTTGATCTCCCTATACCTGTGATAACAAAAATCATTTTCTGCAGCGCCACATGCATGCAACAGGCAGATAAGGTGTCCTCGAAGATAGCGCAAGCATTTTGCCTTCGTTGCTGCCGTCACCTGGCTCAGGCAACGACTCGTCGAGGTCTCCATGGAACCTGGGCGAGGAGTTCCATCATTCCTCTTCCGAAGCATCCAGCGGACGAGATAGGCAAGAGCTGTAGTTTGGAGCTTCCTTCTCGTATTCTCGCTTCTACAGTACCTCCTCTTCGAACAATACCGCTGACCAGCCGGAAGAACCGTACAACAGATGGGCAAGAGATTTTAGTGAGATAAGTATGCCCGATCTGGAGAGTCCAACATGGTTGGTTGAGCTTGGGCAGCCTCAGGACGGTCGTAGAGAGTGTTATTGTTAAATCGATGGTGGTGGTAACGATAAGGAAATATAAAGGAGGTGTGTTCACCTTGTGGAGGAGTGGTATGGCCAAGCGAGAGTCGTCGGAAACTTCCGTTTCAGGTCTAGAGTTGATACTCGCTGAGTCGCTTCGTCACATTGTACGAACCACTTGGCAACAAAGACGTAAGTGACCCGTCTTTCCTTTTCGTGTTCACCTTGAACTTTCACTCGTTCAAGCATGACTGACAACTCGAAAGCGCTTGCCGTCAAGCTTAAAGATGAAGGAAACGCGCTATTTATAAAGAAACAGTACGCCGACGCGTATGTCAAGTTCTCTCAAGCAATCGCGCTAGATGACAAGAACGCTATCTTCTGGGCAAACCGTGCAGCATGCCTGCTCTCCATGGAAAGGTGGGTCGCGTTCCCATTAGCTTGGGCTGGCAAGAGTCACACCCCCATCGCTGATGGCAGACACCTTGACGCGGCTCACGATGCTCGGAAAGTGAGACATCGCGCTTTCTGTTAGTTAGTTTGCCTCTTGAGCATTTTACTCATTTTCGAAGGCCACGACTCTTGATCATCTGTATCCTAAGGCTTGGGCGCGTCTTGCAACCGCGGAATCTGTAGGATGTCTCTCATATTCAAGCCTGTCGAGAGTGTGCGCTGACGGAAAATCAGGCACTGAGAGATCATGAGAATAGTGCCGTACATTGGGAAATGGCCCTTCAAATGCTCCCTATTGAAAATGTGTCGCCCGCTGAGATTCAGCAGAGACAGTATTATATGGAACAGCTGAGCATAGCGAAGGTGAAAGTCCAAGCTTTGAAGCGAAGCGAGGCTGGATTTTCGGTCGCGACCCCTGATCAAACGCCCTTTCAACGAGCGTTGTCTTTGGAAAATGAGTTGCGAAGTCGGACAACGGAGAAAGCCAGCAGTAGTGTAAGTTCGCTGTTTTCGTTTCTTGCTTTTGACTGAATATGCCCAATTTAGGGTTGGGTCTTGATTGCAGCTTACAGGGTGAGTACTATGTATCGTCTGCGCCGGTATGACTTATCAATCTACCTTTCTTTGCATTGCACAGGATTTCAAGCAGGGAGTGGAAAATCTGAAGATGCTCAAGCAGTATGGTTCTGGTCCAGGTGCGATAATTATGGGTCATGCAGGTGTACGTTTGGTGGCTTTCCATCCATCCTGTGAGAGGTTTTTTCTTCTCATACCCACTATAAAAGGCTCTCACCGACATATCAAATGGAGTCTTGCGCGACTCTCGTATCTTCCACATTGATGGTCCCGACTTCATTTCCGCATATAATAGACAAGGTATGACCTTATCAAATATCTGTATACTGCATTCAATCTGAACTCCCGCTATCCTAGTATCAACTGAAGCGCAAAGGTGGGGTGCATTGACGGAAGGTGGCACCGATCGCGTAACATCTGAAATCCTCAAACTTCAGCAAGCTAAAGGATGGGACGTAGCTCGACCTGCTCTATCAACCACCGTTCGGTATGTGACAACACGGCACCATGATGTGATGCCTGACCCCTTCGTAGCGCGTGTGTTATGCGAGGCTTTCTGGAGAGTCATCTGAAGCAGGATCATGATGTCGGTGAGGAATTTCTTCGCCGCGCACTGGAGGTACTCGAGTGGGGTAACAGTGGTCCATGGGGGGCTGTGCCATTCGAGAATAAAGGAACAATTTTCAAGAAGTCTTTTATACAAGGTGTCCACGTTCTACATATGAAGACATATATGCAGGTAAGCATTACTATGATGGCTTTCCGATTCAGATTCAGCTTCCAAGACCCCGCAGGGATACCTACATTGTCCCGGCCCACAATCCCGATTCCCCTTGGAGAAGTTGTATGACGAGGCTAGCCAGGTCATGTTCGAGAGCAGTTTAGTGGAGAAGGAGATGGAAAGTCATGACGTCGATCCGGGATTCTCGTCATGCTATCCATACCCGAAAGGCTACGCCTACGCGTATGTTTTAACATTTAGCTCTGCTGCGCCGTTCTAATCACTTTCTGTCCATTAGAATGATTGGTTTTTGCCATGCTCAAATGGCCGAGCAACAGGTGGGAGCAGCTTGCTCCCACTTTCTTCAGGCAGCTACATCGTATTCACAAGCTGCAGAACAGTTCCCTCGTGACGATGAAAACTATTGTTGTACGTCGATCCGATCACTATGTCGAAGTCGGTGTTTTCATTGTAACCTTTCTAGGGTATCTCTACGCTTCTCTCGTGAATTTATGGAGATGTGGCACTCCAATCAAGGATACCCTTCTTATCATGAAGAACATACGTGAGGCAATTCCTGAGATGATGAAGATTTGGGAGCATTCTGCACTGGCGCGCCAAGGTAGGGATGAGGCCCTGCAGCATGTCCTGCAGACAGAGGAAGGCATCCTTGAGGGCCTGCTGAACGATACATATAAGATGGACGATATGATCCTGCCGGAATACTTGGTGCAGAAGTAGTCCTTGCATTCTCACATCGTTTTCTTGCTATATCGTTTCGCGGATTGATGTCACATCGCTTGATCTGCACTCATTCGCCCACGTTTAGTGTTCATTCCATTGTCGCTTTCTCATCATCATCAATGACAGTACTCATGTTGCTGAACTGCGGCTTGACTCTAGATAACCAGGCTTATGTAGAAAGGAGACTGGTCTCTGATAGCTAGGGTATCTAATATTGTGCCCCAAACTCATCAACCGGCGTATCAAGACGTAGACATCCGTGCTACTAGCTGACGATTTGAAATGTCGGAGACTTCCGTTTTACCGAGTCTAGCAGCTCAAGCGAATCAACATTATTACATACCAAACGATAGCCACGAGCCACTTGACTACAAAAAGTGAGTCTCATTACTTCCTTCGCCAGACGCCTACTTCTCCCCTCACCGCGTTCCACCATGTCCGAAAAGTCGCAAGCTTTCGCGGCAAAGCTTAAAAACGAAGGAAACGTCTTGTTCACAAAGAAGCGGTATGCCAATGCCTATACCAAATACTCTGAAGCAATCGTACAGGATGAGCAGAATGCTGTACTCTTTGCCAATCGAGCAGCGTGCTCTCTGCACCTGGGAAAGTAAGCAACCCTCCTCGCTGGTCGCGCCCGAACGTTACGAAGGTTCGACGTTCAACAGATACCTTGACGCGTCGATGGACTCACATAAAGTACGTTCACAACGGATGTCACACATCTTTACGGTGACTTATTGTATATCCCTCAAGGCCGTGAGCCTGGATCCGTCGTATTCAAAAGCGTGGGCGCGTCTTGCAAAAGCGGAGGCTGTAAGTCGCCAAGCACGCCTATGTTCTTTCAAGCTTCAGCTGATTCAAATATAGGCTCTTGGAGAGTATGAAGAGAGCGCCAAGCATTGGGAGAAAGCATTGTCGACGCTTCCCACCGAGAACCTCACTCCAGCTGAACTCAGACAGAAACAGGAGTTCACTGCAGAACTGAAGATAATGAGGGAGAAGGTTAAAGCACTCAAACAAGGAGAAACAGCAGCCTCGCTGTCTGGCGTAATCCCTGATCAAGCACCTTTTCGCCGTGCACTGACCATGGAATCTGAGTTGCGAAGTCGCAGTACCGAAAAACAAGGAAGTAGTGTAGGTCTTCCCTAGCGCTTGCCGTTTCATGGGAGTCTTATAAGCGCATCGATATAGCTTGGGTTTTGCTTGAAGCATATAAGGTCAACAGAGAATTTTCCCGAGCTTGGTACATACTGACGACGTTCTTCGTTATATACAGGACTTCAGTAATGGCATAAACAACATGAAGGCCTTAAATCAACAAGCTTCAGGTCCTACTACGTTTACAGTGGGACACTTAGGTGTGCGTGTTATAATGCAGGCTTCGTGCATAAAAATCGTAGTTAATAGGAGCTATTGACCTTAGCCTCTCACGGACATCACAAATGGAATCTTGCGGGATTATCGCGTGTTCCATATCGAGGATCCTAATTTCTTGGATGTGTACAACAAACAAGGCATGTCACTTGTACTCTCTTGCCAAGCTTAAAGTTGAAATGCCGTCGTAGTGATATTCGAAGCGCAGAAGTGGGGTGCTCTGACTGAAGGAGGCCCCGAGCACATCACGTCGGAGATGTTGAAGCTTCAACAAAGCGATGGGTGGAATGTAGTTCGCCCTGCTTTATCAACCACGATGCGGTATGCTCTCCTGCCAACCATTCCTACCTAAAAGGTTTGATTGATTTATAGAGCATATTTCATGCGAGGATTCCTAGAAGGACGCCTGAAACGAAATCATGAAGCTGAGTATGAATTCCTTGAACGTGTCCTGGAGATATTGCACTGGGGTAATACGGGTCCTTGGAAGTCTGTGTCAACCAAAGACAAAGGTGTCATCTTCGAGAAGACGTTTATTCGAGGCATCCGTGTCCTGCACATGGAGGCATGTATGAATGTAAGCGTTTCATGGATCGACGAATGCACCATTGTTATCGTGCCTCCACAGGTGTATGCCAAGGGTCCCGGTCCAAACGGTGCATCCCTTATCAAGAAGATGTCTGCCGAAGCTAAGGGAGTTTTACGCGAGTTGGAATCTGCTGAGGAGGAGATTGCGGGCAAGACCCTTGACCCCGGTTTTGTCTCATCTTTCTACATCTATCCGAGAGGTTACGCACATGCGTATGTTATGCTAACGCTCCACTCTGACGCTTTCTTAACAAGGGTTTGATTATAGGATGATCGGCTTCTGTAATTTGCAGATGGTTTCTCTCGTGGAGCGGACGGTCGAAGCCATCGAACCACGCTTGCGTCAAGCCGCCAAGTCGTACTTGGAAGCGGCAGACCATTTCCCAATAGACGACGAGAATCATGTTTGTAAGTCTCTCAATACCTCGTCTTACTAGGGCTCCTCAAACGACATCTTACAGGGTTCCTGAACAGCGCTATTACAAGCCTATGGAGATGCGGCACGCCAATTAAAGATACTCTACCCATCATGGAGAGAATACGGCTTGCGATTCCCGAGATGAAGAAGATCTGGGAACATTCTGCTATGTCGCAGTCAGGTAGAGATCAGGCTCTACAGCGTGTCTTGTGGGCAGAGGAAGATGTGCTCGAAGGGTTGGCCAGTGGTAAATACAAGATGGATGATAAGATCATGCCAGATTACTTGCTCAAACGTTAGCTCAAGGTTATCTTTCCTTTTCTCCGCCATGCGAAGAGAAAGCATGGGATAGAGGTCACTAGCTTTCTTGGTACACGAACGGGCTGAGTCTGCTAGTGGATTGCATCTCGTTGTGCGTCCTTACCCCTGTATTTCGATAAGGCTCCCATCCTGCAATATGTAGCATTCATTGCTTCGAATACACCCACCCCTCGTTCTTGACTGTTTACCATTCCGGGACGAGAGCTTCACTTCGGCAACATCCGTCCAGGATCCCATAAAAAGCATTCACTCGAACTTCCCTTTTTTCTCTCTACGACAAGCTTCCAATCCAACCTCGCTAGTCTCTACCGCCATACCGACAGTCGAGGTCTGGGGCCGGATACTTTCCTCCCTCGAAGAGCGCCTTTTGAATTATTCAGAGTGGTGCTTGAGGCCGCGTGGAGGTGGTTTGTTTTGTCAGATTGACTTGGATGTTGGGATTGTCAGCCCTCGAATTCGTTTTATTTTATTTTTGCCTGAGTTCGTAGGGTCTAGACGGCATCCTACATATATTTCGAACATTTTTGAGTATAAAGTGTAACACTGTGGTACGTTCTGAAGATCTCAAGTCCCCACGGGGTGGTCTGGCAAGCATACTGTACTATGATATCATTTTTGTTCACAATTTCCGCTTGGCTGTAGCTGGCTGTAGCGCGATTATGACAGATCTATATGCGACTACTATGGACTACAATAACAGGCGTGCGTTTGACCACTTCACTCTGAACCGAATAAGATACGAACCACGATGAACAATAACAAAAAACGATTAGCAAGTCTCAGACTGATCCTTTATTCTCTCCATGCTTGAAGCCTTCTCCACCCTACCGAGGAGTAGCCGCCGAATAGCCAGAATAATATGGCGATGCCATTTGTGGAGTTGTAGGTGTGCTTCCAGTTGCAACTGGTCGTAGATGAGTTGGCAAGGCACTGGTGGCATAGTTGGTCGCCGCATTTGCTCCGTTAGACCAAGCAGCAGGTTGGTACTTGGGAGTCGCAGTACTGCCAAGGACAGTATTCGTAACAGCCCGCTGAGGCTGAGGCTGTTGAGCAGCAGATGCGTAATATGTTGTGTAATTCGTCGAAGGGTTCGTGGCTACTGCTGGTTGAGGTGTAGCACGCCCTGACGAAGCTGCCGTCTGCGGGTGATAGTTATGCCACGAGCTACCGTATGAATACTGTTGTTGTCCCGCCGCGGCGTTGTACTGCGAGTTGGGGTAATAGTTGGAAGCGGCTGCGGCTTGTTGGGACGCCTGGTAACTGGAGTAGTAGTTCGTCGTCGTCGTCTGACCAGGTGTGAACGTCCCATAACCTCCTCGGTACTGCCCAGTCGACGTGTACCCAGGGTACGGGTACCCGCTATACTGCGTTGTAGGCGTAGGAGTAGCGGTCTTGATAGCAGGCGTCGCAGGAGTGGTAGGAATGGTAGAAACGGGAGGCGCAGTTGCAGCGGCTGGCACAGTTATGCCGGCGCGGACATATAGGGTGTTGTCGTCGCGGAGTGCAGCTGTGCGGCCAGCGGGAAGTGTACCATACCAGCCACCGTGACTTTCGCTCGGAAGAGTGCGATGCAACCTACGGAGTGCTGAAGTAGTGGGAATGAGCGGTGGGTGCTCTGCGTCTTTTGAGGACCTTGGTCTTAGAGAGGCCAAAACTGTTAGCGAATCCAGTATGCTTTGAGCTGTGGAAAATTTCAGTGAGTATACCATAACCTGAACACGATGAGATATGACTAACCTGTTTCCCATTCTTCCGATCCTACTTCGACTGTACTCGAACCTCCATTTGCACCGCCTAGACGTTCCAGCTGGAGTTCCTCTAGGCGCTGCATGGCCTTGGCATTTCGTGTCAGAAGTTCATCGAGAGCTTGTTCCAACTCCAAGCTGCCCAGAGTGCTTTTCAAATTGGCGATCTGCTCAGGAGAGAGCAAGCCCTCCAAAACTTCTATGTTCGTTTCGCCACCTTCCTTAACCTTCGAAGGGGATGGTTCTTGCGAAGCAACAATTGTGCTTTCAGAGCCTGTCGTTTCAGCAGCTGAAGAATCTTGTTGGCTAAGGCGAGCCATAACAGCCTTCTGTTTCCCTCTTGCTAGTTCTCGTATTCTCCGTTTGCGTTCCTCGAACCAGATGACTTCCCCCAACCTAACTCTGCCCACTTCTTTCCCATCCTGGTCGAAACTTGGAGCAAAGCTAGCGTATGGACCATAGTCCAGAAACTTTCCGCACGAGATCCGACGGGGTTGACTCATGTAGCTGGCGGATTGAACAAGCATAGACGGCTTCTTCGTGACGTATTCGCCAAGAGTTTTCCCGACACCTGCTCCTGAGGACGGAGAAGGAAGAACAACTGCGAGTTCTGCTCGACCAGTTGGCAAATCCGTTAGGTTGTTGCCATCGACAACTGTGTCCGAATTGACAGATGACCACCACTCCCCTGTAGGTAGTCGTTGAACCATTGCATACTTTGGTTTTCGTTCAACTTCTGCCGGGGAGCCCAGCACCACTGTAGCTGAAGCTTTCGATTCAGGAGCGGTGCCTGAGGGTCCAGCGGTGGCTGAAACGTAAGCGGAAACGATGCTATCAACATTGAGGGGTACGGGGGAATTATGTGAGGACGCTTGGTCCAAGAGGGATATTGCAAGGTTGCAAAAACGTTGTTGTTCGACTGCAGGTGCAGAGGGACGTGAACGGGGGTGGGAAGTGATGGGGAAGAGGTGTTGCACTGCGGACTGGAAGCAGGTTCAATGATTGATGATGGTGGCAGCGAAGGTGGATACTTACACGCAATGTCCTGAGAGGATAGTGAGATGCATTTTGAAGCAAGTCACGGAACGAATGCGAAGTTGAATTTGAGGAAGAAGCCGGCGTGGAACCCGATTCAGGCGGTAAAGGGAACACTCGGTCGAGGAGACCCTGAGTGTCAATACTGTAATTGTGGAATACATTAGTGTGTAGACGCTTCTAGCGAAATACATGACGCACATTTCGAGTATTTCGAGTATCTTTTGGGCATCCGAAGTTTGGATGGGAATATCGCCACTGCTGGGCAGGTTGATCTCTATCGTCTCTCCTATGACGGGGTCATCTTGTTCCTGTATGTCCTCCTCTTTGATGTCGTCGTCTGTGCGAGGTTGCTTGAAAGCAGGTTCGTCAGCACCGTCTACAATAGATGTGCGCTTGCGCTTTTTGGCATTCTTTCGTTGTGGTGGCGCAGGATCTGCTGTCTTGTCCTTGTCCTGGATGGTTGAAGAGCGAGTTGCTCGAGCCATGATGAAAGAGGCGGGAGGCTTTATATGGAATGTGCAGACGCGACTGTGGCGGCAAAAATCTACGCAGGCAATCTGAACGCGTCGAACGCGTCCCGTGGGCGAAATGATCTCCTCAGTGGCCAGAGAGAGGGTGTTCAAGGCGCTAATTCGCCCTTGCACTACAAAACACCCTTACACCCACTTATTCCCACGCTTACAATCACTTCTAACACCGCCCGCCTCCATTACAAAGCTTGCAATCATTCTAGTGACATTGGCGTCGACCGGGGAGACTAGCGTCGACCACCATGCCCTTCAGACTGCCGCCCCCGACCAGGCCTCTTCTTCGTGCACAGCTCAGATCGCGGCCTGCAAACGGTCACGTCGCCTTCATTCCTCAATGTCGCAAACTCGTCTTCGAGTTTTGCAACAGATGGCCGTCGTCCGCAAATACCAGGACCTTCTTGACGAACCATCTCGAGGAGTTTGCTCGTGCTAACCCTCACGTTGAAATCGTCGTCAAGCAGCGTACACAGAAGGAGCCCATTGTGCGCGGTTTCTATCGTAAGTCTGCGCTTTTGCTGTCACCGCATCTAACGCTTGACTGTTGTCAAGTAAATGATAGGGACAAGGTTATTGCGCTCAATGGCTTCGAAGTCACCGGTATTGCAAAGAAGGTTCAGCTTCTACTCGACTCGTCCGGTGCAAAGATCAAACCACTGAAACGCCGCACTGTCGAAAGTACGACGGAGGCTGCGAGAGGTATCTGGAGTGGTCTTCATGTGGAAGAACCATTCAAGATTTGAGCATTGGGTCTCTTTTGTCTTCACATTGGAAATGCGGAAAAGTATCACAAACGGTTACCCCATATTACCATGGTATGTCTGGTTTATTCATCCGGCGCGTTATGAATGTATGTTCTAAATCACACTTCGCTCGCAGCTTTAGAAGCCTGTACAGGTTTTGTTTATCTATTGTATCACTTAATGTACCGCCCATGGATTATCGCCCAACACCTTCCGAGTACCAATGTTATCCACCAACAATTCGTCAACGTATTTCAAGAGGTCTCTCATATGGTCGTTTTTAGGTACCATAAATATGATGATATTCTCTCGGAGACTATTCGGTGCAGATCAAACTCCCACATCTATTATTTCAGTCACATACGGATGCACTCTTCCCTCCGACATGACGAAACCATTGAAACGCCCTTCACACCTGCCTCGTGTTTCTGCTGATCCACGCCCCTTCCATGTTGTAGGATTTCTTTTTTGCCTGCCGTGTGCGTCCGATATCCTGAGTCCTTTGCCCTATCTTTGTGCTCGTGTCAGTCAAGCGGTGTGGGTTGCACGTGCGGTCATCTCACTTACCAGGAGCTTGGGGGGACGCCTTGCTTCTTGCCTTCCTCCCCCATCCTTTGTCCTTTGAACTCGGTGCTGTGACGTCTGATTTTGCTTTAGAGATACCTTCATACTCCCAGGAATGACTGTCAAATCATCCAGTCGTCTAGCCATGCAACACTCAAGCGATCTCTCTGATACTTCCCACGAAAATAGAGCTGTAATGGATTGGATGAGGCTCAGTAGAGTGGAAAACGTGAGTCGATGAGCCGGCCATTCGTCATTTTGACATACAATATTTAGTCTATATTTCGTCAGAACTCTTGGGATAGCCATGTTGCTCAACTTCTTTCAGAGCACTCCGTGAGTCATTCCGCTCTGGTATACATCTTCATTTCATCCACTTACCTCTCCATGCGAATCAGTTCTCGAGTCGAGCGTCGACCAGTTACCAGTCTGAAGACAATGCTATCCCAGTCGAATATACATGGGTACGTTCGTCTCATCAACATGGCTCACAATGTCATCTAATATTCTTTTTTTTTCTAGACCCCTCCTACTCCCACGCTCGACAGCGATCAGTCTTCATCTCGGAGATCGTCATTGCAATCCATCCCCACCTCCGAATACTTCGATGAACTCCCAGAGATCCCTTTCATATCCGCCGCGATCCCCCTAGATCAGTGCCTTGATGAAGAAGATGTCAGCCTTCAAGACGACAATGTCTCTGAGCGCACTTTCTGGTCAAACCTGATCCGTCCCTCCCGCGTACGAACGACTTCCGAACGCTCCCTTGCTCTCCTCGGCGAGACAAACCATCGAGTCCTCAGCCCTACTCGGTGTCGTGCACCATCGGTATCGTCCAACGCTTCCTCCCGCTCAAAGCCCGCACCAGCAAAATCGATTCTCTCATCCAGCTCCTCCATTAGGACAAGGACAGGAAGGTCACCGCCGTCTGTCAAATTTCTCGATATGCCGACGATTCATTACGAAGATGAGCATGAAAACGAGTACAATTATGCCGACGAAAGTGATGATGACGACGACAACGACGACGAGCAATATGACCCTTCTCCGGCTGGTCCTGAGGAGAAGAAGTGGCCTTTTGGGTTCATCCGACGGTTAGTTGGATTGAACCCTAGCAGGAAGCCACCAGTCTCGACGTCAGGACGTCCTGTCATTTCTGGTCCTTACCTTCTATGGGACCCACCTCGTCCGCAAGCGAGACTTGGTGGTCCTCCTACGAATAAGCGGCGGGCTGCGAGTTTGCGCTCGGTCAGGTCAAACAATAGTCTGAGATCGATACGCTCGTGCAGTAGCCGATTTCAAAGTTATTGGACTTGGCTGAGTGGGAAAGACCCGTAGTGGTGCAAACTGGTATGTCCCTTATTCCCCGTCCATACACTAGGGATGTTCTAACTATTTCGTATAGGATGTTGTACATGGACGCTTTTGCTTTGGACTGACATTTTCTGTTCACACATGAACGCTCGATGCGTCCAGACATGCCTATGCACGTCATTACGCCTTTCATGACATTGACCATTCTTTTCGGATTGTCATCTGTATGATCCTCGCTTGCACTTGGAGCATTACCAGTAAGGTGCTAGGATCTTCGGGAGGGAGTATCACTATGCACTGGTCATGTGTTCATCTGGTCATTTCGCTAATGCTCAAGTGTGCATGGATTTGGATAAAGTACAAAACGGAAGGAAGGACCATCTTAGGCCAGCAGTGCAGGTCGATTAGGTAGTTACATTGGTAGATTCATGTAACATTGTGTTTTTGCTATCCGGAACATTGATGGCAGTAGTGTAGTGTAGTTGTAGGGTCAGAAGCATGTGGTTGGAATATGATCATGAAATCAATCTTCCCGTCGTTTCTCGAGCTCCCACCTTGCCTTCATGGCTGCGAGACCCTGCTGTCTTGACTGGAGGGCTGTTTGAGTGAAGTGAAGCCGTGATGCTTCCCAGTGTGCCGGAAGTTCACCCTCGTTACGAATGACCTGGGAAACAAATAGCAAGGACAATGCTTTGTCTCTGGCATATAAATGTGAGGTATGGTAGGAATAAACGTACGGAACCGATGGCAAGGAAGAAACTGAATGTCGCTGCGCTGCTCAGCATGTATTGTGAGAGCGTAGGAAGAGCTCCTCGAGATCCTGCACCTCCCCTATGACGGAGACAAATTGTTGATATTCAGTCAAACGTGCAGTAACAGATTGAACGAACCTCAGGATGCTATACGAGCCGAAAATGAAACCAATCGTGAGGCCAACACCGGCACCCATCATGGCACCCATTCTACAATCATAGCCACGTTAGAATCATTTGGCGAAGGTTGTTCCAAGATGTACTAACTTGACTGGATGGAACAACCGTTATCGACGTGAAACCAATCGTCAAATTTAAGCCACGTACGTTTTTGCCATACTGTTGGACCCTGTGGTACTTGACCTCGCTGCATCTTGATCGTCAGTGGTAAGAATCACAAGTCAAGAAACAATAATTCCCAGCAACTTTCCCAAAGCACACGCGCTTGCTTGAATCTCATTGCCGACCCTTTGTTGGTGAAGTCGATCATCTCGACCATTGTGTATACGATGTCCACGACTCTTCCTTCATTTCCGTACGCCCAGCAAGCGCAAATCAGTGTGTCCATGCCCCGTTTCGAGAGTTGGCCTAGAGAGGGATGACATGTTTGTTTGTCGACAGTACGTTCGAACCAAAGGGACTTGTTCCATGTCTCATCCCTTCGTGAGCAGACGGAAAACGTCGTAAGAGCATGGCTCGGTGTGTGGAGGATATATCATTTGAGACAGGTAGACTAACTGTGCTACAGGGTCCCGATGGCTGTCTCGGTGGGACAAGGAGATCGACCTACTGGTGAAGGTAGCATATTATGGGCTGACCGTCGGACGAGGTGAGCATTCACTGAATCGTGAAGACAATAAACACTAATTCTTTTAAAGCTACTCAGACACTCGGAGAAGAGTACACTGCCATCTGGCAGCAGTCCTCACGCACCGAACTATGGCCATCGGGACGAATACGCGCAGCTCTTATTTTATTGCCAACCGTACCCGGATACCTTGCTGAAAAGTTCGCTCCGTCATTGTCTCAGGGCTCTGTATCGCATAGGGTACTGCGTACTTTACCTACCGTGCTCGAAGTGCTGGCCGAGCTCAACTTGGCCATCTTCTACTTGCGTGGAACGTACTATACCCTTGTCAAAAGATTACTGGGAATCCGATATGTAAGTGGATACTGAATTCTACTATTTTTTGTTCTCATACTAGATCCTTAGATATCTTCCATGCCGGATAACCCTAATTCACGACCACCTTCCTATTCGTTGCTCGGCGTCCTTCTACTCTTTAGGCTCACCTACCGCTTCATCTCATACGTTCGGATGCTGCGAACCTCCGATAGAACGAATGCCGCACGGAAAGAAGTGACAGACGATACCCAAGAGACTTTCGTGGATGATCGACCAATTTCAATAATGCTCAGTCAGACCCACCCAGAAGAGAAGCCAGCAATACCAGCTGAGGAGGATGAACTTACAATATTGGACGTGGCACAAATACCTGAAGAACTTAGAGCTAGTCGAAGTTGTACGCTGTGCCTCGAAGAGCGAACCGCAAGCTGCGCCACCGAGTGTGGTCATATGTTTTGTTGGGATTGTATATATGGTTGGGGTCGAGAAAAGGTGCGCACGTACTCTGATTGAGCGATGGTCTCGAACTCAGTATGTTTGCACAGGCTGAATGTCCGCTCTGTCGTCAATCCCTTAGTTTAGCTAAGCTCTTGCCGGTGTACAACCTCTGAATTTGATTTAATGTTGAGGCGAGCGACACGACATCCGGGGTCTATATAGTATCATTATACATCACGAGCACACGCAATCCGCGCCTTTTTGTACAACAGTAGGACTAGAAAAAGAATAAGACCTATACCACTTGCTGGATGAGAGTGATATTGTCGCCTTTTAGCAGGATACGTCCTGCATGTGAACTGTATCAGTGATAATGCGAGGACAGTGTAGAAGACGGTCGTACCAAGCTCTCGTCTTGGCTTCGCATCCTTGACAAACACTTCGGCTGCCTCATCGATCACAACGTTCATGAACTCGTCGAAACCCTGTATGTCGAGACAAAATCTTGTGAGTGAGATTCGCAAGGGAAACGGATGGAGCAAAGAGCAAAGACACGATCGATGGACATCACGTAGACAGGACTATTAGCATGCAACCGACAAAGCCTTGCATGGGTAGGAGTTCAACACAAAATGTGTTCATATTGGAAGATGAGACACGCACAACAATTCGTCCCTCAATACGCATCTCGATGTTGTCGTATAGCCAGATTACGACTTTCGTCCTCTACATATCTGTCAGTCTACTGCGCCATAAGGCAAGTGTAAGTAGGCGTACCTGCTGCAAGTTCTTGAAAATCACATTCTGCACCCAGTTCAAACAATTAGCCGTGGTCCCTTAAGTAGAGGTTGAGACTCACGATGGGCTGAACCATCACACGCTGCTGACGACCCGACATGTTGATAAAGGAGCGTTAAGAGGATAGCTGAAAGGGTCGGTGAAATGAGATAGTGGAAGCAGCAGGAGAACTTGAGAGGACTGGAATGAGTGTTCGATCCAAAATCGGACTCGACAGTTGCAGAACACGCTGCTTCGGGAATTGCCGTCCCTTTGCAACGCGTCGCGTTTCACTGAACAGCTCCCTCACCTTTGCCATTCGCCGACACCACCAACCATGGAGGTAAGTTTTCGCTGATTCTTGTGTCGTACTGCCTATGTTTAGGATGCTATCTGGGTCATAGGTCTTGGCATCCTCCAACTCAACGACTGCGGCAGCAGTCACCTTCATTACCTTCGTTCAAGACCTCAAGAAGAAGACCAAGACATGGGGGCCTATGATCGAACTTTGCGCTGGCGGCGAGAAGACCTTAGAGCGATTCAGATACCAGTTTCCGGAGGATTGGCTCTACAGTGACCAGCTACGAGGAGAATGGAGTGCTTACAATGAAATATTGAAGCGCAAGAATGATTCGATCCAAGAACAACTAGGTGCGCGAGTCGCCTTTCGGTTACGGTTCTAACCTGAACCTATAAATTCCTTAGTCGGACTGCAACAGAAGATCGTCTACGAAGACAAAGCTATAGAGAATAGGATCAATGACATTATGCAGGAATGGGAGCAGACACGTCCCGTCCAAGGCAGCATTCGAGCGGATACCGCGTTGAACACCATCAACGTGTTCGAAACAAAGCTTACCAAACTAAAGGAAGACTATGAGCTCGTTTGTAGAGCCAAGGAGGCATTAGACCTCGAGCTCATCCGTCATACACGACTAGAACCTATTTTTGAAGAACTCCGGGACCTCAAGGCAGTCTGGACAGCCCTTTCAGGTATTTGGAACCAGATTGGCGAGCTCAAGGAGCTCTCATGGGCAAATGTTCAACCGAGAAAGCTTAGACAACAACTCGACCAGCTGCTTTCGTCGACGAAGGAGATGCCGACGCGTATGCGACAATATGCGGCTTTTGAATACGTGCAAGATATTCTGAGAGGACTTTTGAAGTCAAATACTCTTATCTCAGAACTCAAGTCTGAGGCACTGAAGGACAGGCATTGGAAGCAATTGTTCAAGGTCTTGCGATTGCCGTCACACATTAGTCTCACTTTGTCAGTCTCTCTCAAAACAATGTGCGCTTCGCATACTCACTCTTCTTGCCAGGATGACCCTTGGCAATGTCTACGACTTGGATCTGAAGAAGAATGAAAATCTCATCAAGGAGGTCATCATCCAGGCGCAGGGCGAGGTCAGTCCATGTGTACGCGAATCCGTTTCATTTAATTACTCATTTCGAACACCAGATGGCTCTCGAAGAGTATATCAAGCAAGTCAAAGAAACCTGGACGAACTATACTCTCGACCTTGTCAATTATCAGAACCGGTGCCGTTTGATTAGAGGATGGGATGATTTGTTCAACAAGTGTAGTGAGAACTTGAACTCATTGACGGCCATGAAAATTTCGCCGTACTATAAAGGTTTGTGCTTAGTTGGATTGTCGCATGGATGGTCGTCCTCACATATCAATTGCCATCAGTCTTTGAGGAAGAGGCAGGGTCCTGGGAGGAGAAACTAAACCGCATCCACGTTTTGTTTGGTAAATGATTAGTCTAACGAATCCTGGAGATGACGACTCACGATCTGGCGCAGATGTTTGGATTGACGTACAACGCCAGTGGGTATATCTAGAGGGTATTTTCTCCGGAAGTGCAGACATCAAGCATCTGCTACCTGTCGAGAGCGCACGTTTCAATAATATCAACACTGAGTTCTTGGCGGTCATGAAGAAGGTGTACAAGTCACCGTTTGTTGTCGATGTCATGAACATTCCCGGTATCCAGAAGAGCCTCGAGCGTTTGGCCGACCTGTTGAACAAGATTCAGAAGGCTCTTGGAGAGTATCTCGAGCGGGAGCGTGCATCTTTCCCTCGATTCTACTTCGTCGGTGACGAAGACTTGCTGGAGATCATTGGTAACAGCAAGGAGATCTTGCGTATCATGAAGCATCTCAAGAAGATGTTTGCCGGTATCTCGACCATAATGCTCGACGAGGAGCTTACGCAGATCCTGGGTATGGCTTCCCGAGAAGGAGAAGAGGTCGTCTTCAAGACTCCGATCTTGCTCAAAGACTTCCCGAAGATCAATGACTGGCTGACGAAGCTAGAGTCGGAAATGAGAGTCTCGCTTGCTGAACTTTTGTGCGACGCTGTTGCAGAATTGCAGAGTTTCTACGGCACCGGCGAGACGCTACCTCAGGAACAGTTTATCGCATGGATAGAGAAATTCCCGGCTCAGCTCGTTACGCTCGCCATTCAAGTTGCATGGACAGCTTCTGTAGAAGGTGTTCTCCAGGCCTCGCAACCCCTTGATGTTCCTCTCGACACCATTCGACAAGGTCTCGACTTACTCGCGGACGTCGTCTTGACGGAGCTCACGCCAGTCACCCGTCGCAAGTGCGAACACCTCATCACTGAGCTTGTCCACCAGCGTGATGTTACTCGTGTTCTCATTCAACAACAGGTCGCTGATAACAAGGCTTTCTCGTGGTTGTATCAAATGCGTTACTACCTTGACCCAACCGTGGAGAATCCTCTGAACCGCCTTGCTATCAAGGTCTCGGACGCCTCCTTCCCTTACGGATGGGAATACCTTGGAGTTCCGGATCGTCTTGTCCAAACACCATTGACGGATAGGTGTTACCTTACTCTTACCCAGGCTTTGGATAATCAATTGGGTGGATCGCCTTTCGGTCCCGCTGGAACGGGTACGATTTTTTTTGCCTCCGCCCCGTCATATCCTGTCTGACTGATTGAAACAGGCAAAACCGAATCAGTTAAAGCTTTGGGTGTACAGCTCGGTCGGTTCGTTCTGGTGTTTTGTTGTGACGAGACATTCGACTTCCAAGCCATGGGTCGTATCTTCGTCGGCCTGTGCCAGGTCGGCGCTTGGGGTTGCTTCGACGAGTTCAATCGTCTTGAGGAACGTATCCTTAGTGCTGTTTCACAACAAGTTCAGAGCATCCAACAAGGTCTTGCTGCTCTCGTCAAGAACCCCAACGCTGAGATTGAATTGGTCGGCAAGAATGTCAAGATCAACAGCCAGATGGGTATGCGGTATTTCATTTGCTCCTCTTTAGACATTAATTGAGATTGTGATAGGTATCTTCATCACGACTAACCCAAGCTACGCCGGTCGTTCAACTCTTCCCCCCAACTTGACCAAGTTGTTCAGGCCGTACGTATTGCGTCCCTCACATATACTCATCCTCTGACATCGCAACATTTTAGGATGGCAATGACGCGACCCGATCGTGAACTTATCGCTCAAGTTATGCTGTTCTCTCAAGGTTTCCGTACTGCAGAGTCCCTTGCTTCTAAGATCGTGCCCTTCTTCAACCTTTGCGATGAGCAACTATCGCCTCAACCACACTACGACTTCGGTCTTCGTGCATTGAAAGCAGTGCTTGCTAGTGCTGGTATCCTCAAGCGTGAGCGTTTGCAGAATGCTCGCTCAAGTGAGGAAGGCACCGTTGAGTTGTCCGATGCGGTCTCCGAGCAGGTCATCCTGATTCAGAGTGTAACTGAAACTATCGTCCCAAAGTTGGTCGCAGACGACGTGCCCTTATTGACTAGGTGTGTTGAAGTGAATGCTTGTGTGTTTAACGTGTTCAAACTTGCTTGTTTGTTTGTCAGTCTCTTGGCCGATGTGTTCCCTGGTACCGACTACGTTCCAGTTGACCTCGATGCCCTTCGTGAGCAAATCAGCAAAGTTTGCGCCGAGCGCAGACTTGTTGAAGGAGAACGTTGGATCGCCAAGATTCTGCAACTGTATCAGATCCAAAAGATCCAGCATGGTCTCATGATGGTTGGTTCCTCCGGAAGCGGCAAGACTAACGCATGGCAAGTCCTTTTGGCAGCGCTGGAACGTCTGGATGGAGTCGAAGGTATCGCCTATGTCATTGACCCGAAAGCGATGGACAAGGATGCACTATACGGTACCCTTGACCCAACGACCCGTGAGTGGAACGATGGTCTATTCACTCATACTTTGCGTAAGATTGTGGATGATGTGCGTGGGGAGAGTGGCAAACGGCACTGGATAATCTTCGATGGTGATGTCGACCCAGAGTGGGTTGAGAACTTGAACAGGTGTGTCCAATAGTTCTCATCCTAGGTCCTCTTAGCCAACGCTCTTAAATTCAGTGTCCTCGATGATAACAAGCTGCTGACGTTGCCCAACGGTGAACGTCTCAATCTCCCATCGAATGTGCGCATAATGTTCGAAGTCGAGCATTTGAAATATGCCACCCTGGCAACCGTCAGTCGATGCGGTATGATTTGGTTCAGTGAAGACGTGGTTGACCCCTCGATGGTATACCGCAACTATCTTGATACATTGTCTACCGTACCTTTGGACGCTGAAGACGACGATTTCGATATTCCCGGACGTCGCATAGATGCTCTAGCTCCTGATCCTACAGCGTCAGCCAACCTCGTCACTCAGAAGCAGGTCGCTGCAATCCTCGAACCTTACTTTGCCGAGGACGACCTGGTCTCTTCCGCTCTTACTTACGCCGAATCAATTGAGCATATTATGGACTTCACCACAACTCGTGCACTCAATACCTTATTCTCCCTTATCAACAAGACTGTCCGCAATATCATCGAATACAATATTCAGCATTCCGACTTCCCTCTGCCACCTGATAAAATAGAACAGTATGTCAGTAAACGACTATTAGTGAACATTATCTGGGCCTTTTCCGGAGACGCCAAGCTGGATTTACGGGCTGATATGGGCGACTTCTTGCGCAAGCAGACCGGTATTGACCTACCTCCCCTTCACCAGGGAGGCTCCTTGTTGGATTATGACGTGCAAATCAGCAATGGTGACTGGATAGCATGGCAATCCAAGGTTCCTGTCATCGAGATCGAAGCTCATGCCGTGACAGCCTCCGACATAGTCGTACCCACCGTGGATACCGTCCGACATGAAGAAGTCCTTTACTCTTGGCTCTCAGAACATAAGCCTCTCATGCTTTGTGGTCCTCCTGGTTCCGGCAAAACAATGACTTTGTTTAGTGCTCTTCGCAAGTTGCCCGACATGGAGGTTGTCGGTCTGAACTTCTCCAGCGCTACAACTCCAGAGTTGATTCTCAAGACCTTCGAACAATATTGCGAGTACCGTAAGACACCCAATGGTGTCATACTGGCACCCGTTCAGATTGGACGCTGGCTGGTCGTCTTCTGCGACGAAATCAACCTCCCAGCGACTGACAAGTATGGCACGCAACGAGTCATATCCTTCATTCGTCAGCTTGTGGAATGTGGTGGATACTGGAGGACATCGGACATGGCTTGGGTTAAGCTCGAGCGTATCCAATTCGTTGGTGCTTGCAACCCTCCTACAGATCCCGGTCGTGTGCCCCTCAGCCATCGTTTCCTGCGGCATGCCCCCTTAGTCATGGTTGACTACCCCGGTGAATTGTCGTTGAAGCAAATTTACGGCACATACAACAGGGCCCTATTGAAGGTGGTTCCGAACTTGCGCGCCTACGCCGAACCACTCACAGACGCTATGGTTGATCTCTATCTTGCGTCCCAGAAGCACTTCACTACCGATATTCAAGCGCATTATGTCTACAGTCCTCGTGAACTAACGCGATGGGTCCGTGGTATCTACGAAGCCATCAGGCCGCTGGAGATATTATCCGTAGAAGGACTGGTACGCGTTTGGGCCCATGAAGCTCTGCGTCTGTTCCAGGATCGACTTGTCACGGAAGAAGAGAAGCAATGGACAGACGAGCATATTGATACGGCCGCAATGCAGCACTTCCCGACTATCAGTAGCGACGAGGCTCTTGCACGGCCCATCCTCTTTTCCAATTGGACATCCAAGAATTACATTCCGGTCGATCGTGAAGTACTTCGTGAATACACGAAAGCGAGACTCCGCGTGTTCTATGAGGAGGAACTTGACGTTCCTCTGGTACTCTTCAATGACGTATTGGACCACGTACTGCGGATTGATCGTGTTTTCCGACAAGTTCAGGGACATCTGCTGCTGATTGGCGTAAGCGGTAGTGGCAAGGTATATACGGTCTTTTTGTGCTTTAAGGTCAGCCCACTGATGCACATCGTAGACAACACTTTCCCGCTTTGTTGCGTGGATGAATGGTCTTAGCATCTTCCAGATCAAAGTTTCCAACAAATACACAGGCGAAGACTTTGACGAGGATCTACGTACCGTTCTTCGTCGCGCCGGCTGCAAAGGCGAGAAGATTTGCTTCATTATGGATGAATCCAATGTCTTGGACTCTGGTTTCTTGGAACGTATGAACACCCTTCTAGCCAACGCTGAAGTTCCCGGTTTATTCGAAGGAGATGAGCATTCTGCGCTGATGACTGCATGCAAAGAGGGCTCGCAGCGCGATGGTCTGATGCTCGATTCTCATGAGGAGCTGTATCGCTGGTTTACGCAACAAGTCGCCAAGAACCTTCACGTCGTCTTCACCATGAACCCTCCGGAGAATGGTCTCGCCTCGCGTGCTGCCACGTCGCCTGCCTTGTTCAATCGTTGTGTCTTAGATTGGTTCGGCGACTGGTCAGATCAGGCATTCTACCAGGTCGGTATGGAGTTCACTCAGACCCTGGATCTTGAATTGCCGTCCTATTCTCCTCCAGCGCTCTTCCCAATCGCCTTCCGAGAGCTTTCTATGCCTCCCGTTCATCGGGCTGCAATTGTCAATGCTCTGGTATATGTCCATGAATCCCTACACCAAATCAATCAACGTTTGAGCCGAAGACAGGGTCGATATAACTACGTGACACCCCGTCATTACCTGGACTTGTACGTTTTGACCTCTTTTCGGGCGGCGTATAACTGACTTTTTTTTCAGCATCAATCACTACGTGAGGCTCTACAACGAGAAACGCGATGAACTAGAAGAACAACAGCGCCATTTGCACGTGGGTCTCGACAAGCTCAGGGATACTGTCACGCAAGTCGAAGAGCTCCGAAAGAGTTTAGCTATCAAGCGTTCTCAGCTTGAGGCGAAGAACGCCGAGGCAAATGAGAAACTGAAACGTATGGTTGACGATCAGCAGGAAGCCGAACAGAAGAAAGCTGCATCGATTGAAATCCAGGCGGCACTCGTTGAGCAAGATAAGAAGATTGACCAGCGGCGCAGCGTCGTTATGGCTGACCTCGCTGATGCAGAGCCCGCCGTGCTAGACGCACAGTCTGCCGTGAGGAACATCAAGAGGCAGCACTTGCAGGAAGTTCGTACTATGGCCAACCCCCCGGAAGTTGTCAAGCTCGCCATGGAATCTGTCTGCACCATTTTGGGTCACAAGATTGACAGTTGGCGAACCGTTCAGGGTATCATTCGTCGTGATGATTTCATTCAACGGATCGTCAACTTCGATACCGCAAATCAAATGACCAAGCAGCTGCGCGACATCATGAAGAGAGACTTCTTGAGTAAACCGTCGTTCAACTTCGAGGCCGTCCAGCATGCTAGTAAAGCCTGTGGCCCGTTGGTGAAATGGGCTATTGCTCAGGTCAAATTCTCGGAGATCCTGGACAAGGTTGAGCCTCTCCGAAATGAGGTACAGTCTCTTGAAGATCGGGCGGCGCAGACCAAGGAACAGGCAAAGATGATCATCAACATGATCTCTGAGCTCGAAGCTAGTATCGAGAAGTACAAGGAGGAATACGCGGCGCTCATCAGAGAAACGCAAGCAATCAAGACCGAGATGGAACGTGTACAGAGCAAAGTCGACCGTAGTATGAAGTTGTTGGAGAGTTTGTCTTCGGAGAAGACTCGTTGGGAAGATGGCAGTCGCACATTCGAAACAGAGATGAGTACAATCGCGGGCGATGTTCTTCTCTCTGCTGGTTTCTTGGCGTATGGAGGCTTCTTCGATCAACACTACCGTGAGGTCATGTGGCAAGAATGGTCCACACATCTTGTCGACGCCAACGTCAAGTTCAAGACCGAACTTTCCCTCCCCGAATATCTGTCTACTGCTGATGATCGTCTCAGCTGGCAGTCGAAGGGTCTGCCGTCCGACAACCTTTGCACAGAGAATGCGATCATGATCAAGCGATTCAGCAGATACCCTCTTATTATCGACCCAACAGGTCAAGCTACGAACTTCCTACTCCATGAATACAAGGACAAGAAGATCACAGTCACCAGTTTCTTGGATGAGGCGTTCCTCAAAGTGCTCGAGAGTGCTCTACGTTTCGGCAACACCTTACTGATCCAGGATGTCGAGCATCTAGACCCCATTCTCAATCCAGTTCTCAATAGAGAAATCCGAAGGACTGGTGGACGAGTGCTCATTCGTTTGGGCAGCCAAGATATTGATTTCTCGCCCTCATTCACGATGTTCCTTTCCACTCGAGATCCATCCGTCGAGTTCTCTCCAGACATCTGCAGTAGGGTTACCTTCGTCAACTTCACGATGACGAGGAGCAGTCTCCAGAGCCAGTCTCTTGATCAGGTTCTCAAGGTCGAGCGTCCAGATACAGAGCGCAAACGCACTGATCTCATGAAGATGCAGGGCGAGTTCCGACTTCGCCTCAGAACCTTAGAGAAGCTACTCTTGCAGGCCCTCAACGAATCTACTGGAAATATTTTGGACGACGATAAGGTCATTGATACATTGGAGACACTGAAGCGCGAAGCTGCGGAAATCACCCGGAAAGTCGAGGAAACGGATGTTGTGATGAAAGAGGTTGAGGAAGTCACAGCCGAATACCTACCATTGGCACAGGCTTGCAGTGCCGTCTTTTTCATCTTGGAGCAGCTGAACCTCGTCAATCACTTCTACCAGTTCTCACTGCGGTTCTTCCTGGATGTATTCGACTATGTGCTGCACCACAACCCCAACCTCAAAGGTGTTTCCGATCAGCACCAGCGCCGGGAGATCCTTCTAAATGACCTCTTCCTTACCATCTACAAGAGGACCTCTCGAGCCCTTCTCCATCGCGACCATGTTATGCTGGCTGTTCTGCTAGCTCAAGTCAAATTGCGCGGGATAGAAGACATTGCGGATGATTTGGAGTTCCTGTTAGAAAGTGGGGACGGTGCTGGAACCGCAGCTCCTGGGGCTAGTATAGAACAGATTTCCATTCTCAATGTCGAGCAGATGCAACGACTCGAGAGCTTCGCCAAACACCCGATGTTCAAACCCGTATTCCAGCACATATCCGAGCACCAAGAAGAATGGGTCCCATTGTTGGAGTCCAGCTCGCCTGAGCTCGCTGTTCCTTCTCCATGGGAACCTAGTTCGCGTATGTTGCATAACATCCCTGCTAATAAAGACTTTGCTCACTATTGACATCTTCTAGCTGCAATTGAGGCTATTCGCAAGATCACTGTAATCAAGTGTTTGCGTCCTGACCGCTTGTTACAAGCAATGGCGTCGTTCGTGAACGTGATCTTCCAGACTGATCTATCCTCGCTTTCTGAATATGACCTTTCCGCTATGGTCTCTGATGAAGTTCTACCCGCGACACCACTTGCGCTGGTCTCAGTGACCGGATACGATGCCAGCTACAAAGTTGAGAATCTTGTGCAGAACACAGGTTCACGTTGTGCTTCCGTTGCGATGGGATCCCAAGAAGGATTTACACTAGCTGACCAGGCCATTGCTCATGCCGCTCGACAAGGCTCATGGGTATTGCTCAAGAATGTCCATCTCGCTCCCTCATGGCTCGGACAACTTGAAAAGAAACTGCAGACTTTGAACCCGCATCGCAACTTCCGCCTGTTCTTGACCATGGAAACGAATCCTTCCATCCCTGTCAACATTCTGCGTCAGTCCCGTATAATCATGAATGAACCACCACCGGGTATCAAGGCCAACCTTCTTGATTCACTTCGCAGCATCTCTGGACCGCGACTGTCACAGGGTCCCGCCGAGAAAGTCCGTCTCTATTTCTTGCTGGCTTGGTTCCATGCAGTTGTGCAAGAGCGCCTACGATACGTTCCTCTTGGCTGGAGTAAAGTGTACGACTTCAACGACTCCGACTCTTCTGCGGCCCAACATACGATCGACACTTGGCTCAACGCTGCAGCAAAAGGTCGTGCTAACGTAGATCCTGCGGCTATTCCGTGGGATGCAGTCCGCACGCTCATCAAGCAGTCCGTCTACGGCGGCAGAGTGGACAGTGACTTTGATCAGAAGATCCTGGATGCCTTCGTGGATGGTCTCTTCACCCCTCATGCTTACAATGTCGACTTCGATCTCGTTCCCAGCATTGGTTGTTCTCAAAGTCTTAGTGTTCCTGACGGTACCAAACTCGAGCATTTCATGACATGGGTGCATGGTTTGCCTGATCGTGAACCACCACAGTGGTTGAGTTTGCCACCTACTGCTGAGCGGGTCATCGCCGTTGCACAAGGTATGTTCTTTAACCGCAGAATGATGCAGAGCGACTGCTAACTTGAACCACCACAGGAAATGAGCTGCTCGGTAAACTGCGTAAGATGCGAATGCTGGCGGATGATGACGACGAGGCGACCCCTGCTGCTGGGCCTGCCAAGGGTCAAGCTTCCCAACAGCCGGCATGGATGAGGAATCTGCACGAACGCTGCCGCGAATGGCTCGCTCAACTTCCCAAGGTATGAATATGCACCTCCGCGCATTCGCAATGTTCACTGACGTGACATGGTATCAGGATTTCAAGACGCTTCCTACGCAGAGTTCTGACAATCAAGATCCTCTGTATCGTTTGTTTGCTCGTGAAGGCAACATCGGTAACAATCTCTTGAATCAAGTCCGGAGGGACCTGGTAGATGTGATCAAGGTCTGCGAGGGCGAGCTCAAGCAGACTAACCACTTGCGAACCCTCATGAGCTCCTTGACGAAAGGCATGTTTCTTTCCGCCAGATCTCTCCAATACCTTTAGATTAAATTTCTTCTTAGGTACAATCCCAGACCACTGGCGTCGCTACAAAGTTCATAAGGCTATGGGCGTGAGCGAATGGGTCGGCGACTTCGCTCGTCGTTTGACTCAGCTTTCTGAGATCGCCGGATTGGACAACCTTAACAACCTGGAAGTCTGGCTAGGCGGTTTGTTCTTTCCTGAAGCCTACATTACTGCTACTCGTCAAGCAGTTGCGCACCGGAAGAGGTGGAGTTTGGAAACCCTTCAGTTGCAGCTCGATATCGAGCAGGTCAATGATCCTGAAGCATTCATTGTTGATGGTAGGTCTTAGGCCCTTCTGTCGTTTTAACGAAATCCATGGATATTGAATTCCGGTCCTGCAGGTCTTGTTCTTCAGGGAGCGAACTGGTCATCAGATAAGTTGATGCTGAACAACGGTGAGACCGTCAGGTTGAACCCCTCACAAATCCGCTGGGTGCAGGCAGACGAGGCCGCATCGAAGGCGGGTTCTGTCAACCTCCCTGTTTACCTCAACAATGACCGAAGCGACGTCATGTTCACCCTGGACCTTCCCTTTGATAGCGAAACTGGCTCGCTGTTTGCTACTAGAGCTGTTTGTCTTACCGCTGGCGGTTAGAGACTTGAGAGTCATTCTTTGGAGTTTCTGGACATTTCATGCGGAATACCCGTGTCTGTAACGATACCTGTATGCAATTCTAATCCTCACGACCTTTCATGACTTCACGTTTGAATAGCATTTAATGTTATAATACCTGCCTCTATACATTTTCAGGAATGTCTATCATGACCTTTTTAGTGGTGTTCTAATGAGGTGCCGCCGGTGACGGTAAGCACTTTCCAGTCAACTTCAATGCCCTTTTCTCGGAATATTTTCCTGGCATCCTCAGCAATTGCCTCGTATCCTCCTGTAGCTAGTGCCAGGATCGTGGGCCCTGCGCCTGAGAGACAAATACCCAGAAGACCGGGATGTGTGTCTGGAGTAATGTTCGAAGTCACCTCCGGAAGGCCAGGAATCTGGAAAGTCCTCGATGAGGGCCATGACATGAAGAGGACGGACTTGGTACTCACCAACGTCTTTCGGTACGGTTGATGTATCCTGTCCTTCATGGCTTCATAGATCAATTCAGGATCTGGGGGTTCTTGAGCAAGAGCAGTTGTGAGCACTGCCAATCGTTGGAGATTGAACACCTGTACGAAAATAAGAGCAGAGCTGAAGATGAGAGCGTATATACTCACCAAGTCCTTCCGTGAGTACTCCAGCGGTAGTACTTCTCTCGCTTTTGCCGTACTCAATTCGAACCTCGGGATTATAGCGACGGCACTGATGCAACTTGACCAACCGAACCGAACAAAGTGTCCGATACCAAACGGTGGTTGAGGGGGATTCAATCCCCACTCCTCGCATGCGTCTGGAGGGTATTCTGGCAATACTTCGCTGAGGGGGACACTTGCAGCTTCGGTAGCCGCATGATCCAGCTCCCTCAGGTATGACCCAACAAATCCGCCCACTAGTGCAGCGGTGACATTGTCAGGATGGCGTTCAACCATCAAAGCGAAATCCAGCATTCGAGATTGCGAGAGGTTCAATTCGCCAAGTTCATTGCCCAACAACACGCCTGCAATGACTGCTGCACCAGACGAACCCAATCCGCGCCCAAAAGGAATTTCGTTATCAACATGAATGGAGAGATTTGCAGGGAACCTGGTTATATCGTGACATCGCAGAACATAGAGAGCGACACGGGTTGTAAGGTTTTTGTACGCGTCAAGAGGAACTTCATCGGCGCCTTCGCCAGAATAAGTGAGTGTGGGAGGACGAGCAGGGGAAGTGGCGGTCGGTGGGGTGATCGTAACTTTCAAAGTGAGATAAAGCGAGAGTGAGAGCCCGACAACATCAAACCCTGGTCCGATGTTGGCTGAGGTCGCTGGGACGCGGATTGTGAACGAGCGTTGGGTCATGGCGAGCAGTCAAGGGCAAATGACTCGACTTTCATTTTCTTACATACTTTCCCGATCGTTCACATCTCGACCTGGAAGGACCCTCCTCTGCTATTAGTAATGGACCATAGCATTAGCGAATGCGGGTGGTATTATAACACATAAGGATAACAATAAACTATTGCAGCACAGCAGAGACAGAGCGCGAAAAGTAAATCGTCCTAAACTCATATCTTCTTGACCCCGACGTTAGCGCCTTACTTCGCAGTGAACTGAAAAAAACCATTTCGTGTCAAGCACCCTGATGCAGAGTACGCCAAATTACTCACGTAGATACAATCGTCAAGGCTTCCATGCTGGGCAACAGCGACTAGGACAGGTTGATGGTTGGCTGCAGCGTTGATCGAGCACATACGATAGGCACCGGCATCCAAACCATTCGTGACATCAACAGTGAGGGGGTTCTCGGCAGCGTTCAGCCCCTTGAAGAAGGCGAACTTGGTAGGGTCGGTAGGCTCAGTTTGTGACAGTGAGGTCAGCTTCTCAATTACGACGTGAGAGTGGCCCTGGATATCGCCACCCTTGTTGACTACTTGTGGTGCACCAAAGTAGTTCTCGTTAGCATTGGTGAAGTGACCAGTTTCCAGATGCTTCAGCGCAAGTTTGACAGTGAACGACTTTTTGGCTGTTACTTGGCCATTGTTGGCAGGGAACTGGAACTTGGCAGATGGCATGTTGGTCGTTGCTGCGATGACGCCCATCGGGGCAGGGTTACATGAACCGGTCTTGATCTGTTTGCCATCGGTGAGTGGCAACTTCGTCGTCGCACAGAAGTTGATGAAGTTGTTTGTCGAGGTTAAAGACGCGACTTGGCCTGCGGCGGGCCTTATATTTCCCTCAAATTCAGTTACAATGTTTATGGCTATTGAAAATGATACTTACTGGTCCTGACCATTGTTTGCAAAACCCTTGGCAATAACGGAATCAAGGAGCGTAAGGGACTTCTGAGGGTCACCGTTATCTTTGCCTGCATTTCCAGTGTTGTTCTTGGCATCGTTCGTCGCCTTTCCATCGTTGGCTGCTTTTCCATCGTTGGCCGTCTTTCCGCCGTTCCCAGTATTGTTGTTGCCAGCAGCCTTGGCACCAGTTGCAGCAATACGTTGATCGAAGTCAGCTTGGGTAGTACATGCGATGCTAGTGCCAGGGGCATTAACCAAGGGCAAGGCTTTGCAGCTGTAGGATGAACAGCCATGGTTAGCCAGAGAAACATGAGCCAAAAAAAGATGAACAAACATTGTACCGCCGGCACAAGGCTGTACGACGAATTTGCCGCCAACACACTGGGCGAAGCCGTTGTTTATACAGGCCTGGTCTCCCACCTTACAGGGGGAGTTCTCATTGAGAGTCGCGAACTTGTCACTGAATGGCCACACAGATGAGCTCAAACACGAAACGCGTTCCTCAATGGATCACGTACTTTTGAGCGAGAGCGTCTTTGCCGTTCTGCTCTGCAGCAGCATCGCGACGGATAACCTTGAAAGGTTTCGCGGATGCGGAGAGCGTGAAGACGAGGATGATGAATACAGCAGAGAACTTCATGTCGGTTATGGGGAGTTCGTTAAGTGTAACAGGTACGTGAGTGACAGTGAGGGAGAGTTGGACAACCAGGTCACTAGAGTCTCTGAAAAAAATGAGTGGTCGCAGACCGTAAGAAAGAAAGGTAAGAAGTTAAGGAGAGTGGGGGAAATAAATGGGCGAATGGGAGACTGTGGCCTGCCACTCCGATCTCCCTTTATACCGGACAATGGAGAAGCATGGCTCCTTTGACTGCCATCTGCGATCTAGTCTCAGCGCTATCAAAAGGTAGTCAAATAATTGCACAGCCAACTGCGATATGTGCCAAGACAGTTCCTGAAGGCTGATAGTAAATAGATTAGCTGCAACAAAGTTAGTTTGCGTGAGTACAAGTTGAGAAATCCAAAAAGAGATTCAAAGAACTTTGGAAGGTACTTACGCGCCCAGCGACAGCGTAATCCGCGTGACAAGCCAAGGTCCGAGGAAAGCATTCCTCGAACCCTCCGTCAGGAATCAATATTTGATTCAGTCCACCTTCCGCCTTTCCACAATGTCCAACAGATTCCTTCTTCCCCCCTTCTCATCCGTCAGCCACCACCGACGTCGTTCAGGATGCCAGTGATCACCGTCGACGCTGTAAGATCGATCCGTTTGCCATCTCTGTTCATCCTGAAACTCATGATCTCTCTGACAGATCCTATTCGATATGGATGGGTGAGTTTTCCCTTGCGACCATCACCATCATCTTGCTCAACTGCTCCTGACGCCACGCGCTGCAACTGACCGCCTCTTTCGTCCGCCAGAACACTTATAGACTCTACCCCCGGTGCCCTCCAGGCATGGCAGATGTTCGGCAAAGACTACGGCTTAAATGCCGCAAAGGTCGCCCATGCGTCTCATGGACGCAGACTATGTGACACGCTCAAAGAGTACTGTCGTATTGATGATGAGAACAAACTTCAGGTATCTCGCCCACTTGCCATCATAATTGACTATCCCTTTCGTACTAATTCCACATCCAATCATTTTGCCAAAGGCTGAAATTGTTCGTTTCGAGGACGAGGTGATTAAAGGTGGCCCGATTGCACTGCCCGGCGCACTTGCCCTGCTTCAGCAGGTAAGGTCTCATTCTGCCGCTCATTGGCGCTCTATGCTATACACACGGTTTCTTGACATGGGTTTGATCCATCGAAAAAGATTACAGCAGGTAGTACTGCAGCCGCTTCAGGGTGGACTATTGTTACTTCTGGTGCGTGTCCTACCCTCGAATACGCTTTCCCATCGGCGTCCTTGCAACATATCTGAATAAGTGGTCACTTCTGATCATCTCCAGCAACGAATATATATGCACCCCAGGCTCTAGCATGTTGCGGTATTCCGCTACCTCCACTTGGAGCGGTCACCTCAAACGACGTTGCTTTTGGTAAGCCGCATCCGGCGCCGTATCTCGCAGGCGCGAGGAGGCTGGGTGCTGACCCTTCCAGATGTATGTCTTTATTTCGGTGAGAATGTTGAGTGCAAAATCGACGTGTTCATCATGGTTTCAGGTTTGGTGATTGAGGCTGCTCCTTCGGGGCTAGCATCCGGGCGTGCCGCGGGCTGTAAGACAGTGGCTGTTTGTTCATCACACACCGCTCAGGCCATTCAGGAGTCTGGTGTGAATCCAGATTATGTTGTCAAGGACTTGACTAGGTATGTTTTGACCTGGTTATTGGATTCCATTCAACATGATGAGCCTGCTTTAACGTCTCACGCGTTCGATAGTATATCCGCAAAATGGGTTGGGGACTCCATAGAAGTTACCATCAACACAGATGCTTGACGTCTCATTATACCCGCCAGGAGCATATACCCTAGAGTCTTAGAGAGAAGACGATGGCCATTCTTCAATCGACGACGTTAATCTTGGGGCATCGTTGCTTCTCTGATTCTGTTGCTCGTTCACTTTGTAGCGTACCAGAACATCCTGGGCATTTCTCTCTCGGTTATTTGTGTGCATACTGCATTCAATATCTATTTCATATTCTTTGGGTTGTCTTACGGTGTGCAGGATAAACTGAGTCGCATGGTATATGCCAAAACTTTGTAGACAAACGTGGTATTGACACCATTGATTCTGAGTTCGCGATGAACACAATATGTTCGTCATGTACGCCTGCACTTATAGGAGTGTCCTACTGCAGGTAAGTTAGGTGATCTCATAAACAACTCCGCAGTGTCGATACCGACGATTATTAGATTGACCTGCCAAGCATTATTGAGCCTAATCATCGTCAAATTCTCGATCGACCAACACTTAAGATTACTGAAGGATTCAAAAGACTTGGCTTCTCTTGTCCCATACTCACCATCTCAGCGTCTCAAAATAGAATAGATGGGTTGGTATGCTAAAAATAGATTTCTTCATGTTTCGACATTGTTCCCAAGTATGGTCTATATTTCGCTCTTAAGCTTAGTGGTTCGAACCTAAACACGCCGACATATCGCAATGTGTATACTGTAATACGGCCCGTTTTCAGGGGCCGAAACTACGATAGTCCACATGTTATGTATATATAAAGGACTCGTTCGAGTTCAGACTGCGCATACTCTAGACCCACTTCTTATCCTGCATCGTCACCTGAATTCATAGTACAGTATGAGCACGAAACACGGGATCATACCTGAGGCTGACAAGCTCGCTATCACACCCATCGATGAGAGCTTGTACTCTCTCGAACCGAATGAACTCGAGTTCTTCAAGTCCTGGACGAAGATTCAGGATGAAGAGGAGCTAAAGCGCCATATCTTGAAGAGTCAGGCTGACGCATATGCTGTAAGTCTCGTGTTCATACAAACACGTATGGATCCCAATGCTGAACACTAGGTATTCGATAGGTTTAGCCTTATCCATGCATTCGCCGATTCTCTTTCACGAAGTAGGTATTCACCTTCCTTTCCTGCTTTGCGTCTAATCATGAGGCTGTCTTACCGGCCGTCCATCCACCTAGATTGAAGATCTCTCGCTTCCCGGCGTACCAGGACTTACTCCGACTTGGCAGGGAGCGTCCAGGCGCGCTTTTCATAGATCTTGGATGTTGCTGTGAGTCTGAAGTTAGAGGTTTATTCAGAAGGCCGAGGCCATAGCGGAAATGTGCATGCACTCATTGCTAGATTGTGTTCTACAGTTGGTAATGACGTCAGAAAAGCAGTAGCAGACGGCTTTCCGGTACAACAAGCTTTGGCATCCGACCTCCGTCCAGGTCTGTAATGCTATTTGATATGAGTCGGCGTATAATCTCACCAAACGCATCAGAATTCTGGGAGCTTGGGCACCAGCTGTTCAAGGACACCAAGGAGACCTTTCCTGTCCCCTTCATACCCGGTGACGTCTTCGATATCAACTTTCTCCCAGACGAAGCCCGTAAAGCAGATACGACAACGGAGCTTCCACCTCTATCAAGCTTGACAAAATTGACGCCACTTCTGGGGCGCCTGTCTGCCATCCATACTTCCGCGTTCTTCCATTTGTTTGACGAGGAGCAACAATTCCACCTCGCGAAAAAAGTCGCTTCGCTCCTCTCCGCTGAACCCGGATCGATCATATTCGGCGCGCACGTTGGTAGGTCCCAGAAGGGATACCGTACCGAGGTCCCAGTATTGGGCGTACGAACGCAAGCTATGTTCTGTCACGGTCCCGAGAGCTGGGTGGAGATGTGGGAGAAACAGGTCTTCCAGCCAGGCCAAGTCCGAGCTTGGGCAACGTTGAAGGAAGTCGAAAGACCTGAATTCGCCCCAGTCACAGAGGGGAAGTTCTATCTTTTGGTGTGGTCCGTTACAAGGCTCTAGAATGTTTCCTTCCCTTCAGATTCTGTTCGTACGATGTAAAGGTAGACAAAGCCCACCTCGGCGCGCTGGTGAATGATGATTGGTATCTATGAGATATGGAACATTGTCTCCCATTGTGATACTGGGACGCCTTGAACGTCCGTTACCCTGCCTCTCTTTCTGTCCACGTCCCTCAAATCGAGCAACATGCGCGAACTAGCAATGCTGGGTACAGCGATACCGAAGCCGACTCCAGCTTGTATGAGGTCATGTGGCATTACTGTGATAAGCAAAGCGTTTACAATGCTGAAGAAGGCAATTCTAGAATGTGGCGGAAATGAAGTAGCTACGTTAGCTTGGCGAGCTCAGAACGTGAACAGTGATGTTATCTTACATGAGGCAGCAGATAGATGAGTCACGAATTAAAACGGTGGCGAGGGCGTATTTCTGGCATGCACGGGGATCATAGAAAGTGGCTGTGGCTTTGTACGTGAGCAGTCCTATCATGAAGACACTATAGGCCAGAGAAGGCAACCTAGAAGTGGGTAACTCAATATTGATTGAAATACACCTAGGTCACAAGGTCATGCTCGCGTACAATGTGGCCTCGATGAATGGAGGGATGTTTGTTGACGTAGAAGCCGCGTAAACTAGGTCCTTGATGGACGGCCCCACTGCCACGTCTCGCCTCAGGGCAGTACAGACAGGAGAATGACCGACAACTGTCAATGTTCAATGAGTAAAAGTTCTGTTATTCTGGTTGTCGGAGAAAAGAACTCACCGCGTAGTTGCGACATACTCATGTAGATAGACGTGAATGTCAACGCGCCGAGAGTGACATATGCTGCTGCCAGGGCATAGATTAGACACCGACCTAAACGATCGCAGGTGGGACATTTCAATTTGACCGTTACGAATGTACTAAGAATAGTGGAGACCGTACTCCTCTTGAACAGCGCATACAACCAGGTTTGCACGACCACTGAGGGAGATAATGAGCTATTGAGATGTACACGTTGGACCGAGACATACACTGAACCATCATCAAGCTCAACCATGCTACACGAATTCAACAGAAATGAGTCACAGGATACACGTCAGGATTAATCTTACTCACCGTACCAAGTTGACAACTGATAGAGAGCCATACCTGAAGGAGAACCATGCAGCGCGTTAGGTAACATAAAACCGGGATCAGTGAAGATACCGACATCTTGGCAAGTCGGCGCGGCCCATGTGAGCAGATGCAACGACCAAAATGAGGTAAACAATTAGAACATACCTGGGTGCTGAGCGTCTGCCAGTCGCGACGGCTGTAGTAAACGTGTCAGAATGGGTTGGATGGATGCTGACTTAGCTCGAGGTTCCACAAGAAGATACACCAGTTTGGGTGGTGACCAGGCCGATCGCTGGGAGATAGTCAGTTTAAGCTGTAGGACGCGTAGAAATAGGAGAAACACACCCATATGAGTTCTATCTATTACGACAGGACGGAATAGATAAGAAAATAGGAATGAACACCTTGCGAATTCGTCTTACCTCTTGACCGATAGTTAGAGCTGCGACGTCATTATAATAAGAATAACGATTTGGAGAAATGAAGTTGAAATTCATTCAACAGGTTTATTGAACAAACTCACCAAAGTCGTACAAAATCAGAAACATGGAGGCAATCGTGGCGTCACAAGCAAGTTCCTTCAGGTGATAGAAGGTCATCACCTCAGGACTTTGCTCTGTCAGGACGCCTACGGCGCCATCCATTCAGCTGTAGCCGGTAGGGAACGAAAGTACTGTACTGAAAATCACAGTTTAAGAGTGCAGAGATGAAGAGAAGGCACTGGAACAAGACCGCACAACATGGCGTGGTATATATGTTCGGAGGCTACGGCAACTGTAATCGAGGTTCAACAGAACACTTAGCGAAGCAGGCGCGGATAGTACGAAAATGGTGTTATATATCAGCTACTAACCATAAGAGCACATATGCAAAGCTCGGCTTCACCAAATGGTGATGAGGCACCGGAATTCGGCCTTTTCTGACAAACGGTCCGCGGGGATGTTGTGCAGGCTGCAAGCCTCGCGAGTTACAGAACCCTCTCAAATATATACTTCCCTCTTCGGTGTCGCGATCAGAGAAGCGACAGAAGGCACCATCGCATCTGGGAAGCCTCGATTCCACAGAAATTATATGTTTTCAATCTTTTTGGGACCATCGCACGATCTGCTCAGGCTTCGAAGAAACAGCTCCTGGCGTCGTTCACTGCAATCACCTTCATCCGGGGCAACACCCAGTACGACGGAGCCTGCACGGTTCATTCGTATGGGAACCAATCATATGGATGACGCGCGCTGAATAGGACGTAATAATTAAGAACAAAGCACTTGCAGAGTAGCCGATTACAAGCAGGACGCATAGTGACTTTTTGAGATACTATTCAAGGACAGTTTGCGGCGTCGTATATTGCTTGTTTGACAGCGGCCGTTTTTTGCTAGAGGGTTATGGCAAAAATCATGTTCCGCAAAAGACTTTTACTGTGGTCTCATACAAAACACGTACTTGCGGCGCATGCACCTGAGGCACAGAAGGCGCTCTTTGCAGTTCACGCATTCTCATAGTTGTGAAGAGCAACGCTCGCAATGCAGGATCCCAGATTCGAAAGCCGAGTTTTGATGTCGGGTGCTCGTACAGGCGAGGAACAGGTACGCGATGAGATTTACGACGCAGCTCACCGAGTACATCGCACACGGCTGGGAGGATTGACAAAGCAAATTTTACTGTAGATAGTCCAATATGAGTGCAGCACTATACACATTGCAAGGTTATCTTCTCTGGAATCTCGTCGTTCGCGCGTTAGTGTATGTTACAATGGATAATGACTCGCTCTACGCCTTGGCAGGCTCGGCCTCCTCGAGTGGCGGAGGGCCATCGTCGTCTTCGTCTTCGTCCTCCCCAGGAGCATCGGAGCTGCCAGATGCGCTGGGTTCAAACCCTCCAGCGCCACCCATGGACTTCATCATCTGTTTGTCCGGCGTGTCAGTGTGATTTCGAAGACGACAGTGAGTGTTCATACCTGCTCGAAGTCCATGCCACCCATGCCTCCACCCATGCCTCCACCCATGCCTCCACCCATACCGCCCAACCCTGGCATTCCGCCCATGCCACCCATACCGCCCATACCACCCATGCCACCCATGTCGCCCATTCCATCCATTCCGGCCATACCCAAGTCATCTTCAGCGGCCTTCTCCTCTTGCTCATCCTCGTCCACCCATTTGCTGAAGTCTGTCTTCAGCCATGGGAACTTAACCTTCTCCTTCGTGATACGAGGCCAAAAATCTGCCTTTTTCTCCTTCTTGCGAAGGACAAGGACGAAGTGGCGACTGGTCAGGCTTTTGAGCGATTCCTGTGATTCGATGTTAGCGTTCGGTCAAAAGATAATGATACCTTGAGCGTACCTCTGGAGCAACCTCGTCAAAGAGATCGAACTCGAATGCGTATTCATGTTCTTCAAGACCCTTGTCGGCGCTAATAAAGCAAACGCGTCAGCTCAAAAAACACAAAAGAACGATCGCAAAGAATATACTTACTTTCCAGATTTTGCTTTCAAGGAGATGTGTGTAGGGGTAAGCTGGTAGTCTAGTGTCTCGGGCTTGATGTCGGGGAGGTTGACTGTGACATAGAGGATGTTCTGTACTTGTGTGATCAGTACGCGTCGCAATCACCGACACAATCTCGGGATCTCATTTACCTTCTTCTCGTCGGTTTCCGAGCTGCGCTGAGCCCACAGAACTTCAGGGTGTTTCGACATTTTTGTGTATGATTGTGTGTTTCGACGATGTGGAGGACGACAAGCGAATATATGGGCCTCTCCTTGTGGAATCCTCCAGAATTGTGCAGAACGCCGGGCGCGTCAACGTCGCGACGGGGCACGTGGAGTGTGAGTTTAGGGCAGGCATTCTATGCCTCCGCGTCGTCGTCCAAATCCGCTTTGAACGCTTTGCTACACAACTTGTTCGTCTGGATGTGGTGAGTCGTCTTGCTGTAAGACAAGCTTTCTTTTCATTCGGAATCATTGACAGTAACCTCTAGGTGTACTAGGTGGTACCTTCCACTTGTGCTATTGCCTTTGCCAATAGCTCCAGCATACTTTCTTGTACTCTTCATATTATCCACGACACTTCACGCCCGGCCATGGTACGTCTCGTCTTGCATTGCACTCGACATGAGTAGTCTGTATGCTTATGTTTCAATCTACTCGTTCCAGTTTCTACTGCGTCATTCTTCTCACCGCGCTCTTTCTTTCGTCATGCTATTGGCCGCCAGTCCCAATAGGATCATCCCTTAGCACCCCGTGGTCCGACAACATCACCACTTTTGCAGATGCGCTGCTCTCAAGAATGCCAGAATTACCTCGGGAGAAGTTACCCACCGATATCCCTATCGTCGATCACTGCTGGTGCGACGTGGCCTCAGGCAACCTCTTTGAGCCGTTCAACATTACAAATTGGGAGCTCGAGAGCGTGGAACGGCTGAAACGATCTTTGGAGGTTGAAATGAAGAAGGAGAAAGCTAGGGATCATTCAAAGGCGGGCCAGGAGAGTACTCTCTTGACCAATCCCGACTTGATCCCGAATAATTCGACTTCATCCGAGAGCGCGAAGGAGGGAACCGTTAACACAACGCTCTCATGGGGTTCCGTATGGGGAAGTGTATGGCCGTTTTCAGGAAAGTCGGACACGTCCGTAAACGCTTCATCTGTTCCTCCACAATCCGATGGATCACGAAATACAGATCCTCAGCCATTTCCATCAACTTCGGCAGAAAGAAACGATACATATCCAACTCCAACAAAGCCGGAGTCAAAGAAGTTGATACGCCGCGAATATGATTTGAGACCGTATGGATTTGACATGATAGTCGACTTCAGCTGGTCGAGAAGGAGGGCTGCAGAGATGTAATCCCATATCCTGTGCATGCTACCGTGGAGAGGATAATGCATGTATTATATACCGCCTTAATAGTTGTATTTCTATGTTATGAGGATTCTAGTTCGTAAATGATAAAGAAGCATTGTAGTCAATGCGTGTCGCCCATAACGTTACTATCGGCAGTTTCCGTATCCGCGTCGACGCGCCTTCGACTTGTTGCTCGCAGACAGTCAACACCGTCCCAGAGCGAGAGCCTTGTGCTCAACAGCCACCATGGCCTCCAGCTCGACCAAGAAGAAGCGTGAGCCTCGCGTTGCTCTTGACAACCTTGCGGAGGGGCCCTCGCGTTCGTCGTCTGGCACGCTCGATGTGGTGTCCAAAGCTATTCTAGCTCCATTCACTCATCGAAAACACGATTCAAACAAGATATTCTCAGATCGTAAGTTGCTTGACTAGTTTTACAATTGCTCTGCATTGACGTATTCCCAGTGGCGCCTGCTATAATGACTCCACGTATGATGAATGCGGCGGCAACTGTGTCAAGCAAGTCGAGACCTTCTCTGGGGCCTTCAGGCACTTCTCGAGTGGATTTTGCTACCTTAGGTCGCGCACCTTCACGATTCACCTTGGGGTCAAGAAGGATTACCTCGCGTGATCTACAGATTGTCGAGGCAACTGAGGAGCTGCTGCACGAGGAAGTACCGGAGCCTGAAGGTGTCGCGCAGAACGTTAGCCTACTCCGCGGTTTCAACGCGACTATTCCTAGTTCTGAAAAGAGCCGAACGCGAAGACGGCAGACACGCAGTGTCGAGACTCCGCGGTTAAGTTTAAAGAAGTTGAGTTTGGGTGCGCGGGGTATGCTCGGCGAGGATGATGAGCACGAAGGCGAGAGTGTGGCCTCTGAGGAGGATATGGTTGTCGTCGGACGATCGGAGACACGCGGGAGAAAGCTCAAAGCGAAGCGAAGAGGTCGACAGAGCTTGAGTGCAGGTAAAGTTCTTGGGAAAGACGAGCTAGTCAGGCAAACGCATGAAATCGAACGCGACAAAGAGAATCTTCATGTGCGGAGGGTGAGTTATTCCATCTACTTTTGGGAGACATCGTTTTGATAATGGTCCTAGACTCTCATTAGCGCGGAGATTGCTGAAATAACTCACAAGATAGAAGCTTTGGACGCGATCCGTAATAAGCTCGAGCAGGATCTTTTGAAGCTTCAGGAAGATGAATTGGAGCTGGATGACGAGCGTGAGTAGTAGCATGCTTATTTAGCCATCTTTTCTGACTTTAGATGCAGTGGAAGGTGTTAAGGAACGCCTGGAACTGGAAGAATCAACTAGCCGCCCTCCAAAGTCACCCACACAACAAGCCCATCTTCCCCAAAGTTCACGTCGCCGTAAAGGTGTGACCGAACCCAGTTATGTTACGAATCTGTATCTCACGCACGTTACGTAGGTCCCGCATTCCTGCCCTCTGAGCATGACGAACTACCTCCCGGCGTAGCGTTTATGGTATCATTGACCCTTGGTTCTCCTCTTCCAAGCTAGTACTGATCGAACGTTGTATGACAGTCACTATCGGGGCATACAGCTCCCATCACTGCTCTCGATTTCTCCGAACCGTACGGGACGCTTGTCAGTGCGTCCCAGGAGGACTCACAACCACGCGTGTGGGATCTTTTGACTGGAGAGGAGATTGGGCGGTTACGAGGCCATCGGGGATCGGTGAAATGCATACAGGTAGAGGATCAGGTCTGCCTGACAGGTGGTGAAGATACGACAGTTCGGTTGTGGGATCTGAGGAAGGTGGATGAGGATGAGGAGTGGGAGACTAGTGAGATCTTGAGCTTAAGCGACGTTGCAGAGGAGGACGAGAGCGTCGCTGAGGATGGACCTAAGGTCCAGAGGGACCGGGAGCCAGATGGGAAGGCCATTCGACAATCCGGCACTAGCGAACCTGAGCGGTCTGGCGCATGTACTCGAGTACTCGAAGGGCACAGTAAAGCCGTCTCGGCCCTCTACTTTGAGGAAGATTGTTTGGTTCGTCTTCCCCATCGCCTTTCAACATGTGGAATCATTTACCCAATGTCAAACAGGTCACTGGAGCAGCAGACAAGACGATGCGCCAGTGGGACCTACAAACAGGTCAATGTGTCATGACCATGGATATCCTTTGGGCAATCTCACATCCGCCGACTGTTGGCCCTGGTGGTCCTATTCCTAATTACTTATTTAGCGGAGCAGCTGCCTCGGCTGGCACTTTCGCCGTCCCTACGCCGCCATTTGCGGATGGCACTTGGGATATGTACCGGGATTTCGTTGGTGCGGTGCAGTTCTGGGGGTATGCATTGATGAGTGGAAGCGGGGACGGTGCTGTTCGAATGTGGGATAGTAAGTACATAATTTACTTTCGCTGCTCGTGGTTTTCTGATCATTCACATTGCTTGTAGTGCGCACTGGTCAGCCTCATCGGACATTACTTGGACATACCGGTCCAGTGACTTGCTTGCAATTTGACGAGTTGCATGCTATCAGTGGTAGTCTGGACAAGTCAATCCGGGTTCGTTGTCGAATAGCTCCAGATATCAAAATGTAGCTCACCTATTTATTGGCAGATCTGGGACCTACGTACTGGAGGTATTTTCGAGACTCTTAAATATGACCACGCAGTCACAGCGCTGCAATTCGATACCAGGAAGATTGTCGCAGCTACAGGCGAGAACGGTATTAAAGTGAGTTGTGCCTGGTCAGCTGTATATAAGGGAAGCTAATGTAAAAATCTTTCTAGATATATAACCGCACCAGCATGCAGCATTCTACGCTGCTAACCAATGGCCATACCAGACCGGTAGAGAAACTTCGATACATGGACAGGTATCTCGTCTCTGGAGGACGAGATTCAGTCGTAAAAATTTGGGCTCTGTAGAATCAAAATGCGAACAGTGTTCTTTACTGATATGCATTGGCTTTCGCTTTGCTTGGGTATCATAGACACATTTGCACTCATCTGTAACATACATCCATATAGCAGGACATCTGTAACAAGCAATCAATAATTCCCGTCTTTCATGGCGAAGGTAGAACCACCAGCGATTGAACTACAGAGTTTGCCATCTTTAGACATGCACCTCTCGATCAATCTTGCAATTCCCAAGCGAAGTGGTCGCCTTGGCGTTTCCCAACCACCTCTAACGATGACTTTGCTGTTCTCAGTACCGCATTTGCTGAGAAAATATCCTCCTTCATTCACACAACAACTACTGCGGAATAAGGCTGGGCGAGCTTGTTTTGCGACAACTTCTCTCAGGCTCCGGGACAAAGATGTCGGATCGATACAACATGTTGACTATGAGACCAAGTATGCTGCAAAGCTGAAGAAACGTGCTGCTGAGTGAGGTGTTTCACGTATGTTTGTAGCCACGGAATACTTTCTTACCTTGTTTTACCTTCATGATCTTACTCAAAGACAGGGTGTCACTATAGAGGAGCTACGTGAACGGATCAAAGAGAAGGAGAGACACGAAAGAGAGCTTCGGCGAGCCGCTTTACAGAAACACTCGGCGGAGGGAGACCCAGCATACTCATCTGCTAATTTGCCGTTTAATGCCTCGGAGCCTGATGAGCAAGAGCTAGCCATACGGAACAGCACGCCTTCTCCCATCCGTCGTGTTCGCAAAGATAGTTCTCCCGTCAAGGTTGGACAGAGTTCACTTACGACAAGCTGCTGCGGACTGACATGATTGGTTCCCTTAAAAGCCGCTTTCAAGTATCCTCAATCTGGAAAAGTTGTTCTCAAATGACCATACTCCCGAACAAGTGTCGGTCTTGTGGCGGGCATATCACGCGTCTCGCTCAAAAGGCACCGGGCGAGGGTTCCTTTGTGCCACATTACCCGTCGAGTCGTATAAGCTCATGCTCGATGTTGCTACCCGGTATCCGACCTTCATTTTCCCCATTCCAAGAGAGAATGCTCAAACAGGCGAGCCGATATCAGAAGGCCAGCGGCCAGCTGAGTTCTTCTTCATGCAATGGGACTTCCACGGTGCTCCCCTAGAACCAAAGCCTCAGGAGGACATTTTTGCACGTCCAAAAGTATCGAAGAACCCACAGACGTCAACGGTTCTATTTACACCTCTGCAAGAATACAAACTCCGGGGTACGTTTGCAACCCCTCACCTTGTCATCACGCACTATCCGGACCTGGCGGAGACACATGGATTGGTTTTGCTTCGTGGTGAGATCACACCCTCGCCCACGAACAATGGTTCCTTTGGGGACGACGGCAGGTACCTGTTGAATCAACAGGACGCTCAACTCCTTGCATTGGGTGTACAAAAGTTCTATCTCTGGAGCGATGGTCACAAAGAACGCGAAGCGCTTTTGAAGCGCTTCCACGAGAGCCCCGCTGATTTCAAGTGGGAGGAATTGCTGAAACACAGCGAAGTATCATCATAGCTAGTGGTGCGTAATTGTTTATCTATGACTCGCTCGTTGGTTCCAAAGCGTCTTGTCTGCAGCATGTTTGATCAACCTATGTATTTTGCCACCGAGATTCCGTATAGAGCGTTTGGTTGGCGTCCTGTGACCGGTATTTCGAATGCTTGAGCAGAGATCGTTGGTCTAACCGTATTCACTCTATGTTGTTCGACGGTAATAGGCCTGCGCAGTACTGGACAGCCAAACTCCCGTAAGTGGAATACCGCCCTTCTTCCTCTCGAAGGAGTAACATGGTACGTTCAATTATCTCAGCGCTTTTGCTGGTCAATTACGTATATTTGAAAAGATACAGCCCTACCAATTTGATTGGCTACGAGTCCCCATCCTGCTTTGTAAGTTATCTAGGGTGCTACGACTCGGGACACGCCCGTGAACACCGACCACCAACAGTGTCGTACGGTTGTCTTGACCCGAGGCGCTGCATGATGATTGCAAAGTTCGCTAGATGCATCAGAATGTCCATGCTTCTTCGGACTCGGGGAGGCGTTTTCGTCTGAAATTTTTCTCATCGTCAGGCAGACGATATTCACTCGAGCTGACCAAATCATGATATTCTTGTTTTACCTCCAGGCGGATAGACATGCGGCGGTCCCACAAGCGCTGGGATACAACTGGCTCTCGGGTGGTCTAGATGTCGTTCGTGTCGCGGACAGTATGTGTCTTCAGAACTCAATTGAATCAGTGAGCAAAGAACGTTTCTATCTATTTATACAATACATAGGTCGCCCAAGTCGGCGCATTGTGCACGCCGGATATCACATTGCGTATCGAGACGAGAGCTACGTTACATGCAGTGACAGTCGATATTTGATTTTTGCATCGTTCGGTACCAGAAGGCTTGTAGATGGCTTTGAACCTACTTACAGTGCCGCTGCGTATCTGCGCCAAGCCAACGTTTTACCCCGTCGATCTGGTCCCTGATCCTCCAAGAGATTGAATAGAGTGCTACATCGCAGAGTTTGGCAAGAATGTCTTTGTCCTGGGGAAAACATAGCAAGTTCCTCATTCCGATGAGTATGTCTTGGCGATGTTTGGGCGACTGTACTCCATCTATGGGTAAGATCACGCTCCAACCCTGCATACGTGGGAATGCATATGGACTCAAATTCGCCCAACCCCCTGGACTGGGATCTGCTGTATGGGTCATTGGTATCCATATAGGTGATGCACCATGCCGACCATGGGCGGAGCGCACTCCACCAAAAATACCCTGACATGAACGAGAAATATCAATGCTGACTTTGTGGGGCAGAGTTCGGTCAGAAGGAAGTATTCCGCAGTCCGCGTGGTGTGGGACCTTCTCCACAAGGCACTCTCTCGGCATATAGAGCTATTCGCGGTGGAACAATGACTTTCTTGGCAACCTTCTAACCACTTTATAAATCCGGAGGGTCGAGGCGCTGCAATGCGGGTATATTTAAGAGCACGGTTCAGATAGAGAATCCTCGATCAGCCACATTCTAACCGCCCCGTCTCTCCATCTACACCACTGTTGGTAACAATATCATAGTACTCGATCTACTTGCATTTACGCCATGAAGCCCTTCTCGTATCTCAAGAAGACTAGTAGCAAGGTGAATTAGTTACCTCGTCATTGTCGAGTGACATGGAACTAATAGAGACCTTAACAGGACTCATCTATTGCTTCCAACGATGGACAATCTTCACGATCGAGACTGTCTATGTCGAGCCAATCGTCAGCGGGGACATCATACTATGTTCAATTCGTATGTCCCACCAAACTTGTCATCCTTGCGTCGACCTTAACGACGATGCACACACAGCCTTACGGCACTTCATTATCCCCCTCGAGGAGCTCCAGCTCACAAAAGACGTCGTCAACAAAAACAGATATTGTACGTCCCCATTTGCCCTTTTTCAGTCTTATAACGTGCTCATCACGATATGTGCTCCCAGGCTGAAATGATGGATGATGACAACATTGCATGGGGAAAACCTAGGAAACCATGGCGTCGTTAGAATCAGTGTTCTCCACTTTGGTTTTCTTTCTAGATTCGGACACCATTCCTCAGGTACATTAGGTTCACGCACTGTATTCTAGCATCATTCAACATACCCGTTCTATCCGGCACCTGTCACAATAGACAGACACAGCTACTAAATGCCGCCTTATCATTCAGCTAATTACGTATATCAGAGTGTTCTTGAGAGTGAACGAGAAGGTAAAACGAGATCTTGTGTCGCACATCCTGCTCGTTTTATTTCAATTGAAGTTGGCTATCTAGGCCGACCGAGTCCCATACGTGAAAGAAGCTCATTCAATCAAACTGGGGTCCTTCAATGTACACCTCTCACTGAACGTTAGATATCGTGAACCTAACAAGAAGCATATGGCGACTTTCACCATTCAAGACGTTTTCTCCCTCGCATTGTCAGGCAACGGCCAGTGATTTAAGGTTGAACTCTGATGATCAAAGGTGTCTGGAGTTGTAACAATCCTTTATTGAGCTGAGTTATTATACCGTTTGTATAAGATGTCAACCACCCGATGGAGATTTAAACAATGAAAATCTGGGCTTGGCCAAAACGAAGAGGTTAACATCCAAGTATCCAAAAGCTAGGATTAGCTTACGTTCCGTCAGTGTTGTAGGATAAGTCGCTATGTGAGGAATCATGTTCCAAACATTAGCATTAGGGATAGTTCAGCTTGACGGCCAACAGGATTCAAGGCCACTCAATAATACAGTTAGATCATGAGTGCAGTGATGAATACATTTAAGCCGTACCAAGGTGTCGGAATGTCCCAGGAGATCGGATATCACATCGGAAGGCCGACACTTTGGCACTGCGGCGTACCAGAGACGGCACTCCGATTATGAGACCCAACGTGACGGAAAAGCTTCAAATAATTGTAAAGCCGCATCATCTCCCCAAGTCATTGAACGATCGTCATTTGTGAACAAGGGACCGCAACTGTCTGTGAAATTTGAGACTTGCGGGGAACTCGAAGCACCTCAGTCATAACAAATACTGAAAGTCCTATTGGTTCATGCGAGGTAGAAATGGAAGTGCACTTCCGTCTCGAAGACATATGTGCCTGTTCTCTTCTGTTCTTCTTCATGGCCGTGGCCGATAGCAGGGTGTGGACGAAAATAGGTAAGGGACCGCTGGAGCCGGATGACGAAGGTATCATATGATTCAGGCTTCTACTATCTGGAATCACATTGTCAGTCTCATTAGGGAGTGTAACAGCTGACAAGAATTTCACGATTCACCTGTACAACAATGGTGTATGCGTGGAATGCAACCAGAAATCGAGAAGGTATGTAAACGGTGGAAGCGATCCAAAATAGAGAATATTGAACGGTGAAGGGTTTGGCATAGAAGATATCATGATTTGTTGCAGGTAATAATAGGTGTGACAGCGTCTCCGTGAAGACGCACGAGTCGACCAAGATTGTTCAGGGCGATGAAATGAGAGGCGCCTTCCTACACCACTCATTGCTCTCTAACTCCCGAAGGACGAATGCCGCGAATGCAGCGCGGGACAAGACAGTTCTGACCTTGCCGTCTCCAATATACCCTGCGACGTAATCAACGGCTTCATCGCTTGTCAGGATAGGCACTCTAGCAATGGTCCATAGAACGTCATCCGCCTGTGCTTTGAATAGCTCTCCGATCGCCACAACGTCTTTATACGCGTTGTGAGCGAATATTGCTACTCCTGCGACGAGGGCCTTAAACTGGACGCTAAATTTGTCGTGTTCGTCATGGATGCTAGCTGTACCAAGAAGGATGACGCGTTTGACATCATGTTTTTTCATGGCATCGATGATAAGGCCATAAGCATGGGCGAGTGGAGTGTTACCGGGATATGTTATGCCCTGACGAGGGGGAGGGCCCAGGGCTGATAGCACAGCGTGCACGCCAGCCATTGCTTGTGAGATCGCCTCTGCATCTGTTAATTGTCCTTCGACTACAGTGACCGACGGATTGGCGGAGATATCCTGCGGCAGTTTCTCGGGCGACCTGGCAAACACAACGACACTGTGGCCGCCATCCAGAGCATGCCGAATAAGGAGCAGACCCGCGGGACCCGTCCCTCCAAAAATGAGAATGCGCATGGCTGTGAATAGCGAGCGAGGAAGAGATTGTGGTTAGAAGTTTTAGCTCGCAAGGATTACTGTGCCTGCTAATTTTGGACTTGAACTTACTTACTGATGGCGATCGCCGGGCCGGTAGCCACATTTACACCTCAGAATCTTGGAGAAAAGCTTCATGGAGTTTGCAATTATCGGATTGTAAGATGGGCGAATATCTTGGATTCAGCAGTTTGTTGTGAATTGTGTACAGGTGGCATTCAGAGACAAGCCATTAATAGATACAATGGTCCAATAAAAATACAGCAGTTCTACAAATAGACTTAAGATTAGGTGTAGACGCGAAGAGCGGCAATATCCCAGAATGCGTCTGTGAATGCACTAGGATTGTTATTCACATAGTCTTCAGATATAGTCATCAGCGAACGTTCTCGAGAAAACATCGAGACAAATGACCCACCAGTGCAGGCACCGGGACAACCGGCACCGTTAAAAATACCCGCCTGACCAGCCCAGTCACCGCCTACAGAAGGAAAGTCAATACAACGAATCTATAAGGTCAGCTGTGGAGAGACATACAGAACGTAAGGTTGATTATAATGTTGTGAGCATCAAAGTGTGAGGCGATGTCACATTGTGTGTTTGGGAAAAAGGCGGTGGGGGTGCCCTATTCACCTTGTAAGTCTAGAGTACCACGTCAAGCTTTTCCTTAACGCTTACCCATGTATCAGTATTTATCGAGTTGCCACCACTTCGAACTTCAGCAGGGACGTTGCCAGCATTGCGGCCCCAGAACCAGACTTTGATGAAAGTACTGGTCCTCTCCATGGCATAAAAACCCCCACCAGCGTTGTTGAAAGCAGGACCGTAGCTATCTGGTGTGGGTGCCTGAACACCACAACCGCTGTTTCCATTGGCATTGACGTCGCAATTGTTTAGCGTTGCAGTACCTGTCTGAGTGCGACTGGCAGGCATATTGCAGTTGGCGCCAGTGTGGAGAGTCATGGCATTCGGCGTTTGGTCGTTGACACCTTCCACCCTATAGACAATTACAGTCAGATCGAATTCTTGGTACATCGAAATATTCAACTTACTATGGAAAATATCGTAGCAAAGGAAATTACGTTGAGAGGTCAGCGAGTGCAAGAATATCGGGCAGATATCAAACCTACGATGTCGACCTCCCCACCATTTGGCCAAGAAGCTTCGTCTGTTTCCCAAGCAGCAGGCCATGTGCCGCATCCTTGAGGCATATGACGAATATCGAAGCTGAGAAAAAATCAAACAATTAACTTGCACCATAACTAGATGGGATGGGGCGACGCACACAGAGACATGGGTTGTGTAAGTCTTAACGGATCTGATGCGGACACTGTTTCGACTAGGACCAGAAGAACTCAGGGTGGTCTTAGAGTCGGCGCGAAGAATGAGCGTGTTCCCGGAAGCAAAGGTGAGATTTTGAGCAAGCGCAGTAGCTTGATCTACATAGTTCCTATTCATAAAAATGAAGCTCAGCATATCTGCATAAGAAAAGAACGCGACAAACGCCTACACTCGTCCACGAGTAGGATCAGCGATGGCTTGGTGCGTGAAAGTAGACAAGAAGTTTGTTCCAACATGATTATCTGAGAGTGAATAGGTAGCCGCAAGAGCGCTAGGTGCAAGCGTCGCGAGAACGAAAGCTGCCTTTGTCGCGCCGACCATGCTGAAGGATAGGATGCAGGGTGAGCCTATCAAAGTGAGCCTTCCTATTTATGCACATAACCTATGGAGGCCCGGGTCCTGTAGCTCCATATCATGAGAATATGCTGGATAACCTACCTTCGTCGTCGAGAAACCATAAGTCTCCTGAAGAGTCGTGATCCATCATGAGGGGTTGCTTCGCATGGAGAACGGGAAAACCACATGCACTGGATGATCACGCCGCATTTCAGGGATGAGTACCATGACAACATTCTGAATTTGAGGCTAATTGAGAATAGAGAACGAGACCTAGAGCACCTTGGACCAGCTTGCGCAGACAACGATGGAAACAATAGCGCGCGGTCAGACGAGTAACGGGGACTTTGATAAGCCGACGATGACAAGCACCAAGAAATCGGTACAATTAGAGAGCACCTTCGAGACGAAGACCTGAAATAGCTGTAATAGAAGATCATAAGACAAAAATGGAAACTGCGAGCAAGCGGAAGTCATGAATTTCATACATATAGCAGTGGTAGTGGAATCCCGTGAGTTACAACCATCACAGCGAGGGATCGCGCTCGCACAATGACCATTCGGTACACATCGATATCATCCTGCGTTCGTATTGTCGATGTGTAACCTGTGAACAAATAGCAACATCAGTACGCAGGAATCGGAATGGCAGTGTGATTGTGTATGCTCGTGACATACCGACCATGCAGAATAGTACAAGACATAGGCAGAAGTATCCAAGGAGTACAAGAAAGGTGAAGACGAAGAAGTGTTCCTCGAGATACAGATACATAATGTGACGCCTCTTCACGTGCCTCGTGTACATTGGTTATGAAGATCATAAGACAACATCCGCGAGGAATGATGGCTACACATGGAACAGATTTCTCGTCCTGGTGGACAGATGGCTGCCCGCGTTAGATGTCCTTGAATATCAGGGGACAAGCCTGGATAAGCCGAATCAATCTCCTCACTACATAACTTATGATAAAAAGCGATTGAGGAGTTGGCACTGATGTCCTCTTATCCGTTCTCAGAGGATCATGACTTAAACCTGTCCGTGAATCTTTCTTAATGCGATGCAGAGCATGTACCATCCGCAGGGTCCCGGAGCCGTACTCGATATTCCGCCTATAAGCCAAAAATAGCAAGCGCAAGGTCTCACTTTGAAATGCACGGAGAAAGGTTGCGTATCGAGTATGTAACCTAAGGCCCTTCATTGACGGTAGTAAACATAGAAGGCAGAGAACGGACTCATTATTACTCACCACAACACACGCGACAATCAACTTCCAGAGAAACCAAACCGGCTAAGCAACGTAAGCCGACGGAACACGAGACGAATGTCTGTGGGATTCATCTTGACGACCGAGTGCAGAGTTTGGATGATCAGAATGCGTTGAATTGATGTTGATTGGGGTCGGATTCAATGATATCAACAGTGGGAGGGACAGTGTAGGATGCACTAAGCCGCGGAAAAGATATTGGTAAGTTGGTCAGTTCGATTCTGCCAGCGGTGCTTCCAGCCAAGGACCGGCTGCTTTTGCTTCCTTCTCCAGCTCTAGTATCAGCTCTCCAGCGACCCCCTCTAGGACAGGGACTAGTTTCTCCATATCGCGTTGATATAGTCTTCCAAACCGCTCCACGAGACCTGGTATCTCTCCCTCCACATTCACCTCCCGTTTCGTGGCACTGGCATCGGCAATACAACCAGCATGGACGCCATCCAATCCACACGCAACTATCCTGTCAAACCAATGTTTTGGCTCTGGAGTTACGTTGATGGCGAATCCATGCGAAGTCAGCCTGTGCCTGACCTGCACGCCAATGCTGGCTATCTTTGTGTTCTCATCAAGGAATACGCCTGTATGGTCGCTAGGCATTGTTTTGATTGCATGCTCCTCTTGGAGGTGACACTCTAGTACTTTCTGCATCTTGCATATGTAGTCTCGAGTATGTATGGTGGGACTAGTGCGTCCCAGGTCCATCAGCGGGTATCCAACAATTTGGCCAGGGCCATGGTATGTGAGTTGTCCACCTCGTTGGGTCGTAACGAAGTCCGCCCCGATTCGTGTCAAACGAGCTTCTTCAGCTAGAACTTCTGGCGACGAAGGTAGTTGCCGTCGTCCCGCAGTGTATACCGGACGATGCTGGAGGAGTAGAAGATAGTCCCTATGCGTTTGAGAAGCCCGTCTCTGTGCGAGTTGTACAGCATGAAGCTTTTCCTGCAGGAGAAGCGTACGAGTGTAAGGGAGAGGTGTTTGGAAGAAGTGATAAAGGACAGGAGGTAGTGACATCGTGATGATATTGAATATGTACAGTATAGGGACAAGCAATATGAATTTTGTGTTCTAGACAGAGCCCACAGGTCAGAGTGTCGGCCTGACCGTCGCTAACGAAAGCATTCGAATCAAATTCAAATTGGTGAGCCTGTTCGGATAGAAAGAAAGCGGTGAGAAACACATGGCCTAAATCAGCATGACTGCAAACTCTCATGATGGATTCAGAAGGTCCTTCAGCCGTTCAAACTACTACCAGTACGTCTATACGTCTAAGATGTACTGTATTTCACAATTTGATTGAGCAGACCTAACATCAGCTGCACGACAACATGCCGGTTTCCCAAGGTCGAAGGTCTTTCATCGTAGGAGCAGGATGTACTGCGTTCATCAAGGTACATACTGGACCTTCTATATGCGAATATGTATCGTCCTGAGAACAATTGACTGCAGCCGAGAGGTTTGCGGACCACAGAAGACGTGAGTGACGAACTAAGTGCAGACCAACATCATCTGAACGCTGGCTCTCTAGATGGGTTTGGAGGCTGCGACAAAGGCACTTCTAGATGCAGGTATGCACATAGCTGGTACAGTTTGATTCATTTTCTTACGGAGAGAATAAGGTATAACATATGACGCTGTTGAGGTGGCTTATGTCGGTTACTGTTACGGAGACTCAACCAGTGGTCAGGTATGTCCTGCTTTTTGCTATGGGCTTGCTACAACTTGAATATGTCATCGTTCATCCAGAGAGCATTGTATAACCTCGGCCTGACTGGTATTCCCATAACCAATGTCAATAACAATTGCTCAACCGGCAGTACCGCACTCTACCAGGCTAATACCTTGGTTAAGTCTGGTCTGGTGGATTGTGCTCTTGCTCTCGGATTTGAGCGGATGTCTCGGGGTAGTCTTAGCTCCAACTTTCCCGACCGACCTTCACCTGGGTTGGTTTTGGCCGAGGCGTCTAACGAAGCTGAAGAGCTGCTCAGTACGGGAACAAACTTCGGCCCTGGTGCTCCAAGGATGTTCGCAAATGCTGGCCAGGAGCATTCCGACAAGTATGGATCGACGGTCGAACACGTGGCGCAGATTGGTTTGTCGTTTCAAACATCTAACATGTGGCCGATGCTCATATCTGCAATAGCCTCGAAAAATCATAAACATTCGGTCAACAACCCGTATTCACAGTTCAGAGATGGTTGGAGCGTCGAACAAGTCCTCAATGCTCCTAAGGTTACAAAGCAACTGACCAAGTTCATGTGTAGTCCGACTTCGGTGGGTCCATGCGCGATCTGGATGTTGTCCATGGGTCGCTGAGTTATATATAGGATGGCGCGGGGTGCTGTGTCGTTGCCTCGGAGGAGTTTGTCCGCAAGCACGGCCTAGAGAACCAAGCTATTGAGATAGTCGCACAGGCTCTGACGACAGATGATCCATCCACGTTCGAAAGCAAGAGTGCAATGAACGTCGTAGGCTATAACATGACAAAAGCATGTGCGGACAAAGTCTTCAGCCAAGCCGGCTTCAAGCCTGGTGAGGGTCGAGATCAAGTCGGTGTGGTTGAACTTCACGACTGCTTTGCTTCAAACGAAGTACGTTTCGCCATTCCCGCATGTCGTCCCACGCCAGACTCTCACGCACTCTTCTTAAGCTCATCACGTATGAGGCTCTCGGCCTCTGCGCTGTTGGAGAAGCTCACAAGGTGGTCGAAAGAGGGGACAATACTGTATGCATCTCAGTCTAGACGTGTTCCTGAATGGTCGAGTTGACATGACTTTGAAATAGTACGGCGGCAAATATGTCGTAAACCCCAGCGGAGGTCTTGAGGCAAAAGGTCATCCCCTCGGCGCAACCGGTTTAGGCATGCATTTCTACATCACTAGTACGTGACATGTCTATTGCTTCCTCTAGTGCTGTACTCTGAATGATTTTCCCAGTGCAATTGCGAGGGTGTACGTAACGCTTCTATCTTGTTATCTGTGGGCTATAGACTGACATTTAGCATTGCTTCATGAAGGGGCCGGTCCGATGCAAGCTCCCGGACTCTTCGACCTGCCAGATAAACGGGGAAAATACGGTTTGATCCATAATATTGGTCTAGGAGGAGCTGTTGTGTGTTCGCTTCTTCGTCGACCAGAATTCTACAAGCCAGGTGGCAAAGATGGTCGGGACCGGTGAGTGATTTTTGCTGCGAACGTGCTTTTGTCTTCTTGGGTGCTAAACGGATATGCCCATCCAGTTTGGGCTATAATCATGCGCACGAATGTCGTCCTGTCACTTTGTCGGATGTAGACAAAGTCAAGTCTACCAAGAGCTCTCCCTTCTTCTTGGCTCGCGCCCGACTCTGAGCAAGCAAAAAAGATCCCTTAGTGTTTGGCCTCTGGTAGTTATTGAACGACCGCTCGTTTTCTATCAATATATGTCACCTCATGTACCATTATTTCAGATTGTATACTCTAGCTTGTGTTTGTATGCCAATCGAGTTTCGTTCAGAGGCATATATATTTCAATTGAGAGTCACCAGCCGATCGAGCGATCAGATCAACCGTTGCAAACTGTTGTACACTACGAGATACAAAGATTGGGGTATAGCATTAAGTTTGGACAACATTATATCCTGACAGCGAAGGAAGAATGAAGTCGATGAACAAGTGAACATGAATGGAGACAAATATTTTAGAGCCATTTCGATCGAGATGACTTCAAATTCTTGGGTTTGGACGGGCCCCAAGCAAGGTTGTCATCGTCGAGCATCTGAGCCTGGGGCCGACATTCGGCAATTTAGTATCGTGGATGTTGACATTTAGTCGGAGAACTTACGTAGTTAGAAGTCGCCGATGTCACGCTTCGGGTTTCGGAAGTGAATGTGTTGAGCGTTGACGTGGATATCGAGAGTGACTGGAGTACATCTGTTAGGACATAGTAATGTGGAGGCTAACAACAAAACCCACCAAGGGAATGACGAAGTCGGCTTGATCAACGGAGGTAGAGATGCTCCTAGCAAGGCCTTGGTTCGGCTTATTACCCTGTAAGTTGGTAAATGCTAGGTAAAGAAGGATACATAGATGAGACGTACCTTGTTAGAGACGCTGAGACGACGGAGCGAGAACGACGGCATTGTAAAAGGTTGGAGTAGAAATGGGCGGGTGATGATAAAACTGCTGAGGGATGGCAAGAAATGCAGTAGCCCATCACCTTTATACATTGTCAGAGGCACAAGTATAGCCAGGGACGCGACGGTATATTGTTTCTGGAGCTCGCCAAGGGCTAGCACCCGAGTGACGGGCGAAGAACGGACCATATCCTCCGGAACCGGTCTGAATCCTTTGTGAACAGTTACGACAACGTCAAATCAAACCCTGACGATTGGAACAGCTGATCATATTTGTGCCTTGGATCCTTCTGCCCAGGTCCGAGGAGCGGTACTGCATGGTAGTTCCGTATGAAGGAGGTTGGTTTGAAATCCAAGTCTGTGGGATGCCTGCTGACGCTTACGGTCACGTTTTGTTCCATCTCGCGGAGCCTTTTTGCGCGCCCATCTTGTTGACCGGAGGGCGGAAAACCCCATGCTCTCCCATCACATCGTATGTTGTCATATCGTGTCTGTGAATGGACAAATCGGGATGCTCTCATCTGCCACTTCATGACACACAATATCCTAGCAGTCATGTGATAGAGCATGGGTATACCCATTAGAGGAGTAGACAAGACATCTGGAGCTACAGATGAAGTTAGAAGCGGGTAGAATATAGTTGACTGTGTCAGCGAGAGGCTTCGTATTCTGACGTGACCTCATACCTTGGTAATGCAGCGCACGCTTTGAGGCTTTCCGGAGAATGCCAGTTCCCAAAAAGGTACGAACTGTGCCATTAAACTATTTAGAAGCCAACAGATGAGAGAAAGAAACCACAAAGTAAGAAATAAGTAGCTGATCAGAGTTACGACGGAAGACACGTAGCATATGGCAGTTGGACCTCGGCCTGTCCAGGTTCTCCAAGGCGTCGCGGATGAATACACACCTAAATTAGAGACCGACAATGTGAACTATTGTCAGATCATGGAATATACAGGAATCCAGGATATATGTGTCAAATCTTGAAGGTGGGGTCTCGATGACGGTATACGATTATCAACGCCGCGTAGACGAATGTTGTATAGTCATATGAAGAATGCTCTGAAAGATCCACTTTCCTGACGTTAACCAAGAATCCGGAGCTGGAAAACCTGGTTCGGAATGTGAATCGAGTGTACTTGAAGAGTACAACTGGAGGTTCAGTTAATGAGATCGATCGAACTGCTTTGATGCGCCAACCTTCGAAGGTCAAAGGGACATGCCACGTCCTTGGCACGCTCACTTGCTTAGGTTCCGAGAGCCGGTGTGTACAAAAGCCTCTGATGCTAATTTCATTATACTTACTCAATGCTCTGCAGTACTCCCGAATGCAGGGGATCCGCCCAATAGGAAGTTCCATATCCACAGGTGTGGCATCTGCAAATTCATGGTATGCATACTGAAAATCATGCGTACTGGACATCGTCTGCAGGCATGGGCATCTCTCCTCTCCTTGGAAGCGAATCCCCACACCAGGACATTGAAAGCGTGTCATGAGAATAGATAGGACAGGAACTTGTACTCCGTGAAGAAGGGAATTCCTGAGTCAGCCCTTCAATTACACCATCTCAAATATTGTGAATAGATAATAGCTCCCATTTTGAAAGGAAATTTACCTTCGTCAACATATCAATCGTATCAGCACTAAGCTTTTCATCATTGTCAAAGTTGAAGTACTTCATCAAAGTCCTCAAAGTGAAATAATCCTTTTTCACCACACCTGGCTGCATAGCACTTCCCTTCTGGATGATAATACGCACTGGCACAATCATGTTTACTTGATCCACTCGATCAAGGCTTACGATTGAAGACATTGCCTCACCTTACATGTTATCTTGACATTATGGCTATGTGTGCGCTACTGCAAACGGGTAGTCAGGAAAGACGTGATATCGAGAAGGCGAGAAGGAAGGATACCATGATAAGTTACAAAATGACAATCCAACATGCTACCCAATAAGCTGAACGGGTGACCCCATCAATCGAGTTCAGCGACAATCCATGTCACGAAACTGAATGAGCGAAACACTGCTCACATATATACAGACATCAAAAATCGTTATGGACCACGAAAAAAAGATTAGTCCGTTGCATTATGTGGTCGACTCTCTTCGACATAAAGTCCCTGCCGTCGAGCTTTCCTACTGGGATCTGGCCCATGTGCAGGTTCGGAAATTGACGCGATAGCATGCGCACCTCGACTCAATGAAGGTAACATATCCGGACGTCGATTGGGACTGAATTTTACGGTCAGAGGAGTTTCTGACCTCGATGAGAGTGGGGATGTTGGGGATGTTGGGGATGCTACTGATGGCGGAGTTTGTGGGCTGCGGGGAAGATGGGGATATGATGGTGACGAAGGTGTCGCGGTAGCAAATGGATGGGGTGGGCCACGGATAATGACAGTTTGACCCTCATCGTGTTGTGAATCACGCTCGACCACGTCACTTCCACTGCCGTCCCCACTAGCCCCAATCCGATCGTGACCACTCAGACTACCCGGTGGGGGGACTAACTGTGTTGTGGCAACAGCACCAACATTCCTGGAAATCAAAGTAGATACTGAACGTTCAGATATGTCTGCGCTAGGTTGTGACCAATGACTTGAATTTGAAGCGTTCCCTCTGGTCCTCGGAGTCCTCGTCCCAGGCAACGGAATCAACGAGGGATGAACCGGCTCCTCGTCTTTGGGCCATGTACCTTCGGCCCATCCGCTTGAACTTGGGTCATCGCCAATCTGACTGGTGTCGGTGGTTGACACCATCTCTACTGGAAGAGCATATCTTCGATAACGCCTTCTTCGCCAAAGGAAGAATGCGACGAGGGCAGCTATGAGCAGACTCCCCCCAACCACAGACACCACTATGGCTATGGTACGTGTTTTTGAGGACAGAGGGCGAGTCGTGCTCCCAGAGACGCTGCTGACTTCTGTTGTGTCTGGCGATATTGAAGAGGTGGTGGAGGTTGATGATTGCGTGCCTAGGATAACGTTACAGAAAGCGAAAAACCAACATGAGAATGAGTACGTACTCATTGCGGTCAAAAGGGAGCTACTAGATAAGATACTCCCAGTCAACGATGAAGCTGGAATCTGGCTTGGATCATACCTGTCAGAGCAAGGTTCGTGAGATAGGACCATATTGCAACAGCAACGAGCCTACGAGTATACGATTGAATCCAAAAGAACCAACGATGTGGCTCCGCCTATCCTTCCATTTTGCAATGTAAACGTATGGTTGCCATATGGTATTGAACTATTGGTGTAAACAGTGAAGTTGTAACCAAAGTTGGGATTGCTGTTTGGAGGCTGGAAGAATGACCCAACAAATTGACCGTCCAGGAAGAATGACATGTCGGAGTTTTCATCTAGATTTGGACTCAGGATACAATTCACATACAACGCGGAGCCTTTGCGACGCAGAACGATATTTCAAAAATAATGTACGAGACAGGAAGCATTGGATACGCACCCTGAAATGTAAACGTCGCGGTCAAGATGTTACTCGCCCCAGGACTGAACGTTCCCTCGTGCCAAGTGCGATCGAACACAGCGTTTGGATCGGGATGGGCGACGCAACCACTACAATTCGACCCAATAGACCAAGTATTGGGAGGAGCGTAGACAATCTGTGTACCTGTGATGGGGTCCGGACCAGAATCGTCCACGGTCACGTTAACGAGGATGGCGGCTACTGGATGGGCGCATAACAACAGAAGTGAAGGTAGAAGATGTAAAAGCCAAGGGGTGATCGCCATAGGGAAAGAGCGGTTGCAAGAACAGAATCAGTGAGAATGGTCTATTTACACGAAATAAAGGAGCGTCGGCGGTTCGAACTGCCAGCGAGGATGTGAAGCAGCAGTCTGCACCAGGGCGGGGGCAGCGAGCAATGCGCTGGTGGTGAGGCGCGAAAAAGCGCGTTGAGGACAGAGCCTCCTTAGAGACATATTAGTCGCAGTGTATATGCAAGTCCGCACGAAACGCCATCAGGAACATCTGTCATCAAAATATTGTCAGTCTCGAACAGCGAGGGGGACCGGTGAGAACGCACGGCAGTTGCCTTACATGTTGAGATACACGCTCCAAACGGCAGTGATGGTACTGATGCAACTCTTCGAAGCAAACAGATTAGTGTCCTCTGGCGACACGACATGAAGATTACAAGGGGATCTTGTATTAGAAACTACAGTGTTCGCACAGAGCCACAGAGCCTGGTCCAGTGCAGTGCACAAATGACATATTCTCGGGTCAGCTGCCAGGATGCAAATGCTCCAATCATTCATGTCAAGACTGTCCAGGACTCCAATCTATATTGAAGCTCTCTGACGAGCCAAGTGATTTAGCAGATTCCAAGATGATAATGATTTCAAAGTATGGCATTCAGAGTCTGTAGCATAAGCAAACGATGAACACATGGTTGACGGTCGATCCCGAGTGACGGTCGATTGTACAGCCTGTCAACGTGAATAACGGATGGAACGCTGTCAGACATTACAGGAGATTGTATGGGTCATCGCAACCGTCGTCAATACGAACTCGGGCTCACTTGCGGGACCATCTTGAGTCAAAAAGTTTTGAAAACTTCATGCATTGTTTTTTTCGGAAGAAAAGAAAGACGGCGACGGAGAAATCTGTAAGTGGACAAGGAGACACGGAGGGTTGTCGAGTGGACATGAGAAGTACGCGAGAAATCTCGGAGTAGGCTTCGAAGTGTCATGGCTACGTGAAGAGCACAAACTTAATCGAGCTGTGCTTGCTGTGGACACGCTAAATCAGTAAGAATCCTCGACAACCAACAGCCATCATGTATCATGAGTCGGATTCATGACTCACTGACCAAGAAACAGCTCAGTTCTTGCTTCCTTCAGCTTTCTCCTCCTGGGCATTGCGCTTAATAACCGCCAGAATAGCCTTCCCCTCTTCAACATCGTCCTTATTGTAAGGCTTCAGACCATAGGAAAGCAAGAAATTGTGCCATCCACCCCATGCCTTGAGAACTTCGTAATCAGAAATTTCTTTGGTTGCAGGCATGTTGAGAATTGAGTCAGAGTACGACGACTTTTGTCGGTGCGAGTGCTGAAGTGAGTGATGCGCCCCGAGGAGTGCGTGAAGTGAGCGATGAAACACTCATTTATCTATACTTACTCTAATGCCACCACGAGGCAGTAGCGTGGCGGATGGTTATCGATGTACTGTACTCAGCACATTGGTACCCAGGTTCGGATTAGTCCTCCCCTCCGCAGACAACGTCTACCTACGGGAGACTCAGTTCAATCGGACATCGCTCTGGATGAAACACATAGCGCTTACATTATTCACCGTGCCAGTCCGACTCATTTGCTTGAGAGGTTTTCGTACAAACGCGTTCTCATAATCGATCTCATTGACCACTCGGTTGTAACGCTACCGCGTGAGTACGAGCATATTGCTACTTTCGTTCTGCGCTATTATTCGCCGCCGCTAATTCTCTGATGAGGACCATGAGGCGGAACAGCTACTTCTGAAAAATGGATTCTTTGCGCAATCTTCACTTGATGGTTGTTATTGGCGTTTTGAAGGAAGATCCTCTTGAGGACTCAAATTTGCTTGGCTGGGTTGAAATAGACACGGATTTTGGCCACACTTCTCCGAGCTCAACATTCTGCACTTGACATCTTCAAGTTCAAAGGTCCATAAACCATTTCAAGCATGGCTACAAACTCCGGTGAACGATCATGTACTTCAGCTTCGCGAATTTGCCGTCAGAAGGATGCTTCCGGAAGAGTTGATATACTAGGAAACGTCGTGGCCCGTCCTAGAAACGTTGTATATTCAAAGTATGCGCTCGGCTTGTCCCTTGCATCGAAGTTGTCAACTGGCACACCAGAAGACGACTTTATGCGTCCACTTCCGTACTTGATATCCCCTGGTCTGGAAGCGATTTATGCCCCTGCAGAGTTTGGGAAAGCCTCTAGCTACTAGTACGGGGTCAACCTGTTCATCGTGAATGTTAATGGGATACTACGCACTCAGCGTGCGCTTGGGCCACCCACCTAGTTATCTCGGATGGTGGCAGTCTACGTTGGGACGTGACGTCAGAAGGCGGGGTCTGGTTGGTGTCAAGAGGTGTCAACGCCCGACGTCATCTCTCCGCATTCATATAATCCTCAATGTAATGCACATTTATTGCAGCACTTCTTCTCATTCCTTTCACCGCCCACAATGCTCAGAACTGCATTCGCTTCCAACTCCCGCCTCGTCTTCGTCTCTAGGTCCCGCGCGTTCCATCCATCACCACTCGCGGCCGAGAAGGTGACGGAGAGGGTCAAGGAGGTGGTTGAAAAGGTGCATATCCTGATCATTGTTTTATGCAAGTACTCAACTTGATATGCATCGCGTAGGTCGACAAGACGTTAGGAAAGAAGCTAGCAGAAGGAATCGAGAAAACCGAGCATCTCAGAGAGAAGACAAAGGACGTGATGGGTGCGTGTCGTGTGCCGATGCCAGAAGGCTTGTGTTCCATTAACTCACATTTTTCGTCCTGTAGGCAAAACACATGAGAAGACAAAGGAGACTGCGGCACAGGCAAGTCAGAAAGCTAACCAGGTACATCGTTCTCGCTTGTCCACTTTCAGCAGTTACGCTGACTGAATGCCTAGACTGCTGCGGGTGCACGGGAAGGCAAGGAAGACGTCGAAAAGGAATTCCGCAAGTAATCTTCTCGTATTCAGTCACTGTGATTATCGGGACACTCTTAATCGTTTACCTTGTATTTGATATCAGCTCACTGTAGCATACTGTAACTTCATGTATTCACTCACCGGAACCTTTACTGTGGACCATTGGACCAGTCACCGGAGGTCATCATTCACCTCGGCTTATACGTCTATAACCAACTCAAGCAGGAACAAAATGGTTGGTTGGTCAACGCGTCATGAAACGATTGATATTAACGGATTTGGTTGCTTCTACTCTAAGTTTGGCCATAATCAATGGTCGTGTACTAACTGTATCTGAAATACGGAATGGGGGTTGACGTTGAGTACGTATACCCAGTGCATCGGAAACGAGGGTATCAAAGGTTGAATGGAATAATTAACACAGCTGCAACGAATGCGAGAGTCGAGAAAAATAGTCTTGTCATGGTAAACCGTTTAATCCAAGCGTGACAACATTGGAACGTTGGAAATTAGAGCTCATGCTCGGCGAGGGCGGAGCTTCAGCTTGCAACCGTCTTGAGGGAACAAGGTAGCGATGATCCTAAGAAACAATCGGTCAGACGCTCATCTCATTCAATCACCGCAACCAGCCAAGACGACTCGGGATGCTTGAAACAGAACACTCACTGGACTTTATCGCTCACTGGCGTTACCTCATGTTCCCACTCCATCATCATGGACGCATCTGCAAGTACCAATGCGATATTGCTCACTGCGTACTCCAAGCCAATGCACTTGTGCGGACCACTGCCAAATACCAAGTAGTTCCGTGGGTTCTGGTTTGCACTCCCGTTAGGATCGAGCCATCGTTCGGGTTGCAATGTGTCGGGGTCGGGATAGACCTCGGGATCGTGGAGAGAGTTGTAGAAGGAGGGAATGACCATGCTGTTGGCTGGAACAGTGTAATCGTCGGAGATCGGGAATGCCTTGGTCGTCTTGTAGGGAACCTAAATCACATACCGCAATCAGTTCACTCTCCAAGGCGAGTGACAAAGTGAACCTTGAGCAAGGTACTCACCATAGTAACCGGAGGCTTTACACGCAACGTCTCCTTGACGAACGCCCTCAAATAATGCGAATCGTCCAACATCTCCATCGTCAATGGCCTGTTGGGATCCCCACCTCTGACTCTCATCTGTTCCTCCCTGATTTTCTCCAAGAGCTCAGGTTGATCAGCAAGGTGCTGGAACCCATAGATCAATCCGCTACTCATGGCATCCTGACTTGCGAACAAGAACGAGAATACGACCATGGCCATCTCACGATCACTGAAGTCCCTGCGTCCCTTGTAGCTCGGCTCGGTGATATCCTTCACCCATTGGTCCAGCATACACCCGACCTCTGCGCCGTTCGCAATAGCTTCTTTACTCCGCTTAGCTGCAAGTTCCAGCCATTTCATGGCGGCCTTTCGCGCTTGGCATGCACGGTAGACTTTCGTTCCTGGAAGAGCCAAAGGGAAGTTGACCAACTCCAAAGCGACGGTGATGGCCCAGTACTTGTCACTGATTTCCTTCGTGGCTTCGTCGGGAAGATGGTCACCGCAGAATACGCGCAGGGAGGTCTCCATGTTTAGGTTTCGTGCAGTCATCATGATTGCCTTGGCGGAAGGGTCCTTCTTGGCCTCTTCGAGCCATTCGGCGAAATGCTTCCTGGTAATAACGTTTTGAATGTCGACATACATCCTGGAACCGTGGTTAGTTTAGAGATATGAGGTGAAGGTAAGTGGGGAGTCCACTTACGAGAGAGCTTTGCGAGTGAAGAGCGAGTTGAGGCCTCTGCGGTAGTCGACATGAGCCTTGCCAGTAAGGAACACCCTAATGGATAGCCAATGAGATGTCTACGACGAGGCCAAGGTAAGTAAATTCGTCACACGTACCAGTTGTCAGGAAGGAGAACGGTTTTGGCCGAGTGAACAAGACAGGGTTCAGCATGAGTAGGTGAGTTGAGGATCTTGCGAGCAAACTCATTCGTCGATGCCATGACGATGAAGCTAAATTGTTTGTCAGTCAAGCAACCCACAAATCAACTCCCTGAAGCACGCACATGTTGAAGACACTGATCGCACTGAGCGCACCCGAGTTCCATTGTTTCATATACCCCTCCATGGTAGGCTTCATCGAATCTGCAAACTTGCCAATGATAGGAATGGTCCACTTGTCACCGGGCAAATGACGCTTTTTGTACCGATAAACTGTCTGCTCAAGGATGAGCAACGACATTAGGATGGCAACAGTGGTGTAAAACCAGGTCGTTGTCCCCGGAGCTGGAACTAGCAGCGACGACATGGGTATATTGTAAAGCGGAGGCGAGGTCGAAGAGGGCATGGACGCCTGAACAGAGTGATCCTTGAGCGACGCCATGGTGTCTTCGTCGGTGTCAGTTGTCAGTCGACGGCGGGGGCCTTGTTGTCGTCGGGGACGGTGACAGTGACGGTGGAAGGAGACAGGCAGGTGGGCCGTTGAGAGTTTTGGTTATGTTGTAGGAGGGCGGGGATTCGCTTGGCTCAGAAAGTCTCGAGCGCGCCTTCTTATTGGCTGCTCGAAAAGTCTTTCGACTTTTTATCGCCAAGCTCACATAATATACACGCTCGTAAGCAACCATGACTACGCTCGAACTTACGCGTTCTATCTTTGGTCTCACGCGTCGGGCTGCTTGGGTATCCTAATGTCTGCGTTGTCTTCTCATATAAATTACAATGCATGTAGCTACTCAATCCTCTCATCCAAATGAATCCCTATAAACCCTAACGACCTGCGAAGCGGGCACGAGCAGAAACAAAGATCAGGTTCGACGGCAGTCTGTGTATCACTTTCTTCTTGACAGTTTGCACACGAGAAAGTGGCGATATGCTGGGAATAAATGGATCAGACGATCCATACATTAACGGTTCATCTTCTTCATTCCAGACCCCGCTGTCTGGTTCAGCGATCTCCGTCGGCGCAACATCAGAGTCAACCGAAGACGTCGGCGGGTTGAAGCCCGGGAGCCTCATTGAGTCGAATTGCGCTCTATTAATATTGACGCGCGCGGTGCCAGGTTCGTCTCGGCCAACGGAGAACATTGGTAAAGTAATAGGCTGGAGGCTCGGTAGAGGCGGCGGACGCGCATCCGTCGACGATGACCAAGTTGAGGGCGGTTCTCCAGAGTCCTCGACGAGGTCTCGAATAGTCTCGTGGGTTTCAAGCCGGGAGGCATATTCTTGCGCTCTGTTGCGCATGTAGTCGAACCAAGGCGTTCTCCGCCGTGCACCATCTGTATACGCGATACCTTGTCAGCCTGTAAACTTGACAACGTGGTTGTAGAACTGAACTGACCTTCTCTATCCCGGTCTCTGTCAGTGTCATTGAGTCGAATGGGCCGATTTACTGGAAATAACTCTTCGTCGTCATCATGGTCACTGACCAGCGATAACAAAGGCATGCGATCCCTAGACAAATTCCTCCGAGTCCCTCGCACACGAGCGGCCCTGGGTCGCGTAGATGTCATGTCCCGGTTCGCAGCAGCCATTGAAGCCAGCTCATCCGTCGAAGGTACTCGGTCACCATGAGATAAAGCTCTGGCGTGCCTAATACGCACTGGTCGTGGACGTACTCGACGACGACGTAAGGCTAGCCCATCATCGTCATCATCTTCGCTACTTGAATCACTCATCGTCACCGTGTGCACTCCATCTGCACCATCGCGAACCGGACTGATGATGGAGTATCGTCTTCGTCGACCAGAAACAGGATCGATTCTGTGGAAATCTTGAGAGGTAAGTCCTGGAATGGGTACCGAAGGGTTGACGTGGATATAAGCGAGGGGATGACTAGCTGGAAGAGTAGGATTATAGCTCAGTCGCCCATTCCTATCTACATGAGATGTACGACCAGGTGTTCTTTGTGATGGTGTTTGATAGACTTCATCTTCAGTTCGCATGCGACCGGTAGGCCTCGATCTCTGAGTGCGAGTGTGAGGGCGACTGGTTGGACCCACAGTCACGGTGGCGGTCAGGGAACGAACAACATTGGGAGAAGAGGAAGTCGATGAAGAGCCTCGTCGAAGACCATTTGAAGCTTCCAATAAGTCGGTTCGATGGCGTGCTAAGCGATCAAGATGACCTTCAAGACGATTGGCCAAATCGGAAGCACGCTCAAAGACAGTATCTCCAAACGCATCCGCAGCTGAGTCCGAATTATTGCGCTCACTGTTCCGAGCTGCAGCTGCAGCTGCTCTCGCAGTGACCCGCCTCCCCAACGTAGTCGAAGGATCATCTGGATCAAAAGCCGCGCCATTCCTCCTGAAAGCACCAAAGAAGAGGCTGGCGTCATTCTCAGGGAGGTCATCCGTTGACTCATCTCGAGGATTGCTTGTATTTGGGGCAGGCAAGGGAGGCGTGGGCGGGCTGATAAGCCAATGCTCCCAATCATGCCTGTCATTCCTCTGAGTCTCAGCCCTCCTCTCACTGGCAGACCTATTCCAAGGATTGGGGAATCCCAAATTGTCTTCTCCATCGGAGGAGTCACTTTGATGTGACTCTGTCCGACGCACGGCTGTACGAAGACGCTCTACGAAGCTCTCAAGTGATCCAACTCCCGGGTTGGATAACGTGGTAGGACGGCCTGGGAGAGCTGCCGATCCTGCTGGAATACTGTTTTGTCTGGTAGTGGCACTTGACGATGGGGTATCGGAGACGGGACGAGGTATGCGGTTTTGGCGGTCATAATATTCCCGAGTGTATCGTTCCATGTATTGAGAGTAACTTCCTTCTCGTAAAGCCGCCGCACTAGAGAGTGGGCTACGTTGTGCACTGGTACGAGTACCCGCGCCACTGCGGGAAGGACCGCCAACAGCGTTAGAAGTCAAACCAGTTCTGCTATTCGGCCTGACAGGACTGATGACCTCTGTCCCATCCGCGAGGACAATGGCCGAATGACTTGGAGCCATATCAGAGTTGAATAGCGAACGACCGCCGTTGTTCACCGTTGTGCGGTCACTAGTGGAGTTAGTGGAGTTATTGCCATCCATGTTGACACGAATGTTGTCCCGAACAACGGCAAGGTTCTGGTATGCGGTTTCGATGGCGGTAGTAACGCGACGAAGGGAATCAGTGGTCTGTTCTATAGTTTGTAATGTCTGCGGAGTAAGGCGGGGGGTATTTATACTCGTGCCGAGTGTGTCCTCAAGGTGCGACTGTGTGGTCTGATTCGACGGAACTGTAGTGGTAGAGGTCAAAGCGGACTGACGCCGCCCAATTGGTGCGTCAATGCGTGACCGTGCGATTGGCCTTTGTCCTATTGAGCGATCGCCTGGAAGATCGACCACAAAGGGAGTCCTATTAGTGGCTCGGCTTTGTGGGATCGGATGGGATTGGAAACAGCCTGGACAGGAACAGTGAGAGGGATCTTGAAAAGAAGAATATCAGTTCGTTCAGGGAGAACAAATACAAGAGAGATCATTCTGACGTTGAGAATTGGTTTGAGAGACAAGCGGTCTTCCCATACGAGGTTGCTGTAACACAAAATTCAAGTCAAGGCACGGCGAACAGTTTATGGGTTATTTTGTACGATAGCTGATGGTCATTAATCAAGGACAGGGAATCAAGAAAGAGAGAGTAGAGATGCAGTTGTGGGGAACTGCTTCAGAATGAAAGACGAGGTTAATGTTGTGGGTCAAGCTGTCGATCCCCGCTTCGGCAACCAGGTTCATGCGGGCGCTTCCATTGACGCAAATGAGCACGTCTAAATTTGTCGTATAGCAAAAATCCCAACGGGCCCTCGATAGATTAGTAGAGACGTCGAGTACAATATCTACTCGCTCTCGTCTTCATCCTCTCCGCTGAACTCGTCCGCCTCGTCGTCAATGAAGCCGTTCAGTTTTAATCCCTCCCCGCCTTCACTATCCTCATCATCTTCGTCTTCGTCTTCATCCTCCTCCTCATCCCCCTCCTCAATATCCTCTCCAGACTCTTCTGCAGACTCTTCATCTTCATCACTGCTACCTCCGAGCTCAACTTCCTCCACACTGCCAGCGTCATCATCACTCTCAACTTCAACATCCATACCATCTGCACCTTCACCTTCTTCCTCCTCTTCCGTGCTCTCACCCTCAACGTACCGACGAGTGGCCTGATGAGCCTTCTTCGCCTTGGATTTCTTCGACTTGCCTTTCTTCGGCATGGGAAGAGGGGCGGGTGCCGCTGAGGATCGCATCTCAATTTGAGAGATAACCATGTCAAGACGGCCACTAAGTGACAGAAGGCTTTCTTGAAGGGTGAGACGCGTCATGAGCGTTTGATGCAGACCAGAGAGACGAGCAACTAGGTCCGGCATCTGTTATAGAGCTTTATGAGTCTTTTCTTTCACATCTATTACGATCGTCGAACGTACCGTCAACAGATGTCCGCCGTGAGCAATAAGAACAGCTCTGATCCATCGTACCAGAGCCGTTCCTCGTTGTGCACCAGCACCAGCACCTCCTCCCTTCCCTCGTCCAACCTGCTTTCCTCGTCCTAAGCGCTCCACGCAAGCAGTCACTAGCGGGACAGCAAGCTGAGGCGGTAGCCTCCTCACAGTATTCTGTATGAGCGTGGCATTCGAATGTGCCAAACACGTCTCAAGCAACCCTGCATCGGAAGAATGCAGTGCTTGAATGAGCGTTCGTGTAAGTGAAGACGCAGGCACAGTGGGCAATGAAATATCATCTTGCTTGTCTTTCGACGATGGTCCCTTAAGTGCAGCAGCGTCTTCATCGTCGGAAGAAGCAGTACGGAGAGCAGCCTCGTCCGATGTACCTGTTAGGGCTGTCAGACGTTGACCGAGACTTAGTTCAGCCAATGTTGCGTCGAGTTCACCGTCGATGGTACGCGTTGGAAGGTCATCCATCGATGCATCTTGGCCGAGTTCCATGCCGGAACGAACTTCCACTGAGTCTGACTCTGTATATCGTTTCGTTGGGGCTCCCTAAAAGCTTTCTCAAGAAGACGTGTGATTAAATGATAAAGGACACGTACCTTGATACCATCTGCAGAGGCAGCGAGCCCGATGCCTGAGTCCACACTTGATAGAGTAACATTGTGGATGAAATCACCAGTTGCGTCGAGATATTCCTGAATTGTGTGTCAAATGCTATAAAGCAACGTAGAAAAAAAAATAGTTTTACACACCACAACTTCAAAGGTGAGCTTGACACCTCCTGCTAACCTCGCCACTTTGAGTTTGCCATCCTGCTCTCGAACGAAAGTAGCATCGACGATTGGTGAATTGGAGCCGCCTTTTGACGAGACAGTAATATTTGACTTGGGTGCCATTGTTGTCACAGATTGTTTTGATTTTGCATTGGGCACGAACTCGGACGCAAGGGGAAGTACCGAAACTTTTCCTGAGGCCGAGACTGCGAGGAGGGTTTGAGAATTTGACGTCGACGATCTTGAAGGATGCGATAATGAGATAATCCGAACGTCCGAATCAAGGGGAAGGGAGGCGACAACTCGTCCTTCTGAGATTAATGAGTCACAGGATTCCGGCACATCCCAAAGGTAAACAAAACGGTCTCCTTCCGCTATTGACAAGAACCGTGATGGTGTATCCCACAAAATGTCCCTTACAGCGGAAGCATGTCCGGTGAATGAAGCAGTTTTAAGTGGTTTTGTTGCATCAGACGAGCTGGCGGGGACGGAGAGTAGATGTATAGCGTGGTTGGCAGCCAGGAGTTCTGTTTCGTCATCGTCTTCTGAGGAGGGGGAGGGACGGAGAGCAATGGATGAATACGGTATCCGTTCGCCTGATTTACAAGTCGATACTAGCTTGCTTCTGTGCAAATTCCACAAATGCAATGCACCGTCGGCACCAGACGTCCAAACTTCTGAACCATCTTCAGATGGTGCGGAGATACATTGAATGGCTGAAGAGCTGGTGGGATGCGAAAGCGTTCGGACAACCTTGGCGAGGCTTGGAGAAAATAGAAGAACCTGGCCATTTGAGAGACCGAGGATTACACCTTGTGGTGGAAGGGATGATTCAGCACCGTCCGCCTGGGACTTTCGCCGCTTCCGCTTTTTTCTGTGGACATCCTCGCCTTCTGATGAAGAGTCAGAGGTTGTCCAGTCTAATGAAGTAACACGACCAGAGTCAATAGTGTATTCTGCGATCGACTGGCTTGTAGCAGGATCATAAACCCGTAGTCGGTGCTTGTCGACAGCGAGGGAGACAAAAGCAAAGAGGTCGCCTTTTGGAGAGAAGGAGGATAGAGTAAACTGAGCAGGAGTATCTTCGACCGTAAGCTGGGAAGTTGCAGAGGTCGCAGCTGGTCGACTTTTAGGCGGTTTCGCCTTGGCCTTTTTCGACTTTGTGGGGATTGAAGACATATCTCTCTTGTCTCTATCGACTAGAAGAATAGGTTGAGAATAGGTATCCTGGCGTCGGCGTGAGCAATAAGCTTGCTGAGCGTGTGGTTCATGCCAAAATTTCTCGATTTGTTCAATGTCACGTGCATAGGCGCTTGCTGTACGTTGGCCGGCCATGCTGTCTGCTCTGCCTTGGCCTTGCCTCTTTCTTTCTCTCCTCTCCCGTCCACGTCCCACGTCCCATTCTTGCGCTACGGTATCTGGATTCCCCACCACGCTAATCTGTATCTCTCCTTCACTTTCCATTCGTCATTTCTTCATCCCGGTCTGCATCTGTAGCATTAGAACGCCATCATCATGAATTATATCCAGGTCTGTACCCCCCATCTTTCGTTCGATGCCGAACATGTATTGACATCCACTGCAGCTCGAGAAACTAGGTTCGTATGCTCCACTGGAAAGTCAAACGTGATGTTGACATTGGTACCTTAGGCGAGGGCACATATGCCACTGTATACAAGGTATGTTCGGCCACTGTTTGCCACCGCCCGTTGGTACTCACTTCGGGCCAGGGACGTTCAAGAACGACGAATGAAGTGGTCGCACTTAAGGAAATTCACCTTGATGCCGAGGAGGGTACTCCGTCAACCGCGATCCGAGAGATCTCCCTCATGAAGGAGCTCAAGCATGTCAACATCGTCCGACTTTACGACGTTATCCATACCGAGACCAAGCTCGTTCTCATCTTCGAGTATTGCGATCGGGACTTAAAGAAGTACATGGATGCGCACGGTGATCGTGGTGCTCTCGACCCAGTCACCGTTAGGAGTTTCATGTATCAACTCTTGAAAGGGACCGCCTTCTGCCATGAGAATAGAGTTTTGCACAGAGATCTGAAACCTCAGAACTTGCTGATCAATAGGAAGGGAGAGTTGAAGCTTGGCGACTTTGGTCTGGCACGAGCCTTCGGTGTACCCGTGAACACGTTCTCAAACGAGGTTTGTCCAATTCGCCCCAAGTTACGGTTTTGTGTACTGACATACCATTTAGGTCGTCACGCTTTGGTATCGTGCTCCTGACGTTCTTCTTGGCTCTCGGACATATAGCACCTCAATCGATGTTTGGTCCTGTGGCTGTATCTTTGCAGAGATGATCTCTGGAGTACCTCTCTTCCGAGGGCGCGATAACCAGGATCAACTTCTGCACATCATGCGCATTATTGGTACACCAGAGGATCGTCTTCTTCGCAAGATCGCTACCGAAGCAGCGGTAAGTTTTCGATATATGCCATGTATGCATGTTGTTTACTTCGTATTTCTTTATCAGCCTTCGACGCCTGAAGGTCAACAACAAGCCGCGAACGCCTCCAAACAATATCCCCGCTATCCAAAGATTCCCTTCCAACAGGTCCTCCCTAAAGCATCCCCACAGGCCATCGATCTTCTCGAGCGACTCCTCCAATTTGACCCTAACAAGCGTATCTCAGCAGCTGAGGCGCTGAACCACCCTTACTTCACGTCAACCGCACTTCCTTATCCAGTTCCGCCTCCCGGTGCGATGGGTCCCCCGACGTACAATTTCCCTCATCCCCACGCGGCTCATCACCAGCAGATTACTCAGCAGCAGCAGGCTCAGGCTCATGCCCAGGCTCAGGCTCATGCGGCGTATATGGCTCAGCAGGGCATTCCCCAACAGCCTATGCAGCAGATGCAGCCTGGGATGTATCCCGTGCAAGGTTTCTTTCTTTTCCCTTGAGATTGTGACAATTTCAACTGAATATATGTTGTGTTGTAGCCCAGCAGCAGCAACAGCAACAGCAACAACAGCAACAACAAGCTCGTATCGCAAGTAGTATACATGCCCCCCCACCAGAGAACGTTCATGTTCATTCCGTCGCATGGTAGTATCAGCAGGACTTTTTGTTGACTGGTGTATCCTCCGGTTAGATTTGTAGCAAGGTGTCTCTTTCTTTTTCATTTCTTTTGTACATGTTGTCACTTCCCGATTTATACTAGGTAGGATTATCACAATGTAATGAACAGCTCTGGCACCTCTGTTGATGGACTTCTTGCACAATATCGAGGATCCCGTGGTACACGCATTTTGACTTTCAATCTAAGGTAAACATTTTGTAGTCATCATCACGGCAACTCTTAGCCCTTGGCAACTACATTCTCAGCATATTGCTGAACCGAAAAAAGAGGAGATGATCCTCCATCAACCAACCCTCGCTTTCTAAGATGTCAGTGACCATCCTCGTGATGGCTGCATCAACGCAGTTTGTTCTGGAGACCTTCAGTTCATTGGCCTACCACATGGAAGGCGGATAAGCATCCCGCAGAGCTACGTGAATTGGCCTTCATCGATGTGCCTCGCGTTGGCTCTGAGTCTCCATGACCCATTCAGCAAGATCTCCTTCGAAGTGGTACAAGGGACTAGTATGGCTTCGGAATGAAGAGGCTATGCTAATGCTGCTATAGCAGACGCAGGAAAGTAGCGTCTAGTCTTATGTTCCGATGACGCTGAAGCCCATGGTCCGCACGCTACCTTGTTGATCCATAGCTCTGAAGATTCAGATTCGCCATATCTCTTGGCGTGTCCCCTTTTCGTCGTCGTAAAGTATGGGAAATCGTCGTGCTTTATTGGGACATATGATCATTAGGTCGTCCTGCCGTCAAAGTTTAGTTGGTTTCTCATTCACATTGCAATGACATCCAGACTCCTACAGAACGGGCAGCCGAATAGCACATCCCTCATTTGCCGCGCCGAAAACATCCTGTAAATCCATTAGGAGAAGTACATTCTATAACCCTTGACTAACCTGTTCTATTGAAATCCGTCTTCGGCGGGTTGTGACTGTAGGGTTGCTTATCAGCGGCGTTGAGTTCTCGTCACTGAGAAATCGAAGCTCCGCACTTTCCACGCGTCCCTGCGGGGTTGCTATCTTTCGTCCATGTTCGGATCATAGCGTCTTTATAGAATGCATAGCTTGATCTGCAACGGGAGAAACGACGGCCTGAACCTACGCTGCGATTATACCATGTCCTTGGGCTGACTTGTCCGAAATCTCTGCAAGGCTATCAAAACGTTCAAACGGAGATTGACCAGCAAGTCGCCCTTGTAGACCTATTATAGAGCTGCCTTATCATGCATATAAGTGCGACACAGGGCTCTTCCGTCAAGCGTCCGGATCGACCTCCCAGCACTTCGTCCGAACGTCATGTATCGACCAACAGCGTTGATGGTTTATAGGTGCATCCTGATTACGCTTTGGTTACAGTTCATCTTCTTTGTCTCTGCTCTCCCTGTGGAAGTCCAGACTATCCTGTCTGACGCAACAGTGAAAGATGCCAAGGTTCTCATCCTGGGTGGCGGGGTAGCCGGCATCATCGCCGCACGTACTCTGCATGAACAGGGCATCTCAGACTTCCTCATTGTTGAGGCTCGCCATGAACTAGGGGGAAGAATGATGAATCGCCCATTTGGTGTCGTTGACCATGAGTATTCCGTCGAAGTTGGTGCGAATTGGGTACAAGGTACTCGAACTGGTAACGGTCCTGTGAATCCTATTTGGACGCTCGCGAAGAAACATAACATCATAACGCGGAGAAGTCATTTCTTCGAAAGCCTTTGTACGTTTGTTCCCTCTCTTGTGCCCATACTGTATAAATCTGACATCTTGTGCGATAGCGACATTTGATGAAAACGGCCCAGCTGACTTCAGTGGCGATTTCTCCACTGCCGTGCGGAATTACAACCGATTGACAGGATCAGCCGGTATTCACCTTAGTACACGCTTTTTCGTTCAAACTTCACACTCACGTTATAGGTGCGCGCATTCCTAAAGGCCTTGTCGATACAACTGCACGTGGCGGTTACTCCATGGTCGGCTCGAAACCTCTGACGGCGCATGAAATGGCGGCGGAATACTTCTTGGTATGGCTGTCTTGTCTTCAGTATGTGTCATTCACGGACTAACTTTGCCGCAGTTTGATTGGGAATTCTCACAATCTCCGGAAGAGACATCTTGGCTCGCATCATCTTGGGTAATGTCTCCTTTTCACGACCCTTTCTGCCTTGACCACCTTTTCAAGGGATGGAAGTCAGACTGGAGTTCGCATCAGCGTCCAGCTGGCTAACTTGACCCTCCGCTGTGATCCCTAACTGGGCATGGCGTAGGCTAATAACTTCACTTTCAGACCAGATGCAGGCGGGTTCTCAGACAAGAACAGAATGGCGGTCGATCAACGTGGATTTAAGGCGCTCATTCAACATGAGGCAGCCGAATTCTCAGGGTCTGAGTCAAGCCGAGTTCTTTTGAACTCTACAGTCAGCATCATTGAGTACTCTGCCAAGGGTGTTCAAGTAACCTTGACCGATGGGACAAAGCTGAAAGCCAATCATGCTATTTGTACATTCAGGTATGGTTTTTCGCGCTCCGAGTATCACGGTACTTCTTAAGTCTGGGATCTACCAGTCTTGGTGTTCTACAACACGACGATGTTCGCTTCATACCTTCGTTGCCCACATGGAAGCGAGAAGCTATTCATAGTATGACAATGGTGAATTTAGAAATAGTTGATGTTATTCGAGGACGCTGATGACTGATATCACCCCAGGGTGTATTCACTAAGATATTCCTACAGTTTCAGCAGAAGTTTTGGTTCGATACTGAGGTACTCTCTTGTCGTTGCATTTCAGTTTTACTGCTGCATAACAGGTTTACTTGTAGATGGGTTTATACGCCGATCGAGAACGTGGCCGTTATGCCGTTTGGCAAAGCCTTGACCATGATGATTTCTTCCCGGGATCTAGACTCATCTTCGTCACCGTCACTGTAAGCCTTTCTTCCACACCCCTACATTTTGCGATGCTCAAGATGGCCGACGTCTAGGGTTCCTTCTCAAAGCGAATCGAAGCCTTACCGAATTCAGCCGTGAAGGCAGAGGTGCTCTCTGTCCTGCAGGCTATGTGTCCAAATATCACGATTCCGCAACCAATCGACTTCTATTTTCACCACTGGCATTCTGACCCGCTGTTTCGAGGTTCGTACTCAAACTGGCCTGCTAACTTCCTTCCGGAACACTCGGCCAACTTGAGAGCAAATGTGGACGAGAGACTCTGGTTTGCTGGGGAAGCCACTAGCAAGAGATATTTCGGTAAGTCAAAATAGTGGCGGAAATTTTGCACGTGATTATTCATGACATCGACTTGAAGGTTTCTTACATGGTGCTTACTATGAAGGAGAGGCGATAGGTCTCGCCGTCGCGGATTGTATCAAAGGAGGAGGGTGTGTTGGGTTGGAACATGCCGAGCAAGTCAAGAATGCTAGCCCTTATGATATCTTTTGATCAGTTTAGGAGCTACTTTTATACGTTCATTTCTTGCTTTGTTCTCACCTTCTTTCAATTGTACTATAGATAGCGCTTTGGATATCCAAGCTCGCCGACTGGCAAAAGACATTTGTAACCCACGGTGAATTGTGAATCTACAACCCTTTCTGCACTATTCACTTGAGCATCTTCTCAAGTCCGTGCCTATCGCTGACAGCGGTCTTGCGTGGTTGTACCATGCATGTCACAAGCGATTCAAGCTTGATCTCATGTGACGTTCTGATATTGAAGGTCGCAATCCCGCTGTAAAGAATCCAAAATTCTTATCAAGAAGGTGCAGTGAGTTGTATTTGATCCCTTTGGTCACCTGGCGTATGAACATTGTCGCATGGTGAACTTCAGGGGTACGAGTCAAGTTTTGTTATCACTGAGACTTCAAGTTGTACTAACCTACACAAAATAATATGAGCCTGAGAGTGACAGTAAAGCATTCAGACTATTTTTAATTGATGATAATGTTGCACTTACTTCTCGTCTACATACAAAGTCATGAACAACTGTCAAGCTAGATAACCATGTTCCTGCTATATTGGAGTACCCTGGATATTCAAAAAGAGAGGAAATACGACCGCAGCTCAGAGGTACAGGCTGAAGAACGTTGGCAATAAGCAAACAAAGTGAAGGCCAAAGTTGAGGTTATAATACAAGCTTATAGAGGATGAAACTGAGCCTAGATTTTAGGCACCCGCTATATCCGTGTACAGATCCACACACAGTGCCGTTTGCACTATCCTGCGCCACATACTGAGACAGAGGTAGCTCAACATTATGCTTCCCAGCCTTAAGTTAAACAGCGTCCGTGAATATCTGTTTGACTAGTTGAGGTCAGATATAGCCTAGATTCGTGTGGATGATAGAAGATACATTTCAAGGTAGGTAAAACCCCCCTCGTTCGACTCAACGGATACTACAGCCTGTATATAATGTACAACATATTCTCAGTTGAGCGAGAAGCGTGAGTGAGAAAAGAAAGAAAGACGATGCTGAGAAGAGAGAATCTGTTGACAGTGGTGGGTCAAGATAATGTAAATGATCCATGCCAGGCCTTGAATCACCAAGGTTGAACTTGTCCAATCGATGTTCGAGCGACACAATGCATCAGTTGATCCAAATGAATGATGGTGTGTGAGTATACACAGAAGCACCAAGGCTGAATGGCAGTTGTGCATACATGATTAATAAAAGGTTCCCTGGACAGGAATGGAGGGGGTTCTGACAACCTGGTTGCCAACCCTCTGGTAGACGTAGTGAAGAATGTCCCGTAACTCTAGAATTGCAGTGCGATCGGATCCCAAAAGTTCACCATCTTGCCACATACCAACAACTCTCTGGATCCAGTAATGATACCCAACCCCTGAGTTGTGGTATCTGTAGCGCAGGGCACCTTTGTCATGAAGAGCTATGAGAGCATCCTCGATGGTTGTCCCATCCGCGAATACTAGCGGAAATGTGTAGTGGCGTGCGTTAGTCAAGTCGTATGTCCGATGCATGATGCAGAGCACGGCGTTCTGCTGGGGCGCAAGGTTCCCTTGAGCATCCTTCTTCAGAAGATCAAAGTAGATACACTCATTTTCGCGCCCCTCAAGATTGAAGAAGATGTGCCAATGATTGATAACGCCCGTCGCATGAGGAATCTCATGACTGACGACAACGTAAGCCTTAGAAATTGGCAGCTGGCAATAAGCCTCAGAGCCGTCGTAGCAGGCGACAGTAGGGCCGAACTTCTTAGGATCCATTGTATGTAAGAGGCGTAGGAGGAGGATTGCTGAGAGGATGAGAACGCAAGGAAATGCAGGTTCAACGTATAGCAAGCTTGCCTTTATACCGCAGGAACATCGTATTTGGTTTTTGTTTGCTGCATGTGATGGGACAGTCAGAGCCATGTTATCCGTAATGAATGATCACATAAAGATCCGTACGGAGCACCGCGAGTACCAAAACTGACTAGTCTGGTAGAACATGGTATGGATTTGCAGCCTTATGCTACTGTGAGGATCCTGTAGTTCGGTACGAGGAGCGTCTTGCCACTGATGCAGGAACAATCGATGTCGATAACTTCGTGGTTGTCCTAGGTTTTAGAAGTCGTGGATCTTGGAGCATCGCAACACGAGGATGAGTGCACAGCCCGGAAGACAGGGTCCTACATGTGTAGTAGGGTCTGAACTTGTTGAGTTAACTTCTGCAGTGGGGAAGATGAAGATTTTTGTAGGGATAATTTACCATCTCATACATATTTCCGTTGCCGCTGAGCACAAGAGTCTTTATCTACGCAACGCGCGAGAACAAAGACATGATATGTTTAAAGAAGTTCGTCTCATGAGAGAGGAATACAGTATTTGGAAACAATGGCGTGATGAAAAAGAAGATTTCTGATGAACCATTGCCAGTCAGTTTTCCTCATTTGACGGAGTTCAGCCAAAAGAGGAATTTAGACGCTCTCCATATGTGGACCCATAGTCCCCAACAACACTGTTTGCGCTTGCGCCACATCATCACGCCGTCTCTTGACTATCTTCCTCAACCTTCCTGTCGAGGCCTCACATTCGCAGTCTCACCCACCGGTACGTTGCGTTATACGACTATCACAAAATATTCTCTTGATTCACTCTAGATATTTCTTGTTGACATGCCTCAAAGTAACTCGGATTTCATCTACGTCCCACCAAATTGGTCCCCAGAACCTCAATCTTCTCCGTTCTGGCGCACTAATCGACTTAATGCGAATATCAAAACGGTGTCTTATATTGATACTATCCTTACTCTCGCTGCTGTCCTTGAGCTTCACGATCCAAGGCAACGTACCTTTGATGTCATAGAACTGGTTTCCGAGGGTTCGTATAAAAGACGCAAGGTACACATCATACCCAGTATACAAGGCGTTCAAATCAATTGGCATATTGATGATGATGATGTTGGTCCATCATATGTCGCGGTATTCATGGACAACCCTGGATCCTGTGACCTCGCCTCACTGAATGTCTCCCTCAGCGTCGCCTTTCTCATTGTTCTTCATCGTCAAGACGTTTCTCATATATCCGCAACCTATAATACCTATGATGTCAGTTCATCTCACGCCAATTGGTTCCTCCTGCACTGCGCTTTAGGCTTCGAAGCTCTTCAGAGTGCCAGACCGTCAAGTGCTCTCAGGAGTACCTCTCTCATTACGAAAGCTGAGGATGCTCTTTTTTGCTCTCCCGCAATACCATCCCGATATGACGAGTCACAAATCAGGGTACTTAAGTTTGACGTTGACTTTCTTCACCAAACGTTCCTGCGTCGTATCCAATACCAGCCACTTTCGGACTGCATGCGAACGTCGAGCGGCACCGTCGTATCATGCCTAACAACCCACCTCATTGCGGCAAGGCTAGCAAGTCGTCTGTCTCAGATCGGGGTATACAATGGTGATGTAGTATATATCGGTCTTCAAGATGCGTCGCACGTTGCGATATGCACCGTCGCGGTCTTGTATACTGGCGCGGGATTTGCGATCATGAGTACTCCTCCCGTATGCGAGGCTCCTGTACTGTCGAGCCAAAAGAGCCTAGTTGTGTTGGTAGAACACTCTCGCGCGACCGAGTGGTTAGTTACTGCTACTCGGGCAGTACTTTTCGATCCAACCGATATTATCATGGAACTCTCTACTAAGGATCAAGTGTCACGCCTCCGAGATAATCTCGGAAATGACACTTTCGCTATTGGGAGCCCCACATCCTCAAAGATCGCCTACGCTGTATCCACGATGACCACCCAATATCAGGAATTCTTGGTGGTGGATCATAGACAAGCATGCGATGCAATGCGCAGGCATCATTCTCAGCTATTTAGGGGGGCATCCCCTCGATTTGTCGTTTTAACTGGCGTGGGCAATCATTATCTTGGTAATGTCGTCTGGCATGCTTTTTGGGTACGTTATGTTCTTAATTGATGAGATCGATTTGCTAACTTAATACGACACTCAGAGTGGTGCTGCGATCACATTCTTAGGCGAGAATGACAAGGACAAGCTGCTCAATCGTGTGGTTGAGTTCAACTGCAACCACATAATCGTTCCAGAGGACGAGTTTGAGCAAGTTGCTAAGATTCTCATCCACGCACACAAGTATATGCATGGCCAATCGGAATTGCATGAACAGGCAGGCGTTTCTGGTCTTCGCTCTCTGAAGAATATCGTGGTCTGCTGCCCAGGTCCAATCACCGGTCAGTCAGTGGAAACACTGCGTAACGAAAGCGTTGAGACCAGATCCGTAAGTATTTCCCTGTGTTTCAACCCTGTGCACTCCCTCATTTGACGCCATTTCGCATTATCATGAGGATTACTCCGGGTTGCGTCATAATCTTAAACCAACGATCAAACACCCAATCGAAGTCTTATATTCAGACCCAGCCGAACATGACGTGGCGCCTCATTATATCCTTGAGAAAATACCAACTGGAACACTTCCTCATGCATCTTTTGGGGCCGTGGTCAAGATTTCAGAATCCCTCCTAGTCAAATATAACCAAAGGGTGAGGAAGGCCGAGGCGGATATGATGATCTATGTTCAGCTGCATACAACAATTCATGTACCACGGGTCATCTTGATCTTTCGACAGGGCGAAGTAACTTATATTGTTATGGAACTTGTGCCGGGACGCAACCTGCAGGAAGTCTGGGATGATTTGGACACCGTTACGCGGCAAACCGTAATGGCACAAATATCCTCATATATCGGACAGATGCGAGCTCTCCCTAGGCCGTCTGGCGCCGCCGCACCAGGACCTATCGATGGGTCCAGATGCAGAGGACCTTGGTTCACGTTCTATGATGCAGGACCGTTCGATACCTATTCAGCCCTGTCTGAATGGCTAAATCACAAACTTGATATATCCTTGAGATCTTTGGAACATGTCAAACCAGGAGTATCCTCTAGGCATCGTAGGTTCACCACGGATCATCCCCTCGTGTTGACACACCAGGATCTTGCACCACGCAACTTCATGCTCGATTCCGACAATCATGTGTGGATGCTCGATTGGGATTCCGCCGGATGGTACCCCCTCTACTTTGAGTACGCGTGTGTAAGGCATGATAGGGGAGGAGATGGTGCACCCATTCCGGATGGATGGAAGGAAGCATTACTGACCTGTTTGGAAGAATATGAGGAGGAATATCAGCTGTTACTAACGATCGAATGGGTGCTGACAGTGTATTTCTTTCACTAGACAGTATTGGAAATATATAGTTGTCAGATAGAATCCGTGTATGTTAATGAACTCACCAGCTAGATCGTGCAGCGTCGTATAGGATTTAGCCACAATCCAATATACAAGTTCCTGACTTTGTTTTCCATGTTTTACCTTAGGTCTTCGCAAACTGTCAATCCACTCCCACGTAACAATTGAGCTCAAGGCTGTTGTGTAGGGAGCTGGCTAGTGATATATAACGATTGAGCTCGACAAAAAGCATCTTAACATGGTGAGTTTGATAGAAGCCTCGTGTCCTTGACCAGTACTTACAGGATACGCAAAGGTCAGACCTATAAACATGAATTGGCCTACGATACAACCAAATGCGACCCCTTACACCAGAGACGAAAGAAAATGTATTGCATGCGAGAACCCCACTCAGCATATCATAGTAAGGCATACATTAGAGACGACTTTTGATGCGAAGCGGCAGGATGAAGTGCGTGAAGTGACAGAGCAAAGACAAGATCCACGATATGCGTACAAGGCTCATCGAGTCTGAAAGGATAAAAAAGCGAGCCACTACGTCAATAACGGAAGACATAGGGTAAGATTTTGCAAACGCACCTTGGTGAAACCGATAGCAGCAGCCTTTTCACGGAAGCACTGACGGCAGAGGTCAATACCGTACTTGCGGATAAGACCGGCCTGGTGAGCGCAAAGGCGGCTGATAACAATATAATTAGCCATCCTTCCTCAAGGTCCAATCCAGCTATGAAGTGGTTGGTTCACCATTGACGGCTGCCCTTGCCGTACTTGCGCGGACGAGAGAACCAGATGGCGTCGTGGGTCATGGTGAGTTGTAAATCTTGAAGTGGACTGTTAACAGAAATGAGACTAGAACGACGGGTAAATGCAGAGGGCGACGGACCTTGTCCAGAAAACTTGCAGCGACGCACGGGCGGGGACGTTTTTCTCCTTCTCGACGATGGCGGTAGACAAAGAATAAGGTTTGTCTTGCCTACACAGTTTTCGGCAGTTGCCGTGATTTCTCTTTTTGGTGTTCGATCACACAACGATCACAGTAACTGAGAAGTACAGCTGAGTTCCATGCAAAGAACAGAAAAGCGTCCAACGTCTGGTGGGCTTGAAGAATCTGGTCGAAACATCATGCGCCAGAATTTGGCAAGCGCATAATGCTTCACCTGAGGCATACGATGCCAGCCATTTCCTCGACAATCTCCCGCTTGTTGATCATCTTTCATTCATGGAAGCTCTTCCCGAAGCAACATTCCCTGCTCTAACTTAGTAACTAGCAGGGAAGCTGCTTCAAACATTGCCTACATCGTTGTCAAGCCTACGGGACATAGTGATGAACTTGTACATGTAAATCATTGGCAAGCTTGTCACGTAATGCGCATTCATTACTATAGATTTAACACAATGGATAGACCCAATGCACTACTTTCTGCAGAAGTTAGCGTTCAATACTTTGGCGACATCGTGTGGCTGTCGTTTGCGGTTTGTTCCCTCCATGCTCATTTAAGCTAAGCTAATTTTCATTCATAGATTGCTGGATCAATCTCGTTCGCAGAGGAATGTAGTTCCCGAGCACTCATTGTGGCTATGAAGGCGTCCTCATGTACCCATCTAGGGATAACATCCAAGGAGGTGGAAGAGATCGCGAACGCACTTGATTCTACACCCGTGGAATCGCTCAAGCACATTATTGTATGTGGCGACGTGGATTTAGCTCCTCTTCATGTCACAGGCCTGGAGATATGTAATGTATGTCTGGTTCAATTTGTATACGCCCCCCCTCCCCCTCCCCTGAAATTGACCACGATCACAAAGTATATCCCGGATTATAGGCAAGAAAGGTAATTACTGCCTTGTCCCCTCAAATATCTCGCTAGCTTTCGCAGCGTCGAGAAACCTACTACACCACTAGAGCATCCTATAGACATTCTCTACCCGGAGGATCGGAGCACAAGCGTCATCACCCCGAAGAAGTTGTGGAACTTCTGCCAGGCGGTACAGTAGCGAACGGGTCTCTTGGTGTAGTTATAATCATCTCGGATACGTTGATCGTCAAGCGCGGCTCATCAATAAGGATGGCAGAAGCCGAGGTGGTCCGCTACATCGAACGTCATACGTCTGTCCCGGTTCCCAGAATACGGTTAGCGTTCCGCCGCAAGAACGATACATATCTCGTGATGGATTGTATTCCGGGACACAATCTGCAGGAGGCTTGGGATGAATTAGACAATGACCAACGCTAATCTGTCTTGACCCAAATTTCTTCATATCTTTCACAGATTCGCAACCTACAATCACCATATCCATCTAATCGACCAGGTCCAATCGATGGTTCCCGATTCAGAGGGCCATGGTTCTCTGACTATGACGCTGGTCCGTTCGACACATATTCTTCCCTTGTCGCTTGACAGAACTGACAAATGGCCATTGCAATGAGACGGTATTCTGAAGATTACCCCAAATTTACTGCCAGGTACCCTCTGGTATTGTCCCATCAAGACCTTGCTCCGAGAAACTTCATGCTAGACCCAGAGGGCACAGTGTAGATGGTGGACTGAGATCACGCAGGATGTTATCCCGCTTACTTTGAGTATGCATGCGTGATGAGGGACAATGGTGTGCCTGAAGCACCAATACCTGAGAGACGGAAGGAGGCATTACTGTCTATCTTGGAGCATTACCCAGAGGAGTACAGCCTCCTCTGTGACATTACGGGCGTTCCAATGAGCTGCACGCCGGAATGGTGGTCAGAGACCTCACATCGTGGATCAGCCGGTCAGCATGTCTCATGATACTAATCCACCAATTTTGGACTAAAGAGTATTTACAGACAATGGTAAGGATGACACTACTGCCTAACCGCTTCGACGACGTTCGGAAATCGATTAGTAAATACCGGCGAGGATGCCACTTCGACACTGGTTGACAAATACCTTCATCGCGTTATTGCGCGTCCGTTGCCAGACAGAACATCTAAATATGCCTCATTTCTATACAATCGAAATAGCTACACCCTATTCTCAATTTCTGAATGAATGTGACTACCATAAAGAATACAGCTTAAGTTCAGTCGCAGACCAGCTCAGTGCAGTATGCTTCTGAGACAAATCCTAGATACGCTGCGTAGGATAGCTCGAACCTGTTCGAACTTGGGTTTTTCATCAATTGTCCGCTCGATATCTTCCGTGTCTTTTTTTGAACTCTCTCGTTGGTTTCGTCTCTGACCTTGGATTCAACTGCTGCCAGTCTCAGCTCTGTCAATCGGTAACACGGCACCCTGTGTTTCCAGGAAATACTATACATGTCCCAATAATCATGTGTTGATCATACAAGCAGCAAACACAAGAACTCTACCGTTCACTCCCCCTTCCCTCCTTCATTCCAATCCGATCTTGACACTCTTGATCCTGTTCAATATGGCATCAATTTCAGAGTCAACTTCGGGCACAACTGTCTTCTCCTTCCGCTTCTTTGTCTTGGTCGGAGTGTCAACTACGTTCACATCAACCGTCAGGTCAATGACTGCATCTACTGCGGGCGAGGCGGGATGAGGCGAATCTGATTGTGAATGTGAATACGGAAGCAAGCAAGAGCTGGATCAAAGAACCTACCGCGTGGGGTAGTGGCCGCCATGCGGCTATTAGCTGTCGTCTTCGGTGTTCGCGGCGTTCTTGTTTTCACTTCGAAGAGTGGCTGAAGCCTGCCAACCTTGCAGGCGCCGCAGACTGGTCGTATAGTGTAGTGCGACATCTCCACGAAATTTGTCGTTTGCTTACCACATTCATCTGGTCGTATAGATTTGCTGAAGCGACCATAGCTGGGATAGCGGTCAGTACTGCTTCACCATATACCGATTCGAGTCACATTTTGGAGCATTCTTGACATTCTGTACAGTGGTGTTGGTGACATTTTCTGTTTGGAAGAAAAGATACATACTCCATTCATACGGATACTTGATCTCATAATCGTGTCTGGTCTGTATGCTGATCTGAGTATAGAGGCATCTCCGTCTCGAGCTGATCACTTACCGTAATCTCGATGTCAGGCCTGGTTCGCATGACCTTGGCCGCCCTTCGATCCTTCGTAAACACTCACTACATGGACGAAAGGTGCGATATACGTACCATGCCTTGAATATTTTACCGTGGTTCTCCTTGGGTTCCGCGCTGATGATCCAGCATGCAAGGTGGCACATCTCGTGTGACAATGTATTACGGATCCGTTCTGCCATGATGAAAGTCAGCCCTGGTTTCAAGATGTTTCTATTCGTTGCGTACCATCTTCGTCCAACACTTTCATGGCCAGCTGAATAGATGCGGTATGCACGCCATCCCTCGTCCTAAACAGTGGCTCAAGTATGTCTTCCAGTGAGCTCTGGAATATCAGGGACGCACCTCTGCCAGTTTGCTTTTCCGGCGGTCGTGATCAACCTGTTGCTCCATACCAGTCTGGTCTCCTTCGGCAGACCATCGTCGAACACACATTCATTCAGCTCGTCGAATAGTTCTTGGGCGTATACTTCGCGGCGAGCCTGTTCTGCAGCCTTCGATGCCTTCTTGGTCATCCGAGGTGCCTTCAGGGCTGAGGTCGAGCCTCGGGTGTTTCGAGATAGAGTTGGCGTTCCTGGGATGCTTCTGGGCCGGTTTGGGACAGGATCACGAGTATTATCTTCGTCTTCATCATCGGAATAACCTGGATGCTTGAATAGTCTCTTGAGCAGTGGCGTATCCTTGAGAACGCTGCCTTCGGCGCCATTCCAATGCTCATTGTTTTGCAAGGTTGGAATACGTAGGGGCTTCCTTGCCCTTCGCGGTTCATCACTGAAGTCAATACTCAGAAACAAGAGCATTTGTGTAACAATGTGAGAATCCTAAACTTACAGAATCAATGTCGAGCCGTCGTCGACCTCCCAAGGCACTAAATCTTCTTTGATCTCATTTTGTAATGTAGCTGATGGCCCCCTTTCCTCATCAGAACTTGTAGAAATATCAATGACATCGTCAAAGGCAACACGTGTTATGCTGCGTGTGGCAGTAGACATGTCACTTCGATTCCCACCAGCCACTGTAGTTGGGTGGCTTAGCCGAGTAGGCGTAATCGATACGTCCTGTACCCTGGGCAAGGGTTCAATGTCATGAAGAATTTACTAGATTCTAATAAAATAATACGAAACCTTAGACGTGACGATCCAGGGACTTGTCTCTGAGTTGGAGAGGTCAAAAGTCCATGACCGGTGGGAGGGCTAGCATTTTCACAACCGAAGACAAATGTATCGCCCCTAAGTACCACAGCCAGGCTCTATGAGTGCCATAGTATCTATGCGAAACAATACGTTACCTTTGCTCCGTTTGCAACTCATCCTCAGGCTCGGAATCCGAAGATATTACAATAACCTCGCGATCCAGTCCCCGCTGTCGTCTACTTAGGGCATGCGAGTATATGTTTTTGGGAATGCTTTTGCTACAAGGCCGGATTTGCACGTACCGGGTCCTTTCCTCCTCGCTATCCGAAATGTTTTCTTGTTCGTCTTGCTCAACTTGCATGCTGATGACTGATTGAATGGTCAACCTTTTGAGAGGGCGTCGTGTAGAATGTGGAGACACATGTATGAGAGCGTCTAGTTAGTGAGAATGTGGGCGTATCAAAGAGACATTACAGGTTCAATGCATGCGAGACTGCGTGGGCTTTGGTTCGGTTTCGATCACGGCGCGATCGAAGCATGATCGTGTCACTGCCACGTGCGCATTCATAGACAGCGTCCAGGCTCACAATAATGTCTGCAGCAGACAAGCAGCAGACACTATAACCTTGAATGTAAAGACATTATCAGACGTGCCGTGACATGAGCGAGAAATCATACATGTACATAGCGAGGATCATTACGATTCATTAGATCGAAGAAGACAGCCCAAGGAGAATACGAAGGTATAAAAACTATGCGAACATGCAAGAAATAACGAAACATAAGAAACAGTGCAAGAAAGTCCAACTAACTGTCCTTTCAACCTCAAGTATAACCCTCATACAATGCACACAAAACGTGGGTGCATCTAGTGGGTAGAAGATCCACCAGCAAATGCCTCTCTAACACTCTTTCTCAACTCCTCATGGTCCCGACCACTCGCGCTCTCTGTTGTATCTGCAAATGAGCCCGGCTGAATTTGTGAAGCAGACGCACTAGGCGTCAAAGCACCCTCGCCGTCATGTTCCGTGATCTCCAAGATACGGCGGGCCAACATTTGGATCTCGCCTTGGCCGTCACCTGTCTCGGTCTCCTGGTACGAATGTTGGGAATGAGGTGAATGTGGGGTACCACCGACAGAGGATACAGGAGACGAGGTGCGAGTTTGAGCGAGCTGTCGAATGTTCGGAATCAAGATGGGCGAAGTGCGGATATGAGCATTTAATATTGGGTCTAACAATGGAGAAGTTTTAGCGGAACTCGCGAACTAGAACCTAAAAACGCACCGCCTGACTCAAGCAATTGCACAATCGTCCATACAGCAATGTGCTGGAAGGTGGCATCGGGGCTTGTAAGGAAGCGGTAAAGGTACTGGTGCATGCCACCTTCAGGCTGATCCCACACTTCATTAAAAGCAGAATAATCGTCGCCGGTCGATCGTCCATCTACTGAGATAGATGACGATTAGTACTCGCGAACAAAACATTTTCAAACACCATACCTTTGGATGACAAGTTACCAAGAGCTGCAGCGCTGTTACCCTGTACTTCAGAACTCGGCGAGTTGGTGAGAGGGATCAAGACCTCGCATATGCCCATCTCCAGCAGTTGTCCCTTCAGCTCGTCTGGAATATGGTATAAGAACTTTCACGCCCAACACGAAGAATGACACATACCGCTGAGTGCAAGGACGGCAACGCAAGCAGTCATCTCACTCTGCACATTTGTCGGAACCTCCAAAACAAGTTCCTTAATACTCTGTACAGCACCAGCCTTCACAATTGCTTGCTTGTTCTTCTCCGAACTTGCGGCCAGGTTTCGCAGTGTCGATATAGCATGGCACTGCACTTCCTCGTTGTCCTTGAAAGACAAGAGATTGATGAGAGGCTGAAGGAAACCTGATTCGATTATGGGTGACTCGTTCTGAGGGTGAATGGAGACGTTGCGAACGCAAGCAGCGGAGGAAAGAATGAGTGGGAGGTAAGCGGATTGGAGTAAGCGGAGTAGAGACGAAAGACCATCTGCCTTGACGATCTCTAGTTGGTATTTCTCTGTAAAGACTGAATGAGAATGCGAAGACACCAAGGACATGCGGGTGCCACATACCATCGCTTGCAAGATTACGCAGAGCGAGAGCGGCTTGACATTGCACCTTCAGACTCGGGCTATCCATCAACTGAACCAGACTGGCGACAAGCTTGGGTTCGCTTTGAGCGAGCTTCTTGCGGTTCACACCTACAGAAGAGGTCAGCGATACAGAAGTATCCAGGCAAGAAGACCCTAACCATCGACAGCAATATTGCTCAATGCGGTCGTACAATAATATTGGACATCGGTATCCGGAGAGTTGAGAAGAGAAACCAGAACTGGGATAGCCCCGGCATTCACCAGCTGTTGTCGATTTTCATCTACAGTACCATCAGAAGGTCGCAAGCATCCTCGTAATTGCCATAGACGAACCAGAATGCGTCATGTTCAACAACGCGCCGGTAGCGTTGCGCTGCACCCGCATGTCTTTTGACCGTGCGAGTCGAGTGAGAGGCACCAACGCTCCAGACTTTGCGATCTTGGTCTTGTTATCATCTGCAAAACACGACGGTTACACCTTGAACGCACGTGCGTGAATGAGGAGACAGACCATGAGTAGCAAGGTTCGTCACACAACCAACTGCATTGCATTGCACTTCAACGTTCGGACTGAGCATTTGTCGAATGAGAGGCTCCAGGCCACCAAGTTTGACAATGAGAAGCTTGTTATCGGCTAAAATAGCAGGGATTAATGAGAGAAGCAGCACTAGCCAATGATGACTTACTGTTGACGGCCAAGTTACCCAACGCTGCACTGGCAGCCCTCTGGACTTCGGTATCATGGCTGGATAGAAGGAAAAGGATAGGATCGAGGGTATCGCGCCCAACTGGCCGGACTTCTTTCTCAGTAATTTCTGCGAAAGCAAGAGCAGCACTCCGTTGGAGATCAACATTGTCAGAAAACGAGAGTGTTGTCAACGCGGAAAGTGGTGATCCCGAGAAGAAGTTGGTCGTTGTCCGGTCTACGGTGTGCACAGTTGGAAATACTGAGAAGGCAAAGAACGACGACAAGTAACGTACTCTCAAGGTACTGCAGCAAATCAGCAACAGCTTCCCGTTCGTTCTCCAGCAGTAATGGCTCGTATGACTGCGATTTGCGTGAGCGGACTAGAGAAGCATTTCATCGTAGGATGAACATTTTAGTGAGATGCGGAGAAGGTAGGGAAAGGAGCTACTGACAGCAAGATTCGCAGCAACTGGACACAACACCCATTTTATGGCAGCGTTAAGAGGCTGGAGGAGCTATGGTGAACGTTGAGTCGCCAGGCGAAATGCAGAACGAACGCAGTTAGCGGAAGAAAGTGTGAAGCTCGAGCGCTCGAGCAACGCTGCACTAGGGTTGGTCGTCAAATGAACCGATCCTGGACGAACCGCACCTCTGCGACTGACCACCACCTCGATCTTTCTTTTTCTTTCTGCTTCACCAGCTGCTGGCTCTGGAGACCAGTCTATTGCATGTTAAAAGTCTACAGAATACCCCGATTCTTCAAGCCTGTCAATACCCGTAGAATGTCCCTCTTACGCGTCACAACTCACGACCGTATTTGTATTCCTGAGAGGCCAGAAGTCCACCTAACCGAGGTTGAGGAGAGAATTTGCACACTCCTTCATGAGTGCACAAAATGGATGAGACAAACCAGAGGTGACTCCGATGCAACATCTTGCCGGATTGCTGGAGGATGGGTTCGGGACAAGGTCAATACGCCAGTTTCCTTTGCGAATTCTGGCCTTCTCCGCTTTGTCCTCTTTCTTGCAGTTGTGTTCATTCTTTGCTGTCTTGCAGCTCCTGGGACTGCCTTGTAATGATATTGATATCTCACTCGAAAACATGATGGGCATGGCATTTGCCCAGCAATTCATCGAGTTCTGTTCTATGAATGGCATTGAGACAGACAAGTTGGCCAAGATTGAGATCAATCCCGATCGTTCAAAGCATCTCGAGACCGCCAGAACCACCGTATTAGGCACTGAGCTTGACTTCGTGAACTTACGAAGTGAAGAGTACACCGAAGACAGCCGCATACCAACACAGGTCGTGCGTGGCATTCGATTTTCATGCCAAAGTACGGGTATTAACCGATGGGTATCAGGCTTTTGGTACGCCTTTGCAGGACGCTTTGCGCCGCGACATCACCATCAATGCACTTTTTTACAATGTCCACTCACGAAGTGTGGAAGACTTCACGGGAAAGGTAGTGTCAACATCCATTCGCTCGAGTATTTCCTAAATATACTCTAGGGCTTGACAGATCTAGAACATGGTATCATCCGTACTCCCTTGCCGCCTCGCGAGACCTTTATGGATGATCCTTTGCGAGTAATTCGTTGTATACGATTCGCAAGTCGCTTCGGCTTCAACTTGCACCCTGAACTACAAGAATCTGCACGTGATCCCCAAATTCAGGTGCGTTCACAACATGGCTTCGTTAACAGCTTGCTTATTCCGATCTAGGAAGCTCTCCGATTCAAGATAAGCCGAGAACGTGTCGGTGTGGAGCTTGATAAAATGTTAAAAGGTATTCTCTCGCGGTCTTCTCCCATGAGCCAAGATGTCTGACACACATTCGTAGGGCGTGATCCTTTGCTAGCCATTCGACTAATCAACGAGTTATCGCTCTATGACTCTCTATTCTACATCCCTTCTTCAGTCGCGCCCGAATTTTCCGCGACGCGGGCACCTTCTGTCACTGCTGTTGTTGCTTCATCCCTCTTACACATCATCATACAGCCTTTGTCCTCACCAATAGCTCGACTACCTCCAGTGCACCCAACCCTTCTCAATACCGTATCCCGGGACTATCTACTCCACGCCCGCCTACACCTCGCTTGCTTCCTTCTTCCGTTCTTGAATATCACGTATAAGGACCGCAAGGGCAAGCCGCATGAAGCGGTAGAGGCTGCTATCCGCGAAGGTGTGAAGCTTGGCACCCAAAATCATTACCTCAACGGTATTCCTGCTCTTTTTGCTGCCACACAACTATTGAGGAACCCAACAATCGAGGAGCAGCCTGGTAATCTCAAAGAACGAGCAAGGATCGGTATGTACCTGGGCATCGCCACCACGTCATCTAACCTTAAACCCTATAGGGATGCTGCTTCGAGAGAAGCTTGTGCATAACGCCCATACCGGATCGCATTGGACAAGCACACTTCTGTTCACACTGATCACTGAATTGGTCCCGCTTTACGATGTTTCCCAAGATGTCTTTGACAGTACGTCACGTATACTGGTCCCGGATGACTAAGGCTTTATCACCATTGATTTGTGGCAGTCGAACAGGCTAAACAATATATCAATGCATATAACGCATTCGTGTCCCGAATAGAAGACTTTGGTCTACCATCCGCTGTAGATGCGAAACCTTTGCTAGATGTGGGTAATCCGCTCTCTTAATCAACTTGTTCCTGATATGGAACGAATGTGCAGGGTCGAAAGGTTCTACATATCACTGGCGTTACAAAACCTGGGCCCTGGACTGGTCAGGTTCTCACTCGCGTGTGTGAGTGGCAACTTGAGCACCCCGAAGCCACTGAGGAAGAATGCGAGAACTGGCTACGAGCGGTGCATCTCGCAGGCCATATCAATATGGATCTCCCTTCGACATTCATTCGACCAATGCCAATTAAGCGGGGCAAAGGGACGAGTGAAGACGGCACGCGGAAGAAGCCAAAGTCGGATGTCCCTTGACACCGCACCGTGACTTTGAGTATATACGGTCAACGCAAAACAAATGTATATCCTTCCTATCCTATGCAAGTACAGTTGCGACCCCAAATAATTGATACAGTCACGTACTAATAGTACAATGTGAATGAAAAGACGAAGGAAGAAAACTAGCGAACCTCTGAGATACATATCAAAGCTAAATGAGGTCGAAAAGGCCGTGAAGATGTCGTATGTAACAAGCATTCATGTCAATTATTCAGTACCGTTGAGTACTCCTTCATTCAGCCACTCCGCAAAAATGTCATCATCCAGAGCAGAAACATCAGAGGGTACGAGAGGCGAGTGGGCAAGGCCGTATGAATAAAAGTCTTCATTATTTCCGTTGGCAAGGAAGGAAGGTTCGGTGACGAAACAGCTGGTGAAATCAGGCCCATATAATGGAAGGGTGAGAAGATTGAGCTCAAGCGGTACCGAGGCGGGGGCAGGGACGGCGAGCCCTAGGGATGATGAGGACGGAGGGGAGAGTTCGACGCCTGCCATAGGGAGTTGTGACCACGATGGGGATAGAATAGCGGCCTCAGTGAGCATCATACTTTGGGCCAATGCGGAAGCTTGGGGTTTGAGGAAAGGGAACATCGGTTCCGTAACATGCGGGAGTGACTCCGTAGGCACAATGGTGGGAGAGCTCTTGGTCAATGTCTGAAGGGGCGAAGTAGTTAGCATTGCTCATTGAGAGGTCTTACGTTGACAAGACGCACCATTTCCTGCAATACGTTGCATATATCAAGATTTGAAACCTCTGGTGAACGTGCGATGTCGATGTCATCGGAGATCGTCTTCGAAAAGGTGAGGTCGGGGGTCCTCAGCTCGTCGGAAGAAAAGCCTGACGATGGTGATGATTCTGCGGATGATGAGCCAGCTGAGTGTTCCCCCTCTGAGGCGAATGAGTGCTTTTTAGTTTGACGTTTGGGTCGGGGCTTCGTCTTTACAATAGGAATCCTTCGTTCCTCGACCTTGACACGTGGGCGGCGCGCCACCTCTCTCTCAATCTCATCCTCCACCATACCCAACAGCAACAGCTCGGCGACAGTCTTAGAACCACTAACTTTCTTTTTGGACGATTTCACCTTGCAGGGAGCGTATTTGTAACCAGGGTGGGCAGCCTTGTGCGCATTCTTGACAGCATCAGCCCGTATCTTATATGGTTCCTTTTCAGCTTCTGAGAGCTGCTTCCAGCGAATACCTGCCAATCGACTGATCTGGCGATGGTCACGCTCAGCCGTAGCCTTGATCTTTTCCTCCAACCAGAAGAACGAGCGGAATATCAGGAACGCGTTAGGAGGACGGGGGACATGTTCCCCCTGCTTCTTGCGGGTTTGGGGAGATGGCAGTGATTCGTTGTCGGATAGAGAGGGTGAAGCAGAGCCGTATGTGTCCGAGGAGGGAGATGAGGCGGCTGAAGAGTTCGAAGGCGAATGAGCAGAAGAATCGGGAGTAGGAGGACAGATCAAATCCATGATGTCGAAGTTCGAGTCCTCTTGAAGATCTGCGCATATATAGAGAGTGTTTAGCACACTCAATGACGATCGACGATAGGATTACTCACCAACACGGCGGAGTGGCCCACCAGCAGTACGACGCGAACGGCGAGGATGGCGATCGAGTGGCATGGTACTATAGACGTTATCGAAGTGTGTGGGGAGGGGAGGGGAGCAGTCAGATGCGAGCAGGGAGTGGGTGGATGACCTGCCAGCTCATGCTTGGGCCTCCTTTTGAAGGATTTCGAAAGAGAGAAGCACATGAACGTAGTACAATGTACATTGCGTAGGCACTTCATTATCGCCTCATGCCCGGCATGCACCCCCATAATCGTGATGAAAGCGGCTCGAGACCTCGAGACATTATTCTGACTTCAAACCTAGTATGGCACATGCTGACCGCCGCGGAAGTATATGTTGGAGACGCTCGCCGATCACCAGATCTCTCTTGACCTCTTTCAGGAAATGCGTCCTGCCTAGCAACCCCCAAGAAAGATGTGAGACAGTAACGACAATGTCAGACGAGCCCCCATGCCTTCATACGAGGAACAACATTGAAAATTGGCGAGTCCATGGCGGCCTGAGTGCACTGTGTGTCCATAGATGGTCGGAAACGAGCTGTCAAAACGTGATCGGCTCACCAAACCTCACAGATTTCCACATAAACTGCAATTTTCGCCCGGCCGGTGAAGTAAACACTAAGTAACCGAGGGATCCACGAGACTTGAAAGGATTCAGTCACAAAGAGCAGGTTCAGAAAGGGCCAAGCTCTCACGATAGCTCTAATTCGCGGCTTTCCGAGCCGCACACTTGACGGAGTCCTTCGGTGCCTTCAAAAGAATGTTGCCACTGCCCGAAAGTCTGGTAAATGAATCCGATAAGCAGACCTGCAGGCTTGCGACTTGATCCATAGTATGTAACAATCCACTCCTTGCTGACAGATTTAATGAGATGCGCGCAGTAGTGCAGTGGGCATACCCATAATGTTAATTCCACCGAGTGGCGCAAGCCTCGGCGTTCTTCATTGAGTAGGGAAGAGCTTCATGGCATGATTCGAAATTTCATGAAAGAAATGGCAATATATGTAGATAAAGTAGGTAATGCAGGAAAACGAAGACGGAAGGGCAAATCGTTTCGCTATGAGTCAATTTTGGCCTCGACTTGCGACTGTGAAGAGACAGCCTCGGCCTTTTCCTTGCGACGCTTCGAGGCAGCAACCATTTCCCTATTATATCGAACAATGGGTGACCTTCGCAGCTGAGAATAAGCTAGTGCACTTACCGCTTCTTGATGGCATCGCTTCTACCTATTCTGCGAGCATCATTGACAGTATCTGCACGTTTTACCTTGCCCATCTCTCGTCTTTTCATTTTGGATGGCTTCGGCAGCTTGAGCATCCATTCCGGTACGGATGAACCCGACTGCAGAATGACATTTGCAATCCTAAAGAATGGCGTCAAGACATTACTCCAAGGGGTACTGGGGACTCGGGAGTACTTGCATTTTAAGGAATGGCGCGTCTTCATCAGTGAAATATGTCACCGCTTTTCCTTCGCGGCCCATACGGCCGGTACGCCCTAACAAATGAAGAAGTCAATCATCTGCCTACGAGATATGAAAACCGTGCGACGTACCGATTCTATGAACGTAGCTCTGGACGCTCTGAGGGAAGTCATAACTAATGACTTCTCGAACACCTTTGAAATCCATTCCCCTCGCCATCACTTCGGTCGTCACCATGACCCAGCTCTGCCCCTGCCGCATGCGACTGACAGCATCTTCTCGTTCCTTCTTCGTCATCCCCGCGTGTAGATGATCGACATTCGGTATACCGCTGAGAACCAGCTCCTCTGCTAACGATGATGCGCGCTCTTGAGAAGATACAAAGATAAGGAGGGGTGGGTTGTAGGGCTGAGCTAGATACTGCAGAAGGGTTGGGAGTTTGGAGAAATCATCGGCGACATATGTTAGAGATTGAGCGATGAGGGGCAACGGCGTATCCCTACGGAAATGAATGAGCCACATGCCTTCCATCAGATGAACAAAGTGACTGACTTCAGGCCAACGACTACCCGGATTGGGTGTTTCATCATGTCCATAGCAATCTTCTCCGCACCAGATGGAAGAGTGGCACTGAATACAGCCTTTTGCACACCTTCCCGTGAACATCCAGCTATCACTTCTTGCACTTGATCTAGAAACTCCGTATCGAGCATGCGATCGGCTTCGTCCAGCACTACATGACGCACACTATTCATAAAATAAAGTCAACATGAGTTGTCAGAATTGGAATATAAACCAATATGTCACTCACTTCTCGAGTCCTATTACGCCACTCTGCATTGCTGCGACTAATCTGAGAGGCGTGCTAATGATTATGTCTACCCGTTGAGTGAATTATGTGAACTATAACGCATACGTTCAACGGGCTTACCTACGCTGTCCCGGACGTTCTGATCATTCAGTGCATTTGCGGTTGCTTTGCTGAACAATATAATTCGCCATTTTCGCCCCTGCGCTAGCTTCAAGCATTCATTGTGTATCTGATGCGCCAATTCGCGTGTAGGTGCAAGGACCAACGCTCGAACACCGCTCCTAGTATCAAGCTTGGAGCTAGAAGCTGGGGCACCGAGAAGCGACATAATGGGTAAAAGGTACGCCAATGTCTTTCCCGTTCCCGTTGGGGAGATAGCAGCAAGATTCCGACCCTTGTGACTCCAGTGTCAGTAAGCCCGTAGAATTGTAGATGTAGTCTACGTACTTCCATCAATATGGGTATTCCATGAGCCTGAATTCCTGTCGGTTCCTTATACCCATTCTGCGCTAGGTTGGACAGGAAGTGCGAGCTTATGTGGTACCGATCCCTAAGTTCCCGGAAAGATTCTATGGGATCAGGTACATTGGAACCTTTAGCAGTTACGCGTTGACGGGGAATTGGTGCAGTCCATGCCGGTAACGCCTCATCGGAATCATCCTCAGCTACTTTTTGTTTCTTGCTCGTGTGCTTTGCGTCCTCGGTGGATTTGCGCTTGGTATTCACGTTCTGAGCATACTTGAAGAAATCCAAGTCATGTGGGAGCTCTTCCTCCGTCAGACTAGCCCTTTGCTTTCCCTTATCGAGCTTCCTCGAGTCTTTCTAAAACAAAGCCGGTCAGAATAAGTCTGATCGACCAAGCTAGACATGCTCACATTGAAGATCTCCACCTGAGTTGCAAACCGTTTCTTGTTGAATTTCACGCCTCCTCGGGAAAGGAGCTGGAAAGCCTCCATAGAAAACCAAGATAGATGGGAATTTCGGTGGTGATAGGCTCGTCTCTAGTCTCAGCTGTACACCGTAAAGTTCGAAGGCGGTCGTCGTTTTGCCGAGGACGAATATTTGGCAGTCTATCTATGGGAGGGGCGGCGCTAGAGCTAACTGAGTTTGAATTGACTTACTGTATTAGGCCACCACTTACCACTTTCAGCATTGGTACAACTAAGTGCAAATAAAGCCAGTTTCTATGCACTGTGCACATTGTTTGCACCATTGTGGGCTCATTTCTGACCCAAATGGGCTAGCATTTGGTAGATTGCATTGCCCATATGGTTTGAATATATGTATTACTTTTGTATTTTTAGCTTTTTATGTTGTTCTATGAATGTCAAGTTACACATCTGTAGATCATTCACCTAAGCAAGTCATTTTCACCATTAATCACTATCCTCTGAGGGTCTAATAAATACCACTCAAGGCTCTATGTCACATTCATTATCTAGCAATATGGATATATACATGGTCATTTCTTGAAATTGGCTTGAAATAAAGTTTGTGTAATTCTGAACAATTCAGCAAAGAAATAATTATTTCAGTAACAAAGTTCAGTCTTTTGTGCATGTTTGAGTTGTACAATGCTGTCCCAGTGTAGCTTTATATTCTCTACACTACTCTCCAACTTTATACCATAAACTGATCAAGATTACTTCACTTTTAATCAGACAATATAGAAGTTATGCTACAATATAAACTATATAGCAATTGAAGGTTTTCATAGAAGCATTGTATTTAGAAGAGGTCACTTGCAATGCATGTAAGAAATAGCAGCACAAAGTGCCACCACTTCTGAAAATTTTGAATAAGACACAGCCATATTTGTAACCATCCAAGAAATATCATTATATTCAAGTTTCTTAAGAATTTGCAGACTTCTTAATGGCTTAGGGCTTTTAACATGGCTATAGATACATTCTCTTAATTTCCCAGTATTTATATGGTGCATAGCACCACTGTATTGAGAAATATCTGTAGAAAGATGCATAAAATGGACTCAGAATGAAATTCAAGCCATTTCACATAGGCTCATTAATAAATCCAGACTAATATCTCTAAAGATACCATATGGTATGGCCATTTCACAACAACAAACAGAACTGGTATAGGTAAGTAGATTTCCTCATACCAGTCCAATCTTTTCACCCTCCTCTCCTTCTTAATTAATTAAATTAATTTTTTTCCTCTCTGCCCCCCTTTAGATAGACCGCTGAATATTTGAGCACTCAGTAGTGTAGGGGACAAAACTCATTTGGGCTGAGTTCTGCCATTTGCTAGGCAGAATGGCAATTGCCAGATCTGGCAAAATATGACAATTCATTTTTTGGCCTGTTCTGAGTTTGTATGATTCAAAAATGGCTGGACAAAAGTGTACTTAGAAAGTAGTCCATAGAATTGTATCATAGAGTTGTATGTTAGCTAGAACTCCATACTGCTCATATGCAGGAGCATGTCTACATTTCAAACAACAGTCTTGATTGAAGAAGAAGGTGTTTGGACTTCCTCATTAAAAGATGCCGATGTCATTTCCTTGTCAATGCGGTCAAGCTCTGCAAAGTCATAGATTTTGCCAGTAGTTAGAATGACATCTAGCAAGACTGAATCAACATTACAATTATCATCTGCTACTTCTTCTGCCTATTGCCTCTTCCATTTATCATACTCAGCTGCAAACTCCTCATCCATCATTCCTTCAGATCCTTCCAGCAGGACCTTATATTGCATAGCCTCATCAATGAATGTCACTGTGAGAGGTGGAATCCAAGTGAAGTTAATGTTGAGGTCCTTCGCAAGGTCAGTATTGATGCCAGGAGCATTGCAAGTATGCATATGAGCATGTTTCTGATAGAGAGGCTTTTTCACTTTCCGACTGTGCTTCCAAATAAGATGTTCATAGTTCAAACACATTCTGCCTTCATGCTCAAAGTTTGGCACTGTAAGATTAATTCTTTTTTATCCTTGAATTTCACCAAGATTCAAGAAAAGCCTCTCAACTTTAGCTGCATGGGGAACAATTGAGTGTAACCACACAGTGAGGTCCTTAATAGGACAGCCTTCAGTTGTGAGGATAGATAGAGATAATCACTATGCCTTTGCATCTAATTGACTTCCAACAAAGGGCCTTTTGAAGTTGTAGTATTCCTTTAGATTGTCAAGAAGCTATACAGCTTATATCTTAGGCCATCATAGTTAATGAGCAATATCCAACATGGCCTTGCAAATTTGATCAAATGTCTGGCTCTTTTCTACTTGATCTATAGCAATGCGGTGACATAGCAGGTGAAGAAAAAGAGCAAGATTGTGAGTATCAGTATTTATTCAATAAAACTCTTCATTGAAGACTGACTTGGCATGCAACCAGAAGTCAAGATGGTCATGTTCTTCAGCAAATGGGACTCAGAATATCAACTCATGAGTGCAGCAAATAACTTTAAGCATGCAGTCTGCTAATGTTGTCTGTTGGGCTTCTAAGTTCCTAATTGCATCAACAAGTGGTTTGCATATTTTGACCAGCTAACACAGGTGACCCCAATAGTGTGCATCTGTAAGAACTATCATTCTTATATCATTATTGATTGGAGACAGACCATTTGTCTTCTCTCGGGCATCTAAATATGCATATACTGCAGAGAGTGGATCACTGGTACATTATTCAAGTTCAGTACATTGTGATATAACAAAAAAAATTATATAGCCTATGCAAATGATAGGACAGACATTGCCATGAGAATGAGGCTATACCAATGTGAATTCATGTGAGTCTTCAGTGATCACTGCACACCACATCTGTTGGCTTCTTCTTCAAGTTGTCCATCCCAGTAGTATGATTGGTTGAAGAATGAGATGACATGAGAGGTCTATGCAATGACTTTCTTTATTACTGAGTAACCAATAATGTGACCAATAATTGTGTTTAGTTTGTGTAGGAAACACCAGAAGGTCTGTGTTACACATGTAAGTCTGAATTCTATATTGCTCTGAAGTGAATGTGAGAACTTACAAGGATCCAAAAGAATTTCTCCCGGAACTTCCATCAGAATGATTGCATAGTAGTCAGATTATCTGTAGTCACAGCAATAATGCCCTGAGTGTTTTCAAGCTCACTTTGCTCTAGGGCCTTTGTCACAACTGCAACAAGGTTATCGGCTGTAGCTTACTTGCCCATCATGTTCTCTAGGCTCAGAACCTGGGGGAACTCCCCAACTTCAGCAGCAACTGACCCATACAGACTCCAATGTAAAGCATTATCTCATCCATCTATAAGGAATGTCCACTACTTGCAATCCTACAGTATACTGATTTCTTCACTCATAATACATGTATACTTCTTATCCATAATTGTATGCAATAGAATATATCGAGTTGGGAGCATATATGATGATCTGATGGACTATGTGAAAATATGAAAGAACAAGTTCTCAGAATGTGAAAAGGCACTATTGGTATGTATCAAGTACCTACAAGCTATTCAGTGAATACAACTGACTATCATTTCTGTCATAATCATGACTTGCCTCAACAGGTTAATGTTTGCATCAAACTGTGCTTTCTCAAAAAGTGCATAGTCAACAAACCCATCTAAGATTGTATTGACTTTGCATTTCTTTACAGCAGTTCTGGATGTGCTATTAGTATCACCATCTTTGGGCTCAGTTATTGAAGGTGCCGATAAAGTTATTCCTATAACAGGTGCAAATACCTGCAATTTTTCTTTACTTTGGAGGACCAACCATGCTTGCTTTCGTGCATCTCCTGAAGCATTTGGACAGGTACCTTTGTTCATTAGGTGATTATAAAGGCAGTTATCTCAGTATTTCATTTTCTTGACAGAATCCTCAGGTGCATTAGGGTCCAGAAAGCAATGTATACAGATGTAATATTTTCTGTTGGATTTATTTTAAATGCCTCCTGCTTCATGGAAGTTCTGTGTGATAAAGACATTGAGCGACCATCTGTCCTTTTTGTTACTAGACATTCAATAGGAAGTAAAGAGAAATGGGAAGAAAAAAAATTGTATTTCAATTATGTTTCATACATCATTATGATCTCTCTGATGATAGAATAGTTATGAGTTCTGCCATGTTTTGCCAACCCCTTCCAGATCCCTGATGGCAATTGCCATATTTGCCATGGCAATTGGCAGAAGGGTTTTGACAAGAGGCCTTCAAAACTGTAAACCTGGAAATGGACTACCCCTGGGTCAACCCTGGCTTATCATTCAGGGTTCTGCATTTCACTTTTATGCACAGTTTTCTGGTATGAGGTTGAGTCTTCATTTATTTTACTCAAAGAGTTGTCAGAATAACTTCTTTGGATGCTCTTTCTATATCTATCAATTTCTTTGAGCTCAAATGGCATATGAGAGAGAAAGAAAAGCAGAGAATATATGTGTTCACAATTGCTAGAAAGGAAATTTCTAAGGTTACATAATTGATACATATGTGAGACCACTTTGTTTTAGTACTGAATGCAATGCGACATGATACAAAAGTCATTCCTCTCCTTGATTGCAATCTTTGGTGATGAGGTTCACAGGATTGGTCCAACGGGCTCCTCAAAATCAAATTCAAGTGAACCCGGGGTAGCTCAGTTGAATGGAAAGCATGCAGCAGGTTCTGCACCTGATGCTTCTAGCAATGAACATATGCACTCGAGAAAATGGACTCACTCATCATAGGATTCTTATGCTCTGTTGGTATTTATTACTTCATATTCACACCTATTCATATCTACTTCACATCTATTCTATACTACAGTAGTTATTAATATTCTACAGCATGTAATATACCTCTACCCCGACTACTTATTCTTTATCTTGTCCCAGATTTGTTTCAGTTCTCACGAAGAATAGGGCGCCAAATGGCGCTAAAGGGTGGTGGTTGGGGGGGCAAGTTCCGGGGTCCCTCTCACACTTTTCTGACAGTCGATTTACATATTTACGGTTTTGGAGGCCCCTTGGGTTTTGACCTTCCAACAACACTAGCGCTCAGGCAGGTGTTACCGCCTAAAATGGAAGTACTGTACTTTTACTGTAGTTGACTATATTTTTGCAATTGTTTCCCGAATTCATACACCTTCATCAGACATCTGGCCGGCCTGCTCACCAAGATGAGTGGGGAACGTTGTACAGGTCGAAACGTGTGACTGTCTGAAAGTGGAAGGTCGCTTGGTCGGGCCCAAGGAGCTCTTTTAGAGTCGGAAAGACTGACTAAAATGGATGAGCATGGGAGATGCACAGAATAGGTCGAGAATATTTAATCCAAATAATATACGTTGCTACCATGCAGGTATAGGACATGAAGGTATGCTACCAAATCCAAGATGAGACTGATAAATAAGCAATGCGGACCTTCTAATGGGGACGTTAAGGTAGGTCTGATAAGATCTATGATCTACGGCGTTCAGGTTAGATTGTCTGTGGATGAGAGTTCGGGGGAGACCAAACAAGTGTTCTCCAGCCTTTCTTAAGTTGCTGTGAACGCGTATCGGTCAGTGTATCTTGATCATAAGACTACACATGTTCCTTACTTCATAAAAGACAAACATTAGGACCGTATTTGGCCCGAGCCGGATGAACGCTGGTGTCCACCCTTTGAATAGGAAGCTAGGGCCTTCGTGTCGAAGAGACCGCGTCACAACCTCTAATAGACTTACATTTCCTGACTGATGGGGGCACAATAAGTCTAGGACATACGGGAAGTTTAATGTGAGCATACCGCAGACATCAGTCGAGATTTGAGCACGTCTGCAGGCGCACAGACAGCTGAGTGATAGTGAGCAGATCTGAAAGGATAAGAAATCTGACACGGCACGTACTCGTTGCGAATGCGCCGGCCATGATACTTGATATTACATGACATAGCAAGTTGTCACGAAATTGAAATTGAATGATTGGCAGTGGTTGGGAGATAAGGAGAGTTTTGAAGACATCATAGCTGTGTCATGTCTATGAACAGAGTCCTTGCTACGGATGTGCGATAAACATCTACTCACGAACCAACCTGTGAACCCTGCAAACCCCGGTGAGCACCCTGAAAGCGGAAGAGAGTGTGCGGAACGCACGTTCATGAGGATAGCCCTTGTCTATAGAACGATTTTAGTGATAAGTGGGCACAACGTATGAGTAGTTGGCTCACAGTGTTTGTGCCAAGACCTCTGAAGAGTCCCCGAACGCCTTCCTCACGTAGTATACATGTAAGCCCGTGGAATGCGTGAGAGTATCCATAGCGTTGTTCTGGGGGCCGTATCGAGTCGCTTGTCATTCGTACCAGTAGAATGTCTGTCGATTCATTAGACCCGGCTTAAGATAATCGTAATATTGAGACATACCAGCGGGGTTCCCGGCAACACCTCCCAGCCCGCCAGCAAGCATCGCAGCAAATAAGAGCGAGCCCGAAGATGGTCGTCCACTCTCAGATAAAGTTGTCTTGATACTTTCATAGCTTCCCAGGCGGACGAGGGAGTAGGTCATCTGACGAAGAAGCGAGGCGGAGAGGCCGGTGTACAGACTCCGGAAGCCCGACTGCGCTATGGAAGATCGAATGAGAAAGAACATGCCTGGCCGCTTCGCTGCAGAGTGGGAAAGGGTCTGCAGGCGACTAAAGTGAGGTCTAGGGTACTGTGTGAATGCCCGATGATTGGTATACGCACACTTTTGTCAAGTCCAGAGGATGCGTGCAGACAGCAGCCACTTGGATATCGTTCAGTATGTTGTAACATTAGAATCACGAATAAATACGCACTTGAAGCCCCGACTCCTTCATTGTAGTGCAAAAAATCAATACAGTACGTTCCGACACACTTGGGCTATTACTGACCTCCAAGCCTGCGAACCAGGCCGATCAATCGAACACGTCGGTTGACGTCAAGCATATTGAGTGCTCACCAGAAAGGATATCGTTGGTCTGGCATGATGGTCGTTTGGAAGAGTGCTACCCTACACCCTGCCTAACCCTGAGATTGCCTTGGACCTGCGAGGACTGTGCAGTCTGTGCTGCAAGGAGGCCCCGGGGCTCCTTTTCCAGACTTTTAATCATGCGCGCTTCATGCTTTCGTAGGTGTTTCGGACGGCACAAATCGGCCGAATTCGTCGATTGTCCATGGTCTGTTGAGTAAATCATTTGTCTTTTGGACACGGGATGTCAGAACGGATGCTGTATCTCACCCAAACGCAGCTCCTTCCGCTGGATCTGCACAGAATTGCCTTGATGAGTGAACAATGGGCAGCACGGTGCGTTCGGACGGCCATGTGCCCAATCTAGGCATTGGCAGGCTTGAGGCGGCCGGCGACGGGACGGGGGTCCGTGCGTGGCTGTCCCTGGAATCCACGCGTCGCGCGTCGTCCTTTTTCTCTTTCCAACAGCCACCTGGTCTTTCTGCTTGTCTTCCTCCTGCTTGTCTTGCGTCTCGTCTCGCCCTATTGTTCCTAGTTTCGTCTCCTTCGTACCAGTAATCCAACATGAGCTCTCACGATAACGAGGAACTTATCGACTACGAGGATGAACACGACATTGTCGCCAATGGTGCCGCAGCGCCTGCAGCGACTAACGGGGCTGTTGCCACCACAGCACCTGCAGTTGACGGCGAGGGCGATAAGGACAAGAAAAACTTTTCGGGCATCCATTCTACTGGATTCAGGTAAGTCAAGACAGTCATTGCTCACGATTTTCTTCGATGACTCATTGTGACCCCTTTGTTCAGAGATTTCTTGTTGAAGCCCGAGTTGTTGCGTGCCATTAGTGACCTTGGTTTCGAACATCCTTCAGAAGGTGTGTAGTGCATACAACGTGTTTTGAAGGCTGGGCGCTCATTTGTCACTATGCGCCACAGTCCAACAAGAATGTATCCCTCAAGCTGTCCTTGGAATGGATGTCCTTTGTCAAGCAAAGTCCGGTCACGGAAAGACCGCTGTGTTCGTCTTGGCGACCCTCCAACAACTTGAGCCTGTGGATGGCGAAGTCTCCGTTCTCGTGCTGTGCCACACGCGAGAACTGGCTTTCCAGATCAAAAACGAGTATACCCGATTTGCCAAGTACATGCCTGATGTTCGTGTCAGCACCTTCTATGGCGGTACCCCCGTCTCCAAGGATGCTGAGCTGCTCCGAGACAAGAACAAGTGCCCACACATTGTTGTCGCCACCCCTGGTCGCCTCAACGCCCTGGCCAGAGATAAAGTACTGGACGCCTCAAAAGTCAAACATTTCGTCCTGGACGAGTGCGATAAGATGCTCGAACAGCTTGGTTAGTCTTCCACACCTGCGAAAATCATCATTTCGGCCGTTCCACACACTGCTATCATTGGTGCTACTGCCCCTGCACCAAAACTGCCGCGCCTAGCCTCGTTTTATGTCCCGTCCTGTCGTCTCGTCCTTTTGGGATCTTCTCAAACATGTTCATATCCGCTTGTCAGTCGCCAATGGCGCTAAGTGGCCTTCCATCAATCGCACTCTGGGCACCGGTCCCGGTTATGGCGTTTGTTGAAGACAGTTCAAGTTCAATTAGGGAGGGGTTGTTTGCGGTGGAAGGCAGACAGAACGACGTTTGCAAGAATGACCTAAAGAGAAACGATGTGATCAGACTCGTCGACATGAAGACAAGCGTGGAAGGCGCGGAGCGTAGCTTATTGATGCAGTTGTTCACCCTGGCCTCCCCTTTTCATTCGTTCTTCCTCTTTTTGTCTTGTTTGTTGTTGTCGACAACGATTCTCACCAATTGCGACATCGCCCACTAGACATGCGTCGCGACGTTCAAGATATATTCCGCGTCACCCCCCACCACAAGCAAGTTATGATGTTCAGCGCGACGTTGGCAAAGGAGATTCGGGTGACTTGCAAGAAATTCATGACAAATGTAGGTGGCTTAATCTGCCATTTGCAATCTGCATCGAGGCTTACCATTTCTGTTTTCAGCCTCTCGAAATCTTCGTTGACGACGAGACAAAGCTCACACTTCATGGCCTCCAGCAACACTACGTGAAGTTGGAGGAGGTCGGCAAGAACAGAAAATTGAACGAGCTTTTGGATACATTGGAATTCAACCAGGTTTGCTTACTCGATGTTACCAGCTTTGCTGAGAGGCTCATCGTAATGTCATAGGTCGTCATCTTTGTGAAGTCGGTTGCTCGCGCGATCGAGCTCGACAAGTTGCTTGTCTCGTGCAACTTCCCAAGTATCAGCATTCATTCTGGCCTCGCTCAGGAAGAGCGGTAAGTTGGAGTGACAACTTTTATTGCGCTAATGACTGACTTTTGGCTGTATCTAGTATCAGCCGATATACTGCATTCAAGGCGTTCGAGAAGCGAATCCTTGTCGCCACTGATATCTTTGGCCGTGGTATCGATGTAGAGCGGGTGAACATTGTGATCAACTATGACTGTCCACCAGATGCCGACAGCTACCTGCATCGTGTCGGGTGAGTTTCTTCAGACTATTGCGGTCGGGCAGAGCTGATATGCATCCTTGCAGTCGTGCCGGACGGTTCGGTACAAAGGGTCTTGCGATCACGTTTGTATCCTCGGAGAGCGATCAGCAGGTGATGTCTGCGATTCAGTCGAGGTTTGAAGTGGCGGTGCCAGAGTTGCCTGACCACATTGACCCTGCAAGCTACAGTGAGTAATGAATGACTTTGTCTGATGATGCGGTGCTAAACGAGTGGCCACAGTGACGTCCTAATGGTTGGATACTACTTTCCTGTTCTTTCTGCTGTGGTAGATTACTGTTTGTCGCATCTGTAACTATAAGCCGTTTGTGTGTTATGAACATTATCCCCGCTCTTTGAATGTGAGGCTACCCACTGGCACTGGCTAGGGTATATAGTAAGCAATGTGCTTCAGCATGACGTCGGCTCTGTCAACAGCGTGGGAGCGCATCTTGATTGGCTGGACGTGGGCTGCGAGAGCCCGAAAAGGAAGCGGGCGATCGGTAGTGGAGAAAACAAGTGTATACGTCCAAATGTTATGCCAGCTTCCCTCTCTTACCCCCGTCCTTTTTCTTACTCCCCGACTCTCCTTTCCCTTCGCCTCTCTTCATCCATGCGCAGGAAATATGCGCAACCAGCTCTCCCCACGCTTTACTTCAGGGACGGCGTCCTCTCCGTCCCAGGTTACACTTTCGATAGGGTCCGTAACCCTATAACAGTCGCGCATAAACCCATGTCGACTCATCGCTATTTGCTTAGGCTAACTTATGGGAGGACACCGGAAGTATGACCCTCCTCGCAGAGGGAACGAGTCTCAAGGATGGCTCAAACGTACTCGCCAAGATCGCGTCTGCACACTCCAATGCTTCCATGTGTTTAGAGCGAGAGGCGCATATGTACGACCTTCTCATCGCTTGTGCATATTTATCCCCTTGAACCTTGGCATTTCTAGCCTCGAGCGATTATCAACCTCGCCGGAATCCTCCGTTGTTGCTCTTCGCCTAATCGACTTCTTCACAGTTCCCAAATCTAATGGCGATTGTGTCGTTCTTCTACTTGCACATCCCGGCCTCAACATCCTGGGGCGATACTTTCCCTCATCAAAAGTCAACGATCTTCTTTTGGCAGACGTCTCAAGAACGCGTCCCTCGTTGTCTCAAGCGGATATTTACATGATGGGCATGCAGGAGCCGAATATGCTGGAAGAGATGGACCCTATGGATGTCATGGACCTAGCCTCCTTTCTCGAGTGCGTCCCTCCCTACCATCGAACGCTCACCTGCTCATCTGACGCTTGGATGTTTAGGTTTGCCATTCAGGCAACCCATTGCCTGGAAATGATGCACAAGTACGTGTTACGAACTCGCTCGATGCTCATCTTACTCTAATGCTTCTCAAGATTGGGCATGATTCATCGAGAAGGTACGTTCACGCGAGTACCATTCCCACCGTCGACATGCGCTTATATATAATGCTTCAAAAATAGTGCGCGCAAACGCATTTCATCTAAATGCGCACAGTAGTCTCGTACGGATTGTCCACTTTGGCAACAGAGCAGTGTCTTTGGAGCACTTTGGCGTTCCTTCGGCTTTCGTGTTACGTGCGGATGCTTTTGAAGAAGCCAAGAAGCTCAAAGTTAAGGAGTCCTTATGTTATCTTGGTATGTTGCATGAAAAGAGGCTGCCACTAGAACGCTTCCTCATCTTGAGTCCTTCTGTAGCCCCGGAACAAACAGGTAGCATGGATGCTTTGGCGGAAGACCACAGAACAGATCTATACTCTCTGGGAATCGTTTTCTGGACATTGCTCGTTGGAAGAGGTACAATGCCTTTCGAAGGTGGCCCACTTGAACTCTTGCACGCTATTGTGCAGAAACGACCGATGCCAGTGCATGAAGTACGCAGAGATATTCCCCAAGTGCTTGCTCTGATCATAGAGAAGGTTTGCCCCACATTTCAAATGACGCTGCCAGTGACGTATTAATCGGTTTTACGAATACACGAAGCTTCTTGCCAAGAATCCAGATGCGCGGTATCAAAGTGCGCATGGCCTGAAGGCTGACTTGTTACAATGTCAGCGTCGGTTGCTCTCAGCAGTCACATTGGCGACGGACGAGTCTCAAGAAGTAAGAGATTAATGCCTACGCCGTATGATGTCATGAACACACCTGATCGGGCGACTGACTGAATTTATAGCTTATACCTTATTTCGACATTGCCACGCAAGACAGATACATGGTATGTACGTCGAATCTTCAGCCTCACTCCCAGTGTCTGAACTGTGCCTTAACAGGAATTCACCATTCCATCTCCTCTTGTAAGCGCAACACAAAATCACGTTTCCACTAAGCCAACAATACATTATTCTTTGCATTTCTTTCAGTTCGGCCGCGACAAAGAACTAGAAATAGTTCGCAACGTTATCCGCCACACCTCCACCAGCTTTTCTCGGCACATAGGCGCATCGCGTGGGTCTATCGTCGTCGATTCCTCTCCCTCCGCATCTCATTCCAACGCAGGCGATAACGATACACGATCTGAGTCCATGTCTTCTTCGAAATCCGATGACGCTTCATTACAGCAGTCAGGATTGGTTGTTTCTCCGACGACGAGCAGTGCGAACGTGGGTACTGCTTATTCCAGTGACATGAGTGTTATGAATGTGTCGACGGGCAGCCCGAAGACAAATGGCGTTGGTGTCGGGACGAGGGACTCTAGCATGACATTGAGTACAACCGGAAGTCCAGCTATTAGTGGAAATGATAGCTTGAGAAGAGCGGCTTTGGGGCCTACCAGGAGGCCAAGAACACATGCGGTTGTCATCACTGGTCCACCTGGCGCTGGTAAGAGTTCATTAGTGTTGGCGAATCAAGCGAAGTGGAGATGTAAGCTTGAGTTTTGTTGTGCATATGCGGCGGTACTAATAGTATATTTTAGCGCATGGGTTATGGGGTCAAGCAAGATTCCAGGAAACAGAATCCGCCCCGTTCTCGAGTCTCGTTCGTATTTCCCCCCATTCCTTACCCTCGTCACCTAACGTGTTACCCGCGCAGCTTGCTTGCTTATCCTCTGTACTCCGCCAACTAATCGTCTTCCATACCGACCTCCACCGATTCGTCACCGCACTCCGAGCACGCCTTGGACCCCAACTTCAGAATGTCCCATTACTTTATGAAGGCGCACCAGAACTACAAGATATTTTAAATTTATTTGACATCAAGGTTGAGATGCCGGTAGAGACCCTCGAAACACATGAGTTGCGAGCGAGGTTCCAGAGTCTGGTAGAAGGTGTATTTGCGGTGCTGGCGGAGACCAGGTTGCTTGCGTTGTTCTTGGATGATCTGCATGAGGCCAGTGAATCGTGAGTGATCCTGAATTGAATGTGTTTGTGAATACGCAGGATTACTGATTGGTTTCGTAGTTCATTGGACTTGATCAATGCATTGATCAATTCAAGGAGTCGGATGGTATGTAACTCTTGATAAGGTTTGAAGATCGGTCTTACTGATCTCTAATCTCACAGCTGGTCTTCATCACCGCTCGCTCAGACAAGCCGTATGTTTCCCCTTTCTCCTTTCTTTTGACTTGCACTCATGCCGTTTTGGTTCTTTTCTCCGTTGCGCTTTTTCGTTAAAGTGTTTTGATCGAGCGGCTGAGGGGCATGTTCTCGAGTCGTTCAGCTACCTGGATAATTCTTGAATCACTCAGCATATCAGCAGTTTCTACACTCATATCTCGTACACTTCATCGTTCGAAAGACGAATGTGCCGCGTTGTCAAGACTGATTCATGCGGCATCGCAAGGGAATGCTTTCTCCGTCAGGAACATCTTGATGACTATGTACAGGCAGGGGCACATCACGTTCAACCTGGATACAAACAATTGGGTGTATGTGCACCTTTTCAGACGAGTACTTTATCTGGCTGACATGATTGCACAGTTTCGACTTTCCGACGATCGAGAATGTCCTCTTGGATAAGAAGATGGTCGCCGACCCAAACAACTTGTCGTATCTCCTTTCTCATCTACGCGAATTGCCTGAAGATTCCCGTAAATACATCGTCTGGGCTTCCTTCTTCGGAGCGACGTAAGTTCTCATTGGCACCTTCTGTCCGATTGTCTACTTAACTGTCTTCAGCTTTCAAATCACTGAAGTTGCGCTCATGATGGACTGGGACGACTCAAGTGGCAGCAGTAGCGAGGACGATAGCAATGAGTCCATGTACAAGGCCTCGAAGGACGTCAACGACATACGTGTGCTGAATACCACACGAGGATCCATGCGTGGATTACAGAGAGCTATTCAGGAAGGCTGGCTGATCCAACGTGGTCGTGATATGTGCACTTTTGCGCATGATAGGTACCGCCACGCCGCCCAGGCTGAAGCTGACACCTTACCCGAGGGGAATATTGCAAAAATGTCGTTGAGAGTAAGTTTGAACTCGCAAATTTGGGAGTCATGAATGCTGATAAATTTCTGCCGCAGATTATACTCATGATGTTACATGATGACTCCCCGGACGTGTACCGAATAGCAGAACACGCGAAACGGTGTGCTGGAATTAGTGATATGTATAACCCTGCGTTCTGACCCTTGTACAGATGCCTTCCTCTGTTGCGCGAGCATCCGAAACGAGACGAACTGCTTGAGTTACTCATTGGTGCTGGTGACTCGGCACGAGCTCGCGGTGCTCATGAGGTAGGTTTCAAATAATAACTGTCTTCACTTTTGCTCATGATTTACCAGTTGGCACTCCAATCATATGTCAACGCGTATTCACTTCTGGAAGCTAACCCTTGGAAGACGAACCATACGAGAACAATGTCGCTATGTCTGAAGCTTGCAGAGTATGTCACTTCATCACGACATGTGCGAACGGCTCATTGACAGTTCCTGCAGACTTCTGACGTGGAAGGGTGATTTCGACAAGGCCGATCAATATATCTCGAGCTGTCTTGATAAGGTCGACGATGCAGAGAACAAAGCCCGAATTTTACGGCTGCGTTCTCGTGTGCATTGGATGCGAGGAAACTATACCGCCGCACTCGGGGACACCATTCTTGGATTGCATCTTCTTGGAGTAGAAGTCAATGCCAATCCCACACGTCGCGAGGCAGATGAATTGTTTGAGCAGGTCAAGAATGAGATCTTGGCTGTGGGCTTTGAGGATATCTTGGCCATCCCTCGTGCACGCGACCCGCGGACCGATCTCGCAATCGCTTTACTCAATGACGGTGGTACCAATGCTTATTGGAGCACAGGTGAAGGCTTCTCTGATGTGATCGGTCTCAAGGTAGGTGTGTCTTCATGGTCGCCTCGTTCTTCACTCACCTTTCATGTGAGTAGACAATCCAGATTGCATTGCGGTATGTACGTTCCTGTAGTCCCTCGTGATTCACACTTATCTTCAATACATAGAGAGGGAATCTGTTCAGGAACAGCTTTGGGTTTCTTCTGGGCACTGGCTGGTGTGTGTTCATGTCTGTGTTGCCTCACGCCGCTAATCCCCATATAGCTGCCGCAGAAAGGAGGGAGCTTTATCGTTTCTCCGCCGATTTGGGCAAGTTAGCACTTCGTATAGCCGATCAATACGGATCGAGCTCTGAGAAATGGTCAGGTTTTCATTCATTCACGTATCGTCGATTCTGACCATTAATTTACTTGCAGCCGTGCTCTCGTGCTCTACTGCGCAATGGTGTCTGGATATGATAACGTCCATATACGAAGTTCTCTCCCTCGTGCTGAAGAGGCTCTGAAATATGCTCAAAGTGCCGGTGACAGGTAAGAGCACGTGTAATGTTTACAGTACGATATTGCTTACATACCTTAATAGAATTTACACCTGCTTTGCCAGTATACACATCACGAAGATCAAGTTATACATCTGTGAACACCGTGAGCACCAACACCGGTAGTTATTCCCTACCTGCTGACCATTATGACAGTCAGTGAGCTTTTAGTCCTGGCGGAAGAGGTGGGTTGATTTTTCGGGGTAGCAATGAATATGATGCTTAGTTTCGCTCAGTCTTTAAGCGACATCACTCTATGGTCGAATGATGGGGATCTTACTATTCTCGCTCAAGGTCAGGTCGTTTCTCGCATATTATAACATTGGCTGACCAACTCACAGGCCAGCTGAATTGTATCCGGGCGCTGGCAGGATGTACATACGCTCAGTCTGCGGATACTGCCTTTGATACAGATACCTTCACGGAGAAAGAATACCTTGAATATATTCACGAGAAATGCGGCAACTTGCCTGTCACCATGAACTGGTATGTCGATTGGTATATGTCAAATCGCGGTCTGATGAGAATTTTCTCAATCCAGGTATAATTCTATGAAGGTACTTCTTTCTATCAAAGTACATATTTGAGATGTAACATGTCTGATACATGTTTGATAGGTTGCGGGGCTATTTTGTTTGGGCTTCGTTGATGAGGCAGCCGAACTCGGATTCTCTGTATGGAGGACAAGAGACAAGCATCCTAAGTAAGTGCAATATATTCACGCCGTACCTTTCACTGATGAGGGGCTTCAGCCATAGACACATTCGCTATAGTCTGTTCTTCCACTCCTTGGCGATGATTGCTTGTCTTCGTAAGGGACATTTGATGGACGCCGTTCGTCATCGATATCTGAAGCAGATAGAAGCTAACCAGTCATATATTCGAAAGTAAGTTAGCTTTAATCCATGATAATACAGCGTAGTGATTCCTTGGAAACAGGTGGCTTTCGCCTAGCGCAGTCAACACAAGTACTTGGGTAGCCATCATTGTACGTGTTATAACATTTCTGTTACGCCGTCAATTGTAACTAAAGGTCGGCAGGACGCGGAGATGGCATCTTTCATGAATAGTCCAGATGCGTTCAAGTTGTACGACATCGCAGTAAAGTGAGCCAACAGGGCATTCTGTGCCTCTGATCAAGCTAACTTCTGGACTAGGCTTGCTGTTAACAACGACTGGCTTATGGAAGAAGGATGGGCATCATATTTGGTATGCGCCTTTTACCAAGTAGCTTTGATAGCCCTTTGACTCCTTTTGTCCACTTTAGCAAGGATGTCATTTCATCCGTTGTGGGGTCGAAGGCCTTGGCAGCGAGCTTCAAAGACGAGGGATTGCGCGGCACGCACAGTGGGGTGCTCATGGGATCGTGTACGTATATTCAAGCACTGACATCGGAAAAGTGGAGTACTAACTATGGAGCAGGGACAACCTATCTTCAAGTCTGGATAACCGTTCTCAGTTCTCGCTCAAACGTCACATGTTTTCATCAGATGTTGCTGTGCAAACGGAGAATGTCGTTGTTACTGCCGCGGGGCAGTCGCAAGATCCATGTGAGAGGCAGAAGGATGACGATCAGCTTTCTACTTTGAGTGCGCAGGATCTTGGATCTATCCTGAAGTGGAGTAAGGAGATTTCCAGCGACATCAATCTTACCATTGCTTTGCAAAGGCTCACTGAGATTGCTACCGGTAAGTCACCTGCCGATCTCTTCATCCTTTCTGACGCATATCGCTTCCGTAGAGAATTCTGGCAGTCAAAATACATGTGTCGTAATTGCTAGGGAAGTGGGAGACTATACGGTCGCTACCAGTATGGTACCTCCAGACATTTGTCAGGTTCATGAGTGAGCTACAGTATTCTTCAATTTGCTTTGCGATCACTTAACGCTTTATAGGAACCCAGTACCAGTGCGAGCCATCGTTGATCCTTTGCAACGAGCGGTTCTTCAGTACGGTGTGTGTGTGGCTATCATGCGGTGCGAAATGACTATTAACATAAGCTACGTTCCAGCACTGAATACCAAAGAACGGATCTTTCTTGAAGATGTGTCGTCGGAACCACGGTTCTCATCCGAAGCTCGACAAAGTCCTCACAGATCTGTGGTTTGTTTGCCGATTGTCAGCAATCGCAACCAAACTTTTGGCGCGATCTACTTGGCTTCCAAATATGCCTTCTCCCCGAACACAGTGACCATATTGATACATCTTTGTGAACAAGCGAGCATTGGTATTGCAAATGCCTTGCTTTTCCGATCAGTACAAGCGGGCACGCGAGAGAATCTCAAGATGATTGCCACCCAGAGAGAGGCACTGGAAGCTGCTAGGAAAAGTCGTGAAGATGCTCTGAAGGCCACAAAGGCACGTCCCTACTGGTTTATATACTACGTCGTATATTCATCCGATGATCGACAGATCAAGAGCAACTTCCTTGCATCCATGAGCCATGAATTGAGGACACCTTTTAGGTCTGTCCTTTTTTGTTAACTGTTGTATCACGGGATCCTGATGACCTTCAGTTCCTTTTACGGGCTCTTAGATATACTGAGTGGGACTGAACTAAATTCTGGACAGGGAGAGATAGGTTAGTGCTCAGGTTTATCTTCGCCTCAAGGAGTGTTAAAGGTTTCCTATATAGTACAAACTGCAAAACAGTCTTGTGAGCTTCTGCTCAAGGTAAGATAATACATGTCCATTTCGGCAGTGTGTACTGAATTTTTGTAGATCATCGACTCAATCCTGGATTATAGCAAGTTGGAGGCTTCAGGTGATTGCCACCCTATACTTCTCGTATATCCGCTGACCACAGCCTATAGCCTTGAAGCTGGAATTCTCTGGCTTTGCAGTCGAGAATATCATCGCCGATTGCATGGAGTTACTGCTACCTATGGCCGCGAAGAAACTTGACCTTTCGTTTGATATCGCATCTGACGTTCCCGCTTGTACGCCGCCCAGCTTCATCGTTGTCACTGTTGGACTTGACTCTATTCCTTGTAGGGGTCAAAGCAGACTATGCACGTATTCGTCAAGGTATATTGTTTTTTATGATTGTTGATGTTCTTTCATTCATCGCCGTTACAGTTCTCATGAATCTCATTGGAAATGCGGTGAAATTTACAGCGGGTGGATCAGTCCGCGTCACATGTTCGGTCGACAGCCATACGCCTTCCTCCTCCGATGAGGTCCACCTCAAATTCATGATACAGTGCGTCTTGCAGTCTTTCTATTCATCATTGCCAGCACTCACGCACAATTCAAGGGATACCGGAATTGGTCTCAGCTCAAGGTGATCTCGGGAGTTGATTATGCCTCTCTTCTTTTGTTGATCTTCCCGGTTTCTAGCGATGTTGATTTGTTGTTTGTACCATTCCAGCAAGCAGACAATTCGTCAACAAGACGTTTTGGTGGAACTGGACTGGGTCTTTCTATCTCCCGACAGCTGGTCAAGCTCATGGGTGGTGCCATCGGCGTACAGTCAGAGCTTGGTATTGGCTCCATCTTCTGGTTCACAATCCCAGTTCAGATCTATGACTCTGATGATTCGAAGGCTGTGAGCAAAGTTGACGTTACTCCGCAGATTACAACTGACTGTCAATCGATTGTGCCCAGGCTTTGCAGGAAATCGAGGCTCTGCATGCTCAACTTGTGACTCCCCGGCCGCCACATGTTCTGATCATTTCTGAATCATCGCCCACTGTCTCTCTCTTGCACACCATGCTCAATGACTTCTCCGTTGCCTCGGTCCCCTCAAGAGAGCAAGCCGAAACATATCTATTCAACGCACAGTCCAGCAGCTCACAACTCGATTTTGTGATCTTTGATAGCCAGTCAGAGAATGGGGCTGATGAACTCTCGCGTTACCTCCATTCAATACCATCCGATAACTTCAAAGCCACAAAGCTAATTCATCTCTACACCCCAACTACGGACACTCTCACCGGTCATACCACCTTCCGAAGCGATTCTCCGTTCGTTGTTCGGATGACCAAACCGCCTCGCAGGGCAAGGCTGCTTCAAACGCTTTTATCCGCGAATAACCCTTCAAAACGCCCTCCAACGGGAAGTGGTGGAATTGCACGGGCCAGTTCAGATGATGCGTTAACTCATCGGACACTTTATGGGACTGTGCTCATCGCCGAAGGTTGGTTTAGTTGTAACATTTCATGGTAACGTGCCTGATTTGCCTTCCAATGTAGATAATCCCGTCGCGCAGAAGTTGCTTATCAAACAACTGGAACGATACGATATCCAGGTTGTAGCAACGTCTAATGGAGAAGAAGCAGTTGCAGGTATGTCGAGTGCATGTACACCTGAAATGAAATCTCACTGTTGTGTGCAGAGTGGGAATCACATGTTCCTGGTTACTTTAGTGCTGCCTTATTTGACCATCGTATGTATCGATGTCCTATATACCTTTCTGGATACTAAATCATCTGCAGATATGCCAATATGCGATGGCGTTGAGGCATGCAAGCGCATTCGAGTCTTAGAGAATAAACGTAATAATGACATCATCTTACCCAGTAAGTGTGATCGAGTAACTCAACAGACTCTTACGCTAATGGTGTTCCTCAGTTATCGCTCTGAGTGCCGACTGCCAAGATTCGACAAAGCAGCTGTGTCTCAGCGCGGGTATGAATTCGTTCCTGAGCAAGCCTTTGAGGAAAGGTTTGTGTCTATTATGCCATGTCTCTGTCCCATGTTCGATACTGAACCTCCGTGTAGGTGACCTCATCAGTCTGTTGACCACATATGGACAAGCACCACCAACAAACGCCCCGGACTTGACAATTTCCGCTTCATGACCCTGTTGTACACATACCTTGTTTATCTCGTCGTCTCTTGCTTTGTTGCATTTCACTCGCGCTTATATTGTATTACATCCTATTGTTCACTAGATCGTCGTCACAACGACTCGCCATTCGCAAGCTGTTCAACATAACTGGAATCTGTAGCGTAGTATATTTCTGCTGTCTTCACTGTAAAAACTATAACATTATATTTATCTGAATATATCTAGCTTAAGTTGAGTTAGGATTACCGGTCCTGCTAGCGCTGACTTGACAGCCCATAGTATTGGCGAGCCTATGTCTGAACTTGAATAACCTCCCCTCTCGGTATCGGGTGACTATCCTGGATAGTAACGGCCGGTCTCCAGTAAAAGAAATTGTCAATGCAGAACCCAAGAGAAATAAGCCGACGGCTAGGAGACATATAGCCAACCATCCTCGCTTAACGTGGTCGTAGATCTGAGACGGATATTACGTCGAGAAAAGTTATTGCGGATACGATGTCGTAAGCTTACCTGACCGCCCACAACGGGTCCCACTACGTGAGAACACTGGTTACTAGACAAAGATGAAGCATCACACGGAGGGACATACATCCTGAGCCTATCCCATAACATAAATTGAAGGCACCATACACATGAGCATCTAGACGTCAAGGAATCTTCGGTAAGGAGAGGCCTGGCAAACGGTGGCGGAATGGCTCACATCCCACCCCTACGTGCGCTCTGGATACTGCGGCAAGCTCTGCCGTTACCGGAGACAGTATACCAGACGTGAAGAAGCCTGAAAGGAACAGAACAGTGAGCCGCTATGAGAAATCGGATGTGGCTGAGTACCCACTCTGTATGGCGATCGCAACGATGAACAGAGCCAGTGATTTCTGAACGATCAAAACTATCCACCATGGTATTGAAAGAATAAAGCAAGCCATCATGACCCATTCAGTGCCCCCTCGATCGGACCACCATCCTGCAAGTGGCGAAGCTCAATGTCAATCGGGGTTAGCACCTCATCAATATTAAGTCCGGAGGGCGGTTCGCTTACAGATCAAGCTAGGAATCACGATCGCCATGTAGATCAGGCCCACTTTGGAAGCTGCAAGGTGCCACACGTCTTGAAGATGAAGCGGCAGCGACGGTTCTGTCGCGCTATACACTAATCTGATGCACGTATGAGTGCTGGCATATCGTAAGCTGAACGAAGGAGATGCGGGGCATACCCCTGAATAAGAGTAATAAGAATGGTAACCATGGCTCTTGGTGACCGCAAGAGAGTAGTGACAACCTTAAGGAGAGGTAGACGAGTCTCTGGCACTGGCACTGGCTCGGAGTGCTCAGTAGGCGTCACTGCGGCTACAGCCTCCTGGAATGGGCTAGGAGAAGAATTATCAGGTATTTTGCTATCCTTTACGTCTTCATTTATTGCTTCTGTGTGCGCTTGGGGTTTCTGCCTCGCCATCAGCATATTCCATGACAGTTAAGACGCACAAAATATCAGTGCCTACCTCTGAAACAGCCGCTGGATCGATGCCGTGAGGCCAAGCATCCTTGCGCTCAATAACTAACAGGCGACCCACAAAATCGACCGCCGTGACGATGATACTGAAGATGAAAGGGCCTCTAAACCCGAATGCGTTGTATAGAGCACCCCCAACAGGCGGTCCAACCAGGAAGCTGTTCAACGTAATGGGCATGGGCACTGCTTATGGTGAATTCTCACTTACCCTATGGATAAGCCTGTCATTGCCAGGCCTAATTGTTCTACATGTTATTCAGTCGCGATATTCAGCCTTGCAATTGAATCAACACGTACTGCCGACAGTCGCTTCCGGCGCAGTGTCGCAACTAGATATGAGTCAGCTAGCTGTGTATGACATAGGCTAAAATCCAATGGATCTCTCACAGCAAGGCCAGACCGACAACCCACACGACGGAGGAGCTGATGCCTTGAATGACGCGAGCTATGACCATGAGCCAGTATGTTGGTACTTCCATGAGCATGACCTGAGACGCAGCAAGAAAGAATTGCCCAAAAAGCAAAGGATATTTTCTGGCATTGTAATGCTCAGAGAAGATAGCAATCGGTAGTGTTGCTAGATGCATCGGACAGTTAGGCCATAAGCAGGATTGGACTAGATAGAACCAAAAGCTCACATATGACAAGTCCTGCCGACTGATTTCATCTGAATGTGTCATAAAATGGAAAAGCGAAAGATCTAACTCACGTATGCGAACAGGAGCCATCCGACCAATCCTGAAATACCCTTATATCCAAGGTGTTCAAGCTGGAAGGGGAGGACTGGGATGATAATCGAGTAAACAAGAAGATCGGTGGTAACTCCTGATGTAATAATAAGATGTGTATCCTTGTAAGGACAAGATTTGTGCCTAACCTAGGCCAACAACTGAATGAATCAAAGGAGTATTAGGGAGACGCAATCATTAGTTCAAGACGGTAGAGTGCACCTAGAGTCACAAACCACACGGAGCTTCTCCACTTAAGGCCCCAGGGTTTCTTGAGGACTTGTGTCGCCTGCATGATTGGGGAATAGGGGAATACCAAGAAGCGTTTGCAGGTTTATATCTGACTACTGTTGCGGATGCTCGGCTTTGCCAAGAAAAGTGTCGGAACTTGGTTAATTGCCTTTCTGGATCATCTAGCGCCGAGCAACGGATGCTGATTGAACTCAGAATCGTACCTCCAACAACTTATGGCAGTTTGTGTCGTCCAGGTGTCGTCCATCAACTCCGGCCCTCATTCTGAATAAACAGTATAGTCCCGAAAACCGGCAGGACTTGCCAAGTGATCATCACTATTAGACATTCGCCGAAGGCACGGGGTAAGTTATACACTTACACAGGTTCCTACTGCGGATTATTGAATGTCTCCGCATGTGACGATACGATCTTCAGGCCATCAGCTCCCCCTTGCGAATTACGTCTGGACCCATCCTGCAACCTTTTAACTCAGACTTGGACATGTTCTAGACTAAGCTCTTTCTGCATGCCAGAGCTACCTGGTAAGCATGGTCAATAACTCGACCTTTCCCTTTCTCACATTTCATACAGAAGTGGAGAGGGCCACCGCCCTCATACGATCCGTGGCTTGTGGTAAGGTCATCGTTCGGGTGGAAACGAGTGAAGACACGATTGTGTATACCGGTACAGATCACACAGAGTTTGTTCGTGCTCATAATCTCTTGTGATGTACCGTTTTGACTGCAGATGTAACGCTTACCCTTAGGCGAAAGAACTCACAGGACGCAGCGTCGTGGATGCAGCTAGATACGGTAATGAATTCTGAATGAGACTCTGATGGAGGAGTTTGCCTGATATTATGTCTCATAGGCAAAGTCTTTTATATTAAGTTAGACGGGGAAGGCAGAGCGCCTGTCCTTCATTTCGGCATGACTGGAATGCTTCAGGTCAGCTCACGCACATATAGTCTCGCTGGATGAATATTTTGAAGTTGATAAGTTTTAGGTCAAAGGCCAACTCCCAACATACTACAGAAAAACCCCGAAGACAGCGTCATCTGATTGGCCGCCACGTTTCATGAAGGCAGTGTAGACCATTCTTCTAACCATTTCCCTTCCAATAAGCTCATACATATGCCTTCAAGTTTATCTTACATTTGAAAAATGAGGCCACCGGCGGAATCAGCGAATTGGCCTTTCTGGATGCACGTCGGCTAGGCCGTATCAGGCTGTGTGCTTCACCTTTGACAGAACCACCGATCTCTACTCTCGGGTTCGACCCTATACTGTCTATGCCAGTGTTGACGGACTTTCAGACTGCCGTGTTAAGGAGGAGCTGCCCCATCAAGGCGTTGCTTCTTGACCAATCCTTCAGCGCTGGTGTTGGCAATTGGGTCGCAGGTCAGCACCTTGACTAGCGAAATTCTTCTCCTCAGTTGTACAACTTATAGGGTGACTTCTAGACGAGATTTTGTACCACGCTGGAGTGCACCCAGAACGTCGGTGTAACACACTTGCCCCTTTCGAAGTACAAAAGCTACATGAACAAACTCAATATGTTTGTAAAACTGCGGTAGCAGTGAATGCTGATGATACAAAGTTCCCTGAAAACTGGTTGTTCAAGCACCGTTGGGTAAGTGCAATCCGTAAAGCAATGTGATTGAACCTCACATGTGATCCAGGGTAAAGGCAAAAAGAAGCACACGCTCCTTTTGGTAGGTCGATATCTGTTCGAACTCATCTCTAGCTCACTTCAGACTAGCCTTCAGGGGAACCGGCCACGATCAAGTGGGTCACTGTCGGCGGCCGGACGTCTGCATACGTTGCTGAACTTCAACAAGTTACCGGCGGGATAAATGAGGTCAGGCAGGAATTTATGTTTGTTGGAGGGGACTCACTGTTAACTGGATACCGATTTCGAAGTCTGAGGATCCTCCTTCAGTAAATCAGTCGGACAGCGACAGCGATCTCACGCCTTTGGAAGAGGAAGAAGAAATCACGATAGTGGCTATCAAGGCAAAGCGAACACGCAAGGTTGGATATCTTGCGATTAAGTTCCTCGCGGGCGTTCTCAATAATAATGTGCTTCCAGAATGTCGTCACTGCTACGCCCTCCAAGCGAGTAACTAAACGCTCCAAGTTTTTCTGACAGACATCACGCCTGCGGCTCTACATTAGCTACCGATCGTTGCCATGTAATGTGTTGCATGCACGCATAATTGGAAGTGAATTCAGTCTGGTTAACTTTCTGGCCGAATAAGTCGGAGAACCGTCAAAGCTTTTATACATCCCGAGAATATGCATTTTAGACCCAATGTCCAGCACAATGATGCATGGCCCCGAGTCTCTCAAAATTCTGAATCAACAACGGCGACGCCCCGCACACTCGGTCTCTCGTATAAAGGGAGGTAAAAGGCGAAACATAGTCTTACGCCCGTCCACCTTCGAGAATATGCCTCCCCGTTCATCTTCATCCCTGCCTACCTCGAAGTCTCGTTTTCAACTTGTTCTGTCATCTACCTCCAACACCCTACCACCTGTGAGCCCGGGATATTCGGAAATCCGTAGGTCGTATGATGCCAATTAATATGTCGTGCGATTCACTTACTGTAGCAGTGGTATACTACCAGAGTGGGACCTTGGATCAGGAGTAGGGGGTCAGCTGGCGAGGATGCCGGAGAATCGGAAGAGTTTGAAGGAGTTGCAGGCGCAGTGATTACGAACTGCGTTCGGCGGCGTGTCTATTATACTCCAATGTCAGTAAATTTGTGTGCTGAGCTAGATCTCGCAGTTTTCCCCACTTCGTACGCACGCAGTGTGTCAATCCCGAGTAGCTGTCCTGAGAGTTTGACTGTTCCCAATGATCTTCTTTCCCACACATATGCTCACAGTCGTTGTATGGATGCTGTTGCTCCTTACACGACGATATGAACAGCTGCTTCGTTCATTTCATTCTCATCCGTCGAAGTCTATAATCTATTTACAACATACATATTCCCTGATAATCCTACACATTTCCGAGTAAGCGAATGATACAATGGTGCATATTATGAACATGTACTTGTGCGTGGTATGGTGTAAAGGTCATGGCCATCATCGCAGGATATAAATGTGTACCAAACAGAAAATGGAAGCGGCGATAGCGACGGAGAAATGTTACATAAAGAGAAGAGATCATGAAGTCTGGTAGATCTTCACGCTCTTGACTTCCCAATCTGCGAGAAAGGATAACATGTCATTTTTCAGTAGAAAGTCAGAAGGAAGTGAGGACTTACAAGCATCATTCATCGCAGCACCATTGTTCCTGATGAACTCTTCGCAAGTAGCGACACCTGTACGCTGAGCGCAGCTTTGCTCCTGACCCGGAATGCCAGAACCTGTCCAAGCACTACTGGCCCAGTCGCCACTACATGGAAGGTTAATACTATCCAACATTTCCGAAATAGTGGTACGAACCAAAGTGTGGTATCGAAAATAGCCGAATGGGTGTAGAAGAACTTGAACGGATCGCAACCGGAAGCAGGCCAGTGGGCCATTGGTTGACCCCAGTTGTTCGGTTGAGGCTTACCAGAGGAGACGTCGCTTGGAATTGAGTTCCGAGGGAAGAAGAATACCGAGATGCCGTTATTGTCCCATTGCACTAGAGAGGTTACGAACCTCAATTACACAACATATAATGATTTGAAAATCAACACGCACTGGCATACACACCACCTCCATTGTTGTTGAATGTAGATCCAAACGAGTTGCTCTGTACGGCACGCACTCCACATCCTTGGTTGCCAGTTTGCGCAGCAGCGCAATTGGTGCCGCCAACCAATGTGCCGGTAATCGCCAACACGCTAGAGTTCGTGGTCGGAACCGTACATCCGGGGTTCGTATGGATCGTTGCCTGGTTGTTAGTGTAGTCATTTACACCTTCAACGATATCGATCTCGCCACCTGCAGGCCAGTTCGGTCCTGTTCCGAGAAAGAAGCATTAGATCGCGAAGTCAAGATCCGAGGGATATTAATGAATGGGGATATGAAGGACCCGGCCATGTGAGGATAACCTCAAGGGTGGTGGAGACAAGACAAGAAGGGAGAGAAGTACGCACCGTTGCTCCAGAAAGCTGGCCAGGTGCCGCAGCCAGTGGGCATGTGTACGGAGTCCATAATAACGAGGCCTCCGGTGTAGGTCTTGGATGTGGTGATGCGTACGCTCTTGCGAGTCGTGGCGACCTGTGGAGTCGTTTCGACTCGCATGATAACATTCCCCGCATTGTTGATGTTGACCAGACCGGCGGATTGCTACAGGGAAAATTTTAGCGGCTAGGCCGAGAGGCTCTGAGGAGTTGGGCATACCGCAGTACCCTGGTCCACGTAAGTTACCTGACCATTGGTCGGGTCCGCACCAGTGAAGAAGTCCCATCCATTGAAGAACGAATTTCCTTGCTATAAGACTTCATGTGAGCTAACGCACAAGACGACATGATGGACTAAACTCACGAAGTTCTGAGACAGCTTCCACGGTGACGACGCAGACGAGCTACCGGTCGGAGCGGCACCAGACGTTGTGGAACTTGACGATCCTTTAGAGCCGGTCGATGTCGGGTTAGGTGCAAAAGTCGCCGGAGAAGATGGATTCGGACTTGTACCGTTCGTCAAAGTTGACCCGTTGTCGGAAGGTGAGCTCACACAGTAGACACGGCTAGAACCTAGCTTGTTCTGCTCTACCAAGATACCGTTGAAAGCCAATCGGAGGTCGCGAGCTAAGCCGGCACTGCGTTTGACGGCATGTTTGTGAGCACGAAGGACGGTCTCTGTGCTGCGGGCGAGCAGGTTTGCGTCGGAAGGAGCGACATTGATGAGCAGAGCGAGCAGGAATGGGACGTGGAAATGCATGGGGATCCCCGAAGATATGTGGCAAGAGTGGGAGGGAGAAAGGAAAGACTTGTTGAGGGGCTCAACCAGGGCGCAGCCGAGGTAAAATAGGCAGAGAGCCAGCCAAAGTGGAGGCCAAAGGTGGTGGCAAGAGGCAAAGAGCAAAGCCAATAAACACCGGTCAAAAAGGAGTAAGAAAAAATAGCGAGTGGCCGGTAGAAAGGAAGCGCGGCTTATCGAGAAGGGTGTATGAATAGAATACGAGTGCGACTTGAATAGAATATAGGTAGGTTGATATACTGCAGATATGCTTCCAGAGTGTTGCACCGTCGCAAGGTGGTTGAGGCGAGTCTGCCTCGTTGCAAAGGCCAAAGAGCCATTTCTCAATATTGTTCTCCACAAGCGAGCGCCACAATGCCCCTGCACTCGCTTGTCTAATCTTGGCCCCTGGCGACAAGATAAAGAAATCTTTTGCCTGCTGGTTCAGAGCGTCGAGACAGACAACCACAGGCAGACAACCAAAACGTACAGTACTTAGTTGCAAGGATCGAAGATCGACAACGATCGCCCGGATAATCGCAGAATATGCTTCCGTCCCCGGTTTGGTCGCGCTCTAACCTTTTTTGCCAAGTATTCTTGGTAGCCTTGTCAAATGCCATGAAGTCCTTGAGGATGCCATCTCACACCATTCATTTCGTGCAAGGCGATCACCCCGGATAATAACTAGACTGAAAGGAATGTGCTACATAATCTGACATTCGCAGATACAGTGGAGAGAAGAACGATTGTAAGCGGAGTAATATAGAACCTTTGACAGCCAACAATCGGCTTGCCGACTCAGACACAGGGGATGGAAAATGGCACATCAAACCAGCGCAATTTCCTCAAAGTCTTCTTTGTTCCGATAAGGTGGCAGACCAGGAGACGGGCCTCGGGCCATATCTGGCTTGTACGCCGGCGAAGGGCGAGTCACGCTTGATGCCTTGTGAGACTGGGGAATGTACATGTCCCGATGCTCGTAAGAGGGCCTCTCATAGTCAGCCACGTTAACGCGCGAAGTTGGGTTCCGCGCAACAAGGTTTTCGCTCCAATTTGGCCATTGGTGAACTTCTTCTTGGTCTCGCGCACGACGTCCTTCACGCTTCTTTGGCTTCAGTGTGAGGCCGCTGTTCATAACGAAATGCTTAGTCTTCGGTGCCATTTCTTCAGTCGCTAAAGCGTTATCACAGATGAAGATCATGTCTGCAGAAGGGTTAATTCAACCACGGAAGTGAAATGCTGATTGTTCAGAATGCTCACAGACAGCTACGGCCACCATTGTCAGGCCAACACTGACGATGGCCACATAGCCTCGTTCATCTTGATCATAGTTGAGTTCGACGGGATTACCAGTACCATCAACAACAGCGGGACTCATGAGCGGCGCATCACCGTGCAGAAGCAGAGAGAAGACTCCCAAGAATCCAGCAACTAAGACAAGGTGAGCGACGGCCATAGAATATAATTCAATGGTGAAACTTACCACAAGTAATGGCGGATAATATTGAGTAGGCCACCACCTTGATGTCGAAATTCAATCTATATCAATGAGGTTGAGTTGGTGCAAATTGCAATAGAATAGTACCTAGCGTACTCACCTTTTGCCTTCCTTGCAGAAGAGTTGGCTGAAAAGCCAATAAATACGAATCAGCGACAACGGTCGCCCACTTGAGTATTAAGTCTGCTTACACTGCATAGAAAGCTACCAGGCAGAACATGTACAAAACGATACTGGCCGTCGTTGCACCCGGAGATTGCGGAGAAGCGTGCAAGACCTTGAACTGCCAAACAATAGGATAGATCACGGACAACATGAGGACTATACACTAGGTCAGTACGTGATTCAGCGTAGCAGAGATCATATCCCTTACAGTTGCAGATGATCCTAAAGCCAGTTCCATCCATGCAGAGGACGCCCACAGAGACACAGCAGCAGTCCATATTGCAAGGCATGGCGCAGATATATCTCGAAAGAAGTTCGGACTAAATGAGAGTGAATGATCGATACGCACCGGGCGTAGAGTGCAGAAAGGAAAGAGAGGTGAGGCTATGAAAGAACGATGGAGCTGTTTATATAGTCGTCTTGCATCCGTCCATAGGTCAAAGCCTCAACATTTTGATCATGTAAGACAAAGGGTGCCACTGCCGAGAAATTTAAAGTTACTTTGGCTTGCGCCAACCGAGTCATGAGGTAGGATTGGAGGTGGACTATCCTGGCCCAAGGGCGGTCGAGTGATAGTGCGAAAAAGAGATGAAATACATAACTGATTGAGAATTGAGGAGTATGTGAACGTAGAAACTTGCCAAAAGAACATGATGTTACGTAAGAAAACTGTGTTTAAGATCATCAGACGCGTTAGACGCGACCGCAATAAGTCCAGCAGAGCACACCGCCCTCCGCCTGCTTTACACGTCGGCTTATGACAGCCAATCCTGATCAACCAGACCCTTTGTCTCCCTCTGGCAAACCTCGCAGACGACAACCTCGTAAGAAATCTGCTCAACCCGCCGCTGAAGGCATGCCCACTAAAAGTCCGCGGGCACAGACCTCATCCTTGGAGAGCATTCGTATTTTACCGAGGACGCCCAAAACGCCACGGTCGACGCATAGGTGGACGTCACAGGATGGCGAACCTTTGGATGAGGTTGAATTGAGCCTGCTGGGGGAAGATGAACGGCGTCAGGCTGCCGAGGGTGCCTCTCTGGATGATGAGCTCGAGCACTTCACCCATGCAGGCGCGCACAAACCTATGTCCGCAAAGGACAAGAGGGCAATAATTTTGCTGGTTATTCTCTGTGAGGACCTTTCATGCTCTTCTTACAATGTCTAGTCACTTATATGTCTATTCAGATTTAATTCAAGGATTCCCTGTACGTTGAACATCTGTGTCCTCATACGTGTACTTACGCATTTAGGCGCGTATAGTTAGGGCTTGCCCTCGGTACGTGTTATAACCTTTGTTGTTGTTCCGATTTGTTACAGTCAAATACTTCCTATAGGATCCGTGCCATTCCTTTTGCGCGAGCACTTGTCGTACTCTCAACTCGCTATATTCTCCCTGGCCAGTTATCCATATTCTTTGAAGATATTCTGGTCACCTATAGTAGATTCATGGTTTCTTCCCTCAATCGGTCGTCGCAAATCCTGGATTCTGCCTATGCAACTAATCATTGGTTCGGTCATGCTGCTAATTTCGTTCCGATCGGAAGAGTACATTAATCATGTCAGTTCTTCTGAAACGTCATAAAGCTTTGGATGGTTCACTGAGCTTCTCTGCCTAGCCTGCTGAGCATATTTACGGGTTGTCGGTCGCCTTCACTGCATTGGTTACATTCTCTGCAACTCAAGGTTCGTCTTGTATTATCCATTATGCAACTTAGATGCACTAATACTGTTTTCGTAGATATCGCTGTTGACGGTACGTATCGTTTGAAGGTTGGCCACGACAATTATACTGAGTTCTCCTCTCAGGTTGGGCACTTACACTTCTATCGGAGGAGAACCTTCCATACGCTGCGACATGTCAAACGATAGGCCTTAATAGTGGATACTTCGCCTCATTTACTGTGTTTCTGGCTTTGAATTCAGAATCCTTTGCGTGCGTGCTCGAATTGACGTTCTGTACTTAAGGCTGAACTCTTATCTAGCACGAAATGGGGTATCCCGAGACTCACGCTCTCTACATACCTGCAATTCTGCAGCGTTTTTTCATTTGCCGTTACAGTATGGCTGTTATTTATCAAAGAGGTACGTATTTGCCTTGTCGACTTGTTGCTATGTTTATGTTGTCGTACCAGGACAAGGAGTCTGCTGAGGAGGATATCAGTATCAAGACCGTCTATTTCACCATGTGGAATATTGTAAAGCTGAAGAGTAGATCTTGTTCCCCTCGTGTTCTTTGGGCATTCTTGACACTTTCTCCCCTTTCCAGACGTTCAAACGCTCTGCCTTCTCCATCTATTCTCCAAGATTGGCTGGCAAGCTAATGACGCCATTACGCAACTCAAGATGGTAGAGAAAGGCCTAGGGCGAGAGGATCTTGCTATTGCCGTCCTCATTGACTTTCCGTTCCAGATTTTCGGCGGCTGGATTGCGGGCAAGTGGTCGAGAGGTGATAAACCTTTGCGTCCATGGATGTACGCCTTTTGGCCGCGTTTAGTGCTGGCGTTAGTTGCCACTCTGACAGTGTACTGGTTCCCAAACCCACCCATATCAATGGGTTTCTTCGTGGTATTAGTGATTCAGACTGTCGCTCAGTCATTCGCAGGGTAAGATACACTTCGTAGTGCCGTGTGCTATACTGGCTGATTATTAGCTCTAAAGCACAATCCAGTTCGGTGGTATATCTGCTTTCCACACTAGGATTGCGGATCCTGTGGTGGGTGGCACGTATATGACGGTAAGCTAGGATCCTACAATCGCCTTTCGAAGGCTAAGTGTGCCACAGTTGCTGGCTACTTTCACCAACCTGGGAGGAACATGGCCCCGCTTCTTCGTTTTGAAAGGTTTGTTACGAGCGCCCTCGCACTGATACTCCATGCTGACGATGTCTACGGTTAGGTGTTGACTTATTCAGTGTTGCTACGTGTCAGATCAAGGAGGTTGGGCAGGAGTTGTCTGTCAAAGGTCCGTCGTAGCGACAGTGTGATTCGTGGTCTCAGACTGATTGTGCTCCAGCTTCGGAGTGCGTGTCTGAGCACGGAAAGGCCGCTTGTGCGGAGTTGGGTGGCGAATGTATAACTGAACGTGATGGATATTATATTATTTCGGGTATCTGTATGGTTTTGGGGGTTATATCGGTCATTTTCTACATGATTCCTACTGCAAGGAAGTTGCAAGGTCAGTTGCGTTCATGTTCTCGTGCGATGGTGTTGGGACTGATGTCACTGCAGCATTACCCATCAGCAAGTGGAGAGTGTATTCATAAAGCTGTAATACTAGAGATTGCTAGTCTAGAGATTGCTAGTCTAGATACCTATACCCTGTCTACAGGACCGTATACCGTGTCGTTGACTCGGAATGAAGGGATCGGTTGAATGTGAAGCGAACCAAGGCCGCGTGCCATTGCCGAGCCGGCCCTGAGTTAGTAAGCGCCTTGAGCGAGCAGTGACCTTGTCGAGAAATTCGAGCGAAAGAGTATTTCTTGTGTTTTTTGACAACACTCACCGTCTGCCCCTACACGCTCATCTTCCAGCTCGTCTGGCCTTGCAACTCATCTAGCCGTATCTGATACCGCAAAACTATTGATAACATGACTACCACCATGCATTTTGGTCCTGAATGGATGCGCACAAAGCAAGCACCGTCGCGTCCTGCACCTTCTCCCCCACTTGCTACTACTCCTGCTTCGCCTGGCATTTCTTCGTATTCGGCCCTAGTCGCCCCTGCTTCTCAGCCACCTCCCGAAAAGAATGACTTGGCTCGTCCCTTCAGGTATTCCAAGGAAGACTTGCTTCGTATCTACAAGGAAGGTGGTGGCAGAGGCGGTCTCGGGCTTGAAGTAGAGAGGTGGGAAGGCATAGTCCGAGAGGTAGGCTATGACCCCGTGGGCCTCAAGGAAATGAACGAGGCCGAGAGAAAGGTTGGCCAGTCTCGCGTTCTCCTCATGCATGTCCTTCATTTCAAGTTCCCATCAGATCTTTTCCGGTCCTCTCAACTCTGAAGCCCGTAGACGTCAGTCTACGGATTACTTGTCCCCTCTTAATACGTCGCTCGGGGAGCGGCCCAAGCTTGGACATACAAACTCTGCAACTGGTAGCCCCCTTCGGGAACGTATGGGGACATATGTAGGGCGACGGAAAGACAGCACAGGTAGACAAAACCATTGTTCTCGGCGCTTAAGTGACGGACTTATGATCCATGTGTTGCAGACCAGCTACCACTTCCACTCCCCAGGAAGCAGTCACTTTCCTCCATGCAAGGTCCTTTAGCGTCTCCTAGGGAAGCATCCTTACCCTCCCCTCGCGTCCGCGTTGGGCCAGCCTTTGATGGCGTCCTCAACGAGTCCTGGACGTCCAAACGTCGCGTTCCTGAGGGTCTGGCGAAGTCTGGTAGTAGGGGCGACCTGAAGGAAGCTCAGAGGGAAGGAGTGGAGCAAGGTATCAAGGAAGAGGAAGAGGAACCGCCTATAAACTCCGAGACCGAGAGTCATCCACCTGAGCAACAGCTTAATAACTCTTCAACCCCAGTGAACGACTCTGGCAATGGATCGGCACATACGGTTAATCCCACACAGCCGACAACCTTTCTCCCTACGGTTCCTGCTTCAAACGTTCCATCTGGTCCGCCGCCTGGTATTGTTGACCTTGCTAGCGTCGAATGGTCATATCTCGATCCACAAGGGCAAATTCAGGGTAATGCATTATCTAGTCTCTGTCGCTCTAAGCTGACTTTGGCGTGTAGGCCCTTTCCGAGCGGATGTCATGCAGAAATGGTATGACGAGGGCTACTTCACTCCTGAGCTTCTGATGAAACGTATGCACGTTGATACCGACTGGACGTCAGTGCGGGATCTCCTCCGGTTTTCAAATGGCGGGAAAATGTTCTTGTCACCGATCCGACGACCTGAGCCATTCCTCAACGGTCTCACTGCTGAGCAAACAAACCAATATAATTCTCCATTTGAACCCGTACCTTCGCGCGCGATACGCACCGCTACATTGGACTCATATCTACATAATGATTCCAATGCTTCTGATTCGCCGACGTCCTCGTTCAGTGCGGGCAGATTTACTAACAATTCTCCGGACCCCTCGATATTGTCTGGTAGGATCGGCGGACATCTGCAGCAGACATCATCTGGTAGCCCTTTCAATGGGCTCAATGCCATGGAGCCATTGAGGCGTGTTTTGGATGAGTCCTTTGAAGTCTCCAGTCATTCGTATGGTGGATATTCCCCTGCGAGAGCCAACCCTGTGGACCCTCTCATGTTTAATGGTACGTGACATCTTCATCATATGAGATTGGTGTTGCTCACTGCGAATTTGAGGCGTGGAGCGTGGGATGCCGTACAGTCCAGGCTTTGGTGTGGGAGACAATGGTCTTGTGCCTAATGCAAGTGTTTTCAATGCGAATCGCACAACTCTGGACATGCCCGTCGTTAATAGTCAGTCAAGCACTCCGATGTTTGGCACGAATAGCCCGATATCGATGGGCGGCGGGTTCGGTGGCCAGCAAGAACAGCCTCGTCTTATGAATTTGCACAAGACCAGGTTGGAGACGCGACCCGAAGTTCAGTCTCGTTTGGGCGGCTTTGCGAGCGAGAATGGATCTCCGTTCCTGCAGCATAGTCAAGCCTTCATTCCGGGTGTAAATGCTCCTTATCAACATGATGCACAATCCCTACAGTCTCTTGGATCTGTGCCAGAGCGTAGATCATCGGTCTCGCCTAACGAGCAAGCCGGTTTGCAACAACCTCATGTCTTGCCTACCCAGCCTACATCTCCTTGGGCGGCTTCACAAAGCCCTGTTCGTCGACCAGGTCCGTTCGAGCCCAATTACCCTACAGCACAGAATACCATTCTTGGCAGAAGTATGGCTCCTGGACAGCCTCTCTCCACTGTGCAGCCTGCGCCACCCGTTCCTACTCAATCGCCTTGGCAAACGGTTCAGCCTGGGGTGAACGAGCCGTGGGGTCAAAATCCTAGTAGTTTAACTACTGCAAACCTTGGACAACATGATCAACAGCAACAAAAGCAGGTGGCTGATCAAACATCGGTACAACCAACGATCAGTCCTGTTATGGTTGAGGCTCCTGTTGCTGTACCCACTGGAGATGCGCAGGCTTCTTCCTCGGCAACCGTCATCGCGCCCAGCACGGCTCCGGAACCACCGCGCACGAAGAAGCAGCGTAAGGAAGCCGCTCTGTCTCTTTCGTCTCCTGCCGTCAAGCCTACCTCTGTCCCTGCTCCTGCGCCGGTCGCTCCTACGAAGACCCCTTCACCCGTACCCTCTGCGGCCGAATCTAAGCCTGCATGGGCTGTGGATGAAGACAGACATTCTTCTGGCGCAGTGAAGAGCTTGCGTGAGATTCAGGAACTAGAGGCCAGGCAAGCCGAAGCTCGTAAAGCAGCAGAGCGTGAGCGTGCAGCTCGTGCAGCCGCGGCAGTCGCTACTTCGCCATCTGCTGAGGACATCCAACCATTCACTGCTTCTTGGGGACTTCCCATATCTCAAGCTGGTGCTGCACGTAGCAATTCTCTTCTCAAAGATTCCGCGACATCTCCTCCGGCTAACGGCACTCTTACCACCCCGCCGGTTTGGACGAACGCTCCCAAAACAGCAGTAGCAAAAAAGACTATGAAGGAGATTCAAGAGGAAGAGGAGAAGCGTAAAAAGATGGCTGCGAAGGAGAAGGAGACCGTTGCAGCCGCTGCTAGGAGAGCTTATGCTGAGACGACAACCAAGGTGAGCTGTACGGGACTTTGTCTGTTGATACAGCCACTGAACGTTGTCCTTATCAGACTGTGCCTTCCTCGCAATCCGGTGGTGTATGGACAACTGTCGGTTCGAGCGGAAAGGCCACTGCTCCGCCGGCCGTTGCAGCTACCATTGCTCGTCCAATGATCACGCCAACTGCGTCGAAAGGGAGCATTCCCACCTCTCCTGCAATTTCGACGCCCAGCCGCTCAGCAGCATCTCCTGCTAGACCATCTCCTGCGGTGACGGTTGCTAGCAAGGTCGTTGCGTCGAGTCCGAGGATGGAAGAGGCTCCACCGCCTTCGTCTGACTTCCTCAAGTGGTTGAGCGAGTCCCTCAAGGGCCTAAATAGTTCTGTCAACTGTAAGTTCTGCTTTATGTCCTCATTGTACATCAGCTCATCCTGCGCTCAGTTGAGGAGATCACGTCAATGCTGTTGTCCTTCCCTCTGGACCCTGATCCATCGACAGTGGAGCTCATTTCCGATCTCATCTATGCCAACAGCACCACGCTCGATGGGCGCAGGTTCGCCTCCGAGTTCGTCGCCAGACGCAGGGCGAGCACAAGGACAGCGGCACCGCCAGGTACGGCTGGAAAGCCTATGTCTATCGCCGACGTCGTTAAGACCCAACCAAGGTCAACGCAAAACGAGTGGGGTGGCTTCAAGGTAGTGAACAAGAAGAAGAAAGGTGCACGTAATTGATTGCCACACAGGCCTCTGTGAAGATATCATTGTTTAGTCTATATGATATACCGTATATATGTTGTACAGGATACCGTGGACCGTATGCGGGCAAGTCTACGCACTTCCGACTATCTAATACACTATCCGCTCTCTTCCCTTCATGTCGTGCTGCTTGCGTTGCCTGTGTTGCCCGTATTTCCCGTGAAGCCTTCTGCGTTGCCAAGATCAAATAGCTCCTGCATGTTCATGTCGTCCGAAGCGGGTATGTAATTGAGATCATCGAAATGAATGTTCATCGAGCTATCACCAGTCTGGGCTATACCCTGCATACCCATGTCCAGTGACGAAGATGTTCCAGAAGGAAACATTTGCTCCATTCCACTGAAGTCGCCCGACGACATGCCGCCGCTCGTGCCAGTGGTTGTTGCATTGGGCTCTGGAGTCGTTTGTAAGACATTGAATATATCAGACATTTGCGGTTCGCTGGGGTGACTGTTTGACCCAACATGAGATGGTGGCATTCCTGACGAAGTCAAATGTTGGTGAGCAGGTTCGGTAAAGAGATCATCCAAATCCAGTTCAATGGGTTTATCCACCGAGCTCCCGAGAGAAGGGTCACCTGGGTTGCTCATTGCCATCGCTACATCCCCATCATCAAGTGTCAGGTCTATATCCACAGCCTGCCCTCCAACTGACAGCAAATCTGGCGGCGGCATAGATGATCGAGGTATAGACGACTTAGGGGCTAGTGTAACGGGGGATGCAGGACCACTTTGCAACGGATGAGCGTCCTCAGGATTGAATGCAATAGATGACAGGTCGAGTTTGTGAGGAAAGGGCGGTCGATGAAGGGAGGAAAGCGAGATAGTTGAGGCTCGTCGAGCAGGCGCGACTGGTTTTCGCTCTGTGGATGAAATTTGCAATTCCATCGTTGACGTAGGAGACACGGGAACTTGCGAAGGGGCAGTGGATGGGTTAGCAGCGGCTTCAGCTGCATTGGATGCTGCTTCCTTTGCGGCGGCCTCGACCTTTACGCGTTCTTCTTCGCGGATTCGCTCCTGCTCTTGGGTTAAATCGCGTTTCAGGACAGATATTGCTCTGGTCTAGGGAATGGCACTCATGTTAGCAGCGAGGATGACGTAGAATAGACGACGAACTAGGTGAAGTTCCAAAGCATCGCAGAGTTGATCGTACTTCTCGACCTCTCGACCGAGGGAAGCCATAAGTGAGCATGGTGGGTTCGGGGCGTGTTTATGAATGCCTCTAAGTAGCTCCCAATGAGAAGTTGACCGTAGAATGGAGAGGAATACCATACAGCCTCTGTGCGTCAGCGAAAAAGCCGTAAATTTGCCCTGTTTTTACAGCCATATTCTGTACAGGCAGTTTAACACGAAACATACAGGTGACGACAGTTATACATACCTGGACACAAGTTGAGAGAGCGGCGATCTCTGGGACAAGGATGCCTTGAGGCGGATCTGGAGGTGGAGGCATTGATTGGGCATTTTGAGTCTTGGGAAGGGTAGCAGCCTCTTTGGATGCCGTAGAAGGTTTGCGAGGCCTGGGTTTTGGTGCCATGTGTTGGTAGTAGACTACGGTATAGTAGACTACGGTAGTAGTTACTATTGAAGGCCTGAGCCAGCTGTCTCACCTGTGATCGAGTCGATCGAGGAGGAGACGCTTGTCGGTGCATGATGTGGATCGAGGTCGCGCGGAGTCACTGCTTGCTCTTCGTCTGGTAACATACGCTTTTTTCGTCTGCGCTTGTAGTTTTTCATTGTACACTTAGGCCTCCGAGGATTATATCCATGGTCACATTCGCTCGGAACCACTGCCGTACCCACTTCCGCCCATACGACTATACCACCATCATGCACTCCACCCGACCTCGATGCCATCTTTGTCTCACTACACGTCCTACAAAGTCTGCTCATAGGACATTCTCCTGTAGCGTTATCTCAAAGACCCATCATTATCAAACTCTGTCTGTTCCCCGGGATGCTACAAAGAATCAGATAAAGGTAGAGATCCTCACGTATCATTATATCCAGTACTCATTTTGTAACAGTCGAGCTTTTACAAGGTGGTCACCTAGGTCATATCAAATTTCTGAGTTCTGTATTGACATGGACCACGTAGCTTAGCAAGCTATACCATCCTGATGTAGCAAAGGATCTCGGAGCTAAAGAGAAGTTCCAGGCGGTCAGTGAAGCCTATGCCATTCTCGGAGACGACCGCCGGAGGTGAGTACTTTTAATCGCTTCTCATCGTCTTGATACATTTATAAATGAGTAGGCGTGCATATGACAAGACTCTAGGATCAACATCAAGTAATGGACACCCCGCTCATCATGCATCATCGTACGCGTACCAATATCCTTACGACACAGTCCGCAGGAGAGGCGCAACCCATGCCTGGTCGTATGCACGAACATCTAGCCACGCTCACAGTAGAGCATCAGGTTCAACTCACAAAGCTGGCTTTGGAGCTTCATTTGAATCATCCCATCCTCACGCTCGACGACACTCTGATCCGTTCGCATCACCTAATGTCCAAAAGGCTACCGGACGCAGGAAAACAGTCGGTGATCATACCGAGGCAGACAGAGTCACTGCTGAGTCAAGTTTCTGGAGGGCAATACAGGTCATTGGTGTTGTGCTATTTGTTGTTACAGTGGGGGGCGGCTTCGGAGCAGTCGCATAGCATTAACAAAGTGCACATACCAAGGCTTTGACATTTAAAGTGTGTGGTATGCTGGTACAATTCTCCTTATCTCACTATTACTGAGAACGCTGTCGACGATTGTTCAGCCAATGAAGGACGTAGACACGCTAGTGCACATACGGGGGTTCAAGGAAGGTATGACTGAAGCGTGCGGTTTTGCTACGCAGACGTGGGCTCGACTTTTGTACGAGGCTGATAACTTGGGAAAATTACCTGCTCCGATCTGTAGTTTGATCATGGATGACTCTGTAGAAGCAGGCATCAGTCGAATGCGGCGGGAGTCTAGATAGCGAGGAAGAGAGCTGAAGTACTACTTCAAGTAGGCGAGATGCAAACATCATGCCTATCAGCACAGATCAGCACGCGACTCATGGACCATCACGGCCAAGTGGCCACGCGGCAGTTCTCTCCGAAGCAATCTTTAACGCAGTCCTCAGCCTGAACGCGGCACGCAAATGTTGTATTTCCATGCATACTGTATACACAAGCTATTTGACGACATCTGGGCCAGGTTGCTAGTGTGTCTCCTTTCCTCTTGCTATGATTTTGTCTGACTTCTTGGACACAGGACCTAGCCACTTCTCTTCAACAATTGTTGATCCTCAGCCTTTCGCGTCCCCTTGTGAACACGCACAATATCAGGGCTTTTCGCTTCGGAATACCTTGGATTGTTAAAGTTACCCAACGCACGGTCAGCACAGAAGCGCATGCTCTCCGCTACCTTCACGCTATGGGTCTTGGCTTGCCAGTACCTCAGCTCATTTTCTGTTGCATCCACCGTGGCATAACATACACCGTCATGACTCTCATCCCTGGGACAAGCTTGATGGATGCGATTTTAGGTGGAGATATGACACCCGACGCCGTCGAAAGTGTCGCACAAGAAGTCGCTGTCGTTCTCAGCAAACTACAGACTTTACGCCAGTCGCCCACTGACGCTGGGAAAGTCATGATGAGTGCCTCTGGGCACCATCTGCCTGACCCCGTTGTCTTCTTCGAAAAAAGATCCGGCCCTTATCGTTGCGCCCTTGACCTCTGGGCACATTGCGGCGATTACTTTGATCTAACTGAGATGAAAGGTGACGTCGAACCGGCCACGCTTGATATCATGGCTGCGGAGCCTATCCAATATGTTCATGCCGACCTTCGCATCTACAATATCATTGTTCATGATGGCCACCTCTCGGGGATCATCGATTGGGAGGACTCTGGCTGGTTTCCTTCCTCGTGGCAAGTGCATACTCTGCGCTGGCCGCGATTTGGGTGTTATGGGCCCTGGTTGCAATACTGGCTCAGGTATCATTTCTCCGAGGAGGCGGAAGCTGCATACGCCGCGTCGAAGACGTTCTTAATAAAGTCTCCCGTCTGAGGTCAGGTGAGTGTATCCATGCATTGTGGCCATGCCACCTGTATCGACTACTCACTGACCTCCATAGCAGATTCGTGGAGTATAGTAGGCCTTCACCTTCGATTGCATCCTGTCGCAAGGTGCAAACAAGGACAATGTGTTGTGGCCCCAGCACTCTATTCAGTCTTTTGTTCTCTATAGGTGGCAATATTACTGTATCTTTATGACCGTTTCGTCCAAGCGGGGGGCAGTTCAAGAAGTTCTGAGATCAACCCCCAGAAGTTTGCCCAGGACCCCGTAAACTGAAGGGGGACTCTGGGATACTCAAAATTGAAAGTTGAAGAGCTAAAAGTTTCTAAACAGTTGTCATGCACCACATGTGTTTGACTCCTTGTTGGTGCGGCTTTCTCAATGTATTTCTGTAGCTTTCTATAGAATAAAGAAGGGTATGTATTCTGCGTAGCATACCATTGCATGATAATAAATAAGTACTACTTTCTTTTTGAAGGTCTCGCAGCTGTCGCTGTTGTCCCAGATTGCTTGCTCTTCATGGCACTTTCACCACTGCCACTGCCACCGCTGCCTCCTTGCATGTTCTCATCATTGCCTTCAATATCAGATGAGCTTGGAATATCTATCATCACTCACCAAACCTTTATTTTCATTGTAGGAATACTGCTGTAAGGTATGCACATGGTGCACACCGTACAGATCACACACACATCAAGACTATATCAACATTCGCCATCAAGACAATGTACCATCACATCTCAACACAACTACCTATCTCGATATCAATTCCTTTATTCTTCCTATTTCTCTATCCCCTTTTCCTATCATCTATTCCTTCCAACAAAATCACCAAGTCTATTTATTCAACTCTCTCTCTATCTTTCTCACTCCTCTCTCTATCCTTCTCTCTTCTTACACCACTAAACAATTCAGACACACAATCTCGACAAACACTTCTCAACTCTATTTCTCTCCTCTTAGTAGATACTCATCCCATCATAATACTAAAAACAACACTATACCAACCACAACACTGCCTCAAGCCATCTGGACAATCACCAATGATCATCTTATTAGAGATATTCAACTTCTGTGATGTTCCACCTTCTTACTTGTCCTCTTTTATACATTTCTGACATTCCCTTTACCTAAGCTATCCATACATACCATCCCCATCCTCTAACTCTTCCTATTCATCCTTCCGCCCAATGCCACTTCTACTTTGTAGTTTCTGCTTCGCTTTGGGCGCTTTGCCTGTTTCCTAATAAGGAGCTGTGTTCTCACGGCTCCGCTTTTTCCTGCACTTTGCTTTCTAGCATCTCTTTGCTGCTTACATCAAAGTATAGGTTAGTACTAAGTTCCTATATCAATATATGCTGCTTACATCGAAGTACAGAACTTCTGTCAGCTACCAGGTTGATCTATTCCCTGGTTTTAACAGGTTATGGGCCCCGGCTTCTAATCTCTGCCTAGATTTGCCTACATCTGCTTCATCTGCTCCCTTTCCAGCCTCCCCTGACCGCAATTCTTGCCATCTACTCTTGCTTTTAGTCTCATCTTCTTCAGCACCCTCTAAAGCCCCCATCTACCAACATCCATCTTGATCCATCCACTACTTCCTCTCCAACATCGCATTCTTGCCCTTTTGGCCGCTTTCAGCATGTCTGAGGACTCTGCTTACTCCAAGGTCAAGCTCCTGACCTCTGGCAACTACCCACAGTGGTCTGGAGAAGTTGGAGCAACCCTGAAGCGCAAGGGGTTGTGGAGATTGGTGATAGGGAAGGAAAAGAGGCCTGAGGCGGCCGATAAGAAGGCTGTTAGTGCAGCTGAGCATGCTGCTATGGATGCATGGGATGTCAGGGCTGAAAAAGCGTCTGGTGAGCTCTTCCTCCTTGTGGAACTGGACCAGAGGCAGCACCTGGTGGGGATCGATGATGATCCTGTTGCCATGTGGACCAAACTCGCCTCTGTGCACCTCCAGCAGCACCCAGGTGCTCGCTTCAATGCCTATGACGACCTCCTTGCCACCCAGAAGCGTGAGGATGAATCCCTTGCCTCCCTGTCTACCAGGGTCGACCAGACCATGACCAGGATCAAAAATCTTCGACCCAAGGGCTTCACCATTGAGGATCTCGACGATGAGCTCGCATGCATGGCTATGCTTCGTGCTCTCCCAGATGAGTACAGCAACCTCACCACCTCTATCCAGATCGCCTCTACGCTGAACAAAGACACTCTCCTGCAGGCCTTCATCACTGAGGACATCACCCAGCAGCGCAGAGTCAAGTCTGAGACTCCTCCTGCCGCTTCAGCCCTCTCTGCATCGGCCTCTACCTCTACCTGCGCCTTCTGCTCCCTCCCAGGTCATTCCATCGACTCCTGCTTCCGCTTTCGTGAAGCCAAGGTTGCCGCTACGAAGTCTGCCCAGGAGAAGCGTCAGGAGCGTCAGCAGGGTGGTAGGAAGTGTTAGAGATATTCAACTTCTGTGACGTTCCACCTTCTTACTTCTCTCCTTCTATACATTTCTGACATCCCCTTCACCTAAGCTATCCATACATACCATCCCCATCCTCTAACTCTTCCTATTCATCCTTCCACCCAATGCCACTTCTACTTTGTAGTTTCTACTTCGCTTTGGGCGCTTTGCCTGTTTCCTTATAAGGAGCTGTTTTCCCACAGCTCCGCTTTTCCCTGTACTTCACTTCTCAGCATCTCTTTGCTGCTTACATTGAAGTACAGGTTAGTACCAAGTTCCTATACCAATATAAGCTGCTTACATTGAAGTACAGAACTTCTGTCAGCTACCAGGTTGATCTATTCCCTGGTTTTAACAGGTTATGGGCCCCGGCTTCTAATCTCTGCCTAGATTTGCCTACATCTGCTTCATCTGCTCCCTTTCCAGCCTCCCCTGACCGCAATTCTTGCCATCTACTCTTGCTTTTAGTCTCATCTTCTTCAGCACCCTCTAAAGCCCCCATCTACCAACATCCATCTTGATCCATCCACTACTTCCTCTCCAACATCGCATTCTTGCCCTTTTGGCCGCTTTCAGCATGTCTGAGGACTCTGCTTACTCCAAGGTCAAGCTCCTGACCTCTGGCAACTACCCACAGTGGTCTGGAGAAGTTGGAGCAACCCTGAAGCGCAAGGGGTTGTGGAGATTGGTGATAGGGAAGGAAAAGAGGCCTGAGGCGGCCGATAAGAAGGCTGTTAGTGCAGCTGAGCATGCTGCTATGGATGCATGGGATGTCAGGGCTGAAAAAGCGTCTGGTGAGCTCTTCCTCCTTGTGGAACTGGACCAGAGGCAGCACCTGGTGGGGATCGATGATGATCCTGTTGCCATGTGGACCAAACTCGCCTCTGTGCACCTCCAGCAGCACCCAGGTGCTCGCTTCAATGCCTATGACGACCTCCTTGCCACCCAGAAGCGTGAGGATGAATCCCTTGCCTCCCTGTCTACCAGGGTCGACCAGACCATGACCAGGATCAAAAATCTTCGACCCAAGGGCTTCACCATTGAGGATCTCGACGATGAGCTCGCATGCATGGCTATGCTTCGTGCTCTCCCAGATGAGTACAGCAACCTCACCACCTCTATCCAGATCGCCTCTACGCTGAACAAAGACACTCTCCTGCAGGCCTTCATCACTGAGGACATCACCCAGCAGCGCAGAGTCAAGTCTGAGACTCCTCCTGCCGCTTCAGCCCTCTCTGCATCGGCCTCTACCTCTACCTGCGCCTTCTGCTCCCTCCCAGGTCATTCCATCGACTCCTGCTTCCGCTTTCGTGAAGCCAAGGTTGCCGCTACGAAGTCTGCCCAGGAGAAGCGTCAGGAGCGTCAGCAGGGTGGTAGGAAGCGCCCTCAGAAGGCCAATGCTGCTAAGGATGAGCCATCTTCGCCCGGGGAGACCTCTGAGTTCGCTAGAAGTGCAAGTCTTGACCCCTCTTCTCTCACTGCACCCCTCCAGCTCGACGCTAACATGGATTGGACTGCAGACACAGGAGCTACGTCTCATATGACTCCTCATCGCCATTGGCTTCGCAACTACACCCCCTGCCGCATCCCCATTCGTCTTGCCAACAACACTATCGTCTATGCCGCTGGGATGGGGTCTGTGCGCTTTGCGCCGCATTCTGGGGGGCAGAGGTTGCGTCCTGTGGAGTTTAGTCGAGTCCTGCATGTCCCTGCACTAAAGAGCAATCTCTTATCTGTCCTATACCTCGTACGAATTCATCATTTTCATGTGCACATTCATGGTCGACGTATGGACTTCAAACACAAGGGTGAACTCGCTTTCTATGCCCCTATAGATGATTCTAACACTGCCCACATCGCTGGAGAGGTCCTACCCATCACTCTCTATGCCAACACCGCCTCCTTGTCCACCCTTCCTCTCACACTCGATCTCTGGCATCGCCGTCTCGCCCACCATGGTCTAGACAGTGTCAAGCTGCTGATCTCGCATCAGATGGCCACTGGTATCAAGCTTGAGTCGTCAGCAACACCTGATCCCATCTGTGAGCCATGCCTATCTGGAAAGATGCATGCCAATCCCTTTCCATCTTCGACCTCGTCTGTCTCCACTACCTGCGGTATTGTTCACTCGGACGTCCATGGCCCTGTCGATGTCAAGACCTTTGGTGGCTTTCGCTACTGGGTCACCTACATTGACGGCAAGTACAAGTACCGGGTGGTTGTGCTGATGAAAACCAAGTCTCAGCAGTTTGACGCCTTCAAGCTCTACCATGCTTATGTGCGCAACAAGGGCTTCAGGATTGGGATCCTGCAGGATGACAAGGGAGGCGAGTACATGTCCAAGGAGATGGATGCTTACTGTGTAGAGCATGGCATTGTGCGCCGCCATACGGTGCGCAACAGGCCTCAGCAGAATGGCACTGCTGAGCGCTTCAATCGCCTGCTCCAGGAGCGCATCACTTGCATGCTAACCGAGGCTAATCTACCACGCCAGTTCTGGGGGGAGGCTCTCAATGCCTTTGTCCATGTCATCAACCGCTGTCCGACCTCCTCTCTCTCTGGGATCACCCCATACGAAGGCTGGACTGGACAGAAACCCGACCTCTCTCATCTTCGTGTCTTTGGCTGCACCGCTTATGTCCACATCCAGAAGGACAAGCGCTCCCACCTTGGACCTCACATGGAGAAGTGTGTCTTTATTGGATACCCGGAGGGCTATAAGGGCTGGAAGTTCTATAACCCGGTTACCAAAAAGGTGATCATCTCTGAACGCGCTGACTTTGACGAACGGTTCTACCCTGGACTCAAGAAGCAACCTTCTTTGCCCCTCCCTCCTCTCCCACCAACTTCGCCTCCGGCTCCCTCTTCTGCCAGCATAGTGCCCTGGTTTGACCCTGCAGATGAGGATGATGTGCCAGCGCCTCATCCTGGGGGGGAGGTTGTGGTGCCTCTTCCCCCTGCAGTGGTCCCGGCACCTGCTCAGGATGAGCCTGCTGACTACCCTCCAGCACCTGCTG